CTAACCCTAACCCTAACCCTAACCCTAACCCTAACCCTAACCCTAACCCTAACCCTAACCCTAACCCTAACCCTAACCCTAACCCTAACCCTAACCCTAACCCTAACCCTAACCCTAACCCTAACCCTAACCCTAACCCTAACCCTAACCCTAACCCTAACCCTAACCCTAACCCTAACCCTAACCCTAACCCTAACCCTAACCCTAACCCTAACCCTAACCCTAACCCCTAACCCTAACCCTAACCCTAACCCTAACCCTAACCCTAACCCTAACCCTAACCCTAACCCTAACCCTAACCCTAACCCCTAACCCTAACCCCTAACCCTAACCCTAACCCCTAACCCTAACCCCTAACCCTAACCCCTAACCCAATCCTAACCTCCATCTAACCCAATCCGAAGCCCTGCTAACCCGCATCCTGGCCTGAAAACCCAGTGCTAACCCGGATCCTTGGTCTCACAGAGCTGGTTCCTTCGGAGTTGATGTGCGAACCCGGATCCTTGGTCTCACAGAGCTGGTTCCTTCGGAGTTGATGTGCTAACCTTGGAGCTGGTTCCTTCGGAGTTGATGAGGTGCGAACCTGGATCCTTGGTCTCAAGATGCTGCTCGAGTTGTGCTGCGAACCTGGATCCTAGAACCCACGCGACTCAACAAAGCTCGGCTCGTGAACAAAGCTCGGCTCGTGACGCAGCCTTCAGCCGAAGGACCACCGAAGAATCGCGCCAGAAACAGAGAAAGCTAGACTGTACCCAACTTACTACACGCGCACCACAAGAGAACCACGCCGACGTCAGAGTCCGAGATTGAGCAAAATTGAGGTCTTTCTGTGAGAGAAGGTCCTTGATGATCGCGCGGGACTTGTGTTTGTCGCCTTTCGTACCATACAATAGTAAGTTGAAATGGTAATAGTAATGAGGTGAAGACGATAGAGTGTGTAGCTCCGGACTTCCCCGGCAGCGTAGTGTAGTCGTCTAACGAAATAGTTTCTCCCATGTTTGATGGGGTTTGTGACGGGGAATTGCGTCCGTCAATAAAAGGTGACTCAGGATGATAATAGTTAGGAGTGAGAGGCGACTTCCCCCTACTAAGGGGATATCGGAGTACCCTAGGATGGGAAGTAGCCTAGGCGGGTAATACAAGTACGGGTTGTGCTTGAATACGTCTCAGTTGAACCTTGGGATCCTACTAGACGTGTATTTCCATTGCAGCGACGGCGGGCGATGGCTGCCCGTATTCGTCTTTAAAGTAGTACGTTACGTGAGCAGGGTGGTAATCCGAGACGAAGTAGCCGGGAGAGACCGGTAACTTTTTTTACTAGGGAGGAATAAATTTCGATTTTCGGAAAGTAGTTATAGTGTTACACAACAGACGCGCGCGCGGTTCATTTGTATAAGAAAGTGCTCGTCGTTTTGGCGTGGTGGCGTTGAATCACCTTGGAGCGCGGCTCCTCGCCTTTGGTCGTCTCGCGAACGAACGAGGCGGACTTCCGGTCGTCATCCAGCCAGCGCTTCACTATCGGCGTGAAGTCGATCTCGTGAAGCTCAGGGAGATTCATGGTGTTGAACACAAGATCATCGAAGGACTCCTCCCCTAATTATTTTTTTAATAGAGGCCTAGAGAGCCCTCCCCGGAGTATTTATTTTCACTTTTGGCACCAGACCGGTAACTTTTTTTTCTCGATTACCACCCTGCGCGCCGCCCGCCCGAATCGGATCATCAGGGAAAATCCTAGAGGAAAAACTATCACAAACACCTCCTAACCCCGACCAGCAATACTACACACCATTTTACCCCCCACACTCGCGAGCCGCGAGCGCGGTCACCGGTGTTTGTGCCCGCGCGGGCGGAAAATGCCCGTCTTCGACCCAAGCTGCCGGCTCGGCGGGGTCTCGCACGGCGCCACGCCGCCATCGCGCCGCGGCTCGCGCTGCGCGTGCGCCGTGCGCGCGTCGTCGAGCGCGAGCGCGTAGCCGTAGAGGTCGCGGTCGAAACCGTTGAGCGCCTCGAGGTCCGCGACGACGGCGGCGGCGTCGGGCGCGAGCCGGGGCGCAAGGCGCCGCCGCGCCGCGTCGTCGCCTGCGCGCGCCGCCGCGTTCGCGCCTCGTCGCCATAAGTGTCGCGCGCGCGCACAAAGAAAATAGAGAAGAAGTGGCGCGCGGGCCGGCGCCCCGCAGCGTCGCCCGCAGCGGCGCGTCGTGGCCCAGCGCGCGCCGCAGCAGCGCCGTGTGATTGGGCCACGTCGCGCGTTCGACGACGAAGATCGCGTCGAAGCGCTCGAGCGCTGCGCGCGCGCGAGAGAGAGCCGCCGCGTCGACGGCCGCCGCGGCGCCCGCGGCGTTCCAGCCGGCCAGCGCCTTCGTGAAGTAGTTCTGCACCTCGACGTAGACGTTGCCGGGATTCCGCCGCGCGAAGTCGCGCTTCCACGGGCTGTCGTCCTTCCACTCGTCGACCCACGCGCGCAGCGTCCGGAGGCCCGCGGGGTCGTGCAGAATGCCGTCGTGCCAGCCGACGTGCTCGTACCAGTACATGCTAAGGACGCGGCGAATGGGGTCGCGCACGGACACGACCGTGATGATCGACCGCAGGCCGAGGAACATGGGGTCGATCGACAGGCCCTCGGTCTCCCAGTACGCGACGCGGTGCCGCCGCGCCGCTTCCTGCAGTGCCGCGCGCAGCGTCGTGCCCGCCGCCTTGCGCGCGTGGTAGAGGTAGAAGCCGCCGGCGCCCGCCGCCAGGCACCGCTGCTTGCGCGCGAGCCGGGCGCCCCAGGCCGCCTCGCGGCGGCCGACGGCGGGCGCGGCGCCGGATCCAGCAAAGGCGAGGCCTGCGAGCATGAAACTCGTGGCAGCCAAACGCGGGGCAGCCATACGCTCTTGTATGGACGCGTGCAAGCCCAGACAGCTTCCTCGTCACGTATTCGCCCGGACGATCACAGCGCTACGGCGGCTCCAGCGCCGCACTCGCTATGCATGCATGTGCGCACTGCTGCAGCGGTCAGGTAGCTAAAATATAGTCTTGCTTGCCACTGCGCGACGCGTCGTCCCGCAAGGCCAGGACAGACAAGCAGCTACACGCCACACCAAGAGGACGATGCGTGGCGTCCGATTACTCGCGGCTGCCTTGGTCGCGGCCGACGGCCTCCAGGGGCGCCAAACGCCGCGCCGCGCGTCGTGCCGCGTCCGGGCCGGCGCGGGCTTCGGCGCGCCCAAAAAGGCAGGCACCACGAAAGCGCGGCGAAAACGGCCGCGGCCGCCGCCGCGCGCGGCGCCGGCGCGGCCCGCGCTCGACAAGTGGGGCCTTCCCGTGGCGGAGCCCGAGGACGAGGACGCGCCGCGGGACCTCGGGGCGCGGAAGGTGTCGCTGGAGGCGCCGCCCGTGGCCGTCGCCACCGCGGGCGCGGCCCTGGCGCACGCCAAGGCGCATCCCGTCGATCTCGGCGACCCGCGCCTCGCCGTGCTCCACCTCGACCCGCCCGTCTACCGCGTCCAGGGCTTCCTCTCGACGGAGGAGTGCGCCGCGCTCATCGCCCTGACGGCGTCGGGCCGGTGCCGCGAGATGCCCAAGGCCGCGGGCACCTTCGCCGCCGGCGAGGCGCCGCGGCGGACGTCGACCACGTGGTACGCCCGCTACCGCGAGCCCGCCTGCGCGCCCCTGCTGCGGCGCGCGCGCGCGCTGTTCCGCGGCGTTCCGTTCGCGCACTTCGAGGAGCTCCAGCTCGCGCGGTACCTGCCCGGCGAGCGGTTCAGGTGGCACGAAGACGCCGTGCCGCCGTCGCTCCTCCGCGGCGGCGACGGCGGCCAGCGCGTCGCGACGCTCCTCGTCTACCTCAGCGGCGACGGCGACGAAGCACAGGGCGGCGCCACGTGTTTCCGCGACCTCGGCGCGCCGCCGCCGCTCCGCGTGGCGCCGGTCGCCGGCGACGCGCTCCTGTTCTTTCCCGCGTTTCATCTTAGCGGCCGCCCGGACGACCGCACCGTCCACGCCGCCGAGCCCGCGAAAGCCGAGAAGTGGGTCTCCCAGCTCTGGCTCCACGAGGGGCCCTACCCGCCGTGCATCCTCGACGATAATCCGCACCTCGAGTAACGTGCAAGCCCGTCGCGTCGATAGCGCAAGGGGGGTTCGGATCCGTCTTCCGCTCACGTACAGGGTGGTAATCGAGAAAAAAAAGTTACCGGTCTGGTGCCAAAAGTGAAAATAAATACTCCGGGGAGGGCTCTCTAGGCCTCTATTAAAAAAATAATTAGGGGAGGAGTCCTTCGATGATCTTGTGTTCAACACCATGAATCTCCCTGAGCTTCACGAGATCGACTTCACGCCGATAGTGAAGCGCTGGCTGGATGACGACCGGAAGTCCGCCTCGTTCGTTCGCGAGACGACCAAAGGCGAGGAGCCGCGCTCCAAGGTGATTCAACGCCACCACGCCAAAACGACGAGCACTTTCTTATACAAATGAACCGCGCGCGCGTCTGTTGTGTAACACTATAACTACTTTCCGAAAATCGAAATTTATTCCTCCCTAGTAGGAAAAGTTACCGGTCTCTCCCGGCTACTTCGTCTCGGATTACCACCCTGCCGGCGCGAGGTTTGGGCCTCGGCGTGTTGTTCCCTCTTTTGTTTTACCGCGCAAGACTGAGAATACTCTATGCAGTTACCTTATTGCTATTTCGAATGCTCTAGTTTGGCATTTTGACTGAGTAGGGAGAAGATACTTAAGAGCTACTAGTAAGTAAAAACTTAAAAACGGAGGGCAGCCAGCCCCGAGCGAGGCTCCAGTGCGGAAAGTAGTTCCCCCACTGGTGTGCTAAGTACATTAATTAGTCGTCGATTGAAATGATTTCGGGTTCGGTGAGGTCTGTCACGGCGGCTGCGCGGCGCCGACCCGCGAGGAGAGCGCGTATGTCGGCGACTGGCGGAATTGCGTTGCGGCGGCGCCGCGCGCGCGGCGGCGCCGCGGTGCTCGCACGGGGGGGCGGCGCGCGTGGACGCGGCCCCCGCTCGGCGGGCGACGGCGGCGCGCGCAGGGGCCCGTCGGGCCGCGTCCGACGCCAGCGCGATCGCCGTGCCTCCCAGTCCTCGCGTTCGGCGGCACGCACGGCGCCGATCCTCGCCTCGATGGCGTTGTCGACGATGTGGACGGGCGCGAGGACCGCGAGCGGCGGCACGGCCGCGCGGCACTCCGGACACTCGCGCTTCGTGGCGAGCCACCGGACGAGGCACTCGCCGCAGGCCGCGTGGCCGCACGGCAGGCAGTGGCACGCGGCGATGACGCCCGAGCAGATGCAGCACTCGTAGTCGGCCTCGACGTCGCCGTCGGACGCGGCGCGCGGCCGCTTCGTCCCCGACGCCGTCTGGCCCTCGTTGGCCGCCGGCGGCGCGCGCCGCTCGACGCGATACGCAAAGTCTGCCTCCTCCTTGACGAAACTCACCGCGTCGCCGGCCCGCAGCTCGACGCGCGCGCCGCGCGCCGCCGGCACGCCGTTGACCGTGACGAGCTTGTCGTCGCGGCACAGCGGCACGACGTAGGCGCGACCCGCCTCGGCGATCAGCCTCGCGTGTCGCCGCGAGATGAACGCCGCGTTCAGCTGGATTTGGGCCCCGGCACTGCGTCCGACCGTGACCTCACCCGACGCCGGGAGCCGGATGAGGGGGCGCGTGCCCGCGAGTTGGGGCACCAGCGCGAACGTCGTTCCCGCCATTTATCGAACGCAAGCGGCGCCACCGGCGCCACCAGGCGCGCGGCGCGCAAAAGGTGCAAACCTGTTTACGGTACCGTAGGAGGTACGGTACCGTTAGCAAGAGTATGTCGCAGCGTTATGTAAAGTAGCAGGGTGTTAGCTAACCAGCCAAGGGCTGGCTAGACCTGACTACGAGAGTGTTTTATAGTGAACTGTTGTTACACCGTAGTGCTTTTGACACTCGATGTATAGACTCAAATATTAGAGAGTGGGAGATACATATCTAGGGTAGGAAGGGCTAGTAGGTTTCTCTCTCTACTCCCCCTGGGCGCGAGCGTCCATTAGATGCCTTTCTACTAGAGAATGTATCAACTCAGTCTATTCACTGACAAAATCCATGTGACAAGTGATAGGCTTCATGTGCAACAGATTTCTTCTTGAAATGAATATCCGTAAAATACCTTTGTTGGATCCTTCTCGTCCTTTTTCGGAAAGTAGGCTCGTCGGCGGCAACCCGGACTTCACCAACGCGCCCGGGCACGGCGACGACGACGCACGCTTCTACGACCGGCAGCAAGCTTACGTACACGCTCGCGGGGGATAGCTCCCCCGTCACCCCTCTAGGCGCGCGCCCCCGCAACCCGAATTGACTATAGCTACACGTATTTATATGGCTACACATATATATATATATATGTTTAAAGCGCACCGGCGCGCGCGTCACATTCAGCTCTGCGGGGTAGGTTTTAGACCACACCAATTTGAGGACATAATAAAACGCAGCATGTCTGGCGCCGAGAGCCTCTCCTTCGGCGGCCAGTTCCGCATAAGCCTGCCTCGCGTCGGGCCGGCCAGCGCGCGCCGGCCGGCGCCGAGCTCGCGCGTGGCGTCGTTCCTCTTCGCCGAGGAATCGCCCGCGGCGCCGCCCGCGCCCGCGGTGGGCGCGCCGCGCCGGAGCGAGCGGCCCGGCCGCCGGCCGCCGGCGCGGGCGCCGGCGGCGCGCGGCGTCGCGGCGCGCCTCGACTTCGACGGCGCGGCCGACGAGGCCGCCGCCGCGTCGCCGCGGGCGGCCGCAGCCTCAGCCTGGGCGGGAGCGCAGACGCCGCGGGCGGAGGCGCGCACGACGCCGCGCGCGGAGACGGTCCGCGTGCCGTCGCGCGGCGAGGAGCCGCGCCTCGACTGGTCGCCGGCGGTCGGCGCCGCGTCGCCGGAGTTCGACGACGACGCGCCCGTGAAGCGCCGGCCGGTGCCCGACCCCGCGGCGTTCGGCGACGCGGCCGCGGCCGCGTCGAGTCCGCGTTCGTCGCCGCCCGAGCGCGAGCCCGCGTGGCGCCGCCGCGCGGCGGCGGTGGCCGCGGTGAGCGCCGCGGCCGAGGCCGGCGCCCATGCGAGAGCGACGGGCGCGGTGGCCGACGCGCGCGCGCGGAGGAGCGCGCCGCGCGCCGCGCCGCCCCCGCGCGTCGCGTCGTCGCTCGACGCGACCAAGGTCCTCGTCGACGCGGCGCTCGACGCGCACGACAGGCCGGCGTGGGTCCGCGCGGCCGCGGCCGCCGACGACGCGGCGGCGGCCGCCGCGTCGGACGCGTCGACGGACGACGCCGCCGAGGAACCCCGCCCGCCGCGCCCCGCGCCGCCGAAGCGGCGCCGGACGCGCCACGCCGCCAGCGACGCGCCGCGCCGCGACGTCCGGCTCGCGCGCGACTTCGTCCTCGACGGCCGGTGCGGCCGCGGCGCGTTCTCGGACGTCTGGACCGCGACGTCGACGGTCGACGGCGAGCGCTACGCGATCAAGGTCGCGCGGCGCCCGTTCCGGTCGCGGCGCGCGCGCGAGGCGGCGCTCGCGGAGTGCGAGGCGCTGCGGGCGCTGCGGGGCGCGCCGAACGTGATCGCGTTCCACCTCGCGTGGCAGGAGGGCGGCCACCTCCACGCGCAGCTCGAGCTCTGCGCCCTGGGCAGCGTCGCGCAGATCGTCTCGAGGAACGGAGACGCGCCCGAGGCGCCGCACCTCTGGAAGCTGCCCGGCGCGGCGCGGGAAGGATCGCCCGATTCGACATCGCGTCGCTCGCCCCGAGCTTGTCGTGTCTCGCGCGCAGGCTTGGCGACGTCGGCGACGCACTCGCGCACGTCCACGCGCGCGGTTACGTCCACCGCGACGTCAAGCCGGGCAACGTCCTCGTCGATGCGCAGGGGCAGCTGAAGCTCGGCGACTTTGGGTCTGTTGCCACGGTCGGCGCCGCACCGAGCGACGGCGCCGAAGGCGACGCGCGCTACCTCGCGCCCGAGTGCGTGCGGCGCGGACGTCAGCCGCGGCCCGGCGGGAAGCTTCGATCGAGATGGCTCGTTTTCCTGCGGCCATGGAACAGCGTGGTCTCGCGCGCAGGTGCTTCCAGTCGAACTATCGGCCCCAGTCGCACGTCGACGTGTTCGCGCTCGGCGCGTCCGCGTACGAACTCGCGACGGCGGCGCCGCTCGCCGCCGCCGGCGCGGCGTGGCAGGCGCTCCGCGCAGACGCGGCGCCGCCGCTGCCACCGCGCCGCTCGCGCGCGCTCGACGCGCGCGTCCGCGCGTGCCTCGCGCGCGACGCTGCGCGCCGCCCGCGCCCCGCCGCGCTGGCCGCCGACCCCGACGTGGCGACCGCGCGTGGCGCCGCAACGTGCTGGCGCGATTTCGCACGCGCCGCCGACGCGTCTCGCTTGCCGCCGCCTGCGCCCCGCGCGGTCGCCACGCCCGGCGGGCCGGACCGCCGCGCCGCGCCGTCGTCTTCTTCCTGGGCGGGGTAAGGAGACCTCCACATGCAGCTACTCAGAGGGGGGAGGGTAGCCTTCCCTCTTGCGAACGTCCTCGATTTCTACTTTATCAGATGCCGCGGCGCCCTCTAGTGGCGCCCTAGGTTGCAAGTAACTCCCCTGGGACCAGACCCAGGGATTATTAGCCCCTGGTGCCGCAGGCCTGGCTTTATTACTCGGGTGAGTGCCCGTTAGACGGGTTATTCACCCCAGGAGCTTTATAGAGGGGTAGGGGAGGGGCACATAGGCCCTCGCTCCGAGCGTGGGGGCCCTTATCAAATTTCGTGAGCGAGCCGTCATTTTGTTCGTACGACGGGATCATGTCGGCCGCAATGTCGATGTCGGCCGTGATCATTCGCCCGCCCATCCATACGACTAAATCCTTTATCAGACTGATCTGATGCCGACAGTCACTCATAGTCATTCATAGTGACTCCTCCTCGAAAAACGGTTGCTGCTTTTGGCAAAACCCGAAAATTAAGGCGTACAGGTTTTGCGCTTAGGTGTAAGTTTTAGACGCGTGAAACGCGTAGGTTTGAGTTTGAGGACGGATTCTCCAACCCCGGCCAACCCCCCATCCAGGATCTCCAGGCCTGGCCTTGGCAGGTGGACCTTGACTGGCGCGGGGCAACAGACAACTCATGCGGTCTTAGTTTAGCGCAATTTACGCTGTCTGTAGGCGTTCGCGGCGGAATGCTCACGCCGAGGCAGCCCCATCTTGCAAAAATAATGACGGCCTGCGTCGCCGCAATTTATCCCTGGCGCTTCCTGGTAGCAGCGGTCCCCACTTGTGACCCGGACGCATGCGCTGCTCTCCGCGACGACGACTTTTGGCCGCGGCGCGAGGCGCCGCCGACGTGGTGTAGGGGCAACGACGTCAAGGGACGGTGGGAGGATGTTGCGGCGGGCGGCTGGACTGCGGCCGCTCGCCGCTGCTACGCCGCGGCGCTCGAACCCACGAATCTGTGCAGCCGGTTCGTGGCCGGCGAGGAGATGTGCGTCACGAAGCACAACGGCGAGATCCCGTGCGAGTGGACGGACTCGGATCGCGAACGACGCGCGAGAGAGGACAAGGCGACCTACGTCCTTGCACGGCCGCGGGTCCCGGTGTCTGGTCCGAGCGGGTATTCTCGGGCCGAGCGTTCGCATCCGCAGGTGCCGGATCGCGAGCCCCTTCGACGCGCTGCGAATCGCCGCACGACAACGGTGGAAATTTATTTTCATGGGCGACAGCGTCGCCCTCGGTTTGTCCGCGGCCGCGTCGTGGCACTACGACGCGCTCCGCTGCTCGGGCACGGCGGAGGCGGATGCGACGAGACCCGTCGGGGTGCCGCTGCACGTCGTGCCGTTGGACGGAGAGGTTCTCGATTATTCCCTGCAGAAACTCCAAAACCACCCGAACGCGACGCTACTCGTGCAGATCGGCCTGTGGTACAACTGGAACGCCTCGAAGACAACATGTCGAGAGGACGGCGTCATCTTCGCGCCTGAGGTCTTCTTCCAACCGTGGAACGAGTCGATCGCCGCAATCGACGCCCTGGCCGCGCGCGCCGCGGCGCGCGCAACGACGGCACGGCCCAATAAAAAGTACAAACGAGAGGTGTACTATGCGCTTCTCCGGGCCGACGTGCCGACCTACGGAGTTGGAGAGGACCGGGACCAATGCACGTTTGCCGCCGCGCTCGTGCGCCTCGCCGTGTACCTACGCACGCGCAGTCCCCAGCGCCACGTCGTCTTCCTGACGCACAGCCCGCAGCACACAGTCGGGGGCGCGCGGCTCCGCGACTTCGCCACGCTGAACACGGCGGGCGCGTGGCGGGATCGAGTCGCCAAACACGTCGTTCTCCGGCTCCTACCGCACGCGAGGTTCGTCCACACGCACCTGCTCCTCGCCGATCGGCGATACTCGCACAACTTCGGCGACCGGGGCCAGATGGACCAGACGCATTGGTGCTGGAATGCGCGCGCTCCCGTCGAGGCCCTGGCGGTGGCGCTCACGGCAGCGCTGCCGGTGTACCCGCATCCGTCCCGAGAGCCGTCCTGAGCCCACTGCAGTACGGGGCTGATAGGGGCTAGTAGTAAAACTTCATCCGAGTCGGATGCCAGTGTTTTAAGTTCGACTTATGTTACTGGTCAAGGTTATCAAACTTCTTCTGATGTTGATAGCAATATTACTGGACCTGCGTTTGCTAATGTGTCTGCTTAGAGTGCCTGCTGATCGATTGCCTGGCTGGGGGGAAATCGGGTTTTGTCGGCAAAAAGGGGCGCATGGTTATGACCCATTTTTATCAACGAAATGTGTTCCGATCGTGTCTGAAAATTTTCGCTCGCCTTAGAGCGAAAATCTTGCATATATGAGCGAAAACAGGTCATTTTGGTGTAAAACTTGAAATGGACATAACTATTTCATCATCAGTGAGCCGCGCGCGCGTCTGTTGTATATTACTTATAACTACTTTCCGAAAATCGAAATTTATTCCTCCCTAGTAGGAAGAGTTACCGGTCTCTCCCGGCTACTTCGTCTCGGATTGCCACCCTGGACTCCCTGCGGGCCGGGGCCCCCTGTGCCATCTACCTGTGCCAGTGAACACCGCCAATGCTTGAACCCTCGAAGCGCTCCAACGCCCTCGGTCCTGATTTTTTATGTCGTTCCCCAGTCAGATCGTACCTATCGAAAATCCGTATGCAGGGTGAGCCCCCTGGGCCGGCCAGGCCCGAGAACGGGTGGTGCCCGCGGCAATTAGCAGGAGGATAGATTACATCAGGCCCCGGGCGCCCGACGGTACGTCGCGGTCGAGAGGAAGTAAACGCGGTCGTCGCCGGCGGGAATCCGCGCGACGCGCCACCTGGCGTCGACAGCGGCGCCGGCGGGCAGCACGCCGTTGTCGACGCGAACGCCGCAAGCGTCGTCGACGAACGGGCCGAGGCGGATGTGGCGTAGCGCGAGGCCCGCGGCCGCGTCGCCGGCGACGGCCTTGTAGACTGCCTCCTTGAGCGAGAAGAAGAGCGCCGCGCGGACGCGCACGTCGACGACGCCGCGCAGCGAGGCGTAGGCGCGGCGCTCGTCGGCGCGAACGACGCGGCGCGCGAGGCGCGCGGCGCCGGCGCGCGGCTCGCGCGCGCGCTCGACGTCGACGCCGACGCCGCCCGCGCGCGGCGCGGCCTCGGCCGCGCGCGCGAGCGCTACGGCAAGCGGCCGCTTGTGCGAGACGGACGCGACCGCGCCGGGGGGCGCGCGCGGCGCGCCGGTCGCTAATCGAAGCAAGGGCTCCGGGCCGGCGGCGACGCCGGCCGCCGCGGCCGCGCGCCGTAGCGCGAGGCGCCCGCCCCAGAAGTCGCGCGCGGCAGGTTCCGAGAAGGCGTTGTCGAGGGGAAACGCGACTTCGGCCGGCGCCAGCTCGGCGAGGACCGGCGACCCGGCTGGCGGCGCGCGCGCGCGCTCGACGCCGACGCCTTGCGGCATCGCGACGCCCACGATGCGGCCGGCACCGGGCACGTCGAGGTCGAGCACCGTCGCCCACGCGCCGTCGCCGCCGGCGCGGCGCGCCGACACGCGCCGCCTCGCGCGCGACGAACGAACGCCGCAGCTAGTGCGGACCTCTAGGCAGCGCACGCCGCAGCTCGCGGCCAGCGCGAGCGTCGAGAGGCCGGTTTTTGTGGGTGTGAGCATGCAGTCTGGAGCCGTCTGGGGGACCAGGCAAGTTGCAATTTAGAGATGATGCTCCGCCGCGGAGCATGGAGGCGAATTGGGGGCGTCCGTAGGTACCACGGTACCTGCGGCAGGTAACCGTACCTGGTACTCGGTACCGGTACTGCGGTAGCTAGATTTTTGGCGGATGGCATAGAGGTGGCATAGCCATAGCGATGCATAATGCGGTCGTCCACGCGGGCGACTGGGAGCTGCGCGTGCGCGCCGGCCCGATGCTGCGGTCCGCGGAGACGCGGAGCCTCTGCGCGTCGTGGTTCGCGCCGCGGCGGCCGTGGTGCGTCGCCGGGCCCGGCCCGCCGGCCGACTGTCCGTGCGGCGCGCTCGACCTGTGCGGCGTGGCCGCGCACGTGCCCGAGGCCGTGCACGGACGGTCGTTCGTCGAGGCCGTGCACGCGCCGACGGGCGCGCGCGTCGCAATCGACGCCCTCCACGCGCTGCGCGGCTGGGCGGCCCTGTCGGCTTCGCGCGACGCCGCCGGCGCGTTCGCCAGGTGCGAGCGGTCGCCGTTCTGGGCGCAGGAAGAGGCGGCGGCCGTCGCGCGCGCGCGGCGCGGCGCCGGCGGGGCCAGCGAGGCCGACGACGCGCGCGCGCGGCCGGCGCCGGCGTGGGACTGGACGTTCGAGACCGACTACGGCGGGACGCTGGGCCGCGCCGGCGACGGGGCGCCGGACGGGAGCCGCGTCGCGGAGGCCGTGGAGCGCGCGCTGAGAGAGCGGCTCTGGGCGCCGGAGAAACGGCCCCCGCGCGGCGCTCCGGCGGCGGCGCCCGCGTGGGTCGAGGACGCGGCGGCGACGGCCGCCGCGTCGCGCGAGGCCGTCGAAGCGGCGTGGCGCGCCGACCCGGTCGAGTACCGGACCCGCGTCCCGCTCTTCGAGGACGCGTTGCACGACGGCGGCCTCTCGGCGCTCGACTGCTCGGTGGCGACGACGCGGCGCACGTGGTTCCTCGTGCTCCGGCAGACGATCGTCGTGCTCGGGCGCTTCGCGCGCGTCCGCGACGTGACGTTTTTCTTCGACGGCCGCGTGTGCTACCGAACCAAGACCGAGCGCGTCGCTGCCGCCCCGCGCGCGATCGACCTCCGGCGCCTCGCGCCCTCGCTCCGCGCGGCTTCGTGGCCGTTCGCCGGCGCCGTCGCCGAGCGCCTCGACGTCGACGGGCGCGCCGTCGCCGCCCCACGCGCGCCGCCGCGCGCCGAGCCAGCGCCGCCCGCGGCGCTGGCCGCGCGCGCGGCGCCCGACGACGACGGCGACGCCGCGCCCGGCGCGCCCGCGGCGGCGGCCGCCGCGGGCGACGCCGTCGTCGTGGCGCTCGCCGTCGACGGCGCGCTCAAGGTCGCGCGGTTTCCGCGCGGCGGCGGCGCCGTCGCGGCGGCGCGCGACGCCGGAGCGCGCTGCGCGGCGACGGCCGTCGCGCGCGGCGGCGCCGTCGTCGCCGCGACGGTCGACGGCGGCGCGGAGCTGTACGAGCTCGGCGGCGACGGGCGCCTCGCGCGGACGCGGACGCTCCTCGCGCGCGCGCCGGCGGGCCTACGTCTGGGCGCCGGCCCGCTCGTCGCCGCGTCGGGCGCGCGCGTCGCGCTCGCGCGCGGCGGCGAGCTGCACCTGCTCGCGCCGCCGGACGGCGCCGCGGCGACGGCGCGGCCGCGCGCGCGTCTTGACGGCGACGTGCCAGACGGGGGCCGGGTCACGGCGCTCTGCTGCCGTCGCGGCGTCGTCGCGGCGACGTTCGCGCGCGGAGCGGTGGCGGCGTGGACCGCGGCGACGGGCGCGACGACGCCGTCCGCGCGGCGCGACGGCGCGCGCGGCGCGACGGCGGTGGCAGCCGCGTCCTGGACCTGCGTTCGCGGCCCCGGCGCGAAGTCCGTCCGCGCGGTCGCGCCGTCCGGCGCGCTCGCGACCGTCGGCGGCTTGAGGGGAGTCGCGCGGGCCGTCGCCGTCCGCGACCGCGGCGACCGCTGCCTCGTGGCCGTCGCCGCCGCGGACGAGGTCGTCGTCTGGGCGCTCGACCGACGCGCGCCCGTCGTCGACCCCGTGGCGCGACGGCGCTGCCTCAGGTGCGCCGCGCCCGCCGCTGTCGTCGCCGTCGCCCTCGGCGCCGCGTTCGTCGCGGCCGTCGACGTCCGAGGCGGCGTCTCGTGTTTCGACCTCGCGCGGCTCGACGGCGACGACGGTCGCGCGGCGGGCCCGCACGACGCGACGCCCGCGTTCCGCCTCGACCGCGACGACGTCGTCGACGCCGTGTGCCCCGAGGACGACGCCACCGCGCTCGCCGCGGCGACGCGCGCGTCCGTCGCGCTGCTCGTCCGCGACGCGAGGCTCGCACCACGGAGCGCTTGAGGTTTGTGTGTGTGGTAAAATTAAGAGAAGTGCGATTTTCCCCCCGCGGGACGCGGGCGGCGGAGCCTCCTCGGAGGCGCGACCGGAGTCTAGTTATAGATTCAAGCCCCCGGGCCTATATTTATGTGCCTAGTTGTTTCAGAAGGTTTGGGATAAACCTGCCTAAAGTTCTGGTTGGTGATATGAATGAAGTATATCACTGGCAAACGGTTCACATTGACTCCGACGATCGGTTAGTGGTATTCACTGAGATCCATTTCAAGTTCCGAGTCTTAGATATGTATCTCCCACTCTCTAATATTTGAGTCTATACATCGAGTGTCAAAAGCACTACGGTGTAACAACAGTTCACTATAAAACACTCTCGTAGTCAGGTCTAGCCAGCCCTCGGCTGGTTAGCTAACACCCTGCTACTTTACATAACGCTGCGACATACTCTTGATACACGGTACCTACGGTACTTGCTGGTACCAGTGGTACCTACGGTACCGCAGTACCGCGTACTGCGACCTGTCTCAACTAATAAATAAATTATTAATTGCGGTTCCGGGCAGCACGTGGGCGGCACCACCGCGGCGATGGACCCGCCCCCGAACGCGCCCCGCTCTCCCAACGGGCGGGACTTCGCCGCGCGCGCCGAGGGCGAGCGCATGGTCCTCAAGAACACGCCAATGGGCCGGGCGCCCCAGGTCAAGCGCGAGATGCGGGAGGAGGACGCCAGCAGCGGAGGCGGTCCCGCGACCGCCACGCGGAGCGGCCAGGCGAAGCGGGCCGCGCGCGCGGCGGACGGCGGCGCGGCGAGTCTACCGCCGGACGCCGCGCGCGCGCCACTCGCCGCGCCGCCGTCCGCCGCGCGGGCGCCGCCGGCACGCGGGGCAGCGATGCTGCGCGGCGCCGCCGTCGACATAAAATACCGTCCGCCGCGCAGGGCGCCCGTTGGCGGGAAGTGGACGGAGGAGGAAGATCGTCGTTTGAGGGAGATCGTCGAGACATTCGGCGCGAAGAACTGGAAGCGGCTCGCGATGCTGCTGGGCACCGTCCGGTCCGACGTCCAGTGCCTCCACCGCTGGAACAAGGTCTTGCGGCCGGGCCTCAGCAAGGGGCCGTGGGCGGCCGTGTGGAAACCAACCGGCGAGTCAGCTTCGCAAACGCAGTTACGGAGACGACGGCGCGTCGACGGCGTGAAGCGCCTGGAATTTGAGATCCACACAGGTGGACGGCGGCCGAGGACCGCGTCGTCCGCGACATGGTGCTGCGCCACGGCGCGGGGAACATCAAGTGGAGCGTGATCGCGGCGCAGCTGCCGGGGCGCATCGGCAAGCAGTGTCGCGAGCGGTGGTTCAACCACCTCGACCCCGACATCAAAAAGGGCGACTGGACGCCCGACGAGGACGCGGTCCTCTTCGAGACGCAGCGCGTCCGCGGCAGGGCGGCGGAATCAAAAACTTCAAGGTGCCGAAGGACCGCGTTCTGGCCGAGACGGCGCGCGTCGCGAAGAATTCTCGATTCGCTGGTTCATTCCGCAGGTCCACGGCAACCGCTGGAGCGAGATCGCCAAGCTCCTGCCCGGCCGGACCGAAAACGCCGTCAAGAACCGCTGGAACTCGTCCGCGCGGAAGCGATGGCTCCGCGACCGCGGCCTCCCGGACGACGCGCCGCCCCCGGCGTCGGCGGCGCCCGCGGCGGCGGCCGCCGGGGCGCACGCGCGCGCTTCCTCGACGCGCGCCGCCGCGGCGCTCCGCCCGCCCGCGCTCGCGCTGGGGTTCGACGACGTCGACGTGGGCGGCGCGTCGTCGCTGATGAGCTCGCCAGTCGCTGACCGCGCGGGACGTCGCGCGCATTCGGGGGGGGGGGGGGGGCGTCGTCGCTGCCTTTCGGGGGACGTCGTCCGCGCAGGTCACGGAGCTCCTCGACGTCGACCGCGCGGGCGGGCTCGGCGAGCAGGGTCTGCTGGCGGCGACGTCGGATATCCTCGCGTCGTTCGACGCGGACGCGGACGCGGCGACGCGCGGCGGCGAGGCGCGCGGCGGCGACGACGACTTTGGCATCGACTTTTCGCCGCGCGTGGCCGACGCCGACGCGGACTTCGCGGGCGCGGTCACGCTCCTGTCCACGGACTCGTTCGCGCGCGACACGCCGACGGGGACGCCGCGCGCCGCCGCGCCTCGCGACGCGGGCACCGACGGCGTTCCCTGCGCACCGCGCGAGGCCGAGTTGCGCCGCGCCGCGAGCGCCGCCGTCGCGGCGGCGGCGGCGGGGGAGCAGGACGTGCCGCTGTCGCTGCTCCCGTACTTCCGCTTTCTCAACGAGCGGGGTCAGGCGTCCATCATGAACCAGCTCGTGGCCCAGTTCTCGCGGACGTCGATCGAAGGCACGCCCCCGGTCGTGCCGCCGCTGCCCGCGCCCGGGCCCGCTGCCCCGCGACCGGGATTTCCACCGCCGTCGTTGACGTATTTGCCGCGGTCGCTCATCCCCATACCTCTTGGCGTCCCGATGGTACCGGGGCTGCCGCAACAAACCCTCGGTGCCTTGCCAGGCCAGCCTTGCGTCCCGTTTGGAGCCGTACCACCCGGATCCCAGCCTGTGGCCTTCGCTGCGGCACCGCCGGCGCCAGCCTTTCCCCCGTGCTCCGGCGACGAATCCCTAGGGAAGGGGGTTTAGGACCCAGGGCCTGTGTTATATTCTCTGGGGATTTCCTGGCTCCACGCCCCCGGGAGCCCGGGCCTGGGGACGCCATCATGATGCGGGCGAAGGCCTTAGAAGTAGGGAGACCATCGTGACCCATGCGTCCTCCGTCCTCCGAGTCGCCGATTTGTAATCTTGATTTAGCCTGAGTTGCTAGTACGTCAGGGAGTCACTCGGCCCGGGAGGAGACCGAGCCCCAGGCTACCGTCAAGGCGTATAGCGATTTCAATTTATCCATTCATTGGATTTATGTTCTATTTTTATTCATTGGAGGCAAACGGCCCGGGCCCACAGCGATCTGCTTGTTGCGGTCAAAAAGAAGAAGTTCCTGTTGCCTCCAAAATAAATAAATAGATGATTGAAATCGAGGACGGCGGACACGGCGGTCCGCATCACGGGCAGGCCCCCCTGGCTTACTCCAATAATGGCATGGTGCCAGGCAAAGCCTTACTCTTATTCCTCCGAGTTCCCCGAGGCTTACTTTCGGCAGCTGGATTGCGACTCGGACCGGTCACTGGCATCCGGGGTTCAGCCTCGACTTGTCGTCTGGCCTTATCGGTTCGTTGGCCAGCTTGCGTTAGATCTAGCCCGGTACCTAGCGGCGGGAGGGAGAACAACCGGCGAGGCTCAGGCGGCCGCCTCGCGGTCATCCTCCGCGGCGAGTGCGCCAAACGGCAGGGCCGAGAGCTCGTCGGAGAGGGCGACGTCGATGATGTGCTTCTGCTGCGCGTCGTGGACGGCGCCGTAGCCCTCGGCGGTGGACGCCATGGTCTCGCGGCCGCAGTAGCCCGGGCGGACCTCGCGGCGGTTGAGGACGCGCGTGGCGGTCATGATGCGGTCGCGGACGAAATACCAGGCGCCCTGGTTCTTGGGCTCCTCCTGGGCCCAGACGACCTCCGCGTTGGCGTACGTCGCGGCGTACGCGGCGACTTGGTCGAACGGGAACGGCGAAATCTGCTCGACGCGGACGAGCCTGCGTGGACATCTGCCGGTCAGGCGGCTCGAGCGCAGGGTGCTTCGCGAAAGGTCCCCGCCTCGGCGGGCACATCCGGCTAGCGTCGGGCAGATAGTGAAGGCAAGGCGCCCGGGACGTTGATCTCCGCGCGGGGGCAAGCGCGACGTCCGAGGGGCCGTCGAGCCGGCGGCGCGCCTCGAGGAGCTCGTAGTAGATCTTTCCCGAGCACAGGACGAGGCGGCGCACGTCGGCGTCGGCGACGACCTCGTCGGGGTACGCCTCGCCGTACGTCCGGCGGAACCGCGACCCGGTGGCGAACTCGTCGAGCGACGAGACGGCGAGCTTGTGGCGGAGCAGCGCCTTGGTCGACGCGACGATGAGCGGCTTGCGGAAGTCGCGGTGCTGCTGGCGACGGAGCGCGTGGAAGTAGTTCGCCGGCGTCGACCTGCGGCGACGCGCGTGAAGCGACACCGCGTCGAGGCGTCTTCCGACGGAGACGAGCCAAGCGGGGGGGGGGGTCGGAGAAGGCGCCTCGGACGGGTTCGCGCGCCGGCGGCGACGGGTTGATGATCTGCCAGTTGTTGAGCTGGACCTGCCGCGTCTGGCCCTCGATCGTGTCGAGGTCCGGCGGGATGACGTCCGGGTCCTCGTCGCTGTTCTGCAGGAAGCGCTCGATGCGGCAGGACGAGTGCTCGGGGCCCTGGCCCTGGTACCCGTGCGGCAGGAGGACGACGAGTCCCGTTTGGCGCATCCACTTGGCCTCGCCCGAGCTGAGGAACTGGTCGATGACGATCTGCGCGCCGTTGACGAAGTCGCCGAACTGCGCCTCCCAGATGCACAGGACGTCGGGGGACTCGTACGAGTAGCCGAGCTCGAAGCCGAGGACGCCGTACTCCGAGAGGAAGCTGTTGTGGATGGCCAGCTTCGCCGGCTGGTCCGCGTGTATGTGGTTGACGAAGCAGTACTCGCGGCCGTCGTCCTGGTCGTGGACGACGGCGTGCCGGTGCGTGAACGTGCCGCGCTGGACGTCCTGGCCCGTGAAGCGGATGGGCATGCCGTCCAGGAGCAGCGTGCCGAACGCCAGCGCCTCGCCGAGCGCCCAGTCGACGCCCTCGCCGGACGCCACGGCCTCCGCGAAGCCGGCGAGGCGGCCCCGGAGGCGGCGGTGGAGCTTGAAGCCGTCGGGGACCGTCGACAGCGCGGCGCCGACGGCGGCGAGCGCGTCCGGGGACGCGCCCGTCTTGCCGAAGGCGCCGTGGCCGACGTCCGCCGGCGTGACGATCTTCTGCCAGTTCTGGCCCCAGACGTCGCGGTCCCACGTGAACGTGTCCTTGGCCTCGAACGCCCGGGCGAAGACGTCGTCGACGTGCGCGACGATCCGCGCGACGTCGGCGGCCGGCACGACGGGCTCCGTGGCCGCGACCGTCTCGAGGTACTTGGTCAGCACCGACGGCTGCGTCCGCACCTTGGCGTACATCATCGGCTGCGTGAACGTCGGCTCGTCGATCTCGTTGTGGCCGAACTTGCGGTAGCCGACGAGGTCGACGATGACGTCCGTCTTGAACTCGTGGCGCCACGCGACGGCGGTCTCGAAGACGCGGCAGACCGCCTCGGGGTCGTCGGCGTTGACGTGGAAGATGGGCGCGCCGAACGCCTTGCCGAGGTCGGACGCGTACATCGTGCTTCGGCCCTGCTCCGGCGTCGCCGTGAAGCCGACCTGGTTGTTGCAGATGACGTGGATCGTCCCGCCCGTCCCGTACGCCTCGAGCGCGACCATCTGCATCGTCTCGTAGACGACGCCCTGCCCGGCGAACGCGGCGTCGCCGTGGACGATCACGGGCAGCACGGCGTCGCCGCGCGCGTCGCCCTGGGCGTCCATGCGCGCGCGCGCCTTGCCGACGACGAGCGGAGTGACGGCCTCGAGGTGCGACGGGTTCGGGAGCAGCTCGATCCGCACCTTGCGGCCGTCGGGGTACGACCGGTCGTACGCCGTGCCCAGGTGGTACTTGACGTCGCCGGACGCCGACCACGCCGCGCCGCCCGCGGCCTGGTCGCGGGCCGTCCCCAAAAACTCGCGGAAGATGACCTCGATGGGCTTCCGCACGACGTTGCACAGCACGTTGAGGCGCCCGCCTGCGCGCGCCGCGTGAAGCCCCCCGCCCCTCCCCGCGCCCCTCCGAGCGACGCCGGCGGCGCGCGGTGCGGCATGCCGATGATGACGTCCGTCACGCCGCAGAGCGTGGCCGCGTCGACCATGGTCTTCATGCCGCCGATCATGGACTCGCAGCCCTCGAGGCCGAAGCGCTTGGCCGTGTTGAACTTGGTCGCGAGGACGTTTTCGAACTTTTCGGCGAAGGCGAGGCGCTCGAGGACGTGCGTCCGCTCGTCGAGCGTCAGCGGTTTCCGCGGCACCTCGATGCGCGACCGGAGCCAGTTCTGCTTGCAGAGGTTCGTGATGTGCTCGGCCTCGACGCCGACGGTGCCGCAGTACCTGTGTGGAACTCAAATTTACGGCGCGTTCGTCCTGGATCGCCGCGTCGACCGCCACGCCATCGACGCGACGCCTGCTCGATGGCGTGGCGATGTCGGTTCCTCACCGCTCGACGGAGCCAGCGCTGACCCGACGCACTGGTTGATTTCCACACAGCGCGGTACGTGTCGCGGAGGAAGTCGTCGAGCTCGGCGAGCGTCGTCAGGCCGTCGTCGTTCACGTCCGCGTTGCCGAGGAGGCCGGCGACCTGTGTGGAAATCAAATTTGCGGCGCGTTCGTCCTGAATCGCCGCGTCGGGGTGCACCCGACGCACTGGTTGATTTCCACACAGCCGGCGACCGCCGACCCGGGCGCGGAGGCGAGCCGGAGCGCCCGGTCGGCGTCGCCCGGCTCGAAGCCGTACGTCGCCGGGTCCAGGTCGCGGAGCCGCGGCCGGTCGCCGGCGAGGCGCAGCGGGTCCAGGTCCGCGCGCTCGTGGCCGCGCCGCTGGTACGCGGCGATGAGATGCATCGCGCGCGCCGTGTCCGCGCCCGTGAGGCCCTGCAGCGTCGACTCCGCGTCGCCCGCCGGCACCTGCGCGGCCGCCGCCGCGCCGGCGGCGGGCGCGCCGCCGAGCTGCGGCGGGAGCGCGAACGCGCCCGACGCGAAGTAGGAGGCCCACGACGAGTGCACCGAGGCCGGGTCCCGCTGCCAGGCGAGGTACTGGGCGTCCGCGTACGCCGACGACGTGCCGGTCGCGAACTCTTCCGCCGCCGCCGCCGCGCGCGTGGCGAGCGCGCGCGCCGGTCTCATCCTGGAGAGCATGGTTCGATAGAGTCAGGCCAGGCCCTCGATTCGTAGCAATACCGTGCGGCGGAGCTAAGAAGAGCTAAGAAGGAGCTAGAACCTCCTTCTAGTGTAAGGTCTCCATTCCATACCTCTATTCCATACCGTGTGGACCATAGGGTGCCAATCTGAATAGCTGGCTAGTTACCCTCTAGGACCCCGACGCGCTATTCCTGCGTGGCGACCGGCATGAAAAACACGTCGCCGACGCACCACGCCTCGGCCTCGACGTCGGCGGCGACCTTCTCGACGCGCGAGCGCGGGCCGGCCTCGGTGACGACGACGAAGTAGTCCGAGTGCGGCTTCTGGAGGAGCGAGTCGATGGAGACGTCGTGGCGCGCGCAGATCTCGCCGAGGGCCTTGACGATGCCGATGGCGTTGCGGTACCGGATGCGGATGTAGAAGAACGACTCGAAGTCGCTGCGGAACGCGACGCCGCCGACCTTCTTGGCGAACGGCTCGGGGAGCGCGCCGCGCGCGCACGCGACGACGTCCGAGACGCACGAGTTCGCCGTCGGGAAGCGGCCGGCGCCGCGGCCGACGAAGAGCGACGCCTCGAGGTTGCGCGACGCGACCTCGACCGCGTTCGTCGCGTCCGAGATGGACGCGAGCGTCGCGCCGCGCGGGACGAGCGCGGGCGTGACGTACGCCGTCAGGCCGCCGGCGCCGTCCAGCTCGGCGACGCCGAGGAGCTTGATGGTGCCGTCGAGCTGGCCGCGCGCGTACTCGAAGTCGATCGTCTCGAGCCCGGCGATGCCCGTGCACGAGATGAGCGTCTCGTCGACGTCGACGCCGAAGGCGAGGCGGACGAGGATCGCGAGCTTCGACCGCGCGTCGAAGCCGCCGACGTCGAGCGTCGGATCCTCCTCCGCGTAGCCGAGCGCCGTCGCCTCGGCGAGGCAGTCGGCGTAGCTCAGGCCCTCGGCCTCCATCTTCGTCAGCATGAAGTTCGTGCACCCGTTCATGATGCCGCGGAGCCGCGTGACCTCGTCGCCGACGAAGTCCGTGTTCATCGTGTGGATGATGGGGATGCCGCCGCACACGGCGGCCTCGTACCCGAACTGGACGCGGGGCGCGCCGGCGCCCTGCGCGGCGTTCGCCTCGGCGACGACGGCCTCGATCTCGGGCAGGCAGTCCGCGATGAGCGCCTTGTTGGCCGTGACGACGTCCTTGCCCGCGCGCAGCGCGCGGAAGACGACGTCCTTGGCGAGCGTCGTGCCGCCCATGACCTCGACGACGAGGTCGACGTCGTCGTCGCCTGTGTGTGCGAATCGATCGCCTCCGGACCGAACAAAATCGACGGGACCGTAACTTCCGCGCCGGTCGCCGCCGAGCACCGCCTCGAGGTCCTCGGTGACGACGCACCCGGGCGGCGCGGTCCAGTCGCGCGCCTTGGCCGCGTCGCGCACGACGACCGCCTTGACCTCGAGGCCCACGCCGCCCGTCGCCGCCACGAGCTGCTCGCGCCGGCGCTCCAGGATCTCGACGATGCCCCCGCCGACCGTCCCGCCGCCGACGATGCCGACCTTGCGGACTTGCGCCGCCAGCGGTGCCCCCCGCGCGGACGCCGCCGGCGCGGCGGGCGCGAACGCGAGGCCCCGCGCGCACCACGACGCCACGAGGACGCCCAGGACCATCATCTCCGTTGACTTTCGAGAGGGCGTCTCGGGCGCGCCGCGAAAATACGGCCTCCTTTGTGTAAAGCTTGTAGCGCTAGACCTGCGGCGTAGCCCGACGTCGTATGGCACCTCGACTCACCAGTTGCCGTGAGTCTGCGGTACCTACTCTCGAGGTATGGTATCGTAGGTACCGTATCGCATTCCTTAGAGAGAGAAACCTACTAGCCCTTCCTACCCTAGATATGTATCTCCCACTCTCTAATATTTGAGTCTATACATCGAGTGTCAAAAGCACTACGGTGTAACAACAGTTCACTATAAAACACTCTCGTAGTCAGGTTGGCCCAGCCCTCGGCTGGTGAGCTATAAATCATTCTTTGATTTTCTACCAACACGCCATCAATACTGAGACTCCATCGAACTACGTTATTTGCGTAAAAGCTTGTGCCAGTGTGTGTTGCAGCATGATCTTGATCTGCAAGAGTTTGAACAAAACTTGAAGTTATCCCCAAGAGTTCAAGTTGCGAGTAACTTGCACCGAGATTAATAGTGTAATTAGTCGAGCCTACAGGAATGCTATTGCGATAAGTACCTGTTCCCATTGCCATACATTGCCATAGAAATCATTAGACCCCCAAATCGGCCACCCAGAACCATGGATTTCGGTCGTAATATAACTTGAATTGAAGTAGAGCTCATTTTGCATCCAAACGGTTAGCGAACGGGTTTTCCCGTGAGCGTCCGTTTTGATGCAAAATGGGCTCTACTTCATATACTACTCTATCTTAGCAGGCTACCAACAAACCAGCCCCTGCCGCGCCACGCTAGCCCAGAGCTCCAGGTCGATCGCGTACTTCGTGCGGACAACCTCCTCCAGCTCCTCCGTGATGTTGACCGCGTGCGGGCGCGCGTTGAGGTGAGGTAGCGTCAGGTTCTCCGCGAACCGGGGGAACAGGCCGTGCTCGACGTCGAGGAAGTGGTCGAGGGTGCCCACACACACGAACGCTGCGCCGTGGTCCCCCGCGCCGTAGCCGGTCATGTAGGACTGGATGTTTGCGTGGTCGAAGAACCCATAACGGCTGCTGATTGAACGGTTCATGTGGTTCGCAGCGCTGATGACCCACTCGTAAGGGTCGCGCGCGACGGAGAAAAAGCACGTCTCCGAGAGCCACGGGTACCCGTGCCGCTTTAGGTCGGCGATCGGCGTCTCGGCGGTCACGATAATTTTGCGCTCGGTTCGGTTCGCCATCGCGAGGAGGTCTGGGCGCGCCCAATTGTGGTTTCTGCCGTGGGAGACGTAGACATTGCGTTTCGGCCCTAAGCTAGTGTATTGGACTTTGTCGGAGTTGCTTCGCTTGAGCACGTCGTTGATCGTGGAGCCGGCGGTCTTTGGGATGTGAATGAACCACACGATGGGACACTGCGCGATGCCGGCTTCCCAGACGTGTAGGCTAGTAGGTCTACGAGCCTGTTGCTCGCCGATCTCCACTCCTGGCGCCGCCGCCAGGAGTCCCAGGCTTGCAAGGGAGCGATAACGCAACCGCGCCTTCATTTTTTTAGATTCCAAGGGGCCGTACCGTATACCTACGGTACCTACGGTACCTACGGTAGAAGGTATAGATACATAGCATTGCATTACATTACCAACGATAGGCAAGCCCTCTTGATGGGATCAGGATGCCCCCCGTCAGGCCCGTCAGGATGTGGAACTGGCCACTGGCTCCGGCGCGTTGCTTGAGCTCCCGCGACGCGCACTTGAGCTCCCGGGCGCGTGCCAGTGGTCCGGGGTCCCTGGGGGTTGGCGCCCGTTGTGGCAACGGCCCCTTTTCCACTTATAAATCTCCCAAATTTTATCTTAGCTTCACTATCCTGGTCCCATTTATCTTAGTTAGATACCCGGATAGAATAGGCCTAGTGAATACGGTACCTACGGTACCGTGGTACCTACGGTACCTACGGTACCATGGTACCACGGTACCTACGGTACTCCTCGTCCGTGCATTCTCCAAGGAGGAACCGGCGGTTCGACGGCTGCCCGACACACACGAAGCGCCACGCAGCCACAAACGATGGACGCGCCGGCGGCGCCGGTCCGCTCGCGCGGCGCCCGGTGGGCGCCGCGCCGGTCGCACCGCGTGGTCGCCCTCGACGACGCGTCGCTCGTGATGGTCGGCGGCTTCGCGAGCGGGGCGGGCGGCGGGTCGTCGGCGGAGGTGTGGACGGCGGCGCGGGACGACGACGACGCCTGGCGCTGGCGCCTCGCGGTCGCGCGCGCGCCGTTCGGCCCGCGCGACGGCCACGCGGTCGCGGTCGCGGCCGACGGCGCCGCGCTCGTCATCGGCGGCGCGACCGCCGACGCGCTGACGGCGCACGACGTCTGGCGCAGCGCCGACGGCGGCGCGACGTGGACGCTGGCGACGGCGACGCCCGGGTGGGCCGGCCGGACGCACCACGAGGCCGTCGCGCTCGGCGACGCCGTCTTCGTGCTCGGCGGCTTCGGCGAGTTCGGCTACTGCGACGACTGCTGGGCGTCGCGCGACGGCGGCGGCACCTGGGAGCGGCGCACGGCCGCCGCGGCGTGGGGGCCGCGCGCGATGCACGCGGCGTGCGGCTTCCGCGGCGCGCTCTACGTCGCCGGCGGCTACGACGGTCGCGAGTGCCGCGGCGACGTCTGGGCGTCCGTCGACGGCGCGCGGTGGAGCCGCCTCTGCCACCGCGCGCCGTGGGTGCCGCGGCGGGGGCACGCGGTCGTCGCCGCCGGCGCGTGCCTCGCGCTCGTCGGCGGCGAGGGCGGCGGCGGCGCGGGCGAGTCGCTCGGCGACTGCTGGACGAGCGCGGACCCGCGTCGCGCGGCGCGCAGTCCAAGGGCGACCGGTCGATGCGCGCGCAGGCGACGACGGCGCGTCGTGGGCGCTCGTGGCGTTCGGCCTGACGCCGGTCCACGCGCACGCGGCGGTCGCCGACCGCGGCGACCCGCCGCGCGTCCTCGTCTTCGGCGGCGCGACGCGCGACCGCGACGACGGCGCCGGCGAGCGCGACGCCGCGCGCGGGCCGGACGACGCGTTCGCCGTGCGCCTCCCGCCGCGCGCGCGCGCGCCGCCGCGGGCGGGGCCGCCCGTCGTCGCGGTCGCCATGCGCGCCGTCGTCGGCGCCGTGGCCGAGCTCCGCCAGCTCCGCGCGGCTCTCGGCGAGGTCCAGCGCGGCAACCGGCAGCTGGTCCGGCTCGTCCGCCGCGCCGAGCGCTGCGACGGGGTGGACCGCGCGCTGCGCGCGACCGCGGCCGACCTCTCGTCCGACGCCCCGGTCGCGGCGCCGGCGGCGGCCGCCGACCGCGCGCAAAACGCAACGACCACGACGTCGGCCGCCGCCGCCGCGGAGAGCGTCGGCGCGCACCTGGTGGCCGCCGCGGGCCGGCTCGCGCGCGCCGTCGCCGTCGCGCCGGCGTGGGCCGGCGCCGACGCGGCGGCCGCGACGTCGCCGGCGGCGCCGCTCGACGGCGCGGCGTCCATCCGGTCGCGCGAGAGCTCCGTGACGAGCGTGCAGAGCTTCTTCGACGCGCGAGACGTCGCCGCGCCGGCGCCGGCTCCGGACCTCGACCTCGCCGCGTTCGGCGTCGACGACGAGGACGACGGCGGCGCCGGGGCCGGCGACGCGACCCTGGCGCGCGCGCGCGACGACGCGCTGGCCTGGGACGCGGCGCTCGGCCGCGAGTGGCGCGACGCGGTCCGCCCCGCCTACGAGGCGGTCGAGCGCGAGGCCGTCGCGGGCCTCGACGCGCGCCGGCTCGCGGCGCAGGTCGACCGACGGCGCGCGGCGGTCTCGCGCGGCGGCGCGGCGGCGCGCCGCGCGGCGCGGCGCTTCGCGGCGCTCGAGGCCGCGGCGCGCGAGGCCGCGGCCGCGGCGGGCGCGGCGCGCGACCGCGTCCGCGCGGCGCTCGCCGTCGACGGCGGCCCGTCGGGCGGCGCGCGGCCGCCGACCGCGGCCCTCGCGGCGTCGGCGTCGTTCGAAGATCTCCGGCGCACGGCGCGCGCCGCGCTCGAACGCCGCGGCGCGCCCGCGTCGCCCGCGGCCGGTCGCGGCGCCGGCGCGGTCGAAGACGACGACTTCGAGGCCGCGGCCGCGGCGCTGGCCGCGCACTGCGCGCGGCCCCGGCGCGCGGAGTCGGCGCGGCGGCACGCCGACGCGGCCGTCGCGCGCCTGCGCGACGCGCTCCGCGCGCGCGCGGCCGCCGCCGCGGCGCTCTGCGCGGGCTCGCTCGCGGGCGACGCCGACGCGACGCGGGGCGACGCCGACGCCGACGGCGGCGACGACGACGGGGCGCGCGCGGTCGACGCGGCCGCGACCGCGCGCGCGTTGGCCGCGGCGGACGCGTGGGACGCGGACGCCGCGCTCGCGCGCGCCAAGGTCGACGCGCGCGACGCCGCGGGCGCCGAGCTCGCGGCGATCCCGCGCGAGCTCGACGACGCGCTCGCGCTCAAGCGGCGCCTCCTGCGCGCGGCCGACCGGCGGTGCGCGGCCGCGCGCGCGGCGGCGGCGGCGGTCGCCGACGTGGCGCGGCGCCTCGGGCGGCGCGCGGCGCGTTGGGCGGCCTGGTACGCCGCGGCGGCGGCACCGACGCGCGGCGCGGCGCTCGTCGCCGCCGCCGAGCGCGCGAGCGACGCGGCGCTCGCGCTCGAGGACCGTCGCACGGACGTCGCATCCGCGCTCGACAAGGCGACGCGGCGGGCCCGGATGCGCGCGCGCGGGCCCCGCGGCGACGCGCCGCCGGCACCACCGGCGCCTGCGCGCGACCTCTTCTCCGGCTCGTTCGAGGACCTGTTCGGCGGCGCGCCGGCGGCGCGCGCGCCGGCGGCGGCGGCGGCGCCGTCGCGCGGGTCGGGCGCCGCCGCCGCCGGAGACGACGTCGCCGCGCTCGCGGCGACGCTCGCCGACGTCGAGGCGCAGCTCGCCGTCGCGCGGCGGGCGCGCCGCCGCGCGGTCGCCGAGGCCGCGCGCTGCGCGTACGCCGAGCAGCCCGAGCTGGCGTGGGGGTCGCGCGTCATCGTCGACTCCATCGGGCGCTTCAAGCTCCTCGGCGACCTCGGCGGCACCTTCGACGGCGGCGCGCGCGCGCCGGCGACGGGCCGCCGCGCGGGCGGCGGCGGCGCGTGGCTCGCCGCGCCGTCGCGCGCGCTCGCCGAGTTCGAGCTCGCCGCAAGCGACGAGGCACGGGGCCGGGCGACCGACGCGGTCGACGGCGCGACGGGCGCGCGCGTCCTCCTCGTCGCGTGCGCGCTCGACGAGCGCGACGACGACGCGTGGGCCGCGCACTTCCGCGAGGTCGACTTTTGGCTCGCCGCGCCGCGGCACGCGGCGGTCGCCGCGCCCCGGTCGCTCGTCGCCGCCGCGTGGGCGCCCGTCGCCGCGTTCGACGAGTCGGGCGGCGACGACGCGCGCGACCTCGCGCCCGCGCCCATGCTCCACGTCGAGTTCCCGGCGTACGCGGGCACGCTCGTCGGCTGGGCCGCCGCGCGGGACCCGCCGCGCGCGCCGTGGCACGTCCAGGCCGTCGCGCGCCAGGTCCTGACGGCGCTCCAGGTCCTGCACGCGGCGGGCGTCGCGCACGGCCACGTCGATCCGCGCGCGGTCGTGCTGCTCGCCGGCGACCCGCCGAACCGCGCGCAGCTCGCGACGCGGCCGCTCGTCGCCGCGCTCGCCGCGGACGCGGCCGCCGAGGCCGCGGCGACCGAGCCCGCCGCGCAGTTCGTCGCGCCCGAGGTCGCCGGCGGCGGCGGCGCGTCCGCCGCGGCAGACGTGTACGCGTTCGGCGCGGTGCTGCGGTGGCTCTGGCGCGCGACGGCCGCCGGTGGCGGCGCCACCGGCGGGGCGCGCACAGGCGCGCCGGCGGCCGGCGAGGACGAGCTCCGGACGCTCGTCGCGCGCCTCCTGGTCGCCGACCCGCGCGCGCGGCCGTCCGCGGCGGACGTCGCGCTCCATCCGTACTTCACGGACTCGTACGTGGACCGCTACGTCGCGGGCGGGGACATCGTCGGCGTCAACGCCAAGCTCGCGGCGGTGCGCGACCTGCTCGCCGCCGTCCGGTCCGCGTCGCGCCGCGCGCGCGCGGACCTGGCCGTCGCGCGCGGCCCCGGGCTCGCGGACCGGGTCTTGGCCTTCTTCGGGCGCGACGCCGTCGCCGCGCGGCGCCGCGGCGGCGGCGGGGAGGACGGCGCGGCCGGCGTCCCGCCCGCGCGGCGGCCGCTCCGCGTCACGTTCGAGGGCGAGGCCGGCGTAGACGAGGGCGGCCTCGCGCGAGAGATGTTCGCGCTCTTCTTCGAGGGCGCGCTCGCGCCGGCCGCCGGGCTCTTCGAGGACGCCGGCGGCGAGGTCCTGCTCCCCGCGCGCCTCCCGCGCGGCGAGGGCGCGGCGGCGCGCGCGGCGCGCGCCGACCGCCTCGAGGCGTTCGGCCGGGCGCTCGTCGCCGCGCTCTACGAGGGCTGCGGCGCGCCGCCGCGCCTCGGGCCGAGCCTCTTCAAGTACCTCGCGCACGGCGCGGCGCACGCTGCCGCCGGCGACGGCCGCGCGCTGCGCGACCTGCAGAAGTTCGACCCGGCGCTCGGCGCGTCGCTGGAGCGCATGCTGGCGCGCGCCCCGCCCGACGGCCAAGGCTGGGGCCTCGACTTCGGCGACGTGTCGTCGTCCGACGACGACGCCGGCGGCGGCGCCCGCGCCGTCACCGAGGCGAACAAGCACGCGTTCGTCGTGCTCAAGGTCCGCCGCGCGCTCGTCGGCCGCCGGCGCGACGCGCTCGAGGCGATACGGCGCGGCTTCGTCGCCGCGCTCCGCGAGCTCTCGCCCGAGGCGGCGCCGTTCCTCAAGCTGTTCTCGTCGACGGACTGGCGCGTGCTGCTCTGCGCGGACGACGACCGCCTCACGCCCGACCGAGTCCTCGACGCGCTCGCGTTCGTCGGCTGGCCCAAGCGCTCCGTCGTGCCCGACGCGCTCAGGCGGAGCGTCCGCGCCTTCGACAAGGACTCGCTCCGTCGCTTCCTCGTCTTCGCGACGGGCTCCCCGGGCCTCCCGTCGGCGCCGGGCTTCGAGATCCAGGTCCGCGCGCAGCCGCGGTCGCCGGCGCTGCCCGTCGCCCACACGTGCTTTTTCCACCTCGACATCCCGGACTACGCCGACGAGGGCGAGTTCGTCGCGAAGCTGACGACCGCCATCCTCGAGTGCGGGACCTTCGACCGCGTCTGACGGCCGGCGGTCGCCGCGGCGGTCGCGGTAATTAATGAATAAGGATATATATGTGAAGCGAGGACACGGCGGTCCACATCACAGCGCCTTGAGGCTGGCGCCTTCGCGGGGCCCTGCCACTAGGCTAGGGCAACGCTCTTCAAGCATGGTCGAAGGCCCTTGGAGCTTGTTTCTTAATTTTAGTAGGTCTTCCTTAGTTTATTAAATCTCATTGGTATAAGCTGCCAAAGCTGTAGCAGAAATGTGGGGTGCGGTACTAGAACGACCCCCTGCAACGGTGTGAGTAAGTTTCCTATCCTATCCCATGGACCTACGCAACCGCAGGAGCAATGCCCGGGGCGGGTACTACCGAGTTTGGCGTTAGTGACTCCCCCATGTAATATTTGCACTATGAATGAATGGGGTGTAAACCTTCCTTACGTCAAGGTGGGACTAGAGGGGACTAGTATTGTACTAGTGGTATTATTGGTTCTACAGGGGTTATATTCCTCGCAAACTTACCAGTGAAAGCAGCGGTCTCTTCTGCCAGTCTCGCGTCACGGCGGTGTATAGTTCTCCTATCCGATGTGCTCATTCAGGAAGCTCCAAACAGCGCCTCCTCGTCACGTGTTTCGCCCACAGCAAGTACACGCGACGCTTTTCGTCTGTCTAGGCGTCGCGGGCATCTTTGCGGGCTAAAGAAAAACCCGTTTGTGAGCTAGCGTCTGTAAGACACTAGGCATCAGGGGGCTGGTCTAAAGAAGAGCATATAAGAAGTTTTAAATTGTAAACTTGCAAATAACAACCGCCTGTGAAGTTGACTACATGTACGAAAAGATAAAAAAACAAGAGTATCATCCTGTTGTGCACCTAAAAGAGCTAGCTAGATGAGTCGAGCGCTCGCGCGCCTGCAGTCCTGGCTGTCGGGCCGCCGGCGCTGGACCGCTGGCGCCGTGTCCCCGTGGCGCGACATCCCGGCGTCGATTCCGCGACCGAGCTACGCGCGCACGGGGCACGTGCCCGCGGGCCCGTCCTCCGCGGTGGTCTGCGACGACGAGGCGGTCGAGAAGTTGCGGCGCGCGGGGCGCCTCGCGCGCCGCATGCTCGACTACGCGTGCGCGCTCGCGGCGCCGGGCGTCACGACGGATGCCATCGACGCGCTGGTGCACGACCGCATCGTCGCGGCGGGCGCCTCCCAGCGCCTCGACTGAGCCCTCCGCCTCCGCCGCGACTGAGCCGTCGGCGCCTCGCAGGCGCGTATCCCGCGCCGTACAACTACATGGGCTTTCCCAAGTCGATCTGCGCGTCGCCAAACGACGTCATTTGCCACGGGATTCCGGACTCGCGCGTCCTCCGGGACGGCGACGTCGTCTCGTTCGACGTGAGCGTTTTCGTCGACGGCGTTTTTGGCGACAACTGCGGCACCGTGTGCGTCGGCGACGTCGACGCCGCGGGCCGCAGGCTCGTCGACGCCACGCGCGGGGCCCTCGACGCCGCGATCGCCGTCGTCCGACCCGGCGCGTGCCTCACGGAAATCGGCGACGCGTGCTCCGACGCGGCCGACGCCCGCGGCTACGGTGTCGTCCGCCAGTACTGCGGGCACGGCATCGGCACCACCTTCCACGCGCCGCCCCTCGTGTCGCACTGCCGCAACCAGAACAAGTTCCGGCTCCAGAAGGGCCACGTGTTCACCATCGAGCCCATGCTCACGGAGGGCAGTCCGGAACTCTACGTCGCCGGGGACGGCTGGACCGTCCTCACGCGCGACGAGCAGCGCGCCGCCCAGTTCGAGCACACAGTGCTCGTGACCGACGCCGGCCACGAGGTATTGACGGTGCCGCCACCTGAGGGCGAGTGATGCGATCAATAAAAGTGACTCGGGATGATGTATAGTTAGGAGTGGGACTCGGAGGCGACTTCTTGAAAGTTCAAGTTCCCCCTGGGTGCTAGACCTGGGTGCAGCAAGTGCACAATGCAGCTGTTGTAGCTAGGTCTCTCGGGTGTCAATGTGACACGGAGATGCCAACAGGAAGAACTCTCACTGAAACGTGAGAGTGTGGGAACCCCCTCAACCCTGACTCGGAGAAGACAGCCTGAGAGTTGGAATAAAGGAGATTAAGAGGGAGAAGGAAGTATCCTAAGATACAGGCCACTAGCCTCTGATATCTACTAGAACCTGAGAGGAGCTCTAGATAAAGGTAACTACAGTATCATAGCACAATCGCTGTAGTTTCTCTCTCTACGTGCGGTACCGTAGGTAGGTACCTACGGTACGATGTCATAACAGGTACATACTGTACCGTTACCGTACGTATGTACCGAAGGTCCCAAATGAGGACAATGCCCTTTCGGAGTGTCACCGCATCAAGGCAGCTTAATGGCACGCATCGATCTGCACGAGTATGAGGAATCGGCGTTCGTCGCCAAGCAACGAAAGATAGAGGCAGGCGAGATCACCAGCGTCACGTCGAGCCTCGCGCGTCCTGCCCAGATCAGCAACGAGGCATCTGGCGTGGGGCTGCGCGTTGACTCGAGGATCGCCTCGGGTTACGGCGCGACACGAGAAGTTGAACTGCGCAGGAGCGACCACGAGACGTCGACACTCATCGAGGAATCGTGCGAGGCCGCCGAGAATGCGGCAGTCCTTGGCGCTGCGACTCTCGATCGCCTTGTCGACCAGCGCAAAATTCTCGACGTGACGAGTCGGCAAGCTGGAGACATGCAACGCATCGCGACGCTGTCAAATTCAGAACTCAACGCGATCCAAAACCGGCGTCGTCGGAAGAGGGCGGTTCTCGCGCTGACTGCTGCCACGCTCGCGGCGGTGGACTCGTGGCTGTTCTATCTGCTCATTAGGCGCGGTGGTAAGTTATAGGAATTACTTGCTACTCAGGTTGCCATATACTAGTAGAAGAGAGATATAGGGGTACCTGATGCCCATCTCGCGCCGCGGACGTCGAGCCGGGCGATGCTTTTGGTATGCTTTTGGCACACCATCAAGCTAAATGGCCACTGGCAAGTTTGCGAATCCACCCCACGCAACAGGTACCTAAGGGTCCTCGGGAGACTACATCACCGGCGTGGGCGGCTTTCGTTTTGGCAAAAAAAAAACGAAACATGAGGGTCCCAACATGACAGGGCAACTTGACACTATCATGATGCCAGTGGTACTCGTGGCCCCGTCCCTTAGAGCCGTGTCCCACCGCGAAAGTCATCTCTCCCGAGTAAAGCGGTGTCGAGGCGTCCTTAGGATGCCCCCAGGTGCCTCAGTTCCAAGAACGAATCTGGAAATTCGGCTTCCTCCTCTAGCTTCCCGGGAAGCCTACCCGGGGCCCAATCCCCGGCTCGGACGGGCCGGGGCCGTCGGAGGGCCCGGGGTGATTCACAGCCTGGGGCGTATCATGGGTGCGCTGCTAGGGGGGTGATTGCCAGTCTTGCTTGTTTACATTCTGACTAAATCAAAGCAGGGTCACGGTGGCTTCGCACGTCGACTCACGAGGCAGCCCGCTCGCCGGAGGGTGGCTTCGTCTCTTGGTTTCATGCCAAAGACGCAATTGTGTTGGCGACTACGTCGAATCTTTACAAATGAGGCACATTGTTCCTGGGGCATGCCCGTGAAGAGTACTCGCCGAAACCCGTATTTTTCGAAGGTTTCTCGAACCTGGAACTCGAAGTCGCCTGCGTTAGGAAACAGGGTCTCGCCCAGGTCCCAGCGACCCAGGAGCTTTTGCATGGCCGAATGGGAACCGAGAAAGAAACCGTTCGTGAATCCGTTCGCGTCAGTGTTCCGAGTGCCATAGACGAGCGCCTCGTTCGCTTTGACAGCGTCGACGTCGCCCTTGGAAATATTGTAGAAGGGGAAAATGTCGGCAGTGACGGCGACGACGGCGTCGTATTTGGCATTCGACCTCGCCAAATATCGACTCACGCGCCATTCCTCGTAGAGCTGCCGCACGGCGTTCTTGGTCATCGCAGGCGTGTAGGGGTTCCAGTAAATTGTCTTGTTGCCTAAAATCAGTATCCAAATGAGATGGATTGTTTTCGCATGAGAGCACCTTTGTGGCGATGCATTCCGCCCTTCGCATAGGAGCACGCGTGGAGCCGACAGTAAGCCGCCACGTGCTCGTCAACAATGTGCTGCCTTTCACGCTCGTAAGTGTCCGAGAAGGAGGCAAGAAAATTACTGTCTTCCAGGGACGAAACCGACACGCTGTCGATGACTGAAACGGCATTCGCAAAAGTGTACACGTCGACGACGTCCTGTTGCCGCAAGTTATCTACCATCTCCAACAGTCGCCCTTTGTTGCAGCCCCCGGCACGGCTCGTTACGCCGTACATCGCAAACAAAAGTTTCCCCGACACCAAACTGGGAAGCCAACACAGAGCGACCCTTGGAGTCATGGTGCCTCTCCACTGGGCGGGAGATAGACATTGCTCATCATTGCCGTCCTCTAAGCCTGGGGGAAGAAGCTAGGTCGCTCTCATCTGCTAATTTACCTACGGTACCGTACCGTAGGTAGTGCTATGAATCATACCTACGGTATTATGATATGGGCACGTACAGTATATGGGCACATACGGTCTTTATTTACGTCTACGAAGCTCCGGGTATTCAACCCAGCCGCCTTTGGCAGCCAGGGAGCATGGGACTAGTATCCCTAAGCCGGACATTGGTCCCCAGATGAGTACGCCTCTAGAGCACGCCGTCCTGTTCGACCTGTCGCGCAGATCACTGGCAACTTCAACTTGAAGTGATAGGGATGGGGCATTTTTCTACTAGAAGTAGCAAAATCTGTAGGCATTGGTGGTGAGTAGATTCTTCTTTAATAGCTTCGACTCGGAAAAGAAATCAGCAACATGAAACGGTCCGGGACACCAGTAGGGTCGAATCTTGCCCATCTCATGGTAATCCCTCACCCTGAATTCCCGCAGAGCAATGTGGCCGCTGGCACCGGAGACCATTATTGCAAGTAAGGACTTTGAACGAAGGGAGGGAATGTGCAACTTGAATGGGCGTGGAGCCATTGCCCGGGAGATTTGTTGCAATGCGCGGTGCTATGTGGTGCGCGGCCGGTGCAACTCACCGCAGAATTGTTTCTTCGTCGACTATCTAAGTCTACGGTCCAGGGCGCCTAGATTCGGATCTACGGTTGGCACGCAGGGCACCCTGCTACCACCGCATCGATAAAATCACTCCAGGCGGCTAGGTGGACGCGCTGCTCCGTGCACCGCGCTTCGCACGCGTCGCGAACCAGCTCCTGAGGGGCTCGGACGCACGACAGAGGCCAAATCCAGTGGGCACGCCAGTTGCCCGTGTTACTATAGTCGACTTCTCCAAGAGCCACTCGGGAATTACCACTAAACCAAGCACTTTGTAGCATCGGTGGCTGCTGGCCTGCAAATGATGCCCTGTAGGAGGCGAGTCTGTTGGCTGATGGAGGTCCAGAAGCAACGAAGCGCTTTTCTGAAGCTGCATAAAGGTAAAAATCATCTAAGACATCACCATCGGCGGCGGCCTCAGTAGCTCGGACGCGATACCAGCTGCCGTCGCGCAACAATTTTGCACGGAGCGCGCCCACACGGCTGATAGGGCCTTTTTCTGCGTCAGCTTTGGAATCTGCGCTGTTTGTCAGGACATACGCCGGCGGCCTGCGATGGGACTATGGGGTTGTGCAAATAATCCCCCCCCTCCACTACGCTGCAGCACACGAGCAGCCGATCATGGAGAAAACCTTCAAAACAGATGCGTCAAACTGCTCGGTGAGACCGACAAAGTCGTAAGAACGCAGTGCCTCATATGCAGCAGCCTCTGACTTGAGCCGAGCGCCAAAGAGGTATATTGTTTGGACGTAGAGGTACTTGGCAGCGTGACCCCCGCTCGCGATTTCGCCAATCCACTCGTTCAGCGCCACCTCGAACGCGGTTGTCGCGTTTGGGGCCCCAAGAGCAACAGAGCGGACCTGTGTGTTTTTTTTGTCTACGTCTTCTCTAGCATGTGGTCTCTCATACGTTAATTTGAAGGCATCTACCTCGCACAGCCGCGGAACGATGCTATGGTGCGCATGCTGCGGGTGCAGAAATCGCGCGAGGGTGGCACCGCAGGGCTCGCGGACCATTGTGACGGTGAGGTACTTTTTTTGCGGCAAATAAGCGGCGCGTGCGGCGCGGAGCGCGCGAAATCCAGCTGGCGTCATGTGGCTAGCAACGACGTCGTCAGAAGGCTTACAGTAGGGAGTTCCCGACGCCGGACGATCAGCACTAATCGTGCGACCGACTGCTTCAGAATAGGGGCAAGCTGTCAAGTTACTTGCGCAAGCATAACGACTCCAAAGTACTTCCCAGGTTGATCCTCCCGTGCTAGGGACATGATTAAACAGTACGGCAGGGCGAGTGAGGCGCCGCTCCTGTGTGACGGCCCAGATGGATGCCCAGCAGCTGGCCCGCATTATAATGGAGTACCAATATGACATCAGAAAATTTAAGTGGAAAACACGACTGTTACGTGATTAGGTTTAACGTCGCTTATACTGCCAGTCACGAGACACCCAGGCACTGCGGCGCCGTTGCTGCATTGTGCATTTCCCGCACGGCCGTACCTACGGTACCTATCTAGAGAAACATACTAGCCCTAATATGTATCTCCACTCTCTAATATTTGAGTCTATACAGCGAGTGTCTCTGACGCTACGGTGTAACAACAGTTTGCTATAAAACACTCTCGTAGTTAGGTTGGCCCAGCCCTCGGCTGGTGAGCTAGGACCCTGCTACTTTACATAACGCTGCCAGTGCGACATACTCTTGCTAGGTTATGGGCCCACAGGGTTCTGCCTATTGACGTAGAGTGTTTTACAGTGAATGCCTAGACAAGACAAAACACCTAAAAAGAAAAAGAAATCAGAAGAAATGACCATGAGGGTCCACAGGTCCGAATTCACTGGCAGACTCTACCCGTTCAGTTTGACAGATAAGAACGACTCGGAGATTCCAGTGAAAATCGTTAAGGAATTGGTTACTGATGGATACGCGGTGATGATGATTTCAACGGTAAATTAGCTGAAGACCCGGCTTGAGTTCCAGGAAGGGGGGAGTGAGGTGAAAACTCCCCTAGATATATATCTGCAACGCCATAGCCCCCTGTCGCCGGATCTATGGCTACATTACTCTCGCCTATCAGCACGCTATATCAGCCGGCATGTGCCCGGAGCTGATATTTCTGATATTTCCCTAAGGTCATCGGCTGTGAGGCAAATGTCGTCCGCGTAGAGAAGACAACGGACAATTCCGCCACCGACCAAAACACGGAGTGAACCTGAAGACTAGTAAAGTAAGTTCACTTTAAGCTAAGCCAAGTCACAGTGCCGGTGATAGTCTTCCGCGACGCCTTGTGCGCCGAGGACACGGACGACGCCGGGGCAGGCGCGAGGAGCGCGCACGCGCGCGTGTGCACTCATGAGCATCGTGCGCGTCGGATCCTCCTCGCCAACGTTGCCATTCCAGTGGAGAAAAGCCGGCGCAGCTCGGGCCGCCGGAAGGTCATAGGCCTCGGCCGATGCGTTCCAGGCGGCGAGGCCACGACGAAGTGCGCCACGGGGGCAACAGGCATTCAGGAAGACGTGGCCCTCTCTATCCGTCGCCAGCGCGGGGTTGGTGGCCGCTAGTTCGTGGAAAACAGCCTGGTCCGTAAGGCCAGCGAGTGCTGGGCTTTGTGCATAGGTTTCGAGGTAGGCCTCGAGGAGCTTCACGAGCGGTCCCCGGCCTGCGACGCGGCGCTCATTGCCAAGGGGCGATTTCAAGAGGTCGGAAAATGCACACCATGCCTCAGACACTGCGTTGGACGGCCAAGGTAGAGGCCCGAGTTTAGGAAGGGAAAGATGATGCGCTCGCCTGGTTTGGGGAGAAAGATAGACTCTTCCGGCGCTGTCCCGGCAAGTTTGACGCAGTGGCGCACGACGTCGACGCCTAGCTCGGCGTAGAGGCGGCGGGCCTTTCCAAGGCAGACGAGCTTGTCGCCGACGCGGAGGGTCTGGACGGTCCGGCGGCAGTATAATGACGGCGTTCGCCCCCGACGGAAGGGAAAACAGTAGGATTCGCTGCCGAAGAGGATATCAGGCGAACCCACGTGCGCCCAGCCGGCGAGGGCTGCACCGGGCCCTCTTTGCGCGAGCACGTCGAAACCGTCGACGAAAGCGACGACGTTGTTCAAGCTGGCATCTCGCCTCAAAAAGTTCAGCAGCATCCGAGGCTTGGACTCCAATAGATCGTGGTAGGCCGAACGGTTTGCGCCGAGAATCGTCAGGCGATACCCGTGACGCACCGCGGACGAACCGAGGGCGCAGAGTCCCGGGGGAGCTGAGTCAGCCACAGTCACAAGCTCCAGCGCGTCCCGGGCTAAGCATTGCGCCGCCACATCGCCACGAATGACGAGGATCCACCAGATCAGGTCCGTCCGGTGCGTCATTATTACGGCTGGCCACGCCGGAGCCTCTTCAGTGCGGATTTCTCTGATGAGGCAGGCAGCAGCCTATGCGGGCAGCATCTCTTTTGGGCCTCCTAGCCAGCGCATACTGACAAGTGGTGTCGATACGAGCTGGTACCATGGTACCGTACCACGGTACCGTGGTACAAGATTCACTAGTCGCCATACCCGCTAGGTGGCCGGTAGAATTACGCTGTCGGCCTATGAGTGTTTGAGATCGTTATAGGTGGGGTGCCTAAATAGGTGTTTACCCCAGCGGTTTTCCAACAATGCGATTAATGCATCTTCATTCTCCGCAACGGATAACTTGAACTTGAATGTGTCATCACTGGCAAATTTCAAGTTGTGTTGAGTACCGTTTTCTACAGGGTGTCAATGTGAGATGCCAACAAGTTCAAGTTAGTGGGGGCCGCGGAGGTTTCTGGTGTCCCCGAGGGTTGGTTTTGCCAGTGCCTGGTGGGCGACAATTGAAACCAAACGCTGTCGACGTAGAAACCCGCGAGCTCAGAAGCCCCAGTCTCGATCGCCAGTGATTTATCTTTAGCTTTGTCTTAAACTCCCCAGCCTTAGTGCTCGTCAGGTTGCTCCAAACCACAAAGAATAATGCATGCTACCTACAGTATTCCACTAGACTAGGAAGAGCATGGGTAAGCTCTAGCTGCGCTGCGCTGATGGAAGGTTAAAACTGCCCTGGCACGCAATTAGCCAACTTCCCCCGGGCGTGAATTCCGCCGCGGCGGCGGGTCTATTGGTCACAAATTGTCGAAGCTGCCGCAGCAATTGAAGGAGGACACACCCTAACCATGGCCGACGGCCACGACGCGTGGTACCGCCGGGAGCTCGACCGCGGCCGGCGCTTCCACGGCGCGTTCGCCGGCGGGTTCTCGGCCGGCTACCACAACACGGTCGGCAGCGCCGAAGGCTGGCAGCCCGCCTCGTTCCGGAGCTCGCGTACGAAGCGGCAGCGCGTCGCCGGCGCGCGGCCCGAGGAGATTGGCGACGCGGAGGACGGGCTCCTCGGCCGGACGGTCGCCGTCGGCGCGGGCTACGGGTCCCGCGCGGGCGACGCCGCGGGCCCGGCGACCGCCGGCGCGCGCGCGCCGTCGGAGGCGCCGCATCGCCACGGCGCGCGGCTCGTCCGCCTGCTGCGGCGGCGCCGGAAGCGACGACGCTACGCGACGGGCGCCGGCGAGGAGGACGAGGAGGACCGGGCCCCGCTGAGCCGCGCCGCCGCGGTGCCGATGCTCGACGGCGCCCGCTTCTGCGTCGGCTACGACGGCGCGCTCGAGCGGTCGTCCGGCGCGCGCGCCGGCCGCGACGTGTACCGCGTCGACGACGTCCTCGGCGGTGCCGGGGGGGGTCGCGCGACTCGGACGCCGGCCCTTCGCGACGCGGGCGGCGCGGCGCCGCGTGGTCGTCACCCGTGGTCTCGGCGCCTTTGTCGACGCGGCCCCGCCGCGCAGGCTTTGCGCTGCACGACGACGAGGACGACGTCTACGGGGGCGGCGACGAGCGATTCGCGCTGACGGCGTTCGCCGGGGAGGACGACGGCGCAGGCGTCCGTCCCGGGCGGCTTCTCGCCGGAACGCCAGCGCTCGGCGCCGGCGGTCGCCTACGCGACGCGGCGACGCGGCGCCCGGGCACGCTCGCTGGATTCTCGCGCGCGGCCGCGGTGCCGCCGCCGCCGCCGCCAGCCGCGCTAGCGAGGCCACCGCGGGCATGGCGGGGCGTCCACGCCTTCCAAACTCCGCCGCTCGCGTCGCCCTGGCTCGCCGCACGCAGTGAACGGACCGGCGAAGTCGCCGCCGACGGCGTCGCTCGACGTCGCACGGCGCTCGAGGGCAAAGTTCCGGCGCCCGCCGCGCCCGCGCGGCCGGCGCTCGGCGCGGCGGGCGCCTTCGAGGGCTTGGCCAGGGCCATGGGCTCGCGCTTCGCCACGGCGTCGGCGTCAGACGCGACGCGGCCGGCCGCGGAGCCGGTCCTCCGCGGCGGTCTCTCGGCGGCGCCCGCGCGCCCGCGCGCGCCGTCCGCCGCGGCGGCCCCGCCGGCGCGCGCGGAGCCGGCGTCCTGGGCGGAGCCGCCAACGCGGCTGTCGAATCCGTGGCAGCCGCTGCCGCTCCTCTGCAAACGTTTCGGGATTCCGGTGCCGCGCGTGGTCTCCGACGCCGCGGCGCTCCGCGAGCGCCAATTCGGCGGGGCGCCGCCGCCGCGCGTTACGACCGGCGCTACCGCCTCGAAGAACTTTGGCGCGGCCGTCGGCGCGTTCCTCCCCGGCAGCGACGCCGCGCCCGCGGCGCCCCCGTCGCCCGGAAACGCCGCGCCGGCCGAACCGCCGCGCGCTCCAGATGCCGAGTTTTCCTCCGTTTTCGACCGAGACGACGAGGATTCCCCGGCGTCGGCGCGTCCGGCACCGGCGCCGCCGCAGCCTGCGCCGGCGTCGCGGAAGCCCCCCGGCGATCTGTTTTCCGCCCTGAGATCCGCCCCGCCACCCTCTCGGGCTCGGCGGAAGGAGAAGAGGAGGTCCGGGCAGAAAAAGAAGAAAGAAAGAAATAACTTGAATAAATAAATAAATAAATAAATAAATAAATAACGGTCACGGTCGCCCGGGCCGTGGTGAAAGAAAGAAATAACGGTCGTGGTCACGGTGGCTAGGCAGCCTCAGCCTGAGCCTCAGGCTAACTCTAAGCAAAGCAAACTTGAATAAATACTAGTAAATTAAAGAAGACTAGGACTAAAAAAGACTAGGACTAAAAAACATAAAGGAACCGTGACAACTTGAAGCTCCACTGCGCCAATGACACCAATTTACTACACTAAATTGCTATTTCGAAGCTCCGGTTGGGTATCCTGACTGAGCAGCCTGAGGGAGAAGGCTCTTAGGAGCTTGTTCCTATTTTTAGGTCTTCCTTAATTAACTTGAATTTATTTATTTAAATTATTTAGTAAATAAATTAGACTGTCCGGAGCATCACCTTGCCCTTTCTCCCGAGTAAGGAAACACTGGCAGACCAGAGGAGAGCCCCTTGGAAAGTCACCCTAGGCCCAACGGAGTAAACCAGCACGTCGCTAGCGCAGCGGCGCTACTGGTGCATGAGCGCGTCCACGGCCACGGAAAACGCCGCGAAGCCGACGCACCCTAGACACGCCGCCTGGGGGCCTTGCTTGGCCGCGAGGACTGCCCCCGTGGCGCAGCCCGAGAGGCTCCCGTTGATGGCGTCGTGCCTGCCGCGCGCCTTCTCGAAAAGGCAGTCGCAGCCCGAGAAGAGCGCCGTGATGACGGCGAACGACTTCGTGTACCACAGCGCCTTGTCGCCGAGCGCACGCCAGGCGACGCGGACCTGGTGCGCCAGTGGTGCGGCGGGGATCGCGCGGCCGCCGGGCCCCACGGGCACCGACGGGTCCGCGCCGAGGATGCCGAAGAAGAGGCCCATCATCGCGCCCACGCCCGCGCCCAACACGACGCCCGTCGTCGCCTTGAACGCGCAGCTCTCCTGGGTCAGCCACAGCGGGTTCGGCGGCGGCGCGACGGGCGACGCCGGGAGGCTGAAGTACCTAAAGGCCGGGAGCGCGGAGGCCGGCGCGCGGTACGTGCTCGCATCATCGTCCATCGTCAAACAATGACATCTTAGCGTAGGTTTGCAACCGCTGTCTGTAGACTGCTATTAGTTTTGTGGTGCTACCTACGGTATGTGCTGATCTACCTACGGTACCTACGGTACCGTAGGTACTGGTACCACCCTACCTACGGTACCGTACTGCGGTAGGTACTGCGGTACTCTGAGCTATCCTAACTAGGGTACCTTTCAGCCACGTACGGACGGCTAGAGGCGCCAGGGCTCCCTTGGGTAGCTCTACAAAAACAATGCAAAATAGTCGAGTACCAGTCTCGAGTACCGGGTAAATCAGCAAAACCGTGACGACCGTGACCGTGACTGCAGTGAATTTATATTTTTGGTGTAAGGCTTCAAATTTCCGATCATGTTGTCTTCTAGGCTCTGCAGCGGTCTGCCAAGCACGCGTGACGGCTCTCTCCGCACTTTTGAGGCTAACTTTAGCGGAGTTAGGAAAAAATCGTCCAGTGCTAGTGAGATTTTGCGCTATGACATTGTGCGCGAGACAGATGTGAGTATGGTGCAAAAATATATATACTTAATGGGCTGCCCACGAGTACGCCTGAAGCCGGAAAAGCAGAAGCGTAGAGGCCTGTCGGGGCTGCCATGAGATACTACGCGCTGCTCGCGGTCATGCATGCTGCAAACGTCGATGGCGTCGGCGACCTCCGGCGCTACCGGAGACGCGGCGCGTGGCATCGCCGCGAGCGCGCCTCGAACGCGACGGCACAGGACGCGTCGCGCCGCGGCGTCATCCTATGGGCGCACGGCCGCTCCGCGACGGACACGTTCTGCGAGGCTATGCGGCAGGCCGCACATCTCACGTACTGCCGCAATATCAAGGAGGGATTCAACCATTTGCACGCGGAGGGGAAGCGGCTAACGCGAAACCGACTCAAAAAGTGCGTCCGCCGGGGCCAGCTGCCCGCGCCCGCGAGGAAACCACGGCGCCTTCGAATTGGACCGCATCAGCTCGATGGCGTCGAGAGCGCTGCCGATAATTCACAGGTCGATCATCCCGGCAGGCTCTCGCACATCAAACCCGGCCACCTCTATTCGCAAGGTCTGGCGACGCCCGAGGCGCTGTTCCGGGCCGCGCGGGAGGTAGGCTTTGGCGTCGTCGTTGCCGAGTACCGCCAGAACGCGCTCGCGCGCATGGTATCCAGTTTTGAAATGCGCACGCGCACGCCGGCGGATGCGAAGGCTGTCTTCTGCAAAAAGGACGGCGAATTGGTCAAAAAGTTCGAGTGGGAGCGGACGATTTGGGAGCGCGGCGTCGCCGCCGCGAAGGCAGAGGAATTCACGATAATCGAGTTCACGTTCCTCGAGCTCATTTCGTCGGTATGTACATGCGTGGAACGGGCCACTTCTGTACTTGCGGACTGCGCCGGCGCGAGGTGCGAGTGCCGGGACCAAGTCAAGGAAAACGTGCACATGCGGACGTCGCATCGCGACCGGACGCTGGCGGAGCGGACATCGCCGACGGCGGCGAATTGCATCCGGGCCGCGCTCAGGGTCGACCCGCAGTACGCCTGGATGCTAGACCTGTCGCGGCACGAGCCGCCCGAGGGCGTTTCGAATGCGAATGCGTCGTGGTTAGTTGGTTCTTCTTGAAGTTATCTTCGACGCCTCCCACTTCCTGATAGGTCCAACTTGAACGATTGCTTGTTGTTCTACTAGTAGGCAACATGTGGAACTTGAACCCCGTTGCGACCGAAACCTTGGCTCCGGTACGGCTTTTCTAAAAAGGCACCGCTCGCAACGTCCTCGGCCCCTGGCTTTGGCGACGTCACATGATCAAGCGTGAGAGGGAGAGTCGCTTATTGTGGCTAGTCCCTCTAACACGGACCCCGAGTGCTTCGTCACGGCCGCACTTGCATACAAACATATTTAAACTTGCGAGGAGGAATTTTACGATTTTAATCCGGAGGTCCATACGGAGGAGAATCTGGTGCGGGCTCCGGCATCATGATCTTCATGTCTGTAAGACTATAGACTAGTATAGTTATCTTCCGTTTTGGCTAGAGCTATCAGAAAAGCGCCCCGCGGGCCACTGTTGCTACTAGCACTAGTAATTGTTTTTAGCCCAGTTTCCGAGTCAATGATGTTTGAGCTAGTGCTCGACGCACTGCTCGCACACAGGGGGGATCATGATCACCGCCGAACCCCAAATTTGCCGTATCCCTATGACTAGGCGTTCGGTAGGCCGGCAAATTGAGTCGGAGAATAGGGGGGCGACTTACCCCTCGGGAACGTACCGAAACGGGCGAGCGAAACGATTAGGTTTGGAAATTTTAGTGGCCTGCGAACGTCGCGCCAGTGGCGTTTCGTGCCGAGGTGGCTGGGAACTCGAATCTCAGATTAGGAGAGCCCTCCCTTCAAGTTGCTCGCACTAGGAAGAGTACTACATGTCGTAGCCATGTGACATGGAGCGAACCCGGGCGTGAGTTTGGATAGAAGTTTGGACTGTCTAGCCAGCCGTCTAGGACGCGCCCGGAAACTTAGCCCCCCACTGGGCCTACTTGTGGTCGTCCTTGGACTCGCCCCCTTCCGCCGGGACGAATCTGGGCAGCTTGAGCTTGTCCGGCGGGGGCCCGCCGGACCGCGCCGCCTCCTCGCGCTTCTCGAGGTCCTTCTTGGACTTGACCTGCTCCCAGCTCCACTCGACGGAGCCGTTGAGCTGCTTGAAGCGGTCGTCGGTCTCCGTCTTCTTGTACGTCTCGAGGTACTTGGACCGGTACGCCAGGACCGTGTCGACGTGCGACCGGTGCTTGACGGCGAGGTCCAGCGCCTTGTCCCACTGGAAGGCGCGAATGCGCATCTTGATCGCGCGATAGACCAGCGGCGGCGTCGCCTGCAGCAGGATTCGCTCGGCGTCGTCGGGGCGCCGCTTGTAGAGCGCGAGCTCCGCGTTCCGCGCCTCGGCCGACGGGATCGACTTGACGTACAAAATGTACTGGAGCTTGTCGACCTCGCGCAGCGCGGCGAGCGAGATCTCGGCCACGTCGAGGTTCGACGCCTCGAGCGCCATCGACGCGAGCGCGCACCAGCAGCCGCGGTCCTCGACGAAGCGGCAGACGCCGACGGCCTCGTCCCAGCGGTGCTGCGACCCGTACTCGTGGAGCATGTCCGAGTAGGGCGCGACCGTGGCCGTGACCTGCGCGCCGTCCGCGCGCCGCACGACGATTTTCGTGCCGCGGAACGACGCGACCTGCGCGAGCTGGCCGAACTCGGCGCCGTCCTTGGTCGTCAGCGTCCCCGGCAGGAGGTCGCGGTCCGTGAAGGCGACGCGCGGGTAGCCCCAGACGAGCAGGCGGCCGTCGGCGATGGCGCAGAGGGCCTCGCTCGTCTCGTTCCAGCACGCGCTGTCGACCTGCGTGTGCAGCTTGTGGCCCTCGGCGGTGCCGCAGAGGTAGAGCCAGAGCTCGTCGTTCCGGTCGACGAGGAGCAGCTGCCGCTCGTGCGTCTGCCGCGCCGGCGTCTGGTTCAGCTGGACGGCGGCGACGTCGGCCGTGTGCTTGACCGCGGGCTCGCGCGGCTTGCCGGTCATGACGTCGCAGAGCCGCACGGTCCGGCGGTCCGTCGAGTCGACGACGGCCACGAGGTCCGGGCTCAGGCTCAGCACCGGCGCCGAGAGCCGGTCCGCCCGGAGGCCGGCGAAGCGCGGGGTCGAGACCTTGCGGCCGTCGTACGTGTAGACCGCGACGGCCGCGGGCGTCAGCACCAGGAAGAACTTCTCCGCCAGCTGGATGAAGCTCACGGTCTCCGGCGAGTCGAAGATGTAGGGCGTGTTGAAGTTCGCGACGTTGTAGACGTAGATCTGCGTCGTCGTCGACACGACGAGGTAGCCGTAGCCCAGCGCCATCTCGACGACGCGGTCGCGGTTGAAGTCGAGCGTCTCGTCGATCTCGGTGAGCACGTCTCGGACGTGGATCGAGCGCTGCCCCGTTAGCGTCGCCTCGTAGTTCTTCCACTCGTGCTTCCGCTCGACGACGTGCGCGAAGACGAGCGCGCCGGCGCCGCCCGCGCCGACGAGCTGCGTGCCGTCGGCGGTCCAGCAGATGTCCATGATCGAGCCCGACCGCGGGCTTTCGCGCGAGCAGCTCCAGCCCGTGCGGTCGCAGAGCTTGAGCAGGTCGTAGGCGCCCACGGCGAAGTAGAGGCCGTTCGGCGACCAGCGCACGGCCGTGACGACGTGGACGTGCGGCTGCGACTGGTAGAGCTGGCGCCCGAACGAGTCCCAGACCTTGTAGCGACAGTCCTCGCCGCCCGAGACGAGCAGCCCGTTCGCCGCGTTCCAGTCGAGCGCCAGCGCGACCTGGTCGTGCGCGACCCAGCTCGTCGCCTGGCGCGCCTTCGCGTCGCCGACCGGCGCGACGTGGATCCGGCGGTCGCAGACGTACGCCAGCGCGTCGCCGCCGGGGCCGTCGGCCACCGCGTAGACCGGGTGCGCGGCCTTGACGAGCGTCGACCGGAGGTGGCCCGTCTTCGACCAGCACTTGACTTCGCCGTCCTCGCCCGCCGAGTAGAGCGCGGAGCCCTCGGCGTTCCAGAGCACGCGCAGGCAGGCGCCGTGGTGCGCCGCCACCCGCTTTTCCTCGCGCCCCGACCCCGTCACGAGCCGGAAGCTCCCGTCGCACGCCGAGACGGCGAAGACGTCGGAGACGCCGCGCCCCACGCTCGGCATCCACGCGATGGACGTGACGTAGGCGTCGAGCTCGCAGCACTTGCCCGTCACCTCGGCCTGCTGGTCCCACTTGAGGATCGTCTGGTCGTCGCTGCAGCTGTAGAGGACGTTCGTCGGCGCCCACGTCGCGCAGGTCGCCATCGCCGCGTGCGCCTTTTTCTCCACCAGTTCGAGGCGGACCATGGTGTCCGCCAAGCCGCTTTAAAATACGCTGCCCGATGTACCGGTATTTAAAATAGGTACTGAATGGTACGGCCAGGGAGTTTCATCTTTAAGCTTTTGCCGGCCCCATGTGCCACGTCTAGAAGAGTGTTCCGTGGGGCAAGAGCCGTCGCGGGGCTGCCCCGTGACGCTTGCGCGCGAAACCCGACGCGGCCGCACCCCACTATAGTAGTACTAGTCACGGTGAACCCCAAGAACGACGGGCACGACGTCGTAGCATAGTCAGACCACGCGCTCACCGCGAAGAAGTAATAATACGGCCGTATAATCCAGGTTCCGCATAAATCAGTATGGAGGGGCCTTACACCACTGGCATATCTTTCAATATGGAGTGAGCGCGCGCCTAACTACCTTGCTTATGTAAGCACTCTTACACAATCTCCATATTGACATTAATTCTCTAAGCCCTCTCTATATTGAATAAAGAGGTCTAAGGACACTCTATATTGCTATAAGCCCTTAGGGTAACTCGGTATCCCCCTATTGGCCCGTAGTGCGCGCGCCTCGCGCGACGCCGGCGGCCGTCGAGGCCAGCCGGTGCGCACCGCTCCACAAAATGGACCTAATGGCAGCTATTTGCTATGGAAACGAGGCTGCCCCGATGCTGCCCCGAGCTTCAACTTCAAAGTACACTTGCAAAGGAAGTCCCCTCTCGGGCCCCGTCATGGAGTTAGATCTTATATTTCCAGGCGCTGGGTAATTGGAAGTGGCGTTCTCCGCAAACGAGAGAGGTGGACCTCTGGTCTTAGTTACCTACTCTTTGCCTTGCAGCGCAATCGATAGTATCGCAAACAATTTCATATTTCAAGCGCAAAATTCGAGTCTATGGCCCTCGCAAATACAAGACAGGAATTACGTCGAATTTTAGGAGCTTCCCTACAGGTCGAACAGGACGTATACATATGGGAATAAATCCCAGCTTAGGAATATAAAATTCCTGCTCCATAACTGCCAAAGGCTGCTGGGTTTAATACCCGGAGCATCATAGACGTAAATACAAGGATACGTGGCCATATCATAGCAGGTTACCAACGGTACCTACGGTACTGTACTGCGGTACCTACGGTATCAGCGGATACTCGGTGTTTTTTAAATACATCGGGCAAACGACTCGCGCACAAAAACGGGCTGCTGCCCAAGAGCCCACCCGCCTGCTTTTCCATCCAAGCGGTCTGGTACTTATGGACGGCGCGGCCTCGGACGACGAGGAGATCTCGGCGCTGGGCGCGTCGCCCGCACGGCCGCGCGCCGGGGGCAGCGCCGCCTCGTCGCCGACGCTGTCGCTGCCCGAGTCGTTTTCCAACCTCGGCGGCGAGCCGGCGCCCCTCGCGCGGCAGCTCGAGTCGGAGCTCGCGGCGACGCACGAGCGGCGCGCGGCCGAGCGCGAGGCGTACCACGCGCGCCTGGCGGCCGCGCGGCGCGACGCGGACGCGGCGCGGCGGCAGGCCGACGCGCAGGCCGTCGAGCTCGCGCGGGCGACGGAGGCGCTGCGGGACCGGCGCGACGCCATCGACGACGGGTTCCGCGACGGCCTGGCGTACGCCGTCGACGCGGGCGGCGACGAGGCGGCAACCGCGTCCGTCCGCGCGCTCGTCGACGAACTCCGCGCGCGGCCGGCCGACGAGCTGACGCTGCGCGAGCTGGCGACGGTGCGCGTGGTCGAGGCGTCGGAGCGGACGCAGGCCGCGCGGCTCGAAAGCGCGCGCGCGGCGCTCGACGCGGCCAAGCGGCGCGACGCGGCCGAGCGGGCGCACGAGCGGCTCCGCGCCGAGCACGAGGGCCTCGCGCACGGCGCGGCGCAGCGCGAGCAGCTGCTGCGCGACGACCTGGCGCGGGTCGCCGCGGAGCTCGAGCACGCGCGGCGCCGCGAGGCGGAGCGCGCGGAGGCGCTCGAGGCCGGCCGCGCCGCGTCGGTGCGCCTGGCGCGCGTCGAGGCGGACCGCGCGCGCTACGTCGCCGAGAACGCGGAGCTCGCGGCGCACCAGGCCAAGGCGGCGGACGCGGTCCGGTCGGCGGCGGCCGCCGAGGCGGACTGCGCGCGGCGCGTCCGCGACGCCGAGGCCGCGTGCGAGCTCGCGCGGCAGGAGGCGAGCCACCAGCGCGACGTCGCCAACGCCGAGGCGAAGCGCGCGGACGCGGCCGAGTACCGCGGCCTCCGGGCCGACGAGGCCGTCGAGGAGAAGCGCGTTCAGGTCGCGGACCTGCAGCGGCGCCTGGCGCTCGAGGGCGACGCGTTCCGCGAGAAGCTCGAGGCGCGCACGCGCGAGGTCGCGGCGGCGGCCGACGCGCGCGTCGAGGCGCTCCGGAGGGAGCGCGAGACCTTCGAGCAGCGCGAGGCCGCCAGCCTCCGCGAGGCGCGCGCCGACGCGGTCGAGGACGCGCGCCGCGAGCGCGAGGCGCGCGTCGCGGCCGAGGCCGAGGTCGCGGGCGCGCGGAGCCGGGCGGCCGAGGCCGAGGCGCGCCGGGTCGCGGAGACGGCCGAGGCCGCGGCCGAGCGGCGCGTCCTGGCGTACGAGCTCGCCGCGGCCGCGACGCGGCTCCGCGCGGCCGAGCGCGACCGCGACGAGGCGCGGCTCGAGAACGCCATGCTCCGCGAGCAGGTCGCCCGTCGCGGCCGCGCGAACGAGGGGGGGGGGGATAGGGCTCGTCGCCGCCCGGGCGCCGCGCCCTCGCCGAACCGCCGCGCGCCCACCGCAGGTCGCGACGCGCGAGAACGCCGCGCTCGAGGAGAAGGTCGCCGGCGAGCGCCGCCGCCTCGAGACCGAGGTCGACGACCTCGCGGGCAAAGTGCGCGCCTACGAGCAGCTCGAGCTCGAGCTCGACTCGGCGGTGCTCCGCGCGGGCGGCGCGCCGGAGCCCGGCGTCGCCGACGCGGGCCTCCGCGACGCGGCCGTGGCGGCGGGCCTCTCGCGGCCCGAGCGCCGCGTCCGCCACGCCGTGCTCCTCGCCCAGCGGCTCCTGAAGGCCGAGGCCGCCGGCGAGGCGCTCGCGCGGGCGAACGACGGCCTCGCGGCGCAGGCGGCGGCGTTCCGCGCGCGCGCGGACCTGGCCGTCGCGCGCCTCGCGACCGCCGAGAAGCCGACGCAGTTTCTGCTCCAGGCGCTCCAGGAGCGCGACGCCCACGCCGCGCGGCTCCGCGCGCGGCTCCACGCGGCCGAGAAGAGCGCCGCCGGCGCCGTCGCCGACGCCGAGGGCCTCGCGACGCACAACGCGCGCCTCGAGGCCGAGGTCCACAAGCTCGTCCAGCACCGCGCGGAGCTCCAGCACCTCAAGCACCACGTCGCGCGCCTCCGCGCGCAGCCGCCGCCCCCGCCGCGCCCGCCGCTCGGGCCCCGCAACGACCCGTCACCGCTCGCGGCGGCGCCCGAGCCGCCGCCCAAGCCCGGCAGCCCGGCGCCCGCGACGTCGGTGCACACGACGCCGCGCCGGGCGGACGCCCAGCCCTTCCACACGCGCGCGTAACGAGCGACCGCGCAGTCTTCGTGGAAGGGATGGGGGGAGTATTTTTTCTCACTTCCTAGGTACCTACGGTACCGGTACCGAGGTAGGTCACTTACAGGTACTTCACTTGCATCGAAAGATTTTACTCACTTTTTCAGACATGCTTCCCCGATTGCTGGCCTTGGCCGCAAGCGCTGCGTCGCTGGCGCCGCAGCCTCAACGCGCCTTGCCGACCGCGTTGCAACGGCAGGCCGCCACCGCGGCGCTGGCTGGTGCTGTCGTCGCGTCACCCCTCGCGGCGGTAGCCTTGTCGGTGGACGTGACCGACATCAACTCGCCGCCGGTCGTCGACCTCCCGGTCCTCGGCCGCTTCGGAGTGTCGCCGAGCAAAGCGAAGCCGACCGTCAAGGTCTCGGGCGACCTCGTCGGCACGGCGCTCTCTGCCAAGGACGGCAAGGTCAAGGTCACGGTGTCCACGCCTAAGATCGGTCCGCTGCCGGCGCTCGACGACGAGGTGCTCGATATCCGCATCGCGTCGTCACCGGGCACCGTCGGCGTGTCCATCTCCAACCCGGCGATCCCGAAGCTGCCCGTCGGCGGCGGCACGTCCGACTGGAACGTCGTGCAGAACCTCGGCTCCGGCGCGACGTATTATTTCAATTCCAAGACCGGCGTCACGCAGTACGCCAACCCCGTTGCGCCGTCGCCCAAGCCCGCGAAAAAGGCCGCCGCGCCCGCCGTGCCCGCGGCCGCGCCCGCCGCCGCCACGGCCATCGCCGCCAAGGCCGCGACGCAGAAGAAGACGCCAGCACCCAAGAAGGCTGCTCCGCCAAAGCGCGAGAAAGTCAAGGGCAAGGCGTTGTTCAAAGGCGAGCAGAAGGCCGCCCAGCCCCCCAAAAAAGCCGCGGCGAAGAAAGCCGAGTCCAAATCCGCTCCGAAGAAGGCCGCCGCCGCCGCCGCACCGAAGAAGGCGGCGGGGCCCGCGCCGTCCGCGCCGAAGATCGAGCTGCCCAGAAAGACGAAGAAGGTGGTGGGAACCCCCCTGTTCAAGAAGTAGGGCGACTAGTAAGATAAGGCGCAGTAATAGTACACGTGCCGTTCAGTCTATTCAAACAACAAGCGACTCGCACGAGGAGCGGCCCACGGGGGCGGACACCCAACCCCAAATTTGCCGTATCTCTATAACTAGACGTCTTGGCCGGTCGCAAATTGAGAATAGGGGCCCAACGTACCCCTCTAGGACGTGACCGAAACGGGTAAGCGAAACGATTAGGTTTGGAAATTTTAGTGGCCTGTGAAGGTCGAGCCAGTGGCGTTTCGTGCCGCGTCAGGCGACCTATCTGGCAGCCCATCGGGTACCCGGCCGCGCCTACGCATCCGCCCCACGCCATAGGTGCCCGAGGGCCCCTGGGAGACCAAATTACCAGCATAGAAGCGAGTTTTGATTTTTCAGTCCAGAGGTCTCTGAAATACCCGCACGTTAGGCCCCAGATGGGCAACTTCGCGACCGCGTCTCGCCGCGAAAGTGGACCCTTCCCCCCAGCCCGGTCATGGGGCGTACAAAGGGGCTCTTTGGGATCCCACAGCCAAAATCGCGACCGGAAAAGTGGCTGGGAACTCGAACCTCAGATTACGAGACCGCCCCCTTAGCGGCCCCCTCCCTCTGCGAGCCCGGGGTATCGTCGTAGGGGTTGTCGACCCACCGGACGCCGTGGCGGACGCCGGCGGGCGCGGCGGCGCGGCGGCGCGGCGGATCTAGGGATAGCCTCCGGGCCTGCGTATCCGGGCGACCAACACCAGTTCCGGGATACCCCATACCTTCAGGGAAATACCCGAGCAAACGAACAAGTTAGCTCGCCACGAGACCGCATGCAAAAGAGCATAACCGTGACCGATCCGCGACGGGTCGAACTTGAACTTGAACGGGACCGTGACATGATCCTCAGGCTGGGAAAGCTAGCCCCATTGGTCTCTACGGTCATAGGGGTATTTAGTCCCAAACTACCATGCCAATAGAAGGAATTAAAAGCACATGTACCATGTGTTCAGTAATGTGATACAGGTACGGTCACAGCTACCTACGGTACCTACGGTACCGTGGTACCTGCATACCTACGATATACTGCGGTACCAGGCAGCCCATCCCAGACCCAGAGCTTGCAAAAGAAAAACTCAGAATGAGGATGCGCCCTGCGTAAAACGCGCCGCTGGCGCGTTGCTGTATGAAGATGCTTTTGGTGTTCGTTCTGGGGACGGCGTGCGCCGCCGCCAGGCTCGAGACGAAGGACCAGATGATCGCCTTTCTGCGCGCGCACCCCTCCCGCGCCTACTTCAGCCGACTGGTGCGCGACGGTCCGTACGACGTTGCCATGGAAGTGGGCGTGGCCGACGGCCGATTCTCGGAACATTTTCTGATCGACGCCCAGCCTAAAACGTGGTACATGGTCGAACCCTTCCCGAACAAGATGCTTCAGGCCCGCTATCCGCCGTCGACGAGCGGACGCCGCGCGCCGCGGCGCCAGCTCGAAGAGATGCCTACGTCCTGGGCATCGCGGGGCATTGGCACCACGTCAAAATTGCGCTTCTTCAAGGCGCTCTCGCTCGACCAGTCCGTCCTCGACGCCATCGCCCCGGAGTCCGTTGACTTTATCTACCTGGACGGCGCGCACGACTACGCGAACGTAGCCCGGGAGCTCGAGCCGTATTATCGAATGTTGCGGCCGGGCGGCATACTTGCGGGTCACGACTATTGCAAGTACGACGAAAGGCCGTTGGCGTGCCGGGGCTGCGCGGACGTGCCGGCGTGCGTGAAATACACCGAGTATGGCGTTCGACACGGCAAGGGCGACCGGCGCGCGGCGAACCAGTGGGACGTCGTGAGGGCCGTGCAGGAGTGGCTTGCGCGGCACCCCGAGCTCGAGGTCTACCACACGATCGAGAATTTCACGCGGACGTCGCTCGCGCAGGACGGCATGGACTACGACCTCGTGATCACGAATACCTACAACCCATCGTGGTACGTTTTCAAACCAAAGAGTAGCGTCATTGCGCCGATGGCCAAAAGGGCGCGATGCGACTCGACGAGTCGCACAGCTGGCGCGCAAAAACTTGTATACTTGCAGCGGTGTCTCCGTTTAGAAGCGGGGGTAGAACGAGCAGATACGTCCGTGCGCAGGTTGTCCTATTCTCGTACAACTTTGGGAATTTCCGGGGGGAAATATCACGCTACAGGAAACAGACGCAGAAATTCTCGTGCGCCTACGATCGATTCTTCTTCACCGACCTCGTGGACGTCGCGAGGCCGCTAGCAGACGATGGCTGGATTCTTTCCAAAGTATCAGCCGACGATGCTTCTTGCGGCGTCTGTCGAATGATATGACCACGGTATTCGATTCTATGCGTAGGTTCCCGTCGAAGCGCTACCGCGCGTCATAATACCACGGGACGTATCTGACGGCTGGAAGCTGACAAAATACTTCAAGTTCGGCCACATCCCACGCGCACTTCGTTCATACGAGTACACGTTGCACGTTGACTTCAGCGCCTTTGCAAATAACCCTAATCGTTACATCGTCCCTGAGTTTGCGCATCTTTCCCGCTTCTTGCGGTTACACAAGAGTACGGAACTTGTGTTGTGGAAACACGGGCAACGATCATTTGCATTTCAAGAATGGAAGGCGACAGTAGGCTACAGACTGGAGAAGGTTCCCAATATCCGCGGTTTTGCTCGATCCGTGGGCCGCCGATTCGGATGTGCCGCCGTCAGCAAGGTGCCTCTCTTTGAGCTGGGAGTATTCATGCGCAAGAATAACAATACGCCAGTTCTCAATCATATGTTCGTGAACACGTTCCGTACGTTGATTGCCTACGGCTTAAAACGCGACCAAAATGTCTTACCATTTGCGATGATGTATCATCTCAACATGACCAAAGGAAACTGGGTCTTGCAATGTCCCAAAGAAGCAAAGCTCCCCAACCACGAGCGAGGTATGATGGGGGGCTGCGGCGCCCCTGTGTTTCCGTCGGTCAGTACCAGATCGTCGAACGCGTCGCACCATGGTTGTGGGCATCTCGGACTGACACCTTGAGAATGTGCTCCTGGTCTGTCGGCGAGTTCGTCAGTTCGGATGAGACTCGCAACTCTAACGCGCGACTACTGAAATAATTTATCTACTGGCGGGCCCCGGCTGCCCAGGCCCGTGACTACTTGTTAAAGCTGCTGCCTACGGTACTACCGTAGGTATTCTAATAGTGGTAGGTCACGGTATTCTGGTAATGCCACTTTTAGGCATTCACGATAAAACACTCTTCGTCAGTAGGCGGAACCTTGTGGGCCCATAACCTTGCAAGAGTATACTAATGTACCGCATGCGGTACATTAGTGAAACTTCAACTTGAGTTCAAGATCCCCGCTTTGCATTTCTGTAGCGTCGGTAGCCTGAGACACCCAATGGCAATGTATCCGGGACCGAAGTATGCCAGCCTCAGGCTGAGTGATCCTTCAAAGTTCAAGTTTCGCTGTTCTTCGAACTTTTTTGTCGAATGATTCCTCGAGCTGTGTCATTCTGTTTTCTTGCACAAATCTACTTAGTATTTTGGCATGGGCGGGGTGGAATGTTAATATTTTTCAGTTGTGTTCGAGTGCTTAATCGATCAGTTATCGATCAGTTATTAGGTACCAGCTTGTACCGTTGTGTGTGATACCGGGCCCAACCGGGCACGGTGTGCGACAACTACGATGCAATTGGAACACTGATCGTGGAGACTTGGTCGTGGAGAGACGCAGCCTCGAAACAGGGGCCGGTCTTACAAGCTGCCCTTTCTGATTTCATCACGAGCTGCATCGTAACACAGTGATGATGATGCGCCGGCGCCGGGCGCGCAGTGCCGTCGCCATTGCAGCGGGCGCGGCGGTCCTCGCCACCGTTCCGCTTTTCATCCATCACGCGCCCGCGCCGCGCGACGTGCGCGCGCGCGTGGTGCGCGCGGCGGCGGCGTGGTCGGCGGCCGCGCCACCGCAGCCGGCGCCTTCGGCGGGCGGCAAAACGCCGCGGGACGCGCCGGACCCCGAGGCGGAGGCCGCCGCGCTGCCGCGCGGCACGATCGTCGCCGTGCATGGCGACGCTCGCGTCGCGACGCAGCGGCGGCTCCTCGCGCGACTCGGCGGCGCCGCGGGTTTGACGCGAGCGACGGAGAACGCCCTCGACTTCGAGGCGTTCGACGCGCACCTCGCCAAGGCGGCGCGCGCGCGCGCCGCGGGCGGCTTGGCCGCGCGGCGGAGCCGGAACCGGACGGCGTGCGCGCCGCGGGCACCGACGTTCGCGACGAGCACGCGCAAGGACTACAGAGGCTTCGTCGCAGAAGAGCTTCTCGAGCTCGGGCTCTGTCTGCTCCCGCGTGAAAATCCAAAACTCAAGGCACCTTTGACTTGTTTGAGCTCGCGCAGGCCCGCTTGACCGCGCGGCGCGCGGCGCGCCGCTCGACGTGTACATCGGGGAGCCAGGCACCGGGGATGACGCGGCGCGCGCGGCGGCGCGCGCGGCCGGCGGTGGCGCCGCGCGCCTCGCACCGCACGCCCGCCTCGGCCACGTCCCCGGCGTCGCGCGCATCGCGTCGAAAGGCGGCGCGGCGCACGCGTTCTGGACGTGCCGCGGCCACATGTCGTCGCGCGCCGACGCCTGGCTCTGCGCCGCGCTCCTGCCCGCCTTCGACGTGGCCTCGACGTCCCGGGGATGGCCGCCGCGCGACGTCCGCGTGGCGGTGTCGCGCGCGTCGGACGTCGTCGCGTGGGCCGCGAGCCAGACGTTTCCCGTCGTCTGGATCGTCAAGCCGCGCGAGGGCAGCTACCTGTCGCGCGGCATGCACGTCGTTACGATGTCGCGGCGCGACGTGGCGACGCCGGCCGCGCTCGACGCCTGGGTCCTGGACAGGGTCGTCGACAGGGACTGCCGGCGGCCGGCCGCGCGCCGTGGCCCCGAGTGCGATCGACGCAAGAACGTGACCTTCCAGCGCTACGTGCACCGGACGGCGCTCGTGCGCGGCCGCAAGTTCGACGTGCGGGTCTGGGTGTTGGTCACGTCCGTCGACCCGCTGCGCCTCTACGTCCTGCGGCACGGCTACCCCAAGATCGCGTCGCGCGCGTACACGGGCACGCGAGACCTCGGAGACCAGTGCCGACACGTCCGCCTGATGCTAGATCCGGCCTGCGTCCACGGGGCCGGCGAATTCCTCGCGAACTTTCCCGACGGCTACCCGAAGTCGACGGCGTCGCCGGTCTTCCACGACGGCTTCGAGCTCGTCCGCGGCCACGCCCCACCCCCGCTGCCGGGGAACACGACGGCGACCGCCCCGGGCGCGCGCGCGCGCTGGGTCGACGCGGAGCACTTCTGGCAGGCGACCGTCTGGCCAAACGTCGAGAGAGCGCTGACGGCCGCGCTGCTCCTGGCACGCCGCGACCTCCTCCGCGCGAAGGCCGCGCACGAGCGCGCCGACCCCGCGGCGGCGGGGCTTCGCCGGTTCGCGCTCCTGGCGCCCGACCTCGCCGTCGACCGGCGCGGCCGCGTCTACGTCGAGGAAATCAACGCGAACGGGAAAATCATGGGCACGCACGGGCGGGCCGGCGGCTACCGCGACCTCTTCCACGACGACGGCTACGTGCGGGCGTTCCTGCGCATCGTCGGCGTGGACGCCCACCCGGAGAAAAAGCGCTACGGCGGAGCCCTCGCCGCCGCGCTCGACCATTTCTGCGCGGCCGCCGGCGGCAGCTGCGCGCCGGGCGACCGCGCGGACCTCGAGGCCGCCGTCGACGAGGAGGCGCACGCCGGCCCGCACTGGTACCGCTTGTACCCGCCGACGCGCTGCGTCGCCGCGCGGCACGGAGGCGCGTGCGAGACCGACGCCGACGGCGCGTGGTGGCCCGAACAGGCGCGCGTCTCGCGCGCCGCGCGCGCCGCCATGGGCGAGACGCCGCGCGACGCGACGCTGCGCGCCTTTCTCGCGGCCGTCGACACGGAGGCGATCCACGGCGCGCCGGCGGTGCCAGGCCACGGCCGCTGGTCCCCGCGGGCCTACCGCGGGACCTACGCGCCCTAGCTACATTGCCAGTAGAAAGCTGTCTTTACTTCGCACGGCAGCCGCCTACGTGTAGTTGGCCGGGATGTGGACCTTTGCGTCATCTGTCCTCGATTCGTAAGGTATTTAGTGAGAGGTCTTGCCGCCGCCGCCGCTGCTACCGCTGTGCGCAAAGCGGCGAGATGTGGACTTTCTCTGGATTTGCAAGTTCAAGTTATATACCTAGCCTGGTTGAACGTGTAATTCCACGGGCAGCACCGGCCGTGTACGATACTTCCACCTGCCTTGGCGATGGCCTCGAGGAAGTCCGTAACGTCCTCCTTACTATGATTGGTCCCGCGGGTCGGTTCTCCGCCTCGGTGGAGAGGATTGCCCGGCTCCACGTCGCACGCTACTCGTATATTCGCGTCCCACAACACGAACGGGTGCGAATCGTTACCGCGCCGCCGCGCTCGGGCAAATTCTCTACATACACCGGCCTCGAAGGCCTTTCGGTCAACGGAGAAGCCCTTGCGGGAAAACTCCGAGTAGGCTACGATAAGTGACAAGGTTTTGCCGTTCTTCTCTATAACTTGAAATAAATACACTGCTCAATATCATCATCTCCCCACTCAGGACTCAGTCAGGATGCCCACTGGCAACCGGAGCTGTGGTACGGAACAGCCTCGAGGCTGGGCAAGGTGATAACACGTGCACAAAATTACGATCGCGCCGGCTGGCGGCGCAGGCGACGGACCGGGTCGCCGCGGAGCACGACCGCCACGCGCGCACCGCGGAAGCCGAGGTCGCGCGCGATCGCGGACGCGAGGCGATCGCGGCGCGCGGGACCGAGCGCGGCGCCGAGGCCCCGGCCGAAGAGCGCGAACGTCGGCGGGTCCGTCGCGACCTGCGCCGCGTAACGGACGGCCGCGAGGCGCTCGCCGCCGGGCCCGCGCTTGACGTCGGCGAGCCACGCGTTGAGCGGGCCCGTCGCGATGCGCCGCTCGACGTGCGCGTCGCGCGTCTGGACGGCGAGCGCGAGCGCGCGGCGCGCGCGCGCCGGCGCTTGCACCGCCGAGCACGCGACGACCGGCGGGTCCGCGGCGTCGAAGAGGAACCGCAGCGGCGACGCGCGCAGGCCGCGCTCGACGTCGCGCGCCGTCGCCCGAACCAGGTCGAGCTTCGTGGCGACGACGACGACTGGCACGCGCGCGTCGACGAGGCGCCTCGCGAGGCGCAGATCGTCGCGCGTGGGGCGCGGCGACGCGGCGACGCAGAGCGCGGCGACGTCGCACCGCGCCGCCTCGAACGCCGCGGCGCGCGCCGCGGCGCGGGCGAGCGCGTCCGCGCCAGTCGCGGCGTCGCGCGCGGCCGCGCCCGCCGTGTCGACGACCGTCACCGCGCGGCCCCGCACGGTCGCGCGGGCCTCGACGGCGTCGCGCGTCACGCCGGCCTCGCGCGCCGTCGTCGCCGCGGCGGATCGCGCGAGCGCGTTGAGCAACGTCGACTTGCCCGCCTGCGGGACGCGATCCCGCGCGTCAACGGCGTCGCCGCCGGGCGCGACGGAAAAAAACGACGACGCGCGCGGCGGCGCGCGTTCGGCCTCCCGACGAGCGCCACGCGCACCGCGGGCGCGGCGTCGCCGTCGTCGTGGGCGCTGTTTGCGGCCGCGCCGAAGCCCCGCAGCGCGTCCAGCAGGTCCGGCAGCCCGTCGCCGTGCGTCGCGGACACGAGGAGCGGCCCGACGTCGGCGTGGCGCGCGGCGACTTCGCGGTCGGCGCCCGACACGTCGCGGCCGTCCTCGCACTTGTTGAACGCGACGACGCGCGGCACGTCGCCCGCGCGGCGCCGCAGCCAGCGGCCGACGGCGTCGTCGTCGCCCGTCGCGCCGACGGCGCCGTCGAGGAGCAGGAGCGCGACGTCGGCGCGACGGACGCACTCCGCGGTCCGCGCGCGCATCGCGGCCGCCAGGCCCGCGTGCGCGCCGCGCTGCCCGTCGACGTCGACGCCGTCGCGCTCGACGCCCGCCGTGTCGACGACCTCGAACCGGAGCGGCCCGAGGCGCGCGGGCGCCGTCGCCGCGTCGCGCGTCGTCCGCGCGACCGGCGAGGTGATGCGCGCGGCCGGCGCGGGCGCGCGCCGCGGGCGCGCGCCGCCGCCCGCGACGTCGCGCAACGCGTTGAACAGCGTCGACTTGCCCACGTTGGGCCGGCCCACGATGGCGACGCGCAAGGCCATGTACCTTGCTGGACGTGTGGGCCGCTCGCTGCGCCCAGTCGTAAAACGCACCCTGCTCGAGACGGGAGCAGATTGCTGTACGACGTCGTATATAAGTGTAGGAGTACTTATGTAGAGATCTATATAGATATATATATATATAATAGCGCTATCGACGTAGAACCCGCGAGCTCAGGAGGCTCGGGGCTCAGTCGCCAGTGAATTATCTTTAGCCTTACTCTACTCAGCAGCCAAATGTGCTCGACGGGTAAGCCCAAACAGCGTCCTCCTGTCGCGCGTTCGCCCACTTTAGTTAGAAACGTATAAAGTTATAGGTTGCTGAGGGTCCCCCGTACCCCTCCCGCTCCCCAGGCCACCCATCTAGGACCGTAAAAAAAAAACGGGTTTACGAAGACAAGCCCGCGTGTGAGCAAGACAGGTCAGTTTTCCGAAGCCGAGCGGCCGGCGCCCGGCCCGAAAAAGCTTCGCTGGTCATCCTCATGGTGCTCGAGTGGCTCAAAGGCGCCACCGGGGTTTTCTCGGCGGGCGACCGAGGAGCCGCCCGGAGCCCGGCGCAGGCGCGACCGCCCGCGCGACGCGTCCGCATCCAAGAGGACGCCAAGGCCGCGGCGGCCGCGCGCGTGACGCGCGAAAAGGAGAAGGCGCGCAAGGACACGCCGCGAAAAAAAAACCAAAGCCGCGCGGCCCGCGCCCCGTCGTCGCGCCTCAAGGACGATTTCGTCGTGGACAAGAAGGTGCTCGGCGAGGGACATTACGGCGTCGTGCGCCGCTGCTCGCCGCGCGCGGACCCGTCGGCGCCTGCGCGGAAAAGTCAACCAGCGACGCGGGCACCGCGCCCGAGGTACACTCGACGCTCCGCCTCGGCCGTCTCGCGGTCGTTTGGACGACGCGAGCGTCGCACGGACGGAGGGCGGTGGGCATCTCGTCGACGACATCTGATCAAGACGACGAGCGATCGGGGAACCGTAAACGTGTAATTTCCGCTCAACGTGCTGGCGCGAGCGTCGGTGTGGAAATCGACCTTCAAAATTCTCCCTCTCGGCAAAGGGACCACGGCGCCCTCTTCATCTTCTTACGTCACCAGTGGCGTTCAATTACGAAGCAGACCGTGCGGACCATTGCAAGAGACCGTAAACTGTTCATGTCCGCGCAGGCAGGAATTGAGCGGGCCCGAGCTCACGCAGCTACGCGACGTCTTCCGGGAGATCGACACCGACGGCTCGGGCACGATCTCGACCGCCGAGTTGCGCCGCGCGCTCGAGCCGCACGTCGCGCACCGCGCCGACTCCGGCGGCCTCGAGGCGGGCGACCGCGACGCGGCGCAGTCGCTCATGGAGGCCGCCGACGTGTCGGGCGACCAGCAGATCGACTACCGCGAGTTCATCGCCGCCACGATGCAGCGCCAGCTCTACCTCCGCGAGGAAAACGTCCGCAAGGTCTTCGAGCACCTCGACGTCGACGACTCGGGCGACATATCCGTCGAAAACCTCGTCGCGCTCACGGGTTCGAAGAAGAAGGCCGAGGAGCTCATCGGCGAGGGCGACCTCGACCATTCCAAGACGATTTCTTACGAGGAATTCAAAAAGCTCATGCACACGGCCAGCTAGGGAGGCATGTAACTTCCGGAGTCTCCTAGATTCCGACCCGGCCGGGACCTATCCGGGGCCCCTGTGCCGTTTCGGGGGAAGGAATGTGTTCCCGAAAAGCCCGTTCGCCCTTTCTAATCGCCTCAAAACAACACCTTTTCAAAAGCAACCGAGGCGTAGGGGGTCGTCCGAGTCGTCGTCGGACCATTGGCAACCGGAAATCGCTCCTAGGCGCGGTCGCGGTCCGAGTCCGGTGCGACGTTGCTCATCAGGCAGCGCTAGAGCGTCGTCCGCCGCGCCACCCGAGCAGTCCCCTGCACGCCGCGACCGCGGCCAGCGCCAAAGACGCGTCAAGAGACCGGCGTCTCGCCCAGCCTCCGAGAACGTGCCCCGACTCGGACGCGTGCAGCTCGCGTGCCAGTGCCACCGTGACGGGCTTAAATTAATTAAAGCGCACTCGGGTCTACTACAAGGCTACCGCGCGGACACGGAGCGGAGCCGCGACAGCAGCCCGGCGGAGCCCGGCTTGTCGCCCGCGCGGGGGACGTTGGCGAGCAGGAGCTTCTCGCGGCCCGGGCGCGCGGCGCGGCGCGGCGACGCCTCCCCCGCGCCCGCCGACGCGGCGCGGCCGCCGCGCGGCGGGGAGCCGTGCGGCCGGACGCGGCCGGGGTGCTGGCGCGGGGGGCGCAGGGACGGCAGCGCGAAGAGGCGCGCGCGCGCGCCGCGGGCGGGTTGAGGCCGCGCGGGCGGGCGCGCGGCCGCGTCGGCGCGCGCGGCGTCGGCGTCGGGCGGCGCGGCCGACCCACCGCGCGCCGGCCGCGCAGGGGCGCTTGCGAGGCGCCCGGACAGGAGGTCGGCGGCCGGGCGCCCGCGCGCGCGCCGGTCCGCGCGCGCGGGCAGGACGCGGCCGCCGCCGCCGCGCGGCCGATCGCGGTCGCGGTCGCGCGCGCGGGGGCTCCAGGGCTCGGGCTTGTCGCCGAGCGACGCCGAAGCGAGGCGCCGCGACGGGTCGTCCGGCAGCGCCGCGAGCGGCCGCGCGGCCACGTCGTGCGAGCTCGGCCCCGCGGGCGCGAGCGCCGCGCCGGGATCGCGCGCGCGAATGGCCGCGGCCGGCCGCGGGGCGAGCGGCTGCTTCGCTTCGGCGGCGCGCGGCGGCGCGGGCGCGGGCGCGGGCGCGGGCGCGGCGGGCGCCCTGGGTGCGGCCGCGGCGGCGGCCTGGCGCGCGGCCTTGGCGCGCGCGGCCGCGATCTGGTCCTTGACCTCGGCCTTGAGCTCGGCCAGCGTCGTGCCGCTCCGCTCGAAGTCGAAGTCGAAGCACGGATCCGCCGCGACGCTCGCCGCAAAGTCGCGGAGCGCCGCCGGCGCCGTCCCCGCGCGCGCGGCGGCGGCGTCGAAGTAGGGTCGCGACGGCGCCGGCAGCTCGGGCGCGTCGTCGAAGAGCGGGTCGGCGAGCGCGGCCTCGACCGTGCACCGCACCTCGGGGTTGAACTGGAGGAAGCGCCGCGCCAGCGCCCGCTGGCGGGGCGTCGCGTCGGGGAGCAGCGCGGCGACGCCGGGGTCGTCGCGCGCCGGCTGCTTGGCCAGGAAGCGCGCGGCGTCCTCGCGCGGCTCGAAGCCGAGCGCGCCGTCCGTCGGCGTGCCGAGCTTCTCCAGGATGACCTGCACCTGGTGCACGAAGTTCTTGCCCTGGAACAGCGGCTTCCGCAGCAGCATCTCGCCGAGGATGCAGCCGACGGACCAGCAGTCGACCGCGGTCGAGTACGGCAGGTGCGGCGCCAGGAGCACCTCGGGGCAGCGGTACCAGCGCGTGACGACGTACTCGGTCAGCGGGTTCTTGGCGTCGTCGGCGGCGTCCGCGCGCGCGGCGTCGGCGGCGAGGCCGGCGACGCACCGCGAGAGGCCGAAGTCCGTGATGCGGACGCGGCAGTCGCGCGAGACCAGGACGTTGCCCGGCTTCAGGTCGCGGTGCAGGATGCCCACGCTGTGCAGGGCCTGGACGCCCAGCAGGATCTGGCACAGCATGCACGAGACGTGCTCGGCCGTCAGGACCTGCGCGGCGGCCGCGCGTCGACCGCGCCCCCTGCCGGCGGCGCGCGCGGGCGCCCCGTGTGCCGCGAACGTCGGCGCGGGCCGCGCGCCTGCTTGGACGAGACGACCCGGTGCAGGTCCGAGTCCATGAGCTCCATGACGATGAAGAGGTCGTCGGAGCCGCCGGGGCGCAGCACCGCGTCGTGGAGGCTGATCACGTTCGGGTGCCCGCGCAGCAGGTGCATGAGCCGCAGCTCGCGGAGCGTGTGCCGCGCGTCCCAGCAGTCGTCGGCCCAGGGGCTCACGCGCTTGATCGCCACGCGCCGCGCGCCGGCGTCCTGCGCGTCGACGGCGCTGCAGACGACGCCGTAGCTGCCGTTGCCGACCTTCTTGAAGGCGTCGTAGCGCGGCTTGAGGCACTCGAAGACGAGGCACTCCTCGGCCGCGCGCTTCTTCCGCCGCGCGGCCTTGGCGGGCTTGGCGGCGCGCTGGGGCGCCTCCCCCATGGGAGAGCGAGCGGCGGGCGGGGCAGCGCGACCCCGCTGGCGGTGTTTTGGCTGCCGCTGTGGCGTGCAACGCGCCGTCGCCTGCCGGACGGTAACCCCCCCCTCTCACCGCCACCCTCCGCTCTCGCCCAAAAGGTCTCGATAAGGTCCACAGCCAAAAAAAAACAAAAAAATAAGCTCCAAATGAGACTTGAACTCATGACCTTCTCATTACTAGTGTTGCACTCCAAAGGAAAGGTGCTCTGCCACCGCGCCCGCTGCACTTCGACAGCGATGAGCTATTGGAGCACTCATGAAAGCTGCTGGAAAGAATATACACAAATGGAAGCCTTAGAAAACCCGTGCAGAGCGGAACCCAGAGGACAGCGCAGAGACAGCGCAAAAAACAAAATTCGTCTTCGATGGGCGGCCTGAAGCATGTCGCCTCGACGCTGCGACCGCTAGCCAAGGGGCTGAGCCGTGCGCTCGAGGACAACCCGGTGGCGTCGTCGCTCTGCCTGGGCTGCGCGAGCGGCTGCGTCGGCGACGCGATGGCGCAAAAAGCCGAAGGCCTCGCGGCGTTCGACTGGCGCCGATCCCTGACCTACGTTGCGTGGACGCTGTTCGTCACTTTCGTCATCGACCTGTACGTCTACGCGACGCTGTTCTCGAGGTGGTTCCCGCACGAAGCGGCCGACGGCTCGAAGCTGTGGCGCAACGTGGCCGCGGCCATCGCCGCCGACAGCCTCCTGCTATCGCCGCTTTTCTACTTCCCCTGCTTTTATCTGTTCACGCACTCCCTCGTCCGGCGCGAGTCGCCCGCGCGGGCCCTGCGCCTCTACGCCGACGAGGCCGCGACGCAACTTCCCGTGCTCTGGGCCTTCTGGGTCCCCGCGAACGGCTTCATGTTTGCCTGCGTCCCCGCGCACCTCCGCGTCGCCTACTGCACCGCCGCGGTCACGGGCTACGTCGCCGTGCTCTCGCGCGTCACGCAGCACCTCATTAGGAAGCGCAAGACGGAGGCCGGGGCCGTGTAGTAATAGTCCATCCTTGTGATGTGGGCCTCTGTGTCATCCGTCCGCGGCGAGCATGTGTAACAACCGCCGGCGTGACGGTTCACGACACGGTGACAGGAAGCGTACATAGCTCGGTACATGAGTAAATAAAGCGACGATGCCCGCAGGCTAACGGTTTGTTACTCCTCTGGAAGCGGCGGGCCCGCAGCAACTACTAATAGGAAAGGACGAGGCTCAGGATGTTGCACGAGTCGTCGCTCATCGCGGCGGCGGCGCCCTTGGACTCGAGGATGCAGAGGCAATGGGCGAAGACGTTTTGGATCTGCGCGATGCCGAAGCACGACCGCGAGACGTTCCGCGTGCACTCGAGCGGGTCCTCGATGAGCGGCGCGACGAACTGCGGGTCGGTCGTGTAGCCGGGGCCGGCCATGGCGATGATTCCCGCGTCCCCGCGGAGCACGGAGACCGCGTGCCGCTGCGGGTCGAAGTGGCGGCCGAAGAACTCGAGGAAAAAAGTCAGGAGGTAGCCGAGCGCGTCGTCGTCCCGCTCGAACGCGCGCCGCTGGTCGGTGCCGCTCCACAGCAGCGCGTCGCCGCCTCTGATTCGCGCGGCGAGGCTCGGCCGCCGCCGCGCGCCGGCGCCGGCGGCGTCGCGCAGCGGCCGGCGCCGCCGCGCCGGGTCGTCGCGGAGGCGCGCCCACGCCTCGCGGACCGACGTCGGCGGCCCGAGCGGCGCGCGCTGGGCCGCCGGCGGTTCGGCGCCGGGCGCGGCCTCGCCGAGCGGCGTGTGATGCTGCGGCCGGGGCAGCGGCGCCTCGAGCGGGTCGACGCCGGCCTGGAGCAGCGCCGTCATCGCGAGGAGGAGCAGCGAGTAGCTGCTCAGGCCGCCCGTGAAGGGCTCGTTGAGGCCCCGCTGGCAGAGGAGCTCCTTCAACACGAGGAGGAGCGGCGCGAGCTCCGGCCAGCGCCCCATGGCCTCGAGCGCGTAGCGCGACGACGCGAGGCCGCCGTGGTTCGGCGCCTCGAAGCTGATGTCGACCGCGAGCAGGCCCGCGTCGCAGCGCCCGACCGCGCCGCACCACGTCGGCGGGGCTGGAGTCGACGACGGCGGCGTCGCGGCGGCGGCGGTCGGCGCGGCCCGGGGCCTCTGCGGCGGCGGCGGCGGCGGCGGCAGGTCGGGCGCGTCGGTCTCGGCGAGCGCGCGCGCGGCGTCCTCCGAGCGCGCGCGCGGCCGCGTCCGGCGAAACTCGGGCAGCGGGCACCCGAGGACCGCGGGGTCGGCGAGCAGCTTGATCACGGGAATCGACGCCGTCTCGATGGCCTTGATCTCGCGGACCCACGGCTGCGAGCCGAGCGCCGCGGCGAGCGTCTGCACGCACCGGACGACGCCGGCGTGCGGCCCGGGCGCGGCCGCCGGCGCGCGGCGCGGCGACGGGCCCGGGCGCGCGGGGGACCGACGCGGCGACGCCGGCGCGGACCCGGGCCCGCCGCCGCCGCCGCCGCCGCCGCCGGCCGCGTCCGCGCCGCGGCGGCTGGGCGCGCGCGGCCGGTCGTCGGCCGCCGCCGGGGACGCCGGCGCGGACGCCGCGCGCTCCGGCGTCGCCGGCGGCGTCGCCGGCGGCGTCGCCGGCCGCGCGGCGGCGCCGCCTGCGGCCGGCGCGCGCGCGGCGTCCGCGGCGGCCGGCGCGCCGGGCGCGCCCGCGGGCGGGTTGGGCGTCGGGTCGCAGTTGAGGCCGCGGACGACGACGTCGACGTCGGAGCTGGGCAGGTCCAGGCCCGTGAGGCACGAGCCGTAGAGCGAGCACTCGGCGTGCGCCCAGATGCCGCGCGCCGTCTCGGAGACGGAGTCGAGCACGGCCGTCCGCGCGCGGCGCTGGTGCACCATGGCGCGCTCGAGGCAGGCGACGAAGTCGTTGACGTCGTGCGCGAGGCGCGCGCGCATGGCGCGGACGCGGCGCTCGTGCGCGCGGACGCGGCGCTCGTGCTCGGCCGCGCGCCGCGCGTACTCGTCCTCGAGCAGGCGCGCGCGGTCGCGCCGCGCGCGCGGGTCGCGGCCGTCGCCCGCGGCGTCCTCGGCGATGCGCCGCCGCCGCTCGGCCTCGGTCGCGCGCCCGACCGCCGCGCGGCGCGCGGCGGTCGCGGCGGCGTCCGCCGCCTCGCGCGGCGCGCGGTGCGGGTCGTCGCCCGCCTCGTCGAGCTGGGGCAGCGCGGGGCCCGCGTGGTACATGGCCGCGACGCGCCGCGCCGGCGCCGGCCGCGCCGGCCGCGGGGCCGGCGCCGGCGCCGCGCCCGCGCGCGCGGGGGCGCCGGCGGCCCCGGCCCGCGGCGGCGCGCGCGCGAGGCGGAGGCTCGCCGGCAGCTCGCCGCCCCACGCGGCGGCGCGCGGCGCCTTGGCGAGCGCGGCGCGGTCGTCGTCGGCGCCGGCGGCGTCCGACGCGTCCGAGACCGCGGCGGACGGCGGGTCGTCCAAGCGCGCGTGCGGCGTCTCGGCGGTGGGCGCGCTCGCGCACGACGTCTCCGACGCGGCCGCCTCGGCGCGCGCGACCGCGGCGGCCTCGGCCTCGCTCCTCTCTCGCAGCGCCGCGAAGCCGCGCGCGAGCGCGCCGCGCGGCTTCTGCGTCCAGGCGTTGGGCGTCTGCTGGGGCGCTGGCTTGTGCGGCGGCGGCGGCGCGCGCGCGAGCGCCGCCCACGAAGGTTGCGTCGCTCTCGCCCCCGCGGCCGGCGCCGGCGCCGCGCCGGCGACGGCCGACGCCCACGACGCCGGCGCGGCGGGCCGCCGCCACGCGCCCTCGGCGCTGAGGTGGGCGGGTCGCCGCAGGACCGCGAGCGGGGACGGCGCTGGCGACGGCGGCGCGGCGGCGGCGCGCCCGGACCTGGCCTCGGCCTGCGGCGGCGGGGAGGCGCACGTCGTCGAGGGCCGAGGGCGGCGTAACGCGGCGCCGCCGCGCGCGAGCGACGCGCCGTATCTCGCGCCGTCGGCCCAGTCCGCCGACGCGCCGCGCGACCGCGGCGTTGGCGCCTTCCCCTTCGACGACGGGCCCGCGGCCCGGTCGGGCGCGGCACTCGCGCCGGGCGAGCCCGGCGGCGCGGGCGCGGCCGGCGCGGCCGGCCGCGCCGGAGCGGGCGCCGGCGCGGCCCCCGCGCGCTCCGCTTCGACCCGCCGCCGGCGCGCGGCCTCGCGTTTCGCGCGCGCGGCCTCGGCCTCGCGCTGCGCCAGCGACGGCGGCTTCTTCCTCCGCCGCTCTCGCGCCGTCGACTCGTCGACGGCCTGCGCGCCGCGACGCGTGAGAGGCGACGAACCGCGGTCGGACGAGAAATTAACGGCGCCGCGCGCGCGCCGCGTCCGCGGCGCCGAAGATCAGGCCCTTGACCAGCTTGCGCAGGGCGGCGCCGTCGCGCGACTGCGAGGGGAAGGCGGCCGCGTCGACTACTACGCGCGAGTCCCGCCGAGACGCCGGGGCGCGCTTCCTTGGACTTTTTCTTTTTCGTCTTTTTGGGGGCATCGGCGTTGGCTGGGCACCCGTCGCCGCGCGACGACGTCGCGGCGGCGCCGGCGCCGGCCATGCCGCACACTTTGTGCCGCAGAAGGAGTGCGTCTGCGTCGGCTTGCTCTCGGCGGAGCCGCCCTTGAGCTGGGACGCAAGGGACTCGGCGTCTGCGCAACTAAGTGTGGGGCGGCACAGCACCAACTCCTACCGGTCGCCTCGCCGCGAAGGTCGGTTCCTGCCAGCTGATCCGGTCGGCCGCGCCAGCACAGCGGCGACCGGGCGGCGAGCACGCGAGGTCGGTGTCGCGGCGCGGCCAGCGCGACGTGTGCACCTGCGCAGCTCGGCTGCGGGCTCCGGAAGGCTCCGCCGCGCCGCTCGAGCCGTCAGCCCAGGTGTGAGTCGTGCGCGTGTAGAGGCCTCGGAATAAAATAATAAATAAAAAAGGCGAAGCGAGCTATCATCGCCTTGGCGACCTGGGCGCCGCGGGCTAACCGGGACACGCCGCAGGAGCAGAATAAAGCGCTAGCACTGTGCTTACGCGGCGTAGCGAAGGCCTGCTTATTTACGCCGGGCTACCCAAACGACCGCAGCTCGACAGCGAGAGGCAGCAGAGTGCGAGGCCGCGGGCCTGCCACGCCCGCTTGGTCTGTACGCCACGCTGCGCGTCGACGCCGCGCCAGACACCCACACACACCCCCGCGCCGCGCCGCGTCCGCGCCCGCCGCCGACCGTCGAACGTCAACCGCAGGAAGGACCGCGATCAACCATGGGCATAGACATTGTGGCTGGCGGACGGCGCGTGGGCCACAAGGCGCGGACCGACACGCGGTCGGAGAACGTGTACCTCAAGCTCCTCGTGAAGCTCTACCGGTTCCTGAGCCGCCGGACGGACTCCAAGTTCGTCAAGGTGGTCCTGAAGCGGCTGTTCATGTCGCGGACGAACCGGCCGCCGCTCGCGCTGAACAACCTGGCAAAGTTCATGAAGGGCAAGGAGGACAAGGTCGCCGTGCTGGTGGGCACCGTCACGGACGACCCGCGCCTGCTCGAGATGCCCAAGCTCACCGTCTGCGCGCTGCGCTTCACCGAGACGGCGCGCGCGCGGATCGTCAAGGCCGGCGGCGAGTGCCTCACGTTCGACCAGCTCGCGCTGCGCGCGCCCAAGGGCTCGAACACGGTCCTCCTGCGCGGGCCCAAGAAGGCGCGCGAGGTCTACAAGCACTTCGGCCACCAGTCGACGGCGACGTCCGTCCACACGCACTGCGGCGCCAAGCCCTACGTCCGGGCCAAGGGCCGCAAATTCGAGAAGGCGCGCGGCCGCCGCGCCTCGAAGGGCTTCAAGGTGTGAGTCGTCGCGTGACGGCGGGCAGCGCGCGCGCGCGCGCGGTTGCGTGTGTCTAACGTATGCGTTGGAAGTACTCTCGCAGCTGCGGCCGCGTTTCAAGAGATAGTCGAGCGCTCGGTCCGAGTTTTGGCCGCGCGGCTTCGGAAGGTCGATCCTATCCAGGACGCGGCCCCGGGGGGGGGGGGGGGGGGCCCAAAAGATGGGGGCCTAGTAGACGAGCGTGCCGTCGAAGGTGCCCGCCCAGCCCGAGTCGCGCCAGCGGCGGAATTCGGCGAGGTTGGCCCGCGCGGCGTCGACGTGCTCGGGCCGCCGCGCGAGGGCGAGCGCCTTCTCGAACGTGGCTTCCTGGGCCTCGCGCCGCGCCGGGTCGCGGAGCGCGCAGATGCCCGCGTCGATCCACGCGAAGCCCGCGTGCGGGAAGCGCTCGACGCAGCGGTCGAAGAGCGCGCAGCCGGCGTCGAGCTCGCCGAGCATGACGAGGGCCTTGCCGCGGAAGACAAGCGTTTTGGGGCTCTCGGGGACGCCGAGCCGCTCGACGGCCGCGAGGCCGCGCGCCATCAGGTCGCGCGCCGTGTCGCCCCGGTCGCCGCGCGCCATCAGGTACTCGGCGTACGTGTCGAGGCAGCGCCAGTCGTCGGCGTCGACCCGGAGGCACCGCTCGAGGAGCGGCACGTCGTCGCGCCACGCCGGCGCGAGCGCCGCCGTCGCGTCGACGAGCGCCGCGACCAGCGCCGCCGCCGCGACCGCGACCGCGGCGGCCGCGGCGGCGCGGCGGCGCGGCGGCACCGGCGCGACCGGCGCCGGCGGCGGAGGCGCCGAAGTCGCGCCGGCGCCGCTCGTCGAGGCGCCGGAGCCGGAGCCGCCGCGCGCGCGGTCGCCCGCCACCGCCACCGCCACCGCGCCGAGCACCGCGAGGCCGAGCGTCGGCAGGTAGAGGTAGCGGTCGCCGCCCTTCTGGACCATGCCGTGCTGCACGAGGCCGCACGTCGGCAGGAACGCGGCCACGACGTAGACCCACGCCGCGAGCGCCGCGCCGCCGTCGAGCCCCGCGAGCGCGAGCGCCGCGCAGCCGGCCGTCGTGGCGACGAAGCACGCGAGCGCGAGGCGCGCCTCGCCGTCGTCGTGGCCCGCCTCGAAGTAGAGGTCCCGGAGCGCGTAGTGCGGGCTCAGGCCCGCCGGGTACGCGGCCTTGCCGAGGCAGAACCAGATCGTGACGAGCGCCTTGGCGCAGCGCTGCGCGCCGGTGTGTAGTACGATAACGTCGGCGTCCGGGTCGTGGCCGAGCGCGTTCGCGCGGAGCGTGACGGGGACGACGACCGCGGCGACCGCCGCGTAGCCGGCGAGGTCCCGCGCGGTCGTCGCGGCGACGCGCCGCAGCAGGCGCGGCGCCCCGACGCGGCGCGCGAGCAGCGTCGCGTCGAGCGCGGCGACGGCCGCCGGCGCCGGGACGACGACGCTCTTGCAGAGCGTCGCGGCGAGGTAGAGCGCGGGCCCGGCGGCGCGGAGCGCGGCACCAGCCGCGCCGTCGGCCTCGACCACGGCGACGTGGCTCCGGAGCGCCAGGAGCACGAGCAGCGCCGCGGGCGCGTACGGCTGCGCGGACGCCCACGCGACGACCTCCGCGTGCGCCGGGTGCGCGGCCCACCACGCCGCGGCGACGAACGCGCACGCGTGCCGCGTCCGCGCGTCGCCGCCGACGCGGGCGGCGCGCAGGACCGCGCCGCAGAGCGCCCAGAGCCTGCGCGCGCGCGCGTGCGCCGTCGCGGCGGGCGACGACGAGAGACGCCGTGCGCCGCGCGCGACGGCGTTGGCCGCGTGGAACGCCAGCGTCGCGACGCGGTGGTACCACCCGTCGACCGTCAGGAGGCCCGAGGCCTCGTCGAGGCGCGCCGTCAGCCGCTGGACGACGGCCTGCGCGCGCGCCGCTGGCCGGACCCGCTCCCCCTCCCCCCGGTGGCCGCGCGGGCGCGCGCCTTGAGCAGCCACCCGAGCGGCTCGAAGACGTTGATGCGCCTCGCGCTCCACATCCCGCGCAGCGTCTCGCGACTCAGCGGCCGCCGCACGAGGTCGTTCTCCAGGAAGTTGTTGCGGTCGTCCCACTCCTGAGCGAGGCCCCAGCCGCCGTCGTGGTCCAGGAGCGGCCGGTACGCGGCGAGGACGACCCCCACGAGGGTGAGAGGGCAGAGGATGGCTTCCCAGGCGCCGGCGCCGCGCGCCTCCGCCCGCATGGATGAAGGCTCTGACGTCGGAGCCTTGATGGTTTCTGACTACTACATGGGGCAGCTTCTCATTGCCATCTCGGGCCTGCTAGTTTGATGCAAGTTGTACGGTACCATACCTAGGTACCGTAGGTACCGTAGGTACCTACGGTACCTACGGTGCAGGGGCAAGGCGACGTCCCCATTGGCGTAGCGGACCACCTGCTGGACCGACCGACCTCTCTAGTGGGTTAATTTGAAGGGTAATGGGGCTAATATGGGTTTTGGTATTTTATATCTTCCTTAATTTATTTATTTATTACGAGCCACCTATCACTCTTGGCAAGGCTGGATGGTCATAGCAAGGCAGTCTCCGTGGGCGACGACGAGGACTGGTCCTGAGCCGGCGCCTCCCGGTACATATCTATTCTCCTCCCCTTTGACTCGTCTGAAAAAAGACTGTTGTCTGTCGTCTCAGGCTTAAGAAGTGAGTTTTACTATATACACATGACCCTCGGAGTCGGAAGCCTCCCAGGTGGGGGCATCGTACGGGTACTGCTCCGGCTGGCGTGGGACGTTCCGAAGAGCTCGCTGCCGCGGTCGACGTTTCACGACGGTAATCTCGGTGCCCGACCTTTCCACGAGTCTGAGTGCACTTAGCCCTCTCACCCTCTCACGAGGCACCCTCCGCGCGCCAAGTGCGCCTTGGCAATGGATTGCTAGTGTCTTACGGCCGCTAACTGCTCGGCTCTGCTGAGTGAAACAGGTGCCCGTCCGCGCCATATCTGCGCGCTAGATAGAAGTGTGGCGCAGTTGGCACGCCTTTCCGCCTTGCATTGAGCTCGATCGCAGTAATCTAGCCAGCATCGATCCAAGGATGATCATGCGCCTCGGCCTCACCCTGTCTGTGCTGCGCACCGCGCGAGCGCTGCAACAGCTGACGCGACACGGCAGCCGGCCGGCGCTGCGCCGCGGCGCCGTGGTGGCGGCCGAGCCGCCTGCGCGGCCGCGGGCGCGCGCGCCCCGCGCCACGGGCAAGCTGCGGCAGCTGCCCCACGCGCCCAAGGCCGACGAGCTGCTGCGGCGCGCGGCGAGCCGCGCGGCCAAGGTGCCGCGCGACGCCGCCGAGCCGAACGCGCGGCGCCGCGCCGCGAAGCAGGCCGCCGCGCGCGCGGACGCGATGGGCCAGGCGGTTTCGGTGCCGCTTCGCCAGGTCCTCGACGCGCACGCGCCCGAGGCGCTGCGGCGGTCGCTGCACCCGTTCGAGCACGCGACGGCGACGCTGACGGCGGCGCAGCGGACGCGCACCGGCGCGCGCGCGCCGGCCGACGTGCTCGCGGACATCGCCGCCGTCCGCCTCGCCGTCCTCGCGGCGGCCTGTGTGGTAATCAAATTTCACGGCGCCCCGCCATCGACGCGCCGTTGTCCCTGTGATTGCGTCTGCTCGATGGCGTGGAAGAACCTAACTCACGTGCTGAGTTTCACGCAGGCGGCGGCGCGGGACGGCGCCGCCGCGGCCAAGGCCGCGCCGACGGCCCGCGACGCCGCGACCGCGCCCGACGCGGTCCTGGCCGCGATCGAGCGCGAGCTCGCCGGCCGGGGCCGGCGCGCGCTCGAGGAGCTCCGCGGCCACCAGCGCGCCCTCCGACGCATCCCCACCGTGTCGCTGCGCGCCCCGACGCTCGTCCTCGTGGGCGCGCCGAACGTCGGCAAGTCGACGCTCGTCCGCGCGCTGTCGACCGGCGAGCCCGAGGTCGGCAACTACGCGTTCACGACGCGCGGCGTGTCGCTCGGGCACGTCTACGACGGCGGCGCGCTCGCGGGACAGGTCATGGACACGCCGGGCCTCCTGGACCGCGACGCCGCGGCCCGGAACGCCATGGAGGACCTGACGATGGCGACGATGGACCACCTTCCCAGCGCGGTCGTCTTCGTGTGCGACCTCTCGGGCCACGCCGGCGAGCGGACGTCGTCGCCCGACGCCCAGCTCGCGGTCCGCGACGCGCTCCGCGCGCGCTTCCCGCGGCGGCCCTGGATCGACGTCGTGTCCAAGGCCGACCTCTACGACGCCGCCGACGCGCCGCCGCCCCCGCCCGACGGGGCGCTCCTCGTCTCGGTGCGCCAGGGGCGCGGCCTGCCGGAGCTCCGCGCGGCCGTCCTCGACGCGCTCGCCGTGGTCCGGCGTCTGACGGGGGGCGGCGGCGAGTGACCGTGGGCCGCTGCCGTTTGTGACCTTATAAATCGCAACTTGGCAAGCCTGAGTAATCTATCAGGGTGGCAATCCAAGACGAAGTAGCCGGGAGAGACCGGTAACTTTTCCTACTAGGGAGGAATAAATTTCGATTTTCGGAAAGTAGTTATTAGTAATATACCACAGACGCGCGCGCGGCTCACTTACATAGAAACGACCCGGGGTTAGAATACATGGGCTCCCAAATTCAGAATTCATCATAGTCGTTCGCCGCGACCAAAGATTTCAGAGAAGATACCCTCGCGGCTCCCGAAAGACGCTGCCCCGTTGCGACATTCGCGGATGAGTCTTACGGGTTGCCAAAATACACCAGCGATTGAGGATGCCTTCTACCGTCCAAATGGTACATTATATCAACTCCAGCCCAGTTTTCATTCACAATCGACGGAACCGGAGCCGACGGCCCGCGCTCGGAGGGCGGGAAAAGAATTCTACTAGACAACTCCCGAGTTTATGTTCGTTTCCTTCCGTTTGTTAATGGTAGATTCCATTTAGGTCGAATCAGCGATCACTGAGCTATGTAAGATGCTCCATTGGAGTCCCGCGATTCGTCGACTTCGGGACCTCGCGTTTATATGAAGGCGGGCTCCAGGCCTAGACCTGCGAGTATCAGCGACGCCACCATCCAGATGGACCATAACGCCGTTGTTCTATTCACAATCGACCGACTTGCCCGTTCTCCGCGGACGACGGTGCGTAGACGGGGCACCAGAAAGGCCCCAGACCGGTGAGTTGTGAAATAAATTTGCGTTTCAGGCGATTTAGTTCTAGGACGGGCCAGCTAACCGGCTTGATTGTGTACTACATTGCTCCGAGACCCAAAGATGCTCGGCGCGGGTCGTCGGTCTCGCGAGCCCACGATCTGGCTTTAATGGGCGAATTACTTGAACCTGCGACCATCAGCCCGTGTACGATTCCTATGGACCATGACGCGATCATTTGTTTCATGATCGACCGACTTGCGCGAGCTCCAGATGCAGATGTTCACGTCCCGAGCGTGGGCAGCCCAAAGTAGCCTTCTCGCGGTGCAGATGTCAAATACTTGTAGTTGACTATCGGTGGGGTAGTATGGGGTCCGACGAGACCGCTACGGCGACTTCTGGGGGCCCTCGGGTAATTGGCGTTTTTTACTGGAACGGGGTGCCATCGGGCCCAAATTACTTACTTTTTTCGGATGTAGATCGGCTCGTGAACTCCCTCCGGGATAGGTCTGAGGTCGGGTAGTCGCCTGCACCGCATGCGCCGGCGCTTGGAGCTCCCCAGAGAGCTCTGGATCCAAAACTTGAGAGACTTGTACTACCTACCTATTGACCTACGCAACCGCAGGGACCTAGCCCGGGGCGGGTACTCCTCGAGACCAGTTCCTGACTTGCGAGGGCAAGCCCGGCTCCGACCTCCTTTCACGAGTTTCTGCACCGCGGGGGGCGACGAGCTCGCACGACGGGGGGGGAGCGACTGGTGGGCCGCGCATTGCTGGGGACCTGTACTGATATGTATCCACCGATTGAAGCGCCCGCGTATGCGGCGTAGGCGCTTGCACGTGTATAGTACCGACCCTAAGCGACCCCAGGGAGACTTCAGGGCCACGAATTGACAGGATTCCACCGACGCGCCCGCCATGGTGGCATCGTCACTGGCTCGTCAGTATCGCGAATTAAAAATATTATTTTTTTCGCCCCCCAGTACGTGCCCCATTGATCTCTTTGGACCAGTAGCGAACCGAACGATACTCATAAAAGTGCATGCCGCGTCTAGGAGTTTCTCGCGGAATCCACGCCGGACCCCGCCATCGACCCCTCCCCCAGCCGGCGAATCATGAAGGATTACCCTCCCCCCCACCCCGCCTCCTTTGTCTATATGTCACGATCCAAGGCATCACGATCCGCCCGACAAAAACCTCGCGCTAGCGGCCGGTAAGACACTAGCAAGGGCCTGTCTCGCGGGCTCGCGGCGCTTGGAGGCGGCTGAAATCGTAGACGGCAAAATAAATCCTCTCCGGGCGCTGCGCGTCCTCTGCATCATGTTGTTGTACCCTGGCGCAACGGCGGCCGAGGCGCCCGCGCGCCAGCACACGAGCCGGCCGATCGTCACCGGCACGTCGGTCCTCGGCATAAAGGTACGTCCCCCAACCCGCCCCGCGCCCACCGCCCGAGCCCGGTCCTCACTCATCACGCGCGCAGTACAAGGACGGCGTGATGCTCGCGGCCGACACGCTCGCGTCGTACGGGTCGCTCGCCATGTTCAAAGACGTGACGCGCATCGCGCGCACGGGCTCGTACACGCTGGTCGGCGCGTCGGGCGAGCTCTCGGACTACCACGCGCTCCTGGACAAGCTGAAGGGGCTCGCGCAGGCGAACGCGAACTGCGACGACGGCTTCGAGCACGGCCCCGCCGAGATCTACTCGTACCTCCGCGCGGTGCTCTACCAGCGCCGGAACAAGTTCGACCCGCTCTGGAACTCGCTCGTCGTCGGCGGGTTCAAGGACGGCGCGCCGTTCCTGGGCTCGGTCGACCTCCGTGGCACGGCGTACGAGGACGACGTCATCGCGACGGGCTACGGTAGCCACCTCGCGCTCCCCATCATGCGCGCCAAGTGGACGCCGGACCTCGACGAGGGCGAGGCGCGCGCGCTCCTCGAGGACTGCCTCCGCGTGCTCTTCTACCGCGACTGCCGCGCGCTCGACACGGTCGTCCTCTCCAAGGCAACGGCTACCGGCACGCTCGTCTCGGACCCCTACAAGCTCGAGACCGACTGGACGTCGGCGTCCTTCGTCGCGCCCAAGGCCGGCGGCGACGGCGATGGCGGCTGGTGATGGAATAACGCTCGCAGGCGGCCGGACCGTGACTCGTCCCCAGCTTAATTATATACCTTCGAGTAAGCGGTGGGATGATACAAGTATAAGCGGACGGGGCGTCACATAGGTCTTCCTTAATTTATTACTCGTATAGACGCCGCAGCGTTGAAATTTCGCAACAACATCTTGTCGTTGGACGCGTCCGATCTTCTCGTTCGCCGCTTTTAAAGTGAACTTACTTTAGGTTCACCCCGGTGTCTTTACGGCAGCTACTTAGTACTTAGCGCCGGGCTTGATCCACTTGGATAAGCAAGAAGATAGTGCGGGATATAGGGAATTATCAGGGACGGGGCGTAGTACCGCGCGTAGTACCGCGCGGGTACTACGGACAGCTTAGGGTACTATGATACCACGCAGGGGTCTGAGGGCAGTTCGTAGTCGGTGGAGTCTGAGACCGGAAATCGACGTATCTCTCCGAGCTGCATCCATCCCCAGAGTTCCTGTGAAATATCCATGGGGGCAAAATTTCGGTACTTTCGGCGATACCACGCCCGTTACTGTATTCGAGGCTCCATTTACTGGCCCATTGACCTAGACATGGCCTAGAGATGGTCCCGGGATGTGATGGGCAGCCCAGGACCGCGTATAGTAGCCCCCGGGCTGCCCCGGCCCGCCGTCCGGGACCCCCCCTAAACAATAAAAATTAATTAAAATAAAAACCGCAGTACTGCGCAGGTACTACGCAGCACTGCGCAGTACTCCCGGTCCGGGAGTACTGCGCAGTGCTGCGTACTACGCCCCGTCCCTGGGAATTATCGGCTCCGGGCACATGCCGGCTGGTATAGCGTGCTGAGCGCGTGGGAGGCAACCTCCCTGGGCCGACCCCCGCGAATGCCCATTACCGCACTCACCGGGTCTCCCCGCCTCGGGCAGCCCCCGGCCCCGGGCGACGTGCCTCAGGCCGGGGCCAAAGTCAGCCCCGTACGACAGTATTTCCCCGAAATTTACCGGCACCATAAAATAATTTTTTTAAAAGGTCAATCGGGAACAATATCATTTTTGAAAAATTTTCATGATTTGACAAATACAACCTTTGAATCCAATCAGTGGATCGTTGTAATCCCGCGGCGCCCGTGATGAGTGGGGTCAACAGCCCTCTGTTTACAGAAGGAGCTTTAATAAGAGACCCAAGGGCTGTCCCGAACCTATGTAAGGCTGACTCAGGTCTGTCAGCTATGTTTTGGTATCTTGGCAGCAATATCGTCACATCTAGTGGCTCGCTGCAAGATACTTTCTTATACTTGCTCGTGTCCAACAGCGCTCCGATTGTGAGAGCGCAGGACAAAGGAGCAAGAATTTTGGCCCTCCCACCCTCCCTTGGTTGTTTTGGCGCGGGGGCGCGTGGTCCGGGGTCCCTGGGGTTGGCGCCCGTTGTGGCAACGGCCTCTTTTCCACTTATAAATCTCCCAAAATTTTATCTTAGCTTCACTACCCTAGTCTCACTTATCTTGGTTAAATACCCGGACAGAGTAGGCCTAGTGAATGTACATTGCAAACCAGGATAGGGAGGGACTCTTGTTAGCTGCGCGCGAGACCCTGGTTTTAGGGGCTCGTCGCGCCTGGCTAGGATCGAGCCTGCTCCAACTTGGCGGCACCAAGCTTGCTATATGGCGACGACGCCCGGCACCTCGGGCGCCGGCGGCGTCCTCTACCGCCTCGACGGCCAGCTGCGCGTCGCGGCGTTCGTCGAGCTCGCGCTCGCCCGGCCGCGCCGCGACGAGGCGCCGGGCGCCAGCGACGCCGCGACCGCGCCCGTCGCCGTGGGCGAGAGCTACCTGAGCCGCGTCGGGTGCGTGCGGCCGGGGTTCCTCGTGCGGTCGATCGACGACCTGCGGCGCGGCGAGGCCACGAGCATGCCGCACTTCCACCGCTGGTCCGCGGCGCCGCCGGTGGCCATGTCGCCCGCGCGGTGCGTCGCGACGTGGATCAACCGCGGCGACGACGCGGTGGTCATCGAGCTGCCCGTCCGCGGAGCCCAGGCGTCGGCCGTCGCCGGGTCGCCGGTGACGCCCCTCGAGCTCCGCCGGAGCGACGACCCCGCGGTCGACGCGGACGACGCGGCGTACGTCCTGGCGGGCGTGCACTCCGGCGAGGCCGCGGCCGTCGCGTGGCTCTTCGCGGCGCAGACGCGCGGCGACGCGCGTCGCGTCGCGCGCGCCGAGGCGCGGCGCGCCGGACGCCCGGCGCCGCCGGAGCGGCGGAGCGTGCGCGTGTCGCTGGCCGGGTCGCCGCGCGTCGGCGACCTGGGCGCGAGCGCGATCGCCGCCGCGCTCCGCGCCGCGCCGACCCGGGCGCCGGACGACGTGCGGCTCCGCGCGCTCGACCTGTCGCGGTGCGCCGTCGGCGACGCCGGGTGCGCGGCGCTCGCGACCGCGTGCCGCGGCCTCGAGGTCTTGGCGCTCCGCGCGAACGACGTGGGGGCCGTCGGCGCCGCCGCGCTCGCGGCGACGCTCGCGACGCAGCTCGCGCCGCGTCGCCGCTCGCCGTCGCGGCGGAAGCGGAAGGCGGAGGCGGGCGAGCCGCCGGCGCCCCCGGCGCCGGCGGGCCTCCGCGAGCTCGACCTCTCCGAGAACGGCCGCGTCGGGTCGCGCGGCGCCGTGGCGCTCGCGGCGGCCCTGCGGACGAACGGCGCCCTCGAGGTCCTGTCGCTCGACGCGTGCCGCGTCGGCGCGAGCGGCGCGGGCGCGCTCGGCGCGGTCCTCTCGGAGGCGCGCGGCAACCGGACGCTCCGCGTGCTGCGCCTCAACGGCAACCGCCTCTCGGACGCGTGCGTCGCGCGCCTCGTCGCCGACGTCGCCGCCGCGTCCGTCGAGGCGCTCCACTGCGCCGTCGCCGGCGGCGGCGCCGGCGGCGACGCGTCGGACGAGGACGAGGCGCACCGCGTCGCCGACGCCGTCGGACTCGCGCGCGCCGCGCCGCGCGACGCGGCGTCGTCCGCGGCCGCGCGCGCGGCGCGCGTCGGCGCCGTCGGCGTCGGCAGCCGCGAGCTCTCGGCGGTCTGGGTCGGCGACGGCGACGCGCGCGCCGCCGGCGACCGAGCGCCGGCCGTCGCGGCCGCGGCGACGCCGGTGGAACCGCTCGCGCTGCATCGCGTCGCGCTGCCGCCGGCGGTGGCGGTCCGCGCGGCGCCGCGGCTTTTGGAGCTCCGGCTCGGCGGCGGCGGCGCCGCGCACGCCGCGCGGTACTTCGCGCACGCGATGCGCTGCGGCGCCGCGCCGGCGCTGCGGTCGCTGCAGGTCGACGACGCCGGGCTCGACGGCGCCGTCGTGCAGGGCCTCATGGCCGCCGTCGCGACGCACGCGACGCTCGAGTCGCTGTCGATCCGCGGCTCGCCCGTCGGCACGGCGGCGGCGCGCGCCGTCGCGTGCGCGCTCGCGCAGGCGCCGGCGCTCGCGCGCGTCGACCTCCGCGGCACGATCGCGGCGAGCGGCGTCGGCGCGAGCCACGTCTGCGCGGGCGTCGCGGCGAACGGCCGCCTCGCCGAGCTCGGCGGCGTCGCGCTGGGCCGCGGCCTCGCCGCGCTCGGCGTCGGCGGCGGCGGCGTCGCCGAGCTGAGCAACGCCGCGCTCCTGCCGAACCTCGGCGCGCTCGTCGCGGCGCCGGCGGCGGCCGCGCGCGGCGGCGCCGGCGAGCCGAGCGACGACGCGCGCCGGCGGCGCCAGCTCCAGCTCCTGGCCAACGTCGCGCGGCTGCCGTTCGACCTCGACGAGCTCAAGGAGCTCTACCGCTTCTTCTTCTGCGCCGCGCCGCCGCGCGACTTCGACGAGGGCGTCGACGCGCCGCCTCGGGCGGCGGCGCTGCCGCGGCCGCCGGGCGCCGGCGAGCGACGCGCGCTCGACGGGGCGACGCCGCGCGTCGACGCGTTCCCGCGGCTCGCCGCGCGGCTGCGCGCGGACCTCGCCGCGCGCGCGGCGTGCGCCGACCCGGCGGCGCGCTTCGACGCGCTCCGCGACGTCCTCGTGCGCCTCCGCCAGCTGCGGTACTACGGCATGCAGGAGCGCGGCGACTGGCTCACGCGGCGGACGCTGGTCGTCGACGACTCCGAGACGACGCGGCGCCTCTTGAGGCGGAGCTTCGAGAACGCGGGGTTCCTCGTCGACGCCGCGCGGGACGGCCGCGAGGCCCTCGTGTGCATGCGCCGCACGCCCTACGACCTCGTCATCATGGACCTCGAGATGCCCGTCATGGACGGCTGGCGAAGCACGCGGGAACTCCGCGCGTGGGAGCGCGATGCCCCCGCCGGCGTCCGGCCGCAGCGCGTCTGCGCCGTCTCGGCCGAGCCGCAGCGGCGCGACGGCGCGCTCCGCAGCGGCGCCGACGCCTTCGAGGCCAAGCCGCTCCGCGTCTCGTCGCTCCTCGAAATGTCGACGCGCGTCGCCGCCGAGGCGGCCGAGCGCCTCGACGCGGCGCTCGACGCGTCGGGCGAGGCGTCCGACGCCGGCGGCGCGTCCAGCGACGGCGCCGCGGGGTCCGCGCGGCCGGCCCGCTTCGAGCCGCGGCTCCCGCCGCCCGACGCGCTCGAGGACGCGCTCATGCTCGAGTGCGCAGGGGTCTTCGCCGCGCCCGCCGCCAAGCGGTCGCGCGCCGCCGGCGCCGCCGAAGCTCCAGCGCCCTCATCTCCACTTGCCAGTGGGGGGGTGGACTCTGTTTGACTGTTTCGCTTCCTAGGTCCGGGGCTAGTAGTGACATATAGTAGTGTATGGCCGTCTTAGTAGGTGGTTCGGTGACCGTGACTTACTCGCGAGCTGGACCTTATAAGGTCCACTGGTCCCGTCACCTTCACTGGCAGCGATATCAGCTTTGGTTTGTGCTTCAAGTTGGATCTGATGAGCTGGGTGGCAGTGGGTGCAGTATGCCAGTCAGTGCACAATGCAGCCTGAGCTATCATGATGGTCACCGCGACGGTCACGGTCATGGTAGCTAGGTCTCAGGCTCTCGGGTGTCAATGTGACACGGAGATGCCAACAGGAAGGACTCTCGCTGAGACGTGAGAGCATGGGAACCCCCTCAACCGTGAGATTCAAGTCGATAATACAAACTTGAAGTTGGAATAAATAATACAAGGTCGTTTGAGCCCCTCTGGATGTTCAGGTTTCTTAGCGGAGGAAGACTCAGAAGAAGTAACACTCCATTCGGGTGTAGACAGCCAGTCTCATCATCCACTAACCTGTTGAGCGTGAGCCACTGGTTCTCCGAAATGATTAGACTCGAGCAGCGCCATTGCTGCTATCATCGACCGCGGAAACACGATCTTACCCTCAGTATCTTTATAGCCTCCAGCAAAAGCTCCTGCTAATGACGGGGGTATATACGAGACTTCCACGAATTCCTCGTTTTCACCATACCGTTGTTTAAGGAGCTCGCTTGGTTCTCTCGCTGTAAAGACCAGCGCCGGCGCCGGCGCAGGTCCTGCGAGAGGCTGCTCAGCCATCAGAGAAGTTCAACAACCTAATAGCAACACAACCCACTCCAAAAATTCTTGCTCCTTTGTCCTGCGCTCTCACAATCGGAGCGCTATGGGACACGAGCAAGTATAAGAAAGTATCTTGCAGCGAGCCACTAGATGTGACGATATTGCTGCCAAGATACCAAACATAGCTGACAAACCTGAGTCAGCCTTACATAGGATACGTGGCCATATCATAGCAGGTAGGTACCACGGTACCTACGGCACAGCGTATCGTCACGGGAGCCGCAACAGCCGGACGTATACAAAAACGGTTGTATTACGATTGCAGATGACATGAACGACGAGGAGCCGCCGCCCGGCGCTGCGCTCGCCGTCGAGCCTAGCGAGGCGCCCGAGCCGAAGAAACCTGGCCTCGGCCTTGGGGCGCTAGCCAAGGTTGCGGGCCGGCTCAAGCAGACCGACGCACAAAAGGCCGATCGCGACAGGCGGCGAAAAAAGCGAGAATTGCTGCGCCATCTCAAGAAGTGATGTCCAGTGTCCTAAAAACGAGTCTCGAGGCAGAAGGGCTTCGCAATAATCCACCGCCCGCCCCTCTTTGAAAGGTCACTCCAAGACATAAAGACCGCGTCTTGGTCTAGGCTAGCCTGCTGGAGCTTGATTCCACACGCAGGCGGCGGCTGCTCGAAACGTTTACGGCGAACGACCGCACGGAGGCGCTCCGGGCGGACGTGAGACGCGCCGAGGGCGAGGCGGTTGGCGCGTTCGTCGGACCTGAGCTCATGGATATCTTGTTCCGGCGATTCGAGCCCAAGGGAGTCTCGAAGGCCGACGTGCGGCGACTCGCGGCCATCAACTACACGCCGAGCCAGTTTGACCTCTCATGAGCGGCCAAATCACTGGTCGAGAAGCGTGTAGTAAGTGTAAAACAATAGCAGGTTGCCATTTTAAAATGGAGGGGAGTGCGATGACTGGAGTAGCTCTAGAGCTACTTCAGTAAGTAACCCTACCCCCTACTAGGGGGTTACTTTACATCATACTAGGCCCATACCCGGGGTTACTTTAAATCATACTAGCCCCTAACCCGAGTTACTTTAAATCATACTAGCCCCATACCTGGCTTAACTGGGATCTGCAGCGCTTCATTAACCGCAATCCTTGTACTTTAATTGCTCTCCACAGCCTTTAGAATACGCTGCGCCTCGTGTGCACACGATTTATCCATCTTAGATATGTCTCGCACGACAGAACTGCGGCGAGAATGTGCGCGCCGACTCAGCGCACAACGGCGACTGGGGCTCAACGTGAGCAATGTGGCGAGCCCTGTGGAAACGACAGGCTGCGACATTGTAAATCTCAACATCTGCGTCATATTCGTCCATGTCATGGACGCTGCACCGCCGTAGCAGATCAGCGGTAACAGCCAAGATATCGAGTTGCCGGTCATTGGCACCGAGAAGAGAGTTTGTACGGAATGAACGGAGTGGTGGCAACGAGACATTGTCCAAGCCCCAGTCATGTTTGGCCACGCGGAGGACGTCGGCTGCCTCGTGAAGACATTCCGTGATAGCGACAAAGCGCAAAGCGGCGACGCGTCGCAGGGCTAGAGTGATATCTGCGGCCACGATGCGCCGTATCGAGCCCGGAGGTGAGCCAATAAGCATCTTGGTCGCAGTGTTACTCACGATCGGGAGGCGCGCGAACGCAAGGAGACGCGTACTGTTCGCCTCGGGGAGCGCCAGCAACGCCGTGCGATTTATGGGCGCTTGGTCCCATGTAGGGAGGTGCACATGGTAGTCATAATGATATGCGCTCACGATACGCGACGCGGGCTCGCGGAAGACACCAATGGCCGCGGCGACCTCTTCGTCGCCACGAAGGGCTGCGTGATGGTAGTCGGGCTCGACACGCGAGCCGCCCCCGAGGTAGCGCACATTACAACGCGGCCCGAGCACTCCGGCGGGAAACCTAGTGAGTCCTCCCGGCTTGAGCAGCAGGTCCAACGATTTGTTTCCAGCTTCGCACGCCATGGCCCAAACCAGCGGTGCAAAAGATGACCCTGCTTTGGGAACGTGGAAGAACCGAAACTTATCCTGCATCTTGCAAAGCGCCCGCTGGCCTGCCGGCCACAAGTCCTCCGCCTTGACTCCGCCGTTACTGCAGATACCTACGGTACCGTAGGTACCGTAGGTACCGTACCGGTATTCACTAGCCCTATTCTATCCGGGTATTTAACTAGGATAAATGAAACTAGGATAGTGAAGCTAAGATAAAATTTGGGAGATTTATAAGTGGGGAAAAGGCCGTTGCCACAACGGGCGCCAACCCCAGGGCCCCCGGACCACGCGCCCCCGCGCCAAACGTAACGAACCGTATCTAACCAAACGTTGTCAGATATCTAGGCTAGCAACCGCCAGTCCTCGTACAAAAAGCTATGGCGGGGCAGGCTAAAAGTGGCTCTGTGGTGCACCACAGCGGGCTGGGATGCTGCCGGGCCGCCTGATAACTGGGGAGTTTATCTCCATCGAAAAAGTCACTGTAGAGCGCGCAAGCTATTTAGGTCGCATATGTTTGATGGGGTTTGTGACGGGGAATTGCGTCCGTCAATAAAAGTGACTCAGGATGATGTTATTTGGTAACCACGGATCTGTGATCTCAAATTTTCCGTCTCAGGCTACTAGTAACACTGGCACCACGCAGAGCGTGGGCCCATAACCTGCGATGCATAGGGAAATAGAGTGTGTAGCTCCGGACTTCCCCGGCAGCGTAGTGTAGTCGCCTAACGAAATAGTTTCTCCCATGTTTGATGGGGTTTGTGACGGGGAATTGTGTCCGTCAATAAAAGTGACTCAGGATGATAATAGTTAGGAGTGAGAGGCGACTTCCCCCTACTAAGGGGATATCGGAGTACCCTAGGATGGGAAGTAGCCTAGGCGGGTAATACAAGTACGGGTTGTGCTTGGATACGTCTCAGTTGAACCTTGGGATCCTAGGACGTGTATTTCCATTGCAGGGAGGTGCCAGGGACATACAGTTTGCTAGCTGCCGGCGGGCCGGCTCAGCAAGTCTCGGATGAGTGGCAGCTAGCGGGCTCAGCAGCCCTCAAGATCAACTTCCGGTAGCAGCGCTCGTGTTGCCAGCTTTATCGGCGCGCTGCTCGACGCGAATCAGCTCGACCATCCTACCGTACGTCTTCCCAGGCCACGGGCTGTAGCTCGAGAGGGACGTGTATGTATTGATGTGCGTCACGCGGTGGTAGTGAGGAAAGTAGTGGCGGTGGACGACGTCATACGAGTGGAATACCGGGCGCTGATGGTCGAAGACGTGAGCGCCGCGCCGGCGGCCGGCGGAACGACGCGACCGCGTGCTGCGCCGCGTGTGTTTGTCATCGCGCTCGTGGCGCGAGTCATACGTGTTGTAGGAGCTGTCGTCGCTTTCACCCCCTGCGTATTCTCCGCTCAAACGCCGCGGCCGCGGCTTCGTGCGCGCGTACGACCGGGCTGGAAGCGAGTCGTAAGTGTCGTCGTCGTCGCTGTCGCCACCTTCAGAGCGGCGACGCCGCGACCGAGGGGGGCGCGGCTTGTCATGCGACGCGGCGCACGCGGAGTACGGCCAGCGCCGAACGTGGTACGCCTCGTCGATGCGCCGTTCTTTCTCTTTAAGGTCCACGGTGTCCTCGCGCACATACGGCATACCGCGCGAGATGGGGTGAGGCTGCTAAGGCGCTGTTCACGTACCCTTCGTACCTTACGGTACCTTATAATTCCCGTGCAAATACGCGCCTTACGCCTCACGAACGCCTGGCGCAGCTGCTGCCTCCTCTTATCGTCGATCCTGCCCCCCTGCGATGGGGAAGCTCGCTTGCGGGAGCTGATCGTGTGTCAGGCGCGCTTGCGCGATTGCGGCATGGGCAATTCCCTAGATTGTGGTCTTGGCGACTGCGGCAGCCCCGACGACGCGGAGAGCGATTACTCGAAGCCGGTCGAATACAGCCAGGTACTGGGTCCAGCGTCCAACGCCAAGGGAACTTTTTCAGCCCGTCCGGCGTCGCATTTGTGACGGGCACACGGAATGCTTCGTAGGCTACGTCGACAGCGCGGCCAAAGAAGATTCTGAGCAGCATGGAGGTCCACCGGCATCTCACAGAGTTCTACGAGGCGTGGAAAACGGGGGCAATCCAACAGAAACAGCTCGAGATGCTACAAAAAATGCCAGTGGATCCGGCGACGGGACTTCTGTGGTGGCAGTGGGTCGAGCGACATTCGGGCATCTGCGACCACCATCCGCCTCGCGAAACTCCCGCGTTCCGGCCGTAGACGCGCTACCTGCACTCTTTCATGTCAAATGCCGGCCCATCACGGGTACACTGCACCGGTTTTCGCGAAGACTCGAATGGTGTGTGTCCTACTACACAGTCGGAACTTCGCCTATTAGGAACTTCGCCAGGTTGGATTTGAAGGGCCAAAAAAAGGGCGAGCATGTTCGCCAGACTATTGTGGCGTAGAGGGACGCGCGGTCAGTATACTTCTAGTATTATACCAACATATTTCCAATTGCAATTATATACTAGCATGTATTATTTATCGCGGCGCGATGCCTTCAAATTCGCATCGCGTTTTCACGATATATCGCGTATCTATACGCATAGTACCGTAGGCATACCGTAGTCTCGGCGTAGAGGTAGCAAGAGTATGTCGCAGCGTTATGTAAGGTAGCAGGGTCCTAGCTCACCAGCCGAGGGCTGGGCCAACCTAACTACGAGAGTGTTTTATAGTAAATTGTTGTTACAACGTAGTGCAAGGGTCCTACTAGTAGCTCACCAGCCGAGGGCTGCCACTGGGCCAACCTAACTACGAGAGTGTTTTATAGTAAATTGTTGTTACAACGTAGTGCAATAGACACTCGCTGTATAGACTCAAATTTAGAGAGAGTGGGAGATACATATCGGGTAGGAAGGGCTAGTAGGTTTCTCTCTCTAAGAGGTTAAGAGGTGCCAGGCGGTACTGCGGTACTTGCTGCATACCGCAGTAGTCATCAACATTTTCAGGATGCTGAAGTAGAGCGAGGGACGCCTACGAATGGACGCGCTGCGCTTCGTCCCGTTCTCGTCGGCGCCGAAGGTCGCGTTCTGGCAGGCCGTGGCCGAGCGCAAGCTGCGCGACTGGCGCCTGGACGACGCGCCGCGGCCCGCGCGGGGCTTTTACTGGGCCGGCGGCGGCGCGCGTCTCGTGCTGGACGGGGCGTCGCTGCGCGACGGCGCGGCGCCGCCCGGCGCGACGGCCTTGGCGGGCCGCGTGACGGTCGTCAACACGCTCGAGGCGTTCCGGCGCGTCGATAAGGCTGCGCTGCTCCGGCGCGCCGGCGACGCGCTCGCCGCCGCGGTCGACGACGGCGCGGCGCTCGCGGACCCGGCGCGCCTCGCGCCCTTCGAGGTCGTCGCGTTCGCTGACCTGAAGCGGCACGCGTACGTCTACTGGTTCGCGTTCCCCGCGCTCGTGCTGCGACCGGCGGCGGCCGCGACGCGCGGCGCGCCGGCGCCGCTCGACGACGCGCTCGGCGCGGCCGCCGCGCGCGCGCTGCTCGCGGCGGCGGCCGAACCGGGCGCACCGCTCGCGTTCGCGTGGACCGGCGCGTCGCGCGCGCCGCTGCGCGAGGCGGCCGGCGGCGACGTGTTCTGCGTGCTCGACCCCGCGGCGGCCGGCGCGCCGGGCTGGCCCGCGCGGAACCTCCTGTGGCTCCTCGCGCGGCGGTTCCCGGAGCGGCGCGCGTTCCGCATCGCGCTGCTCCGCGGCCGCGGCGGGTGCGTCGTCGAGGCGCGCGTCGCCGGCGGCGCGGCGGCCGACGTCGCCGTCGTCGGCTGGGAGGCCAACGCGAGCGGCCGCATGGCCCCGCGGTCGGCGGACCTCGCGCCGCTGGCCGACCCCGGCGCGCTGGCGACCGCCGCGGCCGCGCTCAACCTCGAGCTCATGCGCTGGCGACTGTTGCCGGGCCTCGACGTCGAAAAGCTCGCGGCGACGCGCGTGCTGCTCCTGGGGGCGGGCACGCTGGGCTGCGCGGTCGCGCGCAGCCTCGTCGCGTGGGGCGTGACGCGCGTGACGCTCGTCGACGGCGGTACCGTGGCGTACTCGAACCCGGCGCGCCAGTGGCTCTACACGGTCGACGACGCGAAAGCGCAGGCCCCCAAGGCCGCGGCGGCCGCGGCGGCGCTCCGGCGCATCGCGCCGGGCTCGGCCGCCGCGCCGCCGGCGTTCGTCGGAAAAAAGCTAACGATCGCCATGCCGGGCCACGCGCTCCCGGCCGCCGGCACGCCGGCGGGCGACGCCGCCGACGCCGAGGTGCACGCGCTCGACGCGCTCGTCGCGGACGCGGATTGCGTGTTCCTGCTCACCGACACGCGCGAAAGCCGGTGGCTCCCGACCGTGGTCGCCGCGGCGCGCGGCACGCTTCTCGTGAACGTCGCGCTGGGCCTCGACACGTTCGTGGTGCAGCGTCACGGCCACGGCGGCAACGGCCTCGGCTGCTACTTCTGCGGCGACGTCGCGGCTCCGACGAATTCGACGCGCGACCGTACGCTCGACCAGCAGTGCACCGTATCCCGCCCGGGCCTCGCGCCGGCGGCGGCGGCGCTCGCCGTCGAGCTGCTCGTCGCGCTCCTGCACCACCCCCGCGAGGGCGCGGCGCCCGCAGACCCGGCGACGCCGCCGGGCGCGCCCCTCCCGGGGAACCGGCCCCTCGGCCTCGTGCCACACTCGATCCGGGGCTTTCTCACTCACTACGCGACGGTGCTGCCAACCACACCGGCCTTCGACCGGTGCGCGGCCTGCGCGCCGGCCGTCGTCGCGGCGTACCGCGACCGGGGCGTCGCGCTCGTCCGCGACGTGGGCGCGGACCCCGGCCTCCTCGAGCGACTCTCGGGGCTGGCGGACCTCAAGGGAGCCGTCGACGGGGCGGCGTGGGCCGAGGCGGACGAGTTCTAAGCCCGGACATTGTGACAGTGATAGCGCCGAGCGCTTGCCTCTAGTACTAGTAGCCTGGTATAATTGTAGTAATAATAACGCCACTACTCATGGGCATCCTGACCGAGCAGAGAGCGGGTTCCTTTTTTAGGTCCGAATCTTCCTCAGGCTTCAAGTTCAAGTTAATTTTTTTAGTATTTATTATTTTATTTTCAAACAACAGCAGGTATTCTTTTCTAGCCCGAGGTCTCGGCGCCGCGTCCTCCGGCTCCAGGACGAAGTACATGCTATCGGCCCGGCCTCTTCTCTTGCCCTGTGCGAAATACCCACCACGGCGGCGGTGGATCTGGCTGCGGATCTGTATTTGCATTATATATGTCACGCGGGGGCGCGGGCGAAAAGCGCCAGGCCTTGTGCTGTGGACCATTGCGTGTCCTTCGTTTCTATTTTTATTTATTTATTTGCTTTGCTCAGAGCTAGGCCGCCTAACTACCACGACGCCGCCCCGCCCCCGGCCCTCATACGCCGCCTCCCCGAGTTATTTATTTATTTAAATAGTACTAGTAGACGACACACCGCCGGCGGCGCCAATGTCTCCGCTGGTCGGCGCAGGACTGCCGCCCGCCGGGCCGGCGCGGCGCGGCGAGCCGTCGCCGCGTCCTCGCTCGACGACGACGAGGTCCGGAGAATCCTCCGGCGTGGCGGGCGGGATCGGCGGGGCGCACGGCTCACAAATGGTCCTGGGGGGCGCCGACGGGCGCTCGTCGACCCGCTGCTCGCCCAGGATGTACTCGTAGGTCGTGAGGCCCCTCCGGACGAGCATGGCGTGAAACAAGGCGAGCTGGCCGATCAATACGACGAGCGGGACGAGCAGCGCGGCGTACGCGCAGACGAGCGCCAGGACCGCGTCGACGCCACGCTCGCGGCCGACGGCGTGCCGGCGCGCGCGGGCGGCGACGGCCGAGCGCCGGCGGTCGGGCACCGCCAGCTCGACGACCACGTAGACGGAGAGCGCGAGCTGCATCGTCGTGAAGACGCACGTCGACGCGATCACCGCGAGGAAGTAGCCGTAGTTCTTGGCACCGACGCACCTGATCGCCCGGGCGTCGTCTGGGCGCCCCCACTCTCCCCCGGCGCGCCCCCGGGACGAATATACGAAGGCGCCCCGGCCGCGCCGACGCGCGCGTATTCAGCCACTTGCAGTGATGGTCGAAGCGAAGCACGCACTTGTCGCAGAACCGGCAGTGCTTCGACGACGCGAACACGTGGACCTGGCAGAGGTAGCAGCGGCACGTGTCCTCGCCGACCGGCGGCGGCCACAGCGCCAGCGGCTCGCAACACCGGGCGAGGCGATTCGTTGCCGGCGGCGCCGCGGCGGCGACGCTGGGGTCGCGGGGGTCGACGGCCGCGGTGATCCAAGCACAGAAGAAGGTCGTCGCCGCGGCGGCCGTGTACACCGTCCCGACAGCCCAGCGCGTCGCCTCGCCGGGAAGCAGCGGCAGCAGCAGCCAGTAGAAGTCGAGGAGGACGACCGGGAACAAGGCCCAGGTCAGGCACTGCAGCGGATGCAGCGGATAGTCGAAGCCGTTCTCGCGCATTCTCGCAACGCCGCGTCACGACAGGACCATCTATGCTGTAGCGCCTAGGCTTTTTTGTGCTTTAGGCACGGTGCCTAGTATCTTACAGGTCGCTAGCGCTACTTACGCGCGCCGCGCCGCGTTGCCATTCCCTGGGGCCGTCAGGCTTCGGGGAGCGCCTGTGACAGGCTCCTGCCGCCCTCGGGGCCTGGAGCGGCCCGGTGCGGCCCAGGCCCGCGCCAGTGGCCCATGGCCCCCCTCCCCTACCCCTCTATAAGATCCTGGGGTTAATAACCCGTAGTAACGGGTAATTACCCGGGTAACTGACCCCGGGCCGCGATTGGGGTCAATAACCCCTCAGGTAAGTGGCAACCGGCCTACTAGTAGGGGCTGGCGACCGGGCTTCTATATATTTTTCTTGATGTGTCGGTTTTTATATCACTTTTTAGATTAGAGGCCGATTGTCCTATGAGCGCAGCAAATAGGGCTTAATCGACCTCTAGAATCTTAAAACTTGTGTAGAAAGTGCTAGAAGAAAGTTCTACCTTGACTAAACCACGCATCTTACAACTACTGCGCGGCGTCCTTTCCGCGTAAGTTGCACCCTGGGCCATCTCATCTCACCGGACGGACGACATGCCGCCATGGCAGGGCCCCGCGCCGCCCGCGGTCAGCGCCCCGCACCGGCGGAACGGTCGGGGGTCGAGACGCGCGCTCCCGGGCGCCGTCGCGTTCGGCAGCGGTGCCATCGCGTCGTCGGAGAAGAAGCGCGCGACGCGCCGCGCGCCGAGCGTTTCGCGCACCCACGCGCGGTAGTCGTTGGCGAGCGGACCGTCGTTCTGGACAGCGTTGGTCTTGAGACGGTGCGTCGCGCGCCACGCGTCGAGCGCCTTCATCCAGGGCTTGGGGCCCCAGGTAAAGTGCGCGATCGACACGGGCGCCGCGCCCGCCGCGCGCGCCGCGCGACCCGCGTAGAGCGCGTCCTCGCCGCACGAACTGAGCACGTACGAGTACGGTAACGTGACCATGACGTTGAACCGCGGGTGAAGCCACCGTACGGGCACGTCCGCGCGGCCGAGCGCCACGGTCAGCGCGGTCTGGTCGCCGTAGAAGCCTCGTCGCGACACGTTTACCAGTGCGTGCATCCAATCGGCCCAGCGCGCGTGTTTCAAGAACTCGTTGTTGTAGACGACGACGCCCGAGTTGGTCCCGTTGACCACCCGGTAGCCGTGGCCGAGCCGCGCGGCCGCTTCCGCGACGCCCGCGCGGAGCGCCGGGTCCGTCACGAGGCGATACTCGTCCGCGCGCTCCTTCGCCGCGCGGCTCGCCGCCGAGGAGACTCCCCGCGGCAGCTCGACCTGCGCGGCGGGAGAGGGGGCTCCTTCCCCGAGGCGGCGCGGCGGCGCGGGGATCGGCGCACCTCGAGGCACTGTGCGGGCAGGGCCGCGACGCACCCAATGCCATCGACGCGCGGGACCTCGAAGCGGAGCGCGTCGTCGAGCGGCCACGCGTCCGCGTCGACGTAGACCGTGTGGGAGTAGCCGTACTCCTCCAGCATGCGGGCGCCGATGACGAGGTGCACGAATGCCTCGGAGGGCCAGTGGCCGCGGCTGTGGTCGGTCTCCTTGCCCGGGATGCGGCTGACGACCTGTGCGGAAATCAAATCCGAGTTCGAGTGTCAGCCCCCACGCCCCCGGCGCGAGGCGTTGCCCTTGTAACTGCGTCTGCTCGATGGCGTGGAGGCCGGCGAGGGGTACTCTCTCGTCCTCCGGTTTCCACACAACGGACGACGTCCAACATCGCGAAATCGCGATGGTCGTAGTTCACGAGGCGGAGCTCCGCGCCGAAACGCTCGCGGTAGAGCCCCGAGAGGTCGTCCCAGACCTCGCGGCAGCTGGCGTCCTTCGCCGCGTTCGACCCGGGGCTGCCGTTCCACTTCGACGGGCGCGTGGCGAGAAAGGCGTCCCAGCCCGGAAACAGCTCACGCATGCGTAAGAGCACGACGAGGCTCGCCGCGAGCTGCGTGCCGAACTCGTGGTGCGTGACGGGCGACGCCGACCGGCAGTCGCTGGTCGTGAGGACCGCCACCCTGTGACACTGCGCGGTCGCCAAGATCATCAGGCACAGGCGGCGCATGCTAGATGCCGGCGCGCAGGGCTGCCCGAACATCGCACGGCGGACCTACATGTAACTCGCGCAAATTGCCAACACGGTCGACGAGCTTATACCAGGCATTTCCTTTTGAGAGCTTAAGAGGCTTTTGTCAAATTTTGAGATCATGATTTTTGGACCTAGATAACTCCTGTGCACGCTTCATGGCGCTCGAATGACTCTTACTATGGTAATTATGGTGCACCATGATGGCAGTGCAGTTGCCTGCCCTCGCGCTTGAAATGGTATGCTCCGACATCTCTCGCAGCCCTCTGGTCCTCTAGAGATCCCTCACGACCGCGGCGGTCTGGCGGTCTGCGTAGACGAATTTTCATCGCATTACAACCTCGTAAATTAGCCTCCCTCCTATACTGGGCCGCTGTGTTTGCCTTGGGCTGCCGCGCTTCAGCGTCATGAAATCGGCCCCCGCGGGCTCAAGACCGCCCCCGTTGATCATAGACCACCCGCCGGCGAAGCGCGCGCGGGTCTCCCCTCTCGGCGCGGCGCGGCACCCTCGCGGGCAGCTCCCCTGCGTCGACCCCTTGGGGTCCGCGTCGCGCCCCGCGGCCGGCGTCGTCACCCCGCCGCGCGGCGGTTTGGCCGTTCCCGCGGCGAAGACGGGCCGCTGGACCAAGCGCGAGGACGAGACGCTCCGCGCCGTCGTCGAGGCCGACGCGGCGGGCGCGGGCGCGCGGGACTGGGGCGCGCTGGCGGCGCGGGCCTTCGGGGGCGCCCGCAGCCCCTCCCAGTGCGCGGACCGGTGGGAGAAGGTCCTCAAGCTCGGCCTCGTAAAAGGACCCTGGACGCCCGGCGAGGACGAGGTCGTCCGCCGCGCGGTCGCAGCGGCGGCGGGCGGCGCCCCCGCCGGCTCCTTGAACTGGGCGGCGGTCGCGGCGCTGCTGCCCGGGCGCCTCACGAAGCAGGTCCGCGAGCACCAGCCGGCGTGGAAATCAACCAGCGAGTGGGACGCACAGTGTAATTTCATTTCTGCACAGGCGCTGGCAGAACCACCTGGACCCGCATCTGGTGAAGACGCCCTGGACGGCGGCCGAAGACTTCCTGCTCGTGTCGCTCCAGGCGATCCTCGGTAATCGCTGGAATGAGATCTCGCGCGCTTTCACGGGCCGGTCCGAGAACGCCATCAAGAACCGCTGGAATTCCAAGCAGCGCCGCCGCTTCCTCAACGACGCCAAGCCGCGCGCGCGCGCGCGAACCGCGGCGGCGGCGGCCGCCGCAACGCCCGCGCCGGCCGCCGCGGTCGACTTTCGCGGAGCGCTCCGTGCCGCCTTTGGCTCGGACCCGCTCGAGCGCGAGGCCGCGACCATCCTCCGCGAGCTCCGCGCGCGCACCGCGCCGCCGCCGCCGCCGCGCGTCGTCGCCTGAACGCTGACGCGGCAAGGACGAACCCAGCTCGCTGAGTTCGCTCCCTCCCGAGCTCACCGGCAGCAGCAGCGCAACCGCCGATACCCGTGCCCGATGTGTCCTAAGATACCCCTGATCCTACCCTGATCCTAGCGGGTCTGCTCAGCTGGCGCGGAGTCGCGGAAGTCCTCGACTTGAATCGTTCCCGGTTATCTGACAGGCATCGTCGGTAGTAGGCTCCGGAGCCTGAGAGATGGTCAAGATCCCTGTAAATCGGCGGCCTAGTCGGCCGGGGCGGGACGCCGTCGCGGATTTCACACGCTCAGGCTGGCTCAATGCCCTAGGCCCAACGCCGCGGCGCATATTTCAATGAAACGAACAACAAGGATGAGAGTCAACTTTCACCCTGTATTTCCATAAGGGAAACAAGAGCTTACCCTTATCAAAAGGGGGAGTGCGATAAATAGGGCGAAATACCCCGGGCCTAGGACCTAGTATCCTAGTATACCCTTCAAGTTCTATATACACTTACTAGTACTTCACACACAACACGCAACGCGTAATAAACACCGCAAAATTTGAAACCAAAACTACTTAGTGTATTTTAAGGTAGCTCCCCGGCAGATTATCTCAGCCCTAGGTTGCCATTAACCCCAGGGGTTATTAACCCCAATCGCGGCCCGGGGTTAGTAACCCGGGTAATTACCCGTTAGTACGGGTTATTAACCCCGGGATCTTATAGAGGGGTAGGGGGAGGGGGCCTCACGGGCCATTGGCGCGGGCCTGGGCCGCGCCGGGCCACATGACTTGGTACTTGCCTTGGCGCACCTGTACGTATCCAAAAGCCCAATGGGCTGCTTGCGCCCATCCGCTCGCCCGGAGGGGGTCTTCGCTAAACTCACTAAACGGGTTTAGTCGAAAACCCGTCGGGTTATTGAGCGGGTTATTAACCCCGGATCCCCTCCGAGGGGTAATTATAGGTTAATAACGGGTAATTAACAGGTTAACGGCAACCTAGTCTCAGCCGCCGTACTCCCAAAGGTGCGTTCCCCTTTGGTCTTGCATCATTCGCACTTATTGCTATTTCGCAGCTCCGGTTGGGCATCCTGACCGAGGAGGGAGAAGGCCCCAAAAAGCAGCCTCACTGAGGAGCGCGGAACAGGCCCTTCGAGTGCCACACGTCTGCCCTGAACCGTGACGGAGCGTGCGACACAGCCTGCAACGACTCGGTGGTCATCGCCCCTTTTTGGTCGAGAGCCGCACTGCGAACCTGCGGTGCGCGGCCTCCAGGAGCCGCCGCGCGATTTCTGGGACCGCGGGGTCCGTGCAGAGGCTGTAGACGAAAGTGCAGAGGATCGGCAAGAGGACCGCGGCGAAGACGTAGGTGATAAGGCGCTTGTAGAGGTCCATGCGGTGTCGTGCCAGCTTGTGGTCACGCCCCCGCGTCGTCCGGCGCCGGAAATAGGGCACGTTTGTGTTCTTGGGAGCGGCGGCAGCCAACTCGAGCCAGGCCGAGCAGGTGGCCAGCAGGAACGCACACGTTTCGGCGCGGCGCGGACCGACCATCACGGGCAAGCGACACACTCACGCAACGTCCTGCTGAATTCGTACCAACCTGCACCAATAGCTTGTACAAGTGGTAGATACAAGGTACCAAGTATGTATTAAGTTGTATTAGGCATGCCTACGATACCGTGGTACCGTGGTACTGTCCGAAGAAAGTGTCACGCATGTTACATCCGCTGCATGTTGCATCCGCTAGAGGGGAGTTGGGGGGCAGTAATGTTTAAAACCGTTCTTAGTTCTGCTCGCTCGCAAGCAAACAAATGAGGAGCAAACAAATGAGGTTAGCAATGCTGGCTGGCGTGACGCGGGCCCTGGCGGGCCCAAAGCGCGCCTACCCGGACCCGCTGCCCGGTTCGCACGACGTTTGCTTCGCCGACAACCCGCTGCCGGCAGGCATCGAGCCGCACTTCCCGCCGCGCGCCGCCGCGTGGGAACGCCGCGCGCGCGCGCCAAATCAAACGCGACCCGCGCGCTAGGCACGTTTACTACACTGGCCGCGGCGACGCGGACCTGAGAAATCTCGTGGGGCCGCCTCCGTCGACGCAGGCGCGGGCGACAGGCGACTGGGGCTACCCCGAGTGGTACGCGTTCCACTACTTCGACGACGACGCGCTCGCGACGAGCATGAAGGCGCTCGACGAACTGCTCAGGAGGGAGGAAGGCGTCGTCGGGAGCTACGAAGCGTTCCAGCAGCTCGGTCCGTTCGCCTTCAAGGTCGACTTGTGGCGCTACGCGATGCTTTACGCGTGCGGCGGAGTGTACGTGGACTCCAAGATGCGGCTCCAGACCAAGTTTGGGCCCTGGTCCGACCGACACTTCCTGAAACTCGAGCACCGACCGCCGGACCTCCGCTTCCAGGCGCACACGTGCGTCGACGAGACCGCGGAGGGCATGGACAAGCGCGGCGCCCCCGTCATGTGGCAGGGCTTCATCATGGCGACGCCGCGCGTCCGTCAGCTCCTCTGGGCCATCGAGTATATCGTAGAAAACGTCAAGCGGCGCTACTATCCGCACGAGGGCCACCTGTCGATGCTCTACGTGACGGGCCCCGGCGCGCTCGGGAGGGCCGTGACGGCCAGGCGGATCTGCCACAACGTGACCGCCCAGCCGCTCGGTAAATTTCGGCACACGAGCTGCCAGCGAGCTGACCGCGTGTGTGTGGACGGGGGCCTGGGAATCGCTCGGCGGAGCGCGCGCCGCCCGCAGGTGGGGCGCCCACGGCGCCGAGCTCCGGGGCAACCCCCACTCGGAACGGTTCTACGAGCTAGACCGTGAGCTTCACGAGTCGATGCGCGGCAACGTCGCGGCGTCCGGCCGGCCGGCGATGAACAGCTACGGCGACTGGTTTAAGCAGCACCGCGCGTACGGCGAGCCGCTCGACGAGGCGAGATACCCGCATCCGCGGCAGGGCCGAGTGCCCTACTTCTATCTTCTCGAAAACGAGACCGCATGCGAGGGGGAGGGCCGCAGCGGCGACTGCGCGACGTACGGCTGCGACGCCTTTGGCTGCGGCGAGGCCGTCGGCGGTGTCCACCTCGCGTGCCGGATGGACGCGTCGGCCGCGGCGGCCGCGGCGGCCGCGGCGCTGCGCAAGCGTCCCCACCACCACCGCCCGCGCGCTGTCCGCGGGCGGTGGCGCGAAGGCCGAGACGCCGTCGGGGCTAGCGACATCCGGGCCCAGTCCGAGGGCCGGCGGCCGATGATGATATAAGTTGAGTGGTTTTTTACACCATTTTTATGATTTTAGAGGTCTATTATGCCCTATTCGCATAGGACAATCGACCTCTAATCATAAAAATGATGTAAAAACCGACACATCAAAAAGAATTATGACGTCCCCGATATCCCCGCGACTCGGAGATGATCCAGCGTATGTTGTTCGAATGTGAGGCTTTGATGATGCCTTTTTTTGCAAGGTACGATTTGACCGATGCCAGTGGATATCGCTTGCGTCTATTCTTTATTTATTTGTGTAAATGGAGGGACGCGCTACCACACGTGTGAGATTGAAGATTCGCGGTGCGGCGGCGAAGTTATTCGTCTTGTGGCGCCGAGCGGCACAATCGCACAATTTCCCTGGGGCTGAGCCCGGAGAACTAGTAGTTGCAACGTTACCGCGCGGCCGCGGCTCAGCTGCGTCGGGTTTTGAACATTTATATCGCGAGCTTGCCCGCGCGCGGCCCTGCCTGCCGCGCCGGCCGGGCGCTGGGCTGATCCAAGTGCGCGCGGTGCGACATGCCGTCCTCGCAGAGCGCAGCGCGCGTAAAGTCGTTGCTGGACGGCGCGGACCCGACGCTGGGCCTCCAGCCCTTCTCGCGCCGAGGCGCCGTCGAGGCGGGTTTCCAGCTGTGGACGCCGCGGAGTCGCGCCGACTGCGAATCGAGGGACCGCGCGCTACGCCTTTGCGGCGGCCGCGGCCTCGAGGGCGCGTGCCGCGTCGTCGCGCCGCCGCGGCCGCCGCTCCGCGACGGCGGCAACGCCGCGCGCCCGGAGCCCGCGCCGGCGAAGACGCCGCCGCGGGGCGAGGGGACCGCGCGCGCCGCCGCGCGGCCGGCGCCGCCGCGGCCGGTCGACGACGGCGGATTCGACGACGCGGCGCTCCTGCGCGCGACCGAGGCGGCCGAGCGCGCCGCGCGGCCGGCGCCGCCGCGGCCGGTCGACGACGGCGGATTCGACGACGCGGCGCTCCTGCGCGCGACCGAGGCGGCCGAGCGCGCCGCCGCCGCGGCGCCGACGCGGCCGGCGGAGGCGCGCGTGCCGGCGGCGGAGATTCTCGCCCTCGTCTCGGGCCGCGACGCGGTCGACGCGGCGGCGCTGGAGGCCCTCGTCGCTCGCGCGCGGCGCGGCGCCGGCGCGGCGCCCGCGCTCCGCCGCGGCGCGCCCGACGAGGCGCCGGCGCCGCCGCCCGACGAGGCGCCGGCGCCGCCGCCCGGCGCGTTCGACGGCGGCGACGGCCGGACGTGCCGCTGCGGGGTGGCGGCGGTGCGCCGGACGGCGCGGACGGAGCAGAACGAGGGCCGCGCCTTCTACCGGTGCGGCGCGCGCGACGGCGGCGACTGCGGCTTCTTCGAGTGGGACGGCGGCGGCGCCGACGCCGTCGACCGGACGGCGGCGGGCGCGGAGGTCAAGGACTTCGAGGTCGAGAACCGGCGCACGTTCGGGCACCGGGGCTTCCGGCCCGGCCAGCGCGAGGTCGTCGGCGCGGCGATGGCGGGCCGCGACTGCTTCGTGCTGATGCCGACCGGCGGCGGCAAGAGCCTGTGCTACCAGCTTCCGGCGTGGTGCGCGCCGGGCCTCGCCGTCGTCTTTTCGCCGCTCGTCTCGCTGATCCAGGACCAGGTCGACGGCATGGCGGAGGCCGGCGTCGGGGCGGCGAGCCTCGGCAGCGTCGGCGGCGGCGGGGGCGGCGCCGACGCGCTCGCGCGGCTCCGGGACCTCCCGGCCCACGGCGACCTCAAGGTGCTCTACCTGACGCCGGAGAAGTTCGCGCGCTCGGCCGCCGCGCGCCGCGCGCTCGAGGCGCTGCGCGCGCGCGGCCTCCTCTCGCGCTTCGTCGTCGACGAGGCGCACTGCGTGAGCTCGTGGGGCCACGACTTCCGGCCCGACTACCTCGAGCTCCGGCGGATCCGGCGCGAGTTCCCGAGCGTGCCGATCATGGCCCTGACGGCGACGGCCGACGCGCGCGTCGTCGCCGACGTGAGCGCGACGCTGGCGCTCCGCCGGGACGCGTTCTCGTGGACGGCGTCGTTCAACCGCCCGCGGCTGCGCTACGAGGTCCGGGCCAAGACCTCCAAGCCCAAGGCCATCGAGCAGATCGCCGCGCACGTCCGCGCGCACGCGGACGAGAGCGGCCTCGTCTACTGCCTCAGCCGCCGCGACTGCGAGGTCGTCTGCGAGGCGCTCGGCAAGCAGCTCGGCGCGCGCGCGCGCGTCGCGTACTACCACGCCGAGCTCGACGCCGACGAGCGCGAGCGGCGCCAGCGGCGCTGGAGCCGCGGCGAGATCAAGCTCATCGTCGCGACGCTTGCGTTCGGCATGGGCGTCAACAAGCCCGACGTCCGCTACGTCTTCCACTTCAGCATGCCCAAGTCGCTGGCCAACTACTACCAGGAGAGCGGCCGCGCGGGCCGCGACGGCCTGGGCGCGCTGTGCGTCCTGTTCTTCGCCTGGAAGGACCGCGCGATCCACCAGGCGATGATCACGGACAAGACGGGGCGCCGCGGGGGCGCCCCGAAGAGCCAAGCCGCGGTGGACGCCGAGCTCGCGGCGCTCCGCGCCATGACGCGCTTCGCCGCCGACCGCGCGCGGTGCCGCCGCGCGATCGTGCTCGAGTACTTCGGCGAGCGCGACTTCGACCCCGCGGCGGGCTGCGGCGGGCTCTGCGACAACTGCGCCGACGGCCGCCCGGTCGAGAGCCGCGACCTCGCGGAGCACGCCGCGCGCATCGTGCGCCTGCTCGACGCGGTCGGCGCCGCCGCCGACACCGACCGGCCGGTCGCCACGCGCCTGTCGCTCGCGGACGCGTACCGCGGCGCGAACACGGCCGCGACGCGCAAGCTCCGCGTCGCCGGGCGGCCCGAGTTCGGCGCCGGCCGGAGCCTCGGCAAGGACGCCGTCGACGACCTCGTCGGCCGACTCGTCTGCGAAAACGTCCTCGCGGAGGCGTCGGTGACGATTGGTATTGAAGGCAAGTTCGCCGCCGACTACGTGAGCGCAGGGACCCGCGCGGACGAGTTTCGACGCGCCGACGCGCCGGAATTCTGCGTTTCCGTGCGCACGGGCCGGCGGCGCGCGGCGGCGGCGCCGCGCCCCGCGGCGCCGCCGCCGCGCCCCGCGCCGCCGCGCGTCGCCCGGGCGCCGCGATCGCCCCACTTCGACCTCACCGGCGGTCGCGACGGCGACGACGGCGGCGGCGACGCGCCCTCGCCGGCCCACGACGAGGCGGGGCTCCGGGAGCGCGTGGTCGCGTGGCGCCGCGAGGTCGCGAACGCGCTCAACAACCTCCCGTTCCAGATCATCAACGAGGAGCACATGAACGTCATCGCCGCCGAGGCGCCGACGACGACGGCGCGCCTCGGCGACGTCCTCGACGCCTTCCCCGCGGCGAAGATGCGGAAGTACGGCGCGTCCATCGTCGCCGCCGTGAGCGCGTTCCTCGACGGTCGTCCCGCGCCGCCCCTCAATCTGTAATCTGTTCGAATGCTTGGGTTCGTTCACCTCGCCCTGCTTGGTCGGAATGCTCTGGGCCTGTGCATCTATCGGAGGGCCTTTGCCTCCTCCGTCCTCGAGGAGCTGGCGCCCGCCGGCAGCTCCGGTGGCGGTGCACAATGGGAAACAAGTCTAGTAGGATCTCACCGTGACGCTGTCGCGTTTAGGCCACGCCTCCCGAGCCGCCAACACGTCTAGGCGACGTAAATCGGGTTTACCCAGGATTTCTCGGCGCGAAGGAGTCGTGGTCTATACTCGACAGACCGTGACGGTTCCACGGACATGTCTCATATCAAATTCTCGTATGACGGAGGTGCGGAGACCCTATTCTGTACCCTCGTAAGTCCGAGCCTCCCGTACTTCTAGTACCATGGTCACGCACAACCCTGGCGGTTAAGTTGCTACTGTACTCGTGCTAATACTTCAATACTTTGAAGTCGAGTATCAACCAAGTATCGGGGAAAATATTTATACCCAACTTAAAAAGGGGGCGGCGCGTCTGTCGACCGCTTGCCTCCTACGACGACTTCTTCGCCCGGGCAAGTTTCTTCGCGAGGGCCTTGAGGCATGCGGCGTCCTTTTTCGCGTCGGGGTAGTCGGCGGCGGCCGCCGAGGCGGCGAGGACGCTCTCGCGGAGCGCCGCGGCGACGGCCGGCTTGAGGTCGCCCGGGTGGAGGCGCGCCGCGGCGACGTCGGCGACGAGGCGGTCGAGGTCGTCCGCGCCGTAGCGGGCGTCGCCGCCGTTCTCGGGCGCGCGGGCGACGGCGAGCGCGGCGACGAGGCCGCTCTCGACGAGCGCGGCGCCGAGGGCGAGCGGCGGGTTCGCGTCGGCGTTCCCGGGCTCGCAGAACGCCTTCTTCAGCTTGCGCTTGGCAGCGTCGGGCCCGTCGCCGACCCAGAACGCGGCGTTCTCGTCGCCGGCCGCGGCCGCGGCCGCGTCGAGCGTCAGCGGCGGCGGCGGCGCGGCGGCGGCGACGCGCGGCGGCGCGTAGGCCGCGGCGCCGCCGCGGTCGTCTTCGGCCCAGAACGTCCGCGCGAGCGCGAGCGCGCCGCCGGCGCCGCCGTCGTCGACGACGACGTCCGCGCACGCCGCCGCGACGTCGGCGCAGCGCATGAGCGCGGCGACCACGGCGCCGACGCGCGCGCCCTCGTCGTCGGCGCGCTGCCCGGCGGCGCGCTGCGCGTCGGCGAGGCGGACGCGGCGGCCGGCGGCGATGACGTCGATCCAGTAGTCGGACGGCCGCGCGAGCGCGACGGCCGACTGCGCGACGGCGCCGACGCGCGCGCCCACGCCGGGCGCGTACAGGTCCGCGAGCGCGCGGACCGCGCGCACGTAGCGGCGGTGGCACGCGGCGATCGCCTTGGCGTCCGCGCCCGCGGCGTCGACCGCGAGCGCCGCCCAGTCGGAGCAGTAGACGACGCCGACGGCGCCGGCGTCGGCGCGAAGCGCGTCGGCGAGGCCGCGCGCGTGGCGCGCGGCGTCGGCGAGCGGGCACTGGAGGCGCGGCGCCGGCGCGAAGGCGACGACGACGCGCGCGGCGTCGCCGACGGCGACGTCGGCGGCGGCCGCGAGCGCGCGCCGCCGCGACGCCTGCGCCGGCGCGGCCCAGGCCGGCGCCGCGGCGTCGGGCCGCGCCTTGTAGGCGCGCACGCGGGCGAGGAGCGCGGCGGCGCGCGCGTCGCGCTCAAAGTGCGCGCGCACGGGCGCCAGGAGCGCGTCGACGGCGTCCGCGAGGCCGTCCTTGAGGTCCGCCTCCGACAGGGCGCCCCCGACGAAGGCGTCGCGCACGGCGTCGGCGCTCGCGAACGTCGCGCCGCCGGCCGCGAACGTCGCGCCGGGCGCCGCGAAGACCACGTGCCGCACGTAGTCGAGGCACGGGTTCTTCAGGTCGTCCGCCGCGAGCTGCATCTCCGCGTCGCGCGCGACGGCCGCGTCGGCCGTGCGCGGGCAGTACGCGCCGCGGATCTTCCGCCGGACGTCGGCCGTCGAGTCCTCCATGAAGATGGCCGAGTCGGGGTCCGACTTGGACATCTTCGCCTGGCCGGCCTTGAGGCCGTAGAGCATGTGGTGCGACAGGATGATGGGCTTGCCCTTCTTGCGGCCCGCCGCGTCGCAGTAGTCGCGCGCGAGCATGTTGACCTGAGCACCAAAAACTCATGCGGAGACAAAAGGTTGCCACGAGGTACGCCGGACGACGAACCTTGCGCTGGTCGACGCCGAGCTGGCAGACGTCGGCCCGCAGGAAGAAGACGTCGGTGCACTGCATGAGCGGGTAGAGCATCTGCGCGGCCGAGAGGCCGGCCTCGCCGCGGCCCATGATCGTGCAGCACTTGCGGACCTGCGGGCGACGGTAGCGCGAACGGACTTTTTGGCGGCCGACGCAGATCGGCGTCGAGGGCGCGGGGGCCCCCGGCGAAAGTACGAAGGGTCAGCGCACTGTCGCGGACGCGCGCGACGGTGGATCGCCGCGCCACGTCGAGCATTTGCCTGCTCGCGGAGGTGAGCGAGCGAACGCGGCGGTCGACCCTCTCCCCCGCGCGCGCGACCCTTTCGTCGTCGCGGCGCTCGCCAAAAAGCGCGCAAGGCGAAGGCGCCGCGCGGCGCTGCGGGCTACGGCCAGTATTCATCTCCCCGGCGGCAGATCTCGTCGGAAGCCCACCGAAACTCGACGCGGTCCATGCGCATGCCGGCCGCGCGCCAGACCTCGACGAGGTAGTTGCCGACGTCTCGGATCTTCGCGAGGTCGCCGCCCATCTTGTCGTTCATCAACGCAAACCAGTCCGCTACCCAGAAGACGAACGTGCCGCCGGCCGCGAGGCATCGGTTCACGTTCATGGCCTTGAAAACGCCCTGCGCGATGTGCATGCGCCCGCTCGGCTCAAAGCCGTCGTAGAGGCGGAAGCCGGTTTGCTCGTGCTTGAGGAGCAGCTGCCTGAGCTCCCGCTCCGTCTGGCTGCGCGGAATCGGGCGTCGTGTCATCGTCGCTGGTGCGCTTCGGCGGCGGCGTCTAGGCGGCTCCCAAGGTGAAGGCCACTATGCCGACGCGGGACGGACCATTCCTCGCCGACGCTCAGCAGCAGCGCGACGCGCTCGTCTAGCGAGCCCGCCGCCGGCGGCCCGCCGGTGCCGCCGCCTGCCGAGCGCAGCGCCGCGTCGATGGCGGCGTCCGCGTGGCTGGTCTGGGCCCAGCCCGCGGGAAACATCTTGCAATCCGTAAGCGCTGCAGCTAGCGCACACTTGTGATCGATGGGAGGATCGAGTGGCTATACCGCAGTACCGCAGTATACGGTATAGAGAGAGAAACCTACTACCCTAGATATGTATCTCCCACTCTCTAAGTTTGGAGTCTATACAGCGAGTATCTTTGACGCTACGGTGTAACAACAAATAGCCATAAAACACTCTCGTAGTTAGGTTGGCCCAGCCCTCGGCTGGTGAGCTAGGACCCTGCTATTTTACATAACGCTGCGACATACTCTTGCTAGGTTATGGGCCCACAAGGTTCCGCCTATTGACGTAGAGTGTTTTACAGTGAATGCCTAGACAAGAAAAATCACCTAAAAAGAAATCCAAAAAGAGCGAAGAAGAAGATCCAGCGATGGATCCTGCTGCAATAAACGAGCTTGTGAAAAACGCGATCGATCAAGCAAATGCTGAAGCAGACGCGGTTAGAGCTGAACAGAAACTCGAAGAGCGTCTCAAAGAGGCGGAGGATAGGCTCACCAAGAAACTTGATGATGAAGTACTTGAAATACAAAGAGCTTTTGAAGAATCAAGAGGTGCAAAGCCAACAACAAAATGACCATGCTTATCAATGATTACTATTGTGACCGTGACCCTCCGAGTCCGAGTCAGGCTAGTCACCCGGCGGTGACCCTACGAGGCCCGGGCTCGTGATTACTAGTAAGACGATCATGATAAGCAAAAAACGTACTTATTGGGGAAAATCGGTTTTTTGGGGAACGTCCAATAGCAGGAAGACGACTCGTAGTTCTGATCTACTATAGAGTACTCCACTGGCAACACAAAAAAAGGCTCAGCACATAAAGTCCCCGTGGATGGACTTCCCCGTCCGGCGCCCGAAATCGGCGCACCACGCGGCGTCGAGGGACTCGAACGGCGTGACGCAGTCGCCGCCGCGCCACGCGTTCGACAGCGCGACGGCGAGGCGGTCGATATTGGACGTGAACTTGCCGACGAAGCCGTCGCACGCCGCGAGGAGGAAGAGGTCGTCGAGCACCGCGCGCGCGTCGGCTCGCGCGTCGGCTTCGGGCATGTCCTTGAGGACCTTGTTGTAGTAGCCGCGGCCGTAGAGCTGGTGGCGGTCGACGTCCTCGTTGGCCACCTGCGCGCGGGAGGTTGAGGGGGCGCCGTCGCCGCGTGAAAACAGAGTTTGGACCCACGGCCGCCACACACGGAGAAGAAAAAGACGCGTTTTCGACGCCGCCGGGCGCGAGGACGGGGACGCCGAACGCGTTCGTCCGCTGCGCCTCGGCGACGATTTGCGGGTCGTCCGTCGCGAGGAACACGGCGCGGAAGCCGTGCGCGTCGACCATGGCGCGCGCGCGCGCCGCGTACGCCGCGAGGCCGTCGCAGGTCCGGCCCTTGTGCTTGCGGAGCTCGCCGCGGCCGCCGTCGAGGCACGTGTCGCCCCGCCGCACGTGGACGCCGAGGACGGGGCGCCGCGCGGCCCAGTCGAGCCGGTCCTGCGCCGCCCAGAGCCGGCCGAGCGTCGCGCCGTCGGGCCGCGCGAGGAAGGCCACCGCCTGCGACGTCCACCAGAAGAGGCCGCGGTGGGCGTGCGCGGCCGCGGGCGCGGCGGCGAGCCGCTTGCCGGCGAGCCGCGCGGAGAAGCCACCGGCGCCGGCGCCGGCGCCGCAGCGGTCCAGAGGCTCGAGGCCCAGGCACGCCGCCGCGTCGCCGTCCGCGGCGCAGCCGACGCGCCGGATCGCCGGCGTGCGGAAGCGCGCGCGCGCGTCGACCGCGGCGCGGAACGGCTTGAGCAGCGCCGAGAGCTCGCCGCCGAGCCCGATCTTCCCCTCCATGACCGCGCGCGTCGCCGTCGCGCAGCCGCACGCGCCGCCGACGAGCAGCGACGCCTGGAGGCCGAGCGCCTCGGCGTCCCAGGCGCAGACGCGCGCGCCCGGGCGCGGCCGGTCGGCCGCGTCGAGCGTCGATCGCGCGCCGCCGTCGAGGGCGGCGACGGCGTAGCCGACCGGCGCGTCGAACGTGGCGAGGAGGTCGTAGAAGGTCGGCCCCGCCGCCGCGCGCGCGGCCTCGACGACCGCGCCCAGCGGCAGGTCCAGGCCGCGCGCCGCGCCGAGCAGGCTCGTCAGGTTCACGCGGCCCGCGTCGAACGGGTGCGAGAGCGCCTCCTTGCGGAACGCGCGCCACCGCCGCGTCGCGTCGGAGGCCAGGCGGCGCGCGGCCTCGAGACGGCGCCGGCCGTCCGCCGCGCGCCAGTCGCGCTTGTCCGCGCCGCCCTTGGCGTGCAGCGCGTACGCGAAGAGGTGGAACGGCGACGTCCGCGGCGTCGCGCCGGGGCACGGGTGCGCGCGGCCGAGGTCGACGCGGTAGCGCGCGGCGATCGCCTCGCGCGAGAGCCGCTGGCCGGCGGCGTCGCCCCGCGCGCCGGCGGTGCGCGCGCCGGCGGCGGCGGCCGGCGGCGGCGCGCGCGCGGCGGGCCAGGCCTCGGCGCAGAGCGCGTACCAGCCCTCGACGACGGCGCGGCGGCCGGCGCGCGCGAAGGCCGCGACCGAGCGGTCGAGCGCGGCGCGCGCGCCGCCCGGCGGTGGCGCCGCCGCGGTTGGCGGCAGGAGCGCCGCGGCGGCGGCCTCCGCGAGCGCGTCGCTTGGAGGCGGCGGCGGCGGCGCGGCGGCCGCCGGCGCGCCCGGCCGCCGGCGCCGGCGCGCCTCGACGAGCGCGCGGCCCCCCCGCCGCCGCGCGCGGCCGGCGAGGCCGTCGCCCGCCGTCCCCGCCGTCGGGAAGAGGACGCGGTCGTAGACGCAGATGTCGTTGAGGCAGCGCGACCGCGCCGCGAACGACGTCGCGTAGTAGCCGCTCCAGGCGCGCGCGAACGCGAGCGCCGGCGCGGCGGCGCCGCCGCGGAGCGCGAGCGTCAGGAAGCCCGTGTCGGGCAGCGCGCGCTGGCTGCGGTTCGCCGCGAAGAAGTCGCGCGGCGCGAGGCACGCGGCCGCGTCGCCGTCGCGCGGGTAGTCGGCCCGCGACGGCACGACGTAGCGGTGGATGGTCGCGACGTCGTGCGCGCGCGCGAACGCGAGGAACCGCGCGTCGGCCAGCGGCGCGACGAGCTCGATGTCGGCGTCGGCCCACGCGACGACGTCCACGCTGGCGTCGCGCGCGCCGGCCTCGGCCGCGTGCCGGATCGCCGCGACCTTGCGGAAGATGAAGTGCGCCTTGGCCGTCAGGTGCGTCGCGTGGCGCGGCGCGCCGCGCCGCGCGACGGCGTTCGCGTACGCGCGGCCGAAGACCGTCGCGGGGCCCTCCGTCGGGTCCTGCGCGTCGGCGAACGCGGCGAGCCACGGGTACAGCACGTGGAGGTCGTGCGCCGCGTAGCAGCCCGCCGCCTCCACGAAGCACGCCGGCGCGTCGCGCCGCGCGCGCGGCTCCGTCGGCTCGAGGCCCGCGGCGGCGTCGGCCGAGTCCTCGTGGTAGACGACCAGCGCCGCGCCGACGCGCGCCGCGCTCGGCACGAGCAACGACGCCGTGCGCACGCCGTTGACCGTCGTGGCGACGATCACGCGCCGGTCGCAGCGACAGCGCGCATCGCTGCTGGCCGCGAGGAGGAGCAACGGCCACGGCCGCATTTATGGAGTGGATTGTGCCCCTTGGCGTCGCTATTCTTGGTGAAGTATTATTAAAAATCGGCCTCGTGTGCCGCGGCGCGCGCAGCTGCGACGCCGGGTTTTGTAGGTTTTGTAGGTCCATACAATTCAAAGCCCCCAAAAGTTGAAGCCGCCCTGTATGCCATCGACGCGACTCCGAGACAAAGTAATGAAAACCAAAGAGACGAACGACTCCCATAAACAAGGGGCATGGCAGCCGTGATTGCGGTCCTGGCGGCAGCTGCCCTGGCAGCAGCTCAGCCAACACCTGCACCTGTGCCGTGCGTGTCGCCCGAGACGGAAGCGGAGTGCCGGGCGGCCGTCGCCGCGGCGGGCTTGTCGGAGGGCTACAACACCATGCCCTTTGCCTGGTCGTACGGCTCGGGCCTCGGCTGCCACACGTACCTCAGCGGACCGTTTGTAAACAGCGGCTTTTGGTCGACGTCGGGCGACCCCACCGGCGAGCCCTCTGATTCCAACCGCGTGCGGGTGTGCGCCGCGTCGACGGCCCCGACGCCGCGGCCTTTGTTCACGTCAAGCCCAACCGCGCTCCCAACCGGTCTGCCAACCGCACTCCCAACAGCAGCGCCAACAGCACTGCCAACAGCAGCACCAACGGCGCTGCCAACAGCAGCACCAACAGCATCCCCAACCGCGGTCCCAACCGCTCTCCCGACAACGCTCCCAACCGGTCTGCCAACCGCACCGCCGACTTCGGTACCAACCGCACTGCCGACTTCGGTACCAACCGCACAACCCACAGTGAGCGCACGACCCACACCGCGCCCACACTGGGTTTGGTGCGCGAGCAACACGTTCACGGAGCACGTCATCAAGAGTTCGGCGACCGGCGCGACCTGCGTACTCGCGGCCGACGTTGACCGCGACGGCGCGGTAGACGTCCTGTTCTCGGCCTCGGCTACGGACACCGTCGCCGTGCTCTTCAACGACGGCAGCCAAACCTTTACCGAGACCGTGATCAGCAGCAGCGCGGACGACGCCTGGTACGCGGAAGTCGGGGACGTCGACGGCGACGCGGACGTAGACGTGCTCTCGGCCGCGCGCACGGGCGACGAGCTCGTGTGGTGGGAGAACGATGGCACTTCGACCACCTTCACCAAGCGCCTCATCGCGACGCCGGCCTGCGCCCCGCGTCCACTTCCCTTTTGTTCCCGCGGCCGTGGCGAATCAAAAAAAAAAGCGTCACCTCCACGCCATCGCCACGACGTGTTTTACTCCTAGGCCGGTCCCACGTCCGTTTGTGCTCACGACGTCGACGACGACGGCGACCTAGACGTGGTTTCTACGTCGTACAACGACGATACGCTCGCGTGGTACGAGTCAGATTTAGCGAGTATCGTACGCCATCGAGAGACAGACCCCAGTCGCTGCGGCCCGCTCTTCGCGGATACGAAGTGCACGGGGTATTCGTCGAGCGGCGGCGCGGAATACTGCAACGAGGCTAACGGCTGGTGCGGCGTCACGGACGCGCACAGGGACGCCCAGGCGAGCACGACCTACGACTATGTGCCCGGCGTCAGCGAGGCGCAATCGTGGACCTTGCACACGCTCACCACGTCGAGGAACTGGGCGTGGCTGGCGCGCCCGGTCGACATGGACGGCGACGGCCACGCGGACGTTCTCCTCGCTTCGTGGGGCGACGATACGGTCTCTTGGTGGTAAAAACGACGGCGTCGTGAATGCGCCGCTCGTCGCCCTTTGCGCCCGAGAGTTTCCGAGAAGGGTCTCCGCCCCCCCTCCTCCTTCTGTTGGGACGACGGACCGCACCACCTTGACGCCATCGACGCGAGAGCCCGCCAGGTCCTCGCTCGCCACGACCGACGGCGTGCCCTCGACGCCATCGACGCGACGCGATCCACTGCTCGACGGCGGAATGGGCCTCGTCGAAACGACGATCACGCCACCATCCCCCCCCAAAAAAGCAAACACTTCAGACGATGCGCAGGCAAAATGACGGCACGGGCGAATCCTTTGCGGAGAACATCATCACGACCGCCCAGGACGGGCCTTGGGGCTGCGTCGCGGACGACATCGACGGCGACGGAGCGATGGACGTCGCGTGCGGCTCGAACCGGGACAACAGCGTAATTTGGTACGAAAATGCCAAGGGCGACTCGCTGACCTGGACGGCACACGTGCAGTCGACGGTCCACTCGACCCTCAGCGTCTTCGCGGCCGACGTGGACGGGGACGGCGATACAGATTTACTCGCGTCCACGAGCAACACGGACGACGTGCTTTGGTACCAGAACAACGGAGTGCCTCTGTTCATCGAGCACTGGATCGGCGGCGTCGACTCGGGCTATCGCATACACGCCGCCGACGTCGACGGCGACGGCGACGTCGACCCGCTGGTGGCCGACTTTGCCGACAACCAAATTTCCTGGTTCGAGAACGAGTGCGGGACCCCGGAGCCCACATTCACGCCCAGGCCGACAACGTCGCCGCAGCCCACGCCCGTGCCCTCCTACGACACGCCCGCGCCGACGGGAACGCCGAGCTACGCCACGGCCGCGCCCACGCTCACGCCGGTGCCGACGGTGCCCGCGCCGACGCCGCGGCCCTCGGCGACGTGCGACATCATGGCCTGGAGCGCGCGTCAACCTTTCGCGGGCACGGACGATTCGAAGAACGTGTTTCCCGTGGACGTAGACCAAGACGGCGACACGGACGTGGTGGTTGCGGCAGACAACAGGGACACCCTCGCGTGGCACGAAAACGCGGACGGCTCCGGCGCATTTACCACCGAGCACGTCGTGACGAGCACGCGAGACGGCTTGTTCTACGCGAGTCCGCTCGACGTCGACGGAGACGACGACGTCGATATATTTGCGTGCTCCTACCGCGACTCCATCGTGTCGTGGTGGGAAAACGACGGGTCCGCGAACTTTGCCGAACACGTGCTCAACACGTACGGAGGCGGCGCGCTGTCGGTCATCGGAGCCGACGTCGACGGCGACAACGACGTGGACGCCGTCGTCGCCAACGAGGGCGATAACGACGTGGAATGGTTCGAAAACCAGGGCTCGCAGAACTATCGGGTGCGCTACGTGAGCAACTATGTCAATACGCCGAGGGAAGCGGCGCCCGTCGACATGGACGGCGACCAGGACGTGGCGCGCGGCGTCCTCGTGGAGCGGCGGGCGCGAGCGAGCTCGGGCGCGTGGTCTGGCCTGCACCAGGCGGACGGCGATCGTCGCCGGGCGACGTCGTCGGACGCAAGGGCGCGCAGCGCGCGAGCAGGGCTGACCCGCGGTCGCGCGGCGAGTAAGAGAGAGAGAGAGAGAGAGAGCGCGCGCGCGCGGGAAGGCGTTCGCTCACCGGCGCCTTCCCGCTCGCTCACCGCTACCGACGCAGGTGGACGTGCTCGTCGCGTCGCTCAAGGGCGACAGCATCTTTTGGTTCGAGAACGACGGTCAGGAAAACTTTGCCCAGTACACGGTCGGGACGGGCGCCGACGGACCCAAGGACGTCGAGGCCGCCGACCTCGACCGCGACGGAGACGTGGACTGCGTATCCGCGTCGCAGAATGACGACGAAGTGGCCTACTACGAAAACGACGGGACGATGACCTTTACGCGAACCATCGTGAGCGAGGAGAGCGACTACCCCTGGGGCGTTGCCGTCGCCGACGTGAACGGTGATGGCTTCCTGGACATTGTCGTATCAGCGTACAACGACGACGACCTGAGCTGGCTGGAGAACGCGGGAGACCAGACCTTTACCGAAAATATGATCGACGATACCAGCAACGCGGGCGTCGGCGTGGCGGTGTTCGACGCCGACGCCGACGGGGACTGGGATGTCGTCCAGGCGAGAGCAAACGATCCCGCAGGCTGGTACGAAAACCAGTGCGCCACCCATCCCCCGACGATCTCCCCGTTCCCCACCAGCGTTCCGACGGCCGAGCCCACGGGCCTTCCGACGGTCCCGCCGTCTCCGGTGCCGACCGTGCCCCCCACATCGGAGCCCACGGCCCTGCCATCGACGACGCCGACCTCGGAGCCCACCACGCCCCCCACATCGGAGCCCACGGCGCTGCCATCGACGACGCCGACCTCGGAGCCCACCACGCCCCCCACATCGGAGCCCACGGCCCTGCCATCGACGACGCCGACCTCGGAGCCCACCACGCCCCCCACATCGGAGCCCACGGCCCTGCCATCGACGACGCCGACCTCGGAGCCCACCACGCCCCCCACATCGGAGCCCACGGCGCTGCCATCGACGACGCCGACCTCGGAGCCCACCACGCCCCCCACATCGGAGCCCACGGCCCTGCCATCGACGACGCCGACGTCGGAGCCCACCACGGCCCCCACATCGGAGCCCACGGCGCTGCCATCGACGACGCCAACGGCGGCCCCGACGTCGCTCCCTACCTTGCCGCCGACGCTCGTTCCCGTCTCGGCGCCTACGCCGCTCCCCACGTCCGTACCCACGACGATCCCGACGTCCGCGCCGACGGGCGTGCCCACGACGCTGCCGAGCCCTCTGCCGACGCCGACGCCGACGCCCGCGCCGTCGATCTCGCCCGCGCCGACGACCTACGCCTACGAGTACGAGATCGTGGCGCACTATCCGATGATCAATGGGTCGCTGGCCGACGTGCGCGGGGGCGCCCACGGCCGGGGCTGCGACGCCCAGGGGTGTGGGAAAAAGCTGAAAAGAGCCGCGGCGCGCGACCACGGCGACGCGGTGCTGCTCAACGCGAGCAGGTACGTCGAGCTGCCCAACAGCACGACGGCGGCTGTCTCCGGGGACGCGCCGCGGACCATTTGCCTGTGGGTCCGGATCGACGTCTGGGAACACAAGGCCCAGCTCTTCGAGTACGGCGGAGACCTCGCGCGGCGGTTCGGCCTGCGCACCTCCACGCCCCCCGGCCGCTTCGAGAGCGTCGGGCACGGCAACGCCACGGTCAACCTCACGGGAGGCTTTCGGGTTGCCGCGGCGCGCTTCGGCGCCTCCCTTCAACGTGGATTGGATCGCGTCGTCGGCGTCGAGGCCGCGCCTGTTTTCGCCGGCCGACGTCCGTCCGGGGGAGACGGTCCCGACGCGTGGGGCATGCGGCCGCCCGCCTTGCGCGGCGGCGGGGACCGGGCCTCACAGCGCCGGCGGACGCCCGCAGGCGAAGCAAGGATCCAACGCGACGACGAAGAGCAGCCCTTGGATCGGCACGTGGCGCCACTACTGCCTGACGTACGTCCGGCGGAACGTGACGTTGTACGTGGACGGTCAAAGGGAAACGAGCTGGAACGCGACCGTCAACACGAGCGCCTCCGCGCTCTACGTGGGCGCGGACGTCAACGGGTCGCACACGCTCTCCGGCGCCGTGGACGAGGTCTACGTCTACCGGGGCGCCCTGGCCGCCTGGCAGATCGACGTCCTCTACCAGGACTTGAGCCCACCGTCCGACTCGGCGTCGAACGTCGAGGGGCGCCGAACAGAGACGTCGCCCGCGCAGGCCGTCGGCCGCGCCGACGCTTGCGCCCACGGCCGTGCCGACGGGCCCGCCGACGCCCCTGCCGACGCTTGCGCCCACGTCGCTTCCGACGGCCGCGCCGTCTTCGGCCCCGACGTCGGCGCCGACGTCGGCGCCGTCGGTGCCGGTGCCAACAGACGCCGTCGGTCCGCGCAGACGACGGAGAGAGAGAGAGAGACCCCCGCGCAGGTCGCGCGCGCCGACGACCCCGCCGAGCGCCGCGTCGACCCCGCCGCCGACGGCGCCGCCGACGACGGCCTGGCCCACGGCGCTGCCGACGCGCGCGCTCGCGACGTCGACCGGCTCGCTCTCGATGGAGGGCGTCGCCGCGGGCGACTTCGACGACGCGGACGTCGTGGCGAGCTTCGAGGAGGGCCTCGAGGCGACGATGAACGAGACGACCGTCACCGTGACCGGCGCGACGGACGCGCGCCGGCGCCGGCGCCTCGACGACGCGCCCGCGACGACGGTCCTCTTCGAGATGCTGTCGCGGCGGTCCTCGGCGGACCTCGCCGCGGATCTGGACGCGGCGCTTGCGACGGGCGTGCTGGCGCACCGCCTGCGCACGCGGTCGGCGGCCTTTGCGACCGTCGTGCCGCTGACCGTCGTCGTCGCGTTCCCGGACCCGACGCCCGGCCCGACGCCCGGGCCGTCGACGCCGACGCCGACGGCCAGGCCGCAGAGCGTCGCGCCGACGGCCGCGCCGACGGTCGGCTGCGACGCCGACGACCCGCCCCCGCGTGTCGTCGAGGTCGTCTTCGACGACTCGGGCGCGACCGTCGACGTGGCGTGGGACGCCGAGACCGATTTGGGCGGCGGCGGCGTCGGGATCGCGTTCGCCTGTGGCTCCATTCTGGACTTCCCCGGGGCGACGGACGCGACGTGCTACTGGTCCGACGAGCGGACGGTCCGCGCGGACGTCGCGAGCGCCGCGATCGTGCCGGGCGACAACGCGACGGCGCTGGGCGGCGTCCTGCGGCGCGCCTGCGTCGTGGGCGCGCCGGCGCCCCGGGCCTGCGCGTGCCACCCCTACGCGAACGCCAGCCGCACCGTCGTCCTGCCGCCCGAGAATCCGCCCGCTCCGGCGATCGTCCTCGAGGCGCCCGAGACGGTGTCGCGCTGCGAGGGTGGCTTTGTGTCGGCGCTCCAGAGCGGCGGCTCCGGCGGGCGCGACTTCACGACGGTGGCGTGGTCGATCGCGGAGCCCGGCGCCGCCTGGGCGGCCGTGCCGTCGACCGCGACCAAGTGGTACGAGCTGGTCCTGAACGCATCTCACCTGAACGTGTCCTCGCTCGACGTGCGCCTCGAGCTGGCGAACTTCCTCGGCGGCGCGCGCGCGGCGCGGACACGAAGCGGCGGGGCCGGCGGACGAAGCGAGAGAGACGCGCGCGTTCGTCGAGGCAACCACGCGCGACTCCGCAGGCACGGCCGAGGCCGCCGTGCGCGTCAAGGTCCAGGGCGGCACGCCGCCCACGCTCACGTTCGTCGGCGCGCGCGAGCGGACGGTCCTGGTGGCCGACGGCGTCGAGGTGGACGCGCGCGGCGTCGCGACGTCGTGCGACGGCCGGCCGATGAGCGGACGAGCGGTCTCGTACGCCTGGGACGTCGTGGATGCGGTCACTGGCGCCAGGCTCCCCCTCGCGTCGAGCTCACGGGACGCGCGCAAGTTCGCGGCGGGCGCCGGCGCGCTCGCGCCGGGCGCGTACGACCTGGTCGCGACCGTCGTCGACGACGCGTACGGCTTCGCGACGAACGGTTCGGTGCGGCTGCGCGTCGAGCGGTCGGCGCTGGTGGCGCGCGTGGACGGGGGCGACCGGACCGTGCCCCTCGCCGACGGCGCGGTGGCCGTGGCGAGCGCGAGCTACGACCCCGACGACAGGTCGGCGCCGCTGGCGGAGACGTGGAGCTGCGCGTTCGGCAACGACGCGTGCGGCGTGACGGCCGACGCCGAAACGGGCGCGATCGTCGCGCTCGACCGGGGCGCCGGCGCGTACGTGGTGACGCTCGTCGCGGCGGCGACGGACGGCCGCGAGGCGACGGCCGTGGCCACGTTCGAGGCGCGGGCGGCGGACTTTCCGCGCGTGAGCGTCGCGCCGCGCTGGACCGGCGACGCCGTCGTCGCGAACGCGCGGCTCGTTGTTGATGCGTCCCTGGATGGAGACGCCGGCGAGGCAACCTACGAGTGGACGGCCGCCGGGAGCTTCGTCGACGGCGCCGGCCTCGCGGACGTCGCGGCGACGAGGGTCGCCGGCGACGCCGTCGTCGACGGCGCCACGACGGTGCAGTCGCTCGTGATCCGGGCGGGCGCCCTCGTGCCGGGCGCGACGTACGCGTTTTCGCTGCGCGCGACGTGGGCCGGCGCCGCCGACGCCGGCGAGGCCGCCGTGACGGCGCGCGTCGCCGCGCCGCCGACGGCGGGCGTCCTGCGCGTGGCGCCCGAAGCCGGCGAGGCCATCACGACCAAGTTCGAACTGGCGACGAGCTCGTGGGCCTCGACGGAGCTGCCGCTCACGTACGCGTTCTTCGCGGCCGCGGACGCCGGCGCGGGCGACACGACGGTGCTCAAGACCGGGTCGCTCGCGGCGGCGCTCGTGGCGGCGCTGCCCGAGGGCGCGCTCGCGCTCCGCGCGTGGGACGCGGCGTGCGCGTGGGCGGGGGGCGGCCTTCGAAACCCCCCCTCCAAGCTCTTACCCTAGCCCCTCTAGCCCCCCTTCAAGACATGCAACCCGCGCGCCGGCGCCGCGGCGAGACCGGACCGCTCGCGCGCCGCGCAGGCGGGCGACGGACAGCCTCGGCGCGTCGGGCGACGCCTTCGCGGCGGCGACGGCGACGGCGCCGACGGGCGGCCTCAACGAGACGGTCGGGGTGGCGTTGGCGGAGGCCGCCGCGCTCGACGCGCCCGAGGACCTCTGCCAGGTCGTGGCCGCGGCGGCGGGCTTGCTGGGGAGCGAAACGCGGCGGCGCCTGCAGCTCGACGACGCCGCGGCCGGCGAGCTCTTCGACGCGCTGCTCGGCGCGCTGGACGACGCGCGCGGCATGGCCGACGCGTCGAGCGACGGCGTCGCGCAGTTCGCCGCGGCGCTGCGCGCGCCCGTGCGCGCGACCGCGGGCGGGGCGCCGCTCGCGGCCGACCGGGCGCGGCTGGCGCTCGGCCAGGCGCGGAACCTGTCGCTCGACCTGCGGGCGACGGCGACCGGCGGCGACGCGCGCGACAGCAGCGCGGGCGACCTCGCGAGCGTCGTCGCGGACGTGCTGGCGTCGGACCTGTTCGCGGTCGGCGCGAGGCGGCGCCTCGACGCGACGGCCGCGGGCGCGGACGTCGCGGGTGCCGTCGACGACATCGCGACGGCGCTCGTCGCGGGCGCCGTCGACGACGAGGCGCCCGCGGCCGTCGCGTCGGGCGGCCTCGCCATCGCCGCGGCGAGGGCGTCGGCGAGCGCGGCGCTCGACGCGGGCGGCGCGGCGGCGGAGTACACATCACCCGACGGACCGTTCGTCGTCGCCTTGAGCGCGCTGGACGGCGCCGGCTACCACGCGGCGCCGGTCGCCGCGGCGAAGACGCTGCGGTTTTCTCGCTCCGCGGCGGCGGGCGACGGGCGGCGGCGCCTCGCGAACGCAACGTTCCCGGGCAACGTGACGCTCGCCGTGCCCGCCGGGGACGCGCGCGGGGCGGCGGCGACGGGCGCGGTCGCCAACGCGACCGTGTACTGCCCCTGGAACTACGTGGGGCCCGTCTACGGCACCTGCCCGGCGGACAACTCCACCGTGGAGTACGCGTGCGACCGCGTCGGGGGCGAGTTCCGGGTGCTTTGCGGCGAGCTCCTGGTGGACGCCTGCGTCGGCTGGGACGGCGGCGCGTGGGACCCGGGCGCGTGCGCGGAGGACCCGGAGCGTTCGACGGCGAACGCGACGGCGTGCGTCTGCGCGCTGCCCGAGGACGGCGGCGCGCGCGACTACTCGACGGCCACGACCGCGCGGTCCTTCGCCAAGGCCTACCTGCGGAATTTGGTGGGGCCCGTCGACCCGGAGAAGAGCGCCGTGATCCTGGGGTTCCTCGGCGTCGTCGTGTTCGCGAGCGCGCTGGCGGCGATCTGCGGGCACCGGCTCGACAAGCGCGACGCGACGCTTCGGCGCGGACGGCGGCTCGTGCTCTCGCACTCGTCGTCCTTTTTGCTGGGCGCCTCGACCCGCGACCTCGCGAAGACCCTGGGGGACAAGCGCGCGACGCACGGCGGCGCGCCGCCCTTGATTCACCTCCCCGGAAGCCGACCGCGGACCTCGCCGAACGACGAGGAAGCCGCCTCCCCCGCGGACGAGCGCGGCGCCGACTTGCTCGCGGCGGGCTGGCGCGCGCGCCGCGTCCGTTCACTCTTCCGAGGCGCCTTTCGTCCCAAGTCGTCGTCGCGCGCGCAGGTGGCGCCACTACGCCGACGCGTTAGCGCGGCAGCACCCGCTGACGACGGTGTGGCGGAGGGACTGCAAGGATCAGCAGCCGCGGGCCGCGCGGATCATCGCGTTGGCGGGGCAGATCGTCATGCTCATGGCGGCCGTGGCGCTCGAGATGCGGCTGGAGTACCCGGACCCGAGGTGCGACGAGCGAAAGTCGGACCGGAAATGTCTAAAGTTCACGGTGGTCTACAACGACCACGAGCTCTGCCGGTGGGACGACGCGAGCGGGACCTGCAGCGTCAACCCGCCGCCGGACGACGCCTTTGGCGACTTTTCGCACCTGCTGGTGGTGCTCTTCGTCATCGGGATCACGCTGCCGTGCCAGAAGGTGTACGAGTGGGCCGTGCTCGACGTCCTGGCGCGGACCTGGCTCTGCTCGGGGCACCTGTGGCGCGACGTCGAGGATGCGGCCGCGCGGGCCGCGCGCGAGGTGCAGGAGGACGTCGAGCGCGCGGCGCGCGCCGGAGTCTTCGTTCTCGCGTCGGCAGGCGTCTCTGCTCGGTTTGACGGGAGCAAGACGCGCCTTCCGTCTCCGCGCAGGCGCACAGCGTCGAGGGCGCCGCGCGCGAACTGCGAGACGCCGCAACCGACTCGCTGCACGCCGTCGAGGCCGCCGCCGCGAACGAATTGCGCGCCGTCGAGAGCGCCGTCCGTGCCGGCGGGCGTGCCGAGCGGGCCTCCCACGATCCCGACGTCCCGCGCGCCGCCGCGCCGACGCCCGTGCCCACGCCGAGCCTCGGCGGCGGCGGCGGCGGCGGCGGCGCGCCGCCGCGCCCCGAGGACGACGCGCCGCCGGCGTCGCCCGCGCGGCGCGCGTGGGATGCCGTGAGCCCGCGGCTCCGGGCCGTCCTCGCGTTTCGCGAGGCGTCGCGGACGACGACGCCCACGCCGCCGCACGACTTCGCCGACGACGGCGCGGACGAGGCGCCGCCCCGGCCGCCGTCGCAGGACCCACCGCCGCCCCGCGTCGCGTCCGCCGCCGCCGGCGGCGGCTTCGACGAGGACCCCGACGAGCTGGCGGTCGCGCGCCTGGTCAAGCCCGCCGTCGCCGGCGAGGCCGGCGCCATCGCCCTCGACTCGACGCTCGACGACGACGAGGCCGACGACGAGGGCGCCCCGGACGCGCCGGGCGAGGACCCGGGGGACCTGCCCTGGCGCGAGTGCTTCGACGACGCGCGCGGCCGCAACTACTTCTTCAACGTCTTCACGGGCGAGAGCCGCTGGCGGCCGCCGGCCGCGCCCTACGTGCCGTACTCACCCCGCCGAGCGGAGCGCGGGCCCGCCGACGCTGCCGGGCCCGGCGATAGCGAGGCTCTCGGCCCCGCTCTCGTGGCGTCATCCGGAAGCTTCTTGTGGCGTCGGTCCGAGGGTAGTCGTCATCGAGCGCGCGGTCGGCACCGGAGTCTCTCTTCTCTCAATCGCCGCGGTGGCATGCTTTTTCTGCGGTAGTGTGCCCTGGCAAACGAGTCGCCTCGGCGAGCTCAACGCAACCCCCACGCAGGCGCCAGGTCTTTGCCCTTTTTGGGGGAGCGCTCGATGCTGCCAGCGCGGGAGTTCATACCCTCTCAAAAAGAAGCTTCCTCGTGGCGCCTCAACTCCAAAAGAGTTGCGTGGCCACGCCATCGCCGCGGCACCGAGAAGCTCGAAGCCCTGCCCCCGCCCGTCGCGCGGCCGCCGAACCGCACGCGCGACCTGCTGCGCAAGACGTCGCTTTCGGGAGCTTTCGGCAAACCGGCGTGTCTCCTAAAGCAAGCGCGGGAGCTCGCGCCGGCCGCGGCGGACGCGGTCGAGGCGCGCCGCGGCGAGCTGCGCGCGGCCATGGTGGCCTTCGCGGCGCGCGGCGACGCGCGCGGCGCCCGCGCCGTCTGGCTGCTGCACGAGCTCGAGCGGGATCTGGTGCGGAAGTGGGGTTTAGTCGACGGCGATCGGACGGCGACGCTGTCGGCCGTCGCCGCCGAGCTGCTTCGGCGGTTAGTCATCGTGATTTGAGCCGCGTCTTGGAGACTGAGTGCTTTCATGTGTTTTTCGATGGCGTCAGGAGTGCGACGAGGCGCGGCGGTGCCGTGGCCACGGCCACGCGCTCGCGCTCGCTCCAGGAGTGCTCCTCGCTACTGATCCGATCGCGTCGATGGCATAAGGGGCGCTCCAGGGGTCCTCCCGCGCAGGCGGAGCAGTGGGCGAGCGAGTTCGAGCATTTGCCGGACCACAGGAGCGAGATCACGCGCGTCTGGCTCGCCTCGAAGCTGAGGATGGACGCCTTCCCAAGGACCGAGCGCCTCATTTACGAGCGGACGCTGAAGCGCGATTTGGATTTCGCCAGTCAGTGGCACGCGCCGCAGCCGCCCTCTTCTAAAGTCGTGGCGTTCGCCTCGTGTGTCGCCGTGCTGGGCCTGGCGGGGCCCGTCTACGTGCTGCTCGTCTACGCGACGGCGCTCGGGCAGGCGCAGAGCTGGCCATTTCTGCTCAACTTCTTCTTCGAGTTCATGCTCGTGTACTTTTTGATCGTGCCGCTGATGATTTTGTTCAACAAGATCTTCCTTCCTTCGTTGTTGGATGAAAGGCTCCAGCAGGACGCCTTTGAGGACGACGAGGGCTTTGGCGGTGCGAGCCCTGGAGCACCCCTTACGCCATCAGATGCTGCTCCCGTACCCGAACTCGATCTTGATCGCGTCGATGGCGTCGAGCAGCGCATTGTAAGGATGCGGTCGTACCCCTACAAGACGCCGCTCAACGAGACGCCGCTCGACTTCCTCGTCGCGCGCGAGCCCGAGCTCAAGGCGCTGGTCGACGAGGCGCGGCGGTCCCGTGGCCACGGCCACGCGCTTGCGCTCGCCGTGGACCCAAGGCTCTCGCTGGAAGCTTTGGAGCAGATTCACGACCAGGAGCACTGGAACCCGTCGTGGTCCGCGTGGCTCATGCTCAACGTGTTGGGCGTCTTCCTGCTGCTCCCGGACACGATGCAGGACATTGTCATGGAGGAGCTTTTGCTCATCCTGCCGGCCGCTACTTATTTGGTTAACGAGGGCGTGCTTCGGTCGACGGGCGGGCGGTGCACTGGCCGCGCTTTGAGTAGTTTTGTTGCTTTCGCGTCGATGGCATGTTTGTTTGGGGTGGGATTTCGCGTCGGTGGCGTGTTTGTGGGGTATCGCTCCAGGTTCGCGAAAAACGCGCAGGCGCGGCCGCAACTCGCGGCTCGACAACGGCTGGTTCCTGATCGCGTTCACGCTCGTCTTTGGGCACGCATGTGCTCTTTTGGTCACGGCGCTCGTCTCCAAGGCGCAGGCGCGCGCCGCCGCGCGGCACGAGAAGAAGAGGTCGCGCGTGCGGCGACGAGCGGCGACGCTCGTCACTTCCGAGGAAGGTGCGGTGTTTCGGCCTCGTCCTCGTGCGGGCCTCCTTGGTCTCGACGATGACTCCTTCGAAGAAGGGGCCCGCACGGAACTCGCGTCCGCGCTCGCGCGGGCCAAAGCTGAGGACGACTCCGCTTCGGATTTCTCTTCATAAGTGTGATATGTCGTATCTTGTATTCTCCTGCGGTCCATGCTCAGCAGCGTCCCCTAGGTTCGCTTCGCGGGTAGGTAGGTACTTAATAAGGAACGCCCCGTCGTTCGCGCCAGCGTCGACGACGTCGCCCGGCGGCAGCAGGTGCGCGAACGCCTGGACAGGATCCAGAGCCGCGGTTCCATGGGGCATTTCCAGAGCAGCGGTTCGGTTCAGCTCAGAGCGGGAGGGAGTCGTCTATACTAGGGCCTTGGTGAAGGTCGTCCAGGAGCCAGCAGCTGCCGGGCCTCTCCGCGTCGCCGGGCCCGGACAGTACCGTACCGTACTGGTATCTTGCAATATCGTCACCTGGGGCTCGCTACAAAGATACTTTCTTACATGTCGCGGCGGTAGCAGAGAAAATATAATATTCATGGTTCCGAATGAGAAATTGGCTGTGATGCTTCCAGAGCCTGCCAGTGCCTCCTTTTCTGTACAACTCAAGGCAGTGTTGCAAGAGATAACTGCTCAGGCTCGACTCGGAGATAGAGCGTTTACAAAGCAAAAGCTCCGACTCGGAGTCCGGGCCAGAGTCGCGGCAAGGACGGTTAATTGCTTCGATCCAGGACGGTTTGAGAGGTTTATTCGAGAGTGCTCAGGAGAAATAGCCGAATTCTATTGGAATTTCCGGTATGGGTGCAGGGTGACTAGGAGCATCGTCCCTGTACGTGGGATCAATTGTGGGGTCGTCTCCGCCAGCCGCGGCGTAATTAACCACGTATTTTAAACTTCAAGCCGCGGTGGTCACTCGAGCCGTGGCTAGACTTCCGCCGACAACGCACATTGGAATTTCCGGTAGTAAGCTCGGCAGGCGTGATGTGCCGCCGGCGCTTGGACTCCATCGCGCGCTGGTCGCACTGGAACCGTCGCCGGGGCTCATGCGCGGCACCGCCAGGCGAACTTCAAAGAGTGACGACTCTCATCGACAGACCCGGTCTCGCTGAACCTACAGGCTCGGGCCAGAACCGCGTGGCGCCTTCCCGCAGCCGTTTTGTCCGGTTCGCTCTTTTGTCCTCTCACGATCGCCGGCGGAGGTAGATCGTGAGGATCTTCTGGTGCCAGATTGCGTTCCGGGCCCCGGGCGGCATGACGCTGGACAGATCCATGTCCTCGGTGATCCGCGTCTCGTCGACCTCCTCGAAGCCGCACGCGCGCATGGCGGCGACAAAGGCGGGCCGATCGTCGAGCGACGCGGCCTGCTTTGCGGTCCAGGCGTCGGCGCCGCCGACGGAGGCGCCCGGGTAGAGCGAGGCGAAAAAGAGGCCCCCGGGCTTGATCACGCGCGCGACCTCGCGGCCGAACCGTCGCAGGTCGTAGATGTGGTCCAGCACGTTCGAATACGCGTAGTCGAAGCTGTCCGCCGCGAACGGCACGTCGTGGAAGTCGCCGAAGACGACGTCCATGTTGCCCCGACCGGGTTCGAGGTCGATGCCAACCGCGACAGCGCCGAGGCTCTTGAACGCGCGGACCTCGCCGCCTAGGCGCGCGCCGAGACACAGCACCGTTCGGCCTCCGAAGCCCGCGACGCCCGCGGTCCCGCGGGCCACCGCGGCGGCAAACTCGCGCCGCACCTGGTGCTGCCGCGCGACGTCGATCGCCCGGATCTTCTCCGGGTAGAGCGCGAGCTTCGACTGTTGCTTCGCGACGTAGGCATGGTACGTCCGCGTCTCGCCGCGCCGCCGCAGCGATTCGCTCAAATCCGACGTCGTCCGTTCGTCGGGAGCATCGGCCACGGCCGCGGCCGCGGCCAGCCAACAACAGGCGAGCACCGGCAGCGTCGGCGTTTTTCCTCCCATTGTGATATACGCCGTTTCGCCGCCGGGGCTGCTGGACGTGCTGGACGTGTTACCACAGAGGGTCAAGCTGGTACACCATCATGAACCTACTAGGGAGGTACCTACGGTAGGTAGGTACCGTAGGTAGATCACTGCGGAGATTCTGTTTTTACCAATAGAGACTTTGCGTTTCCGCGGGCGTGGTCGACCGCCGCGGCACGGCGTGCGCGCACGAACGCGTGGTATGATCGGCTGGTATCTCCGTGTCACATTGCCAGTGAAGAAATCTGTTGCATAATGAGCTGGGTGCAGCAAGTGCACAATGCAGCTGTGGTAGCTAGGTCTCTCGGGTGTCAATGTGACACGGAGATGCCAACAGGAAGAACTCTCACTGAAACGTGAGAGTGTGGGAACCCCCTCAACCCTGAGAAGACAGAATTGGAATAAAGGAGATTAAGAGGGAGAAGGAAGTATCCTAAGATACAGGCCACTAGCCTCTGATATCTACTAGAACCTGAGAGGAGCTCTAGATAAAGGTAGCTACAGTATCATAGCACACTGCAATCGCTGTAGCCCTTCCTTCTCCGCTCTTTTGGGGTGTTTTCTCTTTAGATTTCTTTTTGGGTGTTTTTCCTTGTTTAGGCATTCACTGTAAAACACTCTACGTCAATAGGCAGAACCCTGTGGGCCCATAACCTAGCAAGAGTATGTCGCAGCGTTATGTAAGTAGCACTGGCAGGGTCCTAGCTAACCAGCTTAGAGCTGATAGGCCTGACTGCGAGAGTGTTTTATAGTGAACTGTTGTTACACCGTAGTGCTTTTGACACTCGATGTATAGACTCAAATATTAGAGAGTGGGAGATACATATCTAGGGTAGGAAGGGCTAGTAGGTTTCTCTCTTTATTTACGGTACCGTAGGTACGGCACCATCTCGGCACCGGCTTGTACGAGCTGTAGGCAGCCTAGAGCTTGTATTGTGCGACGCTTGTTCCTTCGGGAGGCGTGCATGTGTAAAAACAATCCATTAAGGAGGCACGATGCCACGCGGCAGACGCCCTGCCAGCCCCACTTTTGCAGTTGCGCGATCTAGGTTGGGAATTTTTATACTAAGCCACTCCGTACGGGCGTTCGACGTAACGCAATTATCAGCATGGGAGGTGACCTGCCGCGAGTACGCAGGGTTGCAGGACGGGGATCAAACGCCGCTGAATGCCGGACCACTCGCACATCCGCCCGAGCGATTCAACGAGACTGCGATCTGGACGTTTGGCAACGAGGCGATGACAGTGGCAGCCTCTATCTTCGGGGGCAAAGCCATGGACCTAGGGGCGTCGCTCGTCGCCGAGGCCATACGGCGGCGCGAGCCGGCGATGCTTGTTCGGCTACGGCTCCTCCGTTGTGCGGTGGACACCTGCAATAACGCAACAAAAGTTCTCATGTCGGCGGCGTATGTGCTTCGGAGGTATGGTGAAGTGCTGCATTGGAGTGCGACACAGCCTAATTCGATGGCCCCGCCGACAAATTTGATTCGTGAGAAGGAATTCACTGTGCACAAGGACCTGGACTCAGCGTTTCGCGGCCAACGTCGGGACCTGAAGCAATTGCAGGCCTCGGGCATCCTCTTCGCAGCGCTCGGTCTGCAGCATCTCAAGCTCGCACTGTGCAACTTGCGAGACGTTTCGGACGCGATCCGAGCGGCTGCGGGAGGACTTTTCGCAAGATGGGGCGTCGCTTTCGGCATCGCCGAGCTCGAGGTGGACGCCTACAGATCGCTGTGCGCGAATGAAGCGGCTTCGTTTTGCACCGCGGTTGATACGCTTGTAGAAATACCGTGGGGCGCAGACAAGCGGAGATACCACTTTAAGATGTTCAAAATTCGTGCAATGCGACTGTCACCTTTTGAAACGACCCTGTTTCTGGACAACGACGCGACACTCCTTCCCCGTCGCATATCATATATTGAGGTATTAAAGGAAAGATTCGACGCAGTCGGCGTCGACTTCGCGGCGGATCACGAGTTGGGGGGTTGCCAAACCGCAACGTGTCAGCGACGGCGGTTGGATCGCCAGGAATCTTGCAGCTTACCGTCCTGGCGGGATCGCAAAGAGTTTGCGCGACTGCGCGGCTTGCTGCGCGAGGTCAACACTGGGACCATGCTGCTGCGGAACACTAGCACCACGCAGCTGTTCCTCACACATTGGGAGCACGTTGTTGCGCTGGGACCCAGGTTTGTGCCAGGGCACGGCCTTAAGGACCAGCCAGGTCTAGTCATCGCCTATGGAGATACTCTTCCGACGTACGCGCGACTCGTGGATCTGCTACCGGGCTTTGGCAACCCGCGAAGCTGCTGCGTGAGGTGCGCCAACTCCGCTCGGTGGAGCGACTGGCAGTCGGCGGACGATTTTTGGGGATTCAACGTCACTGCGCCCGGATTTCCCCTAAGCCCGGGCCCGAATTGTCGTTGCCTCGCGTGTCACGACAGTCACTCGAGCCACACCTCCCACAAGACGCCGGCGCCGAGTATACCGCGTCACTGCTCTCTTTTTGGTCGCGCGACCGTGGATTCGGCCAAGAAGGCTCACGCATCTCCAAACCAACTTCTGGATCAAGCCCTGGCTATGACCGCCCCTAATTCAACATCGGCGGCTAACCCTGATGATATTCCATCGTTTCAGAACGTCAGCGATCGACGCGGAGACGCAGCTGAGACCGAGCCTCCGCTCGACCGGGCCACCCTGGTCGTCCAGGGCTACTCGGCAAAGCGGGTCAATCAACTCTGCAAATGGGTGCACACCGCTCGAAGCTGGTCCGATCTCATCGAGGCCGTTCTCGTGGTGTGGAACGGAGCGCGGAGCAACTTCCGGTGCGACGGGGTCGCGGAAACCGATAGGTGGTCTAAGACGGGTGACATATTCGCCTCACGCGTGCACTTTGCTGCACATGATCTGCTTGACAACCACTACGTTGTCCCCGCGACGTTGGACATCCCGTCGGCAGTCGCGCTGGTCATGGACGATGATGTCACAACCGACCGCGCGTCTTTTGCTTTGCAGAAATCAACTTTTCAAGGTGAATTCGTGCTGAATCGTCGCGTTGGCCCCACGCTATCGATGCGACGTCTGCTTGATGACTCGGCGGTGCGGGTCGCTCACCACTCTACTTCGCCAGCACGCCTCGTCGTCGCCGAGAAACGAGTGTGTGAATTATTATCGGTGCACCCAACTCAGTGGTTGATTTCTACTCAGGTCTGTTGCTTGCATGATCGAGATCTGGCGCGCTGATACGCGCCTCCTGGTCGCCCCAGCGCATTCAGCGCGGGGCTTTAGTCGTACGCAGATGGCAATGAGCGGCCACCGAGCCGCATTCTGCGCCTTTCTCCCGCGCGCCCCCCGCGTCCAAATCGAGTTCACGATTCCGACTGAGCCTACTCACACAATCCAAAAGATAATATATATGAAGCTATGAAAAGTGTTGGGCAATCCGGGTATAACCGCAGGCAAATGCTCCTCGTGCACAAGAAATATCTTGTTGAGTACGCGCGGCACGCGGCGCTTCGCGCTCTCGTGAACGCGACGCCCGTTTGCGAACATCGGTGTGAAATCAACCGGCGGGGTCGGTTCGGCCCGAGTCTAGCCTTCGACGATGCATTGTGGTTTAATATCTACGCAGGCGAGGATTATGCCTTTGGAGCAGCCGTTGGCGTCGCAGCACGCCGCTTGGCCGGGCCTTTGGACGATCCGCTCATGGTCCACGCCGTCGCCATAGGTCTCAACAAGCACGGTGGCGATGGCCACGGCATCGATGACCTCTCTGGAGCTCGGGGGTTCCGGAGTACCCGAAGTTCGTGCCCCACCCGCGTCGCTGACGTCATCCGCTCGAACCGCGACGGGCTCTTCACTGGCCAACCCTTTGTCCCTTCGACGCTCACGCTCCAGTGTGGCGCCTCGAATATCTCCGCGGCCCGGGAACAAGCATCCATCGCGCTCAAAGGGCGACAGCACGCGGGCCAGTGCCGGATCTAGGTCATTCATACGACTTGGACCACTAACGTAGCGGCCGCAGGAGACTGGAGGGTGCCAGCCTTGTCTCTCGCCACGCTGGCGAGTCTTAAAAGACTCATCTAACTCAAAAATAACCCCCGCCCCAAAGTTACCTTCAAGTTAAAATTCAAGTTGGAGTCACGGTTATAAAATAAAAATAAATAAATCTTAAGGGATGTGTCGGAGCCGACGGGTCCTACGGCACCGTCGTCTACCTGTCCCTTCCGGGGCACCGGCTCTTTGAGTTATGGAGAAGAGCACACAGCGGCCCATCACGGTCGCACGTCTCAGATCAAAGCCCACCCGCGACGGGCGCGCCAGGCGTATCGGCGGCACCGGCGTGATCGTTCGCGGCCCTGGCGTGCGCCGGACCCAGGGAAATATCGGCTCCGGGCGCATGCCGGTCGGTATAGCTCGCTGATAGGCGAGAGTAATGTAGCCATAGATCCGGCGATAGGGGGCTATGGCGTTGCAGATATATATCTAGGGGAGTTTTCACCTCACTCGCGCCCTTCCCGGCTTCCCGGCGCCGCGGCCGCCTCTTCCGCGAGGGCCGGCTTCCTCTTCGGCGTGCTACGGCGTCCCCTCCGAGCCCGTCAAGGCCGTCGATGTTACTCCTCTTCGGCGTTCGGCCGCCTCTCTACTCCGAGACCGACGACCGCGGCCAAGTTCCCCTTCCCCCCGTGTGCCCGGGAGCCGCGACGGGCCGCCGCGGCCTCTGTATTCGACGTCGGAGCTCCTGGTTTCTCAGGCCTCAGTCCCGACTCAGAGTAGATCTCAGAGTCCGAGTCCTAGATTCAAATTTCTAATTTATTTCTTTTTCAGTCCGGCGCAGATTTTGACGTGGAGAGCAGCAGCGAGCGCTTCGCGCACGACCGGGGGCGCGTCTCAACCGCCGAGTCGGACGCCAAAGTCGTACCACGAGACGACGCCCGAGGCGTCGCAGGTCGACCGCCACGCGCCGTTCGACGGCGGCGCGGCGGGCGTTGGCGCGGCGGGCGCATTCTGCGCGGGCTTGCTAAAGAAGTTGAAAAACTGGTCGAAGAACGACTCGCTCGGCAGCGTCACGCGCGCCGGCGACGAGAAGGGGGACCCGCTCCAGGCCTCGCGGGGCATGGCGGGCGGCGCGGCCCGCCGCACCCCAAGCTTTGAAATGCGGTCGCGGCGCTCCGCGAGCCTCGCCGCTGCGACCTCCAGCTCAGCCGCGCGCAATGCTTCGCGCGTCGCGCTGGAGAAGACGTCGCCGGACCACCCCACGCGCTCCATCGTCGGCGCCTTGGGCCGCACCGGCGGCGGCGGCGGCGGCTTCGGCCAACGAGCCGTTCCGTACGCGTCGCCACTCCACGCAGGCACCGACACCTCCTTGGCGCGCTGCTTCCTGCCGAACGAGAACACCGGCGACGCCTTCGACGGCGGTCCCGATGCCGACGCCGCCTCTACTTCGTCGCTCTGGGCCGCGAAGGCGACAGCAGCGCCGGCCACGGCCACCACGCCGATCACCGTCCCTGGGTCGATGTCAACCGCCCCGAGCGGCCGGATTTGGCTGCGCACCGGCCTGGGTAGGGTGTACGAGGATGCGCTGAAAGCCCCCAGCAAGCCTAGCCTAAAATGCAACATTTTCCAACGCCACCCGGCACCCGGTCCGGGGTACAACACGCGAAGCGGAGCAAGATCGCACAAGGATTTACCATTTACCTACGGCTGCTAGTACCTATCTAGTAGCTACTGGGTTCGAAGAGTCCCTGACAGGAAGAAGGGTGGTGCACGAGAACGCGGAAAATCGACTCGATCTGTGTGCGTGTACAAAAATACCCAATTTGAGGCTGCCCCGCCTTTACTCAAGCTGTAGGTAAAAGAATGCCAGGCAGCGCATGGCAGCAGCCGCGCTGGTGGTCGCCGCGATCGTCGTCGGCGCGCCGGCGGACGCGGCGGTGACCGCGGACGCGGCGCCGCGGGACCTGCGCCCGGTCCAGGAGTGCGCGGACCTGGCGGCCTGGCTCGCGCACCTCGGCGGCGACTGCGGCGCGGCGGGGCTGACGCGCGGCGGCGACGCCGGCGCCGCCGCACTCTGCGACGCCGTCGCCGGCGGCGCCGGCGGCGCGGGGGCGTGCGCGGCGCGCGCGGCCGCGGACGCGGAGGCGAGCGCGCGCGTCCACGCGGCGCTCCGGCGCGTCAAGGCGCGACGGGCGCGCGGCGCCTGGCGCGGGACGGCGGCGTTCACGATCAGCGCCTACAACAACTGGGGCGTCGTCCGGCCGTTCCTCGAGAGCCTCCTCGCGCACGCGCCGCGCCGGCGTCGTCGAAGCCCGGGGCGCCTTCGGGTGGCCCGCGGGCGCCCCCCAGCGCTACCGCATCGTACCTCCCGCAGGCACCGCACCTACCCGAGCTCGTGTGGTTCGTCGCCGACGCGCGGCACGCCGGCGACGCGGCGGTGGCCGCCGTCCGCCGCGAGTTCGCGGCCGTCGCGGCGCGCGCGTCGACGACGGCCGTCGCGACCGCGTCGCTCGACGATCTGCGGGCCGTGATGCCCTACGACATCAACGAGCTCGCGTTCCGCTACGGCCTGAAATGCTTCAGCACGGCCGTCAAGCCGTGGGTGTTCCGGCTCCTGTTCGCGCGCGGCCACGCGCGCTGCCTCTACTTCGACCCCGACATCCAGTTCTACGCGGATCTTGACGAACTAGTTTTACGACTACATCGCGTCGCGATCCTCGTCACGCCGCACGTCACGCGGCCGAACCCCGACGACGGAAAGTGGCAGACGGACCTCCAGCTCGCGCGGACGGGCGTCTACAACTTTGGGTTCCTCGGGCTCTCCCGGGCGCACGAACCGGTGCTGGACCACTTCCTGGCGTGGTGGGCCGCGCGGCTCCGCTTCGAGGGCCACGTCGACTTGGAGAAAGGGCTGCACTACGACCAGCAGTGGGGCGCCTTCGTGGCGTCGTTCTACCCGCCGGACGCGTACCACGTCCTGCGGGACCCGCGCTACAACGTGGCCTACTGGAACCTGCACTACCGCGGCCGCGAAATCCGAGTCAGGCCCTCCGACGGCGCGGCGACGTACAAGGGCGCGCCCCTGATCTTCGTCCACTTCTCGGGCGTCGCGACCGACGCCTGGGACCCCGACGCGTCGCTGAGTCCGCACCAGACCCGCTTCCGCCTCGGCGACTTCCCGAACCTCGCGCCGCTCTTCCGCGACTACGCGCGCGCGACGGCCGGCGCGGCCCGCCACCGCGCGGCGTGCCGCTACGGCCTCGCCGCCTTCGACAACGGCGCGCCCGTCCCGTACTGGCTCCGCGGCCTCCCCGGCTCGCTCGTCGCCGCCGGCCGCGCGCGCGCCCGCGGGCCCCCCGCGCCGGCCCGTGCGGAACTTTCCGGCTCATGTCCTCCCGAAACGGTCGCGGTTCGCGCGGGATGGTGGGTTTTCCGCGTGATTATGTTGATTTCCACGCAGGCGCCGGCGCCGCCGTACGCCGAGGCGCTCGGCGCGCTCGACCTGTCGAATCCCTTCGCGACGGCGCCGGCGAACTCGCTCTGGCGCTGGCTCCTGAAACACCGCCACGACGAACCGCCGACCCGCGCCGCCTGCGGCGACCGCGACTGCTGGTTCCCGAACGTCGTGCTCCTGACGCTCGACGCCTTCGGCGTCAGCACCCGGACGTTCCCGGCCGCGGCCGACGCGCGCGCGTTCTTCGCGCGCTTCGGCGCGCTCATGGCGTGGGGCCTCGGGCAGCGCGCGAATCAAATTTCACGGCGCCTCCTTCCATCTCGACGAGCGTCGGCGATTGCTACGCGGCCCCTGTCGAGATGGGCTCGTGCGACCCGGTAGCACGCAGGCCTCGAGGGCGGCCCCGGCGGCCGACCCACCTTCGCGCAGCGGCAGCTCGTCCGGGACTTCGTGCGGTCGGGCCAGAAGAACGCGGCGTCGTTCTGCTGCCGCGTCGCGCTCGGCCGGAGCTGCGCGAGCGTACCCGCGGCGCGCGCGGCGCTCGGCCGCGACCCGCGTCGCGTCTGCGGCGTCGTCGAAGCGCTCGTCAACGCGACGGGCCTCGACGTCTGGCGCGCCGCGCTCGCACGGGCGCCGGGCGACGCGTCGCGGCTCTACGCGCGCACCATCGTCTGACTTTGGCTTCTCCGCCACGAGCTCTGACTCGGAGAACCCTCGAAATCTTGGCAATTGAGAGATGAATGCCGGGGTACGTCATGACGCAGCCGCCGCGCAAGTCGCCGCGCGCAGGGGTCTAGCGAGCCTCGGATTAGATTCCTTCTCTAAAGCGCCGAGCGCGGTTCACGTTTCTTTTGCTTGTCTCCTTTTTGAGGCTTTCGCAAACGATGCGCGTCCCTCCGTCCTCGATTTCTAATTTCTTTAGTCGATTTGGGGCATTTCTATCGCAACGGAACTGTCTTGTTTTCCCCCGCAGCCGTCGGATAATAGGAAATGGACTTCGCTACCTCTCCAAGACAGGAAATTTAATGCCGCTAGCGGCCTGTACTAACACTCTATAGGATATTGGGGTTATATTGAAGTTTTAGTCCGTGTGCCTGCCTGGCGATGAGTCAGTTCGGCAATGAGCCAGTTTGAGGAGATCCCGTCCCCGGGGCGCGGCTTCCAGGGCTCCCGCGCGGAAAGTCCGCGTGCTAGCGGCCTGTACTTACAGGTAAGACACTATGAATACATAGGGATGCCTAGCATACTCGAGCAGGGGTCGGCTCGAAACACCGCGAGCACTTTTTTTGCAAGCAAAAAAAGATGGAGGGCATCATTCAAATGATCACCGGAGCCGCGGACCCGCGCTCGCTCGACGGCCAGCTGCGGTCGCGCGAAGAAGCGCTCCGCCAAGTGACTCGCGACGAGGCGGCCGTGGTCCTGGCCTGCGAGCGCCTCGACCACGCGCGGCACGCGCTGGGGCTCCTCCACGTCCTCGCCGCCCGGCTCGCCGCCCTCGAGGCCGACCGTACCGACGCCGCCGTCGCGCGCGAGGCGCGGCGGTGCGCGCGCTTTGCGCGCGCCGCGGACGGCGCGCAGCTCCGCCTCAATCCCAAGCTCGCGGCGGCGTTCTGCCACCGGCTCGCGGCGCTGGCCTGCGGCGAGGGCGGCGCCGTCGCGCGCGTCGCGGCGGCCGCGCTCGCCGCGGTGGCACCCGCGCTCGCGCCGGCGCCCGGGTGCCTCACGCCGGCGCACGCGGACTGCCTCCAGTGCTGCCTCGCGGGCCGCGACTACGCGCGCGGCCGGCGCTTCCTCGGCGCGGCGCCCGTCGCGCGCGTCGCCGCGCCGCCGCCCGCCGCCGCCCCGCGCGCCGCGGGCGCCGCCCCGCCGCCCGGCGGCGACGGGGTCGACGCGGCGCCGCCGGCGCCGCCGCCGCGCGCCGCCGCCGCGCGCGCCGCGCCGGTCGCGGGCCTCCGCCCCGAGGACGTGCTGCGCTACCTCTACTACGCGGGCGTCGTCGAGGCCGGGTCGGCGCGCTGGGCCGCGGCGGCAAACGCCTTCCGGCTCTGCGCGACCGCGCCGGCGGCGAGCCTCAGCGCGATCGCCGTCGCGGCGCTCCGCAAGCTCGTGCTCTGCCGCCTGCTCGCCGGCGCGGGCGACCCGGCGGACGCCGGGCGCCTCCCGCGCTACGCGCCGACGTGCGTGAGCCGCGCCGCGCGCGCCGTGGCCGGCGCGTACCTCGACCTCGCCGCCGCGTTCGCCACCGACGACGACGGCGCCGCGCTCGCCGCCGCGCTCGCGACGCACGCGGACGCGCTGGCGCGCGACGGCAACGCCGACCTCGCGGCGCGCCTCGTCGGCGCGCGCCGCCGCCGCGCCGCAGAAAGCAGCGTGGAAACCAACCAGTGAGTTTGGTTATCTATTGCCGAGACCTCCGCGACCCTCCACGCCGTCGATCAGACACCGTGACGGGAACGACGTCGTGTCGATGCCGCGGAACCTCCACGCCATCGAGTAGACGCAGTCACGAAGACGACGTCGCGTCGATGGCGTGGGGCGCCCGAACTTTGATTTCGACACAGGCCGAAAGGCTCCCTCGCGTATACGTCGCGCTGCCGCTCGGCGCCGCCGCGACGAAGCTCGGCCTCGCCGACGGCCAGGAGGCCGAGGCGGCCCTCGTCGACGCCGTCGCGACCGGCGCGCTCGGCGTGCTCCGCATCGACGACGCGCGGCGCGTCGCGCGCTTCGACGGCGCCGCGCCGGCGTTCGCGTCCGAGCAGCAGGTCGCCGCCGAGCTCCACGCGGCCGTCGCGGCCGTCCTGGACGTGGGCGCCACCGCCGCCGCAATGGCCGAGCGCGTCGCGCTCAACCCGAACTTCATCCTCAAGTCCGACCTCGTGACGGCCGAAGCCCACGTGGACCGCGACGACGGCCACGCCGACGTGGACCGCGACGTGACGGCCATGATGGACTTCGTCTAGAACGCCCTCCCGGCACTAAGCTTCTCTCTCTCTCCTCCACCGAGTCGTATCCCCGGGGAGGAAGTAGTCAGCTGCGGTGTGCCCATATCTCTTTTTCGCGGACACAACCTGAAGTTCGGACCCGGGCTCAGGATATCCGAGTCTACTACTAGTAGTAGTATCCGAGTCGCTCCGTAGATATCCCGGCAGGCCAAATCGTTCTATTTTGTATGTTATGGAGAGTGAGTCGACATGCCATCGAGGCCACAAACGACCTATATTAGAGTGTTCAAGTTGGTTCGAGGATACTTAGCCAAGCGCGGCGGCCTGCTACTCGGAGGGGCGCACCTCCAGCGTGAACTCGTACTGCAAATCGACGCCCAGGTAGCAGTCGGACATGAAGTAGAGCGTGAGGGACGCGGCGCCGGGCGCGCGCGGCGCGACGAAGTCGAGCCGGACGTCGGCCGCGCGCGCGACGGAGACGCGCTTGACGGCCAGGAGCGCGTTCTTCGCGACGTCGGCGACGACGAGCCACCAGCCCTCGCGCTTGCGCGCCGGGAAGCGCGGCGCGCGGACCAATCCGACGTCCTGCATGTCGTCGTCGACCTCGCGCTCGAGGGTCACCGAGAGCGCGACGGGCTCGCCGGCGACGACGGCGTCGGCGTCGAGGACCGAGTAGCGGAGCTCGACGTTCGGGTAGTCGTTGCAGAAGTTCGCGACGTCGGCCGTCCGCGCCGGGTCGAGCGCGAGCACGGCGTCGCGGACGTCGTCGTCGAGCGCGGCGACGTCGAAGACCTGGTCGAGCCGCGCGCCGCGCGCCGCGGCTCGCGCGAGCGTGGCCGCGTCGACGTGCGGCACCTGGAGCGGCGGCGGGTCGTCGTGCCACAGGCCCTGGACGACCATCTGGCTCAGCTCCATGGCGTGCAGCGCCGGCGCGAGCCAGCCGTTGGACGAGACGACGTCGACGAGCGCCTGGAGCAGCGCGACGGACGCCTCGACGGCCGCGTCGCGGTCCGCGCGCAGGTCGGCGCTCGCCACGGGCCGCCGCGAGAAGTGGCTCTGCAGCAGCGCGTGGGCCTTGGCCGCGGCGTCGCGCCCCGGCGGGCCGCAGCCGCGCGGCGGCTTGTGGCGCGCGTGGCGCGCGAGCGCCTCGAGCGCCGGCGCGTCCTGCGGCCGCTGCGGGAGGTCGCGGAGCTCGGCCGCGTGCGCGAGGACCTCGAGGAGCTGCGGCACGCGCGACGCCTCGGCCGCGGACGCGGCGAAGAGCTCGACGGTCGCGTAGCGGAGCCGGTAGTAGGCCGCGATCATGCCCAGGTTCAGGGCGGCGAGGGACGTCTCGTCGTCGCCGACGCGGACGCAGCCCGCGTCCTCGAGGTCGCCGGCGACGCGCTCGACGAGCTCGGAGAGGTGGTCCGAGACGTGGCGGTGCGACGCGCCGCGGAGGTCGTAGTAGTTGGGGTTCTTCGCGAGGCGGCGGTAGTAGAACGTCCACGTGAGGTAGTCGACGCAGTCCTGCTTCGATTCGATCGTCCGCGCCACGACCTCGGCGTTGACGTGGTCGTGCAGGTCGTCGTCGAGCCGCGACTCGACGGGCAGCGGCTCGTACAGCGCGCGCTTCAGGTACGCCTGCTTCGGCGCGTGGCAGAAGACCGCGCACGCCGCGTCGTCGTCGACGCCGCCGGGCCGGCCGGCCGTGCTCGTCATCTCGAGGACGTCGGTGACGTCGTAGTCGACGTAGCGGTGCCGCGCGCCGTCGTAGGCCTCGGTCCCCAGGACGCACACGAGCTTGGCGGTCGCGTCGAGGTCCCAGCACGTCGACGCCGGCGCGACGAGCATCCAGAGCTCGTCGGCCGCGTAGAGCCGCTCGACGGTCGCGCGGTCGCGCGCGGAGAGGCCCGCGTGCAGGAACGCCACGCCGGCCTCGACCGTCCGCGGCAGCGCCGGGTCGTCGAACGCGGCGTCGCCGCCGCGCCGGCCGACGCGCGTCGGCCGCCGCGCGGCCGCGCCGTCCGCGTCGGCCGCCGCGCGGACGGCGACGTCGATGGCCGTGAGCTGGCACTGCTTGCGCGACGGCGCGAACGCGAGCACGGGCGCGTCCGGCGCGACGCGCTCGGCGAGGTCGTAGAGCGCCTTGCCCATGCTCAGGAGCCGGCTCTGGACGTGCGGCGCGTCGAACGCGACGACGCTGAGCTCGAGCGGCACGGGCCGCACGGTCGCGGCGAAGGCGTAGCACCGCTCGGCGGGCACGCCGAGCCAGTCGCCGACGTCGCGCGCGTCGGCCGTCGCCGCCGCGAGGCCCACGACGCGCGCGGGCGCGTCGAGCTGCGACGCGACGTAGCGCGCGCGCGACGCGACGATCTCGAGCGTCGAGCCGGCGGTGTCGCGGCCGACGCAGTGGAGGTCGTCGAAGACGAAGAGGCCGACGTCGCGGACGGCCGGCCGCTGCTTCCAGCGCCGCGACAGCGCGTCCCACCGCTCGGCCGTCGCCAGCAGCACGTCGCCCTCGCGGAGCGCGCGGAGGTCCGCCGCGACGTCGCCCGTGGCCTCGGCCGCGACGAGCGCGCCGCCCGGCAGCGCCGCGAAGCGCGCGCGCCACCGCCGGAGGACGCGCCGGACCGTCGCCGCGCGCGGCGCCACGTAGACGACGCCGCCGCCGCCGCCGCCGCCGCCTCCGGCGCGCGCGCGCGCGGCGCGCCGGCGGACGACGTGCCGCAGCACGGCGAGGTCGGCGCAGACGAGGCGGCCGGCGCCGCCCGGCGCGCAGACGAGCGCGGACTCGTCGGACTCGTAGAGCGCGGCGAAGCACTGGGTCTGGATCGGGTTGAAGTAGGGGCCCACGTCGGCGAAGAGCGCCGCGAGCTCGGGCGAGCCGACCGCGCCGACCGGCAGCGGCTGGAGATCCAACAGCTCCGTGTGCGGCGCGTGCTTCCGCGGGAGGATCAGGTGGCGGAACGAGACGGGCAGGCACGCCGTGCTGTGGAGCCAGCGGTCGCTCACGACCTTGAGGAAGTACTGCGGCGGCGGGGGGTCGGAGACGGGCACGCGCAGCTCGACGACGTGCTCGGCGTCCGCGCGGTCCAGGCTCACGCGGAGCGGCTCGTGGTGCAGGATCCGCTCGCCGTCGACGTCCTCGACGATCACGTGGAAGATCTGGGCGTAGTCGTGGACCTTGGCCTCGAACTGGAAGTCGGGCGAGACGACGACCTCGACGTGGAGCAGGCCGCGCGACACGGGGCGGACGTGCGCGGCGAGCTCGACGCGCGGGATCTGGTGCACGAGGCGGTGGAGCGTCTTGCCCATCTTCGGGAGCTTCACGAGCTCCGCCAGGTCGCCCGGCTTCAGGTCGTAGTACCGGTCCCACGCGATCTCCTTCTTCTCGAGCTTCCGCGCGATCGTCTCCGGCACCCCCCGGAACTGCCGGAGGGGGCACTGCGACGGCCAGAGCCGCCGCTCGACCATCTTGCACAGCGTCAGGGCCTTGTCCGCCGCCGCCGCCCAGCCGCGCTTGAGCGCCACCTCAAAGAGCGCGCGGCAGAGCCGCGCGGCCGACTGGCGCACGAACGTCATGTCGGCGACGAGCGCGAAGCCCTCGAGGCCCAGGTTCGAGATGTAGGCCTGCAGCAGCGCGTTCACCTTGGCCGATGGCTCGTCCATGCCCTCCTTGATGGGGATCGGCACGCGCGTCGCGAGCTTCGCGAGTTCGAGCTTCTCCTCCGCGCGGACGTGCACGTGGCGGAACTCGCCCGAGAACGAGAAGAGGCGGAAGAGCTCGACGTCCGAGAGGTTCGGCTTGAGGTGCTCGTTGTACGTCGCCATCGACTGCGACGAGACGTAGTAGTGCGCGGCGACGCGGCCGAGCGCCGTCGCGCGGAGCGCGCCCGAGCGCCGGTCGTAGGCGACGAGGCCGTCCCTGTCCAGCCGCAGCGCCGCCGAGTGCGCGAGGTCGAGGCGCCACTGGAGGAGGCTCGCGTCGTCGGCGTCGCGGCCGGCGGCGGCGCCGTAGCGCTCGGGCGCGCGCAGCGCGCGGACGTAGAGGTACGTGTACGCGAGCCAGGCCGCGGCGTCGCGCACGTCGCGCACGGTGCCGAGCGCGACCTCGGCGTTGAGGTGGTCGGGCAGGTGCTTGACGAGCTGCGACTCGACCGGCAGCTGCTGGTTCATGAGGCTCAGGTAGTACTGGAGCTCCGAGTGCTTCGTGATCACGATGCCCTCGCCCTCGGCGTCGTACTGCGGCCGCCCGGCGCGCCCGAGCATCTGCACGACGTCGAGCGGGCTCAGCTCGACCCAGCGGCCCTGCTCCGGCGAGTAGACCTGCGTGCCCTTGATGATCACGGTGTGCGCGGGCAGGTTGACGCCCCACGCCAGCGTCGCCGTCGAGCACAGCACCTGGACGTGGCGGTCGGCGAAGAGGTCCTCGACGAGCGTGCGGTCCGCGCGCGCCAGGCCCGCGTGGTGGATCGCGAAGCCGTACGGGAGGAGGTCCTTGAGCGCCTCGGACTTGGCCGTCTCGCACTCCTCCTGCAGGATCTCGCGCGTCGCCGAGTCCTCGCGCACGAAGCGGTGGATCGCGTCGTCGTTGAGCGCCATGTCGCGCAGCGCCGCCGCCGTCTTCGCGGTCTCGGCGCGCGAGTGCACGAAGATGAGGACCTGGTTCCGGCCGGCCTGCGCCAGCACCTTCTCGTAGCAGATCTGGTTCATCAGCTGGAACCGCTTGAGCGCCTTCTTCTCGGCGACGCCGACGTACTGCTGCTGCAGCGGCACGGGCCGGAAGCTGTTGTCGAAGAAGAACATGCCCGCGGACGGCTCGACGCGGAGCAGCTCCGCCACGTCCGCGAAGTTGGGCAGCGTCGCCGACAGGCCCACGAGCCGCACGGCGTCGCGCGTCGCCTCGACCTGGCGGACCGTCCGCGCGACGATCGACTCGAGGACGGGCCCGCGGTCGTCGTGGAGCAGGTGGATCTCGTCGATGATGATCAGGCGCACGAGCTGCGTGTACGCGCGGTCGCCGCCCTTGCGCGTGACGATGTCCCACTTCTCCGGCGTCGTGACGATGACCTGGGTCGCCTGGATCTGCGCGACCGTCAGCGACTGGTCGCCCGACAGCTCGCGGACCTGCACGCCGTACGGCGCGAGGCGCTTGCCGAAGTTGAGCACGACCTCCTGCACGAGGGCCTTCATCGGCGCGACGTAGACGATCTTGAACGCGTCGAGGTCGACGCGGCAGCACGCGTCGTCCTCCGCGTTTTGGCGGTGCGCGGCGAGGCAGCTCAGCATCGCCAGCACGGCGACGTTCGTCTTGCCGGCGCCCGTCGGCGCGCAGAGCAGCAGGTTCTGCGACGACCGCAGCGCCGCCGGCAGCAGCTTGGACTGGACCGTGTTCAGGGTCCTCATGCCGGCGAACGCGGGCCGCGTCCACGCGGGCAGCGCGTCGACGGGCACGAGCGGGATCTTCGACGCCTCCGTGTTGACCGCCGCCGGCACGTGGACCTCCTCGTAGCCCTTCTTCTGCGCGCGCCACGACTTGGGCGGCAGCTCGCACCGCCGGTTCGTCATCTGGTGCGCGCCGCGCGCGAACGCGAGCGCGTCGAGGTCCAGGACGCGCGCCGGCGCGCGCGCGCCGCCGCCGCGCGCCTCGGCCGGCGGCGCCGCCGGCGCCGCGCCGGCCGCCGCCGCGTCGTCGTCGGCGCGCGCCAGGCGCGCGCGCTCGCCGTCGTCGAGCTGGACGCCGCGGAGCTTCGACAGCCCGACGGCCTCGCGGCGCGTCCGGTTCGCGAAGTCCGCCGCGCGGTCCTGCGCCCACGTCTCCGCCGACCCCGTCTGCGCGAGCGCCTCGAGGATCGCCGCGCCGCCGCCGTCGACGTCGGCCGCCATCTGCGCGCGCACGGCCTCGGCCTCGGCCTCGGTCTGCGCCTGCTTGAGCCGCGTGCAGTAGAAGACGCGGCTCCGGTTCGCGAGGAGCGTCTTGATGAAGTCGAAGCGGTCGTAGTCGAGCAGCATGACGAGCCGCGTCTCGCACGCGCGCTCGTCGCCGCCGTCGGGCCCCAGCGCCGCCAGGACGTCGCGCGCCAGCAGCGCCGACGCGTTCGCGTCCTCGACGAACGCCGAGATGCCGCGCTGGAGCCAGTGCGCGTCGACGGCGTGGACGTCGAGCGGCGCCGCGCCGTCCGCGCCCGCGGCGCCCGCGGCGGCCGCGGCGTCGTCGCCCACGCCCGTCAGCAGCTTGCCGTCGCGCGCGGCCTCGACGCCCCGCGCCGCGTCGTCGTCCTCCTCCTCCGAGTGGACCTCGTCGACGTCCTGCGCCTCGTCGTCGCTCTCGTCCTCGTCGAAGACCACCGCCACGCCCATCTCCTCGTCGAGGCCGCCGGCGTCGTCGCCGCCGGCGCCGGCGCCGCCGGCGTCGAAGTCGGTCACGCGCTTGCCCCGCGCGACGAGCGCCGCGAACCGCTCGTCGGGCACGCGCGCGCCCAGCAGCCGCTCGAGCTCCGCGTGGCGGTCGGCGTCGCGGACGCCGTCGCGCTTGAGGACGTGCAGCGCCTCCTCGGCCGCGCCGGCGAGCACGTCGCGCGGCGCGTCGCCCAGGGCCGCGCGCACGTCGGCGAGGATCGCCTCGTACGCCGCGCGGGCCTCCTTGGTCCGCGGCCGGTAGCCGCCGCCGTCGGCGCCGTCGTCGGCGCCGTCGCCGCCGTCGCCGCGCCGCCGCCGCTTCTGCGTCGCCAGGTCCTCCGCGTCGCCGCGCCGCCGCTTCTCGCGGCTCGCCCTGGCGCGCCGCGCGCGCTCGTCGCCGTCCGGCGCGCGGCCGCCGCGGACCTTGTCGCCCATGCGCTGCGCGCCCATGCGCCCCCAGAGCGACTCGACCTCGCCCGTCGGCTCGTCGGTGCGCCGCCGCGTCTCCCGGTCCGCCTCGAGCACGAGGTTCGAGTTCGCGCGGTACTCGTACTGCCGGTTGCGGGCGAACTCCTCGGCCATGGTTTCCCGGCGCTTTTCGCCTGTATGCTTTCGTCAATGAATAAAGGCTACCGCGCCCTTGCTAAGTCGCTGCTTCCTAGTGTCTTTTACGCTAGGCGATTGCTTATTTTCCCTTTTAATAAGAGTTACCTTTATGATATCGTTCCTGACCATAAATAATAAATTAAGGAGGACCTAAGAAAGGAACAAGCTCCTAAGAGCCTTCTCCCTGCTCGGTCATATTGACCATTTAATATGGGCCATTTAATATATATAATTTAAATGGCTCTTTCAAAAACAGGGGCATCATAGGCCAATATTTTACCCGCTTTTCATAGAACTGAGCTCATTGCACCGGCCCCTGGGAGGAGGACGATGCCGCCCCGCCTCCCGGCTCCGGGAGCACGTGCGTCAGGAATTCGTAGTTCGACTCTCGCCGCGCCGCCACCGCAAGGTCCTCGTAGGTGACGGTTTGCCGGTCGCGGCCGGTCGCGCGCGCGCGCGCGGCGCCGGCGAACTTCTCGAGGAACATCTCGGTCGCCTTCGCGACGAGGACAACCGCGTCGTTCGCCACCTGACTGACCTCGGGATCCAATTTCATAATCCTCTTGATCGCCGCCTTTGGTATCTGCAGCTGATCGTGCGAGAAGGACGCTGTGGCGCCTTCCGCTGTGGTCGAGGACGACATCTCGAGGGAATAACTCTCTTTTTGTATTCACGCGCGCAATGTCCCGGACCACGAGGAGACAACCTTATAGATTTACCATTACTTAATCGCTTGCGCTTCGGCGCGAAGCTCCTGCTTCCCGCGTGCCAAGCTGTGCCATACCCCGAGTACTAAAGTACTCTGGGAGCCTGCGGTACGATACCGCGGCGGGGCAGGAGCTCAGGTAATTGGCCAGCCACCAACGCATTAGAGTAATGCGGGGTTCTTCTTTTCGACGCTTGGCGTCGACGCTGTCGGTGGAAATGCGCGGGGCGCCCGTGCGCGGCCCGGTCCTGACCGACGGGGTCGGCGTCGTGGAGCGGGGCGGGCACGGCTTCAACGCCGGCGACCTCGTCCACGCGCGCGGCCTCCGCGGGACCTGGGCCGACCGCGCGCCCCTCGAGGCCGACGCGACGCGCGTCGTCAAGCTGCCGCCGGCGACGCCGGTCGCGCGCGCGGCGGCGTCGTTCGCGGCGGCCGCGACGGCGTACGGCCTGCTGCGCGACGTCGACGCGGGCGACGTCGTCATCCACCTCGGCGCCGAGGGCGCCGTCGGCCAGTGCGTCGCGCAGATCTGCGGCGCGCGCGGCGCGAAGGCGCTCGGCCTCGTCTCGGGCGACGTCCTCGACCCCGGGGACGCCGTCGACGTGCTCAAGAACCTGGGCGCGGTCGCGGCGGCGCCGGCGCGGTTCGCGCGCGACCCGGCGTGCCGCGCGCTCGTCGCCGACCTCCGCGAGGCGGCGCCGAGCGACACGGCGACGCTGCTCGTCGACTGCGAAAGGATCGACGTCGCCGCCGTCAACGAAGTGCTGCGCGCGGCCGCACGCGGCGCCGGCGCGGGCCGCGCGGCGATGGCGAGCGCCGACGCGCGCGACGTCCGCGACGCCAAGCTCCTCCGGACGTGCGCGGCGCTCTGCGGCGCCGAAGCGACCGTCCACGCGCACGGCGCCGCGCCCGAGCAGCTCCTGGTCGGCGGGGCCCGCGCGTTCCACCTGGACCAGTTCCTCGACGGCGCCTCGGGCGAAATGGCCGCGGTCGTCGCCGCGGTCGCGAAGGCGGACGCGACCGTCTTCTCGGAAGCCCACTCCGACGCGACGCTGCCGCACGCGCTCCACGGCCTCGACGGCACCGTCGCCAAGCACGCGTACCGCCAGCCCGTCTGGCTGGCGGACGCCCCCTGACTCCCTCCCTTTCGCGAGTCGCGACTCGCGAGAGCCTGAGGAGGTAAATATGCCTCGTCCACAATTCACAGATCTCCTTCCAGATGAGTCGTGCCGCTTCCTTCTTCACTTTCACCACGGTGAGCCTAGATGCGGCGACTCGGGCTAGCCCCACCACGCCCGACGACGGCTGCCCCGGGGGCCGGCCTATGGTCTAGGTTCCCACGACCAGAGCGGAAATTAAGGTCTGAACTTCACTATTCTGGTTTTCAAAAGCTGTCCGAAAACCGTCACGGTACTGGGTTTTCAAAACATCTGCGAATTTTTTCAAAAGTTTACTAATACTAATAATGCTCTCACTGGCAGGCTAGAGCTATGCCAGAATAGTCTGAACTCCCTTAAATCCATAAATAAATTTATAAATAAACTAAGGCTAGGCGGCCTAGCTCTAAGCAAAGCAAGGAAGACCTAAAAATAGGAACAAGCTCCTAAGAGCCTTCTCCCTGCTCAGTTAATCTCCGCTCTGCCCACGACGCAGGGGAGCTGCAGGGGGGCTTGCCCTGCTAGGACGTCCCAACTACTAGTAATTTAACCCGGCGACCCGCGCGCAGCGTCAGAGGAAGCCGACGTTGTAGTCGAGCGGGTTCAGCGTCGCGGCGCCCGGAAAGGCGCTGACGTCGGCGAACATGGTCAGGAACGGCAGGGCCGTGCCCGTCGCGAGCATCGCGAGGTCCTGGCGGATCGTGATGAGCTTGCGGTCGCGGAGCGTCGTGGCGAAGAACGTGATCGCGTAGCTCGTCGCGCACGCGAAGAGGTAGTGGTGGAGGAGCGCCGCCTGGTGCGGGAACTTGTCCAGGGCGGCGTCGAGCCAGGCGCGGCCGCCCAGGAACACGTTCACGAGGACGGGTAGCTGAAACACGTTCGGATAGCTGCCGAGGCGCGCGAGCGCGCTGAGCTGTATTCTCTCGTCCTTCGACAGCGTCGCGGCCCTTCGCCCGTGGACGAAGCCGCCGGTCGCGACCTTGCGGTCCACCGCTCGTATAGACTCCTCGGAGAAGTAGACGACCCATGCTATTGACGACATGGACGCCACGCACAGCGCCGCGTCGACGGGCCGCGGAACGGAAGGGTACAGCCCCGAGAACCACCAGCACAGCCACGCGCACGCCGCGAGCTGCGCCGTGCCGCCCCAGCGGAACGCCAGCGCGTGGTACCGATCTAAATCCTGACTCGCCACCCTTTCGTCGCTGGCCATGGGCAACGCGGAGAGCCCGTTCCAGACGCCGACCGCGAGGACCGCGAGCGACGCCTCGCCGCCGAAGATCGGCGCGTGGGGCGCGGCCGCGCCCGCGGCCTGCGCGTGCGCGACCCACGCGATCCAGGCGAACGCCCCCGCGAGGAAGAGCGCGCCCGAGACCGCGTGCGTGTGGCCGACGTCGAGCGGCGTCCACAGCGCCCGCCGAAGCCGCGCGAAGTCGGCCTGCCTCGGCGGCGGCGGCGGGGCCACCGCGCGTATCTCGACGGTCTCGCCGGCGCCGTCGGCCGCCGAGGCGGCGAGCACGGCGGTGGCGTTCGCCGAGACGTCCGCTGGCATCGCCTCCGGCTCGGCGGTCGCCACGCGAAGCGGCAGGAGCAGCGGGCGACGGCAAAGGGCCGCCGCGGGCCGTCGCCGCGGCGCCGCGGGCGGCAACACCAGCGAGCCCGCCGCCGTGGCCAGCGCTAGCACGCCCGCACGACGCCGGCCGCTCATGACACGCCGGCCGAATGTGCTTCGCGCGCCGGGTGGTCGCAAGCCGTGTCTCTCACCGCGTCTCTCACCAGGTCTATTCGTACCGTAGCTTTTGCGGAACCCGCAAAGTGATGCTGCAGCTATGGCTACAAGCTCGTACAAGCTCGTACCGGTACCTACGGTACCGTATTCATAGGCCTACTCTATCCGGGTATTTAACCAAGATAAGTGAGACTAGGATAGTGAAGCTAAGATAAAATTTTGGGAGATTTATAAGTGGAAAAGAGGCCGTTGCCACAACGGGCGCCAACCCCTGGGACCCCGGACCACGCAGAGCGGACTCACGCAAATCAGCTCGAAGTAGATCAAGACTATTGGCCTGAAGAAGCTGAGAAAGTGTATGAAGAAATAGAGAAGGACTCTAACAGCTCTGAAGAGAAAGTCCTGAAACTAAATGATTATTTGGACTACACAGCTCAACCGTGACGGTTAGATTTATTAACTCCGAGTCTAGAACTCTTTTCGCTCAATTACGCGACCGATCACACTGACTGACTACTGTGTATAAGTAAAGATTTTCATAATCACTTGCGCTTGTAAAGTTTCGACAGCCCGGCGGGCCAAGCTCATTGTAAACTTGAAACGGGGAGGTATGAATGATTGTCCATCATCGGCCGGGAACCAGACTCGTAAAGTATTTACCATTTTCCCGTCTACTTTACTAGTCACGGTCACGATACTTTTCAAGTTTGTAATGATGGCGCTTGATACATAATGTAACTCCCGAACGCTAAGGCTTCAACTAATGGAATCTTACATATCCTATTTGGTATATCTCCTGCCGAAACAGCGTGGATATACCGGCCGCAGCAACAACAACTCGGCGCGCGACTCTCGGGGTCGCCCGGTCTCCTCTCGAATTCCGAGTCTCGAACGGAGTCGGATCCGGCTGAGGCGAAGCGGTCTTTGTGAGTGTCCGCCGGGTCGGCTGGCTAAGTTCCTTCGGGGGCTTGTTGTGCTCCGGAAATCGCCTTGACGTCGTGCCAGGACGAGAGGCGGCACTTCTTGAAAAAGGGCGCGAGCGTGGACTTGCGTGCGGGCGCCGTCGCGAGGCACGTCGGAAAGTTTTCGGGCTGTTCAACCCACAGGACGTGAGCCGCGCCGCCTTCTTCGAGCTTGGCGGCAAGCCCTCTGAGCTGCAGCTCTCCTTTGACCTCAAGAACCGCTTTGGTCATGCGTTTTATGGCGTCCGGCGCTACATAGGCCCGACACGCAGGCGTGTCCCAGTGCTCTGCGACAGCCGCGACGGCCGCGTGCGAGCCCTGCGCGACCAGCGCGCCGAGCGGCCAGCCTTCCGTTTCTTGCAGGTCGCGGCGTAGGACGATGTACTGGACGAGCGGGTCGTGCTCCGCCTCCCCCATCAGCGCAGAGGAGAGTCGCCGCGTCGCGCACGCCCGTCCGGCGAGCCCGGCGCTGGTGCGGAGGAGTGGGAGCAGGCAGGCCCTTGTAGTTAGGCAGAGATGCATGCGACGCTCTAGCCGCTAAATGACCTTGGCGTGGTTTCCATGACGGGCATATTACCTTACTGCGGTAGGCGGGCTCTCCTGTGCCACCTACGGTACCACGGTACCACGGTACAAGCCTGCCAATTAATGCTCTGCAGAGCTAGGTATACCGTAGGTACCTTAGGTAGTAACCCGCCGTACCTATTGCGGAACGGGGCTGTAGCAAGAGTATGTCGAGCGCTATGTAAAGTAGCAGGGTCCTAAGTACCCCCGGGCCAGTCAGAGACTGGGCCAAGTCCCCCCCCACAGCCCTCCACACGATGAGAGAGCACAGAAAGTTCCTTTAAAGCGCAGGGCGGTGTTGTCTACTCCTCGCCGGCGTCGAGGGCCAGCCTGTACACCTCCGACTTCTTGAGGCCGAGTTCCGAGGCCGCCGCCTTCGCCGCGTCCGAGGCGGACAAACCGGACGCTCTCAGCTCCGCGACGCGGGCTTTGGCATCCTCGGCGCTGCCGGCCTGTTTCGGCTTCGCGTCGAGGACGAGTGTGAACTCGCCGCGCGGGGGCTCGCCCGGGGCCGCCGCGCCGCCGCCGCCCGCGTCCAGGTAGGCGACCGCATCCCCCAACGCCCCGCGCCACGTCTCCTCGTGGGTTTTCGTGAGCTCGCGCGCGATGAGGACGAGGCGTTGGGACGCGCCGCCGTCCAATTTGTCTAAATCGAGGAGCGTCTGGCGCACGCGCCGCGGCGACTCGTAGAGCACCGCGGGACCCTCGACGGCCGCGTCCAACGCGCTTCGTAGAGCGCGCCTGCGAGCCGCGGAAGCCCCTCGACCTTCCACAAAACCCAAGAAGGAAAACGCCAGGCCATTCCCAAAGCCTGACGCCGACAGCGCCGTCGTCGCCGCGCAGGGCCCCGGCAGCGCGCGCACCGCGAGGCCGGCGTCGCGCGCCGCCCGCACCAAGAGAGCCCCGGGGTCCGACACGGCCGGCGTACCCGCGTCCGAGACCAGGGCCACCGTCTCGCCCCGGCGCATCGCCTCGACGAGCCGTGGTGCGGTCGCCGCCGCGGTCGCCGCGTCGTGGCGCACGAATGCCGCTTTGCGTTCGATGCCTGCGGCCTCGTACAGCAAGCCCGCGACTCGTGTGTCCTCGCAGGCAACGACGTCCGCGGCCGCGAGCGCCGCGATCGCGCGGACCGTGAGGTCCGCCGGCTCGCCGAGCGGGGTCGGGACGACGACTAGGTCTGGTGACGTGTTGGCCCGCGTCAGCTCCGCGGCGCGCCGGCCGAGGGCCGCGCACGCCTCGGCGACGTCTGAATAGGGCGCGGCGCGCCGCCCGCCGCGCCGCGTCTGCGACCGCATGCCTCGCGTCGTGGTCGGCGCGAGCGGCGCCAGGCCGCCGACGAAGGCCCGCGCGAGAGATAAAATTATAGGGACGCGCATCATGTGTGTAGTTCAACCCATGGCGGCGTCGCCTTTAACCCCACACAGTCCTGCCAGCCCCCGACAGTCGCTGTTTTACACAGCGAAACTTCACAGAAACAGAGCGATCGATCACGAGTATCATTGGCTTGTGAAACCGGCTCAACCACGGTACAAACAAGCTGGTAGGCCGCCGGGCATGTTAACCTATTAACGGTACCGAGGTACTTGCTGGCGCTGCCGGGCGCTGCTTGTCCAAAGGCCGCGGATTTCGGTGCCCTGGACCTCAGGGAAGCCCACGGCGCTGCGGTAGCGCGCGGGCAGCCCTAAAAGCAGCAGAGGAGGAAGTAAATGCGTCTCATGCGGCCCTGCTGGTCGCGCTCGCAGCGACGGCGCTGGCGCCCGTTCGGCTGGTTCCGCGCGCCGCCGACGCACGTGACCGACGACGACGGCGACGAGTCGCTCGACACGGCGGCGGCGATGGAGACCAAGGAGGGCGACGACGACGACCTCGGCGACGACCTCGACGTCGACTGGTCCAAGAAGCGGCGCCCGCGGAGAAAGAAGAAGAAGAAGACCAAGTCGGCGAAGCAGATCAAGGCCATGTTCAAGAAGCGGAAAGCGCGAAAGAAAGCGCTCGAGAAGCAAATGCGGCGCCTGAGGGCGCTGGAGGACGACGGCGTGTTTTTGGAATGTTTCCAGTGCTTCGAGGAGGCGACGAAGCGCAAGTGCTGCGGCGGCCAGCTCTGCGACTTCTGCTACGACATGTCGGGCGCCTGTCCCGCGTGCGGCGTCGCCGTCAAGGACGGCAAGCCGCTGGCGGAAGTGGACGTGGAGGAGCCGATAGATCTGAGCGAGCTCGACGCCGAGGCGGCGGAGGCGGAGCGGCAGCGGCGTCTCAAGCGCGAGATCACGCAGGAGCTTTTGGAGTGCAGGATTTGCCTGAACCCGGGCGTCCGCCGCAAGTGCTGCGACGGCTGCGTCTGCGACGCCTGCTACTCGAAGCGCCCGACGTGCCCGGTCTGCGGCAAGGACGCCGCGAAGCGCGGCTTGGGCAACTTCTCGTTGGACGACCCGGGCATGCTGCCCGTGCTCGCCGGCTGGTGCCTCACGCTCTTCGTGGTCGCCGCCGCGATCGGCGCGTACGTGTTCGTCGCGCACGTCGCACAGCGGGACATACGGACGCTCCACGGCTTCAAGTGCTACGGCTTCTTTCCGCGCTGCGACCGCCTCGAGTGCGTCGAGCTCCACGACCGGCACGACTACGCGGCGCCGGCGGGCCTCGGCGGCGACCTCAACCTCACGAACATCGCGACGTGGCGGCGCTGCAACCTCGACTCGGTCGTCAAGGCCGTCGGGAGCACGTGCATCTTTGATTTCGACCTCTGGGCGCAGTCGGGCAAACGGCTGGGCTACGACTTCTGCGTGGGGACGACCGCGGCGAGCCAGCCGCGGCAGGTGGCGGGCGACGAGGTCCAGGACGCGGCGTTCGCCGACGGCGTCTACGTCTTCGACGACGACTTCCGGTCGTGGCCGGCGGGCAACGCGAGCGCGTTCCGCGCGAACCGGCGCGCGTCCGGGCGGTGGCAGTCGGTCTTCGGCGGCGCCGTCGACGCGGGCTGCGGCGGCGGCGTCGCGCTGCGGTTTTCGGGGGCGAGGACGCGCGAGGCGACGACGGTGCCGCTCGACGTGCGGCACGGCGGCCAGGTCAGCTTCGCCTTGAAGCTCGCGCCGGTCGGCGCCGACCGGCGCGAGTGCGCCGGCAACTACGGCTCGTCCGTCACGCTGTGGTACAGCGTCGCCGGGTCCGTGGCGTGGACCCCGTTCGCGACGTTGGAGCCGTACGCGTACGCGAGCCCGGACTTCAGGTGGGTCTCGGCGCGGATCCCCGACGGCGGCGCGACGCCGGCGACGCGCTTCAAGATCAGCCAGCCGTCCTTTTTGCGGGGCCGCGAGCACTGGGCCGTCGGGTCCATAAACGTCTTCCACCGCTTCGCGCGGGACTGGAAGGCCGCGGCGCAGTGGGCGGGGCGGGGCGCCCTCGACGACGACGACGTCGGCACGCTCCTGGACGCCCGCGAGGACATCCGCGTGGCGCAGTGCTGCTACGAGACGGACCAGTGCGAGGCGCGGACCAGCGCGAGACGGACAGTGCGAGACCGGTGGCGCAGGCCGACGAAGGTCGTCGACGGCCGCCTCTACAAAGCGTCGCTGCGGCGGCACGCCGCGTTCCGGCCCGCCTGCGCGCCAAACTGCGGCGGCGAAAAGGAGTGCTGCGCGAGCGGCTGCCCGGCGGTCGTCAACCTGACCCGACGCTGGGACGTCGTCGCCGCGACCGAGAAAGAGGACTGCGACGAGGTCGACCGGCGGGCCGACGGGTGCCGCGCGTTCGACGTGCCCGCCGAAAGGCGCGCCAACTACGCGGGGGTGCGACCGGGCAAGCGGCCGGAACGGCGCCACGCGCGGGAAAAGGACGCGAACGCCAAGGACCGCTTCCTCTTCGTCGACCAGGACGCGCGCTTCTTCCGTCGCCTCAACGGCGCGTACCTCTACGTGTCGATCGCGGGCCTCTTCGCGCTCTACAACGTGGTCTACTTCCTCGTCAAGGTCTACTTCGTCAAGGGGCCCCTCGCGTTCTACGACATGGTCGTGCCCCAGTGGGTCAACGCCGCCGCGGCGTTCCTCGCGCGCGCGTGCCAGTGCGACTTCCGCCTCGACGCCGAGGACAGCGACGACGAGTTCGACGCGTACGGCGACGACGACGACGACGGGGACGCGGCGCAGAAGCACGTCTTCGAGCTCGACGTCGACGTCAAATGGCAGCTCCGGTTCGCGGCGGCGACCGTGCTTCCGTTCTTCGCGTTTCTGGCGCTCGCGGCGGGCGTCGCCCTAACGGACTGGATCGACGCCGACCCCGCGACGGGCCGGCCCGGGCCGACCGTGCTGTACACGCCGCTCCACGCCTTCGGCGGCGTCGTGGTCTTCGACTTTTTGTGGTGGGTCGTGCCCGTGGGCGCGGTGTGGGTCGCGCCGGTCCCTCGCTTCGTCGTCGTGGCGCTCGCCTGCGTCCTCGACGCGCGGCCCCTCTACAAGGTGAGCAAGGAGGTCGTGTGTCTTCTCCCCCACTGGGTCGAGCTCGTGTACGTGAACACGCTGCCCGAGGTGAGCGCGCTGACCGTCGGGTCCGAGGACCCGAAGGAAGCCGAGGTCGCCGTGCCGCTCGGGGCCATGGAGGAGCTGAGCCGATTCACGAGGGGGCAGTGCGTCGCGTGCGCCCTGCTCTACATCCTCGCGTGCCAGCCGTTCGCGCTGGCGTCGCTCTACGTCCACTTTTTGCGCCTGCCGTACGACGGCGTTGACCGCTGGGCGGGCGGCGCCCTGGGCGCCGTCGTCTGCTGGCGCGCGCTGTGCGGCCCCGACGTGTTCGTGAAAGCCGCGCTCGCCGCGGGGTTCCTCTTTTCGACGGTCCCCGACCGGCGGAACCTGATCGGGACTGCGGTCTGCGACGAGCGGACCAAGTTCATCGCGGGGTACTCGACGCTGGCCGCGCTCGCGATCACCGTGCCGATACTCTGCTCGGACACGTCCGGCCACGACCGACGCGAGGGCCTCGAGGTCCTCGAGGGCGTCGCCATGGTCGCCGCGGCCGCCGCCGTCTACGGGCTCTTCGTCGGCGTCGTCCAGGGCCTCCCCGTGACGCCCGCGATCCGGCTGACGAAGGTCGCCGGCGGCCACTACGTCACGTACATGCGGCGGACGCAGTGCCCCTGCTTTCACCGCTTCACGGAGTGCTCCACGATGCACTCGCGGCGCCAGATCGTGGTCCTCTTCGTCGAGGACGTCACGACGTTCATCGGCACGCTCCGCGGGGAGAACGTGGTGGCCGCCGCGTGACGGCTTATTTTCCCTAGGACACGCTCATCGGCGCGTCGATCGCCGGGCTCTTTGTCCACCAGCCGGAATAGGTACTCCCTTTGTCTGTGGTGTGCGCGAGAACCCCGCCGACTCTAAAATGATTTTCAAGTTTCTAGTACGGTGCTAAGGCTCGGACAGGCCTTGCTGCGAACACATGTCCTACTCGGCTACTACGGCTAGTACGTTGGAACCTCAGCAGAGGGGCCAGTGGCCAGCTCGTACGTCGCGGAGAGCTCAGGTGGACGAATCAATCGTGGTAGATTATCTATTACGGTGCTAGGACTAGTGGGCGGCGCCCCTGGAGGGAGACACCGCGCGTCGCCGATTCATCGGCGGCGGAAATCTCGGCGGAAGACGACTTAGAACCCCAACGCTCTCGACGTAGAAACCCGCGAGCTCAGGAGGCTCGGGGCTCAATCGCCAGTGTTTTATCCGGGCTAGCGGCTGTAAGACACTAGCAAGCAGGCAGCAAAACTGGCAGCCGTAGAGCTAAAGAGCATTGTCAGAGGCCGGGCGAGACGAACGGCGAAAAAAAGCTGTATGGTACAGGGTCGTTTTTTACATCGATTATCTTCGCGTCGACTGAGTATTGCTTTGCACGCGGCATCCTACCAGCGGTCGCTGGGGACGAGCGGCGGCAAGTCGCGTCGAATCTTTCGAGAAGACGTCCGCCCTCTGGGAACGGGGCTCGCGTTTCGACGTTCGGTCCCACGCAGGCGCGTTCTGAGATGAGGAGGGTCGTGGCGCGCATAGCGCTATGCGCGCTGTGCGCGCGCGCCGCGGTTCCGCCACTCGACCCCGACGCGCGCGAGGAAACGGCGGATCTCATTGTCGTGGGCCGGATTGTCTCCGCGACGGCCGAAGAGGTGAGCCGCCGCGAAGGCCACGTCGACTCGGTGTCGATCGGACAGCTTGAGGTGGAAGTGGCGCTCAAGGGCGACGCCGCCGCGACGCAGACCGTCTACTGGTGGTACCCCTCCGCGCGGCCGGCGGGCTGGACCGGCCACCAGGGCCAGGCGCCGGCGCCACCCGAGAACGTGCGGATCAAGGTTTTTGCCGACGCGCACGGCGAACTGCTCGTCCCCAACGGCTGGGAAGCCGCGCCTGCCGCGGCAGCGGCGCCCGAGGCCGCGGCGGATGCGGACGCAGCGGGCGCGACCGGCGCGGCCGCGGAGCCGAGCGCAGACGCCGCGAGCGCCGACGCGGACGCCGACGCGGCGACCGCCGACGCGGCCGAGGTCGTGGAGCGGCGCGAGAACCCGATCCGCGCGCTCATTCGCTCGTTCTTCAAGGTCCTGGGCTCGCCCTTTGCCTTGATCCAAAAGCTCTTCGGCGGCAAGAAGCCGTGACCTGCGAAGAACATCGGGGGTCGTTCGGGGATCAAGCAGGGATGTAATCGGGAGTGTTCGCCACTGTGCGCATTTGGGGGGGGCTTGGTGTGCGTTCCTACTGAATTTCTTATTGGACACTTGTGTGGTCATTGTGTCCTCCGTCCACGATGCGCAGTAATTGTTCCTTCTTAAATAGGGGGCGGGGCGGGCGTTCGGTCACGCAGCCCCCGCGGCGGGCCGCGGCTAGGCGGCCTAGCTCTAAGCAAAGCAAATAAATAAATAAATAAATAAATTAAAGGTGGATCCTGTACATCCAACTTGAAGGGTCTAGTCCCAGCCTTCGGCCCGGGGAGGCGTCTAGTCGCTAAACTCCGAGTCCGATTGGACGCACTGCGGCGGACTTGAAGGTCCACATCTCACCGGTTTTAAATTAACGGTCTAACGACCAGCCGCCGCCGCCGCCGTCGCGAGACTTGCTGTCGCGCGGGGACCCTCGAGGGAGGCGGCGGCCGCGAGGACGTCGTCGACGGCCAAGTGGTCGTGGACGCGGAAGGCGGCATCGGCAAAACGCGCGATGGCGTCGCGAGTGACGTCGACGCCGCATTCGTCAAAGAAGCGCGTCGCCGCCGCGACGAACGCCGCGCGGCAAACGAAGCAGCGCGCTGCTGGCGCGCCGTCGGCGACGGCCGCGAGCCTGGCGCGCAGCGCGCGGCGGCGGTGCGCGCGGCCGCCGAGCGCGCGCGCCAGAGCGCGCTGCGCGCGGGCCTCCGCCTCGGACGGCGGTGCGGCCGGAAACGCGGGCGGCGGCGCCCGTGCCGGCGGGGACGCGGCGGCAACGAGCGGCCACGCGCCGTCGAAATCACACAGATACAAGGCGTCGCAGAACGACTCGTACGCGACGAACGCGCCCGGCGGAGCGTCCGGCGGCGGCGCGAAGTGGCTTGCGAGCCCGTCTATTGCGCGTTCGTCGACGAAGTCGCGGTGGAGCCCGCACGAGCGTAGCGCGGCGAGGAACGGGTCCTTCGACAAGACGCCAGTCCTCGTCGCGTCCCTTCGGCGCAGGCGGAAGCGCACGGTCGCCGCGTCAGCAAAACCCACGCAGCGCCGCGCGAGGCCGCAGCGAAGCGCGTGGCACGAGCGTTCCACCGCCCCCGCGCCGTCGGCCGCGGCGGCGCACGCGGCGCCGAGCGCTCGCGGCGCGGCCGCGCACAGCGCCAGCGCGTCGAGCGCGTCGTCGACGCGAACGGGTGCCGCGCCCGCACTCGCCGCGGCCGCCTCGGGCGGCGCCGCAGCGCCGAACGCGCGCGCGACGACGGCGGCCGCGGCGGCGGCTTCGGTCTCGCCGTCGTCGCGGCGCCGCGCGGCCGCCACCGCGGCGGCGGCGTCGGCGGCCGCCGCGGCTACGCGCCGCCGCCGGACGGCCGCCTCGATGGCGCGCTCGAGGTCGCACGCGACGAACGCGACAAAGCGATCGTGCGAGACGACGCCGTCGGCGGCGCCCGCGGCGAGGAGGCCCGTCGTGCGCGCGAGCGCGCGCACGTTGACACGACCGTCGCGCAGGCGCAGCGCCAGGCGCGCGAGGCAGCGTGCCGCGTCCGCGCCGCCGCCGCCGTCCGCGACGAGTCGCACCGCGACCGCCTCGGCGTCGGCGCGCGCGACGGCGGCGTCGGCGGGCTCGCCATTCAGCGTGGCGACCTGGCAGCGTGCCGGCGGCGCCGCACGCCGCGCGAGCTCCGCCGCCGTGACGGCGTCGACCGCGCCCGCGACGACCGTAACCGTCGAGTTGCCGCGCACCGCGATGCGGACGGCGCCGCCGCGCGCGAGGTCGCGGAGCGCGAGCGGCCGCGCCGGCGGCGGCGCCGGCGGCCAACGCGACGCCGCGTCGGCCGCCGGCCGCAGGACATCGTACCGCGCGCGCGCGACGACGACGTTCGCGACGCCGTCGACGACCTCGAGCGTGCCGTCGTCGCGCCAGAGCGCGACGGCCGCGCCGGCACCCGCCGCGTCCGCCAAGTGCCCCCGGAACCGTAGCGTTTTCTCGTCGCCCGCGTCGAGCGGCGCTGGGGGGGGCGCAGCGCCGCAACCGCTTCCGCCGCTGCCGACGCGGCGCCACCACGCGTCCGCGGCGGCGTCCCACGACGTCAGGCGGCACGTGAGGCCGCCGAACGTCGCGACGCCGCCCCCGCGCGCCGCCGCCCGGAGTACGTCGGCGAACGGCGGGTCGTCTTCCGTCGCACGCCGCGCGACGCGGACTCGCTTCCCGTCCGCGGACAGGACCTCGACCGTCGCGTCGCGCGGAAAGCAGCGAACGCGGATGCGCTCTACGCCGTCGTCGCCGTAAAAGGTCGCCACATCCTCCACGACGCCGACGCGCGCGCCCGGCGCGGCCGGACGCCTGCCCAACGGTCGCCCGAGGCGCCGGTAGTATTCGCGCGTCGACGCGGTGCCCGCGTCGACGACCCGCCACGTCCGCCCCGCCGCGACCGCGCGCGCGCCGACGGCGAGGTCGACCGGGCGCAGCCGCCTCCGCCCGGCGCCGGCGGCGAACAGCGGCGCGCGGTCGCCGGGTCCTGCGCCGAGGCGGAACGCCGTCGGTGCCCGCCCGCCGCCGCCGAAGACCGCCGCCGAGCCGTCGACGAGAAAGTAGTGGAGCTGTGCCCGCGTCCGCGCGCTTTCGTCGTCGACGACCTCGTAGACGAGGACGTCGGCGGCTGGGCTCACCTCTAGGCTGCCCATATGATCCTCGCTTTCTTTGCTACTACTCGTTGTGTGGACGGGGCATGTTATCCCAACCAACTATGCTCGTCGCCACCGCGGTGCAGAAACTCTCGGAGGAGTTCCCGCCCCGGGCTAGGCTCCTACGGTTGCGTACCTTGAATACATACGGTACTGGTAGGTCCATAGGATAGGAACTTTCAGCGATATTAGCTTCGGTATGTGCTGGTGTCTAATGAGCTGGGTGCAGCAAGTGCACAATGCAGCTGTGGTAGCTAGGTCTCTCGGGTGTCAATGTGACACGGAGATGCCAACAGGAAGAACTCTCACTGAAACGTGAGAGTGCCAGTGTGGGAACCCCCTCAACCCTGAGAAGACAGAGTTGGAATAAAGGAGATTAAGAGGGAGAAGGAAGTATCCTAAGATACAGGCCACTAGCCTCTGATATCTACTAGATCCTGAGATGAGCTCTAGATAAAGGTAGCTACAGTATCATAGCACAATCGCTGTACTCCCCCTCCGCGCGTCGGCGTGGCCGAGGTCGATGACCTTGACCGCGCGGACGTCGCGTCGGTTCGCGCGCGAGAGCGCGACAAAAACGGTGCCGAAGCTCCCCTTGCCCAGCTGCCATCCGACCTGTGCGCAAATCAACCAGTGATGCCGCGAAACTGCCGCCGACACTAAGACCGAATTAATTTTTTAGCTAATTAGCCTTATTTGCACCACCCCATTTATTATAGTTGGCAAATTACCCGGTAACGAGATCTCAGGGTCGGTAATTACCGGTAATTACCGGTAAATTACCCTGGTAACGGAAATTACCGGTAATCTGGGAGGTCCAAGGTGAGCCGGGCCGGGGCAGCCTCCCAGAACCCAGATAAGCATTTCCAATGGGACTGACGCGTAAAAAGCTCACTTGGGACCGTGGGACGATGCCCCTGGGGCATGGGCTTGGCCATATCCTGCCCATAGTCCAAAACGCGTCTGCCGCGTCCACCCTTTACTCACGCGTTTTACCTTTCCACCCCAGGGGTCATTACCCGGTAGCCAAAAATCGACTCCGGTAATTACCGGTAATTACCGGTAATTTCCACTACCGGCAATTACCCTGGTAATTTGATTGCCTACTATACCCATTTATATATCGTGGAATGTACTTTGGAATGTGTCCGCGCGGCCGAGAGGATCATTTTGCACGTGTTTTTAGCACCAAACGGGCCCAGGGAGGGGGTTCAATCGGCGTTCTTGTTGTTGCTAGTGCCCGCTCCACTAGTCCCTATCGTGCGGGTCAATTACGCCTAGGTTGGCATTAACCCCAGGGGTTATTAACTCCAATCGCGGCCCGGGGTCAGTAACCCGGGTAATTACCCGTTAGTACGGGTTATTAACCCCAGGATCTTATAGAGGGGTAGGGGAGGGGGCCTCGCGGGCCACTGGCGCGGGCCTGGGCCGTGCCGGGCCACATGACTTGGCACTTGCCCTGGCGCACCTGCACGTATCCAAAAGCCCAACGGGCTGCTTGCGCCCATCCGCTCGCCCGGAGGGGTCTTTCGTTAATCTCACTAACGGGTTTAGTCGAAAACCCGTCGGGTTATTGAGCGGGTTATTAACCCCGGATCCCATCCGAGGGGTAATTGTAGGTTAATGACGGGTAATTAACAGGTTAGTGCCAACCTAGCATTACGCATTGCGTGTTGTGTGTGAAGTAAGTGTATATAGAAGGGTATTTCGCCCTATTTATCGCAACCGTAGGTAGTACAGTATGCACTAAGCAAGTAAATGGCATCCCCGACTTGCGACAGGGACAGCAAGACGCAACCTCCCCAGCTTACCGCAGTAATTACGGAGCCCACACGCACGTACTTGCAGATGGCCCTGCGCCTTTCACGAGACACTCGTATACATCTGTGTCAGCGTGGTAGATATCATAAAATTTGTGGCAATGCTCCTGCTGCATGGTAGTTTCCTTAGTGTGTACGGCAGATGATGAGTGCATGAGGTCATGATTGGAGGTATACTTGGCTTTGAGCCATGAACGGGTGTGCTCAAAGTTGGGGCTGGCAGAGGAAACAATATAGTCAATGAAAGTTCCAATATCATAGATGTCAGCGATGTTATCGTAAGCCACTGAATGAAACTTACACTGCTCAGTTTGGGATTTGAAATGGTCGTTTGCTGAAGGGAGCTTAGCGAATACAGCAGCTTGGAGGTTGCTTACATTTTTGAACCCCGCGGACCAACACAATTCCGATAATGTGTTATTTTTCCATGTGTTAGCATTCGCGCAGCCGATCTTCTGGTATATATTTCGACCTAAGACCTTATGCCCCTTATCGAACACACCAGACATAAACCGATCCTCTGGCTGCCTGATGACGGCTACTTTTCGTATGGACCGATTGGTCATGATCTGCCTTCTTTTGTTAATATTCATATTTTGCATGTTCATCTTGTGTCCAAACCACCAAGCGTGAATACCTTCCCCCTTGCTTTGAGTACCACCCTCCTGCAAGAAGTAGGCAATGTGGCGAACAGTTGTGCAGCCAGCTTTTGGTACCGCACATAGGACAGCATTCTCTGATGGAATATACATCAGAGAACGCAGGTCTCCGAGTGCTCTTGTCACACCCTGACACGTAGCGTTTGTTGTGGAACACTGTGGCTGGCGCCTGCAGGTATGGGCGAAACAAGCGCAGTACACAGTTGACAGCATCAAGATATTCTGCGTGCCGTGCCTCATTGCGACTCAAATTTCCTTTGAGCACTGGTGGGCGAATTTTGATGCAATTTGGGGGCTAGTAGCTTTTACTGTGCTCGGAGTTGATGATAATTCATCGAAGATGCCATTGTTGCTTGCTTACTCGCCCGTCGCACGGCCCCGTGCAGGGCGTGCTAACCAGAACCCCCCTAAGGGAGGGCGGGTGGGTGCTCGAAAATCGGGCACGGCGGCGGGGGTGGAAAGAACAAGCGGCATACATGTCCTTCGGAATGTTCGTCGTCGGAAGCGTCCGAAGAATTCCTTCGGCGTCCACCCTTTCTCTTTTTCGAATGAATGTAGGTGTAATTATACATTTCGACTTTTCCGTAATCACAGATAAGGACGCACTGCGGCGGACTTGAAGGTCCACATCTCACCGGTTTTAAATTAACGGTCTAACGACCAGCCGCCGCGGCCGCCGTCGCGAGACTTGCTGTCGCGCGGGGACCCTCGAGGGAGGCGGCGGCCGCGAGGACGTCGTCGACGGCCAAGTGGTCGTGGACACGGAAGGCGGCATCGGCGAAACGCGCGACGGCGTCGCGAGTGACGTCGACGCCGCATTCGTCAAAGAAGCGCGTCGCCGCCGCGACGAACGCCGCGCGGCAAACGAAGCAGCGCGCTGCTGGCGCGCCGTCGGCGACGGCCGCGAGCCTGGCGCGCAGCGCGCGGCGGCGGTGCGCGCGGCCGCCGAGCGCGCGCGCCAGAGCGCGCTGCGCGCGGGCCTCCGCCTCGGACGGCGGTGCGGCCGGGAACGCGGGCGGCGGCGCCCGTGCCGTCGGGGACGCGGCGGCAACGAGCGGCCACGCGCCGTCGAAATCACAAAGATACAAGGCGTCGCAGAACGACTCGTACGCGACGAACGCGCCCGGCGGAGCGTCCGGCGGCGGCGCGAAGTGGCTTGCGAGCCCGTCTATTGCGCGTTCGTCGACAAAGTCGCGGTGGAGCCCGCACGAGCGTAGCGCGGCGAGGAACGGGTCTTTCGGCAAGACGCCGGTCCTCGTCGCGTCCCTTCGGCGCAGGCGGAAGCGCACGGTCGCCGCATCAGCAAAACCCACGCAGCGCCGCGCGAGGCCGCAGCGAAGCGCGTGGCACGAGCGTTCCACCGCCCCCGCGCCGTCGGCCGCGGCGGCGCACGCGGCGCCGAGCGCTCGCGGCGCGGCCGCGCACAGCGCCAGCGCGTCGAGCGCGTCGTCGACGCGAACGGGTGCCGCGCCCGCACTCGCCGCGACCGCCCCGGGCGGCGCCGCAGCGTCAAGCGCGCCGTCGACGAGAACCGGCGCCGCAGCGCTGAACGCGCGCGCGACGACGGCGGCCGCGGCGGCGGCTTCGGTCTCGCCGTCGTCGCGGCGCCGCGCGGCCGCCGGACGGCCGCCTCGATGGCGCGCTCGAGGTCGCACGCGACGAACGCGACAAAGCGATCGTGCGAGACGACGCCGTCGGCGGCGCCCGCGGCGAGGAGGCCCGTCGTGCGCGCGAGCGCGCGCACGTTGACACGACCGTCGCGCAGGCGCAGCGCCAGGCGCGCGAGGCAGCGTGCCGCGTCCGCGCCGCCGCCGCCGTCCGCGACGAGTCGCACCGCGACCGCCTCGGCGTCGGCGCGCGCGACGGCGGCGTCGGCGGGCTCGCCATTCAGCGTGGCGACCTGGCAGCGTGCCGGCGGCGCCGCACGCCGCGCGAGCTCCGCCGCCGTGACGGCGTCGACCGCGCCCGCGACGACCGTAACCGTCGAGTTGCCGCGCACCGCGATGCGGACGGCGCCGCCGCCGAGGTCGCGGAGCGCGAGCGGCAGCGCCCGGCGGCGCGCCGGCGGCCAACGCGACGCCGCGTCGGCCGCCGGCCGCAGGACATCGTACCGCGCGCGCGCGACGACGACGTTCGCGACGCCGTCGACGACCTCGAGCGTGCCGTCGTCGCGCCAGAGCGCGACGGCCGCGCCGGCACCCGCCGCGTCCGCCAAGTGCCCCCGGAACCGTAGCGTTTTCTCGTCGCCCGCGTCGAGCGGCGCTGGGGGGGGCGCAGCGCCGCAACCGCTTCCGCCGCTGCCGACGCGGCGCCACCACGCGTCCGCGGCGGCGTCCCACGACGTCAGGCGGCACGTGAGGCCGCCGAACGTCGCGACGCCGCCCCCGCGCGCCGCCGCCCGGAGTACGTCGGCGAACGGCGGGTCGTCTTCCGTCGCACGCCGCGCGACGCGGACTCGCTTCCCGTCCGCGGACAGGACCTCGACCGTCGCGTCGCGAAAGCAGCGAACGCGGATGCGCTCTACGCCGTCGTCGCCGTAAAGGTCGCCACATCCTCCACGACGCCGACGCGCGCGCGCCGGCGCGCCGGACGCCTGCCCAACGGTCGCCCGAGGCGCCGGTAGTATTCAGCGCGTCGGCGGTGCCCGCGTCGACGACCCGCCACGTCCGCCCCGCCGCGACCGCGCGCGCGCCGACGGCGAGGTCGACCGGGCGCAGCCGCCTCCGCCCGGCGCCGGCGGCGAACAGCGGCGCGCGGTCGCCGGGTCCTGCGCCGAGGCGGAACGCCGTCGGTGCCCGCCCGCCGCCGCCGAAGACCGCCGCCGAGCCGTCGACGAGAAAGTAGTGGAGCTGTGCCCGCGTCCGCGCGCTTTCGTCGTCGACGACCTCGTAGACGAGGACGTCGGCGGCTGGGCTCACCTCTAGGCTGCCCATATGATCCTCGCTTTCTTTGCTACTACTCGTTGTGTGGACGGGGCATGTTATCCCAACCAACTATGCTCGTCGCCACCGCGGTGCAGACACTCTCGGAGGAGTTCCCGGGACTCTGCACCGTGGTACCAAGTACTTGGACTACCGTACCTACGGTACCGCAGTAGGTAGCGACTCAGTGCTGCGGTGCAAGCTGGTAGGCCACTCGAACATCAAACGCTACAAGCTCAAGCGCAAGCTCAAGGCCGCCGTCTTCGCGATTATCGCCGAGCACCGTTTTCTCGCGTCCATTGCGCGCGCGAACCCCGCCCGATGCCGAGGCGCGAGCGAGAGCAAGACCCGCCGGTGGACGCGTGTTGCGGGCCACGCCTGAAAAGGGTGCCGCTCGACAAATCATTGGGAGAGTCGTCGCGTCCGACACCTGTGCCCTCGGAGCTGACGAGGGCCGTCCGCGGCGCGTCCGTCCACGACGGCCTGGGTCGGCTCAAACTTCTCACGCCGCATGCCACGCACGACCTCAGGCTGGAGCCCGTCGAGCGCGACTACATGGTTGGATGGCAGCTGGGCAAGGGGAGCTTCGGCACCGTTTTTGTCGCGCTCTCGCGCGCGAACCGACGCGACGTCCGCGCGGTCAAGGTCATCGACCTCGGCCACGCCGACGCGCGGACGATCTCGAAGCTCGCGGTCGAGGTCCGGACGATGCGCCGCGTCGACCACCCGAACATCTGCCGGCTGGACGACTGCTACTTGCACGAGAAGAAGTTTAGCATGGTCATCGAGTACTGCAGCGGCGGCGAACTCTTCGACCGGATCACGGCGAAGGATCATTACTCGGAGCGCGAGGCACGCGTCGCGTTCAGTGCGGAAATCAACCAGTGCGTCAGGCCGGCCTGGAGGTATTATTTATTATTCTGGCAGCCTCGACGCAGCACGAGAGTGCTTGGCGTCCTCGCACGATGCGTCTTAGGCTTATTCACCCGAACGTTTGATTTCCGCACAGGTCGCGTTCGCACAAATGGTCGAGGCGGTCGGCCACTGCCACCGCCACGAGGTCGCGCACCGGGACTTGAAACCCGAAAACGTACTCTACGCGGGCCCGGAGGGCACTCGAAGCGCGCACGTCCTGAAGGTCTGCGACTTTGGGCTCAGCACGACGTTCGGCGGCGGCCACCACGACCTGCACCGCAAGGTCGGGACGCCGGGGTACGTCGGCCCAGAGGTCTTGACGGCGACGGAGGAGCGAGGATATGGACCGGAGTGCGACCTATGGTCGCTCGGTGTCATCCTGTACGTCATGCTCAGCGGGACGATGCCTTTCTACGGGCGGGACAAGGCCGAGGTGTACCGGAACACGTGCTCGGGCGCCTACGCCGTCGACGGCCCCGAGTTCGCGCAGATTTCGCACGACGCCGTCGGCTTGATCCACCAGCTGCTCGTCGTCGACCCGGCGCGGCGCCTCACGCCGGACGGCGTGTTCGCACACCCCTGGATGGCCAAGGACCACGTCGTGAACACGATTCATCTCGCTCACTTCTCGCCGAACATCAAACGCTACAAGCTCAAGCGTAAGCTCAAGGCCGCCGTCTTCGCGATTATCGCCGAGCACCGTTTTCTCGCGTCCATCGCGCGCGCGAACCCCGCCCGATACGCGACGGAGGCCGCGCGCGTCGCCAAGAAGCACTCGTCCTCCGTCTTCTCCCCCCTCGGCGAGCTCGCGAACGCGAACGGCGACAAGTGACAATAAAGGGATATGTTGCGAACTAACTATGAGAGTGTTATATTATATTGGTTTGCACCGAGCTTCGATAGACACTCAATGTGTAGGCTCGGGCGCGGGCGTCGGCGCCGGCCCGGGCGCGGGCTCGACCGCAGCTGGTACAGGAGGAGGCTCGTGCCCGAGCATCGCTGGCGGTGGCGCCATAGCATCGCTGGCGGTGGCGCCATGGGCACCTAAGGCCCGCGACTTCTGGGCCTCCAAGATGGACACGGCCTCGCGGGCGGCGCGCAGCGCGCGCTCGTTGTCGTCACCCCATTTAGACATCGCTTGTGGTCTTGTGGCGGTGTAGAGGGGGTGGATGATCGCGGGCGCGACGTAGTGGCGCTGCGGCGTCGTGCGCGGTGCAGATCGTGAAGTCTACTTCCGAGCCGAGTTGCTTGGGCTCCTCGAGGGGACTCCATTGTACCCTTGGTTTTAGTACCGTAGGTACTCGGTATGTATCACAAAGGTAACCCTTATCAAGCTGCAAGGATTTGCAAGAGTATGTAAGGTACTAGGTTCCGAGCTCACCAGCCAGAGGAGCACAGAATGAAAATCACAATAAGTAAGTTAGGCACTCTCCTCGGCGGCGGCAGGGTGACAGCAGCAGATGCGCCGAGCCGCACCGTAAGATCGGAGAGCGATCCCTTGAGATTCTCGAGTCGGCGATTGATCGCGAGGATCTGCTCGTGGATTGCGCGCCGCTCCGCGACGGCGGCGGGATCGAAGGGGCCGACGGCCGGCCGAGCGCCTGTGTGGAAATCAACGAGCGTCGGTGGCGTCGCGGTGGAGAAAGTTTTCCGCACGGACGCGTGCGCTTCCGTCCAGCGGCTCTCTGGCCACGCCGTAGGCCGTCGGGTAGCTCAGTCGGCGGAGAGAGTGGTGCGGATGCATCGAGAGGCTTCGTCTTGGAGAGCACGAGTAGGGGCGGCGTGAGGCATTGCGCGACCCCCGCGCCGGCCTCGGCGCCGTCGGCGGCGCTTACGCGCACGCGGAACTTGCGGTCCGCCCGGCGGAATGAGCCGAGCTCAAGACGGTAATAAAAGGTCGTTTCCTTCGCGTGCGGCGGGCACGAGAGATGCGTCGCCTCGCCCAAGATTTTCAGGCAGGACGCGTCCTGCGGCGACACATCCGTGCCGTCCTCGTAGCAAAGCGCGAGCCGCAGGGGCACTACGTCTGGCCGCGCCGGCTCGCACGCGACGGAGCACCGGATGTAGTGTTCCCCGCGCGGCGTCGCGTCCTTGTAGAAGATGAATTGCGAAGACGGCGCCGACCGCGCGCGCTGATACGCCGTCTGCGCAGAGCTAAAGTCGTGCTTGCGGACGACGAGCTTCGTCGCCGGCGCAACGGCGGGCGCGTCGTCGCGCTTTCGGTCGGTGCCGAAGATGCGGTAGAGATCGCCGACCGTCCCAAACTCCGTCATACCTCGCGCGCCTATCTATAACCGATGCCCCTAGACCAGGCGAGAAGGCGGGCGTGTTATTGTGTCAGGCTAATAATTCGTGGTGTCCCGCTACACACCCGTGTCAGGCTCAGGCTAAAAAGTCACGCTCAGGCTTTGCAGCGGCGCATACAAGCTTAGACACGCTCCGTGGCGCGGCGTGGCGCGGCTTGGCTGGCTTATAGCCAAGGGGTACCTGCGGTACCGTGGGTAACTGTAGGTACTTACCTAGCCACTTGGGAAGTGGTCTCCACTCTCGGTGAGAGTGGACTTCATTGCAGCCCAACAGCGATGTTTTGGGATGATGCCAGCAAGAGCGCGCTGCGCGCCGCCCGCGATGCCGTGTCCATATTGGAGCCCAGAAGGCGCGGGCCTTAGGTGCCCAGGGTGTGCCGGCGTCGCCGCCATCGGTACGCGCGCCGGCCGCGGCCACCCTAGATGCCAAGGGCTGGCATCGAGATAGCGGTAAGACGTCGGCCGCGGCCGTCCTAGATGCCACGGGCTGGCATCGAGACGGTACGACGGGGGCGCGGCTGACGCAGCGGATCCTCTTCGGCGGCCAAGCGCTGACCGTCCGCGACGAAACGGGCAATTGGGCGCCGCACGACGAACGCTACCTCGCGCTCCTCGTGGAGCACGGCCAGCCGTGCTCCGGGAACGAGTCGGGGCTGAAAGCGTTTTCCGACGCCTTCCCTACACGCCCGGTCGGGTCGATCACGGGCCACATCAGCGTGTTCAATGTGCAGGAGTACAATAAGTGGCAGCAGGGCGAGGGCCAGGGCAAGTGGGGTGGCTGGCCCGGCTGGAAAAAGAAGTAGAAGTCTCCCGAGTCTCCGTCGCGTTCCTCCCCCGCCCCCAGCCCCCCCCCTCCGCGCGCGGAGATAAGCATGTCCTTTAAGCAAGCATAGGGGCGGTATAATCGAATGGTCTCGGAAGTGAATAAGGCGAAGCGAAACCTGCAAAAAAATGGATCCGGATGGTGTCTTAGGCCGTGCCCGGCTGCCCCTAGATCGGTCCGACCATTGTTCAAGCTCTATTGCTGTTTGGTCATTTTCTGCAAAAATGACCACCAAGACCTTCCATTATGATTATTTAATTATATGGGCTGTGTTCGATTATTGTAGTTTCGCGGCGTTGTCACGGTTAACATTTACTGGAATATGTCAGCAGCCGCAGCGAATCCATTTTACTGGGGGAGCAGATCCTCGCGATCAATCGCCGACTCGAGAATCTCAAGGGATCGCTCTCCGATCTTACGGTGCGGCTCGGCGCGCACTCTGCTGCTGTCACCCTGCCGCCGACGGAGAGTGCCTGACTTACTGATTATGTTTTTTAATTTACTGCTCCCGTCGGAAATTCACTATTCTGGTTTTCAAAAATTTACTATGCCTGCCAGAATAGTCACATCGGCCTTCCCGCTCTGCGACGTGCGCCTCAGGGGAATACGAGTTGAGCGAGTAGATACCGTAGTAGAGGGGGATAAAATCGAAGCTTCCAGGAGCGTTCAAGGTCGCACACATATTATACACCGCCGTGGAGGATGGTCCTCTAGTCCGCGAGCGAGGCGAGAAAGCCGCCGGGCGCGAGGAGCGCCGATCCTCCCAAAATGACCTCGCGGTGCGTGTCGCGCGAAACCTCGTAGGCGGCGCGAAGTTCGGAGTACGTGGCGCCGCCGAGCACGGCGACGACGACGCGCGGACCCGAGAACGGCGGCGCCGCCGCCGCGCCCGCCGCCGCCGACGGCGCGCGCGCGAGGCGGCGCGACGACGCCTTGCGCGCGGAGACGGCGGCGCGCTTGGCGGGCGTCGCGGCGTCGGGCGCGCCGCCGAGCGCGGGATAGAGGTCGGCGTCGAGGTCGCCGTCGCAGAGCGCGGCCACGAGCGCCTTGAGCGGCGGCGCGTAGCGGTGCTCGACGTCGCCGCCGTCGCCGTCGTCGTCGCCGTCGTCGTCGTTGGCGGCGCGCCCGGCGGCGGAGAGCGCGGCGGACAGGGCGGCGCGGAGCGACGCGAGCCGCCGCGTCGGCGCGCCGCCGCGCGACCGGCGGCGCCGCGCGGCCGTCCGCGCGGCCTCCGCGGCGGCCGTCCGCGCGCGGCGCGCGGCGAGCGCGGCCGCGTCGTCGCGCGTCGGCAGGCCGCCGGCGTCGGCGACGACCCGGGCGAGGCGGCGGAGGCGCCGCGCGTCGCGCGCGTCGGGCCGCAGCGCGTCGAAGAGGCGCGTCCGCTCGGCCTCGGCGACGCGGCCGCCGGCCGCGGCGACGTACGCGGCCGCGAGGCGGAGCGCGTGCGACCGGTCGCCGCGGTCGTCGTCGGCGCCGGCGGCGAGGTGGCGCGACACGGCCTTGAGGACGTCGCGCGGCCGCGCCTCGGCGCCGTCGGCGTCGACGCCCGTCGCGAGCGTCTGCTCGAGCTGCGACTGCTCGAGGAGGCGGTGGCGCTGAAACTCCGCGAGCGCCGCGCGCGCGAGCGTCATGTGCGCGTCGAGCCGCGCCGTCGCCGCGCGGAACTCGGGCAGGCGCCGCAGCGCGGCGGCCATCTCGCCGAGGCTCAGGTCGCCGCCGCGGCCCCGCCGCAGGTCGGCGGCGCCGCGGTGCGACGCGAGGACGGCGCGCGTCCGCGCGCGGAGCCGGCGCACGACGGCGGCCACGTGCGCGTGCCGCAGCTCGACCCAGAGCGCGTCGCGGTCCGAGAGGACGTACGCGTCGTCGGGCGGCGGCGCGCCCGGGGCCGCCGCGTCGGCCACGCGCACGCGGTCGCGCGCGGCGCCCTCGACCGGCAGGACGTCCTGCACGAGCGCCTGGTACGAGTACTCGTGGACGAGCGGCGTGAGCACGTCGTCGGCGCGGTCGACGAGCAGGACGACGACGCCGGGCGCCGCGCCGCCGCCGCCGCCGCCGCCGCCGCCGCCGCCGCCGCCGCCCCGCGCGAGTTCGTCGAGCAGCCGCGCGCCGCAGGCGCGCGCGCGCGCGTTGCCCGCGCGGTGCCGCACGACGACGCCGGCGCCGGCACCGAGCGTCGCGAGCAGGTTCGCGAGTTTGCGCGCGCACGCGGCGTCGCGAGGCGCGTCGAGCGCCGCGCCGCGCGCCGCGCCCGGCGCGACGCGAAAGGCGCGCGGCTCGTCGAGGCTGAACGCGCGCGCCTCGAGCGCGAGGAAGTCGAGGCGGAGCTCGACGAGCGCGCGGAGCTTTCGGGCCATTTCCCGGAGCGCGCCCATTTCGCCGTCGCCGAGCGCGTCGAGCGTGAACACGTGCGCGTCGGCGTAGGGGTCCGCGGTTGGGCCGCGCCAATCTGCAGCGACCCGCGCGACGCTCTCGGACGTCGCGGCGACGACGTAGACGGCGGTCATGTCCGGGAACGGCTGGCGCTTTTTTTCGAGAGACTCGACCAGCGTCACGCGCTCCTCGACGAGGTCGTACAAACCCAGCACCGGCGTCAGCACGCGCGCCGCCGCCGCGTCGAGGACCAGCACCATCCAGCCGCGGCTCTTCGCGGCCGACGCGCGCAGGACGTCGCGCTGCACGATGTGCCGCACGAGTTCCCGCAGGCCGCCGGCCGCCGGGCGATTCATACTCGTTTGTAATTGATGTAAGGCCAGCCGTGTGCCTCGGTAAGGCACTAGAATTCGTAATCCGGTAGCCTGCGGTCGTAGAGACGACCGGTCGCGACCGGTAGGCCTCGGTCTCAGAAACCCGTTTTCGACAGATTTTGGAGCTCACACAGGTTGTGATGGTCCTCTCGACGGCCTCGGCGGCGGCAACCGTGACCCGGTCTCAGGCTCAAGATGACTATAGCCTGAGTGATTAATTAACTTGAAAAGATTGCATCTGTCAGCTATGATTGGTATCTTGGTAGCAATATCGTCACACCTAGTGGCTCGCTACAAGATCATGATACTTTCTTATACTACTTGCTCGTGTCCAATAGCGCTCCGATTGTGTCTCCGATTGTGTGAGCGCAGGACAAAGGAGCAAGCCTGAGAATTTCAAGTTTTGGCCGCGGCCCTCCCACCGTGACCCTCCCGGCGGGCCCTTCAAGTTGGTTATTTTGGCGCGGGGGCGCGTGGTCCGGCGCCCGTTGTGGCAACGGCCTTTTTTCCACTTATAAACCTCCCAAATTTTATCTTAGCTTCACTATCCTAGTCTCACTTATCCTAGTTAAATACCCGGATAGAATACCGGTAGGCCTAGTGAATACGGTAGGTACCTACAGTACCATGGTACCACTTGTACCAGCTTGTACCGGCAGGCCAAAATATTATTATCGCGTACACTCAAGCAAGCGAAACTATTAGGACCGAGGTTGGCAAGGGGCTCACCGCGGCCGCGGCTCACGAGAGCGCCGCTCGACTCTCCATTCCGTTTTGAAGGAGCCCGCATGTACTCACGTGGACTTATTCAGCGGGACGACGCCACCCGGCCCCAGGCGGACTTGAGGGCCTTCCCGCCCGCCCTGGAACCGCCTGCGGACATCTGGAAGCCCGCGAACGACCCGGCTCTTGCGCCCGGCGCCCCCCCGCCGCCCGCGACTTGGCCCAACCAGGGCCCGGCCGCGAACGCGCTGGGTCCCGGCCGGCCCCCGGGCGCCGCGGGCTGCGCGCTGTTCTGGGACCTGACCGGGTGTCGGCCCGGCGGGCCCGACGCGGGGACGTGCGTCCAGCGGAACGTCGCGTCGTTGTACGGGGACGTCAGGTCAGCGCGGGCGTACGGCGATGTTGCCGCGTTGCCGGGCGCGACGCGAGCGGGCCTGCAGGCCGCCGGCGTCCGCCTGATTGACACGAGCCCCGCCGGCATGACCGACCGCTCACCGCTCATCGTCGACCTCTTCGACTACGCGTTGGCACACGCCGTCCACCAGAAGGACGGGAAAGCGCCGATTTTGGTCTGTGCGCTGGGAGGCTCCCCGCGGGAGCAGTTCGGCTTGGCCTTCGCGAGACTGGCCGAACGGGGATATAAAGTGGCTCTCATCCGCCCGCGAGACTCCCCGTGCGCGAGATATGATGGAGGCTGCATAGGAGTACATGATTGGGCTAGCGTCAGACCGGGCGACGACAACGACACCGTCGCCATGTGTTTCAAGTGCGGCTGGCGCAATTGCAGAAGGGCCCACCCGCGGCGCTGCTCGGCTCTGGTCTGCTGCGCTCTCTGCGGGCAGTCGTCGCACGACACGCGCTACCACGCCGAGTTCCAGCAGTACGTGTCTCGGAGGGCCACCGAGACGGCCCAGCGGCAAGTGGACGCGGCGGCGGCGCAGGGCTTGCCGATTCCTTCCTACGCCGCCCCTAGACTCCACGCACTACCACCGCCGGCTCCGGCTCCCTTTCCCGGCCAAGCGCCCTATGTCGGCCAAACAACGCCCGGCCTGGCGGCCCTCCAGAACGCGCTGCGGTACGCGCCCCCGCGCGCCCCCCCGATGGCGCCGAACTCGCCGCCGCGCACCTTCACGCGAATGATGGGCGCCCTCGACTCCACTGCGCAGCCCTGGCAGCCCGGCAGGCAGCCGCTCGTGGGCATGCCGCAGCAGCCATCCTCGCCGCCAGCATTGCTGCAGCCGCAGGCGTTCGCGCTGGCTGACACCGCGGCGGCGCCGGAGAGGCCGACAGCCGTGCCGCCTGCGCCGGCGTCGGTACCACCGAAGGCCGAGGCGCCGCCGGGCCTCGCGCCGGCGCCGGCCGCGCCAGAATCTGAGGACCCCGTCGATCTCAGCCGGCTGCACTACGGCGTCGAGGACTACGTCAAGATGGGCGTGCCCGAGGAAGACGCCCGCGCCATCTTGCGCGCCGTCAACAAGTTAGCCAAGGACCGCGACGACGCGGCAGTGGCGTCCGGCGCCGCGGCCGACCTCGACGCAGAGGCGTAGTCCTGGCCGAATTTGCTTTCCTGCTGCCCTTTCTCCGATGGCGACCGCTTTTGGACGTCCCTCGTTGCCAACCCTAGATGCCGACCCCGCCCTTTTTTGTACATTGCCACTGCCGACCACACTAACTGCGATCCAAGGCACCTGTGCCAGCGGTAAGTACACATCTATAGGAAAGATATAATCGGCCCGGGTGGGACGCCCCGTCACAACGCTTGCGCAGTTACGCCGTAGTACGGACACTGGCAGATTAACATACGTTGGTCGCCGCGGTAGACCCGCGGGGACTCTCGATCCCGCGGGGCCTGCCGTAGGAAATAAGGGGGGGGGGGGGGTAACATAAAACTAGTGGGAATCACATTTCGTCCAAGGCCCCCAGAGAGGAGTGGTGCCGGGGGTGGCCACTAGCACATATTTTGATGCCTCCAACACTCTGTGAGCATTTCCCTGCACATGAGTGCACGCGGCACGCGAGCGTCGTATGCCGCAGAATTGGCGAAGATGGCGTACGGCTATTCAAGTACGCTGGTGCAAGCAAGCTACCGCAAGCAATAGTTTTTAACCCATAGAATCAGCATGATAGGAGCCAAGGAGAGTGGGCAGCCAACACGTGGTTAGATGCGCCCGCGGAGGCACGCGCCGCCGTCGGCTCGCGGCCGGCACGCGCGCGCGCGCGCCCGGCCCCGCACCAGGCCCGCGCCGTGGCTCATCGCGTTGTATGCGTCCCCCGCTGCGATCTACCTCTTGGTCGCGGCGAGACGCCGGCCGCCGGCGAACGGTACTCCTCGCCGCACGCCCCCGAGCCCGCCGCGCGTCGCCGGCAGCGTCGACGGTACGGCGCGGCGGCGTGGCGCCCGCGGCGCGGCGCGCTTTGACGCACGCGGCGCGCCGATCGCGACGGGCGGGCCCGGCGACCTGGCGGCGGCGAACCTCGAGATTCCGCATGAAGTGGCAGCCCTCGCGGCGGAGGGGCTGCACCCCGTGCGGGCGACCGCGTGGGCCGCGCGCCGGGCGCGGCGCGTCGCGGAGCACGACGAATCAAGAGAGCCGCCGGAAAACCCGCCGACACCGCCGAATGCAACACGATCCACGCACCGGAGCGTCGCCGTGCACGCGGACTACGCGCACCCGGTGTTCCACTTTTCGCCCGTCAACCACGTCGCGCTCGAGTCGTTGCTCGCCACTCACGCGCGCGCGGCGGTGCGCGTCGCCGTCGTCGGGCCAGAGCTGGCGCGCGACTTCCGCTACGCGAACGCGCTGGGACTCACGCACTTCGACCGCTACGCCAAGCTCGGCTTCGACGCGCGGACCGTTTTGGTGAACGCGCAGACGCCGCTCTACGGGACGACCGACGCGGATGACGCGCCGGGCCGCCGCTGGTGGGAGCTCCGGCGCGCGGCCCTGGCGCCGCGACACCTGGACTTCCTGACCTTCTTCGGCCGCGACGACGCGGACGTGCTGCCGGCGCCGGCATTGACGCTTTTCCTGCGGCTCCAGAGCGTCTGGAAACACGGTGGCCTCGCGATAGACTTCACGTACGTCTTCGTCGCGCCGGTTCCCGCGGACGCGCGCGGCTTCGCGGTCGCGCCGGACGCGTGCGGCCCGGCGGCGCCGTGGGCCTACCACGACCGCGCGCCGCCGCCGCTCCTCGTGCACGCGCCGGCGCCGCGTGACGCCGCAATCTCGCGCGCGCTCGCGGCGTTCGACGCGTGCGGCGCGGACGAGCGTTGCGCCGACGCGCTGGCGCGCGACCCAGCCCGACTTTTGCTCGACGCGTGGCGCGGCGCGGGGCTGGCGAACGACTTGGCGGGCGGTGTGGCGTGGCTAAATTGCGACGAAACGGCGGCTGGTTCGCTGCTCGACGCGTCCTCGACGATCACGCTCGCCGACGCGGCCGGAGGCTCGTACGCCGTCTGGCTCGGGCCCGCGGCGACCGACGGCCGCTTCGCCCCCGCGGCGCCGGCATCGCCGCTCGGCGCACTATTCAGCGCGGGGCCGCCGCGCGCCGTCGCGGTCGACCAGCGCGCCGCGTGCGCGCGCGAAATCGCGGGGCGCCCGCTGAGCGACCGGCCGCGATGTTTTGCATTCCAACGCGGTGTCGCCGGCGCGTCTCGTCGCTTCCCGGCGCGGTGACTCGAGGCCGGACGCGGCCCGTAGACGCGGCGTCCACGCAGGCGACGCCGACGAGACACACCGACGCGCGGGCGCGTCGTCCTGCGCGCCGACGCTCTTCATTCCCTCGGCCCAAAAGGGCGCGTCCAGCGCGCTCGCGGCGCTTCTCGCGACGCACCCGCAGGTGCTGAGGCCCGTGCGAGGTTCCCACTACAAGGAGCCGGGCGCGTACCTGTGCGCAAATCAAACAGTGACTCGGGTGCATTCTTCACAAAGTCATTTCTCTGCGGCAACGCCGTGATGACTGAATCGAGTGGTGCAAGACCCACACCGCCATGCCGTCGAGCTGGCGTCGCGTCGATGGCGTGGAGTTCATGATACAGCAGTGGCGGAGGCGCGCCGCGACAATTTTGGTTCCTGCATAGGCGCGTACATCAACGCCGTCTACTACCGACAATCGCTCGCGCGTCGCGCGTCGCGGTTCCCGTGGTTTCGGGACGACGAACCCTTCGTCGCCCTCGACGCCACGGTCACGTACGCCTCCGAGTCGCGCCTGCCGGCGATGCGCGCCGCGCTCGACGCGCCGCGCGCGTTCGTCGTCTTCGCGCTCCGAGAGCCCGTCGCGCGCGCGTTCTCGGACTTTCGCTTCTGCTACCGGCCCTACTTCTTCTCTCAAGATATCGGCTTCGACGCCGCGACGCTCGGCGCGCTCGACGCCTACGACGCGTGCTACGGCGCCGCGCGCGCCTTCTACGCGGCGAACCGCACGGCGGCGGCCGACGCCGCCGGCGCCGACGCGTACTACGGCCTCGCGTGCCAGGACCTCAAGCTGCGCCGCCGGGACCCCTTTGGCCTCGTCCGCAAGTCGCTCTACGTGTACCAGGTCCTCCACTACCGCGCCGTCCACGGCGCGGAAAGAGTGACGGCCGTCTCCGCCGAGCAGCTCAAGCGCGACGCGCCCGGCGCCGGCCGCGCCGTCGCCGCGCACGTGGGCCTCTGCGCGTCGTTCTCCTTTGGCGCCGGCCAGCGCGTCCACGCGACGCGCGCGCGCGTGGCGCCGCGCCACGCCTGGTCGCGCGCCGGCTACCGCCGGCTCCGCGCCTGGTTCGAGCCCTACAACCGGCGACTCTACGCTGCGCTCCGCACGACGGAAAGCTCTCTAGGCTGGGAAGAAGTCGACTATCCGTCGTTCCGCGACGACCGCTTGCCAACTTGAATTTGAATGCCGCCGCATTAGTTGGCTGGCGTGTACTCATGGCGTCACGCCCGAGCGGCGGGTCAATTGCCGACGCCGTTTCCGGGCCGGTGCTGCTGTCTAGTAATAATAATAACCGTGATGAATCGCTGTCGCGTTTAGACCACGCCTCCCGAGCCGCAAACACGACTTTGCGACGTAAATTCGGGTTTACCCTAATTTCTCGGCGCGGAGGAGTCGTGGTCTGTACTCGACAGGATTTGGATCGCTTCTAAGCCTGTGGACCGTGACTCGGACACGAAACAAGAACTCGAGGCGGAGGACACGGCGGTCCATCGCCCTAGTACTAGTAGTAGGCCTCGGGCCCGCTGCCGGGTACTTTTAGCGAGAGAAATGACCTTGAATGAAGAAGAAGCGGTATTTCTCTCTTTCTTACTCGCGCCACCACGGCGCGACGCCCTTTCTCTCGACGCCCAGGCGGATGGCCTGCCACTGGCCCATGACCGACGCGGACTCGAACGGCTTCCAACCACGCACGATGCCCTCGACGAAGTCGGGGTCGTCGCCGACCTTGGCCGAGAAGAGGCGCTTGCCGTTCCAGCCGAGCGGAAACTCGCGCGCGAATGTCAGGAACCGACCCTCGTCGAGGCGCCACGACCCGCGGGTGCCCCAGCCGAACTCTGCCGAGCCGTCGGCGAGGCACCGCGCCCACGTGACCTCGATCTTGTCGTCGCCGCGCCACAGCACGCCGAGCTTCCACTCGGACCCGACGAAATCCGCTGGCGCATAGGTTTGCTCGGGGGGCGGCGCCGCGGCGTCGCCACCGACCGGGCTGTCTGGGCCCAGCGGCGCGCCGGCAGCGACGGAGTCGTCGTCGTCCGGCCCCATCATCGGCGTGCCATCCGCGGCCACGGGCGTGCCGAACATGTCCACGCCCGCCGCGCCCGCGGGCAGGCCCGGCGACGGCGTCGGTGGCACCGCGTCGGCGGCGGCCGAGTCGAGCGTATCGGCGCTCGACGCGCGCCGCACGCGCGCGCGCGGTGGCGGCGCGGCGCGGAAGCCAGTCGCGCGCCAACAGAGCAGCCCTAGTATCGCGAGCACGCAGCGCATGACGCACTCTTAGCGCAGACGTTGGATCTCACGGTTCTCCGCGCGACGCACTATCGCGGCAGGAGTAATACAGTCAGACAGTCACTGCTTGCTAGGGATGCCTAGTGTCTTACAGGCCGCTAGCGCGATTTCCTACGCGGGAGCCCTCGCAGCTGACCTTGAAGCCGAAACAGTCATTGAGAAACCCGTTTTTTGTACATATTGCACCACCCAGCTCATCCAATCCAAATGGCAAAGCTAATATTCCCTTAATCTAGTGAATAGTACCGTGACCGGCCCCGGCCCGGGGTCACGGTAGGTACTCATGATGAGAATGATCAACACAAGAGACTCTTTGACATCGATGGAGGAGCTAGGGGGAGTGCGGAGAATATACCCTAGCCTGAGTACCCTAGATCTGCAATGGAAATACACGTCTAGTAGGATCCCAAGGTTCAACTGAGACGTATCCAAGCACAACCCGTACTTGTATTACCCGCCTAGGCTACTTCTCATCCTAGGGTACTCCGATATCCCCTTAGTAGGGGGAAGTCGCCTCTCACTCCTAACTATTATCATCCTAGCTCACCAGCCGAGGGCTGGGCCAACCTGACTACGAGAGTGTTTTATAGTGAACTGTTGTTACACCGTAGTGCTTTTGACACTCGATGTATAGACTCAAATATTAGAGAGTGGGAGATACATATCTAGGGTAGGAAGGGCTAGTAGGTTTCTCTCTCTACGAGGTACCAGCTGGTACCCAAGGGGGGTTAAGTATGGGGTGGGTACCAGCCGCTAGAGGGCGTCACGATGTATGTCCGGTTTTGCTTTTTGCGGCCGTGCGGCTGCCCATGCCCATGGCAGCGGAAGTGCGCGTGCGCGTGGGCGTACGGGCACCCAAGCGGCCCTCGGCAGCTTTTCTTTTGCGCGCAGGCGCAAAATTGGCCGAGAACGACGGCAAAACGTTTAGCAATTTTAGTCGATGCGCGAAAATCGAAGCGCCAACGCGAGGGCTCCCTTTCAGAGCTCCATGCTCCCGCTTTAGAGCCCCGAGACGGGTAAAAAAAATAAACTTAAAAAAAACACTATATCGCGGCGACGGTGTGCATATGGCCTTGACGCAGCCGTTGAGCGTCGTCGCGCCGCGAGGGAGCCTCTCATACCCTACCGACCAGCGTCCGTCTTTGGTTCCAGCGAAAACCGCCGGGAAGTGAGCCGTAGTGCCCCCGTTCGCGACCGTGTTCGGGAACGAATGGATGAAAATCTACTCAGCTAATTTGTCACCCGCCCATAGCAAAGTTCCTCCGAATCCTATCCTGAGACCCTGTGCCGCGATTAGTGACAAATTCGCCGAGAGGGGGCCGCGGGGCGTCGATCGTCGAATGGAACCGCCGACCGTGGCTGCCCTTCCCGAGCACCGTTGCCGCTGAAACTTGGCATGCGAGGCCGTCATGGGGGCGTGCCTCGGCCCCCGGGGCGGTGCTGGTGGCGGTGCACCCGCTGGGTCGCACTGGCACCCGCCTCTAAAACACCAAAACCGGACATACATCTGCGGGGTAAACATAGCCTGGTACCCACCCCATGTTTACCCCCCATGTGGTACCATGCACCAGAGGGACCATTAAGACTTTGAGGCGCGTGGCACGCCAATTCAAAAGCGGGTTTTCGACTCATGCGGCAGTGATAAGGGCAGCATGGCGCCTCCATTCCGGGCGCGGGCCTGCTGGGCCCCGGCCAGGTCGGCCGCCGAGGCTGCGGACGAACTCCGACTGCGCCTCGCGGAGGCGCGCGACGCGCTCGAGGAGCAGCGGCGCGAGCACGCGCGTCTACGCAAGGTGAAACGCGCCTTCGAGGCGAACCTCGAGCTGCGCACGCGGGAACTCGAGCTCGTCGTGAACGATCTGAACAGGTGCCGCCGCGGCGCGATCGCGCGCACCTCCGCCGCTGCCCCCCCAGCTCAAATGGGGGGCTCCGCAGAAAATCGGCGCGTCGCCGTCGAGGCGCTGGCCGGCGCGCACGGCCGGGTCGCGGCGGTCGAGCGACGGCTCCGTCGGCAAGCGACCGCGCGCGTGGGACTCGAAGGCACGCTCCGTGACGCGGACGTCGCCGCCGAGACCGCTCGCGTCGAGCGCGCGTACGCCGAGGCGGCACGCCTGCTCCGGTTCGCCTGCGGCAGCGCGTCACCACCGGCGTCAGGCGCCGCTTCGTCGGGGCGGCGCGCGCAGGCGAAGTTGCCGCCTCGCGCACGGGACGCTCGCGTCGAGGCGGCGTATGGCGGCAGAGGCATGCCCGCTCGACCTGTCTCTGCGGCTCGGCGGCGGCGCGACGACAACGCGCAGCGAAGCGACTGTGCCTTGGCGGGCGACGCTGCGCGCGAAGCCGCGCGTCTTGTCTCGCTCCGAGACGCCAAGAAGAAGAAAAAAGACGAGCGTGTCCGCGCGAAACGCACGCGCGCGGCGGAGGCCAAGAAGCGGCGACTCGACGCAGAGTTTCGACGAGCGCGCGCCGGCATCGGACGCGACGATCAAGACGAGGCGACTGGCAGTCGGCGGCCGACGCGCGTGGCTGTGGCCGAGGACCTCCGGCCCCAAGGCGGCCAGACGGCGAGCCCAGCGGTGTCTGTGCAACCGGAGGCCGTCGCCGAGATTCCGCCGTTTAATGCGTCGCGACCGGAGGCCATCGCCGCAACGCCACCGTTTAATGCAAAGCCGTCGCGGTCAGAGGCCGTCGCCGAGATTCCTCCGTTTAATGCGTTGCGACCGAGGGCTATTGCCGAGATTCCTCCGTTTAATGCAAAGCCATCGCGATCAGAGGCCATCGCCGAGATTCCTCCGTTTAACGCAAAGCCGTCGCGATCAGAGGCCATCGCCGAGATTCCGCCGTTTAATGCAAAGCCGTCGCGATCAGAGGCCATCGCCGAGATTCCTCCGTTTAATGCGTCGCGACCGGATGCCATCGCCGAGATTCCTCCGTTTAACGCAAAGCCGTCGCGGTCAGAGGCCATCGCCGAGATTCCGCCGTTTAACGCAAAACCGTCGCGGTCAGAGGATATCGCCGCCACAGAACTAGCCAAGTCCAATGCTATCGCTGCAAAAGAGGCAGAGAAATTGGCCCGCATCGCTGCCGAGCGGGCAGAGGTCGAGCGCAACGCTGCCGAGCAGGCCGAGCGCGCCGCTGCCGAAGGGGCCCGGCTTGAGGCTGGGCGTTTAGAAGCAGACCGGCGGGAGGCGAAGAGACTCGAAACGGAGCATCTGGAAGCCAAGCGCGTCGAAGCGGAACACGTAGCTGCGGCGAAAGAAGGGGCGAAGCGGCTCGCCGAGGCCAAAGCTCGCGAAGCCGCCGCACGGCACGTTGCCAACGAAACCAAGCGTTTGGAGACCGAACGACTCGCCACCGAGGAGGCAACCCGTCTCGAAGCTGAACGATTGGAAGCTGAACGCGCCGAGGCAGAGCGAAGAGCGGCCGAGGAACGCCGCGTCGCCAAGGCTGAGGCAGAGCGCACCGAGGCGGAACGCGCCGCTGGCGCCGAGACCGAGGAGGCTGAAAATGAAGCGGAGGCCGCCCATATTGTCGCGGAAAATCTGAAGGAAGAACGAGCCGTTGACGAGGCAAGTTGGGGGGCGACGACCGACGGCGACGACGACGACGACGAGCAGGATTCGGAGCCTTCGGAAGCGGACACAAACAACGACGACGATGGCGCGTGGGAGTGATCACGATCGTCCCGCGCCGTGGTGTTTATGTGCGTCCCTCGCAATGCCAATTGAAGCCCGCAATGCAGCAGTGCCGACAAGGGGCTACATTCACCAAACACCGAGTTAGAATTTGCCAGTGTCCGCAGAGCCCCTGTTCCGCCAATAAATAAATAAATAATAACTTCATAATAACTTCAAGTTTCTAGTACTACTAGTACTAGTACCGTACTACCTAGGTTGCCACTTACCCCAGGGGTTATTAACCCCAATCGCGGCCCGGGGTCAGTAACCCGGGTAATTACCCGTTAGTACGGGTTATTAACCCCAGGATCTTATAGAGGGGTAGGCCCGGGGGAGGGGGCCTCACGGGCCACTGGCGCGGGCCTGGGCCGCGCCGGGCCACATGACTTGGTACTTGCCTTGGCGCACCTGTACGTATCCAAAAGCTCAACAGGCTGCTTGCGCCCATCCGCTCGCCCGGAGGGTCTTTCGCTAATCTCACACGGGTTTAGTCGAAACCTGTCGGGTTATTGAGCGGGTTATTAACCCCGGACCCCCTCCGAGGGGTAATTATAGGTTAATAACGGGTAATTAACAGGTAAGTGGCAACCTAGCACGGACTCAGTACACTGGCAAATCAAGTCACGGTTCGGTATCAAGTTCTAGAACTAGCCGCAAGGCTCAAGGTTCCAGGAAAGCTGCGAGCCAGCTAGCGTACACACCCAGCTTCACAGGGAACTCTCTAAGGGAACTCGAGTATGTCTCAGGCTCGCATCATTCGTTAACACGGGGCGAGGGCCCCGCGAGCGGGCACCGGGGGGGGGGGCGTAGCTTGAGGGCGGCGCGCCGGCTCGGGGGGTCCGCCGCGGAGCCTAATCGGTAAAGGCGACGACACCCATGACCGCGGCGACGGCGATGTTGACGATGTTGCTCTGGATCGAGTCCGCGTCGACGCCGGCGTCTTTGAGCTTGAGGACAACAGACGCAATCCAGAGCGACGCGGCGACGTCGACGGCCTTGAAGTGGTCGCCGGCGATGATGCCCGTCACGTACGACGCAAAGACGATGGCGGCGTTCGTCGTGAAGACGTCGCCGCTGACTGCCGACGAGAGCGTCGTCGAGGCCGCGCCGGCGTACTTCTCAAGAACAGCAGAACCGATCGAAACGCCAGCGAGCGTGCGACTCAGACCCATGCCAAAGTCCTCGGTGATGGGACCGACGGCACCGCCGCCGCGAACCTGCGACGGTGCGCGTGCGTGGCCGGGGGCGTCAGGCGCGGTCCGCCCTCTCTCCTGCCCCGACAGCCCCCCCCGTGCCCTCGCCCCCCGCTGCGAGCGGGAACGTTTACCCGGAGCCGATTGAAGTTGTTGGCACCGAGTGAAAGGGTGCCTGCCCCAAAGATAGGACGCAGCGCCTCGCCGCGAGCGCCTTTGGGGACATCGCCGCCGCGACCGAAAAGAGGGTGAATGCGAGGAACTTCGGCATGACTTTGCAATGAAGTTAAGATCGAGAGGGACGTCTCTGCAGGTTCTGAGTGTCTAAAGTAGTTCTGAGGACCAAACCTCACCTCCGGAGCCCTGCGCACCGAGCCTCGCTAGCGCATAGGCTTCAGTTCCGCGATATTCTCTATGATTAGTCTTTGAGTTGGTATGTATTGGTATGTGCAGCCTGGGAATGTAGTAAATGCACCATGCAGCTATTATTGTGATCTGGCGGTCGCCGGGGGCACCGTGACCACTAGGGGTCACTACCGCAATAGTACTACAAGCTCGTACCTCGGTATACTGCCACCACGGTAATCGTACCATGGTACCAGCAGTACCTACGGTAAGCGGCGCCTCGTTCGATTGTTGGCAGCCCCACACACACAAGATGCTGCGGCTGTCGTGCGCGCTGGTCGTCGTCGCGTCGGTGGGCGCGGCGCCGCCGATCCCGGGGTCCACGAAGGCGACTTGGTTGATGGACATTTTGCGGAGAGTCGCATCGTCGAATGCGGGCTCGCGGTCGCCAAGAGCATGGGCGGCGCCAGCTACCGCACGACGCCGGCGCTCCAGACCGAGTGGGCGCGACGCCTGGACTTTGACGAGGCCGACTTCGAGGCGATCACGCGTGTCGGCGGCGCGGGCGCATGCTGTGGTCCGTCGCGACGCTCCGATCGCACGTCGAGCGCAACGCCTGGGTCCAGGCGCAGCGCCGCGCGCACCCCTATCTGCGCGTGCTGAACGCGACGTCAAAGGCTCGCCCGCTAGCGGACATGGTCCGGCACTACGACGCGCTCGGCCTCCGGTGCGAGTGGCGGCTGAGCTACGGCCAGATCGCGTGGTTCCTCACGTACCTTCGGTTCCTGGTCCAAGTCCTGGTGGCCGACGCCGACTACGGCATGCTGCTCAACGACGACGTTCGCGGACTGTGTGGAAATCAACCGGTGTGTCGGGTGCACCCGATCATTCTTCACTCTAAGTCATTTCTCGGCGACGACGCGGCCGTGCTGGTGTCGCGTCGATGGCGTGGAGGAAACAACGCGCCGTGAAATTTAGATTACTACACAGGTAGAAATCGGCGACGATTTTGGCCGGGCGCTCGAGGCGCTCGTGCTCCGGCTCGAGCGGCCCGAGCACGCAGCGCGGAAGTACGCGTCTTATCGCCTCGGCAGAAACGACGCGGGTCTCATCATACCGCGCGCGGCGGCGGCGCGCATCCTTGGCATCGCCTGCGACGAGACGCTCATCACGCTGCAGACGGACCAGTGGCAGGTCTCCAAGGAGCTCCAGTCTCACGGCTCCTGTCGCTTCACGTACAACGGGACGCCCTTCGAGGGCCTCGTGACCCGCGGTGAGATCAACACGCACACGTCGATCCAATCCTGGGGCAGCGACATCTCGGCGCGCGACGAGCGAACCTTCTTTTCCGGCGTCGCCGCAGCCGCCGGCCGCGCGACACCGCCGGGCTCGTTTTGCGCCTCGCTCCGTGCCGTCTGGGATCCGAGCCTCCTGCGCGTCGATTACGTACCGGGGTTTGCCTGGGACGGTCTCGGCTCCGAGGCCGCCCGCACCGTACCCAAGGTGAGTATCGCCAGCTGAGTTTAGTAGTATTTAAATTTAGCTCCAACTCGGTGCGTTGGCGAGATGACTACTAGTAGGGAGATCCGAGATCCCGGCCCGAAACCAAGCTCGAATCACTTCAAAAATTCCCGGCGAGGGCGGATGTGACCTGGCATCTCCAAGGCTCTCGCCACCGTGTCAGTGACCAATCAGATTCCTCGGCATTTCAACGCCGGCGCGACGCAAAATGCATCGGGTCAGCCCATAGTACTCAATGGGCCGCCGAGATGGTCGCCGTGCCCCGGCTGCCCGGCTGCACCGCGGAACTCGTTGGGGCCCACACTTGCCAGTGGGCAGTCGAGCCGGTCTACTAGTAGGGCCTGATTCTTCTCGGTGTAGATCCTGTTAGTAGCAGCTTCTAGTCGGCGCCGCGCCGGAGCCAGCCACGGGCGCGCCCGGCGCGCGGCGCCTCGGGTCCGGGATACTCGAGCACGACCGCGCGATCGAGCGCCGCGATGGCGCAGCGGCGGAAGCAGAGGCTCATAATGAGCGTGTCGGCACCGGTCGCCGGCGACGTCGGCCGCCCGAGCGCCTTGGCGACGTGGCGCGCGCCCGACGTCATGGCGGCGTGGAGGTGCTCGGCAAAGGCCGCGAGGAGCGCGTCGACGTCGACGCCGCGTTCGCGGAGCTCGCCGAGCGTCGCGTCGAGCCGCGCCGACGCGGCGGCGTGGATCGCGCGCTCGACGGCCAGCTCGGCGGAGCCGCTGCGCGCCGTCGCCGCGCAGCGCCGCACCGCCTCGGCTCGCGTCGGCGTCCGCGCCGCCGCCCCCGCGCGCCCGCCGCCACCGTGGTACTTGGCGAGCGGCGGGAGGACGTCGCCGAGCTGGAGGCGGCGGCGGAGCGCGAGCGCGACGAGCGACTCGTTGTAGCGCTCGGTGACGACGACGTCGTCGAAGACCTTGAGGAAGTGGCGCGCGCCGGCCGCCGGGCCCTTTTGTGCGTCGACGCCCCAGAACTTGAGCGCGACGCCGGCGCCCCGCTCGCAGTCGGCGGGCTCGCCGCGCAGGAGCCGCTTCTCGGCGCTCGACGCGAGGCGGGCCGCGGGCGCGCGCGCCGTCGTTGCGAGATCAACGACACGCTCGTCGAAGTGGTCGCGGAGCCACGGCCCCCAGCCGCGGTGGCCGAGCGCCCACTTCGGCGCGGTCCGCGCCGGCGCCGCGACGACGCGCTCGAACTCGCCGGGCCGCATCGACACCCAGGCCGGCCGCTTGAACTTCGCGGCGAGCTCGGCGAAGACGTTCGCCGCCGTCGACGACCCCGTCTCGGGCACTTTGAGCAGCGCGACCTGGCTCGAGAGGTTCCGCGACGCGAACGCCGCCGGCACGACCACGCGCCGCGGCACCGGGGCGCGCCGCGCGAGCGCCAGGTCCTCGCAGCGACAGTCGCGGCGCGCGGCCGCGGTGACGAGCGCGAGAGCAGCCCCGAACCGGCCCGTCATCTAAAAAAAGGGCGACCTCTACCAGCGCTAGCAGCCCCGAGCCGGATTTCCACTCCGATTCGTATGAGCTTTACCGCAGTAGTACAAGCTGGTACCTGATATGATACCTACGGTACCTACGGTAACGTATCTAGAGAGAGAAACCTACTAGCCCTTCCTACCCTAGATATGTATCCCTCACTCTCTAATATTTGAGTCTATACATCGAGTGTCAAAAGCACTACGGTGTAACAACAGTTCACTATAAAACACTCTCGTAGTCAGGTCTAGCCAGCCCTCGGCTGGTTAGCTAACACCCTGCTACTTTACATAACGCTGCGACATACTCTTGCTAGTATCCCCTTGTATTTATACCGTGACAAGCTCGTGCGTCTAAACGGGTCTTTGGACGTGTCTTTGGCAATCCCCTGAAGGTATGAGGTTATCCCCGGCTTCTAGTTCCCCATCATCGAAGCCCGCCCGGGCGGGCCGGGCCGTTAGTGGAGATCGTTACGATCCTGCTGCTTGAAGTTAGGTCGCCCCGCCCGTCGCGGCCGAGTCGCCGCCGGCGCGCGCCGTCTCGGCGCGCTTCCACTGCTTCGCCATCTCGAGGATCTTGAGGTTGACGGGCTTTCGCGCGTCGTCGGGGAAGACGAAGGCGTAGTACTCTTCCGACGCGTCGGGGTCGTCGGCGCGCGGGCGCTTGCGCTTGACCTTGCGCGGGAGCTTGGCCTCCACGGCGTCGAGGTGCGCCGGCGCGTCGCCGGCGCGCGCCGCGGCGGCCTCAAAGGCGCGCCACGCGTCGAGGAGCGCGACGCGGTCGTCGTCGGCGGCGTCGCGCAGCGCGTCGTGCGCTCGCTCGTAGACGCGCCGCGCGTTCGCGCGCCGCGGCGCCGCCTCGCCCGGCGCCGCGGCCTCGTACGACGCGTACGCCAGCCAGACCTTGACGTGGCGCGTGCGCTCGAGGAGCCGCTCGTAGAGCGCCGCGACGGCGTTTTCCCCCGCGCCGCCGGCGTCGGCGGCGTCGTCCTCCTCGGGGTGCGCCTCGAGGCGCGTCTCGAGGTCGACGTAGCTCTTCCACGCCGCCTCGGGCCGGTCGAGGTCGGGCCGCGCCACCGCGAGCTCGAGGACCGCGCGCGCGCGCGACGTCTCGCCGACGGCGCGCTCGAGGTCGGCGAGCGCGGTCCACGCGGCCGCGCGCGCCGGCGCCGCCTCGACCCACGCGCCGTAGACGCGGCGGCACCGGTCCACCTCGCCGAGGCGCCGTTCCAGGCTCGCGTAGCCGCGGTACAGCTTCGCCTTGGCGTGGCGCCGGCAGCGGCCGAGCGCCTCGCCCAGGAGCCGGCGCGCGGCGCCGAGGTCCTTCGCGCGGACCTCGAGGTCCGCCGCCGCGAGCCAGAGCTTGGCGAACGTGAACGCCGCGTGGGGGACGACGTCGAGCGCGGCCCGGAGCGCCGCGCGAGCCGCGGCGACGTCGCCCACGTCGACCTCCTCGAACGCGGCGCGGCCCAGCCACAGGTAGACGTAGCGCCGCCAGTACCGCTTCTCCGCCACCGGCGGCGCCTGGGCGCACGCGCGCGCGTACGCGGCGCGGCACCGCCCCGCGTCGCCGGTCGCGCGGAAGCGCGCCTCCTCGAGGCGGAGGAGGTCGAACCACGCGTCGTAGTCGCGCGGGTGGTCGCGCACGCGCGCCTCGTAGTCGCTCCGCCGCTGCTCGGCGACCTGCCGCTCGACGGCGTCGACGGCGCCGTGCTTCTTCTCGAAGGCGAGCAGGTCGGCGTGGACGTCCGCGTGCGCGTCGCGGTCGAGCGTCGCGCACGCGTGGACGAGGATGGCGCGCGCGCGGCCGTGCTCGCGCTGCCGCTCCTCGAAGCGCGCGAACGCGCGGTAGAGCGCGGCCTCCTCGCCGGCCTCGAACTCCCACTGCCCGAGCTCGCGGAGCGCGCGCTCGTAGGCGTCGCGCGCGAGCGTCGGCTGCTGCTGCCTCTCCTCCCACCGCGCGTACTTCAGGTACGACGGGAGGCGCGGGTGGCACGCGACGAAGCGCTCGAGCACGGCGCGCGCGCGCCGCGCGTCGCCGCGCCGCTCCTCGAACGCCGCGTACGCGTGCCACGCGCGGTCGTCGGGCTCCCACGCCATCCACCGCTCGAAGACGGCGCGGCACGCGGCGTGGTTCTCGACCATCTCCTCCATGAACGTGTACTTGTACCAGAACTGGTCGACGCGCGGCAGGATCGCCGTCGCGCGGTCCCAGACGTTGCGCGCGTGGTTCACGAACTTGTTCCGCATCTCCATCTCCGCGTACTTGAGCCAGAGCGACTGCGACCGGTGGTCGACGTCGAGCGCGCGCTCGAAGACGCTCCGCGCGCGCTCGAACGCCTCCTGCGCCTCCTCCCACTTGGCGTACTTGACGTAGTTGCCGAGGTGCACGCGGTTCATGCGGATCGCGTCCTCGAAGCCCTTGCGCTGCGTCATGCGGTACTCGCGCAGCTCGTCGGGGTCCGTGATCTGCGACCGCTGGCGCCGCGCGTGGCCCGACGCCGACCCGCCGCCGCGGTCGTGCGCCTCGCGCAGCAGCTGCTCCGCGGTGATCTGGATCGCCGCCGGCGCCCGGTTCTTGACGCCGAATTTCGCCGCCATGTGTTATTATTTGGCCGGCGCGGTTTGTTGGTTTTTTATAGAGGACCGCGAGCGAGCTGTGCCGCAACTGATGATATTATTTGTCCGGCCGGCGCGAGGCAGGACGCATCGCGAGGCAGAGGCGTAGGTACGGTACCTCTGCCTTGGTAGGAGGAGGGACCCTAGAAAGGTCTGGCTGGGCCGGATTCCTATAGACAGGAGGCGTCCTGGGCGCGGCTTTGATCTCTTCAAGTTTACAGCCCTGGGGCTGAGCTCCCGCAGCCTGGCGAGCCTGAGGCCGCCGCGCGCCGGCCCGGGCGCGCGTCACGCCGGTCCAAATCCTACTAAGCCTATCGTTTCAATAAAACCCGTTTCACCACCCGGGCGGGGGGGGGAAAGGCCCGGGTTCAACAAACTTTAAAGTTAAAAACCCAAGCCTCTTGACCCCAGAACTAGGTTGGCATTAACCGGTTAATAACCGGTAATTTACCTATTATTACTCCTCGGAGGGGATCTGGGGTAAATAACCCGGTCAATAACCCGGTACTTTAAACGCCGCCAAAAGCCGCCCTCTCCCCCGATGCCCTAGATGATAGACACTAGACTCAAAATCAATCATGACAATCAATGGGACAGGGAGCGGCGGCCAGTAAAGAGCTGCCCCTGCGTTCAATATGCCGAAGGCGGACGCCGCGTGGGACAAACATACGACGGCAGCGCACAAAGTGGTCGAAAAGGAGGGCGGCCTCACGGTAAAAATCCAGGGCTGGGAGTGCAATTATTGCGATGGCCAGTTCTGGAGCAGGGTCATTTATTTATTTATTTATTTATTTATTTATTTGCTTTGCTTAGAGCTAGGCCGCCTAGCTACCCGGCCGCCGCGGGGTCTGTGTGACCGAACGCCCGCCCCGCCCCCGCCCACGTACGCCGTCGCCCCGAGTGTTGGCTCGGAGGCGACGACGGCGAGGGGGGAGCAGGCCGGACGCCGGAATCTCAGTCCCGCGACGGGGGCGCATCGGGGGCCGCCGCGGGATAGCGACTCCCTACCCGGAGGGGACGCGTCCGGGCGCCACGCGCGTTCCGCCGCCGGCCTCCCGCCGCCGAAGCTCGGTATAGTTCACAATATAGAGTAGACACAGAAGCTCTACTCTATGAACTGAAAGAAAGAGAAAAACTAAACCATATCAAGGTCCAGGGGGAGTGCGAAGAATATACCCCCTAGTACTACACTAGGCCCCTTGAGCCCCTTCTTACTCTCCTCGCCTAGTCCCACCTTTACGTGGCGGTTTCCACATTGGCCCCATGTGCCGTGTACACGGGGGGTCACTTACGCCAAACTCACTCACACCGTTGCAGAGGGTCGGTATACCACCGCACCCTACTTATTTCCTGCAGCAGTTTACTGCCCAGGGACTGGTCGCCGACGGCGGATGGCAGCAGCCCTGGAAGCATCTTGAAAGATTGCTGTATGCTCCCTCATGTATGCATCGGGGCAATGTTCTTGAGTTGCGGCGCCGTGTCTGTCTCGGGTGGGCGTCCTGGTGGAACGCATCGCGCGCAATCGTCGTCCAAGGGGGATCTCAAGAAAAATCCGTTCTCCGACCGCAAAATGAGGCCACCGTGTGCTCTATCACCGCCGGCATTTTAGCTAAAATGAATAAAAATCACTGGCACACCTGCAAACAAGCTCGTGTCCTGTTGGGGATGGTCAACCAGGAAGCATTCAAATCCTGCGAATCCAACCAGAGATCCGCAACTGTGTGTGGAGCTGGATAGATACCTATGCTGTCGAGCGCCATGATGTCGAGGTCATATTGCTTCGAAACAAAATCAAAACAGGGTTTCTGGCAAAGCTCATAATAGCATTGCCAAGGACATGCATATGACATGCGGTTACGCGATGAATATTTTTGGGGATCCATCATCGCCGGCAACTCGGGGTTTCGCCTAGAATTTATTGACTGCACAACAGGGGCCAAATTCTGCAACACATCGGGTTCCAGAGGAATGAGGGCTGTGTTTGGTAGATATTTACATATGGAAAACACGTGTAACATCTGCGAATACCAATGTCCAGAGCCAGCCTCATGATCAAAGAAAATGTCGACAGTGAATCTTTTGGGACCCGAAAAGAGTTCAAGGAATTTCGAAATGCCGACATATTTTTGGTTTTTATGCCGGACACTCCAATTTTGAAGGACATACTTGTAGATAGAAATGAACCTGGCAAACGGATTGCGCACGTTTATGAAGGTGCTCCCGATGGTTGACAGTCGCTGTATGGTCGTGTTGCATGTGCAGTCAAGAAAACCATGCTGCTGTAGGTAACTCTCACATCCCGTCGGTATAACGGCTCCTCCAAAAAGCCGCTGCCCGTGACCGTGTGAATTGAACAGTACATCGCAGAAAGAAGGCAGCAAATATGACTTTTGAACGGTGGTCCCCGCCATTTTTTGTGCCGCCCTCATGTATGCAAAGTCATACTGCTCAGATATGCAGCAGCCGGAGGCAAATTGTCCATATCTGTCGATATGGTCATGTGACGAATTTAACGCGAGAGCGCTGCAAGATGCTCTCATCGGATGCGACGTGCCATTGGAAATTGTTGAATCAAGGTAGGCCCCGTCCATGCCGCTGCTGGCCAGCAGAAGGAGCACGCCAAGATAAAATTTGGCCAAATTGCTCTCAAACATCAGGGAAAAATGGTTTTGGCGGCGGCCGTGCTGATCCTCTCGCGTAAATATGATGACTCGGGGTGAGACAAAGACCTACTCACTCTAGAGACTCACAGCTGACCCCCCTCAGCACCCTCGCTCGGTTGCTGGTCGAGATGCCCACCCCTAGTAAGATAACTTGAACGGAACGAGGCTCGACGCCTGCCTTGCGATAAATAGGGCGAAATCCCCCCCCCATCCTATACCCTTCTATATACACTTACATCACCCTTCAACACGCCACGCGTAGTAACATCGTAAAATCAAAACCGTGACTGCAGCGATATTATCTTCGGTATGTGCTGGTGTCTAATGAGCTGGGTGCAGCAAGTGCACAATGCAGCTGTGGTAGCTAGGTCTCTCGGGTGTCAATGTGACACGGAGATGCCAACAGGAAGAACTCTCACTGAAACGGCGTGAGAGAGTGTGGGAACCCCCTCAACCCTGAGAAGACAGAGTTGGAATAAAGGAGAGATTAAGAGGGAGAAGGAAGTATCCTAAGATACAGGCCACTAGCCTCTGATATCTACTAGGACCTGAGAGGAGCTCTAGATAAAGGTGGCTACAGTATCATAGGGGTCGACTCACCATAAACGTATACCCAACAAGGAATCTAAGGAATGCTAGTAGGTTATTCGTGGGGCGCCCCACGCGGACTTATGGCGAGGTACCACGACGGTTTTGAGCTTCGGGGGTCCCCCCATGACGATTGAGCCCATGGTACCCTAGCGAAAAGACCTTCTGGTATTGCGGCGCTGGGGCAGCTTCACTGCTTTCGATGATCCATATTAGTCGTCTCTCCTCGAAGTCACATACCCAGTGGGTCATCGGGCGCCCTGTTTGCAGTCGTTCGGCTGTGTGCGTTTTTTGCTGGAGCTGGATCTACTTTCAGATGCATCTCGGAATGGCTGCACTGGGGCTGCGTTCGCCCCCCCCGGACCACTAGCATCGGAAGCTTCGCCCTCGCTAGCGAGTCTAATATGCAAATATTAAATAATTAAATTTATTCCACGTTCCCGCGCCCCCACACGCGCTCGGCATGGGGGAGGTGTCTTCAAGGAAAGGTGTATAAATAAATGATCCCCAAAATTCAGAATTCACCATAGTTGGTCGCCGAGACCTACTGTTTAAACGTAGCGGCCGAAGGACATATCCGCGCGGCTCCCGGAATGCACTGTACAGAGGGGCAACTTATAACGCCGGGCAAATAAATTATCCAAAAGAGTATCGGCAGTGTGCTATGATACTGTAGTTACCTTATCTAGAGCTCCTCTCAGGTTCTAGTAGATATCAGAGGCTACTAGTGGCCTGTATCTTAGGATACTTCCTTCTCCCTCTTAATCTCCTTTATTCCAATTCTGAGTGACTCATCCCACCTCGCCTCCACCATCCTCCTTTACCTTTGGGGCCCGGGCCGGGACCTCCCTGCCAGTGGCGTCGCCAAAGCCTGAGGCGCAAGAGTACTGCACCTAATACCGCCGGGCCGCCGGGCGGCACTAAAGTGAACTCATTTTAAAAGCGCACCGCGACCGTCACGGTGACCGCGACACCACTGTGACATGACACCGTGACGACACCTCTAAAGGCCTCCGTGGCGCCCGAGTCTGGGAGAGCCTCTTCTTCTTCTTCTTCGGCGGGAGTGAGAGGCCCCGGGCCCCGGATGAGAGGGTACACTAGCAAATTCTACTTCCGAGTCCAGCCCGCCCAGACCGCAAAACACCGCACGGAGAGCCCGCGGGCTAGTACAGGTAGACCTTGAGCAGGAACGCGAGGCCCGCGTTCAGCGCACAGGTCGCGCCGGCGAAGGCGAGGACCTTCTCGCGCGGGTGCGGCTCGACGGCGGGCCGCGCGGCCTTGAGCGCGAAGAGCGACTGCGCGGCGCACGCGGCGAGGACGGCGGGCCACGCGAGGTAGGGCAGCGCGCAGGCCGGCGCCGCGGCGAGGTACGGCACGAGCGAGTAGCCGACGACGCAGAGGCACGCGAGCGGTCGCTGGTGGACTTTCAGGCTGTAGTTCAGGAAGGCCCAGTTCGTCGCGGCGGCGAGCGCCACGTAGCCGTAGATCGTCGCGGCGGCGAACGTAACGGCCGAGAAGTCGAATTCGTAAATTACGCCCGCCTCGGCGCCGAGCAGGCCGCGGACGTGCGACGTGACGGCGACGGCGAAGACCAGCGTCGTCGCGACCCACCACGGTCCGTACGCGTCGGGCTTGCCGCGCAGCGTTGCGCCGAACGGCTCGTTGCAAAAGAAGAGTGCCGCGCGCAGCCGCGCCGCGACCTCGTCCGTGTCGACGTCGAAGTAGGGCCTGTAGTAGGCCACGCTCAGGCACGCGCAGTAGCCGGGCGCCGCGCCGCCGGCGTTTTGGCCGAGCAGCCCATCTTCGTCGTCGGGGCCTCCGTGGTCGTCCTCGTCACGCATCTCTCGTTGTTGTTCGTGCTGGTACTTTTTTTTTTAATAATTTTTTTCAGGCCCTCCGATTTGTACGGTACCGTAGGTAAGTAACCGCCTAGACTAGCCAGCCTAGCGCCAGATGTCTACTTCCGTTAGCAAGAATTTCACATGTGGCCGGAGTGGCCCTTGGGGCGTAGGGGAGTGGCCTTATCATAAGAAAAACAGATTGAATACTGCCCCTCGGCGACCGCCGCGGCGCGGGACTCGGATGCATAATATCGCTGAAGACCTAGCTACAACAGCTGCATTGTGCACTTGCTGCACCAAGCTCATTAGACACAAGCACATACCGAAGCTAATATCGCTGAAATATCTAGGGTAGGAAGGGCTAGTAGGTTTCTCTCTCTAGTACCATACCTACGGTACCGTAGGTACCTGCTATGATATGGCCACGTATCCTTGTATTTACGTCTATGATGCTCCGGGTATTAACCCCAGCAGCCTTTGGCAGTTATGGAGCTGGAATTTATATTCCTAAGCTGGGATTAGTTCCCTAGCATGTACGTCCTGTTCGACCTGTTGCGAATCTGTATGATTTGTTGACGAGTTAAATTGTCCTACCAATTTAGCTCAGGCACTGCCAAAGGGGCTTATGGTAATTCCCCTAAAGGTGGGGTTTTCCCCGGAACTTCTTGTTCGACCTTTGAATCCAATTGGTGGATCGTTGCAATCCCGCGGCGCCCGTGATGAGAGGGGTCAACAGCCCTCTGTTTGCAGAAGGAGCTTTAATAAGAGACCCAAGGGCTGTCCCGAACCTATGTAAGGCTGATCGTGGCGTTGATGGGGTTGGTGCCCGTTGTGGCAACGGCCTCTTTTCCACTTATAAATCTCCCAAATTTTTATCTTAGCTTCACTATCCTAGTCTCACTTATCTTGGTTAAATACCCGGATAGAGTAGGCCTAGTGAATACGGTACCGTACCGCAGTAGGTACCGTGCCATAATGACCTAATTTACCATGGGGCAGCCGTGACACTCTCGCAGCCACAAGGACGAATGACGCGCTCGTGCACCGCGCTGGCGAAGAACAGCGCGGCGCTGCGCGCGTCGCGCGCCGACGCGCGGCGTCTCGAGCTCCGCGTCGACGCCGGGCCGGGCGCCGCGCGCGAGGCGACCGCCGAGGAGCAGCTTGCGTTCGTTTCAGCCGTGCGCCGCGCGGCGCTCGCCGTCGAGGCGCTCTGCGCCGGTCGCGGGGACGACGGCGAAGCGCCCGCCGGCCGCCGCGCGGTACGCGTCGTCGCCGACGGATGGCTCGACTTGCTCGTCCCGGCGCTGCGCGCGCCGCCCGGACGGCTCCGGCCCGCGCAGGGCCACGCGGCGGCGGCGCTGCGCCGCGTCTGCTGCGCCGCCGCGGCGTCGCCGGCCGCTGTGCTCGCTATCGTTAGTTGCGGCGCCGTCGCCGCCTTGGCCGACTGCGCCATCCGCCGCGGCGAGGACGCGCCCGCGGCCGACGCCAAGGCCGACGCTGCCTGCGCGCTCGCCGCGCTCGCGCGCGACCCCGATGCCGCGTGCCGCGTGGCCGCCGAGCTGCTCGCCGCCGGAGCCCTCGCGATCGGCGCGAACGGCGCGGCGGACTGGACGCCGCGCGCGCGCGCGCCGCGGGGCGCCGCCGCGCGCGAAGCTTTTGCGGCGCTCCTCGGCGCCGTCGGCCGCGCAAATGGCAGCTCCTGGCGCGCGCCCCTCTTCGCCCTCGCCGCCGCGGACGCCGCGCGCGGCGACGCCGCCGCGCCCGCGGCAGCCATCGTCGCCCTCTGCGACGCCGCAGATAGCGCTCTTGCGACGGGTCCGCGCGCATCTGGCCTCGCCGACGACGACGGCGCCGCGGCCGTCGTCGCGCCGCTCGTTGTGGCCGGGGCCGTCGACGCGCTCGTCCGAGCGCTGGCGGACCCGCGGACGGCGGCGCCAGTGCGCGCGCGCGTCGAGGCGTCGCTGGCCGCTATCGCGCCCCGGCTCGACGTGGCACGACCTGTCGTTGTCGACGCACTGCGGGTCACCGCGGCCAGCACCGCGGCCGCCGCGCGCGACGCCGTCGCAGAGGCCGCGCGCGGTGAAGCGCAGCTCTGGGCGACGTTCGCCGCCGCGATCCAGACCAAGCTGATCGCCAATCGGAGCGGCGGCGACGGCGACGCTGCGAGCGTCACCGACGTCGGCACGACGAGGGCCGCCGACGTCGACGAACGGGCCGTCCGCAGCGGGCCGGACCATGTCCGCGGAGAAGCGCAGGACGACCAAAAGCACAAAGAAGGAAAGAATAAGCCTTTCGCGCGGCCGCCGCAGATGGCGCATTCGCCATCCGACGGCGACGCCGCGTCGCCGTTGCCCCTTCCGGCCGGGGCCGCCTCCGCGGCGCCGGCGCGCGTGAACCCAAAGCTGAAGGCACCCGGCGCGCGGGCGCCGAGCGACGCGTACCGCGACCAACCCGCGCGTTGCGCGCCGGCACCGTTCGGCTCGCTTGTCGGCGACTACGGCGCGGTCCCGGCGTACGCGGCGGCCCCCTCGCCACCGATGCGCGAGAACAACGCCGAATCCGAGCCTCGCGCGACCTCGCCGCCCGACGACACGTCCGCGCGCGAGAGCCCTTCGCTGGGACCACGGCTCGCACTCGGATCCCTCCGCGGCCGCGCGCCGCGCGTCGTCGTCGACACCGTCGCCCTTCGCGGGCCTGCCGTACGAACGGCCTCGTCGCGCCCCTGACGTCGCTCGACCTCGCCGGGCGCGCCTCGTTGCCATGACCTGCGCGCCCACCGTCCTGTGTACATCTTCGGGCTCGGCGACGCCACGGCAGCCTCGCTACGAACTCGCCCGACGTTATATGCGCCTCGGCGTTTGATTTTGATTTGCCATGCGCCGCGCGTACAACACTTGTAATTATTACTATTAGTTTAGTGCACAGGTTATTTGGCCATGGTCATGTAAAAAAGAATACTACCAGTAGGACCTAGGTTGCCATTTACCTGAGGGGTTATTTACCCCTGGCGCCGCCCGGGGTTAATAACCCGGGTAATTACCGGTCAGTACGGGAGATTTACCTCAGCCTGAGGATCTTATAGAGGGGTAGGGGAGGGGGCCTCACGGGCCACTGGCGCGGGCCTGGGCCGCGCCGGGCCACATGACTTGGTACTTGCCTTGGCGCACCTGTACGTATCCAAAAAGCCCAACGGGCTGCTTGCGCCCATCCGCTCGTCCGGAGGTGTCTTTCTCTAATCTCACTAGACGGGTTTAGTCGAAAACCCGTCGGGTTATTGAGCGGGTTATTCACCCCGGATCCCCTTCGAGGGGTAATAATAGGTAAATAACCGGTTATTAACCGGTTAATGGCAACCTAGAGCCTGAGTAGGACGTGGTACGCCTACGTCGCCTAGGAGCACGGCAGTGCTGCGAATAATGCAAGACCAAAGCCTGAGGAGTACGCACCTTTGGGAGTACGGCGGTTGAGATAGTCTGCCGAGGAGCTACCTTAAAATACACTGAGTAGTTTTGGTTTTACGGTGTTTATTACGCGTTGCGTGTTGTGTGTGACTCGGATGTAAGTGTATATAGAAGGGTATAGGATGATAGGGGGGGTGTTTCGCCCTCAGGCTATTTATCGCACTCCGAGTCCCCCTTTTGATAAAAGTACATCGCGAGTGCGTGTCAAGATCGACGGCCTCCGGCTCGTCGGCGGCAACCCGGACTTCACCAACGCGCCCGGGCGGCGACGACGACGCACGCTTCTACGACCGGCAGCAAGCTTACGTACACGCTCGCGGGGGATAGCTCCCCCGTCACTCTATAGAGCTCTAGGCGCCCCGAAACCCGAATTGACTCTACTACGAGGTGGGCCTCTCTCTCTCTCTCCGCTGGTCGCTGTAAATGTCGGCGAAACCGCTCGATTGCGCCAACCCGGTGTGCGGCTCGAAGCTTGACCTGTTCAGCAAAGCGCTGCGCGCGTCGTCCTCGTCTGCGTCCGCGGCGGAGGAGGCTCCGCGCGCGTGTCCCGTGGACCGCGACGAGCTCGGCCGCGCAACGTGGGCGCTGCTGCACACCACGGCCGCTTACTTCCCCGAGACGCCGAGCGCCGCGGATCGGGCCGGCGCGGCGGACCTCGTGCGCGGCCTCGCGGCGTCGTACCCGTGCGAGCACTGCCGCGCGGACTTCCGCGTCGCAGTCGCCGCCGCGCCGCCCGACCTCAGCTCGCGCGCCGCGTTCGCCGCGTGGGCCTGTCGCCAGTCGGCGCGCCGGCGTCCGCCGCCCCCCTTGACGTCACGCCGCAACCCCGTGCGCAGACACAACGTCGTCAACGCGAAGCTCGGCAAAGTGATCTTCGACTGCGACGCCGCATCGTTGGACCGACGGTGGCGCGTCGGCGATCCGGGCTGCTGGCCCGCGGGCGATGCGACCGCCGCGGAGAGCCTCGGCCGCGATTGAGGACGCAGATGAAGAGGTGGAACATTGTGGGCTGTAGCTCCATGCTATCGCGCGACGCGAGTCGAAGACTCGGCCGGGCTCGTGGCAATGCCAAACCGAAGCGTTGAATCTGAGCAGAGCTTCAATACGATACTATCGGAGTGAAGGCGACCGGGCTGGGAACGTTGGCCCGGGTAGACGTATCCTAAGGACGCTCGGAGCCTCCGACATTGTTTACTAGGGAGGTATCTTGGCCTGCCAGTGCCATGTTTTGAATTTTGCCCCGAAGCTCAGAGGGGAGATCAAGGTCGATTTGACTTTTGAAACAAAATCCCGAGTCGGAAATCGTTTGTTCAGAAATTGAACCCCAGGCGGTTTGTGATGGAGTGCCAAAAGCATTGTGCACCGCGCCACGAAACGCGACTGGCGCGACGTTCGCGTTCCACTACGAGCTCGCAGAATTGTCAGATCCTAACATAGCCGGTTTAATCGGGCCCAGTGCCCGGCCTCAGGCTCGTAAACCAGCTTAATTCGAGCAATACGGCCGGGATCTTGATTCGGCGCCCCATGGTTAGGCGAACTCGAAGAATCCTCCGGGTCGGCAGCGTACTATGTAAACACTGTTAAAACACAACAGGCCTTACCCAACGCCACCCTGCGCCTGGTCGGGACAGGTCCGCCTGAGCGCGGCCGCCGCGGCCGGCGAGCGGCACGCGCCGACGTCGAGCGCCGAGACGAGCTCCTCCAGGAACCTGGGCCGCGCGCCGCGTGGGGGCGCGCGGACGTGCTCGCAGGCGTCGAAGATGAGCGTGATCGCGCGGCGCTCCTCCTTGTGGACGACGCGGACCCGGGACGCGTCGGCGACGTCCGCGTACGAGCACTTGTACCCCCTAAAATTCCAGGCGGCGTTGAGGACGTGCGGCCGCGACCCGCGCCAGCGCCGCCAGTAGTAGGTCTGAAGCAGGTCGCCCTCGCAGACGTACTGGTCGGGGTCGAGGCCTGCGTCGGTCGGCGCTCGTTCGCGAGCCGAGGCGCCCTACCCCGTTGCCCGTAGACATTCGGCTCGGGTCGAAACTCGCGAAGTCCCCGGTCGCGTAGAGGCGCCAGAGGTCGCGCGCGACGGTCGCGTCGGGCTCGTAGACGACGACGCCCGTGTTCCAGTAGGCGCGCGCCTTGGGCACGGGCTCGCCGTCGATTTCTATGCCCGGGTCCCAGCGGTGCCACGGGATGTTCGGCGGGCGGCACGCGTCCCGGAGGTAGAACGCGCTCGGCGGTTCGATCTCGAGCAGCGCCGACGCGTTCCGCACGTAGATGGCATCAGCATCCACAAATGCGACGCGCGGCGCACCTTTTACGACCCTGGGGTCCCAGGCGTGTAGCTTGTGGTACGTGTAGAGCCGCGCCGGTTCCTTCGACGCCGCCAGGGCCGGCGGCCGCCGCCGCCACACGTCGCCGCTCGCGTTCCAGGGCGGCAGACCTGGTGATTCGACGGTCTCCGCGCCCGCGCGCTCGATCGCCGCGACCTACGGAAGTACGTGTCACACTGTTAATTGCTCTCCACAAAAGAAGCCGACCTGGTGCGCGGCGAGGCCCGACACGAGCACGAGAGGCGGGTCGCGCGGCGCCGTCGTCAGGCTCAGCGAGCACGCATGCAGCGCGCAGCGCCGCGCCAGCGCCTCGCGCTCCTTCGGCGCCAGCGACGGCGCCGCGATGCACATGGACGCGAAGCGCGGGCGAGGCGACGATCCAGCACGACCCCCGACCCCCCACGCCGCGAACGCCACGAGACGCCGCAGCATGGCGACGGGCAGCCCTTTTGGCTTATTTTTTTACCGGTACCGTAGGTACTGGTACCGTACCTACGGTATTCACCTCTGAGTCTTTGAAAATATTAAATGTTCTAAGGTAGTTCTGATTTGCCTTCGACACATCATAGAGTTTCGCTAATCTCGGAACATAGCTATTTTCAGTTGGCTTGAGAGAGATAAGGTGCTTGCACACTTCAGGGTTCCTAGCTCACCAGCCGATGCGATGCATAGGGAAATAGAGTGTGTAGCTCCGGACTTCCCCGGCAGCGTAGTGTAGTCGTCTAACGAAATAGTTTCTCCCATGTTTGATGGGGTTTGTGACGGGGAATTACGTCCGTCAATTTAAGGTGACTCAGGATGATAATAGTTAGGAGTGAGAGGCGACTTCCCCCTACTAAGGGGATATCGGAGTACCCTAGGATGGGAAGTAGCCTAGGCGGGTAATACAAGTACGGGTTGTGCTTGGATACGTCTCAGTTGAACCTTGGGATCCTACTAGACGTGTATTTCCATTGCAGCCGAGGGCTCAGGCTGGGCCAACCTAACTACGAGAGTGTTTTATAGTAAATTGTTGTTACACCGTAGCGTCAAAGACACTCGCTGTATAGACTCCAAATTTAGAGAGTGGGAGATACAAATCTAGGGTAGGAAGGGCTACTAGTAGTACTAGTAGTAGGTTTCTCTCTCTCTAGTACCTACGGTACGGTACCGTAGGTACCACGGTACCGTATCAGCGTGGGCAGCGAAGTCTGGTTCGGATCTTCCGAAGTCTTGGTTAGAAATAAAGGAAAAGACAGAACATCTCTCCTTTAGGCTAGCGGCGTGTAAGGCACTAGCAAGGCCAGGGGGTAGCTCTATAGCTAATACGCTGTGGACGCTACGCAGTTAAAATCCCTACAGCTACGCGTTTTGGCCATGCGCCGGCGAAGCCTCTGTGCCTGGCTGCTCGGCGCCGCGCGCCCAGCGAGACCTCTGGCACCGTCGCGGCGGCCGCCGGCGGCCGCCGCCTGGGCGCCAGACCCCGGCGACCTGATCCTCGAGGCGGAGGACGCGGCGGTCTGGGCCGAGGAGCGGCGCGAGTACGCGGCGTGCTTCGCCGCGGACGCGCCCGAGGCGGCGCCCGCGGGGCTGCGCGGCGTCTACCGGCGGAGCTTCACGGCCCAGGCGACGGCCGCAGACGGCGCGACCAGCGTGCGCTACCTGCACGCGTTCGACGCGGCGTACCCGCCGCTCTCGGCGCTCGACGCGCAGGGGCGTCGGAACGCGACCGACGACGCCACGCTGCGGCCGATCCGCGACCTGCTCGACGCGACGTGCTTCCTGCACGAGCGCGGCCTGCCGCACCTCGGCCTCAACGGCGAGTGCGTCCGCGTCGGCTCCGACGGCGGCGGCGGCGGCGCGCCGCGGCTCAAGGTCGTCGGCGCGGGCGCAGGCCCGAAGCTCGTCGCGACGCGGCGGCCGTTCAGCCTGCCCGAGACGTGGGCGTTCAACGCCCCCGAGACGCTCGGCGCCGCGCTCGTCCAGAGCAACCTGAAGGCGCTCCTCCGCATGGACGCGTGGTCCGTCGGCGTCTGCTGCGCGATGCTCCTGCGGCGCGAGCGCGCGTCGCCGTTCGCCGCCGCGGCGAACTGGCGCGCGGGCCTCTTCTCCGACCGCGACGCCGTCCGCGCGCGGGTCGACGACGTCTTCGCCGACTTTAGCTCGTTCTTGACGGAGACGAACGCGAGGAGCGACGGGCTGCTGTTCCGCCACGGCTGGCTCGTCGAGGTGCTCGTGGGGCTCCTGCGGCGCGACCCCGGCGACCGCCTCGACGTGCGCCGCGCCGCGCGCGTCGCGCGGCGCGCGGCGCCGCCCGCGGCGGCGACGAGGCCGGCGCCGGCGCCGGCACTCCCGCCGCCGAACGAGCTCGGCCGCTTCGGCGCGGCGGCCGCGGCGCCCGCCGGCGACGCGCGCGCGGCGGGCGAGCCGTTCCGGTCGCTCGAGGCCATGGTCAACATCGCGGAGAACGGCCGCTGCCGCTGCGTCGTCGAGGCGCGCGGCGAGGGCGGCGCGTGGGGCTCCGGCGTGCCCTACGGCGAGGTCCTCGGCTTCCGCAACCGCGCCGACGGCGACCGCTGGGACGTCTTCCTGCCCGGCCTCGCGCGCGCGGACGCGGACGCGGCGCTCGACGCCGGCGCGGAGCCGCGGCCGCTCGCCGTCGCGCGCGTCCTCGGCGTTGTCCTCATCAAGGGCGGCAACCACAAGCTCGCCGTCGAGGTCGACGCCTTCGCCGTCGACGAGGCCCGCGTCCTCGCCGACGTCCGGCGGTTCGTCGACGCGTACGTCGCGACGCACCCGACGTCGGCGAACCGCGTGCGGTTCCTCGAGTACGACTCGCTCTAGGAGAGCTCCTAAATGATTTTACCTCGCCGTCGGCCGCTCCCAGGCCGTTTGCCGCGTCGCGGCGTGGTAGAAGTACCTGCGCCCCGACACTTCGTCCGTGGCCTCGGCCCAGCCCGGGACCGACCCGGCGGCGGCGGCGGCGTCGGCGGCGTCGAGCGCGGCGTTCGCGGCGTCGCAGGCCGCGTCGGCGACGACCGCGGGCTTCGCGGCCGACGTCTCGCCCGTCGCCTCGTTCCACCAGTAGGTCCGGGAGGGCTCGCCCGGGACGGGCACCGCCGTCCACGCCCGGGCCGCGTCCGCGTACTGGGCGTCCGTGTCTGGGTACGCGGCGCCGGCGTCCTCCGACTTGGCGCGCTTCGGCGGCGGCGCGGCGTAGTCCAGGGGCGCGTCGGCCACGACCTCCCCGCCATCCACGGCGGCGCCCTTCGCTTTCAGCATCTCGACCAACGCGTCGGCGTCGGCGCGCGCGGCCGCGTCGTGCGCGACCGGGTTCGGGTCGTCGTGCGCCCAGCGCACGTTCAGGTTTTCGCCGTGGTCCAAATGATTATTGGCCATGGCCATGAAGGCGAATTCGGCGTGCGCGCGGTAGCGGTAGCGCACGAAGGCGATCGAGAGGCGGCTGATCAGGTTGATATTTTCCACTTCGCCCCACTCGCCGAAGTTCCGCCAGAGCGCTTCTTCGAGCGCCATCGGGTCGGCGTACTCGGCTTTGAGCAGCGACCCGACGTAGAGCGTCCTGCACGGCTTCATGAGCGCGCCGACGCCCGTCATGTCGTCCCTGAAATCCCGGTGCCGCTCGCGCCCGAAGACGTCGCGCTGCTCGTCCCGGGCGAGCCGGTCCAGGTCTTTCCGGACCGGGATCCTGTGGAAGTAGCGGCAGTTCGACCCGTGGCCGCACGACCCGCGCGCGAAGAAGAGGCAGAAGGCGGCGGCGCCGCGCGCGCCGTCCGCCTTAGTCCGGCCCGCGTCCGTGGCCAAGACGCACCGCGTCTCGGCCGGCTCCCGCGTCTTGTCGCCCCAGTGCTCCCCCAGGTACTTGCCCCACCAGAGGTTGTACTCGTAGGCGCCCTCGAGCACCGTGTTCTTCGACGCGACGTAGTCGACCTGCTGCCGCGCCGGGCGTTTCAAATATTCGACGTCGTTCGCCTCGTAGCCCGCCGCCGCCTTGGAGCCCGCGGCGCCGCGCCCGAACCAGCCGCTCGCGTGCGGGGTCGGGCCCATCTCCAGGGGCCGGTCCCAGCGCGTCTCGCCCGTCGCGCCGTTGGCGTAGTAGAGCTGCTTCGAGGCGTCGTCGAAGACCTCCTTCCACTCGCCGTGCACGGGGACGTTCGCGTCGCCGCCGCCGCCGCCGTCGCGCGACGCGGGCGCGGCGCCGCCGCTCACGACGCCGCCGCCGCCGGCGGGCTTGCGCGCGCGGCAGCGCAGGCACCGCGGCTTGCTCGCGTAGTTCTCCGTGTGGCACTCGCCGCACGTCCAATTTTTTTCGAAGACGGTGTAGCTGGCGCCCAGCGCGCCCACCACGCCCACCGGCATCATCTTGCGCGCGGGGCCCGCCGCCTGCCACGACTGGCCGGCGCTCACGCTCGTGCCCGGCACGAAGCTCTGCGGGGTCTCGAGTGTCTTCGCCTCCTCGAGGCGCTTCGCCGTCGGCGGCAGGGGCACGACGGTGCCCTTGTCCGGCATGGCTTTGCTTTTGGTCTTGTGACGCGCTACTAAAGGGATTTTGGTACCCCAGCTTGTTGTACCCGCTTAATAAAGTGCGGCTTTGTACGGTACCGTAGGTATGGTACCTGCTTGCTAGTGTCTTACGCCGCTAGCCACGACCAGGAAAAATTGATCATAAAAGCCGTGCGCTACCGCTCCTACTCGCAACTCCCCGTTGAAGGCGTTGCACATTGAGCGGCTGTCGTGAAGGAGGTTGCTTCCCAACAACCTATCAGCACGAGAGGTGGTGATTGAAAAGGCAATGAGCGCCGCCGAAGTGCGCCGGGAAGACCAGGTGCTTATCAACGAATTCGGCCGCCTCAACGCCCACGCGCGGGAGCTGCGGGAGGAACGGGCGCTGCTGCAGAAGCGCCTCGAGGAAGTCGACGACGCGACGACGGAGCTCGCCATGGGCGACGGCGACGACGTCTGCATCCCGCGTCGCGCGGCGGCCCCGGCGACACGACGGCGCGCGCGCGCAGGTCCAGCTCATGCTCGGCGGCGAGGCGTTCGTCGACGTCTCCGAGGACGTCGCGACGGCGCACTGCGAGGCGGAACAGGCGGCCGTCCAGGCCGAGCTCGACGCGCTCGACGAGCGCGTCGGTGCCATGGAGGCGCGTCAGAAGGAGCTCAAGGGCGTGCTCTACGGGCGCTTCGGGTCGCAGATCAACCTGGAGGAGTAATTTTTTAAATAATTATAAAATTTGCGATAGTATCAGTATCGTCTTGACGTCTCTTTTTAAGCGCAGGCTGGGTATCCTGGCCGCGCAGGGAGGAGGCCTCTAGAGGCTTGGTGTATGTCCTTTTCCTTTCCACCATCGCGCAAAGGCTACTAGAACTAGAACTTGAAGTAAATAATAACCGTGACATATACTAGTAGATAACTTGAAATCAGAAATCGAGGACGGAGGACACAGTGGTCCACATCACAGCGCAGGGTGGCGATCGAGAAGAAGAGCTGCCGTTCTGGTGTTAAAAGTCAAAATAAATATACTCCTCGGCCCAGGTGGGAGGGCTCTCTAGGGCTTAATAAGCCAGTGAGGACGGCCCGGGGCCGGCCCGGGACTCGGAGGACATGCTAGTTCATCTAGCTAGTAGATACATAGGCCTAGGCGGATGGCTCTTGAAAACAGACTTTCCGGCTACCCCCCGCCCGAATAGTAAAGTCCGACCTCCTTTATTTCTCTGCTACCGAGCGGCCAGACCGAACGCCCGCCGGAGCCGGTCCTCGGCGTACTTCGCGCCGCCCTTGGCCTCGGGCACGTGCGGCGCGACCGCGCCGACGAACTCAAAGGCCGGGTCGAGGGCCTCGCCGACGCCCTGCATCTGCGACAGGGCGCGGCTCACGAACGCGAGCGTCGCGGGCAGCCGAAAATCGGCCGCGGCGCCGTCCGCCGCAGGGGGCGGCCCGGCGGCGGCGGTCGCCCCCCGCCGCGCCGCCCCCTTGCCCGTCGCGACGCGGCCGGCTCTGAAGTTGTCGGCGACGGTCGCGACGATGGCCTCTCGGTCGTAGCCCTCCTTGAGCACGCCCATCGTGGAGAAGGCGTCGACGCACAGCTCCGCGTCCTCGTCGAGGAGCGCCTCGAGCAGCATCAACGCGCCGGCGCGCTCGTTTTCGTCGAGCCGCGCGGCCTGCCCGAAGTCGTAGACGATGAGCCGGCCCTTCGGGATCGCCGCGTCCGCGGCGAGGTTGCCCGCGTGCGGGTCCGTGTTGAAGAAGCCGTGCCTGCAGAACTGGAGCAGGTAGCACCTCGCCAGGTTCCGGGCGAGCGACTTGGCGTCGAGCGACGGGTCCGCCTCGATGGCGGCGACGTCCTTGAGCGAGACGCCGGGCACGTACGCCATCGTGAGCACGTGCTCCGTGCTGAGGTCGTCGAAGATTTCGGGCGTCGTCACCCACGGCGCGTCCCGGAAGTTCTCGGCGAACTCGCGCGCGTGCGCGGCCTCGCAGCGGTAGTCGATTTCGCGGTAGAGCAGATCCGCGGCGTCGTCGAAGATCGCGCCCCAGGCCTGGTCGACGCCGACGGAGACCTTGAAGCGGTCGAGCGCTTTGAAAATCGTACGGAGCAGCGCCACGTCCTTGTCGTAGATCGCCTTCAGGTTCGGGCGCTGGACCTTCACGGCGACGCGCCTCCCGTCGCGGAGCGTCGCGAGGTGCACCTGCCCGAGGCTCGCCGCCGCGACGGGCGCCCCGTCGACCGCCTCGAATCGTTCTTCGAACCGCCTTCCCAAGCGCCGCCGCAGCTCCGCCTCGCCGCCCGGGAACGCCGGCACCTGGTCCTGGAGCCGCTGGAGCGGCGGCGCCCACTCCGTGTCCACGAGTTCCCGCCGGCACGACGCGATCTGGCCGAGCTTGACGTACGTCGGGCCGAGCTCCACGAGCAGGTCGGCGACGCGCCGCGCCGCGCGGCGGCGGACGCGCGCCGCGGCGTCGCCCTTTGCGCGCCGCGCGAGCCGCCGCGCGCGCCACTCCGCGGCGGCCGCGCGGCACGCGCCGACGCCGAGGCGCGCGCCGCGGAGGACTGGCTGCCGCGCGTAGAACTCCCACCGCGACGTGTCCACCGCGCCACTCCGCCAGGCCGCGGCGAGGCGCGACAACCAGATGCACGCGCACACCAGGCGGCGGCGCATTTTGGCAGTCTCACGGGCGAATGTTGGCCCTCGACGCGCGCTAGCGCATGTAAGACACTAGCAAGGCGGTCCTGTTGCTATGAGGCTCGTACCACTCAGTGTACATGGGTTCGGGGTGAGGTTAAACAGGCCCCGGCCAAGTAATCATGCCAGTGATTATCACATGCCAGTGACACCGACTCGGAGATTATAAATAAATCATGGGATCTTCTATTTACTAGCCCGGGCCTGAGTGAAATAAATGAACTGCGGTGACCCGTACCGTTAACGGTACGGGTCACACAGGCCCTAGTGAGTTTTGCGCCACTAGCATTTAAGCTGTTTTTCGCCGCTTGTCAGAACGCTGTTCTTCGCCGCTCGTCCTTTCCGTCCCTGTAAAAGCGTTTCTCTCGCTCCCCGCGTTCCGATGAGCACCTTTTCAAAACCATCCGAGCCCACCTTGCCGCGAAACTGCCGCCGACACTAGGACCGTTTCGGACCCGCTCTAACCCGACTCTCGCCCAACCCTAACCCTAACCCTAGTCTCATCCTAACCCTAACCCTTACTCGGACCGAATCCTAACCTCAACCTAAGCGTTGTTCGGGACGCACGCACTGCAAATTAAGTCTGCAATACCCGACGCCGCCGCATGAGCCGACTTGCACCCAGGACTTCGGCCGGCCACAGTCCGCATTCAAACAACGGTCGCCCGGCGACTTCCTAATAAATAAATAAATAAATAATAAATAAATATTTATTGGGGGGGGGGGGGTTACCCCACTACCACTACCCCCAACCACCACTCCTGGGGAGCTTCTACAAACCTCGGCATGCTGCGGGTTGGCCTTCCATCGCCATCCTCCTGGTAAGAGAGCGATATATAGCTCGGTATCCACTAGTGCAATAATTAATCAACGCGCGCTCTCGGCCCAAGAGAGCGCTACCACCCTAACACCCGAGACGCCCCAGCCCGCCAGCGGAGCACGAAACGATGCCGCCGCGGCGCTACCACAAGTCCTGGGCTGCCTCCCTACTCGCCCTCGTAATCGTGGCTGCCCCCTCCCGGCTGCTGCGAACGACCACTGGCGCGACCACGACGCCTGCGGCAGCGCAAAGCAAAGAAAAAATCAAGCCGACGACGCGCAACTACAGAACGGACGGCGGCTGGCGGCCGTCGGCGGGGGGCGCTGCTGGTGCTGTCGCATTCGGCGCCTTTTTGTCCTGCTCGGCGCTGCCGACGCACGGCAGCTCCGCGGCGCGCGTGCGGGTCCTCCGCGCGCTGCTGGCCTTTTCGCCGCACCTCGCGGCCGCTCGGCCCTTCGGACCGGCGAATGCGTCCATGACGCGGCGCAAGCTCGGCTACGTCATGACCGACAGCAACATAAAAATGGCCGTTACCGCCTGGTTCGACGACGCGGCGGCAGCAGAGGCGACGTACGGCCACATCTCGACGTGGGCGACTGGCGGGGTGACGGACATGAAGGAGTTATTTTGCGCGCACTCGTGGTGCGACTACTACAACTCGGCCGCGGAGTCCTTTAACGAGGACATTGGCGCGTGGGACACCTCGGGCGTAACGAGCATGGAGAACATGTTCTTTTACGCGTCGGCCTTCGACCAGGACATCGGCGCATGGGACACCTCTAACGTTACGACGATGTTAAGGATGTTCACCGCTGCCTCGTCCTTCGACCAGGACCTCGGCTGGTGCGTGGACGACGGCGTGGAAATGCTGGACATGTTCTTTAACACCCCGTGCGAGTCTTTTTCGTCATTGTCGTGCGGCGTCACGAAAGTGGAGGGCGGTTGTGCGCCGACACGACAGCCGACGCCTGGCCCGACGCCGCGCCCGACAGGCTACGCCATGGACCGCTTCAACATCAGAACGGCAGTCGCAGCGTGGCTCGCGGACGCGACGGCCGCCGAGGCGACGTACGGCCATATTTCGACGTGGGAGACCTCAGGGTTGACGGACATGTCGTATTTGTTTTGCGGCTCGTCTTACTACTCTTCTAGAGGATGCAACTCGGCCGCTGCGTCCTTCAACGAGGACATCAGTGAGTGGGACACCTCTGGCGTCACGACGATGTATTCCATGTTCAGCGACGCCTCGTCTTTTAATCAAGACATCGGTGCGTGGGACACCTCGGGCGTCAGATCCATGGCCTACATGTTCCAAAGCGCCTCGGCCTTCGACCAGGACATCGGCGCGTGGGACACCTCCGGCGTGACGTCGATGAGCTCCATGTTCGACCGCGCCTCGGCCTTCGACCAGGACATCGGCGCGTGGGACACCTCGGGCGTCAGATCCATGACCTCCATGTTCGACCGCGCCTCGGCCTTCGACCAGGACATCGGCGCGTGGGACACCTCCGGCGTGACGTCGATGAGCTCCATGTTCTACTCTGCCTCGGCCTTCAACCAGGACATCGGCGCGTGGGACACCTCGGGCGTCAGATCCATGGCCTACATGTTCCAAAGCGCCTCGGCCTTCGACCAGGACCTCGGCTGGTGTGTGGACGACGATGTGGACCTCCTCGGCGCGTTCAACGGCGGCGTCCTCTGCGAGTCGACGTCGTGCGGCGTCGGCAACAGGGCTTTACTACGGTGCGGTGGCTCGATGGGTGACAGTAGCATTCGAACCGCCGTCACCGCGTGGCTCACGGACGCGACGGCCGCCGAGGCGGCGTACGGCCACATCTCGACGTGGGCGACTGGCGGGGTGACGGACATGTCGTGGTTGTTTTGCGCGAACTCGTGGTGCGACTACTACAACTCGGCCGCGGCGTCCTTTAACGAGGACATCAGCGCATGGGACACCTCGGGCGTAACGAGCATGGAATTCATGTTCAGCTACGCCTCGGCCTTCGACCAGGACATCGGCGCATGGGACACCTCTGGCGTCAGATCCATGTATTCCATGTTCAGCTACGCCTCGGCCTTCGACCAGGACATCGGCGCGTGGGACACCTCCAGCGTCACGTCGATGTACCAGATGTTCTACTACGCCTCGGCCTTCGACCAGGACCTCGGCTGGTGCGTGGACGACGGCGTGGAAATGCTGGACATGTTCTTTAACACCCCGTGCGAGTCGACGTATTGCGGCGTGAAGTGGGGCGACTGTGAATTCCCGCCCTCGGGCAACGTCATGGTCAACTGGAAAATTAGATGGGCCATCAATGCGTGGTTCGACAACGCGACGGCAGCCGAGGCGACCTACGGGCACATCTCGACGTGGGAGACTGGGGGCGTGACGGACATGAAATCGTTGTTCTCACAAAAATCATCATTCAATGAGGACCTCGGCGCGTGGGACACCTCGGGCGTCACGACGATGGAGTTCATGTTCAGCTACGCCTCGGCCTTCGACCAGGACATCAGCGCATGGGACACCTCGGGCGTCAGATCCATGTATTCCATGTTCAACCGCGCCTCGGCCTTCGACCAGGACATCGGCGCGTGGGACACCTCCGGCGTCACTACGATGGCCTTCATGTTCTACTATGCCTCGGCCTTTAACCAGGACATCGGCGCGTGGGACACCTCGGGCGTCACAAGGATGTACTACATGTTCTACTATGCCTCGGCCTTCGACCAGGACCTCGGTTGGTGCCTGGACGACGGCGTGGACCTGGACAACGCGTTCTACATAACCCCGTGCGCGTCGACGTCGTGCGGCGTCCTGCAGGGCGACGCCTGCGCGCCGACTGCGCGCCCAACGCCGAATCCCACTTCAAGCCCGACGCCGCAACCGACGTTGACGCCGACGCCGCGGCCGACGCCCGCGCCCAGCAAGCGCCCGACGCCGCAACCGACGTCGACGCCGACGCCGCGGCCGACGCCCGCGCCCAGCAAGCGCCCGACGCCGCAACCGACATCGACGCCGACGACGCCCGCGCCCAGCAAGACAGGCTACGCCATGGACCGCTTCAACATCAGAACGGCAGTCGCCGCGTGGCTCGCAAACGCGACGGCCGCCGAGGCGACGTACGGCCATATTTCGACGTGGGAGACCTCAGGGTTGACGGACATGTCGTATTTGTTTTGCGGCTCGTCTTACTACTCTTCTAGAGGATGCAACTCGGCCGCTGCGTCCTTCAACGAGGACATCAGTGAGTGGGACACCTCTGGCGTCACAACGATGGACTTCATGTTCAGCGACGCCTCGTCTTTTAATCAAGACATCGGTGCGTGGGACACCTCGGGCGTCAGATCCATGTATTCCATGTTCGACCGCGCCTCTGCCTTCGACCAGGACATCGGCGCGTGGGACACCTCCGGCGTCACTACGATGGCCTTCATGTTCTACTATGCCTCGGCCTTCGACCAGGACATCAGCGCATGGGACACCTCGGGCGTCAGATCCATGTATTCCATGTTCAGCAGTGCCTCGGCCTTCGACCAGGACATCGGCGCGTGGGACACCTCCGGCGTCACTACGATGGACTACATGTTCTACTATGCCTCGGCCTTCGACCAGGACCTCGGTGATTGGGCAGTCCAAAGCGTAACGAGCATGAGCTGGATGTTCAGCGGTGCCTCAGCGTTTAACCAGGACATCAGTGGTTGGGCGGTCCACAACGTCGCGAGCATGAGCGGGATGTTCAGCAGTGCCTCGGCCTTCGACCAGGACATCAGCGCATGGGACACCTCGGGCGTCAGATCCATGTATTCCATGTTCAGCAGTGCCTCGGCCTTCGACCAGGACATCGGCGCGTGGGACACCTCCGGCGTCACTACGATGGCCTTCATGTTCAAGTGGGCCTCGGCCTTCGACCAGGACATCGGCGCGTGGGACACCTCTGGCGTCACGACGATGTATTCCATGTTCTACTATGCCTCGTCTTTTAATCAAGACATCGGTGGTTGGGCGGTCCACAGCGTCATGCACATGGACTCCATGTTCAGCAGTGCCTCGTCGTTCGACCAGGACATCGGCGCGTGGGACACCTCCGGTGTCAAAAGCATGAACTCCATGTTCAACTCCGCCTCTGCCTTCGACCAGGACATCGGCGCGTGGGACACCTCCGGCGTAACGAGGATGTACGGGATGTTCTTGGGCGCCTCGTCGTTCAATCAGAATATTGGCGGCTGGAGCGTCGACAACGTCAATGAGATGGGCATGATGTTCCACGAAGCGTTCTCGTTTAACCAGGACATCAGCGCCTGGAACGTCGAAAACGTCAGAGATATGCATTTGATGTTCTGTCTGGCCTATGCCTTCGACCAGGACCTCGGCTGGTGCGTGGACGACGACGTGAACCTGGACGGCGCGTTTGACGTCGCCCCGTGCGAGTCGACGTCGTGCGGCGTTGGCCAAAAGGACGGAAATAGCGACTGTTGGATGCCGACGCAGCGACCGACGCCCGGTCCAACGCCGCGGCCGGTTCCGCAGCCGACGCCCAAACCGACACCGACGCCGACGCCGCGGCCGACGCCCGCGCCCAGCGTGGTCCCCGTGCCGTCGCCAACGCTGAAGCCTACCGCTGCGCCGGAAGCCGCTCCAGTCGCGGCGCCCGTGCCCACGTCTCAATCGACACCTCTCGTCTCGTGACCGTGTGGAAACCATCGAGCTAGTCGTCGCGTCGATGGCGTGGAGGTCGACGCTAAGGGCGCCGGCCCGGGAAATCCAATTTCTGCACAGGTCTGCGACCAAGGGGGCGGGTGCAAGATCCTCATCATCAGCACTGGTAAAGTGAACTTTAGAGGAGACAGGAGCGAGGCTTGGTGCACGAACCAAGGAAACAACCCGAACAAGGAGACGCTCTGGTGCGCCGATGCGGATCCGACACCCGTGCCCACGTCTCAATCAACACCTCTCGTCTCGTGACCGTGTGGAAACCATCGAGCTAGTCGTCGCGTCGATGGCGTGGAGGTCGGCTTTAAGGGCGCCGGCCCGGAAATCAATTTCTGCACGGTCTGCGACCAAGGGGGCGGGTGCAAGATCCTCATCATCAGCACTGGTAAAGTGAACTTTAGAGGAGACAGGAGCGGAAGCTTGGTGCACGAACCAAGGAAACAACCCGAACAAGGGCACGCTCTGGTGCGCCGATGCGGATCCGACACCGTGCCCGTGCAATCGACACCTCTCGTCTCGTGACCGTGTGGAAACCATCGAGCTAGTGGCGCGTCGATGGCGTGGAGGTCGGCGCTAAGGGCGCCGGCCCGGGAAATCCAACTTCTGCACGGTGTCTGCGACCAAGGGGGCGGGTGCAAGATCCTCATCATCAGCACTGGTAAAGTGAACTTTAGAGGAGACAGGAGCGAGCTTGGTGCACGAACCAAGGAAACAACCCGAACAAGGAGGCACGCTCTGGTGCGCCGATGCGGATCCGACACCGTGCCTCGTGCAATCGACACCCTCGTCTCGTGACCGTGGGAAACCATCGAGCTAGTCGTCGCGTCGATGGCGTGGAGGTCGACGCTAAGGGCGCCGGCCCGGGAAATCCAATTTCTGCACAGGTCTGCGACCAAGGGGCGGGTGCAAGATCCTCATCATCAGCACTGGTAAAGTGAACTTTAGAGGAGACAGGAGCGGGAAGCTTGGTGCACGAACCAAGGAAACAACCCGAACAAGGAGGCGGCAAGTGCGCCGATGCGGATCCGACACCCGTGCCCACGTCTCAATCGACACCTCTCGTCTCGTGACCGTGTGGAAACCATCGAGCTAGTCGTCGCGTCGATGGCGTGGAGGTCGACGCTAAGGGGGCCGGCCCGGGAAATCCAATTTCTGCACAGGTCTGCGACCAAGGGGGCGGGTGCAAGATCCTCATCATCAGCACTGGTAAAGTGAACTTTAGAGGAGACAGGAGCGAGGCTTGGTGCACGAACCAAGGAAACAACCCGAACAAGGAGACGCTCTGGTGCGCCGATGCGGATCCGACACCCTGCCCGTGCCTCACCTACCCCTCGTCTCGTGACCGTGTGGAAACCATCGAGCTAGTCGTCGCGTCGATGGCGTGGAGGTCGACGCTAAGGGGGCCGGCCCGGAAATCAATTTGCGCTGGGTGCTGACCAAGGGGCGGGTGCAAGATCCTCATCATCAGCACTGGTAAAGTGAACTTTAGAGGAGACAGGAGCGGGAAGCTTGGTGCACGAACCAAGGAAACAACCCGAACAAGGAGGCACGCTGGTGCGCCGATGCGGATCCGACACCCGTGCCTCGCCTGCCCCATCGACACCTCTCGTCTCGTGACCGTCCATCCATCGAGAGCTGGTCGTCGCGTCGATGGCGGGAGGTCGACGCTAAGAGCGCCGGCCCAGCGCGGTAAACCAATTTACTACTATGCAACACTCGTAGTTGGCTTGGCCCAGCCTCTGGCTGGTGAGCCAGGACCTCGCCAACCCTATAACGCAACGCGACACGCTACTCGCCAGCTGCGTAGGCGCCAGTGTCGGCGGCAGTTTCGCGGCAAGGTGGGCTCGGATGGTTTTGAAAAGGTGCTCATGGGCTGCTGAGAGAAATCGACTAAAAATGCTTGAAGCGGCGGCGCTTGCGGCGTAGGCGCTTGCACGTGTATAGTACCGACCCTAGGCGACCCCAGGGAGACCTGTTCGACAGGGATTGACAGGATTCAACCGGCGCGGCCGCCCTGTGGCCTCGTCCGCCTCCGCGCCGCGAAACTATCTTGAAAAGGTGCTCATCGGAACGCGGGGAGCGAGAGAAACGTTTTTACGGGGACGGAAAGAAAGGGCGAGCGGCGAAGAACAGCGTTCTGACGACCGGCGTAAAACAGCTTAAATGCTAGTGGCGCAAAACTCACTAGGGCCTGTGTGCCCCGTACCGTTAACGGTACGGGGCAGCGGGTGACGTTCGCAGGCCACTATGGTTCTTATCAAACAATTCTAACGTACGGGACGTGCCTACGCCTAGTCTACTTTTAGACCAGAAACTTGGCACTTTAGCCCACAGGATTCCCCCAAAACCCGAAATCAGTGGTGTACTAAAAGTCCAAAACCCGAACAGACGCTCCGTCGGATTTTTGTCCTCACGCACTGGCACCAGCCCTCGGCAGAGAAACTGTGGGCACTGCCAGTCACCGTGACTGAGGGCAGGTAACCTTTTGCCTGTGTAACTATTTGCACTGCCAGTAATTTCAATTGCGGTGTTACACTAAACTATTTACTTGGTACTTCCCGTAAGTAAGCCAGCCAAAAAGACCTCACCTGTCGTAGAGAATATCGTAGTGTCCCGGCCGGTAGAGCAGCGTGACGGACGGCTCGCCGCCGTCGGGAAAGACGACGCGCGACGGCGCGCCGGACGCGTCGAGGTACTCGATGGCGACGGCCACGCCGAGGGCCTCGGTCAGCGCCTGCGCGGCGGAAATCAGTCCGCGAGTCGGGCGCCGCCGTAAAATTTTGATTTCCGCGCGGGTCAGTACGATGATCTGGACCTGGTCGCACTCCACGTTCACGGGCTCGACCTCGACCTGGCAGAAGCGCTCGACGTCGGCGAAGTCGTCGCCGATGAACGGCGCGAAGCGGTCGGCGTGCGCCTTGATGCGGCCCGACGTCAGCATGCGCAGGAACCAGACGACGGAAGTGACGTCGTTGCCCTCCTCGGTCATGAGCTCGTGGAGCCTTCGGGGCGACGTCTCCGGGAGATTGTCCAGGAGCTCGCAGAAGGTCTCCCAGAACGAGTCGACGACGATTTCCTCGAAGCCCACCTTCAACAGCGCCGCCTTCGAGTCCTTCGCGACGGTTCGGATGCGCCTCAGCTCGGCGCAGCCCCCGCCAGCGCTCCCGCTGCCAGTGGGGGGCCGCGGCACGTCAAAATTCCTCTGCACCAGCTCTTCCAGGTAGCGGTACAGAAACGCCCGATAAAAGCAGTTGCCGTCCTTTCGGACGCGGCGCAGCGACGCGTACGTTTCGTCCAGCCTCGCGATGCCCTCGGAAAAGCCCCTCTGCGGGTTGTCGGCGTACTCGGCGCCGAGCGCCTCCCGGACGCCCGTCCGCTCGCCCACCATGGGCTGCGTCGTCTCCACTTCTTTGAGGATGCCGTTGAGCTGGTCGATCGTCAAGGCGTCGCGCTCCTGGGCCGTCAGCGCGTCGATGTCCTTTGGCGGCTCCGATGGCGTCTCCTGCTTCGACGCCTCCAGCGCCTGCCGCAGGTCGTCGTCGGCGTCCTGGGACGCCTGGTCCGCCAGGCTCGCGGCGATGGCCTGCCGCAAGGCGTCGTCGGTTTCGCGGCTCATGGTCTCTGGACCACAGCGCTAGGGCCGGGCTAAATCCAAGGGCTTTAACCACTTTGGCGTGATGAAGGCAAAAGTACTCTTTTTTGTGATGTATGATTATTTGCTTATTTGTAGACTTAGCCTCCGCGGACCGCGGCGCGCGCGCGCCAGGCCGACGGGTTTTTCAGGTCTTTCGTACGCGTACTGCTCGCGCGACAAGCGTCCCCCTGTGCCTACGAAGCAAGACATGATGGGCGCTGCGCCCCGAGCCTACAGAGCTCGCGGTTTTCGAAGTGACAGCGCTTGATCGCGCAGCTGGTTTTTGCCACCTGCACTTTGCTGCAAGGGATGGCACCGCTCCCGGGCTTCGGCGCGACGGGCCCCTGCTGGAAATGCCGCGGCTCGGGCGTCGTGGCGGCGGGTCGGCGCAAGCGGGCGGCGGGCGCCACAGGCCTGTGCCGCGTGTGCGGCGGCTCGGGGGCGCTGAGACGCGGCAGGCAGCGTTCCACGGAACCGGGCCGCGTCACGCAACCGCGGTCGAGCGCGTCGACGCGCCGCGGACCGCGCGCGGCGGGCGTGGGTGAGCCGGGGCCGGGAGAGGAGCTCTGCTGTTTGTGTGGAAGTTGGCGCGTCTTCCAGCGGGTTGGAGGTCATCGCTACTCGACCGAGGACGTCGTCACGGCGCACGTCGCCTCGCAAGTCGCCTTAGGTCTTGGTGGGGTGGTCACCCACGTCGACCTGGGCTGTGGCGTGGGCTCCGTGCTTCAGATGGTAGCGTGGCGATGCACGGAAGCGGGCCTACGATACGATGGGCTGGGCGTCGAGGCGCAGGCAGACTCGGCAAATTTGGCGCGCCGCTCGGTGACATACAACGGCGCGCCGTGCGCCGTGCTCGACGGCGACCTGCGCACGACGCCGGCCTGCGCGAGGGGCGCGACGCTCGTCACGGGCACGCCGCCGTACTTTGACGTTACCCAGGACGAGGCCGGGGGCGCCACCACGAATTTCGGCGCGTTCCCCGCTTGTGAGCAGTCCGCCGGTGCGCGCTACGAGTTCCGCGGCGGAATCGAGGCCTACTGCAAGGCGGCGGTGGATGTCATGGCGCCAACTGGGACTTTCGTGGTGTGCGAGGGCGGCCTGCACGTCAACCTGCGACGCGTCCAAAAGGCAGCCGAGGCGGCGGGGCTGGTCGTCGTTGGGCACCGCCCCGTTGTCGGTCGCGCCGGGAAACCGACACTCTTCGGCGTCTGGACCATGCGGCGCCTGGACCATGCTGCGGGACGACGAGACGAGGCGATCGCCGCACCCCTCATCGTCCGCGACCGGGCCGGCCGCCGCACGACGGAATACGAGGCGGTGCTTCGCGACATGGCGATGGTGTAATTAATGTGAATAATCGCTATTCGCCCCCTCCCGTGCCCAACTATGAACGGCCCCACTGGCCCGCAGGTAGAACCTAGAACTCACCCGTTGTTCGGCCGGGTAATTCTAGGTTGCCGCCTACCCGTCATTTGCCCGCGAATCACCCCCTGGTCACCCCGAGAGAGATCCGGGTGAATACCGGGTCAACCCCATGCCGTATTTATGGATACTAAAACCTGTCACGGTTTAGTCAGATTGCGATCGACTCGGAAAGACCCTTCTAGGCGGCGAGCGGATGGGCGCAAGCTGCCTGAGCCGGGCGAGCCTTGGGCTACGTACAGCCTGAGGTACGCCAAGGCAAGTACCAAGGCATGTCGCCGCCAGCGGCCCAGCGCGGCCCAGGCCCGCGCCAGCCTGAGCTCTAGAGCTGAGTCACAGGCCCATGCCCCCCCTCCCCACCGTGACCCGGCACTGACCCCTCTATAAGATCCTGGGGTTAATAACCCCGGGCCGTACTAACCGGCAATTACCCGGAGTAACAACCCCGGCGGGCGGCGCCAGGGGTCAATAACCCCTCAGGTAATTTGCATCCTAGGGTGATTGCCAGCCTAGTCTGAGCATGAGGCCGGGGTCCGGCGTCAGTGTCAACCGTGACCTTGTGTGGAAGTGGTCAACCCTCCGACCCCCAGCCGAACTTCTTGCGGACTTCTACGGCCGACTATATATGCTACCGTGTGTATTGATCTGCTTATGTTCAGAGGGGAGCCGCCGAGAATTCTGTAAACTATTCCTTGGTCGCGCGTGGCGGTCGCGAGGGCAGGCGGCTCGCCTTGCGGAGCATGTAGTGGTCCTGGTCCCAGTCGAAAAGGTCATAGATGGCCCCGAGCTCGGCGATTTGCTCGGTGTAGTCTATCGGTAATTTCTTGAGGATTCCCTCGGCCGGGTCAAAGACGAGGCCGTGGATGCGCGGGTACGCGAACGCGACGTCGGGGTCGCCGTGCGTTTCTAGGCGCTTCCTCTGGACGACTGCCGTTTTGTACACGTTCAAACACTGCTCGACGACGTTTAATTCCACAAGACGCCGGTGGCGCTGCTCGAAATCGTCGATGGCCTCGAGTTCGGCCTTGTGGAGCCTAGAGACGTCCCGAATATTTGTAAGCCACCCGTCCAAGACGCCTGCGTCGGAGTTCTGGGACGATGGCGTATCGGCCTCGCGATGGCGGTCGCGGGTCGACGCCGCCGCCGCGACCCAGCAGACCCGTCGAGCAGCGTCGCGCAACTGCCACAGCTCTCTCGCGAGACGCGTAGACTCTCTGACGGCCGCGTTGGTCGACGGCGTATCACTGCGGTCTCACGAAGACGCCATCTACCAGGCGTCAAGTTCAAGTTTATTTTCTGCTCTGAGTTAATGACCTGCGTGGAACGACGCAGTCGCGAAACTGTCCCCGAGACGGGTAGACTCTCCGACGGCCGCGTCGACGGCGTCGAGGCGGCGCGGCACCGCGTCGACGCCATCGGTGCGACCGCATCGAGTTCATCAAGTTCAACTTCATTTTTAGCGGACGAAGGTGAAACAGACTCGGACGACGCACCGAGCCCGCGGTTCTTCATCGCCGCGCGGACGCCGCCGCAGTCGTAGTGTCCGGTCACTAATACGTGTTTCACGTCCAAGTGTTCGACAGCATACGTCAACACGCTCAAAAAGTTCAAATCGCTCGCCACGACCAGATTCGCGACGTTGCGATGGACGAACAAATTCCCCAGACCGAGCCCCAGCATGTCGTTCGGCACGAGCCTCGAGTCGCTGCACCCGACGTACAGGAACTGAGGACTTTGCCCCTCCGCCAACTTCGGGAAGAACGTCGGGTCCGCCGCGTTCGTCGCGGCGACCCACCGCTTGTTGTTCGCCAAAATCTCCTCCAGATCATGATCCGCGTCGACGGGCGGAGGGCGGCAGCCCGCGACGGTCCGGCGAGAGCCTGCCCGCGCGCGCCACAACAGCCTGCCGAACGCGTACATGTAGCCTTATGCTTCTTTGTCGGTTCGGGCCAGCATCTTGCCGCGTTCCTTTCCTTTCCCCTGGGCAGCTCTGTGTCACAGTACCGTAGGTACCTACGGTACTGGTACCGTACCTCTCCGGCCTAGAATAAGTGTAACCGTTCAAAGATTTTTGTACCGAGCGTCAACGGTGCACGCAATTGGAGCCTTTAAATATGCTGTTGAATGCCGCAGCCGTGCGCGGCCTCATCCCCAATGTGCCGCCGCTCTCTCCGCGGTTTGTGGGACCGCCGCCGCCTGTTTCGGTCAAGCGCAAGGCCCTCTTTAGCCCGACGGGCAGCCGCGACATTCCGCACCCCGTTAAGTTCGAGAACCTCGTGCCAAGCATCTGCCTCTACAAGCATCGCTTCAAGGACGAAGAGCCCCCGTATTTTCAGCTAAAACATGGTAAAGGCAGGAAATCAAACCTCACCAACTGCGCCGCGGCGAACCTATTACGCGAGTACGAGCTGGTCAAGGCGAACGCATTACCGGGCACGTGTGCTGACGTGCTGGAGCACTATCAGACGACGAAAGCCACCATCTCGCGCCTCAAAAAGAGACTAAAAGCTACCGGAACCACAGACTCGAGAAAAAAAGGTACATCTGCAGCGTCCTTTGGTCACTTCAACGGCCGCCGAGAGTCGCCCAGCGACTGCGTCGACGCCACGCGAGAGAGCGCCGCTCGTTCGGGTCGGTACGGGGGGTTCGCGCGCCGCGACGGCAGGCCCCATGGGCCCCCAGCGGAGACTAAACTGAAATTTATCCTAAGGTAACGTGGGGAGGACGAGCAAGGCCGACGACCCCCGGATTATTAAGCAGACGCGCGATATTTATAGAAAGAACCGCGCTTTGAAGACGCGCGACGTGTGCGCCATCGGGGTCCAAGACGGCGAGGGTAACAACATCGGCCTCACGACGGTTAAAAAGATAAAAAAGAAGCACTTCAAGACGCATGGCGTCACTCCACGGCCCAGGATCGTGGATCAGAAGCACGCCGACGCTGCATTAGCTGATGCCGAATACATCTACCAAGCTAATTTCGAGGAGATCGCAGATGTCGACGAAAAGTACTTCTTTGTCCCTGGTTACCACGAGAAGTACACATACCATAAAAAAGAAGAGCCTCCAGCCAAAGAGCTGTACAAACGATGCAAAAACAAGAACCACCTCATGAAGATCATGGTCATGGCGATGGTCTCGCAGCCAAAACGGTCAAAGGATGGGTTGAGCTGGGAGCGAGACGGCAAGGTAGGCATCTGGCGGGTGACGGAGGAGAAAGTATACGAGAAGGGCATCATAGAAGGCTATACATTGAGACCAGACAAACGATTCACGAAACAAGTCGGAAAGATGGTTAGAGAGCCAGTCTACAGCAGAAAGGCGGGTGACAAGTACCAGGTCGACTGCTCCATGGATGGTGCGAAGTACTGCGAGATGATGGTTCAGACGAATGGTGGCCTGGCAGCCGTCCAAAAGTACTTCAAAGACTCTGGATTGGACTGTATCGAAATACAAGAAGATGGGGCACCCGGTCACGGCTATGACAACCATACTTGGCCTCCGTCGCGGACGGAGAACCACAAAACTTTAGATAAGGCTGCCAAAACGTACCGAATTAAATTCCGAAAGCAGGCAGGCCACTGCCCCTCGCACAACGCCCTCGACCAGGCGGTGTGGACGCACTTGGCCAGCCGTGTGCGCAAGCGCGTCAATGAATTCAAGGAGCAGATGCCGAAGGACAAGTTATTAGACTTGCTGTGGAAAGTCATCGAGGAAGAATTTTGGGCTATGGACCCGGAGATCCTCGACGACTGCTTCTGGTCCAAGGATGAGGCGGCCAAGGACACGATCCGCCTGAAGGGCTGGAGCAAGGGCAAGCAGGAGCATAGCCAAGTACGCATTACGAAGAAGAAGTACCTCCAATCAATGGGTTGGAAGCGCATTCCGCACCAGCTACCCAAGGCATTGGCCGACATCGCCAACGACCCCAACAAGAAAGGTTACTGGGACTTTTCCAGCGGCGATGAGAGTCTGTAGAGCCCCTCGGGCCGCGCCGCCGCCCGCGTTCGAGTAAGACATAAACTGCACGTAGCTAACCCTCAAATGCGCCGCGCTACCTGCCCATACGCATGTGATGCCTCGAAGATGGTTCACGTCGCTAACGCAAGCGTATAGGCTATCGCAGAGGGTATCGCTATGGAAGCAGTAAATGAGCCCGGTATAATCAGCGGCGCGGCACCCGGCAGCCCCGTTTTTTGGCGCCGCGAGGGCCTAGGTACCCCTTGCCGATAACCAAACACTGCCAGTTTATTTTAACGCCGCCGGGGCCGCGCAACCCATAAGGTTACACTTAAAGACGTCCGGAGACGGTAGGTACCGTAGGTACCGTACCTACCGTACCTACGGTACCTACGGTAGGTACGGTACCGTAGGTCCAGCGATATTAGCTTTGGTATGTGCTTGAATCTAATGAGCTGGGTGCAGCAAGTGCACAATGCAGCTGCTGTAGCTAGGTCTCTTGGGTGTCGATGACGGGGTTGCTGACCAGTCCCGACGTGGGCTGTGGGCCCATAACCTGAAGAAAATATGGGGCTGCAATGTGTGTACAGCCAAGCCTGAGGTGGTCATGGCAACTGTATTGGCGACTCGGACTGCCAGTGAGGTCATAGGTGAATCCCCGTTAATATAATAAGCACTAGATGTAATAATAAGTTCACTCATTGTTACTGTGTTGACGTGTGTAAAGCGACTAGGGAAACGGTACGTATCTAGGGTACTAGGGTATATTCTTCGCACTCCAGGTGCACTGGCACACTGCATTCGCGCCGGCCGCGGGGCCGCGGACTGCCAGCTCCGGACGCGGTGGAGTTGGAAGCTTCCGCGGCTTCCTGCCAGGCGAACTGGGCCTTGATGTCGTCCACGGCCCCGAGGACCACGGTCTGGGCCAGCTCGTACTTATAGTACGAGTGAGGTACCGTAGGTACCTACCTACGGTACCTACGGTACGGTACCTACGGTACTCTAATACAGTACCTACGGTACCTGTTTTTAAACATCGACCAACGACTACTCAAATACTTTTGCGTTTTTCACGCCGCGTACCAGCGTGGACAACACACACACGCGACAGCTGATGGAGATTCCGACGCCGGCGCCCCCGCGCGCGCCGACGCGCGCGTCGCCGCGGCTCGGCGGCTCGCCGCCGTCGTCGACGGCTGCGGCGGCAAGGCCGCGCGAGGCAGACGAGAAAAGAACGAAAGGGCCGTGGACGCCCGAAGAGGACGTCCGCTCGCAGCGTCGGTATTTTTGGCCCCCCCGTCGATCGCTCGCGCGCGCCCGACCCCTCGCGCGCCGCTCCCAGGCCAAAGTCATCGAACTGGTGCGCGCGCACGGCGCCCGAAAGTGGTCCACGATAGCTCAGCAACTGCCCGGGCGCATCTCCAAGCAGTGCCGGGAGCGGTGGCACAACCACCTGAACCCCGCGATCTCGAAGGACCCGTGGACGGAGAAAGAGGACAAGGAAATTCTGCATTCGCACGCGAGGCTGGGGAATCGATGGGCGGAGATCGCCAAGTCGCTGAAGGGGCGGACCGACAACGCGATAAAGAACCACTGGAACTCGTCGATCAAGCGCAAGTACGAGCGGTTCCTCGAGGAGGCGATGGAGGAGCTGGCCGTGCTTCACGCCGCGGCCCGGGACGCGGCGCTGGCGGCGAAGCGCGGGTCCGACGCGGCGCCCGAAACGACGGTCCGCGGCGCGCGCGTCGACGGCGCGTCGACGCCGTCCCCTCCTCGCCGCAGGCTCGAGGCGGCGGGCGTGCCGATCGGCGAGCCGCAGGTCGAAGCGACCGCCGGCGTCCGGAGCGCGGGCCGGTGCGCGCCGTCGATCGCCGCCCCGCAGGTGCCGCTCGAGAGCGACCAGTACCTCGTCGTCTGCGCGTCGCTAAAGACGTCGGCGCACGAGGCGCGGAAGGGCGACGCGCTCAAGCCGCCGCAGGCCAAGGTCGTGCGGCCGTTCTCGACCGACCTCGACGACACGCCGCGGTTCCGCCTCGTCGGCGACAACCTCGACGCCGCGGTCTACGCCGTCTGCCAGGCGCCCAAGAAGCGCAGCTACACGAAGCGGGCCGCGGGCGGGGCGTCCTCCAAGCGACGAACGACGGGCCAGAAGGCAGCTCTGGCGCGCGCGCCGCGCGGGAAGCGTCCGGGGTGCTCCGAGGTTCGCGGGGGCTTAGGGTGAGGGATGAGGGTCGTCCCTCGCAGGCGCGGCCGACGCGCGTGTCCGTCGTCGGCGCGCCGACGCGCGTGTCCGTCGTCGGCGCCGCGACGGGCACGGTCGACGGCCCGCCGTTCCGCGACGAAGCGACTGGCCGCGCGCCGACGACGCTCGGTGGCGCCGCGCCGTCGCCGCGGCTCTCGCCGCCGCCGTACGCCCTGGACGACCCGTCGATGATGTCGCCGACGCAGCTGGACGCGGCGGCCGGCATCTTTGCCGCGTCGATGCTAGAGCCCGAGGGCCCGGAACCCCGGACGAGCTACGGCTCCGCCGCGTCGTCGCTCGGCGACGCCGACGCGCTCGTCGACCCGTACGAGGGCGCCGCGGACCCGCTCGCCGGGGGGCGCGGTCGGCGCGCGCGGCGACGGTTGCCGCGGCAGGCCACGGGCCTCAGCCTGGGCCTGGCCGACGTCCGCCTGGACCCGAGCGGCGCCCGCGACGACGTCTCGCCGACCGGTTCCGAAGCGGCGCGGTCGCTCGTCTCCATGTCGTCGCCGTTCCCGCACGGCGGCGGCGCGTCCCGCGTCCACTCGCCGCCTTTCCCCGGCGTCCTAGAGGACCTCGGCGACGGGCTCGCGTGGTCGCCGCCGCCGCCCCCCGGGAACTTCTTCGACGCCGCCGGTCACCCAGCGGCGACTGCCGACCGCGGCGCCGCCTCCTCGCGGCGCGCGGCGCGGCTCTCGGGCATCGACACGCCCGTCGCCGGCCGCGCGCCCGCCGGCGGCCCCGACGTGGCGACGCCGGGCCTGTCGCCGCTCCTCGGCGACGACGCGCTCGCGGCGTTGCAGAGCGCGCTCTCCGACGCCCCGCCGCAGTCCTCGGCCGCGCTTCGGCGCGCGACGCCGACGCGCGCGCTGCCGCCTGAGGCCTTCGCCACGCCGTCGGCGCTCAAGCGGCGCGGCGCCCCGACGGCGGCGGACACCAAGCCGCTCCCGGACGCCGCTTTCGACGGCGCCGTCCGCGCCGACGACGTCTTCGCGGCGCCGCCGCCCTCCGGCTCCTCCGTCGCCTCGCTCGACGTCCTCAAGGCCGCGCGCTCGCCGCAGGGGAAGTGCCCGCCCGCGCCGACGGAACCGTCGTTCAAGAAGACCCGCACGCGCCTCGCGGAGCGTCCCGTGAACGCGCGCCCCGCCGCCGACGCCTAGGGCCTCCTCCCTTTTTGCTTGGACTTTTTAGTGAGTGCGCACGGCTACACAGCGAGCAGAATCGCCGCGATGGGGACCGACCTCTGGTGGCTGAGTCGCTCCGGAGCGGGCCCCGGGCTAGGACCTAGGTTGCCATTACCTGAGGCGCGCGATCGGCCGCAGTCAGCGTCGACGCCCCGACGATCGACACGCGCATCGGCCGCGCGGCGGGGTCTGCCTTGGGAGGCACCGGCCTACGCTTGGCGGGCGCGCCACCTGCGGCCCGCTTGGTGTAGCTCCTCTTCTTCGGTGCCTGGCAGACGGCGTAGATCGCCTTCTCCAAATTTTCGCCAACAAGGCGGAACCGAGGCGTGTCGTCGAGGTCGGCCGCGAAGGGGCGCACGATTTTGGGCTGCGGCGGCTTGAGTGGGTCGCCCTTGCGTGCCTCGTGCGCCGCCGCCCGCATCGACTGGCAGATGACAAGGTATGCGTCGTCTGGCAGTGGCATCTCCATGTGAGGCTCACCGATCGGCACGCCTGCCGCCTCGAGACCCTGCTTGGCCGCCAGGGCCGCGTCTCGGGCCGCGTTGTGTGGCGCGACGAGTTCCTGCATCGCCTCCTCGAGGAAGCGCTCGTACTTGCGCTTGATTGAGGAGTTCCAGTGGTTCTTTATCGCATTGTCCGTGCGTCCAGGCAATAGCTTCGCGATCTCCGCCCACCGGTTCCCGAGCTTGGCGTGCGACGATAGGATGATCTTGTCCTCATCCAGCGTCCACGGCTCCTTGGAGATGGTGGTTGTGCCACCGCTCTCGGCACTGCTTTGAGATGCGCCCGGGCAGTTGCGAGGCGATGGTGGACCACTTGCGGGCACCGTGAGCACGCACCAGTTCCACGACCTTGGCCTGGGCGTGGGAAGTTCGGAACAAGTCTTCACGAGCGCCGTGAAACCCCCTAGAGCCCGCGCGCGCGACGGGCATGCGTAAGCTGCTACGGGCATCGCAAGGTGCGCTCCCCGCCCCGACAAACAAAGGGAGAAGGAGACCGACACCGCACGTGACGTCTTCCTCTGGCGTCCACGGCCCCTTGGTCCGCTTCTCCTCTTTGTCCTCGCACGACGGTTCGAGCGCGCTCGACAGCGGCGGCGACGCGTCCGTGGACGGGCGGCTAAGAGGGCCTCGTCGAGTCTCGGCCCGCCCGGCCGGGCCGGGGGGCCCAGCCGGATGCCTAGGACCTGGGCAGATGGTAGCAGCTGTGGCTTGTTACTCATGATATATTTGTGGTTCTATCATATATTTCCTCGTTCGCTGCGTATACGACGGCCTGATGAATGATTCTAAAGGTCGCGGATCGTCGAAGAACGGAGCTTTGTTCCTTGAAAATCTGGCGTTAGAAGCGAATTGGCCCGGGCCTCTGAAAAAACCGGCCGCGAAAAAGTTCGTCAATGAATTCGTCGCATCGCGCCGAGTTTCCGAGCTCGCCGATGGCTTCAAGGAAATGTCGACTCTCCGCAACATGAGCAATTGGGTCGAGAAGGAACGTTTCGGCTTGCCGGAATATTTACTCAGAACGTGCCCCGGGTCTCTTCGGGAAGGGCGGAGATTGAAGACGAAGTTCCGATTGGGTTGCCACGACCTCCGGAGTTCGAGCAGCCGAACGCAGCTTGTTCGTAACGCGCAATGCCCTTGTTGCGAATCTCGTGAATCGGAAACGATCCAACACACGTTGTTTGAATGCGAGGCCTTTGAGGAAGAACGGGAGGCATTTCTTGCGAGATTATACTCGGTTTGCCCCCCGGCACGGCAATTGACCGATGAGGGCCGATGTCGCTTGGCCATGGGGGACGAGTTACCCCGGGAGATCGAAAATCCGTTGTATAGATACCTTACTGCTATTTCGCGGCCCCGGTTGGGCATCCTGACCGAGCAGGGAGAAGGCTCCTAGGAGCTTGTTCCTTTCTTAGGTCTTCCTTAATTTATTTATTTATTTATTTTTTATTTATATATACCGCGACCATTGCAGAAAGTATCATGAAGTAAACTGTCAAGGGGATAGAGCTCGTTATTTACCCAGCTCCTCAATTTGGGCTCGAGTCTGGACCGCTTAGCCAATTCTTCACTTTGAGCCTCAGAACGTCCGTTCGCTGGAAAGTGGACATCTGGAGAAATATCTAGGTCTTTGCTGAGATCCGAAAGCTCATTGGTCAAAGATTCGGTACAAATAATATGAAGTTGCACCAGACCCTTGTGGCAAAGGCCCTTGGTAAGGCCTGCCAAATATGCTGTTTGGGGTATACCGAAAAAGCCATACAACGGGTTTACAAAGGGTTTTGCGTCGTAGGTGGATTTGAGATAGGTCACATCGCGAGAAACTGTGCTATTCGTATGTTTATGTGTTCTCTTCCACTTCCTCATATCTATATATCGGTACCCGGATTCAAGCCGCCCTGCTGGCTCACGCAGTGTAGTGAGAACGCAAGGTCCATGTGTCAATGCTTCCGTTGCTCCAAACGCCGAGTGATGGTGATGGACACAGCTAGAATTACCTGTGTCTTTGCTGCATTTGGGTGCGTGGGCCGCGGTCAGATACTTTGAGAGTGAAGCTGAACCTGAACCCGCAACTGCGAGGTTGGTGCAATTAGCTGAAACAGGTGGAACGATGCCGTCAACACAATTGACGACCATCCCAACAAATTCAATCATGCAACGCCGGGGCCATCTATTTTTTCGTCCCAATTGAAACCCCGGCGCGCGCGACCCACAATGTCCGGGATAAGACTTCAAAGACTTCATGGGACCATGATCACAGCTCCATAATCGTTGGCAACCGGTACCGTTACTTTGTGGCGGATCTAGCCCCAGGATCACATTCAGGACGAATGATGCACGTACCAGCTGCTGCATCAGAGATATCTCGCCAGCTGCCGCCTCGAGGATGCGAGGCAAAAACTTTTAGCCAGCTTGACGTCCACCTTGAATCCTACCAGCGTCCTAGCAAGAGTATGTCGCAGCGTTATGTAAAGTAGCAGGGTCCTAGCTCACCAGCCGAGGGCTGGGCCAACCTGACTACGAGAGTGTTTTATAGTGAACTGTTGTTACACCGTAGCGTCAAAGACACTCGCTGTATAGACTCAAATATTAGAGAGTGGGAGATACATATCTAAGGTAGGAAGGGCTAGTAGGTTTCTCTCTCTACTCCCCCTGGGCGCGAGCGTCCATTAGATGCCTTTCTACTGGAGAATGTATCAACTCAGTCTATTCACTGGCAAAATTCATGTGACAAGTGATAGGCTTCATGTGCAACAGATTTCTTCTTGAAATGAATATCCGTAAATACCTTCGTTGGATCCTTCTCGTCCTTTTTCGGAAAGTCCGTAAACTCCTTCAAATGATGAGCACGAATACTACGTCTTTGGGTTTCATTCTTGCAATCTGATCGTCTGTTAGATCCAAGGGCCAATTCGCCCCACTTGTCGAGGTTGTTCTTTGCTTTTTTACGATCTTGTTTGCACTTGTTAAGCGCGACCTCCGCGAAATATGCCTGCCGACGCAACTGCGACGAATTCAAATCACCCAACTCGTTCCAAAGTGCCTTCCGGCGGTCAGTGCGTGGGGCCGCAGGCTTGTCCCATCGCCTGACGAATATCTCCTGGCCGCCGGCAGGCATGAGCGCGCACAGCGTGAGAACGGCTGTGCGCATTCAAATTTCGAGTAACTATAATACATTATGGAGCGTGCGGGCTGCCCAATAATAATATAATTAAATAGGCGCACCTGGGCCGCGTGACGTTGCCTAAAAAAGGGCAAAAGACAATCGTCGCGGCCCCGGTCTCTATCTATACTGTTTAGCGTTAATTAGGCCAAGATAGTAAGAGGGGGGTCGTTGTGACTCCGAGTCGGAAGTCAGACTCAGGCTTTCGACCCTGCCAGGCGGGCACCTTCCTGGCTGAATAGCTGGCTGAATCAAAATTGAGACTCTTCGCCCCTAAGGAGGAAGCAGGGCGAATTTCAGGTGTCCGGGAGCCGACCGTGACCGCGACTTGGACTCGGAGTCTCGGACTCGGACGTGGAGGAAGTCCTGGAGGGCTCCGAGAACAACGGGAGGATAGCACTAGGCTACGGGTCTAGTATACTCGTTGCACGGCTCTTCGCCGGGTTCGAGCTCGCGCGGCGCCGCGTACCGGTAGGCCGGTCGCGCGGCGCGATCGCGGTCTCGGTCGCGCGCCGGCCGGTCGTAACCACGGCCGCGGAGGCGATCACGCTCGCGCGACCGCGACCGCGACGGGCGGTACGCGCCGCGGCGATCGCGCGAGCGGCAGCGGTCGTAGCCGGACGCGCGGCGCGGCGGCGGCCGCCGCCGCGCGGGCGACCGCGACCGCGACCGCCGCCGGCGCGGCGGCGGCTGGACCGCGCGCGCCGCAAATCGGAGGCGGTCGCGCTCGGCCGAGGCGCCGCCGCGGCCCGGCGCGTAGCCGGGCGCGTGGCGCGGCGGGCCGGCGCCGTCGCGCTGCGCGTCGAGCGCGCGGAGTTTCTCCCGAAGCTGCTTCCAGCCCTGGTAGTCGGCGCTCTCGAAGTGCGACGCCATCCACGCGGCGTCGTTCGCTGCGGCCGCCTCGATGACGGCGCCCGTCGCGGCGCAGACGACGACGTCGCGGCCCGAGGGCGGCGTCGCGACGGACTTCTCCACTTCGGCCCTTCGCGCTCGCAGCGCGTCGGCCTCGCCGAGCGCGCGCATCGACTCTTCGACGTCGCCGCCCTCGCCGAGCCGTTCGGCCTCGTCAGATTTATTTTTTATCTTGGCGTCGAGGTCCTCGAGCTTGGCGAGGGCGGCCGCGCACGCGGTCGCGTCGGCGCCGGCGGCGCCGTCGCCGCGGAGCCGCGTCGCCGTCTGCGCCGCGCGGCGGTCGCACTGCTTGACGAGCGACGCGAGGCAGTCGCGCAGCATGCGGTCGTAGCCGTACTTGGCCTTCTCCGCGGCCGGCAGGGCGTCGTACTGCGCCTTGAGCGCTCCGTCGAGCTTGTACGCGTCCAGGTCGATGTGTTCGGGTCGCTCGCCGAGGCCGTGCGCGTACGCGTGGCGGAGCCAGACGTCGTAGCCCTGCGCCGCGTAGCCGCGCGCGCCGCGCAGCACCTTGTACGGGCTCAGGCCCGCGAGGTAAAACTTGCACACGTCCGCTTCCCAGAACTTCTTGCGTCCGCGCACAGACAGATCCACGTCGCGCTCGGCGCCCATGAGCTCGTCGAGCAGCGCGCGCTGGGCGGCCTTGGGGTTCGGCGGCGGCGGGCGGGCCATGCCGAACCTCGTTCGCAACGTTCCCCACCAGTTGGTATAGGCTGGAGCTAAGCCGAGGTCCAGCGCGACGCTAGAGACTAAGGGCTAGATGACGCTAGAATTGCGCGTCACAGCACGTGGTCAATCAGCTCGTAAAATGTTTGGGGCGCAGGCCTAAGGTCAAACTGAGAGGATGTGCTCGATAGAGGGTGGCAGTCCTCAATCGTGTAGGGGGTACAAGCTCCTCTCGTGGATACATGATACATACACAAAAAGCGGCCAGACCACCATGGACGACGAGCAGCCCCAAGCGTCCGAAGAGGCGACGGCGGCCGCGGCCCGGCGCTGCTTCGGCGGGGTGGCGGCGCCCGTTCCGCGGGAGGCGCCGGCCGACTCTCCGCCCGCGCCGCCGCCGCCCGGCGAGGTCCGCGTCGTGCCGGTCCGCGTCGTCGTCCCGTGCGGGTGGGCGCCGCCCGAGCCGGAGCCGACGCCGGAACCCGAGGACGGCGGTGCGCCGGAGCAGGCCGCCGAGCCGCCGCCGCCGCCGCCGCTCGAGGCGCGCGTGCGCGTCTCCGGCGCAAAGGGCGACGGCGCGCCGTTCCTGGGCCCGGCGACGTCGCGTTGGGTCCCCGCGGCCTGGGCACCCGGGCGGCACGAGGTGGACTTCGCCGGCCTCGCCGTGCCGAGCGCGCCGTTGGCGCAGGACGCGGCGACGGCGACCGCCCTCTTTGAAGCGACCGTCGACGTGCGCGTGGAGACGCGCGAGGGCGAGGGCGCCGCCGTCGTCGACCTCGGCGCGTGCCGGTTGCGCGTTCGCGACGTCGTCGACGCCGCCACGCTCGGCAGGCCGCGCGTCGAGTACGAGAAGCCGCTCGTCGCCGACCCAAGCGCCGCCGGCGGGGGCGATGCCGACGCCGCCGCCGGGCCGGTGCTCGGTGTCGCGCTCGCCGTCGACGACGAGCTCGCGGACTACCTCGACGGGTCTCGCGTGCTGACGCTCCGGGCGTCCCTGTCGAACCCGCCGGCGGGCTGGGCGCCGGCCGGCGAGCTGGACGCGGCGTCAGAGGCCGCGCTCGCGGCGTGTCGTTTCGCCCTGCGCCTCGCCGGCGGGGCGCCGGCGCCGCCGGCCGTCGACCTCGGGACCGCGGCGCTCGCGCGCGACGCGGCGCCGGCCGCTCCGGCCGACGACCCTGCGGTCGCCGGCGAACCCGAGGACGCCGGTGGAGAGCCGCCCGACGTCGCGCCGGTCGGCGTCCGCGCGGCGTGGGCCGAAGCGACGGCGTTCCTGCCGCGCGACGCGTGCGAGGCGTTCGCGGCGGCGGCGGGCGACGCGCCGACCCTCGACTTCGCCGTGTCGCTCGCCGGCGCCGACGGCGGCGCAGGAGCGGGGCCGGCCGACGACGGCCCCGCGGCGGACGACGCCGCGCCGGAGGCCGCGGAGCCCGCGGTCGACGCCACGGCGACGCTGGACGTGGCGGGATTCTACGGTGGCGCAGAGGGGGTCACGGCGGTCGTCGAGGCGCGCGTCGTCGCGCCGGCGCCCGAGCCGGTCCTCGCGCCGGCGACCGCGCCGGCTGAGGCGGAGCTCGCGTCTGCTGCTGACGACGACGACGACGACGACGCGGCGTTCCTTGGCGACGCCGCCGCCGCGGACGAGGAGGCGGACGCGGACGCCGCGCCCGAGGCGCCGCCGCTCGCCTCGCGGCTCGACGCCGCCGGAACGCGGCTCGCGGTCGCCTTGACGCTGTCGGCGCCGCTCCGGGGCGGAATAACCGCGCCACCGCCGGAGACGCCGTACGGCGACGTCGTGGCGCAGCTCGAACCGCACGCCGTCGCGGGCGCGCCGAAGACGCGCGACGTCCGCAACGAATTCCGCGACGCGGTCGGCGACGTGGTCGCGGAGCTCGCCGAGGAAATGGCCAGGATCGTCGTCGCGCGCGATCCGACGGGCGGCGCGTCGGTCGACGGCGCCGACGAGCGGACGTGGCTCTACGCGCTCAACACGGGCCGCGTCGACCCCGACGCGCCGCGCGCGCCGGGCCCCGAGGCCGGGCCGTACCACGCCTTCAAGGAGCGCCTCAAGCCGTGCGTCCAGCGCGTCGTGCGCGCGCGCGCCGCAAGGCCGCCGCCGGCGCCGGGCCAGAACGCTGACTGGCGCGAGGTCGGCGCCTACGACCGGTTCGTGGCGGCGGCCTACGAGGACCTGCTTGGCCTCGCGACGACGGTCCTCAACCGCCGCTTCCGCGACGCCGAGTCGGCGCAGGAGCCGCCGGCGACGCCGTCGCCGTTCGCGCCGGACGGCGACGGCGCCGACGCGCCGTCGACCGACCTCGCCGAGACCATGGCGCGCGACGCGGACCGGACGCTCCGGACCTTCGCGGCGCGAGCGGCCGACGCCGAGGCCGAGGGCGACGCGGCCGCGTGCGCGCGGCTCCTCGACGAAGCCTTCGCGGCCGTCAAGGCCAAGGTGCTGAGCGCCTGGGACGCCAAGGTGCTGACGCCGGTCCTGCACGCGGCAGCGCGCGCCAAGGCGTTTGCCCTGGCGCGCTGCGCCGGCAGGCGCCTCGCGGGCGCGACGGCGTCCGACGCGGCGGCGGCGTGCCGCGCCGCGCTCGAGCTCGAGAGCGGCGACGCGGAGACGCAGGTCCTGTACGCCGCGGCGCTGCTCGAGCGCGGCGACGCGGCGGCGAGCGCCGGCGTCCTCGCGAGCGCGACGGCCACCGCGCGCGGCGCCGTCGGCCTCCGCGCGCGGCTCCTGCGCGCGCTCGTCCTCGCCGAGGCCGGCCCGCGCTTCGAGCCGGCGGCGCGACGCGCCGTCGACGCCGCGCCCGCCACGGCGGGCTGGGCGCCGCCGCCGGGCTACGCGGAGGGGCCGAGGCGGCGCTCCGCGCTCCTCCTGGACCTGGCGGAGTGGCTCGACGCCCACGGCCTGCCGGGCTGCGTCGGCAAGGCGCTGGGCGCGCACGCGGCCGCCGACGCGCGCGCGGCGGCGTGCGCGACGCGCGCCGGCGACCTCTTTGCCGCGCGGACGCCGGCGGACGAGTGCGCCCGCCGCTGGGCGCTCGACGCGCGCGCCGCGACCGACGCCGGCGACGCGCCGGGCGCGACCGCCGCGGCGATGCGCGCCTGCGCCGCGGGCGCCGATGCGGCGGCGCCGTGGCTCGCGCTCGGCGCCGCCGCCGCCGCGCGGGGCGACGGGGAGCGCGAGGGCGCGGCGCTGGCGAGCGCGCTCGCGATCCTGCAGCACCCGGCCCACCCCGACCCGCCGCCGCTCTGGCTCTTCCTGCGCGTCGCGGACCTCTGCGCCGCGACGGGCAAGACGGACTACGCGCGGGACGTCGCCCTCGCCGCGTGCGACCGGCACGCGACGCGCGCGGCCGCGTGGCGCGGCGCGGCGCGCGCGCTCCTCGCCGACGGCAACCCCAAAGACGCCGAGACGGCGCTCGAGGAGGCCAACGTCCTCGACCCGGCGTCGGCGGCGTGCTGGGGCTACCTCGCGCTGGCGAACCTGCAGCAGTACGACCTCGGCGACGACGCGAGGGTGGACCGCGCGGCGGCGTGCGTCGAGCACGCGACGCAGCTGGGACTCGCCGACGGCAACCTGCTGACGGACGTCGGCGTGGCCTTCGCCGCCGTCGACCGGCTCACCGTCGCCGTCGATGTGCTGCGGCGCGCCGTCGCGCTGCCGTTCGGCGGGTTCACAAAGCACGCGAGGCTCGCGCTCGCGCGCGCGTACGCCAAGGGGAGACGCCACGTCGAGGCCACCGACGAGTACGCCACGCTCCTCGCCGTCGCCGGCGACGCCGAGGCCGGCGTCCTCCGGGCCGAGATGGAGCCCATCCTGAAGGTCCTCGGGAAGCTCGACGACGACGAGGCCCCGTAGCGCCCAGGCGAGAGTCCCGGGGTCGCTAAGTGCGTACTTTTGAATCGGAACAGACCCTCGGACTCGTTTACAATCACTGGCCCGGGCACTGGCGATGTCTGTTAAAAAACCGGCGGCTTTCGGTTGATACACTGGGTAATATAGATATGAAGCCCTCTCGCACGGCAGTTGACTGATGATTCTCGCTGTCGTTTGGTCATGGGGGACAAATCATTACCCGGAGATTGAAAATCCGTTGTGCCGCTATCCGAGTCTTACTGCTAATTCGAAGCTCCGGTTGGGTATCCCGATTGAGCAGGGATAAGGTTCTTAGGAGCTTGTTCCTTTTTTCAGGTCTTCCAATTAATCAATTTGAGACTAGTGACTTTTTTACAGGGCTCCCGCGCGTTTAGGAATTCGATCGTTTCCATCCCGCGGAGAGAGAGAGCCACTTATTGAACCCACCCCAGGTAGTACGGACCCCGAACGCTTCGCCACCGTGTCTATTGGGATTGGCGATAGGGTGTTGTTTCACCCTGCCCCCCGAGAACCCAGACACAAGTGGTGTGAGGTTTCGCTCCGAACAGAGGCCGGCCGGTCGCAAGCGACGTGCCTTGGCCTGTTCGATGGTTTATCCGTCCGCCCGCTCCAAGCTACTTTGCCAACATCCCGCGGCTAGCGGCCTGTAAGTCACTAGCAAGCACAGGCGCCTGTCCTGTCCACCTTGTAGTATCCCTCACGTGCAAAAAACATGGCATCCACGGACGGGGTGCCGCGGGCCGTCAAGTTCGCGACGGCGGGGGTCGGCGGCGTCTTCGGCTGGGTGGTCGTGCACCCCTTCAACACGGCCGCCGTGCGCATGAACCTGGCGGCCTCGCAGCCGGGCTACCAGCGGACCGGATTCCTCTCGTTCGCGGCGCGGACGGCGTCCGAGCGCGGCGTGCGTTCGTTCTACGACGGCCTCGGGGCCGGCTGCCTGCGGCAGGTCTTCTACGCGACGTCGCGGTTCGGCCTCTTCGAGACGTTCCGCGACGCCATCGCCGAGCGCCGCCGCGTGGGCCCCGCCGAGCGCGTCGCGGCCGGCCTTGCGTCGGGCGCCTGCGCGGCGCTGCTCTCGTGCCCCGCCGAGGTCGCGCTCGTCCGCAGCTCGAACGACGCGACGCTGCCCGCCGCAGAGCGCCGCAACTACCGGGGCCCGGCCGACGCCGCCCTGCGGATCCTGCGCGACGAGGGCGTCGCGGCCTTCTGGCGCGGGTCCGCGCCGTTCGTCCAGCGCGCGATGCTCGTGGGCGTCACGCAGGTCGGCACGCTCGACCAGGCGAAGCAATTTTACGACGAGCGCGCCGGCGTGCCCCGCGGCACCTACGGCAACGTCTTCTGCGCCTCGATGACGAGCGGCCTCGTCTACTCGCTCGTCACCATGCCGTTCGAGACCGCCAAGAACCTCATGGCGTTCCAGAAGCCGGACGCGCGCGGCGCGCTTGCCTACCGAGCGACCGGGCAGACGATCCTAGCCGTCGCGCGGTCCAGGGGCGTCCTCACGCTCTGGAACGGGTTTCCACCCTACTACATCCGCTGCGGCGGCCACACCGTCACCATGTTCGTCTTCGTCGAATGGCTTCGCCACGCGTACCTGAAGGCCAGTATGGGCACCAGACAACTCTAGGACTTTATTATAATTATGCGTGCAATGGGGGTATCTCTAGGGGGTATCGCCATAGGCCCTCATGATCATGATGATCATACTAGTCACGCCGGTAGTTATGGTTGACTCGGAGTATGTTTTTACACCACTTTTATTAAGTTTAAGATTTTTAGAGGTCGATTGAGCCCTATTTGCTGCGCTCATAGGACAATGACCTCTAATCATAAAAATGATATATAAATGACACATTAAACCGTGTGACCGTGACTTGAAAAACTTGAAAATATCTTGGAGACTCGGAGCCCAAAAGTCCGCAATGTATTATATGAAGATTTGGGAACATCATTTTACGCATGAAACAACAAGATTTATTAAAGACCTATAGACATGACGACTTTTATGGACCATGACTGTCTTCCCACGCCTGCTCGCTGCTGCTCTTAAAGAAGGCCTTTCTCCTGCGCAACGTCAGCCTTAGGCGGCTCAGCCCCACTACCACGGTAGTGTCCCGGCCACCAGCATGCATGCATGTATAAGATTCCAAGTCTTGATCGTGAGTCGTGACCTCCAGGACGTGAGCTCCAGTCACTCGCTGGCAAGGTCATTGGACAGTCGATAGTGACATCGCAGCAATCTGTGAGATTCGGGCAACAAGCTCGTTAAGACGATTCCCTCCCTCGAGATGATCAAAGGCATTAACCTTTGTCGCGTTGCAGCTGCTCGTTGACGCTTTTCCCATTTCTCTGGAAAAGCGCTTGAGGCAGTTACAATGCGGGGACACAATGCCGCGGGTATGAGGCGCGCGACCTCGCCAAAAGTGGTGGCAAAGAACATGAGATTGCTCAGCTTCGGTTGGCGGAGGCGAAAGGAGCATTGCCCAAGATCGTTCAGCAAAATGTCCCTCTTCAATGTTGTCACCACGGCTGAGGATCTGAGCTAGCTGGTTCCAAAGAGCCCGGGGCATAGATCGCACATTGACGGTCTTTGCAGCAAAGACGCCACCAAGGCATACACGTGCGACTGGAGATCGTACGAGTGTGGCTAGGTCAAATTGCGGTGCATTGGCCTTGACATAAAGCTCCTCCTCGTTGAGAGCCCTCACAAACAGGCGGAGAATCCATCGACCTAGGTTTGCATCAGGTGCCTCAAAAGACACCGTAGTAGTGTCGTCCATCACAGAAGCATTTGCACCTGATTGGATTTCCTTTTCTCTGAGGCGCGTGTGTTGGTCCCAGGCATGTTTATATGCTGTCATTTTCATCCACATCATGTCAGGCCAAACGGCCACATTTGTGAAGTGTAGACCACGCCGCTTTGGAAACATATATCGCCCACACGCAAACCCGACTGGATGCTCCGTCGCATGGCGGACAAGCTGTGCCAAGGAAACCTTGGTGCGGCCCCTGCTGTGTGCAATGTGCGAGTCCTTGACAAAGACGATGACGTCCGTGTCTTCGAACCTGTCGTAATGTGTCGCTAAATGATGGGCATAAGTGTGATCACATCTTCCCACGTTTGACAGGTGGATCAGACGAACTGGTGTGGCAGTCTGCCGAGCCATCTCGGATAACTCGTTTACAGTGACACCACACTTGCTATATATGGTAACTCTTTTCAGCTTCAAATATGGGTCTGCTTGGATCAATGCCATGTCCAGCGCCAGCTCCTTGAGACTCGCACTACAATATGCAACCACGAGCTCAACCCGGGAAACAGAAAACCTTGCCACGCTGGACGACGTCAAAGAGGGTGTCAGCGCAAACCAGTCGTCCCGCGCACATCGTGTTGTATCGCCAGCATCTGTCAGGCAGGCGTTCGAATGTCGCCAGTACTCAGCCATTTGCCGTGGATCTAGAAGGTCATTTTCCGATACAGCTAGCGCACTCTCCTTCGCGCAACCGCGAAGTGCACACGATAAGATCCCAAGCTGTATTTTGCGGTTCATCTATTCAACCTTTAATTACGGTCGAGCTTGGTAGGCGCTACACCACAACACAACAACCGGCCCACAACAATAGCAAGAGTATGTCGCAGCGTTATGTAAAGTAGCAGGGTCCTGGCTGCCCTATCAGGACTGGCGCCAACCCACTACGAGAGTGTTGAATTATAAACTGGTTTACAAAGTAGCGTCGATAGACCCTCAATGTATACTGCGGTAGACTCAATTTAGAGAGTGGGAGATACATATGTAGGGTAGGAAAGGGCTAGAGGGTTTCTCTCTCTAACTTCCCCCCTGGACGCGATACAGCGATTGTGCTACGATTGTGCTATGATCCTATAGTTACCTACACCTAGAGCTCTTCTCAGGTTTTAGTACGTACCAGAGGCTAGTAGCGCCGCGCTGTACTCAGGCTAGCTGCGTTAGTGTGAAGTGAACTTACTTTAGGTTCACCCCGGTGTTTTTACGGCGCCTACTTAGCGCCGGGCTTGATCCACTTGGATAAGCAGAAAGATACGGGATATAGGGGAATATCAGCTCCGGGCACATGCCGGCTGATATAGCGTGCTGATAGGCGAGTAAATCATGATGATGCGCGCGCAGATCCGGCGATAGGGGCTATGGCGTTACAGCACGCGTGCTAGGGGTTTTTGCCCTCACTCCCCCTTCCTGGAACTCAAGCCGGGTCTTCAGCTAATTTACCGTTGAAATCAACATCACCGCGTATCCATCAGTAACCAATTCTTTAACGATTTTCACTGATCTATATATATGGTTTCGGTATTGGTTGGCCATACCTAGCAGTCGTCTGACTGCGGTTTTGTTTTTCGGCATCTGAAATTCAGTAATGGCCTGCACGACGAGCGGCCCGACTTCCGCTGCCCCAGTGCCCCCCCGCGCGGCAGATGTAGTGCCAATTCCAGTAAAAGCGCTGCATATAGTTGAGCAATTCCCGGGGAGCGAGATCTCAGGGGTCGGGAATTCCCGGGAACTCCCGGGAACTCCCACTCCCGGTGGGAATTCCCGGGAATCTGGGAGATCCGGGGGGAGCCGGGTCAGGGCAGCCTCCCCGAACCCAGATACAAGCTCGTAAGCATTTCCAATGGGACGGCGCGTACTAGGGTACCTTGGGACCGTAGGACATGCGCCTGGGTCATCTGCTTGGCCAGATCCTGCCCATAGTACAAAACGCGTATGCCTACGCGTCTGCCGCGTCCACTGTAACTGGCGGGTTTTGCCTGTTTCTCCCAGTATACGTTCTCGCTCCCCGGGAGTGAAAAATTGGACCCCGGGAATTCCCGGGAGTTCCCGGGAATTCCCACTCCCGGGAATTCCCATTTTCGCTCCCTGCTCACTGTAAAAGCGCAGCGCTAGCGTAAGCTCCTACCTGGACGGACAAGGCACAAACGTGCATCTCCTGATACCGGAAAGTAAACTATTGTACGCAACGTTCTCCTACTGAGTTTTAACTGATGACGCCACGGCGCTGGGTCTTCGCGCTGCTGGCTGTGTCCTCCGATGCCGCTGTCGCAGGTCAGGGGAGGAAGGGGCCCCTGCCCAAAAAAATCAAAAACTCGCGCGCGCCGAGGCCCTGGAGTCCGTTGTTTGCTGCGGCGCGCGCGACTTACCGGCGGTCGCCACTGCTCTCCGCCGTCCGGGCCGCCCGCCCCCAGGCCGCGGTGCTCTACACCTTCTCGCAGCTGTGTCTCGAGCGGTTCCGCGTCCACGTGACTCCGCGAACCGCCGCCGTCGCAGCAGCGGCGGTCCTGCCGGCGCCTGCTCAGCGCGCCTGCGTCCGCGCGGCGGCGGGAGCCGGCCTCGCCGCGGCCGCCGCGGCCGCCGCGCGGGAAGCGAGCCTCGAACGACGCGCGACGCCGCTGGACGAGCCGCGGTACGCGCTCGTCACCGGCTGCGAGGCACCGCTCGGCGCGGCCGCGGCGGAAGCGCTCGCCGCGCGGGGCTACGGCGTCGTAGTCGTCGCGGAGCGTGACGGCGCGGCGCGCGCGGTCGCCCGGCGCTTGCGGCAGAACCACGGCGCAGTGTGCGTGCCGGCGGTCGCGCCGGGTCTGGGTCGCAACGCCGCGGCCGTGGTGCGCTCGTTGGACGAACAGCTCGCGCGCGCCAACGTGTCGGCGCGGCTCGACGTCTTCGTCCACGCGCCATCCGCGACCGCCCCCGCGGGGACCGGCGAGGGCACATCGCCGCCGGCCATCGATGCCGCCGAGCCACCGCCCGACGGCCTGCCGGGCGACGGCGTCGCGGCAGCCCTCGAGGCGCGATGCGGAACGGCGGCGCAGCTCGCGCGGCGTTTCGGCGACGCCATGGCGGCGCGGCGGCGCGGTCGATTTGGCTTCGTCGTCGGCGGCGGTGGCGACGCGTCCGAGGACGCCGCCGTGCTCGCGGCGGCGGACGCGTTTACCGAGACCTTCGCGGCGCGTCTCCGCCGGCGCCTCGCACCCGACGGCGTCGGCGTGACCGTCGCGCGCCGCGCACCAGCTCCGTCGCCGCTGGTGCGCGGTCGCCTCGGTCGGCGCGTGGTCGCCAACCGAGCCGCCGCCGAACAAGCCGACGCCGAGCGCCTCGTCGCGGCCGTTCTCCGCGGCGACGCTCATGTATCTCTACCTCCCCATCCTACTTTGAGTTCTGAGCGAAATACGCAAATCAAATAATGATTTTGAAGTTGATAACGGAGGACGCTCGCGAAGACCTGTCCACATCTCACAGCCGCTTAGTGGTCTTTGCCCTGCGCCCCCTGGCTTCCCAAGGGCGACACTCCAGCTAGGGCATAAAGCGGCGCCAAAGCCGCGTCGGCTGACAATTTGTCACTATAGACTGGTACTATTCATGACCCACGTATATACTAAATTATAAAAGAATTATATAGACTATACATCTCTACCATGACACCTAATTTCTATATTTCTTGTTAAAGTCGATACTTGGTGAATATTCTTGCAATCGAATCCTACCAAACGAGCCTGAGATACTTAAAAATCGAAAACTTGAAACTTGAATATTTCAATCTCAGGGAGTTTTTATGTTTTCTATCCCATCCGATTTTTGTGCGTATGGTATCCCCCGGGAATGCCGTTTCCGAAAATGCAAAATAACAAATTCCGAATTTCTACTTGTCGAATAGTACCTGACTAGGTCACCGTCACGGTGTTCGGCGACAGGGAAGCAGCTTGATACTCCTTCACTCCTTAGATACTCCTCTTCTGTTCAAGTTCCAGATACCCGGGGATGGTCCTCTGGGGGAAAAGAACTAGCTAGCTATCGCTAATATATATGGGGTGAAGTTGCTCGCGCTCGCTAGCACCCGCCGAACCTATTTGCGAGCGCCGCGCGGAGGATCTCCTGGCCGACGTATACGAGGTAGAGGCCGAACATCCCGACGCCGAGCGCGCGGGACATCTTCCAGCCCGACGCCATGATCGAGAAGATGACCGCGAGCACCATGAACAGCAGGATGCCGACGGAAATGAAAACGGCGCTGGCCTGCGCCACCTTTACGGGCTCGCGGAAATATATCGTGTAGCAGAGCCAGGGCAGCGGCAGGCCGACGGCGACGTCGAAGATGTTCGAGCCGATGGACGACGAGACGGCCATGTCGCCCTTGCCCTGCCTGGCGACGACGACCGACGACAGTAAATCGGGCACGGACCTGCGCGCGGACCGAAGGTCGACTCCGACGCAGAGCGGCGTCCGGGGCGCGGGCGCGCGCGTGCCGGCCGCGAGGAACGTGAGCGCCATGATGAACACGGGCACGCCGATCTGCCGGCCGATGATCTCGATGCCCTCGACCATGAGCCACGCGAACGCGCCGATCCACGCGATCGAGACGAGGAACGTCGCGTAGCACCACTTCTCGTTGCCCGGCACGGTGCAGTCGGGCACCGTCGCGCCCAGGACCGCGTTGAGCGGCAGACACACCAGGACCACGACGCGCTCGCGCGCATCCAGGTCGCCGAACCCGCGCACGTTCTCGACCGTCGTCCGCCACATGGACTTGGTGGCCTCGGCCTGGAGCTCGGCCTCGGCCTGCGCGCGCTCGTAGAAAATCGACGTCTGGTACCAGGCGTGGAACGCGTCGAACGTCGCGCGGTCGGCGCCCGGCCCGGCGATCTGCGCGAGGAGCTCGACGGCGGAGCCGCAGCGCGCGTGGACGCCCCAGCGCGCCTCGAGCGCCGCCAGCACCGCCTCGCACTCGGCCAGGTCGACGTCGCCCGACCGGTCCGTGTCGAACTCGTCGAAGAGGCGTCGCGCCTCGGCGCGCAGGCGCTGCTCCGACGCGAGGTACCAGACGCGGAACGCGTCGCGGCGGACCGTGCCCGTGCCGTCGCCGTCGATCTCGGCGCGCAGCGCGTCGACGCGCTGGGGGTCGACGGCCTCGCCGTCGCCGAGCAGGCCCAGGAGCGTGCCGAGCTCGTCGAGGTCGAGCTCGCCCGACTGGTCCGCGTCCAGCTGGTCGAACGTCGCGTCGACGTCGCCGGCGATCTGCGTCACGGCGACGACGCCGGTCTGGAGCAAAAAGTCGGCCGACTGGCCCATGAGGAGGCGGCCGATGCCGGCGCGAAAGTTCGCCGGCCGCGACGGCGCGCGCGGCCGGCGGCGGTCCGAGTCCGCCGACGAGTCCATCTCGACGTCCGACGCGGGGCGGACGTCCTCCGCCCGCTCGCGCGTCGTCGCGTCGGTGTCGTCGGTCCCCGCGGGCGCGGCGGCGCCGTCGTCCGCGGCCAGGCCGAGCCACCGCGTCTTGACGTGCCGCTCGACGCGCTCGTTGACCGCCATGAACGAGACCTGCCGGATTGCTTCGGTCGATCCGCCTTTCTCTCTCTCCCCCGCCCCTCTGACGACGACAAACCCGCCAACGCGACGCGGTCGACCGGTGAAATGCTCGCGCGGGGCGCGACGTAGCCGAAGTAGAGCACGAACTGGATGAGCGCCTCCCACCACATGATCTCGCCCTTGCCCCCCCACCGAAAAAAAGCGCCGAGCGTGACGAGCGTTATCGAGTAGTAGGAGCAGTCGCGGAACAGCGGCCACCACGTCAGCTGCAGCGGCGCGAGCTCCGGAGGCGTAAAGATTGCGCACATGCCGATGACGAAGAGCACGTTGAAGACCGCGCTGCCGACGATGGTCCCAAAGCCGACGGCGGACCGCTTGAACGTGCCCACGAACGACGTCGCGAGCTCCGGCGCCGACCCGCCGGCCGCCATGAGCGTTGCGCCCGCCACGTCGTCGCTGAGCTCCCACTTCTCCGCGATGACCTCGAGCGCCGGCACGAAGAGCTCGTCGCAGATGATCGCGATGGCCAGGAAGAGGTACAGCACGCCGACGATGCAGCCGACCGTGACGCCCCACCCGCGCTTCTCCCCGCAGTCCTCGTCGGCGAGCCGGCGCGACCCGCCATCGCCCGCCGCCGCGTTCGCCGCCGCCGCGGCCAACGACGGCGCCCGCCCGTCGGAGACCCGCGCCAGCAGCGGCGCACCGGTCGCCGCGAGGTTCGCCGTGCAGGCGCCGGCGACGACGATGGCCATCGCGCAGGCCTTAAACGCGGCGCGGCGCATTTGCCGGCCGCGACGCGGGCGGCAGGGGGGGGGCATCGCGGCGTGAGAGCGCCGGAAAGGAACCAGGCGTTAATACTTTGGAGCTGCTGATTCTATTCACCAATTTTAGCTCTACGAGTATAGCACACTTGTCTACAGGTGTTGGGGGGGGTACCGGGGTACGAGCTTGTAAACCCGTTTTTTTTGGCGGCCGCCCCGGCCCTAGCCTCCAAAGGGGGGGTCCCCGAGCTAATACCGGTACGGTACGGCTCGGGGACCCCCCCCTCGTGAGGCTACCCCGGCCCGGGCCGCTCGGCCGAGTCTTGAACGCAAGCTCCGTTCCGCGGACGTCGAGTCAAGCGCCGTCTGGACGGGTCGTAGCTCTCGCTCCCCAATCGGACACATAGGCACGGCGTAGTGGTCGTAGCTCTCGCTCCCCTACCCAGCTTGATTTCGGCCCCGTCGTATTAACTAGGGCCGGGGGCGGGGCGGGCGTGCGGCCCGGGTCGTGCAGACCCAGCGTCGGCCGGGTGGCTAGGCGGCCTAGCTCTAAGCAAAGTAAACTTGAATAATTAAGGAAGGAATCCTAAAGAAAGGACATACACCAAGCCTTTAAAGGCCTTCTATTACTGCACGCTACGCCGCCGAGGAGTAAAATGGAGGAGTACTACGTACTATTGGCGTCGCTAATTTTTATCGAGCCCCGGGCGGGCTTATTCCCGGGCAGCTCCCCCGCGGAGGAAGGCCCGTTCCCGGGCCCGCGGGGTCAATCGTCGCCGTCGGCGACGATGCCGCCCGACTCCTCGAGGGCCCGCGTGGCCACTTCCGTGACCTTTGCAGCCACGAAGGCGCCCACGCTGAGGAAACCTGCGTAAACGTACCACGGGTACGCGGCGTCGTCGCCGGCGGCGCCGGCGGCCACGGACGCGACCTCGCCCGAGTAGACGTAGAGGAAGGTCCCCGGCGCGAAGCCGAGGAGCGTCGCGGCGAGGTACGGCCCGAACTCGACCGCCGTCAGCCCGTAGAAGTAATTCGAGAGCGCGAAGGGGAAGATCGGCGAGAGGCGCAGGAGCAATATGATCTTGAAGCCCTCGCTCGCGACGGCGCGGTCGATGGCCTGGAACTGCGCCGACTCGCCGGCCACGCGCTCCACCCACGACCGCAGCAGCGACCGGCCGATGAGGAAGCTGACGCCCGCCGCGATCGTCGCCGAGAAGAGCACAATCGCCGTGCCCTCGACCGCGCCGAAGAGGTAGCCCGCGGAGGCCGTGAGCGGCACCGCCGGCAGCGCGAGCACCTCGGCCACGACGTACACGGCCGCGAAGTACGCCGCGCCGAGCGGGCCCAGGCGTTCGACCTCGGCGGCGACGCCGTCGATCGCCGCGCGCGGATCGAAGTCCTGGGCCGCGCGCAGAAGTCGTCGGAGCGTCTCGTCGCCGTCCGCCGACGTCGCGGCCTCGGCGCCGAGGAACACGAGCGCGAGCGCCGCGAACGCAAACGCCATTTTCGGCGCCGTTAGCGCGCGGTCCTCGGCGTCCTGCCGCGCGATCGCCTCCTCGCATGCGGCGGCGCCGCGCCGCGCGTCGCCGGCGTCGTCGTCGCCACGCCGAGCCGGACATACCGTGCGTCGTCCGTCGCTGCCGCGCCGATCTGGAACCGCTGCTCGCCGCCACGCGCCGCCTGAGGCCGCCCGGGGCGGCGGCAGTGGCGGACGCGACACCACCGGCGAAAACCCGTCGCATCGGAGTTTTGCAGCGAGCGCAGCGTACAGGAGAGTAGCGTGCCGCATGTTACCACTGCCGCGATACTCGCATGCTACGCCGCCCCACCTCAGACCAAAGGCTAAGCAGCTGTAAATCGCTAGAGCCTTACACCGCTAGCTAATACTCGTTCTAGTTTAGCTCACCACGAATTGAATGCAGAGGCATAATGTCCAACTTGTATCCAAACACTCGCGTTTGGTACGGTAACAACTTGAAACCAGGGTACTGCGGGGGCCCGGAGCCGGAAGCCGGATATCATGATTCCCTAGCCTAGTCGGCTGGTGCCAGTGAGCTACTAGGACCCTGCTACCCGCCGGCGGGTCTTACATAACGCTGCGACATACTATGTTGTGAGGAAACACCGGGAGGAGATAACTATAGAGCTCTGTTCAGTCAAGTGCCAACTGAGGCACTCAGGCTGGCAGAACACCTAGACAAAATTGTCACGGTTAATAACCCTCTGAAGTGAACTTAAGCCGCGGGATTCGGCGACTTTGGTACCTCGCGTTTATGACAATCGAGTGCCTCGCCGGCGCGCTCTACGTCTCCGACGGCGACCGCTGCCGCGCGCTCCTCGCGGCGCTCGCGGCCATCGACCGCGGCGGCGACGACGACGAAGCGTTGCCCGCGTAATATCGGTCCCCGGGCACTCCTAGGTTCTTTGTGTGCACTTCGACGGCGCGCGCGCGTCGTTTTGGTTCGCCCAGCTTCCGTTTAGCCGGTCCTTACGCCCTAGAGCCGATGCCGCGAGCCTTCAAGCGTGGGTCTGGTGGGCTCGAGTCGGCGACCTTACTCGCCACACTCGCTCTCGCTGTGTGCTCCCCAAGGAGCTAAAAAGCAGCGCCAACGCGCATACAGACCCCCAGACGGCAGCCCGGCAGCATTTCAGAAACGATGCCGACGCGGCGCTGCCCCTCCACGACCACGACGCCCTGGCTCGCCATCGCCGTCCTGGCGACGGCGCGCAGCTCCGGCGCGCAAAGCACCAATGCTGCGATCACGGGCGTCGGCACCTTTTTGTCCGGCTCCGGCAGCTCTGCGGGGCGCGGGCTGGCCCTCGGCGTGCTGCTGGCCTCGCCGCACCTCGCGGCGGCTCGGCCGTTTGGAGCGGCAAACACATCCGTCGCCGCGACGCGGCGCAAGCTCGGCTACGCCATGACCGACAGCAGCATTAGAACGGCTGTCGCGGCGTGGCTCTCGAACAGCGCATCTGCAGAGGCGACGTACGGCCATATTTCTACGTGGGACACATCGGGGGTGACGGACATGTCGGGGTTGATTTGCACATCAGGCAGATGCTTGTACGAAAACCCGGCCGCGGAGTTCTTCAACGACGACATCGGCGCGTGGGATACCTCTGGTGTAACATCGATGGAGGCCCTGTTCAAAGGAGCATCCGCCTTCAATCGGGACATTGGTGGCTGGAGTGTCGTCGCCGTGAGAAGTATGGAGGACATGTTCAACCGTGCCTATTCTTTTAATCAAGACATCGGCGCGTGGGACACCTCGGGCGTCACAACGATGTGCGGGATGTTCGAGGAAGCAACCTCCTTCAATCAGGATATTAGCAGCTGGAACGTTGCAGCGGTCATAGATATGCACGACATGTTCAAGGACGCCTCGGCCTTCGACCAGGACCTCGGCTGGTGCGTAGCCTACGACGTGGACACGGAGGACGCGTTCTCCAGCACCCCGTGCGAGTCGACGTCGTGCAGCGTCGAGCAAAGAAGCGACTGCCCGACAGGCAACGTCATGACCGATAGCAACATTGGAACGGCCGTCGCGGCGTGGCTCGCTGACGCAACCACCGCCGAGACGACATACGGCCACATCTCGACGTGGGCGACTGGCGGGGTGACGGACATGTCGCTGTTGTTTTGTGCGCAGTATTGCGGCTCGGGTACCAACTCGGCTGCGGCGTCCTTCAACGAGGACATCGGCGCGTGGGACACCTCCGGCGTCACAGACATGGGCGCCATGTTCAGAGGCGCCTATGCCTTCGACCAGGACATCAGTGGTTGGGCGGTCCACAGCGTCACTGACATGACCGAGATGTTTGGAGACGCCTCGGCCTTCGACCAGGACCTCGGCTGGTGCGTCAACGACGACGTGAGCCTGGGCTACGCGTTCAGTGGCACCCCGTGCGAGTCGACGTATTGCGGCGTGAAGTGGGAGACCAATACAGGCGACTGCGACGTCTCGCTCACGGGCAACGTCATGGTCAACTGGAAAATTAGATGGGCCGTCGCGGCGTGGCTCTCGGACGCGACGGCCGCCGAGTCGACGTACGGCCACATCTCGACGTGGGAGACTTCCGGGGTGACGGACATGTCGCAGTTGTTTTGTGCGCAGTATTGCGGCTCGGGTACCAACTCGGCTGCGGCGTCCTTCAACGAGGACATCGGCGCGTGGGACACCTCCGGCGTCACAGACATGGGCGCCATGTTCAGAGGCGCCTATGCCTTCGACCAGGACATCGGCGCGTGGGACACCTCCGGCGTCATTTACATGCACGTGATGTTCTACGACGCCTCGGCCTTTGACCAGGACCTCAACTGGTGCGTGGCCAACGACGTTAACCTGGACTATGCGTTCGAAGGCACCCCGTGCGCGTCGACGTCGTGTGGCGTCCAGAAAATGGAGGAAGGTACCTGTGCGCCGACCTTAGCGCCAACTACGACACCCGCACCGACAGCAACGCCAGCACCCACTATTGCACCTCTGGTCGCCGACGACAGCACGATAAGAACGGCCGTCGCGGCGTGGCTCTCGGACAGCGCGGCCGCCGAGGCGACGTACGGCCACATCTCGACGTGGGAGACATCGGGGGTGACGAGCATGTCGAGTTTGTTTGCGGGATCGTCCTTCAACGAGGACATCGGCGCGTGGGACACCTCCGGCGTCACGACGATGTACAGGATGTTCGACGAAGCCTCGGCCTTCGACCAGGACCTCGGCTGGTGCGTGGACGACGACGTGGTCCTTTGCGACTTCTGGGGAAACTGCGCGTTCGACGGCACCCCGTGCGAGTCGACGTCGTGCGGCGTCGTGCAAATGGACAACTGCCCGATCACGGGCTACGTCATGGACGACGATAGCATTAGAGATGCAGTGGCGGCTTGGTTTGCCGACCAGTCCGCCGCCGAGGCGACGTACGGCCACATCTCGACGTGGGACACATCGGGGGTAACGGACATGTCTGGGTTGATTAGCACATGTTGCCTCTTGGACGATGACCTCCCCGTGGAGTTCTTCAACGAGGACATCGGCGCGTGGGACACCTCGGGCGTCACAACGATGGAGTACATGTTCGATGGCGCCTCGGCCTTTAACCAAGACATTGGCGCGTGGGACACCTCGGGCGTCACAACGATGGAGTACATGTTCGATGGCGCCTCGGCCTTTAACCAAGACATTGGCGCGTGGGACACCTCGGGCGTCACAACGATGGCCAATATGTTCCAGGAAGCAACCTCCTTCAATCAGGATATTAGCAGCTGGAACGTTGGAGCGGTTACGGACATGCACGACATGTTCAAGGACGCGACAGCATTCAACCAGGACCTCGGCTGGTGCCTGAACAATGACGTGGACCTGGACGATGCGTTCGACACCGCCCAGTGCGAGTCGACGTGGTGCGGCATCGTGGGGGGAGTTAACTGCAACATCCTCCCGGGTATTGGCAGCGTCATGGTCAACTGGAAAATCAGAGTAGCAGTCGGAGTGTGGCTCTCGAATCCGACTGGCGCCACAGCGACGTACGGCCACATTTCCACGTGGGAGACTGGCGGGGTAACGGACATGGATGAGTTGTTCGAGGAAGCCTCGTCTTTCAACGAGGACATTAGCGCTTGGGATACCTCAGGTGTAACGTCGATGGTGGAGATGTTCAAGGAAGCATCCAGCTTCAATCAGGACGTTGGGGGCTGGAGCGTTGGAGCTGTTCTCGATATGGAGGAGATGTTCGAAGACGCATCGTCCTTTAACCAGGACCTCGGCTGGTGCGTGGACCACCGCGTGTACCTGGGCAGTTTTGCGTTCTACAACACCCGGTGCGAGTCGACGTCGTGCGGCGTCGTGCAAGTCAACTACCTCTTCAACTGCCCGAGGCCGACGCCAAGACCCATGCCTGGTCCGACGCCTCGCCCGACGTTTCCAAGTCCAACTCCACGGCCATCGCAGTCTCCTTCGCCGCGCCCCACGGCGTCTCCGACGCCGAAGCCTACACCGATGCCTACGCAGCGGCCGACGCCCGCGCCCAGCAAGCGCCCGACGTGGCGGCCGACGTCCGCGCCCAGCAAGCGCCCGACGCCGCAACCGACGTCGACGCCGACGCAGCGGCCGACGCTCGCGCCCAGCAAGCGCCCGACGCCGCAACCGACGTCGACGCCGACGCTGCGGCCGACGCCCGCGCCCAGCGTGGTCCCCGTGCAGTCGCCAACGCTGAGGCCTACCGCTGCGCCGGAAGCCGCTCCAGTCGCGGCGCCCGTGCCCACGTCTCAATCGACACCTCTCGTCTCGTGACCGTGTGGAAACCATCGAGCTAGTCGTCGCGTCGATGGCGTGGAGGTCGACGCTAAGGGCGCCGGCCCGGGAAATCCAATTTCTGCACAGGTCTGCGACCAAGGGGGCGGGTGCAAGATCCTCATCATCAGCACTGGTAAAGTGAACTTTAGAGGAGACAGGAGCGAGGCTTGGTGCACGAACCAAGGAAACAACCCGAACAAGGAGACGCTCTGGTGCGCCGATGCGGATCCGACACCCGTGCCCACGTCTCAATCGACACCTCTCGTCTCGTGACCGTGTGGAAACCATCGAGCTAGTCGTCGCGTCGATGGCGTGGAGGTCGACGCTAAGGGGGCCGGCCCGGGAAATCCAATTTCTGCACAGGTCTGCGACCAAGGGGGCGGGTGCAAGATCCTCATCATCAGCACTGGTAAAGTGAACTTTAGAGGAGACAGGAGCGAGGCTTGGTGCACGAACCAAGGAAACAACCCGAACAAGGAGACGCTCTGGTGCGCCGATGCGGATCCGACACCCGTGCCCCCACGTGCCCACCGACACCTCTCGTCTCGTGACCGTGTGGAAACCATCGAGCTAGTCGTCGCGTCGATGGCGTGGAGGTCGACGCTAAGGGGGCCGGCCCGGAAATCAATTTCTGCACAGGTCTGCGACCAAGGGGGCGGGTGCAAGATCCTCATCATCAGCACTGGTAAAGTGAACTTTAGAGGAGACAGGAGCGAGCTTGGTGCACGAACCAAGGAAACAACCCGAACAAGGAGGCGGCGGGTGCGCCGATGCGGATCCGACACCCGTGCCCGTGCTCACGACACCTCTCGTCTCGTGACCGTGTGGAAACCATCGAGCTAGTCGCCGCGTCGATGGCGTGGAGGTCGACTTTAAGGGGGCCGGCCCGGAAATCAATTTCTGCACAGGTCTGCGACCAAGGGGGCGGGTGCAAGATCCTCATCATCAGCACTGGTGAAGTGAACTTTAGAGGAGACAGGAGCGAGGCTTGGTGCACGAACCAAGGAAACAACCCGAACAAGGACGCTCTGGTGCGCCGATGCGGATCCGACACCGTTCCCGTGCCCACCGACACCTCTCGTCTCGTGACCGTGTGGAAACCATCGAGCTAGTCGTCGCGTCGATGGCGTGGAGGTCGACGCTAAGGGGGCCGGCCCGGAAATCAATTTCTGCACAGGTCTGCGCGACCAAGGGGCGGGTGCAAGATCCTCATCATCAGCACTGGTGAAGTGAACTTTAGAGGAGACAGGAGCGAGCTTGGTGCACGAACCAAGGAAACAACCCGAACAAGGAGGCACGCAGTGCGCCGATGCGGATCCGACACCCGTGCCCCACGTGCCCACGACACCTCTCGTCTCGTGACCGTGTGGAAACCATCGAGCTAGTGGCCGCGTCGATGGCGTGGAGGTCGACGCTAAGGGGGCCGGCCCGGAAATCAATTTCTGCACGGTCTGCGACCAAGGGGCGGGTGCAAGATCCTCATCATCAGCACTGGTAAAGTGAACTTTAGAGGAGACAGGAGCGAGGCTTGGTGCACGAACCAAGGAAACAACCCGAACAAGGAGACGCTCTGGTGCGCCGATGCGGATCCGACACCCGTTCCCACGTCTCAATCGACACCTCTCGTCTCGTGACCGTGTGGAAACCATCGAGCTAGTCGTCGCGTCGATGGCGTGGAGGTCGACGCTAAGGGGGCCGGCCCGGGAAATCCAATTTCTGCACAGGTCTGCGACCAAGGGGGCGGGTGCAAGATCCTCATCATCAGCACTGGTGAAGTGAACTTTAGAGGAGACAGGAGCGAGGCTTGGTGCACGAACCAAGGAAACAACCCGAACAAGGAGACGCTCTGGTGCGCCGATGCGGATCCGACACCCGTGCCCACGTCTCAATCGACACCTCTCGTCTCGTGACCGTGTGGAAACCATCGAGCTGGTCGTCGCGTCGATGGCGTGGAGGTCGACGCTAAGGGGGCCGGCCCGTTTTGAAAAGGTGCTCATGGGCTGCTGAGAGAAATCGACTAAAAATGCTTGAAGCGGCGGCGCTTGCGGCGTAGGCGCTTGCACGTGTATAGTACCGACCCTAGGCGACCCCAGGGAGACCTGTTCGACAGGGATTGACAGGATTCAACCGGCGCGGCCGCCCTGATGCCGGAGCCCGTACCAGATTCTCCTCCGTATGGACCTCCGGATTAAAATCGTAAAAAAATCCTCCTCGCAAGTTTAAATATGTTTGTATGAGCTGGGTGCAGCAAGTGCACAATGCAGCTGTGGTAGCTAGGTCTCTCGGGTGTCAATGTGACACGGAGATGCCAACAGGAAAAACTCTCACTGAAACGTGAGAGTGTGGGAACCCCCTCAACTCTGAGAAGACAGAATTGGAATAAAGGAGATTAAGAGGGAGAAGGAAGTATCCTAAGATACAGGCCACTAGCCTCTGATATCTACTAGAACCTGAGAGGAGCTCTACATAAAGGTAGCTACAGTATCATAGCACAATCGCTGTAAGCTCAGAGTACCGCAGTACCACGGTACCTACGGTAGGGTGGTACCGTACCTGCTATGATATGGCCACGTATCTAGTGGCTCGCTGCAAGATACTTTCTTATAGGTCTACCGGCGAATGGGAGGAAAGTGCGTGGCAATGCGTTTCCTCTTGGGGTTCGAGAAATCTGACCTGGGGCCAATATTTGCACCCTACGGGAGGTGCCTGAAAAGGGGCCCGCAATCAAGGCCACTTTTGCGGCCGTTTGTGCGGGAAGTTCTCGATATGGTTGTTTTGGCGCGGGGGCGCGTGGTCCGGGGTCCCTGGGGTTGGTGCCCGTTGTGGCAACGGCCTCTTTTCCACTTATAAATCTCCCAAATTTTTATCTTAGCTTCACTATCCTAGTCTCACTTATCTTGGTTAAATACCCGGATAGAGTAGGCCTAGTGAATACGGTAGGTACCGTACCGTAGGTAGGTAGATCAGCACATACCGTAGGTAGCACCACAAAACTAATAGCAGTCTACAGACAGCGGTTGCAAACCTACGCTAAGATGTCATTGTTTGACGATGGACGATGATGCGAGCACGTACCGCGCGCCGGCCTCCGCGCTCCCGGCCTTTAGGTACTTCAGCCTCCCGGCGTCGCCCGTCGCGCCGCCGCCGAACCCGCTGTGGCTGACCCAGGAGAGCTGCGCGTTCAAGGCGACGACGGGCGTCGTGTTGGGCGCGGGCGTGGGCGCGATGATGGGCCTCTTCTTCGGCATCCTCGGCGCGGACCCGTCGGTGCCCGTGGGGCCCGGCGGCCGCGCGATCCCCGCCGCACCACTGGCGCACCAGGTCCGCGTCGCCTGGCGTGCGCTCGGCGACAAGGCGATGTGGTACACGAAGTCGTTCGCCGTCATCACGGCGCTCTTCTCGGGCTGCGACTGCCTTTTCGAGAAGGCGCGCGGCAGGCACGACGCCATCAACGGGAGCCTCTCGGGCTGCGCCACGGGGGCAGTCCTCGCGGCCAAGCAAGGCCCCCAGGCGGCGTGTCTAGGGTGCGTCGGCTTCGCGGCGTTTTCCGTGGCCGTGGACGCGCTCATGCACCAGTAGCCGCCGCTGCGCTAGCGACGTGCTGGTTTACTCCGTTGGGCCTAGGGTGACTTTCCAAGGGGCTCTCCTCTGGTCTGCCAGTGTTTCCTTACTCGGGAGGGAGAAAGGGGTAGGTGATGCTCCGGACAGTCTAATTTATTTAAATAAATAAATTAATTAAGGAAGACCTAAAAATAGGAACAAGCTCCTAAGAGCCTTCTCCCTCAGGCTGCTCAGTCAGGATACCCAACCGGAGCTTCGAAATAGCAATATATACTAGTGTAGTAAATTGGTGTCATTGGCGCAGTGTCTACCTCCCCAATTGATAGCTGCCCCGTACCGTTGACGGTACAGGGGGGGCACACCCGCGGCTGTTGTAGAAAATACGGGGCTGCGATGTGTGTACAGCCGGTGTGGCCATGGTAGCGGTATTGGCGACGGACGCCATAGGTGAATCCCCGTGTTTATATTAGCACTAGTTGTAATCAAGAGTTCACTCCATGTTACGGTTGTTGCGTGTGGAGTCTCGCGTCCGCGACTGTCTACAGTGTCTAGAGTTTCCTAGGATGTCTTAAATGGGGTACTCAGCGCTCTCGACGAGCAGCCGCGGGTAGCAGTGGCGCACCGCCTCCAGCAAAGGCCCGCGCGGCTCCGCCTCGGCGTGCGTACGTCCCCACGAGTAGATGCAGACCCCGAGGCGCCGACTGCGATCTCGTCGCACATGGAACGCCGTGTCATTCGCCACGCAGCTCCGCGCCGCTCGAATGAAGCCGTCGGCGGCAGCGGATGACGTGAACCAGCGGCAAATCCACCGCGGCACGCGCCCCGCCGCGACGTGCTCGTTCGTATATTCGAGCGCCTCGTTGTGCAGCAGACGGATGCGACGGAGCGTAGCGGGAACGGAAGCGGACGCGTCGGCGACGGCCGTCTTGATGGTGCCTCTGCCGAAGGCGTCCGAGTCCTGCTCGAAGAAGAGGACGTCCGGCGCGAGGTCCGCGACGCGGCGAGCGCCGAAGCTTCCGTCGTGGAAGCGGCGCGTGAATTTCATCCCGCCGACGCGGTACCAATCAAAGGCGACGCGCGTGAGAACGCTCTCGCCGAGCTCCGCCCGGTCCAGGGCCTCTATTTTGGTCGATCCTCGTCGGAATCCGTAGAACGCGCGGGCGTTGTCCGCGAACAGGCCGCGCGAGGCGCTGCTGGGCCCGACGCCCCCGATGCGCACGACGCCGCCGACCGAGAGGTCGCTCGCGTCCGGGAACCCTCCGATGTAGCGCCCCCGCGCGAGCGCGACGTCGAGTAGCGCGGCGGTCGTGAGCCGCGCGTCGACGGTGACCTGCCGGTCGTCCGCGTGCAGCACGCCCGCCGCGCTCGCGATCGGCGCGAGCGCCACGACCACGTCCGCGTCCGTCCAGCGCATCGAGTGGCCGGTGACAAAGAGCGTCGCGCGCGGGTGCCGCGCGAGGAGCCGGGCGGCGTCCGTCCAGTTCGACGCGCGCGCCACGCGCGACGGCCGCCGCGCGCCGAAGCTCGTCACCGACATGCCGTCGCCGCCGGCGCCGAGAGCCGCCATCAGCGCCGGCAGCGTGTGCATGATGAGGCATGGCCCGGCTGCCGACGGCCGTGGCTTCATCGACCAGGGGCAGCCATGGCCATATGGCAGTAGCCACAGTAAAATACGCAGTAGCTTGCCTGGTCGATCACCGCAGAGCAATACACTACGAGCATACAACTCGTTCCCATATGGGACCCCGCACTCTAGCATCATATTCACATGTCTTGGCATTGTAACTCTCAGCCTGTCCCTAGTGCTCCGCAGGCGCACGAAGCTACGAGCTTGTATCTCGCGGCCACGGCCAAGGCTTCGGCTAGTAGCAAAAGCTTCACGGTATTGCTGCTGATACTGGCCGGGAGTAAAGGCGTTTTAGCAGCCCTGGAAGGCGTTTTGAGGTCCAGGGGCAGCCAACAACAGCTTCGAGATCGCCTGGAGTGAGAGGCGTTTGGAGGTCCAGCGGCAGCGAACAACAGCTTCGTGATGCCCGCCTGGCCAGCGGCGGCCCTGGCTGCGGCTCTGGCCGTGCTGTTCTTCTGGTCCCAACCAAGGGCCGGTGACGGGCCGACGGTCGACCCCGGGGCGGGCGCAGCCGCGGCGGCGCTGCGCCGGGCGACGGGCATCGACCCCGCGGCTCCGGTCTGGGGCGCGCCCTTCCGCGAGCTGGCCGCGCTGTACGACGGCGCCGATCCGCCGCTCGAGGCGCTCGGCGTGTCGGCCAAGTTCTCGAACGGGAAAGCCGCCACCGCGCGGTACTACGTCGCGCTGGAGCTTCCGGGCGTGGGAGGGCACCTGCCGCGCGACGCCCAGCGCCGCGCGGCCGCGCGCACGGCCGCCGCGCTCAAGGCGCCACCGCTCGTCGACGCCTGGCTCGAGGTGCTCGCCACGGAGGCGCCGCCGCCGGTCTACGGCTTCGGAGTTGACGCGGACGCGGGCGCCGCGAAGCTCTACGTCCAGAACCGCGACGGCGCGGCCCTACCCCAGCTACCAGCGGCCGCAGAGGCGGCGATGCCGCCAGTGTTTAGCAGCGGCACGCGGGAGCCGCCGCGCACGCTGTCGCTCGAGTGGCGCGTGGGCGAGGCGACGACGGCGCTGCGCCAGTACGCCGTCGGGGCCACATCGGACGGCACGCCGCGGCCGGCGCGCGACAGCTTCATCACCGTCGGCGGCGGCCAGCTGGCCGAGGCGCTCGAGGCGGCGGCCGACGCCCACGCGGCATCGATTTACGACGTGTCCGTGACCGGCTTCTTCCGGGCAGACGGCCCGGCGCCGCTCGCGCGCGCCGAACGCGCAAAGATTGGTCTCGCATTCGAGCGGTGGCCAAACGTCGATGCGCTAGCGTCTATCTTCGAGGCCTCCGGCGTCGATGCGACCGCAGCGGCGCGCTGGGCGCAACGGTCGGCAGCCGCAGGACACTCGATTACGAATATGGAGGTCGGGCGCGGCGCCGTCGCGCTCTACAGCCACCCGACGCGCTTCGACTTCTTCGACGGCGCCGCGCCCGCGCTACACGCCCAACCAGCTGCGCCGCGGGGCGTGGCACCCTACGTGTGGCCGGCGCCGCCGGCGGAGCTCATGATGCGCTCCGAGACGACTGTCGTCCGCGGCAGCCCGTCGGCCGACGCGACGGTCGCGGCAGCCTACGCGCCGTTCTTCGGCCGGGGTGCGCTGGCGCACGATGCGCTCACCGTGACGCCCGCGGCGGCGGCGGCGCGGCACGTCGAAGACCTCGCGGCGCGGCTCGGCTGCGTCGCGTCCGGCGGATGCGCGGAGCTGGGCCACGACGGGACGGGCGCGCCGCTCGCCGAGGAGGTCGAGTCGGCGGTGCTGCGCGTCGAAAACCTCAAGGGCGGCTTCGACGCGACGGGCACGGCCTACGAGCAGATCCTCGCGCCGTTTCCCCTTGACGCGCACACGGCGCACGTGTACGCCTCGGCGCGCGGGCGGTCGGCGCTCGCGAGCCACACGGACACGACGGACGTGCCCGTCGGTGCCGAGATCACTAGTTATCTCCGCGAGAGTTTCTTGTCGAACAACGCTCTCATTTCCTTACCGGTTGATTCCACGCAGATTCTCGTGCTCCAGCTCAGCGGGGCCAAGGAGTGGCGCCACTGCCGCACGAAGCGCTCGGCGTCGTGCACGACGTACGAGGACGACGACCTCGACGACCTCGCCTGCGAGACAGTCGTGCTGGAGCCCGGCGACGCGCTGTTCCTGCCGCGCGGCGTCGTGCACGGCGCCGTCGCGGTCGACGCCGCGTCCGTGCACCTGACTGTCGGCATCGGCGGCCACCGCTGCGAGGCGCGCCGGCAGCTCCAGGGCGTCGTGTGTATAGGAGGCAGCCATTCCACATCTTGTCCTGCGGGCACGTTCAACGAGGGCTCGGGCTCATACATCGCGTCGGACTGCGACGAGTCCTGCGACGACTATTCAAACAGTTGCGACTCAGAATGCGACACGTGCACCGGATGCGAGTCGTGTTCGGATCGCGAGGAAGACGTGTGCGCCGCCGGCGGGAAGGTCCTTCTCGGCTGCGGCGGCGCTGAAGCGGGCACGTGCGTCCCGGCGCCGACGCCTGCACCGACGCTGACGCCGACGTTATTTCCCACGCCTGCCCCGACGTTGGTCCCGACGACGTCAGCGCCGAGCCCCGCGCCAACGCCGGCCCCGACCATATCCCCTCCCCCGAGCAGCGCGCCGACCGAGCTCTGCAGAGACTACTTGCTGAATGGGTTCAACAACGAGGATTTGAACGGCCACTACGAGTACGTCACGATGACGAGCGACGGCCGGCCGATCTACGCCTCGACCAGCAGCACGCATTACCTCTTCTACGACGCGAGCTGCGGCGACGGCCGCGACGCGCCCTGGAGTAGCGGCTGGTTCGTGGGCTCGACGTTTCCGAACTCGCTCGCCTGGTCGCCGCAGCCGACGGCGTCGGCCGCGCCGACTACGGTGCCAACGGTCGAGCCGACGGCCGTGCCGACGGTAGCGCCGACGACGACGGTGGTGCCGACGACCGCCGCGCCCAGTATGTTCGTGTACGAGATGGACGACACCAGCATCCGCACGGCACTCGCGGCGTGGCTGGCAGATGCGACGGCCGCCGAGGCAAAGTACGGCCGCATTTTGAATTGGGACACATCAGGGGTGACGGACATGTCGTATTTGTTTTGTGGGGGCGGTTCGGGCTATTGCAACTCGGCAGTGGCGTCCTTCAACGAGGACATCGGAGCGTGGGACACCTCCGGCGTCACAGACATGGGCGCCATGTTCAGAGGCGCCTATGCCTTCGACCAGGACATCGGCGCGTGGGACACCTCCGGCGTCACAACGATGGACTACATGTTCAGCGGTGCCTCGTCTTTTAATCAAGACATCGGCGCGTGGGACACCTCGGGCATCAGAACCATGAACTCCATGTTCCGCAGCGCCTCGGCCTTCGACCAGGACCTCAGCTGGTGTGTGGACGGCGACGTGAGCCTTCATAGAGCGTTCGAGAACACCCCGTGCGCGTCGACGTCGTGCGGCGTCACGAAGAGCAGCGCCTGCGGTCGACGCCTGCAAGCCGAAACTTGGGCGAGGGGCTGGCGCGAGATGGCCCAGATGACAGGGACGCAACCGGACGCCAACTTTGGGTGGGCGGTGGCGATGGAGGGCGAGATCATAGCGATCAGCGCCCCGTGCATCAATTGTTGGGCGTCTTCCTACACCACGGGGCGGCGCACCTACGTCTTTCTCGCCTCCACTAGGTCCGATGGCAGCCTAAGCTACAACGAGGTGGCCAAGCTCCCTGGCGGTACCGCGCTCGCGCTCGATGGCAACGTCCTGGCGATTACTACCTGTGGGCCCGGCTCAGGCTGTGCTGGCACAGCGTACGTATATCGCACATTAGATGGCGGTGCAAGCTGGACCGAGGTGGCCAAGCTAGGGAATGGTTATTTGGTGGCGCTTTCCGGCAACGTCCTGGCAGTCTGCTCGGGCCGATTGTACGTATACCGCACACTAGATGACGGCGAGAGCTGGAGCCAGACGACCGATCTCGTCGGCGGATCTTCGGTGGCGCTCGCTGGCGACGTGCTGGTGGTCGGCAGCACAAGCGACGAGCACGCCAGGGTGCTCCTGACCTCCGATGGCGGCACGAGCTGGATTCAGACCACCACACTGACAGCGAGCGACGGGAGGGTCGGCAACGGTTTTGGATACGCATTGGCGCTCGACGGTGATGTCCTGGCAGTCAGTGCCGTTCACGCCGGAACCGGCGGTGCGGTCTACGTGTTCCTCGCGTCGAACGGTGGCTCCAGCTGGAACGAGGTCGCCATACTGACCGCAAGCGACACCGTGGCAAATGACTATTTTGGGCGCGCGCTGGCGCTCGATGGCGACGCCCTGGTGATCGGTGCCGCCCATAACAGTCATCACGGCCCTTCGCACGATGGGGCGGGGGCCGTCTACGGTTTCACAGCGTCGGACGGTGCCTTGGATTGGAGCTACGAAGGCAAGCTCACCGCGAGCGACGGACGAGGGGGGTGGCCGGCGGATTGGTTCGGTCACGGGCTGGCGCTCTCTGGTGATACGCTGGCGGTCGGGGCGCCCCAATGTAGTGCGGGCGACGGTTGCCCCACTCCGGGCAAAGCTTATGTGTTTAAGACAGGCCTCCCGTCGGCCGCACCGACCACCAGTCCTGCGCCGAGTCCTGCGCCAACGACTAGTTTCGAGCCGACACTGTCTCTACAGCCGACCGCAGCGCCGACGCGCCTCTGCCACTACGAAGCGCACGCCTACAGCGGCGAAGCGTTCCCGTGGGGCGAAGTCGCGTGGAGCGAGCGACTCGACGGCGGCGTGGTGCACGATGACCGGACCGTGACGGCCGAGTGCGGCACCTTTGGGCCCACTTCGGTTCCGTCGCCGGCTCCGACCATATCCTCTCCCCCGAGCAGCGCGCCGACCGAGCTCTGCAGAGACTACCTGGCGTCTGGGTTTCACGACGACGATTTGAACGGCCACTACGAGTACGTCGCGATGACGAGCGACGGCCGGCCGATCTACGCCTCGGCCAGCAGCACGCATTACCTCTTCTACGACGCGAGCTGCGGCGACGGCGGTTGGTTCGTGGACTCGGCGTTTCCGAACTCGCTCGCGTGGTCGCCGCAGCCGACGGCCGTGCCGACGACGACTGCTGCGCCGTCAACGGCCATCCCCACGGTAAGCGCGGCGCCCACGATCGCGCCCACGACGGGGACCAAAAGTATCGCGTGCGGCGAGACGCGATATGAATCCACGACCGGCGCGGCGCACTGGCTCTCGGGCAACGACGCGCCCGACCATTTCTACATCATCAGGCCCTCCGAGACGGCATACTACCACTTCTCGACGTGTGGCTCCGACTACGACACCATGCTCTACCTCTACAGCGTCGTCGGCTACGAGGCGAATACATGCCTCCGATCGCCCGCGCCGCACGCCGGCGCGGTGGATCTCATCGGCGAGTGGGACGACCCTGGCGAGGAAATATGCACGAGCGCTGGCAGCCGCGGGAACCTCGAGGACGTCTGGACCTCCCAGCCGCTCCAGGCCGGCGCCACGTACGTGCTGCAGGTAACCGGCTATTCGGAGCACGGCGGAGCACTCGAGACGGACTGCGACACCGACCACGCGCGCGACGCGGGCGCAGCGGGCAACTACGTGCTCACCGTCGGATGTGGTTCGGAGCCAGACGAGGGCGGCACGTTTACGATCACAAGCTCGAACGTGCACTGGGACGAATGTTACGGCGAATGCGCCGCAATCGGGGGCGAGTTTTCTTGTATCAGCGACGAGTCGCAGAACGAGCAGGCCTATAAGGCGTTCGGCGGCAGCTGTCCCCAAGGGGCGACCGAATGCGGGGCGTGGCTAGCGGTGACCGACGAGGCCTCGGAGGGCAGCTGGGTCTGCCAGAGCGCATATACGGCCCATAAAGGCTGGTGCGCCAACGCACACAATTCCGACGTTGATGATACGGAATACGGGTGCAACGGTAGGGAGGACTGCGACGCGGACGATAGTTGCGTGGCCTACGAGGCGGCCACCGCGGCCAGCACGGACGCCACCTGCACTCGAAATCCGGAAGCCGTATCGGGCACAGGAGACGACGAGGGCAGTACTTGCTTCGTGAAGACAAAGGCTGGCGGCAGCACGCAGAACTACCTCCCCTGGTCTAGCTGGGAACCAAACGGCGGCACCCGTGAGAACTGCGTCAATATCTGGGGACCAAACGGGCGTGACCGAGCCTGGAACGACTATCAATGTTCGGAGTCTCTGTTCCCTTGCGTCTGCCAGATGGGCGGCTCCTCGGACGAGGGCGGCGGTGCCTGCACGGCGTGGGGCTACCAATCTGAAGACCAGCTGGCGTGTTATGGCAGTGTCTCGGGCATGACCTACGACCTAGACCATCCCTGCTGGCATGAGCTCGACGCAAACCCGACGTGCTGCAACTATTGCGGGCCCTGGACATCGTCCGAATATGAGAGCACGTGCTCTGCCCTGGATATTATCCGCGTCTCGACCGGCTGCTGCTTTAGTGTGCAGGACTCGTCGGGCAGAGAGCATCACTACGACCAAGACCAGAACTTTTGCTACAATGGAGTTGGCTGCGACAGTGTACGTTCAGTCAAGGTTTATGACTGCTCAGGTGGGGACGAGGACGAGGGCGAGGACGACGAGGACATGGCGGCGTGCCTCGCGTGCGTGAACATGGAGTGCGAGGGCAACGAGCCGCACTCGGAGATTTGTAGTGATTGCTTCGGGGAGGACTGCGACGAGTGCCGCGACGCCGTCGGGGAGAGCGAGCTTGCAGCGTTCGTGAGCGGCGGCTGCGACTTCGACGACGGCTCGGACATCGGTCGCTGGTTCCGGGACGAGGGCTGCGGGTCCCTGCGCGGCTGCTGTCCGATCACCAGGAATTTCTGCACGAACGACGCCTCGCTCCCGGACAACTGCAATTGTGGGGATTGTGGTTATCCTGCTTGTGGTGACTGCGACTGCGATGACTACGGCGACGACCACTGCTGCACGGGCAGCCCGGGCAGCTGCATCAAGCTGTACGACGTCGAGACCGACAAATGCGAGTGGGAGACGTACGAGCACAGCGGCGACCTCGACGCCTGCCGGGCCAAGTGCGCGGCGCGGTTGGACTGCTATGCGATCCAGTACGAGTCAAGCGGAAGCAGCTGGTGCGACGGCTGCACGGGGTCTACGGATGCGGTCGGAGCCGACCTGTCGCTCTGGGCCGACACGTCGGGAGGTGTCCACGTCGAAAGCCGCGAGTGCTTCGCTGGCACCGTGTCATCTTCCGGAAATGCGTTTCATCTAAGCCCGTCACGCATGTCGCAGCCAGATTGTGTCAACTACTGCAGTGCGCTTGGAGGGACGCTTGCATGCATCAATAATGCTGCGGAAAACAGCGCGGCACTTGCCATTCTTGATGTTGGTATTGACACTTCTCGGACAGATACTCCCGGTTGGGTTGGTGCATGGATCGGACTGACGTACCAAGGCAGTGGGCACCGGTGGCCGCTCGGTTGCTCCAGTACTTTCACATTCTGGCAACCAGGTGAGCCAAATGGTGGAGCTGCATCGCCTTTTGTAGAGATGTACACCAGTTCAACCCCAGGCAAAGGTGCTGGTCGATGGAATGATCATGACAGTAGTTATTCATTGCAGTGTCTGTGCAGTACAACGGCTTCTAGCGCCACTCCGTCCGGTTCAAGCGACGACATGATGTTCAGCTACTTTCCGGGCCCGGCGACGCACGCAAGCGCTCGGGCAGCGTGCCAGGCGCTCGGCGGCGATCTTGCGAGTATTCATAGTGCCGAGGAAAACGCAGCGGCGTTCGCACTGACCGGCGGTAAATCGACGCGCATCGGACTGACGGACGCAGCGGCCGAGGGGACGTTTGTGTGGGACGACGGCACGCCGCTCGACTACGAGGCGTGGAACGGCGGCGAGCCGAACAGCTACGGCGGCGACGAGGACTGCGTCGGCTATCTGCACGGGGCGGGTGACCGTTGGCACGATATCCGCTGCGACATCACGTCGGATCGAACCGACCTTGGCTACATCTGCCGCTCGCCATGCACAGCCGAGCGTGGCCCCGTCGAAGTCTCCGGCTCCTGCGCGTCCTTCAACTGCTACGAAGACTCACACATTAATGGCCACGACATCACGTGCCAGTCGGGCTTGAGCCAGGCTCAATGCGTAGATCTCTGCTGTGCGGAGGCGGAGTGTCTCGGATTTGATTACAGCGCCTCGGACTCAAGATGCTGTACGAGCTCCGTTTCCCGCGCCGTAAGCTTTGACCAGAACGCGGGAAGCGGCTACTTGAGCTGCGAGAAGAATGACGTCACGTGCGGCTTCTCGGAGGACCGCAAATTGAGCGCCGAGGGCGGCGACTCAGGCTCTGCTAGCGGCTCCTTCGTGTACGTCGATCAAGCGAAGAGCTTCGACGATGCGCGCGCGTACTGCCGCGCGTACTATCACGACCTCGCGTCGATCCACAGCTCCAGCGAGAATGCGGCAGTTGCGGCGCTTTGTCCCGGTGAATGCTGGATCGGGGGCTCCGATGCGGCCCAGGAGGGCACGTGGACTTGGTCGGACGGCACCGCGTGGGACTACGAGAACTGGGAAAGCGGCGAACCCAACAATCATGACGGCGACGAGCCATACACCGTGATTTTACATAACAGCAAATGGAATGACGAGAACCGCTATGGTAGTTACCAGTTCGTGTGCGCGACGTCGGCCTCGGGTCCACACGTGCTAAAAAGCGCGCTGACCGTCGGGGGTCTCGCGCTCGAGGCGGCGGAGCCGCACGCTGGGGTCTTGGTCTCCGCGATCGCGAGCATGGCCTCCGTCGCCCAATCTCAGGTGTCCGTCGAGATTGAGGTTACGACCATGCCCAAATGCGCGGCCACCTTTTGCTCCAACGAAGACGGCTCCGGTACCTGCTGCACCCTCCCGGCAGGTCGGTACGGGAACTGCGAACGGTGCGATAGTCATCCAAACAGCGTGCTCACCTCGGCACCGTGCCCAGGAAATGATCAGATCTCGTACGTGCGTGTCGAGGGCGCAGCGGCGTGCGGCGCCTGGGTCCACGAGCATTGCCCAGATTGTGGTGGGCGCCACGATTTCCTCGATGGCCCAGGCGTGTACCGCGCCTCTAGCGGCGACTTTAACGACAATACACTCTCGGACGCGACCATCGGATGCGTCGTGAACGGCGCCGTCACGGAGCAGGACTGCGGTTCAGGCGATGCCTCCTTCACGGAATTTTTATTCGTCGCCGACGTGGGTTCGTGGTCGAACGGTCGCGCGCAGTGCCAGAGCCGTGGCGGCGATCTGGCCACCATCCACAGCGCCGCCGAGGATGCGGCGGCGAAGGCAGTCGTTCCGTCCGGCTCGAGCGCGTGGATTGGCCTGTCCGACACGACCACAGAAGGCTCGTACGCCTGGGTCGACGGCAGCGCTCTCGACTATGTCAACTGGGCGGGCGGCGAGCCCAATCAATCGGGCGGCAACGAGGACTGCGCTGGCTTCTACAAGGGCCACTCCAGTGGTTGGGCGGACGGTAACTGCGACGAGTGGGAGGGAGCCGATCCAGTGGGCGCCGTCTGCAGCATCCCCGGTTCGTCGACGGGTTCAGACGATTACGATTACTGGGAAGCACTCTGCCCGGAATGCGGCGACGAGCACAACTGCGCGGCGGCGGCGGAATGCCATGGGTGGTGTTGTAGTACGTGGGGCGAGTGCTGCAGCGAGGACGAGGACGAGGTCTGTTCGAACCCGACGTGCCCCGACGCCAGCGCCGCGACGTGCTGCGATATCGATGGAGACTGCGACGACGGCGACGACGACTGGTGCTGTGGCACCGATTTCCTGTGCACGAACGATTCGCCGGACTGGGCCGCGCAGCAGGGCGGCGTGCTCTGCTGCTCGCTCGGCCACGCGCCGACGCCGACGACCCTTCTCGCGATCACATACTCGATCCGCGCCGACTCGTTCTACACCGCATTAGCGCTGGCCAAAATCCTCGAAGACGTGAGCCCGAGCCAGGTGGATACGTACGTCCAGGCAGCGGCTTCGGCCGCGGGCGCATCGGGAGCGTTCGCGGCGTTCTCCACGCTTCTGGTCTCCGAGGTGGTCGTTGTTGAAGCCCTCCCAGCGCCGACCTGCCACTACGAAGCGCACGCCTACGGCGGCGAGGCTTTTCCGTGGGGTGAAGTCACGTGGAGCGAGCGACGCGGCGGGGCGAGTGAGGACCGGGCCGTGACATTCGAGTGCGGCACCTTTGGGCCCACGTCGGTTCCGACGGCCGTACCATCGTCGGCCCCGACGGCCGCGCCGACGGCCGCGCCGACGACTGCGGTGCCGTCGCCGGTGCCGTCGCTCGCGCCGACGACCATAAATTACCGCCTGGCGGACTTCTCGGCGACGCCGCCCGCGGAACTGGCCGAGGCGGCCTTTACGGGGACGGGTCTCAAGGTAGAGCACCTGGTCGTCAACCTCACGGTCCCGGCGACCGAGCCCGTCCACGTGTCGCTGAGCGCGTGGGAGCAGGGCGGCGGCGGTTTTCGCGGCAGGCGGAGAAAGGGCGGCGGTGCCCTCCGCTTCTACGACGAGGACCCAGATAACCCGGGCTACGCGCTCGTCTCCGACCGCGGAAGAGCCTTCGTCACGAAAATCATTCCCGCCGGCGACACTATTCTCACCCTCGCCGCCGGCGCGCTCCGGGACCGCGTCAATAACGGTCAGAGTGTCGTGCAGACCATCACGGTCTCCCTCGACTCGGACGATGCGATCTACGGCCGCGAGCGAAACTTTATCGGGTCGTTCGCCGTGACGGTGCTGGACGTCGACGAGTCGCTGATCGAGGTGAACAAATTCCTGGCGACGACGGACCCCGTCACCTCCGCCGCGGCGGCCCTCACGGCGAAAGCAAAGGAGAACGCCGCGGCCTTCGTCTTCACGGCGGCGCTGACGAGCCGGCCGTTTTCCGCCGTGCGCCTCGAGGTCAAGGGCGACGTCGACGCGTTTGCGAGCATCTCCGTCGACGGCGCCGACGGAGGGAACCGCACGGTCGAGCCCGCCGACTGGGCCTCGGCCGCGACGTACGAGTTCCGCGTCGCCGACGACGCCGTGCTCTCCGGCGACCGCAACTACTCCGTATGGTTCGTGGCGCGCTCGGACGATGCTAATTATGACGGCCGACGCTCGGCTACGATGACGTGCCAAGTCATCGAGGACGACGTCGCCTTCGCCACCGTGAGCGGCAAGGCGCTGACGGTCGGGGCCGGCGTCGACGGTCCGACGTTCAGCGACGGCTACTGGATCACGCTCTCCGCGCCGCCGACGGCTGACGTCATCGTGTCGCTCGGCTGCGCCGACACGAACGTGTTCAACACGAAGCGGCTCTTGTTTACGCCGGACAACTGGGATCGGAAGTACGTGGCCGTCAACGCCTCTCTCGCAGACCCAGACGTCCTGGAGGGCAGGACGGCCACGCTCACGCACTCCGTCGCCTCCTCCGACGCCTTCTTCGACGGCCTCGCCGTCTCCGACGTCGAGATCGCCGTAGAGTTCTCGGTGGATAGTGTGCCGCCGCCCAAGCTAGAGCTTGTGCGGTTCCTGGACGGCGGCAACGGCCTCGACGTGCTCTTCGACAGCCCGACGAACATGATCGACGGCGAGTGGGATATTGATTGCGCTACGCTCTTCGAGTACGCGGCGCAGCAATTCGGCGCGGACGGTACGTGCGCCTGGACGAACTCGAGCGCGCTGCGCGTGACGTTCGGCGCGGGCGCCCAGATAGTGCCGTTCGACTACGTGGCCGCGACGGAGAAGAACGCCGCGTGGCTCAAGGGCGGCGTGCTGAAGAACGACCTCGACGGCGCGACGCTCACGAGCGCCGCCCAGTACGCCGAGGCCCAAAAGCCGCTGCATCCCGTGGCGCCGGCGGTCTCGATCACGGCGCCGGAGAGCGTCGGCGTCTGCGACGGCGTCGTCCTCGACGCGCGCGGCGCCACGGGCGGCGGCTCGCGAGCTCTGACGTACAACTGGGGCGTGCTGACGAGCTGGGACGCCGAGACGGACGCCGACATGGCCAGCGTGGCGGCGCTCAAGGCCAAGCTCGCGGCCGCCGACGCCGCTGGCGCCGTGACCCTGGGCCTCGCCTTCGACGACCTCCTCGCGGGCCGGGCCTACGACTTCCTCATCACCGCGACGAATTTTCTCGGCGTGACGACCACGGCCTACGCGACCGTCGACAAGCTGGCCTCGCCGGCGCCGAGCGTCCAGTTCCAGAGCGCCGCGACGCAGACCATGGTTCGGTCCGACAAAAAGTCGCTCAAACTCGACGTCGCGCTGCCCAAGCTCGCCTGCGTCGACGCGAACGTGTCGTCCACGGCGCTGGGCTTCGCCTGGCGCGCGTGGCGGCTGGCGGGGGCGACGTACGTCCGAGACATCCCGGACTTGGCGGAGTACACCGCCAACCCCATGTCGTGTCGCCTGCCGGCGGACGCCCTGGCCGCGCAGACGACCTACAAGTTCCAGGTGACCGTCGGCTTCGCGGACACCATGACGATTAACAGCTCCGCTACTACCACGATTGTTGTCGGGTCGCAGGTCCTCGTCGCGTCCATCTTAGGCGGCGTCGAGCAGGCCGTGGCGATCGGCGCCACCACCGAGCTGGACGGGTCCGAGTCGTACGACCCCGACGAGGAGGGCGCGCTCGCGTACGCGTGGACCGCGGCGCGCGTGCTGGACGACGGGAGTAGGGAAGACGCGAACCCATTACTCGCTTCCGCGGACACGACGCAATCCGTCCTCGCGTTTACGCCGACGACGGCGGCGGGCTGGGCGAGCGACACTTCGTACGAGTTCACGCTGACGGTCTCGCATGGCGCGCGGAGCGCGGCCTACAGCGTGCTGGTGTCGGTCTCGTCGGACCAGTACATGCCGCGCGCGACGGTCACGGGCTTCGACGAGAGCGTCAAGTACAATCCCACGGAGGACACGTTCGCTGCGATCTATTTCGAGGCGACGTCGCCCGATCCCGGTAGAACGATCGAACAAACCGCCTGGTCCGTCGGCGCCGGGCAGTCCGCGGGCCTCCTCGGCAAGCCCAGCGGGGCGCCGTCTCCCATGCTCATCGACCTCGGCAAGACGCGGCCCAACGCCGTGTATCGGCTGAGACTTACGGTCACGGACAGCATCGGGTCGACGTCCTCGACCGTCGTCTCCCTGACGACGAACGGCCCACCCACCTCGGGCACGTTCGCCGTCGCGCCGTACCGGGGCACCGCCCTGGAGACGGAGTTCGAGTTCCTGCTCGACGGCTGGTCCGACGACGTCGACGACTACCCCCTCACGTACACGTACGGGTATCGGCTGGTCCAGGACGCGGCGCTGACGCCGCTGGTTGCGGACCAGTACGCGAGCGCGTGGTTCCTTACGACACTGCCGCAAGCGCCGAATGTCAACATCACGTGTGTTGGCCGCGTCTTCGACCGCTACCTGTCCTACGCGCAAGCCTTCACGCCCGTGCGGGTGGACCCGCTCGAGATCTCGACCGAGGACCTCTCGGCGTTCGCTGGCGATCTATTGTCAGCGTCGGCGGACACGGGCGATGGCGAGGCGTCGCTGTCACTGGTCTCGAACGTGGCGAGCGTCTTAGGCGGGACCGACGCGAGTCGCCGGAGACTTTCCGCCAAACAGGAGTTGATCGACGACCTGATGGCCCACACGATTAGCGCGGCGAGCCTGGTGGGCACGGGCTCGTCCGCCGCCGCGGCGGCTCAGGTCCTGTCCACCGTCTCGAGGCTCACCGGGGACCCCGACTCTCTCTCTGAGAGCTCGCAGACGGGCGCGCTCGGGCTGCTCAGCGACGTCGTCGGCGGCGCGGCGGGGAGTGGCTTCGACGCCGACACGGCCGCGTCGACGGCGGCTACGGTCTCGAGCCTCCTGGATGCGAGCCTGTTCGCGTCCGGCATGGTGGACGCGCGGCGGGCGTTGGGGGCCGCTAACGCCGACCTGGGCGGGCAGATCGCCGGCACGGTGGGGGCCCTCGCCACCGGCATGATCGCGGGCGCCTACGGCGGCCAGAACAGGAGCGTCGTCACGGACAACATGGAGCTTCGCGCCTTTCGGACCGACTGCGGGACGCGGGACGCAGCGTTTCGATTATTCTCGGGGACAGGCGTGGCAAACCTGCCCGCCTCGGCCCTCGACGCCGCCGGGGGCGGCAGTTGCGACGCCGGGGCGGCGGGAGCACCGGCCGACGTGGACGTGAAGGTGGCCCGACTGAAGAACGTCTACGCTTCTGAGGGCGACGGCACCATCTCGGACCTGCTGCAGATCGAGCTCGGCGGCGAAGGCACCACGGTCAAGATTGATAATCTCGCCGAACCCATCGTGTTTGACATCCCGTTCGACTACGACCCGGCGCTCGAGGACGACTACGACCAGGGCACGGACACGGGCCTGTGTTCGGATCAGTCCCAGGTCCTGACCTTCAACTGTGATGTGCCCACGACCTTCGACTGCGGCGGGTCTGAAGACCCGCGCGACGTCACCGTGAATTGTCCCACCAAGGCGGCTTCGTGCTCGTTCTGGGATAATGCGACGAGAAGCTGGTCCTCCGACGGCTGTTCCGTCGTCGCGAACACGGCGTCCGGCGTGACGTGCGCGTGTACGCATCTGACCGACTTCTCCGCCTCGACGACCGCCCCGGACGCGGACGTCGTCGTGAGCGTCCGATACCCCACGCCATCGCCGACCACACCGTCGCCGACGTCGAGCCCCACGACGTCGTCGCCGGGCCCCTCGCCGCAACCGACGTCGACGCCGACGCTGCGGCCGACGCCCGCGCCCAGCGTGGTCCCCGTGCAGTCGCCAACGCTGAGGCCTACCGCTGCGCCGGAAGCCGCTCCAGTCGCGGCGCCCGTGCCCACGTCTCAATCGACACCTCTCGTCTCGTGACCGTGTGGAAACCATCGAGCTAGTCGTCGCGTCGATGGCGTGGAGGTCGACGCTAAGGGCGCCGGCCCGGGAAATCCAATTTCTGCACAGGTCTGCGACCAAGGGGGCGGGTGCAAGATCCTCATCATCAGCACTGGTAAAGTGAACTTTAGAGGAGACAGGAGCGAGGCTTGGTGCACGAACCAAGGAAACAACCCGAACAAGGAGACGCTCTGGTGCGCCGATGCGGATCCGACACCCGCCCGTGCCTCAACCGACACCTCTCGTCTCGTGACCGTGTGGAAACCATCGAGCTAGTGGCGCGTCGATGGCGTGGAGGTCGACGCTAAGGGGGCCGGCCCGGAAATCAATTTCTGCACAGGTCTGCGACCAAGGGGCGGGTGCAAGATCCTCATCATCAGCACTGGTAAAGTGAACTTTAGAGGAGACAGGAGCGGGAGCTTGGTGCACGAACCAAGGAAACAACCCGAACAAGGAGGCGGCTGGTGCGCCGATGCGGATCCGACACCGTGCCCACGTGCTCACCGACACCTCTCGTCTCGTGACCGTGTGGAAACCATCGAGCTAGTGGCCGCGTCGATGGCGTGGAGGTCGGCACGCTAAGGGCGCCGGCCCGGGAAATCAACTTCTGCACAGGTCTGCGACCAAGGGGCGGGTGCAAGATCCTCATCATCAGCACTGGTAAAGTGAACTTTAGAGGAGACAGGAGCGAGGCTTGGTGCACGAACCAAGGAAACAACCCGAACAAGGAGACGCTCTGGTGCGCCGATGCGGATCCGACACCCGTGCCCACGTGCCACCGACACCTCTCGTCTCGTGACCGTGTGGAAACCATCGAGCTAGTAAGGCGCGTCGATGGCGTGGAGGTCGACGCTAAGGGCGCCGGCCCGGGAAATCCAATTTCTGCACAGGTCTGCGACCAAGGGGGCGGGTGCAAGATCCTCATCATCAGCACTGGTAAAGTGAACTTTAGAGGAGACAGGAGCGAGGCTTGGTGCACGAACCAAGGAAACAACCCGAACAAGGAGACGCGCTGTGCGCCGATGCGGATCCGACACCCGTTCCCCACGTGCACCGACACCTCTCGTCTCGTGACCGTGTGGAAACCATCGAGCTAGTGCCGCGCGTCGATGGCGTGGAGGTCGACGCTAAGGGGGCCGGCCCGGGAAATCCAATTTCTGCACAGGTCTGCGACCAAGGGGGCGGGTGCAAGATCCTCATCATCAGCACTGGTAAAGTGAACTTTAGAGGAGACAGGAGCGAGGCTTGGTGCACGAACCAAGGAAACAACCCGAACAAGGAGACGCTCTGGTGCGCCGATGCGGATCCGACACCCGTGCCCACGTCTCAATCGACACCTCTCGTCTCGTGACCGTGTGGAAACCATCGAGCTGGTCGTCGCGTCGATGGCGTGGAGGTCGACGCTAAGGGGGCCGGCCCGGAAATCAATTTCTGCACAGGTGCTGCGACCAAGGGGCGGGTGCAAGATCCTCATCATCAGCACTGGTAAAGTGAACTTTAGAGGAGACAGGAGCGAGGCTTGGTGCACGAACCAAGGAAACAACCCGAACAAGGAGACGCTCTGGTGCGCCGATGCGGATCCGACACCCGTGCCCACGTCTCAATCGACACCTCTCGTCTCGTGACCGTGTGGAAACCATCGAGCTGGTCGTCGCGTCGATGGCGTGGAGGTCGACGCTAAGAGCGCCGGCCCAGTACGGTGTAAACCAATTTACTACTATAAAACACTCTCGTAGTTGGCTTGGCCCAGCCTCTGGCTGGTGAGCCAGGACTCTACAACTCTACATAACGCTGCGACATACTCTCGCCAGCTGCGTAGGTACGTAGTGTCGGCGGCAGTTTCGCGGCAAGGTGGGCTCGGATGGTTTTGAAAAGGTGCTCATGGGCTGCTGAGAGAAATCGACTAAAAATGCTTGAAGCGGCGGCGCTTGCGGCGTAGGCGCTTGCACGTGTATAGTACCGACCCTAGGCGACCCCAGGGAGACCTGTTCGACAGGGATTGACAGGATTCAACCGGCGCGGCCGCCCTGTGGCCTCGTCCGCCTCCGCGCCGCGAAACTATCTTGAAAAGGTGCTCATCGGAACGCGGGGAGCGAGAGAAACGTTTTTACGGGGACGGAAAGAAAGGGCGAGCGGCGAAGAACAGCGTTCTGACGACCGGCGTAAAACAGCTTAAATGCTAGTGGCGCAAAACTCACTAGGGCCTGTGTGCCCCGTACCGTTAACGGTACGGGGCAATTAGAGGCCGATTTATCCCGTCCGCCCCGTTGTTCGATTGGGTTTCGGGCGGGTTTTATCTCGGACCATCTTACGCTTTGACCCCCCTATGTCATTAATGTCGATTTCCTCGGTTCGGTCCAGATTCCAGAACAGTCCATCCTAGTATGATCCTACCCAGCCTGACCTGGCCGGCTACCACATAGAGTAACATTAGAGTCGCATGTTCCGTGTGCTCTGTACGGCTGCCCGACTGCGCGACCCGGCGGTTAGCTCTGGGGCGGGCCGGGCGTACGGTCACGCAGGCGTCGCGTCGGCTCCGCGGCTAGGTGGCCTAGCTCTTAGCAAAGTAAATAAATAAATAAATAAATAAATTAAGGAAGACAAAGCACGCACTTTCTGCGTTTACAAACCGTTCTAACAAACCTGACAACTACCCTCCCACGACGGACAGACCAGCGGGTCCACCAACTTAGACGCACTCTTCTATATGAGCTCGGGGCTCGCGAGGAGCTCCGCGGCCGACAGGGAGAACGCCGGCGCCGGGTCCGGGTGCCGCCCGACGGCCGCGGCGCCGGCGTCGCGCTGGTCGCGGCGATTCTCGTGGACGAACGCCGCGGCGAGCGCCTCGGCGAGGCGCAGGCGGAGCGTCGCGGCCGCGGCGGGCGAGGGCGGGGCCGCGCAATTCTCGAGGATCTCCATGAGCGCGAGAACGTCCGGCGACGCGAGGACGGGCGGGCGCGCGGGCGGCGCGTCGGCGTAGCGGAGCGGGTCGGGCGCGCCGGCGGCGGCGCGGTCGAGGACCGCGGCCGCGCACGCGAGCACGACGGCGGCGTCGCGCGGCGCCGCGGCCGCGACCGCGCGCGCGAGCAAGGCGCCCTCGTCGTCGGCGCGGGGGCCCGCCAGCGCCGCGGCCAGCGGCGCGAGCGTCGCCAGCGCCTCCGCGCGCGGGCCGAGGCGACCGGCGACGACGAGGTGGCCGAGGCCGGCGCGCTCGCGCGCGTCGGCGTCGTGCGCCGGGTCGAGCGCGGCGGCCGCGGCGCTCGCGCGCGCGGCGGCGCGCGCGAGCGCGTCGGCGTCGGCGCCGGCGTCGGCTCGGGACGCCCGCGCCAGCGCCTCCGCCAGCGCCGCGTGCGCCGCGCCGCAGAACTCCTCGAGGCGCCCGTCGCACGCGAACGGCCGCTCCGACGGGCGGTCGCGCGGCACCGCCGCGCGGCCGCGCGCGAGCACGGGATCGTCGAGGAGCTCCGCGCGGACGTACCACGCGGCGGCCGCGGCGCCGTCGGCGCCGTCGGCGAGCGCTGCGTCGCCGCGACCGTCGCAGACCGCGCGCGCGCGCCGCGCGAGGCCCTCGGCCGCGCAGAGACGCGCGAGGTCCCAGGCGTCGGCGTCGTCGCGCGGCGCCGCGCGGGCCAGCAGCGCCGCGTACGCGTCGCGCGCGCCGCCGGCGCCGAGGAGCAACACGCGCGCGGCGAGGCGCCACGACGCGCCCTCGACGGCGGCGGCCGCGCGCTCGAGGAGCGGCGGCGCGAGGCGCGGCAGCGGCGGCGCCCCCGGCGGCGGCGGCGGCGCGCCGCCGGCGCCCCGGTCGCACAGCGCGGCGAGCGCGGCCGCGCAGCCGAGCGGGGCCGCCGCGTCGCCGGCGACGGCGGCGACGGCGGCGACGGCGGCGGCCGCGTCGCCGTCGACCGCGAGGCGCCCGAGGAGGCGCAGGCGCGCCGTCGTCGCGGCGTCGCGCGCGGCGGCGGCGCCCGCGGCGCGCGCCGCGCGCGCGCACGCGTCGCGGAGGGACGCGCCGCCGGACGCGTCGACGGCGTAGACCACCTCGGCGAGGAGCCGGCCCTCGGGGCCCGGGTCGCCGAAGACGCGCGCCGCGCCGTCGACGTCGCCCTCGGCGAGCAGCGCCGCGAGCGCGCGGAGGGGCGGCGCCGCCGAGACGAGCGGCGCGGCGCCGGCGACGAGCGCCGCGCGCGCGCGGCGCGCGTCCGCGCGCCACGCGGCGACCGCCCGCGCGTGCGCGCGCGCGGCCGCCGCGCGGGCGCCGTCGGCGCCGCGCGCCCCGCCGGGCTCCACGTCGGGCGCCGCCGGGAGCGCCTCGAGGAGCGCGCCGACGGGGGCCCAGAGCGGCGCGAGGCGCGCGCTCCGCCGCGTCGAGTGCGCGCGCAGCGCGGCCCACGCGCGCGCGCCGCGGCCGCGGAGGCACTCGCGGAACGCGAGCTGCCAGAGCGGGCGCCGCGCCTCGTCGTCGTCGCTGGTGTCGTCGGGAGCCCAGGCCTCGGCCGGCGCGTCGAGGCGCGCGAGGAGCGGAGCGAGCGCGTCGAACTCGTCGCGCTCGGCGGCGCCGTCGAACGCGTGCGCGCGGAGCCACGCCGCGAGGCGGCACGCCCGGACGGGCGGCGCGTCGAGGCAGCACGCCTCGCACAGGTGCCACACGGCCAGGACGCCGTCGAGCGCGTCGGCGGCCGCCGCGGCCGCCGCCTCGCCCGCCGCCTCCGCCCGTTCCAACTCCACGACGTGGTCCGCGATCGCCGCGCGGCAGGCCGCCGACGTCTCCGCGAGCGGGGCGCCGTCGGCGACGGCCTCCAAGACGCCGCACAGCCGCGCGACGAGGCGACAATCCGCGGAGCCTTCTTCGGCCATGTTGTTTGACTCCTTGCTTTGGGCCAGCGCTAGCGGTTAAGACCACTAGCACCTCCGACACAAACATAGCTCTAGCACAAACATAGCTCTAGCACAAACATAGCTCTAGCACCATAACACGCGCGATGATCGAGGACTCGCCGGAGGAGGAGGAGGAGGAGGAGATCTGCTGGCGGGCCCGCGTGGTCCTCGCGGAGCCTGCCTCCGAGCGGAGCGGGGCCCTGGCGGGCGCGGCGGCCGGAGCGGACGCGCCGGCGGCGCGGCGGCGCGGCGCGGCGGCGGACGCGGACGCGGACGCGGCGCCGCCGCCGCCGCCGACCGCGCTGCCCGCGCGCGGGGCGGCGGACCGCGTCGCGCGCGCGGAAGCGCCGCGGCGGCGGACGCTCATGGCGCTGCCGTCGCGCTGGGCGCCCCCGCGCGCGCGCCGCGCGGCGCCGACGTCGGGCGCCGGCCTGCGCGCGCGACGCGCCGCTCGCCGCCGCGCGCCCGCCGCCACGGCGCGGCGGCGCGCGCCGGCGCCACGCGGCGCGGCGCCGTGGGTCTCCCTCGTCGCGGACGGCGCCGGGTCGGCGGCCGCCGCGCCGACGCCCTCCGCGCCGTCGCGGAAGCGGCCGCGGTCGGGCGGCCGGCGCGCGTCGGGTCCCCTCGCCGAGGCGCTCGCGAGCGTGCGGCGGGGGCGCGGCGGCGCGGCTCCCGCGTCGAATCGCGCCGGCCAGCCCCCGCCCGCCCCTCCCGCGGCGCATGATCAGGGCGGTCGCAGGCGCAGCGCACCGGCTCCGGAGCGGCGAGTTCCCGCGCGGCGCCGGCGCCTTCGGCGACCCCCGCGCGGCGGCGGTCTCGCACGTCGACGCGACGGTCGTCCGCGACGCGTGCGCGGACGCCTCCGGCTCGGTTGCGAGCCTGTGCTACGCCCATTGCTCGCGCACGCGACCCGGCGCGCCCGCGACCGGCCCCGCGCTCCCCGAGCGCGCCTTCGTCTGGGTGCTGTTGCACGCGGCGACGCGCCGGGCGCTCGGCGTCGCACCGGGCGTCTCCCTGAGAATCTACGACCCGCTGTGCTTCCCGAGCGCTGCCGCGCGGCTCGCCCGCGGCCGCGAGGGCCCCGCGGACGTCGTGCTCCTCGACGCACAGGTCTGCGAGCGTGCGCCGGCCGGCGAGGTCGGGGCGCCGCCGCCTCCGGCCACGCCCGCTCGGCCGGCCGCCGCGCTGGCCTTGACGTTGGCGTCCTGATCATCACTCCCGGCGGGACCCCCCATGTATCCGGCATCTGTTTTGTTGGAGTAATTAAAGGCACCTACCAGTCATCCGAATCGACGGGCAACGTCACGCTGAGGAGTTTCCTCCGGTCGTCCCAGGCCGCGCTGGCGTGGTCCGCGAGAACGGGCTGCGGCAGGTAGAGCGCGAGCCGGAGCCGGCTCGAGGAGGCGGATAGCGTCGTCTTTGTCACGTCGAGGTCGAGCTCCCGCAGCGCGTGGTCCGGGAACTCCACGCGGTAGACGAGCGCATCGCTGTGGCACGAGCCCGGCGTCTTCTCGGTGCCGAGGTAGACGTCTTCCGTGGCGACAGCCTGCTTGTAGAGCATGGAAAACTTAGCGCGCGGCCGCGGGTCCGACCCCGCGTCGAGGAACGACAGCGCTTCCTCGGGTGGAATCTCGTCGTCGTCCCAGATGGCCTTGGGATCGGCGCCTGAGATGGCCGGCGCTGCGCCCGCCGGCGCGTCGGCGCCGACGGCCGCGGGACCCACGCGCGCCACAACCGACGTCTGCGCCGCCCGGAGGCCCGCGTCGGGCGCCTCGCGGCAGATATCCTGCAGCGCGGCCATTTCGCTGTGGCCCCACGACGCCATTAGAAGGCGATGCGGGCTGCCCGCAATTCCACTAAGGCCGGCTCCGGCACGCTCATCATATTGATTCCTTGTACTGCGGTACCTACCGCAGTACGGTACCTACGGTACCGTAGGTACTGCGGTACCGTAGGTACCTACCTACGGCGGTATCGTACCGTAGGACACGTTCCAATTATTGAGCGGCTGGTTGTGAAGGAGCTGCTCCAGAAAACAAATAACTATTTCAAGTTATCGCACAGGTTTTTACTCAGGCTATGTTCTCTAGAGATGTTTGCTGTTGTCCACCGTGACTGGCAACCGTTGACGCTCTTGCAGTCACCGTGACGGTGAGTCAGTGACTCGGAGCGTGCGACAAACAAACAACTCCTGGGGTTGGGTTCGTTGATTAGAGTAAACTAATGGCGGCCACACGGCATTGAAGCCGTGCCGTGGCCGCAGCGGCCGAGATCAGCGAGACCAGGATGCCAGAGTAGCGCCCCCGGGGGCGGGCGGCGGCGAAGGCCCTTAATCAAAATACGAGTTCCTCATAGACTCAATCAAGTTCCATCACGATCACCATTACGTTTTCGGCGGGGGGTCGGGCGGGCAGGGGGGGACAGGAAGGGGGAGGGAGGAGGGAGGCGCCGATTACCGTGCTGTCGTCGGTTTATACGACGGCGTGATCGGCGCCGGAGTCGGTACGTAGGTGGGCGCCGAAATGGGGACCTTGGTCGGGACGAAGGTCGGGCTCGACGACGGCATATAGGTAGGGACGCCCGCTCCCGGCGGCTGCACGACGGGCGCGGGCGTCGGCCTGGGACTCGGTCGCGGCGCGTTCGGCGTGCCCATAGGGCCGTGCTCTTCTTCGTGCGCCGCGAACTCGGGCGCGACGGCTTGGCAGTACAAGTTCGAGAAGCGCCTCCCCAACGGGTACGTATCGCCGCCCGTGACACAGGCCTGGTAGAACAGATTGAAGAAGCCCAGCGTCGTCGGCGCCGGCGTCGCCGCGCCGATGTCGATGTCGGGGTCGAAGCTCTCCGTCTTGATGTTGGCGAATACATCCACCATCGTAGGATCAGCACTATCCGCGGCGGCCGCCTTGAGGGCCGCATCGAGGAGGCTCGGGTCATCCCTGGCCGCTTGCAGGTCGTCCTCGACGGCGGCCTTCTCGGCGGCCGTCACGCTAATCTTAAAGTCGACCACGACGCCGTCCGAGAGGCGTCGGCGCGCTAACGCCTCCAAGTGCGTGAGAGTCACGCGGTTCTCGGTGATATTGGCCGAAAGGCGACCGATCGCGTCCCGAAAGACGGCCTTGGCCGAGGCATCGTTCGCCTCGTCGTACGAGATGCCCGAGAACGTGGCGGAGCCGAGTATCTCGTAGGTGGTCGTCACGTTGGTGTCGTTACTGAACGCGACCGTGTACGCCACCTCGACGTCTGAAACGACAAAAGCCTCTTCGCAACCTTCGGACGCGGCGTCGCCCGAAGCGTCGCAAAACGCGCACGCCAGCGCGTTGCAATCGGTTTCGGAGCACGAACAGTCCGCCGTGGCGGCCGCGACGACAGAATCCGTCGCCGCGCCGACGCCGGCGGAAATCTCTTCCGCCTCGAGGTCCGTTTCGATCTCCATGCCGACGACCAGCTTCGAAGCGTCGTCGGTGACCGAGCCGTCGTCCACGTTGCACGCCGGGCCGCAGACTTCGTCGATTTCGTCGTCGCCAGCGACGACGAGCCTCCGCGACGCGCGAGCGGGCGTCGCACGCTCCCTCTCGTCCAGGCGGCGGCCGCTGATGCCGTTGTCTTCGAGACACCCGTCGTATTCTTCTCGGCTGGTACTAGTGCCGAGCACGCAGGGGTTCGGACCCTCGGCGATGACGATGGTCGCGCCCACGCTGTCGGTGGTCACCTCGCCGAAGACCGAGTCTGCGCCGAACGCGACCGACACCATCGTGTACGCGTGCGTGGTCATCTCCTCCTCGTCGCCCATGTAGCCGTAGTAGGTCTCGCTGGCCCAGAAGTCGACCCACGCCGGCGACTTGCTCGCGCTGAGCGGCGCCATCGTGTAGCCCATGTTGAGCGACACCGCCGCGACGGCCGCCGGCGTCGGCGCCATCGTCTCGAACGAGTACGAGAACGAGTAGGAGACGTCGTAGATGATGTCGTACGAGAACGAGTACGAGAACGAGTACGACGCCGCCACCGGCGCGCGCGGCGTGTTCAGCGGCTCGAGCAGGCGACGCACGCCCACTTCCGCGCGCGCGAGCGCCGCGCGCGACGCGGCGCCGTCGACGGCGGCCGCGTCGCGCTGCCAGATCTCGACGCCGCGCTCGCCGAGCGCGTCGCCGACCTCGCGCGCGGTCGCGCGGATCGTCGCGTCGAGCGAGCCGTCGGCCGCCGCCGCCGTCGCGCGGTCGCGGACGAACGTCAGGTATCGGCGCTCCGCCTCGGCGTCCGACACGGCGCCCGCGGCGCGCGCGCGCACCGTCACGTCGACGGCGTGGCCCGCGCCGTCGGGCACCGCGACGGGGTCCGCCACGCAGTCCTCCCAGTCCTGCCACCACTGGACGCACACGCCCCGCGCCTCGTCGGACACGAGGCGCGCGAGCGCGCGCCGCAGCGGCACGCGGGCGTACCAGTCGGCGTTGAAGGTCGCCGCGTCGAAGTCGGTGGCCAGCACGAGGCGCGCGCTGACGGAGACGTCCGAACCCGCGGTTTCGTCCAGCGCCAGCGCGCCGGCGCACGCGAAGAGGACGCCCAGGGCGTGCCGCATCATCGTCGTCGAGGCCGGAGACGTCTCGACTCTCTTCCCGCGACAGCGGGGCAGCCGGCTCTGTTGGGAGCTTGTGCGTGCGCGAATGAAAATCGACGCCGGCAATGGGCGGGGGGAATTTTTTGAGGGGGGAAACATCGGCCGATTCGACGCGCAGTGGAGATGTTGGTATGTTTTGGTTCGCAGAGGTGCCAGTCCGTCGCCGGTCCCTACGGAGTTCTGCCACACCGATATTTGCCCCCGAGTCTGGGCCGGGTGGCCGGAGAGCCGTCCCCGTTTCCGAGTCGAATGCAGCGAGGGAACTACACCCCAACGAGAGAGCCTAAACCATGATACGCCCTCCCCGTCCTAGTTTCCTCACTAGTAGAGGGCCGCGGCTCAGGCGCGTAGTAGCACTTGGGAGTACTCCGCCGGCGACGCGAATAGCAAGTCGCACGCACGCGCGGAGGTTTATAGGGGACTTACGTAGCCGGCACCCGTAAAGTGCGGGATAGTACTTACGGTACGGGGGTTAGTACCGTGGGAGCCGGTGGTAGTAAAAATAAGTACCTTGTACCGTTTCCCTACGGTACCTACGGTACCTCCCGAGGGTGAGGGTCTGGCACTGTCACCGTAATTGAGAGTGATTTATACATCGCTAGAAGCGACATGCTTCTGAAGCACCATAAGGCCGCTTAAATGAGATGCCGCTGTATCACCAGATCGTGACCGCGTCGGCGCGGGCTTCGCCGGCGGCGCTCGCGGACCTGCTGCGGCGCTGCGCAAAACAGATCACGGCGGCCGGCGGCGTCGTGCGGAGCTGCGAGCACCACGGCGTTACGCGGCTGCCGCATCGCGTCCGGTCGCGCCACGCGTCGGCCGGCGACGACGGCCGGCGCGCCCCCGCGCGGTCGTCGCGCGCCGCTTCGGGCGAGACCGCCGCACCGCGCCGCGCAGGTACCACCACGTCGGTCGCCGCGTAGCGCTTTTCTTTGACTGCGGCCCCGCGGCGCTGCCGCGCGTCGAGCAGACGCTTCGGATGCACGCCGACGTCCTCCGATTCACGACGCTCCGCCGACCGGCGACGATGGATCTTGTTAACTCCAACAAAAAAGGCAACCCCTGGTCCAGGAACAGAAAATGACTCACTTCAATTTGGGCAGGGCCGGTTTTGGGGTTTTGACTGAATTTTTTGGGGCCTTTTAAGTTTCTCGGACATCCATCTCGGACCATCAGGGAATTATCCAACGAGGTAAAGCGGCATTATCGCCGTACACGATTTTTTTAAAGGTCCTTTTCGAAATTCCTGCCTTTAAAAATGCGCGTCCATCTCGGTCATCGAGTTAGGACGAAGCACTCGGGCCCGGAACTCGCGGTCTCTATCGAAGTGCCACTGGGTGCGACGAGCGTAGAGGCCGTCGCGGCGGGCAGCGGCCGCCAGAGTGCATTATCGACATTCGACAGCCCTCCTCCGCCGCGATTTCGGTTGCTACACTGGCATGCATGCATTACGTGGCGGGACTACTAGTATAGGAGAGCGATGGTACTCCAAGAGATAGCTAGCGGGATACCCGCGCAACATCAGCTTGAACCGGTTGATGAACCGGTGCTTGAGGCCTAAGAGCTACTCCCTAGAGCAAATCGTTTGCTTCTTCCTCGCGCCGGCCTCGTGCATCGCTCCGCCAACCTTTTAGCGTGTAGTGATCTTAGTGGGACAAACACCTGACGAGCACATTAGGAGGCTGCAGAGTAAAACAGAGGCGTGCCCCGAGTAAACAGTAACGCGTCGTAGCTGTTTTGAAACTAGAGAGCCACTTCGGCCGCGACGATGCCCCCGGACACGCCGCAGCCGGAGACCGACGTGAGCGTCTACGACGAGCCGCTGCATCGCGTCGAGTACGAGCATCCGCTGTTTCGCGTGATACGCCTCCGCATCGCGCCGGGCGCCCAGACGCAGTTTCACCGCCGCGACGTCGACAGTTTCTTCTGTTTGTTCAGCACGACGCGCGTGCGCGTCGAGACGGCTCACGAGGGCGTGCGCGAGTCCGCCGTCGAGAGGATGACGGTCGAAGCGACGCCGTATTCCCGCGAGCCGATGGTGCGCCGCATAATAAACATTGGCGAGGCGGACGTGCACGGCCTCGACGTCGAGGTGGTCGCGCACGCGGAGCCCCGGTGCATGCTCTGCAACGCGTTCGTCACGGGCGTGCCGTTCCTGAGGGAAGTGCCGTGCTTCGAGAAGGTCGACGACCTGCTCCCCTGGTGCTGTACGACGCCACGCCGCGTCAAGCTGCCTGGCGGTGGCTACGACACCGAGCGCGTGACGCACGGCGCGATCGGCCTCTACCGCCTCCGCCTCGCGGCCGGCGAGGCGACGCCGACATTCTGCTGCGACCAGCCCCGCCTGTTCATCTGGTACGCCGCCGGCGACGTCGTCGTGCAAGGCAGCGACGGCACAACATTCGCGCGGCGCGTCACCGCCGGGTCCTACGCGTTCGACGACCGGCGCTTCCACGGCTCGCTCCGAAACGCCGGCGAAGAAGCCGTCGAGGCGCTCGTCGCAGTCTGGGCGGCAGTTGGCTCCTACTAAAAGTCGTACGGGCTCCTGTTTTAACTTAAATTTAGCCTGTTTGGCGAAGGCCGTCGACCACATCGGCGGCAGCCTGAGCCAAGGTGCCGGTGCCGCCGGCCAGGTCGAGGGTGCAAATAACGCTTTACTCCCCCAAGCCGGACACCGTGACCGGATATTCTTTCGACTCGGAGTAACATTCCCAGGCTGCCCGCCGGCGGGCCTTATCTTCCCTTAGCTCTAATTAGAATGAACTTGAATTAGCCTGCGACGCATAAGACTCCGTGGAGACTTTCGAAACTTATAGGGGGGTTGCGATGCAGGGGGCCCGGGCAATAGCCTGAGAGTATGTAATTCTGGACTTCCGAGTCCCCGGACGGTACTAGTACAAGCTGCTAGTGGTACGCTACAGTGTAAACCACCAGTTTATAATAAAACACTCTCGTAGTTGGCTTGGCCCAGCCTCTGGCTGGTGAGCTAGGCCTACTACTTTACATAACGCTGCGACATACTCTTGCTACCATAGTAAGAGTATGTCGCAGCGTTATGTAAGTAGCAGGGTCCTAGCTAACCAGCTTAGAGCTGATAGGCCTTACTGCGAGAGTGTTTTATAGTGAACTGTTGTTACACCGTAGTGCTTTTGACACTCGATGTATAGACTCAAATATTAGAGAGTGGGAGATACATATCTAGGGTAGGAAGGGCTAGTAGGTTTCTCTCTCTAACAGAGATACACATACCGCAGTATCCCATCGTACCGTAGGTACTTTTTGTCGCATTCTGCTTCCTTCCAGGCCGCCGGGGACCCGGCTGAGACAGCTCATCACAGTACTACGAGAAGAAGGGGGCGCTGTGGCGCGTGTGGATGCCCCCCGGCAGCCGGCGGCTCGCCTGGATCCTCGCGGCAGCCGCCGGCGCGCGGTCGCAGCCGGCACTGGCACCCGAGGTGCGGCCGTCGCTTGTCCTGTGGCTCTCGCCGGCGAGCGTCGAGGCTGCGCGCGCGTCGCGCGCCGTCGCGCGCTGGCGCGACGAGAGCGGCGGCGGGTATGTGTTCGCGCCACTGACGGCGGCGCAGCAGCAAGCCGCCGGTCTCCGGTGGCGGACGGCGGTCGAGCGGCAGCGCGCGGCGCTCCCACCCGACGACGCGCCGCCGGCGCGCGCCGCCGGCGTGTTCGCCGCGTCGGCGGCGCCCGGCGGCGGCGTGCGCTTCCCGGCGCCGCTCGTCGCCTCCGCGCTGCAGCTCCGCGACGGCGTTACGTGCTTTTTCGTCCTGACTCCGGCGTGGCTTCGCGACGGTGACCGGGCCGTCGGCCAGCGCTTCTTCGGCCACTACCCGCTCGGCCAGTTCCGCTTCCACGACCGGCGCGTCGCCTTCCGTACCGCGGCAGGCGACGTGCGCCACTCCAAGGTGCTCGAGAGCGGCACCAAACTTGTTGCGGCGTACCGCCTCGACGGTCGCGTCGAAATGGCCGTCGACGGAGCGCCGTTCGAGGCCGGCGCGAAGCCGCGCGCCGGCGCGTCGCCGGCGCCGGTCTTTAGCGCGTCGGGCTACGTCACGCTCGGCGGCTGCCCGCCGCACGACGCCTTCCTGGGCGACGTCCACGAGGTCATGGTCTTCGGGACCGTCCTCGCCGACGCGGCCGCGCGCCACGTCGCGGAGGTCCTCGCGACCAAGCACGGCGTGGCGATAGGGGCGCTGCCGCCGACGGCGTCTCGATTCGGTCTGCCGACGTCTCACGCGACCGGCGCGGCCGCGGCGCCGAGCCCGCCGGCGGCGCGGGGGCCGCCGCCGCTCGCCGACTTCCTCGAGGCGCGCGTCGCCGGCGAGTGGGAGGCGGATCCAGACGTCCAGAGGGCGCGTCCGGTCCGCGCGCGCCAGAGACCGACCGCGCGCGACCGCGTGGCAAGCTACGCCGCGCTCAAGGACGGTCGCGACCGCGAACGGCGCGAGGCCGACGCGAGGGCCGGCGGGCGGACCCACCGCGCCCAGCGCGGCGCGCCGAGCAGCGGCGACCCCGGACCGCCGCTACTTGCGCGCCTCCAGGAGGCGCAACAGCGGCTCAACGAGATCCAGGGCGCCGTCGACGCGATGCGACCCGCTCCGAATCCGCGCGCGCCGCCGGCGGGCCGCGGGCGCCGCGACCACGGGCCACCACCGCCCGCGCCCCCGGTCGCGCCGGCTGCCGTCGAGGCCGTGCCCGAGCTGGCCGAGCCCGGCGCCGCGAGGTGCCTTGGCGGCGACGCCTTCGGCCGCGCGCCGGTCGCTCGATGGGAGCCGCCAGAGACGGCGCGCCTCGAGCAGATCCAGCAATGGAAGAAACTCAAAGCCCAGTCGGACGCTGCGATTCGTGGCTTCGCGCGGGGGGGCAAGGAGCTCCGCGCCTTTGTCTCCGACCAGGTCGACCGGCTGCGGCTCGCGCGCCACAATCTTTTCTGCGGTCTCGCTCCCCCTGGCCGCAGGGTGGCTTAGGATAAATACCAAAGCAGACAAGGAGGCGGTCCCCTAATTTGAGAATCGAGAGAGATTCCACGCCCGGGTCTACGCCCGGGTAGCCCTTTCGGGTCCGGCGTCTGCCGACCGTCGTCCTCGTTTCCGACCCCGACCCATTCCCGGGGCCCTGGGGGCTCGTTGATGCGTCGTACAATCGTGATTGTCCGGAAGAAGATCGCCAGGGACGGTCCGTAGTACCGCGCGTAGTACCGCGCGGGTACTACGGACAGCTTAGGGTACTATGATACCACGCAGGGGTCTGATGAAGATCGCCAAGGGAACGGAGAAGCTCACGCAGGCCCCGCGAGGGCCAATGGCCAAAGGTCGTTTGAACCCGGCGGGCGATGAGCACGGAAATCGTGGAGATTAAAAATCCGTCACGCCGGCGGTTGTACCGTGACCGTTATTTTACTGCTATTTCGAAGCTCAGGTTGGGTATCCTGACTGAGCCTGAGCAGGGAGAAGGCTCTTAGGAGCTTGTTCCTTTTTTTAGGTCTTCCTTTCTTTCTTTCTTTATTCAAGTTTCAACTTACATGTAAATTCAAGTTATTTATTTCTAGGACCCTGCTAACTACATAACGCTGCGACATACTCTTGCTACCTATAAGGTGGTAATCCATGAACATCTCATGAACTATTTTATAGAATAGAGCACGCAGTGCACGAATAGATGCTGCCGTCCTAATCGCCGCAGGCAGGCCATCACCGTTATGGGGACGGCGGCCGCTCCGCCGAAGCGCTACGTCTGGGACGAATTCGACGACGGCGAGGAGGCAAACCACCAGCCACCGGCGCGGCGGAGGAGCCGCGCCTCGGCGAAGTACGCCTGGGACGACGAGGAAGCGCCCGCCCTCGCCGACGGCGACGCGTCGTTCGAGGCGGCGCGCGCGCAGATCCGGCGGCTCCAGGCGCAGCTGGCCGAGGCGAAAGACGTCGTCCGGAAGCGCCGCGTCGAGCTGCGCCAGACGCGCGAGGACGCAAAGGCCGGGCTGGCGCGCTGCAGGGAGGAGTGGCGCCGGAAGCAGGCGGCGGCGGACGCCGACTTCAAAAGAAAAGCGGCGGAGCAGGCAGCCCTCAAGGCGAGGCTAGAAGACGACGTCGCGGAGCTCGAGCGGCGCGTCGAGCAGCTCCGGGCGCACGCGGCAAAGGCTGACGCCGTCAAGTCCGCGAAAGTCGCGGCGGCAGAACGCGAGGCTGAAAAGAAGCTCGAGGCCGCGAAGCGCGAGTGGAAGAGACGCGAGGAGGAGGAATTCGCAGCGCTCGTCGAGAAGCGAAAGCCTGCGATCAAGGCCAAGGTCGTGAAGGCCTTGGAGCCCGAGGTGCGCCGACTAATCTCGAGGAACAAGAAAGAGCTGGCAGAGCAGAAGGCCGAGGACGATCGGTGGCTCGACGAGGAACGACGGAGGCTCGAAACGGAGTGCGCAGTCAAGCTCGAAGAGGAGAAGCGGCGCCTCGAGGCGGAGTCGACGGCCCGCCTCGACGCGCTGCGCGCGGCTAACGACGCCAAGCTGAACGAACGGCGTGCAGAGCTCCACGAGGAGGCAGCGAATATCGAGAGAGAAGGGCGGCGCGCGCAAGCCGAGGAGAAGCGGAAGCACGAGGAAGCGCGAAAAGTGGCCGAGGCGGAGCACGCCGCAGCGATTGCGCGCGTCGAGGCAGACTTCGCGCGACGCGAGGCGGAGCTCGACAGGGCGCACGAACAACGGCTGCGCAACGACCGCGCAGCGATCGAGGCGCTGGAGCGTGACCGCCAGGCCGCGCACGAGGCGGCGCGCGACGCTGCGTGCGCGGAGATACGGCGGCGCTCGGACGCGAACCGGAGGGCCGAGGTCGAGGCGCGGCTCGCGCCCGTTCGGGCACGCTTCGACCGCGAGGTCCGCGCTGTCGCCCGGCGCCTCAAAGCCGAGGCGGCGGCAGAGAAGGACGCCGTCCTGAAAAGAGTGGACGCAAAGAACGCTGCGGCGACCGCGGCTCGCGCAGCGGAGACGCTGGAACTCCTCGGCGAGGTCGCAGCGGCCAAGGACGCGCACGATGCCTGCGCCGCCGCGCGTGCCGCGCTGCGCGACAAAAGGGCGCGCGTTGAGGCGAACACGGCGGCGCTCGCGGCCGCGACCGCGCTCGCGGAGGCCGAGATCAAAGGTCACGACGCCCTGATCACGCGGCAGGCGGCGCAGGCGGCGACGGATGCGGCGGAGATGGAAGCGGCGTTCGAGGCGGCGGCCGCCGAAAAGCGGAGGAAGATCGCGGCCAGCCACGAGGCGTTCGCGGCGGCGCAGGCGGCGCGGGCGGCACTGGTAGCGACGCACGAGGCTGAGAAGGCGGCGCTGCTGGCGGCACAGGCCGACGAGCTCAAGAATATAGAGGCCAAGGTCGCGGCGAAGCTCCAAGCGCAGGCGGCCGCCGAGGAGGAGAAGGTCGCCGAGCTAGCGGGGTGGCGAGCGAAGAACGCCCAGCTCGAGCGAGCCCTGGCCGAGGCGCGCGCGCGCGACGTGCTCCGGCGGTCGGACGACGCCGTGGCGATAGGCGCCCACGTGGACTAAAGTAGCCCCGATAATTGTGGGACACTCCTCCGAGTCCATTGCTCCTGGCATTGCTCCTGGAGTAGTATTGCCAGTGGGATTTTGTGTACTAGTACTGTATGACCCATGATCCTAACGGATGATACACAAGCATACAACTTGACTCGGGAAATCCGACCGTGACCGTGACTCGGACATAAACACTGCGATGCAGATACGCTTTTCGGACATCTTTTGAAAACCCAGGAGGTTTTTGAAAACCAGAATAGTGAAGTTCAGATCTTAATCTCCGCTCTGGCTCCCACACTAGTCACGGTCCTAGACACTATGAGGTGAAAACTCCCCTAGATATATATCTGCAACGCCATAGCCCCCTATCGCCGGATCTATGGCTACATTACTCTCGCCTATCAGCACGCTATATCAGCCGGCACGTGCCCGAGGCTGATATTTCCCTATATCCCGTATCTTCTTATGCCCCAGCGTACATTGACAGCAGGGACGATCTTGAGATCTATAAGTGGAAAAAGACAAAAACCTTAGAAGAAATGACCATGAGGGTCCACAGGTCCGAATTGCGATTCTACCCGTTCAGTTTGACGAATAAGAACGAGATTCCAGTGAAAATCGTTAAAGAATTGGTTACTGATGGATACGCGGTGATGTTGATTTCAACGGTAAATTAGCTGAAGGCCCGGCTTGAGTTCCAGGAAGGGGGGAGTGAGGTGAAAACTCCCCTAGATATATATCTGCAACGCCATAGCCCCCTATCGCCGGATCTATGGCTACATTACTCTCGCCTATCAGCACGCTATATCAGCCGGCACGTGCCCGAGGCTGATATTTCCCTATATCCCGTATCTTCTTACTTATCCAAGTGGATCAAGCCCGGCGCTAAGTAGCCGCCGTGAAAACACCGGGGTGAACCTAAAGTAAGTTCACTTCAACTAGTCCCCTGCCTCCTACTCCTCTCCACTATACTTTCTTCTAAAGGTCTTCCTAACTTAATTAATTTATTTATAGTCCCACCTCAGGGGATCAAGGTTTCCACCCTATTCAAGTTCATTCGCAGTGCTATTTGACGGGGAGTCACACACTAGCGCCAAACACCTCGCCAAACTCAGGTTGCGTTTGAGACTGGGCCCTGACTCTCTTCTTTTAGTAGAACTCGAATAAATGATACTGCACGGCCCTTGGATATCTCTACCTGCCACTGGCGGTGCCCGGGTCGCCTCCGATGAATATGCACACTGTGGCAACAATTTTTTCCTTCCCGACAGGGGTGCCTGGCTGGCGCTCTTGAGCAACTGTCTCACGGGCAATTCCGCCGTAGGAAAAGATGGTGGTTCGACATCCCTCCTCAGCGTACGGCGGACGCGGGGAGAAATTCGACGCAGACCGTGTCGCACGCGCCGCAGTCCGAGGCGAACGCTTTGCACCGTCGCGCGGCCGAGCAATTGCCGCCAAGGTCACGCCGGCAGAGCGATCCGTCGGCGTTGAACGTGTCGCAGCAATCCGCCGACAGCTTGCGTCCGTACGCGTTGCGGACGCGCGCCACTGCTGGCGCCGCCAGGACGGCCTCCGCCGCGAGGGCGCCGCACGCAGCGTCGCAGCACGTCGCAGCGTCGCAGGCGTGCGTGAGGGGCGGCGCAAAGGTCTGGCTGCAGCATTTCTTCTCCGCCGAGCAGCACGTCGGGCTTGCGCGCGCGGTGGCGCGCGGCCCGGCGACCGCCGGCCTACCGAGGAGCGCGACGACGAGGAATAGCATCGTTGTTGTTGTGAAAAGCTCCTATTAGCTGCATGCTTTCATGTACGATGCCCAGCCCCTGGCATCACCGTATTCACTAGCCCTATTCTATCCGGGTATTTAACTAGGATAAATGAAAACTAGGATAGTGAAGCTAAGATAAAATTTGGGAGATTTATAAGTGGAAAAGGCCGTTGCCACAACGGGCGCCAACCCCAGGGCCCCCGGACCACGCGCCCCCGCGCCAAAACAACGAAGGGAGGGTGGGAGGGCCAAAATTCTTGCTCCTTTTGAGGTAAAACCCCTAGATAGCGCGTGCAACGCCATAGCCCCCCCCTATCGCCGGATCTGCGGCTACGCATTTCGCCTATCAGCACGCTATATCAGCCGACATGTGCCCGGAGCTGATATTTCCCTATATCCCGTATCTTTCTGCTTATCCAAGTGGATCAAGCCTGGCGCTAAGTAGGCGCCGTAAAAACACCGGGGTGAACCTAAAGTAAGTTCACTTCACTGGGGGGAACAGCGGGAAACGACCCTACAAAGCCCAAGTGAGGCTAACCCCATAAGTAACCTACATGTCTAGCAACCTATGCCCCTGGACACGGTCGAGCCCACAATACTCACAATTACAACTGAAGATAAAAATAGCCAGAAGGACGAAATTGCACTCCAATATATTATATAACCCAGATGGCCTATTTTCTACAGAGATTAAGAGGGAGAAGGAAGTAGTATCCTAGGATACAGGCCACTAGCCTCTGATACCTACTAGAACCTGAGAGGAGCTCTAGATATCTAGATAAAGGTACTAACTACAGGATCATCATGATAGCACAATCGCTGTACTACTAGAAATAAGCCAGTGTCCGGCGGGTGGGATCATCCGCAATCCGAGGGATCCGCCGTGTCGCGCGCTGGACGTCAGAAAAGCCGGCGAAGGGCGCCGGAAACGGCGCGTCGGTCTCCGGCCGGACGGCGCCGCAGCTCGACACGCCCGCGCCGATGCATCGTCGCGGCGACCGCGCGTGGCCGCTGGCCATCAGAAGCGTAAAGTCGACGACGCGCCGCGCCGGGTCGAGTTTGAAGAGGTCAGAATAGGTGTCCGGGCCCAGCACGTCGACGGCGAAGTCGCGCCACGCGTTGACCCAGGGGGGCGACGCGAGGACCATGTACTGCATGCCCGTCCGCCCGCCCCGCGCTAAGTCTCCGTAGATGCGGCGCAGCTCACCATCGACCTGCGCCGTCCACGGTTTGCGCGTCCATATGAAGTGGCCGAACGACGACGAGTTGAGCGCCCCTCCGGCGGCGGCGGCGACGAACTGGGCCTGCCCGTAGCCGCACCAGGGTGGGTCCATGAACGCGTCCTTCTGGCGCGCCGGGTACGCGAGCTGGACGTTGAACCGCGGATGCAAGTAACGCACGTCGATGTCCCGCCGGCCGATTATCAAATTGAGCAAGTCCTGGTCGCCGTACACCGCGCCGTTCGCAGCGACGACTGCGTCGAGGCACCACCGAAGCAGGTCGACCTCGACCTGTGTAGAAAGCAACCCGCGAGTAGGGGGAACACGGCCAGTACACAGCCAACGGTTTGGACGAGGCGAGCGAGAGATGTGGCCCTCCTCTCGAGAATAAACGGCAGAATGCACCTTGACATTCTGCGCCGACCGCGACCATGCGCGAGTTGTTGAACACGATTACGCCCGAGTTTGTCCCGTCGCGGTGCGCGAACGCGTGTGGCGCAGCAGCGATTTTGACGGCGTCGACGAGCGGCGGCACGAAAGCCGGAAGCCGGGCCTTGGAAGCTGGCATCGCCGCCGTGTAGCATTCCTTTGGGAAGATGCGCACGATCCCAATCCCGCGGACGGTCGGCAACACGTCAATAATCTGACCATCCATGGCGAACACGTCTGCGTCGAGGGCGACCGTGTGCTCGAAGCCCCGATCGGCCAGTTTCTGCGGCGCGACCGCCCAGAAGAACATTTCCAGGGGCCACGGGGCGCCGCGCAAAAAACTTTTCATTTGGGCGGAGGACCGCAGCCGCGCGAGCGCGACCAGCATTTCTGTGCGTGTTACGTCTACGGCCAGCGTGTCGAGCGGCCCGTCGCCGTCAAAAAAGCGACGCAGATGCGATGCCCTCAGCGAAGTGATCGTAGAAGGCCGCGCGACGACGAAGAAACCTGACGACGATGGCACGAATCGGCGGACTCGTAGCAGTGCGACGGCCGCCGGCGCTGCGTTCGCGGTGTTCGCCGGGGTCACGAACGCGACGGCGGCGCGTGCGCGGCGAGCGACGGCGCAGAGCAGCACGAAAAAGCGCTGCAGGACCATATGGTGTCTCGCCACCGGTGCGCCCTTTTTCGCGGAGCCTAAGCAACCTGCTATTGGCCTGAATTAGTCCAGTTTTTTTACAACCGTTGACACTCTCGACTCCGGCGCCAGTGGTCACGGGCTCCGCGCAAGAGCTGGCATACGGTACCATGGTATGCATACAGGCTATTACAGCACACTGCAACCCTTCGGGCCCTGGAGTCTGGGGGGAGTGCTCCGGACCCTGCTACTTCCCATAGCGCTCCGCCCGTGACATATGTTCTGACGACTCGGCGAAGCGTGGGCGCGTTTTTTCTTCGACGATGGGTACATTTATGGCCCGAAGGCATCAAGTTAACAGTTAACGCCAATCAAGGAACCCCGGACCAAGAAACAAAGTCAAGTTTAGGTCTTTTACACCGAAAAACTCCGCTGGCAGAACCATTGGTCTCAGTCCAGCCTGAGCGAACTGCACGTGTGCCTTGGAATGATCGTCCGAGGGACCGAGTCCGCTGTTCCACAGGTGATGCACATACAGTGCGGCATACTCGCACCACTTGCAATTCACACACCTCCCCGGACAAATTCTCCTTGCACTAATCACGGATAGGGGCCTTCGAAATTTTAACCAGACCCCCCCTTTCGCCACTCACGGCCTTCGTGGGCAGCCCGCCGGGAGCTGTGATCGCGTAAACGCGCGGAGCGAGCTTAGCGTAATCGGGATGCGCGTGAGCGCCGAGGGCCCTGTCACGTTGCCGATCGACGGCACGTTGCGGTGCACGAAGAAGAGCGCTGTCTGCGACGTATCATCAACGAGCACTCCGTCCGCCGGGTGGTCGGCAGTGCGGAAGTCGCCGGCGTCGGTCGTGTTCGCGAGGACGGCGAGCCTCGAGAAGCGCTTTCCGTCGCACGAGACGCCGAGACCCAGAATTGCCAGTCCTTCGTCCCTGAGCGGGAACAGCGCGACGAGCGAGTTATCCGGGTCCGCTGGGTTCGACGTAACGGCTGCAAAGTAAACGTTGAGCGCTCGAGCAAAGGGCGCGCGGAAGCCGGGGACGTCGACGACGGAGAAAGCGCCAAACGGGCCTCGGGGGGACGTCGTCGACGCCGCGCTCTGCACGAACCGGCCGCCGAAGTGGCCACGCGCGCCCTTCTCGCCGACGAGGTTGGCGCGCGCGAAGAGGTGATACGTCGATCCAAGTCTTGCGAGCGAGAAACGTCCGTCGAACTCGCAATTTGGCGCGAACTGCGGTCGCTTTTCGACGCAGCCCGCGTGCGCGCCGCGGAGGGCCGGCGTGCCCCTCAGGTCCTCCGGCGGCGGCAGGCGCCGTGTCGAAGGCGCCGAGGCTCGCGCAGCCGCGTCGAGCCGGGACTGGGTCTCGTAAGTGCGCGAGTAGGCCCCATCGCGGACGCCTGCGTCTAAGGAGTGATACGTGGGGACTTTCCGATTCTGACGCCGGCGTACGAACGGTGGTGCGTCGGGTTATCGCGACCGCCGAGCGCGTACACAGCGCCCGCATCCCAGAGCAGCGCCGTGTTGTGTGCCCAGTTCGTCTCGCGCGGGCTCCGGACGTTCGTCAGATTTTGACTGCTTGCGAAGCAGCCAGAGGCTTGCTTTTCGGTCCCGCGGAGCGTCGCGTCGCAGTCGCGCCAGAACGACACCCACTCGTGCTCGTTGCCGCCGACGTGCGTCGGGGAGGCACGCCGGGCGAACACGAACGTCTCGCGCGTCGGCCAGTTTTTCGCGCCGCCGACCCGCACGACGCTGAAGTAGCGCGCCGACGATCCGCTTTCGAAGCGGTGGACGACCGCCTCGGGGCCGGCGCGGACGAGGGCGTCGTGGAGCACACGGGGCGGTGCCGCCGACGCCGGGGGCAGCCATAGTGCGACCATAGCGGTGAACATCATCGGAGGCGTGCCATGTATTTGTCTCTTGCAACAGTAGTTGCTCCTCTCAAGTTCTCTCAGGTTCTAGTAGGTACCAGAGGCTAGTGGCATGTATCCTAGGATACTTCCTTCGCCCTCTTGAATGGCCAATGTCCGCCAGCCATTCTTTCTCTTTGAAGATCTTTTTGATTTTCTCATCTACATCGAATGTTAGTCTGCCCTGTTCTCTGTCATAGTGTATGTTGATGCCCAGAAACGATCTGAGATCTCCTGTTTCTTTGATATCCCATCTGTTCTTGAGCATTCTCTCAAACTCATTTAGAAGGTTGTCAGAGCCAGTGTAGACTAGATCATGGATATGATCAGCTTTCCCCCTGAGTAGTTCCCTACCGCAATAGTGAGTGAGCTTCCTTCATTTGGTTTGTCCTTGTGGATTGGCATGAACTCAGATCTGTTGACCTGTATAGAGTTGTAATCATTTGGGTCAAATCCCTTGATATTTTTGCGGCATAGCTGGTTGACTCTTGCGGTACGGGAGTCCTATATATGGATTGAAACAAAGTCCATGGCTGATGTTTCGCACATGTTTATCTTGGTCGTGAAAGCAAATCTCCATGCTACACCCCTAGTGAGTTCGTAGCCGTTTATTGCTCCAATGACTCCCTCTATGTCATGGGTAAATCGTGAGCACACGAGGCAGCGTATTCTAAAGGCTGTGGAGAGCAATTAAAGTACAAGGATTGCGGTTAATGAAGCGCTGCAGATCCCAGTTAAGCCAGGGTTAGGGCTAGTATGATTTAAAGTAACTCGGGTATGGGCCTAGTATGATGTAAAGTAACCCCCTATTACAGTAGGGGGTAGGGTTACTTACTGAAGTAGCTCTAGAAGTCGATCACGCCCCTAGGGGGGTACGTGGGTCCGATATTCTCAATTTGCGCCTGCACCAGACGTCTAGTTGTAGAGATATGGCAAATTCGGGGTCCGGTGATCCGCCCCGTCCGAGCGGTGAGTAGTATAGGGGTTTTGTGTACTCTCTGTCGTCCATCCTGCGGATGATACAGAAAACTTGAAGCATACGAACTTGAAATACCGCAGTAAGATTATCTGAATTCCGATACACCGCCGCTATATGGGAGCCCCCCCAAGGCCGCCGGGGGCTGTTTAGCCCTCTTCGAACGGCCCTGGCATTTCAAAAGCATAATGCTTTTTGATGTCTCAGTAGCCTGGGCCTGTTATATGCCCTGGGATGTGGCCCTGTGAGTACCGACCTGTTGAAGGCCCAAATATAGCACGCAGGACAAAGTCCAAACCAAAGTCAGGAACGCCTGGCATGCAATAGTGAAGTGCATCGCCCCTATTCACTGTGCTGTGCGACGCTGGATGGCCGTCAATTCGGACACCCATTGGGATCTCGACGTCGACAACATCATGACCCGCTGCGAGGAATGCGGCGACAGTCAGATCATTGATCCCGCGGTACAGACCGTGCTCATACTCCCAGGGGGAATCTCCCTTCTCAAAATCTGCTCCGCCGGTCAGTGGAACTTCGTTATAGTGTCCCTTCGTGTACAAACCATCGGCGGCTGGAGGACTTGTGCGCAGAATGACACGCAGGTGGGGATACTCGTCGCGCAGAAACCGTGCTGTCCCCGCCATCGCCTTGCGCCAAAATCGCTGTACATCAGATTTCAACAGAGAGAGCCCGGTCTCAGGTAGTGCTCTTGTGTAACATGGGCTTGTCTTACTAAGAAAATGTCCAAGATGCGCCATTTGATTAATCACGAGCATGGAGGGCCGCGTTTTATTGATAAATTTTGAAAATTCCAAAGTTGGCGGTGAGTAATCATGTAGCGCATACGCCAACGTGTTGTTATTTACCCCCTTTGCGCAGTGTTCCACGCGCTTATCGCCGGCGTCGAAAGTGCATCGGATGTCGACACATACCCACCAGTTAACCATCGCAGTCTCGCGCCAGACCACTGCACCACCACTGCACGACTCAGTAGGCTTGCACACTCTATTCAAATCTGCGCAGAGGCGTGCGCTCCACGAGTGGCCGAATTGATCTGACAGCGAGTCGCCTAAGAGCAAGACGCGCGTGCCCCGTGGCACCACCTGACATAGCTCGCTGCCATTCATCATTTTGTAGATCCTGTCCTTGAAACCCCAAACGCCTGCTCGATCAATCCAACCATACTGATAGCTCCGATCTCGTTGACAAGTTATTTTACGTTTCCTCTCACGACGGATGAGATCGCGTGGATATGGCAGTGGTAGGACCCCGCATCCTGTATTCATGCCGCAAAGTTTGGTCCACTCCCCTAAGGCCGCGTGCACTGCGGTTAGCATGAAGGTTCCCCTCAAACCATTGCGCATCTTTTTTACAAAACTTTTTTTTTTCAGATTATACTCATATGATACTCATATGATACTCATAGGTACCGCCGCAGCGGCTACCAGCATGCGGCAGGAAGGGGCAAAACTACTGGCTGCACAAACTAAGAATAAAGTTTGATTGATTCAAGCGTCTAGCAACAATGTCGTCCGCACGCGCGAGTCGGCTGCACTACGCGCCCTTGCCCCCCCGAGACCACTGCCACCAGCGTGTGCGCGAGACGCCAGCGACGCGGTGGTGTACTTCGCCCGGCATCTGACCAACGCGGGTCCAGTCTCCCGGGGGCACTTCGGCTCGAAGCTCCGGCGCCGGGCCCTCCTCCTCGGTACCGGACCCACGCGGCGGCGGCGCCGACGAGGCCGCGGCCGTCGTTGTGTCGGCGGCCGCCACGCGGCGCGCGGAGCTGTCGACCTGGCGAGAGACGGGTCCACTCCGCGGGGGCTGGACGTCGTACGCCGCGGCGACCGTCGGCGAGTCGACCAAACGATCCCGGGGTGCGGCGCGGCGCGGCGCGGCGCTTGAACCCACCGGCGCCCTCGTGGATATTTGCCGAGCGCCCATTCCAGGGCTTGTCGGGGAGATCGGCGCGATCGTCGACGCGACGCGCGACAATCTGTGGCTCCGAATGCCGCGCGACGCCCTCGTGCGGCTTCCGCGGCGAGGCTCCGTCGTCGCGCTACGCGTCCGCGCCAGGTCGGGGGTATCCGGCGCGGGTCCCGCGCGTCTGGTCCTCACGCCTCCCTCGGGTCCTGTCAGGTACTGATCTAAAGACCTGGTGTTCGGCACTACTAGTAAAGTTCGGCACCCATATGTAGTATATACTACAAGTATCACTGGCATGACTATGTGAGTACAGCGATTGTGCTATGATGCTGTAGTTACCTTTATCTAGAGCTCCTCTCAGGTTCTAGTAGATATCAGAGGCTAGTGGCCTGTATCTTAGGATACTTCCTTCTCCCTCTTAATCTCCTTTATTCCAATTCTGTCTTCTCAGAGTTGAGGGGGTTCCCACACTCTCACGTTTCAGTGAGAGTTCTTCCTGTTGGCATCTCCGTGTCACATGTCACATAGACACCCGAGAGACCTAGCTACCACAGCTGCATTGTGCACTTGCTGCACCCAGCTCATTAGACACCAGCACATACCGAAGCTAATATCGCTGAAGTGAGCCTCCGAGTCAGGCTTCTAAACAGACTCGGATTAGTACACGTACGGGGAAAAGGCTCTCAAGTTGGAGCTTGTTCCTTCTTAAATTTAGGTCTTCCTTCTCTAGTCACCGTGAGGTGAAAACTCCCCTAGATATATATCTTCAACGCCATAGCCCCCTATCGCCGGATCTATGGCTACATTACTCTCGCCTATCAGCACGCTACGGTATACCGGGGTACTTGTACTACCTACCGGTAGGCAAGGCCAGTGCGGCCCGCCTGAAACTACTACCTAGCTGGATAGTTTGCATTTGAGGATCACCGCTCGAACCACCGCTGTAATCCTATACCTGAGGGTAATTTGCACTGGAGGGTTTTCTTTCTCTCTCCTTACTGGAGCCCGATCTCCTCGAGCTCCGTCTCGGGATCGCGCGAGACTCGCGCGTCGAGCATCGTCGGGATGAAGCGGCCGCGGCCCTTGCAATTTTCGCACGTGTGCACGGTCCGCCCGCCGCAGAGCCGGCACGGCTCGCCGTCCGTCAAGCCGGTGCCGAGGCACGCCGCGCAGGCGATAGCGCCCGTTCCGTCGCAGTAGGGACACTGCTTGCTTTTCTTAACTTTGACGCGCTTGGCCTCGATCGCGACGACCGAGCCGACGGCACCGACCGTGCCGCCGAGGAACGCCGACGCGAGACCCTCGGCGGTCACGTGGCCGAGCTCGAAGCGCGGCGCCGTCGGTCGCGGCGCCGGTCGGCGCGGCGGCCGCAGGGAAACGGCGGGCCTCGCGCGGAGCGCTGCAAAAAGGGCCGCCGCGAGTCGTCCGCGCCGCGGTGGCCGCCGGCGCCCCGCGCGGTCCATCAACCAAAGGGCGTGCGTGCGCAGCGTTTAGCAAAAATGGTTGCTCTGAACTAAAGTATGCGCAAAAAGACTAGTGGCACTGCAAGGCTGCTCGCGTACCGTAGGTAGGGATGCCTACCTAGGTAAAGGTACCTCTCGTAAGTGCAGCGCATTCAGAGCCCGGACTGCCATGTGATTAGCATGCAGGCCCGAGGGCGCAGGGGCCTCGATGAGGGCATCCATGCGCGAAATCGGCGCCGGGTCGAAAAGTCCGGCATTCATAGGGGACTGCTGCCATCAACCAACCCAAAGCTAGACTTAGCCATCTTCTCCCGCGAGAAAGTTATGCTGCGAGAGCGGGAACAAGCCTACTTCCGAGCGATGCTGCTGCGCGAGCCCGGTCCGCGCCCACGGGGAGTATCGCGGTCCCCGTACCAGGCGCCGGCCACCCGGGGCCGGCGGCGGAAAGGAACGCCCAGTGCCGCGGCGCCTGTGCCCGCGCCGGCGGTCCAGTTGAAGCGACGACCGCGAACGGCAGAGCCGACGAAGTCTCGCCCGGCGCGAGCCTGTTTGCCGCCGCCGGTCCCGTTGAGGCGACGGCCGCGAACGGCCGAACCGACCAAGTCTCGCGCGGCGCAGGCCTGTTATGATTTGAATCGACCAAGCGTCGTCCCCGCAGGCCCACCAGTGCTGAGCGGGATCCGTTTTGCGCGCCCAATCTGCTCGAGGAAGCGACCAAGCGCCAAGCACACACAGAGGCCGAGGCGGTGCTGCAGAGGCGCCACTGCGTGGGGTCGCGGCCCAGGTCCGCCCCCAGTAGTGCCGGCGCCAAGGACCGGCCGGCCTGGCGGCCTGGTGGTGGTACGACCAGAGGAGCGCCGGTCCGGAAGGCTGCAGCGTGGGTCGGGCCCCGGAACACGGCCACCTCGGCCGAGATCTTGGCGAGACTGAAAGGCCCCGACCCGGTGCAGCGCGCAGTCGACAGGACGATGCTTCCTGACCCGTGCCATTGCGCCGCCGGCGTCGAGACGATTGGCGACGAGATCGTGGCAGCGCGGCAGCGCGTCCGCGGTGTGCCGGCGGCGTTGCCGCGCAGCGCAACAAGTGTCGAGGTACGGTGGTGCGAACAGGCGCCCCGGGCCAAGGGAGCAGCGTCAGTCCACAGAGGAGCCGTCCGATGGGCGGGAGTGGTCGAGGCCCTGCGACGCGAGGCGCCCCGCGCGCCCACGCTTCGAGTCCTCACGTTCGACTTTTCCATGGAGTTCCGCGGGGACGCTCCGGCGACGGCGACCAAGGGTGACGCTGGCAGTGTGTGCTGTGAGGTGGTCGACCTGGCAGCGACCCCCGACGATATATTTGCGCTCGCCATTGTAATCGAGCCCGCCGGGTGCCGGTCGCAGGACCGGCTCGGGCGAGTCTGGACCTCTGTTCGCCACGACGCCGATGAGGCAGCGTTAGCGGTGGGTACGTTCGACGCGGCGGATAATCGGGCATGCGGCGTATTGTGTGGCGTGCTCTTTCGCGGCCGCGGACCGGGTGACGTGGCCTGGTCCTACAAGCTGGTCTTCGAGCCGCTGCCGGGGCAGACAATCATTGATCGGCTCCCAAGTGTCAGCCAGGCTCTCGCAGAGGCGGGGGTCCAGCCGTACACCGTAGTTCACGTGCACCACTGCGTCGACTGCGCGCGACACGCCACAACGACGAAGCATGTCCCCGGCAGCTACGAGAGGCGCTTCCGAGAAGTCGCGCGCGCCGTCGAGGCCAGCGCACAAATCAAGCTTCACGGTTTTCAGATGGCTGTGTCTTCACATCGTCTCTCTACTGCCGTACGTCCATCCACGTATCCGACTCACTGGTTGATTTACATGCAGGTCGAAGCATCGCTGCCACACGCGATCGTCGTGGCGAACCACACGCCGCCGACGCTGGGCGCGTTCGAGGTGCAGGGCCTGGAGTATCGCGCTGCCCAGGCGATCCGGTGCTGCTCCAAGCACGGGAGCGCAGCGTTCCCGCGCGCGAACGACGTCGCCGCCCGCCTCGTCGCCGCTGCAGCACCGCCGCGTTTCCGTGCGCCCCTTGCTGGAGAGTCCCGCAGCCTGGTCGTGCGGTGCCTCGAAGGTGTCGACTCCGCTTCAAAAGCCTGTCACGGTGGCGTCCTTATCGTCCTGTTCCGCGCGACGCTCGGTGGCTGCTGCGTGTACGGACGGAGCAATGCCAAGCCGGCGGATGCGGCCTCGGTCTTCTGCCAGGCCCGGTCGACCGCGCAGCTCGCGCGCGCAGCGCCGGGCTACGACGCAGTGGATGCCTGGGGCTGCTTCGACGTCGCGCGTTGGCTGCGCGCCCACGGGCTGGGCGCCAGCGACGTCGGCCCCTTCATGACACGCGCGCGGATCGAACGAGGTCCAGACCTTTTGCGGCTCGACGACGACGTGCTCGTTCGTGTCGGCCTCGCTTCCAAGCTCCGGCGCCGCGCCATGCTCGCGAGCCTCGACCAGTTCCGCGACCGCCCGACCGAGGACCAGCGGGTCGATCTCGAGCCGCCCGTGTCCGCCGTCGACGCATCGGCACCGGCCGCGTGGGAACGCGTCGCCGTGACCACGACTGATGATGAGGGCGTTGCTGTCTTTGCGGTCGCCGACGAGGGAACGTTTGTCGCTGCACACGCAACCGACGTCGGAGGCGCGAAATCGTCGGGCGCGTCGCGGCTCGCGGCGACGTACTACGAGGCCAGCAGTCCCGCCGTCCGCGTCGACGACGACAGCACCGGGCCTGTCGACCTCACACTGTGCCTCGAGCCCAAGCTCCACACGCTCTGCGTGCGTCTCGAAGCGGGCGACGGCGCGGACGCGTGCGCTGCGGAGGGAAATCTTGGGGGCATCCCGATCATCCTGGTGACACGCCGGCGGCGGACGCGGTACGTTGTGAAGACGGGCCAGGACGGCGTCGCCGAGTTTCGAATCCCGACGGACGACTACGTACTGACCGCAGGCATGGTTCCCGTTCGCGCGTGCGGCGACCATGTCACGACCTTGGAGGTGGACCTCGCCCTTGCGCGCCGCATCGGCATGAATTACTTCCGGGGGGCGTGCCGGCGGATGCAGGCAGCCGCCCGGCGCGCCGTCAGGCGACGCCGCCTCCGGCGCCGTGTCGACTGGGGGCGTGCGGTCATCAAGATTCTTGTCGCGAGGTGGGTCAAGCGCTATCGGAGAAACAGGGCGCACGCCATCCGCGGCCAAACCATCGTCCGCGGCTTCCTCCAGCGCGTGCGCCTCGCGAACCTCCGGCGCGCGGCCGTCCGGGTCCAATCGCTCCACCGGCAGATTGTGGCGAAGCGTGTCGTCGCGGCGCGGCGCGTGGAGAGGAACCGCGTCGCGGCGCTGCGCATCCAGACCGTTGCGCGCGGCGCCCTGCGGCGCGCGCGCCTCGCGACCCGTCACCGCGCCGCCGCCCGGGTCCAGGCGTTCCGTCGGGGGATTGCGGCGAGGAGCGTCGTCGCCGCGCGGATCAAGGCGATCCGGCGCGCCCGTGAGGCCCGACTTTACACGTTCGCCGCAGCGAGGTCGGCGAGCGCGCTCGCCGCGGCGCGCGCCGCCGCCGCCGAGACGTGGCTCTGCCGACAGCGCGACGTACCTGCGCCGGCCCCGGCCCCGGCCCCAGCGCCAGCCGCCTCTTCGGCGGCCGCCGAGGCTCCGGCGCCGTCTCCTTTCGCCGATTTGGAAGTAATATGTATAAACCCGTCGTAGCATGCTTCTACTCTCGTTCCCCCCCTTGCTGTATCCTCTCGTTAACAGTACGGGGCACACTGGCATTATTTATTTATTTATTTATTTATTTATTTAACACTATCATGACTCAGTCGGATAAAAAAAAATCACGTTGCTTTTAGCACGCGACACCCAAAAACGCCACCGCGACACGGCAGCGTGTCCATCGCGTTCCCACACATACCTACACACCCCCAGAGCAGAAAACCGCAGTCGAAATGGCCGCGCACAGCATAATTAATTGTATCGTTATCTTATTGCTATTTCGAAGCTCCGGTTGGGTATCCTGACCGAGCAGGGAGAAGGCTCTTAGGAGCTTGTTCCTTTTTTTAGGTCTTCCTTAATTTATTTATTTATTTATTTATTTACTTATTTATTATTTACCTACTTCTAGTATTTATTTACACAGGCCCTGGACAAACATTTTAGGTTGCCACTTACCTGAGGGGTTATTCACCCCTGGCGCAGCCCGGGTTAATAACGCGGGTAATTGCCGGTTAGTACGGGTTATTTACCTCAGGATCTAATAGAGGGGTAGGGGTGGGGCCCCATGGGCCACTGGACTCGGAGCGGGCCTCGCGTAGACGACTGCCTGATGTTGGCCCGGGACTCCGGATGGGGGACAAATTACCGTGACCCCAGGAGATTGAAAATCCTTTGTATCGCTGTCTCATACTATTTCGGTTGGGTATCCTGAGTAGGCTCTAGATAGTAAGACACTAGCAACACAAGCCGGCCCTGCGGTCTTGCTCTTGCTCTAAGGCTCCCTGCCTTAGGGTTCTTGACGACGACGCGCCCTTTTATAATAGCGGGCGCGCTCATCCACTTCCGGCGGATGACGGCGCTCGTCCCCGGCAGGACGCGGCTGCGGCGGTACATCGTCGCAGACAGTGCGTCGGACGAGGATGAACTGAACTCGCGGCTCGAGACGCTGGCGGTCGCTGACTCGCCGCCGACGCGGCCGCCGGCGTCGGCGCGCAGGGGTGGCCTCGACGGCGACGCGTGGGCGCGCGTGGCGCGCCGAGACGCGACGGCTGCGCTAGACCTCGCGAGCGACGACGAGGACGGCTGGCTCGCGACCAGTGACGAGGAGGGGCAGGGCGCGAGCGCCGGCGAAAGCGCGTCGAACAGCGACTCGATCCTGGACCTCACCGAAGCCGCCTCGCCCGAAGCCGCGGCGGCGACGAAACCGATCCTCCTCGACCTCACGAATTCGCCTCCCGGGGCCGCCGCTTCGCCTCCCGCCCGCAAGCCGCCGGGGCGAATGGCGGATACGTCGAACCTCTCTGTTGCGACGCCGCGGCACGTGGCGCGCGCCTTCGCGCGGCGGCGCGCCGCGCTCCTCGGCGACGCCTTCGCCGACTACGACGGCGCCGTCGTCGGGGGGCGCCTCGCCGAGGCGGTCGAATGCTCCTGGTCCAAGCGACTCCGAACAACGTCGGGGATCACGCGCATGACCAAGCGGCGCGTGGGGCCCGTGGCTGCGTGGGAGCGACGCGCCGTCGTCGAGCTCTCGACGCACGTCTGCGATTCGGAGGAGAAGATGCGCCACACGCTCGCCCACGAGCTCTGCCACGCGGCAGCCTGGGTCGTCGACGGCGTCTCAAAGCCGCCGCACGGTCGCGCGTTCAAGCGCTGGGCGAGTCGGTTTATGGACGCCGTGCCGGCGCTGACCATCACGACGCGCCACACGTACGTCATATCCTACAAATTCAACTGGCGCTGCTCGGCACCGGGCTGCAACTACGCCATTGGCCGCCATTCCAACTCACTCGACACGACGAAGTACGTCTGCGGAAGGTGCGCGGCGCCCCTCGTCGCCGTGCCGCAGCCTACGTGACCTTCCAGAATTACTTCTATCAAAAGGATGTATATGATACAGCTCCCGAGACGCAGTCTCCGGCACCTAGGGTGCAATTTACGTGGAAAAAACGCGTAAGTTACACGTAAAGCACCGCTACAGGAGATCCCACGTAAAAAACGGCGTAAAAAAGGAGGTATCCAAAAGTCCTTCCAGGGCTCTTCCCGAAGCCGGCGCTAGCGGCCCTTTAAGACTCTAGCTCGCGATCAGCACCTCGCAGAGTGTGGCTGCCCCAAACGTTGTCAGAGCCGAGCCAATTGCTAGTTGCATGCTGTTGCGAGCAAGGTGTGCACTCTAGGTGTAAGCTTATGCGCCGTGCTCGTGCTGCTATTGAGCTGCGTGGCTACCAAGGCCTTGTTTAGGCGCTCTGCCTGCGTGTGTGCGGGTTTTATAAATAAATGCACGCGTAAATTACGCGTAAATTACGGCGTAAATGACGCCGGACCGTTTCTCACGTAAAGAACGCCGTGCGTAAATTGCACCCTAGCCCGGCACTGCATCGCAGCTCCCCGAGACGCCGTCGGAGCAGGAGCTGCTCCGAGCGCGCGGCTGCTGGGGTAAATGTCGGGGGTTTTGCGCGAGGATAAAAGAACTGCAAAAAGACCAGCCTGGGATAAAGCTCCACGCATGACTTTGAACACGCATGGGGGTCAACACTCGTAGTATGATAGACCCCGGCGTCGTCGTGCCCTCCGTACACGAGCCTGCGCCCAGCCACGGCTCGCGAGCTATCAATTTGGCTGCTTTTGATACAAAGCATTGCGCGAAATCTGAAATCTGTATAGCTCCAACGGAGGACGATTACAGACCAGATCAGACGAACGCATTGTTCAACCCCCCGCACCATTATACGGAGTCGCCCCATGTGGACATCGCACACTTGTGAGCCCTAGCTCTCTATTCCCAGCCCAGGTGTCTGCCGCGGCCTGCGTAACCGGCTGTCATAGAATTTACAAAAAAGAGGTTCCACGACACTGTTCGCGGCGGGCCAGACGAGCCTCAAGTTCGAACCGACGAGCAATCGACAAAACCGGTGTTCCGCTCGGTCGCCGCCGTCGTATATTTGAGGCGGCAATTTGTGGCCATCCATAGCATCGAGGACGCGTTTCTTTGTCACAAACACCCAGTCCGAGAGGACGCCGCGGCCGTCGGGGTGACAGCAGGTTGACATGTAGAAGTCGACGCCGCGTCGAGACCGCCGCCTTTGCACGCAACCACGTGGCACGAGTTTGGTCTTTGGCGTTGGTAGAATACAGACTACGTCGTTGACATCATTGTCGCGGACAAGCGTCACGCACGCTCGCAGAAACTTTGTCGCGTTGGCCAAGACGGCCGCGCGAACGTCGGGACGCCACTTGAGCACGACAGACTCCCCGGGTTCGTGCGGCACCAAGTAGCTCTTGCCTGTTTCAAAGAGGAGCGCAACAGCACGGCGGTTGAGGTTGTACAGGTGAAAGAGCTGTGCAGTGAATTGAATCGCGCGCGTGCGTTCTACGCTCGTACGCGCATCGCGAGCGATGAGTTTTACCATGGCGCCGTCGAGACTGTTCATGGTGAAATTAACGAGTGCCGCGGCGAAGAACGGCGGCACGACCACGTCACGGTCACACGACGAATTCGCCCAGACGTGGAGGAGCGGCACGACCGGCAGACCGTCGGCCCACGCGTCCGCGCCGCCGCAGAGGAGACCTTCAAGATTCGCTGCCGTCGTGGCGAGGCTGCGCGCGGCGCCGACGACGTATACGTAGAGCACGGTCCTCGGACGGGTTTGGGGCGCAACCTCACCCACCGTGCAAGCTGCCCCGACACATGCCAAGCTCGAGGCGTGCAGCAACCAGGTCGCGGCGAGTCTCATCATCATCAAGCAGACGCTGCCGGCTCATGCCGCGTGTGGCGCTCCAAGTACTGTGAAGGCTCCGGCGCATTCCTCCTCCCTACCGCAGTATAGGTACCGTAGGTGGTACCGTAGGTACTAGAGAGAGAAACCTACTAGCCCTTCCTACCCTAGATATGTATCTCCCACTCTCTAATATTTGAGTCTATACATCGAGTGTCAAAAGCACTACGGTGTAACAACTGTTCACTATAAAACACTCTCGCAGTCAGGCCTATCAGCCCTAGGCTGGTTAGACATTGGTGGCCACAAGCATCACATGCGTGCTACCGGCCTCAGGCTACTGGCCTCCCAAGACTCGGAGTCCACTAGACGCATAGGCCCCGGACTATCCATCTCAGGCTAGGAATTTAATTGTTACACTGTTCAAGTTGAGCCACAATGAGATACATTCTCGAGTATACAACACTCTCGGCGTACCAGCTTTTAGTAGTACGGGTGTGCTTGGATACGTCTCAGTTGAACATTGGAATCCTACTAGACGTGTATTTCCATTGCACTACTATCGAGCACGCCAGCAACACCCGGTCCATTTCAATCGCTGGAATGCGATTCCCATTTGGTTCCCCGATGCGTTTCCCACGGGCGGGCCATCGACGAGTTTCTGTGAAAGGTGGCCGAATCGATGTCGCAGCCAGAGGTCGATGCTGAGCGGTGCCATATTTCTGCCGCTTCGGGGAGGCGCTGGCTCAGCTTGAGCCAACATCGACGCAATTCTTGCAAAGCTCTTCGTCACGACATACGCGTGGGTCCCGGGTCGTAGACGAGCACTTTGTCGTAGGCCTTGTGCTCACCGGTGTGATTACATGCTGAACGGGCTGTGAGGGCGAGGGGGCGGCCAAAATCTCTAATTGTCGACGATGCGGGGGGGTTCCGTGCGGGGTGGCAAACTGCAGTTGAAATGTTCCTGCCGCACATTAATACCTTGATAGAAGTCATGTTTCCATATCTGTTCCAGAGAGCAAGCGGAAAGACGTTCTGATCTCGTTTCAAGCCAAATGATACAAGGGTGCGGACTGTATCAGCAAAAATCACATCAAGCTTTGGCACATTATGGACCTTGCGGACAAATAAGCCCATGAGAAACAGTGGTGTTACATCCACTACCTGCGTTAGCCAAAGGTTGTTAAGAAACAAGAACCGGTTGACGCCAGTGCTCGCCTCGCTACCAAATTTGGCCCTCATTGCCTGCCCAAACTGGCAGATTAGATGCTGGAATTCCATTTTGTTTTTTGTTGTTACTTGCCACTCGCTGCGAACGAGAGCCCTCTCACGGTGCCTGAGTGCGATGAGCTCTACTTCTGGCTTCGTGCGGATGAGTGCTTCGACATCGGCAAAACGCGGTAGAAAGTAGAAATACTTGTTACGTGTCGCAATGAAACTGAAGTCTATGTGAAGGAGGTAGTCAAAGGGTCGAAGGACCGCGGCCACGTGCCCAAATTTGAAAAACTTGGTCAGGTCCCAGCCTGCACTGACGTTGCGTGTGCGATGGACTTGGAATGTGGCCCGCGGGAGGTAGCCAGGAGGCACCAGACACTGAATCCATCCGTCCGCGACCATTTTCTGCGTGATACTTGTGTCGCAGAAGACGTACCGATGGTCCCAGCCTGTGCGAAATAGCAACACCTAGTGGATACTCCGTCACATTGGACGAACGAAATCGCATTATTTTGAGAGAACCTGCCGTTGAAGGCAACTCCCCTCCTTAATTTCCATGCGAGTCCTGACCGTGGAAATCATCCCACGGGCGATATTGCGAGATTTCGTGGCGGTAATTGCCAAAGCTGTAGGTATATAGTGCCATCTTTAGGATGCCAGTGCTAACCGACAAATTCCTTCGCGCTGGAGCACAGAGAAGCGCATCCTCAGGCGACAACTCGTCGCCAGCCTGCGACGGCTCAGCCACCGCGCCGGCTGGCGTACCTTGGATCAGACCTTCTCCCATTTGCACCAAGACGAGCACTCGTAAGAGCCTCATGGAGTAGGGAGTGTGGCATCGAATGATAAATTCACTGCCAGCCCAGTGCGCGCTTGCACAGGCAAGAGCACCACGGCACCTACCTACGGTACCTGCTATGATATGGCCAAGGCTCTTGTGGACAGTGCCACTATGAACATGCCCTTTAGTCCTGATGTGCCTGCTGCAAGTCAAGTCCAATTCTTAAGATTAGTGAGGAGCGCAAAACTTGATGCTAGATGGGCGGACGTTATCGACTGGATGACGGAGAAAAGCCATATGCAACATGCGATAGCTTACAAAGTGTTTGGTGAGACCAGTGAGAAACTTAGGCCGTGTGCTGATACGCTTGATTTGAGACGTGTCTTGATTCGCGTCGAATATGAGGACATGGCGCGGATGCTGGCTAAGTTAGGGAGTGCCACACCTCCCTTGGTTTGTTTTGGCGCGGGGGCGCGTGGTCCGGGGTCCCCGGGGGTTGGTGCCCGTTGTGGCAACGGCCTCTTTTCCACTTATAAATCTCCCAAATTTTTATCTTAGCTTCACTATCCTAGTCTCACTTATCTTGGTTAAATACCCGGATAGAGTAGGCCTAGTGAATACGGTACCTACGGTACCTCCTACGGTACAAAAGCACAAGGTACTGCAGCGGGGCCGCACGCAGGGAGGCTGGCGCATTGCACGCTATCCGCCTGCGCCTGAAATGGCCCTGCGCGCCTTCAAGCAGCCGGCCGCACGCTTGACGGGGACAGCCCTGGCGCTCTTTCGCAACTGCTGCCGCAACGTGCCAACCGGTGCCCAATGCCACGGCGCCATCTGAGTTAAAAGTAGCGCCGCGTCGTCCGAGAATTTTAACGTTGATATGCACACAGGTGCCAACCGTTCTGACACTTTTCGACGTGGACATGTCGGTGCGCGAGGCGCGCGGCAAAGTCAAGGACATGTTCCGGCAAAATGCGCACATCGAAGACCCGCGGACCGCGGCGATCTTGGTCCACAAGGGGAAGGCCGAGCGCGCAGCCGCGTTCGAGAGATTATTCTTTTCGTACGTGGGGCCCTGCCACGGCACGGCTCTCGCAATCCGCACTGACCGGCTTGCTCCGCGTTCCCGCAGGCTCCAGGAGGCCATGCTCCAGTACAAGACAAAGGCGCAGATCATGTACCTCCTCGAACCTCGAGACCTTACCGAAAAGCAAAACAGCAGCCTAGATGCGGACGAAGCCGAGTTCTTCCGGGGCTCTTGACTGCGGGCCGTGCTAACTAAATTGCACAGCGGCCGGGCACGTGCGGCGGACGGGGCGGGAGGCCTGGTCGGTGGGAGATTTGAGCTTTGAAATCGGAAGCACGTGGCGCGTTGCCCTCCGCGTTATTAACTTGATCGTGTGAATATTAAAATTAAGCGGCGAGATAGGCTCCCTCGCGTCCACCGCCTCCTGGGTGGAGCCACCGTCAGCCTGCCAGGGAGGCTTCATTTGTAAGTTTTGTAAGTTTTTTTCGTCTGAGTAATTCAAGTTGTTCGAAGCTCCGGACTCGGGGCTCAGCTTGTGCCTTCGCGTTAGGCCTTCCTTAGTTTAGTTCATGGATCTCAATACGATCATGACATCATCATGATCCGTTGAGTACACTATGCCAGTCTATGGTCAATAAAAGTCGAGTTTTCCTCTAGAGACTCGGCGACCGGTTGTCTCACCTCGATCTAACCTCGATCGTAGCGTTGTAATTCATCTTATTTCAAGTTACCCAGTAGAACCCTACCTATCGGTGATACGTGTTTACCGTCACGGACTCACGGTCCGGCCCGGAGCGTGGTCAAAAGAGCAAAAACGGGTTTTGCATCAACGAAACGTTAGCGGCCTGGGCATGTGGCAAACGATTACAACCCTCCAGTGCCCCCCCAGGCAGACCCTGCTCCAAGACCCGACGGTGAAGACGTGACGCTGGATTCGGACCTTTAGAGGCCTGGTTCTAGTGCGTCCAATGCGCCGTCCATCCCCCAGGGACTAGGCTAGCGTCCCCAAAACCGAGTAACTAGCATCATCTCAACGTTAGCTCTCGTGCGTCCATCCCCCGGGACTAGGCTAGCGTCCCCAAAACCGAGTAACTAGCTTCTCACAACGTTAGCTCTCGCGCAGACGGCGCCGTAGACACACAACATTATAAACTGCAGCCTAGCATTGTAGTCGAGCCGGCCCTCGCGAGTTGGGACCGCGAGGCCGATGTCACATAAATACAGTGCCCCCCCCCCCCCGCGATGGCAGAGAGAGAGCCCTCGGGAGAGGCACATTTACTGATTTACGACTTCGAATGCGGGAGCGAAGCCGCTCGTTCGATCTCAGGACACGAGAGAAACTGCGCGGACGGCGGCCGGCTGGCGCCGTCGCCGACGAGAAACGCGGAGAAGGTCCCGGAGCCGAAGCGGAGGACCTCGGCCGCGCGGCGGCAGATGGCCGCCTCCGCGACCTGCGCGGGGGAAACGTCCGCCGGCGGGCCCTCGCCGCGGCGCGCGAACGATGATAATCCGCGCCGTCTGCGCACGGCGCAGTCGGGCTCCGAGGCGGCGAACGCGCCGCAGTACGCGGCCGCTGCCGGGAGCAGGGCGCGGAGGAGTCGCTCGCCGCGCTCGCGCCACTCGCGGAAGCGAGCGCTGCCCTGGTTCGACGGCGTGCCGTGCGCCTCGGCGGTGTCGGTGAGCAGGACGAGCGGTCGGCCCTCGGCCGCGCGCGTCGCGACGGCTGCGACGGCCGCCGCGCACCGCTCCATGTAAGGCGACGTCCACGCGCCGGCCGCGTCGTCGTAGACCCACTGGTTCCGCTTCGCGCGGCCCGTCGCGGCGCTCGCGAGCTTTTCGGCCTGCGTTCGGTGCGCACGTAAGGTCGCGCGCACGGGGGCGACCGCTGCGAGCTCGGACGAGCCGACCGCGCGCGGCGTGTTCGACGCGGGAGCGCGGCGCGGACGTGGGCGCAGACGAAAGATCGCTCTCGGAGCACCGGCGACGCCGCAAGGAACGCGTCGGCTCGCGCGTGCCACCGCGGCGCGAGCGGCGGGAACGCGCGCGCGTCGCGGCGGGCGCGCGCGTCCTGACACCCGCCGCGCGCCGCGAACGCGTCGCCGAAGAGCGGAGAGGCCGCGTCCCCGAGACCGACGAGTTTTTGCGACCAGTTCGTGACGATGATCGCGTCGCGGCGCCACCGCGTCGCGTCGCCGAGCGTCGCCGACGCCGACGCCGCGAGCGCCGCGGACGCGCACGCGAACGTCGCGCCCAGCGCGACGAGCGGTCGCGACCGCCGGCCGCAGCCGGTCGCGACCACGGAGCCGGCCCGGCCCGGGGGCAGGCCGAGCTGCAGCGCGACGATCCGGGCGCGCGGCGCCTCGCGTCGAAACGCGTCGTACGTGATCGCGCGCAGGCACGGCCAGCGCGCGGCAAGGCCCGCCACGTCGAAGTAGCGGTCGAGGCCGCCAAAGCCGGGCCGGGGCAACCCCACGAACGCCGGCTCGCCCACGCGCGCGAACGGTAGCACCGCCGTCCGATTCGTGAAGGCCGCGACCTGCAGAAACGCCAGGAGCTGGTGCTGCGTCGCCGACGCGAACGCCTGCTTGTGGAAGGCGGCGGCGAGGAGATAGCCGGGCATCACCCCTGTCGCATCCTCCGCTCACTGTGATCTTTGGCTCTCTTTTGGACTGAGTCAGACGAGGTGCGGTAAAGTAGCCCGGCTCGGCGCTCGGCTCCAATGTATCAGTTCCAGCGGCTAGTGCGTTGGTAAAGGGACTTCGTGTGAGAGCAATTAGAGGCCAGCCTGAGAGCTTGCTACTGGGTAATAAGTTGGTTATTGTACCCAGGTTAGCGTTAAGCGCACGGCGCGCGGCCGGCGCAACGGCTGGTGCAGCAGCCACGTGGGGCTACCTCGGACGGCCACTGGCCAACTTACCTTGCACTGGTAGCCACTTATTCGGCCTGCGTCGCGAGCTACAAATGTGCCCCCAAATCTGCTCTCCCTGGGGCCTGGGCTCGACTCCCTCCAAGCCGACGTTTATCGCGTCCGTATATCTCCGGGCTTTGCGTGCTCCTTGTGCCTGGTCCAGAGCCGGTGCCTGCGCAGCGTGACGGTTAGCGGCCGACGGCTTCGCTTTGTTTTGCTGGTCGCGGTCGGTCCCGAAGTGCTATGGGTCATAACCCATTCGGATCGCGGTCTCGGCTGGAATTTAGTGTCGCTCCGGACTCGAGGCATCACTCGCTCACTTACAATGCATGGGTCGCCAATAAGTCGATCTCCTTTGCATTCGGCACCCATTTTACCGCGTTCGGTGCATGGGTTCGAACAGTTGAATGTCTCACGGGTAATCCTGGCCGCGGGCAATCTCACCAGCCCATGGGCGTGGGTCATGAGGTCAGTGACGACGCTCTTGCACCCTCGATACGCCCGAAATGAGCAGATTCTCGTGCGAAAAGTGGCCCGCAACGCACCGCCGTGGGGCGCTCGCGGTCGGCCAAAACGTCCCGAGCGCTCAAACCCAGGGCTTTGGGGCGCGGGCGGGGGTACGTATAGACGCCTGTGTAATGTACAACCCTGACTGGGCCCCATAAGGCCCCATAAGGCGAGGTGAAGGGGAGGGCACATGTACCTGGGTACAATTATAAACCCCCCCGGTAGAGCTAAGCGCTTCCTCTATATAATATATTATTATAGGGATGCCTAGTGTCTTACCTGAAGTACAGGCCGCTAGCCCACGATTTCCGAGCGCGGAGTTCTGGAAGCCGCGCCCCGGGGGCGGTATCTCCTCAGACTGGCTCATTGCCGAACTGACTCATCGCCAGGCACACGGATCAAAACTTCAATATAGAAGTCGACCGCGGGCCGACACCCGCGTCCCATTGGGGGGCTTGGCGCTTTGGCGCCGTGGGGTGGCGGAACGACGCATGAGGTCTTGGCCTCACCGTCTTGGGGCCCCGACAGCATCGTCCTCAGAGTTGGCCTTGGGGTTTCGCTCCCCATTGGAGGACGGGCAGAACGGACTCGGACGATATGAGATCTTGGTACTAATGTACCGCATGCGGTACATTAGTGAAACTGAAGTGCAACTTTGACGCTCTAAGAAGAAGAGAACTAGAGAAAACCTAAATAGATTACCTCGCGAAGTCGAAGCTACCCAGCCTACCCTGCCTTCCTGGGTCAAATGTACAGATCCAATCTCTGCTGAAACGCTTAAAGAAGTACGGAGTACGGTTCTGGTGTGGCTTGCAAACGTTAGGAATTATCGTAACAAACTTTACGAGGACTTTGGATATTCCCACACGGATGAATTAGAGCAAGAACTCACACCAGATACTCCGATAACTGTTGAGATAATTTCGTGGGGCAGGTATTTGATTTGTTATAAGGACCTTCATACTTCATACAGGTCATACTTCTCCAAATCCATTGATTTACCTTGTTCACTAGAGTACACCGGTTCGGATTTTGGTCCAAATTTATTCGTCAAATGATTTTTCTGATGTTTTTTATCGTCGATTCGAGTACGACGCCGTCGATAGACGTGAAATTTATGTTGGAAGTCGCCACCGTGACGAGTACGATAAGGTGGCCATGCAGCATGGCGTGGGGCGCCGTCCGCGAGAGCTCGTGCACCATCGACGCGGCGGGAATGTCGCGAGGTCTCGTCGATGGCGTGGAGGCACCGGGGTTCGCGCACGAGGCTCACCGCCAAAAACACAGGTCGGCGCCGCTCGCCGACGAGCTCCGCGCGGCGTGGAGCTCGCGTAAGAAACCCGAACACCGAACACACAGATCCGACGGGCGCCGGCGCGCACACTAGTACCTCGGGCAGGGCCGAGGAGCTACGATGAATTTAGCCACAGACTCTAGGATGCCTACTCTCGAGGTACCTACGGTCTCCCCCCCCTCTAATAACCTGTAGAGCAAGTCCTGTCGATCAAAACACACGCGGGAATCGGCTATCCCGTGCAAGATGCTGCCGCCCCCCAGCAAGCGATCCCGCCGCGGTGCGGCCCAGCGGCGCGTCCTCGCGTACATGGATGCGCTGCCCTGCGCGGCGCAGTACGAGACGAGCTACGCACATCGAGCCGTCGTGACGCATACGGTGGTGGCGGCCAGAGCGCAAAATATCCGCGAGAAATGACGGTGATGTCCACACAGGTGGCGGCCAAGGCCGGTTTCGTGTGCACGGCCTCGGAGAACGGGCACGTCAAGTTCTGGAAGAAGATGCAGCGGGGCGTCGAGTTCGTCAAGCACTTTCATGCGCACGTGGGCCCGATCGCGGACGTGGCGGCATCGTTCGACGGCCTCTGGCTGGCGACGACGGGCGACGACGGCGCCGCCAAGCTGTACGACGTGCACGCGTTCGACATGGCGTGCATCCTCCGGACGAAACGGGACGCGGCCGAGCCCTACGTGCCCGGCGCGGCGTGCTGGCTCCAGACGGCCGCCGCGCCGACACCGCGGGTCGCGCTGGCCGCGGCGGACGAGGCGGCGCCGATCCGCGTGTACGCCGCGCCGACCTTCGCGCTCGTTGCCAAGCTCCGGGTCCACGCCTCGCCCATCGTGGCGCTCTGCCCGCTGCCGCCGCTCGGCCTCGTGGTCTCGGCCGACGCGCGCGGCGTGCTCGAGTGCTGGCGGTGCGCCGACGGTCCGCGCCGCGGGGGCGACGGGAAGGGCGCCGCGGTGTCGGAAGTACCCGCCGAGGCGCCCGGCGACGCCGTCGCGTACCGGAGCAAGCTCGACACGGACCTCTACGCGCTGGCCAAGACCCGCGCCGGGCCCTGTCGGATCTCCGCGTCCTCGGACGGGGCCCGTTTCGCCGTCACCGCCAGCGACGCGACCATTCGGATCTTCGAGACGCGCACGGGCCGGTGCCTGCGCCTCCTCGACGAGAGCGCGGCGGCGATCGACGCGCGACGAGGCGCGTGGCTTCTCCGCAGCGCGCGCGGCGCGCCGCCGGACGCGTCCGACGACTCGGACGACGCCGGTCCCATGCCCGAGCCCGCCGCGACGGCGGCGGCCGGCGAGGAGGCGCCGCCGCCGCCGCCGGCGGAGCCCGAGGACGCGGCGCTCCGCGCGCTCGTGGCGCTCGACGACCTGAGCTACGGTCGCCGGTCGGCGGCGGAGCGCGAGATCCAGGCCCAGGCGGGCCGGCGGAGCTTCCTCGCGCGCTGGAACGCCGTGTTCGACGAGACGGGCCACTATTTGCTCTACGGGTCGATCGTCGGCGTGTGCGTCTACGCGCTCGACGCCGGGCGGGTCGTGGCCGTCCTCGGCGCGGCGGACGAGGCCGAGCGCTTCGGGTGCCTGGCGCTCTTCGAGGGCGCCGCGAAGCTCGACGCGCAGCTGGAGCAGGCGCGGCGGCAGGTTGCGGACTCGCCGCAGCAGGGGAGCCTGACGATGGGCGCCGAGCAGTCCCGCGAAGGCGTCTCCGACCCGACGTGCTTCGCGTCGTCGTTTCGGCGGAAGCGCTTCTACCTGCTGAGCCGCCGCGCGCCGGACGCGCCGGACGCGCGCGACGTGCAGAACGAGCTTCCGACCGCCGACGAACTCGGGCGGCGCGCGGCGGCGTCTCGGCCCGCCCTGCTCGGCGCGGAGGCGACGCTCCGGACGACCATGGGCGACGTCCGCTTCCGGCTCTTCGGGAACGAGTGCCCGAAGACCGTCGAAAACTTTTGCGCGCACGCGCGCGACGGCTACTACGACGGCCTCATTTTCCATCGCGTCCTAAACCGTGCGCAAATCGACTTTCGCGGCGCTCTTCATGCGCGCCACCCAATTCAACTGGCCGCCGTGCGCACAGGTCATCAAATCCTTCATGATCCAGACGGGCGATCCGCTGGGCGACGGCACCGGCGGCGAGAGCATCTGGGGCGGCGAGTTCCACGACGAATTCCACCCGAGCCTCCGGCACGACCGCCCCTTTACGGTGTCCATGGCCAACGCGGGACCCGACACCAACGGGTCCCAGTTCTTCGTCACCACCGTGCCCACGCCCTGGCTCGACGACAAGCACACCGTCTTCGGCCGCGTCACTCACGGCATGGAAGTTTGCCAGGCCATCGAGAACGTCAAGTGCAACCGGTTCGACAAGCCGCACGAGGACGTCGCGATCATCGCCGTCGAAATTCACGACGTCGCTGCTGCCTAGGATCTGTATGGTTCAATTAGTACGTACAGCACCCGCCCCCCCCTAGCCGGACACGGCGTAATTCTTTGGAGTCACATTCTGCCTTGTAAACCTTCCCTAAGCTCTAATTAGAATGAATGAGCCTGCGACGCTTACGGCTCCGTGGGGAAATTTTATACTGGCGCCGGGCGTGGGCCGCGCCAGCCTGAGAGTGGGTCGACGTCGTCTTCGAGCGCCCCGGTGGTGCGCACCCTTCCAGCGGGAATATGGTGGCGACTACCGCGGACGCGACCGCCGCTCGGACCTGGGTCGAGGACGGCGCGACCTCGCAGGACCACACGGCCGCCCTGCTCAAGAACCGCCTTTACCGTCGCTGGGGCATCAAGACGGCGCGCGAGTACGCCCGGATCAAGATCGACGGCCCCCGGCTCGTCGGCGGTAACCCGGACTTCACCAACGCGCCGCCCGGGCTCGGGCACGGCGACGACGACGCACGCTTCTACGACCGGCAGCAAGCTTACGTACACGCTCGCGGGGGATAGCTCCCCCGATACCCCCCCCTAGCGCGTGCCCCCCCCCCCCTCTAGCCCCCCTTCTAGGTGCGCCAGGAATCGCGCGCAAAACCCAAATTGACTATAGCTATCCCAACTGCGCGCTAGGCTACCGCAGTAGGTACCGTAGGTACCGCAGTAGCTACTGGTAAGAAGCCGAGTCCCGTACCTACGGTACCTACGGTAGGTACCAATACTACCATGGTACCGCAGGCAATCTCAGGTGCCACGGCAGCGCTGGCTGCACAGCTTGCGGAACCTAAAAAATAGCGCAAAACTAAAACGCACGGGCCTGATTCAAGCGTCAACAGCAACAATGTCGTCCGCACGCGCGAGTCGGCTGCACTACGCGCCCTTGCCCCCCCGAGACCACTGCCACCAGCGTGCGCGAGACGCCAGCGACGCGGTGGCGTACTTCGCCCGGCATCTGACCAACGCGGGTCCAGTCTCCCGGGGGCACTTCGGCTCGAAGCTCCGGCGCCGGGCCCTCCTCCTCGGTACCGGACCCACGCGGCGGCGGCGGCGACGAGGCCGCGCGGCCGTCGTTGTGTCGGCGGCCGCGCGGCGCGCGGAGCTGTCGACCTGGCGAGAGACGGGTCCACTCCGCGGGGGCTGGACGTCGTACGCCGCGGCGACGGTCGGCGAGTCGACCAGACGATCCCGGGGTGCGGCGCGGCGCGGCGCGGCGCTTGAACCCACCGGCGCCCTCGTGGATATTTGCCGCGCGCCGATTCCAGGGCTTGTCGGGGAGATCGGCGCGATCGTCGACGCGACGCGCGACAATCTGTGGCTCCGAATGCCGTGCGACGCCCTCGTGCGGCTTCCACGGCGAGGCTCCGTCGTCGCGCTACGCGTCGGCGCCAGGTCGGGGGTATCCGGCGCGGGTCCCGCGCGTCTGGTCCTCACGCCTCCCTCGGGTCCTGTCAGGTACTGATCTAAAGACCTGGTGTTCGGAACCAATTTTACTACTACTAGTAGTACTATTAAACGCTGGGGCTCTGTCTGTCAATTGATATGTACACATCACGAGTAGTTTCATCCACTAGTGTTATATAAATTAAGGAATCTAATTAAGGAAGATGACTGAAGATCGGGGGCGGTCCCCTAATCTGAGATTCGAGTTCCCAGCCACTTGGTCGGACGAAACGCAACTCAGGCTGGCGCAAGCTAGCACTCGCGTATGAGGGCCGGGGGCGGGGCGGAAAAACCTCAGGCTGGGTTTTCAAAAGATGTCCGAAAACCGTACTGGGTTTTCAAGACATCTCCGAATTTGTTCAAAAAGTTTACTATGCCTGAATAGTCAAATCGGCCTTAATTTCCGCGCTGGGCGCAAAGTACTGGCGCGACGTTCGCGGACTCGGACACTGGCAGTACAACTAGAACTTGCAGTACCTTGAACCCGGGACTTTACGCCCTTCTCATTTCCCCGTGCCCGCCTGCAGACGTGGACTGGTCGTCCGCGAAGAAGAGCTGGACGGGATTCGGCGCGAGGCGAAAGCGCCGATCGACGTCGCCCGGCCGCGCGACAACAATCTGGGGGTACTCGATAACGCACCGGTCGGCGAGGTTGAGGTCGAGGCCTACGCTGGGATCGAGCCGATCGTAGCGCGGGTCGTTGGCCGGACCGGGCGCCCGGAGGAGGAGGAGTGCGAAGGTCTCCGGGTCTTGCAGGTCGCACGCGACCGGCGGTCGGCGCCCGGCGGCGGCCGCGTGGGCGGCCAGAAGCTCCCGGAGGGGCGTCCGCTCGTCGGCGCGCTCGTCGACGAGCGTCGCGCCGTCGACGCGCCACTCGACGCGCCACCGGATCGCGTCGCGCGCGGCGTCGTAGTGGCTACCATTGCGTCGGCGTTTGGCCTGCGCGCGAGAAAAAGGGCGGTCCGAGCGTTTTCGCCGTCCCCGTCGTCCGCGCGGGTGGTCACCATTCCATCAGGCATGAGGAGTAGTCGGATGCGGCGGCGCTCGGCCGCTCGCCGGAGCCGCGCCGCGGCGGGCGCCTCGCCGCTGCGGCCGCGCCGCTCTCGCCCGCCGAGGCGAGGCGCGGCGCGACGCGCGCGCTCGGCCGTGGCGCGCGACCGCGCGGCGGCCTCGAGAAACGCACAGTCGGCCCGCAACTCGCGGAGGCCCATGGCCTTGAGTGGTCGGTGCGCCGCCGCGTCGCGCCGCCCATCGCAGCCCGTCGCGCGCTTGTGGGCCGCGCAGCAGGCCAGCGAGCAGGTCACGCACGCGCACCGCGGGCAGCAATACTTGCGCGGATGGCGACCGCACACCTCGCAGGTCGGCGCGTCGTCCTGAGCGTCGTTCGCGCCGTCGTCGTCGTCCTGGAGAGCTCGCGCGCGTTTGCGCGCGGGGCCATCCGAGCAGCGGGCTGGCATCATCTCGGCTGTCTGTCGAGTAGACTGGTGAGCCGCGGTCCGGCTGTGGTCTTCGGGCTGTCCTCAAATCCCACGCGTGAGGTAAGCTTAAACGACAACCGCAAGATAGTTGGTGCTCTCTCTGCGCATACCTACGGTACCGTAGGTACCGTAAATACCGTACCGTATATTCACACGCCCTATTCTATCCGGGTATTTAACTAGGATAAATGAGACTAGGATAGTGAAGCTAAGATAAAATTTGGGAGATTTATAAGTGGAAAAGGCCGTTGCCACAACGGGCGCCAACCCCAGGGCCCCCGGACCACGCGCCCCAGGCAACCGTGACACCCTCATGGTTGGACAAACAGTGCATCCAGACATACCCAATGAGGCCACGCTTCAGGCATATGGTGCATACGTCGAATCGGATGAATCAGATGATGAATCAATCTTCTCAATCAATTCCCTGCCGAATCTTCTGTCTGAGTCGTCAGACGATGAGTCATCAGACGATGATACAGGCTCTGTGCATAACATGACTGATGGCGAAACAGCCACGGATGTCGAACCATCTGAAAGCGCATGGAAAATAATATCAGACGAGGCTCAGCCTCTCCGAGTCAGGCTCAGGCTATAGCAGGGTCCTAGCTCACCAGCCAGAGGCTGGGCCAAACCAACTACGAGAGTGTTTTATTATAAATTGGTTTACACCGTAGCGCCGTTAGACACCCAGTGTATAGACTCAAATTTAGAGTGGGAGATACATAGGGCTAGAGGGTTTCTCTCTCTCTAGCTTCAGCCTCATGACAAAGTTGGTCAGGTACGACCATAAACCGTCGCAGCCCATTGGGGCTCCGCATAGATGATGACACTCGCCTACTACCGTACGACTTACGGTTTATGATGCGGTTCTCGCTGCCAATGTGAAGGAAAGAGATGTGGCTCTTGCTGCTGGCTGCCACGCTCCGCACGATAGTTGCCGCGAACTGTTCCCTGACGCAGCCCGAGGACGTCCGCCTCGCCGCCGCGCTTGACCTCGCGACGGCCGGCTGCGGCACGGTGGTCTACACGACGCTAGCCTACGGCCCCGGCACACGCTTGCCGCACCCCGGGACGCGGCTGGCGGAGATGGCCCGCGAAGGTAGCGCCTGCTACATCGTCGTCGCCGGCGCGGCGTCCGCGGCATCGCTCGCGGCGCACTGCGACGTGCGGCCGTGGCGCGTCGTGACCGCGGGCGGCGCGTCAGGCCGGCGCGCCTCGCGCGCAGTCAAGCTCCGGCCATTGTTATTTTTCCGGAACGCTCGGTACCTCGTGTTCGTCGACTGGAAGCTGCGGCTGCTGCGCGTGCCTTCTTCGTTGGTCGCTGCAATGCTCAGGGATGCGGGCTTTGCCGCGTTCCGCCACCCGTGTACGGCAGCTCACACGCCGCCAACGCGCTCTCCCTGTAACCATCGGCGCCCTGGCGATCCCTGGTGGCGCGCCGAAGCGCGGGAGATCGCGCGCCGCGGCGTCGTCGCGGACGCGGACGCTCTCCGCGTGCAGGTCCAACGCTACTCTCGCGCGGGGCCGCTCGTCGAGTACGTTGACGGCGCGCTGCTCGTTTGGGACGCCATGCACCCTGTGGCCGGAGCGCTGTCCTGCGCATGGTGGACCGAGTACAATCGCGAGGACTCGTCTGACCGCGATCAGCTGGCATTTGCGCGGGCAATCACCGCCATCATCCCGCCGAACCCCATTGACGACCCCGCGCGCTCCTTTGAGGCCTCGACGCGGCGCGGCGGCGTGTTCATCGTCTCCGAGGGCGGCGGGCGCCCCGGCGCTTGCGGCGGTCTCTGCCACCAGTATGACTCAACAGGCACTGCCGTCGCACCCGCCGGAGCCCGGGTCCTGCCACCAAGTTCACCGGCACCAGGGCCATGTGACTCTAGACCCCACGTAAGTAAGTAGCCTACTAGCAGGGAGAACTTGAAGGCTCCGAGTCTTAGGAGCTAGTTCCTTTTTCAAGTTTTCAGATCCCGCGGCGCCCGGCCCGTGATGAGAGGGTTCAACAACCCTCTGTTTACAGGAGGAGCTTTAATGAGAACCCCAGGGGCTGTCCCGAACCTTTGTAAGGCTGACTCTGGTCTGTCAGCTATGATTGGTATCTTGGTCACGGTAGCAATATCGTCACACCTAGTGGCTCGCTACAAGATACCTCCTTATACTTGCTCGTGTCCCATAGCGCTCCGATTGTGAGAGCGCAGGACTAAGGAGCAAGAATTTTTGGCCCTCCCACCGTGACCCCGGGCCTATAGTTGAGCAATTTCCAGGAAATGAAATCTAGAGGGGTGGAAATTTCCGAAATTTCCGGAAATTTTCTTTCCCCTAGTTGCCAGACCCCGTGGTACTGACTGTTCGACCTGTCGCAAATCTGTATGATTTGTTGGCGAGCTAAATTGTCTTACCAATTTAGCTCAGGCACTGCCAAAGGGGCTTATGGTAATTCCCCTAAAGGTGGGGTTTTCCCCGGAACTTCTTGTTCAACCTTTGAATCCAATCAGTGGATCGTTGTAATCCCGCGGCGCCCGTGATGAGAGGGGTCAACAGCCCTCTGTTTACAGAAGGAGCTTTAATAAGAGACCCAAGGGCTGTCCCGAACCTATGTAAGGCTGACTCAGGTCTGCCAGTGTCAGCTATGTTTTGGTATCTTGGCAGCAATATCGTCACATCTAGTGGCTCGCTGCAAGATACTTTCTTATACTTGCTCGTGTCCAACAGCGCTCCGATTGTGCGAGCGCAGGACAAAGGAGCAAGAATTTTTGGCCCTCCCACCCTCCCTTGGTTGTTTTGGCGCGGGGGCGCGTGGTCCGGGGTCCCTGGGGTTGGCGCCCGTTGTGGCAACGGCCTCTTTTCCACTTATAAATCTCCCAAAATTTTATCTTAGCTTCACTATCCTAGTCTCACTTATCTTGGTTAAATACCCGGATAGAGTAGGCCTAGTGAATACCACGGTACTGGTTCGGCAGGCAGGCAGGCAGGCATGGGGATACAGCCTCGTTTCAAGGGATAAAATACACGTCATGGGCGCGAAAATGTAATAGACAATCACAACGATTGGTATAACGAGCATAGTTACCGTTAAACCATGGCGTCGAAGCGCGGGTAGCATGGGTAGCATAAGCCTGATCTTTGCGGCGCTTGCCGCCGCGGCGACGTCGCCCCGGCAATCGCATCGCGAACTCAAGCTGACGTCGCGCGTCGACCATGCGCCGCCGGAGGAGAGTTTGAATTATTGGAGGTACGTGGTCGACGACGGGCTCGAGAACCCCGAGGCGCTCGCCGCGGCGGACCTCGACGGCGACGGGCAGCCCGAAATTATGGTGGGGTCGGAGCCTGACGTGACCGTGCACCGCGTCGGCGCGGGCGGCGCGACCGGGACGTGGGTAAGGAGCGTGGCGGCGACAGCGACCGAGCCCGGCGAAGACCTGACGTTTGACAACGTGTTCACCACGCTGTGCCCGGCCGACCTCGACGGCGACGGCGACGTCGACTTCGTCGCCGGAGGGCTCGAGAACGTGATCCTCGCGTGGTACGAGAACGCGGACGGGGCGGGCGAGACGTGGCGCGCGCGGGTGATCCTGGCCGACATCGACGAGGGCACGTGGGAGGTCTCGGTCGGCGACGTGGACGGGGACGGGGACCTCGACGTGCTGACCGCGTCGCGGTGGAGCCGCGCGACCATGGTCGCGTGGTACGAGAACGACGGCAACGCGACCGGCTGGACGGATCGCGTGGTGTCGGACCGCTTCCCCACGCGGGGCGCGACGGGCGCGGCGACCGCCGACGTGGACGGGGACAACGTCAACGACGTCGTCGTCGCGGCGGTGGACGACCAGTACATCGTGTGGTTCCACGTGGACGACATACGAACCGATCGGGAACTTTGGTCGTACGAACCGATCGTAGAGGGGGTCCAGGTCCCCGTCGACACGTGGGCCGGCGACTTCGACGGCGACGGCGACGTCGACGTCGTCTGCGCGACGACCGGCGACGGAAAGGTCACTTGGTACGAGAACCTGGGGTCCTCGATGGGCGACGCCTCCTGGGCGACCCACCACATCGCCACCGACGCGAGGAGCGTCAAAGAAATATTCGTGGGCGACGTCGACGACGACGGCCAGCCGGACGTCCTCAGCGCCAACTTCGAGGACGGCGCCGTGGTGTGGTACCAGACGTTTGTCGTCGACGGAACGCGGACCTGGACCGCCGGCGCCGTCGTCGACGACGTCCCCGGCGCGATAGCCGTCGTCGGGGCGGACGTCGACGGCGACGGCGACTTGGACCTCGTCGCCGTCGACCGAGCGTCGCTGTCGAACGCCGAGGCGGCTGACACGGCGACCGACTCGGTGACGTGGTACGACATGCACCTCGTGCCGTTTCCGACGGCGTCCCCCACGATCACGTTCAAGCCCACGGACGCGCCCTTGCCGCTTCCGACGCCCCGACCCACCGCCTTGCCCACGCCGGTGGACCCGCTTCGGCCCACGCACGCTCGGACGCTGGTGCCGACTTGCCTGCCGACGCAAGCGACGCTTCCGCCCACGCCCTTCGACTTCTACAAGCACTTCTTGAAAAGATACCGAGAACAGCTCGCCATCGCCGCCCTCGCCGTCGTGGCCGCCTTCGCCATCCGCGCCTTCGTCTTGGCGATCAAACCCTGCGTCCTGCGGATCGAACCCTACTACATGCCCGCCATCACCGCGGCCCACAAGGAATGGCTCAAGTCGGACGTCCGGAAGTTCCTGTGCTACTGCTGCCCCGAGTGCTGCCGCGGGCGGCCACCCGAGGACCCGCTGAACCCGCGCGACGGCGTCAAGCTCGCGGGCGACTATGAGATTCCCGTGCGCGTCGTCTACGACGAGCCCCGGGGCCGCGGGAAGATCGAGCTCATCCACACGGGCACCCGGGAAATCACGTTCTTCCAGAAGGGGGAATACTACTCTTGCTACTCGTAAATTTCTTTCATTCAAGTTTAGCCTCGTGACCCGTCCGTCCGCGTCGCCGGGGTTTCGTTCAGAGCCGACCTGTTATGTGCTCCGGTAACCGGCGACCGTGCCGGTGAAGTGCTGTGTCGCGGTCACGGTCACTAGCCCGGGCCCGGCGGGCACCGCCGTGACCTGCCGCACCAAGGGCAATGCCAATAGATGAACAACAGTCTAAACTCGAATACTGGAGACGGGGAGAATACGATACTGGGTAGGTAGAGTGCCTCTATGGAATTCAAGGGTTTTTGTTATTATTGGTACCTCTAGGCATGCTCGGAGCTAACCGTACCTACGATAACCATACTGGTAACCAAATGCAGTGTTATGGCCCGCTGCTCCCTTGTGCTTTTTCTCGCGAACGGCGCGCGCGCCTGGGCGCCCGAGGAAGAGCTGGTGGCGCTCCACGGCGCGTCCTTCGCCGCGGCGGAGCCTTGGGAGAAGGTCAAACGAGAACTGCACAGGAGCATTGCCGCGAGCGCGCCGCGGCCGGCGGGCGCGGCGGCCGCGGCGGCCGGCGTCGCCGCCGTCCTCGCGGCGAGCCCGCACGCGCTCATCGTCTTCCAGAACGCCCTCTACGTGTTCGACGACCACCGCGACGCGAAGAAGCACAAGCCGCACTACCTGTTCTCGACGCTCCTGTCGATCCTCGCGCGCGCGCCGCTGCCGGACGTCGTCGCCGCGTGGGACGCCGGCGCGACGGGCCAAAGATGCGAGAAGCTGCCCGCGCCGTGCCTCGCGATCGCCAAGCAGGCGGGCTTCGCGGCCCGGGGCGTCCTGGTGCCGAATCCGTACTTTGCGCACGTCGGCGAGTGGGAGAAGCGGTGCGCGGCGTGGCGAGAAGCGATCCCCGCGTGGCCCGCGCGCGACCCGCGCGTCTTCTGGCGCGGATCCGTGAAGCCGGGCTGCAACCCGGGCAACGTCGCGCGCCTCGCCGCGCTCACCTTCACGGCCGCGCGCGACGACCTCTTCGACGTCCGCGCCACGACGCTCGACGCGCCCGATCCTAACACGTGCGCCGGCTTCACGGCGGCGATGCGCGCGCTCGCCGCGCATTCCGGCGCCGTCCGCGGCGCGTTCGTCAACGCGTCCGACTTCGGTCGCTGGCGCCAATACCTCAACCTCCCGGGGACCATGGGCGGGTCGTACTCGCGCAACCTCAACTGGCTCTGGCCGATGCGGGGCGTCGTGCACCTCTGGGACTCGCCCGCGGTCGAGTGGTACTACCCGGGATTGAAAGCGGGCGCGACGCACGGCGTCGTTGGTCGTGATTTTAACGCCGCCGTTGGCACCCGGCGTCTGAACAACACACACGAGCCTCCAGCCCGTGCTCGTACGACATCGCCTCGCGTCGGTCGTCGGGCGGAGAGCATCACTCGTCGGCCCCGTCTTTTTGGCCTCGGGTGAGCGAAGTATGTATTTCGAGGGATGATCGTGGACGCGCAGGTGGCCGCGCTCGACGGCGTCCGCGCCGACGCGGCTCTTGAGGACCGGCTCCGCCGAGGCGCCGACGCCACTTTTCGCGCGTTCGGATCGGGCGGAGGACTCGAGCGCTACTGGCGCCTCGCCGTCGAGGGCTTAAACGAGCGCTTCCGCGCGGCGGAAGTCCTCGGCGACGACCGCCTTCGCGCGACCGCGCTCCGTCGCGTCCGGTGCGCCGGCCTCCGCCGCGTCCGCTGGGTCGACCCGGCGGGGCCCTTCTACGACGACACCCCGGGCTCGGGCCATCCGGTCGCCTACGAAACTCCGGGGCCCCGCGATCCGCTCCTCGTCGCTTGTTTGAATAAGAATGTGTAGCTTCTTGACGCTGCCGAGAGTTTCCATGCTACGCATGGGGAGGGCTCCTTGCCATAGCTTGAGTGTCGCTCCTTCTAGTCGCTCCTGGGAAGCCTGGGGGCGCGGGGCGAAAAAAGGCAAGCGCTGTGATGTGGACCATTGCGTGTCCTCCGTCCTCGATTTCTACTAGTAATTATTTATTTTATTTATCTACGTAGCCCCGGGGCCGCCGCTCACTGGCAGATCTACCTTTTGCTTGCGTCTGTCTTCAAGCGCATCATAGCCTCAAATAAATAAATATCACTAGGTGGCCTAACCCAGGAAAGACAAGTAAATAAATTACAAATCCGAGTCGAGGACTCGGCCGACGAGGAGGTCCATATCGCACCGCTCGGCGGTCTTCGACCCACGACCCCAGGCACCTCAAGGACGATGCTCCAGCTAGGGCATGGAGCCACAAATCCGCGGACGTCGGCTAACGTAGTAGTGGGGGGCGAGAGTCGAGGTCTATAGACATACTCGATAGCGCGACATGGCTCGGCCTGAGTGAGGGGGTAACCCGTGCGCACGGGGAGGCGAGAGAGAAATATACTTGGGTGCTCTACACGCTTGGGAGGACGCGAGGAATGCCGGGAAGGGGCGGGCAGGTCCCGAAGGTACCCGCGGAACTAGAAGAGTGCGCGAGCCGCGCGTCCGGAGGCAGACCCGACGCGAGATGAAAAACACTCGGGTTGCTGCTTTTTTGTCCGGCCGGCACGGCAGGTTTTCGACGCCGCGGACCCCGAAGCGGAGTCGACGGCGCGTCATCAGGTGCGCGTTTCCAGTCCCACGGAACTCTCGGGCGCCCCGCGGCGGCCTAGGGCCCGACGGGCGCGGGCGAGGGCGGCACGGGCGCGCGGGAAGCACGCCGCGCCGCTCCACGCCAATTAGAGCTCGTCCTTCGAGGCGCCCTTGCGCGACGCCTTGACGGACTTCATCAAACCGAGACCGCCGTCCTTGAGCTTGGCCATCTTCTCCTCCTTGTCCTTGGTGTAGCCCTCGTAGAGCTTCTGGAGTCCTTCGACAGACTTCTTGAACTCCTCCTCGATCTGCTTGAGCTCGTCCTCCTGGGCCGTGATGAGCTTAGTCAGCTCTTCCGTGTCCAGGGCCATGTACTTTTCGAGCTCGGCCTTTTTGTCGGCGCTGCAGAGGTCGATGTTCTTGACCGAGCACATGGGCACGAGCTTCTCCTCGGCGAACTTCTTGAGCGCCTTCTCGTCGCGCCCGCCCTCGTAGGCCTGGAGGTCCGAAGGGTCGCCGTACTTGATCGTCGGGAAGCCACGCACGCCGTTGGAGTCGCAGAGCGGCTTGCCGGCCGCGGTGCCTGCGCGCGTCCTCCGTCACAGCCTCTCACGCCGCCCCTCACGACGCGGCGGCGCGCAGTCCACGTCAGCGACGAGCTTCGTGGGGTGGTCCGCGTAGTCCGCCATGACGGCGTCCCACGCAGGTTTCATCTTCTTGCAGTGCCCTCACCAGGGCGCCAGGAATTTGATAAAGACCGTCTTGCCATCGGTCATGTCGTCCCAACTGCGCGGGGTGGGCGAGCGCGTTATTTCTTATATACGGAAGAGAGGGGACGCCGGAGCTGCGCTTGTCGGGAGTGAGCTCGACGGCCGCGGCCGCACCGAACAGCGAGAGCGCGACGAGCAATTTCATCGTCCTGCGCGCGCGCTGTCGTCGGTGCGTGGTCGAACGGCTCAAGCTGGCGAGGCGTTTTAACCCCAACCGCGATAGACACTGGGCCGCGCAGCGGAGTGGCCGTGGCTTTTACCGCGATTTTCGGCCTGTTGTACCGCAGTAGGGGGTTACCGGTACCGTACCTACGGTACGTTACCTACTGCGGTATGGTACCTACGGTACCGTAGGTACCTACCGTATTCACTAGGCCTATTCTATCCGGGTATCTAACCAAGATAAATGAGACTAGGATAGTGAAGCTAAGATAAAATTTGGGAGATTTATATGTGGAAAAGGGGCCGTGGCCATATCATAGCAGGTACTGCGGTACGGCCCGGGTACCTAATGCGGTACGGTACCTACGGTAAACAAGTTCGTACCTTATCCAGGTTTCAAGATATAATTGAAAATAACTAAAATAGTGAACCAGAGCAAAGTTAGGAGCTTTATGAGTGGAAGGAGGCCGTTGAACGCCAAGCCCCGGGGACCCGGGCCCCCGGACGGCCTGGTACGGATACCGGGCTCAGGCTGCCGCGACACGTCTGCCTTTGCGATGTGTCGCACTCATGCCTTCACGGCCCACCAACTTGGATTGCCGACGACGCCGCCCTCGCCTGTGAACTGGAGCCTAGATCCGCGCCTAGCGACCGCCTCGCGGGCGGCGAGCGCCACCCCGCTGAAGCCAATCTTTTCTTGGCCCCGGCGTTTTTTGTCCTTGGGGTAGCAAAACTCGCCGACGATGCACGCGTAGACGCCGCAGGTCGGGACGCGGGCGGCCGCGAGCTCCGGGGCGATGTCCGGTCGCGGCCACTCGCCGACCCCCTCTTCTCTTCCCTTGGACCTGCCCACACAATAATCGTGGCCCGCGATGATGCCCCCCGGCCGTAGCTTCGGCCACCATCGGTCGAAGGTATCTGTGACGTCGCGGTAGTTGTGCGCCGAGTCGATATACACGAAGTCCAGCGAGCCGTCAGAAAAGGCGTCGACGAACTTGTGGTCCAGCCCGTGGTGAAAGTGCCACCTCGGGTCATTCTCGAGCGCGGCGATCGTCTCAACGCCGTACGCGTGGACCTCGGGCATGAGCGTCCGATAGCGTTCCAAGTCGGCGCTGAGAAGCAGCGGGTCGACGCCGTGGTAGGCTCTGCCGCGCCAGCGCCCAAGAAACATGCGGCTCCAATGCCCCTCGCGAACGCCGATCTCCACGGCGGTGCGGTTGAGGCCGAGCTTTCCGAGAAGTTCGGGAAAGCGGTCCCGATGCGGCAGGCGGAACCGATGCTTGGCGAGCGCCCGGCGGACGTAGGCGTCGATGTCCACCCCACTGGGAGCGTGCGCTCGAAAGCGCGCGAGCTCGCCGTCGAGGAGCATCGCCTCGCAGGCCTTGGCCCTCGCGTACGTGTGGGCCTCGGGCTCCTCATGCAAGTCGCAAGCAGCGGCAGCACGGTGAGAAACGAACACGCACACAAACGCTGCCCATTTGTCGCTACTCCCACCCCAAATTTGCATCTGTGTGTGTTTTTCTCCCCGCTCAGTAAGAAAACTTTTCAAGCCGGTCGGTACGGTACCATGGTACTTGGTACCGTGGTACCGCAGGTACATGTAGCATGCACGAGTTGTAACTCTCATCATCAGTGCTCCGCATCGAGCCGTCCTGGCTCAAGTCACGAACAGATGCCGTCCTCCTGGCCCGACGAGAAAAATGCGCTCGTGGATGCGCTCACGCTGGTCATTAGCTCGGTGCTCGCCCTGCGTTCGTGCGTCCGTTTCTTGCTGCGGCGGCGGCGCGGCGTGAACGTGGGCCGCCACGCGTTCGGGCTCAAGGACCTGGCGCGGAGCGTCGCGTACTCGCTGACGCAGACGAGCGCGCGGAACCAGGGCCTCGTCGTCGCGTTCGCCGCCGCGGTCGTCGGCAGGCGATGGCTCCGGCGGTACGTCTTCGACGCGGTGTTCGGCCGCCGCCCCGGCCGGCGGACGGTCGCCAAGGTGCTGCGCGCGCTGGCCATCCTCGTGTCGCGGAACGTCTGGGCCTGGGCGCGCGGCCGCGTCCAAGTCGGTCCGCGCGAGGGGCGCGCGCGAGGGGGGCGATTTCGTCGCGCGCGGTCGCGATCGCCGGCGTCGCGGGCAGGTCGTCGGCGGCGCGCTGGGCTGGGTGGCGCACTGGCGCGTCCGCGTCTGCGAGCGGCCGGTCGTGAGCTGCACGCGGACGTTCTGGAACGTGGCGATCGTCGAGCGCGCCGGGCTCGCGACGCGCGAGTTTCGGCCCGTGTTCTGGCTGACGAGCCGCCACGCGCAGACCGTGATCGCGCACGTCCTGGCGGACCTGAGCTTCCTGCTGCTGCGGCCCGTGCGCTGGCGCCGCCAGGCCGTCCGGACGTTCGACGGCGGCGAGGTCTGGCTCGACTGGCTCGTCGCGCACCGCGACGAGTTCGCCCTGCACGGCGACGGCCTCTTCGCGACGCGCGCGCCGCCGCCGTCCCCAACGTCGCCGGTCGTCCTGCTGCTCTACGGCGTCGGCGGCACGCGCGACGACCACTACATGAAGCACCTGGCGCGGCGCTGCGAGAGCCGCGGCTGGCGCGCGGTCGCCTTCAGCGACTGGCGGCTCGACTGGAACGAGTGGCGGGACCTCGCGCGCGCAGTCGAGGCGATCCGCGCGTCGAACCCGGCGGCGCCGATCTTCTGCGTCGCGCACTCCGCGTCCGCCTTCCTGCTGGTTCAGTACCTCGCGGCCGCCGGCGAGGCGACGCCGCTCGTCGCGGCCGTCACGCTCGCGGGCTGCATGGATTTTCTGCGTACCGCGGACTTCGTCGCCAAGACGAAAAACGCGACGTACCGCAAGGTCTTCGCGCGCGGCATGCGACGGTGCATTCTCCGCCACGCGAGGGCCGACCCGGGCCTCGCCGACGAGCGCGCGCGCCGCGAGCACGCGCGCCGCGTCCTGGCGTTCGCGCGGCACGGCCCGGCCGTGATGTACGATCGTCACGTCGCGGCCATCCCCCGCGCGTCGAATCGTTCCGAGCCGGGTTCGTTTGCCGGCTTCGACGACGGCGCCGGCGCGGCGGCGCGGCGGCGGCGGCCCAGTGCGCCATTGGCGCCCGTGCCGGCCCGACTCCCGCGCACGCGGCCGCACTACGTCGCGTCGAGCCGCGAGCGACTCCGCGACGTGCGCATTCCGCTCCTCGTCGTCCACGCGCGCGACGACCCGCTCGTGTCGCACGACGACTGCTACGACTGGCCGGAGCTCGTGCGGAACCCCCGCGTCGTCGTCGTGCGCACGAACCGGGGCGGGCACAACGCCTGGCACGAGGGCTTTTGGCCCCTCGGGCCGTCGTGGGCCGTCGGCGTCGCGACGGACTACGTCTCCGCCGTCCTTGAGCAGACGGCCCAGACCGGTTGGCTCCTCGCCGTCCTCGGGACGCTCGGGGATGCCGCCGCCAGGCCGCGCGCCGCCGACATCGCCCGCGTCGCCGCCGCGACGGATCACGTCCTCGACGAACCCCCGGCACCGGCGCCGCTCGCTCCCCTCACCTCCGTCGCTACCTCCGTCGCCGCCATTCTCTTCGACAACGACGATGACGATCGACCCGTCGCGGGCGGCACCCCCGATACGGCGGCGGCGACGACGCCTACTCCGGGCCGGCGGCGCGGCGGCGACTTCGGCGTGGACGAAGACGACGCGATCGACGTGTACGCGGAAGCTCTCTACTCGTTTTAAGCCGATGGATGGCGCGTCTGGCGGCTGCCTCCTGTGATGTACACACTCGAATCGGATAATAAATAAAGCCTCTACTAGAATCCATTTCTGATTCGTCGAGTCAGGAGATTGAAACTTCAAGTTGCTTTGCCGTTTCCTCACCTCCATTTTTACTAGTAGCAGCGCCGGCTGGGTATCATCCTAGGCTACTAGTACAGGCTTCAAGTTGACGTACTCAGGCTATGTCTTTTTATTACTAGGATATCATTCCTTCCTCATTGAATCCTCGAACAAACTTGAAATATTTATGTATTTACCGCGATAACGTGATAAGTATTTGTTTCAAGTTAGTAGCACTCTACTAGTAGTACTCAGGTAGGCTAGCCTGAGTCACTGACGGTCACTGGTACCGTGACGCCGCGGCTACGGTTTTTATTTAGGACTCGGATATTCCTCCGGCTCAGGGTCAGGCTTCAAGTTCCTTAACTGAATTTTTACTAGCATCTATTTAATTTATATGACTCGAAATACTCAGGCTAGTAACTTGTATAGCCTGAGGGCGCTCCAAACCGAGCCTGAGGGCCGGCGGGATTCTCAGGCTCTTTTTTTCCGAGTCTGGTCAACGGAATTGCCAACAGGTGGTTACAGAATAATGCGTACTCCGCAGAGTACTACCCTGTTCCCCCACCCGGGCCCTCGACTCGATTCGCGAGCTCCGCGAGGAGGGCGTGAGTCGTCGCGGCTCGGAGATCAGGCGCGGCTGGCCGCGCTACGGTCCCTTGCGGACCGCCAAGCGGCGCGTTTGCGGGGCGTAGGGCGGGATCGGCGTGAATCCAGGCACCAAGGTGCGATCGATTGAAAATACGGCCAGGATACGCCGACCCGCAGAAACCCGGACGATCGCGAGGCCGATTGCGGATGCGGGCGAGAAACTCCGCGTCTGAGGCCTCGTTCGCCACGCCGAGAATGTTGCTTTTGGCGTGGAGCGCACCATGCGGGCGCGCCAGGCCTTCTAGGGGCCTACCGGCGTACGTGATCGGGCAGTTGCCCACGACGTGCGGAAGCCACCGATGTGTGCGACTCGTGAAATGGTCGTGGAAGTGGTCGAGTGTCTCTAGTTCGCAGATGATGCCCAGCTGGCGCGCCGCCGACTCGCGCGAGACCACCAGTCCCAGATCGAACTGCCCCAGACGGTAGGTTGCGAACTTCATGGGCCCGGAAAATCGGAGCAGGTGCGCCTCCAGCGTCCTTTCGAAATCATCAGCGACAGTGACGTCGTCGTTCAGCATGACGCCGTACGCGTGGCCGGACCCCAGGACGAGCATGCAGAATCGTATGCAAGTCCACCACCTGCGGCGGAAGGGCGGAGTCCCGGAAACCGATCCACCGGCAACGATCGATTCTTCCTCCGTTTCTTCGGCGCCGGCCCGCGCCACGCGACCTTGCCCAGGAGCGGTTCGAGCTTGAATTCGCGCAGCCGCAGGCCCATGCCGACATAGTGGCGGTAAAGCACGTCGACGCTGTACTTGCTCGTCGAGTTGAACACGTGCCACCGCGGGTGACGCGCCAGCAGCTCGCGCGTGTGTTCGACCCGACTCTGCTGGTCCACCATGAGTGCGACTGCGTAGTAGACGGACCCGTTGCCGGCGTCTCGGCTGGCCGCGGTGGCGTCCACGTCAATTTCCCGCGCGATCGCGGGCCACTCGTCAAATTTTGCGCCCCAGTCCATCTCAGCACCCGCGCGGCGCATCATGGAAGCTCCGCAGTCGTGGATTCGCTGCCGCGTGAAAATATCGGGGCCCAGGTGCGTGGTACCGCCTGCGATGGAAACGAGGAGGGAAAACTGGCCCAGCATCCTTCCAACAATGTTGCACGTCATCAAATAAGCGAGGGTCCTAGGCTTCGAGAGTGAGTGTTGGGGGAAAAAGTTGGACGAAGGCAATGCCAATTAGAGCTTGTGCAACGTATGATACGTCGTCTCCAAGCAAACTGGCGCCACGACGTGCACGTACTACCACGGTGCCGGTACCGCAGGAACGATGGTCGGGACTGTAGAGGGCGTACCTACGGTACCGTAGGTATCCTACGGTACCAGCTGCAAGAGTATGTCGCTACAGCGATTGTGCTATGATGCTGTAGTTACCTTTATCTAGAGCTCCTCTCAGGTTCTAGTGGATATCAGAGGCTAGTGGCCTGTATTTTAGGATACTTCCTTCTCCCTCGGAAACTGGCCGCGGATCGAGCAGTGGAACTGGAATCGCCTGCCCTGAGAACCTATGTCTCAGCAAATCCCGACGCAGACATGGCTCTTCTTAAATTCATGGATGAACTGAAAACTAGAAGTGATCTAGCTGCACAAGAATCGAGGCAGCAACTTGAACTTGCCAGCAAGTAAACGCGCTTATGATTGTCACGGTTCGATCGCGTTTTGAAAGAGCCGGTTAAATTCATCTTCATCCATCGCTGGATATTCACTTTCTCCGCTCTTTTGGGGTGTTTTCTCTTTAGATTTCTTTTTGGGTGTTTTTCCTTGTTTAGGCATTCAAGTTCACTGTAAAACACTCTACGTCAATAGGCAGAACCCTGTGGGCCCATAACCTAGCAAGAGTATGTTTCAGCGTTATGTAAAGTAGCAGGGTCCTAGCTAACCAGCCTAGGGCTGATAGGCCTGACTACGAGAGTGTTTTATAGTGAACTGTTGTTACACCGTAGTGCTTTTGGCACTCAATGTATAGACTCAAATATTAGAGAGTGGGAGATACATATCTAGGGTAGGAAAGGCTAGTGGTTTCTCTCTCTACGTGGTGCCAGCAAGTACCACGGTACCGGTACGCTCATCTGTGAATCACTCCGGTGCGGGCTGCTGACCCGGGAGCCGGAATGCGGTCCCTGCCCCCGAGAGAGACCGTACATCTTACTCATAACGTGCGTCGTCTCTGGGCAGCCTCACCGCGACTGCGGTAATGGGCAAGAAGAGCACGTCAAGGAAGCAAGCGCTGCAGTCGGACGACGACGCCGCACGCGCGGCGGCCGCGGCCTGCGGCGTCAGCGCGAGCGTCGTCTACGCGCTGACGGCGGCGGCGAGCGTCGGCGGCGGCGACTCGGGCGAGCTGCTCGCGGAGGCCTGCGTCGGGGGCGTCGCGCACCCGCCGGGCTATGGGCTCTGGCTTGAGCTGGCAAATATCTTCGCCCTGGATCCAACGCGCGCCGCGCGCCGCGCGAGTCTCATGTCGGCGCTCTGCGGCGCGGCGGCCGTCTGGGGCTGCGCGCGCGCCGCCGCGACCTGGGCCAGGCACCTCGACGAGGGCCGGCACGGCGCCATAGCGGCGGTCGTCGCCGGCGGCGCCCTTCTCGCGTCGCCGCTGCCCTGGGAATACGCGACGCACGCCGAGGTCTTCGCGCTGAACAACGCGCTCGTCGCCTTTGGGATCTGGTGCGCGGCCGCGCTCGCCGCGCACCCGCGCGACCGGCGGCCCGCGCGCTTTGCGGCGTTGTTAGTGGGCTGCTGCGCGGCGCACCAGCACGCGTCGCTCCTCACGGCGGCGCCGCTCGCGGCCTTCGCCGTCGCCTGGCTTCGGGCGGGGCCCTTATTCATGCTCGAGCTCTTCGCCGTCGCCGTCGCGGCCTGGGCCTACCCGACGTACAAGCTCACGGAGCGGTCGGCAGCGGCCACGGAAGGCTCGTGGGGCGACCTCACGACCGCGCGGGGCGTCTTCACGCACTTGACGCGCTACGAATACGGCACGTTTCGCCTCGGAGCGTCCGCGGCAGGCACGGCCGGGCTCCGACCGCGCGTCCTCGCGTATTTCACCTGGTCGCTGGACCAGACGGGCGCCACCGTGCTGGCGCTCGCCCTCGTCGGCGCGGGCGCGGGCGCCCTGAGCAAGAACCGGCCCGCGCGGCGCGCGGCGCGCGCCGTCAGCGGTGCCTGGACCCTCTACACGCTCCTCTGGCACGGAATATGGTCCAATCTGCCCATCCACGAGCCGTCGATGGCCTACGAAGTGCACGCCCGCTTCTGGATGCAGCCTCATTTGCTAGTTTGTGTCATGGCGGGCGCGGGCGCTGCGGCCGTGGCGGCTCGGGCCCCAAAGCCGCTGCCGGCGGCGGCCCTGGCGCTCTGCGTTTGTGTGGTGGCGTCGAGAGTGGCGGCACTCTGGCCGGCGCTGGACTTCTCCGTCGTCGCCGCGCTCGCGACGCACGGCGCCGCCGCGCTCGCGGCGGTGCCGGAGGGCGGCCTGTTACTGTCGCACACGGACCTCCACTGGAATCCGGCGCGCTACCTCCGCGCCTGCGAGGGGGCAAGGCCCGACGTGACGCACCTGTCGCTCCAGCTGCTCCCGTACCCGTGGTTCGCGCGGCAGCACCCGCTGCATCCGAGGATGAAGCGATGGCCGGACGTCGCGGCCGCGTCGACGGACCCCGCGACCGAGCGGTACGAGCGGCTCGTCGAGGACGTCGCGACCGGCAACCTCGACGCGTTCCCGGCGGGCATCTACCTTGACATCCACGGCGTTCACGAGCCACACATCGGCCGCTTGGGATCGTGGCGTGGGCGCTGGAACCTCGTGCCGTGGGGGCTCCACTATCGCATCGTCGCCGCGGGGGCGGTCCAGGGGGACGCGGGCGAATGGCTCGCGCGGAGCCTGGCGGAGATCGACCGTCTGAAGGCGGCCTACGAGGGAGGCCCGCCGTCGCCGGACCGCTTCCGCGTCGGGAGCTGGGAGATCGCGGCAGGCGCGGCTTACAACGACGCGCACTCCTGTGTAGGCTGCAATCCGACCCGGGGTGCGCTGTCTTAGTCGATAATTGATTCGAGAACGCGATTCCGCGCAGGCGCACTACCAGACCGGACTATTCGCGCTGACGCTGGCGCAGGAGCTGCGCGCGTCCGGGCTCGTGCCCGAGGGCGTCCCCGCGTACGTCGCCGCGCTACGCGCCGCGCGGCGCCTCACGGGCCCCGCGGCCGACGCCGCCGCCTCGCACCGAGCGCATCTGTCGTCTCCCGCGGGCGACGCGGCGAAGAACGCCCTCCTGGCCGCCGTCTCTCTCCACGGCGCGCTCGCGGCGGGGCGCGACCTCGCGGCCCGGGGTCTACCCTTTGGCAACGTTGACGCGCCGACCGACGCCGAGCTCGCGAACGTGACGCTCGACGCACGGAGACGCGCCCAGCGCTTCCTGGAAGTGCACGGGGACGACGTGGACGCAGACGTGTTCCGCCGGTTTTTGGCTGGTGCTTGATGGGCGACCGCGTGTGTCTTGTGTTTTAGTGTGCCTTAGAGTCCAAGCCGCGGCGGCCTTTGCATTTTTACCCAAGTAGGTCTTCCTTAGTACTTATATCCCGTCGACGGGTCATGTTATGTGAAGTGTTATGTGGCACTTTCACTTAGGATAATTATTTAATATTAAATAACCGGACCCACTGGGCTGCAATGGAAATACACATCTAGTAGGATCCCAAGGTTCAACTGAGACGTATCCAAGCACAACCCGTACTTGTATTACCCGCCTAGGCTACTTCCCATCCTAGGGTACTCCGATATCCCCTTAGTAGGGGGAAGTCGCCTAAAACAAAAACAACTAAACGCACAAAACAACCACACCACTAAATGAACAAGCACTGACCAACCACACTGAATAACTGTCGGTACTGCGGTACCATCAGGATGATCCACCTTATTGAAATGTTAAACTTAAATGTTATCCTCCTTGCCGCGATTTCATGATTATCGCAATCTGATCACGATCACGACAATGGGGGAGTGCAATGGAAATACACATCTAGTAGGATCCCAAGGTTCAACTGAGACGTATCCAAGCACAACCCGTACTTGTATTACCCGCCTAGGCTACTTCCCATCCTAGGGTACTCCGATATCCCCTTAGTAGGGGGAAGTCGCCTAAAACAAAAACAACTAAACGCACAAAACAACCACACCACTAAATGAACAAGCACTAAATGACCAACTACTAATTGAATAACTGTCGGTACTGCGGTACCATCAGGATGATCCACCTTATTGAAATGTTAAACTTAAATGTTATCCTCCTTGCCGCGATTTCATGATTATCGCAATCTGATCACGATCACGACAATGGGGGAGTGCAATGGAAATACACATCTAGTAGGATCCCAAGGTTCAACTGAGACGTATCCAAGCACAACCCGTACTTGTATTACCCGCCTAGGCTACTTCCCATCCTAGGGTACTCCGATATCCCCTTAGTAGGGGGAAGTCGCCTCTCACTCCTAACTATTATCATCCTGAGTCACCTTTTATTGACGGACGCAATTCCCCGTCACATACCCCATCAAACATGGGAGAAACTATTTCGTTAGACGACTACACCGTGACTACGCTGCCGGGGAAGTCCGGAGCTACACACTCTATTTCCCTATGCATCGCATGGGCATCCTGACCGAGCAGGGAGAAGGCTCTTACGAGCTCGTTCCTTTTTTTAGGTCTTCCTTAATTAATTTATTTATTTATTTGCTTTTGCTTAGAGCTAGGCTGCGCGAGTACGGATCAAGATCGACGGCGGCAACCCGGACTTCACCAACACGCCGGCGACAGCAAGCTTCTACGCCCGACAGCAAGCTTCTACGCCCGACAGCAAGCTTACCTCCACGCTCGCGGGGGATAGCTCCCCCGATACCCCTCCCGCGCCGCAAACGAGCTAGCGGCCCGTAAGACACACTAGGCATCCCTAGAGCTAAGCACAGGCCTAGGTCCTTGGCAAAACGTGCTTATAGAGCAGCACACCTGCACTGGGCGCGGGCTTGAGCCTATACAACTATGCGCGTCGCGCCGGTCCTGGCCGTCATGCTCGCGCCGCGGACCGCGCCGCGGCGCCGCTACAGCCCGCCAGCCGCTACAGCCCGCCGCGCCGCCTCGTACGACGACGACGACGACGGAGAGACGTACGAGGCGGCGTGGCGGCGTCGACGCGTCGCCACCCTCAAGGCGGCGCCGGAGCTTTCGGTCGACGAGGTCCAGGACCTCTTCGAGCCGGACTACCTGCAGAAGCGGCTCTACGAGCGGAGCCCCGAGAGCGCGTTCGGCGCCGTTTTTCGCCTCGAGGGCGTCGTCGCCGACGTCGAGGTGCTGCCGGCGTTCGTGGACGCGTGGACGGCCGTCGCCGCCGAGTTCGACTACGCGCCGCCGTCGGCGCGCGACGTCGACTACGTGCTCCGGGCGGGCGTGCGGACCGAGGTCGCCGTCGACTCGGTCTTTCGGTGGACGCGCGACTGGGGCGCCGCGCGCGCGGCCGCCGAACGGTACGGCGAGCTCGTCGCCGAGCTGGGCGACGAGCTCGAGCCGGCGCCGCGCGCGGGCGTCGAACCGTGGCTCCGCGACCTGCGAAGCGGCAACGTGCCGTGCTGCGCGGTGTCGCGCCTCCCGCGGAAGCTGCTCGACGCCTGCCTGGGCCGGCTCAACCTGACGGACTACTTCGACGGGCGCGTCGTGTGCGCCGAAGACGACCGCGACCGCGCGCAGCAGGCGTTCCTCCACGCCGCCGTGGAGCTCGGCCGCCAGCCCAGCCGCGTCGTCGTCTTCTCCGACTCGGTCGACGACCTCATCGCGGCCCACGAGGCCGAGATGCGCGCCGTCGGCGTCGTCGGCGCGCACCCGGCCTACGAGCTCCGCGTCGCCGACCTCGTCGTCCGCGACCTCGACGAGCTCCGGCTCGCCAACGTGCGGAAGCTCTTCGCCGACGTCGACTTCGACCCGTTGCCCGAGCTCGAGGTTCTCCTGGAGACCGAGGCGCCGCCCGTCGACACCCTCTACGAGGACCTCGACGACGACTACGACGACGACGGGCCCGATTTCTTTTCCTAGCGGCGACCGTTCGCCGACGGACGGCGCGCACGTGTGTGTTGAATTGACCGGCGCCGCGCTTGGCCGGTGCCGCGCGGCCGGGCCCCGGGCTACCGCTGTGCTCATCGCATCTCGGAGTCTGGAGTGCTAGAAGTAGATGAATAAACAGATTATTTCGCCTTGTCGGCAGTCTGTCAACTATTTATTTTATCTAGGAGCGAGCTATCGCCGCAAAACCCTAAATTCAATTGAATGAAGCTCCGGTTGGGTATCCCGACCGAGCAGGGAGAAGGCTCTTAGGAGCTTGTTCCTTTTTTTAGGTCTTCCTTAATTTATTTATTTATTTATTTATTTATTTATTTATTTATTTATTTATTTAATTCGTAGCCACCGGCATGCGGCCGCCCTGCTCAAGAACCGCCTTTACCGCCGCTGGGGCATCAAGACGGCGCTCGAGTACGCCCGGATCAAGATCGACGGCCCCCGGCTCGTCGGCGGGAACCCGGACTTCACCAACGCGCCCGGGCACGGCGACGACGACGCACGCTTCTACGACCGGCAGCAAGCTTACGTACACACTCGCGGGGGATAGCCCCCCCGACACCCCTCCCTAGGCGCGCGCCTCCCAAACCCGAATTGACTATAGCTATTAAATAAAAAATTGAGCCGCCCAAAATGGCTGTCGACGTAGAAACCCGCGAGCTCAGGAGGCCCGGGGCTCGATCGCAAGTGATTTATCTTTAGCTTTGTCTTAAACTCCCCGCCCGGCATAATATGTACAAGCTAGTAAAGACACTACTAGCAGCCCCTGGCCAGAGACCATTTTTGGGCAGCCTATTGTGCCCCAAAACTACGCGCAATGTCTAACGCCGGACCGCCGACCGGCGCACGAATCAGCGTCTTGGCTCTGTGTTCGATGGCGCATCCTGTGTTCAGCGTGAGCCCCCTCCTCGTCCACCCGAGGAGCGCGCAGAACCTGCCGTGGCGTCGTGCTCGCGGCCGCCAAAAAACGCCCTCGGAAAAAAACACCGACGCTGTCTCCAGCCTGCTGGCGGCCTACCCCCCGCTGGCCAACGTGACGGCGGAGGCGGACATGCTGCGGACCGGCGGCGGCCTGTGCGCGACGGGGCTCGCGCGGCGAGGCGTGTGCTGCGCGGCGACCTGCGCGACCTGCGGCGGCCGCGGCTGCGGCCGGCCCGCCAACGCGAGCGGCGTCTGCTGCAAGTCCAGCATCGTCGCGGAGCGGCGTCCCCCCCACGCGCGGGCGCAGGCGCGGGACGGGCGATTCGCGCAGGTCCGGAGTCGACGGCGCTGCGAACAACCGGGCGACGTCGCGTGCGTGCTCCCAGAGGCGCGGGCGGAGATCGTCGACGACGACCTCGACGACGGGATTTTCGCGCCGCCGAACGCGTCGTCGTCGCCGTCGCTGTCAAACAATTACTTCGTTGTCGTGTCGACACAGCACGCCGGCGCGCGCTGGATCGCGGCGGAACTCGCGGCGCGGCAATGCGTGACGGCGGGAGGCGAGTTCTTCGCGGCGCGCGACGCGTTCCACTGGACCGCGCGGGCGCAGCGCCGGGCGCTCGCCGCGCTCTTCTCCGGCGCCGGCGCCGTCGACGAGGCGTCGCCGAAGTTTGCGCAGTGGGTCGAGGCGGTCGCGGACCCGCGTCGTCGTCATTTTTATACTCGGGGTGGCGATAGCGCGCCGCCCCGACGCAGGTCAACGGTCGTGGCGACGGACAAGCGCGCGCGGTCGGCTTCCGGTGGATGCTCTCGCAACGCGTCGCCGAGGCGTTCGACGCGTGGTTCGCGCGGCTTGCCGCCGCGCGCGGCGTCCGGCTCGTCGTCGTGGGGCGCGCGGACGTCCTGCGCCTCACCGTCTCCAAACGCCACGCGCGCGGCCGCGTCCGTCGCCTGGATGGCAGCGTCCGGGGGCGCGCCCGCTCAGCGGCGCGCGCAGGCGAACGGATCCCGGCCCGTGACGCTCCCGACCGGCCGACGCCTCCTCGACCTCTTGCGCGAAGAGCGGCGCCGCGCCGCGCGGCACCTCAACTAAGTTGCGCGTCGCCCCACTTTTGCGCGCGCAGGCGACGCCTCGAGGCCCTTCGCGCGCTCCACCGCCGCGCGGCGGCGCGCGGCGTCGCCTCGCTGCTCCTGGCCTACGAGGACCTCGTCGGCGCCGGCGCGGCCGCGCAGTTCCGGCGACTCGAGGACTTTCTGCGCGTCGGCGACTGCGCCGTCGACGCCCGGAAGCGGCCCCCGCGCGGCGCCGCGTCGTCGCGGAGCATTTCTTCTTCTTCTTTTACGGCCGGCGCGTGCGCAGGCGCAATCGCGCGCACGCCGGGCACCCCTCGACCTACGTGGCCAACTGGCCCGCCGTCGCCGACACGCTCCGCGGCTCGCCGTTCGCCGCGCTCGTCGCCGATGCCAACGACCCGGTCGCCGCCGGCCCGGTCGTCGCGTCGCGGCCGCCGGAGTCCGGTCCGCCGCCGCCACCGCCGCCCACCGCCGCCGCAGGCTTCCTGTTTTTCTTCGCGAGCGGTGTTCTCGTTGGGCTTGCGTGTCGTAGGGTACATATCAGGTAAAAACAAAAAAAAATAATAATACTCTCGGAGGGGGTCGAACCCACGACCTTGGGTTTATTAGACCCACGCTCTAACCAACTGAGCTACGCATGCTGGGCGGCCGTTTTAAGCCTTCCTAAAGCAGTGCTCAGCGCAAACGCGCCCGCAGAGCTGCTCGAACGCAAAAAAAGATTTACTTAAACATAGACAGACGAAAACCCAAGAGCAAAAGGGGGAGGAGCAAAGGGGGAGGATGCGCGAAAGACTTCAAGACGAGCGCAGAGGCTTCGCGGATTACGGCCGAGTGGATACCACGGGCGATCGCGTCCATGCGCTCCCGGAGTACCTCGAGACTAGCCGTTACCGACCGTCCAGCGGCGCGGGCTGCAGCGGCCGCACAACGCCGGAGCCGAAAAAGGTGAACGAAAGAAAGGAGCTCGCCACCGCCTCGCGTGTGGGTTTCCCCTCTCGCTAACCACCAATCGTTGAACAAGGACAAGAAGAACAGGGCGGCGCCGCACCGCTAGTCCAGGCCGCGCGCGCGGCCGGTCGTGTTCGACCCGCGCGCGCTGCGGCGGCGACTCCGCTTGGAGAGACCGCGCCCGGCGCCACCGCGGCCATGATGGTCTTTTTCAAAATTTTACGGCGTCAGAGGGCCTGTTTGACCGATGATGATATAAGTTGAGTGATTTTTTACACCTCTTTTGCCCACTCAGAGGCCAGTCCGTCCTGCCTTCGCTACGCTCACAGGACAGGTGACCTCAATGGGCAAAACAGGCGTAAAAAATCATCAACGATAAAAATTTACGGGTCGCGCGAGGCGCCGCGAGGGGGCGGCGGTCACCAGGCCGGGATGAGGTACTTGATGAGGTCGTACCTCGATAACGAAGAGCCTCTCCTAGATCCTGCGGGGGGGGACTTTGAGAGAGCCTCAGAGAGGGAACTCCCAGGCTGGCCCGGGGCCCTCGACGCGCGACGCGTAAGCCTGAGAGGCTTGCGTTTCCAGAATGACGATAGGCGATTCGGGCTTAGGGGGCGGGCGCCTAGGGAGGTCTCGGGAGACCACCCCGCCACTGGACGGAGAGGAGCGGGTTTTAAACCCTGCGAGTTTTAATTAAGTTCTCCACGTTGTGCCGACTTCGTCCGTGTATCCGTTTTTCGCGGTGAGATTGCGGCGAACGTGCGGGGCGGCCCAGGCCTGCTGAGGCCGCATGTCTGTTGCTCGCGCACCAGCGGCTAAGACGAACGGCACCAGCTGAAAAACCAACCGACCCGGACAAAAAAGAGATGCGACCCGAGCTGACCCCCGAGACGGGCTCGCCGTCGCAAGGAAAGCAGGCGCCGGCCCGGCGCCGGGCCTGGCTGCACACCCCCGACGAGCCCGAGACGCTGTGGCGCGTCGTCGAGGTCGTCGCGGTCGCGCGCGACGATGGCGACGGCGCGGCGCGGCCGACCGTCGACGACGGCGCGGGCGCGCCGTTCGAGGTCGACGCGGCGCGGCTGACGGACTACGACGCGACGTTCGAGGACGAGGCGCTCTGCGCGGACCTGTCGAACCTCGCGTCGCGCGCGGCGCGGGACGCGGCGCCTTCCGGGGGGAGGGCCGGCTCGCGAAGAGACTGCCGGGGTCACCGGTCCAGTCGCGCGCAGGTCGCTCGACGCGGCGCCGCTCGTGCTCGGCCTCCGCCGGCGCTTCGAGCAGGAGACGACGTACACGCGCGTCGGCCCGGTGCTCATGGCGGTCAACCCGAACCGGGTGCTGCCCGAGAAGCCCGGGCCGCACGTGACCGACGTCGCGCTCGCCGCCATGCGCGGCGCGGTGGACGAGGGTCGGTCTCAGGCGGTCGTCATCTCCGGCGAGTCGGGCGCGGGGAAGACCGTCTCGGCCACGAAGATCATCGAGTTCCTCATCAGCCGGAGCAGCCACGACACGGGCCGCAAGAGCTTCGAGCGCCGCGAGCTCGCCAAGGAGGAGCTCCTGTCGCGCCTCAAGGCGTCGATTCCGGCGCTCGAGGCGCTCGGCAACGCCGGCACGGCGCTCAACGAGAACTCGTCGCGCTTCGGCAAGCTCGTCAAGCTCACGTACGACGGCGCCGGCCGCGCGCGCGACGTCGTCGGCGCGCACGTCGAGGAGTTCCTGCTGGAGAAGGCGCGCGTCGCGCGGCGCGCGCGCGGCGCCGGCGAACGCAACTACCACTTCCTCTGCCAGCTGGCGGCGGCCGCGGGCGCCGGCGCGACGTACGCGCCGCCGGCGACGCTCGCCGCCGGCGACGCGGACGCGCTCGCGGCGACCGAGCAGAGCTTCCGCGACTGCGGCGTGCCCTGGGACGACCTCAAGCTGCTCCGGACCGTGGGCGAGGCCGTGCTCCGCCTCGGCGACGACGACGTCGACGGCGCGGCGCGGCGCCTCTCGGTGGAGCCCGGCGCGCTCCGGCGCGCCCTCGCGCAGCGGACGTGCGCCGGCGCGGGCGTCGGCGACGCCGACGTCGGCGTGCCGTACGAGCCCGTCGAGCGGACGCGCGTCGTCGACGCGCTCGCCAAGGCGCTCTACGCGGCGCTCTTCTCCGCGGCCGTCGCCGGCGTCAACGCGGCCCTGGCCCGGCCGCTCGCGGACTGCCGCCCGCCGGGCGCCGCGGGCGCCGCGGGCGCCGCGGGCGCGGCGCCGCCGCCGCCGCCGGGGACGGCGGCGTTCGTGGGCATCCTCGACATCTACGGCTTCGAGATCTTCGCGGCCAACGGCCTCGACCAGCTGCTGATCAACTTCGCCAACGAGGTGCTCCAGCGCAACTTCGACGACTGCCTCCTGGCCGCCGAGGCCGCGCGCTACGACGCCGACGCCGTGCCGTGGGCGTCGCTGGACCTCGCGCGCACGCTCAAGTCCTCGGCGATCGTCGACCTCGTCACCAAGGCGCCCCGGGGCCTGCTGCCGCTGCTCGACGAGCAGGTCAAGCTCGGGAACCGCGGCTCGGACGCCGCGTTCCTCACGCAGGCCGACAAGGCGCACCGCGCCTCGGGCGTCTACGCCAAGCCGCGCCTCGACCGGAACGCGTTCGTCGTCGCGCACTACGCGGGCGCCGTGACGTACGACCCCGCCGGGTTCCTCTTGTCGAACTCGGACCCGCTCCCGGCCGACGTCGCCGCCGTCTTCGCGCGGAGCGCCAACCCGGGCGTCGCGGCGCTCGTGGCCGGCGCGTCGTCCGGCGACAAGGCCGCGCCGGGCGGCCTGCCGTCGCTGCGCGACGTGGCGCGCGCGTCCGCCGCGTCGCACGCCGTCGTCGCGACGCTGGCGGCCGCCGCGCCGCGCAAGGCCCTCCCGCAGCTGCGCGAGAGCACGAGCCGCGTCTTCCGCGGCCAGATGAAGCAGCTCGAAGCGACGCTCGCGAGCTGCGCGCAGCCGGCGCACTACGTCCGGTGCGTCCGCCCGAACGCGGCCAAGCGCGCCGACCGCTTCGACGCCGCGCTCGTGCTGCGCCAGCTCCGCGCGTCCGGCATCATGGACCTCGTCAAGATCCGCGCGCTCGGCTTCCCCGAGCGCGTGTCCGCGAAGGCCTTCGCCGAGGAGTTCGCGCCGCGCGCCGACGCGGCCGAGGCGCGCGCGCTCGACGCCGCGCTGGCGGCCGCGGGCGGCGCCGGGGCCCTGCTCGAGGCGCGCGCCGCCGCGCGCGGCGCGCGCGCGCGCCGCGCCGCGGCCGTCGCCCGCGGCCGGGGCCTCGACGACGTCGCGTTCCGCGCGCCCGAGCCGCTCGCGCTGCCCGACGCCGCCGACGCGCTCGCGGCGGCCGCGGCGCGCGCGCTCGCCGCGGCGCGCCTCGGGCCCGCGGCGACCGACGCCGCGCCGGACGGCCCGTGGTGCGTCGGCGCCGCCAGCGGCCTCGTCTACCTCAAGAAGGGCAGCCTGGCCGCGCTCCGCGCCGCCGACCGCGACCGCGACGCCGCCTCGCGGCGCGCGTGGGCGGCGCTCGTCGCCGAGGGCCGCCGCGTCGCCGCGGCCGAGGCGGCGGCCGCGCGCGTCGCGACGGCCCTCGGCGCGCGGCGCCGCGGCCAGCTCGTGCGGCGCGACGTCGCGCGCGCCGCGCTGGCGGCGGCGGTCGACCGCGCGCGCCTGGCGGTCCCGCGCGCGCGCGCGGCGGTCGACGAGGGCCGCGCCGCCGCGCGCCGGCTCGTCGGCTGGGCGGACCACCCGCACGGGGCGGTCGCGGCGCTCGAGGACGACGCCGACCGCGCGCTCGCCGACGCCGAGGGCGAGGCGGCGCGCGCGCGCGCGACGCTCGCCGAGGCGGCGCTCGCCGGCGAGGCGGCGGTCGACGCCGCGCGCCGCGTCGACGGCGCGGTCGCGGCGCTCGACCGCGCGGCGCGGGCGTTCCGCGACGAGGCGGCGGCCGTGCTCGCCGCGACGGCAGAGCTCGCGACGCTCCTGGGCGCCGAGCAGCGCCGCCGCGCGGCCTCGCAGGCCTTTGCGGCCTGCGCGGCGGCGACCGCGCCGTGGCGCGCCGCGCTCCGCGGCGACGAATTCCTCGTGTCCGCGGCCGACGTCTCCCTCCTCGAGAAGCCCTCGCTCTTCGGCGGCCGGAAGAGGACGGCCGCGACCGCGCTCGTCACGCACCGCGGCCGCGTCCTCGTCGTCGCCGCGGCGTCGCGCGCGGTCCGCCACCGCGTCGCGCGCGGCGACGGTGTCGTCGCCGTCGGCGCGGCGCCCGCGCCGGGCGGCGGGTGCTGCGCCGCGCCGGCGGCGGTCGTCGGCCGCCCGGGCCCCGACGAGCCCTGCCTCGTGACGCTCCAGCCCCTCGGCGCCGCCGGCCGGAACGTCAAAGCCGCGCCCGCCTTCGTCGACGGCCGGCCGCGCGCGGCGCGCGGCTGGACCGCCGTCGCCGGCCTCCTCAACGACCCCGCCTTCGCGCCGCCGGCGCCCGCCGAGATCATCCGCCTCCGAGCGCGCCTCGCCTCGGCGGACGAGTGATGTCGCCCCCCTCCTCTCCCTCGCCCCTCCCCAGCCTGTAAACTCCCGTCCACTGTCGATTGCCGGGCTCTCTAGCAGATGCGCAAGTAGATGCGCCGTGACTCGGAAGGGTATTTTGCTTAGGACACGATCAGTTACCCGATTTCAGTTGGTGGAAAGTGCTCAACTACGGTGAGCCGGGCCGGGCAGCCTCCCCGAACCCAGATAAGCATTTCCAATGGGACTGACGTGTAACAAGCTCACTTGGGACCGTGGGACATGCCCCTGGGGCATGGGCTTGGCCACATCCTGCCCATAGTCCAAAACGCGTCTGCCGCGTCCACCCTTGACTCACGCGTTTTACCTTTCCACCCCAGGGGTCATTACCCGGTAGCCAAAAATCGACTCCGGTAATTACCGGTAATTTCCACTACCGGTAATTACCCTGGTAATCATGATTTGATTGCCTACTATAGTTCTAGTGCATCCATCCCCAGGTGCTAGCGCCCCCAAAACCCGAGTAACTAGCTACACCATTCATTTTAGACAAACCGCCTTTACCGTCGCTGGGGCATCAAGACGGCGCGCGAGTACGCCCGGATCAAGATCGACGGCTCGTCGGCGGGAACCCGGACTTCACCAACGCGCCCGGGCAAGGCGACGACGACGCACGCTTCTACGACCGGCAGCAAGCTTACGTACACACTCGCGGGGGATAGCTTCCCCGACACCCCTCCCTAGGCGCGCGCCCCCCCAACCCGAATTGACTATAGCATTAACTTTTACTCTTTAGACTCTGTATAGCTGTGGGCGCGCTGTTCATAACGTCCGCAGGCACCAAACGCCGGGATGAGCGACGCGTACGTTTCCTCACCGAAAGAATTTCTGAGCAATCATTTGCGCACAGGGGGGCTCAAGAGCGGAAGCAGAAGGATGACGCTGTGCGGACGACAATCATGCAGAAGCTCGTCGAGACCGGCGAGAAAGAGCGTCTCAAGGAGCTGCTGCGGCAAAAACTCATCGAATGTGGCTGGCGGGACGAACTCAAAGAATATTGTAAAGGTGCGCGCGCGCTCCTCGCGCCCCGTAAGATGACGTGCTTTTGTGCAGAGGTGATTCGGAGCAAAGGCCTGGAAAAGATTACCGTCGACGAGCTAGTCGCGGAAATTACGCCCCGCGGCCGAGGTGCGTTCCTTGTGTGTCGCGCGACGCGCGACGCGCGGCCCCGCAGCGACGGTGCCCGACGAGGTCAAAACGGAACTTCTACAGAGCATCCGAAAATTCCTCCAGGTGCGTCGACGGATGTGCGTTTGCGTTACCTTCGTTGTCACAGGCCACGTAGACAAGGAGCATTTTGCCAGTCCATTTTACAGCGGGCGCGTCCAGGCGAACCACGGCGTTTTTAGTCAATCTAGCGTCCCGTCGCCATCGTCTCCGCCCTCGGATGTGTGCTGCTGGCCTTTCTTTGGAAATGGGGGATTTATAACTTGGAATACTAGAAGTAGATAAACGGGCCCCGCGTCGGAGCTCGTTTCGCCAGGTGGCTAGGCGGCCTAGCTCTTCCCTAGCTCTCAGGCTAAGAGATTGAGAATCCTTTATATCGCTATCTTATTGCCATTTCGAAGCTCCGGTTGGGTCACGGTATCCTGACTGAGCAGGGAGAAGCGCTCTTAGGAGCTAGTTCCTTATTCCGAGTCTTAGACCGCAACTCCCTTCCTATCCTATCCTACTGACCTACGCAACCTCAGGAGCCTCTGAGCCAAGCCCGGGGCGGGTACTCCTCGAGCCCAGCGCCGGTACAAGGACACACCGTGTGGCAAACTCTGACTGTCTTGCGCTTACCGTGACGCAACCCGCACGCGTCCTAAGAAGGCTGCCCTTGAGGCCGACACACCTCGAACTGGCCCAAAGGAGGAAGACCGCGACGAAACTCTCAAAATAAAAACGGGCTAGCGGCTTGTAAGACACTAGGCAAGCAAACAAGACCAGGTCCTTGGGCGCGCGCGGCATCATCGCAAGGGCTCTCAGACAATGGACATGGAGCACTACGCGGTCGCCGACGGCCTCGCACCAATAGCGGCGTCGACGCCCTGGTCGCCGGCGCCGCGCGGCGAGCAGCTCGGGCTCCTGGCCGCGTGGGGCGGCGGCGCCGCCGACGACGCGGGCGCGCTGCTCGTCTGGCGCTGCGCGGGCGACGTCCTCGTCTTGGGCGAGCTGGCGCTCGCGGCGGACGACGAGGACGTCGCGCCGCCGTGCGTGGCGCTCCGCCTCGCGTCGCCGGCGCCGGCGCGCGGCGACGCGTGCTGCCGCGTCGCGCCGCCCGGCGCGGAAAAAACGCCCATGCTGTCGACCACTGTGGCAGTAGCTCAGCGCTCGATGCCCGCGCAGGTGCCGGCCGGGGGCGGCGCCCGCCGCGCCGTCGCGCTCGCCATAACACAGGCGCACGTCCACGTCGTCGACTTGGGCGGCGGCGTCGCGGCAGCCGCGCGCACGCGGCGCCTCGAGGGCCGCGCCTTCTCGCTCGAGGACGTCCTCGGCGCGCCCGAGCGCGTGACGATGGCGTGCTGGGCGGCGCCGCGGACCGCGTGCTTCCCGCTCCGGAGCGGCGACGTCTGCGCGCTGCGCGTCGGCGACGAGGCGGGCGACTCGAGCTTCGTCGCGCTGCGCGATGTGGCGGGGAAGACGAGACTCTTCGGCGGCGGCGCGGCCGCGCCCGTCGTGGCGCTCGCCGCGTGCGGCGAGGCCGACGGCGCCGTCGTCGCCGCCGCGCGCGCCGACTGGCGGCTGTCGCTGTGGGCCGCCGCGACGGGCGCGCTGCGCGCGCGCGTCGCGCTCGCGCCGGCGGCGGGGGCGCCGGCGGCGGCGCTGGGCCCGGCGACCGTCGTCGCCGCGGCCGGCGCCGACGCGTTCGCGCTGTTTCTGGATTGCGGCGCCGCCCCGGCCGCTGGCGCGGTCGTCGGCGCGGACGGCGCCGCGGGCGCGCGCCCGGCGCCGCCGGCGTGGCCCGGGGGGCGCGCCGCGACGTGCGACGAGCTCGAGGCGGCGGGAGCCCGAGGCGGCACGCTGTGGTCGGCGTGGCGGCGGCGCGGCGACGGGCCCGCGGGCACGTGCCTCGTCGCGCACGACCTCGCGACCGGCGTCGCGACGGCGCGGGCGGGGCGCGCGCGCGCGCGCGCCGCGGCGGCCGACGGCGCGTTGCGGGCGCGGCGCGGCGACAAGTCCTGGGCGGCGCTGTTCGGCCACGCCGACTGGGCGCGCGCGTCCGCGGCGCTCGAGGCGCACTGGCTCCGGCGGCTCCGCGCGCCGGGCCGCGCCTCGGCGGCCGCGCTCCGACGCACGGTCGCGCACTCGCTGCCGCGCGTCGCGCGGCGCGATGGACAAGCCGCGCGCGACGGCGACGCCCTCGACGCGTGCCTCGAGGCCGCGCGCGACGGCTACCGCCGGTCGCCGGCGGCCCGCGGCGCCTCCTTCGAGGACCGCTGCGACGCGCTCTGCGCGGCGTGGGCGCGCGTCCTCGCGCTCGCCGACGCGCAGGCGCTCGCCGACGCGCGGCCGCTGGGCTTCGTCGACGGCGCGGCCGGCCTTGGCGCCGCGCCGCCCTGCGTCCTCGCGGCCGGCCTCGCCGTCGCGCTGCCCGCCGCGGCGCCGCCGGACGCGGCGGCTTGGCCGCGCGCGCTCGCCGCGGCGCCGCGGCCGCCGCCCGCGGCGCACGCGCTCGCCGCGGCGGCCACGGCGGTCGACGCGGCGTCCGCGGGCCGCGCGCTCATAGCGCGCGTCGCGGCCGCGGCCGCGGGCGGCCCGCGCGCGGTCGCGCCGTCGGCGGGCGCGGCGGCGCCGGGCGACGCGCTCCGCGCGGCGGCGCGCGCGGCGGCGCGCGCCGACGTCGCGCTCGCGCGCGCGTGCCGCGCCGCGGTCGCCGCGGTCGCGCCGACCGGCGCCTGGGACGCCGCGGCGGTCGCGGCCGTCGTCGACGCCGCCGTAGACCCGAGCGGTAGCGGCCTGCTCGAGGCGCTCCGTCGCGGGGCCGGCGCGCCCCGCGCGCGCGCGCGCGCGCCGTCGCGCGTCGCGCGCCGCGCGCTCGTCGCGGCGGCCGCGGCGCGCGCGGCGGCCGCGGCGGCCGCGGCGGCGACGCTCGCGGCGGTCGCCCTCTGTGCGGAAATCAAAAGTGCGCGGCGCCTTCGTCTCTCGGCGTAGCCGGCGCGGCCGCGCCGTCGCCGAGCAGCGAGTTCCTGAGGAATGCCCGAGAGAACCCGGCTCACGGGTTGATCCTCGCACAGGTCGCCCTCCTGGGGGGCGCGGCCGGCGCGGCGGGCGGCGACGCGCTCGCGGACGCCGCGGTCGGCGCGGCCGCCGCGGCCCTTCGCGCGCGGCGCCTCGCGACCGCGTCGACGGCGCCGGGCGGCGGTCAGCGCGTCGCCCTGGCGGACGGCGGTGCGCGCGCGGCGCCGGACGCGCCGGACGCGGCCCTCTGCGACCTGTTCGCACCGGGGCGCGGTTTGGTGGACCGCTGCGCGGCGGTCGGCGCGCGCGCGCGCGGCGGCGCGGCCGCGGCGTACGTCGCAGCCGCCTGCTGGTGCGCGCTCCTGCCGGACGCGCTCGGCGCGCGCCTCGACGCGTCGGACGCGTCGGGCCTGGCGGCGCGCGCGGCGCGGGCCGGCCCGGCGGCCGCGCGCGGCCTCGGCGACGACGCGCGCGCGCTCGCGCGCGGCGGCGACCGCCGCGCCGCGCTCCACCTCGCGACGCTGGCGTCGGACGTCGGCGCGGCGACGCCGGCGCTGGCCGCGTGGGCGAAGGACCTCGCCCTCGAGGCGCTCGACAAGGCCGACGCGGCCGCGTTCGCCGGCCTCGACGCCGCCGACGCCGCCGTCGGGCGCGTCGCGCGGCGGCTCGTCGAGCGCGGGCACCTCGGACTGCTCGCGGCGGCGGCGCCGCGGACCGCGCGCGAGACGCTCGCCCTCGAAGGCGCGCTCGAGGCCGTCGCGCGCCGCGACGCCGTCGACGCGACCTTCGCCGCCGACTGGCTCCGCGACGACCGCGGCGCGCCGTTCGCCCGCGGCGTCGACGCGTACAAGTGCCTCTACGCGCTCCGCGTGGCGCGCGGCGCGCACGCCGACGCGGCGCGCGGCCAGCTCGAGTGCGCGGCGCGGCTCGACCGCGTCGGCACCGCCGGCGCGGCGGCGGCGCTCGCGGCCGACGTCGCGGCGCTCGCGAGCCTGCGGCTCGCGGCGCCCGCCGACGCGGTCGTCGCGGCGCGCGCGCCGGACGACGGCGGCGCGGCGGCGGCGGCGCCCCTGCGCCTCGACGCCGCGGCGCCCTGCGCGCGCCGCGTCGCGGCGCGCGCCGCGCGGCTCCGGCTCGCGGCGGTCGCCGGCGGCGGCGACGCGCGCGACGCGCCCGTCGAGCTCGCGCGCGTCGGCCGCCACGCGGCGGCGCTCCGCGCCGCCGCCGCCGCCCCGACGCCCGTCGCGGCGTACGCGGCCGTCGCGGGCTCGCTCGGCGCCGCGTGCGCGGCGCTCGCGGCCGGCGGCGCGCCGGCGCGCGCCGACGACGTCGCGGCCGCCGACCGCCTGAGTCCGTTCGTCGCCGGCGGCGCGGCGCGCGCGCTGGGCGCGCCCGTGCGCGCGACGCCGGCCGCGCGCAAGGAGACGATCCTCCGCGCCGCGCTCGCGACGCCGCCCGCCGGCGGCGCGGCGCCCGCCGCGCTCGCCGCCGCGCGCGCGTACGTCGCCCGGGGCCGCGACGTGCCCGACTTCCTCGAAGCGGCCCTCTGGCGACCGCACGGCCGCGGCGGCGCCCTCGCGCGCGCGTGCCCGCTCGTGCGGCTCTACTGCGCCCACGGCCGCCTCGCCCGCGCGTGCCGCGTCGCCGCCGCGGCCCTCGACGCCACGCGCGCCGACGAGGCCGCTTCAACCGGCTGGCTCCCCGTCGCGGCGCTCGACGACCTCCAGGGCGCTTGCGACGCCGCGCTCTCCCGCCGCGACGCGCCGGACGATCTCGCACCGGCCTACGACACGTTCCTCGCGGCAATGATGTCCTTGCTGGAGCTCGTCGGGGGCTGAGGGCCCGCCTCCTCGCGGTGCGTAACGACTCGGATCCACCATACTCCTAGCTCCATGCCCTCGCTGGAAGAGTCGCCCTATCCTTGCCGAAGAACGCCACCCTGCTGGGTGCGTCCGCTGGCGACGACATGGGTCCTCGGCGCCCAGTGCGGACCACGACCGGATGAATACATTACTGGCACACAGCGAGGACTCGAGGAGACTTAAACTCGAGGCCGATTTGACTATTCTCAGGCTGGTGTAGTAACCTTGGGCGGGCGTGCGGTCACGCAGGGAGGCGTCGGCTCCGCGGCTAGGTGGCCTAGCTCTAAGCAAAGCAACCTTTTACAAAAAAATACATCTTCTTTTTAACCCACTGTCTGGCAGAATAGTTAAATTCTGAATTCGATTTCTCCGCTGTCGTGGACGCTGGAGGTAACAGCCGCTTCAAGTTAGCGATCTAATATCCCGGGCTTCCTAAAGGGCCCGCGGCAGAGACCCTCCGCTGGCATATCTTTCTTTTACTTCTAGCACATCACTGGCGGCGCCGCTTCTTCTCCTGGCGCCGGTTCCGCTCGGCCGCCCGGTCCCCCGCGGCGGTGAGGCGGAGCCGTTCTCGCACGCGCGCGACGAATTCGTCGCTCGCGTGCGCGAGGGCGGGGCCGGTCCGCGGGGGGGCGGCAGCGGCGAAGGCCGTCGCGGCGGGCGCGACCGCACGCCCGTCGTCGTCGAAGCGCGTCGGCGGCGCGGCGGCCGTCGACGTGCCCGCGGCGTCGAGCCGCAGGCGCTTGGCGCGGGCGCGCGGTGGCGGCGGCGCGGCGGCTGCGCGCGCGAGGGCGGCGGCGGCGGCGGCCGAGGCGCCGGCGCGCGCGCGCACGAGCGGGCCGTCGTCTTCGGCGGCGCCGGCACGCGCCGCCGTCGCGGGCGCGCGCGTCTTCGCGGCGGCAATCTGCGCCTTGAGGCGCGCGAGCTTGCGGTTCGCGTTCTTGGCGACGTGCGCGCGCTCGCGCGCGTCCGCGGCGGCGGCCGGCGACCGCGGGAGCGCGACGCGCGGCGCCGTCGGGAGGCCCAGCGACCGCGCGTAGGCGGCGAGCGGCAGCGCGGCCGCGTCGGCGCCGGCGTGGAGCGCCGCGGCGCGGACGTAGGCGCGGAAGCACCGGACGGCGGCCGCGCGCGCCTCGGGCCGCGACGCGACGAGCGCGTCGACGTGCGCGCGGACCGAACGCGCGCGCCGGGGGTCGGCCCGGACGACGTCGACGCGCAGCCCCGCCGCCGCGAGCGCCGCGTCGACGCGGGCGCGCTCGTGCGGCGCGACGACGAGCAGCGCGTCGCCCCGCCGCCCGTTCCGCGCCGCCCGGCCGACGCGGTGGACGTACGCGTCCGCGTCCTCGGGCGCGTCGAGCTGCACGACCCAGTCGACGTCGGGGACGTCGAGGCCGCGCGCCGCGACGTCGGTCGCGACGAGGACGGCGCCGCCGGAGCGCGCCGCGAACGCGCGGAAGACGGCGACGCGCTTCGCCTGGCTCTGCTTGCCGTGGAGGGCGGCGAGCGGCGCGCCGGGCCGCGCGCCGCGGAGCGCCTCGAGGAGGAACCGCGCCTGCGCGCACGTGCTCACGAACACGAGCGTCTTGCTCGCGACGTGCGCGCGGACAAACGCGTAGAGGAGGTCGAGCTTGTCCTCGAGGGCGCAGACGACGAGGCGCTGCGCGAGCGCGGCCGGCGTCGGCGCGGCGGTCGCCGCCGCCGCCGCCGCGGGCGCGCCGGCGCGCAGGAGCGCCGCCCGGTCGTCGCGCGCCACGACGAACTCGACGGTCGCCGCGTCCGCGAGCGCGCGGAGCCGCGCGAGCCGCGCGCCCGGGCGCGCGTCGCCGCCGCCGCCGACGCCCGCGAGCGTCGCCGAGAAGAGCCACGTCCGCCGCTCGCCCGCGGCCGGCAGGTACGTCGCGATGGCGTCGAGCTGCGGCGCGAAGCCGAGGTCGACCACGCGGTCGGCCTCGTCGACGACGAGCGCCTGCAGGCGCCCCGCGTCGAGGCCGGGCGTCTCCTCGAGGTGCTGGAGCGCGCGGCCGGGCGTCGCCACGAGGAGGCTCGCGCGGACGACGCGCGCCTGCTCCGCCGCCCAGTCGCGCGTGCGACCGCCGGTGATCAGGCCCGCCGAGAAGTCGTGCCGCGCGCCGACGACGCGCAGCACCCCGAAGATCTGCAGCGCGAGCTCGCGCGTCGGCGAGACGACGAGCGCGCCCAGGCCGTCCTCGCGCGCCCACCGCTCGCGGTACAGCGCCTCGACGGCCGGGACCAGGAACGCCAGCGTCTTCCCCGAACCCGTGCGGGCCGCGCCGAGCACGTCGCGGTCCGCGAGCGCGTGCGGGATCGCCGCGCGCTGGATCGGCTTGAGCGTCTCGAAGCCGCCGGCCGCGAGGCCCGCGAGCGTCCGCGCCGACAGCGGCAGCGTCGCGAAGCGCACGGCGGCGTCGTCGGGCGGGCGCCAGCCGCGGCGCGGCGCCGACTCGGCAATGCGGCGGCGGAGCGCCGCGACCTCGGCCGCCGCCTCGGGCAGCGGCGAGCGCGTCATTTGCTTTTGTCGTCTCCTGGTCTATATCGCCCTTTTTTTTTGGATTTGCTGACTTATCGTTAAGCTATACACGTAGCGATCAATTGCGCCCCGCGCAGAACGCGCAATGCAGTAGCAAAAATTCACACCGGTGCGTTTTTTTTGCTGCTCTACTATGCTTGCTAGTGTCTTACCTGCTCTATCTAAGTACAGGCCGCTAGTCTAAGACAAAGCTAAAGATAAATCACTGGCGATCGAGCCCCGGGCCTCCTGAGCTCGCGGGTTTCTACGTCGACAGCGTTTGGCCGCTAGCGATCATTTCGGGTTTTGGGACCCCCTAGGGTGAGTTCGGGTTCTCTACTATCAAGTCCTTTTGGGGGAAGTGTCGGGGGAGCTATCCCCCGCGAGCGTGTACGTAAGCTTGCTGCCGGTCGGAGAAGCGTGAGTCGTCGCGGCGTGCGCGGGCGTGTTGGTGAAGGCCTGGCTCCGAGCTGATTAATGATTACTGGTTTTTCTGGCAGTAAGGCCTATATGGAAGATCTAAAAAATAAGGAACAAGCTATGAGCCTTCGCCCTGCTCAGTCAGGATACCGTGACCCAACCGGAGCTTCGAATAAATACCTCCCGGCCCGCCAGCGGGGCAGGTAAATAAATACATTAGAATCCGAGGACGGAGGAGGCGGAGCTCCACATCACGCCGCTTGACACTCCAGCTACTAGTATGGCATGGAACCCCTCCCCACGCCGCGGCAGGCGAATAAAGCGAGATATGAAAAAAAACTCGCCTGGAGACTTAACGAAGGACTCACTTAAAAATATGCGGCCGCCCCGACGTGACCAGGCCACGGCCCCAGTTCGCCCCTCCTACCAAAGCGCCCCTAGTCGACCTTGCCGACCATCGCGGCGGCGACGAGCAGCGGCATCGGGATGAACATGGAGAGGAGGGTGACCCAGATGAGGACGCCCGGTCCGGAGCTCGTGTAGTCCCAGATCACCGTCGTGAGGTAGGGAACTAGCGAGGCGCCGAAGTTCAGGCCGAACATGACGATGGACATGCCCTCCTCGGTCGCGACCGTCATGCGGTTGACGAGGTCGTAGCAGTAGCCCACGCAGGGCCCGTTGCCGAGGCCGTAGAGGGCGACGCCGGTCCAAAAGGCCCAGGGTTGCCCGGGAAAGACCGCCGTCGCGAACATGCCGACCGTGCCCGTCAGGAGCCACGCGGCGAGGTGCGCGAAAATTGCGCGCGTCGGCTGTTTCTTCAGGTTGATCTGGTCCTGGAGTCCCACGAGGCGGCCGACGGTGATGGCGATCCAGAGCACGAGGACGGAGAGGCTCGCCTTGGACGCCGCGACGACGCCCGTCTGCCGCACGTACGTGCTGATGTACGACGTGCAGTCGACCTTACCTGCGCGCACCGGTCCGGTCGAAAGGGGCGGCGGCGATTTACGACCGCCCGGGCGCGCGCCGCCGATGAGCCAGAAGACGGCGCCGCCGAAGATAATTTCGAGGTGGTAGGGTCCCCGGGCGTGCCGTCCGTCCTTGCCGCCCGGCACGCCGACGCGCGGCGGGAGGAGCGCGCGGACGTCGGGGCTCTCGGGGTGCGGCGCCGCGTAGAGCGCGGCGCCGTTGAGCACGGAAATGGTCGCCTGCGCCGGAGCGCCCCGTGGATGCGGCGCGTCCCGCTCGCGGCGCGCGATCGACGCGACGCGCCGTCGTCTCCGCGCGGCCGCGCGCGAGCGTCGCGTACTGCGCGAAGAGCTCGCCCGTGACGATCTCGATGAGCGGGACGAGCGCGCCCGCGATCGCGAAGCAGACGGTGTTCGCGCCGAGCCAGGGCCCCGCGTGCACGCCGTGGACCTTGCGCGTCATGATTTGGCACCCGGTGTCGAGCGTCGCCGTGCACGCGCCGAGCAGAAACCACGTGGCGTGCAGCACCCAGACGTCGCGGACGAAGGGCATGTAGAGGAGCACGACGCTCAGCAGCAACAGCACGACGACCATCACCGCGTTCCCGCGCCGCGGCGGCGCGTAGAGCCGCGCGGACCCGAGCGCGCCCGTGATCGCGCCGATGCCGCGCGCGATGAACACCGTGCCCACGGCCGTCTCCGTCGTCCCGCAGTCGGCGGCGAGCGCGCTCAGCGTCGACCCGAGGGCGACCAAGACGATTCCGCAGACCCCCATGGCGTTGGCGTAGCAGAGGCCCCACCACAGCCGCAGGTTGGCCACCTCCGGCGTCTCGTGGTAGAGCGCCCCGAGCCGCGCGGCCTCGGCGGACCTCGTCTTCAGCAGCGACGCGTGCTCCTCGTCGTCTGTCATGGCTGCCGGAAATCAATCAGCATGCGCACAATGTCATGCTCATGCTGTACCTACGGTACCGTAGGTACCGTAGGTACCTCCTGTAGGTTCTTCAGTGCAAAACGCGTTCGATCAAGCACACGCTCAAGCTGAACAGAAATTCGATGATGTCAAATCGGCTCCTTCCATCCCACTGTTCATCGATAATCAGGCATGCCTTAGTGTGACCAATCATCCCAACAATAGTCACTAGAGATAGTACTAAATCTCGGCACATTGCGCTGCGAGAGTTCAGAATAAGGGACTATCATGAGCTTGGAATAATCAGGCCCTACTGGTGTCCCACCGCCGCGGCAGTCACGGTACGGTACCTACGGTACCTACGGTACCGTAGTAGAGAGAGAAACCCCCTAGCCCTTCAAGTTCCTACCCTAGATATGTATCTCCCACTCTCTAAATTGAGTTTATACATTGAGTGTCTAACGACGCTACTTTGTAATCCAGTTTGCTAGGGAATTAAAGTACAACACTCTCGTACGTGGCGTGCTTGGAAATATCATGATGTCACACGGTAGCCTGAGTTGAACTCGAACCGTGAGAAAGTCCGTGAGATGATCTTACCAGAAGTTTACACAGCAGCATCATGATCGCGGGCTAGCCCAAGGGCCGAGGAGACGCGAGGAGGTTGCGGCAGTTGGCGACGAGTGACTGGAACGGCGGCGCGTCCTTGAGCTGCTCGTAGTCGGTGAGCTGCCAGACGAAGCGGATGGGAATTCGGGCGGGGTCGTGCCCCAGGTACGCGAGCTCGCCGCAGTAGACGTAGCCCTGGCCCTCCTCGCGGCAGAACAGGAGCACGGGCGTCTCGTCGAAGTGCACGGCCTCGCCGCCGCCGTCCGCGGCGACCTCTCCGCCATCGCAGTTCACGAGCCGCTGGACGACCGGCGTGCCCTCCCACTGCCGCGGCTGCGCGAACCACGTAATCTCTACGCCGCCACCGACGAAGGAGTTCTTGTAGCCGTCGCCGTAGACGTTCACGAAGAGCATGATCGCGTTGCGCCACTCCTGGATGCCCGACATGCGCGAGAACGTCGGCGACACGCCCGGGCTCGCCGCCTCCATGACGGCGCGCTTCACCTGACCGCCGAGCGGCGGCACGACGCGACCGAGGAACCGCCGCCGGAGGCCGTCGACGTCCGCGTCGAGGTTCCGGATCGACGTCGCGGTCGCCGGCGGTGGCCGCGGGCCCGCCGCCGCCGCCGGCCGCGCGCGTTTCCGACCGCGGCCGCCCGACGCGAGGTCCGCGGCCTCCGCCTCCCTCGCGTCGCGCTCCACCGCCGCGTCGGAGTACGCCGGCGCCGGCTTGCCCATGGCGCGCAGCGACCGGCGCGTCGGCGGCGCGCCCTTGGGCCGCACGGCGCGGCGCCGCGTCGTCGCCGTCGGCGCCTGGCGCCCGAGGGCCGCGTTCGTCAGCTTGGACACGTCGAGCCCGAGCCGCTTCATCTCCGCCTCGTTCCGGAGGATGTTCGCGATGCGGAGCTTTTCGTAGTCGGAGAGCTCGGCCATGACAGCCGCCCGATTATCTGTTAGGAGCTGTACTGCAGCATCGGACACGGTCCCCCGTCCGATAGGCAAGTCCGCGGTTCCTCACCGCTCGTCCGTGGGTACTCAAGACGCCCATTTAGCCAAGCCACAGCGGTCCCGCACCATAGGCCATGGCTCACGTACTAGTACTAAGTTCGGGGCGGACACTAAAACCCGATTTCGCTAGGAGCGCCCCCAGACCCCTGAGCGGGGTCACCATCCTTTAGGCGTACGTCAATAAGTCTGGTTCGGTCCCAAGGGTGCAACAAACGGATCGGGTGGTGAAAAGTTACGGCCGCGAGACGCCTACGTTTTTTTCTGGCGTTTTGGGTGCGGAACCAAAAGCGGTCTTCGATGATCCCACGCGGTTTCGATATGATCGCAGTGGCTGGAAACGCACGCCTGGCATCGTGGCGCCGTTATGTTGACCGTCGCCGGCCGCTGGTACTACCGGCCGAGGCCGCGTTCGGGGCAATAGGGCTCACTAAATGCCTCCAGCGCCGCGGTAGGCATCTCAAAAACCGAGCGTCGGTCGGAGCGCGTCGCGTGAGAGCGCGCGAGGTCGGCCGACGCGGTGCCGCATCGCTGTGCACCGGTACTTCCGCAAAATGGCTGTCCTGGGCGATTTTGGGCCGCGCTTGATTTCTGAAATCGCCCGCGGCAGGTATATGTCATGTGTGGATGCCAGACAGAGCCCGCTGACAGAGACGGGCCGGCAAGCAGCCGTAAAAGCTGTGAGCAGCCGGGGCCTGATTCTAGTGGGTTACTAGTAGGTAGCCCGATTAACGAAGGAAGACTATTCTCAATGTCGGGAGCTCGCTACTGGGAGAGGATCGATGAGGCGGCGCCTCGTCCCAAATATGTAAGCATGGCGCTCCCGACATTCCCATGTTAGGATCTATGGGGGGGGTCCCATAATCGGAAAAACCCGTTTTGCCTATTAATTCTTTTTGCGATCCGCCCCTAAAGTCTAAGTGGCTCACTTGGCATCAAAAAGGGCGCATACGCTATACCAGCGCGCTGCGCGTTCCTCGCCCCGGCTGTCCCTTCCTCAGGGCGGCCACTGGGCCGCGTAACCAGCTTTTGGGCATCGCTCGTCGCGCTGGCGCCGCGCACTGCATAGGGCTTTCCAGCGCGATTTGGGCTTTTGGGGCCTCACGTCGCCGCGTCGCGTCGGCATTGGTAGGTTTTTGGACGCGAAGCTCATAGGTAGCATAGCCATGGCTGACCGGGCGGGCTTGGGCAGGCGACGCCGGAATCGCTCGCGGTAGACGCGTCGAGACGGCCCGATCGCGGACCTGTTGCATTGACTAATACGCTATCCCTGGAGCCGCACGGCTCTTCGGCGTCGACGCACCCATACCGACGGCCGATCCCGCACCTCTCCGACATGTATTGATTGGGTTAGGTCATGGGAGCCTTCTCCTCAGTGGGGCTCCCGAGGGCCGACACCGGCACCGGCGCGGACGGCCTCGACGATGGCGCAGCGGGTCCGCGGCCAAGTCGGTAGCATCACTGCGGCCATTGGAGCTCGCGGCGGACCTGTTGGCTCCGGGCATGGTCTAGAGGCCTCTAGGGAGACTCATAGCGCAAGCCCTCGCGAAAGCCTTCGCCCAAGTAGGGCGGGCGGAGTAATAGACCAGTATGAATACATTACATTGCGCCTGGGCGTGACCTAGACGAAAGGCGGCCGGCTCCTGGTTACAACTCATCACGAGCCCGACATAAACGCCGCCAACAGGGTCCGCCACGACCACCAAAGGGCGCCGTGATGCTACCGACTCTCCAGTTCGAAAATCTTCCAATAACGAGGCCGTCCGCGCCGGTGCCGGTGTCGGCCCTCGGGAGCGGTACCGCAAAGAAGGCGCCCACGAGCTTCCGCAGTCGGAAGATCCCAAAGAGGTGCGGGATCAGCCGTCGGTATGGGTGCGTCGACGCCGAAGAGCCGTGCGGCTCCAGGGATAGCGTATTAGTCAATGCAACAGGTCCGCGATCGGGCCGTCTCGACGCGTCTACCGCGAGCGATTCCGGCGTCGCCTGCCCAAGCCCGCCCGGTCAGCCATGGCTATGCTACCTATGAGCTTCGCGTCCAAAAACCTACCAATGCCGACGCGACGCGGCGACGTGAGGCCCCAAAAGCCCAAATCGCGCTGGAAAGCCCTATGCAGTGCGCGGCGCCAGCGCGACGAGCGGTGCCCAAAAGCTGGTTACGCGGCCCATTGGCCGCCCTGAGGAAGTAACAACCGGGGCGAGGAACGCGCAGCGCGCTGGTACAGCGTACGCGGCGATCCCGATGCCAAATGGCCGTGCGGGTCCGCTGTGAAGCACTAAGCTTAACCGACGGGTTTTGCGCGCGGTCTTGCGGGACCCCTCCCCGCCCCAGGAGACTCGTCGCAGAGGTCGTGCAGCGATGTGCGGGAAAAAAAAAGGGAACCGCCGCCACACAACCTTGATTCTGCTGAACGCGGACGCGGAGGCGCTTTGCTTGAGACCCGACCCAGAGCTCGTCAAGGCATACGGGATCCCGCCGCGCCGCCGCTCCGTGGAGTCGTGCCCGAGTGCCGCCGCCGGCGAGAATCTCCGTAGCCGGCCGCCGGCCCGCCGCCGCGCCCGCGGGGGAGTCGCGAAAAACACCCTCGCGTTCACGACATTGCGCCGACGGAAGACCCGAAGAGTTGCCATCGGAAGCAGCTTGAATTTCTGGGGTGAGTCAACATCGCCAATGAAGGCCCGTCGACCCGTTGAATTGCGAGGAAGCCGAGGATGAATCGCCTACTTGCCCAACATGTCGCGCCGCGCCGAACGCCGCCATGACGCGTTCGCGAGGCCCTCGCGCACGCCCGGTCGGACCATGAGCTCAGAAATCCCGCGGAGATCAAGTGTCGTCCTCCTCCTCCCCATCAGAGCCAGATTCCGAGTCAGACCCGGTCGTGCGATACATGCGAGGAACGGCATGCCCATTGCCCGTGGGCTATCTAGTATCTCTCTGCCTACTACCAGTAATGCCTACCAGTAGCTCCCACGCCGGCACGCCGGGTGATTATCCAGCGTGCCGGCGTGGGCGGTGCGGCTGCCTGGGTGCCCCGTAAGGGCCGCGCCGCCGTCCGTGCCCCAAGGGCTGATGGGGGCAGGCTTTTTTCCCCCGGGCGATGCGATGACCATAAGGGTTTTGTAGTGCAATGAGGTTTGATTGTAAACGCGGGCGTCAAACGGTGCGCTCGACAAGGTGTAGACGAATAGCGAAATGGGCTCCACGTCATTTCGGCGGAGGCTGAGCCAAGCCAACTACGAGAGTGTCTTATAGTAAATTGGTTACACCGTAGCGTCGATAGACACTCAATATATAGACTCAAATTTAGAGAGTGGGAGATACATATCTAGGGTAGGAAGGGCTAGTAGGTTTCTCTCTCTAGTGGGTTGCTCTCTCACCAACTTACTCGAGTGCCTGCCGTAAAAATACCGCCAGCCAAGGCTTGCATATCCTTGGGGCGCAATGGCCCAAAAACCAGTCCTTGTGAGTTTCCTCCTGCTAGTCTTTGTCGTGACATTGGGCTCCTCCTGGCGAGACGCGATGACCATGTGCCAAGAGGTACACGTCGAGCCACGCAACGAAATGCACCTCGTGTACGCAATCGAGGCGTCTAGCGCGAACGAGCAGCAGCAGCAACTTGACCTGCTCACGCAGTCCGCATGGTCAGCATTTTCCGTTGGCTGCGATGCCCTCAGGTGCCGGCGGCGCCTGCACGCGCACGTGTTCTACTGGCGCATCCCCAAGCATGCGCTCGAGGACTCGCTTGCACCACTGATTTTCCGTGGCTTCCGTATTTCCACGCACGAGACGGATTTTGACTCTGCGGTTACGCGACAACGAAAAGTTTGGGGCTACCGGGGCCATGAGAAAAGTTTGCAGCAGAAGCTGATGCACGCAGCCAACTACTACCGATTTTACGCCCCCTCATTACTTAGGGAGCGCTACAGTGCCGAACTATTCCTGTACCTTGACACTGACGTTCTTTTTATGCGACCTGGCCTCGATGGCCTGTTTTCGTCGACAACGCCAATCCCAATCGTGTCTGCTGGAGTTCAGCGGCTCCAAACGTGCCGCATGGACCGCATGCTACTCTTGAACGATCCACGGCTCGCTGGACTGGGCCTGAGGCCTGATGACCCGTGCCTGACCGACTCAGTGATGTTGGTCAACATATCAGCGTGGATAGCAGCAAATACAACGCAGCGCGTCGAGATGTATCTCGCTCAGAATGCCGTGAAAAAGTTGTGGCACTTGGGCTCGATGCCTCCCCTGATGATTGTGCTTGCTGGGAAGTGGGCACAACTTCCCGGCATCGCGGATGGAAAGGGATCAAACTGCGGGTCGGTAGGGCGCTACCGGGGTTCACTACTGGTTCACCCGTTCAGGGAGCGGTGCCTTTCCCTGCCAGTGCCGCCGCGCCCGCGTCTCTGCGCTGCCTTCAGGCCCGGCAGCTCGTTGACCGGCTCAATGCGCATCGCACACATGCACTCTACGGCCCTAGCGAGGCTCCTGGGCGTCGAACTTCTGCATGGTCACGATATGTGCGATGTTGTTCTCGCTCTCGGACACGTGCCTCGCACAACCAATCCAAAGTCGGTGCGCATCGTCTTCAAGCCGTCGAACACTGAGGCCACTACCTTGAATGAGGCCGATAGATCCGCGATCATGGTGTCAGATAACGGATTCATTGATGCAATGTGGCGTGCCAAGGGCCAGGCGTCCATTCGCCTCCAGCTCGTCGAAGACGTGCGCCCAGTTGGCGTGATGCACAAAGTGAGGCCCATCGCGTTTGGCCCTGGTGAGGCCCGCGTTCCATTGCTCTGCTACCATGGGAACCACATGCATATTCAATCCCTGCTCCCGGTCCTTGGCGATATCCGTAATCCGTTCAAACTGCGGGTCCTCGTAGAGCCCCGTGCGACCAAAGCCCTGGCCAAGCAAGTCGACGCACTAGAGTGGCGGGCTGGAATGGTAGACTTCGTTGCATACGACCCGCGCAAGATCTATCAGCACCTCGCTGAGTGCGACTTGGGCCTGGCGCCGTCGGAGGTGGCACCAGCAGGTGACGTCGGACAGGTGGCGCGCCAGACCGCGCCATCTTTTGTGCAGGTCGACGAACAACCTGAAGATATGGTCAAACGCTGTAAGCGCACGTCGAATGCGGGTCGCGCGTTCGTCTTCATGCAGCTTGGCGTTCCAGCCATTGTGGATGCATGCCCCGAGAGTGTCCTATTTTCGAGCTTTAACGAGAAACCCACGGTTCTTGTCTCGTACCGCCACGCCGCGTGGAGCCAACTCATAGCTGACGTACTCGCCGATCCGTGGCTACGCCGTGAACTTTCAAGCAACAGCCACGCCTTCGCCGTGCGACATCTCACCACACGAGCCCAGGCTACGAAACTCCTCCACCGAGTTGGCTGTACTTCGCTGATTGCGAATCATAGTGACGATGTAATATAAATTACAACGAGTCGCCCGGCTGGGTGGAAGTCTGGGTGGGCTGAGTGTGTCTGCCAGTGTGTCGAGCCTGCCCGAGGTGAGGCGGGTCTACTAGTATAGAGTTCGCCATCATTACCAACTTAGAACCCTCGGACACACTGGCAAACTATGCCCAGCACTGTGAACAGTACGGCCCGGGGGCGCACTGGCAGATCGTCTGCCCCGATGAAGTGAGGCTAACCCCATAAGTCTTAGAATTGACTCCCAAATAGTACATAGTTTCATTAATGTAATTTAGTGATAATACTAGTAACATAGTGAATTTAGACTGGCGCCGGTGGCGATTCGTTGTGTGTAGGGTAAGCCTGAGTAAGTAGGTAAGTAAGGAGAATAGGTGTATTCACCGTACTATAGTTTGCAGGCCTCACGGGCCACACAGGCCCGTCTTCAGCAGCTGCACAAGTGCACCAAAATCGTCCAGGGCTCGCGCGGACCGCTGCGCTGTTCTATGGTCAGATTCGAACGGGGGCGAGAACTAAATTACTGCATTTACAGAAGAGATTCATGCATCTTGGTGGCTCTTTCCTCGACGTGTTTTACCATGACCGTGACCGTCACCGTGTGGTCCGTGTCAGTGACCCTTAGCTGCATTGTGCATTTATTGTACCCAGCTCATCAGATCCAAGCACATACCAAAGCTGAGATCGCTGAAAAATCACTTTAGATTCAGCATCTCAATTTCAAGTTGATTGGCTTTTTAGCACGTGCTACCGCACGCGCTTTAAGTGGCCCCGTACCCACCAGGTCGACCCACGTGGCCACCAGGGGGGCGGGGTGGTGAGGTTAGGGTTAAGATCAGGGTTCAAGTTAGAGGTTCAAGTTAGGAACGTGCGGGTAGACGCGGGTTTGAACACTAGCGGCACGCCGCCCGCGCCGCCTCGCTCTAAATATCCCTAATTAGGTGTATTTTGATTTGCTCGCATCAACACACAAACGACCCGAAAAGGGACTGGCCGACTCGATTGGACCAGTCGTGGCACCAGAGCGAATCTAGGGAGACGACCGGTTTCAGGCACCCGGACCGCGCCGCAAGGAGCGAATACGCGATGCGGTCTAGGTTCGAGGTGAACTTGCCGACGTACGCGTCGCAGCGCCCGAGGAGCGCCAGGTCGTCGACGACGCCAGCTGCCGCGGAAGACGCGTCGACGCCGCGACGCGCGAGCACCTAGAAGGCACAAGTCACCGCGCCCTCAGCATGGGTCATGCGAACTGAGTCTGACACGGGCGCGCGCTGAGTCCCAGAGTGGGGGCGGTGCGGTGCCGGCGCTGGCCGGCGGATTGGCGAGCATGGCGTAGAGCGGCAGACCAGCGGTGGCGGCCGCTGTCCGAGCCTCGTCTACGACGGAGGGATCGTCGGTTGCGAGGAATACGGACCGGATGCCGTAGCGCGCCTGCGGCGAAGATCTCGCTACTGAGATGAATGCTTGAACGCCGCCTCGCGCCCGCATGGCGAGTGCGTGGTACCAGTACTCGGCAAAGGGCGAACACCGACGCGCCTTGGTCGCCTCCTGCACCTCGCGGCACGAGTCGCCGCGCCGAACGTGAATGCCGAGAAGCGGCCGCGGCGCTCGCCGCAGGCCCGCCGCCTCCGCGCGGCGGCCGACGCGGCGCCGCGTCGCGTCGTTTGGCCGGAGCAAATGCCTGGGTCGCGACAAGCATAAGATTTGGGGCGCATGTGACCAGACGCTGCAAAAACGCGCGCAAGGAGCTGCGAGACAAACCAAAAGCCCCCCTGAGTCGCATACGCCGCAGGTGGAGGGTCGACACCGATCTTCTTGAGCGCCGAGGCCTGGAGCGTCGGCACGCGGCATGAGGTCTCGTCGCACGAGTCTGGCCGCGGCACTGCGGCACGCCAACCACGCGGGATCGTCGCCTCGCCCAGCGCTTCCTGCGGCTCGCAGAGTCAAAATCACAGAGAGGGTGCATGGGGGACGCGGCGCGACGCGCGATGGCTTCGTAGTCGTCGCACCGCGGTGCTGCTGCCGCGCCCTGGCAGCGCTTGGCGCGCCGGCGCCGCTCCTGCTTGACCGCAAGGGCGTCCACGACGGACGAGCGCGGCCGAGGACCCGGCACGGGCGCGGGGTAACCGTTCGCGCGCTCGCAGGCGGGCGCGAGTGGGCGGTAGAAGCAGGCCAGAGTAGCGCACGAGCCGTTCGCGTAGGCGCCGAGCGGGGGCGTGAGCATCGTCCGGTTTGACGCCACGGCGAACTTTAGCGGCAGCACGAGCGCGTTGACGAGGCTGCCGAACGCGTTCGTGCCGCCGATCGGCAGGAACGGCGCGCGACAGCTCTCGCCGAGCCGCCGCAGCTGCCGCCGGAGGCGCTCGGCGGCCGCGTCCACCGGCGGGTGCGACACAAATGCCGCGGGGTCGGGAAGAAACGCGTTCGACCGCGTCAACGCTTCGCGCAGCGACGCCGTCCACGGAACGCATAGGTGCTGGTGGCGCGAGGGAGGCAGCGCCTCCTCCCGAGCGAGGGGCGCCGCTAGCAACGGCAAGAAAGCTGTCGTCGTGAGCGCACGTCTTCTTCGCCTCATCTTAAGCCACGCAGCGCCTCGCGTTATTATTTTTTAGTCTCTACTGGATGCATGTCAAGCTCGTACCCGGCTGCTTTTGACGCAGGACCTGTAGCCATTGTGCCTACAGTACACGACAGGATACCAGGCTTAGGTACCACGGTACCGAGGTACAATGGTATAGCAGGCTGTCTCGAGTCTCGCGGCAGGTTTACCTTGTATTTAAGCATCCTCCTCCGACCACACCAAGCAGAGCGCCACAAGATAGCCCTCGCTGTGCCCCTTTAAAAACAACAATGTCACACGTTTCGGAGAGGCTGTACGCGGACGCGAGCGTGCGAACGGAACGAATCGCGGCTCACAAAAGTGCGTTTCTCTCGGAGGAGAAGCGTCGCCTGAGCCTCGAGAGCGCCAGGGCGCGCAAGCATGCTCGGTCCGCTCCCAAGAAGGCTGCGCCGCGTCGGAAGACGCAGCGCGGCGTCGCACGCATCCTCGATCTCGATCACTTTGCCGACGCTTTCTGCGACCACGCTACCGCACGCGGGGTAAGCGACTCCGAGACGAGACGTCCGCAGGCCGCGGAGTCGGACGTCTGGCGGGAGCGCGTCGTCGCAACCCGAGTCGACTTCGTCGAGTGGGCGGGGTACCAGCGACGGCGCTTTTCCAGCCTCATGAACGCACGGGCGAACTGAGTGGACGAGGATGATGGGGGGCGCGGCTGCCTGCCGGCCGGAGGAGCCTCTAGAGTTGCACTGGGATGAGGTGTGTGTTTTATCGACTACCGGCGAGCCGGCAACATGGCTTGCTACGAGCCAAAGCGCCGTGATCTGAACTTGAAACCGCGGCGGGTTCCGTCCCACATACGTGGGAGTCTGTCTGATAACTGCGCTGACTAGCCACAAACCTCACGTATTCACGAGCTGCTGCGGGTATCCCATGAGAAACCTCTTTTAGTCAAGGGGAACTAAGGTACCACGGTACGAGCTCTTTGTACAGTACCAGACTAGTACCGTAGGTACCGCAGTACCAGCAAGTACCGCAGTACCGCAGTAGTAGTACCTACGGTACCTACGGTACCTACGGTACCATGGTACACTCAGGTCCGAGTCAGGAGCTCGAGTCAGTTGTCCAGATAAGGCAAAAAGGACTGCTAATCTCCTTGACGACGCAAGTCTTGTGCACCCAAGAGTGCCAAACACTGCACACGGAATGATGCCACCAGCCGCTCGCGCGGCTGCTGCGCGGTTCGGTCGCGCGGCGCTCTCGAGCAGCCGGAGCGTCGCCGAGAAGCAGCGCCGGGCCATCCTCGACGCGAGTGGTGATTTGGGCGCGGCGCTCGGCGTCGGCGGGTTCGGGCGCGAGCTGGAAGCCGTCATGCGACGCGTCCTCACGTCGCGGCTCGTGTCGCGCGAGACGCGCGAGCGTTGCGGGCTGCGCCACGCGCGCGGCCTGCTCCTGCGCGTTGCGGGGCGCAAAACAGATTTACGGCGCGTTCGTCGTCGAGCAGCGAATTTTTCGATTGCGCGCAGGCACGGCCCGCCGGGGACGGGCAAGACGCTGATCGCCCGCGGCATCGCCAAGCTCCTCAGCGATCGCAAGCCGATTCTCGTGCGGGGACCCGAGGTGTTCTCGCACCTCCTGGGCGCGTCGGAGCAGGCGGTCCGGGGGCTCTTCAAGCCGGCGGACGACGAGTGGGCGCGGATGGGCTCGCAGTCGTCGCTCCACGTCGTCGTCCTGGACGAGTGCGACAGCATACTCCGGAAGCGCGGCGGCGGGGCCACCGGGGACGGCAGCTTCGGCGGCGCGGCGCGCGACGGCGTCGTCAACCAGATCCTGGCCAAGCTCGACGGGCTGGACGACCAGAGCAATCTCCTAGTCATCGGCACCACCAATCGCGAGTTGCCCGCGCGGAAATTGATGGGTCCATGTATCAACCACGGCGCAATAGTCGGATGCGCAGGTATGGATCTGATCGATCCGGCGGCGCTGCGTCCCGGTCGCCTCGAAGTACATTGCGAGGTCGCGCTGCCCGACGCCAGCGGGCGCCGCGAGATCCTGGCGCTGCACGCGGCAAAGCTCGGGCCCGCGCTCGCGCTCGACGGCGAGCGGCTCGCCGACGTCCTCGGTCGCGTCGCCGACGAGAAAACGCAGAACTTTAGCGGGTCCGAGCTGGAGGCCGCCGTTCGCAACGCCACGTCGTACGCGCTTCAGCGCGCCGTCGCGGCCGACGATCCGGACGCCGTGGTCGTCACCGCGGACGACCTCTTGCGCGGCGCCGACGAGGTCGTGCCGGTCTTCGGGCGCGCGCGCCGGGCCGGGCCGCCCGCGGGGGACCTTCCCGCCGCGTCGCTAGCGGCGTGCCGGGAAAGGGCCGCTCGTGTCGTCGCAACCGCCTCGACTTCGGACGAGCGGCGCGCCGCCGTCGCGCTCGTGGGTCCGCGCGGCGCGAGGAAGAGGGCAACCGCCGCCGCGGTCCTCGAGGACACCCCGGCGCTGGCCTTCCAGCGCACCGTTGCGGCCGCCCACCTGGCGGGCCGGGACGTCGACGCGGCGCGCCGGAGCCTCGTCGAGCTATTCGACGACGCGCGGCGTTCGCCCCTGCGTGGAAATCAACCAGTGAGTCAGGTCACCCGAGAGTTATTGCGAGAGATCCTCGTCAACCTCCACGCCGGCGCGCAGACGCGGTCGCGGGATGGCGTCGCGTCGATGGCGTGAACTTTTGATTTCTATTCAGGTTCGCCCTCGGCCGCCGTGGTCCTCCACGACCTCGAGCTCCTGCACCCCGACCTCTATCCGTGCCTCCGGGCGCTCCTCCGCGACGACGACGCGTGCGGCGACCACCGCCTGCTCGTTCTGGCCACCGTCAACGCCGCCTCCGACGAGGCCCTTCGCGATCTTCTCGAGCCGTTCGAGTGCATCGATGCCGCGATGCCGTAATTATACTGAAAGCTTAGTGCCGCTTCGACGTAGAGCTTCGACGACGTCTTGGCATATTGCCTAGTCACGGTGTCGAATTAAAAGCCAGCCTGAGTCACGGTGGGTTCCCAGTGCGTCGAAGGAGAAACTAGGTAGGCCTCGCGCCAGTGGCCTATGGGGCCCCTCCCCTACCCCTCTATAAGTCCCCCGGGTAAGAAACACCCCACTCACCCGTTTTTTATACGGGTAATTTTTCACCTCCGGGGACTTCCGGGGGCTTCACCCGCCAGGTAAGTGGCAACTTAGAGGAGAAATCGAGGCCGATTTGATTATTCTGGCATAGTTAAACTTTTGAAAAACTCGGACATGTTTTGAAAGTGAAGTTCAGACTTTCGAACATTTACTAGTATTCACAAATTTCAAGAATCAAACTTACTACTACAAGTCTTAGTCTTCATGCGGGTGCCGCCTTGGCTCCGTGACGGAACGCGACCTAGTAGGCCCTCGAGCCCGGGCCCGGAACCTAGCCGGGGGCCTCGTCGCCGCGTCGAATCTGCAGCGCGAGGCGCTCGTGCTCGACGACGAAAGCGGCGGTGTCGCCGGCGTGGAGCTCGTCATTGAGGATGGCCCGAGAGAGCGGCGACTCGAGCGCCTTGGTCACGAGGCGCTTGAGCGGCCGCGCGCCGTAGGCGGCGTCGAAGCCGCTCAGCGCCAACTGCTCGACGGCGTCGGGTTCGACCTGCGTGTGTTGCTCACATGTTTCGCCGCCTTCCGGTTGATGCGAGCGGTCGAGTGTCGCGCCGGGGCCCGCCCACAGCGACGCCTGGTGCGTGGCGTTGAGGCGCTGCGCGATGGCGGCGACCTCGAGCCGGACGATGTCGGCGAGCATCGACTTGCGCAGCGGGTTGAACACGACGATCTCGTCGAGCCGATTCAGGAACTCGGGCCGGAACTTGGCGCGCATCGCGTCCAGGACCTTGCGCTTGATCTCCGTGAGCTCGGCGGCGCCGTCGGCGTCGCCGGCGGCGTCGACCTGCGCGGGCGGCTCTCGCGGCGAGTCGCGTGTTCGTTCCCGGGCCGGTCGCGAGGGCGCGCGAGCTCGCAGGCGTGTCGCGAGGAAGGCGTCTCGAACGCGGGCGGCGACGACGGCAAAGTCCGCGACGGAGTCGAGGATGAGCTGCGACCCGACGTTGGACGTGAAGAGGACGATGGCGTCGCGGAAGTTGACCGTCTGACCCTGGCCGTCGGTCAGGATGCCGTCGTCGAGGAGCTGGAGGAACGTGTCGAAGACGTCGGGATGCGCCTTCTCCATCTCGTCGAAGAGGATCACGCAGTAGGGCCGGTTCCGCACGGCCTCGGTGAGCTGGCCGCCCTGGTCGTAGCCGACGTAGCCCGGCGGCGCCCCCAGCAGGCGCGACACGGTGTGCTTCTCCGCGTACTCCGACATGTCGAAGCGCAGCAGCGCGCCCGCGTCGTCGTAGACCTCCTGCGCCAGCGCCTTGGCGAGCTCCGTCTTGCCCACGCCCGTCGGGCCCAGGAACGCGAACGCGGCGATGGGCTTCGAGGGGTCCCCCAGGCCGGCCTTGGACCGCCGGACCGCGTCGGCGACGAGGTTCACGGCGTCGGGCTGGCCGACGACGCGCCGCGCGAGCGTCTCCTCGAGATGAAGCAGCTTGTCGCGCTCCGTGGCCACCAGCCGCGCGGTCGCGACGCCCGTCCAGGCGGCGACGACGGCCGCGACGTCGTCGGGCGTCACGGTGTCGCGCGCGACGAGGCTCTCGGCCGCGCCGCCCTCGAGCGCCGCCTCGGCCGCCGCCAGCCGGCCCTCGAGCGCGGGCACCTCCGTGTAGCGGATCTCCGCCGCGCGCTGGAGGTCAAAGTCGGCCTCGAGGCCCTCGGCCTCCTTGAGCTTCGCGGCGATGGTCTCCTTGAGCTCGCCGACGCTGCCGACGCTGGCGCGCTGGGCCTGCCAGGCGTCCTCGAGGCGCCGCCGCTCGTCGTGGAGCGCCGCGAGCTCGCGGTCGATCTCGGCCACGCGCGCGTCGTTGTCCTCCGGCGTCGCGGTCTCGACGAGCGACGACGTCAGGCTCACCTTCTCCATCTCGAGCTCGATCGCGCGGCGGTCGGCCGCGTCGAGGGCCGGCGGCCGCGACGTCACCTCGTTGTTCAGCTTGGCCGCCGCCTCGTCGACGACGTCGATGGCCTTGTCCGGCAGGAACCGCGACGCGACGTAGCGGTCCGAGAGCCGGGCGGCCGCGACCAGCGCGCTGTCCAGCACGCGGATGCCGTGGTGCGCCTCGAACTTGGGCTTGAGGCCCCGCAGGATGGACACGGTCGCCTCGACGTCGGGCTCGCGGATCAGCACCTTCTGGAACCGCCGCTCGAGCGCCTTGTCCGCCTCCACGTGCTGCTTGTACTCGGCCAGCGTCGTCGCGCCGACGCACCGGAGCTCGCCGCGCGCGAGCGCCGGCTTCAGGAGGTTCGACGCGTCCAGGGCCCCGCCCGAGGCGCCGGCCCCGACGACCGTGTGGATCTCGTCGATGAACAGGATGACGCGGCCCTCCGCGGCCTCGACCTCCTCGATGACGGCCCTGAGGCGCTCCTCGAACTCGCCGCGGTACTTGGCGCCGGCGATCAGCAGGCCCATGTCCAGCGAGACGATCGTCCGGCCCTGGAGCGCCTCGGGCACGTCGCCGCTCACGACGCGCTGCGCGAGGCCCTCGGCGATGGCGGTCTTGCCGACGCCGGGCTCGCCGACGAGGCAGGCGTTGTTCTTCGTCCGGCGGCTCAGGATCTGGATCGTCCGCTTGATCTCGTCGTCGCGCCCGATCACGGGGTCCAGCTTGCCCGCGCGGGCCAGCTTCGTCAGGTCGCGACCGTACTGGTCGAGCGCGTCCGTCGTGGCCTCCGGCGTCCGCGTGTCGACCGTCTTGTCGCCCCGGAGCGCGTCGACCGCCGCCCGGAGCGTCGCCGGCGCGGCGACGCCCGCGGCCGCGAAGAGCGGCCCGCAGGCGTCCGGCGCGTGCAGCGCCAGCCCCAGCACCTCGTTCGAGCAGTACCGGTCGCCGAGCCGGCGACCCTCCGCCAAGGCCTCCTGGACGACCGCCTGCGCCCGCGGGCCGAAGCCCGGCGCGGCCGACGACCCGGACACGGTCGGGAAGCCCGCCGTCTTGTCCTGCGCGAGCCGCGCCAGCGCCCTGGGATCCGCCGGCGGCTCGCACAACCGCAGCGCGCGGTTCAGCAGCCCGTTGCCGTCCTGCCGCAGGATCGCGCCCAGCAGGTCCTCGGGCTCGACGACGCCGCCGCGGCGCGCCTGCGCGGCCTGCGACGCGCCCTGCAGCGCCTCCCACGCCTTTTCCGTGAACGCGTCCGGAGTGATCTCGCTCGCCGAAAAGGCGCGCGCGTCGCGCCGCCGCGGGCCGGGTGCCTGCCGCGGCCGCGGCGCGAGGCCGGATCGCGGCGCGCGGAAGGCCCCGACGACGGCGACCACCGTGACGATGAGGACGGCGCTCTGTGGTAGTACGCGGGGAGCCATGTGATCGGGGCGTCTAAGTAGGCGTTACGCAACGCTCCCTTTTTATAATTAGCCCTTCCCGCAGCTGAATTCAAATGCGCTTGTTGGCTCGATCGAGCTGTGAGCAGGCTGCGCGAGTTGCATAGAGTGCTCCGAGAGCCTCAGATGAGTTATCTCAATGAAACGAAACGCGGCCTTAGGAAGGCAGGAGCGGGGCGCCGCGTGCGCAGCCCAAAACTTAAATCGGCGTACGGCCGAAGCACCGCCCGGACGAGGCTAAAAACAGCATGGCCGACTCACTCAGCAAGGCAGTAGCCGCACTCACAACGAAACGAGCGCGCGTCCAAGCGGTCAGCACGTGGATCCGAGCGCACGGCGCGGACGCGCAGCTCGCCGAGCGCGCGCTGCAGGCGCTCCTGGACCACGTCGCCGCGCGTCTGTTCGCCGACGAGGGGCCGGCCGTCGAACGGTTCAAGGCCGGCCTCGCGACGCTTTACGTGATTGATGACGCGCTGAAGGGGGGCCAAGAAGCGGCCGCGGCGTCGGACGCGCAGCGCGCGGCAAGGGGCTTCGCCGACGCCTGCGAGCGCACGAGGCACGTGGCTCGACTCGTCCGCAACCTCGCGCGCTTCGTTGAGGAGGAGGCCGGCGACGCACCGCGACTCGTCGACGTCGGCGCCGGCGTCGCGCGCCTCATCGCGATCTGGGCGGCGCGGCGGGCCCTCCCGGAGGAAACGCTCGCGAAGCTCCGCGAGGCCGCCGGACGGCTCGTCGTGCACGCGCCTGCATCCGTGGCCGTCCCTCTTTATGTCGCCGCTGGCTCGACGGCGAAAGAAAGAGGCGCGCCCGAGGTGCCGGCAAGCGAGACGGCTCGTGCCAATGCGGCGGCGACGACGCAGCGTCCGATGGCCGCCTCGCCAGACCCAGCGGCCGCATCTCCAGCGGGCGGCTGGCGCGCGGCCGCGACAGCGCCGGCGGGGTCCTCGGCGCCTCCGGCGCGCCCCGTACGCTCGTCGCGGTCGTCGTCGCGGTCTGCGAGCCGGCGGTCGGGCCGGTTCCGGCGCCCCGGCTCGCACAGCGCCTCGCCCAGCTCGCGGCCGCGCTCGCCGCCTCCGTGGCGACGGGCTCGCGGGTTTGCGAACCGAGGCCGCGGCGCGAGTCCAAGCTCGCGATCGCGGTCGCCGCCACGACCGAGACGAAACGGCGTCGCGATGGCGCGCGCCCCGACCGGACCGTCGCCGCCTGCCTTGGCCACCGCGGCGCGGCCGCCGCGCGTCGGCAACGTCGTCGACGGCACGATCGACCGTTACGACACGCCGCATGGTGCCATCGTCGTCGCGGAGGGTCTCTCTCTCGAGGGTTTGATACCCCTAGCCGGCATGGCGCGCCGGCGCCTCCCCGCCGGGACCCCCGTCCGAGTGCGCGTCGCATACTCCTTTCCCGCTGGCTGTCCGTCGCACCGATGGCGCTGGGAGGGGACCATGCACGGCGTTCCCCAGCCCGCCGACCGCGGTCGCGATCGCGGCGCGTCGCGCGGCTTTGATCGGAGTCGGTCGCGTGACTTGGACCATGGCTCGCGACCGCTGCGCGGCTACGACGACGATCGCGACGGGCGAAGCTTCGATCGACGGGACGACGACCGCGCGGCGGCCCCGCCTCGCCCGCCGCCGCGCTGCCCGCCGCCCGGGACCCTGATCGACGGCGTAGTCGACCGCGTCCGGGCGTGCGGCGCGTTCGTCCGCGTGCCGGGAGACTTCTCCGACGGTCTGCTGCCGACGTCGCAGCAGGATCAAACCGCTCGACCGGGCGACCGCGTCCGCGTACGGGTCATGGACAACAAGGGCGCCAAAAAATGGTCCTGCACCACCCGCGACGTTCGCACCCGGCCTCCGTTGAGCGAACGAGCGGGGGTCCCCAGCGCCCCCGCAGTCGCGGATTCGCGCAACGACCAACATCCGGCGTCCCAAGCGGGCGCTGGAGCAGAGCGCACGGACGCCGGTGCCACTGCGGGAGACGACGCCCCCCACGTGGAGGAGGGCGGCATTTACGCAGGAGCCTGCTCGAAGGTGGCCCCGTACGGCGCTTTTGTGTCGCTCGACCGCGGCGGCGAGGGCCTACTGCACCGGTCCAAGTGCGGTACGGACGCGACGGGCGCGCGACGCGTCCCGGCCAAGGGCGATCGGATCTTTGTCCGCGTATTGCAGATCAAGGACGACGGAAAAGTCGCGTTCTCGACGCTGGGCCTCGACGCGGCGACCGGTTTGCCGGACGAGGGCGCGATCGCGATCGAGATCGACGTGGGGGCGCCGAGAAATAAGGGCACGAAGGTCCGGAAGGTCGCGAAGAAGCGTCCCCAGGTCGACGCGCCCGTCGACGACTTCGGCATTAAGAGCTTCGCCGAGGTCATGGCCGAAAAACGGCGCGGTGGGCCTTGAAGGCACAATTTTTTTACGTGTTTCGTCCAGTGTAAAATTTCAGGTTATTGGAATGTTGGTCATGGGGGACAATTCTAGGGGGCAATTTCAAGTTCAAAAGTTACCCCGGGAGATTGAAAACCCGTTGTGCCGTTATCTTATTGCTATTTCGAACTTGAAGCTCCGGTTGGGTATCCTGACTGAGCAGGGAGAAGGCTCTTAGGAGCTTGTTTCTATTTCAAGTTTTAGCCTGAGGTCCAAGATTCTTCCTTAATAATTCATTCATTTATTTATTTAAATTTACTTGGAATAGCGCCGCCGCTGAGCAGCACCGAAAATTTTACTCCGCTGTGCGCTTCTTCCTCGCGCCGGCCTCGTGCATTGCCCCGCCAAGGCTTTTAGCGTCGTTGCGCGTCGTGAGCTTAGTAGTGGGCGAAACGCGCGACGAGGAGACGCTGTTTGGGCTTACCTGACGAGCACATTTGGCTGCAGCCTGAGAGTAAAATAAGGCTAAAGATAAATCACTGGCATTGACCCCTGGCCGAGCAAGCTTGGCCGACGCCTCCAGGTTCGGGTTTTACACGGCGCGCGACCCCCTAGTCGCTTCCGCTCCTCCGGGACCCATCCGTCGGGCTAGGACCCAATGTAGGCCTAGGACGTCACCCCCAGAGCTCGCGGGTTTCTACGTCGCAATTAATTAATTTTGCATGCATCACTTGCAGGTGCGGCTAGACGCTTATCGTGCAGATAATTACGTGGTCCCTTCATAAACTGGTCTACGGATACGCTGCAGTTTTTTGAGCGGTGCCGCACAGCTCTAGAGGCGAACGCGGGGCGGCGGTGTCGATCGGCTCCATGGGCGACCACGCCTTTGAAAAGGGGACGGTAGGCGCTGCTCCGGCGCTCGTGGACGGCGGGGCCGTGCGGGCTTCGGCGCCTGGCCCTGTCGAGTTCAAAACGCACGTCGACCCGTCGCCGGAGCTCGAGACGGTCGTGCTCAACTTCGGGCCGTCGGACTACGCCACGATCGGGACCTTCTTCGTCGTCAACGCGCTCGGCGGGTGGCGTTTCGGCGGCGCGATACGCGGGCCTACGGCCGGGACGACGGGCATGCTTGGGGCGCTCGCCGGCTTCCTTTACTGCTACGGCCAGACGAGCTACAAGCTCATGGGCATCAAGCCGTGGTGAGTGCCGACGTTGGGCGGGCTTCGACGCGTCTCACGTAACGCGCCACCCGTAATACAGACTTGTAACATTAGAAGCTACACAATTATAACACGGCCCGGGAAGGGCGAGTTGTGAGGCTAGCGGACGACACCCAACAGACTCCGGCTTTTCCGCACTCTCGCAACCAGCGCAAGTGCCTGACCGCCACCGTGAGGAGGCCCCGTAGCAAGTGCTGGCGTCTCGCGGGTCCACGGTGCGCGTCAAGGTCGCTCGCGGCCTGCCAGTTCCTTGCCGCGCCGGAGCTTGTACTCCTCGAAGGCCGTCTCGTTCGTGTAGCGGTGGAGGCAGTCGTTCATCCGCCGGTTCTCCGCGCGGCAGTTGAAAACGACCAAGAGGTTCTGTTCGCGGGCGCACCGGGAGAACGCGGCGAGGTGCGCGTCGCATTTTCGAATCGCGATCGCGCTGAGCTCCTTACGTGCTTCGTGCTCCGCGTACTTGGACCACGTGAGGCGCCCGTCGCGTCCGGGATCGCTGACGACGCTCATGTGTATACGTGAATGCGCCAAACGCAAGGCAGCGCGCTGGCGCAGCTGTCACAGGTCTTTGCGGCACAGCTTCTAGCGACTCAAGCCCAGAAGAATACGCGAGCGGATACCAAAAAAACTTCTATCCCAAGGGTGATGATGTCAACACTGGCTACGAGCCCTGTACCAGTGTACTACCACGGTACTAGAGAGCTTACGCTAGCCGTTTTACTGGCACTACGACTTACAGGCTGGCACTCGAGTGCCAAGCTTTCACTCAGATTGGCACTCGAGTGCCAAGCGCCGAGGGGCAGCCCCGGCTGGGCCCCGGCAGTCGGACGACGCATTGCAAAAAACGCGGCAGCAAACGCGGCCTTTCTCGCCGAGAAAACGGCCAAAACCATGCAAAATGACCTACGATCGTCTTTTTTGGCGCCGTTTCGAGCCGATCGGGCCACCGCAGCGTCGGACATCATTCACCACGTGGCCGACGACGATCTGAGACGAAGTTCGGCAGCAGCGGCTCGTGAGATGTCGGTCTATGTGTGGTCCGCGTTTCTCGCCGGGACGCGGTTTCGGGCAAAAATCGCGCCGTGGGTCGCGAGATTTGGCAGGGACCCTCCCAGCCACCACGGCGTGCGCGCGCGGGGGTTGGTCGCGGAAATCGGCGCGCCCGAAGCGGCCCAATGCCCGCCAGGCACAACTTTCCCAGCCTGGCCGTTCTTGGGGCCCGCCGCATCGTTTGCGGCCGGCTCTTCGGCGCGCAGGCTAGTCGAGCGAAATGGAGCTCGCCAACGACGAGCGGCCCAGCCTTCCGCTGCCCCCCCCGCGCGGCAGATGTAGTGCCAATTCCAGTAAAAGCGCTAGCGTAAGCTCTCTACTGGCTCCAGAGTATGAATATATTCAGCTTACCCTCTAGGGCCTAGTGGAACCTCAACAGACTAATAGTCGGGAATTTATTCTTTGCTCAGTTGTCGCCCACAGGGCGAAACCACCCGGGCACGCGGAAACCTAGCAGGGCCCGGGCCCCGGCGCCGCCGCCAAAAAGGGATGGCCCGGGGCCATTACGGGTCCTTGATTTATTTATTTATACGATAAGTAAAACCAGAGGGTGCCCGCGACGTGTGGGACGAGTACACCAGAACTTGAAGTACTCGCACGTGACAGGCAGGGGCGACAATGTCGCAAGGCTTTCTCATCACCGTTTTCGAGTCAAACTTTAACAAAAAAAGCAGAAAAGTACACCCCGAGACCCGCATGAGTATTATATTGGTACAATTTGAAGCCATTCTGCTTTCCACATGCTGCAAGATCCCGTTTGGACCCTCATGGTCATTTCTTCTATGCCAGGTACATCGACAGTGACATAATCGTGCTTGTCATGATTCTCAGTTAATTTTTCTAGTTTTTCCTCGCCATCCGGGTTATATTGGAGTACAATTTCGTCCTTCGGGCGATTCTTATCTTCAGTTGTAATTGTGAGTATTATGGGCTCGACCGTGTCCAGGGGCATACCCGCGCGGGGCTGGGGCCTATGGGGTTAGCCTCACTTGGGCTTTGTAGGGTCGTTTCCCGCTGTTCCCCCCAGTGAAGTGAACTTACTTTAGGTTCACCCCGGTGTTTTTACGGCGCCTACTTAGCGCCGGGCTTGATCCACTTGGATAAGTAAGAAGATACGGGATATAGGGAAATATCAGCCCCGGGCACGTGCCGGTTGATATAGCGTGCTGATAGGCGAGAGTAATGTAGCCATAGATCCGGCGATAGGGGGCTATGGCGTTGCAGATATATATCCAGGGGAGTTTTCACCTCAGCCTGAGGAGGGTGGGAGGGCCAAAATTCTTGCTCCTTTGTCCTGCGCTCTCACAATCGGAGCGCTATCGGACACGAGCAAGTATAAAAAGGTATCTTGTAGCGAGCCACTAGGTGTGACGTCAACGAAGACGTCACGGTCACCGTCACGGTGACGGTGATAGCACCGTGTGACCCGTCCAGCGGCGACGCCGTGGCCAGGGCGAAGAAACACACATCGACCCAACCCTTCGCTTCACCATCATAGTTAATTTAAGAGAGATTGATGGAGCTGCTAAACTTTGGGCCTAAACACCACCCAAAAGATGCGTCTCCCAAATTTTTAAGGAGCCTTGAGATACTTTTTTAGCTCGCGGCGAAAAATTTCGCGAACAATACCGATGTTACGTGCCATGAGCATAATAGCGATGCTGATGCTACGACTGCTGGGCTTCGGGATCGGGACGTGCGCCGCCAGGCTCGAGACGAAGGACCAGATGCTCGCCTTTCTGCGCGCGCACCCCTCCCGCGCGTACTTCAGCCGACTGGTGCGCGACGGACCCTACGACGTTGCCATGGAAGTGGGCGTGGCCGACGGCCGATTCTCGGAACATTTTCTGATCGACGCCCAGCCCAAAACGTGGTACATGGTCGAACCGTTCCCGAACAAAATGCTTCAGGCCCGCTATCCGCCGTCGGCGAGCGGGCGCCGCGCGCCGCGGCGCCAGCTCGAAGAGATGCCCACGTCCTGGGCATCGCGGGGCATTGGCACCACGTCAACATTACGCTTCTTCAAGGCGTTCTCGCTCGACAAGGCCGTCCTCGACGCCGTCGCCCCGGAGTCCGTTGACTTTGTCTACCTGGACGGTGCGCACGACTACGCGAACGTAGCCCGGGAGCTCGAGCCGTATTATCGAATGTTGCGGCCGGGCGGCATGCTCGCGGGCCACGACTATTGCAAGTACGACGAAAGGCCGTTGGCGTGCCGGGGCTGCGCGGACGTGCCGGCGTGCGTGAAATACACCGAGTACGGCGTTCGACACGGCAAGGGTGACCGGCGCGTGGCGAACCAGTGGGGCGTCGTGAGGGCCGTGCAGGAGTGGCTTGCGCGGCACCCCGAGCTCGAGGTCTACCACACGATCGAGAATTTCACGCGGACGTCGCTCGCGCAGGACGGCATGGACTACGACCTCGTGATCACGAATACCTACAACCCGTCGTGGTACGTATTCAAGCCGGGAACACCCGTGCAGTCCTCTTCAGCGAGTGGTTCGCCGCCGTGCGGCGCTGTCGTCGTGGACAAGAGCAATTCCTTATTGCCTCAACTGAGCGCAAATCCCTCGTGTCCGTCCCGCTTTCAACACGTCCAGCGCTTGCCTAATCACGCGGCCGATCTCACAGTGGCCTATCTCTATTATCGCGACACGGAGTATTTGGAACGGCACGTGAAGCACTGGATCACCCTGCCCAGGGACTTGCTCAAGCGGATATCCATTTTAGTTGTTGACGATGGCTCCCCGATGGACCATTCCGCGCGCGCCGTGCTTGAAAAAATGCGAGCTTGCGACGTGCGCGCCGCCGTCGTCCGAGTGGGCGAGGACATCAGGTGGAACATCGGCGGCGCCCGGAACCTCGCATTTGCCCTTGCGCCCACCGAACTCGTGCTTCTCGTGGACGCCGACCAGCTTGTCACGCAGTCGTTGCTCGAATGGAGCCTGCGGCACTCGAAGTACGCTCTCGCTCGTTGCGACATTTTTCTTGATTTTCCGCGCAAGTTTCCGAATGGCCGACAGCACCGAGTGCACCCAGCCACGATGCTGACATCCCGCTCGAGTTACTGGAGAGTGGGAGGCTGCGACGAGGACTTTGTCGGAAACTACGGGTTTACGGACGTACATTTCGCTGCTCGACTCAGGCAGACGCCGGATTGCCAGCGCATATCTTCGGAGAGACCAATCATGAAACACGTCGCGAATTTCACGGACGCCATGGCATTGGAGCCCGCACCGCCGCTCATCCACCTCGAGCGAGTCCACTCGAGTCACGACATTGCAGCAAATAAGGCTATTCTTCGTCAGAAATTTCAGGGTCAACTTCCATGGTCCACGGATTACCTCCGATTCTCGTGGGAGTGGGTCTTTGGTGCCGATGGACTGGCACAATGCTAATCACGATGTGCCCAAAGGAAGTGTGCGAACAGCCCGCCAGACGTTTCAGTCCAGTGTCCAACAGGCCAAGCGAGGTAGCTGTCGCTGTTAAGTGGTGTACTACCACGAGGCCGAGCTAGTCTGATTTGCCACGGTTCAGCATTTCATTGACCTCTCCGAGTCTGGGTCCAACTTGAAGTCCGAGCCCCCGACGTCCTCAAGGTTGCGCACTGAGATGATGATATAAGTCGAGTGCTTTTTTACACCACTTTTTTTATTTTAGAGGCCAATTAAGCCCTAAATATTCGCTGCTCATAGGACAATCGGCCTCTAATCAAAAAGGTGATGTAAAAAAAGACACATCAACTTATTATGCCAGTGACGTTCCCCGCCCTCGGGTAAGATGATTTCTAGTTTCTGGCAGAAGTCGTTTCTGACATCCGAGTCCTCCAATTTGGGACAATCAAATATAGTATGAGTGATCGTCTCGGAACCGTCTCCACAACAGGGGCATTCCCGGGCCGCGTTACTAGTACTACTAGTAGTACGCGTTAGCGACATACTAGTACTAGTGGTACTAGTAGAGGCGCAGTAGTCAACTTGACTTCAAAATAGACACCCGGTATAAATCATCTACCCAGAGTACTCGGAGGAAGCAATTTATGTCGCCGCCGATGACCTGAGCTCGGCGAGCCCCCTGTAGGCGCCGGAATGGAGGCGCTCGCGGACGCCGCGGAGGTACTGGGCGATCGGAAGGTGGCTCGCGCGCCCGATGGCGCGCTGGAACTCGGCGACCTCGATGAACTGCTCGGGCTGGTCCTCGCCGGCGTCTCCGGGCGCGTCCCGCGCGCCGCCGACGAGCACTAGGTATTGCAGCAGCACCAGCACCTGGCGGTCCAGGAAGAGGCGCCGCTCGCGCTCAGCGCGCTGCAGCTCCAGGCGCTGCTTGGCGCGCTTGAAGCGGCGGTAGTCCAGCATGGCCGCCTGCAGCTCGCGGTGTTCGATCTTGCCCGAGCCGTCCGTGTCGAGGTACGCCACGAGCCTGGCGACCTGCTCCGACGACAAGTGGACCTTGGCGGTCTGGAGCATCCGGTGGAACTCGTCGGGACCGACGGCGTCCGAGTCGTCCTCGTGCGACTCCGCCGCGCGATCGAGGCCCGTCGTCTTCTTCGCGCGGCCGTGCGTCCAGATGTCCTCGGCCTTGAGCTGGTAGCGGCTAAAGTACCGGTCCATCAGCGCAAAGCTCGCGACGCACCCGCTTTCCTCCGCGGCGCGCATGCGCGCCGCGAAGTCGGCCTCCTCGCGTCGCCGCTCGGCCGCGGCGGCCGCGGCCGCGGCCTCGCGCTCCGCATGTTTGCGCCGCGCAATTTCGTACGAGGGCGGCGGCTTCCGGACGCCCACGGCCTGGAGGAAGGCGGCGAGGCGACTCGAGTCGCAGCGCCCCTCGCCGTCCTGGTCGAGCAGCTCGCAGACCTCCTTGAGCTTCATGCCGCGGCGCTGAATCAGCGCGTCCACCTTCCGGAACGCGGCGTCCAGGCCCGACCGCCGCATGTGCCGCTCGAAGGTCGACGCCGACGGCTGCCGCGCGGCGTCCTCGAGCGCGTCGAGGCGCTCCCTGGCGGCCTTGTACGCGTCGCGCGCGGACCTCGCGGCGTCCGCGCGGGAACTGGCGTCGAAGAGGCGACAGAGCACGTGGCGCACCTCGTGGACCGTGGCGAACGCGTCCGCGACGCCGCGCCCCTCGTTGAACAGCGAGCCGCAGGGCAGACAGTGCAGCTTGACGAACTCCATGAAGCGCATGCCCTCTCTGGCGAAAAGGTAGTGCTCGAGCGCCGCGAAGATGCGCGACGCGTGGAGGGGCGGCCCGGCGGCGAACGGCGCCTCGTCCTCGCCCGGCGCCGGCAGGAACGCCGAGTCGCCCGGCTGGTGCGCGTACGACGCCTCGAGCAGACTCTCCGCGCGCGCCGCGTCCTCCTCGTTGGCGTAGCCGTAGCGGTGGCCGGCGTGCGCGACGGCCCACGCGCGACGGAGCGCCCGCGTCGCGCGCTCGAGCTCCTCGATCAAGAGCTCGTCGTGCTCGGAGAACAGCACGTCGACGAGCTCGTGGACGTCGGCCTCGGTGACGGCGCCGTACGCGCCGCCCGCCGCGAGCGACGGCGCCGGGTCGTCCGCCTTGTCCAGCGCCGCGTCGGCGTCGGCTTTCGCCCGCGCGGCCGCCGCCTCGGCTTCCTCGTCGATCCACCACGCGAGCTCGGGGTCCACGGGCTCGTCGTCCTCGACTGCCGCGTCCTCGACCGCCGCCGCGTCCTTCGCGCGCTCCTCCTTGGCCTCGTCGGTCGCCTCGCCTCGCGGTGCCGGTGCCTCCGCGTCCGCGTCGATTGCGAGGCGCGTCGCCACGCGGAAGCACTCGACCAGGTCCCGGAGCGCGACGACGCCCGTGCCGCCGCCGTCGAGGAGGGCCACCATGGCCCGGACGACCGCCGGCGGCAGCGGCGCGCCCTTGGCGTACTCCTTCCGCACGGCCTCGGCCCGGCGCTCGAAGCGCGCGTCGTCGTCGAACGCCGTGCGCGCGCCGCCGCCCCGCTTTTCGTCCGCCGCGCGCGTCAGGGACCGCAGCCACGCGTGGAGCGTCGCGACGCTCACGAGGCCGTCGCCCGTCACCGACCGCCGCGGCAGGGCCTCCGAAAGGGTCGACGAGGCGCTCTTCAGGTGCGCGTCGAGCTCCCGGAGCATGCGCTTGATCGCGCGGACCGTCTGGAGCTGCTCGTCGCGGCCCCGGGGCCACGCCAGCGGTCGCACGGGGAGGCGCAGCGCGTGGTCGTCGGCGCCGCCGCCGGCGGCGATCACGGCGAGCGCCCGCTCGGTCCGCGCGCGTTTCTCCTCGGCCGACGGTCCCGCGAGGCGCGCGTCGGCGTCCGTCGGCTTCTTCTTCGCCGCCGCCGGCGCCTCCGCGCTCCCTCCGGGCTTGAGCCGCGGGAGCGTCTTGGCCCGCCGGCCGTACAGGATGCCGCCGCGGTTCATGATGCGCCGCTCGCGCCGCACCATGGGCCCCTCGAGCCACTGCTCGGGGTAGCTCGGCACCGTCCCCTCGAGGCGCTGCCGCGTCAGCTGCTGGATCTGCCGAGCGGTCACCATGTTGTTTCCCTCACGGTGGCGCTTTATGGTATCTACGTATCTGCTCAGGCTACCTAAGGTATTGTCTGAAGCGAGTTTACAGCGACTTTTACGTTTGCGATGAATGGTTTTTATGACTCTGGGGTTTACCCCACGCTTCAAGAGCCCGCATGCAAGGTAGCTGGGATAGGTACTTTTTGGTACTTGCTACGAGCCCTGCTCGTAAGGACTTTAGTAGTGTTGCCGCTGTCTGCAACCAAGGACTGTTACGTACCGTACGAGCAAACGCTGCTCGGCCCACCTTTGCTCGCGCGCTAGCTGAATTCGCCCCGTCAAAGCATGCGTGCGACCTTGCTCCACGCCTTCCTCGTCACGCAGTACAGCGGCGCTTTATTGGTCCGCCGCCCCCTGAGGCCGCGCGCCGGCGCCGTCGTTCGAACGGCCGCGGGAAGCGTGGCGCGGTGCGAGGAGAAGATCACGGCGGCGTTGGAGCCCACGTCGTTGAGGGTCGCCCACCGCGTAGATAAAACCAGCGTTGGCCGCATGGAGAGAAATGGATACCGCAGGTCACCAACTCGGAGGACGACCCAAATGGCACGCACGTCTCCATCGTTTGCGTATTCTGCCAGGGCACTTTCGACGGCTTCAACACACGGAGTGGTTTGCACACAGGTCTCTGCACTTTTCGAGGGACTTTCGCGCGTCAAACGCCAACAGCTTGTCATGCGGAGCATCCGCGACGAGCTTGACTCGGGCGCAATCCACGCCATCGACAGCCTCCAGACGTGCACGCCGACCGAGGCCGAGCTGTGAATTGATTATACTATTAAGAAATTAAGAATCAATTAGACTAGACATCGAGGACGGGCGGAGGACGCAAGAGCGAGCCAGGGAGACTATAAATGCCAACGGTTAAAATATTTTGGCGATTTTTGTCACGGTATCACTTTTTTTGTCTTATTTTTATTAGTTGTATGTATGCTTTATGTATCATCCGCCAGGATGGGACATAAAGTATACAAAATAAATCCCTTACTACTCAGGCTGCAAGTCTCCCCCGGCGGCGGCGGCGCTCCGGCCGCCGGCGGCCGCCTCACCAACTTGAACTTGAAAAAGGCGCCCGCCCACGCACACGAGGTTACGCTCGCGGGGGACAGCTCCCGAGAGAGAGAGAGAGAGAGAGAGAGAGAGAGAGAGTCGCTTCCACGAACTAGCGACTGTAAGACACTAGCTCTGATACAGGCACTACCTCGTACCGAGATCAGCAAGAGCGAGTTTGCAGTAATTAAATAGAAAGCAATGCGCATCACTTTCCGCGTGCGGCCGCGCCGAACACTTGCGCGCTTCTCGTCCGACGCGAGGGCCCGGTTCGCCGGTCGCTACGCGCTGGGCAAGCACATGCCCGCCGTCGAGACCAAGCAGGGCATGCGGTTCGCCTGGCGCGGCGAGGACCGGGCGGTTCGAGTCCTCGGCGGCGCGTCGTCGGAAATCTTGGGCGGCGCGAACTTGGCCGAGGTCCTGAGAGACGGGTTCGAGATCGAGCAGCGCGCGTTCCGCGCGCTCGAGCGGGGCGAGCCGGCCGAGCCGCTGTCCATACACACGTCGGCGGGCGTGCCCAAAAGCCTCGACGACTTCTTGGCGGCGCTACGGCCGCACCTGCCGAGCTGGGCCCAGGCCGAGGACGACTGGTGCGTGAACCTGCAGGCGGAGGGGTCGAGCGCCGTCCACGCCGCCATCGACATGGCCATACAAGTCACGCAGCCCGGGGCTGATTTGACGGCGCCGGCGGCTCGGACGCGGGTGGCGTGCGGCGCTTCTTCGTACCACGGACCTGCTTCGACGTCGCCAGGTGGCGGCATCCCCTTGGGCGCGGCCGCCAAGGGCCTGACCCATCCCGTTCGCTATCCGGTCCCGTCGCCCTTCCTCCGCTTCCGGGACGAATCCGACGACGCTTTTCACGCGCGATTACGAGCGGAGTTCATCGAGTATCTTGATGCGTACGAGCACGAGCTCGGCGTCGTTCTGTTCGAGCCGCAGTGGGGTTCGAGTGTCGCGTCGACGCCGTGGCCCCCTCAGTTGCTGCGGGCCTACGTGACCGAGGCAAAGCGACGAGGCCTGGCGGTGGTTTGCGATGAAGTCATGTGCGGTCTCGGAAGGCACGGGCAGGACCCCCGCGGGGCCACTGGTTGTTTTCTGACCGAGTGTTGGGACCTCCGGCCGGACGTCGTAACGTTCGGCAAGTCCGTCGGCGGGGGCGCGGGGCACTTGCTGTCCGGCGCTATCTTGCTGAAGGGCGCATCGGCGCTCGCCGCCGCCTCGCAGACCGCGTACCAGTCACACACCTACGCCGGGTCCTCCGTGAGGGCGCTCTGCAACGCCGCGTCGCTGCTCGACAGACTGGAGTCGCTCCGCGCGGACGTGCGACGCGTCGAGGCCGCCGTGAAGCCCGCCCTCGACGCGCTGCGGGAGGAGAGCGGCGGTCGGGTGCTCACGCAGGGCCAGGGCGCGCTCTGGGGCGGCCTCTTCGCGCACTCGAGTCTGGCGGAACGAAGCGTGGCGAACGTCGCTCTCAAGGAGAAGTGCGCCGCGGCCGGCGTGTTGCCCTACTTCGTGCCAGTCGGCGGCTTCATGCTGACGCCGCGCTACGACGATGATCCGGAACTATTACGCGCGGCAGTCGGGGACCTGGCCCAGTGCTGCCTCGAAGTCGTCGAGGAGATGAAGTGGTCCGACGGAGATCTCTTGCCGCGCGTGCGTGCTTGAAGGAACCAAGTACGAATTGGCGTCCCTAGCGTGAACGGCGAGGGCGCTATTAATTGTTCGAGCGTCCTTAGTCCCAGGCTGGGACAGGAGCGGCGAAGAGCAGCGGTCATTGATTTATGCACTTAACATCTAACTAGCCTAGACCCCAGACTTAGACGATTTTGTCTACCTCTAGAGGTTAGACACGCCCGTTCCCCCCTAGCCCTCTGCGCGTCTAAACGTCTCGGTCGTCTCGACTCGGCCAGATTTGGGGCCTCGAGGCCCGCTGGTATCGGTACCCAGACGCCGACACGGTACAGCATACCGATGTTCAACTTAGCCTGAGTATCCGTATCATCTGTATGAGACTGTATCGGTTCAAGTTCGCTCGTCTGACTTGGATACAACGTCTCAGTCTGGGGTCTAGGCTAGTTAGATTCCTACCTCGATTTATTTTAGAGCCACTCATCTCCCCGTCGTCGTCTCGGCGAGAGGCGGGGCGGGGGCGACATCGCACGTTCGCGTGCCTCGAGGCCCTCGGCCCAGTTAAGAAGGTCGTCGACGGTCTCGGCCGGCGTATCCGGCGCGACCGTCGCCACTGGCGGCGGCGGCGTGGATTCGTCGCCAAAGTACTTGGCGACGGCGCCCATCTGGGCAGCCGTGAGGTCAAATTTTGCGATGGCACCGCCGGGCGCAGGCGCGGATTCCGCCGGCGCCGCGACCGTCGGCAGAGGCACGGAAGGTCGCCGCGGACCGTCGTCGCCGCGGCGAGCGCCCTCGAGGTACGCCCGGCGCATGGACCCGACCCGGCCGCGCGCGCGCTCGACCGGCGTCGCCGTTGGCCGCGGCGGTCGCGCCGCGGCGGTCGCCCGCGGCGCGAGCTCGCGCCCGGACCCGGACGGCGCCTCGCACCACGTACGGGAGGCAAGATGGATCCGTCGCCCAAGGCGCTCCGCTCGTCGGAACTGCGCGGTTTTGCCGCGATCGTACGCCGATCGCGCCTCGGGCGTCGGCCGCGGCGCCGGTGGCCGCCGCCGTTCCCGCGCGAACTGTTTTCGCCGGCGCGCGCCGGCAACCTTGGACGCGAGCGACGTCCTTCGCGGCGTCGCTCCCGAGTCGCCTGCGGCGCGCGACTCTCGTCGGCGGTCGCGCGGTGGCATGTCCCTCTCTAGGACGCCGGTCGTCGCTTCGGCTCGTCCGGTGCTCGGACCAAGCCTGGGACCTCGCGCTCCGGGCCGAGAGCGGCCGCGCCGCCGGGCCGCCCCGCGAGGAGAGCGGCGTCGAGAAGGCGTTCTTGAAGTCGGCGAGACCAAGCGCCTGTGCGGAGTGTGCAGATGCGTTCTTCCCGGCGGTCGAAGCATCCGTCGACGGGGCGCGGGTGCCGAGAAGAAAGGTCGCCGCGCCGCCGCGAACGTCGTCCAGGCGTAGCGACGTCAGCACGTGCGGGGGCGGCTTGACCGGTCGGACGACGGGCGCCGGTCGCCGCGGCGCCGCGCGCGGGTTCCAGGAGAGACCGGGGAGCGGAGGCGGCCCGGGCTCGGCGACGGGCGCCAGCGCTTCGCGGACCTTCGCCGCCTTGTCCGCGGGAAGCTCGCCGCTCACGAGTTCCAGCGCCCGCCGCAGGCGCTCCAACTCGTCGGCCACCTGGGTCTCCGGGCCCCGCGTGGCGTAGAGCGCCTCGGCGTGGCGCGCCCGCGCCAGGGCCCGGTACTCCTGCCACGGCCCCACGTACATTGTTCTAAGACGACCAGGCTCGTTCGGACACCCGCCGCGACCACCATGGTCTACATACTTGGGCAGCCGCCATCCTTGGCAAGCTCCTTGGCCATCGTGCAGCTGTATATGAAAATGGCGTGCCCAGCTGTCCGTTGCCGCGCGCACAAATCCCCAGAGGCCTGGAGAATTGAACGTGCTTTCGGCTAGCGGTAAGACACTAGCAACCAGTCAAAAAGCGCGCGAAGCAGAGCGCGCGCACTACGCAGGACCGACTACGCAGGACCGACCATGTTTTACAGCCACAGCATCCTCGCCAAGAGCGGCCCGTTCGCCCACGTCTGGCTGGCGGCGACCTGGGAGAAGAAGGTGACGCGGTCCATGATCTTCGGCACGGACATCGCGACCGTCGTCGAGTCCATCGCGAACCCGGCGGCGCCGCTGGCGCTGCGCCTGTCGGCGAACCTTTTCGTCGGCGTCGTCCGCATCTACGCGCGCAAGGCGCGGGCCGGCGTCCGCCGCGGGCGGATTCGGGCGCGCGGCGCGCGACCGAGGCCGCCCGCAGGTCGCCTACCTCATGAACGACTGCAACGAGGCCATGGTAAAGATCCGCATGGCGTTCCGCGGCGGCGTCGTGGACCTGCCCGCGGAGAGCGTCGTGGCGTCGAACGCGGCCATCACGGCGCGTGCGTCCGCGTCCCGGAGATTCGCGCGAGCGACAAATCGCCCCCCCCTCGGCAGGTGGCGAACTTCGACGAGCTGGACCTCGACTTCGAACTCGACGCGCCGCTGGGCGGCGGCGGCCGGCCGTCGGAGCTGACGTCGGACCCGCGCGCGGACGAGTGGGCGGCCGCGGCGACGACGACGCACCGCATCGGCCACGTGCGCGACATCTCGCTCGCGGACGACGAGGAGGACTTCGCGGCCGCCAGCCTCGGGTCGCGGTCGGTCGCGGGCGACGACGTCGTCGGCCGCGCGCGGCGCGGCGGCCCCGGGTCCGACGTGTCGAGCATCGAGATCATGCGCGGCGCCGAGGACCGCGAGTCGAATCCCCTCAGCGTCGGCGGCCGCGACTCGGATCGGTTCCTCGGCCGGCCCGACGACGACGACGCGGGGCTCGTGGACCTCGAGCCCGTCGGCGCGGCGGACCTCGCGGCCGTCGGCGCCGACGACGACGACGAGATGGGGTTCGCCCCGCCGCCGCTCGACGACGACGACGGCATGGACGCGGGGCTCCTCGGCCCCCGGGCCTCGGGCAGCCTCGGCGCCGTCGACGACCTCGCGGCGCTCGAGGCGATGGACGAGGACGGCGCGGCGGCGGCGCAGCCCGACGATCGCTCCGGCGATCCCATGGACGTCGACGCGGCGCCGCCCGCCGCGGCGCCGCGTCCGAAGCGCCGCCGGCCGCGCCGCGCGGTCGACCTCGCCGACGCGGCCGCGGCGCTCGACACCGACACGATCAAGGGATGGATGCGCGACCGCTCGGCCATCGTCGACGTCAAGCGGCCGCGCTACGAAGCGGTCGCCGCGGCGCCCGCGGACCCGCTCGCGCCCCGGCTCGCGCCCGCCGCGGCGCCCGAGCTCGCCGCCGTCGTGGCGCGCCTCCACGGCGGCGACGGCGCCTCCGCGCGCGCGGCGCTGCCGGTCAACCGCCGCGGCGCTGAGGCCGCGCCGGCGCCGGCGCCGGCGCGCTTCTCGGCGCGCTTCGACGACGACGTCGAGGTCGCGCGCGGCGGCGGCGAGGGCGAGGGCGAGGGCGAGGGCGAGGGCGCGTCGCTCGGTGCCGCGCCGTTCGCCGGCTACGACGACGACGGCGCGGCGCCCCCGCCGTTCGCGCCGCCGCCGGACGACGACGACGACGCGTTCGCGGGCCTCGCGCCGCCGCCTCTCGTCGACGACGACGACGACGAAGACGCGTTGCTCGCCCCGCCGCCGGGCGCCGCATCCTTCGACGCGGGCGGGGTCGACGACCTCCACGCCGTCGAGCCCGACGCCGACGAGGCCGCGTCCGGCATCGTCCCGTCGACCGACGACCGCGAGTGGCACCCCAACACCGTCAAGGTCGCGACGCTCCTCCGCGACCATCTCGCCGACCGCGACGCCCTCTCGTTCGGCGCCTTCACGCGGGGCGCCGACAAGCGGTCCGCCGCCTCGGCCTTCGTCGAGCTCCTCCACCTCAAGACCTGGGACTTCGTCGCCCTCGACCAGCCGCACGCCTACGGCGACATTTCCATCGCCAAGGCCGCCTGCTTCCACGACGAGGTCCCCGCCGCCGCCTAGGCGGCCTGCCGCCGCGACGCGTCCTCGAGAAGCGAGCCGTCCGGCGGAGTACGAAGAAAGAAGAAGAACGAGCGCACCAGGCCCCTAAAAGCAGTACTAGTGTCCTCCCTTTGTCGCCGACTGTCGAGTATAGACCACGACTCCTCCGCGCCGAGAAATCAGGGTAAACCGAATTTACGGCGCAAAGACGGGGCCGGCACCCCAATTGGTGAGATTTTCAATTGATAGCCCGAAGTAGGCGTCTTCGCCCGTTGGGGTCCCAGGGGCATCCTAAGCACACGGCGACACTAGCTTGCCACGGAGGTGCCCCCCTCGGGATGGGGTGAGGTGCCCAAAATGGCCTAACGTGCGGGTATTTGGCTTAACTCGCGGGTTTTCAGGGGGTGAAATCAAAACTCGCTTCTATGCTGGTGGTTTCCCCCTCGAAGTCCCCTTCGGTACCCGCGGCGTCTGTAGGATGCGCAAACACGGCAACCTTTGGTGTATAGTTGCCCAAAAGGTCGCCTGACGCGGCACGAAACGCCACTGGCGCGACGTTCGCGTGGGGGCCCTTCCGCCCCCTCGCATTTTTTGGGCTCCACACTCCGCCAGAATGTGGGGCACCCCCTGGGGCCCATTCGTAGTAAGTTTCCCACTTCGGGCTATTAAAGGGGAGGCGCTACTACAGTAGCCGAAATAGTCGAGTGCCGGCCCCTTGCGCAAAGGACCCTTTGCGTTCCACTACGTCATTTCCGACGCGGCCGTCTACCTGGCGATGACGCCCAAATCCTACCCGAAGCGGGCGATCTTCCGTTATTTGTACCTAGACGTGCCAGCGGCTCGGGAGGCGTGGTCTAAACGCGACAGGGTCGCCGACGACCAAAGAAACCTAGCCGACGGCCGCGGCGACCCGGAATTCCCTGTCGAAGCAGAAGACGTCGCCCTGGAACGTCGTCGCGACGGCGGCGACCGTCGCGGCGCCCGGCGCGGCGCAGACGGACGTGTACATGGGGCTTTCGCCGCCGGCGTCGACGTCGCGCGAGAGCGTTCCCGCCTCTAGGTCCCAGAGCTTGACGCGACCGTCCTTGGACGCCGAGGCCGCACCGGCGCCGCCCCGCAGGAACGCCACGCCCGTCGCGTCCTGCGCGTGGCCGCGGAGCACCGCGAGCGGCTCCGACCCCGGGCGCCGCGCGTCCCACAGTGTCACCTCGCCGCCCTCGCCGCCGAAACCCTTCGACGCCGTGATGAGGTGCGGGCCCGCCGACGCGACGGCGAGCGGGAAGAACTCGTAGCCCGCGAACGTCTGCGCCGCCGCCTGCCGCAGGTCCCGCGCGTCCCAGACGCGGAGGCGTAGGTCCTCGCTCCCTTGCGCAAAGGTCTGCGTGGTGGGCCGCCAGCACATGCACGTCACGACGTTTCGCGGCACGCGGACGGCCGCGGCGTTTTCGCCCGTCGCCGCGTCCCACGTCTTCACGCGGTAGTCGCGTGAGCCGGACGCGACGGTCGCCCCGTCGTCCGCGACGGTGACGGCCGTGACGGCGAGCTCGTGGGCCGCCTCGATGACCTGCGTCGGCCCGCGGGCCAGCGGCCACCGCCGCACGCTCAAGTCGCGCGAGCACGTGTAGACGGCGCCGGCGCGATCCCGCGCGGCCGCCACGCCGTTCGCCGCCGCCGCGTGCACGCCGAGCGTTTTCGCGGTCCCTGCCGCCGCATCGTAGAGCACCACGCGCCCGTCGGCGCCCGCCGTCACGACGCTGTTGTCGCCGCCGCACCAGGCGTCCAGCACCGCGCCGCCGTGGATCTTCGGGAGCTGGGCCACGCCGGCGGCGGTGGCGATGTCGCCGGGCGGCTTGGAGCACGCCGGGCCCATCGAGGTGACATCCTCACTCCGCCTCGTGGGATACCGTAGGTACGATCCAGATACAAAGTATACCGTAGTATGGTTTAATAACTGGTACTAATAAAGGTGGCCCGGACAACGTTGTCTCCGTTTGTCGCAGCACCGCGGCGTAGCGATTTAGGCAGCGACTGGTAATATTTTGTCGGGGCCATGCTCCAGCAGCAGCAGGAAAGCGGGAACCCTTGGATGGCGCCCGACGACCCCGGGGCGGCGCACGCGGCGCCCGAGCTCGCCGCGCTGCTCGCAGCCCGCGAGGACGAGCTCCGGGCCGTCGAGGCGTCGGCCGCGGCGAGGACCTTGGACACCAAGGTCAGGGCCAAGCAGTTCTTCGACGACGTCGTCGAGAAGATGCGCGCCGGCGCGCGGCAGGCCGAGGCCCTCGAGCGCAACTACCGCGCCGCCGCGGCGCAGCGCGACGCGGCCGCGGCGCGCGCGGACAAGCTCGAGGCGCGGGCCGCGAAGCTGGACGCGCGCGCGGCCGCCGCCGAGCGGCAGCGCGACGCGTCGAGGCGCGACGCCGCGGCGCTCGGCGACGGCATCCGGCACCTGCGCGACGAGCTGGACGAGAGCCGCGCGCGGCTCGCGGCCGCGCGCGACGCCGAGGCGGCGGCGGCGGAGCTCGTGCGGGCCGGCGCCGCGGAGCGCGACGCCGCGCGCGCCGAATTTCTGCGGGAGCGCGACGACCACGCGGCGGCGCGCGACGCGCTCGCGCGGCGCGTCGCGGCGCTGGAGGCCGAGAACGCCGAACTGCGGGACCGGCTCAGGACGACGGCCGAGGCGGAGCAAGCCGCCCGCGACAAGCTGGCCGACAAGGAGAAGCTCGCGAACGAGCACCGCGGACGAGCCTACGTCCTCGAGGAGGAGCTGAAGAAGCAACGCAAAAAGGTCGACGAATGCGTCCTGGAGGAGCGGCGCCGCGGCGAAGAGGAGCGGGCGAGGGGCGAGCGCGAACGCGTCGCGCGCCGCGCGGGTCCTCGAGGCGCCTTCCGCTCAAGTCGCCGCGTCGCGCGCGCCGGCCGGCGCTCCCCTCACGCATATCGACCGCGTCGCCCGTCGGGACCGAGAGCGGCCCCGCCCGCGGCCGCATGGCAACGCGCGCGTTCCGACGCAGGCCGCGCGCGCCGAGGCCGACGCGCGGCGCGAGCGCCTCGACCTCGAGCGCGCCGAGGCGGAGGCGGCCGCGCGCGCCGAGTCGGAACGCCTCCACGCGGCCAAGCTGGAGGAGGACCTGGCGCGCGCGGCGGCGACCGAGACCCGCGCCAGGCTCGTGGCGGGCGTCGACTGCCGCAAGCACGGGCGCGCCGGCAACCCCAAGGCGCGGCGCTTGTTTCTCGACCCGCGCACCGACGAGCTCGCGTGGGGCCCGGCGGGCGCGAAGAAGTCCGGAAGTAAAGGTGCCGCGAAGCGATTTCCGCTCGTCCGCGGCGTGCGGCTCGTGCGCGGCAAGACGACGGCCGTCTTCCGCCGCCAGGCGTCCGTCGACGCGTCGCCCAACGCGTGTCTCAGCCTCGTCGGCGACGGGCCCCGCGAGAGCCTGGACCTGGAACTCGACTCGAAGCAGCTTCGAGACACGCTGGCGACCGGCATCGCGGCGCTCCTCGTCCGCTTGGACGCGCCGGCGACGGCGTGAGGTCTCGGCGCGAGGGACCCAGTGTAAGGTTCCAGACCAACTTGAAAACCTGTCGCGTTTAGAGCACGCCTTCCGAGCCGCTAACACGTCTAGGTGCTTTTTGCGACGTAAATTCGGGTTTACCCTGGGTTTCTCGGAGCGGAGGAGTCGTGTCTATACTCGACAGCTTGAAAACCCGTCTACTTAAGTACCGTAGGTACCTAGGTATTATAGGGTTGCCAGCGTCTAAATGACAAGTTACATGCGTATGAATCACCCCTCTCAGGCTGGTCACCCCGAGAGACCTCCCGCTCACGCCGGCCGCCGGTATTCTAGGTTGCCACATGCTGATCGCGAGCTAGACTCGGAGTCTTAAAGGGCCGCTAGCGCCGGCTTCGGGAAGAGCCCTGGAAGGACTTTTGGATACCTCCTTTTTTACGCCGTTTTTTACGTGGGATCTCCTGTAGCGGTGCTTTACGTGTAACTTACGCGTTTTTTTCCACGTAAATTGCACCCTAGACTACTACTGCCAGTGGCCCTAGTACCCCCCACGGATCCTCACGGTATCTCCCATGCGCATTTGCGAAAGGGCAACGAAGTCAGGCGCGCGGCGGCGGCGCCAAGCCTCGACGGCCGTGTGGCGGGGGCACCCGCGCGCTGCTGGAACTCGAGCTGCTGCGGAGGCGGGACGTGCGGCCCCGCCCTCGTCGACTGCGGCTGCGGGATCGGCTACGAGGCCGGCTTCGGGGCCGGCTTCGGGGCGGGCTGCGGCTCGCGAAGCCGTTCCGCCGTCGTGGCGCGCCAGCTTCAGCGTCGCGGCCGGGCCGGTAGCGGTACGGCGACGAGCGCCGCCCGCGAGGGGGCGGCGACGGGCGCGACTCTCGCCGCCGTACGTCGCGCTCGTCGAAGCCTCGGGCGCGGCCCCACCCGCGCGGAGGCTCCGGCGGACGACGAGAAGGCACGCGGTCGCGGTCCTCGCGGCCGCGTCGGCTGCTGTCGCGCCCGCGACCGGGGCCTCCGCGCACGTACGGCTGGAACTGCTTGGGGGGGAGCTTGGAGAACGTCTCATAGCCATCGTGGGACCATAATTCGGGCTCATTCCGGCCACTATCGTATCGCTGCGAGGCGAGGTCAACATACTGTGAGGGGTCGTCGGACTTCATATAATTGAGCAACAAACGCAATATATTTGTGTCTGGCCCTACTTTCTGCAGCCTGATGTCTGGCCGACTAGGTCCCAGCGCCCATTTATGCCGGACGCTTTCACATGAACTTAGGTACGGCGTGGTACGGTACCGTAGGTATTCACTAGGCCTATTCTATCCGGGTATCTAACCAAGATAAATGAGACTAGGATAGTGAAGCTAAGATAAAATTTGGGAGATTTATAAGTGGAAAAGAGGCCGTTGCTAGGATAGCGCCAAAACAAACCAAGGGACTCGGAGGGTGGGCGGGCCAAAAATTCTCAGACTCTGGCCCGGCCCGGGCAGGCTTGCTCCTTTGTCCTGCGCTCTCACAATCGGAGCGCTATGGGACACGAGCAAGTATAAGAAAGTATCTTGCAGCGAGCCACTAGGTGTGACGATATTGCTGCTAGGATACCAAACATAGCTGACAGACCTGAGTCAGCCTTACATAGGTTCGGGATTGCTACTCGGCTCTATCGATACAAAAAAAAAAGGGGAGGCAGCCCAAAAAATGAGGGGCGTCGCCGCCACCATCCTCCTGCTGCGAGGCTGCGTGGTACGATGCTTCGAGGAGTACCTCGAGATGGGCACGCCGTGGATGGCGCGGGCCGGCGCGCCCGACGCGGCGTGCGCGGCAGCGGCGCCGCGGCCCCTGCCCAAGAGCCTGCGCAAGCGCCTGGCGTTCTTCGCGTTCGTCACGATGGACGAACCGGCCATGCTGGCGCACTGGGTCGCGTGGTACGAGGCGCTGGGGGTCGACCTCCGCAGCCCCGCGCGGACGCGCGTCTGGGTGCACGTGCCGCGCGGCGAGGCCGGGGCGCCGCGCGCGAAAGCCACCATGGCCGTGCTCGCCCGCGTCGCGGGCGTGAACGCGACCGAGACGTACTCGTCTCCCGTCAAGCAGGCGCTCGCCAACGCGTTCATGGACTCGCTGCCCCGCGACGCGCTCCTCGTCTACCCCGACAGCGACGAGTTCTTCGCGTACCCCTGCGACGTCGAGGCCGTCGTCGCGCGCGACGGGGCGGTCCACGGCCACATGGTGGAGCGCATCGCCGCGAACTGGGAGTTCAGGGACGTCGTCGCGCCGGGCGCCGGCGCGCCGGCGCTCCCGGCGCAGTTTCCGCTTCAGTGCCGCGTGACGGGACGCCACCTCCAGGCGAATCACTTCAAGCAAATGCTCACGCCGATGGTGGACCGCGACGGCCTCCGCGTCCGCTACCGGTCGTCGCACAACCTCTACTGCGTCAACCTCCGGTCCAAGGACCGGCGCGCCAAGCACTGCGCGCCCGCGGGCAACCGGAGCTACCCCTTCGCGCACTATCGGTTCACCCGCCGCGCCTACGACCTCGCGCGGCGGAAGCGCGACGTCTACGGCAAGATCCTCGCGGGCGGCGAGACGGCCGAGACGCGCGTCGCGGCCCGCGTCTTCCTCTTTCGGCGGGGCGCGCCAGGACAGGCGCCCGCGCAGGTCGCCGCGCGCCAAGACGCGGAGTTCCTGCGGGCCGAGAAGAGTCTCTTGAACCAGACCTGGGCCTACGTCGCGCGCGGCGGCGCCCCCGGCCGTGCGGAACTCAACCGATGAGTCGGGCGCACTTCAAGAAACTCGCGTCTCGGCGACGACGCGGCCGCGCTGGCTGCCCCGAGCGGTAAGCGACCCGCACCGCCGCGCCGTCGAGCAGATAACTTACGCGATGATTCAGCACGACGGCGCCCCCACATTTGATTTCCGCCCAGGCCCCCGTCACGGCGAAGACGCTCGAGGCGTGGAACGCGCGGCGGGCGGGCGACGACAAGCGACTGCGCGTGGCGAACAACAAGAATCCGACCGTCGCGGGGCTCGCGGCGCGCGGCGCGGCGCTCCGCGATTCCTTCGCGGGCCTGGACGGCGACGGCGACGGCGTTCTCGCGAGAAGCGAGTTCTTCAAGGCGGCGGCGGCGCACGTCGACCTGCGCCTGCAGGCGCTCCGCGCGCAGCGCGCCGCCAAGGCGAGGTTCCAGTTCGACATGTACGCGCGCCTGGGCAAGGAGGCGGAGAAGACGGCCCGCGGCGTCTTCGTCAAGGAGCCAAAGCGCCACTTGTACGCGTGCGACGACGGCCGCGGCGACGCGGCGCCCGAGCCCGGGTGCTGGGACGGGTGCGACGAGGGCGAGGACGTCGTCGCCCTGTACGTCGTCGTCTCGGCGGACGACCATCTCGCGCTGTTGCCGCACTTTTTGGCGCACTGGATCGGCGAGTTGGGCGTGCGCGCGGCGAACGTGCTCGTCGACGTGAATTCGAACGCACCGACGACGGCGACGCGGCGCGGGGCGCTGGATCCGATCCACGCGGTCCTGCGCGCCGCCGGCGTCCCCGCGGCGAACGTCTTCAACTGGACCACGACGAACTTTACGAGCGCGGAGAAACGGCGGCGATTCGACCGCGTGCTCAAGGTGCCGGCGTTCCTTGAAGCGCGCCTCGCGGCCACGCCGGGCCGCGGCGGCTGGATCGCGCTGGCCGACGTCGACGAGTTTCCGATCCTGCCGAGCCCCCTCGGCGGGGGCGCGCCGTCGAGGACCCTCGCCGCGCACCTGACGAAGCTGGCCGCGGGCGGCTTCACCGTCCTGGCCGGCTACACCGTCGACCGGAGTCGGAAGGGCGGGTCGCTCGAGGCCCCGCGGGCCGCGCCGTCCATCTGGAAACAGTTTCCCGTGCGATCGGCGATCACGGCGCGGTGCGCGGAGTGCCGAGCCAACAAGGCCGTCGCGTACCGGCGCTTCGGCAGCCCCCAGACGGCGTGGAACTCGGACAAGGGCGGGCACCACGCCGAACACTTCACGTTGCCGTCCGCGCGCTGCGAGGCCGTCGAGCGGTGGGCCGAAGTCGCGCACTTCAAGTGGTGGGGCGACCTCGACAGCTACCTGGCGAAGCGGGTGACGGACGCGGGTCGCGTCGCCAAGGCCACGCAGGAGATGCTCGACGTTCTCGGCGCGGCCGAGAGCCGGACCGCGCGCGCGGCGCGGCTCGACGTCAAGCCGTACGCGCTGGGCCAGGAGCGGCGACCCGTCGAGGTCATGCGCGCCGAGTTCGCCGAGACCCCCGACAAGATCCCGACGTGCCTCGGCGCGCCCACGACGCAGTCGCTCAAGGCGCATCTCAAGGCGACGGCGCGCGCGTCGGGCGTCGTGCCGTTCCACCCACCGCGCGCGGCGCGGCCCAAGCCGGCCGACGGCGACACCGACGCGTGGTGGCTCGCGCTGACGCGAGCCGTCGCCCGCTACTGCCGGTGCCGCGGCTACGAGCGAAAGATCTCGAACGTGCCCGCCGCGTGCGTCCGCGGCCTGTCGCCTCCGACGAAACCGCCGCGCCTGTCCGTGGCCGTGCTGTCGTACCTCCCGTCCGAGGTATCGCGCCTTCGCGCGACCGCGTGCCACTACGCGAGCCTCGGCGCCGTCGTCGGGAAGGTGCTGGTCCAGTGGAACGGTCCGGCGCCCGCGCCGGTGATCGACTGTGCGCACGTTCCCCCAGACAAGGGCGACCCAAAGTTCTCGGTCGACGTCGAGGTCGTCGCGTTCGAGCGCAACACGTTGCTCAACCGCTACGCGTCTCCGGAGAAGCTTTCCCAGTTTCCCGCGGTCCTGCTCCAGGACGACGACGTCCGCTACTCGCGCAAGGCGCTTCGCGCGTTCTCGGCCGTCCACGTGCTCTTCCCCGACGCCGTCCTCGGCCTCCAGGGGCGCATCGCCCTCTACAGCGACGTGGCGCCCGGCTTCTACGCGAACCCGGACCGCAAGGGTGGGAACCTCGTGGAGTACCAGTACAACATGCTCACGGGAAAAACGTCCGTCGTCTCCCCGGACACCGTCGCCGCGTTCGCGACCGCCGTCCCGGCGGCGTCGCGGCGGTTCATCGACGACGGCCACCGCCCGACGTGCGAAGACATGACGCTTCACTGGCTGCACGCGACGCGGCACCCGCGCACGCCCCCGATCTGGCTCGAGCTCCCGACCAAGGACGCGCTCGACCTCGACACGGTCGCGGTCAACGGCTCGCAGTCGGGCGAGATGCACCTCGACGTGAAGAACTGGACTGTGTGGAATTCGAACGTCGGACGCCCACGCCATCGACGCGACGTGGTTACTCGACTCACTGGTCGATGTCACACAGGAACTGGACCGAGCTGCGCGGAGCCTGCGTCGACCGGCTCGCCGACGAATTCGGGACCTACCCCTTGACGCGCTCCGTGTGCCGCCTGGAACTGCGGCCGGCGAGGACGGGTCGTCGATCAGCGTCGCCCGGTGTCTAGTCCCCGGCTTGATTGTGTGTGCTCGTGAGCCGGTTATATCATATAAGGAGGGTACCGCGTGACAGCTTTTTTAAACAGTTAATAATTGTTTCATCAACCTTAACCAGGCGGTGTGGTGGATGAAGCGATTGTGCTATGATACCCTAGTTACGTATACGGATGGTTCCTCTCCGGTACTAATGATGGATATTACTAGTGGAACTTCTAGTGGAGCCGAGTGCTTTGTATCCTAGGATACCCCCCTCCCCTTCTTAATCCCTGCCGCGCGCGCTCCGGTGTAGAAAACCTAAACTCACTTATTCGGTGAACACCCAGCATCGTTTGGAAGAATTTCCTCTCAGGCTGTTTTAATCACGCGTTGCTAGGAGCACGGCAGTGCTTTGCACTGATTCCCTAGTTGCCAGACCCCGTGGTACTAAAATACGGAGAGAGGTTGTGCTCATACGCGTTCTTAATAGTCTAGGAGGGAATAGGGACTACTAGGGTAAGGATAGGGGTATTTTTCTAGCACGCGTCCCGGCCGGTCCTCGGAGCTAGGCGGCCCGCTGTACGTTATAAGTACTAGAGCTTCCCCCTCTCTCTTACGCGAAATTGAAAGGGATGCGCGCCTACCGAGAACCGAGGAGGTCGCGGAGACGGCCGAGCAGCGCGGGTCGCCGGGGCGACGGCGGTGCGCGGGGCGGCTCGATCACCTTCCGGGGTCGGCGTCTGACGCGCCTCGCGGCAATGCTCGTCGTCGACTCGCGGATGTGTGGGTACAGCGCGTCGTCCATGAGCGGCGTCAGGCAGCGACGGAGCGAGTTGTAGATGGCTGGGAAGAGCTGTTCCTCGCGCGCCAGCATTTTCTTCACGCGCGCGCGCTCCTTGGGTTCCTCGAAGCACGCCGGGCAGTTCTCGTTGATCACGGGCAGGCCCGCGTCGCGGGCGAAGGCCCGCGTCACGTGTTCCCGCACGTACACCAACGGCCGGATGACGGTGACGCCGCGCTCGGCGACGTACTTGGCGCGCATCGTCCGGAGCTGGCCGTTGTGCAGCGCGCCCATGACGAACGACTCGGCGAGGTCGTCGAGGTGCTGCGCCAGCGCGAGCACGTTGTAGCCCTCGCGCGCCGCGCACGTGTACAGCGCGCCGCGCTTCATGCGCGCGCAGTACGCGCAGAGCGACGTCGGCTTCACCGCGCCCGCGTAGTCGACGATGTGGTCGCGGAGGTAAAAGTACGGCACGCCGAGGGCGCGGACGTACGGGATCAGTGGGCTCGGATCGAACGACGGCGTCACGGGGTCGACCGTCGCGCACGCGAGCTCGAACCGGATGGGGGCGCGCTTCTGCAGGGCGAGGAGCGCGTGCAGCAGGCTCAGCGAGTCCTTGCCGCCGGAGAGACCCAGGAGCACGCGATCGCCGTCTTTGATGAGCGCGAAATCCCGCGTCGCCTCACCTATCGCCCGCATAAGCTTCTTCGGCGGCGTCTTCGCGGCGGCGACCGGCGCCCGGGTCGCCGCCGGCGGCGCCGGCCGAGGCGGAGACGGCGGCCGAGGCGGAGACGGCGGCGGAGATGGGACCGCCGCCGCGCCGGCGGCGGCGAAGACCGTCGCGTCCCGGTCCGTCGCGACGCCGCGGAGCCCCTTTTTGGCCTCGCCGTCGCGGCGCGGCCCGACGCGGCCGTCGTCGCGAAAGGGTGCCGCGAACGGACCGGCGTCCGGCGGTCGGAGCGGGCCGCGGGCGTCGCCCGCGTCGGGCGGCCAGCGCAGCGCCCCGGTCCGGAGCCGCGCCGCCGCCTCGGCGGGCGTCGCGTACCAGCGGAGCGGCTCGGCTTCGTCGTCGGCCGCGAGGCCCTCGTCGCCGCAGTCCAGCAAGAACGACTTCCCGTCCCGGAGCAGCCCTTCAAAGTCGGGCCTTTGCGCCGGCGGCGTCGGCCGCGCGTCGGTCCGGAAGTCGAAGGCCCCGAGCCAGCGCCGCGCGTCGCCGAGCGGTTTCGAGAAGCGGCTCCGGTGGCGCCACTCGCCCGTCCGAGCCTCGGCGCGGTAAAGCGGCAGCGCGCGCCAGCCCAGCTCGGCGACGAGCGCGACGGCCTTGAGGACGTACTCGACCTCTTCGTCCGAGTGCCACGCGGCGGTCGCGCCGATCGAGACCTGCGCGGGGGAACGGAATCACCGCGGCCGGACCGAGGCGCCTCGACGGCCGCGTCCACCCGCGCGTCCGTCGCGTTTCAAGGCCCCGCGGACGTTTCGTGCCGACGCAGCCCGCGACGCGAGCGAAGCCCGGTCGCAAGAGCTCGCGGTCGGTGCGCTTCGTGAGCAGCGCGCTCTGGACGGCGTCGCTGGCGCTTCGCGTCAAGCCCAGCAAGTCGTGAGCGTACGGCCCGGCGCACTGGCAGCCGCCGCGCGCCTGGACGCCGAAGAGGTCGTTTAGGAGCTGGCAGACGAAATTGTGGTGGAGCCAGGCCGGCCCGCAGCGCACGAGGAGGCTCAGTATCGGCGCGCCGGCGCCGGCGCCGCCGAGGACGACGAGGACGCCCCGCGGCGCGAGCGCCCGCAGCCGCGCCACGACGGCGGCCCGGTCCCGGTCCGGCGCGCGCGCGCACGCGCGCGCCGTCGCGGTCGCGAGCGCCAGGCGGCTCGCGCCGACGACGTCGGGCGTCCCGCCCTGCTCGCGCTCGACGCGATTGCTGAGGAAGCGGTGTCCGTGCGGCGAGGCGAAGAACACGGTGCCGCCGCCCGGCTCGGCCGGCGCGCGATCGCGGCGGATCAGCTCCTTGCGCAGGACGAGCACGCCCGGCGCGCCGACGCCGCCGGGCAGCTTGTGGCCCGAAAACACCAGCGCGTCGGCCGAGACGCCGCCGGCGAAGTGGAGTCTCGGCGGGTGGTGCGCGGCGGCGGTCGCCCAGTCGAAGACGGCCAGGGCCCGCCCTCGTTTGAGACGCTCCGCGACGGCGCCGACGTCCGTCCGAATGCCGGTCACGTTCGACGTCGCCGAGAAGCACCCGACGACGCGCCCGTCCGACGCGGCTCCGGCGTGGCGCGCCAGCATTTCGGCGAGGGCGTCGAGGTCCACGGCGCCGTCCCTCGCCGGCGCTCGCTCGACGACCGCGCCCGCCTCGCGCCACGGCAGCGTGTTCGAGTGATGCTCGAAGGGCCCGACGACGGCCACCCACCCCGCGTCGACGCCCAGGATCCGCACGAGCCGGTTCGTCGCCGCGGTCGCGCCGTGGCCGCAGAACAGCACGACGTCCGACGCCGCCTTGCCGTGCGTCCGCGCGCCGCAGAACTCGCCGACGCGCGCGCGCGCCTCGGCGACGAAGGACGACGCTTGCGCGCCGCACGTCGACGCGGCGGTGTGCGTGTTGCCGTACGCCGGCAGCACCTCGCGCGCCAGGAAGGCCTCGACGGGCGCCAGCGCGCGCGCCGACGCGGTCCAGTCCGCGTACACCAGCGGCTTGACGCCCAGCGGCGTCGAGATCGGCGCGTGGCGGCCGATCTGGGCCGCCAGGAGCTGCTCCGCCGTCGCGCCGGCCGGCGAGCCATGTGTCGGTTCGTCGTGCACGGCTTCGCCGAGCGCGAACGCGCGATGTGCCGGTTCGTCGGGGTATGTAGCACTCATTTGCGATGACGCTCCTTTGCGCGTACCGTAGGTAGGTACCTACGGTACCTACCTACGGTACCGTAGGTACCGCAGTATAAATAAATAAATAAATAAATAAATAAATAAATTAAGGAAGACCTAAAAAAGGAACAAGCTCCTAGGAGCCTTCTCCCCGCTCGGTCAGGATGCCCAACCGGAGCTTCGAAATAGCAATGAGATAACGATACAACGGATTTTCAATCTCCCGGGGCAACTTATCCCCCAACGACGCCTCGAGGCGACGCGCAATATCGTCGATGAAAACCGCGTACAGGACGGGACTCAACACGGCCCCTTCACGTAGGCCGTGGCCCACCGTGTATTCGGCGGACTCGGCGCCGTCCACCACGACCTTCGAGCGGCAATTCTCCGTTCGAAGCATCGTGGCTACGGCTGAGAAGAGCTTCGGGCGGTGATTCTCCGAACCGCCAGGCGCGGCCGCCAATTTCGCGTAAAGACGTTCCAACATCGCGGCGCGGCGGCACGTGGGGTAGGCCTTCCGGACGTCGAGAAACGCCACGTAGGTCTTCTTCCCGCGGCGTGCGTTCGATTTTATAAGTTCCGACAGGACCCAACTCTGGTGCTGACAGCTCCGTCCGCGACGGAAGCCACCCTGAAATTGCGATAGCAGATGGTCGCCGCGGCGGTCGCAGCCGTCTAACAGGCACGACAGACGGTTCGCGAGGACCGATTCGTACAATTTACCCACAACGGAGAGGAGCGAGATCAACCGGTAATTTTTCCACGAATGTCTGTCGCCCTTCTTGAATAGTGTTTTTACGAGCGCAATTTGCCAATCGGCAGGGTTTCGCGATTCGCGGAGGCACTGACTGAAGATGATGGCGATACATGGACAAGTCTAGAGGACAAGTCGGGCCAAACTGCCGACGTTTACAACTGCTGCTCCGGACCCACCGGTCCGGGGGGACACACGCGCTACAGATAGGCCCCGAGAAGCAGGGAGTCCCACTTTATTACAATTCTTAGTACGGGCGCCAGGGGGGGGGGAGTGAATCAGGCCCACGTGTTTGAACGGGCGAGTCGGTGCTTGGAGAGGCGCGCGACGTCCTCGCGGTACTGCTGGACGTGCTGCTTCTCGGCGGCGAGCTGGAGGGCCATGCGCTGGACCTCCGACTGGAGCTCGGGATGCTGGAGCGCCGCGGCGGCCGTCGGGCGCCACGCCGGGTTCGGGTGGACGAGGCCCGCGATGACGTCCCGGAGGTCGCGCGGGACCGTCGCCGGGAACGCCGCCGCGCCGTCGCGGAGCGCGTGCCACGCGGGCCCGTTGGCCGCGAGCGGCGCGCGGCGCACGAGCTCGAACGCGGTCGCGCCGAGCGAGAAGACGTCGCACTTGGTCAGGTCGCGCGGACCGGATCTGCCGCCGGACATGAAATCGTCGTCGTCGAGCAGCTCCTTGCTCATGTAGCGCGCGTCGCCCTCGACGACGTCGCCGCGCGCGCGCGCGGTCGTCGCGAGGCCAAAGTCGCCCAGTTTGTAGCAGTCCTCGCCTGCGTGACACGCGCGTCGTCCGAGGCGCGCCCCCCGCGCGCGCTCGCCCCCCGGCCCCGGGCGGGGGGCGAGACCGCGGCAACACGACTTCCGCGCGGGTCCTCGCCCTTGACGAAGATGTTGCCCGGCTTGAGGTCGAGGTGGACCAGACCGCGCGCGTGGAGCAGCTCGAGCGCGAGGAGCATCTGCCGGAGGAAGCCCCAGACCGCCGGGGGCGTCGGCAGGAAGCGGCCGCGGCGGACGCGGCTCTCCAGCGACGCGTCGCACAGCTCCGTCTGAATGTACAGCCGCTCGTCCTCGATCCAGGCTTGGTAGTAGCGCACGATGTGCCGCAGGCCCTCGGCGCCCTCGTCGCGCGCGGAGAGGGCGGCCAACGCGAAGACCTCCTTGAGCGTCCGGTCGCGGTGCAGCTGGCCGCGGAACTGCGCCTGCGCGGGCGTTCGAAGGTTCGGGCGGCGCCTCGTTTCCGACGTCTCGCGCGGGGCCGCGCGTGCGTCGACTTGACCGCGTAGAGGCAGCCGTCGATGCGCGACCGGACCTTGCGCACGGTCCCGAACGACCCGGCGCCGATCTCGCGCACGACCTCGAAGTCGTTGCGGAAGCGCGACGAGGCGTCGGCCGCCGCGTCGCGGCGGGCGCCGGCGGCGCCGCGCCGCGGCGCCGCGGGCGCCGCGAGCGCCGGCTTGAGGCCGCCGTCGAAGGTCCACGACCCGCTGTTCGTGTCGATCGAGTCGCAGCGGTTCAGGTCGCGGGGGGCGAAGGGGTTCACGTTCGCCGGCGGCGGCGCGTCGCGCGCCTCGCGCCCGGGGCCGCCCTCGCGCCGGCCGAAGAGGCTCCGCGCGGGCCCCGCGCCGCCGTCGCGCGGCACGCGCAGCGAGAAGCCCCCGCACTCGTCGTCGTCCGACGCCGCGCCCGCGCTCGCGTCGCTGTCGACGCCGTCCGTCGCCGTCGAGGCGCGCGAGGCGGGCGTCCCCTTGTCGCGCGGCGTCGCGAGCTTGTTCCGCTTGAGCGGCCGCGTCGCGAGCGGCGAGCTCATGCGCGCGTCGCCCTCGTCGTCCATCGAGAGGCCGCCAAACCCCAGCTTCGCTTGCGGGTAAAAGTCCGCCGCGGGAGGAGGCTGTTCCTCGGCCGGCGAACCGGGCACGGGGGAGAGGAACATGGTGGTGGACGCGCCGGCTGCGCGAGTGCCTGGCTTATTAGGGCACAGCGTAGCCCACCGTTCGCGCACGTTTGAGTTAAGGCGCGAAATTATCGGTCAACGCTAGCTCAACGCACTAGCATTAACAGGCTTACGGTATCGCCGTGGCATCCATTGAACCCATTAGTTCCGTTCCAACGAGTTATTGTCAAGGGCCGTCTGGGCGGGTCGGAGCTCTCGCTCCCCGCTTCAGGATTGCTCGGCCTGGTGTGCGAGGGCATCTCTCTCACCACTTGATTTCCGGCTCGTCGTAAAAGAGGAGCCAGCGGCCAGTTCCACATCCTGATGGGGGGCGTCCCGAAAGAGGGGGGGCGTGCGAGTCCCTGTGACTCAGCCCTTGCGTCCTAGTCCAGCCGGACGGGTGGGCCCGGGGGGAGCGGGAGGGGTACGGGGAACCCTGCGACGTAACTAGCCTGAGCCTAATAGAGCTACTAGAAACGGGCACGGAGGACACCAATGGTCCACATCACAGCGCTCGCGCTTTTCCACGCCGCGCCCCCCCCCCGGCTTCCCAGGAGCGATGGCATGGAGCCCTCCCCACGCATGCGCCCCTGACATCATGGGGAATTCTCGGCGGCGTCCCCCCACGGTCGACTAGACCGCTGGTTGATAGTGAGACGACCCTCGCGAACTCGGGCCGCCCAAGGCGGTACTGGGCTTAGGCGCGCGGGCGGCTAGCGCGCTACTTTAGGGAGCCGTCGGTCCGGGCGGCGGCGACGGGACCGGGACGAGCGCCGCGGCCTCGAGCGTGCCGCCGCGGCCGCAGACGGCGTCGCGGCACGCGCGGTGCACGACGGCGTCGGTGCCGTCGTCGACCGGCACCGAGACGGCGGCGGCGAGGACCCATTCGCCGGCGGTCGCGTCCCAGGCGACGTCGAAGGCCTCGCCGCAGACGCGGCAGGGCGTCGGCGCCGCGTCGTCGGGCACGACGACGCGCGCGCACCCGTCGTCGGCGTCGTCCGGGGCCAGGGCGTCCGTCCCGTCGGCGGCGTCCGGGGCCAGGGCGTCGTCCGGGGCGGCGGCCGCCTCGGCGGTCCCGTCCGCGAGCCAGGCCGCGCGCGCGGGGTTCCAGGGCCGGCTCGTCGCGCCGCGCGCGCGCTCGGCGCGCGCCTGGTTCCGCGCGAAGACGACGTCCAGCCAGGCGTCGCGCGCCGCGGCGTCCATGAAGCGCCGCGCGTCGGCGGAGCACTGTTCGGGCCACGCCGCGTAGAGCGCGTCGACGGCGCCGGCGTTCGGCGCCGCCGCGAGCGCCTCCGTCGAGAGCTCGTAGACCCCCGGCATCGACGGCGTCGGCCGCGGGACGTACCGCGGCTGCGCGGCGGCGACGGCGCCGACGCGCGCCACGTCGCCGCCGTCGACCGCGGCGCGCGGCTCCGGGGCGTCGGCGGGCGCCGCCGAAGCGCGCGCGCGGGCCCGGGCCCGGGCGGTTCTGGCGTCGTCGTCCGCCGCGCGGCGTTTTTCGAGCTCGTCGCGGAATTGCTCGGCGACGCGGCGGGCGCCGGCCGACAGCTCCGGCGTCGTCGGCGTCGGCGCCTCGCCGCGGCGGTACGCGGCGCCGCGCGCCGCGAGGCCGCCGATCAAATCGTCGCCGTGGCGCCGGACGGCCTCGAGCGCGGCGACGACGTCGGCCCCGAGGCCGACCGGCGCGCCGTCGGGCGCCGCCGCGGGCGCGGGCGCCGCGGCGGCGGCGATCGCGCGGCGTCCCGGCGCGCGCGCGCGCGCGGCCGTGCGGATCTCGGCCTGCGCGCGGAGACGGGTGGCGCGTGACGACGGAGACCGTTCCGAGGGACGCGGATCGCGCGCGGCGGCCTCGGCGAGGAGTTTCGCGTGGATCTCGGGCTGGGACGCCTTGAGCTCCTCGAGCGTCATGGGGTTGGCTTCGCCGAGCGAGCGCTGGAGCTGGTCCAGCTTCGCGCGCGCGGCCGCCGTCAGCGGGTCGTCGTCGCCGGCGGGCGCGGCCGCCGCGGACCGCGCGCGCTTCGCGGGGGGCTCGCCGCCGGCGGGAAAGCGCGCGAACGACGGGAGCGCGACCTCGTGCCCGGCCGTCGCCCGATGCGCGTGCGTCATGAGGCTCGCGGCCGCGCGCGCGGCGGCCGACGCGCCGGCCAGCGTGGCGTCGCCGCCGGCGAGGCGCCGCGGCGCCAGCTGCGCGCCGGCGCGCGCGGCGGCGCGCGCGCGCGGCGCCGGCGCGCGCGCGGTCGGCGGTCCCGTCGCCGGCGGCGGCGGCGCGACGCGCGCGGCGCGGCGCCGCGCCTCCTCGCGGTCCGCGACCCTCTGTGCGGCGAGCTGCGCCTGCGACGGCGCGGCCCGCGCCGCGGCCGGGCCCGCCGCCGCGTCGGCCGCCGACGCGCGCGCCACGAGAGCCGCGTGCCACGGCGCGACGAGCGCGTTGAGTTCGTCGAGGTGCTCGGCGAAGATGCCTGCGCGCCGGGCGCGATCGGCCCCCCGCCCGCGGTCGGATCGGAGCGGGAAAAAGAGGAAGGCGGCGTCCGCGCCGCCGCCGCGCTCTTTTCGTTCCAGGTCCGGAGCACGTGGTGCAGGCGCGTCTTGTCCTTCTCCGCGCACGCGGCGAACGCGCGCCCGAACGCGGCCCGGACCCGCACGCTCAGGAGGGGCTGGAACACGTCCCCGACGTTCTTCACGACCGAGTCCAGCGCGTAGAAGAGCGGCACGCGCCGCTCCGCGGCCGTCGCGCCGTTCTCTCCGTCGTCGAGCACGTCCATGATCGCGGCACACATGCGCTCCGCCAGGGCCTGGCCGCCGGTCCGGAGCCCCAAGCGACCGCACTCCGTGATCTGGTGGATCAAATCGCGGTCCGGGAAGCCGCCGAGGCGGACGATCAGCTTCTCTAGGCGCGCGACCTGCTGGTCTGGGTCCATGCCTTCAATCTCTACTCCAATCTCTAGCCTCGCTTTTGCGCGCCGCGCGACGGGTTTTTTACCTCGACCTGCGCAGGTTATTTCGCGAGACATGTATACATGTTTCGTGCCTGACATATTATTATATATAATTGCGATTATTCGAGTATAATTCCATATATTTCGCAGGTATAATAGTAAAAAAAAATTGTACTCCTAAATTACCCGAGCCGCCGCCGCGGGCGCGGCGCGGACGCAAAGCCCTTCGACGAGTCCCACTGCTTCTCACGCGCGAACCGGCTACTGCGGGAGGAGCTCGGCTACAACGAGGGCATCGGTTGGAGCCTCGAGTGATAGGTCTCGGCTTCGTCGCGCGCGCGATCGGCCCGGGGCCGAGCCTCGGAGGGGGCCGCGACGTGCTTAACGTCGATTATCACTCGTAGTATCTCGAAACGCTACTACTAGTCGACGCAGCCCAATCAAAGCCCGGCATGAAACCCATCAGTAAAACTTATACGTACATACCAGTGAAAGAACGGCCGCCAGTTTACCTATGGTACCTAGCCTGAGGTACGGTAACACAGGCATATGTGCCGGGGCACTCAGCTAATTACTATCACGTCGCCCAGAACTGCGCTCGCGCGGCTCCCGCTAGATCCTTGGCCTCGCGCTTGGCCGCCCGAAGCGGGTACCAAATCTGAGGCATGGACAGCGACGAGGAAGCCGCGCAGGCCGCCGACTTCGTCCGCAACAACAAGGAGCGGCGGCGGAGCCGGCTCGACGACGTGAGCTTCGACGACGACGGCAAGACCCGTGACTCGGCGGGGGCGCGGGCCAGCGACCGGCGGCGCGCCGTCGCGGCGCGGCCGCCCGCGGGAGGACGCGGCGCCGACCGCTGGGCCGGGCAGGCCGACAGCGACGAAGAGAGCCGCGACGGCGCCGCGCAGCCGCCGGCCAAACGGGCGCGCGTCGGCGCGCCGGCCCGGAGGTCCCCCCACTTCAGCTCCGGCGGCCGAGACGCGGCGGACGCGATCGATGTCGACGACGAGCCCCGCGGAACCCCGGAGGTCGTCGAGGTCGACGACGGCCGCGCCCGCGCACCCGCGCCGCGAGCCGGCCGCTTCCGCGCGCCGGAGCGCCGATCGACGCGGCGCCTCGAGGAGCCTCCGGCGCCGCCGCGCCGGAACCCGCGCCGCGGCGAGGAGCGGGTCATGCTCCGATGCCGCCGCGTCTACTTCGGCACGGCCCTGCGGCGCGACGTCACGGTCGTCTTCGCGCCGTCCTGCGTCACGATGGAGTGGCGGAGCGACACGTCCGGGCTCTACATCGAGACCAGGCTGGCGCCGTCCCACATGACCTCGTTCGACTTGTACCACGGCCCGGCGCGCGGCGCGGGCGGCGACGGCGAGGCCAACCCCATCAACCTCGCGGACGACGACGAAATGGCGCCGGATGCGATCCGCGAATTTTTCGCCATCGGCCTGCGCCAGAAGCCGCCGCACCTCCGCTCCGTGGAGGGCTTCGAGCCCACCGACGACGCGGGGCCGCGCAAGTACGTCGTCGTCGTCCTCGACGGCGAGGCCCTCGCGACCTTTAAGCGCGAGGCGGTGCCGGCCGTCGTCTGGGGCGGTCACGTCGGCTGGCCCGCCGCGCCCGTCCTCGGCACGGCGGCGGCGGCGCGGCCGTTCCTCGAGGGCGTTCCCATCGCCGACGCGCTCGCCGCCGCCGACGCCGCGGAGGACGCCGCGGCGTTGCGGCGGACGCCTTCCCGCGCGTCGCGCCGCGGCCGCGGCCGCGCCGCCCGGTCGGTCGTCGACGTCGAGGCCGAAGACCCGGACGCGGCGCTGCCCGCATTCGTGTACCCGCGGCCCGACGCGCCCGACGCCATCACGCTCGTCCGGGGCGACCGCGGGCGCCTCGACGACGGCGAGTTCCTCAACGACAATCTCATCAACCTCTACCTCCGGCACCGCACGAGCTCGGCGGAGGCGCCGCCCCTCGACGCTCACGTCTTCTCGACGTTCTTCTTCACCAAGCTGTCCGAGGCGCCGCGGCACGCCTCGGCCGAGGCCTACGAAAAGGTCAAGAGCTGGTGCCGCGGCGTCGACCTCTTCGCGAAGGACGCCCTCTTCGTCCCCGTCAACGAGCACCTCCACTGGTCGCTGGCGGTCGTGCTCCGGCCGGGCGCCGCCGCACCCCCGTCCGCCGTCGTCGACCTCGCGGCCTCGTCGGACGACGAGGCCGCCGCCGCCGCGGAACCCCCGACACCGGCCGGTCCGTGCGTCCTCGTCATGGACTCGCTCCGCTCGCACGACGCGGCCCGCATCGCCGCGTACGTCCGGTCCTTCCTCCGCGCCGCCTGGGCGGACCGCCCGGGAGCGCCGGGCTGCGACGGGCGCTTCGAGGAGGCGTCCATGCCCGTCGTCCTGCCGGACCTGCCCCGACAGCGCAACTCCTTCGACTGCGGCGTCTACGTCCTGAAGTTCTTCGACCTCCTCTACGGCCGGCCGCCCCCGGTACGCGCGGGCGGTCGCGACACGACGTTCAGCGGCCAATTCGCCAAGAACCTCTTCACCCGCGCGGACGTGCTCGCCGAGCGGAAGCGACTCGCCGCGTTCTTCGACACGCGCGCCGCCGCCGCCGCCGCTACCCTCCGCGCCCCGCCGCCGGCCGGGAACCGCGACGTCGCCGCCGACCTCGCGGCCGCGATGCCCGAGGCCCGGGCGCGCCAGCGGCGGGACGTCGCGAGGAGCGCGCCCTCTCCGGCGCCCGCCGCCGCCGTCGACCTCACCGCCGGGGCCGCTTTCGTCGTCCCGCCCGTGCGCCAGAGCTACAGGCGCCGCGCCCCTGACGACGACGCCGTTCCAACGCATAGATGATTCACACGTGTGTACTTAGTTCGTACTAGCGCCTGCCTAGGATCGAAACGGCACTGAACGTCGCACTGTCTTGGCCTTAGGAGGATCTTGTTTTTTCATGAGAGAAGGTCTCAGCCACCGCTTGAACTTCCTCTTGATGCCAGTGGGGGACGTTTTACCACGCGAGACTGAGAATACTCTATACAGGTACCTTAGTACTATTTCGAAGCTCCGGATGGGCATCCTGACCGAGCAGGGAGGAGGCTCTTAGGAGCTTGTTCCTTTTTTCGGTCTTCCTTAATTTATGTATTTATTTATTTGAGAGGAGGTCTTTTAGGAGCTCAGGCTTGTTTTCCTAATTGATTCCTATGGTAGCTTTTTCTTCGCGATTCACGTAAACATTCTGGAGCTTGCCCTCAGAGAGAATAAAATATTGCACAGTGCTGTACTGGAGGAGTAAGACTGAGAGAGATCACTGCATAGGGGACCGTGAAGGTGTTCTTACCTTTTTTGACGATGTCGAGCTAGAGTATCCTCGCCTCGCGGTGGACTGGGACTCAATTCGAAAGACTATATTAAGTGAAGACTTCAAGTTACCTTTTAAATTGGCGACAATCGGGCGGTGCCAGTGGGGGACCTTTGAGCAAATACCGCTAAAATTAGTTGGTAAAAATCCGCCCACCGTTCCGAGGCGCACCGCAGCGCAAGGAGCTCACATGAGGGAGAACTCCTCGAGCTTGGTCTGCTGGTCCGTGAGGGCGTCCACGTCGTGAATACGCCGTTCCACGTCGGCGGACTCGTCGAAGACGGCCTTGAAGTTCGCGTTGGCCTTGTCTCCGAATCGCGCGGGCCCCGCGCTCTGCACGACCGCGCCCGACGCGTCGGTCTCGAACGTCGCGATCTTGGCGTCGACGCCGAGGTCGCGGAGGGCCGCGTAGGCGACGTCGACGTTCGCCTGGGCGCAGGTGGCCGCGGCGCGGAGCGCGGTCTCGGCGCCCGCGTCGAGGATGGGCTGTTTGAACTCGGGCGAGCGCGCGACGAAGTTCCGGAGCGCGAGCGCGCCCTGGCGCTGGAGGGCCGCGTGGGCCGGGTGGGCGCCCATGGCGTGAATCACGAGGGAGGCGCCGTTGCGCCCCTCGACGATCAGCGTGCCGTTCTTGGGGCGCCGGAGGGCCATCATCGCCAGCGTCGCGACGACGTGCTCGCAGATGACGGCGTCGTCCCTCAGGAATCGTTCGAGGCACCCCAGAATCTCCTCGAGCGTGCCGTCCTTGCACATGGCGTCCTTGGCGTCGTCGTTGTTCGCCATGTTTCGGAGCAGGCCGACCAGGCGGCGGCACCGGTCGCGGCGCGTGCGGTTCCGCCGGAGCGCGTCGAGGCACGCCCGCGCGCCGCCGGCCTCGCGGATGCGTTTGACGGCGTCGTCGGACTTGGCGACCTGGCGCAGCGCGTCCAGCGCCGCCGTCGCCGCGTCCTCGCCGCCCTCGGCGTCCGCGAACGCCTCGAGCGCGGCGAGGAGCGCGTGGACGGCGCCGGCGTCGAGCGCGAGGCGGCTCGCGTCGTAGGTGCACGACGTGGCGGACCGCACGTCGTCCGCGGCGCAGAGCGCCGCGAGCGCCTGCGCCGCGGCGCCCGCGCCCGCCTCGTCGCGCGCCGCGGCGGCGGTCACGAGCGCCTCCACGGCCAGCCGCGCGAGCTTCAGGCGCATGAACGCGGCCTTGACGGCTTCGCACTGCCGCGCCGCCGCGGCCGCGACGCGGAGCGCCGCCGCGGCCGCGGCCGCGTCGGTTTTTACGCCGGCCTTGAGCGCCGCGACCGTCGCTTCGACGCAGCCGCCGTATTGGAACGCGTCCCGCGCGTCGGCGTCGCCCCGAACCGCGCGGTCCAGCGCCGCGAGCGTCGCCGCGAGCACGCCGGCGTCGCCGACCGCGTCGGTCGCCTCGTCGACGCAGGACCGCGCCAGGCGCGCGAGCGCCGAGAGCCCCTGCGCCGCGACGACCGTCGACCGCGCCGACGCGGCCGCGCGGCCGCGGCCCGCGGCGCAGAGCGTCGCCGCGCGCGCCAGCGCCTCGAGCAAGTCGGGCCGCGCGACGCCGCCCGCCGCCGCCTTTTTGACCAGCGCCACGTCCGCGAGGAGCGCCGCGCGCTCGGCCTTGCGCTCCTCGGAGCCGCTCACGTCGACCCCCGTGAGGTCGACGCCCTGGTGCTCGAACTGCTCGCGCGCCTCGCGCACGGCCTCGGCCGCGTCCATGTCGAAGTCCTCCACGTTCTCGCGCACGACCGCATCGAAGGTCTCCTGCGAGATCCGCCGCGTCGCGAACGTCGTCATGTTTGAACGCACTCTGTGTCACTAGCGGGCTGTGCGCCCTGGCGGGCGCCGGCACGCTGCCGAGGTAGAGCTAGGACACCCTCTTTACTTAGGCATCCCTAAGTAGCCTCTGGGCCGTACCATATTGTTGTGAAATTTCAACGCCGCGGCGTTTATACGAGTTGCGACGGACGCGACGCCCAATTCGTGCCAGACGGCGACCGAGCGCGAGGCCGTTTTCGCTTCCACACCGAGCAGGCGCCGATAAATGATGTTCAGCGCGACCTCGATGTCGTGGTGTTGGCTTTCCGGACACGACGACGAATCAGACCTCGCTATTTATGACGGAAACGGCGTCCGTTAGAGTACATGCCGCGAGGCGTGCCGTTTTTGCTTGCGAAAAGTACCTACTAGGGCGAGGTGCTACTAACGCGACATCAATCAACGCCGGGGGGTTCTGAGTGTCAATGAACGCGATAGTAAAACGCGATACTATCTGAACCCTGACTACTTGAGCCACCTTGTATGGTCTTAAGACCGCAACGAGGCAGCGAGCGCGGGCAGGGACGGACGAGAGCGGCGAACGGCATTCCCCCGGGCTCAGTAAGTCTCGTCGTACTTGGCGTCGTAGTCGTCGGCGCGAGGCGGGCGCGGCGCCCCCTGGACGTAGTCGCCCTCGGGACCCGTCACGGAGATGGCGCGCTGGCGCCCCGACTCGTCGAGCTCGACCTCGTACTCGACCTCTTCGCCCTCGGCGAGCGAGCGGAACCCACGCGCGTAGATCTGAGTCTGGTGAACAAAGACGTCGCCGCCGCCGCCGGCCTCGGGAGTGATGAAGCCGTAGCCCTTGACGGTGTTGAACCATTTCACCGTGCCCTGCATCTTGGCGCCGGCGGAGGCTTCGCTAGACATGGTCACCGCGAGCGAGCGGGCCCGTAGGGCCGGCGCAGCGCGGCGCGGCGCGGCCAGGGCGCGCGGCGCGAGACTGCGTGACGCGCGCAGCCCGAGGAACATCATCACGAGCTCCAATATATACATAAAGTGAGGCCCGATAGAGGGAGCGGCTCGCGCAAGCACACCAAGCCAAACAGAGGGCACGGCGAGGACAAAAAGCTCAAGGCTATATCGGTACCATAACAGTATGTGGTGCCCCATTTTGAGTGGCCGGGGTGGAGGGGGATGATCAACAGAGAAGTCAGTGTGCGCGAAAGGCCGGGCGACAATAAATAGTATAAAAATAAAATATTGTATTAATAATCACAGCGATTATGATCATTGTGCTACGACCGTCACGGTCACGGTGACCGTGACGAGGGGCACGTTCTGAGCAGATATTCCGACAGGCCGACCCGTCCCTTCTGGACCCATTTGCTCATGTTATAGAGGGTCGACATGCCCTTGAGGCCGTCGGCGAACTCGGACGACCGGCGCGATGCTACAAAATCATTGGCAATTTTTTTCGCGGCGGCTGCCTTCTTCAAAGGCTCGGGCCAGTAATTAAGGAAGGAATATCCCAAAGGAAAAAGGACATACACCAAGCCTCTACAGCCTTCTCCCTGCGTGCGCGGCTAGGTAGAGCGGCTAGGATACCCAGCCGGCGCTAGTACTTCTAGTAGTAGAACTTGAACCTGTACAGTCACCTAGCCCGGTAGCTCTAGGCCGCCGCCGCGAGCCGGGCGCTGGCTGCCGCGATCTCATCCTTCGTGTACAGGTGGAAGCCGGCCTCGGTGACGCGCGCGACGTCGACGTTGTCGTCGGTCAGCTTGTCCTCCATGACCTGCTTGAGCGTGGCGAGCGCGAGGCCCTCGGCCTCCGCGAGCGTCAGGGCCTCGCTGTAGGCCTCCTGCAAGTTCGACTGCGCGCCCTCGCCGCCAGAGCCCATGGCCTTGGCCTTGTACTCGGCGAACGTGCCCGACGGATCCGCGTAGTAGAGCTGCGGCCCGTCGACGGCGTCGTAGCCCGCCACGAGCAGCGCCACGCCGAACGGTCGCGACATTTTGGTCCCCTCGCCCTCGCCGTCCTCGCCGAACGAGAGCGCGAGGTCGCAGACCGCCTGCGTCAGCGCGCGCGTCTGCATCGGCTCGTCGTACGTGAAGCGGTGGTTCTGCGCCTCGACGCGCGCGTGGTCCACGAGCGTCCGCGCGTCGGCGATCAGACCGCTCATGGCGGCGCCGACGTGAGAGTCGACCTCCATGATCTTCTCGACCGAGTCCGCGTTCAGCAGCGGCGACGTGAGCCGCTTCTCGACGGCGAGGACCACGCCCTCCGCGGTCCTAATTCCGACCGCCGTCGAGCCGAGCTTGACGGCCTGGATCGCGTACTCCACCTGGAAGAGGCGGCCCTCGGGGCTGAAGGTGTTCACGCCCCGGTCGTACTCGCTCTTTGCCATGAACATGGTGGAGGAGTTGAAGTTCGTGTGTGCGCGGCCGACGAAGTGCGCAGCTCAACCAATTTCGCCCTGCTTGGCGCCACTCACGACAGCTCGAGTCTGCTCGACCGCGAGAAATCTAGTATGTATATGCTGGCCTAATCGAGGGGACATGGGGCAAATGGGTGGGAAGACGGGGGAATGGGGGGAGGTCCCGCTGGGGCAACTGTTCCTTATGATGTCACCGGGCTGCATGCAGCGCGGGGTGCAAATTGGACGGCGCCGCGCGGAGATATCGCTCAAAAACTCAAAAATAAAACCCGCACCGCCGCGGAGAGAAAAAAAAAACGTGCACGGGCCCCTAGCGCACTGGGAGGCGGTCGCACGCTCGCGCCCCCAGCAAGAAAAGTGAAGTCCGTACCCCTGGCCAGGTCCATGCCAATTTTGGGGGCTGCCCGCGGCGCTCACGGTGAGCAGCACGACCTCGAAATCGCCCTGGTCAAACACGTTCTACTACCTCTGAAGGTCTGCGCGGCTGCCCACGCGACGCGGGCTGCACATCTGACAGCATCTTCCCGACGCGTGGCCGTCCGGCGGCTCCACGCGTGCCCAGCGCAGTATCACGCGGGACGCGTCGTGTGACCTCAGGCCGTTTACGGGATGGTCGGTGGGGGTACGGATCGGCACTTCCTTTTATGGACGGTACTTCTTTTCTTCGTCTACCGTCGCGCGGCGACCGCAGTCCACGTCGACAGCCTCTGAAGTGCCGTCCGCCGCCTGCCTGTTGTGTGTTCCCTTGCTGATACGTTCCTAATACATCTATTCGAACATACTAGACCCCCAGGGCCCCGTCCCGCGTAACCCGTCCGTAAAAATAATGTAAATAAATAAGGGCCATAAATAATTAATAAAGGCGTTGATTTTTGTTAGGGGTTCGTAGATGCCAATCGAGCAACGCGAGTTGGGCATCTACTAGCCCCCACCCTCCACTGCAGGGCCTCCACGGCACCACGGCACCGGGGCGCGCCGGCGCGTACTACTAGTATTTGTTTTTAGGAAAATGCGGCGCATTTTTTTTACTCCGCCGCCGCCGCCGCGGCGGCGGCCTTGCGGACGTACCTCACCATGGGCTTGCCCTTGGGCCCGACGACCATGGCGGTGTAGTCGGGCTCGGGGAACTCCGAGACGATCTCCATGTCGTAGTTGCGGTTCAGCCACGAGAGGATGGTCTTGACCTGGCAGTAGCCGAACTGCTGCCCCATGCACTGGTGGATGCCGCCGCCGAAGCCGATGTGCGCGAAGGGCATCGCGTGCTCCTCGCGGCCGGGCGCGTAGCGGTCGGGGTCGAACGCGTCCGGGGCCGTCCAGCACGTCGCCAGGCGGCCCTGGATCGCGGGCGCCGCGAAGACGACGTCGCCCTTGGGGATGACGTACCGCGCGCCCGCGTCCGTCTCGATGGGCACGGCCCGCATGGCCTTTCGCATGAGCATGATGAGCGGCGGGTGCATGCGGAGGGCCTCCTTCATGCAGTTGTGGAGCAGCGCCATCTTGTTGAGGTCGTCGAAGACGAGCGGCGCGGCGGCGCCGCCGACGACGTCGGCCTGCTCGGCGCGCACGCGCGCGGCCAGCTTGTCGTCGGCGAGGATGTAGAGCTGCGTCCACGTCGACGTCACGCTCGACGTGTGCTGGCCGGCGAAGAGCAGGGCGATGAGCAGCCCCGTGATCTCGTCGTCGGTCGCCTTGGTGCCGTCCTTGTAGACCATGTCGACGAAGACCTGCAGGATGTCGGTGCGCGCCGCGGCCTGCTCCGGCGTCTGCCGCCGGCGCGCCTTGATCACGTCGCCGAAGAGCTCCACCATCTTCAGCCGCGCGGCGTCGCGCTTCCGGTGGCCCTCGACGGGCGCCGTCGGCCAGAAGAACGAGAGCGGCGTGATGCCCTTGTCGAGGTCGTGGTAGATCTCGCTGACCTGGGCGAAGAGATTCTCGCGCACGTCGTCGCCGTGGAGGCACCGCGAGGCCGTGAGGATCGTCAGCTCCGACAGCGTCACGAGGAGATCGGCCGTGCCGCTCTCGCCCCACTTCTCGGCGAAGTAGGCCTCCGTCTCCCGCAGAATCTTGGGCACGTACGACTTCAGCCGGTCCGCGCGCAGGCCGCGGCTCATGTTCACGTTCTGCGCCTTGCGCTTCGGCGGCGTCGCGTCGTAGACCACGCCTTTTCCGAAGACCTGCGTCATGAAGCCGTAGACCTCGGGCTGGCTGAACACGTCGTCGCGGTTCCGGAAGAACGGCGCGACGGTCTTGGGCCCCACGACGAACGTCAGGCATTTGGGACCCAGCGGCATCGAGAACGCGCCTGCGCCGGGGCGACGCACCGTCGCGGCGGCGCGCGCGACGCGATCACTCGCGCGGGCGCGCGCCGCCGTAGCGGTGGTAGTTCCGCTCGATGAAGTCGAGCGGCCCGCGCTTGCCCAGCGCAAAGCCGAGGAGGTTGCCCACGATCGGCTTGCCCTCGCGCACGACGGGGGGCGAGTCCCGCGGTCGCAGCCGGCCGGACGTCGCCAGCCAGCACGCGACGCCCACCACGAAAAGCGCGGCCGCGACAACGGCGAGCGCCATGGCGTCAAAACTTGTCGTACCTATAGCAGACATTACGTGGAGCCGGGAGGCTAGTTAGAGTACCGTACCGTAGGTATGTGCAGCCTCGTAGAGTGTTTTGATAGACACTCTATGTATAGACTCAAATTTGGAGAGTGGGAGATACATATCTAGGGTAGGATGGGCTAGAGGGTTTCTCTCTCCTAGGGCGCTCTTGCCGCTTTTAGGCATTCACCGTGACTTCAAAACACCGTCGGAGTGTACAATCACTACGGTGTAACAACAATTTGCTATAAAACACTCTCGTAGTTAGGTTGGCCCAGCCTTTGGCTGGTGAGCTAGGACCCTGCTACTTTACATAACGCTGCGACATACCATTCACTAGGCCTACTCTAATGTAGGGTTTTTGGGTATGTAGGCTTGCATTATTGGCAGCCACGACGGCTTCTTCCATTATTTTCCGCATCCACGTTGTATCTTTAGTTGTTGGGTTTGCACCTCTTGATTCTTCAAATGCTCGATTTAATTCACGCACTTCATCACCAAATTTTCTGGTGAGCCTTTCCTCCAACGCTTCACGGTCAGCTTCCAGCCGTTTGATTTGTTCTTCGTGTTTCTGTTGGAGCTGAGCTTGTGATTGTTCGATCGCGTTTTGAACGAGCCGGTTAAATTCTTCTTGATCCCGGCCATCGCTGGATATTCACTTTCTCCGCTCTTTTGGGGTGTTTTCTCTTTAGATTTCTTTTTGGGTGTTTTTCCTTGTTTAGGCATTCACTGTAAAACACTCTACGTCAATAGGCAGAACCCTGTGGGCCCATAACCTAGCAAGAGTAGTATGTCGCAGCGTTCAAGTTATGTAAGTAGCAGGGTCTTAGCTAACCAGCCTAGGGCTGATAGGCCTGACTGCGAGAGTGTTTTATAGTGAACTGTTGTTACACCGTAGTGCTTTTGACACTCGATGTATAGACTCAAATATTAGAGAGTGGGAGATACATATCTAGGGTAGGAAGGGCTAGTAGGTTTCTCTCTCTAGTACAAGTACCTACGGTACGCCCTACGCCTTACCGTAGGTACCACAGTACAAGCTATAGGCCTTTGCATCCGCAGTCCCGCGACCGCGAGAATCTGCCGCAGTAGGCCTCGCGGCGCGCGCGACCTCTGGAAGCGAGCCCCCGACTGCGGCTGCGGGCGATTTGCTTTGGCTCAGCTGCCCTGGCCCGCAAATGTCGGGCTCACCAGGCGCGAGCGACGAGGCGAAGCGGGTCGTCTACGCCTGCCTCGCGGCGCTCGACCTTCTCGAAGCGGGCGGCGAGCCGCTGCGGGAGAAGTACCCGGCGACGGGCGGCCTCGCGGCGGCGTTCTACGGGGCCCTGCGCGCCGTCCACGGCCCGCGCGCGGGCCGGCCGCGGCTGGCGTACCTCCTCGCGTGCGCCGAGGCGGCGCGGCGCGCGCTCGAGGACCTGCGCGAGAAGCGGAGCAATTTTTTCGGCGCCGAGTTCCGGGATCGCTCGCCGCTGTCGACCCTGAAGAACGTCGAGCGCAAGGTCCGCCAGCTCACCGCGTCGTCGTCCGAGGCGTCGTCGGCCGACGCGCGCGCGGCGGCGAGCTACGCCGGCGGCGCGCTCGGCGACGACGACGCGGAGGCGACCATCGCCGACGTGCCGACGAGGCTGCTCTGGATCGAGCGCTTCGGCCGGTACTCGACGGAGGTGCCCTGGCGCCAGTTCGCGCGCGCCGTCGTCGACGAGTTCGGCGAGCAACCGCGCGGCACCGTCGACGCGCTGCGGCCCGCGCTCGGCGTGACCGCGCGCAACGAGTTCGTGTCGATGGCGCGCCTCGGGCGCTTCGCGTCGCGCGGCGGGTTCTACGCCGCGTTCGTCGCGCTCTCGGACCCGGCGCGCGTCGTCTACGCCATGGGCACGGTCGACGACGACGCGAACGGCGGCGACGCGTCGCCGCAGCTCGTCGAGGGCCTGCTGGGCCTCCCCGTGGCGAGCGTCTGCTGCGGCGGCCAGCACGCGGCGGTCCTCACGCGCGACGGCGACGTCTACACGTGGGGCCGCGGCGGCTTTGGGCGGCTGGGCCACGGGGACGTGCGGTCGCTCAAGGCGCCGCGGCTCGTCCGGGGCGGCCTCGCCGGCGTCGTCTGCGCGCAGGTCGCGTGCGGCTTTGCGTACACGGCCGCCGTCTCGCGCGACGGCGCGCTCTACACGTGGGGGGCGGGGGAGAACGGGCGCCTGGGCCTGGGCGACGTCGACGACCGCCACGAGCCGTCCCTGGTCGAGGCGCTCTGGCCGCGGCGCCCGCTCAGGCGCGTGAACGCGGGCTCCGTCCACACCTGCGCGCTGGGCGTCGACGGCGTGGCGTACAGCTTCGGCAAGCACGAGTACACGGGCCACGGCGCGGCCGCGGACGTGCTCGCGCCGCGGCCGCTCGCGGGCGCGTTCGGCGGGCGCGCGGTCCGGGAGATCTCGGTCGGGCCCGGCGGCTACCACACCGTCGCGCTCGTCTCGCCGTCCGCGGCTGTGTGGCAATCAACCAGCGCGTCCGATTCGCCTGGGACTTTTTTGCGAGATGCCCACGACCTTGGTTTCTACCCAGGTCCGACGTGTACACGTGGGGCCACAACCGCGTCGGCCAGCTCGGCTACGCGAACGAGGACGTCGTCCCGCGGAACGGCGAGGGCGCGCACTTCGTGCCGCGGCCGCGGCGCGTCGAGTCGGTCGCGGGGCTCCGCGTCCGGCGCGTCGTCGCCGGCTGGGGCCACACGGCACTGCTGACGGCCGACGGCGCCTGCTACGTCTGCGGCCGGAACTTCCAGGGCCAGCTCGGCCTCGGCGACCCCGAGGCGTTTCCGCACAACGAGCGCGGCCACCCGTACCAGCCCGACTTCCGGCTCGTCGAGACGCTCGCGCGGAAGCGCGTGGCCCAGGTCGCGTGCGGCGGCGAGCACAGCGTGGCGCTGACGGCGGACGGCGAGGTCTACTCGTGCGGCGCCGGCAACAAGGGCCAGCTCGGCCACGGCTCGGGCGAGAACGAGCAGTTCCCGCGCCTCGTCGCGCGCCTCAAGGCGACGCGCCGCGACGTGCTCGAGGTCGCGTGCGGCAACAACGGCACGCTGGTCCTCTGCGGGTACTTCGAACCGCCGACGCTCTTCGATCGCTGCGCCGAGGTCCTCGTCGCCGCCGGCGACGCCGACGCGCTCGACGCCGCGCTCCCGCCGTCGATCGCCGCGCGCGTGCGCGCCGCGCGGACCGCGTCCCGGCCGGAATCGCCGGAAGGCCCGTCCGCCCAGCCCTGACGCCGCTTCTATCTGTCTGCCGTCCTTTTTATAATGTTTCTGCTCCTGGATGCATGCCCCTCCACTGGCATATCAGATAGCCGCCAAATCGCGGTGTCCCTTCACGTATTTCGCCTCCCGCTAGAGCACGCGACCAACGAAATGACTTGAGGCAAAAATTGAAAAAAGGAAGGGAAGCGCCGCAGGACAAGGTGGCCCGAAGAAGAGAAAAGCCTGATGAAACCCGTCCGAGTCCATAATGGCTCCCTGCATACGGCGCGTTAAACCTCCGCTGACGCTTCCCTGGGGGCGGACAAGGCCGCAATACTCTTAGCCGGCGTTTCGTGCAGGGGTGGGGGCTAAAAACCCGTCGTCGCGCTGCTATACTCCCATGGGAGCACGAGTACGCCCGGATCAAGATCGACGGCCTCGTCGGCGGCAACCCGGACTTCACCAACGCACCCGCGCACGCCGACGACGACGCACGCTTCCACGACCGGCAGCAAGCTTGCGTACACGCTGGCGGGGGATAGCTCCCCCGTCACCCCTCTAGGCGCGCGCCCCCGCAACCCGAATTGACTATAGCTAGCCCTATGGGAGCTAAGTTACTAGCTAACGCAGCAGACAACACACGCTATCGCTTCACAGCCCTTTCTCCGCAGTTGGATCAGTTACAGCACGCCAAGCACGAATAATTATTGATGTTGAACGACGTGATCGCCGGCGTGACGCTGGCGCTGACGTCGATCCCGCAGGCGGTGGCCTACGCCGAGGTCAGCGGCGTCGCCGGCTGGCGCGGCCTGGCGACGATGGGCTTTCCATGCGTGGCGTTCGCCGCCGCGACGGGGTCGCCCTGGGCGTCGATCGGCGTGACGTCTCGACAGCCGGCGTCTGGGCCGCCTCCCCCGCGTCGCCGCGTTTCGCCACCAGGCCGGCGCAGGTCCATCACGGCGATGCTCGCGCGCGACGCGCTCGCGGCGGCGCACGCGGCGCTCCCGGAGGACGACTACGTGCTCGTGATGGCGGCGTTCGCCACGATCGTCGGCCTCGCGTCGACGGCGCTCGCGCTCTGCGGGGCGGGCGGCGTCGCGGTCCGCCGGATACCGGGGCCGGTCAAGGCCGGCTTTAAGCTGGGCTTCGGCTGCGCCGTCGTCTCGTCGCAGTGCGCGACGGCGCTCTTCCGGGGCGGCAAGGCGCGCCTGCGCGAGGCGGCGGGCGACGACGCCGCGTGGGCCGGGCCGTCCCGCGCGGCGGCGGCGGCGGCGGCGGCGGGCCTCGGCGGCGCCCCGCAGGTCGTCCGTCTCGCGTGGGCGGCGGGGCACCCGGGCGCCTGGGACTGGGACGTCGCCGCGCTCTCGGCGGTCGTCGTCGTGGGCACGCTCCGTGGCAAGGCGCTGCTTCCGCGGCGCGCGCCGCCGGGCCTCGAAGTCCTCGTCCTCGTGGGCCTCGCGACGGGACTGAGCGCGGCCGGATTATACGCGGGCGGCGTCGTCGGCGCGCCGCCGGCGGGCGCGGGCGGCGCCCGGTCCCTGGCCGTCGCGCCCTGGGACCTTCCGTTCCGCCGGCTCGTCGACCTCTGCTACGGCGGGTCCGTCGCCGCGCCGCGCGATCGCGCGATCGCGACCAAGGGAGGGCGACCGCGCAGGTCGTGGGCCGCGCTCGCCAAGTCGTCGGTCGTCTTCGCCGCCGTCGACTTCCTCCAGAGCGTGTCGGTGTGCAGTGCGTTCGAGGCGGAAAACGGCCACGCGTGGTCCTGTGCGGAAATCGGTCACGCGTGGTCCAGCACAGCCACGTCGTCGCCGCACACCCGGCACACTGATCGAATCAATCCCACGCAGGCGTGGTCGCCTGACCGCGAGCTCGCGGCGCAGGGCGTCGCGTCGGTCGCGTCCGGCGCGTTCCGGGGCGGGCCCTGCGGCGCGTCGTTGAGCCGATCGATGCTCGCGCGCCTGACGGGCGCAACGTCGCGCGCGGCGGGGTTCGTACACGGCGTCGCGGCGATTTCGTTGCTGCCGTACGCCGGCGCGCTCGCCGCCACGCCCAAGGCGGCGCTCGCCGCCGTGGTCCTTGCCGCCGTCGGGCCTGGCGTCGCGCGACCCAAGGGCGTCCTGGCGCTCCGCGGATCTGAAGCTGGGGCGCGACACGGCGTAGACAGCGCAAGGGGGGGAAAGCCGCCGACGGCCCTCGAACGCAGGTCGCCTGGCTCACGGCGCTCGCGTCCGTCGTCGCCGACCCGACGACCGGATTCCTCGCCGGCCTCGCCGCCGCCGCCGCTGTCGCCGCGCTCGGGGGAAAGAACTCGAAGAAGGCCTCGTGACGTCTATTTTCTTTTCTGGCGCGCGCCATATCAGGGACGCCGCCGGCCGCAACTTTCAAAATCGAGCTCTCACGCCCGGCCCGCTCGAAGTAAAATAACTTGAATTAAAACATCCACCGCAACGAATTATTTCTGTCCCGCGAGTCTAAGATATCCTACCTTAATTAACAGGCAGACCCCGCGTCGGCTCTAGGCGGCCTAGCTCTAAGCAGAGCAATTAAATAGTATCCCGGGCCGAGTCTAGCCAGTGTTACCTCTGGGAATCTACTCTGGTAAGCCCACCAGTCGAGCGGATGGGCGCACGTAGCCCGCCGAGGCAAGTACCGAGGCATGACGCACCGCACACGCCATCGATGCAGCAGCCTAGTGCTCTCCGAGAGCCCTGGAAGCAAAATAGGCCAAACAGTTGCTATTCCTCCGCGGGCTGCTGAGAGAAATCGGCCAAGAATGCTTGAAGCGGCGGCGTATGCGACGTAGGCGCGTGCACGTGTATAGTACCGACCCTAGCCTCCGGAGACTTCCGGGTGATTCAGCCGCTGGGTCATTTGCAACCTAGACTCGGAGCCTTGGGCACCGGGCCAATGCCGGCGGCGGGTCTCGAGACTCGACGGCGTTCCAAAGAACCGGCCACTGAAACCAGCTGCCAGTGGTCCTGGAGACTTTCCTGGAGGCACCTGGCCCCTTAGGCCTACTCCCCCCGGGGGGCGTCGCGCATACCGCTCGGGGGTGAGGAAGGGGGCACGCTAGTAGCCGAAGAACAGCCTCTCGCAGCCCTTGCAGCAGCGCGCTACCGCTGCGCGCACGCCGTTGCAAGAGCACCCGGCCAAGGATAGGCCCAGGTACGCGAGGCCGAGGATCACGCAGATGCAGAGGAGTTCGAGGAACTCCATCATGCCGCCGTCGACGTCGTCCTCCCCGACGCCCGTGCCCATGAGGTCGAGCGTGCCGAAGAGGACGTGGTTGGTGATGTAGTGGACGACGATCGACGCGACCGTGAAGAGCTCCTCGAAGGCCATCGCCTGGAAGTCGCCCGGGAGCATCATGAACAAGCCCATGAACGTCATGAGGAAAAACATGTGCAGCGGCGGCGTCCACGTCGTGTCGCGGTGCACGCTGACGATCTGATCCACGATCTCGTCGTCGGTCGCGTCGTCGAGCGCCGTCTGGCCGAGCGCCGTCGCGCCGACGGGCGTGTCGGTGAGTTCTGGGTGGCGCTGGCAGAGGTAGTAGACCGGCGTCGTGGGCAGCTTCGTCCGGTACGGGAAGCTCGACTTGTCCTTGGAGTGCTGAGTGAGGTGGTGCCGCACGAGCTTGGGGATGAAGAGGAGGAAGAAGGCGATCTCGATCGGGAGGACGACCCAGTAGAAGAGCATCATCCCGACGAAGCACTGGTAGATCCAGACCAGCGTCTTCGCGTTTCCCATTTCCGTCGCCACGTAGAGGAGCCCCAGCGGCGGCACGCACACGAAGAAGACGAGGACGGAGATGAGCGCGAACCACGCGACGAGGTACCACGCGACGGAGACCTCCTCCTCCGCTGCTTCCTCCTCTTCTTCCTCGTCGGCGACGCCGTGGGCGTCGAGGGACACGTGGTAGAGAACCTGCTCCAGCTCGCCCATGTGCGAGAGGCGCTCGTATTCGGTCGCCTTGGCGACGCGTCGCTCGAGCTCCGTCCGCGCGTCGTCGTCCGTGATCGCGTCGATGGCGTCGCTCCACTCCTCGGCCTTCTTGATCTGCCTTCGCGTGATGTTCTCGACGTTGCGCTGGAAGACGACGTGGTCCGGCGACCAGCCCCAGTCCCTGAGGAGCCGCACCTCGAGCATCTGCACGAGGTGCCGCGCGCGCCGCGCCTTCCTGTCCTTGCGGTCCGCGATGCCTGCGTCGTGGTCCGCTCGGTCGGTCGTTGGGGCCACGTTTCGGACGGAGGGCGGGGAGTGTGCGCGGGGTGGGGGCCGGGGGTCCCCACAAATCGAAGGCCCCGGGACCGTTGGCTTCGGCCCTGAGCGATGCGCTTCCGGAACGCGAGCAGCTCCGCGCGGCGCAGGAGGACGGCGTCGCAGATGATGGGCGCCATGGTCTTCACCGCCACGAGGCGCTCCTTCCGTTCGGCATGCGCCTCGCGCCCCTCCTCGGACACGTACGCGCGGGCCGCGTGCACCCGGCGCTTGACCGCCTCGCGCGCCGTGACGCCCGCGTAGGCGACTTTGGCGGCGGTCGCGCGCTGCGCGACCAGCGCGCGCTGCACGACGTTGTCCGCCTCCTTCACGGGCGCGCCGGCGAGCGCCTTGGTCGTCGCCGTCGCGAGGTCGCGCCGCCTGGGCCGCTCGCCGCTCGCGGGCGACGCGACTTCGCCGCGGTACTGGTCACCGCTCTCCGCGAGAGCGCGCGAGTGCTCGTCGGAGAGGATGTCGAGCGCCGCGTGGAGCTCGACGTTCTCGTGCGCCATTTCCTTGGCAATATGCGACCAGGGTACGTGCTCCTCGTCGGCGGCGCCCTCGTCGTCGAGGCCGTGCTCCGCGGCGATCTTGGCGATCGCGCTCGCGCCGGCCTCGGCGCCGGTGACGACGGCCACGTCGTCGTCGCCGCCGTCGTCGTCGTCGCCGCCGCCGCCGCCGCGCCACGACGCGAGGCGCCGCACGGAGCGCGCCGCCCAGCCCTCGGCCGGCGGCGGCGGCGGCTCCTCGGCCATCATCTTGGCCGCGACGTTCACGTCGAGGCCGCCCTCGACGACGCGCGCGCCGTCTCCGCCGGCGGCCGCGGCGCTCCGCTCCTCGCCGCCCGTCCCGAGGAGGCCCGAGAACCAGCCGTCCGGCCGCGACGGCCGCGGCTCTGGCGTCGTCTGCGCTCCGAGCCACGTCTGGAGGCGCTCGTTGACGGCCGCCGTCGACGCGTCGGCGCGCGGCGCCTCCTCCTGGAGCGGTCCGCTCGCGAGCGACGACCAGTCCGCGACCTCTCCGGCGTGGTCGTCGGGGCCGTCGATCTCCTCGCCGCCGCCGGGGCCCTCCTCGGCCTCCGCGTCGTCGCCGCGCGCCGCGTCCTCGGCCGCCAGCTTGGCGAGCCGATTCGCGTCGTCGTCGCCGGCCGGCGGCGCGCCGCCGTCGGGCGCGGCGGGCGCGCCGACACCGGCGCCGGGCCGCCGCGCGCCGCGCGCCGCGCCCGAGGGTTCGGCTCGGGCGTCCGCGGCCTCGTCCAAGTCCCGGAGCATTCGGATGGCGGCGGCGTAGTCGTCGGGGAGTGCTCCGACGACGGCGTCGCCGGGATCCGCGAAGCTGCGCCGCGCAAGCTCGAGGTCCGACGCGCGGCGGCGCCGGCGCCGGCCGCCGGCCGCCGCGTCCGGCGCCGGCGGCGCGCCGCCCTCGCCCGCTCCCTGCGACCAGGCCCCTAGCCGCTCCTGGACGGCCGCGTTCGACGCGTCGCCCGCGCCTCCCGCGCCGTCGGCGTCGGCGGCGTCGTCGGCGGCCGACTGGCCGCAGATCCACGCGCAGCCGCGGCAGAAGCCGTCGAGGTAGGGCTCGAGCGCCTCGGGCAGCGGCTGCGTGAGATACGCGTCCATGGCCCACTCGAAGATCATGACGATGGGGATGAAGACGATCATGACGAGGATGAGGCACATGTAGTGTTCGGGCGACGCGCTGTCGTCGGGCGGGTCGTCGGGACAGCCGCCAGCGTAGAAGTCGCAGCACTCCTCGGCGCAGCGATTCCAGAGGCAGAGCTTGTTCCCGACGATCGTCCGGGTCTTGATGCCGTCGTCCTCGCACGCGGTGCGCGCCGCCTTCCAGGCCTTGGGGCAGATCGTCGTCTCGACCTCGGCGAACGTGCCGTCGCCCTGGTCTTGAACGACCGTGCCGAGCTGGCCGATCTTCTCGGGGTAGCAGACGCCGCCGACGATGGCCTCGGGGCAGTAGTCGCAGGCCTCCCACTGCGCCGTATACGAGGCGCACTCCGGGTCCGGCTCGGGGTAGCTGAGCATGACCTCGAGCGCCATGCCCCAGAGGCCGCAGAGGACTTCGAACGCGAACGCCCAGATCCGGACGAAGCGCGGCGTGTCGTCGTGGACGAAGACGATGTTCAGGATGGGGTGTTCGGCACACATGACGTCCCACCAGTGGCCCCACGACTGCTTCGTGAAGATGGCCTCGGTCCGCCGCGCGAGCGCCGCCGCGGCGCCCTGGCCGACGGGCAGGTCCGCGTCGACGTCGAACGCGCTCGTCGCGACGAGCGCCGCGTCCGCCTCGGCCTTCTCGTCGCACCGGTCCTGCGCGCCGCCGACGACGCTCCACCCCGTGTGGAAGACGAGGATGCTGAGGAGGATGATGATCATCATGAGCGCCTTCGAGAGGTCGATGGGCGCGCCCATGATGCTCTTGAACGCGGCCATCGCATCCGTCGCGCCGTCGGCCGTGCTGAAGTCGGCCGCCGCGCCGAGCTCGAGGTCGCAGAGGCACGTCGTCTCGCCGTCGTCGCCGGCGACCTTTTCGCAGTAGTCGGGCATGACGTACCTGCCGCGCGTCGTGTCCCACGTCGCGCAGCCGCTCGTCGTCGAGCCGCAGACCAGCGAGTGCTCGCCGGGCATGCCGTTGCACCAGAAGTGCTGCGTCGAGTTGTCGGGACACGTCACCGTCTTGTTCTCCTCGACGTCGCAGAGGCACGTCACGTTGAGGACGGCGGGCGTCGCGTTGCTCGCGGCCGCCGTCCCGGGGATGACGAGCTCCACGGGCGTCTTGAGCGGCGCCGGCGTCGGCGCGAACGTGGCCGTCGGCGCCGCCGAGATCGACGGCGCCGACGTCGGCGCCGTCGTCGGCGCGACCGTCGGCGCGACCGTCGGCGCGGGCGTCGGCACGGCGCTCGGCGGCGGCGAGAACGTCGGCGAGACCGTCGGCGCGGCCGTCGTCGGCGCGAGCGTTGGAGCCGGAGTGACCTCTTGGAGGCGCCGGCGCGCCGCGCTGAGGCGCCGGCGCGCCGTCGCGTCCGCGGAGCCGGCGCCAGCGTCGCCCAGGCCGAAGCGTATCGTGTCCGACGACGCCGCGGAGCCGTTTTTGTCGCCGCCGTGCGGGTTGGCCGAGAACTGCGACAGTTCCGTGGTGAAGTCGACGTCGGCCGAGAGGTTGAGCGCCGCCGACGTGTTTAGGCCGAGCGACGGGCCGAGCTCCGCGGCCGTCGTCGAGCCGTCAGACATGGAGACGACCTGGTTCGCGCTCGAGTACACGTCGCTCGAGACGCCGACCGCCGCCTCGTTTGCGATGATCGTGTCCAGCTGGGCCTTGGCCAGGTTGTCCGCGACGCCGAGGAGCACGGTCGATGCCGCATCTACCTCCGCCGCCGCCGCCGCGGCGTCGTCGTCGTACGAGTACGAGTACAAGGACGTCTGGTTGCCGGCGAGGCGGCGCCGCCGCCGCGCCCAGCGCGCCGCGGTGAGGCGCCGCCGCGTGCCGTTGCCCGTCGACGCCGCGTCCTCGGGCGTGTCGAAGAGCGCGCTCCCGAGCATGCTCGACACCGCGCCCGCCGCCGCGTCCGCCGTCGACGACTCGCCGCTGCCGAGGCCCACGTCGCCCGCCGACGCCGAGAGGCCGTTGACCATGTCCAGGGCCTCGAAGGCCGAGTTGTCGTCGAGCGCGCGCGGGTCCGCGATGGGGCCCCCGACGGCGACCGTCGTCTGCTCGATCGCGTCGGGATCCGCGTTCATGAGCTCCGTCGCGGCCTTGGCGAGCGAGCCGACGATGCCGCCCAGCAGGCTCGGCTCGTCGTCCGCGCCCTGCAGGCGGCGGCGCGACGGGTCGCCAACGGCCGCGACGGCCGCGCTCGACGTCGCCGATACCGCCGAGCACACGGCCGACAGGTCCGCGGCAGCGAACGCGTTGTCGAGAAGCTCGTTCGTCAGGTTCGCGAGCGCCTCTGCCTCCAGGACGTTCTCCATGACCACGACCGACGTCTCGCCCTGGCCCTTGGCGCCGACCTGGTCGACGACCACGACGCGGAGGGTGACGTTACCACGGGCGGCCTCCTCCTCGTCGCTGAGCCGCCGCCGCCGCGCGCGCCGCAAGAGCCGCCCACCGCGACCACCGCCGCGACCGCTCGTCGCCACTGGCACGGAGAGGCGCACGTCCGCGAGCTTCGGGTTGGCCGTCGGGGTCCGGAGGACCGAGTCATCCGTCTCGTAGCCGTACTTGAGCGGCAGCTCGTCGCCGACCCAGTAGCTCGCGACGAGCTCGAACGGCGTCTCGAGCTCCAAGCCCTTGCGCGGCGACGCCGCGACGACGCCCGCCGACGGCAGCGCCGACGCCGACACGGAGACGCTCGCGTAGCCCTCGGTCGTGTCGCCGGTCTCCGACGTCAGCGTCGCGGTGAGGAGGAACTTGTACGTTCCGCCGGGCACCATCGCACCGAGGCTCAGGACGAGGTCGTGATACCGCTGGCCCGAGGCTAGGTCGGCGCCCTGGAGCTCGACCCGGGTCTTGGCGACTTCCCGGAGCGTCTGGCCGGCCTCGAGGTCGCCTTCGGCGAGCGTCCACGTCGTCGTGAGGTCGTCGATGGTCACGCCGTCCGGCGGCGTGACGAGGCCCAGGATCGTCTGCTTCTCCGCCGCGTTCACCTTCCGGGCGAAGTTTGACACGACGACCTTGCTCGGCTCCTCGTTGATGAGCTCGATGTCGACGGAGGTGGTGGAGTTCCTAGCATCGGCCGACGCGGCCGTCACCGTGAAGCGGTAATTGCCCGTGCCGAGCCAAGTGCCCAAGAAAATCAGCCGCTGCTTATCCGACTTCAAGGCCCAGACGCCCGTCGGGAAGGGTTCGGTGTCGGTGGCGCAGCTTCCGTTTACTTGTTTCTCCCCGTCGTCGCGTACCTCGAGTTCCTCGCAGATCCAGGAGAACGACAGGCCCGCGTCGTCGCCCGTGCCGCAGTCGCCCGCGGTGCGCGTCCCGTGCGCATCGTTATGAGCGAGTCTGCGCCGGCCAAAGTTCGCCCGCCAGTCGCCCGCGCCGTCGCCGCAGTCCGGATTGATGTCCTCGTCGAACGACGAGGACGCGTCGAGCTGCAGCTCGTCCTGGACGGACACGACGCGGTCGCCGCCCTCGATCACCGCGACGACGCTGCCGACGCCGACGGCGAGGTAGACGTCCGCCGTGTTGGAGAGGTCGTACTTGGTGTCGGTGGCCTCCGCGCGCGCGACGTACGTCGTACCGGAGTCGAGCGAAAACGGGTCGAGCTGGAAGTAGCGCTTGTTCGCCGCGACGTTCACGAAATCGGCGCTCGCGCCCTCGGCGAGTTGCGTCCAATCCTCCTCCGGGTCGTCGACGCCGTCGAGGCGGTAGAGGTTCCACGCGTAGTCGACCGCGCGCTGCGCCTTGCTGCGCCCGTCGCAGCCCGACGCGAGCCCCGACGCCTCGACGGTCAGCGCGTTGCCGACCTTCGCCACTTGGTTGGCGCCGCCGACGATGAGGACCGACGGGATCGACTTCGTCGAGAGCTTCATTTCCACGGACTCTGTTTTCGTGCTGCCCAGGAAGTTCTCGAGCGCGAGGGACAGGACGAGCGTGTCGAAGCCGCCGTTGGCGAGCGCTTGCAGCTCGGTCGCCTCTGCGGTGAACTCGGACGAGGTATCATTCGCTGCTCTATGTTGCATGCTCTCGAGGGCCTCGGTCGCGTTTTCCCACGTGCCGTTTACCTTCGCCGCGGCTCGCGACTCCGGCGGACCCGTCGCGTTCACGGACCACACGAGTTGCTTCCACTCGCGGCCGCCCGAGCCGATCGACTGCGACGCTTCGACTGCGAGGCCGCCTTCCTCGCAAACGGCGATCGAGTCGGGCACCTGGAAGACCGGTTCGACGTCGGGCAGCGGGTCCGGGGGGTCCGCCGGCACGCTCGACGCGGTGTTGCGCACGCGACATTCGCAGCGGTCGTCGTCGCACGCGAGCATCGTCGTGTTGGCTCGGAGCGTCACGTTCTCGCCCGGTACGAAATCGAGCGCTTTGTTGACCTCGGCGTAGATCTGCGTCGCGCTGACCCAGAAGCACTCTGCCGTGTCGACGTCGGCGAAGTCGAGGAGCTCGGCGCACGGAAAGTACTCGCCCGCGAGCATGCCCGCCTGGTCCGACGCCGCGTCGAGGTCGACGAGGATGCTCGCGCCCGTCGACGAGAACCGGGCCGAGTCCACGTCCGGCGGCGGGCCCGTGCGCTCTCGGACCTTTTCGCACGACTCTATCGTCGGCGCCAGCGTCGGCGCGGGGACCGGCACGGCCGTCGGGTTCCCAGGCGTGACGCTCGGCGCCGGCGTCGGCTTGGGCGTCGGCCTTGGCGTCGTCGGCTGCGCCGTCGACGGCGCTGGCGACGGCGCCGCTGTCGGCGGCCGCGACGATTCGACGCCTCCGGTCTCCGTCGCGATCATAGAGTGCGACGCCTCTTGGTCCGCCGTGATTTTCACCTCGTAGCCCTTCTCTTCGGCCGTGGCTTGGAGCGCAATGTCCAACGGCGACACGCCAGTCTGTTCGTCGACAGTCGTCGCGCTCACGAGCTCGGCCTCGAAAGCAGTCACGTACGAGTCGATGTCGACGGCGCCGTCTTCGCCGGTGTCCACGTCTACCCGGACCACAAACGAGACGCTGACGGACGCGTCCTGGAGGCGTCGCCGCCGCGTCCGCGACCGCCGCGCGCCGTCGGAGACCGTGAGGTTGCCTACGAAGTCGTCCGTGCTCTCGATGAGGGCGCTCACGTCGACGAGGCTCTGTTTGAAGGTCTCTTCGTAGGCGGCGTTCCAGCTGCTTTTCGACGTCCCGTCGAGGACGAGCGCCGACGTCAGCGTGAGGCTCGGCTTCGTCGGCGCGAACGAGATTGTCGGCAGGGTCGTCGGCAGGGACGTCGGCGCGGACGTCGGCACGGACGTCGGCCGGGGCGTCGGCAGGGACGTTGGCAGGGACGTCGGCGGCAGGGACGTCGTCGGCAGGGACGTCGGCAGGGACGTCGGCAGGAACGTCGGCAGGGACGTCGGCAGGGACGTCGGCAGGGACGTCGGCAGGGACGTCGGCGGCGGCGAGCTTACGTCCTGATAGAGAATCTTGATCTCGTCGGGGTTGAGCGTCCGGTCGTAGACGTAGATGTCGTCGACGGCGCCGTCCAATGTGACCTCGCTGCGTATGCTCGCGCCCAGCCGTATGCTGCCGTCGCCCGCGCGCGTGTTGATTGCCATTGTCCCGTTCAGGCGTCTGTTCTTAACCCGCACCCCGTCGAGGTAAAAGTTCAGGTACTTTTCTGTGGGCTGGTGGCCGTAGAGCTGGAGCGTCCATGACACCAGCACGCCGTCGTTGGTGTAGTAGTCGCTGCCGAGGTTGCCGGAGCAGGATAAGTCGCACGTGAGGCCTAGGAAGCTCTGGGCCATGTCCTCATAATGGCACTCGACCCACGCCTGGTACTCCGTTTGGCAGACGGCGGGCCCCTCGCACTCTCCGTTCGAGAGATGTTGCTGGACGTCGTCGCAGGTATTCGGCGAAAAGTCGTCGTCGTCGCCGTCGTCGCCGTCGTCGCCGTCGGCAAAGAAGTCGTCGTCGAGGCTTTGTTGCTTGCTGAGGCAGTCTTGGAAAGCCGCCTCTTCCGCGGGACACGCCGACACGCACTCGTTGGGAAGCGTCGCGATCGAGCTGCCCGTGATGAGGTGGATGTCGTCGTTGTCCGTGTCCTCCATGCACTGACAGTCGTCCTGGCACCAGCACTCCCCGTCAGGAGTCCAATCGATGGCCACGAGGTCGGCATACGTATTCTCGCACATTGTCCAGCAGGCGCTGGCATCCGACGTGCTGCCAATCAATTCGTCGAGGTCGGAGGAACACCAGCCATTGCCGGTTCCCCAGTACGTGTACCCGCCGTCGTTGGTGTAGTAGTCGTCTGCTGCTCCGTAGTACACGCCGTCGTTGGTGTAGTAGTCGTCTGCTGCTCCGTAGTACACGCCGTCGTTGGTGTAGTAGTCGTCTGCTGCTCCGTAGTACACGCCGTCGTTGGTGTGGTAGTCGTCTGTTGCTCCGTAGTACACGCCGTCGTTGGTGTGGTAGTCGTCTGCTGCTCCGTAGTACACGCCGTCGTTGGTGTAGTAGTCGTCTGCTGCTCCGTAGTACACGCCGTCGTTGGTGTGGTAATCGTCTTGTAGTAGCCGTCTGCTGTTGTGGTAGTCGTCTGCTGCTCCGTAGTACACGCCGTCGTTGGTGTAGTAGTCGTCTGCTGCTCCGTAGTCCACGCCGTCGTTGGTGTAGTAGTCGTCTGCTGCTCCGTAGTCCACGCCGTCGTTGGTGTAGTAGTCGTCTGCTGCTCCGTAGTACACGCCGTCGTTGGTGTAGTAGTCGTCTGCTGCTCCGTAGTACACGCCGTCGTTGGTGTAGTAGTCGTCTGCTGCTCCGTAGTCCACGCCGTCGTTGGTGTAGTAGTCGTCTGCTGCTCCGTAGTCCACGCCGTCGTTGGTGTAGTAGTGCCTGCTGCTCCATAGTACACGCCGTTGGTGTAGTAGTCGTCTGCTGCTCCGTAGTACACGCCGTCGTTGGTGTAGTAGTCGTCTGCTGCTCCGTAGTACACGCCGTCGTTGGTGTGGTAGTCGTCTGCTGCTCCGTAGTACACGCCGTCGTTGGTGTAGTAGTCGTCTGCTGCTCCGTAGTACACGCCGTCGTTGGTGTGGTAGTCGTCTGCTGCTCCGTAGTCCACGCCGTCGTTGGTGTAGTAGTCGTCTGCTGCTCCGTAGTCCACGCCGTCGTTGGTGTAGTAGTCGTCTGCTGCTCCGTAGTACACGCCGTCGTTGGTGTGGTAGTCGTCTGCTGTTCCATAGTAATATGGCTGCTGACCAAGGTCGTCGTTGCCCAAGCCTGCGCTCCAGTCGCACGCGACGCCATCGGCGCCGATTTCGACGGCACAGTTTTCGTCCTCGTAGACCAGCATCGTTGCGAGCGGGAGCACGCAGGACATCCAGCCCGAGGAGTCGGGTTGAGGATCCTCTCCGTACTGGCACCAGCATGACCCCTCTCCGTCGACTGCGAGGTTGGCGATCGTCGCGTCCGGGCACTGCGCGAGGACCATGGCGATGCATTCGTCCGGCGAGGCCGCGTCCCCAATATATTGCTCGCTGGCCGTGTTGCTGTTGCTTTGCACCCAGTCGCAGCCGTCCCAAATTCCCGTTGACGAGCAGTTGAAATCGCACGCGAGACCGAGTGCGCTCAGGGCCAAGTCCTCGTAAGTGCACTCGACGTACGCCTGATATTCCGCCTGACATGCGGCGGGCCCGTTGGCGCACTGTCCGTTTGAAAGCCACTGCTGGACGTCGTCGCATGTCTCCGGCGAAAAGTCGTCCAGACGCCGGCCGTGGTCGTGGCCGCTGTGGTCGAAGTCGTCGTCGGTGAAGAAGTCGTCGTCAGCCGTGAAACCGGGCGTAGACGAGAGGCAGTCCGTAAAATCATCCTCTTCGTCGGGACAGGGACGGTACGAGTACGAGTAGGGCGCTTGTGACTGTCCGCAGCACTCCAAGGCCTCCGGGCACGCGCACCAGTCGGGTTGGCCGGTGCAATCGCCGCCGCAGTCGCAGTAGGCCGCAGCCGGGAGCCCGGGGCAGAGGACGCTGTCGTTCGGGACGCCGCCGTAGGAGGAGCTGTACGAGTACGAGCCCTGGTCGCCCGCGGAGCTTGTCTCGTACGAGTACGAGCCCTGGCCGCCCGAGGCCTCGTACGAGTACGAGCCCTGGTCGCCCGAGGCCTCGTACGAGTACGAGCCCTGGTCGCCCGAGGCCTCGTACGAGTACGAGCCCTGGTCGCCCGAGGCCTCGTCGTCGTACGTCTCGTCGTCGTACGTCTCGTCATCGTACGTCTCGTCGAGCCGACGGCTCGCCTCTGTTACCCACGTGTGCGCGAGGAGATGCTCGGCGAAGCTTCCGAATTTGTGCCAGTCCGCGCCACCCCTCGTCGCACGGCCCACGCGTGGCTCTGCGTCGCCTCGGAGCAGCACGACGTCGGCGTACTTTCCCGCGCGCCGCCCGGCGTGGTAGAGTTCGCTGAGCATGTATGGTCCGGTCGTCCGAAGGACGTCGGCATCGCCGGGCGCGCCGACCGCCGCCAGCGTCCTTTTCGCGGCCTCGTCGAGCGCGTCGATCAGCAGCGGGTGGTTGGGTCGCGCGCCGAAGGCGTAGTTGCCAACTTGCCAGTGTTCCTCCGCATCCAGAACATTTCTGTGATGCCGCTCCATAAACGCGTCGTCGGAGAGCCACCATTCCATGGGAAGCACGGCCGCGTGCGCGACGAGCGGCTCCAGCGACCGCTTGACGTACACGTCGACGTCGAAGTAGAAGCCGCCCTCCCTCGCGACGACCGCCAGCCGAAACAGATCCGCGCGCATCACGACGCGCGGCGCGGCCTCGTACGCGTCGAGTATCCGCGTTCCCGCGTATGCTCTCGCCATGTATTCCTGCGCGGCGGCGTCGTCGAAAAATACGCGCTCGAAGCCGGGGCTGGTGGTTTCGAGTCTTCGAGAGAGGTCTGCGTCTACGTCGGCCGCCGACCGCGCCGTCTGAAAGACGCGCCTCGGGATGCGCGGCGAGGCCGAGTTTGCCGGCGCTTTCGCCGCGAGCGTCAGTTCCGCGCCCGCGGCGCCGGGCTGCCCCAGCAGGCGGCGGGCGCGCGCGGCTGCAGCGGCACCGCCGCCGGCCACGTAAAGGGCCCCACTCAGGAACACGGCGAGGCACGCGGCCACGGCTACGTGCTGCCGCCGCGCCATTTTACTTGTACGTGTGGCCCAGCGCAGGCGGGGGAGCGCGGCAAAGAACGTAGAGTCCGGTGCCGACGCCTTGGCTGCCCTTTCGAGGCTTTGCCGGCTTTTTTTCAATCTCCTCGCCCGAGCTGAATTGGTCGACGTTGATGTGTAAGTTTCCTCGACGAAAAAATTCTATCCCGTGTATGCATTCCTATCGCCGGGGCGATGCTGTCCTGGCCCTGCAATGTGCTATTCTTAGATTGAAATTGAAAAAAACGGATCATGAGGACCGTGCCTGCAGCGATTGCGCTATGATCCCCCAGCCTCAGGCTCAGGCTCAGGCTGAGTTACTTATACTGATGGAGCCTCTCCGGTACTAGCGGATAATAGTGGCGAGCGCTTGTGTGTCCTGGACTACCCCTTTCCCTTCTTAATCCCTCAGGCTCCTATTCCAAAATTTGTCCCGAATGCTAACGAAGTTGACCGGGTTCCCATATAGCATGCTGCCACTGGCAGTGAATAGGCGAGCCCCCGGGCCGCGCGCGGAACACAGAAACACCTATTCAACTGGTCTTGGTCTTGATAGCCTCAGCCTGAGAAATATTACGTGGCCAACACGCGCTGGCTCCAGCCAGGTAAATTGGTCATAGTGTATCGTCCACCCAATCGGAATAGTGATGCCCCAGTGTCCTCTAAGCTCCTAATGCAATTTACTGGGCCGTTCCGGATCGAAAAGATCGTTAGAAGTGCAGTGCACCTCAAGAATCTGGACGGCACACCAGCTGACACTCAAAATGTGCGGAATGTATACCCATATAACCGTGAGAACGACCATATCCTTCAAGATTTCGACCATGCCTTATTGGATGATGATGATAGAGACAAGTTTGAGGCTGGGGACATGTGTATTGTAGACCTGACTGATGACGATGGGACTCCAAACTGGGGATTGGCCAAGATTAGCGCAGTTAAACCCCAGAACCCCAAAGAGGAGTTCCATCTCCATTGGTTTGGGACCTACTCCAAAGCTAAGAGCCTCGCCAAGCGGGCTTATGCCCCAGCGTACATCGACAGCAGGGACGATCTTGAGATCTATAAGTGGAAAAAGACAAAAACCTTAGAAGAAATGACCATGAGGGTCCACAGGTCCGAATTGCGATTCTACCCGTTCAGTTTGACGAATAAGAACGAGATTCCAGTGAAAATCGTTAAGGAATTGGTTACTGATGGATACGCGGTGATGTTGATTTCAACGGTAAATTAGCTGAAGACCCGGCTTGAGTTCCAGGAAGGGGGGAGTGAGGTGAAAACTCCCCTGGATATATATCTGCAACGCCATAGCCCCCTATCGCCGGATCTATGGCTACATTACTCTCGCCTATCCTAGGTTGCCATTAACCCCAGGGGTTATTAACCCCAATCGCGGCCCGGGGTTAGTAACCCGGGTAATTACCCGTTAGTACGGGTTATTAACCCCGGGATCTTATAGAGGGGTAGGGGGAGGGGGCCTCACGGGCCATTGGCGCGGGCCTGGGCCGCGCCGGGCCACATGACTTGGTACTTGCCTTGGCGCACCTGTACGTATCCAAAAGCCCAATGGGCTGCTTGCGCCCATCCGCTCGCCCGGAGGGGGTCTTCGCTAAACTCACTAAACGGGTTTAGTCGAAAACCCGTCGGGTTATTGAGCGGGTTATTAACCCCGGATCCCCTCCGAGGGGTAATTATAGGTTAATAACGGGTAATTAACAGGTTAACGGCAACCTAGCGCCTATCAGCACGCTATATCAGCCGGCACGTGCCCGGGCTGATATTTCCCTATATCCCGTATCTTCTTACTTATCCAAGTGGATCAAGCCCGGCGCTAAGTAGGCGCCGTAAAAACGCCGGGGTGAACCTAAAGTAAGTTCACTTCAGTCGAAGGCCAAAGCACAATATCACGCGCATCCGAGCTCGTGGCTCGCGTTGGCAAAAGACGCGCCGAAGAAGCGCGCGTCGTGTTTCCTCGCGGCCTCGACGAGCGCTTCGACGTCGTTTCGCCGCGTTGCGTGCTCACCGGGCTCGTGAAATTCGTCAAAGGCTTCCACTGCGAGAGATGCGACACCGAGGCCCACGAGGACTTCTGCGACGGCGCTGCGGAAGGTGTCGAGGGGCCCAGCGAAGCGCTCGATGCAGTAATTCTGTCCGTTTTTTAGGTGTCGCGTCGCACGGACGGATGCGACCATCTCTGGCCCATCCCACCCGTCGACGCGGACCATCTCCGCGAGAACGCCGCGGTCGACGGGGAGGCGCGCAAGGTAGTCAACGTAGCTCTCGTCGCGCGACCGTGGGAGAGGCAGCCCGTATTTTACTGCGGAGCCATCAAAAAACGACACGAGATCGCCTCCACGCTCGCCACTGTCGCGAAATAGCAGCGCCATCCGCTCGCTGCCGCGAACGTGATACCTGCGTTCGAGTGGTTGTCTAAAGCACCCTAGCTCGGCAAGGTCCCTCCGGCCATCTTTTGGAATGATGGAAAGCGGAGTGATCTCAACTACGAACGCAACAGTTCATCAACTTTCCCCATTTCACATTCCGCTCTGGTTCGGTACGCGTACCCTGATGCGACCACGCTGAAGGGGTCCCGGACTATATTCACGACGCGCGCCGTCGGCACGAGCGCCCCCTGGAAGCAACTATGGCAGCGATATTTGAAGTATCGATCTCGCCGGGCGAACGACGCAATTGCTCCCTCGTCGAGGCCCTGGCCGAACCAGTGACCTCCGTGGCGCACGTCGCCACCGAGCCGGCGCGCGCGCGCGACGATCTTGTGCGACAGGATATGGCCCGATTTGTGGTGCGAGAACATAATGCCCGCTTCGGGAGCTATGAGCCTATCTCGTCTGCCTCCGTACGCGCGCGTGTCGCGCATCATCATCATGGGGCTCCTTCGCTTGGGCGGATGCGCGATGGCGGAAGCCGCACGCGACGTGTTGCGCGGCTCGTTCTCGCGCAGACCACGAGCCAAGAGGGCAAAGGCAAAAAGGATGCCGGCGGTCCTCCCTATGGGTATGGGTAGCATGATCACCATTACACAGTGTTGCGGGGAGAATATTGTATCTCAATATTACCGTACCGTAGGTACCTACGGTACCGTAGGTACCTACGGTAGGTAAATACCGTAGGTATACTGCGGTAAAATATACTGCGGTGCAACGGGTATAGGGAGTCCTAGTATAGTTTAATACAATATGGGGAGCATGTACTAATGATCATCTACAGGCCTAGGCATGACCCATAACACCACGTCCTATACACCACTCCCTCGCAGTAGAGGGGCTCCCGGCGCACGTACGCGGGTGCGTCGCATTGGCATTGGCTTATGCGGTAGCCAAGCGTTCACCAGCGAAAGTCAAATCGTATAACCCTTTGCTGTTGTTGCGTACGAGCCTGAGGCGGTCGCGGCGTTCGGCACTACATAGCCCACACACATCATGCGACGCTTAGCTGCGGTGAGGGCCATTGGTTTGATGCCTGGTAGTTGTATGACCTCGTTCTTATGGTTTTATGGGGCTTCTGGAGGCTCGCGGCGTGCCCTACCGCAGCTATGCGCCTGATGGATTTTGCCAGTGAATAGACTGAGTTGATACATTCTCTAGTAGAAAGGCATCTAATGGACGCTCGCGCCCAGGGGGAGTAGAGAGAGAAACCTACTAGCCCTTCCTACCCTAGATATGCATCTCCCACTCTCTAATATTTGAGTCTATACATCGAGTGTCAAAAGCACTACGGTGTAACAACAGTTCACTATAAAACACTCTCGTAGCCAGGTTGGCCCAGCCCTCGGCTGGTGAGCTAGGACCCTGCTACTTTACATAACGCTGCGACATACTCTTGTTAACCGCCGGGGCAGTATAACACGTGATAGTTTGGCCATGATCTTGTCCTCTCTCCTCTTAATCGCGTGTGCCATGCAAAACTGTGTCGTCGCATCTGGCGGTGTGCGTTGGCCGGAGCCTGCGACTCAAAGCTCGATGTCAACCAGGCTGGATCTGGCGGCAGAATGCTCCAAGGCCCCACAGTTGCCACTCGACTGCCAGCCGGACACTAAGCACGGATCGAACATATGGCTTCTCCATGACGGACTTCGGCCGGAGAGGTTAAAACACGCGACGGAGGAGTTCAGACGGATTGGCTGGCCATTCACCCGTGGCCTATCCGGCGACGACGTCCACGGGTGCCTGGCAGCCGAGTTCCCTTATTGGTCTGGAAGCGCAGGTAATAAGACCTCGTCAAATGGTGGCAGCCGGCAAAACATAAATTTTGCGCACCTGAAAATGATAGATCTTTTGGCACGGTCGCGATCGCTCGAATGTGCCTTCATCTTCGAGGATGATGTAAAGTTTCATCACAATTTCTCCGCGCTTTTTGCTAGATACTGGCCCCAGCGCCGCGTTGGCCGCGTGGGCATCTGGCAGCTGGGTGCCTTCAGGTTCACAAAACAACACCCACAGGCCGATCGGCGGGGGTGGGCCATAGGCTTTGGACCAGGGACCCACGCGTATGTCGTGTCAAAGGACTTTGCAAGAATAGCGAGAAAGCTGGCCCAAGTCGAGCCTGTCCTCCGCTCAGACTGGAATGCGAAAAACATTGACATCTGGCTTCGAGATCGCTTCTCCCACCTTTCGCAAAGACTCGTCGACTTACCGCCCGTCGCGGTTAGGAACGCCCCGAGGAACCAAAGGGGGATCGCATTCCAGCGATTGAAATGAGCCGATTTGTAGTGGGATAAGGTCAGGGGCCTCCCTTGCCAGAATTATTTCTCGAATACGAAACTGCCACAGTGGCCGCTCTAACTCAGGCTAACTGGCCCATCCTCCCGGGCCATGTGCCAGTGTCGTAATTTAGGCCGACGCCTAGCTCAAGTGCTGAGTCACTGGCAGAACTGGCACGGCTTGCATTGCTGTAGCGCTTGCAATAAAACCGTATGACATCCCAATCGTCCGCCGGCGGTACACGACACACGAGTTCGGGGAGTCGACTGATATTGAGCTCAATGTCGTCCTCCAACACCAACGTCAAGCCTGACGTGTTCAGGTGTTGTTTCTTCACTAGCATCACGCTCAATCAAATTGCCAGTGTATCGTCGTATCACGGGTAAAGTAAGTTCACCTTAGAAGCTTATCACTTGCCATATGGACTACCTTGTCAATGAGCAAGCTGAGGTACATCCTCAGGCTCGAGTAGAAGAAGCTTCTAATGGACGCTCGCGCCCAGCCCTGGAGAGAGAAACCCCCTAGCCCTTCCTACCCTAGATATGTATCTCCCACTCTCTAAATTGAGTCTATACATGGGGTGTCTAACGACGCTACGACGGTACCTACGGTACCGTAGGGACCTACGGTACCGTAGGTACTTGTACCTACGCCGGTCCTACGGTACGGGGCGACGGCTCAGGCTCAGGCTAGTTACGTCGCAGGGTCCCCCGTACCCCTCCCGCGACGACATTAAAGAGCTAGAGAGAGAGAGCCACTTATTGAACCCACCCCCAGGTAGTACGGACCCCGAACGCTTCGCCACCGTGAGCTTACGCTAGCCGTTTTACTGGCACTAGGACTTACAGGCTGGCACTCGAGTGCCAAGCTTTCACTCAGATTGGAATAAGGATGGCGGAGCATGGCCGAGCGCCGAGGGGCAGCCCCGGCTGGGCCCCGGCAGTCGGACGACGCATTGCAAAAAACGCGGCAGCAAACGCGGCCTTTCTCGCCGAGAAAACGGCCAAAACCATGCAAAATGACCTACGATCGTCTTTTTTGGCGCCGTTTCGAGCCGATCGGGCCACCGCAGCGTCGGACATCATTCACCACGTGGCCGACGACGATCTGAGACGAAGTTCGGCAGCAGCGGCTCGTGAGATGTCGGTCTATGTGTGGTCCGCGTTTCTCGCCGGGACGCGGTTTCGGGCAAAAATCGCGCCGTGGGTCGCGAGATTTGGCAGGGACCCTCCCAGCCACCACGGCGTGCGCGCGCGGGGGTTGGTCGCGGAAATCGGCGCGCCCGAAGCGGCCAAATGCCCGCAGGCACAACTTTCCCAGCCTGGCCGTTCTTGGGGCCCGCCGCATCGTTTGCGGCCGGCTCTTCGGCGCGCAGGCTAGTCGAGCGAAATGGAGCTCGCCAACGACGAGCGGCCCAGCCTTCCGCTGCCCCCCCGCGCGGCAGATGTAGTGCCAATTCCAGTAAAAGCGCTAACGTAAGCTCTCTATTACGTAAAACACTCGTAGTTGGCTTGGCCCAGCCTCTGGCTGGTGAGCTAGGACCCCGCTACTTTACATAACGCTGCGACATACTCTTGCTACGGGCCTGCTACTTTTACTCGGGAGGTCCGCTAGAAAGATGGGGTGAGCGCTCAAACTAGCGCACTTCAGCCGCAGCCGAGTGCGAGGTGCACAGGGTACGGCGCCGTAGGACTCCCCCCCCCAGCGTACTACGCGTGCCACCAACCGGGTGTAAAGACCAGATGCGATGACCATGCCGCGCGTTGTTGCGGCCCTCGGCCTGGTTTTTGCGGCGGGCTCGGCCCTGCGTGATCCGCCGCGGCGCCTCTCTGCTCAGGATGGGACGCTCTGGAACGGCACCGACGTGACAGTGCCATGGCGCATGAACAAGTCTACGGCGTTCAATTTTATCCACATCCCGAAGTGCGCGGGGTCGTCGTTCCTTCAAGACTCGGGGCGGTTCCTACGAGTCGGCGACACGCTCAGGGGTAACAGCGAACGTTCTTTCGCACACACCCTTGGCCATGCGAGAGACATGGTTGTGCTGCTTCGCGACCCGATGGAACACGTCTACTCCCAGTTCCTCGAATGTAAATACGATAAATGGGGAAAGCGTGTGACCCGGGGGACGGAATTCCCCGGTCGCTGGTCGATGAACGATCCAAAGGAAGGATTTGGGGATTGGCTGGCGCACTTCGTGCATGCCCCGGACCACGCCACGGGCGCACCCATGATGTTTAAGTGCTATAATCCGTGGAACATGCAAGCTCGCTACCTCACGCAAACGAACCGTTGGTCCCACGGAATCGTAAAACACGACGACGCCCTGCCTTCTTTGAAAATAGCCGTGGCAAATCTGGAAAAGGTTGGCATCGTCGGCTTGACGGAGCATTATGACGCATCGCTATGCCTGCTGTTGTTTCGGTCCCTTGACGCTGCGAACGTGTTGCCCCGAAGCAAATGCAGTTGCGTGGCGTTCTTGGAGCGTCGGAGCAAAAAACTAGGTACTTACATCACCCACCGCGTACCCGTCCACTCCGTAACGTCGCTGGATGCGGATACGCTGGCGATGATTAGCACGCTCGTCCAGGTGGACATGCGCCTCTATGAGCATGCCAGGCGCCTGTTCTACAACGAGGTCGACCGCGTCCGCAACGCCACTGGCGTGGACCTGCTGTGCCGCTCCCCGGACCGCACCACGGTCACAGCGTAATTTATCAGAACTTAACCGCGGGGCCAGCTACCGTCCGGCCCGCGGCCTGCCCGCGGCCGGGCGGTCTGGGTCACGGTCCCAGATATCATTGATTGTACACGACAACATATTGGACACCCATTACTCACTACAACGTCCGTAGTAATCTTTTTGAGCCGATAGTCCACGGGCCTACCGTGTGACGCCAACTTCAAGTTGAAGGTACCGTCACGGCAACCTCACTGGTGCACTACCTACGGTATGCAGCTATAGTAGCTAGTCTGAGGTCTCTCAGGTGTCGCAGTGAGAGAGTAGGGGGTGTCGGTTTTTGCAAAGCACCGTACCGTTTAGGACGGGAGCACAGGGTCACCCTCGGTATGTGAGGTTTGCATCTTACTAGTAGAATTGACTCCCCAATAGTACATCATGATAGTTTCATTAATGTAATTTAGTGATAATAACATAGTGAATTTAGACTGGCGGTGGCGATTCGTTGTGTGTAGGGAAAGTAAGTTAGTGTAGTCGTCTAACGAAATAGTTCACAACGACCCCCCCCTTACCATCTTGGCCACATTTACGGTTCCCGCCCCGATTTCGGTTGCAGTGAGGCTCCGCAGGGTTTGGTATCGTAGCGCAGCTCCAATTGTGGCTTCTAAAGGGTTGCACTTGTCCTCAGTCCCGAAAGTCGTCGATTTATTTATGTCGCCGCGTACGCCGAGAACCTCGAATCGGTCTCTCGCGACGCTAAGACGGCCACTACGATACGCCAAGATGAACGTAGCTTCGCCCGGTCGTACCAGGATAGCAGCCGCGCGGAGGGCAGCTTCTGCGCACGCCCGGCGAGAGTTTGTGCGTACGAAGGTGGGGGATTCGACTGTAGCTGGATCTTGGCGCTACGTGCGTCTTTTTTTATGCTGAAAAGCAGAGTATCCCGCATTTCCGGGCGCTCGGGCAGCCCAAGTGATGCACCTGCTTCAAGTATACGATACGGCTCAATTGCGCGGCTATCCTCGCATCGTGCGGGTGCCCGAGTGTATATTCGGCCTTTTCTAGGTAGGCCAGGATGGTAGGGGGGGGGTCGAAGTGTTTCTCCCATGTTCAAGTTTGATGGGGTTTGTGACGGGGAATTGCGTCCGTCAATAAAAGTGACTCAGGATGATAATAGTTAGTGGACTCCGAGTCTTGGGAGGCTAGCCTGAGTAGGCCGGTAGCAGGGGGCCCGGGGTGTGGACGCTCGCTTCCATAAAGTAAGTTCACTTTACCACTGGCAGCCAGAGGCTGGGCCAAGCCAACCTACCGTGGGCCGTGACGAGAGTGTTCTATAGTAAATTGGTTTACACCGTAGCGTCGATAGACACTCAGTGTATAGACTCAAATTTAGAGAGTGGGAGATACATATCTAGGGTAGGATGGGCTAGTATGTTTCTCTCTCTGGGGACTGTATATCAGGTGGCAACTACGTCCACCCAGACTTGTATCCATTTGGCTGCGCGGCATACTCAGGCTAGTATCAAACTTGAACAGAACTGAAGTGAACTTACTTTAGGTTCACCCCGGTGTTTTTACGGCGCCTACTTAGCGCCGGGCTTGATCCACTTGGATAAGTAGAAAGATCCGGGATATAGGGAAATCATGATATCAGCTCCGGGCACATGCCGGCTGATAGAGCGTGCTATACCCGCGCGGGGCCCGGGCTGGGGCCTGGACGTTGGTCGCCCTAGCTTTCATTCTACTTTGTAATCCCTGGTCTTGTGGAGTTCGTTCCAAGGTTCCAAGGAGGTCACCTCTTTACCTATATTTGTAAAGGTAGCTTACTTATGGGGTTAGCCTCTGAGGTGAAAACTCCCCTACCGTAGGTACCTACGGTATCGACATACCAGTACCTACGGTACCGTAGGCACATCATGTTGAGCATTACGGTCGTCCACCTGCTCATCCGCGGCGCGATACTGCCCCCTACTCGGGCAAGGAACAGTAGAGGAGCAGCGCCATCACATGCCCCACAAGAGCACAACACTAGCGGTTTGAACAAATCTTTGTTGTCCGCGCGTCCGGCCCCGACGACTCAGGGTTGGTGTTCGCATTTGCGCGCGTACGTAGATAATCTTCATTTACAAAGGATTTTCATTGGGGCACCAGCCAAGTGCGCAGGGACAACCCTTAACACTTTCTTTGGGCACACATGGAAATCGGTGTCCCGCGACACACGGAAGGACCATTGTGATTGGAAAGTTACAGGTTTTGGCATTGGGAAGAATCGCGAGAATCGCCTCATCGATTTGCAGGAATTGATATCTAGTCCGTGCGGCCTGGAGACATTGTTTCTGATCTCAGTGCGTGACAAGATGTCCTGGCTCCGCTCTGCTACGAGGTACATATGTGAGCAGCGCGGATGGGCTAAGCGTGGAAAGTGCAGTTCACTCGCAAGCTTTAGATGGGTCCGCGAGCGCCCCCATGAATTGGGTCGTAGTCCAGCCGATGTCGTTAGGAAGAAATTTTTCACCTCCAACACGAGTGCGCGCGTTGCGATATTTGACTATCGACAAATGAATAGTCTTCTCCAATGCTTTCCTCAAGCATCGACAATTGCAACCAGCGGGGGGACGTCCATGGCTTCGATTATTCCAAAGAATGGGACAGAGGTAGGCTCCAGGGCAATCATTGTATCTAAAAATAGGGCGATCCACAAGGTGGGCAATTTGAAAGGAAATCAAGTTTCTCAACTCGAAAAAATTTCGCCTTCAGACTTACAGGAACTGTATGACACCGATGGTGTAGGAAAACAACGCTGGGACTCGATGGAGCGATACTTTTCTATGGTGTTGCCTTGGAACTCTTCGTCATCATTGTCGTGCTCAAGCAGGTGTCAGTTGGCTAGTTGGCACGGTGACAAGCTGGATTGCATTGTGCTGTGACTGCATGAGCTACTTCAGTCACGGTACTCAGGCTGAGGCTTGTAGTAAGAAACCCCCTACCCTAAGAAACCCCTTACTTCCCCCTTACTATCGGAACAGAGTTCATGACCTCTTACAGCGATTGTGCTATGATGCTGTAGTTACCTTTATCTAGAGCTCCTCACAGGTTCTAGTAGATATCAGAGGCTAGTGGCCTGTATCTTAGGATACTTCCTTCTCTCAGAGTTGAGGGGGTTCCCACACTCTCACGTTTCAGTGAGAGTTCTTCCTGTTGGCATCTCCGTGTCACATAGACACCCGAGAGACCTAGCTACCACAGCTGCATTGTGCACTTGCTGCACCGTGACCCAGCTCATTAGACACCAGCACATACCGAAGCTAATATCGCTGGACCTCTATTCCGGTAATTTTTTTTTTGAATAAGACTCGGAAATTGACCCATCCTCCATGAGTCCTAATTAAGATGAACTCAAGTTACCGTGACCCTCAGCCTGAGGCCGCTGCCCCGAGGTACGGTACCGCGTCGGTACCGTAGGCACGGTGTAAACCAATTAATTTGCAGTAACGTTGACGTAGTTGGCTTGGCCCAGCCTCTGGCTGGTGAGCATTTCCCTACTACTTTACATCACGCTGCGACATACTCTTGCTACTCAGAGTACGAGCTTGTAATGCTGTCACGAACCACCTGCGCGAAGCAAACATAAAATGGCAAGCCAGACCCATATATCGCCCCTGCTGTTCCTAGCCGCGATCGCAACGGCCGCCGCCAAGCTGACGCCGGAGTGGCGCGTCGTCAGCGCCGCCAAGGGCGTCACGACGCGCGCGCGCATCGACGCGACGTCGCAGCTCTGCGCCGTGCACGGCGAGGCCGTAGTCGAGGCGTCGGTCGCGGAGCTGATGAGCGTCTTCGGCGACCTGGACCAGCACGGGCACTGGGACGCGACGCTCGTCGATGCGCGCGAGTGGACGGGCGCCGACGGCGGCACGTACGTGTATCAGCGGTTCAAGCAGCCTTGGCCGGTGCGCGATAGGGAACTCGTGCTGCGCCGGAGAGAATGGCGACGGAACCAGACGGTGTCCGTCCACTTCGAGAGCGTCGACGAGGGCACGCCCGTCGCGCCGGGCGCGGTCCGGACGCTGGCGCACACCGTGTGGTGGAACTTTACGGCTGTCTCCGAAACCGAGACGCTGATTTCGCATTACTCCTGCGTCGACCCGGGCGGCGCCATCCCGGCCTGGGCCCGCGATCTCGCCGTCCAGAGGTGGTGCCAGTCGCAGATCTTGGCGCTCGTCGACACGGCCAGGCGCTTGGGCCTCCGGCCAGTGCCCGCCTTTGCGAGTTGGGGCGCGCCGCGCGCCGTCGAACTCTTGCGTGCGGACCCCCCGCCACAACCCCGCGTCACCCCGGCCAGCGCGCCGTTCCAATTTGAACCTCGGTAATCCCTCCTTTGAACCACCCCATAAACGGGCTGATTCGGGACTTATCCGGGAGGCCCGCGGCGCGGCAACTTACGTGTCAAGTTTTTCTAGAAAAACTCGACAAGCTAGTGGGAAAAACATGCTAGGTCCCATGATAACCTCAGATTTTTTTTTTCTAGTATACTTGACCTCTAACCTGCCTTAATATCAACCCTAACCTCCCTTAATTTCAACCCTAACCCTAATCCTAACCGAGGTTATTTTTATGCGATGCATAGGGAAATAGAGTGTGTAGCTCCGGACTTCCCCGGCAGCGTAGTGTAGTCGTCTAACGAAATAGTTTCTCCCATGTTTGATGGGGTTTGTGACGGGGAATTGCGTCCGTCAATAAAAGTGACTCAGGATGATAATAGTTAGGAGAGAGAGGCGACTTCCCCCTAAATTTGAGTCTATACAACGAGTGTACATTGCACTACGTTGTAACAACAATTTGCTATAAAACACTCTCGTAGTTAGGTAGGCACAGCCTTTGGCTGGTGTGCTAGGACCCTGCTACTCTACATAACGCTGCGACATACTCTTGCTAAGCTTTCTAGTACCGGTACCTACGGATCAGAGCCCCGGGACCATGGTGTGAGGCGAGCAGGCGCCCCGCCCTTTAGCTGAATCAGGATGATCATTTGCCTCAATTGGCTGCCCCTCGCCCTGGCCGCCGGCTCCGTCATGACCTACTACACCAGCAAGCAGGCGGGTTGCGACGAAATGCGATGCGGCGTGTACTGCGAACCCACCTCTCGGGTGGGGTACCGGCGGCGGTGTCGGCGCGACGGGCGCTGCGACGACACCAAGGCCTGCCAGGGCCTGCTGGTCCCGCCGCGGACGCCGCACGAGGGCGAGCCCGACAAGAAGAATGAGAGACGGCCGGCCGTGGGCCAGACGGACGCCGAGCTGCTCTGCGCGAAAGGTTTGCGGGGCACGAACGCCGACTCCGCGGAGTACGCCGGCAACGCGTGCTGCCCGAAGGAGTGCGGCGCCTGCGGCGAGTCGGCCTGCGATGACGAGGTCGATGTCGCCACGAAGCGCAAGGGCACCGAAGGGTGCTGCGTGGGAGCCCTGCGCAGAGCCGCCAAGCCCTGCATCTTCCCCAGTGACGTGGCGTGTAGCCTACCGCCGTACTTTGCCTCGGAGCCCGAGAAGGCAGCCGAAGCAGCCGTCAGCTACCTTGTCCTCGCCGACGAACGCCAGCGGCCGCACATCTTTGCTGCGCAGTGCACGTGGCTCCGGCATGTGCCTCCTTCGAGGGTTGTGTATGTGACAGACTTTGTCGTCGGCTTTTCCGTGCCCGAGGCCCGCGCCGAGGCCATCTTGTCCAAGGACAAATCCGGGCCTGAGACGGTCGTAGTGGGGGCCTGTGGTACTGGAGTCGTGCACAGAGTGCGCGTGCCGAGCGTCGCCAATTATTTCGATACCTTACGCCGCGTCGTGGCCCTGAAGCGCATCTGGTCCCCTTGGGTCTGTGTTGTCCCGGCCGCGACCGGCGTGCATCCGCAAAATTTGGGGGCCTTCCTTGCCGAGGCGCGGCGCCGGAACCCGGGTCGCAGACGCAACCCCTGGGCGAAGACGCCACCCTACGTGGGTCGCACGCGCAATGCGAGTGAAATTCCCTATTCGGGTCATCTGCCGCATGTGGTCCCAGAAAACGGCGTCGTCATCCGAACAGACTTCCTCCGAGCGATGGCGCGGGCGCCGGCGCGCGAGCCCTTGTGTACAGCGTCAGCGAGCCTTCGGGCCGCGGACGCGTCCGTCGCGCTGGTTGCGTCCTGCCTCTGGGCCCTCGGTGCATACCCGAAGGATGCGTCGCACGTGTTCAGGTCCACGCTCGAGAGCGCTCAGGAGCCCGTGGCTGCTGGCCCGCTGGACACCGCTGGGTTGCTCGCGTTTGGTGCCCGCTACGCGTCGATCAAGCTCTCGACTGCGGTGGAACTTCCGGCCGCGGGCTTCGAGACGAAGTCCCAGGTTGGCGGGGCGTTCCGAGCGCCACCTCCAGTCTCGAGCGCCAACGTGGCCTTCGCGATAATTACACCAGAGAACGCCGTCAGGCGCGTTGTTGTTGATGTGCTAGGCACCTGGGCATCACAGGCCAACGTCTACTTCTTCATCGACGAACATGCGTTTCTCTCCGTTCGCGCCGAATTGGAACGCGACATACCAGAACTCCTGGGGGCCGCGCGGCGCCTGGCCCAAGAACCCGACGGCCGCGGGGAGCCGCGCCAGGCCATCGCCGCGGCCGGCGCGCACTGGCGGTCTAGGCCGCGAGAAAGGCACCGGCGCGGCTTCGTCGCTTATGGGAAAGATTACACGCCAGAAGCCGCAGTCGTGGCGGAGGGGACTCGCGTGCGCTGCTCAGCAAATCTGGCCGCCGGGCTATTCGACGTCGACCGCCGGCGCCAGGACGTGCGGCTCGTCGGCCTCCAGCTGCCCCCTGCTCCTGCGCCGCGGCCGGTCGGGCGCAAGAACCGCAAGCGAGCCTCAGCATCGAGTAACCTCGCGCGCCGGGACTTTTATCAGACGTCGCTGAGGAAAACGTCTTCCTGGAATTTGTGGCTCCGCGCAAAGGTCGCACACATGGTCGGCTGGCTCTCGGCGAAAAACCCCGCAACGTTCGGTCTGCTGGCGGACGCCAACGCAACTCGCACCGACTGGCTCGTACTTATGGACGATGATACCTACGTCCTACCGGGTCGTCTACGCGCGACGCTCGGCTGGTACGGCTTCGCTGCGCGCTCGGCGCTGGCGGTCGGCCGTAAATTCCACAGCCGCAAGACCATGCTGCTGGGCGGCGGTCCGGGCATCGCGCTCTCGCGTACGGCCCTCGACAAGATCTCCGCAGCCGAGTGCACGAAACGCACCTTTCCCATCATCTCCAGCAGCGTGCCGGGGGGCGACGGCTGGCTTGGAAGCCTGCGTGGGAATCTAAAACATTGGGCCTGCCTCCGATCGTGTCTCGTCGACGAATGTTGCCAGTCACTCCTCCGCACTGCCCAGTTTTGAGCGAAATCGAAATGGGACGTCGAGTGGAGACCCCTTCGAGCCCGGCCAATCAAGTTGTTGACGTCCACGCAGGCTCGGTCAGTGCCTCCAGGCCGCGGGCGTCCGCCTCGAGCACAACGATGGTTTTCTGAGCAACAGGATATCCCACTACGCGCGGGACAGCGCCGCGCGGGGGGTCAGCTTCCATCGGGCCGCGCACGCTGACGACCACGCGTTTGCCTGGGATGCATTCGCTGCCGAGATGCGCTTCGCTGCTCCTGCGCCGGCCGACGCTGCGGCGCTCCTCGCTGCGTTTGCTTCGGCGTCGAACATCAGAGCTGGGGCTGCCGTCGCTTCGTCCCCAAAGAGTCCGACGTGCCCGAGAGACACACCCCATGCAGGTGGGGCGGATCACCACCGACGGCGCGCCCGCCGACGCCGGACCTCTGCGAACCCTTCTTCCACTGGTCCTTGTCGGCGCCCGTGTGCCTGCCGCGCTTCACCATCATTGGCGCGCAGAAGGCAGGCACGACGTCCATGTTCGCTTACCTCGGCCAGCACCCCCAGGTGCTGCTGCCTAAGGAGAAGGAGCTGAACTTCTGGGGCAGCATCTGGCCGCCCACGAGGAGCGCACGCAGCCGCCAGCCGGGTTACGACGGCGGACGCATGGTCAGCATGACCGACTTCCTCCAGGATTACATGCCCCGCTTCCCGCTGCGGGTGCCCACCGACGAGGCCGTGCATGTCTACGGGGAGGGTTCACCCGACTACCTCGTGGCTGGGCCCCAGGTCCTGTCCAACTTGTTGCGCTACATGCCCCTCGTCAAGCTTGTCGTGAGCCTCCGCGAACCAATCGCGCGCGCGTGCTCGGCGTACGCGAATAAGAAGGCCGATGGCACGCTCCACAAGCACCTTCTCAGAAACCGCGATGCGTTGAGAGACACGCGCCTCGACGGCGAGCTATCCAACTACACACCGCCAACTCTCGACTCCCTGGCGCTGGATGCGCACGGTTCCAGTGTTTGGTGGCCTTGCACGCGGCCGATAGTTTTCCCCCTGCAGGCTCAGCGTGCTCGCCAAGTGCCCTGATCAGCGTTACCACCGCACGCTCGGCGAGGCCCCCAAGGACGGCAAGGGCGACTGCTACGTGAGCCCTTTCGTGCTCCACGGCTACTACGCAAAGTACCTGGACATATTTTTTCAAGTGCTGCCTTCAGACCAATTACTTGTGGTGGACTACGCGGCCTTTGCGGTGGACCCAGCGGCCGTGATGGACGAGGTCGCGCACCACCTGGGCCTCGACCCGCGACCCAGTGCGAACTTCTCAGGCTTCGATACCTCACTTGTCTTCAACACGCGCGAGAACCGAGGCACACACGCGCGCGGCTACGGGGGCAAGGTAGGTGGCGCGATGTCCGCCGCCATTCGGCCTGGCTTTGCCAACAAGGGGTCCTTCGACGCTTCCTGGGAGGCCGGAATCAGTCCGGGCGCGCGTGCGGCTCTCCACCGGTACTACGAACGGCCTAACGCGGAGCTCCGGGCGCTCCTCCTCCGCCATGGTAAGCCGTCCGTGAGCTGGGCGACGGCGGAGTATGCCGGGTAAGCCAGGTCTACTTTGACGGCTCCGAGTCTGGTTTCTAGAGGGGTGCCCCCCTCTGGAGATCGTTGCTCTGGCCACTTGAGTTGCGGAGTAACAAAGGGGTCTTTGCCAAGTTTGCTTGTAGTTTCTTGTGTAGTCCGGGGTTGGCCTACTTGGCGCTTCAGCTTCGGAGAGGAGGCGGCCCCGCGCCGGAGAGCATGTAGACTGCAGCCTTGGCGGGCTCGACGGGAACGCTGCCGCTCGCCGAAGAGGACGCCGACTCTCCTGGCAGACGTCGCGGCCGCGCCGGGAGGCCGAACTTGAAGGGCCCACCCAACGTCGGGTAATTTTTTCGATATAGTAAAACGGGTGGGTTCAATAAGCGACTCTCTCTCTCTTAAAACGGGCGGAGGGGCGCGACGCGGGGCGGCGAGGGCGCGCGCGCCAGATAGACCCCGGCCCCGTTCCCCCTGTAATTGGCGTCTCGGAAACTTGAAGTAAGGTATATCCGAGTCCGCGCGCACGATGAACCAGCGCCCGGGGACAACGCATGCGTAGCTAGGACGGGTGGATTCAAGGTTAGGGTTTTGGTAAGAAGTCAAAAGCAGCGTCTGCCTCGTAGACTGGCATGTAGCGAGACGCGAGCATGGGTCTGAGGCGCTTCATCTCTCGCACGCACGCTCGCTGCGCCGTGGCGTTCAGCTCTTGCATGAAGTTGCCGGCGATACCGCTGCGCGTCATGACGCCATTCAGCATCGTGGGATCGGTCGGTTTCTGCAGCTTCGCTGCGGAGTCGGGGTGCACCTTCAAATGCATCTCGCCCGAGGCTTCCTCTCGGCGCATCGATTCGAACGACGTCGCGTTCGCGACGGAGACGGCCTGCTCTTGGCGGATCGGGTGGCCGATGAATCGGGCGACGATCATAATGACGCCGACGGGATCGACTTTCGTCGCCTCGTAGAAGACGCGAAGCACGCGCGCATTCGGCCCCTTGCCGTTCTCCGCGGCGATCTGCGCGTTGGCGCGCCGCGTCGCTTCGCGGCACCCCTTGCGGATCGCGTACTCCGACGCCGTCGTCGACCTGAACTCGGACTTGAACACGCCGCTCCAGTGGTACATCGAGACGGCGACGTCGCGCGGGTCGCGGTACGTCGAGATGAAGCGCACGTCCGAGCGCTTCGACGCCGCGCCCGCGTAAATACCCGCGTCGAAGCCGTTGCTGTGCTTGCCGCTGTCGCCGTCGCACTTCGCGCACGCGCGGCAGCCGGCGCCACGGCCGGCGCGCGCGGGCTCCTCCGAGGGACCCTCCTCGCACGCGAGCGCGGCGATCTTCTCAAGGATCTCCGTCGTCCACGTCGTCCCGGTCTTCGGCGCGCCGCGCAGCAAGTGGCAGCACTCGCGAGCGCGGCTCTCGCCTTGGCTCGCCGGCCCTTGGCTCGCCGGCCCGGGCGAAGGCTTCGAGCGCTTCGCGTCCGCGTCCGCGTTGCTCGCGCCCGCCGCGGACTGCGCGCTCGTCGCGTGCGACGACGACGCGTGGGCACGGCTCGCGCGCGCGCGCTCAGCGCCGCGCGCGCCGCACTGTGCCGTTCGGACCAGGAGGAGCAGCAGCGGTGTGAGCCGGGGCATAGCGGCGAAACGCTCCGAAGCGACTCAGTCGGACGACCACCGAGAAATAGTGGGTGGTAGGAGCAGAGAAGAAACGCCTTTGTCCTGCGTTCGTACCCTCGGAAGGTTGAAAGATCCGCCACAACGGCGCGCGCAGTCACACAAAATTCTATCTGCTGGAGGCCACCTTCCGTATTACTACGCCGGCTACGGCGCTGCTCATGTTACTGTGACGAGCTGGCGCAAAACAGCTTAGGGATGCCTAAAATTGCTTATGACTCTCGAGGTATCAGCGGATACATACCTTCCCTTAGCTTATGCAAGCTCTACGAGCAATTAGAATGAATCAGCCTGCGATTTCCTTAGCTCTAATTAGAATGAATCAGCCTGCGAAGCTTAAGGCTCCGTGGAGACCTCGATATTTACAGGGGGGTCAACTTGAAGCAGCTTGGCTTTTTGGCGTAAAGTACTAGAGAGGGCGAACCGAGTGCAATCTCGAAAGAAATACGTCGCGTTCTTTCCAGAAAGCCCTCCATTCGAACAACGTATGTTGGATGGTCTGAGTCGCGCGATAGAGCCTCCCAAAATCTGCCAGTGGGTCTGGGCCTCATCGGGAACCGACTCGGAACACGAGGGCCGGACGGCATCCGGGTCCGAGTCGGTGTACTTGGCTAATATGCTAAATTACATTTAAACCACCCGATGTCAAACTCCGACTTTCAAGCCACCGGCGAGGCAGGCGCTCAGTCCGAGCCGACGCGAAGCACCGCCGCTATCGCGCCGCCGACGTACGCGTGGAGGAAGACGAGGGCGAGGGCGGCCCACTGCGCGGCGCCGACCGCGTGGCCGAAGTACGCGACCGAGAGGAGCACCGAGAGGACCTTGCGGAGCGTCGTGACCGTGGCGACGACGATGGTGCCGCTCTCGCGGAGGAGGCGGTAGACGCAAAGCGTTCCGAGCGCCTTGGACACGTTGAAAAGGGCGAGGTCGCGCGCGACGCGCGGGTGCGCGGAGACGAACGCGGCCGCGGCGCCGAGCTCGCCGCCCGCCGCGGCGCACGCGCACGCGCTCAGGAGCGCCTGCCAGGCGTTCATGTAGAACATGAGCACCCATTCGCTGTCGCACCGCGCGACGAGCTTCGTCTGGTACCCGCCGTAGATGCCTGCGCCGGCGCGGTCGGATCGCGCGACGGAAGCGGGGCTCCGCGCGACAGACGCACCGTCCGAGACGAGCGCGCACGCCACCAGCGCGACGCCCGCGGGCGTCGTGCGCCGCGCGCCGCCGGCGGTCTCGTGGAGAAGAAAGAACGCGCTCGCGCCGACGCACATGGCCGCGACGCCAATGTACTTCGCCGGCGCGTGCCTGCGCGGCGCCCGCCTCGCGCGCGCGCGGAGGCACGCCGCGGCCGGCCGCAGGGGGCGCCGGTTCGCGCCGTCGGGCCGTGAGGAGCCGCTCGCCGACGACGACGGGGATGGCCTTGCACGACTTGAGCGTGACGTGCACCGGGTAGCTCAGGAGCGGCAGCGACGCGAGGCCGAACCAGTGCGACGCGTAGTACGCGCCGACGACGACGGCCCACCGGCCGTAGTCGCCGCGCGGCGGCCGTCGCGCGCGCGGTCGCGGCCCGCGCGCCAGCATCATCGCGCCCGCGACGACCGCGGACGCCGCCGACTGCAAGAGCAGCAACACGTTCCTGTAGCGGAACGTCGCCCCGTCGTACGTGCGTGTCGTCAACGCCTCCTGCGTCAGCGACGACACGCCGAAGCACAGCAGCACGCCTGCGCTCAGCAGTAGCTGCCGCGCGGGCGAGGCCAGGGGCAACTCCGTCTCCGGCGGCGGCGTGGCAACGCTTGCACGCGGTGCGCGGCGGCGCATAGCTCTCACAGGTTGTACGTCTCGCGTGCACGCCAACCAACGCACGCCAACCAACTCTGTGAGTGGAGCAGCATGCAGCGGAGAGCAACGCCACAGGCCCCGCCAGCACTAGATGGGACTAAGGGCGCCTCCGTTGCTTCGAGCCGTGCGAGCCGCGCGCCGCCGCCGCGGGCTGCAATTGACGCGGACGACTTCGAGCCAAGCGCCCGTCTTCGACCGCGAGCTCAAGCTGCGCCACCGCGCGCGCGCCGCCGCCGAGGACGCGGCGGGCGTCGCGTACCTGCGCGAGGCGGCGGCGGCGCGCGTCGTCGGACGCCTGCGCGACGTCGCGGCGCGCGAGGAAAAAAAAACAGCGCTGGACCTCGGCTGCGGCGCGGGCCATCTCCGCGCGGCGCTCGAGGCGGACGCGGTCGACGGCGACGTCGCGGGCGGGATCGCGACGCTCGCGCAGTGCGACGCCGCGCCGGAGGCCGTCGCGGCGTGCGCGTCGCGCGCGCCGGCGGCGGGCTTCGCGACGACCGCGGTCGTCGCCGACGAGGAGCGGCCGCTGCCGTTCGACGACGCGAGCTTCGACGCCGTCCTGAGCTCCGGCAGCCTGCACTGGGTGAACGACCTCCCCGGCGCGCTGCGCGAGGTCCGCCGCGTGCTCCGACCCGACGGCGTCTTCATCGGCGCGCTCGCCGGCGCGGGCACGCTGGGCGAGCTGCAGTACTGTCGGCGCCCGGCGCGGGGGAGGGGCATAGAGAGGCGACGGCCCGGGGTGAGGGTGGCGGCGCGCGCAGGCCTCGCGGCGGCCGAGGAGGAGCGAACGGGCGGCGTCGCGCCGCGGTGCTCGCCCGCCGCGCGCCTCGCGGACTGCGGCCAGCTCCTCCACCAGGCCGGCTTTAGGCTCATCACGGTCGACGTGGAGCGCGTGCAGGTCGACTTCGGCGACGCCTTCCTGCTGCTCGACGACCTCCAGCGCATGGGCGAGCAGCACGCGCCACTCGCGCCGGCGCCGCTCGGCCGCGACGCGCTCCTCGCCGCGGCCGCCGCGTACCAGCACATGTTCCCGGCGGCCGGAGACGCGACCGCGCTCCGCGCGTCGTTCGAGATGACGTTCCTCATCGGCTGGGCGCCCGACACGAACGAGCCAGCGCCTGTGCGGGCCCGGGGCCCAGGATGAGGCGACCAATTTCCAACATCCCTGGGCGGGTCCGTCGACTTGCCCCGGTTGTCCCCTCATCTGTCCTGTCCGAGTCGTGACGGAGGCGTCGTCCGCCGCCGGCGATTCTCGAGTCACAATAGTAAATTATAATGATTAATAAAATCAACAAGGACCTAGGACCTGCGGTTGCGTAGATCCGAGTCCATAGGATAGTAGGATAGGAACAAGCTCCTAAGAGCCCTTTCTGCCTGCTCAGTCAGGACTCGGATACCCGGGCAGCAACCCACTGCCAGCCTGAGTGGCCCGACCCGGGCCGCCGGGGCAACCGGCGGACTTCGATAAGACAGAGTTCAACTTGGAATAAAGGAGATTAAGAAGGAGAAGGAAGTATCCGAGTCCTAGGATACAGGACACTAGCCTCTGGTACCTACTAGAACCTGAGAAGAGCTCTAGATGTAGGTAACTACAGGATCATAGCGCAATCGCTGTAGAGGGAACTAGAGAGAGAAACCTACTAGCCCTACCCTAGATATGTATCTCCCACTCTCTAATATTTGAGTCTATACATCGAGTGTCAAAAGCACTACGGTGTAATGAGCTGGGTGCAGCAAGTGCACAATGCAGCTGTGGTAGCTAGGTCTCTCGGGTGTCAATATGACACGGAGATGCCAACAGGAAGAACTCTCACTGAAACGTGAGAGTGTGGGAACCCCCTCAACTCTGAGAAGACAGAATTGGAATAAAGGAGATTAAGAGGGAGAAGGAAGTATCCTAAGATACAGGCCACTAGCCTCTGATATCTACTAGAACCTGTGAGGAGCTCTAGATAAAGATAACTACAGCATCATAGCACAATCGCTGTACTAGGAACGGTATCAATTTTTAGTACCTACGGTACCGGTACAAAACAAGGGACGAACTCGAGTCGAGCTGCACCGCGCGCGAACGGATGGTGTGCGGCCATGGGTCACTAGCACATGGATAGCGCGTCGTCGTCGCGCCGGCGCGCGACCAAGGACGAAGAAGAACCGGATGTCGACCTCCCAACGACACCCGCCGCTCGCGTGCGGCCCGAGAAGTACAGCGCACGCGCGGAGGTGCGGCTCATCGCGGGATTTGTCGTTCTGCTGGTGGGGCTGCTGGCCGTCCTCCTGCGCCACGCGGACGCGCGGGGCCGGCGCGCGATCGGCGAGTTCGGGCACCTGGATCGGGCGTTCGTGCTGTCGACGCGCGGCTCGAACGGAACGAGCTCGGCCGAGCTCGAGCGTCTCAAGCTCCAGCTCCGCGCGCTGCGCTTGACGAACGACGACATCCACGTCGTCTACGCTCCCGAGAGAGTCTCGACGCGCGAGGCGATGCTCAGGCGGTGGTCCAAGGGCACCGGCATGCGGCACCTTGTCCACGCGCTCGTCGACTGGGCGACCGAGTCGCCCAAGCGCCACCCCGTCTGGTCCGGTGCACAAATCAACTTTTCGCGACGCGTCAGCTGCACGCCATCTTCATTATATGGACACCCGACTCACTGTTTGATTTGTGCACAGGTGGCGCTCGTGTTGGAGGACGACGCCGTCGTGCTGCCCGGGGGCGTGAGTGTCCTCAACGACGCCCTGCGCTATCTCGAGTCGGACACGGGTCTCTTCGGCAACTGGGACATTCTCTACGCGGCGCATTGCGGCGAGTGCCTCTGGTGGGCCGACGCGCTGACGGACTCGTCGACGGCCAGGCTCGGCGGCGGTCTCGCGGGCGACGAGGTCGGCCTCAACGAGTACGCGTTCAACAGGAGTCACGATCCCGGCTGCAACGCCGACGCGGCCGCGCCGCGGCGCCGGAAGCGCCCGAGCTCCAGAAAACTCGCCCGGACGGGCGCGCGCGACGTCGCCGTCGCCGTCGAGCGCCGCGCCGTCGTCGCGCTCTCGGGCACGACGGCGGCGCTCGCGCGGGCCGTGGACCCGCGGTGCTCCGACGCCCTCGCCGTGAGATACACGCCTGCGCTAGCCGCGACCCTCGCTTCGGTCGTCGACGGCGACCCCTCGCTCGGCCCGTTCCACGAGGGTCAGTTCGATCTCACGCTCGCGCGACTCGCGGCCGACCGCGTCCTTCGCGCCTTTGTCATCTGGCCGCCGGTAGTCCACCGGTTCCACGACGGTTACGGCCGCCCCGACGACGGATACGGCATGAACTCCTCCCAGTTCATTACCGCCTGGCTCGAGCTCAAGACGACGCGGCGGCGCTGACGCGTTGACCAGCGTAGGAGTAAGAATTAGGCTACAGTCAGATTAGACACCGTGTGACCCATGCTAGCTCCCTGCCCCCGCCACTGAAGTAGCTCTAGAGCTACTTCAGTAAGTAACCCTACCCCCTACTATAATAGGGGGTTACTTTGAATCTTACTAGCCCCATACCCTAACCCTAACCCTAACCCTAATCCTAATCCTACCTAACCCTAACCCCGGGTTACTTTGAATCTTACTAGCCCCCCAACCTCGCTTTTCTGCGATACAAAACGCCACAATCCGCGTCACTCGCGTTGCTCTGCGTCTGGGGCATGCCCCCGGGTAAAATTCCAACTACCAATCAAATACCGACATTTCTAGTAGGAAAAAAATCCTAGTGTGCTGTTGGTGCTGCTGGTGTTGTTGTTTTTCAGTCCCACACTCCCAGCACCGGGGCCACCACGGAAACCCGGGAGTTACTTAAATTATACTTATACTTTCTCTCTTTCTTATGATCAAAACAACAACAGCATCAACACCAACAGCACACTAGAAAAAGGCGACGTGCGCCCGCGCCCACCGTCAGCGCTGCGCAGTTCCTGCGGCGCCGATGAGGCTGCTTGCGGGGCTGCTGGCGGCTGCCGCCGCCGCCGACGAGCTCGCGCCGTGGCGGCGCAACGTGTCGCACCCCATACCGCCTCTCCGCGCCATGGGACAATTTCAAAGCACTCCAGACACCATGGCCGACGACAAGAAACGCGCGGGGCGGCGTCTGCGTCGCGGGCGCGCGAGCCCGGTCCTCGACGGAGCCGCGCTAGCGTCCGAGACTCGAGACCCAAGGGTACGAAGGCTTGCCGCGACCGAGTGGTCAATCCGGTGCCAGGAGGCGGGCCTGGGGCTTGGGCGCGCAGCACGTGGTGCCAAGACGGTACATGACGTCGCCGCGACGGTGGCGCGGCCCTGGAACGGCACGCATGCGCCGCCGCCACGCCACGTCATTGTGTTCCTCCTCGGCTACGCGTTCTCCGGCACGAGCGCGATCCATTGGCTCCTCGCGCAGGCGCCAGCAGTCTCGACGCTCATAGATCCGAACACGTTGGGCCCCAAGAAGGAGGGCTGGTCAGTCGACGGCCTGAAAAGGGGCAAGATTCCCGACGGGCAGCAAATAGACGGCCATCAACGCTGGGCCGACGACGACACATGGATCCCGTGGCAGCACTTGGAGCGCACGTACAACAGCCACTGGGACCACAGCAAGCCAATCTTTCTCGAGAATTCGCCTCCCGAGATCCTCCACCCCGACCACTTGTTCCGGCAATTCACACGCAACGATACCGAGGTCCGGTTCGTCGTCATTGTCAGGTCCCCGTGCAACCAGCACGCCACAAACACCGACAACCACGCAAGCAGGATGGACGTCGTACGCAAGATCGCGAGAAAGTACGGCCGGCGCCACGCCTTCGTCTTGCGCTACGAGGATCTCTGCGACCAGCCAAGGCGCGTGCCTGTGGCGCTCGAAGAGTGGCTCCCCGGCCTCGGCGCGGGAATCGACCCCTATCGCACGCCAGGTGCTGGCGGGCGTCGTCCGACGCCGCGCGGGCGCCTGCTATGCAACCATTCCGGGTGCGGATCGCACGAGCAGATGCCGATCCCGGAGTTCTGCCATACCGCCTTTATCCCGCAGCTGCCGTACAATACTACCCTGCCCACAACCATTGATCGGAACTCCTACACCTCGCTCCTCGGCTTCTTCGACTACAACGTCAGCAGTGAGCCTAATTAAGAAAATTGCCTCGGGGTCCTAGGTTAACTGTCTAGAGCTACTTCAGTAAGTAACCCTACCCCCCTACTATAATAGGGTTAGTTTAAATCATACTAGGCCCATACCCGGGGTTACTTTAAATCATACTAGCCCCTAACCCGAGTTACTTTAAATCATACTAGGCCCATACCTGGCTTAACTGGGATCTGCGACCGCAATCGGCGTACTTTAATTGTATATATGCGGCTCTCCACAGCCTTTAGAATACGCTGCGCCTCCTATGCACACGATTTACCGCCTGCTGCTGCATCTTACGCGTTTTGGCGTGGCGCAACACGTCGCGCGGCGCTCTCCATTACGACACGACACGCCGTGATCAAGCGCCATCGACGCCATTCTCAATCGCCGCATAAAAAAATTGTAGCACTCATCACTAAATTATCGCTAAATTCGGGTTTATTTAGACTATCGCTAAATTTACAGTAGAACAGTGAGACTTTTTACTATCTTTTTTTTTTTGAGTATAGAGTATCATATATGTATGATATCATATGAGTAACATATGAGTATAATCTGAAAAAAAAAAAGTTTTGTAAAAAAGTCCCACTGTTCTACTGTTATCCTAGTAGGTTTTGAAGTAACCTTAGCGATAATTTAGTGATGAGTGCTACAATTTTTTTATGCGGCGATTGAGAATGGCGTCGATGGCGTTTCTGATCACGGCAATGTGTCGCAATGGAGCAGCGCTACGCTTTGACGTGTTGCGCAACAGTTCTAATGCGTGTGATGCAGCAGCCATGGGTAAATCGTGTGCATAGGAGGCGCAGCGTATTCTAAAGGCTGTGGAGAGCCGCATAGAGCAATTAAAGTACAAGGATTGCGGTTATGAGATCCCAGTTAAGCCAGGTATGGGCCTAGTATGATTTAAAGTAACTCGGGTTAGGGGCTAGTATGATTTAAAGTAACCCCGGGTATGGGCCTAGTATGATTTAAACTAACCCTATTATAGTAGGGGGGTAGGGTTACTTACTGAAGTAGCTCTAGAGCTACTTCAGTCGCCCCGGCCCCCTCTACACCCCTCCCTAGGCGCGTGCCCCCAAAACCCGAATCGACTATAGCTATCTAGGTTAATGACCGGGTTATGCACTCCAGATCCCCTCCGAGGGGTAATAATAGGTAAATACCCGGTTATTAACCAGTAAGTGGGAACCTAGCCAGTCACGGTGCCCCGGGCAGTGCCAACTTCAGCCTCAGCCTGAGGCTGAGGCGCGCGGAGAGGCTCAGTGAGAGACCTGGGGTGCCGTAGTTACTACGGCGTTTTTAGGTGAGAAACGGTCCGCTAGGTGAGAGCAAGTATGCCAGTGAGAGCATACTAAGTGAGAGCAGGGGCGTAATCTACTAGTATCTTACTTTCTTCTCTTGAGCACTCAGCTAGGTAAGTTTTGGTTTCGGTCGCCGGACTTCAGGCGGGTCAGAGCTGAGGCTGGACTCAGTACGCCCCCACCCAGTCGCCGCGCTCAAGCTCGTGAATGGCATAGCCTTCTTCAAGCCCCTCCCTGTGCTACAAGCAAGGCAACGCGAGCGCCTAGGAAGCTCCGTAGCACACGGCCCGAAAACAACGGACGAGGCAGAGGACGGAGCGGATGTGGGGCCGGTCGTCGTCGCCGCCGCCACCGACTTCGGCAGACGCCAACGGCGCGTGGATCCTGATGCCCGCGGGGTCGAGTCCTAGGCACGCTTCGAGGAAGTTCCGCTCCGCGGCTCCGCCGCCGCGCGAAAGAGGCGCGAACCGGACCGCGACGACGAGCGAACGTGCCGCGCCGTTCCGATACAAAAGCCCGACGCGCGCGCAGAAGTCGCCGCACGCGAAAACGGACCCAGAAAAAACCGCCGCGGCGCGCGGCGCGTCGACGCCAGCGGCGCCGACGACGGCCGCGGCCGTCGTCGCGCCGCACGCCACGACGCGCGCGCCCGCCGCCGCGCCGGTCCGGCCGCAGAACGTCGTGCCACCGCCCTTCTCCAACCGGACGGCGTACACCTCGCGGAAGGCGGCGCTGTCCGGGAGGAGGTGAAACGCGACCTCGACGTCCCACGACCCGACGCGCGCCCCGACGGCCGCCGCCGCCGCCGCGACGCGTTCCAACGCGGCCGCGAACGTCTCCGCGCGGCCGTCGGGGCCGGTCCGCGGCGCGACCGTCGCGAGCGTACCGCACGGTGCCAGGGCCTCGTGGAGCGAGGCCCTCTCCATCAGGACGATGGCTAGCCGCGTGCGCGCGCAATGTGCATAATTGGTCCTCCTAATGATCTTTATGAGGCAGGCACGCAGCAAGTAGCAGTGACCAAATGAAGCATCTGATAGAACGTGTGTGGTATACTATACTTGTTTACGTATTGGCTCGCTGAGCAGCGCTCGCCGGTCCTCGCTGTAGGATTAATCTCCTTCGCCTCAGTCCTTTCCCTTTTTTCTCTTTTTGTAAAACCCGCACCATAAGAACCGCTCCCGAGCTTCGGCTCGCGCGCTCGACTCCCATCTCTGCCGTACGTGGTTGGCGGGGACTGCTTCGCGCCCGCTGGCGGCCCCCGACGCGGGTCGACCCCGGCGGCGGTGGCTTAGGCCCAAATCCACCGCGGTCCCAAGTCCCCTTCAAGTCCACCCGTGGAAGAGGCGTCCCCTAACCCTCCGCCAGTACGTACACAGGTGCGTAGTTACCCACGCAGGCGTCGTTGACGCAGCCCGCACCAGATTGGAACGCATCTCGGACACCGAGAGAGAGGAGACAAAGTCACGCAATTCGGTCACCTTCTGGGCCCGCAGCGTCGAAACAAAGGCCACTTTCTATAGGAATAGGTGGTCGAGCGTCCCAGCGCAGCAGTCGCCGTCCCTCGAGCGCGCGTATAGGCCGAGATCGAGAAATGCGCATTTCTTCCGCTGCTCCGTGCGCGACGCGAGGGGCTCCGCTGCAGCCCAAAATTGGGCTACCCTACCAACTTTATGTAAGTGCACCGCGTGCCAAATTTGGTGGCTTGGGATGGCGTGTGGGCTGCGGTAGGTGCCCGGTTACTAAAAGTGGGATTGTGCGGTATAAACCCTCGCTTGTGTAACAGCGAGGAACCTAACCTACGGTACTATACTAGAGAGAGAAACCTACTAGCCCTTCCTACCCTAGATATGTATCTCCCACTCTCTAAATTTGAGTCTATACAGCGAATGTCTATTGCACTACGTTGTAACAACAATTTACTATAAAACACCTTCGTAGTTAGGTTGGCCCAGCCCTCGGCTGGTGAGCTAGGACCCTACACGGGCGCCGGCGCGGCCGCCGGCCCGGCGGCCCGCCGGGCCGGGCGCCGCGGGGGCCCGGGATCATGATCGTAACGACCCATCAATAGGCTTCGAAGGCCGGGGTGAACAAGAAGTTCCGGGGATAACCCCACACCTTCAGGGGAATTACCAAAAGTCCCTTTGGCAGTGCCTGAGCAAACTGATAACACTGGCAGTTCAAGTTTGGCTCCGGGCCGACTCCGAGTCGGAGTCGCCGCCCGGCCAACAGATGATCATTCTATTGATCTGCGACAGGTCGAACAGGACGTATTTTATCTGGGGGCTAAGCCCAGCTTAGGGATATAAATCCCCTGCCTTGACTGCCAAAAGCGGCTGGGTTGAAAACCCGGAGCTCCATAGGCGTAAATACAAGGATACGTGGTCCATATCATAGCAGGTACAAAATACAAAACTCGCCATCAAAAAAGAGATAGCCGCTCCGGCACGCATTCCTGGGGTACAGGCGCAAAAACCGCGGACCGCAAGAGATCCGCCATGGCGCAAATCGCACCGGGCCCGCCACCCGAGGCGCGCCGGCCCACAACAACGCCAGCAACAACGCCGCTGGGGACCGCGCTGGTCGCGGCCGCCGAGGGCAGCGTCGCGGCTCTCGAGGCCTTCGCCGCCGCCGAGGGCGCGCTCGACGAGCGGCGCCTCGAGGCGATCGCGGCGCGCCTGTCGACGATCGCGCGGCGGCGGCGCGCGCCGGCCGACGGCGGCGCCGCCGAGGAAAGCGAGCCCGCGGCCTCGGCGAACGGCAAGGAGGCGCAGCGCAAGGCGCACCGCCGGCTGCTAATCGAGCGCTTCAAAGCGCTCGACGCCGACGCCGACGGCGAGGTCGACGCGGACGAGTTCGCGGCAGGCGTCGCCTCGACCGACCCGGGCGGCTTGACGCTCCGCGAGGCGAAAGCCCTATTTAGGAGCGTCGACGAGAACGGCGACGGGACGATGGACCAGATGGAGTTCATCAGCCTCATGGAGAGTCGGCACCCGCTCCTCCGGCGCGTCGCGTGGGCGGCCGAGATCCAAGACGCGCTCGGCGGCGGCGGCGACGACGACGGCGGCGTCTGGGTCGATCCGAACGCGACGCACGTCGGGATGATCTCGCCGCACGGAAGGTTCCGCGTCGGCTGGGACCTGGCGACGGCGCTGCTGCTCGTCTACGTCGCGGTCATCGAGCCGCTGCGCCTCGGCTGGCCGTCGTACTTTGCGTCGGAGAGCGGCGAGGGCCAGTGGAGAAATCAAGCTTCCACGGTCCCTTTTCGACCGCTTTCTCGTGAATGATCGACAGGGCGGGCTGTCCTGTCGTCCAAACAGGAACCGACACGTTCCACCCAAGGGTTCTGAAGCTTCCTCGGGCGCATCACCTCGTTGATTTCTACGCAGGCGACGTGCAAGGCGCGTCGAAGCCGCCCCTGGTAAACGCGCTGGACTGGATCACGGACGTCTTTTTCATCGCCGACCTCGCGCTCAACTTTCGCACGGGCTACGTCCGCCGCGAGACCGGCGTCGTCGACCTCGACCCGGCGCGGTCGCGGCGGCATTACCTTGCGACGTGGTTCGCGCTCGACTTCGTCTCGAGCGTGCCGCCGATCTTCGGCTGGGTCACATATCTTGTCGCCGCCGGGTCGGGCGGCAACCTCTCGCCGCTCCGGAGCGTGAAGCTCGTGCGGCTCCTGCGCATCATGAAGCTCATGAAGATGCTGCGACTCGCGAAGTTCCTCCGGTTCCGGACAGCGCGCAAATCGAATTTCACGGCCAAGAATGAGTTTGTGAAGATTAGGGGGCTCACCGCGGGATTTGCACACAGGTTCCGGAATGAGGACGGCGCGCTCGCCGAGTTCTGCGAGGACTTCTTCGCGTCGTCGTACTCGAAAGCGCTCCGCCGGACGGCGAACGTGCTCGTCGCGTTCATGGTCCTGGCGCACTACCTCGGGTGCCTATTCTCAGTAGCCGGGCGACAGCATTTAACTGCCTACTACCCGCGCCAGCGCCTCGCGCGCGCGCCGGCGCCCGACGACGACGCGGCCGCGGCGCGGAGGGCGCTGGCGGACGCGACGCGCGGGACGCCGTACGGCGGCGCGCCGGCGGACGCGTGGAGCGTCCGGCGGCAATATCTCGCGGCCGTCTACTGGGCGATCACGACCATGACGACCGTCGGGTACGGCGACGTCGTGCCGATCACCGACTCGGAGCGCGCCTTCACGATTTTCGCGATGATCGTCGGCGGCGGCTTCTACGGCTACGTCGTCGCCCAGGCGACGCGCGTCGTCGCGGACTTCGACGCGCAGCGCGGCCCCTACTACCAGAAGATGGACACGCTGCGGAGCTGGCTCACGTACCACCAGGTGCCCCTCCACGTGCGTCGCCACGTGCGCCGCTACTACCGCACGTATTTCAGCCACCGGACGGCGTTCGACGAGCGCGCCATCATCGACGACCTCGACCCCGTGTCGCGCGAGAAGATCGCGGACCACGTGCTGCCGTCCTGCATCCGCCACAACGACCTGTTCGGGGTTTTGCCGCGCGGCGCGCTCTGCAAGCTCATCGACGTCGTCCGCCTCGTCCACTTTCGCGCCGGCGAGCCCCTCGTCGCCGAGGGCGACCGCTGCGGCTCGATGTTCGTCCTCTACAGCGGCAAGGTCCGGGTGAAGCGCTGTGGAGACGACGGTCGGGCCGAGGCCACCGAGGAGACGCTCCAGCCGGGCGGCTCGTTCGGCCAGCCCGCGGCGCTCGGCATCGACTCGCGGTCGCGCGTCTCGGCGCGCGCCGTCGCGCCGTCGAAGGTCTACGTGATTCCGCAGGACGCACTCCTCGCCAGTTTCGCCTCGCTCCCCGAGGCCCTCCACGCCATGCGCCAGCACGTCGACCCCGGCTGGCGCCTAACGTACTAGCACTTTACACTCGGCGGGACCACTGTTGCTGACCGAGTCCGCGGGGAGAGGGCTCCGAGGAGCCTCCTTTTGGGCTCCCTCGATTTAATTTAAAAACCACCTCCTCTCCTCGTAGGTCGGCGGTGCCCGGGCCATGCGCGCGAAGGGCGGAGACTCAAAGCAAAAAATTCGGATCATTGGGATGACACCTGCTCCGGCGTAGCCCATTCGCAATGCGAGGTATCCTTGTTGTGACTCCGACGACTCGGAAACTGCGAGTGTGACTCGGAGGCGTCCGTGAACGAACGCAATGCCCTTTGTTCAAACTGGTAATAATGGTTGATTAGATATGCTGTATCACTGTATCAGGATGCAGGAGGGAATGCCATCGTGTCATCTGAGCCGTCGAGCCTACCATTGACCGTGACCCAGGCCACCGGTCTTGCAGTGGTCCCTCAGTGGCACAACTTGACTCGGGCTCCTGAAGACAGCCCCATATCTTAATAACTTGGAACCAAGGATCGCTCCTTGGGGCCCGTGGTAAACTATCACGACACCTTTCCCCTCAGGCCGTGCGGAAGTCGGCGCCGGCCCACGCGACCTGCTGGCCGCCGGTTGCGAGGCGCAGGAGCGCGTTGTACTTGGCCGCGTGTTCGGCGCCCTGGAGACCGCCGGCCCGAAACTGTCCCGCGCGGAGGCCGACGGCGAGGTGGGCCGCGAACGCGTCGCCGTCGTCGCCGTCGGAGGAGACGACGAGACCCCAGCCGCGGCCGCGCGCGTGGGCGGCGAGTGCGACGGCGCCGGAGACGGTCCGTCCCTTGGCCAGCGTCACGTTGAGCGTGTTGAGGGTCTTGCGCTCGTCGAAAGCGTCGACGGCGTCGCCGTCGCCGCAGCACGCAGCGCCGACGAGCTGGACGGCGCACGTCGAGTCGCCGCCGACGGGCCCGCGTTTCTTCGGTGGCGGGCCCGCGGAGGCGTCGCCGTTGGCCGCCGCGTCGAGGCGCTCCTTGAGCTGGACGAACGCGTCGACGTCGTGCTCGGCGAACGGGTCCTCGAGCGTGTCGACGGGAAACGCCGCGAGCAGCGCAGCGTAGTCCTCGACCATCTCCGCGCCGCTCTTGGAGAAGCTGGCGTCGCCATACGCGAATGCTTCGACGTCGTAGGCAGGGCTCTTCTCGTCGTCGTCGTCCGCGTCGCTTTTTGCGACGAGCGCGTGGGCGCCGCACTCGAGGGAAAGAGCGACCTTATCGTCGGCGCCGGCGAGGCGGCAGGCCTCGACGACCACCTCGAGCGCCTTGGCCGCGCGGTCTCCAGACACGACGAGCGCGTAGCCGCCGCCGCGGCCGAACGCCGGCGGTGGCACGTTTTTCGCCACGCACGCCGCAGGCACCTTCTCGTGCACGGCGGCGCAGAGATCCAGCGCTTCCTCGAGGGATGAGGACGACGCGGGCGCGACGGAGATGCCGGCGACGTGGAGGCCCGTCGCGCCGGCGCCGGCCTGTTGACCGTCCACGATGCGGACGACGGGCAGCGGCAGCCGCGGCGCCCCGCCCGACTGGCCGGCGAGTTTGGCGATGTACGCGTGCGGCGCGACGTCCGCGTGGGCGGCGCCCGCGACGCAGCACGCGGCGGACGCAGCCGCGACGGCATTCGCCGGGAGGCGACCGTCCTGGAGCGCCTCGGCCAGTATCGCGTCGACGGCGGTCTGGTCGCCGACGTCGCGGCCGCGCAGGACCTCCGGGAGCGCGGCGCGCGCGGCATCGCGCGCCTTCAGCAGCCCCTTGCCCCCGTGGCGGTCGGCGTCGTCGTCGTAGGGCCCCGAGCTCGCCACGCCGACAAACGTGCCCCGCTGCGTTTCGATTTCGACCTCGAGCGCCGGTCGGCCGGAACTTCCAAGGATCTCGCGCGCCGCGACGGCCGCGACCGCGTCCGCGCCGTCGCTAGCCTTCAACAGCGCCTTGCCGAGCTGAACGTAAGGGTCCCGGGGGCGCGCCTTGACGACGGCATTCACGGCGTCGTTGAGCGTCGTCTCGAGGCCGTGCTCCTGCAGGTACGTCTCAATCACCACGCGCTCGGATTCGAGGTGCTTGTCGCCCATGACACGGCGGCGTTCTAACGTGTGTGCTATCCTACAGCAAGCCCTACAGCAAGCTACGGTGAAGAGCCAAGAGGAAAACGCCTGTAGCTGAGCAGGATTCCGGTCAAGGTATCTTACATACGGTACCTACGTAGAGAGAGAAACCTACTAGCCCTTCCTACCCTAGATATGTATCTCCCACTCTCTAATATTTGAGTCTATACATTGAGTGCCAAAAGCACTACGGTGTAACAACAGTTCACTATAAAACACTCTCGTAGTCAGGCCTATCAGCCCTAGGCTGGTTAGCTAGGACCCTGCTACTTTACATAACGCTGCGACATACTCTTGCTAGGTTATGGGCCCACAGGGTTCTGCCTATTAACGTAGAGTGTTTTACAGTGAATGCCTAAACAAGGAAAAACACCCAAAAAGAAATCTAAAGAGAAAACACCCCAAAAGAGCGGAGAAAGTGAATATCCAGCGATGGATGAAGATGAATTTAACCGGCTCTTTCAAAACGCGATCGAACAATCACAAGCTCAGCTCCAACAAAAACACGAGGGGGGTCCGAGTCCCCGGGCCCGGCGGGGGTCGTCGTCCGTTGTGTGGTCAACGGCCTCCTTTCCACTCACAAATCCCCCAACTTTGTTTTGGCTTCACTATTCTGCTTATTTCAGTTATACATACCGTAGGTACCTGGATAGGCCTACCTACGGTACCGCAGTACCGTAGGTACCAAGTAGTGCCCCTGGGACTTCAGGACATTATACGAGACAAGCCAGAAAGAAAAGCAAAGAGTCCCGTGAGCACAACCAGCATGCTCCGCCGCCTCGCGGGCCTGACGTCGGGCACCACGGCGGACGGCCCCCAGACAGCGACGCCACGGATCTTTGGCCGCCGGCGGGCCGCGGAGGCCAAGCCCCCCCCCGAGTCGGCGCCCGAGGGCAAGGGCGGCGCGGCCGGGCCGGCGGAGGCCAAGGGCGCGCCGCCGACCGCCGCGGACGCCAAGGCGGCCGCGGCGCCGCCGGCGGCGGAGGCCAAGGCGGGCGCCGCCGGGGTCGCCGCCGCCAAGGCCGCGCCGCCGCCGCTCGCCGACGTGGCGCGCGAGCTCGAGCGCCTCGGCGCGACCGCGTACGCCGCCGCCGCGAGCCGGCGCGCGGCGGCCCTGACCGTCGAGGACCTCCGGGCGATGCGCGCGCCGGACCTCGCGCGGCTCTGCGAGGACCTGGGGTTCGGCGCCGAGGCCGCGGCGGCCTACGGCGCCAAGTTCGCCGAGCACGGCCTCGACGGCTGGGTCGCGGCCGAGGTCGACGACTGGGAGGACTACGCCGAGGTCGGGCTGTCGCGGGACCACGCGACCGTGCTGTGCTGCGTCGCGCGCGCGGCGCGGGGCCGCGCGGCCGCCGGCGCGCCGGCGGCGCCGGCGGCCGCGCCGGCGCTCTCCGACGCCGAGCGCGCGGCGCTCGCCGCCGCCGACCGCGCGGCCGCCGAGACGGGCGAGGGCGGCGTCTACGGCCAGCTGGTGGTGCTGGGCTACAAGGAGTACCGCGTGGAGGGCTCGACGTGGCACCCCGTCGGCGCGCGGAACGAAAAGTTCGCGCTCGCGCGCCGCGACGAGGCGAACGGCATCCGGCGCGCGCGCGCGCGCGTCGGCGAGCCGCGGCGGCCGGGCGAGAAGCGGCGGTCGGCGGACGCGAGCCACTCGGTGACCATGTCGGTCGCCGCCGGCGCGCGCGGCGCGGACGGCAAGCCGGTCGCGCGGTCGCAGCGCGTGACCGTCGAGTACGTGCCCGACGCGCGCGAGGACATGTTCCAGCTGGGCCGCATGATCGTCCCGCAGAACGACTTCGTCGTCCGCGGCCCGCTGCACCTCGACGCGGGCGGCGTGCTCTGCGGGCCCGTGTCGCGGTACGCCTGCCGCCTGTCGTGCGGCCGCGCGCCGCCGTACGCGTGCCGACTCTACGCGGCGGGCTTCAACAACGAGCGCGACGTGTTCCTGAGCGAGCAGGCGCCCAAGTGGCAGCTCGCGCCGGGCGAGCGCGCGGCCGACGCGGACGACGCCGTGACGGACCCGGACGCCGAGCCCGACGCCGCGCAGTGGGACGCGCTGACGACGTTCGGCGTGCGCATCTGGAAGCCCGAGGTCGGGGCCTGGCGCGAGGTGAGCGTCCACGGCGGCGTCCACGAGCCGCGCGCGCGCGCGGACGTCGCCGGCCGGCGGTACCCGGACGAGGACTCCGTGCTGACGAACGGCACGATCGTTGACCTCGCGGGCATCCAGCTGCTCTTCGAGAGCGCCGCGTCGATGCGCGCGCACGAGCGCGCCGCGCGCCGCGGCAGCGAGCGCGGCATCGGCGGCGACGGCCGGTCGCCGATCCCGGGCGACCCGCGCGCCGACGCGCCCGCGCGCATCGTCGCGCGGTTCAACGCGCGCCGGCCGCAGTGCCCGGTCCAGCTCCACACGATCCGGCTCGAGTACGACGACGAGAAGCGCCGCGCCCTGGCGCAGGACCGGCGGCCCTACATCTTCCCGGCGTGCGGCCACGTGCACGCGCGCGCGCCCCGCGCGGCAAGGCGTCTCCTCGCCCCGGCTGGTCCGGGAGACATCGCTGGAAACGAGGGCCGTCCGCGATGAGATCGACGCTCTCTTCGTCGTCGCAGGTTCGCGCCCGAGCTCCAGCGCCTGCCGTGCCCGCTCTGCCGGACGCGCGGGCCGTTCGTCGAGCTCCGTCTCGAGTGGGAGCCCGCCATCTGCGACGAAGAGCCCGAGGTCGCCTTTAACCCATGCGGCCACATCGTCTCCGAGCGCGTCGCGAACCGTGTGGCACCACGCGCCCCGGTCGCCTTCGCCGGCGCTCCGGAACGGCGTGCTCGCTCGTCGCCGATCTCCTTCGTCGCGCAGGTCGCGCGCAAGTGGGCCGGCCTCGCGCTCCCCGACAACGCGCCGCCGAACGCGCGCTACCGGCCCATCTGCCCGTTCTGCGCCAAGCCCCTCAAAACCGACGCGCGCGCCGGCGACCAACCGTACAGCCGCATCCTTTTTCAGTCGGACGCCTCGCGCGACGACGTTGAGGGGTCCGACGGCGACTCGGAAAACGGCGGCTGGTCGACCGCCTCGCCGGGGCTCACAGTGCAAGACGCGACGCCCCCGGACACCGCCGAGCGCAAAAACGACCCCGGTGACGCCGACGGTGACGCCGCCTGATCGCGATGGATGACGCCCGAGACGTTTCGTCACGGTTTTTTCTAATGAGGCTTGGGGTACTAGTCGATATTTTTACTTGACCCAATCAAACCAGGAGGGAGGTCGCTACTTTGACTCGGCGGGGTCGGTGCCGCGGAGAAGTTCGTTCAAGGACGACTCGGGCGGCGAGTAGGCGGCGGCTGTCTTGATGGCAGAAAGGCACGAGGCGACGTCGACCTCCGCGTCGGGGACGCCGTCGATCGTGGCCTTGAGCTGGCGAAGGACGTCTTTGGCGCGCTTGGACTCGGCGATCTTCTTCTCGAAGTCGTCCATCGCCGCGTCGACGTCGTCCGGATCGCGGAGCCGCGGGCTTCTGGGGACGTACGGGGCCGGCGTCGGCTGTGACGGCCGGCGGCTCGGGTTGACGCACTGGGGACAGGCGCCGTAGTGGCTCCGGTGATGACGCGCGCACCACCGGCGGTCCCGATCGTCGGGCGCGTCGTCGGACTCGTCGACGCTGTCGAACCCGTTCCATCTGCCGTAGCGGCCCGCGAGGGGCAGCGCCGCCGCGCCGGCCGCACCGCCGCCACCGTCGTCGTCTGAGCCGGAGTCGCTCAGGGCATCCCATCGGGCGTACTGATGGCCGAGCGACCGCGCCGGCCGGAGGCGCGCCAGACCCCCCAGCTGCGCCGGCCTCGGCGCATTGTCGACCGCCGCCGCCGCCGCCGCAAGAGCGTCGATCTTTTTGTTCTTCCGCGCCTCGCGCCGCGCGGCCGCGTCGTCCGCGAGCTCCGTCTTTGCCGCTTGCGACCGCTCGTCCATACCGTCTCGCGGCTTCGCCTCGACGACCGGTCGCGCCGCCCCGGCTGACTCCGCCCGGCGGTCCCGCGCCCACTCTCGTGCCGACGCCACCGCAGCTGCTTTGGCCGACGTAGCCGTGGTCGCGCGCGTCTCTTCGGTCGCGGGCGCGGGCGCCGTCCCGGAGGTGGCCCCGCGCGCCGCGCCGCGCCTCGCCAGGCGCGCCCTCCTAATCGTCGCCGCCGCCGGCTGGCACGCGGCGCGGTGCGCGGACCATGCCGCGGCCTGGCACGCTCGCGAACAGTACGCGACGCCGCGGCACGCGCCGCACCGCAGTCGCGCGCCGCGCGCACCGCAGCGTTCGCATGCGTCGACGCCCGTGTCGCCCACCGCCGGCGACGTCGTCGGCTTCAAGCCAACATCGGCGCGCTGCACATCCAGCCGGCTCGCAAGCCAGGGCGGCGCCGGCGGCTCGTCGGGCGGGAGGGGCGCCAGCGCGAATTATGTTCGTCGCGTGTCGATACGCGCAGGCGTCATCGCGTCGTGGCCGGTGGCACGGGCAGCCCTCTTCTTTTTTTCGAAGGCGAACTTACCTGATACTATGGTACCGTGTACCGTAGGTACCGTACCGCAGTAGGTACTACAGCGATTGTGCTATAGGGCCCTCTTAAGGGCCGGCTGAGGTCAGGGGGGTGTATGGGGATCGGGACTAGGGCGCAGCGGCGCGCTGAAAACGGCAAAAACCCGTGAATCTCGATTAAACGCGATTTTGTTTTGGCCTCGTGCGCAGCCTAAACGCACCCATAGGCAGCCCCAAGCTATTTCTGACCGCTCAAGGGGTCGGCCGAGGCGATGCGCCAAGAAAAAGCGCGGCAGCACAACATTTCGCGATGCGCCAAAATCGCTCCCACCACATGATGTGCGATACGCGACGTGGGCACGCCACTGCACAAAAAGCGGTGCGGACAGTACGGTGGATATGCCCCGAGCCCCGCGGACAACTTCAGGCGCTCGAAAAGCTGGAAATCATTGCACCGCGGCGGCCGCGTCGAGGTCGACGCGGGACGAATAGAGAGCTTCGAGGGCGCTCCTGCGAGAAACCACGGGCCCGGGGACCGGCGCGGGGTTATAGTCGATGCGGGCGACGACGATGCGGACGACAACGACGACGATTTGGAACTTTGAGACTCCGCCGTCCGGCCCGCGGCCTGCCCGCGGCCGGCGCACCCCAAACCCCCCTACCTTTTGCAGCCCCTGTTTTGCGTGAATATTAGTCATTACCTTAAGTATGTTCGTAGCAAGTTTCGGGGTTCAAGCTATTCAGGGAGAAAAGCTACGGTAATTTCTCACTTTGGGTGCACTGGCAGGCCTGCCCCGTCTTTGGGTGCCGGCCCCTTAACCCAACCCAAGTCAACGCCCGACCAATTAATGCGAGAGAGGAGGGGGCCCGCGAGTGGCAGCGGGTGGCTACTTCTCGTCGTCGGAGAAGTCGCAGTCGCCGTAGCGCCAGACGCCGGCGCGCGCGGCGCGCGCGCCGAGCTGGAGCGCCCGCATGGCGACCGCGAGGTCGTCGGCGGCGTGCTTGGAGGCGCCGGGCACGCGCGCGAGGCCGCGTTCGACGAGCTGCTCGTTGACGGTCGGCCGCGAGTCGCCGCCGGCCTTGGCCTCGGCGACGCCGTCGACGACGCGGACGCGGAAGCGCGGGCCGTCGGCGCGGCCGGGCACCTCGGCGAGCTCGAGGCCTTTGCCCCAGACGAGCTCGTGGAGCGCGCGCGCGCAGGCCTCGCCGGCCTCGTCGTCGACGGCGGCGGCGCGGACGTGCGCGAGGCGGCACTCGACGGCGGCGGGCGGCAGCGCCGCGCGCGCGGCGTCGAGCGGCGCGACGCGGGCGGCCGGCACGCCGGCCTCGAGGTTGCCGAAGTCGAGGTAGCGGAGCGCGTACGTCGCGCCGCCCGGGCCGACCTCGACGACGCGCGCGCGGTACCACCCGAGGCCCGAGCCGTCGTCGAACTGCGCGGCGACGACCGCGTTGCGCCGGTGCGCGGCCGCCGCCGCCGTCGCGGGCGGCGCGAACGCCCTCATGGCGGCGAGGACCGCGTCGAGCTTGGCCGGCGGGTCCGCGTGGACGTAGAGCGTGGCGCCGTCGACGACCTCGGCCGCGCGGCCGCGCCAGGGCGCCGCCGCGCGCGCGGCGGGCGCGGCCGCGGCCGCCGCGGCCTCGGCGGTCGCCTCGTGCGCCCAGAGGCCGAGCCGGGCGGCCTGCGCGGCCGCCTCGAGCGCGCCCCAGGCCTTGGCGGCGCCGGCGTCGGCGCGGCGCGCGTCCAGGCGGCCGAGGCCGCGCGCGAGGAGCCGGCTCTCGAACGCGTCGTCGGCGGCGGCGACGGCCGGCGCGCCCGGCGGCGCCGGCGCGTGCCGCGAGCGCTTGGCGTCCTCGGGGAGGAGGCGCAGCGTGCCGAGCGCGACGCCGTGGCGGTCCATGTCGAGCACGCGCGCGTCGACGACGCGCTGCAGGAGGTGCCGGCGCGCGAACGCCCGGGCCTCGTCGCCGCAGGCGTCGCCGGACCGGCCGCGCGCGGCGGCGGCGGGCGCGCGGACGCACGCGAGGCCGAAGACGAACGCGCAGCCCTCGGCCGGCGCGCGGAGCTTGACGCGGCTGCCCGAGAAGACGGCCTCGACGGTCGCGCGGACGGTCGCGGCGCGCTGGAGCGCGGGCAGGAACGTCCGCGCGCGGCGCGCGTCGCCGACGAGGTCCGCGACGCGCGGCCCCGGCGGCGGCGCGCGGCCCGAGTGGAGCCGCAGCTTCTTCTCGCGCGCGCGCTGCTCGGCGGCGGCGAGCGCGTCGTAGCGCGCGGCGCGGTCCTCGCTCGACCGCGGCGGCACGACGCGGACGAGGCCGAGGTCCGCGAGCGCCTCGGCGACGTCGCGCTGCTTGTCCTCGGGCACGGCGCGCGGCTCGCGGCCCGGCCGCGCGTCGGGCAGGAGGCGCACACTCGCGAGGACGAGGCGCCGCGTCGGCGCGTCGGCGCCGCCGTCGCCGCCGCCGGCGACGGGCACGTCGCGGACCTGCTCGACGACGACGCGGACGCGGCGCCCGACGGCCGCGTGGCGCAGCGCCTCGCGGCTCTCGGCGGCCCACGGCTCGCCGGCGCGGCCGCTCTTGTCGTGGCCCGGCCGCGGCGCGCGGCACGACGAGAGCGAGACGCGGCGCTCGACGCCGGCCGCGTCGCCCACCACGAGCGTGTCGCCCGACGTGACCTCGACGACGTGCCCCTCGAAGTCGTCCGCGCCGCCGCCGCCCAAGCTCGGCTTCTCGTACGCGCGCCAGAGCCGCCGCTTGTCGCGGCGCGCCTCGGCCTCGGCGGCGCGGAGCGTCGCCGCGAGCGCGGCGTCGCCCAGCGCCGCCAGCGCGCGCTCGTCGAGCTTGGCCAGGCCCTCGCGCAGCAGCGCGACGCCCACGCGCTGCCCCGACGCCGCGTGCGCGACGTCGCCCACGGGCGCGCCGCCGGCCGCGCCGTCGGCCGCCGCCGCGAAGCGCACGACGACCTCGCGGTGCAGCAGCCGCGCCTCGACGAAGTGCTTGGCCTGGAGCGCGAACGGCTCCGCCGGCGGTGGCGGCGGCGGAGGCGCGCCGGCCGGCGCGTCGCCGCCCGCCGGCGCGAAGGGCACGCGGCCGCAGCGGACGCCCGCGAGGCGCACGCCGACGACCGCCATGTCGGCGTGCGGCGCGTCCTCGGGGCCGCCGTACACGAGGCATCGCAGGTACGACCCGTCGCGCACGTGCTCGACGAGCGCGCGCCGCGACGTCCCCGCCAGCGCGGCCGCGTCGCAGCCCGTCCACTGGACGCGCCGCGTCGCGCCGAGCCCCGCCGCGCGCGCGTGCGCGCCGAGCCCCGCCGCGCGAGCGTCGGCCTCGGCCGCCCGCAGCGCCTCGTCGTCGCCGCCGCCGCCCTTGGCCGGCGCCTGCGCGCGGCACCACCCCGCCCGCGCGAGCAGGAGCGCCAGCGACTCGGGCTCGCCCGCGCCGGTCTTGAGCCACGCGGCGCCGAACGACCGGCCCGCGGCCTCGCCGTCGACGCGGAAGCTCACGGCCTTGCCCAGCGCGAGCCTCCGGAGGAAGTCGCGCGCCGCCCAGGCGAAGGGCTCGTCGACGGCGTTCGAGCCCTTGGCCAGCCGCGGCGCGGCGACGCCGCTCAGCGTCAGCTGGAGCTCAGGCGGCGGGCCCGCCGCCGCGCGGCCCACCAGCAGCAGCGTGTCGCCGGACGTGACGCCCTTGACCGTCGCGAAGCCCGAGGTCATGGTTTTTAGTTAGGTTGGTCTGTGGCGGAGCAGCGTCCTCCAGCGAGCTGCCGCCTCTCTGAAACCTGGGGGGCGACGCGCCGTCGCGCGCCGCATCCCTCCCGGACTCCGCCTCACGCTTCCCTAGTAGTCGGTACTCGTCGGAACTGCCGGGTTGACGGCTCGTACGAGCTTGTACGTCTGGGCGATGTCGAGGACCGTGAGCGTGCCTCCCCGAGGAGTGCTCTGCGTCCCGCGGCTGGTGCTTCACTGGCAGGCACGACGAAGCACAAGGCGGCGAGTCGGCGACGTCCTGAGGTTGCCACAGTGAGCGGGTTCCCACACTCTCACGTTTCAGTGAGAGTCCTACCTGTTGGCATCTCTGTGTCACATTGACACCCGAGAGACCTAGCTACCATAGCTGCTTTGTGCATTTATTGCACCCAGCTCATCAGTAGTGACGGGTCCCACCCCCGGGGTACCCCAGGGGTAACGAGGGTACCCCCAGGTGTGGGCACCCCTGCGGGTTAACCCCCACCCGTCACTACTCATCAGATCCAAGCATATACCTCTAGAGTAGGTTTTCAAAAGTTTCGGCGGGGCCCTCAGGCTGGGGTTGGCGTCCGTTGTGGCAACGGCCTCTTTCCACTCATAAATCTCCCAACTTTTATCTTAGCTTCACTATCCTAGTTACTTGAATACCCGGATAAAATAGGTCTAGGAATACGGTACCTACCGTAGGTACGTACCGTAGCTACCTACGGTACGGTACCGCAGGTGGTGCTCGAGGGTGTCGAGAGTCGCAGGAAGTGTTGCGCTGCCACTGTTCAGAAATGCGTCTCCGCGCTGCCTGGCGCCGAGGCCTCGCGGCGGCGCGTGTGCGGCGACTCCGCAGCCGGGGGAGTACGTCCCGTGCCCCGGTGGCTGCCTCGCGGCACGCGTCGTCGTCGGCGGCGGCGCCGCGGCGGGAGCTCTCGCGCCACTTCCTGGTCTGCGCCGTGCCCATGGTCGGCTTCGGTCTCATGGACAACACGATCATGATCCACGCGGGCAACTTGATCGACTGCACGCTAGGCGTCACGTTCGGCCTGTCCACGCTGTCCGCGGCGGTACGTTTCTCGAGCGTTTTGAATAAAACTCCAACCCTGATCTTACCCCGGAACGGATCGTAGGCGTGCGGCCAAATCTGCAGCGACTCGGCCGGCGTCGTGTTCGGCGGCGCGCTCGACGGCCTCGCGAAGCGGCTGGGGCTCCGGCCCGCGCAGCTCACGGCCGCGCAGCGCGCGCAGCCGGCGACGCGGCGCGTCGGCCTCCTCGGCGCGCTCGCGGGCGTCGTCGCGGGCTGCTCGCTGGGCCTCCTCAACCTGTTCCTCGTCGATACGCGGCAGAGCTCGGACCTCAAGGCGAGGCACTTCGCCGAGGCCGGCGCGGCCGACCGCCACGCGTTCCAGATCGAGGCCGACAACGCGGCGGCGAGCGACGCGACGACGCTCGTCGTCGAAGGGCCGGACCTCCCGGGGCTCCTGGCCTCGCTGTCCGCGGCGCTGAGCGCGTCGGGCGTCCACCTGGTCGAGGCCTCGGTCCGGGCCGGCGACGTCCAGGGCTCGGTGCGCGACGTCTTCGTCGTCCGCGGCCGCGACGGAGGCCAGGTCGACGACGACTCGCTCGACGACCTCGCGCGCGCGCTCCTGCTCGCGGCGCGGGACCCGCTCCGCGCGCACCACATCAAGGCGCAAAACGCCGCGCTCCAGCACAAGCTCATGCACCTCGAGGCCGAGGTCGCGAAGCTCGAGGGCGCCCTCGACGCGGCGTGCATCCGGACGCGGACCCAGGACTCGGTACGCGAGCACAAGCGGCGGTCGACGATGCCTGCGCGGTGGAAGGGGGGCTAGTGGTGGCTAGGTTGGCACTTACCTGTTAATTACCCGTTATTAACCTACAATTACCCCTCGGAGGATCACATAGGGGATCCGGGGTCAATAACCCGCTCCCCCTGAAAACCGCGAGTTAAGCCAAATACCCGCACGTTAGGCCATTTTGGGCACCTCACCCCATCTAGAGGGGGGCACCTCCGTGGCAAGCTAGTGTCGCCGTGTGCTTAGGATTCCCCTGGGACCAAACGGGCCGAGTTTCCGGGTTTGGGTTGCTAATTGAAAATCATGATCGCACCCAATTTGGGTGCCGGCCCTGTCTACGTCCCTGTCTCAGGCTATAATACTAGGGTCAGGCTAGAGGGTCAGGCCCCTTTCTTAATAAGACGACCACGCGCACCGGGACCCAAGCGACCTCAATGGCGCGAGTGGTTCACGAGCACAAGAGGCGAGGCTCGAATGAAGTATCCCTGGCAGGATTCAGGACACGCAGTAAAGTTCGTAGCTAACTACCCGCACGCCGCCGGCAACACCGAGGGGGCAGGCCGCAAAATGTCATCGGAACTCGCCCTACGGCTCAGCTGCCACGGCTGCACCACCGTCGGCGGCCACGCCAAAAACGCGTCGAGCTCGTTCCGTTTAATCAAATGTGCTAATTCGAAGTCGTGTCCCCAGTCCACTTGCCAGAATATGCGGGGTGTGTTGTTGCCCGGGAACCCCTTGCCTGGCTCGGCTGCAGCCAAGACCCTCTCCAGATAGACGCTGGGCCAGCCTTCTAGTAGGTCATAAATTCGCCTAGCGCCACGCCGAGTGATGGCATACGCGTGTGTGCACATCGGTTTCTTTCCCTTCGATACGAACTCATGGCCGCGCGGGGCGCCCTGGATGCGGTGGCAGGAGCGAACTCGGTGAGTTGCCTCGGCGCAGTGTCCCAGGTACAGTATGTCCCAATCGCCGCGCGATGGCAGGGCTTCTAGGACGCGGGTGGAAGCCCCGCAGAAGTCAGGCAGGAACTGTGCATCATCCTCTAGTTTAAGGACCGCACCGCTGGGATGTCCCCTCGCGCTGAATTTACCGCGGATTACATCTGCGCAGAGAGACCGCGTCACCGCCCAATTAGAAATCTTCCTGTATACAATCTTTCGCAAGTCTGCCGTGAGGCGAAGGATGCTGTGCCGCAACTCGAGGGGAATAAACGTTGCCATTGTCCTTTCGTCGCTGCTATCAACGCCTCGACGCATTTGAAACGCGTCGACGCCACGCGTTGCGGCCATGTAGCGCCAAGAGTAGGCGTGTTCAGTAGAAGCATTCATTGAAACCGCGACCGTGGGTAGCGGGAAGGTGCATGGACGGGGGCCGATAATTTGGTTTTGCCCCTTTATCGTCGATACAACCCCCGCGGCGACAGTTATAGGCAGAGCGATTAGACCTGGCATCTATCACACCAGAATTAATGGTGGTTGCAACTCGCTCGACTAGTTGGGATGCCTGGTACATTTCACTCCGGGTGTGCCGTAGGTACCGTACCTACGGTACCTACGGTACCTACGGTACCGTAGGTACCTACGGTAGGTACCTAGAGAGAGAAACCTACTAGCCCTTCCTACCCTAGATGGCATCTCCCACTCTCGATATTTTGAGTCCCGCGCATCGAGTGTCAGTCAAAAGCACGGGTAACAACAGTTCACTATAAAACACTCTCGCAGTCAGGCCTATCAGCTCTAAGCTGGTTAGCTAGGACCCTGCCGCTACTTATACGATACGGCTCCACAACGACCCCCCCCTTACCATCTTGGCCACATTTACGGTTCCCGCCCCGATTTCGGTTGCAGTGAGGCTCCGCAGGGTTTGGTATCGTAGCGCAGCTCCAATTGTGGCTTCTAAAGGGTTGCACTTGTCCTCAGTCCCGAAAGTCGTCGATTTATTTATGTCGCCGCGTACGCCGAGAACCTCGAATCGGTCTCTCGCGACGCTAAGACGGCCACTACGATACGCCAAGATGAACGTAGCTTCGCCCGGTCGTACCAGGATAGCAGCCGCGCGGAGGGCAGCTTCTGCGCACGCCCGGCGAGAGTTTGTGCGTACGAAGGTGGGGGATTCGACTGTAGCTGGATCTTGGCGCTACGTGCGTCTTTTTTTATGCTGAAAAGCAGAGTATCCCGCATTTCCGGGCGCTCGGGCAGCCCAAGTGATGCACCTGCTTCAAGTATACGATACGGCTCAATTGCGCGGCTATCCTCGCATCGTGCGGGTGCCCGAGTGTATATTCGGCCTTTTCTAGGTAGGCCAGGATGGTAGGGCACTTAGACCCCCCCCTTACCTAACGTGCCTACGAGAAAAGGCCGAATATACGAGATATTCCCGCACGATGCGAATATAGCAGCGCAATTGAGCCGTATCGTATACTGGAAGCAGGTGCATCACTTGGGCTGCCCGAGCGCCCGGAAATGCGGGGTACTCTGCTTTTCAGCATAAAAAAAGACGCACGTAGCGCCAAGATCCAGCTACAGTCGAATCCCCACCTTCGTACGCACAAAATCTCGCCGGGCGTGCGCAGAAGCTGCCCTCCGCGCGGCTGCTATCCTGGTACGATCGGGCGAAGCTACGGTCATCTTGGCTTATCGTAGTGGCCGTCTTAGCATCGCGAGAGACCGATTCGAGGTTCTCGGCGTACGCGGCGACATAAATAAATCGACGACTTTCGGGACTGAGGACAAGTGCAACCCTTTAGAAGTCACAATCGGAGCTGCGCTACGATATCAAACCCTGCGGAGCCTCACGGCAACCGAAATCGGGGCGGGGACAGCGACTTAGGCATGTTACGTAAGGGGGGGGTCGTTGTGGGGGGGGGTCGAAGTCACTGGCGTGAAGAAGTCTGTTGCTTATGAAGCCTATCACTTGTCACATGGACTTTGCCTGTGAATAGACTGAGTTGATACATCCTCTAGTGGAAGCGCATCTAGTGGACGCTCGCGCCCAGGGGGAGTAGAGAGAGAAACCTACTAGCCCTTCCTACCCTAGATATGTATCTCCCACTCTCTAATATTTGAGTCTATACATCGAGTGTCAAAAGCACTACGGTGTAACAACAGTTCACTATAAAACACTCTCGCAGTCAGGCCTATCAGCTCTAAGCTGGTTAGCTAGGACCCTGCTACTTACATAACGCTGCGACATACTCTTGCTAGTACCTACGGTATCTATACGGTAGGTACAATTGTACCGTAGGTACCTACACGGTACCGCAGTCCTGTTATTAAGTGCATATTTGCCCAGTGCCGGGGAGGAATGGATAGCAAACTGTATGGGGACCGGCGCGGTGCGCACAACGAGCATCGCGCCACCGCCTTCCCGTCTGTCTAATTGGCTGTCGCCCACCGGTTGATGCCATCATACACCAGGGCACGGACGTGTATTGCGACGTCCTTAATCGCGTGCGCCGGCGCGCGGCCCGCTCACCAGCGGTGCGGCTGGGGCACTGCAACATTCTCGCCGGTCGAACTCTTTGGCAGGGCGCTTGCGGTGCTCGATGTGCGTCCAGTCTCCTTTGGCGGGGCGCACCTCTTCAATCCGAGCGTCGCGCCCCTACCGTTAGAGACGAGGGCCGTGCTTCGACAGAAGGGCGGCGACCCTGTCTATCTCGTCGCGTTCCGCTACCGCGGCGGCTTCTGCGAACTGCTTTGCGGCCGAGCCCCCATTGAGCCGCCGCTCCATATTCGTGGTATGCTCTGCCTTTACGATAGGACATTTCGCGAGCTCGCGTGTCTTCGGGATGTTGTGCACGAAGCTCAGTCCGCCAGGCCCGCAGACTACGGTAGCTACGACGTTTTCCTGAAAACCATCGCTGGACGAATATACGCCACGTCAGTGTTCTACGGCCGCAAACGCAAGCGCGGCATCAGGCGGGACGTCGCTGAGTTTTACCTGCACTCTATTGACGTGTTGCGCAGAAATAACACCATTACCGCGCGCAAGCGCTGGCTCGCACATGCTGACGTGGCATCGCCGGCGTCGCTCGACGTAACCCGTTTCGGGAAAAATCTTGGGATTGTTTGGGACGGAACAGCCGCAGACCCCTTCTCGCTGCTTCACTGGCTCGACCAGAATGTCGCAGATGTACGAAGGGGCGTCCCACCGCTTCTTCAACGGCCGATAAACGCGGTACCGGGCGTCGGTCTGCGCGGCCGACGTCTCCACCACAACGGGAGTCCGCTGTCCGTCGACGCGTGGTGCCCTGGCCTACGTCTCTCGTTCGGCCACGTCCATACCGACGAGATTAACGCGACGGCACGGTTCCTGCCTTTGCTGTCGCCATTGTCGTCGTGGGCGGCCTCGTACCGCGGACCACCACCGGGCACGGTCTACATCCACTACATCGTGTTGTGGCGGCACGACCCGCCGCATCAGATCGTCACGATGTCGCGGCCCTTCTGTTTTCCGTCGTTGGACGCACCGGACCGGTGTGATCTCATTCAGTTTGTCTCCGGCTACGCGCGCGCGCCGGGATCCGGCGATTTGATCGTTACCTATGGTATCAACGACTGCCTTTCCGCACGTGTCCAAGTCCCAGTGGAGGATATGCTCACCTTGGCGTTTCAAAATGACTCGGCAGCGCGCCGACGGTGGTGCCGGCCGCCACGGCATCATGGAGATAAATCACCAGGGTAAGCTCCTGGGTAAGCTTGCAAAGTAAGTAAGGGCCCCCGGGAGCTAGGTTGGCATTAAACGGTTAATCACCGGTAATTTAGTACCTATTATTTCACAGTTGCATTTGGCCAGCGCCGCAGCAGCCTCGCAAACGCAACCGCAGCACGATTCAGCACGCCCATGCAATAGATATGTATCTCCCACTCTCTAAATTTGAGTCTATACATTGAGTGTCTATCGACGCTAAGCGGGATGCTGACGGGACTTATCGGAAACACAAGGCGCGTTTAGTAGTCAGAGGTTTCCTAGCACGATCTGGTCTCGATTACTAGCCTGAGTATGCCACCTATTCCCCAATGAGCAGTCTCATTACAGCTAGAACTCTAATGGCCATTGCAGTCCACCATGGATTGCCCATAGCGACATACTCTTGCTACATAGCACAATCGCTGTAGTACCCCTTACTGCGGTATGGGTGCCTTACTGCGGTACTTGGTACCAGTACCGTACCGTAGGTACCGCAGTATGAGGTTTTGACAGACGTCGTACCGCAGTACAACTCGTATGCGATGGCTCAACACAAATGAAATTTGTGTTCGTAGCTCTTCAATTATTATCCGTCGTCTCTTACGCGCAGCGCATGCGCCAGCTGTGTAGCGTAGCGCATCTCGGTCTCCACGCACGTGCTCTTGGTCTCCGCCTGAACATTACGACAACGATAGTCGACGCTGCGATCACGCTATACGAGACAGAGTATGCGACGTCAGTGTGTCATCGCGATCCCGCGCTTCGTACCTTAGTGACAACAAACGGAGGCAACCGCGCGCTGTTTGCGGGTGCAGGATCGACCGGTTCAAGATGGCTTTCATGTGCGGTAGAGGTGGCGCTTGGGATCGAGGTTGGTCACTACGTTGAAGGAAACGGCACGGCAACCCAATATTCCAATCCTGGCAATGCGCTCCGGTTCGATGTCCTCGCAGATACACCAGTAGGGCACCAATTCTGGCAGCTCTACGATGCGCACGAGAGGCACGTGCCAGTCGTGCTCTCGCTTCGCCACCCAGATCAGTGGGTACGCAAGCGTACATTGCATCGCACTGCATCTGTCGAGGGCGGGTGCGTCGGAGCCCCACGCATAGCCTTTCCCATTTGGGGCCGTCGGCGCCGCAAGGCTGCGGGTACACGCGCTTACGTCGACCAGACATCTCAAGCACTTAAGGCGAAAGCAGCATTTCTCGTATATCAGGCCTTCGTTGCCTGTGTTGCCATCAAGGACCATCTGCACACTGTGCATCTCTTTGACCGCCAACAGGATGATGCCCGTCGCATTCTAGCCAATCTTGTAGCTTTTCTCACGCACCATGGCATTGGCGAGCAGCCTCCTGACATCGACGCAGCCATTGAAACATGCGGTGCTGACTTCGGTGCTTCCTGGCGTGCAGCGAAATGTAAGTATGCTGTGCGGCGCAGAGGTGCCGTATATTTCCCATGTGGCGTCAGATAACGCGCTGCTGAGCTGCTGTCGCAGCAGCTACACGACCAGTAGTGCTGCAGAGATGGGAGTTCCACTGCAGTCTATGGTGAGGGCCAGCCCGGGGTGTCGCTCTCACGCGACTTCAGCTATCAGCTTTGGTATGTGCTTGAATCTGATGAGCTGGGTGCAGCAAGTGCACAATGCAGCTGTTGTAGCTAGGTCTCTCGGGTGTCAATGTGACACTGAGATACCAACAGGAAGGACTCTCGCTGAAACGTGAGAGTGTGGGAACCCCGGGCCCCCTGCTTCCAAGCCACGCAGCAAATGTTAATAACGTCTTTGACGGGGTTGCTGACCAGTTCCGCCGTGCAGGAAGACACAAGCACCCAGACAGTGGTGGCGTTGCGAGAGTTCAGAATAAGAGACTCGAACTATCATGAGCATGGAATAATCAGGCCCTACTGGTGTCCCGGAAATTACAATGTTGCGGACTTCTTCTCAAAGTTGTTGGAGAGGGGTCTATTCACTATGCGGCATGCTTATAGATTTGGTATGCCAGTGATGAAGTGAACTTACTTTAGGTTCACCCCGGTGTTTTTACGGCGCCTACTTAGCGCCGGGCTTGATCCACTTGGATAAGTAAGAAGATACGGGATATAGTAAAAACATCAGCCCGGCACGCGGGCTGATATGCGCGTGCTGATAGGCGAGGCAATATGCCATGCATCACATGATCCGGCGATGGGGGGCTATGGCGTTGCAGATATATATCTAGGGGAGTTTTCACCTCACTCCCCCCTTCCTGGAACTCAAGCCGGGTCTTATGAAAACGCGGGGGCCGCGAAGTCGCTTCGCGGCGAGGCTCTAACGGAGTACATGATCATGCCAGTGCTCACTAGACGTTCTGGCCGGCTGCATGGACTCTACCCCTAACAAATGGAAGGAAACGAACATAAACTCGGGAGTTGTCTAGTAGAATTCTTTTCCCGCCCTCCGAGCGCGGGCCGTCGGCTCCGGTTCCGTCGAATGTGTATAAAAACTGGGCTGGAGTTGATATGATGTACCATTTGGACGGTAGAAGGCACCGTCAATCGCTGGTGCATTTTGGCGAGCCGCTAGACACAGTGACCTAGCGTATGGACATACTAGGACGCACCCCACTAGAACCAAGTATGTATCCACCTATCGGACGAGCCGTGAGGCGAACCGCGGCCGACGGACTTTTCTATCGGACGGGGCGCCGAGTGTCCGATGCTGCTGAGCAGCCCAGTATACAGCGAGTGTCTTTGACGCTACGGTGTAACAACAATTTCCTATAAAACACTCTCGTAGTTAGGTTGGCCCAGCCCTCGGCTGGTGAGCCAGGACCCTGCTACCTTACATAAGGCTGCGACATACCTACGGTACCTACGGTACTTTTGCCTCACCGCGGTAGCTTGTAGCTGGATCTTCAGCCCCGGGGCTTATGCGACATCAGACCGGAGAAACTTGGTTCTTGAGACATATGCTGCTTGTGCAGCACAAGTTACCATGTGGTAGTACTCCGTGAAATTACTGCATATGAACCATCGTTCAATTAAGCTTTCCCTCGTTTTTTTGGTGTCAGGCAAACTGGACGCGAAGTTGACGAATGAAACTCAACCGTGCCAATTATTTCGTCGCATCAAGCTGGGGCTGATGCCTGGTCGGGAACCGGTGCTCCCCGCGACCCATGCACTCGTGACCGTGCTGTCATCCGAGGCCTACGCTCCCGGATTATCAGCTCTCCATTCATCGCTAAAGCACATTTTAACGCCTTCTCTCCCGCATGTTATTGTTGTGGATCTCGACGCTCCACCCTTTTCAATACTTATGAGGATAATACGTCCATTGGAATATTATGTTGTGGGGCTTTCGACAGTGGCTCCTTTCCTGAGTGCGGTGGGCCTCGAGTGTACCAGTGGTAAAAGGATTCAGCAAATTAAGAGTATCATGGCAGTCACTGCAGCGCAGAAGCGCAAGGCAACATACAGTAAACTTTTTGCGTGGGGCATTGGGCGGTACGTTAGGCGCGGGGCGCTATACGTAGACGCTGATGCTTTGTTTATGAGGGCAACAACGCGGCAGGATGTGGTTACACTCGTAGCGTCATGTGCAAAGGGAAGCATCTCGGCTGTCTATGGCCGCGGCCTTGTGGACAAACCTCGCCAAGCACCCAAAGACCCCTACTACTTTAACTCTGGGGTTTTTGCCTACCATCCGAGCCGAAAAACGCTCGCCCAGCTAGTCAGCCGCCTCGTCGCTGGAAAATATGCTCCGGATCGCAGCAACCCGACGGAACAGGACGTCTTAGTTTCACATTGGCGCGAGAACAAACATGCAGTCATCCCACTGGGTCCTGAGTTCAATGTTCGTCCGTATTTTAACGGGCAAACCATGCCAAAAAACACAAAAATTGTGCACTGGATTGGTTTTCCCAAGCCCTGGGAGGTCATACAAGCCGCAGAGGGCCACAAGATCGAGCCCAATGCAATCGCCAATTACATCAAGCGCCACAATCTCAAGAGCGCCTGTCTGCGATGTCTCCCGCTGTGGAGCTTAGAGCTCTACATCGATTCTTCAGGCCCGAATTTGAGCGCTTGACTAGGAACGATGGACCTAGCGATGGCAGGAACCTAAACAGTTCTTTAACCACGCAAACCCGCACCGCGCGTCTTCTTTTTAAAGGAAACACGTGTGATGCCGGTCTGTACCGTTAACGGTACAGACCGTGTATGGGCAACCCGCACGTTAGACCCGGGGTGACGCTAGGGTGCGATTTACGCACGGCGTTCTTTACGTGAGAAACGGCCCAGCGTCATTTACGCCGTAATTTACGCGTAATTTACGCGTGCATTTATTTATAAAACCCGCACACACGCAGCCAGAGCCCCTAAACAAGGCCTTGGTGGCCACGCAGCTCAATAGCAGCACGAGCACGGCGCATAAGCGCACACCTAGAGTGCACACCTTGCTCGCAACAGCATGCAACTAGCAATTGGCTCGGCTCTGACAACGTTTGGGGCAGCCACACTCTGCGAGCTGCTGATCGCGAGCTAGAGTCTTAGAGGGCCGCTAGCGCCGGCTTCGGGAAGAGCCCTGGAAGGACTTTTGGATACCTTCTTTTTTACGCCGTTTTTTACGTGGGATCTCCTGTAGCGGTGCTTTACGTGTAACTTACGCGTTTTTTCCGCGTAAATCGCACCCTAGGGGTGACGTCAGACAACCACCCCTAAGACCACCATCCACGTGGCCCGTGGTTCCGGGGGTACGCGCCCCCGCCCCCCACACCCCCGAGAACCGCGGGCGCAGAATAATAAGGGGCTCACTGCCATTTTCGAGAAAGCGAATCAGATGCCGACTTTTGCAGGACCCCCCGAGCTTTTCTTATATAATTCCTTGGGGGGTTCTGCACTCTGGGTCGCAGGGATACACCTCCAGTAAAGATAACAATGTCCGCGTCCCCTGGGGTCCACGGTGCGCGCGGGCGGTGTTCGGTGGTGTCACGGTGCGCGTAGGTGGCAGTTGGTGGTGAACTATCGCCAAAATCATCGCCAAAGCTAGGTTTCGAGAAAGCGAATGGGATACCGACTTTTACAGAACCCCTCGACTTTTTCTTATACAATAGCTGGGAGGGGACCGTGCGCCGTTTGAGGGCATGATGGGCTGCGTGGGCAGCGTTTTGCGCGGCTTCGGTTGCGCGCCCATCCGAGGGGACCCCCGGCAGCGCCCCGGCGCCTCGTCGAAGCCGCGCGAAGGCCGCGCACTGGGGACATATCGTCCAAAAACACGCTCGGAAAAGGTAAACTTACACATACCATAAGTGCACTTTTACCCGTATCCGTAGCCGGCTGCGTTCGGGGTCCGTACTACCTAGGGGTGGGCATTGGGTGGGCACAATAAGTGTCTCTCTCTCTAGGGCCCGCCCGAGCTCGAGATACTGCCAGGGACTACAAGTATCAAAGTCCCGCGGCAGCGGGGGATCTGACGCCTGCAAGGTTCGCGCGCGCCTCGACGCACGCCGGGTCGAGCGCCAGCGCGCGGCGCCAGCGGATCTCGGCCTCGCGCGCGTCGCCGAGGCGCGCGTGGACGAGCCCGAGGCGCACGAGCCCATCGACGTCGTCCGGAGCTCTGTGCGCGAGGCCATAGAAGACCTCCCTCGCCGCGAGGAGGTCGCCGCGCGAGAAAAGAATCGCGCCGAGAGCCCGCGTGGTCTCGAGGTCCGCGGGGCTCCGGACGAGATATTTCCGAAGCGTGGCGACGGCGGCCTCGGAATCGCCGGCGGCTTCGAGCGCGACGGCCAGTTCCCGGGCGGCGGCGCCGTCCTCGGGACTCGCCGCGAGGCAGTCTCGGAGACATTCGACAGCGTCGCCGAGGTCGCCGGACGCGCGGCAGCACCGGCCGAGATTAAAGAGCACGGTGGCGCGTTCGGCGTCGTGCGCGCCGACTTTCGCCAGCGCCGCACGGTAGGCTGCGGTGGCGGCGCGGAGCTCGCCGAGGCGGTCCTGCGCCGCGCCGAGAGTGTGGTGCGCCTGCCAGGGCGCGTCGGCGCGGGCCGTCGCCCTCGTCGCGCTGTGCGCCGCGCCCGCCTGTGCGACCGGCGCGTCGACGAGCAAAGGGAAACAAAAACATTCGGCGCGGGATTTGAGCGGCGTTGCCGATTTCGAGTTGCGCCCGCGCGAGGCCCGTCCAAAGGGTGGCGGTGGCGGCCGGGAGCTCGCCCGGCGCGCCCGCCTCGGCGAGCGGGAGGCCCCGACCGAGCGACGTCGCCGCGCCTGCGCTGCGCGCGTCCGACGTTTCGGGGTAGTGACCCAAAAAAGCGCGCAAAAAATCACACGCGGCGGCCGGCCGTCGAAGTCGCCCAGGCCCAGGAGCGCCTCGCCGAGCTCAAGGTCCGCGAGAACCGCGTGGCGCCTTGAGCTCCGGCGACCCTCGAGGCCAGCGTCGCGCCGCGCTGCTGCTGCCTCCCAGGCCTGCGCCGCGCGGCACCGTTCGGCCGCCCGCGAGAGCAGTCGCCGCGCCTCCGCGGCGTCGGTCCTGACGACGGCCGCGTGCCGCGCGCGGAGCAGTGGAACCTCGTCCTCGAGAATAAGGGCGCTTTCCGACTGCTCCGGCGCCCGGCACCGCGGGCACTTGGGCCGGCCGGGCTTGCGTCGCTTCGACAGCGCGTACTCGCAGGCCGCGCACAACCCGTGGCCGCATGGCGGCGCCGTCGTCGTCCCCCCACGCGCGCACACCGCGCACGCGGCGGCCGGCGCGACGCCGCAGGCAACCCGGTGCGACGCCCAGTCCTCACGCTGGCACCGCACGCCGCAGTAGCTCCGGCGACCGCAGCGGCCGCAGCGCTTGGCGACGCAGCGCGTGCCGCACACGTCGCACTCGCGCAGCACCGGGGCGCCGCCCGGCGCCGCCGCGGGCGACCGCGACGGACCCCGGACGCCTCCGCGCATTTAATCCCGTGGCATCTGATGCGCCATGTTATTATTTTGTTCAATAGGCGAGCAGCGTTTCGCCTCGCTAGGGCTGGATTGTCCGAGAGCTGTAAGCTTGGGAGGTGGCCTTTACTGTACCATGGTACCTACGGTACTGGTACTGCGGTACCGTAGGTACCGTAGGTACTGCGGTACAAGCTGGTACGCTGCCTGTGTAGAGAGAGAAACCTACTAGCCCTTCCTACCCTAGATATGTATCTCCCACTCTCTAATAATTGAGTCTATACAGCGAGTGTCTTTGACGCTATAAAGGAGATTAAGAGGGAGAAGGAACTTCAAGTTGAAGTATCCTAAGATACAGGCCACTAGCCTCTGATGATATCTACTGGGACCTGAGAGGAGCTCTAGATAAAGGTAACTACAGTATCATAGCACAATCGCTGTAGTGGTCCCATAACCTAGCAAGAGTATGTCGAAGCGTTATGTAAGGTCCGAGTCACGGTAGCAGGGTCCTAGCTCACCAGCCGAGGGCACAGGCTGGGCCAACCTAGCTACGAGAGTGTTTTATAGCAAGTTGTTGTTACACCGTAGTGCAATAGACACTCGATGTATAGACTCAAATTTAGAGAGTGGGAGATACATATCTAGGGTAGGAAGGGTTAGTAGGTTTCTCTCTCTAGCTTCGCTGTACGGCTGTAGCCCCTTCCGCAACACGGCCGCGCGTACCGGAGCGGGGCATCGACGTCTCTGTCGGTTCGTTCTTCGGCTGCCCCGAAATCTACCGCCGCAATTAGCAGTCTCTGGATGGGGCTGGGAAGGCCCGCCCTTGCCCTCGTCGTGGCGACGGCGCGCGGGCACGCGCTCTGCTGGACCGCAGAACAGCCGAACTGCGACTACGCGCTCGCGACCCTGGCCACGAAGCCGACGCTCCGGGAGCTCGAGCTGTTCCTGCGGACGTTGCATCGCTTCGACGCGACGAGAAAAGTCTACGTGGGCACGGACTCGGTCGCGAGCAACTGGACGCGCAAACAGCAAATTCACGCGGTCGTCGACACGCCGTGCCTCGCCCGTTACGAAGCATTCAGCCGCAACTGGATGAAGCGCCAACGGTGGGGCGAGCTGACCGTCTGGACGCACCTCCAGCTCGAGAAGACGACGGTCATGGCCCGCGCGCTCGATGACGGCTGGTCTGGCGTCCTCTACGCGGACTGCGACGTCGTGTGGCTCGCGCCGTTTCCTTCCGTTGGCCCCGGCGTGCTGGGCGTGTCGCCGTGTCTCTGCGCGCCGAGGGTTGAAGCGAGGTACGGCAAGTACAACGGCGGTCACGTCTTCGCGCGGAGTCGAGAGGTGCTCGCCGTGTGGCGCAACGCGACGCGGCGCTCGCGGTACTTCGAGCAGGCGGCGCTCGAGACTGTTCGGACCGTCTTTAACGAGAGCGCTTTCGACCTCGACCGGCGAGCCAACGTCGAGTGGCTCAACCTGCTGGGATCTCACTCATTTGACCGTCGCGACCACACCATGAACCTCACCGTGGACGACGACGGACAAGTCTGGTGGCTTGGCGACCGCTTGCTGTCGATCCACGCACACGTGGTCCCCTCGTCGAATCAACCGAATTTCCAGCTGCCCGCTGTGGCGCGGATCACGGCCGTGTTACAACGCTCGCTCATTCTCGACGACCTTTGCGCGACGCACCACCTCCTGTGTGCGTCTCGTGCTCCGTGCCCCGTCGCCGCAATCCGCGGAAGGAGCCGGACGGTCCACATCGCGTCGTTTCGCGCTGGACACGGCGATGCAGCGAGCAATTACTATCACTTCTTCTTCGGACTTCTCGTGCCCTTTCTCAACTGGCTGGAGACATCACGGCCGCTCCAGGGCGACGCGTTTCTCCTCAACGAGCACGGTGTCAATCACAAGTTTTTGCCGCAGCTGATGCGTCTAGCCGGTCGGGAGAAGTGCGTGCAGGTCGGTGTCGTCGGGGCGTCGACGCACAACGGCAGCGACGCGACGGCGCGCCACGTGACGCTTTCCAACGATCTCGACTGGTCCATCCTCGAGGGCCCTTCGCCGCGGCGCGTGCGCCCGCCCGAGTGGGGCCTCGACTGGCACCTCTACGGATGCGGTTTCTTCTCGATCGAGGCAAGGCGAGAGCTCGCGCGGCGCGTCGACGTCGCCTCGCGGACGATGCTGCGCGCGTGCGCGTGCGCTCCTGAACCACTGGTGCCCTCGAAGCCGCGCCTGCTCTTTGTGCGTCGACGCGCCGACCCGCACAATAGGCATCAGAATCGGAGCCTGCCGAATTTCGACGCCCTCGTCGCTCACCTCCACGCGCAATCTTGGTCTTCTGCAATCGAGTTCCGTGTCGTCGACTTTGCAGACCTGACACTCTGCGAGCAAGCGTGCGAGGCGCACCAGAGTGCGGTCCTGGTCGCCCAGCACGGGGCCGGCCTGGCGAACGCCGCGTACCTGCGTGACCGCGGTCGGGCGGCCGTCGTCGAGATCTGCCCAAAGTCCATGTGGTACAAGTCTATCTTCCAGTGCCTCGCGGGCTTGCGGGGCGCGCACTATGGCCGCATCCAGCAGACAGACATCCACGGCCCAGTCGACGTCGCCGCCGCCGCGGACGCTGTCGCCACCGTCCTGGAGGTGCTCGGCTCGCCGGTCGACGAAAAGAATCGCTACCCACGGCCCGGTGGCCACCACCTCCGCGTGTGCAACGGGAAGGACCGTGTCTGGCGCGCACCGATCGACTGCGGCTATTAATAACATATAAATATTTCAAGCCCACTACTAAGCGGCGTGCTGTGGACCTTGCGTCCTCTCTGTCACGGTCGTCGATTTCTAATTTGATTAATTATTCAAGTTCTCTAGAGAAGTTTATAAACTTGTGGTAATAAATTTAAAAAGCGACGACGTATGAGGGCCGGGCCCGGGGGCGGGGCGGGCGTGCGGTCACGCAGACCCCGCATCAGCTCCGCTGCTAGGCAGCCTGGTAAGCGAGGCAATAAAATAAAATAAAATAAAATAATCACACAGACCCCGCGGCGGGCCGCGGCTAGGCGGCCTAGCTCTAAGCAAAGCAAATAAAATAAAATAAAATGCACAACTTTGAAAATAAGGAACAAGTTCCTAGGAGCCTTCTAAGTTACTAGACTCGGACTCGGATACTGGGAAGCCTCAGGCTGGGGGCGCGGGCCCGGGGCGAAAAGCGCCAAGCGCTGTGATGGACCATTCAAGTTGCGTGTCCACGGTCCTCGATTTCTAATTATTTATTTACAGGAGCCAGTGTACTGAGTAGTAAAACTAAGAGACGCGGCGGATGCTAGCTAGCGGCCTGTAAGACACTAGGCATCCCTAGCAAGCAAGTGGATGCTCAGGCTAGCTATTCATAATATACGGCCCTTATCTATCAAAAAATTGACCCTAATATATTATAGGTTGATACTGCGTCTGTCCCAGATTGCGTCCGCGATCGGCCGCGCGCAGAAGCTCGACGGCAGTAGAGCCGCAGCCGGGACCACTCCGGCGCCGCGAGAGGTGACGACGGCCTACAAATCACAGCGCTCCGTGGACACTCCGCCCAAATGTGCGACTTCTGGGTGAGCCAGGCGCGCCATTACTGCAATTACTGCAAGGTCTGGACGAGCGGCTCCAAGGAGTCCGTCCGGCGCCACGAGGAGGGCGCGCGGCACAAGGACCGCGTGGCCCAGATCCTCAAGAAGAAGCGACAGGGCCCGCGCGTGCCGGCGGACGCGCGGAACCTCCAGAAGCAGCTCGCCGATATCGAAGCGGCGGCGGCGGCCTCGATGGGCGCGTCGGCGCGCGGCGAGCGCGGCGCGTTCGCCGGCGCGCTAAACGCCGGTGGGCTAAACGTCTCCGCGCCGGCGGGCAGAGGCGGACGGCCGACGACGTGGCCGGGCATGGGCGAGGCGGGCGGGCACCGAGCGCCGCCGCCGCGCGAGTGGACGGGCCCGACGTGGCAGATGCCGCGATCGGCGGACGACGCCGAGGCGATGGAGGGCCACCGTCCCGCGGGCGACGACGACGCGGGCGAGTACACCGTGCGCGGCGCGCTCCCGGCGCATTTTCGGGGCATCGAATCCGTCTCGCTCGCGCCTCGCAGAGTCGCTCTGTCGTGTCCGCTGCAGCCTCGTTGTAATAGAGTGGTCGGACGCGCGTTCTCGCAGGCGTACTCTACTTCGCGGGCGAACGACACCCAGACAAGCTCCGGACGCGAGGGGTCTGTGAGGTTTGGCTGGAGTCCGCGGATGCGTGGGTCCCCGCGACCATCCTCAAAGTCAAGCGCCACGCCAAGGGCGCCGAGGGCGGCGAGGTGCGCACGTACGACGTTCGGCTCCTCCCGCGCGACGCGGCGCCGGCCGGGCCGCCACCCGCGCCCGGACCGCCGCTAGACGCCGCGCCCGAGCGCCGGGTCCCGTGGCACGCAGCGACCGCCGAAACTGCGGCGGCGCCGCCGCTGAGCCGGACGGCCGCGCACCTGGCGGCGGTCGCGCGCGACGCGACGCTGCGTGACCTCGCAGCCGCCGATCTGCGTGTCGCCGCCGTCGATGGCGCGTACGTGCCCCGCACGGTCGACTGTGACGATGGCGCCGACGCGCCGCCCCCCGAGTCGGTTCGGCCGGCCGCTCCGATTGCGCGGGACGAGGCCACGGGACTCGGAGTCTGGCAGACCGTGGCCGTGCGCCAAGTCGACGACGCTGCCGAGGCTTCCGCCGGGGCCCGCCGCCGGGAGAACGCGGATGCGGCCCGCGACAAACGCGACCGTCAGCGACGCGAGGCCGCAGGCTCGATCGACGACCGCGCGCGGCAGATGTGCGAGCGCGCCGAGCGCGTCGAAGCCCTGTCCTCGCAGCTCGGCGTCCACGACCGCACCGACGAATACCGCGGCATCAAGCTCGCCGACGACGACGCGGCCGCCGCCGAGCGCGCGCCGCAGCCTGCCCGCGACCCGGGCGCGCCGCCGCCTGCCTTCAAGCGACGCAAGGTCCACGCTGCTTTCCGCAAGAAAAAGGCCGCAGTCTGAGTGCACTAGAAATCGACGACTTTTGCGAGGCGGCGCAGGTTCGAGGGCTCAAATATTTGCGGCCGAGTTCAATTAGGATGCTAGCTAGCTAGAATATAAACATACCCGACGGTTCGGATGTGGCCAGATAGAACATTCACTCCAGATCAAACTTGAAGTGAGAGTACTAAGTACTACGGTAGAAGAGTACGGTAGGGGCCCGGTAAAGTGAACTTACTTTAGGTTCACCCCGGTGTTTTTACGGCGGCTACTTAGCGCCGGGCTTGATCCACTTGGATAAGTAAGAAGATACGGGATATAGCCAACCGCCTTCCAAATATTTCCGTAGATCCAGGAGATGCGCTTCTGATACAGTCCAACACAAAGGTCAGCACTCCGCCATTAGCGCAAGGGCTTTCAACTGCCGCGATCAATTCGTTTGCATATGGGCGATTTTTATTATCTTTTAGGTACCACATAAATGGGGGTTCCCACACTCTCACGTTTCAGTGAGAGTTCTTCCTGTTCAAGTTGGCATCTCCGTGTCACATAGACACCCGAGAGACCTAGCTACAACAGCTGCATTGTGCACTTGCTGCACCCAGCTCATTTGACACCAGCACATACCGAAGCTAATATCGCTGAACTCTTGCTAGTACCAGCAAGTACAGCGGTACCAGCTTGTCACGGTACCGTACCGTGGTACCTACGGACCGCAAACCAGGCCGCATTTCAAATCCCGCCATCTCGGCAAAATCGAGTTAGAGCATGCATCCCTGTACAAAACACATGACAGTTACATTAAACCCGCGCGACGACATACATAATATGCTATGTTGAGAGGACTTTGCGTATACCTGCTTGGCTTATCGGGGAGGGTACGTGCGGGAAGCAGGCTGGTTGGTAGCCGGCCGATTTGGACTACTTTGACAAATCGCACTCTGGCACCGCCTTCATTCTTCGTCATAGGCTGCACGAAGTGCGGGACCTCCACGCTCCATGATATCATGCTGCGGCACCCGGAGGTTGCCCCCGCATGTCGATTTCATTTGCGTCGCACCCGCTACCTTGCTAACAGCACCTTATTCACGCATCCAGGGCGAATCGCGCCAGCGGCAGCGACACCGTCACACGAGGCGTACGTGGCTTGGGTGGAGGGCCTGCGCCGAGAAGCCTGGGGTCTGACTCGCGAAGCAATGTCGGCTTCGTCACCTCGTGTGGCGCTCGCTGAGCTTGATAGAGCTTATGGCAAGTGGTATGCATACAACAAGGTTGCCACATACTTGCTTTGGAGGTGGGATGTGATCGGCGACAGGGGACGCGGCGCATCCGCAGACCTCAAGCAAGCAGTCATCGAGCAATTCCAAGCGGCGACAGGCACGTTTATGCGCGTAGCCGAAACGCTACGGCACGATGAGATGGCCAAATTCCCCGCTGCACGCGATCCGATAGCCGTGCAGCGCGAGACTGGGCGTCAGTACGCACAGATGCTCCAGCGCCATGCACAGTACACGGCCACTCGGGTGCACGAGTCCTGTCGTCCGGAACGAGGAAAGATTGTGGCAAAGGAGCTCCGATTCTGGGGAACACCACAACGGGTGCATGGGTACCACCGCTACGTCGAGTGGCATGCACCTGAGCTCTTCCTGGCTAACAGCGAGACACCACCATTGGTTGGTGACTTCAGCGCATGTCTCGTTTACGGCTGTGACTCACATGACCCGGGTGTGACAGTCAGAGATATTCTATCTGTGACACCATTCGTGCCTGTCTTTATTTTGGTAGTCTGCGATCCTGCACGGCGCGCTCGGTCGTACCTGCGAATGACTTGCGCTCACGAGCCGCAGTCGGGTCAAACGCGGTCAGCCAAGCGCCACTACTGTGACGATGGCATCGACCGGCAGATCGCTCAAGGCCTCCACGGTCTTGACCGCGTAGGATGCTCTACGAGCCTGTATGCACTCGACGATGGCGCTGCATGGCGCTCAAAGGGTTGTCTGCAGCGCAAGTATCGGTCCAGAGAGAACGCCATTGTTCGTGGTTTTTATGGAGACTGGCTTGATGTTTGGCTTGCAGAGACGAACCAAATCCATGTATTCCAGCTTGAGACCTTGAATGATTATGGCCTCGGGGCCCGCGCCATGGACGCGCTGCATGTGGCCCTCGGCCTCTCGCGATTCCAATATGCTAGAAGTGTCTTCTCTCGGCGCATCAATGTGGCCAAGACGCTCCGCAGACCTGAAAGCCACCGCTTCCAAGCAGGTCCCATCGAACGTATTAGTGAGCAAGACCGCCATTCCATGGACAGGCTTCGCACGACAGTGTTTGCCGCACCAATACGCTACTTCTGTCGGACACTATCTGCAAAACTTGCGGGTGATGACGCCATTCCCCTATGTGGTGATGCCGCCATTAATCGTAGCCACAGTAGATTGTTAGCTCAGGCTCAGGCTGACTCGGACGCGACGTGGCGGATCACCCCCAAACAAGTCTGATTCACACCCAATCGCGCCCACCGACTCCGACCCCACATCTCTGCGGGCTGGAATTGACTCAGCTTAGCCTAAGCTTAATCATGATATTAGTAAAATAAATAAACTTGAATAAATATAATTATTATTTTGTAACTCCGAGAAGGGGCCGGCACACTTGCCCTAGGTTGGCATTAACCGGTTAATAACCGGTAATTTACCCATTATCACTCCTCGGAGGGGATCTGGGGTAAATAACCCGGTAAATTACCCGACGGGTTTTCGACTAAACCCGTTTAGTGCGATTAGCGAAAGACCCCTCCGGGCGAGCGGATGGGCGCAAGCAGCCCGTTGAGCTTCTGGATACGTACAGGTGCGCCAAGGCAAGTACCGAGTCATGTGGCCCGGCGCGGCCCAGGCCCGCGCCAGTGGCCCGCGAGGCCCGCTCCCCCTACCCCTCTATAAGATCCCGGGGTAAATAACCCGTACTAACCGGTAATTACCCGGGTAATTACCCCCGGCCGGCGCCTGGGGTAAATAACCCCTCAGGTAAATGCCAACCTAGCACTTGCCGGCACCCAAAGTGAGAAAATACCGTAGCTTTTCTCCCTGAGTAGCTTGAACGGGGAAACTTGCCACGAACATACTTAAGGTAATGACTAATATTCGCGCAAAACAGGGGCTACAAACGGTAGGGGGTTTTGGGGTGCGCCGGCCGCGGGCAGGCCGCGGCCCGGACGGCGGAGACTCAAAGTTCCAAATCGACGTCGTCGTCGTCCGCATCGTCGTCGTCCGCATCGACTATAACCCCGCGCCGGTCCCCGGGCCCGTGGTTTCTCGTAGGAGCGCCCTCGAAGCTCTCTATTCGTCCCGCGTTGACCTCGACGCGACCGCCGCGGTGCAATGATTTCCAGCTTTTCGAGCGCTTGAAGTTGTCCGCGGGACTCGGGCCATACCCACCGTACTATCCCCACCGTTTTTTGTGCAGTGGCGTGCCCACATCGCGTATCGCACATCATGTGGTGGGAGAGCGATTTGGCGCATCGCGAAATGTTGTGCTGCCGCGCTTTTTTTCTTGGCGCACCGCCTCGGCCGACCCCTTGAGAAATCAGAAATAGCTTGGGGCTGCCTATGGGTGCGTTTAGGCTGCGCACGAGGCCAAAACCAAATCGCCTTTAATCGAGATCCACGGGTTTTTGCCGTTTTCAGCGCGCCGCTGCGCCCTAGTCCCGATCCCCGTACACCCCCCTGACCTCAGCCGGCCCTTAAGAGGGCCCTACGAGTCCCCCCGACCAATGCGCGACGTTCGGGCGCTCGGTGGAGGGAATCCCCGTGGTGGCTGCCGGCGCCGTACTCCGAGTCGCGGATTTTCAGGGGGTGAAAATCAAAACTCGCTTCTATGCTAGGACACGTAGCGTTGCGCGTTATCGACATTCGGGCGGCCGAAGATCGAAGCGGGTGACAACCCAAACGGAGTTTCGTTTTGAGCCGACGTCCCTCACGTAAACTTCCTAATGGGCACCTCCGCTTCAGATAAGCCGGAAGATCCGTCCTCTCTGCGTCGGTCCACAACTCGTAGTTCCGTAGGGTAGACATTCTTCTAGCAAGACACGACTCAAAGTCCACGGCCTGCGACGCTTCAACAACAAACTTGGCTAGCTCTTTCGCCTTGCCACGGGACAATGATTCCTCGGGCCATTCGATATTCCTGGCGAGGTGGCCAGATGCAATAGTATAATTATAAAAATACAGCTCGGCCGGCTAGGCCCGCTGCGCCTGCATGTCGGCAATGGCCTGTTCCGAGATGTTGTAGAGCAGGGAGGAGAGCCAGCGTTGGACGGTGAGGTCGTCCTTGATGTGTGCTGCGAACGTATGGTCGCGGAGCGCGTCGGGGAGGCACTGTCGAAGCGCCTCGCGCGCGCGGAGGTTGTCGCTCAGGCGGAGGTAGCACCGGACGATGTGCTTGAGCAGTCGGATCGATGGCTGCTCGGCGAGGGCCTGGACCATGTTGGCGAGGACGGTGGCGACGGCGTAGAAGCGCTCGGCCGTGGCGCAGACGTACGTCAGCCCCACGTCGTCGAGCAGCACCTTCTGGACGATGAAGGTCGCCACGGTCTTGCTGAGCTCGGACCCGGTCTCCATGATGCGCAGGCAGAGCGGGATGATCTCCGTCTGCAGGAGAAAGTTTATCACGTCCGAGTCGTCCATCTTCACGAGCGCGCCGACCACGCCCAGCGACGTTAATCGCAGGTATTCGAAGGGCCGGTTCTTGCTCACCGTGTTGAGGAACGGGTAGAGGTAGAGGGGCACGTGCGCGGCGAGGAACAGACCGCGCGTCTCGGGGTGCGACGCAACGCACTGGAGCAGCGCTAGCGCGTTGCAGACGCGGTTGCTCGCGTGCGCCGTCAGGTTCGGCGGGCTCAGCGTCGGGTAGATCGCCACGATCTCCTGCAGGAGCGTGCCCATCGTCCCGAACGAATGCCACAGGATCGGCGCGAGGTCCGCGAATGCCTCGCGCTTTTTGCTCAGCTCGAGTAGCGCCGATTCGCGGTGTTCCGGCGAGTCGGGCACCGTCAGCTGCAGCACCAGCGGGTACCTGCGGGGCGGCCGCGCGTGCGCCGCCCGGGACGGGGAGAAAGAAAGCGACACACGGGTTCGCGCAGCTCCTCGACCGACTTCTCCGCCATGGGCCTGCGTGTGCCGCGAGCGTTTGATCCCGGGGGCGCAGCGTGGGAGAGCGCGCCCGCGCCCCCCCCTTTGTCGCGTCGCGAGTCCCCGGCGCGCGAGGCGTTGGACCGACCGCGCCTCGCGGCGCGCCCGGGCCCCGGCGCCGGCGCCAGTCTCGCGCGCGATAGGAAAACCGTCCCCGCGACGGGAGCGCGGGGGGGCCTAGTAGCGGCGCTTGGGCGTGCGACACAAAGGAGGGTGCAGCGACGCTGGCCGCGCGCGAGACTGGCCGAATAGATGGCGTTCGCTCGCTGCGACCAATCCACAAATCAGTATTCGGCTGTCTAAGAGGGCACTAGCTAGAGTTAGCTTTTGAGGTACTACTAACCCCGCCTACGATTCTAGTGCCTCACCACTAGGGTGTCATCATAAGCTGGCATCCTTCGCGCGACGACACACGTGCGCGCGGCGCCACAGTGAGATGCCATGAGGCGCCGCATAACCCGAGAGGCGCTTTTATGCAGTCTCTATGTGCCAGTGCCCGTGCCAGTGTGCCAGTGCTCTTCAGAGTCGGACTCTCGTCTCTCAGGGTTCTAAGATGGCGATTTCGGCAGGCCACGGCCGCCGGTCCTCACCCTAGTAGCCCCCACTGCCCCCCTAGTCCCCGGGCCCGGCGGGCTGCGGGCCTCCAGAAGCTCGGGCCCCGGGCACTACTACTTCTAGAATCTAGTAGTAGCCTTCAAATTAAATAAATGAATGAATGAATCGAGGTAACCCACCATATGAATAAAATAAATTAGGAACAAGCTTCTAAGAGCCTTCTCCCTGCTCAGTCAGGATACCCAAGGACCAAGGTCCCGGGGCCGGACTCGGGGTCCACTCGGACTCGGAGAGCTTCGAAATAATGCTAGTAAAGAACCGCCGCGAAAGAGAACTTACGCAGCCGGGGATATTGCCGCTTTCAAGAGAACGAGGCGCTCGAGGGCGTCCTGCACGTACGCGTCGGGCGTGGAGGCGCCCGAGGTCACGCCGATTTTGAGCGGCCGGTCCGCCGGAAGCCAGTCGTTCTCGATGACGACGTCGCCGTTGAGGAGGCGGTGTTTCACGGAGTTGTCCTCGCGGATGCAGTCGCCCTCGTTGATGTGAAACACCGTCTTGCCCGCGTCGTGCGGGATCTCGACGAGGTGCGCGGTGTTGGACGAGTCGAAGCCGCCGACGACGAGGATGAAGTCGAGCTCGTCGACCTTCGGGTCCTGGATCATCTCCTGGATCGCGTCCTGCCGGACCTGCGTCGCGTCGCAGATCGTGTCGAACGCGACGAAGCGGTCGCTCGCGTCCTCGGGGTACTTCTGGATCATCGTGAGCTCGAAGAGCTTGCCAATGGCCTGCGTCTCCTTCTTGTACATGGTCGTCTGGTTCGCGAGGCCGACCTTGGCGAGGTGCACGTCCGGGTCAAAGCCCTTGGACATGGCCTTGGCAAATTTAGCGAGGAGCGCCTCCTTCCCCTCCGGCGTCGGGTTCAGGATGTAGCGGCACACGTACTCCGCCTCGTCGATGTTCTTGACCATGATGTAGTTGTCGCAGTACGACGCCGTCGCGATGGCCTCCTCGTGCGCGTACTTGCCGTGGATCACCGTCGTCATGCCCTTGGCGACCTGCTTGTCCACGACGTTCCAGACCTTGGTGACCCAGGGACACGTCGTGTCGACCGTCGTCACGCCCATGTCGTCGAAGTGCTGCATCTCCGCGAGCGTCGCGCCGAACGCGGGGAGGATGACGACGTCGCCGGGCGAGACGTCGTCGAAGCGCTTGCCGCCGTCCGCGGTCTTGTCGACGAACTCGACGCCGGCGTCCGCGAGCATGTTGTTTACGCCCGGGTTGTGCAGCAGCTCGTTCGTGATGTGCTTGCGCTTGTCCGGGTACTTTTCCGTGGCCGCGAGCGCCAGCTCTATGGAGCGCTCGGCGCCCCAGCACATGCCGTACTCTTGGGCGAGCCGGAACGTCACCGCCGCGTTGCCCTCGCCGCGGCTCGTCTCGAACGTGCCCGCGCGCATCGAGTCGAGGAGCGTCGACTTCATCTCGGCGAGCATCTTCTCCTGCACCACCGCCTGCTCCTCCTTGAAGTCGCCGTGGGTCCGGAAGAACGTGGGCGAGGACGCGATGCGCCGCCGCTCCGCCTTTTTGTTCGCCACCTCGCGCGCCTCGAGGATCGTGCCCTCCGAGGCCGAGGCGCGGCGGGGCGCGCGGGGCGCCGCGCGCCGCGCGGGCGCCCGGAGGCCGCTGGCGCACCGCGCCGCCGCGAGGGCGCAGGCGAGCCGCCACGACGGCATGCTCAAAGCGGTGCTGCGGCAGATCTCGGCCTGCTGAGGTACCAGTACCTGTGCGCATTCACTAGGCCTACTCTGTCCGGGTATTTAACCAAGATAAGTGAGACTAGGATAGTGAAGCTAAGATAAAATTTTGGGAGATTTATAAGTGGAAAAGAGGCCGTTGCCACAACGGGCGCCAACCCCAGGGACCCCGGACCACGCGCCCCCGCGCCAAAGCAACCAAGGGAGGGTGGGAGGGCCAAAATTCTTGCTCCTTTGTCCTGCGCTCTCACAATCGGAGCGCTGTTGGACACGAGCAAGTATAAGAAAGTATCTTGCAGCGAGCCACTAGATGTGACGATGGACACGAGCAAGTATAAGAAAGTATCTTGCAGCGAGCCACTAGATGTGACGATATTGCTGCCAAGATACCAAAAACATAGCTGACAGACCTGAGTCAGCCTTACATAGGTTCGGGACAGCCCTTGGGTCTCTTATTAAAGCTCCTTCTGTAAACAGAGGGCTGTTGACCCCTCTCATCACGGGCGCCGCGGGATTACAACGATCCACTGATTGGATTCAAAGGTTGAACAAGAAGTTCCGGGGAAAACCCCACCTTTAGGGGAATTACCATAAGCCCCTTTGGCAGTGCCTGAGCTAAATTGGTAAGACAATTTAGCTCGCCAACAAATCATACAGATTTGCGACAGGTCGAACAGGACGTACATGCTTGGGAACCAATCCCAACTTAGGAATATAAATTCCAGCTCCATAACTGCCAAAGGCTGCTGGGCTAATACCCGGAGCATCATAGACGTAAATACAAGGATACGTGGCCATATCATAGCAGGTACTCGTATGCATACAAGCTGGTACGGGAGCGCCCTAACCATTTTCGATCATTTGGAAGTCATTTGACCCGTATTCGCTATGCTCACAGGTCTTCCGAGTTTAAGCTCAAAAATGATGTCAAAGACTTAGGCAGGCTCTAGTGGCAGGCCATATATTCGAAATAACCGTGACCCCCTATTTATGCCAGTGAAATATACTAGAAATCATTAGACCCCAAAATCGACCGCCCAGAACCATGGATTTTGGTCTCGATATAATTGAGTTGTAGCCCTTTTTACATACGCGGAAAGTGAACGGGTTTTCCCGTGAACGTCCTTTTTGATGTAAAAAAGGCTCAGGCTACAACTCATAGCCTGAGTATACTACTAATGCCAACCTAGGGCCCCTTGTTCCTCCGATGGCGCGTGTCTTGCTGGGCCGAACCCGCAATTACGAAAAGAAGATCATTTCCTATCGCTCCATATCTATATTGGGCTCAAAGGGAATTTCAGTTGTCCGGGCAGGGTGAATCTTAGGGCCCGGGGAGTCCATTTAAACTGATTTGACTACGATCCCTGGTGAAAAGGATATTGTAGCAGCACCAAACCCAAGGTCTCACATAACGTCCATGCGCATCAATCCTGGGGCGGTCACTTGGGAAGTAAGAATGATTCCAGCCCGCAAAATCGGTCCGTAATGACGAGTGTTTGGAACAACGTGTACGATCAAAGTGACGAAGGTCATGGCCGGCTTCGAACAAGAATGCGAAGAGGGAATATATTGCGTTAGCTGCTTGCTCACCTGGTGGACTCAGTCCTTCGCATGTGTGGAGCTCGAATGCAAATTGGTCAACGTGCCAGAAAAAGTTGGGTCGCGTCTTCGCAATGTCTGCGGCCAGTTGGTACTCACAGCCCTCGCAGTCCATCTTGAGGATATGAAGGTGTGGGTGGCCGAGCGCAAGGCCAAGAAGGGGGACATTGGTGCTTGTCCATTTCGATCTGGTTACTGGGGAATTGGCACCGATCTTGAGAAATGTGAGCCCCTGAGCGTTGCCTGGATGTTCAGGATGCTGCACCGTGGGGTCAAGGAGGACACCCCTGCAGTTCCACTGCCTCGCCACGTGCAGGTCGAAGGAAAAATCCTGTTCGATCCCAAATGAGTGGAAGATACAGGGATTGTGAACGATCGATGCATTGCAGATTTCGTGCCCGCCGTACCCTACACCGAAAAGCGCGAGCGCACAACCTGGATCGCCACCCCTTCCGAGCTCGTCGACGCGCCGCCAAAAGCGGGCGTTCGCCTGCCGCCCCCTCTCGTCCGTCACCCCATAGCCAAGGGCGACCAAGAGTAATATTGAGGCCAGCGCGTAAGATCCACTTGCATGGCCCATCGTATGGGCACAGACTCGGAGAGAGAGAGAATCCCTCTAGCCCTTCCTACCCTAGATATGTATCTAGATATGTATCTTCCACTCTCTCTACCCACTCTCTAAACTTGAGTCTATACATTGGGTGTCTACCGACGCTAGTGTAAACCAGTTTATAATAAAAGGTTCTCGTAGTGGGTTAGGCCCAGTCTCTGGCTGGTGAGCTAGGACTCGGACCCTGCTACTCACTGAGTCAGGCTTTCGGACTCGGAGGGAGAAGTAAACGCTTGGTAAGTGTTTTACGTTCCACCCTGCCAAAGCTGATATAGGGGCCCCCACTAAACAGTGAGGGAGGGCGGCCCGGGGCCCGCCGGGTCTAAATAAACCTGAGGACCGCTGAGGTGAAAACTCCCCTAGATATATATCTTCAACGCCATAGCCCCCTATTGCCGGAACTATGGCTACATTACTCTCGCCTATCAGCACGCTAGACCAGCCGGCACGTGCCCGGAGCCGGTGTTTCCCTACATCCCGTATCTTCTTACTCAGGCAGCTTATCCAAGTGGATCAAACCGGCGCTACGTAGCCGCCGTAAAAAACACCGGGGTGAACCTAAAGTAAGTTCACTTTACTGGGGGGAACAGCGGGAATCGACCCTACAAAGCCCGAGTGAGGCTAACCGTCACGGTGACCGTGACCCTATAAGAACCCGACCGTGACATATATAGTATTATAGATAACCGCAATAACCTGCGAATAATGCAAGACCAGAGGAGTACGCACCTTTGGGAGTACGGCGGCTGAGATAGTCTGCCGCGGCCCGGGAGCTAGGGGTATTTCGCCCTATTTATCGCAGACTCGGAGTCACTGGCACCCGGGCCGTGACTGGCAAGTTGATAGGCCCAACTGGCAGACGATGGCAGACAGGCAAAGCTGGCGTCTCTCTAGACGGAGCCCGGGCCAGGAAGGAAAATTATTAATGGGGCCAGGCCGAGTCATCCCGGCCTGCACTCCTTTCCGAACTTGGAATACAGCGTGACGGGGTTGTGCTCCTCACCCTTGATGCCCAGGGTCACGAAGCGCTGCTCTTTTGGGAACGCGTGTAAGATTTGCTTTTCAATGGCAAAAAGAAGGTAGTTCTCGCAGTAACCGGGAGCCTCGGGATTACGACAGGAGGATACGAGGTCCGCGAGATGCGGAAATGCCGCCTGTGGAAATTAACGTTAACCCGACTCACTGGATGTTTTCCACACAGAACACCGCCTGCGTGAGGAAGTGGTAGCCGTAGACGTCGCGCAGCGGGTCGAAATGGGCGAGGTTGAGCTCGTTCGACATGATATAGATAGCCGAGCCTGGCTTTATGCCGGATTGGTCAAGGACCTCGGCGATGCGCGCCGGAGACGTCGCCTTGTCCATCTGAGCTGGACAATACTTGCTATTTGTAATCTTGTCGCCGCGGCGGCAGTGAACGACGGCAGCGACGCCAGTCTTCGAGAGCGCCCGAAGGCGATCCACAACGGAGGGCACAGCGCCGAGGACCTTGTCGCTCGGGACGAAGCTCGCCACGAGCCGATGATGCCCAATGAATCTCGTCATGTTGGGCAGCCTGCGAAAAAGGTTGAGCCTATCTGGGACGCGGTCGACGGGCGGCGCGGGCCGGCGTCGAAGGAGCCCCGGGACCGCGTTCTGCATGTCGGAAACAGGGCCGTCGTGGTAGCCAAGACTCTCGTGCTTTGCCTCCACGAGCTGGGCGAGCTGGGCGTCCGACACGTCGGCCACGCAGGACGCGAGCGTGCCCTCGCATACCGTCTTGTGCCGCTCTTCGATGCGGAACGACGATCGTTCAAACGAGATGAAGTCGCCCCATCGGTTAAAAAGGAAGGGTCGGTCAAGATTGTGATTCCGAGTCAGCGACGGGGGCCCGAGCAATACCGCGCGGCCGAGGCCGAGCCCTTCGGCGAGGATCGCGCGCAGATTTGATATCTGGTGGTTTAGCCCGCTACGAGCTGCATTCCTATAGTCGAGGTGGTAGAAGCGTGACAATGCTGCGCCGCCGTGGCGCCGCACGCAGCTGCAGTTCTCCAGGGCAAAGACCTCTGGCTGGAAAACGAGCCGCTGCAGGCCCGCTGTTGCCTCTTCGAGTCCCGTCGCCTGTCGAGCTGCGGCGAGGGCGAGCATCCACGCCGACGCCGACGCCATTTTAGGCCGGTTCACTCCTTAAATTTTATCCAGTCCGCAGGTAGGTACCACGATACCGTACATGACATTCTCATAAAAGGTATCCGAGGAGCGTGTCATAAAGGCCCAATAAATTACGAACCAACCCGGCTTTTTATCATGGCCGCGCTGAGCGCTAAACCCTTGGAGAGCAAAATCGCCCCGAGCTTGTTGGCCTGTGATTTATCGGACATGGCGGGCGAGGCCGCCCGCGTCACGGTCGGTGTGGAAATCAAGTTTGCTCGATGGCGTCGAGGTTGGCGATTTTCAGGCTCACTGGCTGATTTCCACACAGGTCATGGACGCCGGGGCCGACGCGCTGCACATCGACGTCATGGACGGCCACTTCGTCCCAAATTTGTCGTGGGGCCCGCCGGTGATCAAGAAGCTGCGGCAGCGAAGCGACGCATTTTTCGACGTCCACCTTATGGTCTCGGACCCGCTCGCGTACGTCGGCCCCATGGCCGACGCCGGCGCCGACGGCTTTACGTTCCACGTCGAGGCCGCGACGGACCCGTGCGACGTGGTCGACGCCGTGCGCGCTGCGTCGCGTCCCATGGTCGTCGGCGTCGCGCTACGGCCCGACACCCCCGTGGAGGCCCTAGATGCGTTGTGGCGCGACGGCGCGTTCCTGCCCGACCTCGTGCTGGTCATGACGGTCCCGCCCGGCTTCGGCGGCCAGGCGTTCATGGCCGACCAGATGCCAAAGGTGGAAGCGCTCCGGCGGAGGTTCCCCACCATGGACATCCAAGTCGACGGCGGGCTGAACCTCGCCACCGTCGAGGTCGCCGCGCGCGCGGGCGCCAACTGCATTGTAGCCGGCTCGGCGGTGTTCAAATCAGACCGCCCCGCGGAAGTCATATCGGCGCTCCGCGATGGCGTCGAGACCCTGGCGCTCCACAAGCCCGCGAGGAAGCGCGGCGGCATGGTGTCGTCCTGGCGGCCGCGCGCGGAATCGTTCGAACACCCACCCTAGTCACGGCGGGCTCCACCAGTGCGGCGCAGAACTGTGGTAGAAGCTGTGGTATAAATAAGATAGGTATACTTCTAAGGGATATTAAGTACTACAAGTGCCGCTGAGTGCAACTTGAATTACCGTGACCTTCTTGAATATGAATACCGTAGGTACTGCGGTAGCAAGAGTATGTCGCAGCGTTATGTAAAGTAGCAGGGTGTTAGCTAACCAGCCGAGGGCTGGCTAGACCTGACTACGAGAGTGTTTTATAGTGAACTGTTGTTAGGGGTCCCAAAGAGTCCCTTTGTACGCCCCATGACCGGGCTGGGGGGAAGGGTCCACTTTCGCGGCGAGACGCGGTCGCGAAGTTGCCCATCTGGCAAGAGGTACTAAGTACAACTAGAATTAGAGCTCCTTGCATCTGGGGGCTAACGTGCGGGTATTTCAGGGACCTCTGGACTGAAAAATCAAAACTCGCTTCTATGCTGGTAATTTGGTCTCCCAGGGGCCCTCGGGTACCTATGGCGTGGGGCGGATGCGTAGGCGCGGCCGGGTACCCGATGGGCTGTCAGATAGGTCGCCTGACGCGGCACGAACGCCACTGGCGCGACCTTCGCAGGCCACTAAAATTTCCAAACCTAATCATTTCGCTTACCCGTTTCGGTCACGTCCTAGAGGGGTACGTTGGGCCCCTATTCTCAATTTGCGACCGGCCAAGACGTCTAGTTATAGAGATACGGCAAATTTGGGGTTGGGCGTCACCCCCCGTGCGTAACCTACGTCTTAAAGTTCAAGTTGGTAATTAAACACCGTAAACAAAACTAGTGGTGCATTTTAAAGCACCCTATGACAATAAATTACTAGTACTACCCCTGCGCCGCGAGCCAGGCCGCCGCCGCGCCGCCGTCGCCCGCCGCGTCCCAGAGCGCGACCGACCCGCCAGCCCCGGCGGCCACGAGCACCAAGGGGTCCACCGCGTCGAACGCGAGCGCGAAAAGCTCGCCGACGGCGAGGTCCCGGGCCGCGACGGGCGCAGGCGGCCCCGGCGCGCCGCCGCAGTCCCAGAGCTTGACCGACGCGTCCGCCGACGCCGTCGCGAGGAGCCCGGCGGCCGTTTCGGAAAAGCAGACGGCGGACGCGGCCGCCCCGTGCGCCCGAAGCGACCAGAGCGGCGCGGCGGCCGCGCGGACGTCGAACGCGACGACGCCGCCGGTCTCGTCGCCCGCCACGAGCGTCGTCGCGACGAACGGGTCCCACGCGACCTGCTCGACGCGGCCTCCCGCGGCGAACGTCGCGCCCGCCGTCGCGCGTCGCGCGTCGCGCACCGCGAGGCGGCCGTCGTGGCCGCCCGTGGCGAGGCAGGCGGGCTCGGCCGGGTGCCACGCGACCTGCGACGGGTCTCCGCGTGCGTCGACGCCCCGGCCGACGACGCTCGAGTCGGCGCCGGCGCCGCGCGCTCGACACGCGGTCGCCGTGGTGCGTCCACGTCACCGCACACGCGCGTGCGTTCAAATCCCAGAGCTTGACGGTGCGGTCCGCGGAGCCGGAGGCGAGGACCGTCGGCGAGTGGCGTCGCCACGAGACGGACAGCACGGCGTCGCCGTGCGCGCCCGGCGTCGGCCGCGGCGCCTTCCGCCCGGCGGCCGTGGGCGCGTCGCCGCCCAGGCTCGCGACGGGCGCCGCGGGCTCCATGACGTCCAGATCCCACACGTCGATGCGCGGCTCCATCGTCCCGACCGCGACGCGGGCGCCCGCCGAGCCGTGCTGCAGGAACGCGAGCGCCAGCGGGAACGCCTCCAGTCGAACGTCGTGGTGCACGTAGAGGCTCCCCTGCTCGTCGTCGTACACGTACATTTCTACGCACGAGAAGTCGTCCTCGGTGCGGCCCGCCAGGAACACGGCGTCCGACGCGCGGACCGCGTCGTCCTCCGCGTCGCTGTCCGCGGCGCCCCCCTTCGCGGCCCGCGGCTGCGGCGCGCAGGCCCCGCGGGGGACGGCGCAGACCGCGCTAATCATTTGTCTTGTTCTCAATCACAAGTCTAGGTTGAGCTCCTAGTTGGGCGTCTGCGGACGTATAAAAGTACTCGTGACAACCCGCGCGGCAGGAGCGGTCACGTCCTGCGGAGCTAGCTAAGCTCGCACTGGAGGAGCGCAAGCCGTGGCGCGCGGTGCGCAGCCAACCATCTCTCAAGCATCGGCCAAACGCCGCGAGTAGCTTTGCGCGTGGCCAGCCGAGCTCATCATGGACGACACGGAGGAGGCGCAGGCCTGGATCGAGGCGGTGACGCACGACCCGTTCGACGACTCGCTCAGTTTCCTCGCGAACCTGAAGACCGGGGCGCGCCGCGGCGTCCCCGCAATTTCGCGCGCCCCGCGCCGACGCCGCCCGCCCGCAGGTGCGGCTGTGCAAGCTGATCAACGCGATCAAGCCCGGTAGCGTCAAGAAGGTTTCCGAGTCGACCATGGCCTTTCGGCAGATCGACAACATCAACATGTTCCTCAAGGGCTGCCAGGCCATGGGCATGCCGGCGTCGGACTGCTTCGGCGCCAAGAAACTCTTCGACGAGGGAGATTGTCGAAAGGAGGTGCTCAACACGCTGGAGTCCCTTGGCGGCCTGTGCCAGGCCCAGGGCGTGGCCGTTCCGGTCTTCGGCAAGAACAAGTACGCGACGAAAAACACGCGCGTGTGGACGGACGAGCAGAAGCTCCGGCAGGCGCGGGCGGATCGAGGCTCGATGCTCATGCAGGGGTCGTCTGGGACGATGGAACGCGTCGGCGAGTCCTCCAGCGGCATCACCTTCGGCAACTCGGCCGCGGGGGCCGGCGTGGGCGGCATGACGCTGCTCTCCGCGGGCTCCGCGGATACCATGGAGCGCGTCCAGGGCAGCCGGGGCGGCATCACCTTCGGCAACTCGGCCGCCGGGGCGGGCGTCGGCGGCATGACGCTGCTCTCCGCGGGCTCCGCGGATACCATGGAGCGCGTCGCCGGCTCGCAGCGCGGCATCACGTTCGGCAACGCGGCCGCCGGCGCCGGCGTCGGCGGCGACGGCACGCTCCTGAACGTCGGGAGCGCGGGCACCATGGAGCGCGTTCAGGGCCGCAAAGCCGGCATCACATTCGGCAACGAGGCGGCCGGCGCCGGCTCCGGCGGCGGCGGCACGCTGGTCAACGCGGGCTCCGCCGCGACCATGGAGCGCGTTCAGGGTCGCAAGGCCGGCATCATGTTCGGCAACGAGGCGGCCGGCGCCGGCGTCGGCGGCGGCACCACGCTGGTCAACGCGGGCTCCGCCGCGACCATGGAGCGCTCCAACGTGGGCAAGGCCGGCATCACGTTCGGCAACGAGGCGGCTGGTGCCGGCTCCGGCGGCGGCACCACGTTGGTCAACGCGGGCTCCGCCGCGACCATGGAGCGCTCCAACGTGGGCAAGGCCGGCATCACGTTCGGCAACGAGGCGGCCGGTACCGGAACCGGCAGCGACGGCACGCTCCTCAACGCGGGCTCCGCCGCGACCATGGAGCGCGTCACCAAGCTCGCGGCCGGCATCACGTTCGGCAACGAGGCGGCCGGCGCCGGCTCCGGCGGCGACGGCACGCTCCTGAACGCCGGGAGCGCGGGCACCATGGAGCGCGTCCAGAGCAAGGACGGCGGTATCACTTTTGGCAACCAAGCCACCGGGCTGCCACCACCGCCGCCACCCTAGCTTGTGACCTCCCGGTCGCGAGACTGCCATATATGGGCCTCCATAGGTCGTTCAATATTCTCTCGACTCGGGGACTCTGTGTATATCGCGTACTCCCGCTAGGGCTTCGAGTCTTCTAGAAGGCGGCCCCCGGCGGGCGGCCGGGCGGACAGGTGCAACTTAGACTTTTTTGTGCCGAAGCGCACGATTTAATTCGTCGGAGTGTGTCTGATGTGGTCCGTACCACTGGATTAAATGAGCTGCAACTCTAATTTGTTCTTTGTCAAATATAGCTTCGTGTACCTGCATGTGATACTTGTGGCCACCAATGTCTGGGCTCATCAACTTGAAATTTCTTGGTGAGCCTATCCTCCACTGGCACTACTTTGATTTGCGCTTCGCGGTTTGCTTCCAGCGCTTTGATATGTTCTTCGTGTTTCTGCTGGAGCTCAGCTTGTACGTGTTCGACACCGTTTTGTATGAGCCGATTCATTTCAGCTTGATCCATCGCTGCCAGTGGGTATTCACTTTCTTCGATCTTTTGGGGTGATTTCTTTTTGGATTTCTTTTTAGGTGTTTTGTCTTGTCTAGGCATTCACTGTAAAACACTCTACGTCAATAGGCAGAACCCTGTGGGCCCATAACCTAGCAAGAGCATGTCGCAGCGTTATGCCAGTGTAAAGTAGCCGCAGGGTCCTAGCTCACCAGCCGAGGGCTGGGCCAACCACTATGGGCCAACCTGACTACGAGAGTGTTTTATAGTGAACTGTTGTTACACCGTAGCGTCAAAGACACTCGCTGTATAGACTCAAATATTAGAGAGTGGGAGATACATATCTAAGGTAGGAAGGGCTAGTAGGTTTCTCTCTCTAACGTCGGTACCTACGGTACCGCACTGGCGGAAGGAACGGAAGGAATCATTGTCCAAGCCAGCGCGGGGCAGCCTTCCTAAACATGGCCGCGCCCGACGCCGCGTCCGCACCAAAAATCATTCCCTTCGCGGCGCTCGAGGCGGGGGACGCCGACGCCTGCGCGGCCGTCGTCGAGGCCTGGAAGGCTGGGGTCGCCTGCGTCGTGCGCCTCGCGGACAGGGCTGTCCTGCGCGAGCTCTGGAAGGGTTCCGCGGCCGGCCTCGCGACCGCAGACACCTGGCCGCTCGAGCGGCTGGGCGGCCTGGAGGTCGGCCATCGCCAGCACGGCGCGCGCGATTTCTTGGAGACGCGCGCGATCTGCGACGAGGTGCGGCCGCCGCTCGGCGACGGCGTGCGGTGCGCGTTCGACCACCTCGAGAGGTGTGCACGCGCCGCCCTAAAAGCCGCCTGCGGGCCGCTGGGCGCCGCGCCGGAGACGCTCTTGAATCTGTTAGACGAACCGGGCCGGCCGAAGCTCTCGGCGTCCGTGCTGCGGCTTTGTAGATATGTGGCGCCGGCGGGCGAGCCGCGTAAGCGCGTCTGCTTCGGGGCGCACACTGATACCACGTTCTGTACCGCGGCCCCTTGCGCGGCGACGCCCGGCTTGGAGGTCTTGGACCACGGCACCTGGACATCGCCCGAGCGGGGCCGCGACAGCGGCACGGATGTCCTGGTGTTCTGCGGCGAGTTCCTCCAGGTGCTCAGCAAGAGCTTCTACGAGGCGGCGGTCCACCGCGTGGCGCTCACCGCGGGCGCGGCCGAGTCCGTGCGCTACTCGGCGCCCTTTCTGCTGCGCGCGCGGCGGGACGCGACCATCGTGCCCGTCGCGGCCGTGGCCGGCGGCCCGCCGCCGCGGCTTTTGGGCTTGCCGGGCCTCTCCATGGCCAAGTTCCACCGCTTCTTAGAGTTACGGCGGCGCAAGCTCGTCCAGGAGCACGCGCAGTCGAACGACGACTCCGACGACTCCGACACGGGCTTTATACTTAAGTGATGGTTCTAAACTGATGGTGTGACTCAACTCGGCCCAGGGCCAGGCAATTTAATCCCGTCCGAGTCACGGTCCTGGCACGGTCGGCGCTCCGAGTCCAGCCTGAGACTCGGAGCAGCAAGCCTTCTGAGGTTCAAGTTGTCCGAGTCGACAAATAGAGGGATCATGATAGGTAAGGTAAGGGTCGATGTTTCCAAACTTGAACTTTTCAACAACGGCAGGGATCCACGTAGGTGGAAGAACAAAAAGTGCTTTATCACAGGCAGATGATGCTGCAATAAGCTCAGCTTCGGTACCGTACCGTAGGTAGGTACCGTAGGTACCTACGGTAGGTATCTTCACCTAAATTGGTCCTAATCCACGAGCAACACAGGAAGATGGCCAGAGAAATATCGTCCTCTACGGAATACGTGCTCGACGACTTCGACGAGGAGTTTCCAGAATTATACAACGCGCTGTACCAAAATGCCCTGAGCGGGCGGGCGCGCCAGGCCCGCAAGGCGTGCGAACTCGCGACCCTCGGCCGCCGGCTCGCAGCACAGCCCCGCTTCGGCGGCCTGAGGGACCCGGGGCGGCTCGTGCAGCGGCCATCCCACGCGCCAGAAGTCGCCGAGCTGACGGCTGCGTTGCGGACGGCCCGGCGTTCGGCGCAGCTCCTCCGGGACGAGATTCTCGGACAGACTCCGCAGGCCAAAGCGGCAGCCGATGCGCGGGTGCGGAAGATGCGCACGCCGGACCGTCCGACGCAAAGCAAACGGTCGGCCGTCGTCGGCACGCCCAGCTCGGGCGAACTCGAGGACCTGGAAGCAGACGCGTTCTTGTCCGCCGACCCGGGCGAGAATCTCGGTCTCCCCAGCGAGACGAGGTCGCGCGGCGCCGGCGCCGACGCGAATCTCCGGCGCGTGCGTGACCGGGTGTCGCGGCCAGTGCGGTCGCCGCCGAAGTCGTCACGCGCCGTCCTGAGCCAGATCGTCGGTGATGATGCCGTCGCGTGCGAGCTCGCGCAGCTCGATGCGTGCCAGGCGGGACTCGAAAAGGCGTCGCGCGCGGGCGTGCGAACTCAGGCCCGCGTCTCTACGACGTCCTATCGACCCCGTACAGCCAGTAACCCACCGCCGCGCGTATCGCCCGGGAATGTACTACAACGACACGCGACTGCCGAGGCCTACACGGGCCGCCTCTCGTGCCGCGATCCCTCGGTCGCCCTCTTCGCGCGACCGGCGACGGCCGGGTACTGGTCCAGCCAGGAAAAACTTTTGAGGTTTGACTGATGTCGCGTTTTCTTGCCCGGTGTCTTTCTCGCGAATTGGAATTAAATAAATAACCCGGGCCTGAGATAAATAGATAAATTTCTAGAAGCTTTCCCTTATTTGCCGGTGCCCATCGTCTCTTCGGGAAGGGCGGAGGTACGAGACTGAGAATACTGTGTATAGATACCTTATTGCTATTTCGAAGCTCCGGTTGGGCATCCTGACCGAGCAGGGAGAAGGCTCTTAGGAGCTTGTTCCTTTTTTTTAGGTCTTCCTTTATTTATTTATTTATTTATTTACCTAGGTATTTATTTATTTATTTATTTATTTATTTATTTATTTATTTATTTGGGCCTTATCATGATTTGTTGGCCCCTATTTATGTTTATTTGCTTTGCTTACTAGAGCTCGGCTACTTAGGCGAGCGTCAAGGCGAGCGGATTGGTCGCCACGTAGCGAAAACACCCCTCTAGCCTAGGTCCCACTTACCCTACGGGTATTAACCCCTGGCGCGGCCCAGGGTCATTGACCCGGGTAAATACCCGTCAGTACCGGATATTAGCCTCAGGAGCTTATAGAGGGGTAGGGAAGGGGGCCATAGGCCACTCGCGTGGGCCTGGGCCGCTCCACCTCCGGAGTTCTCTGGGTGATCCACCCGCCCGGGCCGGGTAGTAGCACTGCTCCGAACGACACACACCCACACCCTGGGCAGCGGGCTGTGGTCGTCACTCGCGACGACGACAGCAGCCCACCGAGATATCACAGATACAAGCTCGCCGCGAAGACGATGTCGCGCTTGATCTTCGCGGACGCGTCGTCGAACTTGGCCTTGAGCTCAAAGTTGCCCACCGCGAAGGCCGCGGACGCGAGCTGGCGCAGGAGCTCGTCGAGGCGCCGGATCACGCGGATGATGGTGCCTTCGAAGGCGTCGGTGAGTTTCGTGAGGTCGACGAACTTCGCGCCGTTCGTCCACTGGAAAAGCACCTCCATCAGGTCGGGATTGAAGCGGTCGACGTATTCGACCTCGTCGACGGGGAGCCCGGCGGCGACGCAGGCGCGCGCGACCGTCGTCGCCGCGGCGCGGAGCTGCTCGTAGGCGGCCTGGAGTGCGCCGCGCAACGGCGGCGCGCCCTCCTTGGCCTTCTCCGTGTGACACAGGCAGCTGAGGAGCGCGACGGCGACGGCCGCGTCGAGGTCCTGGAAGACGCCCTCCATCAGCAGCTCGCCCACGACCAACTCGTCGGCCGTGTTGAGCTCGCAGGCGGCGCGGCCTTTGAGCGCGATGACGCCCTCGCGCGTGACGTGCCCCAGCGCGCGAAGCACCTTCCGCATCTTCCGGAGCTCGTCGCGGAGCACGAGCGCCTGCGCGTCGCGCGCGCGCCGGCGCAGCGCGCGCGCGCGCTCCGCCAGCGCCTCGCGCGCCTCGAACCTGCGTGTGAGTCATCCAGAACAGCGGCGACGCGGTCGTTTTTGATGGACGCGCAGAACCAGTCGAAGATTCTCCCGCGTGGAAGGCACCGTAATCATGGCTTCGCGCACGGCCGCGGACGCGTCCGCGTCCACCGTCGCGCCGGCGGGCGTCGCGGCGAGCTCCGCGCGGAGCGCCGCGACGCGCCGCGCCGCCTCGCCGTACGCCGCCTCCTTGCCGTCGAGACCCAGGTCGCGCGCGTCGTCGAGCTCGGGGACCGCCTCGCGGCGCTCGGCGAAGCGGCGCGCGACCTCGTCGACCGCGCGGCGGACGCGCGCGCGAGCCTCGGGTCGCCGCAGATCCGGCGGCATGAAGACACGCACCGCCGAGAGCGCCGCGAGCGCGACGAGGGGCACGCAGGCCAGCTTCGCGCCGCCGTCGTCGTCGGCGACCAGGACGTCGACGACGTGCGCGGGCCGCGGGTCCGCGTCTCCCGGCGCCAGAGCGCGACAGGCGACGCCGGCGTCGACCGACGCGAACGCTTCACCCTCTCTCGGCTTCCGCGCGGCGACGACGACGCCGAGGCCCAGCGCCGTCGCCGCGGCGCCGGTCGGCGCCCAGTCGGCGGGCGCGACGACCGTCGCGAGCCGGCCCGGCTGGAGCCACGGGAGGCAGTGCGCCGGCTTCCGCGAGAGCGCGAGGACGTCGGCCTCCGCCGCCGCGAGCCGGCGTCTCGCGGCGACGTGCGCCTTCGTCGCCGCCGCGTCGGCCACGTCGCCGCCCTCGCCCAGCGCCTCCGCTTGAGCCTCCAGCGCCGTCGCCTCCGCCACCAAGGCCGGCGCGTCGGCCTCCTGCTGGTACTGGTGGAAGGAGGAACGGACGAGATAGTCCGGGTCCGCGCCCTCGACGCGCAGCAAATTCAAGAGCATGTTGTACGTCACGTGGTACGACGAGTCGAGGCGGTCCGCCTCGCCGTACAAGATGCCCTTGGCCACCGCCGGCTCCATCTTCTCGTCGAGGACCTGCAGCACGATGCCCTTGTCGTCCTTTCCGCGCCGGCCCGCGCGGCCGCTCATCTGGATGTACTCGCCCGCCGTGAGCCACCGAAAGTCGGCGCCTGCGCGACGCGTCGGTCAGCGGTCCGAGTCAAAGCAGACGTCCCTTCGACGCGACCGAAATCCGTCGCCGTCGAGGACGGGCGAGGCGAAAAGCTCCCGAGCGTTGCGATGCGCGCGGGGGAGCGCCGTCGAATTTGCGCGTCTCCGTGAACACAACGGTTCGCGCGGGCATGTTGATGCCGATGGCGAACGTCTCCGTGGCGAACAGGAGCTTGAGGAGGCCCTCCTGGAAGAGGATTTCGACGACTTCCTTGACGATGGGGAGCAGCCCGCCGTGGTGGATGCCGATGCCCCGTTTCAGGAGCGGGAGCAGCGTCGTCACCTGCGGCAGCGCCTTGTCGTCGTCGCTCAGCGCCTCGAGCGCCGACGCGTAGACCTTTTCGACGACGTCCGCCTCGTCCGGCGCGTTGAACGACGGCTCGTCCTTGAGCGCGACGGCGTTGCGCTCGCACTGCGCCTTGGAGAAGGCGAAGACGATGGCGGGCTGCCACTGCTGCTGGCGGACGACGCCGACGATCCGCTTCAGGTCCGTCTCGGCCTGGCGGCCGCTGGGCCTCCGGCGACGCTTTCCGGCGTCGTCAGCGTCGGGCGCGGTCGCGCCGCCGCCCAGGCAGGCCATCGCCGTTTCGAAGTTGGCCTCGCGGAACGCGCCGGCCTCGTCGACGACGAGGTGCAGGCCCTCGCCGCCGCTCGCAAACACGTAGTGCACGAGCGGCGTGGGCCGGTAGTCGGTGTAGACGACGTGGCACGCCTGCCGGTGCGTCTGGCAGATCCACGCCGCGAACTCGCGCGCGTTCGGGATCGTCGCGCTCAGGAACACAAAGCGGACCGTGTGCGGCAGCAGGATGATCGACTCCTCCCAGACGACGCCGCGCTCGCGGTCGCGCATGTAGTGGATCTCGTCGTAGACGACCTGCGACGACGGACCCGCGAGTTGGGTCGACAGACGGACGGACGGACGCCGCGCGGCGACCCACTTGACCTCGCGCACGAGCTCGGACCCGCGATAGAGCATGGACCGGAGGATCTCCGTCGTCATCACGAGGCACGACGCCTGGGGGTTGATCGTGATGTCGCCCGTCATCAGGCCCACGTCCGAGAAGATCTCCTGGAGGTCGCGGAACTTTTGGTTGGACAGCGCCTTAATCGGCGAGGTGTAGACAACGCGCTGCCCGTCCCGGAGCGCCGTCGCGATCGCGTACTCGGCGCAGACCGTCTTGCCCGCCGACGTGTGCGCCGACACGAGCACCGACTCGGTCTTGTCGATGCACGCGACGGCCCGCCGCTGGAAGCCGTCGAGCTCGAACGGCCACGTCCGCGCCGCCGGCCGCGGCGGCCGCGGCGCCGGGGCCGCGTAGTCCGCCGGGTACGCCGCGAAGCTCGTCACGTTGCGGCCCCTCTCGTCCTCCTTGACGGGATCGGTCACGCGCACCGCGGGCCGCGGCTGCGGCGGCGCCCTCTCAGCGCCGTCATCCTCGCTCCGCGACCGCTTGCGCGCCGCGCCGCGCTCGTCGGGGGTCTGCGTCGCCGGCGCCTCGTCGAAGGCGCCGAAGAGCTCGTCAATGTCGGTCATTCTTCTTCTCCGGGTGCGCAAATGCTCGCAAGAGCTCAACCGACTGTCTTTCTTTAGCGAGCTTTGTTAGCCATAGTCAAAAGTAGCAGCATGAGCCGCAGTCTCATGAGACCTACGGTACCCTCGTGAGATGGTACGGTACTCTAGACTCGGACAGCAGGGGGGGCGGCCGCTATGGTAGGCCCTCAGGCGCGCACAATGCGCGTCCTTCTGCTGGCAGCGGCGGCCGCCTCGGCCCTGGAGCTCTCGGGCGACACCTTCGACGCAGAGGTGTTCGGCTCCGGCAAGAACAGCTTCATCAAGTTCCTGGCGCCCTGGTGAGGGCACTGCAAGTCGATGAAACCGGCCTGGGACAGCCTCATGCGGGAGTACGAGGGGCACCCGTCGGTTTTGATCGGCGACGTCGACTGCACGCAGCACCAAGACCTGTGCAGCGACATGGGCGTCGGGGGCTACCCCACGATCAAGTACTGGACGGATGGCGCGGGCAAGGAGGACGCCAAACCGTACCAGGGCGGGCGCGATCTGGACGCGCTCCGGAAGCACGTCGAGGACAATATGTTGCCCAAGTGCGACGCCAAGGACCCCGAGGGCTCGGGCTGCGACGACCAGGAGATCGCCTACGTCGCAAAGATGATCGCCAAGGGCGGCGAGGCGGTCGAGAAGGAACTCGCGCGCCTCGAAGGCATGCAGGGGTCCGCCATGAAGGCGGACAAGAAGGCGTGGCTTGCGAAGCGCGTCCACATCCTCAAGGGCCTCGCCGCGTAGGTGCCGGCGCTCTCCGATTTCCGACCCGACGCCGGCGCGGATGACGGCGCGCGTCCGTGCCCACGCACGGGCGCGGCCCGACCGAGAGCGCCCGCAGTGGGCCGGGCGGAGTCCCATACTAGTATGTGCGGGTCACGTGGCGTCTAAGTTTCGGTACCTGTCGCGGGGGCGCATTTGTAGCGCGCGTGTCTAGCGCGCGTGGACGTCCTAGGGACTCGTCCGCGCCATGCCTCCCGTCGCCGTCTCGGCGGTTTGCGATATAATTTCCCAATCGTCGACAGTAGATATGTCACGGTATCTCCCACTCTCTGAATTTGAGTCTATACTCCCTTCAGCGATATTATCTTCGGTATGTGCTGGTGTCTAATGAGCTGGGTGCAGCAAGTGCACAATGCAGCTGTGGTAGCTAGGTCTCTCGGGTGTATAGCACAATCGCTGTACTCCCACTCTCTGAATTTGAGTCTATACATTGAGTGTCTATCGACGCTACGGTGTAAACCAATTTGCTATAACACACTCTTGTAGTTAGGTTGGCCCAGCCTCTGGCTGGTGAGCTAATACCCTACCTTACATAACGCTACGACATACTCTTGCTTAGAGAGAGAAACCTACTAGCCCTTCCTACCCTAGATATGTATCTCCCACTCTCTAATATTTGAGTCTATACATCGAGTGTCAAAAGCACAACGGTGTAACAACAGTTCACTATAAAACACTCTCGCAGTCAGGCCTATCAGCTCTAAGCTGGTTAGCCAGGACCCTGCTACTTACATAACGCTGCGACATACTCTTGCTAGGTTATGGGCCCACAGGGTTCTGCCTATTGACGTAGAGTGTTTTACAGTGAATGCCTAAACAAGGAAAAACACCCAAAAAGAAATCTAAAGAGAAAACACCCCAGAATCAGGGACTATCATGAGCTTGGAATGATCAGACCCTACTGGTGTCCCGGAAACTACAATGTTGCTGACTTCTTCTCAAAATTGTTGGAAAAAGGTTTATTTACCATGCATGCTCATAGATTCGGTATGAACTTTGAAGAGACTATTGTCGGTAAGTTAGCCGAAGTCTATCAGACAGTCCATTTGAAGGAGTTTACTGACTTTCCGAAAAAGGACGAGAAGGATCCAACAACAGTATTTACTGATATTCATTTCGAGAAGAAGTCTGTTGCTTATGAAGCCTATCACTTGTCACATGGACTTTGCCTGTGAATAGACTGAGTTGATACATCCTCTAGTGGAAGCGCATCTAGTGGACGCTCGCGCCCAGGGGGAGTAGAGAGAGAAACCTACTAGCCCTTCCTACCCTAGATATGTATCTCCCACTCTCTAATATTTGAGTCTATACATCGAGTGTCAAAAGCACAACGGTGTAACAACAGTTCACTATAAAACACTCTCGCAGTCAGGCCTATCAGCTCTAAGCTGGTTAGCCAGGACCCTGCTACTTACATAACGCTGCGACATACTCTTGCTATTGCTACCTCCAAGTACAATAGTACAAGCCCGGCACGCAGTAACAGCTTGATATTGACAGCAACTCTCCCGTTCGCTATCCCTGCAAACCGGACTTCGCTTTGCGGGACACCGTGGCGCAACTTGCAGGCGCTCATTTTTCATTCCTGCAATTTGACTGCAATTAGTAGCAGCGAGGAGAAGCAGTTCTTTATTGACCCGCGATCCCATAAATTACTTGCCCTAACGGAGGAAAACAGGCCATGCTGGCGAAATATCGGGGATTTGGAGCATTTGGTGCAGCGTTGGTTCTTCTACGCGCGTGCTGCCCTGGAAGAGCAGAGTCAATGCCGCCATGTATGGAGCGCCGATGCATGATCGGGCGCTGCCTCTGCCTGGACCAAGCATTTAATAGTAACTGCCTCGACGGCGCTCGAAACCCCCACGCGGCGGCATTTCTCTACGCGCTAATCGACGCCGTGCCAAAGGATCGAACGGCGCGCGTCGAACAGATCTGCTTAATCTCCAAGTCGCTGCGTCAGACATACGAGGCGCTTCACGAGCGAGATGCGCGAAATATGACAAAACTTCTAGAACAGGTGGCTCTGGTGACGGACGGCTACAGGGCCCTTGGTCACCGTGTCCATCGCATTGGCGTCACCTTCTACGATGTATTCATGCACCTGGCGCGAGAAGCCTTACTTGAGATGGACGCTTGTCCCTCGGCGACACCGTCGCGCACGCTCATGTGGTTCGTCTCCAGCCGCGACGTCGATGCCGCGCTGAACGTGAAGTTAGCGCTCGCCGCGCTCGAGGCGGAATCTCGAGGCTGGGGGCTCCGGGTCGTGCACAATTCCCAGGCAAAGGCGGTCGTCGACTCCGTCGAGCGAGCTCTGCCTGCGCACTGTCGGTCGCGCCTCGAAAGTGTCTCTCTCGCGAGCATGGGCATTAATCTTCCTCGAATTCGACGAGGCCAGCTCTCATGCCTCCAAGCATCGAAAATATATTTCGAAGGCACTCGAGACACCGTCGTAATCGCTGGTGGAGAGGACGTCATTGTCCGAAGACCCATCTCGGATCAGGAGCTTTCCTATACTATGCTTGGGGCGCCCTGGACCTGGTGCCGGGCTCCTAAGCACAAAAATACAGACGAATGCCGCTTCGGCGGAAACGGTGGTTTCGCCATCCGAAACCCTGCCTTTGTCGCAGAGCACGGCATTCAGGCTCGCCCGAAGGTTGAGGGGTTTAAAGCTTGGGCCCGGGAATGCGGGACCATGCATCACAACGACGACATATATCTTGCCATCAAGATGAACGAACTCTACGTTGGCAGCTGCGTCCTCAGGGCGCGCCCTAACGCCCCCGCGACTTTGCTGGCCAATTCTCTCTCCACGCAGGTCAACGGCACGCTCGGTCGCTTCCGGCCTGCACCTTATGATGCCCTGGTGCGGTTCGCTGCGGAAACCATCGAGTCCGACGATCCGGTGGCTTTGCACAAGACGTGGAAGTACCTATCCCCAGAGTACACCGTACGTCAATTTCGAAAGCCGCTTCTTCTGATTCGGGCCTCACTGGGCAATGCCAATCGCGAAGCTCGCGCAAGAAAAAACGAGACGAACAGGAGACAACGCTAGCTTCGACAGAAACAAAAGAAATATACTTCGGGCGTTTGGAGGGATCTTTGGCTATTTTCCCTGCTGTTCTCAACGTCCGTAGACACCTCGTCCATAACCTGCGATGCAGGGGGAAATAGAGTGTGCAATTCCGGACTTCCCCGGCAGCGTAGTCACGGTCACGGTGTAGTCTAGAGGTGTAGTCGTCTTACGAAATAGTTTGCCCCATGTTTGAAGGGTCTATTTGAAGGGGCTTAGTAGTATAGGAAAAATGTATACTTTATGTCCCATCCTCGTCCCATCCGAGTCCTGCCAGTGACGGATGAGCCATAACTCCATACAGCGATTATGCTATGATCCTGTAGTTACCTTTATCTAGAGCTCCCCTCAGGTTCTAGTAGATATCAGAGGCTAGTGGCCTGTATCTTAGGATACTTCCGAGTCCGAGTCCTTCTCCCTCCGAGTCTTAATGTCTTAATCTCCTTTATTCCAACTCTGTCTTCTCAGGGTTGAGGCTGTACATTGCACTACGGTGTAACCACAATTTGCTATAAAACACTCTATCAAGGCTACACCTTCGGTCATTAAGTTGTTTAGCCCGATGCACAGGACTCACCCGCATACCTTACTGCCGCCAGACCAGAATCACTTTGACGCTGTTCTCCTGGCCTGGATGCTTAGGAGGGAGCCGAAGCTATGTGTCGAGTTTGGCTTTGCGGATGGGAAAATGTATAATTTGGAGGATCTGGCCCTTCCGAGTCGCCATCTGGCTATTGACCTTTCCAACAGCACAGGCCATTCCTCCTTTGTAGTTAGTTCATATGAGATGAGGGACCTTGGCAAACCAGTACGTCATATCGGATATCAAGGCGCAGTCGAGTTCCGCGTGTACTGCTACTTTACATAACGCTGAGACATACTCTTGCTAGTTGGCACCCTCGAAAGACTTTACCTCGATGGTCGTTCCACCACCACAACTCGCGAAGCGCTTGGTGCTCCGGCAAAGTCTAGACCGCCGTCTCTGCTTGCTGCGCGCGCGCGGCGGCATAGCGGATGACAAAGCCCGGCTCGACGGTGTTGCTGCCGGCAGTGGATTCACCTTTGACCCCGTAATCTCCCGCTGCGTGGTCTCGGGCGAGTCGTTGGCGACACTGGTGGGTCATGCCGTCGTTGGCAACACTTTTCACAGTGGGCTGGCGCTGGCGGACTGGCGGACTGCTGACCGCAGCTATGCTGCGACGACGGCTCAAATACGCCGGGAGTCGACTCCTCCGCCGTGTCAAACTGCCGATCCTGCGCCGCGGGCAGCGCGGGTGGTCCGGCGGAGCGCACGCGGACAGATCTGCCTGCTGCGCGCGCGCGCTGATCCCGGGGCTAACGCACGCATCGACGCCATCGCTGCTAGCGGCGGATTCGCCGTTGATCCGGTCATCGTGCCCCGGGACGACGATTCGTTGACGACGCTGGTGGACCGCATCGCCGTCGACGCGAATGGTGCACTCACGGTCCATTTCGGCGAGGACATCCGCGCTTCACCGCCAAGTGCCACGATAGTGTCTGCAGTCAAGGGACATTTACCGGAGACTGCGTCTAAGGAATGCGAGTCGTCGCGGTCTTCGCTTATCTTCACAATAATGATGCCAGTCCCAGCCCCGGAAGCGGCGGGCGAAGCATGCACGCCACGTGCCGCGGATGCCGCAAAGGCTGGCCCCTTGCCATCCTCGTCCGCGCTGGCCGTCGGCGCTGCGAAAGAACTCGGTACGCCAATCGGAGACGGTGAAGCCAGCCGCGACAAACTCGGTGCGGATACCGCTCGCGAGGGCCCCGACGAAGCGACCCAGCAGGCAGAGGGGGACCGCGCGGCAGCGCGCCTACAGGCGCGGGTCAAAGGACATCAGAGCCGACTGGGCAGTACAACGCCATTCGTCGCGCCCGTCAAAGAATTCGACGTGCCACTGGGCGCGGGGACGCCCAATCAGCGCGGCGCCTTCGAGACCCGGTGTCAGGCGGTGGACGACGCTGCTGCGTCCGTCGCGAAGGTTGACGTGACTCTCAATGATGTGGGAGCCACCGCGCCCAAGGGGGACGGCGCGTCAATCATTGCCACGTTTGACGGGCGGTCGCCCCAAGTCGAGCGCGCCGACGTCGTCGCATTGCAAATGGCGCGCACGCGCGGGCCGACGCCGCTTGGACCGCATGACAGTGCCCCTTCTCCGCCGCGCCCGAGCCGGGTCGATGCAGCGATCGACCAGTCGCGCGCGACCCCGAGCCGTGATGCGATGCACCGCGCGCTCGACGCCGCCGAGGACGCGGCGCGCAGGACCTTCGCCGCGGAACTCCGACGACGCGCGATGTCGTCACCCGATGATCGGACACGCGCCCGCAGGACCGAGCCCGCAAGGCTTCCGCGACCGCGCGATGCCCTCTTCGGCGTCGAGGGCGCGCCAGAGCGGCCGGCGCAGCCGACCGCGTCGACACTGCGTCCGACGGTCCGAGCCGACGACCGCGCGCCGTTCAAGCGCTCGTACGAAGCCTGGCATCGGCGCAAGCGAGACGAGGCGCGCGCGCGGCGCGAACAGCTCATGGAGGCGCTCGTCCGCGCCGAGCGCGAGCGCGAGCGGCGGATCGACGACCGGCGCGCGGCGCTGCGCGAGCGCCGCCGGCGCGTCGAGCGCGAGAAGCGCGCGCTGGCGCGCGCGCAGGCGCAGCACCGCAAGAAACAGCGGGTTCGAAGGACCCCGCGCCCGCCGATCGAGTCGGGTCTCCCGGCCGTGCTGGACGAACCGTGCGTGGCGGTTGTGCCCGAGGTCAAGAAGACCGACGCGCGCGTGCGAGCCTTCGAGGATGTGTTTCTGCCCAAGATCGTCTCACGCGCGAATAACAAAGGCAGGCTCGAGCGACGATCATTAAATATAAATAAATAAATTAATTAATTAAGGAAGACATAGGAAGACCTAAAAAAGGAACAAGCTCCTAAGAGCATTCTCCTTGCTCGGTCAGGATGCCCAACCGGAGCTTCGAAATAGCAATAAGGTATCTATACACAGTATTCTGAGTCTCGTGAGGTAAAACTTGAACGTCACCCATTAGGAGGCTGCAATGACCTTCGAGGCTCAACACCACGCGCGATACTAGTAGGATGCAACTCGTATAATCGTTCAAGGAACGTGTCACGTTCTTTCGCGAAAGCCGAGCATTCACATAGAGTATGTTGAATCCGAGTCGTTTCCGACTCGCGAGATTCGCAACAAGGGCATAGAGAAACCCACTAGCCCATCCTACAGTGACCCTAGCCTGAGATATCATCATGATGATGTATCCGAGTCTCAGAGTCCCACTCTCCGACTCGGAGTCTAAATTTGAGTCTATACATTGAGTGTCTATCGACGCCACTACGGTACAAGCCAGTTTTACTACAAAACGCTGCAACATACTCTTGCTAACCGTGGTACCTACGGTACCTACACGGTACCATGGTACCGTACCTACGGTACCTACGGTACCTACCTACGGTACCGCAGTACGGTACCGTAGCTATGGTTTAAATTGGCGCGGCAAATCAGCTCCTACCAGCCTTTAATTTTTCTCTCTGAAAAGAACTCTCAATTCACATGCCGCGCGCCCTCGTCCTGTTCTCCGCGGCCCGGCCGCCTGCGGACAACGAGGTCCGCACGCTGGTCCTGCCGCATCCGCGCGGCGGCGAGCCGGCGCTCTTCGCCAGAAGTGGAAACGCCCTCGTAGAGCTCCAGCGCTCGAAGAGCGACCACGGCGCCTGGTTCGTCGACGACGCGGCGCACGCCGGCGCGGGCGTCGTCGTCGCGACGCCGTACGACGCGCGACTGAGTTTGCTCTCGGTCCTCACCACGTCCGCGACGCGTCGGCAGTTCGTGCCGCTGGAGCAGGTCGTCGCCGCCGCGGGCCACGAGGGGCTCCGATGCTTGCTGGACCTGGACCTCGGGCCGCTCGGGGCGTTTTGCGACGAGAAAGATCTCGGCGACGGGTTGCGCCTGGTTCGGCTGGCCGAGGCGCCCACGGTCGTGGACTGGCTCCACGGAAAGGTGCGGCGCGTCGCGGCCGTCGTAGACGCTGCCGCCGCCGCAGAAACCGTCGGCGCATCCGACGCCTTCGTGGCGGCGTCGGCCGGCGCGCCAGCGACCGCCGCGGTCGGGCCCTCGCGACGCGCGACGCTCCGGGCGGTCCAGACGGTCTGCGAGTACGTCGCCGACGAGTGGGCCGCGCAAGTCGCCGAGCGCAGCGGCGTCGCGCTTGCGGAGGTGTTCCCCGGCCTCGCGTCGCGGCCCAGCGGCGCCGAGAACGTCTGGGCCCACGAGGCGGAGGAGCAGAAGCTCCACGAGCTCGCCTTCGGCACGGCGGCCAAGCGCCAGAAGGTCGAGGCCGGTGGCGCCGCCGCGAAACAGAGCAGTACCAAGCAGGCCTCGATGGCCAAAGCCGCCAAGGGCACGAAGTCCATCACCGCTTTCTTCGGCCGGAAGAAAAAAAGGGTGCCGTAGCCAGTGGACCGGCGGGGAATACTCTAATCATAATAAATTGGAAATCCGAGTCCGAGTCCAAGTCTCCGACTCGAGTCCGACAGAGTCGACACTCCGATCGGAGGAGGACACAGTGGTCCACATCACAGCGCTTGGCACTTCGCCCCGCGCCCCCCGGGTTTCCTGGGGGAAACATCCCGGCTATGGCATGGAGCCCTTCCCATGTGCAACACGAGGGATTCTCGGCGGCGTTCACCCGCGGCCGACTATGGGTGCACCCCCAAGCTTCCCCGACCCACCCGCGTCCATAACACTTAGAGGCTCCAGCCAGGGCTTGGAGCCAAGAATTCACCCTTAGGACCTCGCGGCCGACTCAAGCTAGGCTGCCGATATAAGGGGACCGTAAAGCCCAGGTGGTGCCAAACAAACAACGTGAACGCACACCTGGGCAGAGATACACCCAGGCTGGGCCAGTGCCAGAAAGGTATGCAGATGTATGCGTTACTAGGCTGAGGGACGAGAACCGGGAGCTGCGGCGTTGGCGATCTCGACGTCGTCGAACGACGCTGCGAACGGATCGCGGCGGTCGCGGACGCACGGAAGGCACTTGCCGACGGCAAGGGCGTGCGTGTAGTACCAATGAAGCACGGGTCCATCGCCCCGGGAGGGTCGGCCGGGCGGCAGGATGAGGGCCACGGGACTTCCGCGGTCGCTCCGGACGACGACCGAGTCGAGCGCGGGGCGGCGCGGCGCAGTCGCGGAGAGTCCCAGCCGCCGCAGCGCGTACGGAAAACTAAGCTGGTCGCGGTCGGACCAGCAAGTGATCTCCTCGAACCACGCGCAGCCGAGCGCCGCGTTGAACGACCGGCACCGCGGCGAGCGCAAGTCGCGCACGAGGTAGGCGCTGTCAATGAGGTCTCGCGAGAGCGCGGGCGACCCGTGCTCGCGGACGTAGGTGCCCATCTGCGCCTCGACCGCGCGCACGTTGTCCGTGAGCAACGGGCGCATCGCGAGCGAGCGCACGACCGTCGCACCGTGCCGCGAGAACGACGGCACGCGCATCGCCGCAGCGCCCGGGCCGTAGGCGTTGTTGTGAAAGGGGAGACCGACCGCGGCGAGGCAGGCGCCACGCGCCTCCGTCGCGTCGAACAAGCGGAGCGGGTTCGTCGCGCCGAGCCTGAGCTTCGCGTCGATCCAAAGGAGCCTGCGCGCAAAGGGGATGAGGTCTTTAGTGCTCGGTATCATCCTGCGTCGACTGGGGACGGCCGGCCGCCGCGGACGCGAGGCGCGAGTGAAAAAAGAGAAAATTCTGCACGCGGAGACGAGCCGCTCGGTCCAAGGGAAAAGTCGCTGCCCGAGCATCTTGAGGATCTTCACGTTACGCCGCAGCGACGCCGTCGCGAGCCAGGGCAGCGCGTCTTGGTCGAGGGGCACCAGCAAATCGAGGCCCTCGACGCGAAAATTCGTGCGAACGAAGAGCGACGGCGGCAGGCGAAGCGTGTTCGTGCCGACGCGCTTGCGGACGAAAGTCACGTCCTTCTTCAGAATGAACTTGAAAAAGCACTGACCGTGCGCACCGTGCAGGTCCTGCACGGTCCGCGCGCCGGCGAGCGTCCGATTTGGCCACCGCCGGAAAAATCTTGTGCCGAAGGCGGCGCCGTAGACGACGAGGCGTCGGCACTCGCGCGCCTTGAGGCGCCGAAGCTCCGCCGCGATCTCGAGTAGATGTGCCGTCGCCGCGTTCCCGGCGCAGAATGCGCACGAGGTTTCCGGGTACGGCGCCGCGTCGCGCCACACAGACGGCGGCGCCCCGCCGCACGTCGAGAAGTTGCGATCGAGCGGACGCACGACCTCTGGGGGGCCCAGACACCGTCGACCGCTCGCTGACACGCACCACGCCAAAACGAGAGTGATGGTGCGCACGCACATGGCTGCCTGCTTGCCTTCCGCTCCGTGCTCGGTGTGGTTTACATGCGTTTTTAATAAATGGGCAACACTTTAGGCCGATACCGTGACTGGCACCGTACCTGCTATGATATGGCCACGTATCCTTGTATTTACGTCTATGATGCTCCGGGTATTAACCCCAGCAGCCTTTGGCAGTTATGGAGCTGGAATTTATATTCCTAAGCTGGGATTAGTTCCCAAGCATGTACGTCCTGTTCGACCTGTTGCGAATCTGTATGATTTGTTGACGAGTTAAATTGTCCTACCAATTTAGCTCAGGCACTGCCAAAGGGGCTTATGGTAATTCCCCTAAAGGTGGGGTTTTCCCCGGAACTTCTTGTTCGACCTTTGAATCCAATTGGTGGATCGTTGCAATCCCGCGGCGCCCGTGATGAGAGGGGTCAACAGCCCTCTGTTTACAGAAGGAGCTTTAATAAGAGACCCAAGGGCTGTCCCGAACCTATGTAAGGCTGACTCAGGTTCGTCAGCTATGTTTGGTATCTTGGCAGCAATATCGTCACATCTAGTGGCTCGCTGCAAGATACTTTCTTATACTTGCTCGTGTCCCATAGCGCTCCGATTGTGAGAGCGCAGGACAAAGGAGCAAGAATTTTTGGAGTGGGGGTTGGTTGTGTTGCTATTAGGTTGTTGAACTTCTTTGATGGCTGAGCAGCCCCTTGCAGGACCTGCGCCGGCACCGGCGCTGGTCTTTACAGTGACTCGGAGGGAACCAAGCGAGCTCCTTAAACAACGGTATGGTGAAAACGAGGAATTCTTGGAAGTCTCGTATATACCCCCGTCATTAGCAGGAGCTTTTGCTGGAGGCTATAAAGATGCTGAGGGTAAGATCGTGTTTCCGCGGTCGATGATAGCGGCAATGGCACTACGTCGTTTTCGGCGATTTTCGGGAAAGGTTCGGGTTTTTAAGTTGGCAAAAAGGGGCACATGGTTATGCCCATTTTTATCAACGAAATGTGTTCCGATCGTGTCTGAAAATAGTCGCTCGTCTTAGAGCGAAAATCTTGCAGATTAGAGCGAAATCAGGTCATTTTGGTGTAAAAAATGGGCATAACTATTTCATCATCGTCGCGCACCCAGCCAGCCGAGAGACCGGTAAATCGAATCTACTTATCCCGCGTGCGTCCGTCCAGAGCGACCCCAGACCGCACGCGCCCGCCGCCGCGGCCTTCCGTGTCGTGCGCGTCGAAGCGCCGCGCGCCCGGTCTTAGTTGTGGGTGATCGGGTAGAAGAAGTGGTGCTGGCAGGAGTCGAGCTCCGAGTGGAGCATGGCGCCGAAGGTGCCGAGCATGGCCCCGCGGCCGTTCTGGAGCTCGCACGTGAGGGCGCGGTTGCGCGCCGTCACGTCCTCGATCTGGTTCGTGAACGGGTAGCCGCCCGGGATCGTGCCGATCGACCCGTCGTAGCCGCCGGGGAGGTTCTGCGGCCCGCCCGTGTACTGCGTCGCCGGCATGGCGGCGGTCTCGGCCACGAAGCCGAAGGCGACGATCTGGAGGAGGCCGAGCCGGGGCACGTTTTCCAGCGCCGGGAAGCCCATGCCGTCCTTGAGGATGTCCGAGAACTGGACGGAGCCTGCGTGGGGTACGTCGACCGGTGAGGCGTCGTCGATCCCTGGAGAACGCCATCCGCGTGAAGGCGACACTCGTGGACGCGGCGCCGGACCGTCAAGGGTCATGGAGCCGGGGAAGGTGATGCCGAGCTCCTGGACCATCATGCCGAGGAACGCCATCATGGAGATGCGGCCGTGCTTGATCTCGACCTGCGGGAAGAGCGTCGAGCGTCAAAAGCGGCCCAGTCGTCGTGAATTAGCGGTATTGATGCGGACTCGGCCTCGCACGGCGCGGCGGCGCGCGAGGCCGTCCTGCTCCTCCCAGAACTTCCCGGACGGCACGGCGCCGGTCATCCCGAACGGCCCGGGGTCGACGCCGATCTCCTCGGCGGGCGTCGAGCGCAGCTGGCTCGAGGCGGCCTGCGCCGCGGGGGCCACGAAGGCCGAGGCGGAGCCAAAGGCGAGGGCGAGGTAGACGATCTGCTGCATGTTGCCCTACCCTGAAGCGAAGCGGATCAAATCTTTCAAGCCTAGTATGTCAATACATGCTAAGCCAGTGCAGGCCGGCCGTAATGCTAGGCATCATACAACGTCCTAGTATTCTTAGCAGGCTATTTTTAGCAGGCTATGGGCCCACGGCAACCGTTCAACTTTGCGTTGATACCCTGTTAGATCCCAACTCGAATGATCCCAACCTCCAAAAAACTTCTCCACCCCTAGCGACTCTTGCGGTACGGGAGTCCTGCGCTCTGCCTAAACTTGAAGACGTATCCTAGGCGGTAGATCGGTCTTTGAAACCTTTACCTATCTTGGTGGAATTTGGACCGCGCCGCGCAGAGAGAAGTCCTGCACTACAGATCCCCAAGGCCGGAGCCCGGTTAATTCTTTGGAGTAACATTCTTCCTTACCTTTCCTTAGCTCTAATTAGAATGAATTAGCCTGCGACGCTTAAGACTCCTTGGAGACTTCGAAATTTATAGGGGGTCGAGCCTGAGCGCAATTAGTCGACGTTGGCAGGTTTTGGCGCAATGCGCGTACAGCCACACACCGACCGAATGGCGGCAAATTTTTGCTGAGGCGCAGGTTCCGTATGCTAAAATAATGGGCTGTGCGCATTTTGGTACTGTGCGGGCAGCCTCACGCTGAAAAATCAGCTGCTACGCGGTGCGATGGTCCGAGATAAAACCCGCCCGAAACCCAATCGCTCCAACGGACGGGATAAATCGGCCTCTAATTCTCCACTAATTATTTCCCATCGTTACATATCTATATAGGGCTGCTAGGGAATTTCCGGGCTCCGGCCCTGCTTACACACAGACAGAGGAAAGATTCTTCATTTCCAGTTATTTATTTCGATATGAACTTTTCCTGTTCGCCGTCGCACTCGTCCGAGAGCGAGTCGAGTTCGCAGGCCGTGAAGGTGGCCATGCGGGCGCCGCCCGGGTAGGAGATGGCCTTGAGCGAGTCGAAGGTCAGCTTGCCCAGGGAGCCCTCGACGGCGCCGATGTCCTTGTCGGGGATCACCGCGACGAACTCGAACTGGACGCGCTCGGAGCCCGGCGGCACCGTCTTGATCATCGCGAACTGGCCGGCGTCGGAGCGGAAGTCCGGGTTGTTCGCGATCGCCGAGTCTCCCGTCGCCGTCCTGACGTAGCCATACACGGCGGCGTCCTTGACGGACTGCTTCGCCTTCGAGGTGGCGGTCGCGGTCACGAGGACGCACTTGGGCAGCAGGCCCTTGGCGACCTTTTCGCCCGGCGCCTTGAGCGGTCGACCCGCGCAGATCTCGCCGACGCGCTTGCCCGTGTCCTCGTAGGCCACGTCCGCGAGCTCGATGTTCTCGGGACCAAAGGCGAGCAGCCGCGCCGGCGCGAGGACGAGGGCGGCGAGGGCGGCCGCCGCGGTGCGTACGGCCGGCGGCGACCGCAAGCTGGGGACCCGCCGCGCGGGCGCGCGCGCGCCGCCCGCGCCGGCGACCGGCCGCGATCGAGCACAATGCGGCAGGCACTGCGGCGAGATGAGCGCGGCGGCGACCGAGAGCGTCGCTGCGAGTGCTCGCGGCGCCAGCAAGATCCGCATCCCGCTCGATACTAACGAGTCGCACCTGCCTGCAAAAGAGCACTGTTGAGTCACACCTCTCAGAGGGCTGGTAGCAATAGCAATGCTGGTACCGTATTCACTAGGCCTATTCTATCCGGGTATCTATATCATGATACCACCGCACCCTACTTTTTTCCTGCACTACGTCAATAGGCAGAACCCTGTGGGCCCATAACCTACTATAGCAAATTGTTGTTAAGGTACCAACTTCTTTTTGATACCTGCTTGTATCTCTTGGAGGGTTGATAGCACGGTCGTTTAGCTCGCACTCTATCTTTCTAGCCACCATGTCCTTCGCCTCCTCAATTCTGCTATCTTCAACACCCACTGGCAATTTTTTCAGAATAGAACATCCGCTCTTTTGGGGTGTTTTCTCTTTAGATTTCTTTTTGGGTGTTTTTCCTTGTTTAGGCATTCACTGTAAAACACTCTACGTCAATAGGCAGAACCCTGTGGGCCCATAACCTAGCAAGAGTATGTCGCAGCGTTATGTAAAGTAGCAGGGTCCTAGCTAACCAGCCTAGGGCTGATAGGCCTGACTACGAGAGTGTTTTATAGTGAACTGTTGTTACACCGTAGTGCTTTTGGCACTCGATGTATAGACTCAAATATTAGAGAGTGGGAGATACATATCTAGGGTAGGAAGGGCTAGTAGATTTCTCTCTCTAGGAACCTAGCCCGGGGCATCTCCGGGGCGGGTACCCAGCGCCGGTAAAGCCCGGCACCGGTACATGCACTCTCTAATTTACATGCACCTACCGTATGGGGAGCATGCATGCAATGCAGTGGTATTCATGAGCTAGCCGCTGCCTATGAGGTCAAATGTACGAACAGCAGATCATCATAGCACCATCTCGTCAGGGCAGGTCGTGTGAGGCTGCCCAAATCGCAAAAAGCATGCCAACGTGGCTGCTTCTGCTCCTCGGAGTCGCCTCGCGGCAGGAGCAGCCGTACCACAAGGGAAACGACCGCCCGGCGCCCTGGCGCTGCGACGAGCCGCGGTCTCGCGCGAGAACGGACCTGTGCTTTCCGTTGGACGATTCGCTGCGAGATGATGGGAGTGAGGACGTACGTTTGTATAATATGGAGCCCGAGCCCGTCAAAACCAATAGGTCGTGTTGTGGGCTGCCTCCTGTAAAATGTCCGGCGAACACGGAGTATCCCCTGACGTGTTTGTTGGATAAGGTGCCCTTCGCCACTCCGCCCGCGTGCGTCAAGCGCCAGTTCAAGTGCTGCCTGGACTACTGGACGAACCGGTTTCGCCTCGACGAGGCCTACACGAGGGCTCCCCCGCACGTGCGTTGTGATTCAAAATTCTGGGACGTGTATGATGTACAAGCGGACGACGTCATCTTCGACCAGCGGTCCCTCATGAAACTCGCTGCGGCGTTTGCGCCCTGGATCTTCGTGCCCTACGAGGCGGAGCGCGTGCCCGCCCTAACCGAGCTGAACGGGACCAACAGCGACTACGTGGTGGTGGCCAAATTGGGCTTCGGCTGGTTCGACCCCGAGGCAGCGAAGCCCGACGCGCTCGTACTAGCCCACAACTTGTTGCGGAACCCCGCGCGACCGAGGCGCCACGCGTACGCGCTGCCGCGCGGCGTCAAGGACCTCAAGCTTTGGAAGGACCGGTGTGCGGACAATAGGAGGCCAGATCGCGTGCGCTGCGCGGGCATCCGGCTCCACCGCGACCGGGCGCGCAAAATTTTGGCGCTTCGCAAAAACGGCGTCTGCGAACGGACGGCACGGACCGGCCGGCACTCGGGCATCTTGAAGGGCGCCGGCTACGTCGACGCGTTGAGCGCCGCGCGCTACGCCGTTTCGCCGCCGGGCGTGGGCTTCGCGAACTACCGCACCGCGCCGCGTCCTTTCCATGCGCGTCGGCGGGTGGGCCGCCGTCGACGCGCCTTCTCGCGCAGGCGACACCGAGGCGATCGTCGCCGGCGCCGTGCCGATTCTGGAACGACCGATGTGGCCGCCCCAGCGGGGTCCCGTCGTGGAACTCCACGACGAACTGCCCCACGTCCTCGTAAAGAACGACACGGCGTGGGCTTCCCTGCGGAATGATTTGGACCACCTGCCTTCTCATCGTCCGGCCGGCGACGCGCGCAAACACTACCTGCCCTACTGGCTCTACTTTATCTTGAAGAGGCTCCGCGCCGCGAACGTCACCGAGGCGACGTGCACGGAGCCCAGCGCGGAAAAGGTGGAGGCAAAGGTACACACGTCATGTCGCTGGGCCGCCATCGGCGCCCCGTGGGACAACCTGGCGGTGAACATGGGCCCCTTCCAGAACGTCGGGCGCCGGCGGATCGCGAAGCCGCGGGCCTGGGGCGGCGAGGGCGCGTGGCGGCGCAAGGTTGGCCGCCCGTCCGGGGCCGCGTACTAATTGAAGAAGTTGTCGCGGTGCCTTGGGAGGTAGGTGCCTTTCGGCGCGACGAATATGCGGGTTTACTTAGGGTTTACTTACTCCGAGCAGGTGGCGCCGGTCGTGCATCGCCCCGCCACACTTTTTGCGTGTCGCGCGTGGGTGAAACGCGCGACGGGGAAACGCTGTTTGGGCTTACCTGTCGAGCACATTTTGCTGCAGAGTAGACTAAGGCTAAAGATAAATCCACTCAGGCTGGCGACGACTCGGAGTAAGCTAGGGCTTACATTTACAAAAAGCCGGGTTTTTCGACGTTGGCGGCTGGATTTCTCCCTGCTCTCGTCGCGGGAGAGTGGTCTTGGACGAAGGCAGAGAAGGGCGGATTCCTCCGGCGACGAGCCCTGCGGCCTCTAGCTCGGCCGCGGCGCGGGTTTCCAGCTGAGGGTCCTAGCTCACCAGCCGAGGGCTGGGCCAACCTAACTACGAGAGTGTTTTATAGCAAATTGTTGTTACACCGTAGCGTCAAAGACACTCGCTGTATAGACTTAAACTTAGAGAGTCATATCTAGGGTAGGAAGGGCTAGTAGGTTTCTCTCTCTAGTACCGTACCGTAGGTACCGTAGGTAAGGTACTATAGCCAAGCTTAGAGCCAGAGATTAGCCAGGTGCTTGGGCACAAAGTCCAGGTGCTTAGCCAGGTGCTTGGGCACAAAGTCCAGGTGCTTGGGCACAAAGGCTTGCACACAACCGAGTATAGCTACTCATTCATCAGTCTCGGTCGACGCCCTGTCGTCTCGTGCGCGCATCGGTATGGGTGAGCTCAGCACCCCGGGCGCGTCGTGGGCCGACGCGCGGGCGCGGGCCCTGGCGCGCCTCGGCGACGCGGCGCTGGACCGCGCGCCGGCGGGCGGCGTCGACGCGGCGGCCGCGCCGCTCGTCGGGGCGATCAACGGGCGCGCCGCGTACGCGACGACGAGCACGTGCGCGGGTCGCTGCGCCGTCTACGCCGCGCCCGCCGGGGCGGGCCGCAAGCGCCGCGGGCGCTGGCTCTTCGTCAGTCACGACGGCGTCGCCGGGGCGGCGGTGGGCCGCGCCGTGGCCGCGCTCGCGGCGGAGGCGACCGCGTGGCCCGCCGGCGAGCGCTGGACGGTCTCGCTCAAGTTCGAGCCGCCGATCGCGCACGTCCGCTGCGCGACCCTCGCCGCGGCGCGGCGGCTCGTGCGGGTATGCCACGCCAGCGGCTGGCGCGAGACGGGCTGCAACCTGGCCGACGTGCCGACCGTCGCCGTCCGGTCCACGGGCGCCGCGCTCGACTGTCCGCTGGGCGAGGTGACGCGCGACGGCGCGCGGCACGTGCCCAGCGCCGAGCGGCTCGACTTTCTCGCGGCCGAGGCGGCGCGGCGGCTCGCGGCCGCGCGCGTCGCGCTCGACGGCCTCGCGCGCGCCGTCGCGTCGGAGCTGGGCGACGACGCCGGCCCCGGCGCGGCGGTGGCGGCGGCGGCGGCGGTCGTCGTGCCGCGCGCGCGCGCCAAGGCCGTCAAGTCGGCGCTCGAGGCGCGCGGTGGGTTCGACAAGAACTTCTCCGTCGCGCCGGCGGGCGCCGGCGGCGCGCTGGCGATCCCGCTGACGCGCGCCGGTCTCCGGGCGGTGGAAGCGCGCGACCCCGGCGTGGAGGCGGCGCTCGCGGGCGCGGCGGCGACGGTCGTCGCAGCGCCCGACCTGCCTCCGTCCAGGGCGGCGCGCCGGAAGGCGGGGCGCCGGCCGTCGCTCGCGGACCTCCTCCGCGATCGGTCAACGGCGCCTGCCTCGGACCGCCTGCGGTGGACGCGGCTCGGCGACGACGCCGTGCTCGTGCCGCCGGACGTACCGGTCGGCGACGGCGACGGCGCGTTCTGGGCGCGCGTCGCGCGCGCCGCAGGCGCGTCGCGCGTGTTCCGGGACGCCGAGATCGCGCCGGACGGTTTCCGAAGCTCGCGGCGCGTCCTGCTGCACGGGCCCGGCGGCCCGGACTCGTCGTGGGTCGTCGTCCGCGAGGCCGGCGTCGCGTACGGGTTTGACGCCACGCACACCATGTTCGCCCGGGGCAACGGGTCGGAACGCATGCGCTTCGGCGCGCTCGACGCGAGGGGGGAGACGGTCGTCGACCTCTACGCGGGCGTCGGCTACTTCGCGCTGCCCCTTTTGTGCCGCGCCGGCGTCGCGTTCGCGCACTGCTGCGAGTGGGCGCCGGCCGCTGTCGCCGCCCTGCGGCGGAACCTCGCGGCGAATGGCGTCGCGGAAAGCCGGTACGCGATCCACGTCGGCGACTCGTCGGCGGTCGCGCCGGCGCTCGGCCGCGTCGCCGACCGCGTGTCGCTGGGGCTGACGCCGTCGTCGCGGCGCGGCTGGCGCGCCGCCTGCGCGGTCCTCAAGGACCGCGGCGGCGTCCTCCACGTCCACGAAAACGTCCGCGTGCCGGCCGGGTCCGCCGCCGCCGACCGCGCGCGCTTCGAGGACTGGGGCCGCGGCGTCGCGGAGAGCGTGGCAGAAATCCTGCGCGAGGCCCGGGGGGGCGCCTGGGACTGCGACTGCGCCCTCGTCTCGCGCGTCAAGGACTACGCGCCGCGCGTGCACCACCTCGTCGCCGACGTGGCGTGCCGACCGCGACGTCCTCCAGAAAGCCCCGGAGCGACCTGTGCGGCCGGGCTAGGCGCGGATGTGTTATGTGACCTTTCCGACTACTGCACGCACTCTGAATCCTTTTCCGTCCTCCACCGAGTTCGGCAGACCCGTGGCGTTGCTATTTTGACCAAGAAACTTCGGGTTTGGGGAGGCGGACTCCGGGGAGATGTCGGGGAGCTACCTCCCGCGAGCGGGAACGTAGGCTTGTTGCCAGATCTCTCGCGGCCGCTAGCCGCGGTAGCCGGGCTAACCCCCGCCCACACGCGTGGCCACAATCCAGAGGTTTGATTCTATTTTTGTCATCTAAGTTAGATTGTAAAGCTATATATGGGACCGTCAATATCGCGAATTAAAAAATTATTTTTTTCGAGCCCCAGTAAGTGTCCCATTGATCTTTTTGGACCAGTATCGAACCGAACGATAGTCAAACAACTGCATGTCGCGTCTAGGAGTTCCTCGTGGAATCCGCGTCGGATCGCGCGTTAGCGACGACCGTCAGCTCTGGCAGCCGGACCACCCCATCCCCCCCTTCCAGCCGGCGAGTAATGAAGAGTCTACCCCCCCCACCCCCCTGCTAACCCCCCCCATAGCCCCCCCAGGGCGAAAAACCCGAACCCTGAGGCCGCCGAATTCTAGTGCCTCACCACCACTAGGGTTGAAAAACAAGGACGGGGCCTCTCTAGAAGAAGCCAGCGGCGCATTAGAGCAAAGCAGTCCACTGGCGCTCGGCATGGAACCCCTCACCTTTCGCATCGGCGCGGTCGTCGAGGCGTCGCCGGTGGCCTTCGGCCGGGCGTTTGCGGACCAAGCGCCCGCGGGAACCGTCTATCGCGGGATGGTCGTCGGGCGCGACGAGGACGATGATAACGGTGTTGCGGAGGGACGGAGGGTCTGGCGCGTGCTTTACGACGACGACGACACCGTCTGGCCGACGGCGCAGGAGCATCTTACGCCCGTCCGCGCGCGGCCAGAAGAGGTCGCGAGGGCGCAGAGGCTAGACTGCGCGCGGGCACAACCCGAACCGAAGAAGGCGAAGAAGCGCACGACGCTGGCGACACCGCCGGCGCCGAAGCCGGCCGCGCCAGCGAGGCCGGCCGACCTCGCGCGCTTTAGGGTCGGCGCCGGCGCGGCGTCGGCAGCGCCGCGGCCGGCGGCCCGCGCGCCAGCGGCGGTTGACGGCGCGTCCCCCGCGCGGCGGCCCGCGTGGGCCCTGGGCTCGGTCGACCCGAGCGCCTCGAGCCGTCCCAGCGCGAGCGCGAACGAAGCCGGCGCCGCCGTCAGCCGCTGGGCCGCCGTGCAGGCGGCCGCGCGGCGCGCGCCGTCGCCGGCGTTCGACGCGCCTCCCGCGAAGAAGGCGTACAAGCGCGCGCGACGCGTCGACGCCGGGGCTGGCGCGCCGCACCAGCGCCGGCTCTTTGCGCTCCTGGACCTCGACGGCACGTTGTTCCACATGTTGCCCGAGGCCGAGGTGCCGACGAACCTCGAGGCGATTTGCGAGGGCGTCGTGCCGCTCGACGCTCCGGTCCCGGGCCCCGCCGCGGCGGCGACCCCCGCGCGCCACGTGCTCTGCGTGCGCAAGGGCACGCGCGCGCTGCTCGCGGCGTTGCGCGCCTGCGGCGCGACCGTGCGCGTGGTCACGGCGAATCTCATGGGCGTCGAAGCCGTCGCGGCGCTCGCGGCGCACGAGGCGGCGACCGAGGCTTCGACCGGCGACGCGCTCCAGGGCTGGCGCGGCGCGCTCGACGTCACGGTCGTCGTCGACCGCGCGCCGGGGTCGAAGCGGCTGCCCGACGACGTCGCCGCCGCGCTCCGCGCGCAACGAACGGCACGCTGCGTCATTCTCGACGACAACCCGACGGCCTGGGCGGCGCCCGCGAAGCCGCACGTTTGGGTCGTCCCGCAGTTCGACGTGCGGCGGCCGTTGACCTCGCAGGAACTCCACGCCGAGCTGCGGCTCCTCCCGAGCATCTCCGAGCGCTGCCGCGCCTTCTTCGCACCGCCAGTCCACGCTCCGCCCGCCGCCAGGAGGACGGCGACCCCGGCGCCCGCGCCCGCCTCGGCCCCGAGTCCGCGGTCTGCGCCGGAGCCGGCGCCCGCGCCGGTTCCGAGGCCTCCGTCGCAGCCGACCACTAGCGTTTCTGGGGGGCTCGGCACCGCCCGAGGAAAAAAGGGCCGGACTCGCGGTCGCCGTCGAACGCCCGCGCCGTCCGAGACGGACGACGAGGAGGAAGCGGACGACTGTCGCGAGACGGCGCAAGGCGGGGTCCTGCGAAGGAGCGAACGGCGCCGGACACCCACGCGCCGCGCCGCCGAGGGTGAGGACGAGGACGAGGAAGACTGGGACTCGTCGGTGCCCGAGGCAGAGGAGGAGGACGACGACGATTGGGGCCGGCCGGCGCGCCGGCCGGCGCGCCGCCCGGCGCCGCGCAAACGCCGCCGAATCAAGGAGGAGGAGGAAGAGACCGAAGGGGACTCGGAGGAGGAAGTCCTCGAATCTGGCCGCGTCTAAGGCAGGTCGCCGCTCTCTGTCGTTTGTGCAGTTACTATTATTAGAGTTCCCCGCCTAAGTGAGTAGCCTGGGGGCACTTGGGGGCGACGACCGCCCAGGACTTCGCTCGGGTGGGATCTTGGGCCTGCGTCGGATGCTGCTGCATCCTCAAGCAGCGAGTCAAGCTAGGTTGCCATTTACCTGAGGGGTTATTTTACCCCTGGCGCCGCCCGGGGTTAATAACCCGGGTAATTACCGGTTAGTACGGGTTATTTACCTCAGGATCTTATAGAGGGGTAGGTGAGGGGGCCTCACAGGCCACTGGCGGCGTCTGGCGCGGACCTGGGCCGCGCCGGGCCACATGACTTGGTACTTGCCTTGGCGCACCTGTACGTATCCAAAAGCTCAACGGGCTGCTTGCGCCCATCCGCTCGTCCGGAGGGGTGTTTCGCTAATCTCACTAAACGGGTTTAGTCGAAAACCCGTCGGGTTATTGAGCGGGTTATTTACCCCAGATCCCCTCCGAGGAGTAATAATGGGTAAATTACCGGTTATTAACCGGTTAATGGCAACCTAGTCCTCAAGAGGGCGGCGTGACCCGACCGCGCCGGTGACGCGGGCCTCTGCTGTTCCGTAGACGCGACTCACTCCCCCCTCCCCACCGCCTCGTGGGCCTTCAAGAGGACGCTTCCCCTCCCCCCGCCGCTGGACCTGATTCGCCGTTTGCGAGGTACGCAACCCATATCCGCTCATTGGCAGACACGAAAGATCAGCCCGCACCCCGACCACAAGGCAAAGTACAAAGGCTCGGAATATCCATTAATAAATGTTGAATAGAATATAAGCGGACTCGGAGACGTCCGCTAACGCCAACAACGGCGCAACGATGTTTTCGCGCACTTCTATGCTCTACTGAACCAGGGAGAAGGCTCTCGGTAGCTCGTGCCTTCTTACTACTATTATTGTTATTGGGCCCGGGGGATCCCAGCAGAAGTCCCAGCAGCAGGATGAGGTGGCTCGGACGCCGTCGGGACCACAGACGCGTGGCCGAGCGCCTGCGCCAGTGGGCTCAACTCCCCTCGCGGGGTACATTTGGCCTGCCGCACTACGTTTCCTCCGCGAGCGCCCCAACGCGGGCGACGGCGGCGGCGAACTGGCCGGGGTCGAGCGCCAGGAGCGTCGCCCCGCCGCCGAGGTCGAGTGCGTCGCGGGACGCGCGCGCGAACTCGTCGTCGTGGAAGCTCGCGCACGAAACGGCGACGCGCGCCTTCTTCGCGCGCGGGGCCTCGGCCCGGTCCTCGTCGGCGGCGCGGACCGGGACGACGAGCGCGTCCGCCTCGAACGCGGCGGCGTCGAGGTCCGCGGCGAAGCACTGGAACGCGGCGGCGACGACCTTGGGCGGTGTGTTCACGAAGAACGCGTGCGTGACGAGGACCGGCCGCGCCGCGCCCGCCGCGAGCGCGCCGAGGCACGCGCGCGCCGCGTCGACGCCCGCGTGCGCGCCCGCGTCGTAGGCGGCCAGGTCGACGGCGGCGACGAAGCCTATCAGGTCGTCGCCGCCGCCCGAGCCGACGACGGTGCCGACGGATCTGGGGTCGCCAGCGAGCAAGTCGGCCAGCGCGGCCAGCGCGGGCCTGGGCGCGACGTCCGCGAGCGGGTGCTTCCGGAGCAAGCCCAAAATGCTCGGCGCGTGCCGCTCCTGTGGGTCGTCGAAATCAAAATCTATATCTTGCAGGCCCTCCTCGGCGAGCGGTTCGTCCAGCCGCAGCGGCGCCTCGGCCTCGGCCTCGGACTCGGACTCGGATTCCCGTGCTCTGCGGGACATCACGGTTTGCCTGCTTGCCTGCTTGCCTGCTCCGTGAATCACGCAGAGCAGGCTAGGCGCCGCGGCTCCGCGAACAACAATTACCCCGCTGGTTGCCGCCACGCGAGCGCACGTTCGCGCTCGGCGTCCGTAGCTACGTAGCAAATTGACGGGCGACAAGCTGGCACAAGTTTACCACGGTAGCTCCGGCGCCAACTTGTATCGTCAATACGCTTGTACTGCGGTACCGTACCGCAGTAGGTACCTCGGTACCACGGTACCAGCAAGTACTGGTTAGCAAGAGTATGTCGCAGCGTTATGTAAAGTAGCAGGGTGTTAGCTAACCAGCCGAGGGCTGGCTAGACCTGACTACGAGAGTGTTTTATAGTGAACTGTTGTTACACCGTAGTGCTTTTGACACTCGATGTATAGACTCAAATATTAGAGAGTGGGAGATAGTACATATCTAGGGTAGGAAGGGCTAGTAGGTTTCTCTCTCTACACCCCCTGGGCGCGAGCGTCCATTAGATGCCTTTCTACTAGAGAATGTATCAACTCAGTCTATTCACTGACAAAATCCATGTGACAAGTGATAGGCTTCATATGCAACAGATTTCTTCTTAAGGTGTTTTGTCTTGTTTAGGCATTCACTGTAAAACACTCTACGTTAGTTATCGACGCTACAGTGCAAAACAATTTTCTAACACAACCTTGATCTTGACACTCAGGCTCTCGTAGTGCCAGCGTTAACACCAGTCCCCTTTTTAATAGTATTTATTTATTTTATATTTATTTCAAGTTATAAACCTGGCTTCCCCATCCGCGACTCCAGGCCTCCCAGCGTACTAGTAGCTGAAGAACGAAATTCTCCGTCCCGCCCCCGGCCGACTTGGCCGCCAATGTAGGTCATCGCCCCCCTGCCAGGGACCTCGGGTCAAGGATGACCACTCCCAAACCTCGCACGCACAACCGAGTCGTAATCAAACCGATTTCATGCTGGGTAAACCTGACATCAGCGAAGCCGCCCCTGGCTCGGGCCCTTAGTTATCCAGCATGAGAGACCCCCTGCGTTATGTGGTGTGGTGCGGAGCTGGGCACGAGGGGGTGCGCGTGCCGCGCGTCCGAGATGACGCCCGCACGATAGCATGCGGCACACTGGCAGTACTCTGCCGGACAAGTAGCGCACTCGTAGCGCGCGGCCCCGTCGTCGATGGCGGCGCCGCACTTGTCGCAAAACCACTCGAGGACGGTCTCGTACTCGTCGTCAGAATCGCCACCAATCGTCTTGACCCGCGGCGGTGGCGCCGGCCACCCCTCGCCCCAGAAGCCCTTGGCTCTGCGAGACGTGCCGGTCGCTGCGATCGTGAACAGCGGCGTCGCGGCGCGCGTCGACACCGTCGCGAGCCGCGCGAATTGGAACTCGCCGATGGGTGGTGGCGCGCCGACCACGAACTCTTGCGCACCAGCGAAGCGCACGCGTTTCTTTCCTCTCCCCTTGGCCGGGGCCGTTCGCAGCGCCGACTTCATGGCTTCGCGAAGGGCGCATGCATGCCGCTCGGACCTGCACCCCGCATGCCGAGGGCGTCTAGGAACTCTGCGGTTCGCCGCGCGATACTGCGTTGCAAGCCACCGTCGTGAATGCTACACGTGCGATCATCACCGCAGAGCATGACAACTGGCTTAGCAGCTCTCTCTTACTCTGTGCTGACGCTTCTGCTCAAGGCAGAGTTAGATATGACGGCGCTTCGCTGAGCCCTCCAGAGCGCGTGTAGCCGGCCGCGGCCCCGGCCGCCGGGTTGCAAAAACCCGTTTTGCTGAAGAGATGCTGAAGGAAAGATCCTTCAGGGAAAAGTGGTGCTGCGAGCGATTCTCACGCTAGAGATGCTCCTATGAGTATGTCGTGCAGAACGGGAAGACTAGGGGCTTATTTCGGGTCAAGTTTTTCGGGCCCCTCCTTGCGTCCAGGAGCGAGGCGAGACGAACATCGGCGCAAAGGGTGCGAACACGAACCGACGCAGTCCACCCGCCAGCAACCAGCACCCGCGCGGTGGGGAGAGCACGCAAGGTACAGCCAAACCTTCCCATGTTCCTCCTCCAGCGCCGCCGCGTGACCACCTGGGCCTCCTCCGCGCGACCGGCCGCGGCAAAGGCCTCGCAGGCGCGGGCCGCGGCGGCGACGCCGCAGGTTCGCGTCGTCGACGAGCCGGCGGTGTGCCAGAGCCTCGGCGAGGGCGTCTACGAGCTCCCGGCCATGCTCCCCCGCGCCGCGTGCGCGCGCGTCGTTGCCGAGGTGTCGGCGCGCGTCAGTAACGGCAGCGCCACCGACCGCGGCGCCAGTCTGAAGACGACGGACGTCTACGTCCGGGACCTCGCCGACGCCGAGGACGTCTACCGGGCGCGCGCCAGTGCAGAAATATCACCGATGTCCAGAACGGAGAATCGAGCTCGCGAGCTGGTTTCCACACAGGCGCTCGACGCCGGCTGCCATCTCGTGGAACTCTGCACGGGGCGCCTCGTGACGTACGAGCGCAAGAAGGCCTTCGTCATCACCTACGACGCGACGTCGACCAAGGTTCGTCGTGGCGGTCCGCGGCCCTTTGTGAGCCGCCCTCCGGCGCGCAGGTCAACGGCCGGGGCCTCACGAAGCACAAGGACCGCACGGAGAATCGGACGTCTCAGGCGAACACGCTCCTCATCACGCTCGACTGTCGCGACGCTTACGGCGGCGGCGGCACCAAGTTCTATCCTCCCGCGGCGAAGAAGCAGCCCTTCGTCGTCCGTCCCGCGCGCCGGCCGCGTCGTCCGAGTCGGTGCGCCCGCGACAACCCGTTGACGCCGCGCAGGTCTGCGGCGGAGGTGTGACGTTCTCTCCCGACGTGGAGCACGAGGGCGTCGCGCTCACGCGCGGCGCGCGGCGTGTCGTCGCCGTCTTCACCGACGAGTGCTCGAAGAAGGCCGCGCCGGAGCGCGACGCCGCCCGCGAAGCCCAGCGCCTGGCTGCGCTCCAGGTCTTCGGCCGTCTCAAGCCGCCGTCCCGCACGACGCCGTGATCGCGACGCCAGGCGACACAAATACGCCGTCGCCTGGTGCCGCGCGCGCGGCGTGTCGCCCTAGAGCCCAAGACGATCTAACTTGTATGAACCCGGGTTGCCCCGTGTGCACATGTCCTTGGGACGTTCCTCACAGCCTCCTAGGGAGACGCGCCCTTTGGCGCCGTCTCAAGGGCAACACTTCAACTAGAACAAGGACCACACGAGGTCCGCTACTTTTATTTTACTCCGCCGCCCAGCGACGAAGAGGAGCTACTGGACGAGGATGAACTTGAACTGTCCGAGTGATTCGAGTCCGAGGAGTCCGAGGACGAGCCCGAGGACGACGAGGACGAGGACGAGGACGAGGACGACGACGAGTCCGAGTCCGAGTCGCCGACGGCGGCGCGGGCGGCGGCCATCTGCTGCTCCATGATCCGCCTGGGCGCCTCCTTGAGGTGCTTGCGAAGCGCATCCGTGAGGCCGCCCAGGCCGATCGAGGTGAAAAAATTGATGGCGAAGCGCGTGTCCCGCGGATTCTCGCGCGGGAAGAGGCCCGCGAAGACGTCGGACATGTACTGGTCGTTGAACCGGTCCCGGAGCGTCGCGAGACCCAGGTGCTCCGCGAGTTCCTGGCAGAGGATCTTGACGAAGATCCGCGACGACGACGTCGTCTCCTCCTCGTTGAGTCGTACGTATTCGAGGCACGTCCAGGGCAGCGCGTCCGTCTCCAGCAGGTGCGCGAAGAACTTGGCCACGTTCCGCAGCTTGTTTGTCTCGAGACGGTGGATCATCGCGTACTGCTCCTCGAACGCCTTGTCGAACGCCTCCTGCCAGGCCTTGGTCATGACGCAGAACCGCTGCCCGAGCAGGCCGTAGTAGCGCAGGTATGTTCGCTCCTGCGAGCAGCACTCGATCAGCATGTTGCATAGCTCCATCTCCAGCCCCGACCGGATGTCGAGCTTCATGAGCTTGTGCGCGCACTCCTCGAAGCCCACGCTCGACATGATCGTCAGGTAGATCGTCCGGCGAAGGTTCACGAGGTCCTGCTCCGTGAGGTCCTGGATCGGGCCGACCTCGGCCGGCGCGGCCGCGGCCGGCGCGTCGTCGTCGTCGTCGTCGTCGGCGTCGTCCTCGCCGTCGTCGTCCTCGCCGAGGATCTCGCGCTTGATCTCGACCCACGCGGCCTCGTGCGCCTCGAAGTCGTCGTCGACCTTGAAAACGTCCAGTGCCTCCTCGCGGTCGACCTTGTCGTCCAGGGAGAGTTCGAAGGTGATCTGGTCGTCCCGCTCCACCAGGTCCAGGTCGTCGGGCACCGCCGGGTAGTCGGCGAACCCGGCCTTGCGCGCGGCGAAGAGGCCCTCGATCGTGTATTGGACGCGCTTGTCGATGACGCCTGGGCGAATCGACTTCGGGTCGCGACGCGCGACGCGAAAACGGGGAGGGTCGCGAGGGGGAGTCGGGCGCGGGGCGGCACCCTCGTGCAAGATGCCGCGGAATCGCTCGAAGACCGCCAGCAGGCCCCGGGGCGAAACCTCGTCCAGGAGCTGGCCGACCTCCTTGGTGAACTGGACGGCGATTTCGACCGAGTCGTCCGTCGGGTCGTCGAGGAGCACGGTGAGCAGCTGCAGCGCCACGAGCTCGTGGGCCACCTGGTGGTTGCAGAGGTGCGCGAGGAACTTGGCGAAGCCCGTGGCGACGACCTTGTCGCGGCGGCGGTACGCGCGCCGGAAGCCGACGAGGACGCGCTTCAACAGGAGCTCGCCGTTCTCGGGGAGCTTGGTGTTGAGGACGGCGACAAGCGCCGCGTAGATGTGCGTGAACCCGGGCGACGCGAGTTGGGCCTTCATGAGCGCGCGGCAGAGGAGGCCGCGGCCGCGGACGAGGTTGAGCTCGAGCAGCTCCGGGACGATCGACCGGATGTTCCCCACGTTTACCTTGTTCACGAGGCCGTTGATGCCCTTGCGCAGCGCCTCCCAGGACAGTCGCTGGAACTCGGCCGACCGCTTGTCCTTGTCCGCCATCTCCTGCCGCAGCGCCGCGAGTTTGAACGGCGGCACGTAGATGCCGCCCGTCCGACCCAACTTGGCGTTCTCCGCCGCCTGGCGCGCGACCATCGACGAGCCCTCGCCGGCCGCCGGCGCCGACCGCGCGCGCTTCGCGGCGCGCGGCGCGCCGTCGTCAGCCATCAACCAGTTAATTCAGCTGATCCCAAGGCCGATAGCATGCAGCTGCACCGTTGCACAGCAAATATATAGCTCGCAATATCGCGCCGGCCACTGGCTCGCCTGTCCTACGAGCAGCCTGTCTCTTGCGCTTTGCAGGCATCCCTAGTGTCTTACCTGTAAGTACGCCGCTAGCATTTCCTGCCTCCGCCGCGCCCGCGAAAATAAGTCAATTCGGGTTGCGGGGGCACGCGCCTAGGGAGGGGTGTCGGGGGAGCTATCCCCCGCGAGCGTGTTCTACGACTCGGAGCCCTGAGTTTTGTGCGTTTATGTTTTAATGATTGAATAATGTTTTGTGATGTTTTATAATGATTCAGGTTAGGTTTTAAAACGTCCGGAGGGTTACCTCTGGACAGTTCCGTTAGACACCACGCAGAGCCTGAGCGGTGGGCCCATAACCTGCGATGCAGGGGGAAATAGAATGTGTAGCTCCGGACTTCCCCGGCAGCGTAGTGTAGTCGTCTAACGAAATAGTTTCTCCCCATGTTTGATGGGGTTTGCGACGGGAAATTCGTCCGGCAATAAAAGGTGACTCAGGATGATAATACTAGTAGTTCTAATATATCGGTCCCATCACCAAATTTTTTTTCCATGGTCGCAGACGCGCAAATATAGATAAAATGCTGTATTTATGATTGCTCTTGGGATTATCAGCGGCGTGATGTGTAGCTCTGCCTCCTCCGAGTCCGTCCTCGGAAGTGTCCTCGGCGATTTCTAGACTCGGAGCTCAGCCTGAGGCTGAGGCTAGGCTGCCTAGCCACCCGGCCGACGCCTTGCTTCTTTTATATTTGCATTTCTTGGGATCATATTGTTCGACTCGTCCAACACCAGCTGGGCGGCGCCGGCGTCCCTCACGCCGAGAAGTCGAGGAAGGGGTTGTCGCGGCAGGGCACGTGGACGGAGAACGCGCGGTCGGCGTGGTCGTCGAGCGCGTCGCAGAGGACCCGCAGCGTGGTGGCCGACGCCGCGCGGAGCGCGTACCCCTCGACGGTCTCGAGGGCCCGCGCTCTCAGCCGCGCGCGCAGCGCCGCGTCGCGCGCGAGCTCCGCCAGCACGGCGACGGCGCCCGCCTCGTCCTTCGTGGACACGAGCCGCGCGTTGACGCCGTCGACGGCGTAGTCCTCGGAGCCGGAGTCGGCCGGCACGACGGCGACGCAGCCCGAGGCCATGGCCTCGAGCCCGGCGCGCCCGAAGGCCTGCCAGTGGCTCATGTCCAGGAACACGTGCGCGCGCGCGAAGAGCGCGGCGATCTGGTCCTGGTCGAGCGTGCCGAGGTGGTGCCGCCGGTGGGCCTCGGTCGCGCCGGCGTCGAGGCGCAGCTCGCGGAGCGCGTCCGACGCGAGGAGCGCGTCGAACTCCGACGGGACGCAGCCGAAGGTGAACGTCGCGACGGCGCCCGGGAGGCGCCGGCGGAGTCCCTCGAGCACGCGCATGGTGCCGCCGGCGTTGCGGCGCGGCGTGGACGGGCGGACCATGGCGACGAACACGACGACGGCGTCGGCGTCGGGGCGCGGCGCCTGCGCCCGCGCCGCGTGGAAGCGCTCGAGCGCGATCGTGCCGCGGACGGCCGCGACGCGCGTCCCGTGCGCCTTGCGGATCCGCCGCCGCAGCCACTCCGTCTTGGCGAAGCTCAGCATCCGAGGGTACAGAGTGTACGATTCGCGGGCGCGCCGACGCTGGTTCGGCGTCATTCTCGCAAATTTGACCTCGTAGTCCTGGATGAAGTAGGCCGGGAGGAGGTTCGGGTGGCACGCGGCGACGAGGTTGACCGGCTCGACGGTGGTGAAGAGCGTCGCGACGACGACGTCGAACGCCGCCGCCCGTTCGTAGAGCGCGTCCGCGAGCTGCTCCGGCCGCAGCACCGCGTCGCCGTAGGCCAGGACGAGCGGCGGCGCGCCCGCCGGCTGCGGAAAGGCGCGGTCGAAGTAGGGCACCAACCAGCTGGACATGGCCACCTGCGCGCACGCGCCTCGATCCCTGAGGCCCAGCGCCTCGTTGACGATGGAAATCCAGCCGCCGTGCATCTGGAACTCGTGTTCCCGGTGTTCCTTCTGCGGGTTGAGGACGAAAAGGACCCGCAGCCGCCCCGGGCCGCAGGCGCTCCCGGTCAGCGACGCGCCGACGCGCCGACGCGCCTCCGCGAGCTCCTGGTTGGTCTCGAGGAGCTTGACGGCGTGGCGGAGCATGGAGCCCCACCGCTCGCGCATGGCCTCGGCCGACCCGGCGCTCAGCGCCTGCCGCGTCGCGTCGCCGTAGGACTTGGACTTGTGGTGCCAGACGTAGACGTCGTCGGCGACTTTGAGCGAGTAGCCCGCCGCGAGCGCGCGCAGCGCAAAGTCGTTCTCCTCGCCGAAGCCGTGGGGAAACGCGACCTCGTCCATGAGCCCGACCGCCTCGACGACCTCGGCCTTGACGAACAGGCAGAACCCGTTCAGCACGGGCACGTCGACGAGCCTCCGCCGCGATCCGCGCGCGACGGCCGCCGCGACGCCCCGCGGCGTCCACGGGTCGTCGGCGGGCCCCGGCGGCAGCTCGTTCTTCGACCAGTCCTCGGATTCTTTTCCAGTTTGCACGCGCAGCGCCGGCACGGACTGGTACGACGCGGCATTCGACAGCGGGCCGACGACGCCGATCGTTGGATCCGAGAACGCGTGGCGCTTGAGCGTCTCGAGCCAGCGCGGGTCGACGACCTCCACGTCGCTGTTCAGGAGGCAGAACGCGGCGTAGGGCGCCTCGCGGAGCGCGGCCCGGATCCCGAGGTTCGCGGCGCGCGTGTAGCCGTCGAGTCGATGCCCGCCGTCCCAGTTGACCAGGCGCACCGCGAGGCGCCGGGCCCTGCCCCGCGCCTCGGCAACCTCGCGCAGCCTCCGAAGGGTCTCGGCGCCCGACGCGTCGTTCACGAGGAAGATGGCGTCGCCCGCGTCGGGCAGCGCGCGGCCCGCCGGGGAGTCCGCGTGGGCCCAGAGCGAGGTAAGCGTCCGCTCGACCCACTCGGCCGCGTCGTGGACGGTAATGACGACGGCGACCTTCTTCGGCGCGGCGAGCGGCTGGGGGGGGGGCGCCGCGACGCACGTGTCGGGCTTGACGTACGTGTCGAAGGCCGGGTGGGTCGTCGGCGTCGAGGCGCAGGACTTGAGGTAGCAGATGTTCAGATCTCTCAGGTGCGAGAACGCTCTGCATCGCCGTTCGAGCGTGCACGCTCGTTGGCACACGTCCAGGGTCGCGTCGCGGAGCTCGCTTCGTTCGAAGTCGCAGCCGCCCACGGCGACGCCGGGGAGCCGCGCGTAGCGCCGCGGCCCCGGAATCTTCGGACCGCGGATGTAGGTGTCGTGGCCCTTCGCGGGCGAGAGCCGCGCGCAATTCTTCAGGACGCATATCTGTTCGCCCGCGATGAACGTAAACGCCCGGCACTTGCGGGAATCGGCGCACGCGAGCTCGCACGCGGCGACCGTCGATGGCTGGCGCACGTTCCGTTTGAAGTCGCAGCCAAAGACCGACTCGCTGGCGCTGAGCGTCCAATCGAGGCTCGGCGGCGGCCTGCGCACGGCCTTTCGCATGCGACGCATGGCGTCGTGGACGAGCGGCGAGAAGGGGCGCGCCAGGTCCGTGACCGTCACGTTCGCGCGCGCCCACGCGGAGTCCGCGGCGCACGTCGCGGCGCCTTCAGTCGCCGCCGCGCCCACGCGGCCGTCTTCGAGGTGTGCGACGATGCGCGGGGCGCGCCCCCCGAGCGGCCCTCCCATGGCCGCGCGCGGCGTCGAGAACCCGAAGCGCCGCGCCCGGTCCAGGCTGAAGCCGACGACACACGACGACATCGTCGGAACCGAGGGATAAGTCGGCGCGATGACCGCGCCGCCGTCCGCCGCGGCCGCGGCAGGCTGCAGGGCCAAGATGTCCGCGATGAGCGAAGCGCCGCGCACCGGCGCCGCGTGCGGCGCCGCGGCGCGCGGCGCCGCGCGGGTGTTCACGGCGGCGGGGACCGCGACGGCGGCGCCGGCCCTCAAGGCCGCGACGACGCCCGCGACGCTCTCGCGCGACGCCGCCGCGCCGCGCTCGACCACGACCGCGCGGGCGTACCCCGCCGCCGCCGCGGCGCGCACGACCTCGGACCACGCACCGAAGATTGCACGGTCGCCGCGGCCCGCGAGCAGCTCGGGCCAGACGGCGACCCTCGCGCGCCCCTCGAGCTGTTCACGCGCCGCGGCCGCGGCCGCGGCACCGTCGAGCACCATAACGACGTCGTAGTCTGATGTCGCGCTCGCCACCGCCGCCGCCGCCGATGCGTTGCCGCCCAACACCGCCACGAGCGCGTCCGCGCCGCCCCGCGCCACGAGCGCGTCCGCGCCGCCGCCCGCCTCCGGGAGGGCGTCGAACGGGTGCCCGCCCGCGCCCGGGCTGCCGGACCCGCGCGACAGCGAAATCGCGACGTGCGCGGCACCGAGCGCCGCGAGCGTTGCCGCCGCGACGACCGCGGTGCCTCGCCGCCGAGATTCCGTCCGTGGGACTGCGTAGGCTCGGGCGATCTGCCCGCTGGATGAGGAGGAGCGCCGCATGGGCTGCCCGGCGGCCGCACTCACCTCGCGCAGGCTGGTCCGCGTCCCGGGTGCTCTTGTGTCAAAAAAATGATGAGCAAGTGGTAGCTTTACACTGTCCTAGTGTCAAGAGGGGGGGGGAGCCAGGGTGTGAGAATCCGTCCTCACATCCACACCTACGCGTCTCACGCGTCTCACACTCACACTTAACACCCTGCCCCCCCCCCTGTCAAGAGGATAGCAAAAAAAGCCAGGGTAGCACCATGCCGAGGTTTGTAGTCTAAACTTGAACTTGAATTGAAGAAGCTAACCCCATTTTTTACCAGGGACCCCTGAAGAGGTGTGGTAGGTAGTGTCATGGCGCCGGGAGTAGTCCCCCCCCGCCATCCTCCTGCCAAGTGTGGTATTGTACTGTAATTTGTACATTCAAGTTCAGTGCTGCTCCGCTTACCAAGTCGCTCGGCTTTGTGCCGAACCGCTTTCCTTCCGGGAATAGCGTCGCTATGTCCCTCACGCTCGAGGTACGGTTATCTAGGTTGCTAGACATGTAGGTTACTTATGGGGCCCGGTCACGGTTCAAGTTTAGCCTCACTTGGGCTTTGTAGGGTCGTTTCCCGCTAGGAACTTGAAAATAAATAAATAAATAAATAAATAAATAAATAAAGGAAGACCTAAAAAAAAAGGAACAAGCTCCTAAGAGCCTTCTCCCTGCTCGGTCAGGATACCCAACCGGAGCTTCGAAATAGCAATAAGATACCGATACAACGGATTTTCAATCTCCCGGGGTAGCTTGTCCCCCATGACCAGCCGACAACGGTACTCATCATTCAATTGCCGTGCGAGGGGGCAAACCGAGTATAATCTCGAAAGAAATACCTCGCGTTCTTCCTCAAAGGCCGTGCATTCAAACAACGTGAAACAAAGGTTCTTGGCTAATTTGAACTTTTAATAGTACTAGAAGTAGGATTCTACCAGTCATGGTGCTCGCCAGACACTGGCACTGGCAGCCTGTGGGTAGAGAGGTGTGAGTCGGAACCGCACTGTGCCTCTTGTACGTTTAGTAGACGCACGACGACCAGCCCGGCGTAGAAAGCGTTGCGGCTGCATCGAAGAACGGAATCTGCCCGCGCGCTGCCCCCGGGTAGCGACGCGTTCTGCGACGAACGCGGAGAGCAAGGACGGTGCCAGCTCACGAGGCAGAATGACCGCCGCGACGGGAACTGCCGTGCGGGGGCGCACCGCCCGGGGTCCAACCAGGCGCACAGGCGGCGCGCCAGCTTCGGGGCGGCGGTGGCGGAGAGCCAGCGCGCCGCCAGGCCTCCGCGGCTTTGCGCGTGTCGCCGTCGACGTGCCGGAGCCGCTCGGGGACGAGCGGGAAGATAAACGGCGGACATGCAGCGAGTGGGACCTGCGGACTCGCGTCGGCGGGTGCTGTGCCCAGGAGCAATGGGCGCCACAAGCGCTCTGCGTAGTGATCGGCCTGGAGCGCAGCGCCTTCGCAGCAGCTTTTCTTCGCGAGTTCGTCGAGGAGACGGCCCCAGGCATTGCGCGGAACGCCTCGCAGCACGTGGCGCGGTGCCGCTGCAATGCCGTTCAGCGACGAGCCGTGGCGAAGCGCGTCGCCGACGGACCGGTTCGGCGCAAATTTGCTGTAGAACGCGCCGTTCGTCGCCGCGGACGCCGGACACATAATTTGGGGTGGCAGGCCACGCTTCGGCCGGTAAACGGAAATGTTGGAGTCCGACTCGAAGGGCACGAGGTGGTTGTGCATGCCCCGGGGACTGATAAAGTGTCGGAGCGCGTCCTGCTTCGCGACGGACGAGAGCGCGCCGAGAACTCCGAAGAGCTTCCTGCATAGGAGGTACTGCCATTCGCTTTTCAATATACTCCCCATGGCAAACGCGGTGATGGGCGCTAGATTGTCGTAATTCTTGTAGACATGGTGTACGTACGCGTAGTTTTCCGCCCCCCAGTTCGCCAGGCGCGCTGTGCAACGCGCGTCAGGCTGGACGGGGCCCTTGCAGTAAACGACAGCCTCGGACCGGGGCACGGTGCGCAACGTCGGCTCGATCCACGACAGGTCCTCGTCGTACGTCGCGACGACGAGCTGTACGTAGGCAGTGGCGGCCGCGGCGCGAAGCGGGGCGAGAGATGCCGCGACGGCGGCGAGGACGCTATTGCCCATATTGCCCATAATTCATTTCACGTCACACACTTTGCAACCCACTTATCCGGGTATCCGCTATATCTCCCGCCCACCCTCCTGCAATAAATAGGGCGAATACCCCCCCTTATCCTATACCCTTCTATATACACTTACATCACACACAACACGCCACGCGCAATAAACACCGGCGTAAAACCAAAACTACTTAGTGTATTTCAAGTTTAAGGTAGCTCCGCGGCAGACTTCTCAGCCGCCGCCGTCGCGGTACTCCCAAAGGTGCGTACTCCTCTGGTCTTGCATTATTCTAGTTCGCAGGTTATGGGCCCACTGTCCTAAGAGATACTCCGCCGTATTGCCGTTCAGGGCAATTTCGCGACCGCGTCTCGCCGCAAAAGTGACCCCAGCCCCCCAGCCCGGCCTCAGGGCGTACAAAATAAATAAATAAATAAATAAATAAATTAAGGAAGACCTAAAAAAAGGAACAAGCTCCTAGGAGCCTTCTCCCCGCTCGGTCAGGATGCCCAACCGGAGCCTCGAAATAGCAATAAGGTATCTATACATAGTATTCTCAGTCTCGTGAGGTAAGTCGTCACTCATTAGGACGTCGCAAAGACCTTCGGGGCTCAAGCCACGCGCGATAGGGTGCAACTCGTAGAACCGTTCAAGGAACGTGTCACGTTCTTTCGTAAAAGCCGAGCATTCAAGTAGGGCATGTTGAATCGTTTCCGACTCGCGGGATTTGCAACAGGGACATTGCGCGTTGCGGACAAGCTGCGTTCGGGAGCTCGAGCTCCGGAGATCGTGGCAACCCAATCGGAACTTCGTCTTCAACCTCCGCCCTTCCCGAAGAGACGAGGGGCACGTTCTGAGTAAATATTCCGGCAAGCCGAAACGTTCCTTCTCGACCCAATCGCTCATGTTGCGGAGAGTCGTCATTCTCTTGAAGCCATCGACGAGCTCGGAAACTCGGCGCGATGCGACGAATTCATTGACGAACTTTTTCGCGGCCGGTTTTTTCAGAGGCCCAGGCCAATTCGCTTCTAACGCAAGCTTATCCAGGAACAAAGCCCCGTTCCTCGACGATCCGCGACCTTTAGAATCGTTCATCAGGCCGTCGTATACCCGGCGAACGAGGAAATCCCGAGGGTCCAACGACAAGATGTTGTTGCGGAATTTCAGCGCCGCGGCGTCTATACGAGTTGCGACGGACGCGACACCCAGTTCGTGCCTGACGGCGACCGAAGCCGTTTTCGCTTCCACGCCGAGCAGGCGCCGATAAATGACATTCAACGCGACCTCGATGTCATGATATTGGCTTTTTGATCAGCGTCGGGCAGGCGCCCGATTTCATACTCGTCGTCGTCCGACGCCCCCGTCGCGCACCGATCACCCCACTTCTTCTGGTCGACGAGCTTCGCCGACGATAGGGGGCTCGACGGCGCCGGCGCCGGCGCTTGCAGCGGCGACTGATCAATAGGGATCGGGCTCTCGGGGGCCTTGCTTTCCGTCGACGGCGCCGGCGCCGGCGACGCCGCGGCCGCCGGCGCCGCACCCGACGGCGATTTCTGCGACCCCTCGGTGTCCTCACACGCGGCCATGAGGGTGGCGCTATCCACCTTCAAAATCTCGGACGCCCGGAGCGGGGGGACCACTTTTTTTAATGCGGCCATCTTCATAATATAATCCTCTCCATCCTCGACGGAGTCCTTCGAATACTGGCCACAGCCTCCCGTCGCGAACAACGAGCGGATGTACAAGTCAATGTCCGGGTCCCCCGACTTTACGACCAGGAGCGCGCGGTGCTCCTCCCCCAGAACCGACCTCATCTTGGGATTTAGGGCCATACCGAAGGCGTAGCAGGGGTTACCCTTCTTCTTGGCCTTCATATTGGCCCGGAGCCTCTCCTTGAGGCCGTTATCCACCTTACCGGTAATTTTGCTTTTCTTGCCCATTTCTGGTGCGATTTTGCTGCTGTTTTTTGCTGTGGCGGTCGCCCTATGGGGGGCGAGTGGACTAAACGGGCTGGGGGCAGCCCGGGTGCGCTTAGCGATTGTCGCTAGGACGCTAGTGTGTTAAGGACTCTTTTGGGGCCCCGTAGTCAAAATCGCCGCCGGGCGAGTGGCTGGGAACTCGAATCTCACTGATTCTCAGATTAGGAGAGCCCCGGGCCGTGGTGAGACCCCCCGTCCACTTGTCTGGGTCAAATTAGGAACCGCACTGGCACCATCGGTAATTAGCCTGAGATCCACGATCGAGGTTCGGTCCCCCGCGAGCCTGGAAGCCGCCCGGCCATCCCCTGACCGCCCGTTAACGTAGATTAATCCTCAACTCCGCCATTAATAATTCAACGCCATCCCTCAGTGTCCCTTTGAGCCCACTTCGATGTAAGCTAAAAGCGGGGTGTACACCGTACTTCTACGCTAATATTCGCTGGTTTGGACCCCTGCCGGGCCTGCCTGACCAGAGTAAAACATTCAGTTCGACGCAACACGTCCCCTCGTGTCGCAAAAACCATCAAGGACACCGCTGTCGCCAACTTGGACTACCCACTCATTGTAACCTATCATGCGGAGCAATTCAAAGTCAACATGCTTTTCTCTAGGCTGCCAGGGATGCGTTTTAGCGCCGAGGCAGTGCCAGTGCTCGGCACCAACGAGATTACAGGCATTGGACAAGGAAAATCCATTTGCACGGACAAAGTAGCCGGCACGATGCTCTGCGCCCATCTGGTTCATGTATACTGGCGTCGGTCTGAGTTCCTCTAGTGTCTCGTAGCTCAGGTCACTGCCTCCCCTGCTGAGCGGTGCGTGGAAGGCGAAACTGTCCCAGGACCAACTGGTGCCGTCCCTTGGACAGACATTGAGAAGGCGGTCGACATGAACACGGTGGTGCGCACGCTCGAATACCACCGGATCTGGACAATGTGCGCGATAGAGAGAGCCCAACGGCGGAACCCAGACAGAGAAGACAAGGACGAGCTTTTCCTTTGCGAGTGCTGACGCATTGAGTCTGTCGAGATCTCGGAAAACAATGTCGGCGTTGGTAAGAACAACCACGCCCTGGAGCCGGTCGGCACGACGGAACATGTCGGCATAGGTTGGTTGGCGCCCAAAGGCCTCGGCGACGATCTTTTCCAGCGCACCCACTGTCGCTTGTGTATCTTCAAGGCGTGCAGCATGAGTGACTCTCAGCTCCGCGATGGTGCTTCGGAGAGCACGAGTGCAGAGCGCGTCATCGCCGAGGCCACATTGATCGACCATTACGACGATCGAAGCAACATCAGGCCGATACGCGTTCTCTCCAATGGCGAGTAGCGTCTCACTTATGTGATCTGTTGCCATCGGCTCCATGGTAATCCTTGGAATCGTCGTGAGTAAGGTCACGCCGCCGTGGGCCTGATCCGCACAGGCCGCAGTACTCCGGCGGATACCAAGGGCTTTAAAGGTTTGGTGGATTGCCTGCTGGTCGTCATTATTCGGCACACGAAACGACGCCACGCCCCCGAGGCAAACGGTGTCTCTTTCACCACGTCTCCTGGGCGAGTCGAGGGAAGCGTTGGCGCGGGTCATGATGATGCCACTCTTGTTAGTCCATCGGAGCACATTGGACGAATCATTGACAACCATAGGTACAGGGAGGACCTTAGCAGGATGAAGGGTCGTCCAACGCTCGGGGAGATGACTCAACGCAAGAGGCGGTCCGAGGACTAGGACGTCACAGCCTTTGTTTACGTAGGGACCCGAACCAAAGTCGAAGACATATGCCGTGCCCATGACCGCTGATAGGGCGCGTAACGTCCCAGGAGGCGCAACGAAGTCATCCGCGACTCGACACGCGTATTCGTAAGCAGCGAGGGCCACGACTTTCGCAACATGCGTCCATCGTCCACCCGCGGTGAGATGGATGCCCCCGAGGAGCCCCATTGCCTCCGAACCAAGAAGCTCGGCCCAAAACTCGGGCGTACAACCGAGGATATGTGCTGTACCGCAAGCAGCGTGTAGCCGCAGGATCTCGCCACGTCGGACTGCACTCTCGGGGAAGGCATCGCGCAGCGCTGCCGCCATCATCTGCGCTACGATAGGGGATCGCACGCTCATGAAGAGCCCAGCCCGAGCTGCAGCGTTTCTGCGCCGCCTCGGGAACAGCCCGGACTGCCCGCGGAGCAAGCGTGTCACGGCCGAGGCGTCGTCCATTTCCCACGCAAACCGAGCAGCATCGTCGTCTGCCAAATGCCGTGCCACTGTCACTCTGACGTGGTGCATTAACCATTTGAGGCTGCATGTCACTCCGAACGTCGCGTTGCCCAAGCAGCGTTCCCGCAGAATGTGCTTTGCCAGCGCATTGCTCGAGGCATTTAGCTCCACGCGTATGTTTTGTTCTCCCAACCGCAGATTCATCCGCCATCCCATGATCCTCTGCCGCGCCGCAATCAGCGTCTCGCCCTGGCCGTCAGACAGGACCATCATGAGGAGACATAAATACATCGTCGGTATGCGCATCCAGGGCCGCGCCCGCGACATCATAAGCACTTCATCCAGAGACTCTGAGCGAAACCTATCCTAGGATATATATAGAGCCTGAAGGATATATAGCCCTGAGAGAGAGAAACCCTCTAGCCCTTCCTACCCTGCGTCCCTACTTCTTGAGCCGCGTTCCAATCAGACATATTTCACTGAAGATCATATGTGAATGCATGCGATGTTATATACAATAAAAAATCAACTTGAATCTACTATCTCACTTAGCCTGAGGACTCCGAGTCGGCCCGGGCCCGGGCCCGGGAACTTGAAGGCCAAGAAGTAATGCAAAAGTTCATCAAAAGTAAAACTGGCCCCGGCGGCTATGAATTTCAGAATATACGGAACCTACGTCTCAGCAAAAAATTCCCGCCATTCGGTCGCCGCGTGGCTGTGCCGCTGCGCGCATTGCGGCAAAATCAAAATCAAAAAGGCAGCATCCATGAGCACCCAATACCAACTAACCCTAAGAATCCGGAATGGTACGTCAAAGCATACCACCAGAGTCCAGGGAAACAAAAATTCTTACATGATTATGCTGATGATCTATATAAGCATGGCATCATAGAAGACGCAGATAGACGATGCTGCATTACACAAGAAAGTCGAAGCGCACTGGCAGAAGGCTCAGTATCTTCGCCGCCGCCGTTTGCGGCCATTCTTCCCTGGATTCTCAGGCGCGTGCATCAGACCATCGCAGTTCCGGGCTGTCCAATTCTTTCGTAGGCCTGCTGGAAGCGCATCCAAGGCAGTTCCAGGCATAGCCTTGTGCATCATGCGCCATTCGTTGCACTGAAGAACATCAGCAGCAACGGCACTGGCAACATCATGAGGACTGCCAGCATTGCTGGCACATTGGTCAACGTATGCGTGGTCATGGACCACTGGCGACGTCTCACCTCTCACTCGACAATGGGGTACCAAAATGCGAACGCCAGGAAGAAGTGCCCAGCGCTTGCTCCGAATGATACTCTCGAGCGCATGCGACGCGACGTGCTCTGGTTCACACACAGACATATCTTTTTGCAATGTCCAATATTCCCGCTGTTCCCCGCAGTACACCGGGCTCCATTTTTTGGGGATACGAAAGCTCCCCCGTGCAACCTTGTTTGGACGGAACATGATGAAGTCTGTCTGTACGTGCACTTTGTCCGGCCGCTGCCCGGCGTAACAGTCCACGAAGACGGCATCGACGTCGTGTCGCGCCACAATGGCAGACAGGAAGCGATCATCACGAATAATAACGTCTGCATTGAGGCGCACGACCCAATCGTAGTTCCAAAACCAGCCGTGTGCATCCGCCTGCGCGAGCGCATCCATTGCGCCCCGGTTGTAACCAGCGTTCGGCAATGTCGTATGGATGATCGACCTATTCGTCCAGGGTGGGAATGCGATGTCCAGAACGCGTCGCTTGGCGTCGTCGAGTTCACCGGTCACGAAGACGAGCACATCGGCGCTCTGAATGAACGGCGAGGCGCGCGTTGCCGATGGCCAGCACTTCTCAAGGAATCGTAGGTGTAATGGGGTCAGGTGCGTGGTTACGAAAAGCAGCACCCGCCCAGCCGGTTCCCTCGCGATAGCACGTGACGATTGACAATAGCCGGAGATATAGATGCACAGTATCCATGCAACTTTCGACACCATGACGAGGTGCCAATGGTACTTAATTCTTACCTAGGTTATACCGAATAGCGAGAGGATGTCGCAGCGTAGCAAGAGTATGTCTCAGCGTTTTGTAAAGTAGCAGGGGTCCTAGCTGCTCTCCAGCAAATATTTTTGGCCTACTGCGGTAACCCACACTTGTACCTACGGTACTGGTACGAGAGTGTTGTTTTAATAACTGGTTTACGTCGTCAGGCTAGATCGTCAGGCTTGCTTGGATCTGATGAGCTGGGTGCCATAAGTCCACAATGCAGCTATGGTAGCTAGGTCTCTCGGGTGTCATCATGACCAAATGCATCCCGCGGGGGCCATCTGCAGACTACGAGTCCGAGTCACTGGCACTGGCATTGGCCCAAGTTCAAGTTGCTCCTTTTTTTGGGTCTTGCAATTAATCTATTATAAATCATAAATTATTATTGGGCAGATTCCGCTCTAGAAGCCAATCGAGCAACGCGAATCATTGGGCTTCTAGTGCCAGTGCCCCCCTATCTCTCTCGCCGGGCAGTTCTCGGCGCACTGGAGGGAGCACGTGGCGTTGTCGAGTGTGCTGGCGGCGCGGCGCCACTTGGCTGTGTGCGTCGCCACTTGCGAGGCGGGCCACCCATGCTTCGCGCGCGAATTGTCGGCACTACCGGCGAGGACGCAGAGACCGAACGCTGCCGCAGCGTGTATAACGGCCACATCGCTGCCCAGGGACACCGCCGACGCCGCAGCATCGTGTAAGGCAGCTGCCGTCCGTTCCAGAAGCGCGAGGCCTCGGTTTGCGTCCCAGCCGGAACGCTGCATCGACGCGCGAATCTCGATAAGCTCAAACCACGGAAGAGTGGCCTGCGGTGTGGCGAAGGCAGCGAGCAGTGGTGTGCGTACGTCAGGAGTATGGGCAAGGCGCCCCGGTTCCGGAAGGAGCGGCTTCTGGCCGTACGCGACGGACGCATCGAGATTGAGCGTCGCGTGCCACCAGTTCTCGGGCAGCCATATAATCTCGCCGGGGTATTGGACGCACCGGAGCGGCCGTTGGCCCGGCGGAACCCCCCGCGTTGCCGCGACGAAGCCGTCGCCGGGCCAGATCCGCGGCCCGACGACGCGCGCGAGGTCGTCCGACATTCGACCCGGCGGCACGAGAAACCACGCCTTCCGCCCGAAGCTGAGCGCCTGCCACGTCCGCTGGTGGTAATGGAACGGCAGGCCCGTCCGCGCCGGGCCGACAAGTAGGTTCATCGTCCTCGGCTGCGCATCGGCGAAGAGCTCGGGCACGCCGAGGTAAGGAAGAACGCGCTCACACAGCGGCCCACAGCCAAATTGCGACACGTAGAACCCCGCTAACGCGCCTGTCCATTGCGACGCGAGGTCCGAGAGCGTCGCTCTTATTTTTACGCGGCACCCCACGTTGATGGCGCAGTACTGCCCGCCCGCCTGCGCGTAGCCCGGGAGAGCCTCGACGGTCTCGTTCCCGAAGAGTGCAAGGAACCGGTCCATATCCGGGAACGCAGCGAAGCCGCGCGTCGCCGTGGACGCGTCCGCGGCAAAAATGCATGGATGGTCCGGGAAGTCTCGGCCGTGCGCGCGTTTCCAGGCGGTCAGCGAGTAGATTGGCACGTCGCACTCGGGCTGCGCGTCGCCGAACGCGCTGGCCGCGGCGGCGTCGCGCCGCGGCTTGGCCCAGGCGGGGCGCTGCAAGACGGCGCTCGTCGCATCGTAGCCGTACGTGGGCGGGACCGGACCAGAGTAGGGGCCGTTCCTCGCGCGTACCACCGCGACCGGGGCAATCAGGAGGAGGAGCATCGTCGGACAAGGGATTGCATACCGGTCGGTCTAGGCCGCGGGGTCGGTACCGTATGCCGGCAGTGGGCATATAATATTGGTTCACGGGCGTTCGAAGCTGGTGGGTAGGTACGGTGGTTGCATGCTGCGAGCCCGACAATCGCAACCCCGCTCTCGCGCGTAATAAGCTGTCCCCCATGCGGACGCTGCTCGTCCTTCTAGCGGCGTCGCGAGCAGACGAGACGTGCCTCCCCTGCGACTATGACAACCTTCGCGTGCCGCGCAGCGTCGCATTTCGGCTGCCTGATGCGAAATTTTACGTTGATCACACGGACGGGAAGGACGCGTCGTTCGATGCTATTTTTCGGTATTGGGATGATGTCCGAGCCGCGAACGGCACGACACCAGAAACTGCCTGCAATACGCCGCTCGCGGCGCCGAATGCGGTTGCGGCGCTGGCTAAGGTGGCAAGGCGCGGCGCGAGAAAAGGAGCGCTCGTTGCGTTCGTCGGTGACTCGTTCATGCGCATCGCCTGGCAGCGCCTCGTGCAGGCCGGTGTGGGAATCAACCAGGGAGTTACCGCTACTTATTTGCGGAACCTTGCGATCCTCCACGCCATCGAGCAGACGCAATAACGGAGACAACATCGCACCGACGGCGTGGTGAGCCTGAAATTTGATTTCCACAGGTGCAGACCCTGGCGCGCGGCAGTGCAGCCGTGTTGCGCGGGACGCAATTCAACGGCAAGACATATCATATGGACCATGTTGTTTGCTGTCCCGCTGTGTCGCTGGAGCCATTTTCCACGGCGCCCCTAAATGCGGACGCAAGGCCCGGTGAGGGATGCGTCGCGTGGACCGCGCCACCGGCCGACCGCTTGGAATTCGCCGACGACCGGCTTCGGAGCAGTCTGAAGAGAGGTGATGTCTGTATTGCACAATACATGGCCGGTGCCGCGTGGACACAGACGCGCGACTTCCTACAGAAGGCGGTCGAAATGGGCTTGGCACCGGACCTGCTCGCCGTGGACTCGGGCCTGGGGTACAAGGACCACGACGACGGTGGCGTATCCAGGGCATTCGACGCGTGGTTGGATGTGACGGCGCCCCATCTCGCTACCAACGGCACGCATTTGGTCGTCGTCACGCCAACGCATAATCCGTTTTACGGATGGCTCAAACCGCTTGCTCCTACTCAGAACGAGTTTAGAAGTAGCTGGCGGTCCGAGACGGCGACGTACGAACACATAAGAGAGACAATCGCCCTTCTGCCTCCGGAGGTCCGACGACACGGCCGGTGCAGGAATCGACAGTCAAGGTGCCTTTTGAATGGGAGTGAGTGTTCTTGGTGGGGAATGGGCCCATGCAACGCCCTCGAAGGTCGCCACCGCCATCGCTTCTACCAAAACTCAAAGCAGCTACGTTTTTGCCAATTCCTAACTCACTGGTTCATTTCTACACAGGGCTAATCTCTACCGCACCCCTAGCACAGATCGCGGCCGTCGATGCCTGTGGCCTTTCGACGCAGTTTCCAGTGCAGAAATCAAGTTCACAGTCCCTGGTGACCTTGCGTGGATGTTCGAAATGGACGCTACCAGTTTGGATAACTGTGAGGAGTTTCCACAGGGGAGTATACCTCACTGGTGGATCATTAAAACGCAGGCGGTTTTCCCACCGGTCGTATGCCAAGGTACCACGCGCCGACGCCGACGAAACGAGGCGACACTGCAATGGCGGCTGGCGGCCTCTTGATATTCATCTTGGCGGTGGTGCGTATCTTTACCTGCTAGAATTTCTTCTGCTGCCGCTTGCCGCCGAGGCGCGCCTGTGCGATGCGGCTCCGTATAGGCCGGCGGCCGAAAGCGACCTCGCGCGCGAAGTACTTCCCAAGTTTGTCAGGAGTATGCGCTATTCGCCGGGCTGCGTCGACCCCGCAACCGGCGTGCTGAAACCTCGCGCAACGCGCGCACGCCACTGCGGGATCCCTCGCGAAGACGGGTACGGGTAGGAACTTGAAAACCAGATGTTGTAGCCACATTTTCTACTCGGCGATTTTCCAGATTTGACTAGTAGAGGCCGGCGTATTAAGCCCTATTTGCTGCGCTACGGCCAGCCTGAGGGCCCGGAACCCAAATCATTAGTGGGATTTTCAACTCAGGCTGCCCTAGAGCTCTTTGGATGACGAATTGGCCTTTGTCACGAGTTTGTGGCTTACGAAAGGGGCCCGTGACGAGAATCGACCGCAAAGAACCACGGATTTTGGTCGTATTGTATTTGAGTTTCGGCGTTTTACTAACGCGAGGCAAAACTCCCTGGGCATCGTCTGCAACGCCATAGCCCCTATCGCCGGATCTGGGCTACATTACTCGCCTATCAGCACGCGCGTCAGCCGACGGCTCGGAGCTGATATTTCCCTATATCCCGTATCTTTCTACTTATCCAAGTGGATCAAGCCCGGCGCTAAGTAGGCGCCGTAAAAACACCGGGGTGAACCTAAAGTAAGTTCACTTCACTGGGGGGAACAGCGGGAAACGACCCTACAAAGCCCACTGGCAAGTGAGAATACCCTGGGCACCCAGAAGCTCTTTAATGATCTGCTTTCTTTCAGGTACTTGATTATCCCAGGTAGGTAGTCTATGTTGCAAAGTAGTACATACAAAACGGGGATAACATCAGCTTCTTTTGCGATGGGGAAGCCATTGTATTTGTCCTTAGATCTCAGGTCGAAGATGTGTTTTGGGGTCTTTGACTCTTCTGGTGCTGACTCACTTGAGTGGTCCACAGATACTAGCATTTGTTTGGCAAGTTCTTGGAATTTTCTGTAGTCTATTGGGGGGTTCGAGATGTGTTGTTCATCATAGAAAGCCCATCCATCGTACTTTGAAAATACGTCAGCTCTTTCCTCATCTGCTTGTGTGCTTACAGCGATGTATATCTGCTGTTATGTAGGTCGTTTTCGAAACCAATCAACCAGTAGGGAGACGGTGCCAAGTTCAGGCAGAGCGTCGACTCCCGTACCGCAAGAGTCAACCGTGACCGACCTGGTGGAGGGGTTTCTGAGTGTTGGAGTCTAACAGGGTATCAACGCAAAGTTGAACGGCCGTGGGCCCATAACCTGCTAAAAATACTAGGCAGTGAGGTGCCTAGGAGCACGGCAGTGCTTTGCACTGATTCCCTAGTTGCCAGACCCCGTGGTACTAAAATACGGAGAGAGGTTGTGCTCATACGCGTTCTTAATAGTCTAGGAGGGAATAGGGACTACTAGGGTAAGGATAGGGGTATTTTTCTAGCACGGTACCGTAGGTACCTACGGTACGGCAGGGTCCTACTGCGGTACTTGGATTAGACACAGTAGGGGGGGGGACTATGAAACGGCATAGTACACGTACATACGCAGCTAGCCTACATAAAGTAGATCAAAGGTACGAGCGGCGTAAACGGCCGGCCTGTACAGCTCGATTGCGAGCATTTCGCTACTTGGATCGTCTTCTAACTCCTCCATCGTGCCGAGTTACAGCCCGGCGAAGGTTGCGAGAGCATAGTCGCGCCTCTGCGAAGCCATAGTCGCGCGCACCGGGGCAGCGGTATTGCGGCTGCCCAAAGTACCAGCGCGGGCGTCCTACGACGCCTCCACCCACCTGGTATCGACGCCAACATGACGCCGCTGATGAACACGACGGTCTGACGTCAACACGCGGACACTCTCGGACAGCCGTCGTAGAGCGGCCCCACATAGACTTATGGTGCAGTGGTAAGCTCCGTGCGACCGCTCCGACAATGCATACGGGTCACTAGCTCGATGTCCGCGTGCTTTTCGGGTAGGTCTTGACGCTTGTTACTGCTCTGGCGGCAGCCCGCGGATAAGGCCTCGACAGCCTCGACGGAGCACTAAATCGTGGTGTGGAAGGCGACCGGACGGCCAGATGCCTGCGATATCATCCATAAGCATGTCCATGGCGCCAGAACTTGGAAGGATGTGGCGAAATGTGAGTTAGGAGTTCCAGGTCGAGAAGAGCTGTACCGCTACCTCAAAACTAAGCCAAAACTTGCGTCGTTTGCCAGCCTCCTGGTCCGCACACACGAGGTGAATTACTGGGGCTCCAAAACTGCCCTCTTTTGTCGTGATGGGACGCGTTGCCTTGAAGTCGTGGGCGGCCGGGCTAGAGCTCCGCGGTGGTGTTCGTGCGTCGTCTAGAGCCGATTCCGAGAGTGCTGCTTCGACGGGCGGCACTGTTCCGCAACCCCCGTGGGCCCGCAGTAGCCAGAGACCACGCTAGGCACCCCTAATTCCTCGATTACGACTACTCTGTCCGAGACTATCAGTACACTAAGCCTCGAAACTCTGCTATATTTAGTCCGTTGGACGCCATGCTTGTACCGAGGCATCCGCCGGTGGACGCTTCTCCCCGCTGGCGTAAAAAGGGGATATAGCTAGTATGAGTTGAAGCGCCAGTGGGGCTAACTACGGTTACTATGTCTAATCCTGGTACCTACGGTACGGTACTGCGGTAGGCATCCCTAATACAAGTTGTACATAACTAGAGATGGCGCTTAGCAACCCACTACGAGAGTGGCGTAGTTAGAAGGGCTAGAGGTTTCTCCCTCTATATAGGCACCTGTATGCATGCAAGCACGCAGGAACATGTTCGAAGATCGACGCCATCGACACGACCCATGCACAAAAAAATGAGGAGATAACTCGGCTGCCCAGAAGCATGGCGTGGCGCCGATGCGCAGCCGCCCTCGCCCTCATCTGCAGTAGCGCACACCAGGCGCCACAGCGGGAGCCGCCGGAGCTGCTACTCGCGCTCGGCATCACGTGCGCGCCCGACAACCAAGCGTACCGCGACGCTGCGCGGTTGCACGTCGCGCCGGTGGCCGGGAAAGAACACGTCGCGCTGCGCTTCGTTCTCGGCGCGGAGGCCACGCGCGCGCCCGCGATCCGGCAGGAGAACGCGACGCGCGGCGACCTGCTCGGCGTCGCGTGTCCCGAGGGCGGCGGTCCTTTCAAGCAGGCGGTATTGGCGTGCAAGGTGCGCGCGTGGTATTCCGCCGCTTTAAGAGATCTACCCCCGGCGCTCTGGTACGGTAAGCTCGAGGACGACCACTGGGTGGCAATTGGAAGCCTCGCGTTCGACCTCCGGAACCTCGCAGGGCGCGCGCGCGCCGAATACGTTGCGTACGGGTCCCTCGCTTGGCTCCAGTACGACGCAGTCCGCTTTTGGAACCGCACGTTCGACGTCGCCACGCCGGCGCTCGTCGCGCGGTTCGGGAGCGTGGAAATGATTCAAACCAAGCACTTCTGGAAGCGCATGGACGGGGGCTGCTACCGCGGACCGAACCTGGCATTTCCTCATGGTAGGTTGCTGAACGCATCGTACCTCGGTGCCTTGGAAATCCACTTTTCCAAGAAAAACTGTATTTACCAAAGAAGCATTGAGGCTGCCCCCACAATCTTTCCATTCCTGGTGTCGGGCGAGATTTTATCTGCTCCTCTCGCAAAAGCAGTCGCTGCGTGCAGATATGCGACAGATTTTGTAAAACGCCACGTCGAGGCGGTCGCAGCTGCGCCCGTGCTGGCGACGCGTGAGGCCCTGCGCCACAAGGCGGCCTTTGCGCCCGGTGGCGACGCGCTGTCGGGCCATTTCTGGCGACGGTGCCTCGCGCCGGGCGCGCGCCTCTTGCTGGCGGTCCTGCCGTTTCGTAGGGCCCATAACGGGCCACTAAGCACCAGCCGGAACAGCGCACCACCAACGACCGAGAGCATCCTCATCCACCCGCTGAAGTTCCACAGCGCCGCAGCACGAGCGTGGTTCGAACGCGCTGCAGTGGTCTCCACTGGCCGCGTGACGACGCCGCGGCCACCACTGCTGTTCGAGTACCGCTCGCCGCGCGACGGGAGCCCAGCGACGCTGCGGCACGCGTCTCCACGCGCTGCGCTTGCGAACGTCCGACAGATCGTCCACGAGGACTCGCTGAACACCGTCGTACAGCGCCGCCAAGCAATTGCAGCTGCCGTCCGGTTTGCCCTGCGGTTGCCGGACGCAGTACCCGACGTCGAGAGAGAATTCCTTGCGTCGATGGTCGATGGCGGCGGCGACAGCGACGGTGATGCCACCGCCGACATTGGCTCGTTTTTGCGGCGCTTCGAGGCCGAGGCGGTGGCTTCTCGGGAGCCGGATCCGCCTTTCTCGTTTTCGCGGAGCAGCACTGGCGCGATCCCTCTTCGCGACTTGCGCCCTCCCCCGCCCGACTCAGAGTGGCTAGCCTTCATGGCGCCGGACCGTCCCGGATCGCCGCCGCCTGCGTGGTGGTCTCGTGCGCCGCCCATGTGGTGAGGCCTGTTCTAACACTTTTTTGTCGCACTTGAATGCCATTGTTATCTTCTTTATCATCTATTATTTGTTCCTCTCCTCCAAACGCCCGGGCCTGTTCAAGCTGTGCAGCTGTCTGTCCTTCTTATAACTCGCAGTCTCTGCATTGCGAAGAACGATTTTTGATGGCTCCGCTGTTATGCCATTCTTCTCCAAATCAGCTAACACAAGAGCAATGTCCCTCAAATGCGCCAATCGACCTCGAAGAACCCGGTGGGCCCCGGCCACGGATTCATCGCCGCCGCGCCGCCGCGCGACCGCGCGTTATAGGAGGGAGTGCAAGCCCCCGGAGCCCTGGGTTTTTTCAAAAAACCTCCCCGGTTTTGAAAAGCTTTTCAAAAATTTACTATGCCAGAATAGTTAAATCTCCCTTAATTTCCGCTCTGCTCTGAGGTACCGTAGGTACTCTAGACTCAGACTAGAGGTGGACTCGGAGGTACTAGGTAGAAACTGAGCCTGAAACTCAAGGACACGCCTCCTCTGCTCTCCATGGATAGTTCGGTCTGATGATCTATCCCCACACTGCCTTTATAGAGTCACTGGCGCAGTTACAGTCTAGCGCGTGCCCGTTCCCTCCGGCGGGGCTCGGCCTAGCGCTGGTACACCGTGCCCTTCGGCGTGCGGTTCTTCCAGTCGTAGTCGCTCCCGAAGCCCTGGCCGCCCATGACAGACTCCTTGGCGGGCGAGAGGTCGATGCCGGCGTTCTTCGTGTAAGCCGCGTACGCGGCCTTCAGCTTGCCGGCGTCCTTGGCGTCGACGGCGGCGAAGATATCGGCCGTGCCCTCCTGGGCGACGGCCTTGGCCGCCTTGGCCGCGGGCGTCTTGAGCTGGTACGCGCCCGAGTTGAACAGGATGAACGCGTTCTTCTCGTCGGCGACGGCCGCGAAGTCGCCCTTGGAGACCGCGCCCGAGAGCGCCGCGATCCGGCCGCCGTAGATGCCGCGCGACCGCGCGACCGTCGCCGTCGACACGGCACCGTCGGCCGACGCGACCTGCGGCAGCGCGAGCGCGCCCGCGACGGCGCCGGCGACCTTCTGGAGCGCCGCGCGCCGGTTCGCCGCGACGCCCGTGGCCGGCGCCGGCGCGAGTGCCGCCGCGCCGGTCGCGAACAGGGCGATCAGGACTTTCTGCATGTTGGGACGCCTGCGTTCGCCGCGGGGGAGAATCGCGCCGCGCGCGGGGCCGACGCCGGCGCCCCGCCTTCTCTCTCGTGCCCTCTTCTTCGGGGCGGCGCCTCGTAGCAGAGCCGTTGGAAGGGCCGAGCTGAGTGAGCGCCGCCGCCGCCCGCTCCGCTGGAGCCGCATGGCAGCGACTGACGCTCAGCGACCGGGCTGCGTCCGCCGGCGCCGTCTCGCGGCTTTCTGGCGACGTCGACAGACATAGCTGACTTCGCGTCTCGGGTTGTTCAGGGCGCCGCTGAGAGACGTGTTTGCCGCAGTGGCTTGATTGCAGCTAATCTGCAGCTAATCTGCCTAAAACGATCCTCTCCCTTCAGCCCCCGGCGAGGGCGTCGAGGGGGTCCGCGGCGGCCAACGGATGCCCACAAGGGTAAAAAAAAGTCGGGAGGAAAACCCGTTTTGTGTTTTTAATTTTGTGTCCCCGCGGACATCGTCCTGGGGCCGGGGGTCAATGGAGTGGTCAGTATCAAGCTTTTCGACAAAGCGGCCACGTGAATTATTACGGACCGTCTCGACTCTACGCATCACTCGCACACTCAAGAAACAAAAGCACTCGCGCGGGCACTAGCCCCGGGAGCGCTGGTTTCAAAAATCTGCCTGGGTTTTTCGGAGATTTCCGAACTTCTTTCTAGAGTTTAGTACTATGCCAGAATAGTCAAACTGGCCTTCATTCCCGCTCTGGCAAGCACTCCCGGGCGCCGGGCGAGAGAATGGGACCTCACTGGGTAGACACGAGAAAAGCACACAAGAAACGGGGCTCTAGGCCGGGGACAACGGTGGCGCGGACGGCTCGGGCGGCGCCTCGGGCGGCGCGGCGTCCCCCCGCACCGCGTCGGCGGCGGCCCGCCGGTCGCGGTCGGCGCGGCGCGCGGCCCCGGCGGCCCGGTACCGCGCGGCGAAGTCGTCGAGGCGCCGCCGGTGGTTCGCGAGCTCGATGCGCTCCTTGTGCTCGAAGTCGAGCATGTCCTTCTCGAACTTGCGCGCGAGGCGCTCGGCGTCCGCGGCGTGCGCCGCGCGCGCGTTCTCGAGGTCCCGCTCGCGCCGCTCGAGGTCCTTCGCGTCGCGGTCGATCTTCGACAGCGCCTCGCGCTGCGCCGCGGCGCACGCGTCCCGCGAACTTTTCAGCTTGCCGAGTCGGTCCTCGTGGATGTGCTGCGTTCGCCGCGTCAGCCGCTCGTACTCGCGCAGCGCCTCCGCCGCCTCCGGGTCGTCGGCGCCGGCGCCGGCGGCGCCGTCGTCGACGCGGCTCGCGACGTCGCGCCGGACCCTCTCGAGGAACTCGGCGACGTCGGCCGCGACCTCCTCGGCCGGGTACCCGCACTCGCGCGCGAACTCGACGGCGACGGTCTCCGGGGCCTCGGAGACGTCGTACTCAAAGTCCACGCTGTGGTTCACGCCGTCGAACGCGTAGAGGATGTTGACGCTGACGGCGCCGTCGCTGAGCGCGCCGACGGGCTTCGTCGACGGCCGCATGCGGAACCGCGGCGGCGGCGCCCCCGCCAGGGGCCGGTCCGGCCGACCGGCGACGGGCGACGGCGCGCGGCTCGACGCGAGCGACGCGTCGGGTCCCGCGGCGTCGACGCGCGGCGTCGGCGGCCGCGACGACGAGCTCGTCTCCGAGTCGGCGCGCGGCGGCGGCCCGCCCGGGTCGCTCGAACCGCCGCGCGGCGCGCGCGGCGCCGGCGGGCCCATGTCGGTCGCGACGGCCGCGCCGTCGAGCGACACCGCCGACGACGCGCGCGAGAGGCCGCCGCCGGCGGTCGACGCCTTGGGCGGCGCGCGGTCCGACGCGCGCGATCGCGCCGAGTCGGACGACGCGTCCCGCGCGCGCCGCGGCTTCGCGTCGCGGCCCTCGCGCGCGGTGGCCGCGGCCGCGGCGGCCGCGTCGGCGTCGTCCTCGCGGCGGCGGCGGCCCTCGCGGACGCGGTTCTCGACGTCCTTCATCGACGTCTCGCTCGACGGCATGTTGGCGATGAACGCGTCGTCGTCGGCCTCCTCGTCGTGCGGCGGCCGCGGCGACGCGGGCCGCGCGGGCGAGTCGAGCGCGGCCGACGAGGCGAGCGACTGCGCCGACTCGGACCGATGAGGCGGCGGCGGCGGCGCGGCGCCGTGCGAAGCGGGGCGCGGCGGCGGCGGCGGCGGCGCCGGCGCCGTCCTGTCGCCGTCCGGACCGCGGCCGGGGCTGCTGCGGTCCTCGGAGCCCGCCGAGTCCAAAGACGGCGCGCCCGACGCGCCCGCGCGCTCGGCGACGGGCGCGAGCGTCCTGGGCGGCGCGAGCAGCTTGACCTCGGTCTCGCCGAAGGCCGGGTCGGGCACCAGGAACGGGTGCGCGAGGAGTTCGGAGGCGGACGGCCGAGCCGCCGGGTCTCGCCGAACGCACAGCCGCACGAACGCCGCCGCGCGCTCGTCGGGCACCAAGGCGAGGGCGTCGGGCGGCACGTCGGCCTGGACCTTCTTGTAGATCTGCGTCGCGTTGCGGCATTCCGCGTAGGGGAGCTGCTTCGTGATCATCTCGAGCGCGCACATGCCGAACGCGTAGACGTCCACCTTTTCGTCGTAGGCCTCGTCGTACAACTCCGGCGCCATGAACTCGGGCGTGCCCAACACGCTACGTCCCTTGCTCGCCGCGTCGTCGGCGGCTCGAGCTGTGGACAAGCCCAGGTCGCCGACCCTCAAATCCCCGGAAGCGCCGTTGATGAAGATGTTGTCGCACTTGATGTCGCGGTGGATGATCTTGGGGTCCCTCGAGTGCAAGTACGCGAGAGCTTTCAGAATCTGCCGCATCCACCGCTTGATGATCTTCCACCTCACGACCTGCACCCGTTGAATGAAGCGCTTGAGCGAGCCCGAGGACAAGATCTCGGTGATAAAGCACACTTCCCCCCGATCGCGGTTCACCCAGGACCCGTGAAAATCGATGATATTCTCGTGATCCAGCCGGTCCAGCAGCCTCACTTCGTTGATCACGCGCGCCTTCTCGTGCGCCGGCATGTTCTTGAGGTTGACGACGTTCCAGGCGACCTCGATGCCCTCGACGCTATCGTACGCGCGCCAGACCTCCTTGTAGCTGCCCTTGCCGATTAACTCCTTGAAGCGCAGGTACCGCTCGCGCGGCGACTTCTCGACGACCTCGTCCGTCGGCGCGAGCGCCTCCCCGGGCGGCGCCTCCTTGGCTGCGGGCGCCTCGGGCGCCGCGTCGGCCGCCTCCGGCGCCGCCATATTCAGAGGGCTTCGGCCTATGGCGCGCCGCGGCCGCTCCCCGCTTGCTTGCTAGTGTCTTACGGGCCTAGCTTCCAATAGCGTGCGCGGGTTTAGGCCCGTCGTCAGCCTTGGTTCGGGCCAAATACAGACGTCGTCAGTGTCGCGGGGAATTCAAGTTCATTCAATGCCCATCATTCGCCCTCAGGGCTCCATGTAGTTGTCTTGTAGTCGGTAAAAAGTCGGAGACCGTCTACGGAGACCGGACATCGACGCTCGGAAACAACAGGTTACACAAGGAGGCTAGTCTACGTAATCGAGGAGCGCCTCGCCGGCGTGCGTGCCGCGGAGGCGTCGAAACGCGCGGAGGCACGTCTGACGCACGGTCTCGCGGCCGACGCCCAGGACCTGGGCGCAGTCGCGCGTGGACCGGACAATCCCGTCGTCGAGGCCGTACCGCAGGCGCACGACGCGGAGCTCGTCGTCGCCGAGCGCCGCGGCCAGCGCCGCGCCGAGGTCCGACCTGAGGTCCCCTCCCCCCAGCTCCGTTGCGTCGGCGAGCGTCGCGCCGAGGCTCACGTCGCCGATCGCGGGGGCGTCCAGTTCGGCGCCCGTCGACCGCGCGGCCGCTGCGAGCGCCGCGTCGACGGACGCGGCGGAGGAATTCACGGCGAGCGCGATGTCGTCGAGCGACGGCGCGACGCCGCCGGCGGCCTCGAGGCGCGTCGACGCGCGGCGCGCCCGCGCCGCGAGCGTAGCGACGCGTTCGGGCACGCGCGTCGAATATGCGGTCCGCCGCAGCCACGCGGCGCACGCGGCACGGACCCACGGCGTCGCGTAGGTCGAGAATCGCACGCCGCGGGTCCCGTCGAACCGCTCGGCCGCGCGCGCCAGGCCAAGATAGGCCTCCTGGGCGAGGTCGTCCGCGGTCGCATACGGCGGGTTGGCGTACGCGCGGGCCAAAGCGACCGCCAACCCACCGTTCGCGGCGACGAGCGCCGCGCGCGCGCGCCGGCCGTTGCGCTGCGCGCGCGCGAGGGCGCATTTGTGCTCTTTGACTCGCCCGGCCCACTCCTCCGCCGTCGGCGGTCGACCCAGTTCTGCCGCTAAGGCATCGCGTTTTACTTTTTGGCGCGACGCGCGCTGTGCTATGTCGGCCAGCTTTATCTCCTCGTCACGCGACAGCCGCTTGACCCTCGCCGCGGCTGCAGTCACGGGCCGGTTCAGCGCCCTCGCCGAGAATGCGAACGCCAGCGAGACGACTGCAAGAGCTCGCTGCATATTTGCGGCGGCAGTGTCAGAGAGGCTGAGGCGGCGCCTGTGTTCCTTGAGGCCCGGGGGCAGTCCCTAAGTCCCTAGAAAATGAAAAGTCCACGTGTGCTCGAGGAACCCTCGGTCGGCGCGTGACGCACTCTGACGGAAACTTAGAGTCGGAAGCAACGGATGGTGGGGGCTGCCGGGCACGGCCCCGGCCGCGCAATCATGATAGAGAGAGTAACCCTCGTGTCTAACCCTCGTGCTCTCACTCAGTCTAAAGTGGGAACCTATCAGCTATCATGGTAATAAATAAATAAATTAACTTGAAGGAAGACCTAAAAACATCCGGCATTGTGTCAATTTATGATCACTAACATATAACCATATACCCGGGGCCGTGCTATGAGCGCGATCGGCAATAGCAATTTTTGAACTGATTGACTCACTCACTCACTCATATAAATTCACATATTGATATCGCGGCGGCAAGCGCTGGCAGTGGGGGCTAATTATTGCAACTAACCCACTTGGCTCAGGCCCACTCAATTATCACATGATCCGAGTCACTGTATATAAAAATATAAAAATTGGAGTCAGTTTGGGCATATCGGACGGAACGGGACGGCAAAAGGGGATTTGGTATTCCCTTGGACGCTCCTCGAACGGATTTTCGCGAAGTCCCAAGAGAAAGCCCTGAAATGGTGTAAAAGTGGCCTCAACGAGATGACCATCATTGTCTTTGGATCGATTAAGGCTCGTGCAGCTCGTGCAACGTCGTCTCAGGCTCTGGCAACGAGTGGTCGGCGCCCTAGCTAATAAGCCGCGCCGCTCTGCGTTACCGACGCCGCCGGCAGCCGAACCTGGCGCAGTACGGGTCCTTTGCAGAGCGATCGAGGTAGGCGGCCTTTTTTGCCGGGGGCCAGCGGTCAAATTCTTTGTCGAAGAAGTGCCCCCAGATGGGCTGGCGTTTGCCAACGAGCGGCGTGGCGGTACGGTTGCAGAGGTCACCGAGGCCGTGCTGGTAGGCGAGGACCGAGAGGGCCGACTGGTCCTGCCTATGGTTCGCGCGGTCCGCGCCAGGCGGCGCGAGGCAGCCGAGGTCCATGGAGCAAGCGAACCACGGCCTAAAAACCTGCTCGTACGTCGGCGACGCGCGCGAAAAGCCCACGAAGGCGCCGTTGCACATGAGGGCGTCGCCGCGGTCGCGGACGAACGCCGATGCACCGAGGCGCGCCGCCATGCCGGGGTGCACCCAGCGCGCCAGCGACGGGCCCGACGACGTCGTCCAGAGCCCGCGCGCCGTGATGTTGGCAAAGACGGCGTCGAGCGCGGCGGCGTCGCCGACGCGGTTCCCGGCGTCGAGCCACAGCACGCTCTCGAACTCGTCGAGGAGGCGCGCCACGATCCAGGGCTTGAAGGCGTACTCGCCCGCGTAGCGCGGGCCGCCCTCGACCGCCATCCACGCCGGCAGCGCGTCCCAGGGCATGGTCCGGAACTCGCCGCCCCCCGCCTCGACCGCGCGCCGCGCGCCACCGGCCGTGGGCCCGAGACCCAGGTCGTAGACGACGAGGTGGACGCCGCTCCGCAGCGAGTGGAACTGCTTCGCGAACTCGGCGAGGTGCCACGCGTGGCTCTTGGACGCGCCAGTCGCGACGACGCGCGACCCGGGGGGCGGCGCGGGCGCGGCCGGAGTGGCCGCCGGGGCCGGGGCCGGGGCCGATCCCTGACGCGCGACCACGCGTGCCTCCTCCGTCAGCGCACAGCGGTACTTGCGCGATGGCATCCAGCCCCGGTCGCTCGCCGACGCGCAGCCGTCGGCGGGCGCTGCCGCGTAGTCAAACGTCGCGTAGTCGTCCACGCAGCCGTGGCCGAGGCGATCGTGGGTGCCCGTCGAGGCCCAGGGCACCGCGGCCGCGAGGCGCGCGGCCTCTGGGAAGTCTCCGACGCCGGCGAGCGAGGGAGCGAAAAACGCGCCGTCGCCGCGCGCAACGCCCGCGGCGAACGAGAAGGACCCGCCCGTCGACACGAGGGCCGCGGCACCGAGCATGGCGCCGAGCGCGACCGCCGAATCGCGCTCGCAGATCGTCGCCGCGCCACCGAGCCACCCTGCGATCACGTCGACGAAGTCGCCGCATCGCGCGGCCGCGAGCGGCGACGCGGGCGCGCCCGCCGCCGGCAGCTCGGGGCAGCTCAAGATGACGACCGAGTCCCAGTCGCTTCGTCGAGCCCCAAGCCATGCGCGCACACGGTCGAAGTACCGCCGCGGGAGTAGGAAGTACTCGTCGTGCCGCGAAAACGGCACGTCGCTGCACCGGAAGTGGACGACCGCGGTCCGCGCGTACGTGGCGTCGGCCGTCGCATTCTGCGATGCGAGGAAACGCTTCATAAACGGCGCCAGGAGCCGCCAGCCCGCCGCGTACTCGTCGATGCTGGGCCAGTTGCGCGGGTTCTGGCAGCCGATGCGTCCGAACTTGCACTGGTAGACGACCTCGTTCCCAAGGCCCCAGCACGCCGGGTAGCACGATCCCGTACCCCCGAGCCGGCGCCTCGGGTGCTCGAAGTGCCACCAGCCGAGCTCCGCCTTGTACGGCACGCGGCGGGGCGGTGCCGGCGCGGCGGCGGCTGGCGCCGGCGCCGGGACGGCGGCGCCCGCCCGCGCGGCCGCGGCCGCGGCGGCGATGCGCTCGCGCCAGGCGTCGAGCTGGACGAGGCCGCGGTCCGGCTCCGCGTACGGTGGGAGAGTGCCGCCGCGGCGCATCGCCTCCGCGCGCTCGGGGTGCGCCGAATCGAAAAAGACGGCGCTGCCCGCGAGCAGGCCCGGGCTGTAGAGGGCTTCCGGCGCGTTTACAACCGGCACGGCGCCGAGGCCAATCGCCTCGTACGTACGGTACGTGTCGCAGCGGTCGCCGCAGGGCGAGAGCACGAATGAAGCCGTCGCCAGCAGGTCGTAGAAGGCGTGCACCGGGAGCCGCGGGCCGTTGGGCAGGCCCGCTCGCATCCAACCGTTCATGCGATGCCGCGACGTGTACGTCAGCTGGAGACCGGGCCTCCGGGGCCCGTCCCCCGAGCGTACCAGCGCCTTTGCGAACCCGAGGACCGTCTCCGTGCGCACGCCGTAGGGGAACCCGCCGTAGCGGGCACGCCCGGAGTAGACAGGGTTCTGCGAGAACCAGAACGCGATCCTCCGGTCCTCAAGCAGTGCCTCGGTCCAATTCGACGCCTCGACCTGGGGCAGCTCCTCCGAGCCCGTGACGAGGACGATGGGCGCGCGGAGGTGGGGAACCACGCTCGCTGCGAAGGCTTCGACGTACCGCGCCTGCACGTAGACGGACGCGAAGGGAGCGACGGCCGCAGCCGCGGCGGCCATGAGCTCGAGGCGCGCGCCGACGGGCGGCGGCAATCCGTACCGCTCGACCTCATCGCCGACGTAGCGATCGCACAGGTAGTAGCCCGCGACGGGCGTCACGAAGTGGCGCAACGCGAACGGCCAGAATCTCTTGACGTCGTCGCCACTCGCGGACGCAGCTTCGGCCACGCCCGCCAGCAGGGTCGTCCGGTTGTACGCGCGGAATCTTTGTTGCTCTAGTGCTTCGGTCACGCCCATGCGCCGGGCCAACGCAAGAGGCAGCGCGACGCGCACGCATAACCTTTGAAATGTCCTTGACTTGCCGGGAGGGCTTGCGGTGCCCATTATCAGATCAGCCGGTGCACAAGCTCACAAGTTGTACAAGCTGGTGCTGTATAAGCTCGTATAGTACCGTACCTACGGTACCGTAGGTAGGTAGCAAGAGTATGTCGCAGCGTTATGTAAAGTAGCAGGGTGTTAGCTAACCAGCTGAAGGCTGGATAGACCTGACTACGAGAGTGTTTTATAGTGAACTGTTGTTACACCGTAGCGTCAAAGACACTCGCTGTATAGACTCGGAGAGAGTAGGGGGTGTCGGTTTTGACACTCCCCAGGTCATTCGACCTAGGGCGACCTCCTTTGGTTCGCCAATTTTAGGTCTCGATTCTTTTTGTGAGTTCGTATTACCGAAGTATTCGTCCGGATTGTTGACGAATAGTTCGTCCCAGGGTTTGTTTTCCCCCTGGTCTTCCGTAGAAGGGTTGCCGTCGGCTGGTACAGGAGGTTCCGCCATCTTATGTTAATTTCGAGATTGCGAGCCTTCTGAGTTTTGCGTTTAATATATTAATTTGTGGAGTTTGGTAATTGAATAACGTTTAGTGATGTTTTATAATGATTTAGGTTAGGTTTTAAAACGTCCGGAGGGTTGTTCAATGCCTCTGGGCAGTTCCGTTAGACACCACGCAGAGCGTGGGCCCATAACCTGCGATGCATAGGGAAATAGAGTGTGTGGCTCCGGACTTCCCCGGCAGCCGCGTAGTGTAGTCGTCTAACGAAATAGTTTCTCCCATGTTTGATGGGGTTTGTGACGGGGAATTGCGTCCGTCAATAAAAGGTGACTCAGGATGATAATAATTAGGAGTGAGAGGCGACTTCCCCCTACTAAGGGGATATCGGAGTACCCTAGGATGGGAAGTACCTACGGTACCTACGGTAGCCTAGGCGGGTAATACAAGTACGGGTTGTGCTTGGATACGTCTCAGTTGAACCTTGGGATCCTACTAGACGTGTATTTCCATTGCAATAGCCTGAGCTAGAAGTACTAGGAGGATTCCCCAAAATCAGCCAGGGCAGCTACAAAAACGGACGGCTTCCGTTTCGCGTCCCGGACGACGCGGACGAGCCGACTGTAGCCGCCCTTGCCCTGGATGAAGAGCGCCGCGTAGACAGCATGACAAAAATGGACGTCGGGGTGCGCCTCTGCCGCGAGCTTCGCGCCCGTCGCGGTGGCGAGCGCGCGGAGGTACGCGTAGGACTCGGCCTCGCAGACTTTGAAGTGGAAGCCAAAGATGATGCGCAAAGGCGCGGTCCCCGCCTGTATGGGAATCAACATTTTACGGTCCCTTCGTACATGCTTGACGACCTCCCCGCTCTCCCTCTCTGTCCAAAAGGTAGCCGAAAAAGTATTGGCCGAGAGCAGCTCTTTGAAGGATATGCTGTACCGGTTGATTTCCACACAAGTCCCAGCAACTGCGTGGACGATGCGCGCGACCTCCGCAACGGGTGGCGGCTGGCGCTGCACGTGGAGGTGCGGATTCTTGGGTCGTACACACAGCACATCGCCCACGCGAACGTGGAGAACCACTTCGGCCAGCGCGCTCTCGTTCGCCGGCACGAGCGTGGGACAGACCGCGTCGACGGCCGCCGCCAGGACGCTCGCGTTTGGGGCCGCGCCCGCGGGCACGTGGCGAACATAGAACTCTCCGATCGTGCCGGCGTGTCCCGTGGCGCGCGAACGCTGCCCACCGTCGTTGATACGCACGATGTCGCCGAGCGCGTAAAGACCCTCGCCCGCAAACTGGGTGTTGACCTTGAGCGCCGACTTGGGAGCGTACAAGTCAAATTCGCCGCGCGCGACGGCGCTGGCGGGGGCGGGGGTCGTCGGCGGTCGCGGCTGCGCTGCACCGACCGCATCGGCGGGAGCGCTGACCGGCGACGGCAAAACCGCTCGCGCGCGCGGCGTGACAGCGGGGCCACAGGTCACGGCAAAGGGAGTCGCGCGGACCGACGACGCAGATGCCGGCATGGCGCGTGCATGCGCATCGACGTCGTCAGACGCGTCGATTGCCGCGCGGACCGCGGCGGCGACCTCCGCCGTGACCTGAATAACTTGCGGGTTCCAGTTGTATTTCCAACTTTTGTGCGAATCGTCCACGCGGCCACCCGGGAGGTAGAATTTTGCGGGCCCCGCGCCGCGCTGCATGCAGCGATTGCCGCCGACGCAGGCCGAGACGACGTGGAAGCGGACGCCCGTGCGCTGGTGAAGCACGGCACCGAAAGGGGTTCCGGCGATGCCGCACGCCACACCGAGAGGCGCGTCGAAGAGATCCAGGAATGTCACGTTTCCGGCGACGGGCGCGCGCGCGAAGCGCTTGTCGCAGCCGAGCACGCACATCTCGGCGCACGACGGCCGGACTTCGACGTAGAGCGAGCCGGGTCGCATCCAGAGCGAATTGACATTGTTGTTTCCATGTGGGGCGACGAAGACGTCGGCCTCGTCGAAGAGGCGGATCTGCTCCGCGAGCGGCAAAACAAGGGTATCGACGACCCGCGTGACGCGCATCTCGGTCAGCACCTCCGGCGCGTAAATGAGCTTGCGCGCCCCCGCGTCGTTACGCGTGAAGAGCGTGACCCGCGTCGACGCGTTGCTATCGCCCGCTCGCTCCGCGCGCGACGCGATACCATAATGGCGCTTGGTTCGCTCGCGGAGCTCGCGAAGCGCGTCGCCCGTCGATGGGCGAATGGGAAAGCCGCCGATTGCCGTCAACGGCGCTGCGACAAAGAGCGCGTCGACGCACAACGGCACACTTTTCATCGCCGACTGCGCCGCGGGGACGGAGTCGTCGCAGCTGCCCCATGCGGCTCCGACATCGCCGCACTTTGTCAAAGCCAGGACGTCGACGCCGTCGAACGCGGCCGCCGCAACGCCGCGACTCCAGTCGCGCGTCGGGTCCTGGAGTGCAGCCTTGATAGCTCCAACATTGTTCTTACCGCCGCGTCCCCAGGCGAACACCTTCTCGACGACGACATCGAGCCCCGTGCCGCCGCTGCGTTCGAGCAGGAGGCGCTGTTCGAACGCCGACGTGAGCTGCGAGTGGATGTTGTGGGAAGCGCTGTCGCCGTAAATGACAAACGCGCCGGCGCGTTCATGTCGCGCGCCGCGCGGCGGATATGGCGCACCGACGCGCTCGACGACACGCACGTCTGCGTAGAGTCGCGCGAGCTCCGTCGCGTTCGCACCGCGGGCGCACGCGTCGTGAATCTGGGCGACCTCGCAGCGCGTGAGCGACGCGCAGAGCTGGTTCACGCTCTTATCGCTGCCGTCGTAGAGGGCGAGGCGAACGGCGCCTCGGTCCGCCTCGAAGCAAACCCGGTCGAGGCGGACGGTATTCGGCGCGAGGGGGGGCGTCTCCGCGCGGGTGGCGACGAGGCCGAGGCTGGCCAGCAAGCGACGCATGGTCCACCGCCAGAGTCACGGAGCGATCCGCGACGGAGCATGGGCAGCCTTCACGCCAACTTTTTTGCCAACTTAGAGGTCCCGTAGGTACCGTAGGTACCGTAGGTACCAGCAAGTACCGTATTCACTAGGCCTATTCTATCCGGGTATCTAACCAAGATAAATGAGACTAGGATAGTGAAGCTAAGATAAAATTTGGGAGATTTATAAGTGGAAAAGAGGCCGTTGCCACAACGGGCGCCAACCCCAGGGACCCCGGACCACGCGCCCCCGCGCCAAAACAAACCATACCATCAGTATAAGAATAGTACCTGGTCGTAATTGTCTCGGAGGTTGAGAAGGTGAATTAGGAGCAGGTGCAGGTGCTGTTGGATCAACTGTAGCTGGATGTTCAATATCCGAGTCTTAAGGAAATTATGTACTATTGGGGACACAACGACCCCCCCCTTACCATCTTGGCCACATTTACGGTTCCCGCCCCGATTTCGGTTGCAGTGAGGCTCCGCAGGGTTTGGTATCGTAGCGCAGCTCCAATTGTGGCTTCTAAAGGGTTGCACTTGTCCTCAGTCCCGAAAGTCGTCGATGTATTTATGTCGCCGCGTACGCCGAGAACCTCGAATCGGTCTCTCGCGACGCTAAGACGGCCACTACGATACGCCAAGATGAACGTAGCTTCGCCCGGTCGTACCAGGATAGCAGCCGCGCGGAGGGCAGCTTCTGCGCACGCCCGGCGAGAGTTTGTGCGTACGAAGGTGGGGGATTCGACTGTAGCTGGATCTTGGCGCTACGTGCGTCTTTTTTTATGCTGAAAAGCAGAGTATCCCGCATTTCCGGGCGCTCGGGCAGCCCAAGTGATGCACCTGCTTCAAGTATACGATACGGCTCAATTGCGCGGCTATCCTCGCATCGTGCGGGTGCCCGAGTGTATATTCGGCCTTTTCTAGGTAGGCCAGGATGGTAGGGGGGGGGTCGAAGTGGAGACAATTATAAGATGCAAACCTCACATACCCTGTGCTCCCGTCCTAAACGGTACGGTGCTTTGCACCCCTTGAGTAACAAGTTGTTGTGGAAGGTCGTTATTTTCATTGAACAAGAAGTTCCGGGGAAAACCCCACCTTTAGGGGAATTACCATAAGCCCCTTTGGCAGTGCCTGAGCCAAATTGGTTAGACAATTTAACTCGCCAACAAATCATACAGATCCGCGACAGGTCGAACAGGTCGTATAAACTTGGGGACTAATCCCAGCTCAGGAATATAAGATTCCAGCTCCATAACTGCCAAAGGCTGCTGGGGTTAATACCCGGAGCATCATAGACGTAAATACAAGGATACGTGGCCATATCATAGCAGGTGCCACGGTACCGGTATCTTCCCACCACCGCCTTCGACTTTGTCCTATTGGCATTATCTTTTTGTACGTGTTTATCCCCAACACTCGCGTCACGTACGGGGGCAGTCTCGCTCGAGGTTGTTGGACAGTTGTAAAACCGAACAATGGCGGGGCGCAACTATTCGTCCCACAAGTTTAGCCAGGTGTTGCGCAAGGACGGCACGCTCGACGTCGACAAACTCGCGCGCGAGTGCAGCCGCGACGTCTTCGAAGATAAGCGGCACCGGCGCGTCGACGACATGAAAAAGAAGGCCATTGGCACGTCCCGCGACTACGACGAGTTCCGCAACTTTGTGCACTGCGCCGAGGACATGCTCGAGCCCGTGTCGTCGCGCGAGATGGAGGAGCTCAAGCGGGGCAGGACGGGCTGGGCGCACACGGCCGCGGCGCGCGCGACTCGGCGAGACCGGACGGCGGGCGCCGCGGGTGCGCCGTTCGAGCCGCGGCGCCGCGCGGTCCTGGAGGACGCGCCCGACGCGACGACGCGACCACCACCCGCGACGCCGCTCGAGCTCGACCGCGACTGGCGCCGCTGCCGCGTTCGGCCCGGCCCGAAGCGGACGGCTGTTGCCGCGCTGGCCGAGACGCGCCGCCGTCGCGAAAAATACCTCGCGAGACACGGACCGACCGTCCTCGCGCCGCTCCTCGCATCGGAACTCGACGCGACGCTCGTCGCCGAGGTCCTCGACACCGTCTGCCGCCCCTGGGTCGAGGCCGTGCCCGCTGCCGCGCCGCCGCCGCCGCCGCCCACGGGCGAGGGCGCCGCGGCGGCGCCGCCGCCGCTCGAGGATGCGTCGCCGGCGCGGCGCGCGCACGACGCGCTGCGTTGGCTCGAAGCCGTCGCCCGCGCGCCCCGTTTCTCGCTCAACCTGCTCATGTTCGAGAAGGAGCTCACGGACACGATCGGGAGAGCGATCGAGACCGCCGGCGCGGCGGCCGAGGGGCCCGGGGCGGATGTCCTCGTCGCTGCCGTGCAAGCGTCCTACGGCGCCCACACGTGACCACCACCGGCACTTGCGACGGGAATCAATCGTGACGTGGTGCATATATTTTGTTATTCGCAATTGGCTTTTGCCCTTATGCTTCTAGCCTGAGGGAGAAGTTTCTTCTAGTAACATTCCTCTAGCTCTCTTTTGTCGTTAGCCTCAGTAATAGCCTGAGAAGAAACCCTGGTGAAGTGAACTTACTTTAGGTTCACCCCGGTGTTTTTACGGCGCCTACTTAGCGCCGGGCTTGATCCACTTGGATAAGTAAGAAGATACGGGATATAGGGAAATATCAGCCTCGGGCACGTGCCGGCTGATATAGCGTGCTGATAGGCGAGAGCCTGAGTAATGTAGCCATAGATCCGGCGATAGGGGGCTATGGCGTTGCGGATATATATCTAGGGGAGTTTTCACCTCACTCCCCCCTTCCTGGAACTCAAGCCGGGTCTTCAGCTAATTTACCGTTGAAATCAACATCACCGCATATCCATCAGTAACCAATTCTTTAACGATTTTCACTGGAATCTCGTTCTTATTCGTCAAACTGAACGGGTAGAATCGCAATTCGGACCTGTGGACCCTCATGGTCATTTCTTCTAAGGTTTTTGTCTTTTTCCACTTATAGATCTCAAGATCGTCTCTGCTGTCAATGTACAAGGGTAGGCATCTTTGGCGGCTCTTGTAAATCTCCAGTCAGGTTCAAGATCAGATTGTTGGGTTCGGTGGGTTCTTGTCCACCGTCCTCTACATCATACATTCGGGAAAGACAGTCTGGTACTTGCATATCTTTCCCGGGTCGGTGTACTATTATCCGGCCCTTGGTGTCAACTAGGTTGCCAGTGCAAAGGGCAGTCGCGCAGGTTACCGTAGTCACCGTGACGGTTACGCCGGCCGGTGAAATAATTATTTATTTATTTATTTATTTAATTACCTCGAAAATGAAGGGGACTGCACGGACGAGGGGAGGGGCCGGGGTGGGGCCCATCGAGTACACTCCTCCCCCTCCTATGCCACCCTCCGGGCTGCCTTGGGCATCGAAACTGACCCCTGGTAGGGGGGTTTATAAGCAACATTCTATTCAACTTGAAGTTTTTTATGTATGGAGAGGTATTAATTATCTTAGGTTTTCCTATTCCTATGTTTGATTGCCGCACAGCCCCCCATATCCCATATCATGAACCTTTTACTTATCCAAGTTGGATCAAGCCCGGCGTTAGGTAGTCGCGGTCGCCGTAAAACACCAGCCTGAGAGTGAACCTGAAGCAAGCCTGAGTTCCTAGTCAACTTGCCAGTGAAGTTCACTGGCACTTTTGCAATCATGCATTGACATTAATTCATTAACTTACATACTTACTCAATAGCAGCAGGGCGTCCATGTACCCCGGTAGGGTAAACGGTACTCTGCATATCTCACGAAGACCACGACGCTCCTTGCTATAAATCTAGTCCTGGACGGCGTCCCACGGCGCGACGCCGCAGGTCGAGTCGAAGCCCGCCTCGCCCGCGGGCGGCAAACGTCCGCCGGGTCGCCGCTTTTGATACTGGCGACCGCCCCCGGATCCTCCGACGAACTCAGCCTCCCAGTCGCCCTCGAAGCGCGAGACCGGGTCGGCGAACCCCGAGGCCAGCACGTCGGCCTGGATCGCAAAGTCGAGGACCATCTCGTCGCAGCCGGGCGGCGGCTCGACGCGCGTGTCGCAGGCGCGCACGGGCCTCCGGCCGCGGCGGCCGCCCTGCTCGAGCATGAAATCGTACATCGGGTGCTGGGGATCGAGCCAGTCCGGGTCCTCGAGCTCCAGCAGGCAGCAGTCGGCCATCGTGTCCTGGTGGTACGGCGCCTTGAGTTTGCCGCGCGGGAACGCGAGACCCGCGTTCACGGCTACCTGGAGGAGCGGGTACGTGCGTCCCGTGACGATGACGACCTCGCCGTCGCCCCTCCATTTGGCGTAGACATCGGCGGACGGCGGCGCGTTCGCGTCGACGGCGGACGCCGGGACGTTTACAAACCTGAGGACGCACTGGCTCGGCTTGATCGGCGTTCCCGCGTCGAGGTACGGTCTCCATCTGCTCTGTGGCGCGGCGGCGCGACTGCGCGCACGCAGCGCTACAAGCGTCACTACTGCGAGCCTCATGCTCTCTGAGCTCACCCTCGGGCTCCAGGGAGAGCTACCGAGTACAGTTACCTACGGTACCTGGGCCAAAATTCTTGCTCCTTTGTCCTGCGCTCTCACAATCGGAGCGCTATGGGACACGAGCAAGTATAAGAAAGTATCTTGCAGCGAGCCACTAGGTGTGACGATATTGCTGCTAAGCAGGGCGACAGACCACGTGCGCGGCAGCCATATGGATCAGTGTAGCAGGCGAGTGCTGTGGTCCGCGGGCAGCCTCCCTTGCTGTGCGCGGGCAGCCCTTGCGTATACGAGGATGTTGTCTAAACCCAGCCGGGCGCCGCGCCGGCGGAATTTTGAGTGGCGAGTTTTTACGCCGCCGAAAAAGATCCGTCTATCGTCGGATTGCAGCGGTCGTCGACGCAAGGTAGGGCTGGGTAGAGACCGAGCGCGGCCCGGGCAGCCCGAAGGCCGACGTTGAACCAGCTTCCTCGCCTGGGCGCCTGCCCAAGCTCGGTCTGTCACAGGTTGCCCGGCAGCCCCGATCCGCGGCCCGCAGCCGAGCGACACCAAGCGCCCGCCAACAGGCCGCCCCGGGCCATCTCGCCTCGACGCAGCGGCACGCAAGGCTCCTGCGCGAGCTCGGCAGCCAGGACCATGGTCGGCCCGCCGCGCGGAACGAACGCGCCAGATTACGGCAGCGTCGGGGCGGCGACCCCCACCGACGAGGAGCTTTTGCCGCTGCCCGCGAAGCTGCGGCGACGAACGACGCGCGCGGCGGCCGCGGCCGCGGCCTGCCTCGCCGTCGCGGGCACGGTCGCGATCGCGCGGCAGACGCGCCCCACCAAAAACGACGCGTCGCTCTTTGCGAGGCCCGGCCCGCGCGGCAAGACGGAACGCGCGCCGCCCGACGGCGTCGTCAAGCACACGTACGCGACGAGCGACGTCGACGCCGCCATCAAGGCGTTCGGGTCTCTGCCCGTCGCGCTGGCGCCCTGGGGCGGCGACGCCGGATGCTCCGTCGCGGTGCCCGGGGACGTCCTGAAAAAACTCGGCGGGGCGCCCGTCGACTGCGTCGCGTACGCGCTCGCTGCGCACAGTTTTCCGGAGACGTACGAGCTGGCGCCGTGCGAGTGCGAGTGCGGGGCCGTTGGCAGGGTCCAACTGCTGACGGCAGACGACCTGGCCGGCGTCGGCTCTTTCGCCGAGGGCTTCGGCCTGCACCACGTCGACGCGAGGGATAGGAGCGCGGGCGATGGCAAGAGTGTCGCCGAGGTCGAGGCCGCCTTCCGCAAGGCCTATGGCGGTTTTCAGAAGTGGGACCCGCTCATGGACATGAACGTGAAGCTGTACTCGAGCGACCTGAGGGAATACATGAGCACCTACTTCAAGAACGAACAGCCCTACTTCCTGTGGCTCTGGACCGACGCGTTCGGTCGAAGTTTCGCTTCGGTCGCCTTCGCGCAGGGCACCACGGCCGGCGCGGTCGTCGAGGTCTTCTCGGACGCGTTCGACGAGGCGGCACTCAGAGCGGGCGCCGCCGGCGTCGCGGCCGCGGCATATCCGCGCTACGCCTTTCGCGACGGAACCACGGCGCCCGCTGCCCACTTTGGTGCCTCGTCGGGCGGTGTGCTCTACGCGGCGGCGGTGTCGCACTTTGTGTCCGACCTGGCCGCCGCGTCGTCGTTTTACCAAGACGTGCTGGTTGCAGAGGAGATCGCCTCGTACAGGGGCCCTAAATCGCGCATGGCGGCCTTTGGCTTCGGCCCGCACGGCGTCGACGACACGGTCCAGGTGCTGCTCGTGGAGAGCCACGCGGAGGGCGGACCCTTCTCCGTCCGCGACTTCGAGACGACGCTCAACGAGGCCCACGCGGCGACGCTGCGCAGCGCCTACGACGGCGAGAACCAGTGGTTGGATTTCCACTACGCTATCTCGGGCACGCGCCTCGCCATGGCCGAGCTCCTCGACCGCGCGACGAAGCGCGGCGCGACCGTGCACTTTGCGGCCGAGGCCATCGCCGCGACCAACGGAAACGGCGACGACGAGGCAAACCTCTACGTCGTCACGCCCAACGGCGTCTCCGTCCAGATCGTCGCGCCCGACGGCACCGGCTGGGTCCCCGACGGTATCGTCCAGAACGTCGCCGGCGACCTCTGCGCGGCCGGCTAGGCGCGGATGGACGCTTCCTGTCTTCCGCCCCGGTTTTTAACTCGCTAGAAAATCTCTGCCACTGCCAGTGGATCGCGGCCCCGACTCGGACTCGGATGTGGAAAAGGGGGGGACGCCAGGTACTACTGAACGAGTCTTAATCGATCCGAAATTACCGGCTTTTTCGCATGAAGCCTCCGAGAGGGGTCGGTAGCCCCGCCCGAGGTCGGGGGTCCGTACGGAGGTCGATGACGATGAGAGGGAGAGCTCCAAAGTCATCAAAAACCCGTTTAGTAGATTTAGCGACGCGTCGGCTGCAGCTGCATGCGTTCAGCGAGGTGGCTACAACGGTCTTCAAGGGTGCTGCAGCAAAGGTGATGACTTAGTGGCGGCTCTGGACGCCGTTCGGGCCGAAGAAGGCCGCTTAGGAGCGAGCCCCATGGGCCTAGCATGTAACCTACAGTACCAGCGGCGGTTTTTGTAGTCTAAATAAACTAGGAGATCATTTGATTGACCTGGACTTTGGCCAACGGGATTGTTTAATCCGCTCGTAACTCGGCACGCGGGCATCCTGGGCACTTGCCTAGACACCAAACCCCTGATGCCTTTCGTAATTATGGGACTTGCAGGGACCCGCAGCTGCACCTGCAGCTGCATGTGTTTTTTTGACCCGAAATTGTTTTTTTGCTCCAGTTTCACTTGGCAACTTGGACCACTGGGCTCCGGTTATATTCGCTATGGAGCAATCCGGGTCTGGCTTCCCCCCCCATATAGAACACCTAGGTGACGGGTTTTGCTAAATTTACCCCCCCTCCCTCTAGTTGAACTTTACGTTGAACTTCAATCTGACGAAGCAGAAATATCCCAGGCCTATTCATAAAATAATTTGATTTCTACACTGAATCAAACCCGCACGTGGATATTTCCTGCAGCTGAGGACAGAGCCAAGAAGAAGGGGGTGTGGTGACACCGAGCGCAGTTCGCTACGGCACCGGCTTCCTTCGCCTCATGGCCTCCAGAAGGTATTCGGTCGGCTCGGTGACGAGGCGAAGAAGGCGCGTGACATTGGGGCCCAGGCTTGCAAAGAGCCCGCGGGTGTTCCCTGTGTTTTTGTTCTTGGGCAACTCGACCGCGACGAGCCGCCCCGCGTCGACGCCGAGGAACGTCGCGATGAGGCCCGCGGACTCGAGGATGTCGCGGGTGTCGAGCCACAGGATCTGGTTGGGCGGGAAGCGCGCCAGCCACAGGTGGAGCCCATCGGCGTAGAGGATATCCCGCAGCGGGGAGTGCAAGAGCCCACTGGCGTCGAGGTCGTACGTCCACACGCAGCCCGGGTCCCAGGCCAGATGATGTTCTAGGGCCCAGGCCGACGCCGCGTGGCAGTCGAGGAAGAGCTCGACGTCGCTGAGTAGTGCGCGGCCGAAGATCGAGACGTTCATATATTTATCTGATCCGGGGTGATACGAGAAATAGTAGTGCGACTCCAGGAGGTCGAGGGGGTCGCGGACCGTGGCTATTAATTTGGTGCGCGGCTGTGCAAAGGACAGGAAGAGAGGCGCGTGTATATGCCACGTCAGAGGCACGGTCGCATCGATGGTCAAAGGAGACGAGTGTGAAGCCGGGACTGACCGCAGGTAGCAGTCCATGTTCGGGAAGCGACAGGGCATTCCGCGCGCGGGTTCCCAGAACCTTGGCTCCTTGCCCCTCTGATGCTCAGGGAAGAGCGCAAAGAGGGTCGAGGTCCCCGACTTAGCAAGGCCAATGCCGATGGCCGAAGGGAAGCAGCCGGCGCCCGCGTAACAGGGCGCGGCGTAGCCTGGGAGCGTATCGCTGCTATTGTACCATTTCCCTTTCGCGTAGAAGCTGCCGGGGCCCGCCGCCTTCGTAGGCCAGGCGCCCGCGAAGAGGCCGCCCCGAGCCGGCTGTGACACCGGGCATGCGCCGGCGCCGTCGAAGCAGAAGGGCGCGGCCCGGTCCCAGGCGCCGCACGCCGGATGCGTTGCGTGGGGCCGGAAGACTGGGATGCAGGTCTCCCAGTCGCTGCGCGACGTACCGTCGACGAGCTCGCGGCCCAGCGCCGCTGGCAGCTCCGCCCAGCGGAGGCAGCGCACGAGGGGGCGCGCCTCCGTTCGAAACTCCTCGACGGCGAGACTCGCGAGCTGCTGGGCCCGCTGCAGCAGGTCACCAGCGACGCAGCCGACGAGAAACGGGATCCACCGCATGAGTTGCGGCTCGGCAGCACGGTTTTCATCCGAGCATCGCACAAATTTGGTACGTTGGTACGCGGAGGCGGCGAGGAAGGCCCAACCCGCAGCATGACGAGGTTTGTAGAAGCTCCCCAGGAGGTGGTTTTGGGGGTAGTGGTAGTGGGGTAGCCCCCTCTAGTAGGGGGCGTAGTAGGGGGGTCGAGCCATAGCAGAGACAAGCCGCAGGTCGACTTGCGCGACTGCCAACTGTTCCTGTCCGTAGATTAGTCCTCTCGTCGCGCCCCTGACCGCGGCACTCGTCGAGTCGAAATGCTAGTGGCGCAAAACTCACTAGGGCCTGTGTGACCCGTACCGTTAACGGTACGGGTCACAGGATGTACTGGGCACTGGCAGCGTCGGAAAGCCCCCAAACCGCGTATAGTAGCCCCCGGGCTCAGGGCCCTCGAGTCGCCGGAGGACTGAGGACGCAGAGGCTCACTTCGCACAGCTTCGAATCTAACTTTTTAGCACGATGGTTGATTGCGCATCATTAAGCCCCTCGCGGGCGGCGCCCGTGGCCCGCGCTTTCCGAGGCGACCGGGGGGCTCGCCTAGGTGGCCGCCTCCTCGGGCTCCGCGAGCTCGTGCCAGTCGCCGGCGACGCTCTCCTTCCAGAGGCTCACGGCGTCGTCGCCCGAGCTCACGGCCAGCACGCAACCGGCGACGGACCACGCGACGCGCCAGACAGGGGCGTCGCAGGTCGTCACGACGCGACTCGCCCAGGGCCCGTTCAGATCGTTGCGCGTCCAGACGAGGACCGACTTGTCGTCCGAGCACGAGATCAGGCACGGCTTCGGCTCGCCGTAGAACGGCGAGAATGCCACGTCCCGCACCCAGCCGGTGTGCGCCTTGCCGCCGTTCGCGACGGGCTCCAGGTCCCACGCGTCCGCGTTCGGGTCCTCGCGGCGCCAGACCTTGACGAGCGCGTCGCACCCGCCGGTCGCGAGGCGCGGGACGAGCGCGCCCTCGGCCGTCGCGGACCCCGTCGCTTCGACGGGGCACCAGCTGCAGGACGTGAGGCCGAGGGGGGAGGCCAGGAAGGACGACGCGGCCCACTCGCCGCTCGTCGCGTCGTGCGCGAGGATCGTCGCCCGGCCGTCGCTGGCGGCGCAAGCCAGCTGGAGCACCCCGGCCCCCTCCGGCGCCCAGCACACGGCGTTCACCGACGCCCCCTCGCCGCCCGACCACGCGTGCACGGCCGTCCAGCGGCCCGGGGCGTCCTCCTTGTGGACGAGGACCTGGCCGTCGTAGCCGCAGCTCGCCACGACCTGGCCGTACCGGGGGTGCGCCCAGCAGACCTGCCAGACGGGGCCCCCGTGGCCCGTTATCGTCGCCTCGTGCGCCGTCGCCTCGCCGTCGGCCGCGAAAATTTTCACGGTCCCGTCCGACGAGCACGTCGCCAGGCGCCGCGCGTAGTAGTCCCAGGCCACGTCGTGGACGTGGTCCTCGTGCTGCGTGTCGAGGAGCTGCGGCGCGGCGGCCTCCGGCCGCGTCGGCGCAGCGGCGGCAGCCATTGCAGGGTCACCTCGAGCCTCAAAGAGCCTCGCGAGCTCGCGATACACCCGAGAGCAAAACCCGCGCGTCTTGAAGCCTCGGAAACGGGTTTTTCCTTGAATTGTGCGGGTTGCGTAAGCGTCCAGCAGCAGCTGAATTTATCTTAGCTTTGTATCTTTGCGGTGCATTCAGCTATCGCGATGAGCGCCCTCGACCTCTCGCTGGAGGACATCATCAAGCGGCGGGCGAAGCCGGCGCAGAAGCCGGCCAAGGCCAAGCCGCGGCGAGCGGCGGCCAGGGGCGGAAAGAAGACCGTGGTCCGCAAGAAAACCGCGGGCAAGCGGCCCCGCGACGCGCGCGGCTCGATCTTCGACCGCCTCGGAAACGCGGACGGCGCGAAGACGGTCGAGGTGCGAAACGTGCCGTACGACGTCCTCGAGTCCGAGCTCCGCCGGCTTTTCGAGGCCTGCGGAACAATTAAAGCATGTCGGATGGCGCTCGACGCGTCCGGACGGTCCCTCGGCCGCGCGACGATAACCTTTGCCAATCCGCGCGAGGCCCAGGCCGCGAGGACGCGCTACGACGGCGAGACGCTCGACGGTCGGGCGCTCGAGGTCCGCCTGGCGACGGCGCGGCCGGGCACTCGCGGCGGCGGCGCGGCGCCGACAGGCAACGTCCGCGAGGGCCTCTTCGGCACGGCGCTCGCCGGTCTCGGCCGCGGCCGGGGGCGCGGCGGCCGCGATCGCAAGAAGGGCGGACGCGGGGGTCGCCGCGGCCGCGGCCGCGCGCACATGGACATGGAGGCCTCGTAGATACAGCCCGTTTGTCCGCCGGTCGCCAGATACCCCTGTAAGTTTCCGAGTCGTTTCGGCTATAATTGGCAAATTCCCGGGAAATTTTCATGGGAAAACTACCCGTGGAATTACCGAAAGTTGGGGAGGTCTCACGGGGAGCCGGCCCGGGGCCGGGCAGGTGGCTCTGAGGCGAGCGCGTGGACGCTGGTGGACAGTGGGACTATTCAAGGACTCGGAAAACGGAAAGCCAATTCTCATTACTCTCGTCTCAGAAGCATCCGAGACTTGAGCAAGTGGGGGCCCGGGACTCGGAGTGCGAGAAATAATGATAGTCACGGTCACGGTATACCCCTAGTATCCCCTTCTCACTAGTCCCTCTTCCCTTCTGAACACTAAAGGACGCGTATGAGCAACACCCCCCCTCCGTGATTAGTACCACGGGGTCGTCTGGCACTCAGGTAACCAGGCCGGAGCACTGCCGGCGCCGCCGGCGCGCTCCTTGGCAAAATCACGTCGTAGTAATTTTAGCACAAGTACCCAAGCTAAATACGCGAGGCCGGAGACGGGGGACGCCAGTATACGTCTCTTGCATATTGCTCTAGTGTCAAACGCGCACAAACTCAGGTTTGTTTTTGCCCCCTATTCAGTCCTATCCAGGTACAGCCTGGGCTGCGTACGCGCAGTCGCTCCGCACAGAGGGCGTCGTCATTTTAGGGAACCAGTGTGCGCGCAGCGCACCGATCAAGTGCCGCAGTCGCTGCCGCTAGGCTCGCCAGGGAGGACCGCGGACGCGCATCATGCCGCGGGCGCTCGCGGGGTTGCTGCTCGCCGGCGCGGCGGCGTCAACCTTGGGGGCGGTCGTCGACCTCCACGACGAGAACTTCGAGCACGAGACGCAGTGCACGACCGGCGCGACGACGGGCGACTGGTTCGTGCGCTTCTGCCCCGGCGACCGGTGCGACGACAAGTGGGTCGGCAAACTCAAGACCCTCGACAGGAACCTGACGGCGCACGACTCGAACTGGATCAACGTCGCCATGGTCGAGTGCGAGAAGAACCCCGAACTCAAAAAGCGGTTCGCCGTCGCCGCCGCCAGAAACCTCCTCTTCGTTCGGGGGCGGATGTACGACTTCACCTCGAACGAAACCAACACCACGAGCGACTTCCTGCGAAACTTCACGCGGCGGCCGCGCAACGAGACGCTCGAGAACGGCGGGCGCGACGTCGGCCTCTACATTCCGCGCGGCCCGACGTGGTACTCGCCGCTCACCGACGCGCTCGACGAGTTCTTCCTCGTCGTCGACTACCGCATGCTGTCCACGGGGCTCACCGCCTTCGCCGTCCTCCTTGTCGTCGTCGGCGCGCTCATCCCGCAGGAGCACAACCTCGCGGACGACGACGCTGACAAGAAGAAGGAGGACTAATAATAGCGCATTTTAGTCGCAAGGCTGCCCCTCTTCTCCACTCCCCTCCCCAAGGCTCCGGTACAGACCTCAGGCTCCGGAAGGCCCCGACTCCGACTCCGACTCGATCCGACACGAAGTAGCCGGTGACGGTACGTGTGACGGCTGGTCTCGGCTATAATGAGTTCTGCCAGTGAATTCGGAAGCGGTTTATTCCACGCTGTGGAGGCGTATCTGCGAATCGCACCTGCCATTGGGAGAAAACCCGTTTATTTATACATATAACATACATACATATAAATATATGCAGGCCTAGGCGAAATGGCTTTTGAAAACAAACCTCTCCGGCTGACCCCCCGAATAGTGAAGTTCAAACCTTAATCTCCCCTCTGGGGGGTCGGTCAAGTGCCACATCCCTATTTCTCCTGCAGGTCAGGATCATGATGCCCTAAACTTGAACAGTCACGGCGGTGTCATCATCTATAGTATATTAGTGTGCTTGCGGGGCGGTGGCTGGCGGGCTACGTGCTTCTGAATGCTCCCGTCTCCGCTGGCCTCAGGGCTTGGCCTCGAGCGCGGCGACGCGCGCCGCGAGCGCGTCGTGCGCCGCCTTGAGGGAGGCGACGTCCGCGGGCGGCGCCGGCGGCGAGACCGCGCGGATCTTGGCGGCGTTGGCCTCGCCTTGCACGCCGGTCGAGCCGAAGCCGCCAGCGCCGCGCGCGGTCTCCGGAAGCGCCGAAACCTCCTCGAGCTGGGCGTCGAGGTGGACGCGCTCGAGAATCAGCTGCGCGACGCGGTCGCCGGCGGCGACGGCGAAGTCCTCCTCGCCGTGGTTGAACAGCACGACGCCGACGGCGCCGCGGTAGTCCGCGTCGACGACGCCCGCGCCGACGTCGATGAACTTCTTGACCGCGAGGCCGGACCGCGGCGCGATGCGTGCGTAGCAGTCCTCCGGCGTCGCGATGCTGAGGTCCGTCGCCACGATCGCGCGGCCCTTGGCGGGCACGACGCAGGCCTTGGCCGCGGCGAGGTCCCAGCCGGCGGCGAGCGCGCTCCCGCGCTTCGGCAGCACCGCGGCCTCGCTGAGGCGCTGCACGTAGAGCGTGGGCTTCGACATTGCGGTCGCCGCGGAGACAAGCAGGAAGTTCCGCGTGATTGCGCTTGCGGTCGCCGGTGCCGCGGAGAGGTAGGAGGTCCTTTTGTGCTGAGCGCGCCTCGTCACTTGAAATGGTATGAATCGTACCGGTATGAATACCTAAAGTTTACTACCGTAGGTACCTACGGTACCTACGGTACCGCAGTAGGCTAAAGCGAGTTGAGTTATACCTAACGTCCTTTTTGGGAGAAAACAGAGGCTTGAATATTGAAGATATATATCTAGGGTAGTCACTGTTTTCACCTCACTGGTGACCGCCAGAGCACTCGCACATGGCACGGCGGAATTGACGACCTGGCCAAAAAAAAAGGCCGGCACGACGCCACTCAGGCTACCCGCAAACAAAGACTACATACTACTACTACTCTTTGCTAGTCGCCTTTGCCGCAGATGGCGCCGGCGCGCTCCTCCTCGGAAGCGTCCGACGCGAGGGACACGAGGCCGTGGAAGCCCATGAGCACCGTCGACAAAGACACGACCGCGCCAATGGAAAATGCGACGTAGGACTGGCGACCCGTCTTTTTCACCAGGCGGGTCATGAGTAACTGGCCGACGGCCGTCGCGCCGACGCCGACCCAGAACAGCCTCTTGGCGTAGTCGAGCTGCACGAGCCCGAACGTCAGGAACGTCGTCGCCGCCGTCGTCGACGTGAGCAGGATCATGCACGCCGTCGTGGCCCCCGCGACGGGCGGCAGGACGCCGAGCTCGAGCATGAGGGGGCCGTTGACGATCCCGCCGCCGATCCCGAAGAGCCCCGCGCAGACGCCGGCGAAGAAGCAGACGCAGGGGTACTTGAGGGTCGTAGACGAGTCCCAGTGAAAGTCGCCCTCGACGTACGCATAGCCGCACGCGTCCTTGGTCTCCGTCCGCTTCACTAAATAGGCCCGGACGGCGAGCGAGATCGCGACGAGCGCGCCGAACATCGCCGCCGTCAGGGCCCAGTAGGACGCCGTGCCGCACTCGATCCCGAACGGCGACGGGAAGGCGCCGCCGCCCTTCGCCAGGTTCATCGCGACCGTCAGGACGAACATGCCCGCCAGGACGGCGACCTTGTCGGGCGGGAACGCGCGTCGCTCCTCCGCGAGGATCCGGCCCAGCGCCGCCCGTTTCTCGTCGTCGACGCCCTTCGGCTCGCCGCCGTCGTCGTCGAGCAGCCCCTTGGTCTCCTCCTGCCGCTCCGCGTCGTCCAGCGCGACGCGCGCGTCCGCCATGGCCGAGAACGCCGCGGACTCCTTCGCGTAGAGCTTCAGGCCCTTCTTGACGGTCCGCTCGGAGGTCAGGTAGAGCAGGACCACCAAGAGCACCGTAATGACCAGCTCCGGCGCGATTTTGTTCGCGAAGCCGCCGGCCAGCGCGCCGGCGAGCGTCAGCGGCTCCATCAGCACCAGCAGGTCCCAGTCCACGAGCGCGCGGTCGGCCAGCGGGTGGCGCTTCCGCGCGTTCATGGCCACGTTCGCGATGGCGCCGCCCAGCACCGTCATGTTCGAGAGCGGGATCGCAAACTTCGGCTTGAAGCCCATCACCAGCACGTAGATCGGCACCAGCATGCCCCCGCCGCCGATCCCGCCGCCCGCCGCGATGACGAGACCCAGCGCGGCGCAGACAAAGCCGGCGACGTCCGTCGCGTCCGTCGGGGCGAGGCGCTTGTGCCCCGTCACCTCGTCCACCGAGGCGTCCCCGAGCCGCCGTCGCGCCGTGTTCCCGAGGAGGAGGACGGCCGCCCCGACCGCGCAGACGGCCAGGCCGGCAAAGGTCCGCGCGCCACGGCGGCTGTGCATCATCTTTGGCACTGCTCCGCGTAGCGTTTTTACTCGTTGAAGCCTACGTGAGCTTGTCTATGCGTCTAGCCTAGGTGACCTCTTTGCTAGTATCTTACCTGTACAGGCTGCCGGCATCATCAACGACCCCATCTTTTACGGGCTTCGATACTGCTCTTACCAAACTTGAAAGCTTTATTGCGATCTGCCATGTCCTTTTCGTTTCTCAACTGAGAAATATTCTGAAATAAAAGTAGTCGGCTTGGACCTACTACTAGTAGTAGAATCCACACTAGAGCCCCCGGGGCCCGGGCCGGGCCAGTCCAAACACTTAGAATTTCGTCCAAACACTTCAGACCAGAGGAGTACGCACCTTCAAGTTTGGGAGTACTACGGCGGCTGAGATAGTCTGCCGAGGAGCTACCTTAAAATACACTAACTAGTTTTGGTTTGCGGTGTTTGATTGCGCGTTGCGTGTGTGGTGTGTCTAAGTGTAGACTTAAGGAAGGGTATAGTAGGGGGGGTATTCGCCCTATTTATCGCAATTCAAGGTATGTCAGACACCTAGATTCGGGCCGAAATACTCACCAAACACTCACCAAAACTTGAAGGTCTTGCGTTCCCGGGCCACCCTTCTAGGATTCGCTGCACTAGCAGGAACAACGAGGCTCGCTCGCCGTCCTCGGAGCCACCCGTGGCGGTCGCGCTTCCCTCCGAGTCCTCGGGAAACGAAGTCTCAATTCAAGTTAGTCGCGAAATCGTGCCCTCACGCGGCGGCGGCGCCGGCCGCGGCTAGGATAGGAGGTCCGCCGCCATGTCCTGGGTGAAGAGGGCGCTCACGGACGTGCCGCACTGGATGCCGCGGATGGCGCCCTCGACGAGCTTGCCGACGCTGACCTGGCGGATCTTGCGCGTCTTCTCGCGCACGGCCGCGGCTAGCGGCACCGTGTTCGCCACCACGCACTCCTCGAGCACGCACTGCTCGATGCGGTCCGCCGCGGGCCCGCTGAAGAGGCCGTGCGTCGCGAACGCGAAGACGCGCCGCGCGCCGAACGCGCGCAGCTCGTTCGCGGCCGCGGTCAGCGTGCCCGCCGTGTCGATCATGTCGTCGACGATGACGCAGTCGCAGCCCTCCACCGAGCCGACGAGGTGCATCGTGCCGACGACGCCCGCCTCCGCCCGCTGCTTCAGGATGACGGCGAGCGAGACCTGCGGCGGGTCCGGCAGGCGGCCGAAGCCCTCCATGAACGCCTTGGCGCGCGCGACGCCGCCCGCGTCCGGGCTGACCACGACGGGCTTGACCAGGTCCTTCATGTTGAAATAGGTCACGGCGATCGGCGCGGCGAACAGGTTGTCCACGGGCGTCCGGGGCCCGAAGAAGCCCTGGATCTGGGCGCAGTGCAGGTCCACGCACACGACGCGGTCGACGCCCATGGCCTCCATCATCCGCGCGACGTCGGCCGCCGAGATGGGCACGCGGCTCCGGTCCTTGCGGTCCTGGCGCGCGTACCCGTAGTACGGCACCACCGCGGTCACGGTGGCCGCCGACGCGCGCCGCGCCGCCGACACCAGGAGGAGCAGCTCGACCAGGTGGTCGTTCACCGGGGGGCACGTCGGCTGCAGGATGTAGACGTTCGCGCCGCGCACGCTGTCGCAGAGCTGGATGTTGACCTCGCCGTCGTTGAAGCGGCGCACCTTCGCCGGCGAGAGGGGCACGCCCAGCCGCGCCGCGATCTCCTCGGCGAGGGGCTTGTTCGCGGACCCCGACACGAGCTTCATCTCGAGATGGTGCGGCGTCTCGCTGTCCACGACGCGCGCCATCTTGAACCGTTCCAGGCACGCGTCCAGCCGCTCGGACTTGAAGACCTCGCCCCGGAGCCGCGCCTCGAAGTCCGGGGCCTTGGCCTGCGGCGTGTGGCGCAGGCCGGAGAACTTGTCGTACTTCTTCACGATCTTCTCGAAGCCCTGCGTGTTCAGCCAGACGAACGCCTGCAGCTGCCCGATCTGGGCGTGCAAGTTGATGGCGTTGCGCCGGTGGTCCGACGTCGCGGGCGTGCCGAGCGCGTCGCCCGACGCGCTCCGCGGCTTGCGCGCCTCGAGCGCGGCGAGCGCCGCGTCGAACTCGCCGATCTTCTGCAGGTAGAACCGGTTCACCTTCTCCAGCTCCTCCTCCAGCGTCGCGAAGAAGGTCTCCTCGAGCGCGTCCCGCTCGTCCGCCTCGGCGCCGCTGATGGCCTTGATCTGCGCCTTGAGCGCGTCGTAGGCGATGTAGCCCGGCGCCCACTCCGGCACGACGCTGTTTTTGAGGTCCGCGCCGAACTTCATGCTGTACAACTTGTACCCTACCTGTGGCCGGCTCGTCGAGCTAAGCTTGCTAGTGTCTTAAGGCCGCTAGCTGGTTATCAAGTAATTTTCAATTAGGGTTTGCGAGGCCTCTCTCTCCCCCCCACGTGTCACTAAGTGTGTCACTGCGTTGTTGCGCCGGGGGCAAAAGCGACGATGACTCTCAGCCAGCCGGTTCGTCAATTCCACCCTGCCGGCATTCTGGGCCTACTACCATTACTACCCATGAAATAAATTTAGGGGCGGCACCATCATCACCCCGCCCTGACGTGGTGGTGTTCGAGCGCCTCGATGTACGGCTCGGCGAGCCCGTGCTCGGCGGCCTTCGCGACCTCGCGCCGCTCCGCGCGCGACCGCGGCGGCGGCTGCGCCGCGCGCCTCGCGCGCGCCCGCGCGAACAAGGCGTCGCGGTCGGTCGACATCTCGCCGAGGGCCTCCTCCAGGTTCCTCGTCGAGAGGTGGCACGCCGTGACCTCCGACGCCGCGTCCACGTCCAGAACCTCCGCCAGGACGTGCGACCCGACCGGGAACGCTTCGGCCACGAACGACTGGAGCGGCGTCCGCGTGACGCCCGTGACCTGGTCCGGCTTCAGCTGGGCGCGGTACGTGCCGAAAGGCGTGGGGATGTCCACCAGCACGCCGACGGCCCGGACGGCCGCGACGACGCCCTCGACGACGTGCCCCGGCCTGATGTGGCCGCTCTTGGTTGCCGCCTGGAGCACGCGCTTGGACTGGGCGTGCTTGCGCTTCGTCACCACGGCCTGCTTGAGCGCCGGCAGCACGGCGACGACCTCCCGCGCGAGTTGCTCCATCGACCCGTCGGTGCGTAGCGGCGTTTTCTTCGGGTGTGCGGCGTTGTAGAGCTGGAGCGCCGTCCCCAGCCGGTCCCGCCCCAGCTCGCGGCAGCCCTCCACGCCGTCGATGCTCGCCCAGTCCTCGAGCGCCCAGAGCGGCGGGTGCGGTTGCTCGCGCAGCCGGCTCTCGAGCTGGGCGAGGCGCCTCCGCAAATACGCGTTCTCGCCCTCGGCGAGCTCCAGCTGCTCCTCGAGCGTCGGCGGGTCGTCGACGGGCAGCGGTGCCGAGGCGGAGCGGCGCGTGGCGCGACGATGGAGCGGCGCGCACGCCGGCTGCCACGCCGCAGCTGCGCTGGCGAGGGGGAGGATGTAGCGCATTTTCTTTACCTTGGCAGTGTTCAAACGACTCGCAGGGCCGGCTTCGCTAAGTATGTCGCTCTCCAGGCGAGGGCAGCAGTCTTGGTGACGCTGCAGGCAACTGCGATGTTGTGCTTGAACGCACCGCGAGCTTTTTGCAAGCCTCGCTGCGGAGCAGTATTGGTGATGCCGCAGGGCCCGTGGCAGTGGCTCAGCAAGGGGCTAGCGGCGAAAGCCAAGCTCAACCCTGCCACTGTTGAAGCATAACTAGTTAATTCGGGTTTTGGGGTTGTTGGGGGAGCTATCCCCCGCGAGCGGGGCATATGGCCTGGCTAAGGCTTCGGGTTGTTTTATTTTGCCCCTTCCGCCGTAAGGACAGAGTAAGGTGGTCACGGTCGCACCTCCGACCTCGTTTTTCTTCTCAGGCTCGAGAAGGGACTCCGATATGCCCTTCTATCGGGATGTGCAATTTGTCACTGGCTCCTATGGCACCCGGCCAAGAGCAACGCCGAGCTGGCCACCGTGACTGCATCGCACGCACGTGCACGGTCTCTAGACGACGATGGATGCGCGCCAACGCCTGCTCCTCGGTCGCCGGTTCCACCACGAATCGAGGAGGTACTGCGGTAATCGCTATTGTAGACTAGAGTTAAGGCTGGACACCGGAGTACTAGATCCGCGTCGGTGGCGCATTTATTTATTTATACAACTCCCAACCAGGACGACCAACCGGAGCGTCGAAATAGCAACGGGATAGCGGTACAACGCACCTTCATTCATACTATCGTCTATAACTCGCACTAGGAGTACCGGCGCGCTTACGCGGCCCCGGACGCGACGGAGCCGGCCGCCTCGGCGCCGCGGGGCCGCCGGCCGGCGCGGAGCCTGCGCTTGAATGAGGTCATCCGGGCCGCGTACGTCGCGCCGCCGGCCGCCGCGGGAGGGCGCGACGCGTTCGCCGCCATCTGGAGGTGCCGCTTCGCGAGCTTCGCCGGCGGCTGCCGCCAGGCGTCGAGCCCGGAGACCTCGTCGCGCAGGACGAGCTCCGCGCCGTCCGGCTCGTCGTCGCGCCGCCCGAAGACGAGCTCGAGGTCCGAGCACGCCTCGAGGGCCCGGAGCTGCGCCTCCTTGTCGGCGAGCTCGGCCTCGAGCCGCGCGACCGCCCTCTCGCCGCGCTCAACTTGCTCGAGCAGCTCCGCGTGCTGGGCCCGCGTCTGCTCCGCGTCCATCGACGCCGCCAGGGTCCGGTTCCGCTCCTCGGCTAGCTGCTCGTCGTACTGGTCGAGCTGGTCGTCGAGCTGCGCGGATCGCTTCTCGACCGTGGCGAGCCGGTCCGTCGCGGCCTGCAGCTCGGCGGCGCACTGCTTTTCCTCGCGCTCCATCTTCTCGCAGCCCCGCAGGACGTCTCGGAGGCGCTGCCGCATCTCCACGAGCTCGGGCACGTCCAGCGCCTCGACGGGCGGCGCGTCCTTCGGGGGTGCCCGAGCCCGCTTCTCGACGGGCTTCCCGGGCTCGTAGAACGACATCGGTAAGATCTTCTTCACGTAGTACTCGGCATTCGCCGCATCTTCGCGGAGCCCCACGGCAAAGGTCAAGCTTTGGACCTCCTCGCCGATGTGGGAGAAGCTGCTGAAGGACGGAGGTCCGCACCCGCCTGCGCGCGTATCGACCGGGTGAGTGAGGTCGGTTTGGAGACAAGCTGAACACTGGTCGCCTGCCGCTAAAAGCGTCGAGGTTCTCCGGATTCGGGGGCGTCCGCGCCCGGCTCTGTGTCGAGGGGCGTTCCATGCCGATATCAAATGCGGGCCAGTCCGGCACCAGGCACGGAGAGGAGATACGGAGCGAGATGAGATACGTATCTTACGGTCCAGACCCCTAATCTATGACCTATACGGTCAGGTTCTCATACCTCCCTATACGGACAGCTACTGTACCTCCACTCATCTAGCGGACGAACATCCGAGTGCTTACTGTACCAATGTCATAGAGGTACCATACAAGTTTGGTTGTCTCACCAAAGCCAGCCTGATGAGCTAGACCAAAACAGGAGGGCTTCCCCCTGGTGCGACCGAGACACCAGCTCCCAAATCGTCAAAAAAGGGGGCTGCCACGCCCACCCCCGCCACTGCGGCCAAGAAGGAGAGGCCGGATGGGGCGGCGCCGCGCCTTCGCCTTCGTCGCCGTCGGCCTCGGCGCGGCCGTGCGCGCGGCCTGCCCGGCCCACTGCAACTTCCGGGGCTACTGCTCGGCGCCCGACGCCACCCTCTCCACCTCGTTCTGCATCTGCCAGCCGGGCGTGACGGGCGCCGCCTGCGAGCAGATCCACTGCCCGCGCGGCGACGACCCGCTGACGCAGAACCAGGTGTCGCGCGCGATCGCGCTGACCGTCACGGCGCCGACGGGCGGCGAGGTCGACGGCCGGCTGCGCTTCGGGTTCCTCGGCGAGAGCGTGCTGCTGCCGGCGGTGCTCGACGCCGCGACGTGCGGCCGCGCGATCAGCTCGCTCCCGACGGTCCAGAAGGCGTCCTGCTCCCAGACGACCGACGGGTGGCTCGTCACCTTCGACGAGTGGGCGCCGGCGCCGGTCGACGCGCACGCGCCGCACGGCGGCAACCCCGCCCTCGGGACGTTCGAGTGCGAGTCCACGCTCCCGGGCGACGCCTGGGACGTGCCACAGTGCACCTTGAAGGACGCGGTCGCGTCCAACGTCCGGGAGCACGCGCCGTGCTCGAACCACGGCGACTGCGACCTGGCGACGGGAAAGTGCCGGTGCCGCGCGGGCTGGCGGCGGGACGCCTGCGACGACAACAAGGACGCGGACACGCTTCAATTGTATCGGAGTGAAGGCCCGTTCTACTCGGGCACGATTTTGGGCCTGGAGGCGAAGCGCGCGGCGTCGCCGGACTTCCACTACCTGCGCGTGGGCGCCGGCGGGCGGGGCGGCGACGTGCTCGCCGTGCGCGGCGACGGGCACATCCGCGCGGCCGGGGCCGCGGCGTTCGACGGCGGCGTGGCCGTCGCCGGCGCGCTCGACGCGCGCGGCCCGGCGACGTTCTCGGGCGGCGCCGCGTTCGCGAGCGCAAAGGGCGACCTCCTGGTCGCGGGCCCGGCGGACGCGCCCGCGCTGCGCGTCGCCAAAGACCAGCCGGTCGCGGTCGGCCGGGCCGGCCTCGCGAGCGAGGGGCCGGGGTCGTTCGGCTCGCTCACGGTCGCCGGCGCGGTCGCCGCGGCCGGCGTGACGCTCGAGGGCGGCGTCGCGACGGCCGACGCGCTCGTCGCGACGGCCGGCGCGACGGCGCGCGGCGCCGGCGCCGCGCCGGCGCTCCGGCTCGAGCGGCGCGACGGCGACGGCCCCATCGTCGCGGCGTTCCGCGGGACGAACGAGGTCTTCGCGGTCCGCGGCGACGGCGCCCTCGACGTGCTCGCGGGCGGCGTGCGCGTCACGGCGGGCGGGCTCCGCGTCCACGGCGGCGGCGTGGACGTGGGCGCCGGCGGGCTCCGCGTCGACGGCGGCCTCGAGGTCCGGAGCGGCGCCTTGACGCTCAGGGGCGGGCTCGCGCTCGAGGACGGCGGCGTCGAGGCGGCCTCGAGGGCCGCCGGCGGCGCGCCCCTCCGGGCCTCGGCGACGCACGCGCAGTTCGGCGGCAGCGTGCTGACGCTCGAGGCGCCGGCGCTGGCTCCGCCGACGCCGTTCGCGCGCGGCGCGGCGCGCCTCGTCGATGGCGTCGTCAAGGGCCAGTCGGTCTTCAGCGTCGACGCGTCCGGCGCGCTCGTCGCCCGGGGCGGCGTCCGGTCGGCCGGCGGCGCGGTCTTCGGCGGCGACCTGGCGGTCGGCGGCGCGGTGAGGCTCCAGCGGACGGAGGCGAAGGCCGGGGCGCGCGTGGCCGTCCCGGCCGGCGCGTCGTACGTCGAGATCCTGGAGGACGGGCGGCGGGGCAGCGGCAACGCGATGTCGGTCGAGGGCGACGGCGGGCCGGACGCGCGGCAGCTCGTCGTGCGGAACTCGGACGGCGACGCGGCGACGCTCGACGGCCACGTCGTCCCCGCGGGGAGCACGCGCGTCTTCTACCAGGGCGGCGATCGCCGCTGGGCGGCGATCGGCGGCGACGCGGCCGGCGCGGTCGCAGCGGCCGGCGCGGCGGTGACGCGGTCGTCGGTGACGGAGTTCGTCGGCGTTTCGCGGCTCGACGCGGCGGCCGACTTGGACGTCGGGCCGCACGCCGTCCGCGCGGGCCGGCTGTCGAGCCGGACCGGCGACTCCCAACAAAGCGGCGTCGTCTTCTACGGCCCCAAGGGGTTCCTCGACGCCGACGCGGACTTTATCTCCGTCGACCGGGTCAAGGGCGGTCCCAAAGAGTCGCCGTCGCTGCGGCTGCGCGTCGGGCGGCTCCCGGTGCGGGCGTCAACTTTCGCGGCGGCGCCTTCGCATGGGCGTACGCCTCGACGTTCGCTGCGCGCCCTCGTCGCGACATGTCGACTGCCGTGCGTCCGCCCGCGAGTCAGCATGCGGCTCACTGGCTCATTTGCACGCAGGCGGCTCATGGTCACGACCTCGGTCGACGCGCCCCTGCACATGGGCGGCCACGCGATCAAGGACGCGCGCATCGAGGGCGGCTCCGCGACGGGCCTGGCCCAGGTCGCCGCGCAGGTGCTGCGGCTGGACCACGCCCCCGGGACCAAGAGCAATCCCCCGGAGGGCTTCGAGCGCCCGGTCCTGGTCGGGCCGGGCGGCGCGCTCGGCGCGACGCCCGAGCTGTACTACCGCGACCGCACGCTGCACGTCGAACGTCTCGGCGCCGCGACCATCGTGGGGGACCTCGACTTCGCGAACAACGCGCGCCTGAAGAACGCGAGGATCGAGGGCGGCTCGGTCGAGGGGCTCGAGAAGCTCGCCGTCGAGGAGCTGACGTACGTCGACGCGCCCGCGCGCGGCGCCGCGGCCGTCTTCGGGGAAGACGGGGCCCTGGTTGCCGCGGAGGCCTGGTGCGCGGCCGGCGCCGACCACGCCGTCGCCATCCCGCGGCTCGCCGTCGGCGCGCTCGCGGGCGACGTCGACGCGCGCGGCCACGTCATCCGCGACGGGCAGTTCGAGGGCGGCGGCGCCGCGGGCCTGGAGTTCGTCGCCGCCGACGTCGTGCTGGTCGGGTCCCTCGACGCGAGTCGGCGCGCGCTCGTCGTCGCGGGCGACGGCGGCGCGCTCGAGGCCGAGGACGGCCTTTACGTGGACGCGGACGCGGCCGTGCACGCGCCCCGGAACGTCAACGTGGGCGGCGCGCTGGACGTGAAGAGCGACGCCTTCGTCGGAGGGTCGGTCGTGGTCGGGGGGACGGTCATGGGCTCCGGCGCGTACATCGACTCGTCCGACGCGCGCTTCAAGCGCGACCTGGCGGTATTGGATGGCGCCGCGTGCCTCGGCGCGCTCCGCAACGGGAGCCTCGGCGCGTACGCGTTCTCCTACAAAAGGGACGAGTTCCCGGCGCGGAACTTCCCCGCGCGCCGCGACGTCGGCTTCGTGGCCCAGCGCGTCGAGGAGGCGTTCCCGTCGCTCGTCTACGACGACGCCGACGGCTTCAAGCACGTCGCGTACGGCCGCGCCGCGCCCGTCCTCGCGGCGGCGCTCGCGGCGCTCGCGGCGAAGCACGACGGCCTCGAACGGCGCGTCGCGCGGCTCGAGGCGCTTCTCGTGGAAAAGTAAGTAGACATATAGATATATTTGACTCGTCTGGAGTCACTATCCGAGTCGACTTATTATCTAGTCGAGCCCGGACTCGGACGCGGCGTCGTAGGCGCGCCGCGACGACTCGTCGTAGAGCACCTCCTACGTGGAGTTCACCGCTCGAAGGCGCTCGGTGGCAGAGCGGGAATTACGGTCTGATATTCACTGGCACTAGTATTCTGGACCGAACTTGAATCCGTCTGGTTCAAGTTTTCAAAAAGGTTTTAAAGTTGAAAAACCTCAGGCTCCCGCCGGCCTTAGCCCTACTAGTAAGAGCTTAGCTCCTTGCTCAGTCACGGTCAGGATAGCTAACGGGAGTTTGGGGGAGGGAAGAGGGCCTACGTCCGCTTGTTGCGGTGGAGCTGCCGGAGGTGCGACCGATTCTGCGTGGCGGTCGCGCGCCGCGTCTTCTGCGCCCGGAAGAACGCGAGCGCGTCGGGGTCCTGGGCGGCGACGCGCTCCATCTCGAGCTTGTCGAAGGCCTCCTGGTCGTCGAGCTTGTCGCCGGGGCCCGCCTCCTCCGCCAGGCCGGCGCGCCGCTGCAGCTGCGCGAAGAACTGCTGGAAGTCGTCGACGAGTTGGGCCTTCGTCGCGTCGACGTCCAGCGCCGCCGCCGCGTGGTCGCGCCGCGCCGCGAGCCACGCGCCGTGCGCGTCCCGGTAGTCCCGCTTCGCGTCGCGGCCCGCGCGCATCAAGACGAACTCCTCGTCGTCGACGACGTCGTCGTCGTCGCGCCCCGCCGCCCGGATCTTCTCGCGGCGGCGCCGGCGCGTCTCCTCGAGCCTCTCGTCGACGTCCGCGATGTCGCGCTTCGCCGCGTCCGCGCGCGCCGCGGCGTCGCGGATTTGGGACTTGGCGTCGGACCGCGCGCGCTTGGCGCGCTGGAGCTTCTCGTGCGTCGCGCGTCCCGCCTGGCGCTTGTAGTGCTCGAACGCGCGGCTGCGGTCGTTGACGATGTCCCCGTCGCCCATTTTGGACAGGGGGCTCCCCGCGAGTTCGGCCGAGAACGCGTCGACGGACGGCGACTCGGCGCCTGCGTGGAACCGCGCTCGGCCGCGGCTTCTCCTCGGACGGGCGGAACGCGGCGGCGGCCTTTGAAGAAACGAGCGACGCGCCGGCCGCACACGAACGAGCGACGCGCCGGCCGCACACGGCGCCCCGATGGGAGGGGGCTGCGAACGTTCGATTTATTTTTCCGCGCCGCTCGGCGCCGAGGCCGACGCTCCGCTCGGCGAGCGACGCGCGCTCGGGCGACCGCGCGTCCACGACGACGAGGGGCCGCGACGCGTCCGGCGCGCGGCCCAGGGACAGGCCGCGGCCCGCCTCGGCGTCGCCGACGCCGGCCGCCTCGGCGTCGCCGCCGTCCTCGCCCATGCCCACCTCGTCGCCCGCGAAGAGCCCGGTCGGCACGCCGCCCGCCGACGTCATCGCCGTCCGCGCGCGCACGGCCTTGGCCTCGGCGTCCCGCAACAACTTCTTGAACTGCGCGCACATCTCCCGCATCTGCCGCACGCTGTCGAACTCGAGCAGGTCCGCGGCGCGCGCCTCGTCCGCGTCCGCGTAGCGCCTGCACTGGGCCGCGATGATGGCCTGCTCCTCCGGCGTGTACGGGTCGTACTTGACGCCGCTGCGGTCCGCCAGCGCGTCGTGCATCAGCAGTTCCTGCCGCAGGTCGCGGATGAGCCGCTCCTGCTTCCGTGCGAGGCGCGCGGGGTCCGTGGTCTGGACCTTCTCGGCCGTGTTCTGGACGCGCATCATGCGCTGCGCCAGGCGCAGCGTGGACACGGTCTCCTCGAGGTGCGCCGACTCGGCCCACATGCACGCGAAGAGCAGCGTGGCGCAGTTCCCGCCGAGCGAGTCCTTCAGGACGCCCGTCAGCTTCGTCTGGCGGTAGGCGACGTGCTGCGGGGCGCGCTTCGAGAGGCCGACGACGCACTGCTCCAGGTACGTGAGGCTCTGGTTGATGTACATGGACTCCTTCTTCATCGTCGCGTCGACGTCGTACGCCGTTCCGTCGGCGCCCTCCATGGTCTTCTTGAGGCGCTCCGAGCCCGCCAGGTCCACCAAATTGAGCTTGGACGTCACGACCTTCTCGCTCACGCCCGACCGGCTCTGCTGCCGCAGCGTCACGGTGAAGATGGAGTGCGACCGGTTCGAGTTGCGGTTCAGCTTGTGCTGCGCCGTCGTCCGCGCGAGCTGGCCCGAGTAGAGCAGGTTGAGCGCCTCGGCCTCGGACGCGACCTCGACCTCCGTCAGGCCCCGCACGAACACGCCCCGCCCCCCCTTCTCCTCGACGATCTGGTAGTCGTTCCGCGCGTCCTCGTCGCCGAGCGCCTTGAGCAGGTCGAAGATGCGCTCGTTGTAGATCTCCATGTACGTGCACACGACCGTGTACTGCGTCTCGATGCGCGCGGCCACGTCGGCGAAGACGTGCGCGAGGGCCCGCGGCGCGACGCCGCGGTGGACGTAGTTGTTCATGTCGCCGAGCATCGTGAAGGTCTTGCCCGAGCCCGTCTGGCCGTACGTCATGATCGTGCCGTTGATGCCGTCCACCACGTCCTGCACGACGTCGCGCGCGAGCGTCTCGTAGACCGTGTCCTGGCTCGCGTTGTGGAGCACGTGGTGGAACCGGAAGTCGAAGCGCGACTGGGCGTTGTTGCAGACGCCGTCGGGACTCGCCTCGTGGCCCTTGTCGATCGTGATGGCGTTGCGGTCCGCGTCGATGGCGATGTGGCCCGCCGCGAACTGGGCCGTCGGCCGCGTCCGAACGCACACCTTGATGGTCTTGCCCATGCTCTCGCCGTTGGGTTTTTGCGCGGCCTTCTGCGTGCCCCGGTCAAGGTTGCCCGCGGCTCGCAGCGTTCCTGCTTGGCGCTCCGCTGCTGAGTATCGCATGAGGTATCTTTTTTAGGTACCGAAAGGTATCTTGACCCGTGACCAGTCCGAACCCACAAACGCCTCGACGTCACGCCGTGACGGCGGTGGCGGAGAATAAACTGGAATCCCAGCCGGCGGTTAAAGTTCGCCGGAGGCAAACCTCCCAGGCTCGAGTCTCGCGGGATCGAGCGGCCCAGGCCTGCTGCGACCAGTGAGCCTAAGGGAGTCTCCCTACCGCTCAGTCGAACGCTCCATGAGTACTAGCACACAACGGACATTTATGGAAATGCATCCTCCTCCGAAGGAGGGAGATAGGTCGGCGTCACCGCCAGCACTTGACGACGCCGTCGCGCGACGCGGAGAGCATGAGCTTGGCCGGCAGGTCCACCGACTTCAAGTCGAGGACGGCGTCGCGGTGGGCCAGCGACGACGGCGGCGGCGGCGCGGGCGCGGCGGCGCGCGCCTCGGCCGGCGGCGCGGCGAAGTCGCGACACACGACGAGCGTCGCGTCGGCGGGCGGCGCGGCGTACGTCGGACGCGGCGCGCCGGCCGCGGGTCCCGACACCGTGTACGAGTTCGCGGGCGTCGCCAGGTCCCAGTACCGGACGTGCGCGTCGTCGCCGCCCGTGACGAGGTACGAGGCGCCGCGCTGCGAGACGCGGCCCATGAGCGCGCGGACGCCCGGCGCCGGGCCGCCGCGGGGGACCGTGGCCGCGGCGCCGCAGCGGGCGCGCGGGTGCGGCCGCAGGGGGACGGGGTCCAGGGTGGGAAGCGCCCAGCGCGCCTCCGGCGACGCGTCCGCGCCCCCGAGCGCGCGCCGCGCCCGAAAGCACCGCAGCGGCGCCCCGCCCTCGCGCACGTCCCACACGCCGACCTCGTTGTCGCCGCACGCGACGAACGCCAGCGGCCGCGCCTCGTCGGCCGGCGCGGGCGGCAGCCGGGCGCACGTCGCGAGGCGGCGGACCCGTTGGCCCGAGGAGTGGCGCCAGGCGCTCGCGACGAGGTCCGGCCTGCGCGCGTCCCACGCGCACACGTGCCCGGCGCCCGTGCCCGCGACGAACCAGCGGCCACCGGGCCCCAGCGCGACGGCCGACAGCGGCCCGAGCTCGGCCGGGACCGCGGCGGCGAGCGCCTCGTCGCGCCGCGCGCGCAGGTCCGCGAACCGGACCGCGCGCGCCGTCGCGTACGCGACGCACGACGCGGCGTCCGTGCCGAAGTGCGCGACGCACGCGCACGGGCCCTCGTCGCGCGGCGGCCGGAGCGGCGCGCGGACGCGCGGCGTCGCCGCCGCCCCCGGCCCGGCGCCGGCGAGCTCCACGGACCAGACGTGCGCGGCGCCGTCGGCGCCTCCGCTAACTACGCACCGCGCGTTGTCGACGTGGCAGCAGTCGAGCACCGGCCCGCCGTGGCCGTCGTAGCGCGCGGCCGAGGGCGGCGCGTCCCCGTCCAGCAGCCGCGCCGTCGCCCAGACGCGACACGAGCCGTCGTCGGACGCCGTCGCCACGAAGCTCTGGTCCTGGCCGACCGCGAGGCGCCGCACGGCGGCCGCGTGCTCGTCGAGCGTCGCCACGCACCGGCCGGGGTGCTGCGGCCGCCAGTCCGCGCGCCGGTCGCGCGTCCGTTCGTCGACCTCGAGCGGCGCCGCGTACCAGCTGAACGCGCGGCCGTCCGACGGCTGGCGCAGCGGCCGGAGGCCCGCCGGCGGCAGCGGCGGCACGCCGAGCGCGGCGACGCGGCGCGCGAGCGGCGCGTCGCCCCGGCCGGGCCGCGCGGGCCGCGCGCCGGCCGCGCCGCCGCGCGGCCGGCGGCCGTCGACGACGCCGTGGCGCCGCCGGACGGCGTCGTCGCCGTCGTCGCCGTCGCCGGCGCCGGCGCCGGCGGGCGGCCGGACCGCGAGGCCGGCGAAGCGCTGGTCCGGCGCGAGGAGCGCGCGCGCGGCGCCCGGCGGCGCGACCGGCGCGGCCGCGACGCCGCCGACGCGGGGACCGCCGCGCGTCGCGTCCACCGGCCCGCGGCGCGCGCGCGGCGCGTCCTCGGCGCCGCCCGCGTCGCCGAGCGCCGCGAGCGCCCGGCGCGCGGCGGCGCGGGCGGACGGCGCCGGGTCGCCGAGCGCCTGGCGGAGGCACGGCGCGACGAGCGACGAGGCGACGTCGTCGCCCGCGGCGAGCGCCGCCGCGACGCCGCACGCGGCGCGCCTCGCGGTCGCGGTCGCGTCGTTCAGCGCCGCGAGCGCGTGCGGCAGCACGGCGTCGCGCGCCGCCGCGTCGCCGCCGAGCGCCCGGAACACGTCGCGCAGCGCCGCGACGGCGTCGGCGCGCACGGCGCCGGCGCGGCCGGTCGCGAGCTCGGCGACCCAGCGCGCCGCGGTCGCCCGGAGCGCGTCGCCGCCGTCGGCGGCGGCGTCGAAGCGCCGCGCCGCCGCGAGCAGCGCGCCGCACGCGCCGGCGAACGCCGCCGCGACGACGGGCTCGGCGTCGCGCGCGAGCGGCGCGACGCGGGGGAAGACGTACGCCGGGAACAGCGCCGCGTCGGACGACGGCCACGTCGCCACGCGCCGGCAGAGCCCCGCGGCGACGCGGCACGCCGCGGCGCGCACGCCCGGCGTCGGGTCGTCGAGCGCGCGCAGGGCGTGCGGCAGCAGGGTCTGGAGCCGCGCCTCGTCGTCGAGGCGGCGGCCGAGGCGGCCGAGGAGCGCGAGGCCCGCGAGGCGCGCCGCCGGGGCGCGGCAGTGGCGCAGCGCCGCGCAGACGAGCTGCGCCGCGAGCGGCAGCGCGCCGCCGGCCGCCGGCGCGCCGCCGTCATCAGCGGCGGCGGCCGCCGCCGCCGCCGCGCCGGGCCGCGCGAGCGGAGCCTCCGTCGCGCCGTCGCCGTCGAGCGCGGCGCCGGCCGCCGCGAGCGCCGCGGCGCCGTCGGCGTCCGACGCGCCGCCGAGCGCGCGCGCGAGCCCACCATACGCGCGGCACGCGAGCGCGACGCGCGCGTCGGGCGTCGGCCGCGCCAGCGCGGCGCGGCCGAGGCGCGCGGCGGCGGGGAACGCGTCCGCCGGCGCGCCGCACGCGCCCGCGGCGACGACCGCGACGGCCGCCGCGTGGTCCGCCGCGCCGCCGCGCGCGTCCGGGTCGCGCGCGAGCATCGCCGCGACGGCCGCCCGCGCCGCCGCCGGCCGCAGCGCGAGGACGGCCGGCGGCGGCGGCCGCGCCCGGTCCACCGTCGCGCGCGCGAGCGCCAGGGCGGCGGCGACGTCCAGCGTCGGCGCGCCGCCGTTGAGGATCTCCGCGGCGACGCAGCCGGCGGCGAAGACGTCGGCCGGCGGGCGGAGAAACCCGCCGGTTTCGGGGGAGAGGTCCCGCACGAGGCGCTCGGGCGCCACGTAGCAGCGCGCCGCGCGCTGCGCGCCGTCGCCCGCCGCGAAGTGCTCCAAAACCGCGGGGCCGTCGTCGCGCAGCGTCGCGGGTTTGTGGGCGGCGAAGTCGACCAAAACGCAGAAGCACCACTCGGCGACCATGATGTTTTCACTTCTCACGTCGCCGTGGACCACGCCCCGCGCGTGGGCGTGCGCGAGCGCGTCGAGGAGCTGATATATCAGCCAGAGCCGCTCGACCCCGACGAGGAACGGCCTTCGCTGGAGCCGGTCGGCGAGCGACGCCGAGAAGTGCCGTCTCGCGAGGTACGCCGCCGCCGCCGCCTTCGGCGCGGCCTGCGCGTGGCGAGTGTGAGCCCCGGCGATGGCGTGCCGACGACGGCTCGCGATCGTTCCGGGTCGAAGGCACCTGTGACGCGCGGCGGCGCGACCTTGCCGAAGAACGCGACGGCCGGCGCGAGCGCCGGGTGGTCCGCGAGCCGCCGCCGGACCCTTGCGACCTCGTCCCTCGCGGCGTCGAGCGCCTTCGTGCGCGCGCGCGGGAGGTGGACCTTTAAAACGAGCGCCGCGCCCCCCGCGCGGCACCGCAGGGACGTGAGGACGCGGCCGCGCCCGAGCCGCGCGACGACGACGGCATGGCGCAGGTCCTCGGCCAGCCGGCGCTCCGGCGCGTCCGGCGTCGTCGCGGCCGCCGCGCGCGGCGCGGCGTTGCCCATGTCTCCTGCTTGCAGCTGACTGCGCGTTTGGTCCAGCTAGCCCGGGTTTTTTGCAAAGCAAAACCCGTATTTTTTTGCAATCCCCGTTTCGTGCGGGGTGGGGGGCTAAAAAACCGTCGTCGTCGCAATCGGTCGGCTAGCTGCAGCTAGCTAGACGGTCTATAGCTTACGTACACGCTCGCGGGAGATAGCTCCCCCGTCAGCCTTCTAGGCGCGCGCCCCCGCAACCCGAATTGACTATAGCTAATCCTCTAGACGGTCTATAAACAATTCTATAAAACGCCACGTGGCGCGCCGTAAAACTGGCTGGTTGGCGCCGACAGCTGTCTGCGGTTGGCACGGGGGGCGCCAGCGCTGCGGCGTAAGCAAAATGCCGTGTTCAATAGCGTGTTGCGCCCTGGAATGTGCCTCTGCGGGTTTCCTACGCTTGTGTCAATAAGCTCATAGTCCTCTCTTTACTCATACAGGTGGCGGTGACACGACTCGGCCTGGGCATGTGGCAGACGATTACAATCCTCCAGTGCCCCCCCAGGCAGGCCCTGCTCCCAGACCCGACGGTGAAGACGTGACGCTGGATTCGGACCTTTAGAGGCCTGGCTCTAGGCGTCCATCCCCCCGGGACTAGGCTAGCGTCCCCAAAACCGAGTAACTAGTGTCTCTCTGTCAATAAGATTATAGCTTCTAATTCCATAGTATTATTCAAAAGGTCACGGTGTACTAACAGTGAACAATTGGTACTGATTCCGAGTCCTCCGAAACTACCGCGCGCGCGGGGTACCCCCCTCGCCGAGCCGGCCCCCCGCGACGGAGCACGTGCTAGTTTTTACACCACGGAAAGAACTTGAAGACCCGGGCACGAGCAATGTCCGCAACTGATGCGCTCCTTAAGTAGGGTCTTCACCAGGCTTCCCAAGGGCGACACCCCAGCTAGGGCAACCAGCATCCCTCCCCGGCCGTGTCGGGACCGTGTTGGCTGGCGAGAGGGCCTCAGGCTCAGCCCCAGTGCGCCTGGCTCCCCTTAATCGAAGCTTCCTAATCTTTAATACCGCGGGCATCCGACCGCGCCCGGTAGTGGCGCTCTACGCGAAGTGGTGCGGAAAGAGGAGCGGCGAGAGGCGGAGCTTGCACTCGTTCATGATGCCTACCGCCAGGATCATGCGCCCCGTGCGGAAGAGGTAGCCGGAAAAGAAGCGCGATGCGCCGCCCTCCGCCCACAGCGTCCTGAAGGTCCCCGCGTTCGACGTGTACGTCTTCTGTTCGATGTCCCCCTGCAGGCAGGACTTCACCGTGTCCATCGGGTGCGAGAGGGAGGCCGACATGACGCCCGCGCAGATCGCGCCGCCCATCTTTGCCTGGTTGGTCGAGAAGCCCCGCGCCTTGAACTTGTCGATGAAGACGGGGCACGTCCCCAGCACGCCGGCGGTGTAGATGCCCTCGCGCCCGCACGACATCAGGAGCCCGCGCGACATGCCCCCCAGTCCGAAGGTCGATATCAACCGCGCGGGCGTGCCGACGATGCTCCCGCCGAACCGCTGCTGCTGGATCATCGTCAGCTCAAAGGGCCCGCAGGCGAGGCCGCTGATGAATCCGCCGCAGAACGCGGCGCCGACCTTCTCGCCGTCGCCGAGCGGGCGCTCCTCGCCGCCCGTGATCGCCTTCGCGACGGCGCCCGTCAGCGGGAACTGGAGCCCCGTGAGCGTCGCCATGTTTACCACGGACGTACTCAGGCCGCGATACAACATCCTCGGGTTCAGCGACAGCGGCAGGCCCTGCTGCGTCGCGTTCTTCCAGTAGAGGATCGGCTGCAGCGCGATCACCTCGATGGTGCCCGCGCCGACGCCCACCGCCGCGTTCTCCACGGGGCTCATCTTCAGCAACGCTTGCTCCGCATCGCCCATGGCGATGATGCGTTCGCTTTGGGCTTGACTATGGCGTTGTACAAATCACCGCGACACGAGCATCACGCCTTAGCCGGCGGAGCGGCAGCAATTGTTGATCAACTACCACGTGATTAGATTTCCGGCCTGAAGCTCTTTTAGCTCAAAAGCCCTGATATGATTGCGCTGCTTGTGCTCGCTAGTGTCTTACATGCCGCTAGCCCAAACCTCAACTCTACCACGCTAGACTACTCTATACGACGCTAGTCTGCCAGTGATCTTTTGCCTCGACGGCGTCATGTGGGCACTAGGGCAATCGGCGGCCGGCGAACCGCGTGACGGCCGCCGACAAGCACTGGTGGGACCGTCAATATCGCGAATTAAAAAAATTATTTTTTTCGCCCCCCAGTAAGTGTCCCATTGATCTCTCTGGCCCATCAGCCAACGGAACGATACTCAAACAACTTCATGTCGCGTCTAGGAGTTCCTCGCGGAATCCGCGCCCGGCGCGCGCGACGGTAGTCACCTCCGGCAGCCGTCGACCCCCCCCACCCCCCACCCTCGAGCCGGCGAGTAATGAAGGGTGAACCCCCCCCACCCCCCTGCTAACCCCCCCCCACAGCCCCCCCAGGTGGCAAAAAAACCCAACCCCAGATGGACGACGGATGCCTGGAAGTGTACCGCCCGGGGCCCGGACGGCGCGAGATTGAGAGATATCTATCAGTCGGGAGATTACGACTGTACCGCTCTTTCATTGTACCCCCCCCCCTTATCTTACCCGCACCTTCTAGCCCTCGTGACACTACGGCCTACTGGTAGGATACCAAGCCCCCCTAGTTACATTATGTATTGCAGTAACTTGTAGGAAAACCAGGGGGTAGCTGAGCGCCCAGCGGCGCTGCTAAAAGCGCTGCGATCTCGGTCCAGCTGCATCGCATTAAAACTTGATTGGGGGAGGCAGCCCACACGCAGCTGCTGCGCAGCATACTCTAATCAAGTTTTAATAACTTGTTCACAGCCCGAGAACGTTGGTGCTGCCACGATGCCGCGGGTGTGGAAGCCCGCGGCGGACGATCAGCACATCTTCGACGCCCTGCCAATGCCGGAGGGGGACGTCTTCCTCAGCGACGACGAGCTCCTCATGGAGATGGACGGCGTGGCGACGCGCGCCGCGCTCAACGCGGCGCTCGGTCCCACCGCGAGGACAAGGGTGACCTTTGATGCCGAGGGTCGGTACTGGCGGAAGTCGTACGAAATTGATAAGGAGCCGCGGTGCATCTACTTCTTGCCAGCCGTGCAGAACCGCGCGCGCGCGCTCGAGGAGTACCCCGATGGCGTCGAGCCGCCGTTCCCGCGACCAGAGGAGAAGTTCCAGTGCAAGAGGAAGCAGCCGCCCCGAGCGCCGCGCAAGCCGTCGAAGACGACGGCGCGGTCCGGCGAGAAGCGCCCGACGTCCGCGCGGCCTAGGATGTACACGACGCCCGGCGAGAAGGTCACGCGCGTGGATCCGGTTGATGATGCTGAGCTGCTCGTGCCGGACGAAGACGTGGTCGACCTCGACGAAGTCGCGCCAGTACCACGGCCCGTGACACGACGAGATTTAATGGCCCTAGAGCAGCGCGCCGAAGACGCGCTCGCGGCGTGCGACCGCGCGGAAGCCGCGCGCGCCGCGGCCGTCGCGGCCCACGCGGAGCTACGCGACAGACAGGACGCAGTCTTCGCGAGGAGCGCCACCGACTCGGCAAGACTTATGCTTCTCTCTCTGGACCGCGAGGCGAACGCGCTCTCCGCGGAGAGAGCGGCACGACGGCGCGACGTTGATCGCCTTAGAGCCAAATTTTCACAAGAGAAAGAACTATGGAAAATAGACTGTGAGCGACGCGGCGGCGGCGGCTAGACGAGGAGCGGCGGCGATTGGAGGAGGGGTTCCGGACAAACACGCGCGAGTTGCAGCGGCAACTCGACGCGCAGAGAACTGAAGTCGCCGATTTGAAAAAGAAACAAAGCCAGCTCAACCTCGAGCTTTATGGCCTTCGACGGCTTCGAGGCGCCTGGCTGGGTTCTCGTGTTGCGTATTTACCGGAGGAGCCGCCGCCGGATTCGGACTTCGAAGGCGAGTCGTTGTGGCCCGTGGTCCACGCCGTCGGCGACTTTCTCAGTAGAATTTGTGGTGGTACGCTCAAAAGAAAGCAACAGAAGTGTCTGCGTCTCCTAGCCGACTACGCGTGGTGTCAACACTCTCGCGGGCGGGGGGAGATTGGCCTCGTGCGAGCTCACTTTGCGTGCGCGGAGTACCGGCGCCTCCAGGAGATTTTCTCTCCAGCCGAACTACTGAAGACCATGGACGTGGAGATGACGGGGAACTACGCTGCGAGCGAGGCCATGCGGGCCAGAGAGCGGGCGGCTCTCGTTGCGCTCGGGGAGACGTTGGGCAAGCACGTGATGCTGTTATTCCCCACGAAGTTCGCGCTCCAGGAAACAGCCAAGCTGGTCGAGAGAGTTGCTGATGGCCACAAGGTTTCGGTTACGGAAACGTCCGCGGGCGACGGCACTTACGAGGCGGTCGGCATTGCGACGGGCGCGGTCCTCGACGTCATCGGAAAGCAGTATGGGCTCCTTGAGACTGGACGCAGTCCCGCGGATCCGCGGAGGATCAGAGGCACGCAAGACGGCAGCAACATCACGAAAAGCGACGACTTTACGATGCAAGGGATCCACGTCAACGACAGCCGCGCGGTCGACCCGATCACTGGCAAGCCTATCACCGACTTCCAGTCGCCTGATCGGGTTCATATTACTACGTTAGCCGTTGGCCACGAGAGCCATGCCCTGTACGAAGCTTTAGACGACGTGACGGATCACTTCAGTACAGCGGCGACGGCGCAAACCGATGGTGTCTACCAGTCAGAGGCAGAGGGCCGCGCCGTTCACGTTGATTACGTCTGCTCGGGCGACATGGCCAACCTCCAGACGGTGTCGAAGAAGGGCTTCGCGACTGGGACGTCGGAGAACGCGCGGCCGTGTTATTGTTGCGCGCAGACCAACAGGCAGATGACGACGCCCAAGGTAGTTGACGACCTTTGCGACGTCTGCAGAGCAGCGGGTCGGTTAGTGTGCTACCACGCGGAGATGTCGACGCCGGCTGCCGTAGACGAGTGGCGCGCTACGGCTGCCGCTGCGCTCACGGAGCTCAGAGGGGAGCTGCCCCCAGCCTACCGCTACATGCGCGAGGCCAAGACTTTAAGTGCGGCGCAGCTGCGCGAGCTCGCCGCGGAGGCTGGGCTCGATGCGGGCGGCACCTCGGCCCACTTGCACGCGCGCTTCGCTGCTTATTGCGGTCAGCATTGCTTGGAATTGGAAAACCCCAACCAAAACGGGTTTTACGCAAAGTTCGACTGTCGAACTGCGACCCCAGCACAAAAAACGCAATTTTCGCTGGTCGTGAACGATTGTCTTGTTGATTTCGGCCTGGCGGTGACGGGCAACCTCGGTTCGCGCGTCGAGAAGCTGACGCGCGCCTGAAATTGGTTGACCAATATTACGAACTTCAAGCGCAATTAGAACACGCCACGCCAAATTCTGATGCGCTCATCTCCCTGGTCGAGCATATGGTCCCGTGCGTCTTGCATTTAGAAAACCGGACGCGCGAGAAGCTGTTGCGGCTCATCCTCAACAATTTATTTGTGATCTACGAGAAGAGCGTGGCCCTGGCGAAGCTGCGGCCGCTGGAGAAATTGATTAGAACGAAAGGCTTCGGCTGCCCGAACGGCCGCGAGGGCAAGTGGACGGCGCCGCTCTCCAAGGACGAAGATTCCGTCGAGAAGATCTCGTTGAATTGCGGCCGCGCCCGGAAGATCTTTGCTAACGTCGGCACGGAGCTCATCGAGGCGTGCTTCCCGGACGACGCCAAGCGGCGGGTCGTCCTCGACCTCGTCCGCGGCTACGAGGAATTGATGGTGCTATATCGAAAACGAGAAGATCTCACGGACGTCGAGATTGCCAAAGCCGACGACCTCGCCCAGGAGACCTACCATCGGCTACTGACGACCACGGCGAAGGCCCTGCGAACTTCAACTACTTCATGATCGGCTCGGGCCACATTACTGCTTATTTGCGAAAGTACCGGAACTTGTACCGCTACTCGAACCAGGGCTTCGAGAGCGTGAACCACTTGATCAAGCGCTTCTTCCTCACGCGGACGCAGCGCGGCGGCCACTGCGGCCACGAGGCGACGCGGGCGACGCGCGTCGCCGCGCTGGGCAAGTGGATGCAGCGGCGGATGATGTGGCTCACAGGCCTGGTCAAGCCCGGCGAGCTCAAGGTCATCGGCTGGAAGCAGAAGCGCGTGATAGACTGGTAAATTGTGACTTACTCTTCGTAGGCTGCGACGAGTGCATGGACTTCAGACGTTGGACGCGTGAGCGTCGGCACGTCCGCGCCGGCGACCGGGTAGGCCTCCCTAAACTCGCACGACGCCGCCGTCGCCGCCGTGATAGTGTAAACGACGCCGTCGAGCTCGAACTGTTTCATCTGCAACTCCGCGACGACCGTCGCGGACAGCGTGTCTTCGACGGGCGCGACGGGCTCGACGGCCGTCTCCGGCGGTGGCAACGGCGACGGCGCCGTCAGATTCGTCACGTTCGTGGCACCGGCCTCGGCGGGCGACTTGACCTCGAAGCGGGCGTTGAGCTTCAATTCGCCGGTGTCGACGTTGTAAGTGCACGTCACCCGCACGAGCTTGTTGAACTCGTCCAGCGTCGTCGGCACCCTCGTCTCCTTGAAGCCGCCTTTTAGGGGTACTCGTAGACCGCGTCGCCGCGCCAAGATCCGGAACTCGCTCTCCAGGCGCACCACGTCATCGCCGCTAAGCGAGAACCGCTCGAAACGGTAGAACTGGAGGCGCGTCACGTCGGCGCCGCCTGGCCGCCCGCGCGCCACGACGCGCTTCGCCGTGAACTTCTCGATCCACATGCCCGACAGCTTCGAGAGGTAGGCCCAGTACAACTTCGAAACACACGTCGTAACGGTACCGCTCTTCTTTTTCCCGCGGAGGAGCTCGCCGACGGCATCAGCAACGGCGACGCGCACGTTTAACAAGTCCCACAAGCCGCTCATCGTCGACGGCCTGTCGTCGATCAGCGACGCGACGCAGCGCTCTGGAAGCGGTCGCAGCGCCGGCGACGTACCATCAAACCACTGGTCGAGGGTGTAGACTCGCGCGAGGCCGTCGTAGGCACCACTTCTGGCCTTGTCCTGCGACACGACCCACACAGGCCCCACGACGGAGGTCACCGAGACCTCTCTAGAAGTCGACGAGAGGACGACATCGCAGGTGGACGCAGTCGACCTGTTGATGTGTTTGGGCAACGCGTCGATCTTGCGAGCCCAAGACCTCGATCCTTGAGGACGACGGGGCTGCAGGAAGACGACCATGCTGCCGTCCTTGAGCAACAGCGAGTCGCCCGAAAGATGGGTCCGACCTTCGGGGCGAAGAACGGCGTCCGTCGCGCGGCGAGGGACGCCCCTCGAGCGCCTCGAGCGCGCGCCCACCGTGACGGCGGTCTCCTCCTTCTTCACGACGAGCGGTTCCGAGCCCTGCGCGAACGGCTGGACCTGCACAGTGTCGCCGACGACGGCAATGGCGGTGCCCTCGACGCGCTCGTCGTCGCAGGCGACGACGACGCTGTCCAGGGACTGCGGGGCGCGGTTTGTTATGGTCTGAAGGACCCGCGGCCGCGCCGCGCCGTCGCCGCGCGAGCGCTTCTGGGACGACGAGGGCAGCTTTTCCCACGTCTCGCGGCGCCTCTTCAGCCCCTGTTTCTTGGGGGCGGGGTCCGGGGACGGCGGCGGCGCGCGGCGCGACCGCGCGGCGCGGGGCAGCAGCTCGGTGGGCTTTACCCAGCCGCGCGAGCGCGCCTCATCCTCGACGTACTTCTGGAAGGTGGCCTGGTCCGGCGCGAGGCCCTCCAGGTACTTCAGCCTGCCCGGGGGCAGCGTATTTGCGGCCATCGTCCAGTTAACTGATACCAGCAAACGACCAGTCTCTACATCTAATAAAGTCAACCAAACAAAAAGTCAACTTTGTCAAATCCCACTAGTCGGCCGTAGTGAACCCTCCGGGGCGGCCCAAGGCATCAGCTTTATCCGTTTGACACACGTCGTCAGGGCCCGAGAGAAGCGGCGCAGTTCCGACATGGATGCAGCCAAACCGGGGACCGTCGCCTACGCCCTGCGCGCGGCCCAGGTGCCGCCGGCCGTGGCGCGAGGCTACTCGGACGCGACCGGCATCGTCCGGCTCCGAGCCTGGCAACGCGACGTCCTCGAGGGCCCCGACGGCGTCGCGGCCGGCGCGAACGCCGTCGTCACCGTCGACACGGCCGGCGGCAAGTCGTGCGTGGCCGAAGTCGCGCTCCTCCGGGGCGCCTTCCGGGGCGAGGGCGGGGTGGCGCTGTACGTGCTGCCGTTCCTCGCGCTCGTCGCCGAGAAGGCCCGGACGCTGCGCCGGGCGCTGCGCGACCACGACGAGCGGTGCGCGCGCGCCGACCGCTGCGCGGTCGTCGACTGCGGCGAGGGGCCGGACGCGCCGCGCGCGTCGCTCGCGATGGCGAGGGCGATCGTATGCTGCACGCCCGAGGCCGCGCTGGGCCTGCTGGACCGCCAGGCCCTCGCGGCGGCGGACGCGCGCGCGCGGCGGCGGCGGCGCGGCGGCGCGGCGGACGACGCGGGCGGGTCGACGGGCCGCCTGCGGGCCGTCGCGGTCGACGAGCTCCACCTGGTCGGCGACGCGGACCGCGGCGCCGCGTACGAGAAGCTCCTGACGCGCCTGCGGCTCCGGGGGGGCGCGACGCAGCTGGTCGGCCTCTCGGCGACGCTCTCGAACGTCGAGGCCGTCGCGGCGTGGCTCGGGTGCCGGGCGACGGTCGCGCGCTGCCGGCCCGTCGCGCTGCGGCCGCGGTTCGTCACCGAAGCGACGGCGACGGACGCGACGCGGCGCGCGGTCGCGGAGGCGCGGGCGGCGCGCGAGAGCTGCCTCCTCTTCTGCTGGCGCCGCGATGACACCGGGCGGCTCGCCGAGCAGATCTGCGCCGCACCGCGCAGGAACGCGGAGCACGACCGCGCCGCGCGCCGCGCCGCGCGGCGCGCGCTGCCGCGCCGCGGCGACGCGCGGCTCCGGCGGCTGCTCGAGCGCGAGGACGGCGACGCGCTCTTCCACTCCGCCGCGCTCGCGCCCGAGGAGCGGGCCGCCGTCGAGGCGGCGGCGGCGGGCGGCGGCGCGCGCGTCGTCTGCTGCACGCAGACGCTCGCGGCCGGCGTGAACCTGCCCGCGGCCAAGGTCGTGGTGCTCTGCGGCGCGGACAAGTTCCCCACGGACGCCGTGCAGCTCGCGCAGATGCTCGGGCGCGCGGGCCGCGGCGGCGCCGCGGGCGCGCGGCGAGGCGAGGCCGTCGTCGTGGCGCCGCGGCGGCGCGCGGCGTGGGCGCGCGGGCTGCTGGCGCAGGCGACGGCGCGGTCGACGCTGCCGCCCGTCCGGTCCGGCCTGGCGCGCGCCGCCGACGCCGCCGAGGCGCTCGCGCGGCTGCTGCTCGAGGCCGTGTGCGCGACCGAGGCCGACGGCGCCGCGTTCGACGCCGCCGAGGGCCCCCGCGCCGTCGCGCGCGCGACGCTGTTTCGGGCGCTCGCCGACGACCCGCGCGCCGCCGACGCGGCGTGCGGAGACGCGCTCGCTTCGCTGGAAGCGGCGCGCTGCGTCGACGTCGACGCGGCCGGGGCCGCGCGCACGACGGCGCTGGGCCGCGCGGTGCTCGCCGCCGGAGACGTGAGGCCGTTGGAGGCGGTGCTGCTCGAGGAGGCGCTGACGCGCGCGCGGTGCGCGCCGGCGTCGAGCGCCGCGGCCGCGCTCGTCCGCGCGGCGGTCTGCGCGCCGCTGCCCGGCCTCGACTACCACCTCGACGCGGCCCTCTTCAACACGAAGGTCTTCTGGGACTTTGTGGCGGCTCTGGTGGACGACGGCGGCCGCGACGCGGAGACCGCCGCGGCGCACCTCGGCCTCGACCTGGAACAGCTCGAGCGCGACGCGCACGCGGCGGCGCGCGCCGCCCCGCTGCCGACCGCGGTCGAAATATTGCGCGACGTGCGGCGGGGCCGCTGGGGGGCCACGCGCCGCGCGACGCGCCTCTTCGTCGCGCGGCGGCTCTGGCTCGGCGTGCTAGTGGATGCGCTCCTGTCGCCGGCGGCGCCCGGGGCGGTCGCGACGGCGGCGCCCGTCTCGCTGGAGGAGCTGTCGCGGCGCACGAAGATTCCCGAGCCGGCGCTGGAAAAGCTCGCGCGGCGGGCGCCCATTTTCGCCGGCGCCGTCGCGCGCTTCTGCCGGCGCCTGAACTGGACCTGCGTCGCCGACGGCCTCGACGAGCGGGCGGGCGCGCTGCGGCGCGCGCTCCGCGCGTTCGATAAGAAGCCGGCGTCGTGGCGCGCCGGGCTCCGCGGCCTGCGCAAGGCGTGCGGCGGCGACGCCCAGCTCGCGCGCGCGCTGCGGGACACGAACTACCGCGCGGCCGCGGACGTCGCCGACGCCGGCGTCGACGCGGTCGAGCGCGTGCTCGCGGACGCGGCGCCGTGGCGCCTCGCCGGCGTCGACGCCGTCGACGGACCTGCGCGCCGCCGCCACGACGCGTCCTGGTCGCAGACGCCGTTCCTGGTCTCGTTGCTGTCCGCCACGAGGACGACGGGCGCCGAGGCCGCCGCCGCCGCCGCCGCGCGGCGCGGAGCCGTCGCCGCCGGCGTCGTGGCCGCCGCCGCCGCGGCGCGGACCGGTCCGGCGCGCGCGGCGCCGCGGCGCCGGGCCGAGGCCGCCGAGTCCGACGACTCGGACGGCTCCGCGGCGCCGAGTTTCGACGCGTCCTCGTCGGACTCGGACTCGGACTCGGACGACGACACCGCGGACGCCGCGGACTCCGACGGCGCCGCGGACGCCGCCGCCGACGGGCGCGCGCGCAAGCGGCGGCGCGGGAGCGGGCACACGGCCGGGCTCGAGACGTACGCGTCGTCGCGAGACGTGTCGCCGCGGTCGCGGCGGTCCGAGGCGTCGTCGGGCGTACAAGTCAGGGACGCGTCGCCGCGCGTGCTGGCCTCGGACGCGCGGCGGCGGACGCGCGCGCTCGACGCGCGGGAGAGCGCCGCGCTCGCTTCGACGGACGCGCCGTTCGTCGGCGTTGCCCTGGATACGGCGCCGCCGCCGCCGGGGGCGTCGGGCACCCGCCGGCGCGCGTGGGCCAAGTTCCTGGACCCCCGCACTTCGAGGGTCTTGGTCGGCTACGGCCTCGCGCGCGGGCCCGGCGAGGCGAGGTATTATTCTTCGCCACCGGTCCCGCCGCCCTGGCCGTTCGAGCGCGAGCTGCGCCGCAGGAACGACGGGACCGCGCAAGGCTGGGCGCGGCTCCCCGAGGCGGCCGTCTGCCGCGTCGTCGGCTGGCTGGGCTTCCGCCAGTACGCGCCGCGCCTCGGCGCGGCGCGCGACGGCCGCGCGGCCGGCGCGGCGGCGCGGCTCGCGTGCCGGGCCTGGCACGCGCGCGGCCGGCGCGCGCTCCGGGCGTGCGAGCGCCTCGCGGGCGGCCGCGTCGCTTTGGCGGCGACCGTCGCCGCCGCGCCCGACCGGGGGGGCGCGTACGCCCTCGCGTGCGGCGACGCCGTCGCCGTCGCGACGGCGCTCCGCTCGAACGGCACGCCGGCTGGCAGGCCGCTCTTCGACGTGCCCGCCGCGAAGGCGGTCGCCGCGCGGGCGGGCGGCGGCGCGGCCGCCGCCGCCGACGACGCCGCCGACGCTGCCGACGCCGCTCGCGACGGCGAGGACGCGCCGCGGCGGCGCGACCGCGCCGTGGCGCGCGCGGCGGCGCTGGCCCGGGACGCGCGGACGTGCCGCGACGCGCTCGCGGCGCCCGCGTGCGGCCGCGCGCTGGCCGCGCTCCTCGCGACGGACGTCGCGTGCGTTCCGGCGATCGCCGAGATGAACCACTCGGGCGTGGACGTCGACGCGCCGCGGCTGCGCGCGTGGGTCGACGACCTGCGGCAGTTCGTCGACGACTGCCGCCGCGTCGCCGCGGAGGCGCACGGCATCGAAAACCTGGGGGCGCACGGGAAGGTGAACGCGCTGTGCGACGTGCCCGCGAAGGCAGCCTCGACGGCCGCCGCGCGCGGGCTCGCGGCCCAGGCGCAGCGGGGCGGCCGCGCCGGCGAGCGCGCGACGGTCGTGCTCGCGCACCGCCGCGCCCGCGCGCTGCTCGCCCGCCTGTCGGGCCTGCAGCGCGCGCTCGCGCCGCACCCCACGCTCGAGGCGTCGACGACCTGCGCGCGCGCGTGCTTTTCGCTCTCGCGCGAGACGAAGCGCGGCCGGGAGCCGACCGCGACCGGGCGCCTCGTGTGCTCGGCCCCCAACTTCCAGAACTTCGACGCGGCGGGCGTGGCGATCACGCGGTTCGCGCGGCCGAGCCTGCACGAGGACCCCGAGGACGCGCTTCCCGGGATTGAGGTGCTCTGCGTCGACGCGACGGTGCGGCCGGGCGACCCGCCGCGGCTCCGGCGCGGCGCGCTCGTCGAACTGAGCGGCGCGGCGATCGACGCGCGCCGCCTCGCCGACGGCGCTTCGATCGCCGACTACTGGCGCGACGCGGCGCGCCGGGGCGCGACGTGGGCGTACTCCGCGCGGCGCGCGGCGACCGTGCGCGCGGCCGTCGTGCGGATCCGTCGGCGCGAGCTGACGTACCCCGCGGACCGCGTCTACCGGCTGGACCGCGGGCCGCGCCTCCGCCCGCCGGGCTTCGCCTGGCCCGAAGACGGCCGCGTCCGCGAGACGGAGCGCGCCGCGCGCTACTCGCCGTTCGACCACGCGATTTGCGTCGAGCCGCGCCGGCTGATTATCGCGCGGCGCGGCGCGGTGTTCCTGAGTGCGGACCTCAAGCAGTGCGAGCTCCGCGTCGCGGCGCACCTGTCGGGCGACGCGCGGCTGCGACGGTGCTTCGAGGAGCGGGGGGACGATCCGTTCGTGGAACTCGTGGAGAGGTGCGCGGTTGTGAAAGACCGCGCGGCGGCGAAGCAGCTCGTCTACGCGGTGCTGTTCGGCCAGAGCACGCGCAAGGCCGCGCGAGCGCTGGACGTCGACGCGCGCGCCGCCGTCGACGCCGTCCAGCGGGTCCGGGCGCTCTTCCCCGCCCTAGACGCGTATCGGGCCACGGTGACCGCGGCGTGCCGCGAGCACGGGTTCGTGGAGACGGTGCTGGGCCGGCGGCGCCGGCTCCCGGACATCCACTCGACCGATCCCAAGCGGCGGCGCAAGGCCGAGCGCCAGGCCCTCAACGCGGTCGTCCAGGGCTCCGCCGCCGACCTCGTCAAGCGCGCGATGGCCTCGATGGTCGCGAGCTTTGGGGCCAAGTACGACGCGCGCCGGCGGCCGCGGCTCGTGCTCCAGCTCCACGACGAGCTGGTCTTCGAGGTCCCGACGCAGGACCTCGCCACCTGCGCGCTCGACGTGTCGTCCGCGCTCGAGGCCGCGACGGCGCTGGAGGGCGTGCCCGCGGAGGTCCGACTCCGGGCCGGCCCGTCGTGGGCGTCGCTCGCGCCGTACGACCCGCATTCGGCGGCGCCCGCAATGGGTTCTATTCCTCCTGTGTAAAGAATCATGAATGATCTGCCAATGCTCAACTTGAAGTTGCTTTGCTTAGAGCTAGGCCGCCTCGTAGGCCGCCTAGCCACCACGACCGCCGCGGGGTGACCGCCCCGCCCCCGCCCCCGTACGCCGTCGCCCCTGAAGTTACCGTGACTTAGTTAGCCTGAGAAATGTGGCCGCATGACGGCCTAAAAGGAACTTGGCGGTTTCCGAGCCCGGCCCGGGGCCACTGGCTTGCAAGCTACATTACTAGTAATACTACAAGTACTAGGGGCACACCACCCCGTTCACTCCCGCGCGGCCTTCGTGGGCGAGCAGTTTGGCGTGTGGAGGGTCGCGAGCCCGCGGTCTAACGCCCAGGCGTGCCACCATCTGAGAGCGTGGTCCCGCGGCGGTGACGACGCGCGGACACGCCGGAGGACGAAGAGCGCGTGCGCGTCGGACGCGTAGTCGCCGACGCCGTGGAGCGCCGAGACCGTGTGCGTGTCGAGGGGCGTCGCCCCCGCGGCGGCATCGTCGCGGGACGCAGCGGCACGCGCGTGCGCTTCCAAATACTCCCGAGACATGCGCGCGAGACGCCGCGCGCGCTTGCGGTGGAGACCAAGCGGCCTCAATATAGCCTCGAGCCGCTCCATTTTCATGGGGTCCTCCGCCGCGGCCGCGGTAGCCGCTGGACCGGGGAACGACGCGAAAAGACGCCAGAGGACCGCGTCGACCTGTCGCCGCGTCGTGACGTTCAGCAAAACGCAGGCCGCAAGCAGTTTCCACTCGTTGTGCCAGAGGATCTCCTCCAGCAGGCCGAACGGCGAGCAGGGGAAGCTTTCGGCGCGCGAGAGCCGCGTCGCGCGGTCGACGCCGCCGTCGAAGTCGCCCGAATCCGCGGCGAGGAAGTGCGGCGACGCGCGGCCGCGCGGCGCGTGCGTGGCGTCGTCGCCTGCGTAGAATCAAATCAAATGTCAAGGCGCCTCCCCCTCGACGCGACGTTGGCGGCGTACGGCGAAAAGCAAGGAGCGCATTCCGCCCCAACTTGCAGCACAGGTGCAGCAGGCTACGCTTCTAGACGTCCCATCGACGCCCGCCGCCGCGGCGCGGTGGAGACATGACTGACTCACTGGTTGATTTCCACGCTGGTCGTCGCTCGGAGGCCAGAGCGCCGCGCGCAACGAATCGCGCTCTGCGCGCAGGTCCAGCGCATCGAGCTGCGGCTTGGTGAGTCGAATACCCCTTCCTCCGTGCGACGCTTGAGGAAAGGAGGGCCGCGGAACATCTGGAACGCCGCCGCGCGCGAGAGCGTCGGCCGCTGTTCGCGCCTCCTCTCCCTCAAAGAACCCCACTCTGAAGCCATAGGCCGCCTCCGGCGCGAGGACGACGCGCGCGCGCCAGGCGTCCAGCCGGCTCGCGTCGCCGCCGGCGCGCGCGACTCGCCTCCTCAACTCGAAGAGCTGCCGCGCCGGCTCGTGTTCGCGATAATAGCACAAGTGAGGGCAGAGGTGTTGCACGTCGCCGGTCCTCGTGAATGTCTTGCATCTCCGCCTCATGGCGTCGAGGGTCGCCGGGGCATCGTCGCCCTCCCTCACGGCGTCGAGGTTCACCCCGGGGCCGTCGTTGCGATCCTCCTCCGAAGCCGACGACAGGGACGACGCGTCGTCGTCGCTTCTCCACCCTGGCGGGCGCGGTCTGCCAGTTTCCCGTTCCCTCTCCGTGGCTTTCTCCCGTCTCGCCCGTCGCCGCGCCTTCGCCTCCGTCGCGCGCCTCCGCCCCTCTGGGTCTACTTTTTTCTCAAGCGCTTTGCAGCGGCGCCGGAGATCCGTGAGGACGTCTCTCCCACGCCGGACGGCGTCGCTCCGCTGCCGCACGCGGCAACTAAAGTTCACGTGGAGCCGGTACAGGCCGCCGTCGAGGGCGCGAAGCGCTGCGCCCCGCGCGCCGGCGTCCTCCGACCCGGCCTCGACGGCGGCAAGCACGGCCTCGGCCGCGGCGGCCTGCGCGCCGAGCGCGTCGTTGCCGCGGACGGCGGCGGCCGCCTCGAATCGCCCTAGTGCCGCCGCGGCCGGCTCCGGGGCGCGGGGGGTGCTTTCGACCTGTTCGACGCGTGCGACGGGCGGTGGAGGTTCCGCGGCGCCGGTCTCGACGCCGAAGGCCCGCCTCGCGACGTCGGCGCGGCTCCGGTAGCGGGCGGCACCGTCGACGAAGTACGCGTCGAGCGTCCCCGCGCTCCGGCCGCCCGCCCGGCGCTTGACCTCGACGGTCCAGCGAAGCACGTCTTCGGCGCGCGCCACGCCGCGCGCCGCGAGGTAGGACCGCAGGGCCTCGAGGCGGGCCGTCTCGCCCGGGCGCGGCCGCTTCCGCAGAGGACGCGCGGGCGCCTCGACCTCAAAGTACCGCGATCGGCGCGGGGGCTGGTCCATCGCCGTAGATGTTACCGCAGTACCGATGGTGGTTTACTGCGATCAAGCCGTCGCCCCACAATACGACACACGCAAACTACCGTTTGATTGGCCTGTAAGACTAGCAAGCATCAATGCGCGTCTTTATCGTTGCAGTATTATACCTTAGCAAGAGTACTGTACCGTACTGCGGTACGCGGTACCTACGGTAGGTACCGTAGGTATGTCGCGGCGTTATGTAAAGTAGCAGGGTCCTAGCTCACCAGCCGAAGGCTGGGCCAACCTAACTACGAGAGTGTTTTATAGCAAATTGTGTTTGCACCGTAGTGATTGTACACTCGATGTATAGACTCAAATTTAGAGAGTGGGAGATACATATCTAGGGGGGTCGAGCGCAATACTAGTCACTGGCACGGTCCGAGTCGACGTTGGCACAATGGAGCGTACAGCCACACGCCGACCGATGGCGGTAATTTTTTGCTGCTCACTTGTCAAGGCGCACTGGCAGCTTCCGAGGGCAGCTTCTGCGCACGCCCGGCGAGATTTTGTGCGTACGAAGGTGGGGATTCGACTGTAGCTGGATCTTGGCGCTACGTGCGTCTTTTTTTATGCTGAAAAGCAGAGTACCCCGCATTTCCGGGCGCTCGGGCAGCCCAAGTGATGCACCTGCTTCCAGTATACGATACGGCTCAATTGCGCTGCTATATTCGCATCGTGCGGGAATATCTCGTATATTCGGCCTTTTCTCGTAGGCACGTTAGGTAAGGGGGGGGTCTAAGTGCCAGTGCTGGCAGTTATTTCGCCCTATTTATCGCAACGGTGTAAATCACTGGCAATTTACTATAAAACACTCTCGTAGTTGGTTTGGCCCAGCCTCTGGCTGGTGAGCTAGAACCCTATCACTCTACATAACGCTGCGGCATACTCGTGCTATGACCAACCTACCAGTACCTACGGTACGGCCCGGGTACCAGCTTGCACCGGTACAAGCGAAACCTACGGGGCCGATGACTCTCGACCCGGAGTCCGCGGGGGGCAGCCTCCCCGTCAGAAATAGTGTGGCGCTTGCGCGGTGCCGTGCGCCCGTAAATAAGAATCAGCGCTCATGCGCGTCGTGGTCCTGGCCGCGGTGGCCGCGACGGCCGCGGTGGGGCTGCGCACTCAATACGCGGACTACGACAAGCTGTGCAAAGCGACCGCCAACGGGACGGTGCCAGAGGCGCAGACGCACCGGCGCAAAAAGGTGCTGCTCAACTTGCACTTCCAGCACGGCGCGGGCACGTACTTTTGCCACCTGGCCAAGGTGAACTGTGAGCGCGTCTGGGGCTCTGCCTGCAACCACTACGGCGACGGCGGCACGTCGCCGCACCACATCATCGTACGCGACTGCGCCGAGAGGCGGCATGAGATCACGGTCAGCAAACCTTCGTTCGTCGGCCTCGAGCGCGGCATCCTCAGCGGCGAGTGGTGCCCGGACCTTTATGATTATGTGGTCATCGTCCGGGAGCCCGTCTCGCGCCACCTCTCGCGGCGGGTCATCTGGGGCACGAACAAGAAGATCCTCGACGCGCTGCGGGAGCTCCTGCCGCTGGTGGGGCCCCCGGGCGCCGCGGGCGCGGTCGCGCCGGCCGACGTTGGGCGGCGGGACAGCATCCTCAGTCGCCTGCGCGACGCCGAGGAAGCGGCCCAGGTCGCCCAGCTAGACAACTTTTACACGCGCGCGCTCGCCGCCAACACGTCCGTGTACGAGGGCGCCTTCGGGGCCACGTGCACCTCTGACCTCGACACGGCGCTGGCGCGCCTCGAGACCTTCAAATTCGTCACATCCCTCGACTACATCAATGACCACACGGCGGACGCCCGCCGCCTCTTTAGGCACTCCGTTCTGGGCTGGACGAACTTCTCGAATGCAGCCATTAACGAGCACCACGCTGGGGAGAAGGCCCCGACGGACATCCTAAGCACCGCGGAGTTGGCGCTGCTCGCGGATCTGAACGAGCTCGACCGGGCTGTTTGGGCGTACGCCGACCGGAGGGCGCTGCGGGAGGGGCTCGAGGTCCTCGCCCTGCTAAATAGATGAATAAGTGTGGAAAACGTTAACTTGAAGCCGGCAGCATGGTACTGCCAGCATCCCAACTAATGTACCGCTAGCGGTACATTAGTAAAACTCAAGTGCAACTTTGACTTCAAGTTCAAAAATGACGTGGTTGAAGTTGAATTCCCGAAATAAACCCGCGTAACTCCCCTTAATACAACCTAGAACACACGGGGATACTACGAATCGCATCGTAGCGGCCTTGCGCGTCGTTTTCGTAAGAACAGCGTTCTGACGAGCGGCGCAAAACAGCTTAAATGCTAGTGGCGCAAAACTCACTATAGTGCACTAGGGCCTGTGTGCCCCGTACCGTTAACGGTACGGGGCAGAAAGTATCTTGTAGCGAGCCACTAGGTGTGACGATATTGCCGCTACTACGGTCCGCTACGACCGTCACGGTGACTCGGACCCCCAACATCCTCGGCGCGGACGGCGCATGGCTGCTTCAATGGACCCAGCGGCGGGCCGTCCTGTAGCGGCTGTCGAGACGAATGGAATTAAAATCATTAATTAGCGCTCCAAAAAAGGCACCTTCAGCCCCCTCGATGACCGCGATGCGGTCACCCGCCGGCCAAGCCTGCTGGCGGGAGCCTCAAGGGTCTTTTGAAGCCTCGGAATGTATTTCCCAATCTAATTCTCCCCAGACCCCCCTCCTTACGGGCACGAACCTAGCTAGGTATTTGCAGCTGCACGGCGCATGGGAGGCAGCCATCAGCCAACGAAAAGGAGCGCGACCATGTAGGCACCTCCCGGCCATGACCCCGCGCCAGGCGAGCCTCCTTTCTTGCTGCCTCGCGCTGTCCCGGGCGGCTGCTGGGGACTGCGAGCCGGCCTCCAAGGCCCTGCGGGCCTTTTTCGACTCACCAGGACCTGCGACGGCCGTCTTCGCCGCGGACCAGGTCGTCGCCAGCCGCGGCGCGTGTGTCTCGCAATCGCGCGACGGCCGGCGTTCGACGTGGTTCGCGGCCGGCGACGACGGGGCGCGCGATCTGCGCCGGGCGTGGTGCGCGCCGCGCCGCGTCGAGCGGCGCAACGGCACGCGCGGAGCCGCGATTTCGCGAAGATTTTCGGCCGTCGCGCCCTACGCCGCCAAGACGCGACGCGCGGCGCAGAGGTGGCGCCTTTACAAGCGCTGCGGCGCCTTGAATAGGCGCGGCAGGCCGCACGACCACGAGCACGTCGATCTCGAGGAGGCGGCGCCGGCGCGGGTCGCGGAGGCTCGATGGGTCGACGCGATCGTCGTCCTCCTCTCCGACCGGCTCGCGAACGTCGGCCACGCCGTCCGCGACGTGCTCTTTCTTCGGGCGTTCGCCGGCGCGTGGGCGTGCGGCGGCGAACAGGAGGTCCTCTACTCGCTGTATCTGGCGCCTCGAAATCCCCAACCGCCTCTACCTTGGGTTCGGGAGCTTTCCGAGGCGGTCGCCGCGTCGACGGGCACGCGCGGTTTTTCGCCGCGACCGGGCGAGGTGGTGTGCGTGCGAGGACTAGTGCAGAAGGCCGCGCAACACGTCGGCGACGCGCATACGGCGAGGCACGCGAGAGCCGCGGCGCTGCGACGCTGCGGCGTCGAGCTCGAAGCGCCGGCGACGACGGTCCTCTACGTCGTCCACGGTGCGTCGCGAGAGGGGTCGCGACGTCTGGGAAATCACGAAGCCGTCATTGCCGCCCTCGACGGCGTCGCGCAGAACAAGGGCCTGCGCCTCGACGTCGCGGAGCTCGGCGCATTATCGTTCTGCGGGCAGGTGCGCGCTGTGTACCGCGCGCGCGCCGTCGTCGGCGTCTTCGGCGCCGCGGTCGGAGGCAACTTAATTTTCACGCGCGACACCGCCACGACGGTCGAACTGACCGCGTGCGGCCGCTCGGCGCCGCGCGCGCCCGACGCCGGCACGCTCGGCCACACGTTCCTGCCGTTCGCTGCGGCGTACGCGTACGGCTTCGTGTCGTTCTGCCTATGCGTCGACGACCCGGACGTCGACCTGACGGCGAAGCGCTCGACGCGGCGCGGCTGGTTCAGGTCCGAGCGCCTCGGCGCGAACGTCGGCGCGCTGGCGAGCGCCGTCACCAGCGCGCTCGACGGCGACCACGCGGGCGCCGCGCGCGCGGCGGCCGAAGCGCGGCCCTGCGAGATATAGAAACAGGCTGTTGTGTATATTTGTGTCCTGGCAGACAACTTTCTGTCCCCCCGCCCCGGGCCGCCCGGGCCTCTCCGGCTTAACTTTACCGGTCCCGAGTAATGGACCGCATGCGTTTCAAATGTGACCGTCGCGGCAAGCGCGGCGGCGGGCGGGATGTCTCCGAGTCAGCGGCCCAGGACGAGCGCGGCCAGGCGCGCACGGAGTCGGCGGCCCACGGACGGCCGCTGGCGCGTCGGTGGCGCCGGCTGCGGCGGAGCCGGGCCACGCGCGGCCGCGGCCCGGGTGGAGGGCGAGAGCGGGTTCGAAAGCGCGCGTGGGCGCGCCGCGCCGACGAGCGGCCGCTCGCCGTCGCGCGCGACAGCCGGGAGCGCCTCGAGGAGCGGCCGGTTCGACGCAAGGTGCGTCGCCCCCTCGAGTGCGAACGGCGCGCGACAGAGCGGGCACCGGATGCAGCCGTCGACCCCGCCGGTCGACGCGTGCGCGCGCGCGCGCGCGAGGCACAGCGCGCACGCCACGTGGCCGCAGGGCGCGCGCGCGGCTGCGACGGGCGGCGCCAGGCAGACGGGGCACTCCTCGGTCGCGAAAACAGGTCGGCCGCAGGCCGGCGTCGGCGTCGGCGCGCGAGGATCGTGCCACGACAGCGCGGGCGCAGGCGCCGACCCTTTGAAATGACGGTGCGTCCGGTCGTCGCACGGGCACACGTTCCAGGCGCCCGGCGCGGCCGCGTCCATCCAGTACAGGTCCTCGCGCGCCGCCCTCTCGTCGCCGATCCACCAGCTGCTGCCGTCGCGCAGGATGCAGAGCCAACTGCGGTCGACGTGCCGCCACCGCGGGGCGTCGTTTTGTGTGCCGCAGCGAGCATAGACGCCATTCGCCCGCGCGTCACCCGCCCCGGCGACGAGGATTTCGCCGTCGGACGTTGGTCCGCTCGGCACGGGCGTCGTCATGGCCCAGAGAAGCCAATTGTGGTGTCGAGTTTCGAATGAAAGTCAGAGCTCTGCGGTCTACGCACGCGGATGACGCGTGTTCAGCGCCCGGAGCACACAATCCCTCGGACGAGCACTGGTGTGCTCCCCAACTAGGGGAAAGACGCAGGTAGGAAGTAGACCTACTAGGAGAACCAAACAATACGTATGTACATAAGGAAAATATTCCTTGAAACCCCTCTTAGATATGTATTCTCCCACTCAGGCTCTCTAATTTGAGCCTGAGTCCACACACAGTTGTTCTATTGCCAACTTTTTATCCCAACACTCGAGTACTCTCGCCGGGTACAAGGGCAGCCTCTCGCGTGGCAGCTTAGGACCCTTGCCAGTGCTTCCGTAGGTACCGTAGGTACCGTACCTACGGTACCGTACCTACGGTAGGTACCGTAGGTACCGTAGGTACGGTACTTTACGTAACGCTGCGCCGCCATATCGGGCAGCCGACGCTGTAACAACGCTGTGGGGACCATGGGCTACCTGATCGAGGAAGACCTTTGCACGGTGTCCACCACAGAAACGGTGCAAAAGCATCGGGCGGCGCCCACGTCGTCGGGCCGGACGTGTGTCGTCGTTGATTGCGAGCTCGCGAATTGCCTCGGCGACCTCTGGGCCATCGCCTATCTGCTGAGCGCACCCAACGTGGACCTACGCTACGTGCTAGCCACGGGCGGCGACACGAGAGCCAAGCTACGAGTTATCAGCAAGTTTCTGGCGCATTGCGGCCGGGCGGATGTTGAGGTCGGGGCCTGCGCGGAATCAAAAATGAGGCCGCCTTCGCAGACCGTCCACACGATTTCAGCCAGCGCGCCCGCCGAAGCGTCCGTCGGACGCATCGGTTGATTTGCACACAGGTCGGGGCGGGGCCAACCGGCCCTTCAGAGCCGTGGCTGGAGGCTGGCGATGATGGGGTGCTGCGGCCCTGCTCTCAGTACCACCCGAGGTGTGGCCCGAACCCCCTGCTGCGGGACTGGGCGAAGAAATTCGACGACCGGCAGCAACTTGCCCGGGGCGGCTACCCGGCGTACGACCCGATCGTGCGGCTGCGCGACGCGCTCGATTCGCGTGTGGACGACACCGAGGCGGTGGTCCTGTGCCTCGGGAGCCTAGAAAACGTGGAGCGACTGCTGGACCTGGACGAGGACGTCTTCGCCCGGCGCGGGGGGGCGCGCGTCGCCGCGGTGCGCGCGCTCGACGAGCCGGGCGACCGCGCAAAGCGCGTCCTGAGCGCCGCGTCGTCGGGTCTGGTCGCGCGGCGCGGCGCGTGCGCCGCGGCGCTCGGGCCGTCGCTCGAGGACGCGTCTGCGCGGGATCCGTTCCTGTGCGCCGACTCGCAAGCGGCCCTCGCGCTCGCCCAAGCGCAGCTTGCGGCGGGGCGCGCGTTCGGCGGCGACGTCGCGCTACGGGGGTTCCTCGAGAGCTCCATCTACGCGTTCGTGGCATGCCCGCCGCCCGGCGCGGCGCCCGAGGTCGCGCTCGACGTGCGGGAGGCGGCCGTCGACGTCGTCGACGGGGCGCTCGAAGACGTCGACGACGAGCGGCGCGGTCTCCTGTACGTGGACGTCGTCGAGGGTTGGGCCGACGCCGCGGACGCGTCGCTGGTCCGGGACGTCGTCGTCAAGACGGTCGCGGACGGGCCGTGGTGCCCCCAGGGCGCCCACAAGGCCAAGGAGCACAAACGCCAGCACCGCCCCCGCCCGCGGAGCGAAGGCCCGCGGCGCGTGCCGGGAGAGGACGAGGGCGCCAACGCCGCGACGGCCGACTACGGAGCCGTCGTCATCACCCACCGTCACGGCTACGCTCGGCCCGGACCTAGGGCGGCGATGTCGACGCGGCAGGTCCCCGGCGGCGGCGGCGGAACGACGAAGCCGCCGCGGCCCGCGTCGCCGCTCCTCGGGACGAGGCGACGCGTCACCGCGCCGGCGTTCCATAAGTAGATTTTTCTGCAGTACCACCACGGAACTAGGAATATGACTACTTACTCTCATCAAAGCTCGTCGTGGACGATGATGTTGTAGGCGCGGACGACGCGTGGTCCGAGGACATGATACGAGAGGAACGCGGCGCCGACGCCCGAGAGGGCGAGCACGGCGACGAGGAAGCAGCCCGCGGCGACGAGGCGGCACAGCGAGCGCGGCCGCGCGGCGACGGCCCGCCGCCGGTGCCGCGCGAGCAGGCCGCGGAGTGCGTCCGTCGCGGGGCTCGCGGCCGGGGTCCCGCGGTCGGACTCGTCGGAGGACGACGGCGCCTCGGCGAACGTGTCCGACGGGACGCGCGCGGGCCGTCGCGGAGGCCGGCGGTCGTCGTCGCCGTCGCGGTGCGCGCGCAGATTTTCGCAGATGTCCTCGACGGCGCCCGCCACGGCCTGCTTGCACCGCGGCGTGTCGAGGACGACGGCGAGCGCGCCGAGGGCGCTCCGGGCGCCCCGGACGGCGTCGCGCGCCTCCGGCGTGGCGAGCAGGTCCAGCGCGTCGAGCGCGACCGCTTCGCCCGCGTCCATGAGCGCCCGGCTCTCCTCCGAGGCGAACGCCTCGAACGCCCGGATCGCGAGCGTCGTCCCGCCGACGGCCAGCTTGCGGCCCTCGGGCGAGCTCGCCGCGCGGAACGCGTCCTCGAAGGCGTCGCGGCACGCCGCCTCGAACGCCGCGCCCTCGGCCGACTGGAGGAAGACGCTCGCCAGCGCCGCGACGCACGCCACCACGTCCGCGACGAGCTCCGCCGCCACGTGCTCCGGGAGGAGGTGGTACGCCAGGGGCGCGGCCGCGAGCAGCGGCCGCACGACCGCGTGCCGCGTCGCGAACGCCGCCGTCGCCGCGACGCCGTCGAGGAGGCCGCCGCGCCGCCGCGCCGCCTTGGGCCGCGCGCGCGGCGGCGGCGGCGGCGGCGATTTGTCGGACGCGCGGGCGGGCGGCGCGTCGGCGTCGGCGGGCGGCGCGGGCGTCGGGACCTCGTCGACGCGCGTCGCGCCGGGCAGGCTGGTCACCGGCGTGCCGAGCGCCTGGGGAGGAGCCGGGCGCCGCGGCAGCGTGTACTCCGTTGCGTGCATATGTGGCGTTCGTGTTTCAGAGGATGGCTCGTGTCGTTATTAGTCGAATCGGCTCTCGAGACATTAGTGCTATAGCACTAAGCCCCAAAGAATTATTTAGAGCTAAAACGGGTTTTTCCAAGGCAGGACAGCTCGAGCTCTGAGGGTTGGCGTCGAAGACCCGTTTTATACAGGCATTTTTACTTATTTGGCAGATAAGTTCTAGCAAGCAAGCCCGTATGTAGCGCCTGGAAACGCAACGTCTAAAATTGCAAGTAAAATACATAATAAACAATTACAGAGCAAACTACAGAGTAGTGTGGAGCTGTGTATTACCGGCGCACGGTGACGCGCCCACAAGCCGGGCAACTACCCTAGGGTGCGTGGCGGGGGCGCGGCGCTCCCGCCCTGATACGTATGATAGTATACGTCTGGACCAAGGGGCTCCCCTCGGTAAGTTCAAGTTTCTTGCATATTGCTCTAGTGCCCCAGTGTCAAACGCAAATCGCAGATTTCGCCCCCTGTACTTAAAGTAAAATGCCGCATTAATTACAAATTACGGTAATTTACTGGCGGGCTTAGACGCTCAATCATATTCCAAGGTCGCCGCGCATGTAGTAGTGCTAAAGCCCCCCCCCCGTGGGACTGTCTACAGGAACCAGTCCAGACATATACTAGTAGCCCTCAAACTGGCTCATCGACGACTCGGACCCGACAGATGATCAGCTGAGCTGGAGATGGAACTTGCTATAGATCACAAACTAGACCCTACACGCGCCCTCCTAGGTCCAGACGAGGTGCGTGAGCGCCAAGGACAGGTCGCCCGACACGACGCGGAAGCCGACGACGTTGTCGCCCTCGACGACGTTGTGCGACGTGGAGAAGCACGCCGACGCGACGCCCAGCGTCTTCGACTCGAGCCACGGCTCGAGCTCGCCCATGACTTCCTCCTGGTTCACGACGATGAGCGCGTAGTCCTGGAACTTCCGCGAGGCGAAGTCGCCGCAGAAGGCGATCGACCCGCCGTCCCGCACACCGGGCACGTTGAAAAAGACCCAGTGCGACTTGGCGTTCCCGACCAGGCTCCGCTTCTCGTCGCGGTAGTGGCACGCGCCCTGGCCTGTGCACAAATCAACACGTGGAATCGGGTGGCGACAATTTGATTTATGCACTGGCCCTGGCCCTGCTCGGTGACCTTCTTGGTGCGCTCCGAGGGATGGCGGAGCTCCCAGCCGTTGATGCCGAGCTGGGGGTCCACCAGGTCCAGCAAGCCCCGCCCGACGCGCGGCTGCCACGTCATCGCGCAGCGGTACGCCGTCGACCCGAACGCCGCCTGCAGCGGCTTCGAGAACGGTTCCGGCAAGGTGGGTCGCCTCCGGATGGTCCAGCGCGCGTCGTCGGGACCCGGCGCACCGCCGTCCGCCAGAAGCGCGCCGTACGTCGCCACGGCGTCCGCGAAGAGGTCCAAGTAGGCGAGCGCCATGTGGTGCCCGCCTGCGTGCAAATCAACCAGTGTTATCGACCGAGAGAGTACTGGCGTCGTCCTCTAGGCCATCGTGGAGGTGCGTCCAGTTTGAAGGCGCACCGAAACGTGACTTGCACGCCGGGGCCCGCGGAACCGCTGCAGCTTGAAGCCGGCGTGCCAGCGGACCTGACCGGGGCATGGGCACGGGTCCTTGGCGCAGAACCGGTCGTTCTGCAGGGCGGGCGACCGCTTCTTCAGCTTGTTGTAGGCCGCCATCTCGTCGACGACGTGCAGCCCCGCCGGCTCCCACGCGTACTTGAGGTCCTTCCGCAGGTAGGACTGGTAGCGCTTGTACATGACGAACGGCGCCCGCGGCATGAGCAACGCCTGCCGGATGAACAGCTCGCCCTTGTGCACGTCGCGCTCGACCATCCGGAAGTCCCACACCACCACGTCGGCGTCGCCCCCGAAGTTGTCCGCCATGCACACCGAGTTCGGAAACGACGGCACGCCGCCCATGGCCATGTTCCGCACCTGGAAGCGCACGCCCGCGGCCTCGAAGACCGGCCGCAGCGCGTCGCCGCACACGTTCGGGTACGCCTCCTCGAAGTAGTTGCCGTGGCCGGCGACGTCGCTCATGCCGCCGACCGCGATCACGAACGAATCCCCCAGCGCAAAGGCCCGCAGAAACCGCTCGACGAGCTGCTGCCGGCCCTGCGGGCCGCCCGGAAACACGACGCCTTCGCTCAGCCCGTCGAGGTCCGCCCCGTAGAGCTCGAGGATCTCCCGTCGCGTGTCGGCGATTTGCTGCTGGACCCTGGCGACCTGGGCCGCGTCGGGGGCGCCGCGCGCTGCGTCTAGCGCGACGACACAGAGCGCGGCCAGGACGCGCATTTCCTTTATCTCCGTCGATGAGGGACCTGCGGGCGGCCGGTGCGTCGGACCTCGGTTTCGTCGCAGGCGTCGCAGGCGGCGCGTCCCGCGGCGGGCGCTGCGGCGCGTGTCCCGCGGCAGCACGGGCGTCGCGAGAGCGCTTTGCGTGTAGTGAAAGCTGCGCAGGCGTCCTTGCCGCGCGTCGTTTCAAAACGCCGGACCGTACAAACAATTAAAAAAAAAAACACGCTGTCTCCAAGCTGTACTATTTATTTTACCTGCTCATGAAACTTTTACCCTGGGCATCCCTAGTGTCTTACAGAGCGCTAGCACGTTTCCTAGCAGCCCCTGCAGCTTCGCTAAAACGGGTCCTACGCGTAACCGAAGAGTATCCGCGACGCCACTATCACTGTGAAGCTTCGCGCCGTCGTTCTACGCGGACGACGCCACGTAGACGGAGCACCAGGCCCGTGAGCGGGGCAAATAAATATTTTCCCAAATTCAGGATTCATCGTGGTCGCTCGGCGAGACCTCGCGGCTCCTGAAACGCACCGCCCCGCGGCGACATTCGCGGATGAGTCTTAAGACTTGCCAAAATACACCAGCGCTTGGCGCCGCCATCTCCCGTCCAAATGGTACATCATATCAACTCCAGCCCAGTTTTCATTCACAATCGACGGAACCGGAGCCGACGGCGCGCGCTCGGAGGGCGGGAAAAGAATTCTACTCGACAACTCCCGAGTTTATGTTCGTTTCCTTCCGTTTGTTAGTGGTAGAGTCCATCTAGGCCGGATGGACACAGGTCGAGGTATGTTCGATGCTCCGTTAGAGCCGCGCGAAACGACGAATCCGTGCCCCCACGTTTCCGTGTAGACGAGGCCAGAACCCAAACCCGCGACTATCAACGACGCCACTACCCAGATGGACCCTAATCCCGTTGTTCTATTCACAATCGACCGACTTGCCCGTTCTCCGCGGGCGACCGTACGTTGACGGAGCCACGGAAAGGCCCCAGACCGGTGGTTTGTACAATAAATTTATGTTTCCTGCGCTTTAGTTACGGGATGGGCCAGCTAACCGGCCTGAGCGTGTACTACATTTGATTTCCTATTGCCAAATGCTCCCGCGCCTCGTCCGACTTGCGACCCCCCGATCCCGCTCATAAAGGGCAAATTACTTGGACCAGCGACCATCAGCCCGTGTAACATCACCATGGACCTTGAAGCGATCATTTTTTTCATGACCGACCGACTTCAGCGAGGTCCAGATAAAGATGTTCACGTCCCGAGCGTGGGCAGCCCAAAGTACCCTTCTCGTAGTGTAAATGTCATATACTTGTAATCGACTATCGGTGGGGTAGTATAGGGTCCAACGAGACCGCTTCGGCGACTACTGGGGGCCCTCGGGTAATTGACGTTTTCGACGGGAACGGGGCTCCATCGGGGCCAAATTACTTACTTTTTTCGGATGTAGATCGGCTCCTGGACTCGCTCCGGGATAGATCTGGGGTCGGGTGGTCCCCTAGACCGCATGCGGCGGTGCTTGGTGCTCCCCAGAGAGCTCTGGATCGAAAACTTTGGGGGATCATGGCACAAATTACTTCGGTGAGCACCTGTCCCTCACCGCGGCACGGCGCCCTTCGTTCGAAATTCTTTAATACACGTGTCAAATTCATCACGAATCGAGGAGGACGGAGGACGCCAAGGTCCACGCGCCGCGGCGCGGTCTTCGCCCCGCTTGCCCCACTTCTTGCCCCGCGCATCCACTAGCCCCGGAGGATCCCCGAGGCGACACACGGAGTCCAGCTAGCGCATGGAGGGGCCTCTCGAGTCGACTGGCTCGAGGAGGGGCGCCCCGTATCTTTCTCTTCTTAAAGTGCGCGCGCCGCCGGCGCTTCTACCTAGGCCTGGTTCGACGTCGCGGCCCACTCGAGCCCCGCCGCGCGCGCGGCGACGGCGGCCGCGTCGCCGACCGAGATCGACTCCATGTCCGACATGTAGCCCCGAAGCTCGCGGCCCACGACCTCGACGGGGTGCGCCCGGATCGCGGCGTTGACGTTCACGAGTTTCGCGTTGTCGACGCCGTTGTCTCCGTTGTTGAACTTGGCACCGATCGTCGTGGGGTCCACTTTGGACATGAAGTCGCCCAGCAAAGGCGCGCAGGCCTGGTCGTAGAGGTAGCAGCCGTACTCGGCCGTGTCGGAGATGACGTTGTTCATCTCGAAGAGCTTCTTGCGCGCGATCGTGTTCGCGATGAGCGGCGTCTCGTGCAGCGACTCGTAGTACGCCGACTCGGCCTTGATGCCGACGGCGGTCATCTTCTCGAAGGCGAGCTCGACGCCGGCCTTGACCATGGCCACCATCAACACCCCATTATCGAAATACTCCTGCTCCGAGATGTCCTGCGAACCGGCCGGCGTCTTCTCGAAGCCCGTCTCGGCGGTCGCGGCGCGCCATTTGAGCAAATTGGCGTCGTCGTTGTCCCAGTCCGCCATCATCCCCCGCGAGAACGCGCCGCTGATGATGTCGTCCTGGTGCTTCGCGTACAACGGGCTCATGATGCCCTTGAGCTCTTCGCTGAGCTCGAACGCCTTGATCTTCGACGGGTTGTCGAGGCGGTCCATCATGCCGGTGACGCCGCCGAACTTTAACGCTTCGGTGATCGTCTCCCAGCCGTACTGGACCAGCTTCGAGGCGTAGCCCGCGTCGATCCCCTGCTGGATCATCTTGTCGAAGCACAGAACGGAGCCGGTCTGCAGCATGCCGCAGAGAATCGTCTGCTCGCCCATCAGGTCCGACTTCACCTCGGCCACGAACGACGAGTCTAAGACGCCGGCGCGGTCGCCGCCCGTCGCGCTCGCGTACGCCTTGGCCTGCGCGAAGCCCTTGCCCTCGGGGTCGTTCGGCGGGTGCACGGCGATGAGCGTCGGCACGCCGAAGCCGCGCTTGTACTCCTCCCGTACCTCGGTGCCGGGGCACTTCGGCGCGACCATGATCACCGTCAGGTCGTCGCGGACGTTCATGCCCTCCTCGACGATGTTGAAGCCGTGCGAGTACGCCAGAGTGGCGCCCTTCTTCATCTTCGGCATCACGTCGTTGACGACGGACGTGTGCTGCTTGTCCGGCGTCAAATTCAACACGAGGTCCGCCGTCGGGATCAGGTCGTCGTAGGTCCCGACCGCGAACCCGTTCGACTGCGCGTTCACGAACGACGCCCGCTTCTGGTCGATGGCGACCTGCCGCAGCGCGTAACTGACGTCGCAGCCGGAGTCGCGCATGTTCAGGCCCTGGTTCAGGCCCTGCGCGCCGCAGCCCACGATCACGACCTTCTTGCCCTCGAGGCAGGCGCAGCCGTCCGCGAACTCGGACCGCTCCATGAAGCGGCAGCGGCCCAGCTGGTCGAGCTTCTCGGCTTGCGTCAACGAGTTGTAGTAGTTGACGCGCTCGGCCCGGAGCGCGACGTCCGCCCTCCTGGGCCCGACGGGAGGCATCAGCGCCGTCGACGTGCACGCCGCGAGAGCCAAGACAGCCCTGCGCATGGTGCACAAACGAACCCGGCGTCCGCACCGCCAAAGGCAAACGCGAGAGACGCAAAGTGCACGTGTCTCTGTGTCTGCGCTGAAGTGCCACTTTTGCAAGAGGCAGGGTCGCCAATCAGAGCCCGCCGCATTTGGGCCGTACTCCCCCTCGTCCGAGGCGTGCACGACGTAGTCTCTGGCTTTTCTTCGACTAGTAATGATTTTTGCCGCGCGGTATTGTGCTAGAGGCTCTATGTCTCTACATAACTCCCTTGGGCGCCGGCCTCGTAAAACACCAGAAAAAAGATGACGACGGCCCACCGACCGACCTGGACGGCCGCGCGCGAGCATGGCAACGAGTTCGGCGTCTACTCGAGCGGCGGCGTGCGCTCGGCGATGGCGCACGCCCGCGACGTGCCCAACCAGCTGAAGATGAAGTACCGGACGGGGCACCAGCTCGAGGGCATCGCCGACGCGACGCCGGAGGACTATGCCGCGCGCCTCGACGCCGCCGAGCGGTCGAGCGGGGCTCCGCAGGGCCAGCTCCTGCTCGCCGCCGACGCGCGCGTCGCCAGGGCGCCGGACCAGCTCCGCGACGTCGCCGTCGCGCCGGGCGCGCTGGACGCCTACGACGACCGCGACGCGAGCGACGGCGAGGGGTCCGACTCGGACTCGGACTCGGACGACGACGACGACGGCGCGGCGCTGCGGGCCGAGCTGGAGAAGATCCGCGCCGAGCGGGACGCGGAGCGGCGGCGCGAGGAGGACGAGGCCGCGGCGGCCAAGGCCGCCGCCGCGACGAACCCGCTCCTCGACCCGGCGCCGCCCGGCGAGCGATTTCACGGCGCCTTTGGACTTACTGTTGATTCGCACGCAGGCGCCGTCCGGCGCTGTCAAGAGGCGCTGGAACGACGACGTCGTCTTCCGCCACCAGGCGCGCGGCGCGGCGGAGAAGAAGGGCAGGACCTTCGTCAACGACACGATCCGCAACGACTTCCACAAGCGCTTCCTCGCGAAGTACATCCAGTAGCGGCGCGTGGCCGGTGCTCGCGGCGACGCACAAGGAACCTCTAATAGCATTGACACAAGTTAGTGTCGCATGGAACGTGTCCGCAATGCGCAATGCCCTCGTTGTGACTCCCGCGAATCGTAGACTGCCCCGCGAAAGAACGCGACGTATTTCTTCGAGATTGCACTCGGTCCGCCCTCTCGGGCTCGCAAAGCAAGTATCTGGCAAATAGTGCCAAAAGTACGCCAGCCTGACTCGGAAGGAAATGAACGATCCGAGTGCGGACGCAAGGTGAGTCCGGACGCAAGGTGGTTCTAGTACTATTAGTTTTTTAGATTAGTCTCGTTGGGTTATCCTGACTGAGGAGGGAGAAGGCCCTTAGGAGCTTGTTCCGAGTTATTTTTTGGTCTTCCTTACTAGTATCATGCCACTGCCAGTGAGGCCCAGAAAACAGACAAATTTTGCCAAACTGTCCTATCTGATCCCAGAACTATCCATGGGAGGGACCACTTGTTTTTTGTCGATGGTGGCATCCTTTGTCATCGACACAGGCACCTGGACTAAAGTAAGTTCACTTCACTGCCTCCTCTGTCCTCGATTTCTGATACCGTGACTAGAAGTGCGACTCCTGAAGTACTACTAGCCTGTCACGTAAACTTCCTAACGGGCAATTCCGCTTACACTCGTCACGGTCGCACGAGAAAGTCCTGGGGATCCAACGACAGGATGTTATGTCTGAACTTCAAGGCCGCGCCTCGGCGCGCACCTTCTGAGACATGATTCCGAGCTCGTGCCATTATTATTCTTATTATACTATATTGGATCCATGGACCCCCCCATCGGAGTCGGCGCATAATTTCACTCCCCCACCGCCGCCGCCGCGGCGAGCGGCGCGGGCAGCGCCGCTCGCAGCCCGTGGCCGGCGGCGGCGAGCGCCGCGACGACGCCGCCGAGCACCGCGAGCGCCCGGGGCAGGTCCCGCGCGTCGTCCGGCACCAGGGCGTCCCGGAGCGCGCACGTGAGGCGGAAGACGCGGACCGAGACGAGGAAGTACGCCGCCGACACGACGGCGAAGTTGAGCCAGAAGTGGCCCTCGATCAGGACGAGCAGAAACTTGGGCGACCCGTTGAGTCCCGTGGTCTTCATCCAGACGTGGAACTGGAGGATGTACGTCTCGAGCGTCACTTGCCCTAAAAAGGTGAAGAGGTGGACGTACCTGGCGCGGAGCGCGGGCGTGAGGTTCCGCAGGAGGATGTAAACGAGTATGGGCAGCCACGAGGTGTAGGGGTGGTAGCCGTTGTACGCGTACTTGTCCAGCGAGAAGACCGCGTCGTGGTAGACGTAGATCGCGCCGAGCAGCGCCGCGACGACGGCGCCGCGGATCGCGCGGCGCGCGGCCGCCTCGGCGGCGTCGACGCGCGCCAGGGCTTTCGAGAGGACCGGAAAGAGCGCGGCGCAGGCCATGCCGAAAACCCACACGTACCGGTCGAGCCCCGAGCGGAACCGCCACTCGTGCAGCTCGTCCGTGAACTCCGGGTGGAGCGGGTCGTGGAACGCGACCAGGGCGCGCATCGGCTGCCAGCCGAACGCGAACCTAAAGACCGCCTCGACGTCGTAGAGCAGCGCCGTGAGCAATAGGGTCGAGACGACCTTCACGACGAGGACCCGCGCGTCGTCGTTGCGGGCCCTGCCGATCCGGAGCGCGAGCCAGACGAAGAGCGTGAAGAGCGTGTGCATGGGCGCGATGTAGTACAGCATGTATTCGTTGCGCAGGGCGACGCACACGACGACGACGAAGAAGTTGAGCCGGAACAGCGTCTGGCACACGCGCACGGCCCCGAAGTTGCCCGTCTTCTGGTAGTAGAGAAAATTGCCGTAGCCGGTCATCCACACGTACGCCGCGATGTACACGCGGATGGCGTTGTAGAGCTGGGCCTGGGCGAAGTAGTGGTACAGCAGGAACATGAGCTGCATCCAGCCCTTCCACTCCTCCGTCTGCTCGCGCGCGAGCACGCGCGGCGCGCGACAGCTCCGCACGGTGCACGCGGCCGCCAGGCAGATCAGGCCCCACAGGCACCAGAACGACTTCTGAGACGTGTGCTTCTCGCCCCTCGCCACGAGGTCCGTCCGATCGCACGCGTAGATGAACAGCATCCAGACGGCGAACTCGGCGCCCGCGCGCCACGGCGCGAGCGCGTCGCCGGGCGCCGGCGCCGGCTCGGCCTTGGCGCCGCTCTCGGCGTCCGCCGTCGCCACGGGCGCGTACGGCGCGGCGAGCGCCGCGCACTCGAGCGCGGCCCACGCCGCGACGACGACGACGCCCAAGACGCCGACGGCGAGCTGCGCCGGCGTGTGCGCGTCCGCGGCGTGCGCGCCGACGTAGGCGAGCGACGTCGTGGCGGCCACGAGGCCGACGAAGAGGCCCACCACGCGCCCGGCCGGCGGACCGAGGCGCCGCAGCGGCGGCCTGACGGCGGCCACGAGGAAGGCGTCCAGCATCTGCGTCGGGTCTCGCGGCGCGGCGTCGAGCTCGGCGTCGGGCATAGACGCGGATGCAGGTGGTCGGTGATCCAAGCCAGCTCCCTACGCAGGGCCAGCGTCTCCTCTTTTGTACGACCTCCTACCAGTACTGCGGTACCGCGGTACCTGGTACCTACGGTACCGTGGTACTTAGAGAGAGAAACCTACTAGCCCTTCCTACCCTAGATATGTATCTCCTACTCTCTAATATTTGAGTCTATACATCGAGTGTCAAAAGCACTACGGTGTAACAACAGTTCACTATAAAACACTCTCGCAGTCAGGCCTATCAGCTCTAAGCTGGTTAACAACAGTATTTACGGATATTCATTTCGAGAAGAAGTCTGTTGCTTATGAAGCCTATCACTTGTCACATGGACTTTGCCTGTGAATAGACTGAGTTGATACATCCTATAGTGGAAGCGCATCTAGTGGACGCTCGCGCCCAGGGGGAGTAGAGAGAGAAACCTACTAGCCCTTCCTACCCTAGATATGTATCTCCTACTCTCTAATATTTGAGTCTATACATCGAGTGTCAAAAGCACTACGGTGTAACAACAGTTCACTATAAAACACTCTCGCAGTCAGGCCTATCAGCTCTAAGCTGGTTAGCTAGGACCCTGCTACTTACATAACGCTGCGACATACTCTTGCAAGTACTGGTACCAGGTTGTAGGCCTACCGCAGTACCGTACTTAGACTAAGGTAGGTATGGTAGGTGAGCCGCGGGGTGCACGATGTCGCAGCGCGCCCGGGCCTGGCTCGACGTGGCCATCGGCGGGCGTCCCGCGCAGCGCATCACCTTCGAGTTGTACTCGGACGTGTTGCCGCGCACCTGCGAGAATTTCCGCGCGCTCTGCGCGGGGGACCGCGGCGCGCGCCTGACGTACGCGGGCTCGACCTTCCACCGCGTCATCCGGAACTTCATGATCCAGGGCGGCGACTTCACGAGGGGCGACGGCACGGGCGGCGAGTCCGTCTACGGCGAGAAATTCGCCGACGAGGGCTTCCCCCACAAGCACGACGCTGCGCACGTGCTGTCGATGGCGAACGCGGGGCCCGACACCAACGGCTCGCAGTTCTTCGTGACGCTGCGGGCGACGCCCCACCTGGACGGGAAGCACGTCGTCTTCGGCCGCGTCGCGGCCGGCGGCGACGTCGTCGACGCCATCGCGCGCGTCGCCGTCGACGCGAGCGACGCGCCGGTCGCGGCCGTCCGAATCGTCGCGTGCGGCGCGGCGGCCGCCGGGGCCGCCGCCGCCGAGCCCGGGCCCGCCGCCGAGGCCGCCGCCGAGCCCGAGCCCGAGCCCGAGGCCGCGACGGACCCGCGCGACGAGTCCGACGAGTCCGACGAGCCTGACGCCGACGCGTCGGACGCCGCCAAGCGGCTCAAGGCGCTGCGGAGGAAGATGCGCGCGGGCCGACGCGACAACGCGCAGGCCGCGACCGTCGAGCGCCGCCGCCTCCGCGAGGACGGCGACGGCGCGAAGGCGCGCCGGCGGGAGCGCGACGCGCGCGACGAGGCGCGCAAGGCGGAGCTCGCGAAGCGCGGCGTGCCCGCGGAACGCGCCTACGTGCTCGACTCGGCCGAGACGGCGGGCCGCCGCGACGACGCGAAGAAGAAGAAGGAGCGCCGCCGCGCCGCGTTCGGCTGGGACGTCTTCAACGATGACTCGAAGCACAAGGCCTACGAGAAGCGCGTCGCGAGCCTGCCCGCGGGCGGCGCCGACGACGACGCGCGGGAGGCGGAGGACCCCCTCGCGTACGGCGGCGCGCGCGTCGACGACCCGCGCGCGGTGCGGCGCATGGCCAAAGAGCTCGAGGGCCGCGCGCAGCAGCGCTCCAAGTTCTCGCGGCGGCGCCCCGAGGTCCCCGGCGCCGACGTCGACGCGATCAACGACCGCAACGCGCACTTCAACAAGAAGCTCAAGCGCGCCTTCGACAAGTACACGGTCGAGATCCGCCAGGACCTCGAGCGGGGCACCGCGATCTAACGTGCTTGGTCTGCGTCCACGAAAAGCACGACAAAATGCATTATAAATTAAAGTTCAATGATTACAACAATCTATCACTAGCGACCGTTTCGCGTCGCCAAACGCACCCGGGCTGCCCGCAGCCCCGTCAAAACCCAAGCTGCCCCACAGCGGCGGCCATACAGCGGAAATCCGCAGCGAAATCGCCCCAGAGCGTGCCCCGGGTCTCTTCGGGAAGGGCGGAGATTGAAGACGAAGTTCCGATTGGGTTGTCACGACCTCCGGAGTTCGAGCAGCCGAACGCAGCTTGTTCGTAACGCGCAATGCCCTTGTTGTGAATCTCGCGAGTCGGAAACAATCCAACACACGTTGTTTGAATGCGAGGCCTTTGAGGAAGAACGGCAGGCATTTCTTGCGAGATTATACTCGGTTTGCCCCCCGGCACGGCGATTGACCGATGAGGGCCGATGTCGCTTGGTCATGGGGGACGAGTTACCCCGGGAGATTGAAATTCCGTTGTATAGATACCTTATTGCTATTTCGAGGCTCCGGTTGGGCATCCTGACCGAGCAGGGAGAAGGCTCCTAGGAGCTTGTTCCTTTTTTTTTAGGTCTTCCTTAATTTATTTATTTATTTATTTATTTATTTAGGATCCCCCCCGATCACCCCTCGACTCCTGCCGGTGCTGAAAGGCGACGAGGTCGTGGTACGCACGCGCCGGAACGCGCTGGTCAGACAGGTCCCCGGCGCCAGCGACCCTCGCCGACAGGAGCGATGCCTTAAGACGGCCGTCCAGCAAAATATCATGCTTGCTGACGAGCGAGCCGTCCGCCCGCCGGCCGACGATGTCGCCGCCCAGCACGCCGCGCGTGGAGACGCCCTCGGCGGCGAGCGCCGCTGCGACGTCGTCGACGTCGGTGTCCTCCGGCGGCGACGTCGACCACGGCGCGTCCAGCCCCTCGGGCACGCGGCCGACGCGGACCTTTTCGTGGCGCCGCGCAGCCCTTATGGCGGCCGCGATTCGCGCGCTCTCTCGCGCGGCCGCGCCGCGCTCCTCCTCGTCCTGGAGCGCGAGCGCGAGCGCGAGCGACGCGTCGGCCGCGGGGCCGCCCGCCGGTTCGGCCGTCTCCGCGTCGACGATGCGCGCTGCTAGTTGGTCCGCTTCGCGTCGAGAGGCAGCCAGCGCCTCGCGTAGCTCGTCGTCGCCCGCGACCTCGCGCTCCTCCGCGATGATGGCCCGCATCTGCGGCTTTGGTGCCTTCTTGGGTGTGGCCCAGGCGGCCATTTTTACTCGAGATGCGCCTACCAAAAAAAGCAAAAGACACAAAAAGCCGAGGTCAAGGCTCGACAAGTACCCTGGCAGCTTATGAAGCAACTCAAGCTGCAACTAAACATATACGGCGCATAGGAGAGGGCTACTGCGGTACGAGCTTGTACCAGTACAGTAAGGGTAAGAGCTTGAGGGGGTTTGGGGGCCTTGGGGATGGGTATGCACTAGGACCAGACCTCTAGGAGTTCGGGCCCGGCATCGGGTCATGACCGTCCGGCGGGGGGTGGGTCGAAATGGGGGGGGGGGGGTTGTAAAAGGTTGCCACTTGCATCACTAGTGTCAGTCACCGTGACGGTAAGGAAGGACCATCAGCTAGCCCAGGACGGCCAGCACCCTTCGGAAAACCCGTTTTGGCTGCCATTAAATCGACTAGAATAGAGACTAGAAGACCCGCCCTCGTCTCTCGAAGAGTGCATGTGGTTCGCGGCAGACGCGCGCGGGGTCGAACCGAGGCGAACCACCCGTTTTGCTCGAACTGCGAGATGGCGTCGGCCCCCGTGGGAGGGGGGACCAAGTAGTCGCGCTAAGCAGACGCAAACCTACTCCGGCAGCGACGCGGCGTCGCGCTCCCGCCGCCGCGCGGCGAGCGGACTCGCCTCCGCGAGCCGCTCCGCGCGCCGCCGCAGGGCGGCGCCGTCCGGACTCCCCTGGAGCGCGGCGCACCGCCGCAGGTCTTCGGCGCCAAGCGCCTCGGACGGGTGCTTCGCGCCGAACTCGTTCGTCTCGTAGGCGTTCTTCGCGTACGTCCTTCCGACCTCGTCGCCCGCCGGGCAGCGGCCCCAGGCCTCGACGAACGCGCAGAGCCGGGCCCAGGGGAACGCCCGGCCGGTCGCGGACGACAGCTCCAGCTCCAGCAGCCGGTCCCCGGCCCCGCGCTCGGCGAAGAACGCGCGGACCTTGGCGTTCGCGCGCTCGTACGCCGCGACGAGATCCGCTTCCGACGCCGACGCGGCGTTCAGCATGCGCGCGTAGCGCTCCGCGTTCCACGGTTTCAAGCAAAAGAGCCAGTTCCGCACGCTCCGCCACCACTCCCGGGAGGGCCGCGTCGTCAGGACGAATTTCGCGCGCGGGTACGTGTCGAAGAGCCGTTCGAGCAGACGCCCCCGCGTCGCCGCCATGCACCAGGGCGCGTCGGAAAAAGAGCGGGCGCCCCGGGCCGCGTCCAGCGCCAGCGACGCGTCCTCGCCCGGGCGGAGCAGCGCCACGGTCGCGGCGACCGACTGCCGATGGCTGGGCTCGGGGCCGATCTTCAGGCGCTGCAGCGCGGCGGCCAGCGACGTCGTGCCCGTCTTCTTGAAGCCGATGCCAAAGATTTTGAACGAGAGGTCGTACTTGGCCGTCTTGTGCGCCACGACGCACGCGTCGCAGCTCACCGTGCGCGACGTGTTCTTGCGGCAGAAGACGGAGGGGGGGATCGGCGCGTCGCGGAGTCCGTTCTCGACAGACCGCCGGAGCGCGACCATGAGCGCGGGCTGGTCGCGCCGGCCGCGCGGCGTCTTTTCGAGCAGGAGGAAGGCCTCGAGGTACGCGGCGAGCAGGGAGCGCGTCCGCTCCGACGCCGACCGCAGCGCGACGCAGCCGGACGCGTGCTCCCGCTGGTAGTGGTCTCTCGGGGCCAGCGCGCCCTGTCCGGCGTAGTTGTCCGCTAGCGCGACGTCCACCCCGTCTCGCAAAAACGCGAGGATTGTCTCGACGAAATTCGGCGCGCAGGGCTTGGAGTCGAAGTCCAAGTATACCGTCTCCTCGAACGGCGCGCGCGCCATCGCCAGGATCTTCAGCGCCTTGGCGCGGAACGCGGGACTCCGGCCGCGCAGCTCCAAACCAACGGCCGCGGCGTCGTGCCTTTGGACGACATCGAACGCGCCCCGGGCCTCCGCGGCGAGCGCCCGGAGCACCGCTGGTTCCGCGAAGAGCGCCACCCGCGCGTCACCGGGCCACGCGGCGCTCTCCCGTAGCTTCGCGACCGCCGCCGCGGCGGGCGCGACCTCGCGCCGCGCGAACTCGGCGCCGCCCGCCGCGGAGAAGACGACGCCGCGGCCGCGTCGCGCGACGCCGGCGTCCAGGCCGCTGAACGCCGCGCCCGTCAGCCGGGCGTACGCGGCGTCGCAGTGCGCATCCCAGCCGCCGTCCTTGCGCGCGCGGACGTACGCTTCGCGGTCCTGCTCCGGTGCACACGTGCCAAAAGAGAGGAGGAGCAGCGGCAGGCACGCGCGACGCATCCCGCACTCGCTCGTTGGCGGCTGGTGGGTGCTTACCGCAGCAGGTGCCGCACTACCTACCGCAGTACGGTACCGTAGGTACCTACGGTACCGTACCGTAGGTAGGTACCTACGGTACTTACCTCCATATACATGTACTTAGTATGTACTAATAATTATTATTAATCAAGGAAGGAAGGCATATCCTAAAGAAAAGGACATACACCAAGCCTCTAGAGGCCTTCTCCCTGCGCGGCTAGGATACCCAGCCGGCGCCTAAAAAGAGACGACAAAAAACGGTAGAGCAAATTCTCAATCTCCTGAGGCGGGTCATCTCCCATCAACAAAGCCAAGCAATCCGCGTTCGTCATGTTGCGCGTCTCGGGTAAGATCGTTTCTAATTTCTGGAGAAAAACTCCTCTGATGTCGTCCAATTTCGGACACTCAAAAATTGAATGCATAATCGTCTCGGAGCCGTGACCACAACAAGGACATGTAGCATTGCGCGTGATCGACATTCGAGCGGCCGAGGATCGAAGCGGGTGGCAACCCAGACGGAGTTTCGTTTTGAGCCGACGTCCCTCACGTAAATTTCCTAATGGGCATCTCCGCTTCAGATAAGCCGACTAAGATAAAAAACCCGACACACTCCGGCATGGAGCCTGCCAGGATTCCTCGGCAGCGCCAGACGGCGGACCGCCCCGCCCGGTCGTCCGATTTGTTTGTTTTCTTGACACGCGAACAAACCCCGGCGGGGACGCGAGTTACCCGTCGTCGGCGCTCTCCCAGAAATCGTCGTCGCCCGCGAAGGCGACGTCGGCGCCGCGCCGCGCGTCGGCGACGACGCGCCGCGCGAGCGGCAAGGTCGCGCCGGCGGCCAGGACGACGGCGGCGCCCGCGCGGCCGCCGCGCGCCGCGCGGCCGACGCGCCGCAGGAACTCGTTCGGGTCGCGCGGCCAGTCGAAGAGGACGACGACGTCCACGGCTTCGCCCCCAAAGTCCGCGCCGCGCGCCGCGCGGTCCGTGCACACCAACACGACGGGCGCGTCCCGCGACGCGCCCCGAAAGAGGTCCTCGGCGGCCCGCCGCTTGTCGGGCGCCAGCGCCGAGTGGAACGCGAGGACGCGCCGCGCGCGGCCGCGGCGGTCGGCCCGCCGGAGCGCGTTCTCGGCGCGGCGGCAGCCCTCTATCGTGTTGCAGAAGACCAGGGCGCGCGCCGGGGCGCCCGCGCCGAGGGCCGTCAGGAGCGCGCGCGCCTTGCGGGAAAACGTCGGGTCCGGCGATTCACCGGAAGCGTCGGGCGTGCAGTCTACCAGTCGGACGTCGAGGCCCGGCGGCGCGCGGTGGAGGCCCGGGCCCTTGAGGACCTCCAGTCCCGGAAATTCGGCGCGGAGCGTCTTCTCCAGCGTCCGCGGCAGAGTGGCGGTGACAAAAACGAAGCGCGCCTCCAAGTCTCGCAGGGGCGCGAGCGCGGCCCCGCCGTCCGCGAGGGCGAGCCCGTCGACCTCGTCTAGCACGACGTCCGTCGCGGCGCGAAGGGAGACGGTCCCGTCGCCTAGTAATCGCTCCAGCCGCCCGGGCGTAATGACGAGCACGTCGCACGCCCCCCTCAACGTCGCGGCGTCGCGCGCCGCGGCCCGGGCCGCCGTCGCGACGCGGACGCGGCACCGGAGCCCCCCGTCACTCAGCTCACGCGCGACGCCGCCGATCTGCGCCGCGAGCTCCGCCGTCGGCGCAACGACCACGGCGCGCGGCGCGCAGGCGCCGCGCGGCCTCGGCGCGGGCGAAGGGCGCTCGGGCGACCGCTCCTCGGCCGCGCGGAGGCGACTCACCAGTGGCAGGAGGTACGCGAGCGTTTTTCCGGAACCGGTCTGGTCGGCGACGAGCGCGTCGCGGCCTCCGGCAATAGCGCCGTACGCCAGCGCTTGGCAGCGCGTCGGTGCCGGAAAGCCGCGGCGGGCGACGGCTCGGACCGCTTCGCGCGGCGCCCCGAGGTCCTCCCAGCTCTTGCGCGACGCGAACGCGTGGTCGGTCGGTGCCGCTTTTGGCGCGGCGCGGCGCAGCGTGCGTTTACACAGCAGCGGCGCGGCCGGGCGTACCAGCCACACCCATATTGTCACTGTCACGCACCACATCTCATGTACTACGCGCTCGTACTGCGGTAGTGTCCTTCCTGCTGCCAAGCTAGAGGTACCGTAGGTATACGGCGGTATTAATACCAGTAATCTGCTTATTATGATAATAATATGGACCAGCTAGCAAGAGTATGTCGCAGCGTTATGTAAAGTAGCAGGGTCCTAGCTCACCAGCCGAGGGCTGGGCCAACCTGACTACGAGAGTGTTTTATAGTGAACTGTTGTTACGCCGTAGTGCTTTTGACACTCGATGTATAGACTCAAATATTAGAGAGTGGGAGATACATATCTAAGGTAGGAAGGGCTAGTAGGTTTCTCTCTCTACTCCCCCTGGGCGCGAGCGTCCATTAGATGCCTTTCTACTAGAGAATGTATCAACTCAGTCTACTATTCACTGGCAAAATCCATGTGACAAGTGATAGGCTTCATGTGCAACAGATTTCTTCTTGAAATGAATATCCGTAAATACCTTCGTTGGATCCTTCTCGTCCTTTTTCGGAAAGTCCGTAAACTCCTTCAAATGAACTGTCTGATAGACTTCGGTTAACTTAAACGGACGTGCTCGTCGGCGTCCACGGCAACGGCCTCACGCACCAGCTCTGGATGCATCCGCGGCGCTGGGTCGTCGAGATCTTCCCGGCGCCGGAGACGCACCAGTACGACTACTACTACCTCGCGCGGCTCATGGGCCACGCGCACTTATGTGTCTTTGACGGCCGCGCCCAGGTGCAGGCGCGCTGGGGCCTCCACCGCGTCGACGAAAACAACGCGTCCGCGTGGCGCGGCGACACCGTGTCCGTGCCCGGCATGTCGTCGCCCAGGTCGACGACGGCCGACCTGGACCCGTCCGCGCTCGTCGCGATCCAGCAGCACGTCTCCGACGCGATGGAGAACCTGCTTGATCCCGTCTCGACCCCTTCCGGGAGAGGCTGGGGAGGATACTTCCCGAAGGAGCTGCTGCCCGTGCAGCGTAAGCTTGCGTAGTTTCCTGTGAAAAAGAAAAGGCCAACCTGGAATCTCCCTCCCGCGCGACTCCTGGAGCCTCGCGTTCTGAGGCAGACTCAGGCAGTAAGCTGGAAACCAGCGTCTCGGAGCTCTAGAGGCCCGGGGCGTCGCTAGTGCGCGTTGGAAGATGACTCAAGTAGCGCAGTTCGAGGCCCCCCAGTAGGGCCAGTACTAGTAATCGACATATTGGTCTCTTTGGACCCCACATCACCACTGGTCACGGTGATCACGGTGTTTTTGGTCACGGTGATCACGGCGCATCTGGCACTACGACGGTAGTACGAGCATCTAAACGGACTAAAACTAGACCCCTACTAGGCTAGACTACTAGGCGGCATAGCGGAACTAACTCCAACTCCCAATCAATCACATTACCACTACCCGGGCCGCGCCCCCTCCTTCGGCGTGCCGAGGCGCCCGAGGGCCGAGGCGACGGTCTTCAGGGCCGGCGCCGCGAAGGCCGGCCGCGCGATGAGGGTTTGCTGCGTCCACCGCGCCCGCTGGTCGACGGAGAGAAAGTTGACCGGTAGTGAGCTGTGTGGAAATCAACCAGTGGTCCGCGTCGATGGCGTGGGGGCGCACTCGAACTCAGATTTGATTTCCGCGCAGCCGGCGTGCGTGTTTTTCGTCCGATACGCGCCGTTCGTAGATATGGTCAGGTTCTGCAGCATGTAAGGCAGCATGAGCTCGAGCTTCTCCGAGAGGGCCTGGTCCGCGTCCTCGGCGAGCAGCCGCGAGAGTCGCCGCCGGTCCTCGTCGCCGTCGACCGCCTCCTTGAGCGCGGCGACGCGCTCGTAGAACTCCGAGACCTGGTCGACGCCGAGCTCGGTCAGCGCGGCCTTCGACGGCACGGGCGTCATCTCGACCAACCGCGCGATCGCCTCCAGAAACGAGACAAAGTCGAGCAGCTCGAACTTGAACACCGTGTCGTCGAGAAAGCGCGTCCGCGACACGACGTACGCCTTGACGGCCTCCGTCAGCGTCGTCTCGGAGGTGCGCATACCGGTCAGTTCCGTGAGCTCCAGCCACCGATCCATGTTGAACGCCGGCCGCCCGGCGTCCATGGCGATCGCGCTCATGATGCGGTGGATCTCCTGCCAGAACCGCTTGTGCCTCGAGAACGCGTCGCAGCACGCCTCCGTGTACAGGCGCTCCCGCCGATAGTCGTCGGGGTCGTCGCGCGCGTCCGCCGGCAGCGCGGCCAGCCGCGTGGAAAAGTCCTCCGCCGCGCGTTCGGCGGCCGCCGCGCCGTCGTCTCCGGCCGGGCGGTCCTTCTTCTCCAGGCCGTAGGCGGCGCCCAGCAGCCGCACGATCGCCTCGATGAACTCGAAGCGCCTGCGCACATCGACCAGTGAGTCGGGCGGGCGCCCCCGCGAATTCTTCACAAACTCATTTCTCGGCGACGACGACGCGGTCGCGTTGGCTAAATTACGGCAGCGGAGACCGTCGACGCCATCCGAAGGTGCTCCATGGAAGGCGGCCGCGCAATTGATCTCCGCGCCGCGAGGCGCATCAGGGAGTTGTTGTCGTTCGCCTGCGCGAGCTCCCGGGCCTGGCCCACTTCCACGTTGACCTGGACGAAGATGCCCTGGAGCGTCTGGTCCGACACCTGGCCCGGCGCCTCGCCCCGCAGATTAAGGTCCGTGCAGAACTCGAGCCAGGACCCCATGGCCATGTCCATCGGGTCGAGCTCGGTGACAATGCAGTAGTAGTCGAACGCGCTCAGCAGCTTCCGGTACATCTTCTCGAGGCCCCCCAGTAGGGCTCGTTCCGCGGCGCCGCCGCCGAAACGCTTCATCAGGTTTTCGAACCGCGGCAGCGCGGACAGGCGCGTCCAGTCCCCGCTCAGCAGCCGCTTCATGAACTTGTTCGAGTGCCAGAAGCCGCGGCAGTCGGCCTCCCGCCTCCGGGGGGCGAAGATTGACGTCTCCAGCTTCCACGCCGACTTGGCGACCTTCGCCACCGGCGACGCGGCCTTCGGCTTGGGCTTCGCCACGAGCGTCGCGCGGATCAGGAGCGCAAAGTCGTCGAGCTCGCCCCAGCTCCTCCGGGCCCGGTCGTAGTCCACCTCCCTGGAGGTAAACGACGGCAGGTAGTGTTGTTGGCACGTCGGCGCCGCCACGCAGTCCGTCAGCCGGGCGTCCCAGTCGAGGGTCGGCGGCTCGGGCGCGCCGAGCGTGCCCAAAAGCGACTCGGGGCTCCTGTCCGGCGCCCAGCGCGGCGCCTTGGTGACCGCGGGCCAGGGTCCCGGGTCGACGATCGGAGGTCGGTAGCGGTCCTCGTGGCACAGGTGCCAGTCCGACGCGGCGTCGTCGTATTCATCGTCGCCGCCGCCGCGGCCGCGCGACGAGGGGAATTCGAAGGTCGGGAACATGTCGCGCATCTTCGCGCCCCGCACGGACTTGAACGCGAAGAGGCGCGACGCCGGCTTGTGGTGCGCCGGCGCGCGCGCCGCGCTCGGGAACGAGAACGAGAGCTGCGCGCCGCACGTGGGCGCGAGGACGACGCTCTTCTCGCCGACCGTCCCGCGGCCGAGGCGCTCCGTCCGGGGCGACCACGTCGTGGGGTCCGCGCGGCCCTCCGCGAAGCCCGCGCGCCGCGGCGCGTGCCGCGCCGCGCTCGACGCGTCCGTCCCCGCGGCGAGCGCCGGCACGGCGCGCGCGTCGTCGGGCGGTCTGGCGAGCGCCGCGTCCGGCGACCGCGCCGCGGCGAGATGCCGACCGACGCATTCGTCGCGGAGGCGCCCGCGCAGCGTCCTCGGTGCGTCGCGCGCAGCGTGGTCGCGCGGCGCGTCCGCATCCGGCCCGACGAGGAGCGGCGCGCTCCCGACGAGTGACGTCGGATCGGAGGCGACGCGCTTCGCGAACGGCACCGACGCGAGGGACGCCGACACGGTCCCCGCCTTGACTGCCTTCGGAGCCGACGCCGAGGGACGCCGGCCGACGCGGTCCGCGCGCGCGTTGTCGAGCTGCAAGCGCCGCACGTGGATCAGGTTGCGCGTCTCCGCGTCCCGGCCGAGGTTTGCCAGCAGCACGTCCGTATGACTCGCGCACTCGGGGTCGACCTCCGGATCCTCGGCCAGCGCCAGGAGCGGGTCCAGCGCGCAATGCGCGACGCGGCGGCACGCGCGCCGTTCGGCCGAGACGTTGAGGAGCACGTCCGCGGCGGGGCCCCGCAAGTGTTCGCCCCGCCGCCCCAGCAGCATCGCGGCCAGTAACGGCCCGCATCGTTCCGCGCAGGCCGCGCGCCGGTCCGCGACCAAGCGCGCGCCCCGCGGGTCCGCGGCCGTCGCCTTCGCGAGCACGTGCAGCGCGACGGGAGCCGCGGCGTCCCGGCCCGCGACCAGGGCCCGCGCGCAGAGCTCGACCAGGCCGGACGGGGCGCGCGAGCGCTTCCCTCCGACGCCGGGGCAGGCCGCGAGATGTCTACGGGACGTGTACGCGAGCCAGTACAAGAGATTTGCGGCCTGCGTCTTCAGCGCGTCGTCGGCCTCCGCCTCCTCGTCGCCGAGCGCGAGCCGCTCCAGCGCGGCCATGGCCGCGCCGGTCGGCGGCAGGACGTCGACCAACGCGTGCTTCTCGGCGACCGACGGCGCGCACGCGACGCCGAACCAGAGCAGATCCAGCAAACTCCGCCGCGCGGCCCGCAAGCCGGGGTGGGCGCACCGCTCCGCGAGCGACACGAACGCCTGCGTCGCGGCCCCGCACGCCAGGACCCGCAGCGGCGCGTGGCGCGCCAGTACTTCGAGCGTGGCGGCGCTCGCCTCGCACACCAGCGGTTCCGCGTGATGCGCGTCGCCCTTGGCCAAGGCTCGGCTCGACGCGACCTGTGTGGAAATCAACCAGTGCGTCGGGTGCTCGATTCAGCACGAACGCGCCGTAAAATTTTGATTTCCACACAGGACGCGACGACCGCGCGACACAGCGCGTCGAGCGTGTCCACGCCGTCCACGAGGGCCGCGACGACTCGCTCGGCCGCCTTCGGCGCCCGCGCCGCCGCGTCGTCGACGCGCCGCGCGAGCCGGGCCAGGGCCACGAGCAGCCGCGACGCGACGGCCGCCTCGGGGCCGGCGCCGGCGGGGTCCGCCGCGAGGGCGGCGCACAGCGCGTGGGCCAGCAGGCGCGCCCGCGGCGGGTCCCAGCCGGCCGCGCCGTCGCGCCGCGCCGCCTCGTCCAGCTCCGCGTCGTCCGCGTCGTCGGAAGCGGCGCGCCCCGCGTCCTCGGCGAGCGCGCGGTGCAGCCCGGCCCGCGCCGCCTGGACGCGCTGCCGCTTCTCGCGCGCCTGCTCGTCGGCGCCGCCGGCCAGCTCGTCCAGCAGGGCGCGAATGTGCACGTCGCCGGCGAACGCGCGCGCCGCGGCGCGCTTTTGGCGGAACCGCCGCAGCGCCGCCCTCGCCGCGGACTCCTCCCGGACGGGCGCTGCCCCGGCCAGCGCCATCAGCGCGGCGGCCAGCCGCGCGCGCGCCGGCCGCGGCGCCCCGCGGGGCGTCTCGTCGGCGGCCAGCGCGCAGATCTCCCGGAAGAGGTCGGTGGCCATGGCCACGGCGACCGTCGCCTCCGCGGCGCAGCACGCGCGGACAAGCTCGGCGCACGCCACCACCACCTGGAGGCCGTGCGGCCGCCGCTCCGCCTCGCGGTCGCGCAGCACGGCCAGCGCGTCGCCGAGGACGCGCGCGGCGTGCCGGCCGGCGCCGCCCCGCGCGAGCAGCGCGCCCAACGCCTCGAAGCAGCAGCACGCCGCGTCCGCGACGACTTCGGCCCGGAGGCCCTCGGCGGCGCCGCGCGTGATCGCGTGGAGCCACGCCTCGACGGCCCCGGCGGCGTCGACGACACTGGCGCCGGCGGCGCCGCCGCCGGAGGACAATGCCGCCGCGGCGCGCGCGACGCGCCGGTCCGCGAGCGGGTGGAGCGTCGCGAGCGCGAGCACTCCGCGCGCCGCGAAGGTCACCGCCCGCTCGCGCTCCCGCGCGGTCAGCATCGGGCTCGCGACGAGCACGGCGGCGCCGAACGCGGACGCGGCGTCCAGCGCGGCGTCGACGCCCTCGAGGAGGGGCGCGTGCGCCTGTGCGTAGAAATCCCACGTCTCCGCTGTAGCCCCGCGCCTCTGCGCGATAGCGTGGAGCTTAAACACCGACGCACCGGTTGATTTCCGCACCGACGGGCGCGTCGCGCTCGCTCGCGAGTTTACACACGCACGCGACGCCGTAGACGGCGACGAACGGCGCCCCCGTCGTCGTCGCGGCGACGAGCCGAGCGAGCGACGCGCACGCGCCGCGTTCCGCGTAGTAGCGGCGGTCGTCCGCCGCCCCGCCGTACGCCGCGCCGACGCCCGCCCAGAGGCAGGCGACGCTCGTCTGGGCGAGTCGGAGCTGCGCCGCGGATGGCGCCTCGCGCGCGGCGAAGCGCGCGGCGAGGCCGTCCAGCGCAGACGCGTTGCGCCCGAGCAGCGCCCGCGCGAGCACCGAGACGCCCGCGAGGTCCCGCAGGCACCCGAGGCACGCCTGGCAGAGGCCCTCGTCCGGCGGCGGCGCGTCTGTCACTTCCAGAGTTTCGCCGAAGTGCGCCAGCATCTCCCCGAGCGGTTCTAGTATGCCGGCGTCGACGAGCGCCGCGTCCGCGCCGGCCTCCGCCAACTTCCACGCGGCCACGCAGCACCGCTCGAGCGCCCGGTCCTCGCCGTGCTCCCAGCGCCGCCGCCAGAACTGCGCGAGACGCGCCGCCACGGCCTCCGCGAGCGCCGCCGACGCCTTGATGACCCCGAAGTTCCGCGCGCAGTGCGCGAACTCCCAGCACCGGTCGAGCGCGTCCGCGGCGGCGCATGCGTCCTTGCCCGTCACCCCGGCTTCGATGGTGGCGAGGACGGCGCGCGCATCGCGCGCGTACCGCTCGTCCGCGAAGCGCGCAAAACTCGTCCGCGCCGCCCGCCACCCGTCGTCGTCCTCGAGCTGCCGTACCAGCGGCACGGCGCCCCAGTCCTCGCGCTCCCAGAGCGGCGCCCAGGGGTCGTCGCCGGGCCGGAGGGCTCGCGGCGCGGCGAGGCGCAGGTCGTAGGGATCGCCCAGCGCGGCGCCCGCGGCCGCCTTCAGCGCCGCGTGGTCCGCATGCTCCGGGATTCGGACGTGCGCCGTCGCGCGCCCGGCGCAGGCGACGCGCACCGTCATGACTTCGTCCGCCATCGTGCGAGGCTGCCCGGGTCTCGCGTCTGGCTCTCACACAGCGCCGGCGCGCCGGGTTTGCGGGCTCTCCGCAAGCTTCCCGATGGCGCCCTCCTGAGGCCGTGAGGGGCGGCAAGTGTCTTCGTTGGCAACCGCTAGTAGAGGAGAGCAAAAACCCGTACCGTTCGCTTCTGAGCTGCGCCGCGCCGGCGCGCCCGGCGCCCGGGTCCCTGGGGCTACGATCGCGACGCGGGGCCCGGCTAGAATACGGTTTTACCTGGCGCGGAAACAACGATAATTTTAATATTACAGGTTCCTACATCTCAAGCTGCCCGCGCGGCGGAATTCTATGCTGCCCGTCGCTGGGATCGAGAGGCTGCTCGTGGCCGCCGTGGCCACGGCCTACGTCTGCCCGGAGATCACGACACAGCGCCCGGCCCTCTTCGGCCTCACGTCGGCGCCGCTCGACTTTGTGCGGCGGCGCGAGGAGCGCACGCTGCGCGACGCGCGAAGCGACCGAGACGCCATGCCGGTCGCCTTCTACCACGAGGAAGGCGCCGCGTGGCCCCGCGGCGAGTTGCCCGCGGAGGTCGCGTCGTTCGCCGCGTGCGCCGTCGACTTGTTCGCGGCCGCGCCGTGGGTGCTGAAGTTTGCGGAGTCGCTCCGCGACCCCGCGAGTGAGCGCCGCGCGAATCTGACGCAGTGGCTGCCGCGCGGGCTCGGCGAGGCGTCGGCCGCCGCGTTCCTCGCGCGGAAGGTGGCGGCCCTCGACCACGCGGTCGCGCGGACGCCCGACGGCAGAAGTGTAGTGTGGCTCGACGTCGACTGCGTCCTGGTGAAGAAGCCCGATGGGACCTTCCTGGGTTTTCTAAAAACGGTCGACGTCGCGACGATCGCGCGCGTGCCCGTGCGGCGCGAGCGGCCCGAGACGGGCGTCGTCGCGCTCACGGGCGGCGCGGCCGCGCGTGTCTTCACGCGGCGCGCCGTGGCCCTCTACGAGTGGGGCATGGCCGACCTGGGGCGGCGCTGCCTGTTGCGGGGACCCAAGGCGCGCTGCCGCAGGCACCTGAGCCTGAACGACGTCGCCGTGTTCAAGCAGCTATTGGTCGGAGACGGCGAGTGGCGCGACCCGCGCCTGCGGGTGGGCTGGTTCGCCGCGGGCTGCGCGAGCCGCGACGCCGACCGGCCGTGGGCGGCGGCTGCGCTGCAGTACGAGCAGCGCGGCGCGCACGGCGACAATTTCTGCCACCGCGACGACCACGAGGAGGCCGTGAGCCCCTTCAACCTCTTCGAGTACGTGGCGCACATGAAGGGCCGGAGCGGCGTCATGGGCACGAAGCGCCGCGCGCCGGACTAAACAACAAACTAAAGTACACACATCAAGGACGTACGGCCCGGGAGGACGCAACGGGTTTGTTGCATCGTCCCGCGCCCCCCGGCTTGCTAAGGATTTCCTTACGGTGGAATTTCCCTCAATGCCGCCCGTTAATCGTGATAGCCCGCTATTAATGTGATTCCAGGCTTAGGTAAATGACCCGGTAATTAACCCGGCATCTTAATCCACCAACGCGCGTTACTATGAATTCCGGAGCGGTTTTTTTCGCGCCCCCCCTGGTAAAAAACGTTTTAATATAATTATATAAAAGCCTTCTCGGCGGCGGGTGACCTGTAAAGTGACCTCTCCGGCTGACCCCGAATGAATAGTGCCAGTGAAAGAGCGTTTTTAAATTCCGCTCTGATCATGTCATGATGCCTCGGACTAGACACAATTACCCGAAGGCATCGACGACACACAACCCTTTTGTGGTGCGCGCCTACTACTTCTAGTCCTCGTACGCGGCCGCGTCGTAGCAGCCAGGCAGGAACACCTCGCACTTCTCCGCGATGGCCAATACGATGTTGTTCCGGCCGGCGTTGACGCCCTTGGCCTGGAGCCAGTAGTAGAACATGTCGCAGTGCTCGACGCACGTCGTGCCCGCCGCCTTTAGCGAGAGAAACTTGCCGATGAGCTGGTACGTCGTCTCGACCTTGTCGGGCACGCGGTCCGTCGCCGCCAGCAACTTCACGTTCGCCGGACCGATGCCGGGCACCTGCTCGAGGTCGCCGGTGACCTGCTCGCGGAGCCAGTCGGCGAGCTTGTCCTCGTTGATCTTGGTTTTTTTCGCGGAGTAGCCCTCAGGCAGCGACATGGCGGCAGATGGGGGATACGCGCTGTGGCGCAAGGTCAGGAATGCGGGCCCTCTCTCTCGCGGGCCTGTCGAAGAATCGACCGCGCTGTTGCGGCAATTTACGAGCTTCGCGGCAAACGCTGTCGACGTAGAAACCCGCGAGCTCACTAGCCTCGTTGCTCAATCGCAAGTGATTTTATCCCGCCGTCCCGGGCGCCGGGGGCGCGCTAACTAGCGGCCTAAAGACACTAGCAAGCGCCGGTGCGGCGGTGCCGGCCTTTTTGGCTGCATAGTTGCCGCCTCCCGCGCACCAGTGGCAAGTCAAGCACAGGCGACGCCCCCAAGACCTCCCCAGCGACAAGGTGAGGTCTTTAGAACGCGCGCCTCGCGTTCCAACGGCACGCAACGGCAAGCAACGGCAAAGCGCCCATGCGCGACGGCCACGCCACGACCGCGGACGACCTCGCGGACGCGACCGCGGCCGCCGTGGCGGCCGTCGACGCGGTCACGGCCGTCGAGGACCTCCGCGCCGTGCTGGACCTCGATCGCGTCGACGGCGTCGCGCCGCCGGACCCGCGCCTCCTGGAGCGCGTCGCGACCCGCGTCGCGGCGTGGCGCGCCCAGGCATCGACCGCGCCGCTCTGGGCGCGCGTGCCCGGCGCGGCCTGGCGGCCCGTCGTCGCCGGCGCGGCGAGCGCCGCGCAGGCGTGGCTCGCGCGCGGCGCGCCGGCGCCCGGCGGGGCGGACGCGACGCGCGGCCTGCAGACCTACTGCGCGCTCCTCGCGCTCGACGGCGCGCCCGTTGCGCAGCTGGCCGCGGGCGCGCCGTGGCGCTGCGCGTGCCGCGCGCTCGAGACCCAAAGGGCCGAGGCGCTGTGGCCCGCGGTCGCGGCCTGCGTCGCCGCGCCGCGCTGGGCGAGCACGCAGGACGCGCTCGAGGACGACGTGATCCAGCGGCTCGGCGCGTGCGCCGTCGCGCGGCTGCCCGCGTCCGCGGACACGCTCGCCGGGCTCGCGCGCGCGCCGCGCGGCGCCGCGGCCGCGGCCGCGGCGCTCCCGCGGCTCCTCGCCCCCGGGGCCACCAAGGGCGACGCCGCCGCGACGACCGCGGCGCTCGACGCGCTCTCGGCTAGTCTCGCGCCGCGCGACCTCCGGGGCCTCGCGGAGCGGCTCCTGAGCGGGCTCGCCTCCGGCAAAGGCCTCGACGCGAAGGCGCGCGCGCGCGTGGCCCACGCGTGCGCGGCGGCGGCCCGGGCCGCCGGCGCGGGCGAGCGCGCGGCTTTCGTGGAGTGCCTCCGCCGGGCGGCGGCGGGGGCGGCGCCGGCGCGGCGCGGCGCGTTCTGCGACGTCGCCGCGGCGGTCCTCGCCGGCGGCGACCTCAGCGAAGGCGACGCCGCCGCGCTCGGGGACCTACTCGCGGCGCGCGTGACCGACGCGAGCGCCGCGGCGCGCGCGCGCGCGCTCGACGCCGTCGCGACGCTCCGCGACGCGCGCGCTCTGGACGCGCTCGTGCGGCGGGCGACGCGCGACGCGTCGGCGGCGTGCCGCGCCAAGGCGGTCCGCGCGGCGGGGAAGACGGCGCTGGCGACCGAGGGCGCCGGCGAGGCCGCGGCCGCGGCGCGCGCGTGCGGCGACGCGAGCCCCCAGGTCCGGGCCGAAGCCGCAAAGACGCTGGGCGGCCTCGCTGCTGCGCGGGCGGCGCCGCCGGAGGCGTGGCCCGCCGCCGCGCTGCCGCTCGCGCTCCGGGCGAACGACGGAGCGGCCGCGGCCGCGGCCGTCGCCGACCGCCTGGCGGAGCTGGTCCTGGAGCCCCTGCTGGCGGCCGGCGGCGGCGACGACTACGCGCGCGCCGCGCGCCGCGCGTGCGTGGCGACCGCCGGCGCGCGCGCAGCGCTGCGCGCGGCGCTCGAGCTCGCGCGGCGGCGCGGCGGCGGCGCCTTCGCGGGCACGTGCGCGGCGGCGGCGGTCCGCGCGGCCGAGGGGGCCGCGCGGGGCGACGCGTCGAGCGCGCGCGTCCTCGAGGCGCTGCTCGCCGTGGCGCCGGACGCGCTGGGCGGCGGGGCGGGCGCGTCGACCGCCGTCGCCGCGTGCGTGGGCCTGGCCGAGAGCGCCGCCGACGGCGCCGCGCGGACGGCGGCGCTCAGGGCGGCCGCGGCGGCGGCCGCGGGCGGCGGCGGCGACGCGGGCGTCCTGGCGCGCGTCGACGCCATCGCGGCGACCGCGCCCGACGCGGCGACGGCGGCGGCCGCCGTCGCCGTGCTGGGCGCGGCCCGCGGCGCGGGCGCGTGGGCGCGCGCCTACGCGGCGGCACCGCCGCGCGCGGCCGCGCCGCTCGCCGCCGCCGCCGCCGCCGCCGCGGCGGGCCTCTTCGGCGCCGACGCGACGGCCGCGGCGGAGCGGCTCGCGGCCGCCGCGGCGGAGACGCTCGACGACGACGGCGCCCCCCGCGCGGCGCGGCGCGCGGCGGCGGCGGCGCTGGGCGGCGCGGCCCGCGCGTCCGAGCCCGTCGCGCGGACCGCGGCCGTGCCGCGCCTCGCGGCCGCGCTCGAGCGCGACGGAGACGCGGCCGTCCGCGCGACGGCGCTCGCGGCCCTGGCGGACCTGGCCACCGTGCGGACGGCGCTCGTCGACGCGAAGGCGGGGGCGCTCGCCGGCGCGCTGCTCGACCCGGCCGCGGCCGTCCGGCGGGCCGCCGTCGTCGCGCTCGCGCGGCTCGTGGGCCGCGACTACCTCAAGCTCCGGCCGGAGCTGTGCCACCGGCTCGCGTGCTGCGCCGCCGACGCCGACGGCGCCGTCGCGGCGGCGGCGGCGCACGCGCTGAAGGAGGTCGTCGACGACAACCAGGGGCGCGTCGCGCGCCACGTCGTCGGGCTGGTGGTGGCGCTGAACGGCGGCGACGCCGCGCTCGCCGCGCGCTACGGCGACGCCGAGCGCCGCGGCCCCGTCTACGCGGCGGCGCTCGCCGCGCTGTCTCCGGAGCGGCGCGGCGAGGCGACCGCGCGGCTCGCCAAGGACGTCCTGGGCCCCGCGGCCGACGCGCCGGACGCGGCGCTGGCGAAGATGGACGGCCGCCTGGCCGACGCGCTCCGGATCCTGCGCGCGGACTTGCGCCTGCGCAAGGGGGCGCGCGCGAAGGACCGGGCCGACGACGACGCCGACGACCCGGCGGCCGCCGCGCTGGACAAGGCCCGGGGCCGCCTGCTGGGTCGCGCGTCCAAGAAGCACCTGCTCGAGCAGGTCCTGCCGACGCTCCTCGCGCTCCGGCACCGCCTCCGCGCGCTCCGCCTCGGCGTGGCGGCCGACGTCGAGGCGACGCTCGCCGAGGCGCTCCGCGCGCACGGCGCGGCCGTCGACGCGGTGCTCGCGAACGACCCCATGCTCGCGCGCGAGCTGCGCTACGACCTCAAGCGCGCCCGGACCGCGCAGGCTTGCTGAGAACACGCCCCCCCCCCCCTCCCCGCGGCCGAAAGAAGCTCGACCGACCCTCCCCACGCATATAACTTGAAGACTCCCACTACGATTCACCTGCCCCCCACTTAGGCCCCGGGCCGCGCCAGTGGCCCGTGAGGCCCCTTCCCCTACCCCTCTATAAGACCCTGAGGTAAATAACCCGCACTAACCGGTAATTACCCGGGTTATTAACCCCGGGCGGCGCCAGGGGTAATAACCCCTCAGGTAAATGCCAACCTAGCAACACGGCACCGAGTCCACCCAAGAACTTGAAGGGCGGCGCTCCAACCAACGGACGTAGCTGATCGCTCGGTGAGAGGAAAAGTGTGTTACGGCCCGGCGCGGCGCGGCCACCTACTACGCGTCGCCGCCGACCAGACTGTCGAGCGACGCCTCGATGATGCCGCCCATGCCGCCCTCGGGGTACGCGTCTTCGTCCGCGGGCGCCCCGTTGGCGAGGCCGAAGCCCCCGTAGCCGCCGGCGGCGAAGCCGCCGCCGTAGGCGCCGGGCACGAACTCCGGCGCGCGCGTCTCGAGGCCCTGGGCCGCCCGCAGCGACGAGTCGTTCCACTGCCGCGCGGGCGCGGCCGGCGGCTCCTGAAATCCGTACGCGGGCGCCGCGTGCGGCGGCGGCGCCAGCGAGCCGGCCGCGCCGTAGAAGTTCTGGCGCGGCGGCGGCGCGAAGGCCGGCGGCGGCGGCGCCGGCCGCTCGCCCAGTCCCGGGAAGTCGCCCCCCCGCGGCGGCGGCCGCCGCGGCTCGGCGTCGTCGAAGTCGGAGCCGGGCGGCCCGAAACCCAGGTCCAGGCCGCTCAGCGCGACGGCCGCGGCCGTCGCCGACGCGCGCTGGAGCTCGCGCTCGCGCCGCGCCGTGTCCGCGCGCTCGACCTCCTGCCGCGCGTGCGCCTGGCGCTGCGTCGCGTTCCACTCGCGCTGCAGCGCGCGCTCGCGCGCGCGCCGCTCCTCGTGCTCGCGGCGCTCGGCCTCGCGCTTCGCCTGCTTCGCGCGCTCGGCCTCGGCCTCGGCCTCGGCGGCGGACGCCTCCAGGGCGCGCCGCAGCTGCTCCGCCTCGAGCTCCTCCAGGTCGACGGGCCGCGGCGGCGCCTGCTCCGCGCGGGGCGGCGGCGCGGCGTCGGCGCGCGGCGGCGCGCCGCCGGCCGGGCGCGGCGCCGGCGCCGGCGCCGGCGGCGCCGCCGCGGCGCGCGCCTCGCGCCGCTTCTGCTTCTTCTCCTTGCGCGCGGCCTCCCGGAGCTCCTTCTTCCGCCGCGCCTCGGCCTCGGCCCGCTCCTCGGCCCTGCGGCGGGCCTCGCGCCGCTCCTTCTTCGCCTCGAGCTTCTCGCGGGACGCCTTCTCGCTCGCGGCCGCCTCCCGCGCCCTCGCCTCGTCCTCGTCGGCGCGGCGCACGAGCTCGCGCGCGTGCTCGAAGAGCCGCGCGTACTTGTCGCCCGGCGCCAGGTGAGCACGTTCGGCCTCGTCCAGCGCGCTCCGGGCCAGCGCCGCGTCGCCGCTCGACACCGCGTCCGCGACCCGCACGAGCGCCGCGTCCTGCTCCTCGCTCGAGTTCCGCTCGGCCTTCTCCCGGGCCTTCTTCCGGCGCTGCTGGGCCTTCTTCCGCGCCGCGCGCCGGGCCTTCGCGACGCGCCGCTGGTCCTCGGCCGTCTCCCGCTCCAACAATTCCACCAGGTCGGACTTCTCCACGCAGCCCGCGTAGTCCACGCCCCGCTCCTCGAGGCGCTTCTTTAGTTCGGACACGCTCAGCGCCGCCGCGTCCTCGGTCGGCTGCGACGCGCCGCCCATCATGAACTGGAAGAACAGGAGCATCTCGCTCAGGTCCATCGCCTCCCCCGCTGTGTTCCCGTTCTGGTTCAGCGCGCGAAACGCGCGGTTGATCTCCTCGAAGCGGCGCGTCGCCTCGTCTCGGTTTCCTTCGTTCCGGTCGGGGTGCCACTGCGCGGCGCGCGTGCGGAAGGCCGCCGTGATCGTCGCCTCGTCGTCGCCCTCATTTACGCCCAGCACCTGGGCGGCCTTCTTGGCCTTCATGTGTGGCGGCGCGGCGCCTCGCGGCACTGTGCGGAGCGCAACTAGGCACGGGGGGACCCCAGCCTGCCGCGCAATCGCGCCTATACCAGCAAAGCGACTATGCTCGCGCGCGCAAGTGGTACTAAGTACAATACATGTACCGTAGGTACCCCTTGGCTAGGGGGGGGTACCATGGTACCGTGGTGGGACGCTAGTAAGATAGAGGGGGCTTAGACACTATACACCAATATAGAGGGACGGTACACTAAGAACTGTAATATGGAGGTGCCTTACGGAAAAATATGTCAATATGGAGGGCGCTTCGTGGGAACCCCCCCCATTTCGCAATCCTTTAGGCTTAGCTGTATAGGGCGCGCGCAACATGTCATTCCAGTATCAATGTCCTCCCCCACGCAACACCGGCATTCGCGTCGGGCAAGGTGGCTTCTACACGGTCTGCGAGCTTATCGGACAAAGTGGCTGGTATGCGTTTGAACGAATTAATAATGATGGATCAGTTTCCCATTGGTTCATAAACCAAGATGGACAACACAATAACTATATTTTCCCCAAGCAGCAGCTTGAAGCGCACCTTAAGAGATTGGGTGTGAACAACGTAATAATCACTCCTACAGAGGAAGCAGCCCCCCACACCCCTCTAATTTGTAGGGGTGGCAGTCGCGTTTTGCCATTTACGGAGAAACTGCAGTACGCGTTTTGCGTTCTTGAGAAAGTTGATGGGAATAGTTATAGGACATGGCTTCCTTATATTACCGCCTGGCAGTTGCAAAAAATTGTTACAGGTTTCCGCAAGCCGCGCCCCGGCGGCGGCGGATACTTAAATTTACGTGACGATGATGATCAGAGCCAGACCACCCCGCATTTATGCCAAGGCAACTTGCTGATGCAAATGGGCCGCGGCTGAAAGCAGGGGAAACGTACAAACATCGAGAATGCCTACGGACTGCCTATTGTGGAGATTCGGCAAGTCGGTCGATTGTAAATAGAACAACGGTGTCACGGTCCACCATCATAATGGGGTCGCCGATACTCTTTTGGATAATTTATTTGCCCAGCGTTATAAGTTGCCCCTCTGTACAGTGCATTCCGGGAGCCGCGCGGATATGTCCTTCGGCCGCTACGTTTAAACAGTAGGTCTCGGCGACCAACTATGGTGAATTCTGAATTTTGGGGATCATTTATTTATACACCTTTCCTTGAAGACACCTCCCCCATGCCGGCGCGTGTGGGGGCGCGGGAACGTGGAATAAATTGGTAAAACATTTGGCATATTAGACTCGCTAGCGAGGGCGAAGCCTCCGATGCTAGTGGTCCGGGGGGGGGGCGAACGCAGCCCCAGTGCAGCCCTTCCGAGATGCATCTGAAAGTAGATCCAGCTCCAGCAAAAAACGCACACAGCCGAACGACTGCAAACAGGGCGCCCGATGACCCACTGGGTATGTGACTTCGAGGAGAGACGACTAATATGGATCATCGAAAGCAGTGAAGCTGCCCCAGCGTCGCAATACCAGCACGCACATTGTACTGGAACCCAGCGCAAATCCAGTACAAGCAAGAGGCAGTCCCTTGACATCCTTGGGGTGCGACAACAACGATCAGATACTGATGAGAAAAGTTTGGCAGTCGCCTGGCCAGTCCGCGGCGCTGGCAACTGCAGCTAGCGACCGCACAAAACAGCCAGTGGATCCCCTATTATTGCGGACGTGCCGTCAAGTAGCACACACCGGATCCACACCCATCCAATATTAACCGAGGGCCCAGCTGGCCCAGCAGCGTCGCGCTGCACTAGCGGCGTTTCCGGCGCCGCACTAGTGAACCTCAAACCGCTGGTGTAATACCCAAGAACGACGGGCACGACGTCGTAGCATAGTCAGACCACGCGCTCACCGCGAAGAAGTTATAATACGGCCGTATAATCCAGGTTCCGCATAAATCAGTATGGAGGGGGCTTACACCATATCTTTCAATATGGAGTGAGCGCGCGCTTAACTACCTTGCTTATGTAAGCACTCTTACACAATCTCCATATTGACATTAATTCTCTAAGCCCTCTCTATATTGAATAAAGAGGTCTAAGGACACTCTATATTGCTATAAGCCCTACCGTGGTACTAAGTACAATATACCGCAGCTCAGAGATCAGTACCGGTCCCCCTGGCTCGCGCGCTTGACGGAGCTGGGGAATTATTACTAACAATCAGCCAGTGTGGCAAGACTCAGCCTGTGCGTCGTGGTTTTGACCGGATGCCACCGCGGATATTATGCCTGCTTTGGTGCGTCTTCCTCGGGGCGGCGGCGGCGCCCGAGGCAGCGGCGGCGGCGGCGCAGCAGCAACTCGTCGAGGTCTTCGAGGTCGAACGGCGGACGGAGGGCACGCGCGCCCACCAGTGCGCAAACAATTAAGATAAGCCGCGGCGCCTGATCGCGCGGCTGGTCTGCACACAGGCGCCTACGAGCTGGTGGGCTACGCGACCGCGCGCGGCGACGACGTCGACGCCGAGCGCCGCGCGACGGCGCCCCGGGGCTGGCGCTGGGCGAGCGACTGGATCTCCGACGGGAGCCGCGGCGTCGACGGCTGGGAGTACGCCGCGGCGCGCGCGGGCCCGTACGATGCCGAGGGCGGGCCGTTCCGGCGGCGGCGCTGGCTGCGCGTCATGCGGCGCCGGGGCGCCGACCGGGGGACGGCGCCCGCGGCGGAACCCCGCGCGGAGCCAAAGGCCGTCCGTTCGCGCGCCCCGGCGGCGCCGCTCCGGGCGCTGCGGCGAGACTTCGCGTTTCGCGGCTTCGGCCTCGGCTGCGCGCACACGGTCGACGCGGGCGGGCAGATGGGCCTCGTGGTGCAGCTGCCGCTGACGCCGAACTTTGGGTTCTGGGAGCGCCGGTCGCACTACCTGCCCATGGCCACGGCGCTGGCCATCATCTATCCGCCCCGGCGAAGCGACCTCTGCGCCGTCGCGTTCGTGCTCTCGGTGAGCTACCCCGTCGACGTGCTCGCGCGCGGCTGCCGCGCGGTCCGCGCCGCGGGTCGTCCCCAAAACGCGACGAACGCCACCGCGGTACCGCGGACGTCGTGGCCGACGGGCCCCCGGGGCGGCGTGCGGCGCGTCGGCGTCTCTTTTTCGAGAACCGTGGCGGTGCGCGCCGTCGACGTGCCCGGGGAGTTCAGGAGCCCGGTGCGGCTGCGGCCGTGGTTCATGTACGCGCCGGGCCTCGGCTACGCGTACGACTTCGCCGAGCGCGTCGCCGAACGCGCGCTGGCGCGCGCGGCGCGCGCGTTGGCGCGCGGGCCTGCGTTGGCCGCGGCGAACGCGTCGGCCGCGAACGCGTCGGCCGCCGACCAGTGGCTCGCGCGGTCGTCGATGGCGAAGCGCAACGCGTCGGCGGTGGTCGCGCGGCGGCGGCGGCGGCCCCTGCGGCGGGCCGCGGAGGCGGGCCTCGCGGCGGCGGCGGCGGCGCGCGGCTGGTGCGCGACAAAGTTCGCGCTGCTCGGCTACTCCTTCCTCCCGTACCAGGCGTACCTGACGGACGCGCGCGCGGCCGCCGCGGCGCCGGACGTGTTCCGCCCGCTGCGCGGCTCGCTCATCTTCATGATGCGGCCGTTCTACCCGCCGAGGCTCGGACGGTCCGTCAAGAAGCCGTCGTAATTAATCTCTGTTGTGGTGACGTTCGGCCGAAGACGCTGTGGAATTGTCGCCCTTGGGGTGCCTGAGAGGTGCCTGAGGGCGCGGCGCGGCGGCGGCCTGGCCGGGCGGGGGCGAAGACCGCCTGGCGGCGAGATGTGGCCTCTGCGTCCTCCGTCTATCTACGAGAAAGTAGTCGGCACCAGTTAGCGGGCGTCACGGTAAGCTTCCTCCTTCGAGTCCCGGTCGCGGTGCGGCGGACTTTGCGGCGGTGGCCTGGGCCAATCCCGGGCCGGGCTCCGGGGGCCGCCCCGCGATAGCTACAAGTCTAAACTACGACGACGACGACGACCACCCGCCGCGAGTAGCTCGGCTGAGTCGAGGTAAAGTTTTATTGTGTCCCCGCCGGTCTACTCGCCGGGAGGACAAGGGGGTCCACCTCCCGCCTCACGCGACGACGACGGACTGGTAGACGGGAACGAGGTACTTGATGTTGATGAACGCGTCCTCCCCGCCGTGCACCTCGAAGTGCTCGAGCGTCTCGGCGATGAGCTCGCCCAGGTTCTCGCGGCGCTGCTGGCCGTAGTCGATGCCGTCGCCCAGGTTGTCGTTCGACCGCACGAAGATGTTGAGCACCGGGAGGATCTGGCGGTAGTACGGCACGAGGGCCTGCCCGATGAGATGCTGGCCCTCGGGCACGCAGTCGCACGCCACGAGGGCCTGGAGGACCTTCAGCACCTTCACGATCACCGGCTTGGATCGAGTGTTGAGCGCCGTCTTGATGGGAATGATTAATTGCGGCACGACCGGCAACACCTGCGGATAAGGCGACGAGTGAGTTCGGTCATCCCGAGAAAAAACCGTGTGTGGCCAGGTTGGACGCATTCGAACGATTGATAGCAAGGAGACGGGGCCTCGCACGCGACAACGACCCGGATTGAAGAGGGCGCCTTGGCCTTTTGATTACCTCGCAGGGCAACACCTTTTGCCAGCCGCTGGACATCATGTCGTAGACGCCCTGCTCCGCCAAAAAAGCGTAGGGCTGCTCGACCTCCCGCAAACCATCAAAGAAGATGGGCAGGTAGTGGTGGAAGTCCAGCTTCTGCACGTCGACCTTCCACGCGACCCTATTCGACACGCCGCCATGGTCGACCTGCACCGGCAGGTCCCCCCGCTCGTAGAACCTACGAAACTCCGTGTTCGGCGGGTTCGGCCGCTCGGCGAAGGCCTGGAAGTCCATCAGTTTTGATTTTGGGGCCTGCCTCTTCTTTACTTCCTCGGCCGGCGCCGGCCGCGCGTCCGTGCCGCCGGTGCCCGTGCCCTTTTTCAGGAAATCACTTGGAAGCTCGCGCCGCGTCCGCCGGGAATTCCCGAAGGCCTCGGCGTTCACGCGCCTTCTCGGCAAGCTCTCGTGGCCGCCGGCGCGCACCGTGATCGCCTCGAAGTTCGTGCTGTCGAAGCAGCTGCCCGTCTCGGCGAAGTGCACCTGTCGCTGCCTGACCCTAAGGTCGTTCTTGTCGATGGTCGCCGGCATCCTGTCTATCTGCTGTCGGCCGGGGGCGACCGGGCGACCGGGCCACCTCCGTTGTTAAAAAAGATATAGAAACCTATAGATACATATAACATTGCGCCTTAAGTCAAAATCAATTGCAATTATCGCACGCTTCTGGCAGCAAGCTTACGTACACGCCCGCGGGGGATAGCCCCCCCGAGACCCCTCCCTAGGCGTGCCCCAAAACCCGAATTCAAGTTGACTAGTCCATTCCGTCGCGCGCAACGCGTGCCCGTCCTTGATCGCACCCGACCGGCTCCGCGGAAACGATGGTAGCCTTGTGACTATCGACAAACTCCAGAGGTTAATCGCCCCGCCGCCGCTTGAGCCGCCGCGCGCGGAGCGCCGCGTCGCCGGCCCCCGTCCGGGGCTGCGCCGCGGTGGGCGCGCTCTTTTGCAAAGGCGCCGCGGCCGCGCGCGCCGCGCTCGCGTCGGAAGCGCACCGCGCGCACGGGGCGCCGTCGACGCAGTCAGCGCGAGGCGCGCCGAGCGCGGGCGGCGCCCGCGACCGCGCGTCCGCGTCGCCGAGCCACGCCGGCGGTCGCACGGCGCTCTCGGAGACCTTGTTCAGCGTCAAGGCGAGGTAGTCCAGGACGCCGTCGCGATCCAAATACGCGTCCCAGAGCCGGCGCGCTTCTCGCGCGATCTTTTTGCAAGCCTCGTCGTGCGCCCGGCACCACCGCACTTTATCCAGCAGATCGGACAAGTCGGCGCGCACCGGCACGTGGTCGACCCACGGCCGCAGGAGCGGCATGTACCACGTGCGATCGGCGACGCACCGCGACTCGACCTTGAGGATCACGCTCCCCAACCGCATCATGAACCCGTAGCGGCAGGCGGCGCAGTGGCCCTCGACGTAGATCAGATATTTATAAGCGGACTGCTCGAAGATCGGCACGAAGTTCTGGCGCCCCGCGGCGAAGCGAAAGTCGGCCGGGTCGACGTGGGTCACGGGCCCGTCGAACACCTTCTTGTCCCGGCGGTTCCAGCCCGTCAGCTTGCAGTCGATCAGGCCGCCCTCGGTCCGACAATCGAGGGCCGCGAGCGCGAGGCGCTGGTTCGTCTCCGTAGAGGTGCCGCCGCCGGTGGCCGTGCCGCGGAAGAACGCCGTCTCCCTCTTGTCCGCCCAGCTCCTCTCGAACTTTCGGAACTTGGCCTCCGTGAACAGGTCGCGCGGCTTGACCTGAGGAGCTCCGTCCTTGTGCTCGAACGACGGCGGGAAGACCTCGCCGACGGCCGCCTCCCAGTCCTCGGACGGCGGCAGCGCGAGGTCGGCGAAGACGGAGGAAGTATAAAAGGACAGCACCGGGGCGAGCTTCGTCCCCCGCCTGAGTCGCGGCAGCGTGGCGTCCTGCGCCGGGTCGCGGTCGTCGCTGTCGATCATGAACCCGTAGGGCTCCGACGCGTTCGCCTTGAGCTGCGGGTAGTCCCGCTTGTTTACGAAAAACTCGCAGTCGCCGACGCGCCGCGTCGCGCAGACCTCGTCGAGCATGTGCCTCAAGGGCGCCAGGAACCGGTCGCCCCAGAGCTGCGACAGATGGGCGGGCAGCCCCTCCTGCGAGTGCTCGTTGCAGACGACGTTGCCGTTCGCCCACCACGCCGACTTGTCCTTGAGCACGAACTCCTCGCGGCCGCCGCACCTCTCCCGCTTCCGCCTGTAGTAGGCGTCGACGCCCAGGTCGCCCCCCAACCTGAGGGAGGCGCCCCAGCCGTTCGCGTAGTCCTGGTTGCAGAACGGCGCGAAAATTTTAACGCGACCGTCCCGGATCAGGACGTAGACGCCGCAGCGCAGGTGCGACCAGGCGTACCTCAGGGTCGCGAGCGCGGCCGCCGGCGGGCGCTTGTCGTGGAGCGGCGACGCCAGTCGCGCGTCGATCTCCTCCCCTACCAGCTTCGCCCGGCCGGCCGTCCAGCGGTTGCCGGGCGTGTCGCGCCGCGCCGAGCTCGTCGGCGCCGCGAGGTACGCGCCGCGCGCGTCCACCACGTGCGCGCGGAGCTGGGCCTCCGTCACGCTCGTCGTGAAGAGCTGCTGCATGTGCGGCCGCTCGGGGTTCGACAGAGGTTGCTGGGAGGCGCAGTGCTGCCGGATCCACGCGGAGCAGGCGTCGCCCGTGGCGAAGGTCGGGATGCCGCGCCGGAGGAACGCCGCCGCCTCGTCCTCGCGCGCATAGATGCCGCGCACGCGGCCGGCGGCCGCGGGGCGCGGCGGCAAGTCCATTATTTATATTTTGTGAGCCTTTGCCGTCTGCGCACACCGGCGCTTATACGCAGGAAGTAAAGACTATGGAGCAGCAGCAGAGCTGGAACTTACAGTACCGCAGGTACTTATAGTACCTACGGTATCTGTGTAGTACCGTAGGTACCGGTACCTTGCGCACGCACGTGGACCCCAGCGCTTGCAGGTATGACGGCCGAAGCCGCCGCGTGGCCCTGGCGCGTCGCGCTCGAGACGCTCGGGCACGACGCCGCTGCGGCGCCGCCCCACACGCTGGCGAAACTCATCGAGGGCGAGAAGCTGCCATGGGTCGTCGCGCGCGTCGAGAAGGCGCTGCGCCGCGAAGACGACGCCGCCGACGCCGTCTTCGTCCTCGGCGACGACTCGGGCGCGACGATGGTCGCGCAGTTCTCCACGCGCGCCGCGGCCCAGGCGGGCGGCGAGGTCCGCGCGGGCTCAGTCGTCGCGGTCCGCCGGCCGGCGACGCTCCGCGGCGCCGGCGACGACGCGTGTCTCGTCGTCGACGCGCCGGACCTCGTTGTCGCGGTGCCGCCCGACGCGCCGCCCCCCGTGCACGCGCGGCGGCGCGGCCGGCCGGCGCGGGCGATGCCGCCGCTTCCGGACCCGGACCCGGTCCCGGTCCAGGCCCCGCCGCGACGCGCGGCGCCGTCGCCGCGACGCGCGGCGCCGTCGCCGCCTCGCCCGGCCGAGCGGACTCGCCCTCGTCCGGCCGCCGCGGCGCCCGCCGCGGCGCCTCGACGCGCGTCGACGACGGAGACCGGTGGCGACGACCTCGTCGATGCGCTCCTCGACGGGGGGCGACTGCTGACCCAGCAGGACGCGCCCCCTCGGCAATTGGCGCCTGACGGCGGCGGTGACGACGTCGACGCGCTCCTCGACAGCTTCGGCTGCTAAGGTGGCTAGTAGATAGTCTATTATTCAAGTTCTCTAATTTCTCTTCCGAGTCCTAAAGGTCGGAGACTCAAAACGAAGCTCCGAATGGAACGCGATCGTAACGCTGGCACGGTTGTGCCAGTGGTGGGTGCTGACGCTCAGGCTCTGGCTGGCTGCAAAGCACAGTGCCGTTCGGGACGGGAGCACAGGGTAGTATGTGCGGTAACCATCGCAGAATTGACCCCCCAACTAATGCCCGAGCGACCGAGGGGCCAACTTGAACGGCCGCATGCGGAATCGCATGTCCGCACTGGCAGGCCTAACCTTCAAGTTACTAGTAGAGCCAATGTCGGCGCCGCCCGCGGCGCGGCCGACCTGGGCCGGGCGGACGGCGGGTTTTACTACAGTACACACCGTGACCCTGCCTGTAACTTGAAATAAATACCGTGACTACTAGTAGTAAATCATAACTTGAAATAAATAAATAAATAAATAAATCGATAAATAAATTCAAGTTCAAGTTAATTAAGGGAGACCTAAAAAAAGGAAAAAGCCCCTAAGAGCTTTCTCCCTGCGGCTCAGTCAGGATACCCAACCGGAGCTTCGAACTTGAAATAGCACTGGCAGTAACTTGAAGATAACGGCACAATACTAGTACACATAAAGCGGAAAACAAACGAGACTTAGATGACCCCCGCCTTGTACAGCTCAGCCGCGAACGCCGTCTCGGCGCAGGTGAGCTTCCCCGCGCGCGTCTTCGTGATCTCGTCATCCTCGGGCTTCCGCCAGCCGCAGTCCATGGACGCTGTGGGCGGGGTCTTGTACTTGTCGCAGGGGTTCCGGCCTGTGTGGAAATGAAATTTCAGGCGCCATCAACGCGACGTTGACCATTCCTAAGATAGCCTGACTCATTGGTTGATTCCACGCGGGTTCCCGGCTCATGCGCTGGTGCCGCGCGATGTGCTCGCGGTAGAACTTGACCAACTTGAACTCCGAGCCGTCACCCACCGTATCTCGCTGCTCATCCTCCCACCGCCGCTCGTCCGCCCGCGCGTTCCGCACCGCCTCGAGGAGCGCGTCCTTGGTGAGCGGCGCGTCGTCGTCCAGGTGCGCGCGGACGCGGTCGCGGTCGCACTCTAGCGGCGGCCCGCGGTATACCAACTGAAGCACGGCGTCGAGCGTGCGCGCGTCGCCGGCGACGGCGTCGAAGGCCGAGGCAAATTCGTCGTCCTTGAACGCCGCGAGCAGCCCGGACTTCTTCATGTTGACTCGGAACGAGTCCTGCGGGCCGAGGTAAGTCAGACCGAGGAAGGCCATCTTCGGACTGCTGGAGGCGGCCGTGTCCCAATCAACAATGCTGCCTCGAATGTCGTCTTTGCAGGGGAGGAGGAGATATATATCTTGTTTTCTTCCGTCTAGGAGTACATGGTATGCGTAGTATGCGTAGGTACTAAAGGTACCGTAGGTACCGCAGACCGCATGAGCTGAGCTCGATCCGCAGCGAGGGGGCAAAGCTAAATAGTCGAGATCTCATCGTCGTCGCTTGGCAGAGCAAAGTTCTGGTGAGCAATAAGTCTGTGAGCCGCACTCAGCCCTGAGCAGGGCCATGCATCGTTGCGCGCACTTATGTATAATTAGCACTGCCGTGACAAATGCGTTGCATACCCGGCGCGCAGCGGTAGGCGCCATAACTGGCACCGCCTTGCTCCCTGTGCCATCCCAGGCATTCGAGGTCAAGCTACCGTTCGACGAGGACGCTGACACCCGCCGGAGGCGGCTCAACGCCGAGCTCAAGGCGCCGCCGATAAGCGACGAGGTCCGCGCGTGCGGTTCGCGCCTGGTCGGCACGTACACGGACCCGAAGCACCCCGGCTGCGAGCGGCGGGTGGCGCAGATCGCCGGCACCCGCTTCGCGTCGATCCGGGGCGTCGACGAGGACGGCGTGCCTTGGGTCGCCGGCGCGTCTATCGCGTGCGCCGATTATAATGGAGTGGGCAAGGAACAGCTCATCGTGGGCCTCCGTGTCGAAATCAATCTGAGCTCGAGTAGGATCTGCGGCTGTTCGATGGCGTGGAGGCCGACGAGCACGATTCGCTCGTCCTCGGCGCCGGCGCGGACCACTGGGTGATTTCCACACAGGTGGACTTCACGGCGCGCGGCGGCGGCAAGGACGTCGTGGCAGTGGCCGATTACTCGGCTACGTCGGCGACGCTCACTTTCCCCGACGGCAACGCGTGGACCATGGTGCCCTGCTCGAACCCAAACTTGAAGACGGCCCAGCAGCGGGCCGCGTGTGCTTCTGCGAAGTAAGGAGCTTGTGGCTGAAGTTCCCTTTTTTTAGTTTAACAACATGTCGCCCCGACTCGGAGCTAGGACAGTGCTAGGACTCGGGACGGCGGCGTATGGGGGCCGGGGGCGGGACGGGCGATCGGTCCGAGTCAAGCAGGCCCCGCGTCGGCTGCGGCTAGGCGGACTAGCTCTAAGCAAAGCAACATGCGGTGGCAGCAGGAGGACGACGTCCGGTCCTGACTGACTATCTGCTGAGCGCACATGAGAAATAAATAAATAAATATTAAAATAATAAGGAGATTGAGAATTTGCTCTATCGTTTCTTGACGTCTCTTTTTAAGCGCCGGCTGGGTATCCTAGCCGCGCAGGGAGAAGGCCGCTAGAGGCCAAGTGGTGTATGTCCTTCAAGTTTTCCTTTAAAAATATTCCTTCCTTAATTATTTATTTAATAAGGCCGCCCGGGAGGTGGCTAGGCAGCCTAGCTCTAAGCAAAGCAAATAATTAGAAATTATCCGAGTCAGGGCGGAGGAGGCAGAGCTCCACATCACGCCGCTTGGCTTCCCAGGAGCGACACTCCAATAGTGAACAGTTACGGTCGAAATTCCTAGAGGTCCGGCCCCCATGCCCACGGGTGACTTCATAGGCTCAGACCACGCGCGATAGGATGCAATTCGTATAATCGTTCAAGGAACGCGTCACGTTCTTCCGCGAAAGCCGACTATTCAAACAATGTATGTTGCTTCGCTTGCGAGATTCGCAACAAGGGCTAAGGACGGACCCTTACTCCCCCACCGTGCGCGCAGCAATGAGCACGTTGTTCTTCGCGACATCCGCCTCGAGCAGCGCGTAGCGCTCCTTGAGCTCCTGGATCCGGGCCTCCGTCTGCGTGATCTCGACCTTGCGCTTTTCGTAATCCAGCACGAGCATGTCGTTCGCGGCGAAGCCCTTGGACTCCGACCGGGATGCCTCGCGCATTCGTTTCTTCTCTCGCCTCTTCTTGAGCTTGGCGACCCGATCCCGCTCCACCGCGAGCTTCGCGTCGAGCGCCTTGAGTTCCCCGCGTCTTTTTTCGCACAGCTTCTCCTCGAACGCCAGTGTTTCGCGCGCGTGCGTCGCCACTCGCACGTTCGCGGCGTGCTTTTTGCGCAGCTTCTCGATTTCATCCTTCCGATCTTCGATTTTCTCCGCCAACGCCTGGTTCTCGATCTTGAGCTGCTCGAAGTCGATGAGGTGCAAGCCCTCGGCCAATTGCTCCTTCGCCCGGAGTTTCGCTTCGCACTTCTTCAGGGCGTTCCGCAGATTGATGTTCTTCAGGCGCACCTTCTCCAGCTCCTGGTCGCGTAACGCCTCTTGCGCCTCGAACTCGTCGATGACCTTTTTGGAAAGTTTCTTGCCCGTCCTCGAATGTTCCGCCGCCAGGAAAATCTCCCGCTTGAAGGCCTTGAAGGAGTCGGCGATCTTCTTCGCTTTGAACTCCTTCTCGTCCAGCCGCGCCTGTAGTTCGAACGCGACCCGGTCGCTCCGTTCCTTCTGCTGCGCGGCCTTGCGCTTGGCGTCGAGGATGGCGCTGAGCGCGTCCGCGTACCGCCGCTCGGCCTCGCGCGGGTCGAGGCGCTCCTTGTCGTCGGCGTCGGGCGCGTCCATCACCGCCGCGACCTCGGCCGAGAGGCGCGCGTTCTCCTCGGCCAGCAGGGCCTTCTCCCGCCGCAGCTCTGCGAGCCGCTCCTGCAACTGCTTGCTCCGCCGGGCGTCCTCCCGCGCGTCGTCCTCTCTCTGCTGCTGGCGCTCGGCCTCCCGCAGTTTCTCCGCCCGCCGCGCCTCGAGCCGAGCGACCTGCTCCGGCGTCAGCGTCTGCTCCAGGAGCGCCTCGTCCTCCTCGCCGGCGTCGCCGCCATCCTCACCTTTGATCGGCGCCGCGCCGCGCGTGGCCCTTCCCTCCGCCCAGCGCCGGCCTTCCCCGCCCCGCTTCACGCCCAAATATAGGGTCGCTTTGTAGAGGTCCTCGACCGCGGACGGGAGTCGCACCGTCGTATAGCCGCCCTCGATGGCAAAGGCCGCGCCGGAGCCGTACACGAGCATGACGTCGACGACCGCGGCTTCGTTCGCCTCGGACAGCGGCCGCGTCCCGTACCAGAGCTGCCCCAGGGCGGGGTCCCCGGCCAGCGCACCGCCGCTCACGTAGCCGACCCTCTCTTCAAACCCCACGTCCACGACCACGGCCGGATCCGCCGCCTCCAGGTCCGCGCGCGCCGCCGCGATCGCCAGATTCGCGGACGTGACCTGCTCGCCGCGCTCCACCGGCATGTAGAGCGCCGCGTTGTCCACCCGGAGGGTCCCGACGGCCGTCACCACGCTGACTTCGGCGAGGGGCGAGGCGTCGGCGTCGGCCGCGGCCGCGGCCGCGTCGCGCCGCGCCGCGCGCTCCTCGAGGGACCACGCCGCCGCGGCGTCTTCCGCGGCCGCCGGCGCGGTGGCCGCGGGCTCGTCCGCTGCGGCCATCGGGTCGAGGGGCGCTGCGTTGCCCGCCCCTGGATGGGCAGCCCCGCTTTGCCGCCCTGCGGCGTTGTCTACGGTACCGTATTCACTAGGCCTACCCTGTCCGGGTATTTAACCAAGATAAGTGAGACTAGGATAGTGAAGCTAAGATAAATTTTGGGAGATTTATAAGTGGAAAAGAGGCCGTTGCCACAACGGGCGCCAACCCCAGGGACCCCGGACCACGCGCCCCCGCGCCAAAACAACCAAGGGAGGGTGGGAGGGCCAAAAATTCTTGCTCCTTTGTCCAGAGAAGTCATCCTTGAGTTCTGCAAGAGCTTGTTGTAAGTTGTCGAGCTTTTGCTCTTGTTCAGAGAGAGATGAGAAAGATTCTGCCATGTTGGATGTAACACTCCACTTTCTACTTTTGTGGGATCAGCATGCTTTGTGTATTCCGCAAACAAGACGTTGAAGGACTTGCTTCTCTTATAGAGAAATCCGGTAATTCTTTGTTCGGCTTTTTCAAGCTTTGCTAAGAAACCTTTCGGTTTTGTCTTTGAAACCCACCTGTAGAAAATAAGGGGCTGCAATGTGTGTACAGCAAAGGTGGTCATGGCAACGGTATTGGCGACTGAGGTCATAGGTGAATCCCCGTTAATAATATAAGCACTAGAAGTAGTAATAAGTTCACTCATTGTTACTGTGTTGACGAGTGGATAGGGATTAAGGAAAGGATATGTATCTCGGGTACTAGGGGTATATTCTTCGCACGGACAGACATATATACGACCTATAGTTGCAAGTTGACCCTACTGCTATTGTACGCACGCATCCGTCGCTCCTTGGCAAGCGTGCATTACGTTTGTATGATACAAGCTCGTACCGTACCGCAGTATATGTAGGACGCAGTACCAGCAAGTACTGCGGTACAGCCTATACTGCATCCTGATGAAGCAGCACGATCGATGAATGCCTCGAGCTCCTCGGACGACGACGATGCGCCGGGCGCCAGCACCTGGGAGGGGGAGGATGAGACCTCGGAGTCCAGCGGCGACAGCAACGCTGCAGGCGAAAGGGCGCTGCGCGTCGAGGCGGCCGCGACGAAGCGCTTGTCGCTGAGCGAGCGGCTGCGGCGCCTCGACGCCGCCGCCGCCGCCGCGCCGCCGCCGCCGCCGCCGCCACGGGGCGTGAAAACCAAGCGGCGGCGGCGCGACGCCGCGACGCCGCCGGGGCGCGCCTCGAAGAACGCGCCGGCCGAGGCGTCGTCGCGGCGCCGGCCGCCGGCGCCGCGCCGACTCGGCGCCGACGCGCAGCGCCGCGACCCGCGTTTCGACGCGCTGTCGACGGGCGGCGACGCGGCCGCGGCGACGCGGCGCTACGCGTTCCTCGCCGAGCGCGAAAAAGAAGAACTGAAGGCGTCGCGCGCCTACCTGAAGACGAAGCGCGGCCGGCGCGACGCCGCCGCGCGCGGCGACTACGAGCGGCGGGTGTCGAAACAACGGCAGCGGGAACACGACGAAAGGCGGCGCGCCGTCACCGCGCGGTTTAGAAGAGAGGAGCGCTCCAAGGTCAAGAAGACGGGCAAGGCGCCGTACTACACGAAGCGGAGCGTGTTGAAGGGGGCCGTGGCCCAGGACCGCTTCGCCGACCTAAAAAATCGGGGCAAGCTCGGCGCGTTTCTGGCCAAGCGGGGCCGAAGGGCGGGGCTCCTGGAAAAGGGAGCCCGGAAGCAGGGTAACGACCCGGCACGATGATGACACACCTCGGGCCGTGGGCAGATCCAGCCTGCGTAAACTTCCCCACTGTGCCCAGGATGACCGCGCGCCGGGCACTACTACTAGTAGTACTGCCCTTTAGTATTCAAGTTCTCAGCTTGTCGCCCTACCCAGGTGGGTGGCAGAGGAGGGGTCCGGGGGGAGTCAGTTGCGTTACGCGCGAAACCTTCAAGAGGAGGACGCCTGCCGCGCCTCGCGCTCGAGCGCCGCGGCGAACTGGTCCGTGACCTGGCACTGAACGCCCACGTAGTTGACGACGTTGCCCGCGCCGTCCCGCAGCGGCGCCACGAAGAATTGGTTGTAGAACGTGCTGCCGTCGATGCGGTAGTTCAATAAACACACACTGGTGTCGTAGCCCTCGTCGACCGCCTTGCGTATTTTGGCGACGGCTCGGGGGTCCGTCCGCGGGCCCTGCAGGAAGCGACAGTTCCTTCCGAGAACGCTCTCGAGCGCGTAGCCGGTGAGCGTCAGGAAGCCCTGGGACGCGAAGACGATGGGGTTGTCCGGTAAACTCGGGTCCGTGATCACGAAGTTCTGCTGCGCGGTCTGCAGCGCCTTGACGAGGGAGTAGTCGGGGTCGTCCAGGACCCTGGTGGCTTGCGCCGGGTCCCGCGCGATCAGCGACTTCGCGGTCGTGCCGCCGGCCTCCCGCAATAACTCGTCGGCCCTGCTACCGAGCTTCTCGCGGATCGCCGTCCGCAGCTTGTCGTTCTCGAACTGCAACGCGTTGACCGATTGCTGCAGCGATTCGAGCAGGAACTTCTTGCGCACGCGCGACCGCTTGGCGTGCTCGCGGTTGCGCTCGCGCCGCTCGTCGCGCTGCGCTTCGGTCATGTCCGACGCCGCCGGCGCCGCCCGGCTCCGCTTCTTCTGCGGCGGGGGCGGCGGCGGCGCCGCGGCCGGCGCCGCCGCGGCGATGTCGTCCAGCAGGTCCGCGTCGCCCTCCCTGCCAAAGAAACAGTCGGCGAAAACATCATCGAGGTCGATGGCCGCCGCCGGCGCGGCGCCCGGCGCGGCGCTAAAGAGCGGCGCGACGGCGTTGCCATTCAGTTCGTGCGCCATGGCCGCCGAGAGCGGGTTCGGCGGAGGCTCGGCCATCGCAAACGCGCGGTCGCGCTCGCGCGCACGCGGCACTAAAAGAGCACTACTGCCCTTATACCGGGCCCTTCACCGCACAAGAGATTAGCTGGTCAAGGCAGCAACTATAGCTAGGCGAACCCGTTTTTTACGTCGACCGCCGCGCCTCAACCCCCCCTGCGGGTTTTCTCGAAAAGGTTCGGGTAGTAAAGCCGAGCCGCCTTTCTTGTCCGTTGAGGGGGAAATGGCGGCGGAGGCCTCCGCAGGCGGGTGCGCCTCGTCGACGTGCGCGGGGGATAGCCCCCCCCCCGATCCCTACGAGAGATTCACCGCGACATTTGCGCGACTGCTGTAAATAAGTGAAGGCTTGAGAAATCAGGACTCGGACAAGCTTTTGTAATAAATTAAGTAAATAAATAAAACTAAGGAAGACCTTGAGCAGGCTAAAAAAAGGAACAAGCTCCTAAGAGCCTTCTCCCTGCTCGGTCAGGATGCCCAACCGGAGCTTCGAAATAGCAATAAGATAACTGTTTCTCACATTACGACGGTGTCCGTGAGCATCCAGTGGCGGCAATGGCCGGCGTGGGACTGGTGTAGGCGACCTCGCCAGCCAGGTCCCACCGGTGGTCCCACCAGTGCGGCGAGGCGCCGCGCGCCCCGACTCATGTTCCTGAGCAGCTCCAGCGCGTAGTCCTTGCAGCTCCAGCCGTCGTGGCAGTTGCTCCGCATCTGCGCCCGCGCGATCGCGGCTTCGTTCAAGGTCAGGCCCTTGTTCGTGGCCTTGAGGTCGCCCGTCGTGATGTTAAATTGCGCCAGCAGCGTCGGACGCCACCGATAGATGTCGGAAGCAGGGACGTCCGCGGCGCGCACGACGTCGCGCATCCCGTTCGACGTCGCCGTCCGCGACCGGATCGGGATCGCCGCGGCCGACCGTGTCCCGGAATGCCGCGGGGACCGTTGCGTGCAGGTCTTGGCGCCGGGCCAGCGGGACTTTAGTAAAGCATGATTCGACGAACTCGAATTTCCGAGGGCCATTGGCTGCGAAAATGGGACGACGCGGGTCAGGCCCGGCGTGATGCACATGGATTCATTGTGAAGGTTCAGCGCGCCCGCCGGCCGCCGCGTCGACGGCTGCCAGTTGAGGGCGGCCGTGTAGCACGCGACCGCCACGAGTTTGTGCTCGAGCAGGGTCGCGTTCCTTTGGACGCGCCGGACCGCGTCAGCGACCTGCTCCCGGATCATCCGGAGCGCTTGATATGGTAGCCCGTCGTCGGCGTCGAGGACGGTCGTGAGGACGTAGTCCGCGACGATACTCGGTTGCCGCAGCCGCGCGAGGCCGTACGCGTGGTGGCCCTGGGCGCGCAGGTCGCGGTTGGCGGTCGAGCGGTCGAGCGAGACGACGCGGAAGTCCTTGGGTCCCCGGTGCGCGGCGAGAAGGGTCGTGAGGCGCCGGCGGTGCCTGGGCGCCAGCGTCTCGTCGACGATGACGAGCCAGACGAAGCGGTTCGTCGACTGCTGCGCCATCGTCGGTACGCAGATGCGCTCGAAGAGCAGGAGACGCGCCTCGACGAGCGCCGCATTGTGGCCCTGTTTCAGGCAGAAGCGCGTTCCGACGATGTGGACGTAAGTCCGGCCGGTGCCCCGGAGCGGCCACACGACCCGGCGGCTGGCGTTGGCGCCCGCTCCCCCGCGCGGTCCGCCGACGCGCGCGTATGCTGATCTTTGCGCTATCCCCGACGGGAGGTCTGCCCGCGGCTGCCGTCGGCGCCCACGCGGTCGGCGCCCACGCGGTCCCGACGCGCGCCGACGCGGTTTGCCGACGCGCGTTGGCGACCTCTCCCCCACTTCGGCCGCCGCCGGGAGGCGCGCGAGCCCCAGGCAGAGTAGGCAAACGACTGCTAGCTTACTGTGCTGCGCCCGGCTCATCGCGGAGGCTGCCGCTTGCCTGCCCGGCGGCGCCGGCACATGGAAGTAGCCTTCCGGGGCCGCCAGCCTGGCGAGGGCAGCCTCACCTCCCGCGGGGCAGCTGCCGGCGGCGCTACCGTCCGCCACCGTCCTAAATGCGGGCCTTGCTGGAAGCCACAAGTACCGTAGGTCGTCTCCCTCCAGGCGTCTATAAACCGTAGACTCGGATTAAATTAAAATAAGCAGACCAAAAAAAAAGGAACAAGCTCCTAAGAGCCTTCTCCCTGCTCGGTCAGGATGCCCAACCGTCAGAAGAGCCTTCTTACTAGTAAAGGCGACCATGACGCGATTTTACGAAGTTTATCCCAGTGTGGAACTCCCCGGCCGCGGCGGGGTGCTACGAATAGAACTTGAAAATTTAGGACCCTAGCCCGCCCCGGCGTCCGGCGCCGCGTCCGAGTCGTCGTCGTCGTCCATCTGGGCCGTGAGCGCGTCGAACGACGTCATCGCGTCCGCCAGGGCCCGGAACTCGAGCGAGCCGTCCAACGCCTTCCGGTGGATCTCGCTGAACTCGGCGAAGTCGACGACGCCGTCCGAATTCTCGTCCACCGACGCCATCATCTTGGCCACCTCTTTTTCCGAGGGCTCGGCGCCGGTGCACTTCCTCAACAGCGCCCGCAGCTCTGCCGCGTCGAGGACGCCGGACCCGTCGGCGTCGAACCCGCAAAACTTGTCCCAGAGCGGCCCCTCTCCTTTCTTTGGTCGTCCGCAACACCCTCCGCCCGGTTTCGCCGCGGCCGTCTTCTTAATGCAACCAGACAGCGCGCCGGACGCGAACGGGTTGGAAGAGAACTGCGTCTCGTCGACGACGAAACACTGGAGTATAGTCCAGATGCACATCTCGAAAACATTATTGAAGGCGTCCGCGGTGAAATAGCTCACCGCGAGGCACACGAGCGACGGGGCGATCACCCCGTGCAGCTTGTCCTGCATATCCATCAACACGGACACGTAAAAGCAAAACGTCGTCGCCAAAGCGACGGAAAGCTTGCCGAAGAAGAGGACGAGCTTGGCGACGCACGCGACCGCGGTCACGCGCCCGCCGTTCGCCATGATGAGCGCAAAGGCGCGGAAGCCGGCCGTGCAGAAGCCGACGCCGTGCAGCACTGTCTGGATGTAGGCGTGCTTGTTCAGGAAGCGGACGCACTTCTCGACCGCCACGAGGCAGTAGGTGATGCAATCCAACACGATCTTGGCGAGCTTGTTTTCCTTGGCGGGCGTGCACCTTTTTATGTATTGGACGACGACCTGCAGCGTCTTGCAGACCGCTATCACCAACGCGCCGAAGGCGGCCGTGCCCGCGTGGCGCCCCGCGATGCGCACCAACAAGCGGAGGACCGCCTGCGGCGTCACGAGCGCCGCCGTTGCCTTGTCTCGCGTGAAATACCACTGGACGACCGCGCCCGCCACGACGAGCTGCCCCAGCGCGAAGATGAACTCGCTCGTCCAGAACCAGCCGAACACGAGGTAGAGGGCGGCCCACCGCTGGTCCCTCGAGTATTCGAATTCCTTGTAGGAGATCTGCGCGCCGTTATATTCGACGTAGCTCGTCTTGAGCTCGCCCGCGGAGGCCAGGTAGGCGGCGTAGATGATCCAGACCGTGAAGAAGAGGACCTGCGCGGACGTCGGCCGATCACGCGACGCGCCGAGACCTCGGCGCCGGGGCGGGCGAGGCCGGCGCACTGGACGACCGGGAGGAGCGCGAGCGCGGGCATCGTCGTGAGCGCGCGGGCGGCCTCCTTGAGGATGCCGATCGCGAGGGTGATGCGCTTGCGGAGCGCGACCAATAGACACGCGTAGAGGACGCTCGCGACGACGAGGACGGCCGCGAGCGCCCTCATCACCTGCAGCTCCCGCTCGGAGTGCGCCGGCGGGTCCTCGGCCGCCCAGTCCCGGGCCGTAGCCGCGGCGAGCGCGGCCGCGGCGACCAGAATGATCAGAACGGATGCCAGCAGGACCCACACCATCGCGAACAGGAGGAACGGGATCTGCAGCACCACCAGGTAAGCGAAGCCGAACGCGGCCGCGACCAAAAAGCCGAACAGCAGAATCCAGTCGCGCGTCGCGAAGACGTCCGCGGCGATCTCCTCGTAGACGGCGGCGGACGCGCCGTCCCGCTGGGGCACTTGGGGCAGCGGCGTGGGCGCCCGGCTCTCGCAGAAGCCGCAGGCGAAGTCGCAGGCGCCGGGCAAGGCGCACGTGGGGCAGAACCAGTCGTAGCAGTAGGCCCGGGAGCCGTTTTTCCCGACCAGCGAATCGCAGTAGGCGCGGTCCAGCGCTTGCGTGCACGGCAAGGACGCATTAAAAGTCGGCGCGGGCGTGTAGACGGCCGTCGGCTTCGGCGTCGTGGGCGCGGGCGTGGGGCGCGGCGAGGGCTGCGAGGTGGAGGGGCCACGTTGCAGCGTCGGGCGCGGCGTGGGCGCGTCCATCGGTTCCGACGCCGCGAGCGCCCCCCCGATGTCGGGCGCGGCGTCGAACGCGCAATAACTCAAGATCTCGGTCGTCGCCCACACGAAGTTGCACCGCGCCTCGAGCACGTAGGCGAGGCCGGCGGACCAGTACTCGTGCGTGTCGCCCCGCGCGAGGTGTTTGTCGAGCGCGGCGGCGGCGTCGTAGTCGCACACGAACCGCCGCGCGTCGTCCTCGGAGGGACACGCCCGCACGCAGACCACGGCCCCGCTCGGCAGGTAGTAGCTCTTCCGGAGGGCGCTCACGTCGTAGGTCTTGTACGAGCCGTCCGCGTGGTACGTGGTGTGCTCCTCGACGGAGCAGACGTCGCCCAGGTCGTCCACGCCGAAGAGGAGGCGCCGCGGATCGCCCGCCGGCAGCGTATCAACGGCAAAGCCGGGGACGCCCGTGACGACGAGGCCGAGGATCGTCAGCCCGAGCCAGCACGCGATTATACAAAGTAGGCACAGCGCGTCGGTGCAGCGGCTGCCCGCGCCGGCGAGCGGGCCCGCCTCGTTCGTCGCGTCCACCCCCAAGGCCCTGGCCGCGGCGTCCGCCTCGGACTCCCTCGACGGGCCGCAGCAGGGCATCGCGTTCCGTCACTCCTCGACCGGGGCAGCCGGGACGCGCAAACGCGAGCCGACACAACGCATCCGCACGGCCGGCACTGCGCCACCTTCTAACTGCAGCACTTACAGTATGCAAACCCCCCCCTCCAAGCTCTTTCCCTAGCCCCTCTAGCCCCAAACCCGGCCCGTCTAGCGCATGCTACGAGCTTCATGCTACGAGCTTGTAGCATGCTACTGAGAGCTTGCTAGCGCCCGTGCCTCACCCTGGTACACTGAAAAGGCGCATTGCTCGTCCAGTGAAGCTCCGTCGAGAAGGAACACCATGCTGCCCGACGACGCGACCGTCGCGGAGGAGCACCTCCTTACCTTCTCCACGCGCTGCCCCGACGTCCGGACCCTTCACTTTTGCGTCGACCGATGCGCGACGGCGCCGCGGGCGACGCGTGCTCCACGCAGGCGCCTGGAGACGAGCCCCGTCGGGCGGCAGGTCTCCTCGAGGCTGCGGTCCGGCTCCGCGTTCACATTCTACGGCCCCGCGGGCGCGGCCTACGACCCCCAGAAATCACATAAGGTCGTCAAGTTCGGCGGGCCCCACGCCAAAGTCAGCACGCTCAGCCCCGGGCCCGCCAAGTACGACCCCTCCCAGATCGCGCTGCACCAGGTCTCCACCCAGCGCCGCGCGCCGTCGTCGCACATCTTCAGCCGCCAGAGCGCCTGGAACGCGGAGCAGGTCCGGCGCCTCAACCGGCATCGGGCACGACAGCAAGATTTACCTTCGGCCGGCGACCTGCACACGATGGCCCTCGAGACCAAGATTTTACAAAAACAGTACCCGCGCTGCCATTTCGCGCGGCAGTCGACGCACCGACCCTTCTTCACACCCCTGGAGAACTCGGCGCGGTTCATGGGCGCGATCACGAAGCAGCGCGAGCGCGCGCTCGCGCTCCGGGCCGAGCGCGTCCGAAAAGCCCGCGCGGCCGCCGGGCTCGAAGCGCCGTAGTTCCCTAAGGCGGGGGGGGGCATGCCGACTCCCGGCGACTAGGACTAGTGGGCCTACTCGGCACCGGCGTACCGGTAGGTAACATGTTGATGATATAATGAAGTGAACTTACTTTAGGTTCACCCCGGTGTTTTTACGGCGCCTACTTAGCGCCGGGCTTGATCCACTTGGATAAGTAAGAAGATACGGGATATAGGGAAATATCAGCCCCGGGCACGTGCCGGCTGATATAGCGTGCTGATAGGCGAGAGTAATGTAGCCATAGATCCGGCGATAGGGGGCTATGGCGTTGCAGATATATATCTAGGGGAGTTTTCACCTCACTCCCCCCTTCCTGGAACTCAAGCCGGGTCTTCAGCTAATTTATCGTTGAAATCAACATCACCGCGTATCCATCAGTAACCAATTCTTTAACGATTTTCACTGGAATCTCGTTCTTATTCGTCAAACTGAACGGGTAGAATCGCAATTCGGACCTGTGGACCCTCATGGTCATTTCTTCTAAGGTTTTTGTCTTTTTCCACTTATAGATCTCAAGATCGTCCCTGCTGTCGATGTATGCTGGGGCATAAGCCCGCTTGGCGAGGCTCTTAGCTTTGGAGTAGGTCCCAAACCAATGGAGATGGAACTCCTCTTTGGGGTTCTGGGGTTTAACTGCGGTAATCTTGGCCAATCCCCAGTTTGGAGTCCCATCGTCATCAGTCAGGTCTACAATACACATGTCCCCAGCCTCAAACTTGTCTCTATCATCATCATCCAGGGAAATATCAGCCCCGGGCACGTGCCGGCTGATATAGCGTGCTGATAGGCGAGAGTAATGTAGCCATAGATCCGGCGATAGGGGGCTATGGCGTTGCAGATATATATCTAGGGGAGTTTTCACCTCAATAAGTTGAGTGGTTTTTTACTACACCACTTTTTTGATCTTAGAGGCCAATCAATTAAGCCCTATTCGCTGCGCTCGTAGGACAATCGGCCTCTAATCAAAAAAGATGATGAAAAAAAGAAACATCAACTTCAAAGTTATTTTGACGTAGGGTACTAGGGGTATATTCTTCGCATTCTAGTAGATATCAGAGGCTAGTGGCCTGTATCTTAGGATACTTCCTTCTCCCTCTTAATCTCCTTTATTCCAACTCTGTCTTCTCAGGGTTGAGGGGGTTCCCACACTCTCACGTTTCAGATGATACTGCCAGTGTAGTTACCCGGGCCTTTATCTAGAGCTTCTCTCAGGTTCTAGTAGATATCAGAGGCTAGTGGCCTGTATCTTAGGATACTTCCTTCTCCCTCTTAATCTCCTTTATTCCAACTCTGTCTTCTCAGGGTTGAGGGGGTCACGGTTCCCACACTCTCACGTTTCAGTGAGACTCGGAGTTCTTCCTGTTGGCATCTCCGTGTCACATTGACACCCGAGAGACCTAGCTACAACAGCTGCATTGTGCACTTGCTGTACCCAGCTCATTAGACACCAGCACATACCGAAGCTAATATCGCTGAACAAGGATACGTGGCCATATCATAGCAGGTACGGTACCTACGGTACCGTAGGTACGTGTATACAGGCCTCGGTCGAGCCGGAGCGGCACGGCCCGGCGATGATAATCGAGCCGGCTGCCCCGCATGCTTTCGTTGTTTGCTGCCCTCCTGCTCCTCGGCAGCAGCGGCGCAGTCCAGCTCTTCGTGGTCGTGTCGGCGCCGAGGAGCGGCACGGAGTGGCTGCGGCTCATGCTCGCCGGCCACCCACGCGTCTGCTGCGACGGCGAGGTGCTACTGCGGCTCGGTCGCCGCGCGCAGCGCCCGGGCGGCCTCGACATTAGGAGGGCCCTCGACGCGTTCGCGCGCGGCGCCGCCCCCGAGTACGACGACGTGCTGCGCTGTGTGGAAATCAAATTTACGGCGCCGTCGTCGTGAATCGCCGCGTCGACCTCCACGCCATCGACGCGCCGCCTGCTCGATGGCGTGGCGATGTCGGTTCCTCACCGCTCGACGGAGCCAGCGCGGCCACGTCATCGCCGAGAAATGAACCCGACACACTGGTTGATTTCCACACAGGTGCTGCGGCCGTGCCGGAAGCCGGGCGCGCGCGCGCGCGGTTTCAAGTGGTTCGACGGCCAGGGCGGCGCGTCCGTCGCCTCGGAGAACGCCGCGCTGGGCAACCTCTCGGCGTGGCGCGCCGCGCACGCGGCGAAGCTGATTGTTCTGGAGCGCCAGGGCCTCGCCAAGCTCGTGAGCGACCGCCTCAAGCACCTGAGCTCGCAGCGCGGCGTCGACGCGGTCCCGACGCACTGCCGAGATGCTTCGTGCGCCGCGCGCGTGTCGGCGCAGCGCGTTACGTTGGACGCCGGCGCGCTCGAGACCCAGCTGGACGCCGGCGTGCGGCGCTTCAGTGCCTTGCTGAATTGGGCGCGCGCGGCGGCCGCGTTCGACGATATCCTGTACATCGCGTACGGCGACCTCGTCGCCGATCCTGAACGGGAGCTGCGTCGCGCGTACCGGTTCCTCGGCGTCGACGAGGCGTGGCAGGCGAACGCGTCCGTCCTGACCAAGTCGGTGTCTCGGCCGCTCGCCGAGGTCGTGGCGAACTACGGCGAGGTCCGCGCGGCGCTGCTGCGGACGAAGTGGGCGGGCGAGGTGGGGTAAGCGAGCCTTCCTTAGCCCCCCCTTCCTGCTAGAAGCTCTCGTGGAGCTTCGCGCCGATCGCGAGCTGCGCCTTCGTCACGCCGGCGAGGTAGCTGACCATGAGCACGTCCCGCGTCTCGGCCCGGAGCGCGCCGCGCGCGACCGCGTCCTCGATCTTCGGGAGCGCGGCCAGGGCCTCGTTCAGCGCGCGCGCGACCTTGGGGTCGACGTCCTCGTTCGCCGCGCGGCGCGCCTTGACGTACGCCGCGAGCGCGTCCACGTCCCGCAGCGCGTCCTCCAGCGCGAGGCCGTCCTCGTCCGCGTCCATCACGTCCGCGACGGACTCGGCGGAGCCGAAGGGCTCCCGCTGGCCCCGGACCATGCGCGCCAGGCACAGGCGCTCGCCCCGGTCGAAGGCCAGCTCGCACGGGATCTCGGCGAAGCCGTTGCCGTCAGAAACGAAGCCCCGGAGCGTGATCCCGGCGTCGCCCTCGAGCCGCGGGTCCACGACGAGGTGGACCGGCGCCTGCCCCGCGCACGCGCCCGCGTAGAAGCCGTGGATCATCTCGCTGGCGTCGTCCGTCGGCGCGCCGTCCGCGCCCGGCGTCGCGTACCAGCCCACGACCGCCTCGTCGGGGTTCACCCTCGCTAGAAGGCGCGACATTTTCTCCTGGTAGTCCTGGCCCACGGCGACCGTGCCGTCGGCGCCCTCCTCGCAGGGCACCGCGTACGAGTTCGTGACCGTGACGGTCCGGCCGTCGATCCGGCCGAGCAGCGTGCCGATGACGCGCTGCTGGCCCTCCTGCCGCCGGAGGAAGTGGTCGAGGGCGCCGAAGGCGACGATGGCGTGGACCGCGACCGCCGACGCCGCCGCCTTGGGCGCGGCGGCGTCGTCGCCAGCAGATCCCCAGGCGCCCTGCATGCTGTCGTCCTCCAGAAGATCAGCGAGACGCAGAGCTTGACTGTGGCCCGCCAACTCCGTCAAAGCTTGCCGAGATGTAGGCCTATGCCTTTTGCCTCCTCCTCTCGCCAATGCACAAGCCTTGTAGTGTAGGCTAGAGTGTCATCTCCTAGAAATTGTTAAGGGGCAGTGCTACACGACAACACAACAAGAGTCCAGTTCAAGCACTCCCTCCCACTTTGCACGCCACCCAAGGTTCCGGGCCGGCGGTACTGGACTCACACTACGTCGTTACGTCGGCCGCGCCGTACCCCCCGGCGCGCGCCGACGACGACCGCCCGGACCGGCGCCGGCCGGACCGGGACCGCTCGCGCTGGAGCCGGTGCCGCTCGACGAGGGGCAGATGCCCCGGCCCCGCCTCCGCCGGCGCGCCCGTCAGGTCCTCGTGGAGGCGCGACAGCGCCGCGAAGATCGCCGCGAACGACGGCCGGTCCAGCGGGTCCTCGGCCCAGCACGCCGCCATGACGTCGCGCCAGGGGCACTCCGCCGGCAGCGGCGGCCGCAGGCCCTCGTTCGCCACGCGCGAGATGATCTGCGCCGCGCTCAGGTTGTGGTAGACCTCCTCGCGCGTCGCGAGCTCCCACAGGACGATGCCGAAGGCGTAGACGTCGATCGTCTCCGTGCCCGTGTTGTCCTTGATGAGCTCGGGCGCCAGCCAGCAGGTCGTGCCGACGCCGTGCGTCATCGACCGCGCGAAGCCCTCCGGCGTGGCCGCCACGGCCCGCGCCGACCTGCGGGGAAATCGCCCGGCGGTCCGCGCGAGCGACTCGTCCCGGTCCGCCCCCGCGCCGGCGGGCAGACGCAGCGACTTTCATTCGAGTTCCGCGCGGGCGCCGACCCCCAGTCCCCAATCCGCACGCGCAGCCGCCCGCGCACGTCCGCGACGAACAGGTTGTGCGACTTGAGGTCGCGGTGCACGATGGGCCGCTCGCGCGTGTGGAGGAAGAGCATGCCCTCCGCGACGTCGATGGCCATGCGCAGCCGCGTTTCCACGCTCAGCTCCACCTTGTCATCGTCTAGAACCTGCCGCAGCGACCCGTGCGCGCAGAGCTCGGACACGATCCAGATGGCCTGGGCCGTGAGGGCGCAGCCGTACAGCTGCAGTACTTTCGGGTGGCGCAGGTAGGCCATGATGCCCGCCTCGCCGACGATGGCCTCGACGATGTCGCGTCTTTGCAACGAACCGCCCGCGAACGCGGCCTGGGCGAGCACGAACTCCTTCACGGCGACCTCCGACGACTGCCAGGTCGCCGACCAGACGCGCCCGAACGAGCCCTCCCCGATCACGTCCCTCAGTACGATTTCGGCCGGGTCGATGAGCACGAGCGCGTGCGCGTCGCGCAGGTGCCTCGCTTTCATCGCCGCCCGGTACGCGTCGCCGAACTCCACGTCGAACTGGTTGTGCGTGTCGCCCGTCAGCGTCGCGAGGCTGATGCCGTCGCGCAGATTGTTGAGCCGGGGCTTCCGCGCGGGCCAGCACCGTCGGATGAGCGCGGCGGCGAGCGCGACCAGCAGGGCCGCGGCCCCGAGCCACAGGCCGATCAGCGATGCCTCGACGACCAAAGCGAGGCCCGCGTCGACGTCGTCCCGCGGCTTCGGCTTCGCGGCGGCGTGGGAGCCGGCGCCGCGCGCCGCGACGACGGCCGCGCCGGCCGTGGCGACGCCGCGCAGCGCCTGGCCGCCCTGGGACTGGTAGGGCCCCAGCCGGGCGTCCTCGGTCCAGACCGCGACGGGCGGCGCGTCGTCAAAGGCGCCCGCGACGACGAGCTGGAAGGCCCCGGCGTCGCCGGCGACCGCCGCGAGCGCGCGCGGCGCGCCGTCCACGCCCCGCCACCCGGCGAGCCACTGCCAGGCCGACGCGGCGATGACTTCGGATCCCACCGTGGCGTTGCCGCGGCCCCGGCGCAGCCGCCGGCGCAGCCGCCGGCGCGAAGGCGGCGCGGCGAAGACGGCGACGGCGACGCGCCGCGGCGACTGGGCGGCCCACGAGCTGTTGATCGCGGCGGCGCCGGCCGCGAAGAGACGCGCGCCGGCGTGGAGCAGTTCGACCGAGCCCGGCTCGAACGCGAACGCCGGGTCCGCGACGCAGCGCCACGCGTGGCCGGCCTCGCGGAACGGCTTGGCCGCGACGCCGGCGCACGGCAGGCCGCCGGGGACGATCGCATCATATCTGCCCGCGACGTACGCGACGCCCGCCGCCTGATCGACAGCGACGGCGTCGACGGCGGCCGGCGCGCCGCTCGCGAAGACGAAGCCGCCCGCGGCGTCGGGCGCGAGGCCCGCGTCCGGCTCGTACACCGCGACGTTCGGCGACGCGAGCGCCTTGCCGGCCAGCGTCCCGAACCGCCCCAGGATCAGCAGCTGGTCGTCGCAGAACGCGAGGGCGTTCACGGAAGCGTCGTCCGCGCTCCCGAGCCGCCCGCCCCGCAGCGGCAACCACGCGTTTCGGTTGGAGTCGAACCGCGCGACGTGCCGCACCGGCGCGAAGCGCGAGCCGTCCCACACCTCGCTCGCGAAGCGCCCCCCCGCGTACAGCAGCGCGCCGCGGACCGCGAGCGCGCGGATCGTCGTGGGCTGCGCCGCGAACGCGCGCGCGCACCACGCGCCGTCGCCGACGCGCTCGAGGCGCGCGCCGTCGTTCGGGCCGCGGTCCACGAGGCGCCCCACGCCGCAGTACAGCGCCTGCGCGTCCGCGCTCGTCGCGTCGAACCGCCCGCCCAGGAACACCTCGCGCGACCCGTTGGCCGCGACCGCGCGGATCACGCCCGCCGCCCGCGCGTCCGCCGCGTCGGCGTACAGCTTCGACGTGTAGGCGGCGGCCCAGCTCCTTCGTTCTGGATCGTAGCGCGCGAGGGACACGGATCGGCCGTCGAGCGTGAGGTTGCCCCCCACGAGCACCACGTGGTTCGGAACCGCCGCGGCCGCACCCGCGCCGAGGACGACGAGCGACCGCATGGGCCCTCAAATGTGGGCAGCAGAGGACCGCCTCCGCGACGGCATGCCTGCCTGTCCAAAGTGGTTCGCTGCGGCGCGCCGGCGCGCGCTTGTCTCTCGCCGGCCGCTTTCGCGCGGCGATCCTAAGCTAGCTCTATGCGCGCGCGCTTGATGCAGAAAACGGGTTTTAGAAACCGCGTTGGCTTGACCGGCTACGGATACCGGTAAAAGTGCACTTATGGTATGTGTAAGTTTACCTTTTCGGCAGCGTGTTTTTGGCCGGGAGAGGGTAAAATGCGCACCCTGACTGTGATCGGCTGCGTCCTAGCGGCCCTCGCGGCTGCTGACGACGTCCCGGCGCCGGCGCCGGCGCCAGCACCGGCCAAAAAAAACACTGGCCAGTGGTCCTGTGGGCCGCACGTCCGCGACGACGTCCAGAGGCTGCGGCGACGCATCGACACGTTGTGGGGCAGCCCTCAGCAGCTCTGCGAAGAAATATTCTCCAATGGTTGGCACTGGAACCCGCCGGACGCGGCATGGCGCGCGGCGCGCACGCGCCAACCGCCTCAGCGCGAGCAGTGGTACCGACGCCCCATCGGCGTGTGGTTGCCACACATCTTCTTCCATAATGAACTACCAGCACCACCTTGTCCAAATGACTGCTGCATTGGCAAGGATTCGATGGTGGACGTAAAGTCGAAAGTATGGCCATCGAACGTCGTGCGCGTCTTTGGCGTCCACGACCACTGGTGGTTGGACACCGTGCGGCTCAAGTGCAAGCGTTGTGGTATACTTTTTCGCTTGACAGATCCAAAGTCCATCGCGCAGTGCCCGATCCATGTGCGGTCGTTTTTCAACATTTTCAAGGGCAAGAAGTACGCCGTGGAAGCTGACCTCGTGCGGCCCAGCGTCGACGGCGTCGACGGCGTCGACGTGTCAGTAATAGTCGATTTACACACAGGCAAAGCTGATCGAGGACGCCTGGGACCCGCTCGGAACAGCTCCTACAGTACGAATACTCCAGCACTTCTACATCGAATATTACTACGGCCAGCAGCTGAACTATTGGGCACTTCACGGTCGTCTCACTTCGGCCGAGAGGACAAACAACACCAATCAACGTCCAGCTCGACTAGCGCTCGGTGTTGCTAGAGGTAGTCTCGCAGATGCGAGGACTGCTGCGGAGGTCGTGAATCAACTCGGCGCTGCGCGGCGAGCTCGAGACGAACGGCGAGCAGCCCCTCGCATTGATAGACTATCAGAACTGAGGGGTTTTGGACCAGGGAAGGTTGCGATGTTCAGAGAAATCAACGTTCATAGTATCCAGGACCTGGAGGCCGTGCAGGAATCGGCGCTGATTGCTCGGTCAGTGTCCAAGAAGCGCGACCGCTCTGACCAATTGAAGGCGCTCCAACATTATAAAGCGATGGCGCTGGAGTATCTCGAGGAGAAGTACGGCTCGTGGCCGCCGCCTACTACTCCTCCTTCTCAACCAGAGCAACCGAACGACGTGGAGAAGCTCGCCGACCGGCGCGCTGCGGCTGCTGCCTGCAAGGCCGCGATGGAAGAACGCGAAGCTGCGCAGAACGCTGAGAACGGAACTGTTCGCTACGTCCCGCCTCCTTTCCTGGACTTCGACGATAAAAATGGGTGGAACGGCGTATTTGTGGGCCGAGACATCGTTGATGATATTGCTGCAGGGATGTGGTCTGACCGACGCGAGTTTGTCACTACCCAACTCGCCGGTCTGTCTGGCCAGGTACTTAAGACAGATTTCACCTACAAGATCGCCGAGAAAATCGTGTGCTACCACCCGGACTCGGGCATGCTGTTTAAGCCTTTTGGAGGGTTCGCTTCTGTCGTAAACGAGGCGGGCCAGGTGCTACTACAGCGTCGAATCAGACGTCCACTCCATCGACGCCATCGACGCGGCGTCGACGCCGTCGGTCTACACAGGTCATGTGGTATGGATTTCACCATCGCGAGGACGCTTTTGAGGAGACCGAGCCGCACTTCGCGGCACTTCTGGCACGCCTTAAAAAGATGCACGGCGACGACTACATGCCCAGTGCAATCTACATCGACAACTGCTGTTCTCGGCGAACAGCATTCAACCGCGTGTTCCCCGACGTGCCTATTTTGTTGGACCCGTTCCACTGGTTTGCTCGCTGGGACGAGGCCATCTCGATACCATCGACCCACAAGCTCCGCTGGCAGTTCCGGGCGATGCTACGCGACGCCGTGCTTGTACCAGACCCCAATGACGTCGCCTTACTTACGGATTACTACCCGAAGAAGAAACGCGGGGAGATCTACGGCATGTGCCGCCGCGTGGTGCCGCCGCCGAAACAACTTCGTGAGAATATCGAGAACGTCCTGAACGTCTTCGTGAAGCGAGACACCGCAATCCTCGCGGCCGCGGCGCAAAACGAGATTCAGGGTAACGAGACCGACGCGGAGATGGCCGCCGTGGCTGATAGGCCTCTGTTCTTCAACCCGAAAAAATTTGCTTCGGTCAAAAAGAAGCAGATGAAGCATGTGTGCAGGGTCCATCTAAATGCCGCGTGCCCGACGCCTGGCACGACGCCTAGGGCTGCATGCCAGGGATGCCTGTCGGACCCGCCCGGAGCGCGCCTCTACACGTCGCGGCCAGCGAAGGCTTCACGATCGAGGCGACCTGGTCGGCCTGCGCCGCCGCTCTACTTTACTTCCCGTGGTTCTTCGCAGTCGGAAGCGATGCATCGCCTACTTCGGGCAGCGATCGGCTCGACGACCTGTGGTACTGTCCGGGCGGAACACGCCGTCGGGTCCTTCATCTACCGCTGGAACATCGACCGCGGCATCGACAAGCTCGGCGACGTGGACTACCACACGTACCACCACGAGACGCTAGCGGTGATCAATAGTATCGCCGCATCCTTCGGCCTCGAGACCGACGACCTCCCCTTCCCAAAGCTCAACATTAATGAGCGTGGCCGAGGGGACGAAAAGTTTGGAATGGAGTGCCAGAACATCGTCGACTTGTCGCGTCTGAACTTGAATGACGACCCCACGCCAGTCAGCCCCGAGGACGACGCGCCCCCGGACGTGCCCCAGCCGCAATCCTTCGTCCAGACCGTGCGTGGCGACGGCAGGTGCCTCTACCGGGCGTTTGCGGCTGCAGCCTCACGTATAAGGCCAGCCCTTTTTACTGCTGAAATCGACTGGAAGGACGGCAACGATCTTGTGGTGCGCCGAGAGATCATAAATCTGCGGACTGAAGCGGCACGACGTATGCGCACGCACCGAGAAAGTCGTGTGCACGCCGACCGCGCCCCGCTCGACAACGAAGCTTCTGCGCGGCACGGGTCGTGGGACCGCTGGTTCGAGGAGATGACCAATGAGGATGACTTGCACAACGAGAAGGCGCCAAATAGTCGCTGGGGCGACCACTTGATGTTGATGGGGTTGGGCCTCGCGTTCGGCTTTTCTATTTTCATCTCGATCATACATCCTGATGGTCGTGTCCGACGAACCGAGAGCCGTGTGCCGTACCACCAGGAGCTTCTTCCCGACGGAACCGTGGACGTCGACGCGCCGTCCATCCACCTCGCGTGGCACGTAGACGATCAAGGCGACGGGAGGCACTTTGACGTGATCGTCGAGGACGTCGACCAGGGCGGCGACGATTCTTTGAAACGTGTGAGTGTTAATAAGGCCATCAACAACCGCACGACGTCGTTTGACCACCTAGGGAAGCTCTCGGGCATGAAGGACAAGGCGCCGACGCCGTTCAACGAGGGCCCGGACGGCGAGGACGAGCGCAGACTGTTTGAAGAGCTCCACAAGAAGTATACGCGCAGTAGCTCGAGCTCCTACCAGAAGTTCATGACGGAGTGGACCGAACGTGTTATCACGGAGGTACACAAGCAGCTCGCCGGCGACGCTCATCTTAAGCTTAGGTTGAAAACGATGGAGCAGCTCTACGACGAGTATGACCGTCGGTATAATCCAGTGGAAGTAGTTCAAGATCTGACGCCGGCCGACCAGCAGAATGTGCGGGAAGCATACCGGTATCAGCGCGCGGATCGGGACGCGACGACCGCGCCGCCCGCGGAGCCCGGCGGGCCGACCCGGGTGCCGCCGCCGCCGCCCGCGGAGCGGCAGCCGATCCAGTTTCCCGGCGTCGTGCCCTTCTGCTGCGCCCTCCCGAGCGCGCCGCCGCCGCCCGGCTTTTTCTTCCCGCACAGGCCCCTCCCGACGGCTCCGGCGACGCCGTGGGGCTTTATGCCGCCGCCACCAAGGCCAGTGCCTGCTCCAAGAGTCGACGGCCGGACGACGTGCTTGCGGTGCGGCCGGCCCACGGGCGCCCACCTCGTCCGCGGCCGAGAACACTGCACCAACCCCTGCAAATGCGGGCGCCCTTTTGATGACCCTCGCCACGTCTCGGAAAGCAGGCCGGGACCGTTCTGTACGCTCCCTCCCCTTTGAGCCTCTGTTAGCTGCTAAAAATTGAAATTAATTGGAATTTTGCTATCGAAAGTCGTACGAAAGCTTGCCGCCCAGGTGTACAGGCAGCATCCTTCTTTTCTTACCTTTCCTTTTCCCCCCCCTCTTTTTTTTTTTTTCAGGTTACCAGCATCCGTAGCAAGCCGTTGGCTTGATGGTCGATACCTCTAACGCTACCGAATTACACGCCTCTCGTGCTGTCGGAACTATATATCAACTCATGCACGCCGACCGCGCGTCGCGCTTCGACGCGCCGCCGCCGCCCAGCGCGCTGCTGCGGCAGGCCATGCAGGAGGGCCTCGTGCCGCTGACGGCCGACGCGGCGACGAAGAGTAGGAGGGAGCTCTTCGTGGGAAACACACCAGCCAACACAACCGAGCGCGGGCTCGCGGACCACCTCAACGCGGCGCTGCGCGCCGCGGGCTTTTGTACGGCGCCCGGCGCGCCCGTCATCTCGTGCCGCGTGTCCGCGGCGTACGCGTTCGTCGAGCTGCGGAGCGTCCAGGAGACGGACAACTGCCTGAGCCTGACGGGCCTGCCCTTCCTGGGCGGCGCGCTCAAGATCGGCCGCCCGACGAAGTACGACGGGCCGCGGACCGTCGCCAGCAGCTGGGCGCGCGTCGCGCAGACCATCGACGCCGCGTCTCTGGCCGAGCGCAAATCAAATTTCGCGGTGCGTCGCCCACGGCTGCATCATGATCCCCCGGCCATCGACGCGACGTCTGCTCTGCTCGACGGCGCGCCGGCGCGGGTATCGCGCCGCTCGACTCAGCCAGCACGCCCTGCGCCGTCGCCGAGAAGTGACTGGATGGAGAATGCTCGTGTGTGTGCGCCCGGCTCACCGCTTGATGTGCGCGCAGGTCTCTGGACGCGGCGACGCGGTCCCAGCTCCAGGTCGGCGGCGCCGACCTCGGCGCCGCGGCCGCGCAGGCCTCTCGCGAGGTCCTGATCGACAACGTGCCCGCCGGGACGACGGAGGCGTCGCTGCGTGCGTTCCTCGGCCTCGCGCTCCGGCAGGCGGGCGGCGCCGCGGCGGCGGGCGAGCCCCTCGCGTCGCTGCACCTCTCGGGCCGGCACGCGTTCGTCGGCGCGCGGAGCGACGCCGAGGCCCTGGCGCTCCTCGCGTGCGCCGGCATTTGCTACCGCGGGACGCGCCTCCGCGTGAAGCGCCCGTCAAAGTACGCGGGGACCGACCCCCCCGCGGCGGGGCGCGCGTGGGCCGACGTCGTCGCGGACTTTGCGCGGGGCGCCTCCGTTGAAGCGGCGCACGACCCGGCCCTCGGCGCCGCGCCGCCGGCCGCGCCGGTCGCGCCGGACGTCCGCCTCCGCGTCTTGGACCGCCTTCGTCGTCGACGCGCCGTCGTCGTCCGCGCAGGTGGCGCGGCGGCTGGCGACGCTCGCGGCCGCGCCGACGGCGTCCGTCGTCGTGCGGGGCGCGCTGGCCGCCGCGCGGGCCCTCGACGCGGCGGCCGCCGACCCCGCGGTCCTCGCGGACGTGCACGCCGAGTGCGCGCGGTACGGCGCCGTCGAGCGGGTCGCCCTGGCGGCCGGCGACGTCGTCGTGGACTTTGCGCTGGTCGACGACGCCGTCGCCTGCCTCGCGGCGCTCAAGTTCAAGCGGTTCTGCGGCGCCCAGCTGAGCGTGGAATTTCTCGAGGGTAACAGAGAGTAGTAGCTCACACTGGCACGCCAACGCCCGGGCGGTCGCGTGCGGAAGAGTCATGCTCGTGAGGGAGGGGGCGCTCCGAAAAACCCAGGGTATTCTACACCTTTAGAAACGCCGCGCGTCAGAGGCGCATTCCGAACGCGGCAAGTGGGCGCGGCAACCAGGGGTTCAAAACACTCGTTATAGACAGTAAAACACCAGGTATTGATGAGTAGTAGTTTCATGTGCATCCATCCTTACGAGGAGCCTAGCCTCGCCACACGCAAGTCCACACGCGCGGCGGCGCGGCCCGGAGAAACTACAGAACGGTGTTACTACTATCCCCGCCGCCGCTGGGACCGGTGCGGCTCTCGCGCGCGAGCAGCGCCAGCGCGGCGGCGGCGCTCGACGCGGCCGTCGACGACAGGACGGCGGTCCGCCGCACGAGCCGCCGCGTACGGAGGAGGTCGGGGTAGCCGCCCTCCCACAGGTCGTAGGCGAAATCGACGCCCGCGGCGTCCCACCCGCGCCGCGCGGCCCGCCACGGCAGCGCCGCCGCGACCTCGTCGTCCGCGTTCTCGACGTTTTCGACGTCCCAGCCCGTCCACGACGCGGTCCGCTCGAACGAGTCGCGCCGCGGGACCTCGACGTGCGGTTCCTGCCAGCTCGACCCGCCGATGTGCGGATCGCCGGGCCGCCGCCCGCACCCGGACCGCGACGACACGGACGGGCCGACGCCGGCCGCGACGCAGCCGACGAGGGCGAGCAACAGGGGCCAGGTCGCGCCCGAGACGGGCAGCGGGGCGCAGTGGATCCAGAGCGCCGCGCCGGTGTAGGTCGAGTCGCTCCAGGTCCACAGGGCCAGCAGGCAGTGCAGCGGCGCCGCCAGCGGCATCAGGCGCGCCGCCGTGCGCGCGAGGTGCGGGCCGAGCCGCGGCGGCGGCCGCCGCTCGCGCAGCAGCGCCCACTTGTCGTGCGCGAGCATCACGCTGAGCGTCGCGGCGCTCAGCACCGGCAGGAGCGGCTGCCCCGCCCCGAACACCGCGCCGACGAAGAAGACGCGCAGCATGTCCGCGCCGCGCGTCGTCGGGTCCCACGGCGGCGCCGCCACGAACCGCGCGAGCGGCGCGACGACGTACTGGTCGAGGCCGCGGCGCCACGCGGGCGCGTTCTGGTCGGCGGAGACGGGCCGCTCGTCGAAGAGGTTCTCCCGGGTCACCGACTCCCGGAGCGTCCGCCGCCGCCCGAAGAACGCGCGGACGCGCTCGAGCTCGCGGCGCGCATCCGCGCGGAAGAGGCACCGCACGAGCGCGCCCGCGGGCGGCGCCAGCGCCTCCCACAGCAGCGTGGCCAGCAGGTAGACGCCCACGTCGGCGTACCACCGCGTGAGCCGCGCGCCGTCGTAGGCGGACGTCCGCGCGCGCCCGCCCCACGCCGCGAGCGCGTAGACGCCCATGGTGTTGGCCGTGGCCGCGGCCCAGTAGGCCACCAGCGCGGCGCTCTGCTCCGTGGTCCGCGTGCTGTGCGCGCCGAGCATGGCGCCCCGCCGCACCAGCAGCCGCAGCAGCGAGTTGATCAGGACGACGACGACGAGCAGGAAGAGGGCGTGCCGCTTCCGCGACGGCGCGTGCGTCAGGTACGGCTCCAGCGCGTTCCGCGCGTTGCGCAGGATGTCCGGCTGCGTCGCGTTGTTGCCGGCGGGGGGCGCGGCGGCCGCGTCGAAGTCGTCGTCCACGTCGAAGTCGCGGATGGCCCGCCGCCGCACGCCGTAGACCACCAGGAGCCCGGCGGCGATCACCGCGATCGTGAGGACGCGCACGGCGACGCGCCGCGCGAGCCGCTCGCGCGGGGACACCTCCAGGTTCTCCCAGATGACGTCGCTCGGCGCGGGCGCGAGCGACGGCCGCAGCGGCGCGCCCAGGAGCTGGTTCGGCTTCTCGAAGCAGCGCCGCCGCCGGGGCGCGAGCGCCGCCGCGCGCCGCGCGAGCGCCGCGTGCGCCGCCCTGGCGTGGCGCGGCGACTCGCAGACGACGAACGCGGCGATCGCGCGGCCGCGCGGCGCGCGCGCGCGCGCGGCGAGGCGGCGGCGCGCGGCCGCGGCGCGCGCCGCGCGCCGCGGCGACGGCGCGCGCGCGTGCGCGTCCTCGGCCGCGATGACGGCCAGCGCCGCCTCGAGCGCCGGCCGCAGCTCGCGGTGCACCGCGACGTGCTCCACGCGCGCGTCCTCGACCGCCCGCTCGACGGCGCGGCGGACCGAGGCAGGCGTGGCGTCGTCGCTCACCTCGCGCAGGAACACGGCGTAGTGCTCCGGCGCCGGGCTCAGGGACCGCAGCGCGCGCGCGTCGCGCCGCACGAAGTCGCGCGCCGCCGCCGCGCCCGCGCCGAGGAGCGCCGTCGCGAGCGCGGCGAAGCACGACACGAGCAGCAGGTCGCGCCGCCGCGCGTCCGCGGTCTCCCCGAGCTGCGCCGGCGCCGCGACGGCCGCCATGGAGTAGCGCGCGAGGAGCGCGCCGCTCACCTGCCAGCGCACCTCGTCGCGCGCGTCGCGCGCGCGCCGCGCGTCCGCGAACCGGCCGTGGCGCGCGTAGTAGACGAGGATGGGCAGCTGCAGCGCCGCCGCCGCGATCAGCAGCGAGAGCAGCAGCTTGCCGAGCTTGAAGTGGAGCGAGACGCCCACGCCAAAGGCCTCGGCGAACGCGAGGCCCTCCTCGCGCTCCGCGCGCGCCGCGTTGAACCGCAGCCGCGGCAGCACGTCGGAGGCGTGCAGCCGGCCCACGCTGACCCCGTACGGCAGCGCCGCCCGGCCGACCGTCACCGTGAGCGGCGGCTCGCCGGGCGCCGGCGCGCGAGGCGTTCGCGGCGGCGGCTCGGCAGCCATTCCAGGATCTCCCCGCCCGCGCGTCACTATCCCGACGCTCGACAAGTCCCCGCGCGCAAAAATAGGTGCAATCTAGTAGGTTTATATAACTAGCTCAAACGATGCGAGTTTGATTTTGCGCTTACTTACGTGACCCCTTGGAGCCCTCTTGCCTAGAGGTTCGCGTTCGTCCCCACGCCCACGGACACGGAACGCGGGGAGCGAGAGAAACGTTTTTACGCGGGCGGAAAGTGCGAGCGGCGACAGCGTTGTGACGAGCGGCGCAAAACAGCTTAAAAATGCTAGTGGCGCAAAACTCACTAGGGTCTGTGTGCCCCGTACCCTTAACGGTACGGGGCAGAGGTCGGCACAAAGAGCCCCAAGCAGACGCCGACCGGGGTTGTCTAGATTCCCGCGCCCCGGGCCATGCGCGCCATGCGAAAGGCGTTGACTCCTCGAACGAACTATCGCGAGTTTAAATCAGTCGCGCCGAATGCGTCCGCGCGTGCGCTAGGTGTCCCTGGAAGCTTTCCGGAGCTTCAAGGTGGGGAAAGCCGCCGCTGCCAGTGCTGCAGTAGGGCCTGAGTAGGCCTTTGATTGCGCGGCAACGACTAAAAGGACTAGCCAGAGAGAAGACAGCTGTGTCGTCACATTACACAACCCCCCCGGGGATACGCACGCGTCGGGCCGCCAGAAGCAGTTCCCGAAGCCGCCCTTGGTCCAGAAGCCGCTCGCGAGGGAGCTGACCCGCGGCTTGCGGCCCGAGCGGCCCATCGCGAGCATGAGCACGAAGCGGAACCAGGTCGAATCGTCGGCGCCGACGAAGGCGGAGGCGTTCACGGCGACCTCGAGGTTGACGAGCGAATTCAGAGCTACGGCGCCGATGTTCTCGGTCGTCGCCTCGGGCTTCCCGGTCCGCGAAAACTCGGTCAAATGCCAGCCCATCGATTGGCTCTCCTCAGCGACGCGGGGGTCCTCAGTCATGAGCCACACGCGCGACAGGTCCGGGAAGCGTTTCAGAGCATCGGCATAGGCGGATACACTCAACGCGGGGCCTTTGCGTTCCCGTTGTTTGTCGCCGCGGCGGATGTGGACCGCCGCGTAGGGTGGTTCCATAGATACGTTCGCGGCCGCCTCCGTCAAACGTCGGTTCGGCCGCGCCAGATATACGGCCGCGAGCGCCGCCTGCTCGCACTGGTCCAACCCGTCCAAGCAGGGGTGGCGGCAGCGGCGGCCACGTCGTACCCGATAAAAGTGCCAGAAGTTGTCGAGCGACGCGCGCGTGAAGACCGCTTCATGTGGAACGTCGTCGGGTGCCGTCCACTCGTTGATGTGGTGCGGGTGGCGGTCGGGCAGCGTCAACCTGATATCGGACAGGGGCAGCGGCTCGAAGTAATCTGCGTGGCGCCCGAAGTGCCACCGCGAGCTCGGCGACAGCGCCAGGCGCCTGCCCGCGTCGAGCGCCGCTACCAGCGCGGCCGCCAGGCGCAGGAAGCGGCAGCCCAGGCCGCACGACCGCTCGTCGTCGACGAACGTGAGCGTCGGACGCGACGCGTTCGCCTGCCAGGCCTCGAGGCAGCGCAGGCGATTGGCCCCAGGCTTGTCTAACCCGCCCTTCGGAGCAGAAATCAACGATCTATGCAACTGGTCGCGCGATCGCGCCTTGTGTGCCATAGTCTTCACGAAGGGCAGCTTGGCGCGAATAACTCGGCTCGGGCGCTGGACGAGGAGGTAGTCGCCGCCGATGGACCCCTCGTCGCCGAGCACGACCGCGAGGAAGAGTCCCACGATGCGCTCGGACCGCTGTTCGTCGAGTTTCGAGCGCACGGCCAGCATGTCGAAGAAGCCTCGCTCGAGGAGTCCTCGCCAGGCTGCGTAGGTGCCGACGAGGTTCGGCCCGAAGGCGCCCGGGAACCGCCGCGACCGCGACCGCGCGAGCGCGGGGTCGGACCCCGCCCGCGCGAAGGCGGTCTCAGCCTCGGGGACCCAGTGGTCTTCCGACCGCGGCACACCCGCCAATCCCTTGGTCCCGTCGAAGCTGAAGAGGCGCGTGGCCGTGAGGTTTGCTGGTGGATGCGCGAGGGGTGGCGCGTTCATGACCATGCTATCTTGAACCAAGTAGACGACCGCGTCCGCGCACACGTCCCGGTGCGGTAGGATCTCGCTCATTGCCCAGCGCCAGGCACCCAGCTCGAAGCCGTGCCCGGGATAGCCTCCGTTGCGGGCGTACGCCAAGCCGCGCCGCTCGACCTCGATACGGCTCCGCTCGACAACGTCGTTCTCCACGACCACGACGAGGCCGGCGGGCAGCCAACGGGCCTTCGCCGCGGCCTGCGCGTCTAGTAATCGCGTCCGCAGCGCCAGCGACGCGTTCGTGCGGTCGTAGTGCGCCGCGGCGACGACGACGTGCTCGAAACAAGCATCCGCGCACCCTCTATAAAGCCAGCACAGCAATAGCACCAGGTCCTTCATCAGAGGCTGCCCCTCATCTTGCTCATTAATCTCCACCGTCTCTCCCCATTTAATTTACCATCTCAGCATCTCTGCAGTTCTCTGCAGGTAGCACCCAGAGTCCCCAACATCCGCTCTGGAGGGGCAGCGCCGCACGCGTTGTCGGGCAGCCGATGCGAGCAGCCATGCGACGCGTCGCGCGTCGATGAAGCGGTTGCTGCTCATCATAGCGCCCAGCGCGGCGCGTGTCACCAACGCGAGCCGGTGCGCCCGCCGCGTCGTCGTTCCCTCATCGGGACGCCTCGGCAATCACCTCTTCGTCATCTACGCGTGCTACGGTATCGCGAGACACCATAACCTGTGCCTCCGCGCGACGGCGACGACTTGCGCGGCCTTTGATTTCGCGAATTACACGGACGTGGCCTGCCCGGGCGAGCCGGGCCTCCCGGGCCACGCGCCCCAGGTCCACCTGAAGCTCTCGCGGGCGTGGTGGGCGCACGAGGACGGGCGGCGCGTTATTCCGGCGGAGAAGCGACCGCGCGTCGACTTTCAGTGCCTTGGGTACCGCCAGAACGCGAGAGCGGTCGACGCGGCCGGCGTCGTCTTCCCCTGGAAGGCGAAGGTGGCTGCCCGCGGAAAAGCTTTGTACGAAAACACGACGCGGGGGCTGGGCGCGGACAAAGTTGTGGCGCTCTACCACCGCGTCGCGGCGGGCGAGCGGCAGTACCAAAAGTGTCTGCCGAGGCGGCCGTTCTATGCGAGGGCGCGGCGGCAGTTTGAGCAAACCATATTCCCGAACCGCACCGTCGCGTATATCACGTCATCCTACCAGTTCCGGGACGCGGCGGCGATCGCAAGCGTCCTCGGCGCGGACGTCCGAGCCCTCGACGACCGGGAGCCGGCCGTCGTCATGGCCGCGCTGACGCACGCGGACGCGGCGACGTTCTCGTGGGGGTCGTTCTCGTGGTGGGTCGCGCGACTGACGCGCGGGTCCGTGCTCTACGACCGGGGCCTGCGGAATAGCACCTGGCTGGAGACGTCGGGCTGCGGCGCGCTCGTCTTTGGGGGCGGCGGCGCCGGGCCCGCCGACGCGCGGCGCTTCGCGGACGAGCACCTGCCGCGCGACTGGAGGCCAGTGTGATTCATCAAGTGTGTCATGTTACTAGAAATGTAGAGAGTAATAGTTTAATGAGGATCTTAGTACGACATAATAACGGCGCTCGCGCCCACGCGAAGGCGAAAGAAGAGGCGCAAGCACACTACGCTCCGAGTCCGACGGCGGCCTCGCGGCCCAGTACGCCTCCATGCCTTGTTCGGGTCGGCCTTGAACCAGTATGTGTCCGAGTCCATCTCGGTGTCCTCGCCGGACTTGGGCTTGGAATGCCAGCTTGGAATGCCAGCGTGCCATTCTGAGCCGTCGAGCCTACTACCGTTGGCCACGTTGGACTCCTCGGGAGTCGGAATGGTTGATCCTGACTCAGGCTGTCATTAGCCGCCAAGACCCGAATTGACTATAGTTATTAGTCCTCCATCCCCTAGTTTTACCTAAAAAATTTAATTCCAAAAAAAGTATTATTTTGGCTCGGACCCTATGCACTGTCCGACGGTTTTAGAACTCGTCACGGCTTGCCGTGACTCGCTCTCAGGAGACTACTAGAGAGACTACATGTGCCATCTTGTTTTTAGGTTTCCTTGCTTTGCTTAGAGCTAGGCCGCCTAGCCGCCGAGCCAACTGCAGAGGAAGTCGGGGGAAGCGTGACCGTAAGTGACGTCGTAAGTGTGACCGTCGTAATTGAATTTTTTATTTTACTGTGTGCGTGCGTTGCGAGTGCGCAACGGCGCACCACGCGTCGCTTACGTCGGCCGCACGGCGGTTCCAAGGAACGCCAGAACGTCGTCGTCGAGCGCGAGGCGGGCGTCGTCCGCGGCGGCGGGCGGCGTCGCGCGAGGGCGCGGCGCCCGGGCCGAGGCGTCGCTCGGCGCTGCCGCCGCCGGCGGGAACACTAAATCTCCGAGGCGTCCGAGCGCCTCGGACCCGCGGCCGCCGCTCGTGCCGCCGCGCGCCGCGGCGGCGGCGCAGCTCGCGTAGAGGTCGCGGAAGTCGGCGCCGCGGACGCGCTCGGCCACGAGAATGCCGCGGAGCCGCGCCGCGGCGGCCGTGTGCGCCTCGACGTCTCCGCGGAGCCGCTCGACGTCGGCGCGCAGCCGCCCGGTGGGCGTCGTCGTGTCGTGTTGCGTCGCCGCCTTGCCGAAGTCGCCGGGCACGCAGCGCCGCGGCGGCGGCCGCACGGCGCGTTCCGCGTCCGCCTGCGGCGACGGCGTTCTCGTCGTCGCCGCCGCCGCGCGCGCCTCGAGGCGCTTCTGCTCGCGCTTGCCCGCCTCCAGCTGCCGCCGGAGGTGCCGCCGGTCCGCGTCGAGCGCACGCCGCTTCCGGCGCGCGTAGGTCCGGTCCTTCCGCAGCGCCGCCACGTGCGCCGCCTGCTGGGCCGCCTCGCCCCGGTACCACGCGCCGCTCGCCTCGAGCTCCCGGACGCCGTCGTCGTCACGGAGCGACGCCTCGGCGCTCCCGAGCTGCGCGCGGAGCTGCTGGAGCTCGCGGTGGACCTCGACCATGTGGGCGCGGTACGCCTGGAGGAACTCCGCCTCGGCCCGCTCGAGGCAGTCGCCGACGGACGCCTGGAACGTCGAGAGCGTCGCCTTGAGCTCGGCGTATTGCGCGCGGACGTCCTGCATCGGCAGGTCGGCCGCCATCATCTAAGCTTTCGCGCCGGTTCAGGCTGTGGGGCTGCCGCTTGGGTGCTTAAGGGTAAGGCGGCGCTAAAAACACCCGCACGGTCGTCCCGCGCTCCACGGACGGCCCATCCATCCTGGGGCACGCTGCCGTGCCCGGGGAGACATGCGGAGGCCCGGGGCCCGCGCAAAAATTATTACAGTAACGCCAGACGCCCCGGAGAGCGCAAGCATCGAACGCGGGTCCGCAAGGGACGGCCGCAGCAGCACGCCGTCGACGCGCGCTGCCCCGTCGACCGCACGCAGAGCAGAGACAAAACAAGCAAGCCGCCATGACGACGGACCTCACGAGGCACCGCGTCGTCGCGCACGAGCGCGTCGTCGCGACTTCGACCGAGGCGCTGCGCGAGACGGTCGTGGCCTGCGTGGAATCAAGCAGGCAGAGAGTTACGTTATCCCGAGAGTTATTGCACGTCCTTCGCGAACCTCCGCGCCGTCGAGGAGACACCATCGCGTCGATGGCGTGGAGTGCCTGAGATTTGAGATTTCCACACAGGTCGTGGCGCTGCACTCGGCGTTCGGGCGCAAAAGCGAGGCCGACGGCACGCCGTGTACCATGCGCGGGAATTGGGCGCGCCTCTTCGCCCAGATGGACGAGGACCGCTCGGGACGCTTAGACTACGACGAGTTCCGCAAGGCGGTCGCGGCGTTGGGTGTAGAGGTCGCCGTCTCGGATTTAGACGCTTTGTGGGCCTACGTCGAGGCCGACGGAAGCGGCGAGGCGACGATCAAGGAGTTCCAGGACGCCACCTACTTGCTAATGATCGACGGCTGGCCAGTATTAGACAAACAGGAAAAGCGGGCCTTGGTCTTCGAGCTCAACCGACTGGTGGAGACGCGCCACGAGCGCAAGGCGTTTTATGACACGGAGGGCGCCCCCACCAACGACAGCGCGCCCGAGCAGCGCTTCAATTGGTTCAAAATGTTTAATATCTTGGACGTCGACAGTAGTGGAAGACTAGGTTTTGAGGAGTTGGAGAGTGTCATACGGGCGCCGTATCCCTGTTTGTGTACGCCCGAGGAGGTGCTGCCGCTCGAACAAATCAAGGCACTGTGGAAGGCTATTGATGCGGATTCTTCCGGCGACGTGACCGTGGATGAATTTATGGGCTTTATGCGGTCCTACGGCCCGACGCTTGCGGAGGTCGCGGCGATGAAGCGGGACGCTATGCTAAAAAAGCGCGCCAAGGAGCGGACCCGCCGGTTCGGGACGGCTGACGAGAAGCAGGCGCTCGGCGAGGCGCGGTCGCCGGCCCGCCGCGGGTTTTCCCCAGCGCGCGCGCGCCGGTGGGCCGCGGCGCCCCGCAAGCGCGCGCCGTCCTACCTGAGCAGCGTGACGATCCAATCGGCGCGCCCGGCTGTCCTCGCGGCGGAGCTCGCGAAGCGCCGGGCGCCGGTCTTCTGCGGCGCGGCCGACCCAGAGGGCCGCGTGCCCCTCGAGGCTCTTGTAAGAAATGGCCCCTGCTGCGTGGCGAAATTTAGCGACGTTTGCGTGCCGCCTCGTCTTACTGAATACGACGTGGCGGTCTGGCAGCACCTCGGCCACCTTGTCCTCGAGTTCGCCGCCACCGGAAAGAACGAGGAGGGCGCGTCGTACGCGTGCCTGGCGACGGACGTCTCGGCCGCCGAGGTGGCGCGAGCGTGCATGAGGCGTGCCGACGCCGCGAAACTGTACCGGGGACTGTGCGAGAGCGCGGTGTGCGACGCCGACGGCGCGCTGGCGCTCGACGCGCGGCGCGGCGCCGCCGCCGCCGCCGGGGGCGCCCACCGCCGCCGCCGCGGGCCGCCCAAGGCCAACTACTACTACCGTCTCGGGGAGATAGGCGGCGAGCTGTGGCACGACTGGATAGCAAACACGTGGTGGCGCGTCGCGCCGCCGCTCTGGCACGCGCGACACGTGGAAGTGGCTCTTTCCTCGGGCGGGCGCGCCGTCCTCGATTGTACCACGCGTGCCGTCGTCGACTACAATGGCGCGCCCTCGCTCGAGCTGCGGCTCCGGTTGGTGGAGCTGCTCGACGGCGCCGCCGCCGAGGGCGTTTCCCAGCTATCCCTGGCCGACGGCCCCAGCGTGCGCACCTCGGCGAACATGGCCTCGGCCGCGGGGGGCGTCTACGCGCGCGTCCACGCGTCGCTCAGCGCGCCGCTGTTGGCGCCCTGGGCGGCGGCGGCGGCGCCGCCGCCTCCGCCGGACGACGCCGCGCCCGCGCCCGCGCCCCCGGAGGCGCCGGCGCCGGACGGCGCGCCGCCGCGCGCCGCCGCGGGCGCGGCGGCACACGCAGCTTGCCTCGCGCTCGTCCGAGCGCTACGAATCGACGTCGCGCCCCGGCGGTCGGCCGCCCCGCGCCCGCCCGCGGCGCCCCGCAGCGCCGCCGCCGACCCGGCTGCGGCCCACTGGACGCTGTCAGCGGCGTTACCCGACGAACTCGAGGCGCGGGCGGCGGCCCTCACGGCTGCGTCCCTGCCGTTGATCGTCAAAACGCAAGCGCGCGTCCGCCTGCGCGCGGCGGCGACGCTCGTCCGCGCCATGCTCGCCGCCCGCGCCGTGGTCCGCAGCTGGTGCGCGGGGCTGCTGCGCGACGCGCGCGCGCTCCGCTGGCGACGCGCGGCGCTCCGAGCGTACCGGCGCCACAAGGCCGCGGCGAAGATCGGCCACGCGTGCCGCCGGCTTCTGAAAAAACGCCGCGAGGCCGCTGATTTTGCTGTTACTGGACGGCGGCACCACGTCGACTTCGCCTTGACGGCGGCGGCGGCCGGGGGCGGGGCGCGTCTCGCGGCCCAGGGCGGGGTCCGACTCGGCCGGGTTGGGAGACGCGTGGTGCCGGGGGCGCGCCCGGGACGCAAAGACAAGGTGTACCTGGCGAAGAGCAAGCCGACGCTATAATTGCACCCCTGGGTCCTCTAAGGAGGTTGCAAGTGCACTACGACCCGACTCGGAGGGGTTCAAGTTACTATAAAATCCCCGGGCAGTCCCACCCAGGCAGCCACATACACCCTGACAGACGGTCGCATACCTCCGTATGCACCGCGTGCAGGCGCGTATTTGCCAGTGGTGTTTCTGTAGGAACCTATGGCTTGTCACCTCTTGATTGTGCAAACGCGTCTTGCACTTCAATCCTTTCTTCCTGGTATTTCTTGGTGAGGTCTTCCTTCAGTGCTTTGAGACGCTCTTCGAGTTTCTGTTCAGCTTCAGCGTTTGCTTGATCGATCGCATTTTTTAGAAGCTGGTTTATTGCAGCTTCATCCTTTTGGGTGTTTTTTCTTTTGTTTTCTTTTTAGGTGATAATTCTTTTTGTTTTCTAGGCATTCACTGTAAAACACTCTACGTCAATAGGCGAGACCTTGTGGGCCCATAACCTAGCAAGAGTATGTCGCAGTGTTATGTAAGGTAGCAGGGTCCTAGCTCACCAGCCAAAGGCTGGGCCAACTTCAAGTTGAACCTAACTACGAGAGTGTTTTATAAATAGTAAACTGTTGTTACACCGTAGTGTCAAAGACACTCGCTGTATAGACTCAAACTTAGAGAGTGGGAGATACATATCTAGGGTAGGAGGGCTAGTAGGTTTCTCTCTCTACGTACGGTAGGTACCTACGGTACGGTACCTACGGTACCGTAGGTACCGCGGTCCCTAGGTGCACTCTCGACGAGAGAGTGCGGTCTCTGCTCTGAGCTGAAGTCAAATTTGATGTGTAAACTCAGTACCGCTCTCGATGGCACTTTTCTCGGTCTCGATTGCCCTCCTCCTCTGGCACCTGGATGCCCTCACGATTCCCCTTTTCGAATACCGCAGCAGCGTCTTCCCGCTGGACGTGGTGGTCGTCGAGTGCCCGCGAGTCGGCTGGCACCAGATCGCGCTTGAGAGCGCCGGCGGGCCGCGGCTGCTCGGGCTCGTGGACGCGGCGCCGGCGCCGGGCGCGCGCGGCGTGCTCTGCGAGTGCCACGCGAGGGGTCGTGCGACCGGCGACGTCCAGCGCATTGTTGCTGTCGCCGTCGGGCGTTTCTTGGTCGAAGCGCTCCGCCCGGCCGGCCACCCGGGACGCCTCGCCGTGGGCGACGTCGGCGCGGTCGTCGACGCCGCGCCCGAGGACGACGAGGTGCTGCGCGAGGCGGGTCACGATCTCCTCGCGCGGCGCGGCGTGGCCGCGGCCGACGAGCTGAAGGCGCACCTCGCCTATGAGACCGTCGCGACGCTGGAGGGCTGGGCCGGCTCGACGGCGACAGCGCAGGCAGCGGTATTGTCCGCCGCGGCGCGGCGCGCGACCGCCGAGGCCGTGCGCCGCTTCGCGCCCGCCGCGCGGGTGGAGGACGCGTGCGCCGTCGACGCGTGCGCCGCCGACGGCGACTCCGAGGCGTGCGTGCTGGAGAGGGCCTACGCGCGCGCGGCGGCCTGCGGCGAGGACGGGCCGTTCGGCGACGACCTCGCGGAATTCGCGCCGACGCGGCGAGAGCTATCGAGCTTCGCGCTCTGCCGGGCGCTCGCGCCGGATCCCGAGGCCGCTCGCCGTCTGCTCGCGACGCGGTCCACGAGCGCGCGGCTGCGGCACGCCGACGCGCGCCTCAGCGCGACGGCGGATTGGCTCGCGCGGCGCGCCGGCCTCGGGGATGCCTGGCGCGTGCCGCGGCCGGACCCGCTCGCGGACACGGCGCCGGCGGCCGCAGCCCCTCCTCCCCGCCGCCGTCGCGCGGGGCCGTTCCGCCGCCTGGCGGACGCGGCCCGCACCCGCCGCCGATGAATCACGGTGTCGCCCCCCTCCCGGCGGGGCTCCGCCTAATAAATATTGATAACATCTCTTCACCGGGATGTCTAAACTACCGCTCCAATGCCGGTCACGGTGGTTCGAGAGCGGCTATCGTCGCCTATCGAGGGCACGATGTCCAATCACCGGTCTTTGGGGGCTGCGCGCGTCGTATACGTGAACCCGAGCCAGATCAATGAGATCATTATACGACCACCTTGTGTAGCCCTGATGGGTGGTTCCGGGGGGAGCTCTTCCATGAGTGGAACCCGCACGATATCTCGCCCGTGACGAAAACGCGCCAGGGCCCGCCGCGGTCCTAGTGGCCACGGTGCGTCAGCCCCGTTGATTCAGTCTGAGGAAGAGTCGATTCCAGTTTCTTGCCTTCCGGGCTTGTCGGGTGTGTAAGTGGCGAGGAGAGTTCCTAAGCTCAGCAACGCACCAAAGCCCATACGAGACCGGCTCATACGGCGTTGGCCAACCCGAACCGAACCTCCATCCGGCGCGGCGGAGTGCAGGGCCCTCCCGAACCCCGCGGTGGCTGCCCCACCTGTTGCGGGATACGGTTCCTGCACCCATCGAAGTGGGTCCTTGAAAATCTCTTGCTACCTGTCCAGGGCGCGCTCGTCGCGGACGGCCTGTACTATGATGGTCGCCGCCGCGCTGCTGGCCTGCGCGAGGGCGGCGGCGCCGCAGGCGCGGAGCGCGTCCACGGGCCCCGGTTCCTTCGCTGGAAAGACCGCGCTCGTCACCGGCGCGGCGAGCGGCATTGGCCTGCGATGCGCGCAGCGGCTCGCCGAACGCGGCGCGCGCGTGGTTGGCGTCGTGTCGCGGGAGAGCCGCGTGCGAGCGTTCAAGGAGCACGTGGGAGACGGCCACCCCTGCGTCGTGGCAGACCTGTCGCAGGTGGCGGACGTGCGCCGCGCCGCGGCCGAGGCCGGCGACGTCGACGCGCTCGTGAACGCCGCCGGCGTCGGCGCCATGGCGAGTTTTCTGGACGTGGAGACGGACGCCTTCGATCAGTGCGTCGCCGTGAACTGCCGGGCGCCGCTCGTGCTCTCCCAGTGCGTCGCGAGGAACATGATCGCGAGGGGCGTTCCGGGAGCGGTCGTGCGCGGTGCGAACCAACCGTCGGAGCGACTTTGAACCGCTGTGGATTTCCACACAGGTCGTACACGTGTCGTCGCAGTCCTCGTCCCAGGCCATCCGCGACCGGTGCGCGTACAGTCTCACGAAGGCGGGCGTGGACTACCTCACCAAGTGCATGGCGCTCGAGCTGGGGCCCCACGGCATCCGAACGAATTGCGTCAACCCGACCGTCGTGCTGACACCGCTCGGGCGCGCGGCGTGGGCCGACGCGGCGAAGCGCGACCCCATGCTGGCGAGCATCCCGCTGGGGCGCTTCGCCGAGGTCGACGACGTCGCCGACTGCGTTTTGTACCTCCTCTCGGACGCGGCCGCGATGGTCAACGGCGTCTGCGTGCCGGTGGACGGCGGCTTCCTCGCGGCGCGCGCGCACCTCCCTTGACGCGCCCCTCCGTCGCCCGCCCTAAATAAAATAAAACTTGAACAAATAAAGAATTAAGGCAGGAATATCCAAAAAGGAAAACGACATACACCAAGCCACTAGGGGCCTTCTCCCTGCGCGGCTTGTAGAAAACGGTAGGCCGGCAGCGTGGTACTGCCGGCATCCCAGCGGGTATGGCGACTAAGGTGATAGACATGCTCCCGTAATGGGATAGCACTGAGTGTGAAGTAATATGAGAGTTTATCATGATTGCGCTTGAATGTAGTGGAATGTGGATAGGACTCGGAGAGAAGGAGGGGGCCTGGGGAACCTACCCAGGCTAGCGTGCTAGGGTCACCGTACGGTAAGATTTCCCGCACGGCTAGGATACCCAGCCGGCGCTTAAAAAGAGACGTCACGAAACGATACTAGTAGAGTATGTCGCAGCGTTATGTAAGGCCCGGGTACGAGAGAGTCACCGTGACGGTGTTTTATTATATATTGGTTTACACCGTAGCGTCAATAGACACCCAATGTGACTCAAATTTAGAGAGCGGGAGATACATAATAGGGTAGGATAGGCTAGAGGGTTTTTCTCTCTACGAAACCTACCGTAGGTGGTACCGTAGGTACCGTAGTACCGCCTACGGTACCGTAGGTACTGCTCAAGTGCGCACTTAGCCTTGCTGCGACGTCTCTGCTCTATCGTCGCGAATCATCATATGATGATGACGGGCCAATTAGTTGTGTATTGCTCCGTCGCGGCGGCACTACTGCGCGGCGGGCCGCGGATCGCGAAAGCGCCGCGACGCCGCGCCCGCGCGAAGGCGGGCGCGGCGCTGTCGGCGGACGGCGACGCGCACGCCATCACGGTCGTGGACGCGGCGGCCATCGTCGGCGGGTCGGCGGTCGGAGGCGGGTTCCTGGCCGTGCCAGCGATCGCACGGGACGTCGGCCTCCGGCCCGCGGCGCTGGGCCTGACGGGCGCCTGGGCCTTCTTCGCGCTGGCGGCCCTCGGGTACGTCGAGGCCGCGGGCGGCGCGATGGCCGCGGGACCGCTCGAGGGCGAAGACGCGGCGGCCTCCATTCGCGCGGTCTCGCGGCGCATATTCGGTCCCGTCGTGTCGCGCGCGGCCACGGCGACGTTCGCGGTGCAGCTGCTGGCGATCCTCGCGGCGAATTTGAGCTTGCTGCGCGCTCCGTGGACGGCGGCGGCCGCGTTGGGGGCTTTCGTCGCGTTCGCACCCGCCGCGATCGTGGCCAGGGCCAACACCCTGTGCACGGCCGCGACCATCTGCGGCTTCGTCGGCCTTTCCGCTCTTTCTTTGGCCGCCGGCGGCACGCCCATCCGGACGCCCGCGCGCTGGGTCAAGCTCCTTCCGCGGCGAGGCTGGGCCGTGCCGCTCGTGGCGAACACGATGCGATTCGGCGAGGCCGTGCCGGTCGTCGTCGGCAAATTCGGCAGTCGGCGGCTGCGGGAGGCGCGCGCGGCCGTGCTGCTGGGGTCCCTGATGCCCCTGGCGCTCGCGTTGCTGTACGCCGCGGCGTCCGCGCGGGCGCCGACGGGCGCGCCGTCCGCCGCGCTGCGAGGCGCGACGGGCCTGGCGGCCGCGGGCGCCGTCGCGTCCACGGTGCTCGGCTGTCTCATGGCCGTGGGCCAGCTGCTCCGGCGCCAAGACGGCGGCGAGTCGGGCCCGTGGCGGTCCCTCGCGGCCGCGGGCGCCGTGGCTCTCCCCGCGGGCGTTGCCGCGGGCGCCGGCCGCGACGCGTACTTGTTGCTGTTGCGTTTCGCGGGGGCGATCCCGACGGTCGTCCTCTACGGGCTCCTGCCACCGTTGGCCGCCTTGCACACGCGCCGTACGGCGGCACCGCGCGCGGACGTCGTGCCCGCGGCCGCGCTCGCGGCGGTCGCCGCCGGCGCGCTCGGCGTTCTCGCCGTCAATTTGTCCCATCTCGTCGTCGTGTGCTGACCGCCCCGCCTGTTCGTTAAATAGATAATTAAAGGAAGCCGGAGGAATCCATATGGCGTTCAATTTCAAATACCAGGTAAGTAAATAACCGGGGCGCGCGCGTTGGCGGCCTCCGATGCGCCACCGGCGCAGATCTGGGATTCCGGCGTCCGGCCTGCCCCCCCTCGCCTCGTCCTCCGAGCTCATACTCGGGGCGGCGACGTATGAGGGCCGGTGGCGGGGCGGGCGTGCGGTCGCGCAGACCCCGCGTCGGCCGGGTGGCTAGGCGGCCTAGCTTTAAGAAAATAGAGTCGAGCCTGAGGACGGAGGCACGACACGACACGATGGTCGATATCACAGCGCTTGGCGCTTCGGCCCCGCTTCCCAAGAGCGACACTCCGGCTGTGGCCGCACTGGCATTGATGGTTTCCCTAGAAGTACAGTTTACGCCGCCCACTCGTCGCCCGACGAGTCGTCGCTTGAGCCGGCGTCCGGAGCCGGGAGGGGGCGCGGCCGTTTATTCGGTGGCGGCGGTGCGAGGCTCGCCAAGGGAACGTCCTCCGAGGACGACGAGTCGCCGTCGGACGACGAGTCGGCGACCGCGAGCCCGTCGCCCCGCCCGAGACGGCTCCGCGCCGGCGACCGCGGCGCGCCGGCGGAGGGCGGCGCACCCTTGGACGGCGAAAGCCCGTCGATGGCGAGGACGTCGTCGTCGTCGTCGTCGTCGTCGTCGTCGAACTCGAAGTCGGCGCGCGCCGCCGCCGCCGCCGCGGGCGGCGGGCTCGCCGCCGGGTCCCCCCCGTCATCATCGTCGACCACGCCCGTCCACGCCGCGCGCGGCCTCTTCCTCTTCGGCGCGACCTCGGCCTCGGCCTCCTCGTCCTCGTCGGGCGGCCGCGACGCCGCGCCGCGCGGCGCGAACAGCCGCAGCGCGAAGCGCGTCGACACGACGTCCCGCACGACGGCCCGCCGCCGCATGTCGACGCGCGCCCGCGGCGCGCCGCCGTCGTCCGCGACCGCTTCGAGGTCGGCGCGGTCGACGTGGCGCTGCAAAGCCTTCTTCAGCGCGTCCTCGTCCGTCTGCAGGACGCCGCAGAGCGCCGCCGCGACGTCGGGCACGTACCGCAGCAGGTTCTTGCGCCGGTCCCGGTCCCTCTGATGGAGGTCGCGCTTCGCCAGCTGCGCCTTGAGCTGCGACCCACAGGCCATGAGGCACTCCCGGATCGCGTCGTGGATTTCGTGGGCGTCCTCGCCCACGTACTCCTTGGAGGTGCCCTTGAAGGGGATCTTGGTGCTCACGAGCGACACGAAGACGCCGACCCGCTCCTTCTTGACGTCGATCTTGTACGCGGCCCACCGCACGCGCTTCTTCGCCACGATGGTGGCGACGTCGGCGCCGCCCTCGAAGAGCAGCGGGATGCGGTTCGCGAACCGGTAGACGCGCAGGCCCTCCTCCTCCTCCCTGAGCCCGCCGACCGACACGGCCGCCTCGACGACGAACGCGTGGCCCTCGTGCGCCGCGACGGGGGAGCACGCGGTGGCGACGTACGTCGGGCGGACCTCCTTCTCGACGCCCAGCCGCAGGTTGTACTCGCCGACGGGCGCCAGGCCGCTCGCGTCCGGCGGCGCGAAGCAGTTCACGTCCCGGAACAGGCGCGCGAGCCGCCGCAGCCGCGCGGCGTCGTCCGCCACGCGGAGCGGCTCCGTCCTCTCGTCGAAGCCGCCCTCCTTGAGCACGCGCCGCATGAGCGCGGGCGGCCCGCCCTGCAGCGCGTGGCGGCAGAACGCGCCCAGCGACGGCTGGGCCGTCTTCCGCAGCAGCTGCTCCAGCAGCAGCTCGTCGAGCGCCGCGGGGTGGTAGCCCGTCGCCCGGGGCACGGGGGGCACCTTCGTCGTCCGCCGCGCGAACTCCAGGCGCACGTCCCGCCGGTCGGACCCGGACCCGCGGAAGTCGAGCCGCAGCGACGCGTAGGGCGTGATGATCGCCAGCTGCCGCAGGTACTGGACGATGCGCGCGCGGTACGCCTTCCAGTTGCCGCCGACCGTGACCGTCAGCTCCGCGCCCCGCCACTTCTGGCTGTTCTCCGCCACCGAGTCCTCCAGCACGCGCGGCTCGTTCCGCTGGATGTCGATGTCCAGCACCACGCGGCTCACCGGCTCGTGCGCGGCGCGGGCCGTCCGCACCGTCAGCGGCAGCCCGGACGACTTCTTGCCCCAGATCAGCGCCATCTTCGCGCCGAGGCCGAACTTGCCCCGCGCCTGCCGCGCGCCGTACTTCGACCCGGCGAGCACCCGCCCGAACGCGTCGGGGATCGCCTCGCGGTGGACGCCGCAGCCGTTGTCCCGGCAGGTGACGCGGTAGAACAAGCGCGTCTTCTCCTTGTCGTCCGCCTTGCCGCGGCCCTCGAAGAGCGTTTCGTCGACGCGCTCGAGCCGCAGGACGCCCCGCTCCGCGTCCAGCTCCGCCTGGCTGAGCTCCCGGATCTCCAGCGCGACGTCCGGCGGCTCGCCGATGGACTCCGCCGCGTCCAGCGAGTTCTCCACGAGCTCGCGGATCGTCGTGTAGAGGCTCTTGCCCGGGTTGTCGAAGCCCGCGATGGTCTGGTTCTCGGTGAAGAACTCGGCCGCGGACTTGCGCTGCACGCTCTCTTTGCCCTTTTTGGGCGGCATCGCTGCTGGCCGCTATTCAGCGCTGCGGCCGTGTCCTCCGCGTCTCTATGAGGCCTCAAGGCCTCAGGTTTGGTGGCTCGTTTTGTTTTTTCAAAGGTCAATGCGGGAACCCCTGAATATATACTTAAGTAGTTTGGTCCCCACCCCCCCTTCGCCCACATGACCCATATAGCCCATATAGCCCACTGCCCGTGCTCGCTGACGACGGCGCCGCGCGCCGCGCCGTTTGCGGCGGCTATCTCCGCGATAAAAAAGAGGTCGACGGCCTACGGGCGCCCTCGCGCGCCACGGCGCGGAAGGCCGCGCACGGGGCAGCGTCCACCTACTAGCCTAAGCCCATTTTCGAGCCGTCGACGGACGAGTGCGCGCCCGCCGCACTCGTCGAGGTCTAGGGGGGCGCCCTCCGGCAAGCGGGGCAGCCCTCGTCGATGGTCGATGGTTCGACTCGGCAGCCTCGGGCCATAACCCATATAGCCCATTGGCGCGCTTGGCTGCCCCGTCATTTTGTGAGCGCTCGTAGTATGATAGAGAGACCCCCACGGCCAGGGTCTCGACCATTTTTTAGCGGCAGACGGGCGCCCGCGGCGCCACACTGCACTGCCCCATCAGCACGCACCCTCCGTACGTCGCCGCATGACGTCGTACCATGACCGTCTTTCGAAATGACCTTCGCCCAGAAGCCACGAACGGCTGACCGCAAGGGTTTGGGGTGCGATGAAGTTTGACCGTAAACGCGGGTGTAAAACGAGGTGCGTCGACCACCGGCGCCGGGGGCCCGGGGCCACTGCGATAAAACCCGAACCCCAAACCAAAAATCGCCCCTGAGACGTATAAATTGAACCATAATTACGGAAAAATTATTTCCTAGCGTTCCATATCTATATGGGGCCCTAAGGGAATTTCCGGCTTGTGCCTAGGCCGAACCCTGGCACCCGTTCCGCTCCAAGCCGAGTAGCCAAGAACAGCCAGGTCGGCCGAGTATAGAAGCGTGACCAGCCACGCGGAGTGCTGGTCGTAGTGCTTGGCAAGCTGCTCAGGGCTAGATGCGGACGTTGCGTGAACGTTCCCTGTCGGGATTTGCAACTGAGACTGGTCGGAGATCGCCGTGAGTATGTCGCTGCAGCGCCCGGTCGGAGAGTAAAAGCACTCTTGGCCTGAAAACGGCAACCATTGCACCCCGCGCAGCACCGATTCGTCAACGCCCACCTCTTTGACAAAGCACGGCCACCATTTGGCCTGCTCCTCGAGCCTGAGCACCAAAATGTGCTTACCGCTTCCGCTGACGCTTGAGTAGCATGACTCAAGCTGACTGCAAAGATGATGATCAACGGCACATAGCCGCCGAGGGTTTCCCTCCGTAAGCCTCCACACATGCTGCACGAAATATGCAAAGCTCGTATTCTTGCTGAGGCCAAGGTAGCGTAGCCTTTGTGAGCAGCCGAGCTGACCACCGGAAGTACATTCAGACACAACCTTTTGCAGATACAGCGACAGAAGCCGCGTGTATGGATCACGAGCAAAGAAGTATTCCTGGATGGTATCGTCCACCGTCAAGCTGTTCCTTTCCCAATGCCTCATATCCTTCAGCATGGCGTCGATAGAGGCCGGCGCTCTCCTCCTCCACGCTGCGAACGCGAAGCCTCCCCAGTTTCGATTGCCATTCTTCTGCGGTATGCAGATAGTGGAATTCTTGCCCTGCGAGTTGGCAGGAGAGGGCAGCTGAAAGAAATGCGCAGCATTGTTGATCATGAGGCTCTTCTCTCCACGGTTGGGAGCCAGTGTGTGCGAGCGCAGATTGAAATCACCGCTGCAATTCGAGGTATGCGCCATCGCCACCCCGCACAGGCCAACCAGCAGCATGACGCGAATGAGCATGACAGATCGCACGTTTACATTAGTGCGGCGCTGCTTGGTCAACAGGGTTGAGCACGCGAGTGCATACGGCTCACGGGCTGCACACTCGGGTCGTCGCCGCCGACACTTGGCACGGGGCTCGAGCGAGGCATCATCTCGCGTGTCTTGGACCTGCTCCTCCATGGACTGGTCCTGCTGCATGTTCGCTGGTTGTTTAGGACACGTGTAGCGATCCCCGCGATTGCGCGCTTATTTTTCGCAGCGCAGCTGCGCGGTGTGTGTGGGAAGGCTGCGCAGCGGTTTTGAAGGCGAGGAAGGAGCCACGCGTGCGCTAGGCACCCCTTTTTGTGTCCTCGCAAAATTAGTCTGATGGTAATAGAAGGCCGTTTCGATGGAGCCAACCTACTAGCGACGCCTGCCGGCGCGACTTTCCGGTCCCCCATGCTGTCCTGAGGACTCGTCCTGTCCTCTGGGGTGTTCCCGTTAAGACGCGTTTGTTCGTTGGACGGAATGATAGCTGGTAGACCCCTTAGGGGCGGAAAAATTTTAAACTGAGCGAGATATTTGGCTTCTGTGAAGTCTGATTGGGACTGAGCCAGCTTAGCGTCGAGCTGATCCGCGTAGTTCCCATATGGAGGGGTACGAGTTTGGACATACGTACGTATGGCAGGGCCCTGGTGTGCGGGGACGTCGAACGCGAACCTCGAGGCAAGAGGGCTCTAGGGGGTCACGTAAGCGCAAAAATCAAACTAATAGACACGGCCTACGGCCCGCTCCCATACGAGGCCGAGCTAAGTTTCTATTAGTTTGTATTAATAGCCCGGCCCCCTGTTTCCTGTCCCTGAAGTTAGGATACGTGGCCATATCATAGCAGGTACGGTACCGCAGTACCGCAGGTACCGCAGTACCGCACAGAGCTTGAGCTTGGAGCAGTGTGTGGCAGTGCGGCACTAAAAAAAAAAGTGCGGCAAATCACTGCAGGTACAAGAATGGCGCGACCGCGCCGCTTGGTAGGCGGCGTCGCCCCCGCCTTCTTGGCCGTCGCCTCTGCCTTGCAGCCAGCACTGAGGGTGAGGACGCCGGCGCTCGCGAGCTGTAGATCGCGGCCGGCCGTCGCGCGCGCAGATGCAGTAACCGCGCTGCGCGCCGGCGGCGGCGACGACGACACCACGGCGGCCGCGCGCGGATACGACTGTGCCGTGATAGGCGCGGGTCCGGCGGGCTCCGTCGTGGCGTGGCTGCTGGCGGAGCGCGAGGGTCTGCGCGTGGCTCTCGTCGACGCGAACCTCGACAAGCCGTGGCCCAACAACTACGGCGTGTGGGAGGCCGAGTGGCACGCGCTGAGCGAGTCGCTGCCCGAGCTCGAGCTGCGCGGGTGCGTCGACGCGACGTGGCCGCGCACGGACTGCTTCTTCGGGGGGTCCTGGGGCGCGCCCCCGGACGAGCGCACGACCTTGCAGCGAGCGTACTGCCGCGTGGACCGGGCGACGCTCAAAGAGCGGCTCCGGCGCCGCGCGGCGGACGCGGGCGTGGTCGAGGTGCGGGAGAACCTCGAGATCGGTCCGGGCGGCGACTGGTGCGCGAACGTGGTAGATGGCGTGGCGCACGACGCGGCGGGCACGACGCTCCACCTCCAGAGCGGGTCCAGCCTGCGGTGCACGGTCGTCGTCGACTGCACGGGCGCCGAGTCGCGGCTCACGACGCGGCGCGGGCCCGACGTCGGCGCCCCCATCCCCCCGCCGGGCTTTCAGGTCGCGTACGGCGTCGAGTGCCTCGTGCGCGACCTGGGGCCCTACGCGGACGACGCGATGCTGCTCTTCGACTACCGGACGGACCACCTGCCCGCGGCCGAGCAGCGGGCCCCGCCCACGTTCCTCTACGCCATGCCGCTGGGGACCGACGGCGGCGGGCCGCGGCGCGTCTTCTTCGAGGAGACGTCGCTCGTGGCGCGGCCGGCGGTGACGCTCGCGGAGTGCGAGCGGCGGCTGAAGTTGAGGCTGGCGCACCTCGGGATAGACGTCGTCGAGGTCTGCGCGGACGAGCCGCCGGAGCTGTGCTACATCCCGATGGGCGGGCCGCGACCGGACCCGCGGCAGCGCGTCGTCGCGTTCGGGGCCGCCGCGGCGCTCGTGCACCCGGCGACGGGCTACCAGCTCTGCCGCGCGCTCGCGGCGGCGCCGCACCTGTCGGGGGCGCTCGGGCGCGCCCTGCGGCAGAGTCCCGACCCGGACCGCGCCGCGCGGGCGGCGTACGCCGCGGTCTGGTCGCGGCAGGCGTCCCTGCAGCGCGAGTTCGCCCTGTTCGGGGGCGAGTTCCTCATGACGCTCGACGCGGAGGCGCTGCGGGGCTGGTTCGCCGGCTTCTTCGCGCTGGACGAGGAGGTCTGGGGCGGGTTCCTGGCGGGCTGGCGCGGACTGCCCGGGAACCACCACCACGAGAGCCGGGCCGCCCGGTTGCTGTTCGGCCTCTCGCTCGTCCCGAAGCTGCCGCCGCCGGTCACGCTCAAGCTGGCCTCCTTCATCCTGGAGTACTCGCTCAAGCACGGCGGCGCGCTGATGCGCTCCCTGACGCCGTTCTTCGGCGACGGCGCCTACTTTTCCGAGGACGCGGCGCCGCCGGGGAGCCCCCGCCAGGTCGGCGACGCGGCCGTCAAGGCGGAGATCCGCGCGCGCGTCGGGTTCTAAGTACTCCCAACTGGGCCGCCGATCTGGCCGCCGGGCGCCGCCGAGGGCCATTCCAGAGTTATGTTTGCACCGCGTCGCCGTCGACCAATCCGTCCGCTCACTCAGCCTACGTACAGGGATAGCTCCCCCCCCCGATACCCCTCCCTAGGCGCGTGCCCCCAAAACCCGTATCGTACGCGCTGAAATCGCAGCTAGCACCTTAAAGATACTAGGCATTCTACCAAGTGTCCTGTTTCTTAGCTCTACGCGGTGCGTAACGGGTGGCATAAGCGGAGGACCTTAGAGAAAGCGTCGCGTGTCGTAGCTGGGGGCCACGAAGGACACTGTTTGGGGCTGCCTGGCCTGCGGGTCCCGCCTTTCGATACGAGCTTGTAGGGACCCAGACGGCCGAATGCATCCGCGGCCGCCGCCGCCTGGCCCGCCGCCTGGCCCGCCGAATGTATCTCCGCCGCCGCGCCCCCGGCCGCCCGCCGCGCATGAGCCCGCCCGCGCCGCCCCGGCGCCCGACCCGACCCCGGCTTGCGAACCTGACGCGCGCGCGCCCGCGCGCACCCGCCCCCGAGCGCCGTCGGCGCGGCGCGTCGACGGCGTCGTGCGGTGGATCGACGCGCAGCGCCTCGCCGGGCCGATGCGAACGGCCGCCGTGCTTCCCTCCGCGCTGGCGTCCGGTGAGCTCCTCTGCGCTCTCGTGCAGCATGTAGTCCCGGCCGCGCGCCTAGCGCCCGTTCACCGGAGGCCCCGCGCGCGAGCCCTTCGCGCGGCGAACGCCGAGAACGCGCTCGGCGTCCTCTGGCGCGGCGGGCGGTGCCGCAGCGGCGTCTTGCGGGCCTACGGCGCCGCCGCCGGCGGCGCGCCGGCGGCGCAGGCGGCGGCCGCATTGGTGTGCGAAGTCTTCGACGCGTACGCGATCCGCGATCTGCGGCGGCGCGAGGCGGCGATCGCGCGCCGCGTCGACGCCGCGTTGGTGGCTGGCGGCGGCCAGCGTCTTGGGAGGCCGGTCGCGTGGGCACGCGCGTTCCGTGACGGCGCACGGCTCCTCGCGCTCGCCGGCCCCGGCGCCGCGCCGGAGGCAGACCCGGTCGCGGCGGCATTCTCCGCCTTCCGGCGGCGGCGCGTCCCGGTGCTCTGGGAAAATCCGCGCGCGTTCCGCGCGCGCGCCGACGACGACCTCGTCCTCGCGCAACTCGACTTGCTGGTCACCGAAGGAAGCGCGCCAAAGCCGGCGGCGGCCCCGAAACTCGAACCGGCGAAGCGCTCGCCGCCCGCGCCCGACGCCGCCGACGACCCCGAGGACGGCCAGTGGGAGCTCTTCCGCCACCGTCTCCTCGCGCGACGTGGGCCACGGAGCCGCCGCGGCGAGAACGCTAGGTTGCAATAAATATAGACGTCTCCAGAGCCCGTTTCTGACGAGTATTTGGACGTTCTAACGAAGGCGTTCCAACTTGAAGATGTCGGGTACAGTAGTATAGGGAAAATTGCGATAAATAGGGCGAAATACCCCCCGGGCCCCTATCCTATACCCTTCTATATACACTTACATTGATTCACACAACACGCCACGCGTAATAAACACCGTAAAACCAAAACTACTTAGTGTATTTTAAGGTAGCTCCGCGGCAGACTATCTCAGCCGCCGTACTCCCAAAGGTGCGTACTCCTTTGGTCTTAAGCAATTATTAAGTGGTCGAGTACTGTTAGCGACCGTTTCGAGTCGCCAAACGCACCCGGGCTGCCCGCAGCCCCGTCAAACTCAAGCGCCCCCACAGCGGGGCCCATACAGCAGAAATCCGCAGCGAAATCGCACCACTGGCAGAAATGGCTAATGGGTGACGTTCTACCTCGCGAGACTGAGAATACTGTGTAAGATACCTTACTGCTGTTTCGAAGCTCCGGTTGGGCATCCTGACCGAGCAGGGAGAAGGCTCTCAGGCTTAGGAGCTTGCAAACTATAGTACGGTGAATACACCTATTCTCCTTACTTACCTACTTACTTACCCTAGCCACGAAGAAGATCGCGTCTGTCAAATACGCTAGAAATCCGGTACGTTTCGACGCTTTCGTCTCCGGCGCGCGACCGTCGTTTGCGCAGGTTGGAAATACGCACGAGGACATCGACGCCTTGTTTGCTCTTGTCAGCAAGTATGTTGAGAAGAGGGACACCCTCGAGCCCGCTGCGTTCAAAGCGGCCGTGGAGGCGGCGTTCGCGAATTACGCGCTGCCTCAACAAAGTAACGTTCGAGCCGGACGCGAAGTGGTTGTACTGGACGTTCCCCGCGCCAGCGCTCAGCGCCGCCTGTACGGAGCGCCTCACGTGGCCTGCGTGGTCCCGCGCGTCGTCGTCCGACGACAACGCGTCGCCTTCGTGCGAGCGCGAGCTTTTCGAACTCGAGGAGCCCCGCCGCTTCTGCGAGCTAGACTCGCCCAACCCACTGCCTTCTTCTCGGGGTTTCTTTGCGAGATCGGCGATGGCTTGCAACAAGCGCGCCTCGGACTCGGCGCGTTCCTCGCGCACCGTCGCGATATCCGCCGTCAACTTCTGGACAACGTCCTCCAAAGCTAAACCCGCGCCATCCGTCGGCGGCGACGCGTCCGCGTCGCTCGCCTTGCGCTTTCTTGTGGGAGGCGGCGACTCGTCCGACTCGTCGTCCGAGCGCGGCTGCGCAGGCGCCCTGGCTTGATTGGCAGCGGTTGCAGCTGCCAGGGCGTCGTCGGCGGCCGACAGCGGCACCGGGGCAGCCGGCCCGGGCGCCGGCGCCTCCGGCGCATCCGCCGCGGCGGGCGGCGCGTCCACGACGGTCTCCGCGGCCATTTTGCGGGCCGTTTGGGCAGCGCTCGAATCGATTATGTGTTTCTAGTGTGTTTATTACTTTGGTCGAGTTTGACTTCAGGACGTGCCCCTCGTCTCTCCGGGAAGGGCGGAGGTTGAAGTCGAAGTTCCGATTGGGTTGCCATGACCTCCGGAGCTCGAGCTCCCGAATGCATCTTGTCCGTAACGCGCAGTGTCCCTGCTGCGAATCCCGCGAGTCGGAAACGATTCAACATACCTTACTTGAATGCTCGGCTTTTACGAAAGAACGTGACACGTTCCTTAAACGGTTCTACGAGATGCACCCTATCGCGCGTGGTTTGAGCCCCGAAGGTCTTTGCGACGTCCTAATGAGTGACGACTTACCTCACGAGACTGAGAATACTGGCGAATGCCATTGCATTTCGAGGCTCCGGTTGGGCATCCTGACCGAGCGGGGAGAAGCTCTCTGCGTTTGTTCCTTTTTTTCCTTTTCTTTAATTTGGCATTGTGTGTGTGTGTATGTCACGTCGTCTCAGGCCCGCCGCCCTGGGACAGATTAGGTGCGTCCGGGCCCCACAGTCCTGATGCAGTGCGATGATGCACGGCTCTAGAGTAGAGGCGGCTAGAATGCACGGTGGCATCTGGGTTGGTAAAGTGTGCTCGTGACATTAAGTCCTGTTGCTGGGCAATAAAATGTCGTTGAGAAGGCCCCAGCGGCAAAATCTGCGGCATACAGCTCCTGGATTGCCAACACAAGTTCACGATCGTAGTACTTGCAGTACATATTGAATTCGGCCGTGTGGTTGAGACCAGAGGTGATACTGGCGCCATTGGTGCGCTTTGAGAGATCTATGTCGTTAAGCCAGGCTCCAACACATCCGAGCTCAACAACAGCAGAGTAGTTGAAGCTCATGTAAGTGCACGTATCCACAATAGGCAGGAAATGCGGGTTACCTAGGGCAATGAATCCGGTCGAGATTCTCCGTCTTCGTAGCAGCTCGTGCGCTACTCGTCGAACCAGCGTGACATCGTTGGCGTCGAGACGCGCGGTTGTTCTGGATATCCCGAGAATTTTGCTGCCCTTGTGAATGACCGCCGAACAAAAACGAACAAATGGATTTCGAATAATCAGGACGTTAGTCGACATCGGTGGGGAAAGGGCAATTGGCTGTTGAAAGAAGCACCCTAGTGACGCAACTCCAAGCTGTGGCTTGAGCGCCCACATATTCGGCGCTGTCCTGCGAGTCCAGTTGCGTGCAATTTCCGTGACAGATGTGGAACCGCCCTTCATCGCAACGCATATGGTGTAATGACCCACCACACACTGGTGAGATCGGTCAGGTGTGTGCGGTTTCATGGGCGCGCAGGGCTGCGGCACGGAATGGCGTGCAATCAGTCGCGGGGCGCAAGCGTCCGACCAGAGTCGCGCCTGGATTGTTGCGACGTTGCTAGGAGATGTGTTCTGGCCTGCGCTCCCCTCGACTGGCACCCCAATGGCAGTGGCTGACCGGGCAGCAACGAGATAGCAGGCCAGCTTGAGGAACTCTCGCAACATCACGCCGCCCGGGACAAATTGGACAAAGAATTTTAAATCTTCACCTCGAGACGTTTTCAATATCGTTGCCGCGAAGCTGCGCAGCAATCGGGCACCACTGCCGCAGCTACGCAGCAGCCCTGTCCAAGAGGTACTAGATTAGCGTCGGGGGTCGTAGCATGCTCACCCTGGCGCTATCGACGGGCCGGCCGTGAAGCTCCCATCGACCGCCGTTTACGCTCGGTATCCATTGAACCCATTTAGTTCCGTTCCGATGCTAAAATAATGGGCTGTGCACAATTTGGTACCATGCGGGCAGCCTCGCGCAGAGCAAGCAGCTGCGACGCGGTGCGACCACTGCGATAAAACCCGAACCCCAAACCAAAAATCGCCCCTGAGACGTATAAATTGAACCATAATTACGGAAAAATTATTTCCTAGCGTTCCATATCTATATAGGGCTCTAAGGAAGGGAATTTCCGGCTTGTGCCTAGGCCGATTCCGGGCGCTTTAGACGTCTATCTTAAAGGACAAGTAGGTCGAGTGGGACCAAGTAACCAAGTAGGTCAGAGCGCGTCGGCGCGCGCGGCCTTGCGCCGCGCGCGCTTGCGGCGGCGCTTCGCCGCCTCTTTCTCCGCGACCCTCGCCTCCTCGCGCGCGGCCTGGTCGCGGCGCCACCGCTTCCGGCGGTCCGCCGTCACCTGGAACTCGCGGTCGCGATACGGCGCGAGGCGCTTCACCGACACCAGCCGATTCAGGTCCGCGTCGGGCGTCCGCAGGATCTCGTCCGTGGAGAGGCCGTAGTCGGCCGCGGGCACGGCGCGGTAGCGGAAGCCGCCCGGCGCGACGGCCTCGGCTTCGACGCCGACCGCGGCGGCCTCCTTGGCGGCCAGGCCCCGCAGGCATTTCAACTCGTTCTCCTTGCGCCGGCGGTCCGCGGCCTTGCGCTCGCGGCGCGCCTCGCGCTTCGCCCGGCGCCGGTCGTCGGTCCGGCGCAGCGAGCCGGGCGTGGCGCGCGCGTGCGTCGCGATCGCCGCCGGGCCGCTCTCGAAGCGGAAGTTGTACGCAGCTTCGAACGCGTCGGCGTCGTCGGCGTCGGCGGCATCGTCGGCGTCGCGCTCGGCCTCCGGCGACAGGGCGTCCGGCGCGGCCCAGCGCCGCCCCGCGACGAAGTCGGCGAGGAATGCGTCCTGGAGGGTGTCGCCGGCGGGCGCCGCGCGCAGCTCGTCCAGCGCGGCTCGGACGGGCGCGCGGTCGTCGGCCCCGCCACCCCCGGCCCTCTTGGGGTGGAAGAGGGCGCACTCATCAGCGTCGCCGGCCCCCGCCTCGACCATCGCCTGTCGCAGCGCGCGCTGCTCGGCGTCGTACGCGTGCGGGTGGCGCGGCGCGGCGCCGCCGGCGCCCGCGTCGGCGCCCGCGTCGCCCGCGGCGAGCCGCGCGCGCGCCAGGTCTTTGAAGGTCGTCGCCGCCCCCTCCGCAGCGCTGGCGCGCGCCCGCGCGCGCGGCGCGTCCGCGAAGAACGCCGTCGTGCCGTCGTAAACCGCGGCGTCCCTGCGGCGGATGGCCGCCATCGTCTTCAACACGTCCGCTTCCACGCGCGGCGTCAGCGCCGCGGCGCCGTCGTCGTCGCTGCTCTCCGAGTCCGACGACGAGGCGACGCCCGCGTCGAGCACGCCATCGCCGCCGGCCGCCCGCCTCGCGTCTAGGCGCTTTTGCTCCCTCGCGCTGTACGCCTTGGCGAAGGCCGCGTCGACCCGCAGCGCGTCGTCGTCGTCATCGCTGCTACTCTCATAACTGTTGTCTAGGGGCCGCGGCATGTTCAAATTAATGAATTGCACGTAGAGCTACAGCCGTGAAAACTACCAAGCTGGCTAGGCATCCCTAGTGTCTTACAGGCCGCTAGCACGCGGATTTCCTGGGAACGAGCCCTGGACGGGGCGGTAATCAGCCGTTTGTTCACCTGCCACGCGTTTCAGTTCGTCGACCGTTCGGCGCCGTTTCGCCCGAAGGCGCGGCCGCGACCATCCTGTATCATCAGGCGCTGCTCACCAAAATGTCTTTCCGAAGGAAGTACCACAGCGTGCCGCTGGGCCGGGACCAGTTTTACATCGACGTGCGCTACTCCAATTTGCGGCCGATCGGCGGCGGGTCCTACGGCGTCGTGTGCGCCGCGGACGACGCGACGACCGGGAGGCGCGTAGCCATCAAAAAGATAGCGAACGTCTTCGGCGACCTGGTGGACGCGAAACGAATCCTGCGGGAAATCAAGCTCCTGCGCCACTTCGGCAGCCACGAGAACATCGTGCAGGTGAAGGATCTGGTGACGGTGCCCCCGAACACGATCGACTTCCAGGACGTGTACATCGTCACCAATCTGATGGAGTCCGACCTCGATCGCATCATCACCTCGCGGCAGGCCCTGACGAACCAGCACCACCAGTACTTCCTCTACCAGATCCTGCGGGGCCTGAAGTACATCCACTCGGCGCACGTGCTGCACAGGGACCTGAAACCGTCGAACCTCCTCGTGAACGGCAACTGCGATCTGGCGATCTGCGATTTCGGACTGGCGCGCGGCGTCGACGACGACGCGGGCAAGCTCACCGAATACGTGGTGACGCGGTGGTACCGCGCGCCCGAGCTGCTCTGCGAGGCCAAGGACTACGGCCCGCCCATCGACGTCTGGTCCGTGGGATGCGTCTTCGCGGAGATGCTCCGCAGGAAACCCTTCTTCCGGGGCGACACGCCGCAGCACCAGCTAGAAACCATTGTCTCCGTCTTGGGGAGACCCTCCGAGAAGGCCTTGGGCGCGATCGAGCACCGCGCGGCGCGCGACGCCGTCGAGGCGGGCTGCACGAACGATGAATTGCACGAGTTCAAGTCGTACTTTCCGAGGGACGCCTCCCCTACCGCGCTCGACCTGCTGCAAAAGATGCTCGTGTTCGACCCTCACGAACGAGCCTCGGTGGAGCGGTGCCTGGAGCACCCCTACCTATCAGATCTGCACGGCCAGATGCCCGAGCCGCTCTGCGACGACGCCTTCGACTTCGAGTTCGAAAGGAGCGACGCGGCGGAGACCAAGAGCGGCGACGCGCTGCCGCGCGAGGAGCTCCAGTCTATGATGTTCGAGGAGATGGTCCAGCTCCAGCTCGTGATGGAGGACGGCTCGCAGGCGAAGGAGGAGGATTCCGCGGCGCCGGAAGCCAAGTGACTGGCCCGTCCTCCCCCTCTAGATATCCTCCGCCCGAATCGATGTAATTCCCGCTTTTTACTGGGCTCCCGACGACGAGACGACTTTTTCCCCCGACAGGCCGGCCTCCGCGTGCGCCAGAAAATACACGTACGACTCCTAGTATGATTAGCATCGATCGAGATAGATACCGCCGGCGGCCGGCGGGGCGCGCTGAGGTGAAAACTCCCCTAGATATATATCCGCAACGCCATAGCCCCCTATCGCCGGATCTATGGCTACATTACTCTCGCCTATCAGCACGCTACATCAGCCGGCACGTGCCCGGGGCTGATATTTCCCTATATCCCGTATCTTCTTACTTATCCAAGCGGATCAAGCCCGGCGCTAAATAGGCGCCGTAAAAACACCGGGGTGAACCTAAAGTAAGTTCACTTCACTGGGGGGAACAGCGGGAAACGACCCTACAAAGCCCAAGTGAGGCTAACCCCATAAGTAACCGACATGTCTAGCAACCTAGATAACCATAAGTCGAGCGTGAGGGACATAGCGAAGCTATTCGCGGAAGAAAAGCGGCTCGGCACGAAAGCAGCCGACTTGGTAAACGGAACAGCATCACTGTAAAACACTCTACGTCAATAGGCAGAACCCTGTGGGCCCATAACCTGGCAAGAGTATGTCGCAGCGTTATGTAAGTAGCAGGGTCCTAGCTAACCAGCTTGGAGCTGATAGGCCTGACTGCGAGAGTGTTTTATAGTGAACTGTTGTTACACCGTAGTGCTTTTGACACTCGATGTATAGACTCAAATATTAGAGAGTGGGAGATACATATCTAGGGTAGGAAGGGCTAGTAGGTTTCTCTCTCTAGGTACCTACCGTAGGTACCGTAGGTACCTACGGTACGGTACCTACGGTACGGTACTAAATAGCTCGTACATTAGAGTCAGACGAGGCAGAGCAGCATAAATATTGACCAATACGAGACTGTGCGAGGAAGCAATGGCGTCGCTCTCGACAACATACGCCAGGTGGGACCGTTTTGCCGCCGACAGCGACGACGGCGCGGAGCCGGCGGCGCCCGTGCCCGTCGCACCGGTGGCGTCGGCACCCGCGCTCGACGACGACGCGTCGGCGCCGACAGACGACCTCGACCCGGACGTCGCGCGCGGCCTCGACGCGCTGCGGGAGGCGGAGCCCGGCGTCTGCGCGAGTTTCCTGGACGAGCTTGCGACGCAACTCCACAACGCGCCGCTCCGCAAGCGCGCGGCGGTCGACCGCGGCGCGCTACAGGCCGTCGTGGACGTGATGCGTCGTCACGCGGCTCACGCGGACGTGCAAACCAAGGGGGCGCGCGCGCTGCGAGCGCTGTGCTTCAACAACGCGCTCGGGCGTGCGGCCGCTCCCGCCGCCGGCGCGATCCGCGTCCTCGCGGACGCGCTGAACGCGCACGTCGCCGCCGAGGCGCGGGAGGAGGCCGTCTGGGCGCTCGTGGTCATCTGCGCCGACGACGAGGCGAACCTGAAGTGGTGCAGCCGCCTCTGCGCCGACCCGCTGCGCCGTGTCCGGAGCGACGTCGCGGCCTCGCCGCGCGCGTCGGCGATGGCGGCGTTCCTCTGCGAGAAGATAAAAGAGTGGCGGACGGGTGGCAACCGGTAACGGATCGGAGAACTACTACCCCTGGTCGGTTTGGTTGGTGGGTGTCATTTTCTTCTCTGGTTGTGGCTTTCGAGGTGGTGGCGCTCCTCCTACGGTGGGGCGGGGGTGTCGCCATCTCGCCTTTATCGGCAGCCTAGTCAGTCGGCCGGAGGAGCTCGCCGCCGGAAATCCTTGCTCCGTGCCATAGCTGGAGTGCTGCTCTTGGGAAGCCTGGCGAAAGGCGCTGTGATGTACTTTTTTCCCGCCCTCGCCGTTTTTAGTTGCTTAGTTTATGCAAGTTTAGTTGGTTCCAGTTCGAAGGTTCGAAGGAGCTAGGCAACCAGAGGCTGTGGCTTAGCCACCACGACGCCTCCCCGCGTGACCGTTTCGTTGAACCGTTCGCCCGGCCCGCCCAGCCCTCATACGCCGTCGCGGCGTCGGCGTCGCCCCCTCTCATTTATTTCTTCATTTGCTTTGCTTAGAGCTCGGCCGCCTTGCACCAAGCCGACGCGGGGTCTGCGTGACCGAACGCCCCCGGCCCCCGTACACCGTCGGCCCGAGTGTTCGCTCGGAGGCGACGATGGCGATTGTTTACTAATTTATCTACCTTTCATTCATTTATTTGAATAAGGAAGACCTACTACGTCTTACTGAGTAGTAGGCTACAATAAGGTTCAAATTATCAGACCATCCGTCCACTCGAAACAGTCGATGGCGCTTTCGTTCGCCGAAAGCCTGAGTAGCACAGCTGAGGCCCACGGCTCGCCCCTAGACGCCATCTCACTACCTGTCCAGTTCTTAAAGCCGAAGAGCGCATCAGATTGCTTAATTATCAAAACAGTTATATTGTAGAGGTGACAAATTTATCTCGTCTACCCAACCTCATTTTTCTTGATCTATATAACAATCGCATCGAAAAACTATCTCGTGATCTTGAGTGTGTACCAACGCTTAGGGTGTTGATGCTCGGCAAAAATCGTATAAAGCACATCTCAAACCTTAGTAAGCTGATAAAGCTTGATGTGCTAGACCTTCATTCGAATACCATCGCAAAAGTCGAGCAACTTGATGCCTTATCGGAGTTGCGGGTATTGAACCTTGCCGGCAATAAGCTAACAGAGCTAGACGGGCTCAGCGGTTTGCAGTCTCTAACTGAACTCAATGTTCGGCGTAACTATATAGATAAGATTGGGTCCCTGCAACAGGTCCAATCGCTTCAGCGCCTCTTCTTGAGCAACAATAAAATCCACTCGTTAGACGCAATTGATTGCTTCTTTCATTTACGACACTTGATGGAGCTAAGCCTGGACGGCAATCCAATTGCGTTGAAAGACCCTACTGCCTATCGGCGATTTGCTGTTGATCGCCTGAAGACTTTGCGTCATCTTGATCTGAAAAAGATTACGGATGCGGAAAGTCGTGCTGTGGCAGTTCACTCTCAAAGAATGAATGCGCAAAAACGAGCCGCAGAGCGGCACGAATTAGTTGATATTGAGCGAAAAAAGCTCGAGGCAGACCACTGCGCCGCGTCGACGAATGCATCGCGACTGCTTGCTGCGCAGAGGCTGCAGTGAGGGCTGGTGCTGTGCGCTGTGTAGCGCGCTCACGGCTCTCGTCCCGTTTCGCAGCAATACTGAGATGTCAAATATAATTTCTGCGCGCAATGGTTGCATGGTAGTGGAGCGCCCGCGCAAAGTGGCTTGCTTGCTTGCTTGCTTGCTAGTGTCTGTCTTACGCTAGCCCGCGCGGGCCCACAGAAGCCGTCGAGGAGTCCAAGAGTAAGTGCTGCGGCGGTAGAACAGATCCCGCTGCCCTTGCGGCTTTGCGGCCAGATTAGCCAAATCTGCTCCGCGGCGCCCTCCCGGGCCGTGTTCTCCCGCATACGTGCTTTTTAGTGGGCCGCAAGCGATTCGTGACAGGCCCACGATCGCCCGCATCCACTGCCCCAGCAACGGTGGTCACGCCGTCGCGACATCATCATCATTAGCCTCAGCTGCCAAGCTGGGCCCACCGACGCCGCGACGCCGGCGGTGGACCGGGCGCTGGCGGCCGCGTGCCGCCGGACGGCCCGTCTCTGCTTCGCGGACGCCCGAAGCGACATGAATTATGGTCCCGGCGCCTTCGAGGGGTCGTTCATGCGGTGGGGCGGCTGGGTCGTCCAGGACGGCACCCAGCCGTCTCTCATAGACGAGGGCGGGCGCCGCCGCCTCGCCGCCCCGGGCGACTCGCCGCGTGGCCGCCTCGCCGCCCCCGTGGCGTCGATGCGACGACCCCGCGACCCGGCGACGCGACCACGGCCTGGTAGTACCCCTAGTCCTTTTAGTATGCTAACCCCCGTGGCGGCCCCGATCTCGTCCCCGGCTTGCTCCTGCCTCTTCGGCAACGCATGCCTCCCGCATGCGCAGTGCACGTCGAACGAGCGCGGCCACGTGGGGCGCCGTCACGTTGGGTGCGGTGTCGCGGACAACGGCGCGGCCTGTGCGGAACCCAAAGTTCGACACGTCCTCTGGGGAGAACACGATCGAGTTCGAGGTTGATTTCGCACGGCCCGCGACAGCGCTGGACGTTGGTGCACGCCGCGACGCTGCTGGCCGTCTGGCGGCGGTCGCTGCCGTAGCGGACCGGCGCGTCCAGCGCCGGGCACGACTCCGAGTAGAGGGGGAGCCACATGTGGCCCGAGTTCCACGCGAGGGCCGCGAACATCGAGAGGAGGAAGCCGCAGGCGGTCGCTTCGAGGACGACGGCGCATTTGGGCAGAAATGGCACGTTCGCGAGGGCCGCGCCGTGGGGCGCCACGAGGACGTCCACGGCGCGCATCATCGCGAATTGGCGCGCGGGGGAGGGCGCGCGCCTGGGAAAGGCGACCTCCGCGACGCCCAGGTCCGGCAGGAGGGCGCGAAGCTCGGCCGGGAGTCCGGGCGGCAGGCGGCGCGGCGGGTCCCGCGCGAGGATGCCGACGCAGCCCCCCCCGGCGCCGCAGAGGTCCGCGGTGGCGGGGAGGGCCGCGTCGAGGGCCGCGCGGAGGTCTTCGGCGTGCCCAGGGTCCAGGAAGTACTCCTCCGGGAGCGAGCTCGGGCTGCCGAAGTTGTGCGGACTGAAGACCGCGTCGACGATTTTATACGTCGCGCTCGGGCCCCAGCCCGCGTTGGCCGCGAACGCGGCGACGCCCGCGTGCCAGCCGACCCCCGAGGCCGCCTTCACCAGCGTCGTCCAGTCGCGGCCGAGGGCGCAGGCCGGGCAGCCGTCGCTGGCGCCGCAGCAACTCCCGCCGCCGATGTGGTGCCGCGCGGGCAGGACGACGTCGTCCACCTTGGGGCAGCGCGGGTCGTCGCGCCGGGCGCACCGCGCCAGCGAGTACCCGAAGTAGAGGCCTCGCGTGGCCGCGTGCGCTACGTTGTTCTTGGGCGGTTGGAGCTCGTCCTGGGCCCAGAAGATCTGCCGCCCGCCAGCCCGGACGGCGGACCGCGGCACGTCCGCGAATTTGAGCTCGGGCGCTCGCGGGAGGAAGCCGTAGCACGCCTGGCGCCGCTGCGCGGCGACGTCCTTACTGTTCTCGATCCGATCGCGCCAGCCGAGCATGTCCCGCGCAGTGGCTCGCCATGCGGCCTCGGCGGCCGCGGGGCTCGCGAAGAGCGTCCCGTTCGCGTACGCGAGGTTCGTGAGCCTGCAGAACGGCCGCGTCCGCGCGCGGTCGCCGCGGCCGCGATTCGCGTTGAGCTCCGCGAAGAGCGGGAGGTCCTCGACCCGGCCGCGCCAGCCCTTCATCGAATTCGCGAAGCGCCACGCCGTCGCGTTGGTAGGCGCGCGGCGGTAGCACTCGTAGCCCGACTCGAGGAGGCCGCGGTCGGGAGGCGGCCCGGCAGGCGCAGGACCCAGGGGGGTGCCCGTGGCCCAGGCGCGGACCGCCGGTCCGCGCGAGCTTCGGAGGAGCGACGTCCCGAGCGCCTCGAAGCCGTCCCCATTCGCCGAGGTGACGTTGTAGCCGAACGCAGCCTCGAGGCCGGCGGCGGCCGTGCCTGCGTTGGCGAGTCTCAATGTTGAATTGCTTCCTGTCGCCGGGGCGCGCGCACGGCGCCGGCGCACGCGGCGGCGGCGAGGCAGTCGCGGACCGCCGGCGCGTAGTCCCGGCCGTCGTGGTCCGAGAACTGCCACAGCAGCGCCCGCGTCGGCCGGCCTCGGAGCGAAAGGCGCCGCGAGGTCGCGAGGCCGAGGCCGCCTCGGAGCGAAAGGCGCCGCGAGGTCGCGAGGCCGAGGTCCGCGGCGACCGACGCGAGGACTTCGGCCCCTCGCGAGACGAGGTCCTCGTATCGCGCGACCACCGCCACCAGCGGGCCCTCCAGGAGTGCGCGAATGGCGCTCCGCACGAGGCGAGCCCAGGTGCCGACGACGCACGTCGGGTCGGGCGCGGCGCAGTGGCGCGCGTGGTGCCAGAAGAGCGGGTGCCGCGCGACGAGGACGACCGCGGCCTCGCGCTGCGCGGGAAAGAGCGCGGCCAACGCGCGCACGGCCAGGTCCGGCGTCTTCTCGAGCTTGGCGGCGTTTGGCGCGCCGCGCCAGTGCGGCGCCCACTCCGCGCAGAGCCGGGCGCGCAGCTCCCCGGTCCGGCCCCGCCACTCGTCCACCAGCGCGTCGCACGTCGCGATCGACCCGCCGCACCGCCGCGCGGTGCGCTTCTTGATGGTCGGAAAGACCGTCTGCGCGTACTGGCCCTCGCTCTGGTGCTCCGGGTGGCGCGGGTCTACGCCGGCCAGCGCGTCGACGCCGCGGAGTTGGCCCAGCAGTTTCGCGGCCAGGCCGGTCCCCGTGCCGCCGAAGCCCCGCACGAACACGAAGCGCGGCGCCGCGGCGCCGGGCACGGACGCGTTGCACGGCACGACGCCCGCGGCGCGCGCGGCGGCGGCCGCGGCCAGAAGCCGGCCCACGGCACGGGCACCCATAATAGGAAGGGCCCCGCGGCGTCGACGCGGCCGCTCCGCGGCGTCGACGCGACCGCTCCGCGGCGTCGACGCGACTGCTCCGCGGCGTCGACGCAACCGCGCGTCGACGCGACCGCTCCGCAAAGCACAGCGCCCTTCTAACGCGGCGGCGCCACCTTTTTACGCCGCGACCTAGCCGCGGCCAGACTCCCCCACCCGGGCAGCCCCTTATCGCGTCGCAGCGATCGGTTCCGCGGCGCGGCGTCGTCGCGTTCGCTCCGCGATGTCGGTGCGATCGCTCCGCGGCGACTGAGCTGAGAGTGTGTTACGCTGCCCCCACATGGGGCCACGCCCTGCGAAATGGGCTGCCTCGCCCGCGCCGCCGCAATCGCGTCGCTCCTGCGCGCGCGCGCGTGGCCGGCCGACGGCGCTCGCGCGGGCGGCGGCGGCGGACGCGTGGATCGAGGCGGCCGTGCGCGGCCGGCCGCGGTCGCCGCCGCCCGCGGGCTGGCGCGTGCGCGCGGCCGCGGACCTCGCGGGCCCCGGCGCGCCGCTGCGGACGCCGGGGAACGAGTCTATTGTATCGTTGGAGAAGTACGTGAACGCGTCGACGCTCGTGCTCGACGGCCGCCGGACCGCGGTCGTCGTCAAGGCGACGCGCTTTGCGCGGGGATTCGCGCTGGGATCCGCGTCGCCCGTCGGGGGGCGCCGCGCACGCGGAGCTGCTCTACCTCGAATACCTCCGCGGCGCGTACGGCGTCCCGGCGCTCCACGGCGCCTGGGTCGAGAACGCCGCGCTCCACTACGTCGTGGCCCGCGCGGGCCACGCGCTGTCCCGGGCCCACGCGAGGCTGTACCGCACGCGGACGAACATGGCCCGCGCGTACGACGCCTTCGCCGCGCGAGACGCGGCGGAACCGGTGGTACAAGCACCAGCAAATGGCCTGGGTCTTCGCCGCGAACGATGAACCGTGCTCGACGGACGAGGAGTGCAAGCGCACGCTTGTCCGGAAAGCCAATATCACGACATCGCGGTCGCGTTGAATATCATTTATCGGCGCCTGCTCGGCGTGGAAGCGAAAACGGCTTCGGTCGCCGTCTGGCACGAACTGGGCGTCGCGTCCGTCGGAACTCGTATAAACGCCGCGGCGTTGAAATTCCGCAACAGCATCTTGTCGTTGGACCCTCAGGATTTCCTCGTTCGCCGCGTATACGACGGCCTGATGAATGATTCTAAAGGTCGCGGATCGTCGAAGAACGGAGCTTTGTTCCTTGAAAATCTGGCGTTAGAAGCGAATTGGCCCGGGCCTCTGAAAAAACCGGCCGCGAAAAAGTTCGTCAATGAATTCGTCGCATCGCGCCGAGTTTCCGAGCTCGCCGATGGCTTCAAGGAAATGTCGACTCTCCGCAACATGAGCAATTGGGTCGAGAAGGAACGTTTCGGCTTGCCGGAATATTTACTCAGAACGTGCCCCGGGTCTCTTCGGGAAGGGCGGAGATTGAAGACGAAGTTCCGATTGGGTTGCCACGACCTCCGGAGTTCGAGCAGCCGAACGCAGCTTGTTCGTAACGCGCAATGCCCTTGTTGCGAATCTCGTGAATCGGAAACGATCCAACACACGTTATTTGAATGCGAGGCCTTTGAGGAAGAACGGGAGGCATTTCTTGCGAGATTATACTCGGTTTGCCCCCCGGCACGGCAATTGACCGATGAGGGCCGATGTCGCTTGGTCATGGGGGACGAGTTACCCCGGGAGATCGAAAATCCGTTGTATAGATACCTTATTGCTATTTCGCGGCTCCGGTTGGGCATCCTGACCGAGCAGGGAGAAGGCTCCTAGGAGCTTGTTCCTTTCTTAGGTCTTCCTTAATTTATTTATTTATTTATTTATTTATTTATTTACTGGTCTATGACTCTCCCGGCGGTTTCTCGGACGTTTAGCGGCGGCTGGGGACGGCCCGGCAAAAACCGCCTGGCCTCCGCGCCGACGATGTCAGCGGAGACGCCTGCGTCCGCGAACCTCGCGGCGCCGGGCTCTTCCGCGCCGAGGAGCGCGTTCGTGGTCGCGGCGCCGAAGCACGCGTGGCGTAGCGCGTGCTCGTTTCGCAGCGCCTGCTCGACGCGAGGGTGGAGTGGGTGCACGGGTGGCGGCGGCGGCGCGGGCGTGGCCGGCGGGACGCCGCTGAGCAGATCGAGGGGCGGCGCCCGGGGCGACGGCGGCGCGGCACCGGACGCTACCAGGCGGTCCAGCTCAGAGCGGAGCTCGGCGCGGTTCCGCGCGCGGTCGCGCGATCGATCTCGCGGCGGCGGCGGCGCGCCCGCCTCCGTGAGCAGCGGGTTCGCGGTGCGCGCGCCGCCACGGGGCGCTGGCCCTACCGGTACTTCGCGCAGTTCGACCCGCGCGTGGCGATTCGCGGCCGCGACGCGCGCAGTGAGCGACGGACCTTCCGTCGCGGCGCCCGCGTCGACTGCGGCGCGGGCCCGCGCGTCGGCGGCGGCCGCGCGCGCGCGGCGCGACAGCTCGTCGTACCGCGCGTCGTCCGCGTCGAGGTCCCGCGCCTTGTCACATATCCCCGCCTCGTAGCCGAGGAAACGCCGGAGCGCAACAACGCAGCAACACATCGACGGATCACAACGAGGTACAGGTACGGTCGGGCCGGCACGATGTCTCAGTTTCCAATTGCACGTGAACTATCCAGAGATGGATGTCGTGTCAGCAAGAGTAAATATGGGGCGTGGCGGTCGCCATGACCCCGCGTCGGCTCCGTATTCGAAGTCATGGGACTGCCGTCTCGGTACCACGGTACCTACGGTACCACGGTACTCGTAGGTACCGTATAGCAAGAGTACCTACGGTATGTCGCAGCGTTATGTATACAGCGATTGTGCTATGATACTGTAGTTACCTTTATCTAGAGCTCCTCTCAGGTTCTAGTAGATATCAGAGGCTAGTGGCCTGTATCTTAGGATACTTCCTTCAAGAAGTTCTCCCTCTTAATCTCCTTTATTCCAACTCTGTATTCTCAGGGTTGAGGGGGTTCCCACACTCTCACGTTTCAGTGAGAGTTCTTCCTGTTGGCATCTCCGTGTCACATTGACACCCGAGAGACCTAGCTACAACAGCTGCATTGTGCACTTGCTGCACCCAGCTCATTAGACACCAGCACATAGGGTAGGAACAGCCCCTTATGAAAATCATCTACAATTAGAACCTTGACAACGACAACCAGACCCAATTCTGGATCATCACCGTACCGTAGGTACCTACGGTACCGCAGTAGGAGTCCTAGTATGTCTAGCACAAGCACGTGTGTTTGCACCTGGCGCAAGCTCTAGGTCGCTCCACGGAGCGCGTCGCGGGTATTTTTGAAATGGGGTAAATCGGGAAAATGCTGGCATTTGTAAGGCTAGGTTATATTTCTTTCAAGTTCGCACAGAAAACTGAAACTGACGAGCTCCTTACTATACAAGCAACGCCCCGCGCGGGGACACTAGAGCGCGATGGCGTCGTAGAGCGGCAGGTCGCCCCTGTCGGCGAACGTGTCGAGGTACGCGCGGACCTTCGGCGGGAACACGAGGCCTTTGACGATGGTGAGCGACCGCAGGCGCGACCAGAGGTCGATGTCGTCCAGCGACACGCCGCCCTCGGTCGCGCAGTCGGGGCAGTGGATGAGGGGTTCGAGGTCCTGCAGCTTCTGGTTCACCTCGGCGATCAGCTCGGCGTCCCGCGACTGGTCGTTGTACATGGCCCAGCGCTCATCCATAGTGAACTCGTCCGAGCGCCAGTTGGCCTTCTCTCGTAGGGGGGCAGCTGGTGGTTCTTCACGAAGGTGTCGCGCGAGCTCCCGGTGACGAACTCCGGCAGGTAGGTCTTCACGTACCGCGGCCGCTGCAGCAGCCGCAAAGGCGTCTGCACGGACTTCTGCCACGCCTTGAGGTCCGTGCGGTCCGACAGCGGTCGGAAGGCGCCGGGCGTGCCGTACGCGGGGTCCGCGTCGACGTTGCGCACGATGTCCAGCGACTCCGCGTACGGGGCGCTGTTGCCGTCGTCGAAGATGGGCGCGATCTTCTTGCCCACGAGCGACGTCGGGAGGTCCACGTCGTCGTTCGCCATGAAGCGCACGTCGTGCTTGATGCCCTTGAGGCCGAAGGCCAGCCGCGCCCGCACGCAAAAGGGGCAGTGGTCGTAGACGTACAGCGTCGGCCTGGCGGGCGCGAGCGCGCTGGCTAGCGCATTGCTGCTCACAAAGAGGGTTGCGACACGAGCCAGCATTTTTGGTGCACGCCCACAGGTTTGGGATGCAAGATTGCTGTGAGGTGTCGTCTCGACGCTTGTAGCTAAGCCGGCTTGGGGGGGGGGCATCGGATTTCGAAAGATTTGAGATTGGTGCCTAATGCCCTCGGCGGAACTCCCAAATCCGCTTGTTTACAGTTCTACTACGAGTAGAGTAGAATAATATTGACTTCGAGTCGGAGCTAGCTGACGCGTGGTATGATGGGCCCCCGGGCCAGGCCTTTGCAGTGCAGGACTATGCGCGGTTCAGCCTCCCTAGCGGTTTATTCTACATACCCGCAGTAGGTACCCTGCAGATATTTATATCCACCCTGACAGTGTCCCGATCAACCATAAGAATAGGAAAACTTAAATTATATTATGATAGTTTGTCCTGGATAACTAAAGTCAATTCGGGTTTGGGGGCACGCGCCTATAGGGAGTTCTAGGCATCGAGAGTTCTAGGCGTCCGAAAGTGTCACGGTCGTTCGAGGGGGGAAATAGCTATAGTCAATATTCGGGTTGCGGGGGCGCGCGCCTAGAGGGTTGTCGGGGGAGCTATCCCCCGCGAGCGTGTACGTAAGCTTGCTGCCGGTCGTAGAAGCGTGCGTCGTCGTCGCCGTGCCCGGGCGCGTTGGTGAAGTCCGGGTTCCCGCCGACGAGCCGGAGGCCGTCGATCTTGATCCGGGCGTACTCGCGTGCCGTCTTGATGCCCCAGCGACGGTAAAGGCGGTTCTTGGGCAGGGCCGCGTGCTCCTGCGAAATCTCCTGCGAAGCACCCGCCTGCGGGTTTACTAGTAGGTTCCTTGCATGTACCCCGCACGTAACGGACCCCGCACGCGGGTGCCTCCGAAGTACTAATTATCTTTAAACGGGTTTTACGAGACGCGATCGGCCGCGCCGCGGGCGCCGTCGCAAAGGCCCATTAGAGAAGCTAATACTCTAGCCATGGCCCCCAAGAAGAGCACGTATGCGCCTGCGAACTACGGCTCGGTCGCCGAGGCGCTGGTGGGCCTGTACGGCGAGAAGGTGCGCGGGGCGGAGCAGCAAATGCTCTTCGACCGGTTTACGACGTCTCTCCTGTCGGACGCGGAACTCTTGGCGAAACCCATGGTCCTGCTGCTTGGTCAGTACTCGGCGGGCAAGACGACGTTCATCCGCTACCTCGCGGGGCGCGACTTTCCAGGCATCCACATCGGCCCCGAGCCGACGACGGACGGCTTCGCCGCGTTGATGGACGGCACGAGCCCGACGCCCATCCCGGGCAACGCCGCGACGGCCGACAAGCGACGGCCATTCCGAGCGCTCAGCCGCCACGGCGCCGCGTTCCTCAACAAATTCTGCATCTCCGAGCTGAGGTGCGACCTCACGAAGGAACTCACGCTCATCGACACGCCCGGCATCCTGGCCGGCTCCAAGCAGACCATGGGCCGGAACTACGACTTCGCCGAGATCGTGAAGTGGTTCGCCGAGCGCAGTGATCTGATTCTGCTCCTCTTCGACGCGCACAAGATCGACATATCGGACGAGCTCAAGACGGTCATCGAGTCCCTCCACCAGCACGACGAGAAGATGAGACTGGTGTTAAACAAGGCCGACGCCCTCACGACGGAGGAGATCATGCACGTCTACGGGGGCACGATGTGGTTCCTCGGCAAGGTGTTCAAGACGCCGGAGGTCAAGCGGAGCTACATGTCGTCGTTCTGGGACAAGCCGCTGCGAAACCCGGAGCTCGAGCGGTTCATGTCCGAGGAGCGCGAGCGGCTGCTGGCCGACCTGTACGCGCTGCCCGCCGGCGCGCGGACGCGCAAGGTGAACGAGTTCATCAAGCGCGTGCGCAAGGGCCGGGCCCACTGCCTCGTGTTCAATCCTGTGTGGAAATCAAATTTCGGACGCCCCACGCCATCGACGCGATGTTGTCTCCGTAGCTGCATCTGCTCGATGGCGTGGCAATTCCACGCCATTGGCGCGACGTTTTCCTCGCGACCGTGTCGGCTCGATGGCGTGGGGGCTCACGAAGGTCCACACAACATTTCTCAGGATAACCTAACTCACTGGTTGATTTCCACACAGGTTCAATCACCTCCGGAGGTCGATGCCGTCGATGATGGGCAAGGCCAAGGCCAAGGAGCGGTTGCTGAGCACGCTCCCGGACGAGTTCCGCAAGGTCGCGCAGCAGGCCAACGTCCCCCTGAACGACTTCCCGAACCCCTACGAGTACGCGCAGACGCTCGCCACGTACGACCTGTCGAAGCTGCCGAAGGCGTCCAAGGAAACCCTGCAGCTCTACGAGGACGTCATCGAGCGGGACCTCCCCGGCATCATGCAGCACTTCACCTCGACGCCGGGCGCGCCGCCGCCGTCGGCGTCCTCGCTGCAACCCGACGGCGAGCTGCGCGGCTGGCTCCACAAGCAGGCCACGTCGGGCAAGTGGCAGCGGCGCTACTTCGCGCTGCGGGAGGGCACGCTTGAGTACTACCGGCGGCCGGAGGAGCCGAAGCCGTCCGGCGCCGCGTGGAAATCAAATTTCGGGCGCCCCACGCCATGGACGCGACGTTGTCTCCGTAGCTGCGTCTGCTCGATGGCGTGGAGTTTTCAGGCCATGGACGCGACGTTGTCGCCCGTGACGGCGTCGGTTCGATGGCGTGGAGGTTCACGAAGGTCCACGCAATATTTCTCAGGATAACCTAACTCACTGGTTGATTTCCACACAGGTCCGGCGCGCTGGACCTCGCGGGGTGCCGCGCCAAGCCGAGGCCCGAGTCGGACCGGCCGTTCACCATTCGGATCGAGACACGCGAGCGGCCCTACCACCTCGCGGCCGCCTCGGGCGACGAGATGTCCGAGTGGTTGCTGTGCCTGCAGCACCACTGTTCGCGGGGCGAGTCTGGCTAGGTGGCCTAGGTAGCTAGGACGGGTATATTGCGCGTTGCGAACACGTTGCATGCGACACTGGCACGAGCTTCGGGCATCATGATCGAGGTCGACCGTGAGTCGTCGTGAGTCCGTGACTCGGAGAAGCTCTCGGAGAGCAGTAGGTCGAGTGGCCCCTGAGTGTGGCGATTACAGTTCCGAGTCGTGATGTCACTGACTCGGATGACTCCTTGCTCGAAAACTTGAATCATGATGGTGTAAAAGTCCATTTAGGCTGGCACAACTTATTCATATTCATCGCGATCGGCATGTGAAGGGGGTGGGACCATACGGCAGTTGCGGGTCACATGACGCCGCAGACCCCCGACAGGCGGCTCTTGCGCGCGGCGGCCCGTGCGGCAGCCTTCTCGGCGGCGAGCCGCGCGGCGCGGTTGCGGCGCGCCGTCAGGCGTGCGGGATGCGTGTCCGTGGATGCGCGCGGCGGCGGCGGCGGCCGGCGGGAAAGTTTGAGGCGCATCGCGGCACGGCGCCGCAGCGCGTCGTCCGCGGCGGCGGCCGCGGCAGCGACGAGGTCCTCGAGGACCGCATCCATGGCGCGCCGCGCGGCGAGCCCCGCCGCCCGCGCCCCGTCTGGACCGGGCGGCAGCGGCGGCCGGCGCACCGTCGCAAAGCGCGCAGCGCGGTCGCCCCGCGCGGCCGCGCGGCGCTCGTGGCGCGCGCGCGCGCGGTCGAAGCGGTCGCCGCGACCGGACCGGCGCGGTGCGACGACCGGCGCGGCGCCCCCCGCGTCAACGTCCGGCGACGGCGGCACGTTCGCCGCGGGCGCGCCCGCGGCGCCGTCCGACGTCTGCGCCGCCTCGCACGCGGGGCACGCCGCCCGCCCGAGGCATGCCGCGCGCACCTCAGCGCGGTAGTCGGGGTGGTTCAGCCCCGCGCCGCACGCGAGCCAGACCCGCGCCGTCGACGAGGCGAGGCACCGCTCGGGCGGCGGCACGCTCGGCGCGTTCCGTGTCGCCGCGCGCCACGCCGTGGCGACGCCGGGCGCGCGCGTCGCGACACAGTTCGTGACCGACACCTGCAGGCCGCGGCAGCAGGGACACGCCTGGGAGACGCCGCGCGCGAACACCGTCCGCGGCGCCTCGACCCACTCGTGGTCGGGCCCGCGGAAGCACTTGAAGACGCGGTACGAGCCCCTCAAGTCCAGGACCGCATTCTTCGTCGGGTGGAGCATGCCGCGAAGCCACCGCGCGGCGTCGCCGTCCAGAGCCCGCGCCGCGGGCGGCGGCGGCGGCGCGACCCGAGCGGCCCCGGCCTCTGCCTTCGTTGGCGGCGGCGGCGGCGGCGGCGGCGGCGGCGGCGCGCCGAGCGCCTCCGCCGCGCGACAGCGCGCGTCGTGCGCCGCGCGCTCGAGCGCAGCGAGCCGCTCGCGCCACGGCCGCTCGGCCGAGACCAGCCAGCCGCCGACGGCCTGTGCGGCGTTCCCCGAGGACCGCGCGGCGGTGGCAGCCGGTGGCAGCGCCGTGGCTGCGGGCGACGCGGGCGCGGCGGCCGGTGGTGGTTCGGCGCCGGCGGCCGGCGGCGCGGGCGCGGCGGCCGACGGTGATTCGGCGCCGGCGGCGGGCGGTGGCGCGGTCGCGGTAGGCGACGGCGACTCGAGGACACGGGCCGGCGGCGCGGTCGCGGCGGATGGCTCGGGATCGGCGGTCGGCGCATCGAAGTCCAGCAGGGCGCGAAGGCGCCGCGCGGTGGCCGCGTGGCGCGGTGCGTCCGACGCGGTCGCTCCGCCGCGTCCGTCGCCTAACGCGGTCGCCCAAAACGCTCCCTCGTCGGGGTTTGGCGCGGCGGCGCCGGTTGCCCTGTCTCGCTGCGCGCCGCCCGCTTCGGTCACATCGTCGCGCCCGCCCCAGCCGTCGTCGATGGCCGCGGCGGCGCGCCCCCAGTCTCCGTCGTTATCCGGCGCCGTGGCGACGACCTCCATCGCCGGGCAGCCCGGAGGGGCCACTCGTGATTCTTAGGAGTAGGGCGCTCTCGACAGCAGCATGATTGAAATGCACAGGACCGTCTCGAAAGCCGATGAAAAAACGGCTTCTGAAACCCGTTTTACAGTTGGAAAGCCAATGTCGCTATAGATAGTCGCTATCAAGAACCGCCTCTACCGTCGCTGGGGCATCAAGACGGCCGTCGCTGGGGCATCAAGACGGCGCACGAGTACGCCCGGATCAAGATCGACGGCCTCCGGCTCGTCGGCGGCAACCCGGACTTCACCAACGCCGCAACGCGCCCGGGCACGGCGACGACGACGCACGCTTCTACGACCGGCAGCAACTTGAAGCTTACGTACACGCTCGCGGGGGATAGCTCCCCCGACACCTCCCTAGGGCGTGCCCCCAAAACCCAAAACCCGATTTGACTATAGTTATTTCGCGAGTGTCGCTATCTGTATATAGAAAGACGACTCGTTGTGCTCTGGCACAACGGACCCCGGGAAATATATAATGCCCGATTTTTTTTTCTCTACGCGCGCCGATATAGCGTCATGTTAACTATGTTAACTAGCTCCCGGAAACCCGTTTTGTAAATCTCAGCAAACGTCCGAAGCTAGTCCGAGGAGATACCGTCCCCGGGGCGCGGCTTCCGGCTTCCAGGCTTCGGCCGGAAATCTGAGCTAGCGGCCTGTACAGGTGAGACACTAGAGATGCATAGGCTACAGCACAGCATGCCTCACAGCCTCAAAATCAATCCCTCCATTCACACAGCAATTTCCATTCACTGATGCGGGAGCCCGGCAGCCGCTCCCGGTGCCCCGCGCACTACAGCCGGCCGCGGGTCCTCGTAGTGCGCTCGCCGCGCGCGCGGGGCGCGCGCTCGGGCTTGCTCGCGCGCTACGTGGGCGGCCATCTCGCGCTCGGCGGCTACGCGGACGTGGACGTGCGGCCGTGGCGCGACGACGCCGCCCCGCCCCCGGAGGAGGCGGCCGCGCCGCCGGCGGACGCGCCCGTAAAGGACCTGCGCGCGTTCCTCGCGCGGCGGGGCGCTCCCACGCCGCGCGGCGCCGCGGAGAAGGCCGACCTGCGTGCGGCGTGCGCGGCGGCGGCCGGGCTGCCGCGCGTCGTCGCGTGGGACGCCGGTGTGGCCACGACACGCGGCGAGGTTCTGGGCCGCGCCGACCTGCGCCTGCACGAGAACCGACCGGACGCCCCGCTCGCGGCCGCGTGCGACCTCGTCCTCGTGTGCGTGGCCGGCGACGACGCGGCCGGCTGCGGGGCGTTCCTCGCGAAGAGCCTCGCGACGCGCGAGGGCATCGTGCCGGTGCTCCACCTCGCGTGCGAACCCGGAAATCATTTGCCCGCGTTCGAGGCCGCGTTCTCCGACGCGGCGCGACCGTTGCCCGACGCCGCGGCGCCGCGGCCGCTCGCGGGGCCGGTCGTCGTGGCCGGCGCGCTGCTCCTCGAGGTCGGCGTGCGGCGGACCGACGGCGCCCTCGTCCAGCTGGGCGGCCGCGGGCTCGCGCTCGAGCGCCTCGACGCCGAGCGCGCGGACGCGGGCCTCGGAAAGTTCTACGACCTCGTCTCGACGGCCGGCCTGCCGCTCGTGTTTGAGCGGCGGGCCCGCCTCGCGCGCCTCGCCTGGGGCCACGCGCTGCTCTACGCGCCGCTGCTCGCGGCGCACGCCGCCTGCGGCGGGGCGCTGCCCGCCGAGGCGCGCGCGACCGCGGCCGCCGCCGCGCGCGAGGCGCGGCTCGCGCTCGGGGCCGCCGCTGACCGCGCGGCGCGGCGCGCGGCGCGCGCGGCGCTCGCGGACGGCGGGCGCGCGCCGCGCGCGGCGCCGACGCCGGTCTGCGCGCGGCGCGCGTGGGTCGTCCTCTACGGCGCGGCCGCGCTCGAGGCCGCCGTGGCGCTCGCGCCCGCGTGGCTCTGGCGCGCCTGGATCGCGCCCCGCGTGCTCGGGTTCCCCGCCGGGGCGGACGCGCCGGAAACGCCCGGCGAAATGGACGCCCGCGCCGGCGTCGACGGCGCGGGCGTCCTCGAGGCGCTCGAGGCTGCGTGCGCCCCGGAGACGCCCGAGGCGCTCGCGGCGCTGCGGCGCGCGCTCCGGGACCTGCGGGTCACGCGCGCGCCCGCCGACGCCGCGCGGCTCTTCGAGGCAGCGGGCCGGCCGCGCGCCGTCTCCTGCGCGGCGCGGCGCGCGCTCAGGGGTAGCCTCGCGGCGGCCGTCGCGATGATGCTCCTGGCCGGCGGCGCGGAGCTCGTCTTTCCGTCGCGCGGCGCGCAGTTTCGCTCGCTCGACGAGCTCTGACGATATATATCACACGCGATGGCCCTGTCCATTTCGTGCTTGTTTCCGGCCGCGCGGAGCGTCGAAGCAATAATAAATTCTGTAACACTAGAGGGTAGAAGGGTGCTAAGCTGCGTGATGTGGAGCTCTACCTCTCCGTCCTCGATTTCTAATTTATTTGCTTTGCATGGTGCTAGGCCGCCCCTAGAGCCGCGGAGCCGACGCGAAATGCGAGCTTGTATACCCGCGGTGCCGCCTCCGCGGCGGCTGCATTGGGGTGCAGCACCCCCCCACCACCCTCCCTAAGACACGAACCCCGACGGTGAAAAAAAGAAGCATCTTGAACCCCATACCCCGCGTCTCGTGTCCTTTAGAAGCAAAATGTGGACCCCCCACATGTGCCGCATGTGCTCAGGCTACCTAGGTTGATTCACGGCCGGCGCCCCCCAAAAAAACAAGGAGGACACACACCCTACCCGCCGCCCGACGTCCACGGCGACGCGCGCGCCCGGTTCCGGCGCCGCTCCGCGGGCGTCAATGCGCGCGCGTGGTCGACGGCCGCGAGCGTCTGCGCCATCAGGGCCTCGTCGATGAACGGGATGAGGACCACCGCCTCCCAGGGCTGGGCCTTGCCGTTCGGATCGACCTCGAAGTCCGCGGGGTAGAACTCCCGCAGCGGCGACGCCGGCGAAGTCATCAGCGCGGCGTAGGGTTCCGGCAGGAGCCGGGAGGACTGCGCCGGCAGCACGGACATGAGTTGGACGAGCGGGGGCACCGGCCTCGAGGACGACGAGGGGAACTCGAGCGCGAGGTCCGCCAGGTCGACCACGTCCGAGGCGAGCGGCGCGTAGAGGTGCGGGTAGAACCAGTCCCAGCTCCGGCAGCCCCCGTGGTAGTAGCGCAGGCACCAGTGGAGGCCCAGGACGTAGTCGCGGACGACGCGGCGCCGCGCCCCGGCGTCGCCCGGCGCGATGCCGAACTTGGCCGCGTAGTACGCGTCCGCGTAGTCCCGGGACTGGTAGGCCTCGTTCTGCTCCTGCAGCCCCCGCCGGGCGAAGTACTGCGGTTCAAAGGCCGCGAGGCTCCGAAACACAAGTTCGAGGCGCGGCAGGTGGATCGCTTCTTTACGGGACACGAAGCCGCCCAGCGCCGGGCGCAGCTCCTTGTACGTCGACATCATCAGGTCCAGGGACCCGTCCGCGATCTCCAGGTGCGGCACGTTCGGCAGGAAGTCGTTGCCGACCAGCATGCACAGGCACACGAAGTCGTCGACGAGCCGCTCGACGTCCCGGTCCTCGTCGAACTGCAGTCGCAGCATGTCCCGCAGCAAGCCCACCTCGAGCAGTTCGAAGTCGTACCGCGTGTACTCCAGCGGATCCTTGGGCTTCCGCCCCCGCCGCGCGTGCCGCACGGACATCTTCTCCCTCAACAAGAGAAATTTCGGTTCGTGCGTCACGAGCCCGAGCATGATCAGGTCCGCGTCCAAGCCGTAGAAACAGTGCTTCGCCGAGCCCCGCGTTTCCGTCTTCTGCCGCGCCCGAATAAAGTCCATGACCTTGTGCTCGCCCTCGCCCGCGACGTCGGGGCCCGAAAACACGATTTCCACCGACTCGTAGAACGGGTCGTTGGCGCCCTTGTGCGCGAGCCACGCCTCGAAGGCCTCGCCGAGCTGGGCCATGAACGCCGTGCCGGGCGTGATGCAGTTCGAGTCGAAAGCGTCGGCGTCGGCCGGCACGTCGCGGCCGGCCGCGACGAGTTCCGCGCGCAGCTCCTCGCGCTCCTTCGCCGAGCGGAACCGGCGGCTCCGCTGCTGGTTCATCTTCGCGCGCGGCGCGACGCCGTCGACGGCGAGGACGATCGTGCGCTTGGGGGCGACGATCTTGCAGACCTTGTCCGTGAAGGCGAAGATGCGCACGAGCTGGTCGCGCGCGCTGGTCTCCGCGATCTCGGGGTCGTTGCCGTGCGTGCACATGTGGATGATGCCGTTCATGTCGAGGTACAGGTCGTCGACGTCCGACTTTTTCTGCTGCGCCGGCAGGCCGTCGGCCATGCGCTCCATGATCGCCGGGTACTGGTCCGTGAGCCAACGAAACATCTTCGGGATGCCGCGCGCGACGACGGCGGCGCGGGGCGCCTCTCGCACACGCATCGGCTGGAACCCTCCGACGGTCCGGGGCGCGAGCGACAGCAGCAGTAGGAGGCGGCCCATTCGTTATGAGTTAGAGACCACGGCCCATTTGGTTGCGCACTGCGCTCTGCTCCCACAGTCTACAACTTCCTGCGGTACTCGGTACAAGCTGGTATACTACGGTACCGTAGGTACCGTAGGTACCGTAGGTACCGTATTGGGAAAATAGCTATACCGCAGTAGTCAATTCGGGTTTTGGGGGCGCGCGCCTAGAGGGGTGTCGGGCGAGCTATCCCCCGTGAGCGTGTACGTAGGCTTGCTGCCGGTCGTAGAAGCGTGCGTCGTCGTCGCCGTGCCCGGGCGCGTTGGTGAAGTCCGGGTTCCCGCCGACGAGCCGGAGGCCGTCGATCTTGATCCGGGCGTACTCGCGCGCCGTCTTGATGCCCCAGCGACGGTAAAGGCGGTTCTTGCGCAGGGCGGCCGCGTGCTCCTGCGATATTGCTACTGAGATACTACCCGGGCCCGGCCGATCCTAGCCTGAGCTGATAGACCTGAGTCAGCCTTATATAAGTCCGGGACCGCCCTGGGGCCCTAAACAAAGCTCCTCCTGTAAACAGAGGGCTGTTGAGGCCTCTACAACACGGGCGCCGCGGGATCGTAACGACCCCCCAACTTGAATAGGATTCGAATGTCATTTGCCAGCTGAGATACATCCTTGAGTAGAAGAAGCTTCTAATGGACGCTCGCGTCCAGGGGAAGTAGAGAGAAACCCTCTAGCCCTTCCTACCTACGGTACCCTACTACCCCCACTGGCATTTGAGTCTAGTATGTATTCATATGCGCTGGGTGGTGTATTCTATGATAGAGCTGCCAAAAACGAAGGAATCAAGTGTAGAGTGCACACGCTTCACTGCTGGAAAGGGCAGCCTCGGGAAACAACTACTATGCGACGGTGGCACGGTGGGTCTGTCCTCGCCGCGGTGGCGCTCACGCGCGGCGGCAACGTGACGATCCCCGTCGACGGTGGGCCGCGGCCCGCGCTGGCGCTCGTGGACGGCGACGACGTGTGCGCGGCGGTGCGCGCCTACTGCGACGGGACGCCGTTCAAAAGCACGGAGGTCCTCAAGGACGCGTCCTGGTCCGTCACGACCGGCGACGGCGTCGGATTGCCGGGCGCGGACGGGTGCGTGCGGGCCCTCGCGGAGGCCGTCCAGCCGCGGCTCGAACGCGACTGGCCGGCGACGCGCGCGCGCTTCGCCGTTCGCGACGACTACCTCGCGGGCTGCGTCGCCGCCGACTTCGGCCTCGACGCGGAGGGGCCGGACGACCCCCTCTTCGCGCTCCTCGCGGAGGCCGTCGCGGCGCGCGACGCCGCGTCCCCCGCGCTGGCCGAGTACAACCGGCGGCGCACACTGCTGCCGCCCGCGCGGCGCGCGCGGCACTACCGCGACGTGTGCCTGAAGCTGCTCCCGGCGCACCCGGGCGCGCTCGACTCGCTCGCCGTCGCGCTCCGACACGCGGGCCGGGCGCGCGCGGCGGAGCTCGTCCTCGCGCGCGGCGCCGGCCGCGGCCTCTGGCCGTCGCCGTACCAGCGGCCGGCGCATCACGCGGCTAATCTAACGGCGCGGCCGCTGTGGGCCGCGGGCGCGCTGCCCGGGCTGGAGCGGCTCGCGCGTCGCACGGCGGCGTTTGGGCGCGAGCTCGCGGTCGAGCTTGCGCGGCGCGCCGACGCGCTGGTCGTGCGGCAGGCCGAGGGCCTGGCGCGGCGCCTGCCCGGCGCCCCGGGCGACGACTGGGGCTGGGACGAAGTCGCGCTGCTCAAGCACGGCGAGGTGCCTGACGCGCGCGTCGCGGCGCGGTTCGCGGAGACGCTGGCCGCCGTCCGGGCGGCGGGCGCCTTCTTCAACGCCAAGTTCAGCATCCTGCAGCCGGGCACGGAGATCCTGCCGCACTGCGGGCCGTCGAACGCGCGGCTGCGGGCGCACGTCACGGTCGCGGCCGCGGCGGGCGCGTCGCTGCGCGTCGGCGCGCCCGACGCAAAACGCGTCGAGTGGGGCGCCGCGCCACTCGTCTTCGACGACTCGTTCGAGCACGACGTCATTCACGAAGGCGCCGACCCGCGGATCGTCCTCGTCCTCGACGCGTGGCACCCGGAGCTGCCCCCGGAGCGGCGGCGCTTCGAGCTCTACGGCCGGCTGAGCTAGCGACTGCGTGCGATCGGGTGGCGTGCATGCGCGAGGACGGTTGTAGGTTTCCGTAAGTGCGCCAGTGAGTCGGGTAGGCTGACGACTGCCGGGATTGTCGCGGCTTTGGTTAGAGGCATAGGTGAGTCCCCTCTAGGGGTAGGGGTCAAGGAGAGGTCAATTCGGGGTTTTGGGAGCTATCCCCCGCCGCCCAAAAAGGGTGCTAAAAAGGGGCTGCGTTCGGTCTAAGGGGCGTCGTCGGTGGCTATCTTGCGCTGGGGGCGGGCTCAGGGGCGCTGACTCGGATAGGGGCGGCAGTCGCGCGTTCAAGTTGCGGGTACTGCGCGCGCAAGTGTTTTTACCTGAATTCAAGTGTTTGGGCGATTGTTTGCGATGGTTTGATAACTGTTCCGAGGCCTCTCGGAGGGGAGGAGTAAACGTTCTGTAATAGCAAGGTACCTTACCGTGAGGGTACCAGGTACCGTAGGTACCCTACATAAGTATACATACAGCGGTCGACACGGCCGTAAGCCATTGTCGCAAAGATGGACATCGAATTGCGCCGGCTGCGGGCTGAGAACGCCCAGCTCAGGCAGGACCTCGCGAGCTGCCGGCAGCAACTCGCCGCCCTCCACGCCGCCCTGAAGCGGCAGCAGCCCTACGCGCGGGGCGCCGGAGGCTTTCCGCCGCCGCGGCCGCCGCCGGCGACGAGAGGGGGCGGCGAGGCGCCGCGCAACTCGCTCGACGCGCTCTGGCGGGAAGCGGTCGAGGCCGGCGCCCCGGCGGCGACGGCGGCGAGCCCGCCCGCGAGCCCGCCCGCGCCCGCGCCGCCCGCGCCGCCGCCCGGCGACCCCATCGCGCCCGATCTCTTCGCCCCAGCCGACGCCGTCGCGCCGAGCGACGCGTTCGGCGCGCGCGCGGTCGCCACGCCCGCGGCCGCGGCACCCCCGACGGACGACCCGTTCGGCTTCGGCGGGCTGTTCGGAGCCGCACCCGCGGCCGCGGTTGTTGCACCGTCGTCCCCCGGCGGGCTCTTGGGGGCCGCGCCCGCGGCACCCCGGACGTTCGCGCTCTTCGACGCCGGGGGCGGCGACGAATCGGCGACGGAGGAGTCCGAGGATGACGCGCCCGCGCCCGCCGCCACTACGCCGGACGACGGCGCTGCCGCCGCCGAACGTGCGCGGCGCAAGGAGCGCCGCAAAGCGAAGAAGGAGAAGGAGCGGGAGAAGGAGCGGCGGCGCGAGGAGAAGCGGCGGGCGCGACGCGCGCGCGGCGCCGCCGCGCCGCCCACCGCGTACGCGTCCGGCCCGGCGTGGGAGCACGCCGGGACGGCACGCGGCGGGCGCTACGGCGGCCACGGCAATCCCGCGTTCGCCGACGCGCGCGACGCGCCTGACGACGACGGCCTCGCCGCGCGCGCGGGGTCGGCGGCCCTGGGTCTCTTCGGCGCCGCCAAGGACGCCGTCTCCTCGTACGTCGAGGGCCCGACTGGCGGCTTCGCCGGCGGCCGGTCGTACTCGTCCTACTGAGTAAGGTACTAAGGATGTGTGTGCTTTAGAGAAGTGAAGGGGTTTCCACGGGGTGGCGGGCCCGATTGATGAGAGCGCCCTCGCGACCGACCTCCTCGATTACAGTGTTGACCATCATCTCCCATGGTACTGAGTCTGGGCCGCGGCCCGTGTCTTGGACGGTCTCTCCCATGACTAAAATTGGAGTGCCACCATTAGTAGTACTAGTAGAATAGGATGTATACAAAAATCAGCCAAGCAGGGAGTCGGCCGGGTGGCTAGGCTGCTAGAAAAATACCCCTATCCTTACCCTAGTAGTCCTTATTCCCTCCTAGACTATTAAGAACGCGTATGAGCACAACCTCTCTCCGTATTTTAGTACCACGGGGTCTGGCAACTAGGGAATCAGTGCAAAGCACTGCCGTGCTCCTAGGCACCTCACTGCCTAGTATTTTTAGCAGGTTATGGGCCCACGGCCGTTCAACTTTGCGTTGATACCCTGTTAGACTCCAACACTCAGAAACCCCTCCACCAGGTCGGTTGACTCTTGCGGTACGGGAGTCGACGCTCTGCCTGAACTTGGCACCGTCTCCCTACTGGTTGATTGGTTTCGAAAACGACCTACATAACAGCAGATATACATCGCTGTAACTACAACTCCCTAACAACATGAGCACTGGATCAGGGCGGCTGGGTCAACCTCAACAGCTACATCTGAGCAACACAGACAAGCTCGTGAAACCCTAGGTTTATCAGACAAAAGAGAAAACTTCTCCGATCTGACATTCCTATCAAAATTCCGAACAAACCCAGTGGCAGCTCTATATGAAGTGAATGATCCAGAAAAAGATCCATTCTACACACAAATAGACTACCTGAAGTATCCAAAAGAAGCACCACTGCACACCCTAGCTACACAGTTAAAATACGACAAATCTAGAGGTGTCAACTACAATGTAGAGGTACTTGCATTAAGAAGAACTTGAAAAAGGACCAAGCTCCAAATGTAAACGGGGCGAAAGCCGCCAAGCGGCGTGACTCCTCAGAGGCTCAATTTCTAATTATATTAGTTGCTATTTCGAAGCACCGGTTGGGCATCCTGACCGAGCAGGGAGATGGCACTTAGGAGCTTGTGCCCTTTTTAGGTCTGCTTTAATTTATTTTTATTTATTTACTACAAGTACCTACCACTGGGCCACGGGTGACTAGTAGGCATTATCATTATGACATACTGTGGGTGCTCAGAGCCCCAGCTGGAGCGCCTTCGCCTTGGCAAATTCCGCGTCGGTCAGCACGCCGCGCTCGTGCAGCGCGGCGAGCTTTTCGAGCCGGTCCGCGAGGCCCAGCGGGCCGGGCGGCGGCTCGGGCGCGGGGCTCGCCGCGGGGCCGGGCGCCCCGCCGCCGTCGCGGCGCAAAAAGCGCCCGGCCAGGTATCGCGCGAACGCGTCCGCCGTCGGCCCGTAGCGCATGCGCGTCGAGTTCATCAGCGCCGTCGCCGCGTCGGCAATTTTGCGCATCGCCGCGTCGTTCGCGGGGTCGAGCGCCGCACGGAGGCGCGTATCGAGGTCCGAAAGGTCGCTCGCCACGGGCACGAAGTGCGTGTTCGCAGCGAGGAGCGGGTAGTACCACTGCCGCAGCTCCGTCACGACCTTGAGCACGACGGAGTTGCTGCCCAGCTTCCAGAAGCACCCCGCCCAGCTATTCGAGTTGCCGTCGACATCTACGACCGCCTTCGCCGCGAGCCACGTCTCCGGGAGGATCGGCGCACCCTTGTAGTTTTTCTTGACGAGCTCCGCGACAGCGCCCCGCAGTTGCACGACGTTCGAGATGCGCGCGTCGAGCACTGTCAAATTCTGGGCGCGCCGGCACAGCGCGAGGCGCGCGTTCTGATCCAATTTCGCCGGGTCGCCCACGACCGGGCCCGTCGACGACCCGCGCCAGACGGCGTGCGGTGCCTTGGCGGCCCACGCGTATTTCGGGGGCGCACGCCGCCAGAACGCGTCCGCGTAGCCCCGGCTCGCGACATAGTCGTGGTCCGGCGCGAGGACGTAGGGCCGCGTGTCGTTTCCACCCGAGCCGAATTCGGCGGGCCACGTCGAGTAGCTCGTTGCCGCCGAGTAGACCAGCACGGGCACGCCGCGCGCGGCGAGCGCGGCGGCGTCGGCGCGGGGCAGCGTCGCTGCCCAGGGCATGTCCTCGGTCTCGACGACGACCGCACCGCCAGGCGTCGCCGGCCAGCGCCCGTCCGCCAGGAACAGGGCCATGCGCTGGGCGCGCCCCGCGTTGACGGAAGCGACCCCGTGGAAGCCGCAGAGTTTTAGCCCCCTTCGGCGAGTTTGCTTGGAAGCGGCTGACCGCCGGCGTTCCGCCGGCCGAAGCGGCGACGTCAAAGCACACCGTGCCGCGATTCTCCCGGGTGCGTCCGGCGCAGAGAAAGTCGTGCGCGGCGCGGCAGGACAGCAGCGCCGTTGGCGGCGCCGGGGCGACCGCGGGGAGCAGGAGGAGGCAATACCGAGCCCCTGTCATCGCATTCCCACCACCGCGGTTGGCGAGGCTGCCCGGGCGAGCATTATCAGTCTCTGACTGGAATATTCGATTTTTGCCGCCTTTTACCAGGAAATAATTGCAATTGATTTCGCTAACTGGTATTACTGCGGTACCTACGGTACCTACGGTACCTACCGTAGGTACCTTACCCCCCTATATTTGAAGTCTCCTGGCAGTATTAGGATTCTTCGCAGGTTAATTTAGCTTAATTAGGACTCACGGAGTATGCGTCAAAATCTTACAAGAAAGAATTGCCCGGGGTTACCCGGGCCCTAATCATCCCACACAGAAGAGTGACTCGGACTCGGACCCTACTAGTAGCTCGAACCCGGATGATTACTACTAGTAATGGCCAAGTATCTGGAGTACACAGTTAGATATATACACTGCACTTCTACACTGCACTGTAACGTGGACGTAGCTCATGCAACAAAGTTGTGCTGTCCCGCCGGCCTGCGCGCGGCGGCGACGACCTCGAGTTGCGCGTCGAGGAGGCGGTTAGCGACGTCGTAGGCCATGTATTCGAGCCGATTCTGATGCTTGATCTCGGCTTCCTCCGACCTCGTCAGGTCGCTGTGGGCGCTGCCGCTGTACTTATTGAGGTGCACGCCGCAGTCGAACGATGCCGCGAGCCATGGAAAGAAGAATTCGACTGACGCCTTCGTGTCCTCGCAGCGTTCCAGCACCCCTACGACGCAATGTTCCGTCAGGTGCGCCAACGTCCGCTCGAGCGTGGCCGCGGCGTCGAGGGCCCAGCCGTCGGCGTCGCACCACGGTTCCCCGCCGGTCCCGGACGTCAGCTTGTTGACCTTCTCCTCCGCGCGACCCGAGTCGGACAGCAACCGTAGCGGTTCGTTGTTGCAGCCCTCGTCATAGGAATTCATGCCTTCCGCGAGGTACTCGCGGAACTTCGCCGGCGTAATGGCCGATATGTTATCGCCGGCGAACGCGCGGAAGCCCCGGTAGTCCCAGCACGAGGCCACGCGGCCGAGGGGCTCGCGGAAGCTCGTGTAGCACTCGAAAGGCACGTTGCTGTCCAGGTGTGGGCGCTTGCCGCGGGCGGTGCCGAGTGCCTTCTCGACGCCCGACCAGTACATGTGGCCGCCAAACACGGCAAACTTCTTCGCCGTGCCGTCGACGGGCGGGTCATAGTTCTCGCAGCCGATTTTGTTGTAGCATGGCACCCAGTAGGTGAGGTTATTTTGCTGGGCCGCGTGCACGAGCACGCTCCGCATCGAACTGCCGCCGGCCTTCCGCTGGTGCATGAAGACGAAGGGCATTTGGAGCGTCGGCTTCGGGCGCCGCTCCGTTGCTAGCCGGTCGCGAGACGAACGGGCCCGGCTCTTGAAGTACTCGGTGATGTTCTCGGCCAAAGGGCGCTGGCTCGGGACCAACGGGACGGCCGCGACGACAGAGCCGAGGACCGCGAACCACAAAGGGTGGCCCGGCGGCCGCGGCGCCATCGAGGTCTCAGATGGATCACTTGCCGTGCGTCCGCGTCCGTCGTTTTTGTTTAGGCGGCTGCGCATGCATGGTGCGCTCGAGTTGCCCTTTGCTAAGGCTTTAGCGCGTCGGGGCAAGATTGGGCCGTGACGGTCGCCGTCGGTCTGCCATGCCAAGGCGCGGTCGCCCTGGGTCGCGGTGATCCTGCGTGGTTCGCGGATGCTCTCTGTTAGTGCCCAAACAACAGAGAATTGCGGATCGGAGTCTTCGGAGTTTTTTCGCTGGCTCTTAATTCCCTCGTAATTAATTTTCCCGCAGTAATTAATTCCGAGACGTACCGTAGGTACGGTACCATGGTACGGTAGAGAGAGAAACCTACTAGTCCTTCCTACCCTAGATATGTATCTCCCACTCTCTAATATTTGAGTCTATACAGCGAGTGTCTTTGACGCTACGGTGTAACAACAGTTCACTATGAAACACTCTCGTAGTCAGGTTGGCCCAGCCCTAGGCTGGGTGAGCCTGAGCTAGGTTCAGCGATATTAGCTTCGGTATGTGCTGGTGTCTAATGAGCTGGGTGCAGCAAGTGCACAATGCAGCTGTGGTAGCTAGGTCTCTCGGGTGTCAATATGACACGGAGATGCCAACAGGAAGAACTCTCACTGAAACGTGAGGTGAAAACTCCCCTAGATATATATCTGCAACGCCATAGCCCCCTATCGCCGGATCTAGGGCTACATTACTCTCGCCTATCAACACGCTATATCAGCCGGCATGTGCCCGGAGCTGATATTTCCCTATATCCCGTATCTTCTTACTTATCCAAGTGGATCAAGCCCGGCGCTAAGTAGGCGCCGTAAAAACACCGGGGTGAACCTAAAGTAAGTTCACTTCACTGGGGGGAACAGCGGGAATCGACCCTACAAAGCCCAAGTGAGGCTAACCCCATAAGTACGTTCATCTACTAGAACCTGAGAGGAGCTCTAGATAAAGGTAACTACAGCATCATAGCATTATCGCTGTACTAGGCCCGTGAACGGCAGAGTACACGTACATACGCAGCTAGCCTAAATAAATACTAGTAAATACTAGAAGTAGGCTGGCCACTGCAAATCATGATGCCGATCATGATGTTGCCACTGTGTCCGTCTCAGAGCCAGTTGAAATCGATGGCCGCTATGTCGATTGGTTTTAAAAAGATCCCCCCCCGGGCCCGGCGACGACGACAGGCCCGCCTAGTTCTCCGACTCCTGCTTGAAGCGCTCGGCCTGGTCGGCGACGCGGTCCTCGGCCGCGCGCAGGTCGGCGACCGTCTCCGCGACGGCGGCGAGCCACTCGTCCATGTCCACGCGGTCGATCGCGGCCAGCTGGAGCTCGTCCCCGTTGGAATTGCGGACGCGGAACGCGTTGCGCACGTCGGCCTTGATGGCCTCCGCAGTCGCGCGCGCGTCCAGCGCCAACGCCTTCTCGCCCGCGCCGTCCCGGTCGCCGTGGAGCAGCGCGCCGCCGACCAGGCGGAAGCACTTGACGTGCCAGGTCTGCTTCACGAGCCGCGACCGCGTCCGCTTCCGCAGCAGCCCCTCGCGGCGGGTCTGGACCTTGTCCACGATGCGCCGGTAGTCGTCGAGCTGGCTCTCGAGCGCGGCGACGCGCGAGGCCGTCGCCTCGTGCCGCGCGTCCGCCTTCTGCGACACGTCACCCAGCGTCGCCTGGGCCTCGTGCAACGAATGAAAGTGGTCGGTCAGCGACTTCTCCCAGAGGGCCTGCATCTTCTCCTTTTCATCCAAAAGAACCGCGCGCTGCGCCGCCACGGCGTTCAGCTCGGACGCGCTGGACTCGAGGCTCGACTTGAGGGACGCGGCCCGCCGCTCGGCCTCGCGGCACGCCTGTTTGGCCTGCTCGAGCTGCTTCTCCAGGAGATGGATGCGGGCCTCCGCGGTCGAGGCCCGCTCGGCGTTGACGGCCCGGAGCGCGTCGAGCTCGCGCGTCGTGGAATCCGTCTGGGTCTTCTCCCGCGCGAGCGCGCCCTCCGCCGCGGCCTTGCCGCTCCGGTGCGCGTCGAGCTGCTGTTGCAGGTATTCGGTCCGCTGCGCGGCCTTGCGAACCAGCTCCGCCCGCTCGCCGTCCGCGCGCTTCCGGGCCCGCTCCACGCTCAGCGCCTCGTCGCGCGCGTCCGCCAGCGCTTTCTGTAGATCCGCCCTCTCGGCCTCGAGGGCCGCCTTCTCCGTCGAAACGCCCCGGAGCGCCGCCTCCAGCTCTTCTTCCTTGGCGGCGCCCCGCGCGAGGCGCTCCTCGGCCGCCTCGCGCGACGCGTCGCCGGCGTTTCGCGCCTCGTCCAGTGCCTCCTCGGCGGCGCCCCGGGACCGGTGCGCCGCCGCCAGCTCCTCGTGGAGCGCCTCGACGTTGCGTTCGAGCGCCGCCAGCGCCTCGCGGGTCGCGGCCGCTTGCTCGCGTTCGGCGGCGAGCGCCGCGGTCCGCTCGTCCCGCTCCGCTTTCGCGGAAGTCCCGGCGCGCTCCGCCTGGGCGAGGCGCGCCTCGGCGTCGCGCAGTTGCGCCGCGACGGCCGCGGCCGCGCGCGCCGCGTCGGCGAGCTCGGCCTTGAGCGCCTCCTCCCGTTCGCGCTTCTCCCCCAGTTCCGCGCGCGCCGCCGCCTCGTCGCGCCGGCGCTCGTCCAGCGCGGCCCCGAGCTCCGCCAACCTGGACGACGTCTCCCCCTTCTCGACCTCCGCGGCCTCCAGCCGGGCGTGGAGCTGCGCCTGCCACGTCTGCTCCGACTCCAGACGCTCGCGCGCGTCCTCGAGGTCCTGGTGGGCCTCGTCGGCGCGCCGCCGCAACGCGTCGCCCTCGCCCTCCAGGGTGCGCGCCCGGTCGAGCGCCGCCTTGTGCTGCGCCTCGACGCGCATCTTCTCCCCGGAGACGGCGACGACCTCGGCCCGCAGCACCTCGAGCTGCTCCAGGGCCGCCTTCTTGTGCTCCTCGCACCGCGCGAGACTCTGCGCGGCCCCGCGCGCCTGAGCCTCCGCCGCGTCCAGCGCCTTGTGGTGCGCGTCTTCGTTCGCGTCGAACAGGACGCGGTACGCGTCCAGGATCCGCCCCGAGAAGTAGGCCGCGAGCCGCCCGGGCCGGGCCGGGCCCCGCGCGCCCTTCTCGTACATCGCCGCGACGCGGCGCGCGTCGAACGCCAGAGCGGCGGCGTCCGCGTAGCGGTCGCCCGCGCTCCCGAGCTTCGGCGCAATTTCCGCGTCGTGCAGCCGCGCGCAGAGCGCGTCGCACGCCTTGGCGGACTGGTCGAAGTTCGCCGCGCGCCTCGTTTCTAGCCTTTGCAGACACTCCGCCTCGAGCTCGCCCAGGCTGCTCTCGAACGTCGCGCCGCCGGCCTGGGCCCGGAACGCCCCGAGCGCGCGCTTCGCAGCGTCCCGGTGCGTCTTGAGCAAGGTCTCGTCGTCCTCCACGTCCTCGTGCGTGGCGAAGGCGGCCTCGTACGTCTCTAAAGCCTCGGCCCGGGCCCGCGCGCACTCGCGCGCCATGACCTCCTCCCAGGCCGTCGCGACCGTGGGCACGCCGCCCGACTGCAGCGTGTCCACGTACCGCCTGCACAGCTCCACGAAGGTCCTTCCGGACACGGCCCTTCCTCGGACCCGCTTGACGGCGGACATGGCGCGAACGTGCTCGCGCAGCTCCGCGAAGCTCCGCAGGAACGCGGGCCGCAGTTCGTCCACGGGCACCGCCTGTAAATTCTGCAGGCGGTCCTCGTCCAGCACGGGCCGCTCCAGACAGAAGCACCGCCGCTCGCTGAAGAAGGCCTTGAGCATGTGGCGGACGCGGTTCCGCTCCGCCGTCGCGGCGTCGAAGCCCACCTGCTCCCGCAGCGCGTTCTCGAGGTACTCGTTCGCGTCGATGGCGTCGCCGCGCTCGTCCTCGAGGTCGAGCGCGAAGTCGCGCACGACCCACACGAACGCGGGGAAGTGCCGCTCGAAGTCCCCCTCGCCTGGGTGGTCGTCCTCGGTGATCCGGACGTGCTGCGTCAGGTTCGCCACGAACGCCAGGTTGGAGATGGCGTGCTCGTCGACCGCCCCCAGGGAATTGTAGACGAGCGTCGAGCAGAGCAGCGCGGCCAGGGCGAAGAGCCGCGTGTCGTAGTGGCCGTCCGCCTCGAGCCCGCCGAGGCCCTCCACGTCCAGCAGCACGATCGTGCACGGCTCGCCCGTCGCGAGCGTGGTCCGGACGGGCGCGCCCCACAGCCAGATGCCGCGCGTGCACCGCCGCACCCCGTGGCCGATCGTGAAGTTCCCGCGTTTGCCGTGCGCGTCCGCGAGCAGGTTCGCGATCGTGGACTTGCCCGTGCGGTACAGGCCGGCGACGCAGACCACGCAGAGCTTGCCCTCGATGCCGGCGAGGATCTGGGCGCTCTCCTCGTTGACGGCGAACGCGCCCTCGTCGTCGACGTCTATTAACGAAAGCGCCTCGGCGCGCGGGAGCCCGGGCCCGACGGCCGGCTCCGGCGCGGCGGCGGGCGCGTCGCCGCCGCCGGAGATGAGCGACCCGAGGTAGCTGGCCATCGCGCCTTTCGGCGTGTGAGCAAGGCTTTGTGGATCACGACCGCAAAATGGCGCCAATATCTTATATTTTTTATACCCCTACCTACGGTACCGCAGTAGGTACCGTAGGTACCGTGTTTTACGTAAATATGATGGGCTAGACAGCCCATCCGAGTGATTCGCAGGTGAGTGAGGAAAGGCAGCCCCGATCATTGGGGACAAAACCTGGGCAGCACGGCACGATCGGGACAAGCGGCGCAAAGGTGCGCGCATGTCTACGGAGGCGACGGACGCCGGACTGGACACGCCCGACGAGGACGCCGCGCCGGCGCGCGAAAAACCGCGGCTCCGCGTCACCGTGGCGTCGGACACCAAGTCCGTGGAGATGTGGGTCCGGCCGACGGCGTCCTGCGACCTGCTGCGCGCGCGCGTGGCGGCGGCCTTCGACCTTGCGCCGGGCGCGTTCCGGCTCGTACACGGCAAGACGGAACTACGCGGAGCCTGGTGCCTCGGCACAGCTGGCCTGAGACGATCCGCGCTTACAGTCCTCGTCGTCGGCACTAGTACCGCGATGCGCCCGGCCGCCGCGCCCGCAAACGCCGCCGCCGCCGCGCCCGACGAGGACGCCGCGCCGGCGCGCCGCCTGCACCGGGCGGTCGCTGCGAGCCTGCCGCCGCGACGACGGCCGCCCGCCCGAACTGGTCCAGACAAGCCCTGGGCCGCGCACCCTTGGGCGGCTGGCGTCGTGCCTAACGATGGAGACTGAATACTATTAGTCGATTCTCCGCCGTCCGAGGGTAAACCGAGCCGGACCTCCTAGACAGGCCTCCGACTGGGACGCGGACACTCGTAGTAGTATACAGGCCCGGGGGAAACTTGAACCAGACGCCCCACAACGCATACATACGTAGCATAAGGGATCGGGAGATTAAGGGCCGAAATGGAGTTTGCAGCCGCGTCCCGCCGCGAAAATACCCCTCTCGCTCTCGAGTCTCGCCCAGCCCGGTCTCGGGGCGCTCAAAGTACCTCTCTGGGGCTCCTTATCCAAATTCCCCGGACTCCCGGCCAACTTAAGGCGTGAAGGGCGGGAACCCGATCTTCAAATGAGGGGACCCACTGCCAGCGCCATGTGGGCCATTGCTCAAGCATCGTGATCATGATACCGTGACTAGCTGCTACTTGCCAGTGTATCCGCGAACCTCTACTGGCAACCACTCCCAGACAAGGAGGCAGACTCGGAGCTCCACATCACGCCGCTTAGCACTGACAGCCTTCGCCCCGCCGCGCCCCCGCTATAGACGTCGCTATAGACGGGATTTCTTACTGAGTAACGCAGGGTGGGTGGGGTCTATGGGCGGGGATTCTCACTGAGGTAAGTCATGAGTACTTCCACTACTAGTATGCCTGCCAGGATAGTCAAATCGGGGCCCGGGCCTTAAATTACCGCTCTGGCAACCGGCGGCGGCGCGGGCCGCCAGCCAGAAATAACACGCGCCACCAAGAAAGGGCTGACCTGAGTTGAGGAGAGCCGCGAGCTAACGCGCACGGAGCGTGGCGCAACGAAGAAATTATCAAGTCGCGACGCACGCGCTAGTCTCCGTCTGACGACAACCCGAGCTCATCCTCGTATTCTTCGTCGTCGTCACCTTCATCGTCAGCCGACGCGTCGTCGTCGACGGCGCGCGACGCGCCTTCGTCGTCGTCGTCGTCACCGTCCGCGCTCCGGCCCTCGGTCGCCGCGTCGTCGTCCGCGTCCGCGCGCGGCGCGACGCCGACCGGCGTCGGCGCTTCGGCGTCGCGCGCGCGCCGCAGCTCGTCCCGCGCCGTCTCTTCGCGCCGCGCCAGCTCGGCCAGCGCCTCGCCCTCCGCGGGAGCCAAAATAGCCCCGAACGTGGGCTCCGCGAGCAGGTGCCAGGCGTCGAATCGGTGCGTGCGGTGGGACATCTCGCCTCATGAGCCTCTCAAGGTCAATCTACCTCGTCCAGGCATTACCGTACCATCGTACCGTAGGTACCGTAGGTACCACGGTACCTACGGTACCGTGGTACAAGATGGTACCCCAGCCCCGGGCAGGGGGAGGATTAGAGGTACGGTACCGTAGGTATTCACTGGACCTACTCTATCCGGGTATTCAAGGCATAATTGAAGCTAAGTAGAATAGTGAAGCCAAAGCAAAGTTGGGCGGTCGGACGATTGCAGGTATCATATCATCTCAGTCGCGGACATTCCCGTTAAATCCCAAACCTCGCTCCGGAGTCGGGACGCACGCCGACCGCGACACCGGCCGGGCCCCGGGCGGGCCAGGCACCGTGACTGGCAGTCAGTACGGTAGCGAAAACTTGGTAAACATTGATAACTGGTGAATACTCGTTAGGGATGCCTTTAGGCGTTACGCCCGGAACCCCCCTCACCTCGTCTACCCAAAGGCAGTACCCGTACACAAGCAATACGGGCAGGAATCCCTACGCCCTACCTAGTTACGACCCACCAAGGAAGACAGCAGGCACGAGAGAGAACAAAAACACGCCCTTCGCGCGACGCGTCCTGCATGACCACACGCGACGACGCCGGGGCCGGCCTCGACGCTTGTGCGGAACTAAACGACAGCGACTTGGGCTGGATGGACGCCCTCGACGGCGTCGGTCTAGAGCCAGCGGCGCCAAATTGTGATGAATACTCGCGACCGCCGCCGGCGAAGAAGAAAAAGCACGCGGCGCGGCGGCCCGCGCGGCCGCTCGCGCCGCCGGGCGTGTCGCTCGCGCCCGAGGAGCGCGCGCGGCTCGAGAAGGAAAGAAACCGAGAGCACGCGCGCAACACGCGCGCGCGCAAGAAGGAGGCCTTGGAGAAGCTGCGGAGGGAGGTCGCGGGTCTGGAGGAGGCGGCCGTGGAGCGCGACGAGTCCGAGCGGCGGGCGCGCCAGATCGCCAAGAGGCGCCTGGCCGTGCTGCAGTGCGTGTTTCGCAAAAGGGGCGAAGGGGTGCTGGAGAGGGAGGAGTGGGGCAAGTTCCTCACGTCGGATTTTGAACTGAGGCAGCCGCTGAACCCGCACCAGGCCTGCCGGCCGGCGGACGTGGAGGGGAACAGAAAACTGTCGCGGGGCGTCGACGGCTTCATCGACGACGTCGCGTCGCTGTCCGTGCTGTTCCGGTCGGTGGGGCGGTCCGCCGATTTGTCGTACCGCGTCGCCGCGGCCCCCACCTTCGCGTGCTCGGTGCTGCCCCCCGCGCCGACGGTCGTGAACGACGCGGTCTACGGCCACTGGGGCGCGCGCACGACGGACGCGCGCCGGCACGGCGCGCGGGGCGAGGCCGGGATACGGGGCCTCTTCTGCGCGCGCTTCGCCGAGAGCGGGTGTCGCTTGAGGTCGCTCGAGCTCGTGTACGACGTGAACGCGCTGTCGGAGGACATCGTGCGATCCACGGAGACGCCGCTCACGAGGGTGCCCGGCTGCCTCCGCGACGCGACCTTCGACGCGGACCCGGCCGCGCGCGTCGTCACCAAGGCGACGGCGCCGTTCCAGATCGTCGACTGCAACCGGGCCTGGCTCGAGCTGTGCTCGTTCCCCTCCAAGAGTTCCGTCGTCGGCCGGACGCTGCGCGTCATCCAGGGCCCGCTCACGGACCGCGAAAGTCTGAAGCGGCTCCACGCGGAGATCATTCAGGGCCACGCCACCGACGCGACGCTGCTCAACTACAAAGGCGACGGCGCGACCTTCATCAACTACCTGCGCGTGTGCCCCATCTACCCGGACCGGGATCCGGCCTCCAAGCCCTCGCACTACCTGGGCATCCTCCGGGATCTGATGGCGGACGCGTGCGCCGACGACGCCCGATTCGGGACCGAATCGATGGCGTGCCCGCTCTGCGGCGGCACGGGCCGCGCGCCGGCGGCGCCGGCCGTCTACTCGTAAAAATATCCCGGCCGCTTGAATATAATACTAAGTAAAAAATAAAAACTACGCCGAGCCTAGTAGTACTAGTCACGGTAGCCCTAGGTTCCCACGTACCTGAGGGGTTATTGAACCGTTATTCACCCCTCAGGCTGGCGCCGCCTGGGGTGAATAACCCGGGTAATTGCCGGTTCGCACGGGTTATTTACCTCAGATCGGGATCCTCAGAGGGGTAATAATAGGCAAATAACCGGTTATTAACATACATTGTTTGAATGTTCGGCGGCTTTCGCGAAAGAACGTGATGCGTTCCTTGAACGATTATACGAGTCTCACCCTATCCGAGTCGCGCGCGGTCTGAGCCTCGAAGGTCATTGCCGCTTCTGAATGGGGGAATTTTTACCGCAAGAGACCGAGAATACTGTATACAGATACCTTATTGCTATTTCGAAGCTCCGGTTGGGCATCCTGACCGAGCAGGGAGAAGGCTCTTCGGAGCTTGTTCCTTTTCTAGGTCTTCCTTAATTTATTTATTTGCTTTGCTTAGAGATAGAACGCCTAGCCACCACGATCTCCCCGCCCCCGGCGCCCCCGCCCTCGTACGCCGCCGCCCCGAGTGTTATTTATTAACCGGTAAGTGGGAACCTGGTGGCCTGCCCGGGGGGCCAGTGTGCGTACTAGCCTCGGGAGAGCCATGCCCGCTGCAGGAGTCTCGTCTCCTCGCTTCCATTACGCGGCGAGCGCGCGCCTACGCGGCACGTGCCACGCGAGCGCCTTCGTCGCCAGGACCGACGCCGCGAGGCAGTGCGCGAGACCCAGGAAGTAGGCGTGGTTGCCGTTGCCGGTCGCCGCGACGAGCCACAGGTACGCCGCGGCGGGGCCCGCCGCCGCGAGCACGCCGAGGACGACGAAGACCGCGGCGACCAGGAGCAGGTCCGCGCGCAGCGCCGCGTCGCCGCGAGCGGCGACGAGGCCGCGCCGCGCGACGGCCGCCGCCGGGCCGGCGCCGAGCGCCGCGGCCGCGACGGCCACCGCGCCGTCGCCCAGCGTCGCGCCGGGCCGCAGGCACAGGCCGGAGACGACCGCGAAGGTCGCCGCCGCGCGCGGCGCGCGCCGGAGCCGCGCGCTCGCCGGGGCCGCGGCGAGCGCCGCGCACGCCGCGAGCGCCGCGCGGAACAGCGGGACGAAGCGGCCGAAGCTCACGCGCGCCAGGTACCACCACGGGCCCGCGTTCGGCGGCGGGCCGCCGGCGCGCCGAGGCGCGGCGCGCGGCCGGAGCCCGGCCGCGCCGAGCCGCGCGCGCGCGGCCGCGGCCGCGGCGCCGGCGCGGTCGCGCGCGGCTCCAGGCGCCGGCGCGACCGCGACCAGGACCGCGCGCAGCGCGCAGCCCGCGAGCGCCGCGAGCGCCGCCGACCGGGCGCGCGCGCCGGGCGGCGCCGCCGCCCAGAGCGCGGGCAGCGCCGCCGCCGCCGCCGCCGCGTCGGCGGCGGAGCCGACCGCCCAGAGCGCCGCCGCGCGCCCGGCCGCGCCGCGCCGCGCGAGCGCGGCCGCGCCGAACAGCGCGGCCGCGAGCCACGGCTGCGCCGAGCCGGCGGCGGCGGCGGCGGCGACGACGGGGTTCAGACCGAGCCACGCGACCGCCCCCCCGCGCGGCGCGCCCAGGACGTCGCCGAGCGCAGCCGCCGCCGCGGCGTCGCCGAGCGCCCCCGCCGCGACGCGTGCCGCCGGCCGGCGCGCGTACGCCGCGGCGCACGCGACGGTAGGGAGCGTGGCGTTCACGCGCCGCCCGCAGGCGCCGAGCTCCGGCAGCGCGAGCGGCGGCCCAGCGTAGAGCGGCGTCTCGACGGCATGCCGCCGCGCCGCCCACCAGTACCACGCCGCGCCGCGCAGCGCCAGGCCGCCCGCGAGAGCGCTCATCTCCTTCGGCAGCGTCCAAGCGTCCGCTGTCGACGTAGGAGCCCGCGAGCTCTCTGGAGGCTCGCAATCGCCAGTGATTTACTTTGATTAAACACACCGGCCCAGCCGCTAGATCGGGGACCCAGCGGTTTGTGGGCGTCCTATGCGCTGAGTGGCGTCGCGAGCCCGGATTCCTCGTCACGGCGCAAGACAGCAGCGAATCGATAACGTACCGTCGCGCACGCAGGCCAGCTAGCAGTCTATGCGCGCCGCGGCTAATATACTGTGTGGGCTGATGCTGGCTAGTGTCTTACAGCCGCTAGCTGATACCCGCGCACCGTCTCGTGTAGCGATGAATCGCCGCGTGCAGCCTGAGTTATTCGTCAAAGGGAGCGCTGTCGTCGACCACTGCGCTTCCTCGTGCGCGTCGCGCGTCGCGCGGCCGCGTCGCTGTGTGCGAGCCTCTGCCCCAGAGGTCCTGTGAGGCAGGGCTCGCTGCGGCCTCCGGCGAGGCGTGCTGCGGTGCAGTACAAACGTCCGGACGACGGGTGGGCAACGCGCGGGTTTTGGGGCTCAACCCGCTCACATTGAGCCGAGTCTCCAGAGTCGTGGGTTTCTACGTCGACAGCCTTCGCCTCACAATCCCATCTCTCGATTTTTACTACTAGGCGAGGCGAGTTCGTACAGAACCGGTTCGCTGCGAACCGGCGGCCGCCGGACGTCGCGGAACGAAATCTTGCGGTCGTGGGCCGTGCCGAGTCGCTGGAGCCCAGGGATCATCAAGTGCGAATCTTCGACATCCGCCGGCGCGTCGGCCTGGTCCTGCGGCGCGAGCCGGAACCTCCCGTGCACGACCCGCGCTGGCTCGCGACGCCTCTCACTTAGTCGCCCCGTTGTTGGGTCTCGTGGCCCTCCGTTTTTTTCGCGCTTTCTCTGCGCACGGCTCCTGTTTCCTTATGGTTGTTTGCACTTCACTTTCCTAGGGTGCCCGCTGCGCGGTTTTGCGGTCAAACCCACCGAAGCCCGCTAAAAAGGCACTCCACGTCTCGAGAGGAGTCCAGAAGCCTGCGATTTCGTCGCTTGGCGTCGTTTGGATGACGCGTTTCTACTCTCTCCCCACAGCCACGGCATTTGTAGGATAGACAGCGAAACGCAAAAAAGTCCCCACCCGCGCACTGCTCTTCGACCTGGCGTGGCGCTGTCATCGCTTCTCGCCGTCGACTGGGTCCGACAGCAAACGCCGCATAAAAAAGCCAAAATCGGCCTCCTCGCCAGTCCCGCCCGACCTGGGATCCAGCGCAGCGTGCGACGTCATCCGTTTAAATATGGCGTGCGTCGAGCGCCGCCGGCCCGTCGATACCACACCCCGCCGCACGTCGTTTGTCCGACTGGCGTGCGCCCCGCCGCCCCGCGACTCGACGAGGCGGCAGCCCGCCGCACGCGAACGACCGCGCAGGCCGGACAAAGAGCGGACGCCATGGGCGGCTCCTTCGTCACCGACTTCCTGGCGGGCGGCATCTCGGGCGCCATCGCCAAGACGTGCACGGCGCCGATCGAGCGCGTCAAGCTCATCATCCAGACGCAGGACGCCAACCCCAAGATCATCTCCGGCGAGGTGCCGCGCTACACGGGCATCGTGAACTGCTTCACGCGCGTCGCGGCCGAGCAGGGCATCCAGGCGTTTTGGAGAGGCAACTTCGTCAACGTGCTGCGCTACTTCCCGACGCAGGCCTTCAACTTCGCCTTCAAGGACACGATCAAGGGCTTCTTCCCCAAGTACTCGCCCAAGACGGATTTCGGCAAGTCCTTCGCCGTGAACGTCGCCAGCGGCGGCCTCGCGGGCGCCGGCTCGCTGACGATCGTCTACCCGCTCGACTACGCGCGGACGCGCCTGGCCAGCGACGTCGGCTCGGGCAAGGCCCAGTTCAACGGCCTCATCGACTGCCTCTCGAAGACGGCCTCGGGGCCCGCCGGCCCGCTCGGCCTCTACAACGGCTTCGGCGTCTCGGTGGTGGGCATCGTGCCGTTCCGCGGCACGTACTTCGGCGTCAACGACACGCTCGTGAGCATTAATCCCTACCAGAAGGACAAGGGCCTCGTGGGCATCGCTTCCAAGTTCGCGTGCGCGCAGACGGCGGCGCTCTGCGCCGCGTACGCCAGCTACCCCTTCGACACGGTGCGCCGCCGCCTGCAGATGCAGTCGGAGAAGCCCCAGGAGGAGTGGGTCTACAAGGGCACCATGGACTGCTTCGGCAAGATCGCCGCCGAGGAGGGCGTCGGCGCGCTCTTCAAAGGCGCCGGCGCGAACGCGCTGCGCACGGTCGGCTCGGCGCTCGTGCTCGTCATGTACGGCGAGCTCAAGGGCATCCTCGCCGGCGCCGCCGGCAAGTAGGCGCCCGCCTGTGCCACAGGCCCCCACTCCTCCCCCCTCGCTACGGACCGTCAGCATTTTCACATACTTGGTCCCACCGGACCTACTTGAGCACCCAGATAGACGTCCAAAAGCGTCCGGAAGAACCCAGCAGAAGTAGGAGTGAGTTTGAGGAGGTCTGAGGGGGGTCCGTGGCTACCTATGACTACCCTTACTTCAACTTGAGGTTGACGTGGGGGGAAGTTGAAGCTGAGATACTACGGAGAGCTAAAACCCGCGAGGTAGAGGGGCTGTACTCTCGGAGGGCCAGCCGCGCGTGACGGGGGTGGTGCGGGTTTTCCTTGCACCAGAGAGTGCCCCCAACCCCCCACCCGCGCTGGTATCCTATGAATATACGCCTAGCGTCCTAAAGGCCGCTCTCGGACGAGTTCGACTCCCCGCGGTCGGCGTCGCGGGCCATAAGTCCCTTCCACTGGCGCGGCGCGTCGGCGCGTCATTCCAACGTCCCCTGGAATGCATACGTACGTCATACCGGTCGAATTTTGTCGATAGGTGCCCAAGCGGCCCGCGATCGACATTCACCGAATATGCTCTCCCGACCGGCCGCGGATTGACATGTGGCGACGGATAGCTGGTGGACTTCTGAAGGTGCATCGCTGTTTGCGTTGGTCAGGCGCTTCTCTACCAGCAATTTGGAGATCTGTTCGCAGTCGCGCGCCGATTTAGGGCCTTCGCAGAGCACCAGGCTTTTGGGCACTCGCAGACCGCCGAGGCGGCTAGCTTTCGACGCGCGCTCTTTATGCCAGGCGCGGACGAGTTCCTAGGACCTCCACACACGCCCGGTGGCTGCCCCGTGCCGCACACGGGCACGGAGAGCGCGTTAAAAGCTGGGTGCTCAAGTAGGCCTAGTGGGACTAGTAGTAGATTCCCCGGCCAGGGGCTCCATCCGGGCCACGGTCCGGCCGTCCAGTAGGACCGTGCCCCTCGCTGCCGCTCGCCCGGACAAGCGCCCAGGTCCGTCGGGCGTGGCTATGCTATACGGCATGGCGACGAGCCCGAAACGCCCACGGCTGGTTGTCAGTGGTTGACCTAGCTTGTTGACCTAGCGATCCGCAAGCGGACGGCCTGGGGAGAGTGCCGTGTAACATATCCCCGACGGGATGTGAGAGTCACGGTGGCGCGCATTTAGATAGGTATTAGACGTCCGGGTCTCTCTTTTAAGCGCCGCCGCCGCAGGGAGAAGGCTCCGTGTATGTCCTTCTTTAGGATAGTCCTTCCTTCCTTAATTATTTTATTAGAATCGGAAGAAGGGGCGCCCCTCGTCGCCGGTTTTTCACGTGGACACGCCGAAGCCACCCGCACGCGCCCGGGCCTTCTTCTTCTTCTTCTTGTTCCCCTGCTGCTTCGGCCTGGGCTCCAGCGCGTCCGGCGGCGCGGCGCGCGCCCGCACCTCCGGCCGCGTGCGCAGGCCCGCGAGCTCGTGCTCGGCCCGGAACTGCGCGACCGGGTCGCTCGAGATCAAATCGGGCACGTCCAACACGTCGAACAGGAACTGGAGGGCCTTCCGCTCGACGTCCGAGAGTTCGGGGTGCCACGTCCGCAGCATTAGAATGTAGCGCGTGTCGTCCGAGTCGTTCGCGGCGTCGTGGTACAGGGACGTGTCGAAGAGCATCACGCCGCCCTCCGTCCACGTCCGCGTCTCGTCGCCCACCGTCAGGCTGCAACCCTCCGGTATCCGCAGCCCGAGGTGCGACGTCAGGATGAAATTGCAGCTGTCGGTGTGCGGGTTGATGCGGGACCGCGGCGTCATCGCGGCGAAGAACGCCTCGACGATCGGGGCCTCCGCGTCGGCCAAAAGTTTGGCCGTCCGGGGAAACAGCTTCGAGTTGACCGGGTCCCACGTCGTCCGGTCCATCAGCACGAGCGTCTTCCAGTCCTGGCCGTACTTCTGCGCGCTGTCCGAGTCCGCGGCGCCGGCCCACACGTTGTTGCCCACCCGCTTCGTCCGCTTCGCGTCCTGCAGCGCCACTCTCTCGAACTCGTCCCGCACGACCTCCCAGCTCTCTTCGAGCGTCCGCGCCCACGCCATGCTCGACGTGTCCCAGAACGCGACCGGGTTCAGCCCGGGCACGTAGCTCCGGGCCTCCTGCTTCATGTACTCGTGGCCGGGCACAATCTGGTCGAAGTGCACGTAGCCCGCGTCGGCGAGCCGCCAGCTCTGGCGCACGCGCTCCGTTTCTCGCGCCCCGAACCGCTAGACGAGCTCGCGTTCGACGTGCGCCGCGAACGGCGCGAGCGCCGTGTGTTGGGAGAGCGTGGCGGCGTAGTCCGTGTTCTCCGCTGTGCTGCCGCGTTTCAGGGGGGGGTGCCGTGGCGTCGGCCGCGCGACGAGCGCCGCCGCAGACGTCAAGAGCGCGGCGCTGCGCATTTTCGTGCAGCTTCTAACACCTCTTGCTCAACAGCCTGCCGTGGCGCTGGGTGCTTACACTTGCAGCGCTCGTTTTGGCTCTGCGTGCGCGGGTACAGTCGCTCCCGGCGCCTCGGCCCAGGACTGGTGGCAACGCGGCGCGACCGTGCCTTCAATTAACCACGGTCATTGCTTATATATAGAGACACTGCACTATTTTTACACTGCAATACCATATGTATAGTCAATTCGGGTTTTGGGGCCACGCGCCTTGGCGGCCTGGGAGGGGTGTCGGGAGCGTGTACGTAAGCTTGCTGCCGGTTGTAGAAGCGTGCGTCGTCGTCGCCGTGCCCGGGCGCGTTGGTGAAGTCCGGGTTGCCGCACGACGTGGCCGTCGATCTTGATCCGGGCATACTCGCGCCGTCTTGATGCCCCAGCGACGGTAAAGGCGGTTCTTGAGCAGGGCGGCCGCGTGCTCCTGCGAGGTCGCGCCGTCCTCGACCCAGGTCCGAGCGGCGGTCGCGTCCGCGGCGTAGCAGAGCAGCGTCCGCGCTTCCTCCGAAATTTCGCCGAAGGCACCGAAGACCATAGCTAAACTCTGAGACTCATATAGTCCCGTGCTAATTCGGGTTTGGGCCGAGAGGTGCACGCCGGGGGAGCTATCCTCCTCTTTTTCACATGAGCCAAGGGGAGGGAAACGCGGATCTAGGAATCAGCTCGACGTCGTCGCTTCCGAGTTGCTGAGAGAACAGGCGTAGGTACTATACCGGCTGTTCGTTAGGCCCCGTGCTGCGACGAGAGACGAGACGAGGGAACCGCCGCATCAGTCGTCCTTCGTGGAGTGGCCGACGGCGTGCAGGTTCGCGAGCGTCTGCCGCAGGCACGAGAAGTAGGGCCGCACGTCGTACACCAGGCCGTGGGCCTCGAAGAACGCCCGCACGCGCGGCGAGATGTGCTTGTGCTGGAACTGGGGCATCGCCGGGAAGAGGTGGTGCTCGACCTGGAAGTTCAGGTTGGCCATCCACCAGTTGCACAGGGGACTGGGCGAGATGTTCGTGGTGTGCTTCGCGGCGTACTCGACCCAGTGCACGAACTCGTCCGCCTCGGTGACCGGCAAGTGGGTATGACTCAGCGAGAAGTTCGTGAAGATGTAGCTCGCGGCGACCTGGTTGTACGCCAGGTACGCCCAGACGGGGTGGTCCATGCCCCTCAACACGACGCCGAAGAGCAGGACGTAGCGGAGGGCCATGCACGCCAACTCCCGCTTCCGCTTCGTCCGCAGCGCGTGCCTCGGATGCAGGTAGAGTTGCCAGCCCAAGGCGACCAGCAGGCACGAGACGGGGATGAACAGGTAGCACTGCAGCCGCAGCCAGAGCTTGACGAGGGGGCTTCTGGCCCGCGCCGCGATCTTGGCGTGGAAGGCCACCAAGGGCAGCGTGTCTAGATCGACGTCGTGCTGCAGCTTCTGGGGCGTCGCGTGGTGCTTGTTGTGCTGGTTGCGCCACCAGGCGCCCGACATGCCGCAGCCCACGCCGTAAATAAGTTCCTGGAGGGCGCGGTCGACCGAAATCTCGCCCGTCAGCGAGTAGTGGCCCGCCTCGTGCATGAGCCAGCCGCAGCGGCCCGAGGCGAGGCCCAGCAGGATGATGCCCGCGGCCGCGTATCCGGTGGCGAGGACGAGGTAGGCGCCGACGACGTGCATGAGCACGACCTCGCCGACCCGGTAGACGATCTCGCTCCTGTTCGGGTCGAAGCGGCCCTCGCGGGCGAACTCCTCCCGCAGCCGGGCGTAGCCTCGCGTGAGATCGGTCCGTCCGTTCCCCTCGCGCGCGTCGAGGACGTCGCGGGGCGCCGCGACCTTGGGCAGGCTGCGCAGCATCGCCTGGGCCTTCTTGGAGCGCCCGTGGAACTCCTCGAACGCTTCCGTGGCGTCGCCGTTATTCGTGAGAAACTTGACGATGGACCCGCCGGGGTGCTTGAAAGACGCGACGTCGTACAGGTAGCCGCCGATGAGGACGTCGGCCGTCGTCTTCTCCTCCGCCTCGCTCATGTGCGCCGGGGAGCGCTGCGCGCCCTTGCCCATGACCGCGACGAAGCCGGCACCGGCCAGCTATGAGTTTATGGCCGTGGAATATTGACGACCGTCAGCGCGGCGAGGAACCCGCACGCAATTTCCCCGACACCTCCAGTAGAAAACGACCTTTGGGCGATCTTTACGGGGGCCGACTTTTGGGGGCGCCACCAGCCTCCGGGCAAACACTCACAGTCAACGCGAACAAGCACAGGCAAGCACAGGCTGCCCGGAGGCAAGGCGCGATGCGGCGCGCCGCGCACCGGGAGCAGGTGCGCCGCCGGGCGGGCGTCGTCGCGGCGGTCCAGGCGGGCAAGGTCGTCAACGACGCCTGCGGCCAGAAGGCGAGCGAGGCCGACGCGAAATTGATGCAGCTCCAGCGGCGGGCCGCCTTCTTCCTGCGGGACCACGCCGAACTGCGGCGGGTGCTGCGGGGCCACGACTTCGAGCGGGACCTGCCGGACGCGGCCAAGATGCACGAGGCGGCCAGGCTCTTCGAGAGCGGCGGCCTGGGCGTGCGCGTCAGCCCGGCCGACGCGCTGCGGTGCCACAAGTTCGCGGCGGCGTTGGGGCACCGGGCGTCGCGCGGCGTGGTCGGCGAATACGCCGAGACGGGCGCCGCGGAGCGGCGGCGCCCGCGCCGGGCGCGGACGCTGTCCCGGGCGGCGCAGGACTCAACATTTCGCGGCGCCTTCATTTCGGACTCCGTGCGACACCGGTCGAGAGGCTGGAGCCCCGCGCGGCCGCGTCGTCGGCGCGCCCGACGCGCTGGTCCGGTTGCGCGCAGGTACCGGGACGCGGCGCGCGACGACGACCCGCGCGCGCGGTACAACCTAGGGCGCGTGTTCTACCACGGCCTCCTCGGGCAGCGGGCGAACCGGAGGACCGCGCGCCTCCTGTTCGAGAAGGCCGCGCGGCGGAAGCACCGGGGCGCCCAGGCCGCCCTGGGGTACATGTACGAGAAGGCGGAGGGCGACCTCAAGGCGGACGCGGCCCGGGCGCAGCACTACTACGCCAAGGCCGCCGACCAGGGCTGCGACCGCTCGGCCTTCAACCTGGGCCGGCTCTACGAGACGCTGCTGCTGGCGCCGCCGCCGGACGAGACGGCGTACGACGCGGCGGTCCGGTGGCGCGGCGCGGCGCGGCAACCGATGGTCCGAGTTTCGGCTTCGGCCGACGGGTCCGAGATACCGGTCGACGTCCGCGCAGGTACGAGCGGGCGGCGAAGCGCGGCTTCGAGCGGGCCGCGGACCGGCTGACCAAGATGGCGAAGCCCGTCGGCGACGACGCGCCGGCGCCGGCGCCCGCCGCAGCGCCCGCCACGGATCCGGAGAGCCCGCCCGGCTCGGACGCGTCCGAGTCGGACGCGGCGGCCGACGACGAGGCGGCCGCGCCGCCGCGCGACCCGCTTTTGCTCCTCGCGCAGAAGCACCGGAACCGGCGGATGACGATGGCGCCCGGTCCCCGCTGAGTAACCTTGTTGAAGAAGGTCGTGATTTGCCCGTGATCTGCCCAACGTACTAGTAGGTCCTCCGCGGCGCGAAGCGATCTACCCGAGCGCGGGACCAAGCGTGGGGACCTACCGAACGACGTGGAACGGCTGGAGCGAACCATAAGGCCCGTTCGGCTGCGGCATCCGACGGCGCATTTCGGGGTATGGGCCGGCTCGTTGTCATCGAATCGCGGCGAGCCCGTTGACGTGCGTGGGCCATCGCATACGATCGTAATAGATGCTCCGTGGCCACGGTTTTGGTTCAATTGGCCCGGAATGCACAATTTAGGCTGCACGAAGTCGGCCTCGACGTCACGTTCGGCCCACTGAATGTCGGCGTTGTGGAGGTTTTGAGCGGTCCGAACGGTTCGGACCCACCCATGGGTCAGCATAGAGGCCCCCGACGGCCGGACTACGCGCGGAGGCATTTTTTGTGAATTTTCTAGTGTGTAATTTGTGCCTAACATAGGTCTCGCTCCCCGGATGGTTTTGAAAAGGTGCTCATCGGAACGCGGGGAGCGAGAGAAACGTTTTTACGGGGACGGAAAGGACGAGCGGCGAAGAACAGCGTTCTGACGAGCGGCGTAAAACAGCTCTAATGCTAGTGGCGCAAAACTCACTAGGGCCTGTGTGCCCCGTACCGTTAACGGTACGGGGCAGCCATCTTAGGAAGGAATATCCCAAAGGAAGGACATACACTGACTCAGGATACCTGCCAGCCCGGGCCTCTACCGCCAGCCTAGCCTGCGAGTACTAGAGCCTAGAGATCCGGGGTGCTCGTGTTAGGCAGGAAGGAAGCACAGACGCCTCCGGGGTCAAAGGGGGGGTTCACGCGACCTACGAACATGGAGTCTGGAGGGTGGATGCCGGCCAAAGTAGCGACACCTCTACAGTCCGTCGATTTGCTCGACTGTGCCGTAGAGCACCTCGATTTGCTGCGGAGGCGCCCCGGCGACGCCCCCGAGCAGCGGCAGCGTCGAGGGGTCGGGAATGGCCGCGCGCGCGCGCACGTCGTCGAAGGACTGGTCCACCAACAACGTCCCGTCGCGGAAGACCTCGACCAGCACGTCGCCGGGCACGCCCTCCCTGGGACACGCCGTCTTCGTGACGTAGGAGCCTTCCGAATCGGCCACGAGCGCGAGGCGCCCCCGCTTGGACGCCTTGCCCGGGTCCGTGACCGGGTCCTTGAACACGTCCCGGTCCTGGCCGCCGACGGTGATGGAGGAGCATTTGAACGCGCACTTTTGCGTGTCCCTATTCAGCTTCTGGAGCAGGCCGCCGCCGCTCCCAAAGGCGATGTTGTCGAGGGACCATCCGTTGGCTTTGAGCGTGGCGCAGATCGTGCACAACGCCTGGTAGTCGATGCCGTCGCCCCAAATCAAGCGGACGTGGGGGTCCAGGACCTTGTAGCCCTTTTCGTTCACCTGACCTGCGCGAATGAAGCCGTCGCGCCGACGGGCGCGGAGGTGGCGAGCCGGCGTCCGCCTTCGTCGGCGCGTCGTCGACGAGACGCGATTCGAGTACTTCTTTGACCCCACCGGCAGGCCATCGCCGCGACCGTCGTGTCGACGGCGTGTAGGTCGACCGACGACTACTACGCCAAGCGAAGGCACCTCGAGGCGACCGACGCGGACGAGCGGACCGCCGAACTTCTCGTAGAGCAGCTCGAGGCATTTTAACGACGTAGCGCAGGGCTCGCCGGAGTCGGGACGCACGACGAGCGTCCCCTCACGCCCCAAAACCTTCGACCGCAGCGTCTCCCCCCAGATCTCGCTGCAGGCTTTGAAGACGTCGTAGGAGTCGGACACGCACGCTACCAGGCCCGTGGGGTACGCGTCGAGCCTACGTTGACGTGACCGGTGAGGAGCGGTCGCGCGACGACGCCGAGGCGAGGGGCCGCGCACCATCCGCGCCATCGAGCCAGCGTAGCGGGACGACGTCGCGTCGATGGCGCATCCGAAAGTTTAATTTGAAGGCGTCGTGCGTGCCAAACGCTGGATCTAGCATGTTCTCCAGAGCTTTGGCCTCGTCCGCACGCCCCCACGCGGTGATCGTCGAATGCTCCGACGCGGGGATGGAGAAGCCGGCCGTGCGGCACCCGTAGTATTCTCGGGCCACGACCAAGCCCGCGACGGTGTCCGTCCCCAGAAAGTTCACCAGGTGGGCACAGGCCCCGGTGCCCGCGCTCTCCACGCTCGAAACGCCGCGGAACCCGAAGTCGTGCAGCTTGAAGCCCAGGCCGCCGACGTCGCCCGTCTCGGCTAAGTAGGCCGCGATCACCTTCTTCTGCTCCCTCGAATGCGTGCAGACGGTCATCGCGTGCCAGACCTGCACCAAGAGCGTCTCCACGTAGTTCGTCAGCCAGAAGCACTTCGGATCCGTGTTTTCGACCGTCATCAAGACATTTTTCACGCCGACCACCGTCCCCTCGGGCACCGCCTTGATGGTGAGGGGGAGCCGGCCCTTGTGCTCGTCGACGATGTGCTCCCAGCCCTTTCGGTTGAACTCGAAGCCGGGCGGGAAGTGGCCCTCGTAGTAGGCCGCGGCCTCGTCGATGCGCGCCTCCGTCACGACTTCCCCCGCGAGGTAGCGCTTCAGGAAATATTGCAAGCCAAAAAAGCAGACCTCGTCGTACTTGCCGCCTCGGCTCTCAAAGTAGGAGTACACGGTCTCGGTCCCCGGCGGGTACTGGGCCCAGTGGCTCACCTTGTACGAGTCCGTGAGGAGGAGGAGGTTGTCCATCGCTGCCGGTCCTGCGGCGTCCAGGAGACTGCTCCTTGATACACACACCTATCGGCGGATAGGAGATAAAACCCGATTTTGACCTCGCGCGCGCGGCGCGCGCGACGGCGCAGCGACTACGAGCCAGCCGGCACGTGTAGTCCCAATCGTTGACGCACAGCTGCTAAACGCAATCGAAAGCGCAAGCGATGCCGTCCTTGGAGACGCGACTGCGGCCCCTCCTCAAAGCAGTGGGCTACTTCGGCGCCGACGCGACGCGCGCGCGCACCGCCCATGCGCTCTTTCGGGCGTGCGCGTTGCAGGCATCGCACCCGAACTGGGCGAAGCGCGCGGGGATCGACACGCGCGCGTTCCGGCCGCAGCATTCCCTCATTTTCGCGCACGTCTGGCTCGTCCACCGGGCGTTCGAGACGGAGGGCGCCTCCACCAGGCGCGAGCGCCGGCTGCTCCAGGAGGCGGTCTTCGACGAGCTCTGGGAGGACACGCAGGCGCGAATACGAGCATCGGGTGTCGCGGAGATCTCCGTGAACAAACATTTGACCGACGTACAGAAGTACTCGTTCCAGGCGGCCCTCGAGTACGACGACGCCTCGTCCCGCGACGGCGCCGACCGGCGCGACGCGCTCGGCGCGGCGATCTGGCGCCACGTGCACCTCGGCGCCCGAGACGTCGAGGCGGAGCGGTGCCTGGCCGTGGCGGACTACCTTCTGGAGCGGCTCGACGCGGGAATCCTGGCGGGGCCCCTCGGGGAGGTGGATTGGGGCGCCGCGCCGCTTAGCAAAGGGTAGTTAACTCTACTACTAGTACTAGTTGTTGTTGTTTACTTGCGGCGCAAACGGACTCGGAGAAGTCACGGTAGTATCAACGAAGTTATCCACGGGAGCGGCCTGAGATTGAGGACTCGGAATCTTTATATCGTTACCTTATCGTCTATAACCTTATCGCTCTCGAAGCTCCGGTTGGGTATCATGACCGAGCAGGGTAAGGCTCTTAGGACTCAAGTTCAAAGCCAAAAAAAAAATTCTATACAATACATAACAAGATGTCTGTATGGGGGTCTGGTGAAAACCTCGACGGTCCTCAACTTTTCAAGCAACAAAACGAGTACGCGGATTCAGGGTTTGACTTTCCGCGGCGGCTCGCGGCGAGCGTCTACGACTCTACGCCGACGCGTCGGGCCTCGAGTGCCTCGCCGGCGCGCTCTACGTCTCCGACGGCGACCGCTGCCGCGCGCTCCTCGCGGCGCTCGCGGCCATCGACGAAGCGTTGCCCACGTAGTATCTGTCCCCGGGCACTCCTAGGTTCTTTGTGTACTTACGGCGCGCGCGCGTCGTTTTTGTTCGCCCAGCTTCCGTTTAGCCGGTCCTTGCGCCCTAGAGCCGGTGTCGCAAGCCTCCAAGCGTTTGTCTGGCGGGCTCGCGTCGGCGACCTTACTTCGCACGATGGCCCGCACCACACGGTAGCACCAAAAGCCGAGATTATAATATTAGGGATTTTGGAAATAAAAGCGCATTCTACGTAAGATCCGTGCCTGAGGGCCTCCGGGCCGCGGACGGGAAGCCTCAAATCGCCAGCGGCGCATGCCAAAAGTTTAGCTTTGTTTAGCTAAACGCGCAGCGTGAATGGTGGAGTTCACCGGTCGCCGCGCCTGTTTTCAGCGGAAGCGCGGCCGCAGCACGTCGTCCGATGTCCCAGCTCGCGGATGAGCAAAAAAGTAGCAGCTCGCGGGCGCTCCTGGGAGCGAGAGGGGCTGCCCATTTGGCCGGACATATAGCCCTCTCAGCCGCCGTGAGCGCAAAAGTTATGAGAACCTTCGGCCGTTTTCGCTCCATCACCATGCCTACTGACGATATCGACGTGACGTTCTCATAACTTTTGAGATTTCGAGCCCACGGCGCCGCCGCGACGCGCTCCAGGCATTGCTGCTCCCCGTGGTCCTCAACACAGCCCTCGACGCCCCTCGTATGCACGTCATGGTGGCTGAGAAGGCCTCTGCCAAATCTCGCGACCCACGGGCGCGATTTTCGCCCGAAGCCGCGTTCTCGCCGTAAACGCGGACCACGCATAGACTGACATCCCACGGACCGCTGCCCCTGTTTAGTGTTTTAAATCGTCCGCGGCCACATGTTTTACGATGTCCGACGCTGCGGTGGCCCGATCGGCTCGAAACGGCGCCAAAAAAGACGATCGCATGGCTTTTTGCATGGTTTTTGGCCGTTTTCTCGGCGAGAGGCAGCCCAATTGCTGCCGCGTTTTTTGCAACGCGTAGCCCGGCTGCCCGTGCCCACGGCGTACACTAAGTGTTTTGCACGAGGATGCCCGCGTGCCGAGTTACGGGCGGCATTAGGCGCCTTTGTTTAGCTAAGTTTAGCAATTCCAACATCCTATAGTGAAGCGGCCGTGACCAGCGTCTCTCTCCCACACTCGCTCTCGCTGTGTGCTCCCAAAGGAGCTAAAAAGCAGCGCCAACGCGCATACAGACCCCCAGACGGCAGCCCGGCAGCATTTCAGAAATGATGCCGACGTGGCGCTGCCCCTCCATGACCACGACGACCTTGCTCGCCATCGCCGTCCTGGCGACGGCGCGCAGCTCCGCTGCTGCGATCACGGGCGTCGGCACCCTTTTGTCCGGCTCCGGCAGCTCCGCGGGGCGCGGGCTGGCCCTCGGCGTGCTGCTGGCCTCGCCGCACCTCGCGGCGGCTCGGCCGTTTGGAGCGGCAAACACATCCGTCGCCGCGTCACCGCCGGCCTGCCGCGCGGGACTCGGCTCGTTTCAGGTGAATATATCGGATGTGTTCGAAGGCGCCACGTGCTACGGGCGACGCTACCCCGATCTCGAGTACGCCTTCTGCAGCAAGGACGAGTGCAACGTCCAAGCGCTCCACCGACACTTCCAGAGCCACGGGCGGCGAGAAGGAAGACGCTTCGGCTGCGAGGCGGCGCCCCTCACCGCGGCGGAGACGGCAAAATATAAGGTCCACGCCCTCACCGCGGCGGTGACGGCAAAATATAAGGTCCACGAGGCGCGCCGACGTACGGCCAAGTACGAACAGGTGGCGTGTCGCATGGACCATCGCGTCGGCGCGTGCGACAACAGGCTGGACGTAGGACGACAAGGATCCCACGGCGTGACGTGCCGGCCGGTCGGCGGAAATTGCGCGTGCGGCCGCCCCGCGGACTTAGATGCGGCGGCGGCGCGGACTGGAGCGGCGCCCGGGGGCCCCGCGACCCGCAACGCGACCCGCATCTGCGCATACGTCCGTAGCTACAATGGCCACAAGAGCGTGATCGGTACGATGCTGCAGACGATGCGAGCGGCCGTGCGCGCGGCCGGGACGCCGGTGGACCTGGAGGTGCACCTCGCCAACACGGATTGGCGGCTTCCGCTGTTGCCCTGCTTCCGCCGCCGCGTGGCGTTCGAGGCGTCGTGCGTTGATCAGAACGCGTCGGGCAGCTTCGAGATCCACGAGCGCTTCGACGATCGCTACCAGCGCGCCGAGACGGCCTTCAGGCGACGCTGGGGCGTCACGGTCAAAAAAGACTACGGCTACATCCTGACGGACCTGTGGCTCCTCGAGATGCGCCGGCGAGGCGGCTGCGACTTCATCCATGTCACGAACGGCGACAACATCTACCACGTCGACTTCTTCCGGCACCAGCTTGCCGTGTTCAACGCGCGCCCGGACGTCGGGTCGACGGCCGTCGACTTCTCCTGCCACCTTCGCAGAAATTTCCATAGCGTGGCCTTTAACTATACGCACATCGACCTGGGGTGCATGCTCGTGCGGCCGTCGGCGATGCGCAACATGACGTTCGCCGTCCGCCTCTTTGAAGATGGCAAGCCCCAGCCGTCGAAGCGGCGTCTCTACGCGGCCGACGGCTTTCTTGCCGCGGAGCTCGCCAGGCGAGCGCCCGCCGTCCCGATCCACGACCATGGGCCGCTCTTCTTCCACCTTTGAATTACTTAGCGGCGAAGAACAGCGTTGTGACGAGTGGCGTAAAACAGCTTAATGCTAGTGGCGCAAAACTCACTAGTGCCTGTGTGCCCCGTACCGTTGACGGTACGGGGCAGATGTCACTGTGGACTCGGACCGCCGCCTTACGCCCGGATCAAGATCGACGGCCTCCGGCTCGTCCGCGGGAACCCGGACTTCACCAACGCGCCCGGGCACGGCGACGACGACGCACGCTTCTACGACCGGCAGCAAGCTTACGTACACGCTCGCGGGGGATAGCTCCCCCGTCACCCCTCGAGGCGCGCCCCCGCAACCCGAATTGACTGCTAATAGTATTTTGCCCATCTAAAGTGCGATGCTTTTGTTATAAGTCGCATTTCAGCATCTTCGTGCGGTCCTGATGTGCTAAGCGCAGATGCAGGAGCAGGACGTCGCCCTAGCGGGCAGGGTCCAGTGGCTCCGGAAGGGCAAGGGTCTTGTTAGCCGGCTCACGGGCGCCCGGCTCGTCGACGCGCGCGCGCGTCTCTTGCGACGACGCGGCGCGACGACGCTCGTCGTCGAGGCCGAGGACGGCAGCAAGCGCGCTGTCGTGCGTGTCGACGCTGGCTGCGCGATCGATGTGACACCGCCACCGCACACGCCGCCCGGCGCATTTTCCGTGGGGCGGCGGGGCGACGCCGGCGTTGTGCTGGTGACGACGCACCGCGGCGCGTGGCTCCTCGCGCTCGGCGCGCGCCTCCTTGCGGGTCGCGCCGGCCTCGGAGCTTCCGGCACCTGGCGGCACGCCTGTCTCCGGGGCTCGCCGCACGCGCGGGCGCTCTGCGACGACGACACGGGCGAATGTGACGTGAACGCGAGGGACGCGCGGGGCCGCGCGCCGCTCCACGTCGCCGCGGCGCGCGGCGCCCGCGTCACGCACTTGCTCGAGCGGGGCGCCGACGTGGGCGCGGTTGACGGCGCCGGCGCGACGGCGCTGCACGTCGCGTGCGCCGCGGCGCGCCCCGTTTGCGTTGGAGGCCCGTGCGGAAGCTATCGGCCATCGAACAGGTCAAGGCCTCGGGAGCCACGGTTTTTGGTTCTACGCAGGTCGAGGCGCTCGTCGCCGCGGGCGCGCCGGCGTCGAAGCGCGACCGCCGCGGCGCGGCGCCGGCCCACGCGCTGGTGGTGGCAGCGGCGCGCGCGGAAGCCGCGGCCGCGGGCGCGGCGGCGGCGGCGCTCGGGCCCGACGCGCTCGCGGCGCGCGACGGACGGGGCTTCACGGCCGCGCACGCGCTCGCGTTCTGCCGGCGGGCGCCCGCGCTCTCCGCGTTCCTGGGCGCGGGCGCGGACGCCGACGTTCGGCTCCTCGCGCGGCCGCCGCCTCACACGAGCGCGGCGCGCGTCGGGCTGGGGCGGGGCGCCGCTCCTTTGCACTGCTGCTTCGCCTCCCACGAGAACCCGGACGACGTCGCCGCCGCGGCCGAGGCGTTGGTGCGCGGCGGCGCGGCGCCGGCGGCGCGCGACGCCGCGGGCGTCTACGCGCCCGAACTGGCACTCGCGCGGGCCGCCGCGCCCGAGCCGTGTCCGCCGGCCCTCTCGGCCGCGATCGTGGCCGTCTGCGCGGCGGCCGACGCGCGCGCCTCGCCGGACTCCGCCGCGCTCCGGGCGGCGTGCGCGGCGAAGGCGGCGGCGGTCGGCGCGACACCCGGCGCGGACGCGTCGTGGGGGGCTCTTTCTCTCGCCCTCGAAAAGGGCGCCCCCGCGCGGCCGTCGGCGCTAGCGTCGCTGCTGCCGGCGTCCTGGACGCGCGCCGCCGCGCCGTCGCCGTCGCCGCGGGCCCGCGACGCGCATGGCGGCGCGGGGGGGCTCGGCGGCCTGCGCACGGCGGCGGCGGAGCGCGGGGAGCGACTCTCGCGCCTCGCCGACAAGGCCGGCGAGCTCGACGACGCCGCGGCGGAGTTCGAGCGGGCCTGCGCGCGCCTCAACCGGCCGCGGAGCTGGTGGTAGACTAAGACTGTTAAAACGACGCCTCCGAGTCCGGAGATGATGATATAAGTTGAGTGACTTTTTACACCACTACTTCGATGTTTAGAGGTCAATTAAGCCCTATTCGCTGCGCTCATAGCCTGACATAGGACAATCGACCTCTAATCGAAAAAGTGATGAAAAAAGACACATCAACTTATTTTAGGGTTCGCCCCGCCCCGACCTGAAAGTTCCGAGGATGAATAAGTAACTGTCCAATAAGAAAAATTTTACTAGTAAATTCGATTTTCAACATTGGTAATTACACAGCAGACGAAGTAGATCATATCATAGAATATATACAGAAACGCTCTTTCATAGTGCTTTGGCAACGCTTTCACGAAAGTGTAATTAATATATAAAGAGTAATTAACTTGAATATATAATGATCTGTGTTTTTGGGGGCGCGCGCTTGCGATAGATATGCATCGATTTGCCGACAGGCAAATTGGTGTATATCTTGAAGCAAGTTTAACACACACACACACACAAAGCATAACTTGAAATCATTTTCGTCATAACAATATCATAAATTAAATATAAATCTTAAAATTCTAAAATCTACATTTGGTAAGGTCGGGGCGGGGCGAACCCTAAAATAAGTTGATGTGTCTTTTTTCATCACTTTTTCGATTAGAGGTCGATTGTTCTATGAGCGCAGCGAATAGGGCTTAATTGACCTCTAAACATCGAAGTAGTGGTGTAAAAAGTCACTTAACTTATATATCATCATCCTAGACCTCGACGCGGCGATTCTGCAGGACCATACCGAGGATGTCCTCGTCGCGCTTCAGGCGGTCGTCGTCCACGGCGGCGCGGTTGCGCGAGATGGCGGCGCGCGCAAGTTCCTCGACGCGCTCGCGCCGCTTGAGGCTCACGTCCGCCGCGGCGAGCGCGTCGAGAACCTCGGCCGCCCGCGAGGCCCCAGCCGCCGTGTCCGGGTCGTTGAGGCACGCCTCCAACGCGGACGCGAACGCCGGGTCGCCCAGGGGCAGTCCCACGGACGTCTGCGCCCCCAGCAGCGCGACGGCCGCGGCCGAGTTGTTCGCGCGCGCCGCGCCGTTGATCGCGGTCCCGAACGTCACCTCGGTCGGCTTGATGGAGGCAGATTCCATCGCTTCGAGGAGACTGAGCACTTCGGAAAACCGCCCCTGCTTCGCGAGCGAGTTGAGGGCCACGTTGTAGGACCTGTGCGCAAATCAACCAGCGCGTCGGGGGCGCCCAGCCGGGCGGTGCGAGACCCGCGCCGCCACGCCATCGAGCAGGCATCGCGTCGACGGCGCGGGCGCCGCGAAATTTGATTCGTGCACTGCGTAGGACACGACGTTGAGAGCGACGCCGTCGCGATCCATCGCCGCTAGCAGCGCAGAAGTGGCGTTTTCCGTCAGCGAGCCCTGCGCCGCGTGGAGCAAGGCGTTGTACGTCGCGCGCGGCACGGTCACGTTTTCCTCCTTCATGCGCCTCCAAAGAAGCATCGCCGTGCGACCCTTGATCGGCCGCGACCGCCCGCAGGCCGTGATGGCCCCATGGTAGAGCAGCGGGCTCCTCCGCTCCGCGGGGAGCGCGTCGAGTAGCGAGTAGGCCGTGCGGTGGTCGCCTTTCTTCGCGAGACCCCGCATCGCCGCCTTCAAGGAGGCGTCGTCCAGCGTCTTGAGCGTGTCCTCGTCGGCCGCCGCCTCGGCCACGTACGCGCGGAGCTGCGCGTCGTCGCGGCTCCGCGCGGCTGCGGCGACGCCACAACGGACGTCGGACGCCGTTCTCGCGGAAAGGGCCCCGACGGCCGCGAGGCATTCCGCATCCTTGCGCGCGCGAAGGAGAGCGGGCGCCAGCGCGGTGAGCCTGGGTGATCGCACGATTGAGAAGAAAGGGGGGCCGCCGGCTCCCTGGACGCGGCCGCGCGCAAAGCGTCGTCGACAGCCACGCCGGCCCGCTTGACGCGGGCCATGACCTGCGCGATCGAACGAGTGGGCACGAAGAGCCCGGCGCGGTGGACACGGCCGCGCGACGTGGCCCACGAGCGCGGCCACCGCCGCCGCCGGCGCGTCCGACGCCGCGGCCGTCGCGAGCACGACGGCGAACGGCGCGGTCGTGCCCAGCCCGTCGCCGTTCGCGTCGATCGCGCGCAGCTGATCCACGGCGGAGGGGAGCCCTTGCAGTTCCTCCGCGAAACGCTCCTCGGACGAGAGCGTCGTGGCGGTGGCGGGACGGGTCGACCACCGGGCGCCGCGGCCAGCCAGCAGCACAAAGCTCTCCGTCCCGGACGACGAGAGGGCGACGAGTGCAACGACGTGGATCCGACGCATGCTTTTCGTACCCGCTGTCGTGTGCGATATATATTTTTGTATTTAGGTCGTAGAAACAGATATCGGCTGGCAAAATGAGACAGTATGAGACAGTGAGTCAATGCTCTTGATGCCCTCCACTCACAGTAAGGGGCGGGACGTGGGTGGCAGGTTGCAGGTTTCCGCCTCCGAGTTGTGGTAGGTTTCAGGTTTCCGGTTCACGGAAACGGACGCCCGAGGTTTCAGGTTGCGGGCCCCAGCTCCCGTCCGCGCCCGGTAGGCGCGGATTCCGCGAGGAACTCCGAGATGCGCCATGCAGTCGTTTGAGTATCGTTCGGTTCGATACTGGTCCAAAGAGATTAATGGGACACTTACTGGGGGGCGAAAAAAATAATTTTTTTAATTCGCGATATTGACGGTCCCGCCATGACGGCCGCGCCGATGGAATCCTGTCGATTTGCGGCGCGGAGGTCTCCCGGGGTTCGCTTTGGGTCGGCAGTGGTCGCGTGCAAGCGCCTACACCGCACACGCCGCCGCTTACAGCATATTTTGGCCAATTCTCTCAGCAGACAAAGGAGCTTTAGCAAGTTTAGGGCAGGTCTGGGTTCCGAGACCTCTAGGCTGCTGCATCGATGGCGTAAGCGGTGCAGCCGCTTACCCACTACCAGACCTACCCCGAGAGGCCTCCAGGAGCCGATCTGCCCCCGAAAGAAGTGTGTAATTTGGACCCGTTGGTGCCTCGTTAGCGTCAAATACGTCAATTACCCGAGGGCCCCCAGTAGTCGCCGTAGCGGTCTCGTTGGACCCCATACTACCCCAACGATAGTCAATTACGAGTATATGCCATCTACATTATAAGAAGGGTACTTTTGGCTGCCCACGCTCGGGACGTGAACATCTTTATCTGGAGCTCGCATAAGTCGGTCGATCATGAAACAAATGATCGCGTCAAGGTCCATGGTGATGGTACACGGGCTGATGGTCGCAGGTCCAAGTATTTTGCAATATGAGTGAGATCTTGGGGTCCCGGGACGAACCAGGCGCGAGGAGTTTTCCGAGAAGGTAATCCTATGTAGTAGACGTTCAGGCCGGTTATCTGGCCCGTCCCGTAACCGAAGCGCCTTAAACGCGAATTTATTTTATAAACCACCGGTCTGGGGCCAATTCAGTGCCCCGCGTACGCACCGTCGTCCGCGGAGAACGGGCAAGTCGGTCGATTGTGAATAGAACAACGGCGTTATGGTCCATCTGGATGGTGTCGTCGCTGATACTCGCGGGTCCAGGGTTTTCGCTCACCTTCATGAAAACGTGGGGGGCGCGAAGTCGCTTCGCGGCGAGGCTCTAACGGAGTACATGATCATGCTCACTAGACGTTCTGGCCGGCTGCATGGACTCTACCCCTAACAAATGGAAGGAAACGAACATAAACTCGGGAGTTGTCTAGTAGAATTCTTTTCCCGCCCTCCGAGCGCGGGCCGTCGGCTCCGGTTCCGTCGGATATGTATGAAAACTGGGCTGGAGTTGATATGATGTACTATTTGGGTAGTAGATGGCGGCGTCAAGCGCTGGTGTACTTTGGCGAGCCGCAAGACCTAGTGATCTAGCGTATCGACACACTAGAAAAAAGTGGTGCGCGGGTTTTGGTTTTGGTTGGTTGCGGCCCGATTCTCGCCGGAGGTTTCAGGTTTCCGGCTTTGGGAGTCCGGAAGTTTCAGGTTTCCGACTGAAATCCGCAACCCACGTCCCCCCCCTTCACACTGCTTTCCCCGTGAGCACCACGTCGCCTTTGCTGAAGAAGAAAATTCCATGGTGTGTTACAGTGAAACTTGATTCCGGGAAACATGCTCTTTTCTCCGCCACTAGGCAGCTAGTGTGTCAGTCTTATCACTCTCCAGCCTCCTCCACCTCCCATCCCTGTCCTCCATCCTCATCCAGACGCTCCGGTTCAATGTCCATCGCCGCGCTGCCTCGCCTGCGCGCCTTCGCGGCCGCGGCGCGGAGCCAGGCGCGCGCCCTGTCCAGCGAGCGCTACGACGTCGTGGTCGTCGGCGGCGGGCCGGGGGGCTACGTCGCCGCGATCAAGGCGAGCCAGCTCGGACTCAAGACGGCGTGCGTCGAGTCGCGCGCGGCGCGCCAATCAACCCTCCGCGACGCGGCGGCGCCCCCGACCCGGCCGGTCGCTACTCGCAGGTCCCGCGGCACGCTCGGCGGCACGTGCCTGAACGTGGGCTGCATCCCGAGCAAGGCCCTGCTGCACAGCTCGCACCTCTACGAGGAGGCGACCAAGCACTTCAAAGACCACGGCATCGTGGTGAACGACGTGAAAGTAGACCTCGACAAGATGATGGCCAACAAGGCCTCCAGCGTCGACTCGCTCACGGGAGGGATCGAGTTCCTCTTCAAGAAGTACAAGGTGGACTACCTGCAGGGCAAGGGGACGCTCCAGGGCCCGAACAGCGTCGGAGTGGCGTTGAACGACGGCGGCGCGGAGACGCTCGACGCGGCCCACATCTTACTAGCGACCGGGTCGGAAGTCTCTCCGCTACCCCCGTGCCCCGTGGACAACGCGGGCGGCCGCATCGTGGACTCCACCGGCGCTTTGGACCTGAAGGAGATCCCGAAGACCATGGCCGTGATCGGCGGCGGCGCGGTCCCGCGTAGACACCAGATTTCGGGGCGCCCTCGTCGGCTCGATGGCGTGGGGCCGGACGGCGGTCCCCCGCGGGCGACCCACCGATAGACTGTCCACGCAGGCGTGATCGGCCTCGAGATGGGCTCGGTCTGGCGGCGACTGGGCACCAAGGTGACCGTGATCGAGTTTCTGGACCACATCGTGCCCGGGACGGATAAAGACGTAGGCAAGACCTTTCTGAGGCTGCTCAAGAAGCAGGGCATGAAGTTCAAGCTCAAGACCGCGGTGCAGTCGGCGGAAGTCGCCGAGGAGGGCGTGGCGCTGACGCACGCCCCTGCGAAAGGCGGCGACGCGACGACCGACCATTTCGATGTTGTTCTCGTGGCCACGGGCCGGCGCCCCTTCACGGAGGGGCTGGGGCTGGAGAACCTGGGCATCGAGACCGACAAACTGGGACGGGTCCAAGTGGACGAGCACTTCCGCACCAAGGTGCCCTCGGTCTTCGCCTTCGGGGACGTGATCGACGGCCCCATGCTCGCGCACAAGGCCGAGGAGGAGGGCATCGCGTGCGTGGAGAACATCGCCGGCTTCGCGGGCCACGTGAACTACGACGCGATCCCGGGCGTCATCTACACGCACCCCGAGCTCGCGACGGTGGGCCGGACCGAGGAGCAGCTCAAGGAAGCTAACATAGAGTACAAGGTCGGCTCGTTCCCGTTCAGCGCGAACTCGCGCGCGCGCGCCGTCGGCGATTCCGAGGGCATGGTCAAGGTCCTCACGGACGCGGCCTCGGACAAGATCCTCGGCGTGCACATCATCGGCCCGAACGCCGGCGAGATGATCGCCGAGGGCGTCCTGGGCATGGAGTACGGCGCCTCGTCCGAGGACGTCGCGCGGACGTGCCACGCGCACCCGACCCTCAGCGAGGCCATGAAGGAGGCGTGCATGGCCGCCTCGTCGCAGCCGATCCACTTCTAGACTTATGCATCACGTAAAACGTGCGTACGTAGTTACCCCGGGCCTTGGGGATCGTCTTCGTCGCCCTTGGGCGGCAGATTTGGGCAGCCTGGGGCGCGGCCGGCGGGTTGGCCACCGCCTCGGGCAGACCTATGCATAAATAGTACGCGTCGTCGGAGAGACCATGGTGGCTAGGTGGCCGCCGAGCTCTATCATTGTTCGGGACGATGACGTATGAGGGCCGAATAAATAACCGTCGCGGATCTGGGATTCCGGTGTCCGGCCTGCCCCCCCCTCGCCGTCGTCGCCTCCGAGCTAACACTCGGGGCGACGGCGTACGAGGGCGGGGGCGGGGCGGGCGTTCGGTCATAGGCGGCCTAGCTCGTAAGCAAGCAAATAAATAAATAAATTAATTAGTTAGGGAAGACCTAAAAAAGGAACAACCTCCTAAGAGCCTTCTCCCTGCTCGGTCAGGATGCCCAACCGGAGCTTCGAAATAGCAATATGGCCCCCCTCCCCTCCCCCTCCCCTACCCCTCTATAAGATCCTGGGGTTAATAACCCGTACTAACGGGTAATTACCCGGGTTACTGACCCCGGACCACGATTGGGGTTAATAACCCCTGGGGTTAATGCCAACCTAGCTTCGACCCAGTCTGCCGGCCATCCGCCGACCGAGGGAACATTAGGAGCTCACAGGGGGGTCCGCGCGCACTTCCAGCCGAGCAGCGCCGCGACGTCGCCGCCGACCGCCCCCACCAAGGCCCCGAGCCGGACGTTGCCGCGCACGACGCCGAGGTAGGCCCGTGCGCGGTCCGCGGTGGAGACGTCGGCGTCTCCCGTGGCGAGCAGCTTCCGGGAAATGTCGAAGTTCTTCTCCAGGAGCTCGACCGCCCGGTCGCCGTCGCCCGCCGCCGCCTCGAGCGCGCCGAGCGCGCGGCACGCCTGCGCCTCCGCGGCGAGGTCGCTCGACGCGGCTGCGGACGCGAGGCAGCGCTCGAGGTACGCGGCGGCCGCGGTGTCGTCGCCCTGGTCGCGCCACGCGGCCGCCAGCGCGGCGGCCGCGCGGCCCTCGCCCTTGACGTCCCCGAGCTTGCGGAGGAGCGCCTCGGCCTGCTCGAGCGTCGCGACGGCCGCCTCCGGCTCTCCGGACGCGACCTGGGCCCGGCCGAAGGCGAGGCCCGCGGCGGCCTCGCGCCCGGCGTCGCCGGCGTCGCGCGCGGCGGCGAGCGCGGCGCGGCGCGCGTCGACCGCGGGCGCGCCCGCGGCCTCGAGCGCCTCGGCCCGCGCCGTGTAGACGCCCGCGAGCTCGCGCGACGCCAGGCGCGCCTCGCGCGCGTCGTCCAGTGCCCGGGCCATGGCCAGGTGGCGCTCGTGGTGCCGCGCCGCCGCCTCGGCCTCGCCCGCGGCCATGCGCGCGAGGCCCAGGTCGTGGTGCGCGGCCATCTCGCCCCGGTGGTCGCCCGTGAGGCGCGCCACCTCGAGGCACTTTTCGTAGAAGTAGACGCCCGTGGCGGCGTCGCCCGCGCGGCTCTCGTAGTACTTGGCGACGTTCGCGTAGGCCGCGTACACCGCGCCCGTGTCGCCGCGGCGCCGCGCCGCCTCGGCGCGCTCCAGGTTCTCGCGCAGGTATTGGGCCTCCCGGGCGGGCACCTGGACGTCCCTCCCTTCGTTCTCCGGATCCGGCCGGTGCGTCAGGTAGAAGAAGTCCACGAACGACTGCACGAAGCCCCCGCGCAGCATGCCTTCGCAAAGCTGCCGCCGGTCCGGCGGCGGCGGCGCGCGCCCGGCGGAGGCGGCGTCCAGCTCCTCCCCGGACGCCCGCCGCCGCGTCGCCGGCTGGATGCGCGTCTTCCGCAGTGGCTTGGACGAGACCTGCGGCACGCCCCGGACGGGCACGGCGGGCGGGTCGCCGCGGGCCATCCTGGGAATGGCGCCTCTCTTTCCCTTTACTCTGATGGATATATATCTTCAGTGCTGGGGGAGGTACGGTACGGTTTTCCACTTTCCACTTGCTTTCTACAGCGATTGTGCCATGATCCCCTAGTTACTTACACTGATAATTCCTCTCAGGTACCAGTGGATGGATACTAGAGGCTAGTGCTTGTAGCTTACTACCTCCGACTCTAGAGTCAGCCGCCGACTCGGAGTCCGACTCAGTCTCGGCGAGTCCGAGTCAGCCTGAGCGGCCTCCGAGTCAGGCCGACTCGGAGGCTACCGTGACCCCGGCCCGCCGGGTCGGGCCCCTCAGACTGAGGGCCTTCCATTCCGACTCGGAGTCCGAGTCACGGTCTACTACTAGTAGATACTACTAGTACATGCCGAGTCGCGGTCACGGCCCTACTAACTTGAATCCCCTCAAGTTCCGAGTCATGTTCCATTCCAACTTAAATCAGGGCTAATCATGCCAGTGATCATGACTCTAGAGTTTATCTAGACCCGGGCCGTGACTAAAAAGGCACAAAAGTGCCCGCTTATTGTGCCCGCCCGGACACCGGCCGCTAGAAGCTCCGCTTGTGTACCGCCTCCTCGTCGTCCTCCCACTCGCGCTTCGTGACCTTGATGTGCTCGAACGTCTCGAGGGACGCGAAGAGCGAGCCGCCGACCCAGGCCGCGTGCTTCCGCTGCTTCGTGTAGCCCCGCTCCGCGGGCCCGCCGGCGCCGCCCGGGACGCAGCGCGCGCGGTGGCTCAGGCCCCGCTCGAGCTCATTCTGCAAACGGCCGCAAAAGCCGGGCAGCATGGTCGTGCCGCCGGCCAGCACGACGTTCTCGGCGAACTCGACCTGCAGGTCCTTGTCGCACAGCTGCAGGGACGACGCGACGAGCGTTTGAAGGTTCCGGTCGTCGTCGCCCGGCCGCGTGAGGCTCGTGCAGTCCTCGTCGACCTCCCCGACTTCGCGGTCCTCGAAGAGCGCCTCCGGCGCCAAAGCCCGCGCCGCGGCGTCCACGGAAACGACCGTGCCATCGGGGAGCTCGACCTCAACGTCCTCGGGAGCCCCGAACGCGCACGCCTTTTCCTTCGCGCGGCGCGCGTCGTCGTGGCCCAATCCCATTTTTTCGGCCAGCACAGCCGTTACCGCCGCGCCCGCGCGCTTCGAGGTCGTCAGCGCGTGCGCTATCCCAAATCCCTCGAAGACCGGCACGGCTTTCGAGACGCTCGCGCCCACGTCTAAAACGAGCCCGCGCGTCCGCCCGGACGCGAAAAGCGACAAAGCAGCCGCGTTGTAGAAGCACACGGCCGGCGCCTTCAGGGTCTCGAAGAGGAGCCGGGCCATCCTCTCCCGCTGTTCCTCCTTGGCGCCCGGCGCCTCGGCGACCAGGACGGCGTAGCCCTGCTCCGGTGTTGTCTCCAGTTCTTCCGTAAAAGTAAGTTCCAGCAGTTTCCCCAAAAGATCCCAGTCCGCGACGGCGCCGTCCCGCACCGGGAAGTCCCGGCGAGTCGCCGGCGTCGCCTCGGCGCTCTCGGGCATGCCGCGCGCGGACCGCTTTTTGTGTGTCGGCTTGTCGCCCACGCGAGCGGGAAAGACGGCCCGCGGGAGGTCCTCGCCGCAGAAGCCGGCCTTCACGGACGACGAGCCGACGTCCAGGATAATCGTGGAACCCGCATCACAGTCGTGGAACTGGCCGTAGACCATGTTCCAAGGGCAGCCCGTTTGTTGCGGCAGCGGTGCTACGTGTAGATGATCGCGTGCGCGCGCGCGGCTCTGAGCCACACGTCCCGCCGTCGGGCGTGTGCCTGCGTTAAATTATTACCGCAGTATGTGTGCCCGAAAGTACCTACGGTATACCTTGGTTGTACCTGGCGCGGCGGCAAATTCCCACGAGCAGTTTTTCGCTGCCCTCGTGGTGGAGGCGACCGATGCTCCATCAACAATCGCCGCGGCGGCGGCCCGAGCAGCGCACGCTGAGCTCGCACCGCTTCGGCCGCGCCGCCACGCCAAAGCCGGCGCGCGGCGCCGGCCCGCTGCCGGCCCCCGCCTTGCCGCCCGGCTGGCGGTCGCCTTCTGCCGGAGCCGCGCCGCGGCGCTCGGTGCGCTTCGGCGCGGCGCCGGAGCCCCGCGGTCCGCGGTCCGCGGTCGACAGCGCGTCCGAGTGCAAGCGGCACGCGTCGCCGCTCGCGCGCGGGCCCGTCCGGCGCGTGTCAGTCGCGGCCGCGGCGGGGCGCGGGCGCGTGGCGCCGCCGCGCGTGGCGCCGCCGCCGCTCGCGGAGCGGCGGCCGCCGCGCGCCGTCGACGCGCGCCGGTTCCACGCGCCGACGGCCAACGGGTTCGTGCCCGACGATTTTGATGGCGCGGGGGGCGGCACAGCCAGGCGTGCACACAGGGACGGCGCGGCCGCGGCCGACGACGACGACGACGACCGGGGCGAGGAGTGGCCCTCGGACGGCGACGACGACCGGGGCGAGTGGACGCAGCACTGGGACGAAGAGGTCGGCAGCCACTACTACTTCAACTCGAGCACGGGCGAGGCGACGTGGGTCCAGCCCGAGCTCGAGGCGATAGCGGACTAATGCACTAAACTTACGCGCGCGGCCGGCCGTAGGTCGACAGCTCGGCGACGAGACCGCGGAACTCCGCGTCGTCCGGGAAGCCCCGCATCGCCTTCCGCATCTCCATGCCGAACCGGGCGACGCCGCGCTCCCCGCTCGGATAGCCAAAGTCCGCGAGGGCGTCCGCCTGCAGGCGCACCATGAGGGGCTTCATCACAGCGTCCCTCGTCCCCTCGCCGTCCCGCTCGACCTTGGCGTGCGCCTCGTCCAGCAATGCGATAGCGTCGGCCTCCTCGCAGCGCGCCAGCACCGCGGCCAACCTATCTTTGCACGCGTCCGGCGGGAGCAGGTCCACGTGGTCCCACTCGCCGGGGTCCGCGGGGCACAGCGTTCCCTGCGGGAGCGGCGGCGGCGGCGGCGGAGTCTCCCCGAGGACCTTGCCGTACGCCGCCTTCTCGACCCGCGCGCGGAACTTGCGCGCTTCCTCCCGCAACGCGGGCGTCGCTTGCAACGAGGCGACGCGCGAGCACTCTAGTGCTTTATCGTACTGGCCGAGGCCGAGGCGCGCCTTGCAGACCTGCATCCCGGGCTTGGCCCAGTCGTCCCGCAACTCCAGCGCCTTCTCCGCCTGCGCGAGCGCGTCGCGGTACCGCTTCTGGCCGAGCAGCGCGGCCGCGCGGCAGCTCAGCAGCTCGGCCGCCCACTGCCGCGTCCAGGTTTCGTACTGCGGTATTTCCTCGATGCCGGCGCCGTCGCGCGCGTCGCCGTCCGGCTGGGTCGGGTCGTCGCTGCCGAGGATCACGGGGCACAGCCGCGCGAGCGCGTCCCGGAAGTGTCCGTCGGCGGCGTGCAAATCGCCCCGCCGGAAGGCCTCGACGCCTTGCGTCCTCGCTTCTCTCCATCTGCACTCGGCCCCCTCGACGCTCTCCGCGGGCTGCGCGAAGGTGGCCGGCATTAGAGAACCCCCACGCGAGGTTTTCCGCCGGAGGTTAAGCTGTTTCTTCCACGCACGGCACTCCCGTAGGTTTGATACTTGTAGGTACTTTTTGTACTAAAGATACACTAAACATAAAATGGGCGCGCACGCGAGGATCATAGCGCGGCGATGAAGCCAAGAATCGCGCCCTCCGGGCTCCGGAGCCGCTACTGCCGCGGCGCGTACGACGACCCGGCGGCGACCGGAGCCGGCCTGCTAGATGCGCCCTTCGCCCCCGCGCTCCGGCTGCCCGAGCCGTCCGAGACGCCGCCGGCGCGGCCGGAGAAGGTGCGGCCCGGCGCGCGCCCGGATAAACCAGCCGTGCCGTGCCCAAAGGGAAAACTCACGGGTTGGTCGCGGGCCGCCTCCGCGCGCTGCCGCTACGGCCCAAGCCTGGAGGCGCGGCTCGCCAACGACGGCGCCTGGTACCCGGGGGTGAGCGAGGAGGAGCGCCGCGGAAAGACGCGGTGGTTGGTGCGGGGCTCGGGCGCGCGCTACGGCTTCTTGAGTTTGAGACTGGGCCGGCGCGCCGCGGAGCGCGCCATTGGAGCAGCGGCGACCGGCGTCGCGCCCGCGGACTGTGGGGGGGACGCCGACGTCCTCGCGCCGCCGCCTGCGCGGGGACGGCGGCGCGAGCGCGGCTGGGCGGCGCGCGCGGCGGACCCCGCGCAACGGGCGGCGGCCGCGAAGGCGCTGGCTCGGCGCCTCGGCGACGCCTGGGTCCTGTGCTTCGCCGTCCTCGAAAGTTCCCGCCTCGAGCTGCGGCTCGTCGTCGGCCGGCCGCGCGACGACCTGTGCGCAAATCAACCAGTGAGTCGGGTGCACTTCTTCACAAAGTCACATCTCGGCGAGAACGCGGCCGTGTTGGCTGGAACGAGCGGCAATAGACCATCTCGCCATGTCATCGAGCTGGCGTCGCGTCGATGGCGTGGAGGTCGTTGGACGCGCCGCGACAATTTGATTTATGCACAGGCGACGACCGCAAGTGGGCCTACGCCGTCGGCGACGCGGTCGCGCTCGTTTTTGATTTACGCGACGAGCGCGTCCCCGCGACGCTGGCGTTCGCGCCACGCCGCGCGTTCGGCGCCGACGGCGTGCTCCGGCTCGACGCGTCCGGGGGCCCGCTGGCGCCGGGAGTCGCCGGGGCGCCCGGGGGACCGGAATCGGCCGCGCCGCCGAAAGATTCGCGCGCGGCGGCGGGGAGAGTCTGGGCCGCGGCGCCCGGCGGCGACGCCAAGGCCGCGCTGCAGCTCCGCTACTGGATCCGGGCGCTGCAGCACGCCAACCATTCGGTGACAGTCGCGCCGTTCGCGTCGAGAGGCGACCGACACAAGACCGAGTGCCTCTTCTGCCGCTGCGGCGTGGCGCCGTGGCACCCCCGGCCCGCGAACTTTGGCATTCCCGCCCACGGCCTCTGCCACTCCGAGGTGGCGTGCGACAAGTGTGTCGTAAAGAACGAGGAGGCTCTACAAGACGAGCGCCGGCCGAAGAACCTGCGGAAGCCGTTGTTCTGGTTCCGGCCGGACCCGCACCCCGTCATTGTTCCCGTTGATCGGCCTCTGGCTCCGGCGGTGGAGCCGCCCGCTCCGCCAAGAAACGGCCGGGCCGCGGCGGCGCTGGCGCGCATTAATGAAGGGGCGGCCAATAGGGCGCCCGATGGGCCTCTGCGAGTTTCGCTGCTAGCGTGCGCCGCGGCGTTGCGCGCCGCCGCTCGCGCCGAGGGCGCGGGCCGCGCGGCCGAGGCGGCCGAGGCGGCCGAGCGCGTCGTCAAAAAGCACCCCGCGCCGCCGCACCCGCTCATTCGGGACGCCTACGCGCTGGGCGTCGACTACGTGTGTCGATGCGTCGCCTCGGGACTCGGCCCCGCGCACGCCGGCAACGTCGAGCGGTGGCGTTCCTTCTGGACGTCGAGAGTGATGGACGAGGAGGAGCGTCTTTTTGAGGATCGGGTCGAGGCGTGCTGGCGGATCGTGCTCGACGAGGTCGCTCCAGGCGTCGCGCGCGACGCGGCGACAAAAGCTCACGCTGCGGCGCTGAGGGCCGGCCGCAAGCGCCTCGCCGCGCTCGCTCGCAAGTTCCGGCGCGCGTGCGAAAGGGCCGCCGACGGCGCGGTCGCGGTCGCGCGCGCGGCGGCTCAGCGGGCGGCGCGCGGCGGGCGCGACGCGCGCGATGCGGCCGCGCGCGCGCGCGGCGCGGTCAAGCGCAACGCGCTGGCGGCGCCCGTCCGGCAGGTCACGCCGCCTACCGAGGGCCCGGGCCAAAAAGAGGTAGAGGTGGAATCCGGGTCGGGCGCGAGCTCCGAGTCGGACTCGGACGAGTCAGACGACGAGAACGCCTCTGGCTCTGCTTCGAGTACCGGCGAGGACGACGATGACGACTCTGACAGCGCCGACGAGAATGACGACGACGAATCGGCCTCGGCGGGGGACGACGACGACGAGTCGGCCTCGTCGGAAGACGAGTCGGCGCAAGACGACGAGTCGGCCTCGGCGCGAGACGACGACGACGAGTCGGCCTCGGCGGGGGACGAGTCGGCGCGAGACGACGACGACGAGTCGGCCTCTGAGTCGTCGTCGGCGGAAGAAGAAGAAGACGCCTCCGACTCAGACGACGACACCGACGCCTCATCCTAGCCATGTGATTAATTGCTTCCTGTTGTGTTACTCAGAGCTCCGGATAAACCGTTGGCTTGACCGCCTCCTGCGGCCGGATGCCGCGCTTCAGCAGCGACAAAGCTGCGTCCTTGGCCATGAGCTCGTATAAGTCCAGCGATGCGTTCCGCAGTAACCCGACCAGCCACGGCGGCGGCGCGGGCGACCGCCCGTGGCCGCAGGCCTCGAGGTGCCGCGCGACGGACAGGTAGCCGGACGCGACGAGGTGCGCCCGTTCGCGCGACCCCAGGTCGAACTCCGCCGCCTGGACATCTAATGTATCGATCTTCACCACGTCCAGATTGGCGCCGTCCGGCGGGAGCGCGTTCGGCGAGTCCGCGCCGAACGCGACGAGTTCCAGCAGCTTCGTGCCAAAGGCCCAGAGCCTGCGCGCAAATCGACCGGTGAGTCGGACGCACCCGATAATTATCTCGCAAACTCGTTTCTCGGCGACGACGCGGCTCCGCCGGCTAAGTCGAGCGGCGAGAGCCCCTCGCCGCCACGCTGTCGAGCAGACGCCGCGTCGATGGCGCGGAGGTCGATGACTCGGCACGAAGGCGCCGTGAAGTTTGCCTTTCGCCCCGCCCGGAGCCCGGCGAAGCCCCGCCGGTTGAGGGCGCGCCGCCTCAGGGTCTCCTGCTCCTCGTCGGGACCGGCGAAGAAGGGAAAGAACGCCCGCCGCGGCGGCGCGGGCTCGTCGTCTTCCTCCTCGCCGTCGCCCCCCCGGAGGGAAAAATCTTCGGCCCACGCGCGGTCGGGCCCCCGGATCGACAGCGCGAGGACCGCGCGCCGCCGCCGCGGGACCCACCGCCGCTTCCGGTTGCTCTTCCGCGCGACGCCCCAGTGGCCGAACGCGTCCCACGCCAGGTTCCGCACGAGGCCGCCGTCCACGAAGAGCCGCTTCCCGAGCTGCACCGGCGGGTAGACGAAGGGCACGGCCGACGAGGCCCGCACGGCGCGCGCCTGCGCGAAAATCAGCCGGTGGGTCGGGTGCACACCCGGCCGCGCGGGCTGACTCGAGCGGCGAACGACACGCCGCCGCGCGTCCCGCGAGAGGCACGGCGAAAGTGATTCGCGCGCCGGCGCGCGCGACGGACACGTTGTTCATGTTCGTCGCGTCGAGCCACGCGTGGCGACCCCTCGTCAGGTCCGTCACGGACAGCCGCAGCGTCGTTTTCCGGGCCTTCTCCAGCTCGCCGAGCGTCGCGTTGCCGCCGACGCCCGCCTTGTCGAGTAATTCGCGCATCGCCCGCTCGACCTCGTCGCCCCGGAACCAGCCTAGCCTCCGCTGCAGGCGCCCCGCGTTCGCGAGCGCGTGGCCGCCATCCATGAGCCGCTCGAACGGGAAATCCAGGAGATAGCGCGCGATGTCCTCGGCGGGCGTCCGCGCCGCGAGGAGCGCGCCCATCATCGCGCCGGCCGACGTGCCCGCGAAGTGGGTCACGTGCCGCCGATCCAATAAACCATAAGCTTCCAAGGCCGCCGCCGCGCCGCCGTACGCGACGCCCTTCACGCCGCCGCCCTCCAGGATGAGTCCGCCGTAGCGCGTCACGGCGCAGTCGCGCGGCCGCCCCCGCAGCTTGTTGTAGCCCGCCAGGAAGCTCAGGTTCCAGCAGCAGTAGTAGAGGACGTAGGACGCGACGAGCGCGAGGCCGAGCTTGCGCCGCAGTCTCGAGTTGCGCTTCATGACCCGTCGCACGCGTTCGAGGTCGGCCCGCTCGCCGCGCACGCGCCGCAGCGTGGCCTCCAGGGCGGCGACGCGCCGCTTGAGGCTCGCGTTCTCCTCCTCGACGCTCGCGGGCTCCGCGTCGTCGTGCAGGCTCAGTTCGCCGTCGCTGCCGTTCGCGTGGAGCCAGGCGCCCAGCATCTTCGCCGGGCTGAGGCGGCCGCTCATTTTGGACGGTCGGCGTGGTGCAGGGCCTGGGGCGTCCCGTCCCGAGTAGCTGCTAGCGGCCGGTAAGACACTAGGGATGCCTAGCATCATCTGCGCTTTACTTTTGGGGCGAACGGACACTTTACGCTGCAAAAATAGATCAGAAAGATGACGTTCGAGGCCGACGCCAACTCGTACGAGGCGGCCGCCGAGCGCAAGGCCGAGCAGAAGCTGCTCTTCCATCCCTGCCGCAGATGGTACGCCGACAAGCGGAACGTGCGCCTCCAGGCGGCGCACGGCCTCTTCCCCGCCATGTGGATGGAGCTGGAGGCGTGGGCCGGCTGGAAGAGCGTGCGGAAGGAGTACCTGAAGTTCCAGGACACGGGCGAGTGGGCGGGCGCCGCGCCCGCCGCCGCGCCCGCCGCGCCCGCCGCCGCGCCCGCCGCCGCGCCCGCCGTCGACGCGAAGACGTTGGAGGAGCTCCACGGCCCCCTGGGCGAGTGGTACGCGGCGTCCGATTTGAGGGCGCGGCACGGCGCGTATCCAGAAACGGCCGAGGCGCTCGCGGCGTGGCCCGCCTTTGGGGAGGCGACCGAGCGGTTCCTGGCCGCGACCGTCGAACCGCCGGCGCCCAGACGGAAGCGGAGCCGGTTCGGGAAGCGGGACGCGACGACGACGGAGAACGCGGCGCCGGCCTCTCTGGAAACCAAGCGGCTCGCGCGGGCGCAGCGCGAGGCCCTGGCCGCGTCGCAGCTCACGGTGGTCGCGCCCGACGCCGCGCGGCAGCTCGCGCTGGCGGCGGCGCGCGCGCGGACGGGCGCGGGCGCGCCGACGCAGGAGCGGCGGCAGGAGCTGATGCTGCTGCAGATGCGGCTGCGGACGCTGCAGGAGCGGACCATGGACTTTGCCAGCGAATTCGAAAAGTGGCGCGACGACCCGAGGCGCGTGGACCCGCCGCCGGTCTACGGCCCAGACGGCTCGCGGGCGAACACGCCCGAGGTCCTGTTTCGGCAGGAGCTCGCGCGGGAAAGGTCACTGCTCCTCAAAAAGATCCGCGCGATCGAACCGTCGGCCGCGACCGCTTTGGGCGACGCGCCGGCGCGACCGTCGCGGCGATTGTACATCCCCCAGAAGGAGTTCCCGAACGTGTGCTTCATGGGCCTCATCCTGGGCCCGCGCGGGAACCACCACAAGCGCATGGAGGCCCAGACCGGGTGTCGCATACGCGTGCGAGGGCGCGGCTCGCTGCGGGAGGGGTCACGAGGAAGGGACGCGCAGCGCGACTTCGAGGACGACCAGGACGACATGCACGTCTTCGTCGAGGGCCCGACGGAGGCCCAGGTCCAGGAGGCCTGCGCGCTCATCGAACCCCTGTTAAATCCGGAGTCCGGCAAGGTCGACGAGCTCAAGGAGAAGCACCAGACGGAACTGGCCGAGATCAACGGCACGCAGCGCCAGGAGACCTACTGCCACATTTGTGGAGAGAAGGGCCACCTGCAGTGGGAGTGCCCCGCGAAGCAGCGGAGCTACGCGATGGCGAACGTGCGGTGCGCGCTGTGCGGCGACACGTCGCACCCGACGCGCGACTGCGTCCTCAACAAGAACGGCGCCGCGGAGGCGGTCGAGACCGGCGCGCAAGAGGCGCCGGTCAAGGTCGACGCCGAGTTCCTCGACTTCATGTCGGAGCTCGGCGCGGAGCCCGGGCTCGGTTTCAAGAAGCCGGAGGCCGTCTCTGCGCAAGTCGCGGCGGCGCCGCCGCCGCCGGTTCCGGCGCCCACGAATCTCCAGGCGCAGCAGCAGCAGCGCTACGGGTCCTACTACCCCGGGTATCATCCGCCCGCCTAACTACGAACCACCCTGTGGTGCGCACCATAGCCTGCGCGATCTCATTCACCAAAATGCTAACGGCCTGCGCCGCCTTGGTGCGAAATCAGTTTCTTTCGACTTTACGAACGTTTGCCGCCCTGCGTGAACGCAAGTGTGAACGCTCGACGTACCTGACCAAAAATACATAAATAAATAATTAAGGAAGGAATATCCTAAAGGAAAGGACATACACCAAGCCTCTAGAGGCATTCTCCCTGCGCGGCTAGGATACCCAGCCGGCGCTTAAAAAGAGAAGAGACGTCAAGAAACTAAAAGCATGAAGGCCTGACAGTTGTCGAAGACGCGACCCATGTTTAGCGCGCGAGCCCGCTCAGTCAATTCAATTTCATTCAATTATAGGGTTTGCGCCTCCCCCGGGCCTAGGTGTCCCCCTAGATGTTAGCAGTTGGAAAACGGGCTTGGAACGTGTAGAGCCGCTGCTCCTCTGAAACAGCAGCACTGCAGCACAAGCTCTCAGAAGGCACCTGACGCCCCCGTTTGAAACCTAGCGTGTCGACACACACTAGCATCGGGGGACTAGGGATAAAATTAATAGGGAATAGGGAAGTGAGAGCTTTCACGCAAGCCGGCAGCGCTGAAGAACTAAGAACTAAAGAAGAACCAAGAGGACTCCCCGCATGAGACGCCTCGCCCTCCTGGCCCTCCTGGCGGAGGCAGCACCAAAACCGCTGCCTCTGGTCCCCCGCGGCGGCGGCAGGCCGCGCGACGCGAACGCCGCGTTCTTCGGCGACCTCGACGGCGTGGGCGCGCTCTGCGAACGCGAGGCGACGCCGGGGATAAATCTGGGCGAGGCGGTCGGCAGGCTCGTCAGGTTGGTCACCGCGCTCAGATCCCTCGCGCTCGTCGCGGCGGCGGCGGCGGGCCACAGCGCCGGCCGGGCGAACGCGCGGAAGGACGCGAGGGCCGAGGCCGCGTACGCCGACAGCGTCGCCGAGCTGGAGGGGCGGCTGCACCGCCTCAGCGTCGACCGCCAGATGCTCGCCGACGAGTTCGCGGACGCGCGCCGCGCGCTCGAGCGCCAGGTGCGGGACGCGGCCCGGGCCGCCGAGGCCGCGCGGGCTTCTTCGGGCGCCGCGCCGCGCGAGCTCGAGGACGTAAAGCGGGCGGCGGAAACCGCGCGCGCGGACGCCGACGCGGCGGTCGCGCGCGCCGCGCGCGCCGTGGCCGACGCCGACGGTGCGCGCGCCGCGCAGCGCGCCGCCGAGGCGCGCGCGGCCGACGCCGACCGCGCGCGCGCCGCGGCGCGCGACGCCGCGGCGCGCGAGGCGGCGCGCTGCGCGGCCGCCGAGGCGCGCGCCGCGCGCCTCGAGGAGCGCGTCGTCGCGCTCGAGACCCGCGTCGCCAAGTGCGCCAAGGCGAAGCGGAAGAAGAAGCAGCAGCCCGACGAGGTTTAATCAGCGACTTGGCGCAGCTGCGCGGCCTTTTTTCGCTCGCGACGTCGTCTGGGCGGGGAGCGGTGTCCGCGACTGCTTTCGTTTTTCTCTCCGGGTCTGATCCGAGCATGACGTGATTGCTACTTTTCAATCAAACCTACGGCGGCCGGGCCTCCACGGTCCCCAGTGCGATGCAGGGGGGAATAGCGTGTGTAATTCCGGACTTCCCCGGCAGCGTAGTGTAGTTGTCTAACGAAATAGTGTGTCCCATGTTTGACTCGGAGGGGACTTGCGACGGTCCGTCAACTTGAATAATACTATAGTATGGGGCCTGGGTGCGGTCACTTCTCACTGATGATGCATTTTCTACTCAGGTTAGTATGGGCCCACGCCGCCCCGGGCCGGACCCATCATGATGGCGGAACTGGTCAACAGTGCCCCGTACCGTTAACGGTACACGGGGGGGGAAGCCAGGTACTGACCAAGTCTTAATCGATCCGAAATTACGTGCTTTTTCGCATGGAGCCTCCGAGGGGTCGGTAGCCCGCCCGAGGTCGGGGGGTCTGTACGGAGGTCGATGCCGATGAGAGGGAGAGCTCCAAAGTCGTCAAAAACCCGTTTAGTAGGTTTAGCGACGCGCCGGCTGCGGCTGCATGCGTTCATGGGCGCCACTGGCAACGAAAGAACATCGCCATCCAGAGAGAGAGAAGCAATCTTAACCACGAAGAACTCGGCCCGGGAGTAGTATATGACTTGTAGCCGTTTTTACATCAAAACGGACGTTCACGGGAAAACCCGTTCACTTTCCGCGTTGATGTAAAAACGGCTACAAGTCATATACTACTGGGTGGAAGATATACCCGACGTGGGGTGGGCCCTAGTGTAGTCCAGCGGCATAGCGCCTGGATCTGCTCCGGTGAGTGGCCGGACTCGGTGATCGCACATACTAGGTATGCGCGAAACGAGCGCCGGTGGCGCATCGGGGGCCGCAGCGGGGTAGCGGCGCCCTACTCGGAGGGACGCGCCCGGGCGCCAGCCCGGCCGCCGGCGCCGCGCCCTCGGCCAGGGGCAGCAACGGCGGCCCGGCCCCGACCGGAGCTCCGACGTCGAATACAGAGGTGCGGGGGGAAGGGAATCTGCTTGGCCGCGGCCGTGGCGGTCTCGGAGTCCGGAAAAACTCATGGTTTTTGCGTCGGGATGCTGCTCTGTACCGCTAGCTTCCGGCCCACGCACGCATGTGTACGGACCACTACGCCTCTGGCTTACCCCGTCACGGCTCGCACCGCCGCCGGCTCGGCCCCCGCCTCGAGCGCGAGCGCGGCGAGCTTTTGCACCGTCTCGTCACACCGCGCGTGCGGCGGGCGGCCCGAGTCGGCGGATACGTTTGCGTCATCGCACGTGTATCGCAGCCGTGCCATCACTCGCGCGTCGAAGAGGCGGCACGCCGTGCGAAGCTCGGCTTGCGACCAAGAGGCGCGCCAGGCCTGATTCAGCTGCACCGCCTTCGAGGGCAGGTCCCCGTGCGCCACCTGCGGCCCGACCTTCCGCGGGACGAGGCTCTTGCCCGAGGTCTGGGCGAACTTCGCGTCGAGGGCACAGCGCGCGCGCGCGGCGATCTCGCGGATGGCGCCGGTTTCGTTGCGCAGGATGTCCTCGTACCGCAGCACGAGCACGTTCGGCGACGCGGCGGCGAGGTCCACAAAGTCCCCGTAAAATCTATTCCACAGCTCGAACGCGCCATCATAAGCCACGCGCAGGGGCCCGAAGTGCCCGTCCGTGCTGAAGAGCTCGCAGGGGCCGCGCAGCATCGCCGCGACGCTCAGCGTCGAATTTGCCCCTGGACCATTTCGCGGCTTGGGCACCGCCATGCAGTTCCTGTGGTCGATCTCCGACTTCGAGCAGCCCGCCTCCCAGCATCCTGTGATAGATGAATTTGATTGACACACACAACGAAATGAATACGACGCTCCGCGCATCGAAAGCAGCCACGACAGCGGGTGGCGCGCAACGACGAGATGCAATTCATTAACGGGCACCGCCGCCTCGGTGCGGCACGCGCCTCGCTTGCGTGCGGTGTCCACGTTAAGCGGCATATGCTTCCAGCGGAAGCAGCCTTCCGGTCCATACCAACCTCCCGGGTTGAACATCGTGACAGGCACTCGGTGCTTCATTAATTCATACACGTAGTGCGACCCGACGTTGAACATCCCGCGCAGCCGCACGGGCCACATCTCGCCATGCAGCCGCTCGACGGCCGCACGACTCGCCGCGAAGTTGGGCGTCCCGGCCCCCGCCCGGCACGTCAGCAGCTTCGCTGTAATGTTTAGCTCCTCTGTGGCGTTTAGCCTAAGGCCGATCACGACGGGGGCACCCTGGTAGTCGCGATGGACCGCGCTGCAGCAGGCCAGGACGACTGCCAGCGCTAGACGCATTGTTGCAGGCGCGGAGGGCTGCCCGCAAGGCGACATTTTTGGTTACTGCGTACCTACGGTACTAGGCTTCTATACCTACGGTACGGTACCGTATTATAGATAGCTATAGTCAATTCGGGTTGCGGGGGCGCGCGCCTAGAGGGGTGACGGGGGAGCTATCCGGGCTTGACCACCCTTGCCCCCGCGCCCTCGAGGTCTCGGCGGGCCCTGGGCTAGATGTAGGACCACAGGCCGTGCGCATCTAGGGCGATGTCGCGTTCCCTGTCGACGAACAGGACGCCCGCGTTTGATGGGAGCGCGTGCTCGGAGTACGTCACCTCGGCGACGGCGCGAGGGCGGCGGCGCTCGGAGAGATACACGACCAGGGCCGCGGGCTGCGTCGCCGCTAGATGGCCCAGCTCTTGTCGTGTCACGCGGGGTTCCCCGGTTGCTCCGGTTTTTTCTGTTGTAAGGAGGCTTGTATTTACTGCGTAGTGCTCGCCGACGCCTACTACCTAGCGTCCCTCGCGTCCTTGCCGCACGCGTTTTGACTGCCGCTTTGGCGCGAGAGGCAGAGATCAGGCGCGCCGCGTGCTGCCATTTACGCGCTGGGAGCGCGGGTGCTGGTCTCTATAGATCAGCTGTCAGCGCTGCTGCAACACCGCGCAGCGAAACGCTAGATAGAGCGAAGGATGGCGGAAAAGCTGCAGGTGGTCCTCGCCGAGGACAGCGTCGAGGCGGATGAAACGAGCCCATGCTCGCCGCGGTCGCCGCGTCGGCGGTGGCGCGCAATGCGTCGGTCCGCGCGCGGCGCGGCCGCTTTGCTGCTCGTCGCCGCCGTCTTCCGCCGGCCGCCGTGCCGCGCGCGGCGCTCGAGGCGGCTCGTCGCGTCCTGGAGCCGCAGACTCCGCGGCGAGGGCGGCAAGCGCCTGAGCGTCGCCTCGGACGCGCCGCGTCTCGAGTCGTGCGCGGTCGAGGCCTTCCACGGCGGCGGCGACGCGTACGCGGCGGCGGAGCCCCGCGCGCGAGGCCTCGTGCCCGTCGAGGTGGAGCCGTGGATGGTCAACGCCACGGCGAGGCGCGTCGCGTCGCTGAAACTCGACGACCAGCGCGCGTGCGTCCGCGTCGGCGGCTGTGTGGAAATCAACCACTGAGTTTGGTGTTCACCCGAATCGAAAGTATTCATATCTCGGCTGTTTCTCGGTCGATGGCTCGTTTCTTCACGAGCAGATAGCTGCGGACATCCTCTTTATTATGATTGACAATCCACGGTCGAAACGGGTTCGTTTGACCCAAGTTGCAGTGGCCTTGAACTTTTGATTTCCACCCAGGTCGGCGGCGCGCTCGTGCGGCTCGCGTCGCCGAACGTGTTCATCGCGGGCTGGAGCCGCTCGGGCACGACGTCGTTGCGGGCGGGCCTCGCGAAGAGCGTGCCGGGGCACCTGGTCGTCGGCGCCGAGGGAAACGACGGCCATCCGGGCGAGGGCCTGTACTTCAAGGGCAACGGCAAGGGCTCGGTGCAGTACGGCGACTACCTGCGGCGCTTCTCCAAGTCGCTCGCGGGGTACGACCGCCCCGGGCTGTGCGCGTGCGACGCGCCCACAGCGGACCGCTGCGTCGACGGCGCGGGCCTGCGGTACTACGACGGCCCCGCGGACAGGACGCCGCGCTGGTTCGTCGACAAGACGCCCGACTACCACACGCGCGTCGAGGTCATGCTGAGCATCCACTACAAGGCCCCCGCGGCGAAAATCGTCCTCTCGACGCGGCACCCGCGGGACTCCGCGTGGAAATCAACCACCGAGTGAGACCGGCCTGAAACATTAAAAAAGCTCCATATCTCGGCCCTTTCCCCCCGGTCGATGTCGCTCGTTCTTTCACGGGCGGACAGCTGTTGACGTCCTCATGGAGTTCGCCTAGGCATGTCACCTCGTTCAGACGACGGATTCGTTGGACCCATGTCGCGGTGACCTTGGAATACTTTGATTGCCACCCAGGTGGAACTTCGCGGCGCGCGTCGACGCGGACGGCCGCGCAAGCTACCTCCGCCAGAACTGGTCCAAGCTGATGAAGGATCTCAGACAGGCGGGCTGCCCCGCCGACGCGCGGTCGGATCCGGGCCTGTGGGACAAGCGCGGCTGCTCGTTCGTCGCGTCCCCGTTCGCTCTGCGGAAGCTGCAGGTGTCCGAGACCCAGGCATCGTACTTCAAGCTCGTCCACTACGTCTACGCGGTCGAGCTCTTCCAGCGCCTCTGGGGCGCGGACCACGTCTTCGTGCTGCGCTTCGAGCGCTGCCTCGGCGAGACGACGTGCGGCCCCGCGCTCGCCTCGTTCTTGGGCATGGAGCCGCGCTGGATCCACGCGGACCCGTACGCCGAGTTCAAGAACGAAGGCGCGGGCCACAAGAATGTCGAGGAGCACAAGAAAGAGGCGCGCCACGTCCTGAACGATCCGAACGCGACCATGGCTCTGCTGGGCTTCGAGCCGCAGATGGCCGAGGACTTGCTCTGGCACGAGCGCCTCCTCCACGACCTCCTGGGCTGGGACTGGGACTGGGACGCGTCGAACCCCGTGGCTGATGCCGCGCTCCCATCCCCCGCGGAGGACGCGTCGCTCTCCGCTGCGGAGGACGCGCCGCTCTCCGCAGCGGAGGACGCGCCGCTCTCCGCCGCGGAGGACGCGCTGCTCTCCGCACGGGTCGCTCTGTTGACCGCGGAGAACGCGGCACTACGGGCCGACGTCGCTCGCCTCCGCGCGCGTCTCCCCAGCCAGCCTTCGAATTCGCCTATGGCGGCAAGGCCTCCTACTTCCAGTGCAAGAAGTGCTTTCAGGGCGTGAGATTCGCGTAGGCGCCCACTCCATCGAAGACGCCGTCTATCCTCTCCCCTAGCCGTCTGAATCAAGAGTAAGACGTGGTCGTGTTGATTTGTCCCGTAACCCTCCCGTAACCCTACCCATGATCCGGGCGTACTCGCGCGCCGTCTTGATACGGTACCGTATTCACTAGACCTATTTTATCCGGGTATTCAAGTAACTGAGAGTCCGCCCAGGATGGTCACCTCCTCAAATTCCACATGAATTGTCTCTAGATCCGCCCTCAAGGCGGGGAGCAACTGAATCATCCTAAATAAGTGGGGTGCGGTGGTATACCGACCCCCTCAGGCTGCAGTGAAAAGTACCCGGGCCTACTAGGGTGGGGTATCTCTAGCACGGACAGCTCTGAGTGTTAATTACCACTTTGTTGTCGACTCCTAAGGAACTTCAAGTTGGGCGCGTTTATTTTGCACCCGAGCTTGACTGGAAGCTCCGATAGCCCACGGCATTAACTGCCGCCCAGGTCTCCGCGCATCGCAGTTAAGAAAACTACCACCTCTTCCTAACGTGGTTAAAACTAGATAGCGCACCGTCCCGCCGTGGATATTCATGCCGCCTTCGCCTTGGGTACGTAGCTCGCGACGAAGAACTGGAGGAACAGCACGAAGAGCGAGACGATGTAGACGAAGTACAACCCCGTGACGCGCGGCGGCGCGTCGGAGCAGCCCGTCGCGTAGAGGACCAGGGCCTGGCCGTTCATGCACGTGAACTGGAAGAGCTGCGCGAGCGTGAGGTACTTCTTCCACCAGATGTCACGCGTGTGCATGCTCACGAAGTAGTAGGTGTACATGATCGCGTGGATCAACCCGTTTAAGACCACCGTCAAATAGATGTCGCCGTCGTAGTTCACGTGCAGATTCAACCAGTAAAAGAGGAAGATGGTGGTATGGTGATACACGTGCAGGAAGCTCAGCTGCTTCCATTTTTTGCCGATGACGATGAAGAACGTGTCCACGAAATCCAGGATCTTGCTCACGTAGAAGAGCCAGAGGACGTTCGCCACGGGCGGGTTCTCGCTCTTGAAGGAATTGCACACCAAGTTGTAGTCGTGCCGCCGGGCCACGATGGCCGCTTCGAGGCACATGTAGGAGCAGAGCATGACCTGGCAGATGTTGTACAGGAACGCGACGCCGTACAACCTGCGCGCAGCAATCGATCGTCAGCCCTGCATCGAGCAGACGCAATTGCAAAGAGAATCTCGCATCGACGGCGTGGAAGTTGACGCTTGAGGTTGTTGATTTCCGCGCCGCGCGCGACTTGACGCCCTCGCCCGGCGTCGCGCGCGCGAAGAGTGAGCCTAACACGACGAAGGCGAGGTAAGCCACGGCGATGGCGAGCGCCGTCGAGAACCTGGCCAGCGGCCAACCCCGGACGGGCGCGTCCGTCACGGGCGACCCGACGAGCGCCCAGTCGACGATGCGCTCGCCGACGCTGTCCAACGACTCGGCCAGCGACGTCATGCTGGCGATTCTTGTTGCCGCGCGATAACACGCGCAAACGTCGTATTCAAACCAAAATAGCAGCGTGTACGCAAAAAAACGTATACGTACGCGCTGGCCTTGGGTACGGTACCACGGTACCGTGGTACTTGGGTAGCCTACCTGCAGGTCTTGCCATATATGTCACTTTAGGTCCGCCGAGAATTTTGCGACCTCAAACGCCGCGGCCCGTCTTGCGCTGCAGCGCCAGCGACCTCATTTGCCGCTTTTCTCCGTCTTGCGGCAGCGCCAGCGCCAGCGGCGAGCTGACGCTCAAGGACGCCTCCGCGGCCGTCGGCATGCGTGGCGCGATGGCCATCTTGTTGCCTCTGCTGCTTCCTCTGCGCCTCGGCGCCTCTCCCGGCGGCACGTTCCTTGCGCCATCGAACCAGACATCTCAGCTATACGTCGGCTGCTCGCGCACAACAATCGCGCACCACCTACACGTCCGTCTGCCCGACTTCGTTGTCATCGGAGTGCAGAAAGGTGGCACCACCAGCGTGATCCAGGATCTGAATGCTGCTCAACCTCAGGTGGCGTGCATGGCGTGGGGCGAGCTGCACTTTTTTGACCGCAACGAGTTCTCCAACATCTCTATCACCGCTCATGATGTGGAGGCGTATGCCCAGCGACTGAGTAGCAAGACGCGGTGTCAGCAATCCACAGTGGCCCTCGCCGAGAAGACACCCGCGTACTACTACAGTCCGCACGCGCCATTGCGCCTCTGCGAGGCGTTGGGAAGCCCACGATTGGTGATCTTCCTGCGCGACCCGACGAGTCGAGCCTACTCCTCCTTCTACGAAGGTGGCGACGTCACGCATCTCGGACGCAATGCCAATGGCTTTCATCGCCTCGTTGAGATCGAGGTTGCAATCATCAGAGGCTGCCCCGACAGCGCGCAGCCTTCAGGCGATCCAGCCATCGACCACGAGCGGTCGGCACATTTTCGCGAGTGCTGTTCGGCACTTGTAGGCAGCTCATTTGGCCAAGGCTCGTGGCTGGGATGCAGCTGTGATCTGAGCGACTTCCACTGCTCCATCTACGGCGACAAGAGGGCGGCACAAGTGAGGATGGGCTTATACATCTGGCACCTTCGGCGAATATACCGCTACCATCGCGCTTCCAACGTGTTGCTCGTACGTGCAGAAGATTTCTTTGTGCATGGCGCTGACACTCTGAAGGAGATGCTGGCATGGGCCACGCCCAACAGGGCGAACACAATCTACCACGTACAGATTCCGACGGAGCATGCAGGCTCTAAGACCACGCTTCACGAGCACATGCTGCCAGTCACAGAGCGCCTGCTGCGCGAGTTCTACGCTCCATTCAATGCGGATCTCGAGGAGCTCGTCGGACGAAAAATGCACTGGCCGGTGCCCCCTCCAGCACCCCCTCCTGCACCCCCGCCGCCGGTGCCCCCTGCAACCCCCCCACTTGCACCCCTGCCGCCGGTGCCCAAGGGACATAGCTGAACTAGAGTTGGGACCGTGTTTCGACAAACTTCGGTTCGGTTTATAATAACCCATCCTGATCCCTTCTCTGGAGCTCTCTATTAATTACTAATTACAAATTTACAAGAGCCTGTCTAGGCCAGTGAAACAGGCCTCGAGAGCGTCGGTGACCGGTCAACTACTCCCTCGAGAGACCATGGCTGAGGGCAAGATCACAATTCCGCCGCCGATCGGTCTCCTCGAGACGGACAGCTACAGCGCGAAGGCCAACCGCGTGACGAGCGCGACTATAGTTGAGCAATTCCCGGGGAGCGAGATCTAGGGGTCGGGAATTTCCGGGAGTTCCGGGAACTCCCGGGAATTCCCGCTCCCGGTGGGAATTCCCGGGAGTATGGGAGATCCGCGGGGAGCCGGGCCGGGGCAGCCCCCCCCGAACCCAGATAAGCATTTCCAATGGGACTGGCGCGTACTAGGGTACCTTAGGACCGTAGGACGTGCGCCTGGGGCATCTGCTTGGCCAGATCCTGCCCATAGTACAAAACGCGTCTGCCCGTCCACTGTAACTGGCGGGTTTTTTCGCTGTTTTCCCAGGTCTCGCTCCCCGGGAGTGAAAAATCGGACCCGGGAATTCCCGAGAGTTCCCGGGAATTCCCGCTCCCTTCCCATTGTCGCTCCCTGCTCTACTGTATACAGGCATATAAGCGCGACGAGTGTCACGACGACATTTGAATACACGATCACGCACGCGGACGGCTCTCAAGTTATCCGGTCAACGGTTGCATCCTGCCACATCCAACGTAGCAGTGCTAAGAATGTGGATCAAGAGGGCGCGCTCGTAGCGTTTCGTACGCTGGCAGCCACATGGAGGCTCGAGACTGGCCCCCCTGGGAGGCACCGCAAATCCCAAGGAGCAACCTCTGGGGGGACAACGAAGACGCCTGGCTCGCGCGCCTCGCGGGCGACTACGAGGCCTTCCGACGGACGCCGGCGACGGCGGAGAGCATTCCGCGCGTGCTTCATCAAATCTGGCTCGGGCCGCGCCCGGTGCCGCCTTCGTTGATCGAGCGCGGCGCCGCCTTTTGCCGGATACACCCGGGCTGGACCCGCGTGCTGTGGCGCGGCGCGGCCGTCGCGGCGCTCCTGGGGGGGAACCGCGGCGCGCGGCGCGCGTTCGCAAAAGCGCGCGACTGGGCCGCCAAAAGCGACGTCGCGCGCTACTACATACTGTTCGTGCACGGCGGCGTCTACGCGGACGTGGACGTGGACTTCGTGCGGAGCTTCGAGCCGCTCCTTCGCAAATGTAATGCGTTCGTCGGCCTGGCGAACGTCCGCGGCTTGGAGGTCGGCAACGCGGTCATGGGCTGCGCGCCCGGTTGCGCGCTGATGGCGGCGCTCGTCGAAGCGTGCGACGCCGCGGTCGCGGCGGAGGATGTGGCCAAAACGCGCGCGGCGGCGCTCGTGGCCGCGAGCGGGTTCGGCGCGACCCTCGGCAAGGTACTGGCGGAAGCCAGCGCCGCGAGGACAATAGAGACGACGGGCCCCGGGCTCCTCACGCGAGTCTACTTCCGCCGCGCGTGGGACTGCGCCTGCCTCCCCAAGACCATCCTTTACCCCGTGGCGAACGACGGGACCGGCGGCGCGACGGGCGCCTCCATCACGGTCCACCGGTGGGAGTGTAGTTGGAAAGAGAAGTACTAACACTAGTATGTTGTTTAGAAGGTGTTGAGCAGCTCGCGCTCCACCCGACGGGCCTTCGCCTCCTCGATCAGGGGCCCCGCGTAGCCCTCGAGAGGCTTCTGCAGCGCCCGCAGGTCGGGCGGCAGCGCCTTGCGCTTGAAGGACACGTCGAAGGCGCGCTTCATGCGCCGCGCGCGTAGCTGGAGCTCCGCGTGCGGCAGGCCTGCGTGTAAACCGGTGAGTGCGGTATATCCGCGAATAAGTTCTCACAATTCCTTTCTACAGCGGCGATGCGGTCGTGCTGCTGGCGCGGACGGTTGTGCGACGTAGAGATTCTCTCGACGAGTGGCGCGGAAGGCGCGTGAAATTTGATCTGCACACGCTGCTGCAGGCGGTCGAGGGCCTTTGCGTAGTCCGCATCACTTTCAATTCTTATGTCGTCGTACTTGAGCCCGAACTCGGAGAGGGACCTGCGGCGGCGCGCGTCGAGGCGGCGAGGCGCGCGCGAGGAGCCGGCTCTCGAACGCGTCGTCGTCGGAGCCGGCGCGTGCCGCGAGCGCTTGGCGTCTACGGGGAGGCAGGGATACTCGCCCGGCGACGTTCTTTTGGTAATGGCGGCTCATGGCCTTCCACAGCCGTTGGGCGAGCGCCATCCGTGGCTCCTGGATCTGTAGTCTTCGCGCAGGGTCAGTGTGCGACGAGCGCGTTGCTAAAAGGCTGGCTACTACTGGTAATAACGGAGCTAGTGTCTGAAGCCGCTAGCCCTGAGCGGGGCTCCATATTATTCAAGAAGTGTATAGTAAAAAAATTCTACTCCGAGTTCTCCTAAATTACCCGGCGGGCCGCGCGCGCACCGTGACTGGGTACCCACCCCGACTCGGAGCCGCCCCCCCGCGACTGCGATGCAGGGGGAAATAGGGTGTGTAATTCTGGACTTCCCCGGCAGCGTAGTGTCGTAGTCTAACGAAATAGTGTGCCCCACTGGGATGTTTGCGGCGCCATAGAAAACCTGAAAAGCTTTTGAAACCCCCATGATCCAGGGAGCCTCCCAAATGAGAAAATTCAGGTCTCCCAGGGCTTGCGCTCTCTCCTACACCGCGACAGCGGGGGGGAGCCGCGTAGGCCGAGGAACCGTAGGGCCCCGAGGTGGATGGCATTTTCAAGATTTAAACAGACCTCTCCGGCCCCCGAATCAATCACCAGACCTAAAATTCCCCTTTGCCCGCCGTGGCAGGCAGGCAAGAAAATAAACACACAGCATGGCCAGGGAGCTATCTCAGAGTCGAGCGTCGCCGCGCCCTCGCCGGGGGCACGAACGGCTCGACGCCGCCGAAGCCGCGCGCCGCGGCGTACGGCGAGCCGAGGTCGACGCGCTCGTCGAGTAACGTGTCGACGTCGTCTCCATCGAACCCGCCGACCGGCGCGGGAGCGCCGGGGTCGAGGAGGCCGAAGAGGCCGTCGACGCGGGGCGCCGCCAGCTGCGGCGCCCCGCGCGGCTGCCGCGCGTTCTCGGCGCGCGCCGCGGCCCTGATGGCCTTCTGCGCCGCGCGCCACGGCGCGGACGCCGCGAGCAGCCGCCGCAGCGGCGCGTCGCGCGGCAGGCTCGCGCAGCGCAGCCGCAGCACGTCGCAGAGCGCGAGGCGGAACGGATCGTCCGGGGACGCCGCGCAGCGCGCGCCGACGTCGCAGTCCACGACCAGCGTCCGGTCCGTCGGCGCGTGGCCCGCGACGAGCGCGGCCGCGAGCAGCTTGAATGCGATCCGTAGGAAGACGTCGCCGTCGCGGCCCGCGACGAAGCGGTCGGCGACGTCGCGCCAGGCCCCTCTGGGTATCTCGCCCAACGCCGCCGTCGGAGCCGCCGCGACGCACGCCGCGAGCGTGGTCGCGAGGTGCACGCGCAGCAGCGGCGAGTCGCACTCGATCAATGCGCGCGCCGCGCGCCGCGCGATCACCGGCGACGCGCTCGCGAGGAACGCGCTCCGCGCCGCGTCAATCCCGCCCGTCGTCTTCGGCGCCTCGAGCGCGAGTCCCGGCGCGCCGCGGTCCGGCGCGGCGCCCGCGCGGCAGGCCGCGGCGAGCGCGGCCGCGGCCGCGACGCGCGCGCGGGGCGGCGCGTCCGGAGCCTCGAGCAGCGCCAGGAGCGGCGCCTCGACGCCGGGCAGGCCCCGGAGCAGCACCTCGCCGCACTTGACGTCGCGCGCCGCGGCTTCCACGCACTCGGCGAAGAGGCGGCACGCGTCCGCCGCGGCGCGGCCGGCGCCGTCTCCGCCGCAGACGCACCGCTCCGCGAGGCTGCGGAGACACCGCCAGCGCGCGAGCGCGATGCAGAATTTCCACCGCGCCTCGGGCGAAGGGGCAGCCGGCGGGTGGGGGGGGGCGTCCTCGGGCCGCGCCTCCGCCGGGACGCCGCCCCCCGCGAGCTCCACGAAGACCTCGGGGGCGGCGTCGAGGAGGCGCGCGAGCCGCGGCGGCGCGCGCGGCGCGCCGCCGTCGCTCTCGTCGCCGTCGCTTCCGTCGTCGCCGTCGAGCGCCGCTTCGTATACGGCGTCGGGCTTTCCGCGAAAGAGCCGCACGAGCGCGTACGCCGCGTGGCGCGCGAACGCCCGTGGCGTCGCGGCGTCGAGCGCGTCGAGGAGCCGCGCCGCCGCAAGTTGATGGAGCGCGTCGTCGAGGCACTTGGCGACGCCGGCCGCGCCGGCCGCGTCGTCCGCGTCTCCGACCAAGAGGCGCGCGGCCCGCGCGCTCCGCGCGAGCGCCGCCGCGGAGGCGCGCTGCTGCCGCGAGACGATGGCGGCGCAGAGCGCGGTGATGCCCGCCCGCGTCGCGAGGAACGCGAGCAGCGGCTCGTTCAGGCTCGGTACGTCGAGCTGCAGGGCGACGCCCACGACGGCCGTCGCCTGGGCCGCCATGCCTGGGCTGGGTGCCTGGGCTCAGCTGCAGGGTGATGTTCGCTAGAGTCTTTCAGCCCGCTAGGCTCGTGGGGAGCTCAGATAATTCACTGGCGATTCAGATAATTCACTGGCGATTGAGCCTCGAGCCTCCAGAGCTCGCGGGTTTACTACGTCGACAGCATTTGGAGACCTCGAGGGTGATAAGCGCACCACAGGATGATCGCGCGGGCCCTCCGCAAAGCCGCGCCGCGCGCAGCTGTTATCGCGGCGCCGCGACGGGGCCTCGGAGCACTGCGCGCGCGGCTTGCGGACTTGGTTGAGGATCGTGGCGAGACGGAGGTGCTCCAGTACGGCGCGATGAAGTGGACCGTGCGCGACGCGAAGCGCTACGGCGACGGTCTGGCGCGCGGGCTCGCGGAGTTCGGCGTCCAGGCGGGCGACGCCGTCGCGAGCCTGCTTTCTCCGGACGCGCCCGAGCAGCACTGCATCGAACTGGCGGCCGCCGTGTCCGGCGTCGTGAGCTGCCGGGTGGACGCGGCGCTGGGCGCCCGTGGCGTCCGGGACGCGCTGAACGAGGCCGAGGCCCGCGTCGTCGTGCACGACGGCTCGGACGAGCAGCTCGAGCTGCTCCGCGAGGCGGTGCCCGGGTTCGGCGGCTACGCGTCGCGGACCGCCCGGGCCTTCTTCTCGCCGGCGGTGCCCTCGCTCAAGTGTTTTGTGTCCACGGCGTTGGACATGCAGCCCGCCTCGCACAACTACCAGCACCTTCTGGCCCTCGACGCGCGGCCGCTTGAACTACCGCCGCTCGCCGACGACGCGCCCCTCGCGCGCGTGTTCGGCGACGGCGCTACACAATCCTGGACGCACCGGGAGGCCGCCGAGGCGGGCGCGCTCCCGGCGCTCGCCGCCGTCCTGCACCTGCGCCCGACGCGCTTCGACGCGAGCGCGACGGGCCTGACGGAGCGCGTCGGCATCCTCAACCCCCGCTTCTAGAAACTGCCTACATACCCCTTACGAGCTTCGCGCCCCCGTCCGCAAGGCGACGCCCTCGTCAGCTCCGGAGCGACTCTAGGCGAGCGCCGCGACGGCGTCCCGCACCGCGCCCGCCCAGCCCGCGAGGCCCGGCTTCGCCGGCGCGAAGACGCGGTCCCGCCCGAAGCCCAGTTCGACGCACGCGTCGGCCGACGTCGCGCCGACGCACGCGGCGCGGACGTTCACGGAAGCGCGCGCGGCCCAGACGCGCGCGGCGGACGGCGAGCCGACGGCGACGACATCCGCGGAGGCCGCCGCCGCGGCATCTTCAGGAGACCACGGCGCCGGCGCCGTCGTGTACGCGTCGACGCGTGTCACGGCGAAGTTTCTCTCCTTGAGCCCTTCCTCGAGCGTCGGCGCCTGTGTGGAAATCAACCAGTGTGTCGGGTGCACCCGACAATTCTTCACTAAGTCATTTCTCGGCGATGACGTGGCCGCGCTGGCTCCGTCGAGCGGTGAAGAACCGACATCGCCACGCCATCGAGCAGGTGTCGCGTCGATGGCGTGGAGGTCGACGCGATGATTCAGCACGAACGCGCCGTAAAATTTTGATTTCCACACAGGTCGGCGCGGCGAGCGCCGACGCGGGGAAGAGCACGCGCCGGCCCGAGTCGTCGGGCAGCGCCTTCGCAAGTGCGGCGGCCGTCGCCGTCGCGGGCGTGAACGAACTCCCGCGCCACGGCCTCAAATCCTGACACGCGTCCAGCGCCGCGGCCGTCGCGCCGCCGACGGCCGCGAGCCGGAAGGCCCTCCATTTCGCATCGCGCGTCGCGCCGAGGCCCGCGCGCGCGACCGCCGCGCCAAACGTCTTGGCGGCCTCGGGCGACGTCACGACGACCCAGTCCCAGGGGTCTTCTGCAAAAAGCAGCGCGCTATCAAGAAGGGCGTCCATCTGGGGCGTCCTCTGGGTGGAGACGCAGGGCACCTCGACCGTTTCTATGTGATGCTCGGCGAGCGCGCGCGCGAGGCCGCCGTTCTTGCCGGCCTCGCGCGTCAGGGCCACGACTATCTGGTCCCCGTGGGTCGTCGCGGCAGCGCGTCTGGTGGGTCGTCGCGGCAGCGCGTCGTAACGAAACGCGGGCGCCCACGCGGCCGCGCCGGCGGCGACGGCAACCAGCGCGCCGCGCATCCTAAAGCTTAGAAGCCTCCCGAGATCTCACCCAGTACCACGGTAGCTATGCTGGTACCACGGTACTGCGGTACAAGCGGGCACTACTGGGTATACTTATACCTTGCTCAACAGGACCCCCGCACGATGGTACTAGACAACAGGACCAGGTCGGTTGGTCTGAAGGAGGACCTCATATTGTAATCCGCCAGTATACATTTGTCGATGGCGCGTGGGCGCGGGAAAGGCTCCAGACCCATGGCGGGACCGTCAATGTCGCGAACTTATTGAATTGAAAAAATTATTTTTTTCGCCCCCCAGTAAGTGTCGTATCGATCTCTTCGGGCCAGTATCGAACCGAACGATACTCAAACGGCTGCATGTCGCTCGTGAATAAGGAACTGGACGGGTTTCGTATGAGGTCGCGTCAGTCATACCCCCCTCGCTGGACCCCGGCCGCGTGGGACCCACGTGGGACCCAGACGGCCCTCCCAATCCTAGTATCCCATATGGGATCCACGGGGGGCTAGTAGGATACGTGGCAGCTAGTAGGAGGCTTAGTAGGGGGGTAGGGGCAGCCCCCGGCGAGCCGAGAGCCTGAGCCGAGACCCCCCTACTAGACCCTACCCCCCTACTAGAGAGGTCGGTCGGTCCGAGAGGTGGTCCGCTGCGCCAATCTGTCATGTTGTCTGGTAGCATCGTGCGGGGCACCCCTGCAGGACCCTATACTACTGCGCGTCGTCTGGCCGGTCGTACTACCCGTCCAGAGATCAAGAAAGTTCACAGATTATCCGAGTCACCCGAACAAATCGCCGCCGTCGATCGAGAAGTCGCAGCACGGGCAGCCCCGTAGCGCCTTGTGGCCGAGGAGCGTCACGGCGCCCCGCTTGCGCGTGGCTGCCGTCGAGGGCCGTGGCCTGCCACCGCGGCGCCGCCGACCCGCCGCCGCGCGCGCGGCGGCCGCCCCCGACGCGTACGCGAGCAGCGCGACGCCGGCCGCGAGAAAGGCGGCCGCGGCGGCCTCGCGCCCCGCACGCCGAACGCACACCACGCAACACGCCGAAAGCAGCGCCGCGAGGCACGCGTCGTCGCGCCGCGGCGCTGAAAGCGGCGGCGGCGGCGCGCCCGCGCGCGCGGCCAGCAGCGCGTCCGCGTGTTTGAGCACCGCGCGGTAGACCGCGCCCCGCGTCGTCTCGGGCAGGTCGACGACGACGTTCGCACCGCCCTCGAACGCGAAGACGACGCAGGCCGAACCATTGGCCTCGCGGAAGACGACACCGCACGCCTCCCGCTCCACCGCAGCCGGCAGCGCGTCGGTCGCCCACCGCGCCACGTCCGCGCGCCGCGTCCGCGCCGCCCGCGCCTGACCCACGCTCTCCGGGTCGAACGCCCACTTCTCACGGCCTGCGGCGGCAGTCTTATCATGAGACGAGTGCGGGCGGGCGGCGGCGGCGGGTTGTGGGACGCGCCGGGGGGCCGTCAGACACGCACAAACGCTCGTCCACACGCTATCAAATTCGGCCGTGACCGTGAGGTCGCGATTCTCTCATCGTCCGGCCCGCGCGAACAAAATGATGACTCGAGGCGCGGCCGCGCACCGAAGCGCCTGCGCGGGTGTGCCGCTGAGACAGGTCGCTGCGGCGCGTGGCTAAGGCGCGCGGCAACGGTTTAGATGCGACGAAGACCTCCTTCTTCCGCGCCAATCCTGGGCCGCGAGGCGCACTGCTGGGCGACTCCCTTTTGGAGGCCCGCGCCGCGGCGCGTAAAGAGCACGGTACTTGTAAGATTTCGAGCGGACGCGGCGCGCGACGCGGACGGAGGAGCAGCGGGCGCTGGCTCGTCGGCGTCGGGCGTCATGGCGCGCCGGCCGGACAAGCCACGGATTGCCACGGATTGTGCAGTTGTTTGAGGAGGTGTACCCAAAACTGGACTGCAAGTGCGTTCAAGAATTCAAATTAAGACGTGCGACGTAGGGCCAGCCATTGCACGCCATCAGCTGCCATAGGCACCATGGTACCGTAGAGCTAGGTACCGCAGGTACCGTACCGTAGGTAGGTACCGTAGGTACCGTAGGTACCGTAGTAGAGAGAGAAACCTACTAGCCCTTCCTACCCTATGTACGTAGTTCGTCTATCTTGGTGGTGCTGGTCCCGGTCCCAGTGATTAGGAGGTCATCTACGAATACTGCAATCGCGCACCATTTTCCATCGGGACCAATGTAAGTGTAGAGACTGGTGTCACTTTTTGATCTGATAAATCCAAGTCCTGTGAGGCCCGGTGCTGATTCAATAGGAGCGACCAATACATATAACAACAATTTGCTATAAAACACTCTCGTAGTTAGGTTGGCCCAGCCCTACGAGGAAGCTTAATAGCGCCGTTGCTAATTTACGCAACGCTGCGACATACTCTTGCTAGGTTATGGGCCCACAAGGTTCCGCCTCCCGGGCCCGGGCCTCAGGCTGACGAAGCCTGAGAGTGTTTAACGATTTTCCAAACGGCGACGCGGCCCGCTGCCAGTCTAGTAGTGTGTGCACGGCGGTAGGCTTCGGATCTCGTCGCGGATGCGGCGTAGCTCGTGAGTAGAGAGCTTGACTCGGACGTTGAACCCCGGGAGTTCCATAGACGTAAATACAAGCATACGTGCCATATCATACCGCAGTATTGGCAGTAGCAGGTACGTAGGTATGCGGCCTTATATAGGCTGAGGGCCTAGGTGGGGAGTATGTATAGGAAGTCCGACAGACGGCAGGTGCAACGTGCGAGGCAATGATCAGGTCCGGTTCTACAGGCTAGCTGTTGGTTCCCGAGGTCCAAAGATAAAGACAGCAATCTTTTTACATTATTAAAGGGCCGTGGATGGGCTCCGTCGCCACCGCGGGAGGACGCCTAGGCGCCGGGAGCACCAGCACCCGAGAAGGAAGAGGACCGCTGCGAATGCGGCGCCCGCGGGCGGCCCGCGCCGCGGCGCCAACAGCGCGGCGCACGCGGGCGTCGGGACGTCGCCGACCTCCTCAGGCAGACAATCATAAATCCGGAGCCAGTCGGCGCACGGCGCGCCGCCGCGGCCGCGGCAGCGCTTGAGGATGGCGCGCCACGCGAGGGGCGGTTTCGCCGCGCCGCCGCCCAGTGCTTCTCTGTAATCGTCGGGCTTCGGCCCGTGGAAGTGGAGGATCGCCGGGTCGGCCCACCGCGCGCGCCAGTACGGCCGCCAGTTGAAGGAAGGCGAGCGCACGACGGCAAAAGCGCCCTCGTAGAATTCGGCGTAGGCGCCCTGGTCGCCGGGACCGAACTTGCCAAAGTGCAGGCCCCGCCTGACGTTCGCGTCGGAGAAGGTCCAGTCCGCAAAGGCCGCGTACGTCCGTCGTAAACCTATTAAGTTGAGGAGCATGACGCCGGCGTTGCCGTAGATGGGGGGTTCCATGAACTCGGCGCCCATGGTGAAGTAGGCCGGGTCCGCGCCCGCGCCGAAGTCCTCCCTTCTAACATCGCGCAGGAACGCGACGTCGGTGTCCGCGTATAATACAATTTCGCCGTGCTTCCGGGGGTCCAGCAGGAGCGGAATGTCGACGCGGAGAAAGGTGGCGGCGAGGGCCGACGCCGACTCGTACAAAGGCGAGAAGCGGACGTTGTCGCGGCCCGCCTTCGTCGAGAGGGCCTCGGACACGCGGCCGGCCCACGCCGGCGCGTCGTGGTAGAGCACCTCGACGCCGGCGCCCTCGAGCCAGCGCGCCAGGGCCGCGTCTCGCCCGCCGCGGAAGACGCACACAATGTGTTCGAGCGACGTCCGCGCGCGCGCCGACGCGACGGCCCGCTTCGCCATCGCGGCCCACGCCTCACTACTATCCGCGGTCGCGAGGAAGACCCAGGTCGCGGGCGGTTGACGCCGACGCGCCGCCAGCGCCGGCGCCGCGCCGGGCCGCTCGTCGACGATGGCCTCGTCTGCCGCCGCGACGGTCCCGCCGCTCGCGGCGGCCGCCGCCATCAGCGCGACGTCGGCGAACTCCGGACCGAGCTCCGTGATTCGGGCAAGCCAGCGCTCGTTGAAGGCCGCCGCCGCCTCCGTGTGTCTCCGTAAGACGAAGGTCGACGCGTACGCTGGCCCGCGCGACCGGGCCGCCGCGCGCCGCGCGGCCGCGACGGCGCCGGCGCCGGCGCCGGCGCCGCACAAGAGCGCCTCGTCGGCGAGGCGCGCGCGCGCACCGCGGTGGCCCGCACAGCAGACGGCGCGCCGCCGCAACGCGACCGACGCGCCCGCGGAGAGCGCCGTCGCGACGGCCTCGGCGGCCGCGCGAACGTCGGGCCGCGCCTCGACGTAGAGGCTGTGGGCGTAGGCCGCGAGGTGCGGGTCGCGGTGCGGCGCGGCCTTGAGGGTCGTTGCCGGCGTGCGCGAGAAGACGAGGCGCCAGCCGCGCGGCGCTTTCGTTGAGGCTGCGTCTTCACGAACAAAGTAGAGGTAGTCCCAGCCGTCGTCACGACCCGCTCTGTCCGATGGCAGGTCCAGGCCGGCGGCATCACCAAACGCGTAGACGACGGCGCGGTTCCGCACGAGCGGCGGCAACCGCGCGACGCCGAAGAACGCAAACCAGGCCCGCTCGGCGAAGTGGCCCGCCTCGAGCGAGTCGCCCGCGGACAATTCCGAAGCGAGCGCCGCATAAGTTGCGGCCGGCGTCCTCCTAATAGCCTCGCGGCCCGCGCCGAAGGCGCCGCCAAGGCACGCCGCGACGCCGCGCTCGCCGACGCGGACGCCCGCGCGCGCCGTGAGCCAGGCGCCGAGCGGGCGCACGGACGCCCGCTGGTACGACTCGTCGGCGTAGCATTTTCCGAAGCGGTAGCACTGCTCCGACTCGTACGTCGGCAGCTCGAACGCGAGGGTTTCGGAGATAGGGGCGCGCGCGCAGAACGCCTCGAGGTTCGCCGGGAGCGCGCGCGCCAGGCCGAGGACGTTGACCATCGAACCCAAGTGGACGTGCCAGGGCGTCGTGTCCTTGAGAAATAACGTCGCGTCCGCGAGGTCGTCGCGGCGCCGCACCGCGTGCGTCGCGTACGCGTGGTCGCAACGCCCGACGTTCGGCAATGGGATGGCTTCCACGGAAGCCACGCGCTCGAGCGCCCGGACCGCGGCGACGTCCGCGGGGTCGCAGCCGGCGGGCCCCTTGCAGTAGAGGAACGCGCGGACCGGCGCGACGCGCGCCGGCGCCGCCGCAGCGACCGCCATGACGACGGGCGCCGTTCCGTAGTCGTACGCGGCGACGACGATGTCCAGGGACGTCGCCTTCACTACATCGCAGGGTCTGCCGACGCAGGCCAGCGAGTACGGCTGCTCGAAGCCCCAGCCGGGCAGGACCTTTGGCTTCGGCTTGCCCCAAGGCCGCGCGGGTCCAAAATTCGTACGGCACGGCTTCGTCGCCACGCGCGCCTTGAGACAGTACGGCGGACGGCTCCCGTGGGTCCGCGAGCAGTCGACGGGGCAATGGAAGTTACCGTCGGGCTCGCGGCAGACATCACCATGCCAGCGTTCATCGTGCCACTCGAGCTCCGTCGCGTTCGTCGCGTTGTCCCGGCACGGGGACCGCCGCGCGTGCGAGACGCACGGCTGCCCGTCGGCGCGAATGCACGCGACGCGTCGGCCAGGGTCGCTTGGCGCCGCGACAGCCGCGCAGTCGGTCGGGCACGACCACACGTCGGGCTTCTTCTCCTGCGCGACGACGCACGCATCGCCGCGGGAGCCGCGCCCGGCGACGAGCGCGGCGCGGCCGAGGCACGCCGCGGGCCGCCGGCATGGGCGGCCGTCCTCGACGCACAATGGCCCGGTAGCGCTGGTCGCGCAGCCGCGCGGACATTGCCAGGCGCCCTTCGGGCCGCGGCAGACGTCGCCGTGGTGGGCTGCGCCGGCGTGGGACTCCAGGGCGAACGATGAGGCGCAAGGCGCGGGCTCGCTCTGTCCGAGGGCGGCGGCCAGCACGGCCACCCACGCCGCGAGCGCGGTGTGCATCGGTTTAAGTGTTATGCATCATCTCTTCTCTTGGGCAGTCCTGATGCGGAACCAATCACAGGATTTCAACTGACTATGCTGCCCCGTGCACGCGTGAGGCGGGGCGTAGCTTTTGGGGGCCAAAGTGGATGGGTACCTTGGGGTCCGCCCCCGTCTCATGGACTCAGGCTCTGGCAACGTTACATTTCACCAAGGTGCGTGGTTTTCCTACTAGCTTTCTGCAGCGCCGAGCCGAGCAACGCCGAGTCTTTGCTCTACCGTGCGTACATCCTCGCGCCGGCCGCCAGTGCATCGCCCTAACCAAACGAAAAGCGTGTCGTGCGTCGTTGCTGTGGGCGAAACGCAGAAGAGGTGGCGCTGTTTGGAGCAACCTGACGAGCACTAAGGCTGTAGAGTCTAAGACAAAGCTAAAGCTAAATCACTAGCGATCGAGCCCCGGGCCTCCTGAGCTCGCGGGTTTCTACATCGACAGCCATTGCGCTGTGATGGGCAGCGTACCTCAACTGATGTCGCTGATGTGGTGTGCTACGCAGTGCGGCGCGTATCCCATTCGTTTCGCGTTGCTGTCTCACCAGCACAGTGGCACGCATTTCTTCCGCGAGGTGATGACATATCTGGGCGTTATCATGGGTAACGAGATGTTCAGCCGCGACATGTGCGCACTGCAAGGGTTGCCGCGCCCGCCCCCCGAGGAGGAGCTAGACAGCATGTTCGGCTTCCGTGACGCGGATTGGGCAGCTTTCCGCGACTGCGTCTGCCTGCGCGGCGCGACGGCGGGGGTCTGCCCCTTTGACGAGGCCGAGGCGCAGCGCAACGGAAACTCAAGCCTGCGGGTAACGCGGAGCCACCAGGCGGTCGGCTTCATCTGGCAGTGCTGTGGCGTCAGCGCGTCGTGGGGCCTCTCTCTGCGCGAGCACATCCCGTACCTACGACGGGCGGGCATCCGGGTTGTCGTGCTCGAGCGGATCAATCCAATGGCAATGTCGATGTCGTCGTCGAACACGGAGAACATCGTCCACCGCGGCCGGGACGACTCTTTCAATCTCAGTGAGGCTGACCTGCACAATATGGTGCTGGTGCGCCAGAAAAACGAGGGCATGTTCGCTGGCGCCTTGCAGCTCCTGCTGAGGGCACATGTCCCGGCGCTGTACGTAACCTACGAGACACTGAACCGGAACTATTCCGCCTTCGTCCCGATCCTGCGCTTCCTCGGTCTCAAGGCCACCTTCGATGCCCCGGCCATGCTGCACGTCACTGACCCCGTCAATGACAAGGAAAGGCAAGCAATGGCGCCAGCGTCGCTGGTGCGTAGCTATGGCCTTTCCAACGCGACCAAGCACCACATCCGCAAGACGATATCATACATCGAGAACGCGGCGTCGGTTGAGCGCTGGGTCACGGGCGGGAATATTCCTGGGCTGCAGCTGTGCCACTTGCACGACAACTGTTCTCTTCTCCCGGTGAAATGCTTCGACCCCGGGCACGCTCGTGCAGCTGGTCGTGCCCGTCTTCTCTCCGTGAAGGTCGGAGACTCAAAACAAAGGTCCGAATAGGCGGTCACGATCTTACATACTCTCTTATTTTTGGGATTCGAGATTCGGGATTCGCTGAGAATGAAGATTCGCGGAATACCGTGACCCCATGCAGATTTAAATAAATAAAGCCATAAATAAATCATGATAAACAAACAAACAAACAAACAAACAAACAAATGATTAAGGAAGGCCTAAAATTTGGCTGTTTTTACACCACCCCCCCCCCCCCCCTCAGGCTCCGAGTCAAGTTCAAGTTGGAATAAATAAAGTGAACTTACTTTATGGGTTAGGCCCAGCCTCTGGCTGGTGAGCTAGGACCCTGCTACTTTACAGAACGCTGCGACATACTCTTGCTACTCCCCATATAGTTATACCCCCTGTAGACGACCTAGCGGACGATACCTACGGTAAGCTTCGAGGTACCGTAGGTACCGTAGGTACTTATAGTAAACAATGTCATGCATGGAAACTAAGTCGTCCGTGTCTGGCTAGCGCGAGCAGGCTCGATGAATATGCAGATGCCTCTCCTGCTCAGCCTTGCTCTGCGTGGCGCGGCCAAGCCTTTTTGCCGGGACGGGTCCACTCTTCTACAACACTGGCAGAGTTACAATGGAGCGCGGGGCCTCGACCGCTGGCTTGAATATGCCAATACATATTCGCACCACATACCATCACCACTTGGCAGGACGTCTACAGTGCGTATGCTGGAGGTCGGAGTCCAAAGCGGTGGGTCTGCGGTGGCCTGGAAGACGTGTTATGGTACCTTGCTGCGCTACGTCGGAGTCGACATCGACCCGCGGTGCGCGCGATCCCGGAACGAGAGTGCCGGGGTCTTCGTAGAAATTGGTTCCGTCTTCGACAACGCATTCCTTAAGGAGGTGTGCAGAAGGCACGGACCCTTTGATGTCATCATCGATGACGGCGGCCACACGGCGGCGATGGTAAAGGCGACCATCTCGGCACTATTCGACGATGACTCTTGCATGGCGCCGCAATCGGTCTACGTGGTCGAAGACCTCATGGTCATGGCGCGCTGCGGAGGCGACAAATCATACTGCGAGGCGCCCAGCGACTTCACGAAGCTACCAAGCAGCGCCTTTGAGTCAATGCACGACTACTGGTTTAAGACGCGGGACGCGACGCAACCGGCACCCAGCATCTTCGGTGGCAGTTTGCACGCCATCCATTTGTACGACTCTATTGCCTTCTACGTGCGCCGGGCTCCGCAATCGCGCTTGACGCGCATTAAACTCGGCACCGACTGGTTTCCGAACGAAGAGGCCAAACTCAACCGCGTTGACACGTACGCTGCTGCGGCAGCCCCAGGCACCGCTGCCCCCAGCGAAACTGAGTAGTAATACGAGTATAGATAAATATCATTGAAATAATAACGCCCCGGCCAAGTCCCGCGTGGGTCGCGGATTCCTGAAGCCGCAAAGAACGTGTCCGTGTTCTTGTCGAGATTAAGATGCTCGAACGCGAAGGCGGGGATAAGCCTGAGTCAGCAGCCGATGACCTCTGGGCCGACTCGGGGAGTTCCGGCGGGCCCTAAATAAATAAAATAAATAAATAAATACGGGGCCGGCACCCAAATTGGTGAGATTTTCAATTAATAGCCTAAAGGGCCAAATGGCGTTTGCTGGGTCCCAGGGGCATCCTAAGCACACGGCGACACTAGCTTGCCACGGAGGTGCCCCCCTCGAGATGGGGTGAGGTGCCCAAAACGAAACGCCACCGTGACTGGCGCGACGTTCGCGTGGTGGCCATTCCGCCCCCTCGCTTTTTCAGGGCCCCACACTCGGCCAGAAGGTGAGGCATCCCCTTAGGCTCGTTCGCAGCTAGTTTGGCCCTTTAGGCTATTAATGGGGAGGCACTACAGCCCCCGATTTAATCGGGTTCCGGCCCCTTAAATAAATAAATCATGATAAATAAATAAATATGTACATAATATGGATGCATTTTGAAATTTAGGCTATTATAGGCGCATACAAATGGACGTGCAGGGCAAGTGTGCCCCGTATGTTACCCACACTGTGGCATGGGACGCCGCGCCAACTTTCGGCGTCGCACGAGGAGCGCGCACGCAGGCCTGCGGCGATGCCCGCGACTCCGCGTGCTCGCGAGAAGGCACTCGGTCGGTCTCCGCCGTGGCGGATGTAGGCCGTAACCTCGTCGCCGTGCCGCCTGGAGGCGAGGTCGCAGAGGGCCGAATTTTTGCGCGATCGTTCGTAAAGTCAATCAGGTCATTTATTTCACGTGGACGCGACTGCATGTGTGCGGTGCTGGACCAGCGGCTCAATCCCAAGCGCCGAGGGCACAGGCTACCGTGCGACGCTCCGATCTTGTTTTTTCCAGTCAGCAACTATTCTGTTGAGCCAGAGGATGTTCCACGTGTCAGGGACACTGGGAGCAGATCCGGCGTAGCAGTAGTGGGATAGATCACATGGAAGTTTCCCCTGTGAGCCTCGGGAGTACACCGACCCGTTTCTGTTGTGCTGGTCGGGACGGAAGAACGAGAGCGCCTCTGTGTCGAGCAAGTGAACATCTTTGCGACCTTTCACCAACATGGCCTGGTGACGCTTGTGGAGTTGGCAGTTCATAAAGGGGACGCCGGTGGCATCGAATCTGTTCAAGACAGCGTAGGTAAGGTTCGTCGCGGGGCCCGTAAAATTGTGGCACGGGGGCTGATTTGTGTCGCCTGGGAGCCGGTACGCCCTCATGTCTGGCGGTTGGGGATCGCCGGCGAGATAATGCCTCGGGCAACGTGTCCGGACCCACATGGCAGCGCCTTCCCTCCGCCGAGCCGCAGCGTAGTTGAAAACAGTGTCAAGGATCTCCTCGTACGTCGCGTGGAAGTCCTTGGACCTGTCCATATGGTGGCCGATGCCGAAGAGGACGATGTCGCTTGAGTTGATGACCTCGGCGTGATAATGCTGCATCTGCGATATCATATCGACACTAAGGTAGTGTATTCGCTTTGGTTCAGCGTCAAACATGTCCAGGAGGCAGCATAGCGAATAAAACTGCTGCCGCGTGAGGGAGTCGCCGATTAGCGCGACCTCAGCATGTTTGAGGGCGAGGCGTACGTCGTCGACGGACATGGTTGCCATTGCAGTGTCGCCCCAGACCCATTCCAAATCATCAATCGTAGGGCTCGATAGTAGTTCTTCGGCAATTGGTCCAATACTGTTAGACACGCACTCAACGCCGCCGCCGTGCATCGTGGAGTGAGGTGTGCTTACGTTCCTCCCAGGGGTCCATGTCACGAGCCGCTGGTCCTGCGAAATCACAGTGCCAAAAGGCATGTGGCCCGTTTGCGACAAGCACTCGCGAAACGACCTTAGCTGCGGAACATCTGACCATGGCGCTGGCAAATTCGATCGCCTCATGCGCTCCCACTGGTACGTGCTCAACTCGACCCGCGCCACATGCTGTGCCACCTCCGCCTCGTTGCACCGGAACAACGTTGATACCTCGAAAGGCGCCGCCGACCTCACAGCGCCAGGTTTTGGTGCGCGAGTGACCAGTAACTTGGCAAATGCCTTGAGAAACGCCGGACTCGCGAACAGCGCACTTGAAATGACCAGCAGCACTACGCCAGAAGCAAAACGCAGCCTTTGGTCGAAGGGCCGGTTGCCCCGCATCGTCGTCTAAGTGAGCTCATGTTTTTGGCACTACTAGAGAGAGAAACCTACTAGCCCTCCTACCTTAGATATGTATCTCCCACTCTCTAAGTTTGAGTCTATACAGTACAGCGAGTGTCTCTGACACTACGGTGTAACAACAATTTGCTATAAAACACTCTCGTAGTTAGGTTGGCAGCTAGGTTGGCCCAGCCCTCGGCTGGTGAGCCAGGACCCTGCTACCTTACCAGCGCGATTATAGAGACAGGCTAGGTTGCCATTTACCTGAGGGGTTATTTACCCCTGGCGCCGCCCGGGCCCGGGGTTAATAACCCGGGTAATTACCGGTTAGTACGGGTTATTTACCTCAGGATCTTATAGAGGGGTAGGGGAGGGGGCCTCACGGGCCACTGGCGCGGGCCTGGGCCGCGCCGGGCCACATGACTTGGTACTTGCCTTGGGCCCGTAGCTGATATTTCCCTATATCCCGTATCTTTCTGCTTATCCAAGTGGATCAAGCCCGGCGCTAAGTAGGCGCCGTAAAAACACCGGGGTGAACCTAAAGTAAGTTCACTTCAATCCGCTCTTCCGGGGGGGTCTTTCGCTAATCTCACTAAACGGGTTTAGTCGAAAACCCGTCGGGTTATTGAGCGGGTTATTTACCCCGGATCCCCTCCGAGGAGTGATAATGGGCAAATTACCGGTTATTAACCGGTTAATGGCAACCTAGGAGACAGGCACATCTAGGCCAAATTAGGTCAAATTTTACTGAGCAGCGCCTGACACAGCATGTCTGTCCAGCTGTCGAAGAGGCCCGACTCGAGGCAGTAGTGCGTACAGTCGCCGTTTTTGTGGCCTCGCCAGAATGCGGCCGACTGTGCCCACGTCCTCAGTATGGTCACATCGCGACTGGCTGAGACCACCGGCTCAGTTGCGCGGTTGAAAATGTTCGCTTTGCTGGTACCAGGGTCGCGCACCATGCTTAGTGGGAGGTTAACGCACTGCCTGCTGCTGATTTTACCCATATAAATGCCAGCACTTGTATTCCAGTGCTGTGCAGCTGTCTCGCGCCAGAAGATGCGTGGCCGAAGTTTTTGTGGCAGACTAGCAAATAGATTGAGCTGCATTGCAGTGATATCATGAAGGAGTGTCAAGTTGTGCGAATAATGCAATCCCGCGTTCATGACGATAAGTAGTTCTCGGGAATCACCCGCTGCGGCCATGAATATTCTGGACAGCCGCTCGAGGATGTAGCCACGCGAGCCGGGTGGTGCAGGCTTGAAACATGGAACCTCTGGCTTTAAACGGCATTGTTTGTTAAACATTGGACAGAGCCCAATAGTATTAAAGAGGCCGCAGTGAAGCGCATCTTCTGGCGCATAACAGACGGATGGAAGCGCCTTCTCAAAGCGTGCACAGTGCATGCTCACACCACTTTCATTGACGATTTGGAGGCGTGGCGGCACCAGTGGCGGCACCTCACTTCCTCCAAGGAGCGAAAACTCACGCAATTCGCAAAGCAGTGCGAAGTAGTGCTCCATGGAAATACTATCGCCAAGGAGTAGGATCGTCGTGCCTTTCAGCAAATGCCACGCGCGCTTAAGCCATCGAAATCTTTCTCCGCGTGAATAGCATTGGGCCCGCGGGACTTTGCTTGCATTGCCGCCACAAATATAGGTGCGTGCACCGTGCCCACGCCCCATAAGCGCACTGGCCAGTGCCGGTGTCCCACTCAGCCAAATCCTGCAGGATTGGTCCCAAGCGGCCACCTCGCATTCGGCGGTAGACATATTTAACGGTGGTTCATTGCGGCCTCCATCAGGAGTCGCAGCACCCTGGCGCATACCCGCCTGGAAAATCATGACTGCAGCGAAGCAAGCAAGCCAACATAGCGCCATTACCAGGTCACTCCCCCGAATGACTCCGAATGAGTACCACTAAAAAAAGTACGCTTGCTCGACATGTAAAAAAAAAGTACGCTATCGACGTAGAAATTAGTACTGCGGTATGTTCAATACTGGCACAGAAGTGCATAATCTGGCAAACTCCGAAAAAACCGGACCCGCAAATGAAACTTGAAGGGAAGACGGGGGAAAGGGGGGAAGGTCCCGCTGGGTCAACTGTTCCTTATGATGTCCGTGGGCTGCATGCAGCGCGGGGTGCAAATTTGACGGAATCACCCCGGCCAGCGGGTACATCAGCCACGAAGAGCTTGTGACCTGGGCCGTCCGCGTTCTACTATAACTTGAATTCGATATTACTAGTATATAACCGTGACAGGTATAATAGTAAAAAATATGGCACTCAGAGGCTCCTCCTAAAACTAGAAACAGCGCGCGCGGCGCACCCCCCCTCGGGCCGACCCACCGCCACGGCCCATTACCACTCAGGTGTCCCCCGCCCCGTGCACCCCCCAGCAATGTGCCTGGGGCCAAAAGCAGCCCCATACGCCGGTATTTTCCCGATTCAGCCCGTTTTACTAAAATTACCCGCACCATAAAATAACTTTTTTAATTATCCTTAGTTAATAAGAGAGAAATAGCTATAGTCAATTCGGGTTGCGGGGGCGCGCGCCTAGAGGGGTGACGGGGGAGCTATCCCCCGCGAGCGTGTACGTAAGCTTGCTGCCGGTCGTAGAAGCGTGCGTCGTCGTCGCCGTGCCCGGGCGCGTTGGTGAAGTCCGGGTTGCCGCCGACGAGCCGGAGGCCGTCGATCTTGATCCGGGCGTACTCGCGCGCCGTCTTGATGCCCCAGCGACGGTAAAGGCAGCCTTAGTTAATAAGGAATAGCTATAGTCAATTCGGGTTGCGGGGGCGCGCGCCTAGAGGGGTGACGGGGGAGCTATCCCCCGCGAGCGTGTACGTAAGCTTAGTTAATAAAGGAATAGCTATAGTCAATTCGGGTTGCGGGGGCGCGCGCCTAGAGGGGTGTTAGCTTAGTTAATAAAATATAAATAATATAAATAGGGTATTATAGGCACATAGCGTGCATCTATAGCTGCAAGTTAATGAGCGAGAGAAAAGCCAAGGGGAGCGCAGCGTGTGATTGAAAATTTCTGTAGCTTTTGCAGCCCGGCCGCAGACAGCTGCACAATTCAAGCTTGATATCGACCGAATGCCGCGCGCGCTGCCCCCGTGCTTCGGACAATACGTTGTCTAGGCGAGAAGGACACATCGAATGGGTGTTGTGGCGTGGTAGCATGGCCTCCGGTGTCGGTGCTGCGGTCGGGAGGCGCGTGCAGTCCAAGCACATTGTCTTAGGCCTAGCAGTGGGCACTGCCATCTATTTCATCCTGCGCCTCGCGCCTGCGGGGGAGCTCACCGCACTAGCGAGGGAGGATCAGGTACGGAGAGCCGACGAGTTGTCCCAGCCGGCGTGTCGACAAGGCAGGACGCCGAGGGACATGCCAGTGGGCTGGGCGTCGGCCGAAATGCAGAGTTCGGAGCGTTCTTTAGGATGGATGCGGCTCGACCAAGAGGACAAACGATTGGAGGCGTGCCGGCTCGGCAACGGCGGGCACAACTCTGGTTCTCGGGGGTCGGTAAAGACTTGGGCACTGGATTGGAAAGGTGCCATTGAAGATTGGTTCGGAGTGTCCACCGTGAGGGTTGCCGGGACGGAGATCTGCGTCGACTCTGTGTCCAAGGACGTGATCTATCGGAGCGCGTGCGTTGACGGGTACCGGACGTCGCGATATTGTAGGGCGGCGCAACTGCACCCCAAGCAAAGGGCGCCCACCTATGCGGATTATCCCAGTCCAAGGTGCACGAAAGCGTACCCGTTCCGGTGGCGCGCCCTCTGCTGTACCTGGCACTCTATCGAGCGCAACCGAACTATAGACCAGCAGCGACATTACCAAGCCTTCGGAACATGGGAGATATTCCGGCAGTCATTCCATAACCTAAGAAGCACGGCACTCAAGTACGACAATCTATGCCACCTCCTTCAGCGGCGCCCCTCGGAGGAGGTCCGAGTCCTTGAATATGGTGCGGGCATCGCTCCTGGCTCATTTAGGCTCGGTGGCGGAGGATTTCACGATGCAAATATATTGGGAGGAAAAACAGCTTGCAGTGTGCCAATCAAGTCGGCAACAGTGGTGGATATTTCTGGTGAGCACCTGTACTTCGGGGCCTGGCGCCTCAAGAATCTCCTATTGGAGAGAGGAATGCAATCTTCGATCAGGGTGGTCGAGGCAGACGGCGAGTCTCTACCGAGCCTGCCAGCGCAAGCGTTTGACGTGGCCATTGTGTTGACTGTGCTTGAACATGTTCCTGACCCCCTGTCCGTCATGAGGCTTATCCTAAACTCGCTCAATCGTCCGGGGGCGATCATGATGGACTTCTGTGCTGAACTCTCCACGGCCAAGGCCGCAGCAAACCCTTATAACTCGCCCAATCTTGGATCCTCGGCAATGCTGCGCTCTCAGACACTTGCGTATGTGAACAATGAATGCACCGAAATTTTCTTCAATAAAGATTCGGGCTCAAATCATTGCAGACCAATGTACTTCGATTGTTCCAGCAAACAATGAGATGGTGAGGTTGAGTGCCCGGGACCGAACTCCGCCCCATCGTGGTGGTCCTCGAGTGATGGTAGGACGAGCTGGATGCCCGTGCTCTTAGGATGATTCCGCGTCGCCGTCGGTATCATCGGCGCCGTTCTTAAAGGCCGCAGCATCGCCGCGGTACTTCTCCTTGTACCTAGAGGGGCCGGGGGGTCAGCCCCGCGTGCCCCCGCCCTACACGAGTCACCCGCACCCTTACCCGTCCTAAGGGCCTAGGTTGGCATTTACCTGAGGGGCTATTTACCCCTGGCGCCGCCCGGGGTTAATAACCCGGGTAATTACCGGTTAGTACGGATTATTTACCTCAGGATCTTATAGAGGGGTAGGGGAGGGGGCCTCACTGGCCACTGGCGCGGGCCTCAGCCTCTCGGGGCGTACAAAGGGACCCTTTGGGACCCCACAGCCAAAATCGCCCCCGGAAAGTGGCTAGGAACTCGAATCTCAAATTTGGGGTCCGCCCCCGTGTTAAGCGGCGGGCGTCCGGACGGTCCATAAGATCCCGGGTTAATAGGGTTAATATAACCCGTACTAACGGGTAATTACCCGGGTTACTGACCCCGGGCCGCGATTGGAGTTAATAACCCCTCCGAGACTCATGTAGCGCATGCGCTACATGAGTAAATGGGCTATATGGGTATGTATTTGGGTTATATGGGTGTTTGGGCTATATGGGTATTTGGGTTATTTGGGATTTGGGTTATAACCCAAACGCCCATATAACCCAAATACCTATATAGCCCATTTACCCATATAGCCCGTTTACTCATGTAGCGCATGCGCTACATGAGTCGAGTCACGGTCGGGTAAATGGCAACCTAGCAACAGGCCAAGACAATACCCCAGCAGTTAGACCCAGCAGTATATTTTCCCTAGCGTCACGGTAGGCAGGGCGCACACTCGTAGAAACCCGCCTCACCCCACATGGGGAGTCAGTCATAATATACGCGCCTCTAGACCTACGGGAGCTCTGGAACCAGCAGGGGATTGAATGAAGTAACTTTTTGGCCATTTGTCCTGCCATGACAATGTCATTGTGTTGAGTGGCAACATGAAGAAGGGCAGCCGCACTGTGGCGCCGCGGAGGCTCGTCTGCTGGACAGCGATGCTCCTCACCGCGCTCGGTGCGAGCCTCGCAAGACTGCTGGGCGTGCCTGCGGCGGCTTCATGGCTGCGCCGCCAGCCTGCGCGCCGCCGCCGCCGGCCCTCGCCCACGCGGTCGGCATCAGTATGTGGTGCGGCGGCCGACGAGGACACGGATCCGGCGTTGCCGGCCGCACGAAACGTGTTACGGTGCGGCTCACGTCCGGCCCAAGCTCAGGCGCGCGAAGCCAGCGAGCAATCCCGGAGGTGCTGGGAGGCGCACTGGCGTCCGAGCTGGGGAACGGCGGCCCAAGCGAACATGACAGCCACTGCGATAAACTTGGGATCGGAAAGCGTGGATTCGATTGCGGTCGAAAGCCTTGGTGAAGATTTTGAGTTCGACGCGGTGGTGCCGCTCCTGGTGACGAGCACCAACACAGCAGCTCGTTTGAAATCTATTCGCAAGTACATACGACCCCGCGTGCGAAACATTTATCTCCTGGTCGAATCGGACGTGTCGTGCCGATACCTCACGTCGCTTGGTCCGCACGTCTACTGCCTTCCCGTTCACGCGCTCAGCGGCCGAAGCGGCGTGGAAATGGTTGCGGCGTACCCCCACCTGGCGACGTCCGGGCGCCACGGCGGATGGTTCGTGCAGCAGTTCGCCAAACTCTTCGTGAGCCTCATCGACGTCGGCCTCTCCGATCACTTCGTAGTGATAGACTCGGACAACATCTTCCTGCAAGAGCTGGAGGTGCTCCAGCGCGTCCGAGCAGCGTCGATCCGCGCGCCGACGGCCCAATTTTTTCCACTCGAGTGGGCCGAGGGAAATATAAGGGCGAGGCTCCAGACGAAAACGTATTCGTCCTCAGACCCGGTCCTCCGCGCGGTGTTCTTCGCGGGAAATAATTCCAAGATGTGGTTTCGCGACTACGGCCCGACGACGCACGACCTCCTCGGCAAATGGCCCTGCGCCCTGGCCAACGGCCGCACGGCGGTGGCGCATTGGATGGTGTTTTCGCGGCACCGCGTACGCGCCATGCTGGCGAGCATCTTCGAGCGCGTGGCGCGTGACCACGCGACCTCGTTCTACGACGTAGTCCTTGACTGGGCCTCGCGGAAGCGCGCGTGCGAGACGCGGGACCAATGCAAGCAGCTCGCGTCCACCTTCTCGGAGTACGAGCTCTACTCGACGTACCTCATGGTACATCACCCCGAAGAGGTGCGGTACGATGCGACGTCAATCCACAAATATATGCGCAACCCACCTTCGTCGTCCAAGGGGTGCACAATCGACGTCGCCGCGCTCAAGGCGCGATATACGACGCTCCAATACGCGACCATCGAGGACGAAAAGACGCGAACTCGCCGCGGCTGCGCCGACGACTACGGCATCGACGACGGCCTGCTCGCGGCGACGGTCGCCGCCGAACGGGAGATCGTGCTCCGCAAACCACCTGGTGCCGGCACAGGGAAATTCGAATACGAGGCGCTCCGCGCGGCGCGGTCGCGCGCCAAAAGGCTCGTCGTTAGTGTTTGGCACGTCTTCCACGAAGCGCCGTGGGGCGGCGGCAACCAGTTCCTCGCAGCGCTCATTAACGCGCTGCGCCGCCAGGACGACCTCATCAAGAAGGTCCAGTTGAACAAGATCACCAAAGAGACGACGGCGATTCTCATTAACGCGCACACTTTCAACACGGCCGACTTCGCGCGGGCCTACCTGAAATTCGTAAAAAAGACTCCGCAGGGAGATCGTAAGCCGTTTATCGTTGCGCATCGCATCGATGGCCCCAACATTATCAACAGAGCCAACACCTCGTCTTACCAAAGCCAGGACCGCATCGTCCGCCTTATGAACGGCCTCTACGCCGACGTTTCCATCCACCAGTCGCTCTTCTCGTGGCATGCCTGGGACACGACATACCCAGGAAGTCTCGGTGGCGGCGACAGTAGATATCGGCCCCGCGTCATCATCCGAAATGCCGCGGACCCGGCGATCTTCAAGCAGCGGCCGCCCTGCGCGGCGCCGCGCACCCCGATGCGCCTCATCGCCACGTCGCACGCCAATGGTTTCGTCAAGGGCGCCGACACGCTCGCCGCACTTTCGCGCGCCATCGACTGCGAAGAGTTCAACATCACGTTCATAGGCTCGCGGAGCCGCGAGTTTCGCCTTGCTACCCATCGGCCCTGCGTGACGGTTGTGCCGCCACAATCCTCTGCCGAGATTGCTGCGGCGCTCGCCGAACATGACATTTTCATCGCCGCCTCGCGGCGCGAGCCAGCCTCCAACTCGCTCGTCGAGGCGCTCGCCGTCGGCCTTCCCGTCGCCTATCGCGACGAAGGAGGCCACCCAGAGGCCGTCGGACTCGGTGGCGTGCCCTTTAAAACCGACGACGAATTGATGAGCGCGCTCCGCACCATTAAAGAACGCTACGCTTACTTCGCTGCAGTCGTCGGCGCGCCGCTTCATCACAATATTGACGACATCGCCCGCCAGTATGTAGCTGTCCTTCGCGGCGGACTGCCCGGCGATATTCCCTCTAGGGGTGCTTGAGTCCGGGACCTGTCCAGATAAATAAACGTGCCAGTGAATCATATGATAAGTAAATCTAACACTAGGGGCGAGACAGTGTATGAGGGCCGGGGCGGGACGGGCGTGCGGTGCGGTCAAGCAGGCCCCGCGTCGTTCAAGTTGGCGAGGTGGCTAGGCAGCTAGCTTTAGCAAAGCAATAAATAAATTAGAAATCGAGGACTGAGGAGGCGAGGCAGAGCTCCACACCACGCCGCTTGGCAGCTTCGCCCCACGCCCCCGGCTTCCCAAGAGCAACACTCCAGCCTCTGAGCCTCAGCCTGAGCACTTACTCCAGCAAAGGCATGCCAGTGGGGCCCTTAGTATATTTTATGTGTCATCCGTCAGCAAGGGACATGAAGTATAAAAATTCCTATGCTACTTTTATCCATGGACGAGGAAAAGGACTGGAGGCTACCGTTTTTTCCAGATTGCGAAGCACACACCATGCCGGCCGCCGTCGTCGCCTTTACCTATGTGCTGGATAAAAAAGTTGGTGCCTTGCGTGGCGAGGAATTCGTCTGTTGCCTGGCGTGCGCCCTGCCACGCGCAGTAGTCGTCAACTATTAGCAGCCCGCCAGGGGACAGCCGCGGTACGAGAACCTCGAACTCCGTCTTGGTCGACTTGTACCTGTGTGCAAATAAACCAGCTGAGTCGAGGGCTCAAAGTCATTTCAACAATGCGACCGCGTTGGCTGGGCGGGTGTACGGCAGTAGACATACTGTCGTGGTGCGCATCGAAGGCGCCTGGAACTTGATTCATGCACTGACTTGTACCAGTCCGTGTCGAGCCTGAGCAGTGCGATCTTCTGCGGAAGTACCTGGCCGGGGCTCGTGAGCGTGTCCTCGACCTTTCCCTTGATGTAGCGGACACGCTCGGACGGATATGTCGTGCTCTCTATGTTCTTTCGTACGATGTCGATGGGCCCATAATTCCATCGCACCTGGCCGCTGGTATCGACGTATTCTCCCCCATCGCCACCAGTGGCCATGTCCTCAGCACTCCAGCCAGCAGTCCGTTCCCGCGCAGCGCTGTTGTTTGCAATAGATGCTTGCACGTTGTCCCAGCGACGAGCGGCACGACTACCGTCCCTTTTGCCGGGCACGGGCATACCCTCAAACGTGTCAAAGAGCCAGACATCTCGATGGGGGTGGCTGCCGTCGCGGGAGAGGGCTGCAAATTCCGCGTACAACATCATCATGGTGGCCCCACCCCGCCACACACCACACTCAACAAAGGCACCATCAACAGGGTGCTCCGCCACGGAAATATTGTGCAGCACAGATTCGTAGAGATGCTGCAACTTGGCAGGGGCGACCATGGATTTCCAGGCGCGCCTGTTGCTACCGGGCTGGACGCGACGCAGCGCAGCCTCTAACGAGAGAGCCGGGGTTTCAGCGGTCGGCATTGCGCGTGAATCCAACGACGAGGTGCGCTTACGGCCGACGGCGATGACGTCGATCCAGTACGGTCGGGATCCGTCGCGATCGGGCGCGTCGAGCTCGGAGGAGTGTGTTTCGTCGGTTCCGAAGCCAGCGAGGTAGAGCGTGACGGCGAGCCAGTTGCCGACGCCGTCGGACTTCACCGTGTCCAGGCCGGCGCGGTCGAACAGGGCGTTGACGCGGGTCGGCGAGTAGCGATTCTCGTCCCCGGGATTGGCGTGGTACTGCATGAGAAACGGCGTAGTCCACACGATGGTGCCGCCCGGCTTGAGGAGGCGAACCAACGTGGCGAGCGCGACGTCGACCCGGTCGATGTGTTCCATGACCTCGCCAACGACGAGGAGGTCGAAGTGTGCCTGTTTGATCCGTGGGTCGGTCCAGTCCGGATGGACGAGGTCGACTAAGACGTCGGCCTTCGGATCCTTGAGGTCGACCGCGAGCATCTCCGCACAGGTCGGGAAGTACGTGTGGAGGAAGTGCTTGTCCCCGACCTCGGCGCAGACCTTGCCGTCGCCGAGGGCCTTGACCTCGGGCGCGCGCAGCGCCTTGTCGATGTAGTACCGCGCGATGGTCCAGCGATGGTTCCGGTGCTTGCCGCCGGCGGGGTCGACGGGGAGGATCCGCGCCGTGAACAGGGTGCGTGTGAGACCGAGCCACAGGGCCTGGAACGCCAAATGATACTGCGGGACGTCGAAGTTGGCCAGCGTCGGCGTTTGCATTTGCGACCACTCGCCGTCCAGTTCGGCCGCGCGCGCGCCCAGCAGCTTGAACGCCCACGCTTTGGTCGGATCCGCTTTGGCTGGACTTTGCTTACTATTTGATTTTCCCCAATACTTTAGAGACCGTCGAGAACTGCTCGTAGGCGAGAATGATGTCGAAACGTTGGTGCGGCAGGGGTCCAGCCTCATCACCTCGTCAAATGCGAGCGTGCTCAGCTCACCGCGCTCCCACAAATCGCGCACAGTCGAGCAGATGGTCGTCCCCGACGTCGACGTCACCCACAGCATCAACATTGTCGAGCGCATCCTGGGCCCAAAGAGCGTGCTCGCGCGAGCTGGCCTGCCCGTTCGTCACCACGGCAGCAGCGGGTGTTCTGTCCGCACGCCGTGGCTGTGACACGTTGTGCGCTGACTTTCGGGCTGCCCGGGCACTTACAGCTTGCATCGCTCCAGGTACAAAGGGGGTGGACCAGGGTGTTAGATGTGAGTGTGAGACCCGTTTGGATGAGTGTGAGACCGGTCGCGGACCTCAGACGTGAGTGTGATTTCGAGCGGGCGCCTGAATTTTTTTTTAGTGTAAGGCGTCGCAAATAACTGTATTTCCGGTCATGTTGTCTTCCAGGCTCTGCAGTGGCCTGCCAATCACGCGTGGCGGCTCTCTCCGCACTTTTGAGGCTAAAAACCCGAATTTACAGGCGTCCAGGACCCCAGGTGCAAGATTTTGCGCTTAGGATGCTAGACATGTACAGGGTGGAAATCAAACATAGGGCTGGGTGCACCCATAGGAATATTATTAATTAACTAACTATCATTTCGGCCGGCAGACACCTCCTAAAAATTCCGCGCGCGCGCGTTACCCCCCCTCTGGCGCGTAACTAGGGTAACACGCGATGCTCAACATCCGCCTCCTGAGCCCCCCACAGACCACCCTAGGCACAGTTCGAGGCCTGTGGGATCATTATTACACCGAATTTCGCCCGTTTAGGTCTGGTTTTGGACCTAGGTGACGGGTTTTGCTGATTTAACCCCCCTCCCTCTACTTCAACTTTACGTTGAACTTCAGTCTGACGCGGCATAAATATCCGAGGTTTACTCCTATAATATTTTGATTTCTACCCTGGACATGTAGGTTACTTATGGGGCTAGCCTCACTTGGGCTTTGTAGGGTCGTTTCCCGCTGTTCCCCCCAGTAAAGTGAACTTACTTTAGGTTCACCCCGGTGTTTTTACGGCGGCTACTTAGCGCCGGGCTTGATCCACTTGGATAAGCAAGAAGATACGGGATATAGGGAAATACCGGCTCGGGCACGTGCCGGCTGGTATAGCGTGCTGATAGGCGAGAGTAATGTAGCCATAGATCCGGCGATAGGGGGCTACGGCGTTGAAGATATATATCTAGGGGAGTTTTCACCTCATTCTAATTAAAGCTAAGGGAAGGTAAGGAAGAATGTTACTCCAAAGAGTCAACAGGGCTCCGGCCTTGGGGAGATCCCGATCAACACGAAACACAGTAACAATGAGTGAACTCTTCTTTGCAATAAATGCTATACACAAATGCAGGGATTCACCTATGACCTCAGTCGCCTGGTTATCCAGCGTCTCCACCATGAGACCGCGCCTCTGCGAAGCAAAGGGGTACCGGACGTCGCTTTGGTCGGAGCCGGGACCAGAACTGGAGTCGGAGCCGGGACCGAAGCCGAAGCCGGTACGGTAGAGAACGCTACGTACCACGAGAAGCGGAGAACACTCGTCGCCCACGGGCGCGTGCCGTTAATTTTTGCTGCGACGAGCCCAATCTTCTTGTTTCCATTCGCTTTGGTCTTGCGTGGTCCTATATTACGCTTGATGACCTGGAGAAACGGCATATCGCCCAAGTTTTTGGCATGAGTCGTGGTGCACGATCTCATGACCGAGGTCTTGTGCCTGAACAGGGGGTCGGTGCCCCCATAACGGCCAACGAGATCTTCATCGCAGCCGGCGATATGCCAGTAGCTCAGCTTCGTTAAGAGCATGACGGCCGGATGCGGGCACGGGAGTGGGCATCGGGGCGCAAGTCGCCGAAATGCGTTGATGACCAAGCAGCTCTCGCGCACCGGCTCGAGTTGCCCCATCGCCCATTCGAGGAGCTCCCATGGGGCGAAAGTATCCATATCCATGACAAAGATCACATCGGTCGGTGCCACCGCGAAGAGCAAATTCCGAGCGCCCCCAATGTTCCACGCGAGGTCCTGTTCGATCTCGACGACCGTGACGCCTGCGTTGGGGATGGGGCTCGCCCAAAGCGCCAATCTGAGCGGGACGCCGGAGACCCGCTCGCTGCTTCCACGTTGCGAGCGACGACGGGCGCCGCTCGCGCTTCGTCCGGAGACCCGTCATCGACGATCAAGAAGTGGACGTGGTCGAGAATAACGGCAGGGAATGTGTTCCAGAGACGCACATTGTGCTCCAAGTGGTGCACGTCGCAGTAGTAGCTGTAGCCGACGGTCAGCCGCTCGCGCTGGCGCCCGCGGACGGTGCGGATCTCGCCGAAGCGCGCGGTGCAGGTCGGGTTCCGGGCCAGGCTCGCGCGGCCGGCGGCGTCAAAGGGTCGCGTTGCGTTGAACGGCAGGACGACCGCGGCCGCGCAGAGATTTTTCGTGGCTTTGCCAGGCGCTGCTGCGGCGGGCAGGCGGCCGAAGGTGGCGAAAAGCGCGAAGGAGCACGCGTGCCTCATCTTGCGCGGGCAGCCAAGATCTAGCCAAGATGATCCCCGCTAGCAGTACCGGTACAAGCTGGTACCGTATTCACTAGGCCTATTCTATCCGGGTATTTAACTAAGATAAATGAGACTAGGATAGTGAAGCTAAGATAAAATTTGGGAGATTTATAAGTGGGAAAAGAGGCCGTTGCCACAACGGGCGCCAACCCCAGGGCCCCCGGACCACGCGCACTAGAGACGCGCCTGAAGTGAACTTACTTCAAGTTTAGGTTCACCCCGGTGTTTTTACGGCGCCTACTTAGGCTAGTAGTTGGCTTCAAGTTGGCCCAGCCTCTGGCTGGTGAGCTAGGACCCTACTACTTTACATAACGCTGCGACATACTCTTGCTAGGTCACGGTTATGGGCCCACGAGGCTCCGCCTAGTACGGGTTGTGCTTGGATACGTCTCAGTTGAACCTTGGGATCCTACTAGACGTGTATTTCCATTGCAGTTTTCAGTTACAGTGAATGTCTAGAAGCAGTAGAAAAGGAAACAAAAAACACAAAAAGAACCATAGACCTTATAATGTTGCGGACTTCTCCTCTAAATTGTTGGAAAGATCCTTGTTCACTACACATGCATACAGGTTCGGGCCCCGGGATGAACCTGCCTGAAGCCAGGGCCCCCGGGGTTGGTAACATCGGTTTTCTAGCACCACGTTCCAGAATTGTTTCGCCCGCGACGGGTCGTGGGCGCACTCGCGCAGGGTTTGCTGCCTTCGCGCGGCGGCTCGATTTCTTGATTTCCTTGCCAGTGGTAAGTTTCCGATGGTATGTTCACCGGAGCCGACTCGGATAATACACAAAGTTGGATGTTGATTTTGTTTCTAGGATGGCCTAGCTTTCAGCTGTCTCATGTGCCCCATAACACTTTGCAGGAATGTGGGCAGCCAAGGTTCGCATTCCGGTATCATAATTGAGAGACGTGGCGCTGAGGGCCACGAGGCTCGCCGACAGGGACAAGATCCATCAGTCCCCTCTCAGTGGATATTGCGTGCGTTCCAGCACCTCATGACGATGAACAAAAGCACAGTAGTGACGACGGTCCAATACACTGTCGTCGCTGACGTGGACACGCGGCGCACCTTGGCGTTGACCAGTACTACCGGCGCGCCACCTTCTTCGAAGAGCTCGTACGGGAATCGGAGGACACACTGCACAAGCGGGTCATAGGTGGCGCTATTTTCGACACGTTCTCTCGTGAGATCGATGAGAAGCAACCGGTTGCGCGTGCCATTGCGCGCAGGTTTTCCAGTGGAATTTGGTCTCGAGCGCAAGCGGTGCTGGTCAAGAATGACTTTGGGCGCGACGGGAAGAACGATGCCGGGCTCGAAGGTGGGGCGAGGTGTCAAGAGTTTCACTTGCATTTTCAAGAGGGTGTCTTCCGTGCCCCATGACCCGGCAAAGTCCTCGGCCATTCCTCCGACGCGTGCCCAAAAGTCATAGCGCCGGAGGAGTACCACAGCCGGGTGCGGTCCTCGGGCCATGATTTGGCCCCCGGCCTGCCGCCGCGCGAACACCCAGGCGTCGCCAGCCGCGAGATCACCCCCAGCCTCGAGTCGACCCACCATAGCGTCGATGGCGCCGGCGGGCGCGACGATGTCGGCGTCGAGGAACAGGAGCCACCGGCCACGCGCGAGGGCTGCACCGAGATTCTTCGCGCCGACGACGTTCCAGGGAATGTCGACCGTAATACGGGCGAACCTGTAGCGAATCTTCGATGCAGTGCGATCCAGCCCGACCTCCGCGGGCGTAAGCGCCGGCGCTGAGCCGTCGTCGACGACGACGAGCTCCACGGCAGAGCGCGACGCGCGCGCGACGGCCACGACGTGCCGGCGTACGTCGCCCGGTTGCGCGTTGTACGTGGGCAATACGATTGAGAGCAGCACATCCGCCTCCCCTGTTCCGAGCTCGAGCGCCTGGAGCGCGGCGACGCCGCCTCGCGGGCCCGGCGGGCATCTCGTGTCGTCGCGCGCTAACGCGGCGGACATGATCGCCGTCGACGGTGCCGGGGGGGCGAGAGTCCTTGCGAGAAGCAGTTCGGAGCAGCATTGTGGGGCGCAGTCGTTTCGGTCCGCGATGAAGTATCCGAGTTCGGCGCGGAGCTCGGCGACAAACTCTTCGAGCGGCCAGCGTGCAAACGGCGAGACACGACGAAAGAATGCCGCCCATTTGTCCTCTCTGAAGGGGTAGTGGACTTCGACGGCGATCTGAGGTGGCAGCGTCTGCCGGAGCGCGGGCGGTGCGCGCGCGAGCGCGCGGAAGAACGTCGCCTCGCAGCCCTCGCAGTCCATCTTCAGAAAGGTAGGTGGGACGCCGGGTGGCAATCCGGCGCGCCGAAGGAGCGACGGCCAACTTAGGAATTCGACGGCGGGCGGCGTCATCATCCGCCGGAGGTGCTCCGACGTCGCCGGCGACGGACCCCAGTGGTCGACGGTGTCGAGGCAGACCTGGTGAAGGCGAACCCGCCCGACAAGCGCCTTGGGCACGGACCAAGTGCCGGTGCAGTCGAACGTCTCGATCGCGCACCGGGCCGGTGTCAGGCGCGCAATCTCCGCCTCGAAGACGAAGTTCCCCGAACTGCCGACCGAGATAAATACGCAGGGCCGCGGCTGCGCGATGAGCGCGTCGAGCGCGCAGACGTGCTTCTCGCTGTGGGACCCGGGCTCGCCGAGGATCCGGAGCTTGCCCCTCGGGCACACGAACGGCACCACGGGCGCGGCGTCGAAGCCGACGGCGTGGTGGTCAACCGTCGAGACGCAGTTGCCGAGGCGCTTATGGCCGCCCGCGATGCGGTACTCTAGACCGCCCACGCGACAGCGACGCACGCCGGCGAACCGCCGGTCGAAGTGCGACGCGCGCCACTGGTCGTAGGCAGCCGCCGCGGCGTCGACCTCGACGAGGAGCCGTGTTGTTGGGCAGGCGGTGCCATCTCCCACCGCGAGTGGCCAAACGCGGTCGACTCGTAGCGGCTCAAAGTCGGCGAGCCCTGGAAATTCGGGGACCAGCGCCGAGAGGCAGCCTTCAAACCGGTACACGCGGGTGAAGCGACGGAAGTGTTCGACGAAAAAATCTCGGATCGACGACACGTCATGCCCGAAGCCGACGCCGGGCGCGCCGTGTCCAGTCCAATGCGACCTGTGCCGGCCCTGTGAGTCATATACTGCCGGGTCCGGGTCCACTACCTTGTAGTGCAGGTAAGCCGGGCCCGTCAGGCGACAGGGTGTAAGGCCGGCGGGTACAGTTCCCTGTCGTGCAGTCGAGTTCGCAACATAGTCGCGACCGTCGTCGAGGAACAGTCGCGCCTCCAACTTCACGAGTTCGCCCGGCGCGTCCGTGTGGAAATGCTGAAAGAGCGTCTGCACCGGTTGGCGCCTGGACCTTATGTAGCGCTCATACTCCGAAGGGTGGGGCACGACCTGCGGCGCGTACCACGAGACGACCTGACAGCGGGGCATCAAACCCGCTTCCATGCGCGTGTCCGCAGCGCGTGCCACCAACTCCGGCTCGTGGTACCAGAATTCGTCCGCGTGCGCCACCATCACCCAGCGCCCGACGCCCCAGCGCTCGCGGAGCGCGCGGAGCGGCCAGTACCGCACCGCCTGGTCCGAATGCGAGACCAGTGGCGCCGCGAGCTCGTCCTCGCGGTGGTACGTGATGTTGGCGCCGCAGCGCGTCACGTACGCTTCAATCACCGACTGCGTCTCCGTCCCACGCGATGAGTCAAACACGGCGAGCCCAGCCAGCGAACCCATGTTATGCTCCAGCCACTCTGCCATCACCTTCGCGTCGTCTTTCGTTGCCATCAGCCCAATCACCCGGGAACGGAGGAGGCGTCGACCGCAGCCTGCCGCAGCTGCATTGACCGCGATGCACCAGAAGAGCACGCTGCCCATGTTGAATCCGTGTGGGATGCGACGTGTCGGCCCGGCAGAAATTGACGCTCGAGTAGAGTTACAGCGGACGGACTGCCGGCTGGCGTCAAGGTTGAGAGAGAAACCTCTAGCCCTTCCTACCGTAGGTACCCTAGATTACTAGTATAGGCTAGATATGTATCTCCCACTCTCTAAGTTTGAGTCTATACGCTGGGTGTCTACCGACGCTACAGTGTAAACCAGTTTATAATAAAACACTCTCGTAGTTGGCTTGGCCCACTGGCAGCCTCTGGCTGGTGCCAGTGAGCTAGGACCCTCAGGCTACTACTACTAGTACTATAGTACGGTACCTACGGTACCGTAGGTACCTACGGTAGTTAGCAAGAGTATGTCGCAGCGTTATGTAAGTAGCAGGGTCCTAGCTAACCAGCTTAGAGCTGATAGGCCTGACTGCAAGAGTGTTTTATAGTGAACTGTTGTTACACCGTAGTGCTTTTGACACTCGATGTATAGACTCAAATATTAGAGAGTGGGAGATACATATCTAGGGTAGGAAGGGCTAGTAGGTTTCTCTCTCTACTCCCCCTGGACGCGAGCGTCCACTAGATGCGCTTCCACTAGAGGATGTATCAACTCAGTCTATTCACAGGCAAAGTCCATGTGACAAGTGATAGGCTTCATAAGCAACAGACTTCTTCTCGAAATGAATATCCGTAAATACTGTTGTTGGATCCTTCTCGTCCTTTTTCGGAAAGTCAGTAAACTCCTTCAAATGGACCGTCCGTAGTGCTTTTGACACTCGATGTATAGACTCAAATATTAGAGAGTGGGAGATACATATCTAGGGTAGGAAGGGCTAGTAGGTTTCTCTCTCTAGTAGTCACGGTACCGTAGGTACCGTAGGTACCGTAGGTACCATGGTAGTACCGTAGGTACTAGTACTATCATACTATAGATAATTTGAACGTTCCGCCGGCGCCTACTGACGACTCGGAAGAGTGTTTTTACAGTGAATGCCTAGAAGCGGTAGAAAACCAAAACAGATGGTTTGCTTAATGTACGAGCGGCCGCCGCGGCCCCGGGCCGGGGACTCGGATCCGTAACGAACCCTATCTAACCAAACGTGGTCAGGTATCTAGACGAGCAGCCGCCGGTAATCGTACAAAAAGCTATGGCGGGACAGGCTAAAAGTGGCTCTGTGGTGCACCAAGTTCACTTTACTACTTACTACTAGGCTCAGGCTAGTTACGTCGCAGGGTTCCCCGTACCCCTCCCGCTCCCCCCGGGCCCACCCGTCCGGCTGGACTAGGACGCAAGGGCTGAGTCGCATGGACTCGCACGCCCCCCCCCTCTTTTTGGGACGACCCCCGTCAGGATGTGGAACTGGCCGCTGGCTCCTCTTTTACGACGAGCCGGAAATCAAGTGCTGAGAGAGATGCCCTCGCACACCAGGCCTTTGACAATGATTGAGGGCATGCCCTCGACACATATTTTTTGGTGGGGAGCTCGGCTCCGACCCAGCCCAGACGACCCTTGACAATAACTCGTCGGAACGGAACTAATGGGTTCAATGGATGCCCCGGCGATTCGGAGGGCCTACGAAAGCTCGGCCGGCCCGACGAAGGTTGCGAGGGGCGGCATGCCGCCGTCCCCGACGCCTCCTAGGTCGAGACCGACGAGTAGTTCCGCGAGCTCCGTAGGGTCGGTCCGGTCGCAGGCAAATGAGGCTCGCCGCCATGCCGGCGGCAAAACTTCAGGAAACGGGCCGGATACCACCGAACGCGCACCACTCGATGCCCGAGGATGGGTGCCGTCCGTGTTCCGGGCTCGACCCGCCATCAAGATGCAAGAATGTCTCTTGTCTTTGTTTCGGGCTCGGACTGGCCGCCGGCGCCGGCGAGGTTCAACGCGCCGCGAGGAGGCCTGCGCGCAGCGGGTATATGCAACCAATTCGTTGCCGCGCAAGTCGAAGAAACCGAGCCGTGGAGCACCGCCGGCCTGTGGCCCGGCCGCCGCGACTCGGTGGACGCCGGGGGAGGGTCGCGGGCGGCGGAAACGCGCGCCGCCGGCGAAAACTGGCTCCGATGAGCCTAGGTGCACTTAGGCCTCTCACAACGCACGCAGCGCCTCCGGGGCTGCGCCAAGCGGCACAGATGCATCAGAGTACACGAGGAACGCAACAAAGCGGATCCGACGTCCAGCGCTCGCGCAGGGGACTCGCGTAGGCATTCTAGTATTCTAGTCTAGAGGCAGGGGCTGCCCACGGCCTATTTAATTATTGCCCAGATGGGGCCGGTGTTCTTTACGCTGGCGGCGGCTGCCGCAGCGGCGCCGTCGCCCGCCTGCCCGGCCGTTGCGCCGGCCTACCACGCCGCAACAACCTGCGGTGCAGGCGTGAGCGGCGTCGTCCGAATTCCGGCGGTGCGCAAGGGCCTGAACAACCAGCGGATGCGCATCGTCCAGGACGCGGTTATCGCGGCGCTGCTCGGCGCGGCTGTCGAGCTGCCTTCCTTTCTCCGAACGCGGCGGCGGTGCGGCTACCGCGCAGGCTGCTACCAGGACTACGAAGGCACGGTCCCGTTCGACGCCGTCTACGATCGTGAGAGGGTGGTAGAGGGCCTCCGAAGGGCGGGCGTCTGCGTCGTCGACACGCGCAGCGAGGGGCGCGCGCCGGAGCTCGCCGGCGCGCTCTGGCCGACGACCGCGTCGCAGCTCGGGCCCGGCGGCGACGTCGCGCGGCGCTACGACCTTCGGGGCGGCGTCTGGTCGCTGGGCGGCGAGGAGGACTGCTGCACCAAGCTCGTGGTTGACACGCGCCGGAGCCTCGACCTCCTGACGAGCGTCAACGCGGCGTTTTCATCGGCGCGGCGCATCCGTCGCGCCGCGCACGAGGTCTCACGGCGCCTCGCGGCGGCGACCGGGCGCGCGAAGGAGCACGCGGCCGTCGCGATCCACTGGCGCGCGGACGAGGACTTTGTGCGGAGCGCGCATGGCCTCGACGCGCGCGCGTACGCGCGCGCTGCGTGCACGGCGCTGGCTGGTGTCGCGCGCGGTCGGTCGTCGTTGAAGACGCTCGACGTCTTCGTCTTGGGCGAGGCGGACCGCGCGCGCATCAGGGCAATCGACGCCGACCTTCGGAAGCATCGAAGCTGCCCGCGCTTTAGCCTGCACGCCAAGGCGACGTTGGGGAACGTCGATGAGGCGCTGGCATCCGGGCCCGACGGCGGCGACGACGTCAAGGGCCAGGTCGACTTCGAGCTCGGTCTCCGCGCCGCCGTGTTCGTCGGCACGCAGTTTTCGTCTTTCTCGGCGCTCGTCGCGCTCGCGCGACGCGCCGAGGGCCGCGATTCGCTCATGCTCGACGTCGACGTCGCCGACCGGCTCGGCCTGATCTTCGCGCTCACGTTCCCCCACGACGCGCGGCGTCGGACGGACGCGGCGCTTTCCAGGCTGTGCCGCGACGTCGTTGCGGCGCACGCCGCCTTCGGCGCGGGGCTGGCCGCGTGCCTACCACCACCACGCGCGGGCTCGAGCCTTGCGGTTCACAGCTTCGGACATTGCGAGGACTGCTCGCACCTCATGCCGAGCGTCTGCCTCGACCTCGACAAAGCGGACGCGCGGCACGCGGCGTTTGTTGAATCAACGCAAATCCAGGCGGTCGTGTCGCGCGGCTTCCGGCGGATCTCGTGCGCGCGCGTGGTTCAAGTCGTCGCCGAGCGCGGCGTGCACCGGAATCCAACGACCGGGGAGATCTACGTCGTCGAGGACATCACGGACACGGGGGAGCTGAGATCGTCGCTGAGGGCGTCGCTGAGGGCGAAACTGGGCAACACGCCAGGCGACGGCGCGCGGGACGGCGAGTGCTCGGGAAGCCTCTCATTTTCGTCGATCAACCCGCCGCTCGACGCGCCGGCGGCCGCGGGCGGGCGGCGCTGCACGCTTGCCGTCGTCACGGCGCTCTTTGGTTCTATCGACTCGCTGGAGCACCTTAAAACGCTGGAACCCAAGCACGCGCGGCTGCTAGAATTCGAGAATAGGCTGGGCGCGGCGAGCTGCTGGATCGCACTCGTCGACTTCGCGGCGGCTCGCCGCATCGCCGCGATGCACGGCGCCCGGCGGTGCCACAGCGTTGACCACGGACCGTGGCGCGTCGTGCGTGTCCCGAAGGCACTTCAACCGTTCGCGACGGCCGCCCAGAACACCCGCATTCCGAAGATGCTCGCGCACCGCTTCGTCCCGAACGCGCGGTATCTGCTCTACTTCGACGCCAAGCTTCACCCGAGCACGCTCGAGTGGACGTGGCGCCTGCTGCACGACGAGCTGCTCGCTCGCGGTTCCGCGTGGACGTCGCCGCGGCACCCGGCTCGCGGGACGCCGCACGAAGAGGCGCGGTGCGTCCACTTGCTGGGCCTTGCTTCGGATGCCGCGCTGAGCCAGCTCCGCGCGTACGCTGCGGCGGGCCTGCCGCGCGACGCGCCGCTGGCTGAGGGCGAATGGCACCTCCGCGACCTCTACCGGAACGAGAGTTCGGCGCTCGGCTGCGCCTGGTTTGACGAATACCGCCGCTGGGGACACCGCCGCGACCAGCTCGCCTTTCCCTACGCCTCCTGGACGCTGCGGGGCCCCGACGAGCAGGAGGCGACGGCGACGAGCGCCGTCTTCCTCGCCGAGGCAGACGCCGGCGCACAATTTGCGCACATCACGCGCTCGCGGCGGTACGAACGATCGCGCAAAAATTCGGCCTTGTGCGCCCTCGCCTCCAGGCGGCACGGCGACGAGGTTATGGCCTACATCCGCCGCGGCGGAGATCGACCGAGTGTCTTCTCGCGAGCACGCGGAGTCGCGGGCATCGCAGCCGGCCTCGCGTGCGCGCTCCTCGTGCGAAGCCGAAAGCGGGCGCGGCGCTCAATGCAATAAGAAAAGTCTTAGTTCAAGCTGTCCATCTATCCAAGTTGGGCCCTAGGCATGCAGAGCTGACTACCACCTCACTACCACAAATCCCACCACGAGGAGTGCGCACGCGCCGACAGGCCGGCCGGCGGCGCCACGATGGGTTTCAAATACCTATAGTCAGGCGCCTAGGGAGGGGTGTCGGGGGAGCTATCCCCCGCGAGCGTGTACGTAAGCTTGCTGCCGGTCGTAGAAGCGTGTGTCGTCGTTGCCGTGCCCGGGCGCGTTGGTGAAGTCCGGGTTGCCGCCGACGAGCCGGAGGCCGTCGATCTTGATCCGGGCGTACTCGCGCGCGGTCTTGATGCCCCAGCGACGGTAAAGGCGATTCTTGAGCAGGGCGGCCGCGTGGTCCTGCGAGGTCGCGCTAGGGCGTGGGACTGTTTTCGCTTAGCTACGGGTTTTACCGCATGAGTCCAAGGTGTTAGTTCCCAAAAGACCGTTAACAACACCTCGCCCCCGAACCATCGGCGGCGGGGCCAAGCCCACGGCCTCGAGGACGCTCTACCACCCAACAGTTTCTTGAAGTTGATGCAGGATGTGGTGAATTTTATGGCCAAAGTGTCATCATCATCAAATCTATCCCCTTGATGAACTCCAAGATCTTATTGAAGTTTAATCGGAATCTTGGCGGAATGATTATAAGATCTTGTGCGTGCAAAATTATCGAAGGTTTAAATATATTGAAACTGTCGTGAAAATTATAATATAAGCGTAATCTAATATGATTACGTGGTTAGACTCGCCACGCGTCTAAACGGTGAACGCAGTGAACCGTTTTGATGACGTGGCGGGTCTAACTCAACTATATATTCGAAATACCCCCCTAGTCATGAAATATACTAGAAATCATTAGACCCCCAAAATCGGCCACCCAGAACCATGGATTTCGGTCGTAATATAATTGAAGTAGAGCTCATTTTGCATCCAAACGGTTAGCGAACGGGTTTTCCCGTGAGCGTCCGTTTTGATGCAAAATGGGCTCTACTTCATATCTCTCTCGCCAAAGGACGCACAACTCCTTAACATCGGCACGACGCTATTAAGGAAGAAATATCCCAAGAAAAAGAGAGGGGAAGAGCAGGGAGTCATCTACTAGTATGAAAAGACCAAGTACACACCAAACTACGTCGCCACGCGCGAATGCCTCGCGGCGCAGGTCCGCAAGTCCCCCCGGGGCGCCGAGCAGCTGCAGCCGACGAGCATGCCGGCATACCCGTGGGGCCGGGCGAAGTGGCGCGTGGCAGCGCAGAGGTGCCGGGCCCGCGCGTGCGGGTCGGGGTGCCGCGGCGCGAGGAGCGCTGCCCAGAGCCTCTCGACCATGGAACCCTCCATGATATTGTCGCCACGCGTAAGGCGCGCCGCGAGCGCCGCGTAGGCGGCGCGGGCGCGGCGGCGGACGGAGGCCCGGCGCGCGGCAAACCTGTGCGGAACTTAAAATTACGGTGCCTTCGTCGATGGCGTCGTGGCGAAAGGGTCACTACGCGCTCAATGATATCCACACTGCGGCGAACGTGCCGCCGTAGCAGACGGGCACGACGGCGCGTCGCTGGAGCTCGTCAGCGCGCAGGACGCCAGGTGTCGCCGCGAGGAGCGCGCCCAGCGTCGGGAACGGCCCAAAGAAGTCCAACGCCGCCGCGGGCCGCGCCGCCTGGTCCCACGCGTGCGCGTGGACCTCGATGAGGCTGTAGGCGAGCAGCGCGGGCGCCCAGTGGTACGCGGAGCCGTCGACGTAGGGCCGGCGGCCGCAGCCAAAGCCGACGGGCCCCGCCGCGGCGCGCGCGACGCCGCAGAGGCCAACGTTGAGCCGGCGGTAGTCCGCGCGCGACCCGTAGCGCGACGAGTCCTTGAGGAAGAAGACCAGCGGCTCGAGGCGGTCGTACCGCCGCGCCGCGTGCATCGCGTAGGCGTGGTCGCAGCGCCCGACGTTCGGCAGCGTCTCGAGGATCGACCCGTTCGGCGCGTTGCGCGGCGGCCGGCCGCACTTGGAGTAGACGGTCGTGCGCCGGACGTCGACGCCGCAGGCGCGCAGCTCCGCCATCGCGTCGGCGAGCCACCTCAGGTCGTAGCCGCAGTGGCTCACGACGAACTCCGCGTCGACGCGCCGCGCGAGCGCCGGTCCCGCCGTGAGCGGCGCGTCCCACGCCTCGGCGCAATCGGCGCACGCGCGCCGGGGCGGCCGCGCCGCCGACCGGCAGGGCCGTCTGTCGCCGCCGACGCACGTCGCGTTCCGCTTTTCGCAGTCGGCGGGGCACTCGAAGCCGCCGCCGGGCTTGCGGCACACGTCGCCGCGCGCCGCCTCGTCGCTTTGCTCGAGCCACCAGCCGTCGCGCGCGCACGCCGTCCGCGCCGGCGCCACGCAGGGACGTTTCTTGTGAACACAGCGCGCGCCGCCGCCGCCTCGCGTCGTCGCCGCGCAGCCCGGCGGGCAGCCCGCGAATGTGCCCGCTGCATCGACGCACGCGTCGCCACGCCTATCGTCCACCGCGAGCAGGCCGCGCGCGCAGAACTGCCGCAGCAGCGCCTTGGAGGCCTTGCCACCGCCGCGGCAGCCGGGAAGAAGGAGTGCGACGAGGGGAGCGATGCGCATTTAGAAATGTGCCGCTGGTGAGGCGTAAAAAACTGCCAAGAGGAGTGTCCCCGCGGTCCGCATGTTGGGTGCAATTGCAAAAAGACTACGGCAAAAACCCGTGCACCGATGTAACTTATTTGATACCTACGGTACCGGTACCGGTACCGGTACCCTGCACCAGTCACGGTTGACCTTAGCAAGAGTATGTCGTAGCGTTATGTAAAGTAGCAGGGTCCTACAGGCTCGTAGCTCACCAGCCAAAGGCTGGGCCAACCGAACTACTACTAGTAGTACGAGCCTCGGAGAGTGTTTTATAGCAAACTTCAAGTTGAACTTGAATTGTGTTTACACCGTAGTGCGATAGACACTCGATGTATAGACTCAAATTTAGAGAGTGGGAGATACATATCTAGGGTAGGGAGGGCTAGTAGGTTTCTCTCTACGTTGCACTACGATGTATCAATTTGCTATAAAACACTCTCGTAGTTAGGTACCGTAGGTACCGTGAGGTACCGTAGGTAGGCACAGCCTTTGGCTGGTGTGCTGGGACCCTGCTACTCTACATAACGCTGCGACATACTCTTACGCTACCAGGGTTTCTCTATTCCCCCTGGACACGAGCGTCCATTTTTGCGATGCAGGGGGAAACAGAGTGTGGAGCTCCGTGTGCCTTTTGGGGATATATTCATCATCTCGACGGTTTAAAAGAACGATGCATGCAGCCGCCAGTGTGTCGTCGTGTCGAGGCATTACCCATTGGAGAATAATAGCAGCGTCGGCACTGGGCATCGCCCTGGGACTGGGCATCTTGGTCGGTCGGCAATCCAGGCTGTCGGTCGTGACGGCTCCGGCGTGCGCGTCCCGCGCCGAGGTCGCCCTCGTCATTATGACGAAGGACGACTGGCCGCTGGCGTCGCGGTGGCTCGCGTGGCACGGGCACGTGTACGGTTTCGAGCACCTTTACGTGTTCGACGGCAGCACGGGCGCCCAAAAAGACCACCTCCAGGACGTGACGGCGAGCTATCCCATCCACCTCCGCCACAGCCTCGTCGATCTGAACCACATCGAAGACAACCTCGCGCGCTGGATCGACGAGATCAAGGCGCGATACGACTGGATCATCAAGGTCGACACCGACGAGTTCGTCGCGCACGTGGCACAGGGCGCGCGCGCGCCCGACGTGACGACGTCGCGGCTCGGCCTCCCGCCGGCGCGCGTCTCGGACACGCTGCGCACGGCGTGGGCGTTCGACGTCGATGCGATCCAACGCGGCCCGCCGACCGACGGCGAGCATGCCAAGATGTCGCGCGCGGGCGTGCATAAGCAGATCTACAGTGGGGCACGCTACCGACGGCGATTCTTTAACCTCGGGAGCCATGCCTGGCACAACCGGTCCGCACCGGAAGCAGAGGGCCTCGCAATCGTTCACTACCACCAGAGAACCTACGAGGATTTGATTCGCTTGGCGCACGACGTCATCGTGAGTCACGGTTACATCGAGGAATCGGACAGCCGCGACGTGAAGATCGAAAAGCTGGCGCGGCTGGACCAACGGCCGACGTGCCAAGTCAATTCCTGCCACAAGAACTGGGTCGTTCTCGACGATTTACGGAACCGGACGGCGATGCGGCGGGCGTATTACGCGCGCGACCGCCGGAACGCGCCGATCCTGCGCGACTTCAGCCGCCGCCTTCGTGAGATCTTTGCGATGTATCCGTTACTTGTGGCCACCAACGCAAGCGAGCCATAGTAGCAGTAGGGGCATGACCTTGGTGAAAGTGGATTCCGGTGAGTCGGGTCTCGTGATAGTCGAAAAAGGACTAATGTTTTGGGCGGAATATGAGTCTGCGTCGTCCAAGCTGGAAAAAGTCCTCGTCGGAACGGCGGGGCCGAGAGAGCATTGCGATGCAGGGGGAAATAAAGTGTGTAGCTCCATGGAGGGGTACGAGTTTGGACCTGCGTACGTATGTGGCTGCCCTGGCCAAAATCGCCGCCGGCCAAGTCACGGTGGCTGGGAACTCAGGCTCGAATCCCAAAAATTAGAGCCTGAGGACCGACGTGAACCACACTATTACGTCGCCGATTAGCCCACTTTTGCTACCATAAAACACTACCGGCCTACTAGCCTCCCAAGAGTCCACTAGAAACATACCGCAGTAGACTATCCGTCTATTAAATTTTGCCCCTATTAGCAAGAGTATGTCGCAGCGTTATGTAGAGTAGCAGGGTCTTAGCTCACCAGCCGAGGGCTGGGCCAACCTGACTACGAGAGTGTTTTATAGTGAACTGTTGTTACACCGTAGTGCTTTTGACACTCCGAGTCGATGTATACTTTGATTTGCGCTTCGCGGTTTGCTTCCAGCGCTTTGATACGTTCTTCGTGTTTCTGCTGGAGCTCAGCTTGTACGTGTTCGACCGCGTTTTGTATGAGCCGATTCATTTCAGCTTGATCCATTGCTGGGTATTCACTTTCTTCGCTCTTTTGGGGTGATTTCTTTTTGGATTTCTTTTTAGGTGTTTTTTCTTGTCTAGGCATTCACTGTAAAACACTCTACGTCAATAGGCAGAACCCTGTGGGCCCATAACCTAGCAAGAGTATGTCGCAGCGTTATGTCACGGTATAGTAGCAGGGTCTTAGCTCACCAGCCGAGGGCTGGGCCAACCTGACTACGAGAGTGTTTTATAGTGAACTGTTGTTACACCGTAGTGCTTTTGACACTCGATGTATAGACTCAAATATTAGAGAGTGGGAGATACATATCTAGGATAGGAAGGGCTAGTAGGTTTCTCTCTCTACCTATCTAGGCCGGGCAGGGCCGAGTGGTACCATGGTACCGTTATCGGATAGCTGGACCTGCAACATTTGTTTAGTATGAGAAGCAATGAGACACAGACGAGGATGCAGCCCACGTGGAGGCATGTCTGCCTGGAAGCATGTCTGCCTAGGACTTGGCATTGGTGCTGCCCTGGGAGCATTATTAGGTAGACGCCCCTGGCATGGTCCAAAGCAGGCCCCCGCTGCAGTACAGTCGCGCGTCGTGACCGTCGTGCGACGTCCACGAACCACGGGCAACCACACCGTGGTCATGGGCCAGTTCAATACGCGCCTTCGCTCAGCAACGGTCGCGGCCTGGGCTTCCGCGTGGTCGCGCCTTCGGCTCGTCGACGACGTGTTTGTGGCGGTGCCAATCAGCACTACTGGAGCGCCGGCGCCGTGGACGCCGGCGGACCTGGAGGCCGATCTCTCGCCATACCCCGCAGGGAAGGGACTGTACGTGCTGACGTATCCCGGGGACGGTGGCGTCATTTCACCGAGCGCCAACCTGGCCTTCGTCATCCGAACGGTTGGTGCAGCTGCCCGTGGCGTTATGTATGTGCACGATGATATGCTCGTGGCCTCATCCATCATTGCGAGACTCGGCAACGACGCCTGGATCACGAATAACCGCCGTTCCACCCTCCGCCTGTATCCAAACGGGTCAGTGGTCGGTCTGGCGCCCGGATGGATGCACACGCCCGCTTGCGAAGCGGGATTTGCGAGATTTGCTCGTAGCCCCACGGCCAAACCTCTGCTCAACGCATCACCATTTCTCGTGGTCGGGGGGGGGCGTGCGGACTTCTTGTACGTGACGACAACCTCCGACGAGCAGGTACGGATACTATTGCGCTTGCTTGACGGCGTCGTCCAGGCGCGGCTTTTTCTCGAATGCGCCCTCCCGTCTGTTGTGGAGATCATGGAGCGGCTGTTTGACGTGCCCGTGTATGCCGCGAAGCTGGCCCAGGACCCGCCGCAACTCAAGACTGTGCTCGATCTGATCGCAGGCGACAGCGCACGACGCGCTCACCCGATCCCGGAGCTAATGCACCCAATCAAGCTGAATATGGTTGGCATTTTGCCCTGGGTGGCCGCGTTTGAAGCTGCCACGGGTCTCGCTGACGGCGCGCCATAGTAGCTGATACTGCCGTCGGAAAACTTGGTTGTGATTTGTTGCCATCGAACCCGTCGGACCTGTGCTTCCGTGCGGGCCGCCACGAGGATAATATGGAGGCCAGCCCTGCTTAGCCGAGAACCCTTCGTTCGGCCTCGAACTTGGGGCAATCAAATACTCAGTAGGCTAGTCACGGTAGTACTACCGCACGACCGCGTCAGGCGACCTATCTGGCAGCTCATCGGGTACAAGTAGTACCCGGCCGCGCCTACGCATCCGTCCCACGCAATAGGTACCCGAGGGCCCCTGGGAGACTAAATTACCAGCATAGAAGCGACTCGGAGTTTTGATTTTTCAGCCCGGGGGCGAGAGACGTGGCGAGAGAGAAGCAGAGAGAGAGAGAGTCGCTTATTGAGCTAGCCCCTCTAGCACGGACCCCGAGTGCGGGGGCTCCTGAAATACCCGCGCGTCAGGCCCCACTGGCAGATGGGCAACTTCGCGACCGCTTCTCGCTACGAAAGTGACCCCTTCCCCCCAGCCCGGTCTCGGGGCGTACAAAGGGTCTCATTGGGACCCCGCAGCCAAAATCGCCACCGGCCAAGCGGCTGGTGACTCGAATCCCAAATTAGGGGACCGCGGCCCAAGTCGCGGCCCCCTTCATCAATGAAGTTCACCTCCGAGCTAGGTTGGCATTAACCGGTTAATAACCGGTAATTTACCCATTATCACTCCTCGGAGGGGATCTGGGGTAAATAACCCGGTAAATTACCCGACGGGTTTTCGACTAAACCCGTTTAGTGCGATTAGCGAAAGACCCCTCCGGGCGAGCGGATGGGCGCAAGCAGCCCGTTGAGCTTTTGGATACGTACAGGTGCGCCAAGGCAAGTACCGAGTCATGTGGCCCGGCGCGGCCCAGGCCCGCGCCAGTGGCCCACGAGGCCCCCTCCCCTACCCCTCTATAAGATCCTGAGGTAAATAACCCGCACTAACCGGTAATTACCCGGGTTATTAACCCCGGGCGGCGCCAGGGGTAAATAACCCCTCAGGTAAATGCCAACCTAGCCTCCGAGTCCCCCTTCCATAAGTCCTTCCATGGACGGTGAACCCGGGCCGCACTATCATGTCCCCGGGGCGCCTTGCGAACATACGCAAGAGAGCCTTACGCGGGGGAACCCCCCTAGTCGAGCTGCGCCACGAGCGCGACGCCGCGCAGCACCCAGTGCGACGCGGGCTTGTCCGTCTTGAGCGTCGCGACGAAGACCCAGGTCGGGCCGCGGAACGTCGTCAGATACACTGGGCAGTTGTAGAGGTCCGGCTCCGGTCGGATGTAGCCGACGGACTGCGGGTCCCACGACGGCTGGACCTGCACGGCCTTGACGTAGATGATGGGCATCGGTGGCAGCAGCTCCTTCGGCTTGGACTCTCTGAGTATACCGGCGCACTGCACTGTCGAGTCCTCCACGTAGTCGAACTTCTCGTTCTCGCACTCGCCCCACTGCGCGCCCTCGCAGAAGAGGCCGTGGATGTACATGCCCTCCGGCAGCCGCTCGCCGCACTCCTCCGGGCCGTTGAAGGCCGTCACGTGCGTCTCCGTGGCCATCTTGTCGAGGGCCAGCGAGTTGAGCCGCGCGGTGACCTGCTTGATGCCGGTCAGGAACGCCGTCGGGTTGAAGAGCCCCGGGAACCACACGGAGATGGGCGTCTGCAGGCCGTCGATGGCGCACCACTCTGTCAGCTGCCCGCACCGCAGGATGAGGTCCGCGAACCAGTCCTGCAGGCCCTTCATCGAGGGCCAGGCGAACTTCTCCCACGACGCGGTGTGGAAGGGGTTTCGGCCCGGCACCTGCTTGATGGCGAGCGCGCTCAGCAGGTCCTCCATCTTCTGCGACATGTTGAGCTGGCCCAGGAGCCCCTTCCGCAGCTCGTCGAGGGACCGCGCGATCTCGCCCGTCAGCACGTTCATGCGGCCGGCCTCCTGCAGCAGCACGACGATGTAGGGCCCGTCCTTGCCCTTGATGATGGGCTGGGCCTTGTCGTTGAGGTCGATCATGTCGAAGAGGGGCGGGAGCTTGCCCTCGAGCTCCTCGATGATGGCCGAGATGTTGCCGCCCCCGCTCCCGCCGCCGCCGCCGCCGCCCGCCTTCAGGCGCAGGATCGTCGACAGGAGCGAGGACGTGGCGTTGTTCAGGTAGGCGATCTCGGAATTCATGTGCAACCCGTAGATGAGGGGAGATTCGGCTGGCAGCGTGTCCAGGTGCTTGAGATACCCGGCGGCGGTCGTGCACGTCTGGGGGTCCGGCGAGTTGAAGCCGTGGCCGAGCTCGGCCTGCTTCAGCAAGCCGTCGTGGAACGACACCTCCAGGTAGGTGTTGTTCGTCTTCCGGTCCCAGAAGTCCGTGATGTGCCCGCCGTACATGATCTCGCCGAAGATGTACCGCAGGTCCTCCCAGGGCACCACCCCGCCGTTCTCCTCGAGGTAGTTCTGCAGGACGTCCGCGCAGATGCTAAGATCTCCCATGTTGAACCCGTATCCGCGGGACCACCCCTGCTGGCCAAACCGCTTGCGGCCGAGCATGACGCCGTGGAAGAAGCACAGCCCGAACAGGCACGCGCGGAACTCCACCGGCATGCTCGACTCCTCCAGTCTGGCCTGGTCGAAGGGCGCCCACGCGCGCTCGATGTTCGACTTGATGTCGGACGGGGCCTCGTTGCTTATTTTGATGCAACCCTGCAGTAGCGATTCGGGGATGTTCTTTTGGTACGAAAACCCGGGCGGCTCCGCGTTCACGTAGCAGCGGAAGTCCTGGTGCGCGTGCTCGCTGCAGACCTCGAGCTTCCGCTCCAGCCGCGGGAGCCAGCTCTGCATGAGGTGCAGGTTCTGGAGCAGGATCCAGCCGCCCTCCTGGGCCTGCGTTGGGTTCGGGGCGGTGAGGATTCGCTCCCCCGGACGAGTGGCGCGCCCCGGCGGCGGCGCTCGCTCCGCGTCCGACGCGGCGGCGTCGAAGGGCGCCTCGCCGGACGCCGCCGCGGCGCCATCTTCTCGATCATCGCCTCGGCCGGCGCCTCCTGGCCCTGGCCCATGGAGATGTTGATGAAGTTGTTCTTTGCCGTCGTGAACCCGAACTTCTCGCCGATCTCCTCGATCCAGACCGTGGGGTCGACGCCGGGGAAGAGCACGAAGAACATGGGCGTGGAGGCGGTCGACTCGGTGTAGGCCTGCCGCATGTCGAACGGCGGCTGGAAGACGTAGTTGTCGCCGTAGCACTCGGAGATGTACTTCTGCATGCCCATCGTGACGCGGTCGCCGCGCATGGCGCCGAGCAGCATGACGACTTCGAACGTCGAGAGCGCGTCGCCCCCCGGCGGGGGCGTCTGCTCCGGCTGGGGGCTGTTGTACCAGGCGTCCCACGCGGCCGGGTCCTCCTCAATGGCTTGCATCAGGGTCGCGAACAGCGGCACCTGCTTCTGATCTTTCTGGAGTGCCCTCACCTTGGGCCAGACCAGTTCGGGAAGCCAGCTCGCGACGCCCTCGGGCGCGGGCTCCCCGGACTCGCCCCGCCCCTCCAGCAGGGTCATCATGTACTCCGATTTCAGCTTCGCGTCGGCGATCTGCAGCGTCATGACGAACAGCGAACTCACCATGAGCTTATCCCGCTCGAACAACCCGCGCCGGACGTAGTTGAAGCACACCGACGTGCACATGTCGATCAGCTTCGTGCAGCGCGCGGGGTAGTCGACGAACTTTTCGCAGCTCGCCGACGGCATGACCAGGAACCCCGTTTTATCTTGCTTCTCCAGGACGTAGGCGGCGCCGTCCCTGACGACCGCTTTGACGGTGCCCACGCACAGGTCGCACTCGACCAAATCCCCCTCCTTGCACTTGGCCGCGGCCTTCTTCTTGCCGCCGCCCATCAGGAGCTTCATCAACAAGTCGTGGTCGACCTCGTCGGCGTGGGAGGCCTCGCCCAGGATGTCGCGGCTCCAGGGAAATCGTTGCATCTTCACCACCTTCTTCGCGGCCTTCTTGAAGCGCGACAGGAGCCCGCCCTTCTTCTTCTCCTCCTTGGGCTTGTCGAGGGCCTGCGGCGGACGACCGTCGGAGCACGGTCACGAAAGCGGGCGGCGCACGTTGAAGTAGCTGGGAAGGACGCGGCGCCGGCGACCTGGACGTCCTCGATGCCCTTGAGGAACACGACGACGAACGCGTTCAGCGAGTAGATGTAGTACGTGTGGATCTTGACGAGCTCGTTCATGATGAAGAAGATCTGGGAGCCGCGGCGCGCGACCAATCTGAATCTTTCCGAGGTGTTATTGATGGACTCGGTCGTCTTCCGGCCGATGGCGAGTTTTTCGTTGATGTCGTTCGACGTCATCTTCGCCGCCTCGAGCCCCTCGATGAGGTCCTTGTCCTCCGTGATGTCGCCCTCCGCGGCCGCGAGGCGCGCCAGGATCTCGTCCTCGAGCTCGATCATCTTGATCTTGAACTGGTTCTCCTGCTGCACGAGCTGCTTCTTCTGCTTGGCCAGGTCGGGCCGCTCCTTGGACACGACCAGCGCCAGCAATTGATCCTCCAACCCGGCGGGCGTCACCGTGAAGTTGACGAGCGTGCACTCGGCCTGGATCTCGGGCGGGTAGTGCGGGTTCGACAGCTTCGTCTGGAGGAACATGCGGAACTCGTCGTGGTACTCGATCTCGTCCTCGCCCAGCTTCAGGAAGAAGCGGCCGCCGCGCTTCATCTTGGCGCGCTGCACCGCGGGCATGATCGACGCCTCGATCTGCTCGCCCATGTTCTCCACGAGCATGGGGAGCCCCCCCACCAAGCACTCCTTCAGCGTCGGCAGGAGCTGCTTCGTGCCCAGCCGCGCGACCCTCAACATCTTCTGGGGATCTTTTGAATTTTGCGCCTTGACCCAGGCCACGCCCTGGAGCTGCGGGTCGATGAGCAGGGGCCACCGCGTCGACCGCTCCACGATGGACCCGTTCTCGGTCGACACCGGGTCGGCCGGCAGCTTGCACGTCTGCCAGAGCGCGACCTCGGAGTCGTTCGTGAGGGCCGACAGGGGGTTGGCGCTCTTGGACATGGGCACCGGGACGCCCTTCTTCGGCGTGAGGAGCCGCGGCAGCCACTCCTCGTCGAGGAGCTTCGTGCGGTACTGCTTCGTGAAGGGCCCGATGTAGGAGATGAAGGCCGCGCTGAGCAGCGTGTCGCCCACCAGCAAGTCGCGCGCGACGCCGAGGTCCTTGACCGACTGGTTCCAGCGCGCGTTTTCGCTCGACAGCGCGTTGATGAGGCGCTCCGCCAGGCCCAATTTCGTCATGCCCTTCTCGACCGTCGCCTCGGCCGCCGCCTTGATCGCGTTCGCCTCGTTGAGCTCGATCATGAGCTGCTGGAGCTTCTCCTCGAGGGCCTTGACCTTGGCCTTGACGTCGGCCAGCTGGTTCTGCGCCGCGTCCAGCTGCGCGATGGAGTCGCGCACGAGCTTCTTCTTCGGCTCGACCATCGACACCACGTCGTAGTAGATGACGATGTTGATGCACCAGTTGCACAACCCGCCCGCCGCGCTGTTCTTGCCGGCAATAATATCGGGCTTGAAGTGCTCCATCGCGAGGTACATCCGCACCTCCTTGAAGTTGACGGCGGGGACCTTCCCCTCCTCGAAGCCCGTCTTGAAGCTCTTGAGGTTGTCTAAAAACACTTTGGGGTCCTTCAAAAAGACCTTCTTGGCGCAATCCCAGGTGCGGTCCTTGTCCTTGACCTTGCCGGACTTCTGGACCGGCACGGCCGGGTCGTACGACGCGAGGAGCACGAGGCACGCGTTGAAGACGTCGTCGACGCCCGGCGGGGGCTTGGACATGGTCTTGCACATCTGCAGGTCCTTCACGTCTAACGTATCGAGCGCGGCCATGGCCGCCTCGACCGCGGGCTCGGCCTGCGCGAGGTCGGCCTCCGCGGACTCCTTCTTCTCCTTGACGTCCGCGGCGATCTTGGTCACCTTCTTCTCCTCGATGTTGGCGTTCTCCGTCTCCATCTCGACGACCTCCTTCTCGGCGGCGCACACCTTGGCGATCTTGTCGGAGGTGGCCTTCTTCTCCTCGGCGTCGGCGACGTCCCCGGCGATGGACTCCTTGAGGACGTCGACGACGGCCGTCGTCTCCTCCAATTTTTTAATGCCGTTCTGGAGGCGCAGGGACGCGGTGTCGTTCTCGGCTCTTTTCCGGGCGAGCAGCTCCGAGTACAGCTTGAGCAGCTCGAGGTAGGACTTGGGCGTCGTGTAGACGAACCGCCCCTCCATCTGCTTGAAGGTCGTGGCCATGGCGTTGGTGCTCCCCGCGAGCTCGGGCATGAACGTCTGCAGCTGCGCCCGCACCGCGTCGCCGCCGAGGTCCTCGATGGCCTCCAAAAACTTGCAGCCCACGGAATACAGGGCCTGCTCCGGCCAGGGCTGGAACCAGTCGATGACCGTGCAGTTGACGAGGGCCGGGAAGCGCTGGCACCTCGTCGAGAAATCGGGCCCGACCGGCGAGCAGCACAGGCAGACGTGCAGGTTCCGCCGCACCTCCTGGAGGAAAAAGTCGTAGACGGGCCCCGGCTCCGGCGCGAAGCCCGCGGCCTTGGCCTTCTTCGTGACCGAGCCGATCACCTCGTCCTTTTCGTCCTGCGCGTACAGGCCCGCGATGTCCGCCGAGCCCAACAGGTCGTTGAGATAGACCAAGAACCGCTCGTTCGTGATCTCGGCGTCCGTGAACAGGAACATGACGCCCTCTCCTTTGATGCCGGCCTTCTTGTACATCTCCTGGAGGTCCGTTTTGAGGTCGTTGATGCCGTACGTCGCCGAGATCTGAATCGTGCTGGTTTGGTACCCGCAAATAAACGACGCGAGGCGCGACAGCGACTTCTTGCCGGACCCGCCGACGCCGACCAGCAGCGCGTGCCCGGACGGGTTGTTGATGATCCGCGTGATCCTGCAGACGTGGTTCAGCGCGTCCTCGAAGAGCACCAGGTCCATCTGGGCGTTCGACTCGTTGTACTCGTCCAGCGCCTGGTCCAGGATCTTCTGGAGCACGCTGAGCTCGTGGATCTGGTCGTAGACGGGCTCCTCGCCGATGCCCTCGAGGAAGTGGCAGAACGTCAACGGCTGGCGGCTGTCGCCGAAGAACCGCTTCGGGTTGAACTCGCCGAAGCCCTTGCCCGCCTGGCCCATCAAGAGGCCCTCGAACTTGGCCAAGTCCTCGGGCGACACCAGGCGATCGCCGTAGACCCGGTAGGCCTCGTGGACCCAGCAGTCCGCGAAGACCTGGGGCTCCTTGAACTTGGCGGGCGTCGTCATCAGCAACCCCTGGAAGACGCCGGCCACGTGGCGGATGTTGAACTCGTAGTGGAAGTTTGCGGCCGTCTTCCGGAAGTTCTCGGAGACGTCCTTGTGGAGGTTGAGCGTCGTCTTGATGACCTTCGGGACCAGCTCCACCAGGGCGGCGTTGGAGTTGAACATGGACTCCAGGTGGCCGTTGAGGAAGGTTTCGTAGATGATCGCCAGCGACACGTCCGTCGGCATCGCGATGTTAAAAGTCGTGAAGTGGCGCTGCAACCGCGGGTTGATCTCCATGCTGCCGGCCGTCGGATTCAACGCGGCGACGTACTGGCACTTTTCGACGGTCTTCATCGCGAGCTTGCTGATGTCGTACCAGTGCCCGTAGTCCAGGTGCTGCCGCACGAGCGAGATGGCCGACTGCGTGTTGTACTTGTCGAGCTCCGGCAGGTTGAAGTCGTCGATGAAGTAGACCATGTGGCACGCGCCCGGCGGCCCGTACAGCGACCCGGTCTTCTTCTGCAGGACGCCCTCCAGCGACGCCTGGAGCACCAGCCCGCCCGTGAAGAAGTTCATGTTGATCGTGGTATACAGCGTTTCCTTCGCATCCAACTTCTTCAGCTGGCCCATGATCGTTTGCGTCTTGCCCGTGCCGCTGGGCCCCGCGAGCATGGCGCAGTGGTGGTCCCGCAGTAGCTTCTCGAGCCAGAACGACACGGAGGCGCTTTCGCCCGTGGGCACCGTCACGTCGCTCATGTTCGCCTCCTTGGAGTTGAACACGATCTGCGCGTAGGCCGGCGACTCGGTCCAGCTCTCGAAGGCCCAGTTTTCGGTGTCCAGCCAATAATCGAAGATTAATCCTTGCCCGGGGAAGCTGATGCGCTTCTTGAACGTCTTCTTCCACCACTCGCTAAACACCTTCATGTAGTCCTTGCCGTCGTCGGCCACGCCCAGGGCCGAGCCGAGGGCCCACGCGGCGCAGAACGAGAACGTCATCTGGCAGTGCTCCTCCGTCGCGAGCATGTCCGGAGTGCAGAACGCGTCGAGCAGCCGCAAAATGTTGTTGACGAGCGTCGTCTGCTGCTGCGCGACGTTGAACAGGAGTTTTCGAATCGAGAGCAACGCCGGCGCGACGACCTCGTCGAAGTTCGCCGTCAGCCACGCCTTGGCCTCCGCCGTGAACCCCTTGGATTCCTCGCGCGTCAGGATCCACGTGTTGACCATGCTGCGCCACTGGAAACCCTCGTCGGTCGAAATGTACAGGATGCCCGCGCGGCTGACGGTCGCCGGCGTCGCGTGCTTCAGGTCGCGGATCTCGAAGATCATGCGCATGTGCGGCTTCAGGGGGATGCGCTCGTTGGACGCCAGGGTCAGGAGCCGGTTGTCGTCCATGACCGAGTTCATGGACTCGATCCAGTTCGCGTCGAGGTCGCCGTCGAGCATGAGCCACTTCGGGTCCTCGTCGGGGATCTGCGACAAGTCTCGTAAAATGGAGGAGAGGAGCCCGTCCTTCCAGTCGCGCGTCGCCATGTTAATGTACCCGTACAGGTCTTGCGTGGGCATCGTCTTGGGGTTGATGTCCTTGATCGTCAGGAAGGAATCGCGGCCGGCCACGATGCGCTTCGCCTTCGCCAGGTACTTCCAGCTCGTCGACTTGAAGGCGCCGGGCGGGCCCATGACGAAGACGCAGTGCCGGATCTGGAGCAGCTCGTCGAGCTGGATCGTCTTGAGCTTCATGATGTCGTCCACGAAATCGGGCATCGCCGCGACCATGTCGTCCACGCTCTTCTGGAGGGCGTCGTCCACCACGCGCGGCGGGTCCCGGCCCGGGAAGAGGTCGTTCAGCAGGCCGAAGAAGACGACCTCGTCCACTTTTACGATTTTGGCGATGTTGAAGTCTCGCAGCGCCCTCATCAAGATGTCGTCCTCCTCGCCGTTCGGGTCGGACCGGAGGAGCATGCCCGCCACCACCAGCACGGACTTGATGGCACGCAGGCCCCAGTCGTAGTGCTCCTGCTTCGAGAGCAGGTCTTTGAGCAACGAGTACAGCGTGTAGAACTTGGACGCGAGCGACTTGGACGTCACGAAGCCCTGGGCCATGAGCATGTTCTCGCAGATCATGACGAGGTCGGGGACCATGACGGTCATCGGCCGGAACAACGCCTTGAGGCCCTCCGGCAGGGCCGACCGCCCCAAGTACCCGGGGTTCATCGTGATGTACGCGCCGCACGTTTCGTTGAGCTTCACGACGTCGCCCTCGATGGTCGTCATGCGCGCCTGCTCGTCGAACGGACTGCCGGACTTCTTGGAGGCCTTCTGGGCCGTCACGACGCGCTTGACGCCCGCGCACACGGCCTTGAACTGGACCGTGCACACCGAGAGCACCTCGGGGATCAGCCGATTAAACTCGTCGAAGCACCCCCAGCTCCCGCTGCAGGCCAGCCCCTTGAAGATGTTGCCCAGCGACTTGTAGTCCATTTCCGGGGAACAGTTGAAGACGTAGCAGCACTTGCCCAGCGCGCTGGCGAGGTCCTTGGTGCTCTCCGTCTTGCCCGTGCCGGCCGGCCCCGCCGGCGCGCAGCCCATGCACAGGTTCAGGGCCTGGGTGGCGGTCACGTAGACGCGGTCGGTCAGCGGCGTCACCACAAGGCGCGGACCGTTCCCCAGGTACTCGAACCCGTAGTCGAACGTCGCGTTCAGGATGAGCGCGAGCCAGCGGTCCTGCTCGGCGTCGTACTTCATTTTCAACTGACTCTGCCATTTAAACGAGGAGATCTGGTACATTTTCATTCGAAGCGTCCCTTCGATCATGTCTCTCGAATGGGCGTCGTAGGTAATCATGCACATGACCTTGGTCCGCGTCGCCTTGTCGAGGTCCGTCATCACGCACTTGATGAGGTCCGTGAGCTGTTGCAGGGTCTTCTTCTGGAAGTCTAAATACGGTTTTTCGCCGAGGGAAGGATCGGCTTCCATGGCCCTCATGGCGTCTTCGCTTTCCTTCGTGTAGTAGATGGCGGCGACCAGGAGCGCGATCTGCGCGGCGTCGGCCGAGTTCTTGCGGCCGTCGCTGACCTTCTTTGTGTCCTGGAGCCACTGCGTGCGCGGCGAGGACGTGAGGTAGCGCTTCACGGACTTGTGGGCCTCCGCCGTGAGCGAGGCGCACTGCGCGTCCAAAATGGTCTGGAAGTAGACCTCGACCTTGCCCAGCAATTTGACCGGCTCCGTGAACTCGACGAACTCCTTGCCGACGCCCGAGACCCAGTAGTTGGCCGCCGGCCGGCCCGACGCGTCGGGCTTGCCGAGCGTCAGGTCCGCCGTCGCGAGCATGACCTTGTCGACGTGCTTCATGACGGCCGGCGGGTTGGACCCGTTCGAGAGGATGTCCAGCAGATCCGACTCGCTGACGAAGTAGAAGCGCGCGAACTGCATGCGCTTCGAGTCCAGAAACTCGTTGAGCGACTTCTTGCACAGGTCTTGCTTGGCGGTGATGTCCTCCAGCAAGGGGATCAGGCCGTCCTTGTTGCACGCTTGCTTGACGTTGCCCGTGTCGCGAGCCTCGCGCAGCATGTTGCGCACCGTAGTGTCGATCTCCTTGAACTTCGCGGCCGTGTCGGGGAGCTCCCGCTTCACCTCGTCAGACCCAATGAACAACGGCTCCAAATACGACCACATCCGCTGCAGCTCCGACAAGATGGCCACGACCTCGCCCACGTTCTGCAGCGCGAGCTGCCACGCCGTGCTTTGCACCTTGAAGAACTCGTAGCGGCCCGCGACCATGGACTGCAGCGTGAGCAGGTCCGACTCCAGCTGCTCGAAGTCCTTCTCGTCCATGCCCAGGAGCGGCACCGACGCGTCCTTGTCGTAGGGCGTCGCCTTCCAGACGGCCTGCGCCCACGTCTGCTCCAGCACGCCGAGCGTCTCCTCCTGCTTGGCCTCCTTGACGGCCTTGTCGGTGGCCTCCTCGACGACCGACGCCACGGCGGGCCGGTGCAGCTCCAGGGCCATGATCTCGCTCAGCTCGATGTTCGGGTTCTCCAGCGGCGTCTGCTCCATGGTCGCGTGCGCGCCCTCGAGCAGCTCGTCCCAGTGGCGCTTCTTCATGCAGTCCGTCTTGAGGGACGTGATCAGCGGGCACGAGTTCTGGAATTCCTTGCAGCGCTTGTCCAAGGCCTTGAACGCCGAGGACGCCTTCGTGGGCTTGGGCAGCTTCTTGCAGCGCTGCATGAGCTTCTTGGCCGTCTCCTCGAGCTCCTCGGTGTTCAAGTCCCCCCACCGCGTGTCCATCGCGACCGCGATGGCCATGTCCAGGGCGTTGTCCAGGTCCCACAACATCACGTAGTCGTTGAAGATCTCGTCGATGTCGGCCTGCGGGGGTCAAACGATGCCGCCAGCGCCGCGGCGCCGCGCGCCGTCGCGCGAGCGGCGGGGAGCGGACGCCACCGTGCTGAAGTTCTGACGCCGCGTCGGCACGATCAGGCCCTCGGGCTTCTTCATCTCCGACCCGATGTCCACGGCCTCGGCCTTCTTCTTCATCGCGTTGAAGCGGTTGTGGTCCTGCTTGTGTGTCCCCTGCTCGTCCTCCAGCAGCGAGAGCGACTTCTCCTGGCCGCACTCGGCCGTCTTCCAGTCGATGTCCAGCTCGCCCAGCGCTTTGCGCTTCTGCCGCAGCGTGTGGTCGAAGGCCTGGATCTCGTCGCGCACCTTGCGCTGGGCCTTCTCCTTCTCCTTGCGCTTTTTCTCCTCGGCGGCGATGCGCGCCTCCTCCGCCTCGCGCGCGAGGCGCTCGGCCTCGGCCTTGGCCTTGGCGGCCTCGACGGCCTCGTGGTGCACCTTGTTGAGCGACACCAGCTGGACGTCGAGCGACTTCTGCGCCTCCTCGACGACCGGCAGGGACTTGATGAAGTCGAGGACCGGCTTGTGGCCGCGCCGCTTGCACATCCACTTGGCGTCGGCGCCGCGCTCGCGCTCCAGGCGCGACGACATCATCGTCGCCAGGCCCGACGCGCACGTCGTCGGGTCGCACTTGCCGACGTCCACCAGCAGCTTGAACAGCGTCAGGTAGCCGTTGATGGCGCAGGCGTGCAGCGCGGTCACGCCCGAAAAGGGGCAGACCGCTTTGGCGTAATCCGATTCGGCTCCCTTCTCCTCCAGGTCCTTCACGATGGCGTCGTGGTTCGCCGAGCGCCGTTCGCGCATGCCGTCGATGCGCCACGGGCCCGGCGCGAAGACGCGCGCCAAGGTCGCCTGGGCCTCGTCCTCCGCGCCATCGAAGGGTTGGACGGGCGGCGCGTTGCAGCGGTAGGTCCGCAGACCGAAGGCGTCGCTCGTGAGGAGTGCGATGAGCTCCTCGGGTACCACCTCTTCCTCCTCCTCCTCGTTCTCGGCGTCGTCGGCCATCGGTGGCTAGCGAGAGGGGCTACGCTGTGGTGCGGCTCGCCGGGCAGCGCAATCCCGTCGCTCGTCGACCCGTCGCGGCTCGAGCGGCCCCGCAGCTATTTACCAGCCGCTGTTATCCGCTGTTGTTGTATCTTCTTGCGCGCCGGGTGGGAAGCGTCCGAACGGTAGGGGGACCTATATCGCGACGCTCTCCGACGTGCCGCCAAAAGGGTTTCAGCCCCTAAAAATGATACGAGCTTGTGTATGTAGATACCGATATAGCCTGCCTAGAGACTCATTCGGAAGGCCCTCCTGCTTAGATGGGTCCGGCTACGGCACACATATAAAAAACCAGCTTTGCTATGCGCTCACGTTCCGCGCGCACTCACACATATAAAAAACCAGCTTTGCTATGCGCTCACGTTCCGCGCGCACTCACACATATAAAAAAACAGCTTTGCTCGCGCGCACTTGGAAGACTTCGCGAGCGGCCACTCCCCGCAGCAGTTTTCTCTGAGGCCCAGACCAGTGGTACACCTACCTGTTGATGGCCTGGAGCTGCCCGCGGTGACGACCAGAATGAAATGAGATTGTTTTTTGTTGCGATGGCAGCGGCGGCGCGCCGGCACCGGCGGCCCAACCGCCACCACACAAAGGCGGAGACCTGCGCCGGCGACTGCCCAGCGTGCGCTCTTCCTCACCGTCCGAAGCTTTACAGCGTTCTGCACGTCGACGGCGTGGGCACCACGGTCAAATACATCGCGGAGCACGCGCGGTTCGCAAGGGAGCAAAACTACGCCTACGGCGGCGCGATCGGCACGTTGCCGCTCACGCCGCAGGCGCATGGCGTGCTCCAACGCCAATGCGTCGCATGGGCGCTTGGCACGGACGCCGTCGTCGTGCGCGAGCCCGCCGGAATTCAGCGCGCGGCGGCGCTCGCGGACCTCGCCAGCAACCAAACCGTCCTCTGGACGGAGAAGCACGTGCCGCTCGCCCCGAAGGTAGACAAGGCGTGGCTCGCGGATCTGCGACGCGGCAACGCGTGCCGGTTGGGGCGCGCGCGACTGACATATGCCAGAAAAGGTACCGTCCGCGTCGCCGCTCACTTGAGAAGGGGCGACGTCGATGTCAGTGTCCAGCCCTCGCTGCGCTGGGTCTCGGACGCGTGTCTCGTGGATGCTTTGGGCTGGGTCGCGGCGCGGGCTGGGCCGCGCGCCGAGGTGCACGTCTTCAGCGCCCTCGAGTCGCATCGCGGGCGGGGCGGCGCGACGCGCTGTGCGAAAATCAAAGTTTCACGGCGTCTCTGGTGCGCCCGACTCACTGGTCGATTTCTCACACAGGTGATGCGGGGGACGGCGTCGCCGGAGGCATTCGACGTCTATCGAGCACATAACTACACGGTCCACCTCAACGGGGCCGACGCCACGGCCTCCGTCCTGGACCACTGGGCGCACTTGGCCTCGGCGGACGTCTTCTTGCAGTCGCCGACGTCCGCCTTCGCCGTCGTGCCCGCGTACCTCAGCAGGGGCTGCGTGCTGCGAGCGCGAGTCATCAAAAAGGGCCTCCACTGCTACGCGCTCGACGCGGCCGACGAGAAGTGCGTGCGGCGGGCCGTCGAGCGGCGCCTGCGGGAGATTTCCTAGCCTCTATTGTTTACGTCCTATGCCATAGCTGAAGGGTCGCTCCTGGGGAGCCTGGGGGCGCGCGGGGCGACAGGCGCCATGCGCACACTTCCATGCGCTGTGATGTAGACCATTGAGTGGTCATTGCGTGTCCTCCGTCCATCTCCTGCCATAGACTCCTGCCACTGAGATTCTCAGGCTCCTCCGGCGTCCCGGACCTCGATGATTTCTAATTGCCTTGTCTACTTGCTTTGCTTGGAGCTAGGCTGCCTAGGTAGCCACCCGGTGGCCGACGACGCGGCCTGCTTGACCAAACGCCCGTCCCGCCCCGGCCCTCATACGTCGTCCGAGTCGCTACTAATTAATTATTTCTTATTCCCACCACCGAAGAAGGACCCGAGCTTGCCCATGAAATCGGCGTCTTCGTCGACCTCGCCGGACTCGAAGTAGGTCCCCTTCGAGTTGTCGAACGAGCCGTACTCCTTCCCGTCCTTGGTGATGAAGCGGTTCTCGTCGAGCTCGAACTTCATGGCGCCCGTGTCCTTGTCGACGCCCTTGAAGGTCCCCAGGTTTGGCGCGCCCAGACCCAACGCGACCAAGTCGCGGAGGCCCTCCAGCGTGATCTTCGCGGGGCGTTTCTCCTCGTCGCTGTTTTCGGCGTTGCGTAGCGTCCTCGCGCGCCAGTCGGGCGTGGCGACGAAGCTGTGCGCACACCCCAAAGCTGCGGCTAATAGCCATATGGAGGGCCTCATGATATCTCCTCGTCGATGCTGCGGATGAGGGCAGAGACTAACACTTCGATGCCTCAGCTACGCACTGCCTGGGATCACAAGTCGTGTTGCGTCACAAGTCGTGTTGCCTCGGCGCGGACGATACCGTAGGTGAGGCTGGGTGAGGTAGAATACCCCCCTACTGGACGCAGTACCATTTTGAGATAAGCGCACTTTTGTGTTTTGAGGCGCACTAGCGCAGCCTACGGACCCTCGCGTGCAATGAGCTTTTGCATGGGGACACCCGTGGCTACGGACGTCCCCACGGCGCTGGTGCGAAGTCCGACGGATTGCGTAGTGGCAAGAACGAGCTGCAGCAAAATCAGGGGCAGCTGCCCGAAATTTCGTTTCCCGGCCGATTCGAGCCACGCAGTGTCGGAGATCATCGGCCCCATGTGCCTCGACGCGGCGGGAGCGTCGCAGCGCATTGGCATTGCCTTTATCCGGACGTCCGCGCGGTTTCGGCGCGCCGTCGCGCGCATGTCATTTTCACCTCGACGAGGGCCTCGTCAGGGGGCCGTCGACCGCTGGGGGTCGCGGACCATCACGTGCCGGCGGCGCCCGGCGCGCGCGGCGCCCGCGCGCCCCGCAGCGCGCCGCGCGCGGCGCGTATGCGCAGCTACGCGCGTGGGCAGCCCCAGCGAGAGCAGCGCCAGGCTGCTCTCCCCGGGGGTTTATTGGCCATAACTCGGCGAGATTTAGGTCGTTTGCCGAGATTTTTGCGGCAAAATGACGCCCAGAGCACGGGGCGTCGTTTGCCGGTAAAAGATACAAAAGTACCGATACCTCGGTAGGGGGGTTTTCTACCTCACCCAGCCTCAGGTACCTCGAGAGTTTGTACGGGCTCTAGCAGCAAAAAATGCCATTTTTTACCACTACTTTGTGAGCTCTCGCACTCCTGCAGCGGTTCAACGGAGTGGTTCCAAGGGGGGGGGGGCGCCCCATGGCCATCTCCCATGGCCCCAGGCTGAGATAGAGGCTGCCCCGCCGTTGCCGACGGCCCAGCTAGCTCGCGCGAGGCCGACGCCGCCGCTGTGCCAGTCGTGCGAGGCCGACGCCGCCGCTGGGCCAGTCGCGCTCGTTTGTCCGGCGAAGAACGCGCAGCGACCAGCGGCGCCCGAAAAAAAAAAAGGGCAGCCATGATGGACTACGCCCCTCTCCGCGACTCGGCGCGCAGAGCCCGCCAGCAGCACACGGCGGCCGCCTACGAGGCTTCGCTACGGCAGGCCCTCAACTACGCGCCCGTGCCGACTGGGCCCGCCGCCGGCCCCCGGACGCCGACGCCGGGGGCGGCCGGCGCGCCCTTCGTGCCGCCGCCGTCCTCTCACGAAGCGCCGCCGTCGCCGCCGCCCCGGGACGACCTGCGGCAGTCGTTGGTGCGCGCGCAACAAAATGCGCAAGCCCAATTACAAGCCCTGGTGCTCCACCAGCGGCAATTGGCCGCCGCGCTGCGGGACCTTGCGGAGGGCGCGGTGCCGCGCGCCGAGCACGCGTGTCGCGTCGCCGGGCGGCGGGGCGACGACGCCGTGGCGGCGGCGAACACCGTGCGACGAGAACTGGCGGAGCAGCAGACGCAAAACGACGCGCAGCAGCGCCACGTTCGCCAGTCGATTGCCGCGCTGCGCCTCGCGCTGGACGAGCGGCCGACGCAGCGCCAGTGCGCCGACCTCGCTTCGCAGACCGTGGCGCGGTGGGTCGAGAGCGACCCGGGCGCGGAGGCGTGGGTCCGGCGCGCCGCGCGAAGCGCGGTCGGCGCGGCGCTGGGGGACGGCGGCGCTCTGAGTGCCGAGCTCGAAGACCGAGTGGCGCGGGCGGCGCGGACGGCCGCGGCGCAGGCCGCGGAGCGGGCCGCGAAAGAAATCGTCGACAAGGGCGACTTCCTGCGCGAAGCGGTGGAGGCGGTGGCGCAACGCGCGGGCGGCAGGGTGTGGGGCGACAACCACAAGGCGACGCTGCGCGACGAGTGCGCCGGCGTTGCGGCGAGGGCGGCGTCCGACGCCGTGGAGCGGCTCGTGGCCGAGTACGGCGACCGAACCGGCGCCAAGGTCGCCGCGGCCCTGGAGGAAGCGAGACTCCACGCGAGGGCCGGGAAGGAGCACCGCGACCAGTCGGCGCATCTGCTCGAGGGCGCGACCGCCTCGCTCGCGGCGCTCCGCAAGCGCGTCGACGACGTGGACCGGCGGCACGCCGCGACCCACGGCGAATCCGCGGCGAACGTCGAGGCGACGCTCGCGGCGTTGCTGGTACGCCTCGAGGGCGTGGAGCGGCAGGCACCGAATGATCCGGGGCAGCCGCTGCGCGCGCTCGAGGCCCGCCTCGACGCGCTGGCGAAGACGGCGACGACGGCGGCGTCGGTCGAGGCGGTGGCCGCGAACGCCCGCGACGCGGTGGACGCGGCCGAGGCCAAAGCGGTCAAGGCTCAGGCCGAGGCGAGCGGCGCCAGGGCGGCCGCGGCGGCCGCGGCCGCCAGAGCGGACGCGCTCGAAGCCAAGTTGGAGGAGGTCCTGGCGGCGGTGCAACAGACCGGCGCCCGGTCCGCGCAGGCCGCGCAGGACATCGGGAAGGCCCTGCAGCCCGTCGCGGCGTCGGTCGCGGCGCTCCAGAAGCGCGTCGAGGCGGTCGAGAAGCGCCCGCGGCCCGCGGGCGCGCCGCCGACGCGCGCGCCGCCGGCGCCGATCGAGCACGAGGAGGCGGACGCGTCGGACCTGTCGCAGGCGGACCCGCTGGACGACGACTCGGTGACCCCGGGCGCGGCCTCGCGGCCGACCTTCGGGCTGCCCGAGCCGGCGACGTTCGGGCTGCCTGGCTCGCCCGGCAACCAGGCCGCGACGTTCGGCCTGCCCTCGATGGGCCTCGCGCCCAAGCTCGGACCCCTTCCCACGACCGCGGTCGAGGAGAAGAAGCCGACGGCGCCTCCCGCGGAGGAGGTCGCCGCGCAGTGCCAGTACTGCATGAAGCGCGTGCCCCGGAGCCGCATGAACGCGCACGTCGCCGAGGAGTGCAAGATGGCGTTCGTGCCGTGCCCGCGGGGGTGCGGCAAGCGCGTGCTGCGCTTCGCGCTCGCGGAGCACAAGGCCTCGTGCGGCTTCGGCGAGGCGGGCTTCGTGCCCTCGCACACGCTGGCGCGGACGCCGCCCGCGCGGGCGGTGGCGTCGTCGTTCCCGACTACGGATCAACAGGAGTCGCCGATCGGGCTCCGCGGCCTGCGGTCGCTGCAGCGCGCTCAGCCGGACGACGCGGAGTTGGCGTCCCTGGAACCGCTGACGTGGTCGCCGTTGCGCGCGGAGGAGTACGTTTCGCAGACGCTGGGCCTGCCGCGCGTCGGGTCGCTGCTCGCGCGGCGCCACGTGAACGGCGCCACGCTGGCGGCCATGAGTCGGAACGATCTAGTCCGTCCCGAGCCACAAGGGCTCGGGCTGGCGGCCGCGGACGCGGACAAGCTCTTCGATCTCGTGAAGCGCCTGCAGGCGCTCTCTCCTCCATCGTAAGTATCTGAAAAAGCTCCTAGTTCGCCGCGGGCGCAGGATTGCGCACGCGCAGTAAGTTTTATATACAAGTAAGATAAAAACTTGCAAACGAACCCTATACTTTTACATGCATCCCTGCTTGGCCTATCCTTGCTTAGCTAGCTCTAATTAATAGTAATAGGATTATTATAGCTCGATTCCCTTCTCTCTTCTCTCCTTTGGCTAGCATGTGAGGTACTAGCGGCAGCTCCTGAAGAGAGAGGCAACCAAGATGAGCGCCATCGCCGCAGCGGCCGCGCAACTCGAGTCACACGGGGGGCCGACTTGTGCCGCAATTCATCTGTTGCGCCGGGCCGTCGCCGCCGACGCGACCAGCGAAGCCGTGCCCGCTGCGCTCGCGACGCTCGCGGAGCAAGCGCCACGCTTCGGCGACGAGGCGGCCTGCGTCGCGTTGAAGACGGTCGATCGCCTCGCGGCCCGCGGCGTCGCGCCGGCGCCGCTGGCGAGCGTCGCCAGGGCCGCCGTCGCCGCGATGCGCGACCCGCCGCCGCCGAAGCTGCTGGCGGTGCTCCGGCAGGCGACGAGCGCGCCGCTGATCGCGGGCGCGGCCAAGGCCGCCCCGCCGCGCGTGCTCGTGGTCCTGCCGGCCCCGGCCTCCAAGGTCGCGCGCCGGGCGCTGGGGCACGCGTGGGTCGCCGCGCTCAAGAAGCCGATCACGCCGAAGTCGGTGCGGTTGGCGGCGCTGCGGAAATGCGGCGCGATGCTCGGGGCGATGCCGGAGCCGCTGCGGCTCGCCGACGCGTTCGTGGCGGCGCTGGCCGCCGCCGACGAGGTCGAGGCGTGCAGCGCGCTGCGGGGCGTGTTCACCTTGGTGACGCGGCACGGGCTCGACGCGCCGGACTTCGTCGACCGCCTCGTGGCGCTGACCACGGCCCGGACGTTGAGAGAAGCCCCCGCGGACCTCCTGGGCGTCGCCGCGCCCGTGCTGGGCGCGTCCCGGCTCCCGGACCTCCAGAGGGCGGCGCTGGCCGCCGCGCTCATCGACGCGGCGACGACGGCGCCGCCGGCCGCCGCGCGGCGCGCGTTGTCCGCCGTCTCGGACGCGGCGCGCACCCAGGGCGTGTGTCGCGAGGCGCTGACCGCGCCCGCGGCGAAGGCCTTTGGGTCGCACTGGGCGCCGCCGCTCCGCGACGTCGACGAGGCCGACGAGGCCGGCGCCGCCGACGCGTCCTACTACGGCGCGTTCATGGACGCGGCGCCGGACTTCGCGCCGCCGCCGATTCACCCGACCGCGGCCGCGCGCAAACGGCCGCTCTTCGACGCGGACGACGCGCGGCCGCTGCGGCGGCGGGGGGCTGTTTTTAGCCTCGAAAAACACGAATAGTAATAGAGGCCTTGTTAGACCATTTCGATCATCCTACTAGAGGTCAATTCTTGGCTCTCTTAGGAGCTTGTTCCTTCTTTTTAGGTCTTCGTTGTTTATTACTTACTTAGCCCCCCACGCACGGCAATTGACTGATGAATACCGTAGTATTTAGTATTATTCGGTTGTGTCCGCCGGTCGTCCCGGTTGATAGTATCAACTGGCGGACTATCCGGCCGTGGGGGGACACCGCCGAGAATTCCCCGTGCCATGGGCCGCAGGCATGGGAAGGGCTCCATGCCACAGCTGGAGTGTCGCTCTTGGGAAGCCTGGGGGCGGTCGCCTCGTCGGCGGCAACCCGGACTTCACCGACGCGCCCGCGCACGGCGACGACGACGCACGCTTCTACGACCGGCAGCAAGCTTACGTCCACGCTCGCGCGGAGTAGTCCCCCGCGCCCCCAGAACCCGAACTGGCTTGCGCTAGCGGCCTGTAACACACTAGGCATCCCTAGGCAGGCAATCCCCAGAGCTAGAGTCGTGCATGCCTTCGTACCGTAGGTACCACACACTAGGCAAGCATTAGGATCAACCCCTTCGAAAAAGCCCAGCGCCACGGCAGCGTTGGATCACAACCATGGCGTCCCTGGAGCGATCACTGGGTGAGGCCTGCGACCGCCTCGACGCGCTCTACAGGGTTAGGCAGCGGTCGAGGCGCGTCCTCAAGCCCGGCACCAGATGGGAGGAGGACTGTGGCAACGTCATCGGGCGCGTGGCGGCGCTGGTCGCGCGAGGCGAAGCGGCGGAGCGCGAGCAGGTCTTCGACCTGTTCGCGGAGCGGCGCGTCCTGCAGGTGATGGCGGCGCTGGGGCGCGAGGGACCCGTGTCCGTCAAGCAGCGGGTCCTGCGAGCTTGCGCGCTGCTCGCGCAGAATATAAGGAGGCAGCAGGCCCTCTACCTCCTCCTGTCGTCGCCGGCGATCGACGCGATCCTGCGCGACGCCCCGGCCTTCCTCGACGACGACGAGACGCGGTGCGTGTTCGTGGCCCTCCTCAAGACGCTCTCGGTGCGCCTCGACGCGACGACGGTGCAGTTCTTCGTGTCCGACGACCGGGCGTTCCCGCTGCACGACGCGGCCGTGGGCGCTCTCGAAAAGATCGGCGAGGAGCCGTTTGGCACGCCGGAGCGGGCGGGCTGCCTCGCGACGCTCCTGCACTGCTGGGGGGTCGACGACGCGAACGCGCGGCGGGCGTGCGCGGGTCGGGCGCCCGACGCGCTGAACGCCGTGGGAAGGGCGCTCGCGCGGGCGTTCCACGCCGCCGTCGACGCCCTCGACGACGCCTACCTCCTGCAGGGCGGCGCGGCGGAGATCGAGGATCTGGCGACGTTTCTGCGGGACGCCGCCGCGTCGAATACGCCGGCCGCGTCCCACGCCGCGCACGACACGGCGTCGGCCGTGGCGGCCTTCCTCGCGGCGACGGTCGTGGGCGGGCCCGCGCCGCCAGAACGCGCGCTCGGCGCCGTCGCGTGGATCCGGGTCGCGACCGCCTCGCAAGTCGCGAAAAACGCCACCGCGGAGACGGTTCTGCGGGCGGTCCCCGGCGCGCTCGTGGCCGGCGACTCGGGCGCGGCGCTGGCCGCGGCGCTGGCGTGTCGGGACGCGGCCCTTGCTACGCCGCCCGACGGCCTGATGACGGCCTTGACGACTCGGGCGTTCGCGGCCGACACGCCGCCGGCCCTGCGGGCGGCCTGCGCGTCCGCGGCGGCCGCCTTGGCCGGTGCCACCGAGGGGGGCGACGAAAACGCGCGGGGCGCTCTCCTGGGCCGCGTCGACCTGGTCCTGCGCGGCGGCGGCGCCGACGAAGACGGCGCGCTCGCGGCGTGGGCGGCGGTCGAGGTCGCGGCCGCGTTTGCGGCGATCAATGGGGTCGTGCCGCCGCCGGCGCCGCAGCCGCCGCCGGGTTAAATTGTATATGTTGTACGGGGTTGACGAGGTTCTTTTTTCCAAGGGGGGACTTGTCCTCCTGGTTTCAACTTGGATACGGTTTCTTTTTCCTCGCTTTAGACAGACAGAGGACCCTCATCACCTCAAAGTGAACATCTCAACGCTAGCTAACTTTGCTTCCAGAAGACACTTCCATGATAAGTTCGGAATCCATCGTGCGATTGACAGTTGCCAATTGATTTTTCTTTAGCTTTGTCTTGGCTCTACGGAGCCAGGGGGTCGTGTGAAACCCGAACCCCGCACCCGAATCGGACGCAAGACGCACGCTTCTACGACCGGCAGCAAGCTTACGTACACACTCGCGTACGCTGTCGACGTAGAAACCCGCGAGCTCTGGAGGCTCGGGGCTCAATCGCCAGTGATTTATCTTTAGCCTTATTTTACTCTGCAGCCAAATGTGCTCGTCAGGTACACGCTCGCGGGGATTGTCCCCAAAACCCGAATGACTGCAGTATATAGTACCCTCTAGGCGCGCGCCCCCGCAACCCGAATTGACTATAGCTATTATACCTATACCTATAGCATATACTGGTATGTATTTTTGGCCCTTATTTTTTCACGTTCACTGTCTTTGACCGGCCAGAGACTTTAAAACGAGTCCGTACAAGTTCCGTTCAGTTGCAGCCATGCGCTGCCTCGCCCTCGTCCTCGCCACGCCCGCGCTCGGATTCGTGCCGCCACTACTACGGAGCCCGCTGCAAGGACCGCTCCGCTCGGACGAGGTCGACGACGCCGACTGCCTCGACGACTGCCTCGCGGAGGACGAGTACGACGAGCCCGTGCCGAGGACGGTGGCCCCGTTGCTGGACGGCCCCGTCTACTCGCTCGCGACGCTCGACGAGGCGGGCGACACGAACATGAACGTCGTGACGTATGCGACGCCCGTGGGCATCCGGCCCGAGCGGAGGTGGGCCCTGAGCCTGTTCAAGAGCACGGTCAGTCGAGCCAACTTTGCGAGGCGGCGGCGCGGCGTGCTGCAGCTGCTGCGGCCGGAGCACGCGCCCCTCGTGTATGCGCTCGGCGGCACGTCCGCGGCGGACGCGGACAAGGCGGCGGCGTGCTACGGCGCGGGGTTTGCGTGGGAGTCGAGCGACTGGGACGAGCGCGTCCTGCCGAGGTGCGCCGCCTACGTGAGCCTCGAAGCCGTCGGCGAGCCGGTCGATTGCGGGGACCACGAAGTGTACGTGTGTCGCGTCGTCGACGGCGTGGCCGGGTTCGACGCGTCGCACGCGACGACGGGCGACCTGCGCGAGCGGGGCCTGATCACGACCGAGGGTCGGGCGCGCGCGCCCGGGGACGTGCCGGCGCCGCGGAAACCGGGGCGCGGCGGCCTCAAGCGCCTGCTGGGCGCGGTCGCGGCGGCGGCCGTCGTGGCGCTGCTCCCGTTGCGAGCGTCCGCGGCGGACTGCCGAACGAAGCCGGGCGCGCTCTGCGCGGCGCTCGCCGGCGCGCAATCCATCGTCGACGCGAACTCGTCGGGGCGGTGGGTAGGCGGCACTCCTGCCCCGTCGCGCGTTGAGGCGCCGAAGTAAGAACCGACCGAAGTCTAGTAGTCTTGCAGCCCTAGTCCACGATAGCGACGGCGGACTTGGCAGCGATGTGCTTCTCGATGCGGCCGAGCAGCACGAAGTAGAATTGGACGATGTCCTGGATCTCCAGGGCGTCGGGTCGCGCATTATGTAAAATGCGGTTGAACTCTTCCGAGTCGGGGTGCGATAACTTGAAATAGGGCGAAATCCATCCCCTTATTCTATACCCTTTCTTATACACTTAGACACACCACACACGCAACGCGCAAGTAAGCACCGTAAACCAAAACTAGTTGGTGTATTTTAAGGTAGCTGCTCGGCAGACTATCTCAGCCGCCGCCGTGAGTTCCAAGCTCCTAGAGAGAGTTCATAAACTTCTGTAAGAACCTACACCTCTTTTCTGATGAAGGGTTCGCGAATACCATCACACAGGGCAAAGACTGTTCGACATAACAACTCAACTTGAAGGGGAAAAAAAATTATCATATGGCATTTTGAGCTTCACAATTCTGAGCTGCGGTGAGGTACGTACCCCGGGCAGAAGAGGCTTCGGGCGGACGCCAACGTTCCGTCCAGAGGGAGCCTGAGTAGAGAGAGAGAAACCCTCTAGCACTTCCCTAGATATGTATCTCCCTCTAATTTGAGTCTATACATTGTTGTGCTCTTGGCACTGCTTTGTTGTGTATTCCAACTTTCATTACAACACTCTCGTAGTGGGTTAGGCCCAGTCTTTGGCTGGAGAGCTAGGACCTTGCTACTTTACATAACGCTGCATACCCACCTTGCTACTCTGCCAGCCCTCCAGATGGAGGAGGAGCGCCAACGCAAGCATGGCATCGTCGTCCCGGAGCAAGAGACGGACGTGACCAGTGCCATGCTCGCGCGGGGCCGAATGGACAAGCAGCGGGTAGCGGTTGATTTAGCGGAACAGCGGAAGGTGCTCGCGGCGCACATGCACCTCGTGGACGCCCAGCTCGGGAGAGCGCACACGCAGGTGAAGAAGCGGCGGGCCCGGCACAAGGTGCACCACGACCACCACGGGGACGAGGAGGAGCCCGTGGGGCCCACGAAATCCGCGCGCGAGCACCCGGGGACCTGGGAGGCCCGGCGCGCGCGCGACCTGTCGCTCCGCAAGCGGCGGCCGGTCATCCCGAAGCCGTCCCGGTACGAAGCGAAGCCGCGGGCCGACCGGACGGACGCCGAGGCCGAGAGTCGGCTGCGGACGCTCATGGCCGAGGTCGACACGAATTTGTATCAGCTGACCCTGCCCGAGCAGGTCCGCGACGCCGAGGGCTGGTTCCTGAAGAAGCGGAGCAACGCGCGCCAGCTCCGCTCGAAGTCCATCGCCAACCCGCTCGTGGCGTCGCAGCGATGGCTCCACGGGCCGCGCATCGCGGAGCACAAGGCGGCCTACTAGTAAACTACTTTCCTTTACGCAGCCACCGGGGTAGCATTTCCAGGACCCCAAACCCGCACGCCGCGACCACGACGGACGCGTAGAACGCGCGCGCGTAGCCCGGGGGCCGCCGCGCCGCCAGCAGCGCGCAGCCCACGATTGCGGCGTCGATGACGAACACCAGGAACGCCGTCGCGTAGGGCACGGGCGTGAACGACCCGGACGCGTCGTGACGCCGGTGCGCGCCCCCCGTCAACCAAAATCCCGCGTTCGCGCCGAGCACCGTCGCCGCGCCCACAAAGACGTCCTCCCCCAGGATCGTTCGGAGGAGGCCGGCCCACTGCGCCGCCAGTCGCAACACCACGGCGCGCCGCCACGCTCGGGCGTTGTAGCGCTTCTCGGCGCCGCCCCGTTGCGAGACCTCGGCCCTGGCGGTTTCTCGCGCGCGCCGGACCGATTTTAGCTGCGTCCGCGCCGTGGGCGCGTGCGTGATGGTCGCGAGCGCCGCCAGCGCGCAGCACACTGCGGCCTCGGGCGGCGCGCGGCGCAACTTAAACGACTTGGCGACCAGGGCGGCGGACGCGGCGCCGTAGGCGAGCGGCAGGACGCCGTCGAGCTTGTTGGACGCCGCCGCGACGTCGACCGAGGCACCGCTCGAGGCGCGGCACGGCAGGCGCCGTGGAAGGCGCGGTGGGGCTCGGAGCGCTGCCGTGGCACCCAGCAGGGGCGCGAACCTCATCTCTTTGCGCTTGCTACTAGCTGATAATTCTTGGTGGGTATATTAGCCTGCGTCTGGGACCGCTTGCCTGGATGCCTAGTGTCTTACGGGTCGCTAGCCTAGTCTGCAAAATTATTTGAGAGCTCGCGGGTTTCTACGTCGACAGCCATTGCAGCGAGGCGGAGCCGCTTTGGCCCCCTCAGGGCATACAGCCAATTTCCTTGCGTGCCTGAGATTGACCAGCCACTCATCTTTACTGCCACACACACGGCATGGTTGACGCGCCGCTGAGGCTCCTCGCATGCGTGTTGCCCGCCACCGCCCTCTCCCAGGGCCGCGGCTACGGCAGCACGTCGGCCGCGACCAAGACCATCGTCTCGGGCCTCACGCAGCTCGTGAACCTGAACGGCGGCGCGAAACCGGCGAACAAAAAGCGGCCGCGCCGCTTCGCGAGCCTGACGCCGCAGCAGGTCAAGGCGGGCCTCGCCGACGATTTCAGGAACGAGTACCTCTGGTCCGGCAGGATCACGCCCGAACTGTACGACGAGGCGTGCGTCTTCACGGACCCGACGCTGTCCTTCCGGGGCCTGGACGTCTTCGAAGCGAACCTGAGAAACCTCGACCCGTGGATCGAGCGCTTCGTCCCGTCGGAGCGGAGGCGCGTCGACCTCTACGCCCTCGCCGTGGACGGGACCGCGATCACCGCGTCGTGGCGCATGGTCGGGACCCTAGCTCTCCCCTGGCGGCCGCGCCTGGACCTGAACGGCACGACGACGTACACGCTTAACGGGGCCGGCGCGCCGTCCGCGTTTGTTACAAACCCTGGGCCGCGCCCGAACCTCTTCCTACGACGCAGGCGGCCGCATTTCCTCCTACGACGAGACGTGGGCGCTCTCGGCGGGCGAGGCCCTGTTGCAGCTCTTGACACCGGCGGCCCAGGAAGTCGAGGAAATCGTCGAGCCGGAGTTCTGGCCCGGCCGGCTCGCGGGCCGGGCGCCGACCCCGAAGGCGCGCGCGCCGCTCGTGAATCCGCCGACGGTCGTGGTCCTGCCGGGTCCGGGGCCGGCGCCTTCGTGCGGTATGAATTCGCGCCGACGGCGCCCCGCGCAGGCTTCGGCAACGACGCCGCGGACTACGCGACGCCGCTGGGGCTTCCTGAGGAGACGGGCCTCGCGGCCGCGCTGGGCCGGCGCGGCTTCCGCGTCGAGGTCGTGCCGGTCGCGCGGGGCGACTGGCTCCAGGTGCTCACGCGGGGGGGGCGCGACCCCGACTTCCTGCTGTTCGAGAAGGCCCGGCGGACGAGCCCGGCGTTCCGCTGGTACGCCGACAAGGTCTCCGAGACGCTAGGAAAGGTGGACGGCCCCGTGCTACTGGTCGGGCACTCCGCGGGCGGCTGGCTCGCGAAGCTCGCGTGTCTGCTGGACGGGGCCGTGGCCGCCTGTGTGGAAATCAACCAGTGCGTCGGGTGCACCCGACAATTCTTCACTAAGTCATTTCTCGGCGATGACGCAGCCGTCCTGGCTCGGTCGAGCGGTGAGGAACCGGCATCGCCACGCCATCGAGCAGGCGTCGCGTCGATGGCGTGGAGGACGACGCGATGATTCAGCACGAACGCGCCGTAAAATTTTGATTTCCACACAGGTGGCCGCGCGGACCGTCGGCGTCGTGACTCTCGGGGCGCCGCACGTGCCTCCGCCGGAAGGGACGCCCTGCGCGACGAGGGGGGTGCTGGCGGATGTTGCAGGCGCCGCGTGGCCGGACGTTGCTCTCATCACGGTGGCGTCGGACGCGATCAGAGGCGATCGAGGCGGCGACGTCGAGGCGGCGACGGCGGCCGACGCGTACGGCCGCGTGTCCGGCAACCCGGAGGGTCTCGGCGACTCCGTGGTACCGTTGTCCGCCGCCCACCTCCCCGAGGCCGACCTACAGCTCACGCTGCCCTGCCGCCACTCGATCAACGTCGCCGGGACCTCCGTGCCGACAGATGACTGGTACGGCGCGGAGCGGTGGGTCGACGCGTGGCTCGGCCCCGCGCTGGATGTCGTGTCGAAGCCGCGTTGGTTGCGGAAGCTGGTTCGGCGGTAGCTCGTTATAAATACTAGAAGTACTACTACTAGTAGACTACTAGTAGTACTAGGAGTAACAGTTAGTGTAGTTTCCTCTACATTCACAAAAACCTCAGAAGCGCGCCTCGTAGAGCCCCAGCACGAGCTGGGAGAACGACGCCGGCGGGAGCTCGCCCGAGAAGTGGGGTGCGAACGAAGCGACCGCGGCGCCCAGCCGGGGAAACGCGGCGCGCGCCGCCGGCAGCGCGGGCGCCGCCACCGCGACGTACAAACGCCGCGACGCGCACCGTCCGTAGGCGCCGCCGTCGAGCTCGCGCTTCAGGGCCGCGACGCGCCGGCCGAGGCCCGCGGCGTCGTTCTCGAAGTCGTGCAGGAACAGCTCCGCGCCGGCGCGCGGCCCCGCCACCGAATAAGGCGGCAAATAGGTGCCCACGAACGCGACGTGGTCGCAGGCGCCGCGCGCCGCGCCGACGCGCCGGAGCAGCGGCACGAGGCCAGCCTGGTGGATCGTGGTGTAGAAGCCGGCAACGGCTAGATGGAATACCAGCCAAAACATGTAAAACTTCCGCTTCCACTTCAATCGTGCGACGCGCGGCGCCGCCCGCGCGAAGACGGCGCAGGCCGTCGGCAGCAGGAAGCGCGGCTCCTGATGTGGCGCCACCGAGAGCGCCGCGAGGCCCAGGACCGCGGAGGCGTCGAGCGCTTTACCGAAGGGACTCCTTTTGCGAGCGCCTCCCAAAAAGAGCAGGAGCGGCCCGTAGAGGAAGGGCGCGTTTACAACCAAGTGGAACCAGCGCGGGTGCAGGCCGAACCGTCGCAAATTTTCCGTCGAAGCGTTGAAGAGGAAGTTGCGCCACGGCGCGACCTACGTGCAAATCAACCAGTGAGTCGGGTACGTGAGCGCTAGCGAGCCGCCCCGTCCACGCCATCGAGCAGGTATCGCGTCGACGGCGTGGAGGTGGGCGCGATGATTCAGCACGAAGGCGCCGCGAAAGTTGACTTGCACACTGGCGCGACGACGACGGAGCCATCGATCGAGTTGAAATAGAGGGTGTCGCCCAGGACGAGGAGCCCAGCGCCGGCCGCGAACGTCGCGAGGCCCGTCGCGATGGCTTTCGCGGTACTCTTGGACGAAGACGCAACGCAGTACAGGCCCAGCGGCGCGGCGAAGGCGGCGAAGTCAAACCGCCACCAGCAGACGACCGCCGTCGCGGCGCCCAGCGCCGCGCTCCGACCCTCGGCGGCGAGGCGCGCGCAGAGCGCCTGCGCGGACACGGCCAGTGACCGCGACGCACTTTCCCGACGGTCCTCGCGTGCGTCGACGGCGGCTCGACACGTCGACACGTCATCGCCGCGTTATCTCGCCCATCGGCGCGGAGGCACCACCTCCAGTCGGCGAGCGCGAGTTTCCACGCCGGGTCCGCGCCAGGCCGAACGTCTCGTAGACGTTCGAGAAGGGCCGCGTCTCGAGCACGAGGCACGCCCAGGACGTCCGGCGCAGCGCTCTCGCGACGCGGACGCCCTCGTCGTCGAGGCCCGCCGCGCGCCACACCTCTCCGAGTAGGCGGTCGTGCACCAGTATGCTGATGACGAGGGCCCAGAGCCGCGGTATCATCATGATGAGTCGCGGCCAAGCGATGGACCCGCCACAGAGGCGCAGCAGAAACAGAGGAGCGTGCGCTGCCACAGCGGGAAAGCTCACGGACCGGCACGGCTCGTGCACCGCGTCGCCCAGCGCGGCGGAGCCGCCAAACTCCCAGGGCGTCCAGATCTTGGCGCCGAACACGTCGCGAGCCGCAATCTCCACACTTTGAAACCACTCGTCGGGCTGGACGCAGCCGTTCGCGGCCACGGCGAGCACCGCCAGGACCAGGCCCAGCCTGGACAGCTGGGCCTCGGCGTCGGCATCCCGTTGCCCTTGCCGTCCCGAGACGCGTGGCGGCGCTGACGCGTTGCCTCTGCGCATGGGCCTCGATTACTTAGGCTGAGCGGTCTCCCGCGTGCCTCCTGCTGCCTCGAGGTGCCGTCGGTACTAGCAAGAGTATGTCGCAGCGTTATGTAAAGTATACAGCGATTGTGCTGGGATGCTGTAGTTACCTTTATCTAGAGCTCCTCTCAGGTTCTAGTAGATATCAGAGGCTAGTGGCCTGTATCTTAGGATACTTCCTTCTCCCTCCCTCTTAATCTCCTTTATTCCAACTCTGTCTTCTCAGGGTTGAGGGGGTTCCCACACTCTCACGTTTCAGTGAGAGTCCTTCCTGTTGGCATCTCCGTGTCACATTGACACCCGAGAGACCTAGCTACCACAGCTGCATTGTGCACTTGCTGCACCCGGGCCCAGCCTGAGCTCATTAGACACCAGCACATACCGAAGCTACGGGACAGAGAATCCATGCTTGCTGAAAGAGCCAATGAGTCATTTGACAGCCTAGCACGCCTTATACATGATACAGGCGTCGCATGTAATCTCCAAGCTTATCCAACTGACAGCACATGGACCTTTACGTATGAACCTTATAGTACAAGTGACGAGTCGGGCCTAAGTTTCAAGTTACAGTGAATGCAGCCTAGAAGTGGCAAGCAAACCAGTCAGAGACTGGGCCAAACCCACTACGCCGAGAGTGTTGTATTATAAACTACGGTACTAGAGAGAGAGAAATCCTCTAGCCCTTCAAGTTCCTACCCTACTAGTAGCCTGAGATATGTATCTCCCACTCAGTGACTCTCTAAATTTGAGTCTACTAGTATACTCAGGCTACTACTACACTTGCTCGGTCGCGAGACTCGGATGCACTAGGTACCTACAGTGACCGTGACTGGACTCGGAGCTCCAAATCCGGTGTAAGACTATCCACCTTGACTTCAAGTTCGCATGCCCGACGATTTCTAGGCCACGCGCCTGGACATGTCGCCTTGCTGTGCGGCCGTCGACGCGACACTGAGAACTGTGTGCCAGCGGTGGCGTAGAGGCGAGAGCAGCCCCGCTGCGACGCCTCGACGCAGGCCGGGGCGGCTACACTCTTACCAGAGCGGCGCCCGGCCCGCCTTCGGGCAGTAGGGCGCCGCGGGGACCCCCCACCGCGTCCGCCCGTGCGGCACGTAGGCGACGTCGTAGAAGCGGGAGTCGTTCCGCGTCAGCTGCACGCGGCATTTCTTGGACGAGACGGGGTTGTGCGCGTGCCACCGCCTAAGGTAGTCCGTCACCGTCCGCTTGGCGTCGGGGTCGTCGTAGCCCGTCTCCAGGCCGCCCCACGTGACCCTGCCGTCGCGTACCGTGTGGTGCTGGTACGAAAAGTCGGCGAACCGCCGCCACCTCTCGCGAGCTAACAACAGCCGCACGGCGGCGCTCTGAAAGATGAGGTCGTTGTGCCGGTGGCTAAAGATTAAGGCCGACGCGTCGAAGGCCCGCCGAAATTTCGAGACCGGCTCCGAGGTCCACCACTCGATCGAAGACACGAACCAGTTGTTGTAGAAGCCGACGCGGCCGGGGCCCTCGCAGTAGGGCCGCGCGCGGAACCTGCGCGGCCATCGAATCTCAGGTCGCGCTCCGCGTCGGCGCGACGCGGCGCGGCGCGTCTGGCGCCGCAGCGGCCGGCCGTCGCGCGAACAGTGCTTCGGGACCCGCTCGCAGAAGATCGTCCCGTCGTCCAGCAACGGCGGGAGGCCGTGGTCCTCCCGGTACACGTCCACGAAGGCCCCGAACATGCGGTCGCACTCGCGCGACAGCGCGCGGAACCCGTAGACGTACCCGCCGCCCCGCATCGCGTCAAAGACGTTGTAATCGATGTTGGAGAGAAAAAACGAGTCGTCGTCCATGCGCATCCACCACTCGTAGCCCAGGTGCCGGAGCGTGTCCCAGCCCGTCACGGCGTAGAACCGGATCATCCTCATGTAGCCCTCGGACCAGCGCGTTTCTCGCGGCCGGATCCGATCCTGACCCCGGCCGCGGCCCCAGCCCGTGCGCGGTGCGAGCCGGCAGAACCGCACGTTCACTTCGGACGGGGAGTCCACGTCCGAGCGACTCAAATCGCCCTCGTGCCAGATCAGCACGTCCGCCGCGCGGATCGCTCGGTAGTGGGTGACGACGGACGCGAGCGACGCGTTCAACGTGTTGCCGTGGCTCGCGTCGTAGGACGAGTGCTTTCGCTGGCCGAGCCAGACGACGGCGTCGCGGCTCCGGCGTTGACGCGTGCAGGCGCCCTGGACGGCCGGATGCCAGGCGTGGGCGACGCCGAGCAGCACCGCGGCACGAGTGCGCATCCGATGCCCTCTAGTTTTTGCAGCCTAGCCTGTAGCCGCATGCCTCGTCTCTCTTGGTGTGTCCGGCATTGGCCTTTGTTTCAGCAGTTGCTGATGTGCAGAGATCAAGCCACAAGTGCTCCCTATGGGAACTTATGAGAAGGTACTTCTACACGCGAGCCGTGCTGCGGCACTGCGTCCTAGGGTGCCTAGTGTCTTACGGGCCGCTAGCGACACCATCGAACAGGCCAAGGCACGTCGCAAGCTGTTCGGAGCGAAACCTCACACCATTTGTGTCTGGGTTCTCGGGGGGCAGGGTGAAACAACACCCTATCGCCAATCCCAATAGACACGGTGGCGAAGCGTTCGGGGTCCGTACTACCTGGGGGTGGGTTAATAAGCGACTCTCTCTCTCTCACCTTGGCCGCCGCGCCCCGGGACGGTACCTCCCCGGACTGGCTCATTGCCGAACTGACTCATCGCCAGGCATCTACGCCAGGCACACGGATTAAAACTTCAAACTAGAAGTCGACCGCGCCGTCACCGCGGTAGAGACCGCGGGCCGACACCCAAGGATACCACCACAATGTTCAAGTTATGAGTCCGAGTCCGAGCAAGTTCGGCCAGAATCCCGTCTTCGCCTTCCCCGCCGTCCGAGTCGGTGCTGGTGGTCGCGTGGCCTCGCGCACTGCCGCCGCAACGGCCCCGGCGAGGCGCGGCACGGCGTCCGCGGCGACGCCCAGGCAGCGAGCGACGACGCCCTCGGCGATGGCGCGCTCGCGCGCCGCGTCGCAGAAGGTCCACCCGCCGGGGCCCCAATCGAGGTGGGCGAGGTCGACGGGCGCGCGCACGTCGCCGGTGCACCCCTGCGACGCCAAGATTGCGGGGAGGCAGCCGTGCTCGCCCAGCATCTGACGTCCCTTGAGGCCCGCGTCCCGCACGAACTTCCCCAGGTCGAGCGGCCCGCGCGCGAGAGCCGCGGCCCGGAGCCCGGTGGCGTTCGCCACGGTCCGGCGCCGCTGCGTCCGGTCCGGCGCGGCTCCGCACGCCTTGACGAGCACGTTCGTCGTGCTCCGGACGTGGACGTGCGCGAGCGCGGCGTCGCTGTACGCGGCCGCCGGGGCGGGCCCCGGCTCCGGCCCGGACGCGGCCGGGCACGCGAGCGAGGTGCAGCCGGTCGCGCGCGGGGGGGCGGCCGTAAAGAAGGGGAGCCCGTACTCCGCGGCCGAGCCCCGCCGGCGTCCGCGGGTCGCGGCGACGGCGCGGCCGCCGCTCAGGACCACGGGGCACTCCCGCGGGAGGCCGGGGCAGTCGGCTTCACGCAGTCGCAGCACGGGCGCGTGCGGGTTGTTCCAGCGGTCCACGCGGTCCACGCGCGCGAGCGTCTTCACGTGCGCGTTCGCGAAAAACGCGTCGAACGGCGCGCGCGCCGGGCAGGCCGCGCCCAAAGCTTCGGCCGCGGCCCAGCTGAATTGAATCGCGGCGAGGTGCGGGACCCGCGCCGCCTGCATCTCGATGAACCGCGGGAGCGACCGGTCGAACCGCGGGTGCAGCGCGAGGTACTCGTCCGCGTCGGCGACGAGCATCCACGCGTAGCCCGTGGCGCGCACGTCCGCGAGGGTCGCCTGGATGATGGCGCCCGCGTGGACGCCGCGCGAGGCCGCCCGCTGGACGGCGACCGGCGGCAGGGCCGCCACGTCGCCCGCGTCGTCGAGGCCGTCGCGCACGAGCAGCACGCACTCGACGCCGCGCGCCGCGTACCAGTCCACGAATCCGGCGAGGAACGGCTGCTCGTAGAGCACGCGCGCGAGCACGACGACCGAATGCGGGGACGCAGGCGCCGGGCAGCCCCGGGGTTTACCCCGGGGCTCCGGGGGCCACGGCGCGCGCGAGAAGGCAAGGACGTGCGCCCGGAAGTGGGGGAACGACGCCGCCGCGCGCAGCCGCGCGGACGCGCGCTTGTCCCGGGCCCAGCCGCGCGCCGCCATCTGCGCGACGACGCGCGCCTCCGGGAGCGTGTTGACGTGGCCGAGGCCCGGTTGCCCCGGCGCCGCCCACGAGAGCACGACCGCGTCGTGCGCGTGGGTCGCGATGTTGTCGAAGATCACGTCTTCGAACCGGGCCGGCACGTGCTCGCCCACCTCGAGGCACAGCACGGCGTCGAAGACGGGGACCGTCCCGTTGAGCGGCCGGCTGATGTCAAACGGCCGAACGGCCGTCCCGGGGCGCGCGCCGTAGTCGTACGGCGCCGCCGCGAGGCCCTCTACTTTGTTGAGGTACGCACTGTACCAGCCGCGGCCGGCGCCGAAGTCGCCAACCGTCGCCGGCCGCGCCCCGCGGCGGCGCGCCACGAAGTACTCCGCGAGCGCCGGTGCCAGGCCCCGGTCCAGGCCGGCATACCCGGCCTTGGGGCAGAAGCCTGCGTGCGACGGACGCGGTCGCGACACTGCCTCCGTTCACTCACAAGGCGCGTGACTCTCATGCGGCATCGCGCCGACGCCGTCGCGGCGACCGCGTCGGTGCGAGCAACCTCACGCCATTGCAGCGACGGCGCTCTCTCTGACACGCCGCGACGGCCCCGACGTGGTCCGAAACGGCTCAAAATCGAAAGATAGGCCACCCACGACCTCGTCTGATGGAGACGACGCGCGTCGATGGCGTAAGGAGGGTCATTGAAGCTTTCACGCTGAGTCAAGCCGCCCCGGGGCAGCGTCGCGTGGCGCGCGCACCACCGGGCCTCGTCGATGCCGTCGACGACGCGCGCCGGCGCGGTCCCGTTCATTTCGTCGTCGCACCCGAACCGCCGCCCCTCGCGCCGGCCGTGCTCCCGGAAGTGCGCCTTCGCCTGGCGCAGGTGGCACGCGCCGTCGGCGTTGCAGAACTTGCGCTTCAGGTCGGGGTAGCGCTTCGCGTAGCACGTAGCGGCGCCGCGCGCGGCGGGGCCTCGCGCGCCCGCTGCGCGCGCGGCCAGCGCCAGGAGCGAAACTACCGCACGTCTTAGCGGCATCTGAAAGCTGTCCCACGGCTGCCCCGCGACTGATTTTCAAGAGTATTGGCCCTAACGGGTCTGATCCGTTGAGCTATCTGCGTCTGTGTTTCGGTCGCGGGTGTGGCCATTCAGAGCCGGCTTCGTATGAATTCCGGTGCGCTGCCGGGCCCAGCACTCCCGAGCTACGGTACTGCGGTCAGATTCTGGGTACCTATACGGTTACGTTACAGCGATTGTGCTATGATACTGTAGTTACCTTTATCTAGAGCTCCTCTCAGGTTCTAGTAGATATCAGAGGCTAGTGGCCTGTATCTTAGGATACTTCCTTCTCCCTCTTAATCTCCTTTATTCCAACTCTGTCTTCTCAGGGTTGAGGGGGTTCCCACATAGGTACGGTACCGTAGGTACCTACGGTACCGTAGGTACTTGTGGCCCTCATCGTACTGGTCAGTAGTCGGGTTCTGATATAGAGTTTGCTTCATAGCGCCATGACGAACGTCGACTCACGTCTCTATTAGTCACAGTCCCGAGGTTTCTGTCAGTCGTTGAGTGCAGCAATGGGTGAATAGGCACGCGGCCGACGGGGGAACGGCAGAACCGCCCTCCGACCAAGATCGCGCAAGCTTCCCGTTGGCGTCCTCCTGAGGCTGTGAGGGGCAGCAAGTCTCGTTTTCGCAACCGCTAGCTAGTGGGCGAGGGGGGGGGTAAAAACCCGTACCGTACTTGTGCAAGACCAAGACGGGGTAGCACAGCGCAAAAAACAGACGGATGCGGGGCTGCACTGGATGAGGGGCTGCCTCGCCGCCGCAGTCCTGCTGGTTTCGGCCGCAGCGGCCCCGGCCTGCCGCCGGACCGCCGCGGAGATGGTCGCCGCGCTCGATCTGAGGCGGCTGTCGCACTCGCCCTGCGCCTCGGCGGTCATACATGCGGACGAGCGGTACGTGTTGAAGCATGTGCTGACACGGCGGGACTCGCTCCTCGAGCGCGAGACGTGCGTCTTGCAGAAGCTGCAGCGTTTCGATTGGGCGCCGCGATGGTTTTGCACCGGCGACGACTACATCCTGACGGAGTGGCGGGGCAAGGAGATGTGCGAGCGGACCGAGTCCTACGACGCGCAAATGCGGCGCATCCTCGACGAGCTGCACGCCGCGGGCGTCCGCCATAACGACCTCCGCAAGCGGGAGCGGACGGACTTCACCGTGGCAGCCGGCCGCGTGTCGCTCGTCGACTTCGCGTACGCGTCGGTCCGGGGCTCGCTTGAAATGAGTTGCAAGGGGAGCTTCGGCCTACTAAAAGCTGGCGGCAACCTGACGCGGAGCAGCTCGGAGCTCGAATGGGGCATGGCGGCGCCGGAGCGCGGCGCGGCCGCGGACCTGCCGCAAGCACGCTGCGGCGCTTCCAAACAAGTGGCGCGCGTCCGGGGCCTCTGCCGGCCGGCGTGCATCCACGAGCCGTACGCGGGCTTCGAGCACCTCCCGCGCTGCGAGCCCACGCCCTACGTCCCGCCGACGGCCGGCGATTGGCAGTGCTACGCCGTGCGCAACCCGGACGTCGCCGCTGCGCTCGGCCGCAAGGTCGGCGCGCTCGCGCGCCACTTCTACCGGCACGGTTTCGCCGAAGGGCGCAGCCCGTACTGCGAGGCGGACAGGGGGCGGTACACCTGCGCGTTCCCGCGCTGCGACGAGGCGCGCGGCGCGCGGCGCTTCGACGGCGTGAGGGGACGCCCGGGCCGGCATCGACGGCCGCGCGAACCTTGGACGGCCCTCGCGACGACGCCGCGCGGGACGCGCGCCGCGGACGCGGGGAACCCCTACGGACCCACGCTCCGCGCGACCGCCGCCCGGACCGCCGGCGCGCCGCACCGTGACGCGGGCTGGTGCGAGCCCGGGCGAGGCGCGGCCTGCGGCGGCGGCGCGTGCTGGTTCGACGCAGGGTGCCTCGCCGCGCCCAAAGCCGTGTGGCAGCCGCTGTCGACGCCGCCGGAGCTCGCGCCGGGGACGCGGGTCCGGGCGGAACTGGTCGTCGCGAAATGCACGAAAAATGTGGATTGGCTCGCGGAGGAGGTCGAGGCGCTGAAGCAAGAGGGCGTCGACGTCGATCGGGTCACGATCTACGCCAAGTGCGGCGGCGCGAAGGCGGCGCTGGCGACGACGCGCGACGGCGTTGTCGTCGAGACGAGGCTCGCGCCAAACGTGGGCCGGTGCGACGAGACCTACGCGCGGCACATGCGGGACCGGTACGACGACCTGCGGGACCTAGTCCTCTTCGCCAAGGACACGTCGGTCTACCGCGAGCGGCGGCGCGCGGTCGGGATCGCGAGCGCGGCGCGCGTCGCGGCCGCGCGGGGCGTGGGCTGCGCCCTGCCGGCCTTCGAGACGGACTGGCACGCCGCGTCGCACCTCCGGAACTGGACGATCCCGTACTACCGGAAGCGCTGGTCGGGGCAATCGGGGCCGGACTTCGCGTCGCCGGATTACTCCACGTTCGGGGCGTGGCTCGCCGCCGTGTTGGGTGCGGGCGCGGCGACGGCGACGGCCGCCCAAGCCGGGCACCTCGCGGCCGTCGGCGCCGCGCGGGTCCTCCCGGTGTGCTTCGGCGGGACCTTCGCCGCGTCCCGCGCCGCCGTACGGTCCGTGCCGCGGGCGACCTGGGCCTTCGTCGCCAAAACCCTAGACCGCGGCGACAGCGTCCAGGAGGGGCACTTCGCCGAGCGGGCCTGGGCCGCTTTGCTCGGCCCCGACGCGTCGCGGCGGTTCCAGGACTGGCTCGTGTGCCGCGCCGACGCGGTCGTTTTAATCCACCGCCAACGAAAGACATACTGCTCGCTCTCGGGCATGCTCGTCAACCGGCGCGGCGACGTGCGCGCGTGCGCGGCGCCGCGCGCGGACGCCGACGTACCGGCCCGCCAGTGCCGTGGCTATAAGGTCACCGAGAAATAATATATATGTTCATTGTTTTCGCAGTAAAACCCGTCAGAAAACCCCGTACAATGCCGCTTAGAAGTGCCGCAAAGCCGCTTATGCTTATAATATTACTGACCGAGCAGGGAGAAGGCTCTTAGGAGCTTGTTCTTTTTTTAGGTCTTCCTTAATTTATTTATCTAGTGTCGGCGGCAGTTTCGAGGCAAGGTGGGCTCGGGTGGTTTTGAAAAGGTGCTCATCGGAACGCGGGGAGCGAGAGAAACGTTTTTAGACGGGCGGAAAGGGCGAGCGGCGAAGAACAGCGTTCTGACGAGCGGCGCAAAACAGCTTAAATGCTAGTGGCGCAAAACTCACTAGGGCCTGTGTGCCCCGTGCCGTTAACGGTACGGGGCATCTCTCATGAGTGCCTGGTTTGCGATCCGTGTAGAAGTGCCGTATTTGACCTCCCGGGGAGAGAGTGCCGTATAAAACAGCCAGCCCGCCGACGGGATATGTCATGGTCGACACAACCCCATACTACCGGACGGGCCTTCGGGATCGCCATCATTACTCGCTACGTCGCTGCCTAGGCGGACATGAGCAGCGCCGCCATGTCAACGAACTCGGCCAGCGTCACGCGCGTGTCGTCGTCGGCGCCGAGCTCGCCCAGGAGCCGCTCCACGGAGACTGCGTCCACGGGCAGCCGGCACCGCTCGAGCAGGTAGCCGACCCTCACGGCGGGCACGAGCCCCGCCTTCTGCTTGTCCTCGAGGGTGAAGACGTGTCTCAGGACGGCCAGCTCGTCCTCCGAGAAGGCCCGCACCACGTCCTCGGTCGCGTTCGCCCGCAGTTGGCGCAACTCGGCGACGCGCTTGGCGAGTAACGCCTCCGGCTCCAACAGCGACAGCGCGGGCAGCGAGAACTGCTCGTCGGCCGACGGAAGCGTGCCGTTCGCCTCCTCCGGCGTGGCGTCCCGGAACGACCCGCACCTCGGCGCGCCGTCGACCCACTCGCCCTCGTAGATCTTGCCGGTGGACGCGTAGAAGTACCGCCCGGGCCCCTCCTTGACGCCGTCGCACCAGTGGCCCTCGAAGCGGTCGCCGTTCGCGGCCTCGTAGACCCCGAGCCCGCTCCGCTTGTTCCGGGCCCAGCCGCCCTCGTACGTCCCGCCGTCCGCGTAGCGCATGCTGCCGGTGCCGTGCCGCTCGCCGGCGGCGTACTCGCCCTCGTACGCGTCGCCGTTCGCGTACCTCTGGACGCCGAGGCCCGACTTGCGGCCGCGGTCCCAGTCGCCCGCGTAGTTCTTGACGAGCTTCCCGCCGGACCGGGTCCAGAGGCTCCCCTTGCCGTGGCGCTTGCCGTCGCGCCACTCGCCCTCGTAGAGGCGGCCGTCGCTCCACGTCTGCTTGCCGAAGCCCTCCTTCCGGTCGCGCCGCCACTCGCCCACGTAGCTCCCGCCGCTCTCGAAGGGAAAGGCCGGGGGCTCGCCGGGGACGGGCAGGTGGTCGCTGAGGTCCCTGCGCCGCGAGTCGACGACGACGCGGCGCGCGCCGTTCCGCTCCGCCGCCCGCTCGCGCATGGCCAGCGTGCGGTGGGGCCTCCGGGAGGCCTCGCTCATCTTGGAGGACGTGAACATGGGACCTGACGGCGTCTGTCTGGGGGCTTGCCACGTTCGTGCGCCGCTGGAGCGTCGGGGCTGCCCCTGCCGTGCTCCTTGCCTGGGCTCGTGAAATTAGCGCCCCAGGCGCTGGGGCGGGGGATGGTGCTCCTCCCGGGGCCTTCGGGGAGAAGTCGGATCGGTGGGTAGTTACGTCGTCAAACCCGGTACATGTATCACAGTAGCGCTGTGTTATCGTGCGGGCTAGGGTAAGAGCTTGGAGGGGGGGGGGATGGGGGGGGGTTAAGCCTGCAGCCTTTTTTATCATTTACATAGCACTTTGCAAGGCCGCCCCAACAATTTAAAAACGTCACGTAAAAATCGTAGCAGCCGCTGCCAAATTACATTGCCGATGCGCCGCTCCCTCGGCGGCACCAGGGTCGCGCCGCCCCAGGCCACTCTAAAGCGCTCCCCGCCCGCACAAAAGAAGAAGCCCGCGGCGCGGAAGAGAGACATGCCGCTCGCCGAGACCGACGACCAAGGCTGGATCCAGGCGCGTCGCGGGGCATCGACCACGAAGCCCAAGCCGGCGGCGCGCAAGCCGGCCGCAAAGCCGGTTGCGCGCCGCGCGCCGCCGCATCCGCCGTCGTCGTCGTCCGAGAGCGACGCCCCGCCGCCGCGGAAGCCGGCCGCGCGGCGGCGGAGGCCGCCGGAGGACTTCACGAAGGACCTGGCCGGGAGCGATGGCTCCGTCAGCGAGCCCGAGGAGGCGCCGGAGAGCGACGGCGGTCTGGACGACGCGCGGGGGAAGAAGAAAGCCGACGCGTCGACGTACCGGTTCGACGACGACGACGACGACGACGACGCCCTCGACCCGAAACGGCCGCCGCGGCGCCGGATCGCCACGCAGGAGTCCGACACGCAGGACAGCGTGCTCGAGAGCAAGCAGCCGGCGCGGCGGAGCGGCTCCGCGGTCGCGTGCCGCTCCGACGCGAGCGACGACGACCGACCCGGCCCGGAGTCGCAGGACAGCGTGCTTTCGACGACGACGAAGAAAAAACCGCGATCGGCCTCGACGACGGGCAACGACGCGGCCATCGCGCGCGCGCTGGCGAGCCCGGCGGGCGCGACGCCGGACTCCGACGACGACGACTTCTTGTACGCGTCGTCGCCGGGGCCGCGGCGCCCGGCCACGAAGCCGTCCAGGCGGCGGCCGCGGTCCGATACCGAAGAGGAGGAGGCGGCGGAGGTGCTCCCGGAGAAGCGGCCGCGGGGCGCGCCGCGCGAGCGCACGCCGACGCAGCCGTCGCCGAAGCCGCGGGCCCGCCGGAGCTCGCAGGACTCCGACGGGAGCGTGTCGCAGAAGGCCGCGCCACGGCGCAGGCCGCCGCGCAAGAAGCGGCGGAGCGCCGCCCCCAAGGCCACGCAGGACATCGACATCGACGACTTCGTGGACAGCCACACGCCGCGCCAGAGCCAGGACGACCCGAGCGACGGTGAAGACGGAGACAGCGCGGCGTGGCGCGACGCGCCGACGGCCGTAGCTAGCGTGAAGCGGTGGCGCGTGCGGTCGTCCGGCCTCGTGTGGGCGGCGACGGGCGACGACTACTACGGCGACGGGCGGCGCGGCGGCTTCCACAAGCGGCCCGCCTACGCGTTGCCGCGCCGCGAAGTCGCTTCTTTGCGTTTGCCGCCGCCGCTCAAGAACCACGCCTACGTGCGCGTCTTCGACGACGCGGCGTTCCCGCCGTGGGACGCGCCGCGCCTCGTGCCGCGGTCGTCGCTGCTCGGCTTTCGGGGGGACGCGTCGGCGCCGCGCTGGGACCCGCCGCGCGTCAAGGCGATGAAGAGCAAGCTGCGGGCCGCGGAGTTCAGGCACGTGTTCGAGCGCGGCGCGGCGGCGGCGCTGGCGCTGGCGCTTGCGTTTGACGAGGAGAGCGACTCCGACGAGGGGGTTCAGGAAGCGCGGCCGCCGGAGGAGTCGCAGGGCGACGCGCACCAGGACGCCGTGCGCGAGTTTCTATACGAGCGCCGCCCGGCGCGGCTCCCGCGCCTCGAGTACGAGGCACTCGTCGACCTGTGCGTGGACCCGCACATGTACGGCGCGCGGCTCGCGCGGGACGCCTACGAGCCCGCTTCATCTGAAGTGCGGGCGGCGGTGCGCGCCGCGATCGAGGGATGCGCCCTGGACGCGGCCGTGCTGGACCGGGGCCGGCGGGCGCTCGACGCCGTCGAGGACGGTTCCATCCTGGAGTTCATCCGGTAATATGCTTGAATCTTATGCTAGGCCCCCCGAGAGGCTTGTTTGCAGCAGGGTGGCATCATGATTTAGTATTAATAACATAGTGAATTTAAACTGGCGATTTCGTTCTGTGTCTCTAGAGTGTGTAGGTTTTATTGTTACGGTCCTAGGACTAGTGGGCGGAGCCCCTGGGGGGGAGACACCGCGCGACGCCGATTCATCGGCGGCGGGCGCGAGCCGCTTCTTTCATAACAGCGGACTCTAGCGGCAAGTAAGACACTAGGCCGACGCCCCTGCTCATTTAAGCTTTACTTAAAGTTAAGTGAGCCGACGTCGCCACACTATTGGAAATGTTTGGCTCAGGCATGCCAGGAGCGTTGCGGAAACCAGAACCGATCGAAACGGAAGCGACCTGCCTCTGGTCATCTCACTGATCTCCGCACAGGTTCCAGGCGCTGCAGAAGAAGCAAAAGGACACCTCGAAGACGAAGGAGAGCGCCGCGGATCGCCTCGAGGCCTCGCGGCGGCGCGCCGCCGCCGAGGTCGCCGCCGGGCGGGAGAAGCTGCGGGCGCAGCGCGAGGCGCGCGAACGCGTCGCGGCGGCGACGGAGCAGGCGCTGCGGGAAGAGCGCGAGCGGCAGGCGGTCGAGGAGAAGGCCCGGAACGCGGCGCTCGAGGAGTACGCTTCATTAGTGCGGAAGCGCGACCCGCGCGCCGCGAGCGGCTGGTACTACGTCGACGACGCGGGCGCGCGGCAGGGGCCCTTCGCGTCCACGAAAATGCGGGCGTGGTTCGTGGACGGCCACCTCTCGCATGACCTCCGCGTCGCGCCCGTGTTCGAGGAGGGCGGCAAGCTGCCCGGGACGGACATCATGCAGCGCATCGACGAGATCTTCGACGAGCCCCTGCTGACGTCGGCGTTCCGCTCGGTCGCGCGGCCGAGGCCCCCGCCCAACGCGGAGAAGCCGAAGCCGCCGAAGCGGAAGCGCGACGACGCGCCGAAGCCGACGGGCGACTGGCTCAAGGACTCGCTCGCGCGGCAGAAGAAGGGGATCCACCACCTGCGGCACGACCGGAACCAGGGCCCCGCGATGCTGTTCGAGAGCCACGAGGCCTAGTGTGCTGCGGGCCTAAAGTGTTGTGTCCAATTTCACCCGTTATTTGCCTGTGAATCACCCCACTGGTCACCCGAGACTTACCCCGAGAGAGATCCGGGTCAATAACTCGAGAGCCCGTGCAGCTTAGTCGGCCCGCCCGGACCTCCGTTCACGGGTCCCAGCCAAATCTTCCAGGAAGTTGAGGATCAAGTCGGGCACAAGTGTGAGCGCGGATGTGCCGTCGGTGCAAAAGTGGAGGCAGTCACACTGGCTGAGTTTCGCGCAGGCCGAGTGCGCGTACGTGCTCGACCCCTGGTGCGAGTCGGGCCGCAGGTACAAGGGGCTCACGTCGATGACTGGCACGCGCCCCGAAAAGACGTCGAGCGCGAGCGCATCGAGGCGAGGGTAATGGACATACTGATCCTTGTGCCAGTGCGGGTTCGTGGCCAGGACCTCCGGCGACCGGAGCCACGCCGACACGTTTGTGCCGCCTGGCAGCGGCGCCGTGCCGCAGCCGGCTGGATTCAGCGTTTTCCACGCAAAAAGCGTCCGCGGGAAGCGCCGCAGGCCCGCCGACACGTTCCGAAGCGCGGCGACATACGACGCTTCGGACCACTGGACCGCCCAGTGCGGTCCCGTGCTAAGAATTGCGATATCCGGTGCCAGCCTCGAGACATGATCGTCCCAACTGGCGCCCCGCTCGGCCCTCGAGGTGGTCGCGAGGAAATCCGACATGCCGAAGGCGACCCTGTCGAGGCATTGGCGGCCCTGGATGGCGTTCTCAAGCAACGCCGCGGTCTGATGCATCGTCGAGTCGCCGACGAGGAACAAGGTTTTGTTTCCAAGCAGGTCGCAGAAGCGGTCCGGGTCGAAGATCGGCAGATCGCATGCGCTCGGAACCCAGTCGTACTTGCGCGGCGCGGCGCCGGCGGCCGGCGGGCCGCAGCACGACGGCAGGCAGCCCGGCCACCGCGGCGCCGGGTCCGCCGCCGCGACCCAGGAGCCAGTCGCGGCCGCCCGCCCGCGGCATCGCTGCCCCGGCGCGACGGGCGGCGCCAGAGCGGATGCCCCGGGCGGCGGACGCGCGGTCGAGGTCGCGACTGCCTGCCGACCGCACTTGGCTGACTCGCACGCCGCGCAGTCACCGTAGGGCTTGGCACAAACTGCAGCGCAGGCCGGACAAGCGGTCGACCGCTCGGTCCGCTCGGTCTCGAAGTGCCTAGCGGGGTGGGGGGCAGCGACCGGCTCCGGGAGGAACTGCGACCGCCGGTACTGGCTCGTATACGGAAGGACCACGCCCGGGACGCGCTCGAGGCGCCGTCTTTCGGCAATCGCGTCGAACGGTTCGAGAGGCGGGACCCGATGCCGGAGCGCGAGATCGATCGCCCACCAGAGCGGTTCCCAGTGGAACGGTGCGAGCGTGTGGTGCGTGCAGTCGGGGTAGGGATGCGCATCCACGAAAGGTCTCGATAAATGTTCCATCGGAAAGAAGAAGACGTTCTCTGTCCGGCGCCACGTTGCCTCGAACAGGTTGCACAGCTGGCGGTCGCGCCAGCCCGACGGCATGCCCGGCGCCGGCGCGACGCACCGACCAAAATTGTCGGGCGTGCGGCTCGCGTTGTGGCCGTTGTGCCAGTACTGGTCCTCCGTACAAAAGTGCCTGCGTGGGAGAGAGCTCGCGCAAAACGCTTGCTCTGGATTAGAGCGCGTCGGCGTGTGGGGCGCAGCGCCGCCGCGAGGCTCGGCTCGGTCGCGCGCGCGCGCGACGGGGGGACGCCGCTGCGCTCTGCGCCGTCGTGCCGCGGAGGAGACAAACGTGGTGCGAGTTTGCGCATACGGCTTCTAAGAATGCCGCGAGGGCCGCGAGGTCGCGCGCATACGTGCTGACGTTCAAGGGCTTGTTATGCTCGCAGCACTGGTACCAGATCCCAATGTTAGCGACGACTACGGTGGGCTTGGCTGAGCAGCAGTCCGCCGCGGCGTGGATCGGCAAACCGTCGCGCTCCACCTTGCCGCGCTCCTTGGGCACGGTCCACTGTTCAGGCGTGTAGGGCGTCTTGTCGAACGGGACGTGCGCGTGCAGCGGCCGCAGCGCGGCGCCGTCGTAGCCGTCGGGCGCGCCCGCGCACCCGAGCGCCGTGACGGACTCCGCGTTCAACGAATCGCCCACCATCACCAGTTCCAATCCGCCATCGTCCATGCGCCGGAGCGCCGATCGTGCGTGGCGGTCTACGGGATCCTCGGCAAACGCTGCGAGTCGCGTCCGAGCGGTCGCGCCCGCGCCTTCCCGCGACGTCGTCGTGTCGACCTTCGTCGTGCCGTCCTGGCGCTGTATCTGGCCTCGGACTTTGCCTGGCGCGCAACGAGGTGGCCGAAGCTCCACCGGCGTCTTCGCGGACGCCACGACCGCATCGTCAAGCGCGAGAAGCGCTCTCTGGACGTGCCGACGCCAGCCGTTGCCAGCGGCGGCCGCGGCGCGGCAGCCGCGCGGGCCGCCTGTTGTGGGCGGCACGTCGCAGGCGCCCGTCGGGCTCTGAAAGCGCCGCGGCGCCGCGGCGCACAGCGTCGTGCACGCGAAAACGACGCACGCACGCATCATTTTGCTCCGCAGATCCCGAAACCCTGATTACTGTTCACTCACGTTGCTGCTTCCTAGCCCGTTGCAGCAGAGTTGGCCGGTACATGCGTCTTGGGCTGCCTCAACGCGTAGATAAGCTATGGAAGAGGCTAAGACAAATCACGACGCCCTATCCGTCGGGTGGCTGCACGCATAATATTGGCCAGGGAGCTTAGTTGCTGGAGATTTTCGCCCTAGGTAGCAAGAAGAGTATGTCGCAGCGTTATGTAAAGTAGCAGGGTGTTAGCTACCAGCCGATGGCTGGCTAGACCTGACTACGAGAGTGTTTTATAGTGAACTGTTGTTACACCGTAGTGCTTTTGACACTCGATGTATAGACTCAAATATTAGAGAGAGGGAGATACATATAATATAGGGGTAGGAAGGGCTAGTAGGTTTCTCTCTCTACTAGGCATCCCTACCTTAGCATAGCCCCCTACCTAGGTACTACAGCATGCATGTGGCTTTACACAACCGCACCACTGGCAGATGAAGTAGGGGCCTCGCCCAGCGGCGCCAACGTCCACGCGCGCAGCCGCGCGACCCATTGGCTCGAGGCCGACGCCGCGCACGCCTCCACCAGCCGCGTCGTAATCACCCGAGACGCGTGGGGAAACTCGAGATGCGCGGACGCGCCGTGGAGCCGGGGCCACCTGTGCGGAGATCAATAAGCCCCTGACGCGGAACCACAGGGTTGTCTCCACACGGGCGGCCACGCGAGCCACTGCGCCGCCTCGGAAACGGCCGACGCGCCGTGCACCAGCGCGTCGGCCGAAGACAACACCGCGACGTCCGTCAGCACCTCGACGTTCGTCGCGTGCCGGTCCTTATGGACCTCGAAGGCTGCCTTGCCGTCGGACCCGCGCCGGACGCCGGACGCCACGGCCACTCGGCAAGATAACGCGCGCCAGCGAGGATGAGAGGCGATGGCGACGTCGTCCGTCGCGACCTGTGTGAAAATTCATCCTCGACGACGACGCAAGCGCCGAGACGCCGTCAGAGCCGACGTCCGAAGGCGCCGCGCCGCCTGATTTCCGCGCGGGTCGCGACGTAGACCGCGAGGGCGCTTCCCAGCTGGCTACACACCGGCGCCAGTACCGCCACGTAGGCCTCCACGGGCTGCACGCTGCGCCGCCCGTCCGCGTCGGTGCCGCGGGCGTGGACGCCGACCAGGCACTTGCTGGCGCCTGCTTGGACCGCGAGCAAGTCCGTTTCTTTCGACGACGCCAGCGCGTCCAGCACCTCGGCCGCCCGCTTCACGACGTCGGCCCGGAACCGCACGTACTTTTGCAACGCGCGATGCGCCCGGCTCCGCTGCGACGCGAACCACGACGCGTTGTACGTCGTCAGATTACGGGGCAGGGTCCGCTTGGGCCCGTAGTACCACGCCCTCACGTTCCAGGGGGCCTTCTTGTGCATCCAGAGGCGCCACTGACCGGACTTGCGGAAGACGGGCACTTGGCTGGCGTTGACGGTCTTGTTGAAAAACTGGGCGACGGACGACGCGACGCGGGGGCACGTGTCTAGCTCCGCGCAGAGCTCGGGCGCCCGCAGCGTCGCGCAGACGACGTCGCCCCGCTCCGGATCGCGCGGGTCGGCGATCGTGCCGTCGTCGAACGCGCGGCGCAGCGCGACGCCTGCGCGGGCGGCGCGTCGCGCGGGCGGCGCCGTCGCCGCGGCGCGCCGGCGAAGGCCCCCCCGCGGCGCCGCGCGGTACTCTCGAGCGGCTCAAAGTACGTCGCCCAGAGGCCCTGCTTGCCGTCGTGCCGCCCCCGGTCGTACACGAGGGGGTTGTCCGCGAGCCCCAGCGACGCCCACGGCAGCAGGTCGAAGCGCTCGGCGTGCAGCGCGTGGTTCACGACCGCCGTGAAAAACACCGTGGCCGCCGCGGCCCCGAGGTCCGCGCCGGCGACGGCCAGGACGCCGCGCTTCCCCAGAAGCCTGGCGGCGCACACGGGCGGGTCCCGGAGCGTGTCGCGGTTCTGGACCCGCCCGAACCGCTCGCGGCGCTCCCGCAGCGCCGCGGCCCGGTTGCGCCTCCGCTCGGCCTCCGTGGGCGGGCTCGCCGCGCAGCGGGGGTACTCCTCCGCGTCCGCGTCGAAGAAGCGCGCCTGCCGCACGCAGCCGCCGACGCTGACGAAGGGCGGCACCCGCCGGTGCCTGATCAGCAACTGGGCAAAGATCGCCTTGGACATGCTCGCCGAAAAGGACCCGACGAACGCGCGACCTGCGCGGCAATCAAATCTGAGGACGAGTATGCCGGCGCGGACGGCTGGTCTATATTTCCGCGCGGAGCACGACACTCCAACGTCCGCGGCCCGAGCATGTCGCGCAGCGCGTCCTGCGTGGCGGTGGGGCCCAGCTCCCCGCGCGCCATGCGTTTCTCCGGGAAGTGGTCTCGCAGACTCTTCGCGGCGCCGGCCACCGACCGGGACACGTCGTAGGCTTCGCTCCGCGACAGGACTTCGACGTCGTACCCCAGTCGCCGCCACCGGTCGAGGGGGAGGTTCCCGTCGTCCGAGACGACGCGCAGGGACTCGAGGCCGTACGCGTCTTTCAGCTGTCGGGCGGCCTCCACGTATTCGTCGTTCGAGTGGCACCGCCGGTTGGTGTTCACGCACGCGTCGCCCCGGCGGACGTGGACGACGGCGCAGTCCGCCCGGCCGAGGGGCGGCGGCGCCTCCCGGTTTAGCCCCAGGTGGCCGTGGAGCGCGAGGTAGAGCACGGCGCTGAAGTGCAGCGTGGGCCCCCACTTCCGCAGCAGCTTCACGCCGGACGGCTTCGCCAGGACGCCGCAGGCCTCGGGCGGGCACGCCTCCTGCAGCGACGGCGCGTAGCACCCGAACAGCTCGGAGCAGCTTCGCGACTGGTCCTTGGCGAACCACCCGCATTGGTCTTGCACGAGCCGCGTGGTGTTTCCCGCCGCGACGGCCCGGGCGTAGGCCTGCGCGAAGCTGACCACGAGGCTGCCGAGCCCGACGCACGGCGTGCGCACCTCTGTTACAGGCGCGTTGCACGCGACGCAGCGCAGCGCCTTGGCGTAGCGGCCCCAGTTCCGCAGGTCCCGGGCGAACTGCTTCGACCGTCGCACGAGCGGCTGGGCCTCGAGTTCTGTCGGGGACGGCAGCCAGCTCCGGTTCACGCCGTCCAGCCCGACGGGCCGGTCCGCGCGCCAGGTCCGCTCCTGGCCCGCGAAGGAGGGCCGCGCGTGGAAGCGGCGGCTGAAGCGGCCGTGGTGCTGGGCCGCGCCCAGGGCGGCGAGCAGCGGGGCTGCCCGCGGCAGCAGCGCGGTGGTCACCGCCCGCATCGCGAGAGGTGACCGCTCCCAGCAACGGGTTCGTTGGGTTCCGGGGCTTGGAGGCCTTTGTACTGGCAGAGTCTCGACTCTCTCGACTGGTGGCCCATGGGCGGCCCTACTACCAGCTCGTACTAGCGGTCGCCAGGCGTCTTAGAAAGTGATCGGTAGGTCTCTAGGGATATCCGCGGATGCCAACAAACAAACAAAACGGGTTCCCAGGGGCAAGGCCGAGCCCCTGACCCAAGCTAGCGTAACGCGGTCTCTAGCAAGCTACAACGCGGTCTCTAAATTTATTTAGAGTCATAGACATACTAGCGAAGGGCAGGGGGAGCCAAGTGGGGAGCCCTGGCCGACGTGCATAAACCGATCGCGGAGCATATCGGAGCTGCACTCGCAGGCGAGCTGACAACGTAGGGCTACGTAGGGCTGCCAGCCTACCGAGGGGAGCTGGCCTGAGTAAGCTCTATATCAAAACTCTATACTCTATGCTACAGCCTCGTTTGATGGAGAAGACGGTTTTCAGCTAAGGGGACCGCCACTATGAACGACGACCTCGACGAGCCGCAATTCGAACATGAGGAGCCAGCAGCCCAGAAAAAGAAGCGGACAAAAAAAAAACGGCCGCGCGACGACGACGACGACGACGACGACGCCACGCCCGGCGCGCCGCCAATCCTCGAGGAGAGCGCCGCGGCGGCCGCCGAACCGGCGTCGACGGCGCCGGTCACGTTTCAAACGGCGGGCGGGCCCGCGAAGAAGCCGAAGCCGCCGCGCCCGGCGCCGCGCGACGGTGCCGCGTGGGCCGCGTGGCTCCGAAACCTCTTGCCGGACGCGGACGCGGCCGCGCTGCCGGCGCGCTGCGCACCTCCCGAAGGCGATGTCAAGATGGCGGTGGCGGCGCGGGTGCGGCGCGGGTGCGGCCGCAACGTCGACGTGGTGGTCGTTTGTACGTCGGCCAGGCGGGCCGCGGACCTCGCCAGGACGCTCCGCGACCACGCGAAGATCCGACGCGTCTTCAAGCTCTTCGGCAAGCACAAAGATCGGAAGGAGCAGGAGCGCGCCCTCGCGACGCTGAGCCCGCTGCCGAGGGTCGCGGTCGCGACCGGTGCGGAAATCGACCGGTTGGTTACTGAGAATGGTTGCCTTCGCCGTGACCTCCGCCGTCGTCGAGCAGGCGCGGTAGCGGGAGGAAGGGATGGGACGGGGGCGCTTGAAGTTTGATTTCCGCATAGGTCGCGACGCCCGCGCGCCTCGACGCGCTCCGAGACCGCGTGCCCTGGGCGCCCGGCGCCGCGCTGCTCGTCGACGGCGCGCCCGACGCCAAGGGGTACACGCCCTTCACGCTACCCGACGCGAAGGGAGCGCTCGCGGCCACCGTGGCCGGGTTGCTGGGGGCCACGGACGTGGCCTTTGGGGTCGTAGAGTCGTAAACTATGGCTGGCGAGACTTAACACAAGGCCCCCGACCGACCGCCCGACCTAGAGCGCAAAGCCCGGGATAAGATCTGCGCGGACCGAGCGCGTCAGAGACAAAAACGACGATGATTGGTGCGGCCGGCGACGGTCCCAGCCGCCCACCCCCGGAAGAAGGCCCCTCGGACGCCGCGTACGCGCCCAACGCGGGCACCGAGCCCGGCACGGCCGCCGCCGCGAAGAAGCCCATGACGCCGATCATCGCCAGACGCCCGTTCTTGAGCTCCTTGTTCGCCGCCCGCAGGTCGACGCCGCCGTCCGCGAGGCCGCTCGGCGCGATGATGGGCAGGTAGCCGGGCTGGCCGCCCTGCGTGTAGTGCGGCTTGACGCTCTCCGAGTAGAGCTCGATCAGCCCGATCGTCATGACGATCTGCGCGATGCCCGCCGCCGGCACCTGGCCCAGCGCCTCGAAGGGCTTCGACGAAAGCGGCGCGGCGCCCGGCGTCAGCGGGATGTTCCCGAGGCCCGCGCCCTGGACGCAGAAGCCCGTGAAGGCGAGCATCGCCACCCGCCCGTGCTTGATCTCGGCCGCGCGAAACCAGCCCAGCGTCTCCGAGGACGCCTTCAGGCTGAACCCGTAGGGGTCCCAGGCCTTGTCGCCCGTCTCCTTGCCGATGCCCGGCATGCCGTCGAGCGCCGGCGCCGTGGGCCCGAAGTTCGGCGCGAGCGCCGCGGCCGGCGCCACGAGGAGCGCCACGAGAAGCTTCTGCGGCGGGGGGTGGCGCGGTCGCGCGGGCGCGTGGACGCCGCGAGGAATTCGGGCCTCGCGCGACGAGGTTGCGGGGGCCGCTCGGCGAATTTTTTTGGTCGCGCGTCCGGCGCGAAACTCCTCGAGCCCGTGTGCAGCGCCGCAGCCGTTGTTTGGGCCTCCTCGACCCCTCTCACTCCCCCCCATTCCTCGTTCCCAGCGCAGCAGCCGAACGTGCGCTCTCTTCGCTGGGCCATGTGCCAGATTGACCCCTCAGGAGCTCAAAAGTCGTCTGAAACTTACTGACACCGCTGCGCGCAGTCATCTCGTAAATAGGTCTCAGCTTGCGCTCGATCCTCCTCGTAATTAAATACCCGCAACGACAGGAACTGCTTGTCGTACAGTTATGAACCAAGAGTGGTCAGAGAGATGCCTGGCATGGCGAGAGACACACCAAAACAAAAAAGGCGGGGCTGCCCACTTGTCTCATGCAACTCGAGAAACGCGGAGAGAGCCGACGATGCGCCGCTGGGCCGCGCTCGCCCTGCTCCTCGGCGCCACGGGCGCGACGCTAGCGACCATCGCGGTGGTCGTGTTCCAGCTGGCCGACGACGGGGGCGCCTTGGTCGCGGAGGCGGGCCGGCCGTCGGCGCGGCGCTGCCGCCTGACGAAACTCAAACTCCAGACGCGCCTGGGCGCGCGGCACAGCCGGCTCCGGAGCCCCCTGCGGCGCGAGGGCCCGGGCCTCGTGTTGCTCGGCGCCGCGGGCGGCCGCCGCGCCGCGGCGCGCGCCGCGCTCGCGTACGCGCTGGCCCAGACCCAAATTGATGGGGCGGACGCGCGCCTCCCGTGCTGCGCGGACCCCGAGTGGGACTTTCGCAAGAGGCCCGTGCGGCAGGCCCTGCGGGGCGGGCGCTGGCCGCGAGAAGCATGGCTCGCGCCCGGCGCGTACCACCCTTTTTTAACGGCGATGGTGCCCGCGGCCTTCGGTCAGTTCGTTGTGCACGTGCGGGACCCCATGGACTTGCTCGTGGGGGCCTGGGCGCCGCGGCCGCTCCGCGCGCTGCTGCGCGTCGCGGAGAACGCCTCCGCCGCGACGCACGCCGCGACGCAGCGGGCGGTCGCGCCGCTCCGCCTCTCGCGCCAGGCGCGCGCCGTCGTGGGGCTGGCGGCGCCCGCCGACCCGTGCTTCGCCACGTACTTCGAGAGCCGCCTCGACGCGCTCGCGACCGGGCGCTGGCGCCGCCGCGGCGTCTGACTCAAACGCGGCGACGGCGGCGAGCGGTCGCGCGTCCGCGCAGGCTGCCGTTCGTCGCGGAGCGGCCCGACGAGTCGCTCGCGCTCCTCGCCGCGGCCTACGGCTGGGACGCGGACCGGCTGCTGCCGCTCGCGACGGCGCCGCGGCCCGCCACCCTGTCCGCGGCGGACCGAGCAACGCTCCGTCACGTGGAGCCCTACGACGCCGTGCTGCACGGCACGGCGGAGAACGCGCTGAACGCCTGGGTCGCGCGGGCCTCGACGTCGCGGGCGGACGTCGCGGCCTGTGTGGAAGTCAACCAGTGTGTCGGGTGCACCCGATAAACCTTCACTAAGTCATTTCTCGGCGATGACGTGGCCGCGCTGGCGCCGTCGAGCGGCGAGGAACCGACATCGCCACGTCGTCGAGCAGGTGTCGCGTCGATGGCGTGGAGGGTGACGCGGTGATTCAGGACAAACGCCCCGTAAATTTGATTTCCACACAGGTCGCGGCGCTGCGGCGGCGCAAAGACGCGTGGCGGCGCGGCTGCGCCGGCGAGGCGGCGCGGACCGTGCCGGGCCCGCCGCCTGATATTTGTGGGTGGTTCGCGAACGAGGAGACGTGGCGCGCGCCGCGGTGTGTCCCTGACATGTGGGCCGCCTGGTGCGCGGTGTCCCGGCGACTGCCGTTCGTGGACTAACTTGTGTTAAATTGTTACGCGCCGCCGTCGAAGCCATGGTGCCGCCACTGGTCCGCCGCGGCCACTTTCCCCTCGTCCTTGCCCGGCCGGCGCGCGCCGCTCGCGACCGCGAGCCGCAGCGCCGCGGCGGTCATCAGTGCGAGCCCTCCGAAGACCGCCAGCGACGGGCCCCGGCGCAATTTCGCGAGTGACGCGCCGACGAGCAGCCCGCCCGCCACGACAAAGAAGACGTAGAAGCGCTGGTACGCAGCCGCGTCGACCGGCGCCGACAGGCACCGCACGAGGTACAGGGCCTCGTCGTCCTCTAAGTGAGGCCAGAAGGGCCCGCCGCGCGTGACGGGGAAGAGCGATCCCCGCACCAAGCATTGCGCGCACGCCAACAGGCAGGCGGCCGAGACGGACACGACGAGCAGCGCGCCGCCCGCGACCGCAAATTGGGTCCAGGGCCGGTAGCGCGCCTCGAGCCAGATCGGGTCCGGCCGCGCGACCAGCGCGAAGCAGTCTTCGCAGTCGTGCGGCGCGCCTTTCTGGCGGAAACAGGGCACGACGTCGCCGACGCGGCCCGCGACGGGCGACCGCGTATTCGTGGCGCACTCGTCGCACGTCGAAGCCGTGCAGTTCAACACCGACGCGGCGTCGAAGTGTCGCGTCGCTTCGCCGGTCCCGCGGAACGCGTAGCGGAAGACGTCGTAGCAGCCCCGCGACGTCTGCGTCTTTTGCGCGTCGACGGACAGCAGGTCGCACGTCGCGTCGTCGTAACTCGGCCCGCGCCTGCCGTCGCCGTTGCTCGCCGCCCGTCGCGCGCCCGTCGCCAGCAGCGTCGCGCCCACGAAGAAGCCCCCTCCCATGACGAGGAAGAGGAGGCCCCAGCGGTACCCGACACGGGACCAGTCGCAAGCCGTCGCGTCGGCCGCCGCGTCGGGCTGCCCGGGCTCCGTTTTCGTTTCCTCCATCTTCCAGTGCCGAGGGGGGCGGGGCCCACGCCGCTTAAAAGGGCGGCAGACCGCGGCACGACATATCCCCACCATAAGACCTACCTGCTATGATACCTACGGTATGGCTGTTCGACCCAGCAACCTTTGGCAGTTAGGAGCAAGGGAATTATATCCCTAAGCTGGGCTTAGTTCCCAAACAAGTACGTCCTCTTCGACCTGTCGCAGATCAATACAGGGCCCGGGCTTTGCCAGGCACCAAAGATCCGTTCGGCCAACTCGGCCACGATTTCCGTCTCTTTAACCATCACGGCAAACCGGAAGTCGGCATCGTCGTCTTCGTCGTCGTCTGCGTAGATAGAGAACGGCGTCCAATAGCTCGCCTCACGACTGATCGTGATACGTACTAGTAAACAACATTTTACCCCGCGTGCCCCCCGCCGCCCCGGCGGCCCTCCGCCAAAAAGAACACGCCGCCCACGACCGCCGCCGTCCAGCCCGCCGACGTCGCGACGACTCGCAACGACAGCGGCGCCCGCGCGCCGGCGACGGCGCCGGCGACGGCGCCGCCGAACACCTTGTTCCAGGCGTCGTCCGCTCGGCGCGTACGTTCGCAAAAGCACGTCGCGGCAGCGAACGCGCCCAGGAAAGCGGCGAAGCCGGCGCTGTTTTTCAGGGTCAGCCTCGCGAGCGACGGCGGCTTCGCGACGGCCCGTCCATCGTGCATCGCCGGCGACGCGTCGTCGCGGAACGCCGCCGTCCAGCACCAGCCGACCAAGACGCCGCGCAGCGCGCCGTCCGCCGTCCGGCTGGAACAGCTCGGCGCGTAGGGCCCGGCGACGGGCACGTCGGACGAGAAAAGGCTCATCACGACGCTATGACCCCCGCGTGCGCTCGCGGGATGTCGATTAGTCTTCAACGCAGTAATTGGAGAATCTTACGGTACAGCATGCTTCGCGCGGAAAGGATGCCAGAGCCTATAAAGTTTTAGATCAGCACCCACTGTGCTAGTGTGTGTGTTGTCATTCCCCGCCCCGCCCGTAATATTTTGCTCTAAATAGCTAGCTGCGCTATGCTGCGCTAGCTAGTACGGTACGGGTTTTTACCCCCCGCTAGTGTGTTACAGGCCGCTAGCAACTTAGCTCGCGCGTCTTACGCAGGTATTGTAATAGTTGGAGGGAACGACTGGGGCGAATCTAGCTCGAGGGTTTCTCCTATGTCCTTATACGTACTCAGTCTCGTCTGGACGTGCCGCGCGCTGCGCGCCACGGACTGGCCACGCGAGTTTGATAGAGCCGCCTTCGAACGCTACCTCGACGCGCGGCCGGCGGCCCTGATAAAACGGACGGCGGCCGTCGCGGCCGAGGCGCTGCCGCTCCAGGCGCGCGCGGGCCAGCTCTGGGCCGCCGGCGCGCTCCGGCGAGACGACGCCCGCTTCGCGCGCGACGCGGCGGCGGCGCTCGAGCGGCTCGGACCAACTTTTATAAAGATCGGCCAGCTCCTCTCGGTCCGCGAGGACGTGGTCGGCCCCGTCTGGGCCGCGGAGCTCGCCCGGCTGCAGGCGACCGTGTCCGTGGGAAGCCCGGACGCCGTCGACGCGATCTGGGCGGCGGACTTCGTCCATTTAAAGCGCGTGAACGCGACCGCGGCCGCGTGCGCGTCCGTAGCCCAGGTGCACCGCGGCACCTGGCAGGGGAGGGACGGCGAGGTCACGGAGGTGGCGTGCAAGGTCCTGCGGCCGGGCGTGCGGGACGCGGTCGCGGTCGACCTGTGCGTGCTGTTGAGGGCCGGCGAGGCCCTGGAGACCTGGGCGCCCAGGGTGCTGGGCCAGTCGAACGTGGACTGGCGTCTTTTGCTGGGCGGGCTCGCGTCGGCCCTCTGGTCCGAGCTCGACTTCGAGGGCGAAGGAGAGCGGCAGGAGAAATTCCGGCGCAACATGCATGCGGTAGAGCACGTGACGGTCCCGCGCGTGCTCGGCGCGACGAGGGACGTGCTCGTCAGCGAGTGGGTCGACGGGCGCGCGTTGAACGAATTGAGCGATCGATCGTGGCAGCTCAAGAAAAGCGTCGACTGCATCCGCAACGCCTACTGCCAGGCCTTATACGTCGACGGCTACTTCCACGCCGATTGCCACGGCGGGAACTTGTTGTGGACCGCAAAAGATGAGCTGTGTGTCCTGGACTGCGGGCTCATGGTCGAGATTGGCCGGGAGGATTCGCTAGCTTTGCTGTCCTTGTCGCTCGCGCTGGCGGCGCGCGACTGGGCGCGCGTCGTCTCGGCGGCGGCGTCGCTGGGTTTTCTCCCCGAGACGCTTGACGCGGCGACGCGGTCCGAGGCGGAGCGCGTCGCCAAAAGTATCATCGGGCCCTACCTCGATTCTGGGGGAGGCGCGAAGGCCATCAACGCCTACCAGGCCTCCACTTTATTCGGAGATGTAGCGCAAGCGTCGACCGGCCTCCCGACGAGTCTGCCACCGAGCATGGTGCTGCTGGGCCGCGCCGTGCTCCAGTTGGAAGGTCTCGCGCTGCGGGCGGACCCGGACTTTAAAATTGTGGACGACATCCTACCGGTGGCGGCGCGGCTCGCGCAACAGCGTTCTGATACGTCCAGCTTACTGAGGGAGCTGTTATACGGCGTCGCGGGCGACGGGAATAGTATCGACGGCTCGAAGCTGAGGTCCCTCTTGAAGACCGCCCAGCAGACGTCGACGTCCGCGACCTCGTCGCTGGATGCGGTGCTCGAGGACGAAGCGACGCGGGCCCTGGCCTGCGACGAGGCCGTGGACGCGCTGGACTCCCTCGGCCGCGACCTCGTGTGGCGTGCCATTGGGGAGCGGGGCCCCCCGTTTCTCCGCGCCAAGGCCGAGGCCCTGGTCCCGAGGCTGTCCGAGGACGAGTCCGCAGTCGTCTCGCGCCTCCCCGAGGCGCTCGCGGCGCTCGACGACGACGCGGCGACTCCCGAGGACGCTGACGCGGCACCCCTCGCGCGCATCGCGAAGGTGCCGGCCGCGCGCGACGGCGCGGCGGCCGTCTTCCAAGCTGCGATCGTCGACAACGACGCGGCGAGCCAGGAGTCGCTGGCGCAAGTCGCGGACGGGCTCACGGAGCGCCTCCGGGGGCGGCTGACGGACGCGGGGCTGCCGGCATTCCTGGCGCCGCGGCTGCCACTGCCGAGGGGCTGGCGGAAGGACTAGGCCTTTTGTCTGTTGCATGTGATGTTTCTTCTAAATAAAAAATGAACTTTTTCAAACTGGAATTTGCCCGGGCCAGCTCGCTGTATCGTCATACCAGCGGCTGACGGTGTCTTTAGCTTCAAGTTCACTGAGGGAGTTCTCATATGACTTCTCCTCTTTTGCAATTAGAGTCTTTTCCAAATTTATCGTCATCATCATCTTCGGTGTATTCTTGTATACAACTGCTTCACTAACTTACTACCCTGCACGTGCCCCGCCGTTGTAAAAACACAAACGCACCCGCAGCCTGAGCACGATTCGCCCTCTACCAGTCCCCAACGCACCGCGCAGCCGAAAATCGCATCGAAAATGAGCGCGCACAAGCGAAAAGAGCCACTGTTAAGTCGCTGCGCAAGAAGCTGAAAACGCGGCGGGACGACTTCACTAAACGGGTTTAACGGGTTTTGGTTGTTAAAACGTTGAGTGATTAAAGTGCCGATTTATTGACCGGGTTATTAACCCCGGATCCCCTCCGAGGGTGAATTATAGGCTAATGGCGGGTAATGGACAGGTTACTTGCATCCTAGCAGGCTTGCTACCACTAGATCTACCACTGCCAGTGGCACTGGCACAAGTAGAAGGACAAGAGATGTTGGAATCGGGGTTCAAGGTTGGTGTGGTGGTTGGGAGTTCCGCACCACTCCACACCGCCGCCGTGGCGCCCTAGATCACCGCGTGGTGTCTCTACCGGACCTTACGCTTACTATCCGCGAGGAGCGCCGCAACCAGAATCAGATGCGCGGCCGTGAGCAACAGCGACGACTCGACCGAAGATGACTCGTTCAAACCCCAGGGGTTCCAGCACGCCTCGACGGCCACCACCAACGCGACGCACAAAAACCGAGGCACGGCCGTCGTCCACAATAACAGAGGCAGCGTGTTGCCGTACCAGACCACGAACTGGAAGTGCAGCGACCGCGCGCACGCGACGCCGATGAAGTTGCACGCGAACAGGAGCGGCGCTATTCGATCACCCGGGATCGCCCCGTACTTGCGCGGCGCCCGGACGAACGCGATCAACCCGCCCCGGCCCCGGAAGTTCCGCCGTCGTAGAGAGCGGTCGACGTACAGGGCTAGTAACGTGAGGTGGAGCGCGAGCGTACAGGCCTTGAAGTACGACGAGGCGAACGGCCCGTCGCAGTCGCGCAACGGCGTTATCAGTTGAGGCGGCCGCGGTTCACAAGGGATCCACTTAAAGTTTACAGACCATCGATGCTTGAAGCCCCGCCCGAAATCAAAGGCATTCTTCATGTAACTGATGGGGTCGTGCGCCAGGAACGGCAGCCCTACCAAAAGTTGCACGGAGGCGCAGCAGCCGAGGATCGTCGTTACCGCTCCTGTATGTCCTTTTTTGGCCGCGAGTAGCACCTGCGCGGGTCTCGCGTCGCCGCGACGCCGGCGTCTTGCGTCGAAGGCCCCTCGCCGCGCTGAACCCCCACGTAGACCGCCGGCGCGTACAGTAAAGCCGACATCTTGACCGAACACGCCAGCGAGTACACGACACAGGCCGCCGCGTCCCGCGACTGCACGAAGAGCAGCACCGCCGCGTGGCTTAGTAACGCGCAGGGGCCGTCGTTGAACAGCCGCAACGCAAACACCGAGTGCGCCCTCTTCGACAGCGCGAGGAGCGAGAGAAGGACGGGCGGGAACGTTCTTGAAGGGAAGAAGGTCGCTCGGTAGATGCGCGCCACAACGTACACGTCCAGCACGTACATCACGGCGAACAGACGCTGCGCTGCTTCGACGCTGCCCTGACATATGGAGTCAATGACGGCATAGAGCCACACGTGGCCGGCGGGGTAGACCAAAGGTCCCTGCGGCCCGTGTATCTTCGAATAGTCGCGCTCGCCCGCTAACACGGCATTCTTCTGCGCCAGGTAGGTCGCGTAGTCGATCTCCGTGTAGGCGACGGTGCTTATTATTACGTAGAGCAGCGCGGCTTCTCCCAGAACGAGCGCGAGCGTGCAGAGCGGCCACGAGCGGGCCGCGCCGCCGATGCGGGTCGAGATTGCATGCCGGCCCGCGGCGACGGCCATCTGCAACACGACTTCCTGCGTCAGTCGAAAGCTGTCACACCGTCCAAATTTTCACCCGTTCCATGTCGGAGCGTGTTGTGTGTTTTTTTGTGTTATAATCTGTGAGCTCCTTGAACAGTGCCTGCCGCGCCTGCGGCACTCGGTACCACGGTACGTTCATACCTGCGTATGGAGGGGACGTACCACGGTACCTACGGTACCAGCAAGTACCGAGGTACTGCCCTTCCTACCCTAGATATGTATCTCTCACTCTCGAAATTTGAGACTATACATTGGGTGTCTAACGACGCTACACCGCAAACCAGTTTATAATAAAAACACTCCGAGGCGTCTCGTTGTCCGAGTCCCGGGCCGCCGATGGCCGGGCAAAGTTCACCTTTGCTTATAGAACATATCGTTGTACCATCTTTTTTCGCGGCGGTTTTTTTTGGAGGGAGGGGGCAACCCACTAGGGGCGAAAAGCCGGGCTAATGTGCATGAACGCTAGTGAAGCCCACATTATGTCCGTGCGGGTTGGGGAGGGGGGTTTTGCTGAGACCTCTTATTCACTTGGCAGCCTGCAGCTGCGCATTTAGCGGCTGTGGTTCGCAGCGCTCTAAGAAAGCGACGCCCGAGGAAGACAGACGCGCCGGGCAATTCTTTGCGCCATGGCCGCCGCGGCCAAACTCGTCAACCCGAACGCCGAGATCGTGGCCAAGTCCCAGTCGCTTTTAGTCAACGTCTCCGCCGGCCGAGGGCTCGCGTCGGTCCTCAAGTCGAACCTCGGGCCGAGAGGAACGCTGAAGATGCTCGTGGGCGGCGCGGGCCAGATCAAGCTCACGAAGGACGGCGCCGTCCTCCTGAAGGAGATGCAGATCATGCGCCCGACGGCGCCGCAATTTTTCGATCAGGAGCGTGTCGGCGCTCATACGCTCGCCGGTCGATCTCTACGCAGGCACCCGACGGCGACCATGATCGCGCGCACCGCCACCGCGCAGGACGAAATCACGGGCGACGGCACGACGTCCGTGGTGTTGCTGACGGGCGAACTTCTGAAGTGCGCGGAACGATACGTCGGCGAGGGCATGCACCCGCGCGTCATCGCCGAGGGCTACGACCTCGCGCGGGACAAGGCGCTCGAAATCCTCGACGCGTGCGCCGTCGGCGTGGACGCGAAGAATCCGCCGCGGGAGCTCCTCCAGAGCGTCGCGCGGACCGCGCTCCGGACGAAGCTCCAGCCGAAGATCGCGGACCTCATGACCGGGGCCGTCGTGGACGCCGTCCTGACGGTGCGCGACGAAGACGACGAGGGGAGTTTGGCCGTCGACCTGCACATGGTCGAGGTGATGACCATGGAGCACAAGCTCGGGGCCGACTCCCGGTTCGTGCGAGGCCTGGTGCTCGACCACGCGTCGCGGCACCCCGACATGCCCAAGCGCCTCACGAACTGTCGGCGACGCGGCGCGGAAATCGGACCCGACCGGGACGGGGTCGCGTCGATGGCGTCTCCGTGGTCTCGCGTCTTCGTGCGAAACGTCTTCGCGATCGCGAGCGGGCCGCGGCGGTCGCGCGACGGCGCCGCGCCGCGCAGGCCACGTCCTCACGTGCAACGTCTCGCTCGAGTACGAAAAGTCCGAGGTCGCCTCGGGCTTCTACTACTCGAACGCGGAGCAGCGCGAGAGGCTCATCGAGAGCGAGCGCAAGTTCACGGACGACAAGGTGAAGCAGGTCCGCCCCGCGGCGTCCTGTCCGTCGCGGCGGTGGCATCGCCGGCGGAGAGATGACGCGCCGCCGCCGCCGAATCCGGTCGCGCCCCGCAGGTCATCGAGTTCAAGCGCCGCGTGTGCAAGGAGGGCGAGTCGTTCGTCGTCATCAACCAAAAGGGCATCGACCCCCTCTCCCTGGACATGCTCGCCAAGGAGGGCATCTGGGCGTGTCGACGGGCCAAGCGCCGGAACATGGAGCGCATCGCCCTGGCGTGCGGCGGCTCCGCGGTGAACTGCCTCGACGACCTCGAGCCGGACTGCCTCGGCCACACCGGGCTGCTCTACGAGGTCAATCTGGGCGAGGAGAACTACACCTTCATCGACGAGGTCAAGAACCCGAAGTCCTGCACCTTGCTGTTGAAAGGCCCGAACAAGCATACGATCGATCAAATCAAAGACGCGGTGCGGGACGGGTTGCGGGCGGTCGCGGGCGTGCTGGAGGACGGCAAGGTCGTCCCGGGCGGCGGCGCGTTTGAGGTCGCCGCCGCTGCCGAGCTCGTGGACACGTTCACGAAAACGGAAGCGGCCCGAGGCAAGAAGAAGTTTGGCATCCACGCCTACGCGGACGCGCTGCTGGTCGTGCCCAAGGTCCTGGCGGAGAACGCCGGTCTCGACGTTCAGGAAGCGATCGTGAACGTCCAGGACGCTAGGATCAAGACCGGTGGGTGTCTCGGACTCGATTTAGCTACTGGAGAAGCCACGGACACCGCGGCCCTAGGCGTCTGGGACAATTACCGCGTCAAGAAGCAGTACCTCCACCTGTCGACCGTCTTAGCGACGCAGCTATTGCTGGTGGACGAGGTCATGAAGGCCGGGCGCACCATGGGCAAGGGCCCCGCGGCCGCGCCGGACGACGAGTACGCCTAGCTGCACTCCCGTCTAATTTTTCGTCGCTTATATATATACTGCTCCCCACCCGCCGTCGATTTTTCTCCAGTCCCGGGCGGGAGCGCTCGGCGGGTGGCGCCTCGCTCACCTCCAAGCCCCCTTGGACAGGAACGACCCCCTCGCGACGAGCGGACACAAGTCTGACCGGCAGAAAAATCAGCCAAACACCCTAGACGCCTACCCAGTATACTTAGCCGGCTACCGCATGATACTAAATTACATAAATTACATTCCCGAAACTATGTACTACTGGGCAGTCAATTCTAAGATGCAAACCTCACATACCCTCAGGCTGTACTCCCGTCCTAAGCGGTATGGTGCTTTGCAAGACTGCCGAGAGCTTCGAAATCTTCGAAATAGCAATAGTAAGATAACGGTGCCGCATACTACCAAACACATAGACAACAACCTAGTGGACCTCCCGGATCCGCGCGGACACCTGGAGGAACTCGTCGACGTGCCGCGTCTTGAGCAGCTCGGGCAGGTCGCGGAGCAGGGCGCCCAGGTATGCGCCGAGCCCCGCCTCGCGCTCCTCGACGACCGCAGGGTCCAAGGGGAAGAGGACATACGAGGACGGCAGCGCCGGAAAGGTCAGGGACGGGTACGCGCCCCGCAGCGAGGCGTCGAGGGCCGCGAATTCCGAAAAGCGGCGGCCCACGAGCCACGGCCGCGTCGCGTCGACCGAGCGCCCCCAGCGGCACCGCAAAACGTACTCCGTGTAGAGCTCATCGTGTTGGTCGCGCTGCTCGGACGAGCCGTACATCTCGCACGAGAAGACGCCGCCGAACGCGTACGCCGCCGCCGGCGCGTCCGCGTCGCCCTCGAGCCCCCGGCGCAGATCCTCGACGTGCCGCCGCCACGTCTCGCGCTCGATTTCCGTCAGGTTGCGCGGCTCGCGGTCGCCGCCGACGCCGCGGAGGGGGGCCGAAGCCGTGGGCCCGCGGAGGGGGGCGTGGCCAAGCGGCGGCGCGTCGAAGGCCCCGGGCTCCGCGGCGAACGGGTTCTGGCCAAGCGGCGGCGCGTCGAAGGCCCCGGGCTCCGCGGCGAACGGGTTCTGGCCCGCGCTCCGTGAGCGTGGTGGCGGGGCGCCTCCGGTTCCGCTCGCCGTCGCTCGCGGGCGAAGGCCGCGCGCGTCGAAGGTGTCCGGCGCCGGGCCGCGCCGCAGGCCCGCCGCGGGCGCCGGCGGCGCGGTCGCCGGCGCCGGCATTTCGTCGGCCACCGCGCGCAGCAGCGCCGACGACAGCGGGTCGTCGGTCGCGCGCGCCGCGAGCGCGTCCCGCGCGGCGATGCGCTCGGCCTGCGCGTGCGCCACCCGCGCATGCGCGCCCGCGGCCCCGGCGCTGACCTTCGCCGCGGGGGGCCCGGTGGAGCTCTTACGGGGGTCTCGCGTTTCGTCGGAAAATTCCTCGATCGCCGCGACGGCGACCGCGCGGATCGCCTCGGACAGGCCTTCGGCGCCGGCGCCTCTCAGGTAGTGTTCCGCGTCCTGCTGCGCCAGGGCAAGGAGCGCGGCTCTCGGCTTGCTGAGAGGGGGCGGCGGGCGGCGGCGCGCGCCCCCCTCGTATGCAGCCATGCTGGCGTGTTGTGTAGTTCTGGTCCCTGCCCGTACTCCTGCGTTTTTGCCGAGCCTAGCCTAGCCTAGCCTCAGCTTAACCGACGGGTTTTGCGCGCGGTCCAGCCGGGCTAGTGTCTTACATCTCTAGGCCGCTATCTGAGAGCACCACACATTAAATGCAAACTCATGGGACATTCCACACTCTAATAAGCAAAGTGGCCCGGCTGAGTCTCGCGCTATCTCAGACGTCGCGTAACAAAGCCCAACCTCGCAATGACGCGTGCGCGCAGTATCTCCTGGGCTGTCGTTGGGTGCCTAGCCTCCTGGGCCGCTCCAGGGTGCGTCGACACGACGCCACGCGCACCGCCCGTCGCCGCGAACGCCGACCCGCGCAGCGGCATCACGTTACCACGCGAGTGGCCGCCGCGCGACACCGAATTCATAAACCGCGTCGCGAGCGACCCGCCGCAAGCGCCGCGGGCGCCTGATACGCCGCCGTACTGCTCACTTCCGGGCGTCCGCCGGGTCGACGGCGGCAGGCAGCTTTTTGTTGACGACTACCTCGTCGACTGGGCCCGCACGCGCAACGTCACGCGGACCTGGGGCCGCCTGCGTCTCAAGAACCCCGCCGTATTGACGCCGAACCAGGGCATGGACGCGTCGTGCCACCAGGCCCGGTGCAAGGGCATGCGCACGGCGCGGCCGTTTGGGGGCGGATCATTGTACGACCCAGCGCGGCGGCGGCTCCTCCTCTGGTACCGGTGCGGCTGGCGCGGCGGGCCCTACCACGGGGTCCCGGGCGGCCGGACCTGCGTGGCGACGTCCCGGGACGGCCTCCGCTTCGAGCGGCCGAAGCTCGCGACGAGCTTCTCGCCCGCGCCCGACCGGCGAGCGCTGCGGCCGCGCTCGCCGAAAGTCGTGCGCCCCGCGCGCGGGACGAACGTGGTCCTCGCGACGGCGCACGTCGAGGCCTTCGAGGTGGCCTACGACTTTTTGAGGACGCCGCCGCGCTTCGTGGCGTTGCGCATGGAGTACATGACGGGCGGGCGGCGCTACCGCGAGTACACGCCCTACGTGTCCGCGGACGGCCTCGCGTGGACGAACCCGAAGGGCGACGGTTGGCGGAGCCCGGGCGTGCTCGCGGACCGCTCGACGTTCTTCCTGAACCCGCTCCGACGGGATCCAGTCTGGGCGTTCAGCCTGCGCGAGAACCTGTGCCGCGGCGGGCCGTCGCGCCACATGCGGGCGCGGCGCCTCTTCGAGGCGCCCCACGCCGAAGCGCCCCTGCGACGGATCGCGATGCGCGGCGGCCGGCCCCTCTACGGCGCCTACTTCCAGTGCGAGCCGCTGCTCGAGGGCGACGCGGCGGTGCCCTGCTGTGTGTCAACCAGTGAGTTAGGTTATCCTGAGAAATATTGCGTGGACCTTCGTGAGCCTCCACGCCATCGAGCCGACGCGGTCACGGGGACAGCATCGCGTCGATGGCGTGGGGCGCCCGAAATTTGATTTCCACACAGGTGCCCTGGTTCGCCGTCGACCGCGACGACTGCGCCTTCGAGCAGTGCGACGTGTACAACGTGGACGGCGTCGCCTACGAGTCAATCCTCGTCCACGGGCTCGCGCTCCTCCACGGCCCGGCCGTGGGCGGCGAACTGAAGAACAACTCGGCCCACGTGGGCTTTTCGCGCGACGGGTTTCACATCACTCGGCCGGACGATCGACGGCCGTTTCTGGACGTGCCCGAGGGCTGGTGGAACGTGCAGCTCGCCTCGGGCTCGCCCATCGTCGCCGGCCTCGGGTCGCGCGAAGAAAGGCTCTATTTTTACGTGGGGTACGGGTTCGGGAAGGGCGGCGGGAAAAGCGTCTACAAGGACTACGAGGAGCGCACGGCATTGGCCACCTTGAGACGGGACGGGTTCGCGCGCCTCCAAGCGACGAACGGCACCGCGACGACGCGACCGCTCGCGTTCTCTTTCGTATCAGGGCCCCGTTACCTCTGGGTCAACGTCTGTGTGAAAAATCAACCAGTGAGTTAGTTTCCACGTCATCGAGCCGACGCAGGAATGGAGGCAACATCGCGTCGATGGCGTGGAATCGCCACGCCATCGCGGAGACGCAGCTACGGGGACGACGTCGCGTCGATGGCGTGGGGCGTCCGAAATTTGATTTCCACACAGGTCAACGCCGACGTCAAGGGTGGTCTCAAAGTGCGCGTGCTCAGCGACGCCGGAGCGCCGCTCTGCGGGCGCGCCGCAAATATCACGGGCCCGGCGGACGCGACGCGCCGGCGCCTCCTCCTGGTGTCCGATCTGGCGGAGCGCGCTATACGGTTCGAGTTTCGCCTGGAGGACGCGGCTTTATACGCGTTCTGGGTCGCGGGGCCCGATGGCAAGAGCGGTGGGTTCCTCGCCGGTGGCGCGCTCGGCCACGGGAGCCTCGTGGACGAGTGACGCTCCGTCGTTGTCGGGGCCTGGCCTGGTCCGATGGCGTCCGCCACAGATCGCAGTGGGCCATGTGATCGACGCGTCATCTTGCCGACCTCGACTATTATTATTCCACTGGCAACTTGAGTCATGTCGTTTCTTTCTTTTGCTTTTCCCGAGTTAAGCCAGTGTATCATTTATGACTGTAGTAGGGCAATTCGCACCTGGCGCCTAGTACCCACGTCTTTCGCGAAGGGCCTTGCATTCAAACAACGTGTGTTGGAGAATGCTCAGAATGGGCAACTTCACGACGGCGTCTCGCCGCGAATGTGACCCCTCCCCACCAGCCCGGTCTCGGTGAGAAAAGGGCCTTTCCCCGGTTGGGCATCCTAACCGAACAGGGAGAAGGCTCTCTTAGGAGCTTGTTCCTTTTTTAGGTCTTCCTGTCAGTCACGGTGAATTAAATAAATTGCTTGCTTAAATTAATTAATTAATTAATTAATTAAGGAATTAATTAATTTCAAATGCTTAAACGCCACTGACGGGGGCAGTCCGGGGCCTTATAATCGTCAGATCCTAACCGTGACCGTTTCGTATCCCCCTTTGTCAGAAGGTGGGAATAGACGTAAGGAACCTTAGTTTATGAAAATCCCAGGTGCGCATAGGCTACGTATTTAACGCGCTATGGTCTATCAAAATCTGGCTTCCCCCCGGCCCCCCTTGAGTCCGTTATCCGTTGAGTCCGCAGTACCGAAAAACCGTCCGAGTCTCCGCACAAGTGGCTGGGAACTCGAATCACAAATTAGGGGACCGAGCCCGACTTCGCGCCCGTGGCCCGGGGTGTCAGAAACTAAATATCCCCCCCGCCGCATCGGTCGCCACGGAACCGCCAAGCTGCGCGCGGTACGCCCGGATCGCGCTCACGAAGCCGCTGCGTAGGCCGCGTCCACAGGGACAACCCTCCTGCTTCGCGCACATGACTACGGTGTCCGCGAGGGCGCAGAGCACCTGCTCTGTCATGGCCGCCTTCGCAGAGCCGGGGGCGTCCCGCCGCAGGAGCGCCTCGAGGGGGCCCTTCCGGGTCCCGGAGACGGCCACGAGGCGCCGGCGCCCCGCGGGCTGCGCAGGGTAGCAGAGGTCGCACGCTGTGCAGTTCCCCCGCGCGTTGCACCACCTGTGCGGAAATCAATAGGTCGAGCCGCGCAACCCGCGCGTCAGAAACGGCACGGCGCTCCACACGCAGAAGCGCTTGAACGACGTCCCGAGCAGCGCCTGCTGCCCGGCGCCGCACATCCGCGCGTTCAGCGGCCGCGGCGTTGCTTCGGCAGTTCGGCTGCCGCCGAATAAGAGATTTTCGAGACGCGCTCGTAGGATTTCCTTAAGGTGGTCGTGGCGGCCGCCGGCCGTGTACGTCCCCGAGGTTGACGAATACAAATCCGACACGACGAGAGTGGTGCCGTTTCTTAATGGGGGCAGCGCGGCCCTGGCTCGTGCGGTGGCGGCGTAGATTTGCGCGGGGCAGCGCAGCGAGGCGGCCGTGAGCGTCGTCTCCGAGCGCACGTTGACGCACGTGTACGGCCGAGCTTTGTCCGCGGCCTTCCTGGCGACCTTGATTAATGAAGGCGCCGGGCCTGCCTTGAGCCCGTGGCACGTCTTCGTGATGCATCTGCCGTCCGCGATATCATGATTCGATACGAGCCGGCGGTGGAGGCCCACCAAATATACTATGGATTTGCCTCGGCTCCCGTCGAGGACCTCCTTGAGATGCGCGCCTTGGAAGAAGACCGCCAAGGACTCTTTCAGCGCAGGTTTCGCTTCGAGCCGCTGTAAGAACGTAGCCGGGGAAATAGTGGGAACGTTTCGGCAGAGGTCTCCGATGTCGCGCACGGAGCTCAGGCGTTGCTTCGCTATGCTACATTTCCAGAGGTCGGTGCGGTTGAGCTCCCGCAAGCGGTCGGCATGGTTCCCAAGTTCCTTTTGCAGAACCGACCCGCCCGCTTCGATGGAGTCGAAGGGCGGCGCGACGCGGCTGTAGCAGTACGTAGGCTCGACGAAAATGCGATTCAGTTTCTTCGCCCACGCGGCGACCTCCCCCACGACTGCGATGTTCTTGTTCATCTGCTCGAAGGCCGAGAGCATGACCACATATTGTTCTGGTTTCGTTCGCGGCTGGAGGCAGTTCTCCATGATCGGCTCGAGGCCCGCGCACGCGAGGCCGCTCCAGAGGAGCGCGATGACTGCGCGCTGCATCACGGCTCGAATAAATGCTGTTGCTGCCCCACTGTCTCAGATGCAGCCCCCGTAGCGCGTGAGTAATGGTGGCCCACCGGCGATGAGAATATATGGACTGCTCCCCTTGGTGTTGCCGGAGCTGGAGCTGCGATGCGGAGCGGGTTCTCCCAATCACGACTGCGCCTGGCAGGGGCTACTGCGGTACCAATTGCGGTACCGTAGGTACCTACGGTACCTACGGTACCTACGGTAATCGAAACCTGCGGTTTGCTAGCTCCTTTTGACGACATGGACGCACTTCGACACTTCTCGAATCATGTTTATTTCAAGTACATGGGTAATTGTAGACGAAAGGAACCACCAAAAGACTGGGTTAAATCACTTCAAGTTGTCAATCATGAGAAGATTAAACCAGAACAGTCTTATTACCTATTTGGTCTTGCATCATTCGCAACTCTTGCTACGTTATGGGCCCACAAGGTTCCGCGGCCTACTGACGAAGAGTGTTTATAGTGAATGCCTAAAAGCGACAAGCCTCCTACCTCTAAAATCTCGAAAATAGTGTAAAAACCGGCTCATTTTATATCATCATCGCTAGCCTGAGCCCCTCGGGCTTCCCAAGCGGCTTCCTCGCGCGCCGGGCCCGCCCGGACCGCCAACGACGACATGAGCTACAGAATGAGTTACAGACCACACAACACTAGGAGTACGCCGCCGCGTCGACGCCCGCCAGGCCGAGCGCGCCAAGGAGGTCGCCCCCGGCCGGCGTGTTCGCGAGCACGTTTGAGACGTTCATCGCATGGACCGCGCCGGCCGCCGCGTAGGAAAAGCCCACGACCGCGTCCGGGCCGACGCTCCGGTGCAGCGGCCGCGCGAACTTGTGCGGCCGGAACCTAAAGGCGGGGCACTTTTGCCGCAGCGCGCCCGCGGCGACGTCGAGGGACGGATACGTGGCGGCCCCCTTCTTCATCGCCTCGTAGCTGAGCATGCGGTAGATCTCGCCGTCGTACGCCAGGCAGCCCGCGCGCGCGCCCTCCACCAAAATGGAATGCCAGTACGGGTACTGGTCCTTGAAGCCGCACCGGTCGCGCAGCCACGCCTCCAGCAGTCTCTTCGGGAGCGGCGCGTCGCGGGCGTAGAACGCGCAGCCCTTGACGTTCCAGAAGGCGTGCTGCGGGCCGGAGTTCGTGAAGGCCGCGTAGTCCACGCTCGGGTCGGCGTGGAGCGCGGCGACGTCGTCTCCCTCGCCGTCGTAGTACGAGTCGAGGTCGCCGTAGAAGACGCCGCCGACGCGCGGGTGGTCCAGCGCGGCGAGCGCCTGCGCGGACCGCGCCGGGGAGTCGCGCCCGGGTCGCCGGCCGTCGACGGACGCCGCTCGCGCACGGCGGGCATCTTGTTGTAGTGGTTGCTGTTGTAGATCGTCTGGGCGGATTCCCGTTGGAAGTAGATCGACTTCAGGACCCGGCGCTGGAGGTCCCTCGGCAGCATGCCTTGGTCGAGTAACACGTGCCCCTGCGCCGACCTCCGGCACGCGCCGCCGATGGTCGTCGCGAGACCCTCCGGCAGCTCGCCGATCCACACGAAGAACCGCCTCCGGCGTCGCTTCGCGAAGCGCACGTGGTTCGCGAAGTAGGGCCAGAGCCGGAACAGGTAGGCGAGCGACGACGTGACCATGACGTGCGCCGGGGCGCCGTCGAGCGCCTCCTGATTCGCCGCCGACGCGCACAGGCGCGGCGTCGCCGCGAACGCGGCGCTCTCCGGCGCGTGCGGTTCGGAGAGCCACCGCTGGTGCTGGTCGAAGCGGAGGTCGAGCGCGGGGCCCGCGGCGCCGACCGCGTCTTTCGTCAAGCCCAGGCGGTACCGGAACGTACACGAGACGTCGATGGGCCCGGCGAGCCTGTGCCAGTGGTGCTTCTTCGACTGCGGCGGCCGCCGCCAGCGCGCGACCCAGGCGGCCTCCTCGGCGTCGAGGGCGGTCGCGAGCGTGACGAAACTCGGGAAGAGACGCATCGGTGAACCAGGCTGCAGGCTCTGCCTCTTAAGCACCCCCGGCAGGTTCTATGCTCGGCTGGGACGCCGGGCGTCCCCGGGCGACGGTGCCCCTGCAGCAAAAAAAAGTACCCCTATTCGGGCTGCCAAGAAACAGAAACCCTCTAGCCCTTCCTACCCTAGATATAAATAAATAAATAAATAAATTAAGGAAGACCTAAAAAAAGGAACAAGCTCCTAGGAGCCTTCTCCCCGCTCGGTCAGGATGCCCAACCGGAGCCTCGAAATAGAATAAGGTATCTATACATAGTATTCTCAGTCTCGTGAGGTAAGTCGTCACTCATTAGGACGTCGCAAAGACCTTCGGGGCTCAAGCCACGCGCGATAGGGTGCAACTCGTAGAACCGTTCAAGGAACGTGTCACGTTCTTTCGTAAAAGCCGAGCATTCAAGTAGGGCATGTTGAATCGTTTCCGACTCGCGGGATTTGCAACAGGGACATTGCGCGTTGCGGACAAGCTGCGTTCGGGAGCTCGAGCTCCGGAGATCGTGGCAACCCAATCGGAACTTCGTCTTCAACCTCCGCCCTTCCCGAAGAGACGAGGGGCACGTTCTGAGTAAATATTCCGGCAAGCCGAAACGTTCCTTCTCGACCCAATCGCTCATGTTGCGGAGATATGTATCTCCTACTGGAAAGCGGGCCCGTTGGCGGTATCCCCACAAACGGTTGTGTGTGCGGGTATCTAGACAAGACGCATCTTGATGAAGAGCACCACAAACACGCTCCCTCGCGGGTACGTTGATGAAACTTTACGAACACAACGCCCCGCGGCGACATTCGCAGATGAGTCTTGCGGATCGCCGAAGAACACCCGCGATTGACGCCGCCTTTTAACATCCAATTACTACAGTACATTACATCAACTCCAGCCTAGTTTTCATCCACAATTAACGAACCGAACGGCCCGCGCTCGGAGGGCGGGAGAAGAAATCAACCGAGCGCCGCGAGAACATCGGAGAGACTCGGCCGGTCCTCCGGCGCCTCGCTTCGCATGCGCTTTATTAACTCTTCCAGGCGCCGCTTTTGATGAAGGGACGGGAACCGGCCCTCCTTCAACATCAACGGCAGCGCCCAGGCCCGCGTCGCCAGGTCGTACGTGTGCGCCCGCGCATCCACTAGAGCGCACCAGCCCTTGCGGCACCAGCCGCGCGCCTCCCGCGCGCCCTGGTCCCACCCGGGGACGCAGTCGCGGAAGGCGCACAGCTCAATGTCCGACGTCGCCGGGCAGTCGCCATCTACAGTGCAATTTTGATGAACACTCAACCGCATCTCGACGTACTTGAGGCCCCCCCATGACGTTCCCCCCTTGCGCGCGGTCCAGTCCAGCACCGCCGCCACGGGCGCGTTTGGCAACGTCTCCGGCGCGTCGATCGCGTATATGTCATTGCCAGCCAACGTGAACTGCGCGCCGTGGAGGTCCTCCATGAAGTAGCCGGAGGAGGTGAAGGACCGGAAGCACTCGACCAGTGCCGTCGCCGCCCCGACCGGGTCGGCGCGGCAAAACGCGAGCCACGCGGCGGACGGCACAGTCGATACTTCGTCGACGACTATGGGAGAGCCGGCGCGCTGCACGACGTAGTAGACGCGGTCCTCCCTTGCGTCGCGCCAGCCGCCGTACAACCGGGGCACGCCCCGGCGCCCGCGGTTGAGCTCCAAATACATAACCTCGGCGCGCGCCGCGAGTTCGCTCCGGACCTTGTGCGCCGACGTCCTGACACGCGTCTTCACGAGGACGTCCGGGCGGCCCACAACTGTTAAAGCTTTCTTGCGGGCGCCCTCGCCGAGGACGGGGCCGAGGTCGTAGCCGGTACTTGAACTGGTTGTCCAGTGCCGCGGCGGCGGCGCGCCCTGGGACCAGGCGGCCGCCGCCGCGGCGCGCGCGACCGCCGCGGCGTCTCCAGTGACAACGGTGGGCCACGCGGGCGCCAGCTCGGCGTCCAGCGTCGATAGCGCCTCCAGCCTGCGTTGCGCGGAGGGTCGCGTCGACGGCGTCTTGTAGGCTCCCCGGGCGGTCGTCGCTTCGTATACGCGGCAGCACCAGGGGCTTCGGACACCGGAAAAAGAACAAGCTCGGCCGGTCCTCGGGCGCCTCGCTTCGCATGCGCTTTATTAGCTGCTCCAGGCGCTGCTTCGCCTTTTGTGATGAAAACCGGCCCTCCGCCAGAATCAGCGGCAGCGCCCAGGCCCGCGTCGCCAGGTCGTAGACGTGCGCCCGCGCGTCGATGCCGGCGCACCTCCCATTTCGGCACCAGCCTCCAGTTTCGCGCGCGGCCCGCTTGTGGCCCGGGACGCGCTCGCCCCTGCCCTGCTCACGAAGCCGGGGGCAGTCCTTGTCCGCGAGGCAGGTCCGGTCCTTCGTCGCGTTACGGTCCTTCCACGTGCCGCGGAGCACCCAGTCCACCACATTTCGAACCGGCGACGTGGCGAGCGGCGCCGGTGCGTCGACTAGGTAGACGGCGCCGTCTTTTGATAGGGCGAACTTGCGCCCGTCCAGAGAGTGCTCCGCGTCGAAGAAGCCCGCGTCGGCGAACGACCGGACGCCCTCTATGAGTGATACCGCAGTCTCGAGCGGCCGGGCCCGACACGTTTTCAACCACGCCGCGGACGGCTCCGAGTTCTCGACCAGCGGAACACTCAAGCGCTGCACCACGTAGTACACGCTCCGCTTCTCCTGCCAGGCTCCGTGCAGTTTGGGGACGCCCGCCTTCCCTCTCAAAAACTCGAGGTAGAGCACCTCGGCCCAGGTCTGCTGCCGGGCGCCGCCGTGCATGACTCGTGTCTTCAGCACCACATCAGTGCGGTTCGGCACGGCGAACGCCTTCTTGACCGTGCCCTGTCCCAGCAACGCGCCGCCCCGGTAGTTGTTGGGTAGGGTCGCCACCCAGTGCCGCGGCGGCGGGCCGCCGCGGAACCAGGCGGCTACAGAGGTTGTGCGCGCGACGGCGTCGTCCAGGGGGCTCACGCCCGCGCCCGGCGGCGGCGCGCGGCGCGCTTGCTTCGGTTTCTGTTTGGTTTGGCTTAACCATGTGCGGCCCTCGGCGAGGGCGCCCAGCAGCAGCAGTACGGTCCGCATGGCTTGCTTTATCTCGTGCGGGGGCAAGTGGCGACCATAATGCAAGCGCTCTGGGGGCAGCCACGAGCACTTAGCGTTCGCGCGCTAGCATGAGTCGCCCGGGGCAGCCGATCTGACAGACGTTCGTGTCGGGCCGAGCATCAGCTTGCTTGGCATACAGCACAGCGTAGAGCTATGCAATAATTGCGTATATAATATTATATGTATTGCGGAAATAGCTATAGTCGCTATAGTCAATTCGGGTTGCGGGGGTGCGCGCCTAGAGGGTTGTATTTTGCGAGCTTTACACTCGTAAATTCGGGTTTTAAGCGTTTTTCTAAAATCCGCTAAATTTAGCCTCAAAAGTGCTGAGAGCGCCGCCACGCGTGCTTGGCAGACCACTTCAGAGCCTGGAAGACGACATGGCCGGAAATGCAGTTATTTGCGACGCCTCGCACTAAAAAAAATTTCAGGCGCCCGCTCGAACTCACTCACATCTGAGGTCTGCGACCGGTCTCACACTCACACTTACACCTCCAAGCGGGTCTCACACTCACACTTACTCTAATAACATCTACACTTTTATTAACACCCTGGTGGTCCGCGCCGTCGCAGTTTTGAACAGCTTGCGTTTCGCAGCTGAAAGGTTAATTGCCCGTCTCCTGCCATCGGGCAGTTTCACGACACGCCATCGATGCGACGCGCCATCGATGCCATCGATGGGGGCAGCCCCATGAGCAGCCCACGACCATGAGGCTCCTACTATGCTGTGCGGTGGTAGCAGGCGACGCCAAAAGGCGGCGGCTCGTTGGCCGCCGGCGCCGGCGCGAGTGCCTGGCGGCGGCGCCGCAAGTGCCGGCGCGGCGCGTCGTCGCGGCGGACCTGGTCCGCGAGGCGCGCGAGGCGCTGCGGCTGCCGTACCACGACCCGAGCCGCTACTTCTCGGTCGAGCAGGACCCGGCGCGGGGCGGCGCCGTCGACGTCTACGCGCTCGCGGGGAGCTGGCCGCACTCGAACAAGCGCGACACAACGACGCGGCGGCGCTGCGCCGACGCGGGCCTGGGCGCCACGTGCGGCGCCGCCGCCGTGGTGCTCCGCGCGCCGTTCGCGTCCATGAACCTCGCGCTCCTGCGCGACGCGCACGGCGCGCTCGCAGGCGCGCTCGGCGGGAAGCTCGCGGGCCTGCGGACGACGCCCGCGCTGCGGTCGCCGCTCGCGGCGACGCGGCGCTTCGACGCGGCGTTCCGGCCCGCGGGCGACGGCTTCGGCGGGGCCTTCGCGCGCGATAAGTGCGTCGAGCGGCGCGCGGGCTTCGACGCGTGCGAGTTCGACGGCCGCTTCTCCGCCGCCGCGCTGCGCGGGCGAACGCTCGTCTACGCGCGGGCCAACACGCGGGCGGGCGGCGGCGGCCGCGCGGTCCAGGTCGTCGCCGCCGCCGGCGCGCCGCCGCCGCCGGGCGCGGCCTGGGGCCCGTTCCGGCGCGTGCGCTTCCTCGCGGGCGCCGAGGCCTGGCAGCGCGCCGTCGCCGCCGACGTCGGCGCCGACGTCTACACCTTCGCCGCCAAGCCCAACCCCGTCGACCCCGGCGGCTCGCTCGCGGCGCTCTTCCCCGTCGCCGTCGCGCCGCCGCCGGACGCCCTGAACCGGACCGCGCGGTACCTCGCGACGGAGGCCTACGTCGCGCTCGCCTTCTCGTGCGACGGCGTCCGCTTCTCCGCGCCCGTCGCGCTCCTCCGCGCGACGCCCGCCTCGGACCGGGGCGAGGTCAACGACCACCCCGTGGACGGCTTCGCGACCCTCGCCGACGGCCGCCCCGCGTTTTACGTGCACGAGGGCGTGCCCGGCACATTCAAGGAGCTCTGCGCCTACCGCGCCGACAAGAGCGCCGGCGTCGCGTCGCGGCTCGTCCGCTACGCCCTCGACCGCGCCGCGCTCGAGGCGGCGACGCGCGACGCGAAACGGGCGCTCGCGTGCGCCGCCTCGTGAGTAAAGCATGCGGCACAATAGAGCTAGTTTGGAAGTCAATAATATAAAAAGTTTACCTAGTATGTAAACTTCTCAGCTTAGTTTTGAAAGTTTAGACGTGAGGCGTAAAAGCCGTAGGGACGGCTCGAGTATGGACAGCTCAACTGCGCCGCCCCCCGCGCCGCCGGCCGACCCGCGCAAGGTCGAGGCCGTCGCGATCCCCGTCGACGGCCTGATCGAGGCCCCGCAGCTCCCGCCCAAGGCGCGGGCCGGGGCGGCCTGCAAGCTGGGCATCGACGAGGCGGGCCGCGGCCCCGTGCTCGGCGCCATGACCTTCGGCTGCTGCTACTGGGCCGTCGAGGAGGACGCGGACGTCGAGCGGGACCAGGAGGAGATCAACGACTCCAAGCAGCTCACGGAGGACCAGCGCGCGAAGCTGTTCGAGCGGGTCCTGGACGACGACCGGTTGGGCTGGGCCGTCGAGGTCGTGAGCGCCGCGCGCTTATCGCGCGAAATGCTGAGGAAGAAGGCGCCCGTCTCGCTCAACGCGATCTCCTTCGACGCCACCTGCCGCCTCATCCAGCGCGCGCTCGATCGAAACGTGGACGTCGTGGAGGCCTACGTGGACACGGTGGGCGACCCGGACGTGTATCGGGACCGCTTGACGCGCCACTTCGAGGGACGCATCAGCTTTACCGTGGCCAAGAAGGCCGACGCGCTCTACAAGTGCACCGGCGCGGCCTCGATCTGCGCCAAGGTGATCCGGGACGAGTCGTTGAGGCGGTGGGTGTTCGAGGAGCGCGGCCTGGACGACCGGGACTTCGGCTCGGGGTACCCCTCGGACCCGGCGTGCGTCGCGTGGCTCAGGCGCAACGCGCACGCCGTCTTCGGGTTTCCGGCGCTGGCCCGCTTCTCGTGGCAGCCGGCGAAGCAGCGCCTCAAGGACGTCGACGCCGTCGACGACGACACGCGCGCGCACTTCGCGTTCGTCGCCGAGGTCGAGTTCGACGAGGTCGGCGGGCCGGCGCGGCCACGATGCACTTCAGCGTGGCGCGGCGCCGGCGCCGGCGCGATGGTGTCGGTCCGCACAGGAGCAAGAGGACAGCGCCGTGGCGAACACGATGAAGATCACGGAGTGGGCCACGGCCTCGAAGAAGAAGGCACGCGGGCCCGCGCCGAAGAAGCGGAGGCGCGCCCACTTCTACCGGCGGCTCGAAACGCTGTCGTCGCTCGCCGAGTTGTGAGGGTAACACTCGCACCGCTAACTCGCACCGTAGTGAGTGAGCCTGAGCCTCGCGCGACTTCTCGCGCGGGACGCCGCGGACGAAATGCGGACGACGGGCGTCGTCGTCCCGGTGACCGCCGTGTCTGAGCGACGACGCAGTCCGCAAGTTCCCCCGGTCGAGCCTGAGGGGTTGAGTCGCGACTAAGATAATTTTTATCTGTTCCCAGCATTCGCCTCCATATACAGCCCCTGTATGCGATTTTGACTCCAGCATTATTTCTGGTATCAACCCCGATAAGACAGAGTTGGAATAAAGGAGATTAAGAGGGAGAAGGAAGTATCCTAGGATACAGGCCACTAGACTCTGATACCTACTAGAACCTGAGATGAGCTCTAGATAAAGGTAACTGCAGGATCATAGCACAATCGCTGTAACGTTGCAATCATTAGCAGGTACCGTAGGTACCTACCTACGGTACGGTACCGTACCTGTATCGTTGTAAGCTGCCCCGGAGCGATGGCCTCGTCCCCTCGCGTGCGCCCGCCCTGAGCGCTGCCCTCGCGGATGCGGCGCCTGGCGGCAGCCCTCGGCCTTGCCCTCGCGGGTGGCGACGACGCCTTCCACGCGCGCCTCGACTTCCTCCGGAGCGAGGGCGGCCTCTTCCGGGACGTGGCCTTGATCGAGGCCGAGGCGGCCAAGTTCCACGACCGGCTGCAGGCGCGCTACGGCAAGCGGTTGCGGCTGCCGGCGACGCCCGAGCAGCTCGTGGCGAGCTGGCCGCGACTTTTCGGGGAGCGCTTCGAGGAGCGGCGCGAGCACCGACCGCTCGTGGTGATCGTGGACACGCCGCGGCCGCAGCCGCAACTGAGGAGGGTCCGGCACGTCCTCGCGGCCCGCGCGCTGGATCTCTCCGCCGGCGCGATGGGCTTCCCGGACGACGACGCGACGGTCAACGCGGGCGCCCGGCACGCCGAGGGCGCCCACCGCCCCCTGCTCGCGGCGCTCTTCGCGAACGAGACGTGGGGCGGCCGCTTCGACTGGCTGGCGTTCGGCGCGGTCGACGCCGCGGCCGCGGCGCGGTTCCTCGCCGCGCGGGACGCGGCACTGACGTGGTTCCTCGGCGCGCCGGGCCCCGGCGCGGTCTGCCGCCGCGACCGGTCCGCGGACCCGTTCGCGTGCTGCGCCTCCGACGCGGCCCCGTGCGCCGTCGACGTCCCCCCGCGCAAGCCCTACTTCTCCTTCGAGGTGAACGGCTCGCGACTGCGGCCGGCGCCCTGCCGGCGGTACCGGAACGACGGCCGGTACGCGTCGTTCTCGTTCAAGCCGTGCTGCCCCGTGAGCGCCGCGGCGTCGGAAACGCCGCCTCGCGAACGCGTATCGGCGCGCGGGAGGGCTCGGTCGCGCGCAGGTCCGGCAGCGGCGGCGCGTCGACTCGGACGCGACGGGCTTTCCCTACCGCTACCAGCCGCGGCGGGGCCGCGTGCACTTCCACGCGCTCGCCTTCGACGTGGACGTCCCGTACTTCGTCAGCCGGGGCCTTTTGGACCGGGCGGCGTACCGCTGGCGCGCCTGCGCGGACAAGCTCGCCTGCGGCGCCGCCGGGAAGCGGTTCGCCACGTGCGCGTTCAACCTGGGCGCGCACCTCTCGCAGCTATCGGACCCGCGTAAACTAATGTCTCTGTCTTAGGCGGCGGCCTCGTCGATGGACCCCGACGAGCGGCGGCTCCGGCGGCTCTTGGATCTTTCGAGCGAGCCCTTCAGCGACCGCCGCCGCGACGACCGGCCCGGCGCGTCGCCCGCCGAGCCGCGGCCCTCCGCGCGGTCCTTCTCCTCCTGCGCCGCGCGCACGCGGGCCTTGTCGATGATCTCGCGGATGTTCTTGAGGTCGCCGGCCTGCGCGTGCATGACGGCCGTCTTGCCCTCGTGGTCCTTGCAGTCCAGGTCGACCTTGGCCGTGTTGCAGAGGTACTCCACGCACTTGCCGTGGTCCTTCATCGCCGCCAGAATCAGCGGCGACGCGACGCCGGGCCGCGTGGCCTCCGGGCTGCAGTCGCCGGCGACGAGGCGCCGCAGGTAGCCGTCCCTCCCAAAGGCCGCCGCGAAGCTGCACGCGTTCCTGCCGTCGGGCGTCTCGACGCCGACGTCGGTCCCCGCAAACAACAGATCCACGAGCTTCGAGTTTTTGACCACCGCCAGGCTCTTCGGCGCCATCATGAGGGGCGTCATCCCGTCGGCGTCGTCCGCCAGCGACGGCGAGGCGCCTGCTTTCAGTAGTTCGAACGCGACGCCGGGGTGGCCGTTCTCCAGCGCCACCAGCAGGCAGGTCCGGCCGTTCGCCTTCTTCAGCTCCGCGGCGACGTCCGGGTCGAGGTCGTCGTCCTCCGGCGCCGCGGGCGCGCCCGTGGGCCCGAAGTTCCCGTCGCAGTCTCTCGCCCGGCTGTCGGGGTCCGCGCCCTTGGCCAGGGCCCGCTTGCACTGCTCCACGTCGCCGGACTCGCAGCTCAGCATGAGTTCGGTCTTCGCCAGCGCGTCGGCGGCGCGCTGCGCTTGCGAGGAGGCGTCGCCGAGGATCTGCAGGACGGCCTTGGTCTCGCCGCAGTGCCCCACGAGGCAGCGCGCCGTCGAGGCGGCCAGCGCCCCGACGCCGTCGACGGGCACGGCGTCGCGGTGCAGCGCGGCGAGCGCCGCGCCGACGGCGACGCGCACGACCTTGGCCGCCTTGCGCTGTTCCTCGAACATGGACTTCAGCGCCCCGACGGCGTCCAGCGGCGCGTCGGGCGCCTTCCGTCGCGCCTTCGCGCACATCATCAGTTCGTTGAATTCGCCGAGCTCGACCTCGCCGCTCCCGTCCGCGTCCAGGAACGAGACCAGGCCCCGGATCTCCTTGTCCGTCGCGTCCAGGCCGACCTTCTCGAAGAGCGTCTTGACCTCGCCCTCGTCGATGGCGCCCGAGCCGTCCGCGTCGATCGCGTCGAAGGACGCCTTCACGTCGCTCAGTTCCTGGGCCGTGAGCTCCGCGGACGGCGCGCCGAAGTCGCCCAGCGCGAGCTCGTCCGAGGCCCGCAGCGTGGCGAACATCTCCACGAATTCATCGAACTCGATGAGGCCGCTCTGGTCCTCGTCGAAGGCCTTGGTCGCCAGCTCGAAGAGCGGCCGATCGTACTTGACGCCTAGCTTGTGCAGACACCCGCCTAGTTTCTTGACGTCCATGGAGCCCTGCGCGGACGGCGACAGATGAGCGCGTCCCGTGTGGAGCCCCGCGCGTCGCGCGCGTCGAAGCCGCTTCGAGGACGCGGAGGCCGCGCGGTGCCCCCGTCGAACATCTCGAAGACGGCCTTCAAGCCTGGCTTGCTCCGCTCCGTGACGGGCGGCGGCGCCCAAGCCGGCCTCTTCTCCTCGTCGTCCGACGGCTTCCAGCCGTATGGCTTGCTCGGGTCCATCTCCAGCGCCCGGTTGTCGAGGCCGGCGTGCAGGAGCTGCGTGCTCAATTCGCCCAGCGTGAACTTGCCCTCCTCGAGCCATTTGAAGTACTTGGCGTAGTCGCGGTGCTCGCGCAGCGGCACCGGCTTGGGGGTGTTCCTTTCCTGCTCCAGACCTTTGGCCCGTACGTCCAGGAGCTCGGCGAGGGACGGCATGGTGGGCTGCGCTCCGCGATCTCTGCGGCACCCGATTTCCAGCGGCCTTTGACAAGGGTTGTGTATCCCGAGGTAGAGGTCGTTCTTCTGGTGCCGGGGCAGCCTCGGCCCGCGCGGCTGCTGTTTTTTCGCTGCCCGCTGTTTTGGGGCTTGTGCGTGCAGTTCTCGGCAGCTGCCCGGTCGCTCCCTGGCTCGCTTTTACGGCGCTGTTTACGCTGTAAAGTCGATACTACGATAGTTACCGGCTCGCTCTTACGTGAGTTACTCCTATTGGCATATCGTGCCACTTCTCTTTCTTTCGTGTCACTGCGATAACCGAGGGACCTAGCTACTAGAGCTGCAACTGGAGCGACCAGACAACTGCAACCGACTCCGAGCCCGCCCGCATCGCACCCGTTTCCACTCGATATCATCGTAGGGCCGCACTACCAAACAGGGCGAAATTACGCGGGCTGCCCAATCATCGTAGACGAGTTCCGGGCCGACATCATGGTTTTCTACGAGAAGGTAAAAAACTATACGCTCGCGGAGCCCGGAGGTCTGCGAGTGGCTACTGATGAGGCCGACTCGGACAATTAATTCTCCCCCGAGGATTACGGGGACGAGGACAAGGAGAACAACGAGGCCGACGTGGAGTTCGAGTTCGAAATGAAGTCCGATTCCGATTCCGAGATCTCGGCTGCGGCCGGGCTGCCACCGGTCGGATACCACCGTTAACAGCGCCCTTTTTATTTCGCTGAAGGTATCACCCCTCTTCCACGTCGTTCGGGCAGCCTCGGATCCGGATCCTACGCTGTCGACGTAGAAACCCGCGAGCTCTGGAGGCTCGGGGCTCAATCGCCAGTGATTTATCTTTAGCCTTATTTTACTCCGCAGCCCAATGTGCTCGACAGGTAAGCCCAAACAGCCGCGGCGTCTCCTCGTCGCGCGTTCGTCCACTTTAGAAGCTCACGACGCGCGACACGCTAAAAGTTTGGCGGGGCGATGCAGCCGGCGCCAGGAAGAAGCGCACTGCAGAGTAAAGTTCGGACCCGATACGATCGGACGTTTCTTTAAACGGGTTTTCGCCATGAGGCACGGGTGCTAGCACCCGCCTGCGAGACTAGTGTCCCTGACACTAGGGACCCTTATCCCGGCACGGGTTTTGCAGGCGGGGGTGCAGCTGCAGACCCTTCAACTTTCTTAAGTACTTATATGCCCATGCGCGCGAGCTAACTCGTCGTCGCGCGGCGCCGGATTCGACCGCACGCGCCACTCTCCGGAGTGTGAGCTAGTTAACTTAAAGAATAAGCGAGGAGCGAACGCGCATGCTGGCGTGTCGCGAAGATCGCGGGCCGCCCGCCGCCCGCGTCAAAAAACATGCGTCACGTCGCGGCTTCTAAGGTCTCGCGCGCGCGCTCCGAGCGGGCGGCGGGCGCTTCCGCGCGGGTCGCTCGCCGCCGGACGTCCGACGTTTTGTGCCGCGCAGGCCGCCGGGGCCGAGCACCCTCCTCGAGGTCGCGGACGTCAAGTTCTTCTTCGCCATGGCCGCGCAGGACTCGCAGTCGACGATCGTGTCGGACTTCGGGACCGCGGCGTCGAGCCCCGCGCCCCGGCGGCCCTCGGGCCCGCGGCGGCGCGCGCGGCGGCGAAAAAAGGCGACGACGCCGGCGACGACGAGCGCGTCTTTCGCACGGGCGCGTACGTCAGATGCGGGCTCCTCGCGTTGGTCCTAGCGGTCTTCGGAACAGGAGCGCGGCTCCGCGGGGTCGCCGGCGTCCCCCCGGCCCGGTCCGGGTCGCCTTCGCCGGCGCGTACGCGCTCCATCGAGCTCCGGACGCGCGGGACGAGCCCGTCACGGGGCCACGGGTACGCGTGCTGAGCCTGGCCTGCTCGCTTCCTCGCGTTTCCTCGGGGCGAGACGACGAACGTGCATTTTACGGAAATTCCCGGCGGGGCGCTTGTTGTGATAAGGCTAGTCCGGGCCCATACTCCTGGCATGATAGCATCCCTCATATAATTTACTATAACTGGGCACCGCGGGGGAAGGACTGCTGATAACTCCCCATGCCATGGCCGCATGCTTCCCTATCCCCTCCAGCGGCGAGGCCTGGGAGCCGGCCCCGCTACGAAAACGCGCCAGGCATCGCGCGCAGGAGACGCCATATAAAAGCGCGGCACACCGGGAATCATACGAAGTCGGGTCTGAACAGCACCCAGGGGGACGCAGACTCGGCGGGGCAAACGCAGTCGACGTAGAAACCCGCGAGCTCAGGAGGCCCGGGGCGTTTTATTATAAGACATCTAACTCGTAAGACACTAGCAAGCGTGTGCCCTCGGCCGCCCGCCGCCCGGCGTCTACGGCGTGCGTCGGAGCAATCACGCGTCTGCGGCTGTACGCGGGGCAGCCCCCCGGGCCAAAATCAGGTAAAAAGGCGTGCCTCAGCCCAGCGGAATACGATTACTGTGCCCCTGCTGCGCGCTGCGTCCAGCGAGCTTTCCTGCGCCTCGTCCCAAGCCATGCACGTCTCCCGCGTGACGCCGTGGCGCGTCGTCGTCGCGGCGGCCTACGCGGCCGGCCAGATGCCCCTGTCGCGCGACGAGATCGCGGCCGCGTGGGCGGCCGCGCGGCGCGAGCCCAAGCGAAAGGCGCCCGCCAACGCGTTCGCCGAGACGCGCCACGAGTGGTACCACAGTCGGAATCACGACCGGAACCCGAAGCGGCCGTGCGTGACCGACGCGTGCCTCGACGCGGCCCTGGCGAAGATCAGGAAGTGCTGGGCGCCCTTCTCGCACCGACCGGTGAACCGGCGGCCGGCCCTGGCGCGGCGCGTCGTCGCGGCGGGCGCGGTCGAGGTCCCCGCGGCCCTGTCGGCCGACGACGTCGCCGCGCTGACGGCGCTCGCGGACTGCGTGGCGCGCTGGGGCCCCGACCGCAAGCCGGCGGAGCGGCCATTCCACGACCACTCCGGCGCCTCGCTCGTCTGGGCCCTGGGGTGGTACTTGCAGCGCGTCGCGCCGGAGCTGACGGAGCGGCTCTACGCGATCGCGGCGTTCGCGGCGGCGGGCCACTTCGCCGTCGACCCCGGGTCGCCGCCGGCGCTCGGTCTTCCGCGGGCGCCCCGCCCCGACCGCGGGGTCGACGTCCGCGCAGGTCGCTGCGCATCCGCTCGGCGGAGCGCATCGTCTACTCGCAGCGCGGGCGGATGGACCTGCATCGCGACGCGCATTCGACCTACACGCTGATTCTGCTGCTGTCGCGGCCGGGGGAGGACTTCGAGGGGGGGCACTTCCTCCTGGAGGGGCACGTCGAGCTGGAGCTGCCGCTGTTCGGGGGCGTGCTGGTCGACAGCGCGAAGCCGCACGGCGTGTCCCACGTGTCGCGCGGCCGGCGCGACGTGGTGGTCGTCGAGTTCTGGGGCCACCACGAACCGAACGCGTCGGACTGGCGGCCCCAGCCGGAGTTCGTCGGCGCGAGCGACGCGAAGGACGAGCTCTGAGTAATGCCCCTGTTGTTCGGTGGGAGGGTGGTCTTCACCATGTGTAGGAGATTCCTCAACTCAACCGTTTCTAAATATCGTCTAGAAATATTGTTGTCGTTCAAGTTTTGGTCGAGAGAGTAGGGGGTGTCGGTTTCGTCACTCCCCAATCTTTGGCAGGTCGTCGACCGGCCAATGAGTCGCATCAAAACAGAGCACCCCCGGACCTGGGATACTGAAGATCCATCGCGCTCCCCCTTGTTTCCCATTCCCCCGAAATTACCCAAAAAAATGCGTAAAATACTTTATTGCCGCGGGATTTCGTCACTCCCACCTCCACGTCCTCCTCCCTCTTCAGCGGATCAACACCATCATTCGCCTCCCCCTTGTCTGTTTCCCCCCGTGATAAGCACGGTATATATATCTGACTTGCGAACGTCGGGCGCGTATTCTCACACCGGTGAAGACCACTCGGGTTTCGCGGCATTTTTTACTTAATACGATATTTCCGAGTGGTGCGGGCATCGCTACGCAGAGCTCCGTCGGCGCGGCCTGCGGTACCGTACCAGTAGGTACCTTGTACCGTAGGTACCTATCCGCTGATACCGTAGGTACCAGCTGGTACCTGAGCACGACAAGCATCCATGTTTTGCTTAAGCTACGCATGGCCGCCTTCCCAAGACTCACGGACGTGACGCTGGACAACGTCCGACCGGAGCCGGACGACGGCGACGACGCATTGCTCGACGACCCCCTCGCGCTGGAGCTGCAGCGCGGCGCGCGCCAGGCCGACGCCGTCGCCGCGTTCAGCCAAGAGAGGCCGGCGCACGTCTCGGAGGAAACGCATAAGTTGGTCTGCGCGACGATGGCCGGCGGCGCGGCGCTCGGGGAGCGACGGCGCCTGCGCGACGCCGAGGTCGAGAAACTCCGACAGCGCCGCATCGAGGCACTGAAGCACGACGCACCCTTGGTCCCGACGGCGGGCGACGCGCGGGCCATGCTCGAGGCCGTCGCGGAGGCGGACGTCGCGACGCCTGTGCTGGTGCACGTCTTCTCCCGGACCGACGCGTCTCGGCGCGTCGACCGCGCGCTCGCGCTGCTCGCGGCGCGCCAGGCGCGGCGTCCGGGCGACTGCCGGTTCGTGGGCGCGTGCGCGCCGGCGATCGTGCGCCTCGACGGGGACACGATCAAAAGCTTCCCAGCCTTCGGCCTCGAGATCGACGAGGCGCGCCTCCCGGCGCTCCTGGTGTACCGGGCGCGCGCGCTCGTCCGCGCGGAGTTCGCCGCGGACGTCGCCGACGCGGACGCCGTCGAGGACCTGCTGGACGGGTGCCTGTGAATCCCTGCCCTGTGTGCGCGTGACGTGTGGTCGTCTCCGGCGACTACTGCTTCGTTGCCGCTGACTTCTAAGCATTTGTGGTATCCAGGGGCATGCAGCCAAGCATGCTAGGACGTGACCGCATTCATTTTTTTGGTTTCCTGAGAACACTGGCAGACCCCGTCACGGTGGTACTGAAAACGGACAGAGGTGGTGCTCATATGTACGCGTTCTTAACTTGAAGAGTCTAGGAACATAAGGACTAGTGCAGGAAATATAAGGGGTGCCGGCCCAGGGCCCCTGCAACGTTGTGAGTGAGTTTGGCGCTAGTGCCTCCCCGGCGTGTAATATTAGCACTATGAACTTGAATGAATGGGGTGTGAACCTTCATTACGTCAAGGTGGGACTATAGAGGAGAGGAAGAGGGGACTAGTAGCGTAGTACTAGGGGTCCTCGCAACTAGTAGGATGGAATATATATGTGTGTGCCTCAGGCTGCCCGAATTATTTAAATATTTGAATATAAGTCGATAATCCACGGGTATAATAGTAAGAAAAATGGTACTCCTCCTAAATTACCGCGCGCGCGGGGCATGCATCGCAAATCCCGGACCGACCCCCCCTCGCATGGTCTCCGCCTATAGGGTTCCTTGGGGGGTACCGTAGGTACCTACGGTACCGGTACCTACGGCGGTCTACCCGGCATTTGTGCTGAAAGGGCCTCAGGCTGCTCGTCTCGTCATTCACGGCCAGTGAGCTTTGCCAATCGAAACGGCGAAGTTTCGAAAGTCCTGCGCGACGACGAGAGAGCAGCGTTCGCGCGTCAGCCAGTGGCACGCATGGCCGAGACGAAGGAAGCGACGCGACCGGAGGAGATCCACCTCGACGTGCGCTCCGCCGAGGCCGCCGCCGCCGGCCGCACCGTCACCGTCGCGTTCAAGAAGCGCCGGCTGGGCCTCGACCTGGCGTTCGACCCCAAGCGGGGCGGCGCCGTGCTCGCCGACGCCGTGCCCGCGAAGGGGTTGGCGAAGGGCATGCGCCTCGTCGCGATCGACGGCGAGGCGCTCCGCGTCGATTCCGACGAGTCGTTCCAGGCCCTGTTTTTCCGGTTGGCGGACGGGCCGCGGCCCGTGCGCATCGCCTTCGGGGACGCGGCGCCGCCGCCGTCGCTCCCCGCGGCCTACGTCGTCCCGGCCGTCGACCTGGAGGCCGCGGACGTGGCGGCGAAGGACGTGCTGCTGGCGCTGGGCGGCGGCGACGCGTTCGTCCTGCGGGGCGCGCTGTCGCGGGAGCGGCGGCGCAGCGTCGTCGCCGTGCGGCGCGCCGCGGGCCGGTGCGACCGGCTGGGCGCGCCGGGCGACTCGGTCGTGGCCGTCGGCGCCGCGGTCGTCGTGCCGGACGCGGAGGCGCGCGACGTCCGCGGCGCGCTCCGGCGGGCCCTCGCGCGGAGCGGGCCGCAGCGCAACGTGACGCTCGTGCCCGGCTCGCGGGGCGACGTCGTCTACACGGTGAAGCTGCCCGCGCCCCGGGTGGCGGACGAGGCCGACCTCGCCGACGACGACACGCTGCGGCGGCGGTCCCACGGCAAGTCGTCGCGCCGCTCGAGCGTGGAGGACCTGCTCGCGGAGTTCGCGCGCGAGCGCGACGACGCGCCCGCGACCGCCACGGAGGCGTGGGGGCTGACCCTCCGGCGGGACGGCGACGTGCTGCGGGTGGACCGCCTCCGGGCGCGCGGGCTGGCCGCCGCCGCGGCGGTCCGCCCGGGCGACGTGGTCGTGGCGCTCGACGACGACGTCGGGCCGCACCGCGACCTCCTGGCGTTCGCGTCGCGCTGCGAGGCGGCCGCGAACCGCGCGCGCGACCGGAACACGCACGTGGCCCTGACCCTGGCCTCGGACGCGCTCCCGCGCCACCTCCTCCGGCCCCCGTTCCAGCCCGCGCTGCCGCCGCCGCCGCGGCGCGCCTCGTCGCCCCGCCGCCGGACCGTGTCCTCGCGGCCGGACCTGCGCGTCGACGTCGACCTGAGCGCCTCGGAGTCGAAGCGCCTGGGCCAGCTGCGGCGGCTGCTGCGCGCGGGCGTGGGCGCGCTCAACCACGCGTCCGAGGAGAACTCGTTCAAGCGCCCGCGGCCGGTCATAATCAGAGAGCACGGCGCGTTCGCGGGCTTCGTCGTGGAGCCCGCGCGGAGCCGGCCCGTCGTCGTGGCCTTCTCCCGGATCACGAGCGTGGAGATGCCGTTCGCGCCGCGGCCCCGCGTCGAGGACGCCGTGCTGGCGGCCTCGCTCAGCGCGCGGTTCCGGACCGAGGCCGGCGAGCCGCGGACCCTCGACCTGGCCTTCCAGAGCGCGGCCGTGGCGTACATGATCGCCGACGGCCTCGAGCTCGCGCGGCGGCAGGCCGCGCGGCCGCCCTCGCCGCGGGCCTCGGCCCTCGAGGCGCTCCACGACCCGCCCGCGCGGCCGCCGCAGCGGCGCCTCCAGCGCCTGTCGAACTACGCCGCGCCCCTCCTCATGGACGGCGACGCGCCGCAGCGGACCTGGTGGTCGACGCTGCGGGGCGGCGTGGTCGTGGAGCTCTACTACGCCGACGACACGTACGCCGTCACGACGCCGCTGGGCGACGTGCCGATCCACAGCACGGCCTTCGGCGAGGGCCAGTACTGCCGCTGCGTCGTCGTGCGCCGCATGCGCGCCGGGCGGCGGCGGGGCAAGCACTGGTACGTGCTGCGCTACAAGGACGGGCCCTACGACTGCGACCAGCGGCGGACGGGCCGGCGGAGCGAGCTGCCCCGGGGGACGCGGTTCGTGGGCGTCCCGCGCGACTGCTGCGTGCTGACGTACGAGAACCAGCGCCTCTACTGGCCGATCGTGCTGCTGCTGGTCACGGGCGCGCAGGTCGCGGCCTTCGTCATCTTCGCGCGGCGCGAGCACGGGTCCCTGGGCGCGGTCAACGCGGGCTCGCCGACGGTCGGGCCGTCGGTGCTGTACATGCGCGTGACAGGCCCCTTCCCGGCGTGCTTCGACGCGCGCAACCAGCTCTGGCGGCTGTGGACGTACCAGCTCGTGCACGTCGGCTGGTACCACCTCGGCGTGAACTGCGCGATGCAGCTCTTCTTCGGCGCCTCGGTGGAGATGGTCCACGGCCACCTCACGCTGCTGTGCGTCTACATGTTCGGCGTGGCCATGGGCGCCCTCACCTGCGCCTTCGCGGACGTGCACCGGGCCGTCGTGGGCGCGTCCGGCGGCGTGTACACGCTCATAGGCCTGCACGCGGCGGACGTGCTGCTGAACTTCCGGAGCATGGCCGACCGGTCGCGGCGCCTGGTGCGGGCCCTGATCTGCACCGCGGTGCCGGCGCTGGACATGCTCGTGTACCTGTTGGTCTACAGCGACGCGGACACGTCGTACGCGTCGCACGGCGGCGGGCTCGTGGCGGGCTTTCTGCTGGGCCTGGTCGTGCTGCGGCCGGTCGACGAGTCGCGCTGCCACTACTACGTCGTGCGGCCGCTCGCGCTGCTGCTGCTGCTGGCGTACGTCGTGTTCGCGCTCTTCTGGCACCAGACGGTCTACCCCCCGGAGTACCTGTACAACGGGCCCTTCTGGCGGCGCGAGAGCTGGGGCGCGCCCGACGACTCCCCGAACTGCTGCTGGCGCCTCTACGGCTGCTCGGCCATCGCCGCCGAGGACTACCGGCTGTTCAACTGCGACGACGACCGGCGCCTGACCATCTCCCTCGCGTGGGACGACGCGGCCTTCTCGGAGGAGCTGACGACGTGCGACGCGCTCAAGTCGGCGCTGGACGTGGCGCTGGAGATCCGGGAGGAGTTCGACGACGTCTAGCGCCCGTTTGGAGCCCGCGCCCACGACCACGTAACTATCACGATGATGTGCCTTGTACCGCCGCCACACTTACCGCCGCCGGCCCCGCGGCGCAGCCGGTCAGAGCGGAGATTACCGGTTGAACTTCACTATTCGGGGGTCAGTCGGAGAGGTCTGTTTTCAAAAGCCATCCGCCTAGGCCTGTATACATGTGTACTATATGTATGTATGTACATACACACACACACACACACACATATATGGATTCCTAGTGTGTCGATACGCTAGATCACTAGGTCTTTCGGCTCGCCAAAATACACCAGCGATTGAAGGCGCCTTCTACCGTCCAAATGGTACATCATATCAACTCCAGCCCAGTTTTCATACACAATCGACGGAACCGGAGCCGACGGCCCGCGCTCGGAGGGCGGGAGAAGAGTTATACTAGACAACTCCCGAGTTTATGTTCGTTTCCTTCCGTTTGTTAGTGGTAGACTCCATCTAGGCCGTCTGGGCGGGGATGAGCTATGTTAGATGGCCCGTTGGAGCCTCGCCGCGAAGCGACTTCGGGACCCTACGTTTATGTGATAAGGGGCTTAGAACCTAGACCCGCGACTATCAGCGACGACACCATCCAGATGGACCATAACGCCGTTGTTCTATTCACGATCGACCGACTTGCCCGTTCTCCACGGACGACGGTGCGTACGCGGGGCACTGAATTGGCCCCAGACCGGTGAGTTGCGAAATAAATTTGCGTTTCTGGCGTTTCGGTCCTAGGACGGGCCAGCCTAACCGCCTGAGTTGCTGTACATTTGATTTACTGTCCAGAAATCACCGGGCGGCTCGGCCGTCCCACGACCCCATGATCTCGCCAATTTGGATTCTGGCCTGGACCTGCGACCATCAGCCCGTGTACCTTCACCATGGACCATGATGCGATCATTTGTTCCATGATCGACCGACTTACGCGAGCTCCAGATAAAGATGTTCACGTCCCGAGCGTGGGCAGCAAAAAGTACCCTTCTTATAATGTAGATGGCATATACTCGTAATTGACTATCGTTGGGGTAGTATGGGGTCCAACGAGACCGCTACGGCGACTACTGGGGGCCCTCGGGTAATTGCGTATTTGACGGTGACGGGGTGCCATCGGGACCAAATTATTTACTTTTTTTTGGATGCAGATCGGCCCTCGGACTCCTACGGGGGTAGCTCTGATAGTGGATAGCCACCTACACCGCATGCGCTTTTTTTATTTTTTATTTTTATTAGATTCCGGTATCACCCAACAACACGGCTTGTAGGCGCCTTCGGGCCGGCCTCGACCTCGCCCCGAGGCCACTTATTTGGGTCGGCGCCCGCGGCGCCGCCGCCACCGCCGCGGTATGGGCAGCCGCCGCGCTGCGCTTCGTGCTGACAGCGTATTTCTTGAAATAGGGCGGTTGCCGTGCTGGTTTTTACGTCGGAAGGCCGCGCGGTAGGTCTTGGTTCGATGAAAACGCGGTCGCCGTTTTGAAGGGTTTGTTTTTGTCGTGCGTAATCATACTAGAAAAGGGCCAAAAACAACGGTTTACAAAACCAAGAAGCCTTTTTCGAACCCGAACCAAATACGTTGGAAGTAGTTTTGCGACTTTGGTAAGAAAGGGGCAAAAAGGGGGGTGGTTTTTTTGGAAGGTGGAGGTCGTCAGACCTTCGCGCTGCCAAAAAACCCACCCCCTCTCTCTCCCACCAAATTGCAGCGTTAACTAATACGGGAAATCGAAGAAGATTAATATTCGCCAATCTTTTCCACGCGCGCCCGCGAGCGCGCCTATCCGCCGCGGCGGGGGGGTCCGGGCCTAGAGGCGTTTGAGCGACTCCACCGGGTTGCTGAAGGGCTTGTCCGGCGTCGCGATCGCGCGGCCGCGCAGCAGGCTGCCGACCGTGCCGAAGAGGAGCTTGATGTCCTCGACGGGGTTCGGCGTCACGAGCCGCTTGTAGAGGTACGACTGGAACGTCACGTCCTGGACGTACTCGCTGCGGCACATGTCGACGAAGGCCTCGCGCGCCGCGTTGTTCGTGTAGAAGACCTTCTGGAGGATGTCCAGCACGGTGTAGGTCGGGAAGTAGAGCTTGTCGTAGGGCTTAATGTAAAGGTCCTCGAGCTCCGCCTCGGTCGGGAGCTTCGTGCCGCCGGCCATGGCCTTGACGACGGCCTCGCCGGCCATGCGGCCCGACTTGGCCGCGAAGTAGATGCCCTCGCCCGAGCACTTGGTGACGTAGCCCGCCGCGTCGCCCACGAGCATGGCGCGGTGCTTGAGCCGCCGCGGCCGGTAGTGCTCGGGGATGGGGTGCGCCTCCACTTTGATCACTTTTCCGCCGGCGATCTTGTCGCCCGCGCGCTCGCGGATGGCGTCCTGGTACATCTTGATGCCCGGGCGGTTGACGACCGTGCCCGTGCCGACGCCGACGTGGTCGTACTTCGGGAAGACCCAGCCGTAGAAGTCGGGGCTCACGTCGTCGCCGACGTACATCTCGGCGAGCTCGTCGTAGAAGGCCATCTTCTCGTCGTCGATCTTGATGCGCTCCTGGAACGCGATGGCGAAGTTGTACTCGCCCGCGTCGATGGCCTTGGCCACGCGCGAGTTCGCGCCGTCCGCGCCGATGATCACGTCCACGTCGAGCGTCTCGTCGGGCGCCTTGCGGCCGAGGTCGTTGCGCGAGTAGTGGATCGTGTATCTCCCGTTGTCGTCGCCCGGCGCCGGGCAGTCGATCGACGTCACGAGCGCGTTGATGGGCTCGGCGCCCAGCTTGACGGCGCGGTCCCGCAGGTAGCCGTCCATGACCTCGCGCCGGCACATGCCGATGTACTCGTCGTCCTTGAGCGTGGAGCCGATGTCGACCTCGACGTTCGACGGCGAGATCATCTTCATCTTGCGGACCTTGCGGTCGATGATCTCGGACGGCAGGTCGAACTCGTCGACCATGCACAGGGGGATCGCCCCGCCGCACGGCTTGGCGTTGTCCATCTTGCGCTCGATGATGTACGTCTCGATGTTCGGCTCCTGGGCGCAGATCTCGGCGGCGCAGGCGCCGGACGGGCCGCCGCCGATGACCGCCACGCGGTACTTCATCTCGACGTCGGCCGGCGCGGCGCGCGGCGCCGCGCGCGGCAGCGGGTTCGTCTTGGCGACGAGCGCCGCGGCCGGCGCCGCGAGGAGGGCGTAGAGCTTCACCATGGTAGGCCTGCGTCGGGGCGGCGCGGTGGGGGCGCGCGTGGTGCGGGACATCGAGAGGTGTCCTCGGGGAGCAGCGCGGAGATCCCGCGCCGTCCCGACCGCGGCGGCGGCGAGCGGCCGCAGCGCCGTCGGCCGGGTGTGTGGTGCAGGAAATCTTGTGCCCCCGGGGGAGCAGCATAGAGACACCGCAGCTCCGCTGCACCGGGAGCCGCAGCCAACTCTATGATCTGCGAGCAATTTGCGAAGTCGTCGGGGCGGCGTGACGGGTCGAGGCGGTCACCTTGCGTTTGCGGCGTGTTTTACTACAAGCTGCGCAGCTGTGTATGGTTCAATGACGCGGGTTTCGACGCCGGAAGATCTCCTGTGCGCCTGGGTCAGACACGCCTGGCAAAAACAAGTCCTGGGAGGACAAAAGTCCCAGTCCCCGAGGGTGCGGGCACCGGGTGCAAGCAGCTCGTCTCCCAGTGCATCGCCGGACGATCGGGTCGCGTCGCTCCGCGCGGCCAAAGCCAAGTACCAAAAAAAATTGTAGGATAGCGCGAGAAGCGAGGTCTCTCGTGCAAGCGCGCTCTGGCATCGCTCGGGCTCGGTAGGATTGCACGAGCAAGCGCTCCCGTGCAGAGTGCAAGCGCCTCCGCCTGCATCGCTCGGGTCGTCGGCAGGACAGCACGAGGCAGCGGAGCGGACCCGCCATGCGCAGCCTCGCGCTCTGCGGGACGCTTGCCGCGGCCCTGGTGGCGCCGCCGGGGCCGCCGCCCCGGCCCGCGCCCGTGCGAGCGGTGCTGGACGAGCCCAAGGCCACGATCACGGCGCAAGCCGTGAAGCCGCGCGGCGCCACGAAGGCGTGGGAGGTCCACAAGTTCGGCGGCGCGTCCCTGGCGACGGCCGAGTTGTACAGGACGGTCGGCGACCTCCTCCTCGACGAGGCGACGCGCGAGGAGGGCCAGGGCGTGCCCACGATGGCCGTCGTGAGCGCGATGGGCGGCATGACGGATCTGTTGATCAAGGTCGTCGACGCGGCCCTGGACGACTTCGACCTGGCCGCGACCTACTTGGACGACGCCGTGGAGCGGCAGCTCGCGACGCTGCAGGAGCTCGCGCCCCCGGACGTGGTGGCGCCGATCGCCGCGCGCATCCGGGACGACGCCGCCGACGTGCTGTCGGTGGTGCGCTCCCTGCGTATGATCAAGACCGTGCCCGCGGTCACGATGGAGGTCGTCACGGGCTTCGGCGAGATCTGGTCCGCCCAGACGCTGCTCGCCTACCTGCGGACGACCGGCGTCGCCTGCGACTGGGTCGACGCGCGGCAGGTGCTGGTCGTCAAGTCCGAGTCGGAGGGGCTCGGCGAGAAGGGCTCGACGTCGACGACCGGCGTGGCGCCGCTCTGGACCCAGACGACGGAGAGGATGGGGGCCTGGTGGGCCGAGCGGAGCGATGTCTTCGACGCCGTCGACTACAATCAAGAGTCGTGCGTCCTCGTGTGCACGGGCTTCGTGGCCACGACGGAGGCCGGCGTGCCCACGACGCTCAAGCGTTCCGGCTCGGACTACTCCGCCACGATCTTCGCGCGCTTGTTGCGGGCGTCGCGCGTCACGATGTGGAAGAACACGGACGGCGTCTACACCGCGGACCCGCGGCGCGTGCCGGAGGCCTTCCCGATCGCGTCCCTGAAGTACGACGAGGCCATGGAGCTCGCCTACTTCGGCGCGCAAGTGCTGCACCCCAGCGCGATGGCCCCGTGCATCGACGACAACATCCCCGTCTTCGTGCGGAACGTCTTCAACCCGGCCTTCGAGGGCACGGTCATCCAGGGCCGGAGCGGCGCGCTGACGGAGTCCCGGCTCTGGACGGGCGCCATCACCAAGGGCGCCGCGCGCGAGTCGCTGATCAAGGGCATCACTTCCGTCGACGACGCATCGTTGTTAACGCTCGAGGGCGCGCTGCTGGCGGACTCCGCCGCGGGGCTCGGCCGGCGCGTCCTGGGCGCCCTCAAGGAGGCGGGCGTCGCGGTCCTGATGGTCACGCAGGCGTCCTCGGAGGCGTCCATCACGTGCGCGGTCCCGACGGCCCAGGGCCAGAAGGCGCTCAAAGCCGTGGAGGCGGCCTTCGAGCTCGAGTTCTCCCGGTCCCGGGTGAACTCGGCCTCGCTCCTCGACGGCGTGAGCGTCGTCGCGATCGTGGGCGAGGGCATGGTGCAGTCGCCGGGCGCCTCGGCGACGTTCATGAACGCGCTCGCCCAGGCCGGCGTGAACATCGCGATGATCGCGCAGGGGTCGAGCGAGCGCCAGATCGCGGTCTGCGTGGCCAAGGCCGACGCGACGCGCGCGCTGCGCGCGGCGCACACGGCCTTCACGCTGTCCGAGGTCGTCACGAACGTGGCGGTGCTCGGCGCGACGGGGCGACTGGGGAGGGAGCTGCTGCCGCAGCTGAAGCGCCAGCAGGCGTCGCTGAGGAGGGAGCACGATTTCGTGGTGCGCGTCACGGCGGCCGCGAATTCGGAACGGATGTGCTTCTCCGACGACAACCTCCTGGGCGCGGAGGGCGACGCGGCGCCGGACGTCGCCGCGGCCCTGGCGGCGGGCCGCGACTTCGACCTGGAAGTCCTGACCGAGTTCCTCGAGGCGGACCTGAACCCGCAGCGCGTCGTCGTCGACAGCACGCAGTCGGAGGCGGTCGCGGCCTACTACGCGCGGTGGCTCGCGGCGGGCATCTCCATCGTGTGCCCGTCGAAGGTCGTCGCGAGCGGCCCGGCCGCGCGGCGGGAGCGCGTCGCCAAGGCCGCGCGCGCCTCGAACAGCCGGTGGCGCTACGAGTCGAGCGTCGGCGCGTCGCTGCCCATCCTCTCGACGATGAAGGATCTGCTCCTGACGGGCGACCGGGTCCACTCCATCCGCGGCTGCCTGAGCGGCACGATGGCGTACGTGCTCCGGTGCCACGCGCCCGGCCGGAAGACGTTCTGCGACGCGCTCCGGGAGGCGATCGCGAACGGCTACACGGAGACCGACGTGCGCGAAGATTTGTCCGGCGAGGACATGGCGCGCAAGGTCGTGATCCTCGCGCGCGAGCTCGGCATGGACCTGGAGTTGAGCGACGTCGCGGTCGAGTCGTTCCTCCCGGCGCACGTGGCCGACAAGAGCTACGAGGAGGACGACCTCTGCGAGGCCGTCGTCCGGGACCTGGAGCGGGCGGGCGTCGACGGGGAGATCGACGCGCGCCTGGCCTCCGCGCAGGACGCCGACACCGTCCTGCGCTACGCGTTCGAGATCGACGTCGACGCGGGCCGCTGCCGCGTCGAGATCATCGCGGCGGACGCGACGGACCCCCTCTACCGGCTGAAGAAGAACGAGAACCTCGTGGCCTTCACGACGGACCGGTACGTGACGGCGCCCCTCATCATCAAGGGCGCCGCCGCCGGCGCGGAGCTCGCCGCCGCGGGCATCTTCGCCGATCTCCTACGTCTCACGACATATTCGGAGTACTTTGCGTAACGTCACGGTAGTATAGCCTATAGGGCCGCCGGGTCACGGACTCAGGCTACCGTCCGTAGTAGCCTGGGAGAGCCCACTTGGAAGCCCTCTCCGGCTGGTTCAATTAATCTTCAGGTTACCCCCGCTGCAGGCCTTCCGCAGCACGGTGTGGGTCCGGCCCATGAGCTCGTCCTTGGCCCGGGCCTTGGCCCGCGAGCCGACGCATCCCGCCCAGAGGCACGGCAGCGCGACGAGCCAGTAGGCGCAGAGGACCCGGGCGCCCGACCGCCCCCGGTCCGTGAGCATCTCCGTCGCGCCGAAGCCGAGGAGCCCTGCGTGGCTCGCGTCGACGAGGGCCGCGAGCGACCTGCGCGGCACCGACCGGGGGTCCGCGCCGGCGCCGCGCGGCACGATTCCGCGCGGCCGGGGACCCGCTCGCCGCGAGCACGAACAGCGCGGAGTGGCGCTGGTCGAACGGCACCGCGAGCGCGTAGAGGCTCCCGAGGCCGAGGCCGAGCCAGAGCGCGCCCTCGCGGCGCGTCGACTCCACCAAATGGAAGAGCACGTCGGCGGCGTCGCGGCGCGCCGCCTTGGGCGCGGCCTGCACGGCGGCGTCGAGGAGCCGGTAGCACTCGTCCGTCGAGAAGGCGCGCCGGACGTCGGGGTGCCGCGTCCAGTTGCACGCGTCGAGCAGATGCCGCGGGAGCAGCGTCGCGGCCGCGCCCACGAGCGCCACGAGCCCGAGACCCAGCGTCGAGGCCGCGGCGGCCAGCTTGGCGGTCTTCGCGGCCTTCTTCGCGGCGGTCGCGGCCGTGGCGGCGCCCCGCGGGGCGTTCATTGGATCTGCCGGCGGTAGGACGGCGGTGTGCTCGCACGCGAGCGGTCGGCGCAGCGGGGCAGCCGCGGGAGCGCGGATCGGCGCGACACGCGAGCGGTCGGGGCAGCGGGGCAGCGGGGCAGCCCGCGGGAGCGCGGATCAGCGCGACGCGAGCGCTAAGAGACTAAGTCTTGCTACCCCCGCCCGGGGCCCGGGCTGATCCCGGGAGCTTTTTGATCGAGAGGGTTCGGGTTCGGGTTTTCCGCGGCGCACCAATCCGTTGAGCTATCTGCGTAGTCCGCGTTGCGGTCGCGAGTGTGGCCGTTGAGAGTGGGCTTCGTATGAGTTCCGGTGCGCTGCGCCGCTGCCGGGCCCAGAGAACTCCTGCGCGCGACCTGCGCGCTTCCAAGGGAGGGCTAGGGTAAAGGCCTGGAGGGTTCTTTTTTACACGCGACCCTAAATTTTAGCTCTGATCGCTCCCGCTCACGAGCCTGACCTGACGGCTTTTTAGAGCGACGGAATTTTCCAACCTTCTCTGGGCCCAGGGAAGCGTCAGCGGAGGCTTCACGGGCCAAACGCAGGGAGCCCCTCGCCACTCCCACCGCGCGCTGCTGGCTCGTTTGCACGCGGCGGCAAAGTTGGCCGAGTATTCGACACGTGGAACCACGAAAAAAGCATTGAGAAATTACCCTCGCGCGCCGGAAGCGCGCCTAACAACAACCCCGAACCCTCAGCTCCTCGGCGGGAACGTCTCGCCCTCCGGCGGCTGCGGCAGGTTCCGCGACGCTGGCTTCGACATCTCCTGACGCACGTACCCCAGCGCCGTCGCGATCGTGCAGTCGTAGCGCCAGTTCGCCCGCAGCGCGCCGAGGTCGACGCGCCCCGACCGCGGGTCGACGCCCCGCAGGTTGACGCGCGTCTGGAAATATACCTCCGGCGGCACCCGCGGGTAGTCCGCGCCGCAGACGACCTCCAGACCGTAGATGTTGTTGTCGAAGCGCGTGCCGGGCGGCCCGATGATCGACGCCTGCCACGTCGTCAGGAAAATATCGCTGGGGTCCTTGAGGCCGCAGGAGATGGTCATGTCGCCGCGCGCCTTGTCGAAGTTCTCCAGCTCCTCGAGGAGCTGCGCGCGGGGCCGGCGGGTCGTTCGGCGCGGGCGGGTCGATTCGACGCGCGCGCGGGCGGAAACGCGAGACGCGGGCCGCGCGCCCTGAAATTCCGGGGGACCACCACGACCTCGCCCATGCTGGACAAGCGCGGCGCGCGTCGCGGACGGCGGCGGAGAGCGGCGCGGTTCAAATGAGTGCGCAGGCCGGAGACGGTGCGCTTACGTGGTGGACGTCGCTGCCGTCGGTTGTTTTTGCGTCGCTCTGAAGCGACGCGCAGCGTGCGTGTGCTTTTTTCGCTCGTTGTTTTTGACCGCGTCGACGACGCTGCGGTGGGCTAGTACTAGTACTAGTAGCATTTACTGTGCCCGGAGTTGATCCGTACCTGGGGGTGGGTTCAATAAGCGACTCTCTCTTTGATGGTACCCCCGACGAGAAAAAGGGTGGCGCGGACTCGAGACCGCGTCGCCGCCGAGGTCTTCGAGGTCCTCCACCTCGTCCTCCGGGAAGTTCCGGCGCTCGTATCCCATCGACGCGAGATACTCGTCGACGGCTCGCGCGGCTTCCTGCTCTTCGTCGAAGCTGCCAATATATATATCATTTTCCCAATTTGAATATCTGATTCTTGCCCGCCAAACCACATCAGACATGCGAATTTTCTTCTCAACTCCGTAATATCTAGAGGCAGGCGGTTTCGCACCCAGATCCCCGTCGCGAGGAAAATTGTGGACGGGCAGCCCATTCTCCCGACAGATTTGGTCGGAGCGCAGTGCTGCTGCCAGCTCGCCCTCGGCGTCAATTGTGACGATTAATAATATAACGTATCTAGAAGGGCGTGGGTTTTTGCCCCACCATCCGCTGCACCAGCAAGTATAGCGAAATGATTAATTAATAGTCCCCAGGGTGGGTCGCGGCTATGCGGCCTAGCTCTAAGCAAAGCAACATTGCATTATTTAATGAGAAGGCTCTTAGGAGCTTGTTCCTATTTTTAGGTGGTCTTCCTAATTAATTGAGCAGGGATCAGGCTATTGTCCTAATTAATCTAATTAATTAATTGAGCAGGGATCAGGCTTCCTATTTTTAGGTAATTAAATAATTGAGCAGGTTTTCCTTTAGTAACTATACCGTCAGATCGGTGCTGCGCCTGCACCCGGGGGGCAGGCTGCGCTTTCTCTCATACTCTGCGTAAAAAAAACTCGAGTATAGGGCGCGCAAGAAGCTCAAGCTGAAAAAGGACCAGCGGCGCGTGGAGGCGCTCACGGGGCGGGTCGAAGAGTTGGAGAAGCAGGTTTGCTTACTCGAAGACGCCTTGAGCCTAATATATTTTCTCTGCTTAGTGGGCTAGAGCGTATACTTACTAGCCTCAACACGATCGCGGCGCGTCGAGACTAACTCATTGCGCTGGGCAACGCGCCGACGCCACGCACAGCTCATCCTAGAGCCAGCCGGTGCAGCGCGCGCACGAATCTCGGCCGCGCACCCGCTCGCCGTGCGCCAAGTCCGCCACCGCGCGCGCGCGCCGTAGGAAGCACAGCGCGACGCCAGCCGCCGCGCTAGTGGCCCTCGCCCGCTAACGCGGTCGAAAAACGTGGCCTGAGTGTGTAATCGCTCCGCGGGTGTGTGTTAGCAGCGCGTAGCAGCGCGTTTGTTGTGTTGGCAGTGCCCTTCACGGAGACAACATTACAAAAAAGCCGCAGCGTACTAGAGCGATGCCGGCCTCGGACCGCCCGCGGCGCAGTGCGGCGGACGACGAGCCGGAGGAGGAGGAAGAAAACAGGCGACCGGTGCGCGCCGCCCGCGGCGCGCGCCGCCGCATCGTGGAGAGCGACGGCGACGACGACGACTTCGACGCGCCGTCGATCGACGACGACGACGACGACGGCGACGAGGAAGCGCCGCTGCCGACGCGGCGGCCGAAGCGCGGCCGCGCGAACGATGACGAGGACGGGGAGGACGACGGGGAGGAAGCGCCGCTTCGGCGGCCGAAGCGCGGCCGCGCGGACGACGCGGTGCCGGAGGCGGCGGCCGCCGAGGACCCGCCCGCCGAGGAGGCGCCACCCGCGCCGGAAGCGCCGCCGCCCGCCGCGGAAGCTGAAGCGGCGGCGGCGCGGCCGGCGGCCGCGGCGCCGGAGGACGAGGAGGACGAGGAGGACGAGTCCGACGACATGGCCGTGGACCGCGCGGCGCTCCTGCAGCCGGCGACGCGGTGGCCGAGCGACGACGAGGCGCCGCGCCGCCGCGAGGACTCGCCCGGCTCCGAGGAGTTCGAGCCCGAGGACTCGTCCGAGGGCGACGACGACGACGACGAGGAGAGCTCCAGCGACGGCGTGCGGCGGCGGTTGCCGCCGCGGCGCGCGGCGCGGCGGCGCACGCGCAACTCGAGGCGCGCCCGGAGCCCCTCGTCCTCCGTCGAGCGCTACCCGCGACGCGAGCGCCGGCCGGCGCGGCCGATCAACGTGTCGGGCCTGAGCCCGAACCAGGGCCTCGCGGGCGCGCCGCCGCCGCGCGGCCGCCGCGGGCGCGACGGCGGGGACGACTGGCGCTACAAGAGCGACAGCGATGGCGGCGGCGGGGGCCGCGTCGGCGGCTACGCGCCGAGCCCGCCGCGGCGGCCGCCGCGCCGGCGGCGGCCGCCGCCGCCGCCCCTGTTCGACTCGGACGACAGCTCGGTCGCGCGGCGCGGCGCCGACCAGCTGTCGCGGCGGCGGTCGCTGCCGCCCCCGAAGCACGACCTCGACCTCAGCTCGTCGTCGGACGAGGACGCCGCGGCGGCGGGCGCGGCCGGACCGGCGCCGGCCGTCGCGCCGTTCCAGGGCGTCGCCGGGCTGGACCACCACCTGAAGGCGCTCGAGGAGATGGTCCTCCTCCCGCTCAAGGAGCCGAACCTGTTCAAGAGCCTGGGGATCACGCCGCCGCGGGGGGTCCTCTTCCACGGACCGCCGGGCACGGGCAAGACGTTGGTAGCGAGGCAGCTCGCGCGGGCGTGCTCCGCGCACCTCGTCAAGAACCGGCCTCACGACGACAGGGCCGAGGCCAAGAGGAGCGGCGTGGCGTTCTTCGTGCGGAACGGCGCCGACTGCCTCTCGAAGTACGTGGGCGAGGCGGAGAAGGCCCTCGGCAGTCTCTTCGACGAGGCCAAGGCCAAGGCGCCTTCCATCATCTTCTTCGACGAGCTGGACGGCCTCGCGCCCGCGCGCGCGGCGGGCCGCGGCGGGAGCGGCGAGCTGGCGCAGCACTCCGTGGTGGCGACGTTGCTCGCGCTCATGGACGGCCTCGCCGACCGGGGCGACGTCGTCGTCATCGGCGCCACGAACCGGCCGGACGCGCTCGATCCCGCGCTGAGGCGGCCGGGCCGGTTCGACCGCGAGCTGCAGTTCTGCGCGCCGGACGAATCGCAACGGCGGGCCATCCTCGCCCTGCACACGGAGAGCTGGGCGCCTTCGTCAAAGCCCACGCCGCAGCTGCTTTCAGCATTGGCGGCGCGGACCGCCGGGTTCTGCGGCGCGGACCTGCGCGCGTTGTGTACGGAGGCGGCCCTGGCGGCCGTGCGGCGCGCCCGGCCGGACCTCTACGAGAACACCCCCGGGAGTAGGACCGCCGTGGTGGTCAGCGCGAGGGACTTCGAGGCGGCCGCGCGCAAGGCGGCGCCGGCGGCGCTGCGGCGCAGCGACCTGGACGTCGACGCGTGCGCGCCGCAGGCGCTGGCGCCGCACCGGGCGCCGCTGTACCAGGCGTCCGTGGACGAGGCCCTGCGGGCGCTGGGCGCGCGGCCGCCGCCCGCCGCCGCGGAGCCGACGGGGGCGTCGGCGGCCTTCGCGGCCGCGATATCGGCGCGCCGCGCGCCGCGGAAGGCCCTGGCCCCCTTCGCGGCGCCGGCGTCCCTCGTTCTGGCGGCCGCGGACGGCGCGCGGTCGCGGGACGTCGTCCTCGCGGCGGTCGCGCACGCGTTCAAGGCGCGGGGGGCCGGCGTCGCGGAGTGTGGCTACGCGACGCTCCTGCGGGACGCCGCGCGCACCGGTCTGCCCCTGGACGCCTGCCTCGCGGCGCGCGCGCGGGACGCGCGGCGGACGGCGGCGCCGCACGCCGACGCGGTCCTCGTCGTCCAGGACGTCGACGGGTGGTCGGCGCGCGCGCCGGACCCGCTCCACCTCGCGTTCGCCGCCATCCTCAACGAACTACGCCGGGACCAGCGGCTCGTCGTCGTCGCGACCGCGGCCGACGCGGCCGCGCCGCGGCCGGCGTGGCTCGCGGACGCGGCGCTGGTGGTCGTGCCGCCCGCGTCGCCGGCGGCGCGGGCCGCGTTCTGGACGGCGGGTCTCCTGGACGTGAAGGCCGCGTTCCGCGCGGCGCTCGAGGCGCTCGCGGCGCCGCCGCCTCCGGCGGCGGAGGCGCCGGCGGCGGCGCCGCCGGCGCCGGCGCCTCCAAAGGCCGTCGTGGCGAAGCGGGACGACGCCAAGGCCCGGCACTGCTGGCGGGAGCTGCGCGTGTTTCTGCGGGCGTGCTTGCGGGAGCTGCGGAGCGACCGGGCCCTGGCGCCGCTCTGGCGGCCGGTCGACCCCGAGGAGCAGCCCGAGTACCTCGCGGTCGTCGCGGAGCCGCTGGACCTGGGCGTCGTGCGGGCGCGCGTCGACGCGGCCCGGTACAAGACGCTGGGCGCGTTCCTGGAGGACGTCGGAAGGGTCCGGACGAACGCGGCGAGGCTCCGCGCGGCGTTCCCCGGCGACGCGCGCGCGGACGACCTCAGCCACGCGGCGCACAACGCCGAGGACCTGTGCCGAAGCATGGCGCACGCGTTCCGGCGGAAGCTGGGCTGGGACCTCGTGGCCGCGTGCGACCGGCTGGAGAAGCGGAGCCTGCGGCGGGACCGCCGGGCCGCGCGGGCCGCGGTCGACGCGGCCCTCGCGGCGCGGGCGGCGCCGCCGGACACGCCGGAGCAGCCGCCGCCGCCGCCCGTCGTCGGCGAGGACTCGTCGCCCGACCCGACGGACGCGGACGGCCCCCGGCCGCGAAAGAACGAGGCGGACGCCGTCGAGCGGGCCTCCCAAAGCTTCGCGGCCGCGGTCGACGCGCTGCAGCCGAGGCTGGAGGCGGCGACGGCGGCCTGCGACGGCGCGGCGCTCGAGCGGCGCCTGGACGGCCTCTTCGACGCCGTCGCGTCGATCGACGACGGAGCGCCGGACGACCTGCCGGGCGTCGCGGCGGCCGCCGCGGAGCGCGTGCGGCGCGCCGCGGGCGAAGATGCGGGCGACCGTTGACGTGGCTTTTTGTTCGCCCAAGTGCATAGAGTTAGGTATTATACCTTGGAATTGCCTAGTGGACTCGGATGATCCATTGCCATGGCTCGACTTCCGGGCGCGAAGAGCGCCTCCTTGCAGAACGAGGGCGAAACGACGTCACGGTGTCCGCCGCCGACCGCGTGGGGTTACATGAATAAATGAAGAAATAAATCAATTAGAAATCGACTCGGAGGACGGAGGACACACAATAATGAGCGCTTGACGCTTTTCGCCCAGGCTTATACGTATAATTTATTTCATTGCTAGGCCGCCTCGACCGCACGCCCGTCCGTCCCCGCGCGGGCCGGGAGGAGGGGTGCCAGGCGCAAACACTTATTCCGCGGGGGCGTCGAGGCGCTCCGCGGCCGCCGCGCGCCGCGAGGGCCGCACGCACGCCAGGAACGCCGCCCGCGCGCCGCCGCCCCGCAGCGCCCCCACGAGCCCTCCGTCGCCGACGCCGCGCAGCGCGCGGCGGAGCGCGAGGCCCCGCGCCGTCGGCGCGGCCCCGTCCAGGGGCACCGTCCGCTCGCGCGGCTCCAGCAGGTCGTCGCCCCCGAAGCGCGCGAGCGCCACGCGCGCGCAGACGTCCGCCGCGTCCTCCTCCGAGAAGGCGTCGAGCGCCGCGCTGACCTGCGCGACCGTCGCGTCCGCGCGTCGACGGCGCGGCGGTCGACGCGGGGGCGCGCGAGCGGCAGCGCCCACGCCTCGCCGCGTCGCGTCAGCGCCGCGCGCCGGAACGCGCGCACGACGCCGCCCGCGAGCGTCGGCTCCGGCGACGCGCACGGCCCGCCCAGCTCGACGAAGCCGTGCCCGAGCCGGGCCAGGTGCCGTCCCTCGACCGCGGTCACGCCCTCGAGGCGCCGGCGACCGGCCGCCGAGGAGACGGTCGCGTACACGACAAACTCCGGCAGGTCGGCGCGCGTCCGCGCGTGCGCCGCGGAGGCCGGGTGGACGTAGCAGAAGCCGCCGCCGCCGAGCGGCTCGTAGGCGCAGTCCCGGCGGTACGCGTCGAGCGACCGCGGGTCCCAGCGCTCGCCCCGCGACGCGGCGTCCCGCCGCGCCGCCTCGACGACCCGAGCGGGCTCCGCGAGCCGCGCGACCCGGTCGAGGCCGCCGGCCGCGAGGCACCGGGCGAGGCGCGCGTCGGCGGCGGCCGACGCCGGCGCGAGCGCCGCGAGGGCGGGGACGGCGGCGAAGACGCCGGCCTTGACGCAGGACCGGCGGAGCGACTCGTAGAGGCGCGCCTGCGCGGCGGAGGCGACGGGGCCGTCGGCTGGCGGCCCCGCGCGCGGGACGCCGGGGACGGGACCGCGCGGCCCAGCGCGCCTTCGTCCAGCCCCCGCGCGGCGCAGCACGCGGCCCGGTCGGCGGCCGCGGCGTAGGCGCCCAGCGCGAGCAGCCGCGCGTGGGCGTCGCCCAGCGGGTGGCGGAAGGCCCGGCGCTCGCCCTCGGCCGCGCCGTCGCGGAACGGCGACCGCTCGGAGGCGGCCGCGACGCACGCGACGGCCAGTGCGGCGAACGCGTCCCGCTTGGCGGCCGCCAGACCCTTGGCGACGCGGCCCGCGTAGGCGAGCGTCGCCGCGTGGCGCGCGCCGACGGGGAGCGACGCCAGCGCCCTGCCGAGTTCCGAGAGCGGCGCCCGCGCGTACGGCCGGCGCAGTTCCAGGGCCCCCAGGCGCGCGAGCGACTCGCAGGCCGCCTCGACGCTCGCGGGGGGGGGGCGGTCCGGGAAGGGGAAGGCGGACGGGTCGCGCACGCCCAGCGCCTTGACCCGGAGGACGACGTCGACCACCGGCAGGCGCAGCAGCTCCGGCTTCTCCGACGCCTCGAACGTCTCCGCGTAGACCGCCGAGCTGTAGAGCCGGTGGCAGTGGCCCGGCCGCGTGCGCCCCGCGCGGCCGCTGCGCTGGTCGGCGTTCGCGCGGCTGATCCAGCCGACGCGGTGGGCGACGGCGCCGGACGCGGCGTCGACGACGACCTGCCGCTTCGCGCGGCCGCAGTCGACGACGTGGACGACGCCTGCGGGCGGGCGGGCGGTCGGGCGGAGTCGACGGCGCCCCGACGCGGGCCGCGCACCGGGGATCGTGAGCGACGTCTCCGCCACGTCCGTCGCCACGACGACCTTGCGCGCGCGGCCCGCCCGCGTCGGCGCGAACGCCTCGCGCTGCGCCTCCAGCGCCATCTGCGCGTAGAGGGGCCGGACGTCCAGCGTCCTATCTGAACGCAGCTCGCCGCAGAAGGCCTCGATCTCCCGCCGCCCGGTCAGGAACACGAGGATCGCGCCGTCGTCGGCCGCCTCGCGGTGCACGCGCCTCACGACTTCCAGCGCCGCGCCCGCGTAGTCCTCCAGCACCGTCTCGCGCGCGAAGTGGACGCTCACGGGGTGCTGCCGGCCCTCGAGCTCGACGAGGCGCGGCGGCGCGGGCCAGAGCTCCCGCCGGGACAGCGCCCGCGCGTCGAGCGTCGCGGACATGACGACGACCTTGAGCGGCGCCAGGACGTCGGGCTCCCCGGCCGCGCGCGCCCGCTCGAACTCCGCCCGCCGCAGCGCGACGCTCCGCCCCAGCAGCCCCAGCAGCAAATCCGTCGTCAGCGACCGCTCGTGCGCCTCGTCGACGACGGCGGCGCCGTAGTCCCGCAGCAGCAGGTCGCGCTCGAGCTCGCGCAGCAGGACGCCGTCGGTCTCGAAGACGAGGCGCGTCGCGGGCCCCAGGCCGCCGCGGTCGTAGCGCGTCCGGTAGGCGACGAGCGCGTCGCGCGCGGCGCCGGGGTCGGCCGCGCCGAGCTCGCGCGCGACGCGCTCCGCGGTGGCCACGACGGCGACGCGCCGCGGCTGCGTGGCGACGACGCGCAGGCCCCGCGGCCCGCAGAGCCCGGCCTCGTAGAGGAACTGCGGCACCTGCGTCGACTTGCCCGAGCCCGTCGCGCCGCTCAGGACGACGACGTCCGCGCCGCGCACCGCGTCGACGATCTCCTGCTCGGCGCCGCACGCCGGGAGGCGCAGCCGCGCCGCGCGCTCCGCCGCGGTGCGGCGGACCCGCGGCATCCACGCGGGCCGCGCGGCGGGCGCGCGCGGCGCCGCGGAGGGCGTGCTCGTGAGCGCGTCCGGCAGCCGGAGCGGAGCGGGCACGTAGCCCGTCCGGCCCGGGAGCTCGGGCTCCGGGACGGGCGCCTGCGTCGCATCGACCGGTGGGTTCCGTTGCCGACCGCCGCGCCGTCGGCGCGTCGATGTCGGCACTGGCGGGCGCCTCCTTGGGTTTCTCCGGCGGCGCCGGCTTCGCCTGCAACGCGGCGAGCTGGCGCATCATCGCGGCGGCGACGTCGGTCGGCGGCGGCGGCGGCGGCGGCGGCGCGGCTTCGTCGCCCGCGGACGAGCCGTCGTCGCTCGACTCGCCGCCCGCCGCGGCGGCGTCGTCGCCGCCGCCGGCCGCCGCGTCGCCGCCGCCCGCGTCGTCGCCGCCGACGTCGAGGCGCGCGCGCTTCGCGCCGCCGCGCGCGTACAAAGCGTCCGCGTCGTCGGCGTCCAGCGCGAGCCCGCGCCGCTCCTTGAGCAGCGCCGCCGTGGCCCGCTGACGCGCCGTCCCGCCCGCGCGCGCGCCCGCGACGGCCGCGCGGACGACGCGCAGGTCGTCGCCCGACGCGCCGTTGTCGGCGAGCGCCGCGTAAAGGGCGGCCCGCTTTTCGAGCGCGTCGGCCTTTTGTCGGAGCTTTTGCGCCTTCTTGCGCTTCGCGGCCGAGGCCTTCGGCGGCGGCGCTGCCTGGGCTTGCGGCGCGGCGCGCTTGCGCTGGGCTCGACCCATCGGCACCGCAAGTTCAAAAAGACGTATTGGTTGTGGTGCGCTGCTTCTCTCGCTCCCTGCTCACCAAACCTGCTTCACTTGCGCCGAGCATGGGGCATAAACAGCTGCAACCTCAAAAAGGAGAAATGGGCTAGCGACCTTAAGACTCTAGGGACAACGCGGCGCGGCGCGGCAACGCAAGCGGGTTTGGGTAAGCAGCGAGAGAGAGAGAGCAAGCAAGCAAGCAAGCAGGGGGAAGCTCGGCCCGGTTCTATTGAGGATAGGCAGGAGCAAAGCCCCCTTGTGCCGAGGGCAGGCGGGTTTCGATCCAGGACGACAACCATGGCGAGCGCCCCCGCCCTGTTTCACGATGTGGAGCAGCGGTTTATGAAATTGAGCGAGGCGCTCGAGGCCGCGACCGCCGAGCGCGACGAACTGCGGACCGCGGCGGCCGAGCACGAAAGCGGCCTGGCGAAGCTCACGCTCAGCCTCACGAGCGCCCAGCGCGGCGCGGCGGACGCGGAGGAGCGCCGGGCCGCCGCGGAGCGCGACGCGGCGCGCCTCGACGGCGCGCGGCGGGCGAACGCCGAGCGCGCCGATCGCGCGGAGCTGCGGGCCGCCGAGCTCGCCGCGGCGTCGGCGGACGCGCAGCGGGCGCTCGCGGACGCGAGGAAGGAGGCGCGAGAGAACACGGAGAAGTGCGCGCGGGCGGAGTCGCAGGCGCGGGCGTCGACGCTCGAGCGGGAGCGGTGGGCGCGGGAGCGCGAGGCCCTCGAGGGCCACGCCGCGTGGCTCAAGGACGAACTGGACCAGCGGTCGCAGGAGCTGCGGGACTCCCGCGGCGAGGCCTCCCGGGCGCTGGCGGCCGCGGAGCGCGCGCGGGACGAGGCGCGGGGCGACGCGGCGTCCAAGGCGCACCTCCTCGAAGCGAGCGAGGAGCGCCGCGCGGCGGCGGAGCGCGCGCAGACGGCCGCCGAGGCGCGCCTGCGGGACGCGCGCGGCGCGGCCGCGCGCGACCGCGCGGCGCTCGAGGCCGACCTGGTGGCCGAGAAGCGATTGAGCGTGGCCCTGGTCGACGAGGGCGACGCGCACGAGCGCGACGCGCGGAAGCACGCGGAGCGGGCGGCGGCCGCGGCGGAGCGCGAGGCGGCCGCGGCGCGGCGGCTCGAGGAGCAGGTCGCGGCCGTGAAGCGCGAGTGCGACGATTTGCTGGCCGAGGCGCGGGAGGCCGCCGACGCGCGCCTCGCCGAGGCGCACGCCGACGCGGAGGCGCAGCGGAAGCGCGCCGACGACGCCGAGCGCGCCCTGAGCGAGCCGCGGGGCAGCGACGCCGGCGCGGCGCGCTTCTACCGGCGCGCCGCGGACGCGGAGCGCGCCGCCGAGGCGGCCAAGGCCGAGCTGCGGCGGAACGAGCTCTACCTGGAGCGGGTCGGCCGCGAGATCGAGAAGAAGGCGTCGGTCTTCGAGCGCGAGGTCGCGGCGCGCAAGGACGCCGTCAAGGCCTACGACGCGCTCGCGCTGAAGCACCACGCGCTGGAGCGGGAGCGCGACGGCGCGCGGGCGGAGCGCGACGCGTGCCGCGCGCGGGCGGCGTCCGCCGAGGCGGAGCGGGAGGCGCTCGAGGCGACGCGGCGCGACCTGGCGGCGCAGGTGCGCGCGCTGCTGAAGGCGGGCCCGAAGAAGGCGCGCAAGAACGAGGCGGGCGGCGACGCGGAGGAGCACCTCGTGGCGTTCGCGGACGTGGACGAGCTGCAGCTGCGGAACGAGCAACTCCTGCGGGTCGTGCGGTCGCTGTCGCAGGACGTCGAAGCGGCCAAGGACCAGGTCGACTCGGGCGTGCTCGAGGCCACGCTCGAGGAGCTCGAGGCGCTCAAGCGGTCGCGCGAGTCGCAGGACGCCATGGTGCGGGCGCTCGTGGCCGAGCGAGACCAGTTCCGGGACCAGGCGCGCCGGCTGCGCGACCCCGCGTCGGCGGCGGCGGAGCTCGTGCCGGCGCGGCCGCCGTCGTCGAGCGACGCCGTCGTCGAGCTCCGGGCGGACGCCGAGCTGTTTCGGCGGGAGGCGCAGCTCGCCGCGCAGGCCAAGACCATGGCGCGCGACGCCGAGGAGGCGGCCAAGCGGGACGCGGCCGAGGCGAGGGGCGCGGAGGCGCGGTCGCGGGCGGACCTCGACTTTGAACGGGGGCGCTCGCGGCGGCTCGAAGGTGCCCTGAACGACGCGCGGCGCGGCGAGCAGACGGCCTTAGCGGATGCGCGGCAAAAGGCGTCGCGCATCGAGGCGGCGGAGCTGGCCGCGCAAACCGCGGAGGAGGACGCTCGGAGCGCGCGGCGCGCCGCGGCCCTCAGGTCCGAGGAGGCGGCGCGCGCCGACGCGCGGCGCGAGGCCGAGCGCGCGGCGGCCGACAACGCGGCGGCGCGAGTTCGATCGCTGACGGCGGAGAACGCCAGGCTCGTGGACGCGTTGAGCGGGCTGGAGCGCCTCGAGGCCGCGCTGGGCGCCACGAGGGAGGCCGACGACACGGCGACGTCCGAGCGACTCGCCTCCGCGGAAGCGAGACTGGCGGCGTGCCGCGACGAGCTGGCAGCAGCGCACGAAGCGCACCGCGTCGCGGCGGCGGCGCTCACGGCCGACGCGGCGGCGGCCCGGTCGGAGGCCAAGGAGGCGGACGGCCGGGCGGCGCAAGCGAGAGAGGCCGCCGCCGCGGCCGCCGCCCGGGCCGAGGCCCTCGAGGGCCAGCTCCGAGACGCGAGACCGCGGCCGCCGTCGCCGCGGCCGCTGCTCGAAGAACGGGACGCCGCCAGTCCGGACGAGTTGGCCCTGGCCTCGGTCCTGCGCCAGGACGCGGCGCAGCTGCGCGTCGAGTTGGACGCGGCCGTGGCGTCCCGGGACGCGGAGCGCGGCCACGCGGAGACGTTCCGCCGCATCGCCGAGAGCCACGAGGCGGCGCTGGCCGAGGCGACGGCGACGGCCGAGGCTCTGCGCGAGACGACGGCGCGCGAGCGCCAGGAGCTGCGCGCCACGATCGATAACCTGCGAGAGAAGGAGCGCAACGAGGCCGGCGAGAACGCGCGGCTCGAGGAGCGGCTCGCGGAGGCGAGGGCGGAGCTGGCGACGGCGCGCGAGGCGCGCGACGCGGCGGAGGCGCGGCGGGACGACCTGATCCGCGCGCGGGACGACGGCGCGCGGCAGCGCGACGCCGCCACGGCGGAGAGCGAGCGGGCGCAGCAGGCCGCGGCGTCGGCGCGCGACGCGTACGAGCGCGAGCTGGGCCTGCACGCGGCGCACGTCCAAGCCCTGAACGCCTCGGTCGCCGCCTGCCGCGCGGCCGTCGCGGAGTGCGAGGGGCTGCGGGGCGCGGCGCCCGCCGCCGCGGCCCCGGCCGCGCGCGGCATGCGCGCCGACGAGGAGGTCGCCAAGCGGTGCGCGGCGTTGGAACGCCAGAACGAGCTGCTGCACGCGCAAGTGAGCCTCGCGGCGCAGACGGTCGAGCGGCTGCAGCGCCGGCGGGCCGACGGCGCGGCGGCGGACGCGGCGGCGCCGGCGCTCGACGCGGACGCGCGGCTCGCGGAGCTGCGGGAGGTCGTGGTCTTCGTGCGGCGGGAGAAGGAGCTGGCGGAGGCCAAGCTCGCCGTCGAGGCGCGCGGGCGGCGGCGGGACGCGGCGCGCGCGGCGTCGGCGGAGGAGGCGTGCGCGGCGGCGCGCGCCGAGCGCGACGCGCTGCTGCGCGCGCGGGACGGCGCGGCGAACGAGGGGCTGGGCGGGGACGCGGAGCAGCGGCGCCGCGCGGCCGCGCAGCAGCTTTCCTTACTGCGGGAGTCGAACGCGACGCTGCGCGCGGAGGCGTCGGGCCAGCGCGCCGCCGCCGACGGCCTGCGGAACGAACTGCGGCGGCTGCGGGCCGCGGTCGCGGACCCGCGCGACCGGCAGCTCTCGGACCTGCGGGCGCGCGCCGAGGGCGCCGAGAAGGCGCGGCAGGCGGCGGAGCGCGACGCGGCGGCCTGGCGCCGGCGCGTCGACGCGCTCGTCGCCGGCGGCGCGACGCGCGTCGACGCCGACGAGCACCGGAGGGTGGAGGAAGCGCTCCGGAAGGCCGAGGACCAGTGCGGCGACCTGCGGACGCGCGCGTCGCAGGCGGCCGCCGACGCGCGGGACGAGAAGAACCGCTGCAAAGCGCTGGACGCGGCCTGGGCGCGCGACGCGGCGCGCTCGGCCCAGCGCTTCCTGCGGGACAAGCGCGCGGAGGCGCTCAACCGGCGGGCCCTCGACGAGGCGGCGCGGCGGGCGCGGTTGCTGGAGGACCGCGCGTCCGCCGCCGACGCCGCCGCGCGCGCCTTGAGGGACGAGGTCGTGCGCGCCGAGGCGAAAGTCAGGAAAGCGGCGGGCATGCTGCGCCAGTACAAGGCCCAGACGCAGGCCCTCGAGGGCAAGGTCGCGACGATGGCGTCGCCCGCGCGCGCGGCGCCCCCCGCCGCCGCGCCGGCGCCGGCGCCGAAGAAGCCGGCCGCCTCCGCGCCGGCGGCTCAGAAAAAGAAGCCGGCCGCGGCGCCGGCGCCGGCGTCGCAGAAGAAGAAGCGCCCCGCCGCCGCCGCGGCCGCGCCGGCCGCGGCGCCGGCGCCGGCGTCGCAGAAGAAGAAGCGCCCCGCCGCCGCCGCCGCCGCGGCGCCGCCGCCCGTCCCGATGCTCTCGCCGCTCGCGCCGCCCTTCCTGCCGCCGCCGCCCGCCGCCGCGGCGCCCGCGCCCGCGCCGGCCTCGGCGAAGAAGAAGCGCCCGGCGCCCGCGGCCGAGGCGGCGGCCCCGGCGCCGGCGGCCGCCCAGCCCAAGAAGAAGGCGAAGAAGGCGGCCGCCGCGCCGGCCGCCGCGAAGCCCGCCGCCGCCGCCTCGAAGAAGCAGAGCGAGGCCGCCGCGCTCCGCGCCAAGCTCCTCTCGCTCCAGAAGGCGAACGCGGCCGCGAAGCAGAAGATCGCCGCGGCGCCCGCCGCCGCCGCGCCGGCGGCGGCACCGACACCGGCGCCCGCCGCCGCCGCCGCCGCGACGGCCGAGGCGCGACGGAAGGCGCGGGCGGAGCGGTTCTCTACTGGCGGGGCGCCGGCGCCGGCTCCTCCGGAGGCCGATGAATAGAGGGTGTCGCGCCTTCCTCCTCCCCCCTCCTCCCGCGCGCATTACTTTCCACTTACCATCTAACTAGCCTACTGGTAGGTAGCCTGAGAGTCAGTGAGACCCCGGCGCACTTAGACGACTCGGATGTTGTCCAGGTTAGAACAGGGGGGGGGGGACACCAGACACCATCGTGATGTTAACTAGAACCGTTAGACACGGCGGCGCCCGTTCAACTTGGCTAAAGAAACCCCTACTCTGAAGTTACCTCCTACCCAGATAACTTCACCCCCTATGCGTCTAGACGTCTAATTGTCTCGAGCCGCGGGGCTGCTGGACGTTGAGCTCGATCCGATTTGCGGTCCGAGCCACGCAACGGCGACGCAGTTGGGCCTGGCGTCGTCACGATGACTGCGAGAACAGCATCCGCGACAACTGACGCACCACCAAAATGACGCACACACGCAGCCAGAGTCTCTAACTTAGGTCGTGATACGACGCTGGCCGGCACCAAAGACCCAAATTTCCGGCTAGATTATTTCTAGGCGCCAACGCACGCCTTCTGCTGGACTACATCGAGCGGCACGCGGAGGCGTGCATGGTGCCTGATGGGGCGTGGGCAGCCAAAGCGATGGTACGCCAGCACCAGGCGATTCCAGTCGAGCCCCGTGGCGCGGATTTCGCGAATGACTTTGCAGTAGTGGCGGCCGCGCCCGACGGTGTCGCAGTTGACGTCGCGTCGCGTGTAGTTGTATGTCGTCGCCCCTCGAATGTAGTGCTCGAGCCAGCCACGGATCGAGACAAATTGTACGTGGAGCACCGCAAGGTCAGACGAAGCGTACGTTTTCCAGATCCGGTCATCCCCAAAGCCGCCCCGGCCCTCGCCGCAGTCGCTGTGCGTGAGCGGTCCCGTGGCGACTGTGCCGCCGTAATGATTGCCGGTATCAGTGAATCGCCATTCTGCACCGCGCGCGAAGACTTTGCTGTAGCAGTTCTGCACAAAGTTCGACGCATAGCGTAGCGGGCATCGCGCATCCGCCGCGATGCCAGCGCCCGGGCAATCGACGGGGATCGCCGACGCGAGGTAACTCTTAAACGGACGGCCCGAGCGATCGAGACGTGAGAGAGCCTCGACCAGCGTAGTTCGCGACCATTCGACACGCGTGCCCGCGCTCAACTCCGTCCTGTCCGAGAATTGTCGGCGCACGCCGCCGTGCGAGACCGTCATGAGCAGCTCGTCAACGTCGAGCGGGAAGATGTAGTCGGAAGTGGCGTTGTACGCGCGCGCAACGTGCGACCACATGGCCGCCTGCGCGGAACGAACAGCTGGAATCTGACGACGCCCACCGCGCGATTGAAGACACCTCGTGGATTTATGCTTTCCGCGCGCGGGGGCGCCTTGAACAAAAACGGTCCGTCGCAGCGCCAGCGATGCGCACCCTTGACGGTAGCGTCGCGGAGCACCTGAATCGTCTCCTCGTCGGCGCCATTGTGGTCGATGAGCACGAGCTCATCGTATCGAAGCGCGCGTGCCATGTGCGCTACCCAGGCTCGCAGCTGCCGCGCTCCGTCGCGTTCGAAGACGATGGCGCGTAGCAGCGCGCGGCGGCGCGGTGGCTGTGTCACCTCAGAACATGCCCAGCTGTTGGACTGCCGCTCGCGCGCTGGCCGAGGTGAAACGTCGCGGGCAGCCGTCCGCTTGTGCGGCCCGCGTCGACCGTCGCGCCGCCGCCGAGCAGCGTGCGTCGCGCGGCCCGCCGCCGCCACCGCCACCACCGCCATCATCGGCGCCATGGCAGCCTTCCATGCGCGCATCATACGTGTATGGTACCGTAGGTACGGTACCGTAGGTACCGTACCGTAAGTATTCACTGGATTCAGCGATATTAGCTTGGTATGTGCTTGAATCTAATGAGCTGGGTGCAGCAAGTGCACAATGCAGCTGTTGTAGCTAGGTCTCTCGGGTGTCAATGTGTCACGGAGATACCAACAGCCTCAGCTGATTGTACTAAAGGTAGCTTGCATTTTTGGTAGGTCGAGTACTAAGCCCCATTTCTGTTGCTGTTGTAATGACACCAAAATTCCAGCGTTGAGGTCCTTGCAAACCACCACTGGGAACTGCAGTCTGATTTTTGATGTCAAGTACAGTTGGATCCAGGGAGCTATCCCCCGCTTCGGTAAGACACAAATAAAAAAATAAAATCAAAAACACAAGACATCCCTTCCTCAAGGGGTACTAATATATTTAGTACCACTTGCCTTCCTTAGGTCGCGTGCGGGTTGAGAGCAAGAGGTACTATACTAAGTCTTATAGTACCTTGTTGAGAGCAGCCTATGCCACGGCGCTGGGGGCCCAGGATTCCTGGCAAGCTTTGCATTTTTAAATATTTGTACCTGTCGTCGTCGCGCTAAGTTGATCACGCCACCGCCGCGCCCCTTGCAGCGACCGCTGCTTGACCGGGGCAGCCTCGGAGTGCTGCCGGATGCGCCTCCTCGCGGCGGCCATCATGGGCGCGGCCGCGGCGGCAACTCCGGAGCCCAGCGTCGCCGTTGCGGTGGTCGCCTGCGGCCGGTTGGCGGGAGAAGCGCTGTTCGGCATGTGCGTCCGGAGCCTTCGGGGGCCTGGCGCCTTCGCGGGCGCGATATACGCGCTCACGGACCGGCCGGCGTGCGCGCCGGCGACGACGACCGTGGCGGCGGTCCGCGCGGAACGGGGCGGTCTCTTCGGCTTGGAGTGTCGCCGACGCGCCGCGAAGCCATCGCGACCGCCCGCGCAGGTGCCGGTGCGCGTCGAGCCGCGCTGCCAGCAGGGCGCGTCGATCCTCTACAAGCAACTGAAGATGCGGCTGCTGGACGTGGTTCGCGAGGACGTCGTGTGGTACGTCGACGTGGACGTCGTCGCGGGGGCCCCAGTCGGGCCGCTCGTCGCCGCGGCGCTCGCCGCGTTCCGGGACCCCGCGACGACGCTCGCGGCCTACGACGAGGCCGCCGTCACGGCCGACGCGCACGACAGGACGCGGCTGCTGCGCGAGCCGTACCACGGCGGCGTCTTCTTCGCCCACCGGACGCGGTCGGCGCGGTGCCTGCGCGCGTGGGGCGCCCGCGTCGCTGCGGCCATCCCGGCGCACGGCCGCGCGGTGAAGCGGTCGTCGATCCGCGACCAGCCGCTGCTGGCGGCGACGATCCGCGAGGGCGCGTGCGTCGTGGCGCCCCTGCCGCCGGCGACGCTCTCGAAGCCGTCGCGGTCGACGATCGAAGGGGGGCGCTACGCCGTGCTGAACCACCTCTCGCGGTCGTCGCGCCTCAAGGGCAAGCGAAACATGCACAACCTGACGCGGGCCCACCTCGCGCGGCTGGGCGCCGACCTGCTGGGCGTCCGCGGGGCGCGCGGCAACTGGTGGGCCGCGCCGGCGGCGTGCGCGCCGCGGGGAGGGGATGGTGGAGGCGACGCCGGCGAGGCTCTCGTGCTCGGGTGCGGCGATGGTTAAGTTGTGTACCGAGGTCCTGGACGAGCATACCCCCCACGTAGGACGGGGGCGGACCCCAAATTTGAGACTCGAGTTCCTAGCCACTTAGCCGGGGGCGATTTTGGTTGCGGGGTCCCAAAGAGTCCCTTTGTACGCCCCCTGACCGGGCTGGGGGGAAGGGGTCACTTTCGCGGCGAGACGCGGTCGCGAAGTTGCCCATCTGGGGCCTAACGTGCGGGTATTTCGGGGACCGGACTGAAAAATCAAAACTCGCTTCTATGCTGGTAATTTGGTCTCCCAGGGGGGCTTGGGTACCTATGGCGTGGGGCGGATACGTAGGCGCGGCCGGGTACCCGATGGGCTGCCAGATAGGTCGCCTGATGCGGCACGAAACGCCACTCGCGAGACCTTCGCAGGCCACTAAAATTTCCAAACCTAATCGTTTCGCTTACCCGTTTCGGTCACGTCCCAGAGGGGTATATAGGCCCCTCTGGCTCAATTTGCCACCGGCCAAGACGTCTAGTTATAGAGATACGGCAAATTTGGGGGTTGTGTCCGCCCCCGTCACGTAGGACCCACGTGGACGACCCACGAAGTGGCTAGTTGCCATTAACCTGTTAATTACCCGTTATTAACCTATAATTACCCCTCGGAGGGGATCCGGGGTTAATAACCCGCTCAATAACCCGACGGGTTTTCGACTAAACCCGTTTAGTGAGTTTAGCGAAAGACCACTCCGGGCGAGCGGATGGGCGCAAGCAGCCCGTTGAGCTTTTGGATACGTACAGGTGCGCCAAGGCAAGTACCAAGTCATGTGGCCCGGCGCGGCCCAGGCCAGTGTAGAAATCAAACATAGGGATAGGCCGGCCCATACAAATATTAATTATTAATTAATTATTGTTTCGGCCGGCAGACACCTCCTAAAAATTCTGCGCGCGCGCGTTACCCCCCCCTCCGGCACGTAACTAGGGTAACGCGCGATGCTCCATATCCGCCTCCTGAGCCTTCCAGGCCACCAAAGATAAAGCTCGGTGTCTGCTGGAACCATATTTTACTTGAGTTTTACCCTTTTAGGCCCGGCCTTTGGACAAATAGAACACCTAGGTGACGGGTTTTGCTAAATTTACCCCCCCTCCCTCTAGTTGAACTTTACGTTGAACTTCAATCTGACGAAGCAGAAATATCCCAGGCCTATTCATATAATAATTTGATTTCTACACTGGCCCAGGCCCGCGCCCATCGTATAACGCCGCCGACGCGACCCCTCTATAAGCTCCCCGGGTGAATTACCCCACTCACCCGTTATTCACCCGGGCCGGGTAATTCACCTCCGGAGAATTCCGGGTCGCCGGGCTGTCGCGTTTAGACCACGCCTCCCGAGCCGCTGAAACGTCTAGGTGGGAATAGCTATAGTCAATTCGGGTTTCGGTGGGGCGCGCCCAAGGAAGGGTGACGGGGGAGCTATCCCACGCGAGCGTGTACGTAAGCTTGCTGCCGGTCGTAGAAGCGTGCGTCGTCGTCGCCGTGCCCGGGCGCGTTGGTGAAGTCCGGGTTCCCGCCGACGAGCCGGAGGCCGTCGATCTTGATCCGGGCGTACTCGCGCGCCGTCTAGGTACCTTTGCGACGTAAATTCGGGTCTGTCGCGTTTAGACCACGCCTCCCGAGCCGCTGAAGCGTCTAGGTACCTTTGCGACGTAAATTCGGGTTTACCCTGGATTTCTCGGAGCGGAGGAGTCGTTGTCTATACTCGACAGGTCGCCGGGTAATTTGCAGCCTCTAAAGGGAGAAAGAGAGAGAGAACACTTAGCGGGACGAGCGAGGAGCACAGGGCGGCGGCTAGCCGAACGTGTTCTCGCCCGAGTACGTCACGTAGAGGAAGCCGTCCTCGTCCTTCTGGACCTCGTAGACGGCCGACATGAGCGACGCCGTCGGCGGGATGACGTTGTCGACGAAGATGAAGATGGCCTTCTCGGGCGGCAGCTTGATGCGTTTACGGATGACGTAGATGAACTGGCCCACCGTTAGGTCCGCGGGCACGAGGTACTTCTTCTTGTCGATGTCGGGCACGTCGCTCCGGTCGGCCCGCTCGCAGATGACGGGCACGCGGTCGGGGTACTTGGCGCGGATGCGGTCGCTCTCGGAGCGGCGGCGGTCCTGCGCGGCGGCGGCGCGGTGGCGCGGGCGCGGGCGCGGCCTCTCTCGCGCATCGCGCGCGCGTCCGCAGGCTTTCGGTGACGCGCGCCGGGGGCGCCGCGGTCGTTTCGCGGCCGCGGCGCCCGTCGGCGTCGCCTTCCCGGAGCGACGCGCAGTCCCAAAAAAAGTTCTTCGAAACGCCGCGCGGCGCACCAGCGGGTGATCGGCTTTGAAGCTCATTCCCGACGCTAGTCGCTTCGTGTGATGCGCAGATGTGTGCGCTGCGGATGATGTTCACAATCAAACAAGGCGAGCCGTTCCGGAGAGCGAGCTGCGTGTGAAGTCCAGCGTGTCTGAATGACAGACGCGATATAATGATTTTTGTTCCTCCCCTGGGGACACGAACACAGAGCAGGCAGGCTCTGAGCCGCGGCTCCAAAACTGCAGGCATGATGCGTAGTGCCAGCCGTCCCGCCAGCCGTCGGGGCGCGCGCCACGCGGTGGGAGGGCCCGTCGTAGCGCTCGCGAGCGCGCCGGCAGCTTCCGCGCGGGTATTGCGAGGGGTTGGGGGGGAGCCGCTGTGGGCAATGCGTTCTCAGGCTGGCAGGGCGAGGAGGCGTTATGAACGCAACGTATTTATTCAGTGTTGGCCCAGCGCTGCGGCCGGGCCGGGTGCGGCACTTGGTGGCGGCGCCGCGGCGGCGACGATGGGCGGCACGTAGGGCGCAGGCAACTGCTCCTCGACGGGCGCGGGCGACGGCACGTAGGCCGTGGGCGGTGGCGCAAAAGCCTCGCGCAGGCGGCTCTGGAACGTGAAGACGACGACGCCCTCGAAGCCATGCTGCTGGAGCATGGACTCGCACTTCTCCACGGGCATGTTGAGCACGTGGCGCGGGCAGAGCGTGTTGTTGAGCACGAACTGCTGGAACTTGGCCTTGGCGGGGCTGCCCGGGTAGAAGGCGGCGAAGCACGCCGCGAGGCCCTGCGGCGTGTCCGCGGGCAGCGGGGGGCACGACGGCGGCGGCCGTGGTGCGCCCACGCCCACGCCAAGGACCAAGGCTCCCGGCGGCGGCCGGCCGTCCTGGCAGTCCTTCTTCTTCTTCTTCTTCTTCTTCTTCTTCTTCTCCTTCTTCTTCAACCGCCGTTGATTTTTACGGACGGACGCGTACCAGTAGTTCTTGACGGCGAGGTCCGTTCGACCCGGTAGTAATTTGGCGATCTCCGCCCACTTGTTGCCCAGCTGCCGCTGCGCATCACGAATCGTGCGCTCCTCCTGCGGCGACCAGGGGTCGCTCTTTATCGTAGGGTCCAGTTTCTATACCCACCTTTTCCTACATTGTTTGCACGTTCGTATCCCTGAAATCTGCGTGTTCAGTTCTCGACTAATTAACGCCCAGCGCTTCGTGCCGTGCTGCTCGACCAGCTTGACGAGGGCGGCGTCCTCCTCGCGCTACCAGGCGCTACGTGTGCTGTGTACATAGTCCTGTTCCGATGGGTTTGTGAACCGCGCGAGCAAGTCCAGCCGCGAGCCGCTTTATTTGAGACCTTGCGCCTTACACCTTGCCTTGAGATCGGATAGTAACGGAAGCTTTGGCCCGGCCTGTTTGCTGGAGGTTCTCGGTCGTGACCGCGAACCCGCTGGCTTGCGACACGGCGCCTTCACCAGTGACGGGTGAATCCACTCGCCCGCGTCGGCGTCCCATCTTGGGAGAGCGACGTCCGCCGCAGCGCCGGCCTCGGGCAAGCCGTCCGCGCTTGCGTCGTCGCCGGGTGCCTACAATGCATCACCATTTGTCATGAAAACATCTGACTGCCAATATGGGAAAAATAAATTCGGGCAGCTAATGCGTCCTTGCTCAGTGTAGAGCAAATCGAGTATGCCATTAATATTTTTGCACACAGAACACAATCATAATTTTTTTTACAAGAACATGGAACCGGGCTGGAAAATGCGCGAGCAGTGTCGCCTCGGGTCTAATTGCACAGGACATGATGGGACCTTGCGCGGGAGTGCCCCGGGCATTGGCAATTTATGCCGCTCTTGTATTTCTTTCCCGGAGGCAATGGCCTCGGACCTTGGTGAGGCCTTGTTTCGTGCGGCGCGGCCGTCTCTTGAGAAGCACCTGCGGGGTTAGTTAGTTTATAAGTGGGAGTTTAATTATTGCTTTGCTTAGAGCCAGGCTGCCTAGCCGCGGGCCGCCGTGAGGAGGGTAGTTTTCACCTCACCGTGACTAGGGAATCAGTGCAAAGCTTTAAGCACTGGGCACCGTGCTCCTACTGCCTAGTATTTTTAGCATGACAGTTGGCAACGAGCGCCTCCTCGGTCAGCATATGACTACGAAACTCCGTCCGGATGAGTGTCGCCACGAAACCCGATTTAGAGCAGCAATTAGTCCAAAAAAAAACTTCACCAACGCGCCCGGGCACGGCGACGACGACGCACGCTTCTACGACCGGCAGCAAGCTTACGTACACGCTCGCGGGGGATAGCTCCCCCGTCACCCCTCTAGGCCGAATTGACTATAGCTATTTTACCACAAGACTCTAGAGCAAGAAAAAGAAGCGCAATGTGTGCGGTCAAGCTAGATACCCGGCCAACGGCACGAGACCTCTAACGCAAGAGAAGTTAGTGAAGACCATTAAGCCTACCGCAGCCGCCGTTCCAAAAACCATATAGTTGTGGCACTGCCCGGGCAGGCTGCCCTCGTGTGCGCCGCATGCGACGATGATGCCCTAGAAAATGAGGATGCGCTGGCTGCTCCTCCTCGCCGCCGCAGCCGCCACCGCGCCGTGCACGCGCAACGCGACGCGCTTCACGCTCTACGGCGAGCGCCACAGCGGCACGAACCTGCTGCAGCACCTCGTCGAGCAGAATTTCCGCGTGGACGTCCGGTTCCAGTGGGGCTGGAAGCATTTCTGGCTCGCGAACGCGTCCGAACCGCGCGCGCCGGAGCCGGACGCCGACGTCGCGGTCGCCGTCTCCCTCCGCGAGGTCTCCGCGTGGCTCGCGTCCATGCACAGGAAGCCGCACCACAGCCCGCGGCCGCGCGGCCAGGGCATCGGCGCGTGGCTCATGCACGGGCCCTGGATCTCCTACAGCTCGCCGAACCACAACAAGTGGCCCGTGGACCCCGCGGCCACGCGCGTCGAGACGGCCTCGGACGTGCTGGCTCTACGGGCGGCCAAACTCAAGGCCTTCGCGGGCCTCGCGGGCCGCCCGCGGACGGCCTTCTTCCGCTACGAGGACGTCCAGTACGACCAGGCGGGGACGCTCCGGCGGCTCGCCGCGGAGCTCTGCCTGCCGCTCCGCGAGGACGCCAGGGGCGTGGACCGCCGCAAGGTCGGGCCCGGTCTCGCGCTGCGCGCGCAGCGCCTCGCGCCCGTGCGCCCGGGCGCGCTCATCGCGCGGAGCGAGTGCGACCTCGACGCGCGCCTCGGTGGGCCCGCGCGCGAGTTCTACTGCCGCGGCGTCGACCGCGACCTGGAAAGGCGCGCCGGCTACCCGGCCGCGGGCCTGCGGAGCTGCTACCGCGCCTGGGGGCTCCCCGAGCCGCCAAACCCCTGCGCGAAGAAGAAGCCGCGCCCCCCCGCGCGAATGGGTCGGAATTTGAGGGTGGCTTTTTATGACCTCCACGACCCCATCGCCAGAGTACTACTCGCACCGCGAGCTGGTGTATTATCTTTTATCCCCCGGCGGTACGTTCTCATCATCAACCAGCGCGCGGGCGGCACGTGGATCACGGAGACTCTCAACTCGCACGCTCAGCTCCACATCGCCGGCGAGTTTGTGACATTCAAGCCAGCGGAGCACCGCGTGCCACACATCGAGCGATTCTTCGCCAGCGCCGAGGAGTGCAACGAGACGCGCTACCGCGCGTGCGGCCTTCGTATCCCGTACAAGCCGTTTGTCGAGTCTGAGGTGATGCGCTGGCTCGAGCGGCACGCAGAGCGCGTCGGCGCGATCCTCGTCACCCGCTGGAACAAGCTGTCGCACCTGGTGTCGCACACGAGCACACGTGAGATTCAGAAGGCGACGGGCGACATCGGGAAGGCCTATCACTGCCGCGACCACAGGGCGTGCGCGGCCCACGGAGTCGAAGTGACGATAGAGACGCCGACGTTACTGAAGCAAATGAGAGAGATGGTCGACGCGGACACCCAAATGCGAGCGTTGCTGAACCACAGCAAGCTGCGCTGGCGAGAATTCGTATACGAGGACCTGATGACTGGGGGGTTCGCAAGCATGATCGATTTCCTGGGAGCCGACCCGAGCTCGCGCGTCAAATCGACGCTCGTCAAACGCATCACGCGCCCGCTGGCCGAAACCATCGAGAATTTTGGCGACGTCGAGCAGATCATCGGCTCGAGGCTGCCATACCGATGCTTTCTGGAGCTCGACGTGAGCGAGACGAATGCAACGAGCGAGTGCGTGGCACTGCGGCATGCCGCGAATCGAACTCATCAAGTGGGTAAGATACTAGCAGATTTACTCATCTCAACAAGAGCTATGATCTTGAGGTTCTAGGCATCACAACAACAACAAGGGCGCATACAAACAATTTCGAAAGAACGTACACGCTCGGGGGGTTGGGGCGACGGGTTGACATGAGGACGCGCCCGCTCAGTTGTGCGCCGACTTCCCCTTTGATTTTTACTGTGTTGACGTAGGCCGGGTGCTCATCGGAACGCGGGGAGCGAGAGAAACGTTTTACGGGGGCGGTGCGATGCATAGGGAAATAGAGTGTGTAGCTCCGGACTTCCCCGGCAGCGTAGTGTAGTCGTCTAACGAAATAGTTTCTCCCATGTTTGATGGGGTTTGTGACGGGGAATTACGTCCGTCAATTAAAGGTGACTCAGGATGATAATAGTTAGGAGTGAGAGGCGACTTCCCCCTACTAAGGGGATATCGGAGTACCCTAGGATGGGAAGTAGCCTAGGCGGGTAATACAAGTACGGGTTGTGCTTGGATACGTCTCAGTTGAACCTTGGGATCCTACTAGACGTGTATTTCCATTGCACTCCCCCATTGTCGTGATCGTGATCAGATTGCGATAATCATGAAATCGCGGCATGATATTCGCGCATCTTCAAATACCTTATGTCAATATGCTTGGAACGCCCGCTGGAAACAGGGTTAGCAGCAGTTTGAATTGCCCCTAAGTTGTCTCCAAGAATCCGAGTGGGGGATAGCGAAGAAGTGTGAATGTTAGCCTGGGAATTACGTCCGTCAATTAAAGGTGACTCAGGATGATAATAGTTAGGAGTGAGAGGCGACTTCCCCCTACTAAGGGGATATCGGAGTACCCTAGGATGGGAAGTAGCCTAGGCGGGTAATACAAGTACGGGTTGTGCTTGGATACGTCTCAGTTGAACCTTGGGATCCTACTAGACGTGTATTTCCATTGCAGGCGGAAAGGGCAAGCGGCGAAGAACAGGATTCTGACGAGCGGCGTAAAACAGCTAAAATGCTAGTGGCGCAAAACTCACTAGGGCCTGTGTGCCCCGTACCAGTAACGGTACGGGGCAACCGACAGGGTGAACGAATCGCGGACACCGTCGGGCACCGCGCCGGGAGCGCGCGCCGAACCGGTCAAGCCCTGCCCCGCTTTTACCCTCTCGGGTGGTCCCGCGCCATCACGTGAAGGGGAGTTCCAATTGCGGGCTAGCGGCCCGTAAGACACTAGGCATCCGAGCCCGAGCGGGTCGCGTGGGCGCGTTTGACCGCTGCGCATTGCACCGGCGCGAGCAAGAGGACGCATCCTCCGCCGCGGCGGAAGCACGACGTGTGCAGCACTCGACGCCCCATGACCCTGCGCGAGTGGCTCCCGACCGCGGGCGAGGTCGCGGCCGACCTGGCGCACGTGCCGGAGCTGCCCGCCGAGTATGACGCGTGGACGGCGCCGTGGCGGGGCTACGAGCTGCACTTCTACTCGCTGGAGCGCGTGCGCTTCTTCAACGGCTTCGCCTGGAGCCGCGCCAGCGCGCGGGCCTGGCACCTGCCGCTCGGCGCCGTCGCCGCCTACGCGCTGATGATCCCGCTCCTGCGGCGCGTGCGGCGGCGGGTCGAGCTCCGCGCCTTCGCGCAGTGCTGGAATTTCGGGCTCGCGCTCTTCTCCGCGATGGGGTTCTGCGCGTGCGCGCCCGTGCTGCTCACGGAGCTGTACCGCAACGGCTTCTACTTCACGTGCTGCGCGCCGGCGCCCTGGTACGGCGGCGGCGTTTGCGGGCTGTTCGTGGCGCTCTTCATCTACTCGAAGTTCGCCGAGCTGGCGCCGCCGCGGCGTCCCGACGAAGCGCGCGCCTTTTTTCGCCGCGAGGTCGCGCGCGCAGGTCGACACCGCCCTCATCTTGCTGGCGAAGCGCCGCCTCATCTTCCTCCACTGGTGGCACCACGCGACGGTCCTGCTCTACTGCTGGCACTCGTACGGCACGCAGATCGCGACCGGCCTGTGGTTCGCGACGATGAACTACTTCGTGCACGCGCTCATGTACGCCTACTACGGCTGCATGGGCGTCGAGCGCCTGCGGCCCCGCGTCAAGAAGCGCGCCATTTTCGTGACGCTGCTGCAGCTCGCCCAGATGGTCGTCGGCATCGGCGTGACCGTCCGCGCCGTCCTGTACCAGATCGAGGGCGAGGAGTGCTCCGTGAACAAGACGAACTCGATCCTGGGGCTGGCGATGTACTCGTCCTACTTCGTCCTCTTCGGCATCTTCTTCGTCGACACGTACGTCCGTTCCTCGTCCAAGGCCAAGCGCGCCTAATTATATTCCAAGTTATCACACCTTATTGACATAAGCCGAGGGCTTCTCGACGCTTCGGCGCGCCGCGCGCCCGAGCGATCCCGCAAAGGCGCGCCGGTCTGCTCCGTCGGCGTCGAAGGGGTCGGCGCCCCGTAGCGCGCGTCCTATATGAATTTCTGGCGCCGCGGGGCGCGCGGCGCCCGTCACCGCGCCCGAGCGCCGCGTCGTGGCCGCGCGCGGCGGCCGTCACCGCGCGCGCCCGAGCGCCGCGTCGTGGCCGCGCGCGCCGAGCGCCCCCGCGCGCATGACCTCGGGCTGCGGCGCCGGCGGCAGGAAGTTCTCGATGGGCTCGCCCGGCGCCCAGCCCGGCGGCGGCCCGCTCGTCGGCCGCAGGCGGTGCGCGTGCCGCAGGCGCTCGGCCGGCGCGCGCGGGTCCCTCGCGGCGCAGTCCTCGCGCATGGGCGCCGCCGCGTCCAGCAATCGATGGAGGTCCGCGTCGAGCCGCGCGAGCTTCTCCGCCATGAACTGCGGCCCGGGCGGGTCCGCGGGCGGCGGCGCTCGCTCGGCCATGGGTGTCGACGCGTCTTCTCTCGCTGCTTATTACCCAAACCCGGCAGGTCTAAGGGAGGCGCTTATTTGCGCGGCGCCGAGCTGGCGTGCGCTGCGGCAGCAATTGCAGGGACTCTAAATGAGTCAAAACCGCGGTTGCACTCCTCGTGCCCTGCGCGTCGCACAGCCCCTGCGCCACTCAAAAACTAGCTCATGAAGTTGTACAATTGTTACTGTGACCCCCGCGAGCAAGGCGCGACTGGTGGAAGGCGGCCACTCCTCGGAGCAGACGTCTACAGACCCGTAGGCAAACTCCTCCCGCCGACGATTGCTCGGGTTGACTTGCCCTCACAGGCGTGACCAACATCAGGGCGGCGATCTCAATTAAGAGCGTGTGGCGGCGCAGCTGCAACGCAGGTCCGACGCGACTGCACCTAGCACAAGACCGCGTGCCCTCGTGGAGGATGCTGCGCGTCCTCTTGACGCTCGCCTTGGGTGAGGCCCTGAGGGCCCCCGGCGCGCTCCGCGCGCGGCCCGCGCGGCGAGCGGCCGCGCCCGTGAGCATGATGGCCGGCGGCGCCAAGAAGATCCTCGTCCTGGGCGGCGACGGCTTCTGCGGCTGGCCGACGGCCGTCCACCTGTCGGACAAGGGCCACGCCGTGACCATCGTCGACAACCTCAGCCGGCGGGACATCGACACGGAGCTCGGGTGCGACTCGCTGACGCCCATCGCCCACCCGGAGGTGCGCATCGCGGCGTGGAAGGAGCTGACGGGCAAGACGATCGACTTCGTCAATCTGGACGTCGCGAAGGAGTACGACCGTTTGGAATCGTTAATCAAGGACAAGCGGCCCGACTCCATCGTCCACTTCGCCGAGCAGCGCGCCGCGCCGTACTCGCAGAAGGGCACGAAGCAAAAGAGGTACACGGTGGACAACAACGTCTGCGGCACGCACAACCTCCTGACGGCCGTCGTCGAGGCCGACTGCTGCGCGCACATCGTCCATCTCGGCACCATGGGCGTGTACGGGTACGGCACGTCGGGCGGCGAGATCCCCGAGGGTTACATTGACGTCGTGCTGCCCGGCGGCCGCGACTCGCGCATCCTCCACCCCGCCTACCCCGGCTCGGTCTACCACACGACCAAGTGCCTCGACGCGCTCCTCTTCCAGTTCTACGCGAAGAACGACGGCGTGCGCGTCACCGATTTGCACCAGGGCATCGTCTGGGGCACGAACACCGACCTGACGTCGATGGACCCGAGGTTGACGAACCGCTTCGACTACGACGGCGACTACGGCACGGTGCTGAACCGCTTCCTCATGCAGGCGGCCCTCAACGTGCCCATGACGGTCTACGGCACGGGCGGCCAGACGCGCGCCTTCATCCACATCTCGGACACGTGCAAGTGCATCGAGATCGCCATCAACAACCCGCCGGCCGAGGGGGCCCAGCCCGAGATCTTCAACCAGGTCGCCGAGACGCGGCGCGTGCGCGACATCGCGGAGCTCATCTCGAAGAACACGGGCGTCGAGGCGCGCTTCCTCGCGAACCCGCGCCAGGAGGCCGCCGAGAACGAGCTCGACGTGAGCAACCGCAAGTTCCGCGCGCTGGGCTTCGAGCCCACCAAGCTCAACGACGCGCTCTTCGAGGAGGTCCAGGACGTCACGCAGAAGTACAAGGACCGCTGCATCCCGACGAAAATCCTGCCGGCCTCGTTCTGGAACAAGAAGCGCGCGCAGGAGGTCGCCGCGGACAAGGAGGCGCGGGGCGCGGTCGACTCGGCCGCGGCGGCGGGCGTCGGCCGCTAGGGCCGCAGTTTCTAGGATACCCCCTCGTGAAGTAATACGTCGTTGGTCAACACCCGCCCGGCGCCGGCCGTGCCGTCGCGCTACCTGTTGAAACGCGTATCGTAGCTACTAGCTAGAGGGGCGAAATACGAAGACGACGCTGCTGGGCTGCACACGAAGCTGCAGAGTAAAGCCAAGGCTAAAAGACCCATAGTGCCTGGCTTCGCCTTAGGCGTTCCTTCCCCCGGGACGACCCACCCGCCCCAACCCCCAACCCCTCCCTCTGTGCTTACCAGCACTATACACTCAGGAGCCATGACACTACCTACCACACCTCTTCAGGGGTCCCTGGAAAAAATCCCACTAGCTCCGTTTTACCCCCCCTTTTTTGCCCGCGGCAGGCCCGCGACCAGCTAACGTCGACTCGCTGAGTGCCGCGGTCAGGGCCGCGGCGAGAGGACTACTCTACGGACAGGAACAGATGGCAGTCGCGCAAGTCGACCCCCCTACTACGCCCTACTAGGGCTCCTACTAGGGGGGGCTATCATGATAGCAGCAATATCGTCACACCTAGTGGCTCGCCCCATACTTTCTTATACTTGCTTGTGTCCCATAGCGCTCCGATTGTGAGAGCGCAGGACAAAGGAGCAAGAATTTTGGCCCGCCCACCCTCCCTTGGTTGTTTTGGCGCGGGGGCGCGTGGTCCGGGGTCCCTGGGGTTGGCGCCCGTTGTGGCAACGGCCCCTTTTTCCACTTATAAATCTCCCAAATTTTATCTTAGCTTCACTATCCTAGTCTCATTTATCTTAGTTAGATACCCGGATAGAATAGGCCTAGTGAATACGGCACCTACCCTAGTACTGGTATGAGATTGGTATGTACGATCGGTCCCGAGACCCCGGCCCACCCAAGCTGGTGCTCCGACACACGGGAGCAACTTGCGCACATATCGCTGGAAAGACTGGCCGCCGCCCCGCGCAGCCGCACGCCGCGCGACGCACACCGACGGCGGCGGCGATGGAGGAGCCGCCGCGGCACGAGGACCACGAGGACGACGCCATCGTCGCCCGAGCGCACGCGCGCTGGGGCCCCCGCGGCTGGAGCAGTAACGTCGCGCGCGGCGTCCGCCAGGCATCGACGCGCGCGCGCGACTCCGAGGGGAGCCACGCTCGAGAGCGCCGCCTCGACGCCGCCGCCGCAGGTCATGGACGTGACCGTCGAGAGCGACCGCAAGATGAGCGACGCGACGTGGCGCGCCGGCGCGACGGCCGTGGTGCGCGTGACGCTCGCCGACGGTGAACCGCAGCGCACCAAGCAAATTTCGCGGCGCTTCACGGTTGGTGCGCGCGCAGGTAACTGCTACCACGAGGACGTCGGCCACGCGACGGCGACGGGCCGCGACCGCGAGGAGGCGCTCGGCGCGGCCAAGGCGGCGGCCGTGAAGGACGGCAAGCGGCGCGGACGCGGCGTCGCCTCGTCGACGCCGTCATCACGAAGACTGCGTGGCGGTCGTCACCGGTTCCCTTCGCAGGCGGACGCTGCGCTGCTTCGGCGACCTCGCGGCGGCGCCGTCCCCCGTTACGGCGGCGCCGCGCGCGGCACCGGCGGCGGCACCGGCGGCGGCACCGGCGGCGCCCGCGCCCGCGCCCGCGCCCGCGTCGCCGCCGCCGCGGGCCGCGTCGCCGCCGCCGGCGCGCGTCGCGGCCGGCGGGGCCGTCGCGCGCGCGGCGGCGGCCGCCCAGTCTCGCGGCTTGGTGGCGGCCCCGCCGGCGCGCGGCCCGCCGCGCGTGGGGCCGCCGGCGCGGTCGGGCCCGCCCCAGGCGCGCGTCGCGCCGGCGCCGCCGCAAGCCGCGCCGCCGGCGCACGTGCGAGCCGCGCCGCCGGCGCGCGCGGGACCGCCCGGGGTCGCCCCGGCGCCGGCGCGCCCGCCGGCGCGCGCGGGGCCGCCCGCGGCCGCCCCGGCGCCGGCACGCGCCGGCGCGCCGGCGCCGACGCCCACGCGCGCGGCGCCGCGCGGCGCGCCGAGGCCCTCCCCGGCCGGCATCGCGCGACCGGCGACGAGGTCGTCGCCGCCGCGGCCGCCCGTCGCCGCGCCGCCGCGGCCGCAGGCGCAGCGGCCGCCGCCCGTCGTCGGGCCCGTCGTCACGCTGCCCGCGAGCCTGCCGCTGGTCCAGGACGACGTCCTCGCCGGCCTCGACGCGAGCTTCTTCGACGACGCGCCCGGGCCGGCCATCCCGTCGCCGAAGCGCGCGCGCGTCGCGTGAGGCGTTCCAAGGTCCCCTCCCTCCCCGCCCCCAAGGATAAGCCACCTTCTCTCTCGCTGCTTACCCAAACCCGCACGCAAAGGCCCTAGCCCAACGAGCCCGTAAGGCTGAGACTGGACCCGACGCAGTCCTCAAACTGCACCTTCCGTAGGCCAGAGAGAGAGAGAGTCGCTTATTGAACCCACCCCCAGGTAGTACGGACCCCGAACGCTTCGCCACTGTGTCTATTGGGATTGGCGATAGGGTGTTGTTTCACCCTGCCCCCCGAGTCTCGCTGAACCCGTACGCTAGTGGCCTGTGTGAAGACACTACCAGTAGCAAGCTCAGGCTCTTGCGTATGCAAGTGTATCGTATATAAGTGTATAACCTTAATTTTAGCTCTAGGGTGTGATGCAGATGAGGCATAAGGCTGCGCAAAAGCGTGACACAAACAGCGCAAGCGAGTCCGAGGGCACCGATGAAAGACTCTGCTCTCTACAGCATCTGAGCATTACGCTCACCTCGAAGAAAGCCGCAGCGGAGCGATGCAGGCACCGCAAATGCTAGCCCTGCTCAGCATGGCTCACGCCACCGCGCACACGCGCGCACGCGTCGCACGCGTCGCACGCGTCGCCGGCCCCGCCACGGGTGCGCGAGGCCACGCGCTGTCGCCTCCGCGCGGACGCGCGCCACCGCGCCGCTCGCCCGACGCCGCGCGGGACCGACGCCCGACGCGGGACGAGGCTCTCGCTCGCCCCGCCTGGGACCGCTGCACGCGCCGCCTCGCCGTGCAGCGCTGGCTCGGCGCCACGGCCGCGGCGAGCGCTGCTGCGGGCGCCGCCGCGCCCGCGGTCGCCGCGGGCAGCTACGACGCGCCGGACCTGAACGAAGTGTCGGGCCTCGTCGTGCTGCGGGTCGCCCAGGTCGCCGACTTCCAGGAGAAGCTGCTGCGGGAGGTCGCCAAGGGCTCGGATTTAGGCGTCCCCGTGACGCCGCAGCAGTTCATGTTCGGCACGGAGCTCCTCCTCGAAAATTCGAATCTGGACGGAAATATAAAACTTATGATCCGCGAGGAGGTGCCGCGGGACCGCAGGGACGAAGCGCTGAAGCGCGCGCCGCAGACAATGAACGCGCTGTTGGCCATTTCCGGCGCCGCGGCCAGGATCGCCGACGCGGGACGCTTCCAGCTGACGCCCGACGACGCGCGGGAGCTCGCGGACCTCTACCGCAACTTCCGGCGGGAACTGCTTTTATTGTTCGCGACGCTGCCGCCGGATGCGCAGAAGCGCTACTCGGGCTACGCGGACGCGCTGCTCGCGTACGAGAAGGACCTGACGCGCGACTGCAAGGGCGGGGCCGCGGGCGGCTGCCTCACGGAGGACGACGAGCCGGCGCCGCCTGCGAAGGGCTCTCCAAAGGCGGGCCAGGCGCCGCGGGACCTGGCGAAAGCCCTCGAGGCGGCGGACGCGCGCGGGGACCTGGAGAGCGCCGCGGCGCCCGAGGCACCGCCGGCCTGGGTGCCGCCGGCCGCGAAGCCCGCGCGCGGGTCCTTCGCGGCCATGGCGGCGGGATACTAATGTGCATAGTGTGGCTCCCCTCAGCAGACGCAGGACAGGACTGGGCTCTATTGTACTTAGTACGTAGGACTAGTGGGCGGAGCCCCTGCCAGGGCTGGGGGGAGACACCGCGCGTTCGCCGATTCATCGGCGGCGGGCGCGTGCCGCGTCTTTCATAACAGCGTACCTCCTTCTTTAGAAGCAGAACCGCCTCGGCACCCCCCCCCCCGACAATGTGTGCGTTCGCCGGCTTGGACTCGCTTCAGGCTCAGGCTAGTTACGTCGCGGGGTCCCCCGTACCCCTCCCGCTCCCCCCGGGCCCACCCGTCCGCTTCAGGCTCAGGCTCAGGCTAGTTAGTCGGGGTGTTACAGGCGCTAGCACAGAGGACCGGCCCGGGATGCGGCTTCCAGGCTCCCGCGAGTGTGGAAAATCGCGGCTAGCGGCCTGTAAGACACTATCCCTAGGGGCTGCACGGCAGGCTCTGCTCAAGTATAGCTCTACAAGAGCTATATATGCCAAGGACCCTTGCTGCTCCCAAAGCTATATAGTTGCGGTGGCTCGTCCGCTCGCGCGCGAAAACCGACGACGGACACAACAAGACCCAAAAAGTCCGCCAGTGCTCTCCGATAAGAGGCGGACGCGCGCCGTTCATGCGCCGCGCGGTCCTCCTCGCCTCGCTCACGGCGAAAGCGCGCGCGCTGTCCGCCGGCATGGGCGGCGCTTCCGCCCAGCAAGTGACGCTGCTCGGGCAAGACGCGGCCATAGCTCTAGACGAGGACCTCATGCGCACGCCGGGCTTTTCGGTGGACCAGCTCATGGAGCTCGCCGGTTTATCCGTCGCGTGCGCCGTCAAGGACGCCTACCCCGACGCGTCGTCCGTTTTAGTCGTCGCGGGGCCCGGCAACAACGGCGGCGACGGGCTCGTCGCGGCCCGCCACCTGCGGCACTTCGGCGTGGCAAAGGTCGACGTCGTCTACCCCAAGCAGCCGAAGAAACAGTTGTTCGCGAACCTCGTCGCGCAGTGCACCGAGGTCGACGCGCCCGTCAGCGCCGCGCCGCCGGCGCCCCTGGCGACCTACGACGTCGTCCTCGACGCCGTCTTCGGGTTTTCGTTTCGCGGGGCGCCTCGGCCGCCGTTCGACGCGTTGCTGGAGGCGCTGGCGACGACGACGGCGCCCCTCGTCTCCGTGGACACGCCGTCGGGGTGGCACGTGGAGCGGGGGCCCCCGGACGCGGGCGCCGTCCTGCGGCCGGCCGTGCTCGTGTCGCTCACCGCGCCGAAGATGTGCGCCGCGTGCTTCCGGGGGCGGCACTACGTCGGCGGGCGCTTCGTGCCGCCCTTCATCCGGGAGAAATACGACCTACGGCTGCCGCCCTACCCCGGCGTGGCCCAGATTCAAGAGCTCGAGGCGTGGGGGGCCGACGGCGAGGGGTAACACAACCATTAAGAGAACTTGACTCGGACCTTCACGACTGGTAGGTCCAGGAGCTCGAGGCGTGGGGCGTGCCAGTGGGGAGGATTTTAACACAATTCACCATTAGAAGAAAACTAGGCGGCGGCGGCGAGCGCGTAACACGCGTGGAGGCCGCCCGGCGCCACGGGCGGGAGGTGCCGCTCGCGCGCGCCGGCGGCGACGGACCACCTGACGGACGTGTTTTCGATGGCCCAGGAGCCCTTGAAGGGCGACCGAACCAACAGGAGCTGCCACGTCTTCGCGGGGAGCGTGTCCTCGACGTTGTACGTAGAGCCCGGTTTACTAGGGTCGATGACGCCGCCGTGACGCGAGCTAATGAGGTTCTCGGCGCGGCCGAGCCCGAGCTTCACCGTCACGTGGGCGTCGCGCGCGTGGTTCTCGGCGAGGAAGAGCCCGTCGAGCTCGTAGATCTTCGTGGAGGCGTCCTGCTTCGACGAGAGCAAGGCGCCGCCGTCCAAGATGGCCGCTCGCAGGCACGCCGCGACCGCGTCGGCCGTGAGCCCGAGCGCGCGCACGTCCTCGAGCTCGCGGGACGAGTAGAGGACCGCCGTGAGCTGGCGCGCGAGGCCCAGGCATCTCCAATTGAAACACAGCGGCACGGCCGCGTACCGGCGGCCCGCCCGCAGCTCTAGGACGCCCGGCGCGGCGACCGGCGGCAGCGTCGACCGCTGCGTCACGGCCGCCCTCGCGAGCGTCGCGCGGCCGTCCACGAGGCTCGCGCGCGAGAAGTCCCGATCACTCTCGAAGATCAGCAGGAGCGCGTCGCCCATGACGTGGTGCGGGCCCAGGCCGCGGCCCGTCCGCTGGAGGAGCGCGGCGTCGAGCGTCGTATCCCTCGTGCAACAAATCTCGAAGGCCGCGGCCGGCGCGTCCAGCGACTTCGGCGTGTCGACGGGCCACCGCGCCTGCGCGAAGTTCCGCCGCAGGCGGCAGACCGTCACCTCGCGGAAGTGCCGCGCGAAGTCTCCTGGCTCCATCCAGAAGACGCCGTCGTCCCGATCGAGCGACCCCCGGCGGTTGCAGGCCGCCACCACCGACGCCGGTAGGGAGCGCCACTCCGGCGCGTGCCGCGACCAGGCCCCCCGCCACTCGCCGCGCGCCCACGGATTCCGCAACTGAATCAAGCGGCGGCCGTCCGGCAGGGCAGCGATCCTCAGGATGGCGTACTCGTGGGCCGAGAGTAACCCGACGCGCTCGAAGGCGCCCTCCGGGACGTCGTCCCGGCCGCACGACGCGCTCAGCACGAAACCCGCGCCGTGGGCCCGCTCCAGCGTTTCGCAGAGGCCGGGACGATGGCACGGCACGACGTCCGTCGGCAGCCCCGTGAGGAGCCCGAGCGCCTCGGCCGCGTTGCCCTGGTCCAGGGCGCTATAACACCCAAAGATCTTTGCGCACGCCTGCGTTCGCGAGCGGTTGGAGTGTCGCAGTGCGCCATCGCCGCGACATCAGACGCCGGGGCCGCGCCTTTTCCACGAGCGCGGGCCACAGCGCGGTCGCGACCTGGCAGAAGGCCGCCCGCCCGTCCCGCCGGACGGGGAGGAGCTCGTCGACGTAGACGACGCGCCACTCGCCCGCCCGGCACAGCCGGCACGCGTAGACGCCCCGCGCGGACAGGTCGGGCGTGACCTGTGCGTAATCAACCAGTGAGTCGGGTGCCCGTGCTGACCGAATCGAGCGGTGAGAGACCCCCACCGCCACGCCATCGAGCTGGCATCGCGTCGATGGCGTGGAGGCCATGAGTGAGCCGTGGTGGAGACGCGTCGCGACAGTTTGATTCATGCACGGGGCGTGGCGAGGACCCGCCGCACGAGCTCCGGGAAGTGCGCGAGGACGCTGAGCGACGACAGGAGCCAGCAGTCGCCGAGCGCCTGCGTGGCATCGACCAGAACGTCGGGCGCGCCCGAGCATATTTCACGGTGTGCATTCTGCACCGCGCCGCGCGCCCTGGTCGACGTCGCGCGGGCTCGGGTCGCCGTCGAAGACCTTGTCGGCCAGTTCGCGCGCGCGCCGCCAGCCGACGACCGCCTCCGTGCCCTTGCCGCGCCCCAGGGCCCTGCGGCCCCCGAAGCCCGCGTCCGCGTAGTCGCTCGCTTGGCGCTCGATGGCCCGGCACGCCTGCCGCGCCGTCTCGACGTCTCTTCGGAAGGCGGCGTCGGCCGAGAAGTAGTTGGCCGTCGTCGACGCGCGCGCCCGTGGTGGCTGCCGCTTCGGCGGCGGCGGCGGCGGTTTCGAGACGGCCGCGAGTTGCTCCGCCCGCGCGACGTAGGACTCCATGCGCTGCGCGAGCTTGGCGGCCTTCGTCCGGTCGGGCTCGGCCTTGACGACGGCGAGCAGTTGCGAGGCGGCCTCGACGAAGCAGTCCTTGGCGGCGCTTCGGTCGCCCTTGCGGTCGGCCGCGACGGCCGCCTGGGCGAGGGCGATCGCTCGGTCGAGGCTCATTGGTTGCTGGCCGTACCGCTCAGAAGCATGGTTGCTGGATAGCTTGTTTTTCGCGTACAGCTCGTATACCAACCCTTTGCAACGGTGTGAGTGAGTTTGGCGTAGTGACTACCCGTGTAATACTAGGCACTAAGAATGAATGTGGTAAGCCCTCATTACGTCAAGGTGAGCTAAGCCAGGTAGGAGAGTACCTACGGTAAGAGGCCTAGTAGGGGTATATTCTTCGCAGATTAAGAGGGAGAAGGAAGTACTAGTATCCTAGGATACAGGCCACTAGCCTCTGATATCTACTAGAACCTGAGAGGAGCTCTAGATAAAGGTAACTACAGGATCATAGCACAATCGCTGTACGGGAGATACATATCTAGGGTTGTAGGTTCTCGCTTAAAAATACATAATCATTTCTAGCTCGACGTCGTCAAAATACATAATCACACACAAAGAGCTTAAGCCAAAATTTGCAGCTGCACATTGCTCATGAAGCCTATCACTTGTCATATGGATTACCCTATCAATGAGCAAGTAGAGATACATCCTCGAGTTGGTCGCCGTCGGTAGCACCCCGGCCTGGGAGACGCCCGATCCACCAAAGACGGGACTACTATTTCGTTAGACTCTGCAAGTTCGGAATTACACCTCTGCATCGCACTGGTGTGTACACCGTGAGTGCCCTATGCACGCGATTCGAACGCTGGTGCTGCTGATCGTCGCGGGCGCTAGCATCGCCAAACCGCTAGCAAGGCATGCCCGTCATAGCGGCACCCATCATCCCCAGAAAGTTCATCCCATTCCCGTGGCCCATGGCAAGTCCAAGGCTACACGTCAGGATCGAGGTCAGCCGGCCGCCGGTCAACGCCAATGCCAGCCTTTGGTGAAAAACGGGGAAATCAGTCCAGCTGCCTCGATGGTCGATCCAACCATTAAGCTGTTGCTGATGAGCTCGCCCAAGGCCGGAGCGACGCTCGTCGAACGGCTCATGTTGGCGCGGGTGAACTTGACGGGCGCGGCGGTACACTTTAAAGGGTATCCGCTGCGATACTCGCACGAAGTCTTCCAGCAGGCCAAAGGCCGCCTGCCCACGCCAGGGCACTTGGCCTCGTGCGCGCCGGGGACGGGGTGGCTCTGCGTCGCCATCGTGCGGAATCCCCTCGATCGCGCCATCAGCTCCTACATCCACACGCTCCTCTACTGGAAATCTCTTGGAGCGCCCTTTCACGAACTGGACGGAAACGCGAACGCGTCCTTTGCCGAGTTCGCAGCGGCGCTGGACAGGCGAGCACGTAAAAAAGCGAGCCACTCCCCGGGAGACGGCCACTTCATGCCGCAGAGCGTGCCAACTAGGACCGGGGCCTTGCGCCCGGGCGTTCTATACGTGCCGATTGAGATGCTGACGGAACCCGGCGGCTACGCGTGCCACTCGCTCGCGAGGGTGCGCGGCACGGGCCTCAAGGCGGCAGAGGCGGCGGCGCAGGGCGATAATTCGCGGCACTACATTACAAAGGCCACGAGCAGTCCCCCGGGAAGCGAGCACTGGTCCTTCGCCAAAGTGCGGTCCGCCAAGAAGACCCCTAACTACGACTCCTTCTGGAATAACACGGCGTTCTGTAGGAAGGTCGTGGGCTGCCTCTACCGAGCCGACGTGGAAATGTACGTGAGCGCCTGCCGGGCACCGGCGTTGGAGACCTGCGCGGCCTTCCGTTCCGCCTGCGAGGTGCAGCTCGGGCGGCTCCGTGACGTGTGCGGGCTCGACGTTTGAGCGCACGTCCTCCCTTGCTTTGGCGCGGGGGCGCGTGGAAGTCTCTTGGAGCGCCCTTTCACGAACTGGACGGAAACGCGAACGCGTCCTTTGCCGAGTTCGCAGCGGCGCTGGACAGGCGAGCACGTAAAAAAGCGAGCCACTCCCCGGGAGACGGCCACTTCATGCCGCAGAGCGTGCCAACTAAGACCGGGGCCTTGCGCCCGGGCGTTCTATACGTGCCGATTGAGATGCTGACGGGGCCCGGCGGCTACGCGTGCCACTCGCTCGCGAGGGTGCGCGGCAGCTCTTTGCGTTTCGGGTGAGTCAGTGGCTTGTAAGTAGAATAGATACTTAGACTAAGGGGCCGGACGCCAAAGTGAGAAATTACCGTAGCTTTTCTCCCTGAATAGCTTGAACCCGGAAACTTGCTACGAACATACTTAAGGTAATAACTAATATTCACGCAAAACAGGGGCTGCAAACGGTAGGGGGCTTTGGGGTGCGCCGGCCGCGGGCAGGCCGCGGGCCGGACGGCGGAGACTCAAAGTTCCAAATCGACGTCGTCGTCCTCCGCATCGTCGTCGTCCGCATCGACTATAACCCCGCGCCGGTCCCCGGGCCCGTGGTTTCTCGCAGGAGCGCCCTCGAAGCTCTCTATTCGTCCCGCGTCGACCTCGACGCGGCCGCCGCTGTGCAATGATTTCCAGCTTTTCGAGCGCTTGAAGTTGTCCGCGGGGCTCAGGGCATACCCATCGTACTGTCCGCACCGTTTTTTGTGCAGTGGCGTGCCCACATCACGTATCGCACATCATGTGGTGGGAGAGCGATTTTGGCGCATCGCGAAATGTTGTGCTGCCGCGCTTTTTCTTGGCGCACCGCCTCGGCCGACCCCTTGAGCGGTCAGAAATAGCTTGGGGCTGCCTATGGGTGCGTTTAGGCTGCGCACGAGGCCAAAACAAAATCTCGTTTAATCGAGATTCACGGGTTTTTGCCGTTTTCAGCGCGCCGCTGCGCCCTAGTCCCGATCCCCGTACACCCCCCTGACCTCAGCCGGCCCTTAAGAGGGCCCTATGAGTCCCGCCGACCAATGCGCGGGGTTCGGGCGCTCGGTGGAGCGAATCCCTATGGTGGCGTCCGGCCCCGTCTTAGACTAGCTGCAATCCTCTTGATGTTGAGATCGATCTTTTCGGTTGCCATTACCGCACTGGCTGTACATATGCTAGAAAAATACCCCTATCCTTACCCTAGTAGTCCTTATTCCCTCCTAGACTATTAGAACGCGTATGAGCACAACCTCTCTCCGTACTTCAGTACCACGGGGTCTGGCAACTAGGGAATCAGTGCAAAGCACTGCCGTGCTCCTAGGCACCTCACTGCCTAGTATTTTTAGCAACACACATTGCAGCCCCTTATTTTCTACACGCTAGGAATCGTAATGTTCTTGGCACTCTTGTAAATCTTACGATAATACGATTCTGCCTGCTTTATGTCCAATGGGGAGGCCACTATTCCTCTGCAAGTGTCGACAGACGTGCAGACTCACTAGGCTCGAAACCCCCCTACCCTAGCCCCTCAGGCCTCCCTACAAAGCTATGCGCATATATGCAAAGCACGCTGGAATCACGCGCAGGAGAGGTCCGGACCCGGTAGCGCACCGGAACTCATACGAAGCCTGCTCTCAAGGCCGCACTAGCGACACGCAAACGCAGACCCGGGTGTGTGTTGTGAGCACACCCCGGGGTTAAACTAGGGAGCCTTATCGAGCTTTTCGAGAAACCTCTGGGACATGGCAGACCCGCTCGACCTCTTCCCGGGCGTCGCGCCGCCGCTGCTGGCGACTTTATCGGCGCCGGCCCTTCTCCGCGCGGGCGCCTGCTGCCGGCGCTGGCGCGACGTCACGCGCCGCGTCGCGGGGCGGCGGACCGCGGAGGGCGCGGGCCCGGCAGCTGCTGTCGCCCTGCTCGTCAGGACGGAGGAGTGCGAGGGGCGGAGCGAGGTTGCCTGCGCGCTGGCCGCGCTGACGCGCAATCTACAATGGGCGCCCGAGGTCGCGTTGATCTTCGCGACGGAGGACGCGGCCTGCTACTCGGACGGCAACGGCGTCCGGACGCTCGAGGCCGACGTGCGGGCGCGCCTGCCGCGCGCGTGCCTCGTGGCCTGCGGCCGGGCGCCGGGCGTGTTCGGACCCGTCGCCGGGGCCCTGCAGGAGGTCGTGGACGCGGGCGGCTGCGCCGTGCTGCTCTTGAGGGGCGCCCGGGGCGCGGGGCCGCCGGGGCTGCTCGCCCTGCCCGGTCGCCGGCGACGGGCCGACAAGGCGGCCCGCGGCGTCGTGTCGGGGCAGGCGCCGCGGCCGGCGCCGCCGTTCCCCCCGGATGCGTCTTCTGCGGCAGCGGCGCGCGCGGCGGCGGCGGCGCCGCCGCTCTTATTGGATGCGGTGCGGCGCGAGGAGGTCGCGACGCGGCGTCCGGTTTCTCGTCTCCGTCGGGCCGGAGCGTCGACGCCATCGGGGCGAGCGCTCGAAACCGCCGCGACCGCCGCAGGCCGCCTCAAAGAAGGGCTTCAAGCGGTCCGACGCGTGCCAGGCCGCGTTCGCGGAGGCGTGGCTGCGCGCGCGCGGCGCGGCGCCGCGGGACCTGGTGCTGGTCCTCTACGGCGACGCGGCGTTCGGCGACGCGCTCGGCGCCCGCGGCGACCTGTGTGGAAATCATCCAGTGAGTTAGGTTATCCGAAATTCTATCCCCACACAGGCGGCGACGTGAGGACCGGGCGCCTCGGGCGCGTCTGCGGCGGCGCCGTCGACGACGACCTCGTGGGCGGCACCGCGGGCGGGCTGGTGGACGCAGCCGCCGTTCTGATTCACCTGCCAGCGTCCGTCGCGTCGCGGGGTGCCGCCCTGGCACTCCAGGCGCAGGGCGCCGACGGCTACGAGGAGGAGCTGGTCACGCGGTTGCGAGGCTTCCGCCCGGACTTTGGACTGGTGGCGACGTGTTTCGGGCGCGCGCCCGAGGACTTCCACGGCGAGTCCGGCGTGGAGGCGCGGGCGCACGCGCGGCGTCTCCAGTGCCCGCTGGTCGGCTTCCTGGCGGGCGGGGAATTCGGTGCAGCGGGCGGGTCGGAGTTCGGGGCGCTGGGGTTTACGACGTGTCTGGGGTTGCGTGGTGGGGAGGGTGTTTCCTAATTGTCTATCGTAGGACCGCGCGGCTCGGCCCCTAGGAACAACAATATACATTAAGTGCAGCATGTCCGAGTCCTCGTAAGATTCCACGCCGCGCACTGGCACTAAGAACAGCCATTTCCGCGAGCGAGGAGGCTAGAGGACTGTCACGCCCGAGCGGACCGCCCCGAGCACGCGCCGCGACGCGGGGTATCCACCACCTTGCGAAAAGACGGTCCGCACGGCGGCCGAGTACCGTTGGGCGGACGTCGAAAACCCTGAGCCAGTCGTGAGGATGTAATCGCACGCGCCCAGCGCGAGCCAGTCGGCGTATTGGGCTGACAGGTCGACGCGGAGGGATCCCTCGTCGTGCTTCCGGTCGCTCCAGTACACGCCGCCCGACGTCTGGCTCGTCCACGAGACGTGGAGGGGCACCGACGGTTCCCACGCGACGACGTGGTCCCGCCAGGCGGTGCGGAGCAGCTTCAAAAGAGACGGCGAGTCGGCCAAGACGAGCCACTTCACGGACCGGCCCGCGGGCACCCGGCGTTCGATCGCGCTCGCGTGCCGGCGAAGGCCGTCAAAGTCGCTCGCGTTCCAGGCGACGTCGAGGAAGAACGTGTCGTCGTGGATGCGGGGCAGCAGCGCGACCGACGGGGGTGGTGCTTGGGCGTCCTTGCTGAATTTGGCGAGCGCTTCTGTTAACGATAGTTCTCCGCTACCTATTTTTGACACGTAATTGGCGGTAGCGCGCTGAAAGTACGTGGTGCCCTTTGGCCAATTCAAGGCCCGCAGGGCGCCGCGCGTGCTCCCGCTCCAGGCTTGAGCATTTTTTTCGCGAAGGTTGGGCGCCTTCACGACAGAAGAGGCGTTGGGCCCGAGCGCCCGGAGGTACCGCAAGGCACGAATGTGGATGCCAATCAACACGTCTGCGGGCTTGGGTGGCACCGTTTGTACGATGTGCCGTTTGATATTCATCGCGTAGCGCAGCGCGCAGTGGTCCCATTCGCCCACACGACCTTTGCCGATCGGATCGGGCAGCCACGCGTCGACGAGGCCGTTCTGTCTCATTTTGGAGTGTTCCGCGTTGCCCGCGAAAAGGAAGATCCACGTCATCGATTCGTTGCGCATGGCCGCGTCGAACCTGGACGCGTCCGACCCCTCGGCCCAGCGCCCCCCCGAGTGCGTGAGGTCTATGTGGGCGACGCCCGGCGCTAGTATTCGCACCTTCGAGTGCTCCCATCGTGTAGGCACTTTTAATAGTGTATCCATCGGCACGGGTAGCTCGCTGCCGCCGAGCGCGAGCTTGGTACCGCCCGCGCTCCATCTCGAGAAGTAGCGGCCAAAGTCGTTGAAGCCCCGGTGGTCCAGCGCGCGGAGTCGGAGCGCGTGCCGAAACGCGAGGTACGTGGCCGCGACGAACGCGTTCGCCATATCCCCTAGACCGCTCGTCGGCAGCAGCACGAGCTGCCGCTCGGAGGTCGTTGTCCGAGCCGCTATCGCCTGCCAAAGCGGCCGGCAGCGGCGCCGGACATTGTACGCGCGGATGGGGACGTCGCGGTACTCCTCAATGTCAGGCATGGCGGGGGCCTCACGAGCCATCATCCGTGCTGCGCTCATCGGGAGCAACAGCTGCACGGTCCGGAGCAGTCTCAACATGGTTCCCAGGCGCGGATGAGTCGCGCGCTCCCAAACCCACGGTGTGTACCGTAGGTGCGTCAAATGGGGTAGAGAGAGAAACCTACTAGCCCTAGATATGTATCTCCCACTCTCTAATATTTGAGTCTATACATCGAGTGTCAAAAGCACTACGGTGTAACAACAGTTCACTATAAAACACTCTCGCAGTCAGGCCTATCAGCCCTAGGCTGGTTAGCTAGGACCCTGCTACTTACATAACGCTGCGACATACTCTTGCTAGGTTATGGGCCCACAGGGTTCTGCCTATTGACGTAGAGTGTTTTACAGTGAATGCCTAAACAAGGAAAAACACCCAAAAAGAAATCTAAAGAGAAAACACCCCAACACTTTATGATGTAGGAGCCACAACTTGAACAATCCAATGTTGTGACCTTCTACAGGGGGAGTGCAAACTATAGTACGGTGAATACCCCTATTCTCCTTACTTACCTACTTACTTACCCTACACACAACGAATCGCCCACGCCAGCCTAAATTCACTATGTTATTTATACTAAATCACATTAAGGAAATTATGTACTATTGGGGAGACAATTATAAGATGCAAACCTCACATACCCTGTGCTCCCGTCCTAAACGGTACGGTGCTTTGCAGCTAGGACCCTGCTACTTACATAACGCTGCGACATACTCTTGCTATGGGGTACCGTATTTCTAAATATACAGCTACCTGGCCAGGGTATCTGAATGTGTCGGTGTGTGCCTAAAAGCTAGTTATAGTGCGTCGACGCTGGCAATACCAATAGCTTTGCTCCCGCTTTTACTCCACCTCAGCGGAACTTGTGCCACGCCGCGCCAAAAAAAAAGAGACGCATGGCCTCCGCAGCAGCAAGCCGATCCCGCGCAGGCGCGTTGAAATCCAACCATCAGTTCGCTGAACGAACGCGAGAACACACCACCACCACCACCACCGCGACCCCCCACGAAGCTCGCCGACACGAAAATGTCGAGCTGGCTCTCATCCTTGGGAGACACGATAAAAAATTCGGCCGAGGACCTGACGAGAGGCGTCCAAGGCAAGGAAACGGGACGCGCGGAGAGCGTCGTCGTCACGTTCGAAGGTTCGGCGTTGGGCCTGACGGTGAGCGATCACGGGGGGGAGGGCGTGCTCTCGGCCCTGGCGCCGGGCGGCGAGGCGGAGCGATTGGGCCTGAAATTGGGCGATAGAGTGGTCGCGGTCGGCGGCGCGCCGACGTTCAAGTATCCCGACGTGGTCGACGCGATTCGCTCGCGGCCCGACCGCCCGCTGCAGCTCAACCTCGAACGGCGCTCGGCGTCCGAGGGCCAGCTCGGGCTCGTGACGTTTCGGCTGGACGAGGAGTGCGACAAGGCCCCGGCGCGGCGTCCGTCGACACGCGCGGTCCTCGCTCCCGCGGGCCGGGACCATCCACGCGACGCACGAGGGCAATCACACGCAGGCCCAGCGCATCCTCGCGAAGATGCTCGAGAGCCCGACGACGGGCCCCCGGAGGGACGTGCTGGCGCGCGCGCGGGGCCTGGCCCTTTTGCGGCGCATAAATCAAGCATGGCCTCCACGCCATCTTCGTGATAGCAGCTCGACGACGTGGCGGCGCGGTCTTTCACCGCTCGCTTCGGCCGGCGCGGCCGAGAAAGGACTCGCTGCTCGATTCGCGCGCAGGCCTTTTTGCGCGTCACGAAGGCGGGATTCGCCTTCTCCGCGCGGTTCGGCACGGGCCTGGTCGTGGCGCGCCTCCCGCGGGGCGGCTGGTCGGCGCCGTCGGCCATCGGCACGGTGGGCGCGTCGTTCGGCTTCCAGCTGGGCGCGCAGGTCGCGGACTTTTTGGTCGTGCTCAACACGGATGCGGCGCTGCGGTGGCGCGGCGGCGTCCGTCTCCGCGGGGAAAAGCGCGCCGCGTCGACGGCGCGGGAGGGGGGCGACGACCACGGCGCAGGTCCTTCTCCGAGGGCGGCGCCGTCTCGCTCGGCGCGCAGCTCGGCGCGGTGGCGGGGCCGATTGGCGCCTCGCGCGAGGCGTCCGTGGCCGCCCAGCCGTCGGCGGCCGCGCCGGTCTTCACCTACTCCCTCTCGCGCGGCCTCTTTGCCGGCGTGTCCCTCGAGGGCTCCTCGATCAACGAGCGCAACTCGGTCAACGAGCGCCACTACCAGCGCGTCGGCGTGCGCGCCTCCGAACTGCTCCAGGGCCTCGTGCCACCGCGGCCGGAGGCGCGGGGCCTGCTCTCGGCGCTGGACGCGCTCGACGCGGCCGACGGCGCGGTCGTCTCGCCCCAGCCGGCGCCGCCGGCCTACTCGGACAACAACCCCTTCTCGTAGGCCTGCGCGGTCCCCCCTCGCCCAAGGGATCGGAACTAGAGGTCGGAACAAGGTGAGATTTTCTAATAGCGTAAGGGGGGGGCTGGCCATCCGGGGGCTGTTGGGTCCCAGGGGCATCCTAAGTACACGGCGACACTAGCTTGCAGAGCGGGAATTAAGCTCTGAACTTCACTTCGGGGGTCCTCGGGAGTCGGTCGGAGAGGTCTGTTTTCAAAAGCCATCGCCTGGGCCTGTATACATGTATACTATATATATTTATATACATATATATATATCTATATACTGACCGAGCAGGGAGAAGGCTCTTAGGAGCTTGTTCCTTTTCTTAGGTCACCAGGTCTTCCTTAATTTATTTATTTATTTATTTATTTGACTACACACTAGCGTCCTAGCGACGATCGCTAAGCGCACCCGGGCTGCCCGCCGGGCGGCCGGGCCCCCAGCCCCTTTAGTCCACTCGCCCCCCACAGGGCGCCCGCCATAATTTATTTATTTATTAGACCTCCGCCTTGGGCGAGGCTCCGGTTACGGGAGCTCGCCTTCAGAGGGCGATGAATAACCGTTCGTCAGACTCGGAATTTTCAAGTTCCCGCAAGGGCTTCTCCGTTGACCGAAAGGCCTTCGAGGCCGGTGTATGTAGAGAATTTGCCCGAGCGCGGCGGCGCGGTAACGATTCGCATTCGTTCGTGTTGTGGGACGCGAATATACGAGTAGCGTGCGATGTGGAACCGGGAAATCCGCTCCGCCGAGACGGAGAACCGACCCGCGGGACCAACCAGGGCCCTGCCATACTTACGTATGTCCAAACTCGTACCCCTCCATGCGTACTTCTGAGATCGCTCCCGCATGCGCGTCTGCATACGTGGGCCGTAGTAGGGGGGTAAATGGTTCAAGTTCAACATCGACCTTCAACTAGGGTATACCCCCCAGCAAAGAAATTGCCCCCAGACCCACAAAAATTACGATGGTAAGGGTCCTAGAAAAACACCAAATACGCGCCTGCATGCGGCGCATACGGAGGTATGCGAGCGTCTGCGTATGGCAGGGCCCTGGGACCAACCATAGTAAGGAGGACGTTACGGATTTCCTCGAGGCCATCGCAAAGGCAGGTGGAAGTATTGTACACGGTTGGTGCTGCCCGTGGAATTATACGTTCAACCCAGTCGTGCCAGATCCCGATATTTATTCAAGTTCGTTTCGACCCCCCTCCCTCCAAACGTTGTCTAGGCAGTTTCATTACATTACAGGTAGTCAGCAGAAGATGAGCAGCTTGTAATCCGTGTGTACGTCAGCGCGCGGGCATCCTCGTGCAAAACACTTAGTCTAAGTCGTGGTCGCGGGCAGCCGGGCGACGCAATGCCGAAAACGCGGCAGCAAACGAATCCCTTCTCGCCGAGATACGGCCAAAAACCATGAAAAAAGACATGCGATCGTCTTTTTTGGCGCAGTTTCGAGCCGATCGGGCCATCGCAGTGTCGGATATCATCGTCCGTGTGGCCGCCGATGATCTGAGACAAAAAGCAGCGGCAGAGGCCCATGGGATGTCGGTCTATGCGTGGTCCGCGTTTCTCGCCGTACCGTGCATCGGGCGAATATCGCGCTGAATGTCTAGGACTTTTTGTTGTATGCCTTCCCAGCCACCACGGCGGGCATATGCGGGGATTCGGCAGATGATTTGAGGCCCAGGGGGTTTCAAATGGCGTATCGCGCTCCAACAGCTGCTGAAGTCAATTCCCTTCAATATTATTATTTTTAGATGCAGCCAAACTCCCCAGTCATCAGGCAGCCTCGCAGCCCGCTGTGGTGCACCACAGAGCCACTTTTAGCCTGTCCCGCCATAGCTTTTTGTACGATTACCGGCGGCTGCTCGTCTAGATACCTGACCACGTTTGGTTAGATAGGGTTCGTTACGTTTATTTATTATACGGATTCCTAGTGTGTCGATACGCTAGATCACTAAATCTGTGGCTCGCCAAAATACAGCCACCTACACCGCATGCGCTGGCGCTTGGGGCTCTCCAGATAGCTCTGGATTGAAAACTTTGAGGACTTCAAGTTGGCCTTGAGGGCCGCGCACTGCCAAGCACCTTGCTTGATATGTATAGAATGATGCACGTCGGGCTGTGCCGTTCATTTCCGCCCTTTTGAGACGGGTAAAACGACTCCGGCTGAGACAGATGGGTTAGTACCGCAGGCAGGTTCGAATATGGTACGAGTTTGACCTGTTATTGGCAGTGATAGTTGGCACCGCGTGATATTGGGCACGCATTGTGCCACCAGTCCGGCAGCCTCCGGCCGTCAAGCTGCAGTAGAGCTGGTGCAGGCTTGTCACTGGTGGCCAGCGAACTGCGCTCCGATGAGGGGCAGCTGGCAATGCTGTCCCAGCGCTACGCACCGAGATGCGGGCGCGATCTGACGCACGTATGTGGCTGCCGCTGCTCCTCGTTTCAATAGCGACGAGCCAGAACCTCGTCGCGGTCACGAAGGCCGCGACGCGGGCGCGCGGGGCGTCGGCGCGCGGGTCGGCGCCCGGCGTCGGCGAGTGCGTGCTGCTGTGCGCGGCCGTCTGCGACCGAATCGACCACCACCAAGGCCACCATAATCTAGCGGGCCTCGTGCAGGTGGGCCAGTTCCTCAACTCGACGCGCGCGCTGGCCCGCGGCGGGTCGAACACGTCATTCGTGGTCATCGACTGGAAGGAGTGCCTGCCGCTGCACCCGGCACATGCCGTCGTGTGGACGCCGGCCTCCATCGATACGCGCGCGGCGTGGTCGCCAAATGACTTCCGGTTCGTGCTCTACGTCGCATTCCTGCGGGCCTTTCCGCAGGTGCGGCGGCTCATGATCTGCGACGGCCGTGACACGTTACTTTCGATTGATCCGGTCCCACGCCTGGCGGCGCACGCGCTCTACGCCGGCGTCAACGCCGGCGGCTGCGGCAACCGGGCGCGGGCGGCGCCGCCCCGCTGCCAGGCGTTCCTGCAGAAATGTCAGCGGGGCTACCTCAACGCGGGTCTGCTCGGCGGCGATCGCGACCTCGTCCAGGGAGTGGTGGAGGACGTCGTGGCTTTCCTGGAAGCGTGCGAGGTCGAGGGGAACTGCCGCGGGGGCAACAAGGTGCCCAACCACAACCTGAACATGATCGCCGTCAACTGCGTCGTGGCCCAGCGGCAATCGAACGGGTCGTTGGACCTGCGGACGGGCCGGCCCTTCCAGGGCGTCTGGGTAGACCACGACCGCCGGTGGGCGCTGGACCGCCGGGGCGAGCGCAACCTCCATCTAGACCTCGACGCGGACCTCCGCGCGGTCAACGCGACGTGGGCCCACGAGGTCGTCGCGCGCAGTTTCTTCGACCCGGCGGCCCATCAAAGGCGCCTCACGGCGACGTGACGGCGTGCCCGGACGCGGCGGCGCTGCGGCGTAAATAAATAATTAAGGAAGGAATATCCTAAAGAAAAGGACATACACCAAGCCTCTAGAGGCCTTCTCCCTGCGCGGCTAGGATACCCAGCCGGCGCCTAAAAAGAGACGCCAAAAAACGGTAGAGCAAATTCTCAATCTCCTGAGGCGGATCATCTCCCATCAACAAAGCCAGGCAATCCGCGTTCGTCATGTTGCGCGTCTCGGGTAAGATCGTTTCTAATTTCTGGAGAAAACTCCTCTGATGTCGTCCAGTTTCGGACACTCAAAAATAGTACTATGTGTAATCGTACTAGTACTAGTACTACTAGTACACTCCGATCCCAGATCAGACTCAACTTGAAGGCTTGTGGTCATTCATGAATTTATCCTGGGACACAGTACACGTTAAGCTCTCCGCCGGTGGGGGTCGCGCCGATACGTCGTGACGTCGGCAGCATCGGCGGCGCCGGGCGCGCCGCTGCGCCGCCGTAGCTGGACCAGGTTGCCCGCGCGCGCTGCGACCTCATAGTACTTCTCGATGGTAAAGTGGGTCCTGTGGAGGCGGACGAGCTCCTCATGGTCCGCTGGAGCGCGCAGTTGTGCGTACTTGGCCTCGAGGCGCGCCGAGTCCAGCGCGACGAAGCGGCTCGCATCGTGGAGGAAAATAGTCGCGTTGGGTGTCGTGAACTTGAGAGCCTCGAGCAGGCACGCGACGCGGAAGCGACCGTCGACGAGGACCGCATCCCACCCACCCGGCGGTGCGTCCTTGCCGATCGCGTCGATGTAGGACCCGAAGGCCCGGGTGCTCGCCGCGTCGGAGTGGTTGCGCAGCCACGCTGCGGGGTAGCCGGCGCCGCCGACCGTCTCATTCTCGGGTGCGAGGCACCGGTACTCGAGGGCGCCCGCCGCGATCGCGCAGCTGGCGAACGGCGCCGCGCGCACGCGGCTACACCACGCGGGGAAGTTCTCCACGGCGACGGCGCGCCCCCCCCGCGGCAGCGCACGCGGGAAGCTGTCGGTGGACCCGCCCGTGCCCCACTCGAAGTAACTCGACGCGCCCGTCTGGTTGATCAGTTGGCTGATCAATTGGATTTCGGCCGGCTGCATCATGTTCTTCAACTGCTGCGCATGCGCGTTGCTGCAACGCTCGAACGCGCCGCCAGCCGCAGCGGCCGCGCCCCGGACGACGACCGGCCAGCTGATCACACGCAAAACGCTGCCCCAGATTGCCAAGCGCTGCCACGCCGCCGAAGCGTCGCGGGCGGTCATGATCAATGATGCGACCTCGGACTGACGAGATTGGCATTGCTACCCATGGGCAACAGGTCACACTGTCGACAGTACTGCGGTACTTGCTGGTACCAGTAGCAAGAGTACCGTACCGTAGGTAGGTACCGCAGTATTAGCAAGAGTACTAGAGAGAGAAACCTACTAGCCCTTCCTACCCTAGATATGTATCTCCCACTCTCTAATATTTGAGTCTATACATCGAGTGTCAAAAGCACTACGGTGTAACAACAGTTCACTATAAAACACTCTCGCAGTCAGGCCTATCAGCTCTAAGCTGGTTAGCTAGGACCCTGCTACTTACATAACGCTGCGACATACTCTTGCTAGGTTATGGGCCCACAGGGTTCTGCCTATTGACGTAGAGTGTTTTACAGTGAATGCCTAAACAAGGAAAAACACCCAAAAAGAAATCTAAAGAGAAAACACCCCAACAGAGCGAAGAAAGTGAATATCCAGCGATGGAACAAGAAGAACTTAAACGGCTCGTTCAAAACGCGATCGAACAATCATGATCACAAGCTCAGCTCCAACAGAAACACGAAGAACAAATCAAGCGGCTGGAAGCAGACCGTGAAGCGTTAGAGGAAAGGCTCACCAGAAAATTTGAGGATGAAGTGCGTGAATTAAATCGAGCCTTCGAAGAATCAAGAGGTGAAAACCCAGACTATGCCTGTGAATAGACTGAGTTGATACATCCTCTAGTGGAAGCGCATCTAGTGGACGCTCGCGCCCAGGGGGAGTAGAGAGAGAAACCTACTAGCCCTTCCTACCCTAGATATGTATCTCCCACTCTCTAATATTTGAGTCTATACATCGAGTGTCAAAAGCACTACGGTGTAACAACAGTTCACTATAAAACACTCTCGCAGTCAGGCCTATCAGCTCTAAGCTGGTTAGCTAGGACCCTGCTACTTACATAACGCTGCGACATACTCTTGCTAAGTACCGTAGGGTCGACTCACCAAAAACGAATACCCAACAAAGAATTTAAAAAGTACTAGTAGGTTACTAGTAGGTTGCCATACGCAGGCTTCCGGGTACTTCTGAAGGGGGGACTCGACGGTTTTGAGACGGGCGGGTCCCGCCCGATCCATTGGAGTAAAGTCCCTCTAGTGAAAAGACCCGCTAGCAAACCTCGTAACCCGCACGAGCTCAGAGCAGCCCACTTTTTGCGGCCGCGCGCGGCCCAATCGGTACGCACAGCACACAGCAGCACTTGATAAGACGTCCACGCGCGCCGGCGCCCACGCGCGCCGAAAAATTCGCGCGCGTTGCGCCACAGAGGCCGCCAACCAGCAAGACCAGTGTAAGGAGGCGCTACGCGCGCCCTAATCGCTGCCCGAACCGCGTCCCGGACGGCGGGCGCGAACGGGCTACTTCCGAAGGCTGCCCTGGACACGCGGCGCGCACGAACAGCATGTCGACCGCGACCGCGCGACCGTCGTCGAGCGGCGCGGCGGCACCGCGGTGGGGTTCGCGCACCCATCAGCACAGCCGCGCGCTTTCGTGGGCCTTGAGGGGTATTATTAGGTAGTCTAAGGGCGAAAAACTTATTTTCCGTATTATGGATGATTCCGGTTGGCTTTATGGTGAGTCGACCCCGTAGGTACCGTACCGCAGTATTCACTAGGCCTATTCTATCCGGGTATCTAACCAATATAAATGAGACTAGGATAGTGAAGCTAAGATAAAATTTGGGAGATTTATAAGTGGAAAAGAGGCCGTTGCCACAAGGGCCCGGCCGCCGGCCCGGGAATTTCTGCCAGTGGTGTCCGGGCAGCCCGGCACCGTTGGCAGGGTGACAGTCACTATTATATTTATACTACTTGCAACACGCAATTACACAAACACAAGTCTCACGTCGACACGGGGCGCGCAGGGGTCCGCCCCCGCGCGCCGTGCGTGCCGATCCGGCAGAGCCGCTCCGACGCCCGGGCCACGTCGTACACGACGCCCGTCGACGTGCGCACGGCGACGGCCTCCTCCGTCGTCCCGACGACCCTCCCCTGGAACCACATGGGGCCCTTGGCGTCGCGCACCTCGCACGCGTCGCCGGCCGCGAGCGACGCGCGCCAGTCGTCCGTCCGCGCGAAGGGCGGCTGCAGCCGCAGCTCGTCCCGCGTTTCGATCCAGACGTCCCAGGTGTCCTGCCAGCCCCGGAAGTGGACCCGGACGCGGTCGGCCTCCGCGGCCGTCACGACGCCGTCGAACCACCGCCCCTCGCTGTCGCGCGCGTCCACCGCGGACCCCGCCGCGAGCGTCGCGAGCCAGGCGGCCCGCCGGCACCGGGGCAGGGCGGCGGTCGCCGCCCGCCGGGCGGCGACCGCGTCCAGCAGCCCGGCCGGGGCGGCGAGGGGCGGCGCCCGCGCGATGGCCGCCGCCGCGAAGCGCGCGGCGGCGTCGGCGTCCAGGCCCAGGCGCTCCAGCTCGTCGGACTCCAGGAGGGCGCAGGTCGCGAGGTCGCGCACGTCCTCCTCGGCGAACTTTGGCCGCAGGTGGGAGAGGTGCAGGCCCTCCAGGAGCGCGGAGACGGCGTCCCCGTGCCCGTCGACGACGTCGGCGGCCGCCCGGTCCAACTCGTCGCTGACGCTCGCGGCGGACGGCGTCGCCGCCGCGAGGCACCGCCCGGCGACGGCCGCCAGCGCGTCCGCGGCGCGCGTGGACCACGCGCACCTGCGGTCCGGCACGAAGCGCGCCCGCCGCGCGAGCCGCCGCGGCTCCGCGCCCTCGTCGAACGCCGCGCGGCCCGTCAGCAGCTCGAGGGCGACGACGCCCAGCGCGTACACGTCCGCGGCCCGGAGCGCCGCCGGCGACGGCGGCGGCGGGTCCGGCGGCCCGTAGCCGCGCCGCGGCGCCGCGGCGGCTAAAATCGGGCACGACCCGTCGACGACGCGGCAGCGCCCGGCGCCGCCGAGGCAGAGCCGGGCCCGCGCGTCGGCGTCGAGGAGGATCGTCGGCGCCGCGACGTCGCCCGCGCACACGTGGACGCCGTGCAGGTGCGCGAGGCCGCGGCCCGCGTCGGCCAGCGCGCGCACGCGCGCGCCCGCGGCCAGGGCCGCGGCGGCCTCGGCGGCCGCGAGCGCGGCCGCGACGGACCCGCCCGGCAGGTAGGGCGCCGCCAGGAGCGGCGCGCCCGGCGCGAGCGAGAAGGCCAGCAGCGGGTTCACGTGCCGGTGGCGGACGCGCAGCAGCGCGTCGACGTCGCGCCGGAAGCCGTCGACGTCGCGCGCGCGGCGCACGGCCACGTCGCGCCCGCGCCACCGCCCCCGCCACACGTCCGCCGCGAGCGGGTGCGCAAAGCCGTCCGCGGCCGCCGCCAGGTCCGCCCGCGCGACGACCTCGGGCCCGGGCCGCGCGTCCGTCTGCGTGCCGCGCGCCGGCGGCGCCGCGGCGGGCGGCGCCGCCGCGTCGAGCGCGCGCCAGGCGCTCGTCTCCGGGCCGAGCTGGGGCCAGGCGGCCTTGCGCGCGGGGTTCACGCTGCGCCACGGGCCCTTGGGGCTGCTCTTGCGCGCGGGCGCCGCGGCCGCCTTGTAGGACTTGCCGTTGCGCATGGCGCCGTGTGTCGGGCCCGTGAGCCTGGAACGACGAGCAGCAGATCATAGACTAGAGGCAGATAAATGCCTGCCTCGTGAAAGCCGTACCGTAGGTACCTACCTACGGTACGGTACCAGCCTGTGCGGTCAGTACAGCGATTGTGCGAAGAATATACCCCTAGTACCCGAGATACATATCCTTTCCCTAATCCCTATCAACACGTCAACACAGTAAAAATGAGTGAACTTATTATTACATCTAGTGCTTATATTATAAACGGGGATTCACCTATGACCTCAGTCGCCAATACCGTTGCCATGACCTCCTTTGCTGTACACACATTGCAGCCCCTTATTTTCTACAGGTTATGGGCCCACAGCCCATGGCGGAACTGGTCAGAAACCCCGTCATCGACGTTATTAACATGATTTGCTGCGTGGCTTTGTAGAAAATAAGGGACTGCAATGTGTGTACAGCTAAGGTGGTCATGGCAACGGTATTGGCGACTGAGGTCATAGGTGAATCCCCGGGTATAATATAAGCACTAGATGTAATAATAAGTTCACTCATTTTTACTGTGTTGACGTGTTGATAGGGATTAGGGAAAGGATATGTATCTCGGGTACTAGGGGTATATTCTTCGCACTCCCCCTGGATCTTGATAGTCCTCTCCTCCGAGTCTATGATGAGTGAGCTTGGTCTTCAATCACTGACGTCAACCTACTCCATGTGCAAAGCACCGTACCGTTTAAGTTTTATGAGATTGCTGCCCACCATGTCGTCCCTCAGAGTGTACGCCCTCAGGCTGAGAAGACAGAGTTGGAATAAAGGAGATTAAGAGGGAGAAGGAAGTATCCTAAGATACAGGCCACTAGCCTCTGATATCTACTAGAACCTGAGAGGAGCTCTAGATAAAGGTAACTACAGTATCATAGCACAATCGCTGTAGTACCTACGTTTTCGATATACCTCTCCGGCCTAGAATAAGTGTAACCGTTCAAAGATTTTTGTACCGAGCGTCAACGGTGCACGCAATTGGAGCCTTTAAATATGCTGTTGAATGCCGCAGCCGTGCGCGGCCTCATCCCCAATGTGCCGCCGCTCTCTCCGCGGTTTGTGGGACCGCCGCCGCCTGTTTCGGTCAAGCGCAAGGCCCTCTTTAGCCCGACGGGCAGCCGCGACATTCCGCACCCCGTTAAGTTCGAGAACCTCGTGCCAAGCATCTGCCTCTACAAGCATCGCTTCAAGGACGAAGAGCCCCCGTATTTTCAGCTAAAACATGGTAAAGGCAGGAAATCAAACCTCACCAACTGCGCCGCGGCGAACCTATTACGCGAGTACGAGCTGGTCAAGGCGAACGCATTACCGGGCACGTGTGCTGACGTGCTGGAGCACTATCAGACGACGAAAGCCACCATCTCGCGCCTCAAAAAGAGACTAAAAGCTACCGGAACCACAGACTCGAGAAAAAAAGGTACATCTGCAGCGTCCTTTGGTCACTTCAACGGCCGCCGAGAGTCGCCCAGCGACTGCGTCGACGCCACGCGAGAGAGCGCCGCTCGTTCGGGTCGGTACGGGGGGTTCGCGCGCCGCGACGGCAGGCCCCATGGGCCCCCAGCGGAGACTAAACTGAAATTTATCCTAAGGTAACGTGGGGAGGACGAGCAAGGCCGACGACCCCCGGATTATTAAGCAGACGCGCGATGTTATAGAAAGAACCGCGCTTTGAAGACGCGCGACGTGCGCCATCGGGGTCCAAGACGGCGAGGGTAACAACATCGGCCTCACTACGGTTGGATAAAAAAGGTTTCACCTTCAGGCGCGGGCGTCACTCCACGGCCCAGGATCGTGGATCAGAAGCACGCCGACGCTGCATTGGCTGATGCCGAATACATCGCCAAGCTAATTTCGAGAGATCGCGATGTCGACGAAAAGTACTTCTTTGTCCCTGGTTACCACGAGAAGTACACATACCATAAAAAGAAGAGCCTCCAGCCAAGGAAGCGTACAAACGATGCAAAAACAAGAACCACCTCATGAAGATCATGGTCATGGCGATGGTCTCGCAGCCAAAACGGTCAAAGGATGGGTTGAGCTGGGAGCGAGACGGCAAGGTAGCATCTGGCGGGTGACGGAGGAGAAAGTATACGAAAGGGCATCATAGAAGGCGCGCATTGAGACCAGACAAACGATTCACGAAACAAGTCGGAAAGATGGTTAGAGAGCCAGTCTACAGCAGAAAGGCGGGTGACAAGTACCAGGTCGACTGCTCCATGGATGGTGCGAAGTACTGCGAGATGATGGTTCAGACGAATGGTGGCCTGGCAGCCGTCCAAAAGTACTTCAAAGACTCTGGATTGGACTGTATCGAAATACAAGAAGATGGGGCACCCGGTCACGGCTATGACAACCATACTTGGCCTCCGTCGCGGACGGAGAACCACAAAACTTTAGATAAGGCTGCCAAAACGTACCGAATTAAATTCCGAAAGCAGGCAGGCCACTGCCCCTCGCACAACGCCCTCGACCAGGCGGTGTGGACGCACTTGGCCAGCCGTGTGCGCAAGCGCGTCAATGAATTCAAGGAGCAGATGCCGAAGGACAAGTTATTAGACTTGCTGTGGAAAGTCATCGAGGAAGAATTTTGGGCTATGGACCCGGAGATCCTCGACGACTGCTTCTGGTCCAAGGATGAGGCGGCCAAGGACACGATCCGCCTGAAGGGCTGGAGCAAGGGCAAGCAGGAGCATAGCCAAGTACGCATTACGAAGAAGAAGTACCTCCAATCAATGGGTTGGAAGCGCATTCCGCACCAGCTACCCAAGGCATTGGCCGACATCGCCAACGACCCCAACAAGAAAGGTTACTGGGACTTTTCCAGCGGCGATGAGAGTCTGTAGAGCCCCTCGGGCCGCGCCGCCGCCCGCGTTCGAGTAAGACATAAACTGCACGTAGCTAACCCTCAAATGCGCCGCGCTACCTGCCCATACGCATGTGATGCCTCGAAGATGGTTCACGTCGCTAACGCAAGCGTATAGGCTATCGCAGAGGGTATCGCTATGGAAGCAGTAAATGAGCCCGGTATAATCAGCGGCGCGGCACCCGGCAGCCCCGTTTTTTGGCGCCGCGAGGGCCTAGGTACCCCTTGCCGATAACCAAACACTGCCAGTTTATTTTAACGCCGCCGGGGCCGCGCAACCCATAAGGTTACACTTAAAGACGTCCGGAGACGGTACCGTACAGCTGTATATACCAGTACCGCTGTATCAGCTGGGGCCGGCGCAGGTGACGCCGTTGGCAGGTCTACGACTCAGAAAGCCCGCGGAACGCAGCAAGGCGCTACCCCATAAATAGAGGGGCTGCAGAAGGGCCCCACAAGACAAGCAAGCTGTGAGAAAACGTCAAAACTAGCTGATCCTGACCATTAGTCTGAGGGTACATGGACGTGGTGCCAGTAGCCGCCAGGCGGGTGGCGTGGCGCCGCCTGATTGCGGGCCTGACACTCACATTCGCATGGGCCCGACCCTTGGCGGGCGCGGAAGTGACGCGCGCGCGATGCGTGCATCCGCCGGTGTTCCGTGCCCATCGCGGCACGGTCGACCGAGCGGCCTTGGGTCTGGAGATCCTGGGCTATGCCCAGTTCCATCGCGGGTCTGTCGTTGTTGGGTTCAACGCGCGGCACTTGCGCGGACACAACCTCTACCCGTCGCACCACCTGAGCGCGCGAGCGCATGACTTCCCGCTGAATTATGACGAGTTTTTTGGCCTCGAGTGGCGCGCATCACTGGATGGTGCGGCTGCGCTAGCGCCCGTCGCCGGCGCCGAGAAGGACGAAGGCAAATCGACCGTCGTGCTCGAGTTCGCCGCGCCAAATGCCACTGCGCCGCAATCGATGGATCTGGTGGCGCGGCACAAGGGGGAGGTGGTCGTCGCGTGGGATGGCGTCGAAATCTGTCCGGAGAGCCCTGCGTCACCGGCGGGAAGTGTCGACCTTGCAGTTTGCACTATGGTCCTCGTCGGTGGGCGCGACAACGCGCAGGTGGAGGTACGTGTCGCGTCGATCCTGACGTGGGTTGCGTGGCATGCGTTTCAGGGCGCGCAGCATGCGCTCGTGTACCTGGACACTGCTCTTGACGGCACGCACACGCCGTCAGAAATTGAAGCAGAGTTCGCCAACGATCTGGAAGAGGGGTTGAAAGACACCGGCGCCGACATCAATGTTGTCCTCGTTGACTGGCGCTTCCGTGACAAAAACTTCGCAACGCAGATACTGATGCAGTCGCACTGCCTCCGGAGCTACCGCGATTATGCAAAGTGGCTCCTGAATACCGACATCGACGAGCTCGTCCAGCCGCGCGGGGCCGCAATGCGGGTAATTGACGTGACGCGCGCCCTCCTCACGCAGCCTGACGGGCCTTCTGCAGCACTCATCCCAATGCGATTCATGGTCCTGCCTCATGTTGCTCCAGCACCCGTCTTCGATATGGGACAATACCGCCTCGCGGGACCGGAACAGCCGCACGGCGCTGGGGCCAAGGTCTTGATGCGGCCAGAAGACGTCGGCTTCTTTGGCGTCCATATCGCCTCAAATGTCCGGACCTTTGTCAAACTGCTGAATGCGAGCACCCTCGTTGTGAACCACTTCAAGGGCTTTGGCACCATGGCGATGGGGACGACCTCTGTGGAGGATCCAACGTGGCCGGCGGCCTGGGCTACCTTCCAGCTGGTGACGCCCAACGAGACTCGTCTTGGATAAATAAATAAATAAATAAATAAACAAGCCGAGTGGGTAGCTAGGCGGCCTAGCTCTAACTTGAGTCTAAGCAAAGCAAACAAACAACTTGAAACACAACAAACAAAATAAATAAGGCGTACGGTGCATTGGATCGGCGAGCATCATTTCTTTGAGTTTGGATTCAGCAAATCCCATATCCGAGTCTCCGAGTCTAAAGAAAGGTATCCCGCTGCCTCTGTTTTGAAATTCAAAGCTTGCCTCATAAGTACATTTATTTTTTAAATCGACTTTTAATGATCAAGTGGCTTCCGGCGGCGGGGTACATTGCCACAAGTCGGCCCTGGTCGGGGGGGGGGCGCTTACGGGGCCTCCTGGGCCGGTCCAAGCTTATTTTGAGTCTCAGCAGCCTCATGGGAGCCTCAGTGTGCTCCCAAAGTTGGACCCAAACTGGCCTTGGAGGCAAGTTGGAGCAGGCCCAGCCGCCAGCCCGCAATGTCTGCCAATGGCACGGAGCGGTCCCTGTACCTCTCTTGGGGTTCGGGTCGGGCTCGTTGATTTTGCACGGCCCCGGGTCTCGCGCTGCAGGGGGTGCGCGAGCCTACCAGAATTTTACTTCCCGCCACGATCTCCCCGTATACGGATTATGCGGCGACAGACATCCTATGAGACCGCCATATGGCTACTTTTCAAATTGGGCTTATGCGCGCACGCGGGCTCGAAATAGGGGGTGTCTGCAAAGTCTCTATAGTACCGTAGCCATACGCAATAAAAGGCGCGCGACGGCCAGTTTTGCCTCACGTTGCCGGGTCGAGCTTAGCCAGAGACAGTTGTGCCTCATACCGGCACACAGGGCCAGCAGCAGCCTGCCTTCCTTGGTCGCAACACTGCGGGACAACAAGCGAAGCGCATGGCCTCGGCGGTCCTCGGCCGCGCCCTGGCCTTTGGCGTGGGCCTGGGAGTGGGGTCGCTGGGCGCCTACAAGTTCATCCTCGACGAGCTGAGGAACTCGACCAAGACCATACTGGCCGCGAACGGCGCGCTGGAGAAGCGGCTCGCCGCCGTCGAGAGGGCGGCGTGAGCGGCGCCGCGGCGCGCCGCGCCGGGCCCGCCCGCGCGGCGCACCCAGGGGCGGCGGGGCCGCGCTCGCGTTTTCGAGCGGCCGTCTAATAGACTCACGTAGAGAGACGCGGACCTAGACGTTTTAAAGAAGAAGGCCCCTTCAGACCCGCGACGGCGTGCTACCGCTGGTGGTGGGCTATCAAGCGAGCCCTTTGAAGACCGGGCGCGTCCCATCACCCCCTGCGTCGTCCCGAGCGCGTCCCCGGCCCGCGGTCGAGGCTCGTTTGTAAACAAGCTCGCATGAGCAAGATCGAACGCAGCCGCGCACAATCCCAGTCATCTTATTTGTTGTTGTTGTTATTATTATATAGAAGAAGAAATACTAGCATGCTCATAGTTCACAAAAACCCTCGCTGACCACAGTCCGTGTAAACCCGAACCCAGGCAATTTGTACGTCGTACAGCGTTTGCGCGCTGAGTTTGTTGGCTGCCCCGCACGACCAGCGATACGGTACACGGCGAAGAGATGGCCTCGGAGGAGCACAGAATCCGCGAGCGGCTCTGGACGCGCGCGCAGGTCTGGCGTGAGCAGCACAGCCCCGAGAAGGCCAGCGCCGGCTGCCCCACTCGTCGAGACCTGTACCACTCGCCGAACATACCGCGGACGACGGCGCGGCCGACGCCGCCCGCGGCGCCGACGCCGAAGAAGACGCCGTCGCCCGGCTTCCGCGACAAGCCGTCGGGGTCGCTCGTGCGGCGGCTGGGCCTCGGCCGCATCGACGACCGCGGCGCGGGGCTGGGCAAGAAGGGCAAGACGGCCTTCGCCGCGGCCTACCGCGGCGGCGAAATATCGCGGTGGCTGCGCGTGGACCAGAACGGCTCCTACCCCGTCGTCGTGTTCGCGGCGGCGGCGGCCGACGTGCCGCTGGGCCGGGCGCTGCCGCTGTGCTTCGAGGGCCTGTCGGAGCGGTGCCACCCCCTGTGCCTGCTGGCGCGGCGCGGCACGCTCATGCTCCTCGCCGAGCACCCCGAGCGGGCGCAGGTGCCGGCCTGTGTGGAAATCAAATTTTTACGGCGCGTTCGTGCTGAATCATCGCGTCGTCCTCCACGCCATCGACGCGACGCCTGCTCGATGGCGTGGCGATGCCGGTTCCTCGCCGCTCGAGCACCCGACGCACTGGTTGATCTCCACACAGGTCCCGGCGCTCCTGCCGCGGCTCGCGGGCCCGCTTCGGGCCGCGCTGGCCGACCCGGACGCGGACGTGTGCGGCTTCGCGCTGACCGTGCTCGCGCCGCTGGCGGAGCTGTGCGGCGCGGCCCTCGAGCAGTTCCTGGACCGGCTCCTGCCGCCCGTCGCGCGGCGCTGCGGCGGCCGCGGGAAGCTGGCGGCGGCGGCGCTGGACGCGCTGCGGCGCGTCGAGGAGTCGTGCCCCGGCGCGGGCGCGAAAATCAGGCGCAAGGTGCCGGCGTACCGGTAGGGCCCGGCGGCGGGCGCGCGTAACAGACCCCGTATCTATGACGACTCGTGAACGACCGGCAGGCCGCCCAATAACAGAGGGGCCCTTACTCCGTATCTTATAGTTGAGAAATTTCCACTGGCAGGAAGTGGAATCTAGAGGGGTGGAAATTTCCGAAATTTCCGAAATTTCCTTTCCCCTGGCCGGAAATGTGGGAGCTCTCAGTACGGCCCGGCTCCCACCGGGAGCTCCCAGACTTCCGGGAATTTCCACTCCCGTCACGGTAGAAATTTCCGGAAATTAATTTACTATAGTTGGCAAATTACCCGGTATGGTCACGGTTGTTTTCAAGTTGGCGCGGGGGCGCGTGGTCCGGGGCCCGGGTCCCTGGGGTTGGCGCCCGTTGTGGCAACGACCTTTTTCCCACTTATAAATCTCCCAAATTTTATCTTAGCTTCACTATCCTAGTCTCATTTATCTTAGTTAAATACCCGGATAGAATAGGCCTAGTGAATACGGTACCGTAGGTACCGTAGGTTTGACGATGTCAAGCTAGAGAATCCCCGACCAACGGTACGGGCCTCTATAACGCAAGACTAGTTAGTGAAGACCATTAAGCCATACCGCTGCCGCCGCTCCAAAAAGACCATACTTTAGAGAGTGCGCAGCCATCGCTGCGACGGGCTGCCCCTCAAACGTGGGGCAGCGTCGAAGCGCTCAGCGCGAGCGCGCGGCGGGAGTCGTTGCTGCGCGCGCAATCGCCGCGTCGACGACGCGGCCGTACCGCCGCCGCTGTCGCTTCGGCGGTCCGCGTTCCGCCCGCCGCGGCGCGGTCGCGTCGCCACCGCGGCGGAGTCGCGGCGGCTTCTCGGGCACGGCCATGGTGCGGTCGGCGCTCGTCGCGGCCGCGCTCGCCACCGCCGCCGCGCGGGAGGAGCCGACGCAGCCCGGCTTCCGCGCGGCCGCGGGCGACGCGGGGGTCGTCGCGACGACCAACGTCCTGTGCGACCTGCCGGAGCTGACCCTGCCCGTCGTCGAGAAGGGAGGTCTGGCCTCGGACGAGGTCGCCATCTTCCTCCTGAGCAACGCGGCCGTGTATTGCGGTCGGAGCCTGCCGATGATTAATACGTGGGGGCGCGCGTTTCCTCACGTCTACAGCGCGGGCTTGCGTCGGAATCGAAACGCGTCGTCGGGGTCAAAAGTGAGCCGAGGCGGTCGCGTCGACGCCGCGGGGCGGTCGCGTCGAGGCCCTGGGGCGGTCGCGCCGACGCCATGGAGCGGCCGCGCCGACGCCGCGGGGCGGCTGCGTCGACGCGGCGGCGGCGTCGAGCGTTCGACGGCCGCGCAGGCGTCTTCGCCAACACGAGCGCGCCGGGCGCCGAGGGCGCGTACCGGTTCGGCAAGCCCGAGGGCGACTACCGCGGGCTCCGGTCCTACGCGCGCGAGCTCATGCGGCGCCTCTACGACGAGTGCAACGAGACTGACGCGGCGCCGGGGCTGTGGAATGTACGGCGGTGCGGCGACGCCGGCGTTCGGGAGATCGTCGTCGCGGGCACCTGCACGAACCCGACCCACCGCGGCGCGTCGGGCCCCTGCTGCCGCGCGAACAGCGCCATGCGCCTCTTCGTCGACCGCGCGACGACGACGTTCGCGAAGGTGAAGTGGTTCTTCTTTTCGGACGACGACGTCTACTTCCGGTCCCGCGCGCTGCTCGGCCTCCTGGCCAGACGCGACCCGGCGGACCCGGCCGCGGCCCTCGCGGCGGCGCCGACCGGCCGGGGCATCGTGAATTACTGCCGCGGCCCCGCCGAACACTACTTAGCAGGAAAGCCCTGGCACGTCGTCTCGGGCCTCTCCCGGGCCGCGCTCGTCGAACGAGTCGCGGCTGGCGTGCGGCGGAACGCCGCCGGCGCGCAGTGCGACGCGTTGAAGATGGTGGGCCACGACGTCGGACTGGGCTTCTTCGCGTGGATGTACGCGCTCGACGTAGCGATGCTGGCGCCCCTCCCCGTGACGCGGCGGGACAAGGCGCGGCCCGGGCCGCCGATGTTCAACTACGCGGCGATCTTCAACCCAGAGCGGAACTTCTCGGCGGACCAGATCGCCGCGGAGACGAAGAGTACTGGCGACTTCACTGCGGTCCGGCGGGAGATCGCGCGCTTCCACTTCTTCCACTGCGCTCGAATTTTATGCCGCGGCGCCTACGACATGTTTCGGTACCTGCGTTCCCTCGGCGACGACGAGGCCGGCGACGACTTCGTATTCCCGGACCCGCCCGTCTACCACCACCGGGGCTTCGCGTGCACGGCCTACGCGCGGCGCCACGACGTCTCGGCCGCGTCGGCGGAGCCGTGGGTGCCCTTCAACGCGACGGACTGCGAGGCGCCGCTGGTGGGCGACTGCGACCCGCCGCCGCCCCACCATCACGCGCATTAACGGCACGGGGCACACAGGCCCTAGTGAGTTTGCGCCGCTAGCATTAAGCTGTTTTGCGCCGCTCGTCAGAACGCTGTTCTTCGCCGCTCGCCCCTTTAACCCGCGTAAAAATCTTTCTCTCGCTCCCCGCGTTCCGATGAGCACCTTTTCAAAACCATCCGAGCCCACCTAGACCGCCAAGGGAACGACGGCCGACCAATCCTCCGCCGAGCCCTGGGCGCCCCCAGGAGCTACGGAGGGACCTCAGGCGCCCGCCGCCGCGGCCGTTAACGTGGGCCCGCCGTCACGCCTTTGGTATAGCGGGTTGTGTCCGCGTTTTGTTTTTGCTGGTGCGGGAGTACCGCTTTTGTTTTTCAAATTTGGCGGTTCTTGTGTTTGTGGGCCCGCGCGTCAAAATGGGCAGCGTTTTTTGCGCGCGCCGCGTGCCGTGGTGTGTGCAGAGGCTGCGACTAGGCTGCGGGCAGTGTGCGGTGTGTGTGGGGCGCGCGCGTGGACGCTGGAAGAACGCGGTAAAATCGGCAGGCCTGCCGTGGGCGCGCGCAACCAACAGAGGGGCCCTTACTCCGCATCTACGACGACCGGCAGGCCGGACGCCTCGTACTCGCACCAGGCGCCGTCGTAGATCGGCACGGCCGCCGCGCCGCAGCGGTGCAGCGCCAGCGCGAGGACGGCCGCCGTCAGGCCCGAGCCGCACGTCGCCGCGGCCGGCGCGTCGACGGCGACGCCCGCGGCCGCGAAGGCGGCGCGGAGGCCGTCGACGGGCTTGAGCGTCGCGCCGCGGAAGGGGCCGCCCGGGCCCGGCGCCGGCCGCGGGGCCGGGTCCAGCAGGTCGAGGAAGGGGACCGAGCGCGCGCCCGGCGCGTGGCCCGGCCGGCAGCCCGCGCGCGGCTCCGGCGCCGTGCCCCGGAAGCGGCCCGCCGGCCGCGCGTCGACGAGCTGGACCGTCCGATCGGACGCGAGCCACGCTTCCACGTCGCCGAGGCGCCACTGGAGTTCACCGGAGTAGGCGAAGTCCGCCGCCGGCGCGGCGGCCGGTTCGACGGCGGGCTCCGCCCTTTCAACCGCGTGGCCCGCCGCCGCCCAGGCCGGCAGCCCCCCGTCGAGCACGGCCGCCTCTACCCCAAACGCCCGCAGCGTGTGCCAGAGGCGCGGCGCCGAGAAGACGCCGAGCTGGTCGTAGCACACCACCCGCGTGTCGGGCGCGATGCCGTGCCGCCGCGCTTCGGCGGCGAACTGCGCGGGCGTGGGCAGGTTGTGCGGCGTCGACGGCGCCGCCGCCGCGTCGGATACCTCGTCGAGGTCCCAGAACGTGCTGCCCGGCACGCGCGCCGCCGCGTGCGCCGTGCGCGCGGCCACGGGCGACGCGAAGGGCGAGCTCGGCAGGAACCAGGTCGCGTCGACGACGCGCAGATTCGCCTGGCCGAGGCGCTCGGCGAGCCAGGCCACCGAGGCGAGGCCATTTCGCATCCTTGGCTTTGGTTGCGGCAAACGCTGTCGACGTAGAAACCCGCGAGCTCAGGAGGCTCGGGGCTCAATCGCAAGTGATTTATCTTTACTTAGACTCTACAGCCTTAGTGGTCGTCAGGTTGCTCCAAACAGCGCCACCTCGTCAATTTTCACCCACAGCAACGACGCACGACACGCTTTCGTTTGGTTAGGGCGATGCACTGGCGGCCGGCGCGATGGATGTACGCACGGTAGAGGCAAGACTGCGGCACCGCGTTTCACGCAGCTAGCTTATAACTCTACTAGCGTGCTAAAAGTCTCTCGTCCCGCAGGAGGTGGGGAGCTACAAAAAAACTAGGTAGGTGGGCGTCATATTTTGCCCCGCCAGTCTGACGCGGGTCCGCCACATCGAGGCCGCTGGACACTGGGCGGCGCACTTTCAAATTTAGACTCTTCTCGGGGCCGACCCGGGGTCTGGACGCGCGCCGGGACGCCGCGCGGCGGCCGCGTGCTGGCGCCCGGCGGAGCTGCGCGGCGCGGCCCAAAACCGACTGGTCCCGCCGCGCGCAGGCCCGGCGGCGGACGCGGACCGCGGCGCCGGCCGCGAGGATGGGCGACCAGGCGAACTACGGGCGGGAGATCCTCAAGCGCCAGCTGCTGGCCCTGACGAAGAACCCGCCCGAGGGCATCTCCGTCGGCCTCGCGGACGACGACGACATGTACACGTGGGAGGTCATGATCATCGGGCCCGACGGGACGCTGTACGAGGGCGGCATGTAACTCGCAGTGCCTTATCTTGCCTTCATTAGCTCCGGCGCGATTCTTGGGGCCTTCTCGGCATCGTTCGTCGGATCCGACCGGCCGCGCTTCGGAATTCGACGTTCGGGTTTTGCGGCCTTTCGCCGGGATCTGACGAGGCTCACATCGATACCGAACGTTTTCCGACGTTATAGGACGTCGTCGTTTCGTTCGAGGCGTCTTCACGCCCGACGAGCCCTCGGAACTTGGCCTCGACGACACAGTCGGCGGCGGCCCGCGGTCACTCGCGAAACGCGCTCCTTCGACGTTGTCGTTCCGCGCAGGTTCCGCGCGACGCTCGAGTTTCCCAAGGACTTCCCGGTCATGCCGCCCGCGATGACCTTCCGCACGAAGATGTGGCACCCGAACATCTACCCCGACGGCAAGGTCTGCATCTCGATCCTGCACCCGCCCGGCGACGACCCGCACAACGAGAGCGAGACGGCGGACCTGCGCTGGCGGCCCGTGCTCGGCGTGGAGACGATCCTCGTCTCGGTCATCTCGCTGCTCTCGGACCCGAACGACAACAGCCCGGCAAACATCGACGCGGCGGTGCAGTGGCGCGACGACTTTGAGGGCTTCAAGAAGCAGGTCAAGCGGCTCGTGCGGCGGTCCGTCGAGGACTTCTGATGTCATGTCGTCGTGTGCGCCGCGGGCGGGGGAGGCGTCCGGTGTAATACCCTCCACGGTACACGTCGCCAGCGCGTTGGATCCTGGCGCGGCCGCTGCTGCTGCTGCTGTGTCGCAGTTGCCGCTGCTGGGTGTGCGCGGGTATAAATCCGGCGGTCTCTTAAACGTAAGTGAGTTACGGTCAAAGTTACGGTGTGTCGACGCGCGGGGCGGATGAACAAACACCAAATTTGCCGTATCTCTATAACTAGGCGTCTGGTGGTGCGGGCGCAAATTGAGAACAGGGGGCCCACGTACCCCTCAGGCTCTAGGACGTGACCGAAACGAGTGGCGCCCCAATCCGTTGAGCTATGCGTTGTCAGTGTTTTCGTTCGCGGGCGTGGGCGTTCAGAGCCGACTTCGTATGCGCTACCGGGCCCAATCCTCCTGCGCGCGGGGCGCGTTTTTCCTAGGGGGTGGGTTAGTGTACCACTGCTATACGGATACCTACGGTACATACCAGTAGACTGAAAGCTGCCCCGGCACCCACCCATCCATGGGAGGCGGCCGGTAGGGCTCCTCACGGACTGGGAGGCGGCCGGTAGCGCCTCGCGGACGCGATGGCGGGCCTCCTCGACGAGACCTGGCCCGCGCGGCCGCTGGCGCTGTCGCGCCTGGCGCGGCGGCCCTGGAGCGCGCGGCTCGCGACGACGGCGCTCCCGCCCGCCCTGGGCGCCGCGCGCGACCGGCGGAGCTACCTCGAGGAGAACGACGACCTGCGGCGGGAGGGCCGCGAGCGGCTCTGGCCCTACTGCCTGCGGCTGAAGCGGACGCCGGTCGTCGACGCGCTGCTGAAGCGCGCGCGGCGCCTGGACGAGGCGGGGCTCGGGGCCCTCGACGCGCCGCCGCCGCCCTTCGTGGACCTGGGCAACTTCGACCCGCGGCGGCGGCTGCCGCGGCTCGAGCGGGCGCCCGTGGCGCCCGCGGCGGCGCGGTCGCTCGAGCTGGCGGTCACGATGGCGCGGGACCTGGACGGGGACGACGACGACGACGGCGAGGCGGACCGGCTGCGCGGCCGGGGCCACCAGAGCTACCTCGCGCGGGGCGTCGACGTCCTCGCGAAGCGGCCCGACGAGCTGTCGCTGGCGCAGGTCGAGGCCGCCCTCCGGCGGACGAAGCGCGAGCTGCGGGCGGTGAACCGCGCGAACCAGGCCATCCCCACGGACGCCCCCCGCATCCCCGTCCCCAAGGAGTACCGGGACGCGGAGTACCCCGTGTCGCTGGCGCCCGACCTCGACGGCCGCCGGCGGCCGGCGCCGCGGGTGGTCATGTTCCGGGAGGGCGACGTGTGGAAGCGCCGCCTCGCGAAGCCCGCGCCGCGCCACCGGCGGCCGCCGCCCGAGCCGTTCCGCAACTCGCTCTCGCGGCGGGATCTGCGGCTGGCGCGCGACGGCGAGGAGCGCGACCGCCTCAACGCGGCGCACGCGGCGCGCCGGGCGCAGGAGGCGGCGGCGTACGAACGGAAGCAGGAGGCCGTCAGGCGCAAGACGCTGGCGCGCGGCGCGGCCGCGCACGCCAGGGCGCTCGACCGCCTGCTGGCGAACGCGGCCGTCGCGGCGGCGCGCGCGTCGCACGACGACGGGAAGGCGGCGCGGCGCCGGGAGCGGCGGGCGCAGCTCGCGTCGCTCGCGACCTACCGCCAGGAGCACCTCATGGAGTGCCCGCACTGCGGCGTCGCGGTCGTGATCGCCAAGCTCAGGGAGCACCAGGAGCGGGCCTGCGTCAACCAGGAGCGGCCCTGCAAGAACTGGACCCAGGGCTGCAAGGAGACGGTCCGGCCGCTGACGGCGACGTGGCACGAGTGCGCCGACCACCTGCTGCGGCCGCGGTCGTGCCTGTCGCTGCCCGGGCCCTGCGCCGCGCGGGCGGCCTACGTGGCCGTGGACGAGGCGGACCTCGAGGCGCCCTGGACGGCCGAGTTCTGGATCCGCCGCGCGCCGGTCGAGCAGCCCGGGGGCCTGCTCGAGGGCCTCGCGCGCAAGGCGTTCCGGGCGGACGCGCTGAGGCGCCGCCTGGACGACGCCGTGCTGGCCTCCCAGGGCAAGGCGCAGGAAATCGAGCGGGAGCTGGCCGCGTTCTTCGCGCAGCCCGACGCGGGCGGCATGACGCACGACCAGGTCAAGGCGCACCAGGAGGAGCTGATGGGCCGCATCCTCGCGGCGACGGAGGCCGAGACGGACCGCAGGGTCGAGGCGTCCGTGGCGCGCTACACGGCGAAGGTGCTCGCGCGGAAGCTCGCGCGGGCGGTGGCCGACGTGGGCGCGACGCCCGGGGCCCTGGAAAGGACCTTCGCGCCGCTCCTGGAGGCGTCGCGGGCGGCCGCGCCGCCGCCGCCCGCGGCGGCCGACGCCGGCGCGCCGGCGCCGGCGCCCGGCGGCGACGCGCCCGGCGGCGACGCGCCCGCGGGGGCCGACGCCGGCGCGCCGGCGCCGGCGCCCGTCCCGGAGGCGCCGGTCGACGACGACGTGCCGCGCGAACCCTGCGCCACCGGCGAGGACCTGCGGGCGGCGGTCGCGGCCGTGCTCGCGGCGCTCGACGCGAAGCCCGCGTGGGACGTCGTCGTCGAGCAGCTCGCGGACAGCGAGACGGACTCGGACGAGGAGCGCGAGCTCCTGCGGGGCATGACCGCGAAGGAGAAGCGGAAGTACCTGCGCGCCAAGAAGAAGCGGGCCGTCAAGAAGAAGCGCGTCAAGAAGCGCGCGGTGACGACGGGCAAGGAGTCGGTCGAGAAGCGCGTCAAGGACACGATCTTGCGGGAGGACGTCGCGGCGGCGGGCACGGACGTGCTGCTGGCCGGCCGCGACTTCCGCCTGTGCCTCGAGGTGCCGCCCGCCGAGGCCGGGGCCGAGCCGTCGGACGCGTGGCGCGGCGTGCCCGGCGTCCACGTCAGGGGCAAGCGCACGACGCCCCTCTCGGACAAGAGCGTGCCGCGCGAGAGGTGGCTCCACGTCGCGTTCGTCTGCCGCGCGGCCGGGGACGAGCCGCGCCCCCGGCTCGAGCTCTTCGTGGACGGCGCGTCGGCGGGCGCGCCCGTCGCCGTGAAGAACCTGGAGCTGAAGCTGCCGATGCGCGACTTCGGCGGCGACCGCGACTCGGTCGACGCGGGCTTCCACGGGCTGCTGCTGGAGGCGCGGTACTGGAAGGGCGCGCGGAGTCCGCAGGAACTCGTCGAGTACATGCACCGCCTGCCGCCCGCCGACCGCCTGCAGCAGGGCATGGTCGGCTGGTGGACCTTCGAGGAGGGCGAGGGCAGGTACGCGTTCGACCGGTCCGAGCTGCGGTACCGGTCCCGGATCCAGGGCGGCTGGCGCGAGACGGAGCCCGAGAAGCGCGTCGCCTGGGCGACGCCCTTCGGCGACGCCGGCGCGCCGACGCCGGCGTCGCGCGAGGCGGGCGTCTGCCCCGTCGAGCTGCGCCTCGTGCGGCTCGCGGAGAAGGCGCGCCGCGCGCTGGAGCTGATCCCGTGCGAGCGGTGCGGCGCGGAGGTGCTGACGCACGGCATGCGCGCGCACGTGCGGAACCACTGCGTCTTCCGGGAGGTGCCCTGCGACCTGTGCGGCAAGCTCGTGGTCTTCAAGGACCGGCTGCGGCACCGCTACCCGGCCGAGGGCGAGGAGGCGGACTGCCCCGTGGTCGCGCAGCGCGACGCGCTGGCCGCGCGCCACGCGGGCGGCGACGTCGTGACGGAGTGCCGCCTGGGCTGCGGGGCCCGCCTGCCGAAGCGCGACCGCGCGCGGCACGAGAAGGAGCGGTGCCGGCTGCGGCCGGCGACCTGCCCGAACGCGGGCTGCGGCGCCGTCGTGGCCTTTGAACGGTTGCGGGACCACGTCGCGAACTTCTGCGAGGACCCGTACTTCGTCGCCAGGCGGCGCATGATCCGCAAGTACCGCGCGATCCGCAAGTACGGCCGCCCGTGGGCCGCGACTCCCGACTCCGACGGCGAGTCCGGCGGGGACTCGGAGTACTAATGCTTTGTGTGGTATACTACTACTACGGTTGAAGACGAAGTTCCGCCTGGGTTGCCACGATCTTCGGAGCTCGAGCTGCCGAATGCAGCGTGTCCGTAACGCGCAATGCCCTTCAAGTTGTTGCAAATCCCGCGAGTCGGAAACGATTCAACACACATTGTTGGAGAAAAAACGTGGTGAGCTCCTTTAAGCGGTTGTATGAGATGCATCCTGTCGCGCGCGGATTGAGCCTCGAAGATCATTGCCGCCTCTTGATGGGGGGAGTTTTACCACGCGAGACTGAGAAAACTACTGTAGACAGATACCTTATTGCTATTTCGAAGCTCCGGTTGGGCATCCTGACGAGCAGGGAGAAGGCGCTTGTTCCTTTTTTAGGTCTTCCTTCATTTATTTGTTTATCTTGTAGTACTCTTGTCTAGGTTGCCATTAACCTGTTAATTACCCGTTATTAACCTATAATTACCCCTCGGAGGGGATCCGGGGTTAATAACCCGCTCAATAACCCGACGGACTTTCGACTAAACCCGTTTAGTGAGTTTAGCGAAAGACCCCTCCGGGCGAGCGGATGGGCGCAAGCAGCCCGTTGGGCTTTTGGATACGTACAGGTGCGCCAGGGCAAGTACCAAGTCATGTGGCCCGGCGCGGCCCAGGCCCGCGCCAGTGGCCCGTGAGGCCCCCTCCCCTAGGTACCCCTCTATAAGATCCCGGGGTTAATAACCCATATACTAACGTAGTAACGGGCAATTACCCGGGTTACTGACCCCGGGCCACGATTGGGGTTATGACCCCTCGGGTAAATGCCAACCTAGACTCTTGTAGTACTACTAGTACCGTAGGTACTACTAGTACTACAGTAGTCTAGCCTGCCAGTGAGTCACGTGCGGTACTACGCAGCGCCATCTAACGCGCCCACTGGCATTCAACTTTACAGGCGCCCCCCTTCGGCTACTCGCGGTTCTTCGCCGCCTCCTGGCGCACGCGCTTCGCGTAGGACGCCTTGTCCTGCACGAACATCTGGTAGGCCTCCGACTGCGCCGGCGAGTTCGGGTTCGGCGTATCTAATAAATCTTGGATGCCCAGGAGCATCTGCTTGATCGTGATCGCCGGCCGCCAGCCCTCCTCCTCATTCAATATAGAGAGGCAGATCGTGCCCGAGGGGTAGACGTTCGGGTGGAAGAGCGGCGGCACGAACTTGCACTTCGGCGGCTTGCTGGGGTAGTCCTCCTGCGCGGACCACCGGACGCGTCGCGACGGGGCGGGGCGCGACCACTGGACGCCGCCGCGCCACGGAGAACTCCATCCGCACTTTGAAAAGGCCGCCCTCCCAGTCCGTCCCTTTTTTTCCGGGCACGCCGGCGTCCCAGCTCATCAGGTTCGTCGCGCCGTCGCCGCTCGAACTCGGCCGCGCGAAGAAGCCGAAGGGGTGGTCCCGCCGCCAGGCCTTGCGCTCCTCGCTCAGGCGGCCGCGCGCAATGCCCGCCATTCTGTGTGCTAGTCGGTGCGGTGGGTGGCGCGGCGAGAGCAATACTTGGATCGGGTCGCGCGCTGCAAGGGGCGGCGGACGCGAGCTGGCTCGGATTACGTATAACTAGCTACTGCCAAAGCCGGCCGTGAGCCTAGTGTGCGACATACGCTAGCTCGTCCTCGGAGAGAATAACGTATGGGTTTTTTGACATCCGACTGCGTCGTCTGTAAAAAAACCCAATACGTGAGCCAAAAAACCCACCACACACCACCACGAGGCGAACAAACTTTCATCTACGCCAGCTGCCTCCGCCTGTCGGCTCCGGCCGCCGACGCAGACGAAAGTTTGGCCTCGGGTCAAATTTCACCGCGCGCGCGCGTGTGTCTTTGGAAAGTGGTACGAAGGCCTTTGCGAGCCTGCGCTACGTTGCGCAGCGGTGGCAGGCTTGATTACCAGCCTTAAAAGACAGCCTCCTGTAAAGTTTATAGGGGGGCTAGTATGTCCTTAGTGCTAGTAAGTTTGGGGCAAGGACAAGCGCAGCACACGCAGCAAGCGCGCCACCTGATGGAAATTCGCTTCAGTGTGCTCGTAGTGTTGATCGTGTTCTTAGTCCTAAACGCTGCGGTTCAACTAAGAACGTTGGCTGCGGTGCAAGGACTGGCCGCGCAACAGCACGCTATTTCCCCGCCAGGAACGGACGCGCCGGCGCTCGAAATCCTCTCAACGAGGAAGGTTGCGTCCCAAGGACTGGCCACGCAACAGCACGCTATTTCCCCGCCAGGAACGGACGCGCCGGCGCTCGAAATCCTCTCAACGAGGAAGGTTGCGTCCCAAGGACTGGCCACGCAACAGCACGCTGTTTACACTGTTTACGCAGGCCCCTATGTGCACGTTGAGGCCCGGCGGAACCCTATCTACAGTACCGTCACCCAAAAGCTAAGATTGAAAGGAAAAGGCTTCGGCGCCGCGGGCACGGGCGAACACCTGAACCTCCAGTTCGTGCCGGCGATGCCCAAGACGGACTACAAGGTCCAGGTCCTGTCGGATACGGCGCTGTCGATCAACCTTGTAAGTGGCAAGTCCTGGCCCCTCGCTTCTGATGAGGGTACCTATTTGTACCTAACCTCACTCATAGACGACCGGAAAGGAAGCATGAACCAGCTCGAAACCCCTGTCGTGATTGCGAGGGTGATCCCGACGCCGACCGTCATGCACGGAGGCGAAAAAGTTATTTACATGACCGGTACGACGCGCTTCAACATCAACGGCACGGGCTTCCGAGCGAAGACCATGGAGCTGATCTTCGACCCGCCGCTCGAGAAGGATGTGGATTATATGCTCAACACTCGTAGTTCCACGCACATGCAGCTCATGCTGCGCTCGGGAAAGAAGTGGCGTAGTGATGGGAAGCCCGGGCCTCTCAAGTTGCGACGCATCGACACGGGCGCCGGCGATCTGAGGATCAACACGAAGTACGGTGGCGTCACGGTGGCCGAGGTGCGGGTCAACCTGTGAGCTCACAATTCATCATTTTTAAAAATATTAAATTTTACACGTCGTGTGCCCTAGCCACTAGAAACCCGAATTACAATTTTTGGTGACGCTTTTTCTAAAAAAGCATTTTCCCAGCGTGCCTTGCCCGTTGAATCGTGGCGTAGATTCCGTTAAAATTTCGCGCGCTGATGTCCCCCCTTTAAGATAAATTTCATAAAAATTTTTAGCTGGGGCCGCGGCCGCAGGCCAAACTTTCTTCTGGCTCATGGCAGTTTGGGAAACAAGGGGGAGATGATCCGAGGATCCGAGAATCTGGAAAATTTTAAATTACGCGCGGTTGCCGCGGCCGCAGGCCAAACTTTCGTCTGCGTCGGCGGCCGGAGCCGACAGGCGGAGGCAGCTGGCGTAGATGAAAGTTTGTTCGCCTCGTGGTGGTGTGTGGTGGGTTTTTTGGCTCACGTATTGGGTTTTTTACAGACGACGCAGTCGGATGTCAAAAAACCCATACGTTATTCTCTCGGCGTCCTCGCAACCGTCCTCGCGGGGAATCCTACCGCCTCGTCTTGTAACGCGCTGGCGATCGGTCGCGGCGAGAGGCTCTATTCAACTACAGTATTACTCGGGAGCCGGGCGCGCGCGCGCGCCCTCCGTCGCCGCCGCGGCGTCTCCTAAGTCTCCCTCTTCCTCTTCTGAGACGCGCGACCCTTCGCGCGGCCCGCCTCTTGGTTCGCCTTTCCCACCGCCCTCACTTCCGCTGCGGACACGAACCACGAGGCGTCTTTGTTCGACTTCTCGTAGTCCGCCTTCAACTGTAACGCGGCGTCCCAATCATAATAATAGCTCCCGCCAGTGCCCGGCTCGCGCACGTAGCGTGACTTGCCCCTGTACTTGTTTTTATATTGAACACAGAACAGGTCGTCGTCGTTACTATGGACTTGGACATTCAGCACACCGCCGCGCGCCGCTTTAGCCGCCCGCACCGCGTGTCGCGGCCGACCCAAGATTTCGCGCCACCGCGTCGCTTGGTCGTGGGCTTCCTCCTGCGTCGGCCACAGCGTGCGTTCCTCGTCCGGCGGAGCCTCCACGCTGTAGTCCACCCTAAACAACTGACCGAGGTCTACTCGATGCACGGGCACGACATCGGGCAGGAGCGTGGCGCTATCAATGCCCTGTCGCGCGAGGCTCTCCCTCTTTCGGCCGTCGGCGAGGTGCTTGGCCTGCATCTTGCCGAGGAGCTCCATGTGCTCGTTCGTGTCCTCGACGCGGACGGGGCCCTGCTCCTTGTACCTCGCCTGCCTGGCGGCGCCCTGGGCGCGCAGTGTCAGGCGCTCGTCGCCGGTGATCATCTTGGGCGGCCCATATTTTTGGGCGTACCGCGTCGGGTTCGCGAGGATGTGCTGCTCGTACGCCGCCCGCGCCTCGTCGACGGCGACCGTCGCGTCCTGCACCGCGATCGCGCACGCGCCCTGCCGCTGCGCGACCAACACGTAGGCCTCGGCGTCGAGCGTGCCGCCCGTCGGCACGCCCGCGGCGATGTCGTCGCGCTCCGCCGCCAGGGCACCCATTAAGGAGCCCATGTTCGAGACGGCCGTGCTCTGGCGTAGTAAATCACCATCATCGCGCGCCCGCTCGATGGCGGCGTGCGTCTCGCGGCCTAGGACGTCGTCCTCGTTTCCGTCGCGCTTGGCGAGATCCAGTCTACGGCTCGCTCTATGGCGGCGCAATAATAAAGGCTGGCGGCCCATCGCGACGCAGCTTGGAAGCCAAAGCAGGAGCTCAGCGCGTGCGCGCGCGCGGGGGCTGTGAAACCGCGTGCGGTTGCCACGTTTCTGCGCTTGGGTGTCAGGTGATGCACCACGCGTGCGACAGGCTGTCTTGGCAGCGATTTGGGGCGCGATTTGCTCGCGCCGGCCGCGACGAGTACATCACTACGGCCTACTGGTAGGATACCAAGCCCCCCTAGTTACATTATGTATTGCAGTAACTTGTAGGAAAACCAGGGGGTAGCTGAGCGCCCAGCGGCGCTGCTAAAAGCGCTGCGATCTCGGTCCAGCTGCATCGCATTAAAACTTGATTGGGGGAGGCAGCCCACACGCAGCTGCTGCGCAGCATACTCTAATCAAGTTTTAATAACTTGTTCACAGCCCGAGAACGTTGGTGCTGCCACGATGCCGCGGGTGTGGAAGCCCGCGGCGGACGATCAGCACATCTTCGACGCCCTGCCAATGCCGGAGGGGGACGTCTTCCTCAGCGACGACGAGCTCCTCATGGAGATGGACGGCGTGGCGACGCGCGCCGCGCTCAACGCGGCGCTCGGTCCCACCGCGAGGACAAGGGTGACCTTTGATGCCGAGGGTCGGTACTGGCGGAAGTCGTACGAAATTGATAAGGAGCCGCGGTGCATCTACTTCTTGCCAGCCGTGCAGAACCGCGCGCGCGCGCTCGAGGAGTACCCCGATGGCGTCGAGCCGCCGTTCCCGCGACCAGAGGAGAAGTTCCAGTGCAAGAGGAAGCAGCCGCCCCGAGCGCCGCGCAAGCCGTCGAAGACGACGGCGCGGTCCGGCGAGAAGCGCCCGACGTCCGCGCGGCCTAGGATGTACACGACGCCCGGCGAGAAGGTCACGCGCGGTGGATCCGGTTGATGATGCTGAGCTGCTCGTGCCGGACGAAGGCGTGGTCGACCTCGACGAAGTCGCGCCAGTACCACGGCCCGTGACACGACGAGATTTAATGGCCCTAGAGCAGCGCGCCGAAGACGCGCTCGCGGCGTGCGACCGCGGAAGCCGCGCGCGCCGCGGCCGTCGCGCCCACGCGAGCTACGCGACAGACAGGACGCAGTGGCGCGAGGAGCGCCACCGACTCGGCAACTTATGCTTCTCTCTGGACCGCGAGGCGAACGCGCTCTCCGCGGAGAGAGCGGCACGACGGCGCGACGTTGATCGCCTTAGAGCCAAATTTTCACAAGAGAAAGAACTATGGAAAATAGACTGTGAGCGACGCGCGGCGGCGCGGCTAGACGAGGAGCGGCGGCGATTGGAGGAGGGGTTCCGGACAAACACGCGCGAGTTGCAGCGGCAACTCGACGCGCAGAGAACTGAAGTCGCCGATTTGAAAAAGAAACAAAGCCAGCTCAACCTCGAGCTTTATGGCCTTCGACGGCTTCGAGGCGCCTGGCTGGGTTCTCGTGTTGCGTATTTACCGGAGGAGCCGCCGCCGGATTCGGACTTCGAAGGCGAGTCGTTGTGGCCCGTGGTCCACGCCGTCGGCGACTTTCTCAGTAGAATTTGTGGTGGTACGCTCAAAAGAAAGCAACAGAAGTGTCTGCGTCTCCTAGCCGACTACGCGTGGTGTCAACACTCTCGCGGGCGGGGGGAGATTGGCCTCGTGCGAGCTCACTTTGCGTGCGCGGAGTACCGGCGCCTCCAGGAGATTTTCTCTCCGAAGACCATGGACGTGGAGATGACGGGGAACTACGCTGCGAGCGAGGCCATGCGGGCCAGAGAGCGGGCGGCTCTCGTTGCGCTCGGGGAGACGTTGGGCAAGCACGTGATGCTGTTATTCCCCACGAAGTTCGCGCTCCAGGAAACAGCCAAGCTGGTCGAGAGAGTTGCTGATGGCCACAAGGTTTCGGTTACGGAAACGTCCGCGGGCGACGGCACTTACGAGGCGGTCGGCATTGCGACGGGCGCGGTCCTCGACGTCATCGGAAAGCCAGCGCGGGCCGCGAGACTGGACGCAGTCCCGCGGATCCGCGGAGGATCAGAGGCACGCAAGACGGCAGCAACATCACGAAAAGCGACGACTTTACGATGCAAGGGATCCACGTCAACGACAGCCGCGCGTCGACCCGATCACTGGCAAGCCTATCACCGACTTCCAGTCGCCTGATCGGGTTCATATTACTACGTTAGCCGTTGGCCACGAGAGCCATGCCCTGTACGAAGCTTTAGACGACGGACGGATCACTTCAGTACAGCGGCGACGGCGCAAACCGATGGTGTCTACCAGTCAGAGGCAGAGGGCCGCGCCGTTCACGTTGATTACGTCTGCTCGGGCGACATGGCCAACCTCCAGACGGTGTCGAAGAAGGGCTTCGCGACTGGGACGCCGGAGAACGCGCGGCCGTGTTATTGTTGCGCCGCAGACCAACAGGCAGATGACGACGCCCAAGGTAGTTGACGACCTTTGCGACGTCTGCAGAGCAGCGGGTCGGTTAGTGTGCTACCACGCGGAGATGTCGACGCCGGCTGCCGTAGACGAGTGGCGCGCTACGGCTGCCGCTGCGCTCACGGAGCTCAGAGGGAGCTGCCCCAGCCTACCGCTACATGCGCGAGGCCAAGACTTTAAGTGCGGCGCAGCTGCGCGAGCTCGCCGCGGAGGCTGGGCTCGATGCGGGCGGCACCTCGGCCCACTTGCACGCGCGCTTCGCTGCTTATTGCGGTCAGCATTGCTTGGAATTGGAAAACCCCAACCAAAACGGGTTTTACGCAAAGTTCGACTGTCGAACTGCGACCCCAGCACAAAAACGCGCAATTTTCGCTGGTCGTGAACGATTGTCTTGTTGATTTCGGCCTGGCGGTGACGGGCAACCTCGGTTCGCGCGTCGAAAGCTGACGCAGCGCCTGAAATTGGTTGACCAATATTACGAACTTCAAGCGCAATTAGAACACGCCACGCCAAATTCTGATGCGCTCATCTCCCTGGTCGAGCATATGGTCCCGTCGTCCTTGCATTTAGAAAACCGGACGCGCGAGAAGCTGTTGCGGCTCATCCTCAACAATTTATTTGTGATCTACGAGAAGAGCGTGGCCCTGGCGAAGCTGCGGCCGCTGGAGGGCGATTAGAACGAAGGCTTCGGCTGCCCGAACGGCCGCGAGGGCAAGTGGACGGCGCCGCTCTCCAAGGACGAAGATTCCGTCGAGAAGATCCGGAATTGCGGCCGCGCCCGGAAGATGGCTAACGTCGGCACGGCTCATCGGCGCGTGCTTCCCGGACGACGCCAAGCGGCGGGTCGTCCTCGACCTCGTCCGCGGCTACGAGGAATTGATGGTGCTATATCGAAAACGAGAAGATCTCACGGACGTCGAGATTGCCAAAGCCGACGACCTCGCCCAGGAGACCTACCATCGGCTACTGACGGCTTTCACGGCGAAGGCCCTGCGAACTACTTCCACATGATCGGCAAGGGCCACATCGGCATTTGCGAAAGTACCGGAACTTGTACCGCTACTCGAACCAGGGCTTCGAGAGCGTGAACCACTTGATCAAGCGCTTCTTCCTCACGCGGACGCAGCGCGGCGGCCACTGCGGCCACGAGGCGACGCGGGCGACGCGCGTCGCCGCGCTGGGCAAGTGGATGCAGCGGCGGATGATGTGGCTCACAGGCCTGGTCAAGCCCGGCGAGCTCAAGGTCATCGGCTGGAAGCAGAAGCGCGCATGGGCTGGTAAATTGTGACTTACTACCTTCGTAGGCTGCGACGGCGCGGACTTCGGGCGTTGGGACGCGTGAGCGTCGGCACGCCCGCGCCGGCGACCGGGCGCCCTCCCTAAACTCGCACGACGCCGCCGTCGCCGCCGTGATAGTGTAAACGACGCCGTCGAGCTCGAACTGTTTCATCTGCAACTCCGCGACGACCGTCGCGACGCGTGTCTTCGACGGGCGCGACGGGCTCGACGGCCGTCTCCGGCGGTGGCAACGGCGACGGCGCCGTCAGATTCGTCCACGTTCGTGGCACCGGCCTCGGCGGGCGACTTGACCTCGAAGCGGGCGTTGAGCTTCACCGCCGGTGTCGACGTTGTAAGTGCACGTCACCCGCACGAGCTTGTTGAACTCGTCCAGCGTCGTCGGCACCCTCGTCTCCTTGAAGCCGCCTTTTAGGGGTACTCGTAGACCGCGTCGCCGCGCCAAGATCCGGAACTCGCTCTCCAGGCGCACCACGTCATCGCCGCTAAGCGAGAACCGCTCGAAACGGTAGAACTGGAGGCGCGTCACGTCGGCGCCGCCTGGCCGCCCGCGCGCCACGACGCGCTTCGCCGTGAACCTCGATCCACATGCCCGACGCCGGCGGGGCCCAGCCCAGTACTTCGAAACACACGTCGTAACGGTACCGCTCTTCTTTTTCCCGCGGAGGAGCTCGCCGACGGCATCAGCAACGGCGACGCGCACGTTTAACAAGTCCCACAAGCCGCTCATCGTCGACGGCCTGTCGTCGATCAGCGACGCGACGCAGCGCTCTGGAAGCGGTCGCAGCGCCGGCGACGTACCATCAAACCACTGGTCGAGGGTGTAGACTCGCGCGAGGCCGTCGTAGGCACCACTTCTGGCCTTGTCCTGCGACACGACCCACACAGGCCCCACGACGGAGGTCACCGAGACCTCTCTAGAAGTCGACGAGAGGACGACATCGCAGGTGGACGCAGTCGACCTGTTGATGTGTTTGGGCAACGCGTCGATCTTGTAGAGCTCCAAGACCTCGATCCTTGAGGACGACGAGGGCTGCAGGAAGACGACCATGCTGCCGTCCTTGAGCAACAGCGAGTCGCCCGAGAAGATGGGTCCGACCTTCGGGGCGAAGAACGGCGTCCGTCGCGCGGCGAGGACGTCCTCGAGCGCCTCGGGAGCGCGCGCCACCGTGACGGCGGTCTCCTCCTTCTTCACGACGAGCGGTTCCGAGCCCTGCGCGAACGGCTGGACCTGCACAGTGTCGCCGACGACGGCAATGGCGGTGCCCTCGACGCGCTCGTCGTCGCAGGCGACGACGACGCTGTCCAGGGACTGCGGGGCGCGGTTTGTTATGGTCTGAAGGACCCGCGGCCGCGCCGCGCCGTCGCCGCGCGAGCGCTTCTGGGACGACGAGGGCAGCTTTTCCCACGTCTCGCGGCGCCTCTTCAGCCCCTGTTTCTTGGGGGCGGGGTCCGGGGACGGCGGCGGCGCGCGGCGCGACCGCGCGGCGCGGGGCAGCAGCTCGGTGGGCTTTACCCAGCCGCGCGAGCGCGCCTCATCCTCGACGTACTTCTGGAAGGTGGCCTGGTCCGGCGCGAGGCCCTCCAGGTACTTCAGCCTGCCCGGGGGCAGCGTATTTGCGGCCATCGTCCAGTTAACTGATACCAGCAAACGACCAGTCTCTACATCTAATAAAGTCAACCAAACAAAAAGTCAACTTTGTCAAATCCCACTAGTCGGCCGTAGTGTCTAGATTACTAGACACTAGGGCCGAAGTTGCAGTGGTTCGGCGGCGGCGCACGGCGCTGAAAAAGCGCCTTTGCGGCCCGCTGCGGGCCCGATAGGCCGCCGCGGACCCCTCACGGCCTATCGCGAGGCGCTCGTACCAACAAATTGTTACGCGGCTGCCCCACCGGCTGCCCTAAGCCGGTGCCGGCGCCGGCGCCGGCGCGAGCCCCAGGAACTCCGCGAGCAGCGCGCGCTTGTCGTCCCGGTTGAGGTTCTTGCCCTTGCGCTTCCCCTCCTTCACTTTGGAGCCGCGCCCCGGGACCTTCATCGCTTTCAGCGCCGCGTCGGCCGCGCTCGCGCTCAAGCCCATCACCTTCTTGAGCGTGTACTCCTTCTTGTACTTGGCGACGGCCGCCTCGACGGACAGCTCCTCGGCGCGCACCTCCTCGGACGTCTTCGTCGTGGGCTCCTTCGCGCGGCCGAGGCGCACGTCGTAGTGCTCCGCGAAGGGCCGCACCCACTGCAACCCGATGGCGGCCTTGTTGCGCTTGGCGGCGGCGCACGGCGTCGGGCAGCCGTCGGCGATCTTCTTCAGCTCGTCTTCGAACTTCTCCCAGATGAAGCGCTTGCCCGCGTCGAGCGTGTCCTTGAAGGACGGGCTGCGGATGCGTCGCTCGTCCTGGAGGAGTTCGGGCGTGGCCGGCTTGCGCTTCCGGCGGAGCATGCGCTTCATCACGTCGGCGAGGCGCCACCGCGCGCTCACCGAGCACGACGCGGTCTTGATCGTCTCCGGCGTGATCTTCGTGTTCGAAGGAATAGACCGCGACAAGACCGAGTTCAGGTGCTCGATGAAGACGTCGTTGCCGTGCTTGCACGTGCGCGCGTCGACTCGCACGAGATCGGGCCGCTCCTTGATCCGGTAGAGCGTCGCGTTCAAGTGCGAGAGCAGCCACGACGCGAGCCGGTTGTTGCGCCACCGCGGCTGGTATGTGTAATAAATCATGTGCAGGATCATAACCGGAAGGTTCGCGTACACCGTCCGCGCGTCGCCGTGGTCCCAGTCCAAAAAGGGCTGCATCCACATTTCCAATTCGTTGTCGAACAAGTTCCACAAGTACAAAAATCGCTCCGACGTGCGGCAGGCCCAGTCGATGGCTTCCTCGTCGGTCGTGGCGTTCGAGCCCGCCATCTCTCGCACCTTTTTGACCAGGTCCGCTCTGATGCTGCGGAAAGCGGCGTGCAGGGTCTGCTTGAAATGGCGGAGGCGCCCGAAGTTGATCTTTTTTCCGGCTCTCTCAGCGCCCGCCCGCCCGCCCAACGGCGAGCGGGCGGGCGCGGCCGGCGCCGGCGCCTCCGCGGCGGGCGCGGGCGCCTCGGTCGCCGCCGGTCGCGCGTCCGCCGCTGCTACGGCGTCGTCGAAACCCTCGTCGTCCGCCGCGGCGAGGTCGGCGGCGAGCTCCTCGCGGACGTCCGCGCCAGACTCCTCGGGCAGGGCGACTTCAGCAGCAGGCCGCGCGGCGGCGCCCGGCAGGAGGCGCGACACGAAGCCGAGCATCGTGTCCAGCGCGCGCCGCGCGAGACCCGGCCCGCCGTCCTCGCGCTCCTCTCGAACATCTAAATCATCCAAGGCCTCGACGGCCTGCTCGAACTCGTCCGGCTCGTCGTCGGAGTCGTCGCCAGCTGCTTGCGTCGCCTCGGCCCGCGCCGCGCGCGGCACGGCGCTCGAGCCCTTGTTCAGGAACTTTGCTATGTGATCCTTGCGGTAGTCCATGAAATTGGCCAGGAACTCGCCAAAAATGAGGAAGTCCTCCGGATCGGTAAAGAGGAACTCGAGGCCGTGCTTCTGCAAGTGGAACGGCGTCAGCGTCACGAACACGTGCCGGACGGCCTCGTAGTCCAGCTTCGCCGCCTTGTCCGCGAGCAGGTAGGGCTCCGGGTCGACGGTGAGGAAGACGTCTTGAACAACGTGGGGCACCGCCGCGTTCCCGAACTTGCACGCGTTCATAACTCTTGTCATCAACGGCACCACTTTGCTTCTAAAGTCCGCGAGGCTGCTGGACTTGGCGACTTGCGACGGGAGGACGGCGAAGTCCCCGAGCCGCGCGCACGGCCCCGGCTCGCGGGGGAAGAGCCCGCGCGGCGCCCACTTGTCGGCGAGCGCGTCGACGTCGATGTGCCCGCGAGCATCGGCCGTGAGCGCCGCCTTGTGCTCCTCGTAAAAGCGCGCCACCAGCGCCGCATCGAACTTCGGAGGCATCGCCGCCGCGCGCCTGGCGCCCGTCAGCGGATTATGACCCGGCCGCTGATCAGACGGAATCAAATAAGCCAACGCAGATATCGTGCTCGCGCAATTCGTGAAGGCCTCGCCCTGCCGTTTGTGGGCCGCCCACTGTAGAAAAGCGAAGTTGTCCTGCTGGACCTTCACGCTGACGGCGCGCAGCTTCACGGCGTCGGCGTAGAGCGCCCGCAAGTACGTTTCTTCGTACCGCTTCGCGATCACGCCCACGTACTTTTGGACTACTGCCCGCGACGAGGAGAAGGCGAGGCCCGACATGGTCTCCTGTCCGGCCTGCGTGACGTTGCCGTGCCACGACACCGCCAGCGACACCAACACGCCCATGATCGTGCCGCGCAGGCCGCCGGTGGTCGCCGTCGCGTTGATCGCCGCCATCGCGAGCGCGCGGCACTTGGCCTTGGAGTCGCGGGCGTCGATCCACGCAGCTAAATCGGCGCCCCGTTTCTTCGGCCGCTTATACACGGGGCCGCCGTCCTTGTCCCGGTAGCCGCCCATGCCCGGCGCGGCCTTCTCGTAGTCCGTCCGATAACCCTCCTCTCTCGCGTACGCGTCCCTGGCGTTCTTCGTTTTGCGCTGCGCGTCCGGCGTCTGCACGAGGAGCAACAGCGTCTCCGCGTAGAACTCCGACCCGGCCCTCTTGTCACCGTAGGGGTCCACCAGAGGTTTCCACAGGTCTTCCAGCGTGATTTCTTTCAATCTACCGCGTGCGTCTAGCACCCCTTCGAAGGCGTCTTTGAGCTTGAACGCGGCCTTCTTCCGGTACAACGCCGCAGCGTCGGCGAGGCGCGCGTGGAACCGTTTTTCGTCGTCCTCCGTGCGCTTCTCGCGACGCTCGGCCGCGGCCACGTCCGCGGCGGCGGACGCGGCGGCGTCGGCCTCCACTTTGGCTAGTTTGTCCTCGGCTTCGGCGAGTTTCCTAGCGAAATAGAACCCCAGGTCCTCGTCTGGCACGCCCCAATTAACCGCGGCGTCGACCATGTCCGAGACGCGCGCGGAGAAGGGCGGCGCCGGCGTCGCGGGCCGCGTCGGCGCGTCGTCCATCTCCACGTCCAGCTGCGGCGGCCGTTCTAGCGTCGGCGGCGGGGGCGGCGCGAGCCGCCTCAGTAGTAGTTGCGCCGCGTCGCCGTGGGGCGTCGCGTCCACGGGCGCGGGCGTCGCGGGCGTCGCGGGCGTCGCCGGCGAGGGCGCGGCGTTCTGGTCGCCGGCCTTCTGCTCCTCGCGCAGGGCGCTCTTGCTTCGATCGGGCGTCGCCTGCGTGACGCTGCGCCGCGGCGGCGTCGCCTTTTTGCGCTTCTCGGACTTGGGCGGCGGCGGCGTTCTGCTGCGCGGAGCCGACGGCCAGAGGTCCTCGACTTGCGGGAAGCGCGGGATCCTGTAGTCGTTCTGACCCTTCAAACGCGTCTTACCACATGTTATTAAGTAGGCACAGCCCTTCGAGTACACCTTCCGCGCGTATCGGCCTCGCTGGTCCACTCGCACCTCGCGCTCCCGCGGGCCACCCATCGCTCTGTTCACTTCATCCTTCGTGACCGACCGTCCCAGCATCAGCGATACCTTCACTGCTAACTTCTCGTCGGTCCAGTGGTGGTCCTTCGTGTCACAACGCAGCACGGCCTTCACTACGTCGTTGTCCTCGTCGAGCGAGAACGAGGTGCGAGGCATGCTCGTCGCGATCGCGTCGCGAAAGGTATTCCTCCGACCAAAACACGCGTTCTAAAGTGCTCACAGCCCACCCGGAAGGAATACCTTTCACGTCACTACTGGGCCGCGTACCAGCAAAAGCTCAAGAGGGCTGCCGGGGGCTGCCCCTTGGTGCGCGCCGAATATCCAGCCGTTTGCACCGGAGAAAAGCGCTACCGCAGGCCACGGCCACGAAGAAGGATTGAGCCGGAGGAATACCTTTCGGGCTCTTCAGCGCCGTCGTGAGGCAGCGTCATTAAAATCGGGCCGCGACGGTGCGGGTTCAGCGGGCTAGTAAGTTGGATTGAAACGAGTTTGAAACCCGTCTCGCGCAAACCGGAGGGCTAGGGGCACTGCAGCTCCTCGATGGCGTGGTCCAGACGCCTCGACGGCTTGAGACCAGCACGCTGCGCGAAACCATCTCACAAAAAACACAGGAGGGCAGAGAGAGCAAATTGCTGCGTGGACCGCCTCACCAGACCGCACAGCTCATTTTTGGCTGCGAGACGTTGCGTACGCAAGCCCTCTTCCAAGCTGCGCGCATCGTGAGCCCGTAAAAACGCGCCAGAGCATCAAATCATAGCTGTGTCCTCCAGCATGGCGGATACATCCTCCGCATCCTCCGAATTCGAGTGCGACTACAGTAGTGGCGAGGAAGCGTACAACTACAACATAGACGTGCCGTTTTATAGAGGCGTCGAGCGCAAAATTTTGCCGGCCGATGTCCCGCTCGTGCTGCGATGCGTCAGCACTGTGAAGGACTATTCGTCTGCTGGCTCCGTCTCGCGGGCCTGGCGCTCGGCGGCGCGGCGGCTGTCGGCCGGCGGCGACAGCGTCTCGCTCGTGCTACCCTAGTTATGTATCTCCCACTCTCTAATATTTGAGTCTATACATCGAGTGTCAAAAGCACTACGGTGTAACAACAGTTCACTATAAAACACTCTCGCAGTCAGGCCTATCAGCTCTAAGCTGGTTAGCTAGGACCCTGCTACTTACATAACGCTGCGACATACTCTTGCTAGGTACCATGGTACCTACGGTAGCTGTCTATACCTACTGCAGTATTTTTTTCGATGCAATACGAGCTTGAATTGACTATAGTTATTTCCACAAGCTTGAATAGCCTAGCTCCCCCTAAACGCCACAGCCGTGGTTCGAGCGTGAGCCTGCTGGCGAGCTATGGCGTCGTAGCATAAGTTTAGTTTTACGCTCCGTAAGGGGTACGAACCCATGCAAGGGCAGAGCGTGCGTGAACGATGAGGGCTGCCCACAGGGCAGTGCTCGTAGCAGCCGCCGTCGGCGTGGAGCTGCGCAACCACGGCTGCCCGAACTTACGCTTCTTGAACCACACCGGCCTAAACGTCACCTGCGTCCGCCTCGCGCGTCCACACCGGGCAAAACGGTGCCTCCTGGACGGCGTCGCGGCGCTCGCGCGGTCGTGGCGCAGCAGTTCCATGCTGCAGGTCGGGGCGCACCTCGCGTTCGGCAACGCCAACGACCCGTTCAAGCGGCTCGCGCTCGACGTGATCAACCACACCGTGCTGGCGAGCCGCAGCCAGGCGTCTACCGGGACCTCGCGGCGCTCGTCGCCGCGCACGCAGACCCGGCGCACCGCATCGCGGTCGTGAACCGGGCGGTCTCGGACCGGGACGGCGTGGTCACGTTTCACACCATAAACGACACGCTCATCGATCCCGCGACGGGCTGCTACCGACGCGGCTTCGAACCGCCCCCCGGGGGCAAGGCGTTTCCGGCCTCGTTCACGAGTCAGATCGCGTCGCTGTCGCTGAAGAACATCCTTAAGCACAAGCACTGGATTCCGAATCTGGAAGCACTCGTCGTCGACGTCGAGGTCCGGGCCTCCACGGTGCGGACGCTCCTGGACGAGCACGATCTGCGGGACGACCTGGTCGTGTTGTCGGTGGACGCGGAGGGCCACGACCAGATCATTGTCAGATCCGTCGACCTGTCGAAGATCACGCCGTATTTCATCGTCTTCGAGCACATGCACATCATGCACAGCGCGTCGGGGGCGTTGCGCCACGTCATGGAAAGCGGCTACGACTGCCTGATGGAGACGGAAAACTACTTCTGTGTGAGAGATATGGCGCTGTTCGCGGCCTGTTGCCCGGCCGGGTGGCATAGAAATTAAGAAAAATACTCGTGTCGCGGGGGCTGCGTGACCGCACGCCCGCGCCCTCGCCCGCCGTCGCCCCGAGTGTTCTTACGAGGTTTCGCGCGAGGTAGTACTGGGAAAGCGCTCGAGATAGCGCTGCGCGAGTCGTGCCCGGGACTCCTCGGCCACGACAGGTCCGAGATCTGCCCCGTACCGTTAAGTGCCCCCGGCACGGGGTCCTGGCTGCCGGCGGGGCTACCCGCGTGTCGGAAAGCCAGTCGTCGCCCACGCCGTGCGCAAGGGTCCGGGGTCTGCCGCACGGGTGCTCCGCGCCCACCGTATCAGATTGGCACGAAGAGGCTCCAGCGCCGAGACAGAGAGCTTGCACGACCTGCTAAATCGCCGTCGACGGACACCCGATGGAGCACTCGTTCGCCCTGCGGGGCGCCCCGGCCCGCAAGGGGCGGCAGCCCCGCGTCGGCTCCGTCGAGGGAGCGCCGCTGCAGCCGGCGGCGGCGCTGCCCGAGCTGCCGCCCCGGTCGCGCGACATCAACGCCGAGCCGGCGGAGCCGGCACAAACGAGGGCGCCGCCGCCGCGCCTCGGCCTGGAGGGCCTCGCCTACGCGCCGGCGGCGGACCCGGCCGGCGTCGTCGCGGGGCGCCGCGTCGGCCTGGCGTCGCCGCCGCCCTCGCCGGAGTTCGAGCGCGCGGCCACGCCCCTGGCCCACTTCGAGCCCGGCGCCGCGCGGGGCGCGCTCGGGCCGGACCCGAGCGCGTCTCCGCCCCGGCGCCCGGTCGCGCTCGTGAGCGAGGGCCGGCGGCCCCGGAGGAAGGCCCCGGACGCGCCGCGGCCGGCGAGCCCCCTGCCGGCGAAGGAGGACCTGATCCGGTCCTTCGCGCACGCCTTCGAGCGGCCCGATCGCCGCGAGACGGGCCAAGGTTCGCGGATCGCGCGGCCCGCGGCGGCGCCCGCGTTCCCGTCGGGGCGCGTCGGCGCCGAGCTGCCGCCCCTCGAGGGCCCGAAGACGCGGGACCGGGCCGCGCTGAAACTGGGCCGCTACCTGCTGGCGCCGCCGGCCGACCCGAAGCCCTGGCGCGCGGCGTCGGCGGTCGCCCTGGGCTCGGGCTCCAACCGCCTGCCGTCCAGACTCGCCGTCCACGAGGAGGCCGCCCGCCTGCGCGCGGAGTGGCACGCCGCGGGGGAGACGGACGACGCGCCACCCGCGTCGTTGCAGGCGGACCTGAGCGCGCGGCAGGCGATCCGGCCGCCCGACCGGGCCGCGCGGTTCTTCCTCGACCGGTGGCTCAAGTCCTTCGACGCGCGCGCCGACGAGGAGCGGACCGTGGCGCTGTCGACGAAACTCCTGGCGCGGTTTTCGGCGGCGGCGGCGCAGCACACGCTGACCCAGGCGCCGTGCGACGAGGGCCGCCCGCCGCCGTCGCGCGACATCGTCGCGGTGGCCTGCGCGACGTTCGACGACCTGTGCGACGCGCTGGGCGAGGCCCTGCCCGCCCTGGCGGAGCTGCGGCGGTGCGTGTTCGAGGCCATGTTCCTGGACGAGCCGCGGCCCGTGGCGGCGCGCCGGCCCCACAGGCTGCTCCGGTGGGCCGACGGCGCGGACGCAGCGCCCGCCGCGTACGCCGAGCGGCGCCTCTGGTGCGAGGGCGGGGGCCTCGGCGAGGTGAAACGCGCGCGAGAGGAGCTCCAGCGGACGGCGCGGGCGCTGCGCGACGCCGAGCGCGGTCGCGAGGCCGCGCAGGACGAGCTGAACCAGGCGGAGGCCCAGCTCGCGTTCCGGGAGGTCGTCAAGCGCCAGGACGACGCCGCGCTCGCCGCGCGGCGGCGGGCCCACGGGGCCGCGGACGTCGCGGCGAACGCGCTCCGGTCGCTCCTCGCGGACGCGGAGGAGGCCCACGCGAAGACGAAGGCGCAGGTCCACGAGAAGATCTCGAACATGAAGGCGCTGATCCACGGCAACTGCGACCGGGAGCGCCGGAAGTGGAAGATCTGCCGCATGCTCATGCTGGCGGCGATGAAGGGCCTCGAGGAGAAGTACGTGGCGTCGTACGAGGCGAAGGAGGAGGCCCGGGGGCGCGCGGCCGCGGCGGAGCGCCGGCTCGAGGAGAACGAGGCCCGCGTGCAAGCGAGGGAGGCGGCGTTCCAGCAGGAGCGGGCCGCGCTCGAGGCGCGGCTGAACGACGCGACCTTCGCCCGCGAGCACGAGCGCAAGCGGGCGGAGGACCTGCACGAGGAGAACCTGACGCTGCGCGCGCGGGCGTCGGGCGGGCTCGGGGAGGAGTCCCGCGGCGTGCTAGAGCAGCTCTCCGACCGCGAGCGCGAGGCGGCGCGGCTGAAGAACGAGCTGCGGGAGCGGGACGCGCTCCTCGCGGACACGGAGGCCCGCGCCGCGCAGAGCGACGCGCGCGTCGCCGAGCTCGAGGGCGTCCTGGGCGAGAAGGAGGAGGCCGCGGCGGCGGCGGCGCGCAGGATCGCGGAGCTCGAGGCCGACACCGCCGCCAAGACCGAAGACATCGGGGCGCTCGAGGCGCGGAGGGCCGCGCTCGACGCCGAGCTCGCCGCGTACCGCGAGGAGGCCGCGCAGCGGCTCGTGGACGGCGGCACGGCCCAGGAGCAGGCGCTGCGGCGAGCCCTGGCCGAGGCGGAGCGGACGGTCGACGAGCGCCGCGCGCACGCCGCGTACGTCGAGTGCGTCGCCGCGCGGCAGGACGCCGCGACGGCGGCGGGGGTCGCCGACGCGGCGGCCGACATCGCGGGCGCCCGGGACGCCATCATCCAGAGCCTCGCGGACGCGAGGGCCGCTTTTGAGACGCAGCGCGACGACGCGTGCGAGGCCGCGGCCGCGGCCGCCGAAGCGCGCGGCGGGGTCGAGTCGGCGCGGCGCGAGCGCGAGGGCGCGTCGCGGGCGGCGGACGCGGACGCCGCCCTCGCAAAGGTCCAGACCGAGCTCGCGGGCCGCGACGCGACGGTCGAGCGCCTCACGGAGGAGCTCGGGGACGCGCGGGCGCGGGTCGCGGCCCTCGAGGCCGAGCTCGGCGACGCGTCCGCTCGATGCGCGCGCCTCGAGGCGGAACGCGACGCGGCGGCCGCGGAGGCGCGGGCCGCCCTCGGGGCGTCGGCGGAGGAGGCGGAGGCGCTCCGGGAGGCCGCGCGGCTGCGGGACGAGGAGACCGCCCGGCGGCTGGCCGCGGCCGAGGCCGCGCGGGAGGAGGAGCGCGAGGCCACGCGCCGCGCGGAGGCGGAGGCGAAGCAGCGCGAGCGCGACGCGCTGCGCATGGCCGAGGACGAGGCCGAGGCCGCCATGGCCGGCGAGGCCGAGGTCGAGGCGCTGCGGGGGACGCTCGCGGCGCTGCGGAGCGAGCTCGCGGAGGCGCACCTGGAGATCGACAAGCTCCAGAAGCTCGTGGCGATCGCCGAGGAGGCCAAGGAGCCCGCGGAGCCCGAGGAGGACGTCGCGGCGCTCGCGTCGGCCTTTGGCTTCGCCGAGGGCGAGGAGGACGCCGACGAGGCGGCGGACCGGGTCGAGGAGATCCGCCCGGCGACGGCCGAGCGGCCGGCGACGGCCGAGCGGCCGCCGACGGCCGAGCGGCCGCCGACGAGCGGCTCCGGCCGCCCGACGACCGCCGGCAGCGCGGCGTCCTCCGCGGCGCTGCGGCTCGAGGGCGTGCGGGCGGAGCTGGAGCGGGCGCTCGACGCGGCGCAGCGGGCGGCGGCGGACGCGCTCGCGCGGGGCGACGCGGCGGAGGCGGCGCGCGCCGGCGCGCTCGCGCGGTGCGAGGCGTCGGAGGCGGCGTTCGGCGCCCTCGCCGCCGCGCCGGCGGCCGTCGAGACGGTCGTCGAGGAGGTCGTCCGCGGCGACCCCGACCTCGAGGACAAATTACGCGAGGCGGCCGACCGGCGCGTGGCGGCGGCGCAGGACGTCGCGGCCGCCGCGGACCGCGACCGCGTTGCCGCGCTCGCCGCCGCGGCCGGCGAGCGCGACCGCGCGGCGGCCGCGGAGGCCGTCAACGGGGCGCTCGCCGCGCTGCACGGCGACGCGCTGCGGCGGGCCGCGAGCGAGGCCGCGAGCGAGGCCGCGAACGAGGCCGCGCAGCAGGCCCGGCGGCGGGACGAGGAGGCCGCGGGCCTCGCGCGGGCCGCGGCGTACCTGGACGACGCGCTCGCGGCCGAGCGCGCGGCCTTCGACGCCTGCGCCGCGGCGCTCAACCGCGCCGTGACGCGCGCCGCGCGCCTCTCGGCCTCGCTCGAGAGCGGCATCGACGGGTCGATCACGATCGCCGACCACGAGGACCAGCTCGCGCGGCTGCGCGAGGCGCTGGACGCGGAGATGGACGCCCTGCGGGAGGCCTCCGAGGCCCTCGCCGGGCAGCACGCGGCGGCGCTCGAGGCGCTGGCGTCCGAGCACGCCGCCGCGCTGGACGCCGCGAAGGGAGCGGCCGCGGACGCCTTGGCACGGGCGCAAACGGCGCACGAGGAGGCGCTGGCGAAGGCGCAGACCGACGCCGCGGCGGCGCGCGAGGCCGCGCGGCGGGACGAGGCGTCCCTGGCGGAGCAGGCGCGGCGCGACGCCCCGGCGCCGAGCGACGACGCGGCGCTCGACGCGTTGCGAGCCCAGCTCGAGGCCAAGCAAGCGGAATACGACGCGGCGCTCGCGCAAATGAAGGAAGACGCCGCGGCGGCCGCCGCGGACCACGCCGCGGCGCTGGAGACGCTGCGGCGCGAAGCCGCGGCGGCCGCCGCCGACCACGCCGGGGCGCTCGAGGCCCTGGCGGAGGGGCACGCCGCGGAGCTCGAGCGCGCCGCGAGCGGCGCGGCGGACCTCGAGGCGCGGCTCCGCGCGGCCCGCGACGAGATCGCGTCGCTCGCGGGCGACGTCGACGCGGCGGCGCGGGCGGGAGACGCGGCGGACCGCCAGGTCCAGCGGCAGCTGAAGGGCGTCGCGGCGCAGGAGCGCAGGTGCAGGGAGCTCCAGTCGCTCGTGGACGAGGTGCGGACGGGCCTCGCGGAGCTGCAGGCGGACATGACCTCGAGGATGCCGCTCCCGCGGCTGCACCGGCTGGTCGCGCAGCTCCTGCTGCGGCTGGGCGCGGCGCCGCCGGGCGACAACGCCGTGCGCGCGCTGGCGACGATCGTCTCCCTGCAGAAGAAGTACAAGAAGCGCATCGCGGCGCGCGGCGCGCGGCGGGCCGACGCGGCGGCGGCGGAGGCGGCCGCGAAGGCCGCGCTGGCGGCCGAGGCCGAGCGCCTGCGGGCGGGCGGCGACGACGCGCTCCGCAAGGAGTACGAGAAGAAGCTGCGGCGGCTGGAGGCGCAGGCGGCCGCGCGCGAGAAGGAGCTGCGGCGCAAGGCCGAGGAGGCCGAGGCGCGGCGATTACGGGAGACGCAGGCGCGCGCGGCCGGCGCCGCGCCGGAGGACCTCGGCGACGACGTGGTCCAGGCGACCTCGGCGCTCCACCGCGAGCAGCTCGCGACCGAGGCCCGGGACCTGTCGCGGACGATCCTGGCGGACGTCGCGGCGCGGGACGGCCTCGAGGCGGCGGCCGCGACGGGCGGCTCGCGCTTCGCGAAGGAGAAACTCCAGGCGTTCGTGGCGGAGCTGGCCGCGAAGCGAAGGCGGCTGCGGGCGATCGGCTGGCAGGTGCCGCTGTTCGACGCCGCGGGCGCGTGCGACGCGAACATGGAGCACCGGGCCTACGACCTGGAGCACCAGCGCGACATCCTCCAGGAGAAGGTGCTGGCGCTGCAGGTCAGGAGCCGCGACGACGCCAAGGCGGCCGAGACCGCGGTGGCGCGCGTGCGCCGCGTGCTGAAGATCGCCGAGGCCGAGAAGGAGTCCGAGTTCCTGAAGCGCGTCGAGGCCGAGGGGGCACTCGGCTGTGTGGAAATCAACCAGTGCGTCGGGTGCACCCGATGATCCTTCACCAAGTCATTTCTCGGCGATGACGCGGCCGTCCTGGCTCCGTCGAGCGGCGAGGGACCGGCATCGCCACGCCATCGAGCAGGCGTCGCGTCGATGGCGTGGAGGTCGACGCGGCGATCCAGCGCGAACGCGCCGTAAAATTTCGATTTCCACACAGGTGCTCGGGAAGCTCCAGGTCGAGCTCGACCGCATGAAGGCCGAGGAGGAGCGGGTGCGGAAGCTCTGCGGCGACAGCGGCATGCCGCCGGTCCAGCTCCTGGGGACCGTCGTCGGGACCCTGCTCGCGGAGCGGCGCGCGACGGCGCTGCTCGTGGGGGAGCTGGTGCGGGTCCAGGAGGCGGTGGTCGAGCTCAGTGCATGAATCAAGTTGTCGCGGCGCTTCTACACGGCTGCGTTTTCGCCGTGCACCCGACTCACTGGTTGATTTATGCACAGGTCGAGCTCTGCGGGGCGGACGAGGCGCCGCCCACCGGGGAGGCCCCGGCCGCGCCCGCGGCCGGGGACGCGTCGCCGCGCGCCGCGCCGGTCGCCGAGGCCCTCGGGCCCGTCGCGGCGCGCGTCAAGATGGACCCGGCCAAGTACGCCCTCACGACGAGGCGACTGCGGGCGGACGCCGCGCGGCCGCCGCCCAAGGTCCTGCCCGCGCCGGCGGTCGCCGCCGGCGCGGCGGGCGCGCTCGAGCTCGCGGCCGTGCCGCAGGACGATCGCCTCGCGCCGACGGTGCGGAGCACGAAGCTGGAGAAGCGGCAACCGGTGCCCGCTGCGCCGGTACGCTACGAGGCCGTGAACGGCGTCGGGCCCCTCATCCCCGCGCGGCTTCAGAAGGCCCTGACGGCGACGATCGCCCCCCTGCTGGAGGCGCACGAGCGCGCGCTGCCCGAGGTCAAGGAGCGCCTGCGGCGGCGCGTCCACTTCGGCGAGCGGTGGCGGAACCACGAGGAGTTCTTCCGGACCGCGGACCCGCTCCTGCTGCGATCGGTCGACGCGAACGCGACGCGACTGAACAAGAACCTGCTGAAGCATGCCCGCCTCGCCGACGACTGCAACCTGAAACTGGAGGGCCTGGTCGGCCTGACCGAGGCGCGCGCCGCCGAGCGCGCCGAGGACTTTTACCTGACGCGGGCCATGGACGCGCACGGGCACCTGTCCGAGACGATGAAAGATTGGGGCGCGGCGCGGCGCAAGGAGATCGGCGCGGCGGATCTGGCACGGGGGCTGCAGGAGAGGCCGGCGTCGAGGGTGAAAATGATCGAGGCCGACGCGCTGCCGGACAAGGAGGTGCTCGCCGGCACGCGGAGGGGGCTACCGCCCGTCGAGACCGTGACCACCATCCGGAGGCCCGGCCGGCCCGCGGACGAGCTCGCCAATTCCCGGGACGAGCGCGCCGCGGAGTAAATGTTTCGAACTTGCCAATTCCTCATGCCATGCTGCCCATGGGCCCAAGACACAGGGCGGCCCCATGACATAGCTGGAGTGTCGCTTCTGGGAAGCCTGGGGCGAAGAGCGCCCAGCGCGGTGATGTGGACCATGGCATGTCCTCCGTCCGGGCCTCGGTTTCTAATTCACTCGCAAGTTTGCTTCGCTGCCCGCGGCGCCGACGCGGGGCATGAACTGGGGCATGCTTGACCGGTCCTCACGTGCCGCCGCCCAGCGAGAGCGAGAGCTTATTCTATTTTAAACCCCTAGATGCAGACGCGGTACGTCACGTACCGCCCCGCCGTCTCGGACGGCCGCACGATCTTGACGACGTCGCCGACCTTGAGGCCGTAGTAGCGCGCGACCGGGTCCGTGCGCTGGATGCGCGGCAGCTGCTCCGCCCGGAGCTTGTAGCGGTCCAGGAGCGCCTGCCGGTCCTCGGGCGACAGGAGGGCGTGCGCCGGCACGAGGCGGTGCTCGGTCACGTCGACCAGCAGCTCGGCGTCGCGGAAGTGCTCGATCAGGTACGTGGAGGCCATCTCCTGGAGCGCGGTCTTGGCGAAGGGCGTGACGCCCTGCTTCACCACGAGGATCGCGTGGCTCACGCTCGCCTCCTTCATCATCTCGCAGTACTGCTTGATGGTCTTGACGCCCACCTTGTCGTCGTCCGGCAGGAAGACGAAGAGCTGGTCCTCGGCGTCGGTCTCGTGCTCCGCGAGGATCGTCAGGTCGTTCCGCTTCGGCTGGTCGCCGAACTGGTCCACGAAGCCCCGCGGCGTCATGGCGAGCTGCGCCGCGTCGACGACGTACGACCGCTTCTTGAGCATCTTGAGCAGCGTCCGCCGGATGCGGAAGAGGTGCGAGGCCTCGCCCGTGAGCGCCGCGCGCTCCTCGAGGGCGGCCATCGCCTATAGCGTCGATTTCGCTGGTGCCGCCGCGGGGCTCAATGCCGCTCGCGGCCGGCCCGTTGCCGGGTGGCGCCCAGCGCCGTTTAAACGCGCGCGAGGCCGCACCGCTTTTAAGAATAGTGCGAATTATGCCACCGCGTCAAGCGTACGCGAGGCTCCGCGAGGCTCCGCGACGCTCGAGTAATTTTGCTAGTGTCTTAGGCCGCTAGCACCGTGGGAGGAGCTATCCCCCGCGAGCGTGTACGTAAGCTTGCTGCCGGTCATAGAAGCGTGCGTCGTCGTCGCCGTGCCCGGGCGCGTTGGTGAAGTCCGGGTCCCGCCGACGCGCCGGAGGCCGTCGATCTTGATCTGGGCGTACTCGCGCCGTCTTGATGCCCCAGCGACGGTAGAGGCGGTTCTTGAACAGGGCGGCCGCGTGGTTCTGCCGCAGTGGCCCAGGGGCTACTAGTAGCTCAATAAGCTCGAGATCTTGACTCGGAAACATTATCAGGACTCCTCGGACCCCGACCCGGAGCCCGAGGACTCGTCGTCGTCGTCGGACCCGCTCTCGTCCTCGCCCTCGTCGTCGGACGCGCCGTCGTCCTCGTCCGAGCCGCCGCCGGACGCCGCGGAGCCGCCCGCGAAGGGGAAGCGGTGGCGCGTGCGCAGCTTCTTGGCCAGGCCGGGCTTGTCGGCCGGGATCCCCAGCGCCTCCACGTCGGCGGCGTCCAGGCCCTGCTCCGCGACGAGCGCGAAGTCGTAGCCCAGCGCCAGGAGCCGGTCGAAGAACGCGCCGCAGCCGATCGACTCGACCCACCGCCTCAGTTTGTCGCGGTCGGTCCGCGTAGACGCCGCGCGCGCCGCCGCGGCGTCGAGCGTCGCGGCGACGCCGGCGAAGCCCGCGCGCCGCGCGAGCGCGGCGGCCCGCGCGCGGTCGCACGCGCAGGCCGCGTCGGCGTCGAGCAGCACGGCCACGGCGCGCGCGTGGCCGTGCGCCGCGGCGTAGTCCAGCGCGGCGAAGCCGAGGCGGTCGCGCGCGGCGGCGCGCGCGCCGGCCGCGACGAGCGCCGCGCAGACCTCGGCGTGGCCGTAGCGCGCGGCGACCTGCAGCCCGGTCGAGCACGGCGCGATCCGCGACAGGTCGGCGGCGTCGACGGCCGCGCCCGCCGCCAGGATCGTCTCGACCGCGGCGGCGTCGCCCTCGGCGCACGCCAGCTGCAGCGGCCGCCACTCGTCGAAGGGGAAGCGCGCGTCGACCGGGTTGGCCTCCGTCGTCGCGCAGCGCTGGCGCCAGGCCGTGACGGCCCGCAGGTCGCCGGCGCGCGCGGCGTTGACGGGGAAGGGGGCCTGGAGCATCGCGCGCGCCCCGACGAACAGGTCGAAAAAACACGCGCAACTACTCCTGACAGCAGCTGAACACCCCGAGCGCGTGCGCGGGCAGCTCCAGCGGTCGAAGCGGAGGCTCGTTGCCCGCTATTTCGAAGTGAAGGCGGGCAGTTCACAGCATAACTACGAGCTTGATACTTACGAGCTTGTACCAGCGCCGCCCTCAAACAAACTTACGCGAGACTTATTGCGGGAGGGGTTCGCGCGAAGTAGCCCACGTGCGGGTTTTTCTTACTCGCCTGTATTAATTTGCAATATTTGCAAAAAGCGCGCCGCATAACAGTTGGAACACGCGCTCGGACGACCCCTGTACAGATTCGGGGCCGACCGCTCGCGCGCCTCACCGGGAGCCACAGCACCGGGAGGCCAGCACTGCGGGAGGCCATATGGCGGCGCAGGACGCGCGGAGCGATGGCGCCGACGCCAGCCTCGCCCTGAAGAACGAGGGCAACGCCGCGCTGGCGCGCGGCCGCTACGCCGAGGCCATTTCCTGCTACTCGCGCGCGCTCGAGGCCGACCCGTCGAGCCCCGTCCTGTATTCGAACCGGGCGATGGCGCACATCAAGGCCGAGTCCTACGGCCTGGCCATCGCCGACGCGGAGGCGAGCATCCGGCTGGACGCGAGCTACATCAAGGCGTACTACCGGCGGGGCTCGGCGAACTTCGCGCTCGGCAAGTACAAGCTCGCGCTGCGCGACTTCCGGGCGGTCTGCAAGCTGCGGCCGAACGACCGCGACGCCCGGCTCAAGCTGAAGGAGTGCGAGCGCGCCGCGAAGCAGCTGGCCTTCGCGGTCGCCATCGAGAGCGAAGACGCGGCGCCGCTCAGCGCGTCCCTGGACGTCGCGACGATAAGCGTGGACGCCGCCTACGACGGCCCGCACCTCCCGGAGGACGGCGCGCCGACGGACGAATTTATAACAGAAATGCTGGAGCGCTTCCGGGCGCAGAAGCTCATTCATAGGAAGTACGTGCTCCAGATCCTGCTGCGCACGAAGGAGCTCCTCGAGGCGGAGAAGAGCCTCGTGGATCTCGAGATCGGCGACCGCGACCGCATCACAATCTGTGGCGACGTGCACGGCCAGTTTTACGACCTGCTCCACATCTTCGAGATTAACGGCCGGCCCTCTTCCTCGAACCCGTACGTCTTCAACGGCGACCTGGTGGACCGGGGCTCGTTCAGCTTCGAGGTCGTCCTGTCGCTCTTCGCGCTGAAGGTGCAGCACCCCGGCGGCGTCCACATCAACCGGGGCAACCACGAAACGAAGAACATGAGCAAGATCTACGGCTTCGAGGGCGAGGTGCGGCACAAGTACGACGCGACGGTGCTCGCGCTCTTCCACGAGTGCTTCCAGTGGCTGCCGCTGGCGGCGTGCGTCGAGAAAAAAGTGTTCGTGACGCACGGCGGCCTGTCGTCGGACGACGGCGTGACGCTCGACGACGTCCGGAAGGTGAGCCGGAACCGGGAGCCGCCCGACGCGGGCCTGATGTGCGACCTCCTGTGGAGCGACCCGCAGGCGCAGGACGGGCGGAGCCCCTCGAAGCGCGGCGTGGGCCTGTCGTTCGGGCCCGACGTGACGCGGGCCTTCCTCGAGAGAAACGGTTTAGATTTGGTCGTCCGGTCGCACGAGGTGCGCGACAACGGCTACGAGGTCGAGCACGGCGGGTCGTTGATCACGGTCTTCAGCGCGCCGAACTACTGCGACGCCATGGGCAACAAGGGCGCCTTCATCCACCTGTCGGCGGCGCTCGAGCCCAAGTTCACGACGTACGACGCGGTGCCGCACCCGCCGCTGCGGCCGATGGCCTACGCGAGCGCGTCGCCTTTTGGGTTGTAAACTAGTATCTTATCACGCTACCCTTTGTATTAAATTGTAACTTCCGAGTCAAGTTCGGTTCCCGGCCCGGGCCGACTAAATCGGGCCCGTCGGTATATATATATATTCCCCCTCGCAAAAGTCCATCGTGATGCCCCCGCTTCTTCGGGAAGTAGAAATTATACCTGCAGTGCGGGAAGCTGCATTTCGACCGGGCGGAGACTTTAGGGTCCGAGTCGCGTTCAAAAGGCGCTCGGCGCTCGGATTGCTGCTTTTCGACCGGTCGGATCATATTAGTGCAGGTGGGAATCTCCACTACGGAGTACACACATTTAGGCGACGCGTCACTCACAGGAGCGCGTCGAGGTCCGACGCGGGCGCGGGCGCGGGCGCGGCGGACGGCGCCCAGGCCTTCCGGACCGGCGCCCGCCGGTAGGCTTCGGGGGCCGGCGCGCCCCAGCCCGTCGGCGCCGGCGCGGGCGGCGCGCCCCAGCCGCTCTGTGCGGGCGGCTGCGCGGGGGGCGACCCCCAGCCAGCGCTCGCCGGCGGCGGCGCGGCGTAGCGCTTCCCCGGCATGGCCGCCGCCACCGCCCTTCCCGCGGCCGTCCCCCGCAAATGGGGCGGCACCGCATCGTGCGCGAAGTTGCACTTGCTGCCGAAGGGGCACCGGCCCGCGTCGAGCATGTGGCTGCACAGGATCTTGTGCGCCCGCGCGGGCCGCACCGTGCAGGCCCAGGAGGCGTGCTCCGCGCTGCCGCACTGGAAGCAGTACGCCGACGCGGCCATGGACCCCGGCCGGACGTAGCCTTGCGGCGACGGGGCCCGCCCGCGCGGCGACGCCGGCGCCGGCGGCCGCGCGCGGGGCCGGTCGTAGCCGCGCGGCGCCGGCGCCGGCGGCCGCGCGCGGGGGCGGTCGTAGCCGCGCGCGCGCGGCCAGTCGTACCCCCCACGCGGCGACGGCGACCGGCGCCGCCGCCGCGAGCGCGAGCGCGAGCGCGAGCGCGAGCGCGAGCGCGAGCGCCGCCGCGGCGAGCGCGACCGCCGCCGGGCGCCGTCCGATCGCCGGGGTTCCTCGTCGTCCCCGGACCGCTGCCGCACGCCGGAGCCGGCCCCGAAGTTGTCGGCGTCCACGTCGAAGCGGTCGCACCACAGCCTCAGGAACTCGCCGAGCGGCCGGCCGCAGCACTCCAGGGCCGTCGCGAAACTCCGTCGCCGGGCCGCGTCCACCAACCGCCGGCAGCGCGGGCCGAGCGGCGCGCCGTTGATGCTGCCGGACTGCAGCGCGGCCCGCAGGTTCGCGTCGAGCGCGCCGACGGTCGACGCCTGCGCGCGGCGGTCGCGTCTGCGTCGACGGCGCGCGCGCGGGACGCGGCCGACGCGCGTGCCCCGCGGGCAGGAGCTCGGCGCACGCCAGCGCCACGGCCGTCTCCATGGCGTCGTCCCGGCGCTCCGGCGCCCGCCGCTGGACGACGCCCGCGGCGTCCGTCCGGAACGGGCCGTGCCTCCGGTTGAGCCAGTCGCGGAACGGGCAGCCCGAGCACAGGCTCCGGATCGACGCGACGTCCCGGTCCCGGTAGGCGTCCGCCAGCGCCCGCAGCGCCGGCGGCGCCCGCGCGCCGCCCCGCTCCAGGAACCGGTCGAGCTTCGACCGCGACCCGACGACGTCCTCGACGTGCGCGGCCGTCGGCGCGAGCCCCACGGCCTCGCAGACGCTCGCGACCGCCCCCTCGACCACGCGCTGGAGCGCCGCGTACCGGTCCTCGCGCCGCGGCGCCACGCGCGCGCGCCCGTCCCAGCGCCTCTCGACGGCGTACCGGCCGCAGTTGCGCACGTACGACGGCAGCGACCCCTGCAACGCGTCCCGCAGGTCCGCGGCGTCCTCGCACAGCCGCTGGATCGCCACGGGCCCCCGCTCCAGGAGCCGCGCGAGCCGCGCGTCGGCGCGGGCCTCGGCGTCGCGCCGCCACGTCTGCGGCGCGTGGCCGCCCCGGAGCGTGACGTTCTGCGCCACGTCGACCTCGAACCGGTCGTGGCGCGCGGCGAGGAAGGCCGCGAGGTCCTCGCCTGCGGCGGCCGGGCGCGCGTCTCTCGCGCGCCGCGCGCGACACGCGACGGGGACGCGGCGCGCGCGCCGGACGTCAGGTCGGCGAGGCGCGCCGCGCCGTGCCGCCGGAACTCCGCCGCGAGCGCGGCCCGCCGCGCGCCGCCGGCCGCCTCGAGGGCATCCGCCGACGCGAGCGCGCGCGTCAGGAGGTGGAGCGGCAGGCGCGCGTGGCGCTCCGCTTCCAGCCTCTCCGCGGCGGCCTCCTCGACGCGGCGCTGCAGCGCGTCGTAGGGCGTCGGCGGGAAGCCGTCCGCGTCGCCGTGCCCGTCCGGCGATCCCGGTCGAGCCGGGTGCGAGTGCGCGTCCGCGAAGCCCTCGTCGCCCCAGACGGACGCGGACGGGCCCGGGCCCGCGGGGCGGGGGACGACGCGCGCGGCGGCCGAGAGGTCGTTCCCGTCGCACGCGAGCTTGGCGTGCCGCCGGACGCGCTCCGCGGGCGGCGCGCCGAGGACGCGCCAGTCGACGGGCGGCCCGCGGTCGCGGACCCAGCGCCGCGCGAGCGCCGCGCGCGGCCCGCCGCCGCCGCCGCCGCCCGCGAGGAGGCGCTCGACGAAGGCGACCTGCGCGGCGTCGGGTCGTCGTGCGCGGTCGCCGCGGCGGCGGGGGGGACGCCGCGCGCGCGCGCAGTCGCCGACGCGGCAGTCGTCCGCCGCGGCCACGAGCTCGGCGACCGCGCCGTCGACCAGCGCCGCGCCGGCCGCGTCGCGGGGCGCGGGGAAGCCGTCGAAGGCCTCGCGCGCGACGACGAGCGGCCGGTGGCGCTGGCCGGCGCGGCCCGCGAGCGCGAAGCGCCCGCCCTCGACGCGCGCCGCGACGAAGGCCTCGAGCGACCCGCCCGCGAGCGTCGCCGCCGTGCAGTCGTACCGGGCGAGGACCTCGCGCAGGCGCGCGCGCGCGGGCGCGAGCCGGGCGCCGCGCAGCGTCGCGGCGAGGGCGGCGGCGTCGCCGATCGCGCGCGCGAGCTCGGCGGGCGCCGTCGGGCGCGCGTGGACGTGCTCCGCGACCTGCGCGGCGCGGCGCGGTGGGGGCGCGCGCCCGTCGGCGGCGGGGTTTCCGCGCCGGCCGCGACGGCCTCCTCGAGGACGTACTGGGCCTCGTCGAAGGCGTCGCGGAAGGGCTGCGGCCCGGCCGGCGCCGCCGGCGCCGGCGACCCGGGCGCCGCCGCGGCCGCCTCCGCGCCGTCCCCGTCGTCGAAGAACGCGAGCTCCTCGGCCGAGACCGCGCGCCGGCCCGGCCGCGCGCGGCGCAGCTGCGCGCACGCGACGAAGTGGCGCAGCGCGAGCTCGACGGCGCGGTGCGACCCGTAGCGCCGCGCGTCGCGCTGCCCCAGCACCGTGGCGGGGCCGCGCCGCTCCACGACGGCCGCGATCGCCGCCTGGTCGAGCGCGCCGGCGCGCATGCGTTCGACGAGGCGCGACGGGTCGCCGCGCTTCAGCTCGGCGCTGACGACGTCCTCGAGCGCGCGGACGAGGGTCGCGCCGCGCCGCGGGTGGAGGTGCGCCGCGCACCAGGCGCGATACTCGTCGATGAGGGCCCGGTCGTCCATCAAGCGAACGAAAAGGCCCCGCTCTCCTTTGCCGTGCTGCAGCAGGTCCAGATCGGTGCCGCAGGTACCTACGGTACCTACCTATGGTACGGTACCTACGGACCTACCGTAGGTACGGACCGTACCGTAGGTACCTACGGCCGGGTATTCAAGTATAGTTGAAATAACTAGGATAGTGAAGCTAAGATAAAGTTGGGAGATTTATGAGTGGACAAGAGGCCGTTGCCACAACGGACGCCAACCCCAGGGCCCCCGGACCACGCCAACCCCAGGGCCAAACCAAAGTGACACGGAACGTGACACGCCAATACTTAGCCTGTTGTCGCCCGACCCGGACAACCATGCGCGCGCAACTACTAGTATATACATCTTACCGGACGCGTGCTAGCGCGTCGTCGCGAGCGGCACGCCCGTGTCGAAGCGCGCCAGGCACACGGCGAACGCCTGGAGCATCGAGAAGGGGAACGTGTAGTCCATGTTGAAGCAGTCCTTGCCGACCTTGCCCATCTGGAGCACGACGGGCAGCGCCGCGTCGTCGTCCGCGAGGCCGCGCCCCTCGCCGTCGCGGTCGTAGTACGCGCGCCGCTCGTGGGCCTCGACCGGCGCCGACGCGACGAGCTGGAAGTTTTTGACCGAGGCGACGGCCGCGCGCGCGCGGAAGTCGACGAGGCAGCTCGACAGCGGGTCGTACTTCGACGTCCGCGCGTGCGCGACGTACACCGAGTCCGCGTCGAGCACGTTCTGGGCGCCGCGGCCGCGGACGACGTCGAACGCGTGCCGCAGGCCCGCCGCCGGCTCGGCGGGCCGGAACTCGCGGACCGTCGCGACGCCGGGGTCCAGCGCCTCCGCGTCGCGGCCCTCGTCCGGCCCGCGCGCGCGCCAGCGCGCGCGCGGCAGCGCCACCTCGAAGCGGCGCGCCGGCCCGCCGAAGACGACGGCCGCGAGCTCGCGGCGCAGGGCCCGCCGCCGCGCGTCGTCCGCGCGGCCGCCCGCGTCGTAGAGGACGTACTCGCGCGGCGCCGCCGCGGCCGCCGGCGCGGCGCGCAGCTTGCCGAGGTAGTGCCTGCTCCGCTTGGCGCGCGCCTTGTAGACGTCGGACCTGCGTGGGCATCAAATTTCGGGCGCCCCACGCCGTCAACGCGGCGGTGTCGCCGCGACCGCGTCGGTTCGATGGCGTGGAGGTTCACCAAGGTCCCCGCAATACATCTCGGGATAACCGGACTCACTGGTTGAGTTCCACGCAGCGTCGGACGCCGCGGTCGAGATGGCGTAGTAGGGCGACGCCGCGGGCACCTTGCGGGCGGCCAGCAGCAGGCGGCCCGTGCCGTCCTCGTGGTCCGCGTAGAGCTTGTAGAGCGGGAAGAGCGCGTGCGCGCCCGACCGCGTCCGCTCGATGAAGCAGCGCACGACCGTGGCGCCGCCGCCCGGCGCCGGCGCGGTCACGAAGGCGTGGAGCCGCCGCAGCACGAACGGGATGGCGCGCCCGTCGAAGACGGCGGGCGTCTTCGCCGCCGCGCCCGCGGTCGCGCGGGCCGCGGCCGCGTCCCGGCGCGCGAGGCCCCGCGCCAGCGCGTCGTCGAGGCGCGCGCCGACCGCGTCGTCGCCGTCGCGACGCGGGGGCGCCTCGGCGCCGGCTGCGGCCGCGGGCGAGCGCGACCGGCGCGGCGAGCCGTCGCCGTCGCGGCCGCGCCTCCGGTCCCGGCGCCGCGGGGGCGCGTCGGCGCCGGCTGCGGCCGCGGGCGAGCGCGACCGGCGCGGCGAGCCGCCGGCGGCGCCATTGCGCCCCCGGTGCCGGCGCCGCGGGGACGCCTCGGCGCCGCCCGCGGCGGGCGAGCCGTCGCCGGCGTCGGCTGCGGCGGCGTCGCGCCTCCCGTCGTCACGCCGGCGCCGCGTCCGGTCGTCGGCGGCGCGGCGGTCGCGGCGGCGCGGCGCCGGGTCGTCCGCGGCCTCGCGCGACCCGTCGCCCCAGCGGCGCGGCGGCGTCCGGTCGCCGCCGGTCCTCGGAGAGCCCACGCGCCGAGGCGCCGCGTGTTCGTCGTCGCCGTCGTCGCTGGCGGTCGGCCGGCGCCGCGGCGCCGGGCCGTCGCCCTCCGTCCGCCGCCCGCCACCCCCCTCCGCGCGCGGCGAGCGTCGGCGGGCCGGCGGCGGCGACTCCGGCGACCGCGCCGGCGCCGCGCGCCGCCGGCGGTCCGTGCCGCCGTACTCGGGCGCACCGCCGAGGCTCCGCGCGTACCGGGCGCGCAGGGCGGCCGCCGCCGAGGCGCGCGCGTCGTCGCCGGCGTCCTCGGGGGGCGGCGGCGGCGGGGGGGGCGGCATGGGGCGGCAGCTTGAGCGCCGCGACGCTGCCCCCGGAGTTCTGAGTGCAATCCGTGCCCGCCGCCGCGCCGACCAAAGGGGTCCTATATAGTGTATTAACTCTGCTCAGAGCCGAGTAATATTATAATCTCTTCTCGACGACGACGGGTTTTTAGCCCCCCACACCCCGCACGAAACGCTCGGTTTGGTTTGGGTTCTAGTTCTAGTGACTAGTCGCTCCCGCTCCTCCGGGACCCATCCGTCGGGCTAGGACAGAGTTACTAACCATCGTTGATCATCGGCGAATCGGGGGAGCGAAGGCCTGCGCTGTGGCGACGCATCCGGGGTCCGCGCGAGAGGGGCTAGCCGCACTACGCGAAACCCCGGCACCGGAACACTCCACGGGCGTCTTACGCGCCGCCGCCGCTACTTCTTCTTCTTGCCGCCGCCCTTCTTCTCCTCGCCCGGCGGCGGCGGCGGCTTCGCGCCCGCTGCCAGCAGCAGCTCCGAGAGGGCGTTGGCCAGGTCCGCCTGCGCCGTGGACGTCGCCGACGCCGCCCGCAGGGCGGCGAGCGCCAGGGGCTTCTTGCCGGCGCCCTTCGCTTCGAGCGGCGCGCCGGCGTCGACGAGGACCTTGGCGCACGCCAGGTAGTCGGGCACCTCCATGCCGCGCGGGAGCTCGCCCGCCGCCGGGCCCGCCACGTTCGCGCACAGGGCGTGGAGGGCCTGGTCGCCCTCCTTGTCCGCGGCGTCGACGGCGGCCCCGGCCCGCAGCAGCGCCTCGCAGCACTTGGCGGCGCCCCGGGCGGCGGCCCGGTGGATCGCGACGCGCCCCATTTCGTCCGCCGCGCCGCCCGTCGGCGGGCAGCCCGCGTCGATCAGCAGCCGGGCGCACGCGAGCGCGCCGGCGCCGCAGGCCGCCTGCAGGGGCGTCACCATGCCCTCCGCGGGGAGCTGCATCGCGGCCTTGTGGCCGACCAGCACCTGGGCGACGAGCGTCGCGCCCTTCTCGCAGGCCAGCACCAGCGGCGTCGGCGTCCCCAGGCCGCCGCCGTCGGGCGACGCCGCGCCGCCGCTGACGATCTCCCGCACGGAGGGCACGTCCTGCGCGAGCACCGCCCGCAGGAGCAGCTGCGTGTCGTCCATGTCCTCGACGGCGTCGGGCGCGTCGCCCCGGGAGATGCGCCGCTGGTCCACGAGGCCGAGCGCCGCGCCGCGCTTCGCCGCGTTCAGCATCTTCTCCTTGATGCCCCGCTTGTCGGCCATGCGCACGAAGCGCACGATCAGCTCGCCGGACGACCAGCCCCGCTTCGACGTCACGCAGCGCACGACGCAGTGGTTGCTCAGCTCGAGCGGCCGTCGGTAGATCCGCGACGTGCGCTTGACCGCGCTGCCGTCGAGCGTGTAGCGCACGTTCGCCCAGGGCGTCGCGCTCGTGAGCCGCATGAGCAGCGTGCCCGTGAACTCGACGGTCCGGTGCTCGCGCGGCGTGCCGTCCGCGTTCCGCGGCGTCGGGTCCGGGTCGACGGGGCCGTCCTCGACGCTCGGCTCCTTGACCGCGTACACCTCCTTGTCCGACAGGATCGCGGAGCGGTGGCCCGTCCGCGACCCGGGCGCGGCCTTGACGTCGCAGGTCGGCGCGTCCGGCAGGCCGCGCACCGCGCCCCGGAACTCCGTCGCGTAGGTCCGGATGGGCAGGGCCCGCGCGATCTTCGCCGGCGCGCTGAGCGGCCGCTTCGCGGCCGCGACCTTGGGCCGCTCGACGGCCGCCGACGCGGGCCGGCTGCCGCCCGCGGCCTTCTTCTTCTTCTTCCGCTTTTTCTTCTTCTTCTTGCCGGCGGCCTCGTCCGCGGCGTCCTGCTCCGCCTCGAGGCGCGCGGCCTCGGCCTCGGCCGCGGCCTCGGCCTCCCGCAGGGCGAGCCGCTCCGCCTCCTCCCGCGCGGCCTGGCGCGCCTCGGCCTCGAGCCGGCGCTTCTCGAGGTCCGCGATGATCTCCTCGCGGCTCTTGGGGTTGAAGAACGCCCGGCGCGCGGCGATGGTCATGTGCGCCGTCTCGGGCAGCGTGCCCAGCGACTCGGCGGGGATGAAGCTGAGCTCGCGGTGCGCGAAGGGGTCCGCCTTCTTCGGCAGCGGCTTCAGCTCCTCGTGGCGCGCCTCCCGGAAGGAATAGTAGGCGTCGAGCCGCTCCTGGATCTCTAAGGGCCGCCAGGCCTTCTCGTCGACCTCGGCGTACTGGAGCATGGGCATCTTGACCTCGGCCTCGGGCGGCCTCTGCGGGACGGGGCGGCGGCGCGCCGCCCGGGCAGCCGTCCCCCGCCGTCCGACCGGCAGTGGACAAGAAGGGTTAAACCAACGCTAGGGGGTTCTAGTATGTATACCGCGCTGTGGCGAGCGCCCTGCCGAAGGCGTCGCCGCGGTCCGTCGCCTGCGGGAAGTCGCGGGGCAAGTTGATTGAACGGGCGAACGTTGCACATTGTTCGGGGGGGTTTGCCGAGGCGGTTCTGCTTAGAAGGAGGTACGCTGTTATGATAAATAAATAATTAAGGAAGGAATCCTAAAGGAAAAAAGGACATACATCAAGCCCCTAGAGGTCTTCTTCCTGCGCGCCTAGGATACCGAGCCGGCTGTTATGAAAGATGAATCGGCGACGCGCGGTGGGCTCCGCCCACTAGTCCTAGCACCGTCAAAACGACTTTTCCTGCCCAGCCCTGGGCAGGGCTGGGGGCGGAGTGGCGCAACCTACCGGCCGGGGGGTCCCCGTCCCGCGGCTCGATCCGGCCGCCGGATGATCTGCCGGATGGCGCGGCCGCCGTTCGCGGCGGCGACGGAAGGCGCACACAACTACGCCGTACTTAGTGCGCCCGGCCCGGGCACCCGAGGCGCGGCCGCGCGTGGCGCACGTCGCCGATGACGTCGAGGCCCGCCGTGTCCAGGGACCCCCGGGCGCCGCAGGCCGGCAGGCGCGACGCGTTGCAGTGGTGGTCCACGAGGATCGTGGTAGAAGTAAACTTGTGCGCCGCGCAGCAGTCGTCGGAGGTCGTCCGCTTCGCGTGCCCCGAGAAGGCCGGCCGCCAGCTCCGCGCGTTCCAGACCGGGCTCAGGGCGTGGACCCGCAGCCCGTCGCGCGCCGCGCTCCGGAAGGCGGCCCACTGCATCGCCGGCTGGCGCTGGAACGCGCGGCCGTCGCCCGGATCGTACGCGCGCGGGTCGGCCAGCTTGCGTTCGAGGTCGTCCACGTACAGCTCGAGCCACTTCATGAGGAACCGCCGGACGGCGTCGCGCCACCGGTATAACGCGACGCCGGCGTTCAGCAGCCCGAAGACGTCCGGCGCGCCGTGGGCCTCCTCGCCCAAGAACCCGCGCAGCGTGTGGAACTCGTGGGCCATCAGGAAATCGTACGCCTCGAAGATGGACGTCCCCTCGGCGCCCTCCGTCGCCCGGAACAGCCGCTCCAGATCGAAGCAGGGCACCGTGTCCGCGTCCAGAAATAATGTTTCTTCGAACGGCGACGCGAGCATCGCCAGGATGCCCGCGATCCGCCCCTCGACGCCCCTCCGCACCTTTTCCGTCCACCCCCCCGCCAGCCGCTTCCACTTCAGGCTCACCGCCGGCGGCGCGACCACGCCGTCCGCCGCGAGGGAGGACGCGTCGACGACGGAGCAGGCCCACGTCGCGCGTCGCAGCGCCTTCGCGCGGTCCGCGCAGTACCGCATCGTGTCCTCCTCCACGAAGAAGCGCACGCGCGCGTCCCTTCCGAGCTGACTCGCGCTGAGCATGGCCAGGTCTACGTAGTCGGCCCCGCCCGTGGCCGCGTAGACCGCGCCCCGCGGCGCTTCGAAAACGTCCCCGCCGCAAAGACACGACGACTGGGCGTCGAGCGCGTACGCGATCGCCTTCCGCGCCGCCGGGCGGAAGGCGACGCCGTCGCTCCCCTCGGCGAACGCGCCGAGCATCCCGTCGTACATCGTCGCCGCGAAGGCCGACTGCACGTCCTCCCGGGAGGCGTAGGCGTCGCGCTTGTCCCGCAGCAGCCCGAAGGCCCGTTGGTCGAAGCGGTAGTGCATCACGTCGCTCGTCCGCTTGACTAGGGGCGCGTCGTACACATTGTGCGACGTCTTGAAGACCACGGACCTGTTACCGAAGATGCGCGGCACGAGGATCCACTTCCGGTCGTTGCCGCCGAAGACCGCGTGCGTCGCCGCGCACCTCCGCGGGAACTGCGCCCCGAGGCTCCGGTTCGCGGCGACGGGCGCGAGGCGCCAGTCCCCGGAGATCCGATCCACGAAACGCCCCCGCACGAACCCGCCGTCCTCGCGCAGGGCGGCCTCGATCGTCGCCGGCGCGGCGTCGAAAAGCTCGTCCAGGTCCGCTCGGACCAGGAGCGCGTCGCGCGGGAGGCTCGCCAGATACACGTTCGCGTCCTTCGTTTTTATGACGGCGGAGAAGGGCCCGTCGTTGTGATGGACGTTACGATGGACGTCGCGTGCCTCCAGCACTTGCAGCGAGGCTCTCCGGTCCTTTTTGTCCAGACAGTGCAGAACGACGCGCGCCCAGCCGGGTTTTGTTAATTGTAACCCGAGGCCGAGGTACCAGTCGAGGAAGTGGGTGAGCAGGGGGGCGTCCTTGCAGCTCACCCAGGCGTAGAAGCGCGTCCGGTCGAGCGCGGCGGCCGGCCAGCGCCGCGGGCCGCCCTCGGTCCGGCACTTCGCCCAGGCGACGAGCGGCAGCAGGAGGACGCGCCTCATCGCGTCGTGCGCCGAGCTGGCCGGGTGCTGCCCACGAGCGCCCTTGCGTCAAGACAGAAACGATACGCGCGCGGTCCGGTGTGGCGGAGCAGCCTCATGGTCCCTGGCTTATGCCGCGCCTTCGACGCTGCCGTGGCTGGGATGCTGCGGCCAACCTTGTGTGCAATAATTTTATTGCTTTGCTTACTGCGGTATTAGTACCGTAGGTACCGTAGGTACCGTAGGTACTGCGGTATCGGTATGTATATTCATACCTTAGCAAGAGTACCGTAGGTGCAAACTATAGTACGGTGAATACCCCTATTCTCCTTACTTCCCTACTTACTTACCCTACACACAACGAATCGCCCACGCCAGTCTAAATTCACTATGTTATTTGCACTAAATCACATTAAAAGAATGTCACCTCAGCAGAGGAACAGTATGGTTCTGGCGAAGCATGGTCTTTTGATGGCTTCGATCCTGGCTGTAGAGGCTATCAGATGCCCTTCTACTCAAGGATGTATCTCAACTTCAATGTTCATCTTCGTTGATTTCGAGGCATTTCGTCAGTGCTGTTCCGTTTACCAAGTCGGCTGCTTTCGTGCCGAGCCGCTTTTCTTCCGCGAATAGCTTCGCTATGTCCCTCACGCTCGACTTATGGTTATCTAGGTTGCTAGACATGTCGGTTACTTATGGGGTTAGCCTCACTTGGGCTTTGTAGGGTCGTTTCCCGCTGTTCCCCCCAGTGAAGTGAACTTACTTTAGGTTCACCCCGGTGTTTTTACGGCGCCTATTTAGCGCCGGGCTTGATCCGCTTGGATAAGTAAGAAGATACGGGATATAGGGAAATATCAGCCCCGGGCACGTGCCGGCTGATATAGCGTGCTGATAGGCGAGAGTAATGTAGCCATAGATCCGGCGATAGGGGGCTATGGCGTTGCAGATATATATCTAGGGGAGTTTTCACCTCACCGCCAAGTATGGCAGCACGAAAAACCCGAATTTTCGCGGCATCTATTCGGCCGCCGCCGAGAGCTCCGGGCGACGACTCAGGCGCGTCCCGTGTTGTGCTGGCAGAGAGGCAGAGACGCGACCCTGGGCCCTGCCCTGGGGCCCCCCGGCCCCGCGCTGTGGTAAGCAGCGGGCAGGGAGGGGCTGCCATCACGCTTGAGCCTCACGCGGCAGTTCGCGAAGATGGTCGAGGAGTCCAAGGACGAGGAGCTGCCCCTCCTGGAGGCTCCGGCCCCGCGCTTCGGCGACGACGCATGCACCGAGGACGAGGCCCTCGACACGAGCGTGCCCGTCGCGTTCCTCACGTCGACGCGGGCGAACCCCGACCTCGGCTACCGCGTGCCGACGTCCGCGTCGGCGCTGCTCGCCACCCGGAGCCAGGACCGCGCGGCGCTGCTCCGGCAGGAGACGCTCGCCCGAAGAGCCTTTAGCATGGCCGAGGTCGACGTGCGGGAGCACGCGCGCGCGCGGCGGCGCGTGGACCGCGAGCGGCGGAAGCGCGACGCCCTCGCCCTCGACGTCGAGCGGCGGCGGTACCGCGAGCGGCACTTCCTCGAAGTCGACGGAGGGGCGGCCCCGGTCGCGCCCGGCCCGAGGGAGCGGCCGCACCTCGACCGCGCGGCGCAGCGGTCGCGGCTGCGGCGGCGGGAGCCCGGGGCGCCGTTCGTCGACGCCGCGCCGCGGTCCAAGGCCCCCGACGCGAAGCCGTACCGACCGCTTCCCGCGAAGGACGCCGTCTTCGTTGGTAATTCCATCGCCGCGGACATTTGCAGGCAACGCACGCGGGCCGAGCGGGCGTTCAAGCGGGAGCGCCTCGACGCGCAGAAGGCCCAATCTAAGAGGGACGAGCGCCGCCGCCGCGCGACGCTGGAACGGGAGACGCGCGAGTTGCGGGAGAGGATCCGCGCCGACGAGGAAGCGCGGAAGAAGATCGCGCTGCGCCAGCGCTTCGTCGCGGACAAGTACAAGACGGCCGCGTCCGTCGAGAGCAAGGCCCAGCTGCTCAAGTGCCTCGCGCTCCAGTACCTCCGGGACGCCGCCGAAGGCACGCAGGGCCCGGAGCCGACCATCGCCTGGCGCGAGACCCGGAACGAGACCGGGACGGTCTACGCGCGCGAGTCGGTCTGCGTCGGCGCGCCGCCCAAGGAGCCGCCGACGCTCCGCCGGGACACGCTGACGCTGCCGGACCCGCCCGGCTACCGGCGGCGGCGGCGGCCGCCGCCGGCCGCCGCCGAGGCGCCGCGCGAGCCCGGCGCCGGCGCTGGCGCCGCCGCGCCGGCCGCCGGCGACGCGCTCCGGGTACGCCTGCCGCCGACGGACCCGGCGCCGCCGCCGGGGGACGTACGCCGGCCCGCGGCGCGGCGGCCGGCGCTCGCGCTCGCGGCGTCGTCGCGGGCGCTGGAGAACCAATCGATTCTCGAGGGCGCGAGCGTCCTCGACACCGACGCCGGCCCGGGCCCCCCGGACCTCGGGCCGCTCGCGGAGTAATAGCTGCATGTTAATACGGCGGCGCGCAGTCGCCCAAGGTACCCGCACGCCGCCGGAGCTGGGGTGGGCCGCAGTGCGAGTCCGACGTGTACTAGCACGTCCCGCGTGCCGAACGTCGTGCCGACCCGCCCCCACAGAGCGCGGTACTGTGATTGGCACTGTGCTCGTAACGAAGTTTATGAAGGAAGAAGCAGCGCCCCTACTACATCTTCCCCGGCAGCGCGTGCGCGTTCGGATCGTTGCGATCGACGCCCCGCGCGACGAGGTCCCGGCCCTCGACCGCGTCGAACCACGCGTGGCACATGGCCTCGCGCGCCGTCAATCGCTCCTGGTGGTCGTAGCGCAACAACTTGGCCACAAAATCGATACCCTCCTCGCTGACCTGCGCCGCGTCGACTCTCCCGGGACCACCAAGGCGACCAGATCAAAAGTTGAAGGTCAACGGCGACGCCGAGTCCGCGCGAGGTGCTGGTTCTCGACGTTGATGAACTTCTCCCACGCCTTCTTCGGCTGCCGGCCGATCAGCCCGTCGAAATGCGGGTCGAGCTCCAAGTCGTAGGCGTCCAGGTAGCGGAAGAGCTCCTCCGTGCCCAGGACCTTGACGATCTTCACGAGCTGGTCGTAGTTGTCGTGGCCTGCGCGGACACGCGCGACGTCCGAGGGCTACGCGCGACCACGATCGACACCGTCCAAAGACCGTGGAAGAACGGCTCGCGCCGGAAGATCATGCCCGCGACCATGCACCCTAACGACCACATGTCCAGCGCGTAGTCGTACTCCTGGAGGTCCACGAGCAGCTCGGGCCCCTTGAAGTACCGCGACGCGACGCGCACGTTGTACTCCCGCCCGGCATGATAAAACTCGGCCAGCCCCCAATCGATGAGGCGCAGCTCCCGCTTCTCGTGGTCGATCATGACGTTGTGGGGCTTGACGTCGCGGTGCATGATGCCGTTTTTGTGGCAGCAGTCCAGAGCAATGAGTAGTTGGTCGATGTAGTAGCGCACGTCCGCGTCTTTTAAGGTAGGGTACAGGACCTTAAAGTCCGCGTTATTGACATGCTCGAAGACGAGCGACGGCGTCTTCGACTGCGGGTCGCGCACGACGTCGAGCAGCCGAATGATGTTCGTCTGGCCGCACAGATTTTGCAGGATCTTGATCTCGCGCTTGATCTTCTTCTTCTTGACGGGTTTCAGGATCTTGACGACGCACTTGCAGTCGTTCGCGACGTTCACGCCCTCGAAGACCTCGGAGTACTTGCCCCGGCCGATCTTCCGCACCACCTCGTAGTCCTCCTGCTCGCCCCAGCGCACCGTCAGACTCTCGTAGTCCCAGTACTCGCGGGGCCGCCGCGCGTTGGCGTCGGCGTAGACGCGGGCGCGGCTCAGGCCGTCCTGCATGGTTGTTGTCGCTGGGGGGTTGTCGCCTGGGCGGTGCGCGCCGCGCGGCGGGGGGCCGCGGCGTGGAGGGCGGCCGGCGCTCGCAACGCGGGTTCCGCGGCTAGCGGCTAGCTAGCTTCGTGCTGCTGGTCCAAAGAGATATTGGAGGGGCAAAGATGGCAAACCCGCACGGAGCGCGAACGACTCCCATCCGAGCACTGCGGCCGGGCGCGGGCACGCGCGGAGCCCTGCGTGGTCGCGGGGACCCGAATTTTGGGTTTTGCTGCGGGCGCCGGGGCGCCGCCGCCTAAAAGAGACCCCCGCGGCAATCAAAAACGCACCGCTCCTACAACATCGGCGGACCAGCCAGCCATGGCCCAGCTGCGCGTCGCCCCCGGCGGCGAGCACGTGCTCCCGAAGGAGCCCCCGCAGACGGGCGGCTTCGACTTCGGGCTGGCGGCGCGGAACGCGCGGCTCGCCGCCGCCGCCGGCGCGACGGCAAGCATGCCCGAGCCCATGTCGACGGGCACGACCATCTGCGGCGTCGTCTACGCCGGCGGCGTGGTCCTCGGCGCGGACACGCGCGCCACGGGCGGCTCGGAGGTCGCCGACAAGAACTGCGAGAAGATTCATTACCTCGCGCCGAACATCTACTGCTGCGGCGCGGGCACGGCGGCGGACACGGAGAAGACGACGGAGCTCATCGCGTCGCAGCTCGAACTGCTGCGGCTGGGCACGGGCACGCAGTCCCGCGTCGTCGCCGCCACGACCCTCCTCAAGCGGACGCTCTTCCGGTACCAGGGCCACGTCAGCGCCGCGCTCGTGCTCGGCGGCGTGGACTGCACCGGCCCCTCGCTGTACCAGATCTACCCCCACGGGTCGACGGCCAGGCTCCCCTACGTGACCATGGGCTCCGGGAGCCTCGCGGCGATGAGCGTCTTCGAGACGCGCTACGCGGATAACCTGGACGAGGCGGCGGCGATCGCGTTGGTCAAGGACGCCATCCGCGCGGGCATCTTCAACGACCTCGGCTCCGGTTCTAACGTCGACGTCACGATCATCCGGACGGGCGGCGAGGCGACGGTGCTCCGCGGCTACGAGACGCCCAACGACACGCGGCCGCTGCGCGAGGCTTATGTGAGACCCAAGGCCCTCGTCCCCGTCAAGGCGACGGCCGTGTTATCGACGCAAGTCGAGGTGACGGACGCGGACGCGATGGAGCTCTAGCCGGGCGTAAGGATTAGGTTACTTCAAGTTTGCCCCGTAGTACTAGCCGCGCGCGCGCTTTTGGGGGGGCTGCTCCTCCGAGTCCGAAACCTGGGCCGCGGCAATCACGCGATCGAGCCGGCGCTTATATATACTCCAGCCCAGTTTTCATCCACAATCGACGGAACCGGAGCCGACGGCCCACGTTCCGAGGGCTGGAGAAAAATTCTACGAGACAACTCTCGCGTTTATGTTCGTTTCCTTTCGTTTGTTAGAGGTCTACAGAGTTCATGCAGCCGGCCAGAACGTCTAGTGAGCATAATCATGTACTCCGTTAGAGCCGCGCGAAACGACGAATTCGCGCCCCGCGTTTATACAAAAATCGGCAAAATACCTGGACCCGCGAGTATCAGCGACGACACCATCCAGGTGGACCATAACGCCGTTGTTCTATTCACAATCGACCGACTTGCCCGTTCTCCGCGGACGACTGTGCGTACGCGGGGCACTGGATTGGCCCCAGACCGGTGGTTTATAAAATAAATTCGCGTTTGAGGCACTTCGGTTATGGGACGGGCCAGATAACCGGCCTGAACGTCTACCACATAGGATTACCTTCTCGGAAAACTCCTCGCGCCTAGTTCGTCCCGGGACCCCAAGATCTCACTCATATTGCAAAATACTTGGACCTGCGGCCATCAGCCCGTGTAACTTCACCATGGACCTTGACGCGATCATTTGCTTCATGATCGACCGACTTACGCGAGCTCCAGATAAAGATGTTCACGTCCCGAGTGTAGGCAGCAAAAAGTACCCTTCTTATAATGTAGATGGCATATACTTGTAATTGACTATCGTTGGGGTAGTATAGGGTCCAACAAGACCGCTACGGCGACTACTGGGGGCCCTCAGGTAATTGGCGTTTTTGCCGGGAACGGGGCGCCATCGCTCGTCTATCCGCGTATTCCGTCGCTACCCCCGGCCGTCGCTCGCTCGCTAGGAACGTCTTGATTTTTTCGGTCGCCCCACGTACCCGGGCTAAAACTCTCCTCCTGGAATCTATCTATAGTACGAATTATATATGAGTCGTCGGTCGAAATTGGCAGTGGGCTCCCCCCTGTGCGCGCCGTGGAGCAGACAAATTGACGCCGTCGCGTCGACCCATACCGCAGCGCACCTCGAAGCGCATAGATGGACGGCGCCTTCGCCGCGCCGGAAGGGGCAGCGTGAAGTAAAGCAACCAATATGAAGCTGCGCCTCTTGCCCGTCGTCGCAATCGCAGCCGCCAGGAAGCCGCGCGCCTCCGCCGGCGTGCGCCGGACCCCGACGCGCGACCGGCCGCTGCTGTTCTTCCACCTGCCCAAGACCGGCGGGTCCTCGCTGCGGCACGTCATTCTCCAGACGTTCCCAAGAGCGGTCTCGCTCGTGCCCGGGAGCGGGGGCCTTCCCTCCGAGGCGACGGAGCGCGTCCTGGCGAATGACCAGTGGCGCGACCGGGCGGCCTGCGCGACCGTCGCAGCCGGACACTTCAAGCCCGGGCCGCTGCTCAAGACGCTGGCGGAGATCGGCGGCTCGGCCGGATGCGGCGCGCCCCGGCGGTGGGCCTGGGCCTCGCGCGAAAAGCCGCCGGTCGACGCGCTCGACGACGTGGACTGCGTCATCGCGTCGCGGGACCCCGTCGCGCGCATGGTGAGCCACTACCTGCACTTCCACCGCCGCAGCTCGGGCGGGCGGAACCGCACGGTGTCGCAGTTCGCGCGGGACGAGGGCGCTTCACAATTCCACGCCGCGGCTGGCGGCCTCGTCGTGGAGCACTGGCTCTCGTACGGGCTTTTCTGGGGCAACTTCTCGCGGGCGTCGGACGTCGCGCTGGCCGTGCTCCGCAGGTGCAAAGCGGTCTTCCCGGACGCGCCGGGCGGCGAGGCGGCGGCTTGGCTGGCCGGGGCCAAGCGGGCGCCCAGGTTTGTCGACGTATCGCGACGCAACGTGAACCGGCGCGACGCCGCGGCGGACCGCGCGCTCTCGCCGTCGCAGCTCGACGCGGTGCTGGCGCTCCCGGCGGTCCGGCGCGAGGGCGCCATCTGGCACGCGCTGCGGCGCGACCACGGCCTGGACGCGTGCTCGGGCTTCGGCTGCTGGCGAGCGGACGGCACGGTGGACCGCGGACGGAGGCCGCCGAGTTAAAAAAAAAAAAAAAAAAACCCGAGTCTGGATCATTACTTCCGAGAACCTTATGAAAGCGTGTGCGAGTTTCGCGAGCCCGTCGCCGGCCGTCGCGTCGATGGCCGCCGCGCCGACGGCGTCGCCGCCGCCGCCGACGACGGAAGGCAAGATTGTAATCGATGCATCGCCGTCGCCGACCCTCGTACGCTATCCACATTAGGTTCGCGGGCCATCATTACTATCTATCTTAGAACGCAGTACAACAATTACTATCTGCGTTAGTACGCTGCTATCTACCTTAGGTAAGGGGCTAGTGTTACTATCTACCTTAAGAATTCCCCTTTATTTATTTATTTATTTAGCACACACTCAGAGTCTCAGGCGCAGCGAGTCAGGCTAGCTGCTAGCATTCGACTTGCCCTCAGGCGGCGGGCTGCCTCATCAGGCCGGCCTTGACACATGGCCGACGCTCTTCAGCTCGCGAAGTGAGTGGTCGTCCGGTGCGCCATGTCCACGAAATCCGCGTGGGGCTTCATGCGCGTGCCGGCCGCAGCTGATCCGTCGCGTGCTTGTGTAACTACCCCCCCCCTGAACCACTATTCGTAGTTTGTAGATAGACACGTCTCGCGCACTCACGACGGGCACGCCGGTAGACGCGGTCGCAGTTCTTCCCACGCCACAATTGAGGATTATATGGGGGACGTCCGGTACTCCTTTGGTCTTGCATTATTCGCAATCTAGAGCTTCGATCTAGAGCCTCGTGATACTCTCACTGACATTGCCATCCAATTCCAGCATTGCTATGGCAGTGGTACGGTCTTTTTGTACTCTCTAATTGCTCCGCTAATCGCTTGCTTAACCACCACGCCATGGGGCGTGTCCGCACAAAACACAGTAGATGCAAGTATGGCAACCCTTTGCTCTGGTGGTGTGCCGAGTACATCGAACGCTTCATCAATGTCGAGGCATGCAGTCAGTGCTATTCCGCTTACCAAGTCGCTCGCTTTCGTGCCGAGCCGCTTTTCTTCCGGGAATAGCTTTCCTATGTCCCTCACGCTCGAGTTATGGTTGTATATGTTGCTAGACATGTAGGTTACTTATGGGGTTAGCCTCACTTGGGCTTCGTGGGTTCGTTTCCCGCTGTTCCCCCCAGTGAAGTGAACTTACTTTAGGTTCACCCCGGTGTTTTTACGGCGCCTACTTAGCGCCGGGCTTGATCCACTTGGATAAGTAAGAAGATACGGGATATAGGGAAATATCAGCCTCGGGCACGTGCCGGCTGATATAGCGTGCTGATAGGCGAGAGTAATGTAGCCATAGATCCGGCGATAGGGGGCTATGGCGTTGATATATATCTAGGGGAGTTTTCACCTCATGTTGTGTACTGGCCACATTACTAACATCAGCCCCCCCGCGCCGCGAGCCACGCCCGCAGCGCGCCGCACGCGCGCCGCGCCGCCGCCGACCCGAGGCGGCACTCGTCGTCGTCTGGAGAAGCGAAGCGCCGCGCGTGCTCGACGTACGTTCGGCGGTGGCCCGAGTAGATGTCCTCGTCGTTGTAGCGCTCCATCAAACTTTCGGACGCGTTCAGGGCGAGCAGCGTCTCCAACATCAAAACGTTGCGCGCGCGCGCCGCGTGGAAGAGCGGCGACCAGCCCATTGAGTCGCAACCGTCGACGTCCGCGCCGTACTCCACCAGCGCCGAAGCGATCGCGGCGCAGCGCGCCGTGGCGTGGTCGTCGCCGGGCGCGGCGCACCGCGCCGCGACCGCGAGCGGCGACCGCATCCCTGAGCCGCGCACGTCGGGGTCGGCGCCGCGGTCCAGCAGCGCGCGCGCGACCGCGACGCGCCGGTGCGCCACGGCGCGCAGCAGGGGCGTGCTCCCCATTGATTGGCCCTCGACGTCGCGGCCCGCGTCGAGGTGGCCCACGACCGCGGCGACGTCGCCCGCCCTCACGGCCGCGTCGAAGTCCACCGTTGCGCTCCCGCCGCGGGCGGGCAGCAGGAGCAGGAGCGGGAGCCGCCGCATCGACGAGATCCGTGCGTGCGGTAGGGGCAGCCCTCGCTGTTCTCTCCGCGCGGCTGGACGGAGGAATTATGCAGCCCCCGGCCGAAAGGGCAGCTCTCCATCTCTCATGCCTATCTCTCCCCAGCTTGTTGCTCTCCGCGCGGGCTGACGGAGGATGTAGTTGGACTCCTCCCCAGCTGTCCGTGGAGCGGCCCACGGGACCTCGGAGAGTTTCCTTGCGCACACACGAAACCCGGCGATCACGGCCGCACACTGCTGTGTCTCGTTGCGAGCGACGTGCTCAAGAACCATCCAGCAAGCAGCGAACCGCTGCGCGTCGTGCGACACGGACTCGTCGGCAAGCAGCGGTCCGCCGCCCGCGCCGCCGCGGCGAAGATGGCCAAGAAGAAGGCCGGCCCGCGCCTGCCCGCCTTCTCCCGGGGCGCGTCGTCCGCGAACCCCGACCGCGTCCCCGGACGCAAGGCGAACCGGTCCGGCGGCTCGCTCCGGGACAAGGCGACGATCAAGCGCCTGAAGCTGTACACGGGCGGCAAGGTCAAGCGGGACAAGCAGGGCGTCGTGGTGGAGGGCGACCTCGCGCGGCGCGACCGCGCGGGCAACGCCGAGATCACGGGCGCGACGGGCCGCGTGGCGCCCGACCGGCGCTGGTTCGGCAACACGCGGACCATCAGACCGGAAGAACTGGACAAGTTCCGCCACGAGCTGCGCGAGGCGCGGCGCGACCCCTTCTCCGTCGTGCTCCACCGGAAGCGCGTGCCGACGGCCCTGGTCGAGGAGCCCTCGGACGCGCGGCCCGCGAAACTAAAGAGGGAGGAGCTCCTGGCCGCGGAGCCCTTCGAGCGCTCGGGGACGGCCCGGAAGCGGGTCCGGGGCGCCGCCGACTCGCTGGAGGCGCTCGCCGCGAAGGCGCGGCGGGCGGCCGACGCTTACGACGCCCGCCACGGCGGCGGCGCCGACGCGCGGGCCCGGAGCAGCGAGCAGGCCAAGATCTTGGAAAGGGAGTCGACGGACGCGACCGGGCGCGACCTCTTCGCCAAGGGCCAGTCGCGGCGGATCTGGGCCGAGCTCTATAAGGTCCTGGACTGCTCGGACGTCGTCCTCCATGTGGTGGATGCGCGCGACCCGCCGGGCACGACGTGCGCGCGCGTCGTGTCTCACTTAAAGACGCAGGCGACGCACAAGCATTTGGTCTTCGTGCTGAACAAGTGCGACCTCGTGCCGAACTGGTCGGTCAGGAGGTGGATCGCCATTTTAGGTGAGACGGCGCCGACGCTCGCCTTCCGCGCGTCGCAGACGAAGCCCTTCGGGAAGGGCGCGCTGATCGATGTTTTGAGGCAGTTCGCCCATTTAAAAAGTGACGCGAAGCAGATCAGCTGCGGCGTCGTCGGCTACCCGAACGTCGGCAAGTCGAGTGTGATCAACGCGCTGCGCGCCAAGGCCGTTTGTAAAGTTGCGCCCGTGCCCGGGGAAACAAAAATCTGGCAGTACGTCGCACTAACCAAACGCGTCAACCTCATCGACTGCCCCGGCGTCGTTTATAATGATGATGATAATGATGAGGCGGCGGCGGTCCTCAAGGGCGTGGTCCGGGCGGAGCGCCTGCCCGACCCTTCTGTGTATATCGCGTCTCTATTGAGACGGTGCGACCCACAACATATTGTAAGGACCTACGACGTGCCCTTCGACGGGCTGGCGGGCGTGTCCGAGCAGGAGGACCACGCTCAATCTATGGCGTTCGTGGACGCGCTGGCGCGCAAGTCGGGGCGGCTGCGGAAGGGCGGCGAGGCCGACGCGCACACCGTCGCCGTGCAGCTCATCAACGACTGGCAGCGGGGCAAGATCCCGCACTTCGTCGCGCCGCCCGAGGACCCGAGTCGGCGCCCGTCGGGGGAGGGGGAGTAGGGCTTGTGCCATTTCTCTTCCCTTGATGGCTGACGCCTTTGCGACGTGAATTCGGGTTTCCCCTTGTTTCTTGGGGCGGAGGAGCCCTGGTCTATACTCGACACTGAGTCGACAGGGCCGCGGCGTCGTCTGACTCGTCTCAGACCCGTCTGCTCGGCGCCGTCACGGGCCCCAGCGCCCGCGGCGATCACGCTCGAGCCGTGCTACGGGAATATAATATGTGACTATCATCAGCGACATTTAACCATCATCTGACTTTGCACTGTACGCGCGCAGTCACTGTGTATAACATATCCCGACGCCGGAATATGTTGAACAGATGGAGGCTGTACATCCACATTACTTGGCGGGGCGGGGGGTGCAACAGAAGGGACAAGAGACAAGGGGCGGGGCGGGTGTGATTTTCAGGGTATGCTGACGGCGCGGCAGCGCTTCGCCGGCGTCCGCGCCCGCCCGGCGGCCGCGGCCCGCTTCCGCCCGGGGCGGCGCTTCGTCGCGGGCGTCACCGGCGGCGCCGACTTGCAGCGCGCGAGGCCCGGCGCGGCGAGCGGCGCGAACGTCGCCTCGGCCTCGTTCACGGGCGAGAGCGCGCGCCGCGGCGACGGTGGCGTCGACGGCGCGGTCGGCGCGGCGTCGCGCGCGGGCGCGTCGCCCGCGTCGAGCGCCGGCAGGTAGGGCAGCGCGACGCCGGCCGGCAGCGCGGCGAGGCGCGGCGCCGCCGGCGGGCGGCGCGGCGCCGGCGGGCAGGCGCGCGCCCCGCGCGGCGGCCGCCGGGGCTCGGGCCGCAGCGGGCGCGCGGCCGGCGCGGCTCGCATGTTCTGCATGTTATGTTCGGACGGGCCCGAACCTCCCGCCGCAGCGCTAATCTCTAGAATGGCTGTCGACGTAGAAACCCGCGGGCTCAGGAGGCCCGGGGCTCGATCGCTAGTGATTTAGCTTTAGCTTTGTCTTAATCTCTAGAGACTCTCCCGCCTCGAGCTAGCGGTCTGTAAGACACTAGCAAGCATCGAGTTCCCAAAACGCCGCGTCGCGGTAAATCTCGCCGCCCGAGCTCGCTCAAGCTTATTTGAGGAAGCTCGGCTGAAACCGTCACGCGCTAAACGGCTCTTGACAAGGCATAAAAAAAATACCTCAGGACAGAGGATAAAAAATCGTACCTGGGGTCGCAGGATTGCCCGGTCTACGAGCATGTCATGGGGGCCTACTTCGGCCGCGGTAGCACTGGCCCTCGCGACTCCCACGACGGCAACCTCCAATTGTACCGCAAAGCGATATCTTTAGCCCACATCGAGGGCTACGAGGAGTACTCGGGCTGGGAGGTCATGGTCCTCATGCGCGTCCCGGACCTCAAGACGCGCATCGAGGGCGCGGAAGACGCGCAGACGCGCCAGGCCTACCTGAAGGTGCTCGATTATTTGGTGGAGAATTCGGCCATCGACCACGTCTTCTCGTCGGCTGTGGACCACCCGAAGAATTGTTTCTTTGGTGCGCGACGGCGTCGAACGCGCCTTCGACTTGCCCCGGTTAATCGCCCGTCCCCACGCCATCGTCGAGAGACCTGCTCGACGGCGCTGCGGTTCTGGACTCTCGGGCGTACGTCTCTCGGGCCACGCGTTCACTGGGGTCACGTCCGCGCAGAGTGGGCGACGGTCAACAACTACTTCGGCGGCTTCTACAACCAGGCGGCCAAGCTCTTCCGCTACGGCCCGGAGGTCGAGGACGAGTCCATCCGGTGGATGGACGAGTGCATTGACGCGGAGGGGAAGTGCCTCGCCTAGGCGCAGTTATAACTACCTTGAACTTGAACTCTTGTATTCCTAGGGGACCGTGACCTCGATTCCGGTCATAGACCACACTCGATGCCGCACGACCGCGGCCGCGCGCCGAGTCGGAGAACGCCGCACCGCGCCACCACGCCGCTCGCACGCTTCACCGCACATTCGCGGTCGGCGCGGCGTCCAAAACGAGGCGATGCCGCGCGCGTCGAATAACATTGTGCGCCACCTCTAAAAATGGCCGCCAAGTGGCCGCCGGCGTGATCGCTGCTGGTCAGTTTCGAGTCGCGATCGCCACGAGTAGGTCTCCCAGCACCTCGCGGTGTAGAGGTCTACCTCTCGGCGCGCCAGCCGCGACCTGACTTGGGCACGCCGCGTCGACGACACGCCCGCGCGGTAGAGCCGAGCTAATGCTTTCAGAGTACCGTCGTAGGGTCGGCGCCGCGTCCTTCGACCTATGCTTCCGTGGGAGCACGTGTAGCTCTCGCCCATGGCGCGCCATGGCATTCGGCTACCGTGAGCGCGCGTCGACACTGCGCCGAACTAGTTTGGTCAATCGCACACGTCGCTTTGCCGCGCGGACCGTTTGGACGCGCGCGACACTGTTGGTGTTGCGAGGCTGTGGGAGAGCACAGCTCCTCACCACCCAAAGCTCACGACAGCCATCTTCTCGGACGTACGAGTGTTGCGGACAAAGTAAGGCTCACTTGGAGCTTCCCGCAGCAGTCGTTCAATGCGCTAGGCCCACGCGTACGTACGAGGAGCTGCTGCACTGTTGGCTAGCGGCCTGTAAGACACTAGCAAGCAAGCAGCCAAGCGTGCCCACGCGTGTGAGGCCGAGGAAAGAAATTTCCACTCGTTGTACTAAGTATCGGAGCATACGCATCGATACTTCCGGAGTGAAGGCGAAAATCGGAGGGCCTTCACTTTGCACCGCGGGGCCGCCGCCAGGCCCAAAACGCAGTCACTGGAAAACAACTATTGCTTACACGACAAACTAGGAGAGCGGTGGTAGAGCCGCGGCCTGTTCCCGAACCGTCCTCAATCCAGTGGCGGCGTCGACGACCTTCGTCACCAGTCGCACCCGCGCGGCGCCGGTGTAGCGCGGCATCTCTACGGGTTTGCGACCGCCGCTCCACCGCGCCGCGAATTGATACGGCCGCAGGACGAGCGCCTCTCGAACGAACTCCTGGGGCGTGCGGATGCTAGCGACCACCCACAGTCGGCGCAGGGCGCTGTACTGCGTGTCGTCGAGCGGCTTTCTGCAGCCGTAAATCTTCTCAAGAAGATAGCGTCCCGGCCCGTCCGGATCATCCAAGATGGCCTTGTTCATAAAATCCAAACGCTTCGACGGAGGCAGCTTCCGCGCTCTCAAATACGCGACATCGATCCTTTCATCGTCACAAGTCTGCCCGAACACCTCCGGGCGAGAGCACGGCACCCGCAAGCACCAATCGCACGCGATACCGACGCCAAACCGAAGGCAGCCCTTAATGTGCAGCTTCTCAGTCCGCAACAGCTCCTCTTTCTTATGGTCCTGCGTCGCCTGTAGCGCGTACTGGTCGACACTTTTCTTCGTTTGGCCTTTCTCCCTTTCAATTGTATCTTGAATGGTGCGCCTATATTTGTCGTAGACCTCATCTTGGATCGGCGGCGCCGTGAAGGGCGCTTCGCGCTCGCCGTCGCTCACGCTCATCGACCGCGCCCGCGGCCGCGGCGCGCGCGCCACCGGTCGCTCGACGCCGCCGCGGCCGCGCTTCTCGCCGACCGCCGGCGCCGCGTCGCCGCGCACCGCGCGCCCGCCTGCAGGGAGCGTCCGCGGCGACTCATCTTCTAGCGACGCTAGCGCCGTACCAAAGCGCTCGCGCAGCGCCGCGACGGAGAGGGCGGACGCGCCGTCAAAGGCGCCCTCCAGTAGCCCCAGCGCCTGCTCCTTCGTCACCACCGCTTCGCTCTCCGCGGCGGCGTCGCGCCGGCGCGGCGCCGCGCGCGCGGTCGCGGTCGGCGGCGCGCGCTGCGTTCGCGACGAGTGGCCCGGCGCGCGCCCGCGCGACGGCGGCGCGTGCGGCGGCGGCGGCGGCGGCATCGCGTCGGCGTCGTCGCCCGCGTCGTCCGCGGCAGCGTCGCGGCGCCGCAGCGCCGCGCGCGCTGTCGGCGGCCCGCGCGGCGGCGGCGACCGCGACCGCGCGCGCGGCGGTCGCGACGAGCGGTCCAGCGCGCGCCCGCGCGTCGGCGGCTCGCGCGGCGGCGGCGGCGGCATCGCGTCGGCGTCGCCGAACCTCGGAGCGGGCGGCGGCTGCGGCGGCTTGCGCCGGCGCTTCGCCTTCTTCTTCTTCGCCTTCTGCGTCGAGGACTCCTCCTTCGGCGGCGGCGGCGCCGGGGTCACGCCTCGAGGGCGATCCAGTGGGGGCGGCGCGGGCGCGTCGGCGGCGCCGCGCAGCAGCAGTGACGACACGGCGACGGCGCGGCGCTGCCCCGCCGGCGCGTAGGTCGAGCCGTCCGTCGGCAGCTCCGTGGCCTCGCCCCGCCACGCCGCGGCGACGCTTGGGCCGGGCGGGTGGGGGAGCTGCGCGACCGTCACCGAGGGGTTCCGCTGGACCGTCGCCAGATTCGCCCGCAGCTGCGCCAGGCGCACGGCCCGGCCGCAGTGTTCGAGCACGAACTGGTCCGCCTTGATGCGACCCTCATCGGTGTTTGGGAAGCGCGCGTCGGACTGGCGGACGCCGTCGAGCACCCACGGCACCAGGATCTCGTCGCCGTCCTCCGAGAGACGTTGACCCGGGGCGACCCGGGTCCAGCCGCCGCCCATGAAGCGCGGCAGAGCGAGGCCGAGGGCGTCGAGCGTGTCCCGGACCGCGATCTCGGCCTCGACGCAGTCCTTCACGCGGGCGTCGACGATCGCGCTCTCCTCGCCCTTGTGGGCCAGGTGGCGGCACAGCGCCGCGCGCGACTCGACATCTATCGAAAAGACCGCCTCCGCGACGCAGTCCTCCAGCGAGATCTCGGCCGCGAGCCTTGCGAGGTCTTCGGCCGTCGGCTCGATCGGGAGGCGCGCGGGGCAGATGCGGACGTCGTCGCGCGAAGCGAGCGACTCCGTGTCGTCCGACCAGCGCACCCTCCAGGCGCCCCGCGGCGGCGGTTTCGGCGCGCGGCGTCGGCTCCGCCGCAGCGTCGCCGCGTCGTCGCCGTCGGAGAGCTGGGTCCAGGCCGCCCAGACGCACCACGAAGGCGTCGGGGGTCCTCCGGCCTCGATCGTGTCGCGCGGCGACCGCCATTCCTCGCCCCGCCAGAGCACCTCGCGGTCGAAGACGGCCCCCTCCGGCGCTCCGACTGCAGGCTCGTCCATCGGCTCGTCGACGGAGCCCTGCCGTGCGAAGAAGAGCCGTCGCGCCAGAGACTCTCTCGTGGCTTCCGGCGCGATGCGGATCGATTGGCGGCGCAGGCCGCCCGCATAGCAGACTTCGTTGCCCCGCAACGACTGGAAGCACAGCACTCGCTCGGGCCGCACGCCGTCCGACTCGTCCTCGCCGGTGTCGAGGACCATGACGGTCGAAGCTTCGTCGAACTCGCACGTGCCGGCGTGCGTGCCAATGTGCCACGCCACCACGCGCGTCGGCGGCGCGATGCTCGCTTCGTTACCAGTCTCCCTCAACACCTTCCGAATATAATGGCCTAACGCAACGCTTCTCGTGCTATCGCCATAAAATAAGGGGTTCTGGTCCAGCTTCTCCTCGTCGTCCGTGATGAATTTTCGGATGGCGGGCTGATCCGTGCGGCCGCGCTTGATGGCGATCATGATCTGCCGTTTGGCTTCGACTTTGTGAGCATCATTTCCTTCCGAAAACTGCTCGCGTGTCGGCTGCTGCGGCCGCGCGCGGCGCTGGCCCTTTTTGGGGGCTTTGACCCTGGCTGTGGCTTTGGCATCCTTGGAGCCCTTGCCCTTGCCCCCGCCCGTGCCCGAGCGGGTCATGACGGCTGGAGCTTGTGCAGAGTAATACGACGTGCTGTCCTTGCCTACAATAGTCACAGGCCAAACAAAAAAGGAACGAGCTAGCGGTCTGTAAGACACTAGCTTTGATGGGGAGGCGTAGTTGAACGGGCGAACGTTGCACATTGTTCTGGGGTTTGCCGAGGCGGTTCTGCTTAGAAGGAGGTACGCTGTTATGAAAGAAGCGGCCAGCGCCCGCCGCCGATGAATCGGCGACGCGCGGTGTCCCTCCCCAGCCCTGGGCAGGGGCTCCGCCCACTAGTCCTAGCACCCTAACATCAGGGGGCCGGTAGTATGGTGGGCAAAATGGCCCCCGTAAAACCTTAAACCCCCCAAACTCTCCGAACCCCCAAAACTCTAAACCATGAATGACCTTGCCGCGATACGGCCCTATAGCGGTGCGGGCGCGAAGACCGCGGGCGCGCCTGCCGCCCGTCGTGGCAAACCGCCCGACGCCCTCGGCGTAGCTGTGATCCTATGCAAGGGCCCTGCCGACCACCTTGCCGCGAAACTGCCGCCGACACTATGGAGGCAGCCTCCGGCGCGCGCGGCTCGTGGTTGCGCTGCGGGCGGGAGCAGACGACTGCCACGGCGGCATCCGACGGGCAGCCCGTGCACCTGGCGCGTGGCAACGCTCGCAACGCCGAGCGCCGGTTGCAACCAGCAGGTTCGTGCGGGGCGCAACGGATCCGCGCCGATACGCTGCCCGGGTACCTCGATACATCTGAGCGCAGTTGTTGTACGAGTCCGAGGCGCGGGCAGGAGGGGACTTCTCCTATGTATAAACAACGTTACTACCCCGCCGGCTTCTTAATGCGCCGCTTCTTTTTTGTTCTCTTTTCCGACAAGGGGCGAGCAACCTTGCGGCACTTCCCGGCCGCCTGGTCGCTCTTCGTGCATTTTTGTTTGGGCGTGTCACCGACGCCGCCCCGGAACGCGCGGCCCGCGCAAACCCCTTCATCATTATTGGCGCCGCGCGGCCGCGACCGGAGGAACAGATCCAGGCCCTTGTGGTTGAAGAGCCAGGCTTTCGACGCCTCCCTCGACACGACATCGAAGTTCGCCCCCGGCCGCGTCCTACACCCATCCAATCGTTGCGAATCGAAGCACTGCGGCCTGGGGCGGTTCACGTCTTCCGTGATCGTGAAGAAGCCGGCCTCTCCTAGGATATCGTTGGCCCGCCCCCGATCAAAGTGCTGGTCGCAGTTCGGCGAGCCGCACCGGTTCCGCGCCCTCAATAATGTTTTGACCGATGCATGGTAGTGGGGGTTGCACATCCCAAAAGGCTTTTCGGGCGTGCCGCCGCAGCCTAGTGCCTTCGTACAAGTGTAGTCGAAGGGACTTGTGAATAATGGCGTCTTGATGGTCTTGGCTTGGAGCCGAGCCAATAAAACTAATTGCAACGCGGCCTGGTCGTAGGGCTGGCACTCGACGACACCCGACGCTGATGTAAGGGCCCACTCGTGGAGGATGGCCCGGCCCTGCAGGTCCAATCTCGCAAATAAAACACCAGTATTGAGCGAACGGAAGTTGCCCAATGCGATCGACGCCTTCGCGTCCACAGCATCCAAATAGACGTCCAACGAACCTACATCGGAAAACGCCGTCTCCGGGTGGGGCCAGACGTCGTGATCCAACCAAGCGAGCCAGTGCCCCTTGCGCGGTTGATCTCTTAATGATCGCGCTCGACCATGCAAGGCATCAATCAGCAAGAACGGCTTCGCGAACTCGAAGTTCTTCAATCCTAACGCATCCAAGTGCGGCGCTAGGGAAGAGGTCACACCGAACACGAACGGGTACGACCAATGCTTTGCCCAATTCGCTTTCGCGCCTCCCAATTGAGCACGAACGTCATCACAGGCCGCCGGCTTGCAGGCGCCCTTCGGGAGAGACGTAAGGCCGAGCGGCGCGTCCCATCCAGCATCATCACCGGGGGTGCGTGCGTCCGCGCCGCTCACCACGACGACGCCGTGTTTCGGCGCCGGGGGCTTCTGTCTAGGGCAGGCCTTGTCCGAGACTTTGCGCTCCCGTTCGACCGCATCTAACAGCCGCTTCGACGTCTGGTGCGATGCTATCCTTGAATCCCGCAGCGCGCGCTGGACGGAGCCCGGCTTGTCATGCTCGAATTTACTGGGGGAAGGAACCTCCCACAGCACAAACGAAGACGCGGTCAAAACTCTTCCTAATTCAATAGGAGCGCGCCACCAGGCCTCTCTGAGAGCTAGTTGGCCGGCCAGGTCCATTGTACTTTGTGATCGACCCTCAACCAAACCTTCCAACTCATCTAGCGACGCCCGGAATGATTGAAGCCACTGGTGGCCGCCGTGCGTTTTCAATCCACCGTTCGTCAGCGCCACCATCTTGATTGGTTGTGACCACCAGCCGTCACCACTCTCGAACCGTAATTTGCCCTTCTCGTTGGTCAGGGTCTTCTTGATGGCCTTGATGCTCTCCTTTGACGAGACGACGGCGCCCGGTAGACTGAATTGATCCCCATCAATCAAAAACGCGTCCTCCTCGTCCTCGGAGAGCATCTCCAAGAAATAACGAGTTGTTGTCTTTTGCGGTGAGAGCAGCCTTATGATCAAACCTTCTTCTTTCAACCGCGTTTTTCTAGCTTCTGAAGAGTCACTAGTCTCCCAGAGCTCGACGCGCTTCGGCGAGGCGGCCCGGAACCGTCTAGCTACGTCCTCCGCCGCGCCCTTGTTTCGGCTCAGGACGCGGACGACCACATTGACTGGTTCCCGGTCCGTCTTCTCCTTGGGCGCGTTCGCCTTCTCGACATCACCAGCGTGGACCGCCTCGTAATCGATGTACACATGCGTGGCCGCTCCGAAGACAACAAGTATGAATGCCGCGACGACGTAGGGCCGCCTCCTTGGCTTTTGTGGAGCCTCGCGTGGGCGGAGCGTGCCGCTGACCGAGCGGCGCAGGCCGTGGCTGCGCTCGAGGACGCGCATTGTGTTGTTTACGACCCGTGCATCCTTGCTTTTTTCGGCAGCCCCCAGGCTGGACTGACTGCAGTCCCTGGGCAGCCTCAGAACGCTATATTTTCGCGTGCGTGACGTCGATGCGGCGTCGTCGTCGTCGAAAGCAGCCCGACGGACCAGCACTGCCAGTAGTGCAATGCAAACCAGCAAAATTGGTGATGCATCGTAGTGAAACCAGCCCGGCCGGCTCAGGGGGGTCGACCGCGGGCCGGGCCCTCGACCCGGCTGGCGGGGGAAACGGCCGGCCGGCCCAAATACGTCTACCTAGAGCTAGCCGGCTGGCGGCCGCCGGCCAGGGGGCCCGGCTGGCGGGCCCGCCGGACCCGCCGGGTCACTTAGAACCTGAATTTTCCGGTCTAAACCTGCATTACGTGCCCCCAGCCGGCTCTGCGGGCCCGCCGGCAAGGAAACTCCACCCGCCAGGGGGGGGAGCCGGCCGGACCTGTCGGAGACCTCGACCCCGGCGGGCCCGCCGGGACAAAATCCGGCTGGCCGGCTGGCGGGAAACCCGTCGGCTGGCGGGCTCGGTTTCACTAACATTGCATCGCATGCGGGTGCGGGGTTCGTGCGGGGTTCCATGCCTCCCTCCCCCTCCCCGCGTCCCGAGATCGACGTGTGGTTCCAGACCGCTGGGGGGAGCCATCCCCACGTCTTAAAACATGATATACTTACTACTAGCTCGATCTACGCGGCACCAAGTGCGGCACCGCGAGATCTCGCGCTGCGCAGTTTCGCGGCAAGGCACCTGGGCTTACCCGCAAAATTTCGGTACTTTCGGCGATACCACGCCCGGAAAAGTACCGGGCGAGGCTCCATTTACTGGTCCTCTGGCCTAGTTATGGCCTGGGAACGGCCCTAGGATGTACTGGACAGCGTGGGAAGGCCCCAAAACCGCGTATAGTAGCCCCCGGGCTGCCCCGGCCCCCAGGCTGAAGTAGTCGGGAAGTAGTCGGACCCCGGATTTCGACCACTATCTCAGGCCGTCCGGAGCTCTTGTAGTCGGTAGAAGGGAGGGTCTTGCACGTGGGTGGTACCCGACCGCGGTCGACCGTGCCGGCCCCGGGCTCGCGACCGCCTGCACGCTGATCATCGGCGCGTCTCCGCGGCCCAGGGCGCGCACCCAGAGCTCCGCTCCGACGAGGCGGGACGTCTCGCGGCGCGCCTCGCGCCGCGCGGACGCCCTTGAGCAAGATTGGCACAAATCGGCGAATAACGAATCCGGCCGCGACGAATAACGAATTACGAATTTTTTGGCAGCGAGTTCCAAGTAACGAATTTTCTCAATTACGAGTCCCGAGTTTTGCTCGACGAATTTCTAGTAACGAATTTATGATGTCGCTTTTGCCCCCCTAGTCTGCCCATGCAGATTTTTTTAACTTTTTTTGCTCATGCAGCGTATAGAGCTGTATAATTAGAGCTCCTTGCATGTACATGTCATGTTGCACGTTGGTCGCGTGAATCGTGGTACCATGGTACGCCTGACGCGCTAGCGCTGCCCGAGACACCCGGCGCCGCGGCCTCCTCGACACTACGATGTACGCGATCGCCACGCTGATGCACAACGTCACGACGGTCTGGGCCTGCGTCGTCGCGGGCCTCGGCAGCCAGCTCGCGGCCGTGGACCCGGCGATTCCGCGCGTCGCGCTCGTGCAGGGCGGCCTCACGGAAGCGCAGACGGCGGTCGTGGGCGCGTACTGGAACGTGTCGCGCTACGACTTCTCGGACTGGAGCCACCGCAAGGACGCGCTCTGGTCGCTGACGCAGTACGAGCGGGTGCTCTACATCGACGGCGACGTCCTCGTCCTGCCGCGCTTCGACCGGCGCAAGGTGGGGCGGGTATTCCGCGCGCCGCCGGGCTTCTACGCCGTCAACTTCAGCCGGCCCGACTACATCTGCTTCAACGCCGGCATCATGCTGCTGGAACCGAGCCTGGACGTCTACGAGCGGCTCCGAGCGGTCACCGTCGGCTCGTCGTGCGGCGGCGTCGACCAGAAGGTGCTCACGGCCGTGCTGACGCGGCACGAGAACATCGGCCTCCGCGTCGTCATGGCCTCGCACTTTTCCGGCGACTCGCTGGCCAAGTACGACATGTATAACACTTACAACAGCATGCGTTCGGTCCGCGACGTGCTCTACGGCGTCGACGCGGTCCACGGCAAGCCCCACGGCGTGCGCAAGCGGCCCGAGATGCTGGGCCACGTGGACCGCCTCTACCAGGAGCGGAACGACCGGATCGCGGCGTCGCTGCCCGCGTGTCGACTGAGGCCCGTAACGTGAGTACTAGTATGCGGGTAGGATCTAGATAAATCTCGGAGACCCCCAATTTTTAGACCCCCTTCACGTCGCCTCTCGGGGCTCCTCAGCGTCAATTATCGTTCACGGGGGTTGATAGTACCCCCGCCTGCGCCGCATGGAGCTGGGTTTGGTCGTTCGGGTGCTTTTAGTCGACTGCGAGGCGGTCCCAACCGACCCCCTCTGGCGCGTGACCGAGATCCAGCGTCGCCGCCGAGTCGCCGGCCGGCGCGCTCTACGTCTCCGACGGCGACCGCTGCCGCGCGCTCCTCGCGGCGCTCGCGGCCATCGACGAAGCGTCGCCCACGTAATATCTGTCCCCGGGCACTCCTAGGTAGGTTCTTTGTGCACTCCGATGGCGCGCGCGCGTCGTTTTTGTTCGCCCAGCTTCCGTTGGGCCGGTCCTTACGCCCTAGAGCCGATGTCGCGAGCCTTCAAGCGTGGGCCTGGTGGGCTCGCGTCGGCGACCTTACTTGCAATTGCGCCCGCACCAGCGTCTCTCGCCCACACTCGCTCTCGCTGTGCTCCCAAAGGAGCTAAAAAGCAGCGCCAACGCGCATACAGACCCCCAGACGGCAGCCCGGCAGCATTTCGGAAACGATGCCGACGCGGCGCTGCCCCTCCACGACCACGACGACCTGGCTCGCCATCGCCGTCCTGGCGACGGCGCGCAGCTCCGCTGCTGCGATCACGGGCGTCGGCACCCTTTTGTCCGGCTCCGGCAGCTCCGCGGGGCGCGGGCTGGCCCTCGGCGTGCTGCTGGCCTCGCCGCACCTCGCGGCGGCTCGGCCGTTTGGAGCGGCAAACACATCCGTCGCGGCGACGCGGCGCAAGCTCGGCTACGCCATGACCGACAGCAACATTAAAACGGCCGTCGCCGCGTGGCTCTCGGACGCGACGGCCGCCGAGGCGACGTACGGCCACATCTCGACGTGGGCGACTGGAGGGGTGACGGACATGTCGTATTTGTTCTCCTGGACGTCCTTTAACGAGGACATCGGCGCGTGGGACACCTCCGGCGTCACGACGATGCACTACATGTTCTTTTCGGCCTCGGCCTTCGACCAGGACATCGGCGCGTGGGACACCTCCGGCGTCACAACGATGGACACCATGTTCTACTACGCTTCGGCCTTCGACCAGGACATCGGCGCGTGGGACACCTCAGGCGTCACGTCGATGTACTCCATGTTCTTTTCGGCCTCGGTCTTCAACCAGGACATCGGCGCGTGGGACACCTCGGGCGTCACAACGATGGAGTACATGTTCGATGGCGCCTCGGCCTTTAACCAAGACATCGGCGCGTGGGACACCTCTGGCGTCACAACGATGGAGTACATGTTCGAAGGCGCCTCGGCCTTTAACCAAGACATCGGCGCGTGGGACACCTCGGGCGTCACAACGATGGCCAATATGTTCCAGGAAGCAACCTCCTTCAATCAGGACATCGGCGATTGGTTGGTCCACAGTGTCACGTATATGGACAATATGTTCGAGGAAGCAACCTCCTTCAATCAGGATATTAGCAGCTGGAACGTTGGAGCGGTTACGGACATGCACGACATGTTCAAGGACGCGACAGCATTCAACCAGGACCTCGGCTGGTGCCTGAACAATGACGTGGACCTGGACGATGCGTTCGACACCGCCCAGTGCGAGTCGACGTGGTGCGGCATCGTGGGGGGAGTTAACTGCAACATCCTCCCGGGTATTGGCAGCGTCATGGTCAACTGGAAAATCAGAGTAGCAGTCGGAGTGTGGCTCTCGAATCCGACTGGCGCCACAGCGACGTACGGCCACATTTCCACGTGGGAGACTGGCGGGGTAACGGACATGGATGAGTTGTTCGAGGACGCCTCGTCTTTCAACGAGGACATTAGCGCTTGGGATACCTCAGGTGTAACGTCGATGGCGGACATGTTCAAGGAAGCATCCAGCTTCAATCAGGACATCGGTGATTGGGCGGTCGACAGCGTCACGGACATGAGCTACATGTTCGCCGACTCGGCCTTCAACCAGGACCTCGGCTGGTGCGTGGACGACGACGTCGACCTGTACTACAGCTTCTCCGGCACCCCGTGCGAGTCGACGTCGTGCGGCGTCGTGCAAGTCAACAACCTCGCCAACTGCCCGAGGCCGACGCCAAGACCCACGCCTGGTCCGACGCCTCGCCCGACGCTTCCAAGTCCAACTCCACGGCCATCGCCGTCTCCTTCGCCGCGCCCCACGGCGTCTCCGACGCCGAAGCCTACACCGATTCCTACGCAGCGGCCGACGCCCGCACCCAGCAGGCGCCCGACGCCGCGGCCGACGCCCGCGCCCAGCAAGCGCCCGACGCCGCAACCGACGTCGACGCCGACGCCGCGGCCGACGCCCGCGCCCAGCAAGCGCCCGACGCCGCAACCGACGTCGACGCCGACGCCGCGGCCGACGCCCGCGCCCAGCAAGCGCCCAACGCGGCGACCGACGCCGACACCCACGCCGAAGCCGACCTCGCGGCCCACAACTATGCCGACGCGGTCGCCGTCGCCGCGCCCGACCCCGAGGCCCTCGCCGCATCCGACGCCGGTGCCTGGAACTCCCACGGCAGCACCAGTCTTCGCGCCGACGCCTCGACCCAGCCCGCGGCCGACGCGACAGCCGACGCCGCGCCCATCGCCACCGCCAACCCCCACGCCTGGTGACCCGACGCCGCGCCCCGTCTTCAGCCCGACGCCAAGGCCTACCTCTCGACCAACTCGCCAGCCCTCGCCGAAACCGACGCCCGCGCCGAGCGCGCGCCCTATGCCGAAGCCGACGCCAGCCCCGACGCCAAGGCCTACGCCGCGCCCGTCGCCCGTGCCGACGCCCGCGCCCAGCGCGCGCCCTACGCCGAAGCCGACGCCGAAGCCGACGCCAGCCCCGACGCCGAGGCCTACGCAGCGACCCACGCCGTTGCCGACACCGCGACCCACGCCTTCGCCGACCTGGTCGCCGACGCCGCGGCCTACGCCGCGCCCATCGCCGTCGCCCACCGTCAGGCCGGGCAGCCCGACGGCGCGGCCGGTCTTCAGCCCGACGCCGCGCCCGACGCCGCAGCCGACGCCACGGCCTACGCCAAATCCGACTTGGAAGCCGACGCCTCGGCCGACACCTATACCCTCGCCATTGCCGACGGCGCGGCCGACTCCATCACCAATCCCAGCGCCGACGCCGCGGCCCTCACCGCGGCCAACGCGAGCACCGACGCCGAGGCCGTCGCCCTCGCCGACCGCGACGCCCGGAAATCCGACGGCGGCGCCCGTCTTCGCTCCGACGCCGCGGCCGACTCCGGGTCCGACGAGCAGCCCGACGCCAGCTCCGGGCTACTGTTGCTCCACCGGAGACTGCGGCGTCTGCACGGCGGTGTCGACGGTCCAGGCCTGTTGGAACGGAAGAGATGAGTGCGAGACTTACTGCGGAGTTTGGTGTGTTGGCTCCTGGCAAGAACCGCTGCCCCCGACGCCGTCGCCCGTGGGCACGCCGGCATTTGTCGTGTCCGGCGACCTCACCTTCGACGGCATCACGTACGAAACCGCGCTGGCCAGCGTCGACGTGTTCGTGGCCGCCGTCGCCGATCTATGTGGCGTCGACGCGTCTCTTGTGAGCGTGGACATCTCCCAGGCCAGGCGCCGTCACCTCCGTCGTCGCCTCGACGACGCCGGCTCGGTGGTGGTCACGTACACCGTGGCCGTAGAGACCGAGGCGGCCGCTGCATCTGTCAGCACGTTGATGGAAGACAGCTCGACCGAGGACGTAAGCGCCGCGGTGAAGAAGGCCGCGACGGAAGCTGGTGCTGATGAAGACTTCGCAGACGTCGAAACGACGGCGGTCGGGACGCCTACGACGGCTTTGGCACCCCAGCCGGACGGCGACGCCCCTGCCACCACTGCTAGCGAAGGGAGCTCCGGCGGCGGCGGCGGCCCAGACGCGGCGATGAGCGCGGGCATCGGCGCCGTGGGGGCTGTCGTCCTCCTGGCGCTCTTCGGCGGCGGCGTCGTCTGGCGCAGGAGACGGGCAAAGGCAGCGCTGCGGCGAGGCGGCGAGGCGGCGGCGCTTCAAAGCACCGACGAGGGCTACGACCCGAAGACCCGCGAGGCTCTGCTGCAGCGGCACAAGGAGACGACGGCTGTCGTCGAGCGAGGTATGACGGTGACCTCGGCCCTGCTCGGCGCTGCGAGCGGCCTGCCGCTCGTCGGACCGCTGTGCCAGGTCGCCAAGGGGATTCTCGGCGACGTCGAGGAGTTCTCGGAGAAAGCAGACGATGTGCTGGTTGCGGCAAGACGCGTCATTGACGTCTTGGACGTGGTTGATCTCATGTCGAAGAACGTCTCGAAGTGCTCAGACGGCAAAGATATTGCCCAAGCGAACATGCAGCGGCTCATCGACTTACTGAAGGAATTCCACGCGGCCGTGCGCGCGTTCGGGCAGAAGGGCTGGCTCAAGCGCGCGTTCACCATGCAGAGCCATGTCAAGAAGCTGGGACTCATCGACAAGCGCATCGTCGAGCAGCTGGGCGTCTTCCGACTGAGCTACCGGTTGGCGATCGATTCTCAGATGATGGAGCGGACCTACCAGATCGAGCAGTCCATCGCGGCGCTCGTCGCGAAGCGCGTCGTCGAGAAAGGAGAATCCGAGGAGGCGGCGGCGGCGGCGCTCTCGGAGGACGCCGTCGCGATCACGTCGGTCGCGGTCGACGCGCGCGTGCCGCCGACGGAGATCGCGGTCGAGATGCGCGAGTTCCGGCTCGAGGTCAAGGAGGGCCTGAGCAAGTTGGACAAGAAGATGAACAAAATGCTGGATGCAGTGCATAATCAAATTGTCGCGGCGCGTCTCGAAGGCCATCGCGTGGCGGCGTGGTCTCTCACCGCTCGATTCAGCCAGCACGGCCGCGTTCTCGCCGATAAAGGACTCCGTGAAGAATTATCGGGTGCACCCGACTCACTGGTTGATTTGCGCGCAGGCTGGATGGTAGAACCGTGGACAAGCAGCAGCTCAAGTCGATCCTTGTCGCCGTCAAAGCCGGCGTGGGACGGGACGAGAAGCTCATGGCGGCCGTCCAGGCGGGCGCGGCGCGCGACAAGCGGATCCTGGCGGCCATCGAGGCTGGCAACGAACGCAACGCGTCTATTCGACGAAACGTCCACGAGCTCGGCGGGGCGCTGCGGAAGACGAAGTCGCGGGAGCTGGTCAAGCGCATGAAAGAGGCGGCCTTGGGGCAGTCCGAGCTCGAGCTCGAGGACGTGGAGGAACTGCCTTTCGCGGAGGGCGGCCAGGGGGCGGTCTTTCGCGGCTACCTGGGCGGAGAGATTGTTTGCCTGAAGAAAATCAGCATGGTCGGGGTCCCCGCCCTCAAGCGCACGAAGATGCTCTCGTCGTTCAAAACCGAGCTAGGGATCATGATCCGCCTGCGGCATCCGCGCACGGTCCAGGTCCTCGGCGTCGTCACCACCAACCCATCCTTCCTCGGCCTCGTGATGGAGTATCTGCCCGGCGGATCGCTGCGGCACGCGCTCGACCGCGACGACGAGGTGATCACGCCGGAGTACCAGCGCTTCTGGACGGCGGACGTGGCGCTGGGCATGGCGCACCTCTATAGCTGCAAGATCGAGCATCGCGACTTGAAGACCCACAACGTGCTGCTCTGTGTGGAAATCAACCAGTGTGTCGCGTGCACCCGATAATTCTTCACTAAGTCATTTCTCGGTGATGACGCGGCCGTGCTGGCTCCGTCGAGCGGCGAGGAATCGGCATCGCCACGCCATCGAGCAGGCGTCGCGTCGATGGCGTGGAGGACGACGCGATGATTCGGCACGAACGCGCCGTAAAATGTTGATTTCCACACAGGTGCTGCTCACGCACGACGGGCGGTGCAAGGTGACCGACTTTGGGCTCTCTCGCTGCGAGGAGCTGAAGACGTTCACGACGACCGCGACGATGAGAGACAGCGCCGCGGGGACGCCCGCGTTCATGGCGCCGGAATTATTTGAGGACAACACCTTCACGGAGAAGTCCGACGTCTACAGCTATGCGGTCGTCCTGTGGGAGATTTACGACCGTGGGATCCCCTGGGCGGGACTCAAGCCGCAACAAATTCTCTACAAGCTCATCAAGGAGCAGAGGCTGGACGTACCAAAGTCCATGCCCCGCGACCTCAGCTCTCTCATGGAGCGCGCGTGGGCCCAGGACCCGGACGCTCGCCCGAGCTTCGCCGACATTTGCAAGGAACTCCAGGCGACGACGCCGCGTCGCCCTTCTTCGATCAGCCGCCCCTGGAGCGCCAGCTCGCCCACGGCCGGCGACGCGCCTCCGCCCGCCAGCGTCGCGAGCGGTCAAGGGTCCTCACGGTCTCTGGCCAGCTCCGTCATGAACATGTTCCGGGCGGCGCAGTCGGATGAGGCCGCGGCAAAGTCCGCCGACGCGCAGTCTGTCGAGGAGGACACCTCGAGCGCGTCGCCGGCGGTCAAGGGAGGCGCCAAAGCGGCGAAGAACGCGGACTCGACGAGCAGGATCAACACGGTCTTCGAGCCGATGCGGACGTGGTACGGCGCACCGGCGCGCGCGGCGCTGAAAAAGACGCACGGCGCGTACCCGGCGACACCGGAGGCGCTCGCGAATTGGAAGTCCTTCGGGCCCGTGACGACGGCCTTCCTCGACGACCAGGGCGTGGCACCGGCGGCACGAGCGACCAAGGCGGGGACGCGGTCGAAGTGGTATGGAAAGTCTACGAAGACGGCAGCCAAGGCGCCCGCCAAAGCGCCACCGAAGAAAGCGCCACCGAAGAAGCAGGCGAAGCCGGCCGCGCGCAAGCCGACGACCGGCGCGCCGGCCCCCGCGCCCGCCGCGGCCAGGAAGCGCGGCCTGTTCTCCAAAGGGCGGGCCGCTCAGCCCAAACCCGTCGTCGACGAGAGCCAGCCCGCGCCGGCGCCGGCGGCTCGGCCGGCGCCGGCGCCGGCGCCGGCGCCGGCACCCGCGCGGCGCGGCTTGTTCGCGTCACTCGTGGGCGCCAAGAAGCTGGCGGCGCGGAAGCCGCAATTCGCGCCGGCGTCCGGCGAGGCTGGAGCCGCCGACCCGGAGGAACCTGCGGACGAAGCTGCCGACCCGGAGGAAATCAATTTATGCTACGACGACTCGGCGCAGGGCGGTTCCGCGGGGACCTTTTTGGGACGGACCCTGGACATCTTCCAAGGCGCGGGGGCGCTCGTTGCGCGCGAAGATGATACGGCCGAGGTGGCGCTCACCGAAGCGCAAGAGGATGCGCTCAGGAAGGTCTTCAATCGCGTCGACATTTCGGGCGACGGACACATCTCCGTGATAGAAGCCATCAAGGCGCTCCGCGGCGCGCGAAGTTCGACGGGCATCGAGGCCGACTTCGCGCGGCTGCTGGGCCTCGACGACATGACGCGCATCCACCAGGAAGACGGCACGAGGGATAAGCTGATGCTGGCCTTCGGCGCGCTCGACGCGGACGGCGACAAAAAGCTGTCATACGAGGAGTTCCGGCGCGTGGTGGCGAGCGCGGCGACGGCGCGGGACCCCGTGCTGGCGCTCGATCCGTAGCCCCCCCTCCCCCCCCACCTTACCCCAATGCACATAAAAATTGCCTAGCTCTAAAACAAAACCGGCGTCTCGCGAGCCCGCGAAATCCACCTCGCATGCTCCACTTGTCCACCCTATACGGAGCGCGCCGCCCGTGCGCCTCTACCCCTACATGCACGCCCCGTGCCTCCCCCCCCCTCGCAACGTCCCGAGATCGACGTGTGGTTCAGACCGCTGGGCCATCGACCTACGCCCCGATCTACGCCCCCCCCCCCCAAAAAAAACGACCCCCCGAGGCTTAGTGAAAGGGGTCCTCGACGTCCGCCGCGTCGCCGCCCCGGTCCATCGCCGCGAAGTTGAGGAAGTGGTAGGGCCGGTGTTTTTCATCATAAAAGCTCAGGGGCGTCGCCAGCTTCAGGTCATAATCCATGGCCGGCGAGTGCTGGACGCCCATGAAGTTGTAGTTCCAGACGCCATCACTGGGCACCATGAAGAATCCCAGGAATCGGTCCGACAGCAAGATCTGGACGCGCTCGTAATGTGTAGGAGAAGACGCCTCTCTTTGACTGGATTTGCCCCACTCGTAACCTTGGGGCGTGAGCTTGTAGGCCGTCAGACTACAGGAACCGGGCGTGAACGCACAAGTAACAATGGCCGCCTTTTCGCCGTCCCACGACTCGTTACTCGAAAGTATCGTCGCATGCTGTATAATATCATTGGATGCTAGGTGAGGTAATTCGTTGGGCATCGTGTGGAGCCAGCCCAACGGCTCCAAATCTTCGAGGTACTCATGCTCCGGTAGTTTGTGTGGCAGTGTGACCTGCTGGTGGTTCCCGACCTGCGGCACCAACACAATACACCGGATCTCCTTCACTCTATCATTGTCCGGCGGAGACACGCCGTACAAATACCCGGCCACTTGCGTCCGCAGGTCCGAGATGGTCACGAACTTGGCCAGAATATTTTTCGGGAGCACGTACGTGTACCCCGAATCCTTGACGTCGTCCGAATTCACGTAGATGTGGTGCGTCCTTAAGTGGAGATTCGTCGCGGAAATGGCTCGCACGCGCCAGTCCGTCTTCGACGAGAAGGACTGCTGCTCGTACCTGCGTGTGTCACTGTGAAGTTCAAGTTCAACGTCAACACACGGAGTCCGCACTGGGAGGTGGTGGTGATGACCATTTCTTCCCCATGCACGTTCGTCGTTTTCGTGGTGACGGCGGTCAGTTGACTTTGCTCCCTAGCTTGCTTCTCGATCTCCGCCACTTGTTGCCGTTGCAAGGACGGGGGCGCGACCTCCATCCCAAGAATGACGTCGCGGATCTCCGACTGCGTCAGCGAGGCCACGTTGACGTTGTTCTTCTTCCCGTAGTCGGCGAGAATCAGGTCCTTGAGCGCGACTTCCACGCGGACCCACTGCTCGTCCGTGAGCGTCGGCCTGTGTTTGATGGATACCGTCGCGAAACCGCCGCGACGCTCTCGCGCGACACGTGGCCTCTCATGCGGCCGCATCGACGCCATCGCCGCGACCGCGTCAAGTTCAAGTTCATTCTTCACGCTGAGTCAGCACCAGACGTGGTGCGGTTCCGTGATCACGGTCTTGTCCGGTCGGAGTATGACCTTCGTTCGGTCTTGCGCGACGTGCAGCGCTCTTAAGACGAGGATGAGGCGCGAGAAGGCCGTGTAGGACGAGATGGTCTTGAGCCAGTCGTCTGCGGGGGATAGATACGGTCGCGACGCCCCCGAAGACGCTCTGACGATCATGAAGACGGCGTCGCGGCGGCGTGGCGTCGCGTCGACGCCGTCGCGGCGACGACGTCATGCGCGGAGCATCGCAATCCCTCCTCTCCCGGACGATGCATGAAGATCGCGTGAGACGCTGAGTCACTGACCATAAATGTTGAAGAGCACCATCTGCGGCTCCGTCGCCTTGAGGATGAGATCGCCGAACTTTTCCACTTTCAAACAGGCCTGGAAGGGCAGCTGGAGCTCCGAGCCTGCGCGTCGCGGCGTGACGAAACCGCCGCGAGAGCGCGAAACCGCCGCGAGGGCGTCTCGCGAGCCACACGCGCCCCCGTGACGCCGTCGACGCGTCCCAGGCGAGGCGCGAGATCTTCTCGGCGTCAAGTCGAGCGAGAGTGAATCTCGAGCCTCGCGGTCGCGCGACGCGGTCCGAATTCACTCAAATTCGACGAAGAAACCACCCACCGCCATCATTCCTGGAGACGAGTCGCGTCGACGGCGTGACGGCGCCCCCACACTTCAAAACGCCGCCTCCGCACCCTTAATGACGATGTTCGAAAAATCCAACAGATGCACCTCGAGCGGGTCGAGCATGCCCTTGCGCGTGACGATGATCTGCTTGGGCTGCTCCTCGACGGGCAAGCTGCGGATGAGGGCCGCGACCTGCGTGGCGCGTCGCGGCGTCCGAAGTCGCTCAAACTCGAAAAAGAAACCACATCAAGACGCCGCAGCGCGCCTCCTCCGCCGTCTTCCACTTCGCGAGCTGGCCCAGTCTTTTCTGCCCCGCCCAGACGGACGTGTGCACGATCTTGAGGAACAGTTGCCCCGTGCGGGGATTGAACACGAAGATGGCCCCGTTGATGGGCTTCGTCGTGAGGTTCCCTTCAAACGTCTTGTGGATGGTCACGCGGTAGACCTGCGTGTGTCACTTCAGCTCAAACGCGGCCACGACCTCCCTCTGGTGGACGCGACCGCGTGGAGCGAGCCGCGCCTCGCTCCGACCTCAAGTTGAAGCACAACTTGAAGTTTTCTTCGCCGAGTCAGTCACGTTCGTGTCGTCGACGAACCAAATAATTTGATTGCTAAAGAGCTCGCCGTAGTTCTGCGAACTGAGGTAGGGCTCCGTCGGCTCGGAGCTGTAGAGCTGGAGGCCCTTGCGGATGCGCTCCCTCAAAACGTAGAGGGCGGGGTTGGCCTGTGTGTTGTCTGGTGTCGCCGCGTCGTCTTCGCGAGAGCGCCGCGAGGTCCGAACGGCCCCTCGGGCCCCGCGGGACCCGAATCGCGTCCGAATTCACTCGAAATCGCAAAAGAAAGCACCCACGTCATCGTGAGACGGAGACGAGGACGCCGCCACGCACTTTCACGATCTTCGCCATGGCCTGCTGGATGAGCGGCTTGCAGCCGGGGAACCACGCGCCGTACCTGCGTCGGGCGGCAGTAACTCGGCGTCCCGTCGTGTGGAGGCGCCTTCACTTCCTCAATACGACTCGTGTCCATCTCACGATGCCGTGGGTGGTCTATTTTTCGATTTTGAGCCGCTTCGGACCGCGGTCGAAGGGCCCCGGACACCGTGTTACGTACCCACTATACAAGTTGTAGGCCAGGTCGATGGCGACGAGCGCGCCCGTCGGCGACGGGTAGATGCTCATGTTGTCCGTCGTGTAGTCCTGCGTTGATTGCTACCGTGACGACGGCGTCGACGCAACTTGCGGACGCTGACTCGGCACCAAAAACTTGGCCCGCGCGTAGCGCTCGACGTCGTGGCTGTCGAAGTCGCCCCACCGCAGCTGGATGTCGAGCCAGTATTTGGACGACGTCGTGCCGTCGTAGCTGTCCTTCGTGTCGTGGAGGAGCGACGGTTTCGCGACCTGTGGGGCACACATACTGTCTCCGTGCGCTCGCGCGACGCGTGGACTCTCAGGTGATCATGCAGACGGCGTCACGGTCCCATGACGACGCCATCGCCGCGACCGCGTCATGTTCAAGTTGACTTTTGACGCTGACTCAGCACCTGCCACTTGTAGGCCGCGAAGAGCAAAATGTCCGCGCAGCTCGAGTTCATTTTATAAGATTTGCGCGGGTGGATCGTCTCTTTTTGCACATTTTCGACCTGTGAAGTGACGACGTGACTCGGCTCCGGGAATGAGGGGCGCTGGGACGCACCTCGAGCGCGTCGAGCTCCTGGTCGAACACCTGGCACAAGTCCATGGTCACGGACTCGTGGATCTTCTGCCAGAGGTGCGCGCGGAAGATCTGGATCAGCGAGATCTTCAGCCTGCGCGAAACGGCCCGAAATCCACAAAGAAACGACCCACTTCCATCATTCCCGGAGACGAGTCAAGTGGAAGGCGCCGCAACGCTTCGAAACGCCGCGCGCGCACGTCGGGATCTTCCCGTGCATGAAGATGCCCGTGAGGTCGAGCTGGACCTGCGCGGCGGTGTCGCGTGTTGTTGCGGCGCTCTCACGCCATCGAGGCGACGCGTCTCCATCAGACGAGGTCTCTGGTCCAACTTCGAGTCTCTGGAAGGCGTCGGGGCCGTCGTGTGATCATGACGACAGCGTCACGACGACCCCGGCAAGTTCAAGGTCACTGAAGACGCCGCGTCACGCACCTGGAACCCCACATACACGTTCGCCCGGTTGATCGTCGGCGACCACCACAGCGTGAACCTTCTATTGGGAATTTGATTGAGACCCGACCGCTGCGCGTTCGTCAATTTTTTGTACTTCATGGACTCTTCAAAACCCGACGCTTTTTCCCAGAAGAGGCCCTCCCACGTCGGGAAGTACGTGCCTGTGGGGTCGACGCGACTCGTGGCCATGAGACGAGGTCTCCGGTCCGAATTTGGGCCGATTCGGACGCCGCGACCGCACCCTTGAACAGCGTGTGCTCGAGGATGCCCTCGACGCCGCCGAGGGCCTGGATCATGTCCGTGCGGTAGTTGTTTAAATTCCACAATTTGCCGTCGTGCCGCTGGTGCGTCCACCTGCGCGCGTAGGGCGTGACGTCGTGTGGAGGCGCTCTCACGCCATCGACGCGACTCGTGTCCATCTCACAATGAAGTGGGTGGTTTCTTTTTCGATTTTGAGCCGATTCGGGCCGCGTCGAGAGACCGCGATGCCGTCGCGGTCCGAACCGCCTCGACATCGAAACAGGACGCCGCTACGTTACCAGAACGGGTTCTGCCGTAATACTTGATACTGCTTGAAGTCCGTGCGGCAGCGCCAGCCCTGCGCGGCACGGACACAGTGGAGACGCGTCGTCCCTCGGATGATCATCTCCACCAGATCAAGTTCAAGTCTCATGAAGACGCCGCGTCACGGACCTTGTCGTACGCTAATGTATGTCTATCCTTTTGGAACAACGTGTTGATCCGGGGAATGCCCCGGTCCCAGGAGTCCTCCAGATCTTCCAGCGTCAACCGCCGGTTCTGGGCGTTGGCCTCCTGGCGCTTGAGCCTGCGTCGAGCGACACTCACGATTGAAGTTCAACTTCAACACTGAGTCGGCACGCGTACTCCGCCCACACTCTCTGCGAGTCCACGAACTCGCTCTCCCAGGGCTGCATGTATCTAAACAAATTCGGGATGATCTGGTCCTCCTCGTGGGACATGCCGCTGCGGAAGTGCGTCACGCCCTGGTCCGTCTGCTTGCTGTAGCGGAGGTCCTGCGCGGGAACGACGGTGTCGCGAGCGGCCCTCACGCCGTCGACGCGCATTGGCTCCATCAGAGCAGGCCGTGGGCGGTCTCTTGGTCGATTTTGAGCCGTTTCGGGCGCGACGGGGTCGGCGGGACGCGATCACGCCAAGATATGACGCAACTGCCGCAGTTCTCTCTGACGGCCGCGTCGACGGCGTCGCGGCGCCACGCCATCGCGGCGACGGCGTCGAATTGATTCAGACAAGTTCAAGTTGACTTTTGACGCTGACTCAGCGCCGACTGCGGGATGAGCACGTGGCCCATGCTCAGCATGCCCAATCCACCTAACTCTTTTGGGGTATAAAACACGACGGGCGGGAATCTAGAAGGCATCTTGGAATTCAAGCCGATCTTGATGCGCGTCTGGATCTTGTTCTCGCACTTGACCTGCGCGCGGCATGTTCCCGGCGCGGCCCTCATGTGGCGAGAAGCGACATACGCGTCGCGGCGACGGCGTGGAGCGTGTGATGAGGCTCTCATCCACAAAGCATCAAGTCGAACGAGCTTCAACAGACACGAGTCACGAAACCGCCGCAGCTCCCTCACGAGACGCGTAGACTCTCATGTGGCCACATCGACGGCGTCACGGTGCTGATGCGTCGCGTCGACGCCATCGACGCGACCTTGAAGTTCAAACAGGCGCTGACTCCGCACCAATAAATCGAGCATCTCCTGCGTGTTGACCACGGCCTCGCGGAAGTACGTCATGAGGCCTGCGCGGGAACGACGCCGTCGCGTAACGATCTTGATAAGTTCAAGTTCAATCACGACGCCGAGTCAGCGCCGATGAGCGCCGTGTTCCACTTGTTCGCAATTTTTGTAAAGGTGGTGGAGCCTGCGGCGGTGGCGCGTGGCGCGGCCGTCTCCCCGGGGTCGTCTCCCGGAGCGACGGTGGAGGGTGGTCTTTTCTTCGAGGTTGGACGCCGCGCGCGTGCCGCTCGACATGAGGACCTGTCTGACTCTGTTTTCAAAAGTCCTCAAAGACTGCTCGTCGACCTGCGCGGCGCGGCGCGGTGACGTGGCCTCGCGTCGACGTCTTCATGAAGACCGCGTCGGTGCGAGCGACCTCACGCCATCTTCATGAAAGCGGTCCCTCTGACACGCCGCGACGGCCCCGACGCGGTCCGAAACGGCTCAAATTTGGACCAGAAACCAGCCACGGCCTCGTCTGACGGAGGCGAGTCCATCCAAGGAAGTGAAGGCGCCTCTACACACTGAATCGCACCCTCAAGAACGCCTGCGCCGTCATCTCCTTCGTGGCCTCGTTCTGGAGGTTCCAGACGCCGTCTCGATGAGTTAAAGCTTCGAGGTGCATGCGGCATTTCGGCTTGACGCGGACCTGCGTCGCGCGACGGTGACGCTCGGACGATCGCGACGACGCCAGCGCCGCGTCGACGGCGTCCCGATGTCATGAAGACGCCATCTTCACACCAACGTCAGGTTCAAGTTCAATGAAGACGCCGAGTCAGCACTTCGAAGCCGCCCATGTTAAATAATAAATTCGGGTTGTCCTTCGAATAGACGCTCACGAACGAGTTCTCCCACTCGCACGTCGTCAGGGCCCGCGGCAACCGGTTCTGCACGTCCCAGAAGACGGCGCGCCCCAAGTTGACGTCGTGCTTCATGAGCCGCATGCGCTGGTCGCGCGGCCAGCACTTCTTGTTGTTGTAGCCGACGACGTTCTCGTTGTTCGGGTCGGGCTGCTCCGTGAGGTACCTGCGCGGCGGTTTCGCGTGTTGCGGGGTATTTGGGGCTCTCTCACGCCATCGAGGCGCGTCGTCTCCAGGAATGCTGGAAGTGGGTGGTCTCGTTTCCGATTTCGGGCGAGTTCGGACCGAGTCGCGACACGAAGGCGCTCGGACGGCACCACGACGCAAGGACACCGGAGCTACCGCTGGATCAGGTCGCGCGCGTCCTCGGCGTCGAAGCGCAGCAGGAAGTAGACCTGGTCGACGTAGCGCGTGTACAATCGAATCGGGTGCCGGACCTGCGCGGAGCATCACAAGCTCTCCTGGCGACGAGTACACTTCAAGACGCCGCGAGCCGCCTCCGTCTCGACGTCCTTGAAGCACAGGTACTCGTTGGGCAGCTGCGGCGGCCCCGCGAGCTCCGACGCCCGCGTGAGGCCCAACAGTAACAAGTCGAGGACCAAGCCATAAAATTGAAACACAAACGACGAAAACTGGAGGCCTCTCACTAACCCGTAGGAATTCGTGTGCATCATGTCCTTGTACGAGCACCTGCGCGTCGTCTCCGTCTCACGAGGCCGGGGGTGGTCTCCGGTCGAAATTTGGGCCGATTCGAGGCGTTTCGAGGTCCCGCTGCCGCCGCGACGCCATCTTCAATACCAGATCAAGTTCAAGGTCAACTTCAAGACACTGACAAAGCACGCGACGTTGTTCTTCGACGTGACGTAGTCGGCGATGTTGTGGTCGACCACGAGGCGCATCAATCTATTTAATAACGTGAGGTCGATCTTCTCGTAGACCTACGATCGTGTGACACAAAGTTCAACTTCAACTTCAACGCACCTTCTCGAGCTTCGACTCCAACATCACTACACATTCTCCACTTTCGGTCGCCCAGACGTCCTCCAAATTGTTGACGCCCTGGCACCACTTATATACAAGTAACGGCGGCGGCTCGGAGTCGGCCGGCTTGATCCAGTTCGGGAAGAGGTGACCTGCGCGTGACGCGTCTCCGTCGCACGAGGCCGGGGGTCGTACGGCGTGAGCAAGGACGCCGCGACGCACGCTTGTCGGCCTCGTACCACAAATACTGGTCGAGGTACGCGTCCGTGATCTTCTCGAGGGGCTCCACTTCGTAGACCGGTATCAAGTGCGAGTAGAGGTCCATGAACTGGACGCCGACCTCCTTGAAGGCTCGCTGCGTCAACAAATGCCGCTTGACACGACTCAGGGCCTCGTGCCTGCGCGGGGCATCGCGGTGCTCGACTCCGTCCGAATGGCCTCAAAATCAAAAAAGAAACCACCCACGTCATCCTGAGATGGACACGAGTCGCCTCGATGGCGTGAAGGCGCCTCCACACGACGGGACGCCGAGATCGCACGGGTTGTCGTACGCCTGCTCGATCAAGCCGAGCTCCTCCCTTTGATTTTGATTTAACCTCGAATTGATGCCGTAGTTCTCCTTCAGCCGCTCCAGCGCCAGGATCAGCAGCTTCGTGTCGTGCTTGTACGACAGCGGCGGAAACGGAATCGGCGAGAACTTGCGGCTCTCGAGCCAGTGGACCTGCGCGGAACGACGGCGTCGCGGACGGTTCCCACGCCGTCGACGCGACTCGTGGCCATCTCAGCATGACGTGGGTGGTCTCTGGTCCAATTTCGAGCCGGTTCGAGCCGTGTCGAGACTCGCACGGCCCCGACGCGGTCCGAAACACCTCGGAATCGACGAAGAAACCACGCTGACTCCGCACGGTAGTCGTATAGATGGCCACGGCCTCCTCGGCGGACACGTAGGGCCTGCGCGGACCGAGACCGTCCGAACGGCCCCCTCTCCCGGAGACGAGTCCCAGCGACAAAGTGAAACCGCCCCACCACGACGGGACACCGACCAAAACCCGTCCTTGAGGTAGTTGTGCTGGCGCTCCTGCTCCGCTTTCAGCCAGAGTCTAGTGAGTCTACCTAGGTTCTTCTTGCAGACCGTCTTGTCGACGGTGGCGCCGCGCTTGATGCGCTCGCGGTTGTAGTGGGCGATGTTCGTCCTGCGCGGCGCGACGCGCGTCGACGGCGGCGCGGCGGCGCGGTCTCATGACGCCATCGCCGACCGTGCTCTCTCACGCGCCGCGACGGCCCCGACGCGGTCCGAACGGCCTCAAAATCGAAAAAGAAACCAGCCACGACCTCCTCTCCCGGAGACGACGCGCGTCGATGGCGTGAAGGCGCCGCAGGACGCCGCGCGCGCGCCACCAGTCGGCCTTCGCCTTGACGTAGCGCAGGATCATGTTCTCGATCGGGGCAGGTAAACCGGGAACCTTCCAGGGGATGTTCGCCTTCCAGCAGCGCCAGGCCTCGCTCAGATGTTGTAATATTGTGCGCGACTTGTTGGCCTTGACGCCCTGCGCGCGGCGACGCGTGAGGAGCGCGGCGACGGCGTCACGCGTCGACGGGCGTACCATGACCGCGCCGCACCGGCGCCCGGCCCGCGACGGCGCCGTTCTCGAAGCTTCACCAGCACCCTCGGGAACCGCGCCCGACGCGGCCCGATCCGGCCCAAACTCGAAGAAAAGACCACCCCGCGCCTCGTCTCACGGAGACGCCATCGACGCGAACAAAAGGACGCCGACGCGCGCCTCGGGCATCATGTCGAGGATGTCGTGCATGACCGCCGCCCGTAACTCCAAATCAAAATGCGACTCGACGCGCTGCTTCGTCACCGTCTTCGCGATGCCCTTCGAATGCCGCCCCTCGAACTGCCTCGCTAATAAATTGCCGAGCCACCGTTCGAGCAAAGGAACAATACCGCGAAGAAAGAACAGCCACACCCGCCACCCCGGCGCCCAGAAGCCGCAGCCGGGGCCCTTGCCGACCGGGCCCGTGTTGAAGCGGTAATAAATTAAATGTTTCAGGTCCTTGCACATGCGCACCTGGCGCATGAGGCGGTACTTGTAGCGGTACATGCCCGTCAGCTGGCCGACATGGGCAAATATGTACTGGAGACCGTCCGCCAATTGAAACGCGTCCACGTTCCCCAAGCGGTACTGGACCACAGAATCCACAACTAATTTGGTAAGTCTCAAGATCTCGCGCGTGAGGTGGAACGCCTGCGTCCGAATGCACTCAAAATCGACCAAGAAGCCACCCAGCGCCTTCTCTGACGGAGACGAGTCGCGTCGATGGCGTGAAGGGACGCGGCGAGCGCGCGTTGCCGAAGCGCGACTTCTTCCGCTCCTTCGTCGTCAGCGTCTTCACGGGCTTCAAGTTGAAGTTGTAGTCGAGGTGGAGGTAGTTCAGGTTCTTCCGGTGGATCAGCAGGTTCAACATGTTGTAGCCCTGGCGGCAGACCTGCGACCGGCGCGCGGTCGCGCGCGGCGTCCAGGACCGCCGTCACGCCGTCGGCGCGTCGACGGGCGTCCCGCGGCCGCGCACGACCGGCGGCCGCGTCTCTCGTGCGCCGTAGCCGCGAGTTCTCCGTACCGCAGCGGCGCCGGCCCCGACGCGGTCCGAACGGCCTCGAATTCGGAAATAAAACCACCCACTTCCATCATTCCCGGAGACGAGGCGTAGCGACGCAAAAAGGACGCCGCACACGCACCTGCAGCCCGACCTCGACCCAGTCCAATTCGGTGGATTGGAAGAATTTCGTGGCCTTCAAGGAACGAAATAAATGCTTGCGGTTCAGCGCCTTCGGCCTGCGGGGCGCGACGCGTGATGCCACGCCGTCGAGGCGACTCGGCTCCGGGAGAGGAGGCGCTGGGCGGTCTCGGGTCGAAATTTGGGCCGACTTCGGACGCCGGCGCGGGCTTCTTCTTGTGCAATTCGTTGAGGACCCAGCATTTTAGTAATTTTTGGTAGGAGACGCGGACCTTGACGGGGTGGTCCGCGGGGCACCTGCGCGGCGCGGACACCGTCTCACAGCCACATCGACGGCGTCGCGGCGACGCGGTCTCGTGGAGACGCCATCTTCCCAAAGTTGAAGTTCGGAAACGTTCGGAAACAGACGCTGAGTCACTGACCTTTCCTTGAACCACGCGTTCACGAGGGGCACGTCGAAGGCCCTTCGCGTCCGGCCCCGCCGCAAGTTAAACGGCCGCGGCGCGAAGTAGAGCGCGATGCCGCCGGCCGTCGCGTCCGTATACAACGGCCGCTCGTTCAGCAGCGGCTCCAGACCTTCAACAGTAAAGTCGTCCTCTTCCACATCAACTTCCTTGACGGCCTTGGAGCGAAAGGCCGAGATGGGGTTCACGACGGGGTCGAAGTAGAAGGCCGGCAGGTCCGGGTCGTCGGGCTTCACGTAATACAAAGGCGGGTGGTGGTACGGCGCCAATGCCACCGCCCGCGGCCGCGACGTGTAGAGGTAGGGGAACTGCACTTTATATTCGGTGCGGATCTGGTGGCGGATGACCTGCGTTTGTATGAGTGTCTCGGGAGTGCTCTTCGCCTCTCTCGGGACCGCGAGGCGGCCGCGTCGTCCGAACCGGCTCAAATTTGGACGAGAGACCTCGTCTGATGGCCACGACGCATGAAAACAACACGAGAAGGCGGACGCGGCGCGCGCACGATCTTGTTGATGTCATTAAATTCGTTCCAGTCGTCCTCGTCGGCCTGCGTGGAACGACAGCGTCGCGAAACTGCCGCGGCTCCCTCATAGACTCTCTCACGGCCACGTCGACGGCGTCACGGTGGCATCGCGCCGCGTTGACGCCATCGACGCGACCTTGAAGTTCGGAAACGGACACTGAGTCATGCGTCGTGGTCCCGAAACAGCGGCTCGAACTTGGGCCCTCCCGGGATCGCCAGGTTCAGGGCCTTCGCCGTGAAGAAGCTTCTGCGATCAAACAAGTGGAAGTAGTTCGGGTCTAGTAAGTCTGACACTAGCTGCCCGGCCAGGCGGTAGAGCGTCGACCTGCGCGGAACGACGGCGTCGCGAAACCGCCGCAGCGCCCTCACGCGGCGCGTAGACTCTCGCACGGCCACGTCGACGGCGTCACGGCGGTGTGGCGTCGCGAGGGCGCCGTCGACGCAAGTTCAAGTTCATTTTCTGCTCTGAGTCACTGACATGATCGGCACGGTCAGCGTCCACTTCTTGTAGGAGCTCCCGTTGACGTGGTCCGTGAACTCGAGGGGCTTGGGGTCGTAGAACCAGTCGCAGACGGCCGCCTGTGTGGACATCAACCTGTCAGGTTATCGCGTCTCGCGATCTCGGCACCGCGGCCCGAATCGGCTCAAATTTGGACAAGAGACCACCCATCGCCTTCTCTGACGGAGAGGAGTCGCCTCGATGGCGTAAGAAGGCGAAAGGACGCCGTATGCGCGCATCATCTTCCGGGTCGAGCTCCATGGCGATGGGCTCGAGCGGCTCGACGTCGAGGACCTGCGGAGGGGCGGACACGAGTCACGAAACCGCCGCGGCGCCGGCGTGGGGCATCGCTCGACGCCATCGACGCGAGCCGCGACATCGACAAAAAAACGAGCCACGACCTCGTCTGACGGAGACGAGTCGCGTGAAGCGGGACGCCGCTTACCGGACGTTATCTCCATAATCTAAAGGCGGCTCCTCGTCGTCGAACGGCGGGAACCGCATCCTTTTAAAGTGCCTCCGGTCCCGCTTTTCCCGGCGCATCATGATCCACATGGAGCCCCACTGCGCCGTGTAGACCTGCGTTGGGTATCGATACTTATGTGTATGTATGTATACATATCATCGTCGCGACATATATGTGTATATCATCGTCTCGAGACTGCTGCGGCTCTCTCCGACGGCCGCGGCGACGGCGTCGAGGCGGCGTGGTCTCGTGACGGCGCCATCGCGGCGACCACGTCATGCGCGGAGCATCGTGGTCCCTCGACTCGGTCCGAATCCACTCAAAATCAAAAAATGAAGTACTCACGGCCTCGTCTGATGGAGACGAAGCGCATCGATGGCGTGAAGGCGTCTCCACACGACGGGACGCCGAGATACAGTACGGGCTCGATGACCTTGGGCACCTCGTTCACGAAGGAAATGGCCCCGGTCACGTGGTACAACACCTTCACGTTGCGCACCTGCTCCCAGGGCATGGGCAGGTTCTCGAGGAGCTTGTAGACGGCGTGCGGCACGTATTTCAATGCCCCTAAATAAACTCTTTTGTCGGCCTTGAACTTTTTGGAGGACATGTCGCCGTGGTCCTTGACGATCTTGCGCACGTGTTCCGCGGGCATGTCCTCTTTATAGGTATCGACGAAGCCGTAGCGTCTTTTTTGGCCGAACCTTCGCGCTTGGAGGTTCGCCCACTTGCGCGCCTTCTCTTGGAGGGGGTCCTTCCTCGGCTTGCGTTGCGGTGCTATGCCCGGTGGTGCCATCCCCATGGGTGGTGGCATTCCGGGCGGCGGCGGCGGCGGAGGGGGCATCCCCGGTGGGGGCGCTCCGGGTGGCGGCGGCGGCGGGGGCGGCATTCCTGGCGGAGGTGCTCCCATCGGCGGCGGAGGAGGAGGCGGCGGCGCCCCTCCCATGCCGGGTGGCGGGCCGGACATCGTTACGTTTCGTGTGCGGCCGGGCTCCTTCGCTTATGCCCGGCGCGTCTCGCGCGCGGCTGGTTCCTTCGCGGGCGCGGCGGCCCTTCGCTGCGTCGGCGGCTGCGCGCGGACGCCGCGGCGGCTAGAGCGCTGCGCTGCCGGCTGCTTGCGCGGCGCGCGGCGCACGGCGTCGCCTGACGGCCTTTGACTTCGCTGGCCCCGCGGGAGCTGCGCTAGCCTCGCCGCGCGGTGCTCACGCTCTTCGGAGGTGCCGTGGGCAGTCTTCGCTGTGCTTTACAGGTGTGAACGGCCCGCAGCGAGCGTGCACGGACGAATCGCGGTCCGTGTCTGAAATACCCGACTAGTGTCTTACTGCACGCTAGCAACGTCAATCCGCAGCAGCCTCCGCAGTGCCGCCCACGCTCGCTTAGAACACTGAGACCCGTAGCACAGCGCTCCCGGCGACTTCACAGCGCTCCCGACCAAGCGCGGCCACCGCTGTCCGCCCCAAGGCGCTGCACTCGACTATCGACAAAATGGCCACTGAAGGCACGTCGCGCCTCTTCGTCCAGGACCTGCCGCCGCACTGCGACGAGCAGGCGCTGCGGAAGCACTTTGCTGAATACGGCGTCACGGACGTCCAGATCCCGCGGCGCAAGACCGATAAAAAGAAGTCGCGAGGCTTCGCGTTCGTGGGATTGAAGGACGCGGACAGCGCCCAGCGCGCGGCCAAGGCCCTGAACGGCGCCTACTGGCGGACGTCGAAATTGCGAGTGGCGCCGGCGGCGAAGCGCAAGGCGCCCGTACCGACCGAGCCGCCGAAAAAGAAAAAGGCCAAAAAAGTAGTTCCGCCTCCAAAGGAGCGCCTCGCCCCCACGAAGCGCGAGCGCTTCCTCGAGCTGGCCGGGGTCAAGCAAGAGGCGCCCGCGGAGCCCGAGCCGGTAGAGCGGTCCGAGGAGGCCTTTGATGCTGGTTTGGACGACCTCGCGTACCTGCGGTCGAAGCGGGACGGGGTACGCGGCGGTGTCCTCGTACGCGCGCCGCGTCGTGTCGGTGGCTCGGCCGAGAGCGCCCCGACGACCGCGAGTCAACGGCTCACGCTATCACCACGCAGGCCGACGAGGCACCGGCCGAAGAGGCGTCGGACGGCGACGACGACGGCAACGCGCGCGTCTTCCTGTCGAACATCCCGTACGGCGCGTCGGAAGAAAACGTCGAGAGTCTCTGCGAGAGGTACGGCGCCGTCAGTGAAGTCCACCTGCCCATCGATGCGAAGTCGAGAAAGCGGAAGGGCTTCGGGTTCGTGACCTACGTCCTCCCGTCTGATGCCGATAGATGTGTAGAGGGTCTGCACGGTTCGGCCTTCGAGGGACGGGTTCTGACGGCTCAGAGAGCGGAGGCGAGGCCGGCGGACCACGCGCCCATCAGACGGACCTTCGCCGACAAGCGGGCTGAGGAGCGGAAGCAAAAAGCGTCGACCGAAGATCAATCGCGCGAATTTATATCAGCTTCATCGGCAAAGGACGCGGCCGCAGAGCGCGCCGGCGCGTCGAAGGCTCAACTGTTCGACCCTACTCGTAGTGATGCGGCCGTCGCGTCGACGCTGGCCGAGAGCGCGGCGCAGAACGAAGCCCGAACCTACTTCGCACAAAAAGGCTACGCCCTCGACGCGGCCACACGATCAAGGACCGCTTTATTGGTGAAGAACCTGCCCGCGTCGACGTCCGTACAGGATGTCCGTACTCTATTCGCGCAGTCTGGCGTCGTGACAGATGTGTTGCTGGCGCCGTCTCATACCAGTGCTATTGTCGAGTTCGAGCAGCCGACCGAAGCGCGAACGGCCCTCAAGAAGCTCGCCTACAGGGCCTTCGACGGCACGCCGCTCTACGTGGGCTGGGCCCCTGCGCGGAATGAGGATTCGGACGACGAAGTGCAAACGGGAACTATTTTCGTCAAAAGCTTGTCGTTCGCCACGTCCACGCAGGACCTGGAGCGGCACTTTGCGTCAGCAGGCAAGGTGAGATCGGTGGTCTTCCCCGGGTCCGCGGACGAGGGCTTCGCGAACCGCGGGTTTGGATTCGTCGAATTTAGTAGTGCGACGGACGCGGCCAAGGCCCTGAGTCTCACGGATCTGAATGGCCGCACGCTGGTCATCGAGGCGAGCCGCGTGTCCAAGAAGGCGGCTTCGTCTTCCAAGAAACAGTCGAAGCTCGTTATTCGCAACCTCGCCTTTGCGGCGTCGGCCGGCGACGTGCGCGACCTCTTCGGCACCTTCGGGTCCCTCAAGAACGTGCGGGTCCCGAAGCGCTACGACGGGCGGGCGCGCGGGTTTGCCTTTGTGGAGTTTGAGAGGCCTCAAGACGCGGCGAGTGCTAGGCGCGCTTTGGGCGCGGCGCACCTGTACGGGCGGCACCTCGTGATCGACTGGGCCGAGAACGAGCGGGAGGGCGTAAGCTGATGTTTGTTATATTAGGGCGAGGGCGAGGAGCGCGGCGCTGGCGCCGGCGAGGCGGGCGGCGTCGACGACGGGGTCGGGGCTCGTCGGCGCTGGCGAGGGCGCGCAGCCACCGGCTACTTGCTTGACGCCGCACGACGTCGACTCGCACTGGGTGCCAGAGAACGTTGTGAATAAGTTGATGTAGACGTCGTCGTCCACGCACCAGCCGAGGTCCTGATTAAATGACGAGGCGCCGTAGAACATCCCGCTCATATCCGTGACGCTGTCGACCGCCCAACCACCGAGGTCCTGGTTGAAGGTTTCGGCGCCGTAGAACGTGTACTGCATCGTCGTGACGCTAGAGGTGCCCCACGCGCCGATGTCCTCATTAAAGGACGCCGCGCCCGAGTTGTAATAAACATCGAACAAATACGACATGTCCGTCACCCCTGATGTCTCCCACGTCGAGATGTGGCCGTACGTCGCCTCGGCGGCCGTCGCGTCCGCAAGCCACGCAGAGACTGCCCATCTGATTTTCCAGTTGACCATGACGTTGCCCGTGCGCGAGACGTCGCAGTCGCCAGTATTGGTCTCCCACTTCACGCCACAATACGTCGACTCGCACTGGGTCTCGAAGAACGCGCCTGGGAGTCCCAGGCTCACGTCGTCGTCCACGCACCAGCCGAGGTCCTGGTCGAAGGCATGGGCGCTAAAGAACATCGAGCTCACATCCGTGACGCTGTCGACTGCCCAACCACTGATGTCCTGGTTGAAGGCCGAGGCGTGTCCGAACATCGCGACCATCGTTGTGACGCCAGAGATGTCCCACGCGCCGATGTCCTCGTTGAAGGACTCAGCGGCCGTGTTGCAATTACTCCATCCAAGACCAGGTGACACCCCGCAAAACAAATACGACATGTCCGTCACCCCCGATGTCTCCCACGTCGAGATGTGGCCGTACGTCGCCTCGGCAGCGGCGCTGTCCGAGAGCCAGAGGTCGACGGCCGTCCGGATGGTGGCGTCGCCCATCGGTTTGCCGCCACAGCTTAGAGCAGCAGTGTGAAGGACACCGCACGACGTCGACTCGCACTGGGTCTCGGAGAACGCCCAGTTCAGGTCCACGCCGTCGTTCACGCACCAGCCGAGGTCCTGATCGAAGGACGAAGCGCCATAGAACATCGAGCTCATATCCGTGACGCTGTCGACCGCCCAACCACCGAGGTCCTGGTCGAAGGCCGTGGCGTAGAGGAACATGAAGGTCATGCTCTCGACGCTGTGGACCGCCCAACCACCGATGTCCTGGTTAAAGGCCGAGGCGTAGTAGAACATGTACTCCATCGTCGTGACGCCAGAGGTGTCCCACGCGCCGATGTCCTCGTTGAAGGACGCCGCCGAGACGCAGTCGTCCCACCACGAATCGCCTTCCATCCAATCCTGCCGCCCGCAAAACAACCACGACATGTCCGTCACCCCGCCCGTCGCCCAGGTAGAAATGTGGCCGTATGTCGTCTCGGCGCCGCTGCGGTCGGCAAACCAAGCCGCGACGGCCGTTCTGATGGTGCTGTCGTCCATGACGTAGCGCGTGAGCTTGCGCCGAGAGGCCTTGGCCGGCCCGGCCGCGGCGAGGCTCGCCGTGGAGGCCAGCAGCGCGCCGACGACGCGCGCGCGCCGGGCCAAGCACCGGGTGGCAGAGCGCGCCATGAAACGACGGAAATAGCTTGCGGGGCTGCGAAAGCGCCGTGGCTTCTCTCTGGCGGATGCGGGCGGGCTGCCCTGCGCGCCTCGCGGGCTGGCGTTGCGTAATAGCGCCACAGAAGCTGCGGAGCCCTAGTGTCTTACGGCCGCTAGCGTTTTATGGCAGCGCAAACTCCGCCCACTAGTCCTATCCTAGCACCGTGACAATCATATCGACGCTACCGCACCGCGATCACCGCGACGAAACCAACACAACCGCTTACCCGGGCGGCGGCCCCGCGCGCCGCTGCTTCGCGCGGTCCGCCGCGAACGACTCCAAGAGGTCGTCCTGCTCCGTGCGGCGCACGGGGACACTATAGGACGGCTGGGAAGCGGCCGGCCGCGCCCGGATCAGGTCGCCCGCCGAGTACGTCTTGTAGTTGGCCCGCGGGTCGTCCTTCGCTTTATGGGTCAGATCAAATAACGCCGCGTTCTTGCGCTGCGGGAAGCCGTCCTTGAGCTCGTAGCGCCAGTCTTGGGCCGGCGCGACCTTACCTCTCTTTTTGACAGGAGGAGGCTTCTCCCGCCGCAGGGCCTCGTATAAAAACATGCCAAGGTTCCAGCACAGCGCCACGGGCACCATCACTAATAAAGACAGGAATCCCAGGAAGTAGCCGGTCGCCGTCGCGCACCAGAACTTGCGCGCCATCTCCCGGTCTATCCTCCGTTCATCCCTGAGAGCGCGCGTGTCGCGCATGAGGAGCTCCATCCTCGTTAATTCGCGAGGCGGTCTCCCATCAAAAAAACGTTTCCCGAAGTCCGCGGCGCGCGGAGATACTACTTTCCTTTTCGGCGGGGCTAACCCCGCGTTCTGCGTCTCCATGTCCTCCATGATGTCGTCGGCGGCGAGGTCGGCCGTCTCCTGCACCAAGGCATCGAGGTCCATGCCGGGGATGTCGATCAAATCTCCTACGGTCGCTTGCGTGGTCAGCGTGACCTGGGCTTTTGTTCGTTTGGGGCTCTTGGCCGTGAGGCTCCGGGCCGACTTCGTCGTGACGGAGGCCATGGTCGCGTGCGCTCCGTTGTCCGCGGGCCGTGGGTTCGCGGGCCGGCAGCCCTTCACAATTCACAAGGTGGGCAGTTTGTGGGGCGGGCAGCCCGCGCGTCGCGAGGCGGTCGGCGGTCGCAGGCGTCGCTTCGTCGCGTGGCGGGCCCGAAGAGGTCGGGCGCTGGCACAGCGCTGCCCGCCGGGTTTGCCAAGCTTGCTAGTGTGTTACATGCCGCTAGCAACTTTTTACTTGTAGTTCACTTATACACATCTAGTTCTTCTCGAGCTTGCCGCGCTTGGCTGGCTTCTCGGGCGACGCGTCGTCGTCCGCGTCGACGTCGACGGCGTGGCGCTTGAGTTCCTCGTCGCGCTCCTCCCGCGTCTTCGTGCCCGTGATAATGACGTCGGAGGAGAGCGTGCGGATCTTGGTGCGTGGCGAGTAGGAGGGAGACCAGCCGAAGCCACCATATTGACTGTAAGCCACCGCGTACTCCGTGTCGGCCGACAGGCCGGACACGACGAAGCCTTTATAGCAAGCAGCACGTGGTGACGCCGTCGCACCAGCAGTTCCTAAAGGAACGAGTTTGTTGCCGCTTCCGTGGTCGACTGCCAGCTCAATTCCAGTGTCCACCGCTACGAAAGTGACGGTTGCATGAGTACAGGTTGGCAGCACCGCGCAGAACACGCGCGCCGAGTCAGAGGAGATTTGGTCCACGACCGGCGCAGACGGCACCGGCGGCAAGAAGTCTCGGAGCTTCATCGGCTTGCTCGGTGGCGACCATGGACCCCAGCCGATGCCATTGTGCCCATTTACCTTCACCGTGTAAGATATCTGACTTGACAGGCGTTTGACGACAATAGTTTTGCCGCCCGTCATGGCGAACGTATTTCCAGTAACGTCACCCTTTCTCATCAGAGTACACGTATCACAAGCGACACGTCGCCCCACGGACGCTCGATCTTCGTAAAAGCAAACGTCGCCAGAAGCGCAGCCCTGCGGAACCGCAAAATGGACCCTCATTTCTGTGCTGGAGACTGGCTCGAGCAGCGGCGCGCCACAAGCCACAGGCACCGCGCGCACGAGCGGCGCGCTGCGGGGCGACGTTGGGCCCCAGTCGAAATCGTCGGCTCGGCGAAAGGCCACCGTCGCCTCGAAGGTCCCACCTCCCAGGCCCGTGGCGATGAGGCTCTTGCGCGCCGGCGTCCCGCTTTCCTCCGGCTCTTTCAAAGTGACCGCCCGTCCTTTTTCACCGGCGGGGAGGACTGTCTTCGACGCCGCATCGTACATGCGCGTTGCGCCGCCAGCCTCGTGCAGGTGGATGGCCGCGTGCGTTTCACCGTTGGTCGGCACGGCGAAGTCGATGCGCACCTCCTGGGGCTTGTCTGTGGCACTCAGCGTCGGCGCCGCGGGCTGCTGCGCCATAGGTGAGCCGATCTCTGCCTCGCCTTGTCCGTAATCAGCGCTGCACCGACCACTTCCAGGGGCTGCAGAAACGTGCCAAGGAATCTCCTGTGCTGCAGCGCCCTCTCTATCTCGAGAACTGCGGCAGGATGCGAGAGCTTTGATTCCCAGAGCGCTCGAGCGCGGCGTCGCTAGCGGCGAGTAAGACACTAGAAAGCACGGCACCCTTTGGCTTTTTAGCTTTTGTGGACGCTTTGGAACACGCCTGGCAATTTGCCAGCGCTCGTTTCGACGCCTGCCCGAACCGCTCTCGACGCCTGCGCGCCGCGCGCGGCGCGCAGCCTGCACATTCAAAGAGCCAAAACATGCGCACGCGCCCGCGCCGCACGAAGGTCGCCGAGGACAAGGCCCAGCAGCGGCGGCAACGGCGCGACGAGCGCGCGGCGCGGCGCCGCCGCCGACAGCAAGGGAGCGACGACGAGGACGACGACGAGGCGCTCGCGCGACGCCTGCAGCGCCAATACGACGACGAAGCTCGAGGCCGCCGCCGCTCGAAGAAGAGAAGGCGGTCCGAGGAGGACACGGGCCTCGCGCGGAAGCCGCCGACGCCACGTCGAAGCGAAGTGACGCGACGAGAAAGTTTTGGAGTGAGACTCAAGCTGAACGGCGAGACCTCCGAGAAACTCATCGCGAGCCCGCCGAAGCGACCCGTCGTCCCGCTCCCCACGCCGCCGAAGGAGGGCCTCACCCCAGATTTAGATCTCGAGCCCTGGAAGGTTGATGGGTGGGACGCGCTCTGCTTGGTGTGCGGCGACGGCGGCGACGTGGCCTGCTGCGACGGCTGCCCCGCGGTGATTCACCCGGCGTGTGCGGGACTGGCGAAGATGCCCGAGGAAGACGAGCCCTTCTTCTGTCGCACGTGTGAGAAGGATCGGTGCGGGTGCTGTTTGGAGGGGCCGATCCGCAAAGAAGATCATGTGGTGTGTGGGGAGGAGCGAGCTTCCATGCGGGCTCTCGGTTGTGGCCGGACCTTCCACTTGTCGTGTGTGGAACTGGAGAAGGTTCCCGAGGGCGACTGGCTCTGCGCGTCGTGCGGACTCAGCGTCTGTCGATTCGCGTCGACGGCGTCTGCGCGCGCCGTCGGGACCGCCACACCATCGTCATGACGACGTTCCTCGCTCCTCGCCGCGCGCGAGTCGCCTCGCGACCGAATCGGTCACACGCAGGTGCCAAGAAGAGGACGAGGAGCGGGAATTGGAGGTTCCGCGGCGGGAACCGGACGCCGAGCTTCTGTTGGACGCGGAGGACTACTTGAAACTGCAGCAGCGGCGGTTGCGAGCTGGGGATAGAAGAGGGGCGGCTCGGTGCTACCTGGAGGCGCGCAAGAGTCAACTGAGGGCCCACTCGCAATCCGTTGAAAAAGGAGCGCCGCCGCGGGTGAGGTTGGTGTCATATTCCACGAAACGGCGAGGCCGGGCCAACGCGCCCTGGGCGCGGCGCATCTTCGACGCCACTAGCTTAGATCATCCGGCGTTCTCGGCGACGCCGGAGAATCGGGCGGCCATGATGATGGGTATACTGCCTTCTCGCCGGTACGATCGCGGCGCCTTCACGCCATCGACGCGACTCGTGTCCATCAGGGGCCGTTCGCAGGTACGCGGCGGGCTGGTCCCACGAGGACGTGGCGCGGGCGCGGTCGTCGACGCCTTCTCTCGTGGCGGAGCCGGAGCCGGTGCAGCTGCGGAACCGCGAAGTGGTCCGGAAGGCTCCCCGTTCAAGAGTGGACGACATTAATGAGAGGAAGACGTTGCGCAAGAAGCAGCGGTGCGACGAGTTTTTACAACAGAATCGGAGTCAATCTGGTGGGCGGGACCTGGACGGCCGCGACGAGGAAGTTAGAGCGTTGATCCGCAAAGATTGGAAGCTGCGAGCGATCATCGACGAGTCGAGGCGCGAGATCCAGGCGTATCGTGGGCGCGTCGTCACGTTAGCTTATGGCGACTTATTGGGCCAGTTGCGGGCCGTGGCCTGCGTCGAGGAGGTCGCGTCAGTCTTGCGAAGGGAGTTCGGCGAGGCCGTCTCCGTCGACGCGATCCACTTAGATCTCAAAACGACGTTCAGTAGGTACTAATAACACACACTAGTTAGTCCCCGAAGCTCTGGCGCGCCACCATGCCCGCGTAGACGCCGCCGCTCTCGACAAGTTCAGAATGAGTACCCGCCTCGACGACAGTACCGCGCTCGAGCACGTAGATGCGGTCGCAGGCCTTGATCGTCGCGAGGCGGTGCGCGACGATCAGTAAAGAACAGTCCAGGCGGTCGAGCGTCCGCTGGACGAGCGCCTCGCTCCGCGCGTCGAGCGCTGACGACGGCTCGTCGAGCACAATTATTGATGGGTCCCGCAACAAGGCCCGCGCTATAGCAATACGCTGCCGCTGGCCGCCGCTGAGCAAGGTACCCGCGGCGCCCGCGGCCGTCTCGAGACCTTGGGGAAGGCGCGCGGCGACCTCGTCGAGGCCGGCCGCGGCGCAGGCGCGTTCGACCTTCTCGTCGGCCGCGCGGGGATCGTCTTTCGTAAGACCGAAGCGGACGTTGTCTCTGATACTGCCGGAGAACAGCGCCGGGTCCTGCTCGACGGACGCTACCCTCCTGGCGAGGTCCGCCTGGGGAATGTCGCGCACGTCGACGCCGTCGAGGCGCACGCGGCCGGAGGTCGCGCCGTACTGCCGCAACAGAAGTTTCGTGAGCGTGCTCTTGCCGGAGCCCGAGGCGCCCACGAGCGCGACGCGTTCGCCCGGGTCCACGCGCACGCTGACGCCGCGGAGCACCTGGGACTCGTTGCGCGCCGGGTAGGCAAAGCGTATATCATCAAACTCGACGCGCCCTTCCGACGGCGACGCGGGCGCGTCATGAGCGTCGAGCGCCGAGGGCGGAGCTTTTCCGTCCCACACGGGCTCGCGGCGCGCGAGCTCGAAGGCCGCCGCGCCGGCGCCGAGCGCGTCCTCGACCCGGGCGAGCTGGTCGCCAACATCAAAAGCGGCCCCGTTGACGAACGCGGCGTAGAACGCGAACCGCACCATGGCGTCCGGCGCGAGCGCGCCGCTGGCGACCCGCTTCGCGCCGAGTGCCATCGTCGCCACCGCCGCCAGCCCCTTGCAGCCGCCGAGCGCGACGCGCGAGAGGCCGTAGACGAGGCCCGCGCGGTCCTGAACTTGCTCAAGCCGCGCAATTTGGCGCTCGTATGCACCGTACAGCGCCGGCTCCGCGCCGCAGGCCCGCGCGACGCGCACGTTGCGCATGGCCTCGTCCGCCGTCGACGCCGTCGCCGCGAGGCGGTCGGACGTCTCTCTGGAGTACTTCCGGGAGAGTCGGCCGTAGGCGTCCGTGAGGAAGGATGCGAGCGCCATGCCACACAAGCTAAGCGCGGCGAGCGGCGGATCGAGCGCCACCAGGTAGACGCATCCCCCAATTGCTTGCAGCGTCTGGCGCGCGATGATGTTCAGATTGAACGACACGACATCCGAAACCTTGGCCGCGTCGCCAGACAACCGCGACGCGAGCTCGCCCGTACTTGTAGAGTCGAAGAAGGCAATATCCTGGCGCAGCATGGCGCCGAAGAGCGCCAACCTTAAACGGGTGACGACGCGCGTGCCCGCGAGCCAGAAGAGGCCTCCTCTGACACCTGTGAAAGTGGCAGACGCGAGGCTCGCTATCGACAACCCCCAGAGCTGCGCGCGCACACGAGCAGCGTCCTTGGCGACGACGGCCGTGAGCGCTCCCGACGAGTAGTGGGGAACGGCGACGTCTGCGAGTGCTGCTCCTGTGAGTGCCACAGAAGCGGCGCCGAGGAGCGGCCAGTCCTTCCTTACGAGCTCTCTCAGTTGCGCCCATTGCGCCTTCGAGGCGCGCGGCGCGGGGGCGACGGCCTCGTCGGCATAGCGCACGTGCCGCTGGCGTCTCAAAGGAGGTTGCTGCGACGCATGTTTCAGTGACCTATGCCGTCTGTGCAGCGCTGGCAGCTGCAAGGCTGCTGCCACTCTCACTGTCAGGAGAGCAACCAGGCATGCATGCATCGTTGCGCTGCTTGTTGGCCGCAGTGGTGCTTTCGCGATGAGTTTGCGTTGCCAGCGATCGCTTCATGCAATGCAAGAGCGCACGGTGTTGCCAGCTCTGCGCACGCACAGGCCACGGCGCTAGCGATTTGTGCACACACTAGCCCTCCGTGTGCGCCGTGTGCGCGCGAAATAAAAATCGCTCCGTTTCACACGTGGGGCTACGAGGGGTGTCCTTGGACCTCGAACGACTGCGCGCAGGCTTCACACACGGAAAAAAACGCGCGCGCGCATGATTTTAGCCAAAAGCGCTGCGATGCCTACGATCGGTCACGGCCGCCCGTAAACGCCGCGCGGACTCATTTCGCGCCACGGGACAGTTGCCGACCATACATACAACACGTCCGTTGCGCCAGCATGACTTATAACACTCTTTAGGACTCGCACACACCCATGCGCCGAGACGCGTTTTCGCACAAGTGCAGTGCGCGGATGAAAACCAGCCACTGATCGCTATGACGCGCTATGGAGTCGCATCGCTCGCTATACGTGATCATGGCAACTGTGGTGCTCCGCCAAACTGGCGGAATCGATCGTCGCGGCTCGTGCGGTCGTCGGGTGGCCGTCCGCGAATGCGCGACCCGGCTCCCGTCCGCTCTAGGCCGCTAGGGAGGCCCCTATGGGCGCGTCGGGTTGGGCTGTAGGGCGGCGTTTGTTCCTTTCTGGGGCCGGGAGTGGCCAGTAGGTCCCATAGAAAGAGTCCCTGAGAAACCCGTTTAGTATATTTAAGAAATTGAATTTTAGGAAACAAAGGCGCTAAATGCCCCGACAGGCGGTTTCCGAGCCGATAGAAGCGCTCGCGACGCTCCACGAGTGCTGTGCGACCGCGCGCGTAGCGCGCATCCATCTGTTCGGCACTTTTGCGATTGCGCGCGTTCGTTCTCGACTCGATGCGCCGGGCCGGCACGGCTCACAAAATCCTTTGAAGTCGCGTCAGAGGTTTCGCTGCGTCCCAGAACTCACGCGAAACGATGCCGTGGGCCTCAAAGTTCGCAAAAACGGAAGGGCGTGAAAAATTGCATCTCGGCGATTCTCGGCGAACGCGTCTTTCGCGCGCCGCGCGCGTCTAAAGCCATTTAGAGCTAGAATTTTTGGCGTCGCGGTGCCCTCGGATGTCTGGCAGCTGCTGCGCGCGGTTGCGGCGCGCGAACGTAGAGTTCGCGGCCGTCGAAAGGCCTCGAAGGCAGTCGTTCCAAAATCCGTCCAAATCGCTAGCGCCGTGGCCTGTGCGGCTGCACATGAGGCCTGTGCTGCACACGCAAAAACACGGCTGGCGGCTCCGCTGCGCAGCTTCGCTGCTCCGCTTCGCTCGCCAACCGTGTTTTTGCGTGTGCAGCACATGGCCTCATGTGCAGCCCGCTTGCTTGCAGCATCCCTAGTGTCTTACCGGCCGCTAGGGATGTACTCCACCAGCACGGATCTACCGGGAGTGAAGCGTGGCGATTGTCAAGGGTCGGGCCGAGTGTCTACTGGCTTTGTTGGAGTGTACGGTGCCGAACGCGTCGCCGCGGTCCAAGGTCGCCTGCGGGAAGTCGCGGGACAAGTTGATTGAACGGGCGAACGTTGCACATTGTTCGGGGGGGTTTGCCGAGGCGGTTCTGCTTAGAAGGAGGTACGCTGTTATGAAAGAAGCGGCCCGCGCCCGCCGCCGATGAATCGGCGACGCGCGGTGTCTCCCCCCCAGGGGCTCCGCCCACTAGTCCTAGCACCGTAACATCGACTTCAACCAGCACGCCGTCGCCGCGATAATTACGGTATCACGCTTACACAGGGGGGGGAGGTCGACTAGATAGTAGCCAGCTTCGTCGCGAACGAGCTGACGGCCACCGCGAAGGCCTCGGCCGGACTAAACGGGTGCTTCACGTCCAAGTGGAAGCTGTCCGCCGACCACCGGCCAAAGAGCAGCTTGCACTTCTGCTCGGCGTGCGGGTCGTTGGGAACAGTGGGCTCGTCCGCGTCGACCAGTTGGAAGTTGCGCACACTTGCTAATCGAGCCCTTCCGAAGAAATCGAGGCAGAAGCCCTGCAGGCGCGGGTTGTACTCCGGCGCCCGGCTCCGCAGATTTATTGAATTGCGTCTGACGCGCATCGCTCTAGGTCGGTTGGCCAATCGATTGACGGCGTAGTCCACATGAGTACGAATATCTCCGCTCTTGACCGTCCAGCGCGTGCCCAGGACGTTCCTCGTTAATGTGGCTAGCACCGTGTCGCCTTGTAACACCTCGTACTTCGAGGCCATGCGGCCCGAAGACGCTCGCGACGAGGCTCGCGCGACGAGTAAAGCGTCCCTCCCACCGTGGCCCTGGACGCGCAGAGCTAGCAACGGAGCACCTCGCGCGCGGCCGCTCTTCCGGTCTAGAACACTGACGACACATCTTAATGGAGGAGCATCTTCCGCCAATGGTGTGGCGCAGAAGAGTGCAGGATCCGTCTCTAGAGCTGTTCTCGCTCGCACCGGCAGGAGTAGTCCTAACACGGACGCTTCGCTGAGCGGCGCGCGACACAAAGGACAGGTGGTAGAAGACGGCGGACTCGGCGGGCTCGACGGCTCCGCCGTGACGTTGTTCTGTTGAACATCAGCTTGATTTTCGAGCGACCGGGCTCTTCTCGCAGCGGCCCGCCTTGCGGCAAAGGCGTTCGCCGGTTGATCGTCAGAACCTCTCCGAGCCGCCCTTTGAGCGCAGGCCCCGACCCAGGTCCGCAAGCAAGATTCATGAACTCTCGTCGGTTGGTCCAAGTTCCTTTGGCACGCGCAGGGCACCGCGACGCCTGGATTGTCCGAAGAATCGTCTAGAGCTTCCAAACAGATGACACACGTCGGCGCGTCGAGGTCGGTCAACACGGGAGGCGGCGGCGGCGTGGAGGTCGGTTCTACCGCCGTCGGGCGGGTGATACTCGGACCGATTCTTATCTCGCCCTCCGAGGACGCCAATAAACCGTTGTCGGAGCCGCAGGGGCTCAGGGGCTCTTCATTCTCATCATCGTAGTCCGTGGCGGGGGACAGCGGCGCGTCGGGAAAATTGTTGTCCTCAAGGTTAAGGTTACCAACACTGGCGGCGACGGCGTCGTCGCCCGCCGCGCGCTGGGTTTCGACCAGCGCGGACATGCCTTCGGGCGCTGCGGCGCTGGGCTGGCGGCTGTAATTTGTTGGTGATGCGCTGTCGGCTGTGCGGAGTGCTCTTGCCTTTGCTTGTTGTGAGACGACTTGCTTTTTTGCCACCCCTCGGTACCGCCGTCGGCCTTCCGTGAGCCTTGGTGGGCCCTCGGGACGGGTATTTCGTTTTTTTGGGCTAAATCGCTAGCTCTATACATACTAGACTGGCTGGGCTGCGAGATCGAATTGGATTTGGCGCCCGTGCTGCCTCTGCTAGGCAATTAGACCGCTCACAGCACTCCTCCAGGCCATACCTCCATCGGTGTGCAGCCACAGCAGCCATGATCCTGCGGCTACCCTGCCTCGCTGCCTTGCTCGCCGCAGAGGCATTACAAGCACCTCAAAATGCGCACATAGCGATCACCGGCCCGGCGCCGCTCGCCAAGGCCGTCGGCGCGAAGTGCGTCGAGGCCGGCGCCAGATTCTCGATCGTCGTCGACGCGTCCTCGAGGCAAGCGGTGCGGGACGTCCTCGAGGGCAAGCCGCCGGTGACGCACGTCTGCGACGGCGGCTCACGGTCCGCGGCGGACGTGTCGCCCTTATTCCTGGAGTGCTGCGGCGCGGATCTGGTGCGATGGTGCTCATTGGCGGGCAGCGACGCGGCGAGCGTCGTCCGGGATCAATTGGGCCCGGACGTGGCGCGCGCCGTGGCTCTTGGGGATGACGTCGACGCGGCGGCGGGCGGTTTTTTGGCGGCGGCGCTCGGCGACGGCGCACCGGAGCCGGCACCAGAGCCGGAGCCGGAGCCGGAGCCTGAGCCGGCGCCCGCGCCCGCTCCGGTGGCGGCCGCCCCGGTGACCGCGGCCGCGCCGGCACCGGCACCGGCGCCCGCCCCGGCACCGGCACCCGCGCCCGCTACGGCGCCGGCGCCGGCCGCGCCCGCGCCCGCAGAAAAGCCGCGCAAGCGCGACTACGTCAAGCTCAAGGTCGCCGAGCTCAAGGATTTGTTGAGGGGCCGCGGCCTCAAGGTGTCGGGCAAGAAAGCGGAGCTCGTCGAGCGCCTCGAGGCGTCTGAGGAGGCCTAGTTCTAGTGACGTAAATTGGGCTTTGACCTTCACTGGCATCTGTCGAGTATACACGCACGACTCCCCCGCGCCGAGAAATTAGGGTTAACCCGAATTTACGTCGCAAACGTGTTAGCGGCTCGGGACTCGGAGGCGTGGTCTAAACGCGACAGCACTGGCATATCCATCCGATTCTTTATACTACTCAGCCCGGTGCGGGGAGCAGCAGCGAGTCTCAACCGCCGAGGCGGACGCCGAAGTCGTACCACGAGACGACGCCCGAGGCGTCGCAGGTCGCCCGCCACGCGCCGTTCGCCGTTTGAGCAGAAACGCCGGCCGGGTTCAGCCGCGCGATCTGGAGGCTCAGGGCCGTCGCGAAGGCGAGCCAGCCGAGGTACGGCGCGAGGAGAAGGGCGGCGCCGGCCTCGGCGAAGCTTGGCAGAGCCGCCACGAGCGTAATGACGAGGCCCACGTTCAGGACGACGGCCGCTTTTAACTGCCGAAACTTGAAGAAGAGCGGCGCCCAGCACATGTTGAGGGCGTAGTGGACCCACGCGACCGGCGGCAGCCCTCCCGCCGCCGCTCTTCTGGATGCGGCCAGACCGATCAGAAAGTAGTTCACGCGCCATATCGGCGGGAACCACTTGCGCGGCGGCGCCCAGGCCGGCCGCCGGAAGTTCGTATCTCCGTTATCGTACCAGTCGTCCATCGCTTTTGTTACAATTGGCTTCCACGCGATGCCCGTGAGGCACGCGCCCGCGACGTACGCGGGCGCCGGGGCGGCGTGCAACTTCAATAATCGCCGAGCCGTGCGCGGCGGCTGCAGCGCGCTCGCCGCCGCGAGGACGAGCAGCCCGGCCTTCATTGGACGGACGTTTTGTACGGAGAGCCGAGTTTGCTCTCCGACCTCCTGTGATGTCTGCAGGCAATGGTATCGCTCCAAGCGTTGGCTGGCCGCGTACCGCGTGTCACGCGAAGCTCCACACGCGCGCGCGGTCCAGCAAGTGATTTATGAGGCGCAGGAGCCGCGAGAGCGCGAGCGCGTGTCGGATTTACGGAACGGGTTTTGACCTCGTGATTCCTCCGCGCGGCGGTCGGCCGCGTCTTATTTCGGACCGACTGGATTACCGTGCGGCGCGCAGGCCGGTCAGCCAGGGCTCGCTCGTGGTCCTCTCTTTACTCATACAGGTGACGGTGACACGATTCGGCCTGGGCATGTGGCAAACGATTACAATCCTCCAGTGCCCCCCCAGGCAGGCCCTGCTCCCAGACCTGACGGTGACGACGTGACGCCGGACCCGGGCCTTTAGAGGCTTGGTTCTAGTGCGTCCATCCCCCCGGGACTAGGCTAGCGTCCCCAAAACCGAGTAAGCTTCTACTACTATTCCTCCGCGCGTCTTGAAGAGGAGAGGGCGGGTTTTACAAGCAAGTCTTAGAATAACCGCCTACTTCTGCGTCTCGGCCTTGACTTCCGCCGCGAGCCGCGCGCCGGCGTCCTGGAGCTCCTTGACGAGGTCGTCGACGCCCGCGTTCGACGCCGTCCCGCCGGAGGTGGCCGGCGTGAAGTCGCTCGCACCGGCGACGGGCGCGGCCGCCGAGTCGACCTTGGCGTCGAAGATGCCCTTGGCCTCGGCCGCGAGGGCGTCGATCTTCGCGTCTACCTGAGCGCTGTCCATGGCGGACCGGGCGACATTTGACACGGCGTGCCTCGGCGCCGTGAAGGCGAGGGCCGGGGCGGCGAGCAACGCGATGGAGAGCTTCATGTTTGGTGCTGCGAGGGGGCGTGGGCGTTGGCGCGTTGTGTTCGTGGATCGATGCGCTAGCTCTCGGGGGTCTATCCATCGTTTTCGCGCTCGCGAGGCCGCCGCTTGCGACGTGGGCCAACGACTGCGGCGTCGCGCTCGGCTGCAGCCTCGGCGCGTGGGTCGGCCAATGTGCCGCTAGGCGATTTTGCAGCCTCTCAGCCCGTTGTGCGGCGATTGCAATCGCGTTTCGTGCGTAAGTCGTCTCCGTGGTGCTACCGATGCGTGCCGTAGCTCTCGGCACCAGTGTGGACGCGGGGGTGCGCCAAAATCCACACTTTTTGCGACATGATCGAGGACGTGGGCAATACCGTGCGGGGTATATGTGAAGCAACAGACGCGAGAAATGTCGCGAAACCACCCCCCACACGTCTCTACAACACCGGCGACGCCGGGGCGCGGCGCCGCGTGCTTTATGGAAGTCCCCATCTCCGGCAACAGCTGAGACGCAGTGCGAGTTCGAATATTTGAGCCCGAGGCAGCCCGCAGTGACGCGAATCAATAAAGCGAGGCAGCCCAAACGGCCCGCCGCGTCCTCCGGTCCCCGCGCCGGCTTCTGGAAGCGTTTCGACCGGCTGCGCGGCAACCAAACTTTTGGCCTGACTGGAAACTGGCCCATAGACCGGCCGGAGCATGGCCAGCGCGGCGTCTCCACCCAGCGCGACGCCGACGGGTCACGACATGACGCCGCGCGACGCCAAGCGGTTGAGGGTGGCGTTCGACGGCACCCCCGAGAGGCGCCGCGCGCGCGCGCCGGTCGTGTCGACGCTGCGGCGGCCGCTGCGGCGCCAGAACGCCGTGGTGGTGGAGGAGCCCGATTCAGGAGCCGCCGCGGTAGCCGCCGCGATCGAAGCCGCCGCCGGCGACGAGGCGACGTAGGCCGCGCGGCCGCGGCACCGTGGGGCTCTACGTAGCGCCGCCGCGGCACACAATTCGAAGAAGAAGAAGACCTAAGCTTAACACTAATTTACGCGCCGCGCGAGCGCCTCGGCGGCGTCGAGGGCCTCCTTCAGAGCCTTCGGCGTCCGTCCAGGACAAGGCGCGCCCAGCGCGTGGACCAGACCAGACGGCGTCGCTAACGTACAGGCGCACACGACGCGGCAGCCCGTCGACGAAGCGATGGCCGACAGCGATGATAGTTGAGACGCTTCGACGATGAGCGACGCGGCGCGACCGGCAAATAAATCTGCGGCCACCGCGTCCAGTGTCCCTCTCCTTCTAGCAAAGGCCGCCCCGAAGAACAACAGGGTCTGGTACTCCGTAATGCCGTGGGGCGCCGGCACGACGACGCCGTCCGGGACCACATCGAAAAGATCCTCATGTAGAGAGCATAGGGCTAAATGACTCCAAGAGTTACCAATGGAGTCGCGTATGAGCACGAGGCACGGCTCCTGCTGTCTCAAACTAGCGGGGTCCTCGATGATGATTCTCGTACAAGACTCTTCGTGTGTTTTTGCGACGTGGCTCCACCACACATCTCTCAGTTTTCGTTTTATGATATCCCTTTTGAGATACACGCCGATGCTAATGAAGAGGCATACGAGCAAAGCGAGCAGGGGCTTCACGAAAAGGACCAGTACCGACACTAAAGGCAATGAGAGGGAGAGGGGCGCCTCCGCCTTCAGCGAAGTACACTGTGCTCGTTTCGGCACTTGTAAGGAACCATCCACCAAGGAAGCGCGCGCGATCACGGAACCGTCGACGCGGTCCCGTTTCCTGGACGCGACGCGCCGCAGATCCGTCGTTTGTCGGAGCGCGTCGCGTCGCGACAAAGCTAAGCGCGCGCCGTCGACCACTTCACATCGAGGGCCCGCCCGGCCGCCCCTTCGCAAGACACGGACCAGAGCCTCCAGAGTTAATTCATCATCAGTCAGGAGCTCGGGGTCCAGGGCCACACCATACGCGTTCTCAATCTCCGTGCAGAGATGTAAACCCTCCATGCTGCCCAGTCCGAGTTGTGTCAGTGACCCCTCGACGCGGTCGACCTTGGCGACCTTGGCGGCGATATTCTGACACGTCCGGAGCACGTCTTCATCGGATGCCGCGTCGAGCGTGGCTCGCAATCGAGCCCTTTCTTCTGTAGATAAAGCCTTCTCGCACGTGTTCTTCTCGGACACTTCGGACGCGTACAGCACCGTAAAAACGCCCTGTTCGAGCGCGTCGCGGCAGGCCTGCGCGGAGCGTCGCGGTCGCTCGACTACGCCTCGTCTGATGGACACGAGTCGCCTCGATGGCGTGAAGGGACGCCGCGAGCGCGCCCTTCGGGCCACTTTGCCCGACGACGTCTTTATGAGCTCCCGCTGCGACACGACCGTCGCCTTACCGATTGCTATACCGTGCGCCCTCTGCACAGCTGATCTAGCAACAGCACAAGCGTCCGCGAGGTCCGGACAATTTTTGCGAGCTTCGCAGATAATCTGGACGCGGTCTTTCCCTAAGGGAACGACGGCCGAACAGCCCGGCCGGAACGTCGCCCGCGCGGCGCGCTCCCACGTCGCCTCGAGGTCCTGGGGGTAGTGGTTCTTGCCCCTGATGATCAGTAGATCTTTGGACCGGCCGCAGACGAAGAGGTCGCCTTGTTTATCAATAAACCCTAAGTCTCCAGTTCTCAACCAACCTTCCCGCGCCACGGCGCCGTCCGCATCCACAGCGACGGGGCCTTCTCCCTCCAAAAAGCCCCCGAAGGTCGCCGCGCTGCTCTCGACGGCGCGCCAGTAGCCTCGGGCCCGCGACGGACTTCGGACCCAGATCTCGCCCACGCCCGTGCAACGCTTCTTATCTCGCACGATGGCCAGCTCGACGTCGTCGCATTTACCGCACCCGAAGAGCACAGTCCCTTGTCCCGGAACAATTTGATCACTGGCAAGAGCTGATGCATCAAATTCTCTTCGTTTCGGCGCCGTCGCGCGACACACGAACACCGTGTGCTCGGCGAGGCCGTAGGTCGCCACCACCGCGTCCTCGCGCAAGCCATGACCGGCGAAAGCACTACAAAAAGCGTCCACGTCGGCCGCTCGGATCGGTTCCGCGCCGTTCGTCGCATGCCGCAAACAGGACAAATCCACCCGCATTCGTAAGGGAGACGACAGGAACTTGCGCGCGGCGAGGCCGAAGGCGAAGCTAGGCGCTTGCGTATGTGTTGCTCCTCTATCTGATAAGTTGCGGAGCCAACTTGTAGGGTCCCGGACAAAGTCCAAGGGCGACGAGTGGTAGCCTCTTCCGCCACAATACAAGGTCCCCAGCAAAGACCCGACGAGGCCCATGTCGTGGTACTGCGGCAGCCAGCTTACACATACAGTGTTTTCGTCGGAGGCGAGTGCTGTTGTGATGACCCGGAGGTTGTGCGCTAAGTTAGTACGGCCTATCATGACGCCCTTGGGTGTTGATGTCGAACCGGACGTGTACTGGAGGAAGGCGAGTGCTGGCGGTGGTCTCACAGGTGGTAGCGGTGCTGAATTGATGGAATCGGTGGCCAGCCACCGCACGCCGAGCGTGTCTTCCCTCAGCAACGTTCGTCCTCTCAGATAGGCAGCTGTCGTGAGGACTATTGAAGCGCCGGACGCGCTCACGATGCTCTCGAAGTGGCGCGCGGTCCTAGCTTCCCTATTACGCGGGTCCGGCGGGTAGCACGGCGCCGCCGCCATTCCAGCAAACAGGCACCCGTAGAAGGCCACGAGGAAATCGAGGCCCGGAGGGTAGCAGAGGATGGCGACGTCGACGCCTTGCAGTTGCGACGCTACAGCACCGGCAGCGTCATACAAGGCTCGCAGCGTGTACTCGTCTTTAACAGTCCCGTCGCTCCGGAGCCAGGTGTGGACGACGTGTTGCGGCTTGGTGGCGCGCCAGCGGTCGAAGACGGTGAGGAGGTCCGGGCTGTCTGCCATGAGTGATGATAGAAGTGGTCGCGGCGACGCCGTGCCGTGCGAGCTGCAGACCGCCACACGGCTTATTGCGCTTGAGACACAGTACTGCCGGAGTCGTGGGGCAACGAACCGCGGCGCCCTTTTGCGAGGCGAACGCTGCGCCGCGTTCCCGCCGCGGCTGCGATCGATGCGCGCCGGAGAGAGAGGGCAGCCCGATGCTCATCAGCCTCTCCCTCATGAGAAAGGCGCGTTTTCGGGTCCGCTACCGAGCCGTCCCGGAGGCGCGTGTTCGGCCGGGAGGCGGTGGCAGGACGGCGTGGCGTTTGAACGCGAAAACCCGCAGCTCTCACTGCCTGCCGGCATAAGGACAAGCAAAACTGAGCGCAGATATTCGGTAGCGCTTCTCAGTTCAAGCGCAGGGTCCCAGTCGTGCGATCTCAGTCGCGCAAGACCGTGAGCGCTTGTTCGCGCCGCGTACGCGCACCGGCGAATACCCAGCAAGGCCCAGAGAGGCCCAGGAAGGCATTCCCAGCCGCCGGCGCGCGCGGACACTCACGCGCTTCGCGGCGTAGAACAAGACGCGCCAGCGCCGCGCGAGCCAAGCAGAGAATCGATAAAAAAACCACAGCGCGACATGGGCTGCTGCCCGTCAAAAAACACGACAGATGTGCCGCCCGTCCAACTGGAGCCCCAACTAGAGCTCGAAGCGTTGCTCGCGGAAGCCGTCCGGGCGGGCCTGCTCGACCGCCGCTCCGCCGCCGAGACGAGACGACGAGTTGAAACGGGAGAAGTCCACGTAACTGAAGTAACAACGACCTGGCGCGAGATCCTGGGCCTGGACGCCGCGGACCACGCCGCCGCCGACGCGCGGGAGCGGGCCTGGCGAGCTCGAGGGGCGCGCTCGTTGAGAAACAGGGTGAGGAGTCGCTCGCTCGTCGCTTCGGCACATGACGACATGTCGAGCGAGGACACGGCCTCCGTCGAATCGAGGGAGGACTCCTCCTCTGACAGTGACGAGGAGGACACGATCGGACGGACGCGAGATGTGAGAAGGTTGTCGTTCCTGCGGAGGCTGACACGAGGCTCCGCCCGATTTGATAACACGGAAGCAGGCTGGGTCGAGTGCAAGGTCGTGGCCTGCGGCCAATTTGGTTTAGGTGTCTTGCAGGACGACGGCGTGACGCCCCTACAAAATTCGCCGAGACTGCAAGCGGGAGACGTCGTGCCAGGTTTAGTGGAGGATTGTCAGGGCGATTTGCTGCGCATCCGGTTGCCGGACGGGAGAGAAGGCTTGGCGCCGCGGCAACGCATGGAGGACGATCGTCTACGGATCTTGATCGCGCCGCGCGCGTCGGTGCCCGATAGACCTGAGAGGAGTAGTGCGGACCTTTCGCAGAAGCTGGCGACGCTACGGGAGGCGTGTGCTTCCCTCGCCATTCCTTGGAGTAGGGGCCACGTCGACGTCAAGTGTAAACGTTCTGCGGTTGCCGAGACGGCTCTGGCCATAGCGTCATCCAGGCCCGCTCGCGACTTTCGGAAGACGTGGAGGTTTGAATTAACTGGTGAGAGGGGCATGGACGCCGGCGGCGTGGCGCGCGAGTGCTGGGCCCATGTCGCGGAGGGGGTCTTCGCCGACGAGTCGCGGTGGCGCCTCGCGGCGACGGACGACGTCGCGCTCCAGATCAGACCGCAGACCGACGCGGCCGAGACGAAGCGCTACTACCGCTCTTGTGGAAGATTAGTCGCGAAGGCGTTGTTTGATGGGCAGGTCCTGCCCCAGTGCCGACTAGCAAGACCGCTCCTCAAACACATTCTAGCACTACCCGTGACCTTCGACGACCTCGAGCTCGTCGATGCGGCATTATATCGATCGTGCAGAGCTGTGGTGGATGAACCGAACGCGGAGCGACTCTGCCTCACGTTCACGTTCCGGGACCGGGACGGCGGCGAGACCGTGGAGCTAGGTCCCAATGGTTCTGAGAGAGACGTGACCGACGCCAACAAGGACGAGTACATCGCACGGTTATTTAGACACGCGGTGCTCGAGCAAATTGCAAGGCCATTGGCCGCGTTCCTGCGCGGGTTCTACGACGTCGTGCCCTTGGCTTGCTTGAGTGCAGCGGCTCTCGATGCGTCGGATCTCGAATTAGCTATTGCTGGGTTGGATCACGTCGATGTGGATGACTGGAAGAGTCACACTACTTACTCCGAAGGCTACTCGGCGACGCATGCGTCCATAAAGCACTTCTGGGCCTACGTCGATTCATTACAATTGGAGCGACGGGCGAAACTTTTACAATATGTCACTGGAACGTCAAGGGTCCCAGCAGGGGGGTTCTCGCGCTTGCAAGGTCGAGATGGGGACGCCAAGGCGTTTGAGTTAAGGTTACGTGCAGGAGGCGATGCGGAACTGCCCTGCGCGCACACGTGCTTCAACCGCCTGGACCTGCCGGCCTACTCGTCTCTGGCGAAGGTGGGGGCAGTGTTCGACGCGCTCTTGGCGGGGGACGTGCTCGGGTTCTCCGACGACTGATGTGGTGTGTAATGTACATTCTTGTCTTCTTAGGCCGTCGCGGCGATGGCCCTTGTCTTGTGGTAGATCTTGTGGTCTTAGGCGCCCTCGGAACGACCCCTCCTCAGTAGTCGTCGAAGTCCGCGAAGGCGTCGTCGTCGGCGTCGACGAGGCCCCCGGTGTACATCGCGAAGCGCCGGCCGAGGCGCCGGCCGCGCGAACAGAAGGCGTGGCGAGCGGAGGTCCACGACGGAGCGGCGGCGGTCGTTTTCATGGCCCGTGAGGTCGATGAACGCGTCGGCGCCGCCGTTGAGCTTGCGCGAGAGCTCCGCCGCGTAACTGGAGTCGCGTCGCCGGCGCCGGGCGGCGGCGTCGTCGAGGGACGCCTGGAGGGCGCGCGCGACGGCCTCGTCGCTGGCCGTGTCGTCGTTGTTCCGGCCGCCGCGGCCGAAGAGGGCTTGCCACATTGGTCTCGGACCCGCGGCCGGCTCCTCCCCGCGTCGCGAGGGTTTCACGCTGGGAAAGTTCACTCGGAGTCTCCCGGACCGGCGCCCGGTTCTCGCGCCCGGCGTGCTGGAGCGGAGCGCGGCGGTCCGGCGAACAACTCGGCCTCTATTACGCCGCGCGCAGACACGTCTGGCCGCGAGCGCCACGGAGGACGATGAAAACCGTCGGCTTAATCGATCCAGCGTGGGCTAGCGGCCTGTAAGACACTAGCACAAGCCCGCAGGCCAACCTACTATTACTATGGCCGACGCGGTGGCTATGGGCAGGTAAGTTTGCACAGTATCACGTAGTTACTTGCTAGATAGAGACGAGGAGCCCGTCTACTTCCCCAGCGCCGCGACCTTCTCGAAGAGCTCGTCGTCGGCCAGGTGCTCCAGGCAGTCGGCCAGCAGCTTGACGTCGACGGCGTGCGCCTCGCCGGCCGCCGAGGCGCCGACATTGTGGTAAGATTCTTTCGAGAGGTGCAGGTTGATTTTGTCGGGGAACGGCGGCATCGGGTGGCGCGTCGCGGCGCGGCGCTGCGCGACCCACTCCTTGACGACGGTGCCGTCCTGGCGCACCAGGCAGACCTGTGTGGACATCATGACGCGTGCGTGCCTCGGCGGACGTCCTCGACCGGCGTCAACCTCCACGCCATCGAGCAGAAGTCAACGTCGCGTCGATGGCGTCACTCAATTCCAAGGTGCTTCGAGGACGCCGTGTCAGCACCCTAAATCCAAAGCCCCGGAAGAGACTTAACCAAAAGAGCCTCAGAATCCACCAGAGCGACCAAATAAATAAGATGAGGAATTTGGGCGCCGCCTCGCGGATTTTCAATCTATTTAAATCCCACCGCTTCCCGTCGGTCGACAGGTAATTCTGCGGCACCTTCAACTTCCAATCATACCGTAGCGTGTCTAGTAACGTCAACAATAAATACATGCCAGTCGCTCGCGTAGCCTTCAGGACCGCGAGCGTCTTGGCGAGAGACGACCACCAGATCATCTTGTACGGAGGTACTACCTCCGTAAATAAGAGCAGCGGCAAAGGTTTGAAGGGGTCGAAGCATGGCAGAAACGTCTGCACAACCATCCAGTATTTCTCGCCAGCGGCCGGTTTGGGTCTCGCGATCATCGCCCGCGCCCTATCTAACAACGACGAGCACAGTCCACAGCGCTCCCGCAACCAGGCCCTCATCCCCTCGAATTTAAAGCACCGCATGTCGAAGTAGGAGCCGACGCCCTGCGCTTCGGCATCGGCCTGTGTCGATGTGGACCAGTGAGTCGCGCAATCAACTCCACGCCATCAAGCAGTCATGCGGCGTACAATATCGCGTCGACGGCGTTCATTTGAAGGTAAATCAACGCTGCCACTTGCCCTTTCGTCGTCGCGATCGAAGTAGTGCTTCAGGCGCCTAATGGTCTTATCTAGATTATTGTTGAATGCGTCTCGGAACGTGGTAAGAAACGACGAGTAACCACCCAGATCCCTCTTGTTGTCGAACTCGAAGACTAATTTTGATGAATCGCCATCGTCACCACCTATCTTGCTCGGATCTAAATCTGGCGCCTCCTGGTCAAAGCCGGCCGTCTCCACTTCTTCGTCGGTCGTGCCCTTCTCGTACGGCTCGAAAAGAGTGTTCGGAAAAGGCGTTTTGACGTTCCGCCCATTGTCGATCTTCCGGAACGTCTTGTAGTACTCGTCGATTAATAAGGGACCGCCGACGTACTGCCACATCATGATCATGAAAATGCAGGTCGCCTTCATGGTGAAGACCGTTAAATTTCCGAGGATGCAAATCCTCGCGACGAGGCAGCCGAGGTGGTTCCGGTGGGGCTCCGTATCATCACCATTTTTGAGTCGAACAAAGCCAAAGACACAGCAACACATGACGACGATGACGCCGAAGATGCAGAACGGCGAGTAGAAGTCCTCCCAGGGCAACGATATTGTTCCCGCATAATCAAGACATAACGCATAAGTGGTGCATGCTACCGTAAATTCGGCGGCGGCGTCCGCAACGTCGTACGTCGACCAGACTTGGGGGTGCATGACCTTCACGAGCGGCCCGACCTTGCCGTCGGGCGCGAGCACGCCGAATCGCTCTAGCAAACCAAAGTTCGTGGTCTCGATCTTCGTGAGGGCCGTCGACGGCAGCTTGATCCGCCGTAGCAGGATCTTCGTGTAGTAGGTCACGTTGAACGCGACGCCCGCGCTAAAGAGCCGCGCCAAGGTTTTGGCGCCGAGCGAGTCCATGTGCGCACACATGTCGAGGCCGAGCGTGCGCTCGGCGACGAGGACGCAGAGAAGGGCAAACGCCGGGCCGCGGAATTGGCGCCGCAGCTTTTGGCATATGGATTCGCTGCCATCGTATGTCGTGATGAGGTTGAAGCCCCTCACCATGGTGCACCGGATGCCTAGGCCGTAGAGGGTGCGGCGCGCGAAACTTGCACCGCTGTCGTCTCGAGTGATTTATTTCTGATAGATGAGGAGTTCTCTGGCCTCTGCTACGCTTTCAGGGCTGGTATTGCTGCGTCCGGCGGGGCAGCGCGGCAGATTGCTAGTGTCTTACAGGGCGCTAGCTCCAGAGAGCTGCTCTCTCGCAAAAACGCCCCCGCTAGGGCACGTACGCTGGAAGAAGGACTTGGCGACGCCTGACAGATAGCGATGGAAAGACCCGGCGGCCTTGGAGGCTCGCAAGAGGCCGCCGCACGAGACCGGGCGGATCTCAAAAAGCAGCTTGCCCAGGCGGCGGCCCAAACGCAAGGCGAAGAAGATCTGCGCGACGCGCCGCGCCATGTGCAACAACGCACGCCGCGGACGAGCCCTCAAAAGCCTTCACGCCAAACTCCGAACGCGGGGCCACACGGGCGGCGCCGAACAGGAGATGCTCAAGCGCCGGGTGCGCAAGCGCCGGGAGCGGCGGAGACGACTTCGTCGGAGGGCGGCCTCACCGGTGCCTTGGGCCAGGCCGCCGACCAGCTGTCGCAGATGCTAGTAGACCAGGAGAGCCGCGCGACGACGAGCGAAGGGCGGCTGCGCGCCGAGGACGCTGAAGCGCGAGACCACGACGGCGATCACTCCATCGAGGAGGCGCCGGCGGCGGACGCCGCCCCAGCCGCGGCCCCGGCCGCGGCGAGTGCCTGGTGTGACGACGATAGAATCGTGCTGAAGGCGCTTAGAAGTGCGGGCAGCAGCACGGGCCACCGCCTGTCGCTCGCACGCCTCCGGAAAGCTGCTGAGCGACACGGCCTCACCATCAGGGGCAAGAAGGACGCGCCAAAGCTGAAAAAGGCCCTCGAAGCCGCCGAGCCCGCCTCGAGCAGTAGTGACGACGAAGACGGCATCGTCCCGGGCGCGCGCGTCCGCACGCTGACTCACGGCGCCGGCGTCGTCCTCGGAGGCCTCGCGGGTAACGGCTGCCCCCGCGTGCGGCTCGACGTGCCGTTTTTGCCCCTGGCCGGCGTCTACAAGAGCGAGGTGGCCATCCCCAAAGCCCAGCTCACTCGTCTAGCGCCGGGCGACGCCGGTTACGAGGCGCCGTCGACGACTGGCGCGGCGGGCTCCGGCACGACGGCCCCCAGCGCGGCGGGCTCTGGCGCGGGGGCCGCTTTCGCTCTGAAGGTCGCGCGGGTGCTGGGTAGGCCCGCGGAGCACGCGCTTGGCTTCGCCGCGCCGCCGGAGGTCGTGGCGCCGCGCGCCGCGCCGACGTTAGTTGTGCCGCAGGGGTTGATTAGAGTTACGGATGCAAACGAAATACTAGATCGGGCCGCGGACGAAGCCCAACGCGCGTTAGGGGAGCACCTGTCGAAGCTCGAGGCGCTCAAAGCGGACCTCGATCAAAAGGAGGCCGAGGCCAAGATGATATCGCGAACAGACTTAGATCAACAGGAGGCGCACGTCAAGGACGCGCGGGAAGCCTACGCGGCGGAGGCGGCCAAGGGCCCGCAACTGAAGGCCGCGTTCGCGGAGGCGTCGCGCGCGCGAATCGCCGCGATGCTTACGTTCTGCCCCGCTTTAGCAGATTTGATCAGAAACGACGTCGATCCTCTGCGAGAGGAGGAGGCGGAGCAGGAGGCGCTGCGGCGACGCGTGTCCGTGCAGCTCGCGAACGCCGAGAGTGATGCCGCGAAGCAGCTCGGGAAATCAATAAATCCGCGGAACGGTTCGGTGCTGTGGGACGTGGCGCCACATCGCGGCACGCCGCCACGTGGTGTCCTGGCACTGCAGTGCCCGCGGGGGAATTGCCGGGCGCGCTACTGGTTCCCGTTCAAAGAGATCCACGACGTCGTCATGCGCAACAGTCAAAAAAGTCTCGCTTGCAAGAAGGAGGGTTGTGGATTCCGAATGTGTATTTCTCTCGGCGACTTCGGTGATCGGAGGGCGCGCGAGGACGAGATGGACGACGAGCTGGAGCGCTGGGGATTTGATTTCGCGTGAAGAGTGGCGCCTTCGTTCGTCGTGTCCGCTCGACTTGTGACTAAGTAAGTTAAACCATTCAATGCGGGCGGCGGCCGCCTTCTCCGCGCGCGCGGCGGTGCGCGGCGAACAACTCGGCCTATATTACGCCACGCGCAGACACGTCTGGCCGCGAGCGCCGCGTCGACGATGAAACGTCGGCTTTTAATCCCGCGTGGGCTAGCGGCCTGTAATAAGACACTAGCAAACGGGAGGGATGTGAGAACAGAGCCTTGGCTTTGCCGCAAAGTATTCACGGGACCAACCAAGACGCTTTCGATACCCGACGAGGTTTATCTAAGGGAAGGAGGGAAGGGCGGGCGGGACGGGGACGGGGAGAGGGAGAGGGATGGGGAGGGATAGATAAAGCGCGCGCGCGCGCGGAGGACCTAGCAGTCCGTGGCCGGGTTCGCCACAGTCCGGACGCCGCAGTCGTACGACCCGCAGACCGTGCCGGAGAACGTCAGGGACGGCTGCTGCGGGTTGACGGCTTCCGAGACGCACCAGCCCAGATTCTGGTCGAAGGCCGTGGCCCTCGTGAACATCTCGTAGAGCCCGGGGCCCGGCGCCTGTCCTTGGATGAACCCTGTCAGGCCCGACACGTCCCAGCTCTGCAGCGGCTGGTTGAACTTGCGCGCGGAGTAGAACATGCCCGCCATCGTCGTGACGCGCGCCGTGTCCCAGCCGCTGATGTCCTGGTTGAACTGGGAATTATCGCCAAACATGCCGAACATGTTTGTGACAGACGACGTGTCCCACGCTCCAATATCGTCGTTGAACTGGCCCGCGCTGCGGTTGATGCTGCACTTGGACGTGTCGGCCCCGTTCTTGCACTGGGTGTACGGCGTGAAGAGGCAGCTCATCGTCGTGACGCGGGACGTGTCCCAGGTCGCGATGGGGCCGTACGCCTGTAGGGCCAGATCTCGGTTCGCGAGCCAGACGTCGCGGGCCGTGCAGATCGTGGCGTCGGTCGCGCGGAAAATGCGGTTCGTCGGCGACGCTGTGACCTGTGGAAATCAACCAGTGCGTCGGGTGCTCGGCGATGACGCGGCCGTCCTGGCTTGGTCGAGCGGCGAGGAACCGGCATCGCCACGCCATCGAGCAGGCGTCGCGTCGATGGCGTAGAGGACGACGCGATGATGCAGCACCGAACGCGCCGTAAAATTTTGATTTCCACACAGGCTGTGACCGTCGGCGACGTCGACGGCGCGTACGTGTCCGACGTCGGCGCGTAGGATGGCGCTTCCGTTATCCTCGTCGGCGCGTAAGTCTCCGTGCGGGTCGGTGCGTGCGTCGCCGTGGGCTCCAGAGTAGGGACAGCAGACGGCCCGGCCGTGGGGGGCACCGTCGGCACGCCCGTGGGCGCGAGCGTCGGGATTGATGAAGGCCCGGCCGAGGGAGCGGCCGTCGGCACTCCCGTGGGCGCGATCGTCGGCGCTGCCGTCGGCACTGCCGTGGGCGCGGCCGTCGGAGCGGCCGTCGGCGTTGCCGTGGGCGCGGACGACGGCACTCCTGTCGGCGTTGCCGTCGGCGCCGCCGTCGGCCCGGCCGAGGGAGCGGCCGTCGGCACTCCCGTGGGCGCGATCGTCGGCGCTGCCGTCGGCACTGCCGTGGGCGCGGCCGTCGGAGCGGCCGTCGGCGTTGCCGTCGGTGCGGACGACGGCACTCCTGTCGGCGTTGCCGTCGGCGCCGCCGTCGGCCCGGCCGAGGGAGCGGCCGTCGGAGCCGCCGTCGGCGTTGCCGTCGGCCCCGGCGACGGCTGCGGCGTCGTCGGCGCGGCCGTCGGGCCCGGGGAGGGCATCGGCGTCGTGGGCGCCGGCGTCGGGCCTGGCGACGGCATCGGCGTCGTGGGCGCCGGCGTCGTCGGCGTGGCCGTCGGGTCTGCCGTGGCCGTCGGCGTCGAAGGGCTGGGCGTCGGGCGAACTGTGGGTCCAGGCGTCGGCCCGGGCGTCGTAGGCCCGACCGTCGGCGCCGGGGACGGTTTCGCGGTGGGTGCGACCGTCGGCGCCGGCGTCGGGCGCGCCGTGGGTCCGGGCGAAGGAGCGGCCGTCGGCGCCGGGGACGGTTTCGCGGTGGGTGCGACCGTCGGCGCCGGCGTCGGGCGCGCCGTGGGTCCGGGCGAAGGAGCGGCCGTCGGCGCCGGCGTCGGGCGCGCCGTGGGTCCGGGCGAAGGAGCGGCCGTCGGCGCCGGGGACGGTTTCGCGGTGGGTGTGACCGTCGGCGCCGGCGTCGGGCGCGCCGTGGGTCCAGGCGAGGGCGCGGCCGTCGGCTTTGATGAAGGCGCGGCCGTGGGACTTGATGAAGGCGCGGGCGTCGGGAAGACGGGCGCGGGGAGGCCCGGACACGCCGAGCCGTCGTTCTGATTCGTCGCCGCGGACGCGGCCTTCCACGTCAATGAAAATGAGACGGTGGCGCACCGCGTGTGGGGCGCGGCCGGGTCGGCCTCGGTGCCCACGCCGTTAATCCCAATGTTCCAGCACGTGGCGGGCACGTCGATGCCCCCGGGCGGCGCCGTGACTTCGAAGAGGCCCTCGCCGAGGTTGTTCGTGAAGAACACCTGCTGCGGCACGCCGCCGCCGCCGTACGTGTACGCGGCGCCGTAGTCGCCGGCGATGCAGCCCGGTCCGGAAGGGTTGTCGACGTAGACATCACAGGACGCGGCCTCGAGGACGGCGTAGTACTCGGGGACGAGGCCGCCCTGCTCGATGCGCGCGAGGAAGACCTCGGGCGGCGTCGTGGCCGTCCCCGCGGCCAGCCCCACGAGGTACGAGCACCCGTCGCAGCCGTCATTAATAATCACCTGGCCCGGCTCCTCCTCGAGGTTCGTGATGTCGGACACGCTTCCGGAAAGGAGCCCCTCCTTGACCGAAAACCTTCTGGTGGAAGGGCCGAAATACGACGGTGTGTCCGTGTGCACGTCTGACACGTAAAAGATGGCGTTGTACGTGTCGCCTTTGCCATTCCTTTGAAGGCGCGACGTGTAGTAGTACGTCGTCTTGATGAAGGCCGCGGCGTTGACCTTCTGCCCCGAATCCGCCGGGTTGATCCGCTGGCCCGTGAGCGAGCCGGCGCCCGGCGGCACGTCCGTGGACCGCGTGCCGTCAAATCTTACTAATTTGAGCTCGTCGAAGACGCAGATGAAGGCGTACGTCTTACCGTTGTCGGGGTTGAGCATCAGGGCGAAGCCGTTCACGTTTTCCGGTGGGGAGAGCGCCGTCGGCGGGACGGGCGAGAAATCATCAATAACCACGTAATCGCCGGTCCCGAGGTCCAATTCTTCGGTGTTGAACGCCGGCGGCGGCGCCTGCGCTCCATAGACCTGGATCGGGTTCGGGTGCGCGGCGCAGTCGAAGGGCTTCTCGGGGTCGCTCCAGAACCCGATCGTCGGCTGTTGCGTCGGCGCGGGCGTCATCGTCGGCGCCATCGAGGGGAAGACCGGCGCCGCGATGCCCGGGCACGCGCTGCCGTCGTTGTTGCTCGTCTCCGCCGACTGCGCGACCCATTTAAGGGAGAAGGAGAGGCCTGTCTGGGCGGTGCCGCCCTCCCCGCACGAGACGTGGGTGTTGCCCGGGACGCTAGGGTCGCCGCTGTTCCAGCAGCCGTCGCGGCCCTCGGGCAGGGGGATGCCACCTGTGTGGAATCCATTTCCAGGCGCCCCACGTAACTCACGGTTGATTTCCACACAGGACACCACCGGCCGGGATGATGACCTCGAAGAGGCCCAACCCGGCGTTGTTGCTGAAGAAGAGGCGCGGCGGCTGCGTGATTGACGAAGACGACGACGTCCCTTCGTCGTACGTGTAGGCCGCGCCGAAGGTGCTCTGGATGCAGCCGTTCGCCGAAGGGACGCCCCCGGGCCGGCCGGACCAGTCCACATTCACGCACTTCGTGTAGAGGACCTGTGTAGAAATCAAATGTCACGAGACTCTACGACGCACTGGTTGAATTCTACACAGTAGGGGACGGCGTAGGCCTCCGGCGCGCCGTACGGATTAATAATGTTTCCCGCTGCGTCTTTTTCCTCCTCGAGGCGCGCGACGAAGAGCTCCACGTTGCCGCCCTTGAAGTTCGGGTTCGCGGCGAGGCCGACGACGTACTTGCGGCCGGGCAGGCCGTCGTTGATGAGTTCGGCGAACGCGCCCGTGGTCGCCTCCTCGAGCGACGTGATGTCGTTCTCGGCGCCCCGCAACACTGAGTCGGAGACGTTGAACTGGGCGTCGCCGCGCGGCTTGAAGTCGGGGGCGTCCGTCTCCATGGCCGTGACGCGGTAGATCTGGTTGTCCTTGCCCCGCAGGCCGTTCGTGTAGTAGTACGTCGTCCCCACGAACGTCGCCGCGTTGCAGAAGGAGGTCGTGCCCTCCTTCTGCGCGATGAGCGTGCCGTCGAGCTCGGAGACGCTCGCGCAGTCGAAGCGCTCGAGCTTCTTGCCGCGGCAGACGAACGAGTAGACGTTGTCCTTGAGCGCGGGCTGCGGCCCGCCGTCGGGGTACTGCATGAGCGCGAAGCCGTTGACGCCGGCGTTCTTCTGCGGGAAGTCGCAGATCTTGTTGTACTTGCCCGTGGCGAGGTCGAGCTCCGACACGTTGTACGGCGGGTTTTGATTGTCCGCTTTAAAAACTTGGATCGGGTTCGGGTACGCGTCGCAGTCGAACGGCGTCAGCGCGTCGCCCGGGGTCGTCCAGTCGTAGGCCCGTGTCGCGAGCGCAGCGAGCGCGTATAGGACGAGGCGCGCCATGGCGAGCGGCGTCTTCCGCGCCGCCGCGGCGAGCGATGCGCGCAAAGAGCGGTGACGGGCGCGCTCGTCCGGTCCGTCGCGGCGGGTACGCGAGCCTGAGAACCCTGGCCGCCGCGGCTACGGCGATTTAGGAAAGATGGCCTGGCGTTGCTGGCGCACAAGCGTTGCAGTTTCACCAACGCAAGCCTCGCGTGTCACGGCTATTCGTCGAGTCGAGGTCTTCCGCGTGATCGCTCAACCGCTGGAGAGCCCCAGACACGCGCGCCGTGAGCTGTGCCAATTTTGCTTTGGTGGCTGATGCATTGAGTACATTGGGCTGTACTCTATCGCGCGCCTTCCACGCTACCTTCCACTCCTCCCAGGAGTTGGAAGGTAAAGAGGAGACGTACGAAACCGCGCGACCCACCGCGCGCGGAGCTGACGCGGACGCGACCGCCGGGCGCACTACGATACCTTACTTACGCCAGCACCTTCGCCGCCTCCTGTACGACGTCCTGGCGCGCCGCCGTCGCCGCCGTCTCCGGCGTGCCCGCGCTCACGACCCCAAACTTCGGGCTCCACGCGGCGTCGAAGATCTGATGGTCGAGCGCGGGGAGCCCCCTTCGCACGACCTCGCCTAATAAGCGGGCGGCGTCGTTCCTTGAGACGAGTGGCGGCTCGGCGCTCTCGTTGACCAACTCCCGCAACAACGAGTCGCGAGTGCCGAACGCGAGGGGCACGCCGCCCGCATCGTCCGTCAGGGCACCCAACCGCACAATCGTCGTCCCCACGCTGTCGCCGCAGGCTTCTTGTAGAGCATCCTCCGCCCTGGAGATGGCTCTTATACTTTCCTCGCCGCCCATGCGTGCGAGGGCCAAGACATCTGCATCTTTGACGGAAGTAGCACCTTTCACGCTCTCTAGGGTCGAGACGCCCATCGACGACCGGAGGATCACATGCCTCAAATTCGTAGAAGCATCCTTGGACTCGATACTAACAGCATCGATCTCCGCTAACAACCGCCGCGCCGCGCTTTCGGCCTCGTTCCTAGGCACCCTGACATTAATGCCCGCCACATGACTGAACGACGACTCCGCGCGCGCGCGCGCCAGCGACCCGGGCACGACGGCCGGCACGTCGCTGCCAGAGACGGACTCAAATCCCGCGTGAGCCGCGGCGCACAAGACGCACGTCGACGCGCCTTTTAAAGCGTCTCCGAGCCCTTTTGCTTCGTTGGGACCCTCCTCCACCACCGTCACATCCAACCAGGCCGACGTGTCGACGAGCGGCTGCGCTTTCTTATCTTTGATGACACAACCACCAAGGTCAATTTTTAAACGGGTGGCCTCGTTCTCGTCGCGCACGACGGCTCGTATCACAAGGTTGTCGTGCTGGGCCCAGGCGGGCGACCCCTCGCGCGTCCAGGCCTGTGTGGCACGGATCTCGTGCGATCATGAAGACGAGATCACGTCATGTTGAAGCTCATTTTTCACGCTGCGTCAGCGCCTCGTGCAATTGAGCACACAACGACGCGCCCATCCTTCCTGCGGCGTGGGTGACGACGACGACGTCGGCGTCTTTACTAGATGCAGTCGTCGCGCGGAGCCGCGTGCTTCGGGTTCTGTGCGCGGGTCGCTGCAGCGCTGCTACCGTCGCGAGCACGAGGGCTGACCGGGAGAGCATGGTGCTGGTGCAGTTGAGGCGAATAAGGACTGCGAGTGCTGCGGCGCCCGCTTGCACGCCGGCCGATGGTGTTCCTGAGCGGGAATTTTTGGGCCCGTTGCAATAGCGATTTTGCACCGCGCCGGATGCTCTCGCACACGTGCTTGCCAATAATTAGCTAGCGTCCTGTGAGACACTAGCCCGGCCCGGGGGGAGCGGGAAGTCGCGGGACAAGTTGATTGAACGGGCGAACGTTGCACATTGTTCGGGGGGGTTTGCCGAGGCGGTTCTGCTTAGAAGGAGGTACGCTGTTATGAAAGAAGCGGCCCGCGCCCGCCGCCGATGAATCGGCGACGCGCGGTGTCTCCCCCCCAGGGGCTCCGCCCACTAGTCCTAGCACCGTAACATCGACAAGGAGCGGGAGGGGTACGGGGAACCCTGCGACGTAACTAGCCTCAGCCTCAGCCTTACGGCGACCTCTAAGGAAGCATAGTTATGCGGGCGGCGCCGCCTCGGCCGCGCGCGGCGAACTTTGCGATTTCTTCTTGTCCTTCGACCTTCGATTCGCGATCGCCTCCGGATCGAACAAATGCTTGGGAAACTGCGACGCGATGTCGTCGATGTCAAAATATCTCACGATCTTCTCCAGTAACATCGGGTTGTGGAAGTCGCGGTTCCTCCGAATTTCTTCAGTAGGATCCAAGCCGCGCGCGACGTAGTCCTTCAGTCTCGCTACCAAGGCCGCGTGCGCCTCGGCGTCGTCGTTTTGTTCTTCCTCGCGCGCCTGCTTCACGGGCGGCTCGCCGTCGCCGCTGTCGGGCGGATAGCCCCGGTACTCGTCGTCGCCGGCGGCCTCCGCCGCGGCGGCGAGCGGGTCGTACTCTTCGTCATTTTGAGGGGGCGCCGTCGGCGAGGGCTCCTCGCCGGACTCGTAGTTGGCGACGAGGCCGGACATCGGTTGTTGCGCGCCGCGGCGGCGCGGGTGTCCTACGGCTTGGCGGAGCAAACTCGTGCGCACTGCACGGCTGCGCGCTGCGTGCTGGCAAAAAGCAAGCGCGCCGCGCGTTAAGAGATGTTAATCGCTTGCGTAACGCGTCTTTTGTTGCCGCGCGGCGGCGTGATTGCTAGTGCCTTACAGGGCGCTAGCAGCGTTGCCACCGCCGCCAAAAGCCGTCAAACTAAGCCGTCAGCGCGCCCAAGTAGCAGCCAGCAGTCATAGGCCTGCCGTGCTACCGCGCTGCGCTGAGAAAAGACATCGGTTCCTGTCGTGCCAGCTTTTGCAGCAAACCCCCCTACCCCCCTCGCTGACACACACCACTGACGGACGCGTCTGGACCACTTCGCTGACGCCACTGACACCACCGACGAACAACCAGATGAGCGGCAAGCGCCAGTTCCCGAAGCTCGGCGAGTACTACGCAAAAATGCTTGCGCACTGCCCGCAAGCGATCACCGCCTACGGCGCGTGCATAAAAGCCGCCATCGACGCCGGCGCGCTTGAGCAAGGCTGCTGCGAGCGCGAGTTCAGCGCGCTGAAGAAGTGCTTCCGCGAGGTGCGCGTCAAGCGGTAAGCATGTCGCTCGCCCGCGCCGCGTCGGCGTTCATCGAGCGCCGGCCGAACGCGACGACAGTCGCCGCGGCGATGGCGCGCGGCGCCGCGGGCGACGCCTGCGCGCAGCACGCCGAGGACGCGCCGTGGGACGCGCGCCGCTGCGCGACGTTCATGGCCTGGAGCACGGGCGTCGCGTTCGCGCTCGACCGTTATGTATATTCGCACCTCTTCGCCCGGTGGTGGCCGCCCGTGTGGAAATCAAATTTACGGCACGTTCGCCGCGTCGACCTCCACGCCATCGACGCGACGCCTGCTCGATAGCGTGGCGGTGTCGGTTCCTCACCGCTCGACGGAGCCAGCGCGGGGCATCCGACACTCGTTGATTTCCACGCAGGTGGCCGCGGAACTGCTTCCGCAACGTGCTGAAGGCGACGGCCGCCGACAATATTATAATCACGCCGTGCCTCTATTTCCCGTGCTTCTACGCCTGGGAGGCGGTGTGCGAAGGCAACGAGATGAGGAGCGCCGCGGAGAGGTACCGGGCGGAGGCCGTCGTCCAGCTGCCGATGACCTGGGCGTTCTGGATCCCGGCCAACGTCGTGACCTTCTCCATCGCGCCGCATTTGCGAACGGTGTGGTCCGGCGCCGCGGGGACCCTGTACGTCGGCCTCCTCTCGTACGTGGCGCACGCCTACCGTTAACAATGTTGTGTTAGGACGCCTCGAGCCCCGGCACCTCCTGGGCCAACAAAGCAGCGGGGTCGTCTCCGTCGGAAAGCGCCTTCGCGAGGACGTAGCACGAGTCCGGCTGGATGCGCTTGTAGTAGCCGCGGATGACGCCGATCTCGCGAAAGCCGAACTGCACATAAAAATCTCTGGCGACGTCGTTGCCCGTCTGCACGTGCAGGTAGATGACCCTTACGTCTTTGCGCGCGGCGGCGCTCTCGAGGAGCTGCGTCAGTAATTTGCGCCCGATGCCGCGCCGCCGGTACGCGTGTAACACACCAATGGTCATGATATAGAGCTTCTTCCTCTTCTCGGCGGGATCACGGAAGGCTTCGAGCCGCGCGCAGCAGTTCCCGACGGCAAACCCGCCGCAGTACGCGAACTTCGCCAGCCCTTCGGGCAGCGTGGGAATCTCGTCGTAGAACTTGTCCGCGTAGCGCACGGGGAAGGTGTGCTCATTTAAGGTACGCAATTGTCCCAAATTCTGGGCGTTGACGTCGCCCATCTGCACTTCGAGGGGCGCCATCGCGGCCATGGCTGGCGCGGCGACGACACGCTGTGACTCTGCTGGTGCGTCGAGAGCGTCGCGGCGACGGCGCGCTGCACGCGTGCGCGTCGCAGGCGAGCGCTTCGCAACGGTACGGCGTCTCCTGGCGCGCGCGTCGAGAGGCTTTGGGCATCCTAGGGATGCCTAGTGTCTTACAGGCCGCTAGCTCATTTTTAGCATGTACGCGCCCCGAGCTACTGTTACTCCGTCTGAAGCGCAGATGACCGCTTACTTGCCTGCGACCCATTCGTCGCGGAAGTTCTTCGAGAGCCGCGCCGAGCCGGACTCGTCCGCCGTGACCTCGGAACAATTCCACGCCGACGAAAATTACAACCACGCAGCATAACTACACCATGCCTTACTTCTCCCAGGCGCCGGGATTCTATGGAGTCTATTGGGGAGGGAGGGGCGGCGATGGGCCGGCGGCAGAAGGGCTCTACCTCCGTTTGCAGTAGCACGTCAGGCCCTGCACGTGCTTGAGCGCCAGCTTCCCGGCGGCGGACGCGGCCTCGCAGAACTTGCGGCAGACCTTGCGCGGCGAGGCGTCGCGCACGGTCGTCTTCGAAGCGTAGGTCTTGGTCCCGATGGAGCATAGATTTGGTGAGATGTAGTAGGGGTGAGTCGTGCCAGCTTCGTAGACGATCGTCGGTCCCAAGGCGCATTGTTCCTGGACCGCATTCGCGATCGCCGCGATGCTGATGCCGGTAAACGTGAGGCCGATCGCGACGAGGCCGCCGGACATGACGAGCTCCGAGCCGCCGTCGTCGTCGTCGTCGTCGTCGTCTTCTTCGTGGTAATAGTCCCACCAGTGGTCCGTGTCGTCGACCCGGCACCAGCACAGAGTGTGGGACGGATACGTCAAACCCGAATCACGAATGCCCTGATCGCACGAGAGCTCGTACTCCTCGTGCACGTCGGACCCGCAGTGATCGTTGCTCATGTACGCCGCGCGCTCGCACCACCCGCCGACTCGCCCGCACAAGTCGTCGCAGCTCCAAAGATCGTAATCCCACGTCTCTCGCGGGACGTTCACGATCGGGCAGCCGTGCGCCTCTCCGTGCGCCGAGCTGCAGGCCTCGCCGTAATGCACGTGAATGCTGGCGCACGCGCCGTCCCCGGGTTCGAGAGAGCCGCCACAGCGGAATCGGTGGCCACAATAGTCCGAATCCGAGCTACATGACCCGTAATCGCAACAATAAGCCTCACCCTGGCAGCAGTGGTCCGCGGAGTCCGCGTCCACGACATTTCCGCTAGAGTCGAGCGCGTCGCATTCCGAGCCGCGGCTCTTGTCCTCGTAGAGGGACACGCTGCCAGCAGACGTCGAGCCTTTGCGCACGCTGCACTCGAAGTCCGGCAGCGCGCCGTCGTGGCCCGTCGGCCCGACGCCGCAGTGCTCGTCGTCGTTGCCCGTCCGCCACGCGCCGTCGCACGCACAGTCGCTGTTCCAATCGCAACAGTCGTGATGGCCGCAGTCGTGGTAGCCCACGGGGCACCATCCCGCGGGCTTGGCGTCGCCGTCGTACGCGAGGGAGCAGTCCGCGTTCGAGCCCCAGTCGCAATGGTCGTCGCAGCCGCAGTCCGCGTCGCGGTCGCAGCAGTCGCCGCACTCGTAATATCCTTCGGGGCACTTGGGCGTGCGCCAGTCGTGGTCGTAGGCGTCGCCGCCGTGCCCGTCGCACGAGCAGTCCGCGTCCTGGTCGCAGCAGCTGGCGCAGGTGTAGTAACCGGCGGCGCACGCACCGATCGGGATCGAGGTGGGCACGCGAGTCGGTTTGAACGAGGCTTGCGGCTGCGCCGTCGGGATCGAGGTCGGCTCGCGAGTCGGCTTTTTTGTCGGCGTCGCGGTGGGTGCCGGGGTCGGCTCGGGCGTCGGCGACGCGGTCGGGTCCGGCGTCGGGATGCCCGTCGGCTGCAACGTCGGCGCAAGCGTCGGCGCACCTGTCGGTGCATGCGTCGGTGCATGTGTTGGCGCAGTCGGCGCACCTGTCGGCGCCGGCGTCCAGTACGTCGGTGCGCCGGTCGTCGGCGTGGAGGACGGACGAGGCGTAGGGCAGTTGTCCATTTGCACGACGCCGCAATACGTCGACTCGCACAGGGTGCCGGAGAATAGGCCATTGGAGCCCGGGCCTTCCAGGCTCACACCGTCGTCAAAGCACCAGCCGAGGTCCTGGTCGAAGGACGTGGCGCCGTCGAACATCTCCTCCATCATCGTTACGCCAGATAGGTCCCACGCGCCGATGTCCTGGTTAAAGGCCGAGGCGCCTTGGAACATGTCGCTCATAATCGTGACGCTGTGAACCGCCCAATCACTGATGTCCTGGTTAAAGGCCGAAGTGCCTCCGAACATCCCGATCATGTCCGTTACACCAGACGTGTCCCACGCGCCGATGTCCTGGTTAAAGGCCGAGGCACTGCGGAACATACTTTGCATCGTCGTGACGCCAGAGGTGTCCCACGCGCCGATGTCCTGGTTAAAGGCCGAGGCGAAGCTGAACATCTGGTGCATCGTCGTGACGCCGGAGGTGTCCCACGCGCCGATGCCCTCGTTGAAGGACGCCGCAGATGCCGGAAGCACGCAGGGATCATAATATTCCGCCTCATCAGGATCGTCCATCCAATCCCGCCGCACGCAAAACAAAAACGACATGTCCGTCACCCCGGAAGTCTCCCAAGTCGAAATGTGGCCGTACGTCGCCTCGGCGGCGGACTGGTCGGCAAACCACGCGGTAACGGCGGTTCTAATCGTGGTGTCGTCCATGACGTAGCCCGTGATCGGGCAGTTGTCCATTTGCACGACGCCGCACGACGTCGATTCGCACGGGGTGCCGGAGAACGCGTCGACCATGTAGACGTCGTCATCCACGCACCAGCCGAGGTCCTGGTCGAAGGCCGAGGCGCTTTCGAACATGTAGCCCATCTCCGTGACGCTTTGGACCGCCCAACCACCGATGTCCTGGTTAAACGACGAGGCGTGTTCGAACATCCCGCTCAAGCTCGTGACGCTGTCGACCGCCCAATTACCGATGTCTCGGTTAAAGGACGAGGCATAGTAGAACATCCCGTACATCCTCGTTACGCCGGAGGTGTCCCACGCGCCGATGCCCTCGTTGAAGGACGCCGCAGATGCCGGAAGCACGCAGGGATCATAATATTCCGCATCGTCCATCCAATTATGATCCATCCAATCCTGCCGCACGCAAAACAAAAACGACATGTCCGTCACCCCGGAAGTCTCCCAAGTCGAGATGTGGCCGTACATCGCCTCGGCGGTCGCCGCGTCCGAGGTCCATGCCGCGACTGCCGTTCTAATCGTGGTGTCGTCCGCTACCAGGGGTATAGCCGTAGGCGCCGGGACGAAGGCGTAGGCCGCGCCCGCGTTCTCGGCGAGCTCGTCATCGTTGGGTGCTCCGGCGACAATGCGGTCGCCGGACAGCGCCACCGAGTAGCCGAGGACGTTCCCGGCCGCGGCGTCGCCGGAGGTGACCTCGTCGTACTGCGTCCACGTCGTGCCGTCCGTGCGGAAGAGGTAGACCGAGCCCGCGGACCCGTCGTCGCCCATGGCCCCGACGGCGAGGCCGTCGCCGGACAGGGAAAGAGAGTAGCCGAACAGGTCGCCCGCGGCCGCGTCGGCCGCCGCGAGCTTCGCTGTTTCGGCCCACGTCGCCGTGTCGTACAGGTAGACGGCGCCCGCGTTGCTGCCGTCGCCGCGGGCCCCGACCACGACGGTGTTTCCGTCGATGGCCACGGAGAAGCCGAACAAGTCCTCCGCCGCGGCGTCGGCGGCCGTGAGCTTGGCCAGCTGGGCGCCGTCGCTCGCGCGGTAGACGTAGACCGCACCCACGGCGCCGACCGGATTGTTTTGCCCGTCCGACCCGGCGTTTCCGTCGCCGAAGGCCCCGGCCACGACGGTGGCGCCGTCCGTCGCCACGGAGATGCCGAACATGTCGTAGGCGGCGGCGTCGGCGGCCTTGAGCTTCGCGGTCTGGGCCCACGTCGCGCCATTGTCGCTCGTCGCGAAGAGGTAGACGGCCCCGGACTGGAGGCCGCCGCCGCCGTCGTCGTGGGGCGCGCCGACGGCGACGACGGTGCCGGCGGCGGCCACGGCGGAGCCGAAGCGCGTGTCCGGCCCCGCGTCGGCCGCCGTCAGCGTCGCGAGGTGCGTCCACGACGCGCCGTTGTCCGCCGTGCGGAAGACGATCGCGGCGTTGGCGTAGTCGCACAAGCCCAGGGTCCACCAGGCCGGGCACCCGGCGCCGACGACGAGGCGGTCGCCGGCCAGCGCCACGGACCAGCCGAAGAGGTACCCGGCGCCGCATGAGCAGCCCGAGCAGTCGCAGCCGTAGGTGCCCTCGAGCGTCGCGCAGGCGTAGCCGTCGTTGAACCAGGTGTCGCACGATTTTTCGAAACAGGACGCCGCGCAGGCCCCGTCGGCGATCGCGGGGTGCGCCACCTTGGCCACCTGGCCGTAGGTGGCGCCGCCGTCGCTCGTCCGGAAGACGTAGACCGCGCCGGCGTCGGTCTTGTGCCTCGGCGCTCCGAGCGCGACGAGGTCGCCGGCGGCGGCCGCGGAGACGCCGAACCAGTCGCTCGCGGCGCCGTCGCTCGCCAGCATCTTGTCCGTCTCCGCGTAGTCTGTCAGCCGCCGGTCCCGGGCGACCGCCGGCGCGCGCGGCGTCGCTCTCGTCGTGCCGGGCGGCATGAGCGAGACCACAACATCCGTCCCGTTCAAAGGAGGCGCCACCAGTCCGCGCGCCGACGCCGCCGCCGTAGGGTCCACGGCCAGCAGCAAACAGATTACTCGGGAGCACCGCCAGCGTGGGAGCGCGGGCGAGGCAGCGATTTTCGTTCTTATGCGTGGGAGCGCGGGCGAGGCAGCGATTTTCGTTCCCATGATCTATATAACAGAAGCGGTCCGGGCGCGTGCAAGCCGGCTTGAGCCGCTGAAAAAGGCTTGTACCCGCACGCAATCACCAGAGCCGTCTACCGCGCCCGGACGTATCTCTTCCTTCCTCGAGACCTACTGCGGTCGCGGGCCCGCTACTCGCAGGCCGGCGCGACGAGCGAGGCCGCCGCGCTCGACCCCAGACAGACCACTCTCGCGGACTCGTATCGAAGCACCACTAGCACTATAGTAAACAACAAACAACACCCTAACTCAAATGGCCTCGACCCGCGGCTCCCGCGTCGTCGGCGAGGGCGCCGGCAGCCGCGCGCGCACGAAGCGCGCCGCCGCCGCCGCCGTGTCCCGCGCCGCGGCCGCCGCGGCGTCGAAGGCGTCCCCGTCCCGTGGTAGTGAAGGCGGTGGTGCAGGCGGCGCCTCGTCCTCGTCGTCGGAGACGTGGAGCTCCTTTAGGTAGACCTCGATCCAGTCGTCGTCGGCGCGTTGCGTGGAGGCGACGACGGGCTCCTGGCCGGACCCCCAGTAGGCCGACACGGCGTCGGCCTTGCGGTCGGCCTCTCTTAACTTGCGCACGCGCCGCCGCAGCTCCCGGACGGCCCGGATCAGCACCTTGCGCTCCTTCTTGCACCGCTGGAGCTCCTCGCCGCCGCGCCCATTCACAGTGAAGTCCGCGAGGCGCGCCTCGAGGTCCCTCCTCGATTCCTCCGCGGCCTCGCACCGGCGCCGCGTCGCGTCCCGTTCTTCATGCGCGGCGCGCACGTCGGCGAGGGCCTCAACCAAACGGGCGTCATTCGCTGCGGAAGCCGCGCGCGCGTCATCTACAATATCGTCGCGCGCGCGCGCGATCGCTTTTGACGCCTCGCGCGGCCGAGCTCTTGTGGAGGACCGCGGCGCGTCGTCATCACGCGCGTCATGCAACGCCGCCTCGAGCTCGTCCGCCCTTTCGCTCTCCAAGCGCACGTTTTGAGCGGCCGCGTCGCGCGCCGCCTCGGCCTCGACGAAGCGCCTTCTATGCTGCGCCGCCAGCGCCTCATAGGCCGCTGCTTTAGCTTCAGAAGCATCGGCGCGGCGCCGCCATTTCGAACAGTCGGCCTCCTCCAGTCCGCGTTTGAACCTCAAAAGCTCGTCGCCGTCGCGGAACCGCGCCCGGACCGCGCCCTCCCACGCCACCTCCTTATTCAATTCCGTGCGCGGGAACGCGTCGACGTCGTAGATCACGGACGGCTCGTTGCTATTTGGTGCGTAGGCATAGAGGAGCCGCGCGGGTCTGATCGACCACCTTCTGGGCTCCCAGGAGAAGTCGTCCTTCTCCTGGACGACGCCCTCGTAGGTGCCTCCCTTGACGCGCGCGACGCTGCGGCGGTCGGCTCCTATGTCGAAGCCGCGGAGGGCCGGCGTGGTGCTGCTTGGTGGTGTGTCCTCCATTGGTGACACTCGGCGTGAGCAGTGCGCGACGGTGTGCTGCGTATTGTGTGCAGAGGCTGTGCCGAGGTCGCGACGGTTGGAGATCACCGAGGCGTGCCAGCACGGTGCGCAGGCGAGCAGTAATGATCCGTGGTCGTTTGTGCGCGATTCCTACGAGGTCTTTTGGGCCGCAGCCTCACAACAGCTTTTGAGGGCCAGAGCGCGGGTTTTATCGCGTTTACGCAGACCTCCCTGCGATGCCTCCCGACCAGTGGCACGTCCCGTCGACGGCTCAATGCTTCCTTGGGGCAGCCCGGCCGGGGCTCTCCGGTCCGGCTCTCCCATCAGGCGCTGCCAAGGAACAGCGCGATTCGGCGCTGGGAGCCGCCCGTATTTCAACGAACTCGACGACGCGGCCGACCCCGGGCGTCGTCGACGCGCCCGGGAGATCAAACCAAGCAGCGCGCGCGTCGACAGCGCGCCGGCAGCGGAGCTCCCCCATATAAGGACCGAACAATGGCGACGGGCACGGGCAGCCAGGTCCTCGACGACCTCGCGGCGGCGCTCGGCTGCAGCGTCTCGACCGTCGACGACGACGAGGACTCCCTGGTCTCGGCTCCGGCGACGAAAACGTGCCCGCCGTCGCCCGGAGGAGTAGAAGCGACGCCCGGCGACGAGTGGTTCCCGGAGACCGAGAAAGCGCGGAAAGAAGCCGCCGTGTACCTGGGCCTCGAGGACGAGGCGCCGGCGCCGCCGCCGCAACGGTCGCGGCTGCCGCTGCTGCTGGCGGTGCTCGTCGCCTTCGTCGCTGCGCTGGCGACGGGGTTCATGCAGCCCGTTGCCCTCGAAGTACCGAAGAAGCAGCCGCGCGTGCAAGCGTCGGCCGGGCGCAAGCCGCTGTCGTCGCGCTAGGCCCTTCGCCCCGTCCTGTATAGATACCACATAAACTAAATTACGCCCGCTTTTTGAATCGCCGCCGACAGCGTCTCGAGCAGCCGCAGGTCGCCCGCGGAGTAGGCCGGGTCCCGCTCACCATTCAACACGGGCCCGAAGGCCTTCTTCCACTCGGAGGGCGACCCCTTCCCAGCTTCGAAGTGCGCCGGCGCGACGTACGTAAAGTCCCACTTCGAAACGTCGTCGACCCACCTCTGTAATTCGGGCCGGACGCGGTCGGACTTGTAGACTAAGGTTTCGGTCACGGGCGCGACGCGCCACGCGCCCGGCAGCTTGGAGAAAGACGCGTGCGGCTCGACGATGGATTGAGGTGCCGGCCCGAAGAAGAGGGACAGTAACACGTTGCGCTCCCAGCCGCGTTGTAAGGAGTCGGATGATGATGGTTTTGACCAGTACGCGTCGACGATGTCCCGTCCACCCTCGAAATCCGTCAGTCGTAGCAGCGCGAGCACGAGCTGCCCCAGAGATTTATCCGTCTTGGCGTCGGCGCCGACGCCTCTCAGATTGTCGGCCTCGTAGTCTTGAGTAGGTTTTGCCGGTACATTAACGATAGCATCAGTGAGAGCTAACGTATGAGTCGGTTTGTGATACAAGGCTGCTTCCGACGCGGCATACCCGAGACCTAACCTCTGAGACGGTCTGAGTAGTTTCACCTCGAACTCTTCCCTAAAATCATCTGGGTAGGTCGAGGCTGACGATGCCGAGTCAATCAGGTCGCCGTCTGCGAAGATGCCCAGCGCCTTCGGCGCCAAATCCAAGGGCCAGGCCCACTGGTCGGGCACGGCCCACACTTTTGCGGAAGGAAATTTCCGGGAAAAGGGCCCGACGAAGGCCTTGTGTTCATACGTCGTTGCCCCTAACAGAATGTGCGTCACGCGCCCGTTTAACGATGCTAGTTGTTGGAGGAACTCGTCCGTCGGCGCCACGGGGTCGTAGACGATCAGGTCGTTGTCTTTTGTGCGAAACACCGTACATCGAGAATTCGCGGTGATTCCGCTCAGGCGCAGCTCCTGCACAAATCCGTAGACCTTGCCTTTCACAAGTTCTGATTTAACAGTCCTTCTCTCCGTGATCGGCCCGAGCGGGAACGGGAAGCCCGTCACGAAGAGGTACTTGCGCGAGGGCGCGTGTTGTTGCTGCGGCGGCGCCGCGTCGGCCGGCAGCGCACTTATCGTGCCTACGGCTAACGACGCCTCGAGCAGCTTCGTGGCGAGGGGCTTGAGCAGTTTTCGGGGAGGCGCCTTCCAGCCGTCGACGGCCGCGACGGCAGCGCAAAGGAGCAGGGTGGCTTTTGGTGCCATCGCTGGGGGTGCACCGCCGTACGGATGCGCGCAAGCGATGCTGCCGTGTCGCACCTCACAGACGAGTGCGTGGACGCCGCGACGGCAAGTTCGAGTCGCGTCTCGCAGCTCTATGCCAACGCCAGCGTGGCTTTCAAGTTTTGCCTCGAGGCTGGCGCTTGTGTGCGAGCCGCGCTGGCAAATCTAGGAGTGCCGAAGCACCGCACTGGTGCTCAGAGGTCACGACCGAACGCGTACATCCAGCTCTCGCGGCGATAACGGCTGCGCAGCGCAGACTGCCGTGCTGTGCTGCAGAGAGAGGAGCACGACCACTGAGCAGGGTGCGTGCAGCAAAGAGATGCTCTTCCGCCGCGCCGTCGCTACAATACGATGCGGCCGCCTCTTCGCCACGCAAGCCGAGATGATACAACCGGCGCCCGCGCCGCCGGGCTACTCGTCGGCCGCGGCGGGCGCCGCCTGGACGCGGCAGGCGCCGCCGTTCGTGTGGCATCCGGAGCTCAGCATCCCCTGGCCGGTCACGCACCGCTTCGCCATGTGGAAATTTGATGATTTGCGACGAGAACTTATTGACGCGGGACTGGTAACGAGCGAGACCGAGCTCTTCGCTCCCCGGGATGAAGCCAACAGTAGTGTCCTAGATGCGGCCATCCGGAGGGCCCATGATGCGAGTTATGTGGAGGCCATCGAGGGCGATTCCCTCGAGGTTTCGCTCTGGCGGCGGATTGGCTTCGTGGCGCGGCCGGACCACGCGCTGCTGATGAGACGTACAAGGTTAGAAATAGCCGGCACGTTACGAGCTAGGGATCTAGCTCTCAAGCACGGCCTCGCGTGCCAACTGGGCGGCGGGACGCACCACGCCCACAAAACGTACGGCTCCGGCTACACGATCTACAACGACCTGGCCGTCACAGCACTCGACGAGTGCGCACGGAGTGCGACAGCGAGGGTGTTAATTGTCGACCTCGACGTCCACCAGGGCGACGGCACGGCGCAGATTTTGCAGGGTCATGACCGCTGTTATACGTGGTCGGTGCACTGTTCTGTGAATTTCCCCTTCGGCTTCAGCGAGAAGCACGCGCCCCATTTGGGGAAGGACCGGTCGTCGCTAGATACGGCCCTGGAACGTGGGAGTGGGGATGCGGAGATGTTGGACGCTATCTCTGTCAATCTACCGGCGATCCTGGACTCCTTTGAACCTACGTTAGTCCTGTATGATGCGGGCGCGGACGCGCATGAAGTCGATGGATTGGGTCATCTGGAGTTGACTGACGCGGGCATGCTGGCGCGCGACACGGCGGTGCTACGCGAATGTGCTTCTCGTTCAATACCTGTGGCGACCGTCATCGGCGGCGGCTACGATCGGGATCGACGTCGCCTGGCGCGGCGCCACGCTACGATATTCCACGCGGCGCGCGCGGTCTGGCGCCAGTTCTACATGGCGCGGTAGTTGTTTAATAAGTGTGGTGTGTTTTATTCGTCGTCGAGCAGGGCTCTTGCCGCCGGGGGATGTCGCGTCGACGGCGTAGGGCTCGACGCGGAGACATGCGGCCGGGCTGCGAGTAGGAGTACCTGATCCCGGTCCGCGGCCGCGCCGCGCGGGCCGGCGAAGGTGCGTCCGCCGGGGCCGCAGGTCTCCGCGCCGAGACTTGCGTGGCCCGGGGAACGCCGGGGGCCGCTGCGGCGCCGCGAGTCGCCATGTATCCTAAGTAACTTCTAGTGAGCGCCGCGCTGGAGCGCCGCCTCGTTGCCGTGAGACGCGGGAGCGACGCCGAACGCTGCGCACGCGAGGAGCTAAGCACCACCGACGTCGCGCACGTAACTAGCGCCGCCGAAGGCTGCCCTTTGCCGGCACCGCACAAACACGTAGAGGCCAAACCCGGCCCTTTGCGAGGCTGCCTTCACGCGCCGCGAAGCGCGGAGGCTGCCCAGAACAGTCCAAGCAGCGCCGAGGCTGCCCTTGTGACCGCGACTAGCGGAGACACGCGACGATGGCCGAGGCAGCGGCCGCCGAGCCCGCCGCCGAGACGACGCCCGCCGCCGACATGACCGTCGAAGTGCAGCGGAGTCAAGTATTAGAGGAGACGCAGCCGGGCCACGGCGCGTCCGCGCGGCACATCTGGCCCGCGGCCTCGACGACGAGCGTCATGTGCGACGCGAAGAACCAGCGCATCCGCTCCGAGGCGGACATGAAGCTCCTCGCGAACCGCATCCAGCACCTCCAGCTCGCGGAGGAGCGCGCCCGCAAAAAAATCGCGGAGACGAAGTCGCGGACGTCGGAGATCATGGCCCTCAAAAAACGCAATTTGCTCTTCGCGGAGCAAAAAAAACGGCTCAAGGCCGAGCGCGAGATCACGATCTCGGCCCTGCAGCAGGCCGTGACGACGGCGAAGGTCTCGCAACGGGAGCATATTCGTGCTAGTAGAGCTCTGGCCGAATCTAGACGGCGCGACACCTCCAACAAGGTCAAGCAGACGCTGGCCGAGCTGAACGCGCGCCACGAGCGCGACATGGTGAACCTCCAGGCCAAGCACCGGACGCTCAACTTGATCGGACGCGAGGCGCATGAACGGCATCGCCAGGTCAAGGAGGAGCGGCGGGCGGAGCGCGAGCGACGGGTCAAGCAGCAGTACGCGGACGCGGTGGACGCGGAGACGGCGCGCGCGCTGGAAGCGCAACGGTTGATCAGAGAAATGGCCGAGCATGAAGAGAGGTTGATGAAGTCATTACGCGAGACGCAGGCCGCGCAGACGCAGGCGTTCGAGGATTTGCAATCGACCCTTAAGCTGTAAAATATTTAATCACTATAGATCGTGCCGACGACTGACGCGCCCACGATTGTGTCGACCTGTGTGTACATCAGGTTCCAGACAACGCGGCGACGGCGTGGGGGGTCGACGCGATGATTCCCGCACCGGCCCCGACGTCCATGCGCCGCAGCCGCTCGTAGAGGAGGTAGTCCTCCCGGTAGAGTTCCTTGGCCTTGGCCAGGACCTCGTAGCTCAACGACGGCGCCAAATCGCCGCGCGTCGAGCCCCACCCGGGCGGCTTCACGAAGTCTCGAGGCGCCCGCACCGTGCACCCGACGCGTCTCGTGAGAGCATTCAAGTCCGACGCGAGCGACTCGTACCGCAGCACGACGTCGCAGTCCCTTGTAAAATACGTCTGCGGCCAGAGGTGCCCGCCGAGCCCGTCCCACTGGCCCCTTTCGTACTTCTGAAACTTGTCGAGGATCCAGTTGTTCAGCCTCAATCGATTAGATGAGTCGGGGCCCATGTGGTAGCCCGCGACACTCGCTAAGTGTTGCGTCGGCTCGCGCAGCACACAAAACGTCTCACGTGCGGTGGAAGGTCACGGTCGTGTAGAGGGCGCATCTAGCTTTGAGGGCGGCGCCGTTCTGGAACGTGGACCTGGCCGTCCAGTCCACTACCAATTGGGCGTGGGCGAGCGTCGCGAGGAGCCACCTCATCATTGTCCGAGCGCCCACCGCGCGAGCGGGTAGACGACGAAGACGGCCGCGATTATAACGAAGAGGACGCCGTGGACGTCGACGGGGAGTGTCGGCGGCGGCTGGCGGCGCGTCGGGCGCTCTCTTTTCCAGGCGTCGGGATTCGTACCCATACGCTTTTTGGTTGTGTTTTGGGAGTTGGCTCTACCCATGCAGCAAATCGGTCCTGAGCGCCGAAAAAAAGTATTGGTCACGTCGCTGGAAATAAGTTGTTAATAACAGAACGCCGTCGGCGCGGCGAGACCTATTCACCCGACAAAAAAAGAGACCGTGAAGAGTTCATACCTAGCGAGGGTAAGACACTAGCAAGCGCAGCGGCCAAGCTGATTTGAGGCAGCCTCCAGCCCTCCGCTGGCCACCCGGCGAAGCTGCTGTGGTCGCTGCCCACTCGTCGTGCGCCGCGGCGCAGCGCTGCCCCGCGCCGCCCGCGCCACCAGCCACCCCATATATCAGACATCATGGCCTAGCGCCGACGCGATCCGCTAACGCCGCCGCCGCGACGCACGCACCATGCCCTCCGTCGTCTTGACGCGGCCCGGCGTCGCCTTCACCGACGCCAAGTCGAAGCCCGACGAGCAATTACTGCTCAAGAGCGCGAAGACGCCGGGAACGGGCGGCCGGTTCGGGACACCTAAGAGCCCGCCCTTTCCAGTAAATGAAGACGAGGACGAAACAGCTTTGGTACCCTACGGCGAGTCCATAGCGGTCGGCACGGAAGCTACACGAAGTTATGGAGGGCCCGAGGCCGTGTTTGCGATGTTGTATACCGCTCGCTCCGAAGCGGCAAGGACGTGCGCCGACCAGCGGCAGAAAGACATGCAGCGGTCCGCCTTCGACGGCACGCTGCGGTTCGGCCTCGCTCCCAAAATCGGCGCCGCGCTCAATGATCAGGAGACGCGCGACGCGCTCTTCGAAGCCTGTGGTCGTAATTGGAGAGAGTGTCTCGAGAGACCGGAAGATCAAGTAGGCAGGATCCGGGCCCTCTGGCTCCAGGGCACGCGCGGCGACTGCGACGAGCCGGAACCGACGGACCTCAAGAGACGACTGTTGTGGCGGCCGTGGTTTGAGTTAATGGGTCTCGGCCGGAGCGAGGCGCGCGTGCGCTTCATCCGGGAGCTCCACAAGGTCGACCCGGACCTCGTGGTCCCGAAGCTGCCGGGCCGGCCGCCGCCCGGGTTCCCGCGCATGGCCATAGGAGGGCATCCCATCTGCGCGCGCTGCAATTCCAGAAGAGGCTGCGACGAGTCGCTCTGTTTCACGACGACGGACGGAGAAGTCATCACGCTGGAGTACGCGCTGAGCGACCCCCGGACGCTCCGAGACGAAGAACGGACCCACGCTCTGCTGGACGCGGCGCTAGCTGCACCTAGATGTAAATATGGCTTCCACGAGAAGGTGGGCAGCGGCACGGCCTTCCAGTCCTACTTCGGGCTGCCGGGGCTGGGCGGGTTCCAGACGTATCGCGACATTGATGACAGAACTGGTAGAACGGCCGCCTTCGAAGGCGTGGCGGCCGCATATGATGGCGCCCTCGTGCGGGAGCACGTCGCGCATACTTGGTTGGAGAATCAATTGGAGAAGTTACAAGGTGTGCAGCGCGAGGCGTGCCGGGCCGCGCGCGACGAGCAGGCGGAGCTCATTGTTAATTTGCGCCAGCACTACAAGCGCTGGACGGGACGAGCTTTTAGGATGAGAGCAGCCTGCCAGAAGTACGACGTGCCCCAGTGTAACAGAAGGCGAGATATAATCGACGGCGGGCGCAATCACTATCACTTCCTCGCGGGCGACGACTTGCCTGGTCGAGCATCGGTAGAGTACGAAGCTACTTACAGAGGTGTCGCGGAAACGAGACGAGGCGCGCGGCGCATGGGCGTGCCCGTCGAGACGGGTCTCGTCGTGAAATACGTCTGACTCAGCGTCCGTTTCCTTCAATTTCTCAACTTGAACTTCGCGTCGATGGCGTCAACGCGACGCGATGCCACCGTGACGCCATCGAGGTGGCCGTATGAGAGTCTACGCGCCTCGTGAATGTCGTTCGACGCAGGTCGACGAGGACTCGCCGTTTCTTTCCGAACAATTACAAGGACCGAACCTGGCGATAGCGCGGCGGGCCGACGTCCTGTCCGAGCAGATCGCCGTCGAGCACCGGAAGTACTCCCAGAAGAACGAGGCGCGGGACTCGATCGCTCGTCGAGCGAGGTTGAAGGCGTCGCGGCGCGATTTGGTGTCCAAAGCTGCTTTTAAAGAAGCGGCGGCGTCGTTGCAGCGCGCGATCATCGCCCGGGACCTAGAAGCTTGTGTGTGTCTCTGTAGGGGAGGCGGTCCTTCGTCGAACGCTGAGACGGCTGGCGGGATCACCGCGCTTGGAGCTTGTGTCTTGCAACAGGACCGAGACGCCTGTTCGTCGCTGCAGAAGGAAGGCATTGACTTGGATTACCCGGCGCGCGCGACTGGATTATCCGCGCTGGCGTTGGCGTGCAAGCGCGGAGATCCCGTGATGGTGCACCACCTGCTCGACTTGGGAGCTTCGGCGCTCATGCCCTTCGCCCACAAGAAGTGCGGGAGTCTTCAGAAGACGAAGGATGATTATGTTCCGCTCTTCGAGCGCGAGACGCAGGAGGAGTACGAGGCGCGACGAGTCGTGTTGCCACCACTGGTGGCTGCTGCCTCTGCTGCACAATTACACTGTATAGATGTAATGGTGGAAGAAACGGAGCGGGAGCACGGCCCCGAGACGGTGCAACGACTGCTCGACCAACCTTACGGCCCGGACAATTATACGGCACTTCATCTCGCGGTGACGCGGCGAGACCTGCGGACCTGTGTTCATCTCGTGAAGAAAGGCGCAAGGACCGAAGTCGGCGACGCGCGAGGTGTGTCCCCTTCGGAACTCGCGATCCACATGCAGCAGCCTAGACTAGGAGACTATCTGCGGCGAGTGCGACGAGTGGGCCGCGAGGTCGTCTCGACGAGAAAGGACCAAGACCTCGAACGAGCAGCACTACTACAGTACGCTCGACTGGAGCGAGCCATAGAAACGGGCCAGGGCGTCATCGAGGACAAAAACACATCTCTCAGTGTCATCCGAGGAGGAGATTGCGCGCCAGACCAAGAAACCCGAACAGGGACCACAGCTTTATTTGTGGCCTGCCACGCGGGCGACGCGAAGCTCGTGCACAACTGTGTGGAAATCAACCGGTGCGTCGGGTGCTCGACGATTCTTCACTAAGTCATTTCTCGGCGATGACGCGGCCGTCCTGGCTCGGTCGAGCGGCGAGGAACCGGCATCGCCACGCCATCGAGCAGGCGTCGCGTCGATGGCGTGGAGGGCGACGCGGCGATCCAGCACGAACGCGCCGTAAAATTTTGATTTCCACACAGGTCCACAATCTATGCCTAGCCGGCTGCGACCCGAACTATCAAAATAAAAACATGCGGACGGCGCTGATGGCCGCGGCAGATGTCACGGACCTCGACTGCGTCCTCGCGTTGTTACGACATGGCGCCGACGCGTCTTTAAGGGATGTGGCCTGTTCGAACGCTGGAGGGTTCGCCCTCAAAAGGGGCAGTGGACCTACGACCGACATCGGCGTCGTATTGCTCGCGGCGCGCGACCGGGGCCCGGCGAACGCCATCGACGCCTACGAGGCCCTCGACGCCTACCGACGCACGAAGAAGTACCTACAGTCACTAAAAGTGACGAAGGCCCTGCTCGAGGTCGACGTTGATACGAAGGACCCCCGTCAGATGAGTCTCAATGATGTGTTGAACAGCCCGGAGCGGGCCGACGGCGACACTACTTGGCGATGGAGGCTTAAACCAAGAGAGATACCAGTAGCGTTTCTTGGGTCTGGGGATCTACCTGACAGAGGAGTATATAAAATGGACGACGTTTCTGAGTCTACAAGACAGTCTCTTGAATCATTGGAGCCGGTGCAGACGATACCGCGACGGTCGGTGTCGCGGTCGCGACGGAGGCGGGGCAGCAATTTCGTGGAGAAGCAGGAGCTGGCCGCGCAACGGCGCCAGAAGGACCGCGACGACGCGCGCGACGCCGCCGACGCGGCCATGGCGTACCTGCAGTCGCTACGCGACCCGCTCGGCGACCTCAAAGGCTCTTATCGCGCGAAGTACGGCGACGCGTCGACGCGCTTCATGGTCCGCGGCGAGTTAAAGGAGGCCAGGGAGCACTCCACCCAGCGCTACAAGGGCATGTCCCTGGTCATCAGGGAGTCCTCGTCTTCTGACTACTCGTCGAGTGATGAGGACACCGCGTGCGCACCAGCGCCGGCGCCCGCGCCCGCGCCGGCACCTGCGGCAGCCCCGGCGCCCGCGCGCCTGCCCTCACCTGTCAGACGTCGACGCCCGGAGACGCCGGAGGGTCCGAGTCCAGCCACACCGAAGGAGCGGTGGTTCGACGCGGCGCGGCTCGAGGACGACGTCCTGCAGCGCTTCCTCGACGGCGATGACGACGCCCGAGATGCGAGGGACGCGCGCGACGACTTATCGTCGGACGACGAGGACGACGTGTACGGCGAAGACACGGAGGTCGAGTTACGGCGGGGCGAGCGGCGCCACCGCGACGCGTTTCGCAGACAAATGCAACAGCAACGGAGGCGAGGCTATCAATCAAAGTATAGAGCACCGGACGGCCTGGCCGACCCCTGGGAGGACGCGCGGGGCCACGAGCACTTCGGGATCGATGTGGAGGCGTGGCGCGAGAACTTGGAGCGATTACGTCGTATTGTGGACGACGACAACGAGTTCGCGGGCGACGAGGCCCTGCCGCCGGACCCGCCGGAACTGGAATTTGCGAAGTATAAATGCCGACGGAAGGAGTTTGGCGAGGCGGCTGTTACGTTAAGACGACTACTGGCCAAACAAAAACGCGTTTTCAGGAGGGAGAATAGAAGAGCCCTGGAGGGCCCGTCCGAAAGGGAGTTGCGCATGACGGAGGAGCAGCGAGCAAAGTTCTTCAAGCCTAGGCATAAACGGTCCCGAGATGCCCTCGAAGTCCAAGTGTCGAGAACGTTAGTTGCTCTCGCGGACGTCGAGGTCGAAAGGGGCAGGCCCCACGTCGCGCTGTACCTTCGCAAGAGGTCGCTGGCGACGCATCTGCGAGTATTGGGTCCACCTTTAGTCAAGGGAAAACGCTCTCGAGACTTGGATAAACAACTCGCTGCTACGGCGGAGCTATTGCAATTGTTAGGTTCGGACGCGATGGCTGCTGCTCTATACGGTGATCTACACCGAAGATATGCTAGATCCAAAGTCGAAGAACGTAGAAACTTCGCGCATCGCATGCTGGAAAGAGCGGAAGCTATCCTGCCAGACTACGAGACAGCACTACGTAGAACCCCTCGCGACGACCCGTCGCATCTCCTAGACGACGGCGTGCTACCGTCATCCCAACGGAATAAACTGAGAGAGATCCTCGACGCGCGCGACGACATTACCATAGAATCCGGGGAGTCGAAAGATGAATTGCAGCAGATGGTCGACAAGTACTCCTAGTAAGCTTCCTTGTGTTTTCCTTTGTTTGGCCTCTCCCGTCGCTATCCCGCGGGGCCGCCTCGCCGTCGTCGCCTGCGAGGCAACACTCGGGGCGGCGGCGTATGGGGGCCGGGACGGGCGTTGTGTCAAGCAGGCCCCGCGGCGGCGTGGTGGCTAGGCAATGTGTCTTAGGCCGTCTCGCGCCAGAAGCTAAGGATGTTCCAGACGATGCCGTTGTCCCCCTGGCGGACGACGAACTCGAGGGCGCGCGCCTGCCGTGCGTCGCGGCCGCGCGGGCGTCGCGTGCGAGGAAGCTTGACGCGACCTCGCGCGACGAGGGAGCGGAGCCGCAAGACTTCTTTGTGAGCCAATCTGCAATGGGTTTTCCAGCTGCCGGCCGCGCGCACGCTCGCGACGAGATTTCTGACGTCTCCAGCATAGGCCCCGTCAATGCTATTCAGGTGAGATCTCAGGTGCTCTTCGAAAGACCGAGGCCCTCTATGTCGGTGCGTAATATCCAGCGACGCGCCCGCCCTGAGCAGTGGTGTAACTACATCAATGGTGGACTCAGATATCCGATCAATACAAAAGAGTGGTGTGCGGCCCGCGTCATCCCGCGTGCTTACCGTTGCACCGGCGGCGACGAGCATAGAAACCATGGCTGCCGTGGCTTCGCCCCTGATAAAACCACATGCAAAATGGAGCGCGGTCGATCCATCAAATCTTTCTGCCGTAGCGTTGACCCGCGCGCCTTGTGATATGAGGTGGCGCGCAAACTCGACGTGCTCCGGGGTCAGGTCGCCCACCACGGTCCAATGAAGAAGCGTCCAATCGGCACCATCACTAGAGTTGACCGAGCGCGGTGCAGACGCGCTGCCGCCCGCGAGCCAAGCTTTGACTAATTGAAACTCTCCATCCATCGCGGCCTCTGCAATCTCCTCTGGAAGGTCGCTATTCATTTTTTGTTGATGCGGAATCTCATACGTCCAGTCGCCGACGCCTACGTCTATTACCGGCGCCGTATCATGCCTCGAAGCCTATGCTAGTATCTTACCACCGCTAGCTGGCTGTGCCGGTGCCGGTGGCTTTTCATCCTGTATTAATGCAATCGACCAGTGAACGATCGATGGAGATTCATGTTTGAGGTCCCCGTGGTCTACAGCGCTGGCTTGGTGCTTGTGGTCGTAGTGCTGGTAGGTGTGCTGATTGCGCTCTGCGTCTCCCTGCAGCCGGCCTTTGCGGACACGCCAAGAAGAGTGATACGCCAGTTCTCGTTCACGCCGCGCGGCGTGCAGTCGCCGCGCGCCTACTTTGCGGGCACGCCGAGGCAGCGCTTCCGATGATCCGTAGATTGTCAATAGACGCGAAGGCCTTCTGCGACCGCTTACGGTTAAGAGCGAGGGGCGGACGGGGTGGCCGGGGCGCGGTGGCCTGGGACGTGACGAACCGATCGAGAGGCCGCAAACCGGCCGGCGGGTCCGGCGGCACGGGCGGCGACGTCATCGTGCGCGTGGTAGCTCATAAAGACGCGCTCGATTCCACAAGACGCTTCGCGGTTGGTGAGGACGGCACGAACGGCGGGCCGTCCATGAGAAGAGGCCGGGACGGCCCTCCGACGTACGTGGACGTGCCTCCACATACAGCAGTCAACGGCACGGTCCTCCACCGTCCTGGTGAAGAACTTATTGTAGCACGCGGCACGAGAGGAAGCCCGGGCAACGGCGTCTACCGAGGACAGGGCGCTTTCGGGCTGACCGCGTCCGCAGCACCTTCAGACGTCGTCGTCGACCTGGAGATGACGCTCGCCGCCGACGTGGCGCTCGTGGGCAGCCCAAACGCCGGAAAGAGTTCTCTACTGAAAGCTTTATCGAGAGCAGAACCAAAAGTCGCGCCCTACCCGTTCACGACGACGCACCCCGTGATAGGTGTGGTGGAGTTCGAGAACGAATCGGAGCTTGACGTCGTGCGCGTGCTAGACGTGCCTGGATTGTTGGAGGGCGCCGCTTCGGGGAAAGGGCTGGGCGACGACTTCTTGCGGCACGTGGCTAGGTGTGCTTCTGCCTTACATGTTGTTGATGCGTCATGTGACGATCCCGTCGGCGATTTGGCGACGGTGCGGGGCGAACTTTTGAGGTTCGGCTTGGACATGCCGTTCCGCGTCCTGCTGTCGAAGAGCGACCTCGTGGCGCCTGAGAGACTGTCCGAGCTCGAGGGAGCTCTCTCCCAGTACAATGTGAGTGTCGCTTCAACAATGAGTGGTGAAGGCCTCGGCGAGGCGGCGTTGGCCTTGCGGCGACTCGCCCGCGCCGTCGCGACGCGTGGACCCTCTGACGGCCGCGTCGACGGCGTCGAGGCGACGCGATCCCATGAAGACGACGCGGGACGACGACGACCACCCCTGTAACAGTTATATACTTAGTATACGGGGGGCCGCAGCCGGGCCCCATGCCTCGTAGCCCCCCAGACGCCATCGCCGCGACCGCCCGACGCCTCCGACGCAGGCGAGAGCTCAGGGCCCCGCCGCCTGGTTCGTCATCGTGCGCGCGTGCTGTTTTTCAGCCCAAGAGACCTCTTTGCGAGCAACAGCACAGGGCTGGTTCGTCACCGCAACCACCCTTTCCCAGGTCCTACCTCTAGCGTTCATGCTTCGCGGCGACGTCCGCGCCAGCTCGGGAATGGGGATCATCACGCTCTTGTTCTTGACCAGCCCGACCGTAAAACCCGTGTAGCCCGCCATCGCGCCGTGGGCGGCGGCATGCGCCAGCAGCATGCATAAGTAGCTATCACCCGCATCGGCAGGAACGGACCGGACCATGTAGCTCGGATCGATGTACTTCACCGTAACCTCCCTATTAGTACTTTTGAAGTAGCTCTTGATCTGCTTCGTGAGCCAGGCGCCGATGGGCGGTAACTTTTTGTTGCCGCCCGCGTCGACTTCCGCAGACGCTCCCAGTAGTTCCTCCCCAGCCCCTTCCGCCACCACAACAACCGCGTGACCTTTCTTGTCGACCACTCGCTCCAAGTGAGGCAAGGCGTCTTCCAACACTATAGGCACTTCCGGAACTAAGCATAGGTCGACGTCTTGGGACGCGAGCGTCGCGAAGGCGGCCAGGAAGCCGGCACTGCGCCCCATCAATTTGACCACTCCGATGCCGTTCGGCCGGTTGCTCTCGGCTTCGGTCCTTGCGGCCTCGATCGCTCTTGTAGCTTCGGAGACCGCGGTCATGAAGCCGAAGGAGCGGTCGATGATGCCTGCGCGTTCGCGTGGTCGCGGCGACGCCGTCGACGCGACGCGAAAGACAGACGCCGCGTCACGCACCGATGTCGTTGTCGATTGTTTTTGGAACACCGGCCACCGAGACGTCGACGCCCTTCTCCCAGCAGAGCTCCGCGAGCTTGTAGGCGCCTCTATGGGTCCCGTCGCCCCCGATGACGTAGAGCTGGTTCACGCGCTTCGCTCGCAGCCACTCCACAATTTTTTCCGCATCAAAGCCGCCCCTCGAAGTACCTAACAGAGTACCGCCCTCCCTGTGTATATCCTTGACGCAGTCCGCCGTGAGTTCCAAGGGAGCGTCCCAGCCGACACTCGTGAAGCCGCGGTAGCCACCTTTGATGCCGTAGATCTTCTCGACGCCGTATCTCGACTCCAATATCTCCACGAGATTTTTTACTACTGTGTTCAACCCAGGACACAACCCGCCGCACGTCACGATAGCACACCTCGTGTCCTGCGGGTCGAAGTGGAGCTTCTCCCTCGGTCCTGCTCTCGTATAGGCCTTTGTCGTATGAGAGGGTCCATTGAGCACAATGTCGCCGAGGACGCAATCCTCATCGGAGACAAATTTCGCGTACCCGAAGGCCGCCACGTTCGACTTGTTCGCTCCCGGAAAGCCCTGGTCGCGCAGGTGGGGAATTTTGATCACATTCACTTTCTCCACTGTGAATCTGTCGTCGTCGCAGGCGGCGACGGCCGTGCCCGTAAGAGCGTAGGGCGCCGTGCGCCGTAGCAGTTGGGCGGCGCGGCGCATGGTTCTTTCGTGCACCTCTGCCGCTGCGTCGGCGTGCGGTGACTGCTCTTAGCTGCAGTTTCTTTCCTGGAGGCCACCTGCTGGGTTTGGCCTCTGTGGCTACTCTCGCTGCGCGATTGAGGTACGGCGCAGCGCCGGGCTGTGCAGTGATGGTTTCCGGCAAGTCTTGGTGCAAACCAGCTTGTGTACGCAGCGGCTCCCGGCAAAAAATGCGAGTGGGCCGCGGGCCATGGCAGGGCTAGAGTCTCACAGGCGCTAGCGCGAACGTGGGTTGCGTTCATCGTCGGAGGCCGCCCACGAGTCCAAGCCCCGCAACAATAAACACGGGGCTACACAGTCATCTTGCTTACGACGCGGACGGGGCGGGCGGGTAGTGTTTGTTCAGGTACGCGCGGCAGCGCTCGGCGGGGTCCGCGTCCGGCGCGGCGGCGAGGTCCGTCGCGAGCTCGATCAGCAACCGCTCGGCGGCGCGCGACACGGTGCAGTTGTCGAGTCTCAGACCGACGGGCGGCTCGGTCGACTTGGACTCCTCGACGCCCTCGTCGGCCCGGGCTTCACCATCCGCCGCCGCGGCCGCCGTGGGGTCGGGTGCGACGTACTGGGCGAGCGAGCCCAATAAAGATTGTGAGGGCGGCACGGGCGGCGGCAGCGGCGCCTCGACGGGGGCCACGATGCGGCCCAACCGGCCGAAGAAGCCGAGCTGCTCCTCGTCGTTGGCGGGCGGGGCGGCGGCGGCGGCCATGATTTACGGATCCCTGCGCAGCTGCGCTCGGTGCAATAATTCACTGGGCTTGTCCTGGGCTTGTCCGGCCAGTTGTGGCGAGCAACTGCTCTGCGTGCGCTGTGAGAATAATAAACCCGACGCAATCGTGTGACCAGGCGTTTGCTCGCGCTCTTGGGGCCAGAGACGCAGACGCGTTTTGCTCGGCTGGCGTGTCGGGTTTTACGAGCCAATTTTGCATCGATAACTCGGCTAATGCGCAGATCCAGGGCCTAAAAAGTTGTCGGCGCATCTATTTGTAACGGTTGAACTACGCGACAGCGTTAAAAGGCAGCGCGGTGAGTCTGCGAGGGACTGCTCGATCATGCGCCGCCTGCTCCGGGCGCTGCCGCGGCGCACGCCGCGTTGCACGCGTGCCGTCCGCCGCCTCAGCAACGATAAATCCCTGGAGGACCTCATCAAAAAGAAGACGGCCGCCGCCGTCGCCGCAAATCGGCCCCCACCACAGAGCACGGCGGAAGCGCCGAAGACGGCTATTGTGCCGCCGGACGTGGCCCACGACCTGTGCCACGAGGTGGGCTGGGAGAGTCGCCACAGTTTTGTCGACGTGCGAGGCACTGAGGCGTTCGCGCGCGGGCGACCAAAAGGCGCCGTGAACGCGCCGTTCGTCGACGGCACGCTGGACGCGGACGTGATCCCGGCCGAGCCGGGCCGGCTCGTCGTCGGCGGCGGTTCCCAGAAGAGCGTCGCGGCGGCGGCGGATCTGTTAAGAGCGCGCGGCTTCGACGTCATTGCGATGGCCGGCGGTTTCGACGCGTGGCGGGGGTTGGGGTTGCCGGTGGACGTCGACGGCGTCGTGGACGACGAGGACGACGACGACGGGGACCCGGCGACGTGGAACTAAGGGTGTCTTGTTGTGATTCGTTCCCGAGGGTCGGAGAGAGAGAGAGTCGCTCATTGGGCCAGCCCCTCTAGCAGCACGGACCACGAGTTTTGCTGGATATTGTTGCGCTGTTAGGACTGGTGGGCGGGGCCCCCGAGTGGCGAAAACCCCGTAATGCACCTTGCTAGTGTCTTACTGGCCGCTAGCGCGCTTTGCCTAAAACCAAAAGCCAAGGCTAGCTCAAGCGCTGCTCGTCTGTGCGGCTGGCGGCTGCGGACACGCGGCTTTGACACTCCACTCGCGCTCCTGCACGCGGATAAGCCATTCGCGGTCGCGCAAGCCTCGTACCTAGCTTCCAAGCCCTTAACCAAAAACGCGCCAGGATCGCAGCGCGCCGGAGCACGTAGAAACGCGGTCGACGCCATGGCGGACCCGGACGCCACCAAACAAGAAGAGAAGCCCCCGTCACCCAGAGATGTCGTCAAAGTCCTGGCCGAGCTCGGGTACGCCTACAAGGCCCCGGAAGGCGGAACAGTGAGTGACGAGCGTTTGACACAAGTCGACGACGAGTCAAAAGGCTTCGAGTGGAAGGGCCAGGAGAACTATGACGCCGTCGCGGCGGCCTGCGCGTTATATTGCAAGACGAGATTAGTGCTCGCCAGTGGTCTCATGGAGACGGCTTTGGGGGAAGCGCGGTGCTGGGCGCACCCGAGCGACGCGGGTCCCAATGCTCCCATTATCTTCCTGGTCTGCGGGTCGTTTCCTGGTGGGAGCGCGGGCGTCTGGGGTCGCTCTTTATGTGTCAACGGTACCTTACGCGAGGGCGGCATGTTTGATTATATAGAACGGTGTCGCAACGAGTTGGGCGCGAATGTTGTAGTAGCGGACCCGAACGTGAGCGAGGAGGCCGGGCGCATTGTTGCGGGTTCAGAAACACCACATAGACATCTCTCTACTTTATATTCCAGAGCTATTCACAAGGACGAGACGCGACCGATCGCGATCGTCGCGCACTCGTACGGCGCGTCGGCCGTCGCGTTCTTGTTCAAGGACAAGCCGCAGTGCCGCGCTCGCATCAAGGCCGTGGCGCTCACGGACGGATGCGCTCTCTACGGCTCCATCCTCAAGGAGGAGGTGCCGCCGTCCGGTTCGGCGAGGCTTGAACACAACCGCAAATACGCGCCGGCGGCCTTCGAGGACGATTCTGAGGCGGGTGCCGCGTACGCTAGTGTAGCGCGGAACTTCGTCTCTTCCTCGGAGCCGGCGGGCACGCCCCTGCCGGGCCGGGGCCCCTTCGAGAGCGTCTCCGCGGGGCACACCTCCCATCCGGCCACGACTCATGCCGCGACCGAAGAAGTGTTTTCATTCTTGAAGGAGAAACTGGCTAAGTGAAATTATCCTCCAGATTCCTCCTCAACAATGTGGGAGAGGCGGTCCCGACCGTCGCTACTCTTGTAGAATCTTTGTAGAGGAGGAAGGTCGGCGTGCTGTCGACGCCGGCCTGTTCCGCGAAGGATCGATCCGTCGTCGAATCAACTCTCAAAAAGCGCACTCCGTTGAACGACTGCTGCATGCGCCGGAAGTGGGGGTCCATCCGTCGACACGAGTTGCAGAACTTGGCCGTGATAAAGACGACGGCGTCGCCCGCGACACTATCGGGAGATGAGGGCACCTCGTCCACCTCGATGTCATCATCGTAGTCGCCACTATCTAACGCTTCGTCTAGAACATCGAAGCTCACGGCGCCGAGCGAGGGCGCGAGCAAATCGATCCCGAAGCGCTTGCGCGTCTCGCCGTCGGCCGGCCAGCCCAGCGCCTCGCCGTACGCCTCTGCGGCTTCGCCGATCGCTAAAGATGCGGCCGCCTTAATTGGATTAAAAAATTCTTTGGAAACGGAGGGCGCTTCCTCCAGGACATCCGCGGGCGCCTCATTCAAAGCCTTTTCGATCCGCGCCACGACAGGATCGAACGCGATGGCTGGCGGCCTTTGTTCCCCTAGGCCCCAGTCCTGCGCGTGCCTGGCGTCAAATAAAGTACAAGAGACGTAGCCCTTTCTACTACCTTCATCTCCGACATAATCCAGGACCAACCCGTAGTCCTCGTCGTCGTCGTCGTCGAGCGCCGCCGGGTGGAAGGCCATGGCCGCGCCGGCGGCGTAGGCGTCGTCGTCGCCGTTTCTTCGCGGAGTCACGACCGTCACGTCCGCGCCGAGACTCGTGAGGAGCTCGCACGCCGCTAGGGCCTCGGGCGTGGCGCCGAGTAACGTGACGGTTTCTGGCGTAGCTTTGAGTCCTTCGGTGGCCAACGCGGCGGCGCATTCGATAGTTGTGAGGATGCACAGCGGCGCCAGCGGTTTCGGGACGGAGACCGTGAGCGGGACCGTGGCGCCTATGGTCGCTGCGTCGCAGAGGCCCGCTATTGGTTCTCCTGTTTCGTCGACGCCGCGCACGGCGACGAGCTCGTGCGCGGCGCCCGCGCGGCCGCCGAAGGGCGCGAGGAGGGCGCCCGCTACTCTTCGGGTCGCGAGGTCCTGGACTTTGCATGTCTGGAGAGCGGCCGCGGCTGCCAGGCATGTGGCCCAGAGGGGTCGCATCGTCCTGCCCTAGTGATCGTTCTTCAGTGCACTAGTGGGGCAGGCCAATCGAGCAGGCCAATCGAGACTGATGGCTGATATTGCAGCTGTAGGCTGTAGCAGTGTGATGGGTGGCGGCGCTGCAGCAGTGGCGTATTGCTGGACAGCTGGGCCCGCCGCCTACAGCCAGAGCGCGTTACGAGCTCGCGCGCTGGATGCAGCAAAAAGCATGCTAGTATGTCTTACAGCACGCTAGCTCAATTTTGGCTGGTTGTGTGATTGCTGCCGTGCCAAAGGGTTCAGGAGCCGCCTGCGACCCGTTTCCTAGACGGCGACGCGCGCGCCAGCCGCCGCGACCCGTTTCCACAAGTGCCAGAGTGCAGCACGCTGGGATGCCCCAACCCGGCAGCAGCCGGCGGCGGCCCGCGGCGACGCCCTTGCCCTACCGACGGCTCATCATTCCCTTACTGCTCTTCTTCGTCGAAGCTCTGGCCACGTCCGTCGTGCTGCCTTTAACGCCGTTCTTAGTCCGAGCGCACGTACAGCACGATTACGCGGTAGGCTACTACTCCGGGTGCATGAACGCGGCCTTCGTCGCGGGCCAAGCTATCTCTTCAATAATCTGGGTCGCGTTATCGGAGCGGTGCGGCCGGCGGAGCGTCCTGCTTTCATGTCTACTGCTGACGAGCGGATGCCTAGTCATTTTTGGCGCCGCGCCCACGCTCCTCATCGCCGTCATAACACGCTTCGCGCAAGGCCTCGCAAGTGGCACCAGCGTCGTCGGGAAGGCCTACGTCGCCGATGTAACAGACGCAACGAACGAGGACTCCGCCTTCGCAATAGTCGGCGTCGTCTACGGCGCCGGTTCCGTGGTCGGGCCCCTGGTCGGAGGTTTTCTTGCAGCACCGCCGACCTTCGTCGAGCCCTGTGCCGCGGTGGCGGGTTTTTCTCTACTCAGCTTCATTGCGGCCCTCATACTCCTCGAGCCGAGCACGGCCTACGATCCACTGGATGACGCCGCGCAACCCGCCGCCAAGGCCGTCGTCGACGAGGAGGCCCCGTTCGCGAGTGGTATCCGAGGCCTCGATATTACACTTGAGGACGAACCTCCGCGGACACTGAGGGAGGTCCTTTCGGACCGAAGGAGTCCCCTCGTGCCCTTGTTATTCTCCTTCGTGCTTTGTGCTTTGTCTACGACGGCCTTTTCGGAGGTCATTCCGCTGCTCGCGTTTGCACGCGAAGGCTTGGGTCTCGACGTGATGAGAGTAGGATTGATCCAGAGCATCGCTTCATTAACAGCATTGCTCGGTTCCCATCGCATCAAGCGGACTCCACCAGCAGCCTACGAAATCGCGCTGCTGGTGTGTGCCCTCTTCGCGTACCCGCTACCGCCCCTGGTCGCCTCGTACGCGCCGCGCTGGTATCTCCTCGTCATCCCGAGCTCAATCGCAGCCTTAGCCGCGGAGGTTATGATGGGGGCGCTCCACAAGATGCTCTCGAAGGCGGCGCCCGGGGACGTCGCGGCGTCGGCGCTCGGCGCGGGCCGCGCGGTCGCCCTCGTGGGTTTTGTCGTGGGCCCCGTCGCGGGGGGAAGCCTCTTCGCGGCGAGTGCGGGGCCCTCGGGGCTGCCCCCCTTTCTGCGGCGGGGCCGCCTCGCGTTCGCGTCTTGCGCGGCGGTCGCTCTCCTGAACGCGCGGCTCGCGTCCGCGCTGCCGCCGTGGCCCGCGGCGCGGGGGCGGGCCTGGCGGCGGCCGCGTTAGTGTGTTGTCTTTTGTGGATCTTTTTTGGGAGTTGTCTCTCCCGCGAGCCAGGAAAAATAGCGAGTTATTTCGTTGCGGCCGGGCGCAGGCGTCCGCTGAGCCTTCGCGGACCCGTGTTCGTGCTACCGGGGACGACCTCAGGATCATCATGATGATAACTATACCTAGGTATGATGATAGCGCCTCCGATCCGCTGTACCATGGTACAAGCTCGCGCAAAGCACACGCCGCAAATTGGAATACTTGAACGGGGCGCTACCAAAGGCAGCCCTACGGCACGTCAGCGAGAAAAAAGACCCCGCGCAGCCGTCGCGCGCATCAGAAGCTCCCATTGGAGCACAGCTGCACAGGCACGCGGTCTACCGCCCCGACGCCGCGCCGTCCAGAAGATGGCAGCGGCCGAGAAGAAGGGCGGCTTGATTTGGAATTCCACGCTGAAGGGCGGCGCCGCGGCGGCTTGTTCGGCGTTCGCAATTCGCGCGGCGACGCGCTGCTCCGGCGAGTCCGGGCTGCTCGGCGCGGTGCCAACGATGAGCCTGGGCGAGGACAACAGCTGGCGGTCGCTGGCTACCGCTGCCGCCGTGGCGTGCGTCTGGGCCTTTTTCTGCGTCGTCGGCGCGCTATCAGCGCTCGCGGCGGCCCTCAATACCTTTGGAAGCTCCGCGAGGCGCTCGGGCTGGAACGCACGCCTCGCCGGCGTGCTGCTGGCCTCGACGGCGAGACTCGCCGCGGCCGGACCGGCAAACGCGTCCGTCGCGCCGTTCTCGGACGATATTTCTCGGACGAAGCTCACGGGCTACGTCTTCGCGGAGCACGTGCCCACGGAGTTCGAGAACGACATGCACTACCTCCAGGACGCGGCGGGCGAGGACGTCGAGCCGCTCGTCGAGGAGGGCGGGCACGACGGCCACGACCACGGCCGCCGCCGCCTCGACGACAACAGCGGACACGACCACGGCGGTGGCAGCGACGCGCCCTGGAGTAGCGGTTGGTTCGTGGACTCGGCGTTTCCGAACTCGCTAGCGTGGTCGCCGGCGCCGACGATGCACCGTGGCCAGCGACGCCTAGGCACCGCGATGGACGACAGCAGCATTCGAGACGCCGTGGCGGCGTGGCTCTCGGACGAAACTGCCGCCGAGGCAACGTACGGCCACATTTCAACGTGGGAGACCGGAGGGGTGACGGACATGTCGAACTTATTTTGCGCAGACGAGGACGAAACGGTTTGCAACGAAGCAGCGGCGTCCTTCAACGAGGACATCGGCGCGTGGGACACTTCGGGCGTCACGACGATGAAGATGATGTTCCAATCCGCCTACGCCTTCGACCAGGACATCAGTGGTTGGGCGGTCCACAGCGTCACTGACATGTTCGAGATGTTTGGAGACGCCTCGGCCTTCGATCAGGACATTGGTGATTGGGACACCTCCGGCGTCAAGAACATGGCAGGTATGTTCGACGGCGCCTCGGCCTTCGACCAGGACATCGGCGCGTGGGACACCTCCGGCGTCACGTCGATGTCCGGGATGTTCACCTCCGCCTCGGCCTTCGACCAGGACATCGGCGCGTGGGACACCTCCGGCGTCACAAGGATGGACTTGATGTTCGGCTACGCGTCGGCCTTTAATGGGGACATCGGCGCGTGGGACACCTCGGGCGTCAAGAGCATGGAGAGGATGTTCGACTCCGCCTCGTCCTTCGACCAGGACATTGGCGCGTGGGACACCTCCGGCGTAACAAGCATGAGCAGGATGTTCATCGGCGCCTCGGCCTTTAATCAAGACATCGGTGATTGGGTGGTCCACGAGGTAAGTGGATATAATATGGGGCAGATGTTCTTCTACGCCTCGGCCTTCGACCAGGACCTCGGCTGGTGCCTGGACGACGACGTGAACCTATTCATGACGTTCGACTACACCCCGTGCGAGTCGACGTCGTGCGGCGTCGTGCAAGTTGAGAACTCTGGCGATTGCACGAGCACAGGAAACGTCATGGCCAATGGGAAGATCAGAATTGCAGTTGCAAGGTGGCTCTCGGACAGCGCCGCCGCCGAGGCGACGTACGGCCACATCTCGACGTGGGAGACTGGGGCGGTGACGGACATGGAGGAGTTGTTCCTGTTCCGCGACTCGTCCTTCAACGAGGACATCGGCGCGTGGGACACCTCCGGCGTCACGACGATGCGCTGGATGTTTGTCGGGGCCTCGGCCTTCGACCAGGACCTCGGCTGGTGCCTGGACGACGACGTGGACCTGAACTGGGCGTTCTACGACACCCCGTGCGCGTCGACGTTTTGTGGCGTCTCGTGGGGCGGCTGCGACATCCCAAGCAATGGTAATGTCATGGCCAACGGAAAGATCAGAATTGCAGTTGCAGCATGGCTCTCGGACGCGACGGCCGCCGAGGACACGTACGGCCACATCTCGACGTTTGACACATCGGGGGTGACGGACATGTCGTACTTATTTTGCGCAGACGAGGACGATTGCAACGAAGCAGCGGCGTCCTTCAACGAGGACATTGGCGCGTGGGACACCTCCGGCGTCACGACGATGGAGGGCATGTTCCACGACGCCTCGGCCTTTAACCAGGACATCGGCGCGTGGGACACCTCGGGCGTCAAGAGCATGGAGAGGATGTTCGACTCCGCCTCGTCCTTCGACCAGGACATTGGCGCGTGGGACACCTCCGGCGTAACAAGCATGAGCAGGATGTTCATCGGCGCCTCGGCCTTTAATCAAGACATCGGTGATTGGGTGGTCCACGGCGTAAGGGGATATAATATGGGGCAGATGTTCTTCTACGCCTCGGCCTTCGACCAGGACCTCGGCTGGTGCCTGGACGACGACGTGAACCTATTCATGACGTTCGACTACACCCCGTGCGAGTCGACGTCGTGCGGCGTCGTGCAAGTTGAAAATGTCGCAGACTGCCCGACGCCGAATCCGACGCCGCGCCCCACATTTCGGCCGACGCCGAAGCCTACTCAGCGCCCGACGCCGAAGCCGACGTCGAAGCCGACGCCGAAGCCGACCGCGCGCCCGACGTTTCCAAGTCCAACTCCACGGCCAACAGCGCCTCCGACGCCAGCGCCCAGCAAGCGGCCGACGCCCAGGCCGACGCCTCAACCCTCACGGCGGCCGACGCCGCGCCCGACGCCGCAGCCGACGGTCCCTCAGCCGACGCAACGGCCCTCATGGCGCCCGACGCCGGTGCCTGTGCGGAAATCGTAGTTTGTTATTGGCACGCCAACTCACCGCTTGATTCCTACACAGATCGCGTCCGACCGCGCGCCCGACGCCGCGGCCTAGCGCGAGACCGACGCTGCGCCCCACGCCAGCGCCGAGCCCCCGACCGACGCCGCGGCCTAGCGCGAGACCGACGCAGAGACCCACTCCTCGGCCGACGCCTATTCCCTCGCCACTACCGACATCGCGCCCGACGTTGCGTCCCACGCCCGGACCGACGCCGCTGCCGGGAAATCCTACTCAACGGCCTACCCCACAACCGACTCCCAGGCCTACGCCGCGCCCGACTCAGCGGCCGACGCAGCGCCCGACTCCCAGGCCCTCGCAGCCACCGAGTCCTAGGCCGTCGCCCGCGCCGACGCCGGCCCCCACGCCGGCGCCGTCGCCGGCCCAGACGGTGGTCGAGGTCGCCTCGTCGGTCAGTCTCGAAGGCGTGGTGGCCGACGAATTTAACGCGGACGAGGACATGAAGGATGCGTTTGCGCAGTCTATCATCGACAGTTCGGACGGCGTGTTCAACGAAGTGGTTGATGTGGAGGCCGTCGTCCGCCGGCGGCGCCTGCAGGCGGAGTATCCGCCTTCTCCGGCGCTGACGCGGGAGGCAGATCGTACGCGGCGCTTGCAGACGGAATATCCGCCGAGCCCGGCGCCGACGCGGGAGGCAGATCGTACTCTGGCGCCGACGCGGGCGGCCGCGGGCCTCGCGGACGTCTCTTACACGGGCGTCGCGCGCGTCGACGGCATCGAGGACGCCGAGGCCGTATCGACGGATTTATTGGAGAAGGCCGCGGCCGCCCTGACGACCGCGGTCGACGACGGGAGCTTTCTGACCAAGCTTCGGACCAACGCCGCGGAACGCTCGCCCGAAGCCGCCGCCGCGTTCAACGCCATCACCGTCGACGAGACGGCGACGCGAGCTCACATCGGGCGAGCAAGGCACGTGTTTGTCGTCACGACACCGGAGCCGACAGCGGCGCCGACGCCAAGGCCATTGTCTCCTCCGACGCCAAAACCGACCCCAGCACCGACGCCGCGGCCGTCCCTCACGATGTCGCCCGTATCTTTGGTCTCAGGCGGCGGCTCTGGCTCCGGATCTGGCGCAGCGGGCCCGGACGCGGCGACGGCGGGCGGCGCGGCCGCCGGCGCGCTCGTGCTGCTCCTGGCCGCCGCCGGAGCCTTCTTCTTCTACCGTCGAAACACTGCTGCTAAGAAGTCGCAGGACGTTGAGGCCAACGCGAACGGGGTATGCGACGAGGCCGGCGGATTGGAGGCGCCGCCTCAGACCGCCGTCATCACCTCCAAGGCTCGACGAGCCGCCGCCGCCGCCCGCGCCGGGGCTGCTTGCCCGGGCCCTGAGTCGCCGCGGGAGCGACGCTGCCGCGGCCGCGCCGCCGCCCGCGCCGGCGGCCGCGCCCACCACTACCGTTCGCGGCAAGAAGCGCGGACCGGTTAAGGGGGCGACAGCAAAGGCGGACAGCAAGATCCGCATGGTCTTCGCGCCGATGCGGACGTGGTACGGAGCACCGGCGCGGCGCGCGCTGCGGGAAAAGTATGGACAGTTCCCGCCGACTCCGGAGGCGCTCGCGAATTGGAAGTCGTTCGGCGCTGTGACGACGGCGTTCCTCGACGATCAGGGCGTCGCGTCGACAGGCGCGCCCGCAGCGTCGGCCGCGGAGCCCCCGGCCGCGGCGCCGCCGGCCGCCGCGCCCGTGACGGCGCCCTCGGCGCCTCCTGCGCCGGAGGCGCGCGGCTGGTTCGGCTGGGGCGCGGGCGGCGACCCCGCTTCTCCGTCGCAGCCGCTCGAAGGTGTCCTCGTCACGCCGCCGACGGCAGTCCCCGGCACGGCATCGGTCGTCGCGTCGTCGATGTCGCGCGCGGCCGCACCGCCCCGAAACTTCTGCCCATCTTGCGGCAACCGGCTCGCGGACGGCGCGAACTTCTGCATGGCGTGCGGCCGTTCTGTTTCTTCCTGATATCACCTCCCCCCCCTTTTTTGACTATGTACAAAAGTAATCGCGTGTGCCTACTCCGCCGCCGCCGCCAGCGCGCGCCGCTGCGCGGCGAAGATCTCGCCGATGATCGCGTCGAGGCCGTCGCCGTGCTTCACGGCGGCGAAGACGGTCGGCCCGGCGCCGCGCATCTTGAGCGCGTCGCGGCGCATCACGTCCAGGTCCGCGCCGACGGCCGGCGCGAGGTCGACCTTGTTGACGACGAGGGAAGCCTCTTCGCGGCGAGTGCGGGGCCCTCGGGGCTGCCCCCCTTTCTGCGGCGGGGGCGCCTCGCGTTCGCCGTTTGCGCGGCGGTCGCTCTCCTGAACGCGCGGCTCGCCTCCACTCTGCCGCCGTGGCCCGCGGCGCGGGGGCGGGCCTGGCGGCGGCCGCGGTAATGTTTTGTCTTTTGTGGATCTTTTTTTGGAGTTGTCTCTCCCGCCGAGTCCCGCGAGCCGGGAAAAACAGCGAGTTATTTCGTTGCGGCCGGGCGTAGGCGTCCGCTGAGCCTTCGCGGACCCGTGTTCGTCGCGTTCCCGACGTCACGATGATCAGGATCAGCGCCGTGCGCTGATACAAGTCTCGCGCAAATTCACGCCGCAAATTGGAATACGTGAACGGGGCGCTACCAAAAGGCAGCCCTACAGCACCTCAGCGAGAAAAAAGGCCCCGCGCAGCCGTCGCGCGCATCAGAAGCTCCATTGGAGCACAGCACAGCGGGCACAGGCACGCTGTCTACCGCCCCGACGCCGCGCCGGGCCAAACGATGGCGGCGCCCGGGAAGGAGGGCGGCCTCTGCAGTCAGATTTGGAATTCCACGCTGAAGGGCGGCGCCGCGGCGGCGTTTTGGGCGTTCGCGGCGCGCGCGACGGCGACGCGCTGCTTTGACGAGTGGTCCGGGCTGCTGCTCGGCGCGGCGCCTGCGATGAGCCTGGGCGAGGACAACAGCTGGCGGTCGCTGGGCGCCGCTGCCGCCTCGGCGTGCGTCTGGGCCTTTTTCTGCGTCGTCGGCGCGCTGTCAGCGCTCGCTGCGGCCCTCAATACCTTTGGAAGCTCCGCGAGGCGCTCGGGCTGGAACGCACGCCTCGTCGGCGTGCTGCTGGCCTCGACGGCGAGACTCGCCGCGGCCGGACCGGCAAACGCGTCCGTCGCGCCGTTCTCGGACGACATTAAATTTTCTCGGACGCGGCGCAAGCTCAGGGGCTACGTCTTCGCGGAGCACGTGCCCACGGAGTTCGAGAACGACATGCACTACCTCCAGGACGCGGCGGGCGAGGACGTCGAGCCGCTCGTCGAGGAGGGCGGCGGCGGGCACGACGGCCACGACCACGGCCGCCGCCGCCTCGACGACGGACACGACCACGGCGCGTCGGGCTACGTCATGGACGACGTCTTGATTAGACCTACTATTATTGCGTGGTTTGACGACCGCGCCGTCGTCGAGGCGGACTACGGCCACATTTCGACTTGGGACACATCGGGGGTGACGGACATGTCGTACTTATTTTGCGCAGACATGGACGAAACGTTTTGCAACGAAGCAGCGGCGTCCTTCAACGAGGACATTGGCGCGTGGGACACCTCCGGCGTCACAAGGATGGACTACATGTTCTACGACGCCTCGTCGTTCAATCAGAACATTGGCGGCTGGAGCGTAGGAAACGTCAGGGATATGGTCTACATGTTCGAAAGCGCCTCGGCGTTCGACCAACCGCTGAACGACTGGCGGGTTGACAAGGTCACGGATATGAGCGGGATGTTCGCCGGCGCCTCGGCCTTCGACCAGGACATCAGTGGCTGGGCGGTCCACAGCGTCACGGACATGAGCGAGATGTTCCGCGACGCCTCGGCCTTCAACCAGGACATTGGCGCGTGGGACACCTCTGGCGCAGCGATGAGCGGGATGTTCCAAGGCGCCTCGGCCTTTAACCAGGACATCGGTAATTGGGACACCTCGGGCGTCAAGAGCATGGCGGAGATGTTCGACGAAGCCTCGTCCTTCGACCAGGACATCGGCGCGTGGGACACCTCCGGCGTCACAAGGATGGACTACATGTTCCGCGACGCCTCGGCCTTCGACCAGGACATCGGCGCGTGGGACACCTCCGGCGTCACAAGGATGGACTACATGTTCCGCGACGCCTCGGCCTTCGACCAGGACATCGGCGCGTGGGACACCTCCGGCGTCAGAAGCATGGAATGGATGTTCGGCTACGCGTCGGCCTTTAATCAAGACATCGGCGCGTGGGACACCTCTGGCGTCACGACGATGGAGGGCATGTTCCACGACGCCTCGGCCTTTAACCAGGACATCGGCGCGTGGGACACCTCGGGCGTCAAGAGCATGGAGAGTATGTTCGAGGAAGCCTCGTCCTTTAACCAGGACATCGGCGCGTGGGACACCTCGGGCGTCAAGAGCATGGAGAATATGTTCAGCGGCGCCTCGTCATTTAATCAGGACATAGGCAGCTGGAGCGTCGAGCAGGTCCTAGATATGTTCGAAATGTTCAAATATGCCTCGGCCTTCGACCAGAACCTCGGCTGGTGCGTGGACGACGATGTGGACCTGGACGACGCGTTCGAGGAGGCCAAGTGCGAGTCGACGTCGTGCGGCGTCGTGCAAGTTGCAAATGTCGCCGACTGTCCGACGCCAAAGCCGACGCCGCGCCCCACATTTCGGCCGACGCCGAAGCCTACTCAGCGCCCGACGCCGAAGCCGACGTCGATGCCTACGCCGCGGCCGACCGCGCGCCCGACGTTTCCAAGTCCAACTCCACGGCCAACAGCGCCTCCGACGCCAGCGCCCAGCAACCGGCCGACGCCCAGGCCGACGCCTCAACCCTCACGGCGGCCGACGCCGCGCCCGACGCCGCTGCCGGTTCCGCAACCAACGCCGCGCCCGACAACACCTCAGCCATCTCCGCGGCCGACGTTCCCTCAGCCGTCGCCACGCCCGACCATCAGACCGACTCCAAGGCCGACGCCCATTCCGACGCCCATTCCGACGAAAGCGCCCGTTTTCGCGCCGACGCCCAGGCCGACCCCAAATCCGACGCCCAGGCCGACGCCGCGCCCGACCCCTCAACCGACGCCCGCTCCGTCACCGGTGCCCGGAAGTCCGACGCAGCTGCCGACGCCCAGACCAACGCCAAGGCCTTCTCCAGCGCCTACCACGGCGCCGACGACGTCGGCCCCGACGCCGACCCAGACGGCCGTCCAGATTACTTCGTCGGTGACGCTCGAGGGCATCGTCACCGTCATTTTCAATGCCGACAAGGACGGCATGCAAGCTTCGTTTGCGCAGTCGATCATAGACAGTACCGGCGGTCTTTTTGAAGAGATCATCGACATCGAGGCCGCCGAGCGGCAGCGGCGGCGCTTACGAACGACGTATTCGCCGACCTTGGCGCCGACCTTGGCGCCGACGCGGGGGATGCCGACGCCGGGCGTGGATAGCGGCGATGGCGTCGAAATCGAAATCTCGTACACGGGCGTCGCGCGCGTCGACGGCACGGATAACGGCGAACAAGTCTCGGCGGAATTGCTGGAACAGTCCATGGACGCTATGACGTTGGCGGTCTACGACGGCAGTTTCCTGGCCACGCTGCAGGCCTCGGATCCCTCGTTCGCCGCCGTGACCATGGACGTCGAAGCGACGCAAGCGGCGATCGAGGCGGCGAGTTATACGTTCGTCGTCACGACGCCGAGGCCCATCGGGGCTCCCACTTCGAGGCCGACCCCAAGACCTACGCCCGACGGCGCGATCGGCAGCGCCGAAAGCTCCTCCGAGTCGACGAGCTCCGGGGGCTCCGGTGGGGGTAGCGACGGCGGCGTGATAGTTGCTGGTGGCGGAGCTGCCGCGGGTGCCATCCTGTTGCTGGCTGCCGCCGCCTTCTTCTTCTACCGCCGCGGCAAAGGTTCGGCGGCGAATAAGAAACCAATGGCTCTCAGCGGCGATGTGGAGCTCGGCGACATCGAGCTCGAGGAAGGCAACGACCGCTCCACGATGCTCGTGCGGCACAAGGAGACGACGGCTGTCGTCGAGAGAGGCATGACGGTGACCTCGGCCCTGCTCTCCGCTGCGAGCGGCTTGCCGCTCATCGGACCGCTGTGCCGGGTCGCCAAGGGGATTCTCGGCGACGTCGAGGAGTTCAGCGAAAAGGCCGACGACGTCCTCGTTGCGGCACGGCGCGTCATCGACGTCCTGGACGTGGTTGATCTCATGTCGAAGAACGTCTCGAAGTGCTCAGACGGCAAAGATATTGCCCAAGCGAACATGCAGCGGCTCATCGACTTAATGAAGGAATTCCACGTGGCCGTGCGCGCGTTCGGGCAGAAGGGCTGGCTCAAGCGCGCGTTCACGATGCAGAGCCACGTCAAGAAGCTGGGTCGCATCGACACGCGCATCGTCGAGCAGCTGGGCGTCCTCCGGCTGAGCTACCGGTTGGCCATGGACTTTCAGCTCATGGAGCGAACGTACCAGATCGAGCAGTCCATCGCGGCGCTCGTCGCGAAGCGCGTCGTCGAGAAAGGGGAATCCGAGGAGGAGGCGGCGGCGGCGCTCTCGGAGGACGCCGTCGCGATCACGTCGGTCGCGGTCGACGCGCGCGTGCCGCCGACGGAGATCGCGGTCGAGATGCGCGAGTTCAAGCTCGAAGTGAAGGAGGGCCTGAGCAAGTTGGACAAGAAGATGAACAAAATGCTGGATGCAGTGCATAATCAAATTGTCGCGGCGCGTCTCGAAGGCCATCGCGTGGCGGCGTGGTCTCTCACCGCTCGATTCAGCCAGCACGGCCGCGTTCTCGCCGATAAAGGACTCCGTGAAGAATTATCGGGTGCACCCGACTCACTGGTTGATTTGCGCGCAGGCTGGATGGTAGAACTATGGACAAGCAGCAGCTCAAGTCGATCCTTGTCGCCGTCAAAGCCGGCGTGGGACGCGACGAGAAGCTCATGGCGGCCGTCCAGGCGGGCGCGGCGCGCGACAAGCGGATCCTGGCGGCCATCGCGGCTGGCAACGACCGCAACGCGTCTATCCGACGAAACGTCCACGAGCTCGGCGGGGCGCTGCGGAAGACGAAGTCGCGGGAACTGGTCAAGCGCATGAAAGAGGCGGCCTTGGGGCAGTCCGAGCTCGAGCTCGAGGACGTGGAGGAACTGCCTTTCGCGGAGGGTGGCCAGGGGGCGGTCTTTCGCGGCTACCTGGGCGGAGAGATTGTTTGCCTGAAGAAAATCAGCATGGTCGGGGTCCCGGCCGTCAAGCGCACGAAGATGCTCTCGTCGTTCAAAACCGAGCTAGGGATCATGATCCGCCTGCGGCATCCGCGCACGGTCCAGGTCCTCGGCGTCGTCACCACCAACCCTACCTTCCTCGGCCTCGTGATGGAGTATCTGCCCGGCGGATCGCTGCGGCACGCGCTCGACCGCGACGACGAGGTGATCACGCCGGAGTACCAGCGCTTCTGGACGGCGGACGTGGCGCTGGGCATGGCGCACCTCTATAGCTGCAAGATCGAGCATCGCGACTTGAAGACCCACAACGTGCTGCTCTGTGTGGAAATCAACCAGTGTGTCGCGTGCACCCGATAATTCTTCACTAAGTCATTTCTCGGTGATGACGCGGCCGTGCTGGCTCCGTCGAGCGGCGAGGAATCGGCCGTGCTGGCAGCGCCGTAAAATTTTGATTTCCACACAGGTGCTGCTCACGCACGACGGGCGGTGCAAGGTGACCGACTTTGGGCTCTCTCGCTGCGAGGAGCTGAAGACGTTCACGACGACCGCGACGATGAGAGACAGCGTCGCGGGGACGCCCGCGTTCATGGCGCCGGAATTATTCGACGACAACACCTTCACGGAGAAGAGTGACGTCTACAGCTATGCGGTCGTCCTGTGGGAGATTTACGACCGTGGGATCCCCTGGGCGGGACTCAAGCCGCAACAAATTCTCTACAAGCTCATCAAGGAACAGAGGCTGGACGTACCAAAGTCCATGCCCCGCGACCTCAGCTCTCTCATGGAACGCGCGTGGGCCCAGGACCCGGACGCTCGCCCGAGCTTCGCCGACATTTGCAAGGAACTCCAGGCGACGACGCCGCGTCGCCCTTCTTCGATCAGCCGCCCCTGGAGCGCCAGCTCGCCCACGGCCGGCGACGCGCCTCCGCCCGCCAGCGTCGCTAGCGGTCAAGGGTCCTCACAGTCTCTGGCCAGCTCCGTCATGAACATGTTCCGGGCGGCGCAGTCGGATGAGGCCGCGGCAAAGTCGCCCGCCGACGCGCGGCCTGCCCAGGCGGGCGCCTCGAGCGCGTCGCCGGCGGTCAAGGGAGGCGCCGAAGCGGCGAAGAACAACAGGATCAACACGGTCTTCGAGCCGATGCGGACGTGGTACGGCGCACCGGCGCGCGCGGCGCTGAAAAAGACGCACGGCGCGTACCCGGCGACACCGGAGGCGCTCGCGAATTGGAAGTCCTTCGGGCCCGTGACGACGGCCTTCCTCGACGACCAGGGCGTGGCACCGGGGCCGACTGCAACCAAGGCGAGGACGCGGAAGTGGTATGGATAGTCTACGAAGCGGCATAAGACTCCTTACAAATATAGCGAGCTGGGCGCAGCGTTCCTTTTCCCCTTGACCTCGCCGTACTGCGCGTTCCACTCCTGAACTTTCCCCATCTCGGGCCCCTGTTCCGCAACGCTCGCCGAGAGCCGCTCGATCGCTTTCTCGAAGTCGGCCATGGACGCCGCCCGCAAGGGCGGCGGGTCCAAGGCCGCCACACAAGCTCCATCCAACTCGTCCGACGCCGACAGCGCGTCCAGTCTGCGCGCGTGCTCGTGGCTGATCCGCACGATCGCCTCGCGGCAGATCTCCTTGCAGTCGCTTCCGGAATACCCATCTAACTTCTTCGCGAGGCGCGTCAGGTCCACGTCGTCGTCGACGGCATTGTCCCGCAAAGTAACTCGCAGGATCTCTTCTCTAGTTTGTAGATCCGGAAGATCAACGAGTATGCGCCGCGGCATCCTTCTGAGAACAGCCTCGTCCAGGTCGTAGGGCCGGTTCGTCGACCCGATCACGACGACGCGGTCCTGCGTCGTCCTTAATCCATCCCACTCCTGCATGAGCGTCGTCTTGACGGAAGTCAGCGTGCCGTGCGACGTGTCGTCGCCGCCTTCTCTACTACTAAGAACAGCATCCACTTCGTCGATATAAACCACACAAGGCGCCAGCCGCCGCGCCAAAGAAAAGACGGCCTTCGCGTTCTTCTCGCTCTCGCCGAGCCACTTGTTCTCGATGGACGACGCGTCGATCGCTAAAAAGGCGGCGCCGCCCTCGGTGGCCACTGCTTTCGCGAGCATGGTCTTCCCGGTGCCCGGAGGGCCGAAGAGCAGCACGCCCTTGCACGCTTCCCGCGCGACGCCGTCCTGGTAGAGTGAAGGGTACTTGAGGGGGTAGGTGATGGCCTCCCTTAGAGCTTTTTTGGCATCATCTAAACCACCGATCGAGTCGAAGGCCACAGCAACATCTTGCGGTTTTACCACTTGCGATAATAAAGCTTTTTCATGTTTATCTAGTTGTTCTGTCTCCAGATCTTCCTGCTTTGGACTGGATGATAGCGCGAGGGCTAGCGAGGCCGGGGCGAGCTCGAGGACATCGGAGGTGTAGCGCGGTTCCGTTTTTCGTGCTAACTCGACCTTGAGAGCGTCGAGCGCAACTATTCTACAATCCTCGTCCGTCAGCAGCTTGGCCCCGAGCAGGTGGCCTAGTTTGTGGAGATCCGCATCCAACGCACTCCGTCGCAGGTGCGCCGCAAGTCGCTTGCCGTTCGCGTCGCGCGTCGCTAGTTGTACTTCTTCGCGTAACCAAGCCGCCCACTCGGATGCGGCGACCGCGGCGACGGGCGATCCCACGACCACATCGTCCAGGGCCTCGGCGAGGGCCTGGGCGGGATCCTCGTCGTCGCTCTTCTTCTGGGGAGGAGGCGTCGTTTCTTCCCGCGGCCGCAGGCCCATCCACCGCATGAGCGACGCGGGCACTCGTAAGGAGGGCCCCGACGGCTGGGACGGCGGCCGCGCGTCGAGCGTCGCTTCGAGGGCCGTCTGGGGAGCTTCTGGTTGCCCTTCCGCGTTCACCGGCCGTCCGACGCTCAAGGCGACGTGCACGGCGACGCCCGGGTCATCTAATAATGGAGCGCACTGGTCCGCCAAAGCTTTCACCAAACCTTCGTCAGACAGAGCTTCTTCCAATGCAGAGAGGTACTCGCGCCCTCTTCCATCGAGGTCTTCATCGTCCGCCGCGCGTCTAGCTTGTTCCGCGACCCTGCGAGCCAGGTCTCGTAAAGCCCCTTCGAAGGAGGACGTCTCGTTGCCGCCCGTGGTCGCTTCCGCGTCGAAGCCCTCGTCCCGTATCGACGGCGGCGGCGGCAGCGGCCGCTGCTGCGGCGCCGGTTGTTTTCTACGTACGCGAGGGGCGTCGTCGTCGGTCGCCAGGAAGACGAGTAGAGTACGTGCCTTTTCGTCCCTGAGGTCGTCGAGACAAGCCCTACAGGCCCCTCGGCTTCTAAAAACACAACCACCATTGTCCCGGAAGATGATGACGGTGGGCTCATCTAAATCCCTTGCAGCTGCTAGCAGGGCTCGGACCAACCGTTCCCGCGACGGGCCTCGCTGCTTGCCCGACGACCGCTCGATGGCCAACTTGCGGACTCGCCTTAATTGCGCCTCATCGACAACGACGCAGCGCGCGTTCGACGCGTCCGCTAAGGCGACAGCTAGCGCTTCGTGGACCGCCGGGGGCGCGTCCTCGCAGCGCAGTCGCACACCAGCGGAGCACCGCGGCAATCTCCTCAAGTGTGGAGCGAGACTGCGCCGCCGGAAGGCCATCCTTGCTGTACCCAATAACGTTGCCGCGCGCTGCGGTTGTAATAACCTTGCTGTGGAGTTGTCGTTTTTTGCGGATAATTCAGAGAGAAATCGTGAGCGCGACGGGTGTGCGTCCTCCACGCCTCGCTCTAGTCTTCCTTTCCAGACCTGCACGAGCGTGCGCCAGGCATCGTCCGGTCTCAAATCCTCGTCGTCGTCGTCCGGCGGGTCCTCTAACGGAGTTGTGCTGCTCTCGACGACGTCGACGAGCTCCTCGAGCTGCTCGAGGCCGACGGAGCCCTTGCCGCCTCGGCTGATGCCGAGGGGGCCTTTCTGACGTAGCGCCGCGGTCGCGCCGAGGAGGAGCACGTACAGGAGCGTGCGCGTCATTGTTGTTGTTTTATTCGGCCCGGCGCTGGGGCCGGCTGCGCTGCGTGTCGGCTCGGCCTTAACGGCTGCGCGGGCCACGGACGGTCCTGCGCTGCCGCGCGTTCACCTGTAGCGCTGACACGCGGTCTCTATGATGCGTATGCACCGACTTTTTGCTGGCTCAATATAATCGCCTAGCGTCCTGTAAGGCACTAGCAAACCAGGCGTCGAGGACAAACCACAGCCAAACCACTGCCCTCCGCCTGTGCCAAGGCGCTAGGAGTCGACATTGATCACAGTCAACGACAGCTGCAGCAGTGCTGCAGTTGTAGAGTGCGTAGCACCGTGTGCAGCACCGTGTGCAGCAGACCATCAGCAATCAGGGACGGATGCGCGTCAGTGATGCGGCAGTAGCGTGAACTGTTTGCAGAAAATCAATCAAAACGATGCGCGTGGACTACATCCTCGCGACCCACCTCCAGTGCAAGCCGCGCAGCGACCGCGTCAAAGCCGCGCTGGCCGAGGGCTTGGTCGTTTTGCGCGACGTGGATGGCGGCGAGCACGTGATACGCGACGCGACGTTCCAGGTCGTCGTCGGCGCCGAGACGCTGCGTTGCGACGGGACGGAACTGAAGCGGCCGTTCCAGCGCCTCCTTGCGGTCCATAAAGAGGCCGACGGTAGTGTAGAAGACGCCATCGGCGCGCTGGCCCACCCGGACCTCGGGATGATCGGACGTTTAGATAGAGACACGTCGGGACTCGTGCTCTGCGGCACGGACGGCGGTCTGCAGTGCCTGCTGGCGCACCCCTGCAGCCACGTTTCTAAAACTTATGAGGTTGCGCTGGGGCCGTTGCGCTACGCGCGCGTCCACGCCGCGGAGGGGCCGCCCTCGGCGACGGGCCCGCTCGACGCCGACGCCGAGAGCAAGTTCGAACGAGGCCTCGTCCTGGACGATAGGCGGGGCACCAAGTGCGCGGCTGCGACGCTCGAGCGCCTCGGCGCCCTCCGCGTGCGCGTGACGCTGGCCGAGGGGATGCACCACCAGGTCAAGCGGATGGTGGGCGCGTGCGGCGGAGCGGTCGTGGGCTTGGCGCGGACGGCCGTCGGGCCCGTACGGCTCGGAACGCTGGCGCCGGGGGCCGCGCGGCCGGTCACGGATGAGGAGCTGCGTGCCATCGCCCGCGCGGTGCCCCTGCGCCTCCGCGGCGGCGCGGCGCGCAAAGCTCACCAGCCCGACGCGGGCCGGCCGTGCGAGCGGTCGATCCGGGCGCGGAAGGCGAAGAACCGTGTGGTGGTGTAAGTGTCTCGTGTGTACTCGTTCAAGTTCACTAGCTTACTAGTTTGCTTTGCTTAGAGCTAGCCTAGTAGGCCGCCTAGCCACCGGGCCGCCGCAGCCCGGGCTGCCAGTGCGTGACCGAAAGTAGTTTACTCGCTCCAAACTAGTCCCCGAACCATGAGGATCTAAGCCTCAGGCCCCCCCGACCTGCCGAGTAATCAGTACAAATAACGGGTCTTACTAGAAGTACACAGAGACGCCATCGCCGCGAGTTCAAACGCCGTTGCCGTGACGGTGATTGGCGTCGCCGGACAGGTGGAGCGCGGCCGCCCTCGCGTTACGCTGCGGCAGAACAACGTCCATGTCCGGCGGCGGTTTGTGATAGACAATCCCCTGGCGCTCGGCCGGGTCGTCGGAGTGCACGATCTTCGTCGCACCGGGCACGTGGTAGTAGCCGTCCTGTTTCGGGTCCCACGAGTGCTGCCAGCCGCCCCGGACGTAGTCGAGGGCCGTGCCGATGCGCCTTCTCCCAGCCCGGCTGTTGTGATAGTACAGGAGCCCGTCGACGAGGTTCAGGTACACCATCTGCCAGATGTCGTAGCATTCGCCGTACATGGGCACCCGCCAACACCGCAGGACGACGAAGGGCCCCTTGGGCAAAATTTTGGGAAAATCGCCACCTATGTCGTCCTCGAAGGAAAACCGCGCCGCCCAGGACGAGACGAGGCGCCACCGAGCGAGGGGCTGGAACGTGTTCGCCGCCGTCGAGGCGTAGCCGTCCTTGACCGTCGCCGCGCCCGCGCAGACGTGGAGCAGCGCCCGTACGTGAGACGGCAGCACGACGCCGCGCGGGCCGTAGCAGTTCAAACGCTGTAGCTCCCACGGATAGCCGTCGTCGTCGCGCTCAACGTCGTCGGGGAAGCCGCGCCGCCGCAGGTCCCGTTCCCAGCGCTCGACGTCCGCCGCGTCCGGGCGGAACGACGTCGGCGTCTTGTCGAGAAGCCGCCGGATGGCTCGGCGCGCGCGCGCGGTGACGGCCGCATTCCAAGCGCGGCTCACGGGGCAGAGCCGGAAGAGGCCGGGCCAGCCGAGGAACGGCACGACGCGGTCCACGAAGAGCGGCAGGTCGAGGAGGGGGATCCCGAAGCGTGGAGGCGGCGGCGCGTGGCGCCTGCGCAGGTCGCTGCCGACGCGTTTCAGCGCCGCCCGCCACGCCCGGCTCAGCGCGGAACACTTGTAAAATGCGGGCCAGCCGAGCACGGGCACCACGGCGTCGACGAGGAGGTCGCCGAGGGCGTCGCGCGGGTCCATCTGTTTTGACGCTGCACTGGGGCAGCTGCCCCGCTGTCTGTGAGAGCCGCAGAGGTCTTGCTGCTCGATCGCTGCGATCGCTGCGAGACTCGATTCTTGCGTAGCGCAGCTCACTGCGCTGGCAGCATGCTAAGTCGAGCCCCACGGGCAGCCCAACACAAGATGCCCAAAACACAATGTCATGCGGACCCCGCCGGACGGTCATCGCAAGACACGCTTCCCTGGGCTTCGGCACGAGTGCATATGGCTCGTTGCCGCCAAACCTGCGAGCTAGCGCAGTAACGTACTAGTAAAAGCTACGCAGAAGCTCTGGGCAGGTATCGCTTTGTTCGCGGTTCAGCTGCAAGCATCGGTGCTCTCAAGCTGTGCAGAGCTCCGCTAAGACCCCAGGAACACGCCAGCAAGCGGAAAACGCTAACGAACACCGCTAAGACGATGCGCTTCTCCCCGCTCCTATTGGCGGTGGCCGCGCACGCCCTCGCGCCGCTGCCCAGAGCCAAGAACCTCGGTCGCAGGGGCGCCGTGGTCAGCGAGCCCGAGACCAAGGCCGGAAACGCGCGTTCGTACGCCGACCTAACCATTGGAGTTGTGCCCGAGTCTGACCCGACCGAAAACAGGGTCGCCCAGACGCCCGAGTCGCTGGCGTTACTCGTCAAAGCCGGCTTCAACGCCAAGGTCGCCAGCAACGCCGGCGCGGCGGCCGGTTTCTCAGACGACATGTACAAGAATGTAGGCGCTTCTATAGTGACCGAAGACGAGGCCTGGGCCGCGGACATCGTGACGAAGATCGCCCCGCCTTCTCCAGCGGAGGCCGCCAAGATCCAGGACCGCACGTTATTGAGCATGGTCCAGCCCCCGCAGAACGAAGCTTTGATGCAACAGCTCCAGGACCAAGGTTCGACGGTTTTCGCGATGGACTGCATCCCTCGCTTACTCTCGCGGGGCCAGGCCTTCGATGCGTTGTCGTCGCAAGCGAATTTAGCTGGTTTCAGAGCTGTGATTGAAGCAGCACATGCGTACGGAAGGACGATGGCCGGGTCGATGACGGCCGCGGGCAAGCTCGCGCCGGCCCGCGTCCTGGTGCTCGGCGCCGGTGTGGCTGGACTAGCGGCCATCCAGACGGCGAAGAACATGGGCGCCGTGGTTTTGGGCTACGACGTCCGTCCCGTGGTCAAGGAGCAGGTCGAGAGCATGGGCGGCCAGTTCCTGAAGGTGCGATCTCGGCGTCCCGCGGTGCTGCGGGGCCTTCACGCCGTCGACGCGACTCGTCTCCAGGAGAGGATGTCGTGGCTGGTTTCTTTTCTGATTTTGGGGCCGTTCGGACCGATGCTCCGCGCAGGTCCCCTACGAGGAGGACGGCGCCGGCCAGGGCGGCTACGCCAAGGAGATGTCCGACGAGTACAAGGCCGCGGAGCAGGTCCGCGAGTCGGCGTCTCCATGAAACGTGGTCCGAATCGGCTCGAATTTGGACCCGAGGCCACCCACGTCATCGTGAGATGGAGCCGACGCGCGTCACGACACCGTCCGTCCCGCGCAGGCGATGCTGACGGATGAAGTGGCCAAGGCGGATGTGGTTATTACTACTGCATTGATCCCCGGCCGGAAGGCGCCCGTGCTCATCCCGGAGGCCATGGTCGCTGGCATGAAGAGAGGCAGCGTTATCGTCGACATGGCGTCGGTCAACGGTGGGAACGTCGTGGGGACCGTCGACGGTCAGAAAGTCACGACAAAGAATGGCGTGTCGATCCTCGGGTATTCGGATTTACCGTCGCGCCTCCCGACGGCGGCGTCCCAGCTCTTCGGGAGGAACCAGGCCAACTTCCTGCTGAGCGTGGGCCCGCAGACGACGGGCACCAAGGGCGAGTTCGTCGTCGACTACGAGGACCCGGCCGTCCGCGGCATGCTCGTCGTCGACGGCGGGAAGCTGACGTGGCCCGCGCCGCCGTACGAGCCGCCGCCGGCGCCGAAGCAGGCCACCGTCGAGGTAGAGGAGGAGGAAATAGATCCCCAAGTGGCCATCAACGAGAAGGTCCAAGGCGACGCCACTGCCTTAACGGCCGTCGCGGCGTTAACCATCGGCGTCGGCCTCGCGTCCGGCGGCGACGTCTCGAACGCGGCCCTCTTCGGCGCGTTCTGCCTCGCGTCCTTCGCCGGCCAGCAGGCCGTCTGGGGCGTGGCTCCCGCTTTGCACTCGCCGCTCATGGCCGTGACCAATGCCGTGAGCGGTCTGACGGCGCTCGGCGGTGCTGCTCTGCTCGACCCGAGCGACCCCATCCCCCACACGCCGGCGCAGTTCCTGGGCGCCTTCGCCGTCGCTGTGTCAGCGATCAATATTGCGGGCGGGTTCCGAGTCACCGACGCCATGCTCCAGCTCTTCCGACGTGAGGGCGATCCCGAGCCTCCGTTATCTTATTTTGCCGCTCCGGTGGGTTTAGCTGCTATTGCTACTTTAGGAGCGGCGGCCACGGACCCTACGTCGGTGCTACCCGATGTGGTCGCGGGTGCTGCGGCGACCGCGTGCGTGGCTGGTATTGGTGGTCTCGCGTCGCAGGACACGGCTAGATATGGGAACGCCGCCGCGGTTGCCGGTGTAGGATTGGCGGTCGTGGCTACCTTCGCGCATGTGATTCAGGCCTCTCCCGGAGATCTTGGAGGTGTCCTCAGTCTAGGCGCTTTGTTGGCGGCTGGTGGTGCGGGTGGCTACGTCGTCGCCGGCGGCGTCGGCCCGGCGGAACTCCCGCAAACGGTGGCGGCCTTCCACTCGCTCGTAGGCATCGCGGCCGTCGCCACCGCGGTGGGCGAGTTCCTCGCGCATGCCGAGGAGCTGGGAGTAGGTGGCGGCGTCGCCGCGGTCCTAGCCGCGGTTGTGGGCGGCGTGACCTTCAGTGGGAGCATCGTGGCCTACGCCAAATTGGCTGGACTGACTTCGTCGTCGCCGCTCGCCAAGAACGACCTCATTAACGGGGCTTTGCTCGTCGGCGCGCTGGGCACGGGCGCGCTGGCCGTCTCGCAGGGCGTGACCATGGCGCCGGCCTTGGCGGCGTCCGGGGCGCTGTCGGCCGTCCTGGGCTACTTCTTAGTCTCTTCCATCGGCGGCGCGGACATGCCCGTCGTTATTACCGTATTGAACTCGTATTCGGGCTGGGCGTTGGCGGCGGAAGGCGCTCTCCTGAAGGACCCGACGCTCGCCAGTGTCGGCGCGTTGATCGGCTTCAGTGGTGCGATCCTCACGAAGATCATGTGTGATGCCATGAATAGGGATGTGGTCGAAGTGGTCTTGGGCGGCAAGGCCGCGGCGCCGGTCGTCGAGGGCGACGTCGTGGACTTGGGGCCGCACCGCGAGATCGACGCCGCGGGCGCCGCCGCTGCCTTAGTTGCGGCGAACTCCGTGCTCATCGTGCCGGGCTACGGCTTAGCCGTCGCCAAGGCGCAGTACGTCGTGGCCGAACTCGTCGATGAACTCAGAAAAGCTGGAAAAAAAGTAGGCTTTGGGATCCATCCTGTTGCCGGTAGAATGCCCGGACAGCTGAACGTTTTACTCGCGGAGGCGGGCGTGCCCTACGACATCGTTTACGAGTTGGAGGAGTGCAACGACGACTTCGCGGACACGGACGTGTCCATAGTGTTGGGTGCTTCCGATACGGTGAACTCGGGAGCTTTGGACGATCCCAATTCTCCGATCGCGGGCATGCCCGTGCTGCGCGTCTGGGACGCGGAGACGACCATCGCCTTCAAGCGGTCCATGGGCAGCACGGGCTACGCCGGCGTGGCGAACCCGACGTTCTACAAGGAGAACACGCAGATGTTGCTCGGCGACGCGAAGGACACCGCGTCGGCTTTACTCGAGTCGCTCCGGGCGCAGCTCTAGACCTATATATCCCCTCTCCCTTTGTCCTAAGACGACATAGCCTCTCGTCGACGGCGTGGGGGGTGAACTTCACATGTATTAGTCCCGTCTTGCCAACGTCCGCGCCACGGCGGTGAGCGACCGCACCGCGGACGGGTCCTCGATGGCGCCCGCCGCCAATGCCAGTTCCGAGACGAGGCGAGGATGCGCGGCGACGCGCTCCTCGGCACCTTCGGTCCGCTCCAGGGCTAATAACAAATTGGAGTGCGCGACGACGTGCGCCGACGCCTCGGCCGCGGCAGCCGTGGTCTCCCGCCACAACTCGCTCTGGCGCTGCAGTTCCACGCCCGCGCCCTTCCACGCTTGCGCGGCGTCGTCCGCGCGGCGGCCCCACTCCTTGACATCGATTTTATCAATGCGCGCGCCCCAGTGCTCGGCAGCGAGCAGCGCTCTATAACTATGATCGGTCGCCTTGTCGATCGCACTGCCCAATTGCCAGCCCCCAAGCCCAAGCGCCAGCCCGCCGATGGCCAGGCCACTCCCCAGGGTCATGCCATTGAGGGACTTTGCGGCTGTCTGGATCGCTGCTTTGGCCATGGCTCGTTCGTTTCAGTAGTCTTGGGCAGCAATGCAGGGCAGCCCTTTTCGCACGTCTTTTCAGTAGTCTCGGGCAGCAATGCGGCGCGCGGCGCTGCTGGAGTCGCTCCGGGGCAGCTCTGAAACTGTGATGCTCTCCGTACGCGAACCCGCACGAGAAAATACTGCCTGCACGCCGCGCGGACCTCTCGCCTCCTCCGGCGACTTTCTTAGGACGACTGGCCCGTAGTTTCGTGTTGCGGTGTCTGCGTGAGAGACGCCGCGCGCGGCTCGCCGACGCACGCTGGGACGTCTACCTAGGGTCCGTGATTGCGTGCGAGGCGGTGATTTGCGTTTACTACACCGCCGCAAGGCGATCGAACTTGGTAGCTAGCGCCTGTAAGACACTAGCAGTGGGGCCGAATAATAACAAAAAGTGAACTTGTCTTGGGGGTGTTGAGGGCGTCGCGACGAGTTTCAACGTTAGACTTGTATAGCTTCAAAGAACCTCCCAGCGGCAGAGGCCTTCTGCGCGCCGCTCGCGCGTTGTAGTACTTAGTTTTCAGCTTCTCAAGCTACTCCGCAGCGAGGATTTAGGCGCGACGCGCGACGGGCCGGACGTGTTGAGGGGCCTCCGCACTCGCGCCGGGAGCCTCGCGAACGGCCAAGCGCGCCGCGTCTGCTCAGGACGGCGGCCGCGCCGCGACGATAGCTCGGCGAGGAGATTAACAGGTAATTCCACTCCCCGCAAGATGCGCGCGCTCGTCCTCCTCGCCCTCGCGGCAGCGGCGGCGGACGTGACCGTGGGCACCGACGACGCGCCCACGGCCGTGAAAACCGCAACCAAGCTCCGCGCGGCCCTCGCGAAGGGCGACCCGGTCATCGAACTCTGGGACGACGTCCTGCTTGACGGCGCGCCCGCCGTCGCGACACACGACGCGGTCATCGAGGGCAACAATTACATGATCTATCAGACGACCGGCGCGCGCCACTTCGTGTCCAACGGCACGCGCCTCGAGCTCATGGAGGCCAATCTTGCGAATTCGTATGCAAAGCTTGGACGTGACGACGAGGCCCTACGCCTGCGACGAGATGGCTACACCAGACGCTTAGAGCGCCATGGTGAAGAAAATCGATCAACCCTCATTTCAGCCATCAACCTTGCGTCGTCCCTTCTTCGCCTAGAGCGCGACCAAGAAGCCAAGACGTTGTTGCGAAGAACCATACTCGTGGCGCGTCGCGCTTTCGGAGAAGTCGATATGCTCACGCTCAAATTGCGGTGGACTTACGCGGTGGCGCTCTATAGGGACGTCAATCGCGCCACGCTCGACGATCTCCGTGAGGCCGTGGCGATGCTCGAGGAGCTGGAACGGACATCCCGGCGCGTCCTAGGCGGCGCGCATCCGATGGTAGGGGCGATTGAGACGTGCTTGCAAGACGTGCGACCCTTGCTCCGCGCCCACGAGGCGCTGTCGCCGCCGGCCCGGGGTGCCTAGAACTGGAAATGGATACGGTCTTATATAGGATGGATGGATAAGTTCACCATACTAACTAGATATCACACGCGCCAAATTCCTCCCCCCCGACGCCATCGACGCGACATCCCGACGGCCTTGCTAGGAACTACACTTACGCCGAGATCCCCCACTGCTTCTGGGCCTTGCGCTTCTTCTTGTCCTTCTTCCGCACTTCCGACAAAGTGCGCTCGTTCCACGTCGACTTCTGCAATTTACAAGGGCGGTTCCCGATGTATTTGCCCGACATCTCCCGCAACGCTTTCGCGCAATCAAAAGGGTCCATGAACGAGATGAACGCGTAGCCCTTGGACTTGTTCGTGTGCTTGTTTCTGATCACTTTCGCACGAGCCAACGAGGGATACCTCCCGAACGAATGAGAAAGTAACTCATCAGTAACTTCGTTGCCGATGTTCCCCACGAACAAGCGAAAGTCGCCCTCGGGCCACTGTTCCAAAGTGTCGTCGCGCCAGGTCTTGCCGCCGGCTCGTCTGATCGCAACTTTCGAGGCGGGTGGCTTTTGTCGTCCTCCTTGCGCGGCAACAGCAGCGTTCATTTTATGTTGTTGAAATTCATACCCGGACTGCTGCTTGGAGAAGGCGTGGTCCGGTTTGGCCGTGCGTTGCCGCTTCGCGTCCGGGTAGTAGCCGCCCGGGGGTCCGTGGTCCATCGTTGCGTTGTTTGTGGTGCTCGGCGGCGCGGCGTGTCGGTTCTGGTGGATTTGTGAGCGCTGCGGCGGCGTGGCGGTGCTCGGGCGCCCGGCGCGGTCTGTCCGTACAGCGCTGCGGTGGCGTCGGGGAACAGCTCCCTCGCTGCGTGTGGCTCTGCCGCGCGGCGTTGAGGCGCAGCGCTGCGGTATCCGCCGGGGTACGACAGTTGACGTCCGAAAACGTTCTCCGCAAGCCGTAGGCCGTGCTACAGCCGCAAAAGCGCTTGCGAGCTCGGCGCGAGCTAGCGGCCTGTAAGACACTAGCCAGCACAAAAACTCGATCGACGGGCAGCCAAGCTGGTCAGCACTAATGTGGGCCTAGCTGCACGCAGAGAAGCGCCAAAACTCTGCACGATACTCCACATTCAAATCCAGCACCGCTGCGCAGCCACTGATGCAGCCACGACCGCCCCCGCCGCCTCCAGGTGGGCAGCGGTTTCCGCCACGCGGTGCGCCAGCGCGAGGCTACGGTCCGCCTGGAGGAACCGCACCGATGGCCGCCGCGCCGAGATTCGCACAGCCGACGGCTGCGCCGCCACCGCGCGCCGTCGCGCCGCCGCGGACGGCTCCGAGCCACGCGCCACCGCCCGCATCCGCGCCTCGGTACGCGCCGCCGCCGCCGGGCGCCGCACAACCGCGATTCGCGCCGCCGGCGACGGCCGCGCCGCGGTACGGGGCGCCGCCCGCGCGCGGCTTTGCGTCGCCGGCCGCCGCACCGCCGCGGACGGCACCAGGGTACGCGTCGCCGGCCGGCGCGCCGCCACGGACCGCCTCGGGCTATGCACCGCCGCCTAGCGCCGCACCGCGATACGCAGCACCGCCCAGCGCCGCACCGCCGCGAGGCTATCCGTCGCCCGGCGCGGCGCCGCCGAGAACCGCGCAAGGCTACCCGCCGCCCGCCGCACCGCCGCGGACGGCGCCAGGATACGCGCCAGCACCCGGCGCCGCCCCGCCGCGGGCGCCGGCCTACCCAACACCGGCCGCGATACCATCGGGCGCGGGCCCTGCACAACCACGCTACGGCGCGCCGCCGCCGACCCAGCACCGCTACGGGACCGCCGCGCCGAGGCCGCCGCGGCCTCCGAACGTCGGCCCCATACCGCCCCCACAAAGCGGTTTTCCGGGCTTTTCGAACGGCATGCCGTCGCCGGGCACGCCGTCACGAAAGTCTCCACGAATAGACCCGGCGCAGATGCCCCGTCCGGTTGTAGACGCCGCGCCGCTGCGCGACCCGCCCAAAAGGTTTACGTATTCGGTGGACCCGGCGACGGCACCGCCGCCCCCGACCTGCAACACGATCTATGACCACCCGGCCGACGATTTCAATGTCTCACCGCGCTACGTTTCATGTTCCTCATCGACGACTTTGGCGAATCAAGCCCAGCACAAGCGCACGAAGCTACCTTTGTCATTGTCAGTACGACCATTAGCGAAACGAAGACCCGAGGAGCATCCTCTACGGTTAGTGGACTTTGGAATGAAAGGCCCGCCCAGATGTGAAAGGTGCGGCGCCTTCGTGTCTGGCTTCGCTACGTTTACGGAGCGGACGTGGAAATGTCACTTGTGCGGCGAGTGACTCAGAGCAGAAAATGAACTTGAACGTGACGCGGTCGCCGCGATGGCGTCTTCATGAGACCGCGTCGCCTCGACGTCGTCGATGCAGCCGCCAGAGAGCGCACGCGCCTCACGAGGGAGTCGCGGTCGTGTCGCGACGGCGTCGTTCCCACACAGGCCACACGTCGGACCTGCCGGAGTGGTACCGCTGCGCCGCACCTGGTGGTAAACGGACGGACCGCTTCGAGCGGCCGGAACTTTCCAGCTGTTCGATGGACTTTCTCGTGCGAGGCGACTACTGCGCGCGGCCGGTGCAAGAGCCCGTCGCCGTGGTGGTGTTGGATCTGTCGTTCGACGACCAGTGCCTGAAAGATATTGTGGGCGACGTGCTCGATGTTATTCCTCACTCAAAGCTGTCGAAGCTTGGGTTAGTGACGTTTTTTGGGGACGAGGCGCACGCGTGGAGAAAAAGTAGAGAAGACGGCTCGAACGCGGCCTGTTGCGTCGTGAGGGAAGGCTTTTGTGCTGTGCCTTCTCATCAATGGTTAGGTACGCGGGACGTGTTTGCGAAAACTTGCGAAGCGGCTCTCGAGGCCGCGCCCGCGTTACGCAATGCGGCATTGTTGTTGCAAGGCGTCCACGGTTGTAGGACCGCGCTGGAGTGTGCGTTGGATGGTTTGCGAGAGACGGGTGGGCGAGTCTTCCTCGTTTCTAGAAGTGCCCCGAAAGGTCTGGATCCCACGACCTCGCTACTATGCAACTCCGTGCATGTGAGTGTCGACGCCTTCTGGCTGGATTCAGAAGGGAGGGATCAGCCTCGGTTCGCGCGGGAGCTGGGCGAATTGTGCCGCGCGACGGGCGGTGTGTTGCATTACTCCGATTGTGTCGACCTCGATCAATTCCGACGCGACTTTGCTCAATGTACGGACGGCTACTTCCCTTCAACAGACGAAGTAGAGACGGGCGTGGCCGTCGTCGACGGCGCGGAGGGCTGCCACACGGCCCATGAGGCCACGCTGAAGATAAGGTGTTCGACCGGTTTACGAGTGCAACAGATCTACGGCGCCGGCTGCTCGTTATCCAAAGATGAATTAAACATTTCCTCCGTGAGGGCCGCGACGACGTTTTGTGTCGATCTTGAGAGATTTGTCAATTTTGAAGCTGGGAAACGGATATATGTCCAGTGCGCTTTGCTCTATTCGGACCCAGCGACGAAAAGACGGTTAGTCCGGGTGCACAACGTTTGTATCAGAGTCGTAGCGAAGCCGTCGGAGCATTACAAGACGGTTTGCGTCGAGACGGCGTTCTCTTCATTAGTACGGAGCGCTCTGGTGGCGTCTGGTTTGACTAGAGCTCTGTACATTCATGACGAGCTCGCCGATCCGGGCAGGATGCAGATCTCCGGCGACGCGCTGAAGAAGGCGAGAGATACCTTGCAGACTACTTGTGTGGAGGCGTTGTACGAGTATCGGGTGGCCTGTGCCGCTCGAAGCCCTCCTGGCCAGCTCATTCTTCCCGAGTCGATCAAGCTGCTGCCGTTGCTGGTCCTGGGTGCCTTTAAAGGATCACTGTTACGATCGGCGTCCCCCCAAGCGCCCGGCGCCGACGCCTGTGAACGGGCGGCGACGCTCGAGCTAGCCATGGCTTCACATCCCGCGTGGCTCTGCCGCTGTGCGCTCGTGCGGGGCTACCTCTTTCCTCGCGACGTCGGGAGTCTGAATCCGATTCCGGCGTCGGCGTCGGCGTGTGCGCCGTTATCTCTACTGGACTGCGCGTCGCACTTGTATGTTCATATTGCCGGCGGCGCGGCGCCCGACGCGCGGACAGCGCTTAGGCTATCATGCGGCGCGGCGACGACTGGCGATCGCATGGAGAGAATAGACGCGGGGTTGAACGCTTTACGAGAGCAGATGGCGCGCGACGCGCCGCGGCCGCCGCCCCTGCTGTTGCTGGACGAGCCATCGTTAAATGGGCGCGCCTCGCTCGACGCGGAGACGCGGCGCCAGCGAAGGCGCCTCGCGGCGCGGGCCGATCTACTCATCGAGGACGCGTCGGCGCACGGGCCGCCCTATGTCGATTTTCTGTGCGGGATTCATCGGTCGATCCAGCAGCGCATCGCGGCGGACCGGGCGCGGTGATAATTTATGAATCTTTAATCAGTAGTCCCCGGCGTGCGCCCAGAACTCGACGATGGTCGGGATGACCTCGGCGGGAATTTGCGGGAATTTGGGGACGAGCGTCGCGGCGAGCGACTTTTTGACTTGCGCTTCGTACCGTTGGAAGCCGCCGGCGCGTTGGATCTTGAGCAAGTACGGCCTTTCTTCGATATGTCTCTGCTCTGTCGGGAGCGCGGAACCAGCCCTAAGGAGCGTGGAATACACGCGTAGGTTATTGAAGGCCGCCCGCCCCATTTGTTCCGGCGCTTCGATCTCCAGGGCGGCGCCGTGTTGCTACGTAGATCGCCGTCCCAAATCCGCTTCGCGCAGATTTTGCGGGAGACCTACGTGGACATGTGGACCGGCAAGCAGCACCAGAAGCGTGACCACCGCGGCAAGGACCAGCCCGCGTTGGACGCCGCGGCATTGAGGTTCGGCGAGGTCGCGGCGCTCCCGTCGGCGTATAACCTGAAACCCAACCACTGCAGCAGCCACGGCCATCTTGCGAGAGGCGCCGTGCGAAACGCCGCGTCTGACACATTCGCGTCGCGTCGATGGCGTACGAGCTGTAGCCTACCCCACCGACACGCCATCGCCGCGACCAGTCACGCGCAGGTTCGATTTCTCCATTGGAAGGACAAGACGCGGACGCGGCGCCGCGCGGAAGTTTGTAACATCATAAACGCGAACACGACGGCCCGCCTGATCCTCGGCCTCTCGAAATGCGGCATGCACGGCGACGAGCCGGTTCGGCTGAAGCGGTTGAAGAGGCCGTGGATCGACCAGGACTAATACATTTCTTCTCGCGTGACTAAGCTAGCGGCGTGTAAGACACTAGGCAAGCAAAAGGACAAGGCCCTTTGCCGCTGCGTATCGCGCTCGCGCGAATAGCAGCGCTCGCCCCAGACGCGTGAAACCTTCACGCGCGTCGCTGCAAAGACCTACTGAGCGCGTGACACACCCACGCGTGCTCAGTTGCAAGATCTCAAAAAGGCACAGCTCCACGCTGCCGCGATGTTCCCGCCCGGCGCCGTGCCCGTCCAGAACCTGCCGCCCGAGATGTTGAGGGCGCTCCAGGCTTCATTAGCGGAAGCATTTCAAGACAGGGACGCCGCGCGGCGCCAGTTCTTCAACGGCAACGCTGCTGTCTCTGACGACGCTGTCGACGTGGCCATCGCGCAGTTCCGCGAGCACCTCCAGGACCCCGAGCAGGCGTCGCAAATGATGGCCATGCTCGCGATGGCCTCTTCGTTCGCGCCGCCGCCACCTAGAGACCTGGCGATGCCCGAAGATAGCGACAGTGACGAGGACCGCATGCCGACGCTCGAGGACCAGGACGCGCCCGTCTTCCGGCCGCCGCCGCCGCCCATCAATGATATTCTCGGGCCCACGACGGAGGAGACCGACTCCGAGGCGTATACTGATGAAGAGGAGGCCGACGACGACGTCGACGTCGAGGAGGTGGAACGGAGGAAGCGCTACGAGCGCGCGCTGGCCAAGTTTCCCTATCAGGGCGATTTAGGGAGGGCCGTGCGCGCGCAGGACCGGGAAGCCATCCGCTTGATCAACCGCATGCGCACGGCCTTCGAGACAAGGGAAGATACGGCTGGGCTGGAGGAGGAAGCTCGAGCGTTGGTCGTGCGGAAACGAAGCGAGCAGCCTGCCGTGAAGGCGCCTTCTTTGAGACGCCGCGAGCAGGAGGAGAAGGTGAGGAAGGCCGCGCTGTTGAAACAGAGGGAAAGAGCCGAGGCTCAGAAGCGCGCAGATGCCGAGGCCGAGCTCGCTGCGAAGCGGGAAGCAGAAAGGCAGGAGGCGTTGCGGGAGGCGCAGGCGCGCGAGGCCGAGGAGCAACGACGGGCGGCGCTTATGGCTGAAGCTCAAGCTCGGCGGGAGGCGGCGGCGCGCGAGGAGGCGGAACGGCGCGGCGCGGCCGAGCGGACGGCCGAGGCCGAGCGCCTGGCGTCCGAGCGCGACGCCGAGGCGCTCGCCCTGGCCGCGGAGCGCGACGCCGAGGCGTCGGCGGAGGCGGCGCGCGCGGCGGCGGCGCAGCGCGCGGTCCACGCGGCCAAGGTGCCATGACGCCGTCCTACGTCTTCATGATCACGCGAGAGGCGACGCGTCTCACGGTGTCGCGTCGATGGCGTGGAGGTGGAGCAGGCACGCCATCGAGCAGACACGACACGCAACGCACGCGCAACACACACAGGTCCTCAAGCTCAAGTGCGCGGGCTCGGGCGCGACGATGCACGGCGCCGACGAGAGAGTGGTAAGAAAGTGCTCGCGGGGGTGCGTCGAGCTCTACGCGGCCGCATGTAAGCCGGCCTGGGTCGCTTCACCTAGATTAGCTCTCAATGGAGACATCTGCAAGGCTCATGGTCTGGGCTGGTCGGAGGCGCGAGCGTTCACGCGCGGCGCGGACTGGGCCGCGCGCGGCGCGCCCGACGTCACGGAGGCGCGGATCGACGACGTCGTGGAAGAGGAGGCTCCGGTGGAGGAAGTGGCGGACGCGCCCACCATCAAAGCCGAGGCGCCGCCGTCGAAGGAAGTCGGCGTCGTCTGGGCCGGGCCTTTGGGTCAGCGGACGACGAACGCGACGGCGTCAGCATTAGCGAAGCGTAGACTAGATGGCGAAAGCGTCAAGGACGCGCTCGTGGCCGACGAGGCTTTAGTGGTCACGGCGCTGAAGGGTAAATTAGCCCCGCCGTGGGAGAAGGACCGGTCGAAGCTGCCCAAAGATGCTAGATGTTGTCGCTTCCGGGTGCCGGGCGGGCACAGCGCCGCGAAAAGGGTGGCGCGAGCTCTCCGGGGCGACCCCGAGAAGGGCTTCCCCTTCAAGCTGCGGGCGGCGGCTTTAGCACCGGAGGACGCTTCATTACTGGAGAAGGCGCTCCAGGACGTCGGCAAGGCCAAGAAGCCGGCGGCGGCGACGAAGAATGAGAAGCCGTCCCTCGGGTGTGGCGTGCGCGCCAAGGGCGGCGCGGGCGGACGCATGGGCGGCAGCTCTCGGAAGCTGGTCGGGCCGGCCGCGCACCGGCCGCCGCGCCAGCGCGTCGGCGAGCACCCGCTCTACAAGACGGCGGACGCGCCCTCTACCAATTCGCGGCCCGTCGCCGCCGATTTTCCCGTCCTCGGCGCGACGCGGCGGACGACGGCCGCCGATTTTCCCGTCCTCCGCGCGACGCGGCGGACGACGGCGGCTGATTTTCCCGCTCTCAACGGCGCGGTCTGGCAGGGCCCGGCGCCGTCGGCCGAGGACTTCCCGGCGACGCTCGGGGCGGCGTCTGCCTCGCGTGCCGACGACTGGCGGCCTGCTACCGACGCGCCGGCGCCGTCGCCGGCGCCGGCCGAGGACTTCCCGACACTCTCCACGGGACGGCGGCGCGCGGGCGCCCGCGTCGACGCGGCGGGCTACGCCGCTCGGGCCCATCACCCGAAGCCGCGTGGCCGCCCGCCGCACGACTCGAGTGGAAAGCCCGCGACCTGGGACCACGAGAAGGGCGAGTGGGTCGGCGTCGCCCGCGAGGGCCATCCGCAGCCGCGCGGCCGCCCTGCGCCACGCTCTGGCACGCCCGACCCTGCGCCACGCGCCGCCGCGGCCGTGGCGGAAGACTTCCCGACACTATCCACGGGAGGTAGCCGGCGCGCCACCGCGCCGGCTCCAGTCGCGCGTGCCGAGCCGGCTCCGGTCGCGTGCGCCGCGCCGGCTCCGGTCGCGCGTGCCGCGCCGGCGCCAGCCCCGGTCGCCGCGCCGGCGGTGCATGTGCCGTCGCCCGCCGAGCTGCTCAGCAACTTCGCGGCGAACCAGGCGCGCGAGGCCGCCGCCCGCGAGGCCGCCGAACGGGCCGCCGCGGCCGCCGCGCCGCCGCCGGCGCCCGTTCCGGAGCCTCCCACGCTGCCGCACCCGTGGCAGGCCTTCTGGGACGCGAGAAGCGAGCGGTACTACTTCGGCCACCCGACGACCGGCCAGGTCCAGTGGGACATGCCCGTCGCGGCGCCGCCGCCGCCACCTCCGCCTGTCCGGCCCGCCTACACGGAGGCGAGCTACGAGCGGCTCGTCGCCGAGCTCGCGGAGGTCAGGGTCAGGCCGAGCCAGGACGCGCTGGGTATCCTCCGGCGCCAGGAGGTGACCGTCGAGGATCTCTGCGATCTCACGCATGCCATGCTGGTGGCCGCGGGGCTCGATCAAATCGACGTTCACATGATCTGGAGCAAAATCGAAGTGCTCCGGAATCGCCGGATCGCCCGCGAGTCGGCGTAGGCGCCTTCCCTTCCTACTTCTAAGCCCATGATTGACAACAGTATTAAACACTACATAGCAGAACCGCCGCGGAACGACAGCCCGTTCAACTCGTCGATGACGCCGACGACGTCGCCGCAGGCCGAGACATCATAATCCGGCCGCCGGTCGCGGCGGACCGGAAGCTCCTCGCCGTCGCCCACGAACTGCACCGTGCGTAAGTCGCGAGCCTTCGCCTGGCTGAGAAGCGAAGCGTCGTCGACGAACGCCAGCACGCGGTGCGGCTCGAGCCCGAGCTGGTCGACGGCCGCGCCCAGCCCGCCCTCCCCTTCCACGACGACGTCGAACGCGACGCCGGCTTGGCTCGTCAGATCCGAGAGCTCCCGCGGACTCGTGTCGGGCCGCGCGACGACGGCGAGGGCCATGGACCGCCGCGAGGCGTGCGTGAGGAGGCCCTTCAATCCGGGAGGTCCCATCCTCCACCGCGACTCGTCGTTGTTCCGCTGGGCGTCGGCGGCCTCCACCAATGCCTTGGCCGACGACAATAAATCAGCGTCGCCCGGCGTGGGCGCCGCGGGCGCGCCGTCGCCGCGCTTCGCCGCGAGCTTGGCGGCGTACTTCGCCGCGATGCCTCCGGCCGCTTCGGTGGCGTCACTCGGTTCTGGAGCCGCTGAAGCGTCTGGCTGATCCGACGGCGCGCCCGACGCGAGCACGGTGGAGGCGCTGGCCCCGCGAGCCGCCTCGACGGGCGCCGTCTCGGCACCGAGCGACTCCTCGAGGCTCGCCAATTCATCCGCCTCGCTCCTTGCTTGGTCCAGGCGTTCCCGCACGACCCAGGGCTTGCCGATGGCGTCGAGGCCCCGCGCCCTGAGCTCCTCGCGGACGGCCTTGGTCAGCATCTCCTTGGAGGCAACTTGCTGCCCGCCAGCAACTTTCCGCGAGCTGTCGAAGGCCAGCGCGCTCGCCTGCAGCGGCGCGCCGCCTTTCCGCCGGAATATTTGCGCGTCGACGACGAGCGCCTGCACCTCCAAGTTTCTCCCGTAGCGCTGCAGCGCCTTGGCGCGGGCGGCGTCGGGTTCTGCTGTTGAGGCGATGTTGTTGTAGGAGCGCTGCTGCTGCAGCAGGGGTCGAATGCGGCGGAGGTGTTGCAGCATCACTATTAAGTCCTTGCCTCGAAACGCTCTCTGAGTCCCAAATGCTCTCTAGGGCTGCTTGCAAGCTTGTAGCGAGAGATACGGCTTGTCCAGTAGGGTTTAGAGTCGTGCGACTACTGGTTCGTGTTAAGCGATGCTGGCGGTTATATATGTGCTAACACGCTGGCGCCAGGGCCGCCGCCAGCCAGTCACTTTCTAGTGCCTTACAGGCCGCTAGCTTCAGTAGACTCGACGGCCACAAAATCGCCAACTTTGAGTCTCGGCGCGTTTCGTGCCGTTTCGTATCTTCAGTTTAATCAATCAATCACATCTAAGCGCCGACATGGCCGCCTATTCGCAGGACTATGGCTCTTTGCCTGAAGCCCACTCGCCTCCAAAAAGCAGCAAGCGGGCGATGGCGAGTGTCGTCGCCGCGGTGATGCTGCTGGCCGCCGCCGGCGCCGCGGCGCTGAACTTCAAGACGGCCACCGCCCCTACTGCGCTCGCCGCGTACGACGGCTCGGGCGTTCGCTCGCCGTGCGGAAATTAATTAATCGGGTGATGCCAAAAATTGATTGATCGATCCGCACAGGTCACCTGGGACTGCGCTGTGCCTGACTCTCAAGTGGCCGCGAGCAACGGCCCTTCTTCGGGGACGATCGAGTCGGCGGGCTTCACTCTGACGGGCAACGGCGAGACGCTCGACAGCGGCAAGGAGACTACGTTCAAGACCGAAGACGTCACCTTCGAAGTTCAAGGGCAACCGTACGCATGGGCGATCAAAAATAGTCTCATCGACTCGTACTTTGATTGTGGCGGGCTTCAGGTGTCCGACGCCAGCTCGTCAGTCCTGATGGGGTGCGACTTGGGGCAAGCGATAACAGTGGGCAATCCCGTGGTGAATAAAGCCCCCAGCGCGACACCGGCCCTGGCGCGGCTCGTCTGTGGCGAATACATGGTCGCGGCCGCGGCCGCGGCAAGGAGGAGGGCTCGCATCGTTGACCGGAGCGCGGGAGCCGTCGGCGACCACTACGCGCGACAGGGAGAGAGTAATTAAGCGGTCACTCGACAGGCGAATGCAACTTTGCAAGCGCTGAAGCCTCAGGCCTGAAGGCAAATATTGGTCACTGTCGCCACACGGTCATCATGCCGCTTCGCTTGATAGCAATACGACTTATGCGATTGTCAGCACGCGTTGCTCGCACAGGTGGTGCAATTTATGCCGCAAAACACGTCGTTTGCGGGCGCATGCTGGGCAAAAAATAAATAAATAAAATAAATAATTAAGCCGGCCGCCAGGTAGCTAGGCGGCCTAGCTCTTAAGCAAGCAATTAAGGAAGTCTACAAAACAATAATTACACACACGACACTATCAAGCACGCACCCGCTCCGACCGCGGGTCGTAGAACCCGCGCAGCGACGCGCGACACGGGTAGACGCGGCCGCCCACGTCGACGGCGAAGTCGTCTCCCGACCATCGAGGGCCGTCGACCATCGCCAGGCCCACGAAGCCCCCGAGCGCGTGGCCGTAGGTCACGCTCCGGAGGTCGCCCACCACGCGACCGTCGCGCAACACCGGCGCCCCGGGCTGGGGCCACGCGTCTTTGTCTTCAACAAATACGGACACGAGGCGCCGCGACCGTGGTTGAGAGGCCGCTTCTAGAACACGATCTTTTCCGTTGAATTCTTTTGTCAAATCGCACGTGAAGCTCAAACCGACATCGTGGACACCATCTAAATTATCGATGTCGTGGCCGTAGTCCCTGTAACCTTTTTCGAGCCGCAGCGAGTTCACCGCCTTGAGCCCGACGTGGCGCAGACCGTGGGGCGCGCCTCGGTCGACGAGCGCGTCATGCACGTCTACAGCATGTTCTGATGGGACGAAGAGCTCGTAGCCGTGCTCGCCCACGTAGGTGAGGCGCGCTGCCACCACGGAAGCGCACTTGCCGATACTAATGGTGGAGACGCCGCGGAAGGCCAAATCACCAAGCTCGGGGAGCACGTCTTTTGATGAAGGACCCTGGACGTCGACCTTCGCCAGCCCACCCGTCATATCGACGACCGCGCAGACCTCTCCGTCACGGACCTCCCTCCTTACCATCGCCTGGACGCGCCGGTGGATCGTGTCCGTCGCGACGACGAGGAAGGAGTCATCGGTAGGCGCCCAGGGCGTGCCCCGGGGCAGGCGGCAGACCGTGACGTCGGCTTCGACGCCGCCCGTCTCCTTATGCAGCCACTGCGTGTAGGTCATCTTGCCCGTGTTTATGTCCGAGGTGCTTAAGCGTTGCAACACGTGCACGGCGTCGCGGCCGGCGACCACGAATTTTGACATGAACGACATATCAATTAAACCGCACGCCTCGCGCACGGCGCGGTGCTCGTCGCGCCAAGCCGCAAAGAAGGGCGGCTCGCCCCAACTCAAGGGCCCATCTTTACCGCCGAAGTAGTCCGCGGCCTCGAAGCCGGAGACCGAGCGAAACGTCGCCTGTCGTTCCACCAACGCGGCGTGTAACGGCGACCGCATGGCGTCGCGGCCTGTGTAGAAAACCAAATATCGAGGCGCCTCTCCGCCCACTGCTGAATCATGGCCTCCACGCCATCGACGCGACGCCTGCTCGATAGCGTGGCGGTGTGGGTCTCTCACCGCTCGGTTCAGTCAGCGGGGCCGCGTCGTCGCCGAGAAATGACTAAGTGAAGAAGGTTGATTTCCACACAGGTCGCGGCCCGCCTGCGGCGTCTTGTACGGGTAGTGGCACTTGTAGACATCCCCTAAGGCCTCCTTGACCCTCTCAAGACGATAGGCCGGCGTCGCCTGGTAGTCTCGAGCCCGGTCGACGTGAAAACCGCACACATCCACATCGGGAACGCCGTCCACGATCCAATTCGCGACGCTCCTACCGACGCCGGGCCCCGTCAGGATGCCTATGCTATTCAAACCGGCCGCCACAAAATACCTTTGTAACTCGGGAGCTTCGCCTATGAGTGGTGCCAAATCAGGTGTGAACGACTCGGGCCCACAAAATAACTTCTTCACGCCCACGTCCTGGACCGAAGGCACGCGCGACATGGCCTTCTCGAGGTAGGGCGCCAACCGGTCCCAGTCCGGGGCTATTTCGCCGAAGGGCGGTATTGATGAATCCCATGATGCAGCTTCGCCCTCGAACAGCCCAACCATCAAACCGCCGCCCTCGGGCCGGATGTAGGCGTAATTCCTGGGATCCTCGACGACGGGCCAGCTCGGATCGACATTGTCCATGGCGTCCGTCAGGAGGTAGTAGTGTTCCGCGGCTTGATTCGGAATTAGCACGCCGTGGCTCTTACCTAGTTCCCGCGCCCACAGGCCGCCGCAGTTGACGACGTAGTCCGTCTTGATGGTTCCTGCGGACGTCTCCAGGCCGACGACGGCGTCGTCTTCCGTTATGATATCTGTACAGTCGACGCCTTCGACGATCGTACCTCCTAACTGTTTAAACCCTTTGGCTAACGCTTGGGTGGCGTCCACCGGGTTCACGCGGCCGTCGTCCGCCACATAAAAGCCCGCGAGCACGTCGTCCGTCCTACATAAAGGAAATAACGAGGAGACCTCCCTCGCGTCGATCTCGTGCACGTCGACGCCCTCCTTGCGGTTGAACGCCGCGACGCGCCGGTACTCCTCGAGCCGATCTCGTTCCGTGGCCAGCTCGATAAACCCGCAGCCCAGGAAACCCGTGCTCTGACCCGTCTCCGCTTCTAGGGATTGGTACAATGATTTGGAGTACTTGCGCCACTCCGTCGAAGTACTCGAAAGGGACCCGAAGGTGACCATCAGGCCCGCCGCGTGCCATGTCGTTCCGGCCGTCAAGGCGTGCCGCTCGAGCAGCACGACGTCGGTCCAGCCTCGCTTCGCGAGGTGGTAGGCGGTGGACGTGCCTATGATTCCACCGCCGATTACGACGCATTGCGCTTGTTTTGGCACCGTGCTGAGGCGTCTCGCGTGCACGCGTCGCAGTAGTGCTCGGTGCATGATGCTGCCGGCTGGGTCGGTCGGCTCAGTGCTGAGCTGCTCGGCGCAATTGCAGCGGGAATTATTGAGCAGCAGGAGTTATTGAACGTGTCGAGGGCTCAGCCACGATCAGTTATTGCTGCGCCTCGCAGTCTACAGCACTTGGTTTGCTCCCGAGCCTGTCGATGCCTAGTGTCTTACATGCCGCTAGCTCACAGCCACCCGCTTGAGTATCGAGGGGATTTGAGAGGGTTTCGAGCCTTCTATATCAGGGCCCTATCGCCCGGAAGCCACTGGTTCAACGCGCCGCCCGCCCGCGCCGGCTCGAGCCTCAGACACCCAGCAATAAGTTCAGGAAGTTTACGATGGCCAAAAGCGCGATCACGCTCGCGGCGCCGCCGGCCGACGAGGCCGCGGACGCGCTCCTCTCAACGAAAAAGCTCATCAAGCCCAAGAAGTCCGGTAGCATCAAGGGCATATTGGTAGGCGCGGCGCTGGTTTCGTTCGCTCTCGGCCTGCTCGCGGCCGTGACGCCGTCGATGCGCCAGGCTCTCTTTGGAGGAGATCAGTGGTCCCTGACCGTCGCGGGCGGCCTCGGGAGCAAGCGAGAGTTTCCCCTCCACAGCGTGGACCCGAACTACGTGAGCTTCGTCGTCGACCCGGCGAGCCTCGAGGTCATCCCGACATTGTTCTCCTCGGCCTCGTCCATCAAAATCTTCGCCTGTTCCGCCAGGCACGAAACATGCGCGAAGCCCGCCGTCCCGCGGCACGCGCAACCGCGCACGAGTCCCTCCTTTGTCTTCCAGTGGAGGGCCTGCGTGCAGATGAAGCACGTCTGGCCCTTTGTGTCGTCCGCGCATTTCGCGACCGCGACCGCGACGGCCTCCTTGTATTTTTTTTCGGCGTAGTATTGCTCCGCGTTGCCGCCGCGGTGGATACGTTTACAAATCTGCTTGTGGCCGCGGCGCCAGTGGTCATGCTGGCAGGTCGAGTCACAATACCTGACCTTACAGCGTACGCATCGCGGCGCGTTGTGGGCCAGTGGGGCGGCGCAGGCGGCGCAAGTTGTGAGGATCATTTTGCGTTGGCGCGGTCTGCGAGGGTCGCGGCGTGTAGCTCGTTTCTCAGTGATAGTTAGCTAGCGTAGCGACTTACTAGCAAATTCAAAGATACGCCTCGATAGCGTCAAAAGCATGACCAAAATTCAGAATACATCCTGGTCGTTCGCTGAGACCAAATAGTTCAGAGTAGAGGCCCGGGAACATACCCTCGCGCCTCCCGGAAGGCACCGCCCGCGACATTCGCGGATGCATCTTACGGCTCGCCAAAGTACACCAGCGATTGACGCCGCCATCTACCGTCCAGATAGTACATCATATCAACTCCAGCCCAGTTTTCATCCACAATCGACGGAACCGGAGCCGACGGCCCGCGCTCGGAGGGCGGGAAAAGAATTCTACTAGACAACTCCCGAGTTTATGTTCGTTTTTATCCGTTTGTTGCCGGTAGATGCCATTTAGGCCGCCTGTACATGAGCCTATCTATATTAGAAGTCCCGTTGGAGCCGCGCGAAACGGCGATTTGGCAGCCCCGCGTTTACCCAAAGACGGGTAAATGAGTAGGACCCGCGAGTATCAGCGACGCCACCACCCAGATGGACCATAACGCCGTTATTCTATTCACAATCGACCGACTTGCCCGTTCTCCGCGGGCGACGGTGCGTACGCGGGGCACTGAATTGACCCCAGACCGGTGAGTTGTGAAATAAATTTGCGTTTCAGGCGCTTCAGTAGTGGTACGGGCCAGATAACCGGTTTGAGCGCCTACTACATTGCTCGAGACCCCACGATGCTCCGCGCGGCTCGGCTCGGCCGCGAGCCCACTATCTCCTTAATTTGGGCAAATTACATAGACCTGCGACCATCAGCCCGTGTAACATCAGCATGGACCATAACGCGATCATTTGTTTCATGATCGACGAACTTACGCGAGGTCCAGATAAAGATGTTCACGTCCCGAGCGTGGGCAGCCAAAAGTACCCTTCTTATAATGTAGATGTCATATACTTGTAGTTGACTATCGCTGGGGTAGTATGGGGTCCGACGAGACCGCTATTACGATTTCTGGGGCCCTAGAAAAATTGACGTTTTTTACGGGGACGGGGCGCCATCGGGTCCAAAATGCACACTTTTTTCGGATGTAGATCGGCTCCTGGAGGTCTCTCGGGGTAGGTCTAGTGTCGGGTAGTCGCCTGTACCACATACGCCAGCGCTTGGGCCCCTCGAGGGCTCTGGAAGCCATTGCCAAGCTATTCATGGTTTTTGGGCGCGCAGCGCTGAGAGAATTGGCCGAAATATGCTGGAAGCGGCGGCGCATGCGGTGTAGGCGTTTGCACGTGTCTAGTACCGACCCTAGGCGCCCCCCGGGAGACCTGTTTGGCAGGGATTGACAGGATTCCACTGGCGCGGCCGCCATGGCCATGGGCGGCTCGTCGGCCGCGAATTAAAAAATAAATAAATTCGGCCCCAAGTACGTGTCCCATTGATCTCTTTGGACCAGTAGCGAACCGAACGATACTCAAACGGCTGCATGTCGCGTTCTGTCCTGCCTAGTGTCTTACAGACGCTAGCTCGCTCCGGCACTGAGGCGCATTTTTGGCAGCCATTACCGCAAGCATTCGTCGCAATATACGCAGGTGAGACTCTCGTAGCAGCGCCGAACGCACCGGCCTCGAAAACGCGAGCTCTACGCATGGCTGCAGCCCCAAAAGCGAGAGTCGTCGTTTTGGGAGCCGGCTGGTGGACCCAGGGCTGGCACCTCCCCCATTTACACCGCCACCCGGACGCGGAGGTCGTCGCCGTCGTCGATCCTTGTCCAAATCCGCGGTCGGCCATCAGCACGTTACAACCACTCGAAGAGCTCGGCGCGAAGTACGGCTGCGCGACCTACGACTCCTTCGACGCATGCTTAGACAGCGGACTGGAGTTTGATGGCGTGATTGTGTGCACGTCCCACGCTTCTCACTCAAAATTAGGAGCCCAGGCATTAGCAAGGGGCAAGCACGTGCTGATGGAGAAGCCGATGACAACTGATGTAAATGAGGCCATTTCTCTGAGAGATGCGTCGCAAGCGTCACCATGCTTCTTCGCGGTCAACAACACGGCGTCGTGGCGGACCCAAGCCGTGACCGCGAGGCGGTGGGTCCGCGACGAGGCATTACTAGGCGAGGTCGAGCACGTGGCTTGCGCCATGCACTCGCCGTTGCTATGGCTCTTCGATGATCCTGCTAACGTAGGATGGACGCAACCGACCGGTAGCATGCGAGGTAATGGGTTTGCCTGGGGGCAGCTGTCTCACTTGCTTGCCTGGGTCCTGCAAATAACGGGCTTACGACCGGTCGATGTCGCATGTACGATGGTCTTCTCTGGAAGGTCAGGGGCGGACATGCACGACGCCGCGGTGTTTAGTTGTTCAAATGGGGCGTCCATCAGTCTGACGGGGACAGGAGCGGTCCCTGGAAACGCTCATGGTGATGATAGTGATGAGAGCCATCCACATTCTGGAAAACACGTCTCCGTGCGGGTCTTTGGGGATGCTGGGAGTCTCGTGTATGAAGGCGACGACCAGGACCCTTCTTCGGGTGATTTGGTGGTGCTCACGCGCGACGGTGATCGGAAAGTAGAACAAGGATTTCTCTTCGAGAACTACGAGGACACGGGCACCGGGCCGGAAAGCGTCCAGGCGTTTATCAAAGCCTGCCGCGGCCTGGAGCACTTCCGGGGCATCGACGCGGAGCTAGGGTTGGACGTGGTCCGGTGCATCGCGGCCATGTACGCGTCGGCGACGGACGGGGGGAAGCGCGTCGCTTTGGAGCCACAGGCGTAAAAAAACATACAACTTAACATATCCCGTCGACCACCGGTGCCCCGGCCAGCCCCGCCGCCCCGGCCAGCCCCGCCGCCCCGGTCAGCCCCGCCGTCCCGGGCAGCCCCGCCGTCCCGGGCAGCCCCGCCGTCCCGGCCGCGCGCTCCGGTGCCGTCACGGCCGCGGCGTCGACGCCGTCGCCGCGCTGCCCGGCGCGCCGTCGGCCGAGCGCCTTCTCGAGGCCGCGTTCACTTATAGATTGGAGAAGAGGGCCGCCCCGCGTTGGGCGCGGGCGGCGCGCCGCCCGCCCCCACGAAGACGACACCGCCATCATCTTCAAAGGCGCACGCGCCCACTTCGACGAGTAATCTGTCGACGAAATCGGCGAACCGGGAATCCCGCGCGCGCGCCGTTTGCAGCGCACTTCTAGCGTCGGTCGAGCCCTCTATTGTGACCAGTAAGTCTCTCAGTGAAGGTTCCCTTCGCAACTCCTCTTTGGCCCAAGTGCAGCTCGCGATTCGTGTGAGTTGCGCCGGCGTCAGCCTCGCGACGTCGGAATCGTCGGGCGGCGGCCGGCCGGCGCGCTTCTCCGGTGCGACGCGCTTCGGCCTTGCTTTCGTCACAACTGTCGGGGCGACGCAGGTCGCTTTGTGGGTGCGGCAACAGGCGATGCAGCAATACGCCGCGCGGCACTTCGGGCAATTGTATTTCGCGGCGGGCGTCGCGCAGACGGCGCAGGGGCGGTCGGGGCGGGGCATTGGTGTCGCGTTTGTGAGCGATGCGGCTCGTGCCGGGCGCTGCTCTTGCCGCTGTGCACTGCTGTTGGTGTCTGTAGGCGGCAGCGCTGGCGAAGCGGTGGCTCAGGCGTGCTTGTGGCAGTGCTGGGGTCACGGGGACTTTGTCTAATGCGACTTGCGAGCTCTCCGGCTGTTCTTGGCCCCTGGCCTCGGTTTTTGGCTGTTTCTAGTGTCTCTACATGCCGCTAGCTCGTTTTGGCCGGTCTCCTTTTACCAATTTTGAAGGCTTGCTAGCGACACCGGTTACATCTCTTTCCAGCCGAGCAGCAGGCCAAACCTGTGGCGCTGCGCACACCCCTAACATGACCCAGGTCGAGCGCCCCCTGAACATGGACCTAACACTAAGGGTCGTACAGGCCGCGCAAACGGGAGACGTCACCGCGGTCAGAGCATGGTTAGCAGTGGGCGGCTCGCCCAACGCAACCTGGGAAATTGCCCCGGGAACGCCCCACTTGCTCCTCGCGTTCGCCTGCTCTTCGGATCATCGGAATTGCACATCCATCGTCGAGATCCTCTGCGCGGCGGGCGCCCGCGACGATGAAGCAACACATTCCCTGCGCGGTGACGGCCGTGACGCGGGAATGTGTCTATTGACCGCAGCATCGCGCGGGGCAATAGATACTGCGCGAGTGCTTCTCCGCTACGGGGCGCCGGTAAGGGCTGAAGCGCTGCACAACGCCGTGACGGCCAATGACGGGAGACATCTCATGGGGGCTCTTGACCCTGGGCCTCCACCAGAGCATGAGATATCAATGGGGCACCAGGGCATGGTTCGTCTGCTTTTAAAGCACGGGGCCGCGGTCAACGCACGCACACATGTGGAACGCCTCACGCCTTTGATGGTTGCCGCGAAATTCAGTGGCTTCGTTTCTTTCGGCATTGGGAGGGAGCTTCTGGCTTCTGGTGCGGACCTCGATCTGGTGAGTGCGAATGGTCACAATGCAGAGGCGATCGCGCGAAGTCGGCTGCAGACTGAGATCTACTATGAAAGAGGCATCCCCGAGGACCCGCTACGTTGCCGACGACCGGGCGCCGTCGAGGCGTTCCTGGAGCTATGTGCGGGAGTGCGCGCGGCGGGAAGCTGGAAGCGCTACGTAAACGCGCCGCGCATCGACATGATTGTCCTCCAGCGTCTCTGCGCCGCGGGCCGCGCGTCGCCGCCGCCGGCCCTCGCGCGCCTCTTCCCGAGAGTCCCGACGCCGGCGGCGCCTATATGGCTGTCGTGGCGTGAGGCTCATCAAATCGGGACTAGTGCGAGCAACCAGGACAGTGGCGTTTCGACGCCCCTCCCGAAGGAGCTGGTCTGGCTTATTCTCAAATTCTGGCGCACGGACCGCGACCCCTAGACTAAGTTGTGAGTTATACGTTATCCTAGAAATCCTCCGCCCCACTGATGAACGTCGAGTCCTCCACGCCGAGGAGCGTCGGCCGCCCGCGTCGCGGCGGCGGAGCGGCTGAAGCGCCGAGCACAGCGGTCCGTCGCGGAGGCGACCTCGCGCGCCGTGGCGGCGGCCGCGCCACGGGCTCCAGGTCGAGGTGCGACGGCGGCGGCGCCCGGCCCCGCGTCGCCGCAGCGCGCTCGCGCCAATACGTCGCCGATTTCGAGCCGGCCGAGGACGGCGTCGAGGCGGGGCTGCGGTACGCCACGGGCCCGGCGCCGTTGGGTGCGTGGCGCCGCGGTGTCGCCGAGTACGCCGCCGCGGAGCCGGTGACGGCCTGCCGATACTTGTCCGGCGTGCGCGCGGCCGCCGGCGCCTCGAGCGACCCGCTCGAGTCCGAGGCGGCGGCGCCCGTCCACTGGCGCTCGGGCGTCTACTCGCGCGACGAGGCAGCTCCCGCCACATTCTCGCCGGGCGCCATGACGTCGACGCAGTTCCCGTAGTCGCTGAAGAACGTGATCCTATCATTAATGTTGGTGGCGCCCACCGTGACGGCGTCCCTTGAAGCCCCAGGAGCCATCTCGCAGGCGTCCTCGCCGTTGTTCCCGGCCGCGATCGCCGTCAACACGCCTATATCCCGCAAGTCCCGGATGGCTCGGGCGTAGTGCGTCTCGAAGGCGCAGTATTTCGTACCGGGGCCTTCGTTTCCATCCTGATCTCTACATTTCCCGCCGAGCGACATGGAGACGACGGTCGGACCCTTCACTTTTTTTCTTTTGACTAAGTCGTAGACTCTGTCGAGCGCGCGCACGATGACGCCCTCCGAGCCTCCTGGTAGTACTTTCATGCCGTAGACGTTGGCTAGGGGGGCTATTCCATAATTCTTGCCCGCCGCCGTCGACGCGCAGTGCGTGCCTGTGTGCCGGTGAGGTCTTACGTCGTCGACGCGCGAGTCGCGGCGATGGCGTTACTGGCACTGGAAACGAACCGTGGCCGTCGCTGTCGTTGTTGTCCTTGAGCCAGGCCCTGTTCTCCGAGGTCAGGTCCCACTCTTCTTTATCTTCCCAGACGCCGCCGGGGTGGAAGTTGCTGTAGGACCCGACGTTCTCGACCTCCCTATCTCCCTCGAACTCCTGGTGCAGCGTGTCGAGGCCCGTGTCGAGGACGAAGACGTTGGTCCCCTTGCTCGAGACCTCGAAGGCGTCGTTGCCGTCCAATTTACCATTGACGCGGTCGAGGTTCCAGGGCTTGCCCTGGTTGTGGCTCTTGCCCCACCACTCGTTATTCCTCCGGAGCGCGTCGACGTCGAGCCGGCGACCGGCGTCGGGGCGGTGCGTCACCTCGTGCGACCGCGCGACATTGCAGACGCCCTCATGGCTCTTGAGCGCCGCGACCTCGGCTTGAGTCGCCTCGACGACGAGGCCTCGGAGCGACGGGAGGTGGCGGATGTGGTACGCGTCAGGGTAGGCCGCGCCGACAGCGTCGCGGTGGTGCTCGGCGCAGAGCTGGACGATGTGCTCGGCCCGCGTCTCGGCGTCGGCCGCGGTGGCGTCGTCGAGTAGAGCGCTTGACGCGACGGCGTAGACGATGAAGAGCGCGCGGAGCATGTCTCGCGACGCCCACGCTGACGGTTGCAGGGAAGCAACAAGTACAGGGCCAGGTGGGTTTTACCGCTTCACGGCGCGTCAAGATTCATCCGTTATGACGTATGGATGTATGTAAGCGCAAACGCTTGTTTGCAATCAGTTTGATGAGCCGGCCGGCGCGCGTAAGCCCGGATGAGCAAATGATACATAATCAGCTAGCGGCATGTAAGACACTAGCACGCGCCGCCGCGCGCCCGGGACCGCCGGGACAGAAGGACGATAGAGAGATGCTGGGCCTCGCCGTGGTCGCCGGCGCCCTGCTGCTGCGCTTGGGCAGCGCCGCGCCGCCGCGGGCGCCCGCGCGGGGCGGTATCAAACTGAGCAGCTGCCCCAAGGGCGGCTCGAGCCCCGCCGCGGCGCACGACGACAGCGAGGCGGGGATCGAGACATTTGCTCGAGACTACGAAATCATCACCACGTCCTACGAAAACGGCAGCACGTGCGCCGCGCAAGCCGGCGAGAACGGCCTCGACGGCGCTTTCCCCAGGAGGGCCCTAGCGAGCACCGACGCTGCGAAGAAGTCGTGGCTCCAGCTCTACAAGAACTACGGCGCGGGCGTCTATGCCGACGCGTTCGACTCCGAGCCTATAAATGGCGCGGCGAGTGCCGAGCTCGACCCGAACAAGTACCAGGCGGGCGGGGTGCACGCGCTCCACGCCATCGAGCAGACCGTCGGCAGCGACGTGCAATACGAGAACTACCGGTCGGACGGCACCATATTGATGTTGGCGGCCCCGACCAAGGACGGCGTCGACGTCTTGGACGTCGCGTCCGCCGAGCTGGCGCCTACGCCCGGCACCACGATGCAGTTCATGGCCCCGGACGCGATCAAGGGCGGCGTCGACGAAGAAGAAGCGGCCCAGAGCTACCTTGGGCGGACTTCCTGGTGCCTCTTCCAGGTACTCGCTTCGGTGGTTCCGCGGCGCAGTAGCTCAACGATGGGAGCGGCCTGGCGCTCGTCCGTCGTCGGCTACCTGCTTATTTGGGGGGACGCCACCCGCGTGGCGGCGGAGACTTCGGTCCGCGGCCGCAGCGGCCGCAGCGACGACAACACCAAGTCCAAAACCATGACGAAGACCAATAACCCTCCGCGCGCGTCGGCGGGAGGCCTCGCGCAGCGGCGCGCGCTCACGGGCTATGTGATGGACGACGATAGCATTAGAACGGCGGTGGCGGCTTGGTTTGCCGACCAGTCCGCCGCCGAGGCGACGTACGGCCACATTTCGACGTGGGCGACTGGGGGGGTGACGGACATGTCGGATTTGTTTAATTCCCAGACGTCCTTCAACGAGGACATCGGCGCGTGGGACACCTCTGGCGTCAAGAACATGTTCGGGATGTTCCGCTACGCCTCGGCCTTCGACCAGGACATCGGCGCGTGGGACACCTCCGGCGTCACAACGATGGAGTCCATCTTCTATTATGCCTCGGCCTTCAACCAGGACCTCGACTGGTGCGTGGGCGACGACGTGGTTCTGTACAACGCGTTCGACGACACCCCGTGCGATTCGACGTGGTGTGGCGTAATGTGGGAGACCAATACTGGCGACTGCAACGTCTCGCGCACGGGCAACGTCATGGTCAACTGGAAAATCGAGCAAGCAGTTGCAGCGTGGCTCGCGGACGCGACGGCCGCCGAGGCGACGTACGGCCACATCTCGACGTGGGAGACTGGGGGGGTGACGGACATGTCGCATTTGTTCAGGGAGTCGTCCTTCAACGAGGACATCGGCGCGTGGGACACCTCCGGCGTCACTACGATGTGGGCGATGTTCCACAGTGCCTCGGCCTTCGACCAGGACATTGGCGCGTGGGATACTTCGGGCGTCACAGAGATGAGCCACATGTTCTACGGCGCCTCGGCTTTCAACCAGAACATCGGTGGTTGGGCGGTCCACAGCGTCAAGGACATGGAGTCGATGTTCCTCAACGCCTTAGCCTTCGACCAGGACATCAGCGCCTGGAGCGTCGACAACGTCAGGGACATGCACTGGATGTTCAGCTCCGCCTCGTCCTTTAACCAGGACCTCGGTGATTGGGCGGTCCAGAGCGTCACGGATATGCGCTGGATGTTCAGAGGCGCCTCGGACTTCGACCAGGACCTCGGCTGGTGCGTGGGCGACGACGTCTTTGATCCCTGGGGGCACGGCAACACAATGGAAGACGCGTTCTCCGGCACGCCGTGCGAGGCGACGTCGTGCGGCGTTGAGCAGGGCCAATTTGTACCTGCGAGCGGCAGCTGCGTGTCCACTCCAGCGCCAACTGCTTACTGGGATGGCGTGCATCACACGGACGACAGCATCCGCAGGGCCGTCGTGGCTTGGCTCAACGATCCGGCCGCCACCGAGGCGAGGTTAGGCCACATCTCGACGTGGGAGACTTCAGGGGTGACGGACATGGAGTTTTTGTTTTCCGCGTGTGATTGGGACAGTAGATGCAACTCGGCCGCTGCGGCCTTCAACGAAGACATCGGCGCGTGGGACACCTCCGGCGTGACTACGATGCACAGGATGTTCGCCGAAGCCTCGGCCTTCAACCAGGACATCGGTGGTTGGGCGGTTCACAACGTCAGGTATATGAGTTTCATGTTCATGGGCGCCTCGGCCTTTAACCAGGACCTCAGTTCGTGGGAAACCTCTGCTATTACGAACATGTTCCAGATGTTCGGCGGCGCCTCTTCATTTAATCAGGACATCAGCGGCTGGCGCGTCGACAGCGTCACGGACATGAGCCATATGTTCAGCGGCGCTTCGGTCTTCGACCAGGACCTCGGCTGGTGCGTGGACGACGGCGCGAACCTGGACTACGCGTTCACCAACACCCCGTGCGAGGCGACGTCTTGCGGAGTGGTGCTCCAAGGCGTGGACTGTCCGTTTCCGACACCCGCGCCAACGCAGCGCAACTTCATGGACGACTCCAGAATCCGCACGGCAGTCCGAGCCTGGATGGAGGACCGCGCCGCCGCCGAGGCGACGTACGGCCACATCTCGACGTGGGACACATCGGGGGTGACGGACATGTCTCGGTTGTTTTGCGTGTGGCAGGATTGGATGGAAGCCGAATCGTGGTATGACGATATATGCTTCTCGGCGTCGTCCTTCAACGAGGACATCGGCGCGTGGGATATCTCCGGTGTCACAGTGATGGACTATATGTTCTACTACGCCGCGGCCTTTAACCGAGACATCGGTGGTTGGGCGGTTCACAGCGTCACGGATATGAGCGGTATGTTCAACTCCGCCTCGGCCTTCGACCAGGACATCAGCGCCTGGAGCGTCGACAACGTCAGGGATATGCACCAGATGTTCAATTCCGCCTCGGCCTTCGACCAGGACCTCAGTGCGTGGGAAACCTCTGGTGTTACGAACATGCACCAGATGTTCAGCTGGGCCTCGTCCTTTAATCAGGACCTAGGCGGCTGGAGCGTCGAGAACGTCAGGGATATGCACTACATGTTCCACCACGGCTCGGCCTTCGACCAGGACCTCGGCTGGTGCGTGGGCGACGACGTGAACCTCGACGAGGCGTTCTCCGGCACGCCGTGCGCGTCGACGTCGTGCGGCGTCGTGCAGGGCCGTTCTGAGGGTGGCATATGTGTGACGCTTGCGCCGACATTCTTCGATGGAGCATTTGGCGACGAAAGCATCCGCACGGCAGTCCGAGCCTGGGCGGAGGACCGCGCCGCCGCCGAGGCGGCCTACGGCCACATCTCGACGTGGGAGACTTCAGGGGTGACGGACATGTCGAAGTTGTTTTGCGTGCGGCAGGGTTGGATGGAAGGCGAATCGTGGTATGACGACTGCGTCTTATCGGCGTCCTTCAACGAGGACATCGGCGCGTGGGACACATCCGGCGTTACAGCGATGTGGTGGATGTTCTACGGCGCCTCGGCCTTCGACCAGGACCTCAGTGCGTGGGAAACCTCTGGTGTTACGACGATGAGCGGGATGTTCTTCGGCGCCTCGGCCTTCGACCAGGACCTAGGCGGCTGGCGCGTCGACAACGTCAGGGACATGCACCAGATGTTCGGCTGGGCTTCGTCGTTCAACCAGGACCTCAGCTGGTGCGTTGGCAATGATGTGAACCTCGATGGGGCGTTCTCTGGCAGCGGGTGCTGCTCAATGTCTTGCGGCGTCGCTCGAAAGGACGAAACTGGTGACTGCCAAATCATAGAATCGTGGGACTGCTACTACTACTACGACGATGACGACGATGACGACGATGGGGCCACGGAACTCGTCATGTCAACGGGACTCGCGGCGATTGGCATCACGTTTACGGGAATCACCATCGCGGCGATCGCGAATGCGTTCCAGGAACAATGCGCCCTGGGCCCCACGATCGTCTACGAGGCCGGCACGACGCACCCCTACTACATCTCACCAAATCTATGCACCATCGGGACCAAGACCTTTTCGTCGGACAAGACAGTTCGCGACGCGTCGCCGCGCAAGGTCTGCCGCAAGTTCTGTGAGGCTGCATCGGAGAAGGGCAAACTGGCGCTCAAGCACGTCCAGGGCCTGACGTGCTACTGCAAACGGAGGTAGAGCCCTTCTGCCGCCGCCCCACCGCAGCCCCTCCCTCCCTCCCCAATAGACTGCCGACGCCTGGGAGATGTAAGGCATGGTATAGTTATGCTGCGTGGTTGTAATTTTCGTCGGCGTGGAATTGTTCCGAGGCCGCGGCGGACGAGTCCGGCTCGTATCAGAGAGCGAAACCTAGGACTGCGGCTCCACCGCGTCCGCCGGGAACAACCCGACGCGCCCGCGGCACGAACCCCTCCACCACACCGCATCGGTGTTGTCGAGGCAGATGACTCGGTCGCCGCGGTGGAGGTCGACCTGGCCGGGACGCGTCGCGCGGAAGTCCTCGATCGCGACGAGGAACGTCGGGCCCCTCTTTGTAGGAGGCAGCACGCCCGGCGACGCCGTTAATGGAGAGAGCAGCGGCGACGCGGGCAGGCGCGTTGCGATAATTGGAGTCGGCCGGCGGCGCTCCGGGCTGCCGAGCGGCGGCGGCCGCGCGACGGGCTCGAGCTCATCGAGGTGCGCCGTCGGGCTCCGGCGCGGCGTGACTTCGCGGTAAGGCGGGCTCTCGGCCCGGTAGTCGCGGCGCGGCGGGCTCGGCGCGGCCGCGCGGTAGGGCTCGGCGGTCAGGTACGGCGCCGAGCGCGCCCGCGGCAGCGCCTCGCCGCGGGGCGCGACGCCGGCCGCCCGGGCGCGGTCGCGCCAGTAGCTCGAGCTGCCGCCCGTGCGCGCCGTGTAGCGCGCGAGCGGGCTCTCGGCGCTCTGCGGGCTCTCCGTGCGGTAGGCCACGGCGCGCTGCGGCGGGCTCGCCGTGCGCCGGTGCTCGTCGTCGCGCCCGTAGTACGCCGCGCCGGCGGCGGCGGCGGCGCCCGCCGCCCGCGCCCGGTCGCGCCAGTAGTTCGCGTCGCCGACGCCCGACCGCCGCGGCTCGGCGTGACGCGGCTCGGCGTAGCGCGGCTCCGGGCGACGCGGCTCGACGTGACGCGGCTCGGCGTAGCGCGGCTCGGCGTAGCGCGGCTCCGCGTGACGCGGCTCAGCGTGACGCGGCTCGTCGAGGTCCGAGCGCCGCCGCGGCTCCGGGCGGCGCGGCTCCGGGCGGCGTGGCTCCGCGTAAGGCTCGTCGAGGTCCGCGACCGCGCGCTCGGCCATCATGGGATTCCGCTCGGCCGCGCGCCGGCCGCGCCGCTCGGCCTCGACGTACGACTGTTGAGGCTCTATTTTCGACTCCTCCACAAAATGCAGCGACTCCTCCGTCTTGTAAGGCGGCGGCGCGTCGAGGTAGTCGCGCGGCAGATGGCCGTGGTGCGACCGGCGGCGGTGCTTGGAACCGCGCCGCCCCTTCATGGGCTCCAAGTTTCTCGGTTTTATATCTGTGCGGTTCCGCGACGGGTTCCGTAACGCGTAGGCGACGAAGCAGCAGCAGAGGCACGTTAGAGTTAGCAAGAAGAGGACGAGGAGCGCTATACCATATCCCGGCATGGAGTCGCCCTTCTTCTTCGACTTACCACTTCCAGGTAATGCGCGGTAGACGGCGACGGGCTCGCCCTGTTGGAGGCGCCGTCTCTGCTTGATACAGTTGCCGGCGTTTTCATCTGTACCGCAGGTCCCGTCCCCGAGACACATCTCGTTCATCACGAACGCGGCACAGCGCGGCAATGCATCGGGGTCCGCCGGGCACTCGTCTCGTGATACAAGTTCCATGCGCGGCGGGCACGTGCGCTCTTCCGGTGGTGGTGACGGCGCCACGACCCTTCGACACACGCCATCACAAAGGCCGGACTCGCAGTCTCCGTCGATAGCGCAGTCGCGGCCGAGGCGGCACGGGTCGCAGGTCGGGCCGCCACAATCTATATCTGTCTCGTCGCCGTCTCTCTGATCATTGGCGCAGCTCGGGCCGTCGTCGCTTGGCGCGTCGTCGTCGTCGTCGTCGTCGTCCGGCTGTGGCGCTACAGGCCGGTCCGTCGGCTCCTTCGTCGGCTCCGGCGTCGGCGGGAACACGCACCGGTCATCAATACACGCGAGCGGGTCCTCGCAGTCGTCTCCATTCTTGCAGCGATCGCCCCGCTCGCAGGGCCCGCAATCGCGCCCGCCGCAGTCCACGTCGGTCTCGTCGCCATCTTTGATGCCGTTCCGGCACGGGCTCTCGGGCGGCGAGGTGGGGCGCGGCACTGGCCGAGCGGTCGGCTTATCTGTGGGCCGCCGGGTAGGGTCGCGCGTAGGTTCTCTCGTAGGAGGCCTCGTGGGGTTCGGCTGGGCCACGGGCTTCCTCGTAGGCTCGCGCGTGGGCTCCTTCGTGGGCCGTGGCGAGGGCCGGAACCGGCATCGGTCATTGATACAGTCGGTGGGCTCCTCGCAGTCGTCGTCGCGGCGGCACTTGTCGCCCTCCTCGCACGGGCCGCACTGACTACCACCACAGTCGACATCAGTCTCGTCGCCGTCCTTGCGCCCGTTGCGGCAGGGCGAGTCGGGTTTCGAGGTGGGCCGCGGCACGGGGCGCGCGGTAGGTTTGTCGGTCGGACGTCTAGTAGGCTCCCGTGTCGGCTCGCGTGTCGGCTGCTTCGAGGGCCGCGGCGTCGCGACGGGCCGCTGCGTAGGGCGCGGCGTTGCGACGGGCCGCGCGGTAGGCCTTTTCGTAGGCTCAAGGGTCGGCCTCCTCGTGGGCTTGACGTAGCACTTGTAGTCGCTGTCGTTGGGACACTCGCGCTCACACGTGGCCTTGCCGTTCTTCATTTCAAAACAGTCGCGACCGTCGCAGCAGTCGGAGTTCTTCGAGCAACGGTCTCCGCTCGCCCTGTGTGGACATCAACCAGTGCGGGCTCCGTCGCGCGGTGACGCCATCGAGCAGGTTTGATTTCTGCACGGCGCTCGACGCGCACGGTTCCTCGTAGCACTTATAATCCTTATCATTCGGGCAGCTCTTCTCACACGTAGCCTTGCCGTCTTTCCGCTCGAAACACTTGGTGGAATCACAACAGTCCCCGTCCTTGCTGCAGCGGTCGCCTTCGTCGGTGCACGGCTCGACGTAGCACTCGTAGTCCGCGTCGTCGGGGCAGCTCTTCTCGCACGTCCCGCCACCCTTTTTGGTAGGGAAGCAATCCCTGCCGTCGCAGCAGTCCGCGTCCTTCGAGCAACCGCCGCCGGTACCTTTACACGGCTCCTCGTAGCACTCGTAGTCCTTGTCGTCTGGACATTTTGACTCACAAGTACCTGTGTGGAAATCAAATTTCGGGCGCCCCACGCCATCGACGCGATGTTGTCCCCGCGGCCGCGTCGGCTCGATGGCGTGGAGTTTCCACACAGGCAAGTACCCTTGCCGTCCGTGCGCTCGAAGCATTTGTTGGAGTCACAACAATCGGCGTCCTTGCTACAACGGTCGCCCTTGTCGGCGCAGGGCTCCTCGTAGCAGTCATACTTATCATCGTCGGGACAGCTCTTCTCGCAAGTACCGTCCTTGCCGTTGATGGGAAAGCACGTCCGCCCGGAGCAGCAGTCGTCATCACCAGAACATTTGCCGCCCGTGCCCTTGCAGGGCGCCTCGTAGCAAGCGTATTTATCATCATCTGGGCATTCTTTTTCACAGGAACTGGTTGAAGCTCAAGCTCCAGTAGCGCGAGTTGCTGTCTCCTAGAATAGCGATCTTGCGGTCCTTGAGGAGGCACTGGGCCTGCTTCTGCGAGTACTTGCCGTTGGCTTTTTCCGCGGACGCAACTGCTAGTAGCGCCACGGCGGCGAGGCGGAGCGTGACCGCCATCGTCGGTCACGGGTTGTCGGTTTCGCGTCTACTGTGCGTCGACGGCGTGCCGTTCGGTGTCCGTCGACAGCGTATCGCTACTCGTGCGTCGATTCAGACGCGCGCTTGTACCGCCGCGTGCGTGTGATCCAGAGATAGGAATTTCCACTGTACAGCTTAGGCGGCGACTCGGGAGCTCTCGGCGCCACAGCAACGAATAGTTCTCACGACGAGTCGACAAAGCCACGCCTTTATCTCGATATATATCTCGTCGGCCCGCGGTGGTGGATTTTTTAGCGCCGCACACTTGCTTTGTCGTCGCATTCAACGGACCTCATCGCTCGCGGGGCCAAGCCTGAGAATGGCAACTTATACTCCTAATTATGGCCCAAACACCGCCTCTAAGAAGAAAAACGCGAGGGCCCTACACCGCGGGCGTCGGACGGCGGACGTCGGACGGAGCTGGACTAGGTAGTAGTAGATTACAACAAGCCCCTCAGTAGTACCGCCGCGGCGAAGCCCTCGGCGCCACCACGGACGCGTCGGGCGAGGTCGAGACGTGGTCGACGTGGTAGCAAGGGAACTTTCCCGAGGCGCCGCGGCAGCTCCCGGTCCACCACACGGCGTCGCTCGAGTCGAGGATGGCCACGCGGTCGCCCGCGCGCAGGCTCAGTTCGCCCGGCCGCACGGCCCGGAACGCGTCGACGCAGGTCGCGTAGGCGACAGCGCGAGGCGCCGACCGCCGCGGCGCCGCGGGGGCCGCGTACGTACTCCCGGCGGCGCCGGCCCCATCGGCAGGGCCGAGGCCGCGCCGGCGGTCAGGCCGCGACGCCGCCGGGGCCGCATACGCCAGGCTCGACGGCGTCGCGAAAGTCTCCGCGGACGTCTGCCGCGACGGCCGCGAGTAGTCGCGCGACGCCGTCCGCGAGGCGCGGTCGCGGTAGTAGGAGGGCGACCGCGCCGACGAGTGCGAGGACGCCGAGCGCGCGACCGGCGGCGCGACCGGCGGCGCCTCGCGCGGCCGCCGCGACTCGGACGACGTCCGCGGCGGCGACCAGGCGACGTCGCGCGGCGGCGGCGGCGACCGGTCGCGGCGCCGGTCGCGCGCGAGCCCGCGCGCGCCAGCGCCCGCCGCCATCTCGAGGTCGACGGGACTATCGCCCCGGATGTCCATGTCCGAGGGCGTGCGCCGGTGCGCGCGCGGCGGCGACGGCGCGGACCGGTCCATATCAGAAGTGCTGCGGCGGACTGTGTCCATGTCGGAGCTCCGCCGCCGGGCGAGCGCCGCACCGGCGCCGGCGGCCGCGCCGGCGGCCGCGAGGGACCGTGTGGAGGGAGGCGGCGCGCGGCCCGTCGCCGGCGAGAAGGCGGGCGCCGCGCGGCGGTCGGGGCTCTTCCGGGCCCAGTACGCGCTCGTACCAGCGGCGGCGTCGGCCGGGCCGAGGCCGCGCCGGCGATCGCTCCCGGCGCCGGCGCCGTCGGCCCTCGTCGTACCTGCGGCGAGGCCGTCGGCCGGCCCGAGGCCGCGCCGGCGGTCGGGCCGCCGCGTTGACGACGCCGCGGCCGCGGCCGCCAGCGCCTCCGCGTCCGGCGTCGACGCGCGGCCCCTTGATCGTCGCTTCGCCTCCGGAGTTAATGGAGAGATGTCGCCGACCTTCGTCTCTTCACGTAGTATGGGAGGCAGGCCCTTCTTGGCCCGCAACATGCGGAGCCGCGCGAGGTCGTCATCAGAATCAGAATCGTAGTCGACCTTGGCCGGGAGCGGGCCTTGCGAGCGCGCCTTGCGGAGCTCGGACGGGAGCCGCCGCGGCTTGACGTCTTCCTCCTGGTCGCCTGCGTGGAAATCAACCAATCGCGACGATGGTGAGGAATCGACACCGCCACGCCGTCGAGCAGGCGTCGCGTCGATGGCGTGGAGGTCATGATTTTTCCACACCGCTCGTCGCCGTCGAGGCAAGCCCTCGCCTCCTTGCCCGCGACGTAGCACGCGCAGATCGCCACGACGAATAACACAAGCGCCGCCGCCGCCACGGCGAAGCCCCAGGCCGGCACGTCGCTTGCCGAGGACGACGACTTTTTGGGCCGCGGTTTTGCAGTTGGTGCCATCGTCGGCGCGGCCACCCTCACGACATAAACGGCCGCGTTGCTCTCGTCTTGCAGGCGTCGCCGGGACGCGTAGGCGCAGTTCTTGACCTCGTCAGTGATCTCACAAGCGCCGTCGCCCTCGCAAAAATCGCCCGGCGCGTGGCCGCCCGCACCGCACGACGGCGGCCTTTGACGAGGACAGTCGTCGGCCAGGCGGACGCGGGGGCAGCCTAGCGGCGTGTTCGTCGGTTTAGGCGTCGTCGGCTGCGGCGTGGGTTTTGAGGTGGACGGCTTTGGTGTTGGTTTGTCTGTGGGTTCCCGCGACGGTTGCGCCGATGGTTTATAGGTGGGCGCGCGCGACGGTTGGGGCGTCGGCTTTTTTGTAGGTTTACGTGTGGGATCGCCGGGCTCTTCCGTTGGGCGCTGTGTCTGCGCGGGGAGTGACGCGTCGACGGCGCGCGGGCGAGACCCGAACCACGACACTCTCTCCCAAGCCGCGTCGGCTCGACGGCGTGATTTCCACGCGGCGCGCGACGTTATATATCATCACGCAGTTCCGGGCGCCCGCGCACGCCTGCTTGGGGCCCTTGCTATCGCCGAAGAAGTCCTGCCAGGTCTTCTGGAGGAAGAAGAAGGACGCGCTCCCGCCACTTTTATACTTCTTGTCCATGCGGCGCATGTGGGAGCCGTCCTTCGTGCGGAGCGGGTCGTACTGCGGGATCGGGACGTCCGTCCAGAAGCTCAGGGTGTCGATCTGGCCCTTGTTCTTGTCGCCGTTTCTTGACAAAGAGGACATGACCGTGCCCTTCTCGACGAACTCGTTGAGGGCGAGGAACTCGTAGCGCATGTTCGAGTCGCCGCTCATGACGAAGGTCTGGCCGCCGTTGAAGGATGCGACGCACTGGGCTTCTTCCTGCGTGAGGGCGGCGGCCGACGCCGCGAGCGCGATGACGAGGCGGGCCATGCTTGTCGTCCGGCCTGCGCGCGGCGTCGTCTCGGCGCGCGCGCGGGGTGGGCTCTGACGCCCGAGCTCTCTGGCCTCAGCTCTGGCCGCGGCGCGATCTCTGGCCCGGCCGACGCGACGCGGCGCGCGGCGCGGCGTGAGCTCTGGCCCGCTCGCGCCCAGCTCGGCGCGGCCGCGGCGACGGCGCGATCTCTGGCGTCCGGGGCCGCGCGCGCGTGCCGGCGGTTGATCTGTGATTTCGATTGCTGCAAATTTCCCGGCGAAGCGCCGGCGTTACGCGCGCGCTTTTGCGCCACGGCGGCCGCGCTGGTCGGTGAGGTCGAAACGTGAGTGATTTCACGCCGCGTTTTGCAGAGATGACGGCCGTAATCGCGCGCGGCAAAAATGCGGCCAGGATGAGATGAAACTCGGTGCTCGATTTTGGCTGTAACGCCGCTGGGAGCCGTCCCCGAGGCTTCTGGAGCAGCTCGCGCAAGCTTGCTCGAATTCCCCGCGGTTCGTTGGGCGCCTTGCCCGGTTTGAGCATCGAGAGCGGCGGGGCGGCGATTTGAACGCTGCGCTCGCTCACGGACAGCAGGGCTTCATCGGAGCAGTCCGGTGGACCCTCAGACACGCGAAGAAGTCACAGCTCCGAGCTCGCGCACCGCCGCGAGCCAGAGGCTGCGAAACCAGTAGAGGCGCCAGCAGCCCATGAAGACCGGCGGCAGCGGCGCCATGTTCAACACGGGCGCGGCCGCGCGCGGCGGCTCGCCGCACAAGTTTGGTGATCAGCGCTACGCGAGCAGCTCGTGCGGCGCCGGCGTTTTGAAATAGACGCGCCCGCCCGAACGCCAGACGCAGCGCACGCGGCCAAACCGCAGCGCACGACGCCGCGCGCCACACGCGCGCCGCGGAGGACTCGCGGCATAAACACGAGCCGCCGCGCCGGGGCCGGCGCGCCGGCCGCACGCCCGTGAAACCGCCGCGCCGGCCGCGCACGCCTCACTCAACACAGGTCCCTCATCGACGGCGTCGAGGGCGGCCCGTCCAAGCCCTGCGAGGCCCCCGTACAAGCGACGCTCGTCCTCAAGGACGGGCAACGACTGGAGGGCACGTCCTTCGGCGCGAAGGTCAATAGACCGGGAGAGGTCGTGTTTAACACCGGTATGGTCGGCTACCCCGAAGCTCTGACCGACCCCTCCTACCGGGGCCAGATTTTGGTATTAACCTTCCCGCTCGTGGGCAACTACGGCGTCCCGTCCATGGACACGAAGGACAGGTGGGACCTGCCCTTGTATTTCGAGTCCGACGACGTCCAGATCGCGGGCCTCGTCGTGTCGAACTATTCCGCGGACCCGTCGCACTGGGCGTCGCAGCAGTCGCTGGGGAACTGGCTCGCGAAGGCCGGCGTGCCGGCCATCTTCGGAGTTGATACGAGAGCACTGACCAAAGGTTTAAGGGAGCGAGGTTCGATCCTGGGCCGATTGGAGGTCGAGGGCGCGCCGCCCAGTCCGCCGCAGGAAGTGGGCTTCGTCGACCCGAACCTGCGCAATCTCGTGGCCGAGGTGTCTACCAAGTCAATTAGAACGTACAATCAGGGCGGCGACAAGCCGACGATCGTCGCGATCGACTGCGGCATGAAGCACAACATCGTGCGCTATTTTGTGGAGACGCACGACGTGACGCTTATTGTGGTGCCCTTCGATTATGATTTGGAGAAGAACCCGTGCGTGGCCGGCGTCCCAGGTCATGCGTCGCGTCGACGGCGTGGAGGTGGAGACAGGTCGCCGCGACGCCGTCGCCGCGGCCGCGAGAGAAGTCCTCATGAGCACGAGAGCCGTCCGCGCGCGACGACCGTCTCTACAACACAGGGCGAACCTGAAGTGGGACGGCCTCTTCTGCTCGAACGGCCCAGGCGACCCCTCCCAGTGCAGGGAGACGATCAAATCGCTGCAGTGGGCCATTTCCCGGGACGTCCCCATCTTCGGCATTTGTTTAGGCAACCAGCTCCTGGCCTTGGCCGCCGGCGCGAAGACCTACAAAATGAAATATGGAAATCGCGGCATGAACCAGCCCTGCGTCGACCTGCGGACGACGCGGTGCTACATCACGTCGCAGAACCACGGCTACGCGGTGGACGACCAGTCGCTGCCGGAGGGGTGGAAGGCTCTTTTTGTCAACGCGAGTGACTCAGAGTCCGTTTCCGACCGTTTCCGAACTTCAAGTACGCGTCGATGGCGTCGGCGCGACGCGATGACGCCGTGACGCTGTCGACGCGGCCGCATGAGGTCTCACGAGAGGGCCGCGGCAGCTTCGCGACGCCGTCGTTCCGCGCAGGCCAACGACCGCAGCAACGAGGGCATTATTCACGTCTCGAAGCCCTTCTTTTCCGTGCAGTTCCACCCGGAGGCGGCCGGGGGCCCCTTCGACACGGCGTTTTTGTTTGAGGCCTTCGTGCGCCACGTGCGCGGGGCGGCGCCGCAGCTCACGCTGCTGGATCCCGCCATTTATCGGAACGACCGCGCGTCGCTGAAGCGGGTGTTACTTGTGGGTTCCGGCGGTTTGAGCATCGGCCAGGCGGGCGAGTTCGACTACAGCGGTTCGTAGCGGTGTCTTACGCCATCGACGCGGTTTCGCGACGCGCGCGCCACGCAGGCTCCCAGGCCATCAAAGCACTGAAAGAGGAGGGCATCGAGGTCGTCTTGATCAACCCGAACATCGCTACCGTCCAAACTTCAAGGGAGGACGCTAGTTCGGTAGACGTCGAGAGACATAAGAGCGAACCAATTGCGGACCACGTCTACTTACTGCCGGTGACGGCGGACAACGTCCGACACATTTTGGACAAGGAGAAGAATATTGATGGTCAGCTCAGTGTCTGTTCAACGTGAGACCGTCTGACAGACACGACGCAGGTATCATCGTCTCCATGGGCGGCCAGACGGCCCTCAACGTCGGGATTGAGTTGTGGCGCAACGAGGACCTCCAGCGAAGAAATATCAGGGTCCTGGGCACGAAGATCGACGCCATCGTGGCGACCGAAGATCGCGAAATCTTTTCCACGAAACTGAGGGAGATCAACGAGACGCTGGCTTTATCTTACCCAGCTACGACGGTGGAAGGAGCGCTGGAGGCCGCCCATAAAATCGGCTATCCCGTGTTGGTGCGGGCGGCGTTCACTTTGGGAGGCCTCGGGTCGGGCTTTGCCGAAAACGACGCGGAGTTGCGGCACGATCTCGGCGTTTTGAAGTGTTTTGGTGCCTTCCATGTGACTCGTGCCCATCTTACGATGACGTGGGTGGTCTCTGGTCCAATTTTGAGCTCCGCGCAGGGACCTCGCGGTGCGCGCGCTCGAAGGTGGCTCTTCGACGACGAAGCAGATCCTCATCGACCAGGACCTGCGGGGCTGGAAGGAGGTCGAGTACGAGGTATGCGTCGGTGTCCTGTGGCCTTCTTACGCCATCGACGCGACTCGTCTCCGTCAGACGAGGTCTCGGGTCCGAATTTGGGCCGATTCGGACCACACGGTCGCCTCGATGCGAGAGCAATCTTCATGGGTCGCAGCGATAGCGTGGGGCTTCTACGCCATCGACGAGACTCGTTAGAGGCCTGGGACCACGTGCAGACGCGTTCACGTCGCGGCGGTGGCGTCACGCGACACGCGACCGCAGGTCGTCCGCGACGTGCGGGACAACTGCATCACGGTCTGCAACATGGAGAACTTCGACCCGCTGGGGGTCCATACGGGCGATTCGATTGTGGTCGCGCCCTCCCAGACATTGTCGAACCGCGAGTACTTCAAGCTCCGTTCAACGGCCCTGAAGGTCATCCGGCACATCGGCATCGTCGGCGAGTGCAACATCCAGTACGCGCTGGATCCGAAGACGGAGCGCTACTGCATCATCGAGGTCAATGCGAGACTCTCTCGTTCTTCAGCCTTGGCCTCGAAGGCTACGGGCTACCCCCTCGCTTATGTGGCCGCGAAGCTCTCTCTAGGCCAAGATCTTGTCAGCATCAGAAACAGCGTGACGGGGACCACCACAGCTTGTTTTGAACCATCATTAGATTATTGTGTGGTGAAGATGCCGCGCTGGGACATGAGAAAGTTTTTTGTCGGTGTCAGAAACTTCAACTTCGTGAAGATGGCGCGACGAGGCACGCGCGACGCGTCGACGCCGTCGAGGCGGCCGCCACAGAGTCCCCACGCCTCGCGAGCGAGCCTCGGGACCGCGGTATGCCTCGAATCGGCCCGAAATCGACGAAGAGACCACGTACGCATGCCGACGCGACGCGCCTCGCCACGCAGGTTCCAGCGCGTCGACACGCGCCTGGGCTCCGGCATGAAAAGTGTTGGAGAGGTCATGGCCATCGGGCGCAGCTTCGAGGAGGCGCTGCAAAAGGCCGTGCGCATGGTGCGACCCGGTTCTAGAGGTTTGGAAGGTTTCGAACTCCAACAAGCTCTTATAGGGGACGAGCGCGAAACACCTGGAGACGATTTAGCGAAGCGACTGCGAGTCCCGACCGATCAAAGATTGTTCGCCGTGCAAGCGGCGTTCGAGCGGGGTGTCCCGCTGGAGACGGTCCACGATCTTACAAGAATCGACCGGTGGTTCCTGAGCAAGATGCGTAGGATCGCAAGACTGAGAGCCGCGATGGAGGGCATGTCTGATGTGGGCGATTTAGATCTAAGAGCGCTGCGCAAGGTGAAGCAGGCCGGTTTTTCGGATGACCAAGTAGCTCATTATACGAATTGTCTTCCCGATCGGGCGCGAAGACATCGCTTATCTTTGAATTTGAGACCCGTCGTCAAACAAATTGATACGTTGGGCGCCGAGTTCCCGGCCTGCACGAATTATCTTTATATGACGTACCACGGGGACCAGAGCGACGTCGAGCCGGAGGACCGGGGCGTCATGGTTTTAGGATGTGGCGCCTACTGCATCGGGTCGTCCGTCGAGTTCGACTGGTCCGCGGTGTCGTGTGTGAGGCAGTGCCGCGCGTCGGGCTACCGCGCGGTCGTCGTGAACTACAACCCGGAAACTGTCAGTACGGACTACGACGTCTCGGACCGCTTGTACTTCGAGGAGCTGTCTCTGGAAAGAGTGTTGGACATCTACGAGCAGGAGCAGGCCTGGGGGCTCGTCGTGTCGGTGGGCGGCCAGATCCCCCAGAACCTGGCCAAACCGCTCCACGACCGCGGCGCGCGCGTGCTAGGTACAAGTCCAGATGATATCGACCGAGCTGAAGACCGGCACAAGTTCTCGTCACTCTTGGACGACCTCGGCGTGGACCAGCCGCCCTGGCGCGAGTTGCAGTCCGTGAAGGACGCGCAGGCCTTCGCGGCGGAGGTGCAATATCCCGTCCTCGTCAGACCCTCGTTCGTTTTAAGTGGCGCGGCGATGAAGGTCGCGACGTCCGACTCCGAGCTCGCCGCGTTTCTGGGGGACGCCGCGGACGTCAGCCCGGACCACCCCGTCGTCGTCTCGAAGTTTATTCGCAACGCGAAGGAGATCGAGTTCGACGCGGTCTGCCGCGACGGCACGATCATGAACTACGCGATTTCGGAGCATGTGGAAAATGCTGGGGTCCATTCCGGCGACGCCACTTTGGTCTTACCGGCCCAGAAGCTCTACGTGCAAACTCAAAAACAGGTGAAGCGCGCCGCCGCCAAGATCGCCGAAGCGTTGAACATTTCGGGCCCCGTCAACATCCAGTTCATGGCTAGAGATAACGACGTCAAGGTCATCGAATGTAATTTGCGGGCCTCGCGGTCCTTCCCCTTCATCAGCAAGACGATGAACTGCAACTTCATCTCGCGCTGACTCAGCGTCTTTTCCGAACTTCAAGGTGCATGAAATGCGACCGTATGGCCACGCCGCGACGCCGCGAGAATGACCAGAGACGGTTTCGCGACGGTCTCATGAAAACGCAGGCTCGCGACGCGCGTCATGCTCGGCCAGAACGCGCGGCCCTTCCAGATCACGACCATGGACATCGACTACGTCTGCGTGAAAGCGGCCATGTTCTCGTTCTCTCGTTTACGAGGGGCGGACCCGATCACGGGCGTCGAGATGGCGTCGACGGGCGAGGTGGCCTGCATGGGCGCCGACGTGTACGAGGCCTACTTGTACGCCTTGGAAGGGAGTTGTGTGAAGATTCCCACGAAGAAGCAGGCCGACGAAGGCAAGACGGTGTTCCTCTCGATGCACTCGCCGGGAAATTTCGCGGAAGAGGCCGCGAAGCTGGCGTCTCTAGGCTTTACATTGGTTGGGAGTCCGGGCACGGCGAAGGCGCTGCGGCTGCGCGGCGTGCCGATCGAGGACATTCCTTCGAGTACCGCTAGTGACTGGGCCCCGGCCGCGATTGAACTGTTGAAGTCTGGTGATGTGGTGTTCTGCATCAACGTGCCCTCTTCGGATAAACTCAATCAGATGGCTGACGACCCTTCTGCCGAGACCAATGGTTACAGATTGCGGACGGGGGCCATCGCGTTTGGTGTGGGCCTGTGCACGAACGAGAAATGCGCGGCGTTGTTGGTGGAGTCCTTGGCTCGCAAATTTGCCAAACCAGATGGTTCGTACGGCGTGCCGCGGCACCTGGACGAGTACTACGCCGGCGCGTTCTAGGACGTGTCGAAGAGATCCCCCTCCCCTATCCCCCTGAGTAACTAGCCCCTTTAACCGTCTTCGAGCGCGCTGAGTACAGCTTTGATAGGGCTACGTACTTAGCTAGGGCGGGCCGTCGAGCCATTCCCGAGAAAACTCCCTCTAAGTCGGCGGCGGCGTTTCGCGGGCGGCGAGCGCGGCGCGCGACTTTCGCAAATGCTGCTCAGTCTGCGATGTGAGCGGGTGGGCGCCACCGAGCACGCGCCGCGCGATCTGATCCGCGTCCTCGAGCGTCGTCACGGCCTCGCGGACTTCGTCGAGCGTGGCGTCGGGGTCCCTGTAGAGTGCCGCCGCGTAGATCGACTGCAGCTTGAGCGTGAGATCATTGCTCTCGCCGAGAACGCGTCGCGCCACGGGCATCGTTTTGCGCAACAATGTCTTGCCTTCTCCGAAGCGCTCTAACTTAATAAGTGCCACCGCGTAGTTGTTAAGCACGACACGTGCGCGACGCCCAGTTCCGGAGAAGAAACGCCGTCACGATCTCCACACGCGCATCCACGCACGAGGCCTTCCCCGGTGCGCGCATGCACGGCCTCGAGACAGATGTAGCATTTCTGCCCCTTCGTGTCGGCCGCGCACGCCTCGACCGCGACCGCGACGGCCTCCTTGTATTTTTTGTCTGCATTATACTGTTCTGCGTTGCCGCCGCGGTGTATTTTCTTACACATCTGCTTGTGGCCGCGGCGCCAGTGGTCATGCTGGCAGGTCGAGTCACAATAGCGTAATAGATAAAAGCACAAAATTCGGGTTGCCATGGCCAACGCGCTCTCACCCACCAGCCCCTCCCCGCCCAACCCCGCGCGCGCAGGACCAGGTTGCGACGCTGCCTCTCTCAGGTTCTTTCCGGTGTTATGAACTTCCTTTCTCCCGCCGGGGCTGGCCGTGGTGCTGTATTAAATTCCTCTTTTGGGGTGCTCTTGAGGGGGACCGCCTAGCCGCTCTCCGGAGGACGGGCAAGGTGCGAACCAGAGGGTGGGTCTTAAGCTGGCGATAGGGGTTTCGACCTCCCAAGAAGCTGACCCAAACAAATGTAAATATCTTGACGCTCTTGGCGACGAACGACGCGCATACCCGGGCTCCTAGCCTGGTGGTTCCGCCACGCTCGAAGCCTCTGATACCAACGCGTTTGCTGCTCGGATTTCTTCGTTTACACCCCGTTAGCTGCCGTCCGTGCGCCGTCCGTGCTCCATGCTCTTAGGGATGGTTTAGGCTGAGATATGCGGACGCCGTCGGTCATATGGACCTTCGGAGCAAGTCGCGAATGCGGGACGTTGTCAGCTTCGCCTAGGCGTATGGCTGGAGGTCGGATGCCGCTTGCCGTGTGGGCTTGCGGAGCAAGTCTCGAATGCGAGGCGTTGTCAGACGCGCCGCGCCGCCATTTCCTGCCGTCCTGAACAAGTTCATCTTCAAAGGTTCTCGTGGCGAATACGTTTCTCTACTTCCTCAGGAACCGGAGAACGTGTTACGTCCGGGACTTATATGCCGAAGGCAACAAATAGATAAAAGCACAAAATTCGGGTTGCCATGGCCAACGCGCTCTCACCCACCAGCCCCTCCCCGCCCAACCCCGCGCGCGCAGGACCAGGTTGCGACGCTGCCTCTCTCAGGTTCTTTCCGGTGTTATGAACTTCCTTTCTCCCGCCGGGGCTGGCCGTGGTGCTGTATTAAATTCCTCTTTTGGGGTGCTCTTGAGGGGGACCGCCTAGCCGCTCTCCGGAGGACGGGCAAGGTGCGAACCAGAGGGTGGGTCTTAAGCTGGCGATAGGGGTTTCGACCTCCCAAGAAGCTGACCCAAACAAATGTAAATAGCGTAATTTACATCTCACACATCGCGGCGCGTTGTGGGCCAGTGGGGCGGCGCAGGCGGCGCAGGTTGTGAGGATCATTTTGCGTTGGTTTGGGCGTTTGTGAGGCTTGCCGCGGCGGCGTGGTGGCCCTGGCAAATCGGGTTCCCCCCCCTAACTTGGTAGCGCAAGTGGCTCGATTTACGCGTCGGCGGACGTCGCTTGACGTGAACTTTCGCTCGTCCGCTCCATCCTTGCGACCAACGGCGTTACTACGTCTACAAGCATTTGGCTTGGAGAGACCATTAGTCAAAGGCCTCAAGCGAGTCTAGCGTTCGTGACCGCTTAAGTACTCTCTCAAGTGAGCATATATAAATGGCGGCGCGCGCCCTATACGGCGGCTGGCCGGCCACCGACGGCCAGCGGACACCGCTCGCCGGCGCGGAGGTCCTCGTCGCCTCGAAACTACCACTCAAACCGCCGAGGTTACTGCACTACCCTTCGCGCGATCTCTATCCGCTCCGGCCCTGGCTCCGGCACCACGGCATCGCCGAGGACGCCGCGCGGCGAGTGATCTGTACGTTGGAGCTTTTGCGGCCCGACCAGTGGCTGAACGCGTCCGTGGAGCTACTGGTGCGCGTCGTCGACGCTGAGCCGCCGATGGACGGACCCGGCGAGCAGCCCGAATTGTACTGCAAACCCAAGAAGGGGCGCGGCGCGCGTAGCTGAGTGGAAATCAAATTTCGGGCGCCCCATGCCATCGGCGCGACGTGCTTCCGTAGCTGCGTCTGCTCGACGGCGTGGCGATGCCACGCCATCGACGCGACGTTATCACCGTGGCCGCGTCGGCTCGATGGCGTGGAGGCTCACGAAGATCCAAACCTAACTCAATGGTTGATTTCCACACAGGCGTCTAGCCCGGGGCACTCGCGCTACGAGGCTCTACGCGGCTCGGATAAAGGAACGGTCGACAAATTATTTGCCGCCCTGCGTGGGGCGCGCGACGCGCTGCGCCGGAAACTTACGCCCGCGGGCGCGGTCCGGAACGCGGCGTGGTGGTCGGGCAAAGCAATTTACGTCGGCGGGCGCTCGCCGATGGAGCGGATGCCGGGGCTACCCGACGAGATTCTGCGACACGTCTGCGACTTCCTCGCCGCGGCGCCTGCCGCCGACCGCGAGGCGGACGAGAGCCTGGCGGCGTCGGGGCAATTCCGCGCTGACTGGGACTCGTCACCGGTCTCCTCGTATCCAGACATCAGCGACGAGGCGGTGCCCAGCTTCGAGGAGATGAACGACATGGGAGCCGAGTTTGACTCCATATATGAAAGTATAACGTTCGGCCTCGCGAGTTCCAGGGCGCGCCTCGCCGCTGCGTTATGCCTCCGCCGCGTCTCCTCGGCCTGGTCTCGTGCGCTGCTAAAGCGCATGGCATCTCTCAAGGGACGCGTCGACCGGCTTGCGTCTGAGAAGAGGACTTTGGCGGGCATCAAGCGAACGGCGCATGACATCTATCGGACGCATTACTCCGACGAATACTACGACGACTTCGCCAATTACTGAATAAGTTGAGACACATAGTTAGTCACACATCCACAGGCGCAACCCTAGACGCGCTCGTACTCCGACGAAGACGAGCCGAAGACCGCGCCCGGCAGCGGCACCGTCCGCGACAGCCTATCGTAGGCCCCGTCGAGCGTCGACTTCGTGAAGACCCAGGCCAATCCACCTAGCACCACGATCCCGAACGTGAGGCGCCACCACGGAAAGGTGTAAGCGTCCTCCACAACTACAGCGTCGTCGTCGTCGTACCGGATAAAGGCGTGGGGCTTGCGCGTCGGCCTCATCGAAGGTTTATGGGAGAACTCGGCTACAGAAGTAGGCGCGTAGGACACACTACAAGGCACGCCGCAACTCTGGGGACACGCCTCCAATCCAGTCCGCGTGCCGTCGGAGGTCTGGCACCGTTTTTGGGGCTTTTCCGCCACATGAACGCAGTTCTTCGTCTTGTCCATGCCGTAGTACCAGGAGGCGTCGTCGAGGCACGAGGCCACGGGCGCCGCCTTTTGAGCTTGCTTGGGCGCCGCCGTCGGCCTCATCGTCGGCTTCGGGTAGTGCACCTGGGGCGCGGGCCGCTGGTAGGGCCGCGGTTGTGTGACGGGCCGCGGCGCGGGCCGCCAGTCACTTTGTTGATCATAATCGTACATCGGCGCCGCGGGGCTCGTTTGCACTTGCGAGTGAATATAAAGACTGCAGAAGAGGAGCGTCGTCAGCGTCGCGACGAAGGTGAGGTTCGTCTCGCCGTAACTCATGGTGGCGCGTGCGCGCAGCGCTAAACAGGCTGTGACCACAGCCCAGGTCAAAAGATTTGTGAGCGTCGCGCGACGAGGGTTTTCTTGCAACACAGCTGGGGATTGCGCTGCGCGGCGACTTATAACTGCTCTCTCGCTACGTTGCAACGCCTGGGTGCAAGCGCTTTTTGGGAGAGGGCTCACTTTGGCAGAGGATGCGCTGCACCCAAAATTGCCTCTCGATCCGTCCGAAAGGACTCCCTGGAACGGCCTTAAGCCTCTCCGGGCAAGCAGGCGTACAAATCTTGCTTGCTAGTGTCTTACCGGCCGCTAGCCCACACAACCCAGGAGTTATAATCGCCTAGCCTATACACGCAAGTACAAACAGACAACGTTGTGTGCGCTACCATTTAGCAGTGCTCCCTTGCTGCTATCTGTCCACACGCGCAATTTGACAGCGTACCGTTCACCGCATCCCTGCAAAAAACACGATTTCCTGCGAATAAATACAACACATCGACAAGATGGCGCCCTCATCAGTCACCCTCAACGTGAAAATGACCTGCCAGGCCTGCGTCAAGCGCGTCACCTCCACATTGGAAGCGCTGCCGTTCGTCTCGAGGGCGGACGTCTCTCTGGAAAAGGGCACGGCCACCGGAACGTTACAGGGCGCGTTCCCGGGCTGCGACTGCCCGAAGCCCGACGGGAAATGCCCCTGCGGCGACGCGTGCCAATGCGCGGCGACGGCCATGTCCAAAGCACTGGTCGACGCGGGCTACGTCGTGACGCCCTGCGGTGGCGGCAAGGGGCCGTGCCCGGCGGTGGCCCTGGGGACCTGCACGTGCGGGCCGAACTGCGAGTGCGGCGACGACTGCCAGTGCGCGTTGTGTCCCGGTGTGAGCGTCAAGGGCAAAACTATTGAAGTCAAGGTCGAGCACGCGCTGGTCCTCGCGGGCCTCGCGGGCCTCGCCCTGGGCTATGCGCTCGGCAAGCGCGGCGCGAAGTAGTCCCCCACAAATTTGTAAGCTGGTGTGCAAAGGAAGCTTCATTTTCCCCCTGCCTCCGTGTAGCCCCCATATGGGCCCGGATACTTCAGAGAGACCGAGGGAGAGTCGCTTATTGGGGCTAGCGGTGTTTTCATAATTGTTTTCATTGCGGCCCGCTAGCACGGAGAGATTCTAGATCCACAGGCTGCCCGAGCAAGCCTTGGCCAGCGAAAGCGAACTGCGCCAATCGCACGCATCACTCTCGACAGATATCGTGCCTGCGAAGCAATCAGCAGCTGCCCCGGCAGCCGAGCACCGCACGACGACGCTGCCTTTGGTCCAGAGTACTCTTGAGAGTGCTCTCCCTGCCTTTCAATCTTAGAGCGCCGCGCTCGCGGTCAGGCGCCGAAGACACAAGATGACGCTCACGCACGTCGTCCTGCTGCAGTGGAAGCCCGGCACGCCGGAAAGCGTCGTCGAGCCCGGCCTGAAAAAGCTCGGCCAGATCCCGGTCACCGAGACCTACATCCTGTCGTACCGCATCGGCAAGGATGATTCAGAATTTGGCAGAAGGAATATGACCCACGACGTCGCCATCGTCGCGGAGTTCGCGACGGAGGACGACTACCGCCGCTACACGAAAGCTAGAAATCACTTGGACGCGTTCGGTTTATTGAAGCCGCACCTGATGCGCCGGCACGCGGTGCAGACGTGCGCGATGATGGAGTGGGCGACGCCCTGCTCGCAGCGGACGCCGCCGTCGAATACCAGGGTCTTCGCCGCGCTGGTCTGCGGCGTCGCGCTCGGGCGCTTGCTCGCGCGCCGATGACAGCACCACCTATATTCAACCCGCACGGACCCGGGCAGGCTTCACTCCGTTCAACTTGGCCGGGTTTTTCCTCCGTGCGACTATAATTCCTTAAAGCCAATACTTACTAGGAGGAGCGGAGATCCCGGGACAGAGGCTGCCCGAGTATCCCGAGCGCGGCTCAGCAGCCTGGCTAGCGAAAAGCTGGTTGCGCCTATCGCACGCACCACTCTCGACGTGCCTGCGAAGCAATCCTCAGCTGCCCCGGCAGCCGAGCGCCGAGCACCGCCACCAGGCGCGCAAACAAACAGCAGACCATGCCGGATAGATGCGCCTCCCCGGGGGTAAAAGCCAGCGCAGCGCCCATCCAGCGCGCGCACGTCCTGGGGCTCGCGCCGCTGCCGGCCGAGCCGACGCGGCTGTACCGCGACGCGCACCGCGTCGTCCTCAAAGCCAAGGCGCCGTTCGCGGGCTACGTCCGAGAGGTCCGGCTGCGGCTGCACGGCCGGCCGGCGGGGCCGGCGGACGGGAGCGGCTGGGACGTGTGCTCGTACAGCACGCGGGCGGGCGCCATGGGCGAATCGCAGGGCTACCTCGTCGAGGAGCGCCGGCGGGCCATCCGCGTGGCGCACGTGCTCGGCGCGGAGCAGACGGTGCGCGTGGCGCCGCCCCTCTACCTGGAAGCGGGCCAGTACGTCGGCGTCCAGAACAGCTCCGGCGACCTGTGCGCCGGGTGGCGGGCCGGCTGGGGGCCGGGGGGCCGGGGCGGCCTGTGCCTGTCCCTGGACGACGAAGGCGAGCACGGCCAGTACGTCTGGAAGTTCGAGGGGGGCGTGGCCTCCGAGCGGGGCTGGCCCCGGGGCCTGCTCGAGACCGCGGGGCGGCTGAAGGAACGGCACGTGGGCTTTTGCGCCATGCTAAGTGGAGGCGCCGCGGCCGCGGCCGAGGCCGTCGTGCAAGCGCCCGTCCAGGCGCGCCTCGTCGAGGGAGCCCAGACCATGCCTGACGAGGCCTTCAGCGCCCGTCTCGCTGTACATCGCCTGCGGACGGAGTCGGAGGAGTTCGCGGTCAACACAGTCAGGTCGAGCTCGCCGGACGGCGGATTGGTCGACAACCTGGCACCCCTGGCGCGCCACGCCCTGAAATACGGCGAATTGGTGGTCTCGGCCGGAAGCGTCGTGGACGCCGATGTCGACGCGATCGTGAACGCGGCCAACAAGAGCTGTCTCGAAAGGGGCGGCGCAGACGGGGCGATCGCTCGAGCCGGAGGAGCGTTGTTAGCGGAGAAGCGGCAGGCCTTACCCATCATCAGCGGCGGCGACAAGCGCTGCGAGGTCGGCGACGCCGTCGTCACCACGGGCGGGCCCTTTGGGTTTCTGGCGTGCTCCGTCGTCATCCACGCCGTCGGGCCCGACTACCGGAAGCTGGACGCCAACACGCGCGGGGGCGACGACCTCCTGCGCGACGCCTACCTCGCGGCGATGCGGCGCGCCCAGGAAAATCACTGCAAGACGGTCGCGTTTACTCTGTTGTCGGCGGGTATCGGTCGAGGGACGCGGTCGTTGGAGAACGTGCTCGAAGTGGCGGTGCGCGCTATTGGCGACATGGCTTATCCAGGTCTCCAGCGGGTGCACCTCGTCGCCTTCAGCCCAACCGAGCAGGAGGTCCTCCAGCGCGTCGCGAAGTTGTTGCTGGCGGGCGGGCCCGTGCCGCGCCGCTTGCCGCCACAGCGGCAAGCGAGCAGCGCGGTTTTGGCGAACCGCGTCGTCATGCTGCAGAGCGAGCCGTTGAACAATTCGACTGTGTACGCACGAGATCGAGAAATACCACTAGGGAAGATCGGCGGATTGGATCTAGAGGGCGAGGCCAACAAACTCCGGCAGGCGCTGCGCGAAGCCGCAGCTTGCGCGAACGTTGACGTCGAGCTCCAGGTCCGCACCGCCACCGTGGACGCGTTCCAATCGGCCGTGACGCTGGGGGCGCGCGTGGTGCATTTTGCCGGCCACGGCAAAGAAGGGATTATGATGTTCGAAGACGGCCACGGCGGCGCGCACGCCTTGGAGGCCAAGGCGCTGCGGAGGTGTGTGTCAGCCTGTGCGGCTGGGACATGCAAATTGGTGGTGTTGAACTCGTGCAAGAGCGAAGATGTTGGGCGAGCGTTCGTGGCCGCGGGCGTGGAACACGTGGTCGCCGTGGCGCAGGACCAGAACAACGGTAGGATTTCCGATCGCGCGGGCATAGAATTTTGCCGGGCGTTCTACCGATCTCTGGCGATTATGGATTCGGTGCGCACAGCCTTCGACATCGGTTGCGCCGCAGCGCAGAACACGCGCAAGAACATGACTTCGGACGGACGCTTCGTACTGCTCCCGGAGGACCAACCCCACGACGAGCCCATCTTCTCCGAGATCCCCGGGTCGTTCCGCGAGACGACGCCGCCGCCGGTGCCGTCCAACGCGCCGCCGCCGCCGACGTTTTTCGTGGGCCGGGATTCCGAGTTGTTGGTCTGCCTCGAGTCCATCCTCAACCATCGTCTCACAACGATCGGCGGGCGCTACGGCTCCGGCAAGAGTGCTTTGGCGGCAAAAGCGGCGGCCTACGTGCGACATCATCGGAAATTCGACGCTGTGGTCTGGGTCGAAGCCACGACGCACGACCGCTTCTTCGACGACGTGACAGGGGCGGCGGCGTTCATCAACACCTCCACGCTGGCGGACCTGGCAAGCGCCGGGAGGGTCCTCGTGGTCCTGAACGATTTTGAACGACTCGTCACAGCCGGCGACGAACAAAGAGCGAGAGAACGCTGTCGCTTGTTACTGCAGGGTCTACTGGAAGCGTGCTCGAACATAAGAGTGCTGCTGACGTGCTCGTCGGGCTCGGGCATCGGCCTCGTGCGTGGCGTCACGGAGCAGCCAGTCAGCCTGGGGCCAATGGCGCCGGGCGACACCGCGCTCTTACTCCTGCAGAGGTGTACCGAGCTCAAGCGCCGCGTCACGAATCCCTACACGCCGCTACCTCCCAAAACTGCGCCGCACGATGTGGTCGTCGCGTGCGCGTTGCATCCGTTCATAAAACGTCTCAATGGGCTGCCGTACGCGGTCCTGCTAGCGGTGGCTATTCTGAACAAGCTCTTCGCGGCGGAAAGGGCGGAAAAGGAGGCGTGTGAAGCCGCGGGCGCGAGCACGCCGCCGCCGCCGCCGTCGCGCGAACCGCTGGACCGCGCCTTGCGCGTGCTCGATGAACCGGATGTGTTCGACGCGGACCTCCGGCGGTTCCGCGACGAGCTCAACTACGTGGTCCTGTACGGGCGGGGGTATCGGCCCGAGCCCGAAGATACCTCCACGCCCGCGCCCGAATTCCGCGCTCGGATTCCCGGAGGGCTCGTGCTCGCCGGGTTGGCGGCCCTCGTGGCCGGCTACGCGCTCGGTCCGACGGCCTGGACGACGACGCGCATCGCGCCGCCGCCTCAGATCGAGTTCGCCGACGACGCATTGCGGCGGTTCGTCGAACAGAACGGCCTGAGCGCGTACGCGGCGGCCATTTTGGGTGTGGCCGACTCGCTCGACGACTTGGTCGAGGCGACGGATGAAGATGTGGACGAGCTCGCGGCGGAGACGGGTATGCCGAAGCTCAAGCAAAGGAAGTTCAAGCGAGCGCTCGCAGGCCTGCGCGGCGCGACGTAGGGTGTGTAACCATTACGTGTTGTGGGAAACTTATTTCTTGGGGAGGGTACCTTCAGGCGCTATCGCCGCGCAGCCCCGCGAGCGCCCTTTTGAACTTCCGCTGCTTGAGCTTCGGCATGCCCGTCTCCGCCGCGAGCTCGTCGACGTCCTCGTCCGTCGCCTCGACCAAGTCGTCGAGCGAGTCGGCCACGCCGAGGATGGCCGCCGCGTACGCCGACAGGCCGTTCGTCTCGACGAACTGTCGCAACGCGTCATCAGCGAACTCCACATCTATCGAAGGCGGCGGCGCAATGCGCGTCCGCGGCACCGACCGCGCCTGGGCGGCCTTCCTCGCCGCCGCGTCGAACCAGTCGTTTGCCGGCTTCTCGGGCAGGCGCCACGTGACCGACTTGCGCGACGACGCCGCCGAGTTATCTGTCGTATCCGAGGGCGGCGGCGGCGGTGCCATGGCGTCGTCCTCCCTCAAAGTCGCCTCGACGAAGGCCATCGTCGCCGCCGAGCCCACGGACGACCGCCGCCTGTTTTCGACGTCCGCCTCTTCCACAGCTGCCTTGATGACTTCCGGCGACTCGAGCGTCGCGGGGAAGTCCTCGGCCTCCTCGTGGGGCTGTTGCGGACACATGGGCGTCGCCTGGGCCGTCTCGCTGAACGGCGGAAATTCTTCGGAAGGCGCCGGCGTCCGCACCACGGTCCGCTTCGCGGAGTAGGGCTGCGGCGTCGGCAGGTAGGCGCCGGACTTCGTCGGCGCGAAGCCCTTCTCGGGCGACGTCACGTCGGAGAACGGGCCGCTCTCCCTCCTAAATTTATCGTAGGCCGGATGGCAGGCGTCTTTGGGAGACAGGTCGCCCTCGGCCTCCTTCGACACCAAGGTTCGCACCCGTCTCTCTAATTCCTCGAACCAGGCCCTTTTTCTTCCGTCGGTGTCGTTCTCGGCGAAGTTCACCCGCAGGCACTGGCGCCACACCGCCCGCGCTTCGACCAAATCCAGCGTGACGGTAGCTCGCGTGTTCACGAGATCCGACGCGTGCATCTTCGCAATTTCATCCGGATGGACCCTCGTTAACCATAAAGCTCTCGTTCTTGAAACTCTATGCGCGACTTTCACGGGTAATCCAGCATCCACGAGTCGCTCGACAGAAACAGATCCACCGCTCGACAAGTCGGACGGCACGAGCCCCCGGATCAACGCCAACGCCTCCGACGCCGGTCCACTAACCTCCTCGTCCACAAAGGCTCGACGGAGCTCCTGGTCGCGCAGCGCCCGCTCGGGGTGCTCCGTGGCTGCGGTAGAGAGCTCCTCGACGCGAGCTTCGTACTTCGACGTCTCAAATCCTAAATCGGCCGCGGCGAGCAAGGAAGCGTAGGCCGCCAGCAGCTCCGCCTCGATGTCGTCGAGCGACTTGTCGCGGAACGCGATGGTCTGCTCGAGCTCGGAGACGCGCTTCCGCAGCCGCCGCACCTCGGCCGGCGTGCCCGGCGGTGGCGGCGACATTTTCGGCCGCGGCGAGATGCCCTTCTCGCGCGCGAACTGCTCCCACTTCGGCGGGGCCTGTTTTTTTACTGGAGACCTCTTGCGCGGCGGCGTCTTCTCGTCGGGAGACAGGGGCATGGCGCCCAGCGAGTGGCGCCGCATGGACCGCCGGACTTTGCGCGCCTTGGGCACTTCTCTATGTTCTTGAATGGCTCCTAACGGTGTCCTACCGTCCTTTGTTGGGGGCTTGCGCTGTTCTTTTTGATATTCAGGAACAGCCCCTAACGTGGCCCGCCTATTCTTCTTCTTCTTGGCCTTCTTGGGGCCGAGGCCGATCATGCGGAGCATCATGGAGGCCATCGTCGTGTTGCAGCGCGGCGGCGGCGCCGGATGCGGTGGGCGCGGCGCGGCGCGGCGTCTCGGGCAGCGCGCAGGTGGTTTCACGGCTCGGGGCGCGGCGCGCGGGGCCGAACCGGCTGTAAGCGCACTTAACGTGCGCGACACCCGCGGAGCTACTTTGCGCGCCGCTTCTTCTGCAGCGCCGATCGCTGGGGCTGTGAGGACTGCAGCAGTGCTGTCAGAACCTCCAAATTGCGCGCGGTTACCGCAAAAATCGAGCCCGTTGCGATCGAGAGTTGGGGCAAAACCCGTTTTTACGGAGGCGCGCAAAACCAAGCCAACGGCCTCGCTCCACCCCTCGAGGGACGCCGTCAGACCCTTTGCACGCCTGCCGACGATTTTTGCTCCGCGCAGCGCCTGAGAGCAGCCACACCCTGGGGCTGGGAGAGCGCTGCTCCCTGTGCTAGCTCGACCGCCGCGGTGCCCAGGCGCCCCAGCAACGCGCTCTCACAGAGAGGCGCGCCCGCCACGCCACCGCCGCGAGGGCAGCCAGCGCCCAGGGCAGCCAAGGGCAGCCACAATGGTGGACCTCGCCGCGCTCGCGCGCCAGATGAAGGCCATCGGCCGGAAGGGCTCCGGGAAAGATTATTACGAGCAGCACGTGGCCGCAGGCATCGCCAAGGGCGAGAGGCGCGCCGCGCGCGCCCCGGCGCCGGACGACCGTGTTTCATTACCCGATTGGCTCGTGAACTACGGCGTGCCGCTGCGGCCGGCGTCGGCGCCCGCGGCCCGGCGAACGGATGGTCGACGCGTGCGCGACGCACCGGTCTACCACAAGACGGGCGCGCTGTATGCCCAATACGACGGCGGCGCCCTTCAGAGACCCCGCGTCGTCCACCAGGCGAGCGTGGCGTCGACGGCGACGCCCGCCGACAGCGTGGCGAAGTGGCCGGCGCGCTGGCGCCAGAAGGGCGGGCGGAACCTCCCGCTGCCGCCGTTTACGACGCCCTTCGCCGGTAAAGCGTTGCAAGGGATGCTCGACGCCAAGGCGGCGAAGCACAAACGCGATCAGATAAATTCGAAGTCGCAGCGGGTGCGAAAGCCGCCGAGATTGATGCACGAGGCGCTCGCGGTGTCCCTATCGAAGCATCAGGAACGGGAGTTCCGGCGGGAGTGGCGCCGCTGGGTCCACGAGGACTGCCGGTTCTTTGGGAGACCGGGCAGCGGCATCTTCGGCGACGAAGCGTACCCGATGCCTTTCGGCGCCGATCGGGGCATTTCGACGCCGCTGCGCTTAGAAACGGCGGCGGCGGAACGGTCCGACTACGAGTACATCTGGCGCAACCGCGGCGGTTCAAAAATCTGGAAGCGGAAAAAGGTGACGGCGGTGGCCTCGCCGTCCGCGTCTACGGCGTCGTCGGCCGCCTCGGTGGTTACCGCCACGCCGGACGCCGCCTGCGCGCCCGCGGCCGCCTGCGCACCGGCCCCGTCGCCGGCGCCCGCTCCGTCGCCGGCGCCGGCGCCCGCCCCAGCGGCTGCCCCGGGTCCCGGCCCGGCCCCAGCCCCGGCCGCCGCCCCGGCGCCCGCGGCCGCGGTCCCAGTGCCGTCTCGCCGCCGCGTCAGCGAAGACGCGCCGCCGCCGCGTCCAAGGTCCGCGCCTTCACGCCGCCGCGGCTCCTACTTCTGGGAGGGCCGCGACGAAGACGAGGAACGCATCGACCGTCGGTCCCGGGACCTCATCGAGCGGACGGGCATCCGGTTCGGGGAGCCCGGCGGCCTCGCCGAGCCGAGCCTCGAAAGCGAGAGGGCGATGCGCCACGAGCCGCCGCGCGTCCGAAAGGCGGCGGCGCGCGAGATGGCCAAATTTTTTAAACCGAAGCCGCAAATGGCGGAGCGGCGGTCCCAGAAGACCATGGTCTTCGACGCCGTTCTCCGGGACGCGCGGCGGCAGCGGCGCAAGGCGGGCTACTCGTCGGCGCGGCGGTGATGAGGTGTATAAATGTAGTTGTCAAGTATCACAAAAATAATTAGCTAGGGCCCGGATGGAGTTGTCGGGTGAACTGAAGCAGGCCTCCGCAAAAGGCGGGCGATTTCCGCGAAGACCTCGTCCGCGTTTCGCGCACGGGCCCGGCGCCAGGCGAGCCAGATTCGCGATGCGTGTTGTCGTGGAGTCTTTGTTAAAAAACCTCTCTCGTGGCTAGCGGCCTGTAAGACACTAGCATCGCGGAAAAAAGTAGAGCCTTGCCCGGAGCGCCGTCTTCCGAGCGCGGGCCGTCGGCTCCGGTTCCGTCGATTCTGTATGAAAACTGGGCTGGAGTTGATATAATGTACTATTTGGACGGTAGATGGCGGCATCAATCGCTGGTCTACTTTGGAAACTCGTAAGACTCATCCGGGAATGTCGCGGGCGGTGCCTTCCGGGAGGCGCGAGGGTATGTTCCCGGGCCGCTAGACTGAAATCTTTGGTCGCGGCGAACGACTAGGATGTGTTCTGAATTTGAGTCATTCTTTTGACGCTACAGAGGCGTATCTTTGAATTTACTAGTATGTCGATTACGCTAGCTCAGTGGCCAAAGTCTAGCCCCAGTAGCTCCGCTCTGCTCATAAATAGCGGCCACCTGTGTGATCTGACGCACGCGAGAGCGCTGGACAATTGTTGCGGCATCGCTTTGGGCCCTCGTCTACTTGGCTCAGTGAGTCCAGGCTCACACTCTCCTGCTCAGACACTCGGCGCGCGGACGCCATCATGTCTGATTCAGACTCGGATGAGGGCGGCGGCCTCCTCCCCCCGATCCACCGCGCCGCGATCGCCGGCGACCTCGAGGCCTTGCGGCGCGAGCTCGAAGCTGGCGTCTCGCCGGACTGTTTGTGCTATTCCGGTGGCAGCCAGTATACGCCGCTTATTATACTTTGCTCAAGCGGTACAACATATGGACCTGGTTTTGGCGGCTCTGACGACATTCGTCTACAGGCGGTCAAGATTCTTCTCGAGGCGGCGCTACTCCAGGTCACATCGAAGGATTGCCGCAGAAGCGGCCTCTTTGCTTCGCGGCTTTCCTTGGGAACGTGGCGATAGTCAAATTATTAATAGCGGCGGGCGCCGACGTAACTCATGCCGACACTCAGGACGGTTGGACGGCACTTCACGCGGCCGTATCCAGAGGGCGGGCTCGAAACGCGTCCTGCGCAGCAGCGCTCCTAGAGGCGGGCGCCGCTGTCGACGCCGGGTACGGTTACGGTATTGTGCGCCAAACGCCGCTCGTGAGGGCTGTGGAAACTTATGGTTACTCCCGTTCATCCATTATTCCAGTCTTGCTACGCTTCGGCGCGAGGATCGATATGACGAGGCTCGAAAGATACAGCGGTATTGCTAGCCACGCCTACGCCTACCTCGCGAAGGTCCACGCGGCCGGCGGCTGGAAGCGCTACGAGCGCGCGCATCGCATGCGCCTCACGTCGACGTTCGCCCGAGTCCTATTTCCGCGCGTGCCCACGGAGGTCGTCTCCCACATCGTCGACCTGTGGGCCCACGTCGGCTACTACTGAGAGGCGCCATCGACGAGTAAGGTTCTATGGAAAAGAGGAGTTACTATATGTCAAAAAGCGGCTCAGGACCGCATGCGCTTCCCCAGCAGGAACGCGCCCGCGACCGCGGCGGCGACCGCACAAACACCCCGCGCATCGAGTATAATCTCAAAGCCCCGCGCCGGCGCACCCGCAGAAGCACCGGAGTTCCGCTCGCCCCATATTCTAGCTTCCACCGCCGCGATGGCTCGTAATTTTGTTTCCAAGTCTCGCCGGACGTTCGCCGGTGGGTCGTTGACGAGTACAGTAGCGAAGGCCGCCCGCGCCGCACCGGCGAGTAAGTGGATCCCGACCTTCGCATCCGACAAAATGTTGGGATTGCATTTGGGGTAAAAAACGTCAAGAGCCGCGACGTGCCGCGCGCACCGCTCCACCAACGATTGGGGCACCGCTAAAGCTTTGGCCTGGGCCTCACTTTTATTACCGTGGAAGTCCTTCTTCCAGGTGGCTTGGAGCGCGAGGTAGGCTTTGGCGTCGGCGTCTGCCGCGTCTAGCTCTCGGGCAGCCGCATTGGATAATGTTGCGCCCGTCTGGGCGGCCACTACTGCTGCGCCCGAGGCTTGATCTTTCTTCCGTTGACTATAGGCGCAGGCCATGGCGCCGGCGGCGCAGCCCAACCCGGCCGCGATTGCTGCGGCGCCGCCGCCGCCGGGCGTCGGCGTCTTGCCCGCTAGATCCGTCACATAATCGAATAATGTTGTGCGCCGCGCGTCGGGCTGCGCGTCCAAGGACCGGCGGCGGTCGATTACTTTGTTCATAGCGCACGGCGGCAGCGTCGACGTCGGCGGCGGAGGAGAGGGATGAGGCTCAGCGGCTGCCGGGAGGTCGAACTTTGCGGCGAAGCGGTTTGTACAGCGAGGAGCGATATCAAGCGCACGTCTTCGACGAGCTAATGCTGCGGGCGGTCGCGTAGTGAGGCTAAACTATGGCTGTCCTCGATGGGAGAGGCCTAGAGGCGAAACCTAGCGAACCCGGAAGAATGATCCATCCGCTCGCCGCCTCCCTGGACCGCAAGCTACACGTCTCCGAGTGTGTAAAATTCACTGGCGCGGCGGCGGCGTCACTGCGGTCTCCACTGTGAGAGCCTCTCCCAAAAACACACGATCGTGGCGCGAGCCGCCTGCGTGCAAAATGGTGTCAAATGTGCCTAATTGCCGAATGATGGCGCTCTGCGATCGATGCTACCGGTGCTGGCAAATTGAGCCGTAACCACACCAGCAAGCTGCAGACCGGCCCTGCACGCCGCCGCAGCGATCGAAACAGATGCGCGTCGCCCTCCGCCGCGGCCGCTTGGAACACCAACGGGCCAGCGCTTTAATCACGAGCGCCAACGACTCACTCGTCGGTAATTTACAACCGGAGTACTGGCGCTTCGAGGGAGGAATTAATGTGGACGGCGCGCTGCGCGCGGAGGCGGGCCCTGATTTGATTGACGCGTGCCTCGCGCTGCCGATCAAAGATGAGACTGAAAAGCGCGACTTGGTGCGATGGACCAGGGCCGTCAAGGTACACGAGTCGGCCGTCGTGCGCTGCCCGACGGGGAGTGCGGTAAAGACGACGGCCGGTTCGCTGGAGGCGGATAACATCATTCACGCCGTGGCTCCTGATGTTGAGCTGACGTTCGGCCGCTACCAAGGCCGAAAGGGCGCGCCCGAGGACCTGCTGCGCGCGGCCTACCGCTCCTCATTTAAAGCTGCGGCCGACTTGGAGTGCGTCGCGTGTCCCGCGCTCGGTGCGGGTGTGAAGGGCTGGGATCCAGCCGTGACGGCGGCCTTCGGTCTGGAGGCCGCCGCGTCGGCTGCTTTAGCTAATGAGGCGCCGCGGAGTATCGAGTTCGTCCTTGGAGACGACACGTTCGCCGCGTGGTCCCGCGTCTTCGAAACGTTGCTGGGGCCCGGCGCCGACGACGCGTGGACGATAGATCCAGAAGAACTAGTAGAAGACGACGTCGGCGATTTGTTGCCGCTGCGCGACGTCGACGAGATTTGTTTGCCGCGGACGCTCTGGGCGAACCCCGAAAATGCCGGCACGCAGACCACCGGAGGGGCGTGGCGGTGGCAGCCGGGGGACCCGCGGGCGGTGTGAGTTAACCTATCTGTTGTATGTATATACTAGAAGTGATATATACCCTCCTGCGAATCAAATCGGGTTTTGCACCGGACTCGCGCCATTTGTGGATCCCTCGTTCCGACGCCCCCCAGTGGTCTGCGAAAGAGCCGCGCTGCGTTCCATCTTGACCAGAAAGCTCAAATTGGAGCGAAATTGCAATTTGGCCAGTGGGTCATTTGTAGTTCACAGCCATGTCGTCCGCGCGCGAACTCGTCCTGGAGCGCGACCTCGTCGCGCCGCTCCTGTCGCCCTGGCTCGTCCCACGCGACGCGATGAGCCTCTCGGAAACGAGCAAAAAGTGCCTGCGCGAGGTGCGGGCGGGTCTGTCTGAGCTTAAATTGAACGAAAAATTCGGTATCACAGACGAGCACGTGATTACTATTGTGCGTTGCTTCCCCTCGCTGCGCTCGCTGACTCTCAACTGTGATGAAGACATTACTGACGCGTCCGTCTCTGCGATTGCGCGTCTTTCAATGCTCCGCGAGCTAGGCCCTCGCCCGCTATGCCAGCTGCTTGCGAAGGTTGGATGTTCGTTGTCCGATCACCGACGCGGGGCTCATTCCGATTGGGCAGCAATGCCCTCAACTACACACGGTCTCGTTCAAGTCGCGCTTCATTACCGACGATGGGATTGCGGCGCTTTCTGGATTGATCGACCTAGCCATGCACGTCAACGACGAGGTGACTGCGTTTGCCATAGCCCAATTGGTAGGACGATCGCCAGGCTTGGTGTGGTTCGACACGTACAATTGCCAGGGTTGGAGAGGCCCTGGCTACGACAAACGACACGAATTAGTTCGCTTGCTGCACGAAAATCTACCGAACCCCGAACAAAGCCACCCTAGGATTCTGCAGTTCCTGCCCGCGCTCACTCCCCGCGAGCAGTCGTAGTAAGGCAACTAATCTATCCCAACCAGTCTTACGCCAGCGCCGCCGGGTGCTGGCTGACCGCCAACGCGGTAGTCAGGATCCCGAAAACTAAGAAAGGCTGCGCCGTGCCCTGGTACTTGACGTCGTATTTCACGGGGTCCTTCAGTAAGTACCTGTGTGGAAATCAAAATTCGCGACGCATTCGTGCTGAATCGTCGCGTCGACCTCCACGCCATCGATGCGACGCCTGGTCGATGGCGTGGTGATGCCGGTTCCTCATCGCCCGACCGAGCCAAGACGGCCGCGCCATCGCCGAGAAATGACTTAGTGAAGAATTGTCGGTGCACCCGACGGACTGGTTGATTTCCACACAGGTAAGTACTGCGTCTGGGCCCAGATCTGCGGGGCTATGAGCAAGCCGAGCACTAATGCGTATGTTTGTAAACCGATGGCGAACAAGTAAGCCGCGACGGCGATCTGCGTCACATCTATCAGCCCCGCACAGATGTACTTCGCACCATCAATCCCAAAGGCCACCGGCAAAGATTTGAGACCGAGTTCCCGGTCGCCTTCGATGCTCTTGAAGTCATTCACAATCGCAATTCCGAGACCAGCCAGCGAGTACAACACCGTCAGCACGACCACTGGTGGGGTTAATTCCCCTCCAGCGGCCCCTTCGCCCACGTGGCCGAACATCGCCTGGCCGCACCACCACGGCAGGGCTATGTAGGAAGCACCTAATGCAAAGGAGCCCCTCCACCCTTCGGCTTTCAACTTATAAGGCGGTGCTGAGTATAAATAGGACACGAGAGCACCGAAACACGCCAACAGACCGACACTATTCAAGGGGTTCGCGATGATATTATGTCCCGCCCACACATCACACCCAAAGGCCAACGCGAGACCGCCGAATAATAAGAAATAAACCTGCTGGAACACTTCTTCTTCGGTGATCCTTCCGGAAGGTATGGGTCGGTAGGGCTCGTTGATCGCGTCCAAGTCCTTGTCGTACCAGTCGTTGATCGTCTGACAAAAACCCGTCAGGAAGGGACCGGAGAGAACCATGCACGTCGCGGCCTTGGCGAAGTCCTCGGCGCCCTCAGCGAAGGTGCCCGAGATGAAGGGCCAGCGATAGTTGCCCGAGGCTGCTGCCCCACAAGCTACTCCCCAAATTAACGGGACCCACGTTCCTGGTTTGGTTAATTGGATGCGGATCTTCCAGAGCGGCTCGTCCTCCGTGTCCGCGGCGCCTCTAAAACCTACGAGCTGTCTGAATCCAGCACTGCCCACTTTCGCGTCGCCCTCGAGCTCGTCGTCGCCGGCGTATAGGATCACGTCGTCGGCGAGGATCCGTCTCGTCTTGAGGCGCTTCGGCTGCTTCGCGAGTCTCGGCGCCGGCGGCGCGAGGGCCGCGGCCGTTGCCAGGGCGCAGATGAGTCTGAGCTGCATTTGTTTGCTCTATCTACCACAAAAATATGCTTGCGCGTGTGATGCGGCTGTATGAGCTGTATGTGCTCTCTGTGTTTGCTTTGTAGCACAGACCTGTGGTACAGCTACAGTTGCCACGTCAATGCGCGCGATCTATGCGGACAGCTCGGCTGATCCTGGCTGCAACGGGCACGTCTACGCCCACGTACGTAGATCTACAAGCTCGAGCGCTCACAGCAAGTCGCACGATACCCCGCACGCTACAGTCCCGCTTTGTGATCACGTTTGAGCCGTCAAGTACGCCGTATCGGCGGGGTGTTGACGGGTAGCGCCGGCCGGCGTCTCCGGCGCTCGCACACCTTGATATTGAGCACATTGCGGAGCGCGGCGATCGCGTGAGCCGCGAGAGCACGCATCACTCGCTCGATTGTGCAAATCGAGGACACCTTGAATCTATCAAAGCAATTGCAACGAGCGCTGCAATAGTGCAGCTCTGCTGATCTCTACAGCGACAGGACCTCTCCTTAGTAGCCGCAAGCGACGCGCCGCCGCAAGGATGATGAGGACAGCACTGTGGGCGAGCGCGGTCGCGGTCGCGGCCGGCTTCGCACCCACAACACGACGAGCAACGTCGCTGCGCGGTGCACAACGACCAACACAACTACAAATGTCCGCCGCGCCGCCGCCGCCGCCGCCGCCGGAGCTCGCCGCGCCCGTCGCAGTGAGCTCGGGGCGCGCTTTGCTGAGCTGGGGCAACGCGCCTTATTTGGCTGGCGCGGCCTTTGTAGGGTACCGCGGCTACAAAACAGTAAGTAACATCAAGGACAAACAAGCCAAGCTCATCGATGAATTTGGTGGTAAACTAAAGCTCGGCAAGAAGCAGAGCAAGGCCCAGTTCGAGGCCACGAAGAAGCTGTACGGGAAGAAGCTCATGTTTTTGCCGAGAGGCCCCGCGCTCTTCGCGTCTGGCTTGAAGGCCATTTGCACGAAAAAAGTGTCGATCAATTCGTTGAATGCGTTTCGGGATTTGTGCGACGTCTTCGGCGTGACCAAGGCGGACCAGGTCGCGTCTGCTGTTGAATCTGCAGTCTCGCAAACGAATGCGCGGGGCAAGGCTTTGTTCTACGCTTCGAGAAGCGGGTTATCATCACCGAGACTCACCAACCTCGCCCTGGAGGGCCTCGACGGCAAGAAGGAGTTCCTGCAAGCGACGCAGGACGGCTACGCGCAGCAAGCGTACATCGCTGCATTAGGCAAGTCAAAGCCGTACACCGCGAACGCCCAGGCGGTGCAAGCATTAGGCTTGGATGCGGGAGAAGCGCAACTCATCCTCGACGACCTCAACGCGGAACCGGACCCGGACGCCGACAAAGAAGAGTGGCAGAAAGAACTCGAGGCAAAAGTAGTAGAGGAGACGGGAGCGCTGCCCGACGCCGACGAGGTCGACATGACCGACAAGTTCGCGCCGCCCTCGGGGAAAGAAGATGAAATGATGCTCACGTGCGAGTGCGAGGAGTGCGGCTACACCTTATTTATCGCCGCCGGCAGGGAAGGGAAGTTCTTCGGCGACTCGTATAAATGCCCCGAGTGCGGGGCTCCCAAGTCGAAGTTCAAGATCGACGAGGCGCCGAGCGCGTAGTGGTAGGCGGGTAAGCCTCGCTTGTTAGTCGTCAAGGCGTCGGGCGTCGAACGCCAAATCGCCCCTTCATCCTGCGAAAAATCGCGTCGCCTTGTTGCTGCTTTTGCGGCGCGCGAGGCGGACTAGGCCGCAAGGGAGGACGCTCAGGAACACCCAGAGATTCGGGCTTACTGGCGTTGGCGCTCTCGCCCTCGTTCTCTGTGATAATCTCCACTGCTCAAGCCAAAAATCTTGATGTACAAAATCGCTCTCCTCGCCGCGGCGGCCGCGGCGGCCTTGCCGCTCGTTCGAGCTGACTATTCGTACTCCTACGCGGACGCGCCGACGGCGGCGCCAACGGCCACGATGGCTCCCACGCGCACCAGGACCTACGCCCCGACGCGCATGACGGAGGCGCCGTCCTACGCGCCAACGACGGACACGTATGCTCCATCTTTCGGCTCGTGCCCGCAGCTCGTGCCGGATCCCGACAAGTGTCCCGCGGACCCGTCCGGCCTCCCGCTCTGCAGCGCGATCGGCCTCGGCACCGGCGACAAGTGTATCACGGGCCCGCAGATCTGCCCGGGCCAGCCGGGGCCCACGAATTGCCCGGCTTTCCAGGTCGCGCGCCGCGCAGAAATGCTCCTGCTCGATGGCGTGACCTAAACGACCGGTTGATTCGTCGCAGGTGGCGCGGCGCCTCCTCAAGAAGATTCACGGTCCCGTCACCAGAGCCTTCCACGGCTGGGCCCAGCGACAGTTCAAGAAGGCCGGAGCCGCCGGCGACGAACCGCGGCGCCGCCTCGCCACGCCCCCCGAGTGTACGGGAGGCGATTGTTCCGTCGCACAAGTCGGCGATGCGGAGGGCCCGACGGCCGTGCCATCGCTGTTGCCGACGGCGGCGCCGGTCGGAGCGACGGCCGACCCGACGGCCGCGCCGACGCCATCGCCGGTGACGGCCGAGCCATCGCCTGGACCTACGCCTGGACCTACGCCCGGACCTACTCCGGCTCCCTCGCCGCGCCCGACCGCCGAGCCGACGGCCGGACCTACGCCGGCCCCGTCGTCGCGGCCGACCGCCGAGCCGACGGCCGGGCCTACGCCGGCCCCGTCGTCGCGGCCGACCGCCGAGCCGACCGCCGAGCCGACGGCCGGGCCTACGCCGGCCCCGTCGTCGCGGCCGACCGCCGAGCCGACGGCCGGGCCTACGCCGGCCCCGTCGTCGCGGCCGACCGCCGAGCCGACCGCCGAGCCGACGGCCGGGCCTACGCCTGGACCTACGCCGGGACCTACGCCGGGACCTACGGATCCGCCAGCGACCTGCGTCGACGATCCGCTAGGGTGTGGCAACGTGCCGCCGGGCGGAGGCACGAGCTGCCACAACTTTCCGAACCTGGTCCCCAGTAGCATTACTACTGATACCGGCTGTATCGTGAACGCGTCGTGCGTCTTTACTCTGACGTCCCAACTAGGAAATCTGCCGGCCGGAGACTACTTGGGTACCTGCTTCCCCGGCCCATCGGCGAATGGGTCACCGGCAACTTGCAACTGCTGCAATCCCACGAATCCCCCATCGGCGGGACCGTTACCAACCGACCAGGGGCCGTTTTACATTTCATTCCAAGGGACCTGCGGCGGGGAGTGGTGCGAGGGCTCCGGTGTATCGGGCGGTACTGGTCCCCAGAGCGTCTACGCGGAACTACCGGCGTGCATGCCTGTCGCAGCCCCGACGACGGTTCCCTAGCCACGGCGACACGTCGACGAGGCGCCGCGCGCGCGGGGATAAGAAGATCATATATATACATTCACTTTATACACTTCACAGCATCTCCACGATGACGGAGTCCGGCGACCGCTTCTCGTCGACCAGCCCGTAGCCCTTGTGCGGCGTCAGTATCGTCTCTGAGGGTCGGCGCGTCACGCGGCTCGTCAGCGCCGCGGCGCAGATGCCGAGGATGAACGACGCCGCCGTGCCCAATATAATAGCGACGAGCGACAGCTCGACGCTCCGCCGCTCCCGAATCAAAGGTGGCGGGGCATCGTCGTCGTTCGCCGCGTTGGACGTGCCCCAGCCGTCGGGGAAGGGTGATACGGAAGGCGGGTTTCGTCGCAGGGCGGCGCACGACGGAGACGCGCGCAGATCGCGGCGCAATACGATCGCGTCGATAGCGACGTGCGGCGCGCCGCCGGCGTCGTGCGGCGTCGCGCAGTCGTTTGCGGCGAGGTCGTAGTGCGGCGCCGTCGATGCCCCGCAGGCGTCGCGGTGCCACGCGTAGGACGCATGCGTCTCATTTATGATGTCCAGAGCGCCGACGCCGAAGGACGACTCTCGAAAAGCAGACCACTCCGGGTGCGGCGCGACCCACGCCGCCTCGCCTCCTTCCCTATTGCCGCCGTCGCCGAGGTTGAGGTAGACCGGTCCGCACGCGTTGGGTTGGGCGTCATAAATGCCGCGCGCGTCGCTCCTTTCGTACGCGTGCACGTGGCCGCTCAGCACGACGTCCACACCATATTTCAGGAGGAGCGGCTCGTAGGTTAACCTCATGAGCTCGGCCTCGAGGGCGTGGGCGCTGTTGGAGTTGTAGAACGGGGCGTGCATCATCACTATGAGCCACGGCGTCGCCGCGCGGTCGACTTTGGAGAGGTCGTCCTCGAGCCAACTTCGCTGGAGGCGATCTCCACCGTGCACGAAGTTGTCGTAGCTGTTCAGCGCGACGACGTGGACCGGCCCGACGTCTGCCGACCAATAGAGCGGACTCGTCGAGCGCGCTTCGCGGTAGGGCGTCGGCCACCTTTCGAGATAGTGGAGCCAGGCCTCGGACGAGCCGACCTCGTGGTTGCCGCCGGTGACGAGGACCGGGACGCGCGAGAGCAAGGGCGAGGCGAGCGCACCGAACCTGCGAGGCGTGCCGCGTCGAAGGCGTCTCGGCGACAATGGATGGACACCGCGTCCGCGCGAGTCCCAGCGCCAGGGCCAGCCGTCCGCGTAGGACAGGTCGCCCGAGAGTAGTACGGCGTCCGGCTCTAATGCAGCCAGTTTCGCGAAGCTCCGGTTCGACACGACCTGTGTGGAAATCAACCAGGGTGTCGGGTGCACTGGATCCGTCGAGCGGTGAGGAACCGACACCGCCACGCCGTCGAGCAGGTGTCGCGTCGATGGCGTGGAGGTCGCCGCGGCGATTCAGGACGAACGCGCCGTAAATTTGAGTTCCACACAGGACGCGACCGTCTGGCCCACGTCGGCCGCGAGGCCCAGTCTGACGGGGTACGTGGCGGGAGGCATGCGGAACTCGTGCACGCCGTCCGCGAGCTCGTACTCGTAAGTTTCACCCGCCTCCAACTCCGTCAGCGTCACCGTGTGGATCACGGGACTCGAGTAGATCATCGCCGGATCGTTGTAAGACTGGAGCCAGCGCGGATAGGGAGGCGCCCTTCTAGAAGCCGAGCCCGGCACGGCCCAGCTCGTCGTGTTCGCCGCCGCTCGTACTTCGTCCAACGTATAGGACGGCTCGCCCATCGTCGGCGCCCAGAGCATGGGGTCGACGTTGGCCAAAGCCGTGTACGACCGCGCGTCACCGAACGCGGTGCGCCAGAGCCGCTGGCCCCGGCGTTTGTACCTCAGTTCCGTCGGCACCGCGTCCGGAGTCACATATGACAAAATCGCGCTCGTCGGCGACGCGAAGGAGACGTGCGCCTGCGAGTCGCACGCGAAGCCGCGGAAGAGGTCGTCGCCCGGCGTCGTGGGTGCCGTGTTCGTGTAAGAGCAACCGAGTTCGTGCGCGCGGAGGTCGCGCGCTCGGCTTGGTCGCGCGTAGTCGCTCGTGGTGCCGGCTTTGGTGTGGCGGAGCGCGACGAGCAACGCCAGTGTTTTGAATCTGGGCATGGTTTTGCGCCAACGCGGCGCTTCCGCTGGCTCCTGCTTGCTGAGCGTGGCGCAGACGGTAGTGCGATAGAGTTTTTACAACCCAGTTGCCTGTATTGTCATTAATGCGGCAGCTTTGCACTCGATTCAATCGATTTGACAAAATTCACTTGCATCAAAACAGCTGCCCCTGGCGCCAGTCGAGAGCCAAAAACCATTCGTTCGTACCTTCATACGACCCCTCACAACACCTTCCTGCAACGGCGCGACGCCTGCGACAAAACCCGACCAAGCCTCTCAAGCTTGCTTGCTGCAGCCGCGACGCCGCCGCTGCGTGCCAATAGCACCGGTTACCGCATTGGTTGCGCGCATCGCTGCATCGCCAGCGCGCGCCACAAATCGCTCGCAAGAGCGCCCGCCACGGCTGAAAAGCGGTGGCAACCCAAGTGCAGCTCGGCACACAGCTCGCAAGAGCCGCGCGGCGGCAACGCTGCGTAAAAGATGCCCAAGGGCCCGAGCAAAAGACAACAAAAATTAGCCCAACGCCAAGCGTTAGCCAGGCAGGAAGCCGCCTACGACGCCGAGCCGGAAGTAGATTATGCGCCGCCCGACCCCAATACAAAAATAACCTGGCCTAGGATGATGGCCGGCCAGGTCGACGCCGGGAAGTTGCCGGCCGTCTGGCCCAATAATATCAACCGCCTGAAGACGATCCAAAAGGGTCGTAGAATAAGTAAAGAGCAGTGCTGCGACAACCCGATCGTCCAGGAGATGGGCGAGGTCTGCCAGTTCCTCAAACTCACGCATGTGATGGAGCCGTACAAAGTGATACCGCGAGACAACACGGCCTATCCCGGCCGTATAAGGGTCAAGATCTTTGATGATGACGGCAAGCCCGTAAATGAGGAGATCAAATGTAGGATGGACCTGATGCGGAAGATGGGCGAGATGATTCCGAAGCTTACTATCAGAGCGAAACGGATCAAGCAGGAGAGAGATCGGCACGAGCAGTACAAGGCGCAGTACGAGGCTTACGTCGAGAAGAAGATCGAGAAGGCCGCCGGGCCGCGGAAGAAGAAGGCGGGCCGGAAGAAGGGACCGGGGAAGTAATAGTTATATTAGTGGTTTTACACAACAGAACGGTGCTAGAGTGCGCCCGCGCGTGCCCGCAGCAATGTGGTCACGGCGAGGCTCTGCTCCAGTGCGGTCCGGACGCGATGCGCCAGGGAGCCGATCACGGCACCGCACCGCAACTCCGACGGCTCGGCCCGCACGGCCTCGGCGGCGTCCGAGCGCCCGAGGGCCTCGAGCGCGGCTGCCGCCCGCTTCCGCGCCGCGCTCATCCCCTCATCGAAATCGTAGCTCAGCGCAGGCAGGACCGCGCCGCGCAGTTCCGGCGCGGCGCGCGCCGCTTCGATCAGATCGGCGCGGTGGCGATCACCCCTCGCCTTGCTCACAAACGTCTGGAGGGCACTGATCCACGTCAACGTCGGGTCCAGGTCGAGCCCTACCGAGACGTGGATGCTCGGTTCTCCGTCCAGCGCCTGGCAGACGTGCGGCGCGCCGCGGGGGCAATACAGCACGTCGCCCGCGTACAGCGTGACGAAGAAAGAGTTGGCGTCGTCGGCCGGCCGCGGTAGCGTCGCGCCGAGGTCCGGAAACTGCTCACCATCAAGGAAGATTCGCCACAGCTTCGCGCCCGACAGCTGCGCGATGAAGACGCAATGGTCGTCAGCGTGCGGCTCGAGCGTCGTCGCGCCGGCCGGCGTCGCATAGAGGTTGACAGAGCAAGCGACATGCAACCTCCTCTGCACGGCGTCTCTACATTGAGCACAAATCCGCCACCGCGCGTCCGCATTCAGCACGACCGTGGAACCGCCGACGCGGTAGAAGTCGACACCATCTAGCGGCGGGCGGTCGTCCTCCAGCAATTCCAGGGCAAAATCCTCCGCAAGTGCTTCGCCCCGGCCGCGCGCGCGGTCGATCGACGACGCGCCTTCCATACGACCGGCGCAGAGGCTCTCCACGTCCTCCAGCAATGGCCCTTGGCCCTCGCCACGGCGCGCACGCTTCGCCGGTGGCGGCGCGGGTTCGTCGCCTGAGCTGGCCGCCGGCGGCGGCCACCGCGGGGCCGCCAGAGCCGGTGAGGACCCGTGGAAGCACGACCGAGCGCCGCCGGAGCCGTCCACGCGGCGCCAGACGCAGCGCGCCTCCCAGTCGCGCTCGAAGAACTCGCGGCCTAGTATTGAGCCGAGCCGCTCGGCGACCTCGCACGCTTCGTCGCTCGGAAACTTTCTGGCGGCCACCCTCAGCAGGTGGTCGATGTCGCCCCCAGGGACGCGACGCCTCCGCAGCACATACTCGTATGACGGCGCCGCGGGGCCGAAGGTAGCGACGAGGGCCCGGAGGCGCCGCGACGCCGGGTCGGCGGCAGTGCTGAGGCACGTCTCCCGGGAAGAATACGGGTCGGCGACGGTCTCGGCGACAAGGCGGACCACGGGGCCGGCCCGCTCCGCGTCGCGCCGCGCACACGCGAGCAAGAACTCGGCGCAAGCCGCCCGCAGCGCCGGCCCGTGGAACTTGCCGTTGAGGCCCCACGCTACGCCTCCCGGGAAGACCAGAGTCTCCCGTCGAAGTGCGTCGCCGCGCGCGCCTGGGGTCCCCAGCGGCCCGCACGTCACCGCGTCAAGCACGGCGGCAATCTCGTCGTCGTCGTCTTTGCTGCCATTCAGCCGCGCGACGATTGCCGAGCACAACCGCGCGACGTCGTCGGGATCGCGCACATCCAGCGCCCGTCTCGCCAGCTCGTCCGCGAGCTCTCCGACCGCGTCGGCGTCTGTCGCGGTCGCCCAGGCTTCACAGAGCTCCTCGATTGTGGGTTGGACTGCGGCTGCCATTACTGCTCTCGCTGCCGCATCGATTGGAAATCAATCATGTGCGATGAATGCCGCTCACAGGCGTCGTTATGCGGCCCTTGACGCCGCCCTGGCGGCTCCGGACCGAGGCAGACAACGTGCGGGTCTACAGAGATTGAGATTGAGCTTTACGCCGGCATTTGTGCCGATAAACCCAACAGTTTACGTGCTTGATTCCGCATTGCTGCCTTGCGGCCACTCCTGAAGCACTCCGTGCATTTTGCACGCTCCTTGGAATAGCTTTGCAGCCTGCACTGAGGCTGCAGTGTGCAGAGCCCTGCAGGCGTGCGGCGGACGAGGATGCGCGTCGTCCATGCAGCAGCACTGTGCACGGCCAGCGCGCTGGCGACGACGAAACCGGTCGTGCGCCTCTTCGGCCTCAGCGATTTGCACGTCGACTACGCGGCGAACCTCGACACCGTGAAAACCTTGGAGAGGCCGCCCGGCGAGGGCCACCTCGCCCTGATCATCGCCGGCGACGTCACTGCAGATAGAGACACGCTCCGCGACGCATTAACGGCGCTGCGACGTACTTTTGACGACGTGTTTTACGTCCCTGGAAATCATGAAGCCTGGGTCACTTCTACCGATAGAGAGGACGGCATCGGCGACTCCGTGGCGAAGCTGCGGGCGTGCGAAGGCGTCGCGGAGGCCTGCGGGTGCCGCACGGCGCCGGCGACTTTAGAGGATGCCAGGGGGCGCGCCGTCACCGTCGCGCCGCTGCGGGGCTGGTACCACGCCTCGCACGACCGGGAACCGTCGGTCCTACCCGACGACGACGGCTCCAGGGGCTTTGCGCGGCGCTGGGCCGACTATAGGAAATGTAGATGGCCGCCAGCACTACTGGGACGAAATGGTAAAGAGGCCGTGGCGCACGGCATGGGCGCGGGAGATCATGACCTGAGCGCCTACTTCGCGGCCACCAACAACATTGCAAGGGACAATACACCGCTCGTGACGTTCTCGCACTTCTCGCCGCGTTTTGAATGTGTTCCGGAAAAACGTTTTTTACTGGAGCCTTGTTTAGCCAAGGTGAGCGGGTCGGACCACCTCGGCGACGTCGTGTTGGCGTTGCGGCCGGACGTCCACGTGTTTGGACATACGCACATTCCCATCGACATCGAGCTGGACGGGACGTACCACGTGCAGTGGCCCCTGGGGTCTCCCAGAGAACAGTCGCGGCAGTGCGCGCGAGCCAAGGCCCTGGGACCGCTCGAGCTCTTCCGCACGGACACGGGCGTGCGGCGGCTCGGCCACGACGGCGCGCCCGAGCGCACGGCCTGGGGCCAGTACTACAGCGACAAGCCGCGCACGCCGTCGGTCACGGAGCCGGCGCCCTGGGTCGCGTCCTACCGCAAACGACGGGCAAAAAAAGTGCGCGAGCCGCGCGTGCCGAACCACGCCGGCTACGACGACGAGGTCGCCGCGCTGTCGCGGCGCAGTATCGTCGAGCGCCTCGAGGGCTGGACGGACGACGGCTACACGAAGGGCTTCGACGCGGGGTATGTGAACTAGTAGCGCTTATCTGCGCGCCGCGATTTCTTTTTCGTAATTTCTCTGTGTTTCGTAATCGGTGCAACACCGCCTCGGCGGGCGTTAGTTGATACATCTTTAGTCGATACTCCCCGGGTCCGGCGGGCTGCCCTCTGGAGGCGCCGGCGCGGGCGCGGGCGCCTCGTCCTTGGGAGGAGGATCTGCTTCGTAAGTCCCGAAGCCCGTCCGCGCGAGCCACTCCCTCGCACCTTTTGTGCGGAAGTTCTGTGACGCGCGCGGCACGGGCGGCGGCGGCGGCGCGTCCCGCACCGCACTCGCGAGCGCCGCCGCCGTCGACGTCGTCCTTCTATCGGGAAACGGGTCCTCGGGCTCGGGCTCCGGGCCAGCCTCGTAGCGCGCCGCGGACCGCTCCTCCCAGTCCTTCCACGCGCGTGCCTCCTCCGTCAGGTCCTCGGCGTCGGGCTCGTACGGCCGGATCGCCACGTCGAAGGCGTCCTGGAAGGAGTCGGGCGACGGCGACGGCGCCGGCGCCGGGGCCTCGACCGGCGCCTCCTCGGGCTCGGGCAGGTCGCCCGGCAACGGATTGCCGCTCGCGATGCGATCGAGCCTCAAGTCCTCCTCGTAGCGCCGGTCCGCGGCGTCGCAGTCCGAAATCATCTGCTGGATCAGCTTCTCGTTCTCGTTCGTCACCGCGAGTTTCACGCGGTCGATGACGGGCTGGTTGAGCTTCTCGAGGTGCCAGTCCCGCTCGAACGACTCGTAGGCCATCAAACAATCTAGACATACGGCGGCCCGCCGCCGCGCGTCGACGCTGTGGCACTCGTGGGCCATCGCGACCAAGGGATCGATGGCGTCCATGCACTGAGGGCGGATGTCGTCGTCACAGGCCAGGTTCCAGAGGCAGGCCGCCGCGTGCCCCCTACAATCATCGGTAGAGCCGTCCTTGATCAACTTAATGAGCTTCGGGATGAGTTTTGCCTTATATACTGAAGGCCGGTGGTCGTCATCCGCGGCCAAGGTAGATAAAGCCCAGGCCGCGCTCCCAGAAACGACGGCCGGCGCCTCCAACAAATTTGAGAGGGTAGGAATGGCCTCGACGATGTGCTCCGGGAAATGAATCGCTATCACCGCTAAAGCACAACAAGCCTCGGCCTTCGACTCGAACCCATCGTGCTTCGCGATCTTGATGATCTGGGGCACGATATCAATATCCACGACGAGTTTAGCGTTGGCCTCGTCATAACAAGAAGTATGTATGAGGGTACAAGCCGCTTTCCGATCACTATCGGACGTCAACCGATCGTTCAAAACAGCAGCTAATCTCCTCGTACCTTTATCGGTAAACACGTTCGCTCCACTCCCAAACGTTCCCGACCCTTCCGTGGCGCCGTGGTGGAAGGAGTGACACGTGTCCGTGCACTCCTTCGGCGGCTTGGGGTGCACGCAAGAGCGAATTAACGCCGCGCGCGCTCGTTGCGAGGCCGTCGGCGTCGGCGGCCGGATGCGCTCGATCTTCTCGCCGTCGGCCTCCTCCGGTGGTTCGCTGGCGTCGTCGGCGCCCTCCGCGACGTCCAGGGCCATGCGTCGCACGCGCTCCACCGAATCCTCTTCGCTAGGCTCGGAGGCGGCGGCGCCGTCGTCCGCGAATTGCACCGTCGAGTACTTCTCGAACATGTCGTCCATTGAGGGGCTGCGTGGGCTCCCCATGGCGGTCTTGCAGCGCAAATCTCTGCGCGGATGGGCGCTGCGGATCGTTTCCGTACGTTGGTGGCCGCCCGCGCAGCGCAAGGTTTGTAGGTGACTCGCGCGCACGGATGCGGCTGCCCGGCGCTCGTCAATGACTGATGCGGGACGCACCGGCAGCGATGCGACGAGGCGTGCGCCGGATCCGGCGGCGTGCACGACCACAGGCCGCTGCTGGGCTGCCGCTGCGAGGCTGCCCTTCGACCAAAGCGCTCCCCTGCCGGCCCCACGACGCGCCACAACGGGGCAGCTTATACGAAGCGCGTTGCGACACCCCGGTGCGGAACGCACGCGTGTCGACCCCAGCCCGCGCAAGGGCAGCAGAGATGCGCCTCGTGCTCCTCCTCGCGGCGGCGGCGCGCGCGCTCCAGCCCTGCTCCACGCCGGTCCTGGTCGACGGCGCCGAGCGTTTCGTCGAGTGCGGCGGGCCCCACGCCGTCGACGACGCCGTCTTCGCCTTCTTGGGTGGGCTGAACGACACGGCGCGCGTCGGCTGCGCCACGGAGGCTTGTGTGGAGGCAGCCCCAAAGAAGGGCGCGACCTGTTCCGATGAGGAGTGCACCTGCGACGCCGGAGACTGGGCCTGCGCCCGCTTGGTGGTGGAACACGCGGCGCTCCCCGCGAGGTGGCCGCCCGTCTCCATAAAAAACGTGGAGCAGCTCTGCCAGAACGGTTCCAAGGTGTTGATCGCGTCGGCGTCGGACGGCATACGCGTGGCGCCGCACGTCACGACGAATTTGAGGGAGCGGACCTGGGAATCGTGGAGGGACTACTGCCTCCAGCATAACTACGCCTTCTTCCCGCTCGACCTGTCCAATGATCAGTACTGGGCGGCCTACAGCGACGACTTGAAAGTGGAGCTCGACTACTACTTGAAGGTCCGCTCCGGCCACTGGCACAAGATCTTTTTACTAAGGCGGTTGCTGGACGCGGACTGTTTTGATTTTTACGTCGTTGTCGACGACGACGTCGTAGTGACGGCGCCATCGATGCAATTGCATGCGATCCTGGCAGATCTACCTCCAGACTATTTAGGAGCGGGCGCCGACGAGAACTACCACCACCACGCCCAATCACAAATTGGAGGGGGTTATTCCTTCAATACCGGATTGTTAGCGACGCGGGGCGGCGCCTACGCCAAATTACTTCTGGAGGCGGCCTGGCTCGAGCCTTTCCGGGCTGATGGCGACGCCTGCTGGCTGAAGGGGTGCTTCGCCTGGGACCAGGCGGCGGTGGCGTCGCTGCACGGGCGGGTCGGCGCCGTGCACGTCTTTCCGTACCGGACGCTGCAGTCGTCGTGGAACGCGCACACGTGCGCGCCGGACTTTTTTGCCCAGGGGTGCGCCGTCGAGAACTCGCGGCTGGCCTGGCGGCCGGGGGACTTTAGCGCGCATTTGTCCGGAGGCCACTATATAGATCGGAGCCACCGCCTCGATTTGTTGAGAGAGTACCTGGACGAGGGTCCTCTGCAAGTCGAAAACGCGTCGGTCGGGCTTTCAACAAGACGCACGGCGTTGCTCGAGCTCGCCCTGGCGCATTGTGGCCGCGACCGCGTCGTCGACGCGGCGAGGCGGGCCGTCGACGAGGTCTGCGACAGGGTCTCGAGGAACGACGGCCGCTTCCTGTCTTTTGAAAGAAGCGTGCTCTGGCCCACGTCGCAACTCCGGGCCGCCGTGGTCGACCTCTATCCGTCCTTGGAGGAAGCGGAGGCGGCGATCGCCGCGCGGACGCGGGCGCTCGTCGGGTCGCTGCGGGGGGTGGTCGAGGTCGGCGGGGCGGGGTTCGTCCTGGGCTAAGCTTTTTGTGTGTTGATACGGTGCCTGGGACTCGTGTGCAACGTTCCGCTCGAGGTAATATTTCTGTTACGGTGCTAGGAGGGGGGATAACATAGGTGATAAGGTATGAGGTACCTTACCACTCAGCACGCCTTGCATGGCATCAAATTGAGGTCTCTCGCCACTCGCTCCCACCATTGCTGATTTGACACGCGCGTCTCTCCCATGTCGCGACGACCGATGCGCAGACGACCACGCGTCGCCGCCGCCTCTTTGCTGCTGACGTGCTGTACCCCACCATGCGTGGCGCTGCACCTGCCGACGCGGCGCGGCGTCGCGGCGACGCGGCGGCCGGCGCGGACATCTGCGCGCGCCGCCGCCGCCGCCGTGCTCGACGAGAAGCTCCCGGTCGCGGTCGGCGCCGAGCCACCGGTCGTGGTCGACGCCGTCGACGCGCTCGATATTGTCATCGTCGACGACACAAAGCCACAACTCGACGCCGTCGCGAAGCGACGGCGACGACCGGAGGCCCAGGGCCCGGTGCCCACGCTGGTCCTGCCGGGCGACACGCTGGATGACAGGCCGCACATGGCGCTAGCCGTCGCGGCGTCGTTTCTAGCATCATTATGGGGCGTGGTCCACAACGCCCAATACGTCACGAAAATGACTTCCATAATTGCCGTCGCGGCGGGTTTTGTGGGAGCCGAGCTCTTTAGCGGCGTCTTCCACTGGGCGACGGACAATTACGGGAGCCTCGAGACGCCCGTCTTCGGCCCGGCCTGCGCGGCCTTCCAGGGCCACCACGGCGCGCCGTGGACGATCACGCACCGAAGTACTTTCAACAACGTGCACAAGATCGCGCGCATGGCCGGTCCCCTCGCTCTCGTGGCCGGTGCGCTCATGAAACCCTTCGCGGCCATCGCTACTTCCGTATTATTGTGGGGCCAGGTCTGCGCCCAGGAGGCCCACCGCTGGTCCCACGTGCCGCCGTCGTCACAGCCGTCGTTTATAAGGAGGCTCCAGGCCTGCGGGTTATTGTTGTCTTCTGAAGAACACGGGCGGCATCATCGAAGCCCGTACGCGGAGCACTACTGCATCTTGTTCGGCGGCTTGAACCCGTTGCTGGACCGGTCGGGCATCTTCCGGTGGATGGAGAAATTGGTGTATCGATGGAACGGCGTCGAGCCGAACAGCTGGAAGGATCCAATCGGCGGGCCAGCGGTAAAAGCGCGGGCGCTAGGGTTGTAACATGTATCACTTAATTCAAATCCCCGGCGAGGAGGTCCTCGGCGTCGACGACTGTGACGCCGGCGGCGAGCGACTCCTCCTCGGCGTCGCTCGCTTCGGCCGCCGGCGCCGCACCGGCTCTCGCACAGGGCCCCGGGCCGCCCTTCTTCTTTCTAGCCTTCTTCTTCGGGGGCTTGGTGGCGTCCCGCACCTTTCCGGAGAAAAAATCAGCGGCCAGCGACGCCGTAGCGGGCTCTGCCTTCTTCTTCGATTTCTTGGGTGGCGGCGAGGACAACGCCTTGGCGCTGCCGCGTTTTTTCTTGACGGGCGTCGTATCCCTCACGCCACCGGCGAGAAATTTTGCGAGCGCCGGAGACTTCTTGGTCGGGGTCGGCGGCGGCGGCGGCGGGGGCGTCGGTTGCGGTGCCGGCGACGCCGGCCGCGCGGCGACGACGTTCCGGCGCTTCAGCGACAGCGTCCGGTCGCCGACGGCCACGAGCACGCGCTCCCGCGCGACGAGCTCCGGTGGCGTCTCCGCCACGACGCCTCGCCTCCCGTTGTATTCCGCGTCTGATAGACCTACGAGCTCCACGGCGGCGCCGACGGCCAGCGGCGCGTCCGGTGCGGGCCGCGGCGGCGAGTGCGGGTAGGCCTCTGTCCTCTCGCCCGACGACTCGTCGTCGCTCGATGAGGAGCCGCCGGCGGTCGGCGGGCCGACGTACTCAGACGTCGCGGGCGCGGCGGCCCCGGGCTCCGGCTTCACGGCAGCGGCGGCCGCCGGTGCCACGGGCAGCAGCGTGCGTGGGTCGATGCCGCTTGCCGGTGGACGTCGCGGCGTCGTGGGCGCGACCGTCGGCGCCGGCGCAGGCGCCGCCGGTGGAGGGGCGAAGTGCCGCGACGCCGCAGGAGCGCGCGCCTTGACGAAGTCGTCGATGCGCCGCTGCGGCTTCTTCGAGCGCACCTTGCGCAATCTTTTAATCATGGCCTCGACACGTTCCGCCGAAAAGCCGTTGGTGTCGACGAGAAATGCGCGGAACCCTTCATAGTCGGGCTCGCCGAAGCCTACAGACACGTGCGGATCCCCCTTCAGAATCTCCGTCGAGAAGACGCGCCGCGCGGCCGCGAAATCCCAGCCTTCTGGAGCTAGCACCTTGCCCTTGGGCGCCTTCGTGGCGACGCCGGGTCTCTCGACAAAAACCGCCCGCTCCAGCGTTTTATGTGTAACAATCAGCTTCAAGGCCGTCTTCGGCCCGACGCCCCGCAGCTTCTGCGCGTAGTCGCAGCCGCATAATACACAGAAGTCGACGAACGCGTCCCGCGACAACTGTAGCGAGCTCAGCACGGTCGACACGTCGATCTCGTAGGCCGGCCGTTTTTCCTTCAAACGAGCACCCTCCGTATCAAATAAGTTTTTTACGATTTTCGGAGTATTCTGAGAGTAATAAGACGAAAATGTTGTGGCGTCGGTATCATCAGTAACCACCTGTGTGGAAATCAAGATTTTACGGCGCGTTCGTGCTGAACCGTCGCGTCGACCTCCACGCCATCGACGCGATCGATGCGTGGCGGTGCCGGTTCACCGCTCGACATACTGGTTGATTTCCACACAGGCAACCACGTAGTCACAAGTACCCGCATTTACAAGAGCACAGCAGAAGGCCTCGGCCTCGCCCTCGGCTTCCACTACCGGAGCGCCCATCAACCGCAGGAGTCGCTTGACGTCGTCGTTGTGTCGTTTCGTGACTCGTGTGGCTGCTGATGCTGCTTTTCTCACATCCTCGGGCGACGCCTGGTCGTCGGCCCGCTTCTCCTTGACGACTTCTTCGGCTTTGGCCTTGGCCTCGCGGCGCTGCGCCAATTCCTTGGCCTTGAGCTGCGGCGGCTTCCCATCAAACACAAACACGGGCTTCGCGCCGGCCTCGAGCAGCCGCAGAACGCGCGTCGCGAAGCCCTGCAAATGCGACGTGGCCTCGTTGTTCGAGTTCGTCAGGTTCTGGGCGTCGGGGCCCGTCCTTATGGCTGACAGGAAGTGGTAGAGCGACATCGACGCGTCTATAGCTAACGTGCGCCCCAGGTAGTCCTTCAGGGAGCGCTCCTTGATGGCGGCGGGCGCCTTCTCGCGCAGGAAGGGGAAGAGGCCCTTGATGCCCATGGCGGCGGTTTCGCGGTTACGTCGCGCGCGTGCGCGAGCGGTTCCGGAGTCGTGTCGCGGCGGTGGCGTGCGCGCGCCGCACTTCTGTTGGGCCCGGCGAGGCGCGGCGGGCGTATCGACCGCGCACGCAAATGTGACCTGGCCCTGTTACAAGCTCTTACGGCTCTGCGTGCCTCTGAACGGCTCCAAACGCGTCCGAAACCGGTTGTGAATAGATGCGCTGCAGCGCGGCGACGGCGTGCGTGTGCGTTTGGTCACGCAGTGGCGCAGTACGGGCCACTCGACGCGGCGCTCTCGCACAGCGCTCTCTAGTGGCGCTATAGCGCTAGCTTGCGGTTTCCGACGAATCCGCCCAGCCGCGCCGGGCGTATTCCGACCACTGCGCACCGCAAGACACGTCCTGTCGGAGGAGGAAGACCCGCAATGTTCATTTGTGCCCCACTGGGTAGCACCCATACACAGTGCGCACGCGGCGCAACGGGACCGCGCGCTGCCCGCGCCAGCTCCATAGCCCCAGGACGTACTATAGGACGTACCGCGCGCAAAAAACGCGACGCGTATTGGTGCGCGGGAGCGGCAGCACCAGCATTGGCAAATTGGGGCAGCCATGCGGGCGCTCCTATTGCTGGCGCTGGCCCACGCGGAGCCATCGATAAGCGCCATCACACCAATCAATAATGGAGAAGTCACGCTGCAGGATGGAGCGTTAGTGATGGCCTACGCTGTCGCAGACGCCACAGACGATTTACGACTGTGCACTCAATTAACAAACAAGCGCGTCTCCTTCGAGAGCCACACGCACTGCGTGGAGGCGCGGGCGCCGGTCACGTCGTTCAAGCTGGGCGGCTTTCTGCCCGGCGTGTGGCGGTGCCGCGCGGTGCTTAGACGCGGCCCAGACCCGCCCACTCTTCATAGGGGCGCGGCACCGTTGAATGGTGTGGTCAGTAACGTCGAGGAGACCTGGTTCCTCGTTGAGAAACAAAGGTGGCTGGCCGACGTGACTGGCGAGGGGCCCAACGTGACGGCCGCGAGGCGCGTCTTAGAGCTCGCCTCGGCCGACGAAACCCTGCGCAAGGCGTTACAAGATACGGCTATCGACGATATGTTGGTCGTGACGATGGCCAACCTGCCGCACGCCGACCTGGCGTTGAATCTCGCGTTCTCGGCGGCGCGAGCCGGCGCGCCGCTCTTCGCCTTTGCGCTGTCCGACAGTACATATGACAAACTGCGAACGCACAACGTCGCCTGCGGTAAGTTGCCGACGCTCTTCGGCAGTGTAGATGGTAGAAAAGACGTCCAGTCGGCCGGCTTCTCGGAAATCGCGGTCCTCAAGCCCGTCGCCGTCGTTGTAGCATTACGAGCTTCGATACAAGTCGTGTGGTGGTTGGATACTGATGTCGTCCTGCTGCGGGACCTGCCTTTGTCTGATGCAGCCTTTGCGATCCAAGCCGGTGGTTTACATGCTCGAGATTATGCCATAAACGAAGACCAGTTCCACGCGGAGCAGTGCACGGGCGTGTTTCGTGTTACAAGAGAGGCAGAAATGTTACTGGTGCAGAGCGCGCTCGAGCTGGCCACGATACGGGACAAGCATCCGGAGCGCACGTGGGCCGGCGATCAAGCTGCGTCCAATCTAGTCCTGCACGAGCGGCGCTTCCGAGAGGGCACGAATATTAGTGTAGAGGTCTTGGATCCATTGGAAGTGCCGGGCGGCGGTCTGTTCTTCGACGGACCTTTGCATGACGATCGAGGACCCTTGATACGAGCGGACCCGGTCCTGGCGCACAACAACTTTTTAGTTGGTGCAGAGAAGAAGTTACAGCGTTTCCGTGCCCATGGCATGTGGTATGCTGATTTTGTAGGAGCCTTCGACGACGCTTTATTACATAGAGCGCCTCTGGACTCCTGCGCTTCGATTGAAGTAATGGGGATCACGCCCGAGGTCCGCTCCATCGACGACGTCCTCTTCGTCGAAGGGCGCACTGTTCTACATCTCCACTCGACTTGTTCCCTGAAGGATAGAGTAGTTGCCGTGGCTTCGCTCGGCGACCGACCCTGGGTCTCTTCCCTGATAAAAAGAGTGGCGGCCTACTCGATAAAGGTAGACGCCGATCTACTCGTGGCCGGCGACGCGTCGCAGTGCTACACGCACGAGGAAGGCGACAACGGGTGCGCAAAGGCGTTCAAGCTGATCGTGCGGACGCAGCGTCTCCTTCATGCTTCGCGTCGACGGCGTCTGTGAGCTTCGCGTCAACGCAGGTCCTCCGGAGCGCCCTGCGGAAGTATCGAAGAGTATTGGTGCTGGACGACACTGTTGTAGTAAGAAAGGATGCCCCGGACGTCTTCGAGCTCGTGCCGGTGGTAGCGCTAGGCGCCACCGTCGAAGATCCACTAGTTCGTAAACCAGAAGAAGCCAAACAGTCGCTCGAGATTAGTTGTTTGCGCTACGGCGTTCCTTGCAACACCGAGGAGGCCTGGTTCAACTCCGGCGTGCTGGTGGCGAGCTGGCCGCAGCTTGGGTTAGTGGAAACCCTACCTCCGTGGGACTCGTTCGAAAGGGTCTTGCACTGGGACCAGGGCTACCTGAATGCGATGCGGTTGAAATATGAAGTGCCGTTGGTGGATTTGGGCTACGCCTTCAACTGGGTCGGGTCATTTCATTCGACGAATTCGGAGAACGCGCCCTTTTCCGCCTTCGACGCGTTCTTCGTCCACGGGACGACGGGATTATTCTTGCCGCATCTGGAACGAGGCGAGTACCTTGTCAACGTGTCGCGGGCGTGGGACCTTGTGGGTTTGTGAGTAAGTGTTTGTGGTTGTTTCTTTGCTGTTGCGTTTCGCTTGTTCCGTTACAGTGCTGGGACTGGTGGGCGGGCGTAGAGGGTGGCGTGGGGAGGACTAGCATTCGTCGCTTTCCTTGCTAGTGTCTTACATGACGCTAGCAGATTAATTTTTGGCCGTGTGAATTTTACAGACGCTGATAACAGCGGCCACAGGCGACGCCGGGTGAAGCGCACTCGCCTCACACTGCGCCATATTGTCAGGGCCGCTGCGCGTCGAAAGCGCGGCCTTGCGCGGCCCCAGCGGTTACAACAGATAGTTGTGTGCATCCACCAGTTTCGTCGGTAGACGCCACCGCCGCGACACAGAATGGGTAACTCCTGCTCCGGCAAGCCGGCCGCCGTGCCGCGCGACCCCGCGCCACCGGCACGCCGGCGCCGCACGACGAGCCCGCTCGCCGAGGCGCGCCTCAGCGTAGCAGGGCGCCCGAGCGTCGCGACCAAGCGCATGAGCGACGTCTCCGAGCTCACGGAGAGCGACGTTTCTGAACAGAGCGAGTGGGACGCCTTACTAGCTCAACCGGCCGAGGAGACGGCTGTAAGAGTCGCGATCCGCAGCCGGCCGCAGATCGACGGCGAGTCGGCCACGTCCATCCGAGGCAACCACGTTTCGGTAGGTGATACAAATTTCGGCCCCTTCGACGCGACGCTCGACGACCACTCGACGCAGAAGGCGACCTACGACGGCGTCGCGCGCAACGTCGTCGAGCAGGCGCTGCGGGGTTTTCACGGGTGCGTGATGGCCTACGGTGCTACTGGTTCCGGAAAGACCCATGCCATGGCTGGTGAGAGGGGCGACGCGGGCATCGTGTCTCGTGCGATAGCTCAGGTCTTCGCCGTGTCCGGTGCGGAGAGCGACGAGACGCACACGCGCGTGGAGTGCACGTACGTCGAGATTTACCGGGAGCAGGTGCGCGACTTGCTCGTCGGCGACGCGGGCGCGTCCGAGAACGCCCTGCCGCCGCCACCTCAACAGCAGCGGGGCCGGGCGTTACAAGCCGGGAACCGCACGCCGCCACGCGCCAAGACGCCGCCGCGCGCGAAGACGCCCCCACCTCAAAAACAGCCGCGCATCCGCGAGGACGAGCGGCGCGGCGTCTTCGTCGACGGCTGCACGCGGACGCGCTGCCGAAGCGCCGAGGAGTGCATCGACGCGTTTCGAATGGGGAGCCGCCGCCGGGCGGTCCGCGGCACGGCGAAGAACGACCGCTCTTCTCGCAGTCATGCCGTCTTCACGCTGGAACTCACGCGAACTACTACAAGGGGCGCCGCGACGGTGACGCAGGCCTCGCGCCTGCATCTCGTCGACCTGGCCGGGTCGGAGCGCGTCAAGGAGTCCAAGACGACGGGCGACGGGGTGAAGGAGGCGGGAAACATCAACCAGAGCCTCATGGTGCTTGGGAATGTCGTCACCGCGTTAGAAGACAAGGCGTCGAAGCGCCGGAAAGGCGACATTAATGGAGCGGCTCGCGTCCACGTCCCGTATCGCGACGCGAAGCTCACACGGCTGCTCCAGGACGCGTTAGGTGGCAACGCCTACGCGGCCATCTTATGTTGCGTGAGTCGCGCGGCGGCTGATGCCTCGCACACGACGTCGACGTTGCGCTTCGCGTCTCGTTTGAAATCGGTGACGACGGCGCCGCGCAAAAATTTGGACCCCAAGGATATGGAGATCCTGCGCCTGCGGCGCGAGAACGCGAAGTTGCGCGCGGCGCTGGTGGACGACGGGATGCGGCTCTGAACGGTGTAAAGTTACATACAAGACTACTTAGGACCGGCGCGCCTTCTTCGGACGCTTGCCCCGGAGCCGCAGCGACCGCGCGTCGAGCTCGTCGACGGCGCTCCGGCCCTCGGCCTCCATCCGTTTCCCGATCGCGACCGCTGCGGCGAGGTCGGAGTCGCCGATCTGCGAGATCGCCGAGCCCCGCTTCCGGTCGAGGCACTCGTACCAGCACTTCCCGAAGGCGTTGTCGAGCATCACCCGCATGAAGCAGTGGTCGAAGCGGATCGGCCACTTCTCCTCTTTGGCGCGCGCCGGGAGCGCGACCTTCGCGAGGCGCGTATACTCCGCCACCAACTCGTCGCGCGACTGCGGAGGCGGTGCCGAGGCGTCGGACCGCGCGCGCTTCGCCCGCGGCTTCGCGGCCGGCTCGACGAGGTCGCCGTGGCACTCGGCCAGGACGACGTCCGTGCCGCGCACGCGCCGGTAGAGCACCCAGCGGTCCCCCTGCTTTTTCGGGAAGACATAGTCCACGCCGAGCTCCGGCGGCGTCGCGTCCCAGCCCTTCTCCGAGTAGTACTCGGGCTTCTTGACGAGGAGCTGGGCGCGCTGCGCCGCGTGGAAGCGCTCGTCGCCCAACCAGGGAGGCATCTCGACCTCCGTCGGCACCGACGCGCGCTGCATCGTCGGACCGTTGACGAAGCCCCGTGCCTCGTAGGCGTCGAGGCAGGCGTTGTAGTACGCGGCCAATGCGTCGCGGTAGCCTTTCCACATGCGCGCGGCGCCGTAGGCGCGCAGGTCGAAGCCTCTGTTTTCCAACCACTCGAGCACGAACCGCGCTTCCGTGCGCTGGTTCTGCAACCGCTTCGTGTCGAGAGCTTCGGCCGAGGCTTTAAAGTCCGCGAAGGGCAGGAAGGTCATCATTTTGCTTGTTGTCAGAGTGTTGTCACCTCACGAGTGCAGCCAAAAAAACTATTGTGTCAGCAGCGGTGTTATCACCTCACGAGTCCTGCAGCGACACAAATGCAGGCCTGCAGCAGTGTTCCTACTCACGTGCGGCACTCCACACGACGCCTGCGGCGCCAACAAGTCCTTCGTGATGCACCGAGCTGGCGCAAAACACGCAAGACCAGACCAAACTGGCGTGCGGGTTGCACGCCATCGACGCGAAACGATATATGATCATATACACAACACAACACTTATTCCCTATCCGTCCGCCCGCACCCACACCGCAGTCGATCCGCTCGAGCCTCGCGCGACGCACACGTCGCCGTCCGCGTAGCACCAACTATAAACGTTGGGCCGCTTGCTGCCGTCCTTGCGCCGGCCGCGGATGCGCTCGATCAGTCCGCGGATGCCCCGGCCCTCCCGGACGTCGATTGCTGGCATAGGCACGCCCAGAATTTTGAGCCGGAGCCTCTCGATGACCAGGGTCGTCGTACTTCCTTGCAGAGCGTAGGTCCCGGCGAACACAAACTTGAGTCCAAGCAGTCGAATCGCATTCGTGAACGAGCCATCGCTTCGAAACTCCTGCTCCGCTTTCACGGTCAGGAAGCGCCCCTCGTCGGCGTCTGGTTTGACCGAGAACACAGGCCGCCAGCGCCTGTCGAGCAACGGTGTCCAGTCGTCCTGGCGCGCGTTCACGATCTCTCGTAGAGCTCGCGTCGCCTCGGCCGCACTCGGCGGTGTGGCTGAGCCGCAGCGGCGGAGCACGCTGGCGTGAGGGGAGAGGGCCGCGCAGCAGTTGACAAGAAGCAGCGTGGCGACCGCACGCATCGTATTCATGCTTGTGTCGTGCGATGGCGCTGCCCAGATGACGCGGGGGCGCTGCGCCCCGCGATGCTAGCGGCCTGTAAGACACTAGGAATTCCTCAGCCTCAGCCTTCCAAACGCCATCGACGCGACCCAAGACCTAATGGATCTTTAAAGATCCATTAGGACTAGGTCCTAGGACCCGGGGTATATGGGTAAGGTATGGGGTACATATCATAGGGGGGGTATTAGTCATTCCACTTACACGTGGAACCAACCCGTGCATTGGACTCGCCGTGTCCCAGGATCCGCGCGCCCCACGTGTCTGGGGGAGTACGGGACACGCGCGCGCCCCACTCAGGGTAAATTCGCTAATCCAACCAAAACCTACTAGCAAAGGTCCCCAAAGGTTATTATAGTATACTATTGGGGACCTTTGCTAGTAGGAAACAAAAACCCTAACGAAACGATGTGTATTGCGTGGAATTTCTCTCGGCTTCACGACATTTGTCCGAAGAATACTTCTGCCGTCTGGACTAAAAGTAGTAGAAAATGAAAGAGCTTCTTTTATCTGATCAAGCGACATTTTGTCAAGGAGCGTGGACAAGGGAGCAATTCGTTTTAATTCGTCAAGCGTCAACTTCGAATAATCGATTCCGACACTAGCTAATTGAGCCATTTACCTTTTGTATATTAACGGTGAATTCTAAGATTCGGCGAGTCGTGAACTTCACCGAGAACACCACACTCGCCCACAAAGGTCACCAACTCGTTTAGATCCCGAGACTCAACCTACAAAGGTCCCCAAGAGTATGCTATAATAACCTTTGGGGACCTTTGCTAGAGGGTTTTTGTTTCCTACTAGCAAAGGTCCCCAATAGTATACTATAATAACCTTTGGGGACCTTTGCTAGTAGGTTTTGGTTGGATTAGCGAATTTACCCTGAGTGGGGCGCGCGCGTGTCCCGTACTCCCCCAGACACGTGGGGCGCGCGGATCCTGGGACACGGCGAGTCCAATGCACGGGTTGGTTCCACGTGTAAGTGGAATGACTAATACCCCCCCTATGATATGTACCCCATACCTTACCCATATACCCCGGGTCCTAGGACCTAGTCCTAATGGATCTTTAAAGATCCATTAGGAAGAGACACTTACGCAAATCAAGAGTCGTCCTTGAGCATGTTGAGGTACTGGTGGAAGTAGACGCGCTCCAGCCCGCCGTCGGCCGCCCCAACCAATGGTTCGGGTTTGCACTCGCGGATGAACGCGTCGGCCTCCTCGTCGGTCAAGCGTTCCGACATCGACGCGACGACCTTCCTCAAATCGCGAGCATAAATGAAGAGCTCGTCGACCCTCCTATGCTTCGTGTCGGCCATAGCTCTCAACTCGTCAGACGCCTCGGTGTCGGGATCGCGCAGCGCCTGCTCGGCCGCGCCCTCGACCAGCGCCCTGAAATGTTCGGCAGCTTCCCTCGGATCGACGGTCCGCGTCACGAACTTCGAGAAATAGGCCACGAAGTCGTCTTTCGGCAGACATAGCGCATGTCTCCTCGGATTCGCCTCGACGACGTTCCTCTTGAGCAAGCCCCGTTCATCTCGCTCGGACGACACACCTAATGCTGAACGATCCTCGGAGAAGGCCAGGGCCTCATCAAAAAACCGGTCGGTCTCCTCCTTGCTGAAGACGCGGCCCATGACGGCCACCGCCTTCCGAAATTCCGGCGCCTTCATCGGGTGCTCCCTACCAGAGGACACGCCCGCCGTCGCGACGTCATAAGCTAAGGCGAGCCGCGCCTCGAGGCGGTCGTCCTTGAGGCCCTCCTCCGCGAGTAACTCGTCCTCGTCGAGCTCGGGCTCCTCGTCGTCGCCTGCGTGTGTTACGCGTCGACCGCCACGCCGTCGACGCCTGCTCGATGGCGTGGCGCCGGTCTCTCGAGGATGCGTGATCGACGAGTCACGCGTCACACGCCATCGACGCGACATACGAAGGACACTGCACAATCACCGAAGTCGTAGTGCTCGTCGTCCTGTTCCTGGGGCTCGCCCTCGAAGTCGTAGGCGTAGTCGTCTTCGGTAGCCTTCGTCGCCTGGCCCCCGAGGCCGAGGTAGCCGAGGAGCCCCGCACCAGTAGCTTTCGCGGACGGGTCGTCGTCCTCGTCGCCGCCCAGGTCCGGCACGATCGATTCGCCACTACTTTCGGACGAGTAGGACTCGTCGTCCTCGTCCTCGTTCATGGTCGCGACGGCGCGGTCGTGCGGGAGCTGGTACGGTTCGGGTTCCTTGGACTCCTCCGACTCCTCGCTCACGGTCGAGATCGACGAGGCGTCGTCGTTGAACTCGCTGGGCTTGCTCGACGAGGCGTAGCTCGACGAGGTTGCGGTGGGCGTCAGCGACGCGCTGCCCTGGCTCGAGAGGCTTTGCTGCTCGGCTAGGGCGGACATCGTTCCGTTCGTTCCGCGTGTGGTCCGCGGCGCGGCTGCTCGCGTTTCGCTTTTTTTGGCTTACGGGGCGATTTCTTTGTGGTCCAGAGCTTGTGCTGGGGCGGCGCCGGCTTGATTTATGGCCGCGCGCGCGAGAAAATCCAGCTTTTGGCAGTGAGATGCTTTTGGGCTGTAGCTGCTCCCTAGCCGCACAAATGCCGGCAAGATCTCGTCTTGAGCTGTTTTGGAGAGGAATGAAGCTCCTGAGCGACTGTGGACGTTCAGCGCTCGATTTTTTTGCCTCGAACCTCGCGTTTCGCACAACCCCGCACGATAGAGCTTTTTGGTGGTGCATAAGCGGTTTTAGGACCGGTGGCAAGACGCGATTACATGCTCTTTGCACGGCTGAAAACCCGCGCGAGTACAGAATCTTTTCTATAGTAATCTGCACAACTTTCTCAACTTTGAGATTGTAAATACTTCAGCCATGATGAAGAGTTGTACCTCCGCGCCGCGATGTACGATGTAGAGCCACATGCTCCTAGATGAAACAGACGACGTTGGAGGAATCTGATTGGTCTTATTTTTTGCTTCTAGTTTCGCTATTGACCATGCGGGGCGCGGAGACGCGATTTCGAGCAGGATGGGTACCGGGGCGATGCTGGCGGGCGCGGTGCGCTCTTTAGGTCTCCATTAGTTACGGGAGGGCGATTTGGGTCAATTGCGGCGGTTTTGAGACGAACCGCGCGGGGCCCGCGAGACGCGCGGGTGACCAACAACAATACGACAACTAAATAAATTACCCCCCCGAAGACGCCAGCAACCCCCCACAAACGACCCGCCGCCCGGCGACGCGCAGCGCCAGCGCACCCGCAGCGAAGACCAGAGTGCCCTCTGAGCACGCGTTGGACCCGCGAATCGTGTCCTCGACGGGCGTCGCCAGGACCCGTCCTTCGCACGCGTCGCGCAAGTCCAGCTCTAGTAATTCCGCGTCGACGGCACTATACTCCCTCAATGACGGTCGAGCCGCCCGAATCGCGTCCGAACCAGCGGCACTCCGAGCGCGTAATTTGTGCCGCGCGTCCCGCAACAGAGAATCGCGGTAGAACCCCGCCGTGAGGTCGTCGACGCCGCCCGGCTCCACCAACGACCACGTCACGAGCGACCGCCGCACTTCAGAACTACCACCTCGTAACACGACGGTGCAGCGCACGAACTGCGAGGTCGTCGCGAGGAGGACGCGCGCTTCAATCTGGTCCGCGACGGCCACCCAGCCGCTGTCGCCGCCTGCGTGTTGCGGGGGTCGCGTCGACGGCGTCCGGGGGGCGGTTTCTCTCAGTACGACGTCGCGGCGATGGCGTCAAGGCGGCGTAGAAGTTTCACTACTCGACGCCGATCGCCACCAGCACATTCGATCACCGGGGGCTCGGCCGGCTTTTGCGGCACGACGGGCTTCGGCCGCGCCACCGGTGCGCGCACGGGCGCCTCTTCCACGCGATCCTCAATCTGCGAAAAGGCGTCCAGCGCCGGCCTCGCAGGAGCCGCCCTTTGAGACTTGATCTCGAACTTCACACTACCCTTGAACGAAACGGGCGCCTCCTCCGCCTTCACCACCACCTCCTCCTCCACCGCCATCTCCACCTCTTGGGTCTGAGACGCCCACGCCCCATCGCCGAGAGCGGAGAAAACAGCCGAAGCCCGGACCTTCTCCGCCTTGCGCCGATCCTCCGCTCTCACGGCCGCGGAGATGCGCGACACGGGCGCGATCTTCGCGGGAGTGACGTCGGCCTCGGAGACGTCCTGGCGCGTCGGCGACGCCGGCCGCGGGGCTTCGTTGCTCTCAAGAATGTCCAAATTAGCCCTTTGCCGTTCATTGAGCATCCTCAACAACTTGTTGCGTTGCCCTCTATCCTCCCACTTGCGGTGGGCCACGGCGGCCTCCGCCTTCTCGCGCGCGATGCCCTCGTACTGCTCGCGGACCTGCGCGCGTGGCGATGGCGTCGAGCGCGGCCTCGTGACGACGCGTCGAGTTCAAGGACACTGAGTCAGACAACGCGCTTCGCCGCAACTTCTTCGTTGATCTCCTCGGCGACCTTCTTTTCCCAGGAATTCTCCAACCTCATTCGACCAACGCGTTCATACGCCTCGAAGGCGAACTGGAACAGGGCCTCTTCGAGGACCGGCTGCACGGCGTCGACGGCCAGGCAGATGTTGTAGCCGACGTTGTGCGGGTTCCTCCGGAAGCGCTCGTTGTAGGCCCTCGCATTGGCCAGTACTAATCTCAATTCTTGGCCGAACTCCCGCGCGGACGCGTAGGGCTTCAGGGGTTCCTGGCCGTCGTCCTCGAACGCGCGCGCTATTTCACCGACACCAATTTTCAAGCGCTGTTCGACGCGCTCGAGGCACGTCGGCCGCGCGACAAAGGCCGCATAGTCGGGGACGCCGCGGACCTGCGTTGCGTGAATCGTGACCGTCACGTCGACGGCGTGGGGTGGAGCCGATCTCACGAGCACGCCATCGACGCGAGGTTTCCGGAAAAGATTTCTACACAGAAAAAGGAACCATCTTCTCAAAATAGAACGAGTGTTTTTTGACCGCGAGCTTCCGCAGTTGCTTGAGGACCGTGCGGCACTCCCGGTCCGCGTCCGAGTCGCGCACCCGCGTCGGCCACACCGCTCTATCGCGGACGCGTCGACACTCCAGCCTCTTTGCCGCTCGTCGTTCCGCCGCTTCGTCCACACCCGCGGCTAATTTAGCGAGTCGCGTCGCCATCTCGTCGGACGGCTCCGGCGCCTTGCCGGCCGCGGCCTCCTCCTCCAGTTCTCCGGTGGAGACGCGCTTGAGCGCCGGCTCCTCACCGTCCTCGGCTGGAGGCGGCGGCGGCGCGTCCTGGTTCAGGGCCGCGCTCGCGAGGCGGGCGACGTCGCTCCGCACGGGGGGCGCGTCGCTCATGGTCGCGTCGCCATCTTGATCTTTCGACTCCTCGACGGGCGCGGCAGGCGCCGGCGCCGGCGCTGGTGCGGGCGGCGCGAGCTCGCCGAAGGCCGCCATCACCGCGGCGTCACCAGCAGTAATCGCCGGCGGCGCCGGTGCGGGTGCAGGTTTATTTTCATCCATGGCAGCACGCAGCTCGGACTCAGACAGCTTGGCCCTTTCTAACGCTGACAAGCGAGCCGCTTCGGCCTCGGCCTCTTCCCGTCTTTTAGCTCGAGCTTCTTCGTCCTCGTCCAAGACACAGGTATATCTATCTCTAGAAATGCCATTCCTTGTAATCGACGCCGCCGTCGCGGGCGTCGCCGGCGGGTCGGCGATGTCGTCCTTGAAGTACCTGTGTGGACATCAACCTGTTTTCAGCTCAAACTCGGACACGACCGCCGAGGGATGCCCTCGACCCAGTATGGAGAGTAACACCGCACTCCGACCACGAGAGACCCCAAATTGAAGGGCGCTTGAAGTTCCTCACGGTGAAGACTCCAATTCGAGGTGGTCGACGTAGTTCAGCAAATGCGTCGCGATCGCATACGTTTTGGCCGCCAAGTCGTCCATGACGAAGTGGGGGTTCAGTTCTTGTTGCGACTGGGCTTGTTGTGCTGCCGGCCGGTTAAATTGTACCGCGTTGGAGAAAACTAAACGTAAATCCTCAACGAACGGCTCCCGACCCTCGTATTCGTCATTCATCAGCTTATGATTGATCAGTCCTAAATCCATCGGTTTCGCTATCGTACCAAGGTAATGTTCTCGCAAGGTAGGAAAGGCTTCTACTGTAGGTCTAAACCACTGCAGCTTCCCGCCGTACGACTGCAACCCATCATTCCGGACCCACTCATGTTTGGTCACTTTGCTCCATAACCTCTCAGCCTGGAGCCGCCAGAAGGGCTTCGGACTTGTCGGCGAGGGCTGGCCCTTTATTTTTTTGGGCGTCGTCAGTCTGGCTGGCGAGGCGTCCCGCTTGGCCGGTGCTATCGGCTTGAAGTCGCTCCGTTCCTGCCGGAGGGCCGCATCTAATACAATCAGCAAGATGTCGGCGGAGTTCGTGATCTCCGCCTGTGCGTGATATATATCGAGTCGCGATCTCGCCCCAAAACCACCCACGGCCTCGTCTGATGGAGGCGAGTCGCGTCGACGGCGTATGATCTCAGAAAGGCCCCGGGACGCCGCAATCAGTACCGCTATCGCTAAAGTGTTCGCGTCCATGCTACCAACTCGCACGAGGTCGTCGCAGCGCGTCCGCCAGGCGTGCGCGTTCTGGAAGCACCGCCTCACATCATTCGCGAAGGCTTCCAACGACGAGTAGCCCTGGCGCTTGCCTCGACTTTCGATACTGTCAAAATCTCTACAGTTCTTGCGGCCTGTGCGATGTCACGTCAGACGCCGTCGCCGCGACGCAACCCTCTCATCGCATGCACGACGCCGTCGCCGCGACGCGAAAAAGGACGCTGAATCGCCACCGCCGATGCACGGTAAATACTCGCTATGCGTAGGCAACATGTTCGCGTGCAGGAACGGCGTGGCCACTTGATAACTCCCACCTCTACCGTCGGACTCGCGGTGGTCTCTGAGTTTATCCAGACAGCGCAACGCCGCGTTATTCACGTCTTTCTTCGGCGTAGGACTCTTGACCTCCCGCCCCGGATTCTTGAGCGTCTTCGCTACACTAGTCCAAGCTTCGTCGAAGCGCCGGGCCCGCTGGACGTAGTCGTCGCAATCTGAAGGTTCATGCAATCTGCGACCAGCCCCGTCCGGACCGTAGTACTGCATGGCGTTCGCGAAGACCTTCGAGACGTCTTTCTTCAGCGGTTCCAATGAGTCATAGGTCCCCTCGATCAATCGACTGACAACATCGCCCACACAAATCGGCTCCGACACATGCCTCGCGTAGTCGTCCACAAACTCCTTCTGGTCGGGCGACGGAAAGTAGGCCCCGAACGGGTGCAGGAAGTAATACGAAATCTGCGCCTTCGGGGGCAGGTCGTCGTAGTGGGCTAGTATCGACGTCTCGAGGGCTTCTAATATTTGCGGCCAGTTTCTCAATAATTTCGGGACCGCCGCGTCGATGGCTTGCGTCGGGCAGCCGACACTTTGCAGGACCGGTCGGACCTTCTGGGCGAGCTCCTTCTCGAGGGCCTGTGTGACACACGGTCGCGGCGGCGCCGTCGCGGCGACCGCGGACTCTCTCGCGGTCGCGTCGACGTCTCGTGAAGGCGCCAGACGCCGACCCGCACCTTCAGGTAAAACTTCGCGTCCTGTCTAAGTTCGGGAAACCGCGTGTCCGTGTTGTACCGCAAACAATTCGCGGAAATCCGCCGCATCCGCAGGACCCAGGCGCCGCAGTCCTGCTGGAAAGCCCCGCGCTTGAACGAGTGTTCCACAGACGTCAAATCCAACGCCTGGCCGCCGACCTTCGGCTCGTAGTCCGTCCAGCGCTCCGTCTCGATGGGCGTCCTGAAAGATTGTGCTGCTTTCACCCTCTTCAACGACTGGTGCACCCTCGACACACAGGTCTCGACGTCGCGCGGCATGGCCACTTTGCCGTCGTTCGCCGCGATCTGCGCCGCTAAGTTTTCATCAACAGGTGGTGGCGTTCGATTCCGCAAAGGCGTCGGTGCCAAGTACGGTCGTAAGGGCGCGTCTTTGTCGAACCGGCGCTGCATCTTCTTCGCTAGAGTTGCTACTGCTTTGAAATCGGGCGTCGCGTCGACGCGCCCGCAGTAGGCTAGAGCGTTACTAAACACAAGTCTAACATCCGTCGCGAACTGCTTCGCGTTCCGGTATGATGGGAGTTTTTGTCGAACTAGTCCAAGATCCATGGGCTGTGACACGTACTGGGAATAGTCCCGGTAAATTTGCTGGTTTACCGGTTTAGCAAAAATTTGGCCTATGTCCATTTCTTTCAGGACGTCCAGTAGGTTCGAGGCCGCTTGCCGCCAGGCACCTCCCGCCGTGGCCATCGTTACGGCTCGCGCTCGGCACTCGGCGGGTGGCACGGCTGGTGGCGACTGGCGCGCGCGCGTTGATCAGTGAACGCTGCGGCGGCGGCGTCGCGCACTGATTCCGGGCGCCCGGGCCGCGGCGGCGTCGCTTGCGGCTCAATGCGCGTGCCGCACAAGCGAGTGCTGCTTGTGAGGGGCGGGGCTCGGGGCGCAGCAGTACGTTTGACTGCTTGAACGCTGGCCTGCTGGCGCCGCGATGCGATACCTGTGCCGCCAAAGCGTTGCGCCGCGCCGCAGTGACACGGCGACGCGATGCTCTGGCGCAGGTGAGCTAGCGGCCAGTAAGACACTAGGAAGCACGGGCTTTTTCTGTTTTTGGACCACGCGCATCCTAACTTCGCCACGCGGCGCCCTAGGCCTGTCTCTTAAACGTCGTGAAGTCTAAAAAAGGGCGTGGAGGCACTGAAACTACAATTCTCCCTCTGAAAACACACACTGAAAAAGTTGCTTCTCTCTCGAAAAAGTTGCAGGCTTAATCTAACGTCCGTGACCGGTCAACTCTCTCTGAAAAGTTGCAGCAAAATGTTGAAACTACTCCTGGCGGCGGCCGTCGCGTGCCCGCGCGCCGTCGCGATAAACTCAAAGGGGGCGCCGTCCTACGAGGCGAAGATGAACCTTTTCGCAAAGAATAACCGCGGCGAGTCGTGCGCGTCGGACGAGGGCCTGTCGGATCTCGACCAGCAGCTCCTCTACGCCGCCAATACCGGCAACGACAAAATCGTCGAGGTCTGCGGCCGTCTGCCTGGCCGACGGCGCGAATCCAAACGCCGTCGTCAACGGCGTGAGCGCTCTCATGTATGCGGCGCAGCACGGCCACCTCGCGGTCGTCGATCGGTTGCTCGCGGCGGGCGCGGACCCGAGCTACTGCGACGAGACCAACGAGGCGCGGGCCACGGCCCTCCAGCAGGTCGCCACGTACGCCCGCGGCGACGCGGAGGAGGTGGCGAAGAGCCTGATCCGCGCGGGCGCCCCAGTCGACGAAGAGGGCCCAGCGCCTCCGCTGTGGCGAACGGTCGAGCACAACCAGGCGGGGGTCGCCAGGGTTTTGCTCGAGGCCGGCGCGAACGTCAATGTGCGCCGCCAGGGGCTGACCGCGCTCATGGCGGCGTGCAATATTGACCAGGGGGTACCTGTGCCCCAACCAGGCAAAGCGGCGCCAATGGCGGGGCGCCCGGCCCTGGTCAAAGTGCTGCTAGAATTTGGCGCCGACACCGAGGTCTTTGATTCGACGACCGATATTGACGGTGGCAACGCGCTGTATCACGCGGCGAGACAGGGCCACACGGCCTGCGTCGGGGCCTTGCTCGACCATGGTGTGACGATGGACACGATATGCATGGAAGACGGCGCGGCGAAAGGCTACCATGCGCAGACCGCGTTGATGGGAGCCGTGAGCGGGGGGCATGCCGAAACCGTAGCGCTACTGCTGGACCGCGGCGCCGACGTCGGGGTGACCAATAAAGATGGATTCAACGCGCTCTGGTACGCGATCTTGGGGGTTGATGGCAATGGCAAGGACAAAGCCCCCAACGAGCGCGTCATAAGGCTCCTGCTCGACGCGGGCGCGGACCCCAACAAGCGCAGGAATCATTTGGGTCTAGGAAGTCCGACGCCGCTCTACTGGGCGTCTGAGCATGGTTACGAGCATGCCGTCGCCGCGCTGCTTGACAACGTGAGCGCGTGCGGCAGCGTGACGCGCTCGAGGCTCGGAAAGTCCGAGAGCGCCCCGAGCACGACGAGCCGCTCGTTGCCGCTCAGGTCTATCGACAGCGGGTCGAAGCCGGCCGACGGGCGCGGCGCCGTCGCGAGGTCCGCGCGCGTGCAGTCGGCCCGCCGCGTCGCCGCGTCGCACGCGCACGCGTCGCAGAGCGCCTCGCGCGCGTCCTCATACCACCACGTCCGCACGCCGTCCGGCGCGCCCGGCGCGGCGAAGGTCACGTCGTCCGCGTGCAGCTCGGCGAAGAGATAGCAGCTCGGGTAGGCGCCGACGGGCGGGTTCCGGCGCGGGTCCGTGGAAAAGTAGGCACACGCCCCGTCGTTCGCGCAGTGCTCCGCGCAGTGCCGGAGCCCGAGCTCAAAGACTTTCATAGCTGACGCTTTGTTGACGCGCACGTCCACAAGCTCGCGCGCGCCGGCCCGCGGCGGCGGCGCGCAGGGCGGCGGTTTTGCCGGGCCGGCGCCGACGGCCGCGAGCTCGCCAAAGACGATCGACCCGGTCGCGGGATTTCCCATTCCCGCCAGAGAATCGACGACGATGCCGAGGCGCCAGCCCTGGACCGTCGCGGGGTCGAGGCTCCTCCCTTCTCGGTCCAGGCCGAAGAACGGCGCGTAGGGGTTCGCCTCGCCGCAGAGGTCGATCTCGAGGGTCCGCCAGCCGCCCAGTTTGTCGAGAACGACATTTCCCGACGCCAGGTAGTCCGTCAGGGCGAGCCCGATGCCTGCACTACAGTGGGGCGCGAGGCCGCACGCCCTGCCGTCGAGGAGCACGACGCCGAGCGTCGCGTGGCCGGGGAGGCTCGACGCCGCCTCGACGCGGTACGTCAGCCGGATGCTCGACGCGTTCGAGAGGTCGCGGTAGCCGTCCCAAATCTTGCCCATTAGAGCGGCACCGAAGGGGCCGTTGCGCGCGACGTCGTAATTCAGCCGTAAGCCGTCGTCGACCTTCTCGAGCGCCGAATTTCCCGACGACGGCAGGCCGGCAGCGGTCCCGTCGTCGAGGAAGAAGGCGTCGACGGGGCCGGCGAAGTCCTCAATAACAATTTCACCGGCGCCGCGCGCCGCCAGCGCCGCCGCGGCAATGATACAAAGCATCATTTGCGGCGGTGAGGGCGGGGCCGCGCGGCCTTCCCTCGGCTTTAAGTGTTTGCCTCTAAATGCTCTGGGCTCGCCCGTTTCACGGTGAGCGCCAGCGCGTGCGCTCCTTGCGCGAGACGGAGACGCCCGCGCCGCGCGCGGTTTGCTGATCGGGGGCGTTGCTCGTCGCGTTACAATTAACTCTGGGTCTATAGCCAAGGGCCGACTTGCCATCAGGCTGGGGTACCCGGATTGGGTCCAGGAGTCGTGCCGGGCCCTCTTTGAATTCCGGATGTTGCATTCAGAGGGCTCCCGCGTTTTTCCCAGGAAGCGCTAGTGTGTTGATCACTAGCTTGGCACTCGGATCGGAGCAAAGCAAAAGAACGTTACCGAGGGCTGTAGAGATCACACGGAGCGTTGCAAAGGACAGCATCTCACCAATGATGACGCGTTTGGTCAGTCTTGGCATAGCTTTGACCTCGGCGGCAGCTCTACAGCCACCTGTAGCACGGAGAGCGTTCCGCAGCTCTCCGGCACGGCACGCACCAGTGGACGCCGTCGCGGCAAATGCACCAGCGATCGACGCCACCGCTGCGACGCTGCGAATAAAGGCCGCCGCGCGCGTCCTCGGCGGCCTCGTTGGCGCCGCGGCCACTCTCACACCCGGCGCGGCGCTCGCCAAGGGCGGTGGCTACGGCGCCTCGTCCGCGCCGTCTTCCTCGTCCTACTCGTCGTCATCATACTCGTCGGCACCGATGCGGTCGTACGCGGCGCCCGCGCGGACCGTGGTCATCCGCCAGCCGACGCGCAGCTACTACGTCGGCGGCGGCGGGCCGGTCGTCGTGCGCCCGCCGAACGTTCTCGATTACGCCCTGCCCGTGGCGGTCACGGGTCTTGTGCTAGCCAGTACCCTCGGCGGCGAGGAACGCGAGGGCGCGCAGCGGCGGAGGCGGTCGGGCGGCCTCGCGTTGTATGCTCAGGAGCTCGCCGACGTCAAGAGCCTCATGCGGACGCTGGAGAAAGACTTCGACGCCAGCAGGGCTCCGGTGCAGCGGCCGGTGTCCGGCCAGTACTGCGGCGACAGCGCCGAGGACGACAAAGGCGACCAGGCCGTCGTGTCAAATCTGAGCTTTGGCGCGGACGGTTCTATCAAGGGCGACGGCATAGATGGGGTCGATGGCGCGTACACGCTGTCCGGGCGCTGGTCCGGCGACCGCTGCGCGTGGATCGAGCGGTACCGCGACGGCTTCGAGGTCGCCGTGACTGGTACGGTGGAGAGGAGTGGCGACATCTTTATCCTCTTTTGCTCGTCGCGCGGCATTTCTGGGTCTGCGGACCTCAAGCTGCGGACGGCCGCGTGACCGACTCCTTGTGCTTTTTTACCTGTCCCCTTTTCCCCACGCCTTCGACGCGATAACTAACTAGACTTGTGCTCAATAGACCGGATCTACTTCGTGAGCGCGGATCGCGCCGCGCGGGTATTTTTCGGAGAGCATTCCTCGGTTGGCTTTGGCTAACGTACGCAAAATGGCACCCTCCGCGTTGCGCGTCGCGTTGTTGGCGTCCACGGCTGCGTTCGCCCCACGAACGCGCTTGCCTCGCGTGAGGGGCAGCGCTGCTCTCTCGGTGAGCAGGCCGACTCCTACAGCCCCACCTGCTGCCAATCTTGGCCTCAGGCCACCGACCGCGCCGCGCGTTCCCCGAGCGACGCGCTGGCGACGAGCCCTGCGCGTGCTCGCGGCGAACGCGCTGCTCGCCGTCGTCCTGCTCTTCGCGCCGCCGGCGCACGCGAAGGGCGGCGGCGGCGGCGGAGGCGGAGGCGGAGGCGGAGGCAGAGGCGGATCCTCGTCGCGTTACCTCAGCCTGTCGCAGCTCGGCTGGCGGTGTTACATGGACGAGGCGGGCTTTCCCTGCTGGCACAACGCCATCACGAACCAGCGGACCTGGAAGCGGCCCGCCCGGCGGAGGACGGCGCCGCCGGTCTTCTACGCGCCGTCGTTCGGCCACCTCGAAGGCCGTTCCGCGCTCGCGAGCCGGCCGGCGCGGAATTATGTCGTGGGGGGCGATACGGTCGCGGCGGAGCCATCCAACAACCTCGTAGGCTTGGCGTTCATCGGAGTTTCCTTTCTCCCCTATCTTGCGGTGGACGCGAGGTCGCGAAACGTGTACAGCAAGAAGCTCGACGAGTGGAAGAATCTCACGCGGACGCTCGAACGTGACTTTGACGCAAGCGTGCAGCGACCGGTCTCCGGGCGGTACGAGGGCGCGAGCGTGGAGGACGCTGGATGGGACCAAACGGTGGTCTCCGACCTACACTTCGGCGCGGACGGTTCTCTCACGGGCGCCGGCGTCGACGGTAAGGACGGGAGATATTCGTTGGCCGGCCGCTGGTCCGGCGACCGCTGCGCCTGGCTCGAGCGGTACCAAAATTTCGAGGTCGCCGTGACCGGGACCGTCCGGCGGGACGGCCTCTTCATCCGGTTCTGCTCGAGCCGTGGCATTGGCGGGTCCGTGGACTTGAGGTTGAAGACTTAACTAGACTTTGTATTATAGGCCCCCATACGCCGTCGACGCGACCACTCACTTCGCCAGCAGGTCGCGGATCGCATCGCTATGAGTAATCATCGACGACACGAGCCCCGGCTCCGTGTCGCTGTGGCCCGCCGCGGCGACGAAGTCCAGGTCGACCGGGACCTTGAGCTTGCCCAAGGCTTCGCTCAGCCGATACGCGGAGACGGGCTGGCAGACGAAGTCCGAGCGCCCGTGGCTGATGCACACCCGTTCTAAGGAAGAGAGCTTGCCGACCTCGGCGATCAATTGCCCCCGCGACATGAAGCCCGCGTTCAGCATGTAGGACACCTCCATGACCGCGAAGGGTACCAATTGCGACGGCGTCTCGAGGCACTCGCGGATGATCTTGTCTTCCACGAAGGTCTTGGAGATGGACAGCTCGTAGCCCACGAAGGCGCTCGCGGCGGCGAGGCGCGTGGCCGCGTCGTCGGACGTGAGGCGCTTCCAGTAGGCTCCTAATAAATTCTGGCGCTCTGACTCAAAATCGTCGGACGTGTCGCGGATGTAGTTGCAGTAGGCCGCCCAGGCCGCGGGGTGCTGGCCCTGCGTGCCGCCCTTGGCGAACAGATAATCTACTTCTTCGGGCTCGAACAAGAAGACGCCCCGCAATAGTAGCGTGCGCACCTTCGCCGGGTGGGCCTCGGCGTACGCTAATGCCAAAGTCGAGCCCCAGGACCCGCCGAGGACCATCCCCCACTTGTCCACCTTCAAATGCTCCCGCAGCTTCTCGATGTCCTCTACTAATTTAGGAGTGTTATTTTCAATCAGACTCCCTTGTAAATCCTCGGCGGCGTTGGGCTGGCTCTTGCCCGAGCCCCTTTGATCAAAAATGACAATTCTAAAAAAGGCCGGATCGAAGAAGCGTCTAGAGCGAGGAGAAATGCCTCCACCGGGACCACCATGCAAGAAGATGCACGGCACGCCGTCGGGATTGCCGCTCACGTCGTAGTAGAGCGAGTGGCCGTCGCCGACACTAAGCATGCCGGAGTCATGAGCCTCGATCTCGGGGTAGAGCTGCCTCGGGTACTTGGCCGGGTTACTAGCCTGGTTTGCGGCGTCCGACGCGGGCTTGGACACATATCTCAGGTCGGCCTTCGTCGACATGGCTCGTGCGGTGGCTACAAAGAGGAGGGTTCTACTCGTCCGCCGCGTCACCGCTTGCACAGCGCGTGGCAGCATGCAGGGGTTAATCAGCTAGCTCTTGAGTTGGTGTTGGTAGGACCGGTTGCGCCAGCGAACTGGTGCTAGTCTAGCACGCAACGCTGTCGCGATGTCCTAGGACTGGCTATGCGTCGGCTACGTCTACCACGTGCGTGTTTGCGAGTGGAGAGCACAAGCTAATGTCGAGACACACTAGGAGTGCAAGCATCACGCCATCGACGCATTCAATCGTTTGTACAACATCGTTACTGGAAGGGAGATTTCGGGATGCACAGGGACACGGGCCGCCGTCTGCGGTCCCGCGATGACGGGTGTTTCAGGATTTGTCGAAGCGCTTCAGGCGCGACGACCGGCCTTCCGATGACAGCGTCTCCGGTTTTGCCAAAGGCGGCTCGCCGTTCTGCGCCCGCCGGAAGGGGTCGAGGTACGCGTGGACGTCGCGATAGGCCGAAGGGAGATAGTCTTCCACTTCGAGCCGCACCAAGTTCGCCGCGCCCGTGCGGAATTCCGCCGGGACGCGGCAGTCGCGGACGTCTGCTAGGAAGGCGGCATGATCAGCGTACGCCTGGAGCGGGCTTGCCGCGTCGTCGTCGTGGAGACTGTGCACGGCGCCCCGCCGCGGCCGCTTTTTCAATGGCGGCTTTGGCAGGGACTCGTCGCCCTCCCTCCGGATCGTGAAGCCGTCGCCAAATAGGCGCACCGTGTAGGCACCATCAGGATGATCGCGGACGTAGTCACTGACGCGGCTGCCGTTCTCCAAGCGAAGAGCTCTATCTCTCCGGTGGCCGTCGGCCGTGCCCATCAGAGCGTCGAGGACCGCGGTCAGAGTCCGCCGCGCCTCGCCGCCGTTCGGCGACGCGGGATCCCGCGGCCTCGTGTCGGGATTCGCGGGATTCCCCGCGGTCGCGGCGGCCGGCGGCAGCAGCTCGATCGGCGGCACGTTGAGCGGCGGCGGCGTCTGCTGCACGTTGTCCGGGCTGTCCCGATCGCGCAGCTGCGGCGCCGACTTCGCGCGCGGCAGCTCCGACGGCGCGCTCGCCTTCGCGGGGCTGCTCGGCGGCGTGCGCATGGCGTCGCGGTCCCGCGGCGGGGCGCGGGCAGTCTTCCGGTCCCTTTCGGGACGCTGCGGTCCAGCGTTAGCGCGCGCGGCACGTGTTCAGCGGCCAAAGGTTAACCACTGACACTTGGTTGAGCTCCGCGCATGCGCGTCGGAGCGCAGCCAGCGCTCCGGGCGAAGTACCGCAATGCCCCTGGGTCGATTGAGCTGCTGTGCGCGGGTCGGGAGGCGGCTGCGGCTTCACACGCGCGGGACTGAACCGAGGTGCGTCGAGCGCGCTCGATGATTTGCAGTTGGCGTGCACCTAGCGCGCGCCCCGTGGCGCGGCCCGCCGAGGCCTCCCGGGCGCGGGGAGGCCTGCGGCGTCCGGGCGAGAGCCATCGGGACGCCAAAAACGACTTCCCGAGGTCGACGCGACGCGCGGCGGCGCGCAGATTTACTAGTACAGACAAACCATATTAACAAACACAAAACATGTTGTCACTCCTCGGCCGCCTCGCGCTTCGACTCCTCCTTCTCGGCCACCTCCTTTTCAAGGGGAGGCCGCGCCGCCCGCGCCCACGCCAACAACCACAGCGCCCCGAACCCGCCCAGCAGCGCCGCCTGCGCCACGACCCAGGGCTTCTCACGAAAATACTGGAGATTCTCGGCCTTTGTGGCCCCCGATCTCGTAGCAAACACGGAGAGCACAAAGACCCCGACGCCCAGGAACGCATGCACAATATTAAAATGCTTGCGGTACCTGCCCTCCTTGCCCGGTCTCAGTAATCCCATCACCACATTCGCCAGCAGAAAACATAATGTGGAGAGCCCTATTCTTTGATGCCTTCCGCGAAAATGGTCCCTGTCCGCGTCCTCCAATGCAGTGAAGACCACAATGAAGCCAATCAAAGCTAGGAGGACGCAGAGCAGCAACAAATACATGTGGAGCTTGATCCAGACGGGCCCGAGCCACGACCGCCCGCGCGCCGCCACGAGCGCCGCCGGCATCGCTACAGAAAACGCGACGAGGAAGAGGCCGCCGTGGATCTTTATCAGCGAAGCGGAGACGGTCTCCGTTTTTATGGAGGAGGCCTCGCAGGTCTCGAGGTTTAGCTCCAGAGCGCCCGCTCTGCTACCGTGGTATCCCAATGAGCCGGAGCCGTGGGCCCAGACGAACGGCGACGTCACGGCCTTCTCGCCGGGCTCTTGTAGTAATTTCGTGAAGGCGTAGACGACGGTGCCGTCCTCCTCTACGTCTGTAGAAGCGTCTTCGAGCGTCTGGCTTGATACCGTCTCGACGTCCTCGCGTTTATAGCCTCTCAGAACATACTTCTGGGGTAATTGATTGGGCTCACCAATGACGCACTCGGCCCCATTCATTAAACCGTCGGAGCCCCATCCGATAGCGGCCCAGCCCCCCTCGGTTACCAAAGCGGCCCGCACGCGATCTTCTTCCAGGGTCCAATGCAATGTAAGACCACCGTCCAAGGCGTAGGCGAAGTCAAAATCTCTTTCAGATGAACAGTACGGCGTCGGCTGCACCGTGGGTCGTTTCGTGATCGACGGCCGCGGCGTCGGCGCGGGTCCCACGCCCGTGACACTGCAAGCATCTGTGACGTAGACCGTGCCATACGTCGGCGCGTGGGCTCCAATCACCGAAACGGTATCGAGCACGTCGAACTCCAGCGGTTGGTCATTCGCGCGCGTATTCTCGGAGCAGTAGTTGCCGTACGAGACGCCTCCTGTCGCCTCGACGACGTACTGCTCGCCGCCGTCTAAGTTGGCAATGGTCGCTCGCACGCGCGTGCCTGAGGCTACGGTAGAACCGCAGGCTATGGGCGCATTTGTTGCGGCGTCCGTCAGTGCGATGGTGAGTGTCGACGCCTCTGAGTCCTTGCCCATCCAGCGCTGGCCAATTCTAAGCTCTTCGCCGCAGTTGACGTACTCGGGGTAGGCATGTGCTACCGCGGCCATCAGTGCGACGACGGCGCATCGGTGGTGGCGTGCCGGTGCCGGCATTGTGCCGGGAGCAACCACTGCCGCACGAATCGGTCGCTACCCTTTAAGCGCTGGTACGAGCGGTCTATCAGAGGTCGCTTCAAGCGCTCAGCGCCACCAGTGTGGCCGCGGGCGCCGCGCCTGAGGACGCCGTTCGCAGTTCCAGCCTGGTCAGCAAACTTGTCCCACATAGACGTAAAGGTCGACGGGACGTCTGCTACGCCTGGCAGGATTGGCGGACGTACGCCCGCAGCAACCTAGTGCGCGCGGCACTAGCAGGAAAGTCGCAACCTCCATAGACGCGAGGTTCCATGCACTAAACTCGGCGCTGCTCCCACACGAAACAACAACGGGGCAAGCGGCAGCCTCCGCGGACCCCTACGCAGCCCGTCCGGAACCGCCGCGGCAAAGGAAGCCGCTGCAGACGCCGCCGCGCGACGCCAGGGGCTGCCCAGACACAGGACAGGCGTAACCGAGGATGTACGGCACCCTCCCGCTGCCACCAAAGACGCCGAGCGAGCGGCCGCGCCGACATAAAGCCTACGCCCTCGCCTTACTGGGAGCGGCGTGTGTCCTCATCGCGTCGTCGCATGCGCGTATGCCGGTCGTCCGCGTGGCCGGAGGGCTCTGGGACGTCTCCTCGCAGTTCCTCGCGCCGGGCGAGACGCAAATATCTACAAGCATAGCGCGGTCGACCTGGACCGCCGGTAATGGTGAAAATCCGCGCCGTCTGGAGGAGCATTACCTCGCCCGCAAAACACCGGAAGATTGGTGGAGCGGCCACGTCTTCCTGAAGCAGGCCTATAGCTACTGGCGGTACGGGGTCTGTTCGGAGCGGGCTATGATGGATGCGGCGCCTTTGGCTGTCGAGTCGTATCGGTACGATGATAGGGAGGCTCTACTCTCTGCTTTGCGAGATGGTCTGATCGCGCAAGGTGCGATCGTCTGGGCCGCCGTCTCCGACGAGGCCGTCGACACGGACATTGAATTTGACAAACTGGAAGAGAAGGTACCTGTCGAGAGGCTCCAGCACGGCGTGGCCGGGGATGCCGCGTGCGCGGCCGCGTCCGCCGCAGTCAACTTCGAGGCTTCGCGTCGATGGCGTGGAGGGTGACGCGGTCGCATCGGCGGCGCGACGGAAAGATGACACGCACAGGTCCGCGCGGGAACTGGATGGAGCCTGCGCCTACCAGTGGACGCCCGATTTGTTGAGACGGTCGGAATTACTTAGGTCGCTCCTGGCCTACGACAAGCCTTTGGTATTAGTCATCGCGGGCGACTCGGGCTGCCGCCTTCACGATCTACCGGCGACGCACCACAAAATAGTGTTTGCAAACGACGCGGCGCCGCCCGACTCTTCTACATCATTGTGGTTCCCCGAGGGCCTGGAGGGTCTCGAGAGTCTCGAAGATTTCACTTTTTGGCAGCCGCAAGCAGCTGACAACGCGAAGGCGTTGAGTGAGGCCGACGACTCGCTGGATGCAAATGAAAGGCCCTATTTACTTGATCTGGTCTTCTCGGTTAATGGGAGGAAGCCCTCGCGGGGGAGACTCGTCAAGTGGCTGCTGGGCGGTGGTGTGGATGAATTGGCGGCTGTCTCGGACAAGGCCCTGCGTATAAGAGCTGTGGTCGCCGATGCTGATGATGAGCTCCAAGAACTTTTATTAAAGTCGCCGGACGCCCACGAGGAAGACAGTGCCTGGCGCGTCGACATCACGCGGGGCAACGCTACACTAGATGGAGACGCCGCGAGTCTCTTCTCACTAGCGCCCGCGGGCGACACCTGGTCTTCTGGTAGAGTACTGGAGGGCATGCTGCGCGGAGCCGTGCCCATTGTCGACCAGACGTACGTGACGGACGGCGGTCTCTCCGCCAAAGGTTGTGAAGATCCGGCAGCAGCTTGGCGCGACGCCCCTTTCGTGTTCGTGCGAGACTGGGCCGAGCTCCCTTCCCAACTTGAAGAGTTTCTTAGAAGTGACGCGGATTACATCGGAGCTGTCCGGTCCTATCGTGAGACGCTAGAAGATCATTTGAGGGAGAACTTGATCGATGCCGCCCAGCACCAGAAAAACGCTTCCACGACGACGTCGTGCCACACCGAGGAATGGACTCCGGACGAGATGGATGGCTTGGTCGACACCGCCGCGGCGTACTATGAAGGGGACTGGTGGGCCGCAAACGATTCGCCAGGCTATTACGCGGCCGGATGTGGCCACGCCTACCGGACGAACTTTGACCTCCAAGGGAATTCGATTATCCCGATCCAGCGCAAGATGCACTGCTACGCGGCGGACTGCGCGTTTCCGTTGGTCAAGGCCTTCGCGTGCCGGGACCGGGACCCGGCGGCGTGGCGGCCGAACATGCGGGGCGGGCTGCCGCCCTGAGGCGTAAGGTTCGTGTTTGCTCACGTCGATGGCGTAAAGGGGGACGCGAAATCAGTCGGATCACGAGACGGCTGAGCGCTAGTACGTCAGGGCTAGGTTTTGCTCTGCGCAACATATGCGCCGGAGCTGCAGCCCGCGTGCGAATCGACACCCCAGTAGAAGGGTCAGCTCCGCAACATCATTAACAAAGGCTGCAAGCCATTTCTTGCATCAATCAAGGACGCGGTTGTAACTGCTCTCTCAAAAGCTGCCAGAGGCTGCTCAGAGAGGATGCCGGACGACGACGGAGAAGCGATCGCGCAGGAAGTGCTCAAAGAAGATGCAAATCACGCGCGCGGCGAGCGGCCCGAGTGGCGGACGCACGAGGGCTGGCACCGCAAGGAGGACACGGGCCGCTTCGGCACGGCCGCGCGCGCGCGCGCGGCCGAGCGAGACGCCGAGGCGAAGAAGAAGAAATTGTATCACGAGGGCTGGGAGGCCGAGGCCGACGCCGCCGCCGAGGCACTGATGCAGCGGCCCGTACGGACGCCGCCGCCGAGTCTGGCGCCGCGCGACGACCATCGCCGCGCGTACTACGTCGCCGGCGCCGCGGCGGCGGCGCTCATCGGTCTCCTCTGCTACTACCGGCGACGACGGCGGCGGCGGCGCGGCGGAGACCTGCACCTGTCGTCGTCGGCCGAGCTACTCGTCGACCTCGAGGAGGCTGTGGTGGAAGTCGTCGGGGCGAGTGCGCCTAAGAACGACTAGTGTTTTGAATTATTAGGTCTCTAGCTTGGCGAGCTCCTTCCGGAGCCGGTTCTGCTGGATGTGGCTCATCCCGAGCGCGATGCAGTCCTCGGGCTCGACGTCGTGCAGGTCCTCGACGCACTCGACGCCCATGCCCAGCAGACCTTCCGCGAATTTTCCGAGGCGCCTTGCTTTCAACCAGGCGCCGACGTCGTCGGTCGCCGGGGCATCCGGTTCCTGCGCCGTCACCGGCGTCGCCTTGGGCATCTGCTTCTCGAGGATCTCGCCCGCTCGGACAGCGAGCGCTTCCAGCTGTTTCACGTCACCTTCCCCCTTCCCCATGGTACACAGAGTGCACACGTTCTCGCCGCAGACTTTCACCGGGACGCCGCGATACCGCGTCTCCTCGTCCATCATGATGCCCATCATCTTGCGGATGCCGCCGACCGTCGTCGGCAATTCTTCGCCATGTAACAATTCGGCGTCGGGCACGCTCTCGTCCATGGCGCGCTCGCCGAGCGCCTGGATGAGGCCGAAGGCGTGCCCCGCCTTGCCGATCGCCGTGAACTCGGGCGCATTCATGCTCAGGACGTCGCCACCGGCCTCAAACGACGTCGCGCACTTGACATCGCGCGCCGCTCCGCTCGCGATGACGTGCTGGCACTGCGTCATCTCGCGCGGTCCCGTGAAGCCGTCCACGATGGCGTCGGGCGCTGGGTCGCGGAATTCGCCGCGGATGACCGTCTGCTTGTCACCCTGGATGGCGCCAATCCACGCCACGTCATCACCCGACGACGCCATGGCCTCCGCGACGACGCCTTTGAGCTCCTCGTTGTTGGCGATGCGCGCCTCCAGCGCCTCGCCCGTGAGCCCCGCCTCGTCGAGCGCGAGCAGGCGCGCCGGTTCCGTGTGCGGGACGGGCATCTTTTTCGTGAGCTCGTTGTAGATCACTGGCGTCGCGAGCTGTGCCACGACGGCCTTGTCCGCGTCGAAGCCACCTTGCTCGTTGGGGTCGCCGCGGATCTGCGCGACGGCCTGCATCATCGTCGTCAACGCTTTTAGCTGCTGTTCCATGGCGTCGTAGCGCGCCGCGCGCTCGTCCTGGGCCCTGAACTTGGCCTCGAGGTCCTCGGCGCTCTTCGCGGGCAGGCGCTTCGAGAGCTTCTCGATGAAGGCGTCGAAGTAGCTGCGCGAGTGTTCGAGGCCAATCGCATGGGCGAACGCCTTGGCAGCGGCAGCGCGCGGATAGTACGTCTGGCCCTGGATCTCGACGCTCTCCGGCACGTCGACCTGGGCGTCGGGAAACACGCGCTCGCCACCGCCCCAGGTGGTGCCCTCGACGGTGACCGGCAGGACGTCGACGCCGCTGTCGACCGCCGTGCACAGTTCGAGCATACACCAGTCCGACTCGAAGATCTTCGGCGACATGAAGAAGACGAGCTTCCCCGACGCGCGCACGCTGGCCTTGAGCTTCGGTAGTTCCTCTAAGTCCTCGCGGTCGATGAAGACGCGGTACCCCGCGTCCGTCAGCCGGTCGTGCACGCGCGCGACGAGGTCCTGGCAGTCCGAGCGCTTGTGCGACAGGAAGCAGTCGTACGCCTCGACGACGTACTCGACTGGTGCCGCGACGGCCGTGACCTCGATGCCCTGATCCGCCGCCGAGAGCGACGCCGTGATGCGCTCGCGCAGCTTCGGGTCGGCCGCGACTTGCTCCGCGCCGCCGAGCGCCTCGACCTCCTTCGCGAGGCGCGCGGCCTGGTCGTAGCTTTCGCTCACCAGTAGATTCGTGTCCACGGAGCACGCCTCGCAGGCAGAGTGCAACTTCGTCTGCAATGCCTCGAACGTGGCACTGTCAGAAAGCAGCATGGCGACGCATGTGCCTTCCCGTGCCAGCATGTGGCAGTGGGCCAGGGCTTCCTCCAGCGCTTCCCGGATTGAAGCGTTCTCGGTCAATTTCCCGTCGGCGGCGGCGCGCTGCAGCGCGCTTTCGACGCCGCGGACGACGCGCACGAAGCGCGCCGCGTCCTCCTTGAGCGCTGCGGCGTCCTGGGCCGCCTTGACCACGGCACCGATGAGGAAGGCGACGGGCGCGACCCAGGGCAGGTCCTTCGCGACGCCCAGCAGCCCCTCGCCGGCGAGGCCCACGGCCGGAGCGGCCGGGCGCTCGTCGAGCGACTTGCGAAGCTTGTTCCGCAGCACCTTCTGCTGCAGCTTGGAGACCGCCAGCTCCCCAAACAATTCGTCGAGATCTTCGTCCGACGCGTCCGCCAGAACCTCACCATCATACCCGTTCTCCTGCAGCTGCTTCGCGAGGTCCGCGAATTTCGGGCCCAGAGACTCAACGAGGTCCCGGACGCCGTCCGCGCTTAGTTCGCGGAGGGGCTGGCGCGGGGCTGAGGCGGCGGCTCCCATCCTTTGCGCTCGTCTATGTTGTTATCCCAGCGTTTTCCGATCCCGTAGAAGGGACGTGGTGCGCCTGCCCCCCTCAGTTGTGTATCCCTTGATAAGAGATAGCCTCACCACCAGGCTGCCCAACTCGTTGGAGCTTGGCAACGCATGCGCGTCGGTGGCGGACGGTCGACGGTCGTTGCGTCCGTTCGCACGCCCCCGGCGGAGGAGGAGGAAGAGGTGCAGCAAGCGCTGTCTCTGCCCAGAGCTGGGCTCGTTGGGCTCTGCGGGGATTTGGAAAGGCTCGACCGACCCATCGGACGTGTCCAATCAACGTAGTACGTCTCCTAAACGCATGGGTCCAATTTTTTCAAATTGCTAGTGTCTGTCTGCACTAGCTGAGCAGCGCCACGCGAGCGTTACGCCCGGTAACGTCGCAAAAACGCATCTGACACGCTGCTACTTGGCCATTGGTCCTGCGAACGACACCTCTTCGCAGCCCCCGCGTTACGGCGCCGCAGGACTCCATCTGGCCGAAACCACCACTTGTGCTTGCAAGCACCACGGTGGCCGTAGCGGCGCAGCGCTGCGCAGAACAAAGCCTCGGCTCCAACGACGCCGCCACGCAGCCGCACGGAACGAAAAGTCCATACTACCACGAAGCAAGCCATGTGCAACGGCCTCGAGACCGGGCAATGCATCAACGAGTGGTGCGCGGCCTGCGAGTGGCCCGCCGAGCGGCCGGCGCAGCTGCGCGAATGGTTGGATTGTGTGCGCGATTTGACGGTCGCCGACGACGCGGACATCGACCGCATCGCGGCCGCCGTCTCGACGTCGTTTTTGGGCAGGAAGGCCTTCAAGGAGCACGTGCGGGTGCTCGCGGCGCGCGTTGAACGGGGCGAGGGCCCCTACGACCGGCCTTCGTCGAAGCCGGCTGCGAAGAAGAAGCCGGCGCCGAAGCGGGCGCCGCCCAAGCGCAAGGCGCCGCCGCCCGAGGAGTCGTCGTCCTCCGAGTCCGAGGACGAGCGGCCGCCGCGGCGCGCGGCGTCGAGGAAGAAGGCGCCCGAGAACGAACGGCCGCGGCGCGCGGCGTCGAAGAAAAAGAAGGCACCCGCGCCCGCCAAGAAAAAGAAGAGCCCCGCTGCGCCGAAGAAGAGCCCCCTGGTCTACGCCGACGACGACCTGCTACTGCGGCCGACGTACGTCGCCAAGGCCGCGGCGGAAATGCAGGCAAGGCCCAAGAAGACGTCGGGACGGTGCGACCGGTGCGACGGCCTGCACCGGACCGAGGACTGCCCGCACTTCTCGAAGCCGCGCGAGGAGGTGGTGGTGGTGGCGGCCTCTTCCACCAGAGTCGCGGCGATTCGCACGGGCATGACGGGAGCGCTGGAGCAGGTGGTCATGGACGACGCGCCGGGACGGCCGCCCACATTACTCGGGAGTACGAAACGGGCGGAGGCCGAGGTGCGGATCGCGCCCAAGAGCTACCCCTTCGCCGACCGCGACACGGCGCTCCGCGTGGCGGCGAAGAACCCCAAGAAGCGCGGCTCGGCGTCCTGGGACCGCTACGAGCGGTACAAGTCCGCGAGGACCGTTGGGGAATTCTTGGACGCCGGCGGCACGTCGGGCGACCTGCGCCACGACTGGGCGCGCGGCTACGTCACGCAAGCGTCCGCGGCGCCGGGAGACGACACGGACGACGACTTCGACGAGCTCTACTCGGAGGTCGCCGCCGCCGCGCCGGCGCCGGCGCCTGCCGACGACTGGGGCTCCGCTTCATTTGGAATGTCGGCCGCGCCTCCGGCGGCTGCGGCTCCAGCGCCGGCGCCGGCCGCTGACGACGCAACTTTTTCCATTTCGTTGGGCATGAAAACGCCCGCGCCGGCCGCGACCGTGACGCCTCCGGCGCCGCCCTCTGCGCACCCACTCGCAGTGCCGGCGGCTCCCGCGGCCACAGCGAGCGTGGCCGGCGGGTCCGAGGAGGACTGGGGCACGGCGTCGTTCGGCATGAGCGCGCCCGCGCCGGCGGCACGCGTCGTGTCCGCGGAGGCGCCCGCCGCGGACGACGACTGGGGGACCGCAAGCTTCGGGATGTCGTCCGCAGCAGCAGCGCCAGCGCCCGCCGCCGCCGCGGGCGAGGACGAAAATTGGCAGACCGTCTGTCTATAATTAATTCACACACAGACTTAGTCACTCGGCGACCGCTCGACCGGGTCCAGCGCCACCAATAACAACGACGCGGAACACGCGTTCGCGATGTGCCAGAGGCCGTGGAAGAACCGCGCCGAGATGGGGCGTCGTATCTCGGCGCCCCGCGGTGGTCCGGCGGCTTCACGCCGTCGAGGCGACTCGTGTCCATCAGACGGGGTCGTGGCTGGTTTCTTTTTCGATTTTGAGGCGATTTTGGGGTCGTCGGCGGGCCTGGGCGGCGGCGCTTTTTGAACCTGGAGCGCGTCGAGGCGTTCCGGGGGAGCGGCGGCGTGCGACTGGAGGACGACGTACTAGTTCGGGCCGACGGCGTCGAGAACCTGTCGCTCTGTCCGCGGACGGTGGAGGAGATCCGATCGGTCAAAAACGGTGGAAGCTGGCCGCCCGCCTCCGACGCGTGTCCGGCGCTGCGGCGGGCGTGGTGCGCGCCGAACCCCACGGTGCCCGGGGGGCCGATGAAGCGCGTCCGCCTGCCTGACTCGTTGTGAACCTAAATTAAATTCTTGTGACTAACCACCTAGCAGAACTCTACCATGCCTTACGCGTCGGGAGTCTGTTGGGGCGGGAGGATAGTATGTACAAGGGAAGGGGGGAGGGGCGTCTGATTTTCTCTTGAGCGTATGTACAAGTGGGCAGCGATGGGGCGGTGGCAGAAGGGCTCTACCTCCGTTTGCAGTAGCAGGTCAGGCCCTGCACGTGCTTGAGCGCCAGTTTGCCCTTCTCCGATGCAGCCTCGCAGAACTTGCGGCAGACCTTGCGCGGAGACGCGTCGCGAACTGTCTTGTCCGACGAAAAGGTCTTGGTCCCGATGGTGCATAGATTTGGTGAGATGTAGTACGGGTGCGTCGTGCCGGCTTCGTAGACGATCGTGGGGCCCAGGGCGCATTGTTCCTGGACCGCATTCGCGATCGCCGCGATGGTGAGGCCCGTAAACGTGATCCCAATCGCCGCGAGTCCCGTTGACATGACGAGTTCCGTGGCCCCATCGTCGTCGTCGTCGTCGTCGTCGTAGTAGTAGTAGTAGCAGCCCCACGAATCGATGATTTGGCAGGCGCCGGTTTCGTCCTGTTGAGCGACGCCGCAAGACATTGAGCAGCACCCGCTGCCGGAGAACGCCTCGTCGAGGTATACATCGTTGTCGACGCACCAGCCGAGGTCCTGGTTGAAGGACGAGGCCCAGTGGAACATGTAGTGCATGTCCCTGACGTTCTCGACGCGCCAGCCGCCGATGTCCTGATTAAAGGACGAGGCGTGTCCGAACATCCAGTGCATATTGGTGACTTGTTCGACGCTCCAGCCGCCAATATTCTGATTGAACGACGAGGCGCCCCAGAACATCCCGTACATTCTCGTTACGCCAGAGGTATCCCACGCGCCGATGTCCTCGTTAAAGGACAAATTGTACTCGTGCGCAAACAGCTCCGACATGTCCGTCACCCCGGAAGTCTCCCACGTCGAGATGTGGCCGTACGTCGCCTCGGCGGTCGCCGCGTCCGAGGTCCACGCAGCCACCGCCGTTCTAATGCTACTGTCGTCCATGGCGTAGCCCGTGATCGGGCAGTTGTCCATTTGCACGACGCCGCACGACGTCGCCTCGCACGGGGTCTCGTCGAACGCGCCGTCCAGGCTCACGCCGTCGCCCACGCACCAGCCGAGGTCCTGGTCGAAGGCCGAGGCGCCGTAGAACATCCACTCCATGCTCGTGGCGCCAGAGAACATCCACTCCATGCCCGTGGCGCCAGACACATCCCACGCGCTGATGTCCTCGTTAAAAGACGCCGCGCCCGCATTGCACCTCCAATCGCTCAAGTCTGTGTCTGCGCAAAACAAATACGACATGTCCGTCACCTCCCCGGTCTGCCACGTAGAAATATGGCCGTACGTCGCCTCGGCGACCGCCGCATCCGAGAGCCACGCCGCGACGGCCCATCTAATTTTCCAGTTGACCATGACGTTGCCATCGCCCATGACATCGCAGTCGACTCCCCCCACGATGCCGCACGCCGTCGACTGGCACGGGGTGTCGTAGAACGCGCCTTCCAGGCCCACGGCGTCGCCCACGCACCAGCCGAGGTCCTGGTTCAAGGCTGATTGAAAGAACATGTAGTACATGTCCGTGACGCTGTGGACCGCCCAACCACTGAGATCCTGGTCGAAGGCCGAGGCGTAGCAGAACATAATGCCCATGCTCTCGACGTTGTCAACCGCCCAACCACCGATGTCTCGGTTAAAGGTCGGGGCACCGATGAACATCCCGAACATGTTCTTGACGCCGGAGGTGTCCCACGCGCCGATGTCCTCGTTGAAGGACGATGCGTCTTTGAACAATTCCGACATGTCCGTCACCCCTGAAGTCTCCCACGTCGAGATGTGGCCGTACGTCGCCTCGGCGGCGCTCTGGTCGGCAAACCAAGCCGCCACCGCCGTTCTAATGCTATCGTCGTCCATCACATAGCCCGTGATCGGGCAGTTGTCCATTTGCACGACGCTGCACGACGTCGACTCGCACTTGGTCTCGGAGAACGCGTCTTCCAGGCTCACGTCCTCGTCCACGCACCAGCCGAGGTCCTGGTCGAAGGCCGAGGCCCCGCGGAACATCTCAGCCATGTTAGTGACGCCAGAGGTGTCCCACGCGCCGATGTCCTGGTTAAACGACGAGGCTCCGTATAACATGGAGTTCATCGACGTGACGCCAGAGGTATCCCACGCGCCGATGTCCTGGTCGAAGGCCGACGCGTACCAGAACATCCCGGCCATCGTTGTGACGCCAGAGGTGTCCCACGCGCCAATGTCCTCGTTGAAGGACGAGTAGCTGAACAATCCCGACATGTCCGTCACCCCCGATGTCTCCCACGTCGAGATGTGGCCGTACGTCGCCTCGGCGGCGGACTGGTCGGCAAACCAAGCCGCCACCGCCGTTCTAATGCTATCGTCGTCCATCACATAGCCCGTGAGCGCGCGCCGCTGCGCGAGGCCTCCCGCCGACGCGCGCGGAGGGTTATCGGTCCTCGTCTTGGTTTTGGACTTGGTGTTGTCGTCGCTGCGGCCGCTGCGGCCGCGGACCGAAGTCTCCGCCGCCACGCGGGTGGCGTCCCCCCAAATAACCAGGTAGCCGACGACGGACGAGCGCCAGGCCGCGCCCTTCGCCGAGCTACTGCGCCGCGGAACCACCGAAGCGAGTACCTGGAAGAGGCACCAGGAGACCCGCCCAAGATAACTCTGGGCCGCTGCTTCTCCGTCGACGCCGCCCTTGGTCGCGTCCGGGGCCACGAACTGCATCGTGGTGCCGGGCGTAGGCGCCAGCTCGGCGGACGCGACGTCCAAGACGTCGACGCCGCCCTTGGTCGGGGCCGTCAACATCAATATGGTGCCGTCCGACCGGTAGTTCTTGTATTGCACGTCGCTGTCGACGGTCTGCTCGATGGCGTGGAGCGCGTGCGCCCCGCCCGCCTGGTACTTGTTCGCTACGAGCTCGGCCGTCGCCGCGCCTTTTATAGTCTCGGAGTCGAACGCGTCGCCCGCCCCGGAGCTTTTGTAGAGCTGGAGCCACGACTTCGTCGCAGCGTCGGCGCTCGCTAGGGCCCTCCTGGGGAAAGCGCCGTCGAGGCCGTTCTCGCCGGCTTGCGCGCCGCACGTGCTGCCGTTTCCGTAGGACGTGGTGATTTCATAGTCTCCAGCAAATGTCTCGATCCCCGCCTCGCTGTCGTCGTGCGCCGGGCTGGCGTGGCTCGAGCCGCCCTGGGGGCAGCTGCTCAGTTTGATACCGCCCCGCGCGGGCGCCCGCGGCGGCGCGGCGCTGCCCAAGCCCTGCAGCAGGGCGCCGGCGACCACGGCGAAGCTCAGCATCTCTCTAGGGTCCTTCTGTCCTCGCGGTCCCGGGCAGAGAAACACGTGCTGCGCAAAAGCAGATTCAAGAGGTACTATACTTATATGGGGGGGGGGTTGTAATTGTACCCAGGTACATGTGCCCTCCCCTTCACCTCGCCTTATGGGGCCTTATGGTAGACTACAATCACATAGCTTATCGGTTACTACTCCCCAAGGACGTCTGCGACCTGTGAGACCTGACTCAGACCTGTCGCCGCGCCGGCGGCACGATGCTGTTGGCAACCACTCAGGCGCGGTGCCACGTCGCACGCGTCGCGTCGATGGCGTAGGGGTGGGCGGTTCACGGCGCCCGACGCCGTCCGAGCGCTGCTCGACGCCACGACGTGGACTGCTCCCCCGCCGCGGCACCTACACGGCTCCGCGCGGCGGCTCCAGGCGCCCGGGACCGACCGCTCTTCGGCGCCGTTCGCAGGACCTGACCAGTAGCTCCGCGAAGACGCCGCCGTCTCGCCAAAAACGACTCACGAGTCATTCCCGGAGACGAGTCGCCTCGACCGGGTCCAACGCCGCGAGCAGCAGCGACGCGCTGGCGGCATTCGCGATGTGCCAACAGCCGTGGAAGAACCGCGCCGGGTCATTATGTTCGTCCAATCCCTTGACGAAGCAGACCACGGCGCAACACGAAGCTACCAAAGCCAGCCGGAAGGGCCGCGTCCGGAACCGCGCCGCGTGGCCCTTCGGCGCGCGCTTGTTCCACCACCAGAGGTAGTAGAGGAACGCGAGGATGACCGGCGTGATCGTGCACAAAACATTCCAGGGGTTCAGCTCCTGGAAGAACAGCCCGATGAAGAGCGACGACCACCTGACAAAGTCGATGTCCCGCTGGTGCTGCGGCGTGCGCGCCCTGCCCATGAGTAGAGGCACCACCGCCACCGGCGTGACGATGGCGAAGATGTTGTCGAGGCGGTGCCAGTTTCCCGCATTCATGCCCAGTAGTTTGATCCGAAAGACGTCGCAGTAGTGGTAGGCCGACGAGGTTATGATGAGTCCCAGACAGGCTGCCGTGTCCGCCGTCCGTCGCCGCGCGTGGAGCATCCTCAGCGGCAGCAAGAACAATAAATTCGTGGCGACGCCGTTCAGAAACTCGAGCACCGTGTCTCTGCTCCACTCTCTAGCCTCCTGCCGGTGGCCCACGAAGACTAAATCTTGGCGGCCGCAGAACGGATCGCCGAGCGCGGTCTCGGGGAACTCGGTCTTGCAGCAGAACCGCACGTTTTTGGCGCTGGCCGCGGCGGCGGCGAGGAGGGCTATTGTTGTGCGCATGGCTTGCGAGGTGCTGCCGTGCGCACAGGAGTGGTGCTGAGAGAGCTTGGCAGCCGTCGAACCAATCAACCAATTGAACCGGTTCGCAGCACGGCAGCAGCCGCGCAAAACCAGACCTAGCGCACACACAGACACACTAGCAAGCGAAAGCCTACCCACCGACATCGACGTACGCCCCCGTCGAGGAAGAAGACTGCCGGTCGTGCCGCAGCGTCGCCGGCGCGCGGCCGACGTCGTCGGGCAGCGCGAGCCCGAGGTGCGACTTCGCGACGAGGCCCGCCACGAAGAAGTGGTGCGTCGCGTGGTGCGCGGCGAAGGCGAGCTCCCGTCGTAGAGTTGATGGGAGCAAAGCGTCGTCGCCGGAGGCGTCGAGCGCGAAGGCGGCCAGCACTTCCGCGTCGAGGTCGACGCCGTCGCCGTCGACAATACCATTCAACAACTCCCGGCTCCGCGCCGCCAGGTACGCCGGGTCTCGTTCCAGTTCGGCGTCGCGCTCCCGGCCGTCGTAATTCAAAATTGGCGTGCGCGATCCGTTTCGCAGGCTCTCGACGGCGGTCGCGCAGCACTGGACGTGCTCGAGCGAGTGCCGGAGGTGGGCGCCGACGGACGCGCCGATCGCAGGGCACGCGTCCGCGAAGGCCGCGGCGCCGCACGAGTCGAGTACAGCTTCGGCTATGAGGCCGTGGCGCTCGAGACACGCCGAGAGGGCGGCGACTTCCGGTGTCGTGCTCCAGCCGGACAGCCGTCTCGTTCGCCACCGCTGTGGCGTCGCGAAGCGCTTCGCGGCTCGGTACATGATTGCTCGCAGGCTGGCGCTGGCACAATGGGCAGCTCAGCGCTCGAGGAGCCGGTCGAGGCGCCGTTTCTTGCCACGCTCGAGTAGGCACGACCACTGGAAGCTCACTGGCGAGCGCTGCGAGCTCCGGAGAAGGTAGAGGACTGCAGATTGCTTGCTTGCTTGCTAGGGATGCCTAGTGTGTTACTGGACGCTAGCTCTGGCCGCGGCTCGCGCCTTCAACATCGCCGCGATTGCCCAAGTTAGTCTGAAGTTGCAATAGGCCCACGGCTGCCACCGTGCCGCCCGCCTGCAACCGCTTGTAGCGCTTGGCATCTCTGACCGTAGTACTCAAAGTAGGCACCGACCACGTGCAAGCCGCGTCGCCGAGCCTGCGAGCCTGCGCGGTCGGAACGATGGCATGCATGCACCTGCTCGCGCTCGCGGCCGCGGCGACGGCGCGCCGCGTCCCGGCAAGAGGCGGCTTCGTCGCCGCCGCGCCGCGCGTCCGGACGACGCCGCTCCGGCGACCGCGGACCACGAAGGCCGTCGCGCTTGCGGCCATACCGACTATTGCACTCTACGAGAGCAGTGCTCAACTCATAAACGACGCGGGCTGCACCGCGGGCGCCGCGGCGGGCGCCGTGGCCTGGATCAAGGTCTGGACGACTCTGGCGGAGCGAGGTGTCATTGATGCTAAATTAGCGCGAAAAATCGTGCACTGCGGGAGCGGTCCTTTGTACTTGTTGGTGTGGCGGTTCTACTCCGATGCAGCTTTAGCTCGCGTAATCGCAGCTCTGGTGCCCGCACTAAATATCGTCAAACTGCAGAAGGCAGCCCAGGACGACAACGAGCTCTCGCGGGCGATTTCTAGGTCCGGCGACCCGTCGGAAGTGCTCGGCGGGCCCTACGTTTATACGTGGGTCCTGTTATTGGCGGCGTTGCTCGCGTTCCGGACACCGGCCGCCATCGTCGCCGTCGCTCAAATGGCCGTGGGCGACGGCTTGGCAGATATAATAGGGAGGCGCTTTGGGCGACAGAAGTGGTTCTGCAACCCCGAGAAGAGTTACGCCGGCTCTTTGGCCTTTGTCCTCGGCGCGACGGTCGCGTCAATGGGTTTACTGCGATGGCTCGCGTTCCCGGCGCCCCTCGCACCTCTCGTCGCGATATCGGTCATCTGCGCCTTGGTCGAGGTCCTCCTCACGGACGTCGACGACAACGTCTCCGTGCCCCTCGTCGGCGCGTTACTAGCGCTAACTCTTAGGTAACACGACTAGCCTAGATCATATCACACCCGTCGCCTGAAACCCCAATATCATGATGAAGGGCAGGAAGATGGAGCCGAGGCCGAGCAGCACCAGCGGGTCCTTGAGCTTCTCCTCGGGGGCCATGGACTCGAAGTCGCTCGCGAAGAACTCCTCGGGCTCGTTCGCCGCCGTGAGGGGCCTGCGGAGTGGCGCGCGTCGACGGCGTCTTGGGTCGGCGCGCGCGAGACGTCGACCGAGCGTCCGGACGCGGGCCCGCGCTTCTGGTCCGGGTCCTGCTGGAAGACTTGGCGCCTCACATCGGTGCGGAGTGATCGTGCCGCGGGCGCGAAGGCGTCGACCGAGACCTGCGCGCACATACCGCTCAACGAACGCCCTCCTCGGCGGCGGCGCGACCGAGGGCTCCTCGCAGCGGAGCCTCGACGTCGTGGGAGCAGAGCGTCGGCTCGTCCGTCAGAGAGAGCGCGCCAGGCGGTTTTTGGTCCAGGGGAAGCGCTGCGTCGCGAGCGGGAGGCGGCACATCGATTCCACGCTGGGTTTCACAATCGCTGCGGCTGCTAAGACCGCCGTCTTCATCATTGTGACGGCTCGCGGCTGTTTCTCAAAGGCAGAGCCAAGCTCTGCGTCGATGCTGGCTCGAGGCTCGTACTTGAGCTCGCCGCAGAGCGCTCCAATCGATCAGAGCCGCCATCGGGGCTGCTGCACGACACGCCCAGGCCTCGCACGCCAGCTCTGAACCGGCACCGCGCGCGCGACGCCGCCCTTTGACAGACAGCAACAACAGCTCTCACTGCAGTCCATACGCCGCGACCGCAAGAATGGGCAAGAAGAACCGCAAGAAGCAGGACGACGGCGACTACTTTGCCAGTCTAGGCGCGCCGACCGAGAACGCCGTCGACGACGCCGCCGCGGAGAAGGCCGAGGAAGAAAGGCTTGAACGGCAGCGCAAGGCCGCCGCCCAGCGCGAGGCCAAGAAGCAGAAGGAGGCGCAGGAACGCGCCGAGCGGGCCGCCGTCGCCGAGCGCGCGCGGTTGGCGATGGAGCGAAGGAACAACAAAGGGAGGGCCGTCGCCGTCGAGGAGGCCGAGGAGGAAGAAGCCGTCGAAGAACCGGCGCCGGCGCCCCAGCCCACGGCGGCGGAGGAGGCCGCGCCGCCGCCGCCGCCGCCCCTGTCAAGCTTCGCCCGGGTCTTGCTGTTTTTGAGACCGTTCTCGCCAGTGCATAAATCAAATTGTCGCGCGCTTCTCGCCACTGCTGAATCATGACCTGCTCGATCGACTCACTGGTTGATTTATGCACAGGTTCTCGCCCGACGCCGGCGCCGTGAGTGGAGTAGGTAAGGTCTGGCGCCTCCTGTGGCTCGTATTATCGACCTTCGCCTCCCCTGCGACAATCGAGGACGTCGACGCGCATTTAAGGACCTCGAACAGCGCGGCCGCTGAAAAGATAGACGCCGAGGACGAACGCAAGCGGACGACCATGTTGTTCTGCCCGGACACGGGCAAGTGGTTCCCGCGCAACACAAAAGTGTGGTCCTTGGCTTCTTTACGAAGGACGGACACGACTATAGAAAGGTGGGTCAAGAACCTCAAGACCAAGGGGAAGAGCGAGCAGTGGACGCGCGTTCGTGATGGAGACGGCTGGGCGTCGTGCCCGTCCAAGCTCGGCGTCGCCGACGAGGATTTAGGTGATAGCGACGTGCAATTTTACGCGTGTCTGGACCAGAAAGTTTTCGAGTGCTCGGACTGGGTCGCGTCGCACGTCTGCACGCGGGCCGCGGCGCGCGAGCTCGGCTGCGTCGACGGGCCGAGAACACTGTTCAGAGTTGTGGTCGACGATGTGCAAGGAGCGGTCGCGACGCTCGACAAAAAAGCGTCCGCGGCGCTGCACGCCAAGGCCGGCGTCTCCACCAAGAAGCAGCCCAAGGAAAAGCTATCTCGTGCAGAAAAGAAGGTGCGAGTCGGCGTCCGTTGATGCGGCGATGGCGTGAAGCGGGACTGGCGCGTCGATGGCGTCGAGGCTCGACGGCGCCGCGACCCGCCGTCGACGCGCGCTCGCGTCGCCCCGCCGCCGCGACGCTTCGATGCGAGAGAGTCCACGCGCCGCGGTCGCGCGACGCCGCGCCCCCGCGCAGGCCAAGAAGAAGGCGTACGGGCGCTAGGCGAGTAAGGCCGAAGGCGGGTAGAATAAACTAGTCTCACAACACACGAACTACTCCTCCACATCCGGCGCCACGAACCCGTCGCTCGCGGGCGCCTCCTCGTCGGCCGTCGCGACCGTGGCGCCCTCGTCGGCCGCCTGTTCGGCCTCGCCGGCCGCATCATCGGCCGCGGGCGCGTCGTCCGCGGGCGTCTCCTCCGTCGCCACCGTGACGGACTCGTGGGCCGACTCGACCGCCTCATCGGCCTCGTCGGCCGCCTCGTCGACAGCTGGCGTTGCGGGCCGCGACGGCGCCGACGCCGCCGTGGCAGGACGTTCCTCGACGGGGAACGGCGGCGCCTCGGCCTCCGGCGGCGCCTCCTTCGTCTCCTCGAAAGCTAAAGCGCGCAGCGACTTTTTTTCTGGAGACCGGCCCGCGGCCAAGCCGCCTAAACCACCAAACAGCGACGACCGCAATCTAGATTGCTTCCACCTCTTCTGACCCCGTAAAGCTTTCAGTCGCTTCTCCTCCCGCCAGTCCTCGGGAGGGGCAAAATTCGCGTCCCACAAATGGGGCAAGTTGTGGAACAGCCACCAGCACAACCGATACGTAAAGAACGCGGGTATGAACATGACGTAGAGGTAGCCCTCCAGGAGTACTGGAGGGGCACTCTCCTCATTGCCTTCCCGCGCACCATGTAACACTCCCAACGGCCCGTCGTCATCTGTCTGGGACCCGGCGAAGGACACCCACCGCCCCCGCGGGTCGTGGGCGCACCATAAACTGATGAGGATCAAGAATAATAGTAGAGGTGCGGCGCCGACCATGGTCAAGTACGCGTACATGGGTTTGACCGTCGATGCCACCGACGCCACCGCGACGAGAAAGCCCACAAAGCTCAAAATGAGCGCGGCGAGGAAGGCGCCGCCCGTTGTACCAGCTGTGGGGCCGTTCAGCGCGACGCAGCAGAAGATGAGTAAAAATAAAGGTGCCGACAGATAGAACATCGCTATTTTGATGATTAAGCAAGGCCCCGCTTCCCTGCCATCTCGCAAATACAGCAAAAGCATCTGCAATAGTATAGCGACGACCCAGATCAACGCTATGAGCAACAAAGGCAATAAGATGACCGTCGCGGCGGCCTCCCACCACGCATCGCCGTTTATGGTTGGATTGGAAGCAAACAAGCAGAGCCAGGCCGGTTCCACGACTAAGAATATCAAAAATGAGCCAGATACAATTTGTTGCAGGCCCGTAATCGGCGGTTGGATGCGATACCTGATTTTGGATTTCGGCACGGCGTCGGCCTCCTCGCCGTTGTGAAATCTGATGACGTAACTACCATTGCTATTATACTTGGTCACAGTAGCGGGGTACCACGTCGGCATGTGCTCGAAGCTTTCGACCTCGTCGCCGACGCAGTACCGTTCGCCCTCTTCGAGCATCCTGTGTGGAACGGACGCTGTCGCGGCTTTCTCACGAGACACATAGACTCTCATGCGGCCACGTCGACGGCGTCGAGGCGACGCGGTCTCATGAAGACGCCATCGCCGCGACCACGTCAAGTTCAAGTGCATTTTTCACGCTGAGTCACTGACCTCCGGTCCGGCACCGGCTTGAATTTCTTCACTTTCTTCTTGAAGGACCAATCATTAAAGAGCATTCCATCAACATCCTTCACTTGGGGCGAGAAGGCTGCTACTACGCCGTTCCAGCACGCTCGCAGCTTGTCGCAGACGTACTTGATCGGACCTAATCGTCGATTCACCGCTTCTTGCGCTTCCATCATCCTTCTGACATACGCGGCGGCGTCGTCGGAGTCGTCCGTGCCCGCCGATCCAGGTCGCTCGTCCTGCGACGGCCTCTCGCTCTGCTTGCCCTCGACGAGGACACTACCCAACGCCGCCCGCTCCGTATCCGTGTTCAGCGTGGCGTTCATCGAGTCCAGCGTTTCGTCGTCCGTCGACGCGATTGATGAGGAGAACATCGACAGCGCGTTGGTCTTCGCGAGAATGTTCGCAGGACTCCCGGCCGGCGCGAGGCGCCCCTGCGCGATCGCCAATTTACGCGCGTCCTCCTTCTTCTTCTGGAGCATGAGGAGGCGCTCCTCCTCCTTTTCTTTGTCGCGCGCGGCGCGCGCCGCCGCGAGCAACGTAAAGGCTCGCAGGGCGTCGCCTTCCGGCTCGTGGAAAGACGCAGCGTTCGACGGTCGTATGCGGTAGTCGATGGGCGTCTGGCAGACCGTGCACGTCGGCCTATACCGCTCCGTTCGGAACGTCGCGCGGATGCGGTCGTCGCCGGCCGCCTTGCGCCGGATTCGATGCACGATGATGTCGCACCTTTCGTCGTACTTGACCTGGAGCGGGGCCTTGTTCCGTCTGCCACAAGCGACGCAGCGCCACTCGACCTTCTCGCCCTCCATGCTTTCCAGCGACGCGCGCATCTCCTCGGCGCGGCGCACGGCCTCCTCCTCTAAATCCTCGATGCTCTTGCGCTGTCTTGCTGCTGCTAGTAAAGGGTCTTCGTTCTCGACGACTTGTGGAGCCGCACCGGGCGCCGGGGCTTCTTCACAATCTATGGGTGCTTCGACGGGAGTTATTTTCGCCGGGGGGTTCTTCATCCTCTCGACCAGTGATTTTCCACCGGCCTTGATCGATTGATAGAGCTTGACGGCCGCCTCGTGGAATTCTTTTGGGACGCTCGGTCGCTGCGCGAGCATCTTCAGGCATAGCACGAAAAACGCCGACCAGTACCTTCGTTCGTCCCGCATCGATTTCAGGTAAGAGAACGACGTGAACCGCAGGAACACGGCGCCGATGATCGGTGGTATGGTACAGGCGACCATGAACAGTAACGGCGGCCACAGCACCTGGCACTCCTTCGGGTCCCCTGCTCCTGCCGAAGCCGTATATTCATATTCCGACTTCTCGGATTTCGTGAAATGCCACACTCTGCCATCTTCCCCTCGCCTATGGTGGGGGCCCGCCGCGCAGCCCAGGCCGAAGTCGTCCTCCATGGCCGCCGGTAATAGTACCTGTGTGGCAATCAACCAGTGTGTGTCGGGCGCACCCGACAATTCTTCACCAAGTCCTTTCTCGGCGACGACGCGGCCGTGCTGGCTCCGTCGAGCGGTGAGGAACGAGCACCATCACGCTATCGAGCAGGCGTCGCGCCGATGGCGTGGGGGTCGACGCGACGATGCAGCACGAACGCGCCGTGAAATTTTGATTTCCACTCAGAATAGTACAAGGACCCAGCCGAGATTGAACAGGTACATGCGGTCCCACCACCGGCCACCGCAGACGCGCAGTACTCTCAGGCGGAACGCCTCGGTAACCGTTTTGGGCTTCGTGAGGCGGTTGTCGGATTCCTCGAACAAGGCATCAAAATTCCTGGGAGCCGTTTCCCGGGGGTCGCCGACCACGTTTTGGACAGTAAATTGGCGTCGCCGCTCTTCCCGCGTCAGTCTTCGACGGTTCAGCATGCCTCTAGGATTATCAGCATAGCGCGACCAATCGGTAGGGTCGTCCCTTCGATATTTCTTGACGTACGCACTCCCCAGAATATCCTCGTCCTTCCGGCCGTGAATCACAAGTTTTTCCTTCTTCTCGGGCTCGTTCTTCTTCTTCTTCAGCTTGTTCTTGTTGTCCTCCGCATTGGCGTCGGCGCCGGCGTCGGCCGCCGGTGCGTCGCCCATCACTTGTTCTGGCCGGCGGGCGGGCTTCGTTCGTTGGGGGCCGCCGGTCTACCGGTGTGCGCGTTACGCGAGGCCGCGCCCGCGGTCCCAAGGCCTGCTGCCCAGCACTCTGGGGGCTGCCTGCTCTCCTCGGCGCGGCCGCTGCCCGAACTGGGGCAGCGTCCCGAGGCCACGCGTGCGGCCTCAGCGCCTGCGATGCGAGGCTGCCGAACGCCCCGACGGCGCCGCTGTGCGAGCTTTGCGCCGCGCTGATCGTCGTTGGCTCGTACCCCGTACCTTTAAACCCTGGGCTATCGGCTCAACTCGTGGCTTGCCGAGCTCTCTCCGAGGTCTTGTCCACCGGGATCGGACGCGTCGGGAACGACTGTGCTAGAGTCTTTTAGCTAGCTGCAGCCTAAGTATTGCTCGAGCAATTGACGCATTGCACGGTTTTGAGGTGGGGCTTGGTGTCGGCAGGGACTCTAGTGCTGTGGATATCGCGATACCTGCCGAAATCAGAGCTCTTCGAGGGCGTTTACCAAGGCCTTACTACGGAGAGCCTCACAGCCCATCTGCCTGCATGCGGCGCATACGTGCCGCATACGCCACACGCCTCGCATACGTGCTACATTGGCGTTGCATAGCTCACTGCTGCTAATAAGCCAATTACATAAATGGCTCAGGCTCACACCGCGTCTGGCATCGACGCTGTGCTGGCGCGCTGCTCGGCGGCCCACCGCGAGGCGCTGGAAGAGACCTCGTCGGCCGCCGTCGCCGCGTCCCAGGACGCGGCCCGAAAACACGAGCGCAGCCAGCGCGTCGCCATCGCGCGCTGCCTCCGCCGGCTCGGCTGTCAAGTCGACTCGGCCGGCGACGAGGCGGTCGAGCTCGTGGCCGTCGCGTCGACGTCGTACGGGGCGACGAACGCCATGCCCCGGGCGCCGCCGCCGCCCGTCGCTGCGGCTTCGACGGCGCCGAAGCCCGGGCGACGGCGTGGCTAGGAGTATTAGGGACACATGTTGTTACAGCGGATCGCAACGCCATCGATGCTAGGTCTTCAGTTGAACGGAGAAGCTGCACGCCGGCGCCTGCGCGTTGGCGGTCACCGCGGCCTCCAAACCGAGGTTCGCCAGCGCGCCCCGCAAGACCCCACACGCGTACCTCAGCAATTTCTCCTCGTAGGCCGCCTTCGCCTCGAGGTCCGCGCAGGACACCCGCGACAGCCACCGGAACTGAAAGTCTTTCAAAACAAAAACGCCCCGGTGATTTGTTTGCAGCTTATCAACCTGCTTCCCGAACATGCCGAACCAGAGCTCCTTGCAGAGGAACTTCATCACTTCCAGCGGGTCCGTGCCTAGGCGTCTCTCAGACATCTGCTCGACGAAGCGGTACCCAGTGTCGTACCCTTGCTTCTCCTGATTCGTCGAGCGCTGCACGGTCTCCGCGACGATCAGCGACAGGACGCACTCAGCCATTGCGCTTGATCAGGTCGGCGTACTTTTCCTTCTGCTTCGCCTCGAGGCCTGCGCGAGACGCGGTGACGGCGCGTTCCCGGGTCGCGTCGATGGCGTGCGGGCGACGCGAAGTCAGACGCCGTTGACAGTACCTCGCTCGACCGCCTCCGGTTTTTCGCTCGAGAAGTAGTCGTGTCCCGCGCGCGTCTTCTTGTACAGGACAGGAGCGCAGCCGATGCCTAGCACGAGGCAGACGCCCGTGAAGACCCGCACGCCGTGGCCGCCCGGGACCTTTTGCAATATGGTATATATCATGCGCTGGCGTGTGCAGCGCTCACGCGTCGGATGCGTGCAAGCGCTCGCACCGGCGGCAATAGATGGCGTGCGAGAGTCGCGCTAAACGCACGCGTAGCGATGCGTGTTTGCCGCAAGACACGGACGCGAGCTGGCCCAGGGCAAAACTAGTGTCTTGCTACGCTAGCTAAACCGTTTAAAAAATCCCGACAGCTCCGAAAAGAGCCGTCGGCCGGCCCACCGCTCCGCGCCCGAGCCCTCTCACAGGCCGCGCGTCGCCGCCCCAGCGCTCTCACTGCAGGCAAGCAAGTTCCAGCTGGCTCTGTTAAAGCGGCGCTCTCCCGAGGCCAGCGCTCGCCCGCGGGCTGCCCGCGCGCCGCTACCACGGCAACGAACGCACGCACGAGTCGTGGGGCGCACGCCATGCGCCGTTGCGGCGCCGCTGCCATGCTGTGGGCAGCCCGCCTCTGCGCCATCGCATCAGCAAGCGACGAAGTAGCCCGCTCCCTCACCCAATTGCAGTCGCGCGACGGCCGGCAACAAACGCAAGCCGCGCGTCGACTCCAGGACCTGTCCTACGAGGACCCGAGGGCCGCCGCGAGAATACTCGAGGAAGGAGCAGCCCCACATCTCGTGGAAGTGCTGACGAACGGCGCCTCCTTGCAAGCAAAGGTCGCCGCCGCCGGCGCGTTGGTGGACGTGGGCGGCCACGGCACTTCTTTGAGACTCGAAGTTACAAGGGCAGGTGCGGTCGAACCGGCCATCGCATTACTCGACCGCGACGACGACGCCGCGCGGGAAGTAGCTGCAGGATTACTGGTCGTGGCGGCGCCCGTGGCGCGGGCGGCGGTCGTCGTGCCCCTCGTAAAAATGGTCGGAGATACCTCTACAAAAGCATCGCAAATACGAGCCGGCAACGCGGCCTGGGCGTTATCTAGGTTGGCCGACCTGCCCGGCCTGCCGCTGTCGATGGCGCGGGCCGGGGCCGGCGAAGCGCTGAAGAACGCGCTCGGCGCGCCTCGGGCGCGGCGACGCGCCGCGGACGCCGTCACCGCACTGGCAGCTGATGAAGGTGTAGCGCGCGAACTGAGCGACGCGGGCTGCGGCGCGGCGTTAGCCCGAGCTTTAGAAAGGACGTCTGCTACTTCCGACGACATGTTCTCTCTTGTGAGTGCGCTCGCGGCGCTGGCCGAGGCCGACCCCCGCGACGCGCTGAACGAGGAGAAGCCGCCCCTAGCTGCATTAGTACGGGTCCTAGATCGGGGCCACGCCGAGTCGAAAAGGGAGGCCACGCGCGCGCTGTACGCGCTCGCGACGGATTCCGCGGAAGTCCGGGAACGCCTATTGTTCCACCACGACGCCGTGCTGCCGCTCGAAAGGCTGCTCGACGCGAGCGACGCGAAGGCAAGAGTATTAGCGGCGGCGGCGTTGCGCGTGCTCGGCGCGCCGCCGCCGGCACCTCCACCACCTTCCGAAGAAGAACCGATCCGACGCAAGAGGCGCCCGTCGTTCGTCGTTGTGGTTTTAGTGTTGGCCCTCGGCTTAGTCCTGAAGGGCAAGCAGCGAAGACGGCGGCCCGCGGCGAAGAAAACAGTAGTGAGGGACAAAGGCCACGAGGACATGCGCGCCGCGATGATTCGGGTGCGGGAGCTGACGGCGGAACGCGACGAGTTCAAGGCCAAAGCTGAAAAGGCGGAGGCGCGTCTGCGGAGTCGAGAAGAGGAGCTCCGGGCCGAGCTCGCGGAGCTCCGCGAGGCTCAAAGAGCTGACGCGGCGAGCCTCGCGCGATCGCTCGCGTCGAGGGCCCGTGAGCGAAAAGAGGCGGAACGCCGCTTCGAGATCGAACGCGACGCCGCGGCTGCGGCTTCGGCCGCAAACGCCGCGCGCGCGGCCGACCGCCAGCGCCACGGCCTCGCCCTGGCCCGCGAGCGCGACGCGGCCCTTCGGCAGCTGGCGGTGGTTCGGGCCGAGCTCGACGCGGCCAAGTCGTCGGCGAAGCGCGGGCTCTTTTCGTCCGAGGACGATCCCGTGCTGCCGATGGCTGCCGGGGGGTCGCTGCGAATTCGTTAATTTTTTACTCCTTTTGGCCTTAGTGCTTGCGGGGAGTTGTTGGGGCGGGATGGATTGGGGTAGGGCATGCTTGTGAGCGTGGGTAGTGTCGCTCGGTGAGACCGTTGGCAATCAGGCGCGGTCGCAGACTGCGGTCGCGATGTCCGTGTACTTCGTGTAGTAATCGCCGGCGCCCCGGCTGCAGCGGCCACTGAAACCCACCGTCTGCATGCCAGGGTTCGCCGAGCTTGTCGTGGCGCAGCCACACCAGGTGAGCGCCGGTTCGAGGTTCGATTTCAGGATTGTCGTGACCGGGTAGGTACCCGGGCGAGGGGGATTCCACTCATCGTCGTCGGCCTCGTAGGGATTTTGGCATTCGCCATCCACTTCGTTGATGCAGTTACCCCAATCCCGTACGCACCAGTAGTTAGGGACCGTAGTGAGCCACGAGGGAAAAATGGATTGCGTGCCTCTCTCCATGCAGCACGACTGGGTATATCCGATCGCCTCGCGGATGCGTTCGTTGATGTCGGAGACCGAATTGGCGCGTTCGTCGTCTTCGTCCGTCATCACCTGCCAAACGAAGCTCGTCGGCACCGCCGCGGACCTTGAATTTTCAAGTTCCCTTATGATGTTTTCAAGTTCCCTTATATTGTTGTAGCACATTGCGAGCTCGTAGCAGTTGTCCGCGCTGCACACGTCGGATCCAATGTCGAGTTCCATTGCGGCCTGGGAAGACCTCGTCGACGCGTACGCGACGCCGCTCGCGAAGCACAGCGCGACCAGCGCGGCGGCGACGCCGCGGCGCTTGGGATGCGCGTTGGCCTTGGGTAAGAGCAGGCCGCTCTCGTCCGCGAGAACTTGCGTTGAGGAGTAGTTCATGTTGCCTGCGACGGGCGCGGGCGTCGCGTTCTCGCGCTGTTTGTGGCGACGAGGTCCCGGGTCGTATTGTTGTTTTGCGTGATGTTCGATTATGGTTGTCGCGTCGCGTTGGTCGCGTCGGGCGCCCTGGCGGCGCAGCGCGCGGAGCGTATAGCTTTTGAGCTCTGGCAGAGTCGAGCAGTGATAAATCGACGTCGCGCGGCGCAATACCCGAAATTGATTTACGCTGAGTGTCGACGATATACAACGAGCTTGGCGCGGGAGTTTAGGGCGAGTGCGACTCGCTGTCGTCGAGACTGGCTTGTCTCTTGTTTTGGTGGGCTCCTGGGAATTCACCTCAGGTAACAAACACCACTTACAAAAGACTACTCGTGCCGATACTTGCACGCACTCCCCCACGTACACCTCCCCTTCAGGTGCGCGCGGCACACGAGCGTCGACGGCGGCGGTCGCGCCCGGGGCACGATCGTATGGTCCACCTTCCACCCCTCGGGCAGATGGGAAGGCTGCAGACTGTCCACGAAGCACCTCCTCCACGCGACCTCGAATTCTAAAATTTTCGCCGCAAGGTCGCCCTTCGCCTCGCGCGTAATTCGCCGCAGGCACCGCGCTTCCAGGGAATCGTCGTCGACCGACACTTTCGAGCGGACCTTGGCCGGCGGCTTAAGCGCAGCAACATCCTCGACGGCCCGGCCTGGATACGCCGCGGCGACGATCTCCCTCAGATACTCGCGCCGGTCGGCCGGGATCCGTCCCTGGTCGCGGACGAGCGTCTTCGCGGCCCCAAGCGCCCGCAGCCGCAAGGCCGCCTCCTGATCTACTGCCGGCGCCGGCGCCGGCCCGAGCGACGCCTCGAGCGCGCGGCTCCGCAACCGATAGGCCGGCTCGACGACGTCGCGGCACCGCAAACAGAGCGCGACGACGTCGTGCGACGCGTGCTGCTTGAAGGCCTCGGGGAAGCAGCGGCGAAACCGATACGGGACGACGTAGAACCGCGTCAGGTGCTGCTCATTCCCGCAGCCGACGCACTCGTTTTTACGAGGAGACGTAATGCAGCGGTCGTCGTCCACAATTTCAGGGTCGTAGTCGAGGACGACGCGCCCTTGGTCGTCCCGTGCCCCCAGCCCGCGGTCGCAGTACCAGTCCGCCTTGCCCTTGGCCACGAGGCCGAGGAGCCGCCCGCTTTTCGACACCAACGGAATATTGTCGTAGTGGTGGCTCTTGGCGTGCTCCGCGTGCCAGGCCTCGTAGCGGCGGCGGCGCGCCTGCTTGTGGAGGGCGCGCGCGTCGTTTTGTGTTGTTGCTGAGGGTTTCGGCCGCGGCTTCGCCGCTGCAGCAACGACGGGCGCCGCGCGGAGCCACTCGCCCAGAGGCGCGCTCCCGCAGAGGCCGACCGCCACTTTGTAAGATGCGATGGCGTCGCCGGCGGCGTATTCTATTTGAGAAGGCGTCAACGGGTCAGCAGACCAGTCGCTCCGCCGGACGCTCGCGTCGCGTTTGTGCGGCAGCGAACACGACGGCGCGAACTCGGCCGCGAGCGACGCCAGACCCGCGTCGCGTTGATTCGCGAGCGTCCTCAAGTCAACCTGCCGCACGCACGCACACCCGACGTCGCGCAGGATAAGTTGGCAGTCCTCGCGGATGCCGACGCCGACGCAGATGGAACGCTTCAGTCGTAGCGTCGTGCGCGGCGGCAGGCACGTCGCAGAGCCTACTCTGATGACGACGCAGGCATCCTTCGATGCGATCTGCAGCACGGCGCAGCGCGGTTTTCGTTGCGACGGCCACTCGACGTCGACGCCCAAGACGTCGCCCTCGAGCCGGTCGATGACGTCGTCCGCATCTTTCGCGTCGACGACGTAGACGTCGCAGCCGTCGACGCGACAGACTGGCCGTCGTTTTTTCTTCCATCGACGCAGCCATAGGTACAGCGCGCCGACGGCCGCCCCGGTGCCGAGGTGGGCGGTGGTCACACGCATCGTTTTGTCGCCGCTGCGCTAGGTTGTGGTCAAGCGCCTCGCGTCTCACGCATGGTCATGTATCACCGGAGCACGAATATGGAATATTATAGCTCAGCTAGACGGCTGCGCGTCGCACTGCACAGAGAGCAAGCTGCACTGAGCGTGAGAGCAGTGCAATAAAAATCGCCGTGCGCGGCCAGGCTAGCGGCAGCGATTGAAAGCACAGTCTCGGCATGCGCCGGAACGCGATGCTTGCGCGTCTGGTCCTTGCGCACGCCGTCGCGGCGGTGGCAGCGCTCTGTCCAACAACACCATTGCATGCCAAGTTTCGAGCGCCGCGCATCATCCGTACTGCGGCCGGTGAAGACGAGGACGACCTGGCCGCGCTCGACGCAGCCGCGAAGGCGGCACAGTCGAGCGCCGACGCCCAAAACGCGGACGCGGCCGCCGCGCCGCCGTTAGGCGACGACGACCCGTTCTGGGCCGCCGTCGCGGACGCGAGGATCGTCGAGGGCGGCGGCGCGAGTTATAATAGAGGTCGCGTCGTCGACGCGTCGAGGGCGGACGCGGAGGCCGCGCGGGCGCGGGGCGTCGTCGACTTGGTGCGGGCTGGCGAGCTCCGATGGGCCCAGGACGCGGACCGCGTCGCCCTGTTCCTGCCCGTCTCGGAAGAAACGAAGGCTCGATCCATCGACGTCGACGTGACGCCGCGCGCGCTGTCGCTGTCCGTGGACGGCGCCCCGATCCTGGAGCGGGCGCCGCTGCGCCACGGCGTCGACGGCGAGGGTTCGTCCTGGACCCTCGAGGACGTCGCGTCGCGGTGTCTGGTGTTGGAACTGCCAAAATTAGACGACGCCATCGTCTGGGCGTCGCTGCTCGACGGGCGGTCGCGGGAGGAGATCGAGGACGAGCTGGCGATGCAGTTCGGGCGGGAGATGGAGGAGTAAATTAGTCTGTGTGGTCCTTACGCGCTCGTCGATGGCGCCTCGCGGGCGCAGAGCGCGGCTCGGGCGTCTCGTAGGGACTTTTCAATCCCTTCCGTGACCGGATGCGCTCCGCCGAGCACGCGCCGCGCGGTTCGTGCTGCCTCCTCTAGCGTTTCCACGGCCTCGCGGAGATCGCCGAGCGTGGCGTTGTCGTCCCGGAAGAGCGTCTCCGCGTAACTCCACCTCATCTTGAACGTGAGGTCGTTATCCTCTCCAAGAACGCGTCGTATCACGGGTATTGTTCTGCGCAGCAGTGGCTTGGCTTCTCCGAAGCGCTTCAGCAAACGAAGGGACTCCGCGTAGTTGTTGGCTGCTAGGATGGTCGATCTATGTTCTTCTCCGTAGAGCTTCAAATTTCCAGAGTATATTTCCTGCCGCATAATTAAAGAATCCTCGTTCCGTCCAAGTTCTAGATACGAGTTCGCAAGATTACACTGCGCTGCGAGGATGTACTCTTCTGATGCGCCGACACGCCGCATCATAGACAAAGTAGCCTCCCGCACGGACAACGCGTCCTCGTAGTTTTCTACCTGGGATAAACCGGTCCCGAGCATGCTCATCGCCATGATCCGCCTGTGCTCCTCCGGCCGGCCCACGTACGTCTTCCAGCACGCCCACCCGAGCGCACACGCCACGACGCCGTGGTACCATTGCTCGCACAGGCTGCACGCGTACCACCGCGCCCACCTCTCATCAAACGTCTTGTTGCCCAAATTGTTCTCTTCCGCCTCCGCGACCAAAATCTTCGCCTGCTCCGCCAGACAAGAAACATGCGCGAACCCCGCCGTCCCGCGGCACGCACACATGCGCACGAGGCCCTCCTTCGTCTTCCAATGCAGGGCCTGCGTGCAGATGTAGCACGTCTGACCTTTTGTGTCCGCCGCGCATTTCTCGACCGCGACCGCGACGGCCTCCTTGTATTTTTTGTCGGCATTATACTGTTCTGCGTTGCCGCCGCGGTGTATTTTCTTACACATCTGCTTGTGGCCGCGGCGCCAGTGGTCATGTTGGCACGTCGAGTCACAATACCTGACCATTTTTCCAAAAGCACAAAATTCGGGTTGCCATGGCCAACGCGCTCTCACCCACCAGCCCCTCCCCAACCCCGCGCGCGCAGGACCAGGTTGCGACGCTGCCCCTCTCAGGTTCTTTCCGGTGTTTTGAACTTCCTTTCTCCCGCCGGGGCTGGCCGTGGTGCTGTATTAAATTCCTCTTTTGGGGTGCTCTTGAGGGGGACCGCCTAGCCGCTCTCCGGAGGACGGGCACGGTGCGAACCAGAGGGTGGGTCTTAAGCTGGCGATAGGGGTTTCGACCTCCCAAGAAGCTGACCCAAGCAAATGTAAATATCTGGACGCTCTTGGCGACGAACGACGCGCATACCCGGGCTCCCAGCCTGGTGGTTCCGCCACGTTCGAAGCCTGTGATTCTAATGCTGCTGCTCTGATTTCTTCTTCGTCGTTTACACCCCGTTTGCTGCCGTCCGTGCTCCGTTGCTGCCGTCCGTGCTCCGCGCTCTTAGGGATGGTTTGGGCTGAGATATGCGGACGCCGTCGGTCATATGGACCTTCGGAGCAAGTCGCGAAAGAGGGACGTTGTCAGCTTCGCCCAGGCGTATGGCTGGAGGTCGGACGCCGCTTGCCGTTTGGGCTTGCGGAGCAAGTTTCGAATGCGAGACGTTGTCAGACGCGCCGCGCCGCCATTTCCTGCCGTCCTGAACAAGTTCATCTTCAAAGGTTCTCGTGGCGGATTCGTTGTTCTAGTTCCTCAGGGACCGGAGAACGTGTTACGTCCGGGACTTATATGCCGAAGGCGACAAAAATTTTTCCAAAAGCACAAAATTCGGGTTGCCATGGCCAACGCGCTCTCACCCACCAGCCCCTCCCCAACCCCGCGCGCGCAGGACCAGGTTGCGACGCTGCCCCTCTCAGGTTCTTTCCGGTGTTTTGAACTTCCTTTCTCCCGCCGGGGCTGGCCGTGGTGCTGTATTAAATTCCTCTTTTGGGGTGCTCTTGAGGGGGACCGCCTAGCCGCTCTCCGGAGGACGGGCACGGTGCGAACCAGAGGGTGGGTCTTAAGCTGGCGATAGGGGTTTCGACCTCCCAAGAAGCTGACCCAAGCAAATGTAAATACCTGACCTTACAGCGCACACATCGCGGCGCGTCGTAGGCCAGTGGGGCGGCGCAGGCGGCGCAGGTTGTGAGGATCATTTTGCGTTGGTTTGGGCGTTTTGTGAGGTTGCGGCGTCGTGGTGCTTGCTAGTGTCTTACAGGCCGCTAGCTCTCGCGCAATTTGCGGCGGCCGCGAGGTATTGCTAGCCAGTTGGCCCTCGAAATCACGCGTCGCGTCCTCTGAACTACTCTCTCTTGAACGATGCTCGCTCTCGACTACGCCTCGCAATGGCAAGTCGCGCTAGCATGCTCCGTGGCTTGCGCCCTGGTCTGCGAGACGATTGGCGTCGCGTTCGCGCGCTGGACGGCCAAGCAGCCGTGGTGGGAGCGCGCGCTCCCGATCATGCGCCAGACGTGCTATAACTTCGGCTCCACTCAGTGCGTAAATCAAATCGTTGCGGCGCGTCTCGCCTCCACGCCATCGACGCGACTCACTGATCGATTCGCGCGCAGGCTTCTCCAAGGAGCCGTCGCCGGAGTTCCCCGACGGCACGTCCGACGCGATCGTCCTCGACCTCTGGAGCGCCGTCAACGCGCACGTCGTCGTCCATTTTGTGTGTGGCGGGCTCATGATACCCGTGATCGTGGCGGGCGCCTGGGCCGCGGCGACGCCGTTCGCCCGGAACGCGTTCATTCTGGGTACGCTCTGCGACGTGGGCTTCGACCTCTACCACGGGTGCCGCGTCGCGACGGCGACGTTCGCGAGCCGCGACTTCCTGGGCCGCCTCGGCTGGGAGAAGAACCCCGCGGCGATGATGGTGCTCACGGTCCTCCACCACACGCTGTCCGTGTCCATGGTGATCCCGATGAACCACGCCTATATCGAGTTGGACGACTACCGCTTCATATGTTTTTCTCTGCTGTTCGCGGCGGCGGTCTGCTTTTCATTGAATAGCTACAAGATGACGCTCGACGTGACGGTTCGCGGCGACTTCATGGTGTTTAAGGTGATTACCGTGATTCAGCTTGCGACGGTCCGTGTGAAAAGCAACCGCTAGTCGCGCTCGTCGATGGCGTGGGGGCTGACCCGGTCGATCGCACAGGTGACGATCTTCTACACGCGCATCTGGAACTGGTTCCAGGCGGTCTACCGCATCTGCCGGCACTTCTCCGCTGCAGGCGACGTGGCGTTCTACCGCGGGGGCCTGGTCTGCGCCGGGTTCATGACCGTGTTCAACCTTGCCCTCATGAACGACGCCGTCGAAACGTTCATCAAGTGGATCCCGAAGCCTCTACCTACTCCGACGACGCGCGGCGACACGCAGAAATTGGTGAGGGAGCTGTCGCGGTCCTGCTCGCTCGGCTCCGAGCTGTCGCTCTCCGGCCGGAAACCGGGCCGCTTCCGCGCCGCCGCGCGCCGTATCATCGCCGAGAAGCGCCTTTCCACCGTGGACTCGGACCCGTCGGGGTCGCGGAAGGAGGACTAGTCACCTGCTCATCCTTACCCGCGAAAACTAATTTAGATAGCGCTCCTTACACGCCACTATAACTAGCGCCCTAGCCCTCGTACTTGTCGAAGACCAAACAGGCGTTCGTCCCGCCAAACCCGAACGAGTTCGACATGACCCGCGAGACGGGCCCCTCCTTTCTTTCGGTAAGGATCGGCAACCCCTCGGCCTCGTCGACGATGTTGAAGATGTTCGCGGATTCGGCCAAGAAGCCCCGGTCCATCATCAGTAACGAATAGATCGCCTCGTGGACACCAGCGACGGACAAAGCGTGGCCCGACAACGACTTCGTCGAGCCGATGTTCGGAATGTAGTCGAACTCAGACGTGAAGAGGTCCTTGATCGCGCCCAATTCCGCGACGTCGCCGACCGGCGTAGACGTGCCGTGCGTATTAATGTAGTCGACCTTCTTCTCGCCACCTAATCGGTTGGCCATGGCGATGGCCTCGCGCATGGCGCGCTTGCCGCCCTCGCCGGACGGCGCGACCATGTCGTAGCCGTCGCTCGTCGCCGAGTAACCTACGAGCTCCGCGTAGATCTTCGCGCCTCTCGCCTTCGCGTGCTCGAGCTCCTCGACAATCACAACACCACCGCCCGCGGCGATCACGAAGCCGTCCCGATCTTTATCAAACGCTCTAGAGGCATGAGTAGGGTCATCATTATATTTCGAGGACAGAGCACCCATGCCGTCGAACATGATCGTGCTGCCCCAGTTCTCCAACTCCCCAGACCCGCAGAACATGACGTCGTGCTTGCCGAGCTGGATCTGCTCCATGCCCATGCCGATCGAGTGCGCGCCCGTCGAGCAAGCACTCGACACCGAGTACGACAGCCCTTGCAGCTTGAACGCCGTCGCCAGCACCGCCGACACGGTCGACCCCATGGTCCGCGTCACGCGGTAGGGGCCGATCTTCTTGAGCTTGCCCGCGCTCACCGCGTCCAGCGTCTCGCCGACGTCCGGGATGCTCGTGCCACCCTGCCCGAGGATGCCGCCGGCGCGCGGGTTGTTCTGGTAGGCCTCCTTGGGCAGCTGCGCGTCCTCGATGGCGTCGTGCATGGACAGAAACGCATACTTCGCGTTGTCGCCCATAAATCTGGCGCTTTTTCTATCAATAATCTTGCCGATCGTCTCTTTATCGTTAAGGTCGAGCTCGGGCCGTCCGGCGACCTGGGACTTCATGCCGATCTCGGCGTACTTGGGCATGTGCTTGATGCCGCTCCGCGCGTGGTAGAGGCTGTCGGCGACGTCGTCGAGCGTGTTGCCTAAGCACGAGACGATGCCTGCGCGAAAATCGACCAGTGAGTGGGATGCACGATAAGTCTTCACTCAGTCCTTTCTTCTCGGCTTAACCCGCCGTGCGAGCAGTGAGAGAGACCGCGCCGCCATGCCGTCGCGCTGGCGTCGCGTCGACGGCGTGGAGGCCAGGATTCAGCAGCGGCGGACGCGCCGCGACGATTGATTCATGCACTGCGCGATGCCCATGCCCGTGATGACCACTCTTTTAAGCTGGGGCTCCAAGGTCTCGAGCTGCGACGCCATCTGCAGCGTCGACCGCCGCGGGCCGCGCGCGCTGGGCTTGTGGAGCTGCCTTGATGTGGGCACTAAAGCCATGACGCCCGCCGCGCAGGCGATCTGGCGCAGTATCCGGCCCATGGTGGTGCAATCGCTTCCAGCAAAGCTCTCAGCGCCGCCCAGTTGCACGGGATGGACCTTTTTGCGGCCCTGTAGCAGCAAAAACGTAGGCTTTGGCTCGAGCGATGCGACCTCGCGTTTCGCGCCGAAAGACCCGTGGGGCCGTGCTCGGAGTACTCCTCTTGCCGCTGAGACGGGTAACTGGGCTTCGCGCCCCCTCTGCCCTGAGAGAGCCAAAATCACTTCGACGCTCTGCGGCACAGCCTGTGTTGCCCTGTCTATTGCACCACACTTCCGCTGCACTCACGACAGAACGCTCTCGTAGTAGCGCTCGCAGCGAACCACAGCACCACCGCACGATCGACGCGAAGCAACGTGCCGATAGCAGCCCAAAACAGCACTGCACAAAGCAAGCGTACCACCATGAATGCTGCTGAAGTGAAATCGGCAGTCTTTGCGTCCGTGGGGTGCCTCGTAGGCATGCTCGCCGTGCACGAAGCCAACAAATTCGCCTACGAGAAGTACGAGTACAAAGTCGGCTGCCCGCCGAGCGGGCCCCTGGCTTGTTTATTGTTCTGCATGCCGACGGCGCCGGCGTCGCAGCCCAAGACCGTGATCATCAGCCACGCCATCGCCGTGCTGTCGGCGTTGTGTGCGGTGGCCGTCCACGACTTCATCCCCGTGTTGGATGTGCCGAAGCCCGTTGTTGGGTTAGTCTTGTCGATCCTCGCGATGAAGCTCGCCAAGGCGATAAATCCGCCGGCCGCGGCCTACGCGGCGGCGCTGTCGGGCAGCGGCACGACTTTTGGAGCGGTGCTCACCTGTGTGGAAATCAAAATTTTACGGCGCGTTCGTGCTGAATCATCGCGTCGTCCTCCACGCCATCGACGCGACGCTGCTCGATGGTGTGGCGATGCCGGTTCCTCGCCGCTCGAGCGCACCCAACACACTGGTTGATTTCCACACAGGTGCTCACGGGGCCCGGGACGCTAGGAGCGGTCGTGCTCATCGTCGTCCAGCAGGTCTACTTCAAGATCACGGACGCGCTCTCCGGCACGAAGGCCAAGAAGGCCTAGTTGCGCCACTTTGTACATAGCTCCCCCTAAGATTCACATAGACGTCGCGTCGACAGCGTACCCCGACGAGAGAAAAAGAACTACTTTCAGACGTTAAAGCGGAACAGCATGACGTCGCCGTCCTTGAAGACGTACTCCTTGCCCTCGCTCCGCATTAAACCCGCCTCCTTCGCCGCTTTTTCGTCGCCGGCATCGACGAGGGCCTCGTAGCCGACGGTCTCGGCCTTGATGAAGCCCCGCTCGAAGTCGCCGTGGATCACGCCCGCGGCCTGCGGCGCGAGCCAGCCCTCGCGGATCGTCCAGGCCCTGCTTTCGGTCGGGCCCGACGTGTAGTACGTGATCAGGCCGAGCGTGTCGTAGGCGGTGCGCACCAGTGCTCTTAAACCACAGCCCTCCAGCGTCACACCTAGCGCATCTAAGAATTCGTCGCGATCTTCCGAATCCAGACTCACAAGTTCGGACTCGACCTGCGCGCTCACCACTACAACGGACTCGCCTCCTGAACGTTTCTTGATGGCTTCGACGAAGGCATTGCCCTCCGCTAAATCTTCATCAGCGACGTTGCACGCGTAGATCACGGGTTTTATGGTTAACAGGTTGAGACCCTTCACGGCTTCTAGCTCTTTTTCACTGAGATCCACATCCCTAGCTTGTTTTCCTTCGTCCAACGCAGCTTGGAGCTTCGTCAGCGCGTCCATCTCCTCCGGCGGGGCCTTGCCCGTCTTTTTATCTTTACCGGCGCGCTCCATGCGCTTCTCGACTTGCTGTAAATCAGCGAGTGCCAATTCCAATTCGATCACCTCCACGTCTCGGACGGGATCGATCGAGGCATCCACGTGGATGACGTCGTCGTTCTCAAAACACCTGACCATGTGCACGATGGCGTCGCACTCGCGGATGTTCGCGAGGAACTGGTTCCCGAGACCTGTGCGGAAATCAAATTTCGGGCGCCCCAAGCCATCGACGCGATATTTTCTCCGTAGCTGCGTCTGCTCGATGGCGTGAACCTAACTCACTGGTTGATTTCCACACAGCTCTCGACCTTCTCCCTTCGAGGCGCCCTTGACTAAACCGGCGATGTCCACGAATTCTAGACTGGTAGGAACCGTCTTCTCGGAGGCGTTGATCTCCGACAGCTTGTTCAGGCGCTCGTCCGGGACACTCACGACGCCGACGTTCGGCTCGATCGTGCAGAAGGGGTAGTTGGCGGCCTCGGCGTTGACGTCTCCAGTTAATGCGTTGAATAAGGTACTCTTGCCGACGTTCGGGAGGCCGACGATGCCGGTCTTTAATCCCATGGAAATGACGCGGCGTCTGGCGTGCACCCGGGGCAGGCCGCGCTGCAGCGCCCTCGCGAGCGCCAGCATCGTCGTTAAGCTCAACGTTCGCATGGGTGCTGCTCGTGTGGAGTGCTGCTCTTGGAGGCTGGCGACACAAAGCGGTGTCTAGGCGCAGCGTGCACGACCGTTGCGGTCTATGAGCGGACGGATGCTACGACGATATATGCGGCACTGTAGCTTAAAAGCGTGGGTGCAGCAAGGAGCAAAGAGCAGTTGCAGCCTAGTCACACGGCAACTATTTTTTCAGAGGTAGCGGGCTGTAACATACTAGAAAGTTTTTTTCGGCTTAGAAGAGGTATGCTGTTATGAAAGACGCGGCACGCGCCCGCCGATGAATCGGCGACGCGCGGTGTCCTTACATATTTTTACTGAAGTACTTTTGTATCTCAGAGTACTATACGGTACCATGCTTTTGGCCCTATGCTAAAAAAAAAAAGCTGGAAGACCACGCCATCGACGCGACACTGAGTAGTCCTAGCACCGTGACAATAGAAAGCAAGTAGGGAACTACAAGTTAAACCTACCCGGCGCCCACGCCTCGACGTAGGCGGGAGCATCGTCCTCGCCGCCGGCGACGAGCCCCGCCACGAAGGAAGCCGTGATGCCCGCGTCGCGCCAGCCGTTGAAGCCGTGGCCCGCGTTGATATACAGCCCGGGCGCCAGCTTTCCGACGAGCGGCAGGCCGTCCGGAGTTAGCGGTCGATCGCCGTGCCAGACCTCACAGTCAACGAAGTCGCTCCACTCAGACGCATCCGGCACAGCATAATCGATCAAGCGTTTGAGACGCGTCTCGAGCGCCGCGGTGGGCGGCGTCTTGCGAAGCGGTACGAACTCGCCGTAGCAGGTAAAACGGACACGCTCCTCGTCGAGGCGCGTACAATAAAGGTGCTTGGGGTGTACAAAGAACGAGGCCTCCGGGGCGCGCTCCGCGTCCGTCACGCGCGCCGTGATGGAGTAGCCCCTCAACGGGTGGATCGGTACGTAGAACGGCAGCAATGTCGTGGATGCGGCGCCGGCGCAGAGGACGATTACATCAGCTTCGACGCAGGCCCCGTCGACCTCGAGGCCATTCGCCGTCAGCGACGCCGGCGCATTAGTCCACACATGCACACCGCGCGCCTTGCAATCTTCGGCAAGCGCTTGCGTGTACAGCGCAGAGTCGCCGAGCGCGTCGCTGGCATCAGACGCGAGCACGGCGCCTTTCGAGCTTCTCACCTCGCCGCCGGCCACCCTCAGGCCTCCGGCACCGAGCGCCACCGCGCGCTCGAGCAGATAGCGCTGCGCGTCGCCGTGCGCAGTCGGCCAGTCGTAGTCCGACGGGTTCGAACAGCGCGCCAGCGCGAGCGCCCAGCGGTAGAACGCGGCGTCGGTCAGGCAGCTATTATTAATGAAGACGTTCTTCTCGTGACCGGGGTCGCGGCCGAGCAGCTTCAGCGTCCGCCAGAGCGTGGCGGGCTCACACGGCGTCGTACCCCGCAGGCTCTTCCACAGCGTCCCCGCGTTGCCCCACGTGGCCGACGAGACACCAGCGACCTCCTGCGTCGCCTCGAGCAGCGTGACCCGGCAGCCGCGCTTCAAGAGCTCGTCTGCCGTCGAGACGCCCACCACTCCGCCGCCTACTACGGCCACGTGCAGCGACCGCGGCGCGCGCGCCGCGCCGAGCACCCTGGCGCCGCGCCGCCCGCGCAAGCCGAGCGCCGCCCGCCGCATCGCGCCTCGCGTGGCGGTAAGTCGTCGCCAGCGGTACGCATCAATCCTTCTTCGCCTTCGCCGACAGCCACGCCGACCGCACGACGGTGCACCACATGAACGCTGGGACGAAGGGCGCGAACACTAAATAAAAGCCCTTGACGGCGTCCACGCCCATCACAAATTCCAGTCCGGCGAACAACGCGCCGAGCGCCAGGAAAAAGGAGTACATACCTAGTATAAAGTTGTAGTTGATGCCTTCCGCGGGCGTGAGGAGGCCCATGGCTGCGTCGCTGCGGTGGCGTCGAGTGGAGCTGCTGTAGCTGGGGTTGCACTCGCTAGGAGTGGATCGCGTCGCGGCGGTCTGCTGCGCGCGTGTGCGTAGAGTGAAATGGAGAGGTAGCGCTTGCAAGACGGTGCCTTAGTCGCAAAAACTGCGCGCGTTCGCGAGCAAAACTCGTCGCAAAACGGGTTTTACCACGCAGTCGCGGAGGCGCCGAACGATGCGCGGAGCTCTCGAGGCGACGCCGTTCGACGGCTGGAGGACCATCACGCGACGCGGGGCGCCACTAGCCGGCTACTAGCCTCCTGGGCATAACGAAGCGCTAAGCAGCGGCCATAGCCTCGGCGCAGGACAGCAGCGTCCCCCGCGCGCGGTGCCGAGGCAGCCTCCCGGCCGCCCACGACCCGCTCCCGGCCGCCGAGCAGCTCGCGGGCTGCCCCGACGCCGCCGAGGCGCTCTACCACCAAGCACCCCAAGCCAAGCCGCCGCCGCGATGCAGATCTTCGTCAAGACCCTCACGGGCAAGACGATAACGTTGGACGTCGCGCCGAGCGACACCATCGACGACGTCAAGCAGAAGATCCAGGACAAGGAGGGCATCCCGCCCGACCAGCAGCGCCTGATTTTTGCCGGGAAACAATTGGAGGATGGTAGAACATTATCCGACTACAACATCCAGAAGGAGTCGACCTTACATTTAGTACTGCGACTGAGGGGCGGCATGGAGGACGACGAGGAGGGCTCCGACGAGGGGAGCGAGTCCGAGTCGGAAAGTGAAGAAGAAGAAGATACTGGGTTAACGGAGAACCAGAACCGGTTACTGTATCTCGTCTCATTATATACGCATAAAGCGGAAAGTCACGACGACAAGGACGAGTGGATCCGCAAGCCGGCGCTCTTAGTCCTAATCTACGAGGGCGTGGTAGCTAATGTCCTGGACTACGACTACGCGCCCGCTTCCGAGCTTATTGAAAATAGGAGGATCTACCTGAACATCAGCCAGGAGGGCAAGTCGGATGTGGAGTTTTTGCGCGAGGAGGAGCTGCTGAACGGGCTCCAGATCGCGACCAAAGGCGCCGACTCGGCGTCTTCATTGAAGTTGAACTTTTTGTCGAAGCGTCGACGGCGTCAACGAGACGTTCCGTCACCGTGACGCCGTCTTCATGATCATCAGAGCGTCTCGCGAGGAACCTCGGTGTCGCGACTCGGTCCGAACTCGCCCAACATCAGAAAATAAAGTACCCATGGCCTCCTGAGACGGAGGCGCGTCGCCTCGATGGCGTGAGAGCGCCGCGAAACCCCCGCGACACGCGAAACCGCCGCGCAGGCTTCAAGCCCATGACCTGCTACCAGATCTCCGAGAAAGGTTTAGAATTGGTCAAGCGCATCAGTCAGAAGGAGAAGGAGGCGACGCACGAGTTCGTCTACGCCAAGGGGACGAGGGAGCTGTTGTCGGCCGAGTGGGACGGTGCTTCGTATTACCTTACGAGTGCGTCGGGCTACCGTCGCGAATCTACTATTACCTCGACCGAGGATGTGTCGTATGTCTCCTCAGCTTACGTGCCCCAGTGTCTGAGGTATGGTGGGAGACCTACTCTGTCGAACGCGCACCGAGCCCACGAGTCAGCAGTAAATACCGATAGCATCCGAGATGAGTTAGATGAGGTCATCACCCTGAATTCAGTATCTATAATAGTGGCCGAGTACATTCCCTTTGGTGCTAATCAAATCGTGCAGTTGAATAGCAATGTTGGGAGTACGGAACGCGTGCAGGGCGGCTTCATCTCGCCGGCCGTCGACGAAGACTCGAGTGGCACGTCCATGGAGATGTCGCCGGAGATGACTGCTGTTGATATATTAGATTACACGCTCACAAATCACATCAACTTCGAGGCCGAGATCCGCTTCGCGGAGGATAGTGGGGTGGTGCAAGTGGAGACCTTCGGCGTGTCGCTCAACGCGGAAGGTACCTGCTTCTACGGCATGCAGGTGGAAGCGGTGATGGATCGTATCAAGGACAACATATCGTTAGATCATCTCGCGCGGTTGTTGGTAGATGTCCAGCAAGATTCTTCCTCAATCGTCGACTCGATCATCTCGCAGTACCAGCGCGACTTACTCGACTTGATATTCTTGGGCGACGCCCCCAACAGAAACAAGGTCAACTTAATAATAGCCAATGAAATAACACCTCATCTGACGGCCGAGGAGTACATGGACAAGGGCGAGTACGAGAACGAGCTGAAGCAGGTCATCGGGGACACCAAAGCAGCGTATGACATCAGCGAACACGACACTTTAGTTTTTGGTTCCTATGGCTTACTCGTGGCGGGTCCGAATTCCCGCCATCATGAGCCCTTATTATGCGCTTATTTGCAATTCATCACGATCGACATCTTCATGCAGAACTACTTCGCGCGGCTCTGGATTTTGAGCGATGACATGCAGAAAACAAATTTGATCATCGAGGGCTCGAACAAGGACCCGACGGCGCGCTCGCGGCGTCCCGCCTCGCGGATACGACTCGTATCTCACACACGATGCCGGGGGTCGTTTCTTTTTGGATTTCGAGGCCGTTCGGACCGAGTCGAGGGACCACGATGCTCCGCGCATGACGTGGTCGCGGCGATGGCGTCGATGCGGTCGCCTGAGAGTCTAGACGCGTCCTCGTGAGCGAGCGGGTTTCGTGACGGCGTCGTTCCCGCGCAGGCCCTCGACCGCATCCGCTACCGCATCTGCAAGATCGCGGAAGACATCATCAAGCTCGAGGAGATGCTCGGCTATCTGCTCGAGGCGCTGGACGTGATTGAGATCCCGCCGGAGCCGCCGGAGCAGGCCGGCCGTTCATTGTACGAAAGACTGGAGATCTCCGGCATGCGCTCCCAGCTGTTACGACGTACGACGGACCTCAAGAAAAATGTAGGAGGCGCGTCGCGATACCTGGAAGTCCTGCGCGAGATGACGGGCATCGTCGCCGAAGACCGCGCCTACAACCTGCAAAGGCAGCTCGAAACGCACGCGAAGAAGAACCTGGAATTGCAAGAAAACAGCAAACAAACGAGAATTCAACTGACGTTGATGTTGTTCGTCTTTTCGGCGCTGATGGCCTGGGGCTTCTTGGACCGCTTAACGGGCAACAGCTGGACGGTCATGAACACGGAGTGGGCCAACAGTCTGTTGAATATTATTCCCACCGTCCCGTTCGCCTGGTTTGGGGTTAGTCTGGTGGTGTGGGTGCTGATTGCCTTTATATTGTATCAATACTCTCAATATTTACAGCGAAAGTCGACGGGCGTCACGACCGTGAAAATTCGTTTTGACAAGAAGGTCTTCGTGGACAAGGTCTACGAGCTCATCAGTACGAAAGCGCGAACTTATGAAGATAGATCCATCAGTACACTAGGCTACGAGGTCGCGACGTTCACGTACCCGGAATACGACTGGGGCCCGAACAACGGCGTACCGCAGATCGTCTTGGAGTTCGACGTGACGAATTCGTACTTGTTGACGGCGCAGATCACCTATAACAGAAGGGAGGCCAACAACAAGATTTTAGCCTTCAATTCGCGCGATTTACAACAACGACTCATCGACGAGTTCAATGACATGAAAATATGGGACGCGGCCGGTCCGTAGCGCCGCGTCGTGACGTGTTTTGGTGCCTTCACGTGGTGGAAACGCTTCGTTTCTGAGAATGACGGCGATGGATGGTTTTTTGAGAGATTTTGAGCTGTTTTCGGGCGAAACGGGGTCGGTTCCGAGGGCGCCTGATGAAATCCCTCGCGGGACGCCGGAGGACGGCCGCCGCGGCGCGGGGCGCCGCGGCGGACGCCGTTGGACGCGTCGCCGGAGTCGCGGCGGTCCCGGACGCCTTTCTGGTGGTTCCGAGCCTCGCGCGGCGTCGAGGCGGCCGCGGCGGGGCCCGGACGCCGTCGCGGCGTCGTGCGTCGCCCGCCACGCCATCGACGCGACGTCAGCACGACGGCGTGGCGGTGTGGTCTCTCACCGATCGATTCAGCCAGCACGGCTGCATTGTCGCCTCCCGCGGCCGCCGAGCGCGCGTGCCTGCCCGAGGGAGCCGCCACGCACACACTGCCTCCACACACGCGGCGTCGTCGCGACGCCGCACCGCCTCAACGCCGCCGACGCGGCCACATGAGAGCCCACGCGCGCTGCGACAGTTTCGCGACAGTGTCGTTCCCGCGCAGGTGAAGACCACTCGGCGATGGCGCTGGCGATCGACCGGCGACGGGCTTTGGAGGACGAGGAGGAGGCCGAGGAGGCCGAGGAGTAGGGAAGGGGGGCGTAAGTGCTCTTTAGAGATCCCGTCGACGGCGTGGGGGGTCGCCCACGCCTCGGGGTACCACCGCGGCGGTGCCGGGCAAGGCTGGAGTATCCATCGGTAAAAAAAAAAGTCGGTCGATCATGAATCTAATACCGGTTCCTATGTCCTGTGTAATAGTGGTGTCGCTGATATATTTTAGGGTTTAATCCCGGCTCGTTTTAAATACCTTTCCCCCACGACGACGCTCGCGCAGCATGCGGGATTTTTTGGAGAGTGGTCAAGTCGGTCGATCATAAATGTAATAACGGTTCCTATGTCCGGTGGAATACCCCCGATCGCTGATAGGCGCAGCTTTAATCCCCCGAGCCGTTTTACATACCTTACCTTACCCCTATTAGTGACCGCACCATGGCGTGGAGGCGGGGCCGACGCCGTCGTCGCGAGACGAGAGATGACTCGACTGGGTTGTAGTATGCATACTTATGACTTCGGACAACGACTGGGCTGGGAGAGGGGAGGGGGAACTACTGGCCCGCCCGCGCGAGCTCGGACCGGAGCTCGGCGAGGTCCGCGTCGACCATCTCCTCGGCGAGCGCCTTGAAGGTGACCTTGGGCGCCCAGCCCAGGAGCTTCTTGGCCTTCGAGCAGTCGCCGACCAATAAATCGACCTCCGTCGGCCGGAAGTACTTGGGGTCGACCTTGACGAGGACGCGGCTCGGGTCCGTCGCGTCGACGCCGATCTCGTCCACCGAGCCGGCCGCGCCCTTCCACTGCACGGTGATGCCGACGCGCGCGAAGGCGACCTCGCAGAACTCCTTGACCGAGTGGCACTCGCCCGTGCTGAGGACATAATCATCAGGCTCGTCGCGCTGGACCATGAGCCACATGCCCTCGACGTAGTCGCGCGCGTGGCCCCAGTCGCGCTTCGCGTCGAGGTTGCCCAGATATAAGGTCTTCATCTTGCCCTGGCTGATGCGCGCGACGGCCCGCGTGATCTTGCGCGTGACGAACGTCGGGCCGCGGCGCGGCGACTCGTGGTTGAAGAGGATGCCGTTCGTCAGGTGCATGCCGTAGGCCTCGCGGTAGTTGATGAGCATCCAGTAGGCGTACTGCTTCGCGACGCCGTAGGGCGACCGCGGGTAGAAGGGTGTGGTTTCTTTCTGCGGGATCTCCTGGACCTTGCCGTAGAGCTCCGAGGTGGACGCCTGGTAGAGGCGCGTCGCCTTTTCGAGGCCCGCGGACCGAATGGCGTTCAACAGACGCAACGTGCCGACGCCGTCGGCCTCGGCCGTGTACTCGGACATCTCGAACGAGACCTTGACGTGCGACATGGCGCCCAGGTTGTAGACTTCCGAGGGCCGCACCGTCGAGATGATGTGGAAGAGGTTCGAGGAGTCCGTGAGGTCGCCGTAGTGCAAAAATAGTTTCACGTCCTGATCGTGCTTGTCGCGATACAAGTGCTCGATGCGGCCCGTGTTGAACGACGAGCTGCGCCGGATGATGCCGTGGACCGTGTAGCCCTTGCCTAATAAAAACTCGGCCAAATACGAGCCGTCCTGGCCCGTGATGCCAGTGATGAGGGCCACGTTCGGGTTGGCCTCTATTTGTAACGTCTTGTGGGCGCCGGGCGGGGGCGTCGTCATCGTGCCTGCGTGGTCGACGGTCGGTCGGCGTGTCTGCGTCGGCGTCGTGCCGCGCGCAGCCGGTCGCGGTGCGGCTCCGTCCGACGGCTCACGTAGGCACTTTTTCGATCGGGCCTCTCCCATCGGACGCCGACGGGCGCCGACGGGCGTGTCTCGTGCGAAGTTTTGCTGCAAAATTGCGGCAGCACGCCCGAAATGAATGATGATTGACGCTGCGACTGACTCTACCTGCTTTTTATTGCAGCAGCCAAGGCTCACAAGCCGCACAAAAAATTACGTCGATTCGCTTCCTAGTGTCTTTGACGATAGGTAACTCGTTCGGGGTCCGTACTACCTGGGGGTGGGTTCAATAAGCGACTCTCTCTCTCTAACTCCTGGAGCGTCGAAACTCCTCGGCAGGAAAGGAGGAGGAGGAGCCACTCTAAAAACTGGGAGTCGCCACGAACGCGGCCCGCAGGCGACAAGCCCGCGCCGCGCGGTCCCCATCCGCACAACGCAGGCTCGCAATCCCGGCCTGGTCTGCGCACTTCCGGACGGAGTGAACCCGGGTATCACTCGCCCCGACGACCGCTCTTGACCGGTCCTCAGGGGTGCGGGTTCGAACGCCTTGTGGGCGCTGGGCTCTCGCGTTGCGCTGTCGACGAGAGCAAAGGAGCTGCTTCCGCCTCGCACCGCGCGCGATTCTGCAGTGCCGCGGCGGCACTGATGCCATTTCCGTAGCGTTTGGGCTGCCCAAGGCAGCAACCACTTGCTAGGATGGGCGCCGGCGCCAGCTTCATCGACGTCGAGGAGCTCACAGAGGCTCTGGAGCAGGACTTCGCCCGCGTCGTCCCGCGCACGCCGCGCGGCAGCCTCGACGTCGCGAGCTGCGACCGCGGCAAGGTGCGAAAAGTCGTGGACGGCGCGAACGAGCGCATCAAGGAGCGCTACGTCGCGGGGTGGCAGTCGTACACGGCGAGGAAGGGCGCCGCCGTCGACGAACTGCGCGACGCGTGCGCCGCGCTGGTGGAAGACTTCCACGAGGCGGAGCCGCGGTGCGCGCTGCCCGCGAACACCCCCAGCGCGCTCGTCGACATGGCGAGCCGCCACGGCGCCGCGCTGCATGCGGCCCTCGAGGGACTCGTGACGAAGGCGGGCGGCGAGTACGTGCACGGACCAACGAAAAAGGTGGAGCGCATCAAGGACAAGGCGGAGAACGACTACGAGGGCGACGTGGCGCGAGTAGTTGATGTCGAGCGCGCCACGGGTCTCTTCGACTCGCTGGAAGCCCTGAACACGGCTGCCTCGGCGTTTCGCGGGACGATCGACGGGCTCACCGTCCGGCGCTGCAAGGACGCGTTCTTCGCGCACAAGCACGACTCGGGCTATCGAGATATGAAGTTGTTCGTCGAGGTGGCGGACACGGGATTCATAGGTGAACTCCAGCTCAATTTGCGTCAAATCCAAAACATCAAGGGTCACGCCCACAAGGTCTACGACGTGGAACGCGTGCTCGAAAAAGGAACCGACGAGGCGCTCCGGCGCGCCATCGACGGTCTGGACCTCGAGAGCGAGCAGGTGCTGTGTCTAGCGGCGGACGGCGGGCAGTCGATCCTGGACGCGTGCGGCCACGTCGTGGTGCTCGAGGATGCCTTGGACGAGGCCTTGCCCGCGGGTTGCGAAGTGGCGAACGTGTACAACGCCGGCGGCGCGGTCCACGCGCACGTTCGGCTAGGCATCGCCGACGTTTGCGCCCTCGCCCGGCTGCGCGACGCCGTGCTCTTCGAGGGCTCCTTCGAGACCGCGATCAACGCCGCGCTCCCCCACGACGCCTCTCAGCTCGCGGAGAAGCTCGCAACGAGCGACAAGATGAAGGAGCTGGGCTTTAGCGCGTCGATGAGCCAGAGCGGCAGGTGTCTGCTAAAAAACGAGCGCTTCCTCGCGGGAGACTCCGACAGTTCTCTGGGCGCGCCGCCGGACGCAAAGATCCGAGTCGAGAGCGTCGATGTCCACGTAGACCGGGGCGCGTTCATGGAGTGCTACGCGCGGATCATGATGCGGTTCGCGAAGCTGACGATGCATCAGCGCGAGAAGCTCACGGAAGTGCGAGGCGCAAAGGTCGCGGTGCTGCTCGCACCCGCGGGCGGTGGGAAGACCTTCGTTGCTGTCCAACGTGTGGTGCAGGTGCTGAATGAAGATCCCGATGCGACGGTCCTTTTCGTGGCGCGAAACGAAGCGCTGGCGCTCTTTGTCTGCAAGTGGCTCGTCGTCGCGTCGCGCAAGTCTGCCGAGCATGTTGTGGAGCGCGTGCACGTGTTGGTGGCGCCGTTTTCGAGTGGGCCGCGGCGCGTCCACGTCGAGGCGGCGGGCGGGCGACGGCGGCTCATGTTTGGGAATTCGCGTGTCGAGGCCACGACGTACGCGCTCATCGTCGTCGACGAGGCCCACCACCTCGTGGGCGACTCCTCGCTTCGATCGGAGCTCGCGGAGCTTGGTGCTGCCGAATCGAGCCTCTTGTTCCTCGGCGACGCCTCGCAGGCGACGGCAGCGATGCAAAGTCCGGATGAGATCGCGCGCTCGCTCGTGGAACTGCCACAGGAGCAGGACGTCGTCGTGGCGACGCTATCCGAGGTCGTCCGTTCGACGAAGCGCATTGTCGCGGGCGCCGCCGCGTTCCAGCTCGAGGCCGGGCGCAAAGCCGAGACGTCGACGCATTCGGCATCAGCGGGGCCGCCGCTCGTGGCGAGGGTCTTTACGACATCTGAAGGCGACGATGCCGGCGAGACCTATGCGCGCGAGGTCGTCGAGGCGCTGGCGGCCATCCGGCGCCAGCTCGTGGATTTGGAGGACCTGGATGACCGCGTGGCGGTCGTCGGGCCAGATGAAGCATTTATTGAGAAGCTCCGCGAGCCGCTCGCTCGCGCTCTGGGAGGATTCGAGCTCGTCGACGCGGCGACGGCGAGCGCGGTCTTGCCGCGCGGTGACACCGAGGCGCGCGCCGCCGACGCGAAGCAGCTGCTTGTTGTCGATAGTGTGGATAACATGGACGGTTTGGAACGGCTCGTCGTTATTTGCGTTGGACTGGACCAAGTCATCGATCGCGGCGCGGGCGTGCTCGAGACGCGGTCGCGTTTGTATCGCGCGATGACGCGCGCGCAGCTCGCGGTTGCTGTCGTGAATGAAGCGTTGCCGGGCGGGTGGCTCGAGTTCCTGGGGCGCGTCGAGCTGGTCGCTGGTGGAGGTTATAGTGATGCCGCGGAGCGCGGGAATCGGGCGGAGACGGCGGCGGACGATGTTGTCGGTGCTGTGGTTGAAGAGACTTCGGCACCCGTTGCGACTCATGGCGACGCTACTGCTGTTAGCAAAGCGTCTTCGGCACCTGCGCGCGGTAGTGACGGCGCACAGGAGGCGTCACCAAACGGCGCCGTCGACGCGCCTGTGGCGGAAAAGGCTGCAGTCGACGCGGACGCCGCCACCACCCCGTCGGAACCCGAACCGATGAAGGTGCTGCAGTCGATCTGGGACGCGAGCGCGGTCGCGACGGTGGCGCGCGGCGACCTGCGGTTCATGCCGTTTTTCGAACTCGATCCATCGAAGCTCGTCGAGCTGCGGACGCTGGAAGGGCACTCGGACAGAGTGCGTTGCGGCGTCCGCTGTACTTTTGTGATGATCTGTCGTCGTCGTAGGTCCGGGGCGTTGCCGTGTTTCTTGACGGGCGGCGCATCGTGTCTGCGTCGGACGACAAGACGCTCAAGGTGTGGGACATCGCGACCGGCGTATGCGTGGCGACGCTGGAAGGACACTCTGAGAGAGTGCGTTGCGGCGTCCACTGTACTTTTGTGATGATCTGGCTTCGTCGTAGGTCTGGGGCGTTGCCGTGTTTCCGGACGGGCGGCGCGTCGTTTCTGCGTCGTACGACAACACGCTCAAGGTGTGGGACGTGGCGACCGGCGAGTGCGTGGCGACGCTGAAAGGGCACTCGGATTACGTGCGTTGCGGCGTCCGCTGTACTTTTGTGATGATCTGGCTTCGTCGTAGGTCTGCTGCGTTGCGGTGTTTCCGGACGGGCGGCGCGTCGTGTCTGCGTCGATTGACAATACGCTCAAGGTGTGGGACGTGGCGACCGGCGAGTGCGTGGCGACGCTGGAAGGGCACTCGAACGACGTGCGTTGCGGCGTCCGCTGTACTTTTGTGATGATCTGGCTTCGTCCTAGGTCTATTGCGTTGCCGTGTTTCCGGACGGGCGGCGCGTCGTGTCTGGGTCGTTCGACAACACGCTCAAGGTGTGGGACCTCGAGACCGGCAAGTGCGTGGCGACGCTGGAAGGGCACTCGAGAGACGTGCGTTGCGGCGTCCACTGTACTTTTGTGATGATCTGGCTTCGTCGTAGGTCCGCGGTGTTGCCGTGTTTCCGGACGGGCGGCGCGTCGTGTCGGGGTCGTACGACAAGACGCTCAAGGTATGGGACGTGGCGACCGGTAAATGCGTGGCGACGCTGCAAGGGCACTCTAACAGAGTGCGGCGCGGCGTCCGCTGTACTTTTGTGATGATGCGTCTTCGTCGTAGGTCCGCGGCGTCGCCATTTCTCCGGACGGGCGGCGCGTCGTGTCTGCGTCGTGGGACAAGACGCTCAAGGTCTGGGACGTGGCGACCGGCGAGTGCGTGGCGACGCTGGAAGGGCACTCGGATTACGTGCGTTGCGGCGTCCACTGTACTTTTGTGCTGATGTGTCTTCGTCGTAGGTCTATGGCGTTGCCGTGTCCCCGGACGGGCGGCGCGTCGTGTCTGCGTCGGGCGACAAGACGCTCAAGCTGTACGCGTGCTAGGGCTCTAACTTCTAGTTGAGGCCACACGCCATCGCCGCAGACACTAGAAACATAGACTTAGGAGACTACTTCAGCCGCTCGATGAGCTGGCTCAGCTTGTTCTCGTCCGCGCCCGAGAAGCGCTCGATCTCCTTCCCGCCCTTGAAGAACACGAAGGTCGGCATCGACGAGACGCCGTGCGCCTGCGACACGGGCTTCGCGGCGTCGACGTCGACGGCGTAGAAGCCGACGCCGCCGTATCTATCGGATATTCAGGTGATTGTTACGGTGCTAGGACTAGTGGGCGGAGCCCCTAGTAAAAATTCAGCAGGCCGCGGCCGGGCGATGCGCGCGCGCGGCGCGTTGGCCGTCGCGAGCTTCCTTCTCGTGGAAGAGCTGTAATCTACGCGGTGAAAGGGAGCTGGAGGAGTGCCTGCTCCATCGAGGCGCGAGCGCGCGTGCGGGGCCCCGCAGGATTTTCGAGGCGGAACGCCTCCGGTCTCGCGTCTCCGCGGGGCCCCAACGGCTGCCCCACAGAACTCAGTAACGCTCCTCTCGCGAGCACCACTTGCGTGGGCAGGCCGCCTGCCACCGCTGGGCTGCCCTTTCATCTGAACAGATGGAGGTATCATAAGCGCTGGGATGTCGGGCTTTGAACGCGGCGACGACCGCGCGACGATGCTCAAGCGCCATGAGGACACGTCCAAGGTCGTCCAAGGCGGCCTCATGGCCGTGAGCGCCCTGCTCTCGTTGGGCAGCAACCTCCCGCTCGTCGGCCAGCTCTGCGAGGCGGCTAAGGGCTGCCTCGACTCGGCGGAGGAGTTCAAAAGCAAAGCAAAAGATGTCACCATCGCGGCGCGGCGGGTCTGCGACGTCTTGGATATTGTGTATCTAATGGCGCAGAACGTCGACCGCCTCGAAGAAAAGGCGCTCGTGGAGTCGAAGATGCGGAGATTGGTGGACTTGCTCGTCAAGTTCAACGCGGCGGTGCGAAAGTTCGGGAAGAAGGGCTGGATGAAGCGCGCCTGGACGATGCGCGGCCACGTCGAATCGCTGACCTCCCTCGACAAGGAGATCGTGTCGCAGCTCGACGTGTTCCGCGACGCCTACCGCTTCGCGAGGGACAAGGACATGATCCAGCGCACCTACAACATCGAGGCGTCCATGAACCAGCTCGTCGAGGCGCGCGTCCGCGAGACCGGCGAGCCCGAGGGAACGGTGGTGGCGGTGCTCTCGAACGACCCCGTCGCGATCGCGTCGGTCGCGGTCGACGCGGACCTACCGGCGGCGGAGCTTGCGAGCGAGCTGAGCGAGGTCAGGGAGAGCCTCGACGGTCTGAACAAGAAGATGCAAAATATGCTCGACTGCAAGCAGGGTGACCGCGCGAAGATCGCCAAGGTGTTAGCTGCCGTAAAAGCGGCCGTGGCGCGCGACGAGAAGCTGCTGGCCGCCGTCCAAGACGGCAGTAAGAAGCTCGACGACCACGCGAAACGCTCCGCCTCGTATCACGCCGAGACTACGGACGGCATCAACGAGCTCAAGGCCAAGATCGATGCGCTGCAAATGAATGAGGCGACGATCCAGGACCAGTACGTGTACGACCCGTACGACTCGGATGACTCGGACCAGGAGGCGTCGCTATTGGGGTGGGGCTCCTTCGGGTCGACACATAGAATGAAAGGCAGGGAGGATGGGCGCGTATGCGCCGTCAAGCTCATCAACATCAAAAGGGCGGGCGTCGGCGTCGAGAAGCTGCGGGAAGAGGCCGCGCGGCTCTCGATGCTGGATCATCCGAACATCGTCAACTACTTCACGGCCTACCGCTTCAAGAAGAACAGATTCTTCGCCATCGTCATGGAACTTTTGAAGGGCGGCTCGCTGCTAGAGCGCCTCCAACGGGCGTCCGGGCCGCTCACGAGCGACACAGGCGAGCGCGCGGCAGCTACTGAGAAATGGACGACGGAGGTCGCGTCGGCCCTGGCGCACATGCACGAGCAACGGATGCAGCACCGCGACCTCCATCCCGGCAACGTGCTCTTTGACGGGACCGGCGTCGCGAAGATCATCGACCTCGGGCTGGCCACAGTTCTCGTTGCAAAGTCCAAGGTCTCTCCGGCGAGCGGCGCAAACAAGGTCGGCGCTGAAATGTACCGATCCCCGGAGAAGGCGATGGGCAGAGGGTACGACGGCAAGGACGACGTCTGGGCCCTGGGCTGCATGCTCGGCGGGGGTGTCACGGGGAGGCTGGTGGAGAATCGCTGTCCGGGCGTCTTTGCGCTCGACCCCAAGGCCGTGAAGGCGCTCGTCGAGGAGACCAGCGCAGCGTCGACCAAGTTCGGCGGCCTCGTCGCCGCGATGCTCGAGCGTAATCCGATGGAGCGGCCCACGGCGCAGGACGTTGTGCGATATTTCCGGCGCGGGGCGGCGCTCCCGACCGTCCCGGGCGGCGGCGCGATCGTCGAGGAGGAGGAAGAGGAGGAGGAGCAAAAAATCGACCTGTCCAAGCTCGCCTTAGTGCGGACGCTGGAAGGGCACTCCGACTACGTGCGTTGCGGCGTCCGCTGTACTTTTGTGATGATCTGGCTTCGTCGTAGGTGTGGGGCGTTGCCGTGTTTCCGGACGGGCGGCGCGTCGTGTCTGCGTCGGGCGACAAGACGCTCAAGGTCTGGGACGTGGCGACCGGCGAGTGCGTGGCGACGCTGAAAGGGCACTCGGATGCCGTGCGTTGCGGCGTCCGCTGTACTTTTGTGATGATGTGTGTTCGTCGTAGGTCTCGAGCGTTGCCGTGTTTCCGGACGGGCGGCGCGTTGTTTCTGCGTCGTGGGACAAGACGCTCAAGGTCTGGGACGTGGCGACCGGCAAATGCGTGGCGACGTTGCAAGGGCACTCTGAGAGAGTGCGTTGCGCGGCGTCCGCTGTACTTTTGTGATGATCTGGCTTCGTCGTAGGTCTTTTGCGTTGCGGTGTTTCCGGACGGGCGGCGCGTCGTGTCTGCGTCGTGGGACAAGACGCTCAAGGTATGGGACGTGGCGACCGGCAAATGCGTGGCGACGCTGCAAGGGCACTCTAACAGAGTGCGTTGCGGCGTCCGCTGTACTTTCGTGATGATCTGGCTTCGTCGTAGGTCAGGGGCGTTGCCGTGTTTCCGGACGGGCGGCGCGTCGTGTCTGCGTCGGGCGACAACACGCTCAAGGTGTGGGACGTGGCGACCGGCAAATGCGTGGCGACGCTGGAAGGGCACTCGGGCGAGGTGCGTTGCGGCGTCCACTGTACCTTTGCGATGATCTGGCTTCGTTGTAGGTCAAGTGCGTTGCAGTCTCTCCGGACGGGCGGCGCGTCGTGTCTGGTGATGGGAGTCTTAATACGCCAGGAGTGCTCAAGGTGTGGGACGTGGCGACCGGCGAATGCCTGGCGACGCTGGAAGGGCACTCTTATCAAGTGCGTTGCGGCGTCCACTGTACTTTTGTGATGATCTGTCTTCGTCGTAGGTCTGGGGCGTTGCCATCTCACCGGACGGGCGGCGCGTCGTTTCTTGTGATGGGGTTTGGAATAGCGGGGAAGGAGTGCTCAAGGTGTGGGACGTGGCGACCGGCAAATGCCTGGCGACGCTGCGAGGGCACTCGCGTGCCGTGCGTTGCGGCGTCCGCTGTACTTTTGTGATGATCTGTCTTCGTCGTAGGTCTATGGCGTTGCCGTGTTTCCGGACGGGCGGCGCGTCGTGTCTGGGTCGGGCGACAAGACGCTCAAGCTCTGGGGGATAAATAAATAAGACTCCTACTTAACCACGACCCCGAAGTCCGCCCTCAGCGTCGCCACCCTTTCCACCAAGGCATCCATGTCGGCGTCCTCCGCGTCGTACTCGAGCCACTCCAACAGGTCGTCGAGCTGCGCCTTGGATTTGCCAGACGCCGTCTTGTTCGCGGCGTAGCAGGCCTCCTCCAACGCGTTCCGCAGGCGCGCCTTCTCCGCGAACTGCGAGTCGCCTTCCCTCATTTTTTTCGCGTCCTCGATCATCCTTCTTATATCATCTTCGTCCAAGCGGCCGCGGTCGGCCTTGATCGTCGTCTCGGCGGACGCGTTCGTCACCGTATCTCGCGCGGAGACGGAGAGGATGCCGTTCGCGTCCAATGCGAAGGTCACATCAACCTTAGCCTCTCCAGCTTTACCCCTATATAGACCTTCGACCGAGAACTCGCCTAGCTTGTTGTTGCCGCTGACATGAGGTCTTTCTCCTTCATAGACACAAACATCAATTTGCGTCTGGAAGTCTTCTACTGTTGTATATTCTCTCGTCTTGCTACAGGGTATGGCTGTCGATCGTTTGATCAGTGTGGACATGTGCCCGCCCTCCAGCTCGATGCCTAGCGATAATGGAGTCACATCCAACAATACCAAGTCTTGGCAGCTTTCTGGCGCGAGATCTTGCCCGCCACCCGTCAACCCAGCTCGCAATATGGCGCCTTGCACCGCAGCACCCACGGCAACGGCCTCGTCGGGGTGCACCGTCTTGCACAGCTCCAGCCGCCCACCAAACTGGGCATACAGCTTCTCCTGCAGTTTGGGGACTCGCGTGGAACCACCTACCAAAACGCACTCGGTGATGTCGCTCATCTGGCAGCCCGCATCCCTCACGACGCTCTCCACCGTATTTAAACACGACTCAAAGAGGTCCGCACAGAGCCCCTCGAAGGCCTGGCGCGTGACGCGGACTTTCAGGTCCAGACCGGGCTGCAATTCCTCGGCCTCGACCTCGGCGTCCTCGGCGGTGGACAGCTCCCGTTTCGCGTTCTCACATAATCGAGCCAGTCGGCGCATGGCCTTGGGGTCGGCCTTCAGTTTCCCAATAATTTGTTGTTCTTCCTGTTTTCTCTTTTTTTCTGCCGCGGAAGAGCCTTTCTGATTTTTGTGGCCGTTCTTGACGTTCTTGATCTTCGGGCCGCAGGCTTTCCTCGCGTGGGCGCGGATGACGTGGTCGACGAGCCGCGCGTCGAAGTCCTCGCCGCCCAGGTGCGTGTCGCCGCCGGTCGCTTGCACGGCAAACACCCCGCCCTCCAACTGTAACACACTGACGTCAAACGTACCGCCGCCCAGGTCGAAAATTAACACTCGCCCGACCTCGGAGGACTTGGTAGCGAGGTCGTGCAGCCCGTACGCCAGGGCCGCGGCCGTCGGCTCGTTGATGATCCGCAGAACCTCCAGACCGGCAATTCTACCAGCGTCTTTGGTGGCCTGGCGCTGTTGGTCGTTGAAATGCGCGGGCACCGTGATGACCGCTCTCGTAATTTCTCTGCCGAGTTTTTTCGCGGCGATGTCGGCCATCTCCTGCAGGACCATGGCGCTGACTTCCTCGGGCGCGAACTGCTTCGTCTCGCCGCGCCATCTCACCTCAACTAAAGGTCTCTTGGATTTGGAAGGGTGCTCGCGGACCGGAAACGGCAAGCGCTTGCACTCGTCCTGCACCACATGATCTTGAAACGTCCGCCCAATAATGCGTTTCACGTCGAACAACGTGCCCTTGGCGTTGCTTGCTGCTTGGGACTTGGCGGCGGCTCCTACCAATCGACCGGTCTCCGTGAAGGCGACGTAACTCGGTGTTGTTCTGGCTCCTTCGCTGTTCTCCAGGACTTTCACTTTTTTTTCGGCGTCGTCGTAGACGGCAACACACGAAAACGTCGTGCCTAGGTCGATACCTAGCACGGGACCAGCATCGCCTTCGAAGGATGCCATGGTGTCCTGTCAGGCTTGCTGTTTTGCAGCGACGGGAGCGATTTTTGCAGCGATTGAACTCGCAGCGCTGCGCCTCGTGTATGAGTGCTGAGCGATGCTGCAGTGCTGTACTGCTGCGGAGCAATACTGCGGCGATGCACCAGCGTTTTTGCCTCGTCGATGCCGGGGCTCATCGCCTATTTTGGACGTCCGAATTCAAACTTTCAGCCGTCGCGGGACCCGATCCTTCCGGAGGCAGGGCTGGGCCAACGTGCAGGACGGTTCCCGGTGTGTGCGTTCGGCCTGGCAGCGTCTGCGGCGCAACCTCTTAGGCCGCTTTGAACGCGCCGCGCAGATAGTGCCACGCTGTAAGCGATCGTCGGTTTGCTCAACCATACCCATAGGCGACGCCGCTTTGCCCTTTAGGTCTGAAAGCAGCGCTTGAGCACTCCCCACAGTCTTGCATCTAAGAGAGCACCTCACCTCGGAGAGCGCTTCGCACGCTGGCAGCATTCGCCGGCAGCCATGAGGGCCGAAGAAGCCAGCTCCGACCTCGAGCGCCTCCGCGCGCTGTTCGCGGCCGAGCGAACCGCCAACTTTCCCGAGTTCACGGACGTCTACTGCGTCGACGCCGCCGACGACGTCTTGGCCCGCTTCGCAAGAGCGCGGCGCGGCGACCCCGACGCGGCGCTCGCGTTCCTCCGCGAGGACTACGAGTGGAGGAAAGCGGAGGACGCCGCTTCACTAAGATCGACGCCGCCGGCCGACGTCCTCGGTCAATCGCCCGATGTGCTGGCAGAATACTACCGCCGCCGCTGTGTAGGTTTGGACAGCGCGGGCCGCCTGACCTTCTATCAAGCTTATGCTTGTTGTGTAGTAAAGAAGCTCAAGACCGTCGTGCCGCTCGAGAACGTCGTGAAATACCACGCCTGGGAGCAGGAACGCGCCACGGCGATGCTCGACGCCCTCCGGAGTAGGAATCGCGGCGACGGCACGATGGCCGTGATCCTCGACGTCGCCGGCATGACGATCGGGAAGCACATCAACAAGGACTTCATCTGGCTCGTCAAGGCCATCGCGGCGCATGACCAGAGCCACTACCCCGAGCGCATGGGCGTCACTTTCATAATCAACGCGCCCGGTGCGGCCCGCGGCGTCCGGGGACGCGGCGACGGCGTCTCACGCGCGACCGCGCAGGCGTATTCGGCCTCGTCTGGCGCACTGTCCGGCCGTTCATCGACCCGGCGACGCGCGACAAGATAAAGATCGTGACGGCGCGGACGGACTGTGCGTGTCAGTGTCTTCAACGGGCCTTCGCAACGCGACGTCCCACTGAGCGGGTCATCACACAGGGCGGGAAGAGGTGCGCGCGGCTTTGGGCGACGGCGTCGTGGAGCGGGTCGAGGGCGGCGTCGACGTCGATGGAGACCACGCGCGGCCGCCGGCCGCCGTCGCGGCGTCACTCTGCGCGTCAATGGTAGGCCGCGACTCGGACGAGTCCGCCGGCGCGGCGACGACGCCGGCGCGGCCCGTGAGCCCGCCGGTCGAGGGCGCGCTCGCGCCGGCGCCGCTCGAGCGCAGATCGTCGTCGGCCGAGCTCGACGAGCTCTGGCCGCCCGACGCGTCGCCCGAACGGCCCCTCGAGGCGCCGCTGCTGCCCCTCGAGGTCGCCGACGACGTCAAGCTCGAGCAGATGGAGACCGGCGACGCCCCGCCCTCGGAAGGCTCGGAGGAGGCGAGCGCGCCGAAGAAGCCGCGGCCCATTCGTAGGTTTGAGGTCCTGGCACTCGCGCAGGTGCTGGCGGCGTTCGTCGTCGCTGCCGTGGCCGCTGGCGTCCTGCTCTCAAAGGACGCCGGCGCCTTCACGGGCACCGCCCTACTGGCGGCCGTCCTCGCGCTGCCGCTGACGGCGCTCGGCCTCCGCGCGGTCTACCGGCGCGACGCCGACGCGTTCGTCATGTACACGTTCCTCCAGCTCGGCCTCGTCCTGGCGCTCTGTTTTCTATCGGTGGCGTCTCTGACAATTGCGGCGAACGGCCGCGTCTCGGCGACGGTCCGCTTCCACCGCGCGTCCGTCGGTTGTGCCTGTTTGGTGCAGCTGCTCACGTCGTCGGCGACGACCTACAGCTCCTTCGGCGTCCACGCATTATTCGGCGCCTGATTTGTGCATAAGTAATCATTATATATTCGACTATTCCTTATTCTCCCCCTCATCATCATTATCTGCCGCTTGCTTCGCGGCCACGGCCGACGACACGACCGTGCCCAGCACCGCCGCCGCCGCGGTACCGGTCGCTATCGCTGCTTCGGCCTCCACAACTCCGGCAACCACGAGCGCCCCGGCGCCCGCCGCCGCGACCGCGCCGAGCGCCTGCACGATCTCCTGGTTCTTCGCCTCCGCCGCCTCGGGATCCACCTCTTCCGCGACCGGCGTCGGCTCAGGCTTCTTCGCCGAGAGGTCGTTGATCAGCTTCGACTGCCACTGCTCAAAAGAACTCTCGCCCGACGCGTAGATGTTCGGCCGCGACGCGTCGGACTGGGCCGCCTCGTATTTCAACTTTTGATCTTCCCGGAAGAACTTCGCCGGGTCGGTCCAGATGGTGGGCTGCGACATGAGGTCGCCCCTTTGCGGCCCCGACGCGCCGCCGACTTTACTACCCCACGCTCCCAGATTGGTTGATTTTTGTTCTTTGGCTTTGATCGCGGCGTACTGCTCCTTCGTGAGGCCGTCGGGGACGTAGCCCGTTGATGGCTCGGGCGTCGCCGCCGCCGGCGTGTCGCTCGGGCCCTGCTCGCCGCCCTCGTCGTCAGGACCGAAGTTCAAATTCACGCCGAGCATGGCCGGCAGGCCGACGGCCTTGCCTTTCCGTGATGCCGACTTGATCTTCGCTTTGACCTCGTCCATGCGGTCGCGCCGCTCGGCGGCCTTAGTTTGCCGCGCGACGTCGGCGAGCCGCGCGGCCTCGGCGTCGGCGACGCGCTTCGCCTCGATCTCGGCCTGGCGCGCCTCCGCCTCGGCTTTGCGCCTGGCTTCACTCTCGGCGTCCGCCTTGGCTCGCGCCACGCGCTGGGCCTCGGCCTCGGCGGCGCGCCGGGCCTCGAGGTCCGCGCGCTCGCGCTCGGCCCGCTCCCGCGCCGCCTGGGCCTCGGCCTCGCGCGCCGCGGTCTCCGCCGCGGCGCGCGCCGCCGCCTCGGCACGCTCGCGCTCGGCCGTTACGCGCGCCTCGGCCGCCGCGGCCTCGCGCGCTTTCCGCTCCGCGTCCGCGCGCTCGCGCGCCGCCGCCGCCTCCGCTTCCCGAGCTTCCGCTTCCGCTATTCTCCTCGCCTCGAGCTCGCGCCGTTCGATTTCGGCGCGCTCCTTCGCGGCCGCCGCCTCCGCTTCCCGAGCTTCCGCTTCCGCTATTCTCCTCGCCTCGAGCTCGCGCCGTTCGATTTCGGCGCGCTCCTTCGCGGCCGCCGCTTCCGCTTCCCTAGCTTCCGCATCGGCGATTCTCTTAGCCTCGAGCTCGCGCTTCTCGGCCTCGGCCTTGTCGCGCGCGGCCTGCGCCTCGGCGGCGCGGCGCTCCTCGAACGCGCGCCGCTCCGCGTCCGCCCTCTCGCGCGCCGCCTGGGCCGCGGCCTCGCGCTCGGCGGCCTCCGCGGCGCGGCGCTCCTCCAACTCTCTACGCTCGGCCTCGGCCTTGTCCCGCGCCGCTTGGCGCTCCGCCTCGGCGCGCGCCCGCGCGTCGAGCGCCTCGCCGTCGCGTAACGCCCGTTTCGCGTCGTCCAGGGCCTTCTGGGCCTCGAGCTGGTCGCCGATGGCGGCTTCGAGCGTGGACTTGAGCTGGTCGACGTGGTACGTGCGGGCCGCGCAATCGCCCTCGGCGCAGGCGACGGCGTCCCGCAGCGCGTCGACGTCGATCTCGGCTTCCGTCGGCGTCGACCTGAGCGTGAGCCGGGGCCGTCTCGTCGTCGGGGCGAAGGCGCCGCATGGGCAGCCGAAAAGGAGAGCTAGCACATTCAGCAGCTGCATGGCGCGGCTGCGCTTTCGGGGCGGACCGCGCTTTCACCAGGGCTGGCCGCACAGACAGGCTTGTCGGAAATCACTCAACGGGCGAGTTTAGGGCGCACAGCCAGCGTGAGAAGGACAAAAAGTGCGCGTCTGTCGATCTTGTGTAATTAGCTAGCGCCGGTAAGATACTAGCTAAATTATTTTCGCCGATGAATCGCTCTTCTGGGACGTACGCAGAGAGTCGAGGAGCGCGAGAGGAGACGGCTTCCACAACCGAAAGCTTGCCTTCGACACAACCCGCATGCTACGCCATCGAGCAGACGCAGCATAGAGACGCAGCACCGAGACACAGCAGTACAATCCATACTAAACTTACGCGAACAGCTTCGCCGAAGCCTTCGCCAAATCCAAATTCCCGCCGCACAAGATGACCCCCACCGTCCCGTACTCGTCCGCGGGATACCTCGCCCGGAACGCCTCGGACAAGACACACGCGACGCCCACGCCCGCCGACGGCTCGATGCACAGCTTCATGCGGCCCCATATTAACGCCGTCGCTTTTTTGATCTCGCTCTCCTCCACAGTGATAATTTCGTCGACCAAATCGCGGACCACGGGCCACGTGTTCGACCCCAGGAGCGTCTTCAGGCCGTCCGCCACACTATCCCGGTCGTCGTGGCCTACTAATTCACCTTTCTGTTTGGACCTATAAGCATCATCCACGTTTTTCGGTTCAGCCCCAATGATCTTCAACGAAGGCCGCTTCCACTTCGCGTACACCGCAATGCCGCCAATGAGGCCGCCGCCGCCGACCGGCACGACCAACGCGTCCAGGTCCGAACATTGCTCCAAAAATTCGACCGCGACCGACCCCTGTCCCGAGATGACTCTAGGTTCATTGGACGGGTGCACAAAATAACCTTGGACCTCCTCGGTCTTTTTTTGAGCGGCTTCGGCCCTTGCTTTGTTGGTAGGTTCGCATAATGTTATATGAGCCCCGTAGCCCGCGACCGCGGCGCGCTTCACGGCCGGCGCCGTCCGCGGCATGACGACGTGGGCCTCGCGGTTTGTGGATCTAGCTGCCAGGGCCAGGGCCTGGGCGTGGTTGCCCGAACTGTGCGTCACGAGGGGCGCGTTCTCGGGCGCTTGCAAAGCTGCATTTGTGGCCCCGCGGATCTTGAACGACCCCGTCCGCTGGAAGACCTCGCACTTGAACTTCAGGGAGCGCCCGGCCAGCTCGTCGAGGCCATGGCACGTTAAGACTGGCGTCCGGTGGACGTGCGGCCTGACGCGTTTCGCGGCGTCGACGACATCTTTGGGTGTGACGGGGAAATCGGCTGGGAGCGGTTGCGGTGGTACGTGGATGTTGCGTCTTCTGATGATTCTGATGGCTGCGGCGACGCCCGCGACGGCGCTGGCCAGCAGGTAGCGCTGCTGGGCTTTGGAGGGCATGGCTGCTGCTCTGTTTTACTGCCGTAGAGCTGCGCGGCGATGGCGTGCGGGGTGGATGCCGAGACCTCGCGCGCGTACGAGGTTCGTACGAGCTTTTTAGGCAGCTTTTTGGCGCGCCGAGTCGATGCTAGCGTGTCGACACACTCTAGCATTTCGAAAGAACACGCGTGTACATCGTCCGTCGACGGAATGTGTTATGACGGTACATGTTAGAGGAGGAGAAAAGCACATGTACACAATCCTTACTACACTTACGGCAGGCCGCCATAGCCGCCTCCGAGGCGTGCCCCGCGGTAGAAGAGCGCGAGCGAGAATTGGACCACCGTCGCGAGGGACGCGACCATCCGCACGTGGTTCCAGGCCGTCCAGGACGTGTAGTAGCGCGCCCAGACCTCGGCGTCGTTTCCGCCCTTTTTGTGCGCCGCGAGGGCGTCGTTCTTCGGGATGTGACATATGATCGTCTCGAGGAACTCGCCGACGATGAGCGTGAGCGCGCCGCCGAACCTGCGTCGCGTCGACGGCGTGAGGGCGACGCCGTCGGCGCGATCCCGGCAAGGACGCCGGGCCGAGCATGAGCGCGACGTCCGTCGACGAGCCTACTCCCACCGCCAGGGCCTCGGCGACCAGCCAGCAGCATATGAGCGGCGTGCCCATAAATGCTGCGATGAACTTGGGGTTCACGATGACGACGTTGATGCTGTTCATCGTATTGATGGCCGTCTGTGGGTCTTGCTGATTCAAGGCGTCCATGACGCAGAACGAGAAGATGAAGTAGCAGCCTCCTAGAATGGCCGCGCCGACGGTGCCGGCGACGAGGCCGACGCGGATGCGGTCGAATCCTGCCATGAGCTTGCGGACTGGCTCTACACGAGACGCAGCGCCGGCGACGAGTGGAACCGCGAAGGCGCGGGCGAGGTTCTTCTTGATAGCGCGCGTCGCGGGCTCTTCGCGCGATACGGGCAGGCGGCGGCGCGTCGCGGATAGGCCGTTTACGCTCGTAATAAGCGCAGCTAATGCGATGAACGAGCAACGCATTCGCTGTGCGTCGTGGAGCAGGCGTCACGCTGCCGCAGCGAGGAGATATGTACGTCGTCGCACTGCTGGACGCCGCTCTGCGTTCGCGGAGCGCGTGGGCGTGCCTATTTGCGCCGGAGAGCAGGCAAGGCAAAAGCAAACTTCTCGAGAGGCCAGCCAACGGCGGCAGCGTTCGAGCGAGGCGTGGACCCAGCACGAGCACTCCTCCGGCCGCCCAGGACTGCTGCCGGACGGACACTAGCGTTCAAAGCCTAGTGGCGTCGGGCGTTTCATCCAACAGCGGCTGGGCTAATTTGCGCCGTCCGGCCCGAGCAAAGCACGTGAGTGACGCGAGCTCACCGGTAGCTTACAGCTTAGCCACCGCGCACAGCTCACCCAAAAAAAGGCTGCCGCGCGACGCGTGCGAGGCAGCCCCAGCAGCCGCGAGGACAGGGCAGCCCCACGAGCGCCATGGACGAGGCCGCCCTCGACGCCCAGAACGAGGTCGAGGTCGTGGAACAGTATGAGATAAGTGATGATGAGGCCGACGAATTTGATTATGATGCCGTCGAAGCGCCGGACGACGAGGACGACGACGACGACGATGATGAAGACTTCGCTGCCGCTCTTGCCAGTGTACAAAGATTAGACGAAAAATCAAGAGCCGGAAGCACGGTAGCCTCCCAAAGGGACATAGGAACACCGGCGGCCAAACCGACGTTAACTCAAGTCAGACCTGAAGTGGTCGACGATTTTATACGCAACTTCCTGATCAAGGTGGGCATGTCGAGGACCCTAGATAACTTCAACAGCGAGTGGTACGACCTCCAGCAGAAGGGGAAGCTGGCCGAAGTGTACACGGACACGGTTCCCGACATATATGTCCGGAACCAGGACCTCGATGAGAGAGTAGTAGCCTTACAACAGCAGCTCGACAAGATGCGCATCATAACCGAAAAAGCCCAGGGCACCTGGGACAAGTTCCGCAAGGAGCGCGACTTCCATCGCATGCACCACCGGCGCGTGCGATCGCGGCGTCCTCGAATCGCTCAAATCCCGCCCAAAATCGGAAAGAAGACCACCATGCATCTTCTCTCGTGGAGACGATCACATAGAGACGCCTCGCGACGCAAACAGACGCCCACATCACGCGAAACCGCCGCAGGTCGTTCAGGAAAAAGCGAAGCTTACGACGGACCTCCAGCGGTTGCGGAAGCACTACCTGTCGTACGAGCCGACCCTCAAGGACCTCCAGAAGAAGTACGAGGTGGCCATGAAGGAGAAGATGCTCACGCGGCTCGAGCGGGATCGGATCAAGGCTAGAGTACACACACTAGAAGCGCAAGTGCAGCAGCTCCAGGCCGAGAAGGCCGCGGCCACGAAGGCCCCAGCCACGCCGAAGCCGCCGCGGCCGAAGCGCGGCGCGGATTCGAAGCTGCCACCTCGGGATTCGGTGCCGAACCCCTACGCGTCCTTAACCTTCGACCCGCCGGGCATCGAGCGGTATCAGTTGAGAAGGACCTTCAAGGGCCACGTCAACGCCGTATCTGCTGCAGCTTTTCACCCTCATAAACCGATCCTGGTGCGGACGCGGCGTCCGTTTCCGACCTTTCGTTTCCCAACTTTTCTGATTCGCGTCGATGGCGTCGTCGCGATGCCGTGGCGCCTCGACGCCGTCGACGCGGCCGCATGAGAGCCTACGCGTCGCGTGAGTGAACGGAGGCGGTGTCGCGACGACGTCGGTCTCACGCAGGCCACTGTTTCTGATGATGCCACCTGGAAGCTCTGGTCCGTCCCGAACTGCGACCTGGTCATGTCCGGCGAAGGTCATAGAGATTGGATTTCTGGGGTTGATTTCCATCCTGCTGGCAGTCATCTTGCGACGGCTTCTGGAGATAGAACGGTCAAAATTTGGGATTTTGCCGGTGCTGACTCAGTGTACTGAACCCGTCGCCGCGACCGCGACGGTCACGCGTTCGCGTCCCCGCAGGTGCCGCCTGCGCCCACACCTTCTCGGACCACACGCAAGCGGTCTGGGACTGCGCGTTCCACCATACCGGTGACTTTTTGGCGTCGTGCTCGATGGACCATACGACTAGATTGTGGGACCTGTCCTCCCTGAGATGTCGGCAGACGCTGCGGGGCCACGTCGACAGCGTGAACGCCTGCGCCTGGCAGCCCTTCTCGAACAACATCTGCACGGCCTCCGGCGACAAGACCGTGTCGATCTGGGACGCCCGGTCGGCATTATGCGTGCAGACTTTTTATGGACACACGAACGCGTGCAACGGCGTCGCCTGCAACGCGCGCGGCGACGTGGTTGCCAGTTGCGACGCGGACGGCGTGGTCAAGCTCTGGGACGTGCGCACGGTCACGGAGATCGGCACGATCCACGTGTCGACACACCCAGTCAACAAGGTCTGCTTCGACCGATCTGGGACGAGGATCGTGTGTGCTGGGGATGATGGTCTCGTGCACGGCTACTCGACGGACGACCTGTCGAGCGTGCTATGGAGTGGTAGAGGACATGAAGATGCCGTCCAGGGGGTCTGCTTCGACCCCGCCGATACGTTACTGGTGTCGACGTCGACGGACTGCACGTTCCGCATCTGGTCGTAGGTTGGGGGCCTAAGCTTGGTGTCCTTCTACTGCTCGTGTACCGCGCGTCCGCGGGGCGCGCCTCTGCTTCTTGTTGATGGGGAGCGTCGCAACGGCGTCCCAGATCCCTCTGCTTTCACTTGTCGGTCCCCCAAAACCCCGTCTGGGACTCCGTGATGACCTATCCTACCAGACGCGGACCGCCGAGATGCGACTCGAGATGCAGGGAACGCGCGACAATTGGTGGCTGTGCGTTGCCGCATAAATGCAGCTAACACCCTAAGAAATGGCTTTTGCATCGCGTACGAGGCCCCTGCGGTGCTTCATTGCGTTGACGGCGATCTTGGGTGCCGTTTCGCTCCACACTCCGCAAAAATTACGGACAACTGCCAGCACGTCGCAGCTCAGCCAATCATGCCGCAGCGCGGTTACGCGGCGCAGCGTCATCCGCTACACCGCCACAGAACCGCTAATCGAAATTAGCGACTCGGACACCGCCGGCGACGACGAAAAGATCTACGCGGCGGCGTCGGCGGCGGCGCCGTCGGGCCTTTTCGGCGCGCGGAGCAGCATTGAGCCATACTTGGCGCTGGAGATTCCGGTCGTCGACGATGTGGCGACGACCAAGGAGGACGAGGAGGGCTCGTCCTTCGGCCTCGACCTAGAAATGAGGAGACCGGGCGGTTTCGCGCCGGTTGCGGACGCCTCGGGCAAGACGCAGTCGAAGGACTGGCTCCACTGCCTCTCGACGTGGCCGCAGTCGTACGTGTTGAGACGCATCAGCAACCCGCTCGCGTCAATTGTCGTGTGGTCCTCCCTGGTGGCGGCGTGGTACCGCGTCTTCCGGCCCTTCGTCAAGCCGCTCGGCACGGGCATGCACACGCTCGTCGGTGGCGCGCTGTCCCTATTACTGGTATTCAGAACGAACACGGCGTATAATCGATTCTGGGACGGCCGGAGCATTTTTGGGAGCGTCGCGACGGCGGCGCGCGATGTTGTTGAATTTGCTGGTTTATATCGGAGAGAAATCGGCGTCCAGCGCGCGGACCGAATTTCGTCGCTCCTGAAAGCGTTCCCGATCGCGCTGCAGCTCCATTTGCAGGGCTTCCGGTTCTCGCCGACGTCGGGCGGCGCCCCGAGCGCGGCCGAGGCGAAGGACGCGGCCTGCGTCGGCGAAAAAGAGGTGCTGCGCCTCTTCCGGCGCATGGGCGGTAAGGATAGCGGCGAAGTCATCGCGCGCGACGATTTCGTGCGCTCGCTGAGGAAGAGCCCGGAGGTCGCCGCGGCGTTGGGCGTGCCCACGGATCTGAAGGCGGAGGAAGCGTTGGACCAGCTCCATCGCCTGAAATACGACGCTCCGAGAGATCCCGAAGCCGGTGTCGGGCTGCGAGAATTGGCGGCCTACTACGCGCCTCTAGACTTGTGGCGCGCGCTGCGGCGGGCGGGCGCCGAGACGCGCGACGCCGTCGCGCGGTCCTCGAACATGCCCCTCGCGATCACGACGAAGATCGCCCAGGAGATCAAAAGTGTATCGTACGCGCCCGACGACTCCTTTACGGTCAGAGAGCGGTTGTACCTGCTCAAGCGCGTCGCGGATCTACGAAGCACGATCGCGCGCGCCGAGCGGATCGTGCAGACACCGGTACCGTTGCACTACGCGCGGCACACGTCGCGCTTCCTGTCGGTGTGGTGCTTCACGCTGCCGCTCTGCCTCGCGCCGACCGTGCCGGCCGTCGTTTTGCCCGTCGTCGTCGGCCTCGCGTCGTGGGCGCTCTTGGGCCTGCGGGAAATCGGCCTGTTGATCGAGAACCCGTTCCGGCGGTCGCTCCAGCTCACGCAGTGCACGGACGCGTTAGGGCGGGAGATCGACGAGACGCTCGCGCTGCACCGGTGAACGTCGCTCACCATCATTCCCCTCGTCCCCCGCCCGAAAAAAGATCAAGAAAAAAAGAAAGTCCCTCGCCGCCGCGCACACGGCCGGCTCCCCAACTGTTAGCCTGTAATGTATTCACTTCCACTAGTGGCCGTCCGAGTAGTCGCAGACCGGGACAGAGTCCTTGTAGATCTCGGCGTGGGCGTTGCTGCTAGTGGCACCGAGCGCTCCTCGGAGTACGCCTGGACGCCACTAGCTCCGATGACCGCTCCTATGGCCTGAGTACGCGCTAGCGGTAAGACACTAGGCACAAGCGCCGAAGCGCCGCGGCGCGCGGGATACCGAGGCCTCAGCGGCAGCGGGGCAAACGCAGCCCGTTGCGTCGCGCGGGCGCGCCGCAGCATTGCTGCGCACGGGGCAGCTCGTCCGCGGAGCGCACCAGAAAGTGTCCCTCACTGGGGAGAGCCTGGAAGCATGGCCCCGCGCCGCAAGAAGCAGCCCCACCCGCCGCGCGTCGCGCGCCACGCCCCACCGTCACCGACGAAACCGCGGCCAAGAGGCGCGGGCCGAGGCGCGCGCGGCGGCATCGCTTGCATGATATTGTTAGCCACGGTCGCGCAGCTGTCGCACCTGCCGATGCTCAGCAACCGCACTCCAACGCAACAGAGCGGACTCTTCACTCGCATCTGGTCGAGCGCGCAGCAGCGCGCCGGTCATTATGGATTGAGCTCGGAAGTGACCGTCGCACAACGAGCCTGCGGGAAGTGCGACGCGACGACGCTACACATCGCGATCCGGAGCGACTTAACCCGAGACGGGGCGGAGCGTCGAGAGGGTGCCCGTCGGACGTGGCTGCGCTGGCTCAGAGGTCTCGAGGGCGTCTCCTACGAGTTTTTTGTGGTCGACGCTCAATCGACGAATAGAACCGGATTACAGCAAGATCTGGTACGGGAATACGACCGTCATAAAGATGTGGGCGTCGAGGTCCTGAGTCAAGGCGACGAGCTTAGTGCAGAATTAAAAATAATAAGCCGCGTTCTACAAGAAAAAAAACAACTATCACATGTCTTGGCGACGAACGACCGGTCGCTGCTCTGCGTCCATCGTATTAGAGAAGAAATAAAAAAGCGGCCCTTATTTCAGTTCGCTTGGACGAAATTTCAATGTGTGGCGCCCTCTGATATACTGCCGCCCTTACAGTTGGCCGAGGGGTTCCTGCTCCTCACGCGGGACGTCGCGGAGTTGCTGGCCAAGCTGAGCGATAATGGTCGAAGAGCGTTAGATGTGGCCGCTTTATTGCCACTGCTATCTGTTACTACCCTAGATGATCAAACTAGATTAGCATCTCCCCAAACAACGTCAGAACACATCCAGATGCTGTACGACCAGACCAAATCACGAGCTTTTAGACCGAAGCAGATGCACTTCTGCCAGAGGCACGTCGCGGCGTTGGACGTTGGTTCCAGAAAATGGTACCCCGCGACGCCGCGGCCGACGTTCATGCCCACCCCAAGGCCTTCCCGGCGACCGTCGCCGCGGCCGACGCGGCCGCCTCGTAGCTTCTTCCAGGAACAGGTCGACGAACCGGTGTCAGAAAGGCCGCCTCTGGAGCGCCGCCGCCGCCGCCGCCGCTGGCTCCCGCGCCTCTGGACCGGCCGGCGCTTGAAAGCAGCGGGCTTCTTCGAGCTCGTAAAGACGCAGGACGACGACGATGCGCCAATAGCGCAGCATGATGATGATGCGCCGAGAGAACCGAAACTAGCACCAGAAAATGATGATGATGACACCCCTGAGAAGGAGGCCGAGGCGTGGCTCGACCAGGGCAAGGTGCCGGAAGGTGATTGGTTAGATGCTGGCGTCGAGGCGGACGTGTCTGGCGACGAGTCCGACGACGATCAGGGCGACGACGGCGTGAATCTGGACACGGAGGGCGACGACGAACCTAACAAGGGAGGAGACTGGGCCTACGAGGCGACGCCGCCGAGGCTGCGCGGCGCCCAGGACGACGCACCGCCACCGAGGCTGCGCGGCGCCGATGACCCACCGAGGCTGCGCGGCGCCTCCGATGATCGCCTCAAGCGCCTCCAGAAGATGCGCGAGAAGCTGCTGGGGGCCGAGACGGCGGCGAAGCTCGAACAAATGACGACGCCCGCTCCACGGATGGCCGGTGGTCGAGCGTCCGACGACGACGCCCCGCTCATCAAAAAGAAGAAGAAGAAGACGGCCTGGGGCTCGTCCTTGTTCACGTGGAAGGCAATAACGCCGGCGCCTCATGCAGCGGAACCGACGATACCGGCCTCAGTACAAATCTCCAAGCCGGGACCGTTGCGCTCCTTAGTTTTCGGCACCATGGGTTTACAAGGCGGCGCTCAATTAACTTGGAGCGTCGGCGCGCCGCAGTACGCGGCGCTGGGGCCTCTCTGTGGCACGCCGCCTTTACGCACATTTAGGGCACCTCGCGTGACCGAAGCCGAAGCGCTGGCAAGAAGGGACCAACGACGACGGTCCTTGACAGCTGGTATCGTCGATGCGACGCGGAAGACCGCCGTGGCTTCGCTATTAGTGGAAAGGTTTACGGAAACCGCCTCAGAAAGTCAAGTGGCAGCCGTGCAGCCCAAGCTCATGGCCTGTAGCTTCTCCGTCGACTGCTTATTACCTACGGTGTCTTCGACAATCGTGAAGCTGTGGTGGTCCGAGCTGCAGACGCCGAAATTGGAAGAGTGCTGCCCCGAGCGAGCTGCAACGCTAAAAACCTGCGGCGCCTACCAGACGCGGACATTCCGCCCCGAAAGCTCGAAACCGGCCGTCCTAGCGTCCTTCCCGGGCTCGGGCAACACCTGGACGCGGTTACTGTTAGAGCACGCGTCGGGCTACTACACGGGATCGGTTTACGATGACGTTGACCTCATGAGGTTGTTGCCGGCGGAAGGCGTGGATAGCGGTGCTGTGTTAGTGGTGAAGGCGCACCTGAACCCGGCGAAGTACATGCCGCAGACCACGGCCGAACGCATCATATTGCTGGTACGACATCCGTTCGACGCGATCTGGAGCGAGTACAACCGGCGCATAGCGGGAGGCCACGCGAACGCCGCGGGCGAGCGCGACGTGACCTCCCCTAGGTTCGCCATGTTCGCGCGGTGCATGGGCTGCAAGTGGATGCGTGCTTTTGGCGGCGTCCTTTCCTTGTCCACCGTCGACTCTACTCTCACACAGGCTACGCGATGATGCACGCCGACCTCGCGTCGTCCGGACGGGCCGTGCGCGTTTTGAGATATGAGGACCTCGTGAGGAGCACGGAACCTACATTAAGGGCCATGCTCCGCTTCCTCGAGATCGACAACGTCGATAGTAACAGAATCGACTGCGCCAAGCAGTTGTCTGATGACCCGTCCGTCAAGAGAATCAAAAAAAGATCGGCGACGGAGCTCATGGGCAACTACACGCCGGGCCTGGCCTGCGGGTTATGGCGCCAGATCTCGGGCAGCGAGCAGGCGAAGCTACTGTTGGCCACGATGGGCTACCGCGAGCCCCGCGTCTGCGCGGATCAGTCGTCGCGTAGTGGTACGTCCTTCTTCTGTGATTTGGAAGATGTCAGTGCGATGTCGGAAGGGCGCGGCGACAACTGCGGCGGCAACCTCGTTTCACCCAGACCGATGGTGCGGTCGTCGCGGACGACGACGTCGTCGTCGTCGCGCTTGCAGTTGAGACCTAGGGTCGTGCACGTGCGCGGGACGCAGTCGAAGCCGCGCGAGACGGCGCTGGACCGGGCGCGGAAACGGGCCGCGGAGCAGCGCGCCGCGCGCAATGAAAAACCCGCCGCGGGGTCCTGGCTGGCCCAGCAGCAGCGCGCCGAGGCCGTCAGGCGGCGGCGGGAGATGAGAAAGAAGTGGGGGTCGAAGGGCAAGTAAGTTTTAATTCGGTGTCATAGTCCCTACGCCGTCGACGCCAGAGCGGGAATTAAGCTCTGAACTTCACTATTCGGGGGTCAGTCGGAGAGGTCTAATTTCAAAAGCCATCCGCCTAGGCCTGTACACATGTATACATCTAGTATATATCCATATATATATATATATACGGATTCCTAGTGTGTCGATACGCTAGATCACTAGGTCTTGCGGCTCGCCAAAATACACCAGCGATTGACGGCGCCTTCTACCGTCCAAATGATACATCATATCAACTCCAGCCCAGTTTTCATGCATAATCGACGGAACCGGAGCCGACGGCCCGCGCTCGGAGGGCGGGAAAAGAATTTTACTAGACAACTCTCGCGTTTATGTTCATTTCCTTCCGTTTGTTGGGGGTAGAGTCCATCTAGGCCGATTGAACACTTATCTAACTACTTTAGATGACCCGTTAGAGCGGCACGATTCGTCATCTTCGCGACCCCACGTTTAGGCGTAGCCGGTCTCAGATCCTAACCCTGCGAGTATCAGCGACGCAACTACCCAGATGGACCATAAAGCCGTTGTTCTATTCACGATCGACCGACTTGCCCGTTCTCCGCGGGCGACGGTGCGTACGCGGGGCACTGAATTGGCCCCAGACCAGTGAGTTGTGAAATAAATTCGATTTTCAGGCGCTTTTGTTGTGGGACGGGCCAGCTAACCGGCCTGAGCGGCTACTACATTGCTTGAGACCCCACGATGCTCCGCGCGGCTCGGCTCGGCCGCGAGCCCACTATCTCGCTAATTTTGGCGTTAGACCTGGACCTGCGACCATCAGCCCGTGTACCATCACCATGGACCAGGACAGGATCATTTATTTCATGATCGACCGACTTGCGCGAGGTCCAGATAAAGATGTTCACGTCCCGAGCGCGGGCTGCCAAAAGTACCCTTCTTATAATGTAGATGGCATATACTTGTAATCCACTATCGCTGGGGTAGTATGGGGTCCAACGAGACCGCTACGGCGACTACTGGGGGCCCTCGGGTAATTGACGTTTTTGACGGGAACGGGGCGCCATCGGGCCCAAATTATTTACTTTTTTCGGATGCAGATCGGCTCGCGGACTCCCTCCGGGATAGGTATGGGGTCGGGTAGTCGGCTACGCCGCATGCGCGAGAGCTTGGGGCTCCCCAGAGAGCTCTGGATCGAAATCTTTGGCAAATCATGGCCAATAGAGGTATAGCGCAAAGGACCATGGGAGATGTATCTTACTCTAGAAGCGGCGGCGTAGGCGGCGTAGGCGATTGCACATGTATTATACGACCCTAGGCGACCTCGCGGAGACCTCAGGACCACGAATCGACAGGATTCCACCGACGCGCCCGCCATGGTGGCGTCGTCAATTTCGCGAATTAAAAAAAATTAATTTTTTCGCCCCCCAGTACGTGTCCCATTGATCTCTTTGGACCATTAGCGAACTGAACGGTACTCAAACAGCTGCATACTGCGTTCAAGTTTGCTTGCTAGTGTCTTACACACCGCTAGCTTTTTTTGCGGAGCAATTATTTTTTTGGGAGCGCAGCTTTACGCTATTAGAGCTCGCTATATAGTAGTTTGGAAAGCTGCAGTCCAGCGAGTGCCAGCGCTGCCAGCACGCTAGTCGACGCCGCATTGCGCCGCCCCCCGGCATCTCGGTTCCTACAGCAGGCTAGAACTTGACGCTAGCCGACGCGTCGTGCGCCCCCAGCAGCTCCATAGCCGAGCACCAGCGACGGCGCCCGTCCTCCGCAAGCGCATGCAACGGGCCGTCCCGGCGGCGCCGGTCGCGACGCCCGAGAGCCAGAGCCGCCCCAAGATGAAGCAACCAGCCGCCGAAAAGACGAAGCTGCCCACGACGTTGGTAGCGGCGTTGCTCTGCGCTTTTTCGGTCACGCAAGCGCTCGCGGCCATCGCGTCGAAAGGCGGCCAGCGAGAGTACCCCTACAAGGTCGTCGCGTCCACATTATTATCCGAAACCTTCAAGATCGTGTGTTCAGCATTTTTTCTCATGAGAGAGTTATCAACTCTAAACGAAATAGACCGGAAACGAGCGTTGCAGTGCACGGCCGCTTCCGTAGCGACGGCCGCCGTGCCGGGCGTCGCGTACCAAGTGCTCAACAACCTGAATTTTGTTACTTTATATTATGTCGACGCGCCGACGTTTCAGATCCTCGGGAATTTGAAGATCGTCGCGACGGGCTTGGCGGGTCAAGTTTTACTATCAAGGAAATTATCTAGAGGAAAATGGCTCGCCCTGACACTACTCACGATCGGCGCCGCGGTGTCGCAATTAACGTCGACTTCGGATCATTTGTTCGAAGGGGCTTTGTTCGGCTACGCGTCGGCGCTCGTCTGTGTTTTTCTAAGTGCGACGATGGGTGTTTTTACGGAGGCCTTCATGAAGGGCAACAAGGCGTCGATCCACTTCCAGAACGTCCAGTTATATGTATTTGGCATCTTAGCTAATCTATGCGCTTTGATCTATCGCAACGAGATCGGTCCTTCCGCCTCGACGTCGCTGTTTCACGGCTTCAACGGCTGGGCGTGCGTCGTGGTGGTGGCGAACGGTAGTTGTGGCCTGGCGGTGTCCTTTTTGTTGCGGTACGCTGACTCCATCGCCAAAACGTATGCTACCGCTCTCAGCATCCCGGCGACGTCGTTGGCGTCCTATATTTGCTTCGGGTCGCCGATTGGGGCCGCGAACGTGCTCGGTTCGGGCGTCATGGTCATCAGCCTGATCTACTACTACGCCGGCGCGGCGTTGTTTGAGGGGGAGAGCTGCTAGGGCCTAAGTTATGCTACGTATGAATACGTGTGTCGTTTGAGGGCGTAACATATCGAGGACACGGGTTTTTCACAGAATTTTGCGCACGGAGCTTGAACTGTGAGTTACCATAAGCAATTGGCGCGTTCAGGGCTTTCTACGAGCCTCAGGCCCACTCACACAGCGCGCGAACCAAACAGCGACGACGGTCTAACCTGTAGAAAAACCATACAGCTTCACAGCCACACAAAAATAGGAAGACTAGTTAAGCACACAAGAAGGCATGTGGAGCATTGCGCTCCTCTGCTCGCTCGCCGCCGGCCACCCGCACCACGGGTTTCCTCATTCCGGCGGGAAAAAGGAAGTGACGTCGGCTACGTCCGGTGGCAATGGGCAATGCACCGGACAGACGGCGTGCACCCCTGACGGCAGCCCGTGCGCAAAGGGCGAATTTTGCAACTTTGACGAGGTCCCGAGTTGTGAGAAATGCTCGCAATTCCATGCGCCTGCCGCCTGCACAACGATGGTCTCAGGTCTGCCGAGCAACGGGGCGGCAGATTGCCACGCGTGCTGCTTCGGTGGCGGGAAAAAGGTCGACGCGGCGGAGACGCCGGAGATCGAGTGCCGCCCTACTCAGACGCGCGCAGAATGTGCGGATAACATCCCGTACGCGTACTGGGATTGGGGCGCCAACTGGTTTTGTGAGGATTGGGTGGGTAACGAGGACCAGGCGAACTGCGAGCTGTGCGGCGACTGCTGCATCTGGCAAGACGGCAAGTGCACATACAACAACAATGAGGGAAAAGGGCCGAGTAAATCTTGCCCCGCGCTCGATACGCCACCCCCGCCTCCCACGTCAAGCCCAACAACAACGTTCCAGGCCAGTTGCCCCGGTCCTTGCACACGGGAGTCCAAAGACGACGCGTGCCACGACTTCGGCCCAGTGGACACGCCGTTCGAGCTGATGACGCCCGACGCCGCGCGCGAGGAGTGCGGCCTCTCCCGGGACACGGCGAAAAATCTCGCCAACGTAGGCTACGACCAGGTCATGTGTCCGTTCGGAGTCCTAGTGATCGGTCATAACGAGGTTCCGGCGAACAACGTCAAGTTCGCCGCGAACGTGATCGCGGAGCTCCTGGACCCGAACCAAGACGGCGTCGCGGACGCACCCGCCGTTCAAAAGGCGCTGCAGATCGGGTCGGAGACGGCTGCCGTGTTCGTGATCGGCACCTACAAAGAGGAGCACGACGACTTCTATTCAGATGCTCTATCTGATGCGACTGGTTTCCCTAATATGTTCGGTAGCCAGAAGCTCTCGCCGCCCGGGAGATACTCCATGAGCGCCCTCAGGATCGGGACGCGGTTCCGTAGCGCGCTCGGGTGATGGTGTTGCCTGTGTGGAATCGCGTCGTCGATGGCGTGTGGTGCATTACACGAACGTTCGACGCGGTACGCGTGCGGGCATTCGACCTCGACGTATTTACCTCTAGTGCTGTCCCAGAGCGGCTGGACCGAACCCCGGCCGCAGGGCGGGACCGTGCTCGCCATGGCAATGATACGTACACCGCCGGTGGTTGAATTTGTCACTGCACTTCCCCGAGGCAAGTTTTTGCGGCCGCGGATACTGCGGTTGCGTACGAGCAAGGCTAAGGTAAAGATCCACAAGAACTTTGCTTTCCGTCGTCTCACAATTGTGACGTCTCGACACGAGACCACGCGACCGACCGTGGTTCTCACACGCAAAACTTTACGCCCTATGAATGGCGAATGCCGTAAATAAAGCCGTAGGCCAGTTGTTGTCCAGGTTTCACAGCTAGCGGTCTGTAAAGGCACTAGCGAGCATAGATGTATCAGGTGATGATGGCAAGCTGCCCCCATACGCCATCGACGCGCACGCATCGATTATAAACGTCTAAAGTTAGCTCTCTACGGAAGTGCCACGCGGCACGACGCAACAGAAGTATCACAGTCATATCACTTACACAGGAGGACGACCTCACATGAAGCACTCGGCGATGCGCCCGAGCGGCCCCGTGCGCACCTTGACGAACTGGAGCAGCAGGTTGTTCGCCGGCATGTCAATACGTTTCTTCGCCTCCAGACCGGCATACGACGCCAACCGGTTCAAATCATCGACGTCGCGCAGGCCCCACTCCACGCTGTTCTCCCTCAACTTGGCATCGAACTTGCGGTTGCCCGCGCCGTCGTCGTCGCCGATGAATTCGCCATTAACTTTAAAAGGGCCGTAAATGAGTAATTGCCCTCCAGGTCTCAGAACTTCACCAGCACCTTCAAATAAAGCCTCGGAGCAGGCCCAGGGCGAGACATGGAGCACGTTGCAACACACGAGCAAATCCAACGACCCCACGTTCTCGAACCAGTTCTCGTCCAGCAGATCGACGGCCACGGACGGCAGCACGTTCGCGAAGGGCTGCAAATGGGCATCTAACGTCTCCAGTTCACTGCCTAATCTTCTTCCAATTTTCCCGTGCGCCGCCCACTGGTTCTCGACCTCGACGGGTTCTTGAGGGACGAATTCGGTCGGCAGCCAATTTATTCCTGGGAAGCCCGGTGCGAGGACTTCTAGTAGGGCTCCCGTTCCCGCGCCGATCTCGCAGGCGTCTCCTACCACTTCTTCGTTCGGGAGTAACTTCAGCAGAGCCTTGAGGATGGGAACGCGGTTCCGCAGCGCCGACGCGTGGTGGAGCTGCGGCAGTTCCGTTTGTGCTTTGTCGACCTGCGACGCCGCGGCGGCGAGGCTGGCGGGCGAGAGGCGCATGGCTGCGCTTGCGCGTCGGCGGGCGTGCTGCGCGTCGCGTCGGCTGGCGTCGGCTGCGGCGAGCTTACTGGTGCGCGGCGACTGGCGCGCGGCCACAGGACTGCTCAGAGAAGACGTGCGCAGCGTCTCTGCGTGCAACAGCCGTCAGCGGGTCCAAAAAACACGCCAAACCCACTGCGACCGTCGGCGCCAGCTAGCGTCATGTAAGACACTAGCAATTGCGCAAGCTGTGGCTATTGGCCTATTATCGGCGCTAATCGCACTCATTCGTACGGTTTCGACGCGTTCCGACACACAGACGATCAATTCTTGCAGTGGAGCCAACTCGAGGCAGCCGTGGCGCCGACCACGATGCGGCTCACATTGGTCCTGCACGCCGCCGCGGCGCTGTCGACGCAGCGGAGGCCCTACGACACGAAGGTCCGCGTCGCCTCGCAGCGCTCCGCGCCCTTACCCCCCACCGCGCCTCAAAACCCGACACTCACCGAGTACATGCGCCTGCCGACGGCGCAGTACGCGTTGTTGGACCTGCCCTACGGCGCCGATTTAAGACGAAAAGGTTCAAATGGAGACCAGGAGCTTTTTGAGTTAGTGGTCCCGCCCGTCAAGTTCTTCTTCCTGACGGTCTCGCCGCACGTGCAATGCGTCGTCGACTCGAACGAGCATAGTGTGGTGGTGCGAGGCACGTCGTGCACTTTGAAGGGTACTGATGCATTGGTACGACGAATTAACGACTGCTTCGATTTTCGCGTGACGGCCGAAATGACGTGGGTCGATGGTAGTACGAGGCGCATCGACTGTTCCGTCGATTTGGCTGTCGATGTGGCGCCGCCGGGGCCCTTTCGGTTGATCCCGCGGCGGAGTTTGGAGGTTACAGGGAACAGTGTCATGCGCGTCGCGACGAATCAGATCATCCGGGGCTTCCTGCAGACGCTGCTCAACGACTACTCCAAGTGGGCGTCGGACGAGTCGTATCGGGAGCGGCGGCGGGCGAACGCCGAGGCGGTGGCGGCGCGGTAGGTAATTATTTATTAGTGTTCACGTTACGGGAGGAGGTGTCCCGCGCACCGGCGAATCAAAACTCAGGGACCGCGACGACGGGTCCCGCCGCCCCGCCGGGCGCCCCAGTTCGCGGCCCAGCCCGAGCGCCGACCGCGCGCCCCGCCGGTCGCCGACGCGCCGGTCTCTACGTAAGCGCCGCCGTTCGCGCGACGGCGACCGCCTCATATCATCCTTGCGGGCACGACGCGGCGCGTTCGACTTCTCGGCGTGCGAGAGGTAGACACATCTGACGCTGTCCGTGGCCACGTGAGCGGAAAAGTCGGGCACGAAGTCTTCATGTCGTAACGCGCCCGCACCTAACAAGGTCCAGGGCCCCGCCTCGGCGCGGAACCCGTCCACGCCGGCTTTCACTGACAGCTTTCCCGATAGTACAAGAGTAGCGAAGTTCGCGGGAAAGCCCCGCTCGTAGACGACGTCGGAGGGCTCCGGCGGTCGGCCGGCGTCGAGCTCGGCCTCGGGCGTCCTGCGCTCGTGATCGACGACCGACGCTCTCCGGACCAGCGCCATTAACGCGTCGGCGGGTTGTTTGAGCTCGCCGCCGAGGTGCTGAGCTATTGCCTTCACCTCCGCCTCTGTCAGAGTAGCGTCGACGACGGCGCTGTCCAGGCGTCGCAATTTAGTGAAATCTGCGCGGGACGCGTCGCGTCGATGGCGTACTCTAGGGAGGCGTAGATGCGCGACGGGTCGCGTCGATAGCGTGCGAGCTCCCCCGAGACAGCGTCCGACCCCCCACGCCGCCGCCGCGACGCTCGCACGTTGAATCACCCGCAGGAGGACGCCGCCCGCCGACCGAATTTGCTCCTGCCGTCCACTTTCACATGGTTGTCGACGTCCACGTACACGTCCGTCTCGTCGATGATCTCGTCGCCTAAGATCTCCTCAATAATGTCTTCCAACCTGTGTGGAAATCAAAAGTTCACGGCGCGTTCGTGCTGAATCATCGCGTCGTCCTCCACGCCATCGACGCGACGCCTGCTCGATGGCGTGGCGATGCCGGTTCCTCATTGCTTGACGGAGCCAGCACGGCCGCGTCATCGCCGAGAAATGACTTGTGCACCCGACGCACTGGTTGATTTCCACACAGCTTCCAACGTAACGAGCCCGACGATGAACGACTTGTCGCTGCCGTGCAGGGGCGACAGGCAGTCGGCCTCGACCATCGATGATTTCCGCGGCTGCCCCAGCACGAGCGCGAGGTGGCCGCGGCCGCGCTTGAAGATGCGCAGGACGTCATCCAAATTGGACTCGGCGTCGACGAGCTCAATCGACCGCTCGAAGACCCGCAGGTACTCTGCCAGAGGTACCTCGTCCTCCGGGTCCACGAAGATCAAATCTTTTACAAATAATAACCCGACGACATGTTGTCGTTCCCTTGCGTAGACCGGCACTCGGGAAAACCCGTGGTCGAAGATGTCCCGGACGACGGCGAACGATAATTTGCACGACTCCTCCAGCATATACGCGTCCTCGAGCGGCGTCATGACCTCCCGCGCCGTCTTCACCTTCATATCCATGGCCCCTTGCATGATGGTCCTCTCATCTTCGTTGAGGTCGCCTGCGCGCGGAACGAGAGGTCTCGTGAAGCGTCGACCGATGCACGACGCCGCGTCGCGGACCGCGCTCGTGCTGCAGCTTCACGTACTGGATCATCTCCGTCTTCGTATGTATGGTACCGACGCTATCACCTAACAACTTGTCGAGCACCGTCTTCAGGGGCACGGAGACCGGCGCCAGCACGACCATGATCACGTTCACGATCGGTAGCGCCAGTTCCCCGATCTTCAGCGCATGGCGCGAGCAGATCGCTTGCGGGAGGATTTCGCCAAAAACCACGATGAGCGCCGTCGACACGCAGAACCCTATTAAACCAGAGGTGACACCAGACAGAAAAATGGACAAGAGAGCGTTGACCGCCACATTGCCCAGCAATAACGTACACAACAACCTATTGCCGTCCTTGCGGATGCCCATGACCTTCGCCGCGCGCCGCCGCTCCGTCGCCGACCCTCCCCCCTTCACAATTTCGAGCTCACTGAGGTCCAAGCCGAGCAGTCCCAATGTGAGGCCACTGAACAGGCCTGATAACAGGACCAAGATGAGGATGGACACGAAGGTGAGGAACCCATCAAAGCCCTTCGAGCCCGTGTCGTACTCGACGATGGCCATCTCGGTGGTGGCGGGGCAGCCCGCTGTGACGCTTGGTAGCTCTACGAGGCGACGCGCTGCCCGCGGCGCGGCGGTGGCGTGCCGGTGGGACAAAGTGTGGGCAGCCTCCAATCGATGCGTTGGTCGGAGGGAGCGCCGGGCAGGCTCGGTAACGCTACTCGGCAAGCGCCAAGACGACGGCGTCGGGGCGCGGGGCGCGCGTGCCGACTTTGCGCAGAGCACAAATTGCTGGCTAGTGTGTCTTACAGGCCGCTAGCTCATTCGAAGCGCTCGGGGTCCGTACTACCTGGGGGTGGGTTCAATAAGCGACTCTCTCTCTCTCATTCTCTGTTCGCACAGAGAGTCATACAATCAAGGACTTTACACGGGTCATACAACGACGCTCTACTTGCTCTTCTTGGCCTTCGCCGGGACCGGCGGCCCCTTGCGCTTCTTCGACGTAGAAGCCTCCTTCGCGGCGCGCTGCGCCTGCTTGAAGCGCTCGATGTTGGCCTTGCTCTGGGCCTTGTGGTCGACGATGGGCCGCGGGTAGGTCTCGCCCAATTTGACCCCGGCCTTGGACAAGTCGCTCTTCGGCGCGAGCCAGGGCGCGTACTTGTGTCGCGGAGGCAGCTTTGAGAGCTCGGGCACGAAGCGGTCCACGTACTTGCCTTCGGCGTCGCGCACGTTTAAGGAAGACGAGCCCACGTTGAACGGGTTGTAGACGCGGAAGAACGGCGGCGACCAGGGCGCCACACCAGCAAGACCGAGCCAGTTGAAGTTGTTGATGGCCCAGTCCGCGTCCAGTAGGTCCCTATCGAAGACGTCCCTCCCTCGGGTCCAGTGGCAGTAGAAGTCGCCTCTCGTCAGGAAACACGAGACCGCGTGCCTCGCGAGGTGGTGCAACCACCCCTGCTCTCGTAATTGCCTCATGGCCGCATCAATAAGAGGATAGCCCGTCTTGCCTCGCTCCCAGGCCTGAAAACGTTTTTCTGCACTTTCATCAGTATCCCAGTCGATGTCCTTGCACACGACCGACGGCTGCTCGGCGAATGGGGCACCATGTTTGCGTCCTAGTAAATAGGACATCTCGCGGAAGTAGAGCTGGCCTAGTAGTGAGGTAGGCGGCTGCGCGTGCGGGCCCTTGGCGTACGTCTCCTTGAGCGCTTGGTGGAAGGTCCTTACCGAAACGCAGCCGAAGGCGACGTACGGGCTTAGTAGTGTGGTGGGGGGCTCGCCCTCGAAGGACGCGGAGGTTGTCTTCGGTTTTTCAAAGGCGCGCGCCCACTTGCCATTTTCTCTCTTCATTTGTTCTTGTAATCGTTGTAAGCCCGTCGACTCGCCGCCTTGCACGCCGTAGGCCGCTTTCGTTGTTATTGGTGAGTAGCCCAACGATTCGAGGGACGGCAATGGTGGACTCGTAACGTCGGGCCGAGGAGGCAACGTAGACGGAGCCATTAATGGCTTCGCGGGCGCGCCGAGCTTGCCAGCGAGCGTGACCATGCCCGGCATCTTCGTCGGCGGCGCGCCCTTGGCTAGCGCGGCGTCGGCGTCGTAGAGCAGGTGAGTCGAGGGGACGGCTTGCGCTTCATCTGGATGTGCTTCCACGACGCGCTTCTCCAATTCTAGCTCGCGCGGCTCGGCTATTTCTTCCTCGAAGACGACTTTCGTGATCGTGCCGTCCCGTATCAGCTTTGTTATCGTTTCCGACGGGTCTCCGACGACGACGTGCAACTTAGAGCCGTACCTGGTCCTAAGCGTCGCGTCCAGATCCTCGAGGCTCTCCAACAAGAAGCGGCAGCGGTTCGGTCCCACAATACTGGGTGTCGCCCAGGCCGGGTCGAGGCAGTAGAGCGGTAAGACACTTTCGGCGTCGCACGCTTGTGTCAGTGCGGCGTTGTCGTGCACTCTCAGGTTCTTGCGGAACCACACTGCGGTCGTCATGGCGCGGACGGATGTCGCTAACGAGAGGATTCGGCGCAGCGACGTCGTCGTTTTGAAATGCAGCCTGAGCTGGCTGATGCGCTCTCTGTTGAGTGCGCGGCGACAGCGTCTTCGCGTGTTGTTATTCGTCGCGGACAGCTACGGACACTACTCTAGCGTGTCTTGCACACCGTGATACTTGCAGGCAGGCAACCTGTGCGGTGCAAGAGCTGCTCTGAGCTGGGCTCAAAACACCTCAGTCACGGGTTTTTACATGATTTTAGAACCGTCGAACGGACGTTCCGCAGAGTTTGGAGGACGTCCTCGTCGCCGACGGCAACGGTCGATTAGGGACGTGTCAACAGAAAGCCAAACGAACGCGCGCCGCGCGAAAAACACTTCGAAAAACGCAACTTGAAACAAAAAGAGCTTACGAGCCGATCCCCAGCTTCCGATTGGCGGCGTCCATGACCGCCTTCATCCTCATCAAACGCTCCGACTCCTCGGACGGGCCCGTGTTCGAATCCCAGTCCGCTCGTAGCAATTCGCCGAACAGCATGTGCTGCACGACGGGCTTCTGACCTAATACCTCCTCGTCAAACAACCGCAGCAGCCGCCTTGCATTGACGCGCCACGGCTGCATCGTCAAATTGAACAGGATGGGCGCGGCCACGTCTAACGGCGTCTGGCCCGTCTGTTCATCCACAAACGCCAGGCACTCGTAGAACATGCTTCGCTGGGACAATGCAACCGCGTTTACTGTCAGTAGACCGGTATCTTCGTCGCCGAACCCGTGCTCTTCGTCTGCCAACTGCGAACAGCCAAATAAAAAAGGTAGCAACTGGTAGTCGTCCAGCGCCCAGACGCCCTTGCTCCCGGCCGGCTCCAAGCCAAAACACCGTTGGACGACTCTACACGTCCTTACGTATTCCGCGAAACAGCCGCAGACGACGGCACCGCTATCGATAGCGTCGTCATTGATGAGTTGGAGTTTAAAGCAACCAAGTAAAAACACGACGAAGGCGGCCTCGTGGCCCGTACCGTAGTCGATTCTCGTTCTATCGCCAAATGAAGCCGCTAAACGCGCAGCAAGCTCGGCGCTGTCGGAACCTAGGGATGCTAGGAGCCCCGGTGCGGTTGTGACGAGCCAGGCGTGCCAGTCGCGGAACATGGGGCTGCCGTACCGTCGGGCCTCGCCCGGCGTCGGGAGGTACTGGTCGCAGCCCTTCGCTATTGCTCGTAGTGCGTCCATGAGCTTCCTTATTTGCAAAGGGGCCGCGTCTATACTAAGATTCGGCTTGTTGACGCAGGAGTTATTTAAACGCGTCACGAAGGCGACGACCTCGCGCCGCGCGGCCGACGCCTTCCATTTGGTGAAGGAGGCGTCGTCGGTGATTTGCCGTTGTATGACTTCTCCGAAGGCCTCCTCGAGGGCGGCCATGGCTTGGCGCGTCGATGGCGTCTCCCGCTGCGGAGGAGAGGCTGTGAGGCTTTTGGGACTCCCCGGGCGTGCACGGCTGCCGAAGCTCGGTGCGGCTTTCGAACGCTAGTCGTTTGGAGTCAAAGAGTAATGCTCAGCCCCCTTGCGTCCTCAAAGCACGCTCACGCCCCAAAAACCGAGCTAGCGTTCGTAAGACACTAGCGAGCACGCCTTTTTGGACAAGCTTAACCCGGCGCTACGCGGCAGAAAATTCGACAGAGATAGACATTCGTGACGGTCGAGCCCTCGCGCAGCCACCTCTGCAGCGCGCTACGCTCAGGAGCCTGCGCAGTCTGAGATTCGTGACCGTCCCGCACGCCCGCCGCCGCGCCCGTCCACCACCACCGCGCTTACCTCTCTGACCCGCGATCTACGAACAAATCCTGGCGTCTTTCCTGAGCCGGGCCTACCGCGCCTGGACCGCCGGCGAGAAGGGCCGCAACACGCTCCTGGAACGGGCCCTCGACGAACCCATGGCCCTGTTAAGGGTCGCCTCCGACGCCCAGATGGACGCAGAAGCACCTTTGGAAGGGATAGACTGGCTCAAGCTGCCTCCCTTGCAAAAGCGCGGCGCGGAGCGACGGACCGAGGCCTTCACCGGGGTTGGCGTGGTCCTGGGCATCATTGCGGCTTGCATCGCGGGCACGCATACCGGTGTTCAGTTGATGTCTTGCGTGCCGGACCACGCCTTTCGGCGGTGGCTGCCTCTGCTCGTCTACGGCGAAGCTTCTATTGCGCTCATTTGTTTGCTGGGCCTCATGTTCGACGACAGTGCGGTCATAAAAAGGTCGAAGCTGACGTGCGCGCCGACACCGCCATCGGTCAAGACGTGGCTCCAGCTCGCGGAGAGTTCTAAAGGCCGGAAGAACATCACCGGAGACGATGGAAGGGTCTACTGCGTCCGCTGCCACGTCTGGAGACCGCGCGATAGTCGCGCGCACCACTGCGCGACGTGCCAGCGGTGCGTCGTGGACTTTGACCATCATTGTGGGGTGTTTGGGCGGTGCATTGCGGGAAGTGGTTTCCGGGGCAACATGAAGTGGTTCGTGACCGTGATCGCGTGTGGCTACGCCGGCGCGGGCACGGCGACGGCTTCTCTATTGCTTGGTGCTTTAAAGTGCGGGGAGATCGGTGCGGCGTCGTACGGCCAGTTCGGGCTCGTGGCGCTGTTAGCTTACGCGGGTTTGGCCGTGGCGGGCTGGCTCGTGATTCTGGCGTGTCGCTGCCTCGCGTCGCTCGTGGACTGCGTTTCGGATCGGTCCGAGCGGGGGCTGGAGCTCGTTTGATTGCTCCGGAGCTCTGCGCGGGTCGTGCCGACGCGGTGGTGCGGCGCGTGTAATTTTGTAGTGTGTGCTTTAAACTCACATGTGGCATTTCTGTGGCCGGCGTGCGGGGAGCGACTCGCCCGCGCAGGGCAGCAATGCGCACTGCCCCCGTTCTACGCCGTCGAAGAAGCAAAGCAGACATACTATCAATTAGAGCGCCTTCAGCAGCGTCGCGCCATCACTCACGGTCAAGTCCCCCGGCCCCGCTTCCACGAAGCACGCGCCCACGACGCCGTCCTCCACGACGCAGGCGTAGCGGTTCGACCGGACCCCCGGCCCGAGGGCATCAGCAGTGCAGTCGCGCGTCTCGGAAACAGCCCGCGTGAAGGACTCGTCGGCGTCGGCGTAGAAGGAGATGCCCTTCGTCTGCATCGCTTTGGCCCAGCCGTTCATGCAGTAGGGGTCGTTTATAGCGAGACATACTACTTCATCGACGCCCTTCTGTTGAAATTCATTGACGAGTTTCGCGAACGAGGGCACGTGCCCCTTCTCGCACACTCCGGTAAAGGCGCCGGGCAGCGCGAACAGCACCACTTTCCGCCCTTGGAACAGTTGCTGGAGGGACGTGCCGGCGAAGCCTGCGCGCGGCGCGTGTCGGCCGCGTCGGCGAAGCCTAAGCGCGGCGTGTGTGTCGGCCGCGTCGACGACGGCGCTCCACGCGCTCCGTGCTCTCGGCGCGCGCGTCCGGCGGGACTCCGTCGTAACTCGACTGAAAAAAGCTGCGACGGCGGCGACGGCGCATTTCCGGACGCCGCGCACACACCGTCGGCCTCGGCGGCGTCCCAGGTGCGGGCCGGCTGGAGGTCCGAGGTCGACAGCTGCAGCAAATTTTGACCTGAGGCGATGCCGCGGCGCGGCGCAACGCTGCTCGCGGGTCGCGCGCGTCGTAGTGCAGTGCGGAGCATGCTTTTTGCGATGTGTGGGCGTCTGGCAGGCCGTTTGCAGGCCGAATTGCCCTGACTGATGATCTGTTCGAGATTGGTGACACAAGTTTAGATTGACGTCGAGCGGAGGCGTCCTCGCTACCCCGTCGGCGGCGACGGGAGCCGTGGCGCGACCGAGCTGGGGCTAGCTTGCTCGCATTCTGGCCCGCTATTGCCGCGCGCACCGCGGGGCCGCGACGCGGCCTCGAGGCGTCGCCGGGGCTGCCCCAACCATCTAACGACACAGGCCCGGCGGCACAGTGGCTCGCACGCGACCGGCCGCATTCCCCCACCCAACGTTCCTGGGAAAAGGGCTCGATCAGAGGTGTCCGGCCTTCGCCCCTAAGAACACGCCCGCAGCGCACGCAGACGCGCCCCCGTAATCATATCACAGCCTCGGCAAGGACCCACCGGGCAGCCTTACCGCGTCCAGCCCATTTGCGCCGCCCGCGAAGCTCCGAAAAGCCTCTCGCAGAACACAAGGCAAGAGCCCCTGTAAGAACTCGCACCAAGGGCGTGAAGAGCCTTCCCAGAACACAGCAAAGAACGAAAAGCATGGGCTTCTCCGCCGCCCTCGCGCGCCAGAAGCTGAGAGACGCGAACAAGGCGACGCAGCAGGACGCCGCGGCCGACAAGGAGATGCGGCCGGCCGTCACGCATACGTCGCGCGCGCCCGCCTTCCTCCGGGAAGCGCTGCGCCGCGACCGCGACGCCCTGAGCCCGTCGCTGCGGCGGCGCCTGACCTGGCAGCAGGCATTGTGTCTGGCGCCGCTCACCGAGCTGCCGCGGCTCAAGCAGTAGGCGCCGCGCGCGCCGCCCCCTTTGTAATTGTCTGCTCTCTCCGTTTCGCGTCGTCGCGTGGGGCGGCGGCCTCTCTACGCGCCGCGGGAGCGGTCCCGGGTGACCGGGTCCGTACCAAATGCCGCGCGGGCGACGGATGGGGCCCCGCCTGCCGCGGTCCCGACGCCTGGAGTAGCGCCTGACGGGCGATAATAGGCATCTCTTGTAGTCGATGTTACGGTGCTAGGACTAGTGGGCGGAGCCCCATCTCTGGCTGCGTACGGGAGATCCGCGCTAGCGGCCAGGCACTAGCAGCTGCCGAATTGGATATCCGCGCGTCTCGCGCGTCTCGCGGCGACGCAGCGCTGCCAGTCTTGGAGCCGGTCGTGGGGCAGCCGGAAGCCAGCCCAGTGGAGGAACTACCCGCGCCGGTGTTGGGAGTGGTCGTGGGCGAGGGAATGGAGGCCGCGCCGCGGGGTCAGGAAATGGAGCGCGCCAACGAGGGAACGGCACGCGGCTCAATCGAGTCCCTCGGGCGCTGGAACGAGAAGGACGACGACCCCGCGATGCCCATCAAGATGCGGGGAGACGTGCGCGTCGCCCTCGTAAAGCTCGTCGACGAGCTCGTGCAGAACGGCGCGTCGAGTGGCATTCTTGCAATCAGGGGCTGGTACATTTCCTGGTCCGCCAGCCCGGACGACACGAGCTACCAGCGGCACGGAGTATACGAATCGCGCGAGCCTGCCGGCGAGGCAGGCGCAACGGAGGCGGACGATGAGGTGGCGAGGCTGAAAAAAGCCCTCGCGGCGGCGGAGGCGCTGAAGAGGGCGGCGGAAGAGGCGAAGAGGAGAGCCGAGAACGCAACCCGCTTCGCCGACTTCGAGGGCGTCACGCTGCCGAGCGGAGGCGAGTGCGAGTGGCGAGTAGATGGCGATTACGTGTACCGATTTGGAGGCTTTATGTCGGTCTACCGCGTCACGCTGCCGAGCGGAGGCCTCGACCCGGACAAGTGGGCCGGCCGCCCGCCGCCGCTCGCGCCGGCGGACCTCTACACCGGCCCGCGGAGCGACCGCCTGCTGAGCACGGGCGAGATCTCGGGCGAGTACTCGGCCCCGTGTGAGGGTAGGGAATGCTGCAAGTGTGATAATTGCGAGATTTGCAGGTTGATGACCGTGGTCCCGCTCGGGGCCGACGTGATCGAGACGTGGAGTACGAGCTGTTTATTTTGTAAATGCCCGCCCGGGGAACCGGTGTATTTTCTCGGGCCGATAGTAGCAGGCGAGGTCCGGACGCGCGACCCGGGCACCAATGCCTTCGGTGGCATGACTTTCTCGGCCCGCGGAACGGCCAGCGGTGGCTACAAAAAACGCCCAGGCTCGCAGAAGCGGACCTTCCAAAAGGTCGAGACGAGGGACCTCGCGGGCACCTGGTGCGGCTGCCTTTGCATTCCGAAGTGCAATTGGGTGTTTACTACGTTCTTATTCTGCACTAGGAAGAAGGCGCTCGACGAGGACCGGTACGAGGAGTCGGGACTCGGTTGTGCTCTGGGTTTGCCGATCCCCATTTCCGGAACACGCACGCGGGTATACGTGAACGGCCTCCCGACGAATAGGTTCGACGGCGGCTACGATTGTTGTGGTAAATACATCATCCACCGGTATCGCGACCCCGGCTGCGCCGGCGGCGCCGATTTCAGCCGGGGTCATCCACCCGCCGGCAGCTCTTCATTCTTCGCGAAGAAGCTCTGCTAGCCCACCCCGTCTATATATGTCCTTTCCTTTAGGATATTCCTCAGGCTTCCTTAACTTGAATTATTTATTTCTGCTTTGCTTAGAGCTAGGCCGCCTAGCCACCCGGCCGCCGCGGGGGCTGCGTGACCGCACGCCCGCCCCGCCCCCGCCCACGTACGCCGTCGCCCCGAGTATTGGCCCGGAGGCGACGACGGCGAGGGGGGGAGCAGGCCGGACGCCGGAATCCCAGATCGGCGACGGTAGCGCATCGGGGGCCGCCGCGGGATAGCGGCGCCTTTTTATTTATACCTCTAAGTTGACACACACAACTATATCGTTACACCCCCGCCGCCACCGGCCCGACCGCCGTGTGGCCGACCACCAACCTTCCGGAAAGCCGCCTTCTTCTATAAAACAGGACGTAGGCCCCGTCCGTGACGACGTCCTCTGGTTTGGCCGCTTCGACCAAATCATCATCGACATGGAACCACCTCTCACTCTCCTCAAACGCAATAGACGCCTCCTCCTCCCCGAACGACGAACAGGGCGACACCTTGACATGAGCGGTATAGTGCCCACCACTCAGTGACCCGAGATGGTTGATGACGCCAAACAGGTCGTAGACCGCGTAGGCATCCGCCGGTAAGAACTTGGAGAGGTCCAAGCCTCGTCTCGGAAACGAGACGTCCGTCCGCAACTTTTCTCGCCAGCGCGCGGTGCACAGGAACCGCTTCAAATGAATAACTAATACATCAGGCGTGCGCCACAAACCTATTGAGGAAGTAGCCTCCACAGACTTCTTGCATCGCGGGCAGCGCCACGAATCATTTTGAGACAGCGTTTCTTCTCTTGAAAATGATTGTAGACAGGACGCGAGGTCGTAGTGCCTCGGACTTGTCGGTACCGGTGGCAATTTCTGCAAAGAGAGGGGCTCCCGGTAGGTAGAAGACGAGTCCCAATTCAACGCTATGTAAAATCTATCTGCGAGGCAGCGGCACGAATCGGACGCGTCGAGGTCAATATCAACGTCTGACAACGAGTCCCGCGATATCACGGAGACGGAGCCCTCATAACCATAGAGAGAGGCCTGTCGCAGCACGGCCCGCTTCAGCGCGCGACACGACCTATCAGAGGCGACGCGTGCGAGAAACGGCGTCCCAAATAAGCCTTTCTTCGGCGACCTGCGCGGAGCATCGCGGTCGCTCGACGCGGTCCGACGTGGCAGCGCGTCGACGGCGTCCTGAGGACCACGGAGACCCTCGTGGGATCACGACGACGGCGTGGAGGCGCCGCGGTCTCGTGAAGACGCCATCTTCATGAATGCGGTCTCTCCGACGCGCCGCGACGGCCCCGACGCGGTCCGAATTCACTCAAATTCGACAAAGAAACGACCCACAACATGATACGAGTCCCAGCAACAACGTGAAGGCGCCGCAACGCCTCAAAACGCCGCGCGTCGCCGGTGGACGACACCTATCTCGAAGGCCGCCAGCCGGTTGCCCTTGGACTTGCTGTACGGCGGCTGGAGTTTGGCCGGCCAGTCATCACGACAGAAGCACTCGTCCCACTTCGCCGAGAAGCGGTCAAATCTAATACGTATGTAGCCTGGTTTCCCGAAATTCTTGTCTCGGCACGGCTCGGTATCATCAACCACGGTCCCGACGTACCACTGGCGCTTATGATCTAAAGCGTCGAGGCGCTGCCCGACGGCTAGTTCTTCAAACGACGAGGGAAAGTCTATGCTTGGTGTTTTCGCGAGTTCGAGCTGAGGCCGCTCGTACGCAATCAGTAGGCGTTTCGACGCGTCCGTCACTTGCGGAAAGTCGCCCAACGCTCCCAAGGGTAGCGTGTCCTCGTCCAGGACGCGGTAGATCCGGTGTCTGGCCACGTCGCACAGCGTCAAACTGTCCGGAGTGAGCTTGACTTCGGCCGCGATCGCACTCTTCAGGTCCCGCACATCCCCTAACCGAGGCGCCTCGACCCTGACGGTAAGCGAGGGGTGGCCGTTGGCGTGCTTCGCGAGGCGCAGGACAGCGACGACGAAGGAGCGAGAAGCGGGCGCCGGGACCTGCGTCGAACGACACTCACGAAACTGCCGTGGCTCTTCACGAGACGCTCGCACGGCCCCGTCGACGGCGCCGCGGCGGCGTGACGTCGCGCCGACGCCATCGACGCGAACTTGAAGTTCAGAAAACCACAGAAACAGACGCCGAGTCAGTACCGGCAAGGACAAAGACGTAAACGGTTCGAATTTGACGGACGACCGCGCGCAGACCTTGCACGTCTTCTTGGCGACGAGCTGGCCCTGGAAGAGGTCGCTGATTAACGACTTGTCTCGCAAGCGACTGCGACGTAACGCGTCGCGCGCCGCGACCACCAAGCCGTCGCGGGCCTCGTCCGCATCCTCGGGCTCCGGCACGTAGGGCTTCTCCTGGATGAGGTTGACGTCCTCATGTAAGACATCTAACAGCTCCTGCGTGGAACATATACAATCGCGACGCTGCCTCTGGACATCCACGAGACACATCGACTCTCTGATGATCATGAAGACGGCGTCGACGGCGTCGAGGCATCGCGTCCGCATCGACGCCATCGACGCGACCGCGAGGCGCGTAGACTCTCATGTGATCACGAAGACGGACGCCGCGCCCGCACGGTGAGAAATTCCTGGGAGTCCTGCTGCTCCGAGCCCGCAAATTGGGGCTTACATTTTCCGAGCACCTTCTTGAAGCCTTCGGGGCGGACGCAAATTTGTGAAGCGTGGAGCTGCCTCAGTAAGTCGGCGAACGCCTCGACGACGCGGCCCTGCGAGCCCAGTCGCGACGTCCGATTGATGTCTTGTGCATACATCTCAGAAAGACAATACGCCCGCAAGATAGGAGCGTGCGACAGGCACTGCACCGCCGCGTTCAGGAAACACGTATTTCCCAGGTTCGCGAGACCGGTGGCCGGCAGCCGTCTCGTTTCCTCCTCTTCCTCCTCATTGGAGCCGAGCACTCGTCTGAGCGAAGACACGGCACCCTTAAGTAAAGAGGGCCTCTCTTCTTCGTCCTCCGATAACGACACGTCGTCAATATCCACATCCTCTCGTCGCAACCGATCGCTTGTGAGCCACTCGTCCCACTTGCTACTAAAACTGTCGAAACGCACTTTGACGCCCCGCGTCTCGGACACCGCTATGACTTTACCGCTGCGCCACCGCTCCGTGTGGTCCCTTGCTGATACTCTGTCACCCACAACGTATCGTGACGACGCGCGGGGCCAGACTCCCTCAATCTTCGTCTCGAGCAGATACGTGCTACCAGCCTCGAGCACCTCGTCACATCTCGATGAAGGTGTCAAGCGGCGCCAGCCCGTCGGCGACGTCGCGTAGAGGCGCGAATTACCATCAGAGAGGCGCCTCGCAAAAGTTTGTACCGTCTCCTTCCGATCCGCTCGTCTAGCCGTAAAGGCGTTCCGCGGCCGGCCGTTCGCATCGCACTCGTCGATAAAAACGGAGACGGGGTACAGATCCAACGCCCCGTCCTCTTGCAACCGTCGCGGGAAGAGCGGCCCGCCGCCGTACCACTGCTCGAAGAGCCGCCACACATCAACGGGAACGCAAGCTATATCTATCTTGGCTCTGAGTGCGCCGTCTCGATCGGATTCTAATGAAGACGCGTCGACGTCGCGCGGCCTTACACCAGACGATGCGCCGGCGGGCTTCACGGTCAAACGTGCGCCGGGTGCGGGTGGTGTTAAATTCGACCAGCCCACATAAGCACACCAGGAGTCCCACCACCTCCTGGGAATCACGTGGTAGACATCTCCTGGACTACCCTCGTGCCAATGCTCGAGGACCAGCGCCCGCTCCGTCTCCGGTTGGGACACTATGGATAAAGGTAGCGCGGCCCAGACCTGCTCGTCAGACAACGTCCGCGCCCAACCGTCGAACTTGCGCCAACTTACTGTACCTTTGGCGCAGAGGTGGTAGGGCGGCGGCGTTTCGAGCAAAGCACAGAGGGCACCCAACATGTTCTTCGGGAGCTCTGCGGATGACGCGTCGCCTCCGACCAACGCGTCCTTGTCGGCTGTGGATGAGATGGCGAACCAGCAAAACAAGAAGCTCCTCCTTTCTGAGGCGTCGCCCCTACACCACCAGCTCAGCGTTCGACAGAAGTCGCGACAGGAACCGGTCCCGAACAACTCATACAGAGTATCCGTGTGGGCGTGGTCCTCCAACTCTAAAGCTGCTACCAGTCCATCCCTGTCCAGGGTTTGTGGCGGCCGCGCGTGGCGCCGGTACACGCGCTGCAGGTGCGCGAGCTCGCCGGACCGCCACCGCTCGAGGAGCTCATCACTACGATCCTGGGCGTCCTCGGTCTCCTCAAGGGGTGCTTGCGTCTTCACGTCGGCCTTGGCGCAGGTGAGGCCCATGGGACTGCCGGTGGCCTAGGGCTGGCTTTTGCAGCCGTGCCTGCAACGGCGACTGGAGCAGCTTGTCCGGCGCGTTCGTGCCAATATTTTGCGCTATATGATCAGTCGAAATCGGTCAGCGACCCATTGTTGGCCGCGCTTTTGTCCCGCTTGCCCAGCTTGCTAGTGCCTTACCGCCGCTAGCTTGGTGCGGGTTGCGCTTGGAGGCGTCGACCGAGTCGCTGCGGCCAGCGGGAGGGCCCATGGATCGCTGCGATCGCGGCGGCTCGGCTAGCGGAGTCGTTGGGTATTTGCCCGGCGCCGGGCGCGGGCGGCAGTCGGTGCCTGTGTCGTACTGCGCCCATCGCACGGCAGCGACACCGTCGAATCGAGAGTCCGTGCGCTGCCCGACGCCACGGCCGCGACACGACACGACGCTGGTAGGCTGCCCAGAGGGTGCTGTCAAGACAGGGGCGGGACTTGTAAGACCTACCTTATTAGGTGCTGAGACCACCGCCCATGGCCCCCCTGGCCGAGATGACTGCCAATGGCCAGGACGAGGCGCTGCTCAACGACGGCCCCTCGCTCCAAGACGCGTTCAAGCAGTTCCGCAACCGCAAACGCCAGCAGCAGCGCCAGGTGCCGACGAAGGAATTGCGGCGCCGGGCGGCAGAACGGCGCGCGGCGGACCCGGCCGGCGACAAGGCAAGATTACGGTCCAAGTTCATCGCGAAATGCCTGGAGAGCGTAGGCGTCCCCTACGCCGAGCGCTACCACAAGCCGGGCGACGCGCTGTACGGCCTCAAGGAGTATTTGGATTGTTGTGCTCTCTTCCGGAAGGCGCTGCGGCAATTGCGGCCGGACTTCGGGTTCGATATCGGGCCCTGGAACCAGGCCTACCTCTTCGCGACGCTGCCGCGGAAGCTTGAATTGAGTGAGGTGCGGCCGGGGGACCTCCTCTTCGTCGAAGGGACGTACTTCAAGGGCCGGAAGAAACAACAAAAAGGGAACATCGTCCACGTCGAGATGTTTCTGGGCGCGGAGCTGGGCTCGGGCCCGGAGTCGACGCTCGCGTCGAGGGACCACTGGGGCTGCGTCTCGGTCCAGGACTCGTTCAAGTACGTGAGCCCCTGGTACGAGATCACGGCCTTACATTGGAGGAGCCTGGACGACTGGCTGGAAGGGCGGTGCGACCCCGTCGCGCTGCCCGACTGTTTCCAGGGCCACGACCCGTACGGCGAGAAGGCCCAGCGCGTCGGGAAGAAGTCGGTCTTCGACGACGAGGGCGCGGACGACGTTGACGACGAGGCCATCGCCGCCGCCGCCGCGAAACTCAAGGTCTAAGACTTAGAACTATACGCCGTGTACTTGTCGCTGCGGCCGCGCGCCTTGTCGGCGGGATATTTGCGCGCGTTCATGGCGATCTTCCGCGGCACGCACTCGTCGAGCGCTATACCGCAGACGTCGGCGAGGCGCACGGTGTAGATGAGGACGTCCGCGAGCTCTTCGCCCACGTGCGTCCGCTCGGGCTCGGAGAAGGCGGGCAGGCCCCGCGCAACTTCTGATTTCCACTGGAAGCATTCGGCGAGCTCTCCTACCTCACCCACAAGCGCCAACAAAATGTTCCGCGGCGTGTGGAACTGGTCCCAGTCGCGCTCCCGCGCGAAGTCCGCGATGCGCAGCCGCAGCGCCTCGACGTCGAGGCTGTCGCCGTCGAGCGCTCGCCGCAGCCGCGCGTTCTCGCCGCGCAGCAGCATCACCTCCGCTTTCAAGTTGGCCAGTCGCTCGTCGTGCTCGTTGCAGCGCGACTGCGACGCGGCTAGTAAGGCTGCCGGCGCGGCGAGGTGCCGTGCGGCGGTGCGGAGTGCTGCGGCGGCCATGCGTTCGAGTGCTTGGGTGCTGCTTGTGCTGCAGTGAGTGCAGTTTTGCAGTTATAGCTCTCGTGGTTGGAAGCGACGGCTGCGTGAGTACTATTCAAAACTGTGCGCGAGCGCTGGTGCCCAGCGGTGCAAGTTTGCGCTGATTGCGCTGCGCAACACGACGCTAGCTAGCGGCCTGTAAGGCACTAGCAATGCTAGTGTCTTACACAAGCGCTAGCTAGCCGCAGCGACTCGCCCGCGCCACACGCGTCCCGCAGAGGACGAGCTGTAGTGTTTTGTGTGCCTGCTGGGAGCTCCCGCCACGCGCAGTCGGAGCCGCCGCCGCCGCACGCCCCGCTGGCATCCGAGGCCGCCTCGCTGAGGCCCGCGCCCGCCGCCGCGCGGCCGCCCGCGACGCAGCCGCGCACGCCGCCGCCGCCACCCTAGGACCATGCGCTTCACCGCCGACCTCGCCGTCCACGCGGCGCAAAGGATGAACCCCCTCGGGGAGCGGGAAGTGATCCTAAGGGGCTACAAAATTGCCGCGATCGAGAACACCGGCACGCTGAAGGACCAGTTCGATGTTATAGATTTGAGCGACAACGAAATCACGAGGGTGGGCAACTTCGCGCCGGCCCGACGGCTGACTACTCTGTTACTGCATAATAATCGCGTCGCGACAATTGACGATAACTTGGGCGACCAATTACCTTCGCTAGAAACGCTCATGTTGTGCCACAACCGCCTCGAAAGTCTCACGCAGCTGGCGGGGTTGAGGTCGTGCGCGAAGCTCCAGCATTTGGCTTGCGTGGGCAACCCGATAAAACGCCTCGAGCACTACCGCTCGTTCCTCATCGCGACGGTGCCCTCCCTGAAAACCCTGGACTTCAAGAAGATCAAAGCGGCAGAACGGGAGAAGGCCTCAGAACTGTTCCCGGAAGACGGTCCTTCAAATGCGGACTTAACATTAGTCTCGGCGACGGCGGACGCGGCACACCCGCCGCCGCCGCCGCCGCGGTCCGGCGCACCGCCCGCGGCCCTCGCGAACCTCACGGCCGAACAAAAAGCGGCGATCCGGCGCGCGGTGGCCAATGCCACCACTCCAGCGGAAGTCGACGCGCTCGAGCGGCAGCTCAGGGCCGGCGTCATCCCGGGCCTGGCGCCGCCGGGGCCGCCGCCGGGGCCGCCGCCCGGCGCGCCGCCGTCGGTGCCCTCGGTGCCGCCGCCGCCGCCCCCGTCGATGCCGCCACCACCACCACCGCGCGCGGCGGCACCGCCGCCGCCGCCGCCGGCCGCGCCGGCCGCGCCGCCGCCGCCGCCGCCCGCGCCGCCCGCGGCCGCGCCCGCGCCGCCCGCGCCGCGGGCCTCGACGGGCGGCTTCTCGGAGCTCGGCGACGAGGCCGGCGCGCCCGCGCCGGCGCCGGCCGCGATGGAGGTCGACGGGCCGTCGGCCGAGGACGTCGGGAAGATGAAGGCGCGCGTCCGGCGCCCCTTGTCGTCGCTCGACCGCGCCCCTTCAAACTGGACGCGCTCGAAAACGCTTTCGAAAGAAGGCGCGGAGATCTTTCGTAAACCACCCAGGTCACGGAGCTCCGCGCGGCGCTCGAGGCGCGGGGCCTGCCCACGGACGGGCTCAAGAAGGTCCTGAAGGAGCGGCTCCTCGGCGCGCTCGCCGGCGGCGATGACGGCGATGACGGCGCGGCGCCCGCCGCGCCGGAGCCCGAGCCCGCGCCCGCGCCGGCGGCGGCGATGGACGTCGAGCCCGACGCGGCGCGGCCGGCGGCCGACGCGCTGACGGCGGCCGAGGTCGAGAAGATGAAGGTCTACGACCTTAAGCTCGCGCTCGAGGCGCGGGGCCTGTCGACGGAGGGCCTGAAGAAGGTCCTCAAGGCGCGGCTGCTCGCGGCGCTCGGCTAGGCCGCCTATACTACTAGGTTCTTTATGGACGTCGTCGCGGCGACGGCTGGTCCTCGCGTCCTATGGCTCGTGGTCTTTCGCACACGTCGCGCGCGCGCGTCGTGCGGGGCGTGCGCATGCCCAGGCCCGGCCCGAAGCGCTGCGAGAGAGCGCTACAGTGGTGGCGGTCCTTAGGCTAAGGACTATAGGGACTAACGCTACAGTGAACGTGAACAAAGCCCGACACCCGAGACAACCCCAGCCAGGCAGTGGCGCACGAACGATGCCGCCGCGGCGCTGCCGCTGCTTCTGGGCTGCCCTGGCACTGTTGGCTGCCCCCTGCCGGCTGCTGGAATCGAACGCTGGTGCGAGCGCCCCGGGCTCCCGAACGCGGCTCCGCGGACCGCGGCGCCCGACGAACGCGTCCAGCGCGCTTCAGTTGGTCCAGCCCGGCGCGGCTTCGAGCGAAGTTGTCCGTCGGCTGCCGGCGCCGACGTCGCTTGACAGGCGGCGGCTGAGCGAATACTACGCGCAGCTTGCGAAACTGACGGCCTCCGATGGCGAGGCGAGCGACTGGTTCGGCTGGTCCGTAGCCGTTGACGGCAACACCGTCGTGGTCGGGAATCCGACGAGAGATACCAATATATACAACGAAGCTGGCATAGCCTACATCTTTCGGACGGCTGACGAGGGCGCCACCTATGCGCAGGTGGCCATGTACACAGGCAGCAAAGATTACGCCAAACTCGGCTACTCCGTAGCCGTCGACGGCGACACCGTCGTGGTCGGGGCCAGGGAGGAAAAGGACTCGTCGTGCGGCTCGGGACCTTGCTTACTCGCGGGTATTGGCAAGGCCTACGTCTTCCGCACGACCAACGGCGGCGTCACGTACGGCCAGGTGGCTAAGCTGGGGGCCTCCGACGCCAGTTATATGGATTTATTCGGCTACTCCGTGGCGATCTCCGGCGCCACCATCGCGATCGGGGCCGCTAAGGCTGGGACCCCCTCGTTCGAGCCAGGCGCGGTTTACGTCTTCCGTACGAGCGACGACTGGGGCACGTACACAGAGATCAAGCTGACGGCCTCCGACGCCGCGACGGGCGACTACTTCGGAGTATCTGTCGCCATCGACGGTGAGACAATCGTGGTCGGTGCCTACACCAAGAGCTCCAGTAGAGGCGCAGCCTACGTCTTCCACACAAGCGACGGCGGCGCCACGTACGGTCAGGTGGCCAAGCTGACGGCCTCCGACGCCGCAGCAAGCGACAACTTCGGCTACTCCGTGGCGATCGCCGGCGCCACCATTGCGATTGGAGCCTACGGCGACGACGACAGCGGCTCCAGCTCGGGATCGGCCTACGTCTTCCGCACGAGCGACGGCTGGGACACGCACACAGAGATCAAGCTGACGGCCGACGACGCCGCGACGAACGACCGCTTCGGCGGCTCCGTAGCGATCGCCGGCAACACCATCGTGGTGGGTGCCCACTACGAGAACGGCTACAGGGGCTCCGCCTACGTCTTCCGCACGGACGACGGCGGTGCCACGTACGACGGCGGTGTCACGAACGGCCTGGCCAAGCTGAGTGCCTCCGATGCCGCGGCATACGACAGCTTCGGCGGCTCCGTGGCGATCGACGGCAACACAATCGTGGTCGCGGCCATGCAAGCTGGCACCGGCGGCAAGGTCTATGCCTTCACGGCAATGGCGGGCTACGTCATGACCGACAGCACCATATACACGGCTCGCGATGCGTGGTTTGCGGACGCGTCGGCCGCCGAGGCGACGTACGGCCACATTTCGACTTGGGACACATCGGGGGTGACTGACATGGCGTATTTGTTTTGTGCGATACCAGGATGGAGTGATTGCAACACGGCCGCATTGTCCTTCAACGAAGACATCAGCGCATGGGATACCTCCAGCGTAACGAGCATGTATATGATGTTCGTCATGGCTTCATCGTTCAACCAACCAATCGGCAAGTGGAGCGTCGACAGTGTCACAAGTATGGAAATGATGTTCGACGGTGATCCCGGTAACTCGGCCTTCGACCAGGACCTCGGCTGGTGCGTGGCCGACGACGTGGACACGGAGGACGCGTTCTCCAGCACCCAGTGCGAGTCGACGTCGTGCGGCGTCGCGCAAGCAGAGAACTCTGGCGATTGCGATATTGCGAAGACAGGAAACATCATGGTCAACTGGAAAATCAAATGGGCAGCCGTAGCGTGGCTCGCAGACGCGACTGCCGCCGAGGCGACGTACGGGCACATCTCGACGTGGGAGACCGGGGGGGTGACGGACATGTCGTGGTTGTTTTGTGGGAGTAGTGAAAATGAAGACGAAGATGAGGAAGGGCAATGCAACGGTGCTGCGGCATTTAACGAGGACATCGGCGCGTGGGATACCTCTGGCGTTACGACCATGGAATACATGTTCTATTATGCCTCGGCCTTCGACCAGGACATTAGCGGCTGGAACGTTGGAGCTGTTCTCGATATGGAAGAGATGTTCCAAGGCGCCTCAGCCTTCAACCAGGACCTCGGCTGGTGCGTGGCCGATGACGTGGACCTGGACTACGCGTTCAGCGGCACCCCGTGCTCGTCGACGTCGTGCGGCATCGCGGGAGTTGACTGCGACATCTCGCGCACGGGCAACATCATGGTCAATTGGAAAATCAAAATTGCCGTTGCAGCGTGGTTGGCGGACGCGACGGCCGCCGAGACGACGTACGGCCACATTTCCACGTGGGAGACTGGCGGGGTAACGGACATGGATGAGTTGTTTGAGGAAGCCTCGTCTTTCAACGAGGACATTAGCGCTTGGGATACCTCTAGTGTAACGTCGATGAACGAGTTGTTCCAGGACGCATCCTCCTTCAATCAGGACATTGGTGGCTGGAGCGTTGGAGCTGTTATCGATATGGAGGAGATGTTCGAGTATGCCTCGGCCTTTAACCAGGACCTCGGCTGGTGCGTGGACTATGGCGTGGAACTGCACTCGGCGTTCAGCGGCACCCCGTGCTCGTCGACGTCGTGTGGCGTCGTGCAAGTCAGCAACCTCGCCAACTGCCCGAGGCCGACGCCAAGACCGACGCCTGGTCCGACGCCTCGCCCCACGTTTCCAAGTCCAACTCCACGGCCATCGCAGTCTCCTTCGCCGCGCCCCACGGCGTCTCCGACGCCGAAGCCGACTCCGATTCCTACGCCGCGGCCGACGCCCGCGCCCAGCAAGCGGCCAACGCGGCGACCGACGCCCGCGCCCAGCTTGCGCCCGACTCCCCAACCGACATCGACGCCGACGCCGCGGCCGACGCCTGCACCCACGCCGAAGCCGTCGCCCGAGCCCAGCAAGCGCCCGACATGGCGACCGACGCCCGCACCCTCGCCGAAGCCTACACCGCAGCCCACACCTATGCCGACGCCGTTGCCGTCGCCGCGCCCGACCCCGAGGCCCTCGCCGCACCCGACGCCGGTGCCCGGTGATCCCACTGCTGCGCCAGCCTTCGCGCCGACGCCTCGACCCAGCCCGCGGCCGACGCGACAGCCGACGCCGCGCCCATCGCCGTCGCCGACCATCACTCCTGGCGACCCGACGGCGCGCCCGGTCTTCAGCCCGACGCCGAGGCCCACTGCTCGACCAACTCGCCAGCCCACACCGAGCCCGACGCCGCGCCCGTCGCCCAGGCCGACGCCCACGCCGAGCGCGCGCCCTACGCCGAAGCCGACGCCGAAGCCGACGCCAGCGCCGACGCAAAGGCCCACGCCGCGACCCACGTCGTCGCCAACACCGCGACCCACGCCGTCGCCGACCCAGACGCCTACGCCGCGCCCGACTCCGCGCCCATCGCCGTCGCCGACCACCACGCCGGGAAGCCCGACGGCGAGCCCGGTCTTCAGCCCGACGCCGCGCCCGACGCCGCAGCCCACGCCGCGGCCCACACCGATTCCGAGTCCCCTGCCGACGCGGCCGCCGACGCCAGCGCCGTTGCCGGCTCCGTCGCCCAGGCCCACGCCGTCGCCTATCCCAGCGCCGACGCCTCGGCCCTCTCATTCGCCGTCGCCAGCGCCCACGCCGAGGCCGTCGCCCTCGCCAACCGCGACGCCCGGAAATCCGACGGCGGCGCCCGTCTTTGCTCCGACGCCGCGGCCGACTCCGGGTCCGACGAGCAGCCCGACGGCAGCTCCGGGCTACTGCTGCTCCACCGGAGACTGCGGCGTCTGTACGGCGGTGTCGACGAAACAGGTCTGTTGGAACGGGAGAGATCAGTGCGAGAACGACTGCGGTGAAGTATGGTGTGTTGGCTCCTGGCAAGAACCGCTGCCCCCGACGCCGTCGCCCGTGGGCACGCCGGAATTTATCGTGACCGGCGACCTCACCTTCGACGGCATCACGTACGAGACAGCGCTGGCCAGCACCAACGTGTTTGTGGCAGCGGTCGCCTCATTGTACGAGGTGGACGAGTCTCTTGTGACCGTGGAGATCTCCCAAGCGCGGCGCCGTCGCCTCGACGACGCTGGCGTCATGGTGACCGTGGACATCTCCCAAGCGCGGCGCCGTCGCCTCGACGACGCTGGCGTCGTGGTGACCTACACTATCGAGGTTGAGACCGCGGAGGAAGCTGCATCTGTCAGCGCGTTGATCGAAGACAGCTCGACGGAGGACGTAAGCACAGCAGTGAAAACGGCCGCGACCGAAGCTGGTGTTGATGAAGACTTCGCAGACGTCGAAACGACTACGGTCGGGACGCCTACGACGGCTTTGGCACCCGAGCCGGACGACGACGCCCCCGCCACCGACGACGCCCCGGCCACCAGCGCCAGCGAAGGGAGCTCCGGCGGCGGCGGCGGCGGCGGCCCAGACGCGGCGATGGGCGCGGGCATTGGCGCCGTGGGGGCTGTCGTCCTGCTGGCACTCTTCGGCGGCGGCGTCGTCTGGCGCAGGAGACGGACAAAGGCAGCGCTGCGGCAAGGCGACGAAGCGGCCGCGCTTCGAGGCTCCGAGGAGACCGGCTACGATCCGAAGACCCGCGAGGCTCTGCTGCAGCGGCACAAGGACACGACGGCTGTGGTCGAACGAGGCATGACCGTGACCTCGGCACTGCTCGGCGCTGCGAGCGGCCTGCCGCTCGTCAGACCGCTTTGCGACGTCGCCAAGGGAATTCTCGGTGACGTCGAGGAGTTCTCGGAGAAAGCCGACGACGTCCTCGTTGCGGCGCGGCGCGTCATCGACGTCCTGGACGTGGTTGATCTCATGTCGAAGAACGTCTCGAAGTGCTCAGACGGCAAAGATATTGCCCAAGCGAACATGCAGCGGCTCATCGACTTACTGAAGGAATTCCACGCGGCCGTGCGCGCCTTCGGGCAGAAGGGCTGGCTCAAGCGCGCGTTCACCATGCAGAGCCACGTCAAGAAGCTGGGCCGCATCGATAAGCGCATCGTCGAGCAGCTGGGCGTCTTCCGGCTGAGCTACCAGTTGGCAATTGATGCGAAAATGATGGAGCGAACCTACCAGATCGAGCAGTCCATCACGGCGCTCGTCGCGAAGCGCGTCGTCGAGAAAGGGGAATCCGAGGAGAAGGCGGCCGCGGCGCTCTCGGAGGACGCCGTCGCGATTACCTCTGTTGCTGTCGATGCTCATGTGCCGCCGACGGAGATCGCGACCGAATTGCAGGAGTTCCGGCTCGAGGTACGCCAAGGTCTCGCAAAACTAGACCAGGGCATGCGAGCCATGTTGGAGCGCAAAAACAGCGACCGGCAGCACCTCCGATCTATTATGAAGGCGGTCAACGCGGGCGTGCGGCGCGACGAGAACTTGTTGGCCGCCGTTGAGGCGGGCGCTGAAAGGGATAAGCAGATTCTCGCCGCGCTGAACCGCGACGGATCATTTAAGGAACACGTCAAAAATATATCCGATTCGCTGGAGAAAAAGCTCCAGCACGGAGCCGCGCGGCGCGACAAACGCAAGAACCTGAAGGACTTCGAGATTAAGCCCGAATACGTAGACCCGGATCCATTTGCGCGCGGCGGCCAGGCCGTCGTGCGTCTTGCCGAGTACGCGGCGGAGACGGTCTGCATTAAATGCATTAATATGGTTGGCGTGCCCGCTGCGGAGCGCATGAAGATGTATCAGTCCTTCGCGACGGAGTTGTCGATCATGGTTAGATTGAGACATCCCCGGATCGTGCAAGTGCTGGGTATCATCACGACTGACGCCACGTACCTCGGTTTAGTGATGGAGTACATGCCGGGGGGTTCGCTGCGACAGGCGCTGGTCAAAGAGGACGAAGAAATTACTCCGGAGTACAAACGGTTTTGGGCTTCCGACGTAGCCCAGGGCATGGCCTACCTCTACTCGTGCAAGATCGAGCACCGCGACCTGAAGGCCGCGAACGTCTTGCTCACGCTGGATGGCCGCGGCAAGATCTCTGACTTTGGGTTGGGCAAGGCCGACGATTTGAAGACCTCTACGACGGCCAGCACGATGCGCGACGGCGGCCTCGCGGGTACGCCCGCTTTCATGGCGCCAGAGCTTCTTGATGAGAACGTGTTCACGGAGAAGAGCGACGTCTACTCCTACGCTATGGTCCTCTGGGAAATCTACGACCGCCGCCTCCCATGGGCGGGACTCAAGCCGCAGCAGATCCTCTCGAAGGTGCTGATCAAGCGCGCGCGGCCTGACATTCCAAAGACCATGCCTAGTGACATGATTTCACTCATGAAGAGTGCGTGGGCCGACGAGCCGGACGCGCGGCCGAGCTTTTCCGACATTTGCAAGCAGCTCAAGGCGACGACGCCGAAGCGGCCCTCCTCGACGTCCGAGATCCGCCCCTGGAGCTCGCCGCGGGCAGCGGAACAGCGGCAAGGGTCCATGAGATCCATGTTTGCTCGCGCCCTCTCGAACTTCCGGAGCACGAGCTCGCTCGACGTCGGCGGCGATAAAGACGACGATGACGACGACGGCGCGGCGGCGCAGGAGGCGTCCACGGCGCCTACGGCTGCCGCGCCCGCGAAAAGCTCCGCGAGTGCCAAGGGCCGCGCGCCCGTCGCCAAGAGGACCGCCACGGCCGAGACGTCGACTAAGGCGGCGCCGAGGCCTGCAGCAACCAAGAAGGCGCCGACCAAGGCGGCACCGCGGCCAGCTCCGGCAAAAACGAGCAAGACAGGGTCGAACTGGTTCAGGGGACCTACGAAGAAGGCCGCGCCCGCGGCGGAAACGGACCTGGAAGCGCCGACGAGCGCAGCGCCGGCTCAGCCACCGCCGAGGACAGACCTGGAAGCGCAGACAAGCGCGGCGCCGGCCCAGCCAGCGCCGGCGAAGGACCTCGAGGCGCAGCCGAGCGCGGCGCCGGCGCCTGCCCCGTCACCAGCGCCGTCGCGGTCGAGCTGGTTCCCGTCGCGCGCGGGCAAGACCGACATCGAGGCCGGTCGGGCCCAGACCGCGGGCGGGCCCGCTGCACCGGTCTTCGTCGTCTCGGGCAAGAGCGGGGCGCGCCTGCGGGCGGGCGTCGAGCTGGACTCGCCGCTCGTCGCGGACCTGCCCAGCGGCACCATTGTGACCGTGCGCGAGCGAGCGACGACGCGCGACGGCGCGGAACGGTGCTGCGTGATTTCTGGCGACACGATCGGCTGGCTCAGCGCGAAACTGTTGGTGGCGCTCTCGGCCGGCGACATGGAGGCGGACGACGGACCGGCGGCGACGGCTGCGGGCACCCACAGCCACGCGACGACGAACAAGCTACGCGCCGCCATTCGTGCGTCCACCGCGTTCGGCGCGACCGCAGACGCGCCGCCACCGCCGCCGCCGGAGTCGTCGGGCGGCCCGCCGGAGGACCTCCCGCCGCCGCCGGCGCCCTCTAGCCCCTGGTTCGATAGTAACTTCTAGTAACGACCAAAACTTAGTTCGTCTGCCCCCACCTAGCAGGTTTCCGGTAGTCGCGCGGCGCGAAGTCCACGCTCTTCGCCACCGTCGGCACGCGGTCCCGCGCGCTGATGTTGGGGGACCAGCCGTCGTAGTGGCACACGTCGGGCCAGATGGGTAGGAGGATCTCCTCGTGCGTCGACGCGTCCGCTAAGAATGCCAGCGAGCCGAGGTGGCGCTGGGGCCGCTCCAGCGCCCTGAGTCTAAGTCGAACGTCGCAGAGGATACCTTGCCGCAACAAGTCGACGGCGAGCGCGACCTCATGGGGAGCTGACCTGTGTGGAAATCAAATTTCAGGCGCCTCACGCCATCGATGCGACGTTGTCCCCGGCTAACTCATTCGTTGATTTCCACACAGGAGCTAGCGTCGGCTTCGTGTTCTCGTCGGCGACATCTTTGAGCGAGTTTAGGAAGCCGTTCGACACCGCCACGATGTCCAATCGGCCGTCGTTCTCGAGCGCCTCGAAGCAGTTCACGAGATCCTTGGGGCTCTGGAACACGAGCGCGGCCCGGTTCGCGTGGCCGCCGTCGTCGCCGTCGTCGTCGAACCTACACTCCACTCTCGGCGCCGGGGCGTGAGCTTGGGCAGCATCCTCAAAACCGTAGAACACACCCGGCTCTAGCGACGAGGCACCACCCCCCGGGAAAGCCCGCGCGCGGTCGCCGTTGAACTGCAGCGCGAGTTGTCTGAGCAACCGGCGGAACTCAGCCGAGCTCCACTTCGCCGTCGCTGCGGCGAACCTTGCTTTGGCCGCCGGCGTTCGCAACCTCAAAGCGTCGAACCGGTTCTTTCGTAGCCGGAAGAGATCTCTAGCGACAGAAGCCGACGGTGGTCGGTCCCGAATTCTTTTCAGTACCCCCTCTGCGGCCTTGTACTGGGCATCATGCAACGCCGCGCACAGCGCCTTTCGTCTCACAACTTCCCTGGAAGCGGCCCCGCGCACTACCCTTAAAGCATCCTTCAGGGCCGAGTCAGGCTCATGGCCGTCTTTCTGGGAGCATAATCTTAAAAATCTCCTCACAAGAACCGCCTGCAGGTCCGTGACGGCTCTTCTTACGGCATCGCCCTGCTGGACAGCATCCCGAAGCGCGTGGCGCACGTCCCTCGGTAATAACGCCCAGGCGTTGCCGCCCGACGCCGGCGCGGCCGTCAGCTTGATCTGGTGGTGCGCGTGCTTGACGGCGTCGTGGGCCGCCAGCTGCTGCGAATTTAACGCCTCACCGACACGGCGGCACCACGCCACTACCTCGCCGGCGTCGTTGCCCGGCGCGGGCGGTTCCGCGGATCGAGGCTCGATCCAGGGGTGGCGGGAAGCAGCTCCACGCGAGACACTCCCCTCCATCCTCGTTTTTGCCGCAAGCATGGCCTCGACGTAGCGCAACCTCTCTTCCAAAGCCAGCTCCCTTGCTTCCAGCGCGTTCTCTCGGGCGCTGGTCGGCCCCGTCGGGTTCCGAACCGGAGGCGGCAACGGCGGCGGCGCCCCGGCCAGGATCTGCGACGGCGGGGCGCCCGAATAGGCCAAGGTATAAGCTTCAGCGCCCGCGTAAGGGGACGTGGGCGCCGGCGGCGAACGCGCGCGATGTTGTACGGAGCGCTGCACGCCGCCGAGCTGCTCCACGGCGCCCAACCCAATCGTGCGTGCAGCTGGTAGAATACCCTCGCCCTCAGTCTCCCGCTCGACGGCTTCCTCCGCCTCGTCGGCTTTTTCTTCAGCCTCCTTCTGAGCCTTGTCGGCATCGTCGGAGGCCTTAGCTGCTGCTGCCGCGAGCCGGTCTGCCTCGTCTGACTTTTTAGCTTCTGCCTCGGCCTGCTCCTTCAGCAGACGTTCCGCCTCGGCCTTCTCGGCAGCGATCCTATCAGCCTCCTCCTTCTCTTTCGCCTCGGCGTCAGCACGCTCTTGCGCGATCCTTTCCGCCTCGGCCTTCTCGGCAGCGATGCGGTCGGCCTCGTCGGATGCTTCTTGGGCCTTCCGTTCCTTCTCAGCAGCTTCTTTGGCCAGGGCCTCGGCCTCGGCGATTCTCGCGGCGTCCGCCTCCTGGCGCTTCAACTCCTCCAATTTACGAGCCGCTTCGGCCGCCTCTTCCTGGGCCTTGGCCTCGCGCGCAGCGGCGGCCTCTGCCTCCCGCTTGGCTTCCTCTTCAGCACGGGCCGCCTCCTCGGCCGCCTTCAGAGCGGCGGCTTCCCGGGCCGCGGCTTCTTCGGCCAAGCGCTTGGCCTCCTCTTCGGCACGAGCGGCTTCGGCCGCCTCCGCTTGCGCTTTGGCTTCCCGCGCCGCGGCCTCCTCGGCCTCGCGTTTCGCAGCAGCCTCCTTCGCCGCGGCCGCTTCGGCCTCCTTCTTCGCCCGCTCCTCGGCCTCGCGCGCCTTCTTGGCCGCGGCCTTCCTAGCCCGCGACGCCGCACCACCTAATTTCGCGAGAGCACCCAACCCGATGCGCGGCTTCCGCTGGGGCACCACCTCCTGCGTCTCGCCCTCGACATAGAGATCTTCAGCTTTCGCCTCGGCGACGTCGTAGGGATCCGTGAAGGGGTCCGCGGCCGGCGTCGGCTGCGCCCCATACGACGGTGGTGGGCTCCGCGTGGGCGCGGGCGACGCCGCGGGCTCGTACGACCCAAACGCGCCAAGAGAAGGTTGTTCTTTATGATGAGTCACGGTCTGCGTGATGATGCGCGGCTTCTGCGTCCGCACGCGCTCCTCGCGCGCCGCGACGTCTTTTGCTCTCTCAGACACGTCCTTGAGCATCTCGCGCCGCTGCTCCTCGCCGTGGCGCGCGAGGTCGTGCAACCTAGCTCTCTCGCTCTCGATCTTCTCCTCGTGCTCCTTCTTCAGATCATCCAACTTGTCCATTCTTTTCAAAATATCATTTTCCAGCTGCTTCCGCTTTCCCGCCGCCTCGTCCGACGCCTTTCGCAGCTCGTCCGCGTACTGCTTTTCCAGGTCTCGTCGCTTCGCCTCGGCGAGTTCCAGCAACCGCCTTCTCTCAAGCTCCGCCTCGCGGTCCAGCGCCTCGCGCTTCTCCAGAGCTTCTTCCGCCTTCCTCGCGGCTTCCCGTAGGGCGTCCTCCAGCGCCTTCTCGGCCTCGCGCCGCTTCGCCTCGGCTTCGGCGAGCAACGCCAGCGCCCGCGCCTGCTCCTCCTTCGCACGTTCTTCAGCGAGTTGCGCCTGACGCTCGCGGTCGTCCGCCATGCGGCTCCGCTCGTCCGCCTTCAGCGCCAGCGCCTCGAGGTCATCGCGCGTCGCCGCGAGCTGCTCGGACTTCGCGCCGAGGGCGGCGAGCCGTTGTTTTGATAACGTATCAGCAGCAGCGATGGCGTGGGCTCTCGCATCAACATCTCGAGCAAGGGTATGGCGCGCGCGCTCGTCCTCGGCCGCGAAGGCCTCGCGCGCGGCCAGATACGCCTCCATGGCGTCCATGCCCAGTTCTCGTTTCTCAACAGCTTCCTCCCTATCCAAGCAGGCGTCTTCCCGCATCTGCGCCGTCGCGTGGCGGCCCTCCGCGGCCGTCTGCGTCGCGACGGCGGCCTCCCGTTCGTCTCGGGCTCGTTTCAGTTCGTCCCTAAGCGTCGCTTCGGTGGCGGCGATGGCCGCTTCGCGCTCCTCGCGTTCGAGCTCGGAACGGACCATTTCTTCCCGGAGCCACGCAGCGGCCTGCCTCCGCTGCAAGTCCTGGGCTTTGACCTCCTCGAGGCGCGCGGCGGCCTCGTCGCTCCTCGCTCGCAGTTCTGCCTGGCGCCGCGCGGCGTTCGCTTCGTCGGCGCCCAGTCGCGTAAAGTGCGACTCGAGCGTTTGCGACAGCGCCCCGAGGGCCGCTTCCCTTTCATCGGTAGCCCGCTTGCGATCCTGCTCCCGCGCGTCGCGCTCGCGCTTCGCGACGAGCGCGAGCTCTTCCCTTCTTCTCAACTCCTCGGCCTCGCGGAGCAATTTAGCTTGCGTGGCCGCGAGCTCGGACTTCTCGCCCTGGGCGTTCTTCCACTGGTTCTCCTTGCCCGAATAGGCGGCGGCCTCGCGCGTGAGGTAGGCGTTCAGGTTGTCGCGGAGGGCAGCCCGTTCGGCGGAGGCGTCCCAGGACGTGTTGACGCTCTGGCGCAGCGCGGCGGCGGGCTCCGCCGGCGCCTCGGCGTCGAGGCCGTCCCGTAGCAACGCGGCGACGGGGCCGTCGCCCTCGTCTTCGGCGGCCATGTTGTTCGCTGCTGTGATGGGTGCTGGGGCAGCCGGTGGTCTGTGGGGCAGCCCTTGTGCTGGGTGCCGGGGCAGCCGCTATCTAGCCGCTAGTCGCTGCTGCTGCGGCGCCGCGCGCGACCGTGCGCGTCGCGAGGTTGTCTGGTGTCGTCCGCTTGGCGTCGCACTTGCGCCGTTTCCCATGCGCCAAGCGGCTGCCAACGGTTGCACCCGTACGGCCTAGTGGCGCTACCGTTTCGTAGTCCTACCGCCGGAGCCGTCTCCGAGACTCTCCGCGTCGCTTATAGCCATCGCGCGCGGTCCGGCGGCGCGGCAACCGAGCGCCGATCCTGAAGAGTGCCACTTTTGTTGTCCCGCCTCCCGCGTCGCGCCCCGGCGTCTATGCATGCATCAGTCTCGTTCAATCGCGATAACGACAGTCACTGACTGCCCAGTCCAGCTGTCGCGCTGCGCCGGCATCGCTGCGAGCTGCTTGCAGCACCAGAGGGGCTCCTAGGGCTCGTCTGCCGCGCGCAGCCGTCGCGTCGATGGGTAGGAGTCGCACGACCCGTGGCCCGCGCCCTCGCCGTCGAGCCGGCGCCGCACGCCGTCGCGTCGATGGCGTCGTGAACGCATGACGGTGCCCGCACACGCAGGTCACCATGAAGCTCGTCCTCGCCCTCATGCTCGGCGCCGCCGCGGCGTTCGCGCCGCAGACCGCGCCGCGCGCCGCGACACACCTGTCGGTCGGCCCCGTCGGCGAGCAGAAGCTGACGACGAAGGGCCCGTCCTCGAAGCACTCGATGGACAACCAGTTCGCCCTGGGCTGGATGGGCAAGTACGACGACGCGGCGTCCGAGGACGAGCGCTCGAAGAAATTCCTGGCGCGCCACGACGAGCAGGTCGGCGCGGAGCCCGGGTCCTTGCAGGTCCGCACGCCGGAACGCGTGGCGGCGGAGATCGCCCAGCTCAAGGCGGACCGCCAGGCGCGCGTGCGCCGGGCGAAGAAGCTCAACTAGGTCTTACGCCTTTTAAGTGTGTAGCGCGCCGTGCCCAGCGACTCGTCGTCGTCGTCGTCGCCCAATTCGACAGAAACAAGATCTAGGCCCGGCGCGGACCGCATCAACTTCTCGACGCCTTCTAAACCGCGGCCGTTGTCGGCCAGCTCCGGCGTCATGACGACCAACGCCCGGCCGTCCTCTGCCAGTAGTGTCGATACGGTAGCTAAAAATGCGGGTAACGTCTCGCGCTGGTAAGCGACCTCCGCGGCCACGACCAAATCCCAGGTCCCGGCCTGTGCCTTCGCTAAATCGTCGTCGTAGCCCCACCTTAGTCGTTGGAGGGACGCTCTGGAGGCGCGGTTCGCCTTGAGGTTCCTAGAAGTCGTCTCCAGGACTATCGGTGAGCCGTCGGTCAGCAGCACTTTCGTAGCACCCAACCAACTACAGACAATGCCGACGGCGCCCGTGCCGCAGCCCAGCTCCAGAATACGTTTCTTTTTCACAATTTCGGGATGCCGCGCGAGGTAGTACGCCAAGGAATCACCACCGGGCCAGCCGTACGTGCCCGTCCGGTCCCCGGCGTCCGGCGCGTCCTTGGCCGCGCCGCGCGCCGCCCCGAAGGCCTGGGTGAGGGTCATGGTTCGTTTTAACGTTGGTAATTGGAGCTCGCGTTCGATGAACTGGGGCGAGCCCCGTCGTTCTATAAATGTTGCTTTTGCTGGCAGTGTGAGCGCGGCCGGTGCCGTGGCGAGGGCGCGGCGCGTGACTGGTCGCATCGCTTGGGCGGCGGCTGCGAGCAGCACTATGCTTGCGAGTGCCATGCTGCTGCCTGCCCTGTTCACAGCAGGTCTTGAGCTAGGAGCTGCCGTGGCAGTTCGCTGGTGCAAAAATGCTACTTTTGCACAGTTCTAGCAGTCTCGTTGCTGCGTCACGACGCTGCGGCCCAGCTTGCTCTGTCTTGCTTTGCTAGTGTCTCTACGCTAGCGCGTTTGCTCCCAAGCTACGTCAGCGCGTCTCCGCGGGCTCAGCTACGGCTCGACGTCTCTGCACGGCCACAGGGCCGGGACGGAATAGGCAACTTTGAGGCTTTGGCTGCTTTTGCTCTGAGTGCAGGGTGACCTCATCTGTCGACGCGAGGCTGCACTGAGTTCGGCGACCAGGTTCCGTTGCCCTTTTTTAAGCCCTCGAGGCCCTGCGCGGCCGGCGGTTCGGGCCGCGCGCGGCATCCCGAGCTTGACAACCTTGAACTGAGAGCAGCCTCGGAGAGCCGCCATGGCCGCCCTCCTCTCCTTGATCCTCGACTGCTTCAGTGAAAAAAAACAACAGAAGACCGTCCTCGACGCCGCGAAAGCCATGGTCGACGCGAGTAGCACACCGATCGTGCTCTGCGACGCGAAGGACGGCACAATAGTCCACTGCAACTCTTCTTGGTCCGAGACCTGCGGCTATTCCATCGTGGAGGCCTTCGGGCGGACCAATAAAGAATTATTGCAAGGGCCCGAGACTGATTGTACTACTGCGAGAGAGTTAGTAAGAGAGCTCCGGTCCACATCCTCCAGCAGAAGAGTATTAAAAAACTACAAGAAGGACGGCACGCCCTTCTGGAACGACCTCATCCTGCAACATATTGGGGATGAAGCTTCATCAATAAGAGGCGAAGGCCTCGACCTCGCGTTCGTGAGGGAGGCTCCGTCCCAGACCGGTGTCCCCTACGACACGCGGGAGCCCTTCCGCTTCAAGAAGCGGTTGAGCCCCCACTACGGCGAGTTCGGCGAGGGCGCGCTATTGGCGTCGCACGTCTCGCTCGGCGGCGTCGAGGGCACGCTGCCGCGCGTGGCGTCCGTGCGCGTCTGATTTGGGGGGGCTAAGAGGGCCTTAATCTTACCGCGGCGTCGCCGCGTCGATGGCGTCGCGCTTGCTAGTGTCTTACAAGCCGCTAGCTAGCTTGCCCAGGGCAAGTTGTGTAGCGGTGCTCGCGCGGGTGGTCGCCGCCTGGGGCCTAGCGCGAAGACCCGGCCAACGCGTCGACGACGCGCCGCGATCCATTAGGCGATTGGGCCGATATTTGGCTCTCCTGAGTCCTGAGAGGACTTCTCAGAGAGGCCACAAAGCCTGCGGCCCTGAGCAGCCATGCAAATTTTCGTCAGAGGACTCGGGTGGAACACATACACCATCGACATCGAGCCGGAGGATACGGTTCTGACGCTCAAGCATCGCGTGCAAGACCGGACGGGCATCCGGTCCACGCTGCAGCGACTCATCTTCGCGGGCAAGCAGCTCGAGGATAAGGGGCCCGAATCTTTGCCGCACAGCTCGAGGAGAAGGAATAATACTTTGGCAGACTATAAGATCCGGAGAGAAGCTACCGTTACTCTCCATATGCGAATGTGTCCCGAAGTTCACGTAGAGTGGGGTGTCTACGGATCGATGAAAATCGGTTTCGAACCACACCTCTCCTACTATCGCGAGAAAGTGGCACGGGCCTGCGGCATCCCGTCCCGGCACCTACGCCTCTGCTGCAAGATGCGCCTCTTCTCCGACACGCAGGAGGAGGGCCTCCTCGCCATCCCGTGGGACTGGACGTCCCGCCCGGCCTGGAGACGTGCGCACTTCGGTTTGCATGGATATTTTCTTACTCTCATGTTGCACGCCGTCGACGCGCGCCTCGGCGAGCCGCCGCGAGCCGCCAGAACGCCCGCACCAAACCCGGACACCGTCGCCGCGCGCATTCGCAAGCGTCGCAAAACGCCAGCACCGGACCCGAACAGTGTCGCCGCGCGCGTCCGCAAGCGCCGCCGGTCGTAAATTGCTAATAATAAACCCTCTTAGGCGGGGGCAAGGGAGCGCCTACTCACTCGTACTTGCCGAAGACCGCGAAGATGCTCGGCCGCACGAAGTTGTAGGCGGAAGCTTCCACGTCCTGCGCGACCTGGCGCTCCAGGAACGCGCAGACCTCGGCCTCGTCCGAGTTCTGGGCGCACGCGACTCTATCAGCAGCAAATAAAGCCTTCTGGTAGCAGAGCTGCGTGTAGATGCGCTTCTCGCTCTCCTCGGCGACCATGCGGCCGCGGCAACCTCTACGGAGGCACCGCGGGCCCGCGCCGGACAGCTGCCGCGTCCGCGCGCCGCAAGCCGAGTCGTCGCAGACCATCCAGCCCTCGTAGTATCTCTTCAAAGCGCCGCGGGTAGCTAACTGTAACGCGACACTGAGACGAGAGAAGCACGACGCGGCCGACTTGTGCCCCAATAGTCGCGCTTGGCACGACGGGCACTTCAGAGCAGGCGGCGCCTCATCAGCACAATCTTCGGAACGCTTCGGCCACAGCGTCAGCGGCTTCGTCACGCCGCAAGCCGCGCACTCGACCAGAACCGGAGCGCAGTCCCCAAATCTTTGTTCATCTGACTGGACCGCCATCGGGACGAACGCCGCCGTGCGGCCCTCGGCTTCCGCCAGCGCCTGCTGGCTTCGAGCCATGTGCTGCTCGAACTTGCGAGCGTCGAGGCCGAGGCGGTCGGCGATGGACGCCTTGCTCATCCCAGCGATGGGCTCACATAACCGCGCGATGGGCGGCAGGATCTGCTGCGCGAGGTACCACTCGACGTCGACCTTGGGCTTCGGTGTAGGCCCGCCGGGCGTGACGACCGCGGGAGCCCCTTCCTTCTCCATGCCGGGCCGCTTGTCCACGGCCGTCGTGTCGGGGTCGACGTGGTCGGGATGCACGGTCCGCTCGGCGACGCCCTTGTTCGACGAGTTGCCGTTTTCATCCAGACAGATGACGTACGGAATGTGGTCGCCGACGTTGACCGCCCGGCCCTCCTTGAGCATGGCCTTGGCGACCCTCAAATGCGGCTGGGCCTTGGAGTCGGGATATTTTTCCACCGGCTTGTTGAGGCCTCTTGTAACTACATAATCGGCCACGGACACGCGGCCCTCCCGCGCCTCCTTGCCGACGTCCTCCAGGACCTTGTGGACGTTCGCGACCACCACGTCCGCTTGATCACCGCTCAGCAAGAAATCCAGTACTCTAGCACCGGTCCGCTTCGACAGCGGGCACCAGTCGCGGCGCACCATGTCGAGGCCTTTAGTTTCTTTGTGTAGGCTGACGGCCCCGGTTCTGGGATCTTCATTGACAACTAATGCAGCATATTTCTTCTTCTTGAGGAGGAGCATCGTCTTGAAGATGCCGTCGAGCTCGAGTTCTAGTAACCGGTAGCGCTTGTTGACGGCCTTCTTCACCTTGAGACCGAGGTCCTTGACGACGGCGAGGTCGTCGGTCCTCGTGTTGATCATGATACTGTCCGTGTCGCCGTAAATGACTTCGAGGCCTAACTCCTTCTCGGCGACGTCAGCAGTAGCTTGTAAAGTATCTCTACCTAACGACGTCACGAGCGCGGCCAGCGGTTTGGCGTAGAATCTAGAATGGGAAAAACCCAGACAGCCGTACATGGAGTTCGCCGTCAGTTTCAGCGCCATCTGGCGGATCTCGTACGTCTCCCGTTTTTTCACGTTCTTCTCCTTTTTGAGCAGGCCCTTGACCTCGCGCCGCTTCGAGATGATGTTCTTGAGCACGCGCGGCAGGACTCCCTTGGCCCCGTCGCCTCTATCAGGTAAGGGCGGCAGCTCCTCCGCGGCCTCCTCGACGACCTCGTCGTCCTCGGTCCTCGCCTTCTTCGCGTCGCTCTCGCCGTTCGCGCGGGCCTCCATGCGCTTGGCGACGGGGGCCCAATCAACAGTGGTAAAGCAGAGGTCGTACTCCTGAATAATGGAAGGGTAGAGCGACGCGAAGTCCAACAGTAGCACGTGGCTGTCGTAGAACCCTTTTTTGGGTTCCAACACAAGTCCGCCGGAATACGCGGCCTTCTGGCGCTTGTGCGGGTCCGTCTTCTTGCGCTTCTTCTTGTTGTGGTCGACCTGTGGTGAACGAATCATGAGACCCCGCACGAGTCGCGTCGATGGCGTAAGGACGCTGAGTCACGGACGTCGTCGTCATCATCAGCATCATACCGCTGCTTCTCGGGCGCGAGGTACTTCATGCGGTGGAACTCATGTAACAAGAGGTACTCGATGCGTTCCGCGCGCTTGCCCTTCAACGTGTGCGCTAGTAGGTTTCCCGAGATCGCTGTAAGTTGTTTGGACAGCGGGAGCACCTGCAAACGTAATGCGAGTCGTTCTACTAACCGGCAGTCCTCGGCGGCGTGCCTCAGGAGTCCACAGACGTTCTGGGAGCCGCTTCCTAGGAGTTGAGCTACTTCCCGCGGCTCCAGCGATCGGCGGCCTCGCACACCGAGCTGCGTCTGAGCCAATGCCGCCAACGCGTAGGTCGTGGCCCCTCTTAAGTGTTCTCTGGCGGCTAAATAAGTGTCGCAGATCAGTCTCCCCGAAGTGGCCGACGCGTGGAACGTGTCCCGGCCCGACGCGGCCTTCCACCGATGAGGCGGCTTGTTGCGCTTGAGCCTCCCTACTTTCGACCAGGCGTTGCCCACCTTGAGGGCCAGGGCTCGCGCTAACAGGACGTCGAGCTCGAAGCCGAGGATGTTGTGCCCGCAGAGCACGTCCGGGTCGTCCCGTTGCAAGCGCGCCAATAACACGGAGATGAGTGCCCGTTCGTTGGGTGCGACCGTGACGGTCCCTCTATCAGCTAAAAAACCATGCGTAGGTTTCTTCAGCTCGCCGTGGAGATCTCTAGGCAGCTTCGGATCCAACGGTGTATCTTGCGCGCCGGCGATCTCCGCACCGAGCGGCCGCGCCGCGACGCAGGTCCATCTGCGACTCCCGGCCTCCTGCTTCTCGGTGGAATGCTGGAACAACCGGGCATCTTCCCCCCTTCCTCCATCGGGAGTGGCCCCGTCGACGGCAACACCTCTGTGAGTGAGCGCCGCCACCGCGACGATCTCGTGCTGATGGCTCTTGGGGTTCACGGCAGTCTTGACACTGAGCGTCGTACAAACGAGAGGAGGCGCCGAGTAAGGGCAGTCCCGCGCGACGGTTATTTTCTTCGCGTCGGACACTTCGACCTCCAAAACGCACCACGAGACCTTCGAGTCGCGCTGCACCGGCGCGTCGATGCGCACCCAGCAGGGCCCCATGAGCTTGCGCTTGATCAAGAATTGTTCTAGAGGTGTGGAACCGGCCCCGAGGATCTTCTCGATGCACCGGCCGCCTCGTTTACACAACGAGACCGGCGGCGCCCGATTCTTGGCCGAATATTTGACCTTCAGGTACTCCGTGTCGGCGTCGCGGGGCACGTCGTCGTCGCCGAAGGCGTAGCCGCGCTTGACGCCCTTGCACTTGAAGGGCTCGGACTTGGGGACGCACCGCGGGACCAATTCCGACCGCGCCTCCTCCCAGACGTCCTTCATGCCGTAACGGCTACCGGTCTCGGAATCGACTCGAGGCAAGATGAAGAAGCTCCGCTCGACGTTCCGCACGACGCAGCAAGCTGAGGCATATCTATCTTGCTCCCCTTCGAGTCGGATCTTCCCGAGCAAGTATACAGAGCCAGACTGTTCCACACAATCGAGCCAGTAGAGCCAGCAGTGCTTGCCCTCGGAATCCCGCAGCCACTCCGTCTCCTCGAGCTTGTCGACCGTACTCCCGCCACCATAATTCGGGTCCGCTTGAGGGGCGCTTTCATCCACATCCATGCGCTCCGGTAATTGGGGAGCGGCCTCGGTCGCGGCGGGCTTGTCGACCTGTGTTGTTGAGACCCGTGAGCGTCGCGGCGATGGCGTGCCGAGCCCTCGGCGCCGTCGACGCGTGACTCAAGGGACGCGGGCGCGGACGTCCATGGCCATGGCCGTCTGAGCGGCCGTCGACGCCTCGACCACGACGTCGTTCTTCGAGAAGCGGCTCTTCTTCTTGGGGGCCGCGGTCGCCTTGAGCGGCAGAGGGGCGTCCTTGGTGGAAGGCAGGGCCGCCGGCAACGCGGCCGGTACATCATCGTCGGCCATCCCAAATCCCATGCCCATGTCATCACCACCACCTCCAATTGATGCTTCCAGATCCACACCAGCCGACCACAACGGCATCGGGCTGACCTCGTCGTAGGTCATGCGTCTAGGTGTCGGCGCTACTTTGGGGCCGCTCGGCGCCTCGTTCGCGAAGCCGAGGCCGCCGCCCAGGTCCACGGACTTCCGTTCAGTCACGGCACCGCTCCCCAACCCATCAATTAACGACTCGAAGGCGTCTAGTTGCTTCACGGCGGCGACGGGCTTCTTCGGCGCCTTCTTCTCTCCATCACCGCCGAGGAACTGCGTCATCTTCGTCGTCTGGCGCTCCTCGCCCTCCGCGCGCGCTTCTTTCAACTTTCTAGCCTTCCGCACGGCGTCCTTCGACCGCGCGTGGACCACACCTCTTTGTTTGGGAGCGGCCTCCTCGAGGCCTTCCGCGACGTCCTCGCCGAAGTGCTCCTCGCCGTCGTCAAAATAGCCGAGGCCGTCGTCGTCGACGACGAAGTCCTCGTTCTGGCGGCGCTTCCGCACGAGGTCGGCGTACTCCTGCTCCGTTACTTGTTCGTACACATCTTTTTCCTCCTTCGCCTCCCACTGGTCGGATCTTGCGGCGCCGCCCTCTCTGGCCGCGCGCAGTGCCGCTCGCACGGCCTCGCGGGACTGCTTCTTCGTGCCCGTGCGGCGGGCGCGCTCCATCTTTGTGGCCTGCGTCGGTGTGTCGGGCGTTTGCGGCGGCGGTGCGTGGCTCACGGTGCGTGTCTCAGCGCGCGCGCGCGTTTGTGCAATGGCGTTGGTGCGCGCGCTGCGGCTGGGCGTCTAGCTGTGCCGCGGCGCGGGCGTCAGGGCGCGCGCGCGGCGTTCCCTCTCGCAGAGCGCGCGGTGTCTTACGGCTCACAGACGCGGCGGCGCGCGGTTTCTTCAGCTGTGCTACGAGATCAGCCTAAATGTGAGCTCCTCACAGCCGCGCGGCGTCCAGTTTTACGTCCAGCGAGCGCTTGAACGCCGGTGATCTCACCGCAGACCGATTTTGAATGGCTTGCTAGAGACAGAGTTACGCTAGCTTGGGTCAGGACAGACGCCGGCACTGGGCGAGATAGAGCAATGCCGGGACTGGTTGACGACCCGTCCGTGCCAATCGTGGGCCGTGCGACCCTGTCACAAATCAGCCTCCAGCACACTGGGCATTGACGCTGCCAGCATAGGACGCAAGGTGCCGCACAGCTGACTTTGAGCGGCTTCACGACTCGTGCGAAAGCAATCCCAACCATCAGTGCGAGTTTGAAGAGCGATAACAATGCGCACGCTCTCATTAGCAGCCCTGCTCTCCCTAGCCGGCTCGTTCCAGCACGCGACGCCGCTGCGACGACCGCACACGCTGCGCGCCTTGCTCGAAGTCACGGACCAGTACGGCTTCGTCGACGAGGCCGCGACATTACAAGCGAACCGCGACCGCACGGGCTTCCCCATCGCCCCCGACGACTTGATAGCAAGAGCCAAAGAGGTCATCGTCAAAAACCAGAACCTCCAGGACCCGGCCGTTTTTGATGATAGTATATACGCCGACAATTTTAGATTTGTGGCGCCGTTCGTGGGAGGGGCCACGTCGACGACGGGCGAGAAGATCGGCTTCACGAAAGCGGAGTTCCTCGCATCTCTCAGATCCTTCGATCTGTTAAAGGCCTTTCCGAACTTGAACAACCGCTACCACGCGTTCCGGGTGGACGTGTTTGAACCGAATCGGGTCTGGTTTCAAACGAGGGCCAAGGCGACGCACACGGGCGAGCTCATGGGCGCGGCGGCGACGGGCAAGGCGCTAGAACTACCGCCGGAGGCGCTGAGCATGACGTTCAATGAAGACGGCCAGGTCGAGCTGTTTACCGTGGGGTACGTGATAGATCGGACCGCAGGAAATACCGGAGGACTAGGCGGGGCCTTCGGCTACTTCTGGGGCACGGGCAACCCCCTGCCCTTCCCGGAGTGCCAGCCCTTCAAGGGGTCGCTGCAGCTGCGTTTATTAGGAGCGCTCCAGAAGCTGCTGCCGACGCCCGAGTGATGTGATAGTGTAAAACAACAAGTTAATCCACCTTCTCCCCGCGCAGCCGCGGGCTCCTCCGCACGGGGAACGCCTCGCCGACGTAGGACGGGCTATCCATACCTCTTCGCGCCGTCCGCGCCGTCCGCAGCAACAACCCCGCGCAGCCATTTCTATGGAGAAACACGACGAGCACCAGTAATTTCCCATACTTGTCCTTGCACGAGCGCGTTGTTCTGATGAAGGCTGCGGCCAGCAGCACGGGCCCCGACCGCGCCGCGAACGCTCCGATCCCTCTCAGAATGTGCTTCCGTTTCGTATTGGCGGTCCCGCGCATCCAGAGCCAGGTCATGCACCGACTACACGCGTTGTTGCCGTCTATTGTGACAAGCATGACCATCAGCAGGAACTGCAGGGAGCAATGAGGACACGCCGACACCACAAAATTAAATTTGCGGAGCTTGTACAGCGCGGCGCCGACTTTCACCACAAACGCAAGAAACACATGTCTCGTGAGAGCGTCGTAGACCACATCCCTCGGCGCGATCTGGACGAGCGCGAAGGCCAAAAACCAGCTGCTCACGTGGCGCCAGCCCTTCAAGATCACGGGAGTCGCGCCGACGAGCAACGACCCGATGCTCTGGGTTGCGAACTTGTTACTAAAAGCGATGCACATGAGTTGGACCTTGTGGCGAGGGGGACTCGGCGCGGCGAGGTGCAGCGACTCGAGCCGCCGGAACTTTTCTGTGGTCCGCGCTTTGTGGGCTCGTACCGCTTTCTTCTGTCTCCTAAAACCGGCGCAGCCGTTGAGCGAGGCCAGGAAGGACACAATCCTCCCGTTCGAACTTCCCAACCCACCAATGTACATGTCCCGGAAGATGGCCAGTCCGAGAGCGATTGCTACACAAGTGGCCAGGACGACCTCGAGGCGCCAGTCGCGTTCGGCCAGTTCTCGCAGCTCGGCTTTGCTTGGCGTTCTCGGAGGCAAGTCCGGCTTTTCGAACGAGGCGCTGCGGCGGCGCGCGGGCGCCTGGAGCATGCGGCTCTGGTCCGCATCTTTCTTAAATTGTTCTGAGGAGGGACTGCGGCGGCGCGCGGGGGGCTTGAGCACTTGCGCCATCGTCCCTTTTCACCGCCGGCCGTTTTCCCTTCTGGCAGCGTGGTTCTCCGCGGCGGGGCCCAGGCACTCCTTCTTTTGCTTCACGCGCGCAGCGGGTGCCGCGTCGCAGAGCTCTGGCAGTGAGAGCAGTGAGGCGAACCTGGTCTGTGCGCTGCGTGCGGCGCGCGCGGCGACAGGAATCGGTGCAGCCGTGCAGGTTTGCAGCCGTGTGACGCGCAGACAACGATGGGGCCAGATATAACTATCTTCCGGTGGAGCTTGCTGCCCTGTGCCGCATGTGCGGCAGGTCTGGGCCTCACGGCAAACTGAGCGCAAGTTGCTCCACGCGGAGCCGCACAGATTACCCCCGCGACGCCAGACCACGGGGTCCCGCGGGACGGCTCCCGCGGCGCTCCGGCCCTTGCGCTGCAGGGCCGCGGTCCCGACGGGAACGCGCGCGGTGCGTCTCCCGCCTTTGGACGCCGCGGCGCAGCGCACCCGTCTTCGCCGACGCCTCCGGGCGCGAGCCGTCGCGCGTGGAACTCTGCGGCGACTCCAAAATCAATCCTTTGCCGCCGGCGAGGTGCATAGGAGCCATCGCAATCCAGCCGTATAGTCAACATCAGACCGCAGCGCTGCACAGATTACCGCACGACTCTATTTTGCGCCGCTGCTGCGCTCGAGACCTGCGCTCGTACGACCGCTGCGCCGTAAGCCATGATCCTCAGGCAGCACTTGCTGTTGGGGCTCGCGGCGCGGGCGGCCGCATTGGTGGCCCCGCGGTCGTTTCTAGGAAGACGCGCACCACCGCAGCACGCCTGCCTCGTCCAGATCGACAGCGACGGCTCGCGCCAGCAAGTCGAGTGCACCGACGGGTCCGCCGAATACCTCAGAGATAGGAACGACGGCGCCGCCGGCAGCTTGAGGGATAGGGCCTACGCGTCGACGCGACGAAACTTGCGGAGGATCTTTTTACCAGTAGCGGTCAACGAGGAATACGTATCTTATACCCGATGGCGCTGCGTGCAACGTTTACTGAGCGCCACCGTAAATGTCTTTGGGGTCCAGGCCATGGTCATGGCTGTGGGATTGAGAGATGCGCGGGCCGTCGCGGCGGGCGGTGCGGTCGTGGGCGCGGCCGCAGCCGTAGACTGGGTCCTCAAAGACGCATTGGGGAAAGTGACGCGCCTCGGCTGGGCGGCGAGGATGGGTCGGGAGTTCGACGGCGACGCTAAAAGATGGCGGTTCCGATCTTCTTTGTTGTATGCGACGGGCAACGGGCTGCAGATCGCGACGTTCGCGTTTCCACTACTGTTCTTGCTATTAGCAACAGTCGCGAACTGCCTCAAGCAAGTTAGCATGCTGACCTCGACGGCGACGCGGTCCGCCATCTATCGAAGTTTTGCGGCGACGGAGACCACGAACAACCTCGGCGACGTTACTGCGAAGGGAGAAGCGCAAATTGCGGTCGTCGATCTCGTAGGTTTGTTGATCGGCCTCGTCGCCTCGAAGAAGTTGGGCGTGGCTTCGACGCAGGCGAACCCGAGGATGTTATTAGCGATCTACGGGTCGCTCTCGCTGCTGGAGATCGGGGCCATGTACCGCGAGATCGCTTGTGTGGTTTTTCGCCAGTTGAACTTTGAGCGGGCAACTTTAGTGGTTGACGAGTACGTCGAGAGTGGCGTTTGCCCCTCGCCCCGGGACATCGCGCGGCGGGAACGTATATTAAGAAGGCCACGGACGACGCGAACGAGTGTCCTGCGGCCGCTGATGACCGCGGCGTCTGGCATGTCGCGCGACGAGCTCGACCGGCACGTGGCGTTGGCGTCGACGGACGATTTCCTGGTGCTGGACGGTGCGATCGTTTTGCGGGACGGCGCCACCGACGACGCGCTGTTGGATGCTTTACATGCGCGCGCTCGATCACTCAGAATAGGCACCGAGGGTCTATCAAAGGCGCGGGCGGGTCGCGAGGCGCTGCGGACCGCGTTGCGGGACGCGGGCTGGTCGACGCAGTCGTTCATGTTTCCCGAGGTCCAGGTGCGGGCGGACTGGGGGGAGACGTCGAAGTCGTAATATCTAGTTATCGTGGTTAGTCAATCACTGTCGTCGTACGTGTCGTCGTCAGAAGACGACTGTGCCCCAATGCCCAAAAAGGCAAATGCCTCCTCCACGTTCAGGGTTCCGTCGTTTTCGTCGGCATACGCCCGCAGCTCGTCGAAGTCCTCCATCGTCTCGATGAGCTCCGGAGGGTAGGGCGGCCCCGCCGCGGCGTCTTCGGCGAGGCGCGCGATGGAGCGCTCGTTCCCGTCGCCGCCGTGAAACGCGTTACGCAGATACATGAAGTAGGCATTGGACAAGCTCAGGTCGGTGCCGCGGCCGCGCTCCGCGAGCTGCCCCATTTCGAAAGGCGTGCGCGGGTGGCCCGCGTCGAACGCGCGGTGGATGTGATGGAAGGCGCGCGCCGCGTGCTCGTCGTTCGGCGTCTCTTCGTCGAGCCTCATGTAGATCTTGCCCAGCAGGTAGTCGCAGTTCGCGTCGCGTTCGTCCGGGGGTATGGCCTCGATGAGCGCCAGGACGTCGGTCGGGGTCCCCGCCACGTCCCCTTTCTGGATCATCTGCGCCTTCAGCGTGGCCGCCTCGCGGCGCGGGTAGCGGAACGGCACCTCGTGCACACTCGGGACCTCGTCGTGATCCAGGACCGCGTCGAGGAGAATACCCGCCTCGGCGAGAAGATAGGGCGCATTGGTTCCCTCGGGATCGAACCAGGCCTTATCGGCCAACGTCATGGCCAAATCAACTTTCGCGGCGTCGAGCGCGTGGTCCGGCGGCGCTAACAAATGGTAGGACCCCGGAGGAGAATTATCGGCGGCGATCGCGGCGCGGAGGCATCGCTCCGACTCGTCTAGGTCGATGGCAGCGTCGCCGAGGGGGCTCACCATCTCGGCGAGCACGCTCGACGCCCCGCCCTCGTTCGCTATCCCGCCGAGCATGCAATACGCTTCCCTCGTGCCATGCATGTCGGCACAGACCCTGTACCATTTCCGGGCCTCGGCGGCGGAGGCCTCGCAGTCCTGGCCCGTCAACGCCATGCAAGCTCGGCCCGTGAGTATCTGTGCGTCGTAGAACTCCTTCTTGAACTGACGATTCACGACCACTATGTTTGCTAGGTCACCAATCCCCACGGCGTTCAGCAGACTTTTGAAGAGCGACGTCTCGGGAAAGAGGTCCTCGACGAATCGGACGGCGGGCAGGTTGGGATCTCTGCGAAACCGCCGCAGCGTCGCGGCCGGCTTGGCGCGCTCGAGTGCGATGTCCGCGGCAACAGCAGCAGCAGTCGACCGCTTAACTACTCTCCCAGTAGACGCGTCGATGTAGATGCCCGCGTCCGCGAGCGCCGCGATGACGGCCTTGCTGTGGGACATGGGTGCGGGCGATGTGGAGTGACTCGAGTCGTCGGACTCGTCGGTCGGCGCGCTGTCGACGGTATATCCTGGCTGTCGGTGGGACTGCGGCTTGCAAGTCAGGGGCTTGGATTAAATTTGAGCGCTTGGAATTGTCCAATTCAGGCACAGAACGATTGATATAGAGACAACAGAGACAACTGGTCACTAATACGACCGCCAGAGCCTCAGAGAGCGGCTATACCAAGCTCAGCCTCATCATCATCCTTATATTTCCGGGTTCGCTCCGTGTTCGCATTTCCGCTTTTTGAGGTCCGTAGCGCTCCAGCGCCGGCCCCATGCATGGATGGCGCGCGCGCGATCGATGGCCAGCACGCCTGGCTCGGGCGCGAGGGCTGAACCGCTGCAAAAACGCCGCCGCGCGCGCCGAACGCAGCCCTCGCGTTCTTGCGATGCGCGCGATATCGGGTGCCCGCGCGGCCGCGGCCGCGGGCGCCGCGGTCGGCGGGGCCCCGGGGCGCCCCGCGGCGCCCGCGGCGCCTCGGACGGCGCCCCCGGCGCCCCGGCGCGCGCCAACCGCGCCGCGAACGCGTCGCCGGCGGCCGCCGGGGAAAATTTCGCGCCGGCCGCCCGAGCCCGCGGCAGCCGTCCGCGGGCGAGGGCGCGCGCTGCCCGGCCCGGGCCACGGGTGCAACGGCCGCGGCGGCGCGCTCCGAGGCGCCGGCGCCCGGCGCGAGGGCCCGCCGCCGGCGGCCGGGCGCCGCAGGCGCCGCGCCGCGTCGAGCGGCCGCCGACCTGTGCGCCGAGGCTCGCCGCGGGCGGCGACCACTCCCCGGCCTCGGCTGCCGTGCGGCCTCGAAAGGGCGCCGCACGACCATGCAAACGGCCCCTCTTGCGTTGCGCCGCCGGTAGCTCCGTGAGCCCTACGGCACGCCACGCGGCGCGCTGGATCCTCGAGGGCTATTGGACGCTCTCCGGGGCGTTGTTTTTTGTGGGTAATTGTTGGTTCTGTGAATCCGTTACGGTGCGCGGGCGCGTCGCGATGGGACTGCGTTTTTTTTTGCGCGCGAACGGCCCAACCTTTCGGACGGGTTAGGGCGCCAGGCACGGATCAGACCACGAGGAAGAGGGTTAGCCGCAGGTCAACTAGTCAGCGGACAAAACAGGTTTTGCGATCGGATGCGACGCGCGCCGATACGACAAACGACCGGTTTCGGCCGGCAATGATCGACATCTATGGCGTCCGGCCACGCATGCTTCAATAACAGCGAGGACAAATGAGAGAGTACTTAAGCGGTCACGAACGCTAGACTAACTCATGCGCCGGCGAAGCTGCGTACACGGAGAAACGCTCAAAAGGGCAAATGATAAAACTGAGAAATGAGGTAATGAGTCTGCAGGAAAAAAGGCTGAGCATGAAACTCCTGCTCATAACTCTTGCGTGTTCGCGTGCGACGCGCCGTGGCCGATGCCCCAGATGGCGTCCTGCGGCGCCGCCTCGGCGAGGACGGCGTTTCCCGTCGCGAGGAGCACCTGCTTGAGCACCGGGTCCGAAGCGAACTTCTGGCTCACGACCGCGATGGCCACGTCGACGACGACGCCGTCCCAGGCGCCCCCGTCGAACCCCTGGACGCGCCGCCCCAGGGCCTTGTAGTCCTCGGGGCGCTTGCCGGGCGCCGCGATCGCGTCGAACCGCACGGCGTCGCGGAAGAGCGCCGCCTTGGACAGCATGATCGCCTGCTCGCCGCAGCCGACGCGCACCGTCCGCGGCGTCGCCCCGTCGCAGCTCGCCGGCAGCGTGAAGTCGAAGGCGCCCTGGTGAAAGTTCGAGAAGCAGCGGTGCGGGCTGCTGCCGCGGTGGCTGTAGAACGCGACGACCGGGAGCGTCTGACCCTCGCGCGTGACGTCGCCGCGCCACAGGTCGCGCAGTTGGTTCGGGTGCGTGCGGAGCTGCAGCGAGCGCGCCGCCGGCGCGGGCGGCGCACCGCGGCGCAGCTGCGCGAGGTCCGGCGTTGCCGCCTTCGCGCGTTTCGCGGGCGGCTCGTCGTCCGAATCTTGGGTGAGGTCCGTCACCGCCGGCGCTGGTGCCGGCGCGTCGCCATCTTCTTGCGTGAGATCGATGGTGGCCATTTTTGGGGCAACCGTACGCCGCACACTGTTTTTTGTTTTTTTGGGAATGCTCTCCGAGAGCTTTGATGTTTGGGCCCGTGTGAGCGCAATTCGCGCGCGTCAGCAGCAGCGGTGCAGCAGCGCCAGTGCGCGCCGGGGTCCAAGGATCCGCGAATGCTGTTGGGACGATGCCCTGCCTTGTTTTGACTCGGACTCGAGCTCTGGACCCAGGCTCGGGTTTTCTCGCCGGATGAACAGTCGCCAGAAGTACGGATCCTTCCAAGAACAGACCAATCCCGTCCCACCAGACGCCTAGCGCGCGCCACAGGTGCACTTTGGCAGCCTTTGGCCGTCAATCCGGTCGCCAATGGACCAGGGCTCCACCGCACCAGTACCGAGGGTGCCCGCGCCGCCCGCCCGCGTCCGTAAACAACAAGGACGCCCCGCTTTCCCAAGGAAAAGGTTTCCTACTAGTCGAAAACAGTGAATTCCAGCCAACTTGGGCCTGTGACGCCCGAGCTCAAAGGGGGCAGCCCGGAACCCTTGTCGCGCTCCAACTCGCGTCGGGTGCAGCGCCGGCTCGTTGCCAGAGCGTGCGTCGCCTTTTTGCGCCGCCGCGCCGCGGAGCCTCTGCGAACGAGGCACGACTGCAGTCGCGCATCGAACAGCCATTCCCGCCGCCCGACGCGCGCCGCCACTTACAAGGGACCATGCCCAAGAAGCCCGCCTCCAAGAAGGCCTCCGTAAAGAAAGAGCCGGCACCGGCGCCGGTGCCGCCCGCCAAGGCGCCCTCGCCGCCCAACGCGCCGCCCCTCCCCATGATGCCGCCGTTCGGTTTGGTGCCCGGCTTCCCGCCGCTCATCCCGCCGCCGCCGGGCGTCGATCCGGCCGTCTGGGCCGCGGCCGCCGCGCAGCATGCCGCTCAACAGCCCGGTGGAGAACCGAAGAGCAAAGAACAGTCCATGAAGGACGCCGCCGCGGCCTTGCAGAGCGCGGCGCAACTTTCCAAAAGAAGGAGGTGCATGGTGGCTGTGGATGAGGTGCCCGGGTTTGTTAGAACTGTTTATACTCTACTGAGAGTCTGCGACGACTCCATCATCGGGTGGTCGGAAGATGGAACTCAAATACTGATCAAAGAACCGGACCGCTTCGCCGCCGAGGTCTGCCCGAAGTTCTTCCGGCATCGGAATTTCAACTCGTTCACACGGTTACTAAACATGTACCAGTTCCACAAGGTCCCTTCTGTCCAAAGGGACTCGAAGGACGTGTGTTTTGAACATCCGCATTTTCAAAGAGGTAGAGATGATCTGTTGCCGCTCGTGCAGCGCAAGGGCGCCCAGACGATGAGGGATGAATTGATGGCCCGCGAGATGTACGCGCGGCCGCCGTTCCCCCCGGGTTCGGGTGTCGAGCCCGTGCATGCTGTCGGCCCGGGCCAGTGGACGAGACGGATGGCGGAGCTCGAGAGCGACGTGCGCGCGTTGAAGGCGGAGAACGAGCGCCTGAAGCGGTTGGAGGCGGAGCGCGAGGCGTTGAAATGTCAAGTTCGGACGCAAGACGACTTGATTTCATTATTACAAGGCGCGCAAGGGAATCATGCCGCTCTGGTCGATAAGAGCGCCATTCCCGGTCCTACGTCGGTTCCTGGGCTGGAAGCGGCCAAGAGGCTGGGTTTACCCCCACCTCCCGAAGCGCTGAAGGAAGCTTTAGCACAGATGGGCAATGGTCCCCTGATGATGATGATGTCCATGATGTCCGGGGCCTTGCAGGAGGGCCTCGCTCGAGCGGAAGCGGAGGCCCAGGCCCCGAAGGACGCCGCGGCTTTGCTCCAAGGATTGGCGGCGTCGACGCCGCGGAAGACTGAACGTTCAGAAGATACGGACACGCCGGTGGCGAAGAAGGCGAAGGTCTAGTCACTAGTCGTAGTAACAGACAACATACTTAAACTCCATTGGCGTCGCGTCGATGGCGTGACCCCAGGCGCCTCCTCATCCTCGCCGTCCACAGGTACCGCTCGACTACGACCGCTTCAACGGGATGGCCGCGTTGCGCACGACTGGTTCAGGTGCATGCTTCTCATGCAAAGCCTGCGCCTTCGCGTCGAGCTTTTCTTGGAAGCGCATTCTGCGGGAAGCGCCGCTCGCCGCGTCCATGAGATTCATTTTCCCCGTCAATTTCCCCGAAGAATCGACCAAGGGCCCCTTCTTCGGCCCCGGCACTTTCACGGAGCTCCGCAAGCGAAAGCGCGGCCGGCCCGTTTTGGGATCCAGCGCGAACTCCGGCGTGAGGACAGGCAGCACGCCGCGCGTCGCCTCCAAATGCATCGCTTTGCGAGAAGCGAAGTCCTCGCCGCCCTCGAGGCACAGGTGGAAGGCCCTTATCACACCAACATGACCTTTGACCAACTGCTTTGCCACATATGTTAGCGCCGCCGCTCTTCTAGTAGCGTCATACGGCCTCTTCGTCGCGGGATCGACGGGACAGCGCGGGTGCCAGATCAAGGGCACGGCCCACGTCTCCTTGCCTCTCAAGCAGCGCTGGTAGTCCTCGTAGTCGAGCTCGACCACGGTCCTTATCTTCTGCGACGCGGTCCACGTCTTGTACATCTGGTTCACCTGTAATTGATCATACGAGCCCTGCGCGCCCGTCGCGTCGACTTTGGCTCGCCACTCCCGCAGGAATTTCCTCGAGCTTTCTTCGTTAAAAACACAACAGAAGCCCGTGCATAATTCCACATTCTTTTCGCCCTCGTAGATCTCCCCATAATCCAGCGAGAACAGCAAACAAGGCCGGCCCTGCGGCCTTATATCATCGAGCATCGGCGGTACTCGTCTCCGGTGTTGCAACAGATCAGGTAGGGGGTCCTTGATCCAGAACGCTTCGAGCGACGAGTAGACCACGGGCGCGCCGACCGGCGCGGACCTGCGTGGACATCAAATGTACGGCGCGTTCGTCCTGAATCGCTCGACGGAGCCAGCGCGGCCCCGCCATCGCCGAGAAATGACACAGGCGCGGACTGGCAGACCCACTGGTAGATGCGCATCTTTTCTCGGCGTTTCTGGGCCTCTTTTCGTTCATAAACGTTGGGAAAGATCACGGTGTCGTGGAGGATCACATTTAATGCATCGTCGTCTTGTAACCTCAAAAGGTACGCGTAGGCCTCGTCGTCGTAGAAGCCGACGTGTAGTTCTCTCTGAGAATTGTGCCATCTCCGGTAGAATTTTAACCAAGCCTCGAAGAGCGGTAATTCGTCTCCGGAGACGCAAACTAACGTTCTCAATCTTCTCTCGTTCAGTAAGTCTTCACTAACAACTAAACATCGTCGAGACACCCACCCGATGCATGGTGCGGACAGCCGCACGCGTCGTTCGTCTCCGAGCAACCGTTCTTCTTCTACCACAACCAGCTGGTCTCGAGGCAGCGTGGCCACTTGGGGACTCTCGAACGCGACGTCTCTCCGCACGACACACACGGGCACTCCGACGCGCACGTGGTTGCATCTCTTCAAATACGCGGCGACAGCGTCCGCCTCGGCCGCTTCTACTTCTTCTCCGGCGAGACGGGTGAAGACGGTGCTCCTCGGCCGCCGCGGCGACGGCGTCCGCGGCCGCCGGCGCGTCCGCTCCTCGGCGCACTGCTCCTCGGCGAGGTGGCGCGCCGTGTTGGCCTTCATGCTGCCCGTGAGCGTCGCGAGCTCCTTCTGGGTCTTGGGGGAGACCAGAGACGGCCTGCGCGGCTTTTTGCCCATGGTCGCGGGGGCACCCTCGCGGCGTGATGATCGCGGTTGGGAGAAGGCTGCCGGCCCGGCCCGGCCTCGGCGGCGGGCTGCCTCGATGGCGTCTCGCACAGCGCAGAGGACAGCGCTCTCCGAGCACCTGGCCGCGCGCGACGAGTCTACGGACGGGTCGTTCTCTTACTCGTCCATGCGTGCGGGTCGGTGGGGGACTGGTGCTCGTGGCTTGCTAGGCATCCCTAGTGTCTTACGGGCCGCTAGCTCCACTTTTCAGGCTCGACGAGCAGCGCGAGCAGCGCGAGCATAACGCGTAAGCGCGTACCGCTGGACGTCCGGACTCGTTGCTGACTCGTACAGTAGCTGCGAACTGAACGAGCGCCCGCCGCACACCAGCAATCGCTGCACTGCGCGCGCCTCCTGCAGCTCGCAGTCGCAACGGGCAGCACTCGAGCGATCCTGCGCCGCATAGGTTACCGCACAAGCATGCGTGCCAGGAGCTGCCTCTTGCTGCAGACCGCTGCGGTACTCGCCTGGCGCCACACCCATGCGCCGCCACCCGTCGCGCGGCGACGATGGCTGGGCGGCGCGCTCGCCGCCCTCGCGGCGACGACGACAGCGCGGAGCAACGCCTACAGTGGCCAGGACAAAACGACGCCGAAGGCCACCAAGCTGCCTCCCAAAGAGTTAGCGAAGCGCGTCGAAAAGGACCTGGTCGAGAACCAGTTCCTCGCCACCGCGAACTTCGACCGCACGTTGTACGACGAGGCCTGCACGTTCCAGGACGAGATCGACACCTACGAGCTCGACAAGTTCATCAAGGGCACGTCGAACCTCTTCGTCGCCGACCGCAGCCACGTCGACCTCGCGTCGCCCGTCACCGCTTCCAATGAGAGCGTCGAGTTCAAGTTCAAGGAGGACCTCTGCTTCAATATTCCGTTCAAGCCGACGGTCTTTGTGTCTGGCCGCGTCGTCCTGACGCGGGATTTGGATACGGGCCTCTTCGTCAGGTACCGGGAGTACTGGGACCAGAAGCCCAACGACGTGCTCCGGGGGGCGAGGTTCTAGTTCTTAAGACGTAAACTATTCTTGCCGGTGGACATCCCCCGCCAAGCCAGGAACCTCTCTCGCTAACCGCAATCGCCGCAGCAGACCATCATGCACATGGCGGCCAGGCACTGGCCCAAGCAAAGGGAGCAGGACGTCTGGGCGAGAGTTTCACCGGGTGGGTCCTGCGCGTCGCGGCCGGGCTGCGCCTCCACGGGCGTCGCCTCGGCCGCCTCCTCGAGGAGCTTCGTCCGGAGCGCGTCGCACTTCGCGTCGATCGCGTCCTCGTCGAGGCCCTCCTCCTCGAGCTCGTCCCTCAATTCCATGATCGACAGCTCGACCTCGCGCTTCGCTTCCCTTGATAATTCCACCTTTTCTGTTGCGGTTGGCGTGAGGCCCGGCGGCGGGCGCGCGTCGACGGGCGTGACCTCCATGTCTGCGGGACCGCCGCGCGGTCGGCCCAAACTCTTGGCGCCCACGACCGCGCCCGCGCCGCGCGGGGCCGCCCGCACTCCCCGCACTCCTGAGGCTGCCCCTCTGGAACCTTTTCGGGCGCGGCCCGTCAACGCACGCGGGCAGGCTGCCTTCCGTGGGTGCTAACCGACCCAAAGCGCCGTCCTGCTGGTCCTCAGCCGCTCACACGAGGCGTTTTTACGCTCGGCGCGCTGGGATCTGGCAGCTTTGCAGAGAGTCATACTCAGCTTACGTTCGGGTTCGCAGCAAAAAGGCCCGGGGACCCGTCGGAGCCCTCGACCGACGCCTCCGGGCGCCCCGCGCGCGCGGACGACCCCCGGGCCGCGGCTTCCAAACTTGGCAGACAATCTCCGGCACGCCTCCTGTTGTTGCGCGCCGCACGAGAAAACGTCGCCACCACAAACGCTGGGAGCGCGCAGGCGTCACTGGTCGCGCGGCTGCCCCCCCGGCGCCCAGCGCCTCGGGGAAGGCTGCCCCCCCCCGCCAGCCCAGCCTGGGAAGCCAAAGGCCTGGAAGAGCCAAAGGCATAGAAATGGCAGCAGCCGTCCGCCGCCGGCACGGCCCGCCGCCACCGCAAGGCCCGCCGCCCCTCAGAATCCGGCCCCAGTGCGGCGGTCACGTCGTCACCTTCGACGGCGACGCGCTCGGGTTCTCGGTCATCGACGCGAATGGCGTCCCCGTCGTGTCCGAGGCCCCGCTGTCCGCCGGTTTCGAAGTCGGCGACCGCCTCGTCTGCGTGAACGGCGCGCGGCTGCCCCGACTGCCGTCGTGGAAGGTCAAGGCGCTGTTCGAGAGCTGCGGCCGGCCTGTCTGTATAGAATTCGCCAAGGAACCGATCAGCGACGGTTTTGAATTAGATGAGGTCACGCGACCGCTCGCCCACGTCGAGGTCTCGAAGATGTTACACGACGCGACGCGGCTGCAGCCGCCCTTCTGCATGCATCTAGCTCGATCATTAGTAGAAGCTTATGAAAAAGGAGGCGACGTCTCCTTGGACGAAGCTCTCTCCCCGACCATCAGGGCCTTCTGCGAGGTCTTGTTCGCGGACGCGCCCGTGCAAGCCATAAGTCCGATGCCGCCGCCCTGGGCCCTCGCGGCCACGAAAGCAACTAAAAATTTCCTGCAGCGAGAGGAAGTAGATGAAGGCACCTTCAACGCGTTATCCTTGACCCTGGCGGCGTCACTACCTAACCATTTACGCGCACCGGCCGAGGGCTGGACCGGCAACCAGAAGATCGAGCACGTCGCCGACGAGCTGCGGGCGATGGGCTTCGACGAGAGTGCCATCCCCAAAGTGTCTGATGAGGACTGCATTTTCAAGCGGGAAAATGAAAAAATGGCGCGCGCGACGGCTCAATTACAGAGTGTCATGAAGGCTCGCAGGAGGTTGCTAGATTTGAGGGACCGCGCTCAGGCCAAGAAAGCTATTGCGGACGCGCAGGCGAACGATCCGAACTGCATCTTTGGGCGGGAGGTCCGGCGGGCCGAGAGGGCCGCGCACGTCGTGCAAAGGGCGCTGAAGCGGGCGACGTCATCTGATAAAGTGGTGCCGCCGCTGCCTCCCCGGAAGCCGCGGCGTGCTAAGCCGACGCGAAGAGTCGAGGCGCCGGCCTGGCTGCGGGCGGGCTGCAGTGTCGAGGCCGACTGGCGCGGCCGCGGGGCTTGGTATCGCGGCACGGTCACGGAGGTGTCTAACAAAGGCTGTAGTGTCCGATACAATGATGGAGGCAGCGAGCGCAACGTGCCCTTCGACCGCGTGCGCCCGCGCGAGGCGTCCTCGGCCGTCGCGCGGCGGCCCGCGCCCAGGACCGCGCCCGCGGCCAAGCCGGTCGCGGTTCCAGACGAATCATCTGACGAGGAACCGACGCTCACCCTAGATCTCGCCGGCAGGTGGTACTCCGTAGATGTACAAACAGGAAAGCCCAACAATGACATATACGAATTCAGACAGACGGCCACCAACGAGTACGTCACGTACCGCAACGGGCGAGAAACCCCCAAGAGCGCCTTTACAATTGTGCAAGAACACAACCACTTGAAAGGCCGCATGAAGGAGAAGATCCACGGTCCTCGAGGGCGGACGTACGCGCCTGTGTGGAAATCAACCAGTGTGTCGCGCGCACCGACAATTCTTCACTAAGTCATTTCTCGGCGATGGCGCGGCCGTGCTGGCTCCGTCGAGCGGTGAGGAACGACCACCACCGCGCCATCGAGCAGGCGTCGCGTCGATGGCGTGGAGGACGACGCGACGATTCAGCACGAACGCGCCGTAAAATTTTTTATTTCCACACAGGTACGCCCCCTCGTTCAAGGTGCGGGACAACGGTGATTTACATTGGGACATCCAAGATTCGAAGTGGCTCAGTCGTCGAGACTGCGGCGTGGACTGTTTGTTAGAAGTAAGGCGTAGTGCGGGCGGGTCGCTGCGCATCGCCGCGGGTTCCGTCGTGAGTTTCAAGAATTATGGTAGTGGTTATGCGGCCATCGTCAACGCCGCTAATGTGATGGGATTGGGTGGCGGGGGCGTCGACGCGGCCGTCAATTCGGCAGGTGGTCCGACCATGCATAGAGATCGAAGGGCTCTACCTATCATTAATAACAGGCATGAAAGAATAAAAGTAGGCGGCTGCGTGGCTACGGGACCGAACTCCTACGGCAACATCGGCACGGAGTTCGTACTACATGCTGTTGGCCCCGACTTCCGGTCGCATCCTGCTCAACAGGCCGAGACGTTATTGCTGTCGGCTTATGCTTCATCTTTGTCATTGGCCCGGGAGAAGGGCATCAAGCGGGTGGCGTTTCCACTCTTATCGGCCGGTATTTTCCGGGGTCATGTTGCACTGGATAGGGTCGTGGAGCTCGCGTGCCGGGCGGTGGCGACGCACGACTACGACGGGGACGTCTACCTGTGCGGCTTCTTACCGGCCGAACAGACGGCATTGAAAAAAGGTGTAGACGTTATCCTCAAGGAAGGCTTGGTCCTGCCTCTTGATTGTGTCCATCAGAGAGCAGCTAGGGCCGAGGCCGAGGCGCAGCGAGCGTACAAGCTGAGACGGCGCGCCGAGGAGCTCGCCCGGCGAGAGAACAGAAGGGACGCCTTCCGGCAGGCGGGCTCGACGATGGTGCGAGCCATGCGCGAGGCCCACCGCGAGGAGGCGGCCCAGCACCTCGCGCGGACGCAGGAGGGCACGGCGTCCTTTTTTCAGAGACGCGAGGCTGAGCGCGCCCGGACGCAGCATAGGCAGGAGCAGATCGCCGCTCGCGAGCGCGAGAAGCTCGCCGAGAAGGAGGCCGCGTCGGCGGCGTTACTGCAGCGGAAGACCGCCGCGACGTCAGTGTTCAATGAGAGACGAGAACAACAGCGGCAGGAGGCGGATCGTAGGAGGGACGAGGAACTTCGGCGTCTGCAGGCGACCCAGGCCCAAAAAGAAAGGGAGGCCGAGGCATTGCTGCAGCGGAAATTAAGGGAGAAGCGGGCGCTTGAAGAGCGGAGGGCCAAGGAGCGCGAAGAGGCCGAGGCGCGACGGGCCGAAGAAATTGCGCGGCTCGCCGAGGTCCAAGCACGGAAAGAAAGAGAAGCTCGGGAGTTGAAGGAGCGCAAGGAACGCGAAAAGCGGGAGTTGCTCGAGCGAAGGGAGGCGGAAGCTAGGGCCGTGGAGGCGCAGCGCGAGGCTGAGCGCAAGGCTGTCGAAGAACGTAGAAGAGCGGAGGCCGCCGCGATCCAGAGGCGGAAGGCCGAGGAAGCAAGGGACGAGGCGAAGAAAATTGCGAATCGGAGGGCCATCGAGGCGGCGAGGAAAGCCGTGTCTGGCTTTCATAAAGGCGACGCGCGGTTCAGTCATCGCGGTCCTGGAGGATGGGAGGCCTATGCGCACGAGCACTGTCGCGTGATTGAGCGGGCCATGAAGGCGTCGAACGGGAGTGGTACAGTATCATTACCTGGTATTCCCTTTGAAGTAAGGTGGGGCGACGAGGCGGTCAGTGCGAAGCTGCCGCACCCGCCGCCGGAGGGTATTATTCAAGTGAATCTACGAAGCCAGAACACGCGCGTCGTGCGGCGCGACGGTGATCAATCAGCTCCTTCACAACCGACGCCGTGGCAGCAGGAGAGTGCGCCGGCACCGCCACCGGCGCCGCCGCCGCGGTCGACGCCGGCCGCCCCGTCGGGTGGGACCATGATGGTCCAGATCCCCGCGGGCACGGCCCCCAACGCCATCCTCCAGGTCCGCGCGCCGGACGGCCGCACGATCAAGGTCCGCGTGCCGCCGAACGTGCGGCCCGGCCAGCAGATGCGCATCTCGGTGCCGGCGGCGGCGGCGCCCAAGGCGCCGCCGCAGCCGCCGCGACCGCCGCCGCGACCGCCGGGCTCGACGCTCATGCGCGTGAAGATTCCTCCTCACGTGCCCGCTGGTGGGTCGATTACAGTGAGGGCCCCCGATGGGAAGCTCGTCAGAGTACGCGTACCGCCGGGCGTCGCGCCCGGCGCTACCATTACCGTGCGCATCTAGTCGTTCCGTCGATTGCGTGCCGCGTAAGTTTCTTCCGTTCACCTCGTCGAGCCTGCGCGGAAGCTGCTGGCGGTGAGTGATGCGTCGCGTCAGTGGCGTACCAAACTCGACCTCCGCGCCATCGCCGCGGCGCTCGCATGTTGTTTTGACGGCGCGGCGACGGCGCGACCGCAGAATCGGTAGGTACCGTCCGCGACTCCACGAGCTCACCGTACGCCATCGCCGTGATCCCCTCCTGGAAGACTCATTCACCACGATTTTACACACGTCTTACTTACTTCCTATGCACATCTAGACAGCCCGCTTGACGAGGCGCACGCGCACGCCGCCGGCCGAGGTCAGCGACACGCCGGCCTTGATGGAAGGCGCGAAGCCCGGGACGGGCCGCAGCTCATACACGTCCAACAACTCGCGCAGGAAGGTGCGGGCCTCGAGCAGCGCGAGGCCCTGGCCGACGCAGCTCCGAGCGCCGGAGCCGAAGGGCAGGAAGCCCTGCGCCGGCGCCGCGACGCCACCACTGATGGCGAGGAACCGGTCCGGCTTGAAGTCCGCCGCGTCCGCGCCCCAGACCTCCGGTAATCTATTGAGGAGGAAGAACGGCACGATGAGCCGAGCACCCTTCGGGATCGATTTGTTGTTCCCATGCCCGTCCACGACGGAAGTAGAACACGATGCGACTCGTGTCACCATGGGGATGACCGGGTACAAGCGTAACGTTTCTCGTACAACTCTCCGGAACAAGTCATCTTCATTCGTAGAAAGCTCCTCCCTCAGTGCGTCCTGGATCTCCGGGTGCCGCGCCAGTTCAAAGCACGCGTAACAGAGAAAGTACGCCGACGTGTCGTGGCCCGCGCCGATCAGCGTCACGAGCTGGTCGAGGACGTGTTCGTCAGTGAAAGTAGGATCAATTGACTGGTGCTGAATCAGCGCGGTCAAGCAGTCGTCGGGCTTCTCTGCCAAGGCACGCCTCCGCTCGACGACGGGCCGCAGGACTTTGCTTCTCAATGAGTCGCGCATCCTCCTTAGCTTGCGCACACGACCAAACAGCGTCTCGCTCATCGGCAAATCAAACAGCATGTGTTCCCCCACCACCAAACTCCCAAAACTACAAGCCTCGGCCACGAACCTCGCGACGTCGCCTTTTGCGTCGTTCTCGTCGCGTTTCCACCCATCAACATCTTCGCTGAGTAAACAGCGACAAAACGCGCGCAGCGTCGCGAGATGAAAAAAACTTTGCACGTCGACGTCGCCCTCGCTCAGCATATCCAGTGAACTTTGGAAAGCTTGCAGGACGCCGTCGACCTTCAGTCTATCGGTCCTGAAGTACGGCGCTAGTAGTTTTCTCGCCCGCGCGTGGGAAGCGCCCTCCGCCGTCACCAGACCATCTCCAAACACGAAGCCGAACTTCCTACGGTAGTCGGGACCCTTCGGGAACGTTCTTCTATCAGACAGTATTTTTCGCGCGGTTTTCGCGTGAGCAATCACACATAGGGGCGCGCCGCCAGCCGGCCAGAAGAGAAATAATCCTTCCTTGGCGAAGTGCCTTTTGGCCTGTCTCAGTAAGAATCGCATGAACGCGGGAGCTGCCGGTAGTAAGTTACCGAGGAGCGGTAAAGTAATAGGTAGCGGCGGCGCGCGCCAGCCCCGGTACCGCCACAGCGCCATCTGCAGCGACTGCTTAGTTAAGCAGAAGAGGGCCCAATACAAGGCGTATCTTGCGATTGATTGTCTCGCGAGTAGAGCAGCTGGCAGACCGACGGCCGCCGCGGCGACGACGCCCCTTCTTCGTCCTAGTTTTTCGCCGAACAAACCATCAAAAGCGATCGCCAGGTAGCCGGCGTGCAGCGCCGCGCCGAAGACTGTTGCGTCGCAGTGGCTGCTCAGCAGCGCAGCACATTGGACGCTGCAACCCAGACACGCCGTCGCCGCCCTTACGAAGTGGATGACGTTCCGAGCCGCGGCCTTGGCGCGGTAGAGGAGCGTCGTCGACAGCGACGGCGCGATTCTCAAACCCGCGCGCAGGGCGAGGCGCACGGCGCAGTCGGTCGCGATGACGTAGAGGAGCTGCGTTGCCCTGGAGGCGTAGGCGCAGGACTCCTGGGTCATGGCGCTAGTGGGTGCTCTGTAGTTCTACTGCTGATCAGGCCCGGCGCGGCGTGTTGGGTGTAGCTGCAGCAGGGTCAGGCCGGCCAAGCCTCTCCCTGGCGTCGCTGGTAACCGAAACGGTGCCGCCGCAGCAGTGCGGTGAACCGCTGGATCAAGTGTCGACCCGCCAACGAACGCAAGCGTAGCAAACTGAGGCGTCGTGCGTGAGTGAAAAAGTCTCCTGCCTCTAGGTTGACACACTAGCTCTCGAAATACTCGTAGCCACTAGTCCTCCTAGCACCGTAACAATATACCCTTGACTCCGCATATGACTTGGCATCCCCCCCTTACGCCATCGACGCGACGCGGAACGACGACACACACCACACCAACTTACGCGACCCCCGACCGCATCAGCCGCGCGAGCTTCGTGCCCCTATTGGCCACACCGACGACGTCCCCGAACGTCGCGCCGACGAGCGCGGATTGATTCCCTTCAACCTTCTTCGCAGCCTTCTTCTTCTTCGCCCGAGGCTTCAGCTTGAACAGGCGCTGCGCCTCCCGCATCCTTGGTTTATCAAGCTCCTCGGCCGTCTCGCCTTTACTATTTTTCGCATGTATTGAGGCTCCTTGCGCGAGCAGCTCGCAGAGGAACGCCGGCGAGCTCGCGTTGCGGTTGCCGAGATGGAGGAGCGTGTCGCCTGACTCATAGGTGAACCTCGACGCGTCGCCCGTATGGCACGTGCGCGACGAAAAGCCGCACTGGACGAGCTGTTGGCGCCCAAAGCACCCGCCTCGCACCTGCTGGTCTATTTTACATGCATCGTCTTTGAAGATCGCTTCAACATCTTTAGGCCAGTCGTGGACCAAGGCGTTGATTATTTGACCGTCCCAGGAGAGGAGGGCCATCTCTGTGTTAGCGTGGTGTGGCTGCCCCGAGTGCCTAGGGTGGGCCGGCCCTTATCTCTGGCCGCAGCTGCGCGGTCGCCGTGGCGAGAGAGTCACGTCGGCGTGGCGCAATTCTGCGTGCGGCGTAGGCACGCCTGCGCCGCGCGGTGCCTCTCCCAGCGCTGCAGCAGCGCCGGCATGCAAAATCTGCGGCGAGTGCAGGACCCGCGCGCCACCGGCAGCCCGTCCCCGACGCCTCCAACGCTTAAGATCATACGCGCAGACGTCCGCGTAGAGGCCAAAGTCGTGCGGGTTCGCCGCTTCTGCCCCCATCACATGATAAACAGCCTGGGAGCGACCCCCCGCGCGCCGCCACGCACCGCGACGTTCACGCACGTCCCACGCCCAGAAGCGCCATGACCTCCGACGCCAGCCCTGGTTGCTGCGACGCCAGCCCTTGGCTGTCTTGGAATTGGTGGTGGGAACCCATTCACACCCTCTCGCGCCGCCGGTCCCAGGCCGAGCAGGAGATGATCGAGGCCTGCACCACACCCAGATCGGGCCGCACGTCCTTCGACGAGTAATTTGGCCCCGCCCCGGACCGTTCGCGGTGCGGGATATATAAGGATGGCCCGCGCGCGGCCGGACTGGGTGCAAATCCTCGACCCGGAGAGCGGCCACTGGTGCTGGTACAGCGCCCTGCGGCAGGAGAGCCGCTGGGAGAAGCCTCCTATACAAGACGGGTGGCTCGAGTGGCGTGATTCCCACGGCAACGCGTTCTATGTTGATGATGCGGGCGCGTCGACGTGGGACCCGCCCTGGCGCGAAGACGACGCCGACGCGGCGGACGTAGCCGCCGGTGGTGACGCCGTGGCCGCGAGCGCGTCGGCCGACGAGGCGCCAGAAACGACACGCGAGGCGCCCGACGCGCCCGTGGCGCCCGATCCTCCCGCGCCGCCGGTCCCGAAGACCGACGCTATCGACGAGCTCAAGCCCATGGATCGCGCGGCTCCCAAGGCGCCCGCATACTATGGCGCGAACGCGGCCGAGGCGCACGAAACGGGCAGCACCTACGCCCCGCCGCGGCCCGGCACGGACCTCCTCGCCTACGAGCGCCAAAGGGCGGCACTGCTCGTCGCTGCGTATCGAGAACGGAGCGCCGCGTCGCGCGAGCGGCGCCTCCGCGACGACCGCGAGGCCCTCGACCGCGACCGCGCGGCCCTGGACCGCGAGCGCCAGCTCCTCGCGCTCGAGCGGCTCCGCGGCGCGGACCGAAACCTCCCGGCGCGCTCAGCCGTCGCCGCGCTCGTGGTCGCGACGAGCCTGGCGCGCAATCAGTAGCTGCACGAGAAACGATGCCGGAGCAGCAAACCCCCATTTTTGAACCTCTCCCCCCTCGAGAACCATACATAAGTTCAACATCACATACTTTTACGACTACCGATGCTTCGGAAACACCGCAATAAAAACGTAGGTCCCCAGGAACGACACAACAACCGCCACGAGCGCCGCGAGGGCCTGGAGCAGCGTCCGCGTCCTCGCCGCGGCGCGCACATCCAACGCGGTCCGCTCCTTGGACACGGCGTTTTGATTTTGGGACGTCGCGTCGTCGAGTTGCTCCATCTTCTTCGACTGCTCCCTTAACTTCTCGTGGACGGCGAGCGACGACGCTTTCAGGCGCGCGGTCATCGTCTCGAGCTCCCTCTGTAAAGAATCGGCCTCGTTCTGGGGCGGTTCGTCGACTTCGCTCTCGGAGTCGCTCTCGTTTTGTTGAGTGGCGGGCACGACGCGTGGCGCTGGCGCCGGTGCCTCTGCTGGTTCCTCCTCCTCGGGCGGCCGCAACCCGTCGATGACAGCCAGCATGGCCTCTTCATAAGTTGCGACTTGGGCCAGCACCGTAGCATCGCCGTCTGCGGCGGCTTCGAGCGCGGCGATTTTAGAGAGGGCCGCCTCGGCGAAGGCGATGCGCCGGTCCTCGTCCAGATCCTCAGCATCTACTTTTGGGAGGAGGCGCTCGAGGTCCACGGCTAGGCGCGCGCACTCGGCGCTCATCGTGTTAGAGTGGCTGTGCCGCCTCAGCGACAGCTCTCTTTCGGCACAGCTCGGATCGCAGCAAATCCGGGAGCGCGTAGCTCGATTCTTGTTTCTGAGACGAGCTGTGGTGGCTCGTACGACGGCCCAAAGCCGGGGCTTGGTTGTTTGCTAGTGTGTTACAGGACGCTAGCTCGGCTTTGGAGCGTCAAGCTGCATAGGCAGCTTTCGGCAGCACTGGACCTCTTTGCACATCGGTGGCACATCGCAGCATCCTTTGACGACGCTAATTGAATCCCTCAGCCGTCAACGCCGCCGAGCTTGCATAGCTCAGACAATCACCACCACTTGCACGCTGTCGCCGCGCGCCGCAACCATGCTCCCAGTCACGCGGACAGCCAGCAGCACGCTCAGCCGCCTCGGCAGCTACCTGCGGCTCGCCGCGCAAACACCGGTAGTGATGTGCTCCGTAGCGGCGGCTTTGGCCCAGCCCCTCCTCGAAACGTTACGAATAGTAGACGCCGTCGAGCCCGTGGAACGGGACGCCGACCTGCGTAATAAAACGATCCTGGTCACGGGCGCGACGGCCGGCGTCGGCCTGGCCACGTGCAAGCGGCTGGCGGCGCGGGGCGCGCGCGTGCTCGTTTGTGGCCGCAACGCGGAACGCACGAGGCGAGCCGTAGAAGAGGTCGGCGGCCGCGCCGAAGCCGTTGCTTTGGACCTGTGCTCGCTAGAATCCGTGAGAGCTTGCGCGGAAAAGGTCAAACCTCTGAGGCTCGACGTACTTATACTCAACGCTGGTGTGAATGCGAACGTGCCCACGGCGACGCATCCCGAGCTCGACTGTTCGTTGGTCTTTGGCGTCAACTTCGTGGCCCACTACCTGCTCGTGACGTTGCTCTTGGACTCGTTGGGTGCGGATGCTCGCGTGGTTTGTTTGGCGAGCGCGGGCGCGGCGTCCATCTTTCACGCCATCGACGCGTCACAGAGTCGCGTCGATGGCGCCAGGGCGTCCACGCCGTCGACGCGACACAAATCGCAAAACGCAGGCGTCATGCACCACCACAGCGCGGCGTGCCACGCCCACGACGCGGACTACGCGGAATCGAAACTGGCCATGGTTTTATTAGCAAGGGCCTTGTCAAGGGGCGACTTAGGTAGAAAAGTCGACGGCGTCCCCGTGAACCCGGGCGCGGCGAACTCGGATATTTGGCGCCACGTCTGGGCCCCGGTGCGGCCGCTGTTTCGAGTCTGCGTGGCGCCGGTCTTCCTGACGACGGACCAGGCGTGTGCTTCTTCCGTCGCCGCGGCGGCGCTGCCTCTCGAACGCGACGGGGACGGCCTGCCTCTGTATCTGGCGCCGTACTGGGTGCCTCGATACGGTTGCCGCGCGGCCTTCGAGTACGTCGGGTACTTCGTGGGTTCGGGCGCGGCGTTCGCGCGCGTGCCTGCGCGGGAACATGAGGCGGCGGAGGCGTTGTTCGCGCGGTGCCGGGGGCTGCTTGCTGGGTCATAACTAGACGTGTTTGCCAATATTCTTATAGACAGTACAGAGACGCCCTAGCGCCGCCGCCCCGACCGCTTCTTGACCGGCTTCGCGCGCGCCGCGGCCCGCTTCCGCTTCTTCGGAACCAGCGGCGCCGCGTCCTCGCCGTCGAGCACCGCGCGCGCCTGGTCCGCGTAGTAGTGCGCCCAGTAAACGTCGGTGCCGTACCGGCCGCCCTTCGCTTTCTTCGGCGCCAGCTTGCCCAGCTCCTTGGCGAGCTCGAGGTAGACGTTGTCGGCCACATCGGACGCGCGCGAGGCTTCCCTTACCTTCCTTCCCAACCAGGTGACGCTGTCCTTAATTTCCGTCGTCGCGTACGACCCGTCCCCGCGCGCCGCCGCGGCCCGCAGCACCGGCGCGTGCAGCTCGGACGCCTCGTCCGCCCTCGCAACGTTGCCTCTCGCGCTAACTCGCACGAAGCCCGCGTCCAGCAATCTCTGGTCGGCGTCCGGGTCGGAGCCCCAGATCAGACGTCGGCGCTTCATGTGCATGCCGAGCTCGTAGCCGCCCGACAGCACGCAGTTCTGGCGCACGTCGCAGTCCTCGACGTCGGGGATCTCGCCCGCTCGTATCGCCTCTAAACACGCCACGAGGATCTCTTCCTTCTGGTCCATGGGGAGGCGCCGGTTCCAGTCCTTCTTCGTCAGCTTCGTCGGGTCGATCTTCTTCTTGACGTCGGACGCGTCGGGCACGTCCGTGTCTCGCCGCCGCCGTGCTCGCGGCGCCCCGGTCGTCGCGTCATCCCCGCCGTCGCCCGTGTTCGTGGCCGCCCGCTTCCGCGTCTGCCGAGCCGCGGGCGCGGCGTCAAATTCGTCCTCGTAGTCGTCCGTCGGCGGCGTTGCGACGTCCTCGTCGTCGCTGCTCTCGACGACCGCGGGCGCCAGTCCCGAGGCGGCGCGCCGCGGCCGCGGCCGCGGCCGCGGCGTCGCCGAAACTGCTTCGGCGGCCTCCTCCTCGTCCTCCTCGTTTGCGCGAGCGAGCACCGCGCGCGCCTGGTCCGCGTAGTAGTGCGCCCAGTAAACTTCGGTGCCCCACCGGCCGCCCTTCGCGTCCTCCGGCGCCAGCTTGCCCAGCTCCTTGGCGAGCTCGAGGACGACGTCGTCCGACGCACGCGCATTCTTTACCCGCTCTCTCAACCAGCAGATGGCCTTCCTAAGCTCCGTCATCTTCGCCGATCGCGACGACCCAAACGCGAGCCCGCGCTTTGCCGCGTCCCGCAGCACCGGCCCGTACCGCTCGAGCGCCTCGTCCGCCCTCGCCGCAGGGCATCTCGCACCAACTCGCACGAAGCCCGCGTCCAGCAATAACTGGTCGGCGTGCGGGTCGGTGCCGAAAATTTTACGTCGTCTTTTCACGTCCACGCCGAGCGGGTAGCCCCGCGCCACCACGCAGTCCATGCGCACGTCGCAGTCCCGGAGCTCCTCGCCGAACACGCCCTCTCGACACGCATCCAATAAAGCTATTAGTCTCGCGTCCTTGTCGGCCATGGAGACGCCCGGCTTGTTGTAGTCCGCCAACGTCAGCCTTCTCACGTTGATCTTGTCGTCCTTGTCGGACTCGTCGGGCTCGTCGGGCTCGACGGCCGCCGGGACCGGCGCCGCCGGCGGCCGCCGCGTGCCGCCGCGCAGTATTCGTCTCCGCGGCGGCGCCGCGGCGGGCGCCCTTCTCGCGGGCGGCGACGGCCGCGCGGCGGCGTGCGCGACCTCCTCGCCGGCGACGTACGGCACCAGCGCGCCCGTGTGGCACATCTGCCGGAACCAGTCCGGCATCCTTGCGGCCGCGTATCTAAACGCTTTCGTCCCAGCGTACTGCTTCAGGACCAGCTCCAGCTGGCGGCCGTCCAGGCCGCAGATCGACGGCATGCTCTCCTGCAGGTCCGCGCGCTCGTATGCGTCCATCTGCATGAGGCTGCCGCTCGCTTCTAGCGCGTAGTACTCGCGTTCGCATCGCGCGCCGAACGGCCAGTAATCCCAGTCGTGCGCGGCGCTCAGCGGCTGCAGGGACGGCAGTGTGATGCTTAGAGTCTTCAGATCCGGGACGAAAGCTCCAAATGCTGAAGCCTCGACGGGGCCGTTGCAGTCGCAGCGTCTCCGGCTCATTTTTGGCACCGGGGAGCCGCGTACGGAGAGCGACAATTGCATGCCAGAGCCTCTCGCAGGCCGGCGCCCGCGCGCGCGCACCACCACCGGTCCTAGCAGGTCTACGGGCCACGACTAGCTATATTAGAAACCCCGAGCGACGACGCGGCTGACGCTTCTTTTGCAAGCGCGACGGGGCTGGTGATTGTCGTAGCCCCCGAGAACGGCACCCTCGGAACGTTAGTAGCGTGCCACGGGATGCTAGGACACTGGCGTGTTTGATGGCCCTCGACATCGGCGCGCTCTGAGCCCACGATAGATCGTCTCGAGGTCAGATGTCGTCGTAGTAGTGCATGGACGACGAGATAGAGTACACACTGACAGCCGGCGTCTCCGAGATGATGTCGCAAAAGCTAGGTATGCGTCTCGGCCGGATCTAATCCGAGTTGGCCTCTTCCAAGACTTCAGTGGTGTGCCGCATCCCGCGAAGCATCGACGCACCGCTTCGAGCCGCGCGGCCCGCTATCAGAAGTTAACGGCGACGTCCGGCGTCAGCTCGGGCGCGACCCGCGAGCCGCCCGACGCCATCGATGCGGTCGCGGCCGCGACGGCCGCGGCGGCGCGCAGCGGCGAGACGTGTACCGCTGCGGCGAGCGCGCCGAGTCGTTCAGCATACGGCCGAGGCCGAGCGCGGGCCCGGGGGGTGGCGCTTTGCACGCGTCGCGCCGCGCGCGGGCCGCCAGGCGCCAGGAGTCTCCGCCTTTTGCGAGGCTCAGCACGGCGCACCGCGTTGCCCGCGCAGCCGCAGCGATTGAAGCGCAGCGCGCCACTGAGTGATGAGCACGACTGCGGGTGATGAACAACGATACGGCCCAACCACAACTCTAGAGGAGGGCGTCGAGCGTGAAATCTAGTGGGTCATAACTAGCTCAATATGTTTGCCTGAACCTGAAAAAAATGTCCGGCCGCCGCAAGGCGAATTCCGGTGACTTTGGCGCCTCTGGTGTCGCACGTCTGTTACGTCTGGTAAGCAGGCCGCTAAACGTGTCCGTTTTGGCCGGCCGGCACTCGGTACAAATCACCCTCAGAGACTACCTACGCGCGAAGAGCGGCGGCGGCGCGAACCAGGGTTTCCGGGCCCGCATCGCGGAATTTACCGGCGGCGCGACGCAACGCATCATTGTGGCACTGCGGGGCGATTTGAGCGAGAACGAGACGCTCCGAGAGACCGTCGCGCGGGCAAAGGACCCGCGCGCCTTCGACGAGGCGGGTCCAGCGGCACGCGCCGCTTTAGTTAATGAAGTCGCCGCCGAGGAGCCGACGCTGGCTCTCGTGCGGCAGGCGCTGCGAATAGCTCCGGCGTGCGGCGACGATGATGTCACGACATTTTTTGCCGCGACGATCCAATCGGAGATGACCGCAGTCATCCCGAGCTTTAGCATGGTCAAGCTCATTCCATTTCTGTTGCTTTTGCAGGGTCTCGCGCAGAATTGCGCCAATTGGGTCGTTTTCCCGGCCACGATGTTGATATTGCAGAAGCTCGGCCTGCTCACGGGCGACCTGGACCAGGATCGCGCGCTGCTCAAAGAGTGGGGTCTCGCACTGCTTGCTCAGCTGCCAAATAGAGTGCTCTGGGAGGCGCTCACTTTCATGAGCGGCGAGCCCGGTCGAATCGCGAAGGCCGACGCGACTTTTAGGAGGATCTTCAGGCGGTGGAATCGAAGGACTCGGCGGCGGCTATCAAATACCCAATATCGCAAGCTCATGTCGACGTCCTTCGCGGCGGACCTCCGGCTCTTCGTCAACGCGATCGGGGGCCAGGGCGTCGGCCAGCTGGGCACCTGGCTCCAGTTCCACCAGGTGCCGCGAGCCGCGAGCGCCGCTGTCGCCGCCGGCGTCGTGGTGGGCGCTTTAGGCGACGCCGCCACGCCGGAAATCGTCGCTGGATTGATCGCGTGCCGAACCGATCAAATCCTCCCCGCCATCGAGGCCTACCTGAAAGCCCGGCCAGGCTTAGTGCGGGGGGACGTCGACTAGGGAGCGGGTCTAAGAAAACCATAGGGCCGCACAGATGTTGAATACAACTAGCTCCCTCCGGTCGCGCCGTTCCGGACGCGCGCGCATCAGAACAGCGCGAGCGAAAATAGGTGATATCTAGAGGTAATGACGACGCGAATACTTAGTAGTAGAAGCAAGAAGAGTCATACGGTCGAGAGTCACAGTTCGTCGTGGGCGGCGCGCGGCTGGGGGCGGGGAGGTCGCGCTCTTCGTGGGAGTAACATTCTGCGCTATCTTTCCTTACCTCTAACTAGAATGAATTAGCCTGTTGACGCTCCGAGGATACGTCGGGTTCGAGGTTCGGGTTCATCTCGATGTCACGAGTCTCGGACACTCTCGGACTCGCGCTGCTCGCAAGCCGAAATCCCCAGCGCGATGGTATCCGCATGAATGCGCGAGGGCAGGCGATGATTGCGCTGCCCCTCCTTCTGCTGCCCATCTATGCGTGGGCAGCGCCGAACCTTATCTATTTGGACGACCTCGACCAGGCGCTCGGCAGCTCGCCGCTCCAACTCCCGGCCCGGGCGCCGGGCGTGATAGATCCGGATGGCGTGATGCCCAGTGCTTCCGCCGAGTTTGCCGCGCGCCGGGCCCAGGTCGTCGCCGCCACGAAACGAAGCTTCGAGCACTACAAGCGCCACGCCTGGGGCTCCGACGAGTTGCGGCCCGTGTCCAACGCGACGCACAACTGGACGCAACCAGCCCTCGGAGTCACGCTCATCGACGCCATGTCGACGCTCTGGGTGCTGGGGCTCCGCGACGAGTTCGCAGAGGCGGCCGATCACGTCGCCGAGTCCTTTGATCCCTTTGAAATCGCGGGCGGCAAGTTCGTGGACGTCTTTGAGACCACCATACGCGTGCTGGGCGGGCTGGTGAGCGCCTACTCTTTATCAGGCGACGAGCGCTTACTCGACGCCGCCGAGACCTTCGCCGATGCTCTAGCTCCAGCTCTCTCGGCGTCTCCATCGGGAATCCCGTTCCGGGGCCTCGCTTCTCTCCGGGACGGGATTGTATCACCCGCAACCGGTGCGACCTGCGGGACGGCGCCCGCCGGCACGCTGCTGCTCGAGTTCCGGGCCGTGGCGCGCCTGGCGGGCCGACCCGACCTGGAGGAACTAGCGATGCGCTCCTGGCAAGCGCTCGGAAAGGCCACCGGACGCGTCAAGGGCCTCGCGCCTTCGAAGCTCAAGATGACCTCGAGCGGCTGCGCCGCGCAGTTCGTGTTCGGGGACCAGGCGAAGCTCACCGTCGGTTCGGGTGTCGACTCGTACTACGAGTACCTGCTCAAGGGCTGGCTCCAGGAGGGCGGGAGCGGCAGACCGCCGAGAACGTGGAGCGATGCCGTGGACGCAGTGGATGCAAATTTAATAAATGTGCGCGGCCCGACGACGTTCATGGCCGACATCGAGAAGAACGAGACGCTCGGGAATCGGGCCACGCATTTAGCTTGTTTTTGGCCGGGCTTGCGAGCGCTGGAGGCGCTCGCGGATCCTCGGGTCGCGTCGTCGGTCCTGCCCCTCGCGGAGAAGCTGCTAGACGCCTGCGTCGCGGCCTACGACGCGACGCCGACGAACCTGGCCCCGGAGGCCTGGCACGTGAACGACGACGGCTCCGTCAAGCTCGGCCCGTCGCGGCACCTCCTTCGGCCCGAGACCGTCGAGAGCTTATTTTGGATGTACCGGGCCACGCGCAAGCAAAAATGGGTCACCGCCGCGGCGCGGATCTGGGACGCTCTACAAAGGCACGCGGCCATCGACGGCGGCGGCTTTGCTGCGCTTGGCCAGATCCACAAGCAGACGCCGGCGCGCGTGGACAAGATGGACTCGTGGTTTCTCTCGGAGACGCTCAAATATTTCTACCTGATTTTTGATGATGCGGACGGCGGCGACGAGCTCCTGCCTTTGGCGGAGTGGGTGCTGACGACCGAGGCCCACCCGGTCCCGCGCTTCGGCGGGCCGCGAGATCGCGTCGGCACCACCAGGCAGCAGAAGACATGGTCCATCGACGTGCCGTCAATTGGTACGATGCGGCCGCTGCCGAACGAGACGGCCGCGGACAGCGTCGAGCGCTTCGCGCAGGCCGCTGACCGCGCTGGGCATGAAGTTTCCGACGACGCGGTCCGGGCGTGGTACCAGGCAGCTATCGACGCCGGCGCAGTCGCGGCGCGGCCGCTTGGCGAGCAGTTGAGCTTTACCGTCGACATCGAGAGCAACGAGGACGGGCTCGCGATCACCGTCAAGGTGCCCATCTACCGGAGCGCGCGCCTGGCGGCGGCGCACGCCGCGCGCGAGGCGGCCAAGCACGGCGTGGCTACGCCAAACGCGCTGTATCGCACGCTCGTGGCCAATATCTGCGAAAGGAGGCGGTGCTCCGCAGAGGAGGCGCGGCCCGGCCCACGGCAGACGCTCGCTCTCCTGCCAGCCGGCGTCGCGACGATGGAGCCATGGGAGTGGCCGCCGGCGGCCGTCGCTGCCGTGGCGCGCGACATACGGGCGACGACGGGCCGAATCGTGGACGACAACTCGTTCTATGAATCCATAAAGTGGTTCTGCGACCAGCGCCCGGAAGGCTGCCGCGGGGCGAAACTCCAGAAGGACGGGTGGTCGTCGCGGCTCGACTACGACGGCGAGAAATTCTCCGTGTCGCCGTGGGACTGGCCGCGGAGCGTCGGCGTCGACGTCGCCGACGAGCTCCACGCCGGGGCGACGCGGGACTACCGGCGGGCGCGGGCAGAAGACATCGCCACGCTACTCTGCCGAGGCAACACGAGCTGTGCGGCGTTGCCGGGGCAGAGCGTCGTCCTGGAACTGACGCCGGGGTCCACCTACACGTGCCGACCTGTGTGGAAATCAACCAGTGCGTCGGGTACACCCGACAATTCTTCACTAAGTCATTTCTCGGCAATGACGCGGCCGTCCTGGCCCGGTCGAGCGGCGAGGAACCGGCATCGCCACGCCATCGAGCAGGCGTCGCGTCGATGGCGTGGAGGACGACGCGTTGATTCAGCACGAACGCGCCGTAAAATTTGATCCACACAGGTGCCGGCCGCGCGAGGAGCCCGCCGGTTGCGTGGCGCGCGCGGCCGCCCGCGCAGCGAAGGTCGGAAACGGGATCGTGACCAGGGATGATCTGCGGGCCGCGGCGAGACGCGCGTTGCGGAGCTTATGCGCGGTCCGGCTCTGCACGCAGGCGCTGCCCGAGCCGGCGAGGGTGGCCGGCGTACTTCTCGAGCCGTGGGACGACGTCGACGAGTGGGCGGCGCACTTTCCCCCGGGTGCGGCGGCCGAGCGGCGTCGCGACGCGTGCGCGAAGCATCGCTACTGGTGCGGCGACCAGACCTGGAGCGCCCCGGAGAGCAGCGACCTGGACGCCGTGCCGCCCGTTACCGGGCGCTTCGTCTGGCTACTCCACATCCACAAGGCCGCCGGGACTTCGTTCTGTTCTCTCGCACTGCGAAATGGGCTTCGGCTGGCGCCGCACGAGCCGGAGACGCACGGGCACCTGGAGTTGGGGGCGGAGAGACTGGACCTGGCGTCCGCGGACGGCTGTGTGGAAATCAACCAGTGCGTCGGGTACACCCGACAATTCTTCACTAAGTCATTTCTCGGCAATGACGCGGCCGTCCTGGCTCGGTCGAGCGGCGAGGAACCGGCATCGCCACGCCATCGAGCAGGCGTCGCGTCGATGGCGTGAAGGACGACGCGACGATTCAGCACGAACGCGCCGTAAAATTTGATTTCCACACAGGCGGACGGCGTGTTGGGGGGCCTGCGCCGGTTGCAGGCGCGCGGCATCGGCTTCGGCTCGACCGAGCACAAGTTCCTCGCGCCGCCCGTGCTCGAGGCGGTCGCCGCCGCGCGCGGCGTGGCGTTTGTCGTCATAGTCCGCGACCCCGTCAACTGCACGCTCAGCTCGTACCGCTTCCACGGCGGCGGTGGAGGTAGGTGCGACGGCGGCCCGTGCGCGGACGTAATCGCCTTCGGCGAGGCCGAGGCCGACCTGACGGCGCGCATGCTGCTGGGGGGCGAGTTTGGGCCGATAGCGCTGCGCCAGGCGCCTCGACGGCTCCGCGCGGACGCAGCGGCCGTACGAGACGCTCCGGACGAGACGCTCCGGGCTGCGCTCGTCGCGCTCCAACGCTTCGACCTCGTGCTGGTCTTCGAGCGCCTTGGTGACGCGGCGACGGCGGACCTCGTAACGGCGACGCTCGGCTGGAGCGACGGCGCGATCGAGCGAGTGCTCCCGGTTGGAGCGAGGCCGAGTCCGACACCTGTCCCAGCGTCGCAGCGCGAAGCACTGGAGACGATGAACGCGATCGACCGCCGCGTCCACGCCGCGGCGATCCGGCGCTTCGACGCCGACGTCCAGCGCCTCCGCGCGCGCACGAGCTGAAATTTGTGACTTGCCCGATCGATCGACCGCGCGGCTCCGTTCCGCGCATGAACTCTCAAAGGATGCTCCTTAACAATTGAGTCTAACTTACACTACTATCACCTGCCTTTCGCGCTGTCTCTGATGCGCGCGCCTCGGGCGTAGAGGTTGGCCTTCGCCGCGATGCGGTCGGCGTGTCTCCGCTTATCCGCCAGGGCCACGCGGCCGAACTTCTGGTGGATCTTCTCCTGGGCGATCCGTGCCGTCGACTTTCCGCGGCGATTCTTGCACACGCCTTCGCCTTCGGATTTCTTGGTCAGCGCGTCCCGCCATGCTTGCAGCAGCGCATCATCCGGCGCAACCCGCGGGCAGATATCCTGCCGCCGCTTGTTCGGTGTCCGGCGCGCCCGACGCTTCTCCCGCGGTCGCTCGCACATGTCCTCCGGGAGGTCGGCGAGGGCATCCTGCCATGCTTGCAGCAATGCGTCGTCCGGCGTCGGGCGTGGGCAGTACTCTGGCCTCCGCTTGCGCGGCGCTCGGCGCGGCCTCGCCGACCGTCTCCCGGCCGGCCGTCGCATGCACGTGCCCTCGTGTCCCTCGGCGAGGGCGTCCCGCCAGGCGCGCAGCAATGCGTCGTCCGGCGTCGGGCGGGCGCAGGAGCCGCCGTCGGCCCGTTTGGCCCGGACTTCCCGCGGCGTGGTCAGAATGCGCCGTACGTTCGCATACCACGCTTCGTCCGCGACCGTGTCGTGCCACGGAAACAACCGCGCGTACCCCTCCGCGGTCACGGGCGGCGCCTCGCGCAGCCGGCGCAGCGCGTCGCCGTCGGCGAGCGCGCGGCGGATGGCCGCCTCGCACCGCGTCCCGGCCGAGGCGCAGTGGATGAACGCCTCCCGGTTGAAGAAGCGGAAGACGTCGTCGGTGCCGCGGTACGCGGGGACCGTGCCAGCGAGGAACCCGTTGACGATCTTCTCCGTGACCCACCCAGGTTTTACCGCGTTTTCGAACGCCAGGAGCACGTCGAAGCGCGCCGCCACCTCGACGGCCTCGTCGAAGAAGAGCTGCCGGCCGTCCTCCGTCTTGACGTTCGCGGCGCGAACGTCGCTCAGCGTCCCGTTCCGCAGCAGGTCGTCCCGGCTCACCACGGGAATGTTCCCGTCTCGCAGGTCCCGGACGAAATTCTCGCGGTACCAGACCCGGTGCTTGTTCAGGTACAGCACGGCCTTCGTCCGGGCCTCCGCCGGCGCCCCCGCCGGGCGCAGCAGCGCCGCGGGCGGCTGCGTGCGTGACACGAACGAGAGGGCCGCCCACGGCACGTAGACGGCCCGCGGCGTCCGCGTCGAGGCGAGGCTCGTGACGACGAGGTCGTGCGCGTCGGCCCGCTTCTTCATGCTGGGCCCGTCGGCGGGCTCCTTCTCGAAGAAGACGCTAAAGTTCGTCGGCGGCGCCCGCCGGCAGTCGTCGCGGTGGCCGTTGGAGCTCGAGACGCACGCGCTGCCAGTCACGTTGGGGAAGGCGCGCGCGAGCACGTACTCCAGCCACAGGGCGCAGACGCTGTCCGCGCTTCGGTCGGAGTGGTAGATGTGCCACTGCGCGCGCGCGCCCGCAAAAATGGCGGCGAGCGCGAGGCGCAGCCGCTGCCCAGGCATGGCCTACATGCTCGCGAAGGCTGCCTCCACAGTTTGATGCGGGCAGCCGCGCCGAGCAAGGAGCTAAGCGTATCGACACACTAGGATTAACGCAGCAGACACACTGGCGCAGCGCGAGATCCAGCTCAACCCATCGCCGCGCAGCACACCACCAACCAACACGCGCAGCGACGCCGCCGCCGGGCCGCGCCCCGAGGCAGCCCAACCAACGCGAGGCATGCCCCTCTCCCCCAAGAAGGCCAAGGCCAAGGCCGACGCTGAGAGAAGAGAACGGGAAAAGTACGCGCCCGGCACGTCCGCGCGGTTACCTCTGCCCTACAAGCCGTCGCCGGAGGTCGCGAAGTGGCTGACCACCGAGAAGAAGGAGTGGTGCGAGGACGCCGTCGCCGAAGCACTCGCGCGAGAACCGGTGAAGTGCTGTTTGGCACCGGACTGGCAGGACGAGTTCACGGGAAAAGACGTGCGGCATGAACTGGAGTGGCCGGCGCCCCCAGAAGGCTACCAAATTGGCGTGACGAATCGCGATTATCCCCGCGAAAGTAGGGCCTTCGGCGACGTGTCCATGGAGGGCCACCACGGCTTTTTGTCGAGGGCAGCTCGCGCGAGGCAGTACGACGGGATTACAAGAAATTGGTTCCCGGAGAAGGGTGCTGCCCCAGCGTAGATTTTGAGTCCTCGCGATGCCACGCCGCCGCGACGCCGTCGACGCGATGCCACGTCGCCGCGACGCCGTCGACGTGGCCGTCGTTCCGCGCAGGCGACAAGGTCGAAGTCCACACGCACGGCGTCTGGCGCAAGGGTTCGGTGCGGAAGGTGAACTACGGGCGATTGTGCCCGGGTAGGCCTCCCGATATTCGGTACGATGTCCACCTGGAAAGTGAAGGCGCGTGGCTGCCGGACGAGATAGATCATTTGAAGCGCGTGTTCAAGCGCGTCGACGAAGACGGCTCGGGGGAGATCGATAGGGATGAGCTCCAGAAGCTGCTCATCGAGCTGGAGCACCCGCTGGCCCTGGACGACTACTGCGTCGACGATTTATTTCGAAGGACGGACAAGGACGGAAGTGGCCACATCGACTTTCCGGAGTTCTGCGACCTCGTATATGTGGAGCTCCACGACGACATCGGGTTGCCGCACACGCTGTACAACGTGGGAAGCGGCGTCTTGCCTTCGATCCTGCGTCGACGGCGTCGAGGCCGCGCCATCGCCGACGCCATGACCACGCAGGTCCCCCACCGCAAGCTCAGGAGGGAGCCCTGGAAGTTCGGCAAGCCCCAAAATATCTTCGCGACGAAGCGCGGCCCTTTGAAAACTTTGTTAGCTGTGCACCACAAGGGCATCCGCGTGCGCAAGAAGGCCTTCCAGAAGGCGCGGACGGACACGATGTGCCTGCCTCTTAAAATACGAGAGCGGGTCACGGACATGCCTGCTCGACAAATGATTGCGAACCGCGCGGAGTCGAAGAAGGCACTGGCGCGGGACCCGTTCCACCCTGAGAACCGAGATATCTATTGTAGGAAGCAGCTGCGGTACGCGGCCAAGCCCCCGGAGAAACGTAGGATGCGGTGTCCGCCTCCACTGTTTGTTGACATGTCGCGTCGATGGCGAACGAGCTGTACCATACGCTACGGAGGGGCAGTGCACACTCACCGGTGGCTTTCCACGCAGGCATCACGCACGTCGTCACCGTGCGCGACAATTTTTTGGGAGGTTCTATCATCCTACCGGATAAGTGCTTCGACGGGTTAGAATATCCCCTCGCGAATCAAGACAGGCACCGCCACGTCTACGGGCGGAAGAAGTTTTCCAAGAGAGACGTGAACCCTCTGAACGCGAAGGCGCCCTCGTCACTCGTCAAAGGGCGCTCTTTCGAACCACCAAAATTACCGAAGAAAGAACGCCGGAAGCTGTCCTACGACGACGACTGGGGCGGCTCTGTCGAGGAGACCGAGAAACGCGAAGCTGAAGAGCGAGAACAGCAAATCATCAAGGAGCGGTCGCGCTACACCGTCTCCCAGGAGTTGTTGGATGGCGTGGCCCGGGCGAACGCGTCCTCGGCACCCTTCTACGGCTCCCAGATCGTCCGGGGCGAGAACAACCGGTGGATCCTGCAGAAGATGGAGAAGCCGGAGACGAAGAAAAAGAAGAAGAAAGAAGCTGCTATTGATCCGTCGCTGTTGATCGCTACCGATCAAGTGCCGACGGCGGGGTATACTTATGTGTGATAGTTTTTCCTTTCGCTCGGGGCGTGCGCGGGACAGGGCCTTCGTACGGGCTCTAGGTCCGTCAGTGCTCTGGCTAGGAGTGGAACGCGGTCACTTGCCCGGCCTTTTTCGTGCGCGCGCGGCGAGAGCGGCGCGCGCCAGGCGGGAGGGGCCACTGCCCAGAGCTCCAAGCGTCTGGAGGTCTAGCTAGGAGTGGAGCGCGGCATTCTAGGCTTGCGGTGCCCGGCCTTTGCCGGCCCTCGTTCTCCGATTGTGGAGAGCATAAAATATTTAAGCACCACAAAAAAGCCGCAGCAATCGCATCAGCGACCTGTGGCCCGCTCACGCGTTTCCTCTACACTCCGAATTGACACTCACAACGCCTCGTCGAACCTCGACGCGCACCAAGTGAGACTCTGCAATTGACTAACACTCTTGTGCTTTCCCGCCTCTCGCAAACGCCAGGACGCCTCTCACGACTCTACGGCACGACCCACGACACGACACTAGAACGATGCGCTTCATCTCCATCCTGGCCAGCGCGAGCGTCAAGCTCGCGACGCGACTGCCCGGCGCGAACCGCGTCGTCTGCCCCAGCATGATCAGCGCGCCTGAGACGGCGCCGATCAACCTCGATGCTCACGGAGAAGATTTCTTCCAGAGCATCAACGACGACTACCGGGAAGCGGTCGTCCCGGCCATTTACAAGGCCGGCTACGCGACGCTACATCCCGTCGACACGGGCGCCGCGATCCCGATCTACCCGTCGTTGGCCGAGGGCACGAGCGACCGCTGGGCGCGGGGCGAGGTCCGGGCCCACCTCGACGCGCTGAGGCCGTAGCCGCGGCGTGCCTCGGAGTTGCGTGCACAACGCACCCCAGTTTTAGTAAGACAAATCACATAAACTATCTGCGGCGGCGCGTCGATGGCGTCCGGGCTCGACGCCGTCGTCGCGGCCGCACTCTCAACGGGGACGACATCGACGGCGCACCACTCGACGCCACCGCCGCGAAGAAGCCTCACGACATAGATGTTAACACAGAGCCCCCGTCGCCAAACGCGTCTTCTCGGGGGCGCGACCTAGTACAGTCGCGCCCCGTCATCTCACGCGCCCGGCGAGCGGACTAGAGTTCCCCCGTCGACGGGTTCACCCGCACGCGCTGGTGCAGCGACCCCTCTTGTACGACATAGACCTTGACGACGTCGCCGAACCCATCTTGAATCTCGAACCGGTGCCCGACCGTCGTCTGCACCGTCACGGGCTCGCCGCGGTCCGCGGTCCCGACGTGCTCCTTGGACCTGCGTGGACATCAGATTTCACGATCCGCACGCCATCGACGCGAACTGCGTCTGCTCGATGGCGTAAGGTGGACACGGCCTCGGACCCGTCCGCCTGCAAATAGTAGATATCAATTTCGTCCGTCGCTTCAAACGTGACGTCCCTTTTCGACCGCAGCTTCTCCCGATATTGATCAGTGTGCTTGAACCCTCGCGACTGCATCAATCTATCAATTTCTTGGGCCGACCGCATCCTTTCTAGAGAAATCCGTTCTACTTCCGACCAGCCGTCCTTGACGATGAGTTCGGGAGAATGGTGCCGGATCCACGTGATCTTGCAGCCGTACGCCGCCGCGCCGTCCTCGCCCTTGATCCACCGGTCCGCCACCGGGATGCGGTCGCGCCATCACGTGTTGCAGGACTCGATCTCGCACGTGCGGCCGCTGCTGAAGAAGGCGTGGCACGGGGAGGCGAGGAGTGCGGCGATCAGTAGCTGTCGCGGCGCCATCGTCTTGCGAGCGCTGCGAAAAGCCACGTGTAGCTGCGCTCCGCCGACGCGTCCTCCGGCGAGCTCGCGCGCTGCGATATGCAAGGGCGGGCTGTCCGCTGACTCCTTCGGCTCTCCACGCCTCGTCGACGCGAGAGACGTCGAGATCCCGCGGAAAAATCCAGTGAAAAGTTAGCTAGCGTCGTGTAAAGACACTAGCCGCGCTCGACATTTTTGCGCGCCGTCGGCTTAGGAGCTCGTATTGCATCGCTGCGCGGTCCTCAGACCAGGCATTTGTCGCCCTCAATAGCTGCAGCGACGCGCGGAACGCTGTCATCGCTGCTGTGGCAAAGCACTCAAGGCCGACACAAATCGGCTTTACGGCGCGCGACGCAGCGAAGCAATGCCGCGGGCCACCCTCCTCCTGCTCACAATAACAGCGAACGCCGCCTTCTTCGGCCGCCAGCGCAAGCCGGACGTGCCGGCGGGCGGCCTCGCCTGCGACGGCGGCTACACGGCCGTGCCCTCGTCGTATATCAATGATGATTATTGCGACTGCGCCGACGGCGCCGACGAGCCGCGCACTTCTGCGTGCTCCGGCGTCACGGCCCTAAAACGCTTTGCATGTGCCGATGGCTCCGGAGTCCCCGCGTCGCGCGTCGGCGACGGCGTCTGCGATTGCTGCGACGGGAAGGACGAAGCGGAAGGTACGTGCGAGGACACCTGTGCTGCCGCCGCTGAGGCCGCCGCCGCCGCAGCGGCGGCGGCCGAGGCCGAGCGGTTGAAAGGGCTCGCGAGACGCGCCGAGTACGTCGAACAGTATAAAAATGATATCGCGGACGCGGAGACTCGTCGTGATGACGCGCAGCGGCTCCTCGACGAAATAGATGAAGACGGCCCGCGCCAGCGAGTAGCTTCGTACGAGACGGAGGCGACGGCACGGCGGGACGCCGCCGTCGCGAAGGCGGACGTCGACGCGGCCGCGCAGCGCGAGGCCGCTTTGCTAGGTGAAGCGCCCGCATCCATAGCAAGGGCCGCCGTCGCGCTTTGTGTTGTTGCTGATAATATCGAGGCTTTGCTGGAGGCGGTGCACGAGAACCTGCCCTCGGATACTATCGAGGACGCCGACGTCCTGTCGCTCGGTGCCGCGGCGGCGTCCTGCCTTCCGCGTCGATGGCGTAAGAGCGGTACGCCGTCGCTGCGACGCGTGCACGCCATCGCCGCGACGCGCCGTGCGCAGGTCATGACACCTTGGAGGCGCTCAACGACGCGCAGGAAGGCGAGGAGGCCAAGCGCGCCGACGCCGCGTCGCTGGCGCGGACGCGGCTGCAGGGATTATTATCTGGACTGCCCTTTTCCGACGACGCGCCGACGACGAAGGCGGCGACAGAGGCCCTCGCCGCCTGCGCGAAGACCGACGCGACGCAAGCGAAGCAGCGCCTCGTACCGCTCTACGACGTCGGCGGCGCCTTAGCTGGGAAGGTGCTCCCCGTGGAACGGCCCTCGTCAGATATGGAGGCCTACCTAGCAGCCGACGCGTCGGAAGCGAAAAAACAATTGGAGGAGGCCGAAGCCACGAAAAAAACGGCCGAGACCGCGCTGCGGGACGCCCAAAAGGTCCTCGACGGCGATGCAGGGCCAGATGGCGCCTACCACGTCCTGCGGGATAGGTGCTTCTCGGTCAAGGTCAGCCAGTACACGTACGAAGTGTGCGCGTTCGGTCGAGCAAAGCAGGACCACACGTCGCTGGGAAGTTTTCGGGAATGGCGCGCGGACAACACGAAGTGGTATTTTGGGGGCGGCCAGCACTGTCCCGGGCGCGGCGCGCGGGATTTGGTCGTGTCCTTGCGCTGTGGCTCCGAGGAGTGGCTCGAAAACGTCGGCGAGCCGGAGACGTGCTCTTATGCTGCCGATCTGTATACGCCGGCGGCTTGCGGTTAAGCGCGAGGCGCGAGTTTCGCGCCACGCCGCGCCGAAGTAGTACGTGCGCCGCGGCGATGGCGTGCGCCGCTGGTCCGTTTTCTTTCGATTTAACAATGTGTAGTAAAGGTGGATCAGCAAAAGAGAAGGTTACGCGCCTCGGTGGAAGTGGCGGAAGCGCCGCCGCGCGCCCCGCGCCGCGCGAGCCTCGGCGGCCGCACGTCTTCGACGCCGTCTGGACGCCGCGTGGCCCCGGTGGACGGCGTCGCGCATCGCGTCGAAGGACGACGCGCACTGGGCCTCCGGGTCATGACCGTGCTCCCGCATCTTGAGCGTTTGACTGTAGGACGACGACCGCGACCGGTCCTTCTCGATGCGCCGCACCTTGCGCGAGTGGAAGCCGGGGTCTATGAGGTAAGCCACCGCGTCCTGTCGCGCCGCGACGTGGCCTCCAAACCACACATCATCATGTAGCCAACACCCTCGCGGTCTTGACGTGTAGTTAAATACAGAATCGTCGAAGACACTTCTAGTGAACAGGACACCTCCGACGCCGCTCAGCCAGCCGTGACAGGACCCCTCCACGGCCATCCCGAGGCACTCCCTTCGTCTAGTAGCGTGCATGAAGAAGTAGGACGTCTCCGGCGACCAGCCAAATTCTTCGCACCAAAAACCAACCGCGACGGGGTCCTTGGTCGTGTCCGCCGCCAGAGCCAAAGCCAGTAGTAAATCCTCATGATACGTCGTGTCGTCGTCGACCGTTACTAAACGCGTAGACGGGTTCGTTTCTCTTTTGAGAGCGGGGAGTAGTTTCGTCGCGGGCCCCAGGTCGTCCTCAGCTCTATCGATGATGACCAACTCGAGCAAAGGAGACATGCGCTTCAGGGCCGCCTCGAAGGCGCCGATCTCGTGCCTGCGTGGTGCGGGGCGGTGTCGCGGCAGATTCGCGCCGTCGCGCGTCGCGTCGATGGCGTACAGGTGCTACGTCGTCGCGTGTGGTGTAATCTACCCCACGCGCCATCGTCGCGTGGAGTCGTCGGACGCCGCGCCAGTACCCGATACTCCGCGTCTTGTTGTGTCTAAATTCTCGATCGATCAACGGAGCCAAGGAAAGGAACACGTAGATCCGGTCCGGGGGACACGTCTGCGCCAGTATCGACTCGACCACAAGTGGTAAATTCTGGTGCCGCCCGTAGAACGACGACATCGTCACGACCGTGCGAGGACGCTGCACACATGGTTCTCCGCTACTTTTCGCCCTGGCTATCAACTCAGAAGTAGATTTACCACCAGGGAGTGGCCTCGCGCGCACGAAACGCGAAGCAGGAGGAGGACACCTATCATGGACCAAAATTTGGGCGTCCTCCCCGTCCGAGAAGAGCGCGCTCCCGACGCGCGCGCCCCAGGCCAGCAACGCGCAGGCCAGGGCGACGAAGAGCGTCGTCCGAATCACCACTGTGAAGTTGGCTTGTTGCCTCCTAGGCCACGGCGCCGCGGGCACATGGCGCGCGCGCTTCACCATGCCGGGCGACCGGTCATCGGCGGGCGCAGCCCCGGCCTTCTGCGGCGTCCGCATGGGGCTCCAGAGTCCGGCAGTTCGCTCAGGTGCGCGCATGCTCCACAAACTGGACACGCGCACTCGGCCTGAATTCGGGGGCGTCGCGGCCTGTGTCTGATGGGTTCGGAGCGGACGGCTCCCGGCCGAGACCCGTGGGAGACGCGTGAGTTGTTATTTTCAAGTATTTCGGGTTTTGCGGCGTTTTGTCCCAGTGCTTGGGCTCAAAAAGCGTGTTGTTGCATCGCGTTTTGGGCGAAATACGTGATTTGGGCTGCCCGACGGCACCCTCGGGGCTGCGGGGCAAAGCTGAGGCTCAAGATCACGAGTTGGCCGAGACAGCCAGCAGTGCAGCCTCAAAGCGCCGACGCGTCGACGCCGCATCCGTCGCGGAAACAGTGCAGAGTGGTTCCCAGCTCGACGCGTTTGCGGGCAGCCCAAGGACACATGGACGGACTGCGCTGCCGCCGCTGCGGTCGCAGCTGCGACGCGTGCGACAACTTCTGCCGGCACTGCGGCACGGCACGCAGCGGCGGCTCCGTCGATCGGGCTGCGCACGCCGATGGGGTGCGCGCGCGGGGCCGCTGGCGCCTCGGCCGCTGGGCCGCGGTCGCCGCCCTCGCCGCCGCGGCGACGCTCGCCGCCGCCGACGAGGATGTGGTAGAGGGCGTCGCGAAGCGCATCGAGGTCGAAGCCGCGCGCCAGGCGGCCATGGGCCTCGAGGACGCGTACGCCGTCGAGGCGCAACCGAAATTGATACGGGTGACGTGCCCCGACGCGCCGCAGGTCGACGTCGAGGATTTGGGGCCGGACAGTCAAGCGCGGAACGAGTGCCTTGTTTTTCAAGTGGCAGCGCCGGACCTCGACGCGCGTTTGGTGGTGAAATGCGACGGCGAGCTCGACTCCGACCGGAGTTTTTATGGGGACTTCGTGTAACGATGTGTGTGTATCATGGACGGCTTGTGCCGCATTTTTCCACAGACGCTTTTCCCGCGACGATGGCGTTTTATGTGTGTTGTTACGATGCGATGGCGTTTTTGTGTTCGGCTGAGGCTGAGGCTAGTTACGTCGCAGGGTCCCCCGTACCCCTCCCGCTCCCCCCGGGCCCACCCGTCCGGCTGGACTAGGACGCAAGGGCTGAGTCGCAGGGACGCACACGCCACACCTCTTCGGGACGCCCTAGTGTGTGTCGACGCTAGTTCATCTGGCCTCGGACAAGTCCTCGGTCCTGCCGCCCCAATCGTCTGGGGTCTTGGCCCAGTAGATTGGAGCAGTGAATTAGATTCCGAACGTCGCCATTTAAACGTCTTCGGCAAGTCGGTCCTCTGGTTCCTGAGGATATTTCGAAACAGCATGAAACTCAAGCTCGCTGTCCTCGCGGCGGCCCTCGCCGGCGCGCACGCGTTCGGCGAATACAAAGACGAGCAGAAACCGCTCGCCGTCACGATTCACGGCGCGGGCTTCCGCTCGGTCCTGGAGGGCGCCGCGGTCGCGCGCGCCCTCGGCGACCGCCTCCGCGAGGTCACGCACCTCGGTGGCGCCTCCGGCGGCAGCTGGTTTGGAGCGCTCATGCTCTACTCGCCGGACTTCTACTCGGCGGTCATCGATCCGGACAAGCCCATCGAGGACGTGGTGGCGGAATGGGGCGCTCAGTACGGCCAGACGATGATAGACGCGTCCGCGGGCTTCAACCCGGCCGATCCCGGGCTATCCGGCCCGCCCGCGTGGGCGACGGAGCAGCCCAAGGGCTTCGAACTTCCGATTGGACCGGGCGGAGCAGATATCTGCGCGGGGTTCAATGCCGGGTACAACCAGCTCACGGCAGGATTCCTGACGGCGCCGCCACTCGCACTACAGTTCCCCCCCTGGAACTGGCTTTCGTTCATCAACGCGTTGCTGAAGGACAGCATTGACGGGTTCAGCACCCTCCGCACCACGAACGCGCCGACGACAGGCCTCGCTGCTGCTCTCGTCGTGCATGCGGCGCTAGGGCCCGACGCCTACCTCACGCCGCCGACGTCGTCCGCGAATGCAGCGTTCCGCACCTACGACTATGATGGTACGGCGCCGCCGTACAACCTGGTCATCCCGGTCGCGCACTCGGTACCGGCCGGCGGCGGCGGGGACTGGGTCGTGAACGCGAAGATCTCCTCGCTGGCCGTCGACGGGAGCGCTCTCTTGACGCCGAATCCGACGCTGCTCGAACTCTTGGCGGGCGCCTCGGCCTTCCTGGGAAACGCCGGCGGCCCGACGTGGCTCCAGACGACGCTCGCCTTCACCGGCCAGCTACCCTTCCTCGCGCCGCCCGATGGGCCCGTGCTCGATCCGACGCCGGGGAAGCCGGGTTATCCCGCCTATGAACTGGCGTCGGCATGCAAGCCTTTCGGGCTCCAGGTCGCCGCGTCGCCCTTGCTCAAGGACGGCTACACGTTCCCGCCCGACGGCCCGCAGACGCCGGCGGATCTCGCGAAGGTCTCAGAGAATGCGCGCTACCGCCTCGCCGACGGCGGTTTCCTCGAGAACACGGGCGCCGCCCCGGCGATCGCAGCGATGCAGAAGGATTGCGCCGAGGGCAAGCTCGACTGCTCGGGACCGCTAAAGATCATTATCGTCGACCAGCTCGATCAGACGGAGGGCTCGTTCCGGCTCTTCGATTTCGAGAATCAGCCGCCTGCGAACGAGTACTACCAGTATCCGTATGCGTTCGACGCCACGGTGGCGTCGCAGCAGATCTTCGCCGAGGCGCCGCCGGAGCCCTCTGCGTTCCAGTCGTACAAGATGAACACTTATCCGTTTGCCTATTTCCAAGGCCCGATCGGTATAGGTTTCGAGCTACCCGGGTTCCCACCGTTCACCAGGAGCGCCGAGTCGACGTACTGGCACGGCCGGGCCACGACGGTAACTAACGACTGGTACGGTGTCCAGGCGGGTTCCGACGTCGAGATCCTCATCCTGAACACAGCTCTGGGGACCGACGGAGGCGTCCCGACGGTCGTGGGCGGTGGCTTCGCGAAGGACGCCTTCGCGCAGCTCTACGGGCCCCTCGCCAAGAGCCAGGCGGACGGCATGGCGCCGATCGTGACCGCGTTCCTCGCGGGCACGCTCTGACGACGCATGTCCCCGCGAGCGCCCTCCCACTCCCCCGACCCCTCCCTCGCGGACTAAGCGACTATCTCGACTCTCGCTCAACCTTAACTATCCCCCTCCAGCTCCTCGACGCCCTCGAAGACCGCCGCGCGCATCGCCGGTATAGGTGCCACACGCCCCGTCCACTGCTGGAGCTGCGCGACGCCCTGGGCCACGAGCATCGACGCGCCCTGGGCCATGGGGCAGCCCGCGGCCTTGGCCTGCACCAACAACGCCGTCGACGCGGGCTTGTACGCCGCGTCGAGGACCGCGGGCTTGTTTTTGAGACATGCCGGCGGCAGCTCAAAGTTCGCGGCACCGGGGATCGTGGACACGACCGCGTCGACCGTCACAGAAGCCAAATCGGCGACGGCCTTCCCACCAAAGGCCCTGGCGAGCTCCTCGGCCTTGCTCGTGTCTCGCGCGTAGACCAGCAGCGAGAACGGCTTCTCTCCTCTAGCACGTCTTCCAGATGTCATAGCGTAGCACGCGGCCCGAGCCGTCCCGCCGCTCCCTACCACTAATGCACGCCCCGTGGTCGCTCCTGACCTCTTACGGAGCGCCTTGGAAATGCACTCGCAGATGCCGATCCAGTCCGTGTTGTCGCCCGTGAGGACGGAAGCGCCGCCCAGCGTCGTCCGCGACGTGACCAGGGCCGGCCGCGGCGTGATCGTGTTGACCGCGCCGATCTTCCGCGCGGAGTCCGTCAATTCATCTAGAAACGGCTGGACCCGCAACTTATGAGGTATGGTCACCGATAACCCCCCAAATGAAGGCGAGGCCAGGTAGTCCCGGAACTGTTGGGACGTCTCGGAGTTGACGTCGTCGAGACCACCTTGATCAGGTAACTCCAAGACACTATACTGATGAGGCAGGCCGCACGCCCGGAACGCGGCATTGTGCATCGCCGGAGAGCGAGATCCAAAGTCGCTCTCCAATAAAACAGCGTACTTCTTCGGCGACACGACGCCCCAGTCCCGTCGGAGGGCAAGGGCTTCGTTCGGCGATATTTGCCCAGGAGCTGCCGTCGACGGTAAGGATTCATGCGTCGCGGGCAGAAATCTTCTACCTAACACCCTTGATAGTTTGCCCGCATCGCCCAGAGCTAACACGACTCGAGGCGGCCTTGAATCAACGTCCGCCACGGTCGCGGCGCTCGCGGCGTCGTCGGCGGACGCCGCGTCGACGACGAGCTTGACGGCGTCGCCGTCCGATCGCTTCGCGCACTTGTTCAGTAACGCCTCGGCCCGTGCCGACGACGTCGTCTCGCCGAGCTGGTGGTGCGACCCTAACACGAGTGTAGCGCCCCGTTCGTCGGCCATCCGCCTCAATTTTTTCAGTTGCTTCCGCGATAAAGTCTCCGTTTCCACGTCGAGCCAATCGACGCCGGCCCTTAAACCCAACTCGAGCAGCGACGCCATCTCGTCGACGTCTTCGTCGCGAAACGCGCCCGCTTGCGACACGCTCCGGACCGTAAACATGAGCCTCGCTTCGGAACCGCGCCACGACGCCTGACAGGCCTCCCGCGCCGCATGCAACTGCTTCAACACATTGCCCGGGTTGTAGCTTCGCAGGAGATCACACCGAAACTCCAGCGCCGTGACCCTTGCATCATTCGCGAGCTCCGCGAGCACCTGCCGCGTCTCTGGCAGCTCGTAATCCTCGAACGTCAAGGACACGAAGAACGTGTCCAGGCCCGCCTCCAAGGCGACCTCGTCGTCCGACAACCGGTCGCGCCGGTGGAAGTCCACGATTCTCTTGATGCTAGAAGCACCGCCGCCCCAACTCGCCCGCTCCTCTATTGATAAGACGGCAGAATAAGGCGCGCAGGCCGCGACCTCGTACAGACACGTCTTCCGCCGCTTTCCGTTTCGGAAAATTTCTTTCACCACATCATTTCCGAATTCATTGACACAGCGGACCCAGATCGGGCACGCATCTCTTTCTAGTAAATTCCAGTCCTTGCCCGTCAGAGCCGAGTCCGTGCAGTGGACGACGTCGTTGGCGTCGACGTTTTTCAGGACGTTCCGGAGCTCGTCCTTGCCTCGCACCGCAACACTCAGACCGCTGAGAGCGGTGGCTGCGGATTGCCCCAAACAGGCCAGCTCCTCGCCGAAGCTGTCCTCTCCAATAAGCACGACGGGGCCCGTCGCTCTTCTTAATGACGTGCGCGCTTTCTGTGCAGGTAGCAGGAAAGCATGGGCGGCGGCGAGGATTGCAAGGCAGCGCGGGAGGGCCATCAGCTTTGCTGCAGTGGCGCGAATGCAGCGCGGGATGGCGGGGTCGTCCGAGAGAGAGCTTTTGGACACACGTTGCAACTTGCTAGCGCTCTACCAGGGCACTGCAGCAGCCTTCAATTGCCTCCTCCTCAGGGCTTCTTGCTAGTGTCTTACCGGACGCTAGCATTATGTGCGGCCTTCGCAGCTTTTTGGACGCTCTCGCTGCTAAAGTCACCCGCCGGCTGCTGTAATTTGAGTTATTACTCACGAAAAACCAGCAGTGGCAACGTGCGGCCGGCGAAGGGGCCCAACAAGTGAAATGCAGCGCTGCTGCCTCCGCAGCCGGCCAGCCACGGTACGCCAGCGCCGCGGCGCCGCCTCGCGCCCGCGCTTCTACAAGCATACTAGTATCGAGAGGGACGGCGCCGCCTGGCGCGTGACCCTCGACGCGCGGCCGCTGCCGACGCCCGCGGGCCAGGCGCTGCGCCTCCCGACGGAGCGCCTCGCGCTCGCCATCGCTGCGGAATGGGACGCCCAAACCGACAAGATCGAGCCGGCGGCCATGCCGCTCATGGCCCTCGCGTCCACCGCAATCGACCAGATCCCGAAGGAGCGGGACCAGACGGAAAAAAATATCTTGGCGTACGCGGCCACGGACACGTGCCGCTTCGTCGCCGACGCGGCGCGCGAGCCCGAGGTGCGCCGGCGCCAGGACAAATACCACGAACCCATCCTCGCGTGGCTCCGTGAAAAGCACGGCGCTGAGTTGATACGAGGCGCGCCCGGCGCGTTGCGGGCGCCGCCGACGCCGCCCGAGGCTCTCGACGCCTTGACGACAGCCTGCGCGGCCCTATCAAACTACCACCTCGCCGCGCTGCAGGCGGCGACCTTCGAGAGCAAGTCGATCGCGATTGGTCTGGCGCTCCTCGACTGTGAAATCGACGCCGAGGGGGCCGAGGCCGCGGCGCGCGTCGAGGAGACGGCGAATATCGAGCGGTGGGGCCTCGTCGAGGGCGCGCACGACTACGACCTCGCGCGCGTCCGCGTGCAGCTCGCGTCGGCGGCGTTCTTCGCGGAGGCGACGAGTTAATTAATCTTATTAGGTGTGTCTGGACTAGCCGACCTTCTTCGCGAAGATGAATGACCCGGCATTTGACCCGGGATTCTGGGCGGCGCAGCCGGGGTCGCGATGCCAGTGGAAATCGGGGGCACCGCAACAATTAGTGCTGTCGAACCCATTCGTCGGGTGGCCGTTCACGTATACCCGCGTGTGCGTTCCGGAAATGGGAATCGGCAAACACAGAAAACAACAGCGACCCGACTCCTCGTACTGGTCCTCGTTGAGCGCCGTCTTCGTAGTGCAGAAAACGGGCGAAAACGGCCAAGAATACACCAGCGGATGGCAAAAGCAGCCGCGCCAGTTGCCCGCGAGGTCCCTCGCATCGACCTTTTGGAAGGTCCGTTTCTGCGAGGTCCGGCGTTTTTTAAAGTTACCGCATCCTTGTGTGGCCCGGGCCGTGCCGTCGGCCGAGAACGTCACGATTTTGCTCGGATGCGGGTCGCGAAACGTATTGGTGCCCGGGTTGCGCGTCTGGACCCCGCCTGCTACTATCGGCCCGATAAAAGGAGGACAAAATAGACAGCACGTACGCCACGTCTCGATCATATCGGGCCCGAGCGGCACCACGGTCATCGAGTTGCATATCCATGGACAACCAGCACATATACAAGCGGCCGAATACTCGCCGCTGATCTCCTCCGTGCTCAGCAGCCCGTCGCTCCGCGGGCCGGTGTAGAGGTCCTCCGGCGCGGGCGGCGGCGGGCGACCGGCCCATTTTCCTCGGAGGCCTCCGCTCGGCAGCGTGACGCGGTAGACCGCAATCTGGTCTTCTTCTCCAAAATCGTCGACGACGCCCTCGAAGTCGGGGAAGCGGATATTCTGGCGCTGGCCAGACTCCATCCCAACAAAGCCGTGCCGCTGGTAGCTCACGTCGTCCGGGCTGGCGGACCAGGAAACTCCCGAAACCGTAACTTCATGGGGCCCGCGCATCTTTTTCCAGTTGCTGATCGCGAGAATGCCGCTTGAAGCGCCTTTAGTCTGTACGAGCTCGTCGACGAGCTTGCCGAAGCCAACTCGGACCATGTTTTTTTTCTCTCTCAGAGTCTCAGCTTTAAGCTTGACGGGCATCGCGCGGTCGTCGCCTTTCTCGTTCCAGCGCCCGAGGGACTCAACGGAGCCGCGTGCCGTTCCCTCGTAGGCGCGCTCCATTGCCTGACCCCGCGGCGCGACCGCCGCCGGCTCCGGCTCCCCGCCGAGCAGCGCCGCGCGGCAGGCCGCGGCCTGGTCGGCGAGCGAGCCCGCCGCGGGCACGCCCAGCATGCCGCACAACCGGCGCAACACTCGCTCGTCCATGAGCGGGCTGGGCTCCAGCTGCCCCACGACCTGCCCAAAGAGTGGCTCGCCGTTCGCCTCGGCCGCCACCGCCGCCATTCTTACTTACCGCTCCGAGCAACAACAAATGGGTAGCACAGGCTGGGGCAGCCGAGGAAGCGCCGCAGCTGCACTATTCGGGCCCGACGGATGTTGCGACGCTGCCGCGCGGATCCCAGGGCAGAAGCTGAAAGCCAAAAAACCATGCGGATGCCCCGGATCCGCAAAGCTCCAAACCCGCACGCGCGTCGAGTGGCCGCCATGGATGACACGACACACAACCCTTACACGACGTCACGCCGGCGCCGCCGCCCGCGCCGCGGTTTCCAGCGCGCGGTCGACGCCGCGCCGGCAGGCCGGGCAGGACCCCCGCCGCCTCAGCCACGGATCGGCGCAGCGCCGGTGGAGCCGGTGGCCGCAGGGCAGCGCCACGACTTTCGACGAGAGCGCCTCGAGGCACACCGGGCACGCGTCTTCACTTGAAGCCGCGCCGGGAAGCGTCTCCACGACGCGCGCGGCCGCGGGCCACGCGGCGACGGCCTCGTATGTGATTGGTGCCGCCGGTGCCGCCGGCGGCGCCGGCGCGGCGGCGGCGGCTCCCGCGAAGTACCGCTCCCTTGCCGGGTCCCACGTGAGCCCCGGCAGCGCGCCGAGCGGGCCCGTTGCGGCGTCGCCGCGGCCCATGCGTCCGACGCGGGGCGTGCTGAGTTGTCCCAGGCTCGCGCGGGGCTCGGCGCTCGCGGCACTACAGCTGCAGGCTGCAGGTGTGATGCCACTGTCCAGTACGCGACCAATGCGGAGTCTGGCGCCGGAGAACACACGCCCAGGAAGCGCAACTATGCGAAAGTTATGGCTGCAACGCGGCTGTTACGACTGCATGCGCTTGCGTGCAAATTGGCTAGCTAGCGTCAGTAAGACACTAGCAAGCGAGTAGCCTCAGCCTCAGCGAGTCTGCACCGTAACAACATACGCGAGACTGCGCGTGATGGTTCGGGAGGGGTGTGCCGAGGCGCTTCTGCCGGGAAGTCTGCTCGTACGAGAGACGCGCACTAGTTTCTGTGAGACTAACAGCCCCGCGGCGGCCGGGTAGCTAGGCGGCCTAGCTCGTAAGGAAGGAACAGAAGACCAAGAAACACACAACAATGTTACGCGAGCTCCAGCGCCGTCAGCAGCAGGTCGTACCAGTACGGCAAATATAGTATGGAAACGTCGTAGTCCTTTCCATCAAGCTCCCGGCCCTTCGCCCGTAAGAATGAGGGCGTGACCGTGGACCAGTCCTCCACGCGCACGACCGGCAACAAGTCCAGGATGGCGTTGCGGTGCCGATTCGCAGTAGCGTCGACCAGCGGATACGTCCCCGCAACCAAGGCCTCGTACTCGCGGTAGCACTGCTCGCCGACCCCGTTCGGGCTGAAAACAAACCTTGAACCTCTCATCAGCACCGGTAAGTGGGCATCAAAATTCCCGAGCATGCTCGTGAGCGTCCCGTACCGCCCGTTGAGCATCAAATTTATGTCATTTTCGATCGCATGTTCGCGCGGGTCCGTGATCGGTTCTCCGAGGTGTTTTTTTTCTCGTGCCGCGCAGGCGAACTCGGGATGCTTGTTGAGGATGAGGTAGTGCTCCAATCTTAAAGGATGTTTTTCGTCGATGTTCATGCAGCAACAGAGCAGCAACCGATCGTCCGTCGGCAATTGATCGTACGCCGGATGCTCGAGGGCCGCTTGCCATAAAGAAGGCCCTCTCACACCAATAACGCGCTCCCGCGTGTTTGCATTGGCACTTTCCTTGACGTTGTTCGCGAGGCCCAACGCCAAATAGTGCTGCAAAGGGCTCTCGGGCGCCCAGCGCACGGGCATAAAATAATCCGTCACGAGCCTTCTCTGTTTACTGACAGATGCTCGTAACTTCTTCAGGCACTTGTACTGGTTGCCCAAGTCGAAGGACATCAGACTAGCGTCCGAGCGCAAGGCTATATTGGGATCGACGTGATATAAAGCTGCTAACAGTGTGTAGGAAGCCTCAAAGTCCTTCTCGTCCACAACTCTACACCCTGTCATCGGGTGCACATGGACGTCAGCAACGGCCGCGAACCTGCGTGGAACTGTTCGATGGCGTACGTGCCAGATTTCCGCGCCGCCGCGAACATGTGCGGGTGCGCGAGGACGTTCGTCCGCGGCGCGAGCCCGAAGTCCCCGCTGTCCGGGTTCGGCTTGCTGTATCTGACAGAAGCGCTTTCCGAGATTTGAAGCATGCCCGCGCCCGCCGCGTCGAGGTTCCGTCCGAGTCGCGTCGTGTCGAGCCAGTGCTGTGTGCAACAGCGAAAGCAGCACGAGATTCTTCTGAGAGGAGTGCGGAAGGGCACACTCGCTCGGAGGCAGTCCCTCGAGGCTTTTGAAGGGCACGCCGTGAAGGGCGAGCACGCGTCGCTCGTGAGGCATGCTTCTATTGTCATTTTCGTGGGCTCCTCACTGACTCTTTTCGGAGGTAGCGGGCCCTCCTTTATCATATCGTTGTCGAGGTCCCAGTGGACAGCTTTGTAGTCACTAATACCAGCACAAGGGCCCTCGAAGCCATGCTTGGCGCAAAAGGCCTTGAGTCTCTGAACAGTAGCGGGTCCGTCTATCTGCGACGGCCAGGTCGCCTCCTCCAGATGTTTCAAAGTTAATAAAGGCAGGGGTCGCGTCCTATTCTTTCCAAGTTCGACGTCGGCGAGCTTCCGCCGCCGATCGCCGCAGCCGTGCGGCTTCCGATTCTTATTCAAGAACGCCAAGACACAAAGCATCTCCGCCTTCTCCAGGCGACTGGCCCACGTATGCGTCGCGTCGAAGGCGTCGATGCGCAGCGTCTCGTGCGCGACGAGGTCGATATGCTCGACCCAGGCCACGTACGCCGCCGTCGCCCACCCCAATCTGGAAGCGAAATCAGCATCACAGGCGTGCGCCACACATCTGGCTTCGAGTTTAGGTGCCGTGAAGGCCTCGACGAACCGCATGAGCGGTGCCGTCGACTTCAGCAAGGTCTGGATGTTCGCCAACGGACACCGGATCAGATGGACAACTCGTCTGAAACGAGGCGTGAACGCGTTCGCGTAGCCGTACTTGTCCACGATTTGTCGTTTCAGCCACCAGCCGCTCCGCTCGTCCGTATAGGGGTAAGGCACGCCCATCGTCTGTTCGTTCACGGCGTGCACGGAGGACACCGTAGCCATGTCCCCGTAGCCCTCGTGGCAGACCTCGCAGCAGGGGTTTTCGAAGATGATCGGTGGCGTCCCTCGGGGCGGTTTTGGTGAACCGTGCGGCTGGAGCACTACGGCAGCATCGAGTGTCGTGTTGAACTCCGGATATTGACGACACTCTCTGGTAGCTTTGTGGCACATCGCATAGACCAGTTCGAAGACCGCGCGCGTGCCACTTCCAGGAGCTCCTGTCACGAGCAACGGGAGCAATTCATTTGGTTTAGGGTCCAGCCGCTGGCACGTCTTGTCGTAGGCGCGGTTCCGAATGAACCTGTCGCAGCGTCTCTCGTCAATCTGCCACTTGCCGTATCTCCTAAAGAAGTTGCGCTCCTTCGGGGAGCGGAAGTAGGACGGCACGACGGAGACGTTCAAGGTGCTTGCTGCTTGTAAGAGTAGGAGGAGCCGCATGGCTGCGCGCATCGATGCGTTCCGCCGCGGCTGCGTGCCGGCGCCGCTGGTGCGCAGCGGCCTCTGGACGCTCCGAGACGCGGTCTGTCGACGCGCGCGCGTTGAGGCACGCCAGAGGCGACCTCTTGCGATGCGCTCTGCGACCTGCAGCTGGCCCCGCGCGCGTCGGCCGGCCAGAGGGCTGCCCTCACAAAAAAATAATGCAGGGTGAGCTAGCGGTCTGTAAGGCACTAGGATGAAGGCAGAGGCCGACGTGCCCTACGTGCGAAGCTAAAGCCCCAGTGGTCCCACGCGGCCACGCCTCGCATAACTAACTAGAAAAAAAACGTCGCCGCGCTGCGGCCCGGCCAAGCGTGAGCCCCGCGCGACGCAGCCGCCGTGCAAGAGGACCTAAGAATTAGAGCTCCTTGCGACGTGCAGCCAGTAGCCGAAGCGCGCGAAGCCAAAGAGAAAGCCAAAGAGAAAGCCAAAGAGAAGCCATGGCTGCCGCCCTCGAGGCCAAGATCTCGCGGCTACGGCTCGACGCGCCGCGCAAGGACGCCCCAGTCCCGACGGCGCCGAAGCCCTACACCGCATTAAGTGTGGAGCAGTACGGAGCGGCCTGCCTCGGCTTGCGACGCGTCGGCCTGCCGGCGCATGTCCTGCGAGGTGCCCTGGCGCCGTTCTGTTTACTGAGACGGACGCCGCGGGCGCCGCACCCGACGAGACGACGAGGCCACCCTTTACCTCCTCTCGTGCAAGCTTTATATAGGGCCCATCCGTCGTTCCGAAGGGGTTTACATGATGCACTCGCCACGAAGGGTTCAATCCCGTCCGGTCTGCGAGGCGTGGACAACGCCGACCCGCCCTGCGCGCGGAAGGCAACACAAGGTTTGTTACGTCTCTTCGAGGCCATGGACCAAGATTGCGCGTCGAGGGACCCGGACGCGTCGATCGTGAGGCATAAAACAGCAGTCTGCTGCCAGAAGCTCGCGGAGACAGCTCGCGCGGCAGGTACAACTTTAAATATCGACTCGCCGGCCGACTGGTTCCGCCTGGCGCACGTGGTCTTATCTTGTTTGCCGGCGAATGTAGTGAGACGGTCCTTCGTGGGCATCTGCGGGCGGTTCGACCGGTACACGTTTCCGGAATGTGGTCCGTGGCTCCGTGTGTTATTTCAAGTCGCGTCGATGGCGTCGACGCGGCCGTCAGAGAGTCATTACGCGCGCAGGCCACGCCTTGCACGAGGACGACGACGCCGCCTGGATTCAACAAGCTCCCGCCGAGCGCTGCTCGGACCTCATCGGGGCGCTGCGGGCGCGGCCGCCGGCGGCGCCGCTGCACCGAGCGAACGCGGACGGACCCGCGCGCGTGCGCTGCCCGACGTGCGGCACCGCGGGCCCGGCCCTCCACGAGTCCTTCCCGCGCTTCACGCCCGTGCCCGCGGCGGCCGCGCCGCACCTGTTGTGGGTCATCATTTTGAGAAGTAGTGGTGCTGGTCTGAGTCGCCACCGAGTCGCCTTACCGTCGCGGGTGCTTTTTGATGGAGAAACGGGCCAGCCCCGCGCTTTGAAAGAGAAGGAGGTCCCCCCGTCGAACGCCGTCGTCTATGCGCTCGGCGCGGTCATGCTCTTCCACTCGCGGAAGGAAAGGGGCGATCCCGAGCCGGAGTTCGAGGGCGACAGCGGCGGCCGCTACTCCATCTGCGTGAATCTGGGGGCCCAGGACGGCTTCTACTGGATCAAGCGGGACGACGGCGAGTCCCAACCGGTGCGGGGGCCCGAAGGCGTCGCGTTGTTGGAGACTCATTGTCATTCCGCGTTCTACGACGTCGAGAGTTCTGAAGGGGCGAAGGCGTGCGTCGGGGGCTAGTTTGTGTACATATATCTTGCTTATGACAAACGTGTGCACGCGCCGCACCTTCCCGCGACGCGCCCGGGTAGTAGCCTATCATACACTCACAGTCTTACGTAAGATGCGCGCGACGCTTCTTTTTAGGCATGTTGCGTCTAAAAAAATAGGAGAGCTCTAGCACAAAGAGAGCTCAGAGCACCAGCTTCTGCCAGGGCCCTTGCATACGCACGTATGTCCAAACTCGTACCCCTACATGCGTACTTCTGAGATCGCTCCCGCATGCGCGTCTGCATACGTGGGCCGTAGTAGGGGGGTAAATGGTTCAAGTTCAACATCGACCTTCAACTAGGGTATACCCCCCAGCAAGAAAACGCCCCCAGACCCACAAAAATTACGATGGTAAGGGTCCTAGAAAAACACCAAATACGCGCCTGCATGCGGCGCATACGGAGGTATGCGAGCGTCTGTGTATGCAAGGGCCCTGGCTTCTGCAAATCAGCAATCAGCACACAGCGCGCTCGTGCGTACCTCCACCACCCCTATACCTCCACCTATACCTCCGCGACCCTCTCCAACCCTCCAACCCTCCACGACAGCGACCACTTGAGTGCATTTACTCCACAAAATGCTCTCAGCCATCAATTGCTACGACGCAGGCCTACAAGATGGCCTCGTACAGCACGATCTCCACCGAAGCGACGTCCGAGCAGACCATGCTCAAGTCCAAGCCCCTGTCCCGGAAGGTCCTCGCGTTCGCCGGCGTCGCGTCGTTCGTCCTCGGCAACCGCTCCTGCGTAGAATTTCTCGATCTCCGGGACGCGCGGGTCACCTTATGTACGGCGCAGGCGTGCTCGCCGTCACGGCCACGCCCGGCGCGCCGTCGCCCGGCCTCCGCGGTTCCACGGCCACGGAGCTCGTCCTAGATGGAGATTGTACCAGACAAGGTGGGCGTCATCCGTTCGAGACCCCCGTGCACTGTGATTGTGACTATCATCCGGGTGGGTGCACTATCTCGCAAACGCAGAGCATCTCGGGCTGCGCGTGCAAGTGCATTTACGAGTTGGGCTGGACGTGCTCTGGTCAGGACGCTAATTGCAAAGACCCGACGTCCGACTTGTGCAAGAACCCCGATAACTCGAAAGCGGCTTGTGAACAAGGCGGCGGCGACTGCGGCGGCTACAAAGACTGAAGTCGCATGTCTACACCAGTCGCAAAGAAGACGTGCATTATATCCCCTCTCTTGCTTTCCCACGCCCGTGTAAGATAATACTTCTCCGAGTTGCCCGTTCGTCCCCGCGCGAGCTAGCGGCCGGTAAGACACTAGCAAGCACGCAAGCCGCTCGGCGTTGTGCGCTACTGCACGCCGTGCAGCCGGGCAGGGGCTAGCCAAAGCCAACCCCGCGTGCCCACTGATCGCCGGGCGCCAGGCGCAAGCGTCGGCGCGCGCGGGCAGCCCCAGGAGCCGTGCGCAGGGCTTCAGTAGTAAGGGCAGCCCCCACGCGAGGCCCATGGACGCCGCCGTCGTGCCGATGGAGCCCAACTTCCTGACGGAAGAAGAAGTGAGGGAGGCGGAGCTCGCACGCGTGCGGCAGCACGTCGCCGCTGGCTTACTAGGTGGCCCCGAGCATCGCAACTTGGGACCGCCGGAAGTCCTCCGAGAAGTTTATGAAGAGGAGTCGTCGGTCCAGTCGAAATCTATTAGATCTGTGGACCGCAAGTCGAATCCTGAATACGCGCGAGCCATGATGTTAGATATATTAAATGAAATGTCGTTCCCGCGGCCGGAGACGTTCGAGGAACGACGGGTTTTGAGGAAACTGCGGGCGCTCAAATCGTTTGTGAGGGGTTCGTGCGGCGACGTGCCGGGCGCCACCGCCAAAGATGTTCGGGATATTTTAGTTCTGGGCAAATCCCAAAAACCAGCGATCGCGGCGCTGACGGAGTTGTTGTCGAGACAATATGAGGCCGCGACGCGGTTCGCCGCCGTCGAGTTGATCCAAGCTTTAGCTGTGCCCGACGTTCATACTGATGATGGTTCGAGGTGGGACTCGATCATCGGCGACGGCTGGGCCGTGTCTTCGAACACGGAGCGGCAGAAAGTGCTGGGCTTCGCTCCTGGCTTGGTGGAAGGTCTCGTGAAGTGGCTCCAATCGAGCTGCGTGCGGCACGAGTCGGCGGCCAACGAGCGCGAGGAAGCACCAACCTCGTTATCTCCTGACAAAAAAAGAGGTAAAGAATGGGATAGAAGGGAGGTCGAAGTTTGTAGCTTAGTCCTGATGACGCTGCGGAATCTCTGTGTCAGCTCGGAGACGGCGCAGCGCCTCGGCGAGTGTCAAGCCATACCACCACTGTTAACTTGCTTACGTTTTGGGCCTCTCGAACTCACCCAACCGGCAGTAGCTTGTTTAGTACCTATCTCGATCTGGCATCCTCGACTCGTTGGGTTGCACGGCGGCGTGGCGCCGCTCGTCGGCATGCTCCGGGTGCCGAAACTCCCACTAGCTAGAGCGGCAGCAATACGCATACTGGGCCAGGTCGCGCCGGATATCGATGATTGCACGGAGATTGTCGACCATGGGGGGTGTGACTTGCTGGCGGCGATCGCGTTCGATGGGATTGGAGGAAGACGGAGGAAGCCGGGCCTACCCTCTACGGTCGCCCATGCGCAGATTGGGGCATTGTGGACGTTGGCGCGCATCGCAACTCATAGTGAACATGTCGACTGCCTGCGGGATGATCGAATACGGAAAGCTATCTTGAGAAGTCTGGAGCCGGATTACAATCCAGTCGGCACCGAAGCTGCGTTGATGTTACTGAGAAAACTAGGAGAATGCACGCCGTATGACGACGGCGATCCTTGGAGTTCGAAGCTAGCCCTCGACGCGGCACCCTTAGCGGCGGCCTGCGCGTCTCGGACGAGGCCGGAACCAGTCCGGGCCCAAGCCGCATGCTGTTTCGAACAACTGTACGTGTCGGATCACGCCCGCCACCGCTTGGTCTTCGGGCGAGACGTCCGGGACATCGAGATGTGTTCCGAGACGGACTTCGGCCCTACCGATTATTTAGAGGTAGTTTATGGCAAAGAGTCCGCGGAGGCGTCGAAGGCGCTGACTCAGCGTCGTGATTGAAGTTGAACTTGGCGTGGTCGCGTCGATGGCGTCCCACGTCGCCGTGACGCCGTCGTCGTGAGTGTACGGGGGCAGCATCGTTCTCCACGCAGGCGCGCGCCATCAAAAAAGCTGCCGATCTGGGCCAGTTGAGCGTGCTAGATTCATTGAAAGAAGAAGAGGAGGACGCGGAAGCCGAGAAAATTGCCGAAGAGAAACGTCGATTGCGGACCGCGCCGCCGCCGTCGACGCGCGTCCGCGTCTTTGATCGAGACGAGTGCGAAGCTTTGAGAGATGCGCCCGTCACGAAGGGCAAAGTTTCGCTCCTAGAAGCGGCCGGCGCGCCGCGGCTCATCAAGATCGACTCGGGACGGGTGTTCTGGGAAACTCGAGCGAAGTCGACAGGTTATGTTGCCAAATGCACGCAACACAACGACTACGAGGAGGAATATACAGCGATGCGGGCGAATCCGAGATTGATGGAGGCCATGCGCATGGAAGCGCGGGCCAACAAGTCCCTCTTCTCGCGCTACAAGGACCCCTGTGTCAGAAAGAACCTGAGAGACGGCCTCCCCGAAGGTACCGTGGATGTCCCCGAGGCCTATGACGAGGTAGAATGCAGCGACATCCTGGAATGTCGCCGCGTCACTTTGCCAGAGATCGAGCGGCACGGCGTGCCCGAGACGGCCGACTGCGACCCCGCGGGCTTCTTCCTCATACGGACGGCGACAGAATCGATATTGATGGAATGCATTCCGGATAGACCGGCGTTTGGCCTTCCACCCTCCACAAAAGCTGACAAAGACGCTCTAGCTCGAGACGTGGGGCGGGACTGGATCCTGCGGCTGCTCGGGCTGCTCGAGGACCATTTTGAGGCCCTCGGGAAGTCGTTTGATTTGAAGGACTTCGACAAGGACGCCTGGGACATGCGCGAGGCGCGGCGGAAGGAGCATGAGAGCGGCAAGAAGCGACGAGGGTCGTTATCATCAATAAAAGACGACCCGAACGAGATGAACCCGCGGCGCTGGGAGGCCCTCGTCGAGCGCGCTTGTGGGGGCCACGACGACGACATGCTCCACGAGATGGCCCTGGCCGAGCAGAAGGGCCTCGCCAAACCGTCGCCGTACCGGAATGCTCCCACACGTAGAAGGAAGCATCCTGATGTGTTGAAAGAACTGTGGTCGATGGCCCTGCACCCTACTTCTGTCTCGTTAGTTCAGAGAGGTTGTCTTGCCTTACTATCGTTATGTTCCGAACCAGGCGTCAACGCGCACGTCAGAGAGCACTGGAAGAGGGAACTTAATGCATTGCCGGAGAGCATGTCCGCGGGCGTCGCGAGTCGGTCGAAGGTCCTCGTGACGAAGAAGTTGGAGCTCCTCGTGCTGTTGAACCAGCTGGAAATTGTCGAAAGAAATGTGTGGCGCGTCGCACGACCACTACGCCTGAAATTTCAGTCGATAATATTGAACTGGCGCAAGCACCTGGGCTACTCGGCGCTGTCGTCGGCCACCGCCGGCTTCGACAAGGAAACGTTGCTCAAGTTACAAGAGCTCTTCGCGGAACTTGATGCCGACGGTTCCGGTTACTTAGATGCCGAAGAGCTAGGTGTATTGTTCAAGAACATGCGCATGCCCATGGGCCAGCGGGAGCTCGACGACATTGTGGATGAAATTGACGTCGACGGGAACGGTGTGTAGCGGCGTCCCGCCGGGCCTTCGAGACCGGCGTCGGTCTCTACGCCATCGGCGCGAGGCAGCAACGCGTCGACGGCGTCAACGGAGCGCGCCATACAACTTGAAGTAAATTCGAGGCCGCTGAGTCACTCATCACACACGCGCGTCTCGCTATCTCGGCACCGCGGCCATGTTTCTGGCCCAAACTCGGCCACGGCCTCCGAGCGATACCCTCGACCGTATCCAGAGAGCCGTACCTCGCTCCGACCACGACACACCAAAAATTGAAGCACGAGTTGAACTTTGATCTACGCAGGTGAAATCGACTTCGAGGAGTTTTTACTGGTCATTAAGAACATGCAGAACCCCGGCGCGGTGCAGTCGAAGCTCGGCGTCGCCGTCCAGAAGGGCGTCAAGAAGGGCGTCTTCCAGACGACGATGAAAGGTGGTGCTAAAGCTTTATTTGAGGGCGTCGCGGGCGCCGCGAAGGAAATACCGGGAGCGAGGAGGCAGAACCTGCGCCATGCCGTCGACGATAACAGAAGGGAGAAGCTGCGCGAGGAGATCAAGGAAATTGATAAAGATGTCCTCAAGTATCAAAAAGTGGATCCCAAGAGACGCATGAGAAGAGCTCACTTAAATGCGTCCTGGGCCGCGGCCTGCCGCCAGGCCTTCGAGCTCGCCAAGGACTGGGGCGACGGCGTCTGCGCGACGGAACCCCTCTTGCAGACGCTTGTCGCCAATCCGGAACTCGTCGAGAAGCTCGGCTTTTGCACGAAGCCCAAGGGCTGGGCCCAAGATGCTGCTTTGTACAAGCAGTACCAGTCGATGCTGGACATCGCGGCTTCCTATGGTACGTTGTCGCGAGCGGCGACGGACGCGGGTTTAGCTTTTGACGACAACGACGAAGGTACCATACAAAGCGGTGAGTTCGACGACCAGGATTGGTCCTACCGAGAATTCGAGGAGGCCGTCGTGCGGTTGGTGCGGGCGTGTCGCGGGGAGGTGGCCCGCGAGCAGGCGGAGCGAGAAAGGTATGCCGCCAATGCTGAAAGAGTTTCGAAGAAAAAAGTCAAGCCGAAGAGAGGCATGTTCGGCGCGCTCGTCGCGCGGGGGGTGGACTAAGCCGTTGTTGTGACTAGTGTATGCTACCATTTACGCGGTGCCCGCCGGCGACGGCGTTTCGCGGGCGCGGCCGACGTCGTCGACGTCGTCCGCCTCGACGGTCACGTCGCTCGGGGGGCCGGGACACTTCCGCTCGGCGTCGGAGCCCTTCCCGCCAGGGTGGCTCGACGAACCTCCAACTCCGCCAACGCCGGCGGCCGCCCTCCACCCGCTGACGCAACTCTAAGACTCATGTACAATTCACAACAACAGTTAGCGGACGACGCGCTCCCCTCCGTCTTCGTCGAGGAGCTCCAGGAGTGCTGGCGCGCACGAGAACGGCGCCGGGCGAGCATCTAGCGAGATGCCGCCCCCCGCAAGACTGGCGACGGCGAACGCGACGCGTGCCCGGTCGACGCCGAACGCGTGCGCGTGGTAGCGACACACGGGGGGTAGGCGTGGGGCGAAGGCGATACAGACACGCCTTGCAGTTTCCCGGAGTTGGGCGCGCACCGTCGCCGCGGCATAGACCGGCACCGCCGCCGGCCCGCACGCGGCGACGCCGGACTGGAGCGCCAGGGCCAGACACGCGTCGACGTCTGGAGGCTCCCACGGCGCCAGCGGATTCGGCGGCTTACCGGCGAGCGCGAGCGCCGCGAATGACCGTTGCGGAGTTGCCCCCCTCAGCCAGCCGTGCTCGAGCGCGAGCGGCGTGACGTAAACACCCCCGACGTCGACGGACGCGCGCCGCAGGGCGTCGGCCTGTGTGCGGGGGAACCGTGTTCAAACGCCGCGTCGATGGCGTCGCGGCGAGAAAAAGGACGCCGAGTCGCGCCAGCGCCAGGAACGGCGGCCGGCGCCGGAACCAGGGAACGTCGCGGCCCCAAATAACGTAGCGGCCCGAGCGCTGCGCCGCCGCGATGCATAGGTGGTACAGGTTGAGGGCGAAGGCGAGGCGCTCGTCGTCGCTCAACGCGGCCAGGGCGCTTCGATCCACGAACGCTAACGCAGCGGAGTCGTCGCGGCCTTCCCCGAGCAGCCGTTTGAGCAAAAGTCCGGGCAGGGCCGCGACGTCGACGCAGAGCGACCGCGACCGCGGGCCCGCGGCCGCGTTCAGCACGTCGAGGCCGCGCGGCGGCGGCGGCCGCGGCTTCGTGGCCCGGTCTACGTTTATCTCGAGCCAGTAGTCCCGCGCGCCGTCCGGACCGTCCCCAAAAAGCACGAGGCGCAACCCCCGATTCCCCCAGAGCCGCGCGATGGGCACCTCGCCTCCCAGCCAGGCCGGAAGCCCAACGCAGGACCATTTTTCGAAATCGACATACGTCGTGTACCACGCAAGCGCCAGGTGACGCCCTTCCTTCACCGCGGCGAGGACCCGCGCCCGGTCGGCCTCGACGGGTGCCGGGCCCTCGGCTGGAGCCCCGTCGGCGGCGTCGAGGGGCGCCGGCGCGGCACACGGCCAGGCCTCGAAGCGCGTCGCGGCGCTCGCGACGTCGAACGCGATGAGCGGCCTCACCGTGTTCAGCTCGCAGCGCACCTCCGTGCCCATCAGTCGCCGCGCCAGCGTCAAGAGCGTGCCCGCGAGCGCGCGCAAGGCCCGCGGCGGCTCGGACTCGCCCTCGGCCACCTCAACGCCGAACCAGAGCCGTGGCGGCAGCGGCGCCGTGGGCCGCGCAGCGAGCGCGACTGCGCAGCGGGCCGTGCCCTCGCGGCGCTGCACGAACCGCACCTCGCCGACGAGGCGGGACGTTTCGATTCGTGTCGACGAGCCGTCCGGGACGAGCGGCGTGTCGTCGACGGCGCAGCGGAGCGCGGCGCCGTCGTCCCACGCAGTCGCGGCGTCTCGCGCGGGTCTGGCATAGGCATTCAGTGCTGCCAGAGCTCCAATGCCTGCAAGCACTAGCACTGCCAGCTGCAGCAGTGCTGGCAGGGCTGCGTCCAGCGATCCCATTGATGATGCGTTTCAGCAACGTGTCTGAAGAATAGTCGAGTTTAACGAGTGGTGGCAGAGAGAGAGAGCTTGGGCTTCCTAGTGTCTTACAAGCCGCTAGCTCGAGGTGCCATAACTCAACATCTTTGGCTCCTGGACGCGCACGCCGGCTCGAGCCTGCGCCTGGCTAATATCCTTGGTTCGAAATTGAGCCATGGGCAAGAAATCTAGGAGACAGCGAGGTGGTTTGCCAGTCTCAAATGCGTCGCGGCGCGGCCTGATACCGATAGACGTCGAAACAGGGAGGCGGAATCTTAACTCATCTCCCTCTGCCTCGACCTTGTCGCCGGAGCGACGAGCCGCCGCCATCGCGGCCGCCGAGGCGGAATGCTGGGCCGCCCTGGAGTCCGCTGAGGGTGGTGTTGCTTTTTCTCCTGAAACTCACCCGCAACTTTTCCGGGCAAACTTGGCTTTAGTGGACGCAATTTCGCTCGGCGACGACGACAGGAGAACCATGGCCGAGTATATGAGCAAAACCTTTCTCCGAAGTGGCGTTGATCGAACAGCTTTTAAGTTGATCAAGGCCACCATGCGCTGGCCTCGCATCCGAAAATATTGGCCGCGCATCCGGCGCCGCATTTGCTCGGGGTGCGGAAAGCAATATGATCTTTCGGAACCGCGGCTCTTGGTTTGTGGCGAGTGCGGCGAGGGACGATACTGCGACGAGGCGTGCCAGCGCGCGCACTGGCCAGAGCACCGGGGCCCGTGCTTGAAAACATTCCTTGAACAAGCCAAGGAGCGCCGGTCGCACTGGGACCCGCATGGCAAAACGATTGAAAAACTGCGACAGGATTTCCTCGAGTTGTATCCGACTCCCGATGGCGTGAATTTAACCTAAGAAGATAATGAGTCTCTCTCTTACTCACTCCTCCGCCTCGGCCGGGCAGCACTCCGCGTAGGCGAAGGCCGCCGCGTTCGCCCGGACGGCCTCGCGCGCGACCACGGCGTCGGCGCCGCGGCCGAGAGCTTGCAACGCGCGCAGCGCCGCGCGCTTCTCATTTTCCGAGGGACCGAGGCCCGCTTTCAACCGCGCGCGCAAGGAGCTCACGTCCGCGAGCGGCGCCCAGACCTCGAACGCGGACGGAGCATGCACCACGAGGACCGCCGCCAATCGTTCCACGGGCGCCCAGCCGCCCGCTTCGACGACGGCCTCGTCCAGAAAAGGCCACGTCAGCAGGGTGTGGAGGAAGGCATGTGCCAACGCACCGCGCGCTAACGCCGAGAGGTCGTCGACTCTCTGGAGACCCGTGCTCTCCGGTGCAGCTCTCGCAAGAGTCGCGCGGCTCAGATCTACCAAAGCACCAGCAAGTTCCGTCGCGAGGGCGCCCTCCGACGGCTCACCGTTCACAGAAATCTCGACCCGCAAGAAAGTATGAACCCTAGAGCGAGACCAGTCGTAGATCGCGCCGTCGGTGGCCGGGTTCTGCGGGACTGGTGGTTGATTGAGGAGTCGCCTCAAGTGGAACCGCAGCCCGGAGACGCAGAGCTCGCCCAATCTTTGACGGACGGGCGACGCGTCTCTCCTATCGCGCAGGATGGCGTCGAGCTCGGCGCCCCAGAAGGCCGCGGCGCCGCCCGTCTCTCCATTCATATGCGAGACCCGCCGCAAGGACTCCCGCAGCGCGCGCGCGGCGTCCATCGTGTCGGGCGCCGTCCGTATCGCTGCACTTAACGCGTCGCCCGCGGCCGCCGCCTTGCCTAGAGCCGTAACGGCGGCCTCCGTCTCGCGCTCCGAACCTCTCGCAACGTCGCAGGGCGGCGCCACGCTGGAGAAGTCGCACCGCCGAAACCGCACGCGGCCCTGTGTTACGGGTGGCGCGACGCACGCCTCGGCGGCGCACGCCGCGGCCGCCCAGGGCTCCAATGCTTTATCGACGGACGCCTCTCCGAAGGCCCGGGCCGCGGCCGTCGCCGCGGCGAAGCCCGGGCGCGTCATTGACGGAGGTGCCGGCCGCGGCGACGCCACTGATGGAGACGCCGGCGCCGCCGTCGACGCGCGCGACGCCACGGACGCGCGCGGCCGCGACGCCAGCGACGCGCGCGGGCTCCAGGCCAGCACGCCGGCGCCGGCGTCGTCGCCGTCCCAAGCCAGCACGCCTCCATCATAATAGTCGTCCTCGGAGAGCCGCGGGCCCGACAGCGGCTTCGAGAGGGGCGTGCTGGCCTTGGGCGGCGTCGGCGTCTTGGCGGGCTTCGACCAGGGCGACGCTGATGATCGCGGGCTCCAGGCCAGCACGCCGTCGTCGTTCCCGTCCCAGGCCAGCACGCCCGCGTAGTCGTCGGTGGCCACCGTCGTCGGCGTCGGCGGCGGCGGCGACCGCGACCGCCGGGCGCTGCGGCGCGGCGTCGGCTTCGCCGGCGTCGTCTGTTGTGTCGGAGGCGGCGGCGACCGCGACCGGCGGCGACGGCCCGCCTTCTGCGGCGTCGGCGTGGGCGCGCGCGTCCGCGCCGGCGACGAGAGCGACCGCCGGCCCTTGTGCGCCGACGCCTTCTTGGCCGAGGCCGACCAGGCCGTGGCCGCGGACGCGACGAGGGACCGCGGCGACGGCTTCTTGGTTGGCGTCTTCGCGGGCGTCTTCGCGGGCGTGCGCGGCTTGGCCGGCGACTTCGCTCGGATAACGACCCTCTTCTTCGCGGACTTGGCCGGCGTGGGCGTCGGCGCGGGCGTTGTTTTGGCCGGCGTGGGCGCGGGCGCGTCCGCAGGCGCTTTCCTCGCCGACGCCGGCTTCGCTTTGGCCGGTGTAGGCGTCGGCGTGGGTTCCTCCGACGCCGGCTTCGCCGGCGTCGGCGCGGGCGGGGGCTCGTCCGCCGCGGCGGGCGACTCGTCGGCGTCGGCCCGCGCGAGGCGCACGCTGCGCCGCCGCCGCGCCGCCGCCTTCTTGGGGATGCGCTGCTGGACCTTCGGTGGCGGTGGCGGCGCCTCGGCGGCCGGCGGCGGTGTAGGGGCGCGCGGCGACCGGCGCGGCGCCTTGGGCGGCGGCGCCGCGGTGGCGCGCTTGGCCTTCTGCGGCGGTGGCGCCTCGGCGGCGTCGGCCGGTGGCGGCGGCGGCGGCGTGGGCGCGCGGGGCGACCGCCGGAGCGTCCTGGCCGGCGGCGCCTCCGCGGGCGGCGGCGGCAGCGGCTCGACGGCGGCCTCGACCTCGGCCTCGATGGGCACGAAGCCCTCGGCGAGCACGCGGACGTCGGGCGACGCCGGCGCGGCCTTTGTGGGCGCCGCGAGCTTGGCGGGCACGTAAAGCGCGCTCGACGCGCGCGGCGCGTGGCGGCCGTCGAGGACCGCGCCCGTGGGGTTCACGCGGCCGCTCAGGGCACCCGCCGCAAAGTCCGCGGGCGGCGGCAGCGGCGGTGGTACAACATCGGCGGAGTCGTCGGAGCTCACCGACGCGACCGGCGGCGCCCGGACGGCGGCCGCCGCCGCTGCCGCGGCGGCCGGCGCCGGCGCCGCGGCGGCGACGGCCGCGCGCCGCGCCGCCGCGAGCTCGGCGCGCAGCGTGGCGATCGTCGCCGCCTTTTTTTCCGCGTCGTTTTTTAGTAGAGCGTTCTCGCGCTCGAGCTGCGCGCGCTTCATCTCCGAGGCGGCCAGGCGCGCCTGGAGCTGGAGCGGGTCGCCGGCTTGTTTTGAGGGTGGCGAGGGGCGCCGGCGCACGGGCGAGCGCGACTTGGGCGGTGCGGCGGCGGCGACATTTGGGCTTTTGGGGGTAAGCGGTTTCCGGCGGAGGCCTGACATGGTTGTTTGCCGCGTGCGCTGCGCTGCGCGCGCCGGTTTTTACTGCTGCGGGCCCACTCGTCTGTTAAAACAGTTTCACTGCCTCACCGCCCGTGCGGGACGAGCAGCAAGCCGCGACCGGTATCGCAGCCGATATGAGACGACCGCCGGCCTGCCGGCTGTCCGAGGTGGCCCAGTCTAGCTCAAAACAGACAATCGTTTTGTCCAGGACAAACTAGCTTAGACATACTAGCGCGACATGCGTCAGTGGCAGCTCTGAAAGCGCTCAACGGCACGAAAACGGAGTGCTCGCGCGAGCTGATTCAAACCCGCAACCTAAAACTTTTTTGCATGCAGCTGTGCTTGGCAAAAGGCAGCCCCAAGCACGGACCACGCTGCCGCAGCGATGGACACCGCACTCGTAGCGATGCGCCCCAAGCCCTGAGCAGCCATGCGGTTCGCACTCGTGCTGCTGGCCGCGGCAGCCACCGCCTCAGACGACAAAACTCATGTGGTGGTGGCCGGCAGCGGCTCCCACGCGCTAGGGGTTGTGGCCTGCGTCCGATCGGTGTTCGAAGGCGCTCTTAATCAAGTCCAGGTCCACGTTATCGTCCAACAAAAGGACGTCCATGATTTCCAGGCGGCCCTACGATGCGCGCTGCCACAAGAAGACTGGCGCGTCGTGCCCTGGGAGGATCGCAGGGTCGCCCGGCTCGTATCGGTGCGGCACGGCAAGAAGGGCTATCTCGCGCACGCGTTGAACTACGCGCGCTTCTACCTCCGAGAGATACTACCCGATAATGTGGACAAGGCTCTGTGGCTCGACAGCGACACCGTCGTCATTGGAGACATCACGAGCATGGTCCGCAACGCACTTACCAGAGGTAGGAACGCCGTGGCCGCCGTCGCGCGCGAGAAGAAGGCGTGCGGCACTCACTTCTTAAATTGTAGCAATCCCGACGCGCTCGAGCTGCTCTGGGAGACGCGCGTCGACGTCGACGCGCTGGACGCGTTTAACGCCGGGGTTGTGGTTTATGACTTACGACGGTGGGCGGAGCAGAAGCTGACGGAGCGCGTGGAGCGGTGGCTTGAACTCAATCTGAAAACTGAAGCGTTTACGCTCGGGACGAACCCGCCGCTCGTACTAGCTACGGGCGGTAAATTCGAGCGCCTATCAATAGCATGGAACTGCCAGGTCGGCGGCGGCCACGGCTGCGCGCGCGGATTGGCGAACGGAACTGTTGGAAACGGCGTGCTCCACTGGTCCGGCGAGCGCAAGCCGTGGTGGGCCGCGGGGCTGTCCTCGGCGGCCGGCGTGCGCGGCGCCTGGAGCCGCGCCCTCGGACTATCAGGCGCACGATGCGCTCTCAGGGCCCTGCCGCCTGATTCCGCGCCGAACGCGACGGTGGTCCTGCCCGCCAACGCCCGGGTGCCGGACTTCTTCGCGTTTCGAAGGGGCGGGCCCGTGTTTGATGGGGCCAACGTGTCGTCGCTCATGCGGGAGCACGCTTCCGCGTTTCCGACGAGTATAAGTGGGTCGCGGGCCGCTTCGTCAGCGTTGCGCCACCGCTTGCAGGGGCGGGACCCCTGCGGCGTGCTCGTCGTTATACTAAGGGGGCGGCTCTACGTGTCGCTGCCGACATGTGAACGGCAACTTACAAGTATGGAGACCGGCGCTCTCCAAACTTTACATCGGGCCGTCGCGGGCTTCGACACCATCCCGCCGCCGCTGGTCGTCCAGTTCGCCGCACCCGATTCCAAGCCTTTGGCCATCGAAGCCATCGACCGATTCGCGTACCACGCGGCGCCCGCCGTGGCCTGCGACGCGTTCGCATGTGCCGCTCGACTCGCGCGGAACGCCCTGGACGCCCTCGCGGCGGCGGCCGGACCCTTGCAGGAGCGTGACGTCCTGACGGCGTGCGCCGACTGCGCGCTGCGCCCCGTGCGGTTTGATGATGCCCTACGACGGGTCGCGCAGCGGGCGCCGAACCAACAACGGAAAGGCCTCAAGGGCTACTTCGCGGCGCGCGCGCCCGTGCAGATCTCGCACCGCGAGGAGAACGTGTTGGACTTGAGAACGCCGGAGCCGCGCGCGCGGCGGCGGAAGCGGCGGCGGCCAATGCTGCCGCCGCCGGTCGGGTAAGTGTGTTTTTACGCGGCCCCCGGGGATGCTTCGACACGCCGTGCCAGATCACGGTGGCAGTGGAGTAAGGGCAATTTTTACTTACTAGCAAGTATCACCTTACAAGCTATCAAAATGGGCGGCGAGGTCGTCGGCCGTTTGGAGGACTTCGGGCGCCTCGCGGGCGCGGAGCACTTCTCGTGCCAGCCGCATGGAGCCTTTCAGCGCCAGCACGAGCGGGTGTGCGCCGCCGAACACGCGCCGCGCGGTCCGTTCCGATTCCTCGAGCGTCGTCTTGGCCTCGCGGAGATCGTCGAGCGTGGAGCTGTCGTCTTCGTAGAGCGCCGTCGCAAAAATCTTTCTCATCGTGAGCGTGATTCGATCACTCTCTCCGAGGATGCGTCGTGCCACGGGAATCGTTTTGCGCAGCAGTGACCTGGCTTCTTGGTAGCGTTGTAGCGTTTCAAGGGACGCCGCATAGTTGTTGGCTGCTATGAGCGTTTCTCTATGTTCTTCGCCGTATAGCTTCAAAGTTCCGGAGTATACGTCTCGAAGCATGGTTGCAGCCTCTTCACGCCGTCCAACAAATTCATACGTACTCGCAAGATTGCTCTGCGTGGCGAGAATGAGCTCTTCTGGCGCGCCAACGCGCCGCAGTATAGACAACTCGGCCTCTCGCACGGACAACGAGTCCTTGGGGACTCTAGCCTCAAATAATCCGTTCCCAAGCGCGTTCATCGCCATTCTCCGAGCGTAGTCCTCCTCCGGCCGCCCCAAGTATGTCTTCCAGCACGCCCACCCGAGCGCGCACCGCACGACACCGTGGTACTCCTGCTCGCACAAGCTGCACGCGTACCACTTACTGAACCTCTCATAAATCACATCGTCGTCCAAATTGTTCTCCTCGGCCTCCGCGAACAAAATCTTCGCCTGCTCCGCCAAGCACGACACGTGCGCAAAGCCCGCCGTCCCACGGCACGCGCACCCGCGCACGAGGCCCTCTTTCGTCTTCCAATGCAATGCTTGCGTGCAGATGAAGCACGTCTGGCCCTTCGTGTCCTCGGCGCACGCTGCCGCCGCGTGAAATACGGCCTCCGTGTACTTCTCATTTGCGTTGTACTGTTCGGCGCCGCCTGCCTTTTTTATTTTCTTGCAGAGCGTGTCGTGCCCGCCTTCTTTCCAATGCTGCACCTGGCATTCGGGCCCACAGTAGCGCGTGCTGCAGCGGCCGCATTTCTTGCCCAATGACAAGCCAAGCTCGGTGGCGCAGACGGCGCACTGCGTGAGGATCATCTTGTATGTGGTCAACTCGCTCGGGGGCAGCCCTATACGATGCAATCAAAGCGTTCAGGAGACCACAATGCTAGTATGTTTGATCACGCTAGGTCGCCTCAACTTTGGGCATCAGTGTCCGCTTAGCGCTCGTCACAACCCGCTGTGCGACGTCTTGCGACGCGAAGACATCAGCCATCAATCATAGACGAAGTGCTGCGAGCTTCGCACAATTCTGTGCGTCACAAAGGCACGTTCAATTACACCACCTCTCACAGCAGTGCCTCACCATCGCCATGCGTGCGACCCTGCTCTTCGCGCTCTTAGCTTGCACCCGCGCCTACCAGCTGCCGCGGTCGCGCCGGTCCCTCGTCGTGCCGCCGCGCCGCTACGACCTGCAGCCGCGGTCGGCGCCCGACGAAGCAACAGACGACGCTGTCGAAGCGCCCGAGGAGGCGCCCGCCGCGCCGGCCCCGGCCCGCCCGGCGCGCTACGACGTCACGAAGCTTGTGGACTCCTCGGAGGGCCCCGGCTTTAACCAATTTGATCCGGTGCTCACGGCGACGCGCGGTCTTAGTAGGAGGTTCGGCCTGGCCGGCGGACTGGCCATCTTCGGCATCTTGCTCGTCGTGGAGGGCGACGAGATCATCAAGGCTCTTGGCACTCAAGAACCCGTCGCCGGCGCCAATGAAATTGTGACGCTGCCTTCTGGTTTGAAATACACCGAGAGTCTCGTGGGCCGCGCGGGCGACGCCGTGAGCCTGCCCGGCTCGGTGATAGGCCTCGCGATCCGCGTGTCCATCGGCGACAAGGTGATTTTTGACTCGACTGCTGATGCCAAGCCGGTCGCCTTTAAATTAGGTCAGCGGCCCTTCCAGAACGTGCTCTGCGAAGGGGTAGAGCAGGGCATCAAGGGCATGAAGACGGGAGGCAAACGACGGCTCCTCGTGCCCAAGAATCTGGCGCCGCCCGGAGTCGACGTGCCCGACGGCGTTTCACTCGTGTACGACGTCGAGGTGAAGGAGGTCCTGCCGGGCTACTTCTGAGTAATATGTGTTTCGAACATTATTCACACGGCGGCCGCGCGCGTCCCGAGGAACACCACCTCGTCCGATCGCGCCCGCTTCGCCGGCGGAAGACCGTTGGAGCGGGGCGCCGGCGCCGGCTTCGGGAGTAAATACACGGCCTTGGAGCCGACCTTCCCACCACCCTCCATCTTGCCTAAAGCATCCACCAGAGCATCTTCCACGCGCGCCAGGTCGGCGCGCGCCGTCTCCAGTCTACGAGAGTGGCTCCGATACACGCGCGCCCAGTGCGCATCCACCGCGTCGAGCACGGCCTGGCCTCCTTCTTCATTCACGCGCGACTGCGCCAATATCAGTTCAGCTTTTTGACATTGATGCGCCTCCTCGAGCTTTTTAATACATTCAAGCTTTTTGCGCGCCGCCTCGTCGCGCCGCACGAGCAAAGCGTGGCTGTCCTTCGCCAAATCGGTGAGAGCATCATCTAATCTAATAAGGACGTGCGCGAGCTTGTTGGCATCAGTATCAGTACCTCTTGTCGGTTTTGTTACATCAAACTCGCCCCTTGCGACATCTAAACCGGCCTGCAGCACCCCATCAACTTGAGGTACTGATGTACCGGACTGCTTCCGGCGAGGCGCACTGCGAGGAGCAGCGGCAGCAAAGGACTCGCGCCACCGCCTCTCCACGTCCTGCGGGTGCCGGTTCGTCCCCAACCTTCGGGAGATGAGCTCCCATTTCCCAATGCCGTTTTCGTTCACCAATTGCTTCAGGAGGGCGTCCTCGCCGGCGGACCACCTCGACGGCTGTCCTGTCGAACCGCGCACGATGACTCGAGGTGCTGGTGGTCTGGAACCTTGCAAGCGAGCGTGGTGCTCGCGCCACCTTTGTTCCACCGCTGCGGCGGATCGTTTCGTACCGAGTCGCTCCGCAACTGTGGCCCATTGCGACGTCCCTAAAGCGCCTACAAGAGCCCGCAGATTCTGTTCTTCATCTTGGGTCCAGAAGAAGGGCCTCGAATTCTTTTCGAGGCTCGCGCGCAGGGGGTCGCCCGACGGTCTCGGGGGTGGTACATGTACCACATTCGCCGTCGGCGTCTGGCGCACGACGACGCGCGGCGGCGGCGGCGCGTAGGCCGGCGGCGGCGCGAGGACGTAGCCCGGCGGCGCCGCGTAGTAGCCCGGTGGGGCGTATCCATAAGGATAGCCGCGGGGCGGGCCCGACATGCTGGCTTTGGCTCCTGGATCGGCCGCGCGGCGTGTTGAGGCTGCTCCTTGCTCGCCCTGACTTCACGGGCGGCGTCTGACTCGCCCGCGCTGCACGGGGTCTCGCCTTGCTGCGAGAGGGGCACAAGGCTCTCCCTGTTTTGGGGTGTGGTGTGCTGCGGGAGCTCCGCGCTGGGATCTGCTGCGCTGCGAGTTTCCTTCGCGCGTATCTATTTATGCGCGCTGGCCGGCTGGGCTGACAGCGATCGCTTCAAGCCAACATTGAAGCGCCTAATCTCCTAGCGTCCTGTAAGACACTAGCAAATGAGAAAACCCAATCCCATCGAGAGAACCCCTCAACGCCGCCGCCGCGACGACATGGAAGCGAGTTGACTCCTCCTTACTCGCTTCAAAGGCACAGCGCCACAACCCCAGCAACGATCGCCGCGATCGGGAAGCCCCGGCCGGCCAGAGGTTCTTTAAAAAAGAACATGGAGGCAAAAGAAGCGAGCAGCACGCCGCCGCCCCGTTTGATCGCCGTGACGTAGACCGGCGAGATGCACGCAAAAGCTTGATACAACGCGAGCATGTAGACGGCCTCCGCGGCACACGTCGCCAGAACTAACGAAGCGACTTTGGGCTGCGTCAGCTCCCGGACGGCCTCTTTGCCCGGCCTCACGCCCAGGAAGCACGTCGAGGCCATGATGACGCGGCCGTAGGCGTAGTACAGCGTTTTTCCTGCCGCGAGAACTGCTAATTTATCTAGTCTGGAAGTGATCGAATAAATCGCGCAGTTGCCCAGGATCATCCAGGCGCCGATGGGCAGGCCGTAGGCCGTTCTACTGTCGACCTTCGAGTCTTGCTTTTTCGCTGTTTTTGCGGCTTTCGCGGCCACTGACGCTAATAAGTAAGCTCCAGTGCCCACACAAACAACAGCTAAAGGGTGGTAGGGCGGGAATTGTGCTGTTAATCCACATCCAATACCAAAGGCTCGGCAGGCCAGCGGCGCGAAGAGCGCCTGTGTTGATTGATACCGTCTCGCGAGACCGCCTCCGTCCACTCACGCGACGCGTCGGCTCTCGTGTGGTCGTGACGACGGCGTCGCGGCGGCGCTGTCTCGTGAAGACGCCATCGATGTGATCGCTGTCTCTCTGACACGCCGCGACGGGCCCGACGCGGTCCGAAACGGCTCAAAATCAGAAAAGAAACCACCCACTTCCATCATTCCTGGAGACGACGCGCGTCGACGGCGTGAAACGGGACGCCGCGTCGCGGACCGGCAGCAAAAACTGCATGACCGGATCAAAAGCTAAAAAGGGCGCACACAACGACACGTCCGTGATGGCGTAGGCCTTGGTCTCCAGCGTTTTTGTGAGGGCGTTGAGGACCGCGGAGCCGACCGCTGGTATTAAGAATGCTGAGGTGACTGCTGTCGAAAATAGCCCCTGCTGGGCGCAGTAGGCGCAGGCGACGACGCCCTGCAATGCCGTCGCGAGGCCCACTTGTTCCGCGGGCTTCACCTTTGAGCTTCGTGAGACTTGCTTCCTTAACAGTGAAGCGGCGGTGTTGCCGCACAGCGCGGCGAAGGAGTAGGCCAGGCCCTCGGCCATCTTCGGGTTCGCTGCTACTGTTACGGCTGTTTGTGTCATTTTGGACCGTATGAACACGGCGCCCGTCGACACTAGAGCTGCAGACGTGGCCAGCGTGGCCGGCTGCGGCATCCGCAGTTTTGTACCGCCTCCAGACGCGGTCATCTTCAGGCCGCTCCTTAATTTCATCGTCGCGACGGCGCCCGTGAGTTGCGCCAACGCCAGCACCGCGCACGTCCGGGATTTGCCAATCATCCAGCGGGCGGCCGGTACAGCTGTGTGCTCGCTTTGTAGCGCAGCTGGGGACGGGCTCTTCGTCTCAGTCTCTGGCCTGGCTACTTGTCGACGGACTGTGTACGTTTAATCTTGCTTGATATTGCCCAGCGGCGTATACCAAGCCCAGATTTTGGCGCGCCGGAGCTAGCTAGCGGCGGTAAGGCACTAGCAAGCTTTTTGGCCGCAGCCGACGCGTGGCTAGTTTGAAAGCTAGGCACATCTCGCTCCATCTTGGCACTCTCCAGGCCTGCTCTCCCTATCGTCGTGCTGCCGCGCACGCGTCGAAGGCGAAACCGAGGTCGGCACAAGCACTCCCAGCCTGCTGCCCAACAACCCAGCCGACGCGCACGCGTGCGCCGTCGACGAGCCGTATCGATGCGCGCCCTCGCCGCAGCACTACTGCTCGCAGCACTACAAACCGCGAGCAGCAACCCGAAGCACCCCGGCGACACGAAGACCGACTACTACAAACTTTTGAAATTGAAAAAGGGCTTCTCCGAGAAGGAGCTGAAGACCGCGTACCGCAACGCGGCCAAAAAGTACCACCCCGACAAGAATCCGGGGGATGAAAAAGCCGCCAAGAAATTTGCACTAGTTGCGGAGGCCCATGATGTGTTGTCTGATCCGACGAAGCGGCGCCAGTACGACCAGACCTTCGGCAAGCCTCAAAGAAGGCCGCAGCCCGGTGGCTTCGGCGGGGGCGGGTTTGGCGGGTCGGGCTCGGTGTGGAAATCATCCGGCAACACGTCGATGGCGTGGAGGTCGACGCGAGGATTCAGCACGAAGGTGCCGTGAAATTTTGATTTCCTCACAGGTCGGGCTTCAATTTCAACTTCCAGTCGTCCGGCTTCGGTCAGAGGCCGCGCGCGCCACCGCGGCGACGGCCGCCACCGCCGCGGCAGCCGCCGCCTTTACCTCCCCAAGTCGTCAAGGCTCAGAGATTAGTTGGAAGGATCTCGTCCTTGTCACGGTTACGAAAAGCTGCCCTTAATCCTGATACGGGAACAGCTTCCAAGCATGTGTTCCACGCCTTCTACACGAGTGGAAGTTGTGAGGATCGACTGGATCGGGAGCTCCGCTTCCCCTACCCGCTCGTCGATCTGGATGATTCTAAACACGGCGATAGAAGGTGGGACGCGCACGTGCGCTATTTCAAAACTGATATCAGTCCGAACAAGCCTTCTTCTGACGACGCGCTGAAGCTCGCGAAGAAGCTGGGCGCGGACGGTGCTGCTACTGACCAAAACCAATGTCCGACGTTCGTGTCCATCAAACGCGGGGCTTCGTTACGCGCGAGGGACGTTGTTACTCACTTCTTCCGGAGACGATCGTCCAACGCCTTCGAGACCTGGGCCACGTCCCAACTGAAGGTCGACGTCACGTTTCGTAATAGTGTGAAGGCGGACGTCGTGTTGTACTGGCAGGGCTCGGTGTGGAAATCAACCAGGCGTCGCGTCGACGTGAGAACTTTGATTCCGACACAGGCACGACCCGCACGACGACGGCTACGGCAAGGTCATCGCGAAGTTGAGGCCCGGTGCTGAATTTCGGTCGGGAACGTTCCCGACGCATCGGTTTTCTTTTTGTCTCGCGACGGCTCATGAAAGGATAGACGACAGGGATAGAGCGTCCGGCGACCGCGTGGCCCTACCGGAAGGTATTATCGTCAAGAGCCACGTCGTGACTTCTGAGAGGGATGTTACGGTGACGGCAAATGCTCCTTCTTCAGTGTTGGACGGCCACGTGTCCTGTAGACGGTCACCTTGTCGCACGTCCGCGGACAAGGCGCGGTGCCCGCGGCAATGTCCCAACCGTGGGCGGTGGGGGCGATCATCATCGAAGCCGTCGGAGGAGGACCTGTTCTCGCGGGGGCGGGAGCTTTAGTATACTGTTCTAAATTTGCTGCTAGTGTGTTACAGGCCGCTAGACCACGATAGCCCTCTGTGGACAGCTTTATCTCGGCCCCGACGGCGTGGCTGCGTCTCAAATCCGAGCTACACACTCTTCATAGAGTGCACCAGCCCATCAAGGCTTCAAATCGCACGGCTATTGGCTGCGTAGGCTTAAATAGCTCGCAGAGCATTCCTTTGTCCACAGCCCATTTTGGCCCCCAGCGCGGGCATCAGTGGACAAGACGTTTGGCAAAGACTGCCGCAGCACCGTACTGCCGCGTAAGATCGCGCGCGGCGAGCTATGGCGTCCCTGTCGTCCGCCATCGACGTCGACGCCGTCGAGGAGCCGGCCCAGGTCTCGCCCGACGACTCGCCGCGCATCGTGGCCGGCACGGGCAAGGCCGACGCGCCTCTAGAACTCGCCTCGTCGGACTCGGAGGACGACGACACCCGCGCGAAACGCCGACGCACCGACGACGTCGAGGCGGCGCGCGGCGGCGGCACCTGTGCTATATGTTTGTGCGACGTCGACGCGGCGGACGGCGTCAAGCTGAGGGCGTGCGGTCACGAGGTGCACCGGGAATGCGCCAAGAGGTTAGTCGATGCCTCCGACCGCGACGGTTGTTTGTGTCCCGAGAGCGGGTGCCGCACACCACTAGCGTTAGTCGACATCCGCGCGATAGCGGGCCCGCGCGCGGCGGACCGAGCGGCGCGCCTCTCACTCGACAAAGCGGTCGACGCGGTGCCGGATCTCTACCGGTGCCCGGCGCCCGACTGCGGCTTCGTCGTGTCGTGGACGCCGGCCGACGGCCCACCTAGATTAAATTGCGGACGCTGCGGGTTGGTGAGTTGTCTCGCCTGCGGCAAGCCGTGGCACTCGGGGCCCTGCGATACGCGCGGAGACATGGACGAGGCGTCGCGACAGTATCTGAGGGACGCGGGCGTGCGGCGGTGCGAGCGGTGCGGCGCGGGCGTCGTCAAAGCGAGCGGTTGCGATAAAATGAAATGTCGCTGCGGCTACCAGTTCTGTTATCAATGCGGAGCTAAAGACGCGAAGTGCGGATGCACACCGTCACATCACGTATTCTATGACAACGTGAAAGAGCGGCCGGACGGCCCGGACTTCGCCGCGTTCATGAGGCGTTTCGGCGGACGCTTCGGTGGGGGCGGCGGCGGCGGCTTCAAACGTCGCCGCGGACCCTTCGGGTGAGCGCGTGTATGTGTATAAGTTCATGATTGTATCTTTACACAGGACATGGGCTCAGGAGGCGCGTTCCCCGCCGCACATCTCGCAGCAGAGGAAGCACGGCCGGTTCTCGGCGTACGTGCAGCGCGCACACGTCCACGGCGCGCCGTCGGCGTCGACGGCGATGGGCGACGGCCCCTCGTCCGAGTCGATCTCGATCGGCGCCTGCGGCGCCGGCGCCGGCGCAGCAATCATCTCGACGTCCGAGTCGCCGCGCAGGTCGATGACGGCCGGCGCGGCCGCGCGCGGCGGCGTGATCATGACGACGTCGTCGCGCGCCTTGGCCTTGGGCTCGCGCTTGGCCGGCTTCCAGTCGACTGGGACGGCGCGCCGGGCGAGGGGGGGCGCCCAGGGGTCGCCGACGGCGGCGCCGTAGTCGAAGGGCACCGGCCCGCCGCCGTGGCCGGCGCCGGCGTTGTCGTAGGTCGTGGCGAGCAGCCGCGTGATGCCCATCTTCTCGGCGCGCGCGTCGAAGATCTCCTTGAACGTGTCCTTGACGACGCCGCAGAGCATCTTCCACGAGACCTTCTTCGCCGCGAGGCCCGGCAGGTCGCCCTCGTTCGCCGTCGCGACCTTGGCGTTCTGCGACTTGTACTCGTCGATGATGCGCATGACCTTGTCGACCGAGTCCTCGCAATCCAGAAACGTCACCTCGACGGGCTTCTTCTGGCCGTAGCGGTGCGTGCGGTCCATGGCCTGGTCGTGGGTCGTCGGATTAAACCACCGGTCCAGGAACAGGACGTGGTTCGCTTCCGTTATATTGAGACCGACGCCCGACGTCTGGACGGTCGTGAGGAGCACCGCGCCGCGCGGCGCCGCCTTGAACCGGCGCAGCGCGCGGTTCCGGCATTCTTGCGAGATGTCTCCGTCGTAGCGGAAGCAGCCGATGGCCTCGAACTCGGGCTCGTGGATCAGCGCGGCCTCGATCAGGTCCAGGGAGGCCTTGTTGCCGCCGAAGATAATCATCTTGTCGCCCTTCTTGCCGCAGGCCTCCTCGACCGCGGCGAAGGCGCGCAGCATCTTCGTCGTCGGCGCGAAGCCTCCGAACGCGACGTCCTTGCAGTAGAGCCGCGGCGCCGCGACGCCGGCCGGCTCCGCGCCCATCTTCAGGCGCTTCTTCAGGTCGTCGCCTGTGTGGAATCAATCAGTGAGCTAGGTTATCCTGAGATGTGGGGCGCCCAAATTTTGATTTCCACACAGGTCGTCGCAGAATGGGCACGCGTCGGCGATGCCGAGCTTGCCCGCGCGCTCGAGCGCCTGGTAGCAGCGCCGGTGCGCGCGGTGCTCGAGGCAGCAGAACGGCTTCGGCAGCGTCACGAGGCCGTCTCTTTCGTCGTCGTCGTCGTAGGCCGTCGGCTTCTCGTGCTCGTCGGCCGTCGTCTTGCCGTCGACGGCGGCGATGTCGTCGGCGCCCGCGAGGTCGTCGACCGCGAGCCGCGCGACGAGCTCCTCCTGCGAGAGCTCCTCCTGCGGGCCGCCGACGGGATCTCCCACAAAGTCGCCACGGTTGATGACCGTCGAGAGCATGTCGGCCGCGACCTTGGCCGTCTGGCAGATGTCGCCGCACAGCGCGCACGCCTTCATCGTGTGTTTCCGGCCCACGAAAGCGGCCGTGATGGAGCGGCCCTCGCGCGGACACACGGGGTGGACGAGCGCGGTCTTCGCGCACGTGATGTTGCCGCAGGCGAGCACCATCAGGCGCTGCCAAGTCGCCTTGAGCGCCGGCGTGCGCGGGCCCATGGTCATCGCGATGCACACGGCCGCGAACTCGCAGTAGTAGCGGAAGGCCTTGTGCTCGTAGATGAGGTACGCCGTCGACTCGAGCGGCTGGACCTTGACGTTCGCCGCGATCGCGGCCGCGGCGTCGGCGATCTTGACGTCGCCGATCGACTTCATGAGCTCGAAGGCTTCGGACTTCACGGTCTTGGGCGGGAGGCCCCGGAGCGTGACCGCCTTGGACCGGCACGTGATGTGGTCCACGCGCCACTCGCGCGTGTTGGCGACGATCTGCGCGTTCGGGTAGGGACAACCGTTCTTCTTGTCCCAGGTAGCGTCGTGCCACGTCTCGAGGCGGCCCCACGCGTGCGTGTTGCCCTGGCCGTAGCGGATCAGCGCCGCGATGTCGCCGTAGCTGTTGTTGAAGGGCGTGCCCGTGACCGCGAGGAAGCGCCGCGAGGCGTGGCCGACGAGCGCCGCGCCGATGCCCCAGAGTGCCCCGTCGTTCTTGAGGAGGTGCGCCTCGTCGACGATGGCGAGGTCGAAGGTGTACCCGCGGTCCTCGGCGGGCCGCGTCCGCTGCACGATGTCGCTGATCATCGTCGACTCATCGTCGGTGCCTCCCTTCTCGAGCTGCACCGAGTCGATGAGGCCGGGCGGCAGCGCGCCGAAGTCGCCGGCGTCGAGCTTCTCCTTGAACTTGCGCGGGTCCTGCTTCGCCATCTTCAGGACCCCGAGGCGCAGGAGGTCGTCGGTCGCCACGTCGGGAAATAAGGCACAGGCCTTCGGAGCCGAGAAGTCCACGGCGTGCTTGACCGCGGTCTGGAGCCCGTAGCGGTCCATGACGACGTAGAGCGTCCGGTCGCCGCGCTTGGCGCGCTCGGCCGGCTGCTTCGCGTAGAGGGCGAGCCGCGCCTCCAGCTTCTCGCGGGCGGCGCCCGCGTAGACGAACACGTCTCCGCCGGCGCGGCCGATGTGCGCGACCCACTGGTCCAGCACCTGTGTGGAAATCAACCAGTGCGACGGGTGCACGAGGACGACGCGAACGCGCCGTAAAATTTTGATTTCCACACAGTCCAGCACGCCAGCGTTCGGCGCGACGACGGCGACCGCGCGCGGCGCCGCCCCGAAGCCGATGGCCCAGGGCACGGCGCGCCGCAGCTCGGCGGCGGCGAGCGCCTCGACCGTCTTACCGAGGCCCATCTCGTCGGCTAGGATGAAGTGCCGCTTCTCCGGATGAATCTTCTCCGTGAGCGGCGCCTGGGCGACCGTCGCGTCGACGCGGCCGTCGACGAGCGCCGTCGGCCACCGGTCCGGCAGGCCCGCCGCACGCCTCGCGGCGAGGAACTGGTGCGGCAGCAGATCGAAGCCGAAGCCCCGCTCCTTCAACAGGCGCTGGACGAAGCGGTCGGATTCGGCGGGCGTGAGGCGCTGCCAGTCGCCGCACGGGAACTCGAACGTGTCCTCGTCGGCGAGCGGGTCGCTCTTGGGCTTCTTCCGCGGCCGCGGCGACTGCGTCACCGGCACGGCCGCCTCGCCGCCGTCCTCGCCGCCGTCGGAGTCCGAATCACTGTCGTCCAGGATACACTTTCTTTTGGGTTTCGGCGCCGCGGGCGGCGCGGACAGCGCCGGCGGCGTGGTTTTCAGTAACGCGTTTTCCCGCTCCAGCTCTTTCACGCGCTGCTCCAGCGCCCGCTCGCGCTCAGTCGCAGCCGTGTCCATGTTTCAATGCGTCCGCGTGCTGCGTTTACAGCCCTCCTGCAACCTTGCTGCTTGTAACTGCTTCAAAATCGCGCGTATGTAAACGCCCTTCGGCCAGCGACTCAACGACGCTGTGCTACCAGCGTAGCGTAACGCGCGTTGCTCAACTCAACTCCTGTGAGCAGCGGAACCGCGTGCAAGAGGAGGGACGATCTGCGTGTTAGCTAGCAGCCGTAAGACACTAGCAGTGATCGAGATGCGCGAACGGGCTTCAGCGCGCCTCAGCACCGCCTAAGACCGGCCGCGGACGACTAGCAAACAAAAACACTTACTCAGAACGCCACGTCCTTCCCGTCCTCCGGATGCTCGCCCGGTTTATACGCGTGGCCGGAAGCCACGCGCCGCGCGTAGTCGTGGAGGGCCTCGTCGCGCTCCATCGCCTCCTCCTCCACCGGGTTCCGCGGCCTCCTTTTCGGTGTGGGTTCCCGCGTCTCGCCGAGCTTCGACGTCTTCGAGGAGGCGAAGAAGCCCGTGGCCAGCTTCGACCTTTTTGCCGGTTCCACCGGCGCGGGCACGGGTGGTGCCGCCTGGGTCCATTCCACCTCACCGACACCTCTTTCGTTAACGGCCTTCGCGCGCCGCCGCACGGCCAGCCGCCACTCCTTCGTCGGGCACGTCTTTGCCGTGAGGACGTGCTCCGCACTTAACACAGCGAGCGCCCAGTCCTCGCGCTTCAACGCGCAGGCGCAGACGTTGCCGTGCAATGCCCGTAACAGCTTGTGCTTCGGACTCAGACCGTCGGCTCTTTCCCCTAGAAACGCGGCCGCCTCGGAGCCGCACGGCAGGCTCCGGTCGCAGGGCGGCATGGAGTCGAAGGCCGGTAATGGTCGCAAGAGCCACAACGCCTCCAAATAAGCTCGCATGGCTTTGTCGGTCTCGCCCTGTTGAAATGCGGCGTTGCCTTTGGCCTTGCGCTTCTCGGCCTCTTCTAACCGTGTCGAGGCGCCTTTCAGCCGCAGGCTCTGCAATTCTTCCAGCACGCCGAGCTCGGCAATTAACGGGTCGTCGGAGCCTTTCGCGGCGCGCGCGGCGCGCTGGGCCAGGGCCTCGAAGGACAGGGGGTCCTCGCGGCCGGCTAAGGCTGCCATCTGCTGTCGAGCAGGCGCCGCGTCGATGGCGTAGAGGGCTCGGGCAGCCCTCGCGCGCTGGCGGCGTGGTGCCGACGGCGAGTCCCGCAGCGATGCGACCGTGGCTGTCGCGACAAAGGCGGCGCCTCTCGATTGGCAGCACAGACGGGCAGCCCGAACTTTGAAAGTGAACGACGAACGAGCCGCATCCCAGGCGCGTCCCACGTATCCGGGAGGACGCGGAAACGTCCCGGAGTCTCGCAGCCGGCGCCTATTCTGTACGGGTTCGACCGAGGCTCGGCCGTTCGATGCTGCCCATTCCTAGCTGCCCCACGGCGTCCGCGCAACCGCACGGCCGCACGCGTCGTCCACAAGGCGCAAGCGATCGGATCATCGCCCTGCGGCTCCAAAACGCCGCACAGACAGCCTCTGAGCGCAGCTGGACAGCCAGCTGGGCAGCCCCTGCTGCCCCAAGGAGTGGCGCTAGACGAGAGAACAACGCTGTTCGGATAGCTGAGAGGCCATGCCGCGGCCCATAAGGCTGCCGAAGCCGAAAGCCATGAGCAAGAAGGCAGACCCCCTCGACGCCGCGGCCAAGCGCCTGCAGGATGGCGCCGACGCGACATCACTCCTAAAACAGCTCGACGCCGACCCCTACGCCTGCTTAGGGCTCTCCCCTACAAAGGCGGACGACGCCGCCGTCAAGAAGGCTTACAAAAAGAGGGCCCTCCGGTTCCATCCCGACAAAAACAAATGGGATTCCACGGAGCTCTTCCAGGCGCTCGGCTGGGCCTTCGAGCGCCTCGAAACATCAGAAAGGAGGCGGGCCTTCGCGGCCGAGCGGGCCCCGTCCGCGTCGAACGCAGCGCCGACGGAGGACGACGAGCGCACGGCGCGAGAGCGAAGGGCCAAAGCAGCCAAGCGCGCCTGGCAGAAGGCCGTCGGCGAGACGCTCGCGATGAATACCAAGAGCGACCGCCGGAGCGCCGAGACTTTAGAAATAAAGGGCAAGGCGCGGCAAAAACGTCTCCAGTCCGTCGACGAAGAGCGACGACGGACGCTTGATAGGGCCTCCCAACGGCGCACGTCGGACTTCGCCGCGCACCGGCGCGTCCTTCGAGAACGGCGCGCGCGGCGCGGGGAGGTCGTTGTCGAAGAGCGGACGTCGTTCTTCGAGAAGCCTGTAAAAAGAGAGGAACGCGACCCGACGCGCATCGCCTGCACGTTTGAAGAGGGGCCCATGGGCCTCGAGCTCGCGGCGAAGACGGCTTCCGACGGCGACGAGGCCTGCGTCGTGGCGTCCGTGGCCGGTGCTGCCGCGGACCTGGGTGTCCGCAAGGGCGACACGCTTGTAAGCGTGAACGGCGACGACCTGCGCGGCCACGGCTTCGACCGCTGCGTGGCCTTTGTGAAGAAGGCGCGGGAGCGGACGGGGCCGTGCGTGCTCGCTTTTTACCGGCCGCGGCGGCGCGCGTCGTCGTCGGGCGTAAGTCTGTAGTGTGTAACGTCGACGGCGTCCGGGCTCCTCGACGCCATCGACGAACGCCCATCGACGCGCGCCGTCGACGTGCCATGTGCGGCAACCCCACGCGCCGCCGGCGCCGCAGCCGTCCCCGCAGACCTGGCACGCCTCGCCGGCCGTGCGCGCCTTCAACTTTTTTTTTGGCGCGCGCCCTTCAAATCTCTCAGGCAGGCCCACCAGCTCTGCTTCGCTTCGCCGAGTATCATTGCCCTCTCTCTCGGTCCGCGGCGATCGAGGCAGCACAAATTCGGTGGGGCAGTTGTCCCTACTACGCTACGCACCCGCCGGCACCCCCGCGCGGCGGCAGCGCGCTCGCCGGGCAGCAAAATCTTCCCGGCCGCGAAGAAGCCAAACCCACCCGGCACGCGCGCAGCGACCCCCGCTCGGCGAACCACGCGCGACATGGCCACTCACGTGTTGAGAAGGCCCACGGCCGTGTATCGGGTCGCGGACCTCCAGGAGCTGCCGATCCTGGCGTCGGGCCACGCGAACGCGGACCTGGCCCAGCTGAGGGGCGACGCGCGCCTAAGAGCTACGGCGGACGAGATTCATCGCGCCCTGGACGTGCGCCGCGAGGACGACATCCGAAGAGGCTCTCCTACGTCAGTAGGTGATTCCCTGGACTCGGACTCGTCGGGTAGTGGGAGGAGGAAGCGCGCCACCGATTCACCACTCCGAAAGAAATCGCGGCGGCGGACGGCCTCCTTCGCTCGATCATTATTACCTACTGAAAGAGCTTCCTTCGACGCGTGTTTGAGGGACGTGTTGGCGCACCGCGGGCTGGCCGAGGACCATTTGCCTCTCCTGAACAGAACCGCCAAGTGTGCCGTGGCACGGAACGCGTCGTCCGCGGGTGCTCGCAGAGAACTCCACGCGTTAGTGTGCAACGGCGAGAAGCTGTCCGTGGTCCGTTCTTTATCCGCCTGCGCCGCGGCCGGCCTGGCCCCGAGGTTCTGGAATTGTAGTACGGAACCGGAGGGCCTCGTCGAGGCGGTCCAGACCCACGCCCCGTTCGTGATGCGAGGGCGCGCGCGGCGCGACGACGCCTTCGGGTCTGCTATGAGAGCCTTAGGTGACGACGCGACGCTGCGGAAAGTGGCTCCCGCATCAATCGTCGACGTGCGGGAGCACAGTGTTCAGTTGAGAGACGGCGGGCGGCTCTACGCCCCTTCCTCAAGGTCGATGCGCGTCGAGGAGGCTTTATCTAATCGGGACCGCCACATTGTAACGGCGTCCTGTGACGCTTTAGGCGAAGCCGCCTCTGCCTTAAGTAGGACGGCGCCGGACTTCCACCTCGGAAGTCCCACGAGTACGGTGTTACAATTGTACCCCGCGGACGGCGCGGCGCCGCCGTCTCGACATTTGCGGGAGGTCATCGTTGTGTGCTGTGCCGGGTCGTTCGCGCTGCGCTGCGCGCCGCCGTCGTCGGCGCGGGAGCTGCCTTTATCGGCGGGCGATTTGTTAAGAGTCGACGTCGAGCGCGACGCCGACGCGCTCGCTCCTTTGGACGGTGCGCAACACGGCGTCGATTTTCATGTGGACGCGGGGGACGTTGTGTATCTCCCGGCGGGCTACTACCGCGGCCTCCGCGCGAAGGACGCGAGCACGTTGCTGATTTATGGGTTTGCGCCGTCCCCAAGGAAAGGGCGCGACAACGACCAGGACGAGCTCAGCAGTCCGGCGCCGCACCCCGAGGATTTGTTGGACGAGTCGTCGTCGTCGGAGTTAGGCGTCTAACTTAGGCTTCGCGGTAATTCGTCGTCGGCTTCGCCCGCTTGGGGAGGAATCCGAACGGGACGAGCTCGTCCGCGGCGCGCGTGATCTCGTGGCCGCGCCAGGCGTCGTCCGTGCGGTAGCGGAGCGTGTAGAGGCCGTCCGCGACGGCCACAACCTCCAGGGCGCTGTGCGGCTCCGCGGCCTCGGCGACGACGCGGCCGACGGCGAACTTGGACTGTGCTGCCCGCGGCTTCTTCGTCGCGCGGCCCCTGCGGTCGGGATCCTCCGGGCCACGCGTCGGCGCCGGCCGGCGCCGGGGATCTCCATTTGGGCGCGTCGCGCGCGCGGTCCGCGACTCGCCGGCCGCGGGCTTCGGCCCCGGCTTCCAGCCGACGCCCGTGACCCAGTGTCGGTCCGCGGTGTTCTCCCAACATTCGCGCGACTCACGCGTTGCGCGAGGTCGGCGCGGGGGCCGCGGCGGCGTCAGAGCCGGCGGATACCGCTCGACAATGTGGACGCGAGCCAATTCGGTTTTGTACGCCGGTTCACCGAGCGGCCGGGTGTGGCCCTCGCGGGGTCGTTTCTTCACGCGGACCATCTCAGCAGCAGGGGAAGTAGCTTTCTACGGTCTTGGCGGGGTCGAAGCCAAAGCACATGGCGAGGCTCAGCGTCACGCTCGTCGCGGCCGCGGCGCAGAGCACCTGTGTGGAAATCAAAATTTTACGGCGCGTTCGTGCTGAATCATCGCGTCGTCCTCCACGCCATCGACGCAGCGCCAGCTCGATGGCGTGGCGATGCCGGTTCCTCGCCGCTCGAGCGAGCCAGGACGGCCGCGTCATCGCCGAGAAATGACTTCGTGAAGAATTGTCGGGTGCACTGTGCACCCGACGCACTGGTTGATTTCCACACAGCAGAGCACGAAGGGGACGGCGGCGATCGCGGCAATCGCCATGGACCTGCGACGCGGCGTGTTCTTGTTGGGCGACGCGGCGGCATGATTGATGTCGATGGACCCAGTAACTCAATTGAGAGTCAAAACTGAGACTCAAATTGCAATTTGAGAGGGCCCCCGCGACGCGAAATTGGCGCGGAGGGAGGAGGAGTTTGATTGTGTGTTCGCGCGTCGTTACTGGGCACGGCGGAGCGCAGTACAAACGCGAAGTGACCAAAAGTGACCCACAGAACCCGAACCCACAGAACCCGAATCAAGCGCAAAAAGGCTCTCCGGCACATTTTTTGTGTTTTTTGGCCTCACAGAGCCTGCACGGCATTGTGCTGGCCACACAACTCGCGAAGCAGTCCATCTGACCTCATTTTCGAGTCCTGTGGCCAGAAAGCGCACCGCCAGCGCCAATAAGCACGCGTACAAGCCCTTGCACGCTGCGGCACGCCGTCGACGCAGCGCAAGCGCGCAAGCGATGGCAGCGTTAGACCTGAACGACCGCCCCTTCACGTGCCCCACGTGCAAGACGCCGGGCTTCCCGAGCCTGGAAGCGCTCGGCGACCACGCGGCCGAGTGTATTCCAAAAGAGCCCGTCGATCCGCGCTGGAAACAGGGCGCGCGCGTCAAGGTCGTCGGCCTCAAGGCCGCGAAGCAGCACAACGGCAAGCTCGGCACGCTGGGCGAACCGAGCGACGGGCGCTGGGCCGTCGCGCTCGACGGCAGCGGCCGCAAACTCGCCGTGAAACGGGGCAATTTACAATTAGTGGACGAAGTACAACGGGAACCGAAGACTTTAGAAAGGCACCACCAGCTCTTGGCGGAGTTCGACGGGAGTCGGGACCCCGACACCCTGGCTCTCTACTACCATGCACGCGACAAGGCCTTCGACGCGTACAACGCGTCGGAGTACACGTCCCAGTTGTTGCGATATTATCAGCACAATTTGCGCGTCGTCTGCGTCTCGCCGCGCCGCATCCGGGGCAACGACTACGCGCTGGTGCAGTTGCGACACGACGACGACGAGCGAAATTCCCTATGCGAGCTGGCCTTCCAGTGCCAGCGGTCCTTCTGCGGCGTGTCCATTTTGGTGAAGCAGCGGTGCTTCACGTGCGGCCGGCCGGGGGCGCCGGCTTGTGTCTGCGCTTGTGCTTTCTTCTGCTCGGAGCGGTGTTCGGCCGAGGCGTCGTCGTCGCATACGGACCTGTGCCAGCGCATCCGGGCGTTTCCGTGTAGTGTCGAGGAGGAGGTCCTAACGATATTCTAACGTTGAGCCTAGACTGCTCGAGCACCCTGGTCCAGTCGCCCGGGGAATCATGACACGACTCGTTGAGCCTTCTTCCGTCCGCGGCGGTGGAAAGATCTGGGGGCGCGCAGCGCCGCCAGGTGCTGCCCCAGAACAGCAGAGGCGCCAGCGCCCTTGTTAAACGCCGAGCGGAGCGGCTCTGTTGGCCGCCCGGTAGGGCGGCGTTGGTCGCTGTTACGGCAGCCGTGCCGCTTGCGCAGACGGTGCCGCAGCGAGATGCGGGTGGTCCCGGTGGAGGAGCAGCCCGCGGCGTCGGGAGTGGTCGTGGGCGTGGTCACGGAGCAGCCCGCGCCGGCGTCGGGCGTGGTCGTGGGCGTGGTCACGGCGCAGCCCGGGGCCTCCTCCGGCGGCGCGGCCCGCGGCGTCGTCGACCAGACCCTGGCCATGCTCGACGGGCTGGCCGACGAAGGCGGCCGCGGCTCGCTCGAGTCCCTCGGGCGCTGGAACGAGAAACGCGACGACCGCGCAATGCCCATCAAGCTTGAAGCCGAGGATCCCTCGCGTGACAAGTGCAAAGCTGAGAGAAACAGAGAAACCATGGTCCGCGTCGCCCTCGGCCGGCTCGTCGACGAGCTCGTGCGGACTAATGCGTCGAGCGGCATTCTCGCGATCAGCTACTTCTCGGAGATACGAGGCACTGATAATAACCGCCGGAGAGTAACAGTTTGGGGCTTTTCCTGGTCCGCCAGCCCGGACGACACGAGCTATCAGCGGCACGGCTCTGTCGCCGGGACGGCGTCTACAAAATATGGTCGATATGGTGTATATGGGCGAAGGGGGGGTGGCGACCAAACAATGCATGAAAACATCCGCTTCGCCGACTTCGAGGGCGTCGTCGACGATATTGTCCAGGACAGAGCTTGGGACCAAATAGCGGTCTACCGCGTCACGCTGCCGAGCCGAGGCCTCGACCCATGGAAGTGGGCCGGTCGCCCGCCGCCGCCCGCGCCGGAGGAACTCTACACCGGCCCGCGGCGCGACGGGCTGCTGAGCACGGACGAGATTAGCGGAGATTATTTCGCCCCGTGTCTTGCTCCGTTTTGTTTTTGCAACTCGATGACCGTGGTGCCGCTCGGAGCCGACACAATCGAGACGTGGCGTACGGGCTGTGTATTTTTTCCTCCTTGTATCGGACCGGTAGCGGAAGGCGCGGTCCGGACGCGCAACCCGGGCACCAATGCATTTCTCAACTCGCAGAACCCGCCGTTCAACCCGGATCCGAACAGTAATTTAATGACGTTCTCGGCTGACGGAACTGCCAACGGTTGCTACAAAAAACGCCGGACCTCGCAGAAACGGGCGTTCCACAAGGTCGAGACGAGGGACCTCGCGGGCAAGTGGTGCGGCATCGGTTTCAATCCGTTCGTGGCGCTTTGGCCGTTTACGTCCTTTCTCTGCACAAAGAAGAAGGCGCTCAACCAGGACCAGTACGAGGAGTCGGGGCTCATTTGGATTCTGGGTTTGCCGGGATGCATGTGCGGAACGCGCACGCGGATATACGTCAACGGCCACCCGACGAATGGGTTCGCCGGCGCTTTTCTCAACGACAGTGATCCTGATCTTGTCGACCACTGGCATCGCGACCCCGGCTGCGCCGCCTCGGATTGTTTCTTCGCGAAGAAGGCCGGCTAGCCCCCCACACCCCGACGTAAGTTTAGGTCTCCTTAGGCCTTGACCCCCCGGATCATGCCGTAGGCCATGAGTTTGCGGTCGAAGGCCCGGTGCATCCTTTCGAGACAAATGCCATCTCTGAGACACTTCCACCACATGCGCGGCCCGGCCCGGACCACGGGCCACGGGTCGAAGACGCCGACCCAGATCGAGTGGCGCCAGGAAGCTATGGTATTTTTCCACCAGTCGTCCGTCTCCACGGCTTTCATGCCGTTCCCATTTAGTAAGTCGGCGTAGTCCTTGATGCTGATGAAGTACGGGTGCGTCCACTCGGAATAAAGAAAATCTAAAGATTTCTCCTCTTCTTCCGTGAAGGACTGGGTCGAATTGTCGCGCTGGCACCAGGTGGCAATCACCATCTTGCCGCCCGGTTTTAGGACGCGCGCCATTTCTTGCACATACTTTTTTTTGTCCGGCATGTGCTCGCCGCTCTCGCAGCCCCAGACCACATCGAAGGAACTGTCCGGAAAGTCCATGGCCAGCGCGTCCATGACCTGGAACTGGGCGTTCGGGACATTTCTTTCGGCAGCGAGGTCCGTGGCTCTTTTGGCCTGCTCCGGGGATAACGTGATGCCCGTAATGTTAGAATTGGGTAACAGGTTGGCCATGTAGCGCGTCGTCCCGCCAATACCACATCCTACATCTAGGATTTTGGCGTTCTGCATGCCAGTAATACCGCCCCAATCCAACATACGCTGTGTGAAGTTATATTTGGCCTCAATAAAATTCTTCTTCAGGAAGCCTAGAGACTTCGAGCCGAACCATTTTCGGTCGAGCTCGTCGTCCGTATAGTACCCTAGGTGGATGTGCTCGCCCCAGTAGTGCTCGAGAATGCCTTCTCTTGTCCAGGCGTCGTACTCTCGTCCCACTGAACCGTCTTCGTACGGTCGGCTCGGTCGGTCCAGGCGCTGCTTGATCAAAACACCGGCGACGGCGGCGACGACCGTCGGGATTCCTACTCTCACAACTTGCGCGGCGGCGGGCGCGAGGACCATCTGCGGCGTCGTGCGTTTTTGTTTTACAACGCGTAACGACGGCCGCGCCACGAAGGCCGCGGCGCCGCTCAGGAGCAGTGTCAGGCGTCTGAGCATTGTTGCTGTCTAGGCGGAGCGTTGCGAGCTCGGCTTTGGCGTGTGTGGTCAGTGGTGTATCAGTGTACGCCGTTGCGGGGCGCTGGAATCGATGCACCGCTGTTGAGGTACGGTGTATAGATGCGCTTCCGGCACAGAGCAGGACCTGTAATGCAGCGTGGCTGGCTGCAGGCCGATGCAATATGCTCCAGCTCGACAAAAGCTGTGAGATCGAGTCATCGCGCAATGTACCCGAAGCCCGAAATACTCCCCAGGACTCTTCGGGAGACGTCTCCAAACGGGCCCGTGCGCCAAAGAGCCGCGCTGGAAGACGCAGAGAAACCCGGCACGCCATTCTGCCAAACTGCTCCAACAACGACGCGTGCACGCCTGGGACGCGCATAGTACGCCGTCGGGCAGCCGCAGCCATGCGGTCATAACTCGCCCGCACCCCTAGCTCGACGACGGCACCGCTGCAGACACCACAGAAGCCACAGCATGCGCACCCTCCTCCTCCTCCTCACCGTAGGAAGCGCCTACCGCACGGGCAGGACCAAGATCCAACGACGAGAGCCCTGGGTCGTCGTTGAAAGGTTCTGCTTTGAAGGGCGAAGCACACTAGACTACTCCGTAAAAACGACGGGCGGCACGCGGATGTACATCTACGGCAGTAAAGACCAGAAGAGTTTCCGAGAGAAGGTCGACAAGAAGGCCTACCAGGCCATGAGCCTGCAGAAGCGCTTCGAGCGAGCTGATTCCGAGGTCGTGCTCGCGCCTGGTACCACTTCTTCCGGTAGTTTGAAGTTCGCGGTCGAGTCGGGCCAGACCTTCGTGCATATTGTAATAGCGAACTTCAACGCGTCGTGCAACGCCATTTGTGTGGACCAGTTTTCCTGCAATGCGGAGTTTTCGAAGCGGTGCTACGGTCCTGTTGAAGTGGAATACGACATGACCTTCCGAGATGGAGCGTCCGAGCACGGCCGCGACGAGCGGGGCGCGAACGTGTTGTACGGCGTGTTCGCGGCATTGTATGCGCTCTTTGTTGGGTTGTCATGTGCGGTCGAAGGTTTATTAGTACGAGAGGACAAAAGGCACGCGACGTGTCGAATTTTGATGAGGAGCGTGTGGGTCGCGGCGCTGTCTATATGGTTTAGGATGCTCCACCACGCCATCTACGCGAACGACGGCAAGGGCGCGCCGAAGCTCGTAAACGCGGCGATGGCGTTTTCACTGGTCGCGGACTGCGGCGTGTTATTAGCGCTGGCTTTATGTGCCGAGGGCTGGCGGATTGTTCGCCGAAAAATAGCCGTCCGGGGCCGCATCCGCGTCGCGTTACTGATCACGACTTATAGTATAGCGGCGGCATGCATCTGGGGCTGGTACGGGACGCGGCGCCGAAAATGAACTCGAGCTTGACGGGGTCGCCTCGACGGCGTCGCGCCGCGCAGGTACGTCTCTACCTACAAGCACTCGACGTCGCCGTCACTACGAGAGACGGCGCCGGGGCGGGGTCTGGTCGGTCTGCGCGTCGTCGCCGGCGCCATCGTCATTGCAAGACTGCTCCAGCAATCAGATAGATTCATGGCATCAAAAAGAGAGTTCTACCAGGTGCTGTTCGGCCTGATCGTCGGGTGGAGCGCGGTCTGGCCCGTGGCGCTCATCGCCGCGACCGTAGCTCGTCCCGCAGATAAAGACATGGCCTTCGACGGGTGTCTCGTCGTCGCGGAGTTCCTCGTGCAGGCTCTACTCGTGTACTGCTGCAAGCCGGGCTCTCCCCTATTTCCGTTCCACGCGAACGTCGTCACCTGCGCGGAAATCAACTAGGTTATCGTCGCGTCGATGGCGTGGGCGCCCGTGAAATGGAGTTGCACACAGGTCGTCAACGCCGCCGCGAACCCCACGGCCGGGCTGTGGGGCGCGGCCCGCTCTGGTGGTATGAGTGATCCGCGCTTCCAGAGCGTGTCGGGCGGGAGGGGCGCCAACACGAATTCGGCGAACCAATACGTTATAAATGACGGCTTCGAGGCTTTGCACGTGCGCCGCCTGAAGCACGTTTGGCAACACTTGACCGAAAGATTGGACGCCGTCGAGGATTCGGCGCGCGAATTAGCTACCGCCGTCGCTTTGGCCGACGTCGACGACGAGCCTCCAGCTAGGTTTCCGGGGCAACCGGACACGCCGACGCCGCTGCAGTCGCGGCGCGGGACGCCGCGGACCGAGGCCGCGCAGGACCGGGCCGCGGAGCTCCTCGCCGGGCGCGAGACGGAGCTGCCGCGGCGGAATAAGTCGCCGCCGCGGACGCCGCCGCGAGGCGACTCTCCGCGGCGGCCAGGTGGGCCAGATACGCCCTCCGCGCGCCGGAAGAAGCGCTCGCCGCCGCGGACGCCGCCCCCCGACGAGGACCCGCCGCCGCGGAGGCGCTCGGACGGCGACGGCCGGCCGCCCCGGCAGGACGGCGGCAGCGCTCCCGTGTCGCGCCGGTCATCGGACGCGTACAGCGGCGAGCCAGCTAGTACGGAGGGCGCCGACCCACGGGACGAAGGGACCGTGCGCGGCGACCCAGATGTCGAGAAGCTGGCGCCGCCGTAATTCAATTCAAGTCACTAGTAGACCGTGACAGAACAGGCGTCGGGGCAGGCCGCGTAAGAACTACTGTACTAACTTACCAAAAAGATCACCGCGGCGACGCCGGCGACGAGTCGAGCGAAGACGGTTGCGGCGGCATGGACCGCGACCGCGACTTAGGTGATGGCGTCGCGAACTCCGTGCGAACGCGCGACCAGGGCGCGCACTGCAGGTGGCGCTCCGCGGTCGCGGACGGTGGTCTTTTGGCGATGGGCGGCAGCGGCAGGTGCCTCGCCAGGAAGCGAGCCACGAACCGACGCGCGTCCACGTCGCGCGGCGACGAGTGCGAGCCCTCGACCAAGGCTAACGTGCGCGGGCCCTTGTACTTCTTGGCCAACGATTCCACGTGCTCTTGCGCGATCAGCGGGTCGCGCCGCGCGCGCACGAACAGCGCCGGCGCGTCGCAGTGTGGAGCATGCTTCACTGGGGATAAATGCTGCGTCGGCCTGAGACCCGCCCGAGCGTCGACCGAAGCATCTAATGATGCTAGTAGTAAATCGAGGACGAACTTCGGCAGCGAAAAGCCGCCGAACACTGCTTTCCTTTCGGAGGCCACGTGCGCGGCCAGCTCCGTAAAATCGGAGTAAGGAGAGTCGAGCACGACGCAGCTTAGTGAAGGCCAGACGCCCGACTCTTGTGCCGCAAACCCTTGGTAGTACAACGCCGCAGCAGCACCTGTGTGGAAATCAAAATTTCACGGCGCGTTCACGCCTGCTCGATGGCGTGGCGATGCCGGTTCCTCACCGCTCGACGGAGCCAGCGCACCCGACGCACTGGTTGATTTCCACACAGAGCAGCACCCATGCTCTGGCCCCATAAAGCTAAAGCTGAGACATCTTTCCGCTTCGAGAGCCACTCGAGCACACATCGGACATCTCGCGCTTCCCGGTACCCTAGCGTGACGAAGGCCCCGTCGCTCAGCCCGCTCCCGGCACCTGCGTCGAACGACGGCGTCGCGACACGGCCGCGAGACGCGTAGACTCTCATGCGGCCGCATCGACGTCGTCAACGCGACGCGGCATCAAGTTGAAGCTCATTCTTCACGCTGAGGCAGCACAGTCAAAAGCGAACAACGAACACCCCAGTCCCAAAACCAAGGAAAGGTAGTGGCAGGCCTGCGCCCTACTTGCGGAGTTGGCGTGGCCAAAAACGACACAGGGGCACCGCTCTTCGTCACAAGACCGCCAGTGCGAGCCGTGCAACCTTAGACCTCTTTCGTTTTCAATTATTATATCGTGGCGGTGGTACCTCCTGCCCCCGAAGCTGAACGACGACGGTCCTAGCAAGCGAGGATCATATTCGAAGCGAGGTGGCCGGACGACCGCGGCAACTAAAGCATCATAAAAACCACCGAACAAAGGTGCACTAGCTTTCTCTCGCCGCAGAGCCTCCTCCCTACTTTCGCCTTGGAGCTCGGCCTGCCGCCGGTCGTTCTTCCGGTCGGCGGCCGTCCGGCCCTGGGCGTCCGGCGACTCCCACCCAAAAGCTGGCGGACTCTCGGCCAAGTCACAGAGAGCATAGTCGTCGAGGAGGGCACAGGCCTCGGCCGCGCCGCCGGGCGCGCCCTGCGTCGCATCGACGCCGCAGACGTGTTTTGTTATCGGCGGCGGCTTCGGGGATTTGAGTGTTGGTGTTGGCGGTGGCGAGTACCATGAAGATGGTTGCGGCGCCGCGGGATCTCTCGCGATCCTCGAACACTGTAAGGGCCACTTCTGGACCGGTGTTTCTCTCTCTAAAAGTAGAGAGTGGTTGATGACGCGCCACCGCCTCGCGCTGTCGAGCGGGACGTCGAGCTCGCGCGCGGCGCCGTCGCCCGTGAGCACGGCGCAGCCCCGCCGCGAAATGGCCAACCTCGCATCATCCACACCGCCAAACAACGTCGCGCCGTGGAACGGTGATCGAGCGAGCAGCTCGACGTACGAGGCCTCGGGCGTATCGTGCCTCAACAAGCTGTCGGCCCCTTCGATCTCCAGGTCGACGTCGGCCGTCGCGTCGTCGGACTCGTCGGGCGCGAAGGACGCGAGCTGGTCCCGTCGTCGTAGTAACTGTGTTACTTCTTCCAACAGCTCTGATGGAGAAGGTAGCGGCACGGGACAGAAGGGTTGCAAACCAAGATCTCTGACTAACGCATGGCAGGCCTCGACTTCGTCGCCGCCACTCCTCGATGTCACATCTCGCGCTCGCGACCACAATCGTAGAGCGCCTAGTCGCAACCGCGTCGGCGCCGCCAATTTGCCGGATGCAGCAACACTCCCCCACACATCAACGTCGTCGTCATCACTATCGCTCTCGCTGTCCGACAAATGAGATAGAGGTGACAGGGCGAAGGACGACGACGATGATGCTCTACTTGGTGATCTCGCGACGAGTCGCGGTAGGCGCGCGTAGCCTCTTCTCATCACTTGGGCCGTCGTCTGCGCGAGGACGAGTCGCCCGACGGCCTGGTCTTCTCGCGACGCGGTCTGTGAGCCGCGTAGAGCTCTTAGTGCGGCGTCGTGCAACGGCGCCGTAAATAGTCGAACGGCCAAGATCAACGCGACTCGTTGTGTATCACAAAGCGGCAGCATGGCCGCATGTGGGGGCACTCGTCGCTCCAGTCTAGATCTACCTCTAGATGCGTCGCCTCTGCCCGCATATAAAGCTAATGCACCAGACGCGCGGGGGCCGATACCTAGTCGGGAAGCGACCGCGCCAATAACGTCCGAGCACCGGTCATGTCTAGCTACGCCCACGGTCAAGTGCGAGCCATCCAGGAAATGCACAATGCAGTTTTTCAGTGTGCCCTCGCGCACTGGTGGTGTATCGCCCACTTCGTCGAAGCCATCAGCGTCGGCGTTCGCCACGCGCCACCGCGACGGCGTCAGAGCGTCATCCGAGGGGAAGACGCGCAGCTCGCCCCAGCGCTTGCCGTCCACTTGGGTCACACGTGCTTTCGATGTCGGAGAATCTCGCCTGAGAGCGCCCGGCGAGTCATTCAGTGGAGAGGCGTACGCGCGCCAGGCCTCGCGCGGCGGCGAGAATGGCGAGAAGCCGCCGTAGGTCTCGGACTCGTCCCTGATGCGGTTTTCGACCTCGGGCTCGGCCCGCAAGCGCGCCGCCGCGTCGAGCCGCCACCCTCCGGCCGCCCTATCGTTTGCAGATAAAGAAGCGGCCTCGTTCGCCGCCTTTCTCAAATCATCTAGGGGCGCACTAGCGAGGTCGTCCCGGAATTTCGTGTGCAATGCCGCGAGCGTGTCGATCTCGTCTGCTGGCTTCGTGGGCGTGCCGAGCAGAGCGTCGAGCATTGACGGAGCGGGCGCCGGGGCCTCGGTGTCGTCGCTAGTGCTGCTGCCGAAGCCGAAGAAGGCGAGCATTTTCACGGGTCTACTGCCGGGCAGCCCTTGTCTGGCGTCGCGCTATCGTGGGCAGCCCCTGGCACCCAACCGGTTCCGCGCCGCCGGGCGGAGCCGAGAGATCGCGAGGCTCAGTTGCGCGGCCAAGATCTAGCACGCGACTACGGGCAGCCCTCCTGAAGCTGCTTCTTTCTCGGTAGCCGCGGCGCAAACTCGTTTTGGCTTTCTGGCTAGTGTCTTACATGCCGCTAGCACATGCGGCCGCGCGGCGCCTGCTTTTTTGCCCGCTGCGATACAGTAACAGATCATTTTTACGCCGTCGACGCACCTGTGCACGCGACCAGTCCAGCCAGTCCAGCGGTTTGGCAGCGCTAACCCCACAGTGGCATTTTGGCACCTGCTGCTCAGCATCGATGGCGCCGAAGAAGCGCTCATTCAAGAAGAAGACCGCCCACAAGCGGCGGCCCGCCGCCAGCGACGCCGCGCCGCGGGGCGCCACCACGCCCTTGCACGCGGCGGCGCGAACTGGAGACGCCGCGGCCATCACTGAATTACTACAAACGAAGCCGGACATCAATGCGCGCGACGAGCACGCGCGGACGCCCCTGCATCTCGCGGCCTGGGCGGGGCAAACGGCCGCGCTCGAGGCGCTCGTCGCCGCGGGCGCGGACGTCGCGCTGGGCGCCGTGGACAACATGACGGCTTTGCATTTCGCGGCGAAGAAGGGCGCGGATTGTGTAGCTTGTCTGTTGGCGGCGGGCCCCCCCGTGGATGCGGCCTGCGAGCGCACCGGGAAAACAGCTCTGCACATCGCGGCGGCGGCCGCAAACGGACCAGTAATCGAGGCGCTCATCGACGCGGGCGCGAACCGCGCGCTCAAGACGCGGAAAGGGGAGAGCGCGCGGGACCTCGTGAAGGACAACGCCGAGCTCGTCGCGCTCTTCCGGGCCGCGCACGCCGCGCCCGCCGCTGCCGCGCCTGTGCCCGACGCCGCGCCCGCCGCGCCACCTGCCGAGACGACGGAGCCGACGTCGTTCGGCGAGGACGACGGCGGGGACGAGGAGGACGCGTTCATTTAGATCTAGGTAACATGTATTAACACACACCTCGGCGGGCGGCGCTCAGCTGAAGAACTGGAAGATTTCCTGCTTCGACTTGATGAACTGCATGCGGTCGTCGTACTCGGCCTGGGCCCACTTGCACTTCCATTTGCGCCGCAGGAAGTCCCGCAGCGCCTCCGGGACCGAGTCGAGCATCACGTAGTTCTTGTCGTAGCCCTGCTCGACCAGGTCGGGCCGCACGGCGTGATCGTACTTCAAGTCGTTCAAGAGGACGTTGTTCTCGAGCCACGCCCACGTGATGGGCTCGCGGTCGCCGCGCTCCCAGAACTCCTCCCCCCGCGCCAGTGCCACGACCGCAAGGACCCAGTCGATCATGCAGCCGTATTCGACGGCGAAGCTGCAGATCTTGACCAGGACGGCCCGGGGGTAGAGCCAGAGGAAGGGACACTGGGGGCACCGTCCGCGGATGTTGGGGACGTTGTTCGCCTCGCAGTAGGCCTCCCACCGGCCCCACGCGGCCTTGGCGGCCTCGGACCGGATGTACACCTCCGAAAAGGCGGGGCAGTGCAGCGTGACCGCGAGGGTGGGCACCGGCGAGACCCTCGACCCGCTACGCTCGTGCGGGAGCAGTGCGCGCTGCTCCTCGTAATACTCCCGCTTGTAGTCGAGCTCGTCGCTCGCGGCTAGGATGAGCACGCCGCCGCGCAGGTGCAGGCCCTCGTCGCCGCTCGGTCGTTCCAGATACGGCGGCCATAGCCCCGCGCCGTCGCCGCGCGCGCACGGCGCGACCGACGGGCACCCCGCCGCCCGGGGCTCCATATATTCATGACCTTGCACGTGCCAGCACACGGCATAGCAGTGCGCCTGCCAGGCGCGGGGCTCCTCGTAGAGGATCCCTTTGTTCGGCGAGGCGACCCAGCTCTGCAGCGGCAGCGGGCAGGCCTCGAGGACCACCTCGCGAGTCGTGCGGGAGCAATGCGTCAGCTTGGCGCGCGACATAGGACTGATCTGCGCCAGCTTTAAGGAGAGCACAGCCATGACGCGGTCGGTGTCGGGTCCTAAGGTCAGCTCGTCCAGTTCTTGGTCCAGCGCGGTACTTTCAGCATTGTTGTCGCATGGCTTCGGCTCCATATGGCTTGAGTGCACCGGAGAGCAGGCACCGGAGAGCAGGCACTGGTTGTCGACCGCAGCGCGATGGCGTGAGCACAGGGCTCGTGAGCGGTTGCGAGGTGGCTGATAGAGCACTGATGCGCGATCCTCGAGTCGAATAGCCAGCGCTGCGCCAGCGGCAGCCTCAGGTCCTCCCACCCGCTTATGATGGCTAGTGTCTTACCGGACGCTAGGACCAACTTTGGGCCTAAGTTTTGCTCTTAGTAAGTCGCGCGCCTGGCTACGCACGACGGATGGATTCTGAAGCTGAGACTGAGCATGAGTGGTCTGAGAACGAGAGCGATACGAGCGTGCACGATGTGAGGGAGGCCCGGGTGCATCAGTTCTCTGCAAACCACGATGCCCGTGAAGATGAAGATCCACGTCGCCAGGGCGCAGAGCACGGCCGGGTAGGCCACGCCGATGGCCCCGGCGCAGAGCGCCTGGACGGCGCAGAAGGCGCGGAGGAGCGCGTCGTCGACGGCGCGGACGGTCCGCCGGTCGGCCTCGTGCGCGTCGTCGAGCCGCCGGTCGCCGGCCGCGCTCATGGTGGTGGTAGGGCGAGCGGTGGTGCGACGATTACGATTGAATTAGCGGGGCGCCGCCCTCCGGATGCCGCAGGTTAAAAATATCTGACCTGCTCTCAGGGCTGAATCTCAGCAGACCAGGGCTTTTTGCACGGTTCTTGGCAACCACGCGTGTCCGTCTTTGTTGTGAGTTATGTCTATACGGTCAGGTGGCCTCAGACTGGGCCTGGAGCGCCTGATTGCCCAGAAGCAACAAATCTGCACCTGTAAAACCCGTGAGGACAGACTCGCTGTCGGCGCGTACGGGCGCAAGAATCGCGCGAGAGAGCTCCCGCGCGGCCGCCGGTGCAAAGCCCAAGCCGCGAGCCGCTTACGCGGCGGCGCGTGTCCCCTCCTCCGAGGTGGCGGGGCTCCCGCGGTAGCCCGTGGCGCCTCCGCTGACGCTTACCTGGCACCGCAAACGCCGTCGCGCGCGTCGCGGCAAAACCCGCGCGGTAGATGCATGTCAAAAAAAAGAGAAGGCATCGGGCGCTGCTGCCCGAAGCCGTCGTCCCGGGCCACGCCACAACCGCGTGCGACCTGCCCCGGCCGTGTACACCTCAAAGCGCCACCGCTGCGGCAGCCCCAAGGCACGTACCGGCAGCCCCAAGGCAGACCTGCTCCCTTCAAAGGGCTTGGCAGCACCGGCAGCAGCCATGGAGGAGCCCCAGTCGCCCGAGGGCGCAACCGAGTCCCTCTTCCACGGCGACAACGACGACGTTGATTTTGTCCGCGAGGCCGGCGACATCGCTAGATTAGCCTCGCTGCAGGTCGACACGGCGACGGACGATCCCGAAGAGCAGGGCCTCGTGTCGCCGCCGAGACCTTTAGTCCGCGTGACCTCTGGAGGCTATATTGATGGAAGACCGCCTCCCTCACCTCGAGGGGGCCCGGTCCTCAAGGAGCCGAAGACGGCCCGAGATAGAGTTTGGGCGTTTGTCTTTGCGTTGCAGGCGCTGGGCGCCGTGGGTGTTATGGTACTCAAAGCGCGGTCCGTGGACGCCTCACCAATTGTCGCCTGGGCGTTAGTTGCTGTCATGGCTTCATTAGCGTCGCTAAGTGATGATTCTGCTGGAAACGCATTAAACGCCTCCCACGCTCCAGCAATACTTGTGGTGACAGCACTAGCTTTGCTCTGCGGGGTACGGGTCGAGAGGACCCATTCGATACCCTGGGCTCTATTATGCGTGACCTTTGCATTCTTGGCCCTTGCTCTGTACCTGTCGAGGCGGAAGGCTGTAAATGACAGTAGCTACGTTTTGGCGACCGTCGCTTTATCGCGCCTCGTGCCCTGGCCCCGCGTTTCGATAATAGCGACGGCGGCGCAAGCACTCCATTTCTTGCTCGTGGCCGGCGTCCTGCGAGACGGCAACGACGCGTATGTGATTCTGGTGCTGGCCCACGCCGCCTGGACGTGCCAGGCGTGGCGATTAGCTGTTCGAGCCGTGGTGGCGGCGGACCTCGAGCGGCGGTTGGCCGGCGAGGGTGATAGTCTCAAACCGTTGATACGAAGAGCATGTACCTATTCATTGGGAACGATAGCCAAGGCGGCGCTAGTGTGCCCTCCCATGGAACTGCTACGAGCTTTGAGTGTCGACGGCCTCGCCCCGTCCACAAAACGACGACGGCGGGAAGCATGCTTAGGACGGGCTCTCCTCAGAGGCAAGGCGTTTTCTGCGGCAGCTAGAGATGTTGATGGTGTCATTATCCACCAGGAGCTCACGGAGTTATTGGACGGCGACGCTGTCGTAAGGGGCTGCCGCGCGTGTGCTGCCTTCGTCGGTGCCTCGACCGCAATCATCTGCGCCGCGCTCCACTCGATCGACAGCGTCGAGGCGCCGCCCGTCCTGAGTGTCGGAGGCGCCTTCCTCTGCGGCTGGGTCATTTCCAGCATTGCCCTGGAGCCCCTCGCGTCGACGGCGCAAGCGACGATCCTCTGTTACGCGGACCGGCCGCGCGGTCTGGAAGGGGCGGACCCGATCTTGTACCGGCGATTTTGTAGGTTGGCCCCATCCAGGCCGCCGCGCTGGGTGGAACCGACGGAGAACCCGATGTCTCCTCGTAGAAGATCGCTGTCGGATACGGACTACCGGGAGGTGGCGCTGTAGTTCTTCTTAATTCGATGATTTGCGTTTACTTATGCGCGTAATCATTCCAAGGCTCGGGGCGACGCCTATAATATTACAGGGGTTTACTCAAAATGCGCTTCTTCAGATTGTCCCGTCTTGTACTACAGGTCCGAGTCGCGTATGCAGTGTTGACTTCGTCTTTTTTGGAGCGGCGGCGGCGGTATGGCTTAATGGTCTTCACCTAACTAGTCTTGCGTTATATCGACCTCGCGCCGTGTGCCGGGGATCGTTAGCTCGACGTCGTCAAAAGAAAAAGTGTCTGTAAAGCTAGTGTCTTTACATACGCTAGTTGCAGCTTTTAGCCCGGCTTAGACGCGAGCACCGCGCAGCCATCGGCGCGCATCGCTGGGATCGTCAAAGACCTGCTCTTGGACCAGCCATTCGTGCCGGCAAGCCTGAGCGCGCGAAACGGGAGCGTACGCTGCCGCAGCCGAAACCAGAGCACGCAGCGAACACGATGTCCGGCTTCACGCCCGGCCGCGAGACCTGGCGGATTAAAATAGAGAAGCAGTTGGATGGATTCTGCCGAAGCGCCAATAGAGAACTCCAATTCCCGCCGACGCTCACGAGTGAAGAGCGCCGCTTCGTCCACGCCCACGCCCCCAAATTAGGCCTCAAGACAAAATCACAGGGCAAAGGGGCCGAGCGCTTTTTAACTGTGTGGAAACCTCAAAGAGTTGTGGCTTTAGCTGAGGATGCTCCTAGACTAGACTTAGCCAAGGACGCGGCCGTCGTCCTCGACGCCCACTTCAGGGCCCACCCTCCCACGCCAGAGGAACTCAATGATGCGAGGGAAGGGCGAGTCGCGGACGCGAAACCAAGCCCGGAACCGGGCACCGTTCGCAGTACGCTGAGAAACGTCAAAAACCGCCACAAGTCGAGAGCCGCGGTCATCGACTACGCCAAAACGAAGCCGGAGTGCGCGACGGCGCCGTCGGCCATGCGTAAAGCGCGTCAGAAGCTGCCGGCCTGGGAGGCGCGCTCCAAGGTCGTCGATTTGGTAAAGAGGCACGATGTGGTGCTCGTCGCGGGCGAGACGGGATGTGGGAAGAGCACGCAGGTGCCCCAGTTTTTGTTCGACGCGTCGGCGTGTGAGGCGAGTATTGCCTGTTCGCAGCCTAGGCGACTCTCAGCGATCGCCGTGGCCGAGCGCGTCGCTGCCGAGAGGGGCGAGACCTGCGGCTCGACCGTCGGGTACCAAGTGCGCTTCGAGTCCTCGTTCTCGGCCAAGACACGGTTGTTGTTCGCGACGCCCGGAGTGTTGCTGCGGAAGCTCGGCTCCGACCCCGACCTCGTGTCGTACACGCACTTTTTGCTGGACGAGGTCCACGAGGAGGACCGGGACACGGAGTTCTTGCTCGTGGCGTTGCGGGAGTTAGTAGCGCGACGGAGAGAAGCGTATGACGCATCACCTGACGTAGCGCCGCCTCCGTTAAAATTAGTGCTCATGTCGGCAACTTTGGGCCTGCAGAAGCTCGGCGACTATTTTGGCGGGTGCCCGTCGTGCTCCATGGGCGGCACGAACTATCCCGTCACGACGTTCTTCCTCGAGGACGTGCTCAAGCAGACGAAGCGCGTAGCGGCGTCCGATGATCGCCACGCCGTCGACGCGACGCTGGAGTCGGCGACGCGTCGCGGCGATGGCGTGAAGGCGCCGCAGCACCGCGAGACAACGCCGAACGCAGGTACGTCACACTGGCAGCGGACATGAATTCTCGAGCGGAAGCCCTCAAGACCGACGACCAGGACTTCAAGAAGGAGGTCCTCGAGGCCTCAAAAGTTTTAGATGCCGGATTGAAGTGCGCCATGTGCGGTCGCGCGGGCTTCGGTTCTGTGGAAGAACTGGGAGATCATGCCGCGGAATGTTTCGGCGAGCCCGTGGCGAGCAGCGACGCCGTGACGGGCGACGACGACGCCGCCGTGCTCGCCGAGATGCTCCGCACGAGGGACCTCGAGGAAGAGGTTGTTGAAACTGAGGTCGACTTTACGGCTACGTCCTATGAGGACGACGAGCGCGCGGTGAACCGGGTCTCGGCGGGCGGCAAGCAGGTCCACGCGGACGCCGAGGGCGACGCGTTGGTGCGGCAGTACCAGCGGTCGGTCGACGACCAGACGCTGGATCCGGACCTCGTCGCGGCCCTCGTGGAGTACATACTTTATAGCTCATACGACAAGGGTGCTATACTGGTGTTTGTGTCCGGCTGGCACGACATCGAGCGGTGCCAAGATAAATTGGAGGAGTCATCCGTCGCGGCGTCGCTGTGGGTCGTCCCGCTCCACGGCAGCATCGAGTCGAGCAAGCAGCGCGACGCCTTCCGCCCGCCGTCCGACCCAAAGCAGTGGAAGGTCGTGCTCGCGACGAACGTGGCGGAGACGTCCGTGACGATCCCCGACGTCAGTTTCGTGATCGATGCTGGGCTCGAGAAAATTGTAAAATACGACGACCATTTGGGCGCTGACTCAGTGTGTTGAACTTGACTTCAACGTGGACCGTTCGCGGTTTGAGTGGGTCGTGCGACGTCGTTTCCTAGAATCATGGCGCTGGGTGGTTTTTTATGCGATTTTGAGGCCGTTCAGACCGAGTCGAGCGACCGCGATGCTCCGAACGTTTCCGAACTTCAAGGTCGCGTCGATGGCGTCACGACGCCGTCGACGCGTCGCGGCGACGGCGGGGAGGGGCGCCGCACGCCATCGGCGCGACGTCCCTGTGACCGCGTCGTCACCGCGCAGGCGCCTCGGTGCTCCGCGCGGGCTACGTCTCGCAAGCGTCCGCGAACCAACGAAGAGGCCGAGCGGGTAGAACGAGACCAGGTGTCTGCTTCCGGCTCTATACGCGGCGAAGGCACGAGGTCATGGAGGTGAGTCGACCTTCCGAGCTCCTGCGGTTGAATTTGGAGGGCCTGTGTCTCCATGCGACGGCCCTGCGGGTCATGCCTTCCTCGGTCATAGACGAGGCGTCGTGGACGGCTAGAGATTTTCTCGGAAGGGCGCTGAACGCGCCGCGCGAAAGTGCGGTCGAGCACGCCGTGCGGTCGCTGATCGCGATGGGCGCGTTGTATTCGGATGATGAATTGGCGACGCCATTAGGTGCTGCTTTGGCGCACCTCCCGCTGGACCCGCGACCGGCTTTAGCCGCGTGCTACGGCCGTTTATTGTGCGGCGCGCGGAGCGCGGACGCGTTCCGGGCCGTCTGCTGCATGGACGGCAAAGATCCATTTGTGCGTGTACAGTGTCTCTCTTCCGATTTTGGGGCCGTTCGGACCGAGTCTCTGTCCGAATCGGCTCGAATTCGGACCATCGCTTTCTCTGATGGAGACGAGTCCTGCGGACACTTCAGAACGCCGAGATCACATGTCTGTCGCGCGCAGGTCTCGAAGGCCGGGAAGGACGGCTTCGAGAGGAATCGATCCCGAAGGGAATTGGGCGGCGCGTCTAGATCTGATGTTGCTGCCTTACGAAATGCGGCGGCCGGCTTCGCGAGTGCGGGCGCGCAGAAGAGCCAGTACTGCCGGAAGCATTCGCTCGGCTTTGCGACCCTAAGAATGGTCGAAAATGCGGCCGCCCAGCTCGAGCGAGAGGTGCCCTCGAAGTCGATCAACGCGCCGTGCGACGACGGCTGTCTCGACGCCGTGGCGTGCGTGGCTCTTCACCCGAACGTCGCCGCGAGAGATCCTGGGAAAGGGCAGTACGCGTCGAAGCAGGGCGCGTCATGTCGAGTGCACAACCAGTCGTTGGCGGGGGATCGCGAGTCGCCGTTCGCGTCTTGCAACCCGCACGAGGGGTCGACGCCCCAACTTTTATGTTTCGGGGCGTTACTTGAAAGTGACGCGGCCTTTCGAACGGGCCTGAAACTGGCCACGAACCAGCCCTGCGCGCCGCTGACGCTGGCTCTACTGTGCCATTCCGACGTGGCTCGAAGCGGTAGCACGCTACTCATCGACGGGTGGCTGCGGTACGCGATGGACGATAATATCCTAGACAAGCTGCTGGTGCTGCGATTGCGCTTGCGGGCGGCGTTAAGTGCGACGGTGGCGCGGGCGCCTTTATCAGTGAGGCTGCGCAAGGCGGCGGACGCGGCGCGGGATGTTTTAGCGGCCGAACAACGGCGCTTGATCGGTACCGGTCGGAATAGCGTCGGCGGCGCGGCCCTTCGGTCGGGCCGGGGGCGCGGGCGCGACGGGCGCGGGCGGGGCCGAGAGGGGCGCGGGCGCGGTCGGGACAATGGCCGCGGCCGCGGTCGGGGCGGCCGCGGCCAGGCCAAGGGCAAGGGTGGCAAGAAGCCCGTCGCGGACGCGAACAACGCCAAGCCCAAGAAGGTGCTCAAGAAGAAATAGACGTTGACGCGACGCTGGTGTTGCCCGGCAGGTTTCGTTGTAAGCCCGGGCCGCGCGCTGGCCGAGTGTAACGTATCGTATCGATCGGTATCTAGTATGTCCGTGTTTAGGAACTCTACTTAGCCAGTCGGCATCGCGGGAGGGACCCGCGTGATCAGCCTACGACCCTTCCGGGGGTGCGTCGCTAGGGCTCGCCGTCGCAGTGTCTTCCGTCTTCGCTATGGTCGAGGTGCGCCGGGGCTTCATCACATAAGAGCTTTTGTGCTCAACCGACTCCGAACGCAGGGTGAGTTCATTACCGAAGTGCGGCTCGCGCTCTGTGAGCATCGAGCTGAGTTCCTTCGAAAGTTCTTCGCGAATAGCCGGCGTCAGATTGAATGAGTACTTGAGCAGACAAAGATGTTCATCGTCCGCCTTGCCGACAATGTCCTAGTGGCCGTCCGCCCAAATTTTCGCCTTGCCGTTAAGAGGTAAGCTCCCCCGAACGACTATTTCGTCGGGTTGGAAGCGAGATTTTGAATCAATTTGTATTCTGATTTCTTGGAAAACGGGGTTATCAATGGAAAATATCCCTGCGTTCCCACTCATCGCATGCAACTCGCGCGCGTATTCAAACAACAGACCATTTCTGTTATAGACTTTGTCGTCTTCAGGAAACACGATAATCTGCTTATCACTATCGAAATCGAGGCCAGCGAGCCAATGGTAGAACCCATCCGCATCCGTCGCTGCATCTTTGACGACGACCGGATCCACAACATGTGCTACGTAGTTCCGAATCTTGTGTGCTGGAGGCTGCTGCAGCGACACAGGAAACTGGAGGATTTTGTCTAGGTACCTATGTGTGCTGAAGCTGGCGCGGCTTCGCGACGACGTGCGCGAGCGATGAAGGCACCGAAAGTCTGCGCCGCGTCGAGCTCCCAGCCCGTCACGTGCGTGTTCCGCATGACCTCCGTGAAGCTTTCTTCTATCGACGACACGACGATACCTGCGCGCGTGGACGGTCGCGTCGATCCTGCCTCAGGAGATCCCCAAATGACGCCGAACTCGCACGTGGATCGATGGCGAGGAAGGTGATCACCGGGGCCGCGTGGATGCTGAGCAGCAGTTGAACCGCTTCGAGCATCTTCAATATTTTGTCGCCACCGATGCAGCGGTCCAGGTCGTCCACGAAAGCAACAATAATCAGCTTCACGCCTGTTTCGCGCTCGAACTTGCGCATGTACTCAAACAGGTCGTTGAGTTCGTTTTTGGCGTCGTGCATAAAGCTCGTGCGATTCCGGATAGCACCACTTGAGGCCTTGTCGAAGATGACATCTCCCTGCGACTTCGCAGTCTCCGCCTTCGCCTTGGCCGCGCTCATGACAGAGCCTACCGTGAGTCCAGCTGCTCCGACCGTGGCGACGACCACGCTAATGAAATTGGCCTGCGCGGATCGGAAGTCTCGCGCACGCATAGGGTTACAGTTTTCAGGCCTCTGCAGCGCTACGGCCGATCGATGCTCGTGACGAAGAAGAAAGGTGTCGAAACATCCGCGCTTATACGCACGCGCATATCGTCTCACTTTACGGCCAATGCTCTCTTCTCATCCTCGTCTCCCAAAAAAAATGGAGCTACAATTCGGGTCGCACCGGATCAGCTAGACACAAGCACTGGACACTTATTCGGCTCAGAGGGAGCGCTGCTTCTTCTTCTCCGGCTCGTCGTCGCTGGACGAGTCCCCGGCCGTGGGCGGTCCCGACGGCTGCGGCAGGAGGCCCTCCAACGTGCGGAGCGTGGCGAGGTCCTTGGCGCGCAGCTCCTCGGATGCGATGCGCGCGCGGATGTCCTCCTTGGGCGCCTGGCCGGCGGGGACCTTGGCAATCTCGAGGCGGGGACCGTAGCGGGACTCGGTGCGCGTGGTCGTGAACGCGTCGGGGCTCTGGAGCTCTTCGAGCTTCCGCGCCATGCGCTCCTCGTCGTCGTCCCGAATGGAGAGGGTCTTCTTATCGGCGACCGGGTCGGCGAAGAACTCTTCCATGTTCTTGATCTTCCAACCCTTGCCAAGCCCCAGGTCGACGGTCAGCTTCCAGTCCTTGAGCGGCGGCGGCGCCACCGTGGCCGTGCGCAGCGGCGCGAGCGTGAGGGAGCACAACGCCTTGAGCGCGGCCGACGCCCGGACCTCTGTGTCGAGGGGGCAGGGGAGCTTGCTCACGTCCGCGAGCTTCTCGATGGCGGGCGCCACCGCCCGGAGCGGATCGAAGGCCGGCGTCCGCGCCACGAGGGCCGCGAGCGCGTCGAGCTGGCCCGTAGCGCCGCGGCGCTCGCACGCGCGGAGCGCGGTGAACGCGGCCGCGAGCGCGTCGCGCGGTAATTCGAGCACGGGCGACCGCGACCAGCGCTCGGCCGTGACGGTCGGCACGCGCGCCATCGCCGCGAGGAGGACGCGCGGCAGCGACAGGTCGTCGTTAACGACCTTCGCCAGCGTCTTCGAGCTGTACTGGCCGCGGCCAGTACGATCATACACGGCGTTGGAGAGCCCACCCGAGAGGACCGACGACGCCGCCCGGACGACGGTCCAGGCGTCTTCCTCGTCGAACAAGGCGGCCCGGCGCCCCGCGCCGCCGGTCGCGGCGAGAGTAATGAGCATGGACTCGACCTTCTCCTGACCCGGCGCATCGCCTCGCGTCCATTTCTCTTCCCCGGTTAACGCCCCGGCCGGCGCCGTTGCCGTGGCCGCCGCGGCCGCGATCGCCTCGAGGGCCGAGACCGCCGCCGGCTCGAGCACGTTGCGCCGGGCGCCGCCGAGGAGCGGTGCCACGGCCGCGGGCACGGCGACGATGCCGTCGAAGCGGGCCGCGTTCGCGCAGACGACCGGCGCCGCCGCCGCGAGGCAGCGCGCCGTCGTAGCGCCGGGGACCGCGAGCGCCGATAGCGCGGCCGTGAGCGTCACGGCCGCGGCGTCCTTGGCCTCCTTGCGTGCTTTCTCCGTCTCTTCCGTGACGTAGGTGGCGGCCCGCGCGGCGTCGTTGCGGTAGTAGGCCGGTACCGTAATTTGGCGCAGCGGAAACGTCACCGCGAGCGCCTGCACGAGGACGTCGCCGACCACGTCGACGAGGCGCGCCGCCGATTCGCCCGTGTACGAGCTCGTGGTGTCGGCGAGGGCGCGCAGGATCCGGAAGGCGGCGAACGCGCCAGCCTCCGACGTCGTCGCCGCGCGGCGCATCGCCTTCGTGAACGCGGCCTCGAACTGCGTGTGCGAATGGCCGAACTGCGCCAAACAGACACTCGCGCCGGGCGGCAACTGCAGCGCGTTCACCGTCGTGCTGTGGTCGGCCAGGAGGCGATCGCGCCCGGCGCAGAGCGCGTTCGCGACCGTGGCCCCGTTCCAGCTCGCGTCCGTGCTGACGCTTGAATAATAGCCTTCCTTTCGTTGGACGAGGCGCGCGAGCTCGAGCGAGTCGCCGACGAAGTCGACGAGGACGGCGGCGGGCACGCCGTCGCGCGCCAGGCAGCAGACGACCTCCGCGAGGCCCTTGCCCGCGGTTCGCTTCGCGGTCGCGAGCGCGGCGCAGGCCGCGGCCATGGCGCCGGCGCTCTCGTAGCCCGCGTGCGCGGCCGCGTCGCCCTTGATCGCCGCGTCGAGGAGCCGGAGCGACGCGCCGAGGCCGAGCATGGGCACCTGCGCGGGACTCGACGGTTTCACGCCGTCACGGTAGGACAGAAAGACACCGGGCCACGGACGCGGCGCGCCTTGGGCCAGAAGACGAGCGCCGTGGCCTTGTACCACTTCGAGTACGGCGCGCCCTCGTTGCCCGTGTCGAAGCCCCCGTCCTCCTGGTACGCCTTGATCTTGCAGAAGTAGTTCTTGTCCGTGTACTCGGCCTCGTCGAAGCGGAGCTTCGGCAGCAGCTTCCTGACGGCGTCGGGCACGGCGGCGGCCGCGGGCGTCGCCCAGACGCCGTAGGTCGTCTCGAGGTCGCCGATCTCCTCGGACGCGGCGCACCCGTGCTCCTCCTGCTCGACGGTGCAGGCGAAGACGTCGTAGGCCCCGGAGCCGTGCAGGGCCTCGGCGAGCGCCGCGTCCTCGCCCTTGAGCGCGTGCCAGCCGCCGCCCTCGAGGGCCGGCTTCGTGTACGAGTGCTTGAGGAAGTGGCAGACCTTGTCGGGCGGCTGGTCGTGGGTGCCAGCGGTCCACCGCGCGGCGAGCGTCTTGAGGGACGCCGCGGCGGCGTCCTGGGGCGGCGGGACGGGCGCCTCGCCACCCGCGTGAATCAAGTTGTACGTGAGCGCGACGCGGTAGCCCGACTCGACGGTGCGGATCTCGTGCTCGCAGTCCGCGTAGAAGGCGCACCAGCCCGCCTGGGGCAGCGCGGCCGCGGCCGCGGCCGCGCGCTGCGTGGCGACGAGCCGCTCGACGAGCGCGGCCTTGAGGCCCTTCGTGTCGGCGCCCGCGGCCTCGAGCGCGGCGCGCAGCTCGACGACCTTGAGCTTCTTCGCCTCGCGCGTCGCCGCGGCCTCGTCGAAGGGGCCCGCGCGGCGCCGCTCGGCCTCGGCGAGGCGCTCCTTGGCTTGGGCGAAGCGCGCGACGACGTCCTGCTTCTCCAGCAAGTCCGCGACGGCCAGGCCCGCCTCCGAGATCGTCTGCTTCATCTGCTTGATGCTCAGCGACGGCGCGGGCCCGTCACCGCCGTAGGCGGACTCGAAGCGCACGGTCTCGCCCTCGTGGCGCACCTCGAGGGCGCCGCCGGTATGCGCCGACGGCAGCGTCACGACGAGCGTGCCGAACATGCCCGGCTGCTTCTCCGAGTCGCGGTGGGGCGAGAAGTGGCCGCCCGCCTCGTACACTAATAAATCGTGGAGCTCCGCGCGGACCCGCGGCACGACGCCGAGCGCGCGCCGCGCCTTCTGCACGAGCCGTTCGAGGGCCGGCGCCCAAGCCGCGTTGTCGAAGCGGCACCGCGCGCCGGGGATCTTCATGGCCTTGCGGACCGTCTCGTCGACGATCGTCGCCTCGCCGCGGCCGAACGCGGCCCGCTCGGCGATGGACACGAGCGCGGCCGCCTGCGACGCCGGCACCGGTACCGCCAGCGGCGCGTCGAGGCCGTCGACGCGCAGGCGCGGCGCCGGCAGCTGCGAGTCGTGGCCGCAGGCCGCGAACGCGCCGGCGCTGTCCGTCTTCTTCACCGCGGCCTTAAGGTCGCCGAAGAAGGTGCCCGCGCCGTCGTTGCGGGGCTTGCCCGGCTTGCGCTTCGGGATGCCGTAGAACATCTCCTCCTCGTCGCCCCACATTTTTTTGAGTTGGGCGCGGTTTGGCTTCCGAGTTTAAATTGATTGCTTCCACAGCTTTTTTGAGTTGCGGCGCGGTTTGGCTTCCGAGTTTAAATTGATTGCTTCCACAGCGCGGCAATGTGGATATCGGCACGCGGCGAGAATTGGCGCTCGCGCGCGGGTGGGCGTCAACAAATGCGTGTCTCAGCAGTGCTGCCGTACCGTGATCAACGTGCGCGGTCCTAGGCGCGTCGTAATTGGATGCGATTTGCGAGAGGCGCTCGGCGCTTTTTGATCGATCCCCCATCTCCCCATCTTGCAACACGCGTCCAGTCTGCCAGACACTCGTCGAAAGACTCATATAAAGCCATCAGGCATGCCCAACCGCAGATGCCCCGCACCCTAGCCTCCGCGAAGCCAGCGCTAACGCCGTCCCGGGGCAGTGCGTAGGCTCGTGTGAGCGCAGCGTGTGTACGTAGGGCAGCCGTAACGCGACGCAAACGCCCGCGCGACGCAGCCGGCGCGTGGGGCAGCCGCAACATGCCCCTAGTTGGTGGTGGTCTACTGCAGCCCTACGCCGACGTCCAATACATCGACAAAAGCGACCGGTTCCGCATAGAACGGAGGAAGATCAGACCGCCGAAGAAGGTCCAATACGGAGTGATCAAGCCAAGGGTCTACTACACGTCTGTCGAGCAGACGGACCACGCCGAGCTCGAGATTGTGTCATTGGTAGTAAGAAGGAGCGCCTTACTCCAGAAGATCTCGGAGTACCGGGACGCGGAGGCTGAGAGAAGGCCGTGGTCCAAGGTTGAGGCCTTGAAGACGCTGATAGCTCTACGATCCATAACATTAACAATTGTCGCTGCGGTGAGGTCGTGGCGCGTCTCCGTGGGAGAACGGGCCTTCTTACACCGAGGCGAGAACTTACTTCTGGTGTTGCGGGACGACATGCGAGATCTTGAGCTGTTAGACCCGCCGATCCAATTCGGCTTCGATATTGGGCGGCGCAACCCGTTTTGCCTGCCGCTGATCACGCATCGAGCGCCCCCTCCCATCGGAGGGAAACGTTTGCTTAAAAGGGACGAAGAGGCGATAGCTCGACAACTAGCACACATCTCCCATGACGAACGGGCCCAGATTTTGGTCGAGCACGAGTATTTGCAGCGCGAGGAAAAGCGGGACCTGCGCCAGAACAAGCAGATGGACCGCAACCGGCCCTGGGCCTTTGACCGCTGGGACGCGGATCGAGGGTGGATGCCGGCGCCGCCGCTGCCCAGTCCGACGAAGCGGCTCCGGGCGCGGCCGGAGCAGCCGCCCGTCGAGCGGTTGAGTCCCGCCCGTCGGGGTGCGGCGGCGGCGTCGCGCAAACAAGGCGCCAAGACGCCCAAGCAACGCCCTGTGAGCCAGGAGACGCCGCGGTCGCGCCGGGCGCGCCTTGATGAGGAGAAGGCGAGGAGGGCCGCCGTCGCCCGCTCCGGCCGCGACGCGGAAAAACAACGGGTCAAGCGCGACGAGGACCGCGCGCGCAAGGACGCGGTAACGCGGTCGCGGGCCGAGGCGACCGAGGAACGGGCCCGGAAAAAGGCCGAGGCCGAGCAGCTGCGCGGCGCCGTGAAGAGGGGAAAGAAGCTCGAACCGCTCGTCGTCGACGACGCGGCGTCCTACGTGTCCTTCGACGAGTCCGTCGGCACGTTCGCGGGCGGGCCGTCGCTCGACGCGCTCTCCGCGTCGCCGGGCCAACACACGGTCGGGACGTTGCGCACTTTTGATGATTCGTCGAGGCACTCATACAAGTAAGATTATCTGTGTTATCGAGCTGTTCGCGTCGATGGCGTCGAGGGGACCCCCCACGCCATCGAGCAGACTATGTCTTCCGAGTCAGTGGCCGACCACGGTGCTACTAGTAGGACTAGTGGGTGGGGCCCCTGGAGACACCGCGCGTCGCCAAGACTATGTCAATAAACACGCTTAAGTCTCGTCCAGGAAGTACACGCGGAGCACGTCCTCGTCCGGAACGTACTCGGCGCGCATGACAGCCCCGAGCTCGCAGGTCGACGACCGTCGCGCCGCACGCTGCCTCCTTAACCAGCTCTGGAGGTTCTCCAGCGCTTTGTTCGAGGGCCGGTGCGGCGCCTCCAGCCGTCTTAACACGTCGACCCAGAACGACGACGGCGCGTCGCACATCCAACTTTCGACGGGCAGCGACGCGCCGCCACCGAACCGCTCGCACGTCGAGACGTACTCTGAACACTTCTCGCGCCAGACCTCCGTGAGAAACGACACGTGGTCCGCCAACGCCTCTAAGCCAGGTAACAAGAGCGGCTGCCGGTCGCGCACGACCGGAAGCCAGCGATCCCGAAACACGCCTCTTTGACACGCCGGGTCCGTCGAGTCCGCGAGATGCGGTAGCTTTAAAGCAGAGGCGGCGTCATAAATCATAGATTTGTCTATTGCGAGTAGTGGACGCCACGTCCTCACGCCGCGCTCTTCGCTGACAGCAGTCATGCCTCTTAACTGATCGTAGTGCTGCCTCCTATTGATGTTGGCGAAGAGGTTCTCGAAGGTGTCGTCGCGGTTGTGTCCTAACAACACGACGCCGTCGCTCCCACAGGCCTCTTCGTACGTCCAAAAACGCGCGTCGCGCGTGACACTTTCGTAGGCCGCCCTCTCGACATTATCGCCGCTCTTTTGTAGAATATCGATAGATCGCAGCCAGAGCGGCACGCCGAGCCACGATGCATATGCTTGTACAAACTCTGCTTCATCTCTCGAAGTGTCGCGGTTCCCGTAGTCGACGTGCACGGCCTCCAGCGACAAATGTTTGAGCGCGGGCGTCGTCCGTAGCAATCGGGATACTAAATACGTGAGCACGACGGAGTCGACGCCTCCAGACAGCGAGCAGATTAGTTTTGTGGTGTTACTATCCTCGAGTCTTTCTAGTAAAAACTTCTTGGCGGCCTTGTGCGCTGCTAATGAACCGACGGCGTCGGGTTTCACATCAAAAGCGTCCGCGCGGAACGGAGGTGACGATGCTAGTAAAGTAGAGAAGGGTTCCCAACTCGCCGGCTTGTCTGTCTCCTGTGGACGGCCGTCCTTGGTCTTCAGTTTCAGTAAAGCCCTACATAGTGCGGCGTCGAAGCGGCGCCAGACGCCTCGTTCGGAGTCCTGAGCATCCTTGGCCCACCTGTGTGGCACGGACGCCGTCGCGAAACTGCCTCTGTGTACATTCGCGCGACGCGTGCACTCTCATGTGATCATGAAGACGCCATCGACGCGAAGTGGCATCGCGAGGACGCCATCGCCGCGACCACGTCAAGTTCAAGTTCATTTTGCTCTGAGTCAGCACCTCCGCGACAGCGGGAGCACTTCGTCCTCGAGAATACGACGGTCGAAGCTGTGCCGCAGCGGCATGAGCAAAAAGGCCTGGCGCTCCGCATTCAGGTCGTCGGCTCTGCTTAATGTAGCTCTTGATGCCGCCATCGCGAGCGGGCCCAGAGCGCTTGGATCGGTGTCGGAGACGCGCGCCAGGTGCCGCGACACCTGGTCCCAGAGCAGCACGTGGGCTAAGACATCATCCAAGGGCGCCGTCGCCGCCCACGTTGCTACGTCCGCTTCATCAGCGTCGCTGATGGCTGATAGCGTGGTCGCGTAGCGGTCTGACACTTGATGGTCGAACGCGGCCGTGCTGGCGAACCAGCGCTGCCTCGCTTCGGCGTCGGTGAACCAGTAGTCGAGGACGTCTTTTGTTGTGTCCTCCGGGAGTGGTGCGAACGTCGCGCAGCGCGGTGTGAGGCGGCGCAGTGTTGCTGTGGCGGCGCGCCAGCCTCTGGCTTGGCGGGCCAGGAGGAGCATGACCCAAAACATCAACGCTTCTTTCGCGAGGCTACTCAGACATGTTTGGGCATTTATGCGATTGGCACAGAGCTATTTTGCGGCTGTGCCTAGCGCCCGTAGCTAGCGTACCGCGGGACCCGCCGCTCTCTCCGAGCTCCGCAGACGTCCCGGAGGAGTCGTCTCGTCGCCTGGACGACTCCTTCGTGGAAGGTTTTTGCGTCGTCGCGCACGTCTCATCTCACTGCTGGGCGTGCTATAACAGCACGTACCAGGCGTCCCAGGATTGGAGCCACTGCGCTCGCACTCCCCTCTCATACATTTAATTCGGTCGCCGACGAGTCTGACGCTCCGCGAGACGCCTGCGCTGCGATCAGCCCCAGCGCAGCGAGGAAAAAAAGCCAGATACTCACGTGACGAGAGCGGTCCGCGGCGCGCCGACGCGGCCGAGTCACCGCTCAGCGACACCTGCGACCGCTGCGCATCGAAACGCGCGAAACCGCGGTTCGTCATGGCCGAGTGGGCGCGCCGCGGCCGCGCCATCAACACGGACGGTGCCCATTCGCGGGCGTCGACGGCGTCGACGACAGCGAGTCGCGCGGACCGGAAGAGGTTGGAACACGTGGACCGTAGAGTTTTGAGGAGAGTCGACGTGTGCTCGGGACCGTTAGGTCGGGGCGCGTACGGAATCGTCTGGAAGGGCGTGGAACGACGAGGTAAAAGACGCGTCGTAGCTCTAAAGAAGTGTTTTGATGCGTTCGCGTCGAGTTCCGACGCGAGAAGGACCTACAGGGAAGCCTCATACTTACTACGTTTAAGAGGCCACGTGAACATAATCAGTTTGAGGCATGTGATCGAGTCCAAGTCCGGAAATGATGTGTACTTAGTTTTTGAGTACATGGAGACGGATCTGGAATGCGTCGTGAGAGCTAATTTATTAGAAGATGTCCACAAAAGATACGTCGCGTATCAGCTCCTCAAGGCGCTGATTTACCTGCACAGCGCGGGCGTCGTCCACCGCGACGTCAAGCCGTCTAATTTATTATTGAACTCGAACGGGCACATGAAGCTCGGGGACTTCGGGCGCCGAGTCGGCGTCTTCATTGAAGTTGAACTTGATGTTTCGCGGCGACGGCGTCGCGGCGACGGCGTGGACTCGGGACCGCGGAACGCCCCGAAACGGCTCAAAATCGACAAAGAGACCACACACGACCTCGTCTGATGGAGACGACGCGCGTCGATGGCGTAAGGCTCAAGAGAAATCGCTCCCGCAGGCTCTGTAGATCAGTCGTCGACTTCGTCGCTGATGATGCCGAGGACGACTATAGCGTCGCGACGCGCTGGTACCGCGCGCCGGAGCTCCTCAAGCGGCTGCAGACGCGGCGGGGCACGGCCGTGGACCTGTGGGCCGTCGGTTGTGTGATCGGGGAGATGTACCTCGGGAGGCCGATATTCCCGGGCAAGGACACGCAAGAGCAGTTGTCGTTAGTCGCAGAGCCGTCCTTCTCATATATGGAGGAGGAGCCCGCGTGTCGCGCGAAGAGCTTAGTTGCGAAGCTGCTGCGCCATGATCCGCAACGGAGGCCGACGGCGCGAAGGGCATTGGACGACCCTTGGTTACAACAGTTCAAGGGGACCGAGGAGGAACCCAGCTATAAGAACGGGCCCGTGCGCCTGCCCGTGGGGGACGACGCTCGACTAGCTCCCGCCGAGTACCGGAATCGGCTGCAGCAACTGGTGGCGCGCGTGAAGAGTCGTTCGTCGAGGCCGCCGCGCGTCGACGAGGACCGGTCTTTGTCAAGACCGCCGCTGGATAAGTGAGGACTAGTCTCTTCGTCGCGGCGGCGGCGTGCACGTACTATTGGACCAAGTGGGGGCCACTGTGGGGCGGCGTCGAGCGACTCGAGGGCCGCCGGTTCGCGAGTCGCGACACGAAGAAATACAACTACTCCCCCTTATTCCGCGCCACCGCCGCGTAGAGGTCGTCCGCGGCCGATTGACCCTGCAAAGGCACCTTCGGCGCGGGGAGGTCCACCAGCCCCTGGATGCCGTCCGCCCGCGTCGTCGGGCCTGATAGATCGGACGGCAGGGCGCCCTCGACGAGCTCCGGCCCGTACGTGCCGTCGGCGAAAGCCTCGCGCATCGACAGGATAACATCATCTTCGTCCGGCGCCGCCTTCGGAAACCCTGCGCCCGCGCCGTCTTCCGACGGGGGCGCCCGGGCCTCGTCCTCGGCCGGCAAATCGAGGGCCTTCTCGCCGAACAGGAGCTCGAGGTTGCTCTTGCGCGACGCGGCGCCGTCGACGCCGCGAACCGCCTCGTAGCCGCCCTCGCCGAGCGTCGGCGGCGCCGCCGCGGCCGGCGCCGCGGCCGGCGCCGCGGCCGGCGCCGCGGCCGGCGCCGGTTCGGGCGCCGAGACGCCGCCGCCGAAGAGCGCTTCCAGGTTCGCCGCGCGCGCGGCGCCGCCGGCGTCGGCCTCGCCCGCCGTGATCGCGCCGTAGCCGATCCGATCCAAGTCCGCCGGTTCCCCAGAAGTGAGCCCCGCGTGGCCCTCGCGCAGCCGCGACGATTCCGACGAAACGGGCGCGAAGAACCGGTCCCAGCGACAAGCATCCAGTAGTTGAGCGTCTTTTTCCGAGAGCGACGAATCCATCGCGTCCGCCAGTAAACGCGCCGCCGTCGGCGCCAGGAGAATCCCATTCCTCCAGTAGCCGCCGCAGACCCAGAGGTTCGACCACCGCGTTCTCCCTAAGACCTGCGAAACGGCTCAAAATCGAAAAAGAAACCACCCACGTCATCGTGAGATGGACACAAGTTGATGGCGTGACTCTCCACGACGGGACGCCGAGATACGCACCGGCGCGCCGTCCGTCGTCGTCGGCCGGAGGCCCGCCCAGGCATCATCCAATTGCCACTGTCCGAGGCCGGGGCAGAGTTTTTGGGCACGCCCCAATAAAGCGTGGACACCCTCAACATCACAATGCATCGTACTACTATTTTCAACCGTCGCGCCTGCGCGGGAACGACACTGTCGCGACACGGCCGCGGCTCCCTCGCGAGACACGTAGACTCTCGTGCGGCCGCGTCGACGACGTCGAGGCGGTGCAGCATCGCGTTGACGCCATCGACGCGACGACGTCAACTTCAAGTTCATCTTTCACGCTGAGTCAGCACCAATGACGACCCGATCACCGCGCGGTATGATGTAGCAGTCCTCGCCGTACACGACCCTTGCGGGCGCGCCCGTGCGGTCGTTTGATGGAGGTGGTTTCAAAGAGAGCATCTGGCCCTTTTGGGGCGAGACCGGGATGGGTAATAGACCCCGCAGCCACGCGCCGGCCGCCACACAATAATCCGCCGCTTCCAGTAAGGAGCCGTCCTTGAGTCTTAAAGCAGAACAGGACCCGTCCCTTGCTAGATCCAAACCGGCCACGTCTTGGTCCACAACGACCTCAACTCCGGCAGATTCACACGTCTTCAAGAGACACTCGTGCGTTTGTACAGGATCGACCCACGTCTCCAGGGGGTACCACCAGCCGCCCCTTACATCGTTGCCTAATGAGGGCTCCATGGCCCGCAGTGCGTTACCATCGAGCCATTCTGAGGGTCCCGCGCTCGACGGCGGCCGCCAGCTTTCGATCGACGACCCTGGTGTGAGTGAAGGCGAGACGAAGCCGCCGACCGCATTCAGCGTCGGTCGCGGCGCGTCGAGCGTGTCTAACCAACTAGGCCACGCCTCCCGCGCCTGGACGCAGAGGTCGAGGAGGGGGCCCTCCTCCAATCGCTCCGCCTGGGGCGCGAGCATGCCGCCCGCCGCCAACGTGGCGCTCTTCGCGAGGTCCCGGCTGACGACTCTTACCGAACGGCCCCTTCTCGCGAGCTCTAACGCCGTCGCTAGTCCACTGATGCCGCCTCCCACGACGACGACGTCGAGCTTTTTCGTGGTCGAGACGCGCGTTTGCGTAGGGCGCAGTGCGGCCGCGGTCGTTACGAGGAGGGCAAAGCGCAGCGTCATATTGTCGTCCGTGCGCCGCGCGGGCAGTCGCTCGTCGGGCTCAGGGCGCGTGCGCGAGTAGGCGGCGTAACCACCGCTGCTCGCTGAGCGCTCTTGCGCAGCGCTCGTAGGTCAGGCGTGCTGTGGCGTGTCGAAAGCGTTAAACAGCGCCAAGCTGCTAGCGCTGATGTGCCAGCACTGAGCTTCAGCAAAACAAAGGTTCGCTAGTGTCTTACATGACGCTAGTTAAATCGTAGACGGCCTTTGCGAGTGATTACTCGCCAAAAGCCGGTGCTGGGACTGCGTGAGGCTGCGCTTAACCCCTAAAATTCCAGGCGGCGTTGAGGACGTGCGGCCGCGACCCGCGCCGCCAGTAGTAGGTCTGAAGCAGGTCGCCCTCGCAGACGTACTGGTCCGGGTGAGGAGGACTAGACAAGGTCGCTGCTCTGCGTGAACCACTAGAACTTTGAGCCATGCCGCGAACGCTGCGCGAGAGCGTGGCGCTGGTGTCGCTCGCAGCAGCCCCGCTCGTCGTGCCGTACCTCGAGCGCTTGAACGGCCCTTTATTACCAGAACAAAAAGCGTTCCTAGGAAGCGTCTTAGTTGTGGTGGGCGTGAACCATAGGGAGGCCATCGTCGACGTCGCGCTGTCGCTCCTCGCCGCGCCGGGCAACCTGTTGACGCGGCTCACGGGCGACGACGACGACGAGGGCGAGGGCGCGCCGCCGCTCGCGCCGCTCGTCGCCGGCGGGGCTACGAAGCCGACGCCGGAGCCCGCTCCGGACGCACTCGCGTACGTTAGATGTCGCCACGACCGCGGCGCCTGCGCGCGGCAGCCGCCGCCGGAGTTTCAACGAGTATGGGACGACGCGCTGGGCATGGTGCCCTTGGACGCGCGCGAGCGGTGGCGCGACACCGCGGAGGCGGAGCCGGTCGCGGATCTCGGCGAAGCGCCGCCGCCGCGGCCGCGCTTCGTCGGGAGGACCTAGAGAGTGAGTAACTTGTCTGTTTGTGGCTCTGCCTTACGCGCACTCGTCAAAACAAATCGGTCCGCGGGCAGTAAAACCCGTTTTGTTGCAATTTTCGCGGGGCAAAAAAAAACGAGGGGCAGCCGGTTCGCAGCCGTGACGGTCCGCAGGCAGCCCGGACTGTCATCAGAAGCACCACACCAAACAGCGTAGGCCAGGCATGGCCGCCACGGCCGCCGCGCCGACGGCGACCACGTCCCCACAGAGGCCAACCACCAACTCCAAGTTTACAGTGTTTTTAAGGAGCAGCGACCGCAGCGGCACCTTAAAAGTGCGCCTCCCGAAGCGCAAGACCGCCCAGGCCGTCCTGCGGGCCTTCGCGGGCGCGGCGCTGGGCGATGCGTCGAAAGCCGAGGGGCTGCACCTACTACATCCCGTGAGCGGTGCGCCGCTCGCGCCGAAATCCCGCATCGGCGACGTCGCGCGCGACGGGGATGTGCTCGACGTGGCCGCGCGGCCGCCGGCCTCGCCGCAGGCGACGCCGCCGCGCAGTCCGCCCCAGCGGCGGTCGCTCGCGCAGGAGCGGAGCGCGTTGCGGACGCGGGAAATGGTGCGCGAGTCGACCGTCGCGGTGGACTCGATGCGCGCGCGCCTCTCGGCCATGGGCATCCTGAAAGCGCCGCGGTCGCCGCCGCAGACGCCCTTGGATCTTCCGCCGCCGTCGCCGCGGGAGCCGCCGCCCCGGCCACGTCCAGACCCGCACGCGTCTTTGCGAGAGGAGCTCGTCCAGCTGGCGCGGACGGACGCGGCGGCGTTTGAAGAATTGGTGGAAGCGGCAAGGAGAGAGGGACGACGGGAGTCCTAAATACAAAGAACAAATTAGAAGTCGTCGTCATTGCCGCCCATGGCTTCCGCCTCCTGCAAACCGACGTGCAATTTCCCCTCCTTGACCGGGTCCCAGGGCTCCTCGTAGATATATGCTGTGGATAACACATCATGATCTTTCCGCTTCCAACAGTAAAAACAGGCGATGATGATCGTCATGCCTTCGACGCCGACCGTCGCCAGCAGCATCCAGCCGTTCGGGTAGAGCTTGCCGTTCATGAGCCCTTCGTAATAGACCTGCGCGGAGCATCTCAAAATCGGAAAAGAAACCAGCCCCGGCCTCGTCTCATGGACACGAGTCTCATGGACACGACGGGACGCCGAGATACGCACGGCGCAGCCCGTACTGTCGGGAGTCACCTCCCACGTGTTGCACAAACCCGTGCCCCAGTCCGTGCGGCAGCCGAGAGAATTTTCCTTCTCCGTCTTCGTCTCGCCGTCGGCGTAGGCCTGGCAGGGCGCCTCGTCCTTGAACGTCTTGTCCAAAGGATACCAGTTCGCGAGTTTCGGCGAGCACTTGACGCGCTGCTTCAGCATGTCGCGCCCGACGCCCTCGCAACTGAGCGCGCGGCCCGAGAACTCGAACCCGCCCGAACAGGGATACTCGTCCTCGTTCTCGATGCGATCACAACTGTCGGGCGGCGCGAAGCCGCAGCACATGCCCTTGCCCTGCAGGTCGTCCAGAGCCATTTTTTTTCCTTCGTCGCCCCCATACCGGATGGCCTGCGAGTACTCGGCCAGCCACGCCAACCGAAAGCCCGCCGTCCGGTCCGACCCCCAATAGGCGTCGCAGTCTCTCTTACTATACACGGATTCTTCGGGCACTTGGACCCGATTACAATCCGCGCGCAGCTTGCGACTTTCCTCCTCCGTACAAGTAGCCCCTTTGCAGCCGTCCATCCTCCGACCCGTGATACTATTCTCTCCATACAACTCGTACCGGCCGTCGGCCAGGAAAAAACCCGCGATTATTAATTGCACAAAAATCGCAAATCCATCGAACAGCAGAATGATTAACAAAGCGCACTTGTTGTGTCGCGACGACCCATAATGCCCGAGGGCGATGTTGCACGGCTTTAGGAGTGAGAGCACGAAGACCACAAGTCCGTAAAAGATGTAGACGGAACCGTACGCTCGGTGGATGGATTGATCAGACAATATCCCAGCCCCCATGCAGAACATGTAGAACGCGATGAGGACCTTGAAGAGGTGCACGCAGCGCATGTAGAGCTTGAGCTGGTGCTCGAGGCAGCCGCCTCTTAACCGTCCTAAGCCTTGTATCGTGTCGTTCGGTTGGAGGTTGAGGTGGTGCACGGTTTCCTGTGTTTGCCAGGGCCGGCCTCTTATACTTAGTCGTTCGCAGCGTATCCGTCGCCTCCGGAGTTTGCGCAGTACAGACGCCGCGTCCGTCCGTCGTCCCACGTCGAGGGGGACCGTGCGGCCCGCGGCCTCCACATACAGGCGCATGGCGCCGTCGGCGGCGTGCCTGGGGCTGTTGTGGCTCTGGGGCAGCTTCTTGGGTTCGGCTGTCGGTCCAGCGCCCTGCCGATCGTTGGGCATTCCTAGAGCCTTACGGGCCGCTAGCTGCGAAGCGCTGCGGTGCCGCTAGAATTGGCCCCAGGAGCGAGCCGATACGTTGCCGGGGCTGCCCAAGCCGTTGCCGGCGCTGCCCGGGCGCGGCCGCGGATTTTGCGCACGAATGCTGGACGAGATGGCCTTGTGCAGAGATGATTGTGCAGGCTGCCCCTCGACCTCCTAGGATGACGCCGCCCAAAACACCGGACAGGGACCTGTGTCGCGGGCCGCCGACGCGCCGCGACGGGCCGCTCCGCACGGCCTCGCGCGACCTCGACGCTGCCGACGCGCGCTTCATCCAATTACTATCATGCTTGGACCGCGGCGCGACCGTCCTCCGCGCGGTTTTCAAGCCGCTCGGCATCATTCTAGTGATCGCGGTCGCAATCCAAGTGCCCTGCATCCCGACGTCAAACAGCGGCGCGGACCTAGAACAAAAGTACGGCGCGCCCCACGCCCGGGGCTTCGTCGCGGACGTCTACGCCGTCAACCGCACGCACGTCGTCAAGCAGCTCCGCGGGCCCTGCGCGGCCGAGACGGCGCCGTGCGTCCGTGGCCGCGCCTCGCTGCTCCACTACGTGTGGTGGTGGTCGCACGCGCGCGAGCAGTGGCGGACCTACGAGCGGTTCGTCGCGTTACGTACCATGAACGTGACCCAGGCGCCCGAGACTTTTGGGATGGATCATGAACGGTGGCGCATCCACCAGCGGCGCTACGTCGCGCCCGACTACGAGCCGGCCCGGAGCTGGCCCGAGGACGAGCTCGTCGCGCTGTCGGCGGCGCTCGAAAGGAGGGATTGGTTCCTCGTCGATCTTGCAAAACGGAACGCGCTGGTTCGCAGGCGCGACGGACGGCTCGTCGTGGTCGACGGCTCCCTGATCACGGGGACGCAGCTGCGGCTCCGTTTGATGTGCGCGCGCGTCCTCGACGCCGCGGCGGCGCTTTTTCGTTTGGCTTTCCGCGCGTCGGACCTGCCCTTCGTGAGCCATGTCCGCGTCGCGCGCGCGCCGCGGGTGCGCTTCGACGATCGATCGAGCCGCGGTCAATCAGCCCTTATAGGGGTGGCCGATGCTTTTGCTACCATGTCGCGTTTGACCTCCTAACAATCTTCAAGTTGTAAAGAAAAGCGCAACCGGCCCCATGGGATGAATGATACCGGGGCGTAGCGGGTTTCGAGTAAAACCCGATCCTGATTCTCACGCGAGTCACGCGCCGGCCCGGGCAGGCAAGAGGACCTAAGGGTCCTAAGGACCTGGTGCAAGCGCATCTCTGCCTGCGGGCACGGTGGCGACGCTGCCCGAGCACTCATCGCTGCCCGAGCGCATCGATCCCAGTGGCCAGCCGAGCGGAACACCACTACCCAACACTCTGCGAGGCCGCGCGCGACCATGCGGGCGCGCCTCGCCACGGCGGACCCCGCGACCAATGATGACGCGCTCGTCGAGCACACGGCGCCGGCCCGACGCCGGCCGCGACGGAGGCTCTGGTGCGCCCTCGGCGCCGCCGCCGTGCTAGCCGTCGCGGTCCTAGCGAAGGCGTGGGTCCGGGGCGAGGTGTGGCTCGCCTACGTGCTGCCGACGCCGGCCGTGTGGGACCGCGTCCACGCGGGCGGCGCGACGCGCCACTGGCGCGAACATAATGGGACGCAAGCGATGCTCGTCGCGCAAATCAATCAAAGGCACCCCGGTTATTCGTCGTTGCTGGACCTTGGGTGCTCACGTGGCCTCGTCCTCGCGCAGCTCGCCGCGCGGCAATCACAGGCCGCGCACTTCGGCGCCGATATCTCCCCGCGGATGGTCCGCCGGGCGCGGCGGCGGTGCCCGCGGTGTTTTGTAGAGGTCGTCGATGCCGCGACGCTCGCCCTGCCGGACGGCTGGCCAGATTCGTACGACGTCGTGCTCGTCTCCGATGTGTTGTACTACATCCCCTTCGCGGGCGTGCCTCAAATGGTAGCGTCGGAGAACCGCAACGTTGAAGCGTCGCGGCCGTGGTTCGCGGCCGTCTCCAGATTAGCGCGGCGCGAGGTGGTCTTCTCGAGCCACCAGAACAACCCATGGGTGCGGGCCATGCTCCGGGCTGCAGGCGCGCGCCAGCTCTCGCCAGGCGGCGCGTGGGCCCTGGCCGGTACCGCTGTCTGACCCCTTGTCTGACCCCTTGTCTGACCCCTCGCCTGTAAGTATGTTTGCCAGTGTATAGTGTATTAGTCGGCCACGAGCATGCGTGGCCGCGCGAGCGCGCGCACGCCCCGCTGGAGCAGGCGCAGCTCCCGGTCCACTTCCACATGAGAGCGCCAGCGCACCCAGGCCCGGCCCAGCAACCGGCCCTCGAGGCGCCGCCGCAGCCCCGCGCGGCGCTTCTGCGAGGACGCGTCCCGCGCCCACTGATCGAACGCTTTTTCGACGCGGCTCTCGAGCGCCGTCGCGAACAACAAAAGGACGCGCCGCGCCGCGCCGCCGCGCCGCTGGCGCATCTTGAGTTCGCCGAAGCAGCGCCGCAATCCACGTCCTTTCATGTGGCGCGCCGCCGTCCCGACCAGAACGCCGACGAACACGCCCAGGCGCTTCGCGCGGTCGTCCTTTACCGAAGACCGCCAGGCGGCAAATGCGGACCTACTTCTCCGGTCTTGCGCGAGAGCGCACACGAGCCGATTCCGCCCGGTCAGGCGCGCGGCCGTGCAGCTCCAGCGGCGCCAGGCTCTCTTGGTAGAATTGCGTTTCGACGCGCGGCTGACGACGCCGAGGTAGCGCGCGGCGATCTCGTGATTGAGAATTTGCTTCGCGAGGACGCCGACCACCCCAACGTTGGCGCGCCAGCTCCATACCGCAGTTCGGAGCGCCGCGTCGCGTGCGATGCCTAAGATGCGGCGCAAGGAGCGCACGCGGCGGTCGCACCGGTCGGTGTGGCTTCGCAGCCTTACCAAGGCACTCTTCATTTGCGTGGTCGCCGTTCTTCGAACCATTGCGGTGCAGATGACCGCGCCCGCCTGTTTACGCGAAGCGGTCGCGCAGAGCTGCTGCGCCGCGGCCGCTTGTTTTACAAAAGCGGTGAGCCCGCGCCGCAGCAGGGCCGTGACCGTCCGCCGGAGCGCGCCGCGGCAGAGGATTGACGCCGCGTCGCGCTTGGCCCGTGTCGACGCGAGGACGCACAGAGCGACGGACGTCGCCGCCCTGAGGCCCGCGGCGTTCTTGGAAAGCTTCGCCAGCGCCCGCCGCAGCCGCTGCTCGCGCGTCCGCTCGAGGGCCGCGGCGCAGAAGACCAGCCCGAGCCGCTGCTCGCCGACGCGCCGCGCGTTGCGGCTGAGGAGGAAGAAGGCGGCCCGCACGTTGATCGTGGCCGCGGCCCGCAGGACGCTTCGGAGAGCTTGTGTACAACGGCTCTCCAGCGTCGCGCGGCGGCGCCAGGCCTGGTAAGCAAGGAGCGCGCGGCCGTGGGCGAGTCTGGCCGCGACGCGGCGCAGCGTCCGCTTCCGTAAAGCGCGCGCCGCGCCCACGGTCTTTAAGGAAGCGAGCGCGCGCGCGAGCCGTTTGTGCCGCGTCCTCTGCAAAACGCCGCCCAGCGTCGCCGCGACGTGGCGGAGCGTGGAATTGTGTCGCCCGAAACTTATGATGGTGGCCAGGGCTCGGCGCTTGCGCCGTCTGATTGATGTCGCCGCGACGCGCCTTTGTAATGACAAGGCCCGGTCCTCGATTGTAGACCTCCGCCGGGCCGCCGCGCGCCAAGCCCGCAGCCCATTTCTCGCCGCTTCCCGCCGAATCATGGCCGCGACGCGTTTGAGGACCGTCGCGCGCCGCACGACCAGCAACCAACTCCGCCAGGCCATCGCCCGGCGCTTGCCCGCGCTGCTGAGCGCGAGGCGGCGCAGCGCCCGCACTTGTGTCGAAGCGGCGCCCGTGAGACGAAACGCGGCTCGCATCCAGGTCCGCCAGGCCATCGCGCAGTGTTTCGCGGCGCTGCTCCGGGCGAGGTGGCGCAGCGCCCGCACTTGCGTGTTCGTCGACGCGCTCGCGGCGCGCAGAAAACGAAACGCGGCCCTCATCTGTCGCCGCACGCCTCTTCTCAAAGCCGCGACACATAACGCCGCCGCGGCACCGCGGCGCGACGCTCGCACAGAAGCCGCATGCTCCTTCAACAAAGAGAACGCCTCTACACGACGCCGCCGCACGACCGCGGCTCCACATCTCTTAGAGAAGGCCGCCCGCGCCTCCATCAATCCACTAGAGCGCCGCCAGCTCCGGAAGCGCCGCACGATCCGCCGCACGTCGCCGTCCTCCAAGACGCCCGCCACCGTCCGCGCGGCCCGCAGTCGGTCGACGTCGTGCCGCGCGGCCCGCAAAGCCGCCACATATCTACCACCAGTCGGCGACGTCGCTTCGGTACGATTGATCCAGGCCGTCGTCGCGCGTTCGAGGATTGCCGTCTGTCGGTCGTCGAAATGTAACGCGGGCGACTCGGGCAGCGGTTTTATCGGTGATGACGCCTCGATGGACGATGGTGGTGACACCTGAGAAGACCTTCGTTTCGGCGTGTAGGGTTCGTCGCACTCGACGACGAGGAACCTATCTCTTCCGGGTCGGAACTCGTCGAACTCGTCATCTAAATAGCGTTCGCGCAGCCGGTCCCATTCTATCTTTCCCGCGCCGACGGCCTTGATGCCTCGAGACCAGAGGGGCTCTTCGACGAGGGGCCGGAAGACGCGGGCGCCTCTCCGGTTCAGTGCTCTCTGAGCCAAGCTCTTCACCTCGTCGGCGGACGGCGTGACACGTCCTAGGCGCAGCCTTTCTCGTCCCTTTTCTTGGCCCTGGTCGTACCTGCGCGGCGTGGCGTGAGCGACGATGCTTTTTTGGTTGGGCATCATGGGGCGGGCTGCGGGGGCTGCGGCGGACGCTGCGGCTGCACAGTATGACATCAATGTCAGAGTAGTCGTCCTCCATCGCCGCGGCGCCCGGGCTGCGCCGTTTGGGACGTGATTATTCACTTGATTGATTTGCTGTCATTTTGGCGGGGTCGGGTTACGGACCGTAGGCTCAAAATGTTGGATCGCAACGTAACCGTGGGTGGGCTGGACCTCGGTTAGGTCGTCGCCTGAGCGCTTTGGAACAGTGTGTAAAACCCGTTTTAACCGCGTCGAGCCGCTCTCCGCACGGCTCGTCACGAGCGCCAGCCATTGATTCGAAACGGCGTGTAGGCGGTACGCAAGCTATATATCCAGCGCTGTGGCTGCTGGCGTCGTTGCGCCAGGTCTCGCCCTAGCAAACGAGCTCCTGTAGCGCGCCTACTCGACGCCCCGCGAGATCTCTGCCGCGTGCGAGCGTGCGAACGGTCAAGACACGCCAGAGCATCACTGAAGAGCCGCACAGATGCGCCGCACGCTCGTCGGCCCGTCGTCGACCGCGCGACCGGCGCCGGCCGCCGCGCCGCGGCCGGTGGTGCAGAAGGGCGGCCTCGCCGTGAGCTGGCGCGCGGACGTCGGCGGCGTCGCCTGCGTCGCGCAGTCGAGCGCCTGCCTCGCCGTGGCGACGGACGACGGCGCCGTCGTTTTTGTGGATACTGCCGGCGAGATCACCGCGCGGTCGCCGCAAATTGCCGACGAGGGCCCGAACGCGATGGCCTTCTCGCATGATGGGGCCTGGGTCGTGGCGGCCTTCGACGACGGCCGCGCGCGCGTCGTGCGGACGGATGGGACGCTGGCCGTCGTGCACGCGGTGGCGCCGGAGGCGGTCGCGGGCAAGCGCGCGCGCCAGGTCGCGGCGACAAGCTGCACTACGCTCGACGACGACTTCGTGGCCAGCGCGGGGAAGCTCGTCCACTGCTGCTCGTTGACCGGCGATTTGATCCATGCCGTAACCTTCGAGGCGCCGGTGCGCGCGCTCTGCGACGCGTCCGCGGGTCTGTTCCGAGGCTACGCGGTCGCGCACGGCTGCGTCTGCGTGCTGGTGCAGCGCGACGGCGAGGTCAACTGGCGCTACGCTTCCCAGAGGCCGCTGCGGTCGCTCCTGGCCCGAGGGGACTTTGTGGCGGCGGGCACCTTCGACGGGGCGGTCCAGGTCTGGGGCGGCGAGGATCTCGCGGCGTCGCTCCAGTCGTTTTGCCAGAGCGACGGCGAAGCGCTGGCCTGGAGCGCGGACGGTGCATTTCTTGCGGTGACGGGCGCACGCGCAGCATGCTTCGACTTCTCGGGCGACCGGCCACCGCACCCCTATCGACGGGACCGGGGCGACGGGCCGGACTACATCCCTAGGGTGTTGGGCTTCCAGGACGGGTCGCGCGAGCGGTGCGTCGCGTGGGCGCCGGGCGGCGCGATCCTGGCCACCGCCGATTCAACGGGTGTGGTGCGGCTCTGGAACCTGCGGGGCCGGCTGAAGAAGGGCGGCCAGGGCCACCCGCAGCGGCCGGAAGATATGAAACCGCAGTTCTTCCTGTTCCCGCAACTCGACGCGGCGCACCCGTCCGGGGCCTCGGAAAGACCGGCCTTTTTGGGATGGCTTGGCCCCGACGTGGTCGCCGCCGTCTACGAGTGCGGCGACGTCGTCGCCTTCCGCGTGGCGCCGCCGCCTGCCGTCGCGGCGGCGCCGCCGCCACCACTGATCTTCGATAAAGCCACCGACCCAAAAAATGTGATGTAAGACTACTACTACTTATTTCTTACGCTTGGCGCCGCGCTTCGCCGCCGCACCGTCCAGTAGCGCGCGCGCCGCGCCGCGGCCGCCGCCCTTGAAATGCGGGTTCGCGTCCCGTTTCCGGGCGGCGCGGCGCTGGCGTTTCGCGGACTGCGCGCCGAGGTGGGCGACCTTTCGTCGAGCGGCTTCGAGCGTGCCCGCTTCGACCTGGGCCGCGTCGACGCGTTTTTTCGGAGGCGGAGCGTGGGCTCCGCGTAACAAAGCCTCGGCCGCGTCCGCGTCTTCGGCGTCCACGTCTAAACCTCCCACAGTGGTCGTGACCGTGACCGCGGCGCCCCACTGCTCCACGACATTGCTGTCAGTGAGCACGACGGTCTCGCGCGTCGCCGGCGCCTCGTCCAGGACGACGGGCTCGGGCGCCGGCGGCGGCCGCATCGACCGCCGCGCCGCGCGGTCGGCGAGCTTCTGCTTCCGCGCCTTGAGCGCGCCGTGGGCCAGGCCCGTGAGGCGCCGCTCGCGCTTCCGCTTCCGGAACCCTTGGAGCCAATCTTTTCGCGCCTCGACGTCGAATGTGGCTTCCGTGACCATTTTTGGTGGGCGGTTGCTGCGCTGCGAGCGGCCCATGGTTCACTGGTGGTCCTGTTGTGTCTACGTCGCGTCGCCGGCGTTCCGCCGCGGTATCGCCCGCTGCAGCGCAGTGCAGCGTGCAGTGATTTGCTAGTCGACGCAAACTCGTCGCTCTTTTTGAGCACAGCGGCAACGTGCGTACGGTCGGCCCTCCCGCGTGTATTTGCGGCGATCACGGCCGCGCTTCCTGCTCTTTTTGTTTCGTGCTGCAAAGCGATGCTAGCGTCCGGTAACATACTAGCAACCTTGTGGTTTTTGGCCTTGGGCAGCCTCATTTGGGGCTTTAGAGCTCGGCAGAGCCTAGGAAGAGCAGCTGCGGAACCCTTGCTCTGGCCTCCCCACGCCTTCGACGCGACCGAGCGCGAGACATGCGCAATCTCAGCCTGCTAGCCCTCGTCGCGGCGGCCCGCGCGCAGGACACCGACCACAACTGCGTCGAAGCTCTGCACTTAGGCGTGCGGCGCTACCATTTATGGAGACCACGGGCCCACGGCGTTTGTGGCCACGCGCCGGTAGTGGTAGTCCTCATTCACGGCTTCGGCGGCACGCCATTAAGGGCCTGGGCGCGCACGGCGAAACTAGTCCAGTCCCGGGGCTGGGCCGCGGCCGCACCTTATGGTCATCACAAGTCGTGGAACGGCGGGGCCTGCTGCGGCGACGCCGCAAAGCAGAATTTGGACGACGTGGGCTTCCTCCAGAAGCTCGTCGAAGACGTACGAGATAGAACAGGAGCGGACCGCGTGTTTGGGGCTGGCTTCTCGAACGGTGGGTATATGGTCTCGAAAGCCGCCCATCTATTTGACGGCATTTCGCCGTGGGGCGGCCACCAAACGCACCTGAACACGACGCGACCGACGCCGATAACCATGCACCACGGGTTGAAGGACGGCGTGGTCAAGGTTACTGGTTGTTGTAGCGGTGCCAAGTGCTGCTGTAACATAGATGAGAGGTCAGATGAATGTGTTCATTTTTTCGGCGTCTACGAGCGGTGGCTCCGCGTGAATAGATGCGCTTCATACAATGTGGTGGAGAGCACGCACGCGACGTGCCGCGTCGGTGTGAGTTGTAGAGCAAATACGACGGCGTGTTTACATAAAACGATGGCCCATACGTTTAATGATCTGGCGCGGCCTTCCAGTAATGATATGAGGGGCCCGTCGGTGGTCGACGTGCTGGACTTCTTTTCAAACACGCCGGCGCGGCACCACCATCGTCATAGGCATCTGCATCGGCGACGGGGGATCCATGTGGGCCCCCCGCCTTTGCTGGAGCGGCCTACCATGCGCGTGGCCCCGCCGGTGCGGCGGAGCGGCTTTTTTGTCGGGGCGCCGCCGGCCTCTTAACGTATTGTGTGTGTGCTTTCTCCTCGGTGGCGTATATCTTGCGCCTCGTTGGCGCCAGAACTGGGTCTGGGGGTAGATTGGGGCCAAGAGACGACCCGTGCCGTCGGCTGCCCGTCGCCGAGGGCGTTTCGGCGGCTTTCCCGGGCCCGGACCCGGCCGGCAGGTACCGTCGGGGCGAATAGATATATGAACCGGCATCATACTCGCGGCTGCTCCAAAATGGGCAGCATACCTGCGACACCGTCGGAGTCGGCGCGTCACACGAGCGCGAGCCTGGGCGTTGCCGCACTAAAAGGGCTGCCCACGCTCTTCCGTGTTGGTCCAGGGGTACTCCGGCCGGTGTCCGACTCTGGGGGGACTTACGATTTAGCCGCAAAACCCGCACTAACGGCTGCTGCGATTTTAAGCGGGAAGTCGATAAACGCGCCGCTAGACCACTTCCGCATGGCTATATAACGCTAGCAAGCCTTAGGCATGGATACTGAACCGATGCGACCGAGCGCGGGCTGCCGCGCTACGCCAGCGCGCGGCGCACAGGCCTGCAGCAGCGCTGCAGTCGATACAGCAAATACCTGCGCGCGCGGGGGCCGCGCGTGCGCTGGCTCGCCGCCGCAATGCATGTCCCCAGCGCGACAGCCCCCGCGGCGGCCGCACGCCGCCGCGCCGCCGCACCACCGCCGGCCGGCCGGCACCCGCTCCGGCGCCGCGCGCCTGCTGCGGCTCTGCGTCCTGCTGCCCCGGCTCTCGACGGCCGCCGTGCCCGGCTTCCCCGGCGCCAGGGGCGGCCGCAGTCCCGCGCCGGCCGCCCCGCCGGGGCGGCCCGCGGCGCCGCCGCCGGCCGCGGCGCCTCGGACGGCCGCGGCGGCCGCGTTCTCCTCGAAGGCGTCGCCGTTCCTGCGGAGCGACGCGCGCGCGGCGCCCTGCGAGGCGCCGCCGCCCCCGGCGGTGCCGTTCCTGCGCGCGCCCGCCGCGGCGCCGCCGCCGTGGACCGCACCGCCCGCCGCGGCGCCGCCGCCGCCGCCGCGACCCGGCACCGTGACGACGCAGCCCGTCTTCGGCCCCGCGCGCGGCCTCTTCCGCGGCCCGCCCCTCGCTCCAACCTCAAATGGCGAGCGCTACGGCGCGGCGCGCCGTACCTTTGACGGTGATGATGATGACGCGCTCCGCGCCACCGTCGCGGCCTTGAGGGTCGAGATCGACGCGCTGCGGTCAGCGCAGCGCGACCTCCGCGCGGCGAACGAGCGGCTGCGCCTCGAGCTCGTCGCACAGAAGCGCAACGCGACGGAGCTCGCCGAGGAGGTCGCGAAGCGCGAGCGGCTACGTAGAGGCGCCAAGGCCGAGGTGCGCCAGCTGCGGGACCTGTCGACGGCGCCGGCCGCCGCGCCGGTGGCGCCGCCTTCGGTGCCGCCGGCCGCGGTGCCGGTCTACCCGCGCCAGCCGCCGCCGGCCGCCTACGCGCCGCCGGCCGCGCCCGCGTACCCGGCGCGGCCGCCGCCCGCGGCCCCGGCGCCCTACGCGCCGCCGACCGCGGCCCCGCGGCCCTACCGGGCGCCGGGCTTCGGCCCGACGCCCTACCAAAAGCCACGCATCACCACCCCGGAGAATTCGGTAGCGGGCGCGTTCGAAGCAAGGAACCGCGCCGCCGCCGAGCTGCGGCGGCGGACCTTCGCGCCGAAGCCCCGGAACAATCTACAAACCGGTTTGAGATCCCCCGAGCGCCGCGCGCCTACAACGACGCTCACGCCGCGCACGACGACGCCGCGGAAGCTCGTGCCCGAGTACCAACAACCGCCGAAGCCGCGCAACCTGTCGCGGCGGCCGCCGGCCGAGTCCTTCCGGAAGCGCGTCGCCAAGGGCTCGACGCTGTACCAGCAGCTCCAAATGGAGCACGCGCGGCGGTCCGGCGCGGTCAAGCCCTTGGCGCCGCTTCCCTCCCAGGATACGAACCGCGACGGCATGGTTTTACCGTTCGAGTCTGATGTTTGGGGCTTCACGCCCCCTTCCGACCCGAACAAGCACGTCGAGGAGTCGTCCAAGAGCGGCCGCACGCGCGGAAGTACTATATTGGCGAACATGGCCGGCGGGTCCGACGTTTATAGGGACGCGCGGCTGGCGTACGTGCGGTCGCAGCAGCGGGGGGTTGTCGAGGAGGCGGACGACGACGACGAGGCCGCGGCCGTCGTGGAGCTCTGAGGACTGGGGCGTTTTATTTATAAGTTTAGCATATATCGATCCTTGGTTTCTCGTGTCGCGGTGCGCGGCGTGCTCTGTCTTCGCGGCCGAGATCCATTTTTGTCGATATTGTATTGCATTTATATCTCTTCCCAACTGCCTCCCCCGCTTTCCCGCGAACCGAGCTAGCGCTATAGCCCCTCTAGCACGCCTCAAGCTCGAACCTTTTTGACACGTCAGGCGCGACAGCACACGATCACGCAAGCTGGCAACGCCGAACACGTTATTATAATCCGTTCTCAATCATCCTTGCACGGCTTCGTGAATCAGCCTTGCATAAATTGAGTCTGACAAGCTGCATAAAGCATGCAGCTCCTGACTGTGACATGCATGCTCGCCACCACGGTCGCATTGCTGCCACCAGCACGCTTTGTCCAGCCTCGAAGGCATACGCTGCTGCGAGGCGCCGATGACGATGCCGCCGCATTGCTGGAAGCCGCGAATAAGCTTCGCGCCGAGGCCGCGGCGCTCGAAACCGAAGCCCAAGCCGAGGCTGTAGCCCTCGAATCAGCACGCGTGGAACAACAGAAAGCTGCTGCGGTGGCGGCGGCGGCGGAACAGAAGGCAGCGGCGGCGACCGCGGCGCTCACACCGGCCGCGACCGTCGCCGTCGCGACGCCGGGCCTCGCGCCGTCGGCGTTCGCCGGCATCGACAAGTCGCGGGAGGCTTTCGTGTCCACCCTTAGTTCGTTGAAGGAGGCGGGCCAAGCGACGAAGTGGAACAGCGCCGCTCTCGTCGCTGACGGCGCGGAGAATCCCACGGAGGCGAGGGTTCGAGCCGCCACGGGCATCAACGGCGCAAAAGATCTTCTCAGCCAGGAGGAGGTCTCGAACGACCAGCTCGGGGCGTTGACGGCGGGTGTGTTCGTCGTCTCCGCAATTCTGGCGATTGCGTCAGGCGCTCTGATAGGAGGGAATGTTGGTGCCTCGTTCACGTACATATTTGCTGTGCTACCCATTGTGTTTCTTGGTGTCGGCAGCAGTTCACCTGGAGTAATAGTCGCGCTGTACGGTATCGTCCGCGGTGCCGCTGAAGACCTCGCCGCCTCGGAGCGCCGCCGCCGGCACGAGTCGGCGCATCTGGTGGCGGGCTACCGGCTCGGCCTGCCCGTCGCCGAGTACTCAGCGGGTGACCGGCCAAGGGTTGAATTCTACTACAAGACCGGTACATACACGCGCGACGATGCCGAAGCTTTGGCCTGCGTGGCGCTCTCGGGCGCCGTCGGCGAATGCGAGGCCTTCGGCCAAGCCAAAGGAGCGCAACAAGACTTCGCGGACCTCCAGGACATCTTCGACCGCGTCCAGCCGCCCCTGACGCCGGCCGAGCAGCAGTCGGCGACGCGGCGCGCGTGCCTCAACGCCTACGGCGTGCTCTACGGAAAACGATCAAGAAAGGACGACGCGGCCGTCGCGGCCGTCGACGCCGCGATGGCGCGCGGCGCGACGCTCGGCGAGGTCGTCTGCGCGCTCGAGAACGCCTAGTAAGTATACTACATTGTGTTACACAGGTAGATCTTGCGCGAGCCGCGCGCACACTCGACACAGCGCCGTATATTTATAAGCCGTCATGTCCAGGACCCGGTCGAAGGCCGCCATATCACCAGTCCGCTTCCACGCGAAGTACTCCTCGTACGCCTGTTCATTGGAAGCGAGGTACTCCAAATGGCCCGCGAGCTTCCGCGCGTCGTCTTGGAAATCACTGAATTTGACCACAGATTTCGGAGACGGCAGCAGGTCGTCGACTCTTTTTGCACCCCTATACAACGGTAGAGAACCCGCCAGCAACGCGTCGTAGACCTTCTCGGACACATAATCGCCGACGACGGCATTTTCGAACGCTAATGAGAATTTGTACGACGCCAATAGACGCCTTTTGGCTTCGCCGCGGCTTTCGCCCTTTTTGAGCGGCGGTTCGTCCCGATTATGTAAGCATCTTCCATAAGAATGGACCTCGTAGTGCTTGCCGAGTTCCTCGAGCAATTTCAGCCGCTGCTCCGCGCCGGCATTCCTACAATTCGACACAAATGCCGCAACCGCATTCTTCTTCTGCGCCCAGGGTACACCTTGCGCCGCGAAGTACACGGAAGCGTTCCAGTGCGGGTGCACCGTGATCATCGGCAGGTGCGAATCGAGGTTGTAGGTCATGACGTAGTCGAAACGCGAGACGTAGTTCGGATTTCGCAGTAGTGGCGCGTACTTGTCCTGTTCTAGACTTACCAGTAGATACTTCGCGGACTTCTTGCCGCGGGGAAAGTCTCGTGCGGAATGAGTTTTCGCGTGGAACAATAGGCCGTCGTGCGCCGTCCGTCGGTCCGTGAAAACGCACTCCGTCGAGCACTTTGTGCGGGCGTCGTTCACGAAGTCCGGCCGGAGCCAGTCGAGGTAGCCCCTAATTTTGTTGTAGACGACGACCGTGATGCGGCGGCGCGGGGCATTCGACGCGGGGTCCCGCAGGTAGGTCAGCGGGCCCGTTGCTGGTGGTGGCCGTGGTGTCGCGGGCGGCGGCGCGGGCGCCGCCGGCGTCGCTGGTGGACGCGGCGGCGGCGGCGCGGGCGCCACCGGCGGCGGCGGCGCCCGCGCCGCTGGCGCCGCGGGCGGTTGCGCGGCCGCCGCGGGCGCGCTCGACAGCTCTTGTGCTGCGTCGACGGCCGCCTGCCGGAGGTCCCGCTCGTGGCGGGCGCGCGATGCGTCGGCCTCGAGCCCCGCGAGCTCGAGCTGCTTTTCCAGGAGATGGACCTCGAATTTGACATGCGCCAGGTCCCGCCGGTGTGCTGTAATGGTCCGGCTGCGCTGGCGGCGGAGGAGGACGATTGCGAGAACGATGGCCGCCGCCGCGGCGACTCTGTTGCGCATATGTGTCGGTGGGGCTGCCCCGCGTCCCCACGCGATCGATGGGCTGCCTTTTCTCGGTCGATGCGCTTTTTGATGCTAGCGTCTCGTAAGACACTAGCAAGCAAAACGAAATGTGCCATGCAGCTTTTCGAGTATCCTTCAGTTCGCTACTGGTCCAAAGAGATCAATGGGACACTTACTGGGGGGCGAAAAAATTAATTTTTTTAACTCGCGATATTGACGGTCACAGCATGACGGCCGTGTCGGTGGAATCCTGTCGATTCGTTGTCCTGAGGTCTCCCCGGGGTCGCCTAGGTCGTTACTAGACGTGGGTGGTGGTCTACACCGCATGCGCCAAGGCTTCCATCGGTATAGACATATCGGGACAGGTGCTCAACTGCCCACAGATCTCCACCATGATCCCCCAAAGTTTTGGATCCAGAGCTCTCTGGGGAGCCCCAAGCGCTTGCGCTTGCGGTGTAGGCGACTAACCGACCCCAGACCTATCCCGGAGGGAGTCTGCGAGCCGATATACATCCGAAAAAAGTAAATAATTTGGACCCGATGGCGCCCCGTTCCCGTAAAAAACGTCAATTACCCGAGGGCCTCCAGTAGTCGCCGTAGCGGTCTCGTTGGACCCCATACTACCCCAGCGATAGTCAATTACAAGTATATGACATCTACACCACGAGAAGGGTACTTTGGACTGCCAACGCTCGGGACGTGAACATCTTGATCTGGACCTCGCGGAAGTCCGTCGGTCATGGAATAAATGATCGCGTCATGGTCCATGGTGAAGGTACACGCGCTGATGGCCGCAGGACTAGGTGTTGTGCCAAAATGAAAGAGATAGTGGGCTCTCGGGATGGCCGAGCCGCGCGGAGCATCTTGGGGTCTCGGAGCAATGTGGTAGCCGTCCAGCCCAAATGGATGGACCGTCCTAGAACCGAAGCGCCTGAAACGCGAATTTATTTCACAACTCACCGGTCTGGGGCCAATTCAGTGCCCCGCGTACACACCGTCGTCCGCGGAGAACGGGCAAGTCAGTCGATTGTGAATAGAACAACGGCGTTACGGTCCATCTGGATGGTTGCGTCGCTGATACTCGCGGGTTCTACTGATTTACCCGTTTGTATATAAATGCGCGGTACCAAAGTCGCCGAATCCCGCGGCTCGTACGGATCAAGAGACTGGGCTCAGTAAATGTTGAGGCGGGCTGGATGGACTCTACCACTAACAAACGGATGGAAACGAACATAAACTCGGGAGTTGTCTAGTAAAACTCTTCTCCCGCCCTCCGAGCGCGGGCCGTCGGCTCCGGTTCCGTCGATTATGTATGAAAACTGGGCTGGAGTTGATATAATGTCCCATTTGGACGGTAGAAGGCGCCATCAATCGCTGGTGTAATTTGGCGAGCCGTAAGACTCATCCGGGAATGTCGCGGGCGGTGCCTTCCGGGAGGCGCGAGGGTATGTTCCCGGGCCGCTAGTTTGAAATCTTTGGTCGCGCCGAACGACTAGGATGTATTCTGAATTTGGGCCCTTCTTTTGACGCTATCGAGGCGTATCTTTAAATTTACTAGTGTGTCGATATACGCTAGCTCGGTTTGGCTCTTCTTTGTATAGGGGGGCCCGCTTAACTATCCCTCAAGACGCAGTCGTCGCGTAGACTACGATTTTAGATTCACACTTTACTCCACTTGGTGTGTCGTGAGCAGGGCACCGCGCGTTCGGCGGGAGAGGTGGCTTCAAGTGCTAGACGGCATGCGCCGTCAAAGAGCGGTACTCGTGTTCCGACAAGGCATCCTCGCGAGCTCAATTTCGTGGGGGTGCCTTTGGGGACGTCGGGGGGGATTTGAACAGCAAGGGGATGGATCATCGCATCGAGAGAGCGGCTTATCTTTTTTGCCGCGCCGAAGAGCAGTCGGCGCCCTGGAACCGGGCGACGGCGGCTCCCTGGTGCGGCGGCGACACGGCACCCTCGTACGAAACATCATGGCGACGGAGGACGCAGCGCGTCCACCGAAACCGCCGCGGTTCTCGTAGTAGTCGAGGGGAGGGCATCGATTGGGTGGTGGTGCCACACGTCGTCAGCGTGTGGTTTGCGTCCAGGTCATCTGAGCGCGTCCAGCGTCGCGTCTGCTCGGCTCGGCGGCGCCATGGAGGCTTGATGGTGTGCGCGCGGCAAATCGCCTTCCTTGTCTTTTGCCGTGTTGGCGCCGCCGCCGGCCGCTTGCGCGGCCGGCGGCGACTAGATGGTCCACACGTCGTCAGCGTGTGGTGTGCGTCCAGGTCGTCTGAGCGCACTCAATGACGCCTGCCGGCATAGGTCGGCGGACGAAGAGGGTGTGCGGCGACACCGTCGTCCTCAAGAGGTCGACGGGCTGCCACGAGAGTTTTGACACAAGGTCGTCTAAAAATTTGTCGACGCCGTCCGCTCTAGCGTCGACGGCGTCGAAAGTACCGACATGAGTCGGCGGGCGCCGCCGGCCTCATCAGGCGCGACGGCGTCCTGGGCCTGCGGCCCTAGCAAGTGGCGGCCTCCGATATGGTGGAGTACCGGTGCGACACGCGGCCCGCGTGGCGCGAGCGCTTCAGGTGCATGGCCATTTGTCGAGTTTGTGCGGTTTTCCGGTCGTTGCGGTTCTCTACCGTAGCGTCCGCTATATATGATGATGACTTCTTCTTATCAAAACCGTGACTACGTGCCGCGGCTCGTCGGTTTTTGTCACTGGCTGTGCCCAAAAATCGGGTTCAGGTTGCCCGAATTCCGCACACTGTGCGCGGTCAGCAAGACGGGTTTCGCCCCATTACTAAGATAATTACCTAAACTTCTTACGGCTTCTCGTGCAGCGACACGCCGTCCGATTTGTACACAACGACGGTACCAGAAGCGTACTGCGCCGCCGCGTCGCTCGACAACCCCAGATCGTCGACGCACTGCGGCGCGACGCCCCGCGACATGTTGAGCTGGCGCCCGACGCGCATCGACTCCACCAATGAAATGACCGGCACGTCCGGAGCGAGGGCAGCGACGCGCCGCGTCATGTCGCCCCGCTCCGTGTCGATGACCACGATCGAATCAGCATCTGACACTCGTTGCGCCTCGACACAAGCCCTCGCTAAAGCATACTCTGGTGATAACTCATCTAAATCAGGTTCATAGAGCTCGTCGTCCCACGCCTCGGCCGCCTCGAGGATATCCTGCTGCGTCCTGATAGCCAGATCCGGGTAGTCCCCATTTGCAGACTCCCCTGAAAGCATGACGGCGTCGGCCAGGTCCAGAGCGGCATTGGTCACGTCCGCAACCTCCGCGCGCGTCGGCCGCGGGTTCTTCTGCATCGACTCGAGCATCTGCGTCGCGACCACCACGGGCTTGCCCGCCTCTCGGCACTTGGCGACGACGGTCTTCTGCCACGTGGCGATCTGGGCGAGCGGGACCTCGACCCCCAAGTCGCCGCGCGCGACCATGATCCCGTCGCTCTTCTCGATGATGTCGTCGATGTTCTGCAACGCGTCCAACGACTCTATTTTGCTACAAATGTGGACCGTGTCGCCGTCGGGGTACACGGACGGATGTTTTGCTACTTCTTTATCAATAAATTGTCTGATGGCGTCGACACCGGCCCCGTCTCTGACAAAGGAGGCCGCCACCACATCGATGCCGTTCTCGATGCCGAAGGCCACGTCCTTCTCGTCCTTCGCACTGAGCGCGGGTAGATCTAGGGCCACGCCCGGCAGATTCACGCCCTTCCTCTCGCCAATTTCGTTCGTGTTGGCTATTTTGGTGGTCACCGTCGTGCTGCCGTCCGTCGCGGTGACGTCGAGCGTGACCAACCCGTCATCTAACAACACCTGGTCGCCGACCTTGACCTTGGCCGCGATCCTTTCATAATTCACGTACATCGTCTGGGCGTCGCCGGCGCCGTCGTACGCCGGATCCGTGGTTAATTTCAGTTCATTGCCCTGCTCGAGCAAGACTTTCGCCTTGCGATTGTCCGTTTCTTTGCAGATCGCGAGGCCGCCGAGCCGCACCTCGGGGCCGCGCGTATCCAGTAACTTGGCGACGTAGTCACCGCCTTCCGACGCGGCCAGGTTGTTCACTCTCAAAAAGAACTCCTCGGGCGTGGCATGACTAAAATTCAACCGCATGACGTGCATGCCAGCCGTAACGCACTTCTGGAGCGGCTCGGCCTCTTCCGACGCGGGGCCGATCGTGGCCACTAACTTTGTTAACGACGCTTGTCTCGTGGTGACGCGCGTCGCGGCTCGCTCGGCAATGCGCGAGGCGGCGGCCGCTCGCAGCAGGGGTGAGCGCAGCATGGCTGGAGTCGCTTATCGATGCGTTTTTTGCAGTGGTTGTTTGCCCGCGGCGAACTTTGGCAAGTCTATGATCACTGCCGACCCTTGAATCCAGCTATGCGGCCGCGAGGGTGTAGGACAGCTCGTTTTTTATCCTCGTTGGCGAGATGTGAGACCTTTACCAAAGGAGCAGCAAGCCAGCCGAGGAGGAGTCAGTCGAATCTGGAGGAGTCCATCGCCTGCTCGAAGCGTCGGCTTCGCGCGATTTTGCTAGCGTAGTATCGATACTAGCTTTGCCTTGGCATCGTCGACGACGGCCGCGCATCACGCGCACACGTCCTCAAAACTGAGAAACTATCGAATTCATTCAATACCGCAGTAGCTCTTGCATTTCTCGAGCGCTGTCGCAATATATTACATTATCCAGACCGCTGAACGAGCAGCACACACGCGACGCCGACGCGACGCCAGCGCGCATTGCTCAAAGAACTGCTCAGACGCCGCCAGCGCGGCACGCATAACAGCTCCAATAACAATGTACGGCGGCTACGCCAACGGCGCCAGTTATGGTCAACAGCAGGCCGCCTACGCCGGGCAAGCGCCGCAGAGCTACGCGCAGCCGCAGCAGGCCGCGCAGCCACCGCCGCCACCAGCGATGCCCGGCCTCCCGGCAGGCTGGTCGCCGGCCCGCTGCCCGACGACGGGCAACACCTACTTCTACGAACATAGCACGGGCAAGGTCTCGTGGACGCCGCCGAAAGCACCGGAACCCGTCGTAGCGGCCTCGGCACAACCCTTGCCGCCCTCAACCCAGGTACCGCAGAACTACGAGGGCGCCTCGGCCCAGACCTTGCCCGAGGAGGCCCAGGACGCGTGGGACGCCGTGCAGGCGCACATCGCGGCGTCGCGCATGGGAAGGCCGCCGCCGCAGTTTTCCGTGCCTTCTACACAACCGAAGAAGCGCGGCGGGGACCTCTCTTCGTTAAAAAAAGATTTGGAGAGCCCGCCCGACGTGCTCCGGTGGCGACGCGAGCGGGACATCACGGTCGCGGGCGGCTGCGATTCTTGTTTTCCTCGCTTCGAGGACGCGCCGTTGCTGCCCGCCTTGTATACCTCGCTGAAAGCCGCCGGCTTCGCCACGCCGTCGCCCATCCAGGGCCAGGCCTGGCCTCCGGCCCTTCAAGGGAGAGACGTTATTGGCGTCGCAAAAACGGGCAGCGGCAAAACGTTAGGCTTCCTCGTGCCGGCGTTCAAATTACTTTGCGGCGAGGGCTACCCGCGGCCGTGCCAGGCCTGCGCGCCGAAGGTCTTGGTCTTGGCCCCGACGCGCGAGCTCGCGACGCAGATCGAGGACGAGGCGCGGAAATTTGGCGGCCCGCTCGGCGTGAAAAGCGTCTGCTGCTACGGGGGCGCCCCAAAAGGCCCGCAGATGGCTGCTTTACGACAAGGCGCGCACGTGTGCATCGCCACGCCCGGGCGCCTGAACGACTTCCTCGAGGCCGGGATGGTCGACCTGTACGCGTGTCGCTACCTGGTCTTTGACGAGGCCGATAGGATGCTCGACATGGGCTTCGAGCCCCAAATTCGGCGCATCGTACAACGCTGCCCCGACCGGCGGCAGACGTTATTCTTCACGGCGACGTGGCCGCGCGAGGTGCGGTCGCTGGCGTCGGAGTTTTTGAGTGAGCCCGTGGTGATCTGTGTGGAAATCAACCAGTGCGTCGGGTGCCATCGAGCAGGCGTCGCGTCGATGGCGTGCCGTAAAATTTTGATTTTCACACAGGTTGTGATATATGTCGGAGATACGTCGGGCTCGCTGAAAGCTAATAGTGACGTGACGCAGCACGTCTTCGTGACGAGATCACCGCAGGATAAAGATAGACTACTCGCGGAGTGCGTGCGGAAAGAAGTAGAGGCCGCTCAAGGTCAAACGTGTCGGATTATTGTTTTTGCGAATTCGAAGCGCTTATGTGACCAGCTCGAGCGGTCCATGCCGCGCCTGCTGCAGTTGCGCTGCTCAGCGATGCACGGCGACAAGGACCAGTATCAGAGAACACAAACGATCGAGGCCTTTAAAGTGGGCATCTGTCCCGTGCTCATCGCGACGGACGTCGCGGCGCGGGGCTTGGATATTAAAGATGTGCGCGCTGTCATAAATTACGACTTTCCGGGCAACGTGGAGGACTACGTGCATCGAATTGGTCGTACTGGGAGAGCGGGCGCCACGGGCAACGCCTACACCTTCTTCACGCAACGGGACGACCGGAAGGCCGGTCCGTTAGTTAAGCTGATGGAGGACGCCGGTCAACAAGTTCCTGATGAATTAAGGGCCATGGTTCGCGGCGGTGGGCACATGGGCTCGTCGATGCAGTTCTCGTCTGGCGGCGGCCGCCGCGGCCAGGGCGGCGGCGGCAACGGGCATTATGGGGATGGCGGCGGCAGTAATGGGCACTACGGCGATAGCGGCGGCAACGGGCACTACGGCGGCGGCGGCGGTGGCGGGCGCGGCCGCGGCGTCGACAACCGGCCGGCCTGGATGTCCGAGACGCAAGGCGTCGCGCCGCCGCAGATGCCGTCCGGCCCGCCGCCGCCCGGGGCGTATGCGGATCGCTCGCGGTCGCGGTCGCGAGGGCGGCGGCGTCGAGACCGTTCGCGCTCGCGCGACCGCGGGCGCCGGCGTCGTAGTGACTCGCGTTAAGTATGAGTGTTGTACTATATTTGGCAATCGGTCGACGGCGGCACATGGCAAGACGGGCAAGGACAACCAGGCCGGCGGCTTTCTGATGGGTATACTAGGCTAATACTAATCAAGAGCGCTCCCAGGGGCGACCGACACAAGTAACGGCGGGCATGACAGTGTCTGGCCTTGCTAGTGTCTTTACAGCAGCTAGCTGCACGCGACAGGAACGCATGGGGGGCAAACTTAGCCCCCCTTGAGGAACGAGAGAACAGATCGGTGCCGCGCATCAATCGCTGCCTTTGCACGCAAGCCGCACCCGGACGCAACTATGGGCTTCGCGGCGACCTACGTCAAGGCGTCGTGCGCCATCTTCGGTGTCTATGGGGTCATGATGCTCCTCAATCCCGGCGGCATGGTCACGGACCACTGGGACATCGCGTCGACGCCGGAGATGGAGTTCTGGATCCGCGGCCACGCCGTGACCATCTTCTGCGAGGTCTTCCTGATGATGAACGTTGAGACGGCCGTCGCGGCCAAGGCCGCGCTGGCGGCGTCCGTCGGTATCGGCATCCTCTACCCCTGGAACGCGAGATTCGGCTACCTCACGCCGAATCTCCCGCTCAAGTACCCGATGCACTACGTCCCGGAGGGCCTCATGCTCGCGCTCTCGCTCGCCGGGGCCGTCGCCGTCCAGGAGGCGCCGGAGAAGAAGCGCCGCTGAGCGGGACGCCGTCGCTACCCTCGAACGGCGTCGCTTATTATATTACGCCGTCGCCATCTTCGTTAAGGCACTTTAACTAGCGCTGTAAGACACTAGCAAGCCGCCGGCTCGAGCCAGACGCCGCCGCTTGGACGCTGCCGTAGCCATTTTGCAAGAATAACAAGGCCTGCGGGACCTCTCCGCCCAGCCCTGCAGCGCAGCTTCTGCCGCGCAGTCATATAGGAGCCCTGCCCTCTTGGACCTCTTGGAAGCCCCCGCCGCCGACGCGCCGCGCACGCGCACAGGACACTTGGGACGCCGCCGACGCACCGCGCCGCGCGCATAGGACACCTGGACGCCAGCCGCCGCGAGCGCACGCAGCCATGAGCGAGTGGCAGGTCCAGCCCGCCCAGGCGCGCAAGGAGCGCCAGGCCAATAAAAAGCCGGCCTGGCGTGTGGCCGCGGACCACGCGTGGGAGCGGTCCGGCGCGCGGTTCATGATGCAGCAATTGGCGGAAAAGGAGGACCCGCCGCCTTACTTATTACTGGTCGTACTGACGGGCCTGCCTGGCAGTGGTAAATCACTCCTAGCCGCCCAGTTGCGAGCTAGAGGATTCTCGCTCGTGTGCCAAGATTCACTAGGATCAAGACAAGCGTGCGAGGACGCCGTGACGGACCTGATGAAGAGAGGAAGACGGTGTGTGGTGGATCGATGCAACCACACGAACCAACAAAGGGACCTCTGGGTCGAGCTCATGAAAAAACACGCCCCAAAGGACAAGAACGCCGTGGCATTAGTACTCCACTTGGATGAAGATGTGGAGACGTGCAAACAAAGAGTTCTACAGAGGAAGAACCACAAAACCTTACCTCCGGTCCCTGCTTCCAAGGCCGTCGTCGACGACTTTCAGAGGAAGTTCGAGGACCCTACCCAGGACCGGGTCTGGTCTGTTGAGGGGGACTGGTCGCCCCAATCACTCGCGCTGGCCGTGGACCTGCGGGGCGTTCTTGACGAGGTTCCTGTTGACGCGCTGAAGCCGCCGCCGCCGCCGTCTTCGGCTGACGGTGCGGTCGCGCGGCTCGTCGCGATGGGCTGGTCGCAGCAGGTCTGCGAGGCCGCGTTGTCTATTTCGAACAATGATGAAGCGGCCGCCGTCGATTTGTTATTGGGGCACTCGGCGCAGGAGGTCCTCGCGCTGGCGACGGAGTCGTAATCTATAAGCTTGGAAATTTAGTTCACACAAAAATCAAAACCAAAGGACACTCAGGGCCCCAACGCCTCGGAGGAACTCTTCTCCGCCGATAGTAGGGGCGCCGGGTCGACGGGATCCCGCGACGACGTCGCCGCCGGCTCCGACGCGACGACCAGATAAAGTCCCGCGAACACGCCCACCGCACCGAGATCACCCACACCAGGATAGGCCAAACAGGACCCACCTCTACTCAGAGGCGTGCAGGCCGGCGCCCACTCCAGCGCGACGGCGACCGCCGCGAGCACGGCCGCGGTCACCGGTTGCAGCGCGGAGTAGCCTGACACCAATGACGCGGACGCCACCCGGTTCGCCCAGGTCATCAACGCGTAGGCGGCGCACGACTGGCACAGGACCCAATACAGCAAAGGTAGCCATGCGCCTCTAGGTACCGCCCAGGCACTCGTACAATCGGGACACAAGAACTCCACGATATACGCGTTCGAGTTGAGCAACACGCAGGTCACCAGCATGCACAGAGCGGCCACCACATAGCTTCCAGCGGTCACGCAGAGCGCCGGGAACCTTCGAAGCAACTGCTTCGACCGCAACACATATCCGGACGTGCAGAGGCAGTTGCCGAAGAAACACACGTGGCCGCAGAGCTCCCTCGTGAGGTTCCCGCCGCTCGTGTGCGTCTCGTGGGCGCGAAACGAGACCATCGTCGCGCAACCTAGGAACGCCAATGCCACGCCAGCAAAGCGTAGAGGAGACGGCGTCTCCGCGCCGATGAACGAGGCCAAAGCCGCCGTGAAGATGGGCTGCGAAGGCTGCCAGATGGCTCCTGCTACCGGATTCGAGAGCTTGAGGCCGACGACGAACAGCACTTGATTTCCAAAAATAAGAGTGCCGCACTCGCCGAACAATCGGCTATAGGGCGCGACGTCGGTGAATGTCGTTCTTGTTGTCAGGTAGGCTGCTGTTGCTAATAGAGGTGCGGCTAGCGCTTCCCTCAGTAAAGCGAAAACTAATGGATTGAATGCAGGGAGCCCCAGCGCGCCGACGACGGCGCCGGCGCCAAACAAGACCTGGCAGAGTCCTAACGCGCCGTGGACCCTTGCGGGCGAGGGGATCGAGCCCTTGTGCGTCGGCGCCATGGCGCTGCAGCAGCCCTGGTCTCGAGCTCGCCTGCTGCGCGGCGGTGCGCCTTGTAAGCAGCGCGACTCGCTGTGGACGGGTGACGGGTGACTGGTGACTGGGCTGACTCGTCAACACTCGCGGCGGCGGGCGCGCTGGACGCGGTTTTTTAGCGTTCGCCTGGCTGGCTGCCCAACCTGTTTTTCGGTCCCCCGCCGCCCGCGCGAGGCCTCGAAGCGGAGTACCAGGGCTGCCGAGGACGGGTCGGGAGCGTAAGAACGGCGGAAGAGCCCCCGTTTTTTTACGGTGCGATGGGGCAGCCCCTTCCTCGTACCTTCGATGACTGGGCAGTGACCAGGTAGTGGCCGGGCGCCTCCCCCAGGCCGACCGGAGTCTCGTCGAATGGACTATTTCAAAATTCTGAGTGAATGACGTGCGGGGGCGGCTAGCCTAACTAAAGTAAATCGATGCCAGGTCAAGCGAGGCACTCTCCCCATTTGAGGCAGCTGCGCACCGCCGCAATTCGCATCGTACGCACGCCAAAGGCGGTGTGCGCCTTCCATACCATCCTAGCTGCCACCGGGCCGCCGCGCGGTGCTGCCAGGACCTCAAAAGTCGTTTTAATTCAAGAGGCGACTACTATTCACCATGACACCCGCGCCCACCGCAAGCACCACGAAGATCGCGTCGGCCGCCCCGGCCCTCGCCAAGGCACCCCCCGCCGCCAAGATGAGCGTCGTCGTGCCGTCGGCTCTCGTACGAGCGGGAACGGTGACGCCGCCGGAGCAACGCAGCCCCTCGGGCCGCCGCCCGGACGCCGCGCTCCCCGCGTGGCCGCCGGGCGTCCGCGTCACTGTCGAAGCGCCGGTACCGAAGGTGAGCTCCTCGGACGATGAAGCTTCCCCGCGCGCCGCCTCCGCGGCGCGGCTCCCGCCGACGCCCGGCGTCGAGAAGCGCGAGCTCCTCGCGGCCGTGGCTTCGCCGGGAGCCGTCTACCGGACGCCCGAGCTCCTCTACGAGCCCGTCAAGCCCTCCCAATTAGATGCCGTGCGCATTCTCGACGAGAACCCCAACCGCGCCGCCTGGCTCCTTTTATCCCTCAAGCCGCCGCGCAAGGCCTTACCGCAAGCACCGGCCCCGCCCCGACGCGCGCCCAAGGCGTCGTCGGCCCCGCGGCCGTTCGCCCCCTCGCGCTTCCGACGCAACCACCAGGCGATGTCGAAGCCTCCCCAAGACGCTGATGGGAACTATCCCTGCGCGCACAAGTGTGGCCGAGTCTTCGGGCACGCACCCGCCGCCGTCTGGCGCCTGTGTGGAAATCAAGCCATATGATTCAGCGCGAGACTTCATTTCTACACAGGTCGCACACTCCAAGGCCTGCAAGCACAAGCCGCCCGGATGGTGCTGACTCAGAGCATAAAATGAGCTTCAACATGACGTGGTCGCGGCGATGGCGTCGACGCGGTGCCGCACCGCCTCGACGCCGTCGATGCGGCCGCATGAGAGTCTACATGCCTCGTGAGAGAGCCGCGGTCGTTTCGTGACTGTGTCGTTCCCACACAGGCAACCGATCTTTCTCTGAACGATCTTTCTCTGAAAATCGGTCCTCAAAATCACGCCCAAGACCCTGTGTGTACTCCTCAAAATCAAAATCCCCCGCCTGTTCCGCTAAAAAAAATACCACAAAGTTGAAAATAGTCTATACAACAAGTTTAGCCTCCTCCGCGCGAGCGTCCGGCACGAGCGCGTGTGCGAGGAAGAAGTCGTCGTAGGCCGCAAGCAGGCGGTCTCTGACGGGTGCGGCGGCGTCGTGGACCGCGGCTTGGCGTCGGACGTACTCCTTTCGCCCGGCCGTGGTCTCGACTTCCACCGGCACGGCGCCGGCGAGCAAATAGGGCGACGCGCGAATGTCCAAGTCCCGCGCCTGCAACGCGACGTCCAGCGCGTCGCCGATGAGACTAGCGTCGACGAAGGGCGCCAGCCGCAGCGCGTACCGTAGTAAATCCATGTTCGCGTGGACGCAGGCCGGCTGCTCGTGGTCGAGCTGCGTCTGCCGCGTCAGCGCGTGGCGGTTCTTGTCCGTGGCTTCGGGCGCGAAGAAGCGAAAGGCGTCAAAGTGCGTGCACTTGATCTCGTCCGCCTCGACGACGCGATTAATCGTCGCCTGGTCGACGCGGAGCGGTAGCGACTGGTGCTTGTGCGGTTGCGGGGCACCGTCGGGCCGGTAGAGCATCGCCCACTCGTGGAGCCCGTAGCAGTGCCAGATCGGCGGCCGTTTGCGCGTCGCGGCGAGAGCGGCGCGGCCGCGCTCCAAGGCCGCGAGGCGCTTCTTGGGGAGCTTTCGCGGATCGTACGAGCCGCTGCTCTCGATGCCGCGCCAGAGCCGTTCGCGGTCGTCCTGTGATGCTTCGATGGCCACACCTACCGGCGGGCACCATCGCCCGAGATTCGCGGCTGCGCCCAAGTCGCTACCGTAATACGTAAATACGAAATTCAGCAACGGGTCGTCGCGCGACCGCGCCGCGGCGACGTCCGGTGCAGCGCCGAGCAGCTTCGTGACCCTCGCGAGGTGGCGCTCGGCTTGCGGCTGCCAGCGGGTGCGCGGCACGATCGCCGCGGCCCGCAGCATTGCCAGCACGGCTGCGCAGCGGCGCATTTATTGCGATGCTGCGTTGCAGTCAGTGCTGCTTCAGCAGCCCCGGTTGGTTGCCTTGCTTAGCGATCAATGTTATGGCAGACGGGCGACGCAGCGGTTCGAAACGCCAACGTGCGCGTCGTTTGAGGAGCGCTGCGGCCCTCTGTTACGCTTTTTGCGTCCTGTGCAAGTGTGTGTGTCTCCCCCGCAAAATGATCTAATTGCAAAACGGGTTTTGCGATCGCTGTGTAGCGATCCTTAGGCAGAAACGTGATATACGATTCTTCTTGTTTTACAGGGTCCCTAGAGTTCTTCCCCCTCTAGTACCTTGGAGATCTCGGCGAGGGCCGACGCGGCCCTGGCGCGCGCGCTCGCCCAGAAGTATTCTGGACTCGAGGGTTCCAGGGGCGCGTTGTCTTCTAGAGCTCGCTTGGCCGCGGCGAGCGCCCGTCGGCACTTGGCGAGCTCCACTTGGTCCGGCGTCGGCCCCAACGCCAGTGCCGGCGAGATGCCTGGATCCTGGCAGGCGGCGCCGTGGTCCTGACGCGGGTGGTTCAAATGTGGTCCTGGCCGCTCACAGCTATCCCAAAGCGGTAGAGTATCGTCGGTAGCGTGGAACACCGGGCCCCTCGTATCTCCGCCGGAGGTCATATTATTGATAATTCGCCGTTCAGACTCTTGATGGGCATAGCAATACATCCTATTCATAATCAACGCCTTAGCAAGCCCAGCCCTATCCGTTTCGGCTTTGGCCCAAGCCGCCGCCTCTGGCCAATCCATGCCTCGGAGTTTCTGCATGACAGCTCCAAAATCACAATCACTCTGGTTGAAGGGTAAGGGGCTATTGTCGGAAACAGCAGGAGTAGGACCTTGAGGAGGAGGAGGAGCATTGCCCGGATTGGCCGGGGGCGGCGACGACTCCGAGAAGCCATTGACCATCTCCTGGGCCTGCTGTCTCTGGATAGCAAGATGTGCGTGCATCCAAGCCTGGGCGGCCCCAGTTCGAGCCGTGAGGCCCGTGCTATTAAGTGCCTCTCTGGAAGCGAGGCCTCTAAAGTGAACCCGCATGGAGTCGGCGTAGGCGAGGGCGGGCCCAATATCATCGAGAACATCATCTCGCGGCGGCGACGGGCGGTAATGATCCCCATCCCGCTGCAGCGGGCGGTCGACGACGCGCCGCGGCGGCGGCGAGAGTCGCGAGACCCGCAGCGGCGGCGAGTCCTCCTGGTCCGGCGGGTAGGAGTCCGCGTCGGCGTCCGCGGGCGAGGAAGTGCGGCCCATCGCAAATCTAGCGTCGCAGGCCTTCGACTGGGCGTCCGTCTGCTTCTGGCGCCGGTCGGAGGCCGCGGGCCGGGCCGGCGCGGATTTCTGGGGAACGCCGCCGGGCGCGGAGCCCTGCGACGACTGGTCTGGAATACGGCTCGTGTGCCCCCGTGGCTCGTCGGGGAAATTGAAAAGGCCGGGCCTGCCTTCTTCCATGGCGCGGCGAGCCCCATCAAATCCCCAGTGAATCCACATCCTAGTTTCAACTAACATGGTTGCAAGATCGGCTCTATCCATCTCGTCATTAATGTATCTCTCCATCTCCGGCCCGTTCATACCGCGCAGCTTCTGAAGCTCAAGTCCAACATCGAAGTGGTCCCGGCCTCCCGTGAACGGCAGGTTGTCGCTGTTGGGATCAAACGACGCGCGGGGCATTCCATCGAGGCCGCGTTCCATCGGAGCTGCGTTCCATTGGGGCCGCGACAATGCCATCGGTTCTTCTGCGCGCGTCGTCGGCGCCGTCTCGCGGACCAGCAATGGCTCGTCTCCAGAATCACCCGCTTCACCGGCGGGTCTGCTCAGAGCATACATGTTGGCGTCGTCGTCGTGCCAGAACGGCGAGAGGCTCCGGCTGCGCCTGAAGCTGTTTCTGTGGAGAGGCAAGCGGATGGGGGGCCGGCCGGCGCGCCGGCCGCGGCGCTCGTCCTCGGGCTGCTGCTCCATTGATCTATGGAGTGCGATGACAGCGGCTGCGCGGCGCGCGGACAACTATAGCGTGTACAAACCGCGACCAAACGACGGGAGACGACATCTCTCCCCTTCAGGGTCACCCGCACGCACGTCCGCGCGGCGAGGCGGACGACTCCCAAAACAAGGCTATAGTAACAAGAACACACCTACGCCGACGCCTCAAGCAGCCGCAAACGGCCACCTCGAAGCCACCGCGCGCACCACGCCGTCGTACCGATCATATTGGTGCACGATCGAATAAGGCTCACCTCGACTCGACACGACGCGCGACGCGTCGCCGACCTCCACGTCAAGATTCGCGCACAGGTTCGCGACGGCCGCGTCGTCGTCTCCAATATGAGCCGTCGCTCCGATCGTCCTCTCGTAAACCAACTTGCTCCACAAAAACTGGTCCCAGCCGCCGCACCTCTCCAATTGACATATTAAAGTATCCAACGCCTGCAACACTGAGGATCGGGCACCGAGCACGACGCCTAGATTGACCGGCGGCGCGTCGTGATACGTTTCGTACTCATCAGAGCAGTCAAAACCCCACGCCCGCCGCGACCACTCGAGGTAGACGCGCCGTTTATGCGCTAGGGTGAGCAGAGCCGTCTCCGAGAAGACGTGCAAGGCGCCACTTCTGAGGCGAGAAAACGGACAGCTCTGGAAAAAGACGTCGCGGACGTCGGCCCAGCCCACATACGTATGGCGCGATTCTCCCATTAAATAGCTGCGGAAGATGCGGAACCGTAAAGTCGACGCTAACCTACCCAATCCGGGTGCGGTCTGGAAGGCTTGTCTCGCGACGTCGTCGCTCGAGAGCCCGTCCACTACCGGTAGAAAGCGGTGCCACCTCGCGTTGAATTTGTTGAAAATAGATTGAATATCTGGAGAGGCGGCGTCGTTCGTGAAGAGCGTCACGTCGCAGGCCGACCCGGCCTCGCGGAGGCTCCGCAGGAACGTCGCATAAACCTGGGGATCCTTGTAGTCGCCGGCGCCCATCAAGAGGCAGTCCGTCGTCGGCGTTTCATTATGATATGGTTCAGCGAAGAGCGGCCGCCGCTTTCGCAATAATAAAGCCGCGTCGGCGCCGGTCTTATCATTCAGCCCGTGCGTGTCAAGTAGCTGCTGCGTCCGCTTCCGGTTCTTGACGCGCGACAGCGGCACGGCGCAGGGCGGCTTGGCGCAGACGGCGGAGAAGGTTTGTAAACGCGCCGTTAATGTGGAGCGCCAGGGGCAGTCCGCGCTCGGATGTAACAGAGCGAAGTAGGGGAGCTCATTCTCTGAGACGACCTCGCCGAAGGCGTTTGAATGCGCGCAGCCATTTGCTAGAATAAGACCGGTGGTCGATTCCGAGCAGTCGCCGCCGCGGAGCCACCCCGCGACGCTCTGTGCATCACCGACTGCGAAGCGACGGCCCGCCGCCGCGCAGCCCTTCATGGCGACGAGTCGAGTCCGCGTCGCGTCGGGCTGGAATACGACCGACGCGTCGGCCACGACAACCTGTCCGGTAGTGAGCGTCGGAACGGCATCGACGCCGACGACGCGCTCGACCTCGAAGCGCGCGCCGACGCGGCGCGCTCGCTCCATATCGCGCGCAGCAATGGTGATGCGCGCCCGCGGCAGCGTCGCGCGCAGCGTGCCGAGGGAGGCCGCGAGTTGGGCCTCGTCGTTACCGAGCCAGCGAATTACAGTTGTCAGCGGCGTCGTGAGTTCGCGCAGCGGTCGCGCCGGGTAGGTGGCCGCCGGCGGGTCCATGGTGTAGGTGTTCGCGACCGGCGCATGACATTCATCGGTCGCGGCGGCCACGAGGAGGCAGGCTGCTGCCCAGGCGGGCAGGCGTTTTGCCGCACTCATCGATGCGAATTCGGCCGCGTTGGACTAAGTTAGCGATGCGAAGGGGTCATGGCATTATTTTTGGGCAGCCTTTGGCTTATAGGCGGCGCAGCGGCGTCTAGAAAAATGTGATGGTGCTAGTGTGTTACATGCCGCTAGCTGGTCTTTGATCTAAACTTACTCACTACTCCTCTCAACAACAACAAGGGCACCAAAACCGCGACAGCGACTGAACCGAAAAGCACCGGCGCGCCAACAATACCCGGCGCCGGCCCGACGGCCGGCACGTCACAGACCAGGTCGACCAGCGCGTCGACGACGCCGCCGGGCGCGAGCCGCGTCGGCGCCAGGACCCCCGACCCGTTCCGGACTACGACAGTGCCGTCGCACGGCTCGCCCGAAACACACGGCGGCACGGCGACGTCGAATTCGCGCCACTCCCCAAACAGCTCCGGCTCTGCAACCGCGAGGACCGCCACGACGTCCCACGGCACGAAGGCGTCGCTTTTTAGGGCAGTGTGTGCATTTGACACGCGGGCCACGAGCCCCTTATTAACAAAGCGCCGCGAGAACGCGCACTGCCGCCGCATAGCCCGAGCCAATGAACAAACGGCAGCGCCCGGGCAGCACCTCTCCACGAGCCGGTCGACGTCCTCTGGCTGCACGGCGGCCTGCGCGCAGAGCTCCACGGGCGCGACCGTCAGCGGCACCCGAGACGCGACGACGGCGCGCGCCGCGGCCCGGTCCGACAGCCAGTTCAGGTCGAGCCTCTTGCCGTCGAGGGCGCCGCCCATGGACACGACGCGGCCGACGCGGCCCGCGACGTCTGAATCCATTAACGCGGCCGCGACGTTCGTCAGCGGCCCGAGGGCTACGATCGTCAGCGAGTGCGGCGGCCGCGCCAGCACCGCAGATCGGATCGCATCGACGGCGTCGGGCGAGGACGCGACGTCGCCGCGCACGTTGTGGAGGCGCCGGACCCACGGCCAGGGTACGTGCATATCACGATAGGACGCGCCGGCCGCCGGCTCGAGCTTCACACCCGCGAGGCGCAGGAGACTTTTCGCGTTTGCCAACGTGTCGCGCAGCGCGGCGTTCCCCGCCGTCACCGACACTCCTATCAAGTTCAGGCGGCCGCGGCGCTGCAGCGCCAGCAGCGCCAGGAATGCGAGATCGTCGTCGACGTCTAATCCCGTTGCGACGAGGGCCGCGGGGTCGAAGTCGAGCCATACGTCGCCGAGAGTCATAGTGTGCGCCGCAGCGACGGCGTCAACGCAGTGTGGCTCGCACCACCGGTGGGCCCGCCGCGACGGCGTCAAGGCAGCACTGCAGGCTGGCTCACAGGGCACCTTGCCGGTGCGGCCACGCAGCGCCTCGTCCGATCGCTTCACGCTTGCAGCAGGATCAAGAGGCCCACAAGAGCTCAAGGAGGCATTCGTGCCATTCGTGCTGCCGTGCACGACGAGCTAGGACCTGGGAGGCGGCGCTGCTCCGCAGGCTGCATTTGTGCATCTGTGCTCGAAACGCCGCCGCAGCGCGGCGCATTGAGACAAGCCGTCGTCCAGAGCCACACAACTGCTCGGCGAAGCCATACAAGCCAGAAAATTGCACCGCTCGCGCCGCTTTGAGGCAAGCAACCACCAGCCCTTGCCACTGTACAGCAACATGCTCGCCCTGCTCACGCACTGGTGGTCACTGATCACCGTCGCCCTGAAAGCGCACTCCCGCTGCCCGCACCACCAGTTCGACGAGCGAGCGCTATGTTTGCCGCGGCTGCTGCCAGCCATTTTGACCGCGGCCGAAACGGCAGCAATAATCGAGGCGACCGAGGCCGCCGCAGCGAAACGCAACTACACGTCGAGCCGCCACACGTACTACGCGACGGTCGATCTTCCCGTATCAACAGTCTACGCCGACGGCGGTGCGCAGGCCGCGGCCGCGAAGAGAGCGGTCCACAAAGCCAGAAACGCCACCATCGACGACCTCATACATCGCTGCGGCGCCACCGACCCAGTTCTACATGATGGCTTCGTCATCAAATATTCCACGTCAAGACAGGCCGGCCTCGAGCAGCACGGCGACGGCGGGAGGTATTCGGCGACGGTCGCGCTGCGTCGCCCGCGTTTGAGCGGCGTCAACGTGCCGGACTACGCTTCCTTAGAACCGCAGACTTGTGAACTGAGAAAGCGCGGCTTCGCGAACGAGACGTGCAACGCGGCGTTTCCCGAGCGAACCTTCTCAAGAGAACACTTCTCTCCAGAATATCCTCTGTTAACATACGACGAGTTCTGCCCTTTGAGTTGTCTGGGCCAGAGCTGCGACGAGGTCGAGCCGCATCTACGGACGAAGTGTGATTGTGGGGTCTGCGCGTCCACGTTGACGACACGTGAAAATGACGCCTACGACTTTGACGGCGGCGGCACGCGCTTCTCGTCACTGAGGGACGTCGTCTTCTCGCCGGAGATGGGTGGCGCCGTGGTCCACGGGGCGCGCCTGAAGCACGGGGGCGAAGACGTGACGAGTGGCGACCGCTTCGTCCTCGCCTTCTTTTTTGATGAAGCGTTGTGCCAGGCGGCGGAGAAGGGCGCGACGGACGTGTTGTACACGTCGCTCGTCGTGGTTTTTGTCCTGGTGCCTCTACTTGTTTGGGTCGCGTTCTTTGCGGACTTCGAGGACTCTGCGAAGGAGAAGATCGCGTGACGTGTCGCGGCGATGGCGTGCTGTCGTCGCGGCGAACCCCGGGGCGTCCGCAATGTAGATAGTTAAAACATGTTGTTACCTCGCCTCGCGCGCGGCTCTCGGCGCCACGCGCGCCGCCGCCGACCGCCCACTACCCAAGTAAAAAGCCAACTCGTCCGGCGACGACACGGCGAAAACCAGTTCGGCAATATACGCCTCGTAGAAGCGCCGCCGCTGGACGAGGTAGCTCAAATCTAGGGACCGCCACCGTTTTCTGCTACATTCAGCCTCGTTCCACAGCGACCGCACGCGGTCGAAGGCGGCGGTAGCGGGCAGCGCACTATGCAACGCCCGCAAATCGGAGTGGCGCAGCCAGCGCTCCGTGCACGTCGCCTCCGTCGAGACCAACAGTCTATAAGACGCGTAATGCCAGAGGCGTTCCCGCCGCACGCGGATGCCGCCGAGGCTGCAGCCGACGACGACGCCGTGCTCGAACTCGCGCGACCACACGCTTGGAGCTGTTGCCGGTGAGTAAGAAGCGGAGCGGGGCACGGCGCAGCCGTTATGAGCTTCACTCGACCAGCGCTCCTGCTCGAAGCGCGCGGACCCGGGGCCCCGCGCCACCACTAAAACGGTGTCCTCGTCCGAAAGGTCCTCGGCGACGAGCTGATGTAAGGTCGAGAGGCAGTGCTCCCGCGCCGGCGCGTCGCTCGCGTCGCTCGGCGAGCGCGATTGCTTCGCCGCCGCGAGCTCGCAGAGCGAGTCGAGCGACTGCGACGAGACGTCGCGGCTCAAATTGTCCTGCGAGCCGCGGACGAGAGAAACAGTAGACGCATACCCATCGTCCTCCGATGTTTGTAGATCGTCGTCGTCGACGTACTGGCCCCAGTCGTCGGGGTTCGGGCTCAGCGGGCCCAGCGGCCGGTCTCGCATGGCTGCCCCGAGCCCGAGGGCCTCCGCGGCGGGCGCGGCTGCCCCCAGGACCCGTGGGCCATGGCCTAGAGTGGAGACGCGCGGCGGCAGCGTCGCGGCGGCGGCCATGGCGTCGCGCGGCGCGTGGTTGCGAGCTCTTGATTCCAAGGACCAACGCGCGACGTCAGAGCGCACAGGAGCGCCGCGGCGCGGTTCGGGACGCTTGGGGCGGGGGCGCCTCCACGGACCGGTGGGTGGTACGGCTGGGAGCCGTTATTCGTGTCGGGGAGCTAAGCGGTAGGGGCACTAGCAGTAGAACGATGGGCAGCCTTGGCGGTGCGCGTTTGCGCCTCACGGGCGTCGTAGGCCCGCAGCCGTCCGCATTCGTGGTCTACTGATGGCCGCCTCCGCCCGGCGCCACGCCACGCCGCCGACGGCGGCGACGAGTGCGACGCCGAGACGGCGGCTGCTCCCAACACCCACCCCCCGGCCCGCGCGGCGCGCCGCGCTGCCCGACGCGGCGCTCTCGCCGGGCGGCGCCCTGCGGCGCGACCTGGAGGCGGCCACGTCCGTCGCGCGGCGCCTCGTCGCTGCTTTGAGTGGCGGCGAGCAGCCCTCGCCCGATGCGGCGCTGCCCGACCTATTGAGGGAGGCGGCGGCGCGGGCCGCGGAGCTGCGGTCTGCGGCCATGCGCGAGCGCGAATTAAGGCTGGAAGCGGAGAGCGCGCGGGCCGACGCTGAAAGGAGGGCGGCCTTGTCCGACGAGAGCGCGAAAACCGCAAACTCCGAGCGCGACAAAGCCCTCGACGACGCGAAGGTGGCCCAAGATGCGGCACAAGCGGCGCGCGCCGCGCGCGACGCGACGCAGGCGACGTACCACGGGTTGACGAAGAGGACTGCCACGCTCGACGCGGAGCTCGCCGGGTTGCGCGCCGAGCGGCGCGCGAGCCGCCGCGGCATTGCTGTGTTACGACGGTCGCGAAGTCGCGACCGCGTCCTTAGTGAGACGGTCGAGGAGCGGCTGGATTCGGCCTCGCTCCAATTAACGAAAGCTCGAGAAACGCAGCGCGAGGAGCGGCAACGGGCGACGCACTACGCGCAAGAACTCTCCAACCAGCAATTAACACATCGCAAGTTCGCCGCGGACTGCGCCGTCGCGTTGCGGGCGGCGGAGGTCGACCGGGGGTTGTGGCGCTTGAAGAGTGGCCTGAAACGGCACCACCTCGCGCTCCGGTCGATCGCGTACCAGCGGCTCATGGACGCCCTTCGTAAAAAACGGCCCGCGTCGCCAATCATGCGACGGACGCCGTCGTGGTCCCAAAAGTCCGCCGCGTCGGCCGAGCGAAGGCGCGACGCGCTCCGGCGGCAAGGTACCGCCATCGCGGGCTACTACTAAGAGTGGGTGTTTTCCTAGCCATGCGCGGCGCCGCGTCGACGCTTTCGCTGCGGGCTGGTCGCTATGCCAGTGACCGCGCGAATACCACCGCGCCGCGGCTTTGTGCGACGCAGCGGCGACGAAGGGTCGTGCGCCCATTTAAAGGACCCTTGCTACTGGCATGCCGTGCAGTTCACGACGCGACCGTCCTAGACTTGGTACTTACTCACTCGTCCAGCAGCCCCGGGTTCGCGTTCTTGTTCAGCAGCAGCGCCTTGCCGAGCGAGTCGAGGCCGACGCGGCCCTGGTCGTGGCTGAGGACGATGAGCGCGTACCACGCGCCGAACAACGTGGAGAAGCCCGCCATGTCCAAGCAGGCCTCGCAGAAGTAGTGGCCCGCGCCGATGCCCGCGGCGAAGAGAGCGAGCACGACGCAGGACCGCCGCAGGACGGGCCCAAACTTCGCCGACGCCTTGGCCTTCGCGCCAGATAACCCAATCGCGTCCGTCGCGTAATTTGTAAGTTTTTGCATGTGGATCGTGAGCATCCACGTGATCGTTAATAATACGTCGACGGAGACCGCGTTCACGAGGCCGAAGCCGGCCGCGAGCCACAACGCGCCCCGCCTCGCCGACGCGCCGCCGAACACGTCCGAGCACCGGAACAGCAGGAACGTCGCCAGCGCGATGACTCGCGACTTCGTGCGCGGCGTCGCGCGTTGGTCCAAAATGCGCTGGCCGCTGCAACCGGCGAGATAACTCAGGATCATACATCCAAAGAATCGCGCGTCCGCCCACTTCGCATCCACTAAGGCGCACGTGCCCTTGATGAGGTTGCCGGTCATCATCGTCGCGAAGCAGCCGTGCTTCTTGAAGAGCACGACGTCCGCCACGCCCGCGTTGAAGGATAGGAGAGCGATGAGGCGCTTCTGGACCTTGTTGCCCGCGGCGGCCACCGGTGCGGGCGGTGCGGCCGGCGCGGCGGCCCTCTGCAAGCTGGGGAGCCGTACGCGGTGCGCCGGGCTCCGCAAGGCGGCAGCCGTCGAGCACACGAGGAGGAGGGTGCGCATTGGTGGGATTGGCTGCGTCAGCGCGTCGAGATGCAAGTCGCACCGAACTGCGAGCTGGTTTGACCATGCGCGGCCTACTAGCGGCAGAGCAAAACGCAAAACACACGCTGGTGAAGCTATTCAAGCTATTCTGCACATAACGTGCTCGCAAAACACCACACTACTCACTCACCCTGGTTTTCTCGAGCGCTTCGTCTTCTTTCTACCTGCGCACAGAGCAAGCATGCCAAGCCTCCGCAGCTGGCTCCTGTTAGCCCTGCTGCACGCGCAAACGGAAGCCCTCGCGGCGAGGGGTCGCATGCCCTCGCTCGCGGACCGGCGCTCCATCAGCGAGGCCGAGTGCCGCACGTGCCTCGAAACGGGCCAGATCGGCGCGAAGTACGACCAAGGGTTAGATACCTACCGCGTGCCGATGGCGCTGCATGCGCTGAATAGGGCGAGGCTCTGCGACCGCATGAAGGCGCATCGAGGCGTTGTGTTAGTGCAGGGCGGCGACCAGCAATTGAGGTACGACACGGACCATGAACCCGTCTTCCGCCAGGAGTCGTACTTCCAGTGGCTGTTCGGGGTCTCCGAGCCGGGTTGCTACGGTGCAGTAAACTTGCAGGACGGCTCCGCGACTCTATTTGTGCCCGATCTACGCAGCGAGGCCTACGAGGTCTTTTGTGGTAGGGCGCCGTCGTGCGCAGCGTTTGTCGAAAAGTACGCGGTCGATGCGTGCTACTTCACGGGCAGCCTCCAGAACTGGCTCGCGGACGCGATCGCGACGGACGACACAGCTAAGGTGTACTTGTTGCACGGGCGGAACAGCGACAGCGGCAACTACGCGGCGCCGGCTTCCTTCGACGGCGACGACGTTTTTCGCGAGCGACGGGACCTTACCACATTATTCGACGCCATCGCCGACTTGAGGACCAGAAAAACGGCGGCCGAGGTCGAGGTCATGCGGTACGTCAACTGGGTGTCGTCCGGCGTGGAAATCAACCAGTGCGTCGGGTGCTCATTTTCTCGGCGATGGCGCGGCTGCGCTGGCTCCGTCGAGCAGTGAGGAACCGGCACCGCCACGCTATCGAGCAGGCGTCGCGTCGATGGCGTGGAGGTCGACGCGACGATCCAGCACACAGGTCTCTTCCATGGCGCACTCGGAGGTGATGCGGTACGCGAGGCCGGGCCAGATGGAGTACCAGCTCGAGTCGCTGTTCATGCACCACACGTACACGCACGGGGGGTGTCGCCACATGGCGTACACGTGCATCTGTGCTTGTGGCCCGAACCCGGCCGTGCTGCACTACGGCCACGCGGGCGCGGGCTCCGCGTGGGAACCGTCCGCGCGACGGCGCGTAGAGTCGATGACCACGCAGGCGCGCCGAACGCGCGGTTACTTAAAGAGGGCGACCAGGCGCTATTGGACATGGGCGCGGAGTACCATTGTTATGCCAGCGACATCACGTGCAGCTTCCCCATCTCCTCGGACTTCACGTCGGATCAAATTTTGGTCCACGAGGCCGTGCTGGCGGCGCAGGTGGCGGTCATTGGTGCCTTGAAGCCGGGCGTCGCGTGCTGTGTGGAAATCAAAATTTTACGGCGCGTTCTCGACGCGACGCCTGCTCGATGGCGTGGCGATGCCGGTTCCTTACCGCTCGACGGAGCCAGCACGGCCGCGTCATCGCCGAGAAGTGCACGCAACACACTGGTTGATTTCCACACAGGTCGCGTGGCCGGACATGCACCGCCTCGCCGAGCGGACGATCCTGGAACACTTAACCAGGGGAGGCGTCCTCGCGGGCGATATTGAGGAGATGCTGGCGGCCGACCTGGGCTCGACCTTCATGCCGCACGGCCTCGGGCACCTGATCGGGCTGGACACGCACGACGTGTGTGCCGGTGTGGAAATCACGCGGTGAGTTAGGTTCGTACGGTCACGGCGTCGCGTCGACGCCGCGGGGCGCCCGAAGTTCGACGTCCGCGCAGGTCGGCGGCTACCTGGACGGCAACCCGGACCGACCGCAGAGACCGGGCCTCAATAAATTGAGAACGGCGCGGATCGTCGAGGAGGGTATGATGCTCACTGTGGAGCCGGGCTGCTACTTCATCGACCGGTTGTTGGACGACGCGCTCAAGGACCCTTCTCTCGCAAAGTTCCTGAACGCCGACCGACTGCGAGAGTTCCGGGGTTTTGGGGGCGTGCGACTCGAGGACGACGTCTTAGTTCGGGCCGACGGCGTCGAGAACCTGTCGCTCTGTCCGCGGACGGTGGAGGAGGTCCGATCGGTTAAGAACGGTGGGAGCTGGCCGCCCGTCGCCGACGCGTGCCCGGCGCTGCGGCGGGCGTGGTGCGCGCCGAACCCCACGGTGCCCGGGGGGCCGATGAAGCGCGTCCGCCTGCCCGGCGCGTGAGCGACCCGTTGTGAACTAAATTCTTGTGACTAGCCACATAGCATAATTATACCATGCCTTACATCTCCCAGGCGTCGGCAGTCTATTGGGGAGGGGGGGGCGAGGCTCTACCTCCGTTTGCAGTAGCACGTCAGGCCCTGGACGTGCTTGAGCGCCAGTTTGCCCTTCTCCGATGCAGCCTCGCAGAACTTGCGGCAGACCTTGCGCGGAGACGCGTCGCGAACTGTCTTGTCCGACGAAAAGGTCTTGGTCCCGATGGTGCATAGATTTGGTGAGATGTAGTACGGGTGCGTCGTGCCGGCTTCGTAGACGATCGTGGGGCCCAGGGCGCATTGTTCCTGGACCGCATTCGCGATCGCCGCGATGGTGAGGCCCGTGAACGTGATGCCAATCGCCGCGAGTCCCGTTGACATGACGAGTTCCGTGGCCCCATCGTCGTCGTCGTCGTCGTCGTCGTAGTAGTAGTAGCAGCCCCACGAATCTATGATTTGGCAGTCGCCGGTTTCGTCCTTTTGAGCGACGCCGCAGGACATTGAGCAGCACCCGCTGCCGGAGAACGCCTCGTCGAGGTATACATCGTTGTCGACACACCAGCCGAGGTCCTGGTCGAAGGCCGAGGCGTGGTGGAACATGTAGTGCATATCCGTGACCTTCTCGACGCTCCAGCCGCCAATGTTCTGATTAAAGGACGAGGCGTGTCCGAACATCCAGTGCATATTGGTGACTTGTTCGACGTTCCAGCCGCCTATGTTCTGATTGAACGACGAGGCGCCGGCGAACATCCTGTACATCGTCGTGACGCTTTGGACCGCCCAACCACTGATGTCCTGGTCGAAGGCCGAGGCGGAGGTGAACATGTGGCCCATCTCATCAACGTTCTCGACGCTCCAGCCGCCAATATTCTGATTGAACGACGAGGCGCCCCAGAACATCCCGTACATCCTCGTTACGCCGGAGGTGTCCCACGCGCCGATGTCCTCGTTGAAGGACGACGTCGATAAGACGCAATCGTCATACCACGGTTCGCCTTCCATCCAATCCTGCCGCACGCAAAACAAATGCGACATGTCCGTCACCCCCGATGTCTCCCACGTCGAGATGTGGCCGTACGTCGCCTCGGGGGCGGCGCGGTCCTCCATCCAGGCTCGGACTGCCGTGCGGATACTTTCGTCACCAAATGCGCCATCGAAGAATGTCGGCGCAAGTGTCACACATATGCCACCCTCAGAACGGCCCCGCACGATTCCGCACGACGTCGACACGCACGGCGTGCCGGAGAACGCCTCGTCGAGGTTCACGTCGTTGTCGACGCACCAGCCGAGGTCCTGGTCGAAGGCCGAGGCGTAGTGGAACATGTAGTGCATGTCCCTGACGTTCTCGACGCTCCAGCCGCCGATGTCCTGATTAAAGGCCGAGGCGCCGCTGAACATGTTGTTCATATTGGTGACTTGTGCAACGCTCCAGCCGCCTATATTCTGATTGAACGACGAGGCGCCGGCGAACATCCTGTACATCGTCGTGACGCTTTGGACCGCCCAACCACTGATGTCCTGGTCGAAGGCCGAGGCGGAGGTGAACATGTGGCCCATCTCATCAACGTTCTCGACGCTCCAGCCGCCAATATTCTGATTGAACGATGAGGCGCCCCAGAACATCCCGTACATCCTCGTTACGCCAGAGGTGTCCCACGCGCCGATGTCCTCGTTGAAGGACGCCTCCGAGACGCAATCGTCATACCACGATTGGCCTTCCATCCAATCCTGCCGCACGCAAAACAAATACGACATGTCCGTCACTCCTGATGTGTCCCACGTCGAGATGTGGCCGTACGTCGCCTCGGCGGCGGCGCGGTCCTCCGCCCAGGCTCGGACTGCCGTGCGGATTCTGGCGTCGCTCATAATGTTGCTCGGGGTCGGCGCCGCCGAGGCGGTGGGCGCGGGCGACGGCGCGGCCTTGGCCACGTTCGTCGAGCACAGGTACGACGACTGGCACATATTGCAGTGGGAAGTGTATAACGCCAGCCCCTGATCCCAGTGGCCATGAACCCCGATCCAACAGCCGGCCTCGTACTCTCCCCAGTCGTCGATGCCGCTTGTCGACCGCAGGAACCACGGATCGCCCGCGACGCTCTGCCAAGCAACACCAGTGTAGCCGGCCATCGCCTTGCTGTTCATCGCATAGTCGTGGCACGGCCCGCAGCCATTCTCTTCGCGGTAGACGCCCACGGGACTCATCATCTCAAAGCTTTGCACGATCCCGTAGACAGCTTGGAGGTGCTCGTAGTTCCGCGGCACCCAGATGTCGAAGCCGTCTGGGCAGCTGTTCTCGTCCGTGTAACGGCACGTCGTGCGACCAAAGTTGACGGGCAAAACGCTGTGGATCTCGCCCGCTGCCTCGACGCAGTAGAGCGTGTGGCCCTCGTACGCGAACTCGCCGGAAGAAGAACACATCTCGACAGTCGGCACCGCGGTCGCGGTCGGCCCCAGCGTGAGCGTCGGCGCGGGACTGGGCGCTGCCTTTGCGGTATTCGTCGAGCACAGGTACGTCGAGAAGCAATAATTACAGGTCGCATCGTTGAACTCGAAGCCCTCGCCGGCCGTCCAGCCGTTCGTACGAAGCCAGCAGCCGGCTTCGTAGTCGCCGTTTGGCTCGCTGTAGGTCGACGACCGCATGAACCACGGATCCCCGGCAACGCTTTGCCAGCCGACGCCGCTGTACGTGGCCATGGCGTCGCTGTTCATCGCGTAGTCCTGGCACGAGCCGCAGCCGTCCTCGTCGCGGTAAATGCCGACGAGAAAGTGCTCGTGGTGGAGGTCCTGCCAGCCCGTTGCCTCGAGGACTGCGAACGCGTGCGCGTAGCTGCGCGGCACCCAGATGTCGAAGCCGGCGGGGCAGCTGTTCTCGTCCGTGTGGCGGCACGTATCGCGGCCGCCCTCGACGCGCAGGACGTTGTGGATCTCGCCCTCGGCCTCGACGCAGTGCAGCGTGCGGCCCTCGTAGTCGAACTCGCCAACAGAAGAGCACACATCCATCGTGGGTGCGACACTGATCGTGGGGACGGCCGTCGTCGGCGCGGGACTGGGAGCTGCCTTGGCTAGGTTCGTCGAGCACAGGTACGACGACTGGCAGTTATTGCAGTGGGAAGTGTATAGTGCCAGCCCCTGATCCCAGTGGCCATGAAACCCGAGCCAGCAGCCGGCCTCGTACTCGCCATGGTTTTCCAAGCCGTTTGTCGACCGCAGGAACCACGGATCGCCCGCGACGCTCCGCCAGCCGACGCCGTCGTAGTCCGCCATGGCGTCGCTGTTCATCGCGTAGTCGCCGCACGAGCCGCAGCCGTCCCCATCGCGGTAGATACCCACGGGCCTCATCGTCTCGAAGGCGCGCCACTCCTCTCTCGCGAGATCGTAGACCGCCCGGAGGTGCTCGTAGCTGCGCGGCACCCAGATGTCGAAGCCGTCTGGGCAGCTGTTCTCGTCCGTGTATCGGCAGGTCGTTTGACCAAAGTTGACAGGCAGGACGCTGTGGATCTCGCCCGCTGCCTCGACGCAGTAGAGTGTGTGGCCCTCGTGCTCGAACTCGCCGGTTGTCGAACAAATCTCGACAGTCGGCGCAGCGGTCACCGTCGGCCGCGGCGTGATCGTCGGCGCGGGACTGGGCGCGGCCTTTGCGGTATTCGTCGAGCACAGGTACGTCGAGAAGCACCGGTGACACTGGCTGTCTTCGAACTCGAAGCCCTCGTCGGCCGTCCAGCCGTGCGTGCCAAGCCAGCAGCCGGCTTCGTAGTCGCCATCTGGCCGGTGGTAGGCCGACGACCGCATGAACCAATCGCCTCTTGCAACGCCCCGCCAGCCGACGCCGCCGTATGTGGCCATGGCGTCGCTGTTCATCGCGTAGTCCTGGCACGAACCGCAGCCGTCCTCGTCGCGGTAAATGCCGACGAGGAAGTTGTGATGCTGGAGGTCCTGCCAGCCCGTTGCCTCGACGACTGCGAACGCGTGCGCGTAGCTGCGCGGCACCCAGATGTCGAAGCCGGCGGGGCAGCTGTTCTCGTCCGTGTGGCGGCACGTATTGCGGCCGCCCTCGACGCGCAGGACGTTGTGGATCTCGCCCTCGGCCTCGACGCAGTGCAGCGTGCGGCCCTCGTAGTCGAATTCGCCAACAGAAGAGCAGACGTCCATCGTTGGCGCAGCGCTGATCGTGGGGACGGCCGTCGTCGGCGCGGGACTGGGAGCTGCCTTGGCCAGGTTCGTGGAGCACAGGTACGACGACTGGCACATATTGCAATGGGAGGAGTAGACCTTCAATCCCTGATCCCAGTAGTGCTGGATCCCGAGCCAACAGCCGGCTTCGTACTCTCCCCAGTCGTCGATGCCGCCCGTCGACCGCAGGAACCACGGATCGCCCGCGACGCTCTGCCAAGCGACACCAGTGTAGCCGGCCATCGCCTCGCTGTTCATCGCAGAGTCGTGGCACGGACCGCAGCCGTTCTCTTCGCGGTAGACGCCCACTGGGTTCATCATCTCGTAGGCGCGCCAGTCCTCGTGCGGCCACCAGTCTCTCGCGAGGCTGTAAACAGCTTGGAGGTGCTCGTAGTTCCGCGGCACCCAGATGTCGAAGCCGTCTGGGCAGCTGTTCTCGTCCGTGTGGCGGCAGGTTGTTTGTTCATCTTCGACGCGCAGAATGTTATGGATCTCGCCCCCGGCTTCGAAGCAGTAGAGCGTGCGGCCCTCGTAGTCGGATTCGCCGATCGATGGGCAGACGTCCATCGTGGGGGCGGCACTGATCGTGGGGACGGTCGTCGTCGGCGCGGGCGACGGCGCGCAGCTGCCTGCAGCACGCTGTTGGACGCCGCACGACGTCGGCGCGCACAGCGTGCCGGAGAACGCCTCGTCGAGGTTCACGTCGTCGCCTACGCACCAGTTGAGGTTCTGGCTGAAGGCCGAGGCGGAGTTGAACATCTGGTGCATGTCCCTGACGTTCTCGACGCGCCAGCCGCCTATGTCCTGGTCGAAGGCCGAGGCGCCTTCGAACATCCGGCCCATCCCATGAACGTTGGCAACGCTCCAACCGCCTATATTCTGATTGAACGACGAGGCGTCCCCGAACATCCCGTACATCCTCGTTACGCCAGAGGTGTCCCACGCGCCGATGTCCTCGTTAAAAGACGCCGCGACCGAGTTGCAGTTTATATCCCATTGATTCGCGCAAAGCAAATACGACATGTCTGTCACCCCGGAAGTCTCCCACGTCGAGATGTGGCCGTACATCGCCTCGGCGGCGGCGCGGTCCTCCATCCAGGCTCGGACTGCCGTGCGGATACTTTCGTCGCCAAATGCTCCATCGAAGAATGTCGGTGCAAGCGTCACACATATGCCACCCTCAGAACGGCCCTGCACGACGCCGCACGACGTCGACACGCACGGCGTGCCGGAGAACGCCTCGTCGAGGTTCACGTCGTTGTCGACGCACCAGCCGAGGTCCTGGTCGAAGGCCGAGGCGTAGTGGAACATGTAGTGCATGTCCCTGACGTTCTCGACGTTCCAGGCGCTGATGTCCTGGTCGAACGACGAGGCCCAGCTGAACATCTGGTGCATGTTCGTAACACCAGAGGTTTCCCACGCACTGAGGTCCTGGTCGAAGGCCGAGGCGTGGTGGAACATGTAGTGCATATCCCTGACGCTGTAGACGCGCCAGCCGCCGATGTCCTGATTAAAGGCCGAGGCGCCGCTGAACATGTTGTTCATATTGGTGACTTGTGCAACGCTCCAGCCGCCTATATTCTGATTGAACGACGAGGCCCAGGCGAACATCCAAGCCATATCTGTAACGCTGTCGACAGTCCAGGCGCTTAGGTCTTGGTCAAACATATGCGCACTCTTAAACATGCCCTGCATCTGCCTGACTTCGCCGACCGTCCACACGCCGATCGCCTGATTGAACGACGAGGCGCCTTCGAACATGTGGTTCATATCGGTGACGCCAGAGGTGTCCCACGCGCCGATGTCTTCGTTGAAGGACGCCTCCGAAACGCAATCGTCCCACGATTCGCCTTCCATCCAATCCTGCCGCACGCAAAACAAGTGCGACATGTCCGTCACCCCGCCAGTCTCCCACGTCGAGATGTGGCCGTACGTCGCCTCGGCGGCGGCGCGGTCCTCCATCCAGGCTCGGACTGCCATGCGGATTCTGGCGTCGCTCACAACGTTGCTCGGGGTCGGCGCCGCCGAGGCGGTGGGCGCGGGCGACGGCGCGGCCTTGGCCACGTTCGTCGAGCACAGGTACGACGACTGGCACATATTGCAATGGGAGGAGTAGACCTTCAATCCCTGATCCCAGTAGTGCTGAAGGCCGAGCCAACAGCCGGCCTCGTACTCTCCCCAGTCGTCGATGCCGCTTGTCGACCGCAGGAACCACGGATCGCCCGCGACGCTCTGCCAAGCAACACCAGTGTAGCCGGCCATCGCCTCGCTGTTCATCGCATAGTCGTGGCACGGCCCGCAGCCATTCTCTTCGCGGTAGACGCCCACGGGACTCATCATCTCAAAGCTTTGCACGATCCCGTAGACAGCTTGGAGGTGCTCGTAGTTCCGCGGCACCCAGATGTCGAAGCCGTCTGGGCAGCTGTTCTCGTCCGTGTATCGGCACGTCGTTTGACCAAACACAGGCAGAACACTGTGGATCTCGCCCGCTGCCTCGACGCAGTAGAGCGTGCGGCCCTCGTACTCGAACTCGCCGGACGCCGCGCAGATGTCGATCGTGGGCGCCAGGCTGATTGACGGCGCCGGGGTGAGCGTCGGCGCGGGGCTGGGCGCGGCTTTGACGGTATTCGTCGAGCACAGGTACGTCGAGAAGCACTGGTGACACTGGCTGTCGTAGAATTCGAAGCCCTCGTCGGCCGTCCAGCCGTTCGTGCCAAGCCAGCAGCCTGCTTCGTAGTCGCCATCTGGCTGGTGGTAGGCCGACGACCGCATGAACCAATCGCCTCTTGCAACGCCCCGCCAGCCGACGCCGCCGTATGTGGCCATGGCGTCGCTGTTCATGGCGTAGTCCTGGCACGAGCCGCAGCCGTCCTCGTCGCGGTAAATGCCGACGAGGAAGTTGTGATGCTGGAGGTCTTGCCCGCCCGTCGCCTCGACGACTGCGAACGCGTGCGCGTAGCTGCGCGGCACCCAGATGTCGAAGCCGGCGGGGCAGCTGTTCTCGTCCGTGTGGCGGCACGTATTGCGGCCGCCCTCGACGCGCAGGACGTTGTGGAGCTCGCCCTCGGCCTCGACGCAGTAGAGCGTGCGGCCCTCGTACTCGAACTCGCCAACAGAAGAGCAGACGTCCATCGTGGGCGCGGCGCTGATCGTGGGGACGGCCGTCGTCGGCGCTGGACTGGGAGCTGCCTTGCCTAGGTTCGTCGAGCACAGGTACGACGACTGGCAGTTATTGCAGCGGTTAGTGTATAACGCCAGCCCCTGATCCCAGTGGCCATGAACTCCGAGCCAGCAGCCAGCTTCGTACTCGTCCCAGTGATCCAAGCCGCTCGTCGACCGCAGGAACCACGGATCGCCCGCTACACTCTGCCACGCGACACCAGTGTAGCCGGCCATCGCCTCGCTGTTCATCTCGTACTCCCAGCACGGCCCGCAGCCGTTCTCTTCGCGGTAGACGCCCACGGGGTTCATCATCTCATAGGCACGCCAGTCCTCGTGCGGCCACCAGTCTCTCGCGAGGCTGTAAACAGCTTGGAGGTGCTCGTAGTTCCGCGGCACCCAGATGTCGAAGCCGGCGGGGCAGCTGTTCTCGTCCGTGTAACGGCACGTCGTTTGACCAAAGTTGACAGGCAGAACGCTGTGGATCTCGCCCGCAGCCTCGACGCAGTAGAGCGTGTGGCCCTCGTACTCGAACTCGCCGGACGCCGCGCAGATGTCAATCGTGGGCGCCAGGCTGATTGACGGCGCCGGGGTGAGCGTCGGCGCGGGGCTGGGCGCGGCTTTGACGGTATTCGTCGAGCACAGGTACGTCGAGAAGCACTGGTGACACTGGCTGTCGTAGAATTCGAAGCCCTCGTCGGCCGTCCAGCCGTTCGTGCCAAGCCAGCAGCCTGCTTCGTAGTCGCCATCTGGCTGGTGGTAGGCCGACGACCGCATGAACCAATCGCCTCTTGCAACGCCCCGCCAGCCGACGCCGCCGTATGTGGCCATGGCGTCGCTGTTCATGGCGTAGTCCTGGCACGAGCCGCAGCCGTCCTCGTCGCGGTAAATGCCGACGAGGAAGTTGTGATGCTGGAGGTCTTGCCCGCCCGTCGCCTCGACGACTGCGAACGCGTGCGCGTAGCTGCGCGGCACCCAGATGTCGAAGCCGGCGGGGCAGCTGTTCTCGTCCGTGTGGCGGCACGTATTGCGGCCGCCCTCGACGCGCAGGACGTTGTGGAGCTCGCCCTCGGCCTCGACGCAGTAGAGCGTGCGGCCCTCGTACTCGAACTCGCCAACAGAAGAGCAGACGTCCATCGTTGGCGCCGCGCTGATCGTGGGGACGGCCGTCGTCGGCGCTGGACTGGGAGCTGCCTTGGCCAGGTTCGTCGAGCACAGGTAAGACGATTGGCACATATTGCAATGGGAGGAGTAGAGCTTCAATCCCTGATCCCAGTAGTGCTGGATCCCGAGCCAACAGCCGGCTTCGTACTCTCCCCAGTCGTCGATGCCGTTTGTCGACAGGAACCACGGATCGCCCGCTACACTCTGCCACGCGACACCAGTGTAGCCGGCCATCGCCTCGCTGTTCATCGCAGAGTCGTGGCACGGACCGCAGCCGTTCTCTTCGCGGTAGACGCCCACTGGGTTCATCATCTCGTAGGCGCGCCAGTCCTCGTGCGGCCACCAGTCTCTCGCGAGGCTGTAAACAGCTTGGAGGTGCTCGTAGTTCCGCGGCACCCAGATGTCGAAGCCGTCTGGGCAGCTGTTCTCGTCCGTGTGGCGGCAGGTTGTTTGTTCATCTTCGACGCGCAGGACGTTGTGAATCTCGCCCCCGGCTTCGAAGCAGTAGAGCGTGCGGCCCTCGTAGTCGGATTCGCCGATCGATGGGCAGACGTCCATCGTGGGGGCGGCACTGATCGTGGGGACGGTCGTCGTCGGCGCGGGCGACGGCGCGCAGCTGCCTGCAGCACGCTGTTGGACGCCGCACGACGTCGGCGCGCACAGCGTGCCGGAGAACGCCTCGTCGAGGTTCACGTCGTCGCCTAGGCACCAGTTGAGGTTCTGGCTGAAGGACGAGGCCCAGTGGAACATGTAGTGCATATCCGTGACCTGCTCGACGCGCCAGCCGCCGAGGTCCTGGTCGAAGGCCGAGGCGTGGTGGAACATATGGTCCATGTCCCTGACGTTTTCGACGCGCCAGCCGCTGATGTCCTGATTAAAGGACGAGGCGTGTCCGAACATCCAGTGCATATTGGTGACTTGTTCGACGCTCCAGGCGCTGATGTCCTGGTCGAAGGCCGAGGCGGAGGTGAACATCCAGTTCATATTGGTGACTTGTTCGACGTTCCAGCCGCCTATGTTCTGATTGAACGACGAGGCGCTGGTGAACATCCAGGACATATCCCTGACGTTGTCGACGCGCCAGTCGTTCAGCGGCTGGTTGAACGCCGAGGCGCCTTGGAACATCTTGTGCATAGTGATGACTCGGGCAACGCTCCAACCGGCTATGTTCTGATTGAAGAACGAGGCGGAGCCGAACATCCAGGACATATCCCTGACGTTTTCGACGTTCCAGGCGCTGATGTCCTGGTCGAAGGCCGAGGCGCCGCTGAACATCCTGGACATCGACGTGACGCCAGAGGTGTCCCACGCGCCAATGTCCTCGTTAAAGGACGACGTTGAAAAGACGCAATAGTCATGCCACGATTCGCCCTCCATATGGTCCTGCCGCACGCAAAACAAGAACGACATGTCCGTCACCCCCCCAGTCTCCCACGTCGAGATGTGGCCGTACGTCGCCTCGGCGGCGGCGCGGTCCTCCGCCCAGGCTCGGACTGCCGTGCCGATTCTGGAGTCGCTCATAATGTTGCTCGGGGTCGGCGCCGCCGAGGCGGTGGGCGCGGGCGATGGTGCGCAGCCACCCGCAACTTTCCTCACGCCGCACGACGTCGACGCGCACGGGGTGCCGACGAACGTAGCGTACAGGTCGCCATCAAAGACGCCGTCGCCCACGCACCAGCCGAGGTCTTGGTCGAAGGCCGAGGCATAGTGGAACATGTAGCTTATATCTAGGACCTGCTCGACGCGCCAGCCGCCGATGTCCTGATTAAATGACGAGGCGCCGCTGAACATCTGGTGCATATCCCTGACGTTTTCGACGTTCCAGCCGCCTATATTCTGATTGAACGACGAGGCGTAGTTGAACATGTAGACCATATCCCTGACGTTTCCTACGCTCCAGCCGCCAATATTCTGATTGAACGACGAGGCGTACCAGAACATCCCGTACATCCTCGTTACGCCAGAGGTGTCCCACGCGCCGATGTCCTCGTTGAAGGACGCCTCCGAGACGCAATCGTCATACCACGATTCGCCTCCCATCCAATCCTGCCACACGCAAAACAACTTCGACATGTCCGTCACCTCGGAGGTCTCCCACGAAGAAATGTGGCCGTACGTCGCCTCGGCGGCGGCGCGGTCCTCCATCCAGGCTCGGACTGCCGTGCGGATGCTTTCGTCGCTAAATGCGCCATCGAAGAATGTCGGCGCAAGCGTCACACATATGCCACCCTCAGAACGGCCCCGCACGATGCCGCACGACGTCGACACGCACGGCGTGCCGGAAAACGCCTCGTCGAGGTTCACGTCGTCGCCTAGGCACCAGTTGAGGTCCTGGTCGAAGGCCGAGGCGTAGTGGAACATGTAGTGCATATCCCTGACGTTGTCGACGCTCCAGCCGCCGATGTCCTGATTAAAGGCCGAGGCGGAGGTGAACATCTGGCCCATCTCATACACGTTCTCGACGCTCCAGCCGCCAACATTCTGATTGAACGACGAGGCGCCCCAGAACATCCCGTACATCCTCGTTACGCCGGAGGTGCCCCACGCGCCGATGTCCTCGTTAAAGGACGCTGCGGCTGTGTTACCGCCACACCACGTATTGGTACCAAATAGGCAGGACATGTCCGTCACCCCTGATGTCTCCCACGTCGAGATGTGGCCGTACGTGCGGATGGCGGCGGCGCGGTCCGAGAACCAGAGCAAAACGGCCGTTCTAATAGTGCTGTCGTCCGCGACAATGGGTGTAGCCGTAGGCGCAGCCGTCGTAGGCGCTGGCGTCGCGGTGGGCAGCGACGTCGGTGCAGGTGTCGGCGCGGGCGTCGACGTCGGCACAGGTGTCGGCGCTCGCGTTGGCGCGGGCGTCGTCGGCGCTCGCGTTGGCGCGGGCGTCAAGGTTGGCGCCGGCGTCGACGTCGGCGCAAACGACGGCCGACGTGTCGGCCAGGGCGTCCAGTACGTCGGCGCGCCGGTCGTCGGTATGGAGCTTGGTGCAGCGCGGGCGACGTCCCAAATAACCATGTAGCCGACGACGGACAAGCGCCAGGCCGCGCCCTTCGCCGAGCTACTGCGCCGCGGAACCACCGAAGCGAGTACCTGGAAGATGCACCAGGAAGTCCGCCCAAGGTAGCTCTGGGCCGCTTCTTCTTCGTCGACGCCGCCCTTGAACTGCATCGTGGTGCCGGGCGTAGGCGCCAGCTCGGCGGACGCGACGTCCAAGACGTCGACGCCGCCCTTGGTCGGGGCCGCCAACATCAATATGGTGCCGTCCGACCGGTAGTTCTTGTATTGCACGTCGCTGCCGACGGTCTGCTCGATGGCGTGGAGCGCGTGCACCCCGCCCGCCTGGTACTTGTTCGAGTCGAGCTCGGTCGTCGCCGCGCCTTTGATAGGCTCGGAGTCGAACGCGTCGGCGTAGAGGCCGTCCGCGCCGTTGTTCTTGTAGAGCTGGAGCCACGTGTTCCTCGCTGCGGCGCTCGTCGCCAGGGCCTTGGGGGCAGCGCCGTCGAGGCCGTTCTCGCCGGCTTGCGCGGCGCACGTGCTGCCGTTTTCGTAGGACGTGGTGATTTCGTAGTCTCGAGCAAATGTTTCGATCGCCGCTTCGCTGTCGTCGTGCGCCGCGGCGGGGCTCGAGCCCCTGGGGCAGCTGCTCAGTTTGATGCCGCCCCGCGCGGGCGCCCGCGGCGGCGCGGCGCTGCCCAAGCGCAGCAGCAGGGCGCCGGCGACCACGGCGAGGCTCGGCATCTCTCTATTCGTCTGTCCGGGGCGTGCGCGTGCTTGCAAAGGGCGGCCGCTGAAAACCCGCACGCAATCATCGAAGCTTAAGCGTGACCAGAGCCGTCTACCGCGGACGTATCTCCCCCTTCCTCGAGACCTACTGCGTCGCGGGCCCACGCCCCGCGGCAGCGGCTCCTCCGAGGCGCCATCCGCGCTTACGCCCCTACGCGGCGAGCGCCTGCGTCTCCTCGGCCTTCTTCTTGATGAGCACGGCGCGGAGGCGCGCCAGGTCCACGCCGCCCCAGGCGTCGGGCTCCGTGTCGACGAGCGAGAGGACGCGGGCCCATGTCGCGTCCGACTCGGCGGCGGTCTCGAGCGCCTCGAGGAACGCGTGCTCGCCTTCACGGTTCTTCGGCATGGTCACGTCGCGCAGCTTCGTCTCGCGTTCCGCCCTGAACGTGCCGACCTGCGTGTGGACATTCGCGACGCGTTCCGTGCGATGCCAGTTCCTCGTGAACCCGACTCACCGGTTGGTTTCCACACGGGTGCCGACGTAGTCGGACGCCTCCTCTATTCTTTTCTGGACGAGCGCGTCCTCCTTCGCCTGGCGCTCGGCGACCTTGGCTCGGTACACCTCGCGCGTCTCGTCGGTCATGTGCTCGTCGCCGAGGTTCATGTTGGTTTCACGACCTCGAGGAGACTGCTTTGCCAGGTCACGTTTTTTTTGGAGCGCTTCCGCGCGGTCGCGCGAGCGCTGGGCGTCACGACGCGTCTGAGGTACGTAGACGCGCGTGCCACGTGCGTAGCGGCGAGAAGGACCGGCGCCGAACGCAAAAATTTTGACGAAAAACCCGCGACAGTGAGACACACAAACCCCCTTACTCACCACTCGCACGGCGCGTAGTCCTTGAGGAAGACGCCGTGCAGCGGCGGCTCGTGGCCGCCGAGGACCGGGTCCAGGATCCGCGCGGCAGCATCTATTTCGTCGAGGGGCGTCTGGAAGGCGTGGCGCCGGGCGTGCTCGACGGCGCGGCCGGTGGGCTTCTCGTCGTTGATCCAGCCCGTGTCGACGGCCGTCATGAACACGTGCGCCTTCGCGAGGTCCGCGGCGCAGGTCCGCGTCATCATGTTGAGCGCGGCCTTGGCCATGTTCCTGTGTGATGACCAGCAGTCGCCGTCGACGCGAGCCCAAAAATGTAGATAGGACACGGAGTCAGCACGTGTGCGGGTGCGTCGGCTGCTTGTGGCGGTAGAACTTGCCCTCCATCGCCGAGACGTTGACCACGAACCGGCGTCTTTCGTTCGACGCGCCATCCTTAAGTACCGGTATGAGCTTCGAGTTGATGACGAAGGGCGCCAGGGCGTTGATCGCGAACACTTCAGCTAATTCGGGCGTCGAGATCTCGTCGATCCTCTGCGTCCACGAGTTGTCGCGCCGCAGGTCGAGCTGTTCACTTAGATCGGCGTTCGCGTCTGTGCGGCCCTCCGGGAAGGCCGCATCGTCGCGCACGTCGTCGCCGGGCGCGACGCAGAGCAACGCCCGTAACGCCGGATCCGACGTCGTTGGAGCTTTGGCCGTCCAGGAGCGCATCAACGACACGTCCGCCGTCGGTTCATTCGCGTCTGCGATCGCCGGCCCCTCGAGTAATGGTAAGGACGCGTTGCCGATGGCCTTCCGTAGCTTCGCTTCCCGCGCGACGGTCTGCGCGTAGTATTGAGGGGGCCGGCGCACCGTCTGGCACGCGTTGTTCACGAGAACGTCCAGTCCACACCCCAGCAGCTCCGGCACGGCCGCGCACAGCGCCTCGACGGCGCCCAAGTCCCGGAAGTCGCAGCCCACGACTCTCAGACGGTCGCGCCACTCTTCCGCATCGGCCTCGGCCGCGTAGCGCGCCGCCGCGTCCGCGGGGAAGCGCGACGTCGCGACGACCGTCGCGCCGGCCCTTAGTAATTTCAGCGCGACGCGAAACCCGATCTTGACGCGCGCGCCCGTCACGAGCGCGCCCCGCCCTCTTAGATCCGCCGTCTGCGTCCGCTTTTCGAAATTTAATGAAGCGCACGCGGGGCAGAGCGCCGCGTAGAAGTGGTGCAGCTCCGAGAAGGGCGCCTTGCAGCAGTAGCAGGCGACGGCGCGCTTCAGAGAATCCTCTTGTTTGCCGTCGGTGAGGAGTAATTGTGGAGCGAGGGCCGGACCGTCCGCGACCAAGCCCGCCGTCGCCAGGCGATCCAAGCGTTCTTTCCGCAGCGCCGTCCGATTCTTCGCGTCGCGGTCCATGACCCTTCTTCTTTCATCTTCGTCCTGGACGGGTCGCTCCAATTTCCTGCGCTGCCGGTCGTCAGTCGCGTCCTGTCCAATTAAGGCCAGGGCGCAGGGCGCCAAAGCCGCTCGTAATTTCTTGAAGGGCCGCGACTTGAAGAGGGCCGCGTCCCGGCCTAGAACTTCGAGCGTCCGAATCGTTGTTGTTAGGTCGGCCTCCGACAGGCCGCCGAGGGGGTCGTCGGCATCGATCTCGGCGTCGGCGCCGGGCTCCGGCGTCAGCCCGGCGCGCTTGCGCTTGCGCTCCTTGCCGCGCTTGCCCATTTGTAGTTGCTGCTTGTTGAGAGAGCACTTTTGTGCAAGTTGTCAAACACTGCTCCCCTGGGCACAGGACGCTTCCGCCGTCGGTCGCTGCGTCTCAGAGATAAGCCCGTGTGGTTCTAAAGTTTTCTAGCAAAGCGTTCGCTGCAGCGGCAGTCGCAGCAACCTCGGCCGCTTGCTAGTGTCTTACTGGACGCTAGCCCGCAGCGCGGCGCCGCGGCTTCGCGTGGCTAGCGGCCTGTAAGACACTAGCAAGCAGCAGCGCAGCGCAGACGTTGGGTGCGTGGGCGACGAAGGAACGCGAGCATGTCGTTCCTCGCATGTATCGCACGACCGCGTCTGACTCTGAATCTAGTTCTGATGGGGAGGAGGACGACGACACCTGATCTCCACGCGATTTCTGATCTCTAAGTCCAGCCGGGCGTGCGCGAGGGCCTCGCGAACGCGTCATGGCGGCGTTCGGCGTGGCGTGACATGTTGGGCAAGTAGGCGATTCATCCTCGGCTTCCTCGCAATTCAACGGGTCGACGGGCCTTCATTGGCGATGTTGACTCACCCCAGCAATTCAAGCTGCTTCCTTGGACAGATCCGCCCGGGCCCGTCGTCGTGTCGTGCGGGGCACCTGGCGGGTGTGTTTTTCGCGACTCCCCGTCGGGTCCTCGTGCGCGCGGCGGCGAGGATCACTAGGCTACGGGGGCCTCCTTGGCGGCGGCACTCGGGCACGACTCCACGGAGCGGCGGCACGGCGGGATCCCGAATACCCTGACTAGCTCTGGGTCGGGTCTCAAGCAAAGCGCCTCCGCGTCCGCGTTCAGCAGACCCAAGGTTGTGTGGTGGCGGTTCCCCTTTTTTTCCCGCACATCGCTGCACGACCTCTGCGACGAGTCCCCTGGGGCGGGGAGGGGTCCCGCAAGACCGCGCGCAAAAACCCGTCGGTTAAGCAGAGGCTAGGCTAGGCTAAGCGCGGCACTGCGGCAACAGAGCGTTCTAGTGAGAGACAGCTCTCGTGCCAAACACAGGAATGGACAAGCTCTTCGGCAGCAACGCCCTCGACGAGGTGATGGCCATCCGCGGCCTCAATAAAGACTTCGAGGACCTTGGCTGCTCCAAGGCTGATAGCCTGCCCTGCCAGAATCTGCGCGCGGCCATGCGCAAGCTCGGCCTCGCCGCCGAGAAGGCAAAGCCGCCCGCCGTGGCTTTGAACAAGCCAGGTGTGGTGACGCCGCCCCCGCTGCTCGTGCCCCAGGCGTCGGCGGACGCCGCCGCGGCGTGTACACGTAGATGCGGCATTTTAGGAGCGGCGCTCGGCGCGAGCCTGTCGGCGCTCGTGCCGGCGGACGAGAGCGATGAGGTGAGGGCGCACGTCGCGGCCGGCGCCGCGGCCGTTGCCAGTGTTGCGCTCTGCGCGCGGTTGTGCGATCCCCGCGTCGAGGCCGCGCCGCAGGCCGGAGCTCCCTTCGTCGTCGCGGGGACGTACAGCCACGAGCTGCCCTCATTGAAAGCCGTCGAGGCCTTCGAGAAGAGCCTCCCGTAGCGCGTCGTCGTTCGGCCCTTTGTAAGATTTGTATACTCATCAGAGCCACTCGGAAGGCGGACTGACTGCGCGGCGACGAGGCCAATGTAATCGTTCAAGTTAGAATGGGGGGAAAGGGGGGTACGCGCCTAGTTTTACCTGCGTGTATCGAGAGCGTCGACGCGGCGACGGCGTAGCGCGGTGACGGCGGGCGGTGCACGCCATCGCCGCGTGGAGGTCCGCGGGGTGTACATCTCGCGCAAACGAAAAACACAAGACGCGGGAAACGAACGCGCCGCAGCTCAGGCACTCCTCGGGCTCCGTGTTCACGGGCTTGAGCGCGTTCTCGCCGCGCGACTTCGCGGCCATGGCCTGGTCCACCGTGAAGGCGATGGCGTCGGCCTTCGGGCGCGTCCGCAGGTAGTACATGCCCGTCTTGAGGCCCTTCTTCCAGGCGTAGAAGTGCATGGACGTGAGCTTGCCCGGGGACGGCTCCGCAATATGTAAATTGAGGGACTGCGACTGGCAGATGAACGCGCCCCGATCCGCCGACATGTCGAGCACGCACTTCTGCTTGATCTCCCACGTCGTCTTGTAGAGGGCCTTAAGGTCGTCGGGAATGCCCGCGACGGCCTGGACGCTTCCCTTGTCCGCGATGATCTGGTTGCGGACCTCCGGCGTCCAGAGGCCCCGCGCAATCAAGTCGTTCAGCAGGTACTTGTTGACCACGGCGAACTCGCCGGCCAAGACACGTCTGGTGAACATGTTGCTCGTAAAAGGTTCAAACGACTCGTTGTTCCCGAGGATCTGGGCCGTCGACGCCGTGGGCATCGGGGCGAGGAGGAGCGAGTTCCTGCACCCGTGCTCGGCCAGATCTCTACGTAATTGGGCCCAGTCCCAGCGGCTGCTGGGCGTCACGTTCCACAGATCAGGTTGTAACAAGCCTTGGGACGTCGGAGACCCTTCGTACGTCTCGTAGGTGCCCTGCTCCTTGGCGAGCTGGATCGAGGCCTCCATGGCGCCTGCGTTCGACATCGAGTCACGACGCGGTTCCATCATTCCTGGAGACGAGTCGCGTCGTCATCGTGAAGTGCATAGGACACCGCACCGCGCCGTAATAGATCGTCTCGAAGATGTCCTTGTTGAGCTGGCGCGCGGCGTCGCCCTCGTACGGGAGGCGCAGCTTCACCAACGCATCCGCGAGACCTTGCACGCCGATGCCGATGGGGCGGTGGCGCATGTTGCTGTTCTCGGCCTCCTGGACGGGGTAGTAGTTCACGTCAATCACTTTGTTCAAATTACGAGTAACCACGTTGGCAATTTTACGGAGTTGCTTGAAGTCGAACTGATCATCAGTGACCATGGCCGTGAGGTTGATCGAGGCCAGGTTGCAGACGGCGACTTCGTCGGGCGACGTGTACTCGACGATCTCCGTGCACAAGTTGCTGGATTTGATCGTCCCCAAATGCTTCTGGTTGCTCTTCCCATTACAAGCGTCCTTGTAGAGCATGTAGGGCGTGCCCGTCTCGACTTGCGAATCGAGGATCGCGAACCACAACTGTTGAGCCGGGATCTGCTTGCGCGCCCGGCCCTCCTTTTCATATTTTTCATAGAGCTCCTCAAATTCCTTCCCGTGGCAATCCGCCAAGCCCGGGCACTCATTCGGACACATGAGCGACCACTGCTCGTTCGCCTCCACTCTACGCATGAACAGGTCGGGAATCCAAAGGCCGTAAAATAAATCCCGGGCCCGTTCCAACTCGTTGCCGTGGTTCTTCTTCAAATCCAAGAACGTCTCGATGTCGGCGTGCCAGGGCTCCAAGTAGATGGCGAACGACCCTTTCCTCTTGCCGCCGCCCTGGTCCACATATCTCGCAGTGTCATTGTAAACGCGGAGCATCGGCACGATGCCGTTGGACGTACCGTTCGAACCGCGAATATAAGAATCCGTGGCCCGGATGTTGTGCACGGACAGGCCGATGCCGCCGGCGTACTTCGAGATGCAGGCACACCTCTTCAAAGTGTCGTAAATCCCCTCGATGCTGTCCTCCTTCATCGCTAATAAGAAACAGGAAGATAATTGGGGTCTCGGCGTCCCGGCGTTGAAGAGCGTCGGCGTCGCGTGCGTGAAGTACTTCTGGGACATGAGCTCGTAGGTCTCGATGGCCGCGTCGACGTCACTCCCGTGAATACCGATCGCCACGCGCATGATCATGTGCTGGGGCCGTTCCGCGATCTCGCCGTCGCAGCGCATCAAGTAGCTTCTCTCGAGGGTCTTGAAGCCGAAGTAGTCGTATTCAAAGTCGCGGTCGTAGACGATCGCCCCGTTGATCTTGTCCTTGTTCGACCTGCGGCGGTGTCGCGTGACGGGAGACGTGATTTTGGGCGCGATGCGAGGACGCCGCGAGACGCACATGATGACCTCGTAGACGTCGTCGGCGATGAGCGACGCGGGCTTCTTCGTCTTCGGGTGGACGTGCTTGTGGAGCTTCTCCACCACATCGCTGAAGACCTTGTCGGTGGACTTGTGGAGGTTCGAGACCGAGATCCTCGCCGCCAAACGCGAAAAGTCCGGGTGCTGCGTGGCCATGTAGGCCGCCGTCTGGGCGGCGAGCTCGTCGAGCTCGTGGGTCGTGACGCCGTCGTAGACGCCCTGGATGACCTTTTGGGTCAGGACGTTCGGCTTGATGTACTTGGAGTCCAAACCATAGCATAACTTTTTGATGCGGCTCGTGATCTTGTCGTAGCGCACGACCTCCTTCTTGCCGTTGCGCTTGATGACGTGGATGTCGTCGTCGTCCTCGGAGACGCGGGACTGGTCCCTCGACAGGTTCGCGGGCCTGCGGTCGGCGGTTTCGTCGGGATTCTGAGTCGCGGCGTGTGGTGGGCGTGGGTGCGACCTCTCGTCGTAGTGCGCGTGGCGGGGACCGCGGCGGCGGCGGGGCCACGGCGTCCGCGCGCCGCGGCGGCCGGCCGGCGCCAGCTCAGAGTTTCCGAGTCGCGGCGTGCGCCGGCGCGTGTGCTGTCCTCCGTGCGCGCGGTTTTGCGGGGGCGGCGAGGCTGTGAGTGTGTGGGCGGGCGGGTGGCGGCAGCGTGGCCGGGCCGCGCGGCCGCCTGGCGCTCCCGCGCGCTCCGCAGTGCACATTTCAAACTCAGTCGGCTTTTGGCCGAAACCGCGCGCTGAGCGGCCGCGCGCGGCGCGCCAAGCTGTGGGCGTTGAGCTCTGGACGCTGTCGACGTGCGGCATTGCCAGGGCGGTCATTCTTTTGTACCGCGCGCTCGTAAATCGAGCGGGCGCCTGCTGAGTTTTAAACTTTAACGAGAGCGCGAGCTAGCGTGCTCTGAGATTCTAGGAAGCAGGACTGCGTGATCTTCCGGCGTAGCACAACTTCCAAAAGAACAACAAGTTATGGAATCGTGATTCGGTCGACGCGCACGACGCGCGCCCCACGTCTCGGATCCGCGACGTTCATATCAGGCGATAGTCCGCGGGCCCGCCGCGACGCCCGTCACTGCGACGGCGGCGACGGCGTCGCCCCCGCGGCGGCCCGCTCGCGCTCGCGCGCGTACTCTTCCCTAAGAGCCGCCAGCCGCGCCGCGTTGAGCAGTAGGCCTCCTCGAACCTCCCCAGCAGCATCGTCGGCGGTCTCGTCGGCTGCGCGGTCAACTCTCTGGCGCTTCTTCGGCGGCGCGGCCTTCTTCGACGGCGCGGCGCGGCGCTTCTTCGGCGGCGCGGGGATGGGCGCATCGGCGGGCCGGCCGTTCTGGCAGTCGACGCACTTGCACGCCGCGACGCATTTGCTGCCGGCCTTAAAGCAGACGCAGTAGAGCTTGAGGCAGCGACTATTCTTGCAGGTGCAGCCGTCGCGCGACGGCGGGAGCTCCGCGATCGCAGCGCGCGCCTCCCGCAATGAAGCCGAGCCCGCAATGTTCTCGCAGTTCTCGCACTTGCACGAGTCGCCGCACAGCACGCCGCGCTCGAAGCACTCGCAGTACCTCTTGAGGCACTTGGAGTTCTTGCAGCGGCAGAAGGACCCGTGCTTCTCGCGCAAGGCGTCGCGCGCGTCTCGCCACCGCTCCCGCGCCGGCGCCAGCCGCGCCTCGCGTTGATCCGGCGTCTCGAGGCGGCGCTCCAGCCTACCCAGCGCTGAATCCATCGCGGCACACACCTCCTTCGGCACCCCCGGCGCCCTCGGTGCCTTCGCGCGGCGCTCATCGTCCCGTGGCGGCGGCAGCTCGACCCGCGGCCGCTCGAAGGTCGTTGGCTGCGGCAGCTCGACCCGCGGCCGCTCGGACGTCGTTCCTCCCTTGGGAAAGAATTGGTCCATTAAATCAGCGAGGCGCGGGCCCTGCTCCTGGAAACCTAGCGTCCGAGGCAGAGGTGGGGGCGGCGGCGAAACAGCACCGAACGCCGCGTCCGACGGCGCCGCGAACACATCCGTCGGCACCTGGAAACGCCTTCGCGTCTCATCCAGAACAAAGTGCCGCGCAGGCAAAGGTGGGGGCGGCGGCAGAACAGCACCGAACGCCGCGTCCGACGGCGCCGCGAACACATCCGTCGGCATCTGGAAACGCCCTAGCGTCTCATCCGACGGCCTAAACTGCCGCATGTGCGCGGCGCACAGTTCCGCTTCACGGCGTGCGCGCGCGTCTCGCCGCGCCTCGCGCTCGACCAGCGTCTCGAGATCGGCGAGCGCGTTCGCGCCCGCGTCGTGCGCCGCCGTATCGTGTCCGCTAAAACCGAGAAGCGCGCGCGCGCCGCGCGCGTCGCCCGATCGCACGAAGAGGTCGCGCAACGCCTCGCGGGCCGCGTCCGCCGCGCGCCGGTTCTCGCGCCGCAGCTTCTTCGCCTCCGCCGGCAAAACCACGGCCGCCGCCAGGGCGTCGGCGTCGCCCGCGGGCGCGCCGCCGTAGCAGAGCACGCTGCCGCCGCCGAGGCCGAGGAGGCCGCTGACGGCGCCGACGACGCACGGCGCGACGCGCAGCGGGAACAGCTCGGCGACCGTGAGCACGTCGTCGCAGGAGAGGCGTCGCGCGAGCGCGTCGATGCGCCGGTCGGCCGCCGCGATCGCCGCGGCGGCGCCGCCGAGCGGGACGAGGACCGACGCCACCGTCAGCGCGCGCTGCTCCTTGATGCCGAAGACCAGGTGGTAGATGCGCAGCTTGTAGATCTCGCCGTCGATGCGCACGAAGCCGAAGGGCTTCTGGCCGGCGAGCAGCGCCGTCAGCGCGTAGATCGCGCTGGCCGGGAGCTCGAGGGTGACACAAGCGAAAATCCCGAAGAGCGGGCCTTCGCGCGGGATCCCGTAGTTGCCGTTCTCGAAGCTGACGACGAAGCAGATGACGGCCATGGCGCTCATCCAGAGCCAGCGCAGCTGCTCGTGCGTCTCCTCCTCCTCGACCTTGTGCTTGTGGACGACGACGGCGTCGGCGTGCGGGCCCTGCGAGAGCACGCCGCCGCGCGTCGGGTTCGCCACCAGGAGGCGCGTGTGGCTATCGTCGAGGAACTCGTCGCCGACGAGCGTCCGCACGACGTCCTCGACGACGTCGAACGGCTCGTGGGACACCAAGCCGCGCAAATGCTCGCCGCTCGGCGTCAGCTCGCCCGTCCCGACACGGTGAAACGGGATGCCGCGGCGGCCCTGATTTTCGGACAAGCTGTATCCTCGTCCGCCCCAGCCCTTGTCGCTCTCCCGGAACGCCGCTCCGACTTTTTTCAGCGCGGCGCCCGCGGAGGGCGACAGCACGCGGACGTACGCGTCGCCGACCTTTTGTTTGAGAGCTTCTTGGATGGGGCCGTACCCGGACGTGTCCAGCGGCGGGTACGAGCCGCCCTTGGGGTTCCAGGCCTGCCGTTGCGCGAACGACGCCTCGTTCAGGCCATCCAGCTCGTGCGGCTGGAGCGTCTTGCGCTGCGCTTCCAGTTCCCGCTTGTGCTTCCATGGATCAGGCTTGTCGTCTCGAACAACAACACCAGCAGCAGCATTATTGGTTCCGTGGCCGTAGACGTACGCGGCCGACCTGTGTGGGACGAAAAGCTGGCTTGCTAGTGTCTTACAGGCCGCTAGCGCGCGTTTTTCAGAAAAACGTAAAACAGACTCAAAATTTGCTCACATTTCTGTCAATTGGCCTTTAGAAAGGCACGCGAGCGTGCACAAAACGCCTCGCGTTCTCGCGTGCAGCACACGCGCGAAACTCTGCACCGGTTTCAAAGCTTGAGAGCGGCGCTATTGGCCGCCGCGCGCGGCACCTCTATTACGACTACGGGTCCGGGAGACGGCTCCCCGGACTTCTAGGGTACGCCTAGCTCCGCATTTGACTACCGAGCTTGCCCGCGGGACGCTTGGGCGTCGGAGGCACAACTAATCAGCGCACAGGACGACGAGCCCGCGCCCGCGCCCACGCCGCGGCCCGACGACGACGGCGACTCGTGCGCCGATTTAGGCTCTAGATTTAGGCGAGAAGTGCACAGGGCTCGCCGCGAAAGCCGGCCGCGCCGTCGCGAACCACGAGAGACGCCGCCAGAGACGCCGTCGCCGCACTACGAGCAACACAACAACACCTTACTCAAGCGGTCGTCCCCTCGCCGAACGTCTCCCGCGCGAACTGCCTCGCTTCCGCCTTTCGTTGAGCCTCGGCTGCGGCTTCTTCTTCCTCCTTCGCCTGCTGCTCCATTCGTTTTTTCTGCCGGAGCTCCTCCTTGACTCGTTTGGCTTCCGCTTCCAGTAACTCTTTGGGCGGTACGGGCAGAAATTTCTGGTGAAGCTGATACACGTCGTACGACAACTCTTCATCTCTAGGAGCTAATAGCGAGATGCGCTCCATCACACGCACGAAGGCGTCGCCCTCGTTTTCAACAATGCCCCACCTTGATAAGGCTTCGGACGCAATGTCGACGGCGAGCGGCGTGACGGTTAACATCAGCGCATCGGTCTTCTCCTGCGCAGTCACGAGCGCCCGGGCCAGCCTCGTCCGATTCCCCTCGGCGTCGAAGGCCTCGAGCAGGTCCTTGACGAGTTGTTTCGCCATGTGCAAATTAATTGCGCTGTAGTCGAAAGCATCGGCAGCGGTCTGGGCCATGGGGGCTGCCCTCTGCGATGGCTGCCTGGTGCACGCGTCTTCGAGTGCGCTGCCCGGGTCGCGGCGGCCGCGTCGATGGCGTGCGCACGGCCACAGCGCTGCCAGAGGCGCTTTGGTTTGTGTTTTGTGCTTCTCTCGCATGTACACCTCGGGGCGCCGGGGTCGCGCCGAGGCGTCGGGCGACTCTTCTGGCGATGATGATTTGATTCGTTCGTCTTCGCGTCTTCGCGCGGGTCGGGAGAGCCTCGAGCCCCAGACGCTCCCCGGGGCGGCAGCCCATTTGCATCGCGACCGACTCCCGCGGGCAGCTTCGCGATGGCTCCCGCGGCGAGCGCCGACGAGACAAAGATGTACCATCGCATGGCCGACTGGTACAACAGGCCGGAGTGCGACGCGCTGCGCGCCGCCTGGGGCCCGTACCCGGCGACGCCGGGCGTGCTTCAGGCGTGGCCGGGCTTCGTCGCCGTCACGAACGCGTTTCTTGACAGCGACGCTGCAGACGACCGGCCCGCCGTCGCTGCCGCTGCGGAGCCCGTCGCGGCGGAGGCCGTAGAGTCGGAGCCCGTCGACGTGAGGCCCGCGGAGCCCGCAGCAAGTACGCAGCCCGTGGTCGTAAGTGAGGTGATGGAGCGCGAGGCGCCCGCGGAGGGCGGCGCGGGCGAGGGAGTCGGCTCTGTCGAGTTCCTCGGCCGCTGGCACGAGAAAAAAGATGACCGCGCGATGCCCGTCAAGTTAAAGTATGGTCTGAACATTGAATGGAACGATTTCACGGGTGCCCGAGTGGCCTTCGGCCGGCTCGTCGAAGAGCTCGTGCAGAAAAACGCGCCGAGCGGCATTCTCGTAATTGGTCGCGAGAGAGAGGGTGCCCGGCTTTCCTGGTCCGCCAGCGCGGACGACGTGAGCTATCAGCGACACGGCCTTGTCGGGCTGGAGTACATAAAGCATGAAAACATCCGCTTCGCCGGCTTCGAGGGCGTCGTCGATTTTCATAAGGGGGATTTTGGAGCTCAGGACCAAATGGCGGTCTACCGCGTCACGCTACCGCGCGGAGGCCTCGACAGATCGAAATGGGCAGGACGCCCGCCGCCGCTCGCGCCGGAGGACCTGCACACCGGCCCGCCGGACGACGGCCTGCTGAGCACGGGCGAGATCTCGGGCGAGTATTCGGCCCCGTGTGAGGACGGGAGATGCTGCAGATCGAAGACCGTGATTCCGTTCGGGCCCGACGCGATCGAGACGTTTGATTCGTGGGTGTGTTGTGTTCCCCCTTCTTGTATTGGGCCGCGGGCGAATGGTAAGGTCTTGACGCGCAAGCCGGGCACCAATGATTTCGATTGGATGACGTTCTCGGCCGATGGAACGGCCGGTGGAGGCTTCAAAAAACGCCCACACTCGCAGAAACGGCCCTTCCGCAAGGTCGAGACGAGGGACCTCGCGGGCACCTGGTGCGGCTGCTGTTGCAGCCCGTGTATTCCGCTTTGGCCACTTTCGTGCTTTTACTGGACGAGGAAGAAGGCGCTTGACGAGGACCGGTACGCGGAGTCGGGCCTCAGATGTGGTCTGTGCCCCTGGTGGTCCATCTGTTCTGAAACGTACACGCGGACATACCACGATGGCGGCGGCGGCCGCAGCTATCCGACGAATGGGTTCGGATTGGAGGACGAGATAACATGCATCGAAGGAGGTTGCTGCCCAATAGCTTCTACATATTATCGCAATTCCGGCTACGCCGCTGGCGGCCCATTCTTCGCAAAGAAGGTCGGCTAGGCCGATCTAGAGTATAAGAGACAATGTCACGAGTCGCACCTTACGCGGGCGGCGCGTGGTCGCGGGGGCCGCGCCGGGCGGCGGGGGGCTCGGCGGCCGCGGACCCGGTCTAGGCCCGCCGCCGCGTCATAGGGCATAGGGGAGGACACGCACGCCCGCGCCCCTCAGAGCTCGTCCGTCGTGGCCTCGAGCGACTTGCGCACGGCCTTGGCGAGGCCCAGCCCCTGGCCCTTGAGCGCGGCCTCGGCGGCCTCCTTGTCCTTCATGTAGCCCTCGTAGAGCTTCTGGAGGTCTTCCACTTGCTTGCTGAAGTTTTCGTTGAGCTCCTTGATCTTCGCCTCCTGCTCTCCAATAAATTCGCCCAATTTCTCGGCACCCATCGCTTGGAACGAAGCGATCTGCGCCTTCTTCTCGTCGGAGCAGAGGTCCAAATTCTTGACGCCGCACTGGGGCCCGAGCTTCTCGGACGCGAACTTTTTGAGGTCTTTTTCGTCTCTCCCACCTTGGTAGTCCTGGAGGTCGCTCGGGTCGCCGTACTTGAGCGTCGGGAATCCTTTCACTCCATTCGCGTCGCAGAGGGGCTTGCCCTCGGCCGTGCAGTCGACGTCGGCGACCAAAATGTCCTTGTGGCCCTTGTACTCGTCTATGAGTATGTCCCAGGTGGGTTTCAGCTTCTTGCAGTGGCCGCACCAGGGCGCGAAGAACTTGATGAAGACCTGCGTTTTGTGGCGGGTCGCGGCGATGGCGTGTGAGTTACGCGCGCGTCGAGCGGGTCCGCAGTCTTTGCGCGCGTCGCGGTTTCGCGCCGCGCGCGCGCGCAGCGTATGCGCCTGGTGCGGTGCGGGTACGCGGACGTGCGCGCGCTACAAAAATGCATGCATGCGCGCCGCGGACGCCGCGGGTCACGCTCTTGTCCTGGGTGAGGTCGTCGTAGTTGTCAGGCGTGAGCACGGTGGCATGCGTCGACGCCGCGAGGGCGAGGAGGAGGGCGGCGGCCTTCATCGTTGCGATTGTGAGCACGTGGGCTGGATTTTTATGGAGATGCTCCACGCGGAGGAAATCTCCTCGGCCTAGCGTCGATACATACTAGCCTGCGTAGTCCTGCCGGACGGGCGGGCCCGGGGGGACCGGGAGGGTACGGGGGACCCCGCGACGTAACTAGCCTGAGCCTGAGCACGCAATAGGGACACACCAACAACTTACCGAGGACCCGCTCAGAGCTCCCCCGTCGCGTTCTGAAAAATTGCCAAGCTAGCGTTGTAAGCTACTAGAAACAAAATCACGACGCGCGACCCCAAACGCCTCACGCCACAAAAATGATCCTCACAACCTGCCCCGCCTGCGCCGCCCCACTGGCCCACGACGCGCCGCGATGCATACGCTGTCACACAAGATATTGTAACAAAACTTGCCAGATGGACCACTGGCGCCGCGGCCACAAGCAGATCTGCAAAAAAATACACCGCGGCGGCAACGCGGAGCAATACTACGCCGACAAAAAATACAAGGAGGCCGTCGCGGTCGCGGTCGAGGCGTGCCGCGGACGACACGAAGGGCAAAAATGCTACATCTGTCTCGAGGCCGTGCATCCGCACACGGGAGAAGGCCTCGTGCGCGGATGTGCGTGCGGAGATCGCGACGGCGTTTCGTCTCCGGAACTGGGCGTCGCGCACGTGTCGTGCTTGGCGCGGCAAGCAAAGATTTTGTGTGACGAGGGCGAGGAGACAGACTTGGACGGCGAGGCGTTTGATAAGAGGTGGATGCGTTGGGAAGAGTGCGGCCTTTGCGAGCAACGATACCACGGCTTCGTGTGGTGCGCGCTCGGGTGGGCTTGCTGGAAGACGTACGTGGGCCGGCCGGAGACGGATTGGGCTCGAGTCAATGCGCTAACGGTGCTCGGGAATGGGTTGTGGGCAGCGGAACGTCACGCGGAGCGGCTGGCTATAGTTGAGGTCCAGTTGGCCACTCAGAGGCGTCTCGGGATATCAGAATACCCCATTATCGTCACCAGATCCAATTTTGCCAATTGTCTCCACTCGCTCGGGCGACTAGACGAGGCTCTCGCGATGGAGCGTGATGTTTACGCTAGATGCAAGGAACTACTTGGAACGACAAACAAAAGTACGCTTCACACCGGCAACAACCTTGCACATTCGTTAATTCAGCAAGGGCAATACGCCGAAGCGAAGGAATTTGCGGGCAAGCTCATCCCACAGTGCCGGCGGGCGCTCGGGTCCAATCACGTAATGACGCTGAACTGCCACGCGGCCTTTGCGGAGGCCCTCTACAGCGACGCGGGCGCGTCCCGAGCTGATGTTTTAGAGGCCGTGACAATACTCGAGGATGTGGTGAGAGCCCGCCGACGAGTCTTCGGAAATCATCACCCGGAGACAATACGTGCCCTCGCGATTCTCGAGGGTGCACGAATGAAGCGCGAGGACGTCGCCGCGTAAGATTCAAGTAAACAACACACACCTACTCACCCCATCCCGCTCTCCTCGAACTCCGCGTACGCCTGGGACAAGGCATCGAAGATCCGCTTCCCGACGAAGCGCTGCTCGATCGATAAATTAACGAGCTTGTCCGGGTGCACGAAGCGCGACGCCTTGTAGTAGGCCCGCTTGACCTTCTTCGGCTCGAGCAGGTCGCCTATCGAGATGGGTTTCCAGCCGCTCCCCTCCCACATGACCTGGTCCATGCCCGCCAATAGCGCCCGGATGTTCTTCTTCTTGCCGTGGTCCTCGCTCCACCGCTTTAACTGAGGATCCAGTTGCGCTTTGAGAGCGATTTGCGCGTCGGCCTCGCTCTCGGCGGCGGACCGCTGCGCCCTTAGTCTAGCCCGCTTCTCCTCCTGCGCATCTTGTAAGGCCTGCCTCCGCTCGAGGATGGCCTGCTGCACCTCGGGAGCCTTCGAGGACAAGTCCTCGTTCCCAATAGACACGGCCTGGATACCGATACGAACCTCTTCGACGACCTCGACGGCGACGTAGCGCTGGTCCACGTCGTCCCAGCGCATCTTGCCCTCCCTCACGAGCTGTTGGACGGTGTCTTGCGAGAGGGACTGGGCATTCTTTTTTGGTGGTTCAGGCGCGGCGCCGAGGTCGACCATGTCCAGTGAAGGTTTTCTAGGAGGCGGCTTCGGCGGCGGCGCTCTTTGCGAGGGCGGCGGCACGTGCGCTCTTGAGCCGTTCGCGCGACTCGCTTCCTCCCACGTCGCGCGGCCGCCTCCAGTCGGAGCATCGGCGTAGCCCTTGGCGGCGCGCCGCGCCCGCGGCATTCTGCCTGGTTTCAGCCGGCGCCGCGCGATGGCTTGTGGAGACACATCGACCACCCGCATGCGCACGACGAGCGCATCGCCGCTTTGCTCGGCGCCCACAGGCTCGTGCGCGTCCCGGACGTCGCGCCAGCAGTAGCCGAAGACGTCATCAGCCACCTTCGCCCGCCAGCGCCAGTCGCCGCCCGTGGACGTGAAGGGGCACGAGCGTTGCAATTCAGCGAGCGTTGGGGCATCCGGATCACTACAAAACACTTCAAAGGCGTTTTCGCCGGCGTCGCGGTCGCCCTGGACGTCGTAGACGCACCAGACTTGGGCCATGCTCGTCCTGTCGATCCTGCGCCTTGCGACTAATGCGGTAGGACGTCCTGTGAGGTGGCGCGTCGACGGCGTCGATCGCTGCGGCGCTGCTGCCTCCCGAGTCGGCGCTGGGAGATAGTCTATGCGGCCAGCCTTCCCAACGCGAGAGTTTCGCAGCCTGTTGCGCAGCTCGCTCTGGCGCGAATCAATGCCACAGCAGGCACAAACTCCCCGCAGCGATTGCTATGCTGCAGCGCCCACGCCCGACTCGCTTTGCCAGTGTTGCTAGTGTCTTACCGGCCGCTAGCTTGCATCCGTCCAAAGAACCCGTAGAGCAGTCGAAGGCACGCTCGCGCATAGCTGCATCGCCGCGGAGCGCGTCCGCCGCGTCTCGGCGCGAGAGCCTGGACTTTAACGCAAGCTCTCCGGACATAAACGAGCACTCGCATCCCGCCGCGCCCGGACCGACGCAGCAGACCCGCGACGCACGCCACGCAAGGTAGAACGGCACCGCGTTGCAACGAGCCGCGCCGACAGCCGCACCAAAAAGGGCTGCCCCAGCAGTAGCACCAAGCAACCATGGGCAGGGGCGACGCCCCGACGCTCGAAGTGGTCGACGAGTACGACGCGGATGGAGACGGCCGCGTGACCCGAGAAGAGTACTTAGCTGGTTTTCTGCGCGACGGCATCGACCTGACGGCGGACTACCTCTTGATGAGAAAGATTGCATGGGAGAAGTGCGAAAAACTCGACGATTTCGAGTTAATAAAGAAGGGCGAGGACTTGCTGCTGGAGGGGAATTTTCTGCGGACGGCGATTACGAGCGGTGAACACAAGCAGACGTGGCCGCTGTGCGTGCCTCGACGGGATGTCTCCTTACCGGGCTGCGCGCTCAATGATAAACAAAAAACGAGGATCTACAAGCAGCTCGCGAAGGAGTTCGCGACCGGGACGTTGAAAGGGACCTTCAAGGAGAACTTCGTCAAGCGGCAACGGGACGCCGTAACACAGCGCTCTTTACGGAAGAAGGATTCTGAGACGGTCGCGACGCTCCAGTCGATCCGCGAGAAGGACTACACGCCCTTCCAGATCAAGACGATGCGGCTGGACTGGCTGCGGCGGTGTGAACTCTGGTTACTGCGCGTGAAGGAGTCGAAGGAAGAGGTCGTGCGTAAAAGGCAAAGAGGTATCACGGACACGCGGCTGAAGTCTGTGGATGATTTATTGGGGGATGATGGTCAGTATAGGGTGCGCGGGCGGGAAGCTGCCAAGGCGGAAAAAGGTAGGAACGCGGACGGGCTCTGCCACTACAGCCTGAATCCGCATTTACTCCGGGAGAACGCGCTGCGAGCCATGTACCCGAACATGAAGTTCCGGGAGTCTGGATTGCGCAACTCGGAAAAGATCTGTTTCGGGAAATTTTATCAAAGTTCAGTATTGAACCCGAAAAGATACAACCGGGCCTACGAACTCGAGCGGACGTCTGTTTCTAGAGCGTTCAACCAGTCGCGCCGGTCGAACGCGTCCCAGATGGAGTCGCTGCGGACTACCGGCAACTTCTGGGAGTCTGTGAAGAGATACAACGACCCGCGGGGCGTAAGCTTCTAGGTTTCTTATGTTGCGACGACCGGCGGCGGGCGTTGTAGTGCTCGAGCCGCTGGCCGCCTCGATGACGGCGTCTGGCAGGTCGGTCTGGGCTGACTAGTCGGCGCGTCGCGTCGACAGCGTCGGGCGTGGGGCCAGTGCTCGAGCCCTGGCGTCCGCGGCCGCCGCGGGCGCGTTGACGACCGAACGCGAGGCGTCCTTGCGGACCGCGATCGGTCGCCGGCGAGAGGTGCTGCGACGGCTCCGTCGCCGTCGCCGCGACCCAGCTCCGGCGTCCACGCGGAGGCGGCTGCATTGAGATTGACGAGCTTGCTAATTGAGCGAGATCGCCGCCGTCTAGCGTACTCTCAAGACAAAAGCGTTGCGCAGCAGTGCAAAGCAGTCCGTTGCAGCACGAAATCCAAGAGGACGACAGCAACCATCATGGCGCGGCGGTGCTTGTTGGTGCTGGCCCTCACCAGCCTCTCAGCGGCCCAAAACCCCTGGGTGAACCGGCGGAAGAACAAGGACAAAGATGCCCCCGTCGCGGCGGACCCCGCCGCCGGCGACACGGACTTTAGCAAGCTCAACGACATGGTGAAGAATCTCCAACAAGCGGGCGCCGCGGGCGGCGCGGGCGGCGAGGACATGTTCGCGGGCATGGGCGACATGTGGGAGTCCCTGATGGACTCGCCCGAGATGGAGGAGATGCTCGCCAATCCGGAACTGCTGAAGGCGACGATCAAGAACAACCCGCTGATTAATGCCATTCCCGGCGCGTCCGAGCAGGTCGAAGCGTTGTTGCAATCGGATGCTTTCAACGACCCGGCGCAGCTCAAGCAAGCGATGAGACAAGGTGTGGACGCCATGAAGGCGGTTGGGTCGGAGTTCGGCAGTCAGCTCGGGGCCCAAATGAAGCTCGCGCAGCAGAACCCGGAAGCGTTTAAAGCGCAGATGGAGGCCATGATGAGTCAGTTGGCCGGCGGGCCGGAGCAGGGCCGGGCGTTGATGGAGGCCGCGAAGGGTCTGTGGGACGGTTCCGCCGATCCGGCGCAGCTCGAGGCGTTGTCGAAATTACCCGGCATGGAAGCATTAGCTGATCCGGAGGCCATGAAGCGCCAGATGGCCGAGCTCCAGAAGATGATGGGCGCGGGCCAGGTGCCGGCCATGGGGGGGGAGTTGTAAAGGAGAGTACTACATTGGGTCTCGTCACACAACTCCCCTTACTCCTTCGACTCCTCCACGCCGACGTCGACGCCTCTCCTACGGCGAGTCGTCGCGTCGGGCGACGCGGGCCCGCCCGCCGGCGCCGCCGGAGCCTCGGGCTGGACCTTGTTGTTCGAACCCCAGGGCTCGTTGCCCCGCCAGAGCCAGAACAACGAGATCAATAAAACGGGACCGCCGGTGAGGCACCACGCCGTGAAACAAATCCAGTAGAAGATCCACATGGCCCGGTACGCGTCCCGCTTCGTGAAGCCGTCGTCGTCGTCCTCGAGGTCGTCGTCGCCGCCCCGCGGCTTGTTCGCGGGATGGGCATCGACTGCTTGGAGTTTACGTTCGATTCGTCTTTGCGTGGGGTAATCCGTGTGGAGCTCGGGCACGGGCTCGCCCTTGTATACTGCCGTCCAATACGCAATCGCTTCGCGGCCGGACATGGCGTTTGTTGGTGTCAAGAGCAGGGGCCAGAGGAGGCGCATGGTGACGGCTGCCCCGCTGTGTGGGCAGCTCCCAAGGTCTGCTCGCGGGAGAGAGGCGTGCGATGGCGTGCCCTCCGCGACTGAGGGCGCCCGGGCGCGCGAGCACAGCCTGCCGTTGCGCGCTGTGTATAGCTTGCTAGTGTGTTACAGGCCGCTAGATAATATTATTTTTGCCCGACGAGCGAAGGAGCGCCGCGGGCGTGATTCGAGCCAATAATACGCGGAAGTATACCCCGTACGCACGCTGCCGCTGTTGGCAAAAAGCTAGGAGTACGGCCGCTGCAGCAAAAGACAGCACTGCACGCTGCGCACAGCGGCCACTTTCGTCCAAACTAGTGCCGCATAGATCACAGCGATGGCCGCCGAGCAACAAGACGCCTTCGCAAAAGCCGCCGCACGAAACGGCCACGCCCTCGTCGTCGTCGCCGGCGACGTCGGGAGAAGTCCACGAATGCAATATCATGCGTTGTCACTGGCGGAGGAAGGGCGGGCCGTGACGCTCGTCGGGTATGCGGGCGAGCGTTGTATTGACGCGTTGGTACGGCACGTTTGTGTGCGGGAGGTGCGCATCGCGGAGCCATTGAGGCGGTTCCCGGGTTTCCTGGGCAGGGTCTATCGGTTGCTCGCGCTTTGTTTCGCTCTAGGCCGTGCGTTATTCAAAGCTAGAAGAGATCATAGAGCGTCCCTGGTGCTGTGCCAGACGCCGCCCGCATTACCAGCACTGTTTCTATGTTGGCTCGTCGCGCGACGAGATGGCGCTCATGTGGTCGCCGACTGGCACAACCTGGGGCACACGGTGCTGGCGGACGCTTCTTTGAGAAGGAAGGGGAGGTTGTCTTTTGCTGATAGAGTGGCCGTGGGGATCTACGACTTTCTCGAGCGACGGAGCGGTCGGCTCTTAGATAGGCACCTCTGCGTCACGCACGCCCTGAAGGCGTGGCTCTCCCGAAATTACGGTATTCATGCGGAAGCGGCCCACGACCGGCCGCCCTCGATGTTCACGTCGCTAAGTGAAAGCGAAAGGCTCGCGGCGCTCGCGAGGATCGGTTCAATCGCCTTCCCTTCTTCCTCAAATGACCCCTTCTGGCGCGGCCGTTCATTAGCCGATGCGTCGAAGGATCGCCCTACTATAATAGCGTCGTCGACGTCGTGGTCCGCGGACGAAGACTTCGACGTTTTGCTCGACGCATTGATCGCCTACGACAAGGCGCACACACAACGCCTCGTCGTCATCGTGACGGGCAAGGGCGAGTTACGGAGGCGCTTCGAGGAGCGGTACGCTACTCTGAACTTGCGACATGTGAGGGTCGCAACCGCGTGGCTGTCCACGAAAGACTACTGCTGTTTGTTGGCCTGTGCCGACGTCGGCGTGTCGCTCCATGCCTCGACTTCAGGCTTGGACCTGCCGATGAAAGTGGTCGACATGTTCGGAGTTGGGTTACCGGTGCTACAATTGGCGTTTCCGTGCGTTTCCGAACTTGTGGAAGATGGCGTCAACGGCGTGCTTTTTGAGGACGCGGCGTCGTTGGCGCGCGAGCTCGCCAAGGTCTCAGGACGGGGCGACGCTTTGCAGACGTTGCGCGCGGGCGCGGGTCTTCAGGAGCGGTGGGGGGGCATGTGGGCGCGGTGCGTGGCGCCGGTCGTCGGGCCGGCGTTTGGGTCTGGGGAGTAGGTGTTGTTTGTTTGATGGACTCTGTTCCCGGCTTCCTAGACGAAGCAACCCTGAGACTGTGTCGGCACAGGCCACTGGGTTTTGGGTCGCCCCGCCTTGTCTGATCGTCAAATACCGCTCATACTTGCGCGCAGCAGTGTTCGTCGTATTTCCAGATCGCGTGCGCGAAAGTTCGATCGATAGATGCGCTCCCAGAGATTGGAAAAACTTGGGGGTTGCAGCTGTGCTCGGCGACTCCGCGACGCGCGCGCGTTGCGCCGGTGCGCGTGACCTGTAGCCGACACGCCGCCAGCGGGCTCGAGCCTGGACAGCGCGGCCCGACCTCGAGTCGCACTCGTACGCGTCGCGACGGCCGCCCGCGCGCAGGTCCAGCCGAGGAGATTAACAGGTCATTCCACTCCTCCGACGGTCACCATGCCGCGCCTCTGTCTGGCCCTGCTCCTCCTCGCCGCGCGGGCCGCGGCGGAGCCGCCGGACCACGACCCATGCACGTGCTTATCACAAAGCTGCGGCTTAAGCTTCGGAACAGTGGCTCAACTGGATCTCACCGTGCCCCTGGACCGCCTGAAGATCGTGCCCTGCGTGGGCGACAGCGACTGCGAAGACGCCCCCCAACCCGTCGAGGGGCCGTACTACGAGGGGTGCTGGACCGTCGCCGATGACCCGCCGTTCCCTTCGAACGAGCTCCCGGTGTCGCTCTGCGCGGAGCCGCGCCGCCGCCGCCTCCTCTTCGCAAACCACGTCGTAAATTCGGCGTACGTCGTCACCGGCGACCTCGCCTTCGACGGCATCACGTACGAGACAGCGCTGGCTAGCGTCGACGTGTTCGTGGCCGCGGTTGCATCATTGTGCGGAGTGGACGAGTCTGCAGTATCCGTGGTGATTTCCCAGGCCCGGCGCCGTCACCTCAGTCGTCGTCGCCTCGACGACGGCGAGACCGGCTCGGTGAAGGTCGAGTACACCGTGGCCGTAGAGACCGAGTACGAGGCTGCATCTGCCAGCACGTTGATCGAAGACAGCTCGCCTGAGGACGTAAGCACCGCGGTGAACACGGCCGCTACCAAAGCTGGTGTTGATGAAGAGTTTGCGGACGTCGAAACGACGGCGGTCGGGACGCCTACAACGGAGGTGGACGACCGCTGCTTCTTCGTGAGGGGGACTTCTCAGGGAAGCCAATTCTGGACGGACGGCATTTCACTCGACGACGTGGGCGACAACGCCGACGAGGTCTTCAAGTGCGCCGCGGCGAGCCTCGCCGACGTGTCGCCGGACCGCGTCGAGCTGCTGAAAATCGAGCAGGGCAGTCCCCCCATGCCCCAGGTCATCGCGAGCTTCCTCATCGCCGTGAGCGGCGAGGCGCAGGCGCTGGCGGTCCAGAGGCGGCTCGCCGGCCCGCCGCCGCCCCCGCCGCCCGTCTCGCCCCCCGGCTTACCCGGCTTGCCGCCGCCGCTGCCCGGTCCGTTCGCCGGCAAGACCAAGGCGGACGCCACCGCGGCGATCAGGGCGTGCGCCCTGAAAAAGAAGGCCCCGTCGGTCTGGCAGGAGGCGTCGGTCGACCCGTTCGTGGGAGGGAAGGAAGCCAAAATCGTGCCGGAGCGGCCGATCCCGGCGGGCGTCCAGGGCTGCTGCTGGGGCTCGGCCGGGGGGAACGTCGGGCCCATTGAGCCGATCGAGCCCATTCCTCTAGACCCGGAGGCCAACGAAGGCCCCCCCGCCCCGCCGCCGACGCCTATGGAGATGACGACGACGACGACCATGACGACGGCGCCCTACAACTCTACGGCGTAAGGAACGACGCGGGCGCCGCCGCAGCCGCGGAAGTTCCGGCCGGCGGCCTGCGTATCTAACAAGTGCTCATAGCTATCTCGGAGCGCTAGCGGTCAGTAAGACACTAGCAAGCTCTCAGGCTCTGCCTTGCTCTGGGGCACAGCGGTGCGCAAACGCATCGCCGCGACTCAGACCCCAGCTGGACGCCTTCGACGCGAGCAACTGCGCCTGAGCCACGCAGCGCACACCAAAATCCTCTCCTGCGAGAGAGAGCACTCATGGCACGCCTCAGAGCAGCGCTGGCCCTCGCCGCTACAGCAAGCGCACTAGTGATCCCAACCCAGCCAGTCCTCACGCGCTACGCGGCCGGCAAGGTCTTGGAGGCGGCAGAGCTCAAAGCGAAGGACGAGGACTGGCCCGTGACGATCTGTGTGTGCGACGGCGGCGGCGTGCCCTTATGTTTAGCACGCTTGGACGGCGCCTTCCCCGCCTCCGTCACGCTCGCCACGGAGAAGGCGCGGACGGCGGCGCAATTTCGCAAGCCGACGCTAGATTTGGAGAGCGCCGCGAACGACAAGCGGCCCGCACTCATCGCGTCGGGCTTCACGGTCCTAGGTGGGGGGGAGCCGATCTTCGTCGACGGCTACTGCGTCGGCGCCGTCGGCGTCTCCGGCGTCTTGCCGACCGAGGACGCGGAGGTAGCAAAAGCGGGCGCCGCGGCGATCTGCCCGACGACGGCTCCGCCCGACGTCCCGGCGAAGGCCGTCGCCTTCGAGGCATGACTAAACTATACTGTGTTAACTCCAGCCGTGAGCTTCGTACATACATCGGACGTGAGTTATGGTTCCACGGCGGGGAGTTGTGACGACGGCGGAGGACATGGCCCGGGAGATGGATTAAGCTAGCTGACACGAAGAGTATTCTTAGAGGGGCGAACTAAGGTTACGGACACGTCTTGCAGACGCACTCCGCCCCCGCCGCCTTCGCCGCCGCGCACCGCTCACAGAACTCGTCCCACTTCGACTCGTCGTAGTCGACGTGCACCTCCTGCTCCGCGTCCCACATGAAGATCGGCTGCTTGCCATTGGGGGGGTTCGGCGCGTGCCAGTAGCGGCAGCGGCCCTTCCCCTGTTTATTTTTTTTCGGACAGCCGTACTTGTACTTCTTCGAGTTCAGCTCCGACGCACATCGCACGTCGTAGTCCAACTCGCCCGCCTTCGCCTTCTTCGATCTTTCGATCCGCTGTTTCTCCGCGTCCTTCATTTCCGCTTGAACACGAGGGCCGGCGCGGTTCCTAGCAGAGACATCTGCATCAGGAAGCACCTCGTCCAGAGTCTTCGGCGTCTCCACGTAATCCGTGTGGAAGGTGGCGCCCTCGTTCTCGACGATGCGCGTCTCCGTCGGGGCCTCCTCCGTGGGCCGAGACCGCGACGCGCGCTGCGCACCTTCATACCGAGCGACAAACAGAGGCTTCGTCGCGGTCACTGGGCACTCCGCCGCCGGCGCGGCCCACGCGAAGAGCGGGGCGTCAACGCCAAACGCCGACGTCGCGCACGTGTCCGACGCTGCCCAGGACAGCGGGGGCTGGCGCGGCTCGTTCCACGAACCCTCGTCTATCACTAACCCGCCGCCGTCGCCGCCGCGAATCTCGCGCAGCAACTGCTTCGCGAGCGGCATCGTCTCGAAGTCGGCCTGCGCCTTGGCCTCCTCCTCCTCCGCGGCGGCGAGGGCCTTCTGGGCGCGGTCGCGCGTGTACATCCAGCGCGGGGGCGTCGTGCCCTCCGACTCGCACCGCGACACTAATGCCAGCCCCTCCTCGTAGCCGCCGCACTTCGTGCAGTGTCCCTTCATCGGGTGGCGCGTCGTCCACGCAGCGCCGCACTCGCACTTGTACCTCCCGCCCTCCACCACGTAGTTCCCTTCGTCGTCGAGCTGGAGGCAGTCGTACAGCGTGTACCGGCCATTATAAATGACGTGGACGTCCGAAGGGCAGGCGTCGCGTAGGGTACAGGCCTTGCCACAGCGATGATCCGCACACACGACGTAGTCCTCGTAGCCAGTGCCTAGCGGGACGAATGGCGTGCAGACGGCGGGCGTCGCGGGCGAGCCCTTCCCGTCCTTCTGCAGCCGCCGCGACTCGCGCAGCCGTGCCGCGCGCGCGTGCGCGAGCTCGTCGATGCGCCCGAGGTCGACGGAGTCCGTGCCGCCTTCGTCATCGTCGAAGCGCGCCGAGAAGCGCGCCGGCGCCGGCGCCGGCGCCGCTTCAGCGCCGCGGCGGTTGACCGGCAGGGCCGCGCGCGCGGAGTCGCCGTCGCCGCCGTGGAGGCGCGCCGCGACGGCGGCGAGCTCGGGCGCCACGGAGGGCGCGAGCCGCAGCGCGAGCGGGTCCGCGGGCGCCGCGGCGACCGCGTCGTAGCGCGGCCGCTTGACGTCGACGATGGCCGAGCGGTCGCGCATCCAGCCCTTGATCGTGTCGGTGTCGAGCGCCGCGGCCGCGTCGGCGAGGTCGACCGCGCGGCGCGGCCGGCGGCGCTTCGGGCGCGGCGCCGCGGCGGGCGGCGCCACGTCGACGGCCGGCGGCGGCGCCGCGTCGACGGCCGGCGGCGGCGCCGCGTCGACGGCCGGCGGCGGCGGCGCGTCGTCGCCGCCGTCATCGACGCGCGCGCGCTTGGCCGACGCCGCCTCAAATACAAACCGCCGACCGCAGATCTCGAAGACGTCGCCGTCGCGCACGTCGCACGCGGCCTTGGGCGCGAGCGGCTGCGCGTTCAGGAGCGTCGCGTTCGCGGCCTTGGCGTGGTTGACCAGCGACACGCGCGCATTCTGGTCCACGCGCAGCTCGGCGTGGAGGCGCGAGCAGTGCGTGAGCCCGATGCGCACGTCCGACGTGAGCGCGCGGCCGAAGGTGACGGTCGCCGCCGCGTCGGCGTCCAGCGGGATGCGTTTGCCCTCGCCGGGGTCGTAGATGTAGCCCGCGGCCGTCAACGCGCGCGCGCGCTTCTCGGCGGGCGCGTCGCCGTCCTCATGAGTGGTGTCGCAGCGCAGGTCGATTTGCTCGGCCATACGGCTGCGTTCGACAGCGCGCGCGCTGTGGCTTGCAGATATGTGAGAGTACGCGCTGTGCTCCAGCCCTTGGCCTCAGTTCCTTCGCGTGCGCGCCGCAATCTCACGCTTCGCACTGCACCAGGACAAACTGGTTCGTCGTTTGAAAGTCGCCCACGAACGCGTCGAACCACCGCTGCAGACGTCTGCTGAAGCCTCCCTTCAGCGGTGAACGCAGTCTTGCGGGCCATTTTGTTTGTCGTTGGCAATGAAGCCGAAGTTTGAGTGCAAAAGCCAGCCGCAATTAGCGCCGCAGCGCCGCTGCACCAGCTGCAGCCACAGCGCACAGAAGTGTAGAAGTATTGCCAGCACTCACACGCAAAAAAGCTAGACCGCTTATAACGATGGCGTCGCGCAGCACGCGGCAGCTGATCCAGGATCAGCAGACGCAGTCGCTTCCGTGCCGCGACTCCCGCTACCGCATGGGCCCGAGCGTCGCAGCCGTGCTCAAACGGACGAAGCTGACCGCCGCCGTCGTCGGCCAGGCCGCCGCGAAGTACCTCCTGTTGATCGCGACGAACGCCTACCTCGTCGAGTTGCGCGCACGCGGCGCGCTGGCGGGCGGCGCCGGGAATCGGAGCTTAGCGGCACTGAGCTGCGGCGCCCAGGGGCACATGGACCGCGTGTACCGCACGGACGCGCCGTACGTCGCCGAGTCGCGCGCGGTCGTCGATGCGAGACGGGAGCTCGAACGCGTGTCGGGCGGCCGCGTGCTCGAGGCGTGCCTTGTCTACTTGTACGCCGAGGACTGCTGCGACGAGGCGACGCGCCAGCGCATCCTCGGCGCGTTCCAGCTGCTGGCGCGCTGCGCCTTCGCCCTCCTCAACCGCCTCGAGCGGCAGCTGCAGGTGCCGCTGAGCCGCCTCGACGTCGAGCGCCTCCTCGTGATCATGAAGCGCGAGATCATCGTCTCGCGGCGCGCGATCATGCCGGAGGCGTTCCCGAAGGGCGGCCCGAAGAAGCCGCTCCTCGTCATCTGCATGGCGACGGCGGTCGACGCGCTCACGGGCCAGGTCCAGGCGTCGCGGCCCCTCCTCCTCGCGTGGATCGCGCTGGTGACGCAGGAGGAGATCTGCCGCGCCGATCCGCGGCGGTTCCTCGACTCGGACTTCCACAAGGCGCTCCTCGCCTGCCTCGCCTTCCACTTCGGCTTCGCGCTGCCCACGGACCGGCGCGAGCTCGACATCAAGCGCGCGCAGTACGGCGTCTCCAAGAAGCTGTACGCCGCGATCGAGTGCTACTGGGGCTTCGACGACGACGACGACGGCTGCTTCGAGGTCTACTACAGCATGCCGAAGACGTCCATCGCGAACGTCCCCGAGCCCATCGCCACGCAGCTCCTCTCCGACGCGCACACGAAGGGCCCGCACCGGCTCCTCGACCTCGACTCGCCCGCGACCGTCAAGCTCATCGCCGACGCCTACAATCACGGGTCCCCGTGCGACGCCGTCGAGGTGGCCCACTTCCTGCAGGACCGGGCCTCGTACCAGACCGTCAAGGTCAACGTCTAAGTGACTTGTATGAATTAGGCTACAGCCGGACGAGACAGCTGAGTCGGATTGCTCAGCGCGCGCGATCCGCCCGTGTATAGACATGCGGTACATTAGTTGTTACTTCCCGAGCACCTCCAGACCCTGCAGGTACGGCCGCAGTACTGACGGCACGTTGACGCTCCCGTCGGCGTTCTGGTGGTTCTCCAAAACAGCAACTAAAGCCCGACCCACGGCCAGCCCGGAGCCGTTCATCGTGCAGGGGAAGCGGGGTCTAGGTTTTTTGTCCTCCGGAGACGGTGCCGGCTTGTAGCGCAGGTTCATCCGCCTCGCTTGGAAGTCGCCCATGAGACTACAGGACGACACCTCGCGGTACTCTTGTTGGCCAGGTAGCCACACTTCCAAATCGACACACCTCTGGGCACTGAACCCGACGTCCCCGGCGCACAGCTGCACGGCTCTGTAAGGCAACTCCAACGCCTGCAGCAACGCCTCCGCATCCCCCAACAACGCGTCGGCCTCGGCGTCCGCGTGTTCCGGAGCTACGATCTTCACGAGCTCGACCTTGCCAAATTGATGCTGTCTTATTAAACCGCGCGTATCTCTCCCATACGACCCGGCCTCGGCCCGGAAGCAGGGCGTGTGCGCCACCATCCTTATTGGCAGATCTTTTTCCTGGAGCGTCTCGCCGCGCCAGAAGTTCGTTAAGGGTACCTCTGAAGTGGGAATGAGAAACGCGTCCTCGCCCCGCACGCCGTGGTTCGCCACCCGGAATAGATCATCTTCAAATTTTGGTAATTGCCCCGTGCCTCGTAATGCAGATCTAGAGACGAGTAACGGTGAGGACACCTCCTCGTAGCCATTTGCTGCATGAGCATCGAGGAAGAAGTTCGCCAGGGCCCGTTCTAAGCGAGCCACGCCGCCCTTGAGGACCGCGAACCGCGCGCCAGCGACTCGAGAAGCGGCTTCCGGATCGTACCCACTAAGACCTTCCGCGAGCTCGTCGTGCCACTGGTAGTCGTCGCCGACCTTCCTCTGGTCGGTGCCCCACTCCCTTAACACGACGTTGTCGCTCTCGTCGCGGCCGTCGGGCGTCACATCGCTCAACACGTTCGGCAATGCTTCCAGTAAAGTCAAAGCTTCGGTCTCGATCGAATCCATCTGCTCGGACGCGGCGTCGGCCGTCGCGCCGGCCTCGGCCACTTGAGCCTTCAAGGCGTCGACGTCCTCGCCGTTCTTGATCGCTTTACCGATGGTGCCGGAGAGCTTCTTACGCGTCGCGAGTGCCGCGTCGCGGTCCTTTTGTAATGATGCTCGCTTCGTATTGAGCTCGACGATGGCGTCGACGGATTCAATAGCGTCGTCGGAGCCGCCCCGCGCTGCAACGTGCGCTTTCACAACATCAGCGTTGTCCTTGAGCGACCGCAGCTCGAGCGCGACGCCGGCCGCCGACGGCCTCGCACTCAGCGGCCGCAGGCGGCTTGCATGCCGCACGGCGGGGCGCCAGGCGCGCGCCGCGGCGATCATCAGCATCAGTGCGCCGCGGCGCCTCATGCGACCGCGTGCTGACTCTGGCACACTGCACTTGCTGCGTGTGCCGGAGCGCTGCGACGTCGTTTGCACGCGCGACGGTTGTTATGCACTGATCACGCTGATCACGACTGCCACGCCGATCAAACGGCGCACTTCGTCTCGACGGGTGCACACGACTGCAAGTGGCCAGCTTGGGAGAGGCTGGCATCCTCTCTCGCGTGTTGGGTGGCCATATCCACCCTTGCGCTGCACCAAACGCGCCGAAAATGCGCGTGGGATTCATTCTCGCAGCGCTGCTGCCGCTCGCGGCAGCGCTGGTGCCCACGCTACGCGCGAGCCATGGTGGACGCAGCTCGCTCAGGCGGCGCCTGGCGCCGCGCGACGTCCTCGAGGCCGAGTTCGACCGCTTGGCGCAGGGCCAGCCGGTCGTTGTGGTGGACGCGGCCGCGGCGGCGCCGCTCTTGGCCGAGCTCATCGCGGACGGAGACCTGGGCGACGACGAGCTGCGGCAGATGTGGGGTCCGGGCGCGCGGGACCGGGCGGGCTTCGTCGCGCTCTGCGAGGCCGTGGGCGATCTTTTTGAAGACGAGGACGAGGAGGTCGTCGCGGCGCCGGCCGCTGCGGCGCCGGCGCCGGCCGCTGTCGCAGCCCCGGCGCCTGCGCCAGCACCGCAAGCCGCGCCGCCCGCCGCACCGGCCGCCGCGCCCGCGCCCGCGCGCGTCGAGACGCTCTCGGACCCGCGCTTCGACGCGCCGGCCGCGCCTCGAACAGCACCACCAGCACAACCAGCACAAAAGCAAGCCAAAACGCCCGTCGCCGCGTTGCTGAGAGCGCTCCCGGCGACCTGCGCCTACCCGGATCCGGACGACCCCGAGGCGCCCACGTATGACCAACTCACGGCTTTATGTAAAGATGTGGCCGCAATCCGGGACGAGGCGCAGCGTGGTGATTTGGAGCTCGTCGATCTGCTCACGGGGACCTGGGAGCTCGCGTTCACGTCCTCGCCCTCCTTCGCCTTCAACAAAGGATTTACGGGAGTTGCCGGTACCTTACCGGGCGGCGCCGACTTCGTCTCGCTCACACAGACTATTTCCGATTCTGTGGACGCCGTTGTTTATGTGGAAAAAATAGCACCACAAATTGGGGTCGACGAATTAGATGTTACTGTCGCTTCAGATTGGGGCCTGAACCGGCGCTTCGACGCGCTGCAGCGGTGCCAACGTGTCTACGTCGACTGCCTGCCGCGCAAGGTGACGTACGGTCCGGTCACGGTCGACGGGAAACGAGTAGAACGGGGCTGGAAGAGCATGCGCGTCATGAACGCCCTGGCCGTCGAGTATATTGACGATAGCGTGAGGGTGATGCAGGGCACGACGGCGTACTTCGTGTTCCGTAAGGTTACCTAGTGTACTAGTCCTAATAGGCGCCGGCGCCGCGCCGCCGCGCGGATGATCTCGTCGCTCCCTTTTTTGGTGCAGATGTGGACGCCTCTATCAATAACCTCGTTGAGCACGGGCACGCGATTCTCGTCGGTGAAGCGCTTGAGGGGGTCCTTTTCGTTCCAGCCGGCGCACTCCGTGTGGAGCCGCGCGGCGACGTCGTCGGGCCGGCAGTCTCTCACGTCGGGAGGTTGGCCGCATTTCATGTGTCCCATGGCCACGAGGTCGCGGCCGCCTGTGTGGAAATCAAATTTCGGGCGCCCCATGCCGTCGACGCGATGTTGTCTCAGTAGCCGCGTCTGCTCGAGGGCGTGGAGTTTTCGGAACCTAACTCACTGGTTGATTTCCACACAGGGGGCCGCTGATTCGCCTTCCGCGAACGCCGAGGCCGCCGAGTTTCCCCGTATTGAGCCGCACGAGCTCCTGGCCGGGCCCCGGGGCGCTGAGCCAGTGCGCGGTGTCCAGGTTCGGCGGCAGGTTGTCCCGGCCCCGGCGCGCGAACGTCTGAGTGACACCGGTGAAGATGCTAAGGCCGCTGCCCGGCATGCGATAAAACCACAGGTTTTCCCTCTCGGCGCCGACGGGGCAGTGCGTCACCTCGACCCACGAGTCGCTCTGGATGCCCGTAGGCGTGAAAAATCCGCGAATGTCGATGTTGCCACCTCGCCCGACCGTGCTCACGAACGCGGCGTCCTACTCGGGAGCCCTGGAAGCCGAGGCCCGGGGACGGTATCTCATGGCAAAAAGGGGAAACCCGTGCGCAATACCCCGTCCTTCATTCATTCAGCCCGCAGAGATTCTAGAAACACTATTAGTCAAGCGGGGAGGGGCTATGTAGATTCAGGGGGAGGAGGGGAAAGGACCGGATCCACAAAAGAAGCCCCGCGCTCGCTAGGCCCACACCGTCTCCAAGATGCCACTCCGCAATAAGGAATAGGCGTCGTCGTTCTTGGCGCACTTCGTCGTCGCCGCCAACCGCTTTTCGTCGGCCTTCGACAACTTTAAATGGCCAGGATTCAATCGCCCGAGGCGGGCGAGTCCTCGGCAAGCCCTTAGATTTAAGCTAGAGCCGACGTCTGGACTACTCAACAGCCCTCACCGCAAACCCTGAGTCCGACTGCGGTTTTGGGCCGCGACAATGCCAGGTCGACTCTCACGCTTATGCTGCCGCTTCAGCTGAATGGCGAGATTGGGTTTGGCGTCAGAGGCTCTGCCGACGTGCCACGAAACTAGCGGAGGCTTCTGAGGAATCAAATGTTTTACTGCGGCTAGCGTTGTAAGACACTAGAAACCAGGCAGCAGGCTTGACACTTAAATAAGGCGTCGTATAGGCGCATTTTTCACGCTTATGCCACAATTATGCTGCATGCTGCATATGACCACTGATGCCGCAGCAATGCCGGAACAATAAGCTGCTCGTGCACGCAGCAGTAGTGCTGCTCGGCATTGTCCTAGGCCGGGCCGCACGCCGTCGACAAAACACGGCACCAGCATCGACACCAGCAGCATTCGTCGCGATGCTGCTCGAAACGCCGCAGCCGCTCTTGCTGGCGACGACGCGGCTGCAGGTCGACAAATTCCCGCGCGGGACGGTGGGCGACGCGCGGCGGTCCCTAAACGGCGCGCTCGACGTGCGAGCGGCGAAGAGACGGTCTCCGGCGTTCCGCGCGCTCTGGCGGCGGCGACGGAGGTCCTTGGGTGGCGACGCGCGCGCCGGCGAGGCGCGACGCGCCGTCGACGACTACGTCGTGGCGCACGCGCGGGGACTCCACGATGCCGGGGCCGCGGCGGCGGCGTTGCCATATGTGGCGTGGCTGGGACTGCCGAACGCTTGCGCGGTGCTCGCGGCGATGGCGCCAGAAGGGCTCCGGCCGGCGCGCGACGGCCTGCGACGGTCGCCTTTGCACGTCGCCGCGGCGCGCGGTCACGCGGACGCCTACGCCGTGTTGCTCAAGGCCGCGCGCCGGGCGGGCGTCCGCGGCGCCGCTCGTACACCCGACGCACTTGGCGGCAAAGCGCGGGACTACGTCGCGGTCGCGCCTAACTGCTCCGAGGTTTTTCCCGGCACGGACGCGGATGCGGCGACCGCGCTGGAGCGCTATGCTTTGGTGGGCGCGCCGGTGCTTCTGCGCGGCGCGGCGGCGGGCTGGAACTGGACGGGATGGAACTGGTCTGCCCTGGAACGCCGCGACGACGTCCCGGTGGCACCGCAGGACATACCACACGGTGACAGCTTCGGCCTCGCGCCACCCAATACGACGACTCTCGGCGACTTCGCGCGCGATCCCGGCGGCATGTACGTCTTCGACGCGGGCGCCGCCGCCGACGCGCTCTTTTCGATGGGAGACGTGCGCCGTCGTGTCGAGGCGCTCGTGCGGCCGTCACTTGAATTGGATGAGCTGCTCGACGGATTCCCTCGACGGCTTCACGAGCGCGAACACGGCAGGAACGCCCAGGTCTACGCCGGGCCCGCGGGTGCCGGCGCGCATGAGCCTGCGCGGAAATCATCGCATCGACCTGAACGTCTCGCGACGACTCACTGGTTGATTCACGCAGGCCGTGGCACTACCACGAGCAGGCCGTGAACGCTCTCGGATTTGGTCGAAAGACGTGGTACCTGCGGCCGCCGCCGACGGCGACGTACTCGGTCCAAGCGCCGCGGCACTGGCTGGGCCACCCCCGGGATGCCGTGGTTTGCGAGCAAAGGGCGGGCGATATCTTATACGTCCCCGGCGGCTGGGGCCACGCGGTCGTGAACGAGGAGCCGTCGGTCGGCGCCGCTGTGGAATTCGTGGACGCAGTTATGGTGTACCACCAGAACGTGCGTTTGGTGCCCCTTGTAGATGTTTAACTTCACTGTATGTAAGTTAGACCCAGAAGTATACCCACCGCCTCTCGGCGAGTCTCGCGTGCCGATCTGAATCGATTTCACTCCGGGCGGCGATGGTCTTAGCCGTCCCCGCGACGAACACGCGTCACGTTCGTGGCCGGAGACGGCCCGGAAGGCTCGTGTGAACTTTCTAGTGTCTTACAGGTCGCTAGCAAAAAGTCGTTTTGCTGCTGCATCGACTTGGCGTCCGTATTCACGCAAGTAGAGCGTGAAATACACACGCTGCGCTGGTCACTGCCGCAGCGCTGCCGCGTTTTCTCACTGAGACCCGAAAAAAACGGCTCTCGCGCGCGCGCCGACACAACAACCGCCACAGCTCCTGGCCTCCTAGCGCCGCCGCGGCCACGTTAGAGGACTCACACGTACAGCCACTGCTCCCACGCAAGAAGCGGACCACGCCCAGCGATTAGCGATGGGACGCTCGAAACCGACGGGCCGCAAGGCCACGACGGCCAAGAAGGGCGCCGCGCCGGGGCTTTCAAGACACTTCAGCGAGGAGCAGCTAGCGCCGCTGAAGGCGAAGAGCGCGCGCGCGCGCCGCGCCAAGTCGGACGAGCCGCTGAAGCTGGACGAATTCAAGGGAAAGGCGTTCTTGTGGAGGAACAAGCACGGGAAGGTTGACGAGAAGAAGATGGCGCCGCGCAAGGCCGTGGTCGACGCGGCCATCGAGGACGGGCGGAAGAACGCCGGCATCACGAATAGCACGGAGCTCGCCAATCACGTCTTCGATAAGACCGGCTTTCTGAGGTGGCACCGCGGCAAGAACGTCGGCGCTGCTTTGGGCCACTACGTCACAGCCCAGTGCGCCGAGAAGGACCGCTCCAAGAAGGAAAAGCCGTGGTGGGACGGAGTCACGAACCTCGCGAAGGCGACGAAGGCCCAGCTCGTGGTTGTGGAAAGGGACGGCGAGGGCAAAGCGATCACGGCCTGGTCGTGCCAGAAGAAGCACGTGCACTACCCGGCGGACTCGGGCCTCACAACGGCGCGCGGTTCGATCGGCTTCTCCGTCGAGAAGTACGGAGAAGCGGGCGCGACGCTGTTAGCTTTTGAGGAGTCGCAGTCGGCGCTGGGCCTGCTCAAGAAGTTCAAGAAGCAGGTCAGCAAGCTGCGATCATCGGCGCAGAAACCGAAGCTCGACGCGCCTTCTCCGAGAGACGTCGCGTTCCGCTTCGCCGACGACGTCTGCTCGACGACTCTTCCCCACGCAGGCCGAAGAAGGTGCGGGAAGACATCGCGGCGCGCAAGGCGTCGGGCGGCGCCGTCGCGCAGAAGAATGGCCGCGCGTCGACGAACATCGAGGCGGGCATTCAGCGCGTGGAGGTCCGCGGCGTGACGAAGCTCCGCGTGCGGTACGGGCCGAGGGGTGCGTTGACGCACGAGGACTTCCCCGACACGGCCGACGGCCTGTGCGAGGCGCGCGCGTTCGTCTACGCGAACCTGCCCCTCGCGGTGCGCCGCGCGCAAAACGCGGCGAACCTCGAGGTGCTGCCCCTCGCCGAGTCGCTCGACGAGCTGCCCTACCGGCAGGAGGACTTCGTGGCGGCCCACGCGGGCACGGCGACGCCGCCGGCGGTCGGGGACGCGGCGTCGCTGCGCGCCGCGCGGCTGAAGCGGCGCGGCGCGTCCAAAGGCGCCGCCGACGGCGGCGACGACGTCGACGACGCGCCGCCGCCGTCGAAGCGACATGCGGCCGGCGACACGTGCGTGCCCGCGGAAGAAGCGCGCGCCGATGACGCCGACGACGCGCCCTCGGCCTTCGGCTTCGGCGACGACGACGACGCGGCCGCGCCGGAGCCGTCGTCGGAGCCGTCGTCGAAGCGCCGCAAGGGCGCGGACGGCGTCGCGCTTAGCGTTAAGCCGGGCGTCGCCGAAGTTCTGGACCAGCTCCGTACGGCGGACGCCGTGGCCGCGAACGAGTGGCTGGCGGAGCAGGGCCTGACGTCCGTGCATCAGGTCGCCGAGCTCCGAAACAACGCGCGCCACATCGAAGCGTTCCTGGACGCGGCGAAGGTGTCCGGCGACGCGGCGCGGGAGTTGGCCGCCCAGAGGATCCGCGACCTAGCGACGGCCGCCGCGCCGAGCGACGATAGGGCCGTCGACGACGCTCCGGCGGCGGTGCCGCCGCCCGCGCGGTCGGCCAAGCGCGGGCGGTCCGGCGCGAACGGCGGCGCTGCGTCCATGGCCGGCGCCGCGTCGCTAACGCCGCGACTGTCGCGCGTCGATCCCCAGCAAGACAAGTATCGTGCCGGCCTCGACGCCAGCAAGCGCAAGCCGCAGGTCGCGCTCGCGCCTACGTTGAAGGACGAGGAGATGCTCCACCGGATCACTTTATTAGGGCAGGGCATCGCCGACGCCCATAGCTACGTCTTATCTTATCCGGCTTCTCGGGAGCAGTGCGTCGGCATGTGCAACCCCGACGCGCGGCTCCGCCGCATCCACTTGGCTTCGTTCGACCGGCCGATAGAAGACCGTCTGGAGTTCATCAACGAGTGCGTCTGGGTCAACGACGACGGCGCGCTCGGTCGGGACCTTCTCTGCCGAGAGTACGGGATTCCCGAGGCGGTCGGCCTGACCGACGCCCAGTTCGCCGCGCTCGGGGGGCTCTGGACCATCGACGGGATGTGGAACAAGATCGAGCTGCCTCTCGAGGCGCTCGTCCTGCGCCCCATGACGGCGCATTTACGCTGGATGTACGAAGGCTCGACGACGATGAAGGAGGAGGTCAAGCGCTACTACGGCGCGCCGCGCTTCAAGATCGCGACGCGGTCCGCGTCGCGCGCCACTACGAAGGCCAAGGAGCTCGAGCAGGCGTGCCTGTAGTTGTGTAACTACTTTAGTAAGACTCAGTAGTCTCCGGGGCCGACGCCGCGAGGGGGGAATGTCTGTTAAAACCGTGCCGCGATTTTCGTGCGAAGTTCGGGAGAGCCTACCGGCAGATTAAGCGCCGCGAGGCCTACGCCCGGGTCGGGCTCGCCTAAAGATGCGGTGGACGCCGCGCCCGCCGCCGCGTTCCCGCGTCACACATCGGGCGCCCATTTTCGCGGCGAATACGTCGAGAGAGGCGTCGCTACGACTATCATTACGTATCCGAGCTCGCGTCCGGTGCGCGTTTTAGGCGATGGCTTCATCGAGTGAGTGCATCAATGGCTCTGTGGGCTATAAAGTATTTGATCCGGTGAATCCAGCGCGTTTGCCGTGTTTGCGAGTACTCAGTGCGAGATTGTTCGAAGCGTGCTGAATGAAGCGACGAAGGCCCGCATAGAACCGTGCGAGCCGCGCGACAAACTCATAGAACAGTTTGTTGTGATAATGTAACGCAAGTCGCGCGGTGCAACCCGTAACGCGGCGACGGGTGTCGTGTGACTTCTTTTGATATACGCACGCGTGATAGTCCGCTTGGGTGAGTTGTCGCGGCGTAAACTAAACAAACGACTCGGCGCTTGCTTGCTAGTGTCTTACAGGCCGCTAGCTCGGTCGTTTTGCCCGAACGCAGTCCAATCGCGCATCCACGCACTCGTAATCACTCTCTGAAACGACCTCCCTGGAGCCCTCTCCCGTAAATCAAGCTCGACGCGGAGATGGCGCGCGAAGTGCACACCGATAAAATTCTGAGTCACGGTATATACTTATATCTTACCTATGTCTCGCCGCCCGCGCCGCCTGCCTCGAACCGCCGGAACGCCCCCTCATCAATCAATCTAGGATCCGTCAGCAGCGAGGAGCACTTGAGGTCGTAGCCTCCGCCGAAGAGCGACGGTAAATAATCAGCACCTACCTCGTCCACCAACGGTGTCAGATCATCGTTCACACCCAATATAGAGATCTTGGAGATGATGCGCTCGTCGAGGAACACGCGCACAATTTTCCAGAACACGGCAAAAACGCGAGGAGCCCTCACGATGAACCTGTGTGGAAATCAACCAATGTGTCGGGTGCACCCGACAATTCTTCACTAAGTCATTTCTCGGCGATGACGTGGCCGCGCTGGCTCCGTCGAGCGGTGAGGAACCGGCATCGCCACGCCATCGAGCAGGCGTCGCGTCGATGGCGTGGAGGTTGACGCAACGATTCAGGACGATCGTGCCGCGAAATTTTGATTATGCACAGCAACGAACGTCTTGCGCTGCCGCTCCGGGTGCAGCACCTTGAGAGCCGCCGCACAGCGCTTGAAGATGCGCACCTCGCCGAGGTGCCTCCGCCCGAAGCCATCACAATCAATTACGAAAACGCCCCCGTGGGCCACGACACACTCTTCCGGGGACGACCGTCGCAGCCCCTCGCGCCGCGCGAGATCAATAAAGGCATCATTTTGCATAACCATTTTTTGTTCGAGGCGATCGAGGCCGATCTCCCTTTGAATACCGGTCAGGTCCATCCTCCCTAGTCCGACGAACGTGATGGGCACTCCAGACCGACAAGTCCCAAATAACTCAAACGGCAACACCGTGCCCATCCAACGGTGCCAGGCCGGCGCTTGCGACGGGTCATCGCACCACCTCTGTTCCGCGCCTCCGAACGAAGCCTCGTCCACGATCCAGTCGCCGTGGTCCCGGCGCCACGCCATGGCCTCGCGGAACAACGTAGCGCGCTCCTTGAGAGTCTTGCGAGCTCTGACGAAGCGCAGCAGTTCGCCTGTCTCAAGCCAGCGCGCCGGCTGCTCGCCCAGCTCCTCGCGCAGCTCGGTGGCGGCGGCCAGCTCGTCTGGAGACGGCACGTCGCGCAGCACTGGCGTCTCCGACGTGTCGACGGACCGCGCCGCGATGAGGGTATCATCATCTTCAGGACTCCACTGCAAGAGCGCGAGCTCGCCCGACGCCGTCCGCACGCGGCTCAGGGCCCGGAGTAACCGCGGCCGCGCCGGCTCATCCCGCGGCGACGTCGCCGCCGCGCCGAGCAGTATCGAGGCGGCGAGCGCCGTCGCGATCATATCGCCACAAAGCTGGACGGACAGCGCCGCCAGCGACGCCGACGCGAAGGCTACTAAGGCCGCCGGCCGCGCCAGCGACGCGTCGTGGCGCGCCGCCGCCAACGCTGAAGACGTCGAGGCGGCGATGATAGCCGCTAGTTGTGGCGCGAAGAATAATCTGGAGACGGCCTGGGCAAGTAACCACACGAGCCCGAGCTCGTACGGGTTATGTGGTGCCGCCACATCAATCTCCTCCTCGTCGTCGTCCTCCTCGGCATGACTGGACCGCACCTCGAGCAGCACGTGACCTCTCGTGGAACAGGCGAGCCACTTGCGATCGCCGGCATTTAACCCAGCTAACGAACACGACGCCGAACCACCGCCCGACAATCTGAGAGACACATGAGACGCCGTCGAGAAGGGGACACTTTGCCCCCACGCTACTCTATGGTGTTTTTCCCCTCCCACTATCACCACATCTAATTCAGGGGGCGGCCGCTCCACGACAAACTGCAGCGCGTAGCCTCTCGGGTCGATCGTGAGATAGCCTCCCAACAGCGAGGACGTCTCCTTCTTGAAGCAGGTCAACACATGTGGTTTCCTCAGACCTCTCCCCGTATGCGTCGGGTCGTTCCCAGACACGGGACACGTCACTAAGTGGAGCGCGTCGCCATATCTGACCGCTCGGCCACCGTCGGGCTTCTCTCCAAACGATCTAGGCGTCTGAACGTCATCAGCGAACCTGATACGGGTCTCGCCCCGCTCGCCCCGTAACCGAGGCGCCAAGTAACCCACCACGCCAGACACGGTCGAGTTCCAGACGTGGCCTTCTCTATCTTGTAAGATCAAAGCGTCGCCAATGCGCACGGGCTGGCCGTCTCTTTTTAAACCGCGAGGATCGACGCATCGGAACGCGCTCTCGACGAAGCCGCCGCCCGCGTCCTCCCCGATGGGCGGGACACAAGCCAACGGCTGCCGGCCCGTCCGTGCGCGTCGTTTCCTATCTTTGAAGAACGTGCCCACATACCCGCCGACGTCCGCACTCGTCATCTTCGACGAGAGATCAGAGGTCGACCTTCTCCTCTGAGGCCGCGGCGGCCGCTGCGTCTGCGCCGCGACGGCGTACTCGGAGACGGCCCACAGCCGCAGTTCGTCGCCGAAGCAGAGGACCTCGGGATCTTCATTGGTCGGGAGTTGTCGGAGCTTCGGTCCTGTTGGTGTGGTGCACAGCACCTCGTCGTGCGACCGGGCGGACAAGGGTTCATTGTCCGGCTGGGGCGTCGAGCCTCGTAGCCAATTTAGTGGAGAGACGCTTCCTATCGAGGGCACTCGGCGTCTTAATGGCGCGGGCGACGTGAGGTGCGAGCTGTCCATGGACGAGGAGCCTTCCATCTTGTTTATTTTGGTCGCGGGGTGGTTGCGGTCGGTTCGCGCAACTCGTGTGGCGACTCGTGCGGCGCCGCGGCAGCGATTGGCTGCGGCAGCTGATTTGACCTTGTGAGAGCAGCGTACCAAAATGGCGCACGGCTGGATCTCGGCGTGCGCAACCGCTGGAGCGCGTTGTCAGCTACTCCTGGCTCTCGCGGCACGCGTAACGCACCGCAATGCGGGGTCGCTTTTGCGCCCGGCTTTGCCGAGTTAGGAGCTAGTACCTCTTGGAGCTAGCCTCGCGTTTCCGGACTGGTCTCCGCGACGGGTTGCAAGGCGGAGGAGCTCCCCGCACCGGTCGGTCACGGGCTCCCGCGGCGGCCTGCGAGTGCGGGACCTTGGCCGCCGAGCTAGCGCCATTTTGCTCTCCCTACAGCCAAACAAAGGCAGCGAAGCGTCGTCCGCCGACGCAGCAGTCGCGACACGCACCGGCGGACAACCTCCACTCAGGCTGTTCCGCGCGCGGCCGCCGAGAGCTGCACCTCGCTCCCATACAGCCAAAAAGGGCTGCCCCCGCGCCGCCGCCGCCGCAGCGACAAAAATGCCCCGCACGGGCCACTTCGCCACCGGCGGCTCCGTCGCCACGGAGACGGTGGAGACGGACCAGAAGCCGAGCCCGCACAAGGCGAACAAAAAAGCGCTACGCGCGTCGATACCCGAGCATCTACGACCGGAGGAGTTGTTTGGGCGGATAGCGTCCGAGGACGAGGTCATCACCTGGAAGGATTTGCGGCGAGGCGTACGGTTGCAGTTACGCATCGCCCAGGACCAGATGGACGACGAAGGCACGGCGGCGGTCTGGGAGCGGATATCGCACAATCCCTGTGTCGATGAATTGCTACACTATGCGGGCTTCGAGACCAGGGCCGAAAGGGAAGCTAGAGCGGAACGGGAAAGGCTGGAGGAGCTGGAGCGGATCCGTTTAGCTCAATTAGCCGAAGAGGAGCGGCGCCGGCAGGCCGCTGTCGACAACTTCGACAGCGAGTGCATCCCGCTCAAGACGCTGAAGTTAATCGTCAAAAGACTCAAAGATTTGACGGTGCAGGAGTATATTTTTGAGCACATGCACGACGTCGGGATGAGCATACCGGTCTTCCCCGAGGAAACGCTCCGCGAGGCGATCTACCACCACCTGGACCGGAACGGAGATGGTAGTTTGGAGTGCGGGGAATTTAAAGATATTGTGCGCGGTCGATTGCGGATCACGAAGTTTGATTTGGACGATGAAGGGTTGGACCGGCTCGTGAACGCGGTCGACCAAGATGGCTCCGGCGACATCGACATGGACGAGCTGCATGCGTTGCTGGAGCGGGGCGCCGCGTATGATGATGATGTTTTACGAGAGGGCGACGACGAGGTGGCGCTTCGACTAGGATTAGATAAGACGTGGCAGCGGCCGTGTCCCGTGTTGCTCTCGAAGGCTACTGGAAGATTAACAGCGAAGCCCGACCATACGCTGCCCTTCGCTCACGACGACGTCGGGGATGAGGTGCGGGTCGTGACGCCCCGCGAGGCCCTGTACAACCGCCTCGAGTCGCGAAACGCGCAAAAACTACCAAGGATCAAAAAAGAGGGTAGGCACTTGTCATTGTTCCCGAACGTGATTCTGTACGGCGAGAAGCCGCGGCGGCCGTCCAAGGCTGCGATGTTGCACGAGTCGTCTTATCTAAGGACGGCCGCTCCCGCAATACCGCGGACCGCGCCCGATAGGATCGAGATGACGCCCTTCGAGCAGACGGGGGCGCACGCCGAGATGGCGCCCCCCGAGAAGTGGACGCGGACCGCTGCGCAGCGCGAAAAGGTGCTTGCCGACCTGGAGCTGGCGGGCGTCTACGAGTAAGACGTTAGGACCTCTAGAAGCCCGGCGACGTGGGCACGGGGACCTGTGGGGGCGGGTAGATCGTGCTGCCCCGGAACTTGTGGGGCGTCTTGCGCGGCGACGGCGACCGCTGGAGGGCCGCGGCGCGGCGCTGTTCGTTCACGATGCGCATCATCTCCCGGAGGCGCTCGGGCGTGACCGCGGGGCGGCCGCGGCGGCGCGCCTGGGCCGCCCTTGCGCCGGCCGCCGCGAGGCGCGCGGCCAGCGCGTCGCCGTAGGAGCCCGACGACGCCGCGCGGAGGATCCGAGCCTTCCGACACAGCGCGTCGAGCTTCGTCGCGGAGGCCTGCCGGGCCGTGAGCGCGGTCGTCGGGTCGCGCACGAGAAATTCGTCGACGTAGGCCTGCTCCTGTTCCGGAGTCGCCGGGGCCTCGGTGAGGAAGCTGTCTCCGATGATACAGCGGTCCGTCACTGGCGTGGCTGATTCGTAGCGGTCCGGCGTCGCCGGCGTCGCGTCCACTGAAGAAGCGCGGCTGCGGCAGGAGTCGCACGAGCCCGTCGCGTCGCCGTCGGGGACCCCCTCGAGCGCGGCGAGCGGGAGCCCGGCCGTCGCGTCGAGATCCGCTTCAGGCACGAGGTCGAGATTTGACGCGCCGCCGTAGACCGTCGGCCGGCCGCGCGGGTCGTAGTCGTCGCTGCGGGCCCGGTCGCGGCCGCGCGCCTCGGCGGCCCTCAGCTGGGCCCTCGTCGCGACGGGCGCGGCATACCGCAACGAGCCGACGCACTTCTGAGAAATCCAGCCGGCGACGGGCTTGAGGACGCGCCGGCGCGTCACGCGCTCGCCCGTGTCGTGCTTGATCGCCACGCGGCGCTCCGGCGCGAGGACCACGCGGACGCCGCGCAGCAGGGCGCCGACGCGGCGCGACTCGAAGCGCGGGCCTTCTCTTACGGTAGCCGGGCCTTTCGAGATGATCGCGGCGTGCTGGAGTTTTGCTTTGCGCGGCGCGACGCCCGGGCGGTCGAACGCGTACATCACGGGCCGCGTGAGGGTAAAACTGTTGTTGGTGGCAAGTCGAGTTTTGAGCTAGACTAGGCGGCGTTCGGCCGGCGCAAAGCCAGAATGGATATAAGGAGTTGAAAGGAGACCAGACCCTGCGCGCGAAGCGTAAGAATGAGGCTCGCGCGCTCGCGCGCACCGCAAAACAAAACAGGTTTGTCCTCCAAATTTGGGGCCAGCCGAGTTGGACGACGATGCGGCGCTTTTGAGCGTTTCTCCGTGTACGCAGCTTCGCCGGCGCACGAGTTAGTCTAGCGTTCGTGACCGCTTAAATACTCTCTCTGCGGCGCCGCCTGATTTCGATACACGAGGTATAGAATCAACAGATGGGCTGTGCTTCGTCGGCCGCGTCGTCCAACCAGGGGCCGGACGCGGAGGCCGGCGAGAGGGAGGGGCATGGTCCGCATGGACCGCTCGTGAGCGAGATCCCCGGCGACGCCGCACGGAAGGAGCGGAGGAGCCCGCGGACGGAGAGGTATTACAACGCGATAACGGGGGAGACCACTACCGTGACCAAAGCGCCGGCCCCGCCGCCCCCCGGCTCCCGTTTGGTGGGGGGCGTCTCGTCCGTCTCCACGTCCGAGGGCGACCTCGCGGACCGGCCGGGCCGGCGCCGGGATTCAAAGGTGCGCTTCGGGGCGGGCGGCGAGCGGCGTGGCTCGAACCCCAAGTCCATGAAGCGCGCGTGGTCGTCGTTCATCGGCATCTGAGCCTCTGGGCGGCCCTCAGCGTGAAGTCGATCGGCGACCTCGGCAGCTGGAAGTTCGCGGCCGCGGCGCACGCCATCGCGACGCTCGCCGCGTGCGAGGCGCCCGACGCGTCCCAGCACAAGTAGACTAAGGCTACTACTTACGCCTTCTTCGGCCGGCCCGCGACCGACACCAGGTTGATGCAGTACCGGTTGCCGTTCTTGTCCGGCAGGTTGTGGCCGAGATGCGTCCCGTCGACGGAGACGGCCTCGCCGTCCGGTAATACTCTGACGTAATCCCAGTTGACCTCGTCGTCCCGGAACGACGGCCAGCCGTGCACCCTCGACTCCTTGACGAACTGCTCGAAGCTTCTACCTTTCGGAGCGGTGAAGAGCTCGTTGCCCGTGTTCGAGTCGTAAAACGAAATCTCGCCCGACGCCTCGGACTCCTCCTTGAGGAAGGACGTCTGCTCCCAGTAGCCCGCGAACTCCGCGTAGTGCCGGTTGAAATTGCAAATACGATCAGCCGTTTGCACGTCGCAGTTCCACCTTAGGTCCTTCTGGACGGGCGTCGCGGACGTGCCTGCGTGGTGCGCGGGTTATGTGGCGACGGAGTCGCGGCGACGGCGTCGCGTGACGGCGTCGAGTGGCGCGCCTCTGGATGGACGCCATCGCCGCGCCCGCCGGAGGAAGGCGCCTTTTCTTCGAGCGCCGGACTCGTGCCGTGCGCTTTCGGCTTCATGATGTCCTCGGTGCCCATGACGGCGCCCGCATATTTATCTCCATTGGCACCTAGCAAGCTACCCAGGAGAGCGGTGGGCGTCAGGCGGTTAAACGCGCCGCGCGTGAGCGCTTTGGTCGAAGCGGCGAGCATGAGTGTGGCAGCGATGCGGACCATCGTTTTTGGCAGTGCTATAGAGCTTTCTTTTGAGGTGAGTTGGCATGGGGGAGTGTGCTAGTGTCCCTACATGCGCTAGCACAGCCCTCGATGAAACGTACGGCACCGTTACCACGGAAGGGAGGGCGTCCGGCAGCTCCTGGCTGGACGATGGGACGCGCGGGCTTCGATTTAACTCGATTTGGAGTGGCACAGCACCGGTCGGAGCTCGTGAAAGCCCGACGCGAGCGCCGCCTGCACGGTCGCCTTGGGCAGCCACGCGAGCGCCACGAACGCCTTCTCCCGGAATTTGAGATGTCTGCCACGGCCTCGGGACGCGAGGCTGCGTCGTACAACGAGGAGCGCCGCCTCGCGAAGCTCGCGCGGCTCCGCGGCACGGGCCGCCGCCGCCGGCAGCCCCAGCCCCATGCCATGACGTCTCCACCACCACCGGACGAAGCGTTCAGCCCGCCGCCTCCAAATGAAGCGCCGCCGGAAAACTGGGACGACGTGCCCGTCGGCGGCAAGGGTCGCACGCCCCAGCGCATCGACGACGACGACGCCGAGCCGGCGGCTTATGACGGAGGAAGCTGGCGGTCCGCTTCGAAGCCGGCCCGGGCGCCGCGGCCGCGCGCCAGCCCGACGAAGGTGCCGACGGCGCGCGAGTGGGACGACACGCCCGTCGGCGGCGCTCAAAGGCCGCCGCCGCAACAAGCCGAGCGCAAGCGGGCGCCCGCGGCGCGGCGGCCCGTCGTCAGCCAGCGCGAGTGGGACGAGATGCCCGTCGGCCATAGTGGAGGCGGCCAGGTCTGGACGGAATACCCCGAGGGCGAGACCGGGCCGCCGCCGCGCGCGGCGACGCCGGACTCGGACTCGGACTCGACGGGCAGCCTCGAGATGCGGCCCGCGCCGGCGCGGCGCGACTGGGACGACGAGCCTGTTAGTGAAGGCGCCAAGCAGGACTGGGACGAGGCGACCGGCAGCGACGACGACGAGCGGCCCGCTGGCGGCGCCGGGCGCGCGCCGGTGCGGCCCGTCGAGAGCTCGTCCGCGCGGGACTCGGACGAAGCGACACCGGTCGCCAGCGACGACGAGCGTCCGTTCGCGACTGACGACGAGCCCGCGGATGCCAAGGACTGGGACGACCAGCCCGTCGGCGGCGGCGGCGGCGCGCGGGACTGGGCCGAGTACCCCGAGGAGGACGACGCTCCGCGCTCGGCGCGCCGAGAGGAGAGCGACCGCCGCGCCGCCTCACCACTTACGTATGATGCGACGCCACTGCAGCCGAGCCCGGCGCCGCCCTCGCCACGCCCGTCGCCGGCGCCGCCCTCGCCGACGAGACCGGAGCGACCGCCGTGCACGTTGGAGGACCTGCGGGACCGCTGGGGCACCTGCGTGTACTTGCTGCGAAGCCCGGACGTGCGCGATGCCCAAGCGCTGGAAAAAACGAGACAAGCGGCGGAGGATGGCGTCGCTTATGTTGAGGAGGTAAAAACGGTGGCCCAGCGGTTGAAAATTAGGGGCGGCGCCCTGTCGAAGATGTTGCTGCCCTACGGCGAGGAGACGTCTACGCTAGAACAAGCGCATACGTCCAATCGGGCGGAATACGAGCGGCTCGAGGAGCTCGGGCTTCCCGAACAACGCGCCAGGGAACTCGTCGACAAAGCTTTAGCAGCGAGATCTCTGGTGAGAGTCAAGGTCGCGGACGACAACGACCTCGAGCAGATGCTCCTGGCGTGCGGGGAATTGAGGGACTTCTTCGACGACCTCGAGGCGCACGCGCGGCGGGAAAGGGCGGGCGCGTTCGACGTCTTCGCGACGCTCGAGTAATCTCGGCGGCGGTCCATATACACGTTAGTCGAATGGACAATTGGGGGAAGGGGAAAGGAGGCGCCCCGCGAGCTTGTTGCGGGCGCGCGCGCCAGCGCGGTTAGTAGTTGCACGGCCCCTTTTGGGCGTCGTGACCCCCGGCGGCGTCGAGGCACTGCTGCGCGGTCGCCGTCGTCGAGCACGCGTTTCCACCACTCGTCGTAGCAGAGAAGCAGTTTTTCTTCGTGTCCTCGCAAGCGACGTTTGCGTCCATGCAGTAGGCGTCGTCGTAGCCCACCGCGAGGCACTTGTCGTAGCAGCTCGTATAGTAATCGTCCGGGTAGCCCTCGCACCCGGGCAGCGGCGGGCAGTCCGTGAGCATCATGTCCTTGAGCTCCTCCGGCGTCGGGCACCAGCCCTTGGTCCGGATCATCGTCTCGTTGACCGCGAGGCTCGGGTCCGTGCAGGCCTCGGTGGGCCGGGTCGAGTTCTCATCTGGGCAGAACGGCTGCAACGTGCCGGGGCCGCCCGCCGGCTCCGGCGCGTACCTGAGTGGAAATAAACCAATGCGTCAGGTACACGTCGATGGCGTGAAGGCGCCGTGAAATTTCGATTTCTACACGGGCGCGCGTGCGTCGGCCGCGATCTCCTGCTCGACCTTGTCCTTCGTGTTGTCGCAGACGTAGCCTTTGGCCTTCATGGCGTCGTTAAACGGATCATCTAGCGGGCCCACGAAGAAGTCCTGGTAGCCGAAGTCCAAGGCGCGGCCCTTTTTGCGGACCGAGTACTGGCCGGCGGGCTCGGCGGCCTCCGAGATCGTGGTGCCGCGTAGCCCCGGGGAGTCGAGGAGCGCAACGGCGCGCGCGAGGGCGAGGGCGAGGAGTAGCGAGCGCATCATCTCGCCTCGCGGCGCCTGATAAATCGGCAGAGCAGATCTTTAGCTCTTCAGAGAGCTTTATTGCACGCTCCTTTGCGGGAGCTCTCTCGTCGCGCCAGCCAGGGACGATGGTCGGGAACTACAGATCAAGCCTCGTGCTCTAGAAGCGTCTCGTCGGCGCGCACAGCGTGTGGAAAAAAGGGAGAGCGGCTGTGCTCTTTTTTTTTTGTGAGCCGACGACCGCCCGGCACGCATCCGGCGCCGAGCACGAGGCCATGCCATCGCTCGCGCACGCAACAATAAAAACACAATTCCAATTACACGCGCCGCGGCCGCGCGGCGGTTACACGCGCGCCGCCGCCGCCCGCCGCACCATGTCCAACTGACTCCTTAGCGTCTTGACTTCCTTCACGAGGAGCTTCCGCGCCTTTTGTTGGGACGCCTGCTGCCGGTCCCGCCGCTCGGCGTCGACGCGCATGGCGTCCTGGGCCGCCGCGAGCTGGTCCACGGCCGCGTCCCGGTCGCGCCCGAGCGAGTTCTCCAATTCGAGCCGCAATCGAGTTGCCTCCGCGACCTCATTTTCGAGACAACGAACGCGTTCATCCAAGAACGCGATGACCTCCGCGTCGGCGCCGGCCTGCTGGCGCGTCGATTCTGTCGACCGTAAGGCCTCCGCCAAAGATTCTTCCGCATCCCTCACCTTGGACGCCAGGAACTCCTTGACGCGCTCGGCGCCCTCGAGGGCAGCTCGCGAGTCCTCGGCTTCCGCTTGCAACCCGCGCACCTCGACGTCGAGAGCCTTGCACCTTCTATCCAACGCGATGATGCCCTTAATTTCGGAGGGAGACAGTTTCGACGCGATGGCCGCCGCGATCTGGGAACTGAGACCGACGCTCTTCTGGGGCGAGACCGTCGTTCGTAGTTTTCGACCAATTTGCGAGTTGAGGGAAAACAGGCGATCTACGCGCCCAAAAAAACGCCTTTCGCTCTGCGCCGTCGCGAGCACTTCCGGCGCGACCAGGAAGCTAAAAACCCGCAGCACGACGCGATCTTCGAGGATCGTCAAAGGTGGCCGCTTCTCCGACGAAGCGTGGCCGTTTTGTTTCCCGGCGTTCGAAAACAGCTCCAATCGCCGCGACGCTCTTTGTAACTCCCGCTCCAGCTCGCCTATACGTCGCTCGAGGGAGGGGACGCGCCGCGCGTCCTCGGCGTTTCGATCGTGCCGCGCTCGCTCTTCTTCAGCCTGCATTTGTTGCCGCTTCCAGGCCACAATGTCCTCGCAGAAGGCGTCCCTGGCTTCGATGCATTCCTGCTGGATGCTCGCGCGGTCGTCCTCGAGCTGTTTTATTTTGCGGAGGGCCGCGTCGCGTTCTCCCGCAATGACTTCGAGCCGTAACGACTGGTCGTCGACCAGATCTCGGAGCTCGTTGACCTCGTTCTCGTGGTGGGCCTGGGCCACGTCGTCCACGCACTCCGCGAGGACCTCTCGGACGACTAACGCTTGTGCTACGTCTTGTGTTTGTTGCGCGGCGGCTTTCGACGCGCGGCGCAGGGCCCAGGTCGCCGGCGGCGGCGGCGGGGGCGGTTTTGTTCTTGTGGAGAGCGTCGCGGGCGCCGAGGCGCGCCGCATCACCGCTCCTGTTCGCGGATCCGCGGGAGCGGCTCCGGAGGCCTTTGTGGTGTGTGCTGGGTTGCGGCGCGCGGCGGCGCGTCGGCGTCGTAGTGGTTGGCCAGGCGTGGTGCACCGGTGGCGCAGCTATGCTCCAACACGTTGATAGACCGCTGAACAGCTTAGCCGATGCTTAAACAAGCACTTTCGAGAGGAGCTTTATTCGACGCTAGTATGTTACATGCCGCTAGCGCGGAGTCGTCTTGCTGCTGCGTCTTAAGACGCTACGCACGCGGGATCTCTACACGCGCAGGAGGCTTTTGAAGCCGCGCCCCGGGGTCTACTGTCGGCCGCTTTGCACGCAGCTTTCTAGCACTGCTGCTAGCTTTGTGCTTGGGTCATGTCGCAGCCCAGTATCCCCGCACATATACTGTATGCCCTACGGGTCGGGGGCGACGCCGAGGCTGTCTCCCAATGGCTCGCGTCCGAGGATGGTGAGGAGGTATTGACATCAGCGATGGCGGAGGCTGCGATCAGCCACGAATACACCACCGAGGCAAAACTCCGCTTCGTCCAGCTGGCTCTCGCTCGCGGCGCGGACCCGAATCGAATGTGTAATGTCAAAACTGACCCGTTTACACAACTTTCAGACCTTCAGTTATTCACCACGCTGTGCATGGTCTCAACGCAAGCTACGGACTTGTCCCCGCGACTGATCGATCTGCTGATTAGATGGGGCGCGGGCGTCGATTGGTTGCAAGCTAGGGTCACATTTCCGATAGAGGATGACCGAACGGCTATTCACAAATACTCTCCTCTCGCTTGTGCAATTCTCTACTCCTCCAGTTACGGGACACGACACATAGCGGTCGCCCACGCGCTGTTGCGCTGCGGGGCGAGTCTGGACTTCGTCGCAAAGATTACGGTCAAAGACGCGCAAGGAACCAAACTCGGGAGCCGATCTGAGTCGATCGAATGGGTCCTGGGTGAGAAAGAACGGCGGGAGCCCTCGCTGGCCGATAAGGCGCACTACCTCGCGCTCAAGGCGTTTCTGCTTTCCGTGCGCGCGGCCGGCGATTATCGTAGCTTTGTGATCGAGCAACGACGAACGTGCGCGTTGGTGCGGCATCTGGCGCTGCGTGATCGTGCGACGACGCACGACTGCGTCTTAAAATTCCTCGCCCGCACGGGCGAACGGGGCTTGTTCCGACGAGTTCTCTCGTACCTATCGCCGCCGCTGCCACCGCCCACAACAACAACTCTCAATATAAGCATTCCATGGGCGGAAACTGGCGAAGAAACTTTCTTTCAGATTAAGTCCAGAACAACACTCATGAAGCTGTTTAGGGCCTTCGCGAGACGAGTAGGCCTCCCTGTCGGCCGATTGGCTTTTAGCCTGCCCGGCTCTGAGTTACTGATTGAGGGCTTCCAGAAGCCCGCGGACATTGGTCTCGCAAATGGTTCGCGTATCGATGCTATGCCCTACGCCGAGCACCCCGCGGTCCTCCGGAAGCAAGCCGCAGCCGCGGCCGCCGTCGCAGCCGCTGCGGCGAGGCAGTACCTTGAGGCCCTCGAAGCCCTTAGAAAGAGGCCCTGCCTGTGGCTGGCGCGTAGGTGGATGAGCTAGTATGTAAGTATGTTGTACAGAGGAACTTATGACTAGAGCCGCCGCTTCGTCTCGAAGAACGCGCGCACCGTCAGGATCTGCCACAGCGACAAAGCGATCAGTACGGCGGTCTCCGCGACGGTCCACCACAATACGCGAGCTCGAGTAGACTCCAGCACGGCAGCATGATGCTCCTCGCGCCGCCGCATGTAGGCCTGGTGGTCCGTCAGCGTCAATAACCCTTCGTTCAATTCTTCGCTGACATCCAGTAACGCGTCCATGGAGCCCTCTCCATCTGTGGACGGGTGATGTACGCTCGCGCGGATCGCGAAGCCGACGGTTCGCGCCCTCCCATCATTATTCGACGCGTCGCCGTTCGATAAACAGAGATCGACCACGCCGTCGTCGGCCACATCGAAGGCGAAGGTCCCGTCGGGCTGGCCGTGCGTTTCGTACAGAGGATCAGCACCGGCCGCGCCGCTCACGACGACGCCGAGCGGTTCTGGGGTGACGCCTTCACTAATCAGTTCGAAGTTGCCAGAAACAGCGGCCTCCTTGGAGACGTCGAGGAGGAAGCACTCCCGGGCGCCGGCTTCTAGTCGGATCACGAGGGCGTTTGTTGTTGCTAGTAGTAGGACGAGCGCTCTCCTCCGTGGGCGCGGCATGGCGCGGCGGCTGGCGTGAGCGCAGCGCGGCGGCTGGCGTACGGCGCAGCGGCTGGCGCGCGCGCGGCGGCTGGCGCGTGTCGGTTTCGGTGCACAGGAGCGCGCGGCGGCTGTGTACGCAGCAGCGTGCGCTGTACAAAGGATGCTAGTGACTAATTCTACGGCAGAGCACAGAGGCGCGCCTGCAAGACAGCGGGACAGACAAAAACAAGTGCAAAACTAGTGTCTTACAGGCCGCTAGGTAAAGAGCATGCTCCGCGAGTCAATTGACGCGCAAGAGCGCATTCGTGCGGTGGCTGCACGCGCGAAGTGATTGACACAGCCACAGAACCGACACACAACGAATCGCCAGCAAGCGAACCGGGAAAATCGCAATCTCCATTGAGAGCCATGCCTGCACCGCTGGCGGCCGCAGCGATCCAGCTGCGGCCGCGCGAGACCACCTCGCTCCTAGGAAGCCCGGCGCAGTCGCCACGGGAAGGCGCCCTCTGGTCCCAGCGGACCCGAGTCTCGACGCGCCTCGCCGACGCCCTCGGCCTCAAAGACGCCGCTGAGGCTAGACTCGTCAGCCGATTGATACTGATGGGCGCGCTGGCGAACATCGCCTTCGTGTTTGGCAGGAACGCGGGGCCCGCGTTGTATGTCAATCATCTCGGCAGCCGGCGACTGGCGAGAGCTATGTTCCTGTCGGCCCTGTCCGTCTTCGCCGTCACGCCGCGCTTCTCGACCTACGCGCGGCCGCGGCGGGCCGTGCGCGTGTATGCTTGCGTCCAGTTATCGGGTGCGGTGCTCCTCGCGTGCTTGTGGGTTATGCTGTCGTATCTCGAGAGGCGCACCGCCGCCGCCGTGGACCTCACGACCCAGGTCCTCTACACGTTGTTCTTCGTGTGTGAAGATCTGACGACGCTGCTGGTCATGATGCAGAACGCGGCGGTCGCGCAGGAATTATTTACCGCGACCGCGGCTCGTAGAGTTGTCGGTCTGGTACAGCTCGGAAGTAGCGTGGGCGCGGTCCTCGCGGGCCTGACGTGTGGCGGCCTCTCTCGCTACGCAGGCGCAAACTCACTAGTCTTAGCCCAAGTTGTCGCTCTACTACTAGGACTGCCCTCAACACGATACGTGGCGCACGTGTCCCGCAGCGAAAAAAAGGCGGTGGTAGAAGACCGCTCCTCGCAAAAGTGGTGGACCGACGACCTGGTGCTCGGGCTCGGCCTGTACACGATTTTGGTGATAGCCGTCAAGACGACGCTGGAATACTGCTATACCTGTGTCGTGGCGGCGGACACGCGAAGTCCAGAAGCCATGGTGACCGTCACGGGTTACTTGTATGCCGCGGCCGGCGTGGCCGCATCTGTTTTGAATGCGGGCGGGACACGGCGACTCTTGAGGCGGTTCGGCCTGGCCGTGTCGGCGGGGTATCCCCTCGGCGTCGCTTTGTTGTTGGGAATCATCTGCTTCAAGCGGGCCTCCGTCGAGACGCTGGCGGCGGCGCGCGCCTTTGATTTGGCGGCGCGGTGGTCCGTGTCGAACACTTTTAAGTCGGTGGTTTGGATCGCCGTGGACGTACCTGTTGCTAGAGCAGCCAGACCGTACGTGGAAAGTCTAGCAAAAAAGGCCACCGCAGCCGTGGTCGCTTTGATACTTGGGTTTCTGACCCACCAAGGGTATAGGATCCCCCAATTGGCGTCGTTAGCGTTGGTATCTTGTGCCGTGTTAGCGCTTGTTGGTATGCAATTACGCTCTAGATATCTGGCGGCGATGCGACGACGCGTCGCGCGGCGGTCCGTCGCTAGATCGTCAACCACATTCATAGGCGGCAAGGCGCCGCTACCTCACGAGAAGCCCTGGGGCGACGTCGACGAAGAGGGTCATTTAGTGTCTGTGGAAGCTGATGTACGGGACGCCACCTCTGCGAACGACGGTCGTGATCAATTGGCGGAACTAGTGTTTGAACGGTTCCGGAGGGGCGGCGTCGGCGCGAAGTTATTTTTACTGAGAGAGATCGGAGCTGGGGCTGCTCTAAGGCCGAGAGAGGTGCGGGAGTTGTTTCTGGGGTTCGACTCGTGGGAGCCCTCCGTGCGTGTAGCAGCATTGAGGGACGTCGTCGCGTCACTCGAGGACGACGACGACGACCAAGAGGGTGACGAAGAAGCGCCTTCCATAAAATGGGCCGATGCACTTGTTTTAAGGGAACTGGAAAAGGGCGATCCTCTGTTAAACGCCCATGACGAGTCGCACATCCTCGCGGCGGCGTGTCTGGCGGCCGCTCGTCGGAATATCCACGAGGCCACGCCCGCTCTCGAGAGATTACTTGGTTCAGCACACCCCGCGCCGCGCGCGGCGGCGGCCGCGGCTCTACTTTCGTTAGGCTGGGGCATTGGGATGGGCCACGTGTCGTCGGGCGCCGCCAAGGTGCTGGAATCGATGCTGGGCGGCCATTTGCAGGCCTCCAAAGCTCGAAGTTTGAGACAGCTCTCGATGCGGCCTACACTCACCCAGGATTCCTCTCGGTTAGCGTCTGCTGCTGCATCTGCACAAGCTGCCTGGGACGAAGCTGTACAACAAGGCGACGAGGGCGCCGCCGTGGCCGCCGCGATCAGATTGACGGCGTGTCGGGTTGCCGCGCGAGGCGGTGATGAATCTAGAGTGGTCGAGCCCCAATCGTTTTCATTGGATGCGAACGCCGCGGCGGCCGCTCTGCACGCTCTACGGGACGCGCCGTTTTTGGTTCCGGATTCTGCAACCTGGCTCCGATTGGCTGCTGCGGAAGACCCGCGCGTCAGTCGAGCTTTATTAGCTCTGGCGCCGCCCGTCGCTCTAGGTGCGGAGCAACGCGCCCATGCGTTGGCGAAGCTAGCGGGTGCTCGGCCCACGGCTCGACGGGCGGCTCGACTGCTCAGCGCCGACGCGTCTGTCGCGAAAGCAGCAACACCAAAACTCTTAGAATTACTTACAGCGTCGATCACGGAAGATGGAGGCGACGCCGGCTGCTTGTTGGATGCTCTTAGAAGCACGACGGAGCACCGAGGGAGAAACGACGCGTCCGCGAGAGCGTGGGCCTTGGCGGCATCTACCGACGACGCCGTCTATGAAGGCTGGCTCCTCGACTTTGTCAGGGACTGTCTGGATGGCGGTGCGTCCACGCCATCGCCGGACGCTATTGAAAGTACAATACGTCGAGAAGCGGCCGAGGCGAATAATGCCGCAGAAGCGCGGGCGCGGTTCCTGAAGCTGGGTCACGGTAGGTATTCCGATAGGAATATAGCGTTAGCCGTGTCGCGCTTGCGGGGAGATGCCGTCGACGATTTAGGCACGGCCGACGACGGCGTCGCGCTCGAACTAGGTGCATGTGCGGCTGCGTACGCCGCCGAGAAGTTGTATGGGAGGAGGCAGCATCTCCTCGCGAGGTGTGCGTTGTTGGCGCGGCATGGCTGGCGGCCCAGAGACGCGTGGAAGGTTTTGCGTGATGACGACCCCAAGAGCGCCTCTGCTGTGTTAGAGTTAGTTGAGTCCGATTTGCCGCCGGCCCTCAAGCCCTGCGTCCTCGGGGCGCTGTCGTCTACTAAATGTAAAGCGGCTTCTGTCAGAAAAGCCGTCGGCTGGCTGGAGCAGCAGAACGATGCGCTTGGGAACGAGCTCGCGAACGCGGTTGATGCTTTATGTAGTGGCCGCGCCGCGCCCATAACCAAGGGCGCGTTGTTGCCGCGCGTGGCGCTGCTGAAGGGCTTCAAGCCGCTGGAGCACGCTTTACTAGCGCAGCACCTCGCGCCGCTCGCGTCGCTATGTTCGTGGCGGAGGTACGCGATTGGTGATGAAGTCGAGCTGGCCTCGACGGAAAGCGCGGTCGTCGCGAAGGGTGCGGTCGCCGTGCCGGCGGCCGTGCTGGAGCGGGGCGGGTCGTTACAGCCGTGGCACGCCGTCGGTGGGGTCGCGGGCTGGGCGGCCATCGCGCCGACCCAAGCGGTAGCCATGCGTCCCGCCTCAATCCTGGTGCTCGACGCCGACGCGTTGCGGCAGCGCATCGACGCGTCGTCGCCGAAATTCGTCTTTGCTGTCTTGAGGGCGTTGGTCGGCGCGCTGCCGGCTCCTCGACAGGCGGGCGGCGGCACGATCAAGCGCATGCAGTCCATCCTCTCGGACGACGACGACAGCGACGAGGACGCCGCGTCGAGCGTCTTCGACTCGCGCGGCGCGCCGTCGCCTTTGGAGAAAGTATTACTATTGAGGGACACGAAGATGCTCCGATTCGTTCCGGCGCGCTTTTTGCCGTTGCTCGCGGACGTGGCCGAGGTCGAAGTGCTCCAACCGAAGAGGAAGATCGCGACGCGCGGTGCGGCGACGGACGCCTCTCTGAGAATTCTGGCGGACGGTGCTGTCGTACTAGATTCGGGCGGCGGGAATCGAGTTCTGTTAGATGGGCCGGCGGCAAGCTTTGGCAACACGGGTCTCTTGGCTGATAACGTTTGGCCCTACGACGCCAGAGCTGGAAACGATGGCGCCGTGCTACTTGTCTTGCGGCGTACTCGTTTACATGACGCGCTGCGGGGGCGACGCGACCTCGCGGCGGCCGTCGCGCGGGGCTTCCTCCAGACCTACGGGCGGCGCGCGCTGGCCGCGTTCGGCAAGGCTCAGAGCAAGTCGAACGGCTCCCCGATCTCGCCGCACGGGCGGTCGCGGGCCGCCCGCGCCGACTACGTCGCGCCCGGGTCTCAGAGTCCCGGCGCGGCGGCGCCGCTCGAGGTGTCCTTCGGGATGAAGGCGCCGAATTTGCCGCGGCTCGTGTGATGATGTGTTGTGTGAGTAAGTGGGTTTGTCTTAGACTTGCTGCGCCTAGCGGTAGCCGAGCTGGTCAATCATGTCCGTCGCGACCGGGTACTGGCAGCGCCAGTAGCCGAGGATTTGCCAGGCGATCTCCGGCGGACACCGGACGAGGAAGCCGAGGGTCCGGATGTACGAGGCTCTAAGTAGCAGGTCTTCTCCGCCCTCGGGAGGATAGGCCTCGAATCCTTTGGCGTCGTCGAGCTTGACGACGATTTGTAGCGAGTTCGCCGCGATGACGGTACCCAGGCACGCCTTTGCGGTTTTGGGGCGCGTAACGACGCGATCGCCGTAGGCGAAGCGCTGGGGCAGCGCGGACGGGAGGACGGCGCGCCGCCGAAGCGCGAGGCTCCGGAGTCGAAGGACCTCCGCGCGAGGTTCCCGGTCGTATGCCCGCCAGCCGCCGGCGGCGCGGACCCCGACGACCACGGCCCTCAGCGCCTCGAAGCAGTTGTCGGGGGGCAGGGGCCCGTCGAGTCGGTTTACCGCCCAATCCAGAACCTGTTCTGCGGAAGAGGTAAGAATTGTGTCATCGACAATGGGGGCACTGTGTGCATGATCCAGCGACGGCAGAGCTCGTAGCAGTAAGAGTGCGATCTCCATGCGAGGACGTGACGGTCCGGCTTTTCCCAGTTGTCTCAGCACTATCGTGAGCGGATTATTGCGCTTATCATTCGTCGCGAGAACGTTCGCGCCCGCTTTAAGCAATAGAGCGACCATCGGGGGCGAGGATTCCGAACGACAAAATGCAGCCCAATGCAGCGACGTGTACCCACTGCGGCTGGAGCGGTTCACGTCCGCACCGTGATCGAGCAAATATCGGGCCAGCGCCACGTTCCTTTCGTCGAATGATCCAACACTGGGACCTCTCCCCCACGCGGCACCTAGTAGCAAGGTGCGTTCCTTCCCGTCGACCTCTTCGACGTCATTGCCCCCGCCGGATTCGAGCCAGGCCGCGACGACAGCCTTGTCCCCGCCTCTTGCGGCACGCATGAGCTCTCTGGAGAGGACCATCCTACGCGCGGATGCGCGGCGCGCGGCCCAAGTCACTCAGCTTGCTCCCTGGACAGGACCGTCGATCCTACGCGACCGGGCGGGCTGAAAAGATGTAGACGAGGCGTCCTACGAGCCCTTCGCGCCGCCCGCTCAGATACCGCGCGGGCCGCGCCTGAAACAAACAGGTTCAGGGCCAATTCATTTTTGGCAGTAAGCTCCTAGAAGCTACGCCGCTCGCCGCCAACCGATCTAGGAGTCAGGCGTGCGTGTCCGCTTTAGCCCAAGGCGTCTCGCACATCGAGAATCAAGTGTAAACAAAGCAAAAAGGCCAGACATGCCGCTGTGCCCGCCGGACCCGCGGCGATGCCCGCGGCTCTCGTACGCCTGCGAGACGAACGGCGCCTGTCGCGCCTTTGGTCGCATCGGCGTCGACCCGGGCGCGACCACCCGCGGCCGCGTCGCGCGCGGCTTCGCGGCTCTCGGCGTCGTCGCGCTCGCTCTGAATATCACGGCGGCGTGCGCGCTGTCGAGCGTCGATAGCGTCATTAAGGACACGGCCTGGGCCGTCGGGCGCATCCGCGGGAAGATGGAGTATGCGGGCGGCCATGCATACATGGGTCTGTCGGCGGTGGTCGCCTACCACGGCGGCACCGTCAAGGAGAAGCGAAAGTGGTCCAACATTCATTGTGACGACTTTACGCTGACGCCCGACGACGACACTCTCGAGAGGCGCAGCCGCGACGTCGACCGATGCAAGCGGTGCAAGCGGCGCGTGCGGGGCATGGCGACGACCGTCATCGTGTCGGCATTCACGACGCTCGGCACGATACGCTTCTCGCTGAAGCGGGCGACGGTTGAGAGCTGTGTGGAAATCAAAATTTTACGGCGCGTTTGTGCTGAATCGTCGCGTCGACCTCCACGCCCTGGTTGATTTCCACACAGGTGGAGAGCGACGCCCGCTTCTGGAAGTTTCTCGGCATCGCCGTGGGCTGCATCTCCTTCGGGACGGCCATCGGGCCGCTCCTGTCCTTCCGCCAGCACTGCACGCGGTCGACGACCGAAGGGATACATATGCGGAACGGGCCCGGTTTCATCTGCCTCTCGATCGCGGTATGCCTCAAGGGCCTCTCCGTGCTCATGCACCTCTGGCTCCGCGCGCCCGACGTCTCTGACGACGACGACAAGGCGCCGCGCGACGACGAGGAGGACCCGGAGGAGTCCAAGGACGGCGGCGGCGAGGAGTCCAAGTAGTCGCTTCTCTCGAAGGTATGTAATTATCGTTCGTGTGTAGGTAGTCGGCGGCGGGCGGGGCGCGGCGCGCCGGCTCGACTCTAGTGGCCGAAGCTGTGTTTTCATCTCCTGCCGATCACAGCGCAAGCGTGCATATCTCCGGTCGTCGCAGGGCACGAGCCGAGTCGACGGCGTACGAGCTGCCCCGAACGCCCCCGAAGACGCTACGCAGAGGCAGCCCGGAGAGGCAGCCCCCACGACCATGGCCTATGGAGCCTTCGCAAGACCGCGGCGCGGCGACGTCGAGGCGCCGGCCGAGGAACGGCGGAGACGCTTCGAGCGCACTGGAATAGCTGCCGCTGGTTTGTGCATCTTTTTGCTGGTCGTCGCGATGTTTGTAAATGCTCATAATCGACGGACGGCGGCGTTCGTGGCGGAGACGCACAGCGACGTGGTGCTGCTGGCGTGCGCCGGCAGCCGACCACGGACCGCCGCGGAGTACGTCGACTGCGACAGCACGCGCGCGGCGCTCTTCGCGCGCGCGGCGTCCCACGAGCGGGCGGTCCTGCTGAGCGGGGAACCGCCGGCGACGGCGGCCCTGGACGCGTTGTCGGAGTTACCGGAGGCATGGGACGTCGCGTTGTTCGACCCGGCCGCGTGCCCGAAGACCGGCGGCCCGGTGCGGCGGTGCCTCTGGCCCGACGGGTCGAACTGCGGCGAAGTCGCCTACGCGCGCTGGGCCCAGTGCGAGGACGTCTCCGGCGGAGCGATCGCGGGGACGATCGCGGTGCATGGGTCTTCGGCAATGAAGGTGCTCAGGGGGGACGCGGCAGACCTCGTCGCCTACGTACTAATTTCATAGCACTTACGTGGGCGCGATCGCCGCCGCGGCCCTCTCCAATAATTTCTGCGTCGCCGCGGGGTCCGTCTTGTAGGCAGCTGTCAAAGCACTAACGGCAGCGCTCACGTCGCCGTGGGCCGCCGCGACCAGCCCGAGCGGCACGGAGTCGTAGGAGGACGGCGTGTGCCACAAGCGCTGGTGTCTCTCGTGCGCCTGGAAACACGGCTTCGCGGCGAGCGCGCCGTCGCTCTTTAGGGATGAATAGCACGACGCGCGCCAGTGGGCGGCGTCCCTTGCTGCTCGTGCTTTTTCGGGCGAGAACGGTTCATGCAGTGTCGGCGAGAGCCACCTGAGTAAGTCAGACGGCTCCATCGGTTGTGGGAACGCTTCCTGCGGTAACTCCAGCGTCTCGAGCACCTCCGCGGACGGCGGCCACTCGAGCTTCGTCAGAGTCCTCAGGTCCAGCCGTTCTAGAGATGGGGGACTCGAATTCCTTCGTCTCACGACGAGCGCGGCGTCGACGTTCCTCCGTGACGAGGCGACGTCGATGTCGTCGCGCGCCCGCAGCGCCGCGATGAGCGGCCACGCCTGCGACGCCGACGTGACGACCACTAGTCCCTGAGGCGGCATCTCGCGAATGGCCGCGTCGGCCGCCCTCAGAGCATATTTCAGCGGCTGCGCACCGTCCACATCTTGCACGTCCTCGCCGCCCTCGTGCTGTATTGATAAACGCATGAGCGGCAGCGTCGCCGTGCGCCAGTGTTTTATAACACCAAAACAACTCAACAGGAGGTTCGTGTCCAGCAGCGCGTCCAAGGGATCATTTGCTGATTGATCGGGAGCTTTCGCGTCGTGTTCCGCAAATAACGCGTCGCAGGGGTAGCGGTCGGGCTCCTTTGGAGATGTGGGCGCCGTGGCGTACGCGATGAGTGATACTACGGCGGCTACCAATGCGACGACTATAATGCGGCGGCGGCGGCGCCTCCGCTCGTACTTCGCGCCCATTTCTTAGGCTTTGGCCTTCTTGGCGGCGCGCTCGGTCTTGTCTTTTTCGACGATCTCCGTGAGGTGCGCGTTCGTGGCTGCCGCGGTCTCTTGCAGGGTCCCGCTCGTCTCGAAGCTGCTAGTGCCGTCCACGGCTATCTCGACGCGCACGCTGCTGGGCGTCGGCTGTGCGTCGGACATCCGTGTCGCGCGTCGGCGGCGCGTGGCAGTGAGCTCTGCTTTTGTCCGCAGGTTTTTACGGCGGGAGCGCGTCCAGCGGTGGACTGTCGGCACGGCAGCGATTGACTGAGCACTTCTGGTAGCACACGAGACCACGAATCGCGAGATAACACGATGAACGTCGGCGCCGGGGCTAGCGCCACAGTAAGACACTAGCAATCACCCTGGGCGCGCCCGCGGCTCGGCATCGCAGCCTATACGACAGCCCGCGGACCTGTGAGAAGGCCGACGCATCGCTGCGTCCGAGCACAGCACGCTGTCGTGGCGAGTGCCGCCGCCAAAGCTGCACACCCACCACCCTGCCAAACCACTGCCAAATCTCCAGCAGCCGAAGCGATGGACCGCCTCAAGACCGAGTGGGACAAGGGCGTCTCCAAGATGAAAACCCTCGGCCAGGAGCGCAAGGAAGAGGAAAAACCACAAGCGCAGAGCGCCGCCGACATTTCTCGAGAGGATTTGTTACAACTAACAATGAAGCTCGGCGCGCGCCTGAAGGCCGCCGAGAAGGCGCATCGGGAGGTCGCTACGCGAGCGAGGGACGCGGAGCGGGACCGAGATGTCCTGAAGAGTTTTTGCGCGAATACCGTGCTCGGGACTCCCGGAGTCCTCGATGGCGTCTCGTTAGATGAGAACGCCCTGACGCAGCTCTACGGCGGGCGCGATTCCGATGGTTCAGATGCCCAGTCCTCGGCCCTGAAGGAGGCGCTGGCCCGCGCTTTAGCTGCGAGGGACTCCGAAACAGCGAGAGCCGACTCCGAGGCCGCGAAGCGCCAGAACGCCTCGTCAAAAGCCGAAGAAAGGATCGTGTCCCTCGAGCTGAAGTTGCGGGACGCGCGGCGCGACGCGGACGGCGCGCCCGAGGCGCTCGCTGGCCTGGAGCTGTGCGGAAATCAACCAGCTTATCCTGAGAATTATTGCGAGGACCTTCGTGAACCTGCACGCCATCGAGCAGACGCGGGAATGGCTGCAACCTCGCGTCGATGGCGTGCAGATGCTGTTCCGGCGCGGGGCGCGCGACGTTTGATTTCCACACAGGTCTGGAGGCCGCGAAGCGCGAGAACGCAGAGCTGCGCGAGGCCCACGTCGTTTTGAGAAGGGCCGCCGAGGACGCGCGCAGTCGCCTCGCCGACGCGGAGAGTCGCTTGCGGCGGTCCGAGAACACGTCTGTCGAGGACAAGAACGCTCATGCATCAAGGGCAAGGCAGTTGCAGACGCTCGAGCGCGAGAAGGAAGCCTTAACGAAGGAGCGCGACGCGCTGCGGGAGACGAATGACGTGCAGAACGGCCAGATCGTGAGCGAGCGGCAAAGGCACGACGAGCGCGAGGCTGCTCATGCGCGCGAGCTCGCCGCGTCTCGAGCATTGGGTCTCGCGCACGCGGCGGCGCTGTCGGCGCGCGTCGCCCACCTCGAGGCTGCTAATGCTATTAGCAAAGCCGCTATTACTGCTGCCGCGCCGGCGCGCGAGCGAGCCGTGGCCGAGGCCCTCGCGCGCGCCGAGGCGGACCACACCAAACGATCTTCCCTGGCGCGCACTATTTTAGCGGAGAAGGATAGCAAGGTCGAGATTCTTAGACGAAGGGTCGCGGAGCTCGAGTCGGAGCTCGCGAGCGGCGGCCACGAGCATCGGAAGTTCGTGGAGATCGCGTGTTCCGGCGCGGCAATCATGCGCGGCCGGCCGCTCGATCACGCCATCGACGCGACGTCCGTTCGATCTCACCCGTCGATTCGCACGTAGGCCGAGCGCCAGGCGCGAAGAGAAGGCGCTCTGGCCAGCGAGGCCGCGCAGTCCAAGCTCGCCACGTCGCGCCTGAAGCGGGCCATCCGCGACCGCGACAGCGAGGTGGCGGACCTCGCCTCCCAGTTGTTGGCCTGCCAGAAGAAGCTCGAAGATGCCCGCCGAGGCTTGGGCAGGGACGCGACGAACCTGGAATACGTCAAGAATTTGTTGGTCCAGTACTTTTCGCTGCGCCAGAACTCGTCGGAGCAGGCGTCCTTGGTGCCGGTGCTCGCGACGGTCCTGGCGTTCACGGACGACGACCTGAGCCTATTGCGGGCGCAGGCCCAGAAGTGGGAGGCGTCGCAGTCGTACTGGGGTGGGAGCGCTGAACCGGACGCACCCAACCCATTGCTGACGCTGACGACGCTTGCGCCCGCACCACGCCATAGGAAGGCGTCGCCAGTAAATACCGGGACCTAGGACTTACTCGTACCACGAGGCCATCGCCGCGACACACAATGCCTCACGCCGCCTGAAGCTTCTCCGACAGAGCCCCGAGCGCCGCGAAGTCCGGCTCGACGCTGCCGATGGGCGGCGCGTCGGGGAAGGCTGCCATGCCGGCACAGCGGCCGCCGTCGCCGCTCGTGCGCGGCATCACGTGGATATGCACGTGCGGGACTTCTTGCCCCGCGAGGGGCCCGTCGTGTAAAACGACGGTGAAATCCTGCGTGTCGAAGACCTTGCCTAATCGCCGCTGGGCGTCCGCGACGCCCTCCATGAGCGCGGCCCGCGACTCCGCCGACAGCTCGGCGAGGCGCTGCTTCTCTTCGACGGGGACGACTAGCGTGTGGCCCGCTCGTCTCGGATTGATGTCCAGGAACGCGTACCAGAGCTCCCCTGCTCCAACCTTGCAGCTGGGAATTTCCTTGCGGATAATCTTCGTGAAGAGACTCATCTCTTTGTTGGAGGCGCAGTTGGGCTCGAGCGCTGCGGCGGTGGCTAGGAGCCAGGCAGTGATCAGACGCAGCTCCAGCTTTTTTCTAGAGATGCACGAGGCTCGGCCGGCTTGTCGCTGGCACAGAGCTTGCGTTGGACACCTCGCAGGCGCAGAGCTTGCGTTGGACAGCTCCTTTTTTGCCAAAATTGGGCGCAAAAAAGAGGCGCTAGCGTGCAGTAAGACACTAGGAAACAAAACTCATTTCACGTTGCGAGTGGTTGCTCACGCTGCTGGCCGTATCAGAGGTCACAGGCACGTTCCAGCAGCTCCTTCAAACACGTTACCAGCCGTCACCAACCCTAAAACGGCAGCGAGCCCTCGCGGCGGTTTCAACTCGGTTTCAGTTGTTAAGCCAAGAACCAGCCGCTCGCGGCGCGCGGAGGCCATGGACGGCGCCACCGAGGAGCCCACAGCCATGACCGACGCCGCCGAGGCGCCCGACGGCGCCATCCGCCGGCCGGGACCGGCTACGATCGACCCCGCCGAGGCGGAGGCCGAGAATGAGGAACACTCCGACGGCTACGTCGAGTCCGACGACGACGGAGGATCCTCAATCGAAGAGGAGCCGGACAGCCCCAACGCCGAAGCCGCGGCGGACCTCCAGCGGCTGCTCGACGCGCACGAGGCACCCTTTGGCCATGGCGTTTCAACACATGTAGAGACCGTGCTCGCGGGCGGCGCGCGCGGCCGCCAGGCGGCGCAGGCGCTCAAAAGAGCCGCCCAGTGCTGCCGCGAGGCCTTCACCAAGCCGAAGATGGGCAAGAAAGCGGAAGACGACCTGTCGGCGACGGCCGAAGCGTTACTCGACGCGCTTTTAGATCTCTGGCAGGCGGAGCACGACGACGCGCTGCGGGATTCGATAGCGCGGTGCGGCGAGGCCTGGTGGGCGCGGGAACAGGCGCCCTTCGCCGCGCCTCGGGTGTTGCCGTATTTGCTGGTGCGAGCGCTGTCCGACGGCGCCACAAGTGAAGACGTCGCGAGATGTGCCACTTCGGCATCGATGCTCGCGCCCGTCGACCTCGACGACGCGTCGGCGGCGGGATTGCGAGGTCTACTCGCGTCGACCGCGTCAAGTCCGGCGTTCCTGCGAAGCGCCCGGGGCAAGGACTTCGTCGCGGGCGTTTTAAGAGGCAATACTTTAGCTTCGAGCGCCGCGCATCAGTCCGTGAAGAAGGCGCTGCCGTCCTGGACGCAGGCTCGAGCTAGAGCCGCCGGCGACTGCTACAAGCGGGCCTTTGATTCTCTGGCGAAGGAGGGTGACACGGAGAGTTTTGAAGAGGACTACCTCCAGGATTTAGCGAGGGCTTTTCTGTTCTCCAAGTCCAAGAAACTAGCCTCGCAACTCAAATCACTGCTAGACAGCGCTTTACACTGCTCCGTGACAGGAACGAAGGTGAAGAGAGCCTGTGTGGAGCGCGTCTACGCTCCGTTGTTGTGGCGCCATATCACCGCACCGAATAACGAATGTCGAAGAAGAGCTTTCGAGGTCCTCGGGACGTGCTTTCCCATCGCCGACCCCGACGCGTTTGAATCGGCGTCCTATCATCAACACGCGTCTCCACGCCATCGACGCGACGGTTTCGCGCAGGTCCAAGGACGTCTCGACCTCGGCGATCGAGCGCCAGCTCACTCTATTAAAAAACGCCCTGACCGAGGACCCCGACCCGAGTTGCCGAGCGGCGGCCTGCCACGCGTCCGGACGAGCGCTCGCGACGTGCTGGCCGAAGCTGGCCAAGGGTCCCGCCACGCACATGCTACGGACGCTCGGGGCTACTTGCTGCCGCGATTCCACGTCGCCGGCCGTGCGAGAAGCCGCGCTGAAGGCGTTGACGGCCTGCGCGTCGTCGAAACATATTACCTCGGCTGGTGCTGGCGAAAAGACTTTACGAAAGGCCTTGCGCGACGCGTCTCGCCACCTCCACGACAAGTCGCCGGTCGTGAGGAACGCCTGCGCGCATCTCCTAGGCGCGTATGCGCAATCCACTTCGATAGATGCTGCGTTTGCCGCCGTCGGTTCCGAGAATCTTTTGCAGAGAATCGCGGAGGATGATGAGTCGAGGAGAGGGTCTTCCCAAGCCATCGCCAAGTTGCTCGTGAAAGCTTACTTTCCCCTTGAGGACGGTTCGAGACAGGTCGCTTTGGCCGCCGCTCTCTACAACAAGAAACCTTTAGCTGCGAGAGCTTTTTATGGAAGGCTCGCGGAGCTCGCGCCGGCCGAGGACGTGGCGCGCTTCGTCGTGCGCTCGCGGCGTCCTTTCACGCCATCGTCATGCATCGTTTTCGAGGCCGTTCGGACCGCGGTCGCGGCGATGGCGTCTTCACGAGACCGCGTCGCCGCGACGCCGTCGACGCGGGCGTCAGATGGTCTACGGGTCTCGCGACGCCGTCTACGCGTCCGCTCGACGGCGTGCAGGCCGTGCGCCATCGCTCCTCACGAGAGACAGGACGCGAGACAACGATGCTCCACACAGGTCATGGCGTCCAAGGCCGCGTCGGAAGTGTCCAAGACGCCTACGAAGAAGCGCAAGTCCGGCGAAGATTATGAGGCGCCGTCGTCACAAGCGCTGGTGGCCGTCGCGGCCACGGCCTACGCGTCGCTGGCGCGCGGTCCGTTGTCAGCGAACACCGAGGGCGCCCGCAAGCTCGCGGCCTATGTTGGTGATGGTGTTGCGACTTGTGTCCAATCACTAGTAGACAGCGGTTTGCAGAGCGAGGACTTACGAGGTCTGCGGACGGCGGTCGCGCTTGGTGGATTAAGGGGCCAGGACGAGGCCGAGGTCAGTGACTCAGCGTGATTTCCGAACGTTTCCCAACTTCAACTTTGTGAAGATGGCGTCGTCGCGATCACACGAGAGTCTACGCGTCTCGTGGGTGCACGGAGACGGTTTCGCGACGCGTCGTTCGACGCAGGCGGGCGCCGCGCGGTCGAAGGCTCAAAGGAGAGATGGTATTCAGAGGGTGGTGGCTCCCTCTTCCTTGAATGACGCCGAGTCCGTCGCGGCGGCGGCCGATGCCGCATGCCGGTTAGCCGGTAGAGGTATGAAGCAGGCCGGCGACGTCGCGCGCACGCTCGCGGAGACGCTGTTCGCCTTGAACACTACGACGGCGAAGGAGAAGCCCGGGACTAGGAAGCGAGGCCGCGTTAAGGAGAAGGCTCCATCTTCCTCCTCAGAAGCGGCGGCTTGTGCGATCGGTCGCATTATCCTGCGGAACGATCCTACCGCGCGAGACGCTAGAAAGCAGCTCATGCGCGACGCGAAGGCCGTCGACGCGTTACATGCCGCTTGCAGAGCGTCGTCATGTCGCGACGCGGCGCTCATGGCAACGTTGGAGGCTCGACTGGCCGTCCTCAAGTTTTCTGCAAGGGAGGCTTCTTCCGAGGCCGACAAGGTCCTGGCCAAAGATCTCAAAAGAGCTTTGGATGCCGCTGTGGCGCTCGTGGAAAGCGGCGAAGAGATCCTGTCGCCCGAGTTAGCTCGACAGAGGACCGATGAGATTAATGAGGATGCTGGTGGGACGAGCGACGCTCCTTTTAGAGCTTGCTGCGCCGTCGCTACATCAGTGGTGGCTTCTTCGGGCGCGCCCGCGACGACGCGGGTCTTGGCTGCGGCGTGTGAAGCGTGGCTCGGAGAACCACCTTGCGTCGAGGCCGTGGCGTCGTTGGCCGTCGCGTTGCGGTTGCGCGGGGAATTATCGGGAGACGCCGACGGCCCGCTAGCTTGTGCGTTATCAAGGTGGCTCGAGCATGACAGCGACGGCGCGCAACGGGCGGTCCGCGCGTTGGCTCGAGGTGAAAGATTGGAGGACTTCGTCGACGCCGTCCGGGAGCGCTCCTCTGGTATGACGCCGCAGACGCCGGGCAAGGGCCGCGTCCGGGCCGATCCGTTGCTCGCGGCGCTGCAGGCGCACGGCGTCGACGTGCGCCGCGGCGCGCTCGGCGACCGGTCCAACGACGTTGTTGCGGCGGAGCCGATCCTTTCCCAGGCGTTCTGATCCCCTATCCCTGTCTAAGCATGGCAGCAAGTGTAATCGAAAGCTTGAAGCTTGCTAGTGTCTTACAGTCCGCTAGCCCACGCGGGCTACCTAGATTGGTGCTTGGTGCTTGTAATCGATAAATCGCCGCCGCCGGGACGACAAGCATAACCTGGCGTGATTGAAAATCAATCCTTATGGATAATGCTACAGCTAGCTCTCCTCTCCTGGACCTACCAGATGACCTCCTGCTGCGCGTCCTAATCGGCGTTCCACGCGCCGACCACGGCGCCACGGCCGCCGCTTGTCGCGCATTTCGAGCGGTTATAAGCGGCCCGCGATTTCTCCGCCTGCGCCGAGAGTGGGGCTTTGCGGAGCGCGGCATCGTCCTGGAGGAATTGCCTCCGATGCCACACGGCTGCATGTGCGCGTCGTCGGGCGTCATCGGCGACCAGCTGTTCATCGTGGGAGGCTTCATTCTAGGAGACAATCAGTTTGGAAACCACACAAATATTTTGCAGATCTACGACATTTCCACTCGGACGTGGCGATTAGGGGCGCGGCATCCAGAAGTACCGTCCGGCGGCTGGCGGATATTTGTTGCTGACGGGAGGTTGTTTATCGAAAGCCACGCATTTTTTTACAATTATGACCCGCAGTCCGACACATGGACCGACCTCGGGCGGCCGTTTTTCCGCGGAGAGTTTGACGAAACGTTTGTTTATAGTCATTTCTGTGAGTGCGTCCACAACGGCCGCATCGTCTTCTTCTATAGGGACGGCGTGGCATGGGAGCGTGCCAACGACGGCTCGTGGTCACGCTACGAAGCCGTTGAACCCGAGGCATTCCGCAACCTCAATGGGCCCCTAGGAGCGTTTGGATCCGTCCTCCTCGGCTAGCTAGAAGCTCCGTGTAAGATTTCAACATTCGTACGTACGACGTAGTACCTAGGACCCCTCACGCCATCGACGCGATCCTGCCTCGAGCACTTATATATATTATATATGAGTCCCCAAATTCAGAAATCACCATAGCCGTCCACTGAGACCATTTCTTTACGAATAGCACCCAAGGATTCAGCAGCAAGAAGCTAGCGTGTGACATACTAGCAAATCTAAAGATACGCCCCGATAGCGTCAAAAGAATGACCCAAATTCAGAATACATCCCAGTCGATCGCCGCGACCAAAGATTTTAGAATAGAGGCCCGGGAACATACCCTCGCGCCTCCCGGAAGGCACCGCCCGCGACATTCGCGGATGAGTCTTACGAGTTTTCAAAGTAGACCAGCGATTAATGCCGCCATCTACCGTCCAGATAGGACATTATATCAACTCCAGCCCAGTTTTCATCCACAATCGACGGAACCGGAGCCGACGGCCCGCGCTCGGAGGGCCGGAGAAGAGTTCTACTAGACAACTCCCGAGTTTATGTTCGTTTCCCTCCGTTTGTTAGTGGTAGAGTCCATCTAGCCCGCATCAGCGCCCACTGAGCTATTTGAGGTGATCCGTATGAGCCGCGGGATTCGGCAACTTTGGTACCGCGCGTTTATACACAAACGACAAAATAAACTAAACCTGCGAGTATCAGCGACGCCACCATCCAGATGGACCATAACGCCGTTGTTCTATTCACAATCGACAGACTTGCCCGTTCTCCGCGGGCGACGGTGTGTAGACGGAGCCCCGGAAAGGCCCCAGACCGATGAGTTATAAAATAAATTTGCGTTTCGGGCGTTTTAGTTGTGAGACGGGCCAGCCAACCGGGCTAAACTGCTACTACATTGCTCCGAGACCCCAAGATGCTCGGCGCGGATCTCCGAGCCCGAGACCGCACTATCTTGCTAATTTGGGCTCAAGACCTAGACCTGCGACCATCAGCCCGTGTACCATCACCATGGACCATAACGCGATCGTTTGTTTCATGACCGACCGACTTACGCGAGGTCCAGATAAAGATGTTCACGTCCCGAGCGTGGGCGGCCAAAAGTACCCTTCTCGTGGTGTAGATGTCATATATTTGTAATTGACTATCGGTGGGGTAGTATGGGGTCCGAAGAGACCGCTATTGTGGTTCCTGGGGGCCTAGAGAAATTGACGTTTTTTACGGGGACGGGGCGCCATCGGGCCCAAATTGCTCACTTTTTTCGGGGGCAGATCGGCTCGCAGACGCCCTCTGGGATAGGCCTGGGGTCGGGTAGTCACCTGCACCGCATGCGCCGGTTCTTGGGGCCCCCCGGAGAGCTCTGGATCGAAATCTTTGGGAAACCATGGTCCAGTGCCGTGGAGCGCCAAGGACCTTGGGAGATGTATCTTAGACTGGAAGTGGCGGCGTAGGCGGTTGCGCATGTCTAATACCGACCCGTAGGCGACCCCGGGAAACCTCCGGGCCGCGGATGGACAGGATTCCATCGACGCGGCCGCCCTGGTGGCGTCGTCAATATCGCGAATTAAAAAAATTATTTTTTTCGGCCCCCAGTACGTGTCCCATTGGTCTCTTTGGACCAGTAGCGAACCGAGCAGTCTCAAACGGCTGCATGTCGCGTGTTCGTGCTTCAACCCAGCAGCTCCCCCCCCCTCCCAGCCTTCTCCGAATACCCTCTTCCTCACGTTTGTTCCGCTCCCGATTGCTCGCTGTTAACTTGAACGAGTGCTAGAGGGGTGAAGGGAGGCCTAGAGGGGTGGCTCCGCGGGCTAGAGAATGACAAGCATGGAAGCAGAAGGCCTGGACGGCCCGCTGGCAGGCCACTGTGAGTGTGGTACGCGGTTATCGGTGGATATCGCCGCATTCGCAGGGCTACTGGTATCGTGAGCGCCTGCTGCCGCGAAATCGCGCTGTCAAACGGCGCTCACGCGAAGCGGTGAGCTCTTAAAAATCACGCCTCCGGCTGTCGCTGTCGTGCGGCGCGTGACGGCCAAAACGCTCTGCGTGTAAGCTACTCAGGGACGACGCGCGACGCCTGGCGCGGCAACCTGTGAGCTGCGTCGCATAGAAGCCATCGTACCCACGCGGAAGCCGCGACCGACGTGCAAAACTCAAAACTACGAGTTCCGCGCCCGACGGCTGCAATAGCAACCAGCCACGATGAAGACCAGCGACCGCCCGCCCTCGCCGCCGCTCAGCGAGCAGCAGCGCCAGGAGCGCGCCCGCGCCGAGGAGAAAAAACGATTAAAGCGCGCGGCCAATAGACGCTCGGCATGCACCTCGCGAGTCCGCAAGAAGCAGTTCGTCGAAGAAATGACGGCGGCGAACGCCCAATTGCAGCTCTACTCCGAGATTCTCGCAAGGGCGCCGCCCACAGTTACCGTCGACCAAAATTGCCGCCTCCGCTTCGCGTCGCAAGCGGCCAAGGATTTGCTGGGCATCACGTCTGCCGAAGACGTGGACTTACGCTCATTGCTAGCGGACGGTCCTGATAGACCGAGACAGGCGCAGTGGCTCGCGCAAGCCGCGGGCTGTGAGCAGAAGCGCGACGCGAGTCCGCCGTCCTCATCTAGTTCACCGCGAAGGGACGCGAACTGGCCGCCCCAGGAGTGGTCCGACGTCAGACACGCGGTCTCCAATAGCTCAGGTGATTCTGGTGGTTCGAACTCGGACCGGCGCGGCGAGTCGAGCAGCAACAACGGGTCGAGCGGCGGCAGCCACGACGGCTCCGACGACGATTCGAAAGAAAGGGTGGACACGCAAGTGCCCCGCGCGCCGCCGCCGGCCAAGAAGTACGACGAGGACACGGAGATGGCCGACGCGTCGAGAAGCGGCTCGTCGACGGAGCGCGGCGCGTCGCCGTCGAACTCCGACACGAACGTGAACTCGAACTCCTCGCGGGACGGCTCGACGCAGTCCGACGACGAGCACCCCGACCTCGACGTGTGTCGGCTGGAGCTGGTGTGTCGCGACGGGCGCGTCGTGTCCGTCGACGCCGCGCGAGGCGGCGCCTTCGCCTCCAATAGAGCCGCTCCTGTGGTGGAGGACGACCGGCCCCGGCGAGGCGTCCGGTCGCCGCCAACCTCACCTTTCACGCGGCAGCCGTCGTCGCCGTCGCGGCCGCTGGCGCGCGGCGAGAGCCACGACTCCCTGGCTACCGCCACAACAGTGCCGCCGCCGCCCGGGCCCTCTGATCCTAGAGAAACGGTACTGTCCTTGCGGCCGGCCTACGAGTACGACGACGCGTCGGCCTGGCTCGGCTCGCTCACCGTGGGGCAGCCGACGCAGGCGCCGCCCGGGGCGGCCGCTACTGTTAGGTCGGCGGTGTCCGAGGCGATCAGATCCGCGAGGCAGCCGCCGCGGTCGCCGCCGCGCGTCGAGGACCTCTGCGCCGACACGAACACGTCGCCGGCCGAGCTCCAGTCCGTCGTCGACGGCCTCATGCTGATCGCGGGGGCCGTGCCGCCTTCCACCAGCTGACCTCCTCCCCTTAGACACACCTCCCCTCCTTCCTCAAATTGCCCGCGCCCTAACAATGGCGTCCACATAGTCGTTGCGTGGGGGGCGCGGCGATGGCGTCATTTTGCCCGTTCCCGGCCGCCCGCGCGCCGCGGGGTGGGTCTGCAGGCCGGCGCCTGACTACCAGGCCCCGTAATGGGTACTACTAGACCTCGCGGAGCCAAGGCCCATGCTGATTTCCTCGCGCGCGCGGTTCAGTGCGGGCGCAAGCTCTCGATCGACAGGCGGCTCCGGAGGGCTTTTGCATCGCAGGGCTGCCCCCGAGCGACAAGATGATCCTCACGCAGTGCGCCGTCTGCGCCACCGAGCTTGGGCTATCCTTGGGCAAGAAATGCGGCCGCTGCAGCACACGCTACTGTGGGCCCGAATGCCAGGTGCAGCACTGGAAAGAAGGCGGGCACGACCAGCTCTGTAAGAAAATAAAAAAAGCAGGCGGCGCCGAGCAATACAACGCAAATGAGAAGTACGCGGAGGCCGTCGCGGTCGCGGTCAAGAAGTGCGCGGAGGACACGAAGGGCCAGACGTGCTACATCTGCACGCAGGCTTTGCATTGGAAAACGAAGGAGGGCCTCGTGCGCGGGTGCGCGTGCCGCGGGACGGCGGGCTTCGCGCACGTGTCGTGCCTGGCGGAGCAGGCGAAGATTTTGGTCGCGGATGCCGAGGAGAGGAATTTGGATGATGATAAGTTCGAGCGGTGGTACACGTGCGGCCTGTGCGAACAGGAGCATCATGGCGTCGTGCGGTGCGCGCTTGGGTGGGCTTGCTGGAAGACGTATGTGGGTCGGCCGGAGACGGACGCGGCTCGGCGCTTAGCAATGGGCTTGCTTGGGAATGGTTTATCCGCGGCAAAACATCACGAGGACGCCTTGGCCGTGAAAGAGGCCGACTTGTCTACGATGCGGCGCCTTGGCGCGTCAGAAAATAATATTCTCGTCGCGCAGAGCAATCTTGCGAACTCGCATGTGAGGCTTGGACGAAACGAACAGGCCTCAAATATGCTTCGAGATGTATACTCCGGACGTTTGAGGCTCAATGGCGAGGAACATCAATCAACCCTCCGAGCTGCCCTCAACTATGCGATTCTCCTTGCCACTCTAAAGCGGTTCAAAGAGGCCAAGTCGCTGCTGCGCCCTGCGATTCCCGTGGCGCGGCGTGTTCTTGGTGAGAGTCATGATCTTACGCTCTCGATGCGGTCGATTCACGCCTCTACGCTCTACCTGGACCCCGGTGCCACCCTCGACGATTTACGCGAGGCCGTGATGACGCTCGAGAATGTGGCACTCATCACCCGGCGCGTGCTTGGCGGCGCGCATCCGCTCGCGGTGGGTTTTGAGGGCAGCCTGCGAAATGCGCGAGCCGCGCTCGCCGCCCGCGAAGGCGACGACGTGAGCGCCCTCTGCGACGGGGTCGACGCGATGACGCCGAGGGGTGCGTAAGAATATCCATCTGCTACTCGTGCTGCTGGGAAATTGCCACGCGCGTCGACGCTCCGCGAAGCCCGGGGCGCGTAAAAACTCAAGGAGCGCCTCGGGAGACCTGGGAAGACTCCACGACCGCTCGCGCCGCCGCCGCGACGCGTCCGCCGCGGCCGGCCAGGCGCCTGCCGCAAAAGTTCCGCAAAGAGTGGACGAGGCTGGACGGCCTCGCAAGCGCTGCAACGCAGCACGCTGCCGCCGCGACCCCACCGACGCCCGAGGGCAGCCATGGCCGCCCACGCCGTCGCCACCGAGATCAAAGCACTACTACCACAGGCACAGGTGAATGTCGACGTCGGCTTCAGACCGGGGACCGAGCTCGGCATCGACGTCGAATGCGTCCGGGAGTGGGCTATGGTCAGGAGAGCGCCGATCCATGCCAAGGTGCAGAAAGGCGACGTCCTCAGTGCGATCGACGGAGAGGACGTGCTCCTCGAGAGTTACGAAGCCATGTTCTCGCGGGTGCTGAAGGCGAAGACGTCGGGGTTGCCGTACACGCTGACCTTTCGGCGGGCGCCTTGTTGTCGAGGGTGGCTGCGCAAGAAGCCCCGCGAAAGTTCGAGCAAAGACGGGCACAAATCACTAGGAGGCTGGAAAACCCGGTTCTTCGAGCTGTCCTGTGGTGAACTGGTGTACTTTGAGAAGGAGGATGGTGCCGAGAAAGGTCGCTTCGCGATTGACGGCTGTTCTATAGCTGTGGACGAGGTGTTGACGGTCGAACGCGGTGAAGAGAAATTGGTCGTAACAGCGTCCTACGAGGAGTTGGTGAAGTGGGCGGCCTGGCTGCGAATAGCCGTGGCCTTCGCGGCGGGCGGCGACGACGCGTTCTTTTCCGCGGAGCGCGACCGGCAGGCAACACTGGCGGCGAGGCGGCGCACGTCGCGGCGCTATTCGCGGACGCTTCCCATCCCTGTGGGGTGATAAGCATCTTGTTGTGACGATCTTCGCCCGGACTAGTGTGGGGGAGACGCCGCGCGTCGCCGATCCATCGGCGGCGGGCGCGGGCCGCGTCTTTCAGGACAGCATACCTCCTTCTAAGCGGAGCCGATCAAAGAGCCGCCTCGGCAGGGGTCTGCTAGGCTAGCGGGAGAGCTCACTAGACCTTCCGAAGATTTTGACCATAATCGGCGGAATTTCTGCCGCGAGGCTGCCCATAGCTCGTTTTGGGCGACGCCAACTGAGAATAAGCGTCACGGGACCGCCATGGCTCAATTACGAAGCTGGCTTGCAGTGGCGTGCACCGTGATTTATGCCAGAGCCTTCTGCCCCCAGATGAGGCCACCTGCGCGGCAGACGAGGCCAGTTGCGCGGCATGACGCGCGGCAGACGACGCGACTCCATGCAGCGCCGGAGTCCCGGGCAGCGACCGAGGACGTCGAGGCCTTCCGGCGCGCGCTGATGCGAAGGCTCGCCGGCGAGACGCTCGTCCTGGCCGACGAGGACGCGCCCGAGGAGGAGCGGTGCGGGCCGCTGCGCGAGGCCGTGCGGGCGCTGCGGGTGCGCCAGCGCGAGGCGCGCGGGGGGCTGCGCGGGCTCTAGTGTGCTCGCTCCGTTTCGCGCGTCCCCGAGTAAGCTGTCTTTCTAATAAACCTCGGTATCGCGCGTGCCCGTCGCGACCTGTGCGATCGCTCGCTAGCGACGGGGTGGTGCTTTGCTAGGACGATCCCTCGATGACAATCCCGCGACGGCGCCGCCGTTCCGCGGCCCGCGCGTGCACTCAAACGTCGCGCGCCCCGCAAGAAACGTCGGCGCGGGCCCGCCCCGGCCGCCGTCGTCGCAACTAGGGCGTTTTTGCGTGGTCGGGTCGCGGTCTGGTCCAGGGTCCCAACCTGATTCGTTCACTGCCCGCAAGGCAATTTTTTCGCCAGGCGTCGAACGGGGGCTCGTTCGACGCGTCGCAGCCCCCCAATGACCGTTGCGTGGGCGGCCCGACCCACTAGCTTGCGTTTGACGACGGGCGCCGCATCTATCTTTTGTGCTCGCGCCGCCCTCGGCCAGTGCATGCAAAAGAGTGCGTGTTTTACGAGTGAGCCGCCGCGTCTTGAACTGCAAAAAACGGCGTGCGCGCAGGAAACTGCATAAAGAACGACCACGGATGCCCGCTGCGGCCGCCTCGCCGAGGACGGCGAATTCGCTGGAGAGAAGCTACCGCAGCCGGCATAGATTCGCGCGCGCGCGCAGGCTAACAGCGAAGAAATAAACCGACAGCAAGCATGGCCGACAAGAAGCCCGCCGGCCCCCCGGAAGTGATTGTGAATGCCGCCGCGGGATGTGCGACCCGGCGTCCGGCGAGAACGCATCCATTACTAGTCTTCTTCACTCCACCGACGCCGCGCCGCGCCTACGGGAAGCGCCGCGACGCCGCCGCGCCGCGCGCCGCGCGTATCGAAGGCGCCGCGCCACCGACCCCGCCGCCGCGCGGCCGCGCCGCGCCGACCACCCGCGCCACAAACACCTTCATGCACGCAGGCAAAGACGCCGCATCGACCGCGAAGGCGCTCGAGAAGGCCTTCGGCACGTCCGACGCCGACGGCTGCTGGCTCCTAAGCCTCGTCGCGTCCGACGCGACGGCCCCCTGGTCCATGACCTACTACGGCAAGGTCTTGGACGGCCTCGGCTCGAAGAAGGGCCCCATCAAGGCCGCCGCGAAAGCTGCCTGGGCGAAGGTCGTCCCGACGCTCCAGCCCGAGGCGGCGCCCCTCGAGATGAAGGCCCTCTACGGCGCGATGGGCGTGGAAAAGCAGTGGCCCTGCCGCGTCGCGGCGCTCGAGCGAGTCGCCCAGCTCTGCTCGACGGCTCCTAAACAAACTGCGGCGTGCCTCCCGACCCTAGTCCCGGAACTGACCCCCTCGCTCTGGGACACGAAGAAGGAGGTGAAGGCCGCCGCGAAAGCTGCGGTGACCGCGGCCTTCGGCCTCTCGGGCAACCGCGACGTCGAGCCGGTCATCCCCAAGCTCGTGTCGAGCGCCTCGAACCCCAAGGAGGTCGAGGCGACGGTCCACGCGTTGGCCGCGACGACGTTCGTCCAGAGCGTCGACTCGCCCACCCTCGCGGTGGTCGTGCCGCTGCTGTCGCGCGCGTTGGGCGAACGGGGCCCCAAGGCCACGGCCCTGAAGCGCCAGGCCGCGCTCATCATCTGCAACATGAGCAAGCTCGTCGACGACGCCCGCGACGCGGCGCCCTTCCTGCCGAAGCTGCTCCCGGGCCTCGTGAAGCTGGCGGACGAGATGAGCGACCCCGAGGCCCGCGAGGTCTGCGAGAAGAGCGTGCAGCTCATGCAGCGCCTCGAGAAGAAGATCAGCGAGATGGCGTCTTCGACGGAGGTCCAGGACGCGGTCGAGAAGACGCTGACGGAGAAGCTCAAGGGGAAGGACGCGGCCGCGGTCGCGTATGCTATCGGCGTCTGCAGCGCGCTCGCCGCGCGGCGCTCGTTCATGAGCAAGGACTGGGCCAAGGCCTGCGCGTTCGCTGGTGATGAATCGGCCGGCGGTGCCGCTTTGGAGGCGGCCCGCTCCCTCTCCGTCGTCGAGGAGGAGGAGGAAGAAGACGACGACGCCGAGCAGCTCTGCGACTGCACGTTCACGCTCGCCTACGGTACGAAGATCCTGCTCCACAACACGCAGATGAAATTGAAGAGAGGCCACAAGTACGGCTTGTTGGGAGGCAACGACTGCGGCAAGACGACGCTCATGCGGTCCATCAGCAACGGGCAGCTCGAGGGCTTCCCGCCCGCGGACGAGGTCAAGACGGTGTTTGTGGAGGCCGACATCCTCGGCGAGTTGAGTCATTACGCGTGCATCGACTACATCTTCAACGACCCGTGCGTTTCCCGTGTCTGAGTCGCCGGGGCGCGTCGATGGCGTCGCGGCGCGTCGTCGAGCTCCCCACGCCATCGTCATGAAGTGTAGAGCATCTCGCGACCCTCGACGCACGCAGGCGCATCCAGGCCTGCGGCTCCACGAAGGACGAGGTCGCCAAGATGATGGAGAAGGTCGGCTTCTCCAAGAAGATGATGACCGACCCCGTCACCACTCTCTCGGGCGGCTGGCGCATGAAATTGGCCCTGTCGCGCGCGATGCTCCAGAACGCGGACATTTTGCTCATGGACGAGCCGACGAACCACTTGGATGTGATGAACGTCAAGTGGGTCAAGGACTACATCAAGTCGCTGACGAACGTCACGTGCATCATGGTCTCGCACGACTCGGGCTTGTTAAATGACGTCTGCAACCACATCCTCGAAATTGCCGACCTCAAGCTGTCCTGCTTCAAGGGCAACCTCGCGGCCTTCGTGAAGGTCCGGCCCGAGGCGCGCGCCTACTTCGAGCTCAAGTCGAACAAACTCAAGTTCCACTTCCCGAAGCCGGGGCCGATCGAAGGTGAGTCAGCGTGAAAAATGAACTTGAACTTGCTGGAATCGCGTCGACACGTCGTCTGTCGCGTCGACGCCGTCGACGCGGCCGCTGGGGGAGTTTTCTGGCAGTTTCGTGACATTCCCGGCACAGGCGTGAAGTCGAAGGGCAAGGCCCTCATCAAGGTCGTCGACGTCTCCTTCAAGTACCCGCGCAACGACAAGGTCACCATCGAGAAGGCGACGGTCCAGGTGTCGCTGTCCTCTCGTGTCGCGTGCATCGGCCCGAACGGCGCGGGCAAGTCGACGCTCATCAAGTGCCTCACGGGCGAGGTCCAGCCGACGACGGGGACCGTCTGGCAGCACCCGAACGCGCGCATCGGCTACATCGCGCAGCACGCGTTCCACCACATCGAGCAGCGCGTTTCCCGAGTCCCGTCTTTTTCGCGACCGAGCACCCACACCACATTCATGACGCTACGACGCGATTTGATCTCCTCATTGCGCCTGCTCGACGGCGTGGAGGTTGACGGAGGTCTGTCGTGAAATACATATACACATTTACCCCCCTATCCTTATACATACATACACATAACATACATACATATAGGCACATGGACAAGACGCCGAACGAGTACATCCGGTGGCGCTACGCCGGCGGCGAGGACCGCGAGGCCATCGCCAAGGACACGATGAAGATCTCCGACGCCGAGCTCGAGCTCCAGAAGACGGTCATCGACTTCGTCTACACCGATCCTGATACGGCGAAGACCACGAAAACCAAAAGGGTCATCAAGCGGCTGACCGGCGAGCGCAAGACGAACAAGTCGACCAAAGAAAACGACTACGAGGTCCAGTTCAAGGCGCCCCACGATTCGGATGATTGCAAGCACTTCTACGGCTACAAGAAGCTCGTCAAGTGGGGCTGGGACAAGGCCTGCAAGAAGGTCGACGTGAAAGTAGCGCAAGCGGCCTCGGGCATGTTCCGGCCGCTCACGTCGTCGAACGTCGAGTCGCACCTCAAGAACGTGGGCCTCGACGCGGAGTTCGCGACGCACCACCGCATCTCGGCGTTGAGCGGCGGCCAGAAGGTCAAGGTCGTGCTCGGCGCGGCCATGTGGATGCAGCCGCATTTAGTCATCCTGGACGAGCCCACGAACTATTTAGACAGAGAGTCTCTAGGAGCGTTAGCTGATGCCATCAGAGAGTTCGAAGGTGGAGTGGTGATCATCAGCCACAACAACGACTTCACGACCGCTTTGTGTCCCGAGACGTGGGTCGTCGAGAAGGACGAGGATGAAATCAGCAGACCCAATTGTAGAGGCGACCCCGAGTGGATGAAGAACGCCTTGGCCACGAAGTGCGACGACCAGCAGGCCATCACGGAAGTCACCGACGCCTACGGCAACGTCACGGAGATCAAGGCCAAGAAAACTCTGACCAAAAAGGAGATCAAGAAGATGACGAAGGAGATCAAGGCGAAGATCAAGTCCGGCGCCGAGCTCGACGAAGATGAAGAAGCGTTCGCCGAGGAGCACGAGCTCTGGAAGTAGGCCTCTTCCGCTATTTATATGGCGCCCTCCCCCACGCGCTGACCCTATCCCACGTTAGTAAAGTATAGATACGTAGCTCGAGGTCGCGGCGTCGCCGCGTCGGCGTCAGCGGCTCGCGTAGATCGACTCGAACCCCCCCTCCAAGCTCTTACCCTAGCCCCCTAGCCTCCCTTCAAGACGCGCGAGGAATCACGCGCAGGAGGTCTGGGCCCGGCAGCGCACCGGAACTCATACGAAGCCTGCTCTAAACCGCCGCACTCGCGACACGCAAACGCAGACGACGCAGATAGCTCAACGGATTGGGGCGTCCCGCGACGAAGGGGGGGAGGCGACGAACCCGAACGGGTCCTGGCCGGGAGATGATCTCTGAACACGCCGCGCCTGCCATCGTACAGCTGTCCATCGAAGCCATCGAACATCATCGATTGCAGCGGTGGTGGCGAGACCATGGCCGAGCTCGTCGCTGAAGTACCGCCGCTGCTGAGGGCTGACCAAGCCGAACAGCACTATGCTAGTGCTGTTCGGACCGCGGTCGCTGCCTGCGCGGCCGACACGGCGGGCCAGACGTGTTTCATTTGTATGGACGGCAACGACGAAGAGGGCCTCGTGCGCGGGTGCGCCTGTCGCGGGGCGGCCGGAGTTGCGCACGTGTCGTGCTTGGCGCGGCAGGCCCAGGTCGCGGTCGAGCGCGCCCATAGGGGGTGGATGCGGTGGGACACGTGCGGCCTGTGCGAGCAAAAATACCACGGCGTCGTGGCGTGCGCGCTTGGGTGGGCGTGCTGGAAGACGTATTTGGGGCGGCCGGAGGATGATTGGGCTCGGGGGAGCGCGATGACGCTGCTTGCCAACGGTTTATCCGCTGCAGAACACCACGAGGACGCGTTGCTCGTGTACGAGGCCGAGTTGTCTATGCTGCGACGCAATGGCGCACCAGAGGACCGTCACGCAATTCGTCACGCAATTCTCGCCGTGCAGGGAAATCTTGCGAACACGTATCAAGCGCTGAAACGGCATGAAGAGGCCCTGCGGATGCGACGCGACGTCTACTCTGGATATTTGAAGCTTCACGGCGAGGAAAATGAACATACCCTCATATCAGCCAGCAACTACGCGGCGTCCGTTCTTCGGGTAAAGCGCTTGGAAGAAGCCAAGTCGGTGCTGCGCAAGACGATGCCGGTGGCGCGACGCGTTCTCGGAGAGAATGACGAGACCACACTCAGGATGAGGTGGTATTATGCGGAGGCGCTCTACAAAGACAACGGCGCGACGCTCGACGATCTCCGCGAGGCCGTGACGACGATGGAGGAGATTGAACGGACCGCGCGGCGCGTGTTCGGTGGCGCAAACCCGGTCACAGTGGGGATTGAGCGCCGTCTGCGAAAAGCGCGAGCCACCCTCGCCGCCCGCGAGACGCCGTCGCCGGGGAGCGCGTAAAGACCATCCTGAGCAGTCCTCGCCCGGCGGACGGGTCCCGGGGGAGCGGGAGCGCGTAGATCGACTCGAACCCCGAACCCTGGGCCATGGCTCTGCGATTTGATTCTGTGATCTATCCGTGACCAAGGCCGCGCCCGCCCATCGTACAGCTGCCCATCGAACACCATCTATTCAGCAGTGGTGGGCGAGACCATGGCCGAGCTCGTCGCTGCAGTGCCTTCCTTACTGGCGGCGGACCAAGCCGACCAGCACTATGCTGATGCTGTTCGGACCGCGGTCGCGGCGTGCGCGGAGGACACGGCGGGCCAGACGTGCTACATCTGTTACGGCGAGGGCGATGAGGACGAGGGCCTCGTGCGCGGATGCTCGTGCCGAGGCGAAAACGGTTTTGCGCACGTGTCGTGCTTGGCGCGGCAGGCGCAGGTCGCGGTCGAGCGCAGAAGCGGGCCACGATTTTTGCGGTGGTATATATGCGGTCTGTGCGAGCAACGGTACCACGGCGTCGCGCGGTGCGCGCTCGGATGGGCGTGCTGGAAGACCTACGTAGGACGGCCCGAAGCGGATGAAACTCGGAAAATGGCGATGACGCAGCTTGGGAACGGCTTATCCTCTGCAGGCAACAACGAGGACGCATTGTCAGTGAAAGAGGCCCAGTTGGCTATGATGCGGCGCCTTGGCGCGCCAGAAGACCAAATGCTCATGGTGCAGAGCAATCTTGCGAACTCGTATCAAGTGCTCGGACGGCTTGAAGAGGCCCTACAATTGGAGCGGGACGTATACTCTGGATATTTGAGGCTCAAAGGCGAGAGAGATGAAGAGACTCTCATAGCAGCCAACAACCACGCAAACCTTCTTATTCTGAAGCACTTCGAAGAGGCCAAGGCGCTGATCCGCAATACGATCCCCGTGGCGCGACGTGTCCTCGGAGAAGGACATAGACTGACGCTCAAAATGAAGAAGATCTACGCGGAGGTGTCCTACAAGAACCCCGACGCCACGCTCGACGATCTCCGCGAGGCCGTGATGACGCTCGAGGACGCGGAACCGAGGGCTCAGCGCGTGTTCGGGAGCGCGCACCCGCTTGTAGAGGGAATTGGGATTTCCCTGCGAACCGCGCGCGAAACGCTCGCCGCCCGCGAAACGTCGTAAGGACACTACTAGCTACATCGAACCGCGCGCCTTAGAACGAGGGGGGGGAAGGCGGCGGCAGTTCGAGAGCTAGTCCCACTTCATGCACGCCGACGCGTCGGTCCCGCCCATCGCCGCCCGATGAGCCGACGCCGTCACGGACGTGTCGGCGACGCCCTTCTTGACGTGATGCTGCGTCGCGGAGTCGAGGCCCGCGCCGACGGCCGGCGCCGCCCGCGCGACGTGCGACGCGACGGGCTTGTTGATCTCGGTCGACGTCATGCCCGCGCCGCTGGGCTGGTTCGTCGCGTTCTGGAGCTTCTTCACGCGGTTCGTCGTCTCGGATTTCACACCGGCGATGGGAGCGGTCGACGGCGCGATGACGGGAATCGGCTTCTCGGGCCGCGGCGCCTTCTCGCCGCTCAGCGGGTGCTCCAGCACGACGGAGTCCTTGAGGGCGTTGTCCGTGGGATCGAAGTGCTTCCGCGCGAACTTCTGCTGCGGCGGCGACGCCGCGTCCTGGAGCACGTGGCTCTGCTTGTTCGCCGCATCCAAGACCTGCTTCTTGGACGGCGGCTGCTGGACGTCGTTCGAGGGCGCCGTCTCATCTAGAGCCGCTTTCACACGAGAGTCGTCGAGGTCCGCCCGCGACCGCTTCGGCGGGTGGCCATCATTGGGTTCAGATTCGACGCCGCAGGGCTTGTCGTCGAACATGCGTTTGGTACTAATGTGCTGCGGCGACACGTCGCTCGGCTCGATGTCCTGGTTCGTGAGGTTGCCGTTGTCCGAGGGCTTCTCGGTGACCATGGCGATCGACGGGACGAAGGGTGCTTGCGAGTCCGTCGTCAGGCCCACCTCGCCGCCGACCATGGCGTCGGGCGGCGGCGGCAGGTGCTTCTTCGACTCCACGCGGGGCGTGTCGGGGCCGCCACTCCCTTCTAGTAAAGCCTCCATCGTCTCGCCGTCGTTGTTGTTGCTGTAGTGTTTTTTTTCCGTGTCCGGGGCCTTCGCGGGCTTGGCGCCGGGCGGCGGGGAGGCGGACTTGTCTACTAACAAGTCGGCGACCGTGTCCTTCGAACTTCCGGCGAAGGAGGCCATCGTCTCGCGACCTGCGGCGGGCGTCGGTGTTATGGCGGCGCGGCGCGGCAGATTGCGGCGCGCTTGCGGCGGCGGCGGCGGCGTGGGTGTGTGGCGTGGCCGCGCTGCGGTTTTGGCGTGCGGCGGGCGCCGCGCCGGCTCGCAACAGCGCTCCAGTGCGTCCCAGCGTGCTCTTCGTAAACGGCCCGCGCGGCCCCAGAAACGCGCCAGCCGCGGTCTCCCGTATCGTAGCGGTCTCACGAAGTGGTGTGGCGACGCCGCTGCGCGCTTCCCGGGGCGTACGACGACGGCCCAAAAACCAGTTGGCAAAGTCCGCTTGCTAGTGTCTTACTACCGCTAGCTGAACGCACAAAGCTCGCCCACCCGTTTCTCCACACCGAAGAGCCCTCCGGAGGCCCAGGAAGGGCTCCACGGAGGCCTCGGGGAACCGACGTCGCAGCGCCATGCGCAATCGGTTGGCAGCCGCACAATAGCAGCCGGGCTGCCCAACGATGGACCCATAACCCAAACCATGCTCTCGCCCGACGTCCTCGCCTCGCACCAGGCGACCCTCGAGCTGCAAGCGAGGGACGAGGACCGCCTGGCGCCTCAACAGGAAGCTCTATCAGCCCTAGAGGAAGAGCTCGTGCAGCGCCACCAGCGCGAGCTCGCGATTGCGGCCGAGCGGGATCGACTGCGGCGGGAGCTGGCCGGCGTCGGCCGTGAAAGATTGGATGAACTGCGCAAAGCTCAATCCGAGGACCTCGCGCGACTGGACCGCGAGACGGCGGCGCGAGCGGCCGAGCGCGCCGCCCTGGCCGAGGAGGTGGCGGCGTTGGAGCGGGCGGCCCACGTTGTTGAAGAGGAACCGATGGCGACGGCGCGGTCGGCGCGCTCCGTGAAGCGCACGCTGTCCGAGACGCGGGACTCGCTGCGCGTGCGCACGGCACCTGATCCGAGACCGTCGTCGGGCGAGGCGCTCCAGACATTAATCGGGGAGCTCGCGTCGCCGGCGGGGATCGCTGCTCAAGAAAGACGTATAGCGGAGCTGCGAGCGGAAGCTGAACCGCGCCCGCCGCCGTCGCGCGCCAGCGAGGACTGGTCGCCCGCCGAATTATTGGACGCGTGGCTGGAGGGCGACCCTCGCGGTCTGTTGCAGGGCGCCGGGCGGCCGCGGACGCCCCAGCCGCCGACTCCGAAGGCGCCTACTCCACGAGTGCCGACGCCGCGACAGCCGACGCCTAAGGCACCGACGCCGCGCCAACCGACGCCGTCGATGCCACCACAACAGCAGCAGCCGCCGCCCTACGGCTTCCAGCAGACGTATCCTGGAATGCCTCCGTACGGCTACGCGCCGCCGCCCTCATACTACGCGCCGCCGCCGCCCCAGCCCGCGCAGCACCAGGATTCTTCTCTCTTACAATTCCAGATGATGCAATTGCAGCAACAACAGCAACAACAAAAATTCGACGACCAGCTGCGACGTTTCAAAGAGGAGACGGCGCGCCAGTCGCGCGAGGCCGTCGAGACGCTGCGGAGGGAGAACGCCCAGCTGCTCACGGAAGTGCAACGCCTCAAAGAGCGGCACGTGACGCCCAAGAGTTCTAGACGGCCGAAGACGCCGGTGCCGATTCAGCGTCTACTTGAGACAATCGCCGTGACGCCGTCGACGTGGCCGCACGAGAGCCTACGCATATTGTGAGAGTGGGTCGCGTCGATGGCTTCGACGCAATGCCACGCCGCCTCGACGCCGTCGTCGTGATCACGCGATGCCGCGCAGGTCGCGCAAGCCCCCGCGCCGCAGCCCAAGGACGAGGACCCCCTCGACGCGTCGCAAAGGAAGGAACTAGTGGCGTTGGACTTTGAGTTGGAGAAGTGTAGGAGACGGGAGCAGCTTCTTGAGTTAAGAGATCGACTGGACAGAGAGGGCCACGAGGCGAGGCAAAAGCGGGAGCACGACTACTGGCTCGAGGCTCAGAGAAGAAGGATCCAGGCCTTGCGCGTCGAAAAAGCGTTGCAGCGGGAGGTGGACACGGCCGACGTCGCTCTCGATCCGTACGCCCCTCAAAAAATGCCGTACGACCCTAGTACGGGTTTCGGGGTCGTGCTCGACGGCTTCGTTGGTTCAGAGGAATACAGGCGCGTCCGCGTCGTCTACGCGTTGTATGACGGCAAGAATCCATGTGGAGGTGCGCTGGGTCGGTCTCGAGCGACTAGATGTGCGCGGACGTCTGATGACGGGTCTTGTTCATTTGCTGATCAACCGTCGTTGTACGTGTGTGGCGCGTCGAAACGATTGCGGTTGGTGCTCGAGGTGCAGGCGTCGCGCGAATTGGACGGAGAGGACTTTACGTGTGTCGGTAGCGCGTCACCGGAACCCTTCTCTTCTGGACAGTTGAGATCAGGAGCCTGGAAGCTGCCGTTGCAGAAGGGGCCCTGGAAGAGCGATGATAATTGGCCACCGTCGAAATACAAGAGCGATGTAAGGGTGCGCATCTTCCACGCGCTCGCGCCTCTACCTCCTCACAAAGTCGACTGTATGAGAAGGGGTGATAGGTATGCGGTCTGGGGCGGTACCGCTAAGGATGTCCACGTGCCTCCGGCACAACTTCCAGTGAAAGCGCCTCCTCCACTTAAACGGCCGTCGTCGGTGCGGGCGGCCTCATCGTCATCCTCGTCCTCGTCGTCCTCCTCCTCGTCAGAAGACTCAGACGACCCCGGCGTCCAGATCCCGGAAGATGCCTGGACAAGGAACATCGTGCAAAGCTCGGAGGATGAGGAGGACGCGCCTCAAGAGGAGAATGACGAGGCTATAAATGATGAGCACGGCTTCCTGGATACGAAAAGGCCCGCTGCCACAGAACCCTTCTCTGATGGTTCTGGCGTAGACGTGTTTGTCGACGGCATCCGCGGGCTGCCTGATTCTGCAGGCGCGTCCCGAGTTACAGTAAGACTCTACGCCCAGGGCGAAAAAGTACAAGATGATGTGGTCAAGCTTTGTGATGCGGATGGCAAGCGCTTCACGCCGAGATTCGACCTCGTGGCGGAGTTCCGTAGAGCTGCCTTCGACCCGACGAGTACGCTGCTGATTCGCATCGACGCGCTGGACGAAGATTTACCTTCCGGAAGGAAAGCCCGATGCCTGGGCTACACTCTGTTAAATCTGTTCCACGCCCCGGGCGACAACAAGGCCCAACCGGCCGATGAACAGTCCCAGGGCTACTGCCTCAACCAGGGTGGCTGGCAACTTCCCATCTTCACGCGGCCGCACCCCCACATTCAGACACTGCGCTGGGACGACCTCAATAACAATAAGAAATGGCTCGGCTGTTCTGTTTTAGTGCGAGTGCAGCCGGCGCCGACGTCTTCTGATGGCCTCGAGGTCCTTTCAAGGGCGACGGTGCCTAAACAACGGTGGGCCGCGCTGGGTCTTGACAGTCCGGCGCCGCCGTATAATTCGGGCGCGTACGACTCTTCGAGATGCTCTATAAATGCGCTCGACCGCGAGCTGTTCAAGCGGCGCAGGCGGCGGCGCGACCCTGGGCTATGTTCGGGCCACGTCGCCGACGCGGGCGGCGACGTGGAGCAGGCCATGGCGGAGATATTCAAGAACGGCGTTTCGCATTTCTTAGACATGCGTCGCATCGCGTCGTACGCGCCGGACCTCGGCTTTTCTATAGCGGTGGACGGCCTGCGGAACATCCCCTCGAAGAGGAAAGGATTGTTTAACAGCGGCAAGGACCCGCCGAGCGTCTACAAGGTTATTACCGTCTTGACGCCCCCGGGCCTATTTTTCCAGGACCCCTCCGTGGCCGACGACGCGCAGTGCGCGCCTGTGTGGAAATCAACCAGTGAGCTAGGTTTCGCTATCGATCCGACGCGGCCACGGCGACAACATCGCGTCGATGGCGTGGGGCGCCCGACATTTGATTTCCACACAGGTTCACGCTGAAACACGACTGGGAGAAGCCCTACAACGCGCCGACGTTCCAGGATGGCTTTAGACGATTTAGGGATAAACCCGGGGGTCTCGAGCTGCGCGGAAATCAAAATTCGGGCGCCCCACGCCATCGACGCGACGTCGTTCCCGGACCGTAATACTCACTGGTTGATTGCCACACAGGTCACTTGACGGCGGTCTTCGAAGTCCGAAGGTTTGATCCCCTGGTGAAGGGCCAAACGCCGCGGCTCGACGCCGACGACATATTCTTCGCGGTGCTGCCGATCCTGCAGAAGCCGACGCGGCCTACGTCGTTCCTCGCGCGGAAATCCTACGTCGACGGCGGAAACCACATCCTGCCCCTGTTCCGGGGCCGGTGCCCTCGCGCCGTGCTGGACGCGGCCGACCCGTACGAGGCCGTTAAGAAGTGCGAGGTGATCCCGGGCGCGTCATGCGTGGTGCGCTTGGTCGACGCGCAGTCCGACGCGTTCTCTGAGCCAGGACCACCCTACCGGCTTGACCGCGTCGAGGAGATTTGCTCGGCGCTGAAGCTGAAGAAGGAGGCGTACTCCTTTCCGGAAAACGATCTCGAGGCGAACGTGTTCCGGGACAAAAGGCTGAAGAAATTGGTGCCCAGGGGGGATGTCGAGACTTGCGAAAAGGTGCTCAATCAGGTGTTCGCGGAGAAGGTGGGGATCCGGCACTACCAGCTGAAGTAATTACATGTTTCTTATATCACTACAGGACGGTGAGCGCCAGCCAGCCGCCGATCAGGCTCATCCCTCCGTAGGGCCCGAGCTTCGCGAGGGACCGGTCCTCGTAGAATGCGACGGCGTAGTTGCTGCCGGAGAAGGCGGCGGCCCCGGCCAATATGCCGACTCCCGAGACCAGGCGCGCCCTCGCCGACGGCACGGCGGCCGCGGCGAGTAAAGAAACGGCGGCGAACTGGTGGTACTGCACGGCCGTCCGCCAGATCGTCTTGTACTCCTCGGAAACCTTGAGACCGTGCGCGCCGTAGGCGCCGGCGGCGACGCTGCTGCCGCCTAACAGCCCTGCTGCTCGTACTTGCCACATCTTCGATTTGTTTCGATTTGTGTCAGAGAGAGCACAAATGCTCTCCGAGCTGGTTTAGCTTCCGAGCTGTTATCTGTCGCGGCTCGCGGTCGTACTGCCTCGCAGCAGTATTTAGAGCTGCGCACGTGCTCGACCGGCTTTGTGATAATGGATGCAGCACAATAAGCGCGCCGGCAGTAAGCCTGGCTGAGCTAGAGTGCTAAGCTAGAGTGCTAAGGCCGAAAGAGCCCCCCACTTTGTGTAGCGCCAACTGTAGACCTGCAAAACCACCCGGAGAGATACTTTGCGCGTTCGGCGACCCGACCCCAGCCTGAAGTCTCACTTGCTTGATACTCGAGCCGTGACCTCAGTCCAAATGGCTGTACGAAGGATAGCGATGCGCGCGCTGGCGTGCGTCGCATGCGCCAGCGCGCTGGCGACCGGCCCGGCCCGCGGCGCCAGGGCAAGGCCGCGAACGGCTGTGGTTACTGAAGCTGCAGCCACAGATGAGCCGCTGCTGCTGCGCGCCGCGCGCGGCGAGAAAGTAGAACGGACGCCCGTGTGGATGATGAGGCAAGCGGGCCGCCACATGAAAGTGTACCGGGACCTCGTGGCCAAGTATCCCACCTTTAGGGAGCGGTCCGAGATCCCCGAGGCGGCGCTGGAGATCTCCCTGCAGCCCTTCCGCGCGTACGGCGTCGACGGCTGTGTGGAAATCAAACAGTGAGTCGGGTGCACCGGCATCGCCACGCCATCGAGCAGGCGTCGCGCCGATGGCTTGGAGGTCGCGAACGCGCCGTAAAATTTGATTTCCACACAGGTCGACGGCGTCATCCTCTTCTCCGACATCCTCACGCCCCTACCGGCCATGGGCGTCGAGTTCCAGATCTCGGAAGGCGGCGCCATCTCCATCCCGCCGATCCGCACGGAGGCGGACCTGGCGAAATTCAAGGGTAAAGGGGAGTTCGACGCAACCACCGCGTGCCCGTTCGTCGGCGAGGTCCTCGGCAAGCTGCGAGAAGAGGTCGGCAACAAGGCGACGGTCCTTGGGTTTGTGGGCCTGCCCTTCACGCTGGCCTCGTACCTCGTCGAGGGCAAGACGGGGACCACTTCGGGATTTGCGGAGGTCAAAAAGATGCGCGAGGAAAACCCGGAGCTGCTCCACGGCATCCTGTCGAAGCTCGCGGACAACATCGGCGACTACGCCTGCTACCAGGTCGACCAGGGCGCCCAGGTCATCCAGGTGTTTGATTCGTGGGCCGGGCACCTGCCCAAGGACCAGTACGAGACGTTCGCGATGCCGTACCAGAAGCGGGTGGTGGAGGCCATCAAAGCCAAACACCCGACGACGCCCGTGATTATCTACATGGCCCCTGATATCCATTCCAAGGACGGCCAGTTCCTGGATCTGTTGGCTACTACGGGTGTCAATTGCGTGTCGCTCGACTACACGGTTGATTTCGCGGACGTCAGAGCGAAGATGCCGGATCATTTGGCCTTGCAGGGGAACTTGGACCCGAAACTATTGAGGGACGGGCCCCTGGAGAAGATCAAGGAGGAGACGGAAAAAATCTTGCAAGCGGGCGCGCACAACGGCCACGTCATGAACCTCGGCCACGGCATCGAGGCCGACACGCCTGAACCGCACGCGAAGTTCTTCGTCGACACGGTCCAGGGCTTCCGGGCGAAGTAGGTGGTTGGGTAATTTATACGTTCACAAACATTCTTAGCTGAGGAGGTAATTCAGTCTTTCCCAGTCCAAATATTGCACGCTCAGGCATTCCACGGCCTCGTCCGCGCGGAGCGCGTCCTTCACTTCGACGGCGTGCCGCAGACTCGGGAAGGTCGCGGTCCCGAAAAACATTGTGTCGTACGAATCATCCGAGTAATCATCCGAGTCGTAATTCCGCTCCCACCTCCCGCCCTGGCCCGCCACGAGCGCCGCGATGCGCCCGTCATCATGCGGAAGGTCCCGCCGTGTGTCTACCCAGACTCGAAGTTCGCCCGGCCTCGCGAGGAGAGCTCTATCCGCGGCCTCGCGAGCGGCGTCGAGCACAGCCTGTGGAGGGCTGCCGCCGGTGACGGCCATAGCCAGCCCGCGCAAAGCTTCCGCGGCGGCATACGCGGCCACCGGACCCGCCTCGAAGGCGTCCAGGGTGTGAAACCAGCCCTGGAAGTCTTGGCGCCACTTCGGCCAGCGACCCTTGGGTATTCGTCGGCCGTCCGGCAGGTACGGAAATGTTCGACACTGCTCCCTCGCGAGGCTTTTATAGAATGCAACGAGGAACGCACGAAACACCTGCTGCCCGAGCTGTCTGACGGAGCTCACGCCCTCCAAGACGCACAGGCCCGTCACGTGTCCCTGCATCAAATCGAGCGCCCGCTCCCGCGCCGCGTCCTCGCAGCGGGACCGCCGCGTCGTCGCGTGCTCCTCGCCGAAGAACCGCGCGCACATGTTGAGCCGGCACAGCGACTCGGCGTCGAGGTGCTGCAGCAGCTCGACGCCGAGGACTTCCGTGAGCGGCGACAGGCGGTCCTCGGCCGCCTTCGCAGCACCGTCCAGCGATATTTGCCGCAGCGCCTCGCCCACCGAATTCAACGCCGACCCGTAGTCGCCGCGCACGCTCACCAGCAAAGGCAGCGACAGGCGCTCGACGTCGCCGCCGACGGCCACGCGATGCAACGTGGGCGAGCGCAAGGGCACCGACGTCACGATACCGCTCCACCCATTCCCAGGCGTAAACAGGAAGCAATCGGCAGAAGGCGGCGTCACCGTGGCCCAGTCGTCTTCTTGGACGACCTTCGGCGGCGGGCCCATCGTGGGCAGACCCACCTTGGCCACGTCAGCACCATTCCACGCGGCATCATCCTGCGGAGCTAGAATTTCGAGCCCCGGCGTCGACGCCCAAAGTAACGTACACAGCGTATCATCCACATGAGCGCCCAGCCGCTGGCCCGTGTGCCCGGGCGGGTACCGCCGCAGGCACAATCTCGCGTCGAGCGGCAACCGAGGCACGTCGGGCGCGAGCCGCCGCAGCGTCCTCTCCGCCAGCGCCGTGAGGTCCTCGCGCAGTTGCGACCAGTCAGGACCGTCGAGCGGGAAGGCCTCCTGGCGCGCGTCCGGTTGCGACGCGTGCAGTGCCGACTCTCGTGATGCCATCGCGCGGCAGCGCGCGGCGAGCGCCGCGTCCTCGACGCATAAAACTGGAGACAATTGGGCCGAGAGGTGCTTGCGCAGCGCGGCGACGGCTTTTTGCGACGCGTCGGCCCCCAATACGGGTGGGGTGAGCTTGCGAGGTGCCATGCCTTTTTTAGCTGTGGTTCGATCTCTTGTCTGCTGCAACGTGGGATCGCGTCGATCCGCGACGTGGAGCAGCGGTCGGTAAAGGTTGTTCTACGCGGCCCAGATGCTGCAGCGAACGCTACGCACGATCGATCACGACGGCTCAATAATTAATTCGACCGCAGCTTAGCGGCAGTAACACACTAGCAAACAAAGCAGCCGAGCCAGCAGGGCATCGTAGGGCAGCGTAGGGCAGCCCCGAGCGATTTGACCATATAGAAGATGATCCTCACGCAGTGCGCCGTCTGCGCCACCGAGCTTGGCTTATCCTTGGGCAAGAAATGCGGCCGCTGCAGCACCCGCTACTGTGGGGCTGAATGCCAGGTGCAGCACTGGAAAGAGGGCGGCCATGACCAGCTCTGCAAACCAATAAAAAAGGCTGGTGGCGCTGAACAATACAACGCAAATAAGAAGTACTCGGAGGCAGTCGCGGTCGCGGCGGAGGCGTGCGCGGACGACACCAAGGGCCAGACGTGCTACATCTGCACGCAAGCTTTGCATTGGAAAACGAAGGAGGGCCTCGTGCGCGGGTGCGCGTGCCGTGGGACAGCGGGTTTCGCGCACGTGTCGTGCTTGGCGGAGCAGGCGAAGATTTTGGTCGCGGAAGCCGAGGAGAACAATCTGGACGCCAAGGCGTTTGGTGAGAGATTTGATCGTTGGCACACGTGCAGCTTGTGTGAGCAAAAATACCACGGCGTCGTGAAGTGCGCGCTCGGATGGGCGTGCTGGAAGACATACATGGGCCGGCCGGAGACGGATAGATTTTGGCTCTTGTCGATGAGGCAGCTCGCAGGCGGTTTATACGCGGCAGGCCACTATAACGACGCGTTGTCCGTGCAAGAGGCTAATTTGTCTATGATGCGGCGCCTTCACGTACCAGAAGGGGTCCTTCTTGACGTGCAGAGCAATCTCGCGACAACGTATGCAAGCCTGGGACGGCATGAGCGGGCACTGCAGATCAAACGGGATGTATACTCCGGACGTTTGAAGTTACTGGGCGAGGAGCATGAGAGCACCCTCCGAGCGGCCAACAACTACGCGTCGTCCCTTAAGGATCTATCGCGCTTCGAAGAAGTCAAGTCACTATCACGCAAAGTGGTTCCTGTGGCACGACGTATTCTCGGCGATAGTAATGACGCCACGCTCAGGATGCGGTCGATGTACGCGGAGGCGCTCTGCCGGGCCGACGGCGCGACGCTCGACGATCTCCGCGAGGCCGTGACGACGCTCGAAGACACGGCACGGATCGCAAGGCGCTTGATGGGCGGCACGCACCCGGTCACAGCGGGGATTGAGGAATTCCTGCGAAACGCGCGAGCCGCGCTCGCCGCCCGCGAAACGCCGCCGACGAGTAAAAAATAACACACTTAGGCCGACGCCTCGTACAGCTCCTCGTCCTTCGGCGCCTCGAGCTCTATCGTCGGCGCCGGGTACCCGTAGAAGACGAACTTTTCCACCCATGGGCCCACGGCGTGGTCAATACTCAACCGGTTCTGCTCGCACTCCATGTTCGTGCCGTCGCGAACGCGGTACTGGACGGAGAACTTGGCAGTACCAGGGACAGGAACGTCATACGCATAGAATTTGAGGTCATTTGGATCCCACTCACCAGGCCTGATGGACGCCGTCATGCCCACCCGTAGCCGATCATACCCATCCACGGACTGTTGTATGGTATATTGGTTGGCGTTCGGCACACAACTGTCAAAAGCGAAGAAGGCAAACAAACACCGCCAGTGCGCATTGACAGGACACTCGTGCCCTGCTACGAGTCTATAAGATGTCGTGAGCTCGCTGCCGTGGGGCCACACTCGTTCTAACAAATGGAACTTCGTCGCCTTGTAGGCAAAAAACCTAAAACACCGCAGCCAGGCCGCCGCCGGCCGGTATTCCGTAGAAACCATATACCGATCCGGCGCGGACGTCCAATCGATATGAAACTCCGACAGGCCCGGCTGCGGCTCCGGCAGCGCGAAGAAGGACTTGAACTCGCCTCGCGGCGCACACCAGCTCGGCTCCGTGTCCCTTGTTTGGGGCTTCGCGTCGCGCTCCCACCTTAATCTAGATCGATGCGGCTCCTCCGCGCGGTCGAGGACGTAGCGCCGCGCGATGCCCTTGGCGACGGAGCCCTCCGGGTGCTCCGGGAACACGTACAGATACAAGTGCGGCGCCCAGACGTCGTCGGCCTCCTCGATCGATATGCGATGTCTATAAGGCCCGTCTCGAGCGGTCTGCGCGTTCACGCGAAGTAACGTGCAGTCCTCGAGGTGCTTGTGCGTGTCGCTCCGCATCTGCGTGCTCCAGAGCGGCGGGACGCGCCAGGCCTCGAGGACCTTGTCGCGCCAGCTCTCGGGCGGCTCGCTTTCCGCAAAGCCCTCTGAGTACATACCCCATGCCGAGTAGTCGGACGTGTGCGTAGCGGTGGTGTGGGCCGTGCCCGTCGTCCGAGCCGTCCAGCCGCTGTCCTTGCGCGAGAGATGGCCGGGCGTATGTGGGGTCATCGCTCTGGACGACATGCGCGTCATTTCCGATCCGCCGGTCCAGGGCCGCGATTTCCCGGTCGTAGGCCTCGACACGCCGGTCATCGGTCTAGATTCAGGAGAGAAGGTGTCGTAGTCGCCCCACTGGTCGCCGCTCGGTTCGCCGAAGGTGACGCTCGCGCCCGTCGTCGGGCGGACGTCGGGCGTTCGTTCGGGGCTCCACGTATCATCGCTGCCGCCGCTGACCGGCGTCCGGACGGTGGCGCGGCCTCGTGTCGACGGCGTGTCTGGCATGGTGGCTAGCTAGGGCTGCCCCAGTGCTGTCCACCGGCGTTTTCGGGTGCGCAGCGTGATGCTCCGATCGCTTGCGCCCTGCGGACGACGCGTGCGGCCGTGGGACCGCGCGGATGGCGGCTGATTACGAGCCCTCGGCCAACGCTCCCGGCGCCCCCTACCAACGAAGTATAAGGTACCTTACCTGTACCGATAACTCACGCCTCGATCGACGACGACGCCATTAGCCGCAGCGCTCACTAGGCAATCCGGACGCGTCGTTGGCGTACACGTTCTCGCCAGCACACACCGGCAGCGATCCAGCATCGTGCACGGCGTCGCGCTGCGCAGCACACCAAAGCACACACAAGCCTCCGCATTTGCCCAGGCGCCGCACGCCGTCGCACAGCAGACATCGGCATTCGCACAGCAGCGCAGCACAGCAACAGCAGCCATGAAGGTCTTCATCCACTACGAGGAACCGGCGGCCGAATCATTGAGACAAACTCTGAAAATCACCTTACCGAAGAAATGGGAAATGGGGCCCTGCTCCAATTTGATGGACACCTTCATCAAGTCGTACAACGCCAAGCATCCTGAAAATCAAATGGTCGCGTCGCAGTACCGTTTAGAAACCGAGATGCGCCAAGTCTTGCAGCCGCACACGACCGTGTGTGAAAAAGTTCATGATAGGGCTGACCTATATGTGAAGTTCGGGTCCGCACCCGCAGCCCCCAAACCGATGCAGACCGTGAACAACGACATGCTCGATCCTTTGGATCGCTGTCGCGCGTGCAAGCTGTTTGGGTGCAACAAAAAGTACACGGAAAGGGCGAATAGCGATGATGCCTGCCGCCACCACACGAAGCCGCCCGTCTTCCACGAAACCGCAAAATACTGGTCCTGTTGTCCGCAGAAGAAGGCCTACGACTGGGAGAGCTTCATGCAGATCAAGGGCTGCGCTACTGGTAGACATAGCGATATCAAGCCGGGTGCAGCAGCACCGTTGGGCGGCTCGCACGTGCGCGGCCAGACAGCTACGGACCCGAAGCTGAAGAAGATCGAGGACTTTAACGCCGGGAAGAGCGACGAGAAACCCCTGGACCTGCTGAAACGAGCCCTTGTGGCGATCGGCTGCAGCGCCGACGACTTCGAGGCCGCGCGGGAGAAGCTGAAGGAGAAGTTCAAGGACGACGAGAAGGAAATTACGGCGGAATTTTGTGCTGAGATCGGCTTCGGCCTCCACAACTTGATCGGGACGACGCAACCAGCGACCGGTGGTCCAGACCCGTATGGTGGTCCGCCACAGTTCAAGCCGCCGCCGAACTTTGCGCCTTAACATTAGTTTTATACACACTACGCACGTCGTGGAAAGCCCCACTCATTTCTCTTCGCCTCCACGAATCGCGCCAGAGCTTCAATTGCGGCGGGCACCTTCTCCTCGCCGAACCCTATGCGAAAGTACTGGTCGACGCCGTCGTCCGGATCGGGCGTGAAGCAGTAGGAGGGCTTCATGGAGATGCCCGCTTCGGCGAGCGCGGCGCCGAGCTCCGTCGAGGTGAGCGGGCCCTTGAATTCGACCCACAGGACACACCCCGCCGTCGGTTTGACGTACGAGAACAGGTCACTATTCTCGCCGAGGAAGCGCTCGACGATTTCTAGGTTCCGCCGTATGATGCCCAAATTCCTTTCTAGTAAAACATCGCGCGCCCGCAGGACCATCAGAGCCTGGAGCTCGCTCGCGCGCGCTGGGCACGCCGTCCCGAAATACATTGCGTCCTTGAAAGCCTGGCGCGCCTCGGCGTCGCGACAGGCAATCCAACCGAGCGAAGCGCCGCCGGCGCCGAAGGGCTTTGATAAAGCTCCTATGGACACTCCCCTCTCATATATATCGGCGATGGCGGGCAGGCGAGTCGCAGCGTCGTGCTCGAGGAAGCGGTAGATCTCGTCAGCCAGGATCCACGCATTGTGTCGCCGCGCGATCTCAACGATGCCCTCGAGCTTCTCGCGCGACACAAGCGTGCCCGCGGGGTTCCAGGGCTGGTTGATAAGGATAAGCTTCGTGTCGGCGCGGCACGCGATCTCCAGATCAGTAAGATCGATGTCCCAGCCGTTCGCGCGCGTCAACCGCACCTTCCTGACGGCGGCACCGGCGTGTAATGGCGCCTCCTGGCACGACTGGTAGGAGGGGGTGAACACGACGGCGTGCGACCTGGGCGTTTCGTAACCGCGTACAAACGAACTGGTCGCTTCCAGTAAAGCAAACGCCACTGTTTGTAAAGCGACCTGGCCGCCCGCAGTGATCAATACGTCGTCCGCTTGGCACGCACTGAAGATGGAGTCCGCGACGGCCGCGCGGCAGTCCCGCGATCCGCCGTTCGGCGTATAACCTAAAGGGTGGTCGCGGTACGCGGCGATTAATTCGTCGTCGCCGCGCTCGCGCGCGAGCCGCTCGAGCTCGGCCTGGCTCGTCGGCTGCGCGAACGAGTTCGAGAGGTTGTACTGTAGTCCCTCTCGATCATTTCTTGTGACAGCCTTGTGGCGCTTGGACCACGGCTCGGTGAGGGCTGCCATACGGTTGTCTGCTATTACTGGTGAATTTTTTAGAGCAATGCGAGCGATTTGGCCGAGCTAGAGCCCATTTACTCGGCCGGGCGCCGAGCAGCGCGGCAGCGGCGCCGAGGTCAAACGCCAAACGCAGCGCTACGCTGTCTAGCCACGTTCGGGCTAGCCCCAGCATCGATTATACGAAGCCTGAAGCAAGCGCAGCGCTGCTAACTCGCGAGCGCATAAGCCAGGTGGCAGTGAGAGCAGGCCCAGCCAGAATGGCCGTGCCGCCGCAGTACGCCGGCCGCGGCTTCGCCGACGTCGAGGTCGAGGGCGCGCGCTTCAATATCCTGCTCGGCACGGACCCGGAGGACGTGAAGCGCTGGCGCGAGCAACGGAAAGCGCGCTGGCCGTCGCGGGCGCGCCTCGCGCGCGACGCCGAGGCCGCGAAGCCGCCCTGTGGCCTGGCGGCGCTGGCGGCCTACGATTCCGACGATTCCGACGAGCCTCCTGCCAAGAAACATCAGCCGCAGAAAATTTGTCTGGCGATGCTCCACGGCGGCCGGTGCCGGCGAGGCGCGGAATGTTCGTATTCTCACGACGTCGCAAATGTGCCGGTGTGCCGCTTCTTCACCGAGCCGGGCGGGTGTCGGCGGGGGCGGGGCTGCCGCCACGCGCACCGCGCCGACCCGGTGATGCCTTCTAGGGATGCGCCGGGGTCGCTATTGGCGCAGCTCCTGCGGCACGACGTGGCTACAGAATCGTCCTTGGCGCTGCAGTGTCTGACGGCGCTGCTGGACGCGACCGAGTGACCGGTCGCGGCGGCGGCGCGCTTTCCGCGACCATCGACGCCGTCGACGCGGCGCGGCGCACCGCCTCTACTACGCATCGCCCGGTTTCACTCGTAATCTGTCTGTTTGTTACCCGCCACTAGATGCCCAGCTCGCCGAAGATGTCGTCGTCCACCGGAGGCTTCGGCGCCGGCGCCGGCGCGGGTGCCGGCGCGGGTGCGGGCGCGGGCGCCTCGGCGACGGCCACGGGCGCCTCCTCGGCGACCGGTGCAGGCGCCATGTCGTCGACGTCGTCCTCGACGGCATCGTAATTTGACATCTGCTCCTTCTCCGCCGCCAGCGCCGCCAGCTCCGCGAGCTCCGCGGCCTCGATCTCGGCCTTGCGCTGCGCGATCTTGACGGGGTCCGGCTTGTAGCCGTCCGCGGACTCCACTGTGGCTCCTTCAAAATTAACGGGATCGTCAGGGTCGTTCTCGTTGTAGAAGTCGGGCGCCTTCGCGCCGCACTGGAGACATTCCAAGCCCTTGACGAAGTGGCGCTTCAGTCTATCTTTAGCTACGAAGATCGTGAACCCGCACTTTTTGCAGCACATCGTCCGTAGCGCGGCCAGGTCCTCGTCAGATTGCGCGACGTAGTTGTAGTTCGCCCCGCTGAGCTTCTTGAAGAGTTTATTTCCCCTATTGACCGCGCCGTCCTCTTCGTCCTCGTCTGCCGTGTTGGCCGTCGGGTCGCTGTCGATCATCCGCAGCCGTCGGATGACGAAGTACGTGCAGATGACGGCCGCGCCGATGTCCGTCGGCGTGAGCCAGTTGAACATCCTTTGTAAACCGAAAATCATCGACGGCTGGCGCGCCTTGACGACCTGCCGCCGTCGCACCCGTAAGGTGTCATACCTCAGTGTGTTTCTCGGCGCGCCGGCCTTGTAGACGACGCGGCGCGACGGCGCCATCACCAGCGGCGCGACAGGGATGCAGAGTGCCACCATGATGAGAGCTCCTCGCGGCGCCATAGCTGGGCGCACCGAAGCACTGGTGCCGACCGTTTCCTGGAGCGCTGTGCAAGCGTGTCGCGTCGATGGAGTGACCGCTTGTCTGCGTGCGCTCGCGGTCGCCGCTCTGCCTGCTTTGCTGCAGCCTCTCCAAGTGGAGCCTCGCTACTGGACCCGTCGCTAAGCAGCGCTGTTGCGAGTGATCAAACGACCACTTCGCGCATGGAACGGTCGCGAAAGAAATCGGCAAAACCCGCCATCTTGATTCGACGCCAAGTTAGATTGCGAGCCAATTTTCTCGTGTGTGCCGGTGCCTGAGGCCTTCATATTGCAGAGGCGTGATCTCCGTATATGCCTGCGACGTCCTGCGAAAACCGTTTGCTCAGCCGATCCGCTGCGGGGGAGTACAGCTGCCCTCCTGGCATGAGCTCTGCCCGGCGCGGCGGCGCCGTGGCGCGACCGGCTGAGCTCTGCGAGGCACGGAAGCTGCAAGCGGCGGCACTGGCAGCGGCGCGGCTGGTCGTCGTGTCGCACGGCTTCAGACGCGGTACCGCTCCGACTGTCGGAGCGACCGATCGACACACATGCTTAACGCTAACGACGCGCGCCCGCAGGTCACACCGGGAGAGCATGGCGAAGCTCGCCCTCTGCCTCGCGCTCGCGCCCGTGGCGGCCGGCTTCGTCGCGCCGTCCGCGGCGCCCGCGGGCACGGCGCTCGCGGCCGACCGCGCGATCATCGGCGACGACGGCATCCAGGCGCCGGTCGGCTACTTCGACCCCCTTAAATTGGCCGAAAAAGTCAACGACAAGACTTTGTTGTGGTTCCGGGCCGCCGAGATCAAGCACTGCCGCGTCGCCATGGCGGCCTTCGCGGGCTGCGTCGTGACGGGCCTCGGCGTCCACTGGCCCGGCGCCATCGACATGTCCGGCACGACCTTCGAAAGCCTGGGCCAGGGCGGCCTCTTGGAGGCGTGGGACAAGATGCCCTTCGACGGCAAGCAGGCCATCGTCGCCGCTATTGGCGGCATCGAGTCCGTCTTCGAGGCGCAGAAGCCGCACTACGTGATGGGCGGCACGCCCGGCAAGGTCCGGCTGACGGGCACGACCAAAGGTGCTTTGGAGGACAAGTACGACGCCGCGACGCTGAAGAAGAAGCGGGACATGGAGCTCGCGAACGGGCGCTTGGCCATGCTCGGCATGGCCGGGTTTGTTTCGGCGCGGCTGACGGAGGGCTCGGTGCCGGCGCTCACCAAACTCGGCTTCGCGGCGGACTACTCGGGGAATTTGCCGTACGCGCCGTTCTAGATATGCGGGGGAGTAATAGTTGGGGTTGAGTCTTCGCGGCGGCGGGCGTGCTGGAGTGGTCTTTCTCCGCGCACTGGAGCATGGTAAAAAAAAGTCGGTCACTGACTCGGACTGACTAGATCTGACTGATGACTGACTGACTGACTGGTAAAAAAAAAGTCGGTCGTTGATAAATGTAACCACCGTCAGTATACTTCATCTCGATCATGTCGTCGCTGCTAGGCGCAGAAAAAAAATCCCGAGCCCCATTTCAAATACCTTTCACGCATGACGACGGTACGCCCAGCTTGCGGGATTTTTTGGAGAATGGTCAAGTCGGTCGATCATGAATCTAATACCGGTTCCTATCTCCGGGGGTCATAGTGCAGTCGCTGGTGCTCGCAGGTTTCGATTCTGTGCCCGTCTGTATATATAAAGTCGCACCCAGTACTAGGCGGCTTTCAAGTTATTTATATAGGAGTTTCTTACGCCAAGACCTACTCCTCATACGCCTCCACGATGTCCCCCACTTCCACTTCCTCCCAGTCGCGGAACGACAGGCCGCAGTCCGAGCCCGCGTCGATGCGCTCGACGTCGACCTTGACGCTGCGCAGCGTGCGCAGGCGACCTTGGTACATGATCGCGTCGCCGCGCATGACGCGGATGTTCGCGCTCTTGCGGATCCAGCCCGTCTCGACGCCGCAGCCCGCGACCTTCCCAAGCTTACCGATATCAAAGCACTGCTTGACGACTGCGGTGCCGACGAGTTCGCCGTCCGGCGTCGGACTAAGTACCTTCTGGAGCTTGCCCTCGATCTCCTCCAAGACATCATATACTACAGAGTAGTAATTGGTACGAACAGCACCCGACAATCTACGTTCCTCGTCCATGGCCGCAGCGTTGCTCCCGACGTTGAACGCGACCACAAAAGCACCTTGTACCGACGCGACGGCGATGTCGGACTTGGTCAGGTCCCCGACACCGCTGTAGATCACCTTGGCCTTCACTCTGGAAACGTCGTCTTGAACGTCGAGGCCCTCCAGGGACGACGTGATGGCCTCCACGGAACCGGCGGTGTCAGCCTTAAGTACAATTGGGAAGGTGCGTTCTTCCTTGATGCCCTCGCCGCCCAGGTTCGCCATGAACTTGTCAAAGCCTGAGGACGACGCGGCGCGCAGTTTCGCATCCCGGGCCTGATTGGCCAGCTCGTTTCTAGCGTCCGCGAGTTTGCGCGCCGTAGGCTCGTCCGGCACCACGCTCAAGGCGTCGCCCGCGCGGGGCGCTCGGTCGGCACCCGTGGTCCAGCCTACCAGTCGCACCGGCGTGCTCGGGCCCGCCTCTTCCAGAGAGTTGCCGAACTCGTCCTGCAGCGCGCGGCACTTGCCCCACGCGGCACCGGCCGTGAAGACGTCGCCCACCTTGAGAGTACCTCTCTCGACAAGCGTCGTGGCGCAGACCCCGAGCCCTGCGCGGCACGGACGCATTCAGGAATCTCTCTCGCGGAGATGGGAAGACTCTCATGCGGCCGCGTCGATGGCGTCGAGGCAGCCCCAGCCTCGCGAAGCAGCCGTGTGTGTGGAGGCAGTGTGTGTGGAGGCTCCTTGGGGCAGACACGCGCGCTCGGCTGCGCGCGCGAGGCGCTGGCGCGGCCCCGCGGACCGCATCGAGCGGCGCGAGGCCCGCGCCGCCGCGCCGCCGCGCCGACATCACGACACCGGCGTGGCGGGCGACGCACGACGCCGCGACGGCGTCCCGGCCCCACCGCGGTCGCCGCGAGGCCCGCGCGGCGGCTCCAGGCGTCGCGGAGCGCGGCGACGGCGTGCAGGCGTCGACGGGCGGCCCACGACCACGTACGACCGGTCGGGACCGCTCTCCGGCGCCGTTATCGTAACTTCACCAGTACCTCTCGGAACGCGGCCCCGGCGCGGCCCGAATTCACTCGAAATCGCATAAAAAAAACACCCACCGCCATGATTCCAGGAAACGAAGCGTCTGAGTGAAGTGAAACCGCCTCTGAATCACGGGACGCGGAGATACGGACCCTTCTCCACGCCCGCCTCGATGACCGTGCCCGTCGCCGGCCGGTCGGGATTGGCCTTGAGGTCCAACAGGTCCGCTTGTAAGAGGACCTTCTCGAGGAGTTCATCCAGCCCGGTCTTCTCCTTGGCAGAGACGCGCGCGACGAGCGTGTCGCCGCCCGCGCTCTCCGGTACTAAATCGTAGGACATGAGCTCGCCCTCGACGCGCTGCGCGTCGGCGCCCTCGACGTCCATTTTATTGACGGCTACAACAACTGGGGCGCCCGCCAACTTAGCACAAGCGAGCGAATCGACAGTTTGCTCCTTGCAGCCGTCGTCCGCCGCCACCACTAACACGACGATGTCCGTGACGTTCGCACCCCGCTCGCGCATCTCCGTGAACGCCGCGTGGCCCGGCGTGTCGATGAACGTCACGGCCCTATCTTTGACTGGCACCACATAAGCACCTATTCCTTGGGTGATGCCGCCCGCCTCTCCACTCACCACGTCGGCCTCGCGGAGAGCGTCCAAGAGACTTGTCTTGCCGTGGTCGACGTGCCCCATAATTGTTACGACCGGAGATCTAGGTTGTAATGAATCAGGATCATCCTCGTCGATGGCGATGCCCGACGACAGGGCGAGGGCCGGGCCGCTGTCATTAGTGTCCTCATCATCTTCGTCATCATCATCAATTTCGTCGGCGGACGCGGCCCACTCCCTTCCAAAGCCCTCCACCACCAACCGAGCCGTCGCGCCGTCGACGTTCTGCGTGACCGCGGCCAACACGCCCATCTTGAGCATGAGGTGCTTGACCACTTCCGCTCCACTCTTCTCGAGCAATTCAGCTAACGCACCGACGGAGATCGGTTCATCTGGCACAATGACGGGTTTTATGGCTTCTTTTTGTTTGGCTTCGCGGTCGTCGCGGTTGCGCTTCCTCTTGAGCGATCCGCGGGCCCCCCGGAACTGCACGGGCCGGTTGTTGCCACTTCTTCTTTGAGGCGCGTCGAAGGTCCGCCGCGTGGGCTTCCTCTTATCATAGTCGGGTTTATCGGCCTTGTTCGCGAATCTGCGGCCAGGGGTCTTGTCCGGGTTCGGGACGTCGGCGACCGGTCCGCCCGTGCTCCCGACCCTTTGCGGAGGCCCGCCGCGCCGCTGTCCGCCCGGGGGGCCTCGCCGATCACCGCCGGGCCTCTGCTTCCTCACCAGTCGCATCGGGTTCGAGAGCTGGATGATGCGGCCCCGGCCTCCCCCTTGGTTTTGTCTGTTGCCGTTGCGCGGGCGACGGTCGGTGTCCGCGGCGGCCGCGGCGTCGCCGGACGGGAGCAACGTGTCCTCGTCGACGGCCTCGGAGTAGCGCGAGACGGTCCGTCGCGGCCTCGGCGCCTGCAGCGGCACGAGCGCGGAAGTGCATACGAGCGCTGCGGCGGCTATTATTCGTCGTCGTCGCGCCATGGCTACAGCGGTGCTTTACTCGCCTCGCGCTGCACTACAACTAGGGCGAGCTCTGAGTGCAACCGGACAGGCACGGCTCCTCGAGCAATGCGAGTTGGCGCGCCGGACGCTCGGGCCGAGAAATGACTACCGGGAGCGCTGCGGACGTCCAGCGGTCACGGTTTGGGCTTGCGTCAAGCCTACTTCGTTGAGCTCCAGCTGTGACGAGTGCCGGCCCCGCACGATTTTGATCGAGCGCTGGACGCGTCGACGCGAGGGGTTTGGTCTGTCTACGACTCGTCCGGGCTGCCCGTGCATGCCTCCGTGTGGGTGGGGCAAATTGGCTCCGCGCGGCTCCCGTGAGCCAAGGAGTTGGTGAGGGACTATGGGCAAGTTGGCTCCGCGACAGTGAGGGACTATGTTATATTCAGAGGAACTCAGGAGGGAGGGAGGGAGGTCTATATCTGGGGAGGCTCAGGGCGCCGGCGCGCCGACGGAACCGCGAACGGAGCCGCTTGTCGAGCTGAAGAGCGCCGCGAAAGAGCCGCTCCCGTGCTTGGAACCGTGCTTGGAGCCGTGCTTGGCGTGGTGGAGCCGGTGACTCTGCGCGTGGGTCCCGGGCGCGAAGTCGGGCGCGAGGGTAGGCAAGCCGTCGCCCAGATCCTGGTCCGTCGCGTACTCGACGGCCGCAACGAGGTCGCCGAACAGCGCCTGGGTCGTCGTCGTCTCGACGCCGTCCGGGCTTCGGTGCGTGTACTCGAACGTCTCCGGGAACAGCTGGTGCTTTCGCGGCTCGATGAACGCGTAGGCGGCGGCACTTTTGCCCTCGCGGTCTCGATAAACGTCCGCGTACAATCCTAGGAGCGGGAGCATGAGCTGCTCGCGGTCGCAAGGCTCCTCGTTCGGATGGCCGAGGCGACAGCACGAAAACTCCCCGTTCATCACATCGAGCGCCTCGGCCAGGATCTCGTCGCTCACCTGCGCGGGAAGTGATGAGGATACGCCATCGCCGCCTCGCAAGACGCCGGGCGCGGACCACTAATGGTTTCAGTGCCTCGTTGGTGTTGTAGTACATGTCCTTGGTGCCGTTCCGCGCCCAGCAGCTCATGATCTCGGCGCGACACCACGCGCGGAGCCGATAGCTTTGCGAGTTGCACGCGCAGCCGGTGTTCTGGTGAGTGGCATCGGGCGCGACCACTACGAAATAATCACAGCAACTGGCGAACGTCGGGAGCGACGCGATGGCCAGTTTCTGGACGCTCCGATTTTTCTGCGGTATCGATACATAATCCACCCAGACGCGGATCTTCTCCAGGGGCGTCTCCTTGCGCGAGTACAGATGAACGTTGCGGACGGCCTGCTGTAGTCCGTCGACGCTGCCTTCGCGCTCGCACTTCTTCTCTCGCCGACGTCGATGCCGTCAAAAGGGCTCTCGTCGTCGACCTTCTCAAACTTCGGCTGCGACGGCGTGCCCACGTTACGGTAGTACAAAAGTTTACCATCCCCTTCTCCGACGACAAGATCCAGGTCTCCGTCGTTATCTCGATCAGCGAAGGTCGGCGCGCTGTCCCTGCCGACGTCAATGATATCTCCGGGCCACATTCCGCGCCGGGGTTTGCGGCGCCGCCGACAGCGCAGAGATACGTCTCTCACCGGTTAAACCGTCCAAACCCTCGCGATTGGGGGCGAGACTCAATAAAATATGCCTTGATAGCCTGAAGCCTGAGAAACCCGTGCTAATCAACGGAGGTCATGGCTACAAAAACACAACACCTAAAAACCCCCCAGAAAGTCCCCACGCAACTTGTCCTGCAAAAACGCGGGCAGCAGCGACGGCCCGGTTATCAACGGCGGCGGCGGCGGCCTCGCGACGACCGGCGGCGGCGCCGCGGACTCGGGGAGCGGCTCGTCCGCGACCGCGGCGTCGGCCTTGTCAAAATCCGCGGGCAGGCGCGCGCCGAGGGCCTCCCGTAATTGCCGCCGCTGCGCGCCGTCGAAGCGATCGCGGAGCGCCAGAGAAGCCCCAACCAGCGCGTCCAGCAGGGCCGCGTCCGTCGCGCGGCCCGCGACAGTCACGAGCGCCGCCGGCCGCCACAGCTTCATATCACAAGCCGCATGAACAGCTTTCGAGACGACGTCCGCGGGCGGCTCCGCAGCGCTAAGCGCCTCGAACAAGCGAGCGAGCGCGTCACAGTCCAACGAGGAAGCGTCGATGTCGGCGAGGGCCAGATCAATAGCCGGCCGGAAGGCCCGCGCGTCCGCTTTCGACAGCGCGTATGCCACGTCGACCAACTCAGACGAAGCGTAGTCCGACAAACTCTCCCGCAGGTGCGCCGCGACCTTGAGCAGCACCTTTGTATGATCTCCTGCACACAACCCGACGGCGAGGCGCGCGACGGCGGAGGGCGGCCACGTCGTTACGTCGCCCACCTTGTTCGCGAGCGCCGACACGTCCTGGTTATTGGTAGAGAGGGCCCAGACGAGCTTGGCGAGGTCCCCACCGGACGCGTCGACGGCCCGCGCCCTTCTCAAAGCGCGGGACCAGTCTAGAGGCGCGTTTAGGGAAGCGAGGCCCCAGCACGCGTTCGCGAGTGAAGGCGCGTCCCACGCCTCGATGGTCACGAAGCGCTCGGAAGCCTTTGCGAGGCACGCGAGCTCCTGCTTTGATGTTGTGAAGGCCCACAACAATGAGCTGAGAGCGGCAGAATCGTAGGTCTCGATGGAAACGCTCGCCCGTCTTCCAATTGATGCAAAAGCTCTTCCCTCAAAAGCGCGGCCGTCCCGGTCCAGACCGCCGGAACAACAACCCAACGAAGCTAATGCCACCACAATATTCGCCGTTTCCGACGGACCCAGTTCGTCATCGATCAATCTTGTCCGCAGAGCCCTTAAGAACGACAAAAACCTATGATCTCGCCGCACGTCGCACCGTCTCCCGTCGGGCGCTTTCGCCAGCCTTCTCGCAGCACCTTCAAGCGCCCGAGGGCCCTTGGCGCGCGAGGCGATGTCCAAAGCGCTCTCGAGCGTCTCCGCGTTCTGGGCAGCGAGAGCCAGCGCCTCATCTGATAAATAAGCGGGCGCCGGTGGGCCCCTTTCTATCATAACGGGAGCCTGCTCCGTCACTTGCCGCTCGAGCAACCCGACGTCGTCCTGGTCCCTTTTTGCGATCTCGCCCTTCGGCGTCACCAGCCGGCACGCGGCGGTCACGGGTCTTTGACATTTATTGCACGCCAGTCGACCGGAGTAGTTGACATTCGTACAACCAGCACAGACCCAGTCGAAGGCCGATTGTCTACGAGGTTGCTTTGGGGGACGCAATTCCCGTATCGGTCGAATTTTCTCGTAGCCGTCGGACGACCTGCGTGGGAACTCTGACGGCCGCGGCGACGGCGTCACGATGGCATCGCGTCGACGGCGTCACGGCGGTGTGGCATCGCCTCGACGCCATCGACGCGACCACGGCAGCGTGGCACCGCGTCACGGCGTCGCCGCGACCCCAGCAAGTTCAAGTTCATTCACGACACGGAGCCGCGGACCCGTGGATCGCCTCGTAGCCGTCAAAAGGTATAATAGCTCGGCACTTGTTGCAGTGGACGCGCCCGCAAAAGTTGACGTTGTTGCAGAGCGGGCAGCGCCAATCTTTTTCCGGATCTCGCGTAGAATGGGAAGGATGGGACCGTTTTTGTGGTAATAAAGGCCCCAACCCCCCGCCTCGCCCGTCCCACTCGGGATTCTTCTCCTCGACCTTCGGTTGCGGCAGCCCGAGTTTGATCGTGGGGCAGACGTCCTTGGGAATCGTCGGCTGGTGGACGTATTTCACTTGAGCCGGTTGGGGCCTTGCACATCTATTGCATCTGTCTCGTCCCGCGTAGTTCACGTTGTCACAAGCCGGGCAGCGCCAGTCTCTGGTAACGTCTCGGTGCGACCAGGGGTTCTTGCTCAATTTCGTTTGCGCGTAACGAGGCCGCGCCGGTCGTGGTTTACTACATCGTTTGCACTCCCGTCGCGCCGAGAAGTTCAAATTCTCGCAACTTTCACAGATCCAGTCTTTTGATGTGTCTCTGTTGATCGACGTGTCGGGGTTTAGGGGGCCGGCATCATCTGAATCGCCTCGTAGTATGGCGACGGCTCTCGACGGTCGGTAAGGTACCGGATTTTGCACTATTGCAGGCGGCGGGGGCGGCATCGATGGCGGCGTCGGCCCGGCGGGGCGGGCGTAGGTCGCGCCGCCCGCCCGCTGCGCTGTGTGCAGGCCGCTGGACTGGTACGCACCGCTGGGGTAGTCGTTCCGGTAGCGGTCGTCTTGATTCATTTTTTTGGCGCAGCAGCGGCGGCGTCGCGCCGCTGGCGTCGCACCACGGCTGTCTGAAGCACCTCTGCTGCCACTTTTTGTTGTCACGCACCGCTACTTAGACATACTAGAGCTCCTGTGCTCGTACTCCTTGGTGCCCTTGTGGTTTGCAGTGGATTCTCTGGGACTCTTCTGACCCCGCGGTACGCCTTCGACGCGGCGCTCCAGTTATTTATCCTTAGTGCGCCGCCCCCGGCGCGCGCGCGGCCCCTCACTTCATTCACTTCTTCGCGAGGAGCTGGTCGATAACGGAGTAGAGGAAGACGCCGCCGATGCCGATGGCGCAGCCCGCGAGCTTGAGGGGATTCAAGGACTCGCCCATCACAATCGCGACGCCGACGATGACGATGACGCGCTTGGCGGTGTTCGCGACGGACTGCGTGACCGCGGACGTCTTCTTGATCGTCATCGTCGCGAGCTCGTTGTACCCATAAAACCAGAGGCCCGACGCCAAAACGTTGAACCTCACGACGGGGTTCGTCTTCCAGAGCTGCACGAAGCCGCTCCAGGGCTCGCCCTTCAACACCACGACGGGGATCGACATGAGGAAGGCCAGGATCGTCGTCAGGGCGAACTGGTTGCCGACGGAGCCCAAGCGGTCCTTGAGGCCCGGCGCGGCCATCACCTTGGCGTTCTCGTTGGCCTTGAAGGCCGCGAAGACGTTGGCCGTACAGGCTGCGATGAGGGCGCTCACGGCGAAGTCCAGTTCTTTTAACGATGCTAAGCACACACCACCGATGACGGGGATGAGCGAGAGCCACTTGGCCTTCGAGATCTTCTTGCCGTAGAGCTTCGTGCCGACGACGGCCGCGAAGGCCGGCTCGGCCGCCTTGACGATCTGGCCGAAGCTGACGGCGCCGGCGGACAGGGCGAAGACGGAGCCCGCGTGGGCGCCGGCGGCGCAGAACGCCACCGGTAATAGGGCAATGATGTCCTTGGTGTTGACCTTCGGGAAGCTTCTCGCGTCCGGCGCGGCCCAGAGGAAGAGGGCATACAACGACCCGACGCCCAGTTGTAAAGTTGAGATGGTCATGGGGTACCCTAAGGCACCACCAGCCGCCTTCAACGCGGTCTTGTTCGAGATGTTGTAGTAGTAGTTGCCGAGGTACCAGAAGAAGAAGTAGGCCAGGAGGGGCACATCCAAGCCGCCCAGGAAGCCCTTCTTCTCCGTCGTCGAGACTTCCGCGGCTTCGGCTTTCGTGGCGACCTGCGAGGCTCGCTGGGTTTTGCGGTTTCGTCGCGAGACTCCCCGGGTCTTGCTGAACTTCGCGGACGCCGCGTGGGACGAGGTTGTTGGCGCGCGCGCGGAGGCCGCCGAGGAGCATGGTGGGCTGTGCCTTGACCTGCAGCGTGCGGCCCACGCTGGCCGACGGGAGGCGGGCCGCGGGGCCTGTGAAAGCATAGGCGGAGGTCGCGACGGCTAAGATGAGCTTCATGGTTCAAACTTGTTAGGCTGGCAGCGTCACGACTCGCGATGCACCGAGCGCGATGACTATTTTTACGGCGAATAACGGTATAGACGCACTAGAAAAATCAGAACTCGTGATAACTCGTCGAAGGGACGCCCCCGAGACGCCATCGCCGCGGCAAGGCGTCTAGATATACCCACTTACGCCCCACTTCTCAGTACCGGTCCGCGGAGTAGTACGGCGACCCCCGGTCCTTCGCGTCCTTGACCAAGTCCGCGTACAGCTGCGACACCTGGAGGTGCGCGTACTCCGCCGCGACTTGCGCCGCATCTTCCCTATCCTCGACGCAGCCCGGCGGGAAGTCATCAACTAAACAACCGGCCCGTGTCACTTCGTCGAAATCAATAGGTTCGCCGATGGCGATGTTCACGGAGCCGCGGATGGCCCTTCGCGGCTCGCCCAACGCGCCCGGCGTGAGCGTTTTCGGCGGCGGGAAGAGTCGGTGCGTCATCATCGCTACTGGATAAAAATGCGTGGTTTTATCAGCAGCTTTGGCGGACATGAGCCGGAACATCTCTACGGACTTCGGGTCGAAGGCAGCCGGCGTGTAGACGCCGTCACTGTTCGGTCGGTCGCGCCCTCCCGACGGCGCGACCCAGATGCATTTCCCACCTCCTTTGAAGAGGCGGAGCATGGCCGTCATCGTCTTCGCGTTGTGGCGCATCTTCTTGGGCTTCTCCTCGGGCGGGTTGTCGATGTGGCGCTTCGAGTAGATACATAATAAATTGCGAGCTTTGCTGAAAGGTACCGCCACGACATCCGTCGTCACGCGGTCGCCGGCCACCATGATCATATCTCGCTCGAGCCGCTCATGATTTTCATGGAGCGCAAAGGACCAGCAGCTCGGGTCCGCCTCGGTCTGATGATTCGACAGTAGGACCACATTGTCACCTTTCGCTAATAACGCCTCAATGTCCTTGACACGCTCACTCCCGAGCAGTACCGAATCGTTCGGGTCGAGCATGGGCTCCATGAACGCCGTGTCCATCTTGAGATGGTCGATCGGTGCCCCGTTTTCCTCCGTCCACGCCTCATGATAAGGAGCGAACACAAAAGGTTCATCGAGTTGATCTTCGACCAACCCGAGGTACTCCTTTAGCACCGGAACCTTCTCCATGGGGTCCCGTTTTTGTTTTGCTACCACATCCAGATAAGTACGCATGAATTCTTGTACTATAGGAACCATGCCGTCGGGCATGCGGTCGCCTTTTTCTGCTACCTTGGCGCTGATGGTCGCGGCGATGGCGGCGGCGGAGGCTTCGTAGGCCTTGATCTGGGCCTGTGTGGAACCGTGTCGCGTCGACGGCGTCGCGCAGACACTTTGACACTGGGCCGCGGACCTGCTCGGCGAGCTGCTCGAGGGGGTTTAATGTTGTGGAGTGGCGCCGCGTCTGCTTGATCGTCGATTGCGGCGCGAGCAGGGCCGTCGCGGAAGCCAGCAGGAGGGCCGCGCGCGGCATGGTTGCGTGAGCTTTGGCTTGTGGCCCTGAGAGCTTGGTGGCTACGCTTCTTGGCGCGCTGCGAACGCGTCTCTGCTGGTCAGTGCGCTGGGAATGGATGTCGTCGAAGGGATGCCGTGTTCCCGACGATTCAAGAGCCACGAATACGGGAGCTAGGCCCTCGAATCCGGCAATGCCGTCACTGCTATATCGAGCCTCGAGTGAAGCCCGAGACGCGTCGAAGATGTCCGCAGGCGTACGAGGACGCCTCTCACAACACCACTAGCGGAAAGACACGACCCGGGCTAGCGTACTAAGACACTAGCACGCAGGCAAGGCTGTGGAAACGAGCAGAGCGCCTGACCACGCGTGCCGCGTGCGCCGCCGCAGCGCACAGAGGCTCATCGTCACTGCCCGCTGCAGCGCCGCGCGAAACGGTGCCGCCGCGACGCTCCAAAGAGCCAAAACGCAGCCATGGGCCCCAGAGCGGCCCACCACCTCTCGGGCCTCGTCTCCGGCCTCGCCGTCCTACCGCTCGAGCCGGAACGACCCGCGCTAGCGGCTCTAGGCGTCGGGTTTTGTGTCGTAGTGGCTTGCACGTTACTCTTTGACCCACAAGGCAGAGCTGTATTATTCAGGAAACTAGCTCTCTACACACGCGGAACAGCCATGATGTTGGTAGGAAGAGATAAAAAATGGTCCAAGAAGGGCCGGCCGGACCCGGCCACCGTAGCGACAGCGAAGGACAAGACTAGTACAAGGATCATTTTTGTCCGTCATGGCGAAAGTGCCTGGAATCTCATATTTAACGTCGGCCCCAAGATCCTCGTGCCCTTCAAGGCTGTTCATGCTCTACTGCGGGAGACTTTGTTACTCTTGCGGCTCGACGACGATTCCGTATTATATGATAGCCCCTTGAACGAGGAAGGGCTGGCCCAAGCGCGCGAGCTGAACGACCTGATAGAGAATTATCGGGGCGAACATTTGGGGGACGTCCAGGCCATGCGCGACCCGTCGAAGAGTGTTGTTTGTTCTTCCAACCTGCGGAGGGCGGCGCAGACGATACTGTTGGGACTGAAGAACCGCCTGGACTCGTCCGACGAGAAGATCCAGTGTTTGACATCTCTACAAGAAATTTCTACCAATGTCGATACTCTCTCAATAACACCGCCCCACAAAGCGCCAAGGCACTTAGGGAGTGGAGTCCCAGCTCGATTGGCTCATGCCGACCGGTGGGACCCGTCCCTCAACTCAGGAAATAAAAGATTGCGAGGACGCGGTCTGGAGCGGTTGCAAGCTTTTGCCGAGTGGGCGTCGCAGCAGGACAAGCCGGTCGTCGTCGGCGGGCACTCGTTGTTTTTTCGCGGGTTTTTCCGGGAATTCCTGCCGGTCGGTGCCAACCCGTTCAACGCTCGGGATACGAAGATCGCGAACGGCGGCGTCGTCGCGCTGACTTTAGAAAGAGGTACCGTCCAAGGTCCCGACGGGTCGTCCGTGGTCCAATATAGAGTCGCGCCCGAGTCCGTGGCGGAGGTGCACCTTGGTTTTGTCACCAAGAAGAAGAAGGACAAGAAGGCCTAGAAGTCACTAAGGACACATGTTACAGTAGTACTTCGCGGCGATGGCGTGCTGGCGGGGTAGACGACGCGGCTTCACGATTCGGCCGGGCGCTCGGACGGTGCAGAGCAGCGACGGTGGTCCACGACGTTGGCTGAGGCCCGCGGGAATGTTGGCGGCGCGACAGGACGAGTCTACGTCTCCGGGACGCGCCGCCGGCGCGCCGCGAACCTCCATGAATCCCCGAAGAGACAGTTCCCGAGGCACGCCAGCAGCGGTACGGCGCAGACGCACCAGAGCGGCGCACCTAACAGGACGGCTCCGACGACCCAGAGCGGGAGACGCGGTCTGTCGTCGGCGTCGAGGCATTTCGGTTCGCTAGGCGTTTCGCAGTACATCAACGTACACCCAAGTCCCTTCGCGCCGACCGAACACGTGTTGCACCCGTCGAAGTAGGACGCGCAATTTTCTGGTATGCAGCGGTCATAGGCGTCCTTCAGACACGCATCAGTGACGTGGACGCAGCCCTTGCCTTCCACATAAACGTAGCCGCAACTTGACCCGCCGCCGCAGCAGGCGTCCTGCTCCTTGTCGCCCGTCGGGCCGCCCACGACATCGAGGCACCGCGGCGGCCCTGGCTTCTCGCAGAACTTCTCCGTGCACGCGTCGAGGCGGCCGTTTTGTATGGAGCACGTGTTGCAGCCGTCGTGGTACGACTCGCAATCCGACGGGATGCAGCGGCCATAGGCATCTCTCAAACAAGGACCCGCCACGAACTCACAACCGCACTTTTGTGGAGTGCCACCCCAGCCCTCGCGCATCGCGCGGCGCCAGCGCTGCTCAAAAATGCGCTTCACGACCTCATAGACCTGGGCGTCGGCGGCGTGCATCGACGCGTACAGCGCTTCGTCTTCTTTCGTCGACGGCGCGACGCAGCTTCCATTCGTATTACCATTCACGACGGGATGTTTGGCATGCGCGCAGCAGGCTTCACAGACATGTTGAGGAGAGACGGTCCGCGCCAGCAAACAGAGCGACGCGTCATACGCTTCGACGATTCCGAGAAACGCGAACGCCCGCAGCCCGTCCTCCATCGCCTCTTTTCTCAACCCCGCGAACGCGGCTCCCGTCCTTCCACTATTACTGAGCACGGCGCCATGAACTAAACCTTGACTGATGCGGTTGCGTTGCGCGTGCCATCGCCAGTAGGGTAGACGTAACGCTTCGCCGTAGGAAGGCGGCCTTCCCGCGTGCTTGTAGGAACACTCGAAGCCGACCTCCGAACGATACCTCGAAAAAGGTTCGCGCGCCATCGCCGCCTTGTACACGTGTGGTGTTGACCAGGGCAGTCGATAGGCGTCGAGCTCTTCAAAAGCAGCACCGTACCTCGGTCTGTACTCCAATTCATACAAAGACGGATTGTGGGGCCGCACGACGCAGCACGTACTGTTGCGGCAGTTGGAGGTCCCGCACACAAAACGTGGTGCCACGCGATTGAAGGTCATCCCTCCACATTTATGAATGTGGACAAATTCGAGGGACGCTTTTCTATCGGTGGAAAAGGTCTGGGCGGCGTGGTACGCTTCGCTCGTGTCGTCTGTCGCTTGCGGCACCCAATGTATTGATGCTTTCGGGTCGTATGTGCCGCCGCGGGCCTTCGTTTTGTTATAAGTTGCGCGCTCTAGGTTGTTGTTGTGTATTGTATACGGTTCCAGCGTGTAGGCGGTTGCTGCGGCGACCAGCGTCGCCCCCAGCGTGGCGTGCATGTGTGCTACAAATGCATTGTGTGCTGCTCTGTGTGGCTGCGCTGCTACGGCCTTGGCGCGAGGAGCTGTGGCGCGCACCTTTTGCAGTGATCGAAAATGCCTGCGTACAGTCGTCTATGACCACTGTATCGACCGCTTTGGCTCTCTGTGCTTGAAAATGAGGCCTGCAAAAACCCGTGCCTCCTCGTAAAATCAGGGCCGAGCACGCCGTCGACGCGCAGATATACACATACAAACTTACCCCACTTCGTCGCGGTCGAGGAACTCGCGCACGACATCACAAGTCTCCTGCGGCTTCTCCGCGTGGACCCAGTGGCCGCAGTCGTCGATCGATTGTAATGTAAACCGAGGGAATTTTGAACTGATCTCCTGGAGGTGTATGGACCGCACGTAGCGCGATCGTTGGCCCTTCACGAATAATGTATCACCGTTGTAAGTGCCAGGTAGAGTGGGCCAGCGCGCGATGTTGTCCAGATCGCGCACGATGCCATCGAGGTCGAACTGCCAGCTCAGCTGTTCGTCGCGGAGTTGCAGGTTCGTCAGAGCAAACGCCCGTAGGTTCGGGTCGAGCACCCGCTGCGCCAGCAAGGAATCGGCGCGCTTCCGATCACCCGCACACGCGTCCAGATCCAAGTTTTGTAAAGCGTCGATGAGCTCGCGGTTCTTCTTCCAGTTCGAGCCGTCCGCCGTACTGTAAGAAGCTGGCGCCATATCCAATACACATAACTCCTTCACTAGCGCAGGAGCCCTCAAGGCGCACGCCATGGCGACCTTCCCGCCCATGCTATGCCCGACGAGGCAGCATTCTTGGATTTGGAGTGATTCGAGCGTCGCGAGGACGTCCGAAGCCATGCTCGGGTACTCTAACGGGCCGTGCGGGCTGTCGCCGTGGCCTCGCAAGTCGAGCGTGACTATCCTACGCTTGTGGTGTACCGCTTCTGCGAGGGCGGCGCACCACGATCGAAAGTTTCGCTTCTGTCCTAACAGGCCGTGGAGCACGACGACGGGTCTTCGATCGTTTCCTTTCGAGGGCGCGCGCCGCACGATCTCCGCGGACGTGAGTATGTGTGGCGTCGTCTGTGGCACCGGCGTCGTCGTCGTGGGCGGCAGCGTCGAGGTCATGGCGCTCGCTGCGTGCAGCAGCGCGATGACGCTGTAGGCATACATCTTATGAATGCTTATGCGGCGACTTGTCACAATCCGTGGCGTCGTGGCGTGACGTGCCGATGCTGCTTGTGACAATGCAGCGGCTTGTCGCGATGCGTGCGCGTGATATGTCCAGCGCTAGCTTGTGACACTGCAGTGGCTTGCCCAATTCGTGCGCGAGCGAGACCAAATTGCAGGCGAGTGCGGTCGCAGCTATCGCAGTGTATTCTTGCGATGTTTCGGTGCGTCCAATAAGTTGCGAGTCGCGAGTCGCGTCGTCGAACAAGCTGTGCGTGGACGCCAGCGCGACTTGTGGACTTTCGAGCGGCCGCGAGCGTGGGCGTCCGGAGCTTCACAAGAGCCCTGGAGGCCCTCCCCGTACCGCTAGAGAAGGGAAAACAGCGCAACGATTCAAAAGTGCGGGGCAGAGCTCCTTTTAAAGTGCTTGGGGGGCAGCCGCGCACGCCCAAACGCGCCGCCGGGCAGCCGCACGGCACCTTGGTAGGTGACCATGGCATCCATGCTTGAGAGCGCCGCACCGGCCGTGCCGAGTTTGGCGCTGCCCACTCAACCGACAACAGACGCCGTCGACGCGGCCTTCCAAAGGGCAGCCGCGGAGCGCCACGCCCGCGCCACGCCCGTCCGCGGCGCGGCAGTCCTGCGCTTCACGACGCTGTCGAACGACGCTCCTCGTAGGGGCTTTGTGATCGGAGATCACGGTACGGTCGGCCGCGGCGCGCAAAATCATATACAAGTCGCCTCGGACGCGACGCTTTGCGAAACGAATCACGGCACCTTCCGGTGCCAGGACAATGTGCTCGTGTTAGAACCCGGGAACGGCGTCGTGGCGGTCCGGTGCTCCACGGGAGAATCTGTCGACTACCCTCTGCGAACGGGTTGTGAATTTGGCTGCGGGTCCTCGATCTTCGCGGTGTCCCGCGACGCGCCGCTCGCGCTGTACTGCCGCGAGGGGCCGCTGCAGGGGCGGACGCTGGACGTGCGGGAGGCCTTGATGATCGGGAGGGCTCAGTCGTGCGATGCGTGTGTTGAAGACAGGGAACTGTCCCGGCAGCACTGCAAAGTCCAGAAGCGTGGTGGTGTGTACTACTTGGTCGATCTTGGTAGTACCAACGGCACGTACGTGCGGCGCGTCGGGCCCTATGCTGGTCCACATCGATTACGAATAGGTGACAAGGTGCTGCTGGGCCGCACCGGTCTGGAGCTCTGCCGCTTCGACGTCGGCGTGTGCTCGCTGAAAGGCGCGCGGCGGACCATGGAGGATCGTACCACAATCGTGCATGATCTGCGGTGTAGCAATCTACCACAAGCGTTACGGCCGGTATACTACGCCGCTGTGTACGACGGCCACGGCGGCGACGCCTGCGCGCAGTTCCTGAAGGACGAGCTGCATGGGTACGTCAGGAGAAGCTTGGACGCCCAGTCTGACTGGAGCAACGCAGAGACCACTATCAATGCGGCTTTACGAGATGCCTGCCTGCAGTGCGACGCGGCGTTCCTGGCCACGAATCCCGCGAACCGGGCCGGGTCCACGGCCTGCATTTTGTTGGTCTTCGGGCAATCGATAATGAGCTGCGCGAATGTCGGTGATAGTCGGTGTTGCCTCGCGACGGCGTCGGGATGCGCCCAGCTTTCAGAGGACCAGACGCCCGCGAGGGCGGATGAGGCGCAGAGGATACGGGACGCGGGAGGGTTCGTGATCCATAAACGGGTGATGGGTGAGCTCGCCGTCTCACGAGCCTTCGGCGATGCCGAGCTAAAGAGGCCAGTGCACGAATTAGTGAGGCCAAACGAACCCGCGCCCGCAGAAGCCGGGCCAAGGATGGTGTTGGCCGAGCCCGAGGTCACGCATCGTGCGGTCGAAGGCGACTTCGCCCTGATCGCCTGCGACGGGCTGTACGACGTTTTTTCCAGCGACGAGGCGGTAGACGTCGTGCGGAAGGGACTTGTAGAAAACGCGGGCGACCCCGTGCGCGCGGCAGCGGGCGTGTGTTCAGCAGCCGTCGACGACCGCGGGTCCAGGGACAACGTCACCGCAGTCGTCGTGGCGCTGCGGGCGGCGGCTCCGGAGGGGATTTCATGAGTAATTGATAGAAACATTACCCAACGACCTCCACCCGCTTCACGACGGACACCCCGAGCGCCGCGACGGCTCGAAGCACCTGGCGCGCGTCGCCGTCGAAACCAGGGCGCCAGACGACCGCCATCCGCTTCGGCTCGCGCGCGTCGCGCAGGAATAGCGCTACATCCCCGAACGCTTCCCGACACTTCCGCGCGAAGGCGTCCGCGGGCCCCTCCTGGACGAAGGCGCCCGCATCGGCGTCGCCCAGGTTCCTGAACGATTCTCGCGGCCGCAGCGCCCGCGGGCCGCGGACGTCGTCTCCAGTATTTACGACGTCGCCCCGCAATACAACGAACGCTCCGGCCGCCTGCCTCGCCGCCTTACCGCCTTGCGAGCCCCACAGCGCGTCATCGTCCTCGAGGGTTTGGAGAGCGGCTCTTGCCCCGTCCACTAGCAAGTGCCACACCACTGCTTCTGGTGGCGCCAGGAAAGCGTTCCTCGCGAGTGCGCCACTCGCGACGCACGGTGTGACGTCGTCGGCGTAGTCGGCGGCGATTCGATTCGACGTAGCAACGAGCGAGGCCCTTTCAGCCAGTGACGCAGGCCGCGCGTCGTCCGCACAGCGCCGCAAGTCCACGTACAGAGCGGCATTCGAGAAGTCGTGCGTCGCCAGGACTCGCAGGCACGCGACAAAACCGGAGCGCGCGGACGCCGGCACTTCGCCCACGCCCGAGTTACTTGCCAAAGGCGCAAACGCCGCCGCGCAGACCAACTCCAGGTGCTCCTGCTGGACGTAATCAGATAACCACTGCGCGTGGCACCACCTCACCAATAGCCGACACGCGTCCGGCATGCAAGGCTGTTTTGTTGCTAGAGAACGTAATAGAGAGTGGTGCAGGTGCGCCAGATCGTCGCTCCGGGGACTCTTCCGCGTGATCAACCGAGGAGCCAACCGCATGGCGTAGCCCCTGTAGCTCACTAAGAGATGCGGCCTCACTGTATCATCTCCAGCAAACAATTGGGCATCAGGAACTATCTTCGCCAGCAGACTCAATGACGCCGCGTCCCGCGCTTCGGAAGGCAGCTTCTCCCAGGCGTCCGACGGCGCGAACCGCACGACGCCGTCGAGGCACTCCAAGACGCCGCTCTTCGCGTTCGCTCGTATGACGCGCCAGCTCGTCCCGCGCAGGTGCGGTGACGATGGCGACGCGTGGTCCACGCGCAGCGGCCCGTCGCCCTTCCGTAGTACGGTCGCGAGGGCCTCGAAGGCCGTCCGCGCGTCGGAGACGTGGCCGGCGTCGTCCCTCATTAAACCTGGAGGGGCGCCGTCGAGCGACGCCGGCCGCCGGGGCTCGTGGCGCGCCAGGGCGTGGGCGAGGCTCCTCTGCGGGAGGAGGCGCTTCCAGCCGTCGCCGATGCAGTTTTGGGGCGGCTCCCAGACCTGTGTGCGTGGACCCTTATGAAGACGCCATCGCCGCGTGCGAAGCCAAGGGGACGCAGCATGCGCACGACCGCCTCCAAAACCCGCCCATCTTTAAACCGCCGCGCCTGGCACCGGTCGCCCCAGAACGCTCTGAAACTTCGTCCTTCGTCCGTCGGCGGCGCGCCGCCCTTGAGGACCTGGCGCCAGGCGTCCGTCGAGAGCGACGCGCCGATGGTGATGGCGTCGCCGTCACAATCCCAGCGCGGCGGCCGGCGCAGTCGACCAGCTAAAGCTCGCTCCACGGTAGCACAGACGCGCCGCCCGACGGCTTGCGCGACGGTCAGGCCCAGGATGCTGGCGTCGTCCTCGTCCGTCGCGAGGGACGCGGCGTAGGCGTCGTCGCCACCCAACAGAGGGACCTTCACGGACAGGTCGTACTGCCTACTTCTCGGAGTGAATAACAGTGAAAACGCGCCAGGAGGCGCGTCGCGCCGAATCGCCTCCAGGGCGCGCGTCGCGCAGTCCGAGAGTTCCGCGGCCGCCGCTAACGATAAAGACGCCGCTAAATTAATGTCGCCGTCGACCAGAGACGGCAGGGGCCACGCGGCGTCGGCGGACGACGCCCCGCGCAGCGTGACTTGCGACGAGCTCCACTCGTTGCCCGCCAGAAATTTTAGGGAATCGCGGAACAACGACAGAGCGGCGTCGATGTGATCCGGCGGCCTTACAGAGGAGGCGCAGTGGTAGGCGACCATGGCCGCCAGGAAGCCGCCCGGGCCGTCGTCCCTACTAAGCTGGTCCTCGGCCCGGAGCCACGCCTGCGCGCGGATCGACCCGTGAGTGTGTGCACCCGCCACGCCATCGAGGCGACGGCGTCGCGTCGTGATTCGCGCGCCGCGCCGCACCTTCAGCAGCACGCTTGCGTCGACGACCGCCGCGTCCGCCGAGCACGCGCCGTGGAGGAGTTGTAAATGGCGGTCCAGGGCCGCGTCGCCGAGTAGCGCCGCGTTGTAGGCCGGCGTCGGCTGGACGCACGAACCGTCGGCGGCGCGAACGTTGTTGCGGCTCGGCGCCAGGAGCAGGCGCGCCTTCGCCGGCGCCTGCCACGCCACCATGACTTTCACGGCGCCGCCCTCATCATCTGAGACTTCGAGGATAGGCCGTCTCGCGTCCCGCTGGAACGCAACCTTCGTGACCTGGTATCCGGCCTCCCGCAGCACCTCAGCACACTGTTCTAAATAAGCACAACGCTTCGCGAGGTAGCGCCCGTTCGCGAGGTCCTTTATTGTTATTAACGCGTCGGGCAGCTCGACGGCGAGGTCCATCTCCGCCTGGCGCTTGAGGCCCGTCCGCAGGAGCCACGAGCCAACAACGGAAACCTTCGCGGGCGCCGCGAAGGCGCAGGCCGCATGTTCGTTTTTCAGCCCCTTCGGGGCGCACAGCATTAATTTGGCCGGCGCGCCGGCGGGCCGCAGCGGCGCTTCCAGTAAAGCGGCGCGCACGGCACGCGCGCAGGCCTCGACCTTCGCGGCGCGTCCACTGCCGTAGTTGTAGGCGCTCCGTTCCAACACCGATGCGGCGGCGTCTCTTTGCTGCTCGCGGGCGTCCTGCGGTCGCGGGCGCTTGGCCGGTCGCGGCATCTGTGCTGCACAAGCTGCACGCTGCAGGGCGATGCTCAGGCTTTTGTGCGTGCAGCTGTGGGCGTTGTGACTACAGCGATATGAAGGCAGGCTTGCACCAAGGTATGTTATTTGCACGGTATATTGCACAGCTAAGCGCTCCGCGCAGAGCCACCGCTCGCCTGCAGGCCTTGGCTTGCTAGTATCTTACATGCCGCTAGCGCCGCATACGCTAGTCCTAGCACCGTAACCATACGCTGCACACGCTATAGCTGTCGATTCCCCCGCGGGGAGGGCCTCGGGCGCCGAGGCGAGGCGGCCAAGCGGCCTAGAGCAGTCAAGCACCCCCCTTACGCGAGGGGAGGGCCTAGATGACCGCGTCACCCTCGTCCTCGGCCGGCGCCGCCGCGACCTTGGACTTCTTCGCGAACTTGCCCTTGTTGGAGTTCGAGACCGTCGCCTTGAGGTCGGACCCGGCGTACATCGCGTCCTTGTCTCCTTTATAAATTTCCTCGTCGGCGCAGAAGCACTGCAAGATCGTCGACATGGCCATGCCCCACACTTCATTGAACATCGCGGCGACGTAGAAGGCTATTATAGCCGTGAAAACTAATGGAAGCCAGATGTAGTTCAATTCGTCGCTTACTGGAGTGTAGGCCAGGCACACATAGCATAAAAATGTAGCTCCAGCGGTGATCACGAGTTTGCCCAGGAGCAGCACGAATCCGGACACGATCGACAGCGCCATAATACGAGCAATATTCCTGAGAATCAGGAAGAACGCGCACTTCGCCGCCTTGCAGAAGTGGTACCCAAAGATCGCCGTCTGGATGTAGGCGTTCTTGTTGATGAACTTCATGCACTTCTCGATGCCTGTGGGGGAACGACAGTGTGTGCTCTCTGGCGGCCACGTCGACGCCATCGCGGCGGCCGCGTCCCGATCAAAGTGGTACACTGGGTCACGCACACCACATGCAGCAGTCGATGCAGCAGAGCACCGCCATGGCGATCTTCTTGGCCACGGGATTCTTGATGTTCTTGCACTTCTTCTGGATGTACTTGATCATCGCTCGGATCGTCTTGATGATGGCTATTATGAGACTGCCGAAGGCCGCCGTGCCCCAGTGGTACCACGCGCCTTGTCTGAAGCTCCAGATCACGGTCGAATTGCCGATCTTGCCCTTGTCGCGCGTGAAGTACCATGTTGATACGGCTAGCGCGAGGATGATCTGTCCGAGCGCGATGATGAATTCCGAGCTCCAGAAGTACACAAATATCATGTACCACCCTGCTTTAAAGGTCGTCTCGTCGTAGACCATCTGCCGCGCGCCCTTGACCGTCTCCATCTCTCCACTGGAAGCGAGGAAGAGGCAGTAGATGAACCAGGGGATGACGAAGACGATCAACGCCATGACTTGGACGACGGGGAAGACCTGCGCGCGGTCCGTGGCTCGGGACGCCGTCGAAGCGGCGCGAACGAGTCTGACGAGTCGCGTCGATGGCGTGTGAGCCCTACGCCATCGCCGCGACCCATGAAGATCGCGTCGAGGCGACCGCGCGGTCCGACAGGGCTCAAAATTGGACGCGGCGGGCGCGCGATGATGATCGGCATCGTCGCGATGCACTTCGCGGCTTCTTTCGTGATGCCAATCGCCAGCGCGATGCGCTTCCGCAGGCAGCAGATCGTGCAGGCCCACAACGCGCAGAGCGCGGCGCAGAAGTAGGCCAAGTACAGCATGCCGTTCGCCTGGTTCGCGTCGCGATCTTCATCTTGTTTCCAGGCCACCGACGTCTGGTAGCACATGGCCGCCAGGGCGAGCCAGAAGACGCCGACGGCGACGATGATGCCCCACACGACTAATGCTAATACGCCAGGAATCCTGAGGATGAAGGTATACACGAAGCCCACAAATATCGCGCCAAAAAAGCCAAAGCCAAAGATGTACCACATGCTCACCATCATGTCGGCGTACATCTTTTCGGTGTAGTCCCGCTCCTGGGATTCGGCGGCCAACGCCGCGCCACATAACGGTGTGGGTGCTTTTGTCGCGCCGGCAACCGGCGGCGGCGTCGGGTCGCACGGCTTCGTGGCGTCGGCGGCCTGCTGGGCCGCCTGGTCGCCGGCCGCCGCCGCGACCGCTTGGGCTTGCTCGCTCACACAATAATTCATGACGTCGTTCGTCGGGTAGTACGGCGCGCAGCACTGGCACCGCCGCAGCGACTGCGGGTCGCTGCACTTCGGGTCGTTGCACTCCTTGACCATCTCGAAGCCCTTGGCCACATAAAGCACCTCCCAGCCCGTCTGTGTTCTGTCGATTTTGTCCAATTTTTCTTGAGCATCGTCCGTACAATGAAACGCTTGCGCATTCTGCTTTTCCGGGCACTTCTTGATGCAGACTCCGGAGCCGGTCGGTAAGTAGTACAATTTTAATCTATCCTTGACATCTGAATCGATGCCGCAGACGCGATCCTTGTAGTCGATGCCATTAATTAATTTGTAGGGGTTGCCCTTCTGCAGGCCCATAGTGCCTTCTATCGGGCTCCCAGGAATGCAGGCCAAGCCCACGACCGTCATGCAGAACCACGCGAAGGCTAAGAGTAATGTACAGAGCACATCGGTGCACTTGCGCTTCTTGCAGGGTCCCCCAAAATCCTTGCCCACGTCCAGCGGCTTGTTGTTCGGGTCCTTCTTGTCGTCCTCCGTCTCCCTGGGCAGCTCGTCCTCCTCATTTTCGCCCTCGGGGGCGGTCTTGGAGCCGCCGCCGCCCATGGTGGTGCGCGGTGCGTCCCGTGTGGCGGCGTGGGGGGCTGCCCGGTTTGGATGGCTTACCTCACGCTGTGCTTGCGCGCGGGCGGCGGTCGGAGCGAAGCCCGCTGGTCGGTTGCCCTGCTGGCGATGGGCCCGACGCAACTGGGAGGCTGCCGAGTCGCCGGCTGGATTCGGCGGGCAGCTCGCGTGCCGGCGGCGTTGTCGGCCGGCAGAACGAGGGCTAGTAGATCGAAAGTTGCCTTTCGTTCGACTCGATCCGACGCCTCCCTCAGGCCTCGGGCGCGCGACGGGTGGCCGGCGGACGCCTAAAAAACAATTCGACTGCCCAAAGCTCTGCTCGCAGGCCGAGGCAGCGCCTGCGTTGCATGGCAGCCCTTTGGCGCGTTATGGTGCTCTCAGGTGGTGGACGGAGTCGAGGCTGATGGTATGATCAAGGCCTGCCGGGCCTGCGTCAAGGCCTGCGGCGACCGCCACCGGCAGCGGCGCGTGCACGCGGAGGACGCGGCCAAGGCCAGCAAGACGCGGCCGCCGCGGTACTGGACGGCCGCGGCGCTCGCGCTCCACCTGCGCGCGAACAAGGTCGACGACCGCACCGTCGCCCGCTTCTCGCGGACGACGGGCGCGGCCCTCGTCGCGGCCTGCGACGGCGACGGCGTCGAGGCCGACGCGGTCGGCGCGCTCATGGACGCGCGCGGCGTGCCGCCCGGCTTCCGGGAACGCCGGGCCGTTCGCGCCGCGTTCGACCAGGTCCTGGCGCTCCACCGCGCCCACTGCAAAAAGTTGGCCGACCGCAAGGGCCGGCCGGTCAACGAGTGGACCGCGGAGCAGCTCCTGCAGCAGGTGCGCGAAGAATTTGGAGGGGGGCTGCTCGACGCGCGCACGGCCACGAAAGTCACCACGGCCTTCGAGCGCGCCGGGGTCACGGGCGCGGACCTCGCGACCGCGGCGGAGCCGGAGGCGGTGCTGCGGGACCTGGGCCTCAATTCCATAAAAAGCGAGGCGCTCCACCAGGTCGCCGACGCGTGCCGCGCGTGGCTCGACCAGGCGCCGCGGTACGGCATCGCGCTCCACCAGGCGCGGATGCGGAGACTGCGGCGAACGGAGTCCCGCCTGGACCAGGAGCACTCGAAGGCCGTGGGCGCGGCGCGGGCGAAGCTCCGGAAGCTTACGGCCGCCGCCGCGACGCCGCTCAAGGAGCTCTACGACCACCTCGACTACGCCTTCGCGCTCGGCGTCGCGCCGGACGACGCGGACGCGGCGGCGGCGCGGCGGCGCGCGGAGGAGCTGCGCGCCGCGGCCAGCGGCCGCGTCGACGCGCCCATGCCCGACGGCGCGCTCCGGCGCTTCGTCCAGTTCGCCAAACGCCCCGAGCTCGCCGCCGACTACCACTTCGCGAACCGGGCGCAGCAGGAGCTGCCCGAGACCGCCGCGCTGGAGCGCGAGTGCCCGCACCTCGCCGCGCGGGTCGACGCCGCCATCGCCGCGGAGGTCGCAGCCGTCGGCGCCGACACGTTCCGCGAGGTGTCGGCGCAGGCGACGGCGTTCTTCGCGGGCGTCTACGAGTCCATCTTCGCGACCGTCGCCGAGTCCGAGCGCGACGCCAAGGCCCGGTACGACGCGGCGGTGCGGTCGTTTCCGGGCGCGGCGACGCCGATCAGGCAGCGTGCGACGCGCGTCGTGCCGCTGCTCGTCGACGCGGCCGCGGCGGCGCCCGCGTTCGACGCCGCGGTCGGCGCCCTCGTTGCCGCGGCCACCGCGGCGGGCCGCCGCGTCGAGCGCAAGCGCCCGCCGCTCAAGTCGGCCTCGCGCATCGTCGAAAAGTGCGCCCTGCAGCCCGAGGCGCCGCGCGACACGTCCCGCGTCTGCGACGTCGTCCGCGACATGATAATTTGTGACACGCTCGAGGATTTGACGGACCTCCTTAGACGCCTCGAAGAATCGAAGGAAGTGACGGTCGTCCGCGTCAAGGACCGCATCAACCATCCGCCGCCCTCGAAGTGGAGGGACGTCATGGTGAACCTGGTGCTCCGGGCTGACAGGACGCAGCACGTCTGCGAGTTGCAGCTCTGCCACCGCAAGATGCTCACGGGCCGCGAGGGCCTCGACGGCCACGCCCTCTACAACCGCCAGCGGTGCGCCGACGAGCTCCTCGAGAAGCTCGGCGGCGTGACGTCTCCCGGCGGCGACGACCAAGCCCACGTCGCGGCGTTCCTCTTCGACGCCGGCGCGCCGCTCTCCGGAGCCTCCGCGCCCACCGCCGACGACGAGGCCCTCGCGCTCCAGCTCGCGGCCGAGGATCAGTACCAGCTCGCCGTCTCCTCGCGCCAATCGGCCCAGCTCGCGGCGTCCTTCGAGGGGGAGGGCTCGTCGGCGGGGCCGCTAGTGCCGCCGACGTCGGCGGCCGAGGAGGAGGCCATGGTCGAGCGCGCGCTTGCGGAATCCTGGCGCGACGCCGCGTAACTTATTTAATGTTCTCGGGCACTGAACGGTTCAAGTATTAAGGGGGCGATATTCAGACGAAATAACGGAAAGGTCGGTCGGAGGTGTAGGGGTCAGAAGAGCCGGAGAGTCCCGGTGAACGGCTGGCGGCAGACGGGGCACCGGGACTCACTATCGCCCCTCGGCCCCGATCCTCTCCAGGCCGTCCCGGAGAGTGTGCGGGCGCATTCGGCGCAGACCCGGTGCCCGCACGGCATGAACGCGGTATCGCGCGCCCGCTCGAGGCAGACGGGGCACTCGTCTGTTTCGCTCGAACGCTCTGGCGCGGGCTCGGCCCGGGGCGCGGGCTCGGCCCGGGGCTCCGGCGTCGGCGCCGGTGCGGCCAGCCGCGCCGAGACCTCGTACGACCAGTCGCCGCCGTCGGCGCGCACGCGAAACGCGTAGGCGCCGCCGGCGTCCAGATCGCTCACGCGCGCCCTGCTCCTCCTGACGCGTAGGCACCGGGGGTGCCAGGCGCCCCCGGTCCTGCGCCACTGCACCTCGAAGCTCTGCGCGGAGCCCTGCTCCCACGCGAGCGTGACCTCCGTCGCCGCCACGCTTTCGATCCTCAGGCCGCGCGGGCGCTGCGCGGCCGCCGGCCGCGCGCGAGGTGCCGGTGCCGCCAGCCGCGCCGAGACCTCGTACGACCAGTCGCCGCCGAAGGCGCGCACGCGAAACGCGTAGGCGCCGCCGGCGTCCAGATCGGTCACGCGCGCCTTGCTCCTCCTGACGGTCGCGCCCGGCTGCCAGGCGCCCCCGGTCCTGCGCCACTGCACCTCGAAGCTCACCGCGGAGCCCTGCTCCCACGCGAGGGTGGCCTCCGTCGCCGCCACGCTTTCGATCCTCAGGCCGCGCGGGCGCTGCGCGGCCGCCGGCCGCGCGCACCGCGGTGGGAGCTCGACCCGGGGCGCCGGCGCCGGCGCGACCTGGTCGCGCTCCGCCGCGCGCTTGCGGCACTGCTCCGCCAGCACCGCCGCCAGGCAGCAGCCTAAGAAGATGGCGAAGCCGACCCCCATTACGATGGCGCCGGCGGCGGCGCTGCCGCCGCCCTTCTTTTTGCCGCCGCCGCCGCCGTCGCCCGGCGCCGGGACCCGGACCAGCGTGAGCGCCTCACATCGCGACTCCCATGTCGGGCACGTGAGCCCGTTGTCGTCAAGGCGGAAACAGCAATGGTCGTATTTCCCACCGTACGCGGTGCTGCCAGCCCATCGCATGCATTGAGCGTAGTCTGCCTCGCCGCTGACTAGATCCGAGCAGCGTGACTCCCACGTCGGGCACGTGAGCGCGTTGTTGTCAAGGCGGAAACAGCAATGGTCGTATCCGCCACCGTACTCGGTGCTGCCGAACCACTGCATGCATTGAGCGTAATCAGCCGCCACCTGCGTCTCGCACACGAACGGTTGATCATCATCGGCATTGCAACTACCGTCGTTCCACTTGTCATCGGATCTAATTTGTAGACAGTCTTCATCATTATTCCAATTATCGGGCTGATTGCTTCTCCAGGTCTCGTAGTCCCACGCCGTGCCGTCCGACCAGGTCCACGTGCCCTCTTGGGCCGCGTCGGAGCCCCCGATCCAGCATGATTCACCGGGACAAAGCGCCGCTACTACCGCATTCTCGCTGGAGCTGTGGATCGACGCGAGGTCGTGATAGTTCGCGCGGCAGTACGCGCGCGCGTCGTCGAAGCTCTTCGCTTGATCGACGTACACGAAGGAGCCGCTGGTCGCCCCGACCGAACCCGAGTTGTCGTCGCCCGGCGCCGGGGCCGGGGCTGGCGCCGGCGCCGGGGCTGGCGCCGGAGCCGGCGCCGGTGCGGGCGCGGGCGCCGGCGCCGGCGCTGCGGCGCAGGTGCAAAAATTCCAAGAGCAGGTGCAGGTCCACCACCCCCAGCAGTCACAGCCGTCCACGACGCGACACAGCGCGACCGCCACCAAAGCGCGCCTCAGAGCGGGGAAGGCCATGGCCTCCTAGCCGCCGCTGGTCCCTTGGGCTGCCCAACAAGGGCCACCAGAACCCTTGCCAAGTTCTCAACGCCCCAAGGCCACCAGGATCTCCGCGCCGGCTGGTCCCACCGGCTGCCGCCACACTGCCCAGCACCAAAACCACACTGCGCAAGCGCTACTTCATGATCTAGGGATGCCTAGTGGGTTATAACTAGCTCAATATCCGGATAACGAGAACAGCGAACTTAGGTGCAGCCAGGCGCCATCGACGCGAAAGATAACCTAAGGACGGCAAGGACCGGAAGGCGCCGTCGTATAACGAGGGACTCCGCGCGTCACCCGCCGACGCGCGCGCTGCCGGGGGACTTTACTTGAATAGAAGAGGCCTCCGTCGTCTATATCTCGGTGGGATCGTCCTTTGCGCTGAGTTGGCGCCGGGCTAGAGCTGTAAGACACTAGCAAGCATGCTTGTCTGCGTCGTTGTTGAATGCTCTGCAAAAATCGTCAACGTGCGAGGTTTTGCATTAAAACGCACTCATCCATTGGTGCAGCAACGCCCAGGAGAAGAAAACGCCAGAGAATCGCTGCGCGCAGTCAACGCACGAGCTGCTGCAGGCTGCACGCGGGTACGCCGTCGACGCATTCGTCATGCTCCTGCTGCTCCGCGTCGCGCGCGCGGCGCCGCTGCGCCATGCGCGCACGACCGCCGCGTCCGGACCCTCGAATTGGACGCCGCTCGCCGCGGCGGCGGCGCTGCTCCTCGCGACACAAACAAAAGCAGAAGAGGACGAGCTAGAAAACGTCGTCAACTGGTCCGGCACGCACGCCTGTTCGGTGCATGTGAAGACGCCCGAGACGCGCCACGAAGCGATACAGATCGTGGCCGAGCATGCATCAAGGAACGAGCGGATCCGGCCGGTGGGAGGGGCCCTGTCGCCGAACGGCCTCGCGTTCGCGGAGGACGGGTCTTCCCTCATCAACCTGGCTCTGTTAGATAAGGTGTTAAATGTGGATGTCGAAAACAGAACAGTCACCGTCGAGGCCGGGTGTCGCGTCGAGCAGGTGCTCGAAGCTCTCGAGCCCCACAATTTGACGCTCGAGAATTTGGCCTCGATCGCGGCGCAACAAGTCGGCGGCTTCGTGGGCGCCGGCGCGCACGGGACGGGGGCGTGTCTGCCGCCCGTCGACGAGCATGTTCTGGAGATGACCGTCGCCACTCCTGGTCAGGGCGTCGTCACAAAAAAACGTGGAGATGCGGACTTTCATGCGTTTCCCTGTTCTCTTGGATTACTAGGTGTCACTTTGACTTTGACATTACGATGTGTTCCCAAGCATCTGCTGCGGGAAAGGACGCAAGTTCTGACGAGGCAGGAGGTTATACAGAGACACGCGGAACTCATACAAGATAATAGGCATGTGCGGTTCATGTGGATCCCGTTCGCCGATGCTGTGGTGGTCGTGTCCAATAACCCGACGGTCGACGGCGTCTTGGGCGCGGGCCAGGGCTACGAACCTAGGCATGACATGGAGTATCGCCTCGAGCCCTTCCGGTCGTTGTTGAAAGACGTGAGTGGCGACGATGGAGAGGGTCTAGGATTTGCGGAATTGCGCGACGCGCTCCTAGCCGTCAAGCCGCTCGACCTAGAACATGTGAAGAAGATCAATAGAGCGGAGGCGGAGTTCTGGAGGCGGTCGCAAGGGACGCACGTCGGCGACTCGTCCACGAAACTGAATTTTGAATGTGGCGGCCAGCAGTGGGTCAACGAGTGCTGCTTCCCCGCCGGCACGCGGTCAGCACCGGACGGGAAGGACATGCGCTACATGCTGAGACTGCTCGACATTATTGAAAGTGAAGGTATTCCCGCCCCAGCACCGATAGAGCAGCGCTGGACGGCCGGTTCTTCCTCTCTCTTGTCCCCGGCGCGGTCGACGACGGAGGACGCGCTCTTTAGCTGGGTCGGGATTATCATGTACCGTAAACGGCGTCTCTCTCACGCCATCGACGCGCCTCGGCTCCATCAGAGGTTGTCTCTCGCAGGTACCTACCCTCCGACGACGAGCGCGTGCGGAAGAGCATCGGCGACGCGTTCCGGCAGTACAAGGGGAGGTGCGAAAGCGACCTCTGGCCTGTTTATGGTGCCCTCGAGCACTGGGCGAAGGTCGAGGGCGACGCGCGCGTCCAGGAGCGGTTGAAGAAGCGCCTGGGTGATGACGCGCTGACGCACTTCGCGGACGCTCGCGCGACCTATGATCCCCAAAGGTTACTGTCGAACCCTCTACTCGATGGTATCTTCAAGTAAGAATGTTTTAGTTGCGCTGGCGCTTGCCCCGCCTCCCACCGCCCCGCCGTCCGCCGCCCCGCTTCCGCGACGCGGCGGCCGTCTCCTCGAGGCGCGCGTAGTAGTCCTTCTCGGCGTCTCCATCGAGAACAGAAGCAGTGACCTTCGTATCCTTGATGGACGGCTCAGACGTCAGCTTCTCGAGGATGCCCGGCGCGCCGAGCCGCACGTGTCCCACCGCGTCGCCGCGCGAAAACTCGACGTACTTCACCTGACCGCCGGCCTTCTCGCAGCAACTGCGAAGGTCCTCCCGGGAGCACTCCGGGACACTTTCCAACTTCTCAAACCGCAAGACGCAGCCCGGAATATTTTCCTTCTTCGGTACCGGCGGCCTTTTGTCCTTCTCCTCGCGCTTCTTCTTCATGGACGCGCGCTTCTTCTCCAGTCGCGTGAACCAGTCCACAGAAGTCATGAGCCCGATCTTCCGTCCGGAAATGACGCAGCCCGACATCTCGACCGCGCTCTCGGCGTCCTCCTTTTTGGCGAAGCGCACGAAGGCGCTCCCATCCAACAATCGTCCATCCTGGGACAAATTCCTAAGAGCGCGGACGTCCTCCACGCTCCCGAAGCGCTCCAGGGCCTTCCCTATATTCGTCTCGACGGCTTCCTTGCCGCCGTCGACGCCAAAGCCCGACGCGTGCACTATGCGTTCCTTGTGCGGGTCCTGGTCGGGCGTGACATAGCGCCGTTTCAGGTTCTCTCCACTATCATCGAGGTCGAGGGCGTCCGACGCTTTGAGGGCACTGCGGATGACGTCCAAATCAGTGGTATACGAGACCATCTTCTTGAAGGCCGCGATCGTGGCCAGCGGCGTCCAGCCATCGGTCTCTTGGCTCTTTATGTAGTCGTCGAATGGGTACGAGTCGTCGGAGAAGTAGTACTCGACCTGCCTTAATATTTTCGTGGCTAATTCATCCTCGGCGCTGGGCGCGGGCGCCGGCGCTTCGGCCATGGCTGCTGCGGCACGGCGCTACTGCTGCAGTGAGGCTGTTGCTGTTCTGTGCGCTGTTGTTGCGCTGCGACAGCGTCGACTTAGCCCGGCGCCGCCTGTGCAAGCTGCTGCTGCAGTGAGGCTGTCTTGCGCAGTGAGAAGCGCGAAGCTGTGGTTCGCCGCGGCAGCGTAGACCTAGGCTAGCAGTTCGATGCACGCAATGCCAGAATGACCGTGCGTGCGCGTGCAGTGCTAAAATCGCCCGATTGCCAGGCTGTGTGATTAACCTAGCGTCGACACACACTAGCGCACGCGTGAACAACTCCCCACACGCCTTCATTCAAACGCCTGGTTGCACCGCATCCCTACCGGAGGGAAAGCTCCAAACCCCCCGCACGCTCGGATTTGGGCTGCCAACAGTCCAAACTCGTGGGCAGCCCTGCGGCGCGACGAAGGTGCTAGCTAATCGCATCGCTCTACGACACGAATACCACGCACTTTTGCAGCTGCTCCGCACGCCGTCGAGGCGAATGCCAATGCCTGTCGGCGCCGCACCGTCGCGAGCCGCCGCCTCGGCACCTACGAAGACACGAGAAGAAGTCCTCGAGGCCGTCAAGAGCGGCGCCTTTCCGTTGAAAGATAACGAGCGAGATTCTCTCAGGAACCGGAGCACGCCTTTATGTGGCACTCCGCTCCGGTCGCTCTACACGCTGCTCATCCTCCCGCTAGCCCTGACGCGCATCGTGCTCTTCATCGTCGTGTTCACCTCGACGGGCTGCACGGCCGCCCTGGCGGCGTGCTTGCCGGCGCGGTCCTGCGGCCGCCGCTGTCTCCTCGCGATAGCCATGAGAGGCATCCGAGCGGGCCTCTTCTGCTTAGGCTACCACTACATCCAACAGACCGGAAAACCATCGCCGGAAGCCAAAATCATCTGCTCCAATCACGTCTCATTTGTGGAAACTTTTTACCTCACTTCGATCCTGACGCCGTGTGGCATGGCGGAGATCGAAACAGTGGTGACTCAGCGTCTGTTTCTGACCGTTTCCGAACTTCAAGTTCGCGTCGATGGCGTCGGCCACGCCACCGCGACGCCGTCGACGCGGCCGCATGACAATCTACGCGTCTCGCGAGTGAACGGAGGCAGATTCGCGACGCTGTCGTTCGACGCAGGCGTCGATCCCCATGGTCGCGTCCGTGCTGCGCGCTTTGGAGTTCGTGCTCGTGGACAAGTCGTCCTCAGAATCAAGGGCGAAGGCTGGGCAGGACATGACGTCGAAATTGTCTGAGAAAGACGCGCCCCAGTTCCTAGTCTTCGCCGAGGGCCAGACGTCCGACGGGAGACAAGTGTTGGCGTTCAAGGACGGCGCGTTCCGATTGGGGCACACGGTGCAGCCCGTGGCCGTGCGCTACCATCGTTCTTCATATGACCCTACGAATGATCCAAGCAACATGGTCTGGCACTTCATACGGGCTACCTTTGATCTGCATCACGGCATGGAAGTGGAGTTCCTGGATGTGACGTCCAAGGAAGCTGATGAGACTCCTTCCGATTTCGCGGGTCGGGTCCGTGGTAGTATTGCCGAGTGCTTGCAAGTACTTTTGTCCAATCATTCCCATGATGATCAGAGATTGCAGCGACGGTGTCGGAAACTTTATAAAAGGCCGCCCGATGACCTGGCCTGGGCCATGCCGGAGACGCGGACCTGCAAGCTTTTATTGGGTTTGGATTTGGATGGGTGTACGGACGCGGCTCGCGCTTATGTTTCTAGAGTGGAGGCGTCGCAGCTCGAGGTGAAGGATGTGGACGCGTATCGCAAGGCTCTCGACGTCTCGGAGGCGGACGCGGCGGCATTGTGGGCGTCGCGCGAGGGCCCCCTGGCGTACCGCGAGTTCCTGGTGTCTTCTGCGCTGGGCCGGTGTGCGTAATTATCTCTTGATTGTTATTGCGGCGATGGCGTCTGGCGGGTTATTGTTCGTTACGGTGCTAGGACTAGTGGACGGAGCGTCTACTGTCGCGCGCGTCTCGGAGCTCGTCTCGGACTCCGCCGAGTCCGACCCCATTCCTCCCCGGTTGCCATAGGCAGCTACCATCGAGTTGCCTAGGTCCTTGACGAGATAGGACCTAATGTCCTTGACATTAGGGCTAGTGTGTCGACGCTAGATAACTCAGCTTGCATGTCAGTGTTTTTGCGGGCGAGGCCGGTGCTAAAACACAGCACAGCTAGCCAGGGTTGGCGGGAGTTACCGCACAGCTCCAGGGCTTTGCACATTGACGCGCGTCCCGCTGTACGGACACCAGCCAGCGTGTGGCGACGACAGTGTGTGCAGCGCCCGCAGCCGTGAAGCACTCGCTCCGGGAGCCCCACAAACTAATTCACCATGCAGCGCGCCACCTTACTCCTCGCCGGCGCCGCCGCGCTCCAAGCGCCCGTCGCAAGACAGCCACGAAGGACAATCCTACGAAGCGAGCCGGCGGGCGGCTGGGACACGAGTCGTTATGGAGAGGCCGGGACCGCGTTGACCATGGCCGACGAGTCACCGTTTGCCTCCGCGCCCCAGGCGGAGGTCCAGAGCGTCGGGGAAGGGTTGCATGGGGAAGCGTCTTGTTTTTTACCTTTGGACCAGTTAGATAACGGCGTGCTGTGGCCGCGCATCGTCCGTGTAGCAGGGATCTACCCCGGCTTAACACAAGCGGAGGTGACCGCGGTCCCGATGGCGCCCGAGCCGCCGGAGCAGGACGGCCTCTGGTTATTTGACTTTCCGGATGCTCATGGTGCCGAGTACGGCGTCGTGGCGATGCCCGGTTCTGATCTCATTTGCGGCGCGTTGGATCCCGTCGCTATTGTGGCCTCGTCCGGCTCACTCGGACTGATGATCGACGAGAAGGAATGCCTCGTGATCATCGACCGGGGCGAAATCGATTTCAGCGACCGGTCCTTCTTCTGCTACGCCGATGCGAACGGCAACTGCTCCATCCGAAGGATGGACGACGCCTACGACGGCTGGACCATTCTGGGAAAAGTGGCCTGCGTGACGCTGCCGTGGGACGCGGACTCCATGGCGAAGAAGGGGACGTGGATGGAGGAGGACGACTAGTCCCTGCGTAACTAGCCTTCGATGGGAAATGTTATACACGAGGGCGGGAGTTAGTCTTGGGTCGGGGGCAGACACGTCTGTCGCGTCGACGGCGTGGGGAGCCTTCTAGAGGAGCTGCTTCTCGAGCAAGGGCTTGAGCGTCTCCGCCAATTTCAAGGTGTCGTAGCCGACCTGGATCGTCGCGATGCCTTCCGGGTCGCCCGAAGCCCCAGACGCGATGTGCGCCGTGCACCGCTCCTTCAGCGTGATGTAGTCGTCGTGCTGGAGGTGGAAGTAGGGCATCCAGTCCGGGTTCTCCTTGCTTCTAGCTTCGACCGTGGCCACGAGGTCGGCATCCGGCATGATGTCGCGCGACTGGATGATCCCGAGCTTCGACACGGACGAGTACATCATCCCGCCGTCCGCCATCGCGCCGTCGGGCAGCTCCAGGCCGCACCGGTCGGCGTAGACGCTGACCTTGGCTCCTGCCTTCGTCGTGACCGTGAATCCGATGCGAGAGAAGTCCGTGAAGTCGTCGCCGGACGACGGACCCTTCTCCGTCCGCAGGTCCGAGTAGGCCTTGTCGGCGACGACGTCCGACAGGGTCTCGGAGTTGACGCCGAAGAACGTGACCAACAAAGCGAGTTCGTGGATGGCCATGTTCTTGAGCATGCCCTCCGCGTTCCTTTCGAAGCACTCGCCGAGCTCGTCCGCCTTGTACGCGTTGTGGTGCACGAGCGTGAAGTCGCCGCCGGGCACCTTCGCGAGGGCCTCGCGCCCCTTCGTCACGTAGGCCGTCACATTTTTATTGAAGCCCATCCAGATCGTCGCGCCCTTTTTGGCACAGTCGTCCTTCATGCGTCCTAATTCATCTACCGTCGGGGCTCCCGGCTTCTCGAGGAAGACGTGGGACACGCCGTGGTCCACGAGCTCGTCGACGTAGCCGGGCATGTCCGCCGTGCGCGTGCAGACCTGCGCGGCCGCGACGCGCGTCGACGCCATCGCGGCGTGCAAAAGACGCCGCGTCCGCGCCATGGCCATCATCTTCCCATCTGGTTTTGGCATGTCCGCGATGCTCGCGTGGAACCGCACCTTGCCCTCGTGTTCGGCTTTGAAGGCGGCGAACTCGGCGCCGCCGGGGCCGTCCTTTCCTCCCCCGAGGAACCAGGGCTCGACGATGTCGGTCAACGTGGCCGAGGGCACGTCTCCGTCCAGAATCTGCTTGGCCTGCGGACAAATCGTGAAGCTCGCGCGGGAATTCATTGTACGCCGCGTGCCACGTGATACCAGCCCATGCCGCGGCCGGGCATGCCGCAGCCGACCAGCGCTACCGGTGTCGTCGAGGCGGCGCGCGTCGCCAGCCATCGCGGCGCGCCGCGCTGCAGCGTGCGCAGTGCGAGCATCCTTGCAATGCTTTCTGCGTTGTTGTCGTTGCAACGGTGCACCGCTATGCAGCCAAATCCTATCGGAGAGCCCGGTGCGCGAGGCTGCAATCATTGCCTCGCGTGCGGGTGTCAGTGTCCTTTTTCGTAACGGAGCATTCGGAAGGGAAGGACAATCATAGAGTGCCCCCGAAACGGAATCCGGTGCGCGCCGGTGTTTTCGCAGCCGCCTCAAGTGCCGACGCGCCGCCGACGAGCCGCCCAGTTATCCCGATCACGCCTCATCACCACGGACGACGGCGCCGCCGACGCGCAACTAACAATTTCCGAACCTTACGTCACCCCCACGCCCCCGCCGCGACGCGCTCAAGAATCCCGCGCGGCGCCGCCGGACCCCGCTCCTCGATAGCTATCCGGGGCCCGTGGTCCTCTTGCACGGACACAGGCACGTCGACGCCGCGAATAAGCTTCAACACGCAGGCCGCCACGGCGTGTGGCGCCTCGTGGTGCACGCAGTGGCCCGCCGGCGACAGCTCGTAGTACGGCGCCGTCCGCCCGGCCTCGGCGAAGCGCCGCGCCGCCCGCTGGCCCCAGATGGGCCGGACCCAGGGGTCCTCCCGCCCATAGACGAGGTACGTTTTGAGGTCCTTCTCGCCCAGCCGTCGCATGACGTCGTCGAATTCATCTTTTGCTCGTCCCGCGAACAAGATCGACGCAAACACGCGCGGCCCGTTGGGATGCGCCGCACTCGTACAAATGTCCCGCGCCAGCCGGTCGTCGGCCCGGGCCGGCGCCGCGTAGACCTGCCTCAGCAACGACTGGACCGTCTTTTCATCCCTCAAAGCGTCGAACCACGCACCTCCAAAAGCCTCGAAGGGCGCCGGCCCCGGCAGGTCGCCGGACCAGAGCGGGCATCCATTTACACCCCAGAAGCTCCAGAACGGCGTCGGATTCAGCAAAGCGCAGCCCGCGACTTTATCGGACCGCGCGGCCACGGACGCCGCCACGAGGCCCCCAATCGAGTTGCCCGCGACGTAGACCTGGGAGTAGTCGAGCTGCTCGACGAACGCCGTCAGTTGCGCGATCCACGTCTCCACCCCAAAGTTCCGCCCCGCCATGTCGCCCTCGGGCCACGAGCGCCCTTGGCCGAGCCAGTCCATCGCGATCGCGTCGACGCCTCCATTTGCCACGTGTCTGCAGACGTCTTCAAATTGGAACGCGCCCGCTCCAAATCCCGGGCCGAAGACGACGACCGCATCTGATGGTTTCGTCGCCTGCTCGACGGCGTAGTGGACGTCCACACCGTCGTAGGACCAGAAGCGCGACTCCGCGTGAAGTTCCGTGCGCGTCGTCCGTTGCTGTGGCGGCGCGACCAACGCTGCTGCGAAGGCGCAGCAGCTGAGACAGACCAGTGCGCGTCGCATGGATGCAAACCGAGCAGCTATGATACAGCTGGACAGGGAGAGCAGCCGTGACACGACTGCAAACAGCGGCTATGGCAGCGCAGCAGTCAAAGGACGTTGTCAGGCATTGTCTACGGCACGACAGGCAGCGCTACGCCCTGGTATCCATCCACAACCTTGTGCAAGGCCTCGACAAAAGCTAGCGTATCGGCACACTAGCTTTTTGCCCTGCAATTGCATTGCATTTTTGCAGTAGTGCGAGCAGGTTGTGCGAGCTGCAGTCCTCTGCAGCAGCATCCAGTTCGCGGTAGGCCTGACTGGCGCGAACGCTAGCAGGCTGCATTTGTAGCGTCCCTACCTGCAGACACACGCGTAGCAGCCCGGCAGCCATGCGCGCATTGCTGCTATGCGCGGGCCTCGCCGCAGCGCTGCCGCGGCGGCGCGCGCTGCGGCCACTCGCGCTGCGCGGCGGATCCGCGGCGCCCGCGCCCGCGGCCGCGGCCGCGCCGGCACTGCCCACCGTCGCCGAGGCCGAAAGTGCCCACGCCTGGACGGCCACGGACACTGTGACGCGCTTCGCGGCGAAACCGGACGCCGGTCTATCCGAGGCCGAAGTGACAAGAAGAAGAGAAGTGTCGGGAAGGAACGTCCTCGTCCAAGCTGCGAAGAGGACGCAGTGGCAGATGCTTTTGGACCAGTTCGACGATCGACTCGTGCAGATACTCGTGCGATCTCGGCGTCCCGTTGTGTAGAGGCGCCTTCACGCCATCGACGCGACTCGTGTCCATCTCACGATGACGTGGGTGGTTTCTTTTCCGATTTCGAGGCCGTTCGGTCGCGCAGGTGGGCGTCGCGGTGCTATCAGCAGTACTAGGCATGCTCGACGCCGAGGACCCGACGGCCTGGGTCGACCCCGTGGTCATATCCTTGATCCTGATGTCGAACGCCGCAGTAGGTGTCTGGCAAGAATCCTCGGCAGATGGTGCGCTAGCTGCATTGGAGAAATTACAACCAGCAAGGTGCTGCGTGCGACGCAACAGCGCCTGGGACGGCGAGGTCCAGGCGTCCGAATTAGTTCCTGGTGATGTCGTGTATTTGAGGGTCGGGGACAAGGTACCTGCTGATTGTAGATTGCTCCAACTCAAGACGTCGGCCTTCTCGACCGACGAGGCCGCGCTGACGGGCGAAAGCGTGACCACGTCCAAGGATCTCGATGTTGTATCTGATGAAAAGGCGCCTCTGGCCGACCGGTCGAACATTGTATTTGCGGGCACGGTCGTGACGCGGGGCCACGCGACCGGTGTTGTGGTCGCCACAGGCATGTCGACGCAGATAGGAAGAGTGCAAGCGGGCGTAGATGCAGCTAGAGCCGATAGGGAGAAGACGCCCCTCGCAAAAAAGCTCGACGAGTTCGGTTCTCAATTAACACTGGTCATCGGCGGCATCTGCGCGGCGACGTTCGCGGCCTCCGTGCCGAGGTTCGGGTCTCCGGTGTTTGGCGGGAACCGACTCAAGGGCGCGGCCCATTACGCCAAAGGAGCCGTGGCGTTGGGCGTCGCGGCCATCCCCGAGGGGTTGCCTGCTGTTATCACCCTATGCTTGTCTCTAGGAACCAGAAGGATGGCCGCGCGGCGCGTCGTCGTAAGGCGCTTGCCCTCCGTCGAGACGCTGGGATGCACGTCGGTCATTTGTAGTGACAAAACGGGCACGCTCACGACGAACGCGATGACAGTCGTCTCTTTGTTAATTCCGTCGTCGGGCACTTTTGACGAATTGGAAGTGACAGGTGGCTCGTACGATCCGACCGACGGTGACGTGCGAGGCTTTGAAGAGCGCAATGGTTGTGCCGACGTTCGATTATTGCAGTGCGCGTCCGTCTGTGCGCTGTGCAACGACGCGCAATTGGCAAGGGACGAGGATTCGGGCGAATTTGTTCGAGTCGGCGAGCCAACAGAATGCGCGTTGCGCGTCCTCGCCGAAAAACTAGGACCGCCCCCGTTCCGAAAGCCGGCCGGGTACGAGCAGGCCGGCGCCTGGCAGCGGGCGGCGCTGTCCTGGCGCCACGCCTTCGAGCGGAAGGCGACGTTGGAGTTTGATAGAGGACGTAAGTCCATGTCCACGGTCTGCACGCGCGGCGATGCCACGTCGTTATATGTCAAGGGCGCGCCGGACTCGGTCATCGCGCGGTGCACGCGCGTGCGCCGGGAGGACGGGTCTGTTGTTTCATTGGACGAGTCGACGCGATCCGCGCTCATTGAGAAAGTCACGGCGATGGCGTCTCGACCTTTGAGGTGCCTCGCGCTCGCGACGAAGGACGTCACCGCGTGGGAGGACGTGGAACGGGGCGGGCCCGCGGCCCACGAGGCGTTTGAGTCCGATCTGATCCTGGAAGGCGTCGCGGGCATTCGGGATCCCCCGCGCCCGGAGGCGAAGCGAGCGATAGCGCGATGCAAGTCAGCTGGGGTGAGAGTCTTCATGATCACCGGCGACAGCAAGGAGACGGCCGTCGCCATCGGGAAGGAATTGGGTATTCTGGAGAGCGACGAGCGCGCCTGGGAGGGCAATGCGTTCTTTGCGGACGACTCGGCCGAAGCGGAGGGCCGGCGCAAGGACCTGCTCGCGCCGTCCGCGGGCGACGGCGTGTTTTGTAGGACGGCGCCGGCCGACAAGCAGCGCATCATCAAGCTGCTGGCCGACGCGCACGGCGACGTCACGGCGATGACGGGCGACGGCGTCAACGACGCTCCGGCGCTCCAGCAAGCTTCTATCGGTGTGGCGATGGGCATCGCGGGCACGGAGGTGGCCAAGCAAGCGGCGGACATGATCCTCATGGATGATGATTTTGCTACCATTGTGGCCGCCGTGGAAGAAGGTCGCGGGATCTACAAGAACATGCAAGCATTTGTCTGCTTTCTGTTGAGTTGTAATTTCGGCGAGGTCGCTACTGTCTTCGGTGCTACGTGTCTCGGCGTGCCGGACGTCCTCACGCCGCTGCAGTTGTTGTGGGTGAACCTCGTCACTGATGGGCCGCCCGCCACTGCCTTAGGGTTTAATCCGCCCGATCCTGATGCGATGTCCAGACCGCCCAGAGACCCGAAGGCGCCGATCCTGACGCCGTGGTTACTTGGTAGATATGCCATCACCGGTGCTTATGTGGGCTTCGCGACGATCCAAGTGTTCCTCAACGAGTTCAAGGATCGCGGTGTAAGTCGACAGCGGCTGCGGTCGTGGGCGTCGTGCGACCTGAAGGAGCCGGCGTGGGCCGACTTCGCTCCCATCAACGCGGGGAGCTGTGTGGAAATCAAGCTTTTACGGCGCGTTCGTGCTGAATCGTCGCGTCGTCCTCCACGCCATCGACGCGACGCCTGCTCGATGGCGTGGCGATGCCGGTTCCTCACCGCTCGACGGAGCCAGCGCGGCCACGTCATCGCCGAGAAATGACTTAGTGAAGAATTGTCGGGTGCACCCGACACACTGGTTGATTTCCACACAGGCGGGGAGCGATGCTTGTGCTGGGGCCTTCGGCGCGAAAGGCGCTGTCAAGGCCACCGCGCAAACTCTAGCCTTGACGACGCTCGTCGCGATGGAGATGTGAGTCGCGCGGCGTCCCGCTTCTTGGTGCATCATGTCGCTCCCTCCCACGCCGTCGACGCAACTACGCCGTGTCTGCTCGATGGCGTGCCTCGACACCGTCGACGTGACACTGTATTCATGTGTTTCTGCTCGACGGCGTGCCGGCTGGAGCTCACCGGTCGACGTCCGCGCAGGCTCAAGGCGCTGAGCGCCGTGTCGCTCGACCACTCGCTGCTGCGCGTCGCGCCGTGGGCCAATCCTTGGCTCCTCGCCGGAGTCGCCTTGCCCGTCGCGCTGCATATGTTCCTATTACATGCGCCGTGGCTCCGCGGCCTCTTCGGCCTCGCGCCGCTTACGAAGGCGAACTGGATCACCGTCGCCAAGTTCTCGCTGCCCATCTTGCTCGTGGAGGAGCTGACGAAGGCGGTCGGCCGCGAGGTCGACCGCCGGGAGCGGGAACGACGGCGTGCGGCGGCGTCGAACTAGTCGTATTAAATCGAAATTAAGTCGTATCTATACCGTCATCTACGCTTGGCACCAGGACTCGCGGGTTTCGTGCAGCTGCCAAATAATCGTCAAGTGGCGCAGAAGAGGCGGCGCGGCGCGCCGATCATCGAGCAGGGTTTGACTTAGCCCTCATCGCCTATCGACTACTCCACCGAGAGAGCCAGGAGGAAGAAACCTTGAGTTTCGCCCTCATTGAAAAAACAGCCAACAATTGTAGCTGACATAACACGAAGATGGCACGCATAAAAACTATTTTGCTCGCCGTCGCGCTGGCGGCGGCCGGCGCCGTCGCGCCGCCATCGCTACGGGGCGTCAAGGAAGCTGCGTCGGGCGAGACCGCCGACACGTTCGAAGCGTCGCTGGCCAAGGAGGTCGAGCGATTGAACGCCGCGCTGGCCGAAAAGGACGCCGCGCTGGCCAACAAGGATGCCGTGATAGCCGAGAAGGACGCCGTGATAGCCGAGCTCTCGCAACACCGCTCGTCGGGCGGCCGAACGCTCGATTTTGGTTGGAGCAGAAAATAGCTACCCCTCCTGTTCCCCCGGCGAATGGGCACACAGAAAACAACTTTATAACCCGCCTGGTGGTTACCAACAGCTCATGTGCAGTTCCTTTCTACCCGAACATTGGGTCGAATGCTGCACAAACGGGGTGACGGGGAAGCGGCTCGTACGCGACGGTCGGCGCGGGCCTTTGGTGTTTGGCCAAGTGCGCGACGATCGCGGCCCTCGGGCCCTCGGTCTGGGCCGTCGGCGCGTCGGCGGGCGCGGGCCCCGCGATCGTCGTCGCGCAAAGTGTGGCGCGGGCGTCCGCGGCGCCGCTGGTATTTTTCTACGAGTACGTGGTGGACGACGCCGACGTTACAGGCGGTGCGGAAATCATCTGCTCGACGGCGTGGCGGTGACGGTCTATCTCGCACACAGGCCAAAGGGGAGTTCTACAACTGGTTTGGGGATAGCCGTCGCCTTCTCGGCCCGTGGCGCGTGCTTGGGGCCATCGTGTCGGCCATGATCATCGCGCTCGGACTGCTGCCCGTTGAGGCTGCTATGCGTGTCCTCGCCGCGACGGCGGTGGGAACGGTCGTCGCCGGCGCCTACGGCCAGTCGGTCCTCGGCGGCGTTATGGGCGACTTCCTGGGTGCGACCATATGCGTCCTGGAGCTCGTTATATACCTCGCACTCGCCGCGGACGCGTCTCGTATTGATACGAGCGCGTTCCTGCGCCTCGCGGTAGTGGTCTCGTTGCCTCAAATTTACGGGCGGCTGCGCAACAACAGCGAGAAGAAGGCCTGTTAGTAAGGAGTACACTTAGCAAGGAGGGGGAAGTCCCTAGGCGGGCAGCCCCCGCTGCCTTTTGGAGGTCGCGCGCAGCTGCACGCGCGGCTTCGCGTAGTCGTCCTCGGTCGGCGACGTCTTCAGGGACGTCGACGCGCGGCGTTGAGCCTTCTGCCGGACGACCTGCTTCGCGAAGGCCTCGGAGCAGTCGAGGCGCTCGCGGACCGCCTCCAGGGCCGTCGCCTCGTCGATGCCCACCCTCAACATCGCCGCGTACCACAGGTGCCCGTCCCGCGACGACGTGGACTCGCGACCCGAGGCCGTCGACCGTTTCTTCGGCTGCGCGATCACGGGTCTCGCTAAAGGTTGTTGCGCAAAGGGCACCGGCGGCGCCGCTGTCATCTGCACGGGCTCATCATCATCGGTATCAGGTACTAAGAGTAGCTTCGACGCGACGCCGCACTTGTCCAGGAGAGCCTGCTTGTACTGGGCTACATCAGTACTGTTGTTGCGAGCGGCCTTGCGCGCCGCGCACTTATCTACAGCTAGTTGAACAGCTTCGCGGAACGCGTCGCGCGGGCAGTCGCCGTTGTCGAAGGACCCCTTGGTCGCGCGCGCGTAGCTCCGCATTTCAGCGAGACCGCTCTCGAAGGGCACGCACCTTAACGCGTCGACGGTCGCGTTCACGTCTCTCCCAACATACAAGACGTCCACATGCACCCCGGTGAGCTGGCCGCGCCGCTGCGGCTGCTTCGAGATTCTAACAGTATCCGTCTTCAGGGATCGAATCGTCGCGGGCCACCAGGGGTAGTGCGCGAACTTGGCAAATACCACATCGCCTCTGCACGCGACGCCTTCTTCTCTCGGCATTGAACAAGCCGGGCAGGCCCAAACTTCTGGTACTGTATCTAAGGGTGGCGCGCAGCACCGCAGGTGGCGCCACCTTCCACAACCCGCGTCGCACTCGATGAGATTCGCCTCGTCGTCGCCTCTTTTACACGCCTCGCAAATAATGTCCTCCAACGCGTCTGAAGAAGAATCGTCGTCCTTCTGGACAACGGGCCGCTTCCGACCCCTCGTACGAGGTTTCGACGGCGCCTTGTCGCCGGGCCAAGCCACCGGCTTGGACAGCAGAGCCGCTCGATCCAAAGCGTCGTCGTCGCTATCCTCATCCGAAGGGGGGACGGCCGTCGCCAGCCTCGCTCGCAACGGCACGCGCTTCGGCGGGCCCGGGCCGACGCGCGTAATTTTCACGTCACTGTCAGGAAATTGCACGGCCTCGCTCTGGCCGTCGTCGTACAGCACAAATGCTTTATTTCCATCTAGCAGTTTTTGCACGGTGCCGCCATAATCAATACCGTCGCTGAAGCGCACCGTAATACGACTGCCGGGCGGCGGGGGCGGTTCTACAGGAGCGTCTTTCAGTGATTTTGTCGAGGCCTGGATGTCGAGGTCGTCGTCATCATCAGAATCCTTGGCGACGGGCGCCGGCTGGACGCGCCGCGCTAATGTTACTGGCGCTTTGGCGGCCGCGGCGCCCAGCGAGGGCAGCGTCGGCGCCGTGACCGGCGGCCTTGGTGCCGCCTGCGACCCGCCGGCTGCGCTCGGCGTCGAGGCCGCGGGCGGCGCCGCGGCGCCCGGGGTGGTCATCGGTGGCATCGCCGGCGGCGCCGCGGCGGCTCCCCCGGCGGTCACCGAGGGCATGGCCGGCGGCGGCGGCACGTTTTTGGCTTCGGCCGCGGCGATGGCGGCGGCGAGCGCCGACGAGCCGTTGCTCGCGCGGAGCTGCTCGCTGGCCGTGGCGAGCGGCGTGGCGTCGCTGCCGGCGGCGAGCGGCGTGGCCATCGCGACTATCGCTATAATATATCGGTCCGCGCCGACCGCGCCGACGCCGCAGCGATTGCTTTCTTTTTGGTCAACCTGGGTGTTGTGGCTTGCGGCCTGCGGCAAGCGCTAGCGCTTAAGCAGGCGATGAATTCCCACGCAGAGAGGTCCCAGCGAAGCGCAGAATGCGATAGATGGTGATGCCGCGCGTCGATATGCCCGCTGCGATGCACCCTGCCTCTGCCAAAATGCGAAGGGAGAAGACGCCGCGGGCGCCGCGCGCGAACGCCTCCGCAGACGCCCTCGGACACCTAGCGAGACATACAACAGACACACTTACTAGGAACGGCGCTTTTTTTTGCCCTTGCGCCGCCGTCGCGGTCGCGGCGACGCCTCCTTCGATGATGCCGCGACCGGTGAAGAAGGAGGCGCCGGCGGCGGCTTATCTAACACTCGAAACGCCTCGCCCGACAACGCCGTGAAGGCTGTCGACGAGAGCCAGAAAAGGTGGAAGCCCGAAGGCAGTCCGAACGTCACGGGCATCGTCGCAATTAACGCGAGCTGGCCAATATTCTTGGCGGCGCCGGCGATGGAGGCATTGCCCGGCGGCGCCGCGAGCTGGCGCTCCAGGTTCGCATATGCGGTCGCGACGCAGAAACACGGGAGGTACATATCAGACACTGATAAATCAGGGAACCACAGGCACCCGCCCTCCACCAAAGCGTCGCCCGGCAGGCCGCGCACGCCCAGAGCGAGATAGATCATCGACGGGAGAGTCGTGGCGAACGGAAGTAACAGAAACGAGGGCCTCGCATGATGCAATTTCAAGATGCCATTGATGCCGGTCGTGAGCAACCTCGCCGTCCCTATTTTGTCGTCGGGCTTCTCCTTCGACCGCTCGGCCGCCAATTGCTGTAATTTGCGAAGATGCGGCGCGGCCAGGTTGATGCGCCGCCCGTGGCGCCGCGCTATCAGCGAAGCGGGCACGAGGGCGCTTCTCATCGCAAGCGTGGCACAGGGAATGGTCGCGTACCAGGGCAGGCCCGTGACCGCTTGCGCGTCGATCAAAAGCTGCGTCGCGTCGGGGATGAAAGTACGCGTCAGTCTTGGTGCGGGTCGCGCGCGCCGCGCCAGGCGTAGGGCACTGCGGGCCGCCATGTCTGATCGCGTGCGCCGACGCCGCGGTCGCGTGTGCGCAGCTGCTGATCGGTGGTGCGTGCTCTACGGGTCTCGTGTGCGACGCAGCGTTGCAAGTGTTACAGCATCGATGTCCAGCATGCAAAATGAACACTTCTTACAGCAATTTGACCGCTTAAACTAGGCCTGCCCACTTTCTAGTGTCTTACCACTACGCTAGCCGAGATGCGGAGCACATTCACAGCCCAAAAGCTTGTTTAAACTGGTGCTTAAGCATCAGCAGTGCTAGTGCAGGTCCGCAGCTCTCCCAGGACCAGCCGTGCGAGCTCCACTCGCCGCCGCAACGCTCAACCGCAGAGCCAACTAAGCACAGCACAACCAATGGACCAAATCACCGCCCGACCGATGCACCAGCGAGCCGCCGCCGTCGCATTCATCGCCTACGCCGCCTACCGTATCATAAGATGGACCTATCGCAGACTACTAACGTTAGCCTGCATGTCGCCTATCCCCTACGGCGCGAGAGCAGCGGCGCCTCTAATCGTCTCCTATTCGTTGGAAGGCGACGCCTACTTTCGCGCCGACGGCTGTTCCCAAGAGGTCGCCGCGAGGCGCAAAGCAGGCGCCGACAAACTCTCAAAACGGTTCGACGCGTTAACTGGTCCCAGAGGCAAGGCGCTAAACGAGACGCTGATAAGTGGTCTGAGCGACATCCGCTTCACCGATACCAATAGGGTGCCCGTCCAGTTCCAGGCGGAGACGCGGAAGCGCTACCAAGTGGCCGCTGTCACATCAAGTTCAAAAGGGTGTGTGTTGATAGACGTCGACGGCGGTCAATCGATAGACGTCTCCGGCTCCTACGGCGTCAACGTCTGCGGTTATGATCAGTACAAGCAGTTCGTGGAGCGAGGCTGGGCGCGCGTCAAGGAGTTGGGTCCCAACGTCCTGGGTCCCGTGCATCCGATTATATCAGACGTCCTACCGAAGCTCAAAACTATATCAAATAAAGAAGAGGTCTCCTTCCACATGTCCGGCACGGAAGCCGTCATGTGCGCCATTCGGTTATGTCGCTTCAACACTCGTAGAAAGCTCATCGTGCAATTCGCTGGCGCTTATCACGGCGCCGACTCAGCGTCAATTTCCTTCGATTTCTCAACTTGAAGGTCGCGTCGACGGCGTCGTTTCCGCGCAGGCTGGTGGGACGGCGTCCAGCCCGGTCCTGGGAGTGAGAGAGCGAATTCCGACGTGCTCTACCTCAAGGACATGCACCCCACCGCTTTGAAATGCATTGCCGCTAGAAGTGATGAAATAGCGTGTGTCTGCGTCTCGCCTTTACAGGGCCTGAATCCCGGGTCTCCTCCACCTTCCGACCTCGTGTTATTGGACGCCAAGGTGCGAAAGACCGCCGAGAAAGGCAATGCTTACAAAAAGTGGCTCCACACGCTCCAGCAAGTCTGTCAGAAAAATGACGTCCCATTGTTATTTGACGAAGTTTATACTGGATTCAGAATGGCTCCTGGAGGGGCCCAAGAATACTATGGGGTCAATGCCGACGTCGTCGTGTATGGGAAGACGCTTGGCGGCGGCCTGGCGAACGGCGTCGTCTGCGGCCCCTCTCGCCTGATGAAGCGCTTCGACGAGACGCGGCCGTTACGCGTCGCTTATGTTATTGGGACATTTAGTGCGGCTCCCCTCACCTTAGCGTGCATGGCCGAGTTCCTGGACTGGGTCTCGCGTCCCGAAACGCAACAAAAGTATGCCTTGGCTACTTCTCGTACCGATGCGTGGGTTCATTCTGTGAATAAGGTGTTGGCTGAAGAATCGTTACCGATGCGCGTCGACAACCTCACGACGGTCTGGACCGTTTTATTTACCCAACCAGGACGCTACCACTGGATGTTCCAGTACTACCTAAGGGCCGAAGGGTTGAGTTTGTCTTGGGTCGGGACCGGCCGGTGCTTGTTCTCGCTCGACTTTTCGGAGGAGGACTACGAGAAGGTGAAACAAGCTTTACTGAGAGCGGCTCGTCAGATGAAACAAGACGGCTGGTGGGACGGAGACGCGTCCGCTTCCGACATCTCCAAAATCATCGGCAAGGAGATGGCCTGGCAGATGGTCGCGCAGCGGCTCGCGCGGTAGGTCGTGGAGTTGTCTATAAGTTATGTCTTCCTAACTGCCATCGCGTCGAGTGCCGCGCAGACAGCGGTCACGTCGACTGATGCTTCGCGGGCGCGGAGCACCTCTTGCGATTGTTGTAATTCGCGCTCAATCTGCGCGGCCAACGGATTGGCGCTACCGAGGACGCGCCGCGCGGTAGGTTCAATCTCCTCGAGCGTCGCCACGGCCTCGCGGTGATCGTCGAGCGTGGCAGCTGCGTCGCAGCAGAGCGACTGCGCGTAATTGCACCTCAAATGAAGCGTGATAAAATTATTCTCTCCGAGAACGCGTCGCGCCACGGGCATCGTTTTGCGCAACAGTGTCCTGGCTTCTTCGAAGCGCTTCAGTCCAGTAAAGGACGACGCGTAGTTGCTGGCTGCTCGGAGGGTTCGTTCATGTCCTTCGCCACTACGCTTCAGGCAACCGGTGTATACCTTTCGTCGCAAGGACAGGGCCTCTTCACGCCGTCCGAGCAGGTCGTAATTGATCGCAAGATTGGTCTGCGTGATGAGTATGTGTTCTTCTGAGTCGCCAAGGCGCCACATCATAGCCAACTCGGCCTCTCTCACGGACAACGCGGCCTCGTGGCGTTTTGCCTTGTTTAAACCGTTCCCAAGCACGCCAATCGCCAAGCGCCGAGTCCAGTCCGCCTCCGGCCGCCCCAAGCTCGTCTTCCAGCACGCCCACCCGACCGCACAAGCCACGACGCCGTGGTAATTTTGCTCGCACAGGCTGCACGTGTGCCACCGATGCCACTTATTGTCGTCCAAATTCCTCTCCTCGGCATCAGCGACCAAAATCTTCGCCTGCTCCGCCAGGCACGACACATGCGCAAAACCTGCTGTCCCACGACAGGAGCACCCGCGCACGAGGCCCTCCTTCGTTTTCCAGTGGAGCGCCTGAGTGCAGATGTAGCACGTCTGGCCCTTGGTGTCCTCCGCGCACGCCGTCGCCGCGACCGCGACGGCCTCCGCGTACTTGTTATTTGCGTGGTATTGTTCAGCGCCGCCTGCATTTTTTATTGGTTTGCAGAGCTTATCGTGCCCACCCTCTTTCCAGTGCTGCACCTGGCATTCGGGCCCGCAGTAGCGCGTGCTGCAGCGGCCGCATTTCTTGCCCAAGGATAAGCCAAGCTCGGCGGCGCAGACGGCGCACTGCGTGAGGATCATCTTCTATGTGGTCAAATCGCCCCGGGGCAGCCCTACGATGCGAAATGCTTGCAAAAAAGCCTCGAGCAAGGCTAGTGCCTTACAGACGCTAGCCGGCAGCGCTGCAGCGTCGTGATCGATTTGGACGCACGCAGCGGTCGCGGCAGCATCCGGGTCGTTGTGACCGTCCAAAGAACAAACGCATACACGTCGACAAGCCGCAGCCATGGCCCGGGCGCGCTGGCCCGGCGAATCCCTCGGCGTGGCGCGCCCGCCGCCGCTCGTCGACCGCCTGCTGCGCGCCGACAGCATTTGCTTTTTGCTCTGTGTGTGCATGACGCTCGGCAGCACGCTCGCGACGCTCTACTGGCTCTTCTCGCCCAGTACGACGGCATGAGATACTTGCTGCTCGTGGCGGCGGCCGTGGCCATCCCCTTACCTGAAAAAGAGGCCGACGCCTTCGTGAGCGCGACCTTCGAGGGCGTCGCCGTCGCCGTGCCCCGCTTCGCCGACCTGGGAGCGTCATCCTCATATGCTGCGTTTCTGGCTTCTCTAGGTATCGGCGGCGTCGCGGCGTTCAGGGGCGAGTACAGGAGAGCGGTGCAGAACTGCGCTCAGCAGCCCATCGCCCAGGAATTGGAACAAGTCGCCGCGAAGACTGACACGTTGCATGCGGCCGTCGCCGTCCGCGTCTCTGATAGGAGTTTGTTGGTCGAGTGGCGCGGCGCCGAGAGCGCGGAAGAGGCCTCGGAACGACTCGTCGAGGAGGCCTCTTTGATCTTAGATATCAACGCTAGTCGCGTTTCATTGGCTGAAGGCGTTGCCGCGCAACTGCGGGTCCGCGCGGGGCAGCGATCCCTACAAAGCGAAGCTTTTGGTGTGCTGAGGACGCTGCCCGGCTCCGAACGTTCCGTATCTCTCATGACAATTGAGGCACCAGTCACGTCATTATTCCATGGGGTGTACCGGACCGCGCTAGAAAGAAATGAACTGCCGACCTTCGTGCTGAATCTGGCGTCGTCGTTCGGGAGGAGGCAGCACGTCCGCGCTCAATTGCAACGGGCATCACTATTGGACCAAGCCAGGTGGATTTCTGGTGTTGATGGGTCCTTGTTATCCCCGCGAGTGACGCGAGCAACCCTCAGAGAAGGTTCCGTGCTCAGCCAGGGCGAGGTAGGGATCTGGCTCAGTCATTTAACGGCGTGGCACGACATTGTCGAAGGGGGGCTGCCCTACGCTCTCGTGCTTGAAGACGACGTCGTGTTATCAGAGGATATCAAAAGTATTCTGAGAAATGTGCTCATAGCGCTAGATGGGGAAGAATGGGACCTGGTGGCGCTGGACGTGGGCGTGCCGGGGCACGCGCACGTCGGCGTCGAGACGACGCGACCGTTCATCTCCGAAAGATGTGTTGCTGCTGCGCGCGAGTTGTATGAGAAAGGTGAGGTCGTCTCAAAACTGCACGGCGGCTGCGCCCACGCATCCATCGGCGGCGCCTTGATCTCCTGGGCGGGTGCGCAGAAATTAACACAAAGTGCCCTTCCGGTCGCGCGGCCCGTCGACACGTACGTCGAGCGCCTGGTGCGCGACGGCGCGCTTAACGCGTGGGCGGCGCTACCGGCCGTGGCCCACGTCGACGGGCGCAACACGTCGGATTCCGTGCGGCGCTACCTGCGCGTCGAGGGCCAGCATGTGCACTACACGTTCCGCGCGGACGACGCGTCGCTCCCCACCTGCTTCGACACGCCGTGCCAGATCACGGTGGCCGTGGAGTAAGTGCAATTTTTACTACTATCACCTTACAAGCTATCAAAATGGGCGGCGAGGTCGTCGGCCGTTTGGAGGACTTCGGGCGCCTCGCGGGCGCGGAGGGCTGCGCGCGCGTCTTGCAGTGACGCCTCGATCGTCACTGTGGTCGGATATGATCCTCCGAGCACTCGTCGCGCGGTCGTTTCTAGCTCCTCGAGCGTGGTCACGGCTTCACGGAGATCATCGTGCGTGGCGCCGGTGTCCCTGTAGAACGCCTTCGCGTAATTCAGCCTTATTATGAGCGTGGCCTCACAACCCTCCCCGAGAACGCGCCGCGCCACGGGCATCGTTTTGCGCAGCAACACCTTGGCTTCTTCGAAGCGCTCGAGACTAATAAGGGACGTCGCGTAGTTGTTGGCTGGTATGAAGGTGTGTCTATTTTGGGCGCCGTAAAGCTTCAAATGTCCGGAGTATACGTCTCGTTTCATCGACAGGGCCTCTTCATCCCGTCCAAGCTGGCCATACGTACTCGAAAGATTGGTCTGCATGCCGAGAATGCTGTCTTCTGGCGCGCCAATACGCCGCAGCAAAGACAAATGAGCCTCTTGCACGGACAACGCGTCCGCGTAGTGCTTTGCAGCGCATAAACCGAGCCCAAGCAGCTTCATCGCAAAGCTCCGAAGCTCGGCCGTCTCCGGCCGCCCCACGTACGTCTTCCAGCACGCCCACCCGAGCGCGCAGGCCACGACGCCGTGGTAGTCTTGCTCGCAAAGGCTGCATTTGTACCTCCGCCTCCACCTCTCAGTCATTGCATCGTAGCCCAAATTGTTCTCCTCGGCCTCGTCCATCAAAACCTTCGCCTCCTCCGCCAAGCACGACACGTGCGCAAAGCCCGCCGTGCCGCGGCACGAGCAACCGCGCACGAGACCCTCCTTCGTTTTCCAGTGGACGGCTTGCGTGCAGATGTAGCACGTCTGGCCCTTGGTGTCCTCCGCGCACGCCTCCGCCGCGACCGTCACGGCCTCCGTGTACTTCTTATTTGCGTTGTATTGCTCGGCGCCGCCTGCCTTTTTCATTGGTTTGCAGAGCTGGTCATGACCGCCCTCTTTCCAGTGCTGCACCTGGCATTCAGGCCCACAGTAGCGCGTGCTGCAGCGGCCGCATTTCTTGCCCAATGATAAACCCAGTGGGGCAGCGCAGACGGCGCACTGCGTGAGGATCATCTTGCATGTGGTCAGATCGCTCGGGGGCAGCCCTACGGATGCAAAATGCCTGCTCAAGTTAAGCCTCGGGCTAAGGCTAGTGCCTTACTGCCGCTAGCCTCCGCCGCGCCCCCTCCCCAAACAGAAAACAACCCCTCCTTAGGCGATGTCCTGCGCCCCGTCCTCGGCCGTCGGCCGCACGTCGATCAGGAAGTCGAACTCCGAGTGCCGGACGATCGCGTTCCCGACGTCGCGCCTCCTCAAACACTTCCGGCCTTTTCTATGCGCGCCGGCCCAGGCTCTCGCCGATAGCGACCGCGTAAACAACTCGCAAGCTTTCGCCATCACTCTAGGCGCTTCCCGCCCCAATGCGAGCGGCTGCCGTTTTTCAAGTAGCGCCTGCACCTGGTCTTCCGCCTTCATGATACGTCTCACGCGGTGGTAGGGATAGATGACCGGTGCCCCGCTTTCGACCTTGACGGCCTGGCAGATTTTAGTTTGCTCGCTGTACATCGCACTGTCGGCCGCGGCCTCCAGTTCGGAGAGGGACGGCCCCTCGACGCTCTCGTCGTCCTCCTCTTCCTCCTCGTCGTCGAGGGGCGAGCGGGGCCGCTTCGTTCCCACGGCGCCGACCGCTCCAAGAGCGGCGGCGGCCGCGGCCATGTCTTCGGCGGTAGGGGCGGCGTCGGCCATGGGGCTGCGGCGCGCGGCGCGTGGGCTGGCGTGGAGCGCGCGGGGCGCGGCGCGGGGCGGCGGGGCGGGGCCGGGGCTGCGCGTTTGGGCGGCCGCGGCACAGCTTTTGACGAGCCAAAGTCGGCAATCAAATGGGGTTCGGGTGCTCACCCATCGGCGCGCGCAGGAGCGGTGAACTCGAGGCTTCCGGGGGCGTGCCGCCGACGCATAGAACGCGGAAGCTCGAGCTAAACGTGCGGGTACTATCACCTCTCGATCGATTTTGTGAGCCATTTTGCGCCTATCTGACCGCACGAGGCAGCCCGGTGGGGCAGCACGCCTCGAAACAGAACCGTGACGACGAGCTCTCACGGCACCGGAGCGCTTTGGGCTGCCCGACGCTGCTGGAGCGAGCAATCATCTCGAGGTGTGAGCTAGAAAGCGCAGCGACCTCCCTGAACGCGGCATGGCGGAGCAGGAGCTCGCCTGGCTCGCCTCGCACAAAGAGCAAATCGCGGCGCTCGGTGAGGACCCGAATCTAGTGAAAGCATTGGAGCGGGAACTGCAACGGAGCGCCAGTAAAGCGCGGCCCGCGCCGCCGCCGTTCGACGCGAGCCAGCTGCGCCTCGGCGATGATTTCGCGGCGCGCGTGCTGCCGAGCGACCAGCGGAGCGTCTGGCTCGACACGGCGCCGCCGCCGCGCGCCGCGCCGCCGCCGCCGCGCGCGCCGCCGCCGCCCGCCGACCCCCATCTTTGGACGCGCGCCGTCGACCCGGCCAGCGGCTACGCCTACCGCTACGATGCAAACGGCAACTCCGTCTGGGAGCACGAGCTGCCGGCGGCACCAACACCCGTCGCGGCGCAGCCCATACCGAAACCCTCGACGGGCAAGGCGTCGAAGCGCGCGGCCCGGTACTCCGAGTCGTCTTCATCTGAATCATCATCTGAATCGGACTCGGACTCGTCCGACGACGACTGCTGCGAGTGCTTCCGATCGCGGCCGGCCTACAAGAAGCTGAGTACGACGTAGTACTGATCTAACGTGTGTGTGTTTATCCCGACTAACTCGCGTCGACGGCGTACGCCTTCGACGCGAGTCTAGTAGGCAAGCTCAGAGTAGGGACTTCTTAATGGTACAGATTTGTTTTGACGGCGCGCCGTCCATGGCCACGACCTCGTAGCCCAGCTCGCCGTACATTTTGCGAGCAGCTTCGTTCGACGCCTCGACCTTCAGGAAGACGCGGTCGAAGGCCCAGGCTTTAACAATAGATTCGCATTTCTGGACTAAGCACGTCGCCAGGCCTCGGCGCCGATAATCCTCCCGCACAGCTAAGTCAGAGACATATGGTCGAGGCCGTCCCGGCGACTTCGACGGCCGCCCGTCACAATCCACATACCCCACAGCATCGCCTGCCGGCGAGCGCGCGATGAGCTGGATGTGTTTGTCGCCGCCGTGGTGCTCTCTTAGTCTACGGTGCTCCCGATGGGCCGCCACGGCTAGAAAGGACGGGTTTCTTTCGCCGAAAAACGACGTCACTAACAGCACGGACGCCTCGCCCAGGTCCTCTATTCCAGCTTCCAGGAGCAGGACGTCCTCCGACGCCTTTAGGACGTGTCGCCGTCTTTCTGAATAGCGGAGGCCTATGAACAACAGGACCGGAGCGATCATTTCTTGTCTTTTTGTTTTTCGAGCGAGTTCTCGACGCACTCCCGAAACGCCTCGTAGGCGTCCTCGCACTTGTCCTCTGTGGTGCCCGTGGCCTGGCCCCAGCGGAACGGTTGTTGGGCGAAGCACTTGCGGTAGAGTGCGTGCAGGTCTTTGCACTCGGGGAAGCGCTGGTCCATAGGCGCACCGCGTGTGCTGGTGAGGCTCCGAGACTGCTGCAGTGATGCTGACCAGAGAGGCTAGGTTACACGTGTTGCGCCGCTGGAGACCGATGGATGAGGACCGAAAGAGCACAAAACACTGCCAAAACCCAATTCTAATGATTTCAGCGGCTTGTATCAGCCAGACCTTGACTCGTCGTGCTAGCGGCGTGTAAGGCACTAGCAAGCCAAAAATCCGACGAGCAAAAACGAGGCTGTGTGCCGCCGACAACGCGTCTCAGCTTATTGTCGCAGCGCAGGAGTCGCCTCGAGGCCCGTTGCCACTGCCTGGTTGCAAGCGGCGCGCGCACCGTGCCGCGGGAAGCTCCCCAGGCAAAACCGCTCCTTTTGGTCCCAGTGGGCGTAGCGGTGGAGGAATCTTCCAAAGGCTGCCAGACAACCCTCGAGAGCCATGCGGCGCCCGCTCCTGCTCCTCGCCTGCGCCCTGGCGGCCGGAGCCAACGAGGCGCCCGCGGCGCCGCCCGAGAACCTAGCGCAATTCGTCCGAGAAGCCCTCGAGAACGCCTACACGACGCGCGACTATAAACGCGCCGTCAGACTGCTCCAGGACGGCCACGCGGACCAGATCCTCGAGGTCGCGTGGGACGACAACCACGAGGAAGTCGCCCGGAGCTTCGCCGCGAAGCGGGGCTTGACGGGCGCCGACGCCCACGCGGTCCGGGAGCTCGCCCGCGAGATGAAATTAGATGCGGCCAACAGACGGGATTTGAGGTTATGGTCCATATGTGTAGATGACGTCGTGACAAGTTCTTTCGAGCTGATTGTTGCGCAGAATTATGCTCCTGTGCCTATTCGGAAGGGCGAGACCGCTCGTGAAGTAGCCAAGGAGTGGTGTCGGAAGCGAGATATCCCGGAGCCTGAATGCGACATGATCTCCGCGACGATCTGTCGCGAGGCCGTCGCTCGCGGCTTCGCGTCGTCCACACCGGCGAAGCCTACTGGTATTCAGGTCACGGAAGGTTCGCGAGTGATGGCTCGAAGGGATGGCACGTTCCAGCGCGGCGTCGCGCGGTCTGTCTCTGGGAAATTCGTCGACGTGCTCTTTGACGATGGTCAACACCAGAACACGTCTGTGTTTGATGTTAGAGCGCTGCCGTCACCGAAGGAACCTCCTTCTTCGCATCCGTCGTATGTCTGGGCGGCGGTGGCCGCTTTGCAGGCGCTCGTGCTCGGGTTAGTGGTCCTAAGGGACCACCGCCGCCTGCGAGTGGAGCCACCTGCCAGGCCGCGGGAGGTGTCGCCCACGCCCATCGTGCCAAAGGCTCGAGACTGGGGCGCGCGGAGACGACGACGGAGCGCCACGGAAACGCCGAGTCCCGCGGTGCGGCGATCACTCTCAACAGCACCAACAGATACGGTGGCGAGCGACCGCCTCGGCCTGCTCAGCGCGACGCCGGGGTCCAAGGCCCACGAGAAGGCCTGGCGCAAGATGTGGGCGACGAGTCACGTCTCGGGCGACGACGGCGCCTTCCAGGAGTGGTACTCTTCCACATTTCCCACGTCGCCGCGGTCTCCAACGCTCGAGGAGGAGGACGACGACGGCGCCGCGGCGGCGCTCGAGGCGGCGGAGGGCGAGCTGCGGCGCGCGAGTCAGGCGCTGGGCGCCGGGAATCCCGAGGTCGCGGGCGGGGACTAACTAAGAGGTGTTGTTATTTATCCGAGACGGCGTCGAGTGCGGCGTTCTTGGAGTTCGGCGTTCTCGGCCTTGAGCCGCGCGATTTCCTCCCTTAATCTACTACAAGCATCTTCGGTTGCTTTCGACGAGAGTGCACGGAGGGCTGCGCGCGCGTTTTGTAGGGCTCCATCAATCCCCGTTGTGTGCGGATGCGTGCCACCGAACACGCGTCGTGCGATCCGTCTTGCGTCCTCGAGCGTCGTCACGGCCTCGCTGAGATCGTCGAGCGTGGCGTCGGGGTCTTCGTAGAGCGCCAGAGCGTAATTGCACCTCAGACCGAGCGTGATTTCATTACTCTCGCCGAGAGTGCGTTGCGACGCGGGTATCGTTTTGCGCAGCAGCGACTTGCCTTCTTCGTAGCGACCTAGAGCAAGAAGGGCGGTCGCGTAGTTGGTGGCTGCTAGGAGGGTCTCTTCATGTCCTTCGCCGTCGAGCCTCAAACGTCCGGAGTACACATCTCGATACAACCGGTTGGAAGTTTCAAACCGTCCAAGCATATGATACGAAGTCGCAATTTCGCCCATCTGGCCAAGCATGTGGCCCTCTGGTGCGCCAACTCGCCGATACGTAGACAACAGGGCCTCTTTCACGGACAACGCCTCGTCGTGGTATTTTGCTGCGCTTAAACCGTTCCCAAGAAACGCCATCGCGTGGACCCGAACCTCGTCCGTCTCTGGCCGGCCCACGTACGTCTTCCAGCACGCCCACCCGAGTGCGCACTTCACGTCGCCGTGGTACCGTTGCTCGCACAGGCCGCACTTGTGCCACCGCTCAAAGCCTAGCCCATCGGCGCTGCGCTCGACCGCGACCTGCGCCCCCCGCGCCAAGCACGACAAGTGCGCATATCCTGCCCCGCCTCGGCAGGCGCATCCGCGCACGAGGCCCTCCGCAGCCGCGCCGTCCATACAAATAAAGCATGTCCGGCCCGCCGTGTCCGCCGCGCATTTCTCCACCGCGGCCTGAACAGCCTCATTGTATCTCTGCTCGGCTTGGTCAGCTCTCAGCAGCGGCGGCACCGCAACGACGAGCTCGGCCATGACCACTGCTGCAATAGATGGGCTGCCTACGAAGGCTGACAGTGGCAATAAATGGGCAGCTGTACGACGGCTTAGTACGTGCTTGAAATGGCACTTGCTCCACTTGCTCTCCGGGCAAAAGCCTAGTACCTCTTGGGGTCGGCGCCCGCACAAACGGGACAAAACGACAACGCGACGGATCCGGGCGGGAGCCTTGAGTCGAACCGTCGCTCGTACCCGTCGCTAGCACACTAGCGGGGCGTAAGACACTAGAATCAGCCCCCAGGGGCCCATTGCAGTTCAGAGCGCGCTGCTGCCTTTACCGGGCTTGCATCGCCGCTAACGTAACCTTTTCATCCCTGCGAGCGGCTACAACAACAAGCGCAGCGACGCGGTATCGCTAGCGGGCCGCCTAGGATGAGGTGCTCCCTCCTCGCCGCGCTCGCGGCCGCCGCCGCATTACAACCGACGCCGCCGCCGCGCCGCCCCCGCGTTATACTACAAACGAGCAAGAAGCACAGTGGAACGCGACAAAGGCCCAAGGGAGCAGGGCGAGTGCGGCAAGGCGGGAAGCGCGGCGATTTATTAAAGGGTATATACGACGCGCCGGCGATCACGAAGGAGCGCCCGTCCGTGAGTGAGGACCCGCTGCTGCCCTTCGTCGAAGCTTTGGCGCGAGCCGCGGACCAGAGAAAAGGTAGGTCGATTGCTGCCTTCCACGTCGCACCCCTCACAGATGTAGCATCGTTTGTAATAGCGGCCTGCGGTCGAAGCAGGCCGCAGTGCGACGCCGTCGCGGCGGCCGTCGTCGACGACGCGAAGGAGCTCTTCGATCGCACGCCCAATCACGTCGAGGGCGGGGCCGATGGAGGGTGGACCTGCATCGACTTCGGCGACGTCATCGTCAACGTCATGACGCCGGCGTCCCGCGAGTTCTACAACATCGACGAGATCTGGAAGAACGCCGAACAAGTGGATTTGAGCGAGGTCGTCTCGCCCGAGGGGCCCGACGACTTGCTGGACGACGAGGACCTCTTCGACGAAGAAGACGACCTCGAGGACTTCTGGGACGCGCCGAACGCGCCCGACGCCTGGTAATACATTGTGTATAGTTACGGGTCCAGCGCGCCGGCCGCGTCCAGACGCCTTTTAAGTGAGCCGTCGTCGGCCGCCGCCGCGAGCTGTTTAAAGTCGCCTATACTGTCACCGTCGACGAAGCAGCAGGGCAGGCCCGCGCCGTACATGTTGGCCAGTTCCGCGACCATTGCAGGTTCGGCGATGAGGCCCGGCAGCGACGGCGCCGCGCCCAGGGACACGATTTTGATCTGGCTCTCGTGCACGCCCTCGTCTTCCAGCATCTGGCGCGCCCGTCCACAAAACGGCGAGAGCTCGTAGCCAAAAATAACGACTGGGGCCGACTGCCGTTCCCGATGGATCGCCGCGCGCACGGCCGGCACGTCGTAATTACCAGCCGATGCCCGTGCGAGCTTGTCGAAGATGGGCGCGAGCGGCGAGGTGACGGAGGAGACGGCGCGCAGGACCGGCGCCGCCAAAGCGTCGCTCAGCGGCAGCAATGCTAGGAGGAGGATATTTCTCATTTGCAGCCGGTGCTTTCGCGTAATAAAAGTTGCCTTGCGTGCTGAACAATGCGCTTGCTGAGGCTCCGTTAAGCTGTTTTTGACGGCGAAATAAGCGGTTGCACTAGCGTCGTGCGTACCTCTCGCCTCGACCGGATTCCCTGCGCCGCTGACTAAGCGGCGCGTACCCAGCAAAATCGGCACGAGAGCCCTCGCACCTGTCGTTCTACCTGTCGGTGAGTCGGGAGCCGCGAGGGCCGCGCCGACGGGTCTCCTGTCCGTCCGCGCCGGACGACCGTGGCACCAGAAGTCCGAGCTGAACTCAGACTGCCCTTGTGATCCGATTCGGGCTACACAAATCAAGACACAATCTTAACAACACACTACTCGACGGGCGGCCGAAAGTCCGGCAGCGACGGCGCCCACGCGTCCGCGACCGCCGCCGACGCGCCCAACCTAGAACCAACGGCGGCGTCGCGCAGCCGCGCGGCCCGCGCCGGCGACTCGACGACGGGTTGACAGATCGACCGCAGCTCTTGCAGCACGGCATCCACAATAATCCGCGCCGCCCGTCTATCGAGATTGGCGTTGTAGCCACTACAGGTATGCACATGCAGACACGCAGGGCATCCCGAACTGAAGCGACAAGGGCACTCCGACAGCAATCGTCGCGCCTGGCCCAGCGCCGCGTGGAAGCGTCGGAACAAGGCGTCGGCCGCCCCCAAGCCCCCGGGCCGCGCATCATACAAGATAAGGCGTAAAGGTCTCGGGCGATGTTGCCTCGGGTAGACATGTTCGGTAGAAATATCCGCCGCATCGGCCACGACAAACAAGGGCGCCACGATCAGTAAAGCGTGATTCGCCGCGTGGACTCCCGACCGCGCGTCCAGGTTCAACGAAGCCATCTTCTCAATTGCGGAAGACGGGACGTCGACCCACGTGCCCCTACTATCAAATTCGAGAGGTGGAAGAGAAAATTCCTTCAACTCGAGCACTTTGAAGGTCTGCCTACAAACTTTCCGGTAGCCCCAGACTTTGCTGACGACGTGGACGACTCCTGTTTTTAGTGGTCCTCTCGCTTCGAGGACTCGAACCGGATCGACGTCGGTGTGATTCCTGGAAGCCGTGATGTAGCCGCAGGTCCGCAACCGTTTGACGGACGCATATCTAGCTTGGAGGTCGAGCTTCGTGACGAGGTGGGGGCGGGCCTGCGTCATTACGGGTCGCGGCGATGGCGTGCCGGCGGCGTAGACCGCGACGACCTCCACGCCATCGAGCCGACTCAAGGAAGGAGACGACGTCGCGGCGATGGCGTGGGGAAGTCGCAAAAACAAAAGGACGCCGCTCCGGCACCTGGTGCAGGTAGATGGCCCCCTCGAACAACTCGTAGAACGCTCTAGCGTACGGCACGGTGTCGAGCACCACGCCGTTGATCCGCACTTCTATGGTAACTGGATCGACGACGCGCAGAGGGACATTTTTCGCATGTTTGACGTCGCTCCTCCGACAACATAGGGCCTTGGACCTTTCTACCAGACTCCCGTCCCTTCTCAATGAATCGAGGGCCCGGTCGTAGACTCGTCCCGACTCTTCTGGTACAGACCCGTCTCTACGACCCACAAACCTTGCCCGGTCTTCTGTAGCTAGGGGCGCCTCGGCCGCCGCGCAGAGCAGCTGGTCCCTCAAAACGCGCTCGTTCGCGATGGACCTGCGTGGAAATACGCCATCGACGCGATGCCTGCACCCGACGCACTGGTTGATTTCCACGCCGCAACCAACAAAGCGCACGGCTCGACCTCGCCGGTCAGCAACGGCGCCTTCTGCGCCATCAACTGATCCAAGGGACCGTTGAACAAGACGACCACGGCCAACGACGCTCGCGCGGGATCTCGGCCCGCCCGCCCCGCCTGCTGCCTTAAAGAGCAGCGGCTCCCGGGCCATCCTAAGTGTACTGTGGCGTCAAGATCTCCCACGTCCACACCTAACTCTAAAGCACAGGTCGCGACGACGCCGTCCAGCCGGCCCTCGAAGAAGTCTGACTCGATCCTACGTCTCTCGGCAGGCGTGTAGCCGCCCCTGTAACCAGCTAATCTTGTCGAGGACCGCTCGCACGCATATCCCAAAACGAGCTCCTGGAGCTTGCGCGTCTTCGCGAAGCAGAGCGTGCGCACGCCGTGCGAGGTCAGAGAAGCCACTATCCGAGCCGCCTCGACGATGGCCGACTTCCTTCTGATAGGCTCACCATCAGTACCTTCCACGGCCAGAGCTTTGCGCTCCGCGAGCATCATCGCCGCGCGGGCCTTCTCCTCGCCCTGTAAGGCTTGGTCCTCGTCGTACTCCTCGGTGTCGGAATTATACTCGTCCGTTTCTGCCTCGACTTTCTTCCTCTTAATTTTCTTCTCTTTCTTGAGGGGCGGGTTCCACACCACGACCTGCTTCGGGCCCCGCGGCGACGCGTCGTCGTCGATCACGACCAGCTGGCGCGACGAGGGCGGTAGGAGTGAAGAAGCGTGCCCGGCCGCGTCGCGGACCGTAGCAGAACACGCAAAATATTGACAGGACGGCGCTAACCTTTGTAGACGCCGCAACACCGCGGCGACGTGGGCGCCGAAGCCTCCGACGTAAACATGAGCCTCGTCGACGACGACGTAACGTAAGTCATCAAACAATCGCCGCCACCTTTGCGACGCTCCGGGCAACAACGTGTAGTGGAGCATGTCGGGGTTCGTGATGATGAACGTCGACGGCGACTGCGCTATCGATTGTCTCTCCTCATCTGCAGTGTCGCCGTCCAGCGTCGAGCATGAAGCGTCCAGCGAGCACGCTTCAATAGCTCGTTTGAGGGAGGCGAGCTGGTCCTGGGCGAGGGCTTTGGTCGGGAACAGGAACAGCGCGACGCAGCCGTCCGTTGATGCGGCCGCACACAAGGCAGGTACGACGTAGGACAAGGTCTTGCCCGACGCCGTCCCCGTGGCTAACGCGACGTCGGCGCCACCCAATGAAGCGTCAATCGCTCTAGCTTGGTGCTCGTAGAGTCGCAGCGGTTCTAGGAACTTGCGCACCTGGTCGGGCAGCGGTTTCGTAACCGACGCGTAGCGGCCCGGCCGCTTTTCTAAAGTTTCGACTCGAACAGCCTGGCCCTCGTACCAGGCCTCGCCAGCTAGGCGCTGGAGGGGGAGTAGGGCGTCGGTCGGCGGCTGCGGTTTTATTTTGGCCGGCGACGGAGGTGGTGGTTTCGGCGCTTGCCCTAGTTGTGGTCCCTCATCAAAATCCGCGTGGTAACCATTCAAGGGTGGCTCCAGGCTCCGTTGCGCTAGCCAACAAGCGTGCGCCGCGTCCGCCTGCTCTCTGAGAGAACATTCGAGCGTCGACCTCCGCGCCGCCTCGTACGTCGCGCCGCGCCTCCGATCTGAGTCGGAGAGCTTCGGGAAGACGACCAGCGGAGTACCGTCGGAATCGTCGACGGTCAGCGCGCGCGGACACGCCAGCGCGCACGTCCGCACCGTCGCCTCCGTGAGTGAGAGTTGCGGCACCGCACCACAGAGCTGCGCCAGCGTCGTGCGCACGCGCATCGCCTCGAGCGACCGGGCCACCTGGCGGAGCTGGTCGTATTGCGTCAGCAGCGACGCGTATTTGGGCGGCAGCGGCGTCGAGTCCGGTTTGAGGCGCTTCGGCGGCGGCTTGGCCTTCGTCGCGCGCCGCTTCTTGGCGGGCGCGGGCGCGGGCGGCGCGAAGAACTTCGTGAAGTCCATTTTTATCCCCGTCGCACGGCGTGGGACTCGATGCTCTCTTGGGTGGGCCGGCTGCGTTTTTGCTCGTTACGAGATCGCAGCGGTCTCGATCTTTCTTAGCGGTCGAAAGCGGTCTCGTGGGAGTCCTGTGCGCTTGCTGCTGAGTCGGTTAGCGTCTCAGCCAGCGAGCAATGGAACCCAGCCCCTGAACTAGCGGCATGTAACACACTAGGATCGGGATCGAGCTTTAAATGCGCTCTCCGCAGGCTGTTGCGGCTGCCCCGTCTCGGGTCTGCCCATAGTAGACACGCGGGAGACGCCCCTCCGCCTCGGGCAGCGCGTCGCGCGGCGGATAGGCAGCTGTTATTCGGCCCTGGCGTGAGATCGGCTGCCCACCACCCGGCGCGTGCGATCCGAGCGTCAAGCCCGAGATGGCGCATCGCATCTGCGTCGGCACGGTCGTCGAGGCAGCGCCACAGGCGTTCGGCCCCGAACATACGGCGCGGTACCGCGGGACGGTCGTCGCGCCCGGGACCGTACACGAGCTGCCGAGTGGTTGCCCTCGACCAGGTTATGATGAGCGTGTCTGGCGCGTCCGCTACGAAGACGACGGCAAAGTCTGGGCGACGCCCGAGCGCTTCCTCCGCGTCGTCGCGCCCCCTCCGCCTCCAGCGCCGGCTGCCGCGCCGGAAGAACCACGCGACCCAGCCTGGTACGTCAGGGCACAGCACGTCTCCGAGCGGCTGAAGACGGTCCGGAGCGTCGCCCGGCTCCTGCAGAGCCGGAGGCCCGGAGACGCGGACTGGCAGCGCAAAGTGCCGAAGCTAGCGCAGCGCCTCGAGGAGGAGCTCCTCCGGTCGGCGCGCTCGTTCGACGAATACGGCGACGAGCGGACGCTGAAGCCAGGGTTGCAGGCGCTGGCCGCGGCGATGGGCCGGCGCGCGCAGCAAGAGCGACGCGAAGCGGACGTCTTCGCCGAGGTAACGGCGCCGCCGGCAGACGCGGCGACGGGGCATCCGCTCGCGGCGCTCGGCGAGGCGATGGTCGGCGCCGTCATGACCGCGACGAGCTTCGAGGCGCGCGCCGGCTGCGTCGCCGCGCCCGCGCGCCCGTTCGCCGCCTACGCCTTCCGCGAGGGCCTCCGCGCGAGCGGGAGGATGGCTCATTTCACGCGCATCCTGGCCGGTGCCGGTACGGATGACGCGGCGATGCGGCGCCGCGTCACGCGTTTGCTATGCGACGACCTGGACACCCTCGAGGACTTCCATCACTTGACTCGGCGCGAGCCGCCGTCCTTGTCGCGGGAAGGAGCGCCCATCGCTTGGGTCGATCCGGCGACGGGAACGGAGCTCGCGGCCTACAGCGATTGCGCGGCCGCCGCCCGCGAGTGGGGCCTCCCCGAGCCATGGGTCGAGGACGGCGTCTGCGGCCGCACGACCCACGCCAATGGTCTCAAGTTCGATTACCGCGGCTTGCCGCCGCCGAGGTCTTCGGGTGTGCGTGATGGCGTCTACCGGCTCCCAAACGGGCGCTTCCGCGTGCAGCTCGGAGACGACTTTCTCGGGAACTACGCCTCGGAAGGTGCAGCCGCGCTCGTGGCCACCCGGGTCTATCGGCCCGGCTTGGACGTGCCGGCAAAAGGGGGCTGCGGCAAGGTGTGCGAGGTCCGTCGGTCCGGTGGTGCGTGGGAACGGTTTGCGTCGCAGAGCCTTGCCGTCCGCGCGTTCCCCGGACTGACAGAAAATACTCTCTCGGCTCTCCTTAACCATCCGTCCGAGTGCCCGCCCGCCGTCCGCGCGCGCTTCGAGGCGCGCCGCGTCGTTGCTGAGAACGTTTACGTGTCCTACCGCCCGCGACAGAAGCCGTGTCCAGAATGTGGCGAGCCCGTCGGCTGCAGGGCGAATGAGTGTCCTGGCTGCGGCTACGATTTCAAGGCCGCACAAGAGGCGCCGGCGCCGGTCTCGTTGACGCGGCGCGGGGCCGCGACACTTGGCGTGCGCATAAAGCTGGGAGGCCGGGTCGCCCCGGGCAAGTTAGTGGCCTCGGTGCGCGCCGAGCCGGCACAACGTCGAGTGCTCCGCGCGGTACCACGCGCCGCTCGCCGCGACGACGAGGCCGACAGCAACGCCGCGGCAGCGACGCGCAGCGCGCTGCTGGCAGCGACCGTCGAGCTCATAAAAGGCCAAGAGTCTGCCTTCTTCCGGGAGCCCGTCGACACGCTTTACGTGCCGGACTATCTCGACGTCGTAGCAGAGCCCATGGACCTCTCGACGCTCCGGACCGACATCACGAGCCGCAGGGTCACGAGCGTCGCCCAGCTAGCCGACAGGCTCGATCTCATCGTGGCGAACGCGACGAGGTACAACCCTCCCGGCCACGCAGTGCACGAGGCGGCCAAGGCGTTCGCGCGGAACGCTGCGATCGCCGTCGACGCTGCGCGAGGGCGCGTCCTGGTCAAACCGTCCTGCTCAAACGTGCCGCGGATCCGCTGCGCGCGCTGTCGGAAGATCAGGGCGCTGCCCTCCGGCCGGAGTGCCTCTCGGTCGACGACATGTGCCGACATCGGCCTGACCTGTAGGGTGCGCGAGTGCTCGACCCTCGAGGCCGACTGCCCCTGCCGCGCGTCGAGGCGGCTCGGCGATGGTTCCCGCGCGGTCGAGCGGGCGAGTGGTAGAAACAAGGTACACAAGTACTTTTGTACCGCGCGCACGGCGGCGCAGTGCTACCGCGTGGACGACGACGCGCCGGCCGGAGAGACGCACGAGTCGCGCATCAACAACGCATGTCGCACGGGCGAGCCCTACCTCGGCGCAACCTGGGCATTCGCGCGCGAGGACTGCGCCCTGTGCGCGTCGGGCGCGGATCCGGGTTCGATCCTGCTTTGTGACGGCGACGGCTGCACCGTCGAGGCGCACTACTACTGCGCCGGCTTGGGCGCGGTGCCGAGCGGGCACTGGTTCTGCTCGAAGAAGTGCCGAGCCTCGGTCCCAGGCGAGAGCGGCATGGCGCCAGAGGTGGAGGAGTACAGCGAGCCCCAGGCCCAGGCCGACAATGTGACGACGACGGACGCGCTCCTTGGGCGGTTGTTCCGCTGCTCGCGCTGCGACGCGCGCAAACCCATCGACGCGTTCGTCAACCGGCGGACGAGCACGGTCGGCCGCGACTGCTTCGCCTGCGTCTCGCAGGAGGCCGCGACCGGCGACGAGGCCGAGGCGGCACCAGCGCCGGCACCAGCGCCGGCACCAGCGCCGGCACCAGCGCCGGCGCCCGCTGCGGCATCCGCCGCCGCCGCGCCACCGAAGGCGCCACCGCCGAAGCGTAAGCGGACTGCGTTTCGCGCCTCGACGCGCGCGCCTACGGCAAAATCCGCCGCGGGTGGCTTGGCTGGCGCGGGCTGGAGTCCTTCCACATCCGAAAGATGGGGCGTCCGCTGCGACTACGACGCGCTCGTCACGCGCATGACCCGGGATCAGTGGGACACGACGGAGAGGAGGCGCGACGATGGCAAGGGGTCCATCGACCGGAGCTACACGCGCGCGGGCGACACGAAGGTGTACCGAAGCCTGCTCGCAGTCGCGCGGGCGCACTATCCCGAGCTGCTGACCGAGACCGGTGCGCCGGCGCCGGCGCCGGCCCCCGCCGCCGCGTCCGGGCGGCGCCCGAGCACCGACAGCTCCGACGACGACGAGTCCCTGCATGCGAAGGAGCCGGCGCCCGCGTCGGCGCGCTACGCCGTCGGCGACGCCGTGGAGGCGCGCTGGAAGGCAGGTCTCGATTACTACCCGGCGATCGTGATCGGCGTGAGGGCGGTACGCGGCTTTGGGGTCGTGGATCTGCAGTACAGCGACGGGTCGAACGACAAGGAGTGGGGCGTCGTCGAGGCGCTGGTTCGCCCTCTGAAGAAGCGGCGCGCTGCGGTGGCCGAGCGGGTGGGCTCGGCCGCTCCGGCGGCCGAAGGGTCGGCGTCGGGGCCGGCCGACACCGCGGAAGCGCGGGCGTCGGCGCCTAGCGGGACGAGACTCGCCTGCGAGGTCCGCGAGGTTGGAGATGAAAAGTGGCGGCGCTTCGATTCCCGGGCGGCCGCGGATGGTGTGTTTCCCGGCCTGTCTAGTCAGAATATTGGACGGCTCATCAACAAAACCCCGACAGATCCGGCTCCGCACCTTATCCGCGAGCGATACGAGGCGCGAAACGCCGTCGATGGTGACGACGGCGAAGACGACGCGCCGACGACTGCGCCCCGCTCGAACGGCGAACTAGCGTGTGAGGTCCGCCGCGTCGGCGACAAGGAGTGGCGGCGCTTCGCTTCGCGGGCGGACGCGGCGAGGGCATTCACCGGGCTGAAAGCGTATTATATCTCTTGGCTCATCGACAAGAATTTTCTGGCCCCTCAACACATCCGCGACAAGTACGAGGCGCGAAATGTAGGCGATGGGTCGTCGGGCGACGATGACGCGGCCCCGGCCCGCAAGAGGCCGAGGCTTGGACTCGTAGAGGTCCGACGCACCGGCGAAAAAAGTTGGCGGCGGTTCGCGACTCGGGACGACGCCGCCGCCGCGTTTGCGGAACTTCGCGACCGCAAGGACATCTCCGATCTCGTGTCGCGTCCGTCGAAAGCGCGCTTAGTCATCCGCGGCAAGTTCGAGGCGAGGAACGTTGTCGACGAGGCTGATGGCGAAGAGGACAGCAAAGCGGAGGAGGAACGCCCCGCCGCGACGGCGCCGTGCGGGCCGGCCCTGATCGGCCGCAAGGTTCGCATCTGGTGGCCCCACGACCGCGAGTGGTTCACGGGGACGGTGAACGCGTTCGACGGCCGGCGCCACGAGGTCACCTACGACGACGGGTCTCTCTGGGATGAGGATCTTGAGACGCCCGGCGAGCGGAAGTGGGAGCTCGTCGGTGGCGACGCCGCCGACGCCGCCGCCGCCGCCTCGGACGCGCTGCCCGAGGAGGAGCCGTGCTGCGCCATCTGCCTCGAGCCCCTCGACTCTGACGCGCCGAGCCTCGAGGCGTGCGGCCACCGCCTCCACGCCGACTGCCTCTTCGGCGCCGGCCAGCTCGTGAGCCACGCCTGGGCCGACAACGCGCCCTCCACAAGAAGGGGCCAGCGCGTCGAGTGCCCGACGTGCCGCCAGGCGTCGTGGGTGCCCCAGGAGGCCATTGAAGGATACCGTGTGCGTGAGTGTAAAGATACGTGAATAACGTAGTTAGTAACAGTCAGGGCGGCACCAGCCGGGGGAGAGGAACTGCACGCGGAATTTTGTTCTGTGTTTTTGTTTGATTTTTTTCCGGGCGTTCGCGAATGAGGGGACCGCGCTTCGTCGCGGGGGCTGGTGCTGCGGATGTGCGTGAGCGGTCTTCAGGCGCACGTGATCGACGTGGCCGTCGTGGCGGGACCGTCAATATCGCGAATTTAAAAAAATATTTTTTTCGCCCCCCAGTAAGTGCCCAATTGATCTCTTTGGACCTGTATCGAACCGAACGATACTCAAACAATTGCATGTCGCGTCTAGGAGTTCCTCGCGGAATCCGCGCCGGGCCCAGACTCCAATCTCCAATCTTCCCGGGCCAATCTCCAATCAGCCTCCCGCCGGGACCCCCAATGTCCAATGCCCGTCCTTGGGCTATGCAAAGCCCAAAAGCCCGAGCGAGACAGTGAGTGTAATGATACTTAAATAACGCGGCGTGCTGCTTCGGGACGGCGTAGAGAGAGAGAGGCTCAGTCGGAGAGCGACGCCGACAGGCGCCGCGGCACGAGGCGCGACCGGCGTTGATCGGACCCGTCGGCGATCGTGACCACCACAGTAGCCGTGCCGCTCAGGTGGTAGTGCCGCGCGCAGGCGTCGAGCGACAGCCTCACGTCCTGTTTCCCGGGCTGCCGCGACCAGAGGGCCAGCTCGCTCTCGCGGAGGCCGTGGTGCTTCGCGTAGTGCCTTCTGAGGTTGCCGAAGGTGTCCACGTCGCGCATGATCGTCGCGTACTCCGCGCCGCGGCGCACGACGCCGCCCGCGTCCAACGGCGACCGTAGCGTGTCTCCGGCCAAGACCACGAGGCAAATGTCGACCGGCGCGCCGCCGCCGCGCGCCGACGGCCACTGCGACGGCGACGTCGCGTCCAGGGCCTCCTGCCTAGCGCGGACCTTGCGCCGCGGCGCCACCGGAGACCTTCCCAGGATGGCTCGCAGGTCCACCGGTTTTTCAGATGGATCTACAAAAACCGCGAGGGGGTCGATCGTCGACTGCTCTCGCAGCACGTCGTCGGACAGCTCGCGCGCCCAGCTCGGGACCAGCGGCGCCTTGTGCGCCGCCAGGAGCGGTTTCGCGTAGAGCGGCTCGTCGGCGTCCTCGTAGTCGGACATGGGGTAGCCGTCGCTCAACGAACACGAGTCGAGCGAGTCGTCGGTCGCGCGCCGCCGCCGCGACGTCGGCCTGAGCTGGTCGTCGTCGACGGGGCGCCGCCGCTTGCCCGATTGGGTGGCGGCCGTCGCGGCTCGCGAATGGGGCCCGTGGGGCGCCGGCGTCGGCCGCGGCTGGGCCAATCGGGCTTCGAGAACCGGCGGCTCCGCGGACGCGAGGCACGTGCGGACGGCGGCGTCTCTGGCCAAAGGCCGGCCCTTCCAGTTCAGGCGCACGGCGGCGTCCTTGAGGCGGTACGACGCGGCGACGTGGCGGGCGAGGGCGTCGGCGCCATTTATCGAGGCAGGGACCTGCGGCGCGGCGGCGCGTGATGGCGTGATGGCGGAGGGCCATCGCTTCCAGGGCGAGCGCGCGCGGTTCTGCGATTTGTGAATTGCAACCGGCGGCTGTTGGCGTGCGGTCGGAGCGAACGGCGGCGCCGGGCGCGTTGAGCCGCGTTCCCGGCCGCTGCGCTGCCGCAGCGCCGCGGAGGCCGCCTGGCAGGGCCGCGCGCGCGCGCGGCGCCGCGGCTTCTGAAAATTGTAGACACTGCGGCAAACCGTGAGGACGCGCTGGCGGAGCGACGCGAGGCGCGCAGCAGCCGCCGGTGCCGTGCTGGTGCTGGTGAAACGCACGACGATCTGTCGCGCAGCAGCCATTGCACCGGTACGACACCTGTTGCCCTCAAAAAATCGCACAACGTGAAAGTCGTTGCTTGCTTAGATCATAGACGTACTAGACATGTCTCCTTCTGAAAAATCTGCAGACAGCTGCGCGCCATGCAGCCGTTTGAGCACCGTTCGGTTCGCTACTGGTCCAAAGAGATCAATGGGACACATACTGGGGGGCGAAAAAAATATTTTTTTTAATTCGCGATATTGACGACGCCGCCATGGCGGCCGCGTCGATGGAATCCTGTCAGTGGCGGCCCGGAGGTCTCCAGGGGGGCGCTTTTGGTCGGTAGTAGACGTGCGCAAGCGCCTACACCGCACGCGCGGCGGCTTCCATCGGTGCATACATATAAGCAAGGTCCTTTGCGCTCTATTGCTCTGGACCATGATTTGCCAAAGATTTCGATCCAGAGCTCTCTGGGGAGCACCAAGCACCGCCGCATGCGGTCTAGGGGGACACCCGACCCCAGATCTATCCCGGAGCGAGTCCGAGGGCCGATCTACATCCGAAAAAAGTAACTAATTTGGACCCGATGGCGCCCCGTTCCCGGCAAAAACGCCAATTACCCGAGGCCCCCCAGTAGTCGCCGTAGCGGTCTCGTTGGACCCCATACTACCCCACCGATAGTCAATTACAAGTATATGACATCTACATTATAAGAAGGGTACTTTTGGCTGCCCACGCTCGGGACGTGAACATCTTGATCTGGACCGCGCGCAAGTCGGTCGGTCATGAAATAAATGATCGCATCACGGTCCATGGTGATGGTACACGGGCTGATAGTCGCAGATTCAGTCTTGTGTTCGAAATTAGTGAGATCGTGGGCTCGGGAGTTGGCCGAGCCGCGCGGAGCATCGTGGGGTCTCGAGCAATGTAGTAGGCGCTCATCCCGGTTATCTGGCCCGTCCCACTACTAAAGCGCCTGAAAAGCAAATTTATTTTATAAACCACCGGTCTGGGCCCTTTCCCGCCCTCCGTCTACGCACCGTCGTCCGCGGAGAACGGGCAAGTCGGTCGATTGTGAATAGAACAACGGCTTTATGGTCCATCTGGATGGTGGAGTCGCTGATACTCGCGGGTTTTACTTATTTACCCGTTTATATGTAAACGCGCGGTACCAAAGTCGACGAATCGCGCGGCTCATACGGATCACCTCAAATAGCTCAGTGGGCACTGATTCGGCATAGATGGAATCTACCACCAACAAACGGAAGGAAACGAACATAAACTCGGGAGTTGTCTAGTAGAATTCTTTTCCCGCCCTCCGAGCGCGGGCCGTCGGCTCCGGTTCCGTCGAACTTGTATGAAAACTAGGCTGGAGGTGATATAATTCACCAATCGGACCGTAGAAGGCGTCGTCAATCGCTGGTGTATTTTGGCGAGCCGCAAGACCTGGTGATCTAGCGTATCAACACACTAGTAGGAATCCGTGTATATATATATATATGTATATATATATTCATATATGTAGTATACATGTATACAGGCCCAGGCGGATGGCTTTTGAAAGCAGACCTCTCCGGCTGACCCCCGAACAGTGAAGTTCAGAGCTTAATTCCCGCGCCGCGGCGGCGCGCCGTCGCCGCCCACGACTCCTACGAGCCCCCAAATCCACCTCGACGCCATCGCCGCGCACGACACAAGAAAGAAAGATACGTGAGGTTACGCAGGGCGCGCGTAACAAAAATCAGTCCTCGTCCTCCTCGTCCGACGAGCTCTCCTCGGCCAGCTCGTTGAACATGAAGTCCTTCTGGTACTCCATCAGGAACTGCGTGCTCCGCTTCAGGTCGACGAAGAGGCCGTAGACCCTTTTGATGTCTTGAATTTCGACGGCAGACCCTTTCCGCTTCGAGGCCACCAATGAGCTGGTCGTGATCATCTGGATCGCGTAGCGCATGGACGCCTCCATGGCGATCCTCGTTAAGAGATCTAGAGCATCATCTTCCATCTCGACGTCCTCCTCCTCGCATCTGATCGTGAGAATTTTTCTCATCTCCTCCTCGCTGTAAGGAGTGGTGGAGATGATCATCAGTCGATCCAACAAATCGAGCGGTAAACCATGAGGCGACTTGTACTGCGTGCCGCGGATTTTGGCGATGCCTCGGTTGGTGGCCGTGATGAGCACCGGTGACAGGTCGGACTCCAGCGCTCGGTTCAGCCACGAGAAGCACTCGATGTCCAACATGTGCACCTCGTCGACGAACAGCACGCCGGGCACGATGGTCGCGCGGCCCTCCTCGCGCCACTCGGCCACTTTCGCGTCGATCTGCTCCCGCACCTCGGGCTTGATCTCGCCCGTGTCGCCCGCAAATAACGCCAAGAACCCTTGCGCTCGCGAGTTGATCACGTCGATCTCATGTAAGGAAACGGTGTGGACCACTTCCTTGCGCTTCTGCAGTTCTCCTTCGGGGCATTGCACGAAGCGGACACTGGGACCCATGGCGTCGTAGTCTCTTGATCTGGTAAAGCTCCGCCCGAGCTTCGTCACGCGGTGCGAGGCCCGGTCGATACTAATGACGTCGCCGGCGGACACCTTTTCCTTCTGGAGCGCCTCGATCATGCGCGCGCCGAGGTCGTACACGGTCTCCATCTCCGTCGTACAGAGCGTCACGCGCCCCGTCTTCTCGGCGGCGGCCTCGCCGGCGGCGGGCTGGTCCGTCTGGATCTCCACCACTTCTCCCTCGATGATGTCCGTCTCCTCCATGATGCGGACGCCGATACTTCTGCGGAACGCCTGCGTCAGCGCCTCGGTCTTGCTCATTTCCAGGGAGAAGATCTCGGAGCCCGCAATCGACGTGAAGGGCGTGTCGTCGCCCAGGGCTTGCGCGAGGCCCATCGCAATTGCGGTCTTGCCCGTTCCCGGCTTCCCCGCCAACAGAATGGCCCTGCCGGCGATCTGCCCTTCCGCGATCATCTTGTAGACCACTCCAGCCGCTTTTCTAGCGGCGTGCTGGCCGACCATGCCTTGCGAGACTTGTCGGGGCTCGAGGCAGTCGTCGAGTCCCAATCCGCGGATGTGGCTGTGCGCGCCGATGCGTTCGATGCGCGTCACCTCCCGCACGTCGCCGGAGGCCGGCGGCATGGAGACGTCGGCGGACATCTTGCTTTGCGTGTAGCTGTGTGCTTTCGGGGCCTTAGGTGCACGCTCGCGGCGGCCGGCGTGCTATGGAGGTCTGTCCTGCTTTTAGCGCCTTGGCTTGCACCGTGGTCCAAGCGCGCGCTCGTGTGGCGGGTGACTGTACTGCGGAAGGCTTGTGACCGCTCCGCGTGCTAGTTTGGCAGCCGTAGACGGCCTGCGGCGTTTACAGTCTTCGATGGTTTTTTGGGCTCTAGTGCCTTAGTGGCGCTAGCCAATCAGCGCCGCCACGACGTCTCCGGGGGCCAGGGACGGGCTCGCGGGCGCCGGAGGCGTCCCGTCTGTACGAGGCAGAGGGACCCCCACTAGCAAACAGCGCTCGAGGCTCTCCCGGCGCGAGGCAAAAGCAAAGCTAACACAAGGCACTTCGTGCACGCGGGCAGCCTTAGAAAGGTCGGGCCAGCCCTCGCGCACCGCGCAGTCCCGCGGGAGCTGCGACGCCGCCGGCGCGGCCTCCAAGAGGCAGCCCTCACCCAGGAGCAACACGCAACAACCATGTTTTCGGTCGACACCGTGACCCGCTTCCCCGACCAGACGGGCAACGAGGTGCTCGGCCCCGGAAGCTACAACCCGGGAGAATATGGTGGTTTTGGCAATGCCAAGCCGACCACTGCGGGCTTCGGCCACGCCCAGCGCGTCTTTTCTGGGAATTCCGCGTTGCTCGACGGCCCCTCGCCGGCAGAATACGTGGTCAAGGACGACCGCATGTGCTCCAATGTACCTATACAAGCGGCTTCGGGACCGATGCGGTCCAAGACCGCGGGCCGCCAGGACAAAAGACGCATAGAAGACACGCCGGGACCGGGCGCTTATCTCAGGATGGACGTCGACTTCAAGCGGAGGCCCCAGGCGCCGCCGCCGCCTCCAGCGGTCTCCTGGGAAAGGGTGCCGACCGCACCGTCCATACCAGGGCACCACCAGAGTTTTGGGTACGAGGAAGGGCCTGATGGGGAGCTCGTCCAGCAGATGCGCGTCGACGAGGGCTACGACGGGACCAAGATGTCCATGCCCGGTCCCAGTGACTATAGACCGAGACATGTGAAAGGTGCGCATGTGCCCAAAGCTGATTTAGCCCGTACGAGCGGCCACTCGACGTTCGAGCGGCCGGTCGAGATCGTCCCACCGTTCAACCCCTACGAACACCCGAAGCCGACGGAATACGTCCAAAGACCAAATTCTCCCGGGACGCGCGACGGCAAACCGCGGAAATCCGCGGCCTTTGCGAGCGGCGTCGGTCGTAATTCTATCGATGGCGACCTCGGCGCGGGCCTGAAGAAGCCCTCTCCAGGCCCAGGAAGCTATGAGATCGCCGCGTCGGATGCCTCCCAGGCGCCGGGCCGGAAGGGCACCTACTTCTCGCACGGCGGTTCGCGCTTCGACAACTCGTTCTCCGGTGGGAGATACACATCACCAGGACCGGGCCAGTACGTAGGACAATCAAATGCATTTGAACAACGGACGCGGAGACGTTCTCGTCATTTAGGACCCGCGAGAACGGGCTTTGGCTGCGGAGGTCGCACGGACTGGACGCGAGGGAGCCACGGGGCCGGCCCTGGAGCTTACGAGCCGGCGAACGGTGTGATCGACGAGATGCGGCGACGCGTGTCGTCCAGGACCGGTGCGTTTGGCACGTCCCAAACTAGATTTCAAGTGGCCAAAGAGCGAAAACGAGACGTGCCCGACGTGCACGGCCGTTCAGTGGTCGAGATTCCTGGGCATCGCAAGCGGGGCCCCTCGCTCGGTCTGTGGTTCCGGGGCCAACCTCGACAGATGAAGGGCCCGTTACCGAAGCAGTGCCGCCAATGTACGGCCGCGTTTGCTTCCGGTGCGCCTCGCGGGCTCGACTATGGGAGGGATGGACCCGCACCCACAGCTTATAATGTGAAGGGCATCGACTGGAACGCTTCTGGTACGGCCAAGCTCCATGGCGGCGGTCGCAGGAAAGATCGCGACAATGGCGTTCCTGGACCAGGATCATTTAACTTGGCCCACGACTACCACATCGAGCCGAACCGCAAGCGGGTCATGGTCGTCTCGGCGGAGCGGTTCGGGCCGGGCGGGCCGCTCTACCAGCATCCAGACGTCCCGGACGAGCCCGGTCCGGGCAATTACGACTACGAGATGCCGTTTGGCAACTTATTGAAGCCGACCTACAACGTGGCGATTGCGGAGCAGTGCCGGGAGCTGGTGTTCTAGGGGCCTAAGTTTCTTACGACTAGTTCATGTTATGTGCGGGGTGGTCGGTGGTCGGTCGCGTCGAAGGCGTCAAGGGTGGTACATGAGGTGTTCTTAAGCCTCGATTGCGGCACGTTTTGCTTGTGTCGCACATGTGCGTCGATTACCACTAGAGATACGCGTACTAGACTTGGCGTGAGATGATACGACGGTCGTGAGCTTACAGCCGGCCCTATAACTGACACTGGCGGCACGAAACAAGTCCAAAAGCTGGTGCGTTCATTTCTGTCCAGTGCTGCGGACCATCTGAGCAAAAATCAGCAGCATTTGGCCCCTGTCATCATAACCCAGAGAGCAGCAAGCCACCATGCGGGCCGCCTGCACGCTGCTGCTGCTCCGCCTCGCCGCCGGCCTCAAGCTCGGCGCCCTCTTCGGCGCCAAACCTCGAACAAACGACGACATGCGCGGCCTGAGCTCGCTGGCCGTCAAGGGCGTCTGCGCCCATAGGTGGGCGCACAGTACAAATGACGCGCATGCGACGCTGGCGCCGATCGCCCGGGCCTTCGACGACCTCAAAAGCAACTACCGCGACGCTTTAGTTCCGGAATTGGCACCACCTGCAGCCAGCACGGAGCTCCGCGTGAGTGATGGCGGGTTTCACTGCTACGCTGCTGGTCAGTATCTCGGCGTCCCGCGGTGCTGCGGCGCCTTCACGCCATCGACGCGCGTCGTCTCCAGGAGAGGAGGTCGTGGACCGCGTCGGGACCGCGATTCGCGCAGGCACGACCAGGGCCATGCGCTGGCTCTATGCTGCTGATAGCGAGACGTTGGACCTCTTCCGGCCCCTCGCACAACATTTTCTGCCGGCCATGGAGGCGTCCGTCTACAGCGGCGGATGGGAAGCGGAAAATAGTGTACAACTCTCGGCGGCGAGCTTCATCTCCATCGTCGGTGCGAAAGCGGGCATCACCGACGACATCGCGCGGTGGCACGAGGACTGGGGCCCGTGCCAGGACCACGAGGCCTTTTCTGTACTCTTACCTCTCAGAGACACTCGGCCGGCGCCGGACGCGTATCGGTTAGAATATCGGACCTGGGATTGTATCGACGAGGTGAAGGTCTACGACTATGAGCTGGGCGACGCTATAGTTGTGGATGGGAGGGCGCCTCATAGAACCGCGCCGTTTTCTGCCGGTGACTTGGCAAAAGTGAACGGTGAAAGAGTGCTGGTCTGCCTCAACTTCGCTTCTACTCAACCGTCGGCGCGGCCGGCCCAGATTCAAGTGATGGAAAGCCAGACGCCGCACTTCTATGAACTGGCTCCGTCATGACAAGTAAGACAAAATTAGCACACACTAGTCCCCGCACGCCGCCTGCAAGAGCCGCCGCCGTTGTGTGCGGTACTCATTAATAAGATCCCGCCGCGGATCGTCGAGCATGCCCACGTCGCCCAGGACCGCGTCCAGCGCCTCCCGCACCTCCGCGACGCGTCCGTCGTTTTCGAGCAGGGGCAGGTCGCCCCAGCCCACGGCGTAGGGCCCTCCCAACGACTGCACATCATTTTTATTGGAAGGGGGCAGGAAGCCATAATGCAGCAACCACTCACCGTTCGGGCGACTGCCGTAGTTCAAACAAACCTCGTCGCCTTCCGCCAAGGCTCTGGACGTGTACAGCGCCACACTGTCTCCTTCACATTTATATGAGCAGCCGTCGGGACCGTGGTTCGCCATGTCTAACAACGGCGCCAGGACCAACTTGTCTCCGCACCTTACTGTCCGACTGCACACCAGATCCAAGGCATCGACGTACCGGTCTCTCTCATCATCGCCAGGATGCCGTTCAAGATGCGCGGCCCACTGCGCGTCCCTCCAAAAAAAGATCGCGTCGCATTCACTTGAGAGCGATGGGTCCCCGAGCGCGTCTATGGCTTCGTCGGGCCATCGCGGCAGGACGTCTGGTGGTTCCGGCAGCGACGCTTTGTGCTCAGCTTGCAACTCGTTTCTCACAAGACGGCTCGCCATCCGCGACGCCCAGTGGCTCTCTTCATTGTCGGATTCTATGGCACAAAGATCATAAGGTATCCGCAAGCATGCTTCATCTGCGGCTAGTGGACAGGTCGCGACGAGGCCCCTTCCTAATAATGTCTGGGCGACTCGTACGCGGCGGAGGCCCCTCGGGTGGGCGTCGATCAACGCGTGCAGCGCGTCGAGGGCGTGGGTGGTGGCTGCGAGGAGGAGCAGGCGTCGCATTTGTCACGAATGGCTGCCGGGGTCTTGAAAGCAATCGAAATGTGAGACTAATTTGGCCGCGCCGAGCAAGCACCTAGCGGTAAGGCACTAGCAATCCGACCCTGGGATCCGCCACACGCCAAGGCTGCCCAGCGGTCCCAGCGGTCTAAGACCTGCCGCCCAGGCATGGTCTAAGACCTGCCGCCTGCAGGCACGACGCCCTCAAGATCTGCGGCCGCTGCCGGAACCAGCCCTACTGCAGCCTCGCCTGCCAGCGACTGCACGGCGCCGACCGGGCTGCCCAGCAACAGGCCGAGGTATCAAAATATGCTCGCCTTCCAGGCGAATAACGCATTAAGGTTGAAACAGCTTAACCCCCCTCGGCTTGGAAGGGCCTTGCGCCTGCAGCGAGGCGTATACGAAGGGTTTCTGAAGCTCTACGGCCAGGAGCATCCGGAAACCCTCCGAGCAGCCAACGACCTCGCGGTGACGCTTAGCGAGCTACAACCTCCGAGCTACAAAGAAGTCAAAGCATTGTTACGCAGGACGCTGCCCGTGGCGGGATGCGTTCTTGGGAAGGATGTTTATAATGGAGAGAGTGAGAGTACTTATAATGGAAGGTTTGGCATCGTGCTCAAGATGCGTTGGGTTTACGCGGAGGCGCTCTACAAAGACGCCGGTGCCACGCTCGCTGAGCTCCGCGAGGCCGTGGCGACGCTCGAGGAGACGACGCGGACCACCCGGCGCGTGCTCGGTGGCGCGCACCGGCTCACCTCGGCGATTGAGGATGAATTGCGAAAAGCGCGAGCCGCGCTCCGCCGTTCAGGCCGATCCTCGGAGCCGACGCCAGACGACGAAACGACGTCGCGGTGCGTCATCTGCATGGCTTCGCAGAGCGACCACTTCTGCATCCCTTGCGGACACGTCGTCTTTTGTGGGTCGTGTGCGCGAGACCCCCGACTGGAGCGGAAGTGTCCGGTATGCCGCGAGCACGTCGAGGGCGTGCGAAGGGTAGAAGCGCGACCGCGCGCCGCCGCCGCTCCGGACGCCAGGCGGGCGCAGACCGAGGCGAGGTCGTACCTCCCTACGCCGTGGAGCGTGGAGGGCCAGGCGGCCGCGGAGCGCCGGTTCCTAGAGCGGTGCTTAGCCGCGGAGCGCCAGGCCGCGGAGCGCCAGCGCCAAGCCGAGGCGTGGACGCCGGCCGACGAAGAGGAGCTCGCGGCGCTCCGGCTCGAGGCCGCCAGGCGCCAGCGCGAAGAGGCAGCCGAGCGCCGGCGCCAAGAGGCCGCCGAGCGCCGGCGCCAAGAGGCCGCCGCAGAACGCCAGCGCCAAGAGGCCGCCGCCGCGCGCCGGCGGCGCCAAGAGGCCGCGGCGAACAAAGCCCAGGAAGCCGCGAAACGCAGGGCCGAAGCCAGGCCCCCGGCGGGCATGACGGGGTTGGAGATGCAAAGTTGGCAGAGGCGAGCGATCGATCGAATACGCGACATCGACGCAGAAAAGGAGCCAGATATGATCCTCGGCGTCCAACGCGGGGCGCCAAAGCATGAAGTCAAGGAGGCATACCAAGCGTTGGCCATTTTATTCCATCCAGACAAGTGCGGCGCGCCCGACGCGTCCGATGCCATGCAGAAAATTAACACGGCCCGTCAAAAATTATTTCTGGCCGCGACGTCGGAACGCGAGTGTGCCCCGCCGCCGCCGCCGCCTCGGACGCCAAGTACCTCCTCGACGCCGCCGCCGCGCTCGCCGCCGCCGCGGCCTACCGAGCGATGTATAATCCAATAAATTACTAAAGCCCCGCCGGCCGCTGAGGCTGAGGCTAGTTACGTCGCAGGGTTCCCCGTACCCGTCCCGCTCCCCCCGGGCCCACCCGTCCGGCCGCGCGGCTAGTAGGTGTCAAGAGTAGCAGTCGCCTCAAGGCACATGGGGGAAAGCTTATGCTAAGGACAAGCAGTCATGGCCGCACCCGCGGCTGACAGGGGCTGGCTGCATGACGCCGACCTGGCTGCCCAAAAATCCAATGAGGCCGTCGCGGTCGCGGCCGAGAAATGCGCCGACGACACCAAGGGCCAGACGTGCTACATCTGCACGGAGGCCCTCCACTGGAAAACGAAGGAAGGCCTCGTGCGTATGTGCTCGTGCCGCGGGACGGCGGGTTTCGTGCACGTGTCGTGTCTGGCGGAGCAGGCGAAGATTTTGGTCGCGGAGGCCGAGGAGAACAATTTGGACTGGAAGGTGAGGGATGCGAGGTGGAAGCGGTGGTACTCGTGCAGCCTGTGCGAGCAACGGTACCAAGGCGTCGTCCAGTGCGCGCTCGGCTGGGCGTGCTGGAAGACGTACGTGGGGCGGCCGGAGGGGAACGTGGCTCGGAGCTTGGCGATGACGTCGCTAGGGAACGGTTTGTCCGCCGCAGAACACCACGAGGACGCGTTGACTGTGCGAGAGGCCGAGTTGGCTATGAAGCGGCGCCTTGGCGCGTCAGAAGCAAGCATTCTCGTTGTGCAGGGCAATCTTGGGAACTTGTATGATAAGCTCGGACGGTTAGAACAGGCCTTGCAGATGCGACAGGATGCATACTCCGGACATTTGAAGTTCTACGGCGAAGAACATGAAGATACCGTCCGAACGGCCAACAACTACGCGGCGTCCCTTTATAATCTACAGAGCTTCGAAGAAGCCAAGTTGCTGCTGCGCAGAACGGTGCCCGTGGCGCGGCGCGTCTTCGGAGATGATCATCGTCTTACACTCTCGCTGGGGTGGATGTACGCGATGGCGCTCTACCTAGACGAAGGCGCCACGCTCGACGATACCATCGAGTCAGTGAATACGCTCGAGGAGTTGGAACGGACCGCGCGACGCGTGCTCGGCGGCGCGCATCCGCTCACAACGGCGATGGAGGATAACCTGCGACAAGCGCGAGCCGCGCTCCGCGAAGAAGTCCGCGAAGAAGCGCGAACGCGCGGCGCCGCCATCATCTACGCCGCCGCCGCGCTCGCCGTCGCGGCCGTGCTAGTGTTACGTAAAAAACTCACTTAGAGCCCCGCCGGCCGCGCGTTCCAGTTCGGGTTATTGATGGGGTCCACCCACCGCCTCGCCGCGATAACCAAATGCGTGAGAGATGGTTAACACGAGCAAGTAAAACGGCTAATTGTTACGGTGCACAGGGCGGGGAGACGAGAGCAGCTAGCGGCTGTAAGGCACTAGCAATTCACAAGCACCGAAGCAGATCCGCGGAGGGAGGGCTGGTTCAGTGCCTTCCCCCCCAAATTCTGCCGACTCGCGCGAGGCAGTGCAAAGTCATGGCTGCGTCCGCGGCTGCCCCGCCCTCGCTGCTCGACGCCGACATGGCTGCCCCAAAATACACGGAGGCCGTCGCGGAGGCCGTCGAGAAATGCGCCGGCGACACCAAGGGTCAGACGTGCTACATTTGCACGGAGGCCCTCCACTGGAAAACGAAGGAGGGCCTCGTGCGCATGTGCGCGTGCCGCGGAACGTCTGGCTTTGCGCACGTGTCGTGCCTCGCGGAGCAGGCGAAGATTTTGTGTGCCGAGGCCGAGGAGAATAATAAAGTGTCGCAGTGGCATCGGTGGCACACGTGCAGCCTGTGCGAGCAAAAGTACCACGGCGACGTGGCGTGCGCGCTCGGATGGGCGTGCTGGAAGACGTACTTGGGTCGGCCGGAGGTGGACGAGCTTCGGCGCATGGGGATGGAGCAGCTCGGAAACGGTTTATCCAGGGCAGAGCACTACGAGGATGCGTTGTCCGTGATGGAGGCTGAGTTGGCTACGCTGCGGCGACTTGGCGCATCAGAAGCCAACATTCTCGGCTTGCAGACCAATCTTGCGTGCACGTATGGAGAACTTGGACGCCTTGGAGAGGCCTCAAACATGTTTCACGACGTGTACTCAGGACGTTTGAAGCTCTATGGCGAGGAACATCAAGGGACCCTCCGAGCGGCCCTCAACTGCGCGGCGTCCCTTAATCAGCAAGAGCGCTTCGAAGAAGCCAATTCTTTCATGCGCAAAATGATGCCCGTGGCGCGACGCGTTATCGGCGAGAATCATGAATTCACGCTCAGGATGAGGTCGATTTACGCGCGGACGCTCTACGACGACCCCGCCGCCACGCTCGACGATCTCCGCGAGGCCGTGGCGTTGCTCGAGGACACGGACCGGATCGCGCGGCGCGTGTTCGGCGGTGCGCACCCGACCACAGCGGGGATTGAGCGCCATCTGCGAAACGCGCGAGCAATGCTCAGCATCCACGAACACGCGCCAACGTGCGTCGCCATCTTTGCCGCCGCCGCGCTCGCCCTCGCCGCGGCCTACCTGGCACGTAAAAAACTAACTTAGAGCCCCGCCGGCCGCGCGTTCCAGTTGGGATTATTGATCGGGTCGACCCACCGCCGCGCGGCGACGACGTCCAACAGAATGTCTTGGGCCGACGCCCGCTTGATCAAACCGCGCACGGCCTCGTCGACGGCCCGGTCCATGAACGACGCCGCCTGCTCCATGGCTCGTTTGAGCTCGCCTGCCCTTGCAAGTGCGACCGGCCTTACGTTCAACAGTGAATCGGCGTCGAAGGGCGAGGCCACTTTGTCGAACAATTCTAAGGTTTTGACGACGACCAAAGGCGGCGCGTCCCTACTATTGAGGTCCTCGATAGCTGTTGATAACGCATGCGCGTCAAGGACGTGCTGCCGGTCGGCAATAACGACCCATTCGTGGTCCTGTTCTTGTATGACGCTGCACGACGTCGACCCGTACCTCAAGACACTGGGAAGTAATGGTCTTCTCGATATGGTATCGACGAGGTCGTCGAAGGCCCAGCCGACGGACGTCCGGGACATCGAGTTCGTGACCACATCTATAGCTCGCTGTTTTTCGCCGTTCGCGTCGCAGCACGTGCCGTTCGCGACGCCTCGCAGCGCCTCGGCGACGCCGTGGACGTCGGGCGTCGCGACGTAGCCGATGTTGAGCCACTCGCGCTGCACGGGTTTTACAGAAACTCCGTGCATCGTGTAGTCCTTCATGGCACCTCTTCTCGTCGTGATCACGGGCACGCCGATGTGCTGCGCCTCGAGCACGAGCATGCCGAAGCCCTCGGACCGGGACGGGTGCAGTAACACGTCCGCCAATGCCACAACTTCGAGACTTTCCGCATAGTCGCGTTCGACGGTGTCGACGACGTACCGTCCCGAAGGCACGCCGGCAGCTCTAAACATGCTTTCTACTGGGAGGGAGGCGGCCATGCGATGGCCTATCGACGCGTTGATCGTGACCGCTCTGATATATAGGTAAGAAGGCTGCTGGTAGCTCCGACAGAAATCGGAGTAAGCTAGAGCAGCGACGTCCACACCCTTCCTATCGTCACTTGCATAGTTCCCGAAGGACATGACCGGCACGAAGGCATCTGTAGGTACGTTCCATTTCTTTCTCAGTAGTGCTCTATCATCGGTAGACACATGTTTGCGGCCATCCACGACGTGCGGGATGCGAGCGACTCGCTTCGACGGTAGTTCCCTCCCGATGGAACGAGCATCCGACGGCGACAGAGCCGCGACGGCGTCATAAGCCCTTAAAGCATGGGCAGAAGCCAGATCCAATTCCCCGGTGTGCGACGGAAACCATGCGATCGTCGGTATGACGAAGGCCTCGTCCCCGCCCACGTTGTTCAGGTCACATAAAGTAATGGCAAAATCAATTTTTTCCTTCTCGAAGATGCGGTTGAGTTTCGAAACTTTTTTTACGGGATCTTTGCTCATCCCTGCGCCCCGGTAGCCGACCAGCGGCGAGATCTTCGGCGCTCCATACTGGATGCGGTCGACGGTGCCCGACAACCCGATCCAGACGACGTGGTGCGTCGACAGCCAGTGCTCGGCGAGCTCTCGCAGCTGGTGCGCGTAGGGGCCGTAGTCCCACGGGGCGGCAAACGAGACTAACGCGACGCGTTTCGGGGGCGGCTTCTTGGCGGCGGCGGCGCAGCAGGCGAGGGTGACGAGGCGGCGCAGCGACGGCGTCATGGCTGTTCGGCTGCTGGGGAGAGGCTTGCAGGGAGACGCTTTGCACTGCCGTGCGCGGTCAAGGCGCCAAGGTGTCGTGTGTGCACAGCCTTGGGCAAGCTCTTGGCAGCTCTTGGCTTCGGATTCCGCCAGTATTCGCCTGGCGAGGCCTTGGCAAAGCTTGGCCGGCCAGTTGCTAGTGTGTCTATCGACGCTAAGCTGTTTTGCTTTGCACTTTGGCAACGGTGTGCTTACAGCTGCATTGGGGTATAGAGCGGTGCGGGCTACATCTGGCACGCACGCCGTTCGCTGGAGCAGCGCGGACACAGCTTGTGCCACAGCTTGCATTCAAATCAGCTCCCCCACCCGCACCACAGCTGCACGCTGCCGCCGGCGCGACCACCGCGCTGCAGCAGATTGCTGCACTCAAACAAGCTTTGCCCAACTGCACTGCACGCCGCTGCACGCCGCCGCCGCGACCGCACGGATCACCATGTGGCGCGCCGCGCTCCGCTTACGGCACGCCGCGCCCTGCGCCACGCTCGCCGCACTCACGAGATGCGACGAGGACACCCTCCAAAAACGCACGACCTGGAAGGCGTCGTCCGACAAGCTCGGACCGCCGCGCGTCCACCGCATCGTCATCACCGGCGGCCCGTGTGCCGGAAAAACCACGGCGATGGCCAAATTATCTTTACGGTTACAAAACATGGGGTTCGACGTGTTTGTCGTTCCGGAGGTCGCCACGCTAACTATTACCGGAGGCGCGAAGCCCGGGAACTACACGCAACGGCAACACCGCGACTGGGAGGTTTCTGTGCTGAAAATACAGATGGCCCTCGAGGACAATTTCCGCGACATCGCCGAGAAGTGCTCCCTCTCAGAAGGGAGGCACGCCGTGCTCTTGATGGATCGAGGTACGATGGACGTCTTGGCGTACGTGGGCAAAGATCAATTTGATGACGCATGACTGCGGCGTCCCGAGGCCTTTCTTCGGAGATCGTACTCGCCTCCATCTCACGATGCCGGGGGTGGTCTCATTTTCGAGTTTGAGCGCATTTCATCACGCGCAGGTCCTCGAGGAGTTCAATTGGACGATACCGCAACTACGCGACCAGAGATATGAAGCCGTAGTGCATTTAGTGACCGCGGCGATCGGCGCCGAGCGCTTCTACACGTTGGAGAACAACAAGGCTCGGATGGAAAGTCGTCCGGAGGCCATCGCGCTGGACGGAAGGCTAGCCAGGGCCTGGGTCGGCCACAACGCGCTGCACGTGGTGGAGAACGGCACGGGGAGCTTCGAAGAAAAAATACGAAAAACGGTTGATGTTGTGTGTCGAAGTCTCGGTGTCCCTGGACCCAGATCGCAGCCGCGCTGGTGGATCGTGCGCAACGTCGACGAACAGGCTTTAGCGCAATTGGAGCCGGCGGAGTGGAAGCTGGAGCACGTTTTTTTGAGGACCTCCGATGGAAGCGAGTCGCGTGTCACGAAGAAGTCGAGCGTCGGGGGCGGTCCCGCGACGTACCACCATCGCGTGCGGGGTAAAATGGTCGGCGACGAGCACTCGACGTCCGAAAGGACCCTATCTCTCAGAGAATATAAAGCATTGCTCAAAACGCGGGACCCGGGCCGCCTGAAGATCAAGAAGACGCGGCGCGCGTTTTTGTGGCGCGACGAGTACTACATGCTCGACACGTTCCACTCGCCCGAATCCGCGTCCGGCACGACCACGCTCTTCGTCGAGGCGCCCAAGGGCGAGTTCTCCTTTCCTCCGTTCTTGGAAGCGAAAGTGGATGTGACCACGAAGCACTGGTTCTCGTCGTCGGCGCACGATAGCTATGCGCGGACCATGATGCTCGCGGGCGAGGTGTCGAACGATCCCTATGATGGCGACGCGAACGCGGACCCGCGGCGGGGGGCGTGGTAAGGTTTAGTAGTGTGGTATAGTACTCTTCATTTACGCCTCGTCCCACCACTTCTTCTCCCGGAGCTGCTCCCGGAGCTGCGCGTGGAAGAAGTCGCCGGCCGGTTGACGCTGAAGCGCCGGTCCGGGCGGCCGCTGGTCGTCACCGGCCGGGGGCTCGCGTACCGGCGGTCCGGCATGCCGTCGTTCCGTAGGACCGTGCCCATGCGCGCGCCGCCGCTGCTACTTCTCCGCGGCGGGGTCGGTGCGGGTCGGGGGATGTAGATTTGCGGAGACGGCGACGAAGAGTAGTAGGTCGTTTGTTGAACCACCGCCGGCTGCGGAGCCCGGGGCGGCGGGGGCGCGGGCGGCGGCAGCGCGGCGCCGAATGTGAACGCCGGACCGCCTGCAGGCGCAGGCGCCGGCGGTGCAGGCGAGCTCGCACCGAAGGCATATGCCGGGGCGCCAGCAGCCTGTTCCGGTGACCATTTCACGACGTTCTTGCGGCTAAACGGCAGCGTGGCTCCCCCGCCGAGCCTAACTGCCACCCGGCCCCGGTCGATGAGATCCTGGGACGCCTCGACGATGATGCCGCGACGCCCGTTGAAGCTTGTGTTGAATGCACACCCTACGAGCTTCACCTCTGTGCCGACGGGCAGCGGCTCCTCCGACGCCGCCGCCGACGGCCTTTGGGCCTCGGCCCGCGAACGGAACTCTCGGATCATTTTGCTCATATTTTCGAAGTCCTTTTCTACAGCCTTCATAGCGTACTCGATTGAGTGGCCGTTATTGTTAATCGGCATCCCTCTGCATGTCTCCCGTACTTCGCTTTTCAGTTGGTTTTTCTTCTCGAGCAGCGACGATACTGCTCTATCTAACTTGTCCAGGTCGGCTACTAGCTCCCCTTCATTGCCTACCGGCGCGGCCGTCGACCGCGCCTGCTCCAACTCTGCTTTCAACCGGCTTAGCTCGGCCACGGTGTCCTGTAGCTTGGCCTCGGCGAGACGTTCCCTGAGCGAAGCTTGTCCGAGTTCTACGTCCATCGCAGCTTTTCTTTCCGCCTCGTACTCCAATTCTGTCTTCATGGCGTTGCTCCGTTCCACCTCCTCCCGGAGCTCGAGATTCTTCAAGTCGATTGTATTTTGCGCATGCTTCTCTGCCGTCTGCAGCTCGAAGCTGGTCGCGTACCACCGCGCCAGGTAGCGCGCCGCTTCAGTGTTCACGGCCTCGCGCGCTTCTCGCTCTGCCGCCAGCTCGTCGGCGAAGGCCCGCTCGCGGTCCGCGCTCTGGGCCACCACTACCGCCAGCTCGGCCCGCCGCCGCTCCAGTTCCTGCTTGGCCTCGCGGAGCGCCGCGCCGCGCGCCCGCGCCGCGACGCCGCCGGAAACGCCGCCGAAGAGGCCACAGACGTCAGCGAAGCCACCCCCCTCGTGCTCCTCGAGCTCGCGCTCCATCGTCCGAATCTGTTCCCGAAGAGCTCGCTCCCTCCGCTGTGCGGCCTCCTCGACCGCTTGGCGGCGCCGCTCGGCCTCAGCTTCCCTCTGGGCACGCGCTTGGGACGCGGCGCGCTCCGCCTCGATTGCCGAGCGCAGCGCCTCGGCGTCCTCGGTCGCCCGCGCCGAGAGCGCCTCTTCCGCCGCCAGGCTCTTATAGTCTGACTCCGCCTCCGCGCGCGCAGCCGCGGCTGCTGCTCGTTCCATCGCAACGGCGGCCCGGTCCGACTCAAGGCCGGCTTCCGCCTCGGCGCGTGCGGCCGCGTCCGCGGCGCGCTCCGCCGCTAGCCTCTTGGAGTCGGCTTCGGCCTCGGCGCGCGCTGTCGAGGCTTCGGCCCGCTCCGTAGCCGCCTCGGCGCGCGCTGCGTCCGCCTTGGCGCGCTCGGCCGCCGCGCACCGCCGCACCATCGCGGCTCGGGCCGCGTTTTGCCTCGCGCGGATCTCGTTTTGCCTCGCTCGGGTCTCGGCCGCAGCTCGCGCCTGTTCCTCCGCGCGCCGCCGCTCCTTCTCGCGCCGGAGCTTCTCTTTACTCTTGCCCTTTCCGAGGAGACCGCCCATGCCGGCAGCCCCGAGCGCCTTCTTCAGCAGCTTCTTGCCCTCCTTGAGGGCGCGGCGGTCCTCGTCGCGCAGCCCGGCGCCCCCAGCGCCAAATTCCGCCATGCTTTACCGTGGACAAAGTGGGATTTTGGCCTCTGCCAAGGGAGAGCACCGCTGCCCGGTGGGCCACGCGCCGATCCCGACGCCGCGGGATACGTCGGGGAGGCCGTGCGTAAGGTTAGGCCGGGAGACGGTTCCGGGACGCGTCCGCACAGTGGCCGGATTTGCGGGTGGGGGTGCAAGATGCCACCGCTCCCTTCTTCTGGTCTATCGCGTACGGAGGACTCATGCCAGGGATCTCCGGAGGCGTAAAACGGGGGGTGCAAATGGAGAGGCAGAGCCGAGGCTGTGTGACACACATCTTAAATTAGCTGTGCATCGCGACGTAGCCGACGCGACACAGCAAGAAGGCCTGCGGGAAGGCCTCAGCGGTGCATCATGATGCTCGCGCCGAAGACACGCGAGACGAAGATGCGCCTGCTCCGGGCTTTGCTGCGCAACAAATCCACGGCCGCCGCAGCCGCTGGCAAGCCGATCGCGCACATCTACCCGAACAGCGAGACGCCGGTCAAGGCTCTGGACCCGCGCGCGGCCGCGTCCATTGATTTGCAGCGCTCCTACGCGGCGCCACGAAAAAAGGAAGGCCGCCGACTCACGCGCGCGAATCGCGGCTGAACTGTCACGTCGACCAACGGCTGCGCGCCGATTCGCCGTCGACGCGGAGAGCTCGCACCGCTGCGCAGCGACGCGCGACGACGAGAGAACGAGAAAACACACCCGAGCGACACCGCGCCGACCGCGCGACGAACTCACGCAAAACGCACGCAGGCTCGACACCTTCGAGCGCCGCCACATGGGCCCCTCCGAGAAGGACCAGCTCGAGATGTTGAAGACGATCGGCTTCGAAAGTCTCGACGAGTTAGTGACGAGCACCGTGCCCGCTAATATCAGGCTTGAAGAACCGATGGAGCTCGGTCCGTATCTCCGCGTTTTCAAGTGTAGAGGCGCCTTCACATCATTCGAACGACTCGTGGCCATCTCACGATGACGTGGGTGGTTTATTTTTTGAGTTTGAGCCGATTCGGACACCGCGACACACGCAGGCTCCCACACGTCGGCCGCCATGTCCGAGACCGAAGCCCTTTCACTCCTCAGATCCATGGCCGACAAGAACAAGGTCCTGAAGTCGCTCATCGGCCAAGGGTATAATGAGACCCATACGCCTTATGTGATTCTCAGGAACATGCTCGAGAACCCGGGCTGGTACACGGCCTACACGCCCTACCAGGCCGAGATCTCGCAGGGCCGCCTCGAGATGCTGCTGAACTACCAGACTTTAGTCACTGAGTTAACTGGTATGGAGATGGCCAACGCGTCGCTGCTCGACGAGGCCACGGCGGCCGCCGAGGCCATGTCCATGTGCGTCGCGTTGTCGAAGAACGGCAAGAAGAAGGGCGCCATGACCTTCTTCGCCGACGCGCAGTGCCACCCGCAGACGATCGCGGTGGTCAAGACGCGGTGCGAAGCTCTTGGGATTGACGTGGTGGTCGGGGACGCGACGTCGGCTGATCTGGGCGACGCTTGTATTGGCGTGCTGTGGCAGTATCCCAATACCCGTGGAGATGTGGTTGGGGATGCCGCTGGTGTTTCTGCTAGAGCTCATGACGCCGGCGCTTTGTCTGTAGTAGCTGCGGATCCATTAGCGTTAACACTCTTACCAGCCCCGGGCACCTTCGGCGCGGACATCTGTGTTGGTAGTATGCAGCGCTACGGCGTCCCGATGGGCTTCGGGGGCCCGCACGCGGCCTACATGGCCACCAGCGAGAAGTACGCCAGAAGGATGCCTGGTAGAATTATCGGCGAGACCGTCGAGGCCAACGAGCGCAAAGGAAGAGCTCTGAGGATGGCCATGCAGACGCGGGAACAGCACATCCGGAGAGACAAGGCGACGTCCAACATCTGCACGGCGCAAGCTTTGTTAGCGAACATGGCCGCGGCCTACGCCATCTACCACGGCCCCGACGGGTTGCAGGACATCGCCAGACGCTGCCTCGGCCTGGCCAAGGCCGCGTCTTCCGCCTTGAACAAGGCGGGCATCCAGGCCTCGGAGCCGGCCTTCGACACCATCGTGGTCAAGTGCGACTCCGCCTCAATTGCCGAGAAAGCTGAGAAAGCGGGTTTTAATTTACGAGTGTTCGGCCCCGACGAAGTTGGATTGTCCTTCGGCGAGACCGTGACGAGAGAAGACTTAGTATCTATTCTAGAAGATGTGTTTGGGGTTGATGCTGGCGACGTCGATGCTTTAGCGGACACCTCATCTGTCAAGGGCCGAAACAACTTGCTCCCGCACGCCGTCTTCAACACCCACAAGTCCGAGTCGCAGATGCTGCGCTACCTCAAGCAGCTCGAGGACAAGGACCTGGCCCTGAACCACAGCATGATCTCGCTCGGAAGCTGCACGATGAAATTAAATGCCACGGCCGAGATGATTCCCGTGACGTGGCCGGAATTTAGTGATGTGCACCCGTTTGCCCCTCGGGAACAGACGGATGGGTATGTGGAGATGATCGCGTCGCTGAATGCCGATTTATGTAAAATTACGGGCTTCGACGCGGTATCGGTCCAACCCAATAGTGGTGCTTCCGGCGAGTACGCTGGGTTACTTGCTATCAGAGCGTATCAACAAAGCATCGGCGAAGGGCATAGAAACGTGTGCCTCATCCCCGTCTCCGCGCACGGCACGAACCCGGCCTCGGCCGTCATGGCGGGCCTGAAATGCGTCATTGTGCCACATCAGTGTCCTTGAAGCTGCTTCAACATTGCTTCAACATGAGAGACGGGCTCTGTTGACGCCATCGACGCGAGGCAGGGTCGCATCGATGGCGTGGCGGGCGATGCCGGTCCCTCGGACGTCCCGAGAGTCGTGTCGCGCCGAGGCGAGATGTTGACATTGTCCATACACAGGTCAAGTCCGACGACGACGGCAACATCGATTTAGAAGATTTCAAGGCCAAGGCGGAAAAACACAAGGACAACCTGTCGGCGATCATGGTGACCTACCCGTCGACGTACGGCGTCTTCGAGGAGACCATTACCGATCTAACTAGAATCACCCATGAATGCGGCGGCCAGGTGTATATGGACGGCGCCAATCTCAACGCGCAGTGCGGCCTGACGTCGCCGGGCACCTGCGGCGCCGACGTGTGTCATTTGAACATGCACAAGACGTTTTGTATTTTCCAGAGTTCAAGTTGTACTTCAATGTGGGGTCTCTCGCGGTCGTAGAGAGTTGCTACTCTCTCAATACGGTCGCGGGTACCTCTCGGGGGTCGTGGCCGAATTTGGGCCTCTGAGGATCGCGAGGCTCACTCGTCGATGTGCGCACAGGCATCCCGCACGGCGGCGGCGGGCCCGGCGTCGGCGCGATCGGCGTGAATGCTCATCTCGCGCCGTTCCTGCCGGGACACACGGTTACCGCTGTTGATGCGTCCACCGGTGATTCTCGTGGTTCGGAGTCGGCCGTCGCCGCCGCGCCCTACGGTTCTTCCCTCATCCTACCGATCTCGTGGATGTACATCAAGATGTTAGGTGCTCAGGGCTTAGCTCGCGCGTCGGCCATTGCTATTTTGAACGCGAACTACATGGCGAAGAGGCTCGAAGATGCGTATTCCGTGTTGTTCCGGGGTGCCAACGGGCAATGCGCCCACGAATTTATAATTGATCTCAGAGAGTTCAAGAAGGCGGGAGTGGTGGAGGAGGACGTGGCCAAAAGATTGCAGGACTACGGCTTCCACAGCCCGACGATGTCCTGGCCCGTGCCCGGGACGCTGATGATCGAACCTACAGAAAGCGAAGACAGGGCCGAACTCGATCGGTTCTGCGACGCGCTCCTCGCGATCCGCGCGGAGATCAAGGACGTCGAGGACGGCGCCGTGAAGCTCGAGGACTCGCCGCTCCACCACGCGCCGCACACGATGGACGACGTCGTCACGGACGACTGGGACCGGGCCTACTCGCGCGAGACGGCGGCCTTCCCTCTCCCGTACGTCAAGGACTCGAAGTTCTGGCCCACCGTCGGCCGCGTCGACAACGTCCACGGCGACCGGCACCTGATTTGCACGTGCCCGCCGGTGAGCGTCTACGAGGAGTAGAGCCCCTTCCCCCCCTAACGATAGATACATACACTACGTGCTACACGGCGATGGCGTGCCGGGCCGCGCGTGCGCGTAGGTGCGGACGCACGACTCTCGATCTTCGATCGCTCTGTACCACTCAGGAGACACAACACAAAACTTATCAAATCTCCAACCCGTGCGCCAGCGCGTCCTCGATCACGTTCGCGTCGTCCAACGAATCGCGCCACGCCTCGAGGAGCGCCCGCAGCAGTTCCCGCGCGTCGTCAATTTCCTCCTCATCGGCGTAGGCGACGGCCTCCTTCGCCCGGGCGAGGGCCGTCTGGATGTCGCCGCGCGCCGCCGCGAGCTCCGCGAGGTTAAACGCGCAGGCGTAGGGCCTCTCACAAAGTTTCGCGGCGTCCGCGAAGAGCGCCTCGGCATCAACACCTCTAGATCGCGCACAGCACGCGCGGTTCACCGCGAAATCGTAGTCGTCGGGGCTCTGCGCACAGCACTCGGCGTACAGCGCTTCGGCCCTGTCGTAGTCCCCGCTCTTTTCAAGGAGCCCCGCGAGGTTGTTCTTCGCGCAGGGTAATTGTATTGAGGCCTCGTAGGCTCGTATCGCACTTTCGTCATCCCCAGCATCTTCGAGCGCATCACCTAAATTAAACGAAAGCCAGGGGTCGTCCGGATTTAGTTCCACAGCTTTTCGATGGCACGCTATTGCTTCGTCCAGCGCGCCTCGCTTCGCGGCCAGCGCGCCCAGATTTGCGTGCGGTCGTGCATCCTTCGGCGCTATTGTTATGACTCGCTCGTAGCACCGTTGGGCTTCCTCCACATCACCTGCGTGCTCGACGGCGACGCCCAGGTTGAGCAGGAGCTCCGCGCTCTCGCTGACTGCTAAACCATGACGGAACTCGGTCGCCGCCGCGCCGTAGTCGTACCGTCTCAACAACAATAATCCAAGGTTGTTGAACGCGTCTAGACGACGCGGGTCCGCCGCGACGCACGCCCGGAACGCTGCGACAGCTAGCTCGGGGAAGCCGCGCCGCACCTGCGCATTGGCCAGCCGAAATTGTAAGTCAGCAATGTCCCGCGGCGCCGTCGCTCTCTCTAATCCTTGCGTGCACATGGAGACGGCCTCCTCGTCGGTCCGCGGCTCGTTGGACGTGTCGACGAAGACGGCGCGCTGCGTCGTCTCCTCTTGCGCAGCCATAACACTGCAGTGGTTTCGGCTCTGCAGTGGCTGCTCGCGGCGGCTGGCGTGAAGGCGTTGAAGCTGTTTGGTTGTCGTATTAGTGCGTGTCCGGAGGTTGCTTGCAGGCTGTTAACAAGCAATGGCGCAGTGCTGTCGCCGCTGCGGCCTTGCACAAGTCGACCAAGGACTTGCTAGTGTGTTACAAGACGCTAGAAGTCTCCAGGCGCGGCGGGCAACCCACCATCGGCTCTTAAGCCACGGGCGTGATTGGACGAGAATCATCGCGACGCCAACGAGACAATTCCAATCGCTCGACGGCAGAACCGGCGTCTAGCGAGCATCCTCCAGACTGGTATTGGCTTTTGCTATATAACTCTCCCGGACGCGGATGCGACGCTCGAGCCACGCGCCTGAGATGGACTTTGGCTACGCCACGAGCGTCGACGACATCTTCGACACCCCCGCGAAACGAGAGGACTGGACGGAGGACGACGTCGAGGAGGGCCGGCCGCTCCTGCGCGTGGGCTCGTGGGCGAAGGACGCGCCCCGGTCGCGACGGGCAAAAGTGCTAGCTTGTTGCGTTGCCACGGTTATTTTCGGCCCCAAAGCATCGCTATTGGCAGGCGCGGCCGCCGTCGTCACGTGGAGTCGACACCGGGCTGCCAAGGCGGTCCTCGTCGCCGCGCCGTCGCCCGCGCCGACGCCCGCGCCTGTAGCAATGGACCCCGTGGGCGAGCGAGAGGCGCCCCGGTAACAGTTTTGTTTTCGTAACTACGCACTTGCCCACGCGTCGCCTCGTTCTGTGCCGGTCGGAGTTCTCTCGAGACGCCATCGAGCAGACTCAAGCTACTTAGACGCAAGCCCCTCGACCTGCTTCGCGTAGTTCGCCCAGGCCGTCCGCACCAACGACTCGACGTCGCCCGCGACGGCCGCGTGCTGTCTATAAGTCGACTCGGCGTGCTTGCGCAGCTCGGGCAGGTGGCCGGCGGAGCCCGCGTGGAGCACGCCCAATGAGGCGCCCAGCCACAACGCGATGCGCTCCGCCTCTTCATTCGATGAGGCCACTCCATCCCACCGGCAACACGGTTCACATTCCTGCGCTACCAGTCCATCGAGAGGGACGAGGGGAGGCGCATCTAGAGCTCGATAGACCCGCTCCAAGCCAGCCAACCCCTGCGTCTCGGGGGCCGGCCAGGCTTCGATCACTTTTCCCGAGGCGAGCGCGACGTGGTAGCGCCCATGAACTTTTCCACTGGCCACAACTTCATCTTCGAACCGCTCCTTGATCTTCTCCACCACCTCATCGTTGACGGCGTTCGCCGTCGCCGTTTCCGTCCTTGCGGTCGTCGTCGCGTCCACTTGCGAATCCTCGGCGAACAGAGGCTCGCCCCCCAAGGGAGGCGTGAGCGCCGCCGGTCTCGGCGCTTTCGGATACGGGTCCTCCCGCGACGGCGCCGCGACGGGCGTCAGGCCGCACAGATAGCCCCGCAACAGATGAGTGCCGAGCACGCCACTGTCAAATCTATCAGCGTCGCCCTGAGAAGAGCATAAAGAAGCGCTCACGAGAGCAGCGACGAAGTCGACGGAGTAGGCTCCTGATTGCCTAGCGTAAGCAGGGCCTTCGTCTACCGACTGCTCGCCGGGACCTAGCAAACGAGGCCCACTTGAGGTATTAGCGATGTTCTGCGCGACGGGCGCGCCATGGAGTAGCGTCGAGGGCGCCTGCCAGTCCTGGGCCTCTTTCGCTTTTTGGGAGCAGATCCGCTGGCATTCTTGCGAGGCAAAGAACGCCGCCGCAGATGCAGAAAACCGCGCTCGCTGCTCCGCCGTATCTTTCCGAGGGTCCCGGTAGAAGGCGTTCCGCCCAGCTAAATTCTTCACGAGGAAGGGTCTTTTGGAAATCTCTTCTATGAGGTAGCTCACGGGATCGGGAGGTTTATCTCGCAGTATGCGTATCGCATATTCGCCCAGCAATTGGTTCACGCCGACCTTCTCGCCATATTGGTTCAAGTCCTCGGCGGCGTCGCGGACGCAGGTCTCCGAGACGGGGCCGCCCTGGAGGCGGCGACGGGCGTGGGCCATTTTGGGGTTAAGGCTGCCCTAAGGCTGCCCCGACGGCGTTTGGTGGCGTTCTTTGGGGGCTGCTCCTTGGAGCAGTGCTGTGGCTCTTCGCGGCGGCGGTCCTGGCAGCTTCGCTCCGCAGGGCCGGTGAAAAGGCGGCGCCGGCAGCTAGCGCTGCATAAGCTCCGAGGCGGCAGCGAGCCGCGTCGATGCCTGCGAACGTCGCACACCGTTCCGGGGGGCTTGCCGAGGCGGCTCTGCGTAGAAGGAGGTATGCTGTTCATGAAAGACGCGGCACGCGCCCGCCGCCGATGAATCGGCGACGCGCGGTGTCTTCCCCAAGGGCCTCCGTACAGAAACCGAGTCGCCTCGCCTGGACAGCTTGGAAACTTGAACTTACCCCTACGCCACCTTCGCGAGCGCGTCGTCGGACCCCTTCCGCCGCAGCAGCGCCCAGCCCGCGCCGCCCGCAATAAGACATATCAACGGCATGACGGTCAGCGAAGGAAGCACGCCTAAACACGCCGCCGTCTGCAGCGCCATCGTCAGCGGCATACTATAACCAACGACGTCGAAGGCGAGGTCCACATCATAACTCCCGCCGGCGTCCCGCGCGCGACTGATCTGCCCCCAGCCGACGACCGAGACGGCCGCTTGCGCCAACAACAATAGAGTCATCCGTTCGGCGTCGGTGCCGAATGAAGCAATGGCGACGTAGACGTAACACGCCGCGTGCCTCAACATCAACAGCGCGAGGCACACCGCAGGCGTCGCGCCACTTAGCTTGACCTTGGCCCCGATCAAAACGAAGAGGATGGGCGTCTGTGCACCTGCCAATAGCGATGCGGCCTGACCAAGAGCGCCGAGAGACGCGTAGGGCGTCTTCGTAAACGCGATTGCCAATCCACCAAGAATAGACACGTTCAGCGGGTCCGTGACGAGCTTTGACATTGATGGAGCCGGCACGCCGAGCAGGAAGGGCAGGACCAGTACCAGATACAGTTTATAAGGGAGGTCAAAAAGGGCCGCGGGGCCGGCGTACGCGTCTCCCACAAACTCTTTTATGAATACGAAAGCGCTCAAACCGGGCGCCGCCGTCGCGAGCTGGTAGCGGGCCGTTTGCTGTCTTATGGTGTCGGCGAAGAAGAGTTTCGATGCTACTGCTGCGGCCGCCAGTTGTACTATGACAAACGCAACACCAAGTAGCGGCCACCGCAACAACTCAACATCGAGCGACACGGCGCACAACGCTTTGAATATGGTACAAGGTAAGGTGGCGTCCATGATCAACCTCTGTACTCCGGCGAGCTGCGGTGCGCTGAATCGATGCTTCAGTAAACGACCGATCATTGCTAGAATGAGGAAGGCGAGGGCCTTCTCGACGCCCGGCGACATGCCTTCTTGCGGTGGCGGTGCTTGGGCGCTGCTGCTGAACCAGGAGGACATCCTGCTGTGCTGCAGGCAGTGCTGTTTGCGCCGGCGGCTCGCTCAGCGTTGTATAGTGTTACAGGGCTCTCGTAGCTCTCGAATAACAGTCTGCGCGACCTGTGCCTCTGCTTTGCTTTGCTTGCAGCGGTGCTTTTGCAGCAGCGCTCTCCGGCAAGCAGTCTCTGCTCTGCACGCTCTGCTCGCAGATCAGGCGCTCTGGCAGGCTTAGAACTAGTGCAGGCAATCGGTCGACGCCACCGGCGCGGGCGAAGCCCAGAACAGCGATGCAGCGCGCGACGCGTGCGCTCCTGGGGCTCGCGGCAGCCTGCAGCGCTCTCACACCTACAGTGCTCGTCACCGACGGCCTCGCGCCCTGCGGGTTAGAACGACTCGCGGAACGGGGCGCCAAGATCGAAGAACTAAATGATCGATCGTTGCAAGAAGCTTTGTCGAGTGCCGACGGTGTCATAGTGCGGAGCGCGACGACCCTAACAGCGGCTCTGATCGAGCAAGCACCGTCATTAAGATGCATCGGGAGGGCGGGCGTCGGCTTAGATAACATCGACCTCGACGCGGCGGCGAAAAGAAAGATTCCCGTCGTGACGAGCGCTGGCGCCTCTACCAGAGCAGTGTCCGAGCTGTGCATGGCCCACCTACTCCAGTGCGCGCGTGGTTTAATTCAAGCTGATAAAGCCGTAGCGAATGGCGCGTTCAAAGCGTTCAAAGGTAGTGCTGCGTCGTCGGCCCACGAGCTGGGAGGGAAGAAATTGGGACTCCTCGGCTTTGGGAGAATAGCGAGAGAAATAGCTTGGTTGTGTGTGGCCTTTGGCATGGACGTTGCTGCTCACTCTCCTTCATTGGACGCGGACGAGGCCTACGAAAGTGGAGTGCTGTTCGCCGATTCGCCTCAGTCACTTTTCGCGCGGTCTACGCACGTCGTCCTGAGCTGCCCCCTGAATGAGGGAACGAGGAACCTTGTGGGTCGTGATTTGATCGATTTGATGCCGTCGGAGGAGTGTGGAAGGCATCTGGTTAATGTGGCCCGCGGGGGGATTGCTGTCGAGAGTGAGATAGTAGAGTGTCTGAACGAAGGGTTGTTAACGAGCTACGCTACCGATGTTTTTGCGGAGGAGCCTTGCGTGGACTCGCCCCTATTTGGCATGGAGGGGTTCTCGGCCACGCCTCACATCGGCGCGGCGACGCGAGAAGCCCAAGATGCCGTATCATTGATGGTCGTTGATCGAGTGATGGACGAACTGGCGGGGGCTAAGACTAGTATCTACACCAGAGTTGAAACACTAGTATTTAGTTGCCCATGGCCTGGCGCGCCTTGAGCTTCGCGTGGACGTCCTTGATCGCTTCCCGCTTCGCGACGGCGCGCTTGTGCGTGCCCAATCTTTGTTTGGCGTACTTGTACATGCGCTTGTCCGCGCCGTCGCCCGTGCCGGAAAGCATGTCGAGTAGTCTCTTTTCGTACGGGAGGAGCCCGGCGACCTCGCTCACGACCTCCTTCACCACAACGTTGCGCTTGCTCGGCCGGCCCTTGCGGTGCTTGGGCCGCTGGGCCTTGGCCAGCTTCGTCGTCTCGAAGTTCTTCATGACGCGCGTGGGGGCCATGGTGTTTTAGCTGTGGTTGCTTGTACGGCTTGAACGCACGCGCTGACGGCTTTTTTTGGGTGCTGGCGGCGTGAGCGGCTAGCGAGGGACTCCTGGGGACTGTGAGACGGCCTGAGCTGTCGCAGCGGGGTCGATAAAGGCGTCCAAGGAGGAGCTTCACTAAAATCGCTGTCGAGCTAGTGTCTCAAAGTGCGCTAGCGAATCCGTACGCGTGCCCCGCCAGCCCTCGACGGACGAAAGCTCCCGACGCCTCAGGCCCGCCGGGCAGCGCCTGCGGCGTCCGGGCCGCCACTAGGAGCAAACAGCGCGCTCTCTGGACTCTCCCTATTTAACGCGAGCGCGAGGCCAAGGGCTGGACCGGCGGGACCACAAACGGTCCACGCTAGAGCTTCGACCCTGCCGCCGCGCCGCGGACCACCGCGGGCAGCACAAAACACGCCATCGACCAAAAGCCTAGCAGCCTAGCACACCATGGGCCGCGCCGCCAGCAACGCCGCCCCGGCGGACCCCAAGGCCGTCATGGAGGCGCGGCGCGCCGCCTACCGGGAAGAACAAAACCTCCCCGACGTCAAGTGGTCCTGTTTCGCGGAGCAGCGCAAGCACGAGGACTTCGCGGCCGTCCGTCCCAGCGTCAATATGGAGCCTTACGCCATCGACGCGCGTCGTCGCCAGGAACGATGGAAGTGGGTGGTCTCTGGTCCAAATTTGAGCCGCTTCGGACCGCGCCGATGGCGTCTTCGTGAGATCATGATCACGCGAGAGTCCACGCGCCTCGCGAGGGCCGTCACGCTCCACGCCGTCGACGCGAGCGCGCCACTCACGCTCGACAACACACAGGTGAAATTCGCCCAGAAGCAGGCCGCCCTCCAGGCGAAGAACGCGAGGCCCGACAAAAAAGTCACTGATTTTGTGAGAAGAATAAGACGCGTCCTCGACAAGAAGAGTAGGGAGCACGGCGGCACGGAAGGGACCTATTTAAGAGAATGCTTCCTGAACTGGGACGCGGATTGTAGCGGCACGATCGACTCCACGGAATTCCGGAAAGCTATTAGAAGTTTAGGCTTGGACATCTCCCAAGCCGACGCGTCTTATTTAGTCGGGTATTACGGCGGCGTCGAGTCCGCATATACATCAGTACAGAAAAATGAGATGACCTACGACTTACTCATTGAGGACGTGGTCAACGCCTCGACGCATTTTTTACAGCCCCAACCACCTATACCTAAATCGGCAAGGCCGGACGGGCCCTTCCCGCCGGTGCTCAGAAGATTTATAAAAAAAGTGAGGCAAAAATTGTTCAGACACATCGCGGGCAAGGGCGAGAACGAGCGGCGCGGAGCTCGGCGTCTTGGCGTGTTGGGGTGGCTTCCCTTCGTTGCTGGGACTCGTGTCTGTCTCACGAGGGCGTGGGTCGTTTCTTTTTCGAGTTTGAGGCCATTCGGACCGCCTCGGCTCGAATTCGGACCCGAGACCACCCTCGAGACCGCGTTTCCGCACGCAGGTATTTGGTAAGGAACGCGTTCCTCAACTGGGACAAGGACGCCTCTGGAAAATTGGACTACGACGAGTTCCGTGCGGACTCCGCGTCAACTTGAACTTTGGGAAGATGGCGTCACGACGCCGCGGCGCAGGCAACGCCATGTGGCAGCTGAATCTGGCCATGTCCGAGGACGAGGCCGTGCAAATTGTGGACCTCTACGATTCGACGGGCAAGGGCGAGATGCGCTACGACCAGCTCGTGAAGGACATAACGGCGGGCGTGCCGCACTTCACGAAGCAATATAATGACGCCGCGACGTTGGAGACGCTCCGGAAGCTGGACCGGGCCGAGCCGTCGACGCGGGGCAAGGCCCACGACGACGAGCGCATGATGCAGTTCATGTTCACGAATCGCCCGCTGGAGAAGGTCCCTTGCCAATTGGCCGAGGAGTTCAAAGTACGACTCAAGACCGCTCTTTTTGCCATCATGGTCCGGAAGGGTGCGGTCGCGGCGTCCCACGTCGGTGCCTTCACACCATGCGTCGTCTCCGGGAGAGCAGGTCGTGGGTGGTCTCGTTTTCGAATTTGAGCTGTTTCGGACCGCGGTGTGTCATCAGAGGGACCGCTTTCATGAAGATGGCGTCTTCACGAGACAACGTGGTCCCACGAGAGTCTACGTGGTCCTCGGGACGCCGTCGACGCGACCGCGATGCTCCGCGCAGGCGGCACGGTCACGTCCATTTTACGGGAGGCGTTCCAGGCCTGGGACCAGGATAGTAGTGGCGAGCTCAACACCAAAGAATTCGTGGGCGCGATCGGGCGCTGCGGTTTGCAGATCGACGATAATACGGCGCATCAACTGGTCAATTACTACGACCGCAAGGGCGAGCAGGGGCGCTTCGGGGATGGGGAGATCCACTACATGGATTTAGTCGAGGAGCTCGGGAAGACGCACGTCCCGCGGCGTCCCCGACCATGCATCGTCTCTCGTGGAGACGATCACGCGACACCGCCGCAGGTGCCTCCACTTCATGGCGACGGCGAAGGCCAACGAATTCCACGTCCGTGACTCAGCGTCAAATGTAAATCGATTTCTCAACTTGAACTTTGGGAAGATGGCGTCTTCATGATCGTCCGAGCGTCGACGCGTCGCGTGAGTGCATGGTCGTTCGACGCAGGATCCCTCGAAGCCCGTTGTCGTTGAGACGCCGAAACGAGTTAAACAATTAGTGGGCCAGATCCGGGACTCGATTCTGAAGGCGTTGCCGCGGGCTTCCGTCGGTAAGAAGAAAGTAGTGCGGCCTCGCGACTTGTTGCTGGGTACTTGCGTGCGACTGGATAAGAGTGGAAGCGGGATGCTCGACGAGAAGGACTTGCTGCGGGCCTTCCGGGACTTGAAAGCGACGATCGTCGAGGGCGGCATGCGCGAACTGCTGATTTGGTACGGCGTCGATGGGTCGCAAAGGATGCCCTACCAGCGCCTCGTCGACGACTGCTTCCCGCGCGGTGGGACGCCGGTGCGGACGCCGCCGATCAAGGCGCCTCCACCGAAGTCGCAGTCGTCGGCTCGGAAGAAGCTGGCGCGTATCGCCGCGGAGAAGGCGACCATCGAGAAGAGACTGCGCGAGCTGAACGCCGAGGCGCGGGCGCTCTAGGGGTCGTGGGGCGTAAGTAGGGATTGATGCTAGGCTCCGTCGACGGCGTCGAGGTGGTCGAAAACCTGCGAGGTAGCGGGCCATACTCTTCGCCGCGCGCGCGCGTTTCGTGCGGGGCTAAAAACCCGTCGTCGTCGGGTTAGGGTCAGCCGATGAGATCAGAGGCTTCGGCTGCTCCGCGACGCATCTTGCGCTGCACGCTTGACAGAAACGACTGTTTTGTGCTGTCTGACGAGCACGTTCGGCTAGAGAACCGAAGATCAACCGTGTGACACCCTGTCTGAGAGCGCTCTCATAGATGGCAAGTGCCGAGGCCGTCGACGGCGCGCCGCGCGCGAAGCGGCCAAGGCGCGGGGACGGTTCCGAATACGAGGAGCCGCCGCTGCCGCTCACCGACCCCTCGTACTTTAAAGGATGCACGCGCTGGCGCGAATTCGAGGCAGTGGGCGGGAGGTTCGAGGCGCCGCGGAGCCCGCGGTGTACCAAGGAGGCCTCGTTTATGATGAAGTGCGCGTGCGGCGCCGTCATCTGCCAGTGGTGCGACGAAGCGCAGGAGGCAACACCGGCCGGCGTGTGGCGGTCCTGCGATGTCTGCGACAAGGTGTTTGCGTGCTCGAGGTGCGTCGAGGACGACTGCGTGCTGCGAAGCTGCGAGGGAGGATGCGACCTCGAGGGAGGGCGAGACCTTTGCGAGGACTGCCGCAGCTCCTGCGAGGACTGTGACATGGTCTTGTGTTGCGACGGCGACGACTGCTACACCGAAGTGGACGGCAACAAGTACTGCGAGGACTGCTATGATAAGATGATGGCGAGGGCCCAGGAATACGCCGATGAACAGCGAGCTTTGCAGAGCGAGATCCTCGGCGAGGATTACCAATGAGCCCCTCGAGAGCCGACGCGAGGCAGATCGAGGAGTCGCTCGGAGTCGTCGCTCGAATTCGAAATGGGCTTTCAACGGAGGGTACTGACAGGCGGCTAGATGAGTAAGAGATGATGTGTTCAAGTGTAGTGGTTTTTGCTGGCAGCTAGCGGCTGTAAGACACTAGCCTTTCAAGCGTCGAGAGGCTTTGCTAGCTCTAGGGCTGCCCCACGCTGCCTCCGCGACACTCGTCTAACGAGATGATCCTCACGCAGTGCGCCGTCTGCGCCACCGAGCTTGGCTTATCCTTGGGCAAGAAATGCGGCCGCTGCAGCACGCGCTACTGTGGGCCTGAATGCCAGGTGCAGCACTGGAAAGAGGGCGGTCATGACCAGCTCTGTAAGAAAATAAAGCGCTCTGGTGGCGCTGAGCAATACCACGCAAATAACAAGTACTCGGAGGCCGTCGCGGTCGCGGCGACGGCGTGCGCCGAGGACACCAAGGGCCAGACGTGCTACATCTGCACGCAGGCCCTCCACTGGAAAACAAAGGAGGGCCTCGTGCGTGGGTGTTCGTGTCGCGGCACATCTGGCTTCGCGCACGTGTCGTGCCTGGTGGAGCAGGCGAAGATTTTGATCGCGGAGGCCGAGGAGAATAATTTGCTCGACAAGGCGAATGAACGGTGGCTGCGGTGGGACACGTGCGGCCTGTGCGAGCAAAAGTACCACGGCGTCGTGTTATGTGCGCTCGGGTGGGCGTGCTGGAAGACGTACCTGGATCGACCTGAGACTGAACCCGTACTGAGTGGTGCGATGAGCCTGCTTGGAAACGGTTTACACGAGGTAGGACACTTGGCGGATGCGTTGTCCGTGAGAGAGGCCGACTTGGCTATGATGCGGCGCCATGGCGCATCAGAAGAAAACATACTCGCCGCACAGAGCGCTCTTGCGATCGCGTGTGCAGCGGTTAGAGATCTTGAAAAGGCTCTAAGCATGGAACGAGACGTATACTCCGGGCGTTTAAGGTTACACGGCGAGGAGCATCCGCAAACCCTCATAGCAGCCAACAACTACGCGTCGCGCCTTGTTGGTCTAAAGCGCTTCGAAGAAGCCAAGACGTTGCTGCGCCGAATAACTCCTGTGGCGCGACGCGTTCTCAGAGAGAGCGATGAACTCACGCTCAAGATGCGGTCGATGTACGCGCAAGCGCTCTGCCGGGACCCCGCCGCCACGCTCGACAATCGCCGCGAGGCCGTGACGACGCTCGAAGAAGTAGAACGGACAGCGCGGCGCGTTTTTGGTGGCGCGCACCCCCTCACAGAAGGGATTGGGGGCGAATTGCGAGCATCACGAGCGGTGCTCGAAGTGGCTCTCGGCGCCCGCGACGTCGAGGCCCTCCGGGAGCTGGTTGGAGCGATGGGCACCGCGTAGCACGCCGCCGCCGCGAGGTTAAGAGACACTAGTTACGCCCACAGCCTAGCGGTACGACTTCACAACCTGCGGAGAGAGAGAGAGAGAGAGCCACTTATTGAACCCACCCTGCGGCGGCTAGCGGCTGTAAGGCACTAGCATTTAGCCATCGAGCTTGGCAAGGCATTTTGCATCGCAGGGCTGCCCCCGAGCGGTTAGACCACATACAAGATGATCCTCACGCAGTGCGCCGTCTGCGCCACCGACCTTGGCTTAAGCTTGGGGAAGAAATGCGGCCGCTGCAGCACGCGCTACTGTGGGCCTGACTGCCAGGTGCAGCACTGGGAGAGGGGCGGACACGAGGCGCTCTGTCGACGGATTAGGCGCGCCGGCGGCGCGGAGCAATACCACGCCGACATAAAATGTAACGAGGCGGTCGCGGTCGCGGTCGAGGCGTGCGCCGACGACACGAGGGGCCAGACGTGCTATATTTGTATGGAGGCCGTGCACTCACGCACCGGAGAAGGCCTCGTGCGCGGATGCGCGTGTGGAGATCGTGATGGCGTTGCTTCTGGCAGGACGGGCATCGCGCACGTTTCGTGCTTGGCGGAGCAGGCGAAGATTTTGAATGACGAGGCCGAGGAGAACAATTTGGCCCTCAAGGGGAGGTGGGACCGGTGGCACACGTGTAGCTTGTGTGAGCAAGACTATCACGGCGTCGTTTTTTGCGCGCTCAGTTGGGCGTGCTGGAAGACGTACCTTGGTCGGCCGGAGACGGACTGGCCTCGGGGTGCTGCGATGATGCTACTTGGGATAGGTTTAGGCGATGCGGGACGCTTCGAGGAGGCGTTGTCCGTGCAAGAGGCCGAGTTGGCTATGCGGCGGCGCGCTGGCGCATCAGCAGGACGAATTCTCGACGTGCAGGCCAATCTTGCGGTCTCGTATCATAATCTCGGACGGCTCGAAGAGGCCTCATCTATGCAGCGAGACGTATACTCCGGACAGTTGAAGCTCAATGGCGAGGAAAATAGAGGCACCCTTATGGCAGCCAACAACTATGCGATCTCCCTTACCCATCTAAAGCGCTACGCAGAAGCCAAGTCGCTGCTGCACAAAATGATTCCCGTGGCGCGACGCGTTCTCGATGAGAGTAGCGAAATCACGCTCAAGATGAGGTGGAAATACGCGGAGGCGCTCTGCCGGGACACCGCCGCCACGCTCGACGATGTCCGCGAGGCCGTGACGACGCTCGAGGACACGGAACGGACCGCGCGGCGCGTTTTTGGCGCCTCGCACCCGACCACAACGGGACATGAGGAATCCCTACGAGACGCGCGAGCCGCGCTCGCCGCCCGCGACGTCGAGGCCCTCGGGGACGCGCTCGGGGCCCTGGGCGCCGCGTAGCAGGTAAGTTAAGAGACACTAGTTACGCCACACGCAGCCTATAGCGGTACGACCACTGGCGGCGGCTAGCGGCTGTAAGGCACTAGCCTTTGCGAGAGGCTTTTAGACATTGTAGGGCTGCCCCACGCTGCCGCCGCGACACAACCGTCTAACGAGATGATCCTCACGCACTGCGCCGTCTGCGCCACCGACCTTGGCTTAACCAGGGGCAAGAAATGCGGCCGCTGCAGCACGCGCTACTGCGGGGCAGCCTGCCAGGTGCAGCACTGGAAAGAAGGCGGGCACGACCAGCTCTGCAAGAAAATAAAGCGCTCTGGTGGCGCTGAGCAGTACAACGCTGACCAGCGGTATACGAAGGCCGTCGCGGTCGCGGCGGAGGCGTGCGCCGAGGACACGAAGGGGCAGACGTGCTACATCTGCACGCAAGCCTTGCACTGGAAAACGAAGGAGGGCCTCGTGCGCGGTTGTTCCTGTCGCGGGACGGCGGGCTTCGTGCACGTGTCGTGCCTGGCGGAGCAGGCGAAGATTTTGGTCGCGGAGGCCGAGGAGAACCATTTGGACGACAAATTGGACGAGAGGTGGGCGCGGTGGAACACGTGTAGTCTATGCGAGCAAGAGTACCACGGCGTCGTGGCGTGCGCGCTCGGGTGGGCGTGCTGGAAGACGTACTTGGGGCTTTCGGAGACGGACCAGGTTCGGTTAGTCGCGATGGACCAGCTTGGGAATGGTTTACACGAAGCAGGAAATTATGAGGCGTTGTCCGTAAGAGAGGCCATATTGTCTATGCTGCGGCGAATTGGTTCACCAGAAGATGACATGCTCGCCGGTCAGAGCAATCTTGCGAGCTCGTATGAAGCGGTTGGACGGGTAGAAGAGTGCCTGCGCATACGGCGAGACGTATACTCCGGGCGTTTAAGGTTACACGGCGAGGAGCATCTGCAAACCCTCCTAGCGGCCAACAACTATGCGACGTCCCTTGTCCAACTACAGCACTTCGAAGAAGCCAAGACGTTGCTGCGCCGAATAACTCCTGTGGCGCGACGCGTTCTCGGAGATAATCATGACATCACGCTCAAGATGAGATTTGGTTATGCGGCGTCGATCTGTTTTGACACCGGCTCCACGCTCGACGATCTCCGCGGAGCTGTGACGACGCTTGAAGAGACGGCACGGACCGCGCGGCGCGTGCTCGGTGGCGCGCACCCGCTCACAACAGTGATTGAGCGCCAACTGCGAGCGTCGCGAGCTACGCTGAGCGCTCGCGACTCGGACGTGGGCTCCATCACTGAGGCGTTCGCCGCGATGACGCCATCGCCGCGATAGGTTTAAGAGACACTAGTTACGCCCACAGCCTAGCGGTACGACTTCTGGTAGCGCGCGCGCGCGCTCGGCCCGCCGAACTTCTTCGACTCGCACCGGCGCGGATCCGCGACCAGCAGCGTGCGGTCGTACTGCATGAGGATGTCCCGGATCTCCGTCTTCGACGCCTCGTCGACGTATTTTTGGTAGTACGCGACGAGGCTCTTCGCGATCGCCTGGCGAATGGCATAAATTTGGGCCGTGAAGCCGCCGCCCTTCACTCTGATCCGGATGTCGACGTTCGCGAAGCGCGTCTGGCCGAGCAGTAGCACGGGCTCGAAGGTCTTGAGCCGCAAAATCTCCGGCTCCAAAAGCTCGATCGGGCACCCGTTCACTTTAATTAAACCGCGGCCCTGCTTGCAGTAGGCCACGGCCGTCGCCGCCTTCTTGCGGCCGAAGACCTGGACGGACTGGATCGCCGACATGGCTATGTCGGGTCCTGTCTCGTCTGTGTGTCTACCTGCGTGGCGACGGAGGGGTTACGGTCTCTGTACGACGTTGTGCTCTCTCCCCCCGTCTTGCGGTGCGTCTCGCATCGTCGGCATCGGCACGCGGCGACGGAGCGGGGCGGCCAGGCGAGGGACGGGCGCGGGCCCGCCCGCCGGCGCCGCGCCGCGTCTCCGTCCGTCCGTGGGTCCCGCATCAGTTGTTCGTGTGTGTGCTGGCGCGCCGGCGTGCCGCTGGTGCCACCCTTTCGCTCCGCGCAGGGCCGTAGCGTCCCGCGCGGCGCCAAAGTGAGCTGCACGCGAGGCCGCCTTGTGCTCGCCACATGGTCGCCGCGCGCCGCTCTTTTTGCAAATCTCGGCCGATCCCAGCTTCAGCTCTCTACTCGCCACAGCTTATCGCATTCAGACACGGCTAAGGACCTCTATTAGCTGCTTTTATGCACCACTGCTCGCTCACAAGGGCGAGGCTAGTATGTCCTAGTATCTGCGCGATCGACGCACGCCTCGGAGGAGCCGTCGAGGGCAACGCGCATTCGTCCGTAGGAGCCCCAGCGAAGCGCACGTCGCGCGCGTGCCGCCCACTGGCCCGCGCGGCCCGCGCGGCCCGTCCTAAGGATGGAATGGAGCACTCTCCGAGAGCGCGAGAGGGCTTCCAGTCTCGTAGGGCCCACCGGCCTCCCGCTCGGGCGACGGCGTGAGGCGGAACCGCGGCCGGGGCCCGACCGCGGCCGCCGGCGCGGCAAAAGGACCCTCGACGCCCTCGACGCGAAGTAATACGAATCGGAAAATATTAGACTTGAACTAGAACTCGGGGGGCGGCCCGCCCCTCCCCCCGTCTTTGGGCAGATACATTTCCAGCGACGAAGGGCCTTTCCGGAGCTTGGTCAACGCCCCTTGCTCGATGCCCCGCACGCGCCGCGTATCGAGGCCCATGATCGCACCGACTTGGGGCCGCGTGCGCGAGTTCCCGTCGTCCAATCCTAACCGGAGTCGCAAGACGTCCCGTTCCGAATTATCCAGAGACCGCTTCATCGCGACGTCAATCGCGTCCCGCAGCTCGTGGAAGGATGCGGACGCGTAGGGCTGGACCTCGGGCGCCTCCAATAAATCGGCGAGCGACGCGGCGTCGCCGCCGTCGCCAGCACCCGAACCTTTTGCCGTTTTACTGCGACCGAGAGGCACGTCCAGCGACAGCGTCGCCAGGCCGGACCGCGTGGCCCGCTCGACCTGCTTCGGCTTCAAGTCGAGGAACGCCGCGAGCTCGTCGACCGACGGTGAACGTCCGAGCATGTCTCTCAATTCGCGCGTGGCATTTTCGCACTGCTTGCCGAGCTCCTGGACGTGGCGCGGGACGGCTACTATTTGTCTTTTCCTCGAAGCTTTTTGAATCGCTTGTCTAACCCACCAGACCGCATACGTACTGAACCGAAACCCGCGGCCTGGGTCGTACCTATCAACTGCGGTGGCCAGGCCCAGCGTCCCCTCGGCCACGAGGTCCTCGAGGGCCTGGGCGCCCCCATCTCTGTCTACCGCCAATTGTGTGGCTCGTGGCAGTCTAGCTTGGGCCCGCCTCGCCGTGGAAACGACCAATCTCATATTACTGAGAATCATGTGTTCCCTCGCGTCCCGTCCCGCGACCTCGGCCCGGAAGATGTCGATGGGGTCGACGTAGCCCAGTAATTTCGCTACACTGTCGTCGCTCGCGTCCGTAGCGTTCTCTCGTAGAGATTTACGAGTGGACTCGATGGCCGAGAGCTTCTGGACCTTGCTCCCGAGTTCGAACTCCTCCTCCTTCGTGAGTAGAGGGTGGGAGAGGACCGCTTCCAAGCCATGTTTGGCGTAGACGTCTCCACTGGCGTAACTCAAAGCGTTGCCGCGCTGCCAGGACTTCGAGGGCGTCGCGGCGAGGACGACGCCGCGGCGCCGTCGCTGGGGTCCCTTTACATCGTGTGGTCGCAGCGCCGCCGGCGCGCGCGCGGAGCGGCTGTTCGCGAGCCAGCCCTGGGCCGAGCTCGTCACGAGCGCGATGAGCGCGGTTCGTCGCATGGCGTTGTTGTGTGGCCGTCGACGACGCACACTAGGCATTTTGCAGGATATGCGTCGTTCCCAAGTGCCCTATTTCACGTGGAATTGCGACACCAGCGCAGGCGCGAATCGAGGCCAAAGGCCCTCTTTTTTTTGGCCTCCGCAGACCTCTCTCCTGGCGTCGGGTGTCTTTTGGAACCGAACTAGACCACTGCCGTGCTTTCCGCGATTTTGAACCCGTTTTAAGCGCTTTACCAAAACTCTGAGCTTTTTTTAGCAACATTAGGCAAAACGCGGCTCTTGCCGACGCCACGCGCGCGTACGCGTCGCTCTGGACTGCCGAGCGCCAATTCGGTTCGCGTAGAATCGCTTTTGACCGGCTGCGCCAGCCGCCGACGCCGGCAACCCAAGCCGCCTTTCAAAAGCTGCTATTCTCGGGAGCCGTGCGGCCTCCGTATCAGCTCCCGGCGTGTTTGAAACGCACGTCCGGCACCCTCGGAGCAGTCACTCCATCCCTGCGCACTCCGACGAGCCGCCGACGCGGCCACCGAGAGCCATGCATGTCACCACAGCCCTCCTGCTCGCAGCCGCCCACGCCCTCCAGGTCAACCACATCTTTAGGAGACCAACCCCCTTCCTCAACGAGAAGAACACATTCACGGAAGATGATGGATACAAGTTGCTCGAGGGCCACCGCGAGAAGCGCTTCAGCGTCGCGTGGGCGCGCGACTTGTTGCGACCGCCGAAACCCGGAAAATTGGTGCTCGTAAGGCACGGCGAGTCCACATGGAACCGCAACGCCACGTTCACGGGCTGGACGGACGTGGACTTGTCGGAGCGAGGTGAGAGGGAGGTCGAACATGCTTCCCGTTTATTATTGGAAGCGGGTATTTCGGTGGACGTCTGCTACACGTCGCGCTTGCGACGAGCGATCCGTTCGAGCTGGATCCTGCTCAAGGGCCTGGATGCGGTCTACCGGCCGGTCTTCAAGAGCTGGCGGCTCAATGAACGTCATTACGGTAGTTGCAGTGTCCTTGAAGTTCGATCGTCGCGTCGATGGCGTCTTCGTGGTCTCACGTCACCGTGACGCCGTCGACGCGACCGCGACGCCAACGCAGGCGGCCTGACGGGCCTCAGCAAACCTCGATTGGCCGAGGAGCTCGGCGAGGCGAGGGTCCAGGCCTGGCGCCACGGCCTCAGGGACCGGCCGCCGCCCATGCCCTCGAACCACCCTTTAGATGTGTCTTCAGACAGAAACTACGCGGACCTCGAGTCGACGCCGCGCACCGAGTCCCTCGAGGACACGATGCAGCGCGCGCTGCCGCTGTGGCGCGAGCGCATCGAGCCCGATCTGAGATCAGGAAAAACTGTCTTGGTCGTGGCCCACGGCAATTCGCTGCGGGGGCTCGTGAAGCACGTCGACGGTGTCTCTGACGAGGCCATCGTCGACGTGTCGATACCGAACGGCATCCCCCTCGTCTATTCGTTCGACCGGTTTCCGTCCGGCGATTTGATCCCGCATCGGACCGAGCAGAGTGTCAGTGCCCATGTGTCCGGGGCTTTTTTGGAGGAGCGCGGGTTGTTGCGGGCAGCCCTCGAAGCGGAGGCGGAGCTCGTAAGGCGCGTCCCCGGCCACTTGAGACAGACGGACCAGCCCGCCGTGCGCGCCCTCGCGAAGCTGGAGCTCGAGCGAAAATTAATTGACCTCGCGGCGGATCCGAGTCGGTTGGAACGGGCCGTGGAACGTTCTCGCGAGAAGAAGGCTCCGGCGGTGGACGCCTTGTACATGGGCCTCCCCGCAGAAAGAGTCGTGACGAGGATACCGAAGCAGTCGACGTGCCAGCCCGCGGCGTTCGCGGCAAGTGACGCGATCGTCATCCTGCGCCACGGGCGCACGGAGCACAACAAATTAGGATTATTTACGGGCTGGGAGGACGCGTCTTTGGCAAAAGAAGGCATCGCCGAGGCGAAGCGCGCGGGCCAGTTGCTGCGCGCGCACGGGTTTGCCGTTGATGCAGTTTATACCTCGTGGCTCTCGCGGGCCATCGAGACGGCCTGGCTCGCCTTGCAGGAGCTCGACGCGCTCTGGGTGCCGATCATCAAGAGCTGGCGGTTGAATGAGAGGATGTACGGCGCGCTCACGGGGTTATCAAAAAAGGCGATCCTGGGCGAGCACGGCGAGGCCCGGTTCAAGCAGTGGCGGTGTTCAAACGGCGTCCACACAATGCCACGTCGCCTCGACGCCGTCGACGTGGCCGCGAGAGAGCCTACGCGCCTCGTGAGAGAGTTGCCGCCGTCGTGACCACGAGAAGGGACGCGACGCGCGGCGAGGGCGTCGACGCGAGCCCATACGCCATCGACGCAGGCGCGGCTACACGACGCGGCCGCCGGCGGCGTCGTCCTTCTCGCCGTCCTACCCGGGCAACGACGAGCGCTACGTGCGCTATCTCACAGATGTCAGATACTCGTTTCGCGAGTCGTTAGTTCGCTCATTAGCATCTGGCTCACTCGTACTCGCGAGAAAAATACCAAAGGCCGAGTCCCTCAAGGACTGCATGGATAGGACTATACCGTTCTTTACCGATGAAATTTATCCGAGAGTTGTTGAGCAGCGAAAATCAGTGCTCGTGTCCTCGTCAGAAAACGCCATCAGGGGTCTGCTGATGCACTTGTGCGATATCCCGTCCGAACGAATCGCGGAGGTGGAGATCCCGACGGGCTTGCCGTTAGTGTTCGACGTCAAGAGGCGATGTTTGAGGCTCTTGGACGACGGTCGCTATCCTGCGGATCCCGCGGAAGCCCTAGCGAGGTGGAACTTCGGGACCGCGTCGGATTTACTTTTCAGGCCCTGCGTGTCGGACGATGAAGATGACGAGTGTGCTGCGGAACTGCCCGACCCCGTGCTGCGGCTCGCGGAGGTGCCGTCGTATTTGGAGGATACTCCTTCTCCAAGTGTGGACGACATGGTCGTCGGGGCGCTCATGGGCGCGGAGTACATGGGGGGGTAAGTAGTAGAATGAATAAGGTTAGGACCTCGGATCATCGATCGGAAGGAGTGAAGCGTGGGGAATGATACTCAGGCCTTGAGGTCGACGACGGACCCGGCCTTGATGAAGTCGTCGGAGGTGTTCATGACCTCGCCGTAGACGAAGCGGCTCGGCTGATCTTGGGCTTGATCTCGTTGAAGGCCTGCGCGGTTTAACGGTCGCGTCGATGGCGTATGTACGGGACACGGGCACGCGCGGCGTCGAAGCGCGCCGTGTCTTTGAATGATTTCGTGACGTGGAGCACGCCGACGCCGCCCCCGCTGAGGTCGGTGGACACCTTGCCGTTGATCGGCCCGCAGACGCTGTACTGGATGTTCAAGGATTCATGTAACGCATCGACCTCGGGCGAGCCGAAGACCTTCAGCCAATCCTTGTAGGGCACGCCGAGGCCGTGCGCGCCGAAGCAGATGCCCCACCCTTTTTGGAACTGGGGCGGCGGGCCGGGCGTCGGGCCCCGGAAGTCGGCGCAGGCGAAGTAGTTCTCGCGCCACTTTCCCGTGAGCCAGCCGTCCCTGCGGCCCTGCTCGAAGATGGGCGACTTGCCCTCGCCGAGGAACTTCTTCACGGCCTTGAGGCCGCTCGTCTCGAAGACCTGGAGTGAACAGAACCTCAGCGTCGCGTCGAAAGCGTCGAGGCGAGGCGCCGTCGACTTCGACGCGGCGGCGGCACGAGCCCGGCGAGCACCGCGTCCTGGCCGTTGGGCTTGCCCGCCGTCGTCTTGATGAAGAACTCGTCGACGACCTTGCACTCCGGCGGGTAGACGGACAGCAGGTCGCTCCCGATGCCCTCGATGACCTTGTGCCACGCCTTGAAGCTCGGAGTATCGTGCTCCTGCGTGGATCGAACCGTGAGTAAGTCGGCGACCGATGCGACACGGGCCGCGCGCGAGGATGCCGATCGTGTAGCCCGGGCCTCCCAGCGCCTTGGCGGAATTCGTGCCCGGGAGGCAGAGCGGCTTCTTCGCGATGGCTTCGGGCACGAGTAAGCTCGACGCGGCGGCAGCGGCGCCGCCCGCCAGCAGGTCCCGGCGCGGCTGGAGCACCATGGTCGGCGCCACGCGCAGCGACGACGCGCCCGTCAACAGCACAGCGCAGGCGATGATAGGAGACATGATTCAACACGTAATTTCGATTGCTAGTGGTAATGTAGCTGCAAAAATGCAGCCCCTTTCCCAGACGCTCTGCGAAGAAAACGGGCGCGCCCCGCACGCCGGCGCTGCACGCCATCGAGCAGGCGCCCGCGACGACTACATCAGGACTTACGCAGCACGACGTGGAACCCCGCCGCCGTCTCTATTACTGGAGACAGCTCGCCGACGGCCAGCCGGAACGCGGCGGCTTCAAAAGCGCGTTCTAAATCCCCGCGCTGGAAGGGCTTGAGCCGGCCCCCATTGGTTGATGAGGGGCAGTCCGAGCGTTTCGAGGCTTCGTCGGCCAGCGCGGCCTCCATGTCTGATGACGCGGCGACGCGTTTTCGGAGCGCGTCGGCCTCGGCGCGCGCGTCGCTTTTCGCGAGGGAAATTTTCGGAGTGCGGTGCGACGCCGGTCGTCGAGAATCGGCGTGCTTGAGCAAACAGTGGACGACCGTAATTTTGTCGTCACTCCTCTTGGGCTTTGATTCAGAGGGCGCCTGCCACCGTCTTTCCCCCGTCTTTTCATTAATGCAGTAGTAGTCGCCCGGCGTGCTTCGCGACTCCTTCCAGCGCCAGGGCGCGGGTAAGGCGGGCTTGCCCGGCGGCGGCCTGTGGGGAGCGATCGACGGTCAAGCGCCCGCTCGATGGCGTAGAGGTGGTCGAAGGCCCTCTGGTTGAGTTCCACGCGGGTGGTGACTCCTCCTTCGCGGGCGCGGGCGCGGGCGCGGGCGCCGGGGCCGCCGGAGCCGAGGAAAAGCCGCTGCGCTTGCGTGGCCGCCGCTCCGGCGACGACGCGCCCCGCCGGCTGCGCTCGCGGCTCCGGCTCCGGCTCCGGCCGCGGTTTGATGCCGCGCGCACGACGCTCCGTTGCGCGGCCTCGCGGTCGCGGCCGCCGCCGCCGCGCTCCCGACTCCGACTCCGGCTCCGCGCGCGGCGGTCGCCGCGCTTGTCGTCGCCGCGCCCGTCGTCGCGCTTGGAAAAGCCGCCGCGGTCGCGCTCGCCGCCCTCCCGCCGCGCCACGAGCTCCTTCTTTTTTCGTTCCACGAAGGCCCGCGGAATGCCGTGAGGAGAATCCTGGGCGTCCAGCAGCAGTTTCCAGAGCTCCGCCACGAAGGGCTGGGCCTGCTTATTCAAGAATCCCGTGAGCTGGACCTGCAATTGTTGGGGGTCGACGCGCTTGTCCTGGCCCGTCTTCGCGTCGCGCGTCTGCGCGAGCCTGCGCGGAGCATTTCCGTCAAATCGGTCCAAACGGCCCCAAAATCGAAAAAGAGACCACCCACGACCTCGTCTGATGGACACGAGTCGCGTCGACGGCGTGACGGCGCCGCAGCACCGCGATCTTCATGAATTGGCATCAACGGGACGCCGAGAACGCACATGTTCATCACGAGTTCGGACAGCACGTCGTCCTCGAAGCCCAATAACTCCGCTAGTCTTTCAGACACCCAGCGGCCCATGACCTCGACATTTATTTTTTCTATTCGTACCTGTGTGTGACGGGTCGCGATCTCGCCCGAAACGCGCTCAAATTCGAAAAAGAAACCACCCACGTCATCGTGTGTTAGATACGAGTCGTATCAGTGAAGTGAAGGCACCTCCACACGACGGGACGCCGAGATGCGTACGGGCGTTTTGAAGGACTCGTCGAACTTGCCGCTTTTCTCTAATTTTTTTCTCAACCTTTTGTCGGCGTCGCCGTCGTAGGTCCGGAACTTGTCCTTGATGTCGCCGGCGCCGAAGCCCATGGTTTCTGCGCAGCGGCGGCGTCACGCGGCGTACGCTGCGCGGCGGCTGAGCAGTGAGGTGAGGAGAGGCGGAGCCCTCGGCCACAGGAGTGCGTGGGGCGCGGCGCGGCTGCGTGCGAACGCAGCGATACGCGAACAGCAATTCTGCCACCGATTTGGGCGGCTAGGGCCCCCAAAACAGTGCCGCGCCGCGTCTTGCCAACTAGCGTCCAGTAACACACTAGGAAGCAGGCGCCGAGGCTAAGGACTGCACTGCAGGACAGCTGTGACACTTCCAACGTGCTTGGTTGCTGTTCTGCATAGCTTTGCACACGGCAAATCCATCGGCAAGGCTTCGCCGCAGAGCACTGCTTGCCAAAGGCTGCAAGCCCCCGCTCGCTGCCCGGCGCACGCGCGCGCCGCGCCCGCGCCCGAGACACCCGCGCATCCAGCGCACGGCGACGCCGCGGGCAACACACACACAAAAAGAACATGTTCCTCGTGCACCGCGTCTTACATCCGGCGACGGCCGCGCACGCCGCGTGCTGGTCTAGAGTGACGAGCGACCACGACGAGCTCGTGCTGACCGTCGGGAGAGAACTTCATGTGTACGCCATCGTGAATGGTTCGTTAGCACTGCGACGCGTGTGGCGCTTCGAGGCCCGTCTTGAAGCATGTGCTCCCGCGAAGCGCCCGTCATTGAAGCGCGACGCGCTCGTCATCGCCTTCGCGCCGGCGCGGCTCGCCATTATTGATGATTGTGAGGGAGAACCTAGAACGTTGGTGCGCTACGACCTCGAAGCACAAGTGCCAAACGACCCTTATCAACTCAATCCTCTGAAGGCGAACAAGGGCGGTCCGCGTTCCTGGCCCGTCGTGCTCGATGCTTCTCCGAGCATAGCCGTGGTCAGAGCGCAGGCTCGAGTTGTTGCGGTACCTCTCATCCACTCTGCCGCCCGATCAGTGTCAGGTGAGCCGCCGGCACCGTTTTTTATCGATGGTGCACTGTCCGAGGACGTTGTGGTAAGGTTGTTGGCCTTTGCGCCGTCCGGACCGCCGACCGTTATCCTGTGCTGTGCCGACGCGCGCGGCGACCAGCCAGCATCGACAACTCTCATAGCCCTAGGCCTGGACGCTGCCAGAAGATCTTCGTATCCGCGGTGGCGCGTCGATTCATTGGCGGCGGCTCCTCGCGGATTGATCCCGCTCAGACGAGGTGGCTGCGTCGTTTTATTTAGACATACATTAACAAAAGTGTCGTCGGGAGGCGCCATCGACGCCGTCGCGTTGAATGGGTTTGCGGGCGAGGACTTCGGGCCTTCGGACTGCCGCGCCGTCGTAAGGCCAAATGTACCGAAGCTCGCCATCGACGCGACGGCCGGCTGCGTCGGCTGCGAAGTGTCCGACGGACTGTGCCTCGTCTCACTGCCCGGTGCCGCTTCATTATGGGTCGCGGACGTTTCCCAGACACCGCAACTGCGACCGCTCGCTTCGGCCGCGCCGTGTCGCGTCGTCTGCTGCTCTCCCGATTCACAGCGAGTTTTTTTGGGCGGCGGCTGCGACGACGGCGGATCTCGGCGTCCCGTCGTGTGGAGGCGCCTTCACGCCATCGACGCGCGTCGACTCCGGGAGAGGAGGCCGCGGCTGGTCTCGTTTTCGATTTTGAGCCGTTTCGGACCGCGTCGAGACCGCGATTCGCGCAGGCGTGCTGTGCGACGTTAAAGTATCGAGGGACGCGTCCAAGAAGCGCAAGACCGAGGAGGGTCTCTACGGCAAATTGTCTGAAGGCGCTGCATCATTACAACTCACGGCGGCCGACGCCGTCGTCGCGCTCGGTAGTCTGACTGATGCTACCTTCGGCGCTCGAACGGCTCACCGGTGGCCCTTCCAGCCCCAGAGGGAGGGCGACGCCCGGAAGGCGGCGCGCGAAGCGCGATCGTCTAGACGGAGTGAATTAGTAGCTTGCGCGCCGGGCGCCGGCGACGGGTCGCGCGGCCACGTCGTCTGCTTGGGCCGAGGCGCGAGACCCGTTTGTTTAGGCCACTTCAAGCGCAAGCTCGCGGCACTCATCGGCGGTCTAAGATGGAAGGGCCCGTTCCAGTCCAAGGAACTGACTTCAAGAGAAACGGCAACTCGCGACGTCGTCGTCACCGAAAGCAACAAGGCCATCTCCTGGTGCTTGTTTGATGGGCAGACGTTTGAAGAGGTGCAGTTGGAGTGCCACGGGAGTCTGCTGGGCGTCGTCGCGGCCGACGAGCCGCTCGACGCCTCTTCTGCCGTTTATCTCGTGTATGAAGGTGGCACGTGGCAGTCGCTGCAGGACGGGAAAGCCGTGAAAGGCGGGAAGTTCGCGAAGGCCATCGAGAGCGTCACTGGTGGTGTCCATACGGGCTACGTCGCTTGCTGCAGCGACGGGAAGACGCGCGCGTTGTCCCTGACGAAGACGTCAATAAAACTCGGAAAAGTTCTACTGGATGACGCATGTGATTGTGTGCACGTCGCGAAGGCTCCCGTATCCTTATGGGCTCGGAGTTCCACCTCATCTACGAATGAGCGTGAGGGCTGGCACGCCTCGACTCAGTTTGATGAGCGGTCGTTTTTGTATGGCGCCCCCGTGTTGGACGCCAAAGAAGAAAAGCTCTCGTTGGTCGAGACCGTCGTTGGGGTCGCGTCGGACGGTGCATTGATCGCGTCCTCCATGAAGGGTGACGAGCTCGCGCGCTACGAGCGCTGTACGGAGGGCTATGCTGTGCTGGGAAGTGTGGAGGACGACGGCGACACGCCGAGATGCGCCTGCGTGGCTTTGCACCGCATCGGTCCCAAACTGGCTCTCGATTCCCTCGGGCGGTGGGTCCTTGTTTTAATACTCCGAGAAGGCGACCTCGTCGTCTACGAGCACGACGGCCAGTGGCGCCGCGTCGCCCACGACTTTTTAGGAAGGCCTGATCCGGGTGTAGCTCAGACCTTCTCGCTGACGTGCTTCGAGGACGTCGAGAGTCGTTCTGGTGTGTTTGCGCATTGCAGTCGGCCGGCCGTGATTCTCTGCGAGAGAGGGAAAACTTCTGTCGTGTCCATCGAGTCCCTAGCTGGTGATGATGCTCCTCAGTTACCTAGAAGGACTACGCAAAGTGTGCCACTCCCGACGAATCGGGGCTTTCTCCTGAGCGGTTCGGACAGGAATGTTATATGTAGCGGTCTGGGCAATCTCGTACTAGCGGCAACATCAGCGACGCTGACCATCCATAAAGCCCCCATCAGGGACGGCTCGCCCTACAATATCAGAGCGCTGAACGCGCCGCCTGAGGGTGTTGATGCGGCGCCGGCCTTCGCATTACTCTGTGCCTCTCGCAGAGACCCCTCGCTGGGTAGAGTCGTCGACGCCGACGCCGAGCCGTCGACGGAGCCACCCACCACTTCCAGAAAATGGCCCCTCGATTGTTTGAGTGACTCAAGGATGGGCGGGGCACCAGTTAGTAGACAGTCGAACGCGTTCGAGCTGCGACTAGTCACGTCGGCAGGATGGAGGACGTTGCAACGGTGCCCTTTAGGAGCTGGAGAGCGAGGCGTCTGTTTGGACATCTGCGCCCTCGCGAAGAAGAGTGGAGACGTCGCGACGCGGAACACGTACGCGTGCGTCGGGACGTGCGTCGAGACGTCCTACGGCGAGGACGCCGCTAGTCGTGGAAGAATACTGCTCTTCGAGGTGGACTACGTGCCCTGCCGTAGAAAGAGTAGATCAGGAGGCAAGGGCCGCGGCGTGGGGCACGCGCCGCGTTTTACGCTCACGCACGCCAAGAAGGTGCGCGGCGCCGTCTCCCAGTGCGCCCAGGTCATGGAGCACGTCATCGTGAGCGTCGCGAACCGCGTCGAGGTTTACAGCGTCGAAGGCAAAGCGATGAAGCAGATCGCGACGCACCACGCGCCGCACTACGTCGTGCGATCTCGGCGTCCCTAATCATGCGTCGACGCCATCGATCAGACGAGGTCGTGGGTGGTCTCTTTTGCGATTTTGAGTCTCTGGAAGACGTCGGGGCCGTCGCGGCGGGTCCGAGAGAACGCGGTCGCGTCGATGGCGTCGTCACGAGACCACGTCACCGTGAGGCCGTCGCCATGATCATCAGAGCGTCTACGCGTCGCACGAGTGTACGGAGGCGGCCGCGCGACGCAGGTCTCGCTGCGCGTCGCGAAGACGTACGTGATTTATGCGGACGTCTACCAAGCGTGTACGTTACTCTTCTGGCGCGACCGCGACCGGCAGTTGTACCCGCTGGCCAAAGACGCGGACGCACATGAGCGAAGGGCCATCGGCCACGACTTGAGGTCTGGTTCTGGTTCGTATTGCGCGGACTTCGTTGTTGATGCGGGGGAGTTGGCCGGCGCGCATGCTTTAGGTGTCGTCGTGGGAGATGGGGATCGCGTCAGACTGCTCCAGTATGCACCTCTTGGATCCGATACGGACCGCGGCGGTCAGCGACTTTTGGCCAGAGCCGACTTCATGGTGAACAGCGACGTCCACACGCTGGCGAGGCACGCGGTCCCGAGGACGGACCCCGATAGCGACGCGGCGGCGTTCGCTTGCATCTATGCGGGTCTGGACGGGCAGGTCGGCGCCCTTTTACCTTGTGACGAAAAAGTATTTCGACGGCTGCGGGCGCTGGAAGGGGTGTTGGGCAATGCGTTGAAGCATGCGGCGGGCGTCCATCCGGACAAGCACCGGCTGGCGTCGCTACATTCAAGGAATATTCTGGACGGCGCGTTGCTGTTCCGGTACTGCTCGCTGCCTCGGCCGTTACAGCGGGACCTGGCGTTAGCTGTTGGTACTGATAGAGCTACGGTGCTCCAGACGCTGCGGAGCGTCGACGCGCAGTCGGCGTGGCTTTAGTAAGTATAGTACCGAAGTAGTTACTCAGGGCAGCCCGCGGGCGTAGAGCGCGTCTCGCGACTCGTCGAGATTTCGTTCAATCGCCAGTACAAGCGGGTGCGCGCCACCGAGCACGCGCCGCGTAGTCCGTTCTAAATCCTCGAGCGTCGTCGTGGCCTCGCGGAGATCGCCGCGCGTGGCGGCGGGGTCCTCGTAGAGCGCCGTCGCGCAAATCTTCCTCATCTTGAAATTGAGTGTGTCACTTTCACCAAGGACGCGGCGCGCCAGGGGTATCGTTTTGCGCATCAGCGCCTTTGCTTCTGCGTAGCGCTGTAGAGTAAGAAGGCCATTCGCGTAGTTGTTGGCTGCCATGAGGGTGTGGATATGTTCTTCGCCATTGAGCCTCAACCGTCCAGAGTATACGTCTCGTTCCATGCTCAGGGCCTCTTCAAGCCGTCCAACTAATTCATACGTACACGCAAGATTGCCCTGCGTGATGAGCACGTTTTTTTCTGACGCGCCAAGGCGCTGCTGCATAGACAACACAGCCTCTTTCACGGACAATGCCTCCTCGTAGTGTTTTGCATCGTGTAAAGCGTTCCCAAGCTGTGTCATCGCGCAAGTCCGAGCCCAGTCCGCCTCCGGTCGGCCCAAATACGTTTTCCAGCACGCCCAACTGAGCGCACTCCGCACGACACCATGGTACTGTTGCTCGCACAGGCTACACTTGTACCACCGATGCCACTGGTTATCATCCAAATCCCTCTCGTCGGCCTCCTCGACCAAAATCTTCGCTTGCCGCGCCAAGCACGACACGTGCACGAAACCGGACGCCCCGCGGCACGAGCAGCCGCGCACGAGGCCCTCCTCCGCGTCGCCGTCCATACAAATAAAGCACGTCTGGCCTTCCGTGTCCTCCGCACACTCCTCGACCGCGTCCGAGACGGCCTCCTCGTATTTCTTGCCGGCGTGGTGTTGTTCGGCGCCGCCGCCGCTTGCGATCTCCGCACACTCGTCGTCGTGGCCGCCGCGGTGCGCGTGGTAACGTAAACAGCGGTCACTGCAGTATCTCGTTTCGCAGGCCACGCATCTCGACGAGGCGTCGTGCTCTATAGGCTTGGCGCAGGCGGCGCAGGTGGTCAAAATCATTTTGACTTTGATTTGGGGGCTTGAGCACCAGAGATCCGACCGCTCTCCAGCGCTTTGATAATTTGCGTTCGATTGGGCGTCGTCTGTCGACGCTTGCTACTTAGAGCGGGTGCGCGCCGGTGATGGCCTGGAAAACCCGTTTTGTTGGGAGACGCGCCCGCGCGAAGTGATGCAGCACGACGTCGTCGACGCGGCTCGAACCGAGGATTCCAGTGGAAAGTCTAAACAAACACTTAGTGAGTGCTCAGGGCAACCCGCGGGCGTAGAGCGCGGCTCGCGCGTCTTGCAATTCGTCCTCTGTCCCTTCTGTAATTGGGTGCGCGTCACCAAACACACGCCGCGCGGTCCGTTCCGTGTCCTCGAGCGTCGTCACGGCCTCGCGAAGATCGGCGAGCGTGGCGCCGGGGTCTCTGTAGAGCGCCTCCGCGAAAGTCTTTCTCATCGTGAGCGTCGTGTCCTTAATCTCTCCGAGGGTGCGTCGCGCCACAGGTATCGTTTTGCGCAGCAACGTCTTAGTTTCTTCGAAGCGACTTAGCTCGCAAAGCGTGCGAGCTAAGTTGTTGGCTGATATGGAAGTGTCTAGGTGATCCTCGCCAAGGAGCTGCACACTGTCGGAGTATATGTCTCGCTCCATGCTTAGGGCCTTCTCAAGTTGACCAAGATCTGCATACGCGCTCGCAACATTGCTCTGCGCGTCTAGCAATATATCTTCATCGGCGCCAATGCGCCGCATCGTAGATAACAGGGCCTCTCTCACAGATAACGCATCCTCGAAGTGGCTTGCAGCGTATAAACCGTTCCCGAGCACAGTCATCGCCCATGGCCGAGCATCATCCGCCTCCGGCCGACCCACATACGTCTTCCAGCACGCCCACCCGAGCGCACAAGACACGACGCCGTGGTAGTCTTGCTCGCACAGGCGGCACGTATCCCACCGCCGCCACCTCGCATCGAACGCGTCGTCGTCCAAATCCCTCTCCTCGGCATCCTCCACTAAGATCTTCGCCTGCCGCGCCAAGCACGACACGTGCGCGAAGCCCGCCCCCCCGCGGCACGAGCACCCGCGCACGAGGCCTTCCTCCGAGCCGTCCTCCAGACAGATGTAGCACGTCTGGCCGTCCGTGTCCTCCGCGCACTCTTCGACCGCGTCCGCGACGGCCTCCTCGTATTTCTTGTTGGCGTGGTGTTGTTCGGCGCCGCCGCCATTGGCGATCTCCTCACACTCGTCGTCGTGGCCGCCGCGGTGCGCGTGGTAGCGGAGGCATCGATCGCTGCAGTATCGAGTCTGACACCCCACGCATCTCGCCGAGGCGTCGTGCTCTATAGGCTCGGCGCAGGCGGCGCGTGTTCAGTAGCTGCTGGCCAAAGCTCTTTGAAGAGGCTGGCTGGGCGCCTTCCACAGCGATTCCGCGCGGCCTCGCGCTGCGCCAGCCGCGAGATATTCAAATTTCGAGTATTCTGCGAAGTCAGGCCCAACCAATTCGCATCAATGCGCCAAAGCGCGCGCGCGTCGTGTGTGCGAGCTATGTGCGAGCTAGCGGTAAGGCACTAGCAAGTAAAAACCGAGCGTACCTGGCCAAAAGCTCCCAAAACCCGTACAACAAGACGATGCACAAACTAGACCAAGTTACTGTCCCCCACCACGATCCCGGACCGCGCCGCTTCCACTTTTTGCGACAGAGCGTCCACCCTAGAATCCGACAGGTCACTCATCTCGGCCCTTGCTCGTCTTTTGGTGGCGGCCCGAGACGCCTCCGTGACCCAGAACTGGCGCGACCACCACCTCAGTGCCACATTCTTCTTCAGAGACACCGCACCGGCCACGACCAATACCAATCCAACAATCATTGCGACGACCCCATCTGCCCACCAAATCCCGGCCTCGACCATCAGAAAGTACCCGATGAGCACGCCGCAACTCAAACAAGCCCCCGCTAGTGAACAGAAGCCGTCCTTGCGCAGCGCCATCGAGTCGACTTCGTGAGCTATTCTTAGTTTATAAAATCCAAGAAAACCAAAGAGAAACGCCGACGGCACGGACAACCCGAGCAAGAACGAGTGGTTGTCCGCCTCCTCGTGCGATGCGAGCGTCGCCATGCCGTTGATGGCCACCTGCGCGGAGCATCGCGGTCTCGACGCGGTCCGAATCGGCTCAAAATTGGACTAGAGCACCACCCACGTCATCGTGAGATGGACACGAGTCGCGTCGATGGCGTGAAGGGACGCCGCGGGCGCACCAGCCAACCCAGCAGCACGAACATCAGAGCGATGCCCACGTCGGCGCGCTTTTCTCGTAACTCCAATTGCGCCTCGGACACGACACCGGCGCCCCAGAAGCGCCACAGCACCAGCACGGAGCCGATGGCATCCACACCGTTCTCGAGGGCATACCCCAGAGCGGCTGAGGATGAACTGTGGATGCTGATTGCGAGGCCCGCGCAGAACGCGCAAACTGTGAGAATCAGCGACGCGACGGAGACGTTGTAGGCGTCCTTCGGGCCGTACCGCTTCTTGGTCGTGCTTCGTTGCGCCTGCTCGGCGGCCCTTTGCAGCACCGATTCGACTGCTGCCGAAGTGTCTTCCCTGGTGTGGCCCTCCTGGGGGCTGGCGGGCTCCATGGGTGAGGAGGGCTCCTTGACCTCGTCCTCCATGATCTATGCGATGGATTTGGGGCTGCCCGGCGGCGTTTGGGCGCGCGCGCGTGCAGATGCACCAGGAACCCGTTTATTTCGGGATTTGGCCGTCGCGGCGCGGGAGGCTTCCGACGCGTGTCGGGGAGGTGGATGCGGTCCGATGCTCGGGCCGAGAGGTCTGGGACTGATCGGGGCCAGGTTGCGAAACCCGTTTGCTTCACAGCTCGACGCGACGAAGCCAGCGCGCTGGCCACGCCGGAGCGCAAACGACCAGCTGACCAGCTTCGCAGCCCGCCGCTAACGTGCCCTCCTTGCGCTGCGCGTCGCTTGAAGCGAAACAGCCGGTGGGCCGAGCACAAGGCGAAACATACCGGTGCTGCGCGAACGGTGAATGTACGTCGACGAGATGTGGCTCGAGTGCATGCAGGGCCGGGCCATGCAGGACGTCCTCGCCGCTAAAGCAACGAAGAAGAGGCCGCCGCGGCGCGCGCTCGGCGACCTCACGAACCGGCCGTCGACGCCCGTCGCCGTCGCCGTGCCGCCGACGCCGCCGGCGGCGCTGCCGAAGCGGCCAGCATTACCGCGCCCGGAGGCTAAAGTTGAGGCGCGGCCGCTCGCGACGCCTCAGACACCGTTTTCGTTCGTTGCGGACCACGCGGAAACAGCGACGCCGCTGCCGACGACGGAAGCGACGGACGAGGCCGACGTCGCCGCGTCCCATGAGCTCCTATCAAATCTGTCGCCGCCGCCGAACACGACGGCGCAGCGCGGTCTTCGATTGGCCGTGCGCGCGTGCGTCCTGGCCGTCGTCGTCGCGGCGAGCGCGTCGGCCGGGTCGTCGCTCGTCCACGCGGCGAAGGCGCCAGTGACAGAGCCCGTCCGTGCAAAGGCGAAGTTCGCCTGGTCTGTACAAACGAGGAGACCTATGCGACCGCCGCGCTGGGCTTCGGTTCGGGGCGTCGCGCCGGCGACGACGTCGCGCGCGGCGCGCCTCGATTCGGTCGCGCGGTTCCTCGCGGCGGCGCGCGGCGTCGTGCACAAGCTGCCGCCGCCGCCGCCGCCGCGGTCTCCCGCGTTTGCGTGGACGGTCCGGGCCAAGGCGTTCCCGGCGGGGCCGGCGCGGCGCGTCGTGCCGCCGCCCTGAGACGTCCCCGAGCCTAAGACCCAAGTACAAAGTATTATTTGACCGCGGCGACGGCGTGGGCGCCGGCCGACCATGTCGTGGGCGCGAGCCGGTAGCTAGCTGCAGCAAGGCACTAGGAATGCCGGCTTGGCTTGGCCAGCCAAAGCTTGGAAGGGCTGCCCCCCGAGCGACTTGACCACACACAAGATGATCCTCACGTACTGCGCCGTCTGCGCCACCGACCTTGGCTTAACCAGGGGCAAGAAATGCGGCCGCTGCAGCACGCGCTACTGCGGGGCAGCCTGCCAGGTGCAGCACTGGCAAGAGCGCGGCCACGACCAGCTCTGTAAGAAGATTAAAAGGGCTGGTGGCGCTGAGCAGTACTATGCAAATAACAAGTACTCGGAGGCAGTCGCGGTCGCGGCGGAGGCGTGCGCCGAGGACACGAAGGGTCAGACGTGCTACATCTGCACGCAGGCCTTGCATTGGAAAACGAAGGAAGGCCTCGTGCGCGGGTGCTCGTGCCGCGGGACGGCGGGCTTCGCGCACGTGTCGTGCTTGGCGGAGGAGGCGAAGATTTTGTGGGACGAGGCCGAGGAGAACAATTTGGACGGCAAAGCGTTGCAGGAGAGGTGGAATCGGTGGCGCGCGTGTAGCCTGTGCGAGCAACACTACCACGGCGTCGTTTCGTGCGCGCTCGGGTGGGCCTGCTGGAAGACGTACGTGGGGCGGCCGGAGACGGCCGTGGCTCGGAGACTTGCGATGGAGAATCTTGGGAGCGGTCTGTCCGCTGCGGGACACAACGGGGACGCGTTGTCCGTGAGAGAGGCCGAGTTTTCTATGCGGCGGCGCATCGGCGAGTCAGAAGGCAGCATGCTTGCCGTGCAGGGCAATCTTGCGGGCGCGTATGAAGCGCTTGGACGGCTCGAAGAGGTCCTGTCGATGCGGCGAGACGTATATTCTGGCTGGTTGAGGCTCAAAGGCGAGGAACATGAAACGACTCTCTTAGAAGCCAGCAACCTCGCGTGCTCCCTTGATCGTCTAGAGCGCTTCGAAGAAGCTAGGTCTCTGTTGCGCAAGACGATGCCAGTGGCGCGACGCGTTCTCGGAGAAAGTGATAGTACCACGCTCAGGATGCGGTGGAATTACGCTGTGGCGCTCTACAGAGACCCCGACGCCTCACTCGACGATATCCGCGAGGCCGTGGAGACGATCGAGGAAGCGGAGCGGGCCGCAAGGCGCGTGCTCGGTGGCGGACATCCGACCGCTATGGGGATGGAACAATCCCTGCGACATGCGCGAGCCGTGCTCAGCGACCGCGCCAAGAAGGAGAAACTTATGGAAGAACTCGATGTTACTGCGGAAGTCTTCGATAAGGTTGCTAGATTTGCAACGAAGACACACCGGGTGAGTGTTTTAGGGACCACGGTCGAGGCGACGTATGGCGACCTCGAGTCCACCCGCAAGGCGCTGGAGGCGTTGCCGCCGGGGGATGCTTAAGACGATTAAGTCTGCCTGCTCCTGCTTCTGGGCAATCCACGCGCGTCGACGCGCTTCGTGCGGGGCTCGGCCTATGCCCCTGATTTTTTTGTGCTGCGAACCCTCTATTAGGCTCTAAAACCACGCGCCGACGCTGCCCGCGCGCGCGGTGTCATCGAGAGGCGCCATCCGTTCACGGCCGAGCTCCGCCGCGCAATCGTAGGGAGAACTGAGCTGCTCCATGGCTAGGTGTGCAAGTTGATCTCTTGCACCAGCCATGGGCGGTGGCGCGTCCAAGAAGAAGAAAGCAGTAGTACTGGACGACGCCGACGACGCCGCTTTGTTCGACGCGGCCTTCACGAACAAGGTGCTCAACGCGTGCTACCTCGATACGCGCGAAATACGACAGCGCCTCACTTCATCTGAAGCGAAGCTGCGGTGTGACTGCGGCGCGTATAGTGCCAGGTACGGTTCTCTAGTATTCCGAGGGTTATATGCGGACGAGCCGACGAAGCCCTGCCAGGACAGGTATGGCATGGTGGAAACAAATGGAGACCCGTGGTTTCTAATCCTCGACGGCCACGGTCCGAATGGCCACGCCTGCGCCCAGTTCTGTTTGGAGGAGCTGCCTCGAAGCTTTGAGGACGCCCAAGGTTCTGTTGAGGAGCATCTTACGCAGGCCTCGGTATCAACGAACCGTGCGCTCCACAAATCAAAAGTCGAGTCGCGCGACTCGGGCACGACGTGTGTCTCGTTGCTCGTGGATGGTGGTGTGTTGTACTGCAGCAATGTTGGGGATTCTAGATGCGTCCTCGGGCGTCGAGAGAACAATTCAATCAAAGCCATAGCCCTATCAAAAGATCAGACGCTCTACAGACAAGACGAGCGGCAACGCATCGAAGCAAGTGGTGGAAGAGTCCTCTCAATAGGCCAGATCGAAGGTAGTGTACCGATGGACCATATCTGGAAATGCGACCTCGGCAGTGAAATCGATTCAGACGGCGACCCGCCCAGGCTGTGGCGCAAGGACGCGTACGAGCCCGGCACGGCGTTCTCGCGTTCTTTAGGTGATTTTACAGCTCAAGAGCTCGGGTGTTCGTCCACGCCGGAAGTCCAACAGCACGTCATCGATGCTTCAGATGTCTGTTGCGTGCTCGCGACCGACGGGGTGTGGGAATTTCTGACAAGTCAGGAAGTTATTGATATTTGTGTGTCCTGCAAGACCCCGAAGGAAGCCTGCTACAAGATCGTGGCCGAGTCCTATCGACGGTGGTACGAGCGGGAGGAACGGATTGATGATATCGCTTGTTGCGTGTTGTATTTCGACGGTGCTTCCGTTGCGTCTCCTCCTCCGTCGTTGCGGGAGCCGGGCGCCGCGCCGCCGCCGCGGCTCCGGCGCCGCGGCTCGATCGTAGCCCCCGCCGCCGCCGCGCCCCCGCCTTAGACCGTCGCGCCGACCCTGTGGCCCCGATAAGCTATGTTCGTCCGTGATCTTTCCTTATGCTTCCGGTTACCTCGGACCCGAACCCGCCGGGAGAGCGCCGGCCCGGCCCCAGGCAGCCGCACAGCGCCTGAGAGCCAGCGGCGCGGGCGAGCGCAAAGGAAGCTCGTGCCTTTTTTGTCTCGCTCGGAGGCCGGCGGGGCTGCCCCAATGGCTGCTGGGAGCCGACGCCATCGATGCGACGGCGTGTGGGATAGTAGCAGATAGCAGTGCTCTCTCTGAGCCACATTACTCGCGCAGCCATGGCAGAAATCCGACCGTCATCATGCTACGCCGGCCATGCGCCGGCAATCACCGATGCGCACGTCGCAGCGCTGGAAGCCAAAGATTATGTCGTGATCGACGGTCTGTTTCCACGCGTCGACGAGCTCCGCCAGGCGCTGGACGACGCCCAGTACCGCAAAACCATGCAGTCAGAAAGTATCAGGACCGACCGCGTGCGGTGGGTCACCGAGGAAGACGGCGTCGTGGGCGATACGGTACGGGCCTTGAAGGGTCTCGGTGACAGATTCGCGCCGGCCGTCGGCTACGAACGCGTAGACGCGCCCTCGAAGTGCATGGTCGCTCGTTACGAGCAAGGCGGCTACCGTACACATCTGGACCACGATCCACCTTCCGACGACGACCTCTACTGGCTCTGGAAGAGTTCGCGGGAGCAGTCGGGGCGCGTGCTGACGGCTATCTTGTACCTGACCGATCCGGACTTCGACGCGTGTCTACACGGAGGGTGCTTGCGGCTCTTCCTGGGGTGCGCCGACGGCGACGCTTCCGGTGAGACGGCGACGTCGATCCGGGACGTCGCCCCGGTCCCGGGGCGCTTGGTCGTCTTCAAGGCGCGGTGCGTCCCGCACGCCGTCCTTGAAACGTCGAGGAGGCGCCTTGCTTTGTCTTGTTGGCACCTCGCGCCGGAGGCGTAGGCGGTCGCTATGCACTGTGCGGGCGCGGCGTCCGCTTATCTGCTCGACGGCGTGGGGGTTGACGCCACCGACGCGACACTGTATACGTAACTAGTTAATCTTATTGGCCCTCTTCGGCTTCGGAAAGAGCATCTTCTTCCCCATCTTGAGGATCTGGAGCGTCCAGAACAGGTTCAACAAAGCGGGAAGACCCGCCGTCACGGCGCCGATCAAGCGCACGTGCACCGGCAACTCGGGATGCAAATCAAGAGAATACTGCCGCGAGAAGTAGGCCGCGTGGAGCACGACGTGCACGTTCGTACTTCTCACCACAAAAAACGAAAGAGCAAACAGCATCGACATAATCTTGTCCGCCCTTGAACCTCTCCCAAAAAACAGCTGCGTCACCCACCGCAGCTGCAGAAAAGGTGAGGATAATTCAGTGTACTCATAATGAAGTAGAAACGGGCCCGCGACGCGGTAGAGAGAAGCTAGGGGCCAGACCAGGATCGAGAGGACGTGGTGCACTATTAATAATTTCTTTTCCCCATGTCCTGATTTCGCCCAGGTGCCGATGCGGTACAGATCCCAACACATGAATCCGACGGTCCAACAAGTTAACGACAGTGCTTGGTCCGCGGCTACATGTGCTGAAAATAATTGAGGGGCGAAGTTTGTGTCTAACGCTACAGCGCGTTGCACCGCGTGGTCCACGTCGGGATCGCCCTGCAGGAACAGGAAGTAGAATGCTACGGGGCCGCTAATCGCCGCGTGGACAATGTTCACAACTTTCAAGGCGAGCGTCGCGCGGTCGGTTGCTTTGAGCGACGTGGCGGTCTTGTTGATGCAGAAATGCGACGCGTGGTACAAGGCCTCGCAGGCGAGGAAGGCTGCCGCGACGGTGAGCCAGTACGTCTGCGTTGCGGCTTCGAGCATTGTTGTTTGCGGCGCGCGGTGGCTGGCGTGTTGGACTGGGGTGTGTGGCTTCGCTGCTGCGTTTCTGGGCTGCGGTATGCACGGATGTGTCTGCAGCGGCCCAAAAACTTGCGCTCGGCGCGTTCCTAGCACGTCTATGATCTAGCTTGTGTAATCTTTAAAGTGCTGGTCCCTGATGAGAAGTTAATTTTGTTCGGCCTAATACGGCGCGCTGCGAATCCAATCGACGCGCATTCGATCCCCCTTCTTCGCGCCCGCGCGGTATCGGGCTCGCGGCTGCCCCGGGCGCGCGTGGCTGCCTCTGGTGGCTGCCCCACCGTCAGGATGGACGTGGACGTGCGGCGCCTGCCCATGGCCCGCTATCTGGGCGTCCCTCCGGCTCCTCAGCCGGTCGTCTATATTTGGCCTGCCCAGAACGGCGGCGTCGTCGTTCACGCGCAATACGCCGACGCGCAGCTCGTGCTCGCGGGGGCGTCCTCCGGCGCGCGTCGGATGCGCTCCTCGCGACGGACCTGTCCTGGTCGGTTTACGAGGATCGGGGCAGCCACGCGACGATGACGCCGACGCAGGCGGCGAACCAACTGCTGGACCAGGGTTTCAGGAACCAGCACCTGCGCTTTTGGCCCGGCCTGGGGGACCTTGGTTGGCAGCAGCAGCATGTCTTGATTGTACCGCCAGACAATTATTTCGCCGCGCCCGCGGGAGAGTCGCCCTTCTACCGGCGACGACGAGAGCGGCTCGGACGCGCCCGCGTCGAGTGCTTCGGGCGACGACGAGCAGCATCATTATATGATGCTATCCCTAGGTGGTCCAAGGGAGACACCACGCCGCCGCTCCGCCCGCGGTCCCCCGGCGCCGCCATGCCGACGGCGACGCGCGCGTTCCCCGGAGGTGCTGGGGACGGGTCCTCGTCGAGCGACGGGAGCACGAATAGGTCGTGCTCCCGGTCGCGGTCGCGCTCCCCCCGCCACGCCCGCCGCCGCGTCACGACGTCGCAGTAACACTCTTACCCTAGAGCACGGACTCGTACGCGAGCACGCCGCGCTTGATGCGTCGCAGCGCCTCGGGCCCCCCGTTTCTTTCGAGCGTCCCGAGGACGTCCGCGCAGTCGAAGCGGAGCGACGTGTGACGCCTCCTGCACGCGTCGACGGCCGGCGCTATGCTTTCCAACGGTAGAGCCCTTCCACAGACGCCCAGTCCACCTTTCTCTCGCGCGTCGCACGTGACGTACTGGACGACCGCATCTAGAGCTCGTTTGGCGACCGTTTGATTCGGAGACCTCAAAGCATGTTTGAGGGGCGGCGCCAAGCGCTGCGCCAACGACGCGCATCGATGCGCCGGCCCGCCTTCTTGTAACAATTCACTCAACCCCTCGGCCGCGAGGAAGCCCAGAGGCTCCTGCGTCTCGGTCAATCCTTCGCAGAACAAGAGACAGTAGTGGTCATAATCGAGGGTCAAAACGTCTGGAACCGTCCAACCAATACTCCTTCCATTCACGCTCCGCCCGTTCTGGAGGCGGTCGTAGCACACTCGTAATGGTAATAGGCCCTCATCATACGCCTTCTTGAAGGCTGAATCGGGTTGTTTCGGTTCTCGCGTTAATTGCCGGCGCCTCCTCAACAGATTCGAATGAGCGGCAGTTCTCGATTTAGGCTTGTCGCGGTGCAGCTGCGCCGCCGTCTTATCGAGGGCCGGCGCCGCCCAGTGGCCGCCGGACGCGAAGGGGGCTTCCGCTGTGTGCGGTCGGACGGCCAGGGCTGCCATATCGCAAGAGCTACTGGGAAGGAGCTGCCGCGTGGACGTGAGCACCGCTTGGGCTTCGGTAAATTGGGGGCTGCCCCTCGTGCTTCTGGCCGGCGCGGCGACGGCCTCGCGTTCGCACGCCCAGTCAACCGTGAATCTCGTGGTGCTGTCTTCGTCGGCCCGCAGCTACGGGACGCGTGGCGTTGAGCTCTGGGACGACTCCCACGGTTGCAGAAAGATTACGATGGCGTGCTAGTGTGTTGCCGGCTAGGTGATTATGTCCGTATCATTCTCTAATCTCTGCGTCGACGGCCAGTCGAGGGCGCGTGCCGCCTTGGTTTTGACCCCTACGCTGCGCGAAGAGTCTACGCCACCACTGGGCGGGCTCCGCGCGCTTCCAGCGCCCGCGGAGGCGCCCGCTGCGAAAGCCACGAATCCTAAGGCATCAGCCAACTGATTCGAAGGTCGCGCGCGAGCCGGCGGCGCTCCGTCAACTGCAGAGGCCGCCGACGGTCGCCGCCCCGCAGCCCGCGGACGCTGACAATCAGAGGACACGCAGCCAGCGGACGCGCGCGGAAGACGACAGCCACCATGTCCGTCCGGAGGAGAGCGTCCTTCGACTCCGACTCCGAGGACGGTTTCTTCGAGGGGTACTCGCTGTCGGGCGACGCGCCGGCGAACGAGCTGCCGTCGCCCTGTAAAATAAGGATGAACGGGAACCGGCGGAGCTTCTCGGAAAGGGTCGACGATCTCTTGAGGGCGAAAGCTAGAGACGAGGCCGTTCCGGAGGACTACCAGACGCCGAAGCGGCGGCGCCTCGCGCCGCTCTGCGCCGTGACGCCCGTGACGCCCTCGGCGCCGCAAAAACCAAAAACGCGGCCCGAGCGCTGCGTCTCCGTTTCCGAGCCGACGCCGATGCAGACGACGCCGCCACCTCCTATGGGGTTGGCGTCGTTGCGCGCCGCGCTCGCGTCCAAGGGCGAGTCGACGGCCGCCGACGCCCTGCTCAACCTGAACTGACCGCACATACCGTTGTGCATATACCGCGAACTCCGCGCTCGACGCGCGGCGTCCGGACCTGAATCCGCCGAATGAATGAATATCGACCTGTGTAAAAACACCTGTTTCGCCGACTTTATGACTCGTTGATTTCAAATTGCTAGCTTACGCCCCCCTACGCGAAATTTCTTCTCTTGCAAACGTAAGCTCGCCGCGAACACTGCAAGTCCGCGGGTGCTCGCGTCCGCAAACTCGCTGCGAGATTTCGAGAGTCTTTTCGAGGGTGGTCGCGACCTCGGCCAGCTGTTCGGCAGATACGTCTTTGTCGAGAGTAAAGGCCCTAGAGTAGCCCCATTGGAAGTCGAGCGTGACTGGGTGATCAGCTCCAAACGCGCGTCTAGCCAGTTCCATTTGATCGCGCGTGAAAGCCCTGGCTTCGGCGTAATTTCCAGCGTCGACGAGGGAGGTTGAAAGATTTACGGCCGCCCCCAAGGTACTTTGGTGAAGCGGCCCTAGGTCCCTGTGCCTCAAATGTCCCGAGTATACGTCTCGTCGCATACTCAGGGCCTCATCAAGCCGTCCCAGTTGTCCATACGTCATCGCAAGATTGCCCTGCACGATGAGCATGTCTCCTTCTGGTGCGCCAAGGCGCCGCAGCATAGACAACCTGGCCTCCTTAACGCACAACGCGTCCTCGTGGTGTCCTGCTAAGCCTAGACTGTTTCCAAGCACAGTCATCGCACCTCTATAAGCCCAGTCCGCCTCCGGCCGCCCCACGTACGTCTTCCAACAGGCCCACCCGAGCGCGCCTATGACGACGCCGTGGTATCCTTGCTCGCACAGACTGCACATGTGCCATCGTTTCCAACGCGATTGTACGTCCAAATTGTTCTCCTCCGCCTCCGCGACCAAAATCTTCGCCTGCTCCGCCAAGCACGACACGTGCGCGAAGCCCGCCGTCCCGCGGCACGCGCACATGCGCACGAGTCCCTCCTTCGTTTTCCAGTGGAGGGCCTGCGTGCAGATGTAGCACGTCTGGCCTTTCGTGTCCTCCGCGCACGCCGTCGCCGCGACCGCGACGGCCTCCGCGTACTTCTTATTTGCATCGTATTGCTCCGCGCCACCAGCCCTTTTAATCGTCTTGCAGAGCGTGTCGTGGCCGCCCTCTTTCCAGTGCTGCACCTGGCAGGCTGCCCCGCAGTAGCGCGTGTTGCAGCGGCCGCATTTCTTGCCCCTGGTTAAGCCAAGGTCGGTGGCGCAGACGGCGCACTGCGTGAGGATCATCTCCTGTCAAATGGGCCGAGCTCGACACTAGAGCAAAAGGCAAAGGACAGAGGCAAAGCTAGCGTCCTGCAACACACTAGCAAGCCAGCCAGCCATCGAGCTCTTTTTTCGCCCGCGCCTCACAAGTCAGCGGCATCGCGCCCTCGGCTGTCTCACGATTCATTCGCCTCGCGGGCGCTGCGACGGCAGAACTCCTGAGCCATACCTATACAAGCAGCTGGAGAGCTAAGGACTGGCCGCAGCCGCACGCCGTCGAGCTCGAACCCGTGAGCGTCGAGGGGCCCAGGCCACGCCATGGCCGACGACGCGAAGGAGCCCGAGGAGGCGCCCGAGGAGCGCGAATGTAGAATTTGCAGAGGCGACGCGGAGCCCGGGAACCCATTATATATTCCCTGCGACTGTCGAGGGAGCATACGGTACTGCCACGAGGATTGTTTGGTAAGATGGCTGGATCACAGTGGAAAGGACCGCTGCGAGTTGTGTGGGGTGGAATTTGCCTTCGCGCCCGTGTATGCGGAAGGCGCGCCTGATAGATTACCGATGTCTCAATTAATATCAGCAGGATTGCAGTACATATACTCATCTTTACTACCTTTGGTGCTGAGGATCTGCGCCTCGACCCTCCTGTGGTTGGGAGTAGCTCCATTAGCTACTTGTATGTTATACCGAGCCTGGATCCACCGACCGTCAGAGTTACCGGTAGCTTGGTCCGGAGCTCGATTGCTCGAAGAGCTCGCCTCAGGACTCGTAGTAGTCGCCGCCATCGTCGTCTCCTTCCTCTCGTTACTCAGTTTCACGGACTACATGAGAGTCCGGTGGGAGATCGCGGACCTCCAACGTAATCTTGATGATGAAGTCCACGAAGAGCACGAAGCACCTCATCATGAAGAGCCGGTTGTGGAACCGCCACCGCCTTTGATGGATGACGAGGAGGACGACGACGACGAGGTGGAGTTGCACGTCGCCGTCGACGAATTGTTAGGTCTCCGAGGGCCCCTAGTTAATGTCGCGCGAAACGTCTCTTGGCTCGTCGTGTTCAACGCCGCGTACCTGGGCGTCTTCGCCTTCGCGCCGTTTGCCGTTGGTCGAGCGGTTTCGAGGGGGGCTTCTCGGGTCCTGGGTCACGCTTCTGCAGAAGATGTTTTGAATACAACGCAAGTCGACCCGGCGCGCGCGTGGGCGTCGCAAGTGGTCCGATTCGTGGCTTCCGGTTTGAATGCGACCGCGAACGGCGAGTTGCGCTACCGACAAAAGCCCGGGAGCCTCTCGCCGCTGCCGAGGCCCGAGCGGCTCCAGAACTGGTCGCGGCACCTGGGGACCTTCGCCGACCGGCTCGCGGCGCGGTCTACGTCAGCAGTGCCGCCGCCGGCTACTCTCAGATTGAGTGATCTGGGACGGGTCGCGCTCGGGTATGCGGCTCTTGGGATCGTCGCGTGTCTCGGCAGGGAGTTATTCCGGAGCGCGCCTTCGGCTCTGAGAGCGCAGCTGCCCGTGCGAGCTTTGAGGAGAGCGGAACGAGCCCTAGACGCCGCCGCGGCCGCCGCCAAGGTCTCGATGGTATTGGCGCTGAAAATGATTATTTTACCGACCGTGCTCGGCGCCGGTCTGGAGATCGCGATCAAGCCCGACCTGGCGCAGGTGCGGGCGCTGGGTGGAGGGGCCGCGGGGGCGGCGCTGGCGCGGTGGGTGCTGGGGATCACGTTCATGCTCGTGGTCACGGTATGGAGCGGCGTCCGAGTCACTTCGCGCGAGGGCGTCGCGTCGATCGCGCCGATGGCGTCGCGGCGATGGCACCGATGCCTTCTGACGTCGCCGCGACGACGCAGCGTCGATGGCGTCGCGACGAGAGCGCCGCCGCCGAGACGCCATCGTCACGTCTCTCCACACAGGTCGCCGTCCTACAATTGCGCGAACAATTACACCCCGCCGTTTTAGGACAGTGGGTGCGGCCCCACGAGCCGAGACCGGACCTCCTAGCTGCTCTTCTGGCAGAACCGGCACAACAACACGCGAGGCGTTTACTCACCTCATTGTTGATCTACGCCGGACTGCTGTTCGTCCTCGTGGCCGCGCCCGTCCACCTGCTGGCGCCGCTCGTCGAGTACTACGGGCCTCTCAACCTCAAGGTCTCGTATGCGGCGCCGGCCGCGCAAATACCCCTCGAGCTCTTATGCTTCCACCTCGCTTTACTGACGCTACTCGAACGCCTCAAAAAACGAATAGGCGACGGCCAGCGCTGGTATTTATCGAAACTTTGTCAGAAGTTGTCCTTAGAGACGTATTTGTTACCATCAGATGGGCCGGAGCTCGACGAAGCCACGCTAGACGCCCACAACGCCTTCGACGCCGCCGCCGCTGCTGCTGGGAGACAAAGAGCACCCCCAGAGAGGTGGGCCTGGGGGGATGAACGGCCTTCTTTACGCGAAGTGCGACTGCGGCCGCGGGCGCCGCGGCCCTCTTCCTCACGGTTAGTGCTGTTCTCGCTGGTCAGCTGGGCCGGGTGCGTCCTGGCCTGTACGACCATAGCGCTCCTACCGCTCTTGCTTGGGAGGCTGGCTCTACGACTGCTACGATGCGATCCGGGCCACGACCCCGCGTCGTTGGCGGCCGGCTGGGCCCTGGCGTTGTTCGCGCTGGGGCCCTGGCTGGAAGGGCGTAGACGGCATGTGGAGCCTTCACCAAATGACGCTCCAGTCCGAGAGAACGTGCTCTCGGGTGTCGCGTTTGTGGTACTCTGGTTTCTGGTGCTCCCGCTCGGCACGGGCCTGCTCTACGACGTATTAGTCTGCACTCTTGATGGATCGTACGGCTACGACTTCCTCCTGGGTGTTATAGTGTTACAGATTACGGTCACAGCTAGAGCAAGGTGCGCGGCCCACGCGATCGAGCAAGGCAACGAGATTGACAGATGGAGCGGTGACGCTCTGAAAGCGCGGTCTCAGGTAATAGCCGCTCTGTCGGAACGGAGTTTCGCGCCCATCGATTTTCGGATATTACTGCACCTGTCTCTGTGCGCACTGGGCGCTCTAGTTGCTCTAGCAACGGCGCCGCTCTCGATACCGCTCTACTGCGCCTGGAAGGGCACGGAGGAGTGCGGCCACACGTTTGCGCTCCTGGGGGCCGCGGCGTGGAGCGTCGCGGCCTCCTCGGCCCCCCCTGCTTTTGATCTCGCGACGTACCGCGCTATGGTCGCGGCGGCTTTGGGCGCGACGGCAGCGGCTCGGGGGCTCGGGCCGCTCAAGCGATGGCTCGACGCGGCGCACGGGGCCGCGCGCGACGCGCGGTATTTGGTGGGCCTGCGGCTGCAGAACCACGTGGCTAAGTAGGCCTGTTTTACGAAGACTCCCCGAGGATCTCCCGCGCCATGTCGGAAGCGCAGCAGCTCGGCAGCTCTCTGGCTACACTGGGCATCTCGCTCTCGGTGGCAATTTGAGTCGGCCGCGGCGGTCGAGACCTCGCAGTCGAGTTCTCCGAGGCCGGACGACACCGCTGCGGCGACTCGTAGGATGCGCCCGCTAGCTACGGCCTCTAGCACTCACCTCGCTGGATGAGCGAGTGAGACAAACGAGGCCCTGTGCGCGCTACCCCGCCCACGGACCACCCGCAGACGCCAGCTAGAGCACTGCGACAGCATCTTTGGAGCCAGCATCGCCTCGCACGAAGCGATAGCAGCTCAGCGATAGCAGCCTAACAAAAACTCAGCAAGATGGGCATCTGCCGCGACTCCCGCCACAAGCGCCGCGCCACCGGCGGCAAGCGGTTTAACGACCGCAAGAAGCGCAAGTTCGAGCTCGGCCGGCCGCCGACCAACACGAAGATCGGCGTCAAGAAGGTCTCCGAGGTCCGCACCCGAGGAGGCAACAAAAAGTTCCGCGCGCTCCGCCTCGAGTCGGGCAACTACTCCTGGGGCTCCGAGGTCTGCACGCGCAAGACGCGCGTGCTCGACGTGGTCTACAACGCGTCGAACAACGAGTTGGTGAGAACGAAGACGCTCGTGAAGAACGCCATTGTCCAGGTAGATGCCACTCCTTTCCGGCAATGGTACGAGGCGCACTACGGCGTCAAGATCGGCCTGAAGAAGCGCGGCAAGAAGAAGGACGGCGACGATGCCGACGTCAAAAAGTCGAGCCGCGTGCTGCGCAAGCTCGCGTCGCGGCAGAAGGGCCGCGTCCTTGACGCCACTTTAGATGACCAGTTCGCCTCGGGCCGATTACTCGCCTGCATCAGCTCGCGGCCGGGCCAGTCCGGCCGCGCCGACGGCTACATCCTCGAAGGCTCGGAGCTGGCCTTCTACAAGAAGAAGCTCGACGTGAAGAAGGACAAGAAGCACTAGTCATGGCGTCGTTGTCTGGGGGTATAACTGGTGTTTCGCTTAGTCACTCGCGTCGATGGCGCACGGGCGGTCCTCACGCCGTCGCCGCGGCTATGGCGTAGGAGTCGTAGCCTCGCTGCCCGCCGCGGGCCGCGCGTCGCGCTCAGATGCCCGCCCGCGCCGCCGGTCGTTCGGTGGCGCCCCGCGACACGTCGCCCGCGGTACGTGCGTGGCTACTGCGTGGAGACCAAGAGGTACCTACGAGCTTGTATACTTAGTAAGGTACCTACGGTACCGGTACCTCGCTCAGCGCGGCCGCGCAGCGCTTGTAAAGGCGCGAGGACCCGTCGCACGCGTTTCGTCGGAGCGCCGCAGCGTGTCCGCGAGGAGCCCTCTCCACCGCGCTCGCGATTAGTCTGCCTGGGCAGCCCTACGACCACCGATGACCTAGGATGGCAGCCAAGCCCCCGGCCGCGTCGCGCGAAGTAGTGGTGGCCGTCCACGAATGCCTCGAAACTTTGAAGACCGACAAGAACGCCCACAATTTGGGGCGGGCCGCGAAGCTGCTGGTGAAATTGGCCTATCTCAAAACGCCGAACCGCGTCCACATCGCGAGGCAGTCGGACGTGATTGAACTATTAGTGAAGTACCTATCTCACGACAAGGAGTTCCTTCGAGTCCTTTGTGCGCAAGCCTTGATGATCATTGCTCATGAGAACGAAGCTTGTAAGACTTCGATGACGAAGGCCGGCGCGGTACAACCGCTCTGCACACTGCTCAAGGAGGGCTCCGATGCCAAAGCGAAGGCCATGGCCGCGCGGTGCATTTGTTCCCTGGCGGAGCACCACGAAGCCAACAGAAAGCTGTTCCGGGACTGCTGCACGGATTTGAAAGAGCTGTTATCACAGGACGGCGTCGACGACCGGTCGCGCTACGCCGCGGCGGCCTGTTTACGGAGGCTGGATAAACATCTCGCCAAGGGGCAGCTCAACGAAATTATTGGCATGAAGCAGAAAAAGGCGCCGCCTTTGGGAAATCGGCCGCGGGGGCCGGCGGTGACGCGGCGGGGCGATACGAGGGCGCCGGTAAGACGAAGATAAACATAGTCTTATGTACAGGGGGTATGTGCAGGGAGTCAGGGCTGGGGAGTAGCGCGGGTGACCTTCTCGCTCATCGCCTTGGCCTTGGCCGGGTCCGTGGCCCACGTCTTATAAAACGAGAAGGGGCACGCGGCCACGCCGTCACTAGAATCGCCCGAGGCCGACGTGCCGGTGTAGCCCCGATGTAACAGCTTGTAGAGGTGGTTCTGCGACTGGTCATTGCGACGGGCGTCCCTTATACCAGAGACAGATAGCTGGGCATATTGCATGCCGTTCTCTTCGGTGCCGCACTCTCCCAATGTCCGGCCGTCGTTCCCGACCTGCGTGGAAATCAAAATTTCGCGGCGCCTGCTCGATGGCGTGGCGATGCCGGTTCCTCTGCACCCGACGCACTGGTTGATTTCCACACAGTTTCCGACGATCGCCGAGTGCCCGAAGTACGAGTAGACCCCATCATGACCGGAGGCATTGGCCACCGCGACATAGACACAATTCATCCAGGCCATGGCCTTCGCTACGAGTACTTGTTGGTCCTTCGCGGGGTACATGTAGCCCTGGCACCTTATGATGAGTTCGGCCCCTTTCATCGCGCAGTCGCGCCAGATCTCCGGATAATTTCCATCATCACATATTATGAGAGATATTTTGAGGCCCTTCGGTCCTACAGAAACATAGGTCTGATCCCCAGGATACCAGCCCTCGATGGGGCACCACGGTAGGATCTTTCTATATTTTTGCACGATTTCACCAGTATCAGAAATCAGCACGAGCGTGTTGTACGGGTTCTTGCGCGGGTGGTCCTCGTGGCGCTCGCCCGTGATGCTAAAGACGCCCCAGCACTTCGCCTCCACGCAAGCGGCGGCGAAGGCGTCCGTCTCCGGTCCCGGAATTGTGGTAGCTGTGGCGAACATTTCTTCCCTGTCGTACATGATGCCTTGGGTCGAGTATTCCGGGAAAATGATGAGGTCGAGGCCGGGCAGGCCGGCCTTCGCGCCGATCATCAGTTCGCAGATGCGCTTGACGTTGGCCATGACCTGCGTGAGTTAGGTTATCGTGAACCTCCGCGCCGTCGAGCCGACGCAGTCACAGGGACGACGTCGCGTCGATGGCCTGGAAACTCCACGCCATCGAGCCGACGCAGCGACGGCGACGACATCGCGTCGACGGCGTGCCCGACATTTGATTTCCACGCTGCCACAAGACCTGCTCCTTCGTGTGGAGGCGCGGCATTTTATATTGAAACACGCAGCACCCGACGGTGTCGGGGCTCGACGCGATGTCGCCGTGGCGGGCCATGGGCGCTGGTTTTTGGTTTGGGGCAGCGTCGCCACCCCGGAGAAGCTTTGGGTGCCTTGCCGGGAGAGCAGCCAAAGCTAGTGTCTTTTACGGGCTACCAGGGGCACATGTTCGGGGGGGGGGGTTGCCGAGGCGGTTCTGCTTCGAAGGAGGTATGCTGTGATGAAAGAAGCGCGGTGTCTCCCCCCCCCGCCCTGGGCAGGGGCTCCGCCCACTAGTCCTAGCACCGTAATATTGGCTCTCGGGGGGCGGCGGTGGCGCGGCGCGGGGATGGGCGCCGGTGCGGCGGCGAATACATAGTCACTTCTTACTCTTCCCCGATGCCGTTCGGGAAGGAGAACCTCGGCGGGGACGCGTTGGCGGGATTCGACGACGCGCGCGCAACCGTCGCCGTCGAGTCGTGGTAGATGCGCACGAAGGGCGCGACGTACAGATCTTCCAGAGCGATGCGGAAGTCGTTCCAGTCGCAGCGCCGCGCGAAGTCCATGAACTGAGAGCGGAAAAAATCGTTTGTCCACGCGGCGTCGATCGTGCCGCCGACGATGCCGCGTCCGGCCGCGTCGGCCAGGACGACCGCGAGCTCCCGCTGGAATTTTTCGCCGGTCAACTCCACGCTGAGCTCGAGTTGAGCGTCCTCAGCCCAGATGTCCTCCTCACCTTCCTCCTGTACCCGGATCTCGCGCGACCACGGTTGGTTGTTGGCGCCGTATCGGCCCCCGTCGCTGTTCACATGATACTCCAAGAGAATTTGGCACTGGCGCGGATCAGTGATCACAAATCCGACCGCGTCGACGATACCCGCCGTCCGCGTCAAGTGCAGGCGCCACGCGCGCCTCCGCCCCAGCCGCAGCGGCGTCCCGCGGGCCACGAAGAAACTGTCGTCGTCGTAGCCCCCCTTAATCTTCGACCGGCGCATAGTCGTCTCGCGACCGTCCAAGTCCGGCCCGGGCACCGCGATGTGGCCGGTATCTGGATCGACCTCTCCGGTCCAGCGTGGCGCCGCGCCCGCCTTGACGACGTCGCGCCAGGGCACGCCCGCCGCGCCCGCCACCTTGCTCCGCGCGGCGACGAGCTGGAACGCCCACTCGGACGTGGCCTGCCACTGCTTATTGCTTGACAGCGCGGCGCCGACGTCCTCGAGCGGCAGCCATTGCGTCACGAGCGGAGCCAATCGCGCGGGGAACGCGCACTCTCGATCATTGATTTCATTTGTTGCCCGCTCGGCGAGCTCGTGCGCCTTGGCCACGAGCTGCCGCAGCTGCGGCTTACTGTACGCGTCGAGGTCGCAGCGCGACGCCGCGTCCAGTGCTTCGAGCGCGTCCATTACCGATTGACCACGGCGCCTCTAAGGTCGCAGCAGCGATGCACTGCGAGCAGCTGTGTGCTCGGAGGGCGTAAGGGCCGTCCCAGGCAGTAATTGCTAGTGTCTTACATGCCGCTAGCTCGGTTGCGCAGCCGCGGCGCCAAAAAGACACGCGACGGGACGCTGCGGGCGAGGCGGAACGTGCGTTGTTCCTTCACACCGTCCGAGGACGCCCCACCCAGCGCTCGGGCCCCCGAGGCCACTGGCCACAGCCCAGCGACAAGCCAAGCTCCACGCCGCCGCGGCCATCGCATAAAAGACGCCGCCGCAAGCACATACGTAGCAGTCGCCGCAACCCCATAACCGACCATGGCCGACGCCCCCGCCTACCAGGCCCTGGATGGGGCCGCGCGAGCCGCCTACGCGCGAAAGACGTACGCGCTACTAGGCTTGGCCCCGGAGTGCGGCGCCGCCAAGCTGAAGAAGGCCTACAAGAAGGCTTCCTTACAGTACCACCCCGACAAGCAGTCTGGTAAAAGTGACGACGAGAAAGCGTTAGCTGCGAGCATGTTTTTGAAAATAAAAGAGGCCTACGAGTTACTCTCAGATGATACTCATAGAGCTTCATTAGATGACGCCGTCGCCGGGACGATGCGCGCCCAGCGGGCCCACGCCGAGCGGACGGCACGCATGGACGCGTCGACCAAAAGATTTCGAGATGATCTGGAGAGGAGAGAAAGGGAAGCTTCTTCATCGAAGCCTCCCATGGGGAGTGAGGCGGAAGCTCGATTGCGCAATCAACAAAAACAGAACGAGTACGGCCTCCGAGACGCGGCGAAGGAGCGGGCGCGCGCGGAGCGGCGGTCCCGCGAGTCGCAGGCGGAGAAAGATGCTCGTCAGGAGAAGCTGCGACGGACGGTGGAAGTGAAATTTGGCCGCGAGACGGTTGGCGACGACGTCCTCAAAAGTAGCGGTTGTTTGAGCGTCGAGCGGCCGTCGTCCAAAAAAGCTCTCCTTATCTTTGACAGTGCGGAGGCTGCTGTTCAGTGCGCGATCGACGAGGAGTTTGGGGCGCAGTTCAAAGATGTTAGGTTAAAAACGTCCGACGCGTGGGAGCGGATTCGCGAAGCGGTCGCCGCGCGGGCGGCGAAGGATCGCGCGGACGCGCCGGAGCTCTCGTCGGGTCGGGACGGGGCCGATCGGGAGGCGGAGCGCTCGAGGTTGCTGCGCGAGGCGGCTTCGGTGAAGCGGCCGCGCGGCGACGTTGCGGCGAAGAGAAGGCGTTTAGTCGAGCGCGTCGGGCGATTGGCGGGCGGGGGCGCCTTCGGGGCGCGGGAGGCGTCGGTGCTGGGGCGGCTTGTGGCTAAGTGTGACGTGTAGTGAATTCGCCGGTTTGGCGCGCGTCTGGGTTCGGCGCTCCGAGCCGGTCCTCGGCGCGTAAAGCTCGTGCTTTGTGGGAGTTATATCGCTTTTGTGGCATCGAGGTACAAGGGGGTGTTGAGCATCGAAAGCCAGCGAAACAGCAAAAACCAAACGCGTAGCCCGCCAGCGTCCGAGGTTTTGGTGACTTTAGCCGTCCGCGGCAGTTATTCCGACCCCTCTCAATCCATATTCGCGCCGCGCCGCGCGTGGCCGCGCGTTACTGTCGAGAAAAGACTGGATTCAGCTTGCGCAAAACTTAGACGCCCCGCGGCGACGCGGCGCGGCGCCGACGACCCCCCGAGAGGGCGCCGCCCGCGCGGCCCAAGCGCCCCGAGGCCCTCAGAGTACGAAATTGGGGCGTCTCATCGCGGCCGCGTTTCCTGAGCGTTCCGCGCTTGCTGAGTCGACGCCGGTCGACCGTCACGCAGGCGTAGACCTAAAAAACCAACATGAAGCTCCTCATCGCCCTCGCGCTCGCCGCCGCGCCGTCCGCCCTCGCGATGGCGCCCTACGTGCCCGACGACGAGGGGCCGACGGCGGCGCCCACCCTGGACCCGACGGCGGCGCCCACTGCCCCGTACCGTTAACGGTACGGGGCACACAGGCCCTAGTGAGTTTTGCGCCACTAGCATTTAAGCTGTTTTACGCCGCTCGTCAGAACGCTGTTCTTCGCCGCTCGTCCTTTCCGCCCCCGTAAAAGCGTTTCTCTCGCTCCCCGCGTTCCGATGAGCACCTTTTCAAAACCATCCGAGCCCACCTTGCCGCGAAACTGCCGCCGACACTAGGACCGTTTCGGACCCGCTCTAACCCGACTCTCGCCCAACCCTAACCCTAACCCTAGTATCATCCTAATCCTAACCCTTACTCGGACCGAATCCTAACCTCAACCTCGCGACAGATAAAAAAAAGTCGAGGCAGTCATTCCGATTCTGACTTTTTCCATCTCAACTTATCGCCAAATCGCCAAATCACCAGACCAAAAAAAGTCATTCCGATTCTGACTGCTAGACCAACCCGACTCTCGTCCAACCCTAACCCTAACCCTAGTCTCATCCTAATCCTAACCCTTACTCGGACCGAATCCTAACCTCAACCTCGCGACAGATAAAAAAAAGTCGAGTCAGTCATTCCGATTCTGACTTTTTTCATCTCAACTTATCGCCAAATCGCAAATTAGCCAAAATTTCCTCAGGATTATTCTGCTGGCGTGGCGTGAATTTTTTTTGACCCGTACTGAAAAATATTTCTTAGTTTGCTTGCTTAAGAGCTAGGCCGCCTAGCTACCTGGCCGCCGCGGGGGCTGCGTGACCGAACGCCCGCCCCGCCCCCGCCCGCGTACGCCGTCGCCCCGAGTGTTGGTTCGGAGGCGACGACGGCGAGGGGGGAGCAGGCCGGACGCCGGAATCCCAGGTCCGCGACGGTGGCGCATCGGGGGCCGCCGCGGGGTAGCGGCGCCCTACCCGGAGGGGACGCGTCCGGGCGCCACGCGCGTCCCGCCGCCGGCCTCCCGTCGCCGAAGCTCGGTGGGCCCGGGCGCCGCTACCGCGCCCTCGGCCAGGGGCGGTGGCGGCGGCCCGGCCTCGACCGGGGCTCCAACGTCGAATACAGAGGCCGCGGCGACCCGTCGCGGCTCCCGGGCACGCGGGGGGAATGGGGGCTTGGCCGTGGTCGTGTCGGTCTCGGAGTAGAGGACGCCGCTGGCCGGACGCCGAGGAGGAGTAACCTTGGCGGCCTTGGCGAGCCCGAAGGGGGCGCCGTAGCACGCCGAAGAGGAAGCCGACCCTCGCGGAAGAGGCCGCCGCGGCGTCGGGAAGTCGGGGAGGGCGCGAGGTAGACCAGGAGCCGCCGCAGTTGAGCTCCTCGCCGATCTCCCCTGGATTTGGCGCGCACCAGCGCCGCGAACGTTACACCGCCCGCCGCACCAACCCAAGCACCGGCTCCACGAGCGCGTGCAAAGCCCGCGCCGGGGCGTCGTCGACGCGCTTCCCAAGGTTGTCGTGCGCGACGACGAGGCGTCGAACGGCAACGGGCGCTGGCGGGGCGCTCGGCGGCGCCGTGACGTTCTCCTTGACATATTCGTACCGGCGCCGCTGGCAGATATAGTTGAGCTACACGCCACGGGGAACTGCGAATCGCCTACCAGCGCCGCCCGCGCCGCCGGCGCCCGCGCCGCCCTCGTCCGGCGTGGCGCGCGACGATCCCGTACTCCAGGGCGCTGCCGAGCGCCTCCATCGCAGCCGCCGCGCCGGACCAGCCCGGGCACCAGAGCTGCGCCTCGATGAGGCCGAAGACGTGGTCCGCGCTGTACGGTATGCGGAACGCGCTCTTGAGGCTCGTCGCGGCCGTCTTCCGGAACCATGGGAAGAGGAACCACGTCACGGGGTGTTCCCAGGCGCGGCTCAGGCGGTTGTCGGCGTAGACGCGCACCGTGTTGTTCGCCTTCGGGAACTCGACGGTCAGCTCCCGCCGCCAGCCCAGCGCGCGGAGGCGGTTCTCGACGCGCTGCTTGAAAGCGTGAAAGGGAAAATCCACAATGATCTTCTTCATCTGCAGCGTCTTGAGCGAGTTGCCGTCGGCGAGGTACCGGTTCACGACGGCCGGCACGTTCGCCGCGCCGTCGTTGTAGATGTAGCCGAATGGAAAGACGAAGTCCGACAGGTCGACGTCGTACTTGAAGTCCTCGACGCGCTCGCGGTACGTCTCGACGTCCGTGTAGCGGCGCCCGTGGCGATCCTTCCGCGTGACCTCGCGCGTCCGTGTTTCGTGGTGGAAGCCGGTGACGCGGCACGCGACGTAGGGCCGCGTGTTGTGCGTTTGCAGGAACAGCATCAGCTCCTCGGGCGTCTGCAGCAGCTCGTCGCAGGACTTGAGGCCCGTGCGCCCGTCGCGGCGCGCGAGGGCCCGCGAGGCGGCGCGCGCCGTCGCGACAACGGGCACGCCCTGCGCGGTGGTGAGCACGGGCTCCGCCAGCGCGGCAGTCGCCGCGACGCCGCGGGCGATCGGCACGGGTTCGGCCTCGACCGGCGCCGGCGTGTCGTTCGCGGCGCCGAAGAACTGCTCCGGCGGCGCGGGCTGCGTCTGGAGCCGCTCGAGCTCGCTCTGCGTGTAGTAATGCGCGCCGCCCGCCGCGACGTCGGGCGTCCCGGGCAGCACGTCGAGGACCGTCGCTTCCGGCAGCGGTTCTTCGGGCGCCGACGCGTCGAGCAGCTCGGCCGGCGGTGCGGACGCCAGGAGTGGTGATTTCATGGTGTTGGGGTCGTCGGCTGGCTGCATGGCTCCCGTAGGCCGGACGGCGATCCCACGAATGCCGGGCAAAGCGGCGAGGAATCAACCAGCCTACTGTGCTCGGCAGCCCAAACTGGCTATTTGCTCGATGCGTGCGGCAAGGGCTGCCCCGAGACGCGTTCAGGCGTTCGCGAGCGACGGTGGGCGCGGCGAACCAGCCACAGGGCAGCTTTTATTTGCTTTGCTTAGAGCTAGGCCGCCTATAACCTGGCCGCCGCGGGGCTGCGTTAGTTTCCCTGCTTTTATATATAATCTACAAATCTCACTTTCACTCTACTTCGGTGATGGTGGGGGCTGCGGCGCGCAGGATGTAGGTCGGAGGCCCGGCGCCGATGGTCTCTTCCTTGCGGCGCGTCGTCCGCTTGGTCGTCGCGGTCGCGTCGTGCGCGGGGAAGCGGTGGCGGGCGCCGGAGCGGCCCGCGGGCGGGCCGCTGGCGCTCGTCGTCGGGCTGCCGAAGATGGGGACGACGTCGCTGCGGAACTACTTCCACTGCAGCGGGTACCGGACGTCCCACCAGGCGTGCTCGGACGGGCCCCACTGCGGCCAGTGCGTGAGCGACTTCGTGAGCCAGGTGGCGAAGCTCGGCATCCGGCAGCCGTCTGCGATCGGCGACCAGACGAAGTTGTTCCGGAAGGCGTGCGGCGCCTACGACGCCTTCACGCAGCTCGACAGCGTGACGACGTCGGGCTGCGTCGTGCCCCAGGTCGCGCACCTGAAGTCGCTCCTCGTGGCGTTGCCGACCGCGTGCTTTGTGCTCAACACGCGGCCCGTCGACCGATGGCTCGCGAGTGTCGAGGCGCACGTGACTCCACCGCTACGCGAACTGGAGCATGTTCGACCGCATGGTGCGCAACTGCCCCATCGACGCGCAAAACGGCGCGGGCCTCGCGGCCTGGGCGCGCGCGCACGTCGCGCGGTCGAAAGACCTCGTCGCGAGGAGCCGCTGCGGCGTCGTCGTCGACATCGAGGCGCCCGTCCCCGACGTCGGCGCGGCTCTCGCGGCGACGATCAACGACACGCACGCGCGCTGCTGGGGCCAGGCGAACGCGCGACCCAAGGCTCCCGTCGCGCCGGGACGTCGTCGGCGCCTCTCCGACCGGGCCCCTCGCGGCGCGCGGCGGCGGCGCCTCTCCCCAAAAGCCGGAGGTTGGCGGACCAAGGTCGGCGACGTCGACGCGAGCTGCGCCTTCGCCGCGCGCGCGGGCCTCGACCCCGACGGGCCCGGGCCGGAGCTCGTCGTCGACTACGACGGCGGCTCGTCCGTCGCGACTTTGACGCCCGGCCGCGGCGGGGACCGGGGCGCCGCGCGCGTCGCGCGCGCGCCGCGGCTCTGCCGCTCCCGAAGCGCTCGAGCGCCGGACGGGACCGCGCCCGCGCTCCTCATGGCGGCGAGCGACGTCGACTACCTCTTCTTCCACTGGCCCTACTTCCTCAACGCGGGCGTCTACGCGGCGGCGCGGCGCCTGCCCGTCTACCTCTGGCTCGGCGAGCTCCCCGGAGCGCTCCGGGACACCGTGGGGCCGACGTGCGCTCGATCGCGCTGGCGCGCGGACAGGGGCTTCGACGGCCCGAACTCGAACCACTACACCAAGGTCGTCGCCGCGGCTCTCCTCCTGGACGTCGGCGGCGTGCCGGGCGTCCTCTTCAGGGACATGGACATGTTCGCCGTCTTCCCAAACGCTCCGATGCGCGCGGCCGTCGCCGCGACGGACGTCCACGACGCCCTCAAGGTCGACGTGGCCTTCCCCTGCACGTCCAAGATCGACCGCGACGCGCCGCGGCGGGGCCGGGGCGGCCCGCCCCGCGGCTTCCGCCTCAAGAGCACCAAGTTCTACCTCCGCGACTCGGCCGCGGCGCGCGACCTCCTCGACGCTTGGCTCGACCACCGCTGCGGCCCCAAGGACCAGATCGCCCTCTGGTACGCGACCTACGCCCTCGCCAAGGACCGCGGCTGCCTCAACTACGACGCCGCCCAGCTCGTCAACATGTCCTACGCCGAGGCCTACCACACGGAAAGGCCGGGCCTCAACTACCTCTTCAAACGCTGCCGGCCCTTCCGCTTCGCCTGCGGCCGCCAGTTCGTCATGCCCGACGTCCTCCACGAGGGCGCCTTCCCCCGCGCCGACGGCGTCGACGTCCCGATCCACCACCGCGAGCGGACCATGCGCGTCGTCCCGCGACGCGACGGTAGTCCCGTCCTCGACGCCGCCTACCGCGCCAGCCTCGGCCTCGACGCCCTCGACGGCCCCTAGGCAGGCCGCGCACGCGGGCAGGTCGGAGAGCGCCCGTGGGGCTGGTGGGTGGTCCGACACAGCACGCTCGCAAGCATGGCCTTCTGTTCCGGCAACAGCGGGCCGTTCAAGCGCTCGAGGTACGGCACAACGAGCGGCGCCGCGGCGAGCGACGCCAGTGCCACGTTCTCGCGCAGCGTGCGCGGCGTGGCTGCGAGGTCGCGGGCGGATCGTTCGTGTCCCCAACGGAATACAATTAACGTGAGAAAGAGGCAGAACAATGAAAACACAATCCAAATCTTCTGGGTGCGTGTCCTCCACCTCCGCTCCACGTCTTCTGCCAAGAGCGCGGCGGCTTCCTTGTGACCTTTGTTCTGCGCTACGAAGGAGTAAAATTGTGCCCGTCCCAGGATCGAGTCGGCGCAGCAAGAGAGCAGGAGCTTCATCACGTCCAATTTGTTTGTCGTGGCGGCATTGTGCAATGCAATGTGCAATGGCGTGTTGCGCCTCGTGGATCGGTGGTCGACCCCTGCTCCGGCATCTAGCAGGAGCTCTACGGTATGCGCCGTCCCGTTGCCACTTGTCGCCAGATAGAGCGCTCCAAATTAAGTCCTGGGTGGCGTAGTTAACGGCCCAAACCCCGGATTTGAGGAGGACGCGCACAACCTCACTCCTACCTTGATATGCCGCGAGCTGGAGCGCGGCCCAACCCTCGCCATTAACAATGTTTTTTTTCGCTCCGCGGTCTAGCAACAGCTGCACGGTGGAAGCGTGGCCCTTCAAGCTTCCGCGGTTTTAGCGGAGGAGATGGCCGCGGCTCGTTCGCGAGCGTTGGCGGACGAGGAAGCAAGGCTGGCCGCGCGCTCGGGGGCCGCGTAAGACGTCGATGGCCTAGGGTAGACCTCGGCGCGGCCCGTCGCGACTCCCGAGCACGTCGCATGATACGTGCGGGTACATGTGATTGCCCTCTCTTCTCCACAATCGACACCCACAAAAGACTGCCCCGGTGTGGCCGTCGACTGATACCGGTTGTCATCCTGGTCATCCCGGCCATCCTGGCGGCTGGGACAGTCCGGTGCAGCCCTGGGAAGGATACAGTATGAGCGGCGGATGGGAGTGCCCCGCCTGCACGTATAGCAATGCCGGGAAGGAGGCAGGGTTTTTACGGTGTGGTGCTTGCGGCGGGACGAGGCCGAGCGACGACGAAGCTGCATTCACGGGCGCGCAACCCGCGGCTGTAGATGCTGCTGCGCGCGGCACGACGGCCCACGCCGTTCGCGAGCACAGCCGCGCCTCGGCCAGCGAGCTCGAGGACTGCGTATGGCCGGACCCGCCACCACCCTCCGCCGCTAACGCCATCGGCGGAGGCTGCCTCGTGAACGATGTCTCCCGCATGTCGGATTTCCGCGGGACGATGATTGACCGCATCTTCTTCCCGCGAGACGAGGGCGACATCGTAGACGTTCTCGAGGAAGCCCTGCGGCTCGGCCGGCGGGTCGCCGTCCGCGGAACTAAGCACAGCATGGGCGGCCACAGCATCGCCCCCGGCGGCTTTCTCCTCGACATGAAGTGCATGAAGGAGATGAGTTACGACAGCGCGGCCGACACCGTCACGACGGGCCCTGGCGCCCTCTGGTCCGACCTCATCGTCTTCCTCAACAAGCGCTGCAAGGCCCCGCGGACGATGCAGTCCTACTGCACCTTCAGCGTCGGCGGCACCCTCGCGGTCAACGCGCACGGCATCACCACGGACTTCTGCTTCGCCGAGAGCGTCGTGAGCTTCCGCCTCGCTCACGTCGTCCCCGCGGCGGACGGACGCGGGCACCGGGTGAAGATAACTACTTGCCACCCGGGCGACGAGCTCTTCCGCCTGGCGCTCGGCGGCTACGGCCTCTTCGGTGTCATCACCGAGGCGACGCTGCGGGTCGTCGACAACATGCAGCTCGAGCTCGACACGCTCGACGTCAAGGTCGACGGCGGGGAGTTCGTCGCCTACTACGAGGAGGCCCGCCGCTGCTCTGAGAAGCCCTCGACCAAAGCCGGGAAGGACGAGGGCGAGGACAGTTGCAGCGCTGAGGCCGTCGCCCGGCAGAAGGTCGCCGTGAAGATCGCGCGGCTCAACATCCTCGACCTCAACAGGGTGCAACTTTTCGTCTACCGGCGCGCCTACTCCTGCAACACCATCTCAGGGACCCTCGGGCTCCACGCCCATGTAATGCCGATGAAGACGCGCCTGCTCTACAAGTGGCTCATGCCAGCGATGAAGGAGGTCCGCTTTGCCATCGAGGGCCTGACGGGGCAGGCGATCGACATGGCCGACGAGACGGGGGTCACCCGCAGCGAGCTCCTCTTCGAAAGCGCCGTCCCGCTCGCCAAGCTATACGAGCCGATGTTCGTCAGCGACGATTCGTTTGTCCTGCAGGAGTACTTTGTCCCCGCGGCGCGCTTCGGCGAGTGGATCGAGCGCGCGCGGCCGATCTACCGCGAGCTCACCGATGCGCACGGGGAGTCGGCGCGACAGCGCCTAATGCTGCTCAACACGACGATCCGCTTCGTAGAGCACGACACATTCACCTTCCTCTCCTACGCGGGCGCCCCCGGGGGCAGCTACGCGTTCGTCCTCTACTACCGGATCCCGCGGACGGCCGCGGCCGATGAGGCGCTCGGCCGCGTCCACAACACTTTCGCCGAGATGACGGTCGACCTGGGGGGGACCTTCTACCTCCCCTACCGCAAGTGCTACTCGCAAGAGCTGCTCGCGCTCGCCTACCCGCAGATCCACGAGTTCGCCGCGAAGAAGCAAGCGCACGACCAACTCGGGATGTTCTCCAACTGCTGGTTCGACCACTACGTGAGGCCGCTCTGCGCCGCCGGCTACGGGGAGGCCTTTCTCGCCGGGAGTCGCCTCCTTTGTGAGGGGCCCTTCGAGCGGGTCGACGGCGGAGGCGGCGCCCTCGCGAGCCACCTGGACCTGCCGAGAGCCGGCGACGCCGACCTCGTCGCGCGGAGCGGCTCCTACCGCGCCCTGCTCAGCAAGCAACGGCTGCGGGAGGAGTTCCAAAATCTCTTCCTGACCAAGATCTTCAACCTCGCTGACAATAAGGAAGTCATGCGCGCGATGACGAAAGCTGCGTGGAATCCGCGCAACGCCGACGACCTCGCCATCTTCCGCGCGCTCCGCGAGCACTTCCACGGCAGAGCAGCTCCGGTGGCAACGGCCACGGCGCGACAGCGGCCGCGGGACCTCGACCTTGCCTTTGGGGCGACGGCAACGGACGAAGACAAGAACGATGATGGCGACGCGCCAGTCGAGAACGCCTGCGACGAGAAGTGGACGAGCACCGAGCTCGCGGCGAAGTGCTGCGACACGATGGTGGCCGCCGGCAAGTTACGGGCGACGCCGGCGTTCATCAGAGAAGGCCAAGAAGCTAAATTGGTGAAGATCTTCGAGGGCGCCAAGCTCGACGGCGCCAAGGTCCTCCAGTGCAAGAACGCGAGCGAACTCGAAGTCATCATCCGGAACGCGACCGAGGGCGAGGACTGGGTCGACCACGTCCAGTCGGCCATGAAGACCTTTCTACCGGCCGATATTCAAAGAGTGAAGGTCGGCACGATGGAGACTCGTGGGGGAGGCGGCGCCGTCGCAAAACTGAAACGGGCGATTGCGGGAATCAAGCAGCTCCACAGGCAGAAGATCGAGCTGGTGAGGGAGACCGCTGCGATCCTCGCCCGACTCGGCAAGGCGCGCGGGCGGAGCGGCGACGCCGGCGACTTCACCTACGCCTCCTTTGGCGACAACGGCAAGCTCGTCCTCAAGCTCCGCGCGGCGCTCGGCCTCCGCGGGAAGAGCTACGTCTGCCACGACGCCGAGTGCGGCGACGACGATCTCCCGGCGATCCTCGAGCGCGGAAGCCTCGACCCCGTCGGCGAGTACGTCAAGTTCGACTACATGGAGGGGCTGGTCGAAGAGGAACACGGCAACAGGACGACCGACGAGGTCTGCGCGGCTGCGGCCGACGGCGATCCGGGGGCATGGCTCGCCGGCGTCCGCGCGCGGATCCCCGACGCCAGCGTGGACCTCGCCACCATCAACCAGGGCCTCCATCACATCCCCCCCGCGCGGCTCATCCCCTACCTCCGCGAGGTCGGGCGGATCCTCCGCCCCGGGGGCGTCTTCCTCATCCGCGAGCACGACCTCGACCTCGACCGCGCGAGGGACCGCCGCCGCGGATGCCCGGTGGAGGTCTTGGACCTCGCGCACAGCGTGTTCAACGCGATAACGGGGGTGACGGAGGCCGTCGAGCGCGCCGAGGTGCGCGCCTTCCGCCCGCTTTCGGAGTGGCGCGCGATCGTCTGCGGCGGTGCCGGGCTCGTCGACGCGATGCTCGAGGGGCTCGAGGAGGGCGACCCGACCTGCGACGAGATGCTCGCCTTCTACAAGCCACCCCTGCACCCAGCGGTGTCTGAGGAGGAGAACGGGCACGAAGTGTCCTGCTCGGAGACGGCCGCCGCCGACGGAGACGTCTCCGAACCGCCTATCGTCACCCTCGTCAAGACGCTCCTCTCGCAGATCCCCGCCGCCGCGATCGGCACCCTCGAGAGCCTCACGGGGAGCCTCGCCGGTGGCCTCAAAGCGCTCGTGCCGAAGCTCAGAGAGCTCCTGCTGACGACCCTCCCGCGCATGACTGGCAACGCCGCCGTCGCCGGGCTCGAGCCGTCCGTTTCCAAGTACGTCGGCGTCGCCGTCGACGCGGTCGATCTCCTCCGAGGTCTCGTCGCCGAGGCAGAGGTCAAGGATCATCTCGACGTCGACGTCCTCCACGGCGAGTTCTTTCTGATCATCCCGGCCATCGAGCGGAAGGTCCGACTCCGGCCCGACGCGGCCAGCGAGGCCGAGAAGACGCTCATCCGTGTCGTGCGGGACTACATGCCGGCGCTCCTGCTGACTGCCACATCCGCGACGGCCGACGGTGGCGGAGATGAGACAAAGACCGCCGTCGAACCGGCCGCCGCCACCGACGGGGACGTGCGCGGCTCGGAAGTTTTGGCGGCCGTGGAGCAGCTCGCGACGCACGTCCCCGGCCTCCTCTCGCCGAAGACGCTCCGCCAGAGCGGCTTCAACCTCCGGCAGCAGGCGGTGCTCGTCGGGAAGTTCGGCGGGCGCGACCTCGCGAGCACGGCGGCGACGCTCGCCGGCTTCCTCGACCGGGCGACGTGGGTGGTGGTCCGGCGGGAACTCGAGGGCGTTGCGGCGGCCGGGGGCGGGCTCCCGACGCGCGACCGGCTGCTCGGCGAGAGCAGGGTCGGCCGCGCGCACGCCTGGCACCGCGTCGCGCGCGCCTTCCTCCGCTCGCCCCGCGTCCGGCTCGAGAAGAAGGGCAAGTTTGCGCTCAAGGTCATCGGCCTCGGGGCACTTGTTGACCTCCACGACGGCGTCAAGGCCGAGGTCGACGCCGAGCGCCGCGCGGGCGGCGGCGGCTCGGCGGCGGCGATTACGACCGTGGTGCCGAGGCTCCCGCGCGCCTGCCTCGCCGCGGTCCACGCCGGCACGTGCGCGCTCGCTGAGCTCGGCGGCGTCGAGGCCTCCGTCACGCTGCGATTCGACGACGGCGCGGACAAGTACGTTCTCGAGGACGTCGGGGTGATCGTCAGCGCGACCTTCGGCTACAAGTCGCTCACGAGCGCGCCGAGCGACATCACAAAACAAATGCGCGCCATGCACGCGGCGCAGGTGCGCGAGCGCGGCGGGGCGCCCGGGCGGCTCGTCGTCCGCGAGGGCGCCTGCGTGCGCGCTCGGAACTCGGCCAGCGGGTTCCTCGAAGGACTCGACGGAGCGCGCGCCGCCGTTGTCAAGCTCGGGACGCTCGGTCTCGCTGGGAACAACAAGCTCAAACTCAAGTACCGGCGGCTCGAGTGCGGGCAGGGCGCGACGGACGGCCGGGCGAAACTGGAGGCAGCGGCCGAGACGATCCGCGGCGCGCTGCGGGGCGGCGGCGCAACCCGGGACCTCCACGGCGGCGATGGCGAGTTCACCTGGTACAAGCTCAACGAGTGGATGCAGGTGGAGATCCTGGAGGTCATGGCGGCCAGCCTGGACCACACCCCGTGGTACCGCTTCCCCTTCTTCGAGGTCCTCGGCGTCTACTTCGACGTTCTCCGGACCGAGAGCGACCTCGTCGCGGCGAAGTACGGCCCGGCGAAGGCCTACGCCTCGATGGCCTTCGTCACCGACCTCGTCCCCGCGATCGTCATGAGCGCCCTCTTCGCCCAGCTACACCTCATGGCGATGCCGCTGAGGGCTGCCCTCGGCGGGGAGGGCTACCTCGAGGACGGCGCCGACCCCGAGCGGTTCCTCGAGGAGATCGTCCTCTACGCGAGAATCAAGGGCGAGGCCTCGCTCGCGGCTTTCTTCCGGGGCGCGGTCGACCCGAGGATCAGCGAGGTTAAGGCAGTCGAGCCGCACCTCGCCGCCGGCGGTGGGCAGATCATCGTCCTGACGGTGCCGCCGTTCAAGGCACTCGGCGAGATTCTCGTCGCCCTCGCGCGCGCCGTCCCGACCGCGCGCGTGCTCGAGATATCGAACCAGAGCGAGGTCCAGGTCCGCGTCTCCTGCGAGGCGCACCGCGAGGCCGAGGCCGAGGCCTGGCTCGCAAGGCTGCGGCCGGGCGTCAAGCCCGTCGCGCGCTACCAGTTCCCGATCGCCGCCGAGAGCGCGACCGCGCCGGCGAGGAAGCAGATTGCGCTGAGGGTCGCCGCGACGCAGCTCATGTCGCTGATGCGCGGGTGCGGCGACGAGGGTGGGGCGCTGCGGGTCGAGCAAGTCTACGATTTCTGGTGTGGTTGAATTTGATTCCTTAATTTGCTTGCTTTGTATAAATATATAATTAAGGAAGGAATATCCTATTAGAGCTAGACCGCCTAGCCGCGGAGACGACGAAGAACTGTGAAGTCGTCAGGCTGGCGTTAAGGTCCGGAAAGGGTCGGAAGCCGTCACCGCCGAAAGCGGGTCAGCAGACTGCGGCAGGAAGCTACACCAAGCTCAGACCATTGAAGTTTGCGATAAGTCGTCAGTTCCTGACGGATTATTATATTGATTTTTAACGAAGCAGGAAGAGCACAGGGCGTAGACCCACATGGCCAGGTACAAAACTTGTGCTATCAGCAGCGGAAGAAAAAACATGAATCCGAAGACGTTGCCTTCCATTCCCGAAGTACCCCAAACAAGCAAATTCAATAGTCCTGGTATTGCCACGGCCGCAGCCCTCGGCGTGTACGTCTCGAAATAGTTGTTGGCATCAAACGATCTGTCGCTGCATACAGTCACTGCCCTTATCGCCTCGACATTGAACAGCACCCAGAGCAAGTAGATCGGAAAAGTGACCGCCACGAAGAGCAGTGGATTCATCCAAAAAATGTTCCCACCAAGGTCCTTGAACGCTGTGATTCCGAGCACCTCGTGGTGCTGGGTCACATAACCAAAATAACCAAAAAACGCGAGCGGGTTGCCTAGACAGACGGCGACGAATCTGGCCACCCACCAGGGCTTGTCCTTTCCGTAATCGACGATTGCCTTGATAGAGGTCAATATCCTCACGCGATATTTATAGAGATTTAGAGCTAGTCGAGTCATTGGGAATCCTCGCAGCATCACATAGGTCGTCGCGGCGGCTAGATTCGACCCCGTAGCGACTGACGAGCCCGACATCTCGATTCCCTCGTCGTCGCTTCCCACGCCGCTGTAGCGTACTGGCGTTCGGTAGAAGAGACCCTCCAACGTCCCGTCGTTCACCACGAGCGCCACGAGCAACCTGCGCGAGATTCAACCAGTGAGCCGGAGACTGACATCTGGGTCGCAAGATTTTGATCTCTCGCACGGGCAGCGACGCTCCCACAAAAGAGATCACGAATACCATCAGCAGAGTATAAGACTTGCCCGTGTAGACACATTGCTCAAGCTCATAACGTTTCTTTTGCATGACGCCGCACGACGTCCACTCGCACCTTGATTTTTGGAACGCGTATTTCATGTTCACGTCGTCGTTCACGCACCAACCGAGGTCCTGTCTGAACCCTTTGGCCTTGTAGAACATCCCGTGCATATCCGTGACCTTGTCGACGTTCCAGTCGCCGAGCGGCTGGTTGAACGCCGAGGCCTCGCGGAACATGTAGCTCATATCCGTGACCTTGTCGACCCGCCAGTCGCCGAGCGGCCGGTTGAACGATCTGGCGCCGGCAAACATTATGTACATATTCGTGACGTTCTCGACCCTCCAGCCGCTGATGTCTTGGTTGAACGACAAGGCGTCGTGGAACATTCCCACCATACTCGTGACCTTGTCAACCCACCAGTCGTTGAGCGGCTGGTCGAATGCCGCGGCTTGTAAAAACATCCCGTTCATATTCGTGACCTTGTCGACCCGCCAGTCGTTCAGCGGCTGGTTAAAGGCCGAGGCGCCGTGGAACATCAACTTCATCGTCGTTACACTGGAGGTGTCCCACGCGCTGATGCCGTCGTTGAAGGACGACGCCGATGCTGGAAGCACGCAGGGATCTAAAAAATTGTCTTCGTCTTCGTACTCTGCGTCAATCCAATCAGTCCGCACGCAAAACAAGAAATCCATGTCCGTGACCCCACCGGTCTCCCACGTGGAGATATGACCGTACTTGACCTCGGCGGCAGACTTGTCCGAGAGCCAGAGACGCACTGCGCTGCGGATTGAAGCGTCAGACGCGGTCCAGGCGGCGACACCGTGGCACGCGAGGGCCAGGGCTAGCGCTTTACTCATGATGACGCGTTTACTGTTTGTCTACGTATTTTGACAGCGTAGCTCCTAATGCGCCGGCCACGCTCGTTCTTGCGTCGGGATGCCCTTGAGCTGTTGGTTGACGATCACGCTCCCACACGCCACGCTAAGCAAGCGCACACCCAATAGCTCAGCAGAACGATGTGGCGCAGTGGTAGATTTGCCGTACCCTGATTTCTGGGGCGCGGGGCAGCAGTTGGGCAGCAATGTGGGCAGCACGCCAAGCTCAAAAAGTAGCTCTAGTGCGTCTCATCACTTAGCCGGCATCGCAGGGTGAAACAACACCCTATCGCCAATCCCAATAGACACAGTGGCGAAGCGTTCGGGGTCCGTACTACCTGGGGGTGGGTTCAATAAGCGACTCTCTCTCTCTCGCATCGAGGCGCGGTGTGCAGTGCTGCCCAGGAATGACCGGCTCGACTTTTTTTGGTCTGGTGAATTATGATTGCTCGACCAACCCGTAGTAGCGTACCAATTCGACTCTGGGTCCGCAGCTGCCCGAGATAGACGCGTCATCAGAGTTCATGGTTATCAATGTTGGGCCTCCTCCGGTTATTATGCCAGATGCGCTCCATACAGAATGGCCTAAAGGGCGTCGCGGCGCCACGCCGACGAGGGCGTGTGTGCCCCGTACCGTTAATTACAATAAGCATTTCTATCGATAAGACACACAAGCTAGCTTACCCTCTTACTAGTACCACCTTTTTTGCTTCGCGTAGCCTCGCGTGTTCTTCCACGTTTGTTTCTTTGCGTAGTAGCCTCGCTTCGCACTCCAGAACCGCTCAGGCTCATCATCGTGATCCACGGGGTGAAACCAAATTTCGGCATCTAGCTCCGGTAACGTCACAGAAAGGTCGCCCCGGGGCACCTTCACGCAGAAATTTGCATTTCTTTTTTTGTCAAATGCGATCTCTGGGTTCCATGGCAGGTTTACGAGAGCATCAAAATTGATTCGGACAAAGGCGTTATCTCTGTGCCGGTACTTTGCGATGTTTTGCCAGCCCCAGTTGTTGGCCTTGACCACTTCTGGATCCGCCCAGTTAGCAGGAATCGCAGTGAAATAGACGCCGTCACCGAGGAAGGCGTCGCCGCCGTTTGATTTTTCGCTCGCGTAGATGACGCCGCTCTCCGCGATTTTTTTGGCACTCTGCTTAGTCGTGCAGTGAAACAGGAACTTGGGCTGCTGGCTGTACGGCGAATTTGTAAGGTAATCGAGTGGTCTCGTGATCTCGTTGTCGATTTGAGACCACACCCTTTCACTCTCGCCGAAGAAATCTCGTTGTGATTGGTGCGCGTTGAGCTCGCGTCGCAGAATCATCGAACCGTCTATACGGAACCAACCGGTGTATTTCGGCAAGTGGAGGGACACGGCGCCGGGAGGCAGGACAGTGAGGAGTGCCAACAATACGGACTTCATCACGCCAGTTCAACGCCGCGGACAGCTGAGGGGCTGCAAGAACTGCTCCAGACGCGCTGCTGAGTGCCTGTACGCAGCGCTATACGATGGCTTCTTCTCGGCTCCTCGAGCTAGTGTATAGTAACACGCTAGATTTTACAACACAGCGCGCGCGAGGCAGCGCCGAGGCTGCCCCAACGCCGCGGCAGCTAACAACGAACCATATGAATTTCTTACGGAGGGGGAGTGGCGGGGTTTAGGGGTTGTGATGTCACGGGGCTGGCAACATTACATGTACCACAAGCCGGAACCTCATCCAAGCCCACGTTGCCGCGAAACTGCCGCCGACACTAGGACAATTTCGGACCCGCTCTAACCCGACTCTCGCCCAACCCTAACCCTAACCCTAGTCTAATCCTAATCCTAACCCTTACTCGGACCGAATCCTAACCTCAACCTCACGTAATGCGCGCCGCCGAGCTCGAGCTCGGCTAATCTTCCCGCCGGACTCGCGTCCGGCGGGCCCCCGCGGCGTCGTCGCGTCTCTTCTGAGGCGCGGCGGCGTCGCTTCCGCGGCGCCGTCGCGTCTCTCCCTGTGTGGAAATCAAAATTTTACGGCGCGTTCACGCCATCGACGCGACGCCTGCTCGATGGCGTGGTGATGTCGGTTCCGCACCGCTCGACCGAGTCAGGGCGGCCGCGCCATCGCCGAGAAATGACTTAGTGAAGAATTGCGGCACCCGACGCACTGGTTGATTTCCACGCAGGTCTCTTCCGAGGCGCGGCGGCGTCGCACCAAGACCCGGTCGGCGTTGAGAACGCCGACGTGGTGGATCCAAGAGCCCGGCGCGGCGGTGCCGCCGGGAGACGTTACAATCGATGCCCTCCCCTCGACCACAGTACGAGTTCCGCGGCGGTTTCGGTGGACGCAATGCCCTCCGCCGCACCGATGAATCGTACGAGGGAGCCGTGTCGCCGCCGCGCCGACTATTCGTCGGCGCGGCGGAGAAGCGCCGCAAACGAGTTCGGCCCACCTGATGCTCCCAGGTGGGCCGTGCACGCAGAGCGATGAGGACCTGATGACGATCGGGTCCTATATGTCGGTCCTCGCGACCGGCGCCCGCGGCGCCGTCGCGTTTCTTCCGAGGCGCGACGGCGCCGCGGTCCAAGCGGCATCCGGTCGGGGTGCCGCTTCGTGCGCAGCCGGCGCGCACACCTGGCGAATGATCAACGAGCCGACGCCCGACGCCGAGGCTACATTTCGTCGCCAGCCCCCTGACTGTTCCCTTCCCCTTCCCCCTTCCTGACCAACGTGACCGCGTAAGTCGGAATGTACAAACCTCAAACACACGGGTTTCTTATATGACGAAAAAGGGGACTCACTCGACCGCCGCGCCCCGCGGCGAGTTCTGTAAAGTAGCTCGAGACACGGCCTGGACGTCGACCCAGAACCGCTTGTACTCCGCCAACCTTTGCCGGAACCGTCCCAGTAATTGCGGCTCCCTGGCAAATTCGAGAAATTTCTCGATGTGCTCCGACTTTTGTAATAAAGTGTCAAAAACGACCTCGGTCGAATCCCAGAGTAAAGCCAACCGTTCCAGGACCGCATCAACACGCTCCAACTGTCGAAGAGCTAGCTCGAAGACCCGCTCCGGCGCCGGCGCGTCCGGGAAGAACTGGGGCGTGATGGCCGTTTCTTGCACAGAAAAGGAGGCGGACCGCGCGTCTCTTGAAGCGGTGGCGATGGCCGACGCGGCGTTCGTCGCTGCTTTCAAGGCGTCCTCGACGCCGTCCAGCGCTCCGTCGTGGAGGGACTCGTCGGTCTTCGGTAAGGGGAGGGGCTCGCGGCCGTCCTTCGTCGCGCAATCCGAATCATAGCCGTCCTTCTCGCAGGCGCTCTCGACCTCACTAATCGCCTGGTGCAGGTGGCGCATCTGCGCGGCGTTGCCCTTCTGGACGTCCTTGACGGCCTCCTTGAGGCCGCCGACCCAGCCCTTGACGGTCGCGACGAGTTCTCTGGCTAGTGCCGATTGCCCGGCGTCGACCGCTAACTCAAGATCGTCGTGGATGTCGAGGACCGACGAAGCTGTATGTTCTATTTTTCTCAGGAGTTTCGCGTTCTCCAGTAACTGTGATCTACATAGCACCGCACTCTGCCTCAAAGCTCGAGAGACCCCGGGCACGTCCTGGTACGTCGCGAAGGCACTCCGTAAACACACGGCGATCGTCTGCTGCAGGCCCAACAAGTCGTCGACCCGGAACACGGGCTCCCCTGTCTCCGGTTTTCTAGGCACGAGCGCCATGTCGTCCACGTTTTTGATGGGCGAGGACGGCCTTTCTGCATCATCTGACAACCAGGGATGATCCAACGCGTCTCTTGTGGTAAGGCGTTCCGCGGGATTCGGCACCATGAGCCGCGCGACGAGGTCCCTTGCTTCGGGCGAGACGCCTCGGAACGCGGCCGTGTCGACTTTGACCCTAGACTTGGCAGAAGATCTCTCAAACTCGGGAAACCTCGCTACAAGCGTGACGTTGACGACGGCTCCAAGAGACCAGGCGTCGACGGCGACGCCGTAGCTTCTCGGAGCGTCGGCGCCGCCCTGGTGGATGGCTTCGATCTCCGGCGCGAGATAGCAGGGCGTGCCCACGAACGTCTTTCCGACGGACGTAGCTAACAAGGGAAAGGCCTCCTCGTCGCCCTCCTCCAGCAATGCCTTGGACAATCCAAAGTCGATGAGCGTGACGCGCGGCGGCTCGTCGCTCGACACGAGGACGTTTTCCGGCTTGACGTCTCTGTGGGCTATTTTATGTTCGTGCAAATAAGCTAAAGCGCCCGTGAGCTGGCGCAGGATCGGCTTCGCGCGCGGTTCCTCGATGGCCTGCTTCTCGAGGATGACGTCGAACAACTCGCGCCCCGCGGCCTCCTCCATGACGAGTCGCAACGAATCGCCGCCGGCCCAGACCCCCACGTAGCTTACGACGTTCGGATGGCGCAGCCGCGAGAGGATGCAGGCCTCCCGCAGCAGCCGTTTCGGCGAGAAGTTCGGTCGTAGCCGCAGCGGTCGGGCATCTAACGTTTTCACAGCTAGCCGTCGCCCCGACGCTCGTTCTACCACACGACTGACGACGGAGAACGCGCCGCGCCCGATCACGTCGCAGACCTCGAAGCGCCGGTCGAAATCTCGAGGTGTTCCTAAGGCGAGGCCTACCGTCCTCGATTCCGCTTCCAGCGCCGCGCCGAGGTCGCCCTGCTCTTCCGTGGGTGGTGCCGCCGCATCTAAATCCCAGGACCCGCTCGCGACGCCGCGCGGCCGCTTTTGGGAGTGGTGCGAGGGCATTTTTGTGGCTTCGCTGCGACGGCGTCTCGAGCCGTTCGGGGGCGTCCGCGGGCCGTCGCGGCGGTCCAAAAAGGCTGGGAGAGGCTGGCCAGGCTCTCAGGCCCTCGTTTAAAAGCTGGAGCGGCGTGCGCGAGCCCTGCGCTGCGGGGGCGCCGGGGCGAGCTCCTCAGTCCTCAGATGAGCTGCGCAGCCCCTGGGGGCTCCGGACAGGGAGGCACGGGAGCGTCCACGTCGCGCCCCTGGTAAAAAACGGGTTTTACTGCGCGTTCGCGAGGCGCCCCTTCCGATTTCTCGGTCGCGCCCGACGGGAAGCCTACGCTCGTGTCGTTCCAGCTTTTTGGCTGGCCCGGCCTGGTGCAAAAAACCAGGAGGAGACTGCCATAAAGCGCCTGGAGAATCTGCCTAAAAGGCGGACTCTGGGCCCTGGCAGATTGTCGCAAACACCCGACGGGAAGCTGCGACGGGCGCGTTCCAAGCCGGGCAGCCCTGCGGCGTAAATTCACCGACCACAGTCCAAGGGGACCAGATGAGTGATTCGGACAGCGACGACGACGACGAGTATTCGGCTAACTGGGACAGCGAGGAGGACGATGACTGCGACAGCGAGGACGAAGATGATTACGATTTTTTTCTCCTGACAGAGGCGCAAGAGGCGGCCGACGAGGAGGCGCGCGAGCAACGCGAGGAGAAGCTCGTGCGGGCGTGCGAGGCCGGGGACGCAGCTGCGGCGGCGCGGTTCCTCGATTTCCCGCGCGACGAAATCATCGCGAGGACTATGTTTCCGATCTGCGTCGCCAGCAGTTTGGGCCACGTCGAGGTTGTCCGCGTGCTGCTGGACCGCGGCGCCAGCCCATACCAAAGCAACCAATATTGTGATCCGCTCCACGCGGCCTGCCGGGAAGGACGGCCCGAGGTAGTCCGGTTGTTGCTGGACCGGGGCGCGAGCGCTTCCGGCGTCGAGCACGACCCGCAGACCGGTCCGGATGCGGTGATTCCGTGTCCTGACGGTGTTGACCGAGTAGATTTCATGCCCCTGTGGTCCGCGTGCGAAGGCTTCGCGAACGGGAGGCTCACGCTGACGGACGAGGAGGCGGACGAGGAGCAGACACGCGGGGCTCCCGTCGTGAGCCCCGAGTGCGTGCGAATGATACTGGCGCGGGGCGTTCGCATCAACGCGAGGACGTGCTCTGACGGCATAACCCTCCTCCACGCCGCGGTCCAAGATGAACACCCCGGCATGGCGCGCGTGCTCCTCATGCACGGCGCGGACATTGATATCAGGGACAACTTCGGGAAGACGCCACTGGATTACCTACACGCCATCGCTCGAAGCTGCCACGGGAAACCTACTACCAACGAAGAGCGTTGCTTGATCGAGCTCTTCGACCGCTACCTCCCCGCCTACTGGGCGCGCACCGTCGCCCTCACCTTGGACCGCCTCCCCGGCAACGCCGTCGCCGGCGACGAGAACCTCACGCGCCAGATCGGTGCCTTCGTCGTCGGCGACGTAGTGCTCCGGCCCAGGCGAACCGCAAAATAAGACTAGTCCAATTACATTACGACTCGCGCCGCAGCACCGTCACCGTTTGTGAATCGTACGCCGTACACGCGAGCGACCTTTCGTCCAGAAACGCCACGCCGGTCAGGAGCGAATCCGTCACGTGCGACGCGTGGACCATCTCCAAGGAAGGCAGGCTCCACACAAAGACGTGGGCGTCCTCGGCGACGGTCGCGAGGCGGTCTCCCTGTATCGTGAGGGCCGTCAGACACCGCGCGTGCGCTTGGAGGTCGTGCAACACCTCGCCCTTGGCCGAGTAACAGCGGACGCGGCCCGACGCGAAGCCCGCCACTATCTGATCGTCGTAGACCGCTATTGACGAACAGGGGTCCCCGCCGATGTCCGCCGCGCGCGTGCCGTCCTCGATGACAAAACTTTCGTCGCCCTCCCACGAGCGTATTTCGCCGCGGTCGCATCCCGAGACTAGTTTTGAAGAATTAGCTAGACACGTCAGGGGCGCCCGGTGGCCCCGCAACGATTGCGTTTGACGGTCGCCCTCGAACCTCAGGATTTCTCCGGAAGAACACCCGACGCAAATCACACCTTGTACAAGGGCACTCCCCCGACAGAAAGGTTGTGTCGCGTCGTCGTCCGCGAAGTCGCCGAGCGCATGCCTCTTCACGAGCCGCGCTTTGGCCGGCGAGGGCACTTGCCAGATCTCCACGTAGCCCGCGGCACCGACGACGAGCGTCTCACCGTCGACGAACACTGATGAGAGGACCTTGGTCCGCAGTTGCAATGTCCTTTTGTTATTAGTGCCTCGCGCCTCGAGGATCGTCACTTGCGAGTCGTGCGCGTAAGCAAGTAAACCTTTGCTACTGGCGAGGTTGTTGAACAGTAAGGAGGGGAGGTGCGTCGGTTGTAGATCGACGGGCGCGTCCCTCGACCAGGATTCCATGGGTCTGGGGGCTGCCCAGTCCCGTCCGCGCTGCGGCGCCGCGCGGCGTCGAGCTGCGCTGAGGCTTCGGGCGCGTGGTATGCGCTGCCGGACGACCGGTGGCGGCTCCGAAGCCACGATACGCGGCCGCGGGCAGCGCGCTCGAGCTAGCGTGCGAGGTACTTAAAACTCGACGCTCTTGATTCGCCGCCGCGTACACCGAACCAGCATCGATTTGCCGCCGGCAGGGGACCCGGCCGGGGCACCTCGCGCCGCGCGCACCCGACGAGCGCTGCCCCAAGGCCGCTCCGGGCAGCCTCGAGACGCCACAGGCGTGAGGCGCTGCCAGACGCGATGGCCAAGCCCACTCAAACGAATGAGGCCCTAGGCCTCCGGCACGCCATGCCTCTGCTCGTGATCAACCTGGGCGGCGAGATGCTGTATGTCCTCGAACAGCGCCTGGGCGCGCAACAAGTCAAGACCGACAAGTCGCAGCGCGTGCTGTGCGACGTCGTGAAAACGATGTTCTCGCGGCGCTTCGTCGAAGAGTTGTTTAAACCCCAATTCCTGTATAAGGACCGGAACGTGCGCCAGATCTTCGATAAACTGGCCCATAGTTCAATCATGAAGCTGAACGAGACGAGCATGGGTAAACTTTACAGTCTGATGGTCATGGGGGCGAAATTTCAAGTGGTAAGGGTAGCGACACCCTGCCATGTATTAGATGTCACTATTGAGCACCTGGAGCAGCTCAAAAAGATGTGTGCTTCTGACGTGACCGATGCGTTGCTAGATTACTGCTTGGAGTCGTGTCAGACGTGCTACGGGCGGTTCACGCCGGGCGACTGGTGTTTGTGTCGGCAGCAATTACTAAGCTTCTTTTCGACGCGGAGAGTGCGGGTCTCGATCTTTCTCCAGCGCGATTTACAAGGCCAGGACGGCACTTTAAGGTTGGAGCACGGCGGCCCCCTGACGACTGGCGCGCTACCACTGACGAAGACGCATCCCTTGGCACGAAACTACCATGCTGAAAACAGGTCGCGGCACGCTCGTCAATTGGGCAGGAACATGTACGCGGAGCCACTCCCCGAGGCGAAAGAGGTACCCGAGGTGAAACCCGTCGCGGCAAAGGAGGAGCCGCCGGCGGCGAAGCCGTCGACGGCCTGTCTGGAGCTGAACCTGCTGGCGGACCTGGTCGGCGGCGACGACGTACCGGTGGAGAGTTTTCGGTTGGCGCTCTTCGAAGATGAACATGAGGCGGCGTCTCCACTAGTAGACGACGCGCGGAGGATCGACGCCCGCGCGCAGCGGAAGGGCGTGGACGAGCGCTTCGCGGAGCTCGGGTTCGATGACGATGTGAAGAGCGAGGCGAAGAGTGACGACTCCGACGATTTGCTGGACCTGATGGACTCGATTAAGTAAAACCTAGATGTTGTTTACTAACGCCGAGACGTCGCTGGTGGACGTCCACTCGGCGAGGGCCGGCCGGAAGGTGTCGGGCGCCGCGACGGCTCGCACATCACTATCGTTCTCGCGGTTGCGCCACGCGTCCGCGCCGCACGCACACGCGCCGCGCGGCCGCCGTTCCAAAGAAAATATTGAACGGCCGCATTTCCCGCACGCGAAGCAACGCCGCACGGCGAAGGCCATCTCTATATGATGATCTCGCCGGACGCACGCCTCAGGCTTTGATTCGAAGAGCCGCGCGCAGTCGACGCATTTGAAGCAGCGCACGCGCATCGACAGCGCGGCCTTCGCGGCGGCGTCGTCGGCGGCCGCCTCGCGCTTCTCGAGCTTCGCGAGCGCGCCCAGGCCCCGGTCCGCGCGCTCGGCCTGCGCTTGCCGGGCGTGGGCACCTTTCGATGCCTTGAGGCGCTTCCGCTCGTCGTCGCCCAGGGGCCGCAGCCACGGCGCCGCGGCCGGCGCCGCGGCCGGCGCTTTGGCGACCGGCGCGCGGCGCATGGGTGGCCCGCGCCGCCGCTGCGGAGGCTTTTGTGGAGGCGCGCGCTGCCGCGCGACGTAGGCGTAGGCCTCTTTTGTAATACGCGGCCGCTCGCGGCAGAAGACGGCCGACTCGCCCGGCAGCGCGACGCCGCGCGGCGTCGCGCGGCGCGGCGGCCCGGCGGCGTCGTCGTCGTCGTCGTCCCCGAGCTCCGTCACGGGCCGCTCGCGCAGCGACGCCCTCTTCGGCCGCTTGGCTTCCTTGCGCGGCGCGAGGGCGGCCGCGAGCGGGTCCTCCTTGCTCGCCTTCGGCCGCTTCGGCCGCGGCGCCGGGCCGGCGCGCGGCGGCACGGGCGGCCGCGGCGCTGCTGCGGCGCGGTACGACGCGCCGCTGGCCGGCCGCCGGCGCGCGGAGGAGAGGGGGATCATGCGTTATATTGCCTAACCTCAGGTGTCAGCAATGCACATCGATGCAAAAGGCACCGCGCGCGAGGCATTTTAACCAGAGAGACCTACGGTACTATACTATACCTACTATAAGTATAGTACCACCCACGGTATTTTGAATTTTTTCGCGAGACGCCTCGCGGCGCCCCCGGGCACGCGATACAGGCCGAGGCATCCGTCCGGCGCGAGCGGCGCGCGTGCGCTCCGGAGAGGCAGAATCGCCGCCGCAGCGGAAGCGGGCTGCCTCCGCCGGGGCGCGGCCGCAGCACCTAGCACCGTCGACGCGCCCGGAACGCGCCCCCGCGCCGCTCCGGAACGGCCGCCCGGGCCCACGACCCCGAAGCAGCGCGCCGATGGCCGCCGCACCGCCGCCGCCGCGCGCGGCGCCCCCTTCACAAAAGAAGGAGCGCGCCGCGACGCACGGCGTCCGCTTCTGGATGAAGAAGCTGCCCGGCTGGAAGGGCCACCACAAATTTTATATCGGACTCATATCCCTATTAGCCGTGACGGTCTGGCTGATTATCGCTTTGTTTGTCTGGGGAGTCGAGTTCCCGGAGGACATCGTGGGCTGCGCCGCCGTCGTCTTCGAGGTCACGTTGAAAGTGGGGCTCTTCGCGTTCATTTTTCAGCGGTACGTGGCCGGCGAGGGCCCGGTGGTCGCGCCGACGGACCCCGAGGGGCGCGTGGGGAAAGCCCGGAACCTGCACGCGTGGTCGCGGTCCGTCTTCGACCTCGACCAGGACGAGGTGCGGGCGAAGGCTGGAGTGGATGGCGCGCTGCACGTCAGACGGGTGCGCATGCGCCTGGCCTGCTTGGAGATCTGGGCGCTCCTCGCGTTTCCTCTAGCGGTGGTCTTCGCGCTCGACCCGGCGCGGTGCGTTTACGAAGACGAAACGACGAACAGAGATTCGTACGCGAAGGCCTCCGCGGGCTGCCCCACGAACTGCGGGGCGCTCTGCTACACGTTCCGAATCACGCCGGATAAAGGTCAGTGGGCGGGCGAGGTCGGCGCGGACGACGCGCCGGAGAACACGGACAACTGCGGGTCGGACAAGTCGGAACGACAGTACATCTATAGATACGACGACGGCGACGAGTTCGCATCTACCAACGACTGGGGCGACGACTACAGCGGCAACGCCGAGTTCGTCCGGGGCGTCTGGTGCCCCTGCGTCGCCAAGCGCGCGGGCTGGCGCCGGGCCCGCTCGCCGGGGTTCGACCGGATCCACATCACGAACGTGTTCTGTCGGGCGGGCAGCACGGCCGTCTGGCAGCTCTGGGCGGCCGTGCTCGTGCTGTGGCTCGGGCACTGGGCCGCCTACCGGATCATCGACGCGCACGACCTCGAGGCCCAGGAGATCATCCGGGAGGCCGCCGATAGCGCGCCGGCGAACCACTACGCGGTGGTGTGCACGGGCCTCCCCGAGGAATTGCGGGACCCGGTCGACGTGAGGACGTTCTTCGAGAGCGTGTTCCAGGTGCCCGGAAGCGTCGTGGCGGTCGTGCCGTGCCGCCACCTCGACGCGGAGACGCGCGCCGTCCAGGACGAGGAGGCTCCGGGGGGCGAGGCCCGGGCCGCCGTCGCCGCGCAGGAGGACAAGATCGCGCGGCTGAAGGCGACGGGCGCGTCCGCGCATGCGATCAAGGCGGCCGAGGACCGCCACCGGACGCTCATGGAGACCGTCGTCAGGGAGGTCGGGGCCCTGAGCTGGTACCTCACCGGCGACGGCGGGCTGCGGGGCCGCGTGCGCAAGTTCATCGACGAACTGAAGGAGATCGAGCGCGCGCGGTGGCGCGAGGAGCTGCAGCGGCGGTGGGACAGCGGCGAGAAGAAGAAGATCCAGCAGGGCTGCGCCAAGTGCATCGACGGGTGCATCTGCTGCTGTTCGTTTGTGGAGCATTCCGTCGAGGACGAGGCCGCGGACCCGGCGGACGCCATTAGAAGGGCCGAGGCGGCGCGCCTGAAGCTCATCGAGCACGCCGGCGAGGCGGCGCCGCGGGGCGGCTCCGCGGTCGTCGTCTTCAACTCGCTGGAGCTGGCCCAGTGCGCCACGAACTGCCCCCTGGGCGCGACGAACGACCCCATCGAGGTGCCGCAGACGTACCGGCCGCCCAAGCTCCACCACAAGCCGACGCGGTTCGACCCGCTCTTCGTCCTGCTCGAGAAGGCGGGCTACTACCTCACGGGGCTCAAGGGGTGCCTGCACCGCCACCGCGAGCCCGTCCCGATGGAGCTGACGCCCCTGCCGGAGCCGCGCGACGTCGACTGGGCCGAGCTCGAGACGCTGGACAGCGAGCACGGCGAGAAGGCCGACCGCGCGTCGGCCGGCCGCTTCATCAAGATCTGCTGCTGGTTCGGCTACTCCGTGCTCATCATGGTCTTCACGGCCGAGTGGGAGGACATCTGTTTGAAGCGGGCGCAGCGGCCGTCGGGCGTCCGGCGGAACTTTGCGATTTTTTGGGAGTTGTTGGGGGGTCTCGTGCCGGCCTACTTCCAGGACTGGCTCTTCGATTATGTGGCCGTCATCCTGCGGGCGACGAACCGCATGTTCTCGTCGCTGTGGAGCGAGTCGTCGCTGCAGATGGCGGTCGCGCGGGACTACAGCATCTTCTTCTGGATCGTGGCTTTTGGAGCTTACCTTGTCGGCCAGTGCTGGGAGGCCATCGAGGACCAGGCGTGGGTCTGCAACACCGTCGGCGGCTGCAGCAAGGACGACGAGAAGCAATACGGCGAGGACGCCGAGGCGTACCGCCAGCGCATCTACAACGCGAAGAACGACGGCTGGAGCTTCGACGCGGGCACGGCGGTCAAGCTGATGATCCGGGAGCTGCCGCGGCAGGCCTGGCCCTTCTCGGCCTTATTTTTACTCCAGATCGGCGACATGGTCGCCGAGGCCTTGAGGGTGGAGCCCTACGTCACGTGGCGGCTCCTGCAGCAGGCCTGGATCGCGTCGGACGCGCAGGTCGAGGAGACCTTGGAAGCGGACGACGCCGACCTGGGCTCGACAGCGGGCTGGGAGGCGTTCGCGCTACTGGTGGGGGCCTGCTTCGCGGCGGTCGCGCCCGTGACGTGCTGCGTCTGCTACCTCTACTTCATCGCGGCCTACGAGGTCGCGAAGCACACGCTGTGCTGCCTGGAGGAGATGCCCTTTGATACGGGGGGCCACCTCTGGTTTTTTGGAGTCATTCAAACGTACCACGCGTTGCTCATCGCGCTGGTCATGCAGCTGGCCATCATCCTGATCAACGAGTCGAACTACGGGGTCTGGCCGGCGATCGGCGGGCTGCCGATCGCGATGCTCTGGAAGCGGTACTACGACGTCGCGCAGCTCCGGCATGCGACGCGGAACCTCCACGGCCTGAGCCGGGGGCGCATGCCGCTGCGGGACTGCGCCGTCGTCGACGCGCGGCGCGATTCCACGGTCGTCAGGGACGCGCTGAAGCACCTCGCGGACGCGGACCGCTTCTTCGAGGCGCCCGAGGTCCTGCCGCCGTCGGATCATCCCTCGTATACTGATGCTATACCGGGGCCGCCCATCTCCGATGCGACCGACGTCGCGGCGCGACTGGAGGCGATCGACGACTGGCTCGGGCGCCACGACGACGCCGCGGCCGCGTTCCTGGAGCGCGTGAACGTCCGGGGCCCGGGCGTGGCCAAGGCCCCGTCCGTTTTTGGTCTGGGCGCCGGCGTCGTCGGCGTCCCCGAGGGGGACGTCGCCGTCGTCGACGACGTCGCGTGCGGCGCGCTGGGCTGCGGCCTCGCGGACTAATTCCGACCACCCTTCCCCTCCCCGCCCCCGAAGTAAACCTAATTAGCAGTAGGACACGGGGCTTATTCGGGCGCCTAGGCGCCCCAGATCCACGCCTTGACCGACTCCCAGGCGGTCTTCTTGCGCTTCGGCGCCGGCTGGCGGGCGCCGTCGCCGCCGTCGCCGCCGCCGCCGCGCTGGCCGGGCCGCTGGCCGCCGTTCGGGCCACCCGGACGTTGGCCGTCGCCCCGCGTCGCCCCGGGGCCGCGCTGGCCGTCGGGGCGCTGCTGGCCGCCCGCGGCGCCGCCCGGGCGCTGCTGGCCGTCGGGGCGCTGCTGGCCCGTCATCCCGGGCCGCTGCCCGCCGGCCGGGTGCTGGCCGTCGCCCATCGTCATCCCGGGGCGCTGCGGGCCGCCCGGCGCCGGGCCGCGCTGGCCGGCCATGCCGCCGGGACCCAAAAACCCTTGATTGAGGCGCTGGCGCCAGGCGCCCGCGCGCGTCGCGTTGCCGCCCCCGGACCAGGAGATCCCCGAACCGGGCGTCCGGCAGCCTAGTAAATCGGTGTTGAAGCAGGCGCGGCCCGTCGCCGCCTCGACCTCCACAACTTTCGCCGCCGCGCCCGCGACCGAGGCCTCCTCGTCCTCGTTGAAGATCTGGCGCGCGCCGGCGCCCAGGAAGAAGTAGAGCTTGCCGTCGACGCCCGAGACCTGGAAAGTTAGAGGAGAAGTGCCGCAGGCCGGGCCGCGGCAGTGGTCTCCATTAGCGCAGCGCGGGTCGCGGCCCGAGGCCCCCAGGCCGCAGTAGCCGCCCGCGCCCAGGGCGTACTTGGCCGGGTCCGCCGCGTACGCGTCCCGGTTGGCCTCCGTCGCGAAGTGGAGGGCGAAGCCGTCCGGGGTCGTGAAGGCGTGCTCCGCGGAGCCGCGCAGCGGCGGCGCCTCGGCCAGGTGCGGCAGGCGCGGGCCTTGATTTGATACGGTCGCGTTGCGGGCCTTGAGCGCCTTGGCCCAGGCGTCGACGACGTCGATGCCGCCGAGCACGGGGCCCTTGGTGGGCTCGCCGCAGGCGTCGAAGGCCGCCTGGCCGGCCGCGGCGAGCGCCGTTAGGAGGGCGGCCTGCCTCATGGGCATGATGGTGCGTCCTGCGTCCGAGCGTCCGGCGGAGGAGCAGGGCAGCCCCAGCGTCGAGCTATGAGGAACTTTTGGAACCTTGCTGCTTGCACCCGCGCGCAGATCGCGCAGAGAGGGACTGGGAATACTTCGCGGGGCGTCCCTCGGAGACGTGTGACCACACCGACGCGACCCCGGGGGGCGGAGCCAAGTTCCACTAGAAATTACCGACTGTCTCGGACCTTGTCCGCGAGCGCCGCCTTCCTTGACAATTTGAGCTTGCCCGAGTCCTCGTCGATGGCCAGGACCTTCACGTCGAAGGCGTCGCCGACACTGATGAACTTCTCGATGTTCCGGACCCGGTCCGGCGCGAGCTCCGAGATGTGGCAGAGCCCTTCCAGGCCCGGAAAGGCCTCTCCAAAGGAAACGAAGGCGCCGAAGGTCTTGATGGACACGACCTCGGAGGCGTAGACGCTCCCGACCTCGGGCATGGGCCCGTCGTAGGCCGCGCGCTGTTTCCGGCCGCCCCCACCCGTCGCCTCGGACGTGAGCTCCACGATCTTGGCGGCGCACGCCTCCATCTGCTCCGGGTCGTTCCCGCTAATCATGACGGCACCCTCGTCATCAACATCAACGTTGGCCAAACAGTAGTCCGCCTGCGCGCACATCGATGGCGTGGTGGAGACGCGGCGCGACAAGTTGATTCATGCACCGTCGTCCGCAATTAAACCTCTAATGGTCTCGCCGCCCTTGCCGATGATCTTCCCGATCTTGGCGGGCTCGACTTGCAAGGTCTTCGTCTTGGGGACGCTATCTGACAACGCCTGCGGCTCATCGACGCCCCGAGACGCCATCTCGTCCAGGACGTGGAGCCGCGCCTCGCGCGCCTGCGCGAGCGCCTTCTCGAGCGTCGCCGCCTTGAGCCCGAGCTCCTTGACGTCGAGCTGGAAGGCCGAGATGCCGTCCCTTGAACCAGCTACCTTGAAGTCCATGCCTCCTAGGGCGTCCTCTATCCCGAGGATGTCCGTCAAAACCACCGGATCGTCCACATCGTCCAACAAAACGCCCATCGCGACGCCGGCCACCGAGGTCGTGAGCGGCACACCGGCATCCAACAACGCGAGGCAGCCGCCACAGACCGACGCCATCGACGAACTGCCACACGACTCCGTGATGAGCGACTCGACGCGCATACTATAGGGGAAGGTCTTTGCGTCGGGTAAAGCATATCTCAAAGCCTTTTCGGCGAGGGCACCGTGGCCGACCTCTCTTCGACCCGGCGCGCCCGTGCGACCCGTCTCGCCCACACTGCTGGGGGGAAACGCGTACTGCAGATAAAATCTTTTCTCCGTATTCGGTTCCAAGGCATCGTCGACGCGGAGCTGCATCGACTGGTCGCCGAGCGTGCACGTGGCCAACGATTGCGTTTCTCCCCTCGTAAACACGACGGACCCGTGGGCCGTGGGTAGGGGGGCCATGTCGATGTCGATCGGTCTCACCGTCGTTAGATCTCGCCCGTCACTCCTCAATCCTTCAGATCGTACGAGCGCACACATGGCTCTTGACGAGAGTTTCTTGAGGACCCTCGAGCTATCGGCCCTCGTATAGTCCTTCTCTAGGCTCAACCCATCGACCTTCTGACATAAATCACCGTAAGCCTTGCGAGAGGACGCCATGTCGCCTTGTCTCAGGGCCTTCGTCTGTTCGCGGATGGCATCGCCATACGCATCTTCGACGATCGACTCGAGCTCGCTAGGGTAGGGCCTCAGGCCGTCACTCACGTCTTTCTTCAGGGCAGAGGCCCACGCACCGATGGCATGACCGATGCGCTGCGCTTCGTCGACGGCCTCGTTCAGCGCTGCGAGAGCCTGGGCTTCCGGCGCGAACGACCCCTCGGCCTCGACCATCAGCACACTCCCATCAGAACCGGCGCCGACGATGATGTCGAAAGTTGATGAAGCTGCTTCCGTGACCGAGGGCGACGTCGTCAATGTGTCGTCGCTTAGAGTACATCGCGCACAGCCCACGGACGTCAGCGTCGGCACCGACGACAGCTGCAACGCCGCGGAGCAGGCCTGCACCGCCAGCGTCTGCGCCTCATGGATACCATCATAACTCAAAACCCAAGCAAGCACCTGGACGTCGCCGCAGAACCCGTCGACGACGGACGGCCTCAAGGGCCGGTCGATGAGTCTGCAAGTTAAAATCTCGCCGTCCGACGCGCGGCCATCTCTTTTATTGTAGGCGCCGGACGTGCGGCCGGTGGCGGAGTAGCGTTCCTGGTAGTCTATACTCATAGGTAAGAAATCACCCCCTCCAGCGTCGGCGTCGCCGACGCATAGCGTCGCATAAACCGTAGTGCCGCCGCGCTTGGCGACGACCGCCGCGTCGGCCTGGCGGCCTATTCGGCCCGTCTCGAGGATCAACGGCGCGCCGTCGCCGATCGGTATTTCTATTGAATGGGGCGCGTCGGGCAAGACTGCTACTTGGAGTCGCGTCCGCGGTCTGGTGTGGCGCCGCGGCTGCAGGGCCTGGCTGGCCGCGAGCAGCAGGAGGAGCCGCATGGCTGACTCGCTGTGTTGCAGTTTTGCTGCACGCACGGCTATGCCAACTGCTGCAATCGGTTCGATGGCGTTTTAGGGCAACGAATCAATGCAAATAGGCTATTTTGCGCAGCGTTACGCCAGCTGCGCGGCACAGTGACTCTCGACAGCAACACCCAAGTCTCACAGTGTCGGGTTTTTCAGCTTCGACACAGACGTCCCTCCGACGGTTAGACGGCTACGGCGGGGCGCGAGGACTCGCCTCGCACGAGCGCCCCGCGCTGCTTGCGAGAGCGCAGCGCCGTCTCCCGACTCAAAAGCGCGGGACGCCCGCCGCCCGCGAGGCAGCCCCGCCGCGTTTCTCGCCTCCGCGCGGCGAGGCCCCGTGACACAGCAGCGCGCGACCGCGGTCTCGCCGTGTGACCCGGGCACAGCGCCAGCTCCCCCAGGCCCGCGCCTCCGGACGCCGCCGAGGAAGCGCCGCGCGAGGACGCCTGGCACGCGTCGGCGTCGCGCGCATAGCCGCACCCGACGCCGCCGCCGCGAGACGAAGGATGGGCGCCGGCTCGTCCGCCTCGGCCGGCCCCGGGCAGTACTCGCTCGACGACCTGTTGACGCATTTGAGCGCCGAGGGCGTCCTCACGGCGGCCAAAGTGATTGCGACGGGCGAGGACATGCGCCTCCCGTTGCCATTGGACTACCTCCAGGACAAAGGAGCGTTTACCGCTGACACTCCGGACGCGATCATCGCTTTGGATCTGGACAAGTTCCGGGACGCGGTCCAGTCCAAGTTGATCGAGCGAGCGGCGGAGCAGGCGGAGGCCCTGGAGGAGAAACCCGCGGATATTTATCGCTACCTCACACCGTTGGAGGCGAGGCGGGGCTTCCCGCAAGCTTTAGCTGCCCTCAAGGCCAATCCGAAACTCGCAAGACAGCCCATGCCCGGGAGCGGGAGGGGTTCGAAGTGGCTGCCCCTGCACTGCGTTTTATTACTTGGCCCGAAGTACCCGGGCTGGTGGTGGCCGCTCGCGGAGCCGCTGGTCAAAGCTCTATGTAAAGCCTATCCGGGAGCATGTGAGCAGCGCGTGCTCGAAGGCTCGCCGCACCCCTGCGGCCAGTTACCGTTAGAATTAGCAGTAACGAAGGGCTGGGACGCGCGCGTCGTCGACGTCGTCCAGAAGACGTACCCCAAGGCGGCGGAAACGCTCGATCCCGTGAAAGTTCCTGGAGGTATTCTGAAGAAGGCCTTCCCTCCCCCGGGCAAGGGCCTGCCCGACCAGGAGTTCCTGAACGAACTGGGCGGACCGGAGGTGTTATCGAATGACATCAAAGGCGCGACGGTGGCTGTATTAGCGTTATCAGGATGGAACAAGGACAAGCAGCCGACGACGCCGAAGGGCATGCGCTGGGTCCGGAAAGCGGCCGAGGAGTGCCGGCCCCTGCCGAAACTGGAGGTCGTGATGCTCCTGCCCAAGCCGGACCCCAAGAACCTCGAGAACGGCTGGTCCGACGGGCGAGAAGTGCAGCGCCTGCTCGAGGAGAAGCTCCACAAGAAGGCCTGCAAAGACGCGAAAAACGCGTCGAAGCGCGCGAAGAAGGCTGAGGGCTTCGCGAAGAAGGCCCTGCCCTTCAAGCCCGGGAAACCGGTGCCCGTCGATGCCTTGAAGGCCAAACATGCGATCCGCGAGTCCTTCGAGGCGGCCCAGATCTACGACCAGTTGTTGGCTGACTTTACGGAGGCCCATCAGGGGTTTGTGGTGTTTGAAGGCTGGGAGGAGGCCTCCAAGGACTTCGTCGAGAAGCGTTCCGCGGTGCTCGAAAAAGCTGACTTGATCGCGGCGGCCCAGGAGCTTTTCGAAGCCGTACCGGAGGGTGCGGACGTCGGCTTGGCCGCTAGGAAATGGGTCGACGCGCAGGAGATCCGGGACGAGCAAGAGCGGGAGAAGAAGACGCTGGACGACATCGGCACGGGCGGGGCGCCCATCATCCGCAGCGCGCCGCACGAGGGGTCTAAGCTCTGATAGTAGGGACTCTCTTTTTTCGTTCGCGGGGCGGGCGCGCGGCCCCCCTCTTTTTGGGTCCGGGACCGGTCTTTGGCGCCTAAGGGTCGTGCTTTGCGGGGAGTTCTATCGTTTTTAGAAAGCAGGGATAGAGATACTAGGGATAGCTCGAAACCAGCAGTGAAAACACTCGTATACCCGCCAGCGTCCTCAACCTGTAACTTCCGCCGTACACTATTGAAGTCCTCTTACACTGCAAAATCGCGCCGCGCCGCGCGTGACCGCGTTCTGGCGCGAAAACACTAGTCTAAAGACCTTGGGCAAGGGTGGGCCCCCGCTGGGACGCGGCGCGGCGCCGTCGACCAGAGGGCGGCCCAAGCGGCCCAGGCGACCGTCAGAGAGCGAAATTTGGGGCGTCGTCGGGTGGCGTTTCTGAGCGTTTCCGTGCTCGCCGAGTCGACGCCGTCACGCCGACGCAGGCGTAGACCTAAAAAAACAACATGAAGCTCCTCATCGCCATCGCGCTCGCCGCCGCGCCGTCCGCCCTCGCGATGGCGCCCTACGTGCCCGAAGTCGAGAGCAGCCTCACCTTCACCGTGGGCACGAAAACTAACGCCGAAGGCCAGGGTGGCAACGGCGACCTCTACGTGAAGCTCTGGAGCGGCGCCACACCAATCCCTTTGAGCCCCACGGTCTCGGTGCCCGCCTACACGGGCACCTGCGACACCACCTACCGAGACGACGGCTGGACCGGCCCGAGCGGTTGGCTGAACCTGGACGAGATCGACGTTCAAACGAAGGGCATCACCTCCTCGCAGTCGCTGGGACCTCTCGACCCGACACTGCCGCTCACGCACATCGAGCTCTACTATAACCAGAATGACGCGGTGCAGGTGGCTGGCGTCACCATCCAGGTGGGCGACACGTCCTACGGGCTGCCCGCGTCCTGGAGCCTCGAAAATTGGCCGAGCGGAGACGGCTGGCTGGAGACGAACCAGTCGTGCGTGTGGTGGGTCAAGATCGACATGGAACTTGCTTAAATAAAGGATGACCCTTGTCACGCCGTGGCAGCAATATTCATCATACATCGCGCCATAATATATATATAATGCGCGCCGCCGAGCTCGAGCTCGGCTAATCTGCCCGCCGGACCTCACGTCCGGCGGGCCCCCGCGGCGGCGTCGCGCCTCCTGAGGCGCGGCGGCGTCGCGGTCCAAGCGGCATCCCGTCGGGGGTGCCGCTTCGTGCGCAGCCGGCGCGCAAACCTGGCGAATGATCAACGAGCCGACGCCCGACGCCGAGGCTATATTTCGTCGCCAGCCCCTTGACTGTTCCCCCTCCCCCTTTCCGATACGCGTAAGTCGGAAAGTACGAAAAGTGTGATAGTAGTGGATGAATTTAGTAGGCCCTCGAACTTCGCGTCACGCCCGCCCACCACTCCCGCAGGGCCGGGTTCGTCGGCCGGAAGGCCGGCTCGAGGTGGCGTATGGACGAAGGGCGCGCGTAGCCGTATATAGGCGGCGGCGGCCGCGCCGGAAGAAGGTCGAACGTCTGGGGCACGAGGGCCCGCGCCGTCGACGGGGGCGTGAACTCGTCCATGCCCTCCCGGATGCGCTCCAGGTCGCCCTCGAGCTTCGCGGCCAGCGCGTGCTGCTTCGCCATTAGTTTCGCGAAGGCGTCGTCGGCCTCGGAGGTCTTCTCCGTAGAGACCGCGAGGTCCTCCCGCGCCTCTTGCGCGGCCTGGCGCCAGGGCGACAGGGGCGCGGGCGGCGCGTCGTCGGCCCCTTCGAGCGACGGCGGCGACGGCGGCGACGGCGGTGCCGCCTCGAGGGGCGGGGGCCGGTCGTCTTTGATAGGTGTGGCCGCGGGCCGGTCCTCTTTAAGAGCCGCCTCGATCGTGGCCTTGACTTCCTCGCGAAGACTCGCCGCGTGCTGTTGGAACATCGTCGCGACGGCCGGCGACTCCGGCGGCGGCTTCGACATCGCGGCCTCGGCCCGCAGCGCGCGCTCGCGCCACATGGCGGCCTCTTTCTCGAGGGCGGCGTCCTGGTCGCGGCGCGTCGCGCTGAGCTTCGAGGCCACGCGCTCGTAGACCGGGCTGGGGCGCGGCGGCGGCGCGGCGAGCCGCGCCGCCTCGTCCGAGCGGGCCTGGCGTTCTAGTTTATCGTGCAGGGCGCGCGCGCGCTCCGCCTCGGCGTCGGCGCGCGGCGGCGGTCCCGCGTCGGCCGCCGCGCGCGCCTTCGCCGCGCGGCGCCGGTGCTTCGCCGCCTTCGCCGCGTCGTCCGCGGCGGGCGCGCTGTTGTGGACGGCGACCTCGCGGCCCATCGGTGGTTGCATGGGCGGCGGCGCGCGCCCGGGCCCTTTTGCGGGCGCGCTTTGCGCCACGGCGACCTCGCGGCCCATCGGTTTCATCATAGGCGGCCGCGGCGACGCGCTCCGCGCCGGCGCCACGCGCCAGGGCCCGTCGTAGCTTGATCCGGCCTTGTTCATGCCGTCGGCGTCCGCGAAGACTACTAAGGCAGCGTTTCCGCCGCCCAGGCCGACGTTCGTCACCGGCGCGATGGCCTCGAACGAGGCGCGCAGCTCCCGCTCCGTCGGCCGCTCGCTATCCTTCGGCCACGACACTTTTAGCAAGCGCGCCGGGTCATAACTATGAGCGGGCGTCGTGGGACGCGGCGATTGAGAGCGCGGCGGCGTCGTCTTTGCAGGATCTACGTCGCCGAGGCGCTGGACGACCATCGGGCCCCGGTAGCCCCGCGCCGCCGCGGCGCAATCCTCCGCCTTGCCGAACACAACCAACCCCGACTTTTTTTTGGTGCCGACGCCGCAGTGCACGACATTACCGAACTCGGAGAAGGTTCTTTTCAGATCATCATCACTCGGTCGCGGCGCGAAGTCGGGCCACGAGACCTTCAGGGTCCTCGCTTCCACGTCGGCTTTCGCGCTTTGTTTTTTGCGGTCGACGGTGCGCGGCGTCATGTGCGCGCGCGACCGCGGCGGGAGCTGGGGTGGCGGTTTCGCGGGCGTGGCCGGCGCTGGCTCCGGCGGCTCGACCGGGGCCCGGACCGCGCGGTCGACGGCCGCCTGCTGCGGGGGCGCCGCGGCCGGCGCCTTCGCGGGCGCGGGGGCCGGCGGCGCGGCCGGCGCCGGCGCGGCGGCTTCCGCGCCTCCGATGGGCGGGACCCGCGCCTTTGCCGGGGCCGGCGCGGCGGCCGGCGCCTTCGCGGGCGCCGTCGCGTCCAGGGCCCGCGCCGCGCGCGCCGCCGCCTTCGTCGCGCGCGCGGCCGGCGCCTCGGCGCGGGACGGCGGCGCGTCCGGTTCCGCCGGCGGCGCGCTCGGCGCCGGCGCGGCCGCCGCGGCCGCCGCGATGGCCGCGACGGCGGACCGCGCCGCCGCGGCCGCGGCGGGCGCCGGCGCCGGAGCGGGCACGATGTCGTCATCAGAGAACCGCCGCGGCGCCGGCCACTGGACAGGCGCCTGCTTCGCCCTCGCATTTAACTCCGCGGCCGCCGGCGACGCCGGTAGCACCTCTTCCTTGATGGGAGACGGCGGCGGCCTCTTCTGTGGTTTGGGGCTGTCGGCTTTCCGTAAAGTCCAGGGCCCCTCGTATCCCTTGAAAGCGGCATCTCGATTTTGACTATCATCAAACATGACGACGCCGGAGTTGCGGGCGCTTCTACCAGCTCGGGACACCCGTCCAAATTGCGCGAACGCACTCGCGAGTAGAGCATCGGTAGAAGGCCCCTGGCCCTTCTTCCACGTCACCTTGAGGGACCGTCGCGCGACGGGGTTGGAATTAGACGCGGCTCTTCTAGCAGCTTTCACCGTCGACCAGTGGCCCCGCGCCCGGGTGACAATGTCCCGTTTTTTGGGCGACGCCCACGGTAGTGTCAACAGCTGCGCCGCGCACTTCTGTCTTTTAATGGCTTCGGTCCGCTCCGGTTTCTGCTCGTCTCTCCTTAAGAGTACGGGTGCGAGCACGTGCGCCAATTGCTGCAGTGTGAGTCCGGTCGTACCCGTGCGATCCCAGACCTTCGACAGGTGCGCACACAAGTCGCCCAGACCCCTTTGTGCTGTTTTATCTAATTTATCGAAGATCAAGGACTGGATATTTGATGGTGTCTTCGCTTCGAGAAACGAGTCGTAAAGTCCATACGACGTGAGGGGCGCCCGACTCCGCAAGCACTCGACGACGGCCATGGCACAGGCCTTGGCCTCGAGGACGACCTTTCGCTCTTCGAGGTCCTTGGCTAGCGTGTTTTTAGCTAGGGCCTTAAGAATTTTATTTTTACATCTGTCGTCCGCGCAGTCGCGATACAACCAAGGCACTTTGTGCTCGTCGATAAAAGCATATAAAACACTCAATGAAGATAGGAGCGCGGCGTCCGGCGGGTCCCGCCGTTTCGGGCGCTTCTTCTTGCTCGAGAACATCAGTGAAAGTGGTTGGGGAGCAGCGCCGGGCTGGAGGCGCGCGAGGGCTGCCCGGGGCAGCGCTGCCCGGTCGATGGGGCCTGGCGGGCCAGCCACGCGCGCCGCCGACGCTATAGAGGCACGCCCTGCAATGGGGCCGCACGGCAAAACGAGTTTTTCGGCTGGGTGCGGGGTACGGACGAGGGGACGCGTCGCGGAAGCCTACTAATCGCGGTGAATGAAGAGGGCTCGGCGCGCGCGGGACGGGCTCGGGCGGGGAATGAAAAAAATTATAATACCCAAGGTCGGGTCGGCGCGCCGGAAGATCAAGGTTGCTTCGGTATGTAGGGTGGTTTTTGTAAAAACCGGGTAGATGAGGTTGGCGCGCTCGTGGGAGCGGCCGAGTCAGCGAGCAGTATGAACTGCTTACTTCTTGGAGGCCGACTTCTTCGGGAGAAGCGTGGCGTGGATGTTCGGGAGCACACCGCCCGAGGCGATGGTGACCGAGCCCAGGAGCTTGTTGAGCTCCTCGTCGTTGCGGACGGCGAGCTGGATGTGGCGCGGCACGATGCGCGTCTTCTTGTTGTCGCGCGCGGCGTTGCCCGCGAGCTCGAGGATCTCGGCGCAGAGGTACTCGAGGACGGCGCCCATGTAGACACCGGCACCGACGCCGACGCGCGAGGCGTACTTGCCCTTGCGGAGGTAGCGGTTGAGGCGCGCCACCGGGAACTGGAGGCCAGCCTTGGACGCCGAGGACGACGAGCCGGAGGACTTGGCCTTGCCCTTGCCGCGGCCACCTTTTCCTTTGCCAGACATGATGTAAGAGTTTGTTTTTTTTCCGATGTGTTGGAGTGGAGAGGCAGCCCGCTGGAGCGCACACATTTCCGGGGCGTCAGCGCGCCGCTAATTTTTGGCGACGAATCATTTTGCGACTAGGGTCCACTAGGGTCACAATTTCATTCGTCGCCAAAAATTATCGGCTCGCCCACGCCCCGGAAATGTGCGCGCTCCAGCGGGCTGCCCTCCACTCCAACACATCGGAAAAGAAACAACACCAACAACAAAATGGCCAAGACCCCCTCCAAGAAGTCGGCGAAAGCCCCCAAGAAGGCCGGCGGCGCCAAGAAGAAGAAGTCGCGCACGGAGTCGTACTCGACGTACATCTACCGCGTGCTCAAGCAGGTGCACCCGGACACGGGCATCTCCAAGAAGGGCATGTCGATCATGAACTCGTTCATCAACGACATCTTCGAGCGCATCGCCCTCGAGGCCTCCAAGCTGTGCCGCTTCTCCAAGAAGGCGACGCTCTCGTCCCGCGAAATCCAGACGTCCGTCCGCCTCATGCTCCCGGGCGAGCTCTCCAAGCACGCCGTCTCCGAGGGCACCAAGGCCGTCACCAAGTTCTCGAGCTCGTAAGCGCTCACTGCCGTCTGAGTAGCAGCTCGCGCTGCGATACGCTCTTGTGACGACGGCACCCACATTACACCCGGTTTTTCTAAAAACCACCCTACTCTCCGAAGGACAGTCGGCCGCTCTCTGATGCGCGGGCAGCGTTTTTCTGGGCTGTCTCGTCCGCGCGCGCAGCCGCGCCCCGACCGAAGGCCGGGGGACCGCTCCGCCGCCACGCCCTCGCCGCGCGCCCTGCCTCGCCCTACGCGCACCGCCTAAGCCTGTTCTGTTCCTCTAGCTACTGAGTCCGTCCGCGTCCCGGCGTCCGCGACTCCGCGCCGACACTTGCGCCGCCTCCGTGGAAGCCCCGGGACGCCGCCGACGCGCCGCCGGCCCGCTGCTACTTGCTTTCCACGCGCCTGCCCGCAGCGCCTAAGGTTACCACGTCCCACTGCTCCAACGCGTCCGAGTCCACCTGGACTCCCGCCGAGTCTCCCAGGCCATTTTGACTTATGTATGACAAAGACCACTTACTTACCCCTAGAATAGACCGAACAGCTTCTCCCCGCCCCCGGCCCCCGCGTTGGCGCACGCGGCGAGCACAGCTTGCGCGTGGCCCGCCCCGAAGGCCTTGGCGAAGGCCGGCCGCTCGGCGCAGCGCCGCATGTACGACACGATATTCGGCGACGAAAGGCGCACCGACGGGAAGAAGAGAGGGACGTAGTTCAGGTACGAACAAACGGCGACGTCGGCGACGGAGAAGTCGTTCTCCACCAGATAGTCGCTCTCTGACAGTAATTGATCCAGCACCGAGACAGCTCGACCTGGTTGATCTAATCTAGTCCCCATGACCTGGCCTCTCTCATTCTCCACAAAACAAATGGGATCCAGCGACGAGTTCGCCCACAGGACCCACTTCGTGAACTTTGCTCGTTGTTCGGCTGTCGTACATTTGTCGTCGAACTTGTCCGCAATGTACAGTAGTATAGCTCCAGACTCGAAAACACCGACACTCCCATCCGTCAGGTAGGGGATCTGGCCGAAGGGGTGGTCGCTCGGCTTGGGCGGCGCCATGTCATAGGGTACGTCGAGTTCTTCGAGGTACCAGTTGACCAGTGGTGAGCGCGAGCCCTGGCTGCCGTGCAGCTTCAGTGCTTGTAAAGGTGCCGTGCGCTTTATGGAAGGCGTCGGGGCCCGGAGGCCGTGCACCGTTGCGACGAGCGCGAGGAGGCGGGCGTGCATCGCTGTGTCGTGTTTGTGGCACGTGAGAGCGTCTTGCAAGCCGGAGAGCCTGCTGTCTTATTGCTGCAAATCGTTACTTGTTGCGGGACCGTCGCGCGGTGCAGCGATCGTAATCTATGTGCGTCACCTCAGGTGTGTTGCTGCTTAATTTTGCAGGGCTTGCGCGCCACCACTGCACCGGGCAAAATGCTGCTTGCTCCATGAGCTAGTGTCTTACCTGTAAGACAGGCTAGCGCGTCCATCATCCGAGAGTTCCATCATCACGAGAGGCTCCAAGATACCTCCCTTCTACTACGGTTCCTCCTTGAGTTTTCCTCCGAGCTCGTGCGGCGACTGGACAGGGCACGACCAAGCAACTCGCCTAAGACTCAAGTATGATCACGATGACTTATAGGATAGGAACGCGCTCTAAAGGAGCAATTTGGCCGGCGCCTCGACGAGCGCCCGCAGCGCCGCCAGCCACGCGGCGCCGACCGCGCCGTCGACGACGCGGTGGTCCGCCGCGAGCGTCGCCGCGAGCTTGGGCTGCGACACGACCTTCCCGTCGACGAGCGCCGCGGCATCGACGACGGCCCCGAGCGCCAGGCAACAGGCCTGCGGCGTGTGCACGACGGGCGCCGCGCTGCTCAAACCGAACGCGCCTAAGTTTTGTACCGTCATCGTACCAGCCATGTAGGGCGATTCATCCTCCATCGCCGTCGCAGAGGCAGTAGCGACATCCTTCAGCGACATATCTTCGACACCAATCAGGACCGGCGCCCGCAGACCCTCACCGACGCCCACGACTAAGTTGACGTCCACGCGCTGGTACTGCCTCACGACGCCATCGAGCCACGACGCGTTCACGTCGGGAACGGCCACCGCCGCATTCGCCGCCGCCTTCACGAATAGGTCGCCGAGGCCGATCTTCGCGTCTTCGCCCGCGTTGAGCTCCTCCAACAGCTTTAGTGCTTTCCCCACTTGTATGTCCATCGTCAGGTAGTAGTGCGGCGCCGTCTGGGCCGAGTGGGCGAGCTTCGCGGCTAGATAAGCGGCTTCCGGCGAGATGGCGTAGTCCGACGCGTGCGCTTGGGCGACGCCGGCCTGGGCCGGGGCATTGTGAACGTCGTCGAAGGTGACGCGGCCGCCGGGGCCGGTGCCGACGATGCGCGACAGGTCGACGCCCTTGGCCTGCGCCTCCTTGCGGGCGAGCGGCGACGCGGCGACGCGTCCGCCTGACGGCGCGGCCGGCGCCGGCGCTGCTACCGGGACGACGGGGGCGGCGGCCGGCACGGCGGCCGGTGCTGGCGCCGGCTCCGGCGCGGCGGCCGGCGCCGGCGCGGGTACAGCGCCGGCGGGAGCCTCGAAGTCCGCGAAGGCGCCCACGTCCGCCGCATCCTCGACCAGGACCACGGCCGGCGTTCCTACGGCCACCTCGGTGCCCGGCGCCACCAAATGCTTCGCCACGACCCCATCGTCCTGCATCTCCCACTCCATGGACGCCTTGTCCGTCTCGACCTCCGCTATGCTATCGCCGGCGCCGAAGGCGTCGCCTTCCGCGACGTGCCACCGCGCGATCGTCCCGGTCTCCATTGTTGGGGAGAGCGCGGGGACGCTTACCACATTGTGCGGCGGGAGGGCGAGGCGGCGCTTGGCGACGGGCGTCGCACTCCGCAGTGCTCCACGCGCGCCGCGCAGGAGGCGCGCCGCGAGCATCCTTCCGCGGCTACTGGAGCGTTTTTACGGCGCAGACGTGGTTTTTGCGGGCCGAGCGGCGTGGCCGCGCAGCGAATGAGTTGTTGTCGCAACTGGCAAGCGCCACGTGCAACGAGGACGCCGTCTCCCGCGGCTTTTATCGTGTGGTTTGGAAGACCACCTAAATAGCGGGTTTTTCGGTCGTGTAAGGAACCCGCATTGCAGGACTCTCGGCGGGTCCTCCACGTACAGCTACTACGAAACAAACGGCGTCGGCCGGCTCGCGCGTGCTTGCTAGTATGTTACAGGTCGCTAGCTAGCCGGCAAACCGGGCGCAAAACGAGCCTATAACTGCGCCGTCCACGCGTGTGCGTGCGATTTGTGGTACTCCACATCAGCGCTCAACTCCCAAGCACGGCTTCGCGAAGTAAAGCGTGCAGCCAAGCACACACAGCAGCCCCAGCACGCCGTCGACGCCACAGCAAAGCGAAGCGATGGCCGGCCGCGACGCGTCCCCGCCGCGCCAGACGCTGCGAAGGCGCCACCGCTCGAGCGGTTCCTTGGACGACTTCTGCGACGACCGCTCGCCGAGCCCCCTGCCGCACATCCACCGGAACCGCTGGGTCGCCACGTTCACTTACGTCACGAACTGCGCGGCGGGCTGGGCCCTGACGAAGCTGTTCGTGTCCATCGTGGAGCAGTCGCGCTACGGGCTCGGGGTCTTTTTACTTACGTTGCTGCCAAGGTTGAATCGTTTATCTCATTTGGTTTTAAGGTGGCCTCTCTTAGTTCTGGTCTACGCTCTCGTGGGGGTCGAACTCATCCTCTACTTTCTACTGAGGACACTAGTGGCAGCATTGGAGCTCGCAGTGGCTTCACCGACCCACAGACGACTGAGAAGTGCATTGAGAAGAGCCGACGACTACGCCCAGTGGTTGGCCTGTGCGCGCGCATTAGATGCGTCGCGAGGAGTCGCCCTGTGGCAGGCGGACCTAAGAAGCACGAGATACAACTGGCCGTTCGTCCGGAGGCTCCGAGCGAGACTAAGAACCGCCCGATCACAAAATGATTGGAGAGGAGTAGCAGACACGCTGCGACTCTGCTCGCGACCGAACGTCGGCGGCATCATGGCGCCGGAACTCTTCGCGGTGTCCTACGCGGGGGCCCCCAAAATTGTGGTCACCGACTTCGTCGACGAAGTTTGTAGTCAGCGTCCCTAATCATGCGTCGACGTCGTCGACGCGACTCGTCTCCATCTCAGCATGAAGTGGGTGGTCTCTTTTGCGATTTTGAGCCGATTCGGACCGCGTCGGGGCCGTTGCTGCGTGTCAGAGAGCGCGCGGCCGCGGCGATGCGTCGTCGCGAGCGTCCACGCGCCTCCATCGCAGGTCGCCGCGAGCGTCGACTGGCTCTCGTCGACCTGCTCCGACGACGAGCGCACGAAGGTCTGTCGCAGTCTCTTCGGCGTGGCCAGAGAGGCGTACGGCGCCACCGCGTTGGCGTTGAGCGGTGGCGGCGCCCTCGGAACTTATCATTTTGGAGTGGTAAGAGCCTTACACGACGCGCGCTTGCTCCCGGACGCCATCTGCGGCACGTCGGCTGGTTCGATTGTGGCGTCGTTTTGCTGCTGTCGAAATGACTCGGAACTCGCCCGCGACTTGTATGACGATTCTGCACTCTCGTCGAACTTGAAATGCTTCGAGAGCACGCCCTGGGAGTGCTTGAAACGACTCTACAAGCACGGTGCTTGTTATGATAGTGAAAGGTGGATGGACATCGCGCGGTGGTTCGCGAACGATGCTGCTATTCAGAATATGACGTTCCTCGAAGCGTTTGAACGGAGCGGACGGGCCCTGGCGATTACCGTGTGTGCGACGGGCAAGAAGGCGCCTCCCGTTTTACTCACGCATAAGACGTCGCCGCACGTCGTCATCATCAGTGCCATCGTCGCTACTTCCGCGGTACCTCGACTCCTACCGCCGCAAATTCTGCTGGAGAAGGACCCGTCTACTGGCGAGTTACGGCCCCAAGCCGGTTCCGAGTTGTATATCGATGGAAGTATAGCACATGACATCCCGGCAGCAGCTTTGAGGGAGGCCTTCAACGCGAGATTTGTGGTCGCGTCGCAAGTCAATCCACACATGCAGCCGATGTTCTACCACGCGCATGGAGATGCGGGAGAGCCGAATCGCTGGGGTTCCGTGGGCGAGGCGTCCTGGCGCGGCGGCTACGCTCTGGCTGCCTTGGAGTTGTTCCTTAGGAAAGACATGGCCGCGAAGCTCGAGTTTCTGCGCGACGTCGACGCCACTCCCGGTTGGAGCGGTCGAGTGTTCACGCAGTCGCCCAAAGGGTGCGTGACGATCACGCCTCGCCTACGATGGTCTGATGGCTTTCGGTTGTTCTCGAACCCGACATCTGCTTCATTAAGGAGCGATTGCCGCGAAGGCCGCGTCGCGACGTACCAGAAGCTGGCCATGCTGCGGACTCGAGTGCACGTCGAGCGGGCCCTGCAGGACGCCTGCGCGCAGTTGCACGTCGACCGCTCGGCGGATAGGACCGGAGGCTCGCTGGCGTGGGCCACACCCCAAACGCTCGCCGACTTCCCCGACGTGCGCGACACGGCCTACGACTCGGGCGCGGACTTCGCCGACGACGGGCTCTGATTAATATTTCTGTTGTATGAACTATCGTCAACTCCGAGCACAGCGACTAGCCCCTAGAAGTACTAGACTGCACTACAACACTCTACTGGCATACTGCCATATCTACTACTTTATCTACACTTTATCTACTGCACTCTAGGGTGCGATTTACGCGGAAAAAACGCGTAAGTTACACGTAAAGCACCGCTACAGGAGATCCCACGTAAAAAACGGCGTAAAAAAGGAGGTATCCAAAAGTCCTTCCAGGGCTCTTCCCGAAGCCGGCGCTAGCGGCCCTCTAAGCTTGACGTACTAGCCCACACTAGCTGCTCTCATGACGCCGGCGTGCTCTCAGGGGGCATACTCGGCCTCTATTCGGTCGATTGGAGCGCGGATTGGCGGTGCGGGCCCGTCCGTGGTCCCGACCATGGCGCGGGCTGCCGCGTTGCAGTCCGCGGCCGCATTGACGAGCATGAGCACCCTGAAACCACACGCTCTCAGAAGCGATACTCTCCCGTTTCGCGAGATGGGCCGTCCGCGGCGCATGCCCGCGCTCCGAGGCCGTCTCATGGATGTGCCCCGAGGCGCCAACCTTCGTTGAGGCCCCAACACCTCATGCCGACCGTCTGCGGCACGTCGCCGACGACACGGTGTCGTACGCGACGGTGAATGGGCAGCAATTGGCGTACCTACGGATGAAGTGCGGCCTCGGCACTTACCACCAGGTTGCCTCGACTCGTCAATTAGGCTCCATGGTAATAGAAAAGTGTGTTTTTGCACTTAAAACGTCGCAGCGCGCGGTGCCGCGCCGGGAGCAGAAACCCCGACTCTTCGGCCGCTCCCACGGCCTCAGGGCAGCCTTCTGGTCTGTGTCGATAGCCCATAGACGGGGTTTTGTGCCTTCGTAGGCTAAGGGTAACAAATGGCTCGCCGGAGTCTGTCCCAAAGAATACCCGTTTAGTAATAATAGGAATTAACATTTTTAGGAGAAAAAGTGACAGATAGAGGGTTTTCCCGAGCAACCAAGCGGTCCGCGCAGCTCCCACGAACCCCGCGGAGGACCGTGCTGACAGGTTTTGGTCGTGGAGCCCATTTCGCTATTCGTCTACACCTTGTCGAGCGCACCTCGTTTGACGCCCGCGTTTACAATCAAACCTCATCGCACTACAAAACCCTGTTGGTCACTCGTTCGTGGGTTCTGGGCGAACGTCATATCGCAAAAGCGCTGAGCAACGACGTCGTGCGGCGACGTACGGAGGTTGCGTGCTTATGGGGCAGTGCCGCACGGCACCGCCGTCGCATCGCCCGGGGGAAAAAAGCCTGCCCCCATCAGCCCTTGGGGCACGGACGGCGGCGCAGCCCTTACGGGGCACCCAGGCAGCCGCACCGCCCACGCCGGCACATGAGGCAGTATTGTGCCTCGCGTGCCGGCGTGGGAGCTAGTAGGCAGTGTGGGCTAGTACGTCAAGCTCTAAGACTCTAGCTCGCGATCAGCAGCTCGCAGAGTGTGGCTGCCCCAAACGTTGTCAGAGCCGAGCCAATTGCTAGTTGCATGCTGTTGCGAGCAAGGTGTGCACTCTAGGTGTGCGCTTATGCGCCGTGCTCGTGCTGCTATTGAGCTGCGTGGCCACCAAGGCCTTGTTTAGGGGCTCTGGCTGCGTGTGTGCGGGTTTTATAAATAAATGCACGCGTAAATTACGCGTAAATTACGGCGTAAATGACGCTGGGCCGTTTCTCACGTAAAGAACGCCGTGCGTAAATCGCACCCTAGACTGCACTGGCACTTCATACTGCCGTGATCGAGCCCCGTGTCCGTTTTGCAGGCGGCCCGTGCTCTTGGGCGAGCTCGCGCGACGACCGGGGGGCATGTAAAATCGCGTAGCCGTTGTAGTCAAACACACTTACTCAGAGGAGGTAGTCCGCGACGAGGGCCCGCTCGCCGCCGGCCCCCCTCACTTTTAGCCGCCCGTCCGGCAGCAGCCGCACCGGTTTTACAAGCTCGCCGGTCTCGCGCAGCTCCAGGTCGGCCGCCCAGTCCACGCGCGCGGACCAGTCGGTTATCACGCTCGTAGCGTCGTCCCGGTCCTGGCTCCACGCGCCGAGGCCGTCCGCGATGCTCTGCGCGATGGCAAACGCGTCTCCAGGAATTTTCGCGGCCCGTCGACCTCTATCCGGTCCCGCCGACGGCACGGCCGGCGCGGAGGCCACGTTGACCCCCACGCCGACGTAGATCGCGTTTCCATCGGACTCGACCAAGATGCCCGCGACCTTGCCGCCCTCCAACAACACGTCGTTGGGCCACTTCAACGAAAGTCGTGAGTCATTCAAAGCGTCGATGACGACGGTGCCCACGCGTAACGGTAGTAGCGTGATCGGCGCCAGAGGTATTTCTGATGGAAATGCCACGGTCAGCGCGACGTTCCCGCGTCCGTCGTCGGTCCAGCTTCTACCTCTCGTCCCTCTTCCTTTCGTTTGATGCGCCGTCGCGACGGCGAGGGGCCGCGCGTCGGTGTCGCCGCGCTCCTTCAAAAGGTCTTTCGCGGCGTCCATCGTCGACGGCGTCGTCTCGAGCCAGCGCCAGTCGACGGTGCGGCAGGTCGTGGTCATGGCGCGGGTTTGTGTCGTGATGAGGGTGAGGAGGCTTGTTGCGTGGGTGCGGCGCATCAATGTGGTTAGCATGTGCAGTGCTGCACAGCTTGTTTAGCGCTGTGTGGTGCCACGGAGCGATTGGCAATTGGCGTTTTGTGATCTTTGATGGCCTCTGACCAATTCTACTGATCCGTACGGCCGCGACGGCCGCGGACTGGGCGTTTTTGCGGGGCCTTGGCAGAGAGGAGCCTCTCCCACGAAGCCCTCCCTCACTCTCCCTCTGCACGCGTCAACCCGTTCGAGACAGAGTGCTCGGTGAGCTGACGGCTTCTGAGGGACGGATGAAGGAGGTCCGGGAGGGCTTGAGGAGCTGAGGAGCTGTGACGGCGGAGCCAATTGCAGTGCCGCAGCGGGCCTCTAAGCACCCCCGTGGCACACACGCTTGCTCAGCAAAGAGCACAGCTCGACGCCAGCAACGCGATACGAAAAACGCGACGACGATGCGCCGCGTAGCAGCATTAATCGTCGGGGCACTCGCTGGGACTGCTTCAGCCTTCCAGCCGGCGCGCACTTCCGCGCCGCGCGCCGCGCCCCTGCAGTCGATCAAGATCAACACGCGCTCCGGCGAAAGTGTAGACTCGGTCATCATGCGCCTGCGGAGAGAGGTCAACAAATCGGGCCACCTCCGGACCCTGAGACACAAGCGCTTCCACGAGGACGCCCGCGAGAAGAAGAAGCGCAAGGTCGCCGAGGCGCGCCGCAAGATGAAGTTCATGCGCCAGCGCAAGCGCCGCTCGCAGCAGCAGGGCCCGTGAGCGTTGACGGCGGGCGCGTAGCGCGGTGGGGGCGCTTGCTTATATGACGTGTATCCTTCTTAGCCACGGCTCGCCCACGATCGTCGCTCCCACGTCGACGGCCCCATCGCCGCGACCTCGTGTCAGCTCGATGGCGCGGAGGCTCCCTCACGTCGGCCAGGCGACGCCATCGACGCGACGTCTTCGCGGCGGCCAGCCGTCGCGCGCCATCGATTTACGTCGTAACGCGCCGCGGGGGCGCGCTCGAGTTCGGTAGCGTGCGGGTATTTAGCGCTCAGCGCACCAAGTTGGGGCTGTCTTTGCGGCGCACACACGCGTGCCTGGACTCCACCCCACGAAGAAATACGCCCCTACGCCAAGCAGCGCCGCAGCGAGAAAGGGCAGCGTTCACGCCGCCGGGGAGGCTCCACACCAAGGAGAGCATTAACACAAGCCCACACGCCGCCACCATGGGCAAGGCCGAGGCACGGGCCCTGGCACAAAACTACATGAGTAGAATTGTGGACCCGGTCATCAACCCGGCCATCTGCTACGTGCGGATGCAGAAACCAAAGCCCGACCGTTGCTGCGAGTGTATACTCGACTATTTGAAGAGCTTGCAGGACGGCGACCCTTTATCTCCAGATAGATCATCCCTGAAGAAGCCCAACGTGGCCATCCCCGACGACCAGTCGCAGATCATCGCCAAGTGTCTGGCCGAAGTGATTGGGCAGCAGCCGTCGAAGGACGACGTGCTGGGGTTGCTCGTGAAGGCCTTCGAGAAGGCGGTGGAGGGCTAAGAATCTTCTGTTAAGGGTTCCGGAGAGAGGACTTTCCGGCAATTTTGTTGGGAGCACTCGTCGCCCTCTTTCCCGTGCATTTGCTCGTAGGTCGTCTGGTCCGTGCAGACGAGCGACGAGTGCATGATGAGCATGCAGGCGATCCAGACGTCGTGCAATATTGCTAATAAAGTGCCGATGAAGACCGGGGCGTTCTTCGCGGGGAAGAGGCAGACGTATTTGCCCTGGACGTCGTCACATAACCTCACCAAAGGTAGGACGAGTAGCAAGTGTAAGGATATCGCCAAGACACAAAACACCAAGAACGCATAAAAGTACCGGTAGTTCCGCTCGCCGACGACCGTCGCGACGAAGGGACAGTAGTGGTCGAAGCGGCGCACGCACCGCTTCAGCGTCGGGTCGTGCTTCGCGCGCGCCGGCCGCTGGATGAGGCACGTCGGGCAGAACGTCTTCTCGCTCAAGCGGTCGCGCCGCGCGAGGTCGACGATCTTCGCCGCGCGGTCGTCGTCGGCACATACCACACCTGCGTGGCGTCGATGGCGTCGCGGCCGACGCTCGCTCCGTCGCGGCGATGGCGTCGTCGATGGCGTCGGGGCCGACGCGAGCCGACGCGACGGCGCGCCGGTGGCGTCGGTGTCGCCACGCCATCGACGCGACGTAAAGGGACGCGGCCGCATACCGGGGTCCGACAGCGCCGTCATGCCCAGCGCACCCAATAAACAAGATACAAGCACGGCGTACAACACGACCAGACCAATTCCGACGTCCTCGACGAGGAAAAACGACCGCACGATGGCCAAGACCGACCCGACCGCGAAGCCGCAGTGGCCGTAGCGCGGCGCGTCTCTGGGAGCGAGAAACGCGAAGGAGAACGCGCTGACGACCGAACAGCCCATCCCCACGTGCCAGCCGTACCTCGCGATGAGCGAGGGCCCGCCCAATAGCACAATACAGGGCGTCCCGAGACCGTACAAAGCGTCCCTACAAGCTAATGGACCACTCCTCAACTCAACAGCGAACGGCAAGGGTTTCAAGGGTGCCATCCTTTCCACCAGAGGAGCCTCCACATCCTCATTTTTCCGCGCCGTCGTCCAGGGCCGCCTTTTGGACGATGTCGAAGCGAGCGTGCGGATGTGCCGCGCACAACTCGAGTGGCCCGCCTGCTCGGCGACCTTGGCGGCGGTGTGGCCCTCACTGTCTTCGGCTTCACAAGAAGCGCCTTTTTCGATCAGCAATTCCAGAGCTTTGGCTTCCACGCCTCGCTTCGCGGCGACGTGGAGTGGTGTCCGTTGTTGTTTATCCGCAAAAGTAGCGGAAGCGCCGAAGGCTAGTAACAACCGCAAACAATCCAACGCTTTCTTCGGCCGCGACCAGTACCACTCGCAGCAGACCATTAAAGGAGTCATCCCATTTCCATCTGGTAAGTCGACGAGGCCTCGTTGTACCGATGGCGGGGCGTCGTCCCGCGCGATGAGGAAAGCTAGGATGGCCACTTGGCCATACCGACAACAGAGGTGCACGGCCGTGCCGCCCTCCTTGCCGCGGTGCGTCGGGTCCCCGCCGCTTTCTCGGAGCAACACGGCGCAGCTGCTCCGCCCCTGCCGGCAGGCCCATTGTAGAGCGTTCTCCTCCAAAACGCCCCCGACGGCGTTGCAGTCCGCGCCTCTCTCTAAAAGGAGCCTTACGACGTTGTCTCGCCCGTTGATCGCCGCCCACTGCAATAACGAGCAGCCGTCCTCGTCCTTGGCGTCCGGCGTGAGCTTGCCGTCGTCGAGGAACGCCGCGATCTCGTCGGCGCGGCCGTACTGCGCCGCGGCGCGCGCGTCGTTGATGATGGAGCCCTCGCCAGCGACGATTTCACCGGCGACCGCGGGCGTCGTCAGCGGGTCCTCGGCCATCGCTGCGCGTTTGTATTGTATTTTTTTGGTGCTGGGCTGGATGGGTTTTTTATTACGCCGAGCGTGGCGTTATCGCTTTCTCGCTGCCGATCGCTGCTGTGTGATCGCTGTCGGTTGTTCAGCAGGCACCGGTTATGCAAATAGCGCACGCCTTTGCCCGTAAAACGCTGCGCGGCTCGTGTGCTAACTAGCGGCCTGTAACACACTAGCCAGGAGAGCAAAAACAGGTCCCTGCCCGCGAGCCGCGGAGGGAGCTTTCGCACGTTTCCATACGCCTCCGTCTCGCCCCCTACCCGTCCCGAGCAGCGCGTGCAAATGCGACCCGACGACCCCGACCCCGATGCAAGGTTTGTAAACAGCCTCTCGCAATTCGTGACCGCGGTACACGGCGCACGAATCTCTGTCGCACGCAACGGTCGCGCGGAGACCCCCTCCGACCGGCTGCTGACGGCCTGCGGGCTGCCATTCGGCCCTACACGGCCGCCTTGGGCAGCCCCACATCACCTCGGGCTGTGTCACCGGTCGACCGAGATGGGCCCGCGCGCCCTTGTCCTCGCGCTGCTGCCGACGGCGGTGGCGGCGAACAAGGGCAACGAGGTCATAAAATTCGTCGTAATTGGCGCCGCGGTCCTCATATTTTTTGGCTTGATCATCTACAGACAGTACAAGTACGCGACGTGGAGCGCGAAGCGCTCCACGACCGTCACGGCGCCGGCCGGGAAGGCGGGACTGCTCTTCGACGCGACCACGGCGCCGCCGACGGTCACGGGCCTCGCCGCGCTGTCGCCGCTGCGTGGCGAGGTGCAGGTGGGCTGGAAGCTCGCGAAGGTCGACGACGTCGACGTGTCGGAGATGACCGGCGCGGCCGCGACGCGGCTTCTCGAGGAGCGCGCCGCACACGCGCGCCGCCTCGAATTCGACCGCACCCTAGCACCACTCCCGAACTACAATCATGGGGGTTGAATCCGGCCGGGCGCGCGCGAGGGCTTGGGCGTTCTCGCAATTCGACGGGTCGACGGGCCTATTATTGGCGACGTCGACTCACCCCAGCAATTCAAGCTCCTTCCGATGACAACTCTTCGCGTCTTTCGTCGGCGCAATGTCGCGAACGCAGGAGTGTTTTTCGTGACTCCCCGCGGGCTTGCGGAGGCGCAAAAACGCCCCGGCGACGCGCGGTTCCTCGCACCGTCACGGGACGCGCCACCGAGGCCGGGAGTATATATAACCGGCCTTACACGACCAAACCTAGACCTCCTCCGTCATCTCGACCGCGCCCGCGCCGTCGGTCTTCTTCGCGTCGCCGCTCGCGTCGGGCCGGAAGCCCGGCAGGCACTCGACGCAGGCGCAGGGCCCGCACTCCGGGTTCGGGCAGCAGCAGTCCGTGAACTTCTTGCACTCGTAGCAGGCGCAGACGGTCCAAACGAGGCCCAGCGCGGCGATGAGGAAGAAGGCCGCGGCCTGGATCACGTAGGCGTTGTAGTTCGGGTCGTCGTCGCGGTCTGCGGGGGCGGGGGGCGCGTGAGCTCGTCGCGCGGCTTTCGCGTCTTGCACGGCGGCGGGAGCTAAGGGGGGATTGCCTCGCGTCGCCCGCTCGCGCGGCGCGGCGGGCCGGACGGCCCACGGCGCGGGCGCGGCGGCCACTCGCGTCGCTCTCGCTCGGCGCGTCTCAGCAACCGCGGTCCGTCGCGAGGGGCAACCGCGAGCGAGCGCGCCGCAGCGGCTCGACCGCGAGGCCCCTGCGCCGCGCCGCGCCGCGCCGGCGCGGGGCGCCGCCGCGCCGGCCGCGGGCGCCGCGCTTGGTTGTCAGGGAGAAGGCTTTCAGGCGAGGCGGGGGGGCTGCCGTCTCCACTCACCGTCCTCGAGCAGCCTCCGGCCCTCGCCGAGGAGCTCCCACATCATGGCGGCCGCGCTCGCCCGGGCGTCGTTCGCGGGGGCAGCGGCGGCGAGACTCAGCCTCGCGGAGATGATGGGTTTGTGCCGCGGGCGGGTTGCCCCCCGAGGCCTCGGCGGTCGCAGGCGTCCCGGGCGGCATGCACGGCTGCGCGGACGACTCGGACGAAAAACCCGTCTCGCCTTTGTGTTGACCATCATATACGGCGAGATTAGCTGAGATTGCCACATCTCGCGCGTGAAACTTGGTAGTGATCGCTGCCTCATCCCGAGCGCGTCCACCCCGGAAACCGGACCTCGCTGCACCGCAGCGCTCGTGGAAAGCAGCAACTCCAGCAACTCCAGGCAGTAGCGATGTTGCTCCGCGCGACCCAGCGCGCCCTGCGCCGCGGCGCGCGGCAAAAGTCGACGGTCGTCATGATGCGCCACGGCGAGTCGACCTGGAACCTCGAGAACAAGTTTACTGGTGCGGATCGCGGCGCGGAACGTAAGCGGCCTTCTTCTTCGTCCTAGACGAGAGGCCTCCACGCCGATCGGACGCCGTCGAGCAGCCGCGAGAGCAAGCGGGCCCGCCTCCCACGCCGTCGAAAGCAGTCTTCGCGCGCAGGCTGGTACGACTGTCCGCTGTCCGAGAAGGGCCACGAGGAGGCCACGGAAGCTGGCAGGTTGGTCGCCGCCGAAGGGTTCAAATTTGATGTAGCGTTCACGTCTACGTTCAAGCGAGCCATCCGCACCTTGGACCACGCCCTGGAAGAGACGGACCACATGTGGATTCCCGTGACGAAGGCGTGGCAGCTCAACGAACGCCACTACGGGGGCCTCCAGGGTCTGGACAAGCAGCAGACCGTCGACAAGCACGGCATCGAGCAGGTGACGGTCTGGCGACGTTCGTATGATATTCCTCCTCCGGATTCGGACAAGTCCTCGGAGCACTGGCCCGGGAATGATCCCAAGTACGCCAAGTTAGATAAACATGTCATGCCCACGACCGAATCGTTAGCTACTACTGCCGCGAGAGTGGTCCCGTACTGGCAGCATGTCATCGTTCCTGAATTAATTGCGGGCAAGGACGTGTTGATCGCGGCCCACGGGAATTCCCTGAGGGCGCTCGTGCAGTACCTCGACGGCATTCCGAACGACGAGATCACGGAGCTGAACATTCCGACGGCGACGCCTCTCGTGTATGAGTTCGACGACGCCCAAGAGCCGATCCCGCAGCCGGACGCGATCGCTCCCTTGCAGGGGCGCTACCTCGGCGACCAGGCCGCTATTAGAGCGCGCATCGAGGGCGTCAAGGCGCAGACCAAGTGAGTCGTCCTCCCGTCGCGCCACGGTGTTTACTAGTAGGAGGTGCATACTAAATCGAAGGTCTAACTAGTGGCGTCGCGGACGGGAGTTAAGCTGTGAACAATTATATACAAGAGCTATGTGCAAGATCAGGTCGTGCAGTGGGGCTCGTCGCCGTCGCCCAGTAATGGCGTCGGGTACGGATGCAACAAGGACAGGAGTAGTAGGGGAGGGCGCGGCAAATGGACCAAAGCGTCGGCGCCGCAACTCCCTCTACATATTCCGGAAGGCCACGCGTAGGCCACATAATTTTTTTTGGGGGGCTTTTCAACGGCCCACGCCGAGGGTAGTGAAGAAGAAAGGGGCACGTACTTGACGGAGAAGGGCTCGCCGCGCCGCCGCGCCAGCCTCAAAGCCCGCCGTAATTCGTAGGCCGGCATCGCGATTGAGGAAGGCGGCGGAAGTGGAGGCGCCGTCGGCGCGACGTCGCCCGCCTTCTCGTTGTGCAGCGCCGTGGCGCCGTGGTCCTTGCCACGATCAAAATAGTTCCGCGCCGCGTAGAACTCGAAGTAGCGGCCCGTGTAGTTCGAAGCGTCGAGCATTTTTCGAGCATAGGGGGGCTGCTCGTGCGTGATGTCGGCCAAAAAGTAGAGCTCGTCGAAGACCGACCCCGACGTCCCTTTCCGCTCCAACCGCACCATGCCGCCGCCGAAGCCAGAACACAGCATTGAACGACTGTCGCGGCACCACTTCTGCAAGAGGCCCGTCGGGACGATCAGATGGTTCCCTCCCACGCCGTCGAACTGCCTTACGTTGCCGTACATGGTGCTCGACGCCATGGCCATGAGTCCCAGGATCGGCGCCAGGAAGCCGTAGCCTATTCCTCCAACAATGACGGCGCGCCGCCTTAATGTCACGTCGGCGGAACCGGTGATCTCAGGGGCCTCCTCGAAGAGCGCCCTCGATAAATAGGCCCAGCCGAGCCCCAGGAAGAGCAGGCCGGCCGTGTCGAAGGCCGCCCGGTGCGCGTAGATATATAATAATGCTGAAAACGCCAGCGGCACGCACGCACGCCGGGCCGCGGGCCGCGCCGGGGCATCATACGCGGCCCGGAGCGACCCCGGGAGGAACAGGACCAATCTACAGCACATGGCGATGCTAAAGCCGCCGGCGTAGGTCACGGGCATGAGGTTGATGAGGAAGTGGAACGCGAGCGCGACGGGCACCGCGGATCGGTGCTTCGCGAGTAATAGGGACGGCACGAGGAACTCTATGATAACAATCTGCGCCGGCGCCGACGCCAACAAACCGCGGGCGAATGATGATGAAGCGGGCACGCGGGCGCCGAACAATGCGGCCGAAAGCTCGGCGACGAGCGTGGCCGCGCACGAGACCTTGGGGTCGAGGAACCCGGTCGTCAGCTTCCAGAAGGCCGCGGAGAAGTATAGCGTGATCAATAACGCCTTGACTGAAGGCAGGAAGCGACCCCGCATCAGGGCCTGGTTTTTTGCGCATCCAAACACCGCCGCGATATACGTCAGCTCCGTCAGCGCGACCCAGCACATGTAGTCCCAGACGGCCGGCATGCGCGCGGCCCAGAATATGACGTTGACAACGTGGGCGACCATCACCGCCATTTGTGAAGACGGTCGGGCGGCCGCCCAGACGATGAAGGGCAGGCGCAGCGGCCAATCATAGATGGAGAGGGGGCGCTGGTCCATCGCGCCGGCGATTCCCAGAAGCTTGTCGGCGAAGGGCACCAGATTATGTAACACGAAGGCCCAGGCGTACTCCTCGTGCAGGTCGTCGTCCGACAGCCCCTGGTCAGTGATTTTCGGCCTTGGGGCAGCCTTGGTGCCCGCGGGTCCCGCCGCCGCCGACCCTGCAGCCCGCATCGTGCGACGCCGGTCGCGTCGACGGCGTCGCGCGCGGCCGGTGCCGCGGTGGGGCTTGCAAGCTGCTGTGTCTTAGCCCGGAGCTTTCCCGCGTCGACGGCGTCGCGCGGTGGCGTCCGCGTGTTTTTACGTACACCAAACACCAAGCTCAGCCGGCGAGAATGGGCTGCACAAGGGCGGCTGTGGCGCGGCGAAGCGTCGACGGGGCAGCCAGCCAGTCTGGCATGCGGAGAGCAAAAGCAGCTCCTGAACCGCGAGCCGCGGAGGGAGCATTCGCACGTTTCCATACGCCTCCATAGCGCCCCCTACCCGTCCCGAGCAGCGCGTGCAAATGCGACCCGACTGCAAGCTTTGGTTGCGAGAGGCCTGTTAAAAAGCTTCGTGAGCGCCGTGCACGGCGCACGAAGACGTGCCGCACGCGACGATCGCGCGGAGACCCCCGCCGACAGGCTGCTGACGGCCCGCGGGCTGCCTTGCGGCCCCGACACAGCCGCCTTAGGCTGCCCCACAGTTGCGCCAGCTCGTTCAATAGTTAAGCGGGCACGCACGCAAGACTCATTCAAGGCAAGGGAAGCCATGGCACGAGTAGCGCTCCTCCTCGCGTTCGGCGCACGAGCCTCCGCGAAGTGCCTCTCGTCCGACGCCTTGGAGCACGAGTTCCTCGGCATCACGGGATTGGAGTTCATGCCGTCGGAAGGCAGCTGCTGCCAGTTCGACGTCTGCGGCCTGCCCTGCGCCCAGCCGCACGACCCGAAGAACGCGCCGAAGTTCTACGGACGCAGTGTCGCGATGGCCGTCGCCGCCTTCTGCGCCATTGGCTTGGTGGCGTCCTACTACGTCGGCGGCGACACGGCCAAGTTCTTCGTCGCGGGACGGACACTGCCGCTACCGATCGTGGTGATGACGCTCGCGTCGCAGTGCATCGACGCGAACGCCGTATTAGGTAATGCGGACTTGTCGTATTGGTACCATTTCTACGACGGCGCCGTGTTGCCGATCGGCCTCGGGCTTTCATTAATTCTCAACGGACTCTTCTTAGCCAAGCCGATCAACGAGATGAAGCTCCTGACGCTTCCCGATTTGTATGCGCGCAAGTACGGGAGACTCACGGAGGTTCTGGGGTCGTTGATCTGCACGGCGTCGTTCATCGCATTGCTCGCCGGTAATTTGGTCGGGTGCGGCAAGATTTTAGCCTATCTGTATCCCACGGTGCCGTTGAAGGCCGGCATCGTAACATCGGGCCTGGTCATGCTCCTGTATACGGCGGCCGGCGGTTTGGTGAGCGTGGCGTATTCCGACTGCGCGCAAGCTATGTTCGGGTTGTTGGGCGTGGCCGTGTGTGCGTTGTGGGCGGCGCATCACGGGAACAAGGCGCCGCCGGACTCGATCGGCTTCCCGGGCTACACGTACCCGGACACGTTCGGTCAACGGGTGTGCGACAAGTACGACGGCGTGCCGTGCGAGAACGACGCCGCCAAGTGCTGCTACAACACCGAGAAGTGGTGCCCCTCCGACGACAACTGTCGGGCGGACAACGGCGCGTACTGGTGGAAGGGCGGCGACGCCCGCATTTTTGATTCAGTCAATGAACAGGGCGGCAACCAGATGCTCAATCCGCACTCGCTGACGCCCTTCCCGAACGCGATTTTATTTAATTGGGCGACGGTCTTCATCCTCGCGTTCGGAAACCTGGCCGCCCTCGACTTCCAGGCGCGCTGCATGGCCGCGAAGACGGCGAAAATAGCACAAATTGGATGTCTGATGGCGGGCATCCTAGGAATCATGGTCGCGACGCCCTTCGCGCTCATGGGCGGGGTCGCGCGCTACTACTACGGGCCCGATTCCATGCATGCCGAGTTCGAGGCCGACACGTGTCACCGGGCCATCGACTTCCCGACGTGCGCGCAGTGGATTCCGGACAAGCAGGCCGTGTTGAGGGTGCTCACGAAAGTAGCCCCGAACGTGATCGGGGCCTGGACTTTGATAGGCATCGTGGCCGCCAGCATGTCCACCTCGGACGGCGCCATCCTCGCCATGTCGACGGTGGCCTCGCACAACTTGTTCGCGAACCTGCCGCGCTTCCTGCCCAAGCATTTCGACGCGGACTTGGTGACCACCAAAAATAAATTGACGTTGACCCGGTTCTTCGGCATTCCGTGCACGGTCGCCGCCATCCTCATCGCGTGCTACAAGGCCGACACGACGGGCTACTTGCTAGTCGTAGCGTTCGACATCGTGTTGGCGGGCTGCGTCGTGCCCATTTTCGGGGCGTGCTACTGTAAAACTCCATCGCCCACGGCCGGTCTCGCCGCGATGGTCGGCGGCTCGTTATTACGCATCATCCTCGAGTTCTCGTTACCGAAGGACGGCATGCTCATCGCGCCCTTCGGCGGCGACGAGTTCTTGGATTACGGCAGGCCCAAGAGTTCCTTGTACCCGACGTTCTTCGACGTGCCGGAGGCGGACAAGTGGTCGCGCGACTCGGACCAGTGCGAGCAGAGTCGGTTGGAGGACTGGACGGGCCTGGATAGTATGTTGGCGCCCGCCTTCTCGCTCGTCTGCTTTCTGGTCGTGCACTTTTTGGAGAAATTCGGCGGCGTGACGTTGGTGTCGTCGTGGCTCGTCAAGCCCGTCCCCGAGGAGCTTGATGATGATTTCCTGCCCAAAAAGGCCGATGAGTCTATACCCGAGCCTCCCTCAACACCCGTCAAGCCCAAGGCCCCCGCGGTCCTGCCCAAGGCCGACGAGGAGGCCGCGGCCGAGCCCGTCCACAAGGCCGTCGACGAGGAGAGCGCCGAGGGCCGGGGCTGCGCCGTCGCCTAGCGCCCTGCACATACCACCTGCCACCACCCCCCTGTACGCGCGATGTTTGAGTGTCCCGAGCCGTTCGTAGTGTACAGTCTCCCCAGCAGCAGGAGTAGGCACATGGATCGTCTTGCGCATCCCCCGGTGCCATCGCCTCGACGGCCGCACGGAGGGGCTCGACGTCGCCTTCGCGGGCGCGGAGCATGATTCGCGCGTTTCGGAGGTTGCCCTCAATGTCCACTGTAAGCGGGTGAGCGCCACCGAGGACGCGCCGCGCGGTCCGTTCCGTCTCCTCGAGCGTCGTCACTGCCTCGCGGATATCGTCGAACGTAGCGCCGGTGTCGAGGCAGAGCGTCTTCGCGTAGTTCCACCGCAACAGGAGCGTGAGACGCTTACTCTCGCCGAGAGTGCGCCGCGCCACGGGAATCATTTTGCGCAACAGTGACCTGGCTTCTTCGAACCGTTGTAGATCAAGAAGGGAGAACGCGTAGTTGTTGGCTGCTGAGAGGGTCTCTCCATGTTCCTCGCCGTTGAGGTTCAAACGTCCGGAGTATACCTCTCGCCTCATCGGCAGGGCCTCTTCATCTCGTCCAACCGCAGCATACGTGTTCGCCAGATTGCTCTGCGTGCAGAGAATGTGGTGTTCTGGTGCGCCAAGGCGCCGTAACATAGCCAACTCGGCCTCTCGCACGGACAACGCTTCCTCGTGATGACCAGCAGCGGATAAACCGCTCCCAAGCTGCTGCATCGCACTCTGCCGATACGAATCCCCCTCCGGCCGGCCCAAGTACGTCTTCCAGCACGCCCACCCGAGCGCGCACGCCACGACGCTATGGTATTGTTGCTCGCACAGACCACACGTGTGCCACCGCGCCCACCTCTCATTCTTGTCCTTGGCGCGCAAATTGTTCTCCTTGGCCTCCGCGACCAAAATCTTCGCCTGCTCCGCCAAGCACGACACGTGGGCAAAGCCCGCCGTCCCGCGGCACGCACACATACGCACGAGGCCCTCTCTCGTCTTCCAGTGGAGGGCTTGCGTGCAGATGTAGCACGTCTGGCCCCTCGTGTCGTCGGCGCACGCCTCCGCCGCGACGGCTACGGCCTCCGAGTACTTCGTATTTGCGTTGTATTGCTCCGCGCCACCAGCCCTTTTAATCTTCTTGCAGAGCGTGTCGTGGCCGCCCTCTTTCCAGTGCTGCACCTGGCAGGCTGCCCCGCAGTAGCGCGTGCTGCAGCGGCCGCATTTCTTGCCCAATGACAAGCCAAGCTCGGTGGCGCAGACGGCGCACTGCGTGAGGATCATCTTGTGTATGGTCAAATCGCTCGGGGGCAGCCCTACGATGCAAAAAGGCTTGAAAAGCTTCAAAAGCTTCCCACACTAGTGCCTTACAGCCGCTAGCTGCGGCTGCCGGCCCGCGTGTGAGTTGTAGTAGGCGCTGCGCACAGCTGCAACGCACCCGTAAACTCGTTCACCCATCGAAACCGCGGCCCCACGGCAGCGACACGGCCGGCTCCTGGAGGCTGCCCCAAGCAAGCACAAATGCCACGATGCCGCGCGTAGTCGTCGTCGGCGCGTCCTTCGCCGGCCTCTACGCGGCCAAGGGCCTGCGCCGCGTCGCCGACGTCGTTCTGATTGATGCGTCTGATGAATGGGAGTTCACTCCCGGGGTCCACGAGGTCCTGGGCGGCCGGCGAAAGGCCGAGACGATCCTCACTTCTTTCCATGATGCGCTGCCGGGCGTCGAGTTTGTGAAAGGCGTCGCCGTGGCGGCGCATGAACGCGAGGTCCACGTCGAGTGTGATGGGGAAAGGAAAAGGGTGCCCTACGACCACCTCATTGTTTGCGTCGGCTGCGCCTACGCGCGACCGATCAAAGCTCAACTGGCTTCATTAGATCGGCGGGCGCAGCTCGCCGGCGCCCAACGCGAGTTGGGAGACGCCTCCTCAGTTCTGGTGGTCGGCGGCGGCGCGGTGGGCGTCGAGGTCGCGGGCGAGCTCGCCGCCAATCATACCGTGACGCTGACGGCGCGGGAGAGCGAACTGGTGCGCGATCTGCCGGAAGCGGCGCGGCGCTACGCTCTTGAAGCTCTTCGCTCAAAAAACGTGCGCGTCAAACTAAACGGCGAGGAGGAGCGCGGCTCCTTCGACGCGCGCGTCGCGTGCTACGGCGCCCGGCCGCGGACGGGCTGGCTCGCGACCTTTGTTGACAGAGACGCGCGCGGCTTCGTCCGCGTCGACGATCGCTTCCGGACATCAATGAAAAACGTCTGGGCCGCCGGCGACTGCGTCGCCAAAGACGCCGATCAGTACCTCGCGGCCTACGCCCACTTCGAGGGCGAGTACGTGGCTTTGATGGTGGCTTCGGAAATTTTGGGAAAAGCGCCGCCCGGCGCCTACGTACCGCCGGCGCGGATCGTCGCCCTGGCGCTCGGCCCGGACGATGGGGTGCTGTGCTACGGGCGCGTGGTGGTGTTGAAAGGACGCGCCGTGCCGTGGGTCAAAGCCTTGGTCGAGCGGTGGGTCGTCCGGCTGTGGCCGCTGCCCTACGAATTGTTTCGTCGGCTGCCGGCGCTGGCGTAGTAGGTCCTCCTGTGTATATACTGTATTTATCATTTGTCCCCTGTTGGGCAGCAGGTGGCTGCGATATTTTCCTAGTGTCTTTACAGGCTAGCTCTGTTTTTTGGTCGTTTAGCTTTGTCCGCCGCGCTGAGAGCTATTGAACAAGTACAATACGCCAGCGCTGCGACTCTCTCGCCGCTCGGACGAGCGCTGTCGCGTCGACCAATCTACAGCAGTTGTGTGCCCAAATCAAACTGCCGCGCCGACGACGCCGCAGAAGTGTACGCCAACGCTGCAACTGCGTTGGACGACGCTGCCGCTCAAGCAACTGCAGTTCGTCTGCCAAACCAAAGACAGAGATGGCCGACCGCCGCGCGACCGTCGCGAACCCCTTCGCGGACATCATCCAGACGGCGCAGAAGGCGCCGCGGCCCGAGCCGCTGCGGCCGGCGAACGCCACGCGCAAGGCCGTCAAGAAACCGACGAAGACGCCGGTGCGGTCGCCGATCCGGCGCCGCGACGACAAAGACGAAGCAGCTTTGCGCAAGGAGGTGGCGCGGCTCAAACGCGAGAATTTTTCACTGACGGCGCGGTTAAATGCGAGGGCCGCGGCGCCTCCGCCGGCGCAGGACGAAGCGCCGCCGCCGCCGCCGCCCGCGCCGAAGACGGGCAGGCGCTACAGCGTGTCGACGACGCGCTTTTCATTGGATTCGCGGCTGCCGGCGGCGCGCCGCGCGTCGTTCGCGCTCGTCCAGCCCACGTCGAAGCCGCCTCCACTCATCGAGGAGGCGACGCCGTCGCTGGAGTTCGTGGCCGTGTATGGGGCGTTCGACGCAAATGGCGAGGGCGCCGCGGGCTCGAGCTCCATCAAAGGCGCGTACGCGGCTAGACCACGCGAGCTGTTTGGGCGGGGCGATTTGGCCGTAAACGCGCGCCGCGCGCTGCCCGCGTTCTGCTGCCCCGACGGCGTGCCCTGCCTGTGTGGAAATCAACCAGTGGGTCGGGTGCTCGCGACAACGCGGTCGTGATAACTGAATCGAGTGGTGTAAGACCCACACCACCACGCCGTCGAGCAGGCGTTACGTCGATGGGGTGGAAGTTATGATTCAGCCGTATGAGAAGCGCCGCGAAATTTGATTTCCACACAGGTGCCGCTGGAGATCATGAAAACGACAGCGGCCGAGGCCTACGTGACGGGCGCGCCGAAGGTTCGCGTCATCACTTTGGCTGGTGATGATGCTCCTCTATATGTCGCGACCGTCTCCATAAAAACAATCGAGCGCGTCGCGCCCGCTTTGGTGCGGACGCAGATCCAGCTTGCTGTAGATGAGGACGCGCCGCCGCCAGTACCCCTTGGTGATGACATTTGCGTGGTCGGGGAGCGGACGTTCGCCGCGGCGACGCGCTGTCCGCCGGGGCGGGCGGTCCTCGCGTTTCTGGAGGCCCTCGCGCGCGACGACGACGACATCCTAGCATTACCGCGCGACGCCGTCTTCGAGGCGCCGGAGCGCCTCGCGCAAGTTATTGATGACATTGATCTTGATGGAGACGAATCCCCAAAGACGACGCCGGCGACGATGGCGACGGCGGCCATCGCGGCGGCCGTCGCGACCGTCGACGGTGTCATACTGGCGCGAGCGCTCTCCCTGCTCTTGGGCGAGGCGTCGCTCGTCGTCGTCGGGGCCGACGGGGGGACCGCGGGCGACATCGCGCTGGGCCTGACAGAACTCCTCAAGCCGCTGCGCTGGCGCGGCGCGCTCGTCATGGCTTTACCTAGAGACGACGCCGAGAGTTTGTTGGGCGCGCCTATTCCAATCGTCGCCGGCTGCTCCGAGAGAACATTTGCTTCGCTGGAGGACGTGGACGGCGTGCACGTGCTCCGCTTGGGCGAGAAATGTACGTTGTCCGGTGCGGCGCCGGAGCCGCCGCGAAGCCTCGTCGCAGCGTTCGACGGCGTGTCCTGCGCCGCGCCGCCCCATGTGGGATGGGTCTGCGACGCGGCACTCGTCGCGCCCGCGCGACAGGCTGCTTTTGAATACATCGAGGACCTCGTTGGCGACCTGGCGACGAATTCTGAACGCTACGGCGTCGTCGACCGGGACTCGGGCGATTTTGAATTTGTCCCGGACTGGTTCCTCGCGCCGCGCGAGGCGGCGCTGGTCGCGGCGCGGAAGTTGGCGCACACGCAGATGCTTTGTTCGTTCGTCGCTGAGAGAAGAGTTGCTTCGTCGGGGTGAGTAAGGTTTCGTCGTTTTGAGATACGCACGGGTTTCCCCCCCGACAGACCTGAAGCCTGTGCGGAGGCGATAAGCAAGGAAGCTATGTCGGAGGGCGATGTGGACGCAGTGACAAAGGATACGGGATATGGTCGCGTCTTGGGCGAGATCATCAGGGATTGGGGCGTCGCGTGCGCAAAGCGGCGGGCGGAATGTTTAGCACTTGTGACAGACATGAGCGCGGAAACGGGAACTCCGCGTGCAACGCTGGCAGGTGGAACACCGAAGGCTTTAAGCCCAGAAATTGGCTCGGAGCCATGAAGTACTGCGGGGCCGGCAGGACGCTCTGCGACGTCTCCCAGCCGTGCAAAAGTGGCGGGTGCGCGTACGACAAGATCTACCAGTGGACGGGTGAGGAATGCCAACCCGGCGACGCGAATTACCCGGCCTGGTGCGTGCCGACCCCGACGCCGACGTCAAGTCCTACGGCTATCCCGACGGCCGGGCCGACGGCCTTGCCTACGGCTAGCCCGACGTCCGCTCCTACGGCTAGCCCGACGGCCGGGCCGACGGCCTTGCCGACACCTGTGCCCACGGCCACGCCGACGGCTGGCCCGACGTCGCGGCCGACGCCGGTGCCGACAGTCACGCCTGTGCCCATTCCTGTGCCGACGCCGGCGCCGACGCTCGGGCCTACTCTGAGCCCGACAGTCTCCGCGGCGCCGACGGTCGCGCCTTCATCGGACCCCACGGGCGCGCCGACGGCCGGACCGTCACCCGCACCGTCGAGCACACCGACGAGCGCCCCGTCGTCCGCGCCTACCTTGGCTCCTACGGCATCCTCGGCGCCTACGTCAGCGTGGACGTGCCCGGCCGGCACGTTCTGGAACCGGGAGGGCCAGTGCGAGGCATGCTCTGCCCTTCAAGACGAGTGCAAGGACTGCGAGTGCGACGACTTCTCCGGTGAGTTTGCGGCCGTGGCGAAAAACTGCAAGGCGGCCTGCCTAGTGTAGGCCGCCGGCCGCGGGCTAGCAAGAGCCCGCGCCGCCCTCGACGTAAACCCCGGAAAGGGCCAACAAGGGCCCGTTCCGGGAAGGCGTCGAGACGACTCGCGTGCTCGGTCCCCGTCCCTCATTCCCGTTTCCCCCCGAGCCGCTCGAAGTAAAGAAAGTACATATAATTTACTGACGTCCTGAAGTTGAAAGCTAGTATGTTGATGCGCTAGCTCGGAGTGCCAACAAAGTTTGTCGGACGAGCGTGCGTTCACGGGCCCCTTGAGAGCCACAGCTCTGAGAGCCAGAGCCATGGCCGACGCCGACGCCCCCGTCTGCCGCATCTGCTACGAAGGCAGCGACGAGGGCATTTTACTAACACCATGCGCCTGCACAGGCTCCATCGGTGCTATCCACGCGCACTGCCTCAGTCGGTGGCTAGAGACCCGGCCCGAGTTAATTTCGAGGGGCTGCGACGTCTGCAAGAGTCCCTGGAATTGTGTGAGAACGCCGACGCTGCGCGAGTTTATGCGAGACCACGACTGGCGGAGTACAATGGAGCGGTTGTTGCGGTATATTGTCAATACGCCTTCAGACGATGATGACGAGGCGCGCGCGGCCCAGGCCGCCGCCGCTCTGACGCGATTGGCTCTGCGAGGCGCGGCCTTCTTTCTAGCGGTCAAGCAGGGCCGTGTGGCTCTGAAGTTGTTTGCCGTCGGCGTGCGGTGCGTTTTAGTCGTCGATTCACGCGTCGACGCGTTACTGCTCCCGGGACCGGTCGCGGACTACCTCGCTCTCCTCTTCCCGGGCCTGCCGTGCCTGCAGTCCGCCGTCACGTTAGGACAGGCGCAGCCGCCGCCCTCGTTTTTAAGAAGGATCGTGGCACGAGTGTCGTTGAAAACGGCGCCCGTCGTCGCTGAACAACCTAATCTAGGCACGGATCTGATGGTCGGGTTGTTGATGCTCGCGCTCGATGCGCGCTACCTCAAAAATCGAGTCACGGCGCTGCGGCGGCACGAACCTCTACGAAGCATGGTCCCGCGAGCGCTCGCATTAATCGTAGCGGAGCCCGGCGGTATTTGCGAGGACATCGGGATTATTGTAGATCACCTCGTGACCTCGCCGCTACTCGTCTTACATTGGCTTTGTGTCTTCCCCTCGTACGTCTACGCGCTGCGGTTGTTATTAGCAAGGTGCGGCGTGCTCGCGGCGGACGCTAGAACTTTGGACTTGGAGTCCGGCGAAGGCGTCGCGTGGCACGTCGCGTTGCTCGCGGGGGCGGCCTGCGCGGGGACGCTCGTCACGTCTTTAGTAAGGGGGCTGCTGGGCGAGCAGCGGCGCTGGGCGGCGCATTACGTGCTGCGGGACCTCCAGGGGGCGCGGCCGCGGCGGCGGCGCCCGGGACGCTTCGACTAAGATGATCTGTGTTTGTAGCGTGACTCATATCCTACGTAACATTACCCCCACCCCCCAGATCCGCCGGCCGCTCCTCGACGACGAACGCCTCGAGCACGTCGCCCTCCTTCACCAGTCCTGAAACCTCGGAAGAATGCAAGCCGACGCCGCATTCGAGACCTTTTGCGACTTCGCTCACGACGTCCTTGACGCGCCGCAGCGACGCCACGCCGCGGGCGTCCGTCTCGATGACCTCGCCAGAGCGAGCCACGCGCACGCCCGCGCTCGCCGGGAAGGTGCCTTCCACGATTCGGCACCCAATAACCGTCGACCCATTGTTCAATGTGAAGAGCTGCAGCACCTCGGCGCGCGCCACGTCTTTTGAGATGCGGTCGGGAGGCAGCTTCGAGGACAGGTAGGCGGCGACGTCGTCGACGAGCGAGTAGACGATGTCGTGTCGCGTGTAGGGTACTTCTCGCCTTCGGCAAGCTTCTCGGACCGAGCCAGAGGCGCCCACGTTGAACGCGAAGATGGGCGCGTCAAAAGTTGATGCTAGCTCGACGTCCGACGGAGTTACGGCGCCGACGTCGCATTTTATTATATCAGCGACGGCGCGTTGTGATGGTAAAGCTTGTAACGCAGCTTCACAGGCCTTGGCCTCGGCGTCCGTCGCGACCTTGAGGACGACGGGCGGCCTCAACACTTGTGTTTCCTCCTCCTCGTCGTCAACAGACACGGCAACGCGGTCTGCGACCGACCGCGCCTCGGCCGCCGACCGCCGCGCTTGAATGGCGCGCCCGCGCAGCGACGCGACGCTTCGGGCCGTCGCGGCGTCCTCGACAACGACGAACTGTCCTTCCAAAGGCCCGCCGCCCTCACTACTTAACGCTGCAGAAAATCGGACGGGCGCGCCCGGACCCGCCTCCTTTGTTTGTGCACCCAAGGGGTCCCCTACCACAGATCTAATTTTCCCGTGCCAGTCGCCGCAGACGATGACGTCGCCCTTGCGCAGCGTGCCCCATCTCACGACGCCGTCGACGGTCAATCCTGATTTCGCGTCTGAAGAAACGTCGAGGACGGCGCCCCTGGCGCGCGCGGAGGGATCCGCCCGCAGGTCGCTGACCTCCGCCACGAGCTCTAGGGTAGTTCGCAGCTCATCTAAATCATTATTTTTCGCAGAAACTCGGACGAGCGGAGCATCTCCGCCGTCCTTCTCCGTAGCCAGGCCGCACTGCTCCAACAACTGCAACCGAAGGTCGTCCTCCTTGACGTCGCAGACGTCGCACTTCGTGACGCACACTATGATCGAGGCCTGGGCGTCGCGGCACTGTTTGACGGCTTCTTGCGTCTGAGGCATCACGCCATCGTCCGCGGCCACGACGACGACCCCACAATCCACGGCGTGCGTCGACGCTTGGCGCATGGCCGTAAAAGCGGCGTGGCCCGGCGTGTCGAGGAAGGTCGTACTGCCGACCGTGAACGCGCTCAGGGATTGCGTGATCCCACCGGCCTCTTCTGTCGACGTGCCTCGCAGCGCATCTAACAAAGTCGTCTTGCCGTGGTCGACGTGGCCGAGCACCGCGACGGTGGGCGGTCGCAGCGGTAGTGCGGACCAGTCGTCTCCCGAGGGGTATTGTGAAGCGGCCTTCTCGAAGGCGTCAGAAGCTTCCCGCTCCAACGTTTCAGCTCTCAATAAAGCCGCCTTCGCGTCGACCTCCTCGACCGAGTCCTTCACGACTCGTGCAGCTTTGACGGCCCGCACGACCTCCAGCGTTCGGCCGATCTCCATGGCCACTAACTCGGCAGTGTCGCCGTCGAGGTCGGCGTCGCGTCGCCGCTGCTCCGAGCCCAAAGCGGCCAGGGCCCGTCGGACCACATCAACACCGACACCGAGCGCCCCGGCCACTTTCCCGGCCGTCGTCAGGCCCTTGGAGTTCAATTTCAGGGTAGCCTTCTGCGTCACTTTTGGTTTTCGTCGCACGGGCTGCGCCATCTGGGGCGCGCGGCGTCTCGCTGATTCCCGGCGTCGCCGCGCGTCCTCGTCGACGCGCGGGTCAACAACGGCCGGTGCTGCGGCGGCCGGCGCTGCGGCGGCGCGCTGCGGCCGTCCCGGTCGCGGCTTCGGTCGCGCCCGCGGCGCCGCCGCGCCGTTCGCTTGCGGGGGCCGCGCCTCGGCCTGGGCGCGTTGCTGCCGCGGCGGCGCCTTGCCCTGCGGTTGCGCCTTGCCGGGTCCAGGCCGGCGCGCCGCACCGTCCGCCGGTGGTCGTCGCGGCGCCGGCGCGGCGCCTCTGGGCGCGCCGTCGGCCGGCGGCCGCGGCTTTGCAGAGGGCTGCCGCCGCGGCGCCCCGTTCGCGGCGGCGGCGCGAGCTCTAGCGCGCCGGGCGGCGTCATGGGACATCGGCGGCCGCGGCGGCTGCGGCGCCTTGGGCTTGGGCGCCGTCGACTTGGCTGCTCGCAGCGTGAGCTGGACTGCGCGTCTCATGATGAGGTTTTATTGGTCGGTCATGGCTGGGGTCGAGCGATGCGGGCACGGCTGCGTTGCTGCGTCGTCGAGGGGCTTCACAATCGCTGGGAGAGTCTGCCACCGCTGCATCGAGCTAGCGGACTGTAAGACACACTAGCGAGCTGCCGCGGCCTAACATTGTTACATTTGCCTGCTGTGAGGGCGCAATTACTCGCTCGGGACTCGTTTCACTGTCGCTCTTACAATCCAAACGCGCTGCGCCAGCCGCGAGCCGCCGCGCCGCGCACAAGGCAGGACCCACTCCACACCAGCCGACGGCCGCGCCGCGCCAGCCGCCGCGCGCCCGCCGTCCAGCACCAACCATCAGGATGCCGCGCCGCCTCCTCCTGAGGATACTGACGATACTCCCGACAATCAGTGCGTTTTTCGTGGTCCTCGACGGCGAAAAAGAATGTTTTTTAATAGAACAGCCCCTGGATACGCAACTTACGATTAAATATGAACTCCCCGCGAACGAGAAGACGGAAGACAAGCGCGTGAAAGTCACGCTGACGGACCGACGCACAAAAACGCAGATCTTCAGCAAGGTCGTAAGTGACCACAAAAGCGAACTGTCCATGGCGACGGGCTCCGAGGCGGCCCACGATTTGTGTTTGAAGCCCCAGTCGCCCGGGAAGGTACGGGTCAATCTCGAGATCGAGAGAGGGCATGGTCAAAAATATTACGCTGAGATGGCTTCCGAGAACAAGATGGACCGGCTCCAGGTCGAGGTCGTCAAGCTGAATGATGAATTGGCGGAGATCCTCAACGAGGCGGACTACATGAAGGAGAAGGAGGTGCGCTTTCATAGAAAAGCGGAGCGGATCAACGTGGCCGCGGTGTGGTGGCCGGTCCTACAGATCGGCATCCTGGTGCTTACCGCGGTGCTCCAGGTCCAGTCGCTGAAGAACTACTTCCAGGCTAAGAATCTGTATTGAATTTCTACGCATAGCTGTAGTGAACGTCCTTCGTTCCCCGCCCGCGGCTGGATCCGTCCCGCGTCTGAACTAGTTTAATGACATTATTATATTCTACTTTTTCTTCACAATGATGCCGTCACCGACGACGAAAGACCCGATATGGTTCGGTAGATAGGCGTCGCCGAGCACAAGCCGCTGCGGGCCCGGCCGGTGGCTGGCGCGCCGGCCGAAGAGGCGGAGCCGGACGCGTAGAGTCCAGTAGTGCGTCAGGAACGCGTCGAAGAGGGCGTTCATCTCGGGCCTACCTCCCCGCCATTGTCCATTCGGGAGTCGCCGGTGCCCCGAGCGCACAAAGGTGAGCGCAGAATGACCATCGTAATTAATGAAGTCGAAGGCGGCGCCATGCGCGAGCAAAAAACGTACTTGCTCAATGCCGCCATTGTTCTGGGAGGTAGATGACTCGTGTCCGTCAGATTCGCAAAAACGGAAAAGCGGACGAATCGGTACTGGACCGTAGTGGCTCACGGGATCCTCGACGGACACGCCGTGGGCGAGAAGTAAACGAGCGGCGCCGTAGTTACGAGCTTCCAGCGCCACCCCGAACAGCGTACGCCCGTTATGCCACCGACGGGGATCAGCCCCCCGTGAGAGGAGGAGCTCCACGAGTGGTGGCGCACGTCTCCCATAACCACCCTTAAATTGTTTGCACGCAACATACAGTGCCGTCTTGCCTTCTGCGCCAATCAGGTCGACGTCCGCGCCGCGATCTAGCAAAAGACGCGCGACTTCAAGACTCTCAGGTTCACAGCATTCAACCGCATTGATCAACGGTCTACCATATAAGGCCGTGCCGTCTACTAAAGCGTTACTTTCGGTCAGCAGTCGCCGCACCTCTAGGAGAGCTATGGGGCCCCTGCAGTTTTGCGCTAAGCTACGAGTGCGAGCAGATTGCAAGTTTTTGTCAAATCCAAACCAATCCATGATAAATTATGAAGGGCAGCCATGCATTATCAGCTGTTGGGTCATGAGTCTCGAACCAATTGGAACTAGTGTCTTACAGGACGCTAGCCCGGCGGCGGCGGCCGCGAGCTGTTTTAGGGCGCGGCGGCGTCGCTGTGCACTGTTTTGCACCGTGCCGGGTACCCTTGTGACCTGCTAATAGCTTCTTGCCCGTGGTTGCGCTCGGTCTGCACTCTGCTCTCTCTGAAGAGCAGCGCTCTGAAGAGCAGCACAGCACTCGAAGAGATGGCCGGCGAGGCCCTACGCATCGACCTCGGCACCGTCGCCGACGCCGCTGGTAGTGCCACGGTCTTTTATGACGGCTCCAGCGTCTCCGTCGCCTGTAGACTGGAAGCGGCGCGGCGCGACGGACTAACAATAGACTGCGAGGTCGAGGCCGCGTCCTTCGACGCTCCCCAAATCAATGGAGACGACGTCGCGCGCGCCCTCAAAAGCTGCCTCGCGCCGGGCGGGCCCAAGGCCTTTATCAAACTACGGGCCGTCATTTTGAACAGCGGCCGCGGCGAACTCGCAGCCGCGTGCATGGCGGCGTCCCTCGCCTTATGTGATGCGGACATACCGCTGCGGGGCCTGTGCGGCGGCGGCTGCGTGGAACTGGGCGAGGGCGCGCTCGCGCTCGTCGCGACGGCTGAGGGCGTCGTCGCGAGCCGCGTCGACGGCGCGGGCGACACGGCCGCGGCCCTCGACGAGGCGCTCGGCGCCGCGGCGGAGGCGCGGGGGCGCATGCGCGCGGCGCTGGTCGAGAGGCTAAGTAGTGGATAGAACCCGCACGAGGCCGATCTTGTCGATTCTCAGATCTCCGCAGAACGGCTGACGCGACGGTGGCGTGCCTTCGCGGAACGTGGCTGCATTGTCTTTGACCCCCTTGCCGCCGGGAGACCACCGCTTGGGGCTGCCCCCAGGCTGTGCAGGATGTTATTTATTAGGCCGAAACTTTAGGGCCTGCGAAGCCTTTTGGTTAATATACCCCGCTGCCTCTGCGCGCGGCTTCACGAGCGTGGACTCTTGCTTTGCATCGCCTGCGCACCTCTCGAACGCCCGCGATGAGCGACCAGCTCGACAAGCTGTGTGCCGCCATCGCGCAGGCCGAGGCCCGCGCGCCGCCGCCAATGGCCGCCAATGATGCCATTCGCCTATACGTCGACCTTTGCCAAGTAGTCGACCCGATAAAGCGAAATGGACTACGCACCTTGCTACAGGAGCTCACAGCCAAGAAGACCGCGCGCGAGATCCCGTCCGTGACCCAGGCTTTCTTGGAGCGGGCGCCGGCGCTGGTCGGCGCGGTTCTGTGGCGTCAATGCTGCGAGAAGCAGCGCCCGCGAGGCGACCCGGTACCTGGACCCGCCGCGGCCGGCGGTGGTGAGGACGCGAGTCCGCCCGGCTCGTCGTCCGATGCCCCGTGGCGGTGCAACTGGTGCCAGTCATTAAAAGCCGATGGCAGGTGCCGAGGCCCGGGCGGCCCGTCGACGCTCTGCGGCACGTGCTACAGACGCCACAGAAATGGCGAGACCGGCCCGCGCTCGGCCGATTGGTCCTGTGACCGGTGTGGCGTCCAAGAGACGCCAAGGCGGTTCAAGGGGCCAAAGGGACCAGCCACGCTCTGCGAGCCGTGCGGATTGCGCTATGTGAAGGGCGCGACCGGCCCGCCGGCGGAGGACTGGCGTTGCGATTGGTGCCCAGAGACAACTGGCCGGCGATGCACGGGCCCCAAAGGTCCCGGCACCCTCTGCAAGACGTGCGGCGGACGCTTCAGAAACGGCAAGACCGGCCCGCTCTCGGCGACGTTCGAGTGCCGCTGGTGCGGTGCGACCTCCACGCGCCGCCGATACGACGGCCCCACCGGCGAGGGCGAGCTCTGCGTCTCGTGCGGCACTTACTACGCCAATGCGTCGGACAAGATCAAGGCGCGCCTCGGCCACGTCGAGAAGGAGCTCGTCAACCGCGCAAGCGAGGTCGAGCGCCTCACGAGCGAGCTCGACCGCCTCACGAGCGTCCCCGTGATCGACGCGGAGACCGGCGCGGAGACGCGCGAGAGGCCGCCAAAGCGCGCGCGCGAGGACGCCGACGCGGCACCGCCCCCTTCCGGCCTCCAGCGCGAGAAGGCCCAGCGAGACGCGTTCCGCCAGGTCAAGCTCGAGAAGGAGGCGCTCGAGGACCGCCTCCTCTGCACGATCTGCATGGAGGCCGACGCGCCGCGGACCGTCCTCTTCGGGCCGTGCAACCACTTCCTCGCCTGCGCCTCGTGCGCCGACGCGCTCCAGGAGTGCCCGAATTGCCGTGTACCTATCGCCGCGCGCACCTCGATCGCGAACACGAGCTAGTCATAAAAAATTTTACCTGTCATGCCTGTCCCCGGGCCCGCCCGCGCCCCCCGCGACCCCGTCCGCGCCCGCGCCCCCGCCCGCGGCCCTTCGACGGCATAGAAGGCGTAGAAGGCGTCGGCGGCGTCGGCGGCCTATCATCAGCGTCCGCCGCGCAGTGCCGGTCGCGGCACTTCGCCCCGAACTTGCACCGTTTTCCCGCCGCAAAATACGCGCAGATGCCCTCGGGCACGTCTGGGATTGATTTCGCGACCTTCTCGACGAGGCGATCATTTTTGACATCTTTGACTATCAACTCCGGATCACTGAACACTTTCCCGTGAAAGACGACGTGGCAACCCGGCGGTAATAACGTGACCACGGTAAACGCGGCACCTAGATTGAACGGGCCGTCGCTCTCCATGAAGGCATACGGCTTCATCGCGCCCGTTAAGACTACCGTCTTGCCCGTCGCTATCGCGGTGCGCTGCAAGGCCTTCGCCGTCACGTTCAGCGTGTCCGTGCCGTGCGTGATGACGATGTATTGTTGGGGCGCGGCCCTCACGGCGGCGTCGAGGACTTCCCGATCACCTTTTGTTAACTCTAAAGAGTCCTTGCGACAGACCTCGGCGTACTCGACGTTGTGGGCACACTGCACATTTCTCAAGCAGCGCTTCGCCGTCGGCGCTCCTACTATGAATGAGGAGGAGACGCCATCATAGGTCTTGTCCAATGACCCGCCCGTCGTGAGGCAGAGCACCTTGGCCGGTGGCATTTTGCTGCAGGGCTGGGGGAGGGGCTCTGGCTCGGCGTTTCCGTGGCGTGCGGTCTTGTGGCGGTATGGGTCGAATACTTTGGATGTCCGGAGCAGCGCTGGGCCTTTGTTTGGCAGCACTCTGGCGCTGCGACCAAAGCTGCTTGCTAGCGTCTCGTAAGGCACTAGTATTTAGCCTGCGGAGGCTTTTTGAGGCTTTTTTGCATCGTAGGGCTGCCCCCGAGCGAAGATGATCCTCACGCAGTGCGCCGTCTGCGCCACCGAGCTTGGGCTATCCTTGGGGAAGAAATGCGGCCGCTGCAGCACGCGCTACTGCGGCGCCGAGTGCCAGGTGCAGCACTGGAAAGAGGGCGGCCACGACACGCTCTGCAAGAAGATAAAGAAAGCAGGCGGCGCGGAGCAATATCATGCTGATACAAAATACACGGAGGCCGTATCGGTCGCGGTCGAGAAGTGCGCCGAGGACACGAAGGGCCAGACGTGCTTCATCTGCACGCAAGCCCTTCATTGGAAGACGAAGGAGGGCCTCGTGCGCGGGTGCGCGTGCCGCGGAACGGCGGGTTTTGCGCACGTGTCGTGCCTGGTGGAGCAGGCGAAGCTTTTGTTCGAGGAGGCCAAGGCGAACAACTGGCATGACAAGAGGGGCCAAGCGAGCTGGCGGCGGTGGCACAAGTGTAGCCTGTGCGAGCAAGGTTACCACAGTGTCGTGTCGTGTGCGCTCGGGTGGGCGTGCTGGAAGACGTACCTGAAGTACTCGGATAATGAAGTGCTTCAGCAACTTGCGATGTCGCGGCTCGGGTGTGGTTTATCTGATGCAGACCGCCACGCGGACGCGGCGTCCATCAGAGAGGCCGAGTTGTCTATGCTGCGGCGCCTTGAAGGATCAGAAAGTAGCATACTCACTGTGCAGAGCAACCTTGCGAATTCGTATCAAATGCTAGGTAGGCTAGGCGAAGCCCTACGCCTACGGCGAGACGTATACTCTGGACGTTTGAAGCTCAATGGCGATCAACATGCGGACACCCTCCTGGCAGTTACCAACTACGCGTCGTGCCTTCTGAGTCTACGGCGCTTCGGAGAAGTCAAGTCACTGCTGCGCAAAGCTATACCCGTGGCGCCACGCGTTCTCGGAGAGAGTGATAGTGTCACGCTCAAGATGAGGGGATGTTACGCAGAGGCGCTCAAAAGTGACCCTGGCGCCACGCTCGACGACGTCCGCGAGGCCGTGACGACGTTCGAGGAGTTGGAACGGACCGCGCGGCGCGTCTTCGGTGGTGCGCATCCGATCACAAAGGGGCTTGAGAAATGCCTGCGAGATGCACGAGCAGCCTTCCACGCCCGCGAAAGCGACGTCGAATCAATCCGCGAAGGCGTCGAGGCGATGCCGCCGGGGGGCGCGTAAGGCACGAGGAGAACTACGCTTACTTACAGAGGGAGGGAAACGAAAACGACTAGGCCCGGAGCTTCTGGGAGACGGCGCCGCCGGCGAGGCCCGCGGCGCCGACGGTCTGCCCCGCGTCCAGTAGGGGCTTCGGCGGGAAGCCCGCGAGGAGGTCGTAGGGCTTGTCGCCCGCGCCCTGCGCCCCGATAAACGCGCGCAGGTGGCCGACGGTATGGTCCTGGTTGAGCTCGACGGCCAGCGCCTTGCCCGACGCGAGGCGCAAACGGAACTTCGCGACCGGCTTCGAGGCGTCGACGACGGGCGCGTCGGGCAGCGGCGCAGTGTCCTCGACGGCCGGCGTCGAAGAGCCGCCGAGCGCCTGGCCCTCACCGACAAACTTCTCCTGCACTGGCGCTGCTCTTCGTTGGCGGCCCATCGCCCTTTGTAGCGCCTCGCGCGACGGCGCCTGCGGCCCCCAGGGGCAGGGCATCGGCCGCGCGTCGGCCACGCCAAACCGCACGCGCCGGTTCGGTCTTCTCAAAGATGGAGGCACCTCGTCTCTAGCTAAATGATCCAGGAACTCCCGCGACTCGTCACTATCAAACGGCCGCAGCTCCGGGAAGTCCGTCGGGAGTGTCGGAGGTCTCGGCGGCGCGGCGAAGTCCTGGAGCGTGGCCGTGCCGCCGCGCCTCGGCCTCGGGGGCTCGGGCTTCGTCTCTTTGGGCTTCTGCTCTTCGACCGTGAAGCCGTCGGCGAAGAAGGTCACGCGGACGTCGAGCGTCTCCAATTGTTGAGGAGCCGGCGCCGGCGCGGCCGCTTCCGTCGTGCCATCACCGAGCGCGCTGCCGCCGCCTAGGGACGCCCAGCGCTGCTCGGCGGCCTCGGCCTCGCGATCGACTCCTCTTGAATTGCGCTGGGCGCGCTGGAGGATGACGTCGGCCGGGCTTGGGGGCGGCGGCGCGTCGGCCGGCGCGGCGTCCTCCATGGGCTGGTCAGGAGGCTGGTCACTCATGGTGTAGGGCGGCTCGCGGGGGGCTTGCGCGCGAGCCTGGGATGGCTTTGACCTACTGGCAATGCGGCGCAGTTGCGGGATGCAGGAATGCGCGCGGGAGGCTCGAGACCTTCGAGCTCCTCAGGGAGGCTGAGTTGTGCGGCGCGGAGTTTTAAACAACGAAGGGTCTCCGCAGCGCTCGAGCCACGAGTCTCAAAAACAAAATGGACGGAAGGATCTGTTTGGCTGGCTTGCTAGTGTCTTACAGGCCGCTAGGTAGCTGTGTTTTTGTCGAGTAAAATCGCTGCGCAAAACGCCAGCTTAAGTTCATTTACGCATCCACACGGCTCGTCGCTAGCACCCTCGGAAGGATCCAAGGGCTTAACGTGTGCGGAGCAGCGCCCGCCGCCGCCCCATTGCAGCTCGCCGCAGCAGCGCGCTAGCCGCCGCCGCCGCGATGGCATCAAATGGCAAAGTCGCCGTCGACAAATTGAAAATAGGCGCCACCGTCTCGATAAAACTCAAGGACTCCGGCAGCTGCGAGGGCGCCGTCTACACCGTCGACCCGGTGACAAAAACCGTGGTCCTCTTTTCGGCGGCCGAAAAACCCGTCACGCAAGACAGTAGAGACGTGCGGTTAGTCCCGGAGCACGCCATTGATAGTATAAAGGTCGTGAAGCCGCCCGACGCCAAGGACAAGAAGGCGCTCGTCGCGCCCTTGCCAGCCATCGACGTCGCGGCGTGCAAGAAGCGCGAGTCGGAGGCCTACGAGGCCATGGAGGCGGCCATGGCCATGCTGAACCCGAACGCGTCGGCGGCGGGGCAGGCCTGCTTCGACGCTTTGTCCAAGACCCTTGATTGTAGTTGGTCTGGTGATTCGATAAATGTGCTGGACCAGGTTAGGGTAGATGCGCCCTACACGGAGGACGCCTGCGTGTCGCTCGACGGCAACAAAAGCTCTCTTGAGAGAATCCGGAAGATCGTCACGGCGGGCCTCAAAAAAGCGTCCTCGGCGGACGACCTCGCGCAGGCGGCGAAGGCATAATATCTCGTTAATTTAGATGTCGTTGCGGTAGTACGCGTCTCGCCGCGATGGCGTGCACTCAGTCTCTGGCTCGGGGCGGGTTTTTCCAGCAGCGAATTGCTCTCAGTGATTTTCGAGCCGCTGGTCGCCGCGGGAACACTCTGGTCTGTGGGGGTTTTCGTTTGACCGCCCAAGAGGCCCGCCGACCGCACACTTAGGCCGCGGTGACATTTGGCATTTAGTTCACTCCAGCTTCAATGCGGCTGTCGCGGAAGAAGGCGACGGCGGCGCGCGAACGGCGTCGTCGCGGTTCTGGGGCGTGTGTTGGGATCGGCAACACAAGAAATGGAAGGCGCAGTATAGTGACGCGGACGGCAAGAAGCGCACCATCGGCTACTTCGACGACGAGGAGGAGGCCGCGCGCGCGCGTGACCAAGCTATTCGCGACGCGGGCCTCGAAGGCAAGCGGCGCATGAACGCCGTCGACGCGACGGGTGCGTTGGTGCCAAAACGATCTGGCGCGCCCAACAGACTCGATCAAGACCGTGGCGACCGCTCCGCCGTAGTCGCGCCGGACCAAGCGCACGACCAGACGGCGACGACGTCCAAGTTCTGGGGCGTGAACTGGGACAAGAGCAAGCGGCGGTGGCGGGCGAGCTACACTGACGCGGACGGCAAGACGCGCTTCATCGGCAACTTCGACACGCAGGAGGCGGCCGCGCACGCCGTCAACGCGGCCATCCGACGCGCTGGGCTCGAAGGGAAGCGGCGGACGAACCCGGTCGTCGACGGGCAATTGGTCCCCCGCGTGCGCACCAAGGTTCCGAACGGCCACGGGCCCGCCGCGTTGCGCAAGAAGCGCCGCCGCGACGAGCCCGCCGCCGCGCCGTCGCCGCGCGCCCGCCGCCGCTAGGCATCAGTAAGAACATACAACTCACCACATTACCCGACCATCGGCGCCGACCCCCTTCTCAGACGCTCGACGGCGTCGTCCACGCTCAGCCCCGCGACGGCGGCCGGCAAATCTGCAGCGTGTTCCAGCGACGACGACACGCGCCGCGCGTCGTCGAGCCGCGCGCGCCGCTCGCGCACCTCCCTCACGAGCACGCGCTTCTGGTCGACGAGCTCCGCCGCGCTCCGCTCGGCGCGCGACCTTCTGGAAGCCGCGGCGGCGACCGCGGCCCGCGCCGCGCGCGCGGTCTGGAGAGCCGCGTCGCGCCGCGCGTCGGCGGCGAGCCGCGACGTCGAGGCGTGGGCCGTCTTTTGTTTTTGTGAAGCTAATTTCGCTCGCAATGCGGCGATGGTAGACTGACGCTTTTCCGCGGCATCGGGCGGCTCCGGCTGTGACGTCTCGAGCGCCTGCAACGCCCGTTCGAGGGACTCGCGCCGTCGCCCGCAGAAGTGGAGCCGGTGGGCCACCTCCCGTGCTGCGGCTGCTGGTGTAGTTAACGCAGCCGCCTGACGCGGCGCGAGACCGAGGGCCAAGGCCTGATCCCTTAAAACCTCCAACGCGTCGGCTGCTCGTTTTTCCGATAACGAAGCCGCCGCATTTCTTTCTTGAGAAGCCTCCCGCATCTTTGAGCACGACTCGTCGTCCTGCGCGCGCGTCGTCGAGAACTCGCCCTGCAGTTCTCTGTACGCATCTCTTTCATCGGCGACCACAAAATACCGTTCCCTACTCAAAGCTTCGCACCACTTCTGGGCCTGCTCCTCCGTTTCCGCCTGGAAGAAGAAGGATCGCAGTGGAACGTCAGAGGCGGTGGCTAGACGTAGCGTTCGGCCCCGCACGATCTGCACGTCGCCGTAGTACTCCAAGTCGATAATACCGCGCGCGTCGTCACTCGTTTCATCATCATAGTAAAATAGTAACGTCTGCGGGACTAGAGCGCAGTACCGGCGTTGCCACGCGCCGCGCTCGTCGCGTTTTGTGAGGACGCCCGCCCTGACACCGAGTCGCGTCGCCGTTTGCGCGGTCTTCGGTGGTGAGCTTTTGACGGTGAGGGCCGTGGTACCTCGTCCGGGGAGGTGGAACATGCTCTGCGGTCTTTTGGCAACGGTTTCTTGCGGCTGGCAGCGACGCGCGGTGTGAGGACGGCCTTTTTTTCGAGTACTGGCGCCCCGCCGCGTAGCGCTGCGTACACTTTGGCAGTGGTTTTTGGCAGGGTGGTGTGGTGTGATGCCTTGGCGGCGCTACGCGCTACGACAGCGTGCTGCTCGGACCAGAGCGATGCTTAGCCTTCGTCAGGGGCTGTGGGCCTGTCGTTTAGGCCGCAACACGCCGAGCAAGCCGCCGCTGCTCTGCTTGTTGCTAGTGTCTTACTGACCGCTAGCTAACATTGCCTGCCTGCTACGAGTTTTTGCCGCTGGTAGGCCAAAAAGCCGTAACTACACGTGCACCATCCCTGTCCACGCCGCGAGCGCGCCGGCTGCACGCCTTTTTGCGGAGCGAGCTCGCATTCGTGCGCCGTCGCCGAGCACCGCACTTGCACCCTCGCCGAGCGCAGAGGCGAAGACCGCGCGCTATCGCCGCGGCGACACCACGTAGCCGCAGCGCAGCGATCGCCGCCGCGACCGCAACCGCCACTCATGGCGACGCCCGTCGTGCAGCGGTTACTGGACGCGCTCGAGTACCCGTTCCCATTCGCGGGCGACGCCGCCGCCGTCGCGAAGCTCGTGAGCTGGGTGGAAGACCGGAAGATCCGGTTGTGGGAGATCGAGCAGCGTAAGCCCTTGAGAACGGCTGGTGTCGAGTTCGACGCCGCTTTTCAAAGCTATCTGCAAGAGCTCGAGTGCCCCGTGTTACAACCGTCGCAAGCGCTGGTCTGGTTGTTGCACGAAGCCGTCAAATGCGAGCTCGAGGACGAGGCGGCGAAGCCGCAGCAGGCTGACGTCGACGAAAGCCGCGTGTCGAAGCTCTGTGCATCATTGGGCGCCGACGACCTCACGAGTGCCTGTGCACGAGTCGCGGCGAAGAATGGAAATGGAGACCCGAAGGACGCGCTGCGCCTCTTCTACGTGTCGGACCTGCGCAAGCTCCAGGACGGCATCAATTCTGTGCTCGTGAAAGGGCAGAACTTCGTGGCCAACCCGAAGACGAACGCTGCCCTAGGGAAAGTAGGTCGATAAAAACACAGTCATTAGTCGTCGTCCTCCATCTCGTCTTCCTCGTCCCACTTCCTGCCCAGCAGTCCCGCCATGTTGTAGTGCTGCTGTCTTTTGGCAGCGAAGGCTCGGGCCTTCGCTTCGTCTCGCTCCTCCTCCTCGACGAACAAGGCTGCTCGCGGTTTCTCGGAATCGGTTGCTGCTCTAGCTAATTTCTCGGAGAGATCACCTAAGTGATCATCTAGAGACGTCGACCGGACGGGCTGGAGCTCCTTCGGCGGGCTCAGCGGCGAAGCCCCTTGGACGACGTCGGGGTCCTCGGCCGGGTCGTAGCGCGCGTAGGGCGTGTCCGGCTCGTCGATCTTCATGCGCGTGCCTCGCTCCTTGTCGTGTTCCGCGATGGTCTCTTCGTCCCAGGTGAGGTGGGGCCTATTGCCGGCCTCGTGCTTGTTCTTGAGGATGCCGCGCGGCTGCTGCTGCTGGGCGGCCATCGGTGCTGGTGTTTACCGGTGCGCACGGCGTGTAGGAAAAGCTGCCGCGGGCAAAAAGCTGCCGGAGGTTTGGTGGCGCGCGCGGGTGATATGTGCGACTTGCTCGACGGCGCAGCGGGTCGTCTTGGTTTATTGCCCAGGTCTGAAGCGTGTTCGGCGCGTTCCTAAGGGCTAAAACGCCAAGAGCCGCGGCCGAACGCCGCTAGCGTCGTGTACATACTAGCACTTGCTCAGCCCTGCTCTTCTCGGTTCCCTGGCAGCTGCGCACCCGACCGGCGCGTAAAAAGTGGCACGGAGTGTCTTTCGGTACCCGCCGGTGCCGCGCGCTACGCACTGAGCGCCTGGAAGAGCTCTCATCAAGCACAAGCAAAGTACACAGGGACAGCACCTGCTATAGCGGGGCGCGCGGAGGACGATGGCGCGCCGCTTACTCGCCACGCTCCTCACCACACAAGCCGCAGCGCTCCTCGCGCCGCGCCACCGTGCCGCGCCGCCGCCGCCCTTGAGCGGCCGAGACTCACTCCAGCTGACGAGGCTCCGCGCGGCGCTCACGGACCTCCCCACCCAACAACCGGAGAACCCGGTAGCCGAGGCCGAGATTAGATATGATCCGGACAAGGCCCAGAAGTTGTTAACAAGACAACCGAGACGATGGCTCACACGAAATGTGCAACTTTTTTTCCCTTTGGCCGGCTTTATCGCCTCAATAATCAGTGACCGGGCCATGAACTGCGAACTCCAGAGGAGGGAGCAACGAGCGTCGGAGTTGCTGGAGCTCATCTCCAATTTAGGACCAGCCGTCATCAAGGGCGGGCAAGCATTGGCCTCGAGACCAGACCTTCTCCCAGCAGAGTATCTCAGGAAACTCCAAGAGCTCCAGGACCGCGTGCCGGCCTTTCCCACCGACGAAGCTTTACGGAGGGTCGAGGCGTCTCTCGGTTTAAGGAATTTCACGGACGTCTTCACGTTGCTCGTGGATGAGCCGGTAGCTGCTGCAAGTATCGGTCAGGTCTACAAGGCTCGATTAAGGAACGGGAAAGTCGTCGCGCTTAAAGTCCAGCGGCCGGACTGCGAGCGCGTCGTCGCGTTGGATCTGTTCGTGTTAAGGTGGTGGGCGCGGCTCGGCACGTCGTTCTTCGTGCGCGCGTTTGGAAGGGACCTAGACCTAGTCTCAGTGGTCGATGATTTTGGAGCATTAATATACCGCGAGATCGACTACCGCGCCGAAGCGAGAAATGCGAGGCAGTTCGCTAAATTATATCAGGGCTACGAGAATACGATACGAGTTCCGGAGATATATGACGAGCTCACGACCTCCACAGTCCTGACGATGGAGTGGGTCGACGGGACGCGATTGGTGGACGGGGCCGAGTTGGCCGTGTATACGGGCGACGATAAAGCTGGTACGAGATTGGTAGACGCCTTGGTACAGTGTAGTCTGCGGCAGATGTTGGATAGCGGCTTCTTCCACGCCGACCCGCACGCCGGCAACTTATTAGCGACAGATGATGGCAGGTTGTGCTACTTGGATTTCGGGATGATGTCCTATCTGGAAGAGCGTCAAAGGGTCTCGATCATCGAGGCTGTGGTTCATCTCGTGAATCGCGACTTCGAGGCCCTGGCCGACTTGTATGTAAGGATGGGCTTCATCAAGGCGGGCACGGACGTCAAGCCCATCGTGCGCGGCCTGCAGGACGCCTTGCCGGACGTCTTGGATGCTCCTGTCAGTGAATTGAATGTAAAAAACGTGGCCTCGCGACTGGGAGATGTCATGTACACGTTCCCCTTCGCGCTGCCGCCGTTCTACGTCGCTATTATAAGGTGTTTGGGCGTGCTCGAGGGCGTCGCTATACAGGTGGATCCTGGGTTCCGAATTGTTAATGATGCTTACCCGTACGTCGCTGCCCGCCTGCTGACCGACGAGGCTCCCGAACTGCGACGAGCCCTCACGAACCTCCTGTTCAAGGACCAGAAGCCGCAATGGCGCCGCTTCGAGGCGTTGCTGAACCGAGCTTCTTCGTCCAGTGAATACGACGCGTCCGCCGTCGCCGCTTATCTCATCACAGCATTGACGGAGGAAAGCGCGGGCCCGCTCCGGGAGAAGCTCGTGGATGATCTAGCCGATGCGTTGGACTATCTGGGTGTGGGTGTAGCCTTAGACGTGGCCTCAGCCGCGGGACTGGACTTGCCCGAACCTCCAGACTTTCTGAATGGCCACCAGGAGGGCGAGGCGCCCCCGGCGGCCGCCGCTTTATTAGCTGCTCGAGACTTTTTGTTGGGGGATGGTGAGGGTGGCGACGTCGACATCGGTAGTGTTACGAGAGCAGCTCGCAAGGTGCAGCCCGTGGCCCAGTCGCTGTACGACGCGCCGTCGCTACGGGCGGCGCTGATCGAAGTGTTGGCGCGGGCGTCGGAGCGCGCCGCCAGTCGCGCCATCCGGCTAGCGTTGAAGGCGGCGACGGACCCCGGGGCGCTCCGCGTGGAAGAGGTGGAGGAGGAGGCGCCGGCGCCGGACTATCCGTTCGGGTACTCCTAATGTCCTGTTGTTTATACTTCGATGGGGGTTCTCTTAGGCTGTTCTAGTCCCAGCCGTCCTCGTCGTCGGGCGGCGCCAACTCGAGGTCCTCGTCGTCGTCGGCGTCGGGCTCGGAGTCGTCGTTGTCCGCGCGGCGCGGGCGGCGGGCGCGCGGCGGCGGCGCGGCTGCGGCCTCCTCGCGGCGGCGCTTGCGCAACGCCTTCGGTCCGTGGCCATTCGCCTTGCGCTTTTTGGGCACCAGTTGCCCGTCGACGACCGGGTTCGTGCGACGGTGGCCTTCGAGCCCCGCCCTGCGAATAGCCGCGTTGACCCTGTGCGCGGCCTGCTCCTGGGTGTCGAAGAGACCCAGGTGGCGTTTCTTGCCGTTCGCGTCGGTGTATTGCGCCTTCCACCGCCGCGCCGGCTTGTCCCAGGTCACGCCCCAGAACTTGGACGTCGTCGCCGTCTGCGCGCGCGCCGCGTCCGGCGCGACGACGACGCCGCGATTTGCCGCGCGGGCCTAACGCAGCGGCGAAAGACGAACCCCGTCGTCGACGGGCGACCGGTGCCGCGCCCGTAACCCCACCGCGGGCGACTGGTGCACGCATGCGAAGACTCGACGTACATACCGCCTAAGACCGTTACTCCCCGCATCCGACCTACACCGGCGGCAGGCTCTTGATGGCCCCGATCGCCGTCGGCACGAGGCTGAGCACGCCCGCGATGAGGAGGAGCGGCGCCAGCAACAGCGACACGAGGCCCGCGTCCTCGAAGGACGCGAAGGCGTTGAGGTAGATTTCCGCGCCCGTCGTCACGGCGGCGACCGCCGTCCACGCGGCCGTGGGGATGGATAATAATAATCCAAGCACGGGCAGGAGGAAGGGCGCCGGCTCGATGAGCAGGTAGCCCGTCGCGATGATCGCCAGCGGCAGGTTCTTCCTTACTAAACCGATGAGGCCGAACTTGTCGAGGAAAGGGAGTAATTTTTCGACGTCTCCCAATCCTAAACCGAGGTTGTCCAAAGACTGCAGCAGCCCGGAGTTCACGGTAGCGCTCAGGATGCGCTTCTCCTGGACCTCCTGGAAGACCGGGTACGGTTTCCCTTCGAGCACCGTCGCCGTCGGCTTGTAGCTCCTAATGAATTCCTCCTTGAGGCGTCTTTCTCCGAGGATGCCGTCGGCCGTGTTCTCGGCCTGGTCCTCCGCAAAATCAAAGCCGAAGGACTCCTGGACCTGCGTGGATTTTGATAGGTGAGTGACGCGGTCGCGGCGACGACGGCGCGTCGATGGCCTGGAACCTCCACGCCATCGAGCAGTTGCAGCCACGAAGACAACAGCTAGCGTTGGGCGCCCGATATTTGCTTTCCGCACGGTCCCGGACGACGGGCCGCTGCCGCCTTGCCGTCGAGGCGAGGGGGACGGGTGCCACGAGGGCCGACGCGGTGCTCAGGGCCAGCGCGACAATCAGTCGTCGCGCCATCTTCCCAAACGCACTGCTCGGCAGCTCCGTAGCTCCAGACGTTGCCTCCCGGGCCGAAAAGCTCGACGATTGACGCGATGATGTGTGAATAATCGAGCGGGTTGGGAGAGGGTTGGATCCGTCCGCGACGCGTCCGTCAGGCCTCGTCGAGCCCTCGGTGGACAGCTGCCGGGCGTCGCACGTAATTTTGCTAGCGGCATGTAAGACACTAGCAAGCACAAGAGGACTTTGTACGGCCTGAAGTGCGCCGAGAACAGCTGATTGGGCGTGCAAAATTAGCGTTAAGGGCGCGCGTGATAGGTGCCCGCAGCAACCGCAACGCTTCGCCGCAACGCTGAGACGTACAACACCCGCTGCACCACCATGAGCACCAGCAGCGCGCCGCCGCCGCCCGAGGTCACGACGGAACCCACAGAGAGCGACAAAGAAATAGCAAGACTACGAGAAAGAGTCAAGGAGCTCGAAGCGCGGCTCGCGCCGCCCGATACCGTAACCACTCTCAGCAATGAACCTCAGTTCTCGAGCATCGTCCTCTTCGGCGCCGACGGCAACCTCGCCACCAAAAAAACATTTCCTACACTATTTGCATTGTGGCGGAAGAAGTTACTACCGCGCGATATCGTTATAGTAGGCTACGCGCGCGAGGTTATGAATACCGAAGAATTCAGAAAAAATATCGTGTATAAAGCGATCTACTCGTCGGCGCACGCGCAACGGGAACGTCGTCGATTCCTGCAGCGCGTGCACTACTGCTCGGGGCAATTTGATGATGCTAAACATGTGAGAGAGCGGCTCGCGCCATTGCTTGCGAAGCTCGAACAAAAACAAATCCTGGGAGACTGCGCGTCCGACGACGAGCCCCTCCAGCACCGAGGAAGCGTCCAGAGCCGCATGGTGTTTGCCTCGTCGGACGATTCGGACGAGGACGTTCCCGTACCTGTGATACCGAGGCAAGATAGAAGGCGCGTGCGCGTCTACTACATGGCCGTGCCGCCGTTCCTCTACTCGAGGATCTGCCGGTCTTTAGCTCAGGGCGGCCTGCGTTCAGAAACGGGCCGAGACCGTTTTGTTCTGGAAAAACCGTTCGGGAAATGTGCGCAATCGTGCGCCTCGTTATGCAGAGAACTCGCATCGCTGCTAAGGGAGGACGAGGCCTACCGCATCGACCACTACCTCGGCAAGGAGTTGGTGATGAACGTGTTAGTTTTGAGATTTGGCAACGCCATCTTCGAAGCAGTTTGGAGTCGGCGGTTCGTGGAGCGCGTGGAAATTTGCTGCCTCGAAGAAGTGGATTGTAAGGGGCGAGGGGGTTATTTTGACGCGTATGGTATTATCCGGGACGTGACGCAGAACCATTTAGCGCAATTGTTAGCTCTGGTGGCCATGGAGCAACCGCTCAGTCTCAAGGCGGACGACGTCCGGCGGGAGAAAGTTAGAGCGTTGCGGGCCTGCAAGGTGCTCGATAGTAGGGATGTGGTCCGGGGCCAGTACGACGGGTATGCGGACGATTCGTCCATCACAAATAAAAAAACAACTACGGAGACCTTTGCCGCTTGCAAGCTGTTCGTGGACACGCCGCGCTGGGCGGGCGTCCCGTTCATCTTGACGGCCGGGAAAGCCTTGCAGGAGAAGAAGGTCGAAGTGAGGATTGTGTTTCGCGAGGCGCCGTGCCAGGTGCCTGAACTCAGAGGTGCTTGTAGGAATGAACTTGTGGTAAGGGTCCAACCCGATGAACGCGTCTACTGGCGCGTCGCGAATAAAGTGCCCGGTCTCGAAGAGCTCCAAGTGGAGCCCAGAAGGATGAATTTGATGTACACGCATACCGAAGTGAAGGACATGCCGGACGCTTATGAGAGGTTAGTGTTGGAGGTGCTTCGCGGCGATGCAACGAACTTTGTCTCCGTCGAGGAGTTAGATGCTTCGTGGGCCGTGTTCAGTCCGGCGTTGCTGGCGCTGGAAGGTACGAAACCGGAACGGTACGCCTATGGTTCCACGGGGCCGTCGCTCGAGCGGCTCTACGGGTCTCCGAAAAAGGATCGGGTGGTGAGTATGGGGGGGTCGGACCGGTGAGGAGGTTGTGTGTGTAAGATAGCGCGTTTTCGTGAACAGCTAGCACGGGCTCAGGCTAGTTATACGAGGAGGAGAGGAGACCTCACTCGGCGCCCTTGAGCTTCTTGTTGTCGACCGTCGCCGACTCGGCGACGAAGAGCTCGCGCTTCGGCGCGCGGCGCGCCGGGCGGCCCGTTGTTACCGGCTCCTCCGGGGCGACGGCGTCGCGGTCGAGGTCGTACGCGATCATCGCCGGGCAGCGCGTCACGCGGAGGAAGCCTTTTTTGTAGTCGTGGAGCACGTCGCTCTTCGACCCGCCCAGCTCGAGCACCTGTTCGCCGCACGTCGCCGCCTTGTAGGCCTCGTAGCGCGTCCAGGACGCCGAGTCCGGGCGCTTGGGATTTTCCTGGTCGAAGGCGATCTTGAAGCTCTCGTTGGCCAGGAGCATGTCGACGACGACGCGCGGCGCGGCGCCGTCGAGGAGGCCCTGGACCTCGTCGTCCGCGGCCGCGGCCTCGGGCGCCTCTTCCGCCGCGGGCGCCTCGCCGTCCGCGGCCTCGGGCTCCTGCTCCTCCTCGGGCTCCTCCTCGCCGGCCTCGTCGTCCGCGGCGGCGGGCGGAGCGGGCGCGGGCGGCTCGGCCGCGGGCGCCGCCTCCTCCTCGGCCTCCGGCGGCGGCGGCGGCACTGGCTCGTCCTCGGCGGCGCGCACGTCGGCCGCCGCGACCGTGTTGAAGACGTTGGGCGTGTCGGTCCACTCGACCTCGTAGCTCCCGTCGGCGTGCAGCTCTTCTACGACGGCCCCGTACCACGTCCCGGCCCAGCGCGCCTCGACGCGCGCGCCGACGGCGTATGGCACCGGCGCATCCACGACGGGCGGCGCGGCCTCGGGCACGACGGGCTCCTCGCGCGCGGCCGGGGTCTTCTTCGGCGGCGTGACGGGCACCGTCGCCCTCGCCGCCTTGGCCTCGCGCTTGCGCGCCTTCCGCGCCTTCGCCGCCGCCTTCGTCTTCGTCTTGCGCTTCTTGGCCTTCTTCGTCTTCGAAGGCGCCGGTGCCGAGGTCTTGAGCACCCCACCGAGCGACGATTTGACCGCCTCCCCCACCGAAGCCGCCATGGCCGCAACCGCGCCGCCGGCCTTGTCCACCAGACCGTTCATCGTCGACTGGACGCCGTCGACCACATCCTCCGGCGGCCCATCATCATCGGTCAGCATGGCGGCCATGAGGCCCACGGTCACGAGGCCGCCGCCGAGGGCCAGGGCGGCCTTGAGTGACTTCTTGCTGCTGCCCGACATCCGGTCTGCGTCTCGGCAGCGAGTATATGCGCTGGGGCAGCCCGCTCTTTTTGGAACAGTGAGAGCGCCAAACATGATTTGAATATGAAAATCCTTTCGCAACCCTCGCGGGCGACCGGTCGGGAAGACGTCCCGGGAAGGCTCGGAGCTACGCCGTCCTCTGCTCGGCCGAGGCCCGAATCCGCCGAGCTCACAACATGTTCCCGCTCTCATCAGGCTACGGCTCCCCGTGTGCCCGCATAAATCACTTGCGGCCACGCGCGCGGTGCGCACGGAAGCCGCCATGCCATACGGAGGCGGCGAGGGCTGCCTCACGGCGCGCGGCCTGCGGAACGTTGCGATTGCCTCAGCCCCATCTGTGATTATCATCCTCACGCGGTTCCTGCCCGTCGACTGGCTGTGGCGCGCGGTGCACGCGACACACAAAGCGCGGACGGGCCGCCTGGGCAGACTGTCCATGGTAATCTTGGTCCTCGCGGCCGTCGCGCGGTTCGCAAAACTTGCGGCGTGGCTCTCCGTTGTCTACGTCCCGGTGGCCTACGGCCTCGATCGGGCACTGGCGTGGCTGCGCGTGCCGAAGCGTAGAGCTTGGGCCCTCCCGGTGTGGCTCCACGCGCTCGCCCTCGACGTGACCTTCCCGTCGCGGAACTTGAGACGAGCGTGCTGGGCGCTTGTGATAGCGCTGGGCCTGCGCCTGAAGTTCCCAGCGCAAAGACCGGCTTCAAAGTCGTGGGACGGCCGCCGCTTCCACGCCGTCGTGGAAAGGTGCCACGACGGGGACACGTGCCGAGTGGCGCTGCCCGGTCTGCCCGACGTCTTCGCGACGATGGGCGTGCGCCTCCGGGGCATCGACGCCGCGGAACTGCGAGGTGCTCAATGTCCCCTGGAGAAGTGCCTGGCCTTGGATGCTCGTGATAAGCTTGTATCGATGGTAGTAGGCAGGAACACGACCCTCGACAATTGCGCGCCGGACAAGTACTTCCGGCTCCTCTGCGACGTGTCTGTCGACGGGGAGGATGTTGGTGGGAAATTGCTCCGGGGCGGCTACGCGGTGCCCTACAATGGGCGGGGGGCGAAGCACGATTGGTGCGACGCGCGCGGCGAGCGGGCGCGGCGGTGCGAGGCGGCGCTCGGGGTCCGGTAAGGTCGCGTTCGTAGCCTGTTGTTGCGGTGCTAGGACTAGTGGGGAGCCAGAGCTGATTGCTAGTGTCTTACTGTGTCTAGCTAGCTCGCGCGTTAATCTAGCAAAAATCCAAATTATCAGCCACGCCACCGCCGTGACAGAGCTGCGATTGCGTCCGTTAGACAGCGCGCGACGCCCTAGACAACGCGTGACGCAGCAGCGGCTAGAGCCCCGGCGCTTAAAAAAAGAGTTGGCCCACCCGAGCACGCGCCGCGCGCATGCGCCGCACCGCCGTCGAGGAAGAGGCCCCCATGCTCGAGATGACGCCCGTCGTCGCACCCGGAGAAGACGCCAAGGACGAGGAGGCCGGCGAGCCCGGCGCGCCCGGGACCCAGACGCCGACGCCAGACGAGGGCTTGGCGGGAGAGTTCGCGGTCGGGGCAGGTGTCCCGAGGACCTGGGACGACCCCCACGAGGGCTGCCCCGACGACTGCGGGCCGGACGGGCCCTGCGTGAAATATGGAAGAAGGAACGTCGCGAGGTTTTGTAAATGCCTTGGTGCCCGAAGGTTGGGCTACATGGCCGTGCTGCGCTGGAAGAACGTCAAGGGCAAGCCGGCGCCCATGCCCGGCGGGGCCGTTCGCAGGACGAAACTTTTGTGTATTGTTGGTCCCTTTTGGCCCTTCACTTGCTGTGTGACGTTCCCGCTCATCTTTCTGATCAGCGGCGCGATTGGGATTGCTGTGTTACCGGACAGAGCTCTGGTCACCAAAATAGTCTGGGCTTTATCAGTGTTGTGCCTGGTCACGGCGTTGTCGTGTGTGGCCTTCCGAGATCCAGGGATTCTGAGGCGCCATCCGGAAAAACCGGAAGCCAATTGGCGCTGGAACGACCAAGCCAGGACCTTCCGGCCGCCCGGCGCGTGCTACGACGAGGATCTCGGGTTGGTCGTCGAGGGTTTTGATCATGTCTGCCCGTGGACGGGGACGGGCATCGGTCAGAGGAACATGGGCGCCTTCCACTGCTTCGTGACCTTACTATGCGTCTGCATCGTCCTCGACGTGCTGATCGTCATGCGCGTGCTGCCGTGATAGGTGGTACTAAGACGAATCATTTTTATTTACCCAGCGCCGCCACGGCGTCGCGGAGGGCGTCGACGTCGCCTTCGCGGGCGCGGAGCGCGGCACGCGCGTTTTCCAAGCTGCGCTCACTCGCCTGTACAATCGGGTGCGCGCCGCCCAGAACGCGCCGCGCGGTCCGTTCCGTCTCTTCAAGCGTCGCCACGCTCTCGCGGAGATCGTCGAGCGTCGCGCCGGTGTCGTTGTAGAGCGCCAGCGCGTAAGTAAACTTCACCCTGAGCGTGATGTCATTATTCTCTCCGAGACCGCGCCGCGCCACGGGAATTATTCGGCGCAGCAGTGACCTGGCTTCTTCGAAGCGCTTTAGACCACCAAGGGACGATGCGTAGTTGAGGGCTGCTATGACGGTCTCTTCATGTTCCTCGCCATTGAGCCTCACCCGTCCAGAGTATACATCTCGAAGCATGTTTGAGGCCTGTTCGTTTCGTCCAAGCCTCGCATGCAAGTTCGCAATACATGTCTGCGTGACGAGAATGCTGTCTTCCGATGCGCCAAGGCGCCGCTTCGTAGCCAAATCGGCCTCGTACACGGACAACGCCTCCTCGTCGTGGCGTGCTTCACTTAAACCGTTCCCAAGCACGTTCATCGCCAGGCACCGAGCTTGGTCCGTCTCCGGCCGCCCCAGGTATGTCTTCCAGCACGCCCATCCGAGCGCGCAATACACGACGCCGTGGTAGTCTTGCTCGCACAGGCCGCACGTGTGCCACCGCATCCACCTCTTCACCTTCGAGTCCAAATTGTTATACTCGGCCTCGTCCATCAAAATCTTCGCCTGCTCCGCCAAGCACGACACGTGCGCAAACCCCGCCGTCCCGCGGCACGAGCACCCGCGCACGAGGCCCTCCTTCGTCTTCCAATGCAACGCCTGCGTGCAGATGTAGCACGTCTGGCCCTTCGTGTCCTCGGCGCATTTCTCGGCCGCGACCGCGACGGCCGCCGCGTACTTCTTATTTGCGTTGTATTGTTCGGCGCCACCAGCCTTTTTAATCTTCTTGCAGAGCGTGTCGTGGCCGCCGTCTTTCCAGTGCTGCACCTGGCACTCGGCGCCGCAGTAGCGCGTGCTGCAGCGGCCGCATTTCTTGCCCAAGGTTCGCCCAAGCTCGGTGGCGCAGACGGCGCACTGCGTGAGGATCATCTCTTATATGGACAAGTCGCTCGGGGGCAGCCCTACGATACCAAAAGCCTGATCTTAGGGCTAAGGCTAGTGCCTTACACGCCGCTAGCTCCGGTTTTTGTCTCCCATTTTGCACCGTGCAACGCAATCCGTGCGCTAGTTCTGGCCACCCCTGCGCAGCCGCGGCACGCCATCCCCTGCGCAGCCGCGGCACGCCATCGCTGCGGCGCACCCCGACGCGCGCAGCACCCGAACCCCAGGAGCCACACCTTGCAGCGCGGCACCATGCGCCTCCTCATAGCCCTCCTAGCAACCACTCATGCGTTCAAGCAGCAACGAGACGACAACAAGCCCCGCGGGAAAAGAAATGTATTATTTATGATCGCCGACGACCTGCGCCCGCAACTCGGCCATCTCGGACATTCTGATGTAGACACGCCCCAAATCGATCGACTCGCGAAAACGGGAGTCTCCTTCCGACGGGCCTACTGCCAAGCTCCCGCTTGTAATCCGTCGAGAAATTCTTTTTTGACGGGCATGTATCCAGACGTGAGCAAGGTGTTCTATTTCGAGGGAGTAACTCACTTGACGTTAGGAAAACGAGGAGAACTCGACGTCTTTACGCACATGCGGTCCCACGGCTACATCACCATGGGCGTGGGCAAGCTCTGGCACTGGGAGCCCATCGGCGAGCCGTTCACGCGGGGCACCGGGGCGCACTTCCCGAAATGGGGCACGTACTCCCAAGAGTGGGGCTGCGGCGACGAGGATTCTGGTGGTAGATGTTCTCCACGAAAGGAGGAGGTGCCGGACGGCGACATAGTGATGGGGCGCGTCTACCCGACGCAGGATCCCGCTGAATCATTATTCGACTACCGCGTCGCCAGTGACGCGAACAAGAAGCTGGCCCTAGGTGCGAAGCAGTGGTCGATGAGGAGACGGCCCTTCTTTTTGGGAGTGGGCTTCCACCACCCGCACACGAAGTGGCGCATTCCCGTTCAAACGTGGTCTCAGTATCAAGATAGGAGAATCGCCATGCCCGACATCCAACGAAAGACGACGGGCGCGCCCTTTTATGCTTTTGGGGACAACAACATCGCCCCGACGGCCATCACGATAGATGGTACGCGTCATCGAGTGCCCGCCAAACCCTATAAAGAGGGCAAAGAATTGCCGGAACACGTCGTCCGCGAATTGCGCCGGGGCTACCTCGCGTCCGTCGCGTTTCTGGACGTCCAAGTCGGCCGCGTCCTGGACCAAGTCGACAATTTGCATCTAGCGAACGACACGGTGATTATCTTCACGTCGGATCATGGGTATGGCATCGGGGAACGCGGGCACTGGGGCAAAGGCAGTTTGTACGAGATCGACGCTAGAGTACCTCTCATCGTGCGCGATCCGCACCATCGACACATGTGGGGTCGCTCGACGAACGCTTTAGTGGAGTTAGTGGACCTGTACAAGTCCGTCATCGATCTCGCACATTTGCCGTTCGGGAGACACATGTACCAGTGGTTGGAAGGTCGCAGCTGGCGGTCGATCGTGGAAACCGGCCAGGGCGGCAACTCCCACGCTTTGACCATCGTGCCGAAGTGCCACGGGAAGAAATATGGCGACGCGCCGCCGCACAACTGCGGCGGGAGAAGCTACGAGTGGCACCGCATGGAGGGCGGGACCAAAGCCGCGCTGGTGGGCTTCGCGGCGCGAAGTCACCGATACAGGTACGTCGCCTGGATGGACCACAACGAGTCGCTCGATGCCGTGGACTGGGCGCGCGCGCCGGTCGCCGAGGAGCTCTACGACAATTCGAAGATGGACGAAAAAGATCTAGATTCTTCTGATGCGATCAACTTGCTGTCGGCGGCCGCGCAGTTAAGTGGCGTCGAGTGGGCCGACGTGCGCGACAAGGCCGACGGGCATTTGCGGTGGCTGCGGCAGAGTGCGCGGGACCGGTTCTTTCGGGCGTTCGGCGAGTACCATACGAGACTGCATGACCAGTCCGATACGGTCAAAGAGTTCCTGCCGTCGCATAGTAGACCTGCGGCGCTGCCGCCGCGGGACCCTCCCGTGGATGCTGGGAGGGCGCCGCGCAAGAAGCCGCGGTTCTCCATGCGCGGGGCTTTCGAAGGCGGGCGCGCGCGGCGGCGCCAGGAGTGGGGACGCGTGTAAGGGTGTGTGATGTTCTATATTACAACGACGCTTCTTAGACCGCCTCGCCCCCCGCCGCGAGGCCCCTCAACAGTTCAAGCGCGTCCCGCGCGTCGGGCCTGGAAGAAGCCTCCGCGACGAAGAGCCGCCGCGCCACCTCGATCAACGGAGAGTAGAAGCCCGGGTAGCGCCTCAGGCATATGGACGACCGCGGCGGCGCCGCCGGCGCACTCAAAGCGCGGGAATGGCTCGACTCGACGATCACGGGTCCTCGTGCGCGTAACTCGCTCTCAAACGGCGAGTACCCGAAGGCCAGCGCCCAGCACAACGCCCCCAGCGCAAAGATATCGGAAGCGCCGCGTCGCGCGTCGCCAATTTGGGGCTGCCAGAGTTCGGGAGCCCTATATGTCAACGTAGAATGTTCTGCCGCGAAATCTTGTAAAGCTAGACAGTCCCTTCTATCCTGTAGAGGTGCCCCAAACCCCGAACAAGACCCGAGGTCCACGAGGACCCACGACGAGTTGTGCTGGAGGACATTATCCGGTTTCAGGTCACCGTGACATATTTGTGAAGCGTGGCACTCGGCGAGGGCCTCTCCGACTGCGACGAGGATGGACGCCGCCATCTGGGGCGTCAGGCACGTCCTCGTGGCCAAGGCGTCGTCTAAAAGCTTTCGGACGGAAACGCCATACAACGGGAAGGCCAGTCGGTAGACATTTCTCTCGATGCCGTAGTCCAATAACTCGGCAATCGTAGCATGCCTTAACTTGCCATGCGCTTCAATCTCCGCGTCGGCGCGCTGGGCGTGGTCGGCGTCGGGGCACCTAATTTGTTTTATTGCTATCGATCGCTTCGTCCTCACATCCACAGCTTCATAGACCGTCGCGAAGCCGCCCTCGGCGAGCACGGGGCCGACGTCGACCGAGCTGTTGTTCAATCTGACACGTTTTGCGAAGAGCCAGGCCCACTGTTTACAGAGCCAATTGATGCATGCCTGGAGCCAGGCCAGCATGGCGCGCCGGAGGCGTCTGAGGGTGAGGCGGCGGCGGCGCGCCAGCGCTGCGGGTCCGACCTTGCTGGATTTATGAGTTATAGGGCTCGTATAAGGCGATGCCGATGCCGGGCCAAGACCGTATCCTAGTATGTCTCTCCCACTAGCTGCGACTTGCCGATTTTTTGGTATCCGGTCGTGAGTAGGAGTCGGGGAGCCAACAGAGCGACCCTGGTCTTTAATACGTCCCATAACGAATCCTCGATCTCCTTCGCACGAGTACTGCTCGAGCCCTCGCCAGAGATTTGACCATGCCCAACAACTTGGCCCTGCTTAAGTATGGTGCCCCTCCACCTGCCCAGTGCTGGGGTGCGACTGCGACCATCCAGGAGGACGCGCCCCTCGACGAGGACGCCTCCGACGACGCGCCCCTGAACGACGACGTCCTGCGCGGGATCGCCGCTTCTGGCGGCGCGCGCCAGCCTGAGGCGGACGAGGCGAGCCTCGCGTCGCGCGCCACGAGCGCGCACACGGTGATTCCGACGCCCCACGGCCGGGCGCGCATGGGAGAGCGCGCGGTCTCGGTGAAAGAGCTCCAGACGGCGAAGAAATACGGAACAGTCACGCGCGCGCGCAATGGCAGGGACGGCGCGGTGCGCTGGAAGATCGAACACAACGGCATCGTCTACATCACGGACCGGACTCAGAAGCTGGTCATCACGACGTATCATCAAAGCCCAGAGGAGCCCGAAGCGAAGGACGCCCGGGTCCGGGAGCTGGTGCGGCAGGTCCGCGAGCTGTCGGCTGAGCGAAGGGAGGCAACAAATCGACTCGAGACTGCCGTCGCCATGCTGCTTATTGAGCATCGCGAGGAAGAACGTCGGCTCGAGGAACGGTTGGACGCTCTCGAGTCCGAGCTCGAAGATGCGCGCGGCCCGCGAGTCCAGGCGGCGGGTCCGCGCGACGCGGAGGAGAAGCGGGACGCGGCGCCGCCGCCCGCGCCTCCGCGCACGAAGAAGAACAGCGGCTCGGTGGCGCACGTGCCGTCGCTTGCCGATTTTCCCGCCCTCAACGGCGCGGTCTGGCAGGGCCCGGCGCCGTCCTCGGAGGACTTCTCGGCGAACGAGGCGCGCAACACCGCCTGCGAGGCCGCCGAACCGGCCCCCGCCGCCCCCGAGCCGCCGCCGCCGCCGCCCACCGTGCCGCACCCGTGGAAGGCCTTCTGGGACGCGGGGAGCAAGCGGTACTACTTCGGCAGCCCGCGGACGGGCAAGGTCCAGTGGGACGTACCGGTTGCGCCGCCGTCGCCCCCAAGACCGGCCTACACGGAGGCGAGCTACGAGCGGCTCGTCGCCGAGCTCGCGGAGGTCAGGGTCAGGCCGAGCCAGCACGCGCTGGATATCCTCCGGCGCCAGGAGGTGACCGTCGAGGACCTCTGCGATCTCACGCATCCCATGCTGGTGGCCGCGGGGATCGATCAAATCGACGTTTACATGATCTGGAACAAAATTGAAGTGCTCCGGAATCGCCAGATCGCTCGCAGGAAGTCTCGTGGGGGTTGTTAAGGCATTTGTACTATTAGTCACCCCGGCAGGTACCGCCCCAGCGGCAGTCCTAAGAGAGACGCGAGGTCGTAGGCCTGCCCCGCGTCCAGCAGACAGAGGAAGCGAGGGTTCGCCAAGTCGTCCAGACCAGAAGCTCTTTCCAAAGCGTTCTGATCCACGAGATCGGATAACGTTCGCAACACGTCGTCGTCGCGCACGTCGGGCAGCGACGACCCGTGCTCCTCCCGCAACCTCGCGTAGACCGCGAGCAGCCGATCCAACTGGACTGCTTTTGGGGCATCGACCCGCACTTTGGTCACGTCCCGCTTCTTCCTTCTCTTCTTCTTCTGGGGGTCGTGGCCGAACAACTGTTGGTCGTCCTCGGGCCGCGTTCGTGACGACACGTAGGCCGCTAAGAGTAATAAAGTTTCCGGTGCCGGCTCCTCGACACTCGTAGGAACATCACCGCGACATAACGCATCCACGTCGAGCTCGGGGTCCCGCAAGCGGGGGATCGCTGTTGTTAGTACTGGCCGGATGGCATCGTAGCCGGCGGCGCCACCTTGCTGCGTTTTGTAGAGGTCGAACAAAGGCGCCGACCGCGTGAGTTTCGCGAGATGTCCGATATCCGACGTCTCCCGCTTCGCGGCCGTCGCGACGGCCCTACAAAAGTCTCTAAATAAAGGTTCTTCGGAGTCGCATAGCGCTTGCGTTAATGACGTCGTCGTCGCGTTGTCTCGTAAATGAATCCGCACGGGATCCCGGAGTCGCTGCGACACTTGCGACAAGGCGCGGTCGTCTCCGGTGATGCACAGTCGCGGTGCGGTATCTGCGAGCCTACAAGCAGCACATAATCTGCGTAGCGCAGTAGCGCCCTCGTCACCCGCTCGCCTCGAGAGCAACCGATCGCCGTCTTCTAAAATAACAACACCCCGCGACAACGGTGCAGCTAAAGCAGCAGCATCTAATCGACGCGCCAGACTCTCCGCGGACACTCTGTCACTTTTCCCGTCCGCGGCAACTGCGCATCTCTCAAGTAACTTGGAGCCCGTCTCGTCCGACGAACACTTCACGCGCGCCACCGCCAGACCGCATTGCGACGCCGCTTCGCACGTGACGGGACCACTCTCTTGTCCAGTCACGATCATAGGGGCGTCTCCCGGCGCTCTCAAAGCAGAAACCAATAAAGACGCCTCCTTCCGGCGCGACGGGTAGCGCTTCGCGAGGGCGTCGACGACGTCTTGGGACGCCTTTGGCCTCTCTACCACTTCAGGCGTATCGGGCCGTCGCACGACCGGTCGCGCTTGTTGCGGAGACTGGGCGTCACCTAAACCTAACGCAGCCAAGAACGCTCGATTGCGCGCGATCTTTTCATTCCTAGCCTGCTCGTACTCGGAGAGGGGCTCGGGCGTGTCCGCCATAGTGGCCCTTGCGCGCCCAGTGGGCTCGGTTGCGTGGCCGCAGCGCGTGCAGCGAGCGTGGCTGCCGCGGCGGGGTCGCAGCTGTGCTCGGAGCTCGCGATATTGCAGCGATGTGCCCCGTAACGCAGCGCGCGCGCGCAGCTCGAGCTAGCTAGCGTCTGTAAAGACACTAGCAAGCCAGAAAAGTCCGCGCGAGGCCTCTCCCTTGGGCGACTACCCGTCGGAAGGCTGGTTTCTATGCGTCCGACGCCATCCGTAGCTGTCCCGCGTCTCCCGCGTCTCGCGGTCATCTCTGAGGTTTGAATCCTTGAATCGCTGACGCGAGGCAGCTACGCTGCTCTGCCTTGACGAAACCGCGATTGGCCGATATTGCAGCCGGCAGCAACGCAAAAAGCAAGCTCTGCGTGCAAAAATTGTAAAACCCGGGTCGTGCGGCTCAAAATCGCAGGTCGCGCAATCGCGTCGGAGAATACGAATTGTGGCGCGCTTACACGTGTGAGCACAAGTCCAAAGAACAGCAAAACGATGCAGAACGACGCTGGCGCGGCAGCAGCCCTGCCGCCGGCGCCAGCGACAAGCGCGCCGCCCGCGGCCGAAGAGAGCAGCGCGGCGCCCGTCGCGGCGGCCGCGGCGAGCAGCGCGGCGGCGCCGCCGCAAGACGCGCAGGACGCGCCGCGGCCGGCGCCCGCGCCCACGGCCATGGACACGGACGCGCCGGCGGCGCCGGACGCCGCGCCGGCCGCGCCGGGGCCCGAGCCGGCCGCGGCCGCCGAGCAGCCCACGGCCATGGACACGGACGCGCCGGTGCCCGCGGCGCCGGCGCCAGCACCCGCGGCGCCGGCGCCAGCACCCGCGGCGCCCGCCGCCGCGGCCATGGACACCGACGCGCCAGTGCCCGCGGCGCCGGCACCGGCGCCGCCAGCGCCGCCGAAGCGCGTCCGCCTCCAGACGGACGGCGAAGCAGATGCGCCGCTGGCGACGATGGACACGCCGGAAGGAGCGGAAGTTCGAGTAGTGGGCGGCCCCCATGTCGATTGCCATGGCAAGCGGGGCCTAGTGGAGAAGACGGACGACCAGTTCAGCGTGGGCGCCGTCGCGCGCTGCGCGGCGCGCGGGCAGTTAGTGATCGGCGTCTACAACATGGGCAGAAAAGCCATCGCCCCGGAACATCTCAAAGTAGTAGCGGCGCCGCTACCTAAAGTGGTAGAAAAGAAGCCCGAGCCGAAGCCGAAGCCGAAGCCCCGAGTGCCGTTGACGGGCGCCCTCAGCCTACTCGCGCCGCGGCCGCAAGCGCCGCGCGTCGCGACGCGGCCGCGACCGACGCCCGGGCCGCGCTGGCCCATTGATCAAGATTTAGACAGAAGAGCCTTAGAATTGGACCCGCGGACGCTGAGTTACGACGTCCCGCGCACGGAATCCAAATTGATACCGCGCGAGATCGAAGAGCGCGAGGAGAGAGAGTTGCCGGAGCCGCTGCGGTACGTCGAACCTTCAAGTGATGAGGACGACGACGACCCATACAAGGGCCAACCTAGACTATGGCACAAGGCCTGGTGCCACACGTCGAATAGGACGTATTATTACGATCTATTGACGCGGGACGTGTCGTGGGTCGAACCGGAACACATGGACACTACCGGATTGCCGGGGCCGCCCTGCGCTATAATAGAACCAGATGTTATTGAGGCCGAAACACCGTCCATGCTCGGCTGCGGGCCGCCGCGGAACTGGGTCACGCTCGCCCAGCCGAAGTCGTCGCGCGCGCGAGCCGTCATCACGCAGATCGACGTGTGCGGCGCGTATATTGGGTTGGCCTTCGACGACGGGCGGGTGGAGCTCTGGGCGTGGTTCGGAGATCTGGTGTTCGGGGGCCTCCTGGAGGCGACGTACGTCGTGAGGCGGTGCCTGCGCTTCGAAGGTCTGGAAAGCACGGACGTCGAAGACTCAAAAACGTACGCGACGGTGGACTACGCGGACCCCATTAAATCCCTCGTGGACGGTCTGGTGGCGCGCGTCGCGAAGGACGCGCCGGCACATATCGTACGCTCGAGGACCTACGACGACTCCGATTCATCGGATGACGATTCGGACGAGCAGGTCCAATTACTGCCGCGGGACTTCGAGGCGACGCACATCAGGATGCGGCCTGGAAGAGTCATTGCGGAGGACACCTCCGTATGCGGAAGAAGAGGACCCGTCGCAGCCGCCGAGGCGCCGGATTGTGTGGTTGCGGCCTACCACTGCGAGAGGCATGGAGTTGTTTTTTCCTGTTGGAGAGTGAGGGAAGGTATCAAAGGGGCCCGCTGGCCTAGAATGTCGCGGAAATTTCCTTTTACGGAGACTCATGCTATTGCGGTGTCCTGCAAGGACGTGGCGGCTGCCGTTATTGGGGGCGAGGGGCTCGTGGATGGCGAATCGGTATCGGCTCTCTACTTGGTCGACGGCGTCGGTACGAAGCAGTTCAAGCTATTAAGGTTAGATTCGGCGGAGGGCGACGATAGAGATGCCAGGTGGGCCCTCGCTTTCGCCGGGAGTTCGTTGGTAGCGATGCCTTGTACGAATGCATGCGTGATTTTCAACGGTGAGCAACAATGGGTCCGGGAGCGGCGCGTTGTTTTTGGCGAGGATTTATATCCTCGCGCGCCTCTTTGTTGTGCCGTCGATGAACATAGGATCGCGTGTTCCGACGGGGATAGCGTCGTGGTGTTAGATGCGACAACAGGAGCGTTCCTTAAGGAGCACCGAACTTTTCTGGAAGAGAAACGCGCAGAGGAGAAAAGACCCTGGAGGATCACGAACGTCGGCTGCACGCACAACAAGATCTCGGTCGTGTTAGATGCCAGTGGTGAGGGTTATAATGACGGCGCCGCTTATGTTTTTGATGCCGACCAAAGTGAGGTGGAGCGGCTGGGCATCGTCCCCAAGAAGAAGCGCGTCGTCCTGACCGATAAAGAACTTTTCGAGGACGACGTCTGGCTGGCCTCGCGCGAGAAAAGAGACGACGACGACGAGGACTACCCGGAAGGCCACGAGTCGCACGACGACGAAGATGATGAGTCGTCGGAATCCGACGAATCGAGCGCGAGGCCGGCCTGGCGGGACGAGTTTGATCGGGAGTTTGAAAAGGCTAAGCCTGCGACGCCGAAGACGCCGGAAGAATGGGGCGTCGCGTCGTGCGGGAGATCTGCGGGGTTCGTCCACGTCGAGGCGCCTTCGACGTATTATGATGACGACGATGCGTTGCGGGAGGGCTATGCCGAGGAAGATGTTAGCGAGGAGGCGGTGATCTATCCGTCCCGTCGTATCGATAACGATACGGATGCGGACCTCATCAAACGATGTGTCGAAAGAGGTAGTGCCTTCACGGCAAAAACCAGCTATTCTGTGTTGTTGAGGAACGCCTCGAGTGATCCCGACGGAGAGAAGATTGATGATGATTACGAGCTAGATGCTACGGTATTCCTGGAGGGCGACGAACCTTCTCGTACCGAATGGTGCGCGAAGCACGGCCTCGTTGTTGATAGTACTACTACCACAGAAGACGTCAGAGAGATAGTTGATAGCGGAGCCGTCCACGAAGTGACGAAGCGGCGCCGCCGCGCTCTTTATAGAAGGCGGCCCAAGAAGAAGGCGCCGTTGTCACGGCGGCGGTTACTGCGGGACATACCGCAGGGTGTCAAAGTGGACGAGACGCGCCCTTCATCAGTCTTGCGGGTCGAGGCCGCGGATCGCGATGCCGCAAAAACAGCGGCGGAGGCGGCGCGTTTGGCCGCTTTGCCGTGGTTCGAGCGCGAGGCCCTATTAGCTGGACGGGAGCCGGTGCGGCGCGCGCCCTCGCCGCCGGCCGCCGCCGCGCCGGTCTCGGAGGACGTCCGGCCCGGGCTCGCGGCGGCGACGGCGGCCGCGGAGGCGGCGGAGGCGGAGGAGGCGCCGTCGGCGAAGCGCCCGCTGTCGGACGACGACGGCGATGCGGCGCCGGCGAAGAAGGTGAGAGTAGACGATGTGGACCCGGCCCTCGACCCGAAGAAGCTCAAGCGTCTTAAAGTAGAGGAGTTAAGGGCCGCCCTCGAAGGTCTTGGATGTGATACGGAGGGCACCAAGCCGACGTTGGTGGAGCGGCTCATCGAGGCGCGCGCGGCGTCGGCGGCGCCCGAGCCCGTGGAGATGGAGGCCGAGCCCTCGCCGGCCGACGCGCCGGCGCCGGCGCCGGCCGAGCCGGCCGCGAATGCGGACGCCGAGATTGATCCTAAAAAGCTCAAGCGCTGGCGCGTCGAGGAGCTGAGGGCCGCGCTCGAGGCGCTTGGCCAGGCGACGGACGGGCACAAGCCGGCGCTCGTCGAGCGGCTCGTCGCCGCGCGCCGCGGCGACGCCATGGAGGACGACGGCGCCGCGCCGGCCGCCGCGCCGGCGGCGCCCGCGCCCGCGCCGGCGGCCGACGCCGAGACCGAACCCGCGCCCGCGCCCGCGCCCGCGCCCGCGCCCGCGCCCGCGCCCACGCCGGAGCTCGACCCGAAGAAGCTCAAGCGTCTTAAGGTAGAGGAGCTGCGCGCCGCGCTCGAGTCCCTGGGCCGCTCGACCGAAGGGAATAAACCGGCGCTCGTCGAGCGGCTCATCGAGGCGCGGCGCGCGGCGGCGAGCGGCGCGCCCGAGCCCGCGGCGGCGGCCGAGCCCGCGCCCGAGCCCGAGCCCGCGCCGGCCGCGACCGCGGCGCCGGCGCCGGCCGCCGCGGACGCGGAGATCGATCCTAAAAAGCTGAAGCGCTGGAAGGTCGAGGACCTCCGCGCGGCCCTCGAGGCCCTGGGCCAGGCGACGGACGGCACGAAACCTATCTTAGTAGAGCGCCTCGTCGCCGCGCGCCGCGCCGCGAGCGGCTACGAGACTCCAGTCGACGAGGAGCCCCCGGTGCTGGACCTGCCCGACGACCGGGGCAAGCTCAAGGAAATGTGCGCCCGGGCGGGCGTGCCTTATAGCCCCAAGGACGCCCTCGAGCGCGTGAAGAATAGACTGCGGAAGGCGCCGCCCAACACGGTGCTCCACGAGCGCGGCGGCGGCGGCTGTGACATGTCCGACGACGACCTGGATATGAGTAATGGCCACGGCAACGGCCACGGCAACGGCCACGGTGTCGACGAGGACGCGGCGCGCGACGCGCGGCGCATGAGCGTCGGCGACCTACGGGAGACGCTGGGCCGCGGGAATTTGGACAAAGCGGCGCTCGTCGAGCTGTACGCGCGGACACGGCATGCAGCCGTGCCGGAGGCGGCGCCCGTCGCGTCGACCATATCACGAGCGGCAAGAGACGTCCGCTGCGAACTCGCCTATCTCGGCGAAGACGTCTCCGACGACGACGTCACGCTACAAAGAAGGCGCGCTTTATTGAAAGAGGCCTACGAGGAGGAGGAGGCGGCGTCTTCCTCAGAAGATGAAGACGAGCCCCCAGAGGTGGATGGGAATCGCCTGCCGAAGCGTTTTGGAGGAAACCCGAAGTTTCCCTCTCGTCGCGCCAGGGACTGGGCCTTGGACGATGCGGACGGGGCGCACGACCAGGACGTGGCGTCGTTGGGCGCGGCCATGGCTTGTGCTGTCAGTAGGTGGGCGTCGCGGAGCGAAGAAGACGACTTCGCGTACCACATGAAGTGCGCTCGCGGCGTCCCGCGGTGCTGCGGTGCCTTCACTTCATTCAAACGACTCGTGTCCATCTCACGATGGCGTGGGTGGTTTATTTTTCGATTTTGATGCTCCGCGCAGGCGCGTGGACGAATGCGTGGCGGTCGGCGCGAGATTTGATGAGCCGCTTACGGACCGAGATCTACGAGATAGGGCGGATCGGCGCGTCGACTGGCGCTGCGTCAACGACTACCAGTACAGGAGTAAGCGAGATGAGACGGTAGATGAGCTGGCTTGGCGCGGCGTCTGGGTACCGCGGAAAGCTACGGAAGCGACGGCGAAGCGCCGGTTGCGGTACGACGACCGCGGCGGTCCTTCTGCGCCAGAGGTAGAAGAGGAGGACGAGGACGAGGACTACTCGAGCGAAGAGGAGGAGGAACCCGTCGGAGACGTCGTGGCGGACGCCGTCGCGGCGGCCGTGGCCGCCGACGCCTGGCACTACCTCGAGATGCTACGGCTCGAGAACGACGAGGAACTGAAAAAGTTGAGGGAGGAGGAGCGCCAAGCTGAACTCGAGGACCTCAGGAACATTCCCCGCCTGACGTCGTCGCACCTGTCGCATTTTTTTGGTGATCCTCGCTATGGTTTACGGTGTCGCCTCGTCGCGCTCGGGCATGATCATAGGGTGCGGGTCTGCGGTCCCGACTTCCAGACGTCCTTCGTGGGCGCAGCGTTCCCTCTTGGCTATGAGTTGTTCGACAAGAATTATGCGTTTATGGAACCGGAGAACTGCGAGGATTTGAGAAGAGGTATGCGGGACCGCGAGGTCCACGAGGATGATATAGCTACCACTCATGGCTTTGCTCGCGTGCGGTTCGACGACCGGGAGCAAGGTTGGTACACAGATATAGGCGAGGACTGGTCCTGGATGTGGCCCTATAGCTCGCCGATCACGATGCACGGGCGGCGGTTCACGGAGGCACGGAAAGCGGACCGGGAGCTGCTCGGGAAGAAGGCGGCGGTCGGCGCGATGTTCGGGTGGCGGGACTACCTCTGATTAGTTATTATTTAACGGTTGTTGTTTGGTACTTATATAATCTTGAGGTCGACGACGCTTGTTGTTTGGTACTTATCACATAGCTAGACGATCTTGAGGTCGACGACGCCGTAGCCGTCCTGCTCGCGGACGGCGAGGCCCGCGAAGCCCGTCGCCGGCGCGGAGACGGTGCGCCGGGCGGTGTAGGAGCCCTCCGGGAACGCGCGGGCCGTGGTCACCGCGGCGCCGGCCGCGTCGACGCCGACGAGCCGGACGTCGACGACGCCGCGGCCGCCTTGCTCGAAGACATCGAGCGCGGTGATCGTCGCCGGCGCCGGGAGATAGACCGGGGGCTCGGCGTCGGCGTTCTTCGTGGCGAGGTCCGCCGCCGCGCCCGGGGCGCCGCGCAGGCCGACGTCGACGACGCCGTAGTCGTCCTGCTCGAGGACGGCGACAGCGGCCGGGGCGGCCGCGTAGACGCGGTACTCGCGCTGCGCGTCGCGGTTGCCGAGCGCCCAGCCGTCGACGCGCGGATGCTCCGCGCGCCAGCCGTAGGCCCGGCCGGGCGCGTCGACGATGCGCGCGCAGAGGCGCCGGCCCTCGGCGTCGAGGCCCGCGTGGACGTGCGGCGGCATCGACGGCGCGCACCAGCCCGCGTTCCAGGCCGGCGCGTACTCCACGTTCGGCAGCGGCCGGAGCTCGTCGGCCGTGACGTTCACCGTGCCCGCGTGCCACGCGCGGGGGTCGCGGACGACGACGGAGCCGGCGGGCAGGCGGCCCCCGACGAGGACCGTCGAGAGGCGGAACTCGTCCCGGCGCGGGTCGGCGTCGCCGGGGCAGCGCCGCGTCTGCGTCGAGAAGCCGGCGACGGCCGCCGTGACCTGGGCCGTGGGCCCGTTGAGGCCGTGCAGGTCGGAGACGGCGAAGTTCACGACGACGGCCGGCGCCGACGGCGCGTCCCAGTTCTTCATCCGCACGCCGTTGTAGACGACGTCGCCGTCGCCCAGGTCCGAGTGCAGCTCCTGGTACTCGACGGCGCCGGGCGCGGTCAGCTCGCCGCCCATGCCCGTGCAGACGTGGCCCGGGCCCATGATCTCCGCGAGGACGGGCGCGATCCGCGGCACGTGCACGCAGTCCGCCCAGGCCTTCACGTGGCTCAGCTGCCGCGTGAGCGACGCCACCCCGAGCGACCAGCGCTGCGCGCCGCGGTTGCCCGCGGGCACGGCGTAGGGGACCACCGCCGCTGCCCGCTCGACGCCGCGGCGGAGCGCCTCCAGTCGCGCCGGGTCGAGCGCGTCGAGCAGGACGACGGAGCCGTCCCGCCGAAACAGGCTCGCCGCGCGCTGGACGTCGTAGCCGCCGTCCTCGCCCGGGCGCAGCACCTCGAGCCCGGGCGATCCGTGGTTCGTCCTTGTGAGGCGCTCCCGCAGCTCCCGGACCTCGTCGTCGTCATACTTGGCCTCGCCGATCCACGACGCACCCGGCCGCCGCAGGCGGTAGCCGTTGCGTTCCTCCCTTTCGCGGTGCAATTGTGCGAGGTCCGGCGCGGCCTCGTCGGAGTCGTCCGCCGTCAGGTCAATCGCTTTCCTCTTCTTGCTGGCCATTTGAGAAGCGATTTTGCGCTATCCTCTATCCGGTGTGCATGCAGCAGGCTCGCAGCAGTAGTGCAGTGCTTAAAGCAATGCCCAGGACAGCAACTGCGATAATGTGGGCAAATGTGAGACTAAATGAAGGCGACCTGGGCTAGCGGCGTGACTTACTAGCCCGCTTGGCTGAAACAAACAGACGCTGTACAGGCCTGCCAGAGCTGCTATAGGACCCATAGCGAGCAGCATACATCGCCCGCCGACGGCCGCTAGCGCGCGCAGATACATCGCCGAAGGAGCTACCGCGCAGCAGGCATCCCGGAGGCAGACGCGCGCCATGGCCACGACCCAGCCCGCACGCGTCCCCGCCGAGGAGGCCGCCACCCACTTACGGCAGATGCGCGGCGCCCTGCGACGGCTTGTGGGCGCGGCGCGCGTCGGCGACCCGGTCGACGAGTCGACGCATTTAGGGCACGCGGTCGAGTTGCACGCGGGGGAGATCGCGAGGGCGGCGGACCAGCTGCTGCGGCTGCTCGGCGAGCTGCGCGAGGCGGCAGCGAGGGCGGACATGCGGCGGAGCGACGCGGACGTGACGGACGAGTTGCGGCGCTTCGAGGCCGCGCGTTCAAAGCGGCGCGCGGCGCGTGAGGCGCGCGGGCCGGCGTAAGTGTTGTTGTACGTGTCATTCGTCGTCTGGTGTTTGTGCGAGTGAATCAAATTTAATCGGGTTTCGTGGCGCTTTTTCTCGATCGTTGGCTGCTGGTGCGACGCCATCGGGCTGCCGCAACACAAAAACCATGGAGGCGGCCCGCCGAAGAGCGGTCCGCGACCTGCGCGAGATCGCCGAGGAGGCCGAGGCTCCGGCTGGATCAGACGGGGCAGCACTGAGGCGCCGCCTCGCGGAGCTCCGGGCGCGCGTGCTCACCGTCGCGCGGGCCCTCGCCGCCGACGCGCCGCCGCCGCCGCCGCGCCGCGAACGGCGCCCGCCGGACCCGCTGCGACCCCACAACGCGCCGGCCGCGGCGCCGGCCAAGCCGCCCGCGCCGCCCGCCGCGGAGGCGCCGGACGCCGTCGCCGCGGCCGCGGGCCGCCTCGCCGAGGCCGCCTACCGCGCCCTGGAACGGCTCTTCGGCGTCGTCGACGCGGACTATCGCGAGGCGCCCGCAAGACGCGCGGCGTCGCCCCTCGACGCCGCGGCGCTCGCGCGCTTCCGGCGCGTGCTGGGGGCCGTCGCGGGCGGCCGCGTCCGGCGGTGCCTCGACGCGCTCGACGCCGCCGCCGACGCGTCCACGTCAGATGATGATGATGACGCCGGCGGCCGCGCGGCCGGGCGCGCGAGCTACGCCGCGCTCCAGGCCTGCTGGACGCGCCACCGCCGCGACCGCCGCGACCCGCCGCGCGGCTCGCCCGAGAAGCGCCTCAGCGAGCGCCTCCACGCGCACGCGCCGTGCTCGCGCACCGGCTGCGTCGTCTGCCGGAGGCGGTGTGAGGACAACGCCCTGCTCCAGAAGGAACTCGGCGTGAACGACGAGGCGGGCCCGCGGGAGTTGTGGGCCGCCGTCGCGCGGCCGGCGCCCGATTTCACGCAGGCGGACCTCGAGGCGAGTCTGTGGCGCGCGGCGTTACTGGTTCGCTGCCACGATCGAAATCGGGGCCTCCGGCTGAACCGCGACGAGGCGCAGCGGAAGCTTCTGGATCTGCGGTGCTACGAGCTTTTGTTGGCCTACGTCCGCGCCGCCGAATAAGTCACATTTGTCGTCTTACCCCATCCCGTCGCAGCCGCGCGTCCGCCACTCGGTCTGGGCCTCCGCGGGCGCGGTCCCCCAGGACACGCCGGGCACGACGGCGTAGGCGGCCCGCAGCGCGGCGCAGCGCGCGCGGTCCGCGGCGTCGTCGGCCTCGCGCGCGTCGTCGACGGCGCGGCCCGCGTCGCGTTGCCGCGCGAAGTCGTCGACCTCCGCCTCGGGCTCCGCCGCGGCCCAGTCCCGCTCCGGCGCGGCCCAGTTCTCCTCCGGCGCCGCGGCCCAGCTCTCCGCCGCGGCCCAGCCCGGGGCCGAGGCGGCCGCGAGGTCCTCCGAAAACGCCGCGTCGACGGCCCGCGCGAGGAGGTCCGCGTCCCCGTACAGTTCCGAAAACGACGCCGCCTCCGCTCGTTCCTCCACCACCAAGCCCGCGACGCGCTTCACGAGGAGCTGGTTCTCCAAAGCTTCCTGCTCCGCGCTCAGCAGCCGCGCGGCCAGCGCCTGGCGCGCGAGGCTCGCGGCGGTTTCCGCGTCCTCCTCGCCGCCCCTTTCACAATGCGCGTCGTGGCGGATCGACGCCGCCAATACGACAACTAATAAGAGCGCCGCGGCGCCCACGGCCAGGGCCAGGTCGCGGCCGCGCAGGCGGCCCTCCCTCGTGGTCATGCGTGATCACTGATCACTGCACAGGGCGGGTCAGCGCTCGAGGGATGTAGTGATGCGCACACTACACCGTGCAGTCGCTGGGCGTAAGATGGAACGCGCCTCGAGCTTAGTCCTTAGCAAGCACGCTGCCCTGCACGCCTCTCGAGTGCGCCTCTTGTGATGCTAGTATCTCTACTGCTAGCCTAAACAACAATACCGAACCACCCAGCAACTTGCCCCTGCGATCTAACTTGATCACAAACCACACGATTACCACCACTACACGCCGCCCCGGGAAAAGAGCGGCTCGAGCGCGGCCGCCGCGCCCGCCGCGTCGCCGCGGAGCGCCGCGCCGTAGCAGGCCTTGCAGGCCGCCCGCGCGGCCGCCGCGTTCTCATCAGCACCGTGCCGCGTGCAGGCCAGCAGACGTTTAGCTGTCGCCGTCAGCAGCGCCCCGTCGTTGTCAGTAAGCGCGAGCGCGCGGACCGCCAGCAGCAAATCGCCCGGCGCGTCCACGAAGGCCGCGAGCTCGCGCGCCGCCGCCGCCGCGACCTGGGGATCGCTCGCCCGCAAGCCACTGGCCGCCGTCGCGAGGTCCCGCACGCGCATCTCTCGCCTCTTCTGCGTTGATGCTAGGGACCCCAGGAAGCGGCCCCGCTGGAGCCGCGCGCAGGCCGCGCCGCGGGGCGTCGCCGCGACGGCCACGGCGCGGTCGAACGCCCGCTCGGCGCCCTTGCCGACCTTTGAAGTGGCGAGCGCCTCGAGCAACGCGCACGACGCAATTTCGGCCGCGGCCTGGAGCTTTAAGTTAGCATCACAAGCGATCGCGAGGGCCGCCTCGCCCGCGCGCTGCGCGTCTTGGGCCACGGCGACGGCTTTTCCCGAGTCCTGGCGGTCTAGGAGATGAGCGGCCTCGCGCTTTTGGGCGAGGGCGACCTCGAGGCGCACCCGCGCTTCGTTGTCGACGTCGCCGCACGCGTGGAGGCGGCAGAGCGCCGCGTGGAGCCAAGATCTAGAAGTGGCGTGATTTTGTGAAGCGATCCGCGCGCCGACGGCGGCCTGGCTCGCCCCGAGGCGCGCCGCAACCACCAGAGCTTCCGGAGATGACGGCCCGAAGGCTAAGCGCGTCGCCGACAGCGCCGCCTCGAGCGACGCCGCGAGCTGGACGGCGTGCGCCAACGATGAAGGCGTCGCCTCGTCGCTACGATCGGCCTCTGAAGCCGCAGCTCGTAGCGACACGGCGTCATTCTTAAATCGTGGCGCGACGCCGTCCTCGTGCGCGTCGAGCGCCGCGTTCCGCGCGGCGCGGGCCGCGTCGCCGCCGGGATCCCCGAAGCGCTCGCCGACGTCTTCCAGGAGCTTGCGCGCGTCTCCGGGCACGACACCGCGCGCGCACCAGCCGTGCGGGTCTCTAGCTGCCTCGTGGGCAAACGCGCAGGCCACATGCCTTAAAGCCGCCTCGCGCGCCTTCGTTAATTCAGAAGACAGGCACCTCCTAATTTCATGCATGAGCTCCGCGGGCCGCTGCGCCTCGAGGTGGCGCTTCGCGAGGGCCAGGGCGCAGTCGATTGCGACGTCCCGGATGTCCGCGCTTTCGAAGCGCCTCCTTGCTCTTTCTAGCGTCGCCACGTCATAATCGAGGCGCTCGAAGCCCGCCGCGTCCGAAGCGGTCGAGGCGCACCCGAAGAAGCGCCTCGCACTCTTTGATAGACTGGAAGGCACGAAACCGGGTAACAAAGCCAGGGCCCCGGCCTCGTGCAGCGACCTTCGTAAAGCGTCGTGCGACGCGCCGCCGAGGTCGCGCACCTCACTTAATAGATCAAGCGCCGAGTCGATCAGGGCACCATGTCTCTCCCTCAACTCATCTGAGACGTCCTCGGACGACCGCAGGTGCGCGCCCAACCGCCGCGCGATCCTCGCAGCTAATGTAGCTAGGAGCCACTTCCAGTGCCGCTTACTCGTATCCGCGAGCCGGTTGACGTCGTACAATTCGATATGAGCTCCTTGGCCCCGCGTCGTTAACACATACGTGGCGCCCTCTTTGTTACAATGCTTCGCGAGGAACCTTAGGAGTTGAATCGCGTCCTCGTTGATCGTTCTTATGTCGAACAGCGCCTGCTCGCCGCGCCCCGCGAGCGTGTGCGGCACCTCGCAGACGTCCACAATTCTCCCACCAACCACCAGGCCCTCGTCGTTCGACAGGCACAAAGCTACTCGAGGTGCGCCCGTCAAGATCGCGTCCAGCCAGCAGTCCAACGCCGCGAGCCGCTTTTGGGACGAGGACTGTAGCGAGCTTATCGTAGATAACCGGAGCGCGCAGCCGCCCCCCAGCAGGGCGCAGTCGCTCCCCGACAACAGTTGCAGGTCGCCGAGCCGCCACCTCCTGACCCGAACGTAGGGCTCGTGCGGCTTCAAATCGTAACTATCGTCATCATCATTGGACGGCGCGAGCTGGCGCGCGCAGCGCTCGGCGTATTGAGCTTCTTCTCTCCGTCTTTCAGTTAAAGACGTCTGGCTCTCCTTGGCTAACGCCGTGCACGCTAATAATGCCGCCTTGGTCCGTTCGGCGGGCGTCGTGGGCAGCGCCTTCTTGGCCGGCGGGGCCGCCTCCTCAAGAACACCGCCGCTCTCGAGGACCAAAGCCCCCCCGACGTTCTGCACGACGAGCGTCGCGGGGCCCCACGGCAGCGCGAAAAGCGTCGCGAGCGCTCGTTGGTCGGCGACAATTAACGGAGGCGGCTTCTGGGTCTGTGTCACGAGGTGGCGCTCGAAGGGCACGACGCCGCGGCTGTGGAGGAGGTCGCGGCGGTGGTACTCGATGAGCGGGGCGACGGCCGCCATGTTTGGATGCTGGGCGGTCTTGCTCGATCGAAGGGACGTCGGCTCCTGCGGATCACGACCGCCGCTGGACGGTGGGGTGGCCCCGGCTGGAGAGGGCGTCCTCCAGTGTCGACGGATGCCCGTCGACGACGCAGCCGTGCGAGCAGCACTGGGGATCCTTCCGATCAACAGAGGAGCTGTTTGCGCCGACGTTCGTTTTGATCTCCAAAGACGACGAGGGCTGATTCTAGTGGGTAACTAGATTCTAGTGGGTAACTACGCTAGCCCGCGACAAGCCTCTGCCACCATCGCACGGACTGCAACCTGCACGGATCCTCCTTTTGGAGCCGTCTTCCAGACTACCCCTACTCCATCCTCCCATACCATCGTCGCCGTCCTCCGCCGTCGTCTCACGCTACGCCCTCGTGCCAAGGCAGCGCAAAAAATAGCATGGCTTGCAAGGCCGTATTCGTGCTCGAGCGCAACGCGCCGCCGGCGCAACGCTTGGCTATCCATCACACAAAATAGCACCGCTCGCTAGCAAAATGAGGCCTCCCGAACGGCTCCGACGCTGCCGCGACGCCGCCGGAGCGCTGCCGAGGTCCGAGCGGAGAGGACGGAGACGCTGCGGCAATGAGCGCGCGCGCGAAACCGCAGGACCGCGACCGAACCCGCCCTCGCAGGTCCCCGCTCGCGCACACAAAAAACCAACAATGTCCGAGACCGAGACCGCCCCCCCGAAGACGACGACGCCGGCCGCCGAGGGCCGCGGCCGCGGCGCCGGCGAGGGCCGCGGCCGCGGCGGCCGCGGCCGCGGCCGCGGCAAGGGCAAGGGCAAGGGCAGCGACGCGCGCGCGCGGGCGAGGGCCGCGGCGAGGGCCGCGGCCGCGGCGCCGGCCGCGGCAAGGGCCCTTCCGAGGGCAAGGGCGGCGAGGACGGCCACTGCGTGACGCTCCACAACCTGAGCTACGACACGAAGCGCTACGACCTCAAGGAGCACGTCAAGACGGTGCTCGACGGCGGCTTCGGCCGCGTCGACCTGCAGACGAAGCCCGACGGCACGTCGACGGGCCGCGCGCGCGTCGGCTTCCGCTTCCTGAAGGACGCCGAGGCCGCGGCGAAGGCGCTCGACGGCAGCGAGCTCGACGGCCGGAACCTGAGCGCGCGCGTGGCGCCGCCGCGGCGCGAGCGCCCCGCGGGCAAGGGCGCGCCCGCGCCCGCGGGCAAGGGCGCCGCGGCGCCCGCCGCGCCCGCGGCGCCCGCCGGCAAGCCCGCCGCGCCGCGCGCCGCGCGGCCGCCGCCGCGCGCGCCCGCGGCCCGGCCGGCGCCGTCGACGGGCAGCTTCAGCGGGGGCCCCGTCGACGGCGGCGGCGGGCTCACCGGGCGCAAGGCGCCGCCGCCGGCGCCCGCGCCGGCGCCCGAGCCGGCGCCCGAGCCGGCGGCCGCGCCCGCCGCCGCGCCTACCGCCGCGCCCGCGCGGGCCGCCGCCGCCAAGCCCGCCAAGGCGGCGCGGCCGGCGCCCGCCAAGGCCCCGGCCCCGGCGCCCGCGCCGCCGCCCGCGCCGCCCGCCAAGGCGACGTGGGCGTCCATCGCCTCCGTCAAGCAGGCGCCGCCGCCCGCGCCGCCGCCGCCGCCGGCCCCCGCGCCGCCCGCGCCGGCGGCGCGGCCCCCGCGCGCGCCCCGCGCGCCGCGCGCGCCGCGCGCGCCCGCCGCGTCCGCCGCCGCGCCCGCCGCCGCCGCCGACAAGGCGCCGCCGCGCCCGCGCCGCGACCGGCCGGCCCCGCGGCCGCGCGCCGCGCGGCCCGCCGCGCCGCGCCGGCCACCGCCGGCCCCGGCCGGCGGCGGCGCCGGCGGCTACGACCCCTTCGGCAAGCCCACGGTCTACGGCGGCTCGTCGAACCTGGGCCTCGTGCCGGAGACGTACCTCAAGGACACGGAGGGCATGAAGCTCGAGGAGATCGAGGGCGTCGCCAACTGAGTTCCTCAGGCTATGGATCGAGGGGCGCGGCGGCGGCGCGCGTACTAATTTTCTCCCGGGTTACTCGTATGCTCATTTGTAAGATGATGGGGTAGTGGACGGGCGCAGCAGCCCTCGACTGCAAGATGGGCGACGACGATTGAGGCGGGCGCGACGACGGCGTGGCGCCGGCGCTCGTAGAGCAGCCGGCGACGTCGTCCGGGAGCGGCGCGCGGGTAAGGAATTCGCCTTCTATCATTGTGCTGCCGATGACTTACACGGGCTAGCTATGCGCGCGGGAACTAGGGGGAGAGTGGCTTGCGCGGCGGCGATCGAGATCGTCTTTGGGCTGGTCTACTAGTAGACGATTTCAAACTGGTCCGCTGAAAGTATAGGATACTCACCATTGAAAGTAGTGACTTCCCCATTGGCCTGCGTTTGGAAAAACTTGTATCCTGGCCTGCAGTAATCGTAACCAGATTTTTCGTGGTATCGGACAATCCCGGGGATTTTTTTGTCACGATTCGCTGATAACCACTGCTTGCCTGCTGGTGAGTTCTTCCAATACTGCGGGCTTGTCGCGAAGAGGGTGGCCCCGGTGACCTCGACCGTGAGATCCCTCGTGATTATCTGGGCAACAGCAGGCTTCAAGCTATGTCCATAACTATCCTTCGGATTCTGGAGAGCGCGCAGGATCGTCGAACACACTTTCGTGATAGGGCCCGCGTTTTTGTCGCGAACAGGCCGTGCAGCGGAAGCGTGGTAACCGGGGTCGCAGAGCGTCGCGTGCACGGCGTTCTTCAGCTCGCGCTCGTTTGCGGCGAGCTGCTCGTTCGCCTTGGTCAGCTTGGCCTGCGCCTCGTCCTTCTCCCTTTTCACGATCGTGACCTCACTATTCAACCTCTGTAGCGCCAAAGCTCGTAGGCGCAGCAACTCCTCTTTCTTCTTCTCCTCGGCCACGAGGGCTACTTTCGTCTCAGTTAACTCCTTTGCCAGGCGCCGCGTCTTCGAGAGTAGTCTTCCAAGTGGCGTCGCCGAGAGCACGTGGTAGCGGCGCAACGCAGCGGCGATGACGACGGAAGCGCGGAGGCACTTGAGCCGGAGAGCGACACAGGGCAGCCCGCGCACGATCTTTTGGATCTCAACGGCCGCCGCGAACTTGCGCTTCGCCCGACGGCGCACCATGGCCTGAATCTTCCGAACAGCCGCAAACCTCGACTTGGCCCGGCGGCGCCCCATCATTCCGCGGCCGACGCGTTGCAAGAGCCGCGCCGACGGATCGCGGAGCAGGAGCCGCATGCCGCGCAGGCCCGCCGAGAGCTGCCTGTTTTCCTCGACGAGCGCGCGCACGCACGAGTGCGTCGACGCGAGCGAGTCGAGGTCCGTCGTCGAATCGCTCGCCGCGTCGTTGCCGACCAGCACAAAGTCTAGAACTCGCGCGGCCGCGCGGCCCGCCTTCTTGTTTCTGCGCCGCTGGCGTCGGAGCTGGGACTTGGTGAACGTGCCGGCGTCGGGTGCGGCCGGCGCGCCCAGCGGCGCGTCCTCAAACACCGCGTCCTCGACGCAGGCGATGCGCCCCTCGTGGTCGTCGAGGCGTGACGTGTGGAGCTGGAGCGTCGCCGCCGTGTCGACCGGGGCCGTCCGCTTGGCGGCGGCGCTGCGCTTTATGATGCATTCCGCACAGGTTGCCCCATCCTTGCCAGTGCGCGGGTGGATGAATTCGTCCGCGGGCTTCGTCTTGCTGCAGGAGCTGCAGTATTTCGTCTCCGCCATCGTTCTGGGCGGCTCGCCTGTCTTTTTGGGCAGCCCCAATTTCGCTCTCAGGAATCCGGACCATCCCGCAAGTCAGCGGAGCAACGGGGCTTCAACGCCCGTCGTCGGGGACGAATCGCGTCTCTCCGAGACGTATCGGTACGTCCTAGGACGCTTGATCCACGAAAAAGTCCCGGCAGCAGACCCGCGCGCGAGACGACGGCGAGCCGTAGTAGAAACACAACTCTTACGTCCGCCGCTTCTTCGCCACCGGCTCCCCCGACGACCGAGGCGGCACCGACTCCCCCGACGACCGCGGCGGCGCGGGCTCCACGAGGCCCAGCACGACGGCGTCGTCGGCGTCTTCATCGCGCTTCGCGACCGCGACCCGAACGACCACGCGATCGAAGACCCGCACGACGACGTCGTCCCAGGCCAGGCCGCCCTCCTTGACAACGCCGTCTACCTTTATCGAGGCCTCGACGCCGAACTGCGGCAATAAGACATCTAAACGCCCGTCGCGCACGGCCAACACCCGCCCATCGCACCGATCCATCGGCTTCTTCGCGAAGAACAACAGCGTGTGCAGCGCGACGCTTCGGCGCGACGCCCTTTGCGCGTTCGTGGCCAACCTATTTAAATCCGTGGCCAATCTACCCAGTTGCGTCGACGCGTCGCGCGCCGCGTAGGCAGGAGGCAGCGGTTTATCGTTTATAGCTGCCGCTAGTAATCGATGCACGACGACGTCCGCGTAGCGTCTGATGGGCGACGTGAAGTGCGTATATAGTGGAGCCGCCAGGCCGTAGTGCCGTCGTTGTTCGCCCTGCTCGTCGCGACAACAGAAGTATGCGGCCGGCGCCATGCATCGCGTGGCCGCGATCCTCAATAAAGTGTTCAACTCCGGATCCGATGGATCGGTCGCGGCATCTAACGAGTCCGCCAATGATTTGGAAGTAGACGCGTCAATGGAAAAACCTTTTCGGGACGCATGTTCCAGGAAGTCGGAAAACCTCTCGAGCGGCGGCGCGGGATGCCGTCTTAATAAGGCTAAAGCCGGGAACCTTTCGGCCAGCGTAGACGCGACGCAGACGTTCGCCAGGAGCATGAACTCCTCGACGACTTTGTTCGCTTCGTACAATTGATAGGAGGACACGTCCGTGGGCTGGTCCTCGCGGTCCAACTTGAACTTGACCTCGGGCGACGCGAGCGCCAACGCTCCGGCGTCGACGCGTTTTCGTCGCAGGACCCTCGCGAGCGCACAGAGCCGCCTCACCGAAGCGCCGACGCCGGAATCATCTTGGGAATCGATCATGCGCTGCGCCTGCTCGTAGGTCAACGCGGCCCTACTTCGGATGACCGTCCGCGCGTAGCGCGTCTCGAGAATCGTGCCTTCCTCGTCGACGTCGACGAACGCGGAGAAGGCGAGGCGATCCACGTTCGCCCGGAGGGAACACAGATCCGCCGTCAGCAGCACGGGCAGCATGTCCAGCCGCCTATCCACGAGATAGGTCGACGTGCCCCTCGATTTCGCCTCGGCGTCCAACGCGGAGTCGCTTTCCACGAAGCGCGTCACGTCGGCTATATGTATACCAACATGGTAGACACCATCTGAAAAAGTACAAGACAGCGCGTCGTCGATGTCCCGACACCCCGGCGGGTCGATCGAGCAGATCACCGAGGCCCGGAGGTCCTCCCTCGACGACCGGAGCGCGTCCGCCTCCACGTCGAAATCCGGCGAAGGCAGACACCCCATCGCCCCGGCCGAGAAGGGCCCGGAGGCCACGCCCTGCTCCCGCAGGATGCACGTCGTCTCCGTCGCCTGGTCGCCTCGCTTCCCGAGCTCGGCCACGAAATGACCGCGCGGGAGCTTGGAAGACGCGTCCCACCCGTCAATCTTAACAACAACTCTCGTATCCGTATCTTTAACGCGCTTCTCGACGACGACGCGGGGGAGGCGCCGGTCCAGCGGCCGGAACCGCCCCGACCTCTCGAAGGAGCCACATACTTCGACCGGTCGCCTCTTCAGAATGCCGACGACTCTCCCCATCGATGTTCTGAGGTCTTCCCCCACGTTGAGTCGGACGTCGTCCTCCTCCTCATTCAAAGCTTCGGCCTCCTTCACTCTCTCGACAACAACCTCGTCACCGTCGAGCGCGCGGTTGCAATTGGACCCTTCGATGCTCACGTCGCCGACGCTGCCCCGAAATGCTGATGTAGCCCGGAAGACGCCCCGCGTAAACGTACCGGCCGCGACGCCCTTCCTTAATTCTTGAGGCGGCAGATGCGGCGCGTAGACTTGGTCCGACGAGGCCCCGTCGTCGTCATGTCGGCAGACGCGGTCGGAGAGAGACGGTTCTACGAGTGCGCAAAGCTCCAAGGTCGAGAGGGCGCGCAGATGCGCTTGTTTCGCTTTCCTGCGGTTGTCGGCGTCGTCCGTCGCCAAAATACAATCGCCGCAGACTTCTTTAACCAGCGCCGCCGCGTCCCGGATGGCCCGGTCGTTCGCGTCGTTCGTCGACTCTCGCGGCAGAGGTGTCGGTGACGCGTGGTGCAGCGTCAGAATTCGACGAGCCGGGTCTCTTACTAAAGCCAGGAGTCGTCTATAACATCGCCGGTCCCGCGCGCGGACCTCCTCGGCGACGGTGCGGCAGATCACGAGCCGGTCCAGCTGCGCGCAGTTTACGTCGCGGTGCTCCAGGACGTCGAGCTGGTGCAGGACGACGTTCGCGTCGGGGACGACGTACGTCGCCTGTTCGTCGCGCAGCGCCTCCTTCGCCACGGGCGCGCCCCGCCGGCGGAACGTCGCCTCGCCGCCGTGGGCCTCGCGCACCTCGCGTCGTACAACGCCGCGCCGCGTGCGCCGCGCGAAGGCGCGGGCGTCCATGCTGTGTGCTCCGCAGGGACGACGGCTGCGGCCGGCGCCGGCTGAGGGGACGACGGCGGACGGGCTACGGATGCCCGGCGCCGGCGGCGCGGCGTCACGGATGCGATCAGAGCTGCGGGTCCAGTTGTGCGGCTTGCGCACCGCTGCAAGGACTCGAGCTCTTGCTGCTGCATGCAGTGGCATTGCGCATACGTATTGGTTGGGTTCCGTCGCCGTGTGACGCGAGCGGACGGCTCCGGGACCACGCGCATTCGTAGAACGTGACGCCTGCGCGCCGCCGCACGGCAGCAGCCTGTGCAACGCAACATGGACCTCGCGGCCCGGCTGGGCCGACCGCCGACGGACGGGGAGGCGGCCGCCTACCGCGCGACGCGCGCCGCGCGCAAGTCGAACGGCGAGCCGCGCGCGAAACGGCGGCGGCCGGCGCCCGCGCCCGCGCCCGAGCCGGCGCCCGCGCCCGCGCCCGCGCCTGAGCCGGCGCCGCCGCCCGCGGCCGCGCCGCCGCCGCCGCCCCCCGCGGCCGACGCCGACCGGGGCCCGACCGCGGCCGCGCCGCCGCCGCCGCCGCCGCCCCGACCAACAGAAGCCGGCCCGACGACGCTCGTCCTCTTCTACGCCTACCGGCCGACAAAAGCGTCGGACCGCGAGACGACGAAAGCGGTAGCCGCCTGCCACGCCGCGATGCAGAAGCACGGCGTGACGGGGCGCCTCCGCGTCGCGCGAGAGGGCTACAACGCGACGCTGACGTCCACGTATGAAGGTTCTAGAGCTTTTTGCGAAGACCTCTCCAGAATTGATGCTGAGACTTTTGACGGTTCTGTCGATTTTAAATTTGTGGACCACTTGCCACAGAGTCACCTCATGAAGGGTGCCAAATGTTGGAAAGTCGAGGAGATCGTGACCTACGGCATTACGGAGAAGGATGCCCCTTTACACAAGGGCGCGAACCACTTATCGCCCTCGGAGTTCCACGAGGCGCTCGAGGACCCGAGTGCCGTGGTTATTGACGTGCGCAACGCCAATGAAACGCTGATCGGGCGCTTCGCTCCCCCGGGAGGCGCAGAATATATAGATCCCCAGATGCGCCGGTCGACGGAATTTCCGGAGTGGGTTAGGCGAAACAAGGCTAAGCTAGAGGGCAAGAAGGTGCTCATGTACTGTACCGGAGGGGTTCGTTGTGAAAGGGCGTCGGCCTTCCTCGCCAGGGAAGGCATCCGGCCGCACGGCCAGCTCGAGGGCGGCATCCACCGCTACCTGGAGCAGTATCCGGACGAAGGAGGGCACTGGGTCGGCAAGAATTACGTGTTCGATAGGAGGTTTGCCCATGGCGCTGCGAAGCACGACGTCGTTTCGAGGTGTGGCATATGTTCAATTCCATGGGACCGCTACCAGGCCGGCGCCAAGTGCCCGTCCTGTAGCATGGAGGTGCTCGTGTGCAGGACGTGCCAGCGCGCGAAGAAGGCTTCACCAAAATGCCACCTATGTACTTAAGATATATTAGTACCGTCGGGCCAGAGCAACTCGTAGGGAGGCGGCCAGCCGTCCAGCACCAAAATGTCAGAATCGCGACAAATACTCCGATCGTAGCCGAACCAATAGACCACGCAACCGGCACCCAACCGGTTCACGTACGACCGCAGTTGAGAACGGTGGTCCCTTTCATAAACCTCGCTACCGCCAAACATCGCTTTGGAATCAATCCAATTCACACAGACAGTGGCACCATCCGCGAGAACGCCGAGCGGCACGGTCAACAGTACATCCGGCGTCCGCGCGAAGCCCCGCGCCCTCAACGCGTCCTCGTCCTCGAAGGGCACCCCAGAGCGCTCGAGGGCCCTTCGTAAAAGCCGCTCGTACTCGAGTCCAATCTCGCGCCGCGCCGCCGCGCCGCGCGCCGCCTCGCCAAAACATCCGAGCGCCTTCACTTCGTTCCGCAGCCGCGCGTCACGAACATCCGACACCTTCACTAATTTCCGGCCCTCGACGGCGTCGTGAATCACGCGCGCGGCCGCGTCGTCGTCGACGTCGAACCGCGCGGCGACACTTGCCAATGAATCGCCGCCGCGCCACGCGGCCGCGAGCTCCGGGGCGCGCCGCCGCGCGGCCGCCGCGCGGGCCCGCGCCGCCGCGCCGCGCCGCTGGTGCCAGAGCGACGCGAGGCCCTCGGCGCCGACGCCGAGCGCGCGCGCCGCGGCCGGCGGCGGCGGCGCCACGGCGGCGCAGGCCGCGCCTGCCGCTGCGCATGTGCCTGCGTCCCACCCGGGCGGCATAGGTTCAGTGCCCGTATCCAAGCAGCGACTACGCGACGCGACTGCTTAATCACGCACAGGCCAAAGCGCACGCGTGCGCGTTCCACAGTTTGGTGCCAGGAATGGTACCCCCTCGCGTGACCACTCATGCCCTGCAGGCCCGCGGAGCCAGAACCGATTGGTACCAGGCAGAAGTATCAAAACACGTACGAAGACCCGTCGGCGACCTAGAGGCCTCAAGAAAATTGTCACCACGCAGACTGATTGTGACGGGGAACATTTACGACGCAGGGAATGGTACCATCGTAAATGTCAGCGACCAGCACTGCCGGTACTCGCGGCTTGCGGCGCCATCACGGTCCGGCTATCAGAACCTCCGTTTTCGCTTCACGTTCTGGCTGGACCTGCGAGGGGCCAGGCGAGTACTGCGGATGGTCTCGGGATCCAGACTGCAACCGTTCATGTACTGGCAAGATTCCTTGTTAATGTCCGTGACCAGTATGGTAATCTCTGCGTGTGTGTGTGTCACGGTGGAGCAGCAGAGCACCTCGAGCTGGAGCGGCGTTATAGAACCCGCACGTTGTGTGAAATCTCTCAACAATCGAAGGCAAGAGCAGGTAGAGCTGAACGGCCGGCGGGAACGTGTAAAGGAACCGGGTCCTAGCGGTGCAACGTACTAGAAAAATATAGGACACAGCTCAAGCGCCCCATATATTAAAATGACGGCCCTCGCGCGCGCCGGCGCGCGCTTCGCGACCCAGCCGCTGCGCGGCCCCTGCGCCGCCGTCGCCCTCGTGGGCAACGTCGGCGCCGCCGCGGACCCCGCCGGCGAGGGCGGCCGCGCCGCGGCCGTCGCGCGCGCGCGCGCGGCTAAGGTCCGGCCGCGCCTCGCCGCGCTCGGCGGCGCGGCCTTTTTTGACGTCGACCGCGACACGACGGTGCTCGGAGCGGTGTGTCCCAAAGCAAAAGCAGCAGAAGCCGTCTCCCTATTATTAGATACCGTGTCAAAACCGATTGACGATGCAACGATGGAGGCGGCGAAACACGAACAGGTACGCGAACTCACGACGACGGCGCCGGACGTCCGCGAGCTGGTCTATGGGTGCGCGTACCTCGACACGCCGCACGGCCGGCCCGTGCTCGGCACCGCGGCCGAGGTCGCGGCCCTAGAGGGAGCGACCATGACGACGGAAAACTGGGCCGGCGCGGGCGTCGGCTGTGCCGACGACGTCTTCGCCGCCTTGCCCCCCTTCGAGGAGAAGGACGTGCAGGAAGCGGTCTTCACCGGGAGCGATATGAGAATTGTGAACGACGGCGAGCCCCTCGCGCGCGTCTGCCTGGCCTACGCCTTCCCGAAGATAGGTGAGAAGGGAGAGGACGCGGCGACACTATTACCCTTCATATTAGGAACGCAGACGCCAACTCCACAAACGAGAAGGGAACCGCTCCACGCCCTCGGCAAGTTGCAGCGGGACCTCGCGGAGCAGGGCATCGCGACCGCCTGCGACGCCGCCTACGCCCCCACGAAGAGCCACGCGCTCTTCTCGATCCACTGGACGTGCCCCGACGTACGGTGCGAAGACGCGGCCTACTACGTCACGGCGAACCTCGCGCGCCTCGCGCACCGCGTCTCCGACGCCGAGATCGAAGCGGCGCAGCGCGCCTTCGCCGCGGCGCGCGCCGCGGCGCGCGCGCGGCCGGCGGCCGCGGCCGCGGCGCTCGGCCGCGCCGCCGCGGCGCGCGGCGCGCCCCGCGGCGGCGCCGGCGTGGTCGCCGTCGCGGCGGCCGACGTCCGCGAGCTCCTCTACGCGCACGTCCACGACTGCGACCACGCGCTCGCCGCGCGCGGCCCGGTGCACGAGCTCCCCGACTACAACTGGGTCCGCACGGCGTCCTACGACTACGCCGTCTGACCCCGGACGGCGCCCCCCGCCCGTCCCTCCTCCGCGCCCGCGGCGGCCGCCGCCGCCGCCGGGGGGGTAAAAGTGCCCCTTCGCAGAACAGGGTGGTTTCAGAATATTATGAATTTATCCCGGAAGAAGCTTCTTGGGTTGTCGTGGGACGCGGCCGCCAGAGTCTCGGCCCCACGGGACCTACGTACGCGAATAGCGTTTGCGACGTCCTTCGGCGTCGTGTCGTTGCGTTCGATCGGTCTTGGCCGGTCAAAAGACCCCGCGTCTCGAAAGAGGCCCCATTGATTGGTGGTCACGGCCCGGGCCTGAGCCTCGTACCGGAAGGAACTGCGTACGTGAACCGTGTTCGCGACGTCCTTCGGCGTCGTGTCGTTACGTCCGATGGGTTTTGGCCGGTCAAAAAACTTCGCGTCTTGGAAGAAGCTTCTTGGGTTGTCGTGGGACGCGGACGCCGGAGTCGGCCCGGGCCTGTTCAGAGTGCCTTGGAAGGCCGTATTGCGACGCATGGGAGCCTATACGCCCGTCGCCGGGCCGCGTCTGGATTGTCGGCCGGTTTTGCCCAGAGCCCTGACGAAACCCGCACGATGAGCCAGAGCCAATCGGAAATTCCGCGCCCGCGTTCCAGGCGGCGCAAGCGCCACGTCAGTGCCTCCAGGCGTCGTTACAAAGAGGAGACCGGACGCAGTGCGTCTATCGACTGGTCTGCCCTCGAGGATGTCGCGGCCGTGCCCGAGGGTGCCTGCCCCGCCCGCGATCCGAAGATTCGGAGCCGCGAGCATCGCCGCGCGATGCGTGCCCGTGCCGAACGCGCAATGTCCTTGTTGTGAATCTCGCGAGTCGGAAACAATCCAACACACGTTGTTTGAGTGCGAGGCCTTTGAGGAAGAACGCAAGGTATTTCTCTCGAGACTATACTCGGTTTGCCCCCTCGCACGGCAATTGAATGATGAGTACCGTTGTCGGCTGGTCATGGGGGATAAGTTGCCCCGGGAGATTGAAAATCCGTTGTATCGTTATCTTATTGCTATTTCGAAGCTCCGGTTGGGTATCCTGACCGAGCAGGGAGAAGGCTCTTAGGAGCTTGTTCCTCTTTTTTAGGTCTTCCTTAATTTATTTATTTATTTTATTTATTACTTCTAGCATGGCGCCGTGCGCCGTGCTACGCCGTCGCCGCGATGCCCGGCGGAGGTCGGTGCGTTGTGTGATCGCGGCGCTTGCGGCGTGTCGATGCCCGTGACAGACGACGGACGACGGTAGTGCTCGTGCTCCGTAAAACACAACAACGTGGGGCGCGGGTACGGCTAGTACTGGACCTGACTCATTACCACGTGTCGAAAAAGGGAGAAGAAGGGAAGGAAGGCGGTGCGACGGGGGAGAGAGCGGCACAAGGCGTAGAGCAGTCTTCGTAGAAAAAGGGTGGTTTCAGAAGAAACCGGGTGTGAATGAGATGGGCCGTCGGCAACCACCACTGGTCTTGGTCAGCGGCGGCGCGGCGGCCCGGGCTCGGGGGTAGATTTACCCGCCGAAGCCGTAGAGCGTGCGGCCCTGGCGCTTGAGCGCGTAGACGACGTCCATGGCGGTGACCGTCTTTCTGCGGGCGTGCTCCGTGTAGGTGACGGAGTCGCGGATGACGTTCTCGAGGAAGACCTTGAGCACGCCGCGGGTCTCCTCGTAGATGAGGCCCGAGATGCGCTTGACGCCGCCGCGGCGCGCGAGGCGGCGGATGGCGGGCTTGGTGATGCCCTGGATGTTGTCCCGGAGGACCTTGCGGTGGCGCTTCGCGCCGCCCTTGCCGAGGCCTTTGCCACCTTTGCCGCGTCCAGACATGATGAAGTGATGTGTGTTTGGTCCGATGTGTTGGAGCTGGGCGGAGGCCCGAGGCTGGAGGCCGGGCTCACCGCGGCACCCCCACTCTTTAGGTCCGTTGAATTCCCCCACATACCCAAACTAGGCCCAAACGCCTCAAGGCTCCGGCGCCGCCCCGGAAACGCGTCCGCGCCGGGGCCCCCGCGTCCGCGCCGGCCCGCAGGCAGCGTTTCGAGGCGTTTGGACCGACTTTGGGTATGTGGGGGAATTGAACGGACCTAAAGAGTGGGGGTGCCGCGGTGAGCCCGGTCCCCAGCCTCGGCGCTCGTCCAAGTACCAACACATCACGTAACAAAAATGGCCCGCACGAAGCAAACTGCCCGCAAGTCCACCGGCGGCAAGGCGCCCCGCAAGCAGCTCGCCACCAAGGCGGCGCGCAAGTCGGCCCCGGCCACGGGCGGCGTCAAGAAGCCGCACCGCTACCGCCCCGGCACGGTCGCGCTCCGCGAGATCCGCCGCTACCAGAAGTCCACGGAGCTCCTCGTGCGCAAGCTGCCGTTCCAGCGCCTCGTGCGCGAGATCGCGCAGGACTTCAAGACGGACCTCCGCTTCCAGGGCTCCGCCGTCCTCGCGCTCCAGGAGGCCGCCGAGGCCTACCTCGTGGGCCTCTTCGAGGACACGAACCTCTGCGCGATCCACGCCAAGCGCGTCACGATCATGCCCAAGGACATCCAGCTCGCGCGCCGCATCCGCGGCGAGCGCTCGTAAGCGTCTCGACCTCTCTCGGTCCGTGGCGTCTTCCGTCCTCTCACAACTTACCCGGTTTCTTCAGAAACCACCCTTTTGCCAACGAAGAGACGTCCGACGTGGCTCTGTTGTTTCCCGCCTCGCTCGCGCGTCCCACTCGCCTTTCATAGAGATTTCCTCGCCGCGTCGTCGACGGCGTCGTGGTTGCGCGCGTTCTAGGCTAAGCTTGCGCTCGTTTCTTTCCTCTTCAACTAGTACAGTAGATTTAGACTAGTGAACGAGTTCCGGGCGGCAGCCGCCTATCTCTGAGTTACTTTGGGAAGGTCAATTGCGTAGCTCCCTGCGTTGCGGGAATATCTGCAATCGCCGCCTGAACTGCGCTACCTTCCTTCCTTACTCATGACCTAGCGCCCATGGGTACCGCGACCGTCAGCATGCCCGCTAGGGAATCGCTAGGGGTGCGGCTAGGCGTCTTAGTTGATCGCGAAAGAGCGATCACAACGGGCTGGGGACGATGGGGAGTTCGAGTTTGATGCCTTGGCTCCGAGTGCCGCGACGCCGCGACGGACGCTGCGCCACGAGCCGCGGCTTTCTGGCGATCACTGCGTCGGTATCACTCCGGCGCTCGCCTTCGAAGCTGGCCACTGCGTCGGTCCCCCGGGGAGCTTATTAGATTAGCCGTCCGGCGTCCCGGCCTCGGGCGCGCGGCTCCGGCGCGTCTTTGTTGAGACGCGAGCTTGAGACGCTCGCGACTCGATTCGAGTTCTCGGCGCGCGTCGTCGCCGAGAGTACTCCTCTAGAGCTTACCGGCGCGCTATCGACGAGTCGACGTGGAGATTGGTTCGTCCGAGGTTGCACTGTAAACTAGTGATGCGCGCGCTCATGCGTTCAGCGCGAGCGAGCGAGAGGGGGAGCTACGCGAGCGGATAGCTAAAGAAGAACGGTGTAGTAGAGAACGAGGAGGCCTGTGGACGCGCGCTGACCTCCTGCTCAGGGTCCTGGAGACTCTGGTCCAGTGGAGAGCTAGGCCTACTCGCGCAAATATTAATTTTAAGCTCCAGCGCGGCTCCAGAAAACAAACAGGACTTCTCGTGTGAGGGTGGTTTCTGGAGAAACCGGGTAAAGTGAGTGGTGCGCGAACGACTGAGAAGAGATCTACTTCTTCGACTGCGACTTCTTGGGGAGAAGGTTCGCGTGGATGTTCGGCAGGACGCCGCCGCCGGCGATGGCGACGGAGCCCAGGAGCTTGTTCAGCTCCTCGTCGTTGCGGACGGCGAGCTGGATGTGGCGCGGGATGATGCGCGTCTTCTTGTTGTCGCGCGCGGCGTTGCCGGCGAGCTCGAGGACCTCGGCGCAGAGGTACTCGAGGACGGCGCCCATGTAGACGCCCGAGGACATGGAGGTGCGCGGCGCGCGGCCGCGCAAGTAGCGCGTGAGGCGCGCGCACGGGAACTGGAGGCCCGCCTTGGCCGCCGTCGACGTGCCGCCGCCGGAGCCCTTGGCCTTGCCCTTGCCGCGGCCGCCCTTTCCTTTGCCAGACATGTTTTGGGTGAAGTGTGTAGACTGCGAGGGGTTTGCGCCCGGCGTAGGGCACCAAGGCCGTGACCAAGTTCGAGGCCGCCACGAACAAGAAGTAAACGTCCGCCGCATCCCGCGGCGCTGGCGCTTCTGGCTCACCCATTTCACACCCGGTTTTTTCAAAAACCACCCTCAAGTGAGAAGTCCCGTTTTTGTCCCGAGGCTCTGTTTCAGAAATCTGGGTCCTTTCGTATCGTAATGTTCGGCTACAATATATAATTATTATAAGCATCGGCGACGCCGACGCCTCTGTAGCAGAGATGTCTACGATCGCCCCAGGACGGACACAGCCCGTAATCAGAAGGGGCCCGGGGGGCGTCACGCCCGATTTCTTCAAAACCACCCCTCCGAGTCGCCCGCGAAGCCCCGGCTTCGCTCCCTAGGAGCGGTCGTCACGTGGCTACGCGTCGCCTAGTCGCCCCCGCCGCGCAGCCGCGCGCGCGCGGCGCGGTACAGCGCCGCGTCCTCGGCGAGCGCGCGCCGCAGCGCCAGCGCGGCCGCGTCGGGCAGGACCTCCGCGCGCGGCCGCGCCGCGTCCGCCGGCTGCGCGGCCGCGCGCCGCGCGCCCACGTGCGCGCGGAACGCCGCCCCCGCGCCGCCGAAGACCCGCGGCAGCGCGCGCTCGAGGGCGGCGAACGACGCCGCCAGGTCCTCGTGCACGCCGACCGCGGCGAAGCGCGCGAGCAGCGCCGGCGCGGCCTGGCCCCAGGGCGCCGCGCAGGCCGGCGCCGCGCCGCACGCGTACCGGGCCTGCGGCGCGCGCGCGCCGAGCGCCGCGGCCCCGCCGCCGGCGAGCGCGTCCGCGAGCGCCGGCGCGGCGCCCGCGCGCCGCGTGAAGTAGTAGTGCGAGGCCGCCCAGGCGAGCGGCCGCCGCAGGACGATCACGTGCGCGGCGCGGTCGCCGAGCGTCGGCAAATACGGGACGTGGTCGTAGAAGACGCGCGCGCCGGCCGCGGCGGCGCCGGCGCCGCAGTCGAAGGCCGCGCGCGCCGCCGCCGCCTGCGCCGCCGCGCAGGCGCGCGCGAGCCGCCGCCAGCACCCCGCGCGGCCCCGGTAGATCCGCCCCCCGAAGCGCACGGCGCCGCCCGCCCGCAGGCGCCGCGCCCACTCGTCGAGGCGGCAGGCGGCGGGCAGCGGCCGGCCCTCGCGCGCGCGCGCGCGCGGCGCCGCGCGCAGCGCCGCCAGCACGCTGCGCGTGCCCGTGCGGGGCACGGCCACGAACACGGCCGCCGGCCGCGCGCGCGCCGCGTCCAGGTACGCGAGGCGCGCGGCCGCGTCGCGCCGCACGCCCGCCGCGACCTCGCGGACCGCGCGCGCGGCGCGCGGCCCGCCCCGCGAGAGCGCGCCGGCCGTGCGCACGCCCGCCGCGCCCCCGAGCTCGCGCGCCAGCCACGCGAAGTAGCCGCCGCCCGCGCGCGCCCCGAGCCGCGGCGCGCAGCCCGCCGCCGCCGCGTCCCACCACCGGAACGTCTCGGCGTGCCGGAAGCCCCGCGGCGCCGGGCAGTCGGCGGCGGCCGCGAGCAGGAGCGCGTGCGTCGCCGCGCGCCAGACGTCGCGCCGCCACGGCCGGCCCGTCGTCGACCGCGCCGTCGCGTGGCGCGCGCCGCGCGCCGCGCGCCGCGCCGCGCGCCGGCCGGGCCGCGCGTCACCGGCGAAGGCCCACGCCACGCGCCGCGCCGCCGCCGCCGCCGCGCGCGGCGGCGGCGCGACCGGCCCGAGCGGCAGCCACGCGAGCCGCCGCGGGCCCCAGCGAGCCGCGAGCGCGGGCGCCGCGTACTGGCGCAGCACGAGCGGCCAGGCCTCGTAGGCGCCGTCGCGCGCCGCGGACTCGTCGCTCAGGTGCGCGAGGGCCGCGGGCCGGCCCGCGCGGCGCAGCGCGCGGCCGAGCGCGCGCAGTGCGGCCTGGTCCGCGGCCGCGGGCGCGTGGGCGACGAGGAGCGCGCGCGCACCGCCGCCGCCGCCGCGAACCGCGGCGACCGGCAGCGCGCGCGCGAGCCAGGCGCGCTCGGCGGCGGCGGGGCCGCCGCCGCCGCGCGCCGCCGGCTCGCCGACGGCGGCGCCGCGCGCCGCGGCCGCCGCCGGCCACGCGGCGGGGCCCCAGGCCCCGCCGCCGCCGGCGCGCTTCCGCCGCGCCCGCGGCGCCCGGGGGCGCCGCCGCGCCGCCGCGCCACCGCCGCGCGCCGCCGCCGCCGTCGCGACCGCGCGCGCCGCTGCGGGGCCGAGCGCCGCCGGCGCGTCGTACGCGGCGACGCCGGCGGCGGCGAGGTCCTTGCGCGCCGCGCCGGCGACGCGCGACCCGTCGGGCCGCGCCGCCGCGCAGGCGCCGACGCGCGTGGCGGCGCGCGCGCGGCCATCGGCGCCGAGCCAGACGCGCGCCGCGTACAGCCCGAGCGCGCGCGCTGCCGCCTGGTAGAGCTGCCGGCCGCGCGCCGCGTGCGCGGCGGCGTCGAGCTCGACGAGCGCCGCGCCGCGCGGCGCGAAGGCCAGGTTCGCGAGCGCCGCGCCGTGCGCGCCGACGACCGCCGTCGCCGCGCCGAGGCGACGCGCGACGGCGCCGAGCGGCGCCGCCGCGTCGGCGGCGACGCAGTCGACGGCGCCGCCCCCTGCGCGCGCCGCGCGGCGCAGCGCGCCGCGGCGGCACGACGCGCCGAGGCCGCGGACGTCCCAGGCGCGCGCGCCGGCGCCGCCGCGACGCAGCAGCACGACGACGCGCGGTGCGCGGAGCCGCGCGTGGACCCCCGCGCGGGGCGCGCGCGCGCGCGCGCGCACCCCGCGCGCGAACGCGGGCAGCGCCCGCCAGTGCGCGGCCGCGCAAAACGCGAGGTGCGGCGCGCGCACGCGCGCGCCGGCGCCGGCGCACGGCCCCGCGGGCGCCGCGGACGCCGCGGGCGCCGCGGACGCCGCGGCCGCGGGCCAGAGCAGCGCGGCGCCGTGCGGCCGCCACGCGGCGAGCCGATCTGAGTCCCCGCGCGCGAGCGGCGCGCGTGCGGCGCGCGGCGGTGCCGCCGCCGCGCCGCGCGCCGCGGCCCGCGGGTACGCGGCCGCGAGGAGCCAGTGCGCGAAGTTGCCCGGGCTGGCCCGGAACTCCTCGTTCGGCGCGGCGCGGACGCACGCCCCGCCCGCGCGCGCGGCGGCACACGCCGCGAGCGCGAGCGCGGCGCGCAGCCCACGCCCGCGGCCGGGCCGCGCCAGGGCGGGCGAGGCGCCGCCGGGGGCAGGAAGGCCCGCGCGAGCGCGTACAAGCTGGACCTACGGTATCTACCAGTACCTACGGTACCGTACCTACGGTAGGTCCTACGATTCCAAGCTCGTACCGTAGGTACTAGCTCGTATATCCGACACGGAGGCATCTGGGCGATGCAGGGGAAACAGGTGTGTAATTCGGACCCCGGCCCGGCAGCGTAGTAGTCTTGCGACGGGAGGAGCTCCCGTGAATAAAAGTCACGGTCCGAGTCACCGTGACGGTCACGGTGACTCCGGACCGTGACTCGGATGGAATATAAGTTACTAGTGTAGTTAGCCTGAGTAGCCCGAGCCTGAGCCGCCGGGCCTGAGTAGGAGGCGAGTTCCCCTATCAAGGGGATATCGGAGTACCCTTGGGCTAGGAACTTGAACTTGAAGTAGCCTAGGGGTCGACTAAACTACCCCGACATGCTCGTCTAGCCCGATCGTTCTTGAGGCTGACTGCCGCGGCTGCTCCACCGTGACGGCGGCAGCAGCTCCAGAGCACAGTTATTTTTTTTAACCGTTGTGACTTGAAGTCACGGTTTTAATTTTTTTTACTTTGCTTTCTTCCCGTGGAAAAACTGAGTTCTATTTACTCGCCCTCTGGCTCTCTAGTGAGCCCAGAGGACGTGGGCGGTGACCCCCGGTCCCATACTGCAGTACTCCCCGGCCCCTACTGCGGATGTAAACGCTGTCGAGGCAAAAAAAAAAATGGTCGTAAACATTTTCACAAAACAAATCAGACAGCAAGAGGATGAAACTGGTCGCGGGCACACGCCGAACTCTCTCCACGGAGTTATCTCGCCTCGAAACGAAGAGCTACCTCAGTTACGCGACTACCCATCTGCGAAGTATGAGCTATTTTGATATATTTCATTATTATTACAGTCCTGCACAGGCGAGAGGCTCTCTTTGACCAGAAGTTGGAATTGTGTTCGCACGTATTCAGCTTTGAAGATGTGGGCATTACTCTCCATTAAACAACTCTTGACTCAATTGCACGCAGGCAGCTTCCAATAAGAAAGAAAAAGAAGTCAAGAGGCAAACGCTTCTCGAACTTGTGGACTATGTAAATACTTCTGCCGGGCAAAAAATATTTACTGAAGCATCTATGCCAGTTTGTAGCCATGTTCTGATGCAGGATATCAACCGTGGATACTCCCCCTGTGTCTAGGCAATTATGAATTGCGTTCGCGCAAACATATGCCGCTCGTTGCCACCACAAACCGAAGACTATGATCCAGAAGAAGACGAACCTATACTTGAGCCATCGTGGCCCCACCTTCAAGTAGTTTACGAATTTTTCTTGCGCTTCGTCGTCTCCTCTGAAGTAAACGCAAAAGTAGCCAAAAAGTATGTTGATGCAAATTTCTGTTACAGCGCTGGCCGTTGTCATTGTATCTGTTATAATACATGTTATCAACGGTGGTAGGTCTCATCGAATTGTTTGACTCGGAAGACCCCAGAGAGCGAGATTACCTCAAAACAATTTTGCATCGAATATATGGCAAGTTCATGAGTCACCGATCATTCATCCGAAAGACAATATCTAATGTGTTCTACCGCTTTGTATATGAGACGGAGCGACACAACGGTGTTGGTGAACTCCTTGAGATCTTAGGGTCCATCATTAATGGATTTGCAATTCCACTGAAACGTGAACACCTTCAGTTCCTACAATACGCTTTGATACCTCTTCACATTCCTAAATGCGTGACTCTATACCATCAGCAGCTTTCATATTGTGTTATCCAATTTGTTGAAAAAGACCCAGATACCGCGGTTCCTATACTCAATGGGCTTATCCGGTATTGGCCGTGGTCCTCATCAGCCAAGCAAGTCCTTGTGATGAACGAGCTTGAAGAAATCTTAGAATTACTTGGCCACGAACCTCTCCTGGTTGTCCGCGACACGCTCTTTGAACTCGTTGGTTTCTGTGTCAAGCATATCTAGTAGTAAACAACATAACTTGTAGATTCGCAAATGTTTATCATCAGAGCATTTCCAAGTGGGGCTAGTGTCCTCCAACACGTCACCTCGTCTCGCCTTATGGAGTCAAGAGATTGTAGGTAACGGAACGAACGCTGTTCTTATGGAACAATGATCAACTGATCAATCACGGTTGTCTCTCCAAGCAGCATGCACCCACTCTTCTGCCGATCATCTACACTGCTCTAGTTGACAAGGCAGAGAAACACTGGAACGCCACTGTTGAAGGACTTGTCAGTACCAGTGCAAACAAACACTAGGTCTGTCACAGAAGTATACTACAGGCCACCAATGTACTGAAAGTATATCAAGACTTTGACATGAAGACATACAATGCTTGCAGAGAACGAGCAGAAGACCAGGCAGCTACGAAAATCCAAACAGAGGCAATGACACAAGCGCGCTGGGAACAGATTTATGCTCTTGCTGGAAAGATGGAGCCTTGAAATCCAGACTAGCAGACGTATGTACCTCGCAACCTTCGAGATGCTGCTGTGAGCATAAAGCCTAACAAATTTGCCATCCAATGACCTGCTCCTACGGCGATCACACAGAAAGTCGGCCGTCTTTTGACCATGCTTGCTTTTGGACCCTACCTGCCTCACGAGCAAAGGCTATATAGAAAAAACTGAGTAGCCGAGCCGGAGGCCAGGATTTGCACTCGCCACTTTGGAACTTGTGAGACCACTACCATCGTCGAAGAGAGTAGAACAGGTAAAAGAGACTCTATGGCACCACCCGCCGGAATGGGCGGCCCTATTTGAAGGAGCAAGTAGCGTAGCGGCGTATTAGCTTCCTTTTCTTTTATGACTTGAGGCCGCAGGTCTGGCGAGGAGTCCAACTCGGAGGGAACTTGAAGTGTTTTACTAGCAATCGTACTTGGCTGGGACGGCTGAGACATTCCGCCTGGGAGTTATCCTTAAGAATAAACTATCTAGTCTCACTGGCAGTGCGGTGTTTTAATACGCGTTGCACCGTGACTGGACGCCGGTGTATGTGAATATATACTATAGCCTAGGTAGGGGAAATAGCCCTAAGGGGGGGGGGGGGGGCAGATTTTGACAGGCCATATTGCGTTACATACGTAGTCCAACCGCAGGATTTTCATAAACTAAGGTCCTTTGCGTCTATTCCCACCTGTTGACAGGGGGGGAGACGGGACGGTTAGGATCTGACGATTTTAGTGTCCACTTAGTGGACCGTGACCGTCAGTCACGGTGGCGTTTCGTGCCGCGCCGGGCGATACTTTTGGCACACCATCGAGCTAGATGATCATGTTTGGAACAGGTACCTAAGGGCCATCGGGAGACTATATCACCAAGCGTAGGGCGAAGTTTATTTGGTTGGCCACACTATGGTACTTCGCGTCTGCGTCCCAACACGAAAGTGACTCCTTGGATACGTTTCAGTTGAACATTGGAATCGCACCCCGCGGAAGAACCCTAGGTAGTATCCCCCCCCCCCCCCACCAGGCATTGCTCCTGCGGTTGCGTAGGTCCATAGGATAGGATACTAGACGTTTATTTCCATTGCGAATTTCGCCCTGTTAATAAGGATATAGGGTATAGGGTAAAGGGAGGTATTTCGCCCTGTTAATCGCACGGCGCTAGACGTGTATTTTTTTCATTGCACTGGCATAGTTCAGGTTTTTATTAAGGCTGAGGCTGAGGCTAAGCTAACTTGAAGCTCGAGATTGCAGTTGTGGTTAATGTTTCTAGTTGATATAGTTAGTATTATCTTATTATTAACTTGAACTTAAAAAATCAGTGCCCGGGCCAGTGGCAGTCACGGTCTCCTTACCTTCCCTTATTCCGCCGGTGTAACCGTGGTGACAAATATCATGATTCCCGTACCAGTAACTTGAACAAAATCCCAAACAACTTAGTATATCAAGGGAGGGAACTGGCGGGCCCGGGTTGAAACTGCCGTTGCTCCCGGGCCCAGACTTATATCCCTTGAGTTTGCAAATGGCATCCGATCCATCGCATCCCCCGTCCTCGATTAGTGATTACTTCTAGTAATCTTCTGCCTTTGCTTGGAGCAAGGTCGTCTAGCAAGGTAAGCTACCGCTCCAAAGCCGGGTCCGTTTTGACCGAACGCCTATTTATTCATGAGGCACTCAGGCTAGAAGTACTTTTTACACGCACCAAGTCTCGCTCACTTCCCATGTCCAAGGGAGCTCAGCCCCAGCGGTTCACGACCATGTCCGAATTGCTTTGATGCAACGAGCATCGGACGAGCTGTACGCCTCCAGATGTGGGTCTCCGAGTTCTGCGAATTTAGGTATGGTCGGCGTCAAGCTTGTGAGAGGAAAATCGCAACACCAGAAAGGATCCACGTGTCGGCATCTTCCTTGATCGGTAGCTGGATTTCAAAAAGAAATTGCCTGCGAGTGGCATCATGGTAGACCGGCAACTGGAGACTATTTATTTTGTCAGACAATGCCACTTTAGAATACCCAATGACAAGAGGAGGCAACGGAACGATCTCAGGAGCATCTCTAGAAGTCTCTTTAAGCTGCGTGCCGTTCATTTCTGCACCTTGCATAATGAGACTTTTTATGATCACCAAAGTGGATGAAACAATGGAGCTCTTTGACCAAGCGGACACCAAATTGAGAACATCCATAGGACAGTGTGCTTGGCGAGCAGTCAGTTGGCACAAAGAATTCAGGAACGTTAGTGGTCTAAACAGGTCATTCAGGTCCAGCTCGTCCTTCAACAGGGAGCCATCACGAACCTAGATGCAATCTATTAGTATCCGCACAAAGGAATCTTAAGGCGTACCTTTGGTGACCAGGATTTGATGCCAAACGCCTTGTGAACGAGCAGCGCAAGCCAAGTGGTGGGCTTATCTGGACCATCCCACAGGTTGCTCCAGGTACTTGGGATATTTCCCATTAACAGACATGTCGCAGTGGTCTTGATGAATGGAGTTAGGAGAGCTGTGCCGTAAATTACCTTTTTCAGAGTAGCCATCTGAGATGAAACATGCAAGAGAATGCTTTCTGCAGCTAGAATCTCCGTGGCAACAAAGCCAGCAATTGGATTTTTCAGTTCGACAGTGTTCAAGGCCCCGAGAGAAGCTTTCGCATTGAGTGCTGGATACTTGGCTGTCAAGTGCTGCCAGTGTTCCAGTAGTGGCCCCAGCTTTGAGCGCCAAATCTCACGGTCAAACAGCAAGGACTCACTACCAACCACATAAAGCTGACGAAGCTGGTCACTCACGCGTGAAGATGCTGTGCGCTGTAACGATTTTTCGATGTTGTTTGGAAGCCCAAATAATGCTGGGGTGTCCTGAGGGCTTAAAGTAGACACCGCGGAAACAGCGGCCGAGTATGTGCAGGGAATAGGAACCAACAAGTCTGGGGTAAGGGGTAGCCGGCCCTCAATAACATCTCGAGTGAATATTCTGCGAAGGTATGCTTTTAGGACACGTGCATCATGCAGGTTGTCAATACGTCCACCGTATATCGCGTCTTCTATGAGACCATGGACGACATCAAGGTCGAGTTCACCGGATTTGGTAGCAGCTGCCGCCGCAGCATCCATAACGAAGGCTCCAGCTCGAAGATCTCCTACTGAGAACTCGTAGAACTTACTCCAACCCTGAGGGACGTATGTGCGTCGCTCTTGTAGGATGGCATGTAACCATGCAAGGCAAAATAAAAGCTGAGGGCGGTGTCGACATTCACCAGTATCAAAAAAGTCACGACCCCAGATTGACAGTGTCCTCTGCATATTTCTCTTGGTTCCTGGAGGAGACTCAAAAGTCACTTTGAGCGATTTTTGAAGTAATACGTGCGGAAAGGCTGTATGGGGTTCTGTTGTGAGCCACAGTCGAAAGTCTTCATGCGCACTGATTACGGCAAGTGCCTTTTCCAGTAAAGGAAGCCAAGCAACAACTAGGTGCAAGTTCTGCAGGCAAAGCCAATCCCCTTCAGAGCTCGTCTCTCTCAAAAGTGACATTGCCAAATCATGCGTACCTCCACCCATTGCTAAGGATTTGAATCGATTCCTGCCAACGACAGTGGCTGAAAAATCAGCCAGTTCTTTGCTCGGATCGGCACCGGCTGTTGTGATGAGAAGAATTGGCAGATTGGCCTCGGTTTCCTGCTTGTGGAGCTGGTCAAAATTCAATGATGGAGGCGCAAGTGCGGAGATCTGCAGGATTTCACAAGCAAAAGCATGCAAAACAGTTGTGAGCCTATCCGGACGGAAGCATTGTGTAATTAAAACTCGCTGGAACGGCGTGCATTTGCGCATTATTTCAGCTGGAAATTCCCTCTCACACTCTGGGGATTTTGCCCAGTGGCTCCACCTTGTAGTGTTTTTAAGGTCCAGCTCGCTGACAAGCGCGCCAAGTTGCGTACTCATGTTGGAGAAAGCTGCCATTCGATCGTGCCCTGCCCAACAAGGAAGATCAAGTGGACGACCGTCACATACTCCCTCTTTTGTGGGAGTGAGACCGGCAAACAGCTCCCATTCTCCTGCCTGAAAATGTTTCTTGTGCATTCCGTGAACAACATGAAGTGCAAACATACATCTGTCAGCTTTGAAAAGGCCACGACTCACATAAAAGAAAACAAGCCGCTCAATGAGAGGTGTAAGTTGCTGCAGGCGCTCCGCGAGTGTTGCGTCTGTGTCGATGGATTTACCCTGGAGGAGCCCTTTCCTAAAGAGTCTCAGGAATGATGCAAGAGAAAAATGATACATGCTATTGATTGCAGCTAGGCTGCGCACTAGGAAGAAGAGCTGACAGCAGTCACTGCTCAGACCTTTATATGCTTCGCGTTGCTTGTCCAGTTCTACCGACGCCTGTGCCGATGCGGAGAGCGCATTTTTAATTTCCCATGACGCTTCCTTTGTCTGCGATAGAGATTCAATCAACAGTGAATTTTCGAGAAGATCACCCTCCGCAGTAGCAAGAGCTTCAAGCAGAGTCTTTTCGAGTGCCGCGAGTCTGATCTTGTAATCTTCCTCCTGTTTGAGCATCTGCGATTTCTTGATCTCCAGTTCGGGCTGTTCGTGGTGGATAGACATGCCGAGGAGCTGACCTCTAAGGCCAGACCGAGTTACTGTGAAGTTGATTAAAGTACAAAGAGCAGTAGCGTCAGGGGGAAGATCTGGTTGTGGGTTGCGCGTTGCTAAGACGAGACGAAAATTCTTGTTGTAGTCGAGCATTTTACCACCAAGACAAATAACAGAGCGAGGACCTTGCATAAAAATGTCTTTCCGTACAATGGGGTAGAGCATGGGTTCCAGCGTGTCAACATCAAAGACAAGGAGGGTTTTGCCAAAACGTACCGCCAGTTCCACCTGATTTGTGAATCGTGTGTCGGCTGATTGGATGGATTCTAATGGTCTAGCTGGATCCGTACCATAGTGTGCCTGAAGCCAACCTCTGGCCGCATCAGCTGGGTCAATCACAAAAGGCACGCGGCTGTGGGGATTATGCGCAATGACAAGTGCATTCTCTTGAGAAAGAGGGTCATCTGGAAGCCCTAGCTGCTTCCAGGCAAGGAGTTGCGACTCTGTTGATAGGAGATGCTTGAATGAAAAGTTTGCAACTTCAACATGCAATTTCCAGGCATCTGTCGCCGCCTCACGCGCGTCCTCGGGGCAACGTGGCAGATATGTAAGAAAACCTGCAGCCAAAAGCAGCTGACGCGGAAGAGCCGCCAACTCTAGCCTCAATTCTTTGACCTGGTCCTGCCATCGTGCGTGTTCATCGGAAAGCTTGGCTAAGAGATTTTGCGCTTTGGCCAGTGTCCCCTCTGCCATCATTAATCGTGCCCGGAGTTTCTCAGCTTCGCGGGTGTGTTCTCCAAACTTGGATTTCAAAGCTGTCACTCGATTATCTATCGACAAAATTTCCTCCTCACATCTCTGTAGACGATGATTGCACTTTGCCAGAGAATCTTCGGCTTGTGACAACTCACTCTCAAGCGGCCGGATTTTTTCTAGCACTACACTGTAACGAATATTTGCCTTAACCCATGCTGCTAGCGGAGCTGCTGCCACACTCACACGAGTAATAGCTGCCTGATCGAAGGATGATGCCTTTTGCTTCAGCAGGCGAGCTACATCTTTCCGCATCTCACCTCCTATGCGACGTGCGTCGTAGTTTAATATTTCATCTTTGACGCCACGATTTCCAAGAAACTTTTTCATTGAAGTCCAAGAAACATCTGATATACCCAAGAGTTTCAGTACCGCGCCAAGTACATCTGCAATCGGTTCTGGCGGCATTTTTAGTGATCGTATCTCATTCAGATGCTCAGCCTTTATCTGTCCAACTGCCGCCTTGGCTGTTTCTAACACAGGTTGAATTGAGCTTAATTCATTTTTTATTTCTCCCTGACGATTCATAGTATGTTCCTCTTTCTCCTTGACTTCCCTTTGCAGCTCATGCACCTCAGCACGACGGCTTGTTGCTTCAGAAAGCGTTTTTGTTATCATCTCCATGGCCTCATCCGCACCTCTTTGGGCATCTTGGAGCTTTTCCTGTTCCAGTTCTGCATCATTCGAGAGTGAGTCCACGGTCATCGATGCTTCGCCAAGTTTTTTCAATCCTGCCTGCAGGTGCTTCAACTTGGTCTGAATGCCGACTTGCATTTGGCTGTAAAGTACTTTCCAGTTCTCAAGGAAAACCATAAATTCACGTGGAGATGCTAGATCCGCAGATTCGTGGATTCTTATCAATGCCTCCAGAAGATTTTCATCTCTGTCATTTTTTGCGCCAGGCCGTTCTTCCATGGCCACATCCTCGTCGTCATCCTTGCTTGCTGTTTTACCACCTTGCATGCTCATTTTTGAGTCGAGTCTTTGGACTGCTGTGGCATCAGGTGAACTGCCCGCCAAGAGGAGTGATTTAACTCCATCAATCATAGCTGGCACGGATCGCATACTAGATCTGCTCCATTTGCCCATCCAGAGAATTGTACATCTCGTGAAAAGGGCGGGATTAGATTCACAGCGAATGTCAAAATTTTTGCTAGTCGGGTCCATTGCCACGCAAAGATGGATAGATTGGCGTATTTGTTGAATGAAATAGTCGTAAGGATTTACTTCTGTCCCCTCGTCCATCATTGCTTCGCGCATGGAAGCATAAAGGGTCTCGAGCTCCTCATTGCTGAATAGTCCTGGGACTTCGCCAGATGAGAGCATAGAATTGACAATTTCGAGAACAGCCTCACAGGTAAAGTGGTGGTCTTCTAAATATAGAATAGAGTGACCCCTTTCTGTTGCAACGCTATGAAACACTGGTTTCAGCTCAGATCGGAAATGCCTTATAGCATCCTCACCAGCGGAGCGGGTCAGCGATGGGTTGTGGAAACCAAAACCATGCATATGTGATACGATCTTGACTGCCGTTCGACGCCCAACTCCGCTTCGTCCAATGAGCAGCAGGTTGCCGCCAGGACTAGAGATGACGCGATCTACTCGAGATATATGCTCGAGAATCTGGGGAAATAAAAGCATGTTAAGCTCAGCAGTCTCGCGCTCGTAGTGTTCAATTCCTTTTTGCACATAGGACTGAAATTCCGTTCGAGTGGTGCGCACAAGCAATGGCGTGTTCAGACTATCAGTGCCACTAGATTCAGACCGCTGCTGCTTGGAGTATTTAGTGTGACCACCAATGGCTGCCAAGCCCATTGTTGTAAAATGTATATCGGTCAGCGAGGGAACAAAATGAAATTTAGACCGAAGGATAGTGCGTACAATACTATCCAGTTTTGTTTCACTCTCCTCGTCAACCATGCGGTCTCTGAATATCCTGGATCCCTCATACGAAATTACATCAAGGAGGTCCTCACCGCCAAGGTCGTACTGGGAGAGATTCTTTACCCACGCAGACAAATCCCGTGGCGTAAATAGGTAATGCCTTGCATCGTCGACCAGAAATGTTGCCTTGATCTTTTCATATATCTCAACAAGAGTCGTCGCTAGCTTAGTGCGTTCCTCCAGCTTCATAAACTTTGCCAAATTTGAAGCAACTTCTGCTCCTCCCTCAGCAATGACTCGCCTGAATGCTATCACTAATAACTTCTCATAGATAGTCGAAAGTTCGTGTGTCTCAGGGTAGTCAAGGTAGTATATCCGGACTATTGCCGTGAATCTCGTGCTGAGCGGGTGTCTGCCAATTGTCGTTGCTGGGTTTATTGATGCAACAATTTGGACCCCCTCTATGCGGAGAAACTCCAGGTTTGCATCGTAAAACCCCCCGAAGGTTACAAGTTGTTGAAGGAAAGCAACCAGCATACAGGTACCGTATATATCCGGTTTGGGTAGATTGAGATTTTTCAGATAAAGAATGAGTCGTTCGCAATCACGTGGACGGTACACACGCCCATCTGAGGCAGAGAACAAGCTACAGCACTGCTGAATCTTAGCAATTATATGCGCGACCTTGGTCTGAGCAGAGCAATTGATTATTGTGACAACAAATTTGCGCCGCTGCGCAAAAGCGTGTCGAATCATAAGTTCCTTGCCGCAGCCTTCATTCCCCACTATGATAAATGGCTCAGCAGCCTCAATCCATGGCTTCAGTTGAGCCATGGTTCGTTGGGTTAAAGGCGTCTCAATTACACTTTTCAGAGTCTGCTCCTTCGAATTCGGCTCCTTACCCGCATCCTCGGAAACATCTCCAAATTGTGAACTGTAACTAAATAACTTCTCACCTGAAATGTCAACATCACAGTCTAGTGGAGCGCTGTGGTCAGGTGGGCGTTCTCTGGCCCAGGCAAACACTTCTTTTGCAAAACAAGATCGATCTGAGGCTGAGAGATTGCCGCCGAGACCCCGGATGAGTCCGACTACAAATGAAAGCTTGGTGGATACTCCTGAGATGGACGACAGCCCATTCAAAATCGTGCCTACAAGTGTTGTTTCTACAACAAAAGAGCGCATGCGTACAAGATAGTCCAGCGCTTTGTAAAAGATGTCTTCAAGCCAACCTGCAAGATGACTACGGTTGGCATTATCTTGACTCAACAGCCACTTTGAAACGAGTCGTTTTTTATTGGTGTCTTCATCGGCGAGGAATATCATTCCCATCCTACTTATTGTTGCAGGAGACGCAAAACGAAGGTCATGTGTCTCGAAGAGGAAATTTACATTGCCACCGAAGGAAATTCTTTCGCCACTGGGCAGTGTCAGCAAGTGGTTGTCATCGAGAACCGAGTTTAGAGACTCGATCCATTCTGGGTCAACATCTCCGTCGCAGACAATCCAGGAACGCACCTCAGCTGGTGCCTTGACTACATTGCGCGCTGCGTCTGTCAGTACGCCATCAGTCCACTCACGGGTGTCCATGTCCATCTCGCCAAGAAGTTGCTGTCTTGGCATACTTTTGGGATTCATCACATGTACTTGAACAGCCTGACCACCTTCAATCAAGGCCGCCTTGAGGACACGCCAGACTGTTGACTTGCCGCATCCAGAAGGACCAACCACAACACAACCCATTCGCTGGTCCAGGGCCTCCTTGAGCTGCAGCATCTTGCAAATCTGTGTTTCGTCTAGAGTCAAGGAAAAAGGCTTGCTCTGCATAACCTTCCGGATTGCTACTTCCAACTCCCCACCAGCCACATCGCTTGATTCCGCACCAGGAAATATGTCCCCAATCAATGCTAGAAAGCAAGATGTGTCGCTGAATGTAAGCTTCGAAAGTGTATTTATGCGCACTGCTTTGATGAGCAGCTCTGCTTCCATCCCGACACTCACCTGCGCTTCTCCTCGTGCTTGTACCAGAAGTTTGCCTCCAGTATTCAAAACAGCTTTTAATGCTCTCAGGCCCCAGTCATAATGGCGCTGCCGGCTCAATAATTGCTTGCTTAGCATAAATAGGGACACTATTTTTTTTGAAAGGCCACGTGCCTGAGTGAATCCCTCTGTCTGTAAATAAACTTCGGCGATCAATTCATTGTCCGGTCGACCCATGGCAACGGGACGAAAAAGGGCCTTAAGGTTATCAGGAATCTGGGATCGTCCCCCATAGTCCTTACCGGCAGGATTCAAAGTCACAAATATGCCAGCATTGAAATCGACATTTATTTCTCTGCCCACCAGACTCAAGACGGGCGCGCGTGCCTTAATCGCGTCCTGGATTACTTGGATCTGCTGTGAAATTGCGCTGAGTTGGTCTTCCTTCAGCCGGTTGAATTCATCAAAGCATCCCCAGGCACCACATTTCACCAAGCCTATGAAGATGCGCCCCATGCTATGAAAGTCGATGCCTTCATCGCAGTTTCCTTGAATCGTTGGCACTGAGGCCAGAACTACTCGTCCTTGGGCATCTCTTCGTGCTCGACGCACAACTACAAAATGATATTTTGGAACATTAACACACCACGTTTGCCCTGTATATTTGATGGTTCGTACCTTTGATGGAATTGCCAATCCGTTCCTGCGTGCGTGATCAATTGTTGTAAGTGAGTGTTCACTACTTCTGGTGTGAATTGTTGCATCCAAACAACACATATCTGTGAGATAAACGACACACCAGGTATCTGAACTTGGTGGGTGGGACTCACGGCTGTTGCAGCCATCATAAGTGAAATGCGTTGACCACCCGGCATGCAAGGCAAGACACACGAGTTGATCACGAATCCTATCTCCGACGACTTGGATACTACTTTGAGTCCCACAATGATGGCCGTAGGCGACGCAGATGCCGGTCAGGACTGCTCTTGCTTTTGATCTTGTGAGGTGAAAGACCCAGCAGGGCAGCTGCCTTAACAACAGTCCAGGGCGAATTTCGCCAGGCTTATTGGTTGTTTTTTCTACAAATCTTTCTCTGTTATAAGCACAGGTCTGGGTATTGTTCACATTGATTAATAGCCGTTGTGACGGCTCCGCATCCTCGTTTGATAAAAATGAGGCCATCCTAGAGAAGTTATTCCACCCCCGAGTTCGAATAGCAAAAGGGTAGCATACCAAAGGCATTGAAATGTATTTAGGCATTAGATCTTGTAGTGACTGTCCTACCAGGCCCAACATCTGGCCTTCCAGGTCGCTTGGCAGTTGGCATCGGGAGAATATCAGACGCACTTGACTGCAGTGGACATCACCAACAAAAAGGCTAAAATATACACCAATACATCGCGCGTCATCTCCATCAGAGGTTCTGCATGCGCAGGCTTTCATATCAGTGTATTTGCTAAAAGTTCTTAATGTCTTATTTTGCTCGACCTGGGAAAGTTCGCCCGAGTCGGTCACTTGACAGTGCCCAACAATTTGGTTTTGCTGGCAACATCGCCCAAGCTTGACGACAAAGCAGGACAAATAGTGCAAGTCATCAATATATATGTGCCATCCTCTGCCAATCACAATGATATGAAATGCTACCCCCAGAAGCGTTAACCGTTTTTTTAGGAATTCCATTTCGGTCTGCTTACATGCGTAGCTACAGAGAGCACATGCCTTTTTGTTCTCACGGAAAATGACGAAACTATTATCGTGCCAGAAGCCATAGAACTCCAGGAATGCCACCACCCGGTTTTCCTTTCTAGGGTCGATGCGAAGTGACTTAAGTTTTGCATCAATATACTGTGCCAATGATGAGTTCTTTGGCACATCGATGCCCTCCCGCGCGCAAGTCAGAAATTGAAGGCGAGTGTGACTTCTGGACAATTCAACAGCACTTTTCTTCATGTACCATTCTGGCTGCTGCATTCTTGAAGCAAAGGGCTCTGCACGAAGAGTCTCCCTCTCCAGCAAACTATCTTGCACTACCATGTTGTGATCCGGGGTAACCACAAGAGATATGCCATTTCCCCACCATTCCTCGCCAGAGGAGCTACTGGCCTCGTTGGGACATATGAACTCAACCATCTCCCTATTTGTGTCCCTTGTCTTTACGAGGTGGGTCAAACCCGCATATAGCAGCTTCTTGGATGACCATTCGTAGGTTGCAAAGAGCAAGCCCGAGCTATGAAGTGCCTCAATCTCATTGAGAAACATAAAGCCTCTATTTGTCAGAAGTTGGTGTGACTCATCGAAACAATTGAACACCAAGACCTGCCTACCAAAGGCATTACCAAGAGCCTTAACAGATTCGGTCTTTCCGGTGCCAGCTGGACCGTACGGGTTGCCGCCAAAACCCATGTGCATTCCCTGTACTAATGTTAGGTAGCATCTATCTGTCAATGGTGTGTGAACAAGTTTCGCTGCATTTCCTTGATATTCATAGGTGTACAAAAAGGCGCCATCTGACATACAGACATTTGCTGCAATATATTTCATATTTCTCACGTAATATCGCAGCTGCTTGCGCCAAGCCCAGTCGTGCACGTGACAGCATCTGGCGGAATCCAGATGTTCTAAAATACCCAAGTTATGTACTAGATCCATAACAAGGGCTTTGACTTTAATCTGCACCACTGGCATTGCCGATAAGTCCTGATTTGTAAGAGCTGCAAGTTGAGACTTGACCTTGATAAGCAAATCAGTGAAACCGTTCCCAATAGATGACTCAACACTGTCGGTAAACTGCACCAATTCTCCGATGCACATGACTTGCGAAGGGTACATTTCAAAGTTTACTTCGCCTGTCTTCGTCAATGATAGTAAGTAGGAAGCCAGTAGCGAAGCAAGAGTGGATTTCATCTCGTCGGCAAAGGCCGAGAGCCAGTCCTCGACCCGGTCAGAGGTTGCCACAGCATGATCCAGGTCAACTACCTCACCGGCTGCCGAGACCATGCTCTGGATTTTTGTCATTGTTTTATTGAACCGTACTGTAGTTGTACCCTGGAACAGTTTTTTTAAATGCGCTTGAATCACTGCCGGATTCTGGGCCTGTCCCAGAATCTCCAGGAGATCATCATCCCCGATAAAGTAAAATCGTGGGAATTTAGCCCTTTTTTCTTCCAAGAAATTGCACAGTGCCTTTTGACACCATTCAAGCTGTTCCAGCATTGTCTGCAAGGTTCTTTTGATGTCATGATGCACGTGTGGGTCAACCAGATTGAACCTGAGAGGCACGAATGATGGACGCATGAAACCACAAAGCCCATTCAAGAAACGCAGTTGAAAACAATTTTTGATCTACTTCTACAAGGCACATTATCTCTCGGAAGTCCTCATCCACGCCCCGAAAACGCTTACTCTCATTTGGAAGGCCTCCTCGGGCAAATATAGGCTCAAGGTAAACCCATTTCCTCTGTACCGTGTTAAGCGCATGGAGAACGAAGTCAAGATTGGACATTTTAGTCTCGTAACTTGCGCCTGAATTAGCAATAGTGTGGGGTATGGCATATGCTATGTTGCTCCACTTACCGATGCTTTCAAAAGCACGATAGAATTGGGACTCTTTCAGAGAAGAGAGTAGAGATTGCTTGTCGCCCAAATCCAAGAACATTCTTCCCCAGTCTTTGACGAGCATAGTCTTCCTGCCCTGCTCCTTGTACTCCACAAGACTTAATTCAGCGGTCTGCGACCACACGGAGAGCTCTTGGAGTGCGTCACGGACCAGGACTTCACCTTGTGCTTGAGCCTGAAGCTCCTTGACAAATACAAGAAGAGCTGGTTCTAAAACTTTGTCCAAGGCAGCCACAAAGTGGCCAACGGTCAGTGACTCCAGCCTAATTTCCTTCCCGAGACCAAGCTTACCCTGAAGCAAGGCACTCCAGTGCTCATCCTTAAAATCTTTCCCGTGACAGTACTTTAGAGTGGTTGCTGCAGCCTTAATGCGTTCTAATTGTGATGAGAGGTGCAACATGACAGCATCCGCCTGCCCAGCAACAATTCTCTCTTTGACCTTGTCGCTCCAACTCATTGCCAAGTCATGTAGCAGATGCATATTGCCCCGGAAACTGATCCAGTCCTGTTTTTCAAGCAAATCAAGTTCACTGAGGTAATCCCTTAGCAGGGACCAAGAAGTTGATGACATTGTGATCTCTAATTCAATCACCGAAAGCCCATCAAATCGTGGCGGCACCGGCATATTGAAGCTGACAAAATGCTCTACTAGCTCATCAGCTCGATCTTTGAAATCTTGCAATTGGGCTTTCCACCTAGTACCAAACAAAAAGTTATCAAAAGTAATCAATCTGTCTCTTGAGGACGCGGCAAGTTGGCTCGTTGAGGTCATCAAAGGTTTTACGGACATTATCAAGATCCCAAAGTTCAAGACCTGAAGGTTTAAGTGCCCGCCACCGCTCCGCGAATTTATCTATGGCTTGATTTTGTTCGATCACGTTTTCCTCAAGTCGAGCTTTGAGTGTGCCCTTTTGGATCTCAATCATCTCATTGAAGGCTTCCATTTGATCAGTGAATGCGGTCCAGCGAGCTGAAAGACTGCTTGCTTTACCAGAAAGGCTGGCAGTGTCAGTGTGAGTCCCAGTTGCATGCAGACCGAGAATTGATCCAAGGTCCAAGAGCCCCTTGCTCTTTGCTTGCATGTTATCTCGACGACCATCAATCTCTCGCCAGTTCTTTTGAGCGATGGTGATGTCTTCAACAGACTGGGGTCGTGAGGAAAGCATTTCTGTGGACTCTGTTAGGTATGCTTTGACCTATTGGTAATATACAATGGAGCGAAATCAGTAATCAAATGTGTTACCTCGTTTATATCATTGGTCATGGTTCTCTTAAGGACCAGCAGCAGGGTCTCGTAGGCACGTTGAAAATTGTCTTCAAGACTTAGTTTCAGAGGTCCCAGGCTCACACATATACAATCAACCTTTATGAAGTCAGGTAGTCTCTCTGCTGCTCGGCGCTTGTCCCGGAGCGCTCTGAAGTTTGTTTCGAACAAAGTTGGTGAGCTGCAACATAGCTCAACCACAGCATCGAGGTCCGCCGTGGCACATAGACTACTCCAAGACTCATATTGCTCCAGCAGATTACAAAGTTCAACAAACAACAACTCCGCCTTGATGTAGACGCGAACTAGTGATTGAGTATTCGATCCTGCCATTTTGGTGTAAACCTATTTTTTTATTTTGTAATCTGGGGGCAGGAATTCGATATCAAGGCACCGTATAGGGACTTCGTTGCTACCATTAAGCCCTTTAAATGCACTGGGAGCTGATACAAACTTCTTTAGCTCATGGTAATAGATTGAGCGGATCTCCTCAACACTAGGCTTAAGTTGAAGGGGCATCTGCTCTGAACTAGAGAAGAAGCCAAGCTCAACTTTTAAACTCTCTGGGAGCTGAAGGGATTCATTGAGGGTTTCCAAGCCAGTACAATATGCAGCCTCCAGCACTTTGTAGACCTGATGGTCCCAGTGTATCACCCACTTGCGCATTCGATCCTGAGGGTATCGGTCTGAAAGAACATTTATCCTGCCCACAATCTCTAGCCAATGCTGCTTCCATTTGCTCCGGTGCTTAAGCATGTCAATGTCCATGAGCAGCACCACACTGGTAGAAAGCTCATGATGAATGTGCCGAAGCTGGCGGTTTTCATGTGCGAGCTTAGTTGCTGCTTGCTGGAGCCGCTCAACGTAGCGTTCATACTCTGTTGGTGTCCTCCACTCGATGACCCCTCCATGAGTGTTGCGTTTCTCGACAATTTCCTCAAATGCCATGAGGGCATTCAACAGCATTGGGCGTTGAGTCTTAAGTATCTGTGTATCCATACTATTGAAAAAAGAAGCCACTTTTTTTAGCACGACTCCAAATCGATAGTATTGCTCACCATCTTTGGCGGCTTGTTTAATGCTATCTGGGACAGTCACACCTAGTTCAGTCAACTGCCTGACTTCTCGGAGTAGTTGGACGAGACGTGAAGAGTAGTTGACAATAAGTAAGCCCTCCTGAGAAATTTCCATCAGCTTGCCCTTCGTGCACATGCCAGCCTCGCTACTTGTCAATTCATTCTTGACCTCTGCAATCCATTCGCCCAAGAGCTCATGCTCTGTCTTCCGACATCTAGATTGCAACTCGCTACCTAGACTCAGTAGCACTTTGGCGTGCTCAAGGTCTCCAAAGAGTTGCGCATTCCCCTCAGAAAGATCTTGAATGTGGAAGGAAATTTGCCTGGCACGTAAAATCCCACTGACATGCTTGCCCAATAGGCAAGAATATTTTTCCAGCCCACTGGTCGCCTAATGTAACAACATTAGATCTGGACATGTAAAACGCACAGCCAAATTGCGTCATGAATTAATACATGAAAGTTTTCTCCCATATTTTCGATCATATCGACCAGCTGGTGAAGCAGGGCTTCCCGTTCACTGACAAGTGCTCTGCGAATGTTGCATCTCGAAAGCAAATGTTTAAATTGCCGAAGTTCGTGCAGGAGAGGGAGTGGGGTCTCATGCAATGGCGAGATCATCTGCCTAAAATTAGCTGCAATCTGGAAATCCAATGGAGCTAGCGATTTTTCATATTTCTCCACAGCTCTATGCCTAAGTACATCATACTTGAACTTCAAAAGTTCTTTGACTGCATCGTCGCTCTGAAATGAAGACCAGGCAGAGTCGGTGTGGTGACTGCACAGCAGAGGGTCTATCCCAGCAAAATACTTGCCCAGCGAGCCTACCAAAGTTGCACTGCGAGCATTTTGCATCTGCTTCTGATCATTCTCCGTGTCAAAATCTCCACTAAGTAGACGACTTAACTCTTCGCGCGTTTGACGGAGTGTGAGTATTTCTTGTAGCCGGTGTCCTAATAGCAACACAAATTCATCTTTATAGTCAAAGCCAACCCAAGAGCGCCCTTCGGTATTGTCCTTCCAGAGGAATATCAACTCTTCGCATGCCTTGCACCAGCTCTCGCACAGACGAAGACCTGAAATTAGTTCTGGCCGGACCTTTGCAAATCCTTCTTCCCAGATGCCGATGGCCCTAAGCTCACGCTGCACACTTTGACCCACGGTACTGCTCATGATATCCAGGAGATGGCGCATGCGGCTTTCGGGGTACCTGTTGGTGCATATGGTAAACTCATGATTAGGGACTGGGGCATTACACTTGTGATCCACGACCCTCCGCTTTCCAGATGCGATCTAGGCTGTCCATAACCTGGTCTATAAACTCACCTGCTTGCGACCACGGGGGCATTTCCAAAGTGTCGAACCACTTCCGCAATGGCTCAAGCGCACTAGCAACGCTATGAATAAGATCACCATCGAAGCCCATTGATGATCGCGTATTGTTCCAAAGGTCAATTTCGTCAATCACCGACTTGATGTTGACAAAGGACTCAAGGGAGGGAGACATCTAGTTAGTAGAATGTTGACGTTTTTTCTAAAAACGATATTCACACACAGTTCGGCGCCTCTGGGTTGTCATTCTGAAGGCCAGTGAAGGAGCCCAAAGAGTGCTCAAGTCTAAAAAGTAGACCTTTTGCGCTTTGAGGAATGCATTCCGGGTCCTCGGCGCACAAGAGAATCGGGCAATACAGTTCTTTTAGTACCTCATGCAGTGAGACTGCTGCTCCAAAACGTCCAAGTGAGAGTCTGAAACGAGGCTTTGAAATTTAAAAATGGTTTTTTAGCTACTCAAACACCGACACGCACGGCAATACGGCTGAAGTCAAGTTGTTCGCGTTTAGAGACACAGCTAGACGCTTAACGAATGCAACCTAGGCATGCTTTCTCATTCGGGATCTTTGTTTATTAAAAATTCACTGAACAATATAAAACGTTTTGTAGATAAGCCGTCGTTGATGCTACTGCTTCCTCTGTTGTTAAGAGCGTCGACAAAAGGACCGTTCCATTTTCGCGCACCCAGGCTCGAAGTACAGTACATGAGGGATCATCCAAAAAAGCTGCAAGTGGATCAAGGCTGTCAAATACGGGATTAGGACCTATTCCTGAGATTGCGGATATGCAGCGGATGAAGTACGCGTGACGATTGTCTGTCATCGCAGTTCAAATGCTACCGCGGGAATGCTGCCGGTTAGTAAGATAGATTAAATGTGGGGTAGTTGTAGTTGTAAAACCGACCAGGCCGGCGGCTTCCTGATGAGTACACGGGCATAATCATTTATATCAATAGCTATAGTTGGCGCTCGGGGATTCACTTCCTCCCAAGAAACTGGCTATTAACCCTCCAAAACCAAGCATAGGGATGGGCCGCTGCGGGGGTTGCCAGTGCAGGCTACAAGTCCCGGGAGACCGTGACTATTCGGGCCCCGGGCACCCGAGGTTTCGAGCGCACCGCGGCCGCCACATCCTGCAGTGGGATCGGGCCCGCAGCGGCCACCGTGACTGCAGTCTGAACTTGAACTTGAAACTTCATACATCATGATCCAACTTGAACTTGAATCACGCATATATAAGACCGTGACGTGCTCGAAGGATTAGAATGGGCGACTAGTCTCTACCTCCAATGTTTCTATCATGATCAGGCTCATAAAAACTTCAAGTTCAAGGACCCCGGGCCGGGCCCGGGGCCCGCCGGTCACGGTGACGGCCAATGGTGCGATTGGGCCCGCCGAGAGTCACTGACACCGTGACTCGGACGCCGGTGACGGTGACGGTGACGGTGACGGTGACGGTGACGGTGCGATTCAATTTCACTGGCAAGTTGACTTGACTCGGAACTTTGAAAGGATGACTCGGAAATTACCCCCCCCCCCCCCCCCCCCCCCGGTATCCTATACCCTTTAACTGAGGCTTCCTATATACACTGGCACTTATACACACCAGTGGCGGGGATAAGTTGCATTAGTTGGACCCTTCGCTGGACATAGTACAACTTGCGACGGATATGACCGCGCGTGTATCGTATCCACAGCGCCTGTTCAATCATGCGATTGATTGTGGAACGATTAGCGGCCGGCACCGTGTTTTTTCAGGCTCAAGATACTCCGGAGGAGCCCATGCTGCAGACGCGGCTGCCCGGCGAGGCGCAATGGGAGAATGTGCACTCCTTGAAAGAAGGCTGGGAGGTATGCTTACCCGTGCGAGGCGCTCAGTATATGTTTCGATTGGCCGATAAGTTGGGGCAAGTACCTTATGCCAAAACATCAATTATAATATTAACGCCACCGCCAGCTCCATCGGTTCTGGGCATGGGTCGAAATGTTTGCATACTGTGGGATTGCGAAGCTTTCCCAAGTGTCTCAACTGATGTGACAGCACCAGATCAGCAATCAGACATCCGGTATATCGCGAGCTGGCAACGTATATCGCGAACTGGCAACGTAGAAACTGAGCCGGAAAGCAGGACCACTCTGAAGTGGTGCAATTTCACAAGTGAAAACGGCACACGGGCACTCCTGGCGGCATTCCCACAATTCTTGATGAACACAGAATACCTGATCACACTTCAGACAGAATCCTTTGGTGCAGGCGAAGGTCTCTCTGGAAATGAGACTGTCAAATCAGCCAAATCGTCACCTGTGCGTTGGTTTACTGGTTTAGAACCACCAACTCTGCTTTCGTGCATAGCGGGAAGCAATGAAGTGACTCTCAGCCTTCCCAATGAGACGGATGCATGCAGTGTGCTTGCATCACTAAAGCTCAAGTCTCGAAAGTATGTAGAAGGACGTTGTGAGGGAGTGGCATCATTTCAAAGATTACAACGACGGGCCAGTGAGCAAACTCTACCCATTGGTGATACTGTTGCAGTGCTTGGAATTCCGGCAGATACAAGGTGCGGTATAAGGATGCACTGTAGCATCGACCTTCGTGCGCTTGGCGCCAGTCATTTTTACTGGGACACGTCAAATGTCCTTGAAGTAGCAACTTTGCCAAATCCTCCAATAATCCGTGGCATGGCCAGTAATCGCGTGTCGCAGCCACCATGTCTCAAACTATCTTGGTCATGCGCTCTGGGTATCAAGCAACAGGAACCTCCTGCTTACCAAATCCAAATTTACTCATGCCAAACAGACACATACCTGACTACATTCACTACATTTGCCCCAGCGCTAGACCTTTGTGCCGTTGGCTTTGAAAGTGGTGTTTCCTATTGCACACTCCCAGGGACTTGTAGAACTGTTCGGCTTCTACGTGTACCATCTGCTTCAGTGCCGTGCAGACTTCTAGCGCACATCGGAAAAGCCGCTCTCGTTCTATTATCACCGCTTCCGCCTACCGTATCCCTCGTTGCAAGATCATGCTCGGTCCTCGATCGTGCACGCATATCTTGGGATGGTGCTTTCGATATTTCAAATGTTCATCCCGCTATGTCGCTTCTCCCTGTTGAATTCACGCTCGAGGTAGCATCATCGAGAGCTCTCCGTTTTATTGAACAAAGAGGGTGCTCGTCAGACCAAAACCAGGGACTATCCGGCACACAGCTTGATTCCAAAACCCATCCAATGGCTTGCACATTTCAGACCATCGCACATAGCAGGGGAGCCTTTTGCCTCACGCAAATTCTCTCACCAGGTCTACGGTATTTCTTCCGTCTCCGACTGCAAACTGTCTCTGGTGTTGCAACTTCTGTTCCTGTGGAAGTTGAAACAAAACCAAAAGTGCCTGATGCACCCATGGTACCTCTTGGCGTGGTTTCTCATTTTGTGTCCACGATTGGTCATCGGGCACCATTCCTTCGCGTTTCCTGGGATAAACCCCACTGTCATGGTGCGCCGATCAATCGTTACCTTTTGCAAGCCCGCCGAGCAGGCGCTTTGCCTGGGACCTGGGGGAAATGGCGTCGAATCTATTTAGGACCGCAACTCTCTGCAGGAGACGAGGCAACTTTAGACGCGCAAGCAACGATTACCCAGTATAGAGTAAAGGCCGGTTCCATCCTTGGCTGGGGGGGTTACTCTCGCATTCTCACGGTTGATGCTCCAAACGGCCTTGGGTCTTGGCAAGGGCAAGTTCGCCAGAGTCTGATAGGCAATATACAAGACATTGTAGTTGACCCCAAGCCTCAGAGTCCCGGAGACAACATTCATGAAATAAGGACCGCCAGGCTCAATAGATTCCCTAAAAAAACATGCACGCATGCATCTAATGCTCGCGTCGTTGAGTTGGATTGGTCTGCAAAATATGCCCCCTCCTATAAGAAGGATGATAGTTTTGCGTGCCATGGCGATTGCAAGCTCGTCGTTCATGAGCTGATACGCCGTTTCAAGAAATGTTTTAGCTATCCAATAGCCACGGGTCTTTTTAAGATTGCCATCATGAATCTTAGAAGTACGACTGCCCAATGGTACTAGTAGTAATTGTTTCAACGCGTGTGAGACAACAGTCGAATGTGGCATCTAATGCCACACACGCCCAGCATAGAGGCCCCCGATTTTTGTTTCTAGTGTGCAAATTGTCCCGAACAGCTGCCGGTCTCGGAACTTGACTGACGAACCTCGTGATTTTGTCCCAAACTTCGGGTGAATTAAGATGAATAAGTTGCCCCTTTCTTGGCACCACCCTAGAATAAGCTTATGCTAGGGACCCCCACGCGTCACGGTAGCTTCATACTAGGATTTAGGAATTGCTAAACAAAGGCGCCTAATGCCGCCCGTGACTCGGCGCGCGGGCATTCTCGTGCAAAACACTTAGTGTACGTCGTGGGCACGGGCAGCCGGGCTACGCGTTGCAAAAAACGCGGCAGCAATAGGACTGCCTTTCGCCGAGAAAACGGCCAAAACCATGCAAAAAGCCATGCGATCGTCTTTTTTGGCGCCGTTTCGAGCCGATCGGGCCACCGCAGTGTCGGACATCGTAAAACATGTGGCCGCGGACGATTTAAAACACTAAACAGGGGCACCGATACGTGGGATGTCAGTCTATGCGTGGTCCGCGTTTACAGCGAGAACGCGGCTTCAGAGCTGGCTTCAGGCGAAAATCGCGCCCGTGGGTCGCGAGATTTGGCAGGGGCCTTCTCAGCCACCATGGTGTGCATACGAGGGGCTTGGAGGGCTGTGTTGAGGACGACGGGGAGCAGCAATGCCTGGAGCGCGTCGCGGCGCCTCCGTGGGCTCGAAATCTCAACAGTTAGGCGAACCATCGGCCGTTATCGTCAGTAGGCATGGCGATGGAGCAAAAATCGTCGATCGTCTGCCTAACTCTTGCAATCTCGGCGGCTGAGAGGGCAGTATGTGCAGCCAAATGGGCAGCCCCTCTCGCTCCCAGGAGCTGGAACCACGGGCGACGTGCTGCGGCCGCGCTTCTGCTGCAACAGGCGCGGTGACCGGTGAATTGGGGGCGTCCACCACCCTTCGCGCTGCGCGTTTAGCTTTGTTTAGCTGAACTTTTGGCATGCGCCGCTGGCGATTTGAGGCTTCCCGTCGGCGGCCCGAGGAGCCTCCGAGGCCGGCCCTCAGGAAGGGGGTTGCGGGGTCTCAGTGGCGTGAATTGAGGGCGCTCGTTCGCGGCCCCTTGAAAAGTTATATGCGCAAAAACCGGCGTGCGGCCAGAGCACCCCCCGGACCCCAACATCCCAGCTTTTGGGGGTGGGAAAGGGCGACGCCGGCGCGCAGTGCAGTGGGCAAAGGGCTGCCCTCTCCCGACGGCTCCTCCCGCGGCGCGAGACGGTCAACCCGAGCGCGGGACCAAGCGTGGGGACCTACCGAACGACGTCGAACGGCCGGAGCGAACAATAAGGCCCGTTCGGCTGCGGCATCCGATGGCGCATTTCGGGGTGCGCCGATGGGCTGGCGCGATGTCATCGAATCGCCGCGGCGAGCCCGTTGACGTGCGCGGGCCATCGCATACGATCCTTATAGATGCTCCGTGGCCACAGTTTTGGTTCAATCGGCCCGGAAGGCACCATTTGGGCTCCACGAAGTCGGCCTCGACGCCGCGTTCGGCCCACTGAATGTCGGCGTTGTGGAGGTTTTGAGCGGTCCGAACGGTTCGGACCCACCCATGGGCCAGCGTAGAGGCCCCCAACGGCTGGAATACGCGCGGAGGCAATTTTTGTGAATTTTCTAGTACGTGATTTTGTGCCTAACATCTGTCAAACCTCGTGATTTTTTCTCAAACTTTGTGTGAATTAAGATTAGGCCTAGATACGCCCCCTGACCGGTTTTTGCGCATAAAATCTTCGACGCGGCGCCGCTATAGCCGCGGAGCCAAAACCCGGCGCCCCCCCTCCTCGGTACGTGATCTTACGTTGAAATGCGCTTTTATTTCCAAAATCCCTAATCTCGGCTTTTGGTGCTACCGTGGGCTCTGTCACACCAATTGAAACGCTTCGTTTTTCATTCGCTCCTCAATGGGGGATCGTTCGAAACACCCACCAAAAGCAGCAAAAATAAGCAATCAGTTAAACGCCGCAAACAAAGAAATCAAACGGGCGTCATTTTTAGATCTGAGAACAAGCTCGCGGGCAATCCAAACCAAAACAATCTCGGAAACTCTCTGTCCCTTATCGCTGAACCTATCTCACATATGCACTAAACTACTAAGTATTGTCAGTGAATTAACGCCGGTCGCTTCGCTGACTCACGCCGACCTGAATCGAATCAGACGCACGGAGGCAAGAAATTATGATCTCCTAAATTTGCTGGAGGCCAAGTACCTATTTAACCAGTGCGCCGTGCGGCAACAGAAAGATGTCATTCCACTCATAAAAGTATCCCAAGTGCTCGAGCATCATATACACTCAAAGCGTTTCAATTGGCTGGTGGCCGATGTGACATCAGGGATTGTTGAATCTGCTCTAGTAATGCGAGCGACGGCTGTGAAATCATTAAACGAAAATTTTCACCTCTCAGTCTCCATTGAATATCTGTCCAAACTGAATAAATTCGATTCAGTCTACAACAATCAAAGAAATGCAAGTGTTGCTGATCAGCACTTTTTACAGCACGAAGCATTCTTTCGTCCCCATCAGCATGTGAATATTGGCCCAGAATCAGCACCTTCAATTTGGACCTGTACCAGCGAGAGGAATAAAGTATTTTGGATTGAAAGGAGTACTCTTTTTCATGCAGCATTCTGCAGTTCCCGCAGGAATGAAGTTAGACCACCAACATCAAATTTCCCCCTACAGTATGGGGCAAGCGTATTGCTGGTCTCGTGGTTGTACCGACACACACTCATGACCCTGAGAGTTCAAATCTCAAGGTTGTTTCGGGACCATTCGATAAATTTGCGCCCTGGGTCAGAGACCTGCTTTCGGTGCAGTGCTTCCTTGAATCGCATCGGTGCCTTATTTTCTTCGATGTTGCTGCATTGCATACTGACCAAATCGCGGGAGTCAAGAAGACAATGCTATCTGTTATTTGAGTTGTCAAAAAATTATTCCCAGGCAACGAACGTAATTGGGTTGATTCGCATTAGACAAGACCTCATTAGAGTCATTAATGATATTCTCATGTGTTTTAATCAGCTAAGACTATCCGCGCTGCTGACCATCGAGATGGAGTTGCGACAGTCTACTTTTGATATTTGCAATACTTTTTTGATGTACGTGCAACGCATTCATCGCTTCAATCCAGGGCTAAAGGCGTCTCTTGTCTCATCACTGACGAATATGATGTATTCAGCGACTGCTGGGACAATCAGGACTTGAGGTTTTAGCAGCTACTATTGGCCTTCATTGCACGCTCAAGCAAGTGCACTACGGTCCCTACAGACCGGGGCCTGGTAGTGCACTTTAGCCACAACCGATTTCTTTTCCAATTCACTGGCAATTCCAACCGGATTATTCCAGCACTAGTGGTCCACCATGAGGCACCGTGGCAGTTTGATGATCGTCTGGATGAGTTGGGATGTAGGGTTCTATAGTACTAGAAGTCGTCACGGTCAAAGCACCTAGGTGACCTTCAAGTCTCTTCCCTCTTCATGTTCGTGTGACGCCCACCGCCGGGCCAACTTTGCCAGCGGAGAGTTAGTTTTGGGCAACCTTAAGGCTCCAAAAACCCTGGGGCGGCGCATCGCACGGGGCGCATGATCCTAGCGGTAGGCATCATGAACGAGTGCAAGCTCTGCCTCTCGCCACTCCGCTTTCCGCAACACTCCGCACGCGCCGTTGGCTGCTCGCGCATGAGAATAATAAGGAAGACCAAATTAAGGAAGACCTAAAATAGGGAACAAGCGCCGTAGGGAAGCAGTACGTAGTGCAGGAAACAGTATACCGTCCGAAGTCGGCTCCCAATAGCCGTGTCTCCGGCCATCCAGGCTCCGGTTGCATCAATATCTGGATCGAACCAGAACTCGACGATAAAACGCTCCTCGACGGAGGTGTTTTCGCCCGGGCTAAGCTCGTCAATAAAACGTTATGTCAAATAATCTTGCCGCGACCAATTTTGGGGGTGGCGTCCCCGAACGGGACCCGGTCTGATGGCCGAGCGACTCGTGTAATGAAACTTTGACTACGAAGTCCCGGATGATGTCATTTTCAAGGGCCAAGTTCTCCGTGTCATTCATTAGAGAGCAACTTGAAGGATTGTACTAAACCGTTCATGGCATCTCAGGCTTGTTCCATTGCTTGATCCGAGTCTCGGTGACGATTTCAAATTGCTCCGCGACTTCAAGTTCCTTTCTTTCTGTTGCTTTTAACCACTGGCATTACTAACTTTTGCTAAACCTCTTCGTCAGTAGGCGGAACCTTGTGGGCCCCGGGCCGGGCCCGGGCCATAACTTGAACCCGGGCAAGCCCGGGGTGTCGAGCAATGCCTCCTGCCTGGTCACGGTCCCGGCCTCAGGAGGCTAGTAGGCTCAGGCTCAGGCTGCGACGGGAGCCTGAGACACTCAGGCTACTGCCAGTGGTGCTGCCCGTGTCGGCGTGAATGTTGGAACAACAGTATAGACACCGATATTAGAAAGTGGGGCAGTGGGGCTAGTGGGGCTGGATGGGAAGATATGGCTTTGACGGTATTTTTGCGTGAAATAATCTTATGAAATAATCTTATAGTTGAATTGGGATATATCCTGTCCGAGCCCTTGAAAATGGCTCTGTGCTCTGAACAAGATATCAAGTGCGAGGGGATGTTGCAAAAAAAGGGTGGGATGAGATGGCAAAAGCGCTATTTTATTTTGTGTCAGAGCGGAACAAAACCAGCGCAACTGACATACTTCAAGGACGAAAAGACCCATCTTAGTGACACCGCCAGAGCAACACTTGTGCTAACTTCGGATACAAAAGTCGACTTGCTCCTTGGCAGGCCGCATGCATTCCAAGTAATCTTGAAAGGTAGTATGAACACAATGTGACGTTACAATGTATGGCAGGCCGCGCACTTAAAGTGGCCTCGGAGACGCACGAAAACCGTGACAGGTGGATAAAATGCCTTCGTGATTGCATATCGATAGTTGTTAGCCAAACAATGGTACACGTGTGTATTTTAATCCACCTATCGTATTTACCACGACACACCCTCAGTTTTCTGGCACTGATTGGTTTGTTGACCCAAAGTGCAGTCAGTGCCTTCTAATTGGATTACCATTTACATCCGTATGTTCTCTTCTCCAGGTATAAACTGTTAAACAAAGTCGGGTCGGGGGCGTATGGATTCGTTGTTGCCGCAGATGATGTAAAAGTTCATGTCTGATTCCTATTCACGTAAACGCCCATAGGTCTTGACCGGCAAAAAGGTTGCAATAAAAAAGGTGGCAAACGCATTCGAGGACATGGTAGATGCAAAGCGCATGCTGCGCGAGGTGCGACTAATGCGTCAATTTAATCATCCGAACGTCGTTAAACTTTATGATATCATGGAACCACCATATATCGAAGGATTCGAAGATTTATATATTGTTACGGAGCTGATGTCAACTGACCTACAGAAAATTTTGTATTCCAAGACAAAACTCACCGGCGAGCAAATGCAGTATCTTGTTTATCAGTTACTTGCTGGTATGAACTACATAAATTCCTCATCTGTCCTCCATCGGGATCTTAAGCCATCAAATTTACTGATTGATATTCAAACATGCAACCTACAGATATGTGATTTTGGTTTGGCGCGAGGCACCACTGGTCAAAAGGAGGCGATCGATGATAATACGATAACAAAAAGTGATAATGAAGTAGATGGAGTCTTGTCACAAGAATATACCGAATATGTAGTCACTAGATGGTATCGGGCACCTGAAATCATGCTTGGCTTCCATGCGTACGACCAGGCAATCGACATGTGGTCGATTGGATGTATCTTCGGTGAAATGCTTCTTTTACAGCCTGTATTTCCTGGAAATGATTACATTCACCAACTGAAGCTCATTGTCAAATTACTGGGCCGCCCACGTAAAGCAGATCTCTGGTTTGTCTCCAATCAAAACGCAATGAATTTTATGCTGCAGCTCCCTGATTATAAGTCCCAAAACTTCCAAATAAAATTTCCCAAAGTTGAAGATGTTGATGCTCTGAATCTTCTTGCGCGCATGCTTGTGTTCAACCCAAAAGGTCGCATCTCTCTTCGCGGGGCACTCAAACATAAGTACGTCGAAGACTTTCGTGAGTATGAGCTCGAGCAAGATGCCGGTTTTCATGTTAAGGTTGATGATATCGAGGCAACAAAGCTCAACAAGGCTTGCCTACAGAAAATGCTTTACAATGAAATACGAGCATTCCATCGCAAGGTACCGCCGGATCACGGGGGCGAGGATGGAACATATTTCTGATGCGGCGAGGTCCCGAGCAACCGGGTGAGCAACTGGGACCACCTCAAGTCAGAAAACTTCAGGGCACTGACTCAGGCTCGGAGTCGAAGTTCACAAGTTCGTACTTCATTGCGAGCGGGGATGCCAGTGTGACTACTAGTATCCTGCCTCGTCACAATGCGCCCGTACTTAGGAGTTGTTTCATAAAACCACAAAAAAACTACTACTAGGCTATCGGGTTTTAAATCGATGGTTCATTTTGCCGAGACGGCGTGCCAGTGGGCACGGGGCCGGCACCCACCATAGGGATTCGCTCCATCGTTAGCCTGTACCCGCGGATTGGGTCGGGGGGACTCATAGGGCCCTCTTAAGGGCCGCCTGAGGTCAGGGGGGTGTACGGGGATCGGGACTAGGGCGCAGCGGCGTGCTGAAAAACGGCAAAAACCCGTGAATCTCGATTAAACGTGATTTTGTTTTGGCCTCGTGCGCGGCCTAAACGCACCCATAGGCAGCCCCAAGCTATTTCTGACCGCTCAAGGATTCGGCCGAGGCGGTGCGCCAAGAAAAAGCGCGGCAGCACAACATTTCGCGGTGCGCCAAATCGCTCTCCCACCACATGATGTGCGATACGTGATGTGGGCATGCCACTGCACAAAAAAAACGGTGCGGACAGTACGGTGGGTATGCCCCGAGCCCCGCGGACAACTTCAAGCACTCTCGAAAAGCTGGAATTCATTGCACCGCGGCGGCCGCGTCGAAGTCGACGCGGACGAATAGAGAGCTTCGAGGGCGCTCCTGCGAGAAACCACGGGCCCGGGGACCGGCGCGGGGTTATAGTCGATGCGGACGACGACGATGCGGACGACGACGATGCGGACGACGACGATGCGGACGACGACGATGCGGACGACGACGACGTCGATTTGGAACTTTGAGTCTCCGCCGTCCGGCCCGCGGCCTGCCCGCGGCCGGCGCACCCCAAACCCCCCTACCGTTTGCAGCCCCTGTTTTGCGTGAATATTAGTCATTACCTTAAGTATGTTCGTAGCAAGTTTGCGGGTTTAAGCTATGAAAGGGGAAGAGCTACGGTATTCTCTCACTTTGGGTGCCGGGCCCTTCAGTGGGCGGCCCGGCCCGGGCGGTCGAGACGGTATGGGTTTTGCCTGGACGGCATGTAAGAGGGCTTAAGTCGGAACCGAACTTCGCCGCTTTGCTCGTTCAGTTTTCAAATTTTCTTTTTGATATCACTGGCATGATTACTTAATTAATTAAGGTCAATGCTGAATTTTTTTCGGTTGGGCTTTTTTTGCGCCTGTTTCGAGCTTAGAGGTCGTGATGACCTGTGAGCGTAGCGAATACAGGTCGTGATGACCTCTGGATGCTCGAAAATGGTGTAAAAAGGCCACTACCCAAAACGAAATCGTTAGCCCGAGGGAAACCACAGTATGTAGAGATGCTCTTCATCAAACCGAAAGCCCTGCTCAATGAAAATATCAGAGCCATAGAACCTATATCAATGTAAGTAATGCGATCTTCTTAAGAACTACAAGCTGAACTCTGCCAGACACTCGTCCAGATTTCCGGCATAGTTTAGTTCGCGTGCTTTTGCTTCAAAATCTTCAATCAGCACTTTTAACACCATGCGACTAGAAGGTGTCCCGCGTTGCTGGGCCTTCAACGCGGCATAAGTTTGAGCTTCTCGCAAAAGAGAGCGGAGAGCATGGAGAAGCAAATGGAATAAATCACCAGCACGAGTGAGATATTTGCGAAATCCACGTTCCAGGGACTTGCGGACTGAGAATTTCTGTGCATTTATAAACGAAGTGAGGAGGACTGATATTGCGGCATCAACGTCATCATCTCGAACATGTTCTCGAAGAGACATCTTTGCCTGCGCGTCATTCGAGATGAGTGACTAGAGACCCCACACACGCACATGTGCCTCCGCCATGCGCATGAGAGACTCAAGATGCCGAACTGCAATGGGCACGCCACCACAAGTGGCAGATTCACGGCGCAGATCGGCGTAGAGGTGCGATATCTTATCCTGGTCAATCGAGTGCAAGCGAGGCTCACAAGAGCCCCGTGCGTGAGTCAAGTATTTGCGTAAAAAATCTTGTGCAAGTGACTGGCCAGCCACAGATGTCTGGAGCACTGACTTTTCCAAACGCATCTGATTTTGCAGGCTCACACTATTTATTTTGTCTAGAAGGCATTCAGCATGACGATGAGAGCCAATAACATGGGAAGCCAATTGTTCATCCATGAGCCTAGGAATGATAATGCAGAAGAAGGACGCATCAAACACAAGCTATGTCACGGGTCAACTATGTCTTGAAGCACACAGAGAACATCGAAACGTTGAAGAATCGGATCCTGAGTTGAGAGGATAACACCACAGTAGAAGAAAGCTACATTCGACACAGAATTTTACAGTGAGTTCAACATTGTCTGCAAACGTTGCACCTGAATCATACCTAAGATACACGACAGACGTGCAACTATCATGTCCGCAGCAGAGCACTCAACGAAGGAATATTACTGTCCTCCTATTGGATTAGCAGCTGCTACGACCGAACATCGAGCGTGAAGTGACGTCACAATGCCTGCCTATAGCACAAGGCGCCTTAAACGCAAAAATTCCTATTCAAATCAGCTATTTTCACCTTAGAAACCGATATGGATTGCTGCTCCATGGCTTCATGGATCGATGTACGATCCTGTTCGTTCATTTTGTCAAACTCGTCAATACAACACCTAGTAAACTTTCTTCATTTTTTCTTAAATCCAGGAATGCCCCTTTCGCCGTAAAACACAGCCCATTGTCTGCGAGTACTAGTGCCCCACCCTCAAGTGTCCATTCTCTGGTGATTGGATCCTTGTGCACACCCGCAGTTAGTCCCACTGCAGATGCACCCTTGCCAGTGGTGTAAATTGCGCGTGAAATCAGGGAACAACAGTATTTGAGAAGTTGTGACCTGCAGTCCAACATCACTTTGCTACTGTAATATATATATTGCACAGCCTGGGTGCTTTGCACAACCTGGATCGCCAAGAAGCATTACGTTAACCTACACAAAGCGACGGTATGTGATCACAGATCCATATTATTACAAACACAATAATTCTATCGACTCAGGTAGACACATCACCGCGAATACGATGTTTACCGTCAACATTTTTTGAACAGCCACCAAACAAGGCCAATGCCAAAGCAGATTTGACGTGCTTATGGCCGTGAATTGAAGGAGCCAGCGACATGGCCTAGACAGCATACTATATCTTTGTAGGATGATTTCTTTCCATAACATACGATTTTATTAACTGCCTTTGGGTCTCGCGCAAATCGCAAGGCATGCCTTTTCTCTTCGCTGTCCATCTGGAAACAGCCATGCTCTGTTGCTAGTGTCCTTTTAGCAACCTATAGATCGATGCATATTGAAGGCCGACTAATTTTGTTCGAATACAGAAAATACATGATTTGCTTCTATGGTTGTTGAGAAGATTGGGAATCCTGCCCGACCTGTGTAGTTTCTGTATCTGAATGACTCAATGAACAAGGCATACCCGAGATTCCCGCGTCGTACCTAAGACAGACCCGATGAATGGCAGGGAACAAGTAGTGCAGTGATATTGACGAATGAACGTAGACACCAGTGACATCAACTTCTTCGCCAGGTCTGGCGACGTCTATGAGATCAGCAAGTAGTACGACATCTTTATGACGGGGGACTCGCCCAGGTGGCACCGAACCTAGGATGGTCGTCTCAACAACGATAATGTACTGCGCACGAAGTCACCAGGAGTTTCTTGAATCGCTAGCTTTTGATAGTTTCCATAAACGGTCTGTTCCTGGTTTACCTTAAAAGGTCCATGCCTCTGACAACATGGACACAAGTCAGGCCGGACCTTAACACGCACAATCACTTAGAAAAATAGCATTAAATTGATGGTACCTCTGTAGTATTATTTTGTCTAAATGGTCCGAGATTTACGTCACAACTTAGGCATCTAAAATGCACCATCTTAAGCTGTGGGAACACGACGGATCGTCGTGTCACGACCTGGTACAGTGGCAGAGGGTTGGGAAAAAAATGCAATCTCCACACTGACCACAATACGCCATGAACACGCACAAGCCTATGTGTTAAGAATGTTAACAATAATATCATAAATTGATGAGATACTGGCAACGTGTTCGTGCTGGTTGAGGTGGTTTTGACGGAGATCGCGCAGCGTATCAACAATCGGCAATTCGCGGATGCGTACATGAATCTCGTCTTTGATTTTGCCTATTGAAACAAGAATATTTTTTTAGAATATTGTTACATCGCTGTCTGGGTGTGTACCATAATCTGGGAAATACTCCGCAGACGTTACTAGCTCATTTGCAACTTCATCGAAAATCCTACGTACGCTAATCAACAAGGCAACTAGAGAGAATAACTAACTCGATAATGTCGCGAGGTGCATCTGCTACCCAAATGGCAAGAATTGGCACGTGTGAGCTGAGGCTTTGATATGAGACTTCAAAACTTGCCTTTGGCTTAAAAGCTACACCAAGTTTGTTTGGACTGGACACTCACGAGGTTGTTTGCACACATAAATTGAATAGCTTGCTTATGGTGTTCATCAGATTCCAAGAAAGTCCGAAACCTGGGCGGGTGATATATGTCTGGCTGGGCAATTGACTCAGATACAGAGATCATGACCGGTGTTTTATTTCACGTCTAGTTCTGTCCTGAGCTATCCACTCACGCAATGGCATGTCCATAGTCTCGAGATTAATGCTTCCCATTGGACCAGTAGTTGCTTCTGTGAATTCATTACTGCTAATGTTGCGACGACGGGTTGTGCGTCCGTGATCGTCTACGATTTCGCTCAAAGATGCTAGGCAAGTTCAACGAACCTTCGTGCCCGAAATCATCCAGCTGATCAGCAACACGAGTTTGATTATTGTTAAGTCGTGCATCTATTTCCGTCTATGTAGTAAAATTAATATCTAATCTTGCAAGCTGCATATAACGTACCTCTGCAGCGCGCCGAGCTTTAGGATCAATTGTTCCATATTCTCTGTGGTCCAGTATGTTTTCGTCGTAATGATCTAGTTCTGGTATAGCGACGTAGTCGCTCTCCAAATCTTCCATCAAGTTCTCGCCAGAGTCATCGTCCGACGAATTCGGATTCAAGCTGAACAAATTAGGGCGAGCACGCTTCATAGATTCAATGCAAGCCAACCCGGTCGGGAACCTCGGACGAAGTACCGCAGCTCCTGAGCTGCCGGGGGCCAGTCACGGGGGACGGACCGTGGTACCGGTACTGCAAGGGGTACTGCGGCTCTAGAGCATGGGAAAGAAAGAAAGAAACGGTACCTGACGAGCACTCTTCGGCCGTATCGTCTATTCGAAGCGTCTAAAAACGCGGGGATTCTCTGCTTTCCTCCCAGCACGATCTTTTAAAAATCACTTGACCGTGACGCTGAGCCCCAAGCCTCCAGAGCTCGCGCGTTCGAGGTCGACAGCGCTACCGCGGCACAGCCGATTTTTCGACGCGAGGCTGCCCGCACTGCACAAAACTCTGCACAGCCCATTATTTTATCATACGGAACCTGCGCCTCAGCAAAAATTTGCCGCCACCCGGCCGGCGCGTGGCTGTACGCTCATTGCGCCAAAAAATAAAATCAACGTTACGCTAATAGGCTTAGCACTTGACCCGGTCCGAGTCACGGTGACCCCCCCGCCGGGCCTTAGAAATGTCGAGGTCTCCACAGAGTTTTAAGCGTCGCAGGCGAAGGCAGAATGTTACTCCAACGAACTAACCGATCTCCGGCTAGGGGAAGCCAGTCCCACCTTCAAACTTCAAGTTCGACCCCCCCCCCCCCGGGCCTATCATCCGGCGACAGGTGGATACCACCTTCGCCAGTGTACGCACGGAATCTCGCCGGTGCGCACTGGCAGTCGGAGCTGTGCTACGGCCGCCGCGGCGACTCCGAGTCGGACTTGGATATCCGAGTCCGACTCAGAGTCACGGTCACTGCCAGTGGCACTCAGGCTGGCAAACCCTGAGGAGCCTCCGAGTCACAGTGACGGCAACCGAAATCGGGGCGGGGAAGTCGTTGTGTGACCGGACATTTTTTTTCAGCGTGCGCAGCTCGTGCTAATAAACTCGTATCTTTACCACCGTAGGTACCGTAGGTTATAAGCACCTAACGAGCATATGACCTCCACGACCAAAAAGAATACAATTCATGCCTTATCGAGGTTCATGTGCGACTGGGACTCTTTAAATGTATGGCTTTAGGCTCGGTGAGACGAAGGAGGTAATGAGCTACATGAATTCCACAGATGGCCAGGAAGTCGATGCCCATGACCTATTTCAAACGACGCCCTTAGTTTGGGGAGCACGCAACGGACACGACGAAACGGTGAAGTATCTATCTAGCATCAAGGCTGATGTTAACGCGACAGGCTTCGGCGGTTGGTCAGCGCTGCAGCATGCGGTCAGCTGCTCTTGCGAGACTATGGTCACACTTTTGTTGCGTCACGACGCAAATCCGAACGCTTCGGATGAAACTGGTACCAGAGCCCTCCACGTTGCTGCTGCACGTGGTGCGATCAACATTGTTGCGCGCCTAATTGAATCACATGCGGATGTCAATGCACAAAACGCAGCTGGCATGCGCCCCCTGCACTATGGCGCGCTCTTCGGGCATGTATCGTCTCTGAAAACGCTTGCCGAGCACGGCGCAGATATAAATGCCCAGGACACAGATGGCAACACAGCACTCCATCTCGCTGCCCAAATGGGATTTGAAAATGCAGTCCAATTTCTCTTAAGTGTATGCAACAAGCGAATCGTGAATAAGGAAGGCAAACTGCCCCTAAATATGGCACAAAGCTCTTTGATCAGAAATCTCCTGAAGTAGACTCGGCACCCACAATCTCATAAAGCTTGCGACGCACCCGGTGGGCCAACAGAGCGAAGATTAAGGGAGATTTGACTATTCTGGTATAGTAAACTTTTGAAGAAATTCGGAGATGCTTTGGAAACCCAGTACGGATTTCGGGCATCTTTTGAAAACCCAGGAGGTTTTTGAAAACCAGAATAGTGAAGTTCAGACCTCCACAACGTAGTTGTCACAACGAACCTAACTCACTAGAACGGAGGCGGGATTTTTAGCTAAATTTAGTAATTCTTGCCTTTTATAAAATACTAAGTCGTTTCGCTGCCCTAAGCGCCCCGCAGTGCGGGCCTTGGCCAAGTGGGAACACATATCGGCACCCAGGTGGCCAGTGCGTTGCTTCTGCGGCGAGCGTGGTCCGCGGTTCGGCTTCCAAGCCGTTAACCACTCTCGTAAGCACAAAATCTCGTCGCGACGTTGCTAAAAGTTGTACGCCTGTGGCGCTACTGCCCAGGTACGACCGGGCAAAGCTGAGTGCATGTGTCCGCGCTTGAGTGCCAGGCAATTACTCGTTTCAAGTTGATGGGTTTACTCGATGTTTATGTCGACCCAGCCGAGATCGACTCCCACTAGTACTCAGTGACTTAGTACATTTGACTGGGGCCGAGCGCGCCGCGTCCCCCGAGGCGCGGCGCCGGGCGGCCTGCCAAAATCAATCTCCGGCGGCGGGGGTCCGAGCGATGGGCAACGGGTCGGCCTTCTACTAGTCGGAGTCGAGCACGACGGGCCCCCAGCGACTTCCGAGCCCCTACCCTGTCGCCCACCCACCCCCCCCGTCGTGCGAGCTCGTCGCCCCCCGCGGTGGAGAAACTCGCGAAAGGAGTGCCGGTGCCGGGCTTTACCGTACCCGCCCCGCTAGGTTCCTCGAGGAGGGTCAGGAAGGAGGGAGTACAAGCTGGCCAATTAGAAGGCAGCCTGCAGCCAATACACGGTATTTAGCTGCGACTCTGTATTCCTGAGGCAGATGACTGATGGAACTTGCAATGAAACAGCGTCTAAGACAGTCCAAATTACGCCACTGGCCAAGTGAGCTTCGGAGTCCATATTTTCCAAATTTTGCGAGAGTCATTATAAACCACGTGAGGTACAAGCTCGTCTTTCTTGGTGAACAGGGAGTTGGAAAGACCTGCATTATCAATCGGTTCGTGTATGACTCGTTTGACAGGAACTACCAAGCAACCATTGGTATTGATTTCCTAAGCAAGACCATGTACTTAGAGGATCGTACCGTTAGACTGCAGCTCTGGGACACTGCTGGGCAGGAACGTTTTCGGTCTCTTATCCCGAGTTACATTCGTGATTCATCGGTCGCAGTTGTAGTTTATGACACAACATCGCGAGCATCTTTTCTGAGCTCGTCGAAATGGGTGGACGACATTCGATCTGAACGCGGTGATGATGTTGTTATTATGTTGGTCGGCAATAAAACTGATCTGGCAGACCAACGCCAGGTGTCCGTTGAGGAAGGTCTTGCAAAAGCCTCGGAAGAGAAGGTCATGTTCATTGAGACGTCTGCGAAAGCAGGATTCAACATAAAGCAGCTATTTCGACGCCTTGCCTCCGCACTTCCTGGCATCGAGGGCGCTGTTTCTCACGCACCTGGCTTGATTGACATAAAACTCACTGCGAATCAAAATGCAGCGCAAATTTCCCAAGCGCCAAAATGCGGATGCTAATATTCTCGTAACAAATAAATTAGAAATCGAATGATGGAGGAGGCAGAGGAGCGAGCCCCACATCACGCTACTGGATCTTTAAAGATCCAGTAGAGACTGTAGAGTAGGTCCTAGGAGTGCTTGGCCTCGTCTTGGGAGTGAGAGTTTGGGTTGGTGTGCTTGCGAGAGCAGCTGCTCGTCCTTAGCGGGAGAGGGGGGCAGCCGCGGCAAAAAAAAGGCAGCTCAATAGCAGCGAGCGTTGCATAAGTACACCGGGCCCTAGACCATGGCGAGGACCAGGGGACGCAAAGGCTTACATCGCGCCGCTTGGCAGGCATCCCAAGGGGGACAAGGATATTCGGGTCTCGACGGCGTCCAAATTCCACCCTGGGCCGACTAGACTCAGACAAAAGGATAGACATAGCATCGGCCCGACACAAGGACCTTTCGCGAGCTGTGGTATGCTCGGGATGCTGCGGTGAGTATGGGCTGTGTTCCGAGCCGGTCTGCTTCTTGTGACTTTAACAAGCCGTACTCAGTAAGTAAAGTAGAAGCCGGACTTCGAAAGAAGACTGGCTTCGTCACGGTGCGAAATGAGAGCCGCGGTAGTGCCGCTGCGTCTCCCGGAGTGAGAAAATGCTTCGCGGCAATATTCACGACCGCGCAATTCAAGTTGTCACCGCGACGGCCGACTCTACTCGTCGTGAATCATTTTCGGCGCAGATGCCGCGCCAAAATTACCCACAGTGCAAGACAAACCCCGCAAGATACCTTCATATATTAAGAAGCCCGGACCACAGTGGGAAACTTTGCCTTGATCACAGCGACTAGTTCCGCAATTACTTGATCTAGGCTCCTCGCGTAGATAAGCTTATCAAAACTAGACCTGTGTTCCTGTTGGGGCGGCTCGTTCTCACTGCACACTAATATTGCATAGGGGGTGGGCTTGATGTTGCCGCACATGCGAGCTGAGACAGCACGTTCGTATGAAACATGGAGTAATGGGACAGCCCCTGTGGCTCGAATACGTGCAACCGCCTCCAGCGTAGTTCCAATCAGCTCACCTTTGCAGCCGACTTCTGCTGAGGCACCAGATTCTAGGTATTTTCCGCCTCTAATGTCTGCATTGATCATCTCAAGAGTGACAAAGTTCATTGTAATCCCCGGTCGCTCACTACGATGTGGCGGTCTGGTTGTTGTCATGACTGGAGATAGGAATTTCCCTGGGAATTGTTGGTTCAACGCATCCAAGACCTGCAGTTGTCTGGCACCAGTAACAACAAGAGCGGGCACTCCTTCATTTAGCATTGGCGGACTTGGCGTCGTCGAGGTTCTCAGCGCTGCAAAATGCTCAGATGCAAAAGAGAATATCCTTGTTGGTTTTTCGAGGAGAATAGCGGCCGTAAAATCTCCCACGATGCTGCGCAAGTCCATCTGCCCGATTAAGTATTTGAAATTGTCTTCCTTTAGAGCTACCTTGCGGTCATTCAGATGACAAATTTCTTGGAGACACAAGACGTTTTCCAAGTGCTTCCGCGAACGATTCGTCCGCTCCATGAGTTTGGAGGCAACGTTATGACTGTCGCTGGAACCTCCACATACGGTGCTCTTACGGATGCAATAAAATAAGATAGTTATTGTAGATTGGTTAGGGATCTGTGCGAATAATGCAAGACCAAAGGAGTACGCACCTTTGGGAGTGCGGCGGCTGAGATAGTCTGCCGCGGAGCTACCTTAAAATACACTAAGTAATTTTGGTTTAACTGTGTTTATTACGCGTTGCGGGCTTAAGGGTGATGTAAGTGTATAAGAAGGGTACTATATATAGTATAGGATAGGGGGGGGCGCCGGGGTATTTCGCCCTGTTTATCGCACTCCCCCTTTTGATAAGGGTAAGCTCTTGTTTCCCTTTGGTGAAAAAGGGGGTGAAAATCGCCCTCAATCCTTGTCGTTCGTTTCATTGAAATGTGCGTTTTGGTAAATATCATCAAGTAGCACGTTGCCAGTGGCATTTGCCTCTCAATCATGAATACACTTAACTTGAATCCTTACCGTAAGAATTGGTAGAGGGTTCTGTAGGTTGTATTGTAGGCTATTTCGCATACTCGAAGCGGATATCCCCTTCCGAGTCAAGTTTGTCCGCACGAAACCTCGCCGGCCCGGGGCGTGCGCACAAGCTGCCAGTGCCGCGCGCGGCTGCTACCCTGGTACGACCGGGCGAAGCTACGGTCAACTTGTTGTACCATGGTGTACCGATTCGGTGTTCTCGGCGTAACGCTGCAACATATGCTATTTCCGAGTCACCGTGACTAGCCACTAGGGAGACTAGGGTAAGCTGACTCGGAATGCTACGATGTGGGGCACATCAACGTATTTAGCGGCCTAGTGTACTAGGGGCCTATCCATGATCTGTTGGGCCCTCTGGGTATTTCTCAGCTAGCTGGGTATTTTATTCCCAGTCATATTTACATATGTTCATCCTCCGAGTCAACTACTAGGCTACAAGACACTGTGGCGACCGTCGTGCAGGGTGGGACGCAAGACCTTTTGGGGATTGTTTGGTAAGTGTCTCGGCCCGAATCTAAGTGTTTGACGTGAGTGTTTGGACGAAATTCTAAGTGTTTGGTACGGGTTTTTGCTTCGGAAAAGTGGGTTTAAACGGCCAAGACCGGAGAAATACCGGCATATCGGGCTGCAATTGACTCCAGGTACGTCGCTAGGGCTGCCCAGGGCGGGGGGCACCCGGGGAGTGCGGTAATGGGCCGCCGCCCGGCCGCGCGCGGGTTCAAGTTACCGTGGGTGCGGGTTGTAAGTGTTTGGGACGTGATGGTAAGTGTTTGGAGGCCTCTCGGAGGGAGAAGTAAACGTTTGGTAAGTGTTTGGCGTCCCACCCTGCCGTCGTGACATTTGTCGTTTACACAAAGAGGCACCATGTGCCTGAGAAATTTTCTCCACGCTGGCTTCCAGCACAATGGGGTCTATTATGGCACCAAACACAACCCAGGTTATTCCTGCAGTGCCAGTGGGCCGCTCAGGCTGCCCCTTGGGCTGCCAGTGGGACACCTCTGTGAGTGCACCAAATTCTAACGCGAGGCTAGGAGCCAGCTAGCACAGTTACCCTGGTTACTGTACTAGCCTTAGGCTCCCCTCGGATCCTCCGGCCAACCACAAAGCCAAATTGGCTGTGGTTCACGCCGGTCCTCAGATTTATTTAGCCCGCCCTCCCTCCCGTTTGATAGAAGGGGGCCCCGGTGAGATCTACTACCTATCCCCGGGATTGGTTGGCCCGATGGGCGGCAACTGAGCAAAGAATAAATTCCCAACTATTAGTCAGCTGCTATTTCACTAGCCACTAGGGAGACGAGTGCTGCCCGAGGTGATGAGTGCTGCACGTGTATGCCACTTTAAGTTAGTGCTCCTCGGTGACACGGCGGTGGGGAAATCGTGCCTAGTCGTCCGTTTCGTCCGTGACGAATTCTTCGAGTTTCAGGAGCCAACAATTGGAGGTACCCGCCCTTTGTCGCTGGCGTTTTTTATTTTCTCTCCTAGCTGCGTTTTTAACGCAATCTGTTGCGACCGGAGCTGCAACTGTCAAGTTTGAGATATGGGACACCGCTGGACAAGGTGAGACAGGAAACTTTGTGAGTTACTCCAGCTTAGTTCTTCCATAGAGCGTTATCGAAGTCTCGCCCCAATGTACTATCGAGGTGCGGCGGCTGCAATCGTAGTCTACGATATAACAAATAAAGACTCATTTAATGGTGCAAAGTCCTGGGTGAAAGAATTGCAACGACGTGGTGATCCTAATGCTGTCATCGCGCTTGCTGGCAACAAGGCAGACTTACAAAGCAAGCGGAAGATTGATTATCAGGTGTGATTGATCGCGGCTGCCCTCAGCGTATTTGTAGTCACAGGAAGCTCAACAGTATGCAGAAGAAAATGGAATCATGCACATAGAAACATCAGCAAAGAATGATACTAATGTCAAATCACTTTTTCATGAGATTGGTACGTATGGGCTGTCTATCAAGGCTCACATCTCCGGCGGCGTAGCGCAGAAGTTGCCATCACATGCACCCCAATCAGACCGAGAGGCATTTCCACTAATTCCGTGCGTACCAACGAGAGTTGACGTTTTTTTGGCATGAATTTCTTACTACCCTGCGTCAGGCCCAAGCCTGCCGAAACCAAGGCGTGCTGCTAATGTGAATTTATTTGAACGCAACCCCTGAACGCTAGACTTTACGGCAGCTGAACACACCGGATTAGCAGCCTGAGGCTGAGCTCAGAGAATCCTGCAAATCATATCAAGTTAGGAAAAATCATGATCTATGTGGATATAGGTGGGCTCTCCCAAAAAGGATGTCTCGCTGGAGTGTATGATCTGGCGTCGTCAGGCCGACAATCTCGTGTCTAGCTTAGTAGGAATATAGATCATCATGTCTCTAGTAATCTCATACATGACAGGGCGCCCTGCCTTTACGCTGTCGAGACGTAGAACCCGCGAGCTCTGGAGGCTAGCGGGGGCATTTTACGTCAAAAGCGGGGGCGCGATCGACCGCCCCGGTCGCCGATTCTGCCAAATTCACGCTCATTAGCGAAAGATAGACTGTCGACATGTCGACACATTATTGGCGCCTCGAGTCATCATTTTGTTTGCGCGGCGGGCCGGACTCGGACGTGAGAGAATCGCGACCTCACGGTCAGGATGGCTGTACGAGAGTGTCCGCGTGTTGACGTCAGACCGTCGTGTTCATCAGCGGGGTCATGTTGGCGTCGATACGATACCAGGTGGGTGGAGGCGTCGTAGGACGCCCGCGCTGGTACTTGGGCAGCCGCAATACCGCTGCCCCCGGTTCCGTATGTAGTATGTCGTTTCATAGTCCCCCCCTGTGTCTATCCTTGTAGCCTCGCGGCCTGAACTTAGGCTGAAGCAAACGTCGTGTAGGTTTGGAGGCCCTTGGCGCCGTATCCAAGCTCGCAACAGTAAAACACAAGTTCGTAAAAAGAAACCCTAGTGGCGTGCCAATCGCACACACAGCCTTGCAATGCCCCTTGCAGGCGATTCGGTTGTCCTCCTAACTGCGGGCGGCGGTTATGTATTTGCCGATTGTAAAACTGGGATTAAGCTACGAATTAGCAAAGCAAACTGTAAGGCCGACTCACTAATCTCATCGCAGTATGGTGCTTTGTTCGCAGTGGCAGCCGAGGGGAAGCTCATGCCAGCGAGCCGCAACATTCTGGATCCATGCGCATTATTAGCGGGAAATCGCAGGATGAGTAGCATGCATTCGGGAAGTAACGATAATCGTTACCTGAATGATGACAACAAAGCTCAAATCGTGAATCCGATGACCCTCCAGGCGATGAAAACGAGAGGTGACTCTGGTCTGGCAATAATTGAGGCTCTTGCCTTCGGGAGTTCAACATGGGGTGTAAAGACCAAATACTCCAAAACGAAGTGGCTTAAGCGCAAGGCAAAGAAGTACATGCCTTGGGTGCAGGTTTTAGAACCTACTGCCTTTGTCCTCGCCGAAGCTTACTTTACACGGATGACCAAGCACAAAGAGGCCGTCAGACCGGACGTAATTGCACAACTTGTAGCTCGAAGTAATACGAGGCCTGGAAGTCGTGTTGTTGTGATGGACACATTCCATGGCGTTGTACTAAGTGCGGTCGCAGAGTTGGTGGGTCCACAGGGCAAAACCATATTTTCCCCTAGCGACTTACAAGCTCCAATGAAAACTGTTTCAAAAGCAGACGTACACTCTATGGGCCAAAGAGCGTCACTTCCCAAAGTTATTAATTTGAAAACACGTAACGCTGAGGCCGCTGATGTAATTCAGAATTGCGAGATAGCCCCACGATTGCAGCATTTCCGCAGCAAGGTGGATGCTCTGGTTGCCACCGAGCGAATTTCCATCTTTATTTTTGACTCTGAGTCCTAAGGGGGGTTCTCATGTATCTATCCTTAGGTTCTTGCCTCTAGACACGAGCCTCTTAGCATCCTTAAAACCCTACTTCCTCTGCTTCGTGTTGGCGGCTCATTCGTGATTTATTCGGAGCACGTCGAACCACTCACACGTGTGTTTATTTGGCTTAGGGTATCTAAAGCTGCCGTTAATTTAAGACTCACGGAAGTTTGGCAAAGGGAGTTCCAAGTTTTAACAAGCTGCTCTCATCCAGCCATGACCACGTCCGGAAATGCAGGATACATTCTTTCGGCCATGAAGATACCCGAGCGAGTGTAGCTCCGGCCTCTCACTTCGTAAGGCTGTGCGCGCACATACGCGTCCTTCCTCTCTCCCGCACGCCCTGGGTCTACCGAGGCGGACACGATGCACTACGTGTAGAAATTGGCAGTTACTAGTAGGCGACGGCGAGAGATCATGACGTGACATGACGCGTGAGGAACTTACAAGCACCACTTTCATTGCCGCCGCGACCTGCATTCGCCAAAATATTCGCCAAAATGGTTTAAGAGAAGCGTCCGTTCGGGTTCAAGATCTCGAAGGATAACATATCCCGTCGGCGGTCCTTTGGGGGAGAATCCTGACTTGAGTAGCCAATTTTTAGGTCCGATTCCAAGTTGCCCTTTAGCTCAAATTAGAATGAATTAGCCTGCGACGCTTAAGACTCCTTGGAGACTTCGAAATTCATAGGCGGGTTAACCCGCGCAATTGTCGACGTTGCGGTATTTGGCGCAATGAGCGTACAGCCAAGCGCCGACCAATGGCGGGAAAATTTTGCTGAGGCGCAGGTTCCGTATGCTAAAATAATGGGCTGCGCGAAGTTTTGTACCGTGCAGGCAGCCTCGCGCTGAGAAAGCAGCTGCGACGCGGTGCGATGGTCCGACATAAAACCCGCCCGGAACGCAATCGCTCCAACAGACTGGAGAAATCGGCCTCTAATTCTTCACTCATTATTTCCTGTCGTTAAATATCCATCTTTAAATATCTATATAGGGCTGCTAGGGGATATCCGGCTTCCGGCCCTGCCTAGCCGAACTTGAAGGCCACATAACACTTCTACATAACACTAACAGTGCCAGTGCAGGCCCCGAGGCGGGGTGCAAGGAAATAAACGTCCGATTCACGGTCAAAATCTAGTAAGCTTCCACTGGCCGCGGCACGGCACGGGAAAATCAGGCCCTTCTGGTGCCCTGGACTCGGATTGTATAATGCTGCCGACTCCCGGGCCGAGCCTGAGTCCGACTCGGAGTCCCGGGCCGGCGAGTCGGATTTGTTTTTCGAGTCGAGCCGACCCACTGTTGTTCTATTGACTTCGCATCGAGTCTAGTCCGACGTTTACCCCAATACTCGCGGGTACGGGGCACTCTCCCGTTGTCTAGGACCCTCGCTACATTATAACACGCTACGACATTCTCTTTGCTAAGATAAGATACTGTATTAATTGCTAAATCCTAAGCGTTACGCCATGGGTCTCAGCATCTTGGGACACCTTGGCTTTGCCGGTGGCGAGGTTACGTTCATTGATCAGGATGTTGTCGTCTACCTTCACGGTAACGGGTTGGCGATCTCCGATTTGACCGATTTAGCCAACGTTGGACCGACCAAGTTCGTGACAAACAATCTCGAATGTCCCCTTGGCATTTCAGCATTTACCACTAGCGTCCCCGAACATCTCGTCGCATTTGCCCCGCGCTCAGCGGAGCCCTGCATTCACGTCTTAAAATACCCTCAGCTGGATCCATTAAGTGTTTTAAGAGGCGGGACTGATCTAGAATATGAGAGTATCGCAATATCACATAATGCAAAAATGCTGTGTGCAGTTTCGGGCCCATTTGATCATCACTTGTATCTATGGTCTCTTGAAATTGCACAGACCCTCGCCAAGGTTGCGATCGGCGGGAACTTGGCAACACCATGCACTTGGCATAATTGCTCATTCAGTCCAAAGAATTCTTCTATGGTATGCACAGGAGGAAGTTACGGGTTGGTCTTTTGGAAAGTCCAAGTGGTCAATGACCACAAGTTACAGAGGATAAACGCAGTAATCGGCAGTCGAGAGGATGCGGCGGAAGACGGAAATGTACTTCTGGATTCGATAAGTGCGCAGTGCTGGACGCAGAACAACCTCGTTCTTGCTGTTGGCAGAAGCAGCGTAATGGAGTTCGATGCCCACTCTGGGATCCTCACACGCTTGTTCCCATTGGCTGTAGCACTACAAGAATCCTTATGTTTATTTGTCACTGCCATAGAGGAGATAATCCTGCTGCTATTCTCTAACGGGATAGTTCAAGGTATCAGGACAAGTACGTCCGGCTCAACTGAATTTATGCTGAATGTAGCTAAAGAGCCTTGTAGCAAATACTCTTGGTGTAGCTTGCTTCCGAGACGAGATGGTCTCCTGCTGTCGGGCCCCGGAAGAATTCAAATATTGACTTTAAATGGTGCAGATGCATCATCCAGTAAAATTTTTGCAGGCCCAAATGCTGCAGTCATCGACTACCACAATGGGCCGGTCCTGGGAATGGCCTGTCAGTCGATAAACGACCCTACGCTTGTAACTGCAGGAGCTGATGGGGCCTTGGGAGTGTGGACTCGTGATGGAACCCTTGTTGGAAGGCATAAATTCCAAATCTCTGATGTGGATTCGGAGGATTGTGTGGTCTCAATTACATCGATCACATCTGCACCATGCAATTCAAATTTTGCAGTTGGGACCTCGATAGGGTGCATATTTCTTCTATCTGGAAAACCAAAAAGTCAAAATAATGTTCTTGTCGATCTTGTGTCACTTGGCAACTTGCAACTATGCCGTGAACCAATAACAAGTGTAATATTTCACCCAGAAAAAGACATCCTGGCTGCAATATCAGAGTCTAACGCTTTTATTGTTGACACATCTCCTCAGAAGGGTAGCATTTCGCTGTGTGTGCTTGCACACACCTCTTTTAGCGGTCATCTCGCTAGCCTATGCGCATTGTGGTGTAATGACTACTTGATGGTAGCATTTGCGGGTCAGAGCATTATTTCATACCTTGTTGACTCTGACGCGCACTCACTAAATGCAGCTTGGAAATTTGAAACTGACTTTCCTTGCGCCGGAATGTCAAGACTTAAATTTGATTCAAATGGTGTCACCTTCTTGGCTACAAGCCCAATCTCCTGTGACATAATGGCGCTTGCGTCATCTGATGCTATGTATAGAAATGGCAAGTTGGTAGTCTCAAAAATTGAGTCAAGTCATGACAAGGGCGTAATGTGTCTGGGCGTATCCAATGGTGGGGAACTTGTGGCCACGGGGGGTGTCGATGGTAGGATTGCTTTGTGGCGAGCCTTGACTGAATCGGGAGTGGATCTTGTGAAGTTGTGTCAAATGAATCTACATACAGGCCCTGTTGCATATACTCATTTTTCTTTAGATACGTCTATTCTCTATAGTTCCGGTAGCGATGGGGCTGTCTTTAGTCTTAACATTTTGGTACCACAAACACTGGCCATTCCTTCAGAGAGACACAAAGCCGAGCACCCCAAGTTGACTATTCAGCATGTGCCAATACCTGCAATGTCTTTTCATCAAGCTACCTGGTGTGAATCGTGTCAGGAGCAAATAGAGAAATTAGCGGCGCTTAAGATAAAATCCCATGAGGCGGCTCAGCGCAGTATCATCGCAAACTTGCGCAGTCGACTGTTGGAATTGGTAGCGAAGAATAACGATGCATGTTTGAATGAAAAACTCGAACGCAATGAGTTTATCATTGACCGCGCGAGGCATCGACAAGTCTTGACCGCAAGTCAACGGAAAGCAAATGAACTGGAGAAACAACTGAGGGTCGAAAAGCAAGCTCGTGATGTTATATCCGCTCGGATAAGACATGACTGTTGGGACTGCATGGAAGTGCAGGCAACTGAATGTCACTCTTTTCTTACCCCTAGATTACTAACTTCAAACTTTCCACTTAAGCTGCGCGCTGACAAGCAAAAGCATTGTCTAGAATGTGTCTGTTTTCTACGGAAGCTTGCACTGCGACAAAGTGCATCATCGATATCTTTGAGTTTGGACTCGTCGGTGCTGTCACGTAGACTTTCACACAATATCTCCTGGATGGTCAATCAGGGCAAGTTGCTACCTTCACTCGATCTAATAAACATTGAACAACACGACAGCATAGCATCAATAAAACTTCTTGACGGGGCCTTGGAGAACGATGGAAATGATGATGAAGAAGCAAGGCTCTCAGAAGAAGCTTGGGATGAAAATCTAACTACCACCCAACTTTATCAGCCCATTGCGCTCCACACTTCAATTCAGAAGAGAATCCAATGCGTCTTGGTAGGCGAATTACTTCGCCAAGCGCAAGCTGATTTCAATTTTCGATTCGGCTTGCTTCATGATGAAAAGCGCATCGAACTAGGCCGCATCCTGGAGAAGACAGACCGACTCCAGGGGATCTGTGGAGAGTTGGGCATTATGGAAGATTACTTTAAGCACCAATTCGCTGTACCAGAAGAGACACCAGAGGTGATGATCCAGGTTGACAAATCAGAAATCTACAGCAGCACGCCAGAAGCTACTACATGCATGGTACGTAAGAGCACTGGACTAAATGCTGATAACACAGATGATTACCATGCAAGCAAACGAGCCTTAGAGGATATGATGTATGGTACCCTCGAAACAAAAAAAGAGACTGATAGACTTCAAACTGTCCTGCAGGCCCCAAGTTGGATAGACGACCAGAACCACGATGATTTGACGAGTGAGCAAAAGAAGGAGCTAGAAGAATTCGAAACTGCGAAGGGGCTTCTTGCGCAGCAACAAGCAAAATATCGAAAGGCGCTCGAGCTTGAGTTCAAGAAGCTTCGTACTGAAGTTAGTGATATCGCATGCAGTTTTGATGATAAGCTTAAGCGCCTTGCCGATCATCGGGTCTTCATAATGAACTTTGTAACAACACAGGAGCTCTACTCCAGCCGCATGTGCGTTGGTTTACTTAAAAATGAAGCTCGACTAATTACCCTGAGTCGACTGGGCTCTCAAATATCTACGCTGAATCTCAAAAAGGATTGTCAAGCAGACATCGTGACTAGTAGCTTATCGTTGGTCAGTGCAGAATCTGATAGGCTTAATAGGCTTCAAGCAGAGGATAAAAATATTGATCGTCACTTGAAGCGTGACCTGCAAGTTGAGAAACAAATGGTCCAAGAAGATATTAAGCTCGTACTTAGCTATTTTAGACGGAATAATCTATCACTAGAAGAAAAGCCTGATGACTGGAGGTTCGACGACACCACATGGCAAATGCTCTTATCCTCGCGCAAACACAAAGTAGCCAAGGAAGCAATGATAAGTGATGCAGCAGAAACCTTAGGCAATCTGAAAGCAAAGCATGCGAACTCTCTAGTGGTCTTTGGAGATATTGAACAAGAAATTGTCAAGCTTCGCAAACGGCAGGCAAAAATAAGAGCTGAACTTGCAACGTCTGAAGTAAATTGCGAGATTTTGGTTCAAGTTAGGCAAGGACAGAATGAAGTTGACGCGGAAGCCGCAGTCACAGACTACTTCGATGCAATATTTCTGCCTGTGGAAACAATACAGGGGATAAATCAAGTGATTACCCAGCTAGGAACGGAGCAAATCAAAACCTTGACCAAAATCAAACACTTCAGGAAGTCAATCAACTACATGGAATGGGAAAGCTCATTCTTGAAGGCACAATCTCATGATCTCGAAGAATACTACACAGACTTGCAGCTGCTGCATGTAACAAAAAGTCTACAGTCTGTTCTTAAGGGCAATCAGAGTACCACGGCAGCACCAGAACAAATAGCAAGAGAAGAGGCGAGAATTAGTATACTGATAAAAGCAAATGAGAAGAAACTTAGTACATTAACCAATACAAACTCAAAACTCGTGCAGCAGATACAAGCCCGTGAAGACGAAAACAAGCGCCTTCACCTTCAGCTCAACCAGATTAATGATGCAATCATCGTGCGGGAAGCTATTACAAGGTCACAATTGAATTCCTTTACTGAAGAAGCAAATGCCGAGCAACGTACTAGATACCATATGAAGCGAATTACGCTGCGGCGAAGATTAATTGACTTGGTGCGTCTCATCGCCTATTTTTTTGTGTATACTATCAGTGAGTAACCTTTCGAGTAATAGGCAAAGTTACAAACCGAAGAAGTCGAGTTTTTGAGACAAGAGCTAGATAGGCTCAGGCAGCGAACATTCCCATCGTTCGGCCATGCAACGCGCGACCGACACATGGCGCTGTCAGACTCACATTGATGCAGCCGGCAATCCCAACGACGCCATCTCGAACTTGAACTAACAGTGCAGGGTATATTCGAATCGAGGGATGGCTTCAAAACAGTCTCCCAGTCTTCGACGACGTCGTGCCTCTGGACGAGCGCAAACGGGCTGTTGAATTGAGCGATGAAGACAAACCCTACGATTACACATAGGACCTGGCGGATTTAAGAAACGCTTCGAGGCGAAAAAGCAACAAGCCAAGAAGAAACCGGTGTCGAAACCTGCCAAAAAGCCGGAGCCGGGGGGAAACGGGGTCGTGAAGCTAAGTTCGCCGTGAGCGAAAGGTCAAGGTGCTCTGGGGAAGTGGTTGGTACAATGCTCAAGTCGTCGAGAACAAAGGCGGTTATTTGATCAATTATTTGCTTGAGGACGGTGAGCAAGATACCCAAAAAAGCGTCCCAGTGGCGTGCATCCGCAAGCCCAAGAAGACGATGAAGAAGAAGAGGACGATTTGGAGGAGGACGAGGGGGGCGACCCGGCGGCCAACCGCGCGTGGAGGCAGCCCACTAAATAGACCCACCCCTCTGTCATATCCGATAGGCCAGCGTCCTCCTCCGGTTGCGTTATTTCTGTTCTAGGGACCTCGGGGACCCCCGGGGGTAGTTTATACAAAGTACTACTACTGGTATAAGTACAAGTACTATCTTGTATTGTGGGGCCCGCCGGGTTTAAAGTTTAAAAGGAAAAAATCGGGGGGTAAGGAGATATGTTTCTAAAGGAGGTATGATCTCCGCAAAAACTATCTTCTGCTGTTCTCAGGCTCTCGGTGTCTCGTAGCCTAAAGCCGCCAACGTACCAGGGTAGCAGTCGTCACGGTGCGTGCCAGTGGGACAGCTTCTGCGCGCGCCCGGCGAGATTTCGTGCGCACGAAGGTGGAGGTTCGTGTGTCTTTTATTATGCTGAAAAGCTGAGTATCCCGCATTTCCGGGCGCTCGAGCAGCCCAGGTGATGCACCTGCTTTGAGTATACGACACGGCCCAGGTGCGCGGCCATCCTAGCATCGTGCGGGGGCCCATCGTAAATTCAACCTGTTCTTAGATAGGGAAGACATTGTTAGGTAGGTGTGCGTGTGGGGGGCTGGGGGGGGGGGTAAGGGGTCGAAGTGAAGTTCAAAATATTAAGCGGCCCGGTCAACCTTAAAGAAAGGAACTTGAACTTAAGAGACGAACTTAAAGCCTGAGGCCTTCGCGGCCCAGAGCCGGAATGTTGATCGCAGTTTCACCGATGCTATATGCTTCCGTGATCTCTCTCCTTTTGGGCAACAGAGGGTTAGAAATACCTCGTCTGGAAACATACGTCAAGGCCCATTAGGGCCGAGATACGCCTACGGTACTTGTAATGTATGGCTCGCTGGGCAGCGCTCGCCTGCCTCCCCGAGGACTCTCTCTCCCGTTTCCCCAGCCCTCCCCTTCTCGCTTGTTGTAAATCCGCACCAACCCCCATCTCTGCCGGACGTGGTTGGCGGGGACTGCTTCGCGCCCGGTGGCGCGCGCGACGCAGGGTGGGCCGGGCCCCGGTGGCGGTGGCCCACCTGTGGAAGAGGCGTCCACCACCCTCCACCATAAGTGAGAAGTTACCCACGCAGGCGTCGTTGACGCAGCACGCACCAGACTGGACCGCGACACCCGCGACACCGAGAGAGAGCTGGACAAAGTCACGCAATCGGCCACCTTCTGGGCCCGCAGCGTCGAAACAAAGGCCACTTCCTATGGAAATGCATAGTCGAGCGTCCCAGCGCAGCAGCCGCCGTCCCTCGAGCGCGCGTATAGGCCGAGATCGCGGCATGCCGAAAAATGATCGAGTCCGTGCGCAGCGCGAGGGGCTTCGTTGCAGCTCAAAATCGGGCTACCCTACCAAATTTATATGTAAATGCACCGCGTGCAAAATTTGGTGGCTTGGGATGCCGCGTGTGGGCTGCGGTGGGTGCCCGATTACTAAAAGTGGGATTGAGCGTCTTAACCCCTCCCCTGGAACGGGGAGGCAATGCGGTACTGGGTACAGGCTGGTACCGTACGGTATGTGGATTCGAATGCCGTAGATATACCGTAGGTACAAAGCTGGTACCCTGTCATTATTGTCGGATGTTAATCCATATGATGGAGGAGAAGAGCTGACGCCTCAATGAGCTGACGACGTCCTACAATGCAATAGTTATCATATGAAGGGGCTGAACTTTGCGCTTTTGTCGAGTGTGTTCTTGCTTTGGTTTCGGAGTACTTTGGCTTTTCGCCTGCTTCATCGTGGTGTAGATCTCTATGATGACTTCACATCCTATGAAATATCCTACGTGGGGCAGGCGAATAATCCAGACGTGAGTACTCTCGAAAATGTACTGGAAGGCGCACCATCTACGCGCACACACCCCCGTAATTGGGCCCCAGCATCTGGTCGCCAAATATGTCCTGGTATGATAGGCCCACTGGGTGCGAATGCCTATTATTGTCATGCTAAAGAGTTCGGGAGTTGTGATCGTCGCGCCGGGGTATGCCACTGCAATACGGGTTACGAAGGGGTGGATTGCAGCACCTGTGGGCCAACGCACTATAGGGACGGGAATTTGTGCTACCCTAAACGATCCTGTCCCGGTACAATAGGGGGGCGCTTTTCATTAGAGTGCAGTGGGGCCGGGATATGCAATTATTCTACCGGGAAGTGTCAATGTCATTCCAGCACTCGGACGGGTGACTGTTCAATCTCCGAGTGCATGGGTTTCGATAAACTATGCACTGCATGCACCCAAAGTTATTGCGTGGGATGCGTAGATGGCTACTATTTGGATGAGAATTCCCGCTCGTGCCACACTTGTGCACATCACAGCCAGCGTTGTGCTGTGTGTAACTCAAACTCTTGTTTGAAATGCGTTGACACAACAGTATGGTCCCACTTCCAGCCTGCAAAACCCCTTCTAACTACCTTGGAAAGCAATTTTGGGTCGGCCGCAGTGTACGCCACCTTCGAAATTGGCAGCTCCGATGAGTATGAACAGTTTCGTGTACTACCCAACTCCAAGCCTCCCCAGCTGTGCGAGCAAGGTTTGTCTGGTAATTCGTCGTGGAGTTGTGGCGATTCTCTTCGTGAGCAGGCCCCTGGTGCTTGTGGACACGAGGGGACGATCACATGGTCCAGTACACAATACTCTGTTGCCGAGGGGGCAAAGACGGTACGGGTTGCGATAAAAAGAAGTGGGGGGGGCATTGGAGTCGTCCAGGTGCGCTACATGCTCCACCATATCACGACTGCAGAAAGCGACATCGCTATGTCTGCCCCATACACCTCATCTACTATGCTGCAATTTGATGATGGAGTGACAGAGCTCAGCTTTCTTCTTGCGGTACACGATGACCGTATGAGTGAAGGGGATGAAACGGCCATGATTGAACTCATTAGGCCAAGAGGCGGAGCTTCTCTTGGATCCCAGCGACGAGCTCTTCTAACAGTAATTGATGACGACATGAATCGCGCGAGTGCTTTCTTTTCGCTACTGAGGAGTGATTGCATAGCCACCGCAGGTAATGCATCATCGACCGTCATCCTTGCCCACAACGGAAGGGGCACACAGATGCAAATGGGCGGTGATGTCTTTCTTGTCGAACTTGAGCCTATATTTTTTTCAACCACATCTCACACGTTGACCCATTCGCCAGCATTGAAGCTGCCCTACACAGAAGGCTCAAACTGGGAGATCAGTGCGATGTCAGACATGGGAAATGGCACGTACTTCGGCTCATGGATTGCGAAAAGGACCGGTATTTACAAGCAACGTGCGTGGATGCTAGCAACTGGTGGCCTCAAGGGCGAATACCATCATGGCTCGAACCTTATGGCAAAGAGAGTGGTGGACCGTATTGACTCGCACGTTCATTTCATGTGGGACAGCGCACTTCTTCAAAAAGCTTATTTTCCCCCGTCAACATTTGGCGTAGATCTTGACTTTGTGCGATGGTCTGGTCATCTCCGCCCCAGCCGAACTGGTGCTTATTATTTGCATGTTGTCTTGCATGGCAGCGGACTGGGTGTGCGACTATGGCTTGATGGCAGAGTACTTGTCGATGGATGGCGGACTTTGACGCGGCGTCATAGTGAAATCAGCACGCCCGCGCTCCTAACTGCATACCACTTGCATTCAATTGCCCTTGAATTGCGAATTTCAAACAACTACTACTCCGACTTCGCCGCTTCTCGTGGCAAGGGTGTTTCCTTGGAATGGTCCGCTCCTTCAATGTCTCGGGCTCTCATTGCTCCAAAATACCTGTCCTCTATTTTCTCACACGAGAAGAAATCTATTTTTTAAAACATAATCTTCGTGACATGTGATATGTGCAGGCATTATTCAAATGAGCTCAAAGGATCACCGTCTCTGGTCAGAGTAGCTTCGAGTGCCCTATCCACAGGCAACACGTTCGCTTTTGGCAGCGGGCTGTCTCTTGGCGAGGCTGGGCGCCCTCTTGCTTTTCAAGTCTTAGTTGTTGATCTATTCGGCAATCGCTGTGACGATGTCGGTCTCTCCCTACCAATAGCTGCGCCGGCAAGACCGTGTGACGCCGCTTCATCTCGTCCGAGGGCATTAGGCCACCGCAGTTTCCTAGGCCTAAAAGCAAACGCTTCTCTTCTACGAAGTGAAGCTGCTGCTCGCGGAGGCGGCATGTTTCCAGTGGCATTCTCTATTGCCACGCATGCTGGTCTTGCTCGTACACGTCACGCACGTGGTGCTCACCCCACCCAGTCGGGGGCCTATCAGCTTGCTGTATCCTATGAATCCAATTTGACGCAACGCTGGATCGGGGTATCTATCCATGAACACGCCGACGTCTTCGGGAGCCCATTTCAGGTCAAAATCTTGCCTGCTCGTGCGCATGCCAGACAATGTTCTGCGACCGGCCAGGGTCTGCATCAGGGTACCGCGGGGGCCGAATCAAGATTCACTATACAATCTTTCGATGAATTTCGTAACAGAGTTGATGCTGGTGGCGATGTGATAGCTGTTGTATCAAAACACGTACGAAGACCCGTCGGCGACCTAGAGGCCTCAAGAAAATTGTCACCACGCAGACTGATTGTGACGGGGAACATTTACGACGCAGGGAATGGTACCTATCATGCGTCTGTGCGACCAGTAACTGCCGGTACTCATAAGCTTGCGGTAATGATCAATGGCCAGGCTATCAGAGGCTCTCCGTTTTCGCTTCACGTTCTGGCTGGACCTGCGAGGGGCCAGGCGAGTACTGCGGATGGTCTCGGGATCCAGACTGCAACCGTTCATGTACTGGCAAGATTCCTTGTTAATGTCCGTGACCAGTATGGTAATCTCTGCGTGGAGAACATCGACATGTCTTTATTATCCTGCAAACTTGATTTAAATGCCGATGGCGCGTGTAATTTACAGTTCACGAATGGGTCGGTTTTGTGTACTTACTTCCCAACAATCAGTGGAAGCCTTCGCCTTGAGGTTGCATATGCGGGGGAGATGATTCGTGGGTCTCCTTTTCTCGTGCATGTTGAGGACGGCGTCACGAGTACCCGCTCAACAGTTGCTGGTGACGGCCTCACGCGTCCAGTCGCCGGCAAGACTTCGGTTTTCACGCTCGCTGCACATGATACTTCTATCAATATCATCGACGAACCGCCTCTCAAGTGGAGATACAATGCCACGTTGACGCACGAGTCTTATGCGGCCCCTTTCTTACGGGCAGTAATCACGGGCGCGGAGACCAGTGCGCGTAACTCAAATTGTGCACCCGACTCACTAATTGATTGCGCACCACAGGTGCGCACGACGGGATATACGATTTTGAATATAACGCAACTCTTGCCGGTCAATATACACTCCTCATCACGGACACAATTTTCGGGAGCAATATTAGCCGTCTATCACTGTATGTTACTGCTGGGGATGTTGATGCGAGCAAATGTTCCGTGGAGGGTCTAGGAATAGCGATGCATGTCCATGCATGCCAGGTCGCTCAAATACGCGTCAGTACGCGGGATTCGTGGGGAAATCTGCATTTCGATGAGGTCCACCGACTCCTTGCTGTTTTCGTTGGCGGCGGCGGGGACAACGGCTCAAAGAAGGAAGAACGACAAGAGACTCTACTTGTGAATGGTATGCACATCGGGCCGGGGCTCTACGGCATCTCTTATTTCGCACGAATCTCCGGGGCGCACAGATTGCATCTGTTTCTGCGCCAGCCAGGTATAGATGTAAGCGTACACAATATGCTTGATCCTAGACAGGTACTGTTGGTTGAGACGGCTGCTGAAATCGACTACAATTGGAACCGGCGTTACCAAGAGAGCGTAGTCCAGCAAAATGATACATTTAGACCAGCCGGAAGGCTTGCGAATACGAAGTTTATTGCTATTTTTGTGGCGTTCCTCCAGTTTCCGCGCAGCGCCGAAGATTTCCTTCTCCGTTGTGACACCGATCCGGACGCCCGAGCATTACTCAAGATTGATGGTCGCGTCATTTTTAGTAGTAGTTCGACGTATGAGGGCGTGTTCTCTCCATCTCCATCGTCTTTGAGACGCGACCATGTTTTTGAGCTAACGTATGCGCACGCAAGTGGTCCTATGGCTTTCGTGCGATGTAGCTGGGCGTCAAAGGAACGGCCAGAGCTCACACGCATCCCATCTGCGTCCTTCTCGCGTACCGCTCTCGTTGGGACTTCTCCCATCCTTTTTGATGTGATCCCTGGATTTCCAGATGGCTCGGCCAGCCGCATCATACGCCGAAGGCAAGAGTATCAAGTTGCAAACTGGAGTCCTGTAGCCGTTTTTGAGATCCGTGATTCTTGTGCTAACCTTCGGGCCCGTGGAGGAGATCATCCAGCTATATACCTCGATGCGCCCCCGGAAGATATATCTACGGTGGTCACAGACCTCAAAAGTGGTCTTTACGAGGCACTCGTATACGTCAAAGCCGTTCGAAAATATACTATCACTGCATATGCCTGGTCACCACAGTCGTCCTCTGCGACCTCGTCGTCGGGGCAAAGCTTGATGATAGACGCCCCCTGGACTGCAGATTTTGTGCACGCTGCGGCGTCGAAGCACTCGACCCTGCTTGTTGGGACGGCCCTTGTTGCGGGAGTAACAGCTGGGACTCCAGCTCACCTCATCCTCCATGAGCATGCTGCTTTGTCTCATATTGATTGGAACAAAAATATATCCGTGAGCCTCAAACTAGTTCAACCACATGGCATTTCTAACGTCCGCGCCTGGGTAGCCGATTCTAGCGTTCGCGCCTCTCGTAGTTTGAGACGGGGTCGTCTCATGATTAGATTCATCCTGTGCAGGGCGGGAATCTATCAGCTCCGCGTCTTCTTGAATGGTTCAATTTTGGGCGTCCCTGTGGCATTGCAATGCCGTTCGGGACACATGAGTGCGAGTTGGAGTGGCGTGCGTGATGAGCCGCTCGGTCGATATATCGTCAAGGCTCGCGATGAGTTTGGTAACAGCATACCCGTCGGTGGTGAAGCGGTTCGAATTCGAGCCCAGGGTAGCGGGCTGGTGAGTTTCCGTAACAATTTTTCCGTCACATAGTTTGCTCTAGGCCACTGGAATAGCACATGACAGCGACGATGGAACGTATTTCATTCGCCACAGCACGTTTGATTTGAACCCCCATCGATCTGGCTCACACTTGATGCATATCGATTTGGCTCACAAGCCCTCTATTGGACGAGGCGGTGGAAGCCTAATGGCTCACTATTTTACAGACGGTCTTAATGGTCTTCCTTCTGTTGTCCGAGAGGAGTTCGGCCCACTGGTGTGAGTCAACATATATACCAAGACAGGTCTATTTGCACTTTGCTCCGCCGTAGGTTTGATTGGGCACAAGAAGATATTGCTGTTGGTGTTGCGGACTACACGTCGATACGGTGGACAGGCTTGCTGGAGTCGCCAGAGTCCGCCCAGTTCCGTCTTGAGCTAGGACTGCTAGACCCGGACGATGCTGCCCGCATTTTCATCGACGAAACAGTAGTCGTAGAGACCAGTCCCGGCCAGCGTCGGGGGAGTGGATTTGTCTATCTCGTTAGAGGTGCCTTGCACTCCATCATTGTCGAGTTTCACAAGTCGACCGGACCGGCTGGAATTAGTGTTGAGTGGTCCAGTCCAGACATGGCGCAGCAGCCGATCGCAGCTTGCTTCCTGTACTCTCGCTGGCGACGGCTGAAAGGTAGTCCGTTTCAATACGAGCGGTTGCCTTCTTTGAACTCTTCCTCCCCCTAGATACTGTTGTTTGGTCCGAGTCGCTTGCGGCCAACAGCTTCTGGGAGGGCCATAGAAGAGGCGCTAATACGGCACCATGTTGAAGCCAAGGCGCATCCAAGGGCCACCCGGGGTTTTACTTCACGTTGACGCCCCTAGCTCTTCTCGTCTCCGTCTCCTCTGCTGGCGCCTCTCCATACTATGCCAGGACGCTCGAGCCTGCTTTAAAAAGATGGCGGTACAAAAATATGGCTGCCCACATAACCCAGGGCATCTCTTTGAGTGCATCGAAGTCCAGGAGAGGTTAGAAGTCAGCCAGAACAGTTACCCTAATGGTACTGTACTAGTCTCTAGCTCGCCTCACTGGCACTGAGTTAGGTCTGCGTTACCGACCACAAAGCCAATTTGAGTGTGGTTTGCGATCCCCAAAATCATGATACAGGTAACTTGAACCCCCCCCCCCCTCCTGTTTGGTGACGCTGCTTGGTGACGGGGCTTTTAGGTCCCCGCGCGCCCCGGGAGTTGGGGTACAAGTTTGCAAAGGATGAATCCCCAATTATCGCGCCCGGGAAGTCTCGGGGGCGCCGCGGCGGCCGCCACGGCGCGGTCACGGTCCGGGAGCGAAGGCCGCCAAGCGAGATGTCTCCAGAGCTCTGCCTCCTAAGGAAGTCCTCAAGGGGCCTGACCCCTGTCGCGTTTAGACCACGCCTCCCGAGCCGCTAACACGTTTAGGTCCTTTGCGACGTAAATTCGGGTTTACCCAGGATTTCTCGAGAATTCTCGGTGCGGAGGAGTCGTGGTCTACACTCGACAGGCCTGACCCCAAATTGGTGAGATAAATAAATAAATTAATTAAGGAAGACCTAAAAAAAAGGAACAAGCTCCTAAGAGCCTTCTCCCTCAGGCTGCTCGATATGATCATGATGTGATTTTCACCCCCTGATTCGATAAGATACGCAAACAAGATGACCTTTGTTGTATGGTTGCCCAAATAGTCGCCTGAATTGGCACGAACTTGAACTTGAACCGTGACCGTAACCGTGACGCCGCCGGGCCAAGGCCCGGGAGCCACTGGCGCGACGTTCGCGTGGGGGCCCTTCCGGCCCTTCGCTTTTTTAGCCGCCCCCACTCCGCCAGAATGTGAGGCACCCCCTAAGGATCAGTCGCAGCTAGTTTCCGGGATTGGGCTATTAATGGGGAGGCCGCGCTACCGTGACTACAGCCGCGGCGGCGGCCGCCTGAGCCCGGGCCCATTCAAGTTGTATCGGGGTCAGGCCCCATGCCTCCCCCGCCCTCGATTTCTCCGAGTCAGGCTAATTTATGGTTATTTATTTATGTGGACCATTGCGTGTCCTCCGTGCTCGATTTTTAATGTATTTATTTATTTATTGTCTACAAAGCTCATACTTAAGTACGGGAGATTAGGGTAAGCTGAATGCGGTAGTATGGGCTCGTAGGTTTGGAGAGTTGCAGTAGCACGATGCGGCAGCGGGAAGAAAATGGCCCTGGTCAACCTCGAAAAAATGTAAACAATGTGGGTCAAATCCGTCCTACGCCTAATGTTTCAGGAGGGAGCGTGTCCTGGCATCAGTCCACCGGTGGAATCAAGGGCTCCCTTGCTGGGTCTCCGAACAAGGCATGGCAATCGCAGACTGCCTTCCTTAAAGGAAAAACACCTTCTGCATTTATTCGGCGGACAGACCAGCAATGTGCCGCCCGCCGGCAAACATGGAACGCACCACTGGGTGGACCTCATGGGGGAACTGACCGCCCTCCCAAGGTTCCCTCATACAACCTGCAAGCTCATGAACAAGTAACTATGACAACTGAGACAAACACTAATGTCCCCAATAACGCTCACGGCATGACATTAATACCAGTCAAGAGCCAAGAGGAGACTAGTACCGTAGCCATCCTAATGGACTGCCTCCCAACGCCATCAACGCCTGCTGACAATTCCTACCTGACGGCATACGGCTTTGCTCATGCCACAGGCAAGCAGCAATTTACAGGCCGTGTAGCAAAGCTGCGGTCTGATCGCGAAAAAGAAGATGCGGAACTGCGCATAGCTCTCAGCCAAATGATTGATGTTGATCTCAATACCATGCCGCTGGAGCACGGCCTTGGCCGCCTCGACGCCTTAATCCAGGAGGCTTTCTTTAACATGCAGGATCTCTGGCGCAGGGCACCTGGATGCATGATGTCCGACGAAACTGAACCGTTTCTTGGCCCCTCGCAGAGCAAACTTACTTGTAGCAACGGAAATTGCTCACGTGTTCCTCCAACAGTCGTGCATGACCTGAAGCAAATTGTGAGAGAAAAACGGATTCTTACTTCGAATACTCAGGAGCCAAAACACCTTTACCGAACGCCTCACGAGTCTCCTCTTTGGCATGCCAATGAAATGAGTCACGCCGCCCTCATCCCAGCTCTACATGCAGCCGCACACAAACGTGCGCGAAGGCTCTGCTTCTACCTGGATCAACAAGCCAATGACTACAAGGATGCAGAGACAAGATGGCGCGCAAATTTGTGTGCGCGCGAGTATCAAAGGGGGCATACTTCTCTTTGCCCTCCCCGCCAACCTGAAGGTACAAAACGTAACGAACGTACGTTTAGACACAGGGGGGAGTCGTGCTCATCCCTTTTTTCTCTCGACTCTTTGCGGTCGACTGCTTCTGGCCACACAATAACATGTGTAGAAAGTGATGAAGCGGGCAGCCTTGGAGCACCGACAAGAGCTCGCAAAGCACTACGTGAGGAAACCTCAGAGCATGAACGTGTAATGTCTGAAATTTTAGCATCCTCTGCTAAGGAGGCGCGTTTTGAGCGTGGCTCGATTAATGAAAGCGACCTACCACTTCCGCTCCCAATATCTGTTGTTGTGCAAGAAGACACGCGCCTCCGCGAATCAGCCTTGAGTTGCCGTCACATATCCGATCCACTTGCTGAAGAAGTTACTTCTTCGCAGAGCCGCCAATGGTCTGACTTGGAGAAATGCATATTTGTTGATAAATTTCTGCAGTATCCCAAGAGCTTTGGAAAAATTGCCGCTTTCTTCATGCACAAGCGTGCGTGTGACTGTGCCCGGCTTTACTACGACACCAAGTATGCTATAAATTACAAAGCACTGCTTCGTGAGCATCAGCAAAGGCGTCGTGGCGTTCGAATCTGCTGGGATGTTACAGCCAAGGCTGTGCAAGTTTTTGGCGGTGAGTTACAATATGACCTTCAGCGCAATCTTGTCTGCTTCCGCCTGCCGGCCGATCATCTCTCCATTCAACCCATTGGAAAGCATGTGATTGGAGGCCGACCAACACCCAAACCTCAACAAGAGCGAACTGCCAATGGTCGTTCCAGTTGGGGAGGGCTTGAGACGTGTACAACTTTAGAACAACATGCAAGTCTACACGCCTTGGCGCACAAGCAGATTGCCGAGGGCAATCTAAAGACCACGCTTATAGGGCGTTGTGCCAGCACTCACACTGATGATAGATTTGAAGCATCACCTAGCGAACTTTTCTCTGCACCGAGGCAATACTGTTCGCCCATGTACACACCAGTCGTCTTCAATGGCAAATTTGTTGAAACTCAGACCACTCCCGAAGCATTAGGAAATTGCGACGAGAATAAAGTTCAGCCGTCGGAAGCTCCTGAAGAGTGCCAATTGGTGCCGAGAAGTAGTCGGGTGTATTCTCGATCAGGCATCAAGCTAATAATAAGTGGAGATAAATTATTACCAAGACCCTTGAATACTAAAACCAATATTTCAGTCGTGCGTGTAGCCAGGACAAGAAGACTCCAATCGGCGACGGTGGTCGAGCTCAGGCCTCTCCCTAACTCGAATGGAAAGTCTGCATTTCGACATCTCGTAGGCCAAACGAAACAAAAAATTAGACTAGATCTTAATCCTATGAAGGTAGGCACGCAAGTGAAAAATCATTTCGCAAGCTACAAGAATCGCATTGGTCTATTGAATATATTTGCATCTCACCGCGCTGACGGAGAATCACAGGTAGAGCAAGACTTGTTTTCTACCTCTGTGGGTGGGCTCAGAGATTGCATAGATGATGGTAACATGTCCCCTGAGCATCAGCCTGAACAGCAGCCTGAGCATCGCAACGTACTCGGGACTCTGAACGCCCGAACATTCACTTATGATGAGAATCACGGAAAGGCATGTCTATTCTTAACAAATTCTCATCCTAGCAGCGCCAATTTCGATCACGACATGGGACAATACGGTACCTGTCAACCTGCTCCCGCGGAGGATGACTCCAATAGAATCTTGCTGCACAACTGGAGTCCTATTTTAAACACATATATCCATATTGGTGATTTTTCTGCATGGCGCTCTATTCAAAAGGTCCGATATTCTTGTCTTCTGGCAGATGTTGCGCAGTCCTGTCCTCTTAATTACACCTCGTACCTGCCTGCGTGGTGGCCCAGCCAAAGCGAAGGAACGAGCTAGGACCGCACTCACGTCGAAACCCCAATGATGAAATCAAAGTCCCCCTGCTTGCTGAAAATTGTTGATGCCCAATGAAATGGACTTGATTCTATTCACTTCATTGAGGCGGCATCGCAAAGACACCTGGCTGCCAGTAGAGTTGTTTCAAGCTGCAACTTGAAGAATTCCATGGGAATCTAATTGTGCTGCCGCCGCTTGTTCAGAGGAGCATTCGATTCGCCAAACGGAACGTTGAATTTCTCGCGGCGCAACGTGCTGACGGAACGTCATTACGCTTTGCTTCGGCAAAGTTTAACGCTTTGCACAGCAAAGTCGACGGCCTGTTCAAATATATCAAGTAGCCTAGTTTTAGGTCCGAGTTGTCCTCAAGTAGGCTAGGCGGAGGTGCAGGATCATAAGAACCCCTAATCTCGTCCTCATGTGCTGTCGTCCTCGTGTGCTTCTGAATCTAATCTTGGGGCGGACGATTCAGTTCTACGTTGAGAGAAACATCGGATTATAGTAAGGTTTCCGCGTCAAGTAGATTGGTTGGGTCAAGTTCCCGGCCCTGGCATTCATATCTGCCATCTCACGAAGGAACGTGACGCCTCCACGACTTTGCGCATTTCAGGCTGTTCCATCATCCGTTGCATCTCAACCTGAAATGCCGGCTCAGCCTGAGCCATCATTTCCCTTGCACTTTTTATCATCTCAGGGTCTTTGAGATCGGCCACGGCATCAGCAAGACGTGAAGGATCCCTAGCAGCGTTCACCAGTGATTGTAGGGCTGTTGACCAGAGCCTGAGAATTCTGCACTGTACTTTTTGTACTCCAACTTGAACTTGAAGTCTACTTTGGCTCTAGCTGCATGAGCTTTTACGTCACTAGCACTAGCGGGCGATGTTAGTGGCTGCGGTTCGCTTCCTAAGAAAGCGGAAACACCGTGCTTGCTTACTTACTTCAAGTTGATCGACCACCTCAGCATTTGCTGTAAAAGTATCCACCTGTGCCTTGAATGCAGGTTTTCGCATCAGCTCCGCCAGAGCATCGAATTTGCATCATATGACGCATTTTCTTTTGAACCTCATGTATTGGACCGAATCTCATGAAGGGCAGCACTTGCATCCGAGTCAAGCCTGCGGCCAGTGAACTTGAAATCGAGGATGAACACTGCCAGCGCGGCGCCTGGTGTCGATGCCGTCTTGAAAATTCAGTTTAATTAGGGTTAGCGCAGCTACATGAGGGGGTAGAATACCCAGATACGCCTCAAAACACAAAGCGCGCATCTCTCGAAATCGTACTGCGCCCTAGGGGGGTACCTACGGTACCTTAAAAAAACACAATGGACGATGAGGAAAAGCACCGCATTCACCACCACTGGCGAACATCACGCATGGTTGATCGTGATTTACATGCGCCGGTTAAACGACGGCATAGGTCGAAGATTACGTGACCGTAGTGTCCGATCTCATAGTTCCACACGTAGCATACGGGCAATATGGAAACGACCCGGCAAGCATATTCTCTATGGGTCTCAATCATTTGTGGCTCAGGCCAAGAACGAGTATCGTGTTGAGCGGCCTACTCTACTGGGTGCGATGATATCCCCCGCACGTCGACCATTAGTCTTTGAGGCTTGGTCTCCTTGCGAAATTGCCACATTTGAAGGTGTGCACTTGTCACATACAGCATTTCGACGACATCGGTAGGCGCACTCGCCTTACATGGAAAAAACTTTCACATGCTGCAGCGATTTGTCAAGACGAAGTCGACAAAGGAAATCATCGAATTCTACTATGTATGGTATGTTCTGCTGGTTTTAATCGGCAAGATCCATGTTGTTATAGGAAAATGACTACTCATGGAAGGGAATGGAAAAAAAAATTTGTGCCTGATATTCCAGATCCCGAGTACTAAAAATACGAGGTGTGCCTACATTTCTCCGTTTATGGCGGCTATGGCGGTATGGCGGCGGTTCAATACACTATTCACTATCCTACTAATATTCCCACTAATATGTCAGCACCTATGATTCCAAGATCCTAGCCGTTTCGTCTCTCCCCGGACCTTGGTCAAAAGGTGGGAATAGACCCCAGGAACCTAGTTTATGAAAATCCCCCTCACCAAGCGCGAAGCCTGAAGGGGTCCATACCTTTTACCCGCTCTGTAGGCCTAGGTTGCCACTTACCTGTTCAAGTTAATTAATTACCCGTTATTAACCTATAGTCGCGTCCGTCGCAACTCGTATAAACGCCGCGGCGTTGAAATTCCGCAACAACATCTTGTCGTTGGACCCTCGGGATTTCCTCGTTCGCCGCGTATACGACGGCCTGATGAATGATTCTAAAGGTCGCGGATCGTCGAGGAACGGGGCTTTGTTCCCGGAAAATCTTGCGTTAGAAGCGATTTGGCCCGGGCCTCTAAAAAAACCGGCAGCGAAAAAGTTCGTCAATGAATTCGTCGCCTCGCGCCGGGTATCCGAGCTCGCCGACGGTTTCAAGAGAACTTGAATGACGACCCTTCATAACATGAGCAATTGGGCCGAGAAAGAACGTTTCGGCTTGCCGGAATATTTACTCAGAACGTGCCCCTCGTCTCTTCGGGAAGGGCGGAGATTGAAGACGAAGTTCCGATTGGGTTGCCACGACCTCCGGAGCTCGAGTTGCCGAATGCAGCTTGTTCGTAACGCGCAATGCCCTTGTTGCGAATCTCGCGAGTCGGAAACAATCCAACACACGTTGTTTGGATGCGAGGCCTTTGAGGAAGAACGGGAGGCATTTCTTGCGAGATTATACTCGGTTTTTGCCCCCTCGCACGGCAATTGACTGACGAGTACCGCTGTCGGCTGGTCATGGGGGACACCCCGGGAGATTGAAAACCCGTTGTATCGTTATCTTATTGCTATTTCGAAGCTCCGGTTGGGTATCCTGACCGAGCAGGGAGAAGGCTCTTAGGCTTGTTCCTTTTTTTAGGTCTTCCTTAATTTATTTATTAATTAATTTAATTATTTAATTACCCCTCGGAGGGGATCCGGGGTTAATAACCCGCTCAATAACGGGTTTCGACTAAACCCGTTTTTAGTGAGATTAGCAAAAGACCCCTCAGGACGAGCGGATGGGCGCAAGCAGCCCGTTGAGCTTTTGGATACGTACAGGTGCGCCAAGGCAAGTACCAAGTCATGTGGCCCGGCGCGGCCCAGGCCCCCTCCCGGGCCTCCCCTACCCCTCTAGATATAAGATCCTGGGGTTAATAACCCGTCCTAACGGGTAATTACCCGGGTTACTGACCCCGGGCCGCGATTGGGGTTAATAACCCCTGGGGTAAGTGGCAACCTAGGCCTGAGGAGCCCCGCCTGCCACTGTCCACGTCTGTCCTATAATTGCACCGCTGCCCTTGCTACTACGGTAGACTACCCGGGCCGATAGGATACTAATTGCCAATTGCCCGGACCTCAGGCTTGGCTTCAAGTCACAGGAGAGATTATCCTGCTTTGCAAAACCCAAATTCATACAGGAGGCGCACGCGAGTGCTGGAGCATATCGATATTCCCTTCAAAATTCCTCAATATCACATTCAGGTTCAGAATCACCTATTAAATAAAACAAATGATTGTATGCTAGCTGAATTCAAACTACCTTTCCAGTAGGAATTGTTACGAGACGACAACGGTTTGCCCAGGCAGCCTTGGCCGAGATAATATCATAGCTTGTTAGTTTTGATGTGTTTCCCAGGAAATATGCAGATATCTCGTCTCGCACGGAACCAGTCGGTCTCCAGCAGCAAACAGTAAGCTCTGAAGAGCCCGGTGTGACTGGAAGATGACAAAACCCATAACCCGCGACGTGAGAACATCCGTGCTAAAGTATAACTGTATGGTTCTAACATCTCTGGTGTATTATTACATACCTCGTCAAGTTCTTGCACCTGCATTACAAGCTTCGGCCAGCCAAGTGGTGACCGTGCTGCAAAATGAATATCAAGCGGATGGTTCCAAGGCGCATTGCAATCGGTTGAAGCGGCGAGTTGAGTTTGTCCTCGGAAATTACCCTGACGTACGATCCATGAATTACAATTATTGTGATAGGTTACCTCAAGCAGCGTCCATGGATCATCCCACACAAAGTGCCAACTACAGGCAACTCCAAGCTGCGTGCCTCGAAATCCTTCTCCGTGAACTAGTTCGCCCGTAAAAATTACCTCCGGTATCTTCTCGGCTAATTTCTCTTTGCTAGAGTGTTTACGGCACTGAAGTTCCTCGCGAAATGGTTTGAGGTCCTGGATTCTGGCTTTCAACATGGTACTGAGCTTTCCTCGAGTGTCATCGTTGGACGATGCACCCTTCGCTGATTCAAGATCGACATTGGACATTAGCGTGTCTTGGCTTCTTGCCAAGCGGTGTGCTGCCGGGGGCTTACCAACGGTACTGCGTATAGATACCGTGACATATAATAAGGGCTAGAAGGGATCGGGGTTGGGTGTTAAATAGGACGCGTGCGCGGGGCGCACGAAAGCTACGGAGTGTGTTGCCAGCATGAGTAGGGGTCGGAGTATTGCGGCATCACATAAATCATGAACATGAACTTGAACGGCCTTCAAGTTGAAATCTTCAAGCTGAACTTGCCAGTGAACTTGAAAAAGCCAGTGGTGTATTTGATCATGATCATGATGGCTCAATTCAAGTTGAGACACACACACAATTTTTGCACGAAACAAACTCATTAACTAACTCATTTCGTCCGAGTCAAGGGTGCCACTGGGTCTAATTTAATTTGAGAACCGCAAACTTAAACCACAGCCAATTTGGCTCACTGGCAGTGGCCGGCCCGGGCCCGGGTCACAAATCCGAGGGGAGCCCGGGCCTCAGGCTAGAGCCTGAGGCTTGTACAGTACCAACAATATAGTACCGTGACAGTACCAATAATAACAGGGACGGACCCCTAGCCATCCGAGTCGTTTGTTGAGCTTCTGGACTGAAAAATTAGAAATTCGCTCTGCCCGGGCCACGTCCCGGGCCAGCGTGCTGCTAATTTGGTCTCCCAGGAGCCCTCAGCCCGGCCGGGGGTCACGGTACTTATGGCTCTAATCTATGGCCAGCTAGGTAGGCCCGATGGGGTGCCAGTTAGGTCTCCCGAAACGGCACGGAAATTTCTAAACACTATCGTTTCGACTCGGATCGCCCGTTTTGATCTTGTTATAGAGATACGGCAAATTCGGGGTTGGGATCCCCCCGGTCACCCTGATTTTGGGCTTCTGGCAGTGCCAGTTTATTTAGTGTGGGGGGCCGTCCATCTAAAATGTTAATAGCTCTTACTGGTTCACAATCTCAGTCCACTCAGCGACTCAGATAAAAAGCTGTCGAGTCGTTTCCCTGAGACAGCGGAGCAGCCAGCCGGCGACTCAATTTGTCGGCACTTATTTTGTCATTGGTGAGCCACGGTAAGTTGTATGCATATTCAACACCGCTCTGCGGCTCAAGAAATGCGAATGTCATCTAGGCTGCATTTAATTTATGCAATCAGATATTAGCTCAGATACCTCAAGTTGAGGTGAGCGCACAGCGATTTTGAGAATACACCCCAACTTAGCTTCAACTTGAAGCTGAGCCCGTGCCAGTATGTCAAGGTTCCCTGCAAAACATCCGGAGAGGTGAAGAGTATGCGGCATGCCTATCCTGCTTTTATCAATTTCATTCGTACCATCCTCTGGCCTGATATATTTAATAGTAATATGTGTCAACAAAAGGGCAAAAAAAACGTCAGAGACTACGTATATGACTGCATCCCAAGGCAAGATATCACAGCATCTATCGCGACTTCCATGTCTTTGAATTGGAGAGAATACTTTTGAAGCACTTCTTTATCTTTCTCAAGTGAATCCCAGGCTTGTCGAAAATTGCTTATATCCGCCTAGGGCCCAAGACTCGGATAACTTTGGATCATTGTCTCACCTTCGCAACGAAATCAGCAGTTGAAATTTCTATATCTTCAAGCGGGTAATCCTCCGGAAACCCTTCTTCATCCCCCTCGAATTCCCCAGTGGCTGGATCAATCTCAACGACACGAAACTTGAGCTCTGCAAGGAAATGAGCAGGGGCACCAAACGTTGAGCCAGGACTCCCTCGCAGTATCAGCCAAGCTCGTTCGGTGGCACCGCAGCGTAAAATGGGGGCATGCACAGAGGCCACATGATCATAATGCTGCGGTGAATCAGGTGCCTGCTCAATAACAATGCCTGGCACAAGCGCATATATTTATCACATCTTACCCCGTACGCTGCAGTTTTGACATGCATCCACCAGCAATTGATCTGAAATCGTGTTCGTAATTGCAAACTCAAGCACAACATGCTCTGACATAATATGTTTGATGCAAGATACTACATACTCAGTCTCCGATTCAGTCAGTTGGATAGGAGAGGTTGAAGAGTGAACACGCCCCAAAGTAGCAAGTTCAGGAATTTTATACAACTCAGCGGAGTCATTTGACGAGGACAGCGATGCACTAGCTGGCACCTACTCAGATTCACTATGCTGAAGGTACACGACGAATACAAACCGCTGATTGAGAGCTCGGCCTCGTGTAATCGACTACAGGCAAAGTTGTGAGGCTGAGTGCGAGGGCATCATCTTCACGACTACCTGCAACCTCAAACTCTTTCAGTGCGGCAGAGAGCTGTGCAAAAGACATTGGCAGCGGTTCAAGAAGCAAGTGAATTTCTGGTTGAAGTGGCAGATCTCTTGTACTGTCCGCTGCCAACGCATCTTGCCTGAAGGGCCGTTGGCTGCCTTCTGCCTCGCCGTCGCCAGGAGCATCTTTTGTAATGTTCTCTCCGAGCAATCTTAGAGCGACTGTAGCACGATCACGGACTTCGTCGTCCTCATCACGCAGTGAACGACGTAACAGCACGGACACAGATGCTTGTAATGCTGGGAGTCTTGCAGCAAACTTAGCGAGAGTGGTAATTGCTGCTGCACGCACAGCTGCATTCTCAAGTATGACACGATTGTAGACAAAACGAATATATCTTGCAGGTGCAACGGTTGTGGGCCCCACGATACCAACAAGATGCAAAATCTGTGTCGACAACGCAGTGAACTCGCAATCTTCAATGAACTCACAAAGATGAAAAAGCGACGACTCTTTGGTCTCGGATATTACGCACATGAGAGCAATAATGGCGTCAACAATCGCTTTCTTAAATTCAAAACCCCCTTCCTCGCGCAGAAAATTGGCAAGAAATCCAACAAGGACACGGTGCTTTAAAGGGTATTTGAGACAAAGCTCCCGAATCGCAGTGACGACAACAATCTTGAACTCGTCTGCTATTTCATTCATAAATGACGAAATTTGTTTCATTAGACGATCAACAGATGATTCAGAACCAGTTTTTAATAAAGTCGTAATTGCAAAAGTTGCAATAGAGCGATTATTATCGGCGATGAGCGACTCCATGTCGTCATTACATTTTATGACTGCTGATGGTTTGGCTATTGCAACACTAGAAAGAGCTCGCATCGCTGCAAGCCGAAGCGTGGACTTTGGGGAAGACAGGAAAAGCTGCAAGACAGCCACAGCCGGGCCGAGATCGCGCTCTTCTATTCCGGGTAAGTTGCAAAGCGCTTTAGCGGCCTCATAAATTACTGCCTCAGAGCGGTGACGCAGGGATAACTCCAGAAATTGGTATGCAGCGCGGCCTGTTGCGCTTGCCAAGGCATTCCCGCCAGAATCGCGCACAATGGTAGTAATGTACCGGATCAAAAGACACGTTGCCAGGGGACTTGAAATTGTTCCCCTTGTCAACTTCGTAACTAGTTTAGATATCGCAAGGCGATCATGTTGCTTGATCTCATATAAGAGGGAAAGTGCATGAAATTGGACCATATCCGAGGATGAATGTAAGGCCTCCTGTACTTCGTTTACCCATCTCCTGACAACATCAGGTGACCCGCGTATCAAATGTGTGCCTGGTCATATCCGTGTTACTGGAAGTGGAAGTGGAAGCAAGTGCTTACCTGCAACAAGAGCAGACGAGGATACCATCGCATTTCTGTCTACAATAGCCTGTTTGATGTACCTTTCAATTGCACCAAGCATGGTAGCATCAATCCTACTCCAACTTGGTATCCCTCATTATAGAATAACTCACGCACATTTTAGCAAGTACACGGATTGAATTCGCACGAAACAAATCTTCCTTTGAATTCATGTCCTTAGTCAAAGAAGAGGTCACTATAATTATGTCGTCAGGGTTACACGTTTCGGCCACCTAGGCAACAACAGTATGCAAATGACATACTAGAGAGCGTTGCCTCTTTTATGAAGAAATATATCATTCGACGAAGGGAAGCGTCGCTGGATTGGAAAAGCTTAGTAACACCAAAGAAGACCTCAGTCACCTCAGAGGATGACATGGCATCACCCTGAGTCACTATGTGCAGTAACTTAGTGATAAGCTGAGAACACTTGCGTGGCGACTCAGTCACAACCTTAGAGTCTGAAAAAACACGGCACTCTTGCAGTACCGTCGCCTTTTCAAGGTCGGAGAAGGGAGAAGCTGTAAGGAGACAATAACTCAAAATATATATAGACCGACAACTCACGCGAGTCAGCGTCCTCGCGCTTAAATTTGTCTTTGAGCCCTTGGAATTCTTTGACCATCGACGATATAGTTAACCCCCCTCCATCATCGGCCTGCTCTAAAGGCGAGGTCATCTTTGTACCGCGAAGTGGCGCCTTCGGAGGCAGATAGTAGCTAAGGAAAAGGTACACTATCTGCCCTTTTAAACCACTAATATTCATATTCAGCCTGACTCGGACTCGGAGACTGAGGTACCCGTTCAAGTCACGGTTCCGAGTCATCTCAACAGCCTGAGGCCTGCCAGTGCCAGTGACTCGGACTCGGAGCCTGAGTGTGCGGCCGTTAGTCCTTCTCCGCCACCTTTGAGACACGTAGGACGACTCTCGGCTGAGAAAGGTAGGTCGTTACCGCGCCCCCGGCCGGTCGCGGCGACCCTGACGTAGATACATTGATACATTACTACATAACCCAAGTAACCCAAGCAGGATCCGCTAACTTAACACTTTGTACTGTCGCCGCGTGAATCCCAGCTCCAAAGCAGAAGACTCAACCTTTGTCGCCAATGTGCAGCTAGTAGGCCACACATCTGTAGTTAATGATTATGTATAGTGATAATGCTGGGACCATGTTCAATAAACCGCACCCGGTAGCTTCTTTCAACTCCCCCATGGGTCAAGTCGAAAATGCATTCATACAGAGCTTGGGATTTTCCGTTGCAGAGGCGATGCAGCGACTTGTGACAGATGAGGTACTGCACGAGGTTGATGCACGACATATTCATCGGCTGCTTGCAGAAAAAAACCCGACTGCACGAGACGTTGTGTTGAAACTGGAGCAATCTGGCGGGTCGTCCTCGAGGCAGGCCGTTACTGACTTCCGAAAAAGTGTGATCAGACTCTTCAAAGAGCAATACTCGCACCAAAGTAAGAAGAATAAGAAGAGTAACGGCCTATCAGCACACAGGTGGTCCCTTAATTCCAACGAAGTAGCTCATGTTCTAGCTGCAGATCAGGGTGAAAATCCTCCTGCAAACATCAAACCACCAGTGACTATTACCGCAATAAAAAAAAGCAACAAGAATAATTATTCGCGTAAAACACCCAACACTGGTGTGCCCGTGATTGAAAATGTCTGCCATCATCTGGCGCAACGTGTAGCTGAACTTCACGTTACTAAAAGTAGTCGACCAAAGGTTGTCTTGGTGGGCCGAGGAAAATACAATCCAATTCACAAAATGCATCTGCGTCATTTTGTCATTGCGCGGCAATTCTTGGAAGAGCGCACAAGATTTTCTGTGCTTGGCGGCCTGTTGGTGCCAAAACATGCCACAGATGTAAGGCAAAGATGTCGAACACGACCGCAAGAGATAATCACTCCGCGGCATCGCCTTGCGATGGTGCGGGCTGCTGTTGGTGGGTCTCCCTGGCTCACAGTTGATAGCTGGGAGATTACCCGGCGCAGAGTCTTAGACTATTTAAGTACACTTGATCACATTCGTCAACTCTTTGAGCAACGCTTTCCGGATCTTATGGCACCAGTTCGCTTTGTCCTATTAGTGGCGCCTGATCAATTATTGCAGCTAAATCTTGGCGAGCTTAAGGACGCGGGGCATGAATGCATCACTATTTGCCGTCCTCAAGAGCATAAGCGCCTGCTGAGGCAAATGGGGAACAGATGGCGAAACGTCGCGCATGTGGTCGAGGATAACGCCTTGCTCTCTGTTGAGCTTGAGTCGTGTTGTTCTAGCAAGATACGCCATGCCCTTATGTCTGGTGACTTCGATGCAATAGCTACAAATGTCCCTGGAGCTACGCTTGATTACATTAAATGTCACCGCCTTGCCCAAAAAATGTCGGGGATCCAGGACTGGACCAGATGGGATAAAGATTTTGCGGATGGTGAGGTGCGTTTCGAGGGTAAATATATACCTTAGATTAGGACATTATGCAGGGCGAAGAAGATCGCGGCTATCGGCGAAACCCAAAAAAAATTGTCAAAGAGAGTACCTCCTTCATGAAAAGCTGACATATCAATCCAGAATTTGGCGCCGCTTGCTATAGCCCTTGACTCACTCGAAGTCTATGAAAAAGAGCAGGTGGAACCGCGTGAACTCTGGAGCCAAGTGAAGAGTAAGGGGCATTTCCCCGTTTTTAGCTTCAACCCAGAAATTTCCCACGAAGAAAACAAAGGTACTAAGGTGAGGTGAGGCCGCCCCTGGCCAGCGCATATAAGTGGATGAGGATCTCGAAGCTACTCCTTCCGCTGTTTATGTTTCTGAAGACCTCTAGGCGTGACTTTTCGTCAATTCAGGCCATCGATCGGCACTCCCCATTTCCTCATTCCCCACGAGTCATTTGGCCTGAGTCGCAACAAACAGCTGCCCTTGACCTCCGAGGACAAAAAAGTATTTCTTTTCTCGGGCGACGCGGGCTTATTACAGCCTGAGCCTCTGAGTTCCCCAAAATGCGCCACTGGCATGGTTACTTCATTTCACAGGGGACCTGGGACTCGGATGATTCGGCTACTTCCCGATTCCCCGCTTCTTTCGTAACCCTTCCACGCCGGGCCGGGGCCTACTAGCTTGTACTTGAACCACGAACAACTCCAACCCTACTAGCAGTACCACGGTAAGGTACCAGATTGTACCGCAGGTATCCGCGGTGCCGCAGGGTGTTCTATTTTTTTTTTAAGCCTGACTCATCATAGATCATATGAGTTGCAAAACACACTCCTTAAAAGATGGCCCACCCGTAATTTGATCGGAATCTCAAATGGCGATAACATCTGGCTATAATAATGCGTGTGGGTGCTGGCTGAAATCTTTGGCTTTCGCAAGGTCTGTAAGTATGTTGCCAGTCCTATGGCTTGCCACCGTAGAGGCCGCGGATACTCAAGCGACACTCGGGCCCAATCACCGACGTCACTCGGGAAAGACCGAATCAAATCTCAAATTTAAACATTACAAGAGCGCCTTGTCAAGGGAATGGATACAATCGGTCACTATTCCTTATACCAAACGCAATTTTGCCCACTACAAGAGATATAGGTAGTTCTGGCAAATGAGCTATCCACTCGCTCATTGTCTACGCAAGAGCGAGGTGTCATCTATTCGGCTGTCGGTCTGGAAGCTATACAAAAAGCATGCAAGTCAGGTCGGTCTGTCCGTCTTAGAAACTCGCAAGCAGAATTCGGGCTGCTACTAGTGACTGACTCAAGAGGCAAGTCACAGACAGTACAGTGGTCATCGCTAGTCTTTGACAGTGTTGTGGAAACCGGTCAACCCACTTATTTGCGTTGGGAGGAGTCAAATAGAGATGAAGTAACTACCCGCAAGACGCAATGGTCACGCAAATTTTACGAGGGAGAATGTGGGCCAGAGGATGGTACCTGCATGCTAGACTGGAAAAATGAACATGAAAGCAGGCCAATGGTGGTTAAACGGCACATGCACACCCTCAAGATACGGGCAATGATGATTGGCCTCCACATCTACCATAAAATCTTGTTTCTTGATGTAGAAACAATTGTCTGTGAGTCTTTGCATAGTCTTTTTAGGACAGTTGACTCCCAGGGGCCGCAAGTGGCCTTTGTTCCAGTGTCTAAGGGTCACTTTTACGGTGGTGACATAGTTGCTAGGGTATTTGATATACCAACAGACTTTCCGGAGGTGAGAGTCGAAACTATGGTTTTTCAACCAGCAGTGTGATTTTGGTCAAATATATAATATATTAACAGCACATAATGCTGTAGGTCATGCGAAATGGATCAGCAACACATCGACTCTTGGCTAACTGGAATTTAGCATTGTACTTTCTTTCACGGCATGATTTGCTGCTAGGCCAACATGCATTTAGAGCCTCCCTGTTTCATTCTGGCGTTAGTTACAGTAAGCTGCCAGTCTCATCGAGCTGTTTTGTGGATGTGGACGAGCAGCAAACCAGGCTAGCACTGTTGTCAGCATGTCCTAACATAGTCAAGGACGTTGCGGATCAAGCATCGACGTATAGTGCCATACGTGACTGCGTGGTTTTGCATTCTCGAGAACTTTCTGGCCAGAGTACCCAAGGCCCTATTGGCTTGCCGAACTTTTTCAGCAACCGAGGTGGGCAGTTAGTGAAGAATGATAGCACACAACCAGAGAACAACATAATAAAAGACCTTTCTGGAATTAACTTACCAAAAACAAGAGCGACGAGAGCGAAAGACTTGGAACCTGATGATGCCATCTACCGGAATGCGCCTACCATATTTCTTCATATTCCAAAAGCTGCTGGGAACTCAGTGAAAAAACTCTTTGTGAAAGGTTTTCTTCTAAAGCAACGTAACAGTCAGCATCCGGGAGCAAAAGTCAAGATGCAATCTCTGCACATAGACACACGGCGAGATTGGGACGTAAAAAAACAGGCGAAACATCCTTATGGGGTTCTCTTTGGTGCATTTGCATTTGGCGCCTGTGCTAGCCACCCTCAAGCCCCCTGTGCATATTATGTGGCATGTAACCCGCGCGACAATATGTTTCACTCCTACGTAGCCCTCATCATCCCAGGTCCTTCGCGAGCCTGTTGCTCGAATCCTGTCCGAGCACAAGTATTGCCATGCTGTGAGTTTTGAGGATCAATGTTGTGCCGGATCTCGTGGAGCAGTATACATGCGCACATTGAACATTGCCCAGTGGGCTGAAGAGAAAGGAAATTTTATGCTTGAGCACTTTCTTCAACTCGTGCCTGAGGACTGGTACCAAATGAGTACAAATTATTATGTGCCCTGGCGCCAGCGTGACCGTGAGACACGCATCAACCCAATCGAAAACCGCCGCGTGAGAGAGGGCCCTGCTAATGTCGCAGATCTACGGTTTGTTGAGGAACATTTGGAGGAATGGTTTGCTGTCATTGGTATTACTGAGCGCTTTGAAGAATCCATGATGCTCTTTGCATTTGCTTTGGCTGGTAAGTCCATACCTAAGAACATGGCGGCAGTCCACACCCATAATCAGAACACATCTGCATCTGGTGTTGATGCAAGCAAAATAGAGCGCCTCAATGCTGCTGTCACGCTTGACACGAGCCTATATCGTACTGCATTTTCCCTCTTTGAGAAACAACTCGCGCAGCTCAAAAAGTACGTCTAGTGCGTTGATGGAAGCCCCCAAGTAGGCTCTGATGAGGCAATAGGCACGCTTATTACGGTGCAAAATTTGTTTTCTTAAGGTGTGAGTCATGGATGATGCGTTGGTGATATGCCGGTGGATGAAACATGGCCATGGGATTGGCTGCTGACGATTTCCTGTACATGAAATTTCACAGACCAAGAATCTGCACATAACTCAAGTCTGCCCTCTCTTCTGGGCTCTGCAACCGCGAACTCGTTGAGTCGATGTCACGACAGCTGCAGTTGATTCGTGGCCCATGGGATGTGAATTAAAGGGTTGGCTATATATGTGTGTGGTGCCGGTGTTTTGGAACTAGCGTTGCGCAAGGCGGCATGGCACGGTTGCGAACACCTTGTAGATCTCTGCTTATGTAGGCTGCCCTTCTTCCAAGGCAAAACCGAAAGGCGTGCCCATTTTTAACCGGATAGCACAGGCAAGGAACACCATATGCTTGCAAATGAAACACTCTCACATCCTTGCACGCCTTATCCTAGCTAAGAATTCCTCATTACACAATCCAGGACTAGAAGAGACAGATTCATCCGGCTGTATTGAGAGATTCTATAACAACACACCCGAAAGAGATTTACACTCCTAAACCGTGACCACGATTTTAGGTGACAAGCCAGGGGCGATCCTGTCTTTTTTTTTTTACCGGGCCTCGCGATGCTATTCCTCGCGATGCAACCCTTAATATGTTGGAAACTGTTTGTGGAAGGGTCCGGACCCGCAGTGTGATTCCTCCATCTAGGTGGCGGTCTAGACTAGAAGAATCAAATTTCTTGAAAATGATAGAGACTCAGAACAGGCCTAAAAGAAAACACATAATTAAAATTACGACGCAAAGAAAGAAATCGGTCCCTCAGCGAACCAGTTCAATTCGACCGACCCGTCCCTGGTTTTCGGATAATCAAGCAACCTCCGCGAGGGGGGTCAAAACTCAGTCTCTCACTTCTCGTAACTACAACTTGAACCGGGGCCCGGAGCGATTGAACCGCACAACTTGAACCGGGGGACATCACGATCCGCGGTTGTGCGGTCACGGTGATTTACCCTGCCAGTCGGAGCTTATACTAGGCGGGCCGCCGTGCCTCCTTTCTGTACATGTTTTGTGCGTTGTGTATGCATCCCGGGCTTCGTTTTCTGGCATGCTTCGGGGCTACCTGAGCTGCCTCTGACCTGAGCCTCCGAGTCCCGACTGTGGCGCTCAAGCCTGTGCTCGCCAGTTCGAATCAAGCTGCCAAGCTGCGATTAACAGGACGGAATGCCAGCTGCCTCGTCTCGGTATCACACAACCGTGACCCACGGGCCTTAGTACTATTCAAATTATACCTCAGGCTCGCCGTGTTCAAGAGTTCAAGTTATACTAGGCACGCGGAATACCCTAGAAACATAGCCAACTCCTGTGTCACGGTAACCGTGACTAGGAAAGAAATGCCAGAATACGGCACTGGTGACGTACCGTAGGTACTAAGGGCGTGCTAGTATAAATACCTACGGAACTACCGGACGTACCGTACGGTACCTACGGTACAAGTTTCTACGACTGTCGCGGTATGTACATCTGTATCCAATAATAGTTGGCCCATTACCCTAATTTATATCCCATACGGTATATATATTACCTAGCAGAGCGCGCCCTTGGCACCAGCATGTAATATTACATAGTGCTTTTTGCCATGATGCATGCCACACCTGCCGAGATCGAAGTTTTAATCTCGAACATACACATGGCAGAGTTGGCAGGGAATTGGAAGGAAGAAAATAAGCAGTCGCTGTTTGTAATCATTCAAATTGGAAAAGTATATGTCAGGAGTTCCATTCAAAGAAGAGTCGATACAGGAGCCACTTGGGAGGATGAAATTCTTAAGTTGCGCATCAGCAAAGAACATTGGTCTCAACCGGAGGCTCTGATGACAATTTTGGTCCAACATGATCAGCAACAGGCGTCCTTTCCTAAGGTAACTCTGATTTTGTGCGCTATGCTCGTTTAGGCAACACTGCTCTTAGGTTGTAGGTATAGCAATTATAAAGATGGTGGCCTTACATGCTGCTTTTGAAAATACCATATGCTTCACACTGGATCTATGGTGCGGCAGTAGAGCTGAGCCACAAGGGATGTGCTCAATGTCTGTGAGTGCGCGGGCACTTAAGGACGCTGGTCTATCAAGCCAAATCACCCTGCATGAAGCAAAATCACAGCCAAATAATGACAAGGTAAGAGGCGCTGAACTTTCTTACCTGGAAGAAATGGAGGCTTCTTGGCCGATCACAGATGCCATAATCGTATTGCGTCAGTGTGATTCCTTAAAAAAACATGTTAGTGCCGAGGATGACACGTTGACTAGGTCAATTCAATGGAGCAATATGTGAATGAATGTCAAAGAGTCGAAGTTGGGCCCAGTGTTCTAAGAAAGTATATTGAATTCCTTGCCCGTGCTGAGCCTTATAGAGGCACCCTATCCCATGAGTTTTGCAAGGAACAAGGGCATGTCGAATCACCCACGTTGACGCGTGCATTTGATCGGGCTGCAGCCGAGCTTGCAGTCAGGCATATTATTGATTCCGCAAACCAAATGTCCGTGCCTAAAATAGACTTTCGGGTCTCCTCAGTCTCGATGGATCTCGTTCGCGAGTCAAAAGTAAATCTATCACCACGAAAGTATACAGCATCCATCAAAGCACTGTGTCTCGCAGAGGGCGAACTGAGCTTGATTGACGCAAATTGCCCACCTCCTTTAGAAAACGATGCAACCTTCCCCTGGTCGGCCGGCGAGGACCCTAGGACAGGTATTAGGTGTTGGCATAATGTCAATACTAATTTTGCATCATTTAAACGACCAAGATGCATTTGGGAATATAAACTTGACTTTCTTGCTCGCTTACGGCCAAAGTTTCACACAGCTCGGCGGCTTCGCGACAACTCTGCATTTTCAAAAGGAAAACGACAAGGAACAACATTTACGAGATGGGGCTGGTACGAAGATGACTCGGATACCCGCCATCGCAAGCATGGACAAAAAAAAATACAGCAGTGCCTACAAGATCAGAACACGCGTCGCCTCGCCACTCCCTCGCATGTTGAAGCGGTTGCTAGGACTATAGTTCAAATTATTACCCATGTTGAGGATTGTCTTAACGTAGAAAGGGGACGCCAAGGTCGGGACACAAGAAACTTTGCAAGGTCCTGCCGACATCCAACCGTGGGGTGCTGTTACATGAAGCATATCTCTAGTTCAATAATGCGCGGTGGGAACTGTGTCGACCTAAAATATATCAACGCATTCCGTTCAGATAACGGCAGTGTGCTGCCATATATTGAAGATCACACAAAAGTTAATAAAAAAAAGCCATGTTTGGGCTTCGAATTAGCACACTCGGGGGGCGACCTCCTTCCATTGGAGCCAGGTTCAGGAGAAACAAAGGTGAGTGGGCTATTTACATCGACTTTGAATCTTACATGTGCAGTTGCACTACATCTTGGGCTCAGTAGCAGTCAAGAGTCATTGTGCACTACACAAAAAGAGATGCAGTCGGGAGTCGTGCGCAACACACAGCATTTGAATGACAAAAGAAAATCTGCAGGCACACACTACGATAACAAACACGTGTTGCTTGGACATAGTAATGCGAATGGCACTAGCCGGTTCGAAAGTCTTTTAATCCATGATATTGTCAAGACCTCCGCCATCCCAAAATCGCGAATTGCTATTGATGAGATTGTTATTGTCCGTCAAGACCCAGCACTTACAAACATTCCTAAAAGACAAGCGCTTGCCAACAGCTTTATCTCCAAACCAAATAAAAACATGCATTTTGCCGTAACCACACGGGACGGTTGCACGATGTCGCTCCAGAATCACAAAAGTCGAGGTTCACTTGGCTGGACATCTGATCACAAGAATCTAATCATTGCTAAGCTCACTTTTGTTGGTACCAGTCTACCTGGTGTCTATGCTACTGCGTCGGCTGTTGCGGCAGCGGCAAGAGATGGAGGTTCGCCGCTACGGCGTCTTGGGGCTGTGAGTTGCTGCTGCATTGACGGCACAGCATGTGCGGCCTTGCAGCTACGACAACAAGCATGGCCGAGCTACTGGACGTTCTTTATGTCGCCTCTTTACTTTGGATATAGAAGTGGACGGCCCTCATCAACTCATGATCTGCGGAGACGCTCTTCAAGCCACGTCCAACATTCTGCCACGGCTGGCGCTAGTCTTGGTTGTATTCCACCTGCCAAATCAAAGACCTCAGTAATGCACGAGCTGAGAGCATACAAGGGCATGGGCATATATGACCGGATGATCGGGAGACCTGAGGCGTCAATGTGCGATGGCGCTGGACGCATGACAGCACTACCAGTGTCTTGAAGGAGTATACCGTATTTAAGTTCAGTGTTGCAGGTTCCGCAGCTCAAAGGACAAAAAAACATCATTCGTGGGATTCTCAGCTTCAGGGACAAGAGCATATCTGAGCATCCTTGGCAAGCCAAGTTGATTGATCAAAAGCCAGTTCCATGGTGGTATCGCTCGAGGCCTAGAGTAAAGTTCGTCGCCTCTACCGATCTGGTATTGGCACGGGCCCCTCGGATATCATGCAATTGGCGCCATCCAGCAAAATCGGATTCTCACCGACTCCGTGCAGTGAAGTGGAGAGCAAAGCAGAGGGTCCTGCGCTCGTGGCTTATTGAAAAAATTGAATCCCTAAGTCCTGGGTCAAGCTCACTCTTGACAGCATATCACGCTCTCCGCGAGAAGCCATTTGAAGCGGAGACTTTAACTTCGACTAAGCGACCAGTGCAAGAATCCACTCAGATACAACAAAGAAACTCATATCGCGAAGTCGAGACTGCGTTGCGCTGGCTGTACCGCCAGGCGAGTGTTACAACAAGTATGCATGGAGGAAAACTGACTATTCAAAAGCAGGATCTTTTTTGCTCTTTTTCCGACATAAAGGTAATTTGCTGGGCTACTAAACCTCCTCAAGCCGCAGCTCTCGCTCCTATTCTCCAGCAATACGAGTTTGCCCTTTCTTATCTCCTTATGCCCGCGGAGCAGCCAGGACACATTTCTGAGGAGGAATTTGTCGCCCTCGGTCTCATTGTGGGTGAGTTAGAGCCTGAGCTCAGACAAATCAACAAAGTACTTGCCACAAAGTCCCTTAGCAGTCGCAACAACACGCGTGTAGCTTTTGAGAGCACAAGTAAGAGGTACCATGCAATGAACACTGAGGCTAGTCGGGCGGAGGGTCACGAGCATATAGTAATTCGACAAGCTGCGGTATCTGGCTACTGCAGTGTGTGTCGGCAGATTCGCAGTAGCGTTATTAAAAGGCCAGCAATGCCATGGAAATCTGAGGAACTTTGGAAGGGATGGTGGCAGGACGCTCGAACTCGTCAACAGGCCGGTGCGAAAGCAGTCAATTTGCTTGAGGAGACTCCGCGAAGTGAAGTCAAGCACAACTGGGTACTAGATGGAGGTATGGCCCTACAGAAGCGAAGTTGCGTTGTTTCGACCATCCTCAATGCAGCAGTATCTTCGGTAGTAACATCAGATAGGTCGTACCTTGACCACTGGAAAAGCGATTTGGGCTGCGCTCTGCAGATCAAACACAAAAGTTCGCCAGTTCGCATTGCTCTCCTAGCTCAGGCTCACTGTGGCGAGGACCGCCTTCTTGCTCATGTGAACATTCCAGATGCTTTCCTATCGTACCCTCCAACAACACCACTGGCACTTAAATTGAGTCCAGGGCTTGGCCGACGCCCAGCACTTGTCATAAGATTAAAGTCGGATCATGCTGGAAATACTACTTCGCATTTATGCATCCTGAGAGCAAAGAATTTGGCTCCGTCGTACTTTGATGACATCGCACATCAGCCGATTGTACAATTAAAAACCAACAAACTGGCTTTGCTCGAAGGCGTAATATCAAAAGTCACACCTTTAGACATGTACTGTATTATCTATGCCCAAAACAGGGAGGTTGGTCGAACCTCAATGAAGTGGAACACGCCAAATCCGGTATGGGCTGAAGATAGCGCTGATGGGCCATGGGCTTACTTGGGCCACAGTTCTCTGCAGATGTCTCATCGATCAGTGTCTAGCTTAAGCCACATCGGAAAGTGGTCTTCTCGTGCGGCCGAGCCTGACGCTTTGTTGGCTGAATCTGAACGGCAAAAAATGACCATGGAAGAATGCCAGATGCGTGCTGTAGTAGGAATCATACGGAAAAGCATCGAGCATACTATTATGATGCAGCAAGAAAAAGCTCGGGGATCTTTCCAAGAACTTATTGCCGAGCTCAATGGACGTAATGTGATTCCATTCCTCGCACGACTCAAATGGACCGAGACCATTGAGAGTGGCCGCGACCGCCCCGTAGGACACATCATGCACGATAAAACCACAAATTGCTCCCTTCTTCTGCGTTTTTTGCGGCTGCAGCATGTTGCAGATGCTCAATATATAATGTCAATTGCTGAGGCTCTCCACAACCTTCATTGTCCTGGTGTTGTTAAGATCCAGTTCCTTTGCTCACATGAGGTTAGTTCTTTCAATTTGCACGGCACCTGTAGTCAGATTTGCATACTCGTCGCTATTGTGACCTCTCGTGCTAGGATTTCAGTAACCGATGCAATTAATCAATGGTCTAATCCCAAAATGCTCCAAGCATGGGGCCGCCAAGCTGTCTGTGCATTAGCTAACTTGCATCAAAATTGTCTCATTCACCAGAACATTCATCCTGGTGCGATATGCCTTGACGATGGAGGTCGCGTGGTTCTAGATGACTTCCTCTTCATGTTGGACGCACGTGAAAGACACTGCGGCTATTCACATGGTCGATCAGACTACGGAACGATTTCCAGAGATCTCATTGCACCGGAGATTTTACAATCATATCGCGCAGTCTCCCCAAAAGCGGATGTCTGGGCCTTTGGCTGTTGCCTTTATCAGTGGCTTACCGGTGCTCTGCCATCTGTGCATTCCGAACCCCTCCCCTCCATACTTGAGAAAATACCCAGGAGATTCATCGGGCCCATGTATTCTGCCATCAGCCTTGCGCTGCAGCCTTGTCCGTCTGCACGGGCGGATGCAAACGACCTTGTTCGTATCCTGTCTGCTAATTTGTGAAGCTGCAGGAAATTTTCTGGATCTGAGCGGCGTCTGATCGAATGGCCGGTATTTTGCACACGCTTCATGCTGCAATGGGAGTAGTCCTGCGCTCAGCGCCATTGTATGTCCGGCCGACACGGGTTGGTGCGAATCATACCCCACAGCTTGGGCTCCACCGCCGCACTAGTGGTGGGCGGTCAGGAAGTTTGGGTTGTCTTCACGCTTGTTGCGGCCCCGTGGCTGAATGCACAAGGCGCCCGGACACCCCCCGCACAAAATCCCGTCGCTTAGATCATTTTTTGGCAACGAACCGCCCCTGGGCTGGCAAGCACTCCGCGGGTGAAACGAGAGAGAGAGTTGACTGGCAAATCACCGTGACACGGCCGTTAATAGTGAAATACAGCGTACTCACTCGTACTACTATAGGCTGCTGCGTCTCGGGCAACCCCAAGCCGGCGCAACCCCGTCGTAATGGACCGCGTGATGGGCAGCGGTGCAAGAAACTCGCACTCATCCGAGTTGGTTCAAAGTACCCTGAGTGCTTAATATCAATGTATTATCATACTGCGGTACCTAAAGTTAGAAAGTAAGCTGGACCCCCGCGCTGGAGCGAAGCATCAGAGCGACACCCGACACGCACGTAGCGTCACCATGCGGCTATGTTGCATTTCTTAGGATCCCTGTCAACATGCCAGAAAAGTTGGTCAGGGCGCTTGTCCTGCTCCTCAATTTTCGAATCTTCGCATGGGTACTATCAGGGAATCATGGGAATGTGCAATGGACGAAATGGCAAACGCGCGAGGATCTGGGGAGAAATGCAAACCTCCGCGAGAACTCAAGAGGGGACTCTAAAAAAATGACGCCGCAACTGATTGAATCACCCATGATATCTCATTGCCTTAATTTGGCTCGAAAAGCAGCTAATTTCCTGGAAAGAGTCACAACGGACTTATCCCCTGGTCACAAACGGCTGTTTACTTCTAGTTCGTCAAATAACCCCATATCAATGCAGTATGGTGTTGTGTACGCTGCAGTCGGCCATGGAACAATTCAAAAGGCATCCGTTTCTGCAACCAGTGTGCGGAGAATCATGGATAACAGCGTGGGCACCCTCCTGGTGACATCTGATTTCGGACTGCATTTGTCCGCATCGCAGGCATTATTCTATGGCCAAGCTTATTGGTGGGATTTTGTCGCATCAGTAGATGGGCTAGGTATGAATTTTACATCTCTTCCCGAATTCGAAGCATTCACTATTGCTGACCCCAGAATACGAAACAAAGGCAACAGTTTGAGTGCAACCATCGAGTTGAATAGAAAAAAAGAGAGGGAGCGAAGGAGCTCAAAAGTGACAGCTTGGGCGGCTGTCCGCCAATTGCGCAGCGCCAAAATGGTTGCACTCCGACTGGCTTTAGAAACTTTTGGTACGGCCGCCATTTTTTTGGATGCGGACACTTTGGTTTGTGATCCCGCGATACTGATCTCTGCATTTCAAATGGTGTCTGATGAGGGTCCTTGGTTTGCATTTGTGACTGCACCTTCAGAACATCACCGGCCAATGCTTGGGCGCATGTTCGGAATTTTAAAAGGCGGAGATATCCCAGAACCCAACACGGGTGTCATGGCCGTCTCCTCATGTGATGGCTCAAGGCGTGTGTTGCGGCGCTGGAGTGAGGTTTACTGGCATGAGTCTTTGGCACTCTCACTGATCCAGAATCCGATGGATCAGCCAGCGCTTCGAACAGCATTGTTTCTCGAGGTAGCGCCTTGGATAGCTCTCCAAGGGACTTTAAATTGCCGAGGGCACATAAAGAATTTGAATGCTCCTCTTCCCTTGCGATGTGGTGGGTACGATGCATCACATTGGAAGGTGATTACACAATCTAGCATATTAGATGCAGTTGGTACTACGCTAATAACGGCCGCCTCCATCAAAGCTGTTGACGGTATTTTAGGCGGCAGAGGCTGCACTGTACTTCACTCGCATGCGATTCCAAGGTTCACCGAGCACAGGGCAATCTTCCAACGCAATGCGTTAATATTAATGCACAGATTGCTTGGATTTGGCCTCGACGAGCTTGCCCGATCTGCAAAAAGGGGGGATAGAAGAACTACGCAAGATAGGCATACTCGCAAAACTAAGGATGCCCATAACAGTTCGGTGCCGCAGGAAAGAGTTGCAGTTTTTTCTTTTGCGCCTCAAGAACTGAGTAGTAATGCTGTCGTTGATACTGCCACTGACTGGCGGCGAGGCAGGTGGCGAAATGTCAAAGTTATTGTTGGTTCTATGGCAAAAGACGCCTGTGCAACTGAATCAAGAGCATGTGCTTTAATCATTGTGATCATGGACCCCCTGACTCAACTTGCAGCGGACAACGAGAGTCCCAAGGCCATAGACCCTAGCATTCTAGAGGAGCGACTACGTAATCATGCAAAGGCAACTGTTCTTGGAGGCAACACACTGCTTGATGCTCTTTTGCCTTTGAGGATCGACGAGCTAGAAAGACACAATGACCCAAGAGCTGCAAGAGTCAAGCAATTTGGTCCAGGTAACAAAGCCGAGGTTGCAGATGCCATTTCTAGACTTGAAACTGATACGTACTTGATCCTCCTCGCCTCAGAAAAACAAAAATCGATTAAACTCTTGAATTCTGTCCTTGAATCTCGGCCAGATGCCATCCTATCTGCAAGGGAAGCTGTAATGAATGCTGCAATGCATGATGCGAAGGGCCGTAAAATCCTAAGCTCCCTTGACTCTAGGTCAATAGAATCACTACGGCATCTCCTCATTAATGACAATCAAATCTATGATGTAGCTAGCACACTTTTTGATGAACAATGTGAGGCTCTTTGGGCAGGTCCAGTTGACTCCTGAGTCCTAACTTTACTTCCTTGGATCTAATTGTCATGCTGTGGGGCCCGGGCGGTCCCTCGTTTGGTATTCGAGTTCCCAGCCACTTGTGAGATTTTGGTTGCGAGTTACGAAGTCTCAGAGGGGTCCTTTGCGCGCCCGGAGACCGTACTGATAGGGAGGGGTCACTTTCACTGCGAGACGATGATGATATAAGTTGTGGCTGATTTTACACCATTTTAAGATTTTAGAGGCCGATTTAGTTCTATTTGCTGCGCTCAGGCTCATAGGACGACCTCTAATCATAAAAATGATGTAAAACCGACCGCTACACCGCAAAGCGCGCTACCGCGCCGCCGCCGCGGAAAACTTCGCCCGCGCCGGCGACGCGTACGCCCGCCTCCGGGACGACGCCCGTGTGCAGCGTAATAAATAAATAAATAAATACATACATAAATAAATCATAAATAAATATTATAATTATTTAATTTAGGAAGACTCGCCGGACCTAAAAAAGGAACAAGCTCCTAAGAGCCTTCTCCCTGCTCGGTCAGGATGCCCAACCGGAGCCTTGAAATAGCAATAAGGTACCGACCCGCCGGATATAACTCTCGAGGGATTTACCAGGATAAACAATTTGCCAGTGTTTGCCTTCACGTAACATGAATGTGAAATTCGATAATCCAATTGCAAGAAATCTATACGCCGTTTGTCAAGGGTCTGGTGGTCATTTTGGCTTTTAATCTCCGTTTTCACAGACTGGATATCTGAACCCCCAATCGCCACCGGGCCATTGAGGGGGTGGAATGGCACTAAATAGGTGGCTACTTAGCCGGGAGTGTGCAGCAACCAGAAACTAGCCATTTTGCTCTTGGGAAGCCGGGGGCTGCGGGGCCGCCGGGGCGAGAGGCGAAGACCGCAAAGTGGCGAGATGTGGACTTGGCTGTTCTTCGTTAGCGGAGAAGACTTCGCCGAGGCCGCCCACAGCGTCCACGAGTCGCAAGCTGAGCCACAGCGTCTTCGAGTTGCTTCAGTTCTCGGCCAACCGCAACCTGGAGTACCTGCGTGTGGAAGCCACATATTAGCATTATATCCCACGATGATACACTGTGCGCTACCCAGTGACCCCAGGCTGCCCCGGCAGCGCGCAGGCGCATGCCATCTGATGTACGGAGGCGGGTGGTGCGGCTGGCAACCATGCGCCACGCATTGAGTGCGCTCTGCAAGGCTATCGCGCGGTCATTACGTGCAAGTTGACCGGCAGGCACCGCTTTGAGTGTAATCATGGCGCTGGACTCCGGTCTCCACGCATGGCGCCAAATAGCTACCGCGCGGACAAGCGCAACGCGATCTCCCCGAGCGGCTATGCTTAGCGCGCGTACCACAGCCGCTGCACGTCGATCACTCGCTGCTGCCATCGCCGCCCACCTGCGAGGGCCATCATAGCTGTCAATTGCGCTCCTGCCCAACATGCTCGACGCAGCCGCTGGCCGGCCAAATGCGCGGCACGTGGAAGTGCGAGCGAGCCGCCGCCGCCGCCGCCCAGCTGCCAGTCTCTGCGCTGTGGCACTATACCAGGCACCCCAGGCGCCCTGAAGCGCGCGCCGCACGCGTCTTTGAAGCGCCAAGCGCCAAGCCAGCGCACGGTATCGACGCCGGAGCGCGCGCCTCTCAGCCCGTCCCTGCACGTGGTATGGGCCATCGATATCAACAAATGGCTTGCCGAGCGATGATACGTCGGCGCAGCCGCGCACCCGAACATCTCTGAGCAGCTCATAGTGCACGCAATGCGCAGCCTTTCGCCAGCACAAAATTGTCTGGCGCATCACTGTCGCCTTGAGACACCGCAAGACACATTGTAATGCGCCTCTGTGCACATCACATGACCCAAGGGTCCCTCCTGCCGCGCGCACCCAAGCCACCCACGCATGGTTCAGGCTTTTCCGTGCTGCGAAGCACGCGCGTCTACTTGCGTCGCGCGCAGCCGTCGCCCATATTCGCATCACCATCGCCATATGCTGCCGCGCCCAGGTGTGCAGGAGCGCTGTGGTCACCCGCGCTCGACTCGTCCGGGTGACCCACGTCGCCCACCCACGACTCAAAGTACGATCGGTAGCGTTGGCTACAACCCGTGTCATCGCGCGCAGGCACATATCATCCAATGAACGAAGGTGGGCAGTGGTGACAACCCAGGCTCGTAAAGCCAACCATGTGTCAAGGCGCTCAAGGCGCTTGAGCACACGTAGCGAGCTTCGAGCATACCAGGCCAGGCGAGGTTTATGTGTCATTGACTCACGCATACGCTTTTCCGCCACCACCTGCGCCCACGCCATCAAAGAGCGTGCTAACGGTGCTCTTACTAGGCGCCGAATCGTCCGTGCGCTGCGAATGCGCGCGATGCCGGACATGCCAGCACACGCCGCGCGGTCGACAGCACACGCCGTCTCGACCGCGACCATGCGCGAGTATGAGTCCCACTTATCCTGGGTCTCTTGCGTGTGCGCCTTGGCTTGTATGAGTGCTGCCTACATTTAGGTTTTTCATAACAAGACCTAAGTGTACCACACAGCAACAAACTGTGTGCGCAGCTGTCAGCTCGCGAGCAAGAGCAAGTTTTGCCTCCGCCTCGCGGTTTGCCTCGGCTCCAAGCGCCACCTGCACACATCTGAGGTCTTCTATTGCGCACGCTTGCTGCGCGCACCGGTGCTCGAGCGCTTGTATTGACCTGTGATCTGCCCCTCTATACGCCCCCACACCCCGCCCCCCACAATTACGCCGCTCGCGACGTCATTGCGGCCGACACCCAGACGTCGCCGCCGGGCCCGCACAAGGGGTAAGTCCCATGTGATGGGCCGGAAGTCTTGCATGCTTGTTGCTGTCCCAGCCACACCTTGCGAAGCCCTCCCTGAATGCTGGCCTCAACGCGCGAGACCTCTGCCTCAATGACCGCCAGAGCTGGGGGACAGCTGGCACGATTAGGAGCCGGCACATTGTATGCCAGTGTCTCCCCCATCGAATGTGCTATCGAGTCCCGGGTGCGCCGAAGATCCAAGAGCTGTAACAAGGACCCAGCATCTTTTGAGCAGAACTCCGCGGTCCCAAGCGGCCCTGGTTCCAACTGATGGTTTTCTCTTGGCATTGAGGGCCTCAAGGAGAGCTCCTCTGGCGCCTCGTTAATTTTTAGCACGAGTGGATGGATATCCCGCGTAGACGAAAACAACTTAACGCATATACTCGTCACGATATTCTCTGTACCATTATTCTCATCGGCTGCATAACACGCTGCCGTACGGCATTATGGTAGGTATCGGAGGTAAGATCTGTAGGTGTAGCTCCTTACCGTACCGTAGGTAGTACCCACGGTACCGTAGGTACCATGGTAACCGGGCCGTAGGTACCAACGGTGCGTAGGTAGCCGGACCCGGAGAATTAAATATTCGATGGTTATTCGACTATATTGGCATGTAATGTAAGACGGTGTTGGAGATTCGGGGACGCGAAAACAGCCAACGATCGCGCTGGCTTCCATGGTGGTTCGCCGAAGTAAAAACCAAGTGGATAAGCTGCCAGCTTCGACAAAATTCAGGCAAAAGGCCTTAAGGGAATACTTTGACAACACACATAGATCTTTGCTTCGTTTACAACTTGAACCTACCGAGACTGAAACTGGCAACCAGGCAAACTTACAGCAAGCGATGAAACGTGTTCTCATTCAGCAAGGAACTGTCACGCTGCAAACGCGCTTTTGGCTAACAGCACTAAACGCAACACAGTACATAGCTAGTAATCAACAAAGCAAGGTATTTAATGCTAATAGAGCAAGACAGGACGATCAAATAAAGTCTTCTGCAATTATGTGTCAAGCCCATGATGAAGTTGCGAAGTGGCAAGACATTGCAAGAAATACCTCTAACAAGTACAGGATCTCGGTCGCAGAAACTAGCGGCTACAGAAAGAAATGTGGACGTATTCTTGCTTTGGCTAGCCGCAGTAGCAGCAAGTACACAGCGAGAGGGTTCGCACTGCGTGCATGTGAAGTTTCCGCAGCAGAAATGGAAAAAGCCATCGTCGTTGAAACTTCCACAAACTATGCGGCTGTAATCCGGCGGTTGGGGCTTCCAAGGTGCGTAGCTACGGGTGTCCGGCAGAAGTTGCTACACAAAAGGCAAGAGTCACACCTGCTGGACCAGAGTTTAAGCATGCTGAAATTCGAACTACTTCGCAAGGGTGTATGCCAAATAAAACATGATCGGATAGCCTTGGAGAACAATAGGTGTTATCAAGACAAAGTTTGCGAGGAGCATCAGTCAATGAAGAAATGCACACTGGCAACCAAGATAAACACTGTGCAGAATATGAAGGAGACCCCCTCCGCACATATACTAGATGACGTGCAGTCGAATGCAATCACAAGTACCACAGCATCGCCTATTCCAGAAATTTCGAGCCATAAAATGCACCACAAGTGCCACAACAGCGCCTTAGATAGTGAAACTGACCACAAACTAGCGAAAGAAAGAAATCGTTTGGCTATGTATTGCATGTTTCTTCAGCACCAGATGAATGCCATTGCCGTTGCCGATATTCTTTGGCGTCAGCAACTGTCCTTAGAGGGTTGTTCACCAGCACAGACTAGTCTAGTAGCGCAGCAATTGGCGGATCATCGGCACCTGCAAGACAAAACGATTAAGACAAGTAGCTCCCTACAGAGCTTCAGAAAAAATGCTTCAATGGAAACATGCAAACAACAAAATAGCTGGCGGCATTTTACAGCCAACCGAGAGGATGGTGTGTCCGACAACCTACTATGCGCTGTGGAAGAGCTCGATTGGAAAAACTTCCTTACACACAAACTTATCGCATTGAAGCTTGCTGAAATCTTGCGAGTATTAAATCAAACCAAGAACATGTCAAATATCGAAGTGAAGCCACCCAGTCAAGAGGCAACATTTCGGTATATTCAAGCTGTTTGCTATCACTCGACTCAACTTGGTGGGACACATTTGTTAAGGATAAATCTCTCGGCACTGCGATTAAAGGATCATGTGATTATAGACATATTGAGGAAGCTCGGAGCCTACATTGCGTCTGAAGGCCACCCTCTATGCATCCCACCTTGGCCAAAACCAGGTGATTTACTATCCCACCTTGTCTTGTGTAATAACAGCCTTGGAGACATTGCAGCATCCTTACTTGCATCGAAGCTTCTTCCCATTTCACCTGTCTTAGTTCTACTAGATTTAAGGCAGAACTGTATCTCTGCCTGTGGTGGCCACATGCTTAATGTTGGTCTAAACAGCAACAAAACCATTCTGGCCTCAAGCAGATTTGATATGCAACTCGACGAAGATGCCCAAGATGAAAATGGTCTAATTGTCATTGGCTGGCGTGACAAGGGACGCTGTTCGTCCCACGAGATTCTCACTGAACTAACAGAACTATACCGTTCTTGTGAATACAATCGCCAGTCCAGGCTGGAAGGTGACAGTAGAGTCAAAATTCTTAACTTAAAATCACAAAATTCACAATTTGTAAGACCTGGTAGTTTAAGGTCCTCGCACTTGTTAATCGACCTCCGAAGCAATTATTAGCATTGTGATTGCGAATCGGTTTTGCCATTTTAGTGCGGTAGCACATCAGATCGCGTTAAAACCGAAACTATCGATTTTGAGTGTAACAGCACGACAAAGTGCCAATCAAGGCGTTCAACCAAGGCTGCAAGTTCGACGAGGCAACATACACGAAGACACGATATTAAGCGGATGCGGTTCGCGGGCGCTTTTGGCTACGTCCCCGGTGGCGCTCAGACACGCCATGTGTCATCAATGTCGACGAGTGGGGCGTGCAGCTCGTCAGTGGCGTGCGCGAGTTTGACGTGCGCTGGCCGTTTCGAGCGACCTTGGCTCCATCGGCCCACGGCATCGCCTTGGCAGCCGCAGGCGACCGAGGCTTGTGCTCTTGCACAGTTTCTTGACGGCTTCCAGCAAAAAAAGAGTCCACATCATGGGCTCTAATCATGGGCTACGTGATAACCTGTGCCGTAAAAAAATCCTGTCGGCCTAGCAAGGGGCCGGCCCCCACTCGGCCGATTAAACGGGGGCCGTGGCGCCTCCCCGTCAATAGCCCGAAGGGGGGAACTTCTTCTGGCGGAGCCTGAGTGTGGGGCCCCAAAAAAGCGAGGGGCCGGAAGGGCCAAAAGTTGGGCCAAACGCGAACGTCGCGCCGCGTTTCGCGCCGCGACTGGCATGGTAGACCTACACTATGTAATGTAACTTGGCCCGGGTATGTACGGGGCCGGACCCCGATTAAATCGGGGGCTGTAGCGCCGCCCCTTTAATAGCCCGAACGTCGAAACTTACTGCGAATGGACCCCAGGGGGGTGATCCACATTCTGGCCGAGTGTGGAGCCCTAAAAAGGCGAGGGGCCGGAAGGGCCCCCACGCGAACGTCGCGCCAGTGGCGTTTCGTGCCGCGTCAGGCGACCTTTTGGGAAACTATACACCAAAGGTTGCCGTGTTTGCGCTTCCTACAGACGCCACGGATACCAAGGGGGACTTCGAGGGGGAAACCGCCAGCATAGTAGCTGATCACGCTGCGACGCTGCTAAAATCACGCTAAAACCGAGCATTTGAAAAATACGCTGTCGGCGCGAGGGGGGCCGCTTGGAGCCCTGGGCGCCCGAGACACGGACTCCTAGGAAAATTTAGATGCGTCCCCCATTCTCCGTTCGCGGCGCCTCCCCTCACATCGCCTTCCGGGGCTCCTCAGCGTCAATTATCGTTCACAGGGACTGATAGTACCCTCGACTGCCCTCGCGTAAGTTGGGTTTGGTCGTTTCGGTGCTTTTAGTCGACTGCGAGACGGTCCCGACCGAGACACATAATACGACACTATCTCCAGCTTCTCGAGCGCTTGAACGCGGCCGCAGTGTCCGAGAGTACCCCACGCATGTGTCTGACCCAATGTCTTCTTTAGGGCATGCCGTCTGGCGATTTCTGCTGCGTCGCGCCGCGGGGCGGCACGCCGAGCATGATCTCAGCGACGGAATTGGTGCAAATAACTGCCCCTGCGCGTTCAACTGGCTTTGTTACCTTCTCGGGCAGCCTCGGTTCAGCGAAAGTTTTCGCGCGGAGCCCCACGAGGCTCGTTATGGGCGCGTCAAGGGCCGAGCTCAGGCCAGCTTTTCTTGGCCGCATCGTGCCCGACCGCCACTACCACCGCGGCACACTCAAGGCATCCCAGAGCAACTTCCACCTTGCTTGCGGAGACCGCCGGGCAGCGGCTTCATCGCGAACTAGTGCTGCGATTTCTGCGTGAGATTTCGCCCCAGGAGCATTTCAGCACGCCATAAAACCACGAAACGCGTCGCCACGGGCAGCCCGCGCGCGTAGACTGCGACGAAGGTGCCGTCCTGCGGCCCGACCCGCTATCGCAGCCATCTGGGCTTGGGGCCAGAGCGACACTGAAATATAGCTATAATCACGTAATCGCCTGTCTTGGCCCCAGCGTCCGAGTGACTAAAATTGATTAGAACCCGAAACTCGAAAACTCAAATCAGGCAGGTAATTAATTAATTGCCTGAGCGACGCGAGGGCCGTAATACTGACGAGAGGAGCAAATTCTTGCGATACGTATTAACTTTCTTTCATTACATGTATCAGTGGTTTTTGCGCAAACGACAAAATAGCGTTGGTCAAATCAATTCCCTTTCGTGGCCACGTGAACCTTCGGCCCACGGGAAGAAGCTTGTGCCCCAGGGAGCTGTCGCAAGTAAGATACTGCTTCCTAGCGCGCGTCACGAGCGGTTGAACGAACCAAAAACAACCCTGGAAACAGATCACTATGCAGTCCGCGTGCCGCTGCCCGACTTTGATCCTCCGATCTTAGCCTCTAATCCAGGGGGCGTATCAAATTTTTGCGCCGGATTACAATCGGGCCTGACAAACAAGTCTTAAGTTCGCTTAATTGCCTGCATGTCGTGCCGAGCGAGCACATAGCCGCATGATATTCAGCAGAGAATTTCCAACAGCCTAATCATTGCATTGCTTATTTAAATCAAGCCGGCTGGTGGCCCAGGCTATATAACGTCTGCTCCCGGGCCAACCGCGTGGCTGTTGCTGGGTCGTGTGACTCGCCAAGGCGACCGCTGGCTTAGTCTATGGCAATGGAACGAACCTGAACTCGGGCCGGTTTGAAGCAGAACGGAATCAGAGACCAACCGGAACATGGAACCTAGTTCCCTTCGACGGTCCAGTCTACGTACCACGTAGTACATGGTTCCGCGGCTTGCTGGCCAGCAGGAGACAGGAGCTTTTTTTTTTTGTCCTGATCAAATAAGACATCTCTCTGTCACTCAAAAGAACGCCGCCATAGAGCCGTGTGTGGCTCGCAGAGACCTCATTCGCATGCTTGTCAGATTACCGAGGTGATAAAAAAAAAACTGCTTGGAACTTCAAGTTCGAAGTTTATAGGGCCGCGGATCAAGCAAAAGCCGGCCAAATGGAGGAGGGGGCTTTTGCTGAGGCGCAGGTTCCGTATGCTAAATTTGGGCTGCGCAAAAAATCGGTACCTTGCGGGCAGCCTCGCGCTAATCAGCTGCGACGCGGTGCGATGCAAAGCAGCAAAGGCCGGATGATAAAACCCGCCAAAACCAGGAATCGCCTGCATGCAAACTCCGGCGTATAAAACAAATAAATGGACCCTTAATTACGAAAAAAATATTTCCTACTAGTACTAGTTAGCACCGTTCCTTCCCTGTAGATATAAGTCTCAAGGTCAAATTGAAGGATTTTTAAGTTGGCTCTCACGGTGGGGCCGGACCCCAAATTGGTCTTATTTTCAATTGGTAGTCCGAAGGGGGCGCCTTCCCTTCTCCCGTTGGGGTTTCGGGGCATCCATCCTAAGCACACGGCGATACTAGCCTGCCACGGAGGTGCCTCGAGATGGGCTTCGGGTATATAGCCTACTCGCGGGTGGATCCCCCTCTCCCGAAGCCCCCTTTGGTACCCGTTGCGTCGTTAGGATGCGCAAACACGGCGGCTTTTATGAAAAATGCATCTTGGGTTTCGCTTCGCACGGGGCCGACTTTTGAGGCACCACAGCTAAGCCTATCACGGAAATACCTCCCACGACTTGGCGCTGCCGGGGGTCATAGTAGACCAAGCTTAGACAGAGCCCAGGGACGAGGAAAATATGCGTGTAATGTAGCAATGAGCGAGATAGCGACGGCACGATTTCCAGGCTAAAACAAATATGGCGGCCGCGACGTACGGGCAACCTTTGTTGACCTATTGTTCACCTATTGTCCACTGCCGCGGCAGCTCCTAGCTCACCTCGTTGCAAGAAAGCCTAAAAAAACGCAAAAGCTTTAAGATTTTTGATGTGTACGAACTTTTGAGGAACAGTTACTGCAACTGTAGAACGCACGCTATTCCAGGCGCGTTGCGAATAGTTTTAGGAAATTGGTTGACGAATCCTCGCAGTGTAAATATCGTAAGTAATTTCTTGCGGCTGCCGGTAAACTGTCCTTACGCCACAGCCCTAACAGCGTGAGCGACGCTCCGACGCTGGCGTTTACTATGGTGCACCTTAACCATAGCCCGCTTACAAATTTATTTATTATATAAACCACCTAGCCGTGATTTCTCATGACTCGGAAGTGGTCAACAATATTGGTGCGCAACAGAGGCCGCGGACCAGCATAATAATAAGGCTGTCTGTCACTCTAGTTGCGTGGCGGGGCAGCAGCTTTGGGCGGGACAGCCAGCCAATGCTCATTAGTGCCCACAATTTGAAAAAACAAAAAAAAAACAGGATCTCGTTCTAGCCCGGCGGGTAGCTTAGCTTGGCTGATTAGTAGGGCCCCCCCTTGCCGTAATTTTTTTTCGAATAAGAAACTGACCCATCCTTCATGAGTCCTAATTAAGATGAATTACCCTGCGAATCCTAATGCTGCGTGGAGACTTCCAATTTTATAGGGGGGTAAGCGCAATTAGTCGACTTTGATTTTGCGCAATGTGCGTAACAGCAACGCGCCGGCCGAATGGCGGGAAATTTTTGCTGAGTTCGCAGGTTCCGTATGCTAAAATAATGGGCTGTGCGCAATTTGGTACCATGCGGGCAGCCTTGCGCAGAGCAAGCAGCCGCGACGCGGTGCGACCATGCGCGCCGCTGCAATAAAGCCCGAACCCCAACCCAAAATTCGCCCCTGAGACGTATAAATTGAACCATAATTACGGAAAAATTATTTCCTAACGTTCCATATCTACAAGGGCTCTAAGGGAATTTCCGGCTTGTGTCTAGGCCAAGCTGATTAGATGGCTTGATTGAATAACCTATTAAAAATCGAGGACGGAGGACACGCAATGGTCTACATCCCAGCGGCGCTTTTCGCCCCGGGTCCCCAGGATGGAGCACTTCCCATGCGTAGCATGAGGAATTCTCGGCAGCGTCCTCCCTCGGCCGAATAGACCGCCGAACCCTAATGTTTATTAGCCTGCATGAGACACTTCGTCATGTTGTGGTCATATACCACACTCTCTAACCACACCCCAACTGAGCAAGGTAAGTGTAATGGATTGTGCGCCCCCGGAGAGTAGTTGCAATTTGACTGGATAGCGTTCGAATTAGCTGCCGGTCTTCGTGGGAGTAAGTTTCTGAGTGCCATATCTGCTTTGCCTTGAAGCAAGAGAGCAAAGTTGCAACGGCATGGGCAAAACGAAACGAGTATGGTGGCAATGTCTTACGGGAGAGTTGCACAACGACATGCCTTAATTGAGACGCATCAATGCCCTTGCTGTTCTCAACAAAGTAGAGGACCTCGGGGGCACCATGCCAGGCAACGGCAAGGTCAATAAGTGCAAATAGAGCAGCTTTACGGGCATCAGTAAGTTCATACTTTTCTTGGACATGTGGGCTTAGGGCACTTCCATCGCATTTCGCATAAGAAGCAGCAGGGATTGCTCTCCACGGATTTTCAACAACCAATTTCAAAACTTCAAAGACTTCTCTCTGTGACCGTGGGTAAGTAGCATACACCTTCAGTATAGAAATGAGGGTTGGACTAAATCGTGATAGCCTCGTCGAGAGCCACCCAGGGTCCAGCAGGCATTTTTTAAGCCAAACAAGTACTCCATGCCGCGCTGCTGGAAAATACCGAGATAGAGAAAGAAGGGCATCCCCACGTGAGACGGATCCATCAGCTTCGAGTTCATTAGGGTGACTTACCAGACGTTCCTCTAGGCAACGTCGGCCGCAAGCAAGAACTGATGCTGCTGTGCAAGCCAACTCCGCAGTGATGGCTGATGTATCGTCCCGCGGCTCATTCCTTCGATAACCTGTTGACCTAGTCGCCGCAACTGCGATCATAAGGGATATGACTGGGAGAATCACCCCATGTGCAAGTTGAGGATCAAACCTACATCAATTCAAACAATGCACTAAAATTTCAGGAGCTTAACGCGGCAAGGACGCTATTGCAAAGAGGCGATCTGCAACGAGGGGCAGATCAAGGAACGAAGGGTTATGACTGAAACTGTCAGGGAGTTTATCCAGGACCGAAGATGAATCCTTGCTTAAGAAACGAAGCGCAGCTTCTCGCAAATTGCTTCTTAACGATATCCCACAGCTGCCAATCACAACCCTTTCTGGAATTCCGGCACTCGGCCTAATTTCCAGTCCAGCACGGAGCCAGAGAAGTTCATCCCTGACGTCGCCCTCCTCGAGCATCTTAAAAAAGTGAAAGGCATAGCATGAAGCTTCAAGGCACATACTGCATGGTTGTAACACGTTTTCTATGACTAGAACCGAGGCCGGTATAGCCCGCTCATCCAACGCATAGGGTGCAGCGTTTTGCATTGCATTTTTGGCACATGTACTGAAATAGACTAATGCTGCATCGAAAACGTGCAAGTCTTCGCACAGAATTAGATCGCGGGCCTACAACCAGGCAGGCAAGCCGGACTAAATGAGGATATGGTCGCCTGGGCAAACCTTAAGCAACTCACTGACGTGCCCGATGGCTATGATCTCTCGAAGGCAGAGGCTAAGGAAGTCTGATCGACCGTAGCCTTGTTTTTTAAGGGAGCTGAAAAGCTCCAAAATGAAATTTCGACCTTGTCTATTTACCAGAAGTTGATCCAGTGACGAGGGCCGAATATTTACTTGCCGCAGTGACGCCTGTGATTTCAGGTGAGGAGTTTCAGGTGCGTTAATCTCAACTCGCAGCATCTAGAAATTGAGGATCCATTTGATTCGCAATTTCACTTGTCAACGCCATCAAAGCTACGCTCTCGCCATCTTTGATGCCCGCAATCTCTAGCCAAGTATATACCACGACCGACATTACTAAGCTGGAAGGCTAGAGCCGATGCTGGGCCAGTCGACGGCCCGAGCTCAGAGCGCAGAGCGCCACGCTAGCCAGCAGAGCGCATGTCACCTGTCCTGTTAGTTGGGCTCTTTGCCCTGTACAATAATGGCGATTCATGATTCCAGAGTCTTCGTCACGGTGCCGGATGGTTCAGAGCATTTGATTCGCCGACCGGAACGTTGAATTTCCCACGGGTTGGTCAGTAACGCTTTGCGGCGGCAAAGGTTTACGCTCCCTCTAGCCTATAGCCCTAGGACAGGGGTTGCGGACCTCGTCTAGTTCAGGAGAGTTTGCGTGACCCCTTGCGGCGCGTTTGTTGGGGTGCTAATCTGAGAATGAGCCGCGACTCAAACTATGGTGCGCGTCGCGAATTCATCGTCCCCCACGCCCCGCTTCCCCACGCAGACCACCACATCACGATCTTTTCGCCCGCCGGCAAACTTTATCAGGTGGAGTACGCCATCAAATGCGCTCAGACCACGTCGGGGCTAACTTCGGTTGCCGTCCGCGGCGCAGACAGCTGCGTGCTCGTGACACAGAAGAAAGTGCCAGACCGCTTGGTCGATGCAACGTCGGTGACAAATTTGTACAAAGTGACAGAAAAACTGGCGGTGCTCATGACAGGCATGTCAGCAGATTGTCGGACACAAGCGACAAGGCTGCGATATGAGGCCGCCGAGTTCAAATTTCAGTACGGGTATGCCATGCCCGTAGCGTCGCTTGCTAAGCGTGTGGGAGACATATGCCAGGTGTACACACAAAAGGCCTCGCTGCGGGCGTTAGCAGCAATCTGCATCATTGCGGCCGTCGACGAAGAGAAGGGACCCCAGATCTTCAAGGTCGATCCCGCGGGCCACCATTTCCCCTACTTCGCGACAGCCGCAGGAGCCAAGGAGTCGGAGGCAACGAATTTCCTTGAGAAGAAGGTCGACGAATTTGCTACTTATGACGCAGACAAGACAGTCCAGTGCGCCATCGCCGCCCTCCAATCCGTTCTCAACGCTGACTTTAAGGCGTCTGAAATCGAGGCGATGCTCCTTTCGGGCGACTCAAGCTGCCATGCACTCACCGAAGAGGAGATTGATGGCCATCTCAACGTACTTGCTGAAACCGACGCGTAACCACGCGACCCGCCACTATTATTTATGTTATATATATACACCCTCGCTCAGGCTACAGCTCACGAAGTGGTGATCACACCGTGATCAAGTCCGAAACACGAAATTCGCCCCTATGCTGGTAATTTGGCCTCCGAGGGCCCTCGACTGCTAGTGGTCTATGGCTGGATATGCCAAGGCGGCCTTCGAGATCTTCAGCGGTGTCAAATTAGCCTCCGGGGCATTTAGCTGTAGCTCTTTTCGGACGTCGGGTAGGTCAAAAAGTATCAGCCTGGTGCCCCGTGCTGTTAACAGACGGGCAGATAACCTGAGATAGGGCCTCAGGCTACGAGCACATTCCGCGTATTTATAGAATTTTACGAGCGGTATCGGGGCGTCGCTTAAGCGACCAAATATTTGACAGTAGTGGCCACACCGCCAAATACGGAGCTAGCGTAATCGACTTACTAGCAAATTCAAAGATACGCTTCGATAGCGTCAAAAGAATGACCAAAATTCAGAATACATCCTAGTCATTCGCCGAGACCAAATATTCCACAGTAGCGGCCGGGGAACATACCCTCGCGCCTCCCGGAAGGCACCGCCTGCGACATTCGCGGATGAGTCTTACGGCTCGCCAAAATACACCAGCGATTGATGGCGCCTTCTACCGTCCAAATGGGACATCATATCAACTCCAGCCCAGTTTTCATACACAATCGACGGAACCGGAGCCGACGGCAAGCGCTCGGAGGGCGGGAGGAGAATTCTACTAGACAACTCCCGAGTTTATGTTCGTTTCCTTCCGTTTGTTGGTGGTAGAGTCCGTCCTATTCGCCTCAGCGACCGTGAGACCGATTAAGGGCTCCGTTAGAGCCTCGCGAAACGACGACTTCGCGACCCCGCGTTCATGCGAAACGGGCTTAATACCTGGACCTGCGAGTATCAGCGACGACACCATCCAGATGGACCGTAACGCCGTTGTTCTATTCACAATCGATCGACTTGCCCGTTCTCCGCGGACGACGGTGCGGAGACGGAGCACCAGAAAGGCCCCAGACCGGTGGTTTGTAAAATAAATTCGCGTTTCAGGCGCTTCGGTTGTGGGACGTGCCAGCTAACTGGCCTGAACGCGTACTACATTGCTCCGAGACCCCAAGATGCTCGGCGCGGGTCGTCGGTCTTGCGAGCCCCGATCTAGGTTAAAACGGCGAATTACTTACACCTGCGGCCATCAGCCCGTGTACCTTCACCATGGACCATGACGCGATCATTTATTTTATGACCGACGGACTTACGCGAGGTCCAGATCAAGATGTTCGCGTCCCGAGCGTGGGCAGCCAAAAGTACCCTTCTTATTTTTTTTTTTCATATACTTGTAATTGACTCGTTGGGGTAGTATGGGGTCCAACGAGACCGCTACGGCGACTACTGGGGCCCCTCGGGTAATTGGCGTTTTTGACGGGAACGGTGCCATCAGGTCCAAATTGCACACTTTTTTCGGGGGCAGCTCGGCTCGCGGACTCCCTCTCGGATAGGTCTGGGGCGGGTAGTCGCCCACGCCGCATGCGCCGGTGCTTGGGGCTCTCCAGAGAACTCTGGATCCAAAACTTTGAGGACTTGGGCTCAAGCTGGTTGGCTGGCTGAGCACCTTGCTTGATAAGTATAGACTGATGGAAGGGGTGGCGCACGCGCTGTAGGCGCGTGCGCACGTCTACCACCGACCAAAATCGACCCCTGGGAGACCTCCGGGCCGCAAATCGACAGGATTCCATCGACGCGGCCGTCATGGCGGGACCGTCAATATCGCGAATTAAAGAAATTATTTTTTTCGCCCCTCAGTAAGTGTCACATTGATCTCTTTGGACCATGAGCGAACCGAACGATACTCATACGACTGCATGGCGCTTCGTTCGCCGAAGACAGGCCCGTGGCTCGCCGCCGCGCCGCCGCGCGACCGCGCGTTATAGGAGGGAATGCAAGCCCCCGGAGCCCTGCGTTTTTTTCAAAAAACCTTCCCGGTTTTCAAAAGCTTTTCAAAAGTTTACTATGCCAGAATAGTTAAATCTCCCTTAATCTCCGCTCTGCTAGGGTGCGATTTACGCACGGCCCCGGCCCGGGGCGTTCTTTACGTGAGAAACGGTCCAGCGTCATTTACGCCGCAATTTACGCGTAATTTACGCGTGCATTTATTTATAAAACCCGCACACACGCAGGCAGAGCGCCTAAACAAGGCCTTGGTGGCCACGCAGTTCAATAGCAGCACGAGCACGGCGCATAAGCCCACACCTAGAGTGCACACCTTGCTCGCAACAGCATGCAACTAGCAATTGGCTCGGCTCTGACAACGTTTGGGGCAGCCACACTCTGCGAGGTGCTGATCGCGAGCTAGTGTCTAAAAGGGCTGCTAGCGCCGGCTTCGGGAGCCCTGGAAGGACTTTTGGATACCTCCTTTTTTACGCCGTTTTTTACGTGGGATCTCCTGTAGCGGTGCTTTACTTGTAACTTACGCGTTTTTTCCACGTAAATCGCACCCTAGGTCTCTTTGCATCATCCATAACTTGAACTTGAAATACGTGCAATGTGATCCTCTCGGCCTGGGCCGTGCGAACACATCCCACTATGTTTTGACAAAAATAATCGCGCATGTTTTGACAAAAAAATGATTAGCCTGAGTTACAGAGTTTACGAATCGGAAGTTTGTGGCCCGGAGGCGGGGTTTCAAGTTACCAGCTCCCTCCGCCGGCGGCGGCGAGTCAGGCTTTAGTACAATAGACGCGGCCTTGCGCGCTTCTTGGCTACTTTATCCTGAGTTTCTGTGACTCGAATTCATCAAGAAGCGCCAGTTGATGAAGCTCGAACTACTCTGGCCTGAGGTGCCAGTGCTTTTTTTCTTCAAGTTCAAGTTATGGAAGTTATGGCTCTTACAACATTTTTGACCTTGGACTTACCGACCCCTCCGAGTCCACCCGCCAAAGCGTAAGAACGACCTGACTGAGACTCGGAGAGGACTCAGGCTTGGAAGGCTTTGCTACTAAATACTTCTGTGGTTCAAGTTCAAGTTCAAGTTGCTGATATGAGTGGCATATTCACGTTATGTTTTTATCTTTATTATATCTGCACTCATTCAGATTGCTCAGCCTGAGGCTATGCTCATCCCACACAATCATGATAAGCTCCTTGAAAGCTGATTCCGTCTGTTTGGGATGTTGCAATTCAGGCTGGTCACGCCGGTCGGTTCTTTTGTTTTAGTCAAGCCAATAAAACTCGAACTATGTTGGCTTCCTGATTTGTCTACAGTGAACAATGCAAAGAACAATAATTCAGGAATCATCATGATTGAGATGGCGTGCATAATTTTGGACCACCAAACTTGAAGACCCTTAGGGCCCAGGGCAGCCTTGCCGACCGTGACACCGCCGGCGGCAGCCTGAGCTTAAGAAAGCCGGGGAAACAAAACTCAAGGACCCAATTTTCGACCTCCGGGCCGCGGGCTTGAATTAAACCCCGAAGTGACGACTTGGACTCCTTGTGGGATCGCCGAAGTACCAAATTTCTTAAATGCCCACGGGCCCGTCACGGACTCACGGTGATCTAGGTCCTGCGGTTGCGTAGGTCAATAGGATAGGATAGGGAACTGCCAAATAACCCAGGAGATTTGCGAGGTTTGAGGTCTTCCTGACGCCTCTCTTTGCAGGGTCATATTATTGGCCTGCTGGCACGTTCAACTCAAGTCACCGTGACGGTTGCTGTCCCTTGGCGGTATTCTACTAGTACTAATAAGCCTGCCAGTGACTTTCCATCATCTTTGAGCGATGGCTAGGTTGCAGGTTGCTGCAGGAAGACTAGGGCGGGTAATTGAGGTTATGGGTTTTGAACGCGCTGCCGCTTTTAAAGTATAGCGGGCCTAAGGGCGAAACGTCGCTTGTCAAATGGGAGGCGAAGCACGCGAACGGACACCGGTCCAAGGCGGCTATCTGATGAGCACAAGGGCTTCATTCTTCACTTACCTAGTCTTGCGTTATAGAGGCCTCGCGCCGTCGGCCGGAAATTCTCTAGCTCGACGTCGTCAAAAAAGCGAAATTGGAGTCGCCAGCGCAACCGCCCCGAACGGCACGAGTTTCCACGACGCAAGCGAATTGGAGCCCGTTCCATGATGTTTAGCCGGCGCCTCTCCAGGCCGCGTTTCTCCGGCTTTGTAAAAGTGGCCGCGCGTTCGAAATCTACAACCTCGGGTACCTGCCGTAGTCTACCTGCAACCTGCAACCTAGCCATCACTCAACCACACCGGCTCTACTACTAGTAGGGGCACTTTAAGACAAAACAGGTTTAGCAAACAAAAGGAAAACGAGACTATAGCTCCCCCTAGGCCTCGAGGGCTGTCGGACGGGCTCCGGCGACGCCTCCGCAAAGTTATAGCTCCTTTGCGCGAATCGGCTCTCGCGTCGAGACGAGCTCTGGATGGCCCGATTTCGTCTTTAAACGCTGCGTGCTGGCCAGCGTAGACGATTAGGAGAGATGTGAGTACATAGCGGCTCACCCTGCATCGCGCAGCCCTGCCGAGAAAGAGAGAACCAACCGCAGCGCCACGGACCACCAGCACGCCAAAACCAGCAGCTTAGCATTACCATGATTACGATCTCGAGACGCGAGATGGGGTGTTCAGGGGTGTTTCAGCGATGACGCCAACCTGCGCTGTAGGAAAATGGACACGACCGACGATGGGCAGGTCGCGACGCTCGGCGCGAAGCGTTTGTGCGGCGCTTCTGTCGAGGCTTTGGAAAGCCACGTAGCAGCACCCTGGTCGAAAACGCGGTACCCCGCGCATCGATACTATTCATACCACCGCGTGGTGACCTTTCGAGTTGGTTGAGGCTTTCCTGATGGGAATCGCGGCGATGGCGTGGAAAGCCAAAATATTGTCGCCCCCGTTATCCGCCGTTACGAGCTCCCCACCGTCGGTGACCGCCATCCCCCTCGAGCGAATGTGTCCCTCTAGCCGGCGGAATCGTGCCCGGATCGGGCCTCTCGCGTTTTGACTCCGCGCTGGAGCCGCAAAAGCCATCGAACAAGCGGCCAAAATTCACATTTTTGAAATGGTCTCCTACACGCCCGAGGAGCGGGGAAGCTATGTGGTCCCCGAGGGTGCTTCTGTTGAGCTGTGGCTGTGGGTGCAAGTTCTTGTTCCCGTCACGAACCCCGAGCCGATAAGCCTACTGCCGGGCCGCACGCCACCCCTCCCCACCTGGGCGGGTATGGCCGTTTCAGCCATCGCCGGGTGTCATCGGAGCTATCCCGCGGGCTAAGGGCTCACCTCGGGTCGATTTAGTGTACCGTTGCCCATCCCGAGGCCATTTTTCGTCACGAAATAAATTCCCTTAAATCAGAGGCGGTCGCCCCCAGCCCCAAACCACCTCCGCGGGGTCGTAATCGACCCGGTGCAGGGCTCGGTACAAAAATCCGCGCGAAAAACGCGGCTAGCCGTCCTCCAGGGCCCCAAAACCCGGACCTAAAGTGCCCCTAGTACTAGTACTAGGTTTTACGCTTGTATCGACGCCGGGACTTGGTGATGGCCCGCGATCTTAGTTCAATTTTGCTCAATGCTCAAAGTCAAGGTAACTGTGGCAAGTAGGCTTGGTATCATGCTGTGCTCTTAGAACTGACCGTCAGAAATGCAGCCGAGCACCAACTATGCCAATGGGAATCACAATCTTTGGTGAGCCCTTGTTTAATTTAAACACCATAACTCGCCTCGATTGTAGCCACAATTGATGGTCGCGCTTGCAGATGAACTTTCGGAGGAGGGTAGGAATGAGCATTCGTAGAGCTGTGTTGGAAACACGCGATTCGCTTTGAAAATCTGACTTATGCTAATATATCCAATGCAGGCGACAACTTGCAGGACTTCATCTGAAGAACTTACTGTTCGCCCGAGACGCGCATATATCTGCAGAGAAAAAGAGAAAATGGTATACAGACGTAGACGCCAACTCCAGATCTCATGTGAAAATAGCATGCCTTAAGGTGTTGCGGTCCGCGAATCCCCAAGCCGCGCACGCTGGTGCACTAGTCGTTGCCAAGATAGGTGCATTGGAGCTGCAGGAGAAACAATGGCCAGAATTGCTTGGACAGTTGCTCAAGAACATGACAACAAAGGATGTTGGAAACAGCAACCTCACGAAAACATCTACTCTTGAGGCTCTCGGCTACCTCTGTGAAGATCTTGAAGAAGAGGCGGTAGATCAGACAGAGACAAATCAAATCCTGACTGCCATAGTAGATGGCATGAGGGAAGATGGTGCTATTACAGTGAGAGTTGCCGCTGCACGAGCTCTTTTGAGTAGTCTAGTTTTTACACGGCACAATTTTGACAATGAGACAGAGCGAACGATGATCATGCAGGTTCTCTGCACCGCAACAAAGAGCCCTGACGAGCAATTGCGCATCATTGCATTCGAGTCCCTAGCTCGCGTTGCAGCTCTTTATTATGAAAAGCTTCCACAGTATATTGAAGCTCTTTTCACGTTGACATTGACGGCAATACAACAAGATAAAGACGAACAGGTTTCAATGATGGCTGTTGAATTTTGGTCGTCCTTGTGTGAGGAAGAATTGGAGATTCTTGAAGAAACGAATTCGGTTGATCAGTCGCGCACATTGTCACACCGACAATGTGCGCGGTATGTGTGCGCAGCAGCCAGTCATATCGTCCCTGTGCTGTTACAATCCACCCTTGTCAAACAGGATGAATATGCTGATGAAGATACCTGGAATCTTAGTGCCGCTGGGGCGATTTGTTTAGGCCTGGTAGCCCAAGCCGCCGGCGATGCCATAGTCCCCGATGTTCTTGCTTTCGTCGAAAGCAACATTCTGCACGCCGAATGGCGGCGGCGTGAAGCCAGCATCATGGCCTTCGGTCAGCTTCTGGATGGGCCAAAACCCGAGCTGCTCACTGACCCAGTGCAAACTGCAATGCCCGTCCTTGTCCGAACCTTGAAAGACAACCACACATTGGTCAAAGATACAGCAGCTTGGACTCTTGGGCGGATCTGTGAACTCCACGCGCAGCGAATACCACAAGGTTACCTTCAGCCACTCGTCGAGAGCTTAGGCGGTGCCCTTCAGGATAGTGCTAGAGTCGCATCTCAATCTTGCTTTGCACTACACAATCTTGCACAAGCCTTTGAGCGTGCGCCCAGAAGTCGTGAAACGAATGCTCTGTCACCTTTTTTTCGTCCTCTGTTGACGCAGCTTCTTGCTGCGACCGAAAGGCGTGACTGGCAAGATCATAATCTTCGCGGCCAAGCTTATGAAGCTGTCAACATGTTGATTCAAAATCACGCACGCGACATGCGACCAGTTGTTCTTGAGGTCATGCAAGTAGTTCTACAACGGCTCCACTCGACGTTTTCAACTGTTGTTGTCTCGCAAGATGACAAAGAGGAGCGTTATCAATTGCAGAGTCTCCTCTGTAGCGTGATGCAAGTTATTACACGCGCTGTAGACAAGGACATCGAGCCGTTCTGTGATCATATAGTTGCTTTGCTCCTACAGGTTCTCAATAATGAGCATGCAATAGCATCGGAGGAGGCCTTTATGGCCCTTGGAGCAATTGCCTCTACAGTTGAACAAGCGTTCGACAAATACATGGGTGACTTTTTTCCTTTCCTCATCAAAGGACTGCGAAATTATGCAGACTGGCAAGTCTGTTCCGCTTCGGTTGGAACAGCAGGTGACGTGTGTCGTGCGTTGGAGAGTCGGATCCTCCCATATTGTGACGAAATCGTCCGTTGTTTGCTAGAAGATCTGCAAAATCCAACTTTGAATCGACAAGTCAAGCCAGCTGTGCTATCTTGCTTTGGTGACATTGCGCTCGCTGTTAGTGGGAATTTTGTTAAGTATCTCCCATCCACACTCCAAATGCTCGAGCAGGCCGCAGCGATGAAGATATCGCCAGATGATGAAGATCTAGTGGAGTACATAACTGTCTTGCGCGAGGGCATCTTGGAAGCGTACATTGGCGTTGTTCAGGGGCTAGTCATCAGAGCCTGTCTTCACGATTCTTGTAGTATTTGAGCCCAACTTCACAGGTTACATGATGGTGGTGGTTCACCATTCATAAAGCCTCATCTAGGAAATATTTTTCAATTTTTAGAAGTCGTAGTGAATGAAAATGGAGACGACCCAAGCCTCATTAAGAATTCAGTCGGGCTTATTGGCGACCTAGCTACACTACTTGTCCAGCATGCTGAAGAGGTGTGATTGGCGTCTTTTTAATATATTCAACTTTCGCCTAGTTCACTGAGATTGTTCTTCTACACAGGTCTCAGTTTATTTCCGACAAAACTTTGTCGTAGAAGTCATACAGGAGGCACTTCGTCAAGACAGCCTTCGTGACATCGCCCTTTGGACACAAACCAAGCGAGACACACTTCTAAGCTGATACAGACCACCATGATTAGTGCAGCTACTTATGTGAACTTTGTGTCACTACGGCAGTATCCGTCACCAAGTAAATAAAATATATCCGGTTGATAGATCCAGGCCGCCTGATACATATGACGCTGCTGCTAGGGGTATCTATCTTTGAAGCAATGGCGGTTAAGACGACAGCTTATAGATGGAGTCATTAAGGAGACGCTAGCTTACCTTACCCGGCTTTCAGCAACATTGGCCCGGCCCCGTCGGACACTATTGATGGCGCGCAACCTTGGCGTCCGCGCACCCCGCTGCCCGAGTGGCCGGATTTCGCAAGAACCCAAGTTCCGCACATTCCAGCATGTAAATTCCAAGTTCCACATCTCCCAGTGGCTAGGTTGGCACTTACCTGTAATTACCCGTTTTTAACCTATCATTACCCCTCGGAGGGGATCCGGGGTTAGTACCCGCCCAACCCGACGGGTTCGACTAAACCCGTTTAGTGAGATTAGCGAAAGGCCCCTCCGGGCAAGCGGATGGGCGCAAGCAGCCCGTTGAGCTTTTGGATACGTACAGGTGCGCCAAGGCAAGTACCAAGTCATGTGGCCTGGCGCGGCCCAGGCCCGCGCCAGTGGCCCGTGAGCCCCCCTCCCCCTACCCCTCTATAAGATCCCGGGGTTAATAACCCGTACTAACGGGTAATTACCCGGGTTACTGACCCCGGGCCACGATTGGGGTTAATAACCCCTCGGGTAAGTGCCAACCTAGCCCAGTGGGACGTACCTAGAAGCAGAAGTAGCAAGACAGGTGTACGTCTCTCACATCTGAGGGCAGGTAACCGTCACGGTGGAGTAGCTCATACTACCTTTTTCCTCCTCTGCCGGGGAGCTTTCGCCGATTGCGGGTTTTTGGGGGGACGTTATTGAGTCTTCGTGGCGGAACGTGACAGTGAAGAGTTCGGTTTCGGACGCCTGCTACGTCGCATCAAGTTATTTTTTTTTTTGCACTTAGCAATGAGCCGCCGCTTTGCGTCCGAAAGCTGCCCTCCGCGCCTAAAACGCACCAAAACGCTGCACGCCGGGTGGCAGTCGAAAGTCTGACCTGGGAGGATCCGTGGTCTACCCGCACTACCGCGCATGACTACCAGTATCAGCCACGCCACGACATTGCCAAGTTGGGAGAAGTTGAAGCTGAGATACTTGGGAGAGGCAAGACCCACGAGGCGGTGCCGACAGGAGTGGTCCGGGCTAGCTACAACAATAACAGACTCCCTTGTGCGGTTATATTTTCGGAAGCGCCGCAATCAGCTAAGGGAGCGGTTATATCTGGATCGCGGCGAGCAGTCACCGTAGTCCGCTCCTTAGCTTGCCGTTGGAAGATGCCCAGGACCCCCTCAGACTTCCACAAACTCACTCTTAGTAGAGTCTTACGTTTCCTTGGCCTACCTTGCACAGGATTAAAAGTTGATCAATATGACGGAAACTCAGGATCGATGCTGCGGCGCCAAGCATCAAGGCCGCCTATGACGTTGCATGCCTTTGAATAGCCAAGCTTCAGGAGCTCTGCAGTAGCGACCCGAGAGTCAGCCCCACGACGGCAAAGAACATAAATAGGAGAATCGAGTGCGGTCTTTGCGCGTAGGAATGAAGAGGCAGAGTCAGGGGCCTCGAGAATCTGACGAAGGGGGAGAGAGAGGGAAGATTGAAGTTTGCACATAGCGAATTGAGTGGGATCACGGACGTCAACGAGAGTGAGAGAAGCTGCTGTGTCGATGATTTTTTTCAAGTCAATTACGGTGATTTCATTCGCAAAAGGAAGTGAGACCGGTTCAGACGGAAGGGGATTGCCGAAACTACACCTGAGCAGAGTTATTAATTAGTCAACAGCAAGCTCTTGCAGGACGCCGCTAGAATTCACAGAGTAGCATCAAAATCTGCATAAAGTCCCTGGCCGAGGGCCCATTGTTTTGAGTCCTGGAGAGATTCGATTGTTTGGGCCTCTCCACAGAGCACACAAGTTGGCCTCCGGGGAGGCAACCCAAATGCTTTTAGACCCGTGCCATCGAAAATATGCATTTTATTTATCATACCGTCAAGTTTTGAAAGGTAACGGAGGACATCTAAAGCCTGAAGCGCACCAAGAACGCCAGGTACTGGTCCGAGAACACCCTGATCGGCACATCTCCGTCGTGCCTCAAGCGATGACGGCCGAGGAATCACGCATCTATAGCAAGGCCCGCCCGTTTTGCCCCAGCGCGTCAGCGAACCCTCAATTCCGAGCGCAGCGGCGCTAATAAGCGGCTTACCTGCTAAGAAACACGCGTCATTCAAAAGGTAACGCGTCCCTATGTTATCGCTACAATCCACGACGATGCTATGCTTCTCTACTAGATCTGATGTGCATTCATCATACATGCAATGCCGTGGGACGGCTACCAGGGCCACATCTGAATTCATCGCTTGAAGCCGGCTTGCCGCAGCTTCTGCTTTATTCCTCCCTATGTCGCACTCAGCGAACAAGACCTGCCTATGAAGGTTACTAGCTTCTACTCTGTCGCCATCGCAGACTGTGACTTTGCCCACACCCGCGCCGACGAGGTATGGTAGACAGCTGCACCCAAGCGCACCTGCCCCAACAACAAGAGCCGATGATTCTCGAATCGTTTCCTGAGCTAACGGCCCGAGAACTAGCATCTGCCGTGCGTATCGCGCGGTGTCGCACATCTGCCTGGCAACACCGTAGAACAGGCACCGCAGATGAGTGTATGAGTGTACGGTACGCAGGTACCTACGGTACCTCCTACGGTACTAGTGTAAGTGCTGCGCTTCTTGTTCAGTTCAGCAGGACAGCATGGGCAATGAATCTTCTACCAATTCCAGGGAATCACGAGGCCGGGAAGCACGGGCCAGTTCGCTTAACGCCAGCTCACGTCCTCCTAATCAACTATCAACAGCTAGCGTGCCGCCCCCCGGTGGGAAAGACCGGCCGTAAAAAATAACAAAATACAGTACTTCATCATAGGCGCTTACTCTGTACCGGGATCTCAAAGGAGACAAGCCCAGTATTCTTCCTGTCTTATCTTTTTATTGTAACGAATGAAGCACCCATCAACAATAGGTTTTATGTGACAGTTCCTGCCGGCATTCGACCAGGACAAGAATTCCCTGTACTTGATTTTACATATTGCCCTATCTCCAACTAGTTTTCAGGTGATTGCCAATGGACAGCAACTTATGGTCCGATGTCCACCCGGCATTCGTCCAGGTTATCAAACTCGCCTACCTTTTGATGCCTTGAAGGTGGGAGGCAAATAGGTGAACGCATAGTTGTCTCTGCTCCAAGAAATTCCCAGGGCACACAAGCCTACATGGCAACCGTTGCTCGCAGTGTTCACAGCTAGTTTTTACTCATGTCTGCAATTTTAAGGTTCCACATGGTGTCCGAAGTGGAGAGCAATTTCCAGTACTAGTGAATAATCAACAGCTGATGGTTACATGTCCTCCTGGCGCGTAGGCAGCGCATTTTTTGTGTAGGCTTACTTGTTTTAAGCACCACTATAGGTGTCCGACCAGGCATGCAGGTGTCATGCACTAAAAAACTCAACATAACTAAAAGCGATCTCAGGTTCGTATCATGGTTCCAACCTCTCGCAGAGGTACGCACACCAGATCTTCCGATAATAATTCGCTGGTCATGCTGATAAGTGATGTACTAATAGTTTAGTCTCACAGGCACAAGTCTAAGCACACCTCAAGAAATGGACCCCTCCAGCTCTTCGAGTGGGAGCGAAAATGCACGGGTTAATAGCCATATGCGAAGCCCCTTTGGCAATCAGATGTTTGAGGTAAATGTGCCCCAAGCGAGTAACTGCGCATAATTGCCATTGAAGTTCAAGGAAAAACAAGTTCATCCTAGGGCGTGCGATCAGGCCAGGCATTCGCACTCATTGCAAATGGGCAACGTGTTATGGTCACCTGCCCGGCAAACGCAAGACCGGGGCAGAAGATAAGGTTTCAATTGCCGATCAAGTTAAGCTCTGACGAAATACAATCGATTAAGCTCAATTATCAAAAGGATGGCTGGGTCCGTTGCTTATCTACAGACCTGACTTTTCATTGGATTCGAAGCGAGGGTGAAGTTGATGGGCAGCTAAAAGATAGTAGAGACCTTACCTGGGCATTTGAACGAATTGCTTTCGTAAGAGAGCTCCGGTCCTCTGCTACAGTCTCGTCAAAATCAAAAGTTGACCATTCACTTCAACTTGTCCCCGCGAAGGAAGCCTCTCTGTCTACTGTCGTTCCTGCGATCAACAACGGCACGTCCCTTGCCCAAGAACTCTCAAGGTACGCAGCGATGCCATTTCAGCACAAAGAAGCCTGGTTTCGCCAGCAGATTGCAAAAATTCAAGTGCCTTGGGAAGACGGGCACATAAAGATCAATGTGCGGCGTGAAAACTTGCTACAAGACTCAATGGAAGCGACAGAATCAATTACCCAAGGAGACATGCGCAAGATATTTCGCTTTGAATTTATTTCAGAACCAGGCACTGGCGGGGTTATTTTCTCCCGGGGGGTGGTGCATCGGACCTGTGATCTCGCTCATGTGCAGGTGTAGATGCGGGTGGTGTTGCTAGGGAGTGGTTTCAGTCATTAGTCTGTGTCACAATTCTAGGAGCGTTTTATCCATATATTATTACTTCGTCTAGGCTGGTCTCTGCCCTGCTGTTCAATCCTGATTTTGCCCTGTGGTCGTACAGCTCAATAAATCAGATGTGCATGCAGATCAATCCTTCGTCGGGCGTTGCAAATGACGAACATCTCCGCTACTTTCATTTCACTGGAAGGCTACTCGGCAAGGCACTCTTTGATCGCCAAATAGTGGCTGGTCATCTTGTACGTCCCTTGTATAAAGTCTCGGTGTTTGCTCTACTTTTCTGAACATTCTCCTTGGCTATGTGCTAATTTCTCAGGTACAAACATATCCTGGGCTGGCCTGTAACGGTGGCGGACTTGGAACAGCTTGACGCAGACACCTATGCTAATTTGTGCAAGTTAAAGGATCTAGAGGATGTTGAGGTTTCATTGAAGATGTAAATGTGCGGATCTCTCTGAGATTGACGTTTATAGGTTTGCTGCCTTGATTTCACGGTGACCGAAGACCACTGGGGTACTGCGCAAACAATAGAACTGAAGTCCGATGGTGCTAACTGCATGGTTACTAACAAAAACGTAGATGAATACATCCAGCTTCAAATGCGCTACCGGCTGTTAGAAAGAGTAAAGGAGCAGATAAAGGCCCTCTTGGTTGGTTTTTATGACGTCATTCCTGAGGTTTCTTTTGAGCTTCCGAGTCACATCTGCATATTTGATGTGTAGGCTCTTCTTTCTGTATTTGATTTCCAGGAGCTTGAGCTTCTACTATGTGGACTCCCTGAAATAGATATTGAAGACTGGAAACGAAACACTGAGCAATTTCTAGTGTTACCAATTTATCCATAAGCTATGTACGATACTGTGATGTTAGGTACACGGGTGATTATGAACGCAAAGGTGCATCAAATAAAGTGGTCAAGTGGTTCTGGGAGGTGCGTTTTCCAATGCCTCTTTGTTTGTTTGTGTATGATTCACCATAGGTCGTTGTTGATGAATTTGATGAGGAGCACAAAGCCAGGCTCCTTCAATTTGTCACGGGGACTTCTGGAGTCAAGTACCGTGTGCTAGCTGAAATTGCCAAATTGCGCCTCTTAACCAAACGTTTGATAGGTCCCAGCTCAAGGCTTCTGCGCTCTTCAAGGCAATGATAATAATATTCGAAAATTTACAATCAATTCAATTCCAGAAGCTGTCTCTGTGTTCCCAAAAGCACATACCTGCTTCAATCGAATAGATCTACCTTTGTATGAATCAAAGAAGAAACTTACCAAATTTTTAACCATGGCAATTCAAATGGAAGCTACTGGGTTTGATATTGATTGACTTGCGAGAGAAGCATCAATATAGTAAGTTGGTGATGTGCAGGGTCAACCGACCTTCTGGAGCCCTTGACCCGTCGACAGGGGGCTGGCCATGATGCCCCCGTGTCAAGCAGCTGACAGGGGGCTGGCCATGACTCGACTGCAGAACTTATCGCGGTAGTGCCTCCCCATTAATAGCCTACTAGTAGGGCCACTGGCAAGTTACTTCCGCCCACTGGCAGCCACGCTGACTGGTGGACCACGACTCGGATTGCAAGTCCTGATGGTCACAGCCCGGGTGGTCCGTTCCGAGTCGACCAGCTAGTCGGCCCATCTGACTCATGATCTGAGCTCCCATCTGGAGAAGGGGCCGGCACTCGACTAATTCGGCTACTGTAGCGCCTCCCCATTAATAGCCTATAAGCGAAAACTAGCTGCGAATGATCCTCAGGGGGTGCCTCACATTCTGGCGGAGTACGGGGCCCTGAAAAATCGAGGGGGCGGAAGGGCCCCCACGCGAACGTCGCACCAGTGGCGTTTCGTGCCGCGTCAGGTGACCTTTTGTGCAACCATACACCAAAGGATGCGGTGGTTGCGCATCCTACCGACGCCACGGATACCAAGGGGGCCTTCGAGGGGGGAACCACCAGCATAGTAGCGAGTTTTGATTTTCACCCCTGAAAACCCGCGAGTTAGGCTAAACCTCGCACGTTAGGCCATTTTGGGGACCTCACTCCATCTCGATGGGGGCACCTCCGTGGCAAGCTAGTGTCGCCGTGTGATTATGATGCCCCTGGGGGATGCCCCCTGGGACAAATCCCCGCTTTTAGGCTATCAATTGAAAATCTCACCAATTGGGGTCACAATGGGGTGCCGGCCCCGTATCTGGAGTCCCCCCCCCCTTCAGACTGCGACAGAAAACTGCGACCGGCCAAAACGCTGGGATAGTTATGAAGATAAGGGGGGGATCAGGCCGTGAAAGTGACCGTGGCCACTTTTCAGGCACATTTTTCAGACCCCTCTTGTGGCGGCGGGTTCGCCGCCGGGGGGTTGCCGGTGGGGTGGCTCTGCACTTATTCTTTTTGCAATCCCTTGGTCCAAGAACTCCGCTTTTGGACCAACGCGGCGAAACAGGATGCTACAGCAGTGCTGACTGCAACCTTCATCAGAACACAAGCGTCTTGAGCATAATTCCAAGCACCTGCATGATGTTTGCTGCCATCACTTCATCGACGCCATGTTCCTAGGTTCAGGGTAAACCTCACACATGTGCGTATCCACATTACTTACAAGATGGCGCTTGGGATCCACTTTTCCAACGTTGGCTACTAGCAGTTCCTCGACCGTCCTGCCTTCCTCGTCTCTGACTCGAAGGTTATAATTTTCAGAATGCCTCGCCATATTAGCAATTATCTCGTGGTTTGCCAGTGTATGGCAAGCAAAGTCGAGAGTAATTAGGCCCGCGACCCACCTAAGAATCAAGAAGGTAAGCAGCAGGTGGGCCGTTGGAAAACTCGCGTTTTTTTGTATAGGTTTGTAAGCATCTGTTCTTCCAGTTCATTTTTACGGTAATCAATTACCTGCTCACGCAAATGCATACAGTACCATTAACTTGTAGATACCATTGAATAGTAATGTCTATTTAGGCCATGGATGAGAGCTTGGATTGAAGGCTTCTTCAGGTGCCCCACATTGGAGGTAGTTTGTCGCGGCTCTTGCCCTGATTGAAGAATAAATCTAGTCATTGTATAAGGCGCTGACTGTCGCCTAGCATCATAAGTTGCGGGTTGATGAGACGAAAACAGTCAATCACCACTTTGCCTTTCACCTAGAATCAGCAAACCGAATTTGAGAGCGCAAAATTACTAGATCACAGACGCAAGTAAGGACGCTCTGCACCGGGTCAATGACTACGGCGACAGCTCTCTGATTGAGGGCCTCAAAGGATTGCTGAGTGTTTATATCAACACCTGCAATTGTGCCTTTTGTCTAAATAAAATCATAAAGATTACCCGACATCCAGCACCCAAAACCGGGATGAGAGTGATACCAACCTAAGAACATAGTACTTTAGCTGCCGCAGCACATGGGGTCAAGAGGAGCGCACCGACGACCATCTCTGGTCGCCCAGTTTGCTTGAGCATCTCGAGCATTTTTGTTTGAAAAACTGGGTCTACAGCTTCAACCTGCAATGCAGCTTCAAAACACACTATGTAGGCACATACACGCAGACTGAATACGCTCACGCCCGTCCCCGACTGTGGCATCGCAAACACCTAAGACGACATAACACATGGCCATCACGTGCGAAAGGAGGTACAGTTACATCAACGCAATTTATAGTGTAATCGTCGATAAATTGTCCTAACATCAAACCCATTACTTCCATGGGTACACCAGCTCGACCTGGACAAATGTGCGAGGATCCTTGAGCATGCACGTACCATGCTTAAGCATTTTTAGTAGCGCTAGAGAGGAAATCTGAACTTTTTCAGCTGTATCCACGAGTGGTGCGTCAGCCGGAGCCGCGCCGCCTCCCAAACCGGGGAGGTTTCCAAAAAAACGAGATACCCTGTCCATCGTCGCGCTCGAGGGGGGAGGGATCGAGGGGGGGGGTCTCTACGACTTACCACGGTACTCTTACCAGCTTGTACCAGCGGGCCGCGGGAGATTTCCGGGACGCGTAAGAGACAACAGACGGCCGCTAGCGCGTTTGCCATCAAGGTCGAAGTGGCCGTGGCGCGCGTCGGCGGCGTGCGGCACGCCTCGCACACGTGGGCCCATGTCCGCCTGCACGTGGTTGCGGAAGCGATATTACGAATAGACAGAGTCGCCGAGATCACCGGAAACGGCCCGCGCGCGCCGAAACTCCTGGCGGGCGACGCTTTCGCGGCGCGCTGCGCTCGGAGCCAAGTCACTCTGGCGGTCGCATCCAGTAGAGAAATCGTTCACACGGGGCGTATGAGGTGCTCGTAAAGCCGGATATGGTGGCAGACTCGTGTTTTCTCTCTCACACGTGGCGCCTCGGCGGAAATCGCGGCGGCTAGCCAAGTTGGCACCGAAAGGGCGGGGCTGAGTAAAAAATTTCGGCGTTTTAGGGGGAAAGTGTGGGATCGGGGACCCGGTCGATTAAAGCCCGGTCGATAAAAATGCGCTGGTTTTGCTTTTTTAAATTCTTTATACTACTCAGGCTCAACCCGTCTTCCGGCTTTGCGAGTCCGCAAGTCCAGGTTTCCGACTGATCTCCAACCTGAGGAGCGTATATACCTCTCCAGACATAAAAAATAGGATGTCCAGGAAATTCGGCGGGAATCGGCCCGGCCCGGGCGTAGCTCTCCCAGCCGCTATTATTAGTCTTCCTAGAACCCTCTGTATGATCGATATAAATTTTACTGAACTTTCTTCTCCCGCAGACAGCGTCTCCAACGGACTCCGCTGCTGGGTTATTTTTGAAGCGCACAAAACCCGTTTACATGAAAACCACTGTTATACGGGCTAAACAGTACTTTAGGCAAAGGAGTCGACACAAGCGAGCCAAGGTATGCTCAAGCCGCGCGGGTTCGTGCCCTGGGGCCTTCCAGGGCCAACCCGCGGGCGCCGCCATGGCCGCGGCAACGCCGCCGCGTTGGCCACGAAAACGAGGGGATTGCTCGGATGGGGGGAGGTCGGGGTGGGGCCCACAGAATATATCCCCCCCCTTCCTATGCAGCCCTCCGGGCGGCCTTGGGCATCGAAACGGACCTGGTAGCAAATAAAATACAGCAGCCTACTTTTTTAATGTATGGACGTAGTGATTAGAAACGGATCACTGATTTGCAAATCTCTGATTATGATTCGCGTCACGAGATCAGAGAATCAGCTCGGTAGCGAATCTGATGACGAGCCCGAACTTCAGGTGTTGGACAGCGGCAGACACAAAGCGGCACTTAGCCCGCACTTGGGCAAGCAGCGCAAACGTCGGCTTAAATTTTTTGTCGTATTCCATGGCGACCGTGCCTCTCGCCGGCTGCCGCATTCAGTACGCATCAAATGCCCGCGCGATGACTCCTGGGGTAACGGCCTGTTCTTTCCTTTGTCCCTCGACGACGTAAACGCTTCTTTTCTTAGTTTTGCCGTAGGTCGAGACCACGCTTAGTCAAGGAGGCTTTCCTCAAACGCTATGCCGAGATTCATCCGCAAACACCACTTCAGATGGAATCTACATATTTGGTGGACGCATTTGGGACATTAGTGGCAGACGATGATGAGCTGTCTCTATATGTGCAATGTGATGGTGTGCTACATGTGATGTTGGGTAATGACAGAGAAAAAGAACCGCCAAACGCTGTCATTCAATGGGGATATGATTCCCTACAATCAACAGAGATAATCAAACCCCGGCTCATTAACTCTGTCTTTCAAGCGCGAGTCGTCTCTGTCGATTGTGGCTGGCTACACACAGCAGTTGCTCTTGAATGTGGTGCCGCATTAGCCTGGGGAAACAATAATTTTGGACAGTTGGGCACAGGCAATGAAATCAAATCAGCAGAGCCAGTGCTTTGCAAGATGAGTCGCGAAGTTCGACTTTGCAAAGTTGTCTGTGGTTCATACTTCACCGTTGCTATCGATGACAAGGGTGAGCTTTGGTCATGGGGCCGGTATCAATCATCAAACTGGCCGGGGCTATTCACGGAAACATGGGCAAATGGTTACGACAAACAAGGAGACAAGGGCATAAAAGGTGAAAAGATTCTGGCTGTTGCCGCTGGTGAATCCCACGTTGCCTGTGCTATGGCGAGCGGCAAGCTCTTCTCTTGGGGTTACAATGAACATTGGCAGCTTGGCTGGGGTCAAAACGAGGCATATCACCATGGTCAGCAAAAGCCGCGAGAGGTAAAACTGCCAGGCCTCTCAACAATTAATCCCATATCTGCGCTCAGCTGCGGTGGCTTACACACAGCCGCTGCCCTCAGGGACGGGAAGCTTTTTGCCTGGGGCAGTAATAGCGAGGGGCAGCTAGGCCATGTTCTGCGAAAATGTTTTGGCAGGCCCCAGGGAGTGACTTCTATGGAGCACGAACATTGTGCATCAGTTGCATGCGGTCGCTACTCAACACTCTGCACAACAGAGAGCCACTGCTCTTACTTTTGGGGCAGTTTAATAGGCTCAAAAGACCCAGAGATATCAGTTTCTGATCCGCTCCAGACTGAAACAGCGCATTGTACAAACGAAGCCTCAGAATGCAAGTTTTCTGGTGTCGCAACATCACGAGTGCTCGCAGGCGCTGCCAAGCAGCTGTTGGGCACTGAAGTAAATTTCGGTACTGTTGGCGAAGCTCATGGAATTCTTCTGCTCAGAAATGGCATGGTACGCGGCTGGGGCTATAATGCATATGGTCAAGCGCTAGGTCACGTCAATAATAAAACCGACATCGTTGACGAGCCAACACAATGTGATCTTGGAGACACGTACAATCCATCCTCGGAGGCGAAGATACTCAAGATGTGTACCTCCGGTGGTATGTCCACTTTCCTTGTCTCTAGCACAGCCTCCGGTGCGCTAAGCTAAATAAATGTATGTGAGGCTGGGTGCTTTCCAAAACAAACAAATCCCCAAATGGGCATTGAAATCAGAAAGTATGCTACACGGCCCCACTGGACCTACTTGGCCACTGGACGTCCAAAAGAGCCCGGAAGAACCCAGCAGAAGTAGGACTACGTTTACTTGACGTTGACATGGGGGAAGTTGAAGCTGGGATACTAGGGGGAGGGCCGGCCAGACTCTCGGAGGGCCTGCTGCCTGAGCGCCGATAGCTGCGCCGATATGGGATCGCGGCGGTGAAATGGCCACATCGCAAATTAACAGCCCCTGGCGCCACCAGGGTAGATGCGGGCTGGTGCGGGTAAATGCGGGTTGTAAGTAACCTGTTAATAACCCTCGGAGGGGATTCGGAGTTAATAACCCGGTCGGTCATAACACGTGTGACGGTAGCTGACTCCCTGAAGGGGGTCGGACTTGGGGTCACAGACTGCTATTTGAAAAACGGGCAAGGGCACTCGCTGGTCTGGGACGCATCTCCGGGAGCGAACGATAAGATTAGCTCGAACTCCAGTCTAAACAAGGACGCGGACCCAAAATTTAAGATTCGAGTTCCCAGCCACTTTTCCGGGGGCGAATTTTGATCCCGAGACCGGGCTGGTGGAAAGGGGTCACTCGGGTACTTATGTCGTGGCGTTGAGCCAGTTTTTACACCATTTTTATGATTTTAGAGGTCGACCTTTGGCCATCTCTAGACTCCCCTGGACCATGCTCCTTTTGCAACTGTTTACGAAGCTGCTTGATTTCCATTTTTTGAGTTTCAATTACTCTCGTGTTTGCATCATGTGCAGATTCCATCTATGGTTTTTGAGTTACAAAATGTGTGAAGAAAGATGACTTACTTGAACGATTCGGGCATCGCGATCAGACAATAGATTTAGTGCCCTTGTAGATCCTCGATAAAGTCTTTTTTGAGTCGGTCGCCAAGTAGGCGGCTTCGGTTCTCTATCGAATTTACGTCTTGGAAACCCCTGACTGCCAGATGATTCCAATGGTAAATCAGCTGCCTGCAGCGCTAGACTAGGGCCGAGCGCGAAATGACTTTCACCATGAGTGGGGGAGACATGATGTTGCGCCATTTTGTGCGACTGGGGTGCCTTGCGACGCTTTTTTTCGTCGTGGTCCTTCATTACTTGTCGCAAATGACTGATATCTCGTGCGAGTGATAAGCTTTCGCCTCTTAACGAACTGCATTCAGCAATTAAGAGTGAGTTTTCGCCTAATCGCGAGTTGATGCAAGGAAAATGTGAACAAAGACATACCAAGTCTGGCCCTCTGCAGCCGCTGGGCATTGCCCCTTTCAACCCAAAGACGATGCTCTGAAATCTCTGTGGCTTTCTGAGCACGAATTCGCTGTGAATGCGCCTCAACTAGTGCATTATCCAGACCATAAGGATAGACTTGTCTGCATTCCTGATGTTCTTCAAAGGAATTGCCACTCGATCGATGTTGTGATCCTTCATCTCTTATATACTTGCAATATGCATTTTTGACTGCGTCTTCCAAGTCCTTCGGTGTCGTAACCTCAACCAGCGTGGACAACATGCGCTTAAAGGAGGCAATATACGCATCTCTCTCCCGAAGTAAACCTCGTAAGGTTGCAGTCTCCTGTCCCAAAGAGATTACTTTTGAGTCCTTGGAATTTAGCTGTTGCTTCCTCCTCTTCCTCTCGTAATAGTCTGCTTCTAGTTCATCGTACATCGCGGTAATATGAGCTTCTAGACCCTCAACATGTCGAGTGATAGGCCCTCGTTCCTGTACGAGTCGTTGTACTCGATGATCCAGCACAAGCCGGAAATTATCCAAAGTCACATTTTTTCGCCGAAGATTTAAAATGGAAAGTTCTTTGTCTTCAAGCGTAGACTCGCGCTCTTCCATGTGGCGCTTAAAGTGTCGTAGGGTGGCTTCAAGCTTCGCATTGCGTACTTTCTCGGCTGTCAAGAGGACATTCCGAGCATGACTGGCAGTCTTGAGCGCATCCAGACGCTTATCAAGTCGTGAAATTTTTGTATTTCGAGCCTGAATTAGGCCCCTAGCTTCAGCTGTACATTCACGTTCGATAGCCAACTCTGCTTGAGCAGCAGCCATAAGTTGTTGAAGCTCTGTTTCGTACTCATGCTCTTGCTGGTCAAGAACCTACCGTAATGCTGCTGGTCAATACCTACCGTATCACAATTCTCTATTTACCTCCCGGAACATATGTTCATTGTGCTTTGCATCTTCGTACAGGCGCTCTATTTGTTGGCGCAGCTCCTTTTCGACGCGTTTCGTGCGTCCTTCTGCATCTCGAATCGCAGCCTCGTGTTCTATTGTTTGGGCTTGCAATAAGCTTTCGCATCTCTGTTGAATGGATTCTATTTCTTCAGACAGATGGTCAAAGCGTTCCAGCTCGAGAGCTAGCTTGTGCTCGTATTGATTTTCAAGCTCAATGGTGGCTTTCTCGTTTTTTGAGCTTGGGAACTCTTCAGGATGATCTCTGGTAGGAGACTTTTCGGGCGTAGTCATCTCCTGACATTCAGATCCAAGCAGCGTCAACAAAGCAGCTTTGACACGCACCAAATCGATCTGATAACGCGTTGGATTCTAGGTAGTATAGTACACTAAAATCAACGTACTTGGTATTCTTACTGCGGTATATGGGCCTTATTATATCTATTGGTCCTCAGGCTTGGGCCGCGGGCCTAGCCGCCCCATGCGTCGTCCTGCCACCGTGACCGTGACCCCGCGGCCAACCCGCAGAGACGTCGCCGATATCCCCGCGGCCACTACGGGCAGTCGTTTCAAAGTTTTAGGCGCTCTCTGGCTCAGCTGCCGCAGTGAGGCTGCGTGCGCGCGGGTTTATTAATAAAAGCACGCGTAAATTGCGCGTAAAACACGGCGTGATTTGCGCTGGGCCGTTTCTCACGTAAAAAAACGCCCGGCTGTGCGTAATTTGCGGAAAAGAGCCTAAACTTGAAACTAGTAACTAAGGACAAAGATCCTCATCTTGCACTTTTTGTTAGTGATAATGGTATCGAGACAGAAACTTATACGAGAAGAATGTTATACTTCTTGGGTTGCAACTGGCAAAAGTTACCCAAGCTCATTAAGTACTTCAAGGAACATTCTGCCGGCGCACGTAGAGCAAAGATATCAGAAGACTATGTCGCAATCTGCAAACCTGGTCAAAGCTACATATCGAACATAGAAAAATGTCAGTCTTCTCCACACGGTTATGCCCTCAGAAGAGGCATTCTCTGGAGAACCGCGTTTGCCATAGAATGTGAGAGAGAGATTACCTGAATTCTCAAGATTTGTTAGGTTGCAGACCGAGACACCTCCAGGTTGGCCTCTCGATCCCGATCAGGATGAAGAGGATGGCTATAAGAGGTCAATAAATCTTGGCAACACTTGTACAAAGGAACAATTTGACATAATGAGTGCACAACTGTACAAGCTGCTGGTCGTCTTTTTAGATGTCAAAACGCACAAGGGAGGTCCAAATTGCAACGACTTCCTAAGCCATTGAATGATATTTTAGACGCACCCGAGGATATCGACGACAGTAGATGGGTAGCTTCCCGATCAAGCACTCCGATATTCCGCAAGCATTTATTCAGTCCGATCTTGATTCAAAGCAGTCATATATGGACCTACCCAAAGGTATAAGGTAACGGGACACCGACGGCAAGCTTCACACAACTGTTAAGCTCAAGCGGGCCCTGTATGGACTGAAACACAAGATGACGAGGAGAAAGGAGATGGAACTTCATATACCCAAGTAGTTATGATCGCTTTAGATCACATTGTCGCCACTCAGGAGCGTCAGCGGATTGAAATAGCAGGCATGAGTGATCCATTACACAGATATGCTCTCCGCATTCTCGAGAAGCAACTCAATGAGCCTGACGCACCTTCTCCTAGTACGACTCCTCGTACTCCACAAGTGAGACGTGCGGTACGCTTTGACCCTAATGAAGCTCCTAGCTCTTATGGTGGCCCAAATGATTGCTAATTATTCGACATCTCAACGCTACATTACCACGAACTACGACCACCACGACCTACCACAAAACAATCTACAGAACACTCTACCAATTCTTCTGTGTAGTATTAAGTGTATTCATTGAGAGGCAAATGCCCATGTGCTACCTGATGATATTTACCAAAATGCACAGTTCAATGAAACGAACGAAAAGGATGGAGGACAATTTTCACCCCATATTCTCCTAAGGGAAACAAAAGCTTACCCTCATGAAAAGGGGGAGTGCGATAAATAGGGCGAAATACCCCCCCCCCCCTATCCTATACCCTTCCTATACACTTACATCACCCTTCAACACGCAACGCGTAATAAACACAGTTAAAACCAAAACTACTTAGTGTATTTAAGGTAGCTCCGCGGCAGACTATCTCAGCCGCCGTACTCCCAAAGGTGCGTACTCCTTTGGTCTTGCATAATCGCAACTTCGCGACCGCGTCTCGCCTCGAAAGTGGACCCTTCCCCCCAGCCCGGTCACGGGGCGTACAAAGGGACCCCACAACCAAAATCGCCGGCGGCCAAGTGGCTGGGAACTCGAATCTCAAATTAGGAGACCGCCCCCGTACCGTCACGGTAACTACTAACTAGTGCAGTTACTAGTATAACGGCTGCCAGGAGCGGGAGGGCCAAACCATTTTGAGATGACCATTTTCGTGCATCTCCCATTGTTTGTGTATGCCCGTGCACGGAGAGGATTCAATGTATTTAAAAATCGGGCTCCCCCTTCAAGTTGTCAGGACCCCATTCAGGAATACAGCCTTGCCAGTGTGGATTTCTTTGCATGCTGAGTAGTATTTCGCGTGATTCCTTAGTTTTGTGTACAGCTCCAACAAGCATGAGCCTACGAAAGGGGGAATGGAGGAAGTTCTTGAAGTTCAAGTTGTTGGCGCCCAGTAGCAGAACCGCAAAGATTTTTGTAAGTTTGCTGCGAGTCGCCTGATTTTGAGTGTTTGGCGTAATTTTTGTGGCGTTAAAAGGGATGAGATAACAACCACTGCAATGAATCTAGTAGCGACTTTTGCCACCGCCAGGGCGACTGTAGCGGCCGCCGCCGCCGTAACTGTTTACTGTCCCACACTGTTGTTGGAGGGCTGGAGGCACAGGCTGTCCAGCATCGGTAAGAATTTTGCAGAGGCCCGTAGCCCACTTGCCGGACTTCATAGTGAAGAAGGAAAGAGCAGTGCCCTTGTTGCCTGCACGACCACAGCGGCCAATGCGGTGAACGTAGTCCTCTAGATTAGAGGGAAAGTCGTAATTGACGACCATTTTGATATCTTTGATGTCCAAGCCTCGCGCAGCGACGTCTGTGGCGACAAGTAACGAGCACTGGCCCATGCGGAACTGACCGAGGACCCAGTCGCGCTCATCCTGTGACTTATCCCCATGGATGCACCTTGCTGGAAAGCCCGCGTGCTGTAACGATCTTGTGAGTTGGTCGCAGCCACGCTTCGTCTCAACGAATACCAGCATCTTCTCGACACCGTGCTCCTTGAGGAACGCGGTCATGCGGGGGTACTTGTCCTGGTCCGAGACGACCTCAACATGCTGTGCGATGTCCTTGTTAGCCGCCAGTTCCAGCGACCCAACAGTGACCTGGTAGTAGTCCTTGAGAAAGTCGTTGGCCATGTTGCGCACCTCGCGCGGCCACGTCGCCGACCACATGAGCGTCTGGCGGTCAGGGCGGATCTGCGAGACGATCTTCCGGAGCTGCGGCTCAAAGCCCATGTCGAGCATTCGATCAGCCTCGTCGAGCACGAGGTATGTCACACGACGCAGGTTTGTCACACCTGATTCCAAGAAGTCGATCAGGCGGCCCGGCGTCGCAATTACGATCTCAACGCCGCGCTGGAGGTCACCCGTCTGGTGGCGTTTTGGTGCGCCGCCGTAGACACAAGTGTTCTTTATCTGCGATGACGCGCCAAACTTGTCACATTCGACCTTGATCTGCACGGCGAGTTCGCGAGTCGGTGCAAGTACGAGAACTATGGGGCCGTCACCTGGTTGGAGGTATGGCTGCGCGTTTATGTGGATCATGCCTGGTAGTAAGAATGCGAGAGTTTTGCCAGAGCCTGTCCGACTGATGCCAATCATGTCGCGTCCGAGTAGCGCCATGGGCCAGCCCTGTGCCTGGATTGGAGACCTGAGTGTCAATCAAATGGTTCAAATTAGCCTGGGTGTTGTCTTCTCAATGCAGCGATGAGGTGGAGATCGTTCGCCGTCTCTTGGGGACAGCGCCTACGCCATCGACGCGACTCTCTACGTAGAGCAGCTCAACTATATTTGAAGGTACCTTGGACTGCTTGGACACTGTGGAGACGGCTCCTTGAATCCCTGCTTGATCACTTCAGAGAGTACGTAGTCTGGCATCGACGCCTCCTCAAACGTGTAGACGGGCTTAGGCACGCCCCGACCCTCGATTGAGACCTGCTTTTTCCCGCGCCATGCCTCGGCTTCAGCAGCCGACCGCTTTGATACCTCCGGGTGCTCAATGTAGAAGTTCTTCTCGAAAACGGGCAACTGCGATAAGTCCCACTCGATGTGCCGCAGGCCCGCGCCAAGCCCTCCTCCTTGGCCGCCGTAAGCGCCCCTGGTGCCGTACATGGAATTGTTGCCTCCATACGTACCGCCGTAGTACATATTGCTTTCCGCGTGGCGCCAACTCGCTGGCGAGGATGATCGATTGCGCGAGCTCGGCCCACGGCCTGCTTCCAGCAGTATTGAGTTGGCGACGCAGCTTTGCTGAAGCCTTATGTTACGGTACCTACGTTATTAGAGGGATAAATCGTGGCAGCCCAGATGACCTTATGATTCTCGGACATACGTTTTCAATCTGCAACGGACGCTTCCCACGTCGGGTTTTTTACCCTGCGCTCGGATAGCACTAAAATCGACGGGGTTTAAACCTCGCGGAGCAGCCCCCGGCCGGGCAAAAAAAAGGTCCGAGGGCAGCTAACCGTGGACTCGGAGTAGTTCACACCTTCATTTCTCTTGATGGTGTTCATATAGCTCTGTTTGGCCATTTCTCGGTCCGAGTCGCTACCAGATAAAAACACTGGCAAAAAACTTGAATTGAAATAATAGTAAATTAAGGAAGACTTAAAGAAAGGCCCTTGATGGCGGTTTTCTACTACACCTCTTTGGGATTTGTACCTTGCCACGGCCAGTGTTGTTAAGGGGGGTGACCCCCGAACCCAAATGATACGAAGCTCTATACCTAGGCGTCCGGTGTTCCGGCAAGTCGAGCCAGGGGGGCCTAGGTACCCCTCTGGGACGTGACCGAAACGGGCGGGCGAAACGACTTTAGTGGCCTGCGAACGTCGCCAGCCTGAATCGGAGTCATGGTGGCGTTTCGTGCCACGTCAGGCGACCTATCTGGCAGCCCATCGGGTACCCGGCCGCGCCTACGTATCTTCCCCACGCCATAGGTACCGAGGCCCCCTGGGAGACCAAATTACCAGCATGGAAGCGAGGTTTTATTTTCATCCTGAAAACCCGCAAGTTAGGCTAAGTCCGCACGTTAGGCCCATTTGGGCACGCGAAAGTGACCCCTTTCCCCCAGCCCTGTCTCGGGGCGTACAAAGGGACTCTTTGGGGCCCGTATCCGAAATTGCCGGAACACAAGTGCCAGTGGCTGGGAACTCGAATCTCAAATTAGTCCGTGTGTGGACATCGTAACTGACATACTACTAATAACTGTCGTTTATTGGAAGCATTCAAGTTCAGTCAGGGGGATGAGTGTTCTTAAGAGCGATTACGCTCTGGGGCAACACGCAGTCCCTGTCTCTCTCGAGCTCGCCTAGGTAGCCCTTGGGACCCTGGGGACCTCGTTTTGTGATGTGTCCTCTCATCTCGATTTCGTCTTTTATTGAGTCATTTAGTGGTGGCCGGTGAACGCGTAAGTCGCGGTGGCGTTTCGTGCCGCAATTGAGTCGCGCAATGTACTAGTATTTTTTGGCAACACCATCTAGTATCGAGTTTATTAGCCTGAGGGTATTAAACCTGACCGGGTTGTTCGCCCGATGCTCTCTTGGGGACAAATTGGAGGCAAGTTGCCGATGATTCCAATTCTAGGTCATATTCATTGCCCTCTTTTATTGCCAGTGTACTTCCAGTAAAGTCACAGACCACCAGCGAGCTACTATACCACGTCGCTGTTTCCAGCTACTGTATGGTTAGGGCTGCGTGCAAAGGGCATCATTTTGCCGTCCCCTCAGCCTCTTTTATTTCTTGTGCATCCTCGACGGCAAAGACCCGAGCACGTTCTTTTTGTTTTATTTGCTTAATGACATCGCTCTGTAGGTTGCTGGCTAGTTCAATTGCGTCGACAATGAGAGCATCAACGCAGCTACTTGAGCTGATATGATTATTGGTGGTCTCAACTACACTATCGAATAACCATGGGATGAAGCTATCCTGAATCTCCTTCTCAACAGGATCAACAAAGTGGCCTGAGTCTTCAAGCTGGTCGAAGGCAAGCTCGGAAAGATTCGCAAGATAGCTCCTGGCAAATGCACGGGCTGCAACCTTTTGCCCAAGCTCTGCCTGCTGACGAAGCCGGTCCGTCTCCTGAGTGAAACGCCGCTGCTTTTCTGCGAAACGCCTCGAGGCTTCTGCATCAAGGCGCTGGACCTCAACAAGCTCAGCATTCCGCATTTGTTCAAATTCCATCTGGCGGCGCTGAATAGCATCAAGCTCGGCCTCTTCCATTACCTCCATCATTGAAACGCGCAGGGTCTTACCAACTAATACCTCGAGTATTGGCTTTACCTCAATGTCAAAATCAAAAAGGTCACCGCCAGGTATATCCGTTTCTTTGTCAACTCCAGTCTTTGATGGGATGAACAAAGGCGATGGAGGTCGGTCCAAAATAGCCTCAGTTTGCGTCACAGCCTCACTCTCCACCGGGCGATCAGACAGTTCTTCGAGGAAAGTGTCTGTTTGAGCTTTGATGTGAGCTCTCCCTTCTGCGGGCGGAGGGGTGCTTGGCTTAGCTAGCCGCTCCTTGCGTTGGCATGTTGCGTCCCTCCGTAGCGTCCGCTCGCTTTCATATCTCATACGCTCAACTTCCCGCTGCGTGTTGTGAGTTACAACCTGGGCGGCGTACGTATTGCCGCGTACAACACGTCGATCAAACATTATGTTGTTTGTTATTATGTTTTCTTCGTCCTCTGCTCTGTACGTCGTTTTTTTCATCTTTGACAACAAGGGCTTAGGAGAAGTTGTGTGTGTGTAAGCTGAATTAGCCATGTTTGAGTGCGTTAATTTCGATATAATATTATACTGCGGTAGGGCTACAATGTACAGAAGAAAGTACAACGCTCGTTCCACGGGTGGGCCGCCTAGCGCTAGCGATTAAAGTGACTAAGTGACTGACTACTAACTTGCAATTCCAATTTCAAATGCAAGTGCTCCAGTCCAAGTGCTCCAGTACAAGCTCGTATCTCAAGCTTAGGAGGAGAGGCCGCATCCACCGCCGCGCTAGGCGCCCTTGGGCGTAGCTCGTCGTCGGTCGTTGATAGAGGAGTGCCCTGAGAAACCAGTTTAAGAGTCGATTTTACTTCTTTGATAATGGTACCTACGGTACCTACGGTGTATTACGGTCCCATGCCGCGCCGGGAGGCAAGTGCGAATGCACGCTGCAATAGGGTAGAACTAGAGGGCGGTGGAGAGGTGAGGTCACTAGTATTACGCACGCAGCTTGGGTTGAAGCAGCATGCCAGCCGTAGAGCTTTCGAGGATGCAGTTGTAGCTCTCAATGATCTTGCGGCTTACCCTGGAGACGATTCATCGTGTGATAAGTGGCTCTACCAAGCCATCAGTCGCGCAGTGGAAAACAAGGTCACGAATATCCACGCGTTGCTATTGGCGGATGTTCTTAAAGAACGACTAGAACGACGAGCAGATGCGTGGTCTTTCACTGCAGTAGCACTCGGAGCGGGAGCTAGCGTGAATGCTGCACGGCTGCAACTTAACAGTATCGTCACCACCCCAAGCTTAAAGGGGGCAAAAGCACTGGCTGCTAAAGGTGCGTGGAGTGCCAGGGCTATTACCACATTACTCTATGTGATGTCCACAGAGGAGCAATGCAGGGTGCAGTCAATATCTCCGCGAGAGTATGCAGACAAACTACGAGCGACACTTTGGAAAGGTGCTTTTGCACTTGAGGCGGCATCTCCAGAATTGGCAGACATAGCATGGACCTGTAGACGCACAGCATTAGAAGTACTTGTCGCCGTAGCACCTGAAGCTGTGGATATTGTCACGAGTGAAGCCCTACATGGCCTTTCGACACACAAAAAGATGGCTCCTGCTTCTGTTGTTGCTCGTGTGCAGTGGTTTTCGTCTCTTGACGGACAGCTTGATCCGTGGAGGGCCACGCCACACATCATGTTTGAGTGGTGCACGCGACGCGCGATAACTTTAGACGCATCTGGCGATAAGCTTGGAGCGGCGCGCGTCCGAGCTAGGGGTCGGGCACAGCTAGGGGACTGGCCATTGTTTCACGGAGTTCTTTACTGTTCAGATCTTGGAAAGCAAAGAAAGCCAACAATAGCACTTGCCGAGGCTAACAGGTGTTTTAATTGTGCCCTGGAGATAAGTAAGACAGACCAATATATTTCTTCTGTGTGGCGGCGTGCATGGATAGCACTTTCTAATGCGCCAACCGCATTTGGACATTACTCTGATTCAAAAGCATGTGGCTACTCACATTATGAGACAGTTCTTCTTACTCTGGCGCGCCATGAATGGGGGAAGTATATGAAGGAAAGTAGTGCATGCAACCAGCGTGCAGATGCATGTTGGCTTGCAGCCAGTTTTGCTGCCAAGCGTAGTGCGCTCGACAAAGTAGCCACACATTCCAAGTCTGCTGAGGGCATGTCGTCAGCTCAGCGAGCTGCGATGGGCTATGCAGCAACTGGCCTCGTAGTTCTTCGCAGAGCAACAGATACTCGTACGTTTGGCGTGGCTGCTGCACTTCTAAAACGTGCTAGTCTGCGGACAAGTGGCAGCGCCGTGCCATGGATTGGGATTGCAAATTGTCTGGACCGGCTTAAGCGAGACTTTGATGCTGCTGCGGCTGCTGCGTGGTCGACCTGCTACTGCATTGACGAGGCCTCGATTTTTGATGCTGTCACATGCTATTCGCGGGCTGTAGTTAACACTATGTTACCTCCATCCCTCCTCGACTTACTCCAATCTTCAGGTTTGATGCATGTCAAGGATGTACTTAGAAAAAGACTCGGGATCTGCGAAAGACAAAGTAGCATCTCAACATTTATCACTGCGGCCGAGGAGCTGGCAACATGTGATGTAGCTAGAGCTGCGCTAACATTGTCTCGCGCGAGTATCGCGCTTGTGCGCCGAGGTTCTTATACTGCTGGTGCCGTACTTGCAAATTATTGCATGGGGTCACCAGGTTCTAATTCAGCTACTGATTCCATTGCGTGTTGCTCCCTAGCATTAGCAATAGGCTGCGAGTCGAATGCAAATAATCATTACAGAGATGTGACCCACGAAGCATCTGCGCTTTCAGGCCTTGAGGGGCTGCACGATCTACATTCAGTACACGTAGAACATCTGGCGTTAGCGACAGCATTGTTGCGGGATGCATTTGCATCTGTCGAAAACGTCATTTGTGAGATTCGTTCATGTGGTGCACTGGCGAGGCTAGTACCACAGCTGCACAGTGCAATTATCGCGTCGTCTGCGATTGCGGCTCTTCGTAGTGGATCAATAGGGCCGTCTTCTTCGATGTTAGTCACTGTCGGTGGGGACTCTGTTGTAGCACCATTTGAAAATCTATGTTGCTGTGAGGTTGGAACCCCGCCTTACTTCGATGACCGGCATCATTTACTTCGTGTGCAAGGCAAGCCGAGTGGCAACGTAGCTGAAGCACACCTAGCTATTGCGTTGGACGAAGCACTTATCCATATGCAACGGCGAGCAGCTGCAGAAATTGGGCTTGAAATGTTCGCTACACAAATGCATCTTGCAAATATTTCGGGCGCCACAAATGCTCTTGGTTCTCTCGAGATACTTTCGAGGTTCCCACCTTGCTGGTGTGAACGCAATTTATATGCCATTCGAGATTCTGCACAGTCGAAGGCAATGATCCAGGGTGTACTCTGGCTTCATCTTGCACGGCTCTGGCTTGTTCGGGGATGCAGTGCACGTGCATCCAAATATGTACAGCGTGCAGCTAGTATCAAGCAATGTCACAAATTAAGGCAGGCGGCAAGAGGGCTTGAATTGTGTCTTGCTATCTCCTTGCAGGATTGGGGTGATGCAGCATTGGTTCTAGACCTTGCTAGTCATGATAATAGCATCGACTTTCCTGAGAATATCCGATGTCTTGAGCAGGTTCTTAATGAGGGCGATCTACTTAGGCGCATAGGTAAACTGGAAATTGCAGGTAGGTGCTACAAGTCAGCAAGTAAAGTCCTCAAAGTCATAGACGAATGCCTCACTGAATCGTCACCTTGGCAGGTCGATGCCATCAGTGGCAAACAAAGTCACGCTGGCTTATTGCGGCATTGTCAGCTTCTTATAAGCAGCGGCGCCCGTCTTATCGACATTGGATGTCGCAGGTCTCGGGCAGTGGCCACTTATCGCGAGTCACTGCGCATTCAGTCATCATCCATCATGCTAAGAAGTTCCTGGCTTAGATACCGCCTGGCTCGACAACTTTTCAATGTGGCATCTAGCAACACTGCTGCTGCATCGGAAGTCCTGGATTTGCTTCGTCATGCCTTTAGTTATGCCCGGCGAAAATGCGAGTGGAAACTTGCGGCAAAGAGTGCTCGCGCCCTCACTGTGGCTGCACTTCACTTTGTCCCAGGTGCGGTTTCGTCCCCACTTGTGGCGCTTCTCGCACACTCGTCATTGGGACGTGCACGCCATGCGTTTGCTACTTCTAACGACTCAAATAGCCTCTTGAGCCGAGCAATGGCAGGAGTAGATGATCTCCTCATGGGCTTACTTGAAGTTCCAAATGCAGGAGCTCTAGGCTGGTGCGACACTCTTGAAACACATGATCGGAATGTTCTCGATCGGCTGCTGGCGCCGTTTCCTAAAACGTTTTCCCTTGTTGCAGGTTTCATATCGCCAACAGGGCACCTTGTGATTTCACGGCTTCAGCGTGGTCAACAACCAATCACACTATGCTCAGGCCTCCCAGAAAGCTGGTACGATTCAGATACTTCGACTTCTCCCCTTGGAACTTCTGCTAAGGCTCTGAAGGCCTCTGCTGCTGGTCTTCGCGCAGATGCGTCCTTGCTGCCTCAACGTTCGAAGCTGCTTTTTACCAGCAGGAGCAATCATACTGCTGCGCGCAGAATCTGGTGGTGCCAACGGCACTCTCTCGATTCAGTCCTACATGCTGGGCTTGTTGGCTTTGACAAGTCTTGGCTTGGTGCAATGCGTGCGCTTTTTGCAACGAAGCCTGCGTCCATACTCCGTCCTAAGCAAAGTGCCGAAGTTCCGATTAGTGTTGAATACCAGATCATGCAGCTATGCTTCTGGGCTGCACCCAATATAACTCTACTGGAAGCCAACACGCTTCTCTGTGCCAGTAGGTTTGGGGTTGTTGACATAAGAGGAACCGCTTCCCCCTGCATCATGAAGATGTTGCTTCGTCTGTGGCTCACTCTTCTCTACAAGCTGACGATTTTGGATCTCAAGGCCGCTTTGGATGACCTGAGGCTCAGCAACTTGGGCCTAAAAAGGCCACTGCTTGGTCGGCTCGCTGGTGTGCTTCAAAAGGCGGCCATTACATCACAATGTGTGATGCAACCCCGAAAGGTAGCGAAAGCTCGCCAACCTATGATTTTAGCACTGGACAAGCAGCTCCAATTTTTGCCTTTCGAAGCTCTGTCTGTCCCACGTTCTGCACCAATATCACGCGTGCCTTCCCTCGCATTTGCATTATCACTTGCAACAGGGATGAATCTAAGTGTCTCGGATACCATCAATAATGATATTCCTATGCGTGCCTGCTGCGTTGTCGATCCACAGGCGAACTTGCCCTCTACCCGTCATAAGCTGGCAAAATATCTGGGCGATACTAAGACAAACGCCACGAGTGGTCTTGTGTGGTCATATGCTGCTCTCGGTGATATGCCACCCCGTGATGTCGCAGCACAGCTGACCGCCAAGATGCCGAACTGTGCTGCATTTCTTTTTTGCGGTCACGGCTATGGAGGCGCTTACCTGGAGTCTGCTGTTGCATCTAATTTCATGTCTGCAGTGCTGCTTATGGGCTGTTCCTCGGGTGCTCTCTCGCGAGTAGGTGATTTTGAAGCAAAGGGAATGGCTCTCGAGCTGCTTGCTAGAGGGACTCCGATCGTTGTTGCTATGCTGTGGGACGTCACAGATCGTGATATTGATCGTATCACTTTGTATCTGCTACAGTCAATGGCTAAAAGCCCAAGTTGTCCGATACCTGACATTCTAAACGCAGCTAGGAGAGAGACAAAACTAAGAAACCTTAATGGTGCCGCCCCAGTGTGCTATGGTCTCCCGATATCCCTCTCCATCATTGAGCATACGCGACGCTGTTCAAAATTTCATTGCAAGGACCAGAACTAAACTCAATCTTGGTGGCTCGGTGTAGGCTCGGTGGTGCATGACTCGACGATTCTATTAAGCTAACAACGTCCGATTATTTATTTAACTAGAATACATTATACGTCTAGGATGTCCTTGTGAGTTTGTGGTCAATCGTGCGCTTAGCTGCGGACAGGGCTCCTCCCAAAATAAGCTGGAACATTGCGCCAGTCAACCTGAGGTCACGATTACAGTGGCGTTTCGTGTCCGAGTCGCGTCCCCGCTAAGTAGTAGTAGAGGAGGAGGAGGAGGAGTTACAGTAAGTGCAATTTACGTGCGGCGTTTTTTACGTGAGAAACGGTCCAGCGTAAATTTACGCGTGTTTTACGCGCAATTTACGCGGGCTTTTTAATTATTTGTAAAACCCGCACATACGCAGCAGAGCGACTAAACGAGGCCTTGGTGGCCACCTAGAGTACGGCGCAAGCGCACACCTAGAGTACGCACCTCGCAACAGCATAAAACTAGCGATTGGCTCGGCTCCTTTTTTACGCCGTTTTTTACGTGCCAGTGGGACTCGGATCTCCTGTAGCGGTGCTTTACGCGTAGTTTGCGCGTTTTTCCCACGTAAATTGCACCTTAGGAGTCACGCCGGTAGTACCGGGGAGGAGTAGTACTAGTAATATTGCTTTGCTTAGCCAGGACCGCCTAGCCACTCGGCCGACCTCGGCTCATTTCCGTTGCCGTATGTTTTCTTTTAAAACCACTAGACCACCAGCTCCAGCTTGCAATTATTCGCCGGCGGTTCAGACAGCTCAAATACTGCAACATGAGCCACGAGTGTAATAGACTGCAGCATACCGTCCAAGACATAAGTAGTATATATATTTCATGTTGCAGGAGATACAAAGTAGTGCGTTTATCATTCATTTCAGTTTTAAACCTTAGATGAACTTACTTTTTTGGCAATTCCATCTCTTTTATCATAATTGTGATAAGGATTTGGTATATGGCTGCTGGGCTCGTCTGCGTCTGTGTAGTCTCGATTTAGGTCTATCACACCGGCCGAACACCAAGAACAGTGCCCTTTAAAGTGGTGTTGGCTATGAGAAAATGCGGGGCACGCAAGGTCCCACAGTTCCTCTTCGTTATTCCAAGTGGCACGGACTTCAAATTTCCGCTCCTCCCCAATGGGTATAAAATTTTTCATTAGAAACTCTTTTAGCTTAAGTTGTTTTGAAAGCTCACGAATCGTGTCGAGCATGTCCTCTCGTTCACGCTGGAACTCCTCCTGCACGTCATGAGCTTCTGCTTGGCACGACTGAAGCCTCTGCCAAAGTTTTTTTAGTTTCCTGGTCTTATCATCTGCTTCATCCTGCTTACTCGCATACTTTTCCTCCAGGGCAAATACATCCTCTTCCTTCGCCCGGACTTGGCGTGCAAGGGCCTGTTCTTGTTCTTTACGTTCCTCAAGTTCAAGCTGAGCGCGGCGTAACATCGCTTCCTGTTTGGCTGCCTTATCCAACAGTCTACCCCCCTGCATCAGTTTTTCTTGCATGGATCGTAATTTCCTCTCCAACAGAATGCGCTGCTTCTCAGAGTGCGCAGCGCGACCTGCTTCTGCATCGAGTTTTTGACGTAGCTTCTCATGCTCTTTGGTCGTGCGCGTCTGGGAGTCGATGACTTCTTTCATCTCAGCCTCAGCTCGGAGACGCATTTGTTCTGCTTCCTTATCCACTGTTGCTTTAAGCTCAGCCAGCTCTTCCTCCGTCGCTGCGCCCGGCACCTCAACAATTCTTTCCACTTCAACTATTTTCTCCACGACTTTTTCTTCCAGCATGAACTCATTCATAGTAGCCCTGTGATTTCTGTTGCCTTGGTTAGCTAACTGGTTTTTGAGCCGCTTTATCTCGTCCTGGAATTCACGGAGCATAGCGTCCTTGGGATCCTCGTTAATCTTTGGCTTATTCTTGATGTTTTTGGCTCGATTGGCATATCGTAAAGTCGAAATGGTCTCCTCAAAATTATAGCCTGCTGGGCCACAATTGGCGCACATCACTGTTTTTGTATTTCCGCCCAAAGAATCTTGAAGTAATCGAGTAAGTTTAGAGTCGCGGTATGGGATATGTTGTGACTTGCCATCAACAAGAGCAGATATCACATTTCCAAGTGCAGACAGTGAGAGATTAATTTTTGTGGCTTCTTTGAGTCGATGGCCAGTTGCTCCTGTCTTTGACTGCCGTTCTGACCCGGCCAAATCCACGAGATTTAATTTTCCTACGCGAATGTGCTCACCACGCTTCTCATCTACTTCTGCGCATTCCACAATGATTGTAAATATGGCATGAGACCGGGACGAACCAGCATTCATTAGCGTCTCCCCAACGGATCTATTTTTTTTACCTGCCTGCATAACTTGATCAATTTCATGAGACGACCTGACCACAAAAGAGGTCAGATCTTTGACGTATACACCCGAGTCCACATTTTCTTTGAGATCCAATCTATTTTTTGGTTCCTTGGACCTGTGTTTTTGACGCTATTACACACAACCATTTTAGAATAAAATAAACTATTTTAAAGATTAGTAGCCGACACGTGATAAATACAACAAGTCGCGTATCTCTTCGTTGTAAATCTCGAGGTATGATGCGCGCACTAGAAAGTGCTGTTGCTCCGCGGCGAGCGCCACCTTGTCGAAGATATGTTGAAATGCATTTGGGATAATGCCACGCAACTCGGGGGGTTCTGATAAACCTTCCATGGTAAAGGTCTTACCTGCACCTGTCTGACCATAGGCAAAGACTGTTCCATTGTAACCATCAAGTACCGCTTCCACTACCGTAGCTCCACATTTATCATAAATAGATTTCTGGTTGCAGCCGGAAGCAAAGACGGCGTCAAAAGTAAAGACTTTTGGTGGATCTGCGATATCAGATTTAGGGTTATTGCAGGTTATTGTGCCTTGATCTTCGTCAGCCACGGTCGTCGCAAGGTGCCCATCTTGCTGTTCCTTACGCGACAACGGTCGTACGCGTACAACTACCTTAACACTTTCATCTGGCATATTAAATTGACGGCCTTGCCGAGTTCTTATGACAGTCCAGTTGTAAAATCTGCCCTCCACCGTAGGTACCGGTACCACGGTACCTACGGTACTTGCTGGTACCGTAGGTACCGTAGGTACCGTACTGCGGTACCGTAGGTATCAGCGTAGCAAGAGTATGTCGCAGCGTTATGTAAGGTAGCAGGGTCCTAGCTCACCAGCCAGAGGCTGGGCCAACCTAACTACGAGAGTGTTTTTTAGCAAATTGGTTTACACCGTAGCGTCGATACACACTCAATGTATAGACTCAAATTTAGAGAGTGGGAGATACATATCTAGGGTAGGATGGGCTAGTAGGTTTCTCTCTCTACAGCGGATAGGTACCTGCTGTGCAGGCTAGTACTACAAGAAGATGCCCTGTCTATCGACCGAATGCACTCATAGCGAAGGAAAGGATGAGCGAAGAAGCTCACGAATATTCCTCTGCAACAATCACCGGCACGCAATAGCGCTACAGTTGCGCAAGCGTGGCTGGAAACATACACATCATTTTTGTGAGGCGACTGTGGTTCTAGCAACAGAACGCCCCCCCCCTGCCGCCCCGCGAGTACACCAGTGGGTCTGGCTGGCAATATGCCCCCCGTTAACATGTAAGGCACATCTGTTTGAACGGCTGGAGCAGTTAGCGTTGAGGAGCAACATAAGACGAAGATGGCCTGAGACATGGATCCTTCGGAGCAATGGAGCCGTAACAGCATGGAGAGCGGAATCTATAATCAGTTATACGCTGCCTACCACAACCCACTTTTTCGTGAAACACCCGCGTACCAGCGGGGGCACTGGCACATTTCCAGCGGGCAATGTTGAAGCGGCACGCATATTCGCCAAAGTGCTCATGGTTGCTTGTCACGCAGTTGTAATCCAGCGTGCCGTGGATCCAGCAATACTCCCGATTGGCCCATCGATATTTGAGCTTCGCGTGTGGGCTTTGCTTCGAAGGACGGACTGTTGGCTGTTTGAATGCCACCGTGCAAAGACCGCAGTTTCAGGGCTTATGAATAGGAAAGTTCAAAGGGATCTAGACGCTTTTGGTCGGTTCTATACCTCAAATATTGCATCAGAGGCGACTGTTCGAGACGCTCTTGAGGGAAATACGTTTGACACACGAACGAAACCAGACATCGCAGCGGTTGTCGGGCTCGTTCACGACGCCATCTGGTACGACCTTCCTTACGGCACACTTGCATTTGTCGGTTTTGACTTCATTGTTGACCATAGGGCGCGTGCTTGGCTCATAGAGGCCAACGTCAAGCCACCGCTGAGGTATGCGGACCTCGCTGCTCAGTTTCCAAGTGAACTCGTGAGGAGTTTGGCTGACTGTGCCATCTTGGATCTCGCCAGAATTTTCGAGGGTAAATCACGCCCGAACCACCTCGGCCCAGCCTGGATCAAGCTCCAAGTTTCAGCAGCGGCGCCGTGACAATAGGTTCTGCAGTGCCTCAAAGTGTGCTTCAGCTAGGTTCAGAGTGGCCCCGGGCCCGCACCCACCTAGGCGAAGCATGTGCGGAATCATGAACTTCCCGCGCCCGCAACGTTGGCCACTGGCTCCTCCGAGTCTGTTGGGTCCACGTCCAACTCCCCCAGCGGGACCTCCTCAGCTCGCCGACGGCGGCCCCCGCAAAAAAAACACCATTCTCTTAGCTCTCACTCTCTCTTTTAACTGCGAATATGCAAGACCAAAGGAGTACGCACCTTTGGGAGTACGGCGGCTGAGATAGTCTGCCGCGGAGCTACCTTAAATACACTAAGTAGTTTTGGTTTTAACTGTGTTTATTACGCGTTGCGTGTTGAAGGGTGATGTAAGTGTATAGGAAGGGTATAGGATAGGGGGGGTATTTCGCCCTATTTATCGCACTCCCCCTTTTCATGAGGGTAAGCTCTTGTTTCCCTTAGGAGAATATGGGGTGAAAATTGTCCCCTATCCTTTTCGTTCGTTTCATTGAAATGTGCATTTTGGTAAATATCATCATGTCCGCGAATTACTTTAGACACACCGACCGAGAACTACACAAGCACTGTTTGCTTGTGGTTCACAATATAGAGTAGACACAGAAGCTCTACTCTATAAACTGAAAGAAAAAGAAAAACCAAACCATATCAAGGTTCAGGGGGAGTGCGAAGAATATATCCCCTCAGGCTAGTACTACACTGGCACTAGGCCCCTCTTACTCTCCTACTTAGTCCCACCTTGACGTAATGAAGGTTTACACCACATTCATTCTTAGTGCTAGTATTACACGGGGAGTCACTTACGCCAAACTCACTCACACCGTTGCAGAGGGTCGGTATACCACCGCACCCTACTTATTTTCTGCAACTGGCGCCTGGGCCGCGCCGGGCCACATGACTTGGTACTTGCCTTGGCGCACCTGTACGTATCCAAAAGCCCAACGGGCTGCTTGCGCCCATCCGCTCGTCCTGAGGGGTCTTTCGCTAATCTCACTAAACGGGTTTAGTCGAAAACCCGTCGGGTTATTGACGGCGGGCTATTAACCCCGGATCCCCTCCGAGCGATTCAAACACACGGGTGAGATGAGTAGGTAACGCGACGGCGGGGGCGGCCAGGACGCCAGGACGCCCGGCGATGCTCGCGGGACGGCGGCTTGGACGGCACGACGGCCGGACCCGCCATTTGCCAGTGCATCCTAGCTGAACCTTCTTTTATAACTCGTGCCGAGTCAACGCTTTCCCGGTTCCGACAACTCACCACAACGCCGTACTGTGTTTAAATAGTTGGTAAGAAAGGGAGGATTCTGTAAGGGAATAGTCAATATAACAAGTCTTTAAAACCAATCAATATAGACATGACTTAAAGAATTAATGTCAATATAAGAAACCTTATCTAGCAAATGTCAATTTGAGAAGTTCTGCATATTGACATATGCTACGTAAGCGCTTTCCATATTGACATATGCAGTTTAAGACCTGACCATATTGGAGACTGCGATACCTGGGTTCAAGCGTCCCGTCGCGGTGAGCGCGCGATCTGGCAATGCTAAGGCATCGTGCTTTCGCTTCTTGGGCATTATAGAGGCTCCACAGCGTTTGTGGGCTCGCAAACGTCATCAATAGTAGGGCGCGGCGTCCGCCGCGCTAGCTGGGGGGCTTACTGATGCTTGGTTGCGATATATATTACGCGTGCAACTATCATGGCTCCGTGCCTATAATCATTGGGTCTATGGACTGCGCTACTATCCACACGAATTGCATAACGGGGCTGCCAGTACGCGTTGCACCGCCGGCCCAGCTGGGTTCGCTGGCAAACCTTCTGGTCAATGTCTAGTAATGGGTCGTGTCCCAGGGAATCGTGAGGTTGCTCTGCTTGTGCTTGAATGGCTATAGTGGCGGGCTGTCGTTAATTAATCTTATGCAGGCGCTGCGCTGGGCCAGGTATAGGGCTAGCTAGAGCCCTGCGAAACGGCTGAATCTACACACCTGATGCTCAACATCGTTCCCTCAGGAGCTTTAGGGCAGCCTTGTTGTGAACTGCTGCTTTGGCTGCGCTGGACCACATGTATGCCAGCAGTCCATAATACCAGCCAGCCCGCAATGTCTGCCAATGGCACGGAGCGGTCCCTGTACCTCTCTTGGGGTCCGGGTCGGGCTCGTTGATTTGCACGGCCCCTGACCTGGGGCTCGTACTATTATTTTATAGCCACTCTAACAACCTGGTCACGTAGTTGCATAGGACCCCCAAAAAAATTGAGATAATTTCAAATTATGAAGAGGCGTCTTTGGGGTTTATATAGCACCCAAGTGCGCGGACGCGCACGCGTCCGCGCGTCCGCGCCGCGGCGTCCGACTCGGAGCGTCCGAGCGTCCGAGCGTCCAGCCCAGCCCAGTGCTCATCAACTGCTAAATCCAGGCTTTGAAGGATATTCAGCAACCAGAATTTTACTTCCGGTCACGATCTCCCCGAATACGGTGTAGTCGGCGACCGACATCCTATGAGATCGCCATATGGCTACTTATCAAATTGGGCTTATGCGCGCACGCGGGCTCGAAATAGGGGGTGTCTGCAAAATATTGACATATTTTGGCTTAATTAAGGCTTCCCCATATTAAAATTTACCCTTTACTAACGCCTGTCTATATTGATTTTTGGTGCTTAAGCCCCTCCTATATTGATAGCTACCCATAAATAAATAAATAAATAAATAAATAAAGGAAGATATGTACTCAGTATCTCCGTGAGGGGGGTGGAGAAAAAGCGTATACAAAATCCCTTTCAAGTTACTACTATCTCATTAGCATCCTAGTAGGGGTGTCTATGGAGGTGGTTTCTCACGTGCCGCCTCGTTCCTCACCGTACACCACCTAAAGCCGGCTCTGGGTCGCAGCGTCAAAGTAAGCCAGGCGAGACGCTCCGCTCGGACGACCAGGCCGGCGGCTTTCTGATAGTCTTAATTGGCGTCGTTATTTCGGTAGCGACCAAGCAACTGGCTTAAAACCATCAAAACGGCGATTCTCATCAGCAGGAGGTTGCCTTCAATGCTGCATTGCTCTTCTTCTTTTTCTTTTTCTTTGATGCAAGGGACATGATGGCACTAATCTCATCTGAAAGTCGCTTTTCAGTTTTGACAGCACCAAGTTCAAATGGCTTCAGGCCCGAAATGCGAGTAGGGCCACTGGGTAGGATCAGCACGGTGAATTTGAAGTGGGCCACATGATCACCTTTCTTTTCAAAAAGAACGGGATAAGGGTGGACCAATTCATGCTTGAGGCACTCCACTATACCCATGCGAGCCTGGCGCTCATCATCTAGAGAACGCAACCCAAAGGGCAGCGCAGGGAATTTCGCATTTATCTCATTGAAAAGAGTTCGACTGGAGCGCATCTTAAGCATATAATTCTTATCAACAGACCGTTTGAAAATGGTGGTCCGAGACTCCATCTCTTTTGGCTTGCCATCACCTGTTGACATGGCGATGTCGATCGAGTATACCTCATTAAGTTCAAAAGAAGAATCCTCAACTTTCTGATCGGTGTCTTCACGCAGCAAAATGACCTTGTTTCCATCTACAACGAACCGCTTCATGCGGTGTGACAGCACACCAGAGCAAGCATTCACGTTAAAGTCGTGAGCAACCTTCTCAATTGCCTTAGTGACTTGCGAATTTGTGTTTCCCGGTCGCAGCAACTTCACTGCCACCTCCCCGGCAATATGAGCAGCATGTAACACATCTGCACGAGGACCAGATAACGGTTTCTCAGGGCACGGCTGCTCGCCGCAGACCATTGTGTGCGCTGCCACCGCGATATATCCATCAACGTAACACCCAAGGTCCAACTTAACCAGGTCTCCTGATGAAAGGGTGTCACCGGGAACGTCCGACTCAAGTGGTGAATTATGGCAGACACACTCATTCACAGAGACACAACTATGTAGGGATTTATTTATTATCAAAAAGGCACAAGACAAAAGTGAACTACTGTTCCTGATGATAATATGGCATTTCTGCACGCTGATTGCACGTCGGAAATGCGACCCCCTTCTCAATGGCTCTACCTTTAACTTTTTTCTGATAGATTGTGCCGCATTTCTGTGTGATAACAGTATCTCCGAACTTGCACAGGTCCAGAACCTTAACACCTGGTTTCACTTGCAGTATTAGTCCGTGTAGCGCCAAGTTGACAATTTTTCCAGCCTCACGGTACCTGGTACGTCGGAGTTAACTATACATATAAGGGGCTGAGGTCTACTTGGTGCAAACATCGTTGTTCGAGATGTCGAGCTCTTTATCGTCCCTCTCAACCTGTACGCTCCGGCTTCATATGTAATTCGGCTAGAACAACTTGCCTCCTCGCTCTGCATCGTCTCCAGTCGCTACGCCGGCCAACACACTAGTACAAGCTCGTAGCATAGCAGAAGTACATTTCTAGCGAGATTGTAATGTTCAACTGGGACGTCTCCAAGCACACCACGTATTTGAATTAAGACCCCGGGTAATACAAGTACCAATATCCCAAGGGTCCGGCCCCGGGTACCACTGCACTGGCCGCGGCAATATCCGAGTCCCCTTCAAGTTAATAGCCTGAGGGCCCGGGCCCGGGGGGGGTCGCCTCAGGCTCCCACTCCTAGTAATTCAGGCTTACCGTCAGTGAGTTAATTTAGAGAATTAATTGGGGTCGCGGTTCCGAGTCTACTGGCCGCTGTTCTTTGACACCTACTACTACTATGATTTGTATTCGCCGCGGCCCGGGCTGTTCTTTGACAGCCTGAGCCAGTCAATAATTACGTATCTCGTCCAGCCAGCACAGTTTTGACACTCCGCAACGAATCGTAGAGTATCTAGACGTAGGGTTTGATTTGCCTTTTTCTCTTCAAGTTCAAATTAGCTCTGATTCCTGGTCCCGGGCCCGGGCCGGCAGAAATGACGTGACGGTAATTCGCGCAGGTCTTGACCCGTCAGAAGCCGAGGTCGTATGGACCGCGAGAGCCTGAGCGTCACGGTGCGCGTGATTGCGTACAAGTAAGTGGGCTGGGCTCGTGCTACGAGCCGTGCCAGTGGCCTAACTCGACGACTTGGACTCGGATACTATGGCTGAGATGCATCCAAGTCACGCCATGATGATGATGGCATCATGATAGCAGAAAGCCACTGGCAACCGCGGACGCTTCCCGAGCCGCCAACATCATGATCATGATCATCATCACTGGCCGGCGGCATGATCCGAGTCATCAGGATGATCATGATTCACTCAGTCTATAAGCTTCTCTTGCGGCTGTCACGCTACCGCCAACCCGCAGCGCCCCCTACCGAGGTTAAGTGTGCACTAGAGGTCTGGTGCGTAAAGACCCCACCCCTCTTTTACGTCGTCAAAGGGGTACCACCCCTCTCTCCTACGTCGTTCGGGGTGCTACCCCTTTTTCCTCCCGAAAAAAGGGGTGGGTGACATCGAGGCAGTTATCTAACGGTGTAAACGCGCTAGCGTTTCAGCGCCTCCGTAAAACACGCGATAACTCCGCGCAGAGACCATCAAGGCTGGCCAGAACGGCCTGTGCCGAAGCCCTACATGCATGTCGACCGCTGGGCTGAGCGGCTTTAATTAAAACCGCGCGCGCGGCGCTCGTTTCAGCGCTCTTCAAAGCGAGGTCTGCGCGGCGCTCTAGCGGACGTTTGCAGAAGAATGCAACGACGCGCCTTCGACAGCGGCGGGAGAGAGTACCCAAGAAGAGCTGCGCCGAGTTTCAGAGGTGGCGGAGGGTGGCCTCGTCCGTCAGCGGCCGAGAACCGTCGGCCGCCCCTCGGCCAAATCGGCCAGATTCAAGCGCAACCGATCGAGTGAGGAGCTTTCACTTATGCGGGGCGTTGATGTGTCCTGCTAGATGCTCTGGACGGAGTTCTGGGAGTTTTGGAGGGTCGCCACGCCCGATCTCGAAACTGCCCTCGAGACATCCCCGGGCCTCTATTGGACGTTTGCATTAGAATGCAACGACGCGGCTTTGACAGTAGTGCGAGAGGATATACGAGAAGGCCTTCGCCGAGTTTCAGAGGTGGCGGAGGGTGGCCTCGTCCGCCAGCGTCCATGGCGTATATGCCGCGGCTCAGACCGGGGACGAGGGCTTTTGCCTTGGCGCTCGCCCATCACGGGTCCCTACTTTCTCTAACATTGCCGAGTAGGGTAAGGAATCATACAAGCACACTACCTAAAGTAACCCCAGTGCTGCTGGCACGATTGGGCCAGCCCGATTGAGGCATGTGGATCGAGGGCGCGCGCCTGCGATGTAGGAGGGCCTAGACGAGCCATGATCGCGGACAGAGACCGACGCATTCACACTCGAAGTCACGCGGCAAGCGTGATATCAAACAGGCCGCCGACTTACTGAAGCGCGCCAACATCTTTCGGCGCCCATTCTCGTGCAAAGGTGCCACGCGTTTTTTCCGCGGCGTCCCACCGCCGGCGACGGCTCCAAGCGTTCTGATTGACCATTGCGCCAATGACGGCACGCGGCGCGTGCTTATTCACAGCGATAACGCCGCAGCCTTCGAGTCCGCACGGCACGGTTTCGCGGCCGCCGAAACTCGTTGTAACCTAAGCGACGACGTCCCTCGGTCGCCAGTTAGGGCTAAATGCTACCGCTGAGGTGATTTTGGGCCGCGGGTCGCGACCGCGCGCGCCGTTCCAGCAATAACGAGGTACCGTAGCAGCGCCTGGCCGAGGCGCCCTGGTGCGCCGCGGCGGCGCGCCGAGAATTTTTTTCCTCGCGGCCGCAGCACTGCGGAGGTCCAAGAAGACCTCTAAGAACGGCTGCGGGCTGATTGGGGGGGTTGGCGTAAATCAGGCCTTTTGCCTCGATGTCACCCGCCCCTTTGAGAGAAAACGGGTTTTATCGAAAAGGGTGCGGGGTCTTTACCCGCCAGACTAGAGGTGTAGGTACAAGTTCGCACAAGTGGTCCCTACGGTACCCCCAAAATACCACCCCGGTCCGTAGCCTGAGGTCTCTAGTGTGAGGTACAAGCTGGTACCGTGGGAACGAAAGTCCTGCCGAGCATAGCACACTATTTTGATGACAACGCGCGATTACCATGTCGAGCAGCTTGACGATGAACGCATACTCGAGAATTTTTTAACTTGTTTTCGTGATCTTGACAAGTCCAACACTGATCAGTGCAAGTATGTCCTTAGACTGAGATCTATCATCGCGGGCACCGCTCGGACTATTGTCATAGAATTGGACGACTTAAGGATTTTCTCAAAAAACGAGGCGAATCACCCTTTGAATTATCCTAACATATCGGGATTACTCAGACAATCATTTATTTAGGCTCTATTGTTACGGGTTACCGACAATGCGTCTCGATACCTATCAATTATTCACAAAATCACTGAAAGATTAATCGTAGAGTTGGAACGGGAGTCAGGTTCAACCTCTTCTGATCATTTGATGCGGTGGCACGAGACACGGCTATTGCCGCCATCCACTGTCCAAACTCTTCCCCTGCGACGTTTAAAAGCGGCGAACATCGGACATCTAGTGAAGCTTCGTGGTATAGTCATACGTGTCTCTGATGTTAAACCTCTTGCAAAAGTTCTGGCCTACACTTGTGAAAGTTGTGGGCATAAATTGTACTATGACCTGTCGCGCAAAACTGAATTTTTACCCCCATCAACTTGTGAATCAGAATATTGCACCAACAACAATACAGTAGGGCTCCTCTATCACCATTCGCGTGCATCAAAATTCGTCAAGTACCAGGAGTTAAGAATACAGGAGCTGCCAAGCCAAGTTCCAGTTGGTAATGTCCCAAGATCAATTACCGTGCAATGCCGTGGCGAATTGACTCGCCACTGCACGCCAGGTGATACTGTATTTGTGTGTGGTATTTTCCTGCCTCAATCCCCTGGCGGTAACAAGGGCGCCACAACGGGACTCGAATCTGACACCTTCTTGGATGCGACTCATATCACGAAGGAAAAACAGAGTTTTTGGGAGCTAGACAAGGATTCAAATGCTGAAAATAGAATAGACATGTTGGCAAACTCACAAAACGCGTATTCACGGCTCTCTCAGTCGATAGCTCCTGAGATTTTTGGCCATGAGGATGTAAAAAAAGCTTTGCTTCTACAGCTGGTGGGAGGGGCATTCCGAACCCTAGACGATGGCGTAAACCTTCGTGGTGACATTAACGTCTGTCTTATGGGGGATCCTGGTGTTGCCAAGTCTCAACTTCTAAAAGCGATTGCTGCTATTAGTCCCCGTGGTGTGTACACGACTGGAAAGGGATCTTCAGACGTAGGGCTGACGGCGGCGGTAGTCAGAGATGCAGTCACCTCAGACACTTCACTTGAGGGGGGGGCATTGGTACTTGCTGACTGTGGTGTCTGCTGCATAGACGAATTCGACAAAATGGATGAATACGATCGCACCGCTATTCATGAAGTCATGGAGCAGCAAACAGTTTCCATCGCCAAAGCTGGAATCACTACAACATTAAATGCTAGAACCGCAGTCCTGGCAGCGGCTAACCCGCTGTATGGTCGCTATGTGAGAAATAAGACACTGGCTGAGAATGTCAATCTTCCAACTAGCCTTTTATCCCGTTTTGATCTCATGTTCATTTTGCTTGATCGACCTGAGATTCAAGCTGATGTGGCGCTGGCACGCCATGTTACTCACGTTCATAGCTTTCTCACAAATCCAAAGCTGAAATGTGACACTTTTGACGCGACGTTTCTTCGACATTACATTGCTCAAGCCCGTCAGTTTGTGCCCTTCCTGCCTGCAGATCTTTGTAATTCTGTTGTTGAGACTTATGTGAGCTGGCGCCAGTCATCTGCCACAAGTAATCAACGCTCTGCGACCCCACGGCAGTTGCTATCTATCTTGCGCCTGTCTCAAGCCCTCTCACGTCTTCGTTTTGACGAGAAAGTGAATCAAGAAGATATAAATGAGGCCTGTCGCTTGGCAACTCTGTCACAAGCATGGACAAACCTTGAAAGAAGCACAGGTGGAATTACTGTTGACGGTAAGTCGAGGGCATTTAGTATTCTCTGTGACTTTGCAAGTAAAGCAGCTACAATTGTATTTAGCTACCAGGAGATCATGAGTGTGGCTGTGAAGCATGCTATTCGAGAGGATGAATTTCTTGCCATGCTAGAAGAGTATGAGGAGCTAGGGGTGATACACGTCGACTTAGATCGCACTCGAATTCACTTCTCTTGAGCGAAAGGAATAGCCCCAGTGTGGCCCTGGATTTTTGAGGGTGCATACCGAGTCGGGAGTGACACCCAAGAATCTAATAATCTCGAATCGTGCGCGGTGAATCATTGCATGTCATGCTCCTATCTTTCCAGGAAGAAAGGTCCTTCTATAAGGTTTAGGGGTTTGGGTTTCAAAATGCAATTTAGGAGGAACATCTTAGCATAAGCACAGCAGCAGGAACTTCTGGAGACAAAAAGTGAACTGGAAAATTGTCACCAGAGTAAACGTCGTGGTGGCTAGGCGGCCTGGCTCTAAGCAAAGCAACCTCTTCCCACAAACGTGAAGTTTAGGGTTGGGGTGCGTTGTTACTTCTAGTAATTTTCGCCACTTTAGTGTGCAATGAGTATCTATAATGAGTAATATTTGTTTTGCGTTCTTCGTTCCTGCGACATCGGTGTAATTCCCGCATTAAACGCCACAGCCATTTAGGAATTTGACTTCCCGGCTCTAGCTAGCAAGACTCGGACGCCAGCGGAGCAGATGAGACAAAGAGAGCTAGGGGCGTCAACGTGAAGTAAAACCGCCGTGTGCCCTCTGGAGGGCCCTTAGCGGTTTCATGCGCCGTATGAAGGCTAAGCGGCACTGATGTGGAGCTCTACCTCCTCCGTCCTCGCTTTTTTATTTATTTATTTAATAAATTTATTTATTTCATTTTTATTCGAGTGATTCAAGTTATTATATTATTTGCCAGTGTCACGGTTTTGTACTATTATACTACTAGTACCCACGGTAGCCTACTACTACTAGATTGCAAATGACCCATGACCCAAGGAGTGACCCCTGGCGCCGCCGGGGGGGACTAATGGCCCAGCCTGAGACCTCAGGCTGCGGAGAATATATCCTAGTCCCCTGAATGCTTCCCATGTGTCTGTTTGACCCATGGAGTGTCATCGTCCTTCTCCTCATCATCTAGTATTATTTTTTGGCTCTCCGAGTCCTGCAGACGCATCAAGTCACGGTTGTTGCCAGCCTCATTTCAACTTGAAAGTTGCTACCAGATCTCCGGACCTAAAGAAAAGGACATACACCAAGCCTCTAGAGGCCTTCTCCCTGTAGTTACTCAAGTTCATTTACTCAAGCTCAAGTTTATGCCGAGATGCTAGGCTCAAAGACATCACGGAGAAAATAGCAGAGGGCATTGTGTGATATGCGGGTCCCAAGTTCACTGGAGAAGAATTGACCGAGGAGCAAAAGCGTGTCCGCAGTGCACTCGACGTCCAGGGACGCGCCAGTCGAGTCGACCGGCTCGCCGCTAAGTGCGCGTGCGTTGGTTGAGCCTGGGTGGAGGATGGCATGCATGTCGCAGAGAATCACGTCAAACTCAGCTCGGAGTACCCGTGGGATGCAGCCACCAGCGCGCTGAAGTGCGTAGCGGAGCTTGGCACAGCGGCGCCGCATTGCACTGACATCGGCAGAAGTTATGGCGTGGATCTTGAGGAGGTGAGGCGCATTGGCGAATCGACCCACGCCCGCATGATCGGCGACAACGCCAAGGAGGACGTAGGCCTCGACAGTTGGATATATACCCGAATCACTACGAATACCTTCAAGCGGCGCTGCGACCCACTGGACGCAGACGAGTGCCTCGGGCACGGCCGGCACGACGTTGTCTGCGAGTATGAGCGTGTCTAAGTCCATACAGCAGGCTTCTCGATAGGCAGGGAGGTACTCGCGCAGGATTTCGTGAATGCGGCACGCCGCGGCGTGCGCACGGATGGCAAGCACGTCAAGCAGTGCGCCAGGAATTTCCGTCTCTCTCCGGAGTGCGAGCAGGTGGCGGACGGCAGTCGCAACTGCGATGTCGGCACCGTCATGAACACCCATGTCCTCACGATCGGCCACACTGAACGCGTCCCTGAAGCCAGGCGCCGGCGCACCAGCGGCAAGTGTCGCCGCTTCAAAGTCCAATAAACACCGCTGCTGCGCGAGAAGCGCGGCTAGAGAAAGGAAATGCGTCGCAAGCTGAAGCTCGCGTGCGGGGGCGACGGCGCCGCCGCCTTCTGGCCCGCAGTGAAGTCGAACAAGCTCAAGTGCCGCACCACGCATGGCAACGTGGTCATGACCACACTCGTACGAAATGGAGAGTGCCGTCATGAGTGCATCGCGTGCTGCTCTAGCACTACCTACGGTTCCATGGCGCTGAAAGAGCTCGCGTTGCGCTCGACCCGCTAGAAGAAGTGCTGTAGCACGAAGCGCTGGTGCTGGCGTCACCACATGGCACGCAGTTGCCAAAGCGGCCTCGGCAACGTCGCGAGCAGCCGCCCGGAGCATTAAACTAGCATCATCATCCAGCAAATCGGCCGCCGTTGCCAGGTCTAGGAGCGTTTCAGCAGTCGCAGTGCGGACTACAGGCAATATTCTGAGAGGTGCAAGGTACAAGTTTGCCAGTGGTATCACGGGAGGTCCTGCTTCGGGTGCTAATACGCTCTCGTTGCCCTGAAGCCCAATCCACGCTCGATCGGCAGCCTGTTGGAGCAGCGACGCGTCTGCGCGCGCCAGAAGTGCATGCGCGGCCTCGAGGTGCGCCAGTGCCCCCTCAATCTCATCCTCGGCGAGCGCCGCGCACCGCTGAAGGCCCGCAGCACCAACCAGCGCACGTACATAGCTGCGATGAGGCACATCGACACAATCATGAGCATTGATCAGCGCTTCGGCGGCCGCGAGTGTTGTCGTAGCGTCGTTACCGCGCCTCACTGCCGCCTCAATTGCCACGGAGGCGAGATCACGTGCACCACAGGCGTCGCGCACGACGTCTGCCTCGGCCGTCCCAAGCTCACAATGCACCATAGCGTTGTCTAGACGTCTTTGAAGAAGCGCACATTGCGCGAGGTACGCGCGGCCGGCCGCCCAGAAACTCGCATCTACGTCGTATGCCGCTGCGTCAGGCATGTGCGCCCGTGTGGCGCCATCGCTACTGCGACATTGACGCTGGAGCAGCGCCAATAGCATCGCTGCGTGGCAGTGCGCAGTCGCTGGACGGTTCGATGCAAGCGCGCATCGCGCGCGGAGGTCCAGGCACCGTGAAGTGTCGCGTACACGCGCCCACGAGTCACTGCCAACTCCCTCGCTGCCGCTCTGAGCTTCTACCATAGTCGTTTGGACCTCGGTGGCTATGGCATCTACCGTCTCGCGCAAACTTGCTCCAGGACCGACCTCACCAGCGCCGACAGCCAACGCCAGCAATAGCTCCGCGCGGGCAAGTGAAAGCGCCACGAGCACATTGGCGCCATAAGCCGCTACCAAGTTGAGCGAATGAAGGCCGGCGCAACCACGCGGCAGCCGGGCGGCAAGCGCAATACCCGCCACGCCCTCCGCGTCGCCCGCACGCCGGAACATGGTGGTGGTGCTCTCAGCGTCTTCGTCGCCGCAACTGCCCCAGCCAGCGAGCCATGTAGTGGCGGCCGTGTTCTCAGCCGCGTCGGGCGGCAGGGCCGCATTCCATGACGCGAAACCGCAGAATGGGAGCGTCCCCGATGCTGGTGGCGGGTCCCCAGCGTCCGCGCTAGAAGTGCGCATGGGCTCGCGGGTCGCGTAGCCCACATATGCACCATCAACTTCAGGCAAATTGGCGCCGCGAAGCAGCGCGGCGAGGACCGATGCCGCCTCAGCGACAAGGCCAGCCCCGATGAGCGCACCAAGTCGCGTCACACGTGCGAGTGCGGTCATTCGCACGTCAAAGCGATGACTTATTGCTATGTGTTCGAGGAGACAAGCGAGCGGAAGCGCAGCCGGTGCGCGATCCGCACGAACGAGTGCGCCAATGGTCGTAACTACCGCGCTCGCGAGCGCACGCGGTGCGAGACGCCGCGGCGCACCGAAAAGAGGCGTTGGGAGCGCGCCGAGGAGCGAAGGTTCATAGCGCGCAAAAGCCGCGTCGACGCCCGGTAGGCAGCGCTGACCGCCAGGGCGCATGAGATGCGTACCCGGGTGTGGCAATGTGGCAGCAAAGGCCGCTCGGAACATACACGCTGCAAAGCGTGCGCGTTCGAGCCTGGCATCGAAATTGTCACGACACACGTGCCGAGCGATGCGACCCAGAAGCGTGCCGCCCACAAGGCAACCTATTAGACCCAGTGTCGCGTGAAGCCACGCACTGGCTGCAGGCCCGGCGGGGTCGATAACACCACCACCGAGGACAGCCCGCCAACTGGAGGCTGCATTACGAGCCGAAAACAGCGCGTCGATACCCTCATGCCAGGCTATGCCAGCCGCTTCAACGTCATTTGCGGCAAGGTGAAGATCTCCCTCGTCCTTGTAGGCCTGGGCAAGTAGTAGCGGCTCTCGGCGTTCACGAATGAGCTTAGCAGCGTGCCGGTAGGCTGCTGCAGCTGCGCGAACATTAGCTAGAGTGGCTGCGGCGTCAGGTTTGGTTGCAGTGGCAACCGCACGGCGAAAACTGGTGCGGCATGCATCGAGCGCCTCGGCCGTGAGCGGCCGCGCCTTTCGGTACTCGCGATCAGCCGCCCGAGCGACCTCTGCACAGTGATCGGCCACCTGGTGCGCTGCACGCGCTGACCCCACTAGGTCAGCCCATACTTGACACCGCGTCTCAAGTGCACGTTCCTCCGCCGACCGCTCTTCAACGCGTTGACTCCGGCCCGAGCGCGACCGACGCCGGCTTGCGCGTCGTGTTGTCGCCACCTCGACTTTTGTCTCGACGTCAGTGAGTATGACCTCAGCACGGTGCACGCGAGCAGCTGCGCGGCGAACTACCTGATCGTGTGCGTGGACGGTCAGCGCATGCACCTCACTGAGTATCGCTGTGATGGGCCTGCGTGAAAATCAGTTGGGTGCGTGATGCGATGCTAGAGATGTATACTGTCTCCCCCTCCCCTCCAATTCTCCTCCCTTCTCTGGACGGTGAGAGCACGTCGCTCAAGCTAACCGTGCGAGCTAGCTGGAGTCACAAAGAAATTGTATGTCCACACGGGCGCGAGCCCGCCATCGTCAGCTATTGCGCATACCTTCGCCGCCTTTGACGCCACAAGACGCCTTGCGAGCGGCGGGAGGACGTCCCACCTTCGTGCATAGGCAAGACACCGTAACGTGTACGCGACAAACTGGCACACCCACTCAGGGTCTAGTCCTACGGCAGCGAGCGCCTCGGATGGAAACGTGTCGCTACCATTATGAGCGTACGTAAGCTCGACGTCGCGAGTTGATACCTCGCCAACTAATGTTGCTTCTGTTGCTTCTGCTCGAACGTGGTCCTTGTCGTTGCCACTGGCCGTCGAACGTATAACTGAAGGTGGTCGCAGCCAATTGCTAGCTGCCGATGCATGTGGTGCGCGGGCAAGGACATCTAGTAGCACGTAAGAAGCTTCGACAAAGGGCGCAGGATCTAGCTGTGGTTGGTCCTCAAAGCGCGCGATCGCAAGAGCGCGTGGCGCGAAAGCTAGCGGCGAAATCCATAGGCTTGCAGTTGCATTCCAGATATGTTTACAGGCGCACACCGCCAAGTGCCAGGCTCGGGCCTCACGTGCGCGAGTCCCTGCGCGCGCTAGGTAACGCACGGCGGTGGAAAAGCGTGCAGCGGCCGACGCGCTCGGCGTAATCCCTGTATTGTCAATTGACAATACTTGGTCCCCAGAGCAACGCGCTGCCGACTCAGTGGCAGCGACAGCGTCGCGCGCGACCTCGGCTGCTAGCGTAGCAACTGCGCCTGTGCGCGCATCGATTGCCGTGCCTGCCACCGCACGCTTCTCGAGCACTTGGGTCGAGGGCTCGGCACCGACGCCACCGTCGTCACCATTGAGGTATCCTTGTGAGACTGCGCTGCATACGTCTGTGTCGAACGCGCCAACACAGCCGAGAGCACGGATACCGTCAACCGTCTTATCATCAGTGTTGTCGCTGTTATTGCCGTGACCCGGCCCCGCGCAAAGCGTCGCCAATGTCGCCAGGCCACGAAGCTTCTCCATCTCCGCAAGCCACAGGAGCTGACCTGCGCGGCCGGATGTCGATGCCCCGGGCGATCTATCGATCGATCGACTGGTTGGCGGGTCATTCAAATATCGACGTCGACGCGGGCGCGGGCCTGCTGCAGTGGCCAGCGGTGCCATTTGCGACGAGGGGTCGAGGTCACAGGTATCGGCAGTTTTAGCAGCCGACAGTGCGTCGCCATCAACACCTGCTCCTACACTAGTGACGTGCCGAAAATACGGAAGCACCTCGCGCGCGGCAGTCACGGCCGCAGCCCTGACCACGGCTGCTGGGTCCGGCGCGGACGCAAGTGCAAGATTATCGTCGACATCACTATTGGGGCCTTTGTCCGTACCGACAGCCATCGTGGCGCAATGTGGGGTGGCAAAAGCAGCGGATGCCGCAAGCTCTGCGGCCGCGTGAACTTCAGCCACGTGCTCTGCCGCAAGGACCCTGCGTACGAGCGGCACAAGACGGTCCTCAGTGACCAGCGGCGTCCTTTCTGCCCATCGCTCGATGAGAGCAAAGTAGCCGCATCGTAGGGCGATTCCTTTGACGCGGCACGCCTCGCGGAGTGCGTTCTCCGTGCATGGGGGCAATAGTGGGCTTCCTGACTCGGCCTCTGCTCCAACTTCCGCACCTCGGTCTTCACTTGCGTTCGCGCCTTCCCCACTGCTAGCCAGCGAGGATGCTGCATTCTCTCGCGTGAACTGGTCGTCAGCGCACGCGACGACGGCAGCCCACGCCGCCTGGGGGTTCTCTGTGGCGAGCATGAGCGGTGGAGGCTGCACGTCCGCAGGACCTAGCGCCGCCGCCGCACGCAGTACATCGACACCGGCGACCCGGTATCGTGGGTCTACGAGCCAGGTCCGTACGAGTGCCGCTTGAGGCTCACACACTATACTGGACCGCGGCAACGCAGGGAACGCTACGATCCCATCGAAATTTTGCTTCACGCTGGTGCCAGTGCCTACATCGGCAGATGTTGCCGCCACGGCGCTCGTCTGCTCGAGGAGTGCAAAAGCGGCTGCACGTGGTTCAGCACACGCGTCTCCGGCAAGCATGACCTGATACGAGATCTGCGTGGATACGGAATGCGTTGATCAACGGCCCAGATGCACCTCTCAACTGCTTGCAACGCAGGTGACGACGCAGGAAAACATCTCCCGCACGGTTTCGTCCCAACTACCTAGTGGAACAAGCCAAAGCGCCTGATGTAGTGTCACCAGGGCACGAAAGACGAGGCAACGTGGATGCCCGGCTCGCAGTTTGAGCAGCGGGACTGCCGCGCAGTAGCATCGTATGATGCAGTCGATCAGTGTCTCCGGATCTTGCCCCACAGTCAGTGCCGAGACTTCAACGGTCCGAAGCAGGATTTCAACCTTAGTGTATTGCATTGCTTGGATGGGCGCCGTCAGCGCACCACTGGCCGCGGTCGTGGCTGTTCTCGCCGTTCCGCTGTTCGTGTCTCCGGTACCAGTTGCGTCCCTAGGCTCCAGAATGCCGGGTGCATACGCAAATGAGAGACCCCCATTTTCCGAGCAGTCCGCAAGAATACGTGCGCAGTCCACGAACGCATAGACTTCGGCCAGTGATGCGCGAGTGACCCTGGCCGCCCGGAGCGCATGGCCGCCTGACGCATCAACGTCAACAATGTGCTCATAGACGACAAGCGCGGCGGCGGTTGCTGTCCTTTCCACCCCCAGCGCGACCGCTTCTCGCGCTACGAGTGCAAAACACAGTGGCAGCGGCAGAGGCACAAGCGCATCGATTTCTGGTCCTGTTGGGCCGATAGGCCCAATTGGCCGGCCTGCCGCATCGAACGCGCCGATAGCAAAGACGTACGCCTCGTTCGCGCAGAGCCCTGAGACGCGGATGGCAGCACCTGTACCCGTCGTTGCGTCGTATCTAATCGGCACGCCGAGGCCAGGCAGCTCCACGTTTGTAAGAGACACGTCAGTACCTGCACCTGTGCGGACATCGGAAGACAAGTTATCTTGGGTCAGCAATGGCGCAGTGAGCAACGGTCAGTGTACACTCACGCACACCGCTGCCCCCAAAGGGCGGGCCGCATGGTCATCAAATGAGCGGGCGATTGGAATCAGCGCGGGTAATCGCCTGCAGCCTTCCCAAAACACCTGAGATGGTCGACGCCCGGCGGCCCGTTCCACTTGCGCGGCTGGAGCGTCACCGCCGCCTGGGTGCGCGAAACAAGTGCCGGCTGCGGTGGTGCTGTGCCTGCAGCACAGCTCACGTCCGCAAGGCCTAATGGCGTGTTTTTCCAGCGCATGATGATCGCCAGTAGATCAGCCTCGCGCGCCGCCGCAACGCCGAGGAGCCGAAGTGCCTCACCGAGGTCAGCATCGCGCGCAGGCAATGGTCGACGTGCAGCCATCCGCGTGCGTGTGACCGCAACTGCGGCGTGGTGGCACCCAAGCTCAGCGAGAAAGCGCGCCTCAGCACGCGGTTGGACTGACCGCGCGTTCGTCTTGTGGCTGCCGCACCGTGGCGGGCGATGCTCGCTCTCAGCCAGGTCGAGCTCGGCCAGCGCAAGCGCCTGAGCAGTTAACGAAATATCCCTCCCAATGCGCCCCGAGAAACTTTCTGGGTTCCGTGCGAGGTTGGCATACGGCTAGCGATCGAGAGAGGGACTTGGGGGGAGGCGGGGGGTTGGTGATTCACGCAGGCGCGTGCGTCGATGAGGTCGAGATGCACAGCAGCCAGCGCTTGGTCTAGGGTGTCAAGCTGCGAGCCCGCACCGAAAATACCTGACCCGCCATAGCCGTGTGCGCCTAGGCGACCCGCGGCAGCCGCTGCAGCGGACACGTCATCAACCTCGGCTGTAATGGACTGGCGCGCGAGCGCAGCGTGATCTGCCGCCTCGACAGGCTCGTGGAGATCTGGATCAGCAGCCTCCGCACGTGCCCTATTGGCCGCGTTGAGTGCGACGCGTAACGTCTGGACAGCTGCGCGAAGCGTGCCACCGCTGCTGCCACGGCCAGAGGCCGCAAATTTATGCGCATGATCGCGGAGCTCATGACCCAACGTGAGCGCGACTCGCGCGCGGAGTATTGCGTCGTCAGCATCCACTCGCGTCAACACAACCTACGTAGGCATCACACGTCCACCCCCCTGATTTCTCACGCACGCGCGCGCCCCGATGAATTATCTACGATGCGTCTGTGGCCTTGAAATGTCCGCGCGGTGTGCAACGTGGACCGCAGATGCGGACGTCAGGAAGAGACGCGCGATCTCTTCGCCCGCTGGCGCAGGTGCGATGCCAATACCTTTGGTTTGGCGCCACGCCACGGTCTCGGTCGCCGCAGTGTCTATGTCAAGGACTCGCTGCTTCTCCAGGGCTGCGAGTACAGGGAGACAGACCGCGCGCCAGAGGAACACGGCGATATCAACAAGGATATCTGGCCGACACGTGACTGTCGCGAAGCTGGTCATGCCGGCGCATGCAGCGCGTAGTTTTGTGGCAATGGCCATAGCACGCGCCATGGGCACGACCGAACCGCCATCAGAGGGTACGACGGAGACCGTGTCCGCTGCCGCAGCCTCTGCCGCGAGCACGTATCCGGAAACAGCTTCGCGTGCCTGCGCCAAGGTCTCGCTGTCGCCGCATTGTGTTGCAGCATTCACATCTGTGCGTGCGGCCTCGGAGCGTGCAGCTGTCGTGGCTGCAGCGTCACGAGCGGCTGCGCCGTCCCACGCAAGAAATGTATCAAGTGCTCTGAGGAGCTCCAGCCTGTGGGAAGCGACTAGTCTCGATCACTTGTCACGGGAAATCAAATGTGAACCAGGCTTACGCCGGTGCGTGCTCAGCACGCAGTGGTGCAGCCGCACCAGCAGCAAGCTCCCGAGGCGGCTCGACTTCACCGGCGGAGCTAGCGCCGCTTGAGAACGCACCAACGCTAGAATAGTCTGCGGCATCGGCGATGTTTGCGGCTGCGTCGACTACCCCCTGTGCAATGGCCGCCACGCGCCTGAATTCTGCACGCTCGCCAAGAACAAAGAGTGTGCGTGCAAGCGACGTTAGCTGCGGTGCGTCGAGTGTGGGGATGTCGCCACTAATTGGTGCCGCTACCTCCGCGCACGCACGCGCAAGCGCTGCGCGGCGCGCGCGCTCACGCGTGCATGGCGCACCGGGGCCACCAACTGCACCGGCGAGGCCACGTGCGTTTGGGACTACGGCCGCTTCGAGAAGTGCACGTGCGCGCAGCCGTCGCCCGCGCACTGTAGCAGTGTCACCTAGACCTGCATTTGTGAGAATGGGCTCAGCTGCCGCCTCCGTCTCGCCAGGGTCGCCTGTGTCGTCCGCAAGCGTGCCGTACGCCGCCGCGTCCGCAGCGACTGCAAGGATCGCCAAGTCTTCATCGGCGGCGCGGAGCTTGGCGGCAATAGGTGGCGGTAGTGGCTGTTGCATCTCCTCTGCGGCGCGTAGAGCATGTGTAGAGTCACCAAGGAGTGCCAGCACCGCCCGGGCGGCTTCTGGGCACCCGGCATCGTCACATGCTCGTGCCGCGAGCGCGTAGAGCCGACATCGTGCGGGCAGGTACCTGCGGTTGGTCAGCAATGAAGCGAGCACATACATAAGTAAGTACACCGATGCGCACTTAATTGTTGCGAGGCCAACGCTTGCATCGAGGGCTCGTGCCGCCCATAGCAAATGCTCGGCAGCGTGTCGCGCGAGGGGGCCGCCTCGCGCGGCAAGCGGTTCGGCAACTCCGTGGAGTAGAATTGCACCGTTGAGCAGGAGCCAGGCAATGCGCTCATGATCACGTGTGGGCAGTGCTAGTAGGTCTACCATTGCGTTGCGAGCACTTTTCGCGGCCGCGAGTAGCCGCTGGGCTGACCTTGGGTACCGCACGTTTCCATCACGGGCCAAAATCCGAAGGATCTCACACTCCACGCGGCCATAGGTCGCATCCGCATGCCATCCTGCCGCTTCAACCTCATCATCGGGATCATTAGTCACAAGGTCGCGCGCGCGCACGAGCACCTCCTCGAAGAAAGCCTCTGCTACCGAGAGCTCGCCCAGCTCGAGGAGACGGATGCCGCATTGCAACGCCAGGCGTGCAGCCCCTCCGCCATCGACCTTCTGACGAACCCGAATCCAGAACGTTTGCCGTGCCGCGGCGACGACCGGTGACCGCGGCGCTGCCTCTGCGCCTTGCTCCAGGCAGCCGCGGATTGCGAGGACCCGCCTGCTCTCGATTAGCGGCACCAATACCAGATCTTGGAAGTCGCGCGAGAACTCAACAGGCGCAGTGACCGGATCGCATTCGTAGTCAGATCTTCGCGGGTGCTCCGATGAGCTTGCCGCCGTCGACATCATCCTTATTTTAAATGATCGCGCCTTGTTTTTTTCTTCTCGCTCCACCTCGCCGGCAGCCGGTCCGTCGCGGGGCCTCGGATCGGAGTTGTCAGTTGGGTCCTTTGAGCTTTGCGGAGTTGCACGTCGTGCCTCCTGCACGTTAAGGTTCAGCTGTGGATGTGGATAGGTTATATATCCGTTGCATGATACGATGATGATGCGTGTACCAGAGAGAGAAACCTACTAGCCCTTCCTACCCTAGATATGCATCTCCCACTCTCTAAGTTTGGAGTCTATACAGCGAGTGTCTTTGACGCTACGGTGTAACAACAAATTGCTATAAAACACTCTCGTAGTTAGGTCACGGCCCGGGCCCGGGTTGGCCCAGCCCTCGGCTGGTGAGCTAGGACCCTGCTACTTTACATAACGCTGCGACATACTCTTGCTAGGTTATGGGCCCACAAGGTCTCGCCTATTGACGTAGAGTGCTTTACAGTGAATGCCTAGAAAACAAGAACAAACCGTGACACCGTGACCTCAGGCTAAAAAGAAAACAAAAGAAAAATCGCCCAAAAAGAGCGAAGCCCCAGAGATGGATACAGCTGCAATAAACGAGCTCTTGAAAAACGCGCTTGATCAAGCAAAAGCTGAAGCCTGAGCTGAACAGAAACTCGCCGGCCCGGGCGAAGAGCGTCTCACAGCAATCCGAGTCATGATGACGGTGCCACCGTGACCACTTTTAACAAGTACTAGTAAGGACCGTGACGGACTCGGAGGACTCGGACTCATCATGATGACTCCGAGTCGGATCGGATTTGCGGGTCGCCGGCGGTACGTCAACTTGAATACTTGGCCACGGTTCCATGTCACGGTACTACGGTAAGTCGCCAGTCTCTCGCGGATAGGATACTTCACAAGCACCCGTTACTCCGGATAATTCGGGTACCGTAGGTACTGTACTGAAACTTAGCCCCTACAAGCTGGCACCGTACCAGTAGGTACCGTAGGTACCGTAGGTAGATTGTTCTACCTACGGTACCGCAGTACCTGTGACAGTTCACAATGTGCACTGTGATTGATTTAGAGCATCAAAGTTTGGCCGTGGAAAGACCAACAACACGACGACGGCCCTTCGCGATGAATATCGATGAAAGCGGCAACGAGCTGCTGCTTTCCGAGAGCAGCGCGCCTGAGTCGGGCTCGATGGCACAGCGCCAGAGTGACCACGAGCGACCCAAGATTCCTATTTCCCGACCGCGTTCTGCACCTCCCGCAGATAAGATGGCTGCGCCCGACGGTGCGTGCCTCCGGTCGCAGTCTGCACGCGCGAGACCACGCCATAGCACAACTGCATACTTTACCGCCGCGATGCATGCCCCCGTCGGCACAGCACAAAAAGCATCCTGTGGTCGACCTCGCACAGCAATGCGCCGTGACGGCGCCTCACCGAAATTTCTGCAGTTGCCACGCTTCGATCGGGTTGCACCAGCGACCGAGGACACATCAAATCTCGGAGTGCGCCTCCTTATCCTTGCGTTTATCTACCTATCCTAGTCCCGTCCCCACGTAGAGGTTAGGCCACGACAATGGCCGCTGTTGGGCTGCTTGAAATGCAAGGCGCCGGTGGACAAGGTCAAGGCGTAATATCTTTAGCTCCTGGTGCGATACACGGTAGGGTATAAATTCCACTCCGTTGCGATTCCGCGACGACAAGAAGGCAGCAGAGCCTATAGCAAGTGCAGTCAATATTTGTCAGCGTGTTCATTTCCCGGGCACTACCGTCCAGGGCAGCTCCATTGAGCATAAGGATTTTGAAGGACTTTTGCCACTGCCAGGTAAATTGCCAGCTAACAGCTGAGCACTAACTTGTCGCCCTGGCTTGCCAGGATAGGAACCAACCCAAAGATAGAGAACGGCGCAGCGTTTTTAAAAAAATGGTAGCTACCTCGCCGGGTCCTGCAAGTGCTAGTATAACTTGAAGTGCTAGCTTTAGCCTTAGCTTTCAACTTCCCGGCCGAGTCGAGCCTGAGTTCAATCTAGCCTCCAGAGACTCTGTGAAGCTACCTAAGGCCAAATCCCCCATCCCAGACCGGCCGCGGCGCTGCCTTCAAGTTGAGGGGCCAAATTGGCGATATTTTGTAAGCGACTAGATGTCGCCCGACTTTGAAGGTGAAACTCAGGCGGCTTGAACCCCCCGGGCTGGCGGGCGACTGGCACTGGGCCACTGGCTATTGACTGGCAGCCCCCACCGGGCCGCCGGGCCTGTACTGTGACACCCAAAGGTTCCGACTCGGAACGGAAGGCAAATTGAACTTATCTGGTGAGAGCACCGTGACAGGGTTCGGTAAGCTTACCATTGGGCCACCGTCACGGCCCGGGTCCGAGTCACGGTCACGGTGACTGGCTAGTTTCTGTCTGGGGGGTGAGATGCCCTTAGTTTCCCCCATCATAATATTCGCCGGTTTTAGTACACAGACCCCAGGGCCGTCGGAGGGATTTCGGGATCGAGCAAAACCCTTCAGGTTGTCTTGTGTATTAGTAAACTAGACTAGTACACAGTATGACTTGTATGACTCGGAAATGTAACTTGGGTTTTCGCCCCGCACCGTGACGGGGCCGACTTTTTGAGGCGGCACAGCACGGAGATTCGCAGCCCTGGCTGCGATTGCGGGGTCGGGGCCGCAGGACGGCACCTTCGTCGCAGCCCACGCGTGCGGGCTGCCGTGGCGACCGCGTTTCGTGGTTTTATGGCGTGCTGAAATGCTCTCCTGGGGCGAAATCTCACGCAGAATCGCAGCACTAGTTCGCGATGACGCCGCTGCCCGGCGGTCTCCGCAAGCAAGGTGGAAGTTGCTCTGGGATGCCTCGAGTGTGCCGCGGTGGTAGTGGCGGTCGGGCACGCGATGCGGCCAAGAAAAGCTGACCTGAAGCTCGGCCCTTGACGCACCCATAACGAGCCTCGTGGGGCTCCGCGCGAAAAACTTTCGCTGAACCGAGGCTGCCCGAGAAGGTAACAAAGCCAGTGGAACGCGCGGAGATCATGCTCGGCGTACCGCCCCGCGGCGCGACGTAGCAGAAATCGCCAGACGGCATGCCCTAAAGAAGACATTGGGTCAGACACATGCGTGGGGTACTCTCGGACACTGCGGCCGCGTTCAAGCGCTCGAGAAGCTGGAGATAGTGTCGTATTATGTGTCGCGGTTGGGACCGTATCGACGGTCGTCGCGGTGAACCAAAAGCTCGCGCGCCTCAAAATCTAGGGTCTCGAGGCACGTGCTAGGGTAAGGTCGAGGTCCTGTACGATTATCGGGCCCGGGTAGGTGTCACGGTGGGAATACCAAGTTACCGTAGGTAGTAAGCTGATCGCTATTCGCCGATGGCGCTTGACTATGATAATTCGGCATTTTATTACTTTGGCATGACGATGCTCGGAATTTATGTCATTCCGACAACTTTTTGGATCTTGGCGTACGTCTATCGTGAAGAAACGGCGCAATCGTGACCCTAGGCATGTTGATACCGTGCACATAGGCATCATGATGCCGCAGCAGCGTTTCAGCGATGTAGCTAGAACTAGTACTACCCCAGTGTCATTCAAATCTAAACGTTACAGCTTGGCGCGCATTCCAGCAACAGGTGTCGAGAAAGCGAAGGCAAGGGAACTAAGTGAACGGCAATCGGTCACGAGACTCCTCACCAATGCGCGATTTATAATAAATGCCTCCCTTCTCGTCACGGCCTGGGTGGTGCTTCTTATGTTGATTCGGGTACGATATTTCTCTAACTAAGGTACGCAACTCTGTCGTGTAGGCGCTCACATTCGATGCTGAGCTCGCATCATTTGATCCGTTCAAGATTTTGGGAGTCGCATCGAATGCCGAGGATAAAGAAATTCGCAAAGCATATCGCAAACTTTCACTTGAATATCATCCAGACAAAAATCCAGGTAATAAGATTGCTGAAGAGATGTTCATGAAGGTGGCGAAGGCTTATGAGGCCCTCACAGACGACGAAGCTAAGAGGAATTGGCTCGAGTACGGCAATCCAGACGGAAAGCAGTCGCTTGAGGTTTCTATAGGTCTGCCAACCTTTCTTCTGGATGAAGCTAATCATTATGCAATCCTTTGCATTTACCTTGGGGTCCTTGTGGTCATCATTCCTGCAATTGTTGCAGCCTGGTACCAGTACTCTCGCAAGTTTGGAGAAAATAATGTTATGTATGAGACGTATAGTTTTTTTTTGCACGTTCTGTCAGAGCATTCGACAGTAAAAATGCTACCCGAGGTTCTTGCAGGTGCCGCCGAAAACAGATTCCCGGTTAGTGTTGGTGCATCCTCCAGACAAGCAGAACTTTCTCGGCTCATCACTAAACTCCGGCAAGGTCTAATGCAAAAGCCACGATTTGAGCACCCAATTGTTCTGAAAGGAAATGCACTACTTCATGCTCATGTGCATCGCTTGGAAATGTCAGCTCTACTACGTGTTGATTTGCACAAACTGTTAGGAAATGCATCGACATTGATTGACGCCATGGTGGAGCTGGCGCAATCCCAGCGATGGCTGCAGACCTCGATTAACATAATTGACTTTTCACAGTGCCTGACACAAGCACTATGGATCAAGGACCATTCCTTGGCGCAACTACCCCATTTTGGAAATAAGGAGATCCATCATTGCATCAAAGGCAAAAGCGCCGTGAAGGGTTTGCGTGAGTACCTAGATGTGCCTGATGAACATAAAAAGGGACTCGCTGGCATGTCAGATATGCAGTGCGCTGATATTGAGCACGCGTGCAAGATAATGCCTCGCCTCAGATGCAAATTCGATCTTTATGTTGAGGACGAAAGTGAGATTGCCGAGCGCGATCTTGTGACGCTCCTGGTTGCGTTTGATCGCTCGAATATAGCTGATGGTAGGCTAGCTCCTCTTGTTCATGCTCCTTATTTTCCCTCTACGCGGCTTGAATCTTGGTGGATTCTTGTCTCTGACACCGCCGGAAATCTCATCCTTGCTGACAAGGTCAATGCTCAGTCCAAGGTTGTGAATCATCGAGTTAAATTCCTAGCACCTCCTCAAGCTGGCATTTATGTTTTTAATGTCGACTTGAAGTCAACTGATTATCTTGGCCTTGATGTTAGGGAGCAAGTTAAAATGACTGTAATTCCTGCAGCCCAGCTTCCAGAGTACAAGGCACATCCTGATGACCTCAATCTTGATGATGAGCCCACGCTCTTTGAGCAGGTTATGTCTGGTAATGCCGACACTGATTCTGACACTGACGACACATCTCGTGATGGAGATGTCACCAACTGTGATGCTGAAGTTGGCGACTCTCTGGATGATGCCGTCCTCACCGTAGCAGAACGGCGTCGACGAAGAGCACGCATCCAACGGAAGAAACAAAGCAAGGACCAGACATGTGCGGCTTAAACTCATTACGAACTAGGGAACAGCACACCTGTCCACCGAAGGACAACGTGGTGGCTTAATTGTATTGCTTCGCTCTCTGGAGTATGTAACAAATATCACTCCTCTCGCTAGATCCTCCCTCGCCTGAATTATAATATGAGAAATATGACGGGGGACGCACTGGCAATACCAAAAGTCCGGGTCGGTGTCCCAGTAAAGATCTAAAACGCATGGACTACTTCCCGGTCACCGACCCCCAAATTTGCCGTATGATCTCATAATTACTCGACGTCTTGGCCGCCGCCGCCGCCATTTCGAGAATAGGAGGAGCGTTGGTTGGATATATATATATATAATCAACAGTACGAGCTTGTCGCACCCCGTACGTAAGGTTCTGTGTGTACGTGTCGGCAGGTCCAACAGACCCCGCGCTAGCGCGCCATTTTGCGGGCATCGCCACGTCCTCTGGAATTGATCTCTTTTGACGCCTCCCAGCCAAGCACCGCGTTGACACGACGTATCATGCGCCGAGTCTTTTAGCAACCCAGAGATCTGACGAGGCAAGCCCGGAAGCTCCCTTGAGCGGGTGGGTGTCTCATTGTTAAGCGAACGCGAAAAAAAATCAAATGGACGATCAGGAACCTGCGGAGAGTCCGTTACCACCGGCCATATTGCGATCGCTGGGTGATCGGTCCTATGACAAAAGAAAAAACGCAGCTCTAGAGATTGAAGCTCTCGTTAAAACACTTCAGCAGAAAAGTGACACCGATCGCATTTGTTCAGTAATTGCTTTGTTGGGCCAAGATTTTGCTACATCCACCAACACGAATCACCGTAAGGGTGGTCTCATCGGGCTAGCGGCTACAGCCATAGGATTGATGCCAGATATCTTCTTGTATCTCGATGCGTTGTTGCCTCCAGTCCTGCATTGTCTTGACGACCCAGAGAGCCGCGTGAGATATTACTCATGTGAGTCACTATATAACATTGCGAAGGTAGCTAGAGGTGATGTTCTACGATATTTCAATCAGATTTTTGATGGACTGTGCAAGTTGTTTGCTGATGTTGATATCGACGTTAAAAATGGAGCAAATTTACTGGACAGACTGATCAAAGACATAGTTACTGAATCTAATTGCTTTGATGTTGAACGTTTTGTTCCTCTCCTACAAAAATATATTCGTCGGTCGAACCCATACATACGACAGTTACTTGTTGGTGCGATTCATTCTTGAAACTGATCTTAATTCCCTGGCTAGGTTGGATTACCGTTCTCGACTCCGTGCCTGATATCAACATGCTAGATTGGTTGCCTGACTTTCTTGATGGCCTATTCCACATGCTTTCAGATTCCAACAGAGAGATACGGCAAGCTGCTGGTTCTGCAATTGGGGGGTTCTTAAATGAAATCAAAAGGTCCAAGCTGGTAGAGTTATGCCCGATGGTTGGCATTCTTGTCGACCAGTGTCGACACAAAGAACGGTCCAATCGACTAACAGCGATGATATGGGTGCGGGATTTCATCAAGCTTGGTGGACACAAGTTGCTGCTATTCTACTCTGACCTTCTTGGCGCTATCATGCATTGCATTTCAGACGTCGACATTGAAATTCGTCAGGTTGCTGGCCATACAAACATAGATTTGTTAAAGTTTGTCAAAACAACTAAAGAGCATTTTGAGCTATCTCCTTTGTTACAAACTTTGACTACAGAGCTGGATTCTCACTACATCCCTACTAGAATGGCGACCTTGAGGTGGATTAACATGTTACTGGAAAAGGCACCAGGTGAAATGAAGAACTTTATCTCTGAACTCTTGCCTGCATTGTTAAAGACATTGTCCGATGAAGCTGATGAAGTTGTCCTAACAAATCTCGAAGTCCTGGCTCAAATTTCGCTCCTACATAATCAAGAGTTTCAACGCGTCCTGAATGCCATAGTCTGTTTGTTTGCAGAAGACCGAGGCTTGCTAGAACTCAGGGGCTCTTTGATAATTCGTTATCTTTGCTCTTTATTGAGCGCCAAGTCTATATACTTTTCTCTAGCCGCCATTCTTCAAGGGACACCAAGTGAAGGGACCTCAGGCAACTCGTCATTGCTCGAAGATGCACTTGAGTTTCGCTCAATTATGGTTCAGACTCTAAGCCTTATATTGCTTACAGCCCGTGAGCTTGACGAGCTGCGAGAAGTACTTCGTTCCAGCTTGGAGCCAAGTGCACCAGATGAGGCCACCAATTTGTTCATCATAATGTATGAATGTTGGTGCCATAATCCTGTGGCTACGCTAGCTTTATGCCTTCTGGCCCAGGCATATGACCTTGCTGCCTCGCTCATCACTCACTTCGCCCTTGTGGATGTTACAGTGGGATTTCTCATGCAGGCGGATAAGTTAGTTCAGTTACTCGAGAGTCCCATTTTTCTTCAGCTCCGTCTGCAACTTTTGGAGGTGAATGCTGGGTATCACCCGCTGTTGCTAAAAAGTTTGTACGGGCTATTGATGTTACTTCCACAATCTGCTGCATTTTCAATACTCAGTAATAGACTTAGCACAATTGTAACATTACAGCAACATACGCAACATACGAAGAAACTAAATAACATGGAAGGTCCTGTTACGTCAAATGTTCAGAAACGAGAACTCCTATCGAGCTTTAAGCATATTCAATCGCTTCATACTCAGGCAAGGCAAATCACGATTCGTCGCCGAGAAGCCAGTCAGTCATTGCTCACGTTGTCGACAGCAAAGTAGGGTCTATCTACTTGCTGACAAAACGACCCCCATGAGCCAGCTAGCCGCCGCTACTAGCAGCCGCAAGAATAATACTAGCCGAGCTTATCCCATTTGAGCGCGCTCTGCGCGCGCGGGTCAGCCGCAGCCGTCGCGTAGAGCCGCGCAAGAGCTGCTGGGCCGTCTCGGCGGCTCCGAGCGCCCAAAGCTGCTGCTCTCCGCAGAGGGAGGAATGTTGTTTTAAAAGTGACAAGAAGACCCGATTAGACGAGGCTCGGCTGTTTCTGCCACATCAGCAAGTTGCCTTCTCAGTTGCCAGTGGAAATTCTAGGCCGGCGGGCAGCATGGCCCTATCCCCCCTCAATATCGTGCGAAGGAGACCGGACGGTGTGACGCAAATGAAAATATGTTGAAAATTGCCCTTTTTTGCAGGGAGACACCCGGGCCCCCTTGACAACAAACCTGAAGGCCGCGGCTAGGTTGCAAATGACCCGAGGGGTTATTCCCTGGCACGGCGGGGGTCCCTAACCCGGGTAACTAACGGGCCATTTGCGGGTAAGTTGCAACCTACTCAGGCTAGCAGCTCTACAAGCCCCTTGGCCTGAGCCTTCAGACGGGGGGTGAAGTGGGGGGTGTCCCCTAATTTGAGATTCGAGTTCCCAGCCACTTATGCGCCGGCGATTTTGGCTACGGGGTCCCAAAGGGTCCCTTTGTACGCCCCGTGACCGGGGTGGGGGGAAGGGGTCACTTTCGCGGCGAGACGCGGTCGCGAAGTTGCCCGTCTGGGGCCTAACGTGCAGGTATTTCAGGGGCCTCTGGACTGAAAAATCAAAACTCTATGCTAGGATTTTGGTCTCCCAGGGGCCCTCGGGTACCTATGGCGTGGGGTGGATGCGTAGGCGCGGCCGGGTACCCGATGGGCTGCCAGATAGGTCGCCTGACCCGGCACGAAACGCCACTGGTGCGACCTTCGCAGGCCACTAAAATTTCCAAACCTAATCGTTTCGGTTACCTGTTTCGGTCACGTCCTAGAGGGGTATATAGGCCCCTCTGGCTCAATTTGCCGGAACACCAGACGTCTAGTGATAGAGATACGGCAAATTTGGGGTTCAATGGTGTCACCCCCCGTGCCTTCAGGAGTCGTACGACCCCACCATCCAGCAGATAAACGGCCAGACCCCAAATGAAAAAAGTGCCAGACCGTCCCGCGCGGGCCCCCAGAGGAAAAAACCGCATCTTAGTGCAAATAGAGCATCTCCGAGCGATCAAGAGTCCGTGGCAATGGCGTATACGCACAATATACCCCCCGCACTTGCAAACGCGTCCGCAGAGCGCACACCGTCGCCGCATTCGTTTACAGTCAAATCCTCATCGCGGCGCAAAATCCTTCTGGTCAGCCATCCGTAGATCGTGGTACGGCGGCAAATTGAGGAGGTGACTGAAACGGGTAAGCGAACTATTGGGTTTGAGAGTTTTAGTGGCCTGCGAAGGTCGCGTTTCCGTAAGAGGTTGTTGGGGCTAGTGACATCCAGACTCACTCCGAGGAGGACCCCAGCGTGACTTCGCTGCGGTAAGGGTAAAGAACTGCTTCTGTCAATCTATTCATCCTGCCTGGGAACAGACTTGCGTGCGGGGCGGATATAAAGCGGCCAAACCTACGCGAGCTTCCTGCAGGCCAGCTTCCGAGCAACATTTTGAGAATTACAGGCAGCCATGTCTATGATTTCCGTTTTTCGTCCCCAGTCGCAGAGCGTTGCTTGGAGATCATACATATGGGCTTTTTGACTAACGTAGTCCAGCGTGGAAGGCAAGCCACTCGGCTCGACCTTGTCACTGCGCAGGTTTTTACTATTTCGCTCGCTTGCAACATCCAGATTCACGGTGTTTCTTTCATCACTGACCTTGCACAGTTGTTTGGTCCGGGCAATTATCTCAAGCTTCAGCCAGCCAGACTCAGCAGACAATGTGTTAAGCGTTTTCTTAAGCCGATTAAGCGCCTGAACTGTCTTGCTAGTAGTCATCTTTAGGCGAAGAAGCTGCTCATTGCGATCTTCGATTCGTGCTTGGTATTGTTTGTTTTCTATCTGGAGTTGATGAAAGTCAATATAATGGAGAGCATCACCGGTCTGTTCTTTTTGCTTCATTTGTAATTCAACTTTGTACAAGTGTGTCTTGATTGTAGAATTTTTCAGTCGAAGTTTCCCGATCACACCGTCTCTCTTTTGTAGCTTTTCTTCCATATACCGCGTTGTCTTTTCAGCCAAAGTCTTGCCGGTCCGCATGCTTTCAGCTCCGACGACAATGTCACGCTTAAACTCGTAAGCATCTTTCTTCAGATCTGAGATGCGGATATCTGTCTCTTCTAACACGGTGCGCAAAGTGTCAGCGAGGGTTTCTGCTGCCTTCCTGTGTTCCCCAGACTGCTGGCTAACCCGTTCTTGCTCTTTGATGGCAATCTCGCACTTCTGCTCTATCATCAGCTTCAGAGGCAATTGCCGTTGGTGCGTAACCTAGGGGGATATAAGTAATATGCAAAACTTCCGATATCAAACCTTTTCGCCTTCGGCGGGTAGCGCACAACAGTCGAGCCCCCCAGGAGCTTTTAGCCGACTCTTGTAGTTGCGTAAGATATCATTTTCCAGCTTGAGGCCTTCAATTTCTCGTTGTATCTCTTCATAGATTTGTTCCAATGCTTCTGTTTGATGATTGTCCTGAGAGGGGAAACTTTGCAGCTCCATGTCCAAGATATATTTAATGGGACAAATTGATACAAATTGATATCTCATGATATACGTATTGTATTGTACTCTACCTATAATATTTCATACATCGGCCAATTCTACCAAATGCCGACTCTGGGCAGGTGTCCAGACGAGCGCCCTGTGCAGTGAAAGCACTGTACGCGGTCATGCTCCCGGTCCGAGTCATGCTCACGGTGGTTTCAAGTTGGCCCCTAGCAGACTCGGACCGTGACCCGCCGGGTAGTGGTCCGGTGGGCACTCTGACTCGTACCAACGTGACTCTGAGTTGGATATACGTTGCACCAGGGCCAACTTGAAGGGGCCATCATACTCAGGCTTTCTGAGTCGAGGGGTCACTGGCAGACCTACTCGCCTCACTTGCCTGCGATCGGCTCTAGCCCGGGGGCTCGAGGTCCCTTGGCCGTGCCGGTCTCACCCAGGGCGGCGCTCGGGTGTTCGAAGCGAAAGCTCGCGCCTGGCGCAACCCTTGGCGGGTTGGAGCTCGCGGGAATGCCGTTAGCTGTGGGGCATCCATCTATTCCCAAGTTCCGTTCCACCCTGTGTGGGTCGAGCGCCGTCTGGCGCGGGTCGAAGTCTCACGACTCCCCGCCCGACACGTAGGCGGGCCACGGGTCAAAGTCTAAAACTCCCGTGGCCAGTCACCAGCTCCACGTAGGGGGGGGGGACGCCAGGTACTGAACGAGTCTTAATCGATCCGAAATTACCGGCTTTTTCGCAAGGGGGGTTGCTAGCGGCAAACTTTTCGTGCTGTGGGCTACGCCAGAAAGTTTTTTCCGGCCCGAAGGGCCGGCCGGGGCGTCCGGAGCCCCGGCCACAGGGGCGAAGCCCCGGCCAGGGGGCGGATTTGGGACCATTTTATGCCCCATTTGCACCAAAACGTGTCAAATTTGCCCAGGTCACTGATCCCAAAACGTCACGAGTCGCGGTGCTTTTTCATCAGGGACACCGTACACATTCTATAGCAAACGTGGTCCTCCAAAGTACGCCTCTTCTGAGGGCATAACCGTGTGGGGAAGACTGCCAGTGACATTTTTCTATGGTCGATATGAAGTTTTGACCAGGTTTGCAGATTGCGACGTAGTCCTCTGATATCTTTGCTTTACGTGCACCGACAGAATGTTCCTTGAAGTACTTAATCAACTTGGGTAACTTTTGCCAGTTGCAACCCAAGAAGTATAGCATTTTTCTAGTGTAAATATCCGAGTCCGAGTCTGTCTCGATACCATTATTGCTTGCAATGGAAATACACGTCTAGTAGGATCAAGGTTCAACTGAGACGTATCCAAGCACAACCCGTACTTGTATTACCCGCCTAGGCTACTTCCCATCCTATTGCGCGTTGCGTGTTGAAGGGTGATGTAAGTGTATAGGAAGGGTATAGGATAGGGGGGGGTATTTCGCCCTATTTATCGCATACCCTAGCAATAAAACAGCCATAAAACGCTAAAAAAAGCTAATATTAACGCCGCCGTCATCACCAGGACGGGTCGTCCCATGCCCGGTACGCGCTAGACAGCGTGCGCCAAGCCGAAGTCTGCGCGGCTACGCGCGGGCACGGCACAAACGAAACAAAGTAACTCCCTTAGGCCTTCCTTCGCTTCTTGAACTTCTTGCCAGGCGGCAGCGGGAAGCCTGGCAGGCGCTGGTCTGGCGGCACAGTGCAGTAGGAGGCGGGCGGAGGTGTACATGGGTGTTTGGGGACCGAGAGTTGCAGGTCTAGTCGGCGCAGGTGGTGTGCGCCGCTGCGTGGCGTCGCGAGCCTTGTCGAGGTCCACCGCGAGGTCCGAGGAGAAGTGCGCGAGGAAGGCTTTGGCCACCGAGGCCCCGGTACGCCGTACGTGGGGAACAATTTCAGAGCCAAGATGTCAGAATTAAATCGATGGCGCCGTGATGGATCTGGTGCGCGTCCAAGTTATCCAGAGCGCTAGATGCCAAAGCAACCTCGCGAAGCCGTGCAGGGGGCTGCTGGCCCGCCGTCGAGAGAACGCCGATGCCCCATTCCACCGCGACGGCGCGCACGCACGCCCCCTCCCGCGTCGGATTCGTAAACCCAGGGAACCCGCCGTTTCCTAGGGCTCTCGGTCCGATCTCTCCGGAGGCCTGCCCTTGAGGTGGGAGTTGACGGAGTGCTGAGAGAAATGGCCACCGCCGGCCGCCGCTGCGGCCCCGCAAGTACGCTTGCATCGGTTGGAGCGGGACAGCAGGCTGCCCCAGCCTAGTCGCCTGGTCTGTCGTTCATTTTTTGTCCTTGTAAAGTACCGTGGGACCGCTGGTAACCCGAAAAAAAAAAAAGAGGGGGGGGGAAAGGAAAGGTAAGAAAAGAAGGAACTTATCTATGGCCTGATAAGCGCAAGGATGCGCACCCTCTAGTACACTTTGGCATCATCCGGGGGCGCCGGCAGGGCCCTACCCGCGTCGGCACCGTACGAAAGATGCGCACCGACGATCGTCAGCGGCGCCGGACGCCAGGACAGGGAGGTGCCTTGACCCTCAAGCAAGGGGTACAGGTCTGCCGGGGCGCCGGCCGAGCCCGGCCGCGGCGGTACAGTCCGGCACATGGGGCTACTGGGACTCCTAGGAGAAGGCGGCGACCCCGACTGGGATTAGGCCCTAGTGCGGCCGAGGCTACGACTTGAGACTAGAAAACGTTACATTTCACAACACGCGTGGACGGCGCGGCCGCTGCGCTGCGGCGGCGCAGTGCCGAAGCAGCTGTCTCTGCGACGCGTCGCACGCCAGACTGGTAGAAGACGACCTCCTAGACACTGGTGTCGTATGCGCGCTGATGTCGGTCTGACAGAAGCGGTTCGCGCACTCGACGGGCTTTCCAACCCCTGCGCTCAGCATCTACGCACACATCCACAGGATACGCCTCGAGTCGAATTACGTCGGCTAGGCGTGGCTCCGAGTACCGCCGATCGAGTGCTGAAGTGGCGCCGCGTGCGTCCTGGAGTTGGCCGAAGACGTGCGGCAGACGGCGTCGGCGAACGGCGGCGCCACGCATGAGCAAACAACTGCTAGAGATTCGTCGAGGCGAAGGCCGCCGGGCATCCGAGGCAGTCGTAGGCAGCATCACATTGCCATAGCGCCAGGGAACTGACGTCGCAGGGGACCGTGCGCCGTTTGAGGGCATGATGGGCTGCGTGGGCAGCGTTTTGCGCGGCTTCGGTTGCGCGCCCATCCGGGGGGACCCCCGGCAGCGCCCCGGCGCCTCGAAGCCGCGCGAAGGCCGCGCACTGGGGACATATCCTCCAAAAACACGCTCGGAAAAGGTAAACTTACACATACCATAAGTGCACTTTTACCGGTATCCGTAGCCGGCCAGCGCCCACCCGCCTGCAAAACCCGTGCCGGGGGTCTCGCAGGGACACCCTAGTGTCAAAGACACAAGTATTCGCAGGCGGGTGGGCCAGGGCCGCGGCCGCGGCGCCTGTGGAAAACCCGCACGTTAGGCCATTTTGTGGACCTCACCACATCTCAAGGGGGGCGCCTCCGTGGCAAGCTAGTGTCGCTGTGTGCTTAGGATGCCCCTGGGGCCCAACGGGCCAAGTTTCGACACTCAGGCCATCAATTCACCAATTTGGGTTCCGGCCCCGCGGGCCCGTCATACACATATTGCGTAGACCTAGTCTAGTTCGCAGCCCGTTTCTTTTTCGATCCTTAGCTCGTGTACATTTGCTACACGTAACAAATGCCCCTGGGTTTCGGTGTCCGGCAGCGGGAGCAAACCCGCCTACTACTATTATGCGCCAGGCTGGCTTCGGGCGTAATGATAAAACATGGCGCGAGCATTTAACACTAAGATATGGGCCCTCGCGGCTGCTCTATTTGGTGGTCGAGGGAGTTTCGCATTCTCCAGAAATCATGATAACCGGCGTGCCGTGATTCGGGCTTGTGATTCAAATGGCCCCGCAAAACTATTTGTGCATCCGCTATTGGACAAGAAATCTTTCGTGTCAGCAACACGTGAACGCGAGGGGGGCAACACACAAGATCTGGTGGTGCTTCTTTTTTTTCATACGGCGATAATCAGCTCGTCGAATGTTTGCATACTAGGTAATTAAATTTTATGCTCCCTGGTGCCGTGCGTGCAGAGGACTTGAACCCAAATACAAACGGCTTGCAATGGAGTATAGTAACAAACGCGTTGTGTTCTATGAGATGTCTCACAAGGCGATAACGGGTTTCATTTGTGTCCGTCCACTCACGCACGCCCGCTACTCTTATACTTGCTGCTGACACTTCTTCATTCTGTAGGGCGGGATGGGGGAGTGACATTCTTGCAAGGACTAGAGGTAAATGTCTTGCCATTGGTGCAATTCTATGCCGGGGGCAAACGAGTTGAGACGTTTCCCTGCGGCCCTCGCAAAATCGAACTGCTTCGTGAGAAGCTCGAAAAATGGCAGAATTGGTATGCCCAAGACGCCTTGAAACAGGGGAAAGGGGGCTCAAGGCAGAGTGATATGTGATTGTATAAAGCGTATTTAGATTTAAAAACAGGCTTTATTGCCAGCACTGAGCTTCCAGATCGACCAAGTAAATTGCGGGCGCGTGACCGCACAGATCTTGTTGGCCTACCACCGAAAGCACAAACAAAGTTGAAAGCTATGAGCACAGAAAAACTAGGTGCAGGATCAATAGCAAATTTCAAATTGATCGTTGCAGGGAAAATAATGGCGCGAGTTCCCTTACTAGCAAAGTTAAATGAAGCTCAATTGGGGACTGTCTTGAAGGAGAGTAGAATCGCTACCTACGAGGCAGGGGACGTTCTTATCTTCGAAGGCGACATCGGCAACAAGCAGAGTGGAGTTGTAAAATATAAATTGCATGTCTTATTCTAGCACGCACATCAAAAACTATAGGCCGGAGATTTTTTGTGCTTCTAGACGGCGAATGTGATGTCTTTCAGCTATCTAATCTGGCCAGTTCTAGTCGCATGCCTGGGTTTTCGCCTGATCCGACACGGACGGCTTTTGGGGGGAGGACAAATACCCTAGTTGCTGGGGCGTATTTTGGGGAACGGGCCCTTGTCACCAACGAGCCTCGTGCGGCATCAATTGTAGCCGCTACTAATGCGATTGCTCTCATCATCGACCGTTCTGCACTAGCCAGAGCGGATCGGCGGATCTGGGGTGAGGATACAACTTTTGATTCACTCGTAGATTTGCTTGAGCTCTCCTCAGAGGGCGTGCTCTGGGGCTACGAGCGAAAAGGGCCGATGCTTGAGTCGGATGACATTCTTGAGAGCAGGTCTCCATTAGGCCATCCATCCATCGGAAATGTATCTTCTGCGCCACCGAAAGCAGGATCTGCATACTTCGAGAATACCACCATGCCGCTGCCGGTCATGCAGCGGCTTCGGCTGTTGCGCAGCGTGATTCGGGCATTTGATCAAGCTGCAGCTCGTTCACCCAAATGGGGCGACGCCGCCGAAATTTTATACCGCAAAAGGCTCGTTACGCAGCTCACCAACTACCAGCGCCAGGAGTTCAAGCAAACATTTGCTCTACTTGATCGTGATGGCGACGGCTCAATATCTGTTTCCGATCTCGCCTCACTTATGGTCGCTGTTGGAAGACACCCTAATGCTCTGGAATTGGCAAATATGATAAACAAGGCCAATCCGGAAATAGAGGGAAATACAAATTTAAACCTTGATGACTTCCTTGCCTTGATGGCCCAGGCTGAGTTTTCTGCAATGTTTCTTGAGGCCTTCAAGCTTCTTGACCCTGCAGGCCATGGTTGGGTTGAGTCAGAACTCCTCTGGCAAATGATGAACGCACTCATACCTTCCGCAGCCGTTGAGGGGAAGACAGCCATACCTGAGTTTTTTGGCGGCAAGTTAGATGAATTAGTAGATACATTTGGTGTCTCAGACGGACATATAGATTACCAGGCTTTTGTAAAAATAATGATGACGAAACAGAGATAGCAGACAATGCTTTTTAATTTCTTGTTTGTGAACCGTACATAGTGAATGTGGTGCTTGACAAGACTTCTATTCCTATAACGATATTCCTACCTTAAAAGAACTTGAACTTGAAGAACTTGAAGTCTAAACCAACACAACTCGAAGATCTAAGGTTTTTTTTGCCCTTCTGCCACGGATTGCCTACTGGCGTAGAGAGATATCGGCGACGCTTGCACCAGCACCAGCACCAGCACCAGCACATGGTCTAGCAGAAGTTGTCCTCTCCGTACTTGAGCTTCATTCTCAGGCACGGGCACGGGTCGCGCGGCGGCGCTGATGAACAGCGTTGCTCTCCGGGGCGTAGCTTGATCATTTAAGGCTAATCCACGCCCCGCGAATGGCTGGCCAAAAGCATTTTTGGGCTGCAATGAGGATTTGACTGTAAACGAATCCGTCGACAACTTGCGCTCGGCGGACGCGTTTGCGGATTGCGTCACGGACTTCACGACAGAAACTGCGTCGGAGCCTCGGAGGGACATACTGGACAAATATCCCACCGGCTTGGACCGCTTGGTCGCTCGGAAAAGCTCCATTTACACTAAGGTACGGATTTTCCACGCTGAAGGTACCCTAGGTTCCTCGCTCGGTCCGTGCTCCGGCGTGGTAGATCCACCCTCCTAGTGAGGTTCTTCAGGTCTTCATCGGGGCCCGGGCCTGCCGCCGCCCCCGGGCCTTCTACGGGCCTTCCATACCAGGTAGCAGGGACATTTCCGATACTCAGGCTAGTTGCCCCGACAGAGTACTTTTAACAGTAGGGGCACCAGGGCCGATTAGTAAGCAACAAGAATACCGATTTACCCCGGCGGGGCCCTTTTGATGACCAAATGGCAATTCGGCGCACTGGCCGCACTCAAGAGATGAGCCACAAAGGCCGGGCCACTTTGACCAGTGGCCGGGGCCGGGAACGACGCCGCGGGCTCACTGTGACCGTGACGTGAGGGGCTCCGCGATAACCGGATGCTGCGGAGCCCTGACCCATCTGTTTTCACAGAGTACTGCTAGGCTCATCGAGTGCAGCGCGAGAGACTAAAACTGGTGCGCACATGTCGCAAATTTCCTTCTTGGACTGCGAGGCGTTGTAAATGGATGTGGATGGCGTTAGATCAAAGCGGTTCGTAGCCATCGCGAACACGGCGCTATCCATCTAACTTTCCTAGGCGCCGTACAGCGGAGGCAACTCCATCTGACTTAGATGGTCTATCAGACCAGCTACAGTCAGTGTCTTTGGCTATATCTGCGGCGCTTGATGGCGAGAATGCAGAAGGAAGCCACAAAAGTATGGAGGAATTACGCCAGTGGTACCAAACGGAAGTCTTCGCAGCAACTGACGCTCAGCAGCAGCGATGGGAGGAGCGACGCTGGGCGTTTCTGGGACAGTTGCAGCACACTTCTGCGTACTTCAAGATACCTCAGTGACACTCCAACAATTATTCTCCAGGCATGTTTTACGAAAGCCACTAACACACACGGTGAGTACGACGAGCACCTACTATTACTTCTAGTCCGTATATTCTTCAGGCCTTTGCTTATAACGTTGATGCACTACTTGATAATGAGAGCAACCTTATTCAAAGTCAATTTTACTAGAGTTTGTGAAAACACGTCAAGGATTTTTTAGCTTCAAAATTGCTGTGGCAGGCTCTGCCTTCGGTGGCCTTCTATTTGTTGGACGCTCACGTTACAATGATATTGTTCTTACTCGATGTTATGATTAGACTCGGAATTTTGTGACATAAAAGACTGTAGGTTGTTGCTGATGAGACTGTAAGTCGAGTGCATTGCATTATTGTTCGCTCGATTGGTAAATTCTCTTAGCTCTTAGCAATATCAGCAAGTGTTGACTTTTGTGCACATAGGCACAGTGGGCGTGTTTGACGGTTGGTCTAGCTATGGAACATCCACCCTAGAACGTGGTCGCACAGACCGTGAATGTGAAGAGTCGGCGGTTGATAATCGGCGGCCTCTCATTTTCGACGAGGGTGAACCATTCACCCTGAGGGTAAGTGAGCGCATTCCTGATTGAATGAATTGAATGGACTTAGGTCGGCAAAAACGCAACTATAAAATTTCTTGGTTGAGCAAATAGCCACGACCAAAGAAGTCGTGCCCTGAAAGCTAGACTAATATATGGCCGTAGTTCCACGCAGCCAACACACTGCTTCTTCAGTCAGCCGGATGTTGCTTCTCGCGGTCCCTGGGTAAGTTAGAGATACATCAACCTCCAACCTCCCCCAGCAGCCACAATCTCCTCGGGAAATACCCCCCATCAACCCCCATCCAACCCCCGGACGACGTACCGTGACGAGTGGAGCCTGAGCTGCTGGCCAGCCTGAGTGAGTGAACGACTTGTCTTGGTAGGGGCACGATAGGCGTATTTGGAGGTTCTACCGCATGACTGGTGACACAGGTCCGGAGCCCGATCGAAAATCGACTGGGCGTTGCTGGTAGATGAGCTGTTAGGCATACGCTAGTAGTAAGGCTGGCGATAATCGCATAATCGCCATGGAGACTCCCCCTGAACCGCGAGAAGATGCACCAGTTCCCGTGAAGGTCAAGTTTTCGACAATCTGTCAGATCATTATCATGCTCGTTCGTAGGACGAGGAAATCGATACCAATTGGGACGAGGCCATAGAAACGTTCGACAACATGGAGTTGCGCGAGGAGCTGCTCCGTGGCATTTATGCGTACCAACATTGTTACGATTCCAAATGAGTGTTGTCGTCACATGCCTCATCATGTAGGTACGGATTTGAGAAACCATCTGCAATCCAGCAGCGGGTAGGACCCGTGTCTTGCTGATCGCGACTGTCCCCAGAGTCTTTTTTTTCTCCTCAGGCGATCAAGCCCATGTTAATGGGGCGCGATGTTATCGCACAAGCACAGTCTGGGACAGGCAAGACTGCCACTTTCTCCATTGGTATTTTGCAGCAGGTAGATAATGGTCTAGCTGAGTGCCAAGCTCTAGTGCTAGCGCCTACTCGTGAACTCGCGCAACAAATTGTCAAGGTCATGATAGCCCTTGGTGACTTCATGTCGGTGCGGATTCATGCGTGCGTGGGCGGCACTGCAGTGCGTGATGACATACGGACACTGCAGAACGGTGTGCATGTTGTTGTTGGCACCCCTGGTCGCGTGTACGACATGATCAATCGCCGAGCTCTTCGCCTTGCTGACACAAAAATATTTGCTCTTGACGAAGCTGATGAGATGCTTTCACGTGGCTTCAAAGACCAAATTTACGACGTCTTCAAGTTCTTGCCTGAGCAGGTTCGAGTTGCCCTTTTCTCGGCAACAATGCCGTTAGAAGTTCTCGAGATCACTAGCCGCTTCATGCAGGAACCTATCCGCATTCTTGTAAAGAAAGACGAGCTCACCTTGGAAGGCATTAAGCAATTCTACATAGCTGTGGAACGAGAAGAATGGAAGCTGGACACACTCTGTGATCTCTACGAGACACTCACCATCACGCAGGCAATCATATACTGCAACACCCGGCGCAAGGTCGACTGGCTCACAGATAACATGACTCAAAAAGATTTTACGGTCTCGGCAATGCATGGCGATATGGATCAAAAAGAGCGTGACATAATCATGCGAGAGTTCCGTTCTGGGTCTAGTCGTGTCCTAATAACCACAGATCTCCTCGCTCGCGGCATTGATGTCCAGCAAGTTTCACTTGTTATCAATTACGACCTTCCAACTAATCGCGAGAACTACATTCACAGAATAGGTCGTTCAGGCCGCTTTGGCCGAAAGGGTGTCGCAATCAACTTCTTGACTTCGGGCGATGTTCGGTACATGCGTGATATTGAGGCCTTCTACAATACACAGATAGAGGAGATGCCCATGAATGTTGCTGATCTCATTTAAAACACCTGGCTGCAAAATAGCACCAGCTAGCACGACAGCGGAGAAGAATTGACGGGTCCAGTGTTGCAATGAAAAAAAAAATTCGGCTGGGGCCTTAGCCGCGTTTATACTGACGGGTGATCTGCGGCTCTGGCTCTACCTGTGCCTGGTTTCTGCTTGGCTTCTCCTGTAGCTCCCTCCCCGTTCCGATACGACCTTCGACGGCGCAGGGCGGCCGACGACTAATCCCAATACACCACTAGGATGTAGGTTAAAGGGGAAACGTAGCTTCCAACGTCCAGATTCACCCTTCCTATACAAGGGGGGGGGGGGATACTGATCGTCAAGTTTTCGCCTGGCCCGGGCCCGGGCCTAAGAGGCACCATGTGTCTGACTCGGACTCGGAGAAACTTTGACCATTTCTCCCAGGGCCTCTTGGCGGCGGGGCCTTGCTGGGTTTTCGCGTGCCCCGGGACTCTTCGGGCGACAACGATGATGATATAAGTTGAGTGGTTTATTAAATATAAATCTTAAAATTCTAAAATCTACATTTGGTAAGGTCGGGGCGGGGGAACCCCAAAATGTAGATTGTCCTTACCATCTTTTTTTCATCATCTTTTTTTATTAGAGGCCGATTGTCCTATGAGCGCAGCGAATAGGGCTTAATTGGCCTCTAAAATCAAAAAAGTGGTGTAAAAAAACACTCAACTTATATCATCATCCGAGCAAGAAAAATTCCCAACTAGTATGTAATGTAACTTGGTATTTCGCCCTGCTTGGGATTTCGCCCCACACCTTCCCGGGCCCCTTTGGTGTTGATAATCGTACCAGACCTCGACCTTACCCTAGCACGTGCCTCGAGACCCTAAATTTTGAGGCGCGCGAGCTTTTGGTTCACCGCGACGACACTATCTCCAGCTTCTCGAGCGCTTGAACGCGGCCGCAGTGTCCGGCAGTACCCCACGCATGTGCCCGACCCATTGTCGTCTTTCGCGCATGCCATCTGGCGAATTCTGTTACGTCGCACCGCGGGGCGGTACGCCGAGCATGATCTCAGCGACGGAATTGGTGCAAATAGCTGCCCCTGCGCGTTCCACTGGCTTTGTTGCCTTCTCGGGCAGCCTCGGCTCAGCGCGGAACCCCACGAGGCTCGTTATGGGTTCGTCAAGGGCCGAGCTTCAGGTCAGCTTTTCTTGGCCGCATCGCGAACTAGTGCTGCGATTTCTGCGTGAGATTTCGCCCCAGGAGCATTTCAGCACGCCATAAAACCACGGGCAGCCCGCGCGCGTGGGCTGCGACGAAGGTGCCGTCCTGCGGCCCCGACCCCGCAATCGCAGCCAGGGCCGCCAATCGCCGTGCTGTGCTGCCTCAAAAAGCCGGCCGAGGGGGGCGAAACTAGAGATACATACATTTCATAGATAGGTGATAAGTTTCCTTAATTCCTTACCTGCGGGAAGAGCTTTTGCGCAGGATGAATAGTTGATGGGCATGCCTATTGCAGGCGTGGATTTTTTTGTGTTAAACCCGCCGTAATGACTAGCTCAGATCTTGTAACTACAATCCCCCTTTCAGTGGCCTTAGTCTTCGCACGTAGCTCTGGATGGCATTGATGCACTTTCGGAGGAGGGAACATGATCAATGTACTGCAATCTGCACCGAGATACTGCGCACACAACCCAAAAGTCAAGCAGCGATATTTGTCAAATGTCGCGCTTTGAGCTCCAAGACTTGGATTGATGACACAGAGCTAGAACGTACAGGCGACACTGATCTTATGTCGGAGGATATCGCTGTAAGCGTGATGCCGAGGTGATTGAATGGATGATATTGACATGATAAGACCTGTGCAGGCCTGGTACGTCGATTGCGCATCCAACCTCTTCAAGCATGTCTGGCGTCGTAAATCAATACGTGAGACCGGTGTCGGTTTGTCGCATCACTAGTCAGTCTGGGGTTTCTCCCACTCTTCAAAATGTCACTATGGCGGCTACTTCAGAGGGAAGTTATCTTGATATTACTAATCTTGAATTTTTGGAATTTGCGCATCAGACTGCTATGGCCAAAGCAATTTGCGATTACCTGATTTACTTTGTACGCAACATAAAACAGGCGTTGAGGCTGTGTGAAGAGGTCTTGAAGAAGAAAACATCTTTAGAAGACTGGTGGTGGAAATGCCGTTTTGCTAAATGTTATTACCGCCTTGGACTATACAGAGATGCTGAATATCAACTTATTTGCTCATTGCAAAATCAGAATATGGCATTAAATGTGCTGGGGCTCTCAAAGGTATACATGCGCTTAGATCAACCTAACACAGCGCTGAAGGTGCTCCAAAAAGGCATTGAAAAGATGCCGGAGGAGTCGCACCTAAAAATAGGTGTAGCGAGAATTTATGAAATGATGTACGCAACATGCAGAAGCTTGCTATTTTATAAGAATGCTCTGGTTCTCGATGCATCTAACATTGAGGCACTAGCCTGTTTGGCTGCAAACTACTTCTATGAGCATCAACCTGAGCTGAGCTTGCGCTATTATCGTCGTCTGCTTCAAATGGGTGTTTCCGGACCTGAAATATGGAACAATATTGGCCTCTGTTGCTTCTATTCCTCACAGCTTGATATGGCACTCGACTGCTTTGATCGTTCCCTTCGATTTGCAGATGACGCTGCTGATGTCTGGTACAATATTGGACACCTTGGAATTAGCATGGGTGATTTCCACATGGCGCATCAGTCCTTCAAAATTGCATTATCTTTAAATCAGAGTAATGCGGAGGCTTTGTGCAATTTAGGGGTCCTTTCGCTGTATGCTCGGAACATTAAGATAGCTAGATCATACTTCATAAGCGCGAAAGAAGTGGCACCGACGCTCTTTCAACCGCACTACAACGGTGCATTACTTGCATACAAGCTTGGAAACTTGCAGGATTCTTTCGCTATGGTGCGATCATAGAGAAGTGGCCCCTCATGCTCCGTTCGCAGGTTTCATCGGCACTTAGAGTGAACAAAGCACATGTGGATTCACGCGAGCTTAAAAATAATCTCGAATGGCACATTCGGGCACTGTGATTGAGTGTTCAAATACTGGGGCGCGCACGAGGTAGGCAGTATTTAGAGGCAGTAGTAGTATAGGTAGTATAGGGATTATGTGTCATTTTTGCGGCGGTAGTATGAGAGTAATGAAAGTATAAACAACGTGGGGCGGCACTGGGGCCCGGGCACTTGCCCGGGCCCCTCACCCTGCCCGGACACCGGAAATTCCAATAGGTACGACAGCGACTGGGGAACGATAGGAAAAAATTAGGGCGTCACGGTAATTACGCGTCCATTTATACTGTCTTTCGTGGTTTGGGGCGGGGTTTTCTCCATTTATACTGTCTTCCGTCGCACTGGCACCGCGTCGCTGCTGATTTCTCTGCGTGAGGCTGCCCGCAAGGTACCGAACTTTGCACAGCCCATTATTTTAGCATACGGAACCTACGCCTCAGCAAAAATTTCCCGCCATTCGGCGGTCGCCGCGTGGCTGTACGGCGTTTTGCGCAAAGCGCACTGGCATCCGAGCATGCGAATAATGCAAGACCAAAGGAGTACGCACCTTTGGGAGTACGGCGGCTGAGATAGTCTGCCGCGGAGCTACCTTAAAATACACTAAGTAGTTTTGGTTTAACTGTGTTTGTTGATCCGACTCCGGCAGCGTAGTGTACTAGTCGTCTAACCGTGACGAAATAGTTTCTCCCATGTTTGATGGGGTTTGTGACGGGGAATTGCGTCCGTCAATAAAAGTGACTCAGGATGATAATAATTAGGAGTGCCAGTGAGAGGCGACTTCCCCCTCAGGCTACTAAGGGGGTATCCGATGCCAGTGATGATCGGAGTACTAGTACCCTAGGATGGGAACTTGAAGTAGCCTAAGCGGGTAATACAAGTACGGGTTGTGCTTGGATACGTCTCAGTTGAACCTTGGGATCCTACTAGACGTGTATTTCCATTGCAGGGGGGGGTATTTCCGAGTCGCCCTATTCAAAGTTTCAAGTTATCGCACACGGTCACCGTCACGGTCACGGTGACCCGTGCCGGTGGCAAGCTTAAATACTAGTAAAACCCGGCCCGAGGCATGCGGTAAAAGAAAAGATAATGATATAAATGTGTAGATCTGAGTAACAATGTGAAATCTCACCGGTACCGTGGGTACCTGCCAATATAATGTAGATAGATATATGATAGATACGGATATTCAGTGGGCGAATATATATTGATCACCGTAATTAACGCTATATGTTATGGCTGCTACCGACTGGAAGCAAATTTGGGCTCCCTTGCACGCACCTGACAACACTTCTTCTAGCTTTTCGCTGATACACTGTCGACTCGGCAGAACTCGCTTCTTCGAGGCGCGCCCGGCGGCGGTCCACTTCTCTGGATTTGAGGTTGGTCGCAAGCTCTCAGTAAAGTTGGAGGTACTCAATATCTCAGAGATGGGGCAGCGGCTGTATCTTGTCGTGCCGCAGAGCCCACAATTCCGAGTACGCAAGTTTGCGAAGAAAGGGCAGATCGCACCAGGCATGGTATACCACAGTGCTTGTTTAATCTTTCAGTTTGGAAATAATATGCGTGCAACAGGCAGAGCGATTTTTCATAGATTTTATACCAGACCAGTGGAGATACTACTACGAAACTGTGCATTTGATTTCCGAGCATGGGGAAACACTGGCTGTTCCCATCCATGCGTACCCAGTGATGAATCGAATGTCTTTACCAACAGAGATTGACTTTGGGGCTTGTGCTCTATGGGACAGCGTATTTAAAACTGTGGAATTGGTGTGTGATGTGGCAGCTGCTTTTGAGTATCGTATTACCTTAGTTAAGGCGCATTCTCAATTCAAATTACTGACACCTCTGTCTGGGGTTGTTAAAGCTGACGAATCTATACAGCTCCGGATAAGATTTCGTCCCGTGACCTTAGGGACTTCTAGCATGCAGGTTCTGGTTGAGATATCGCAATTGGACAGTGAACCACATCTCCTAAACATCATGGGTAACGCAGTACCTGGTGCAAGACGCCGGCAGGTCTTGGATCTTGCGGGAATATATCGAATGAATTCGGCACTGGGCAACAAAAGAGATTCTGAAGTACAATATTGCACTGATCACGAGACAAGCGATAGTGGCCGTAAAGTCTCGAGGTATAAAGCACCCTCTCGAGCAGAATATATGGTCGAAGGCCTTAGAGTTCCAAGTGAGCTGCGAATGGGCGACCAACGCAGTGCAAATTATATCTTGACTCAAAGTCCAGGTAAACCCGTATCAGATGACTTGAAGCAAGCCACCAATGCCCAACGAGCAAGCGGAGACCCCGAGAAGGGGAATGTACCACAGACAAGGATGGGCGACAAACTAGAAGACAAAGCCATATTAAATTTTGCAGAATTAGCCAGCACACTGCTTGAACTGAAGACTGTAGCAACAAAGAGTGAAGGAAATAGGAGTCATCTGGATGAAATCGCATTTTTGCGCGGCTTGGCTGATCTCAATGTTGGAGAAAAGGAACGAGAATTCAGAGGTTCGGAAGAGTCTCTTGGAGAGCACTTGCTTTCTGTCAAGGAAAGAGGCATCGTTGAGTCTCAAGCCAACCGCATCTCAATCAATTTAGACAACAAGCGTCGTTCTAAGCAGCGTTCGGTGGTTGGGCCAGTGAAGACTCGGTCGTGTCTAACTGCGAATGCCATTCGACCTGTCAGTGCACTTTCTTACCTCCAGAACATTTCCGCCTCAACCTTTAATCTGCTTGCCCAAGGCATGTGGGAGAAGCGATCCGCAGGTCTAAGGTTGCTGATCGCTCTAATTGGCAGGTGGATTATCCGGAAACGTGCAACTAAGCGTCTCCTAAGGGTCAAAGCAAGGGTAAACTACACTAAGGCCGAGAGAGATGATGCACTAGCCAACTGTGAGATTAGAGGCTCCACAGGGTATGTTGAGCATATAGCGAGTGGTAGTAAGCACAATAAATGTCCGCTGAGCCCTGGCACAAGTCCGTTAAAAATGGATCATGCGCGACTAATTAAATACATGCCAGAGCGTGAACCCATTGACATCGAGGCAAGCTTGATAGCATCCCACATATTCCCAAGATATGAAGAAAACGCCACCATTGTAAGAGAGCCAATAGTAGCCGGGGAAACCGAGCGCATTGTTGTTCCAAATTCCGACAATCCATTTTTCTGCACCTTGGACAGTATCTATGTCCAGGTTGCTTTCTACTATCTATCCATGGGGCCATCAAAATACTGCTGTCACTTCCCAGTGGTTTTTGGTGGCAGCACTCGAGACGGTGCCGCCGAGGACCTACATGTACGGACTTCTAGGGAAGTAAAGACTCCCTGGGACGTTTCTAAGACAATGTTTGAAGAAGAAGCTACAATGTCCAGCGCGCCCTGTGCTAGCTGGAATTCAGCCATTCTATTGGAGGCTGAAGGTCACGACAACTTTGACAAGCCATGGAGAAATATATCTATGCATTTTTCACTCCAGAGAAATCTAGCAGCCGTTAGCGGCTGGACATACCTCAGGGACACGAGCTATGATGTAACTATGCAAAATCCAACCAAAGACGACGAGGCCTCTAGTACATGGCCCCTACAACCTATGCCGTTAAACCGCAAATTGAGTCTAGCCGCAAGAGTTGCTGCAGCTAGGTTGGCAGCTACTGCAAACGCATATCCATATTACTGGCCTACAGTTTCAGATCACTGGTGTCCGCGGCTGGAACGTCGCGCTTCAGGTCTCCATTGCCTCTCGGGACAGTACCACCTCGGCTCCTGGGCTGTTGAATCTGCAATGCCGCGCCCGCTCTTGGGTTCTGACGTTGACGATGCGCTATCGGAATCAGAATCAGAGGACGAGTCTGTTTATTCCCAGGTCTCTCTTACCACTGACAAGCAATGCAGGTCCATGTTTCGTGATGTCCAACCGGCTTCAAGGCAGCAGCCTGGAAGTACTGAACACTGCTCAGGACTAACTTCTTCAATTGTCTCAGATCTTCCTCGGGACCGTGCTCATCTTGAACTTGTCCGTAAAAAGCAAACCCACCGCACAATGGCCGAGTCGCTCCTCAGAATACGAACTGGCTGGGTTGCAGACTGCATTCGCTGCCCTCTTCTTCGTGACCAGTTTGTCAATACTAGCAGTGGCACTGGCATGGGAAAAGCCTGACAGGGCAAAGTGGATCATTGTGGTGGGTGGATGGGTCTATGGGTTGGTAAAAGCTGGAGGAAAGTTGCTTCGTCCACTCGCAGCCGAATGATCCTGTTGAGTGGCTGTAGTTCGAGTGACTTCTTGACTTCTAGTAGTACTGCCACCCTCTACTTCCACCCACTAGTAGTATATGACTTTCGGCCCATTTTACACCAAAACGGACGCTCACGGGAAACCCGTTCGCTAATCGTTTTGATGAAAAATGAGCCGAAAGTCAATTATATCGAGACCGAAATCCATGGTTCTGGGCGGTCGATTTTGGGGGTCTAATGATTTCTAGTATATTTCATGAACTTGAATAGGGGGTATTTTCGAATATATAGTTGAGTTAGTCCCACCACGTCATCAAAACGGTTCACTGACGTTCACCGTTTAGACGACGTGGCGAGTCTAACCATGTAATTATATTAAGTTACGCTTATATTATATTTTCACGAATGATGACAGTTTCAATATACTATTATTCACTATTTTTTATTCAACTTCTACAAAATCTGCAATACCCACACACAATTTTTCTGATGTGGAACGCGCAGGGGCAGCTATCTGCACCAATCCCGTCGTTCAGATCATGTGCGTCGAGGAGCGGCGCGAACGGAGAATGGGAGAGGCATCTTTGGGGAATACTAGTTACCCGTGCCTTTTTCATCGCAGTCACGGTAACTATTCTTTGCCTGGCTGATATGGGCACGACGCCCTCAAGTTCGCGGCCCAAGGAAGAAACAAGCACCAACGGTGGTTTCTTCAGCAACCTGTGGCTGTGCGGCGGGGGCGACGCCATCGATGAGAATTCGACCGAGCGCTCGCGTCGTCGCGTCGCCTCTGCTGATAAAGAGACAGATGGGAGGAAGCTCCGCGCGGGAGCAGACGACGCAAAGCGTGTGACCGAGAGCACGGAATCTGCGTCGTAGCAACGCATTCGACCCATAATTCGCATTCGGCAACCCACTCACACAATTCCTCCGACACGAGATTGAGACGGCATCTCCCCACAGGTGCAGAACTTTTCGCGCAGGAATTCAAGACGACCATGCGTCAGCGAGGCTTCGCAGCCTTCAAGTACAACCGCAATGGGCGGTGCACACGGCGTCTCCGCCACGCCTGGCATTCTTTCGACAGCACGCCCGCAGGTCGGCGCCCCGCCTCTTCCTGCTTGACGACACGGAGACCCTGATCCAGTGGAAGACAAAAAAAACGGGTCGTGGTGACTTCGATGCTTTCAGCCTCCTCGATATTGATGGCATCGTTCGAGGGTGCGAGACTCGCAAAGTCTGTGCCACCAACGAGACCTGGCGCATGATCACGATACACGCACCGCCGCGCCGCCTTGTGATGGGATTCGAGACAGAACAGCGCTGTCGGATGTTTGCCGATGGCCTTTCTCTTGTCGTTGCGGAGGCACAGGGCCGCGCTGCACCTCAGACTAGGAGAGCAGGCGCTTCTAATGACAGTCGCACTGACGCCCCTAAGGAAAACGGCGTCCAGAGGCTGAGGAAGACCGGGAGGGAACGGGGAGAGCGCGGGTGGCGTTTCTAAGTTTTGAACTACTGGACGCGTTGCCGCACGTAAGAGTTGTCCCAAATTATTCGTCGAAGTTGCCGCCGCGGGCCGCGGTGGTGATGATGAAATAGCTGTAGCATTCTTTACACCATTTTCGAGCATTTGGAGGTCAAACAAGCCCAGTTTTTGCCACGCTCACAGGTCAAATGACCTCTAAGCTCGAAAATGATGTTAAAAACAGCTGCAGTGCCGAAGAGTATTCCAATATGTCTCTACCGATATAGGCAATCCCGTAGTAGACTTCTTTTGGTGCCAATGGCCCCGGGCCTGGTTCGCGCGTTTTTCCTCAGGCTCAGTCCGCGAGCACTGGGACCTCATCCGCTGTCGGGATGTCTTCTCCTGGGCCCATAACCTGCGAATGATGCAAGACCAAGGGGTACGCACCTTTGGGGGTACGGCGGCTGAGATAGTCTGCCGAGGAGCTACCTCAGGCCCGGGGGGCCAAGTTGACTCGGAAGAACTCAGGCCGCTCAGGCTTCAAGTTGCCAGTGCCTGTGACTCGCACTTGGAAGGGAAACTTGAACTTGAAGGGTATCCAAGGATACAAAGCAGTCGCCACTGGTCACCACTAGTGCCTGAGAGGAATTATCAGTACCAGTAACTAGGGGGGGGTCATAGCACTATCGCTGGGTGCCGATACGCATAAGATATACTGCCGTAGGTACCGTGACTGTAGGCCTCAGGCCTAGGTTGGCATTTCCCCCAGGGGTTATTAACCCCAATCGCGGCCCGGGGTCAGTAACCCGGGTAATTACCCGTTAGTACGGGTTATTAACCCCAGGATCTTATAGAGGGGTAGGGGAGGGGGCCTCGCGGGCCACTGGCGCGGGCCTGGGCCGTGCCGGGCCACCTAACTTGGTACTTGCCTTGGCGCACCTGCACGTATCCAAAAGCTCAACGGGCTGCTTGCGCCCATCCGCTCGCCCGGAGGGGTCTTTCGCTAATCTCACTATGGGGCTGGAGACAACCCCCCTAGGGGACTGCTCGGATTGGGGGGAGGGTCGGGATGGGGCCCACAGATTACACGTCTCCCCTTCCTATGCAGCCCTCCGGGCGGCCTTGGGCATCGAAACGGACCTCTGGTAAGCACTTTAATACCCAACATCCTATTTTATGTATGGAGAGGTAAGTAATCACGGCTTAGGAGGCTAGTGTCCTATTTGAGACGTTAGGGCTGTTGAGACGACGGCTTGTGCGAGCCCACAGATTATGCAACTAGATTATGCTCGTTGAGCCCTCGAAGACCACCGGCAGGGCCGACGCCGAGATGCTTGAGATCGTTCAGCATCTTGTCCTGTCGTCGCCGCCCGGTGAGTTCGACGAGGTGTGGTATGACGCGCAGATTCTGGTACCCAAACTTATCTCGCCGCAGATACTCGCCGGCATTGCGCGCGCGTACAACCATGAAAATTTATCTGTGGCAAAGACAGCAGATGGTCTTCGCGTGCTGTTGCATAAGGCTGCCGAGATCAGCCCAACGCGCTACGTTGATTATACTACGAGAACCACATTCCGCGTGGACCATGTTTTGCGTAGTGCGGTAACTGTTAAGGAGACCCTAATACCCACCATGCATGATGTGATGCGCCATGCCATCGATGATGCTGCACGCTCTTATGTGATGACGACATTCGATGTAGATGCCAGACCAAGCGCAGCTGTCCACGTGAACATCGGACGCGCCGAGCTTGTGATTGCAATGTCTGGCGAGCGCGCTAATCTGAGCAACTTCTGGAGCGGCAATTGGCGCTCCGAGTGGACGGAGCAGTGGCAGCGTAATTCTTGACAGTTCACTGAGCAAGCTAGGCTTGAGAGGGAAGGGAGAGTCAGCGATCGCCGTTGTTTCACGATACGCTGAATAGCCTTCCTCGCAGGTAGTGCTCGGCGACGGCGAGGCCATCGTCTCCGGGACTGTAAAGGTCCGCGCTCACTATTTTGAGGACGGCAACGTCCAGCTTCAGACCACAAAAGCATTTCACCCCGCCTGCATCTTTTTTGAGACACCCCGCATGCTTGGCACCGTCATCATTGAACAGGTCAGGACTGCAGAGTCTGCGCTTCAGTGTGGTCTTGAGAGGATGTATGATAACGTGTCCGTCAAGACAGCCAAGGCAATGCGCCGCGTCCTGCCAATTACGCACGTGAAAATGAATTGGAACATCCACGAGTTGTCACTGAACCGCAGCTTCAGCCTTTCGAAGAATGCGCAGCAGGAGCGCTAGGTTAGAGCGCTAGGTGGCATCCCAATAGGCCCCACCCCAAGTCGGGTAATTATTTCTCGCCCGATTTTGAGGCATACTCCATGAGTCCTAATTAAGCTAAATTACCCTGCGAATCCTAATACTGCGTGGTGACTTCGAATTTTATAGGGGGGTAAGGCCGCCGCAGCGGCTCGTAGTATTCCGAAGTTCCTTCCGTAATTCCAAGCTCAGGCTCTTGTTAATTGTTAATTTTATCTTTGTTATTAGAATATAAAGAGTATAACCAATTTGCAACATCTTTTTAAGTTTGGTTATTTGGAATTATTGGCATTCAAGTTGTTTAAATGATATGATATGATATGATGAGTTTCAAGTTGAGTTGGACTTTCAAGTTATTATCTAATTAAAAGGATACTAGTAAAAAGTACTAGTAGTTGTAGAACACGCAGGCTGTCACGGTGGCCTTTTTTTGGCGATCGTGCCGCAATCCTTCCGTAGCGGCCTTCGCCTCCACTCCGAGCAAAATCCTCAGGCTGTGGATTTTTCAGGAGCGCGATTTTATCGTCCGGGCAACAGACTTTCCCACCGTGACAGCGGCTGTAACCAGTGCGTCTCACGATAGCGTCGTGAATGCTCTGCCGTTGGAGGTCCCCCACCCCCCCGATAGTAAGCAACGCAAGAATGAATTTACCTTAGATATGAGCAGATAAATTACAGTGAGGGTCGCCTACCTCCAACCAACACAGCTGACGCGCGCTGGGAGAGATCAGCTTCTCTCTTGGCTTTATCGATCAATTTTGAGGGAGATTTAGGAGATACGTCAATGAGGGCAATTGCGTATGCATAGGCCTCTCCCGTTTTGATAGTGACAATGCCCATTTGAGACGGTGTTTGATGACGTGCAGAGGTCGGTAACATCAATCTTGTGGCAGTAACAACCAAAGATACATCATCTAATGCCAAAGCAACAAGCCAGTTGTGGAGGAGGTCAAGAAGATCTGGAGGGTCAAGCGTACCAATGGCCGATAAGGCCAATTTCCGACACGCCTGCCTAACCTTAGGATCAACTACAGAGAAAAGCCCAGGGGGACAACGACATATCTCTGCAACGGCTTTCGCCTTAGCTGAGAGTTTGCTACCTACAGCACGGCACCCAAGGAGCGCTTCGATGTCGAAATCGACAAGCTTGCGAGACGCCAATATTACAGCAACACCATCAACATCGAGACAGTCCAGTTCCTGTTGCGCAGCTCGTAGTCTTTTCAATACTGGCTCTCGCTCCAGAACTGATGCAACTACTGCTGCAATGCTTGATGTGGGGGCGAATGTAGGCACACGGTTGCCCTCTACAAAGCACCCAATGACTGGCCCCACTTGCCGGCTGAAACTTACTCTTATGGTTTTTTCTATGGAAGCTTTGTTGCCACTGAACAATACCTCATGGTCTGAGTTGGATGCATGTGAAGAGCTCTTGCCAAGCTTTGCCGCTTGCGTTATCAAAAACCGAGAGAACTGAGCTTTGATTGATGCCTTCAATGGGTCAATAAGCCAGGACCGCGCTTTATCCGCCTGTTTGGGTTTCAGCTCTACCGCAAATGTCCCTCCTGTAACCTTTTTGCCTGGACCGAGAGGAAGCCAGTTTCGCGTTACGTCTTGCACGAACAGTCCTGAGCGTAGTGCATAGGATGTCTCAAAACAAGTCAACAACAATTTGGGCAAAACGCTCCTGCACACGCGTGGCATGAATTCAACGCCTAGCCACTCCTGCACAGATACACGGTTAGATTTAGACATCGAAGCGCTCACGAGGACTCCGCGCTGTGCTTGTGCCGCCCATTGTTCAAAAGCTAATTCGAGTGACAAAATCTGTGCTGCGGGCCTCTGCGGCTCCTTGCAAACGCGCCAGAGCATCGGCGGATGGGCGCGGAAGACGGCGTGGGCTGAGCCCTCTCCCACCAGCCCTAGGCAACCTTCTGTCATACGACGTGAGCGAGCCCCAATTGCTGAGTCCGTGGGCTGGATGTTAGTATGGAAGCTATGGAGCGGGTTGGTGGTGTCCTTTTATGTTAGATGATTTAGCACGCCCTAGCTTCCTCGGCCGTGTAGAGTACCCGCTTCCGATGGGCTTGCACAATTTTTCCCGATCGCTCCGATTTTTTTAGTTCGGTAGCGCGATCAAACTCTGAGATGTAGGGAATGAGCTCACAGAGTGGCTGGTGATCTCGTAGCATAACTCCCACACCCCTATATGGGGGGGTTTGCCTTAGTGGACGATTTTTTTCAGCCGAAAGCAACGGTCCTGGGCCACATTTGACCGGTCGCAGATCTACAATTGGCTGGGATGGTCGCTTGCTATGCCCCCACGAAGACGCGCCCAGTGCGATTTGGCTGTGTTTGGGGGCCCACAAAAGTACCTTTCACCCGCATCTGGCCATGGATAGGGTGCCCGGGCAATGCCAGGGGTCCATGGGGATCGGCTACTGCACGTATGGTGCTAATTTAGCCCGATTAAAAAATCGCCCACGTTTCCTGCGAAAACGAATGGTGAAACGCGCCGCGTTCGTTTTCGCCCAAGCGGCTGTGGCCGATCAAAGCCCGTTGGTACGTAAGCTACATGGGTCCAGGGGACTGGGAAACGCTCCTTGGATGGGGTAAATCGGTAGCTTAAAGTAGCTTTTACCGACACTAGCCTCTAGTAGGTTGTTTTTGGAGGGCCGGCAGACCACCTTGCACCCGCCCACACGGGCCACCCGGCTGGTGCTGGACGCGTCCAGACCCCTCAAGGCTCCCACCCAGCGGAGGGCCGTCCTGTACCGGCTGTCGAGACGAATGGAATTAAAAACATTAGAGCTCCAAAAAAGGCACTTTTAGCCCCCGCGATGACCGCGATCCGGTCACCCGCTGGCCAAGCCTGCTGGCGGACGTCTTACGGGTCTTTTGAAGCCTCGGAATCGTGGGGTTGGTGGACTAACATTCTCAATCTAAATTTGGCCGATTTGGAGCAGACCCCCCCCTCCCCTATGCAGGCCAAACGTGCGCGACGCGTGCCGCGCGCCGCCGATGCGCGCCACGACCACTTCGACCTCGATGCGAACGACGCCACTGCTGAGTCCGATTTTGGCGAAACACAGCTCGCCAGCAGCGGCCCCGCCTCGGTGTGCCCGGAGCTCGCGCGGCCCCCGCACACTTCCCACTAGTACCCAGCGCTGGGCCACTCGGACCCCTGGGTCACCCGGACCAATGGCGTCTACCCTCGCACATCTCCCCCCCCATCTCGACTTGTGAGTCCGAGCTGCGCCCGAGTACACGCTCAGGTGACACACAGACTCGAGCGATAAGGGGCAAACGCTGAGGTGACGCGATAAGTGATGCCGACGCTTGCAAAAGTACTACGGGAATTGAAGGTGCTCCGATCCACATAAACTTTTTGTCAAAAGCACTCGCAGGTGGAAGACGCCTTGCTGTACCTGGATCAAGTGAAAATGGCTTTCGAGGACAAACCAGAGATTTACAATAAGTTTTTAGATATAATGAAAAACTTTAAAGCGCAAGAAATTGACACGCCTGGTGTTATCCAACAAGTTTCGCGCCTATTCCGCGGGTATAACAAACTCATTCTTGGATTCAACACTTTCCTTCCTGATGGCTACAAAATTGAGCTACCTCTGGACGGAAACAACGCAACCATGACTGTGATAACACCTGCAGGAGTTTCGGCATCCGTTGCCAGTGATGCGTAGGGAGTGTTTACATACAGCTGAGCTTCATGTATAGGTCGGTGGCCCTGTCATCCCCAGTCAAGGGACAACGCCTGGCAAAAACACAGGAGGTTAGAGTTAAGCACGTGACTCTGACTTATTTTTATGCCACCCAGGTAATATTTCAAAGCCAAGTGATGCATGCTGCAGAGCCGTTCTGCAGCATATCCCTCCTTATTGAACAGCCCAATTATATAGGCGATTGTACGACCCGACGTGGCTCCCCATCTGCTGATATGTACACGGGAAAAATATTAATGTAGGCGGGCGCCCCTGTTGAATTCGACCATGCAATTACTTACGTGAGCTCCTCTTGTCCTGATCTGAAAAAGTTCCTTAGATAGAATCTACAAAATTTAACAGGTTACAACCATTAAAAAAAGATTTGCGCACGAACCAGAGACCTACAAGGCTTTTCTTGAAATTCTGCATACATATCAAAAAGAACAACGTTCAATAAAAGATGTTCTCGAACAAGTGTCTCAGCTCTTTGCTGACCACTCTGACCTACTCAAAGAATTTACCTATTTTCTTCCTGACGCAGTTCAGGAGCAAGCCAAGGCATGCTTTTGTGTGGTACACTCACTATATCTGTTTTTTATTTATAGGAACGCCTTTCACGGGCAGCTAGGGAGTCAGAAATGCGTCGCGGCCAACGTCGAGGTGGTGAATATAACCTTGAGTACCATGCCAGCAGCAGACTTGTGCCAGTCCAGTGCTCAGCGGATGAAAGAACTCGGTGGCCCTCAGCCGTTGGCAGAGGATCAAGAATGGCCTTTGATTCAACAAGCGGACTACCACATATGAATAGCAATATTGCAACGGCACACGCTGAATCAATTATGTATCCTCAGATTGAAGCTGAAAGTAAGGCTACGCGTGGTCGGCCAGTCTATGCGTTTTTGCTCCCTGCGTCAAGTCCTGAATAACGCACACACTAACGTCACAGGCGCTACACAAGCTGCGCAATAGAGCGTCAGCTTTTTGAAAAAATAAGAGAGTCGCTCACTTGCCGTGCCCTTTCATAGATAAATTCCTGGTCTGAAATACAATTCAGGTTCCTGAATGCGACTGGCACTTTGGCTACGGCGCCTGATGCATGGAACCAGTTTCTGAAATGTCTTGATTTGCACTCCCAGGATCTCCTTCAGCGGTCGGATCTAATTCGCCTAGTCTCCGAGCTCTTCAGTTCTCATGGACTCCCAGTTGAGCTTCTCGAGGCTGTTCAAAGGATTTTGAGAGATAGAGATGGCATTTACAGTGCAACTTATGAAGACAAAAGGAATTACAGGCTGAACGAAGAGCAAAATAAATATAGTTCAGGGCCATTGACGCCACTTCATGATATGGACTTTTCCAGCTGTGCCCGCCACACGCCCTCATATCGGGCATTACCAATGTCGCTGGCCCAGCCTCGCAGTCACAGACGTTTGAGCCTCGAACTAGCAGTTTTGAATGACATGTGCATCAATGTGAGTTCAGAGAAAGCATGTGGGTTCATGCACCCTAAAAAAGACAAATGCGAACAAGAACTTTTCCAGCTAGAGGACCAACGGTACGAGCTTGACATGATCATTGATGCAAACTCAGCTTGTGTTGCAGTTCTAGAATCAATTACTACTACCTTTTACCGGAATAGTTGTTCTGCTCCCAGTAAAACTCGAATTTGTCATGAACAGCAAGTCGATTGTTCTTCTAGACACAGCTCAAACGATGCGATCAATGCGAATGTCGATGCGGCCACCCTTTCAAACCTGCCTTTAAATGCAATCTCTGCTGTTTACGGCAAGCACAGTATGTAGATAGAGTCAATCTTTTCAAATTATTATTACTTAAGTCATGATTAGGTGGTGAACTCATTGAACTAATAAATAACAATCCACACTTTGCAGTACCCCTAGTATTAAAACGACTCAAACAGAAAGGGAAAGAATGGCGTGACATGCGTGAAATGAAAAGTTACTGTTGGGAGAGGGTAATAAATCGCAACTTACATCGTGCATTGGATCAACGCGCGTTTCATTTTCGTCAAAATGATCGCAAGATCAAGCTCTCTCGCTATCTCATGTGCCATATTCTGGGTTCAAGCCGGACTCAAATAGGACTATCTAGTCTCCAAAGAGTGGTAAGGCAACATGAAACAATTACACCTCTAGATGATGAAGCAGATATTTGCAGGAAGGATATGTTCCTTCAATTGGGACGGCGCTCTTTACACCGCACGCTGTTTCATCTCATTCTCAACGCAGTTGAACAGTCGTGCTTGTCACAACATGACAAGCAACTTATTGTAGATTACTGGCAGTACTTTTTCTTCCACTTTGTCCATCTTTCCAATGATAACCACAAAATGGAGCCTACGGTACAGATCTTCTTTAAGTTGCGTCATAATAATGGTTACAGGTTTCTCCTTGGACAAAATATGACTTTTCAGACGAGTTTTTCACGCAGTGTAGAGAGCCTTCATCTTGAATAGTTTACCCAGTCAGATTTTGATTGGCTTAATGTGATCGCGCAGGCTCATAATTGCATCTCGCCAGATTTATATCTTTTTTAGACTTTACCATCTGCTTTTTCAGCGATATGAGTTTGCCTGGAAACTTGGTGACAACCCTACCTCCTCGGGTTGTCAGAGTGATTCTCCAAGCCAGAATCATCCACGTATTGCAGCTTTTGATACACTTGTTCGTGGTCTGCTTGACGGTTCAGTAGATGCAGATCGTTATGAGGACGGCTGTCGGCTTCTTTTTAGCACCCCATCATTTGTATTTTTTTCGATTGACAAGTTGATTGTCCAGCTTCTCAAACAGCTACAGTGCGTAGTAAATGACATTCAGAGCAGAAAGCTTGTAGATTTGTGGAAAGAGAGAGAGGTGTTCAAACGTAAAAAACACCTTGATGATTGCGCGAATAGTTTTAGTGGCGTATGTATCAACCCCTCAGTGCTGTCGAGCAAGTCAAGAGTGTAGTTGATTGGTTCTGAGTCATACATAGTACCCTCAGGTTATAAAGCCCGTGCCAAACATGTAACAGACTGCCCAAGAAAGGTCGTCCTTCATTTCTTGTGATGTGATCCCCTAGAGATCAGCGCTTTGCTTAGGTCGTTACTCTGTATGCTGTCCGCTACTATACCCACTCCAACAAATGCACTGGCTTGTCCGCTACTTTAGATGCAATTTCCATCAAGTTCGCCCTAGTGTCAATCAAGGTCGGTTACCATATTGTGTAAACGTAGGCGTCTATCTCCTGATGAATGATAAAGGTGAAGCACCGCTCTTTTGCTATACCGGCTACTCCCATGGAGGAGAACACCGTGTCTGAGCGGCGTCTCCATATATTGTCTATGAGACTCATTCTGCGTGCGTGTGGCAGCGGCGGCAAAAAGCGATATATATGTATGTATGTATGTATGTATGTATGTATGTAAACGATATCCGGTTTTTCTAGATAATTGACTACATACCGGAAATTCCAATGGGTACGCTACAGATTAATGAGCGATACAGCTACGCAGCGGGCGAATGGCGGGAACCTTTTGCTGAGGCGCAGGTTCCGTATGATGAATTAATGGGCTTTGCAAAGTTCGCTGCGACCTTCGCGCGCTGAGACTTCGGCTGCGACGCGGTGCGATGGTCCAAATCAAACCAAAAAGCGCCCTGCAGCCGTATCCGCGGAACATAATTGTCGCAGCGTAATTCAGCATATTTCACCTTCGCCGGAGGGAGGACAAAAAATTAGACGTTTCCAGGCAAGGTGCTCTCCTACAGCAGGCGTACCGTACAGGAGCCTGAGGGTGGCACTAGGCCCCGCTAGCCTGAGGGTGCAATGCCAGTACAACTTGACTACTCCCCAGGCCCGGGACTTTGACTCGGACTCGGCCGGGAATTACCGCGACAATGCCGCGGCGGGCGGTCGTAATACTAGGCTACTTCGTCTCATGCAACCCCAAGCCGGCACATATTTAATGGACCGCTTGATGAGCAGCGACACTCGGGCCCGAAATGCGCACTCCGAGTCCGAGTCATCCAAGCTGTATACCCCACCGTGACTTCTATCACTGCTGTATACCCATGCCAGTGAGGCTTGCAAGCTTGAACTTAAAAAAAATCGACAGCTCTAAACTAGTAAATTTATATATATATAAACTACGAATCGTACGATCGCGATGGTTGCACACTTCAGCGTATTTAGCGGCCTAGCCTGAGGGTGCCTAGCCTGCCGGGGGCCGGGCCGGGCCCTTACTTCCTCCGTCTTGACCTAGTTTGCGCGTAACTTAGACGTCGGAAAACGCTTGAGACGTCCCGTCGGAAGCGGGAGTAAATTTGTGGAGGTCTGAGGGGGGTCCGTGGCTACCTATGATTACCGTTACTTCAACTTGAGGTTGACGTCACTGGAAGCTGAAGCCGAGATACTACGGAGAGCTAAAACCCGCGCGGTAGGGGGGCTGTAGTCTTGGAGGGCCAGCGGTGCGTGAGGGGGGGGTTGCGGGTTTTCCTTGCACCAGAGAGTGCCCCCAACCCCCCACCCGCGCTGGTGTCCTATGATAATACGCCTAGCGTCCTAAAGGCCGCTCTCGGACGAGTTCGACTCCCCGCGGTCGGCGTCGCGGGCCATAAGTCCCTTCCACTGGCGCGGCGCGTCGGCGCGTCATTCCAACGTCCGCTGGAATGCATACGTACGTCATACCGGTCGAACTTTGTCGATAGGTGCCCACGCGGCCCGTGATCGACATTCACCGAATATGCTTTCCCGACCGGCCGCGGATTGACATGTGGCGACGGATAGCTGGTGGACTTCTGAAGGTGCATCGCTGTTTGCGTTGGTCAGGCGCTTCTCTACCAGCAATTTGGAGATCTGTTCGCGGTCGCGCGCCGATTTAGGGCCTTCGCAGAGCACCAGGCTTTTGGGCACTCGCAGACCGCCGAGGCGGCTAGCTTTCGACGCGCGCTCTTTACGCCAGGCGCGGACGAGTTCCTAGGACCTCCACACGCGCTGGCGGCACAAATGCGGCTCCACGCTAGCCGTAGAGTGCCCCCAATGGTGTCGACATAGAAACCCGCGAGCTCTGAGGCTCGGGCCGCAAGAGTGCCCCCCAAACTCTACGCGCAAACTAGAGTGTGACGGACTAGTACTTGTGATCTTTGGGTCACCGTATTTATTCCGAGCCTGAGTCCCGGCCTTATTTATATACGTCCGTCCTCAACAACAAGACACTCTGTGACGACATTTTTCACGGTCGTTTCACAAAGGGTTGTTTCCCCCTGTGAACGACAACTGAGCAAAAGAATAATTCCCAATTGGTCTGTTGTCACTACCTGTGCTAGGGTAAGACTGTATACCATGCAAGGGTAGGAAAACCTACTAGGTTGAGGAGTCTAAGCCTGGTTGTCGCGCCACCCCCCATGCTTTATACTTGACACAACTTCATCATGCGTGTAAGTTGAGAGCCGCACCGACACTGAACCGAAATGGATGAGATTGAATCGTGGCCATGTGACTCTAGTGAGTATTCTCTAGAACATCTGATTGGCCGCGGTTCATTTGCCAAGGTTTATACAGCCACGTGCGCTAAAAAGCGCTCCGATGGGGTTCAGCGTGTTGCCCTCAAAGTGATGGACCTTGAACACATTAATACTGAAATTGCAGATATTTCCAAAGAGGTTCAGATGATGCGAATGTGCCACCACTCGAATGTGCTGTGCTGTCACGCTTCATTTGTGAGCAAAAGTGAGCTTTTCCTTGTTACGCCTCTGATGGAAAAGGGTTCTTGCTTGCGCATTATGCGTGTTGCGAAACGACAAGGTCGGGGGGAAGGGCTTGCAGAGCAATGGCTTGGTTATGTGTTGTTTGAAATTTTAAGCGGACTTGGATACCTTCACGACAATGGTCATATTCACCGTGATATCAAGGCAGGAAACATTCTGCTTGATCCGAATGGCAAAGCAGCTCTATCAGATTTCGGAGTTTCCTCGTGGCTGGTTCACGCTGGACTTAGGCGCCGAACTGCAAAAACCTTTGTTGGGACCCCGTACGTGCCCACATCCTCTATATAAATAATATAAGCAAAAGATAAACACAGATGTTGGATGGCACCTGAAGTCATGGAGCAAGTTGAAGGATATGACTACAAAGCTGATATTTGGAGCTTTGGGATCACTGCATTGGAGCTAGCCAAAGGATTTGCGCCATATGCACTTCATCCACCAATGAAAGTCCTCTTGCTGACGATTCAGGAGGAGCCGCCATCACTGCGAAGTTATGCCACTGAAAAATCCTGCACTGGTGCGCATGTTGTCATTTACAACTTTATCCTCCTAGCACAGGTGAATCATTCTCCCGTTCATTCAAAGAAATGGTGCGCATGTGTCTCCAAAAAGAGGCACGCAAACGCCCCACGGTGCAAACGCTGATGAACTGTAAATTTTTCAAGACCAAGTGGCCTGTTGGTCCCTTAGTCAATGAGCTCTTGTGCCATGTGGGTAATATTTCTGTCATGTGCCGTCGTTTCAAACTGTCAAATTATTTTCTTCAATGAATTTTCTTCTGTTGCAGATACCTGATGAATCCAAGTCCTCACAAGCAAGTTCCTTGTATCTCACGACAGATGTGGGTCTATCAGCGCTTGCCTAGAATTTATCTGTCCTTTGGAGTTTTTGGCTTGTACTAGGGATACAATGAAAATGACACAGTTATTTTCAATGAGGATGCGAGTTGCCCAGGGAAAACCCTGCGGCAAGGCTCGAGTGAAGCAGAGGCAATGGCCTTAGTAATTGTCCGTGTTTAGATTTTTGGTGTAGTACATCTATGCACCAACAGGCAAATAAGACACCTCTGCAGGGAGAAAGTGGCGAGTTTGTTCGTGGGACAACCTGGACTTTCGAAGACGGTTCTAAAAACAGCGACCAATGTCATATTTATGATACATGCTCATAATATTTTTTTTATGAACAGGCCATGGAATCGTACTAAAGTCAGAATCCCATATTCGCCAAGAGATCGACGCTAAGTGTGCTCAAGATGATCAAGAGTGTGCTGCAATTTTTGATGATCTGGAAGACCTGATGAACCAGAGGGGCGGCGAGTGGGATTTCAAGAAAAATCACGACGTTCAGAGGTGTAGCAGTCCAAGTCCAAGTCAACGTTTTGGATCGGGCTAGTGGAACTTTTTAGAGATACCTGGAGACAATCCGACTGGTCCCTACTAGTCGCCTACTAGTAGGTGAAGGTAAGTGATGGCACAGAGGGCCGCCATATCCTTTTGCTTCACTCGCCAACCAGCTGAATACATTGTGTGATAAACATACCAGACATAGTAGTGGATTATTATAGTTTGACTGCGTGAAAATAGCTGTTTTTTTTGCGCAATTTAAGCTGCTTTGTCTGGGTGGCATGATTTGTTCGTTTTGACGCTGAAAATGACTTTCATCATTCTGGATCCTTTTCTCCGCTGCCCGCACTTCTGGTTGCAGAGTTGGCTCTAATCGGCAAGAGGATAACGTCGTAGCGTACAGATCACGACGGTTGGATACCTTGGCGCGATCGTTTGTTCACCACCTTGTTAACCAGACCTGAGCCCCCCTTCCCTGATGCCCTCGCGGGATAGCGAGCGATAGGCCTTCCCTGATGACTCATTTGAGATATTTGAGATTCGAGGTCCCGGCAACTTGTGCGGGGGTGATTTTGGCTGCGAAACGCTTTCGCGCGCCTTCGGGCTGGTGGGAGGGGTCACTTTCGCGAGACGTGGTCGCGAAATTACCCTTAGGAGCCTAACGTGCGAGAAAAATCTGATTTATTTGAGCACGGATTTTACTTGTCTGTTGGTAAAAATCGGTGACGATGGGGGCTAAAAATAAAACTAGTAGCACGTAGTTACTAGTAAAAAAAAATCTTTCCCAACGTCAGCCGAAGCGACGCCAGCTGTTGTCCTAACATATGACCCGACTTTTCACGGTTCTTGAAAATTCTTCAAGATTTTGTTCCATTCAAGTTTGTTCGTCGGCGGCCCGGGTGCCTTCAATCATCCTGTCAGAAAAAAAAAGCGCGCGTGTTTTACTGCCAGTGCCAATGGGGTAGATGATGATAAAAGGCTTACACGGGTGTTGCATATCACGACTGCCTAGTTTGAGTCCCGTATAGGAGTGCCGTATTTGACGTCCGGTAGAGACCGCCGGGGAGTGCCGCATAACATATCCCGTCGACGGGATATGTAAAAAACCTTGCTTCTATGCTGGTAATTTGGTCTCCATGGAGGGCTCGGGTACCTGTGGCGTGGGGTAGATGCGTAAGCGCGAGTAGGTACCCGATAGGTCGCCAGACGAAACGCCACTGAAATTGCCAGGCTAAATCGTTTTGCTCGTCCGTTTCATTCACGTCCTAAATTGGTAAGGAGGTCCCCTAATTTCGACCTGCCCCCGCACCAGACGCCAGTTATAGAGATACGGCAAATTCGGGTTCCGTGACCCCCTGTCGCCCCCCGAGCCGCTGACACGTCTGGGTGACGACAGTCGAGTTTAGCCTAATTTTCGGAGCAGAGGGGTCGTTTTCTATACTCAACGGAAATCCGGAGCCAATCTGCAGCCATAAAAAGCAACACCACCACCGCGGCCAGATGTATACGTTTGTTCACATTCAATCACCAACTCCAGCTCAGACTCGCGGTAGTCATTTGCCCCCCACGATAATCGATTTTGCCTGTCTGGGCCTATTACACCTAAGATACACGATGGCAGCTCAACTTGAATAAAAGTTCGTTTCGAACATCAGTGGTGCGGAAGCCCCTAAGCTGGGAATTTGGTCTCCCGACGCGGGGAGCTAAAATTATTGGACTCTTGTTACCGTGACCTCATAAAGGTTAGGCAGTCGTCAGGCTCAAGCTAAAATTGCCCGCCAACCAGACACCTAGTTTATTTAAGAGAAGGCCAAATAATGCATATTGGAATAATATGAATCCGCGATTTTGTAGGACGTTGGCACGCGTCCAACAAGTCTGTGCAGAGGGCCCCTGCTTCATTTACGCACAAGGTTTTGAGGGTGCTAGAATCCCTTTGCCTAGACTGCGGGCAGAACTTGCACTTGGGAAAATGTCAATACCAAGCTTAAGTTCAAAAGGGTTATTCTCAAGGCTACCATGAATTTTGCTATTAGATAAGTCACAGGTCGCAAGCAACGTTTCTAGTGCAACATACCCAGCAAACTTTTTTTTGGCGGCTGGCGCTAGTGAAGGTGCAGGGACCGCCAGAGCAATACTGAGATTATTGGAACCTCCAGGAGATGCATATTTATCTGAAATTAGTATTTGTCCGCGACAGCTCGAAAAGTCAACAGGATAGATCCTCGCCCTATTAAGTAGATTGCTATTACAGGCAAGGGCTCTGGTGGTGGAGATATTGTCTAGCGGAGCAGATTCGGCATAAAAGATATCGACCTGATCCGCAATGTTGAGCTTTCTTTTTTTGCGCAATTTGTTAACACGATTGCAAAAATCACGCGTGATACCCTGCCTGCGGAGTGCATCGTCCTGCACCGTACAGACAGCTACCGTGAGGCCGCCGTCAGAAGAACTTGTTGCAATGTAACGAGTACTATCTCCGGAGAATGCAGACTTGACAATGAGGTCACCTTTGGAAAAATGAAGGAGTTTACCATCAACGCAGATCATGATACTACCAGTCCTGGAGAAAGAGCGGAGGGAGGCTGAATCAAGGCCTTTGATTGCATCTGCCGCACTACGGACTTGCTTCCCGAGGCGTTTTGCAAGAATGGGTAAATTTGGTAGAGCAGATATTGAGCACCAGGTTTCGACATCACTTGTTAATACAATTTCCCATGTGTTTAGCTCTTCAAGGACATAGGACTCCAGCTCCCCTCGCAGTCCATCTAGCGTTAATGCAGAGTCACACACTATAATGACCCTTTTGACGGGCGTTTTCATTGAGATAGTAGCAGCCTCCCTAGCCCGGCGACCAAGTTCAACAACCTGCTGGAGAAGGCTCATTCCAACTAAGACCTTTCCATCCGCCTTGGGGTTTCCCGCCAGGGGTAGCATTATGTAGTGCACACTATCTGCTTTACCTATTGCATCCTCAGGCAAATTTGCGGTATTAGATGTGAGAAGACGCTTTCGCAGGTGTTGGTATAGGTATTCTGCAAAAAATGGAGTAAATGGTGCCATAATAACGGTCATCTTCAGAAGCACATCATATAGGACTGCCAGTGATGTTAGTGCTGAGTCCTCGCCATCAGTACCCTTGAGGCGAGAACGATTCAGGCGAACATACCAGTTTGTCAGATCACCCAAAAAGCCGACTAGCCTATTGTAGTGTACTCAGCACAGTAGTGCAACGGGAAAGGAAGTGTGTGTGTCAGGATCGGGGAGGGGGGCGCGGACGCAGCCAGAGTACCGCGGCACAACAGTGTATAAGCGATATGTTCTCATCTCCTCGTGAACAAAATGGACAAGACTGTCCAAACTTGCCATGATCCAAACGTCCATAATATTTTGCGATTTTCTTACACGATCGTTGTCTTGCGTAAACTTGTTTCCTGTCGAATTTTTTATTTCCCACCGGCTTGCTTGTTGGGTAAAAAAGCGAAAGGCGTTAAACCAGGGGAGTAGCACATCGCGGAGAACTCCACGTACGCCAGACTCAACAAATTTAATGGTCTCACCTTTCACGACGGGTGAATTAATGAGGTAGAGCCGAAGAGCATCAGCGCCATGTGCGTTGATTACGAGTGTTGGGTCGGGGTAGTTCTTTAGACGCTTTGACATCTTCTTTCCATCTGCTGCAAGAACAAGACCATTTACTATAAGGTTCTTGAATGCTGGCTTATTGAATAGTGCAGTGGAGATGACCATGAGTGTGTAGAACCACCCGCGTGTTTGATCTAATCCCTCTGCAATGAAATCAGCTGGAAACTTCTTCAAAAACTCCTTTTCACTGCACTCAAATGGATAGTGCAACTGTGCGTAAGGCATGGAGCCTGATTCAAACCAACAGTCAAAGACCTCGTCAACACGATGGAGAAATACGCCTGACCGTGATGGCGACGCCACTACCAGGCTGTCCACACTTTCACGATGCAAATCACTCAAGTCCATCGGGATCTGAGACCCATCTGCCAGCTCACATTTTGCGCGTAATTCTGCGACGCAGCCTATAGCCACCATCTCCTTGTGGTCTTCAGATACCCAAAGAGGGATAGGAGTGCCCCAGAAACGATTTCTGGAAATAGCCCAATCTTTAGCGTCAACCAGCCAATTGTGGAACCGCTTCTCTTTCACCTAGTGCGGAGTTTCACCAGTGGATTTATGGCAAATGGCCAAGCGCTTTGTGGACTCTGACAGTTCGCACGGATGCAGGGACCCAGTATGTCTGTTTATTATTCTGTATGAGGTTCTCTCTTATCGTCTCTACAGCGACAAACCACGAGGGGACCGCCTTGTAAATCAGTGGAGTATCTGAGCGCCAGCAGAATGGGTAACTATGTTCATGTGACTCTTTGAGCACGAGTCGGCCCATCTTGTGAAGCAATGAACAAATTGCTGCGTCAGCTAGCTTTACCGGCATGCCCTGTAAATCCCCAGACACTGGCGAGACAAAGCGACCATTGGCGTCAACGGGACAAGGGAGGCTCCTCTCGCCGTTCATTATGACGTCAACGATCTTGTTTCTTACGCAGACCCTATAATCATCTTCGCCAAAAGCAGGAGCCTGGTGCACAATGCCGGTGCCCGCCTCACTTGTTACATACTCATCTGCTATGACTTTGAATGCACAGGAGCGCCGCTCTGCGCTATCATAGAAGTGAAAAAGGGGCTCATACATTCGACCAACGAGTTCAGCACCCTTAAAGGACTTAAGAACCTCATATATCCTTGCTTCATCACCTTGCTGAAACTTCTTCGACCGAAGCGCCGGAAATAGTTGCGTGAGTCGCATCTCCGCGACGATATAGATTTTCTTGTCCGCGACCGAACGGACCTGGACGTAGTTCAAATGTGCATTGACACATAACGCTAGATTTGATGGAAGAGTCCACGGTGTTGTTGTCCATGCTACTAGGCTCACGTTTGGCTCATCCCGTAGCGGGAAGGACACAACAACTGCAATATCGGTCACATCTTTGTAATTTAGACCAGCTTCAAAATTTGACAAAGGCGTGGCGCAAGTTGTTGAATATGGCATGACCTTGTACCCGCGGTATACAAGTCCTTTATCAAAGAGAGTTTTAAATACCCACCAGACCGATTCCATAAAGCTCAAATCCATTGTGCGGTAGTCATTCTCGAAGTCGATCCATCGCCCCAAACGGGTAACAACGGTCTCCCACTCACGTGTGTATCGTTGAACAATACTCCGACAGTGCGAATTATACACCCCAATACCCATTGCTAATACTTCTTCTCGTGAATTGAGGCCCAGAGCCTTATCAATCTCATATTCAACTGGCAGACCATGGCAGTCCCACCCAAAACGACGTGAAACCTTGTGGCCAGTCTGGTGGGCATACCGAGTCACGGTATCTTTAATTGTTCCAGCCAGGATGTGCCCATAATGGGGCAAACCGGTCGCAAAGGGCGGCCCGTCGTAGAAAGTGTACTCTGGCTTTCCTGCACTGAGACTGATACTTGTACGGAAAGCATCTATTTCTTTCCAGTACCTTAAAATCACTTCCTCTTCCTCTGGAAAGTTTAAGCAGGAGTCCAAAACCTATGGACAATGTAAATAAGGAGAAGCTTGATTATCGGACCGAAGTGGTCATCGGCGATGCTTTGCAAGTAGGTAGTATATATATCGTATATATATCTACGTACCGCAACCGGAAGTTTAACGTATCTTGTATTTTTTTTTCTATTGCTATTACCTTGCCGAACGCTGCAGGGCACAATAATCGATATCGGGGCGGGAAATGGCCGCAGCTCGCGGGTTTTAAGTGCCGGTGACCTGAGCCTGAGACTCGGAGCCGCCCCGGGCGGCCCGGGCCCGGGCCGGGCCTACTAGCCTGAGTAAGACCTCGGGCTACAACTTGAAGCCTCCGTCCGACGCCGGTCGCATGCGTACCCGGCCCCCGGGCCCTACCTCACTAGTCCCTATTCCCCCTAGACATAATGGCATCTGCGATGCAGGGGGAAATAGAGCCTGCCAGTGCCAGTGAGTGTACTAGTAGCCTGAGCTTCGGACTTCAAGTTCCCCGTCGGCACTGGCAGCGTAGTGTAGTCATCTAACGAAATAGTTTCTCCCATGTTTGATGGGGTTTGGGACAGGAAAATTGTCCGTCAATAGTTAGGATGATAATAGTTAGCCCGGGCCTGAGGCCTGTTCAACTTGAACGGTTTGATCATGGAGTACCCCAGGCCTATGGTGCGAATAAAGTGAACTCACGCTTACTTTAGGTTCACCCCGGTGTTTTACGGCTACTTAGCGCCGGGCTTGATCCACTTGGATAAGCAAGAAGATACGGGATATAGGGAAATACCGGCTCCGCTGGGCACCGTGACTGGCACGTGCCGGCCGCTGGTATAGGTGCGGCTGAGAGGCGAGAGTAACGTAGTCATAGTTCCGGCAATAGGGGGCTATGGCGTTGAAGATATATATCTAGGGGACTCGGAGTTTTCACCTCAGGAAGTACTAGTAGCCTTCAAGTTCACTGGCAAGTTGGCCCGGGCGCCGGGTAATACAAGTGCGGGTTGTTGCGATGCATAGGGAAATAGAGTGTGTAGCTCCGGACTTCCCCGGCAGCGTAGTGTAGTCGTCTAACGAAATAGTTTCTCCCATGTTTGATGGGGTTAGGGGGGGGTCGCTTAAAGTTTCTTTCGGTCAGAGAACAAATCACCCAACTCTTTCAAGTTTTCAAGTTCACATAGCCCGAGTCACGCCGTCGGTCCAGGCCCGGGCTCAATGGCCCGGGGTCACGGTCTTGACGGAGTGCTGAAGCTTACTCTCTTGTTAGCCTTAGCCTGCTCTTCCTTTCCTCTTCAGTGGAAGTGATACCAAGAGTATCAATCGGTGGAGAAGGATCGCCGGGTGCCAGTGCTTCAGGCTAGGCACTCAGGCTCAGGCTGGCACCGTCACGGTGACATCACAGCCTAGTATTTTTTAGCACCCACTCACATCGACAACCCTTAATTCGTACTTTACCTGTATGTATTGCAGCTGGTGAATTATGTGCACGCAATAGTCAAATATGCATCGCCGCGGCACGGGCCAGAGATATCTAGAGTATCTTTCGCATAACGCGCGTCTTTTTAGATGAACATGGAAAATGACTACGCGGATGAGCATCAAGCCTTTGCCGCCAGCCGTAGCACGGATTACGTTTACGAAACGGGGAACAGAGCTGTATTCCATGCTCTTGACAGTCATGCGGAGACTATTGAGGGAGATGTCAAACTACCATTTGTGATCACCGGTGCCGCCGGGTGCGGCAAGAGCGCTTTGTTAGCGAATTGGGTGAGCCTACGCAGAAAGACAAAACACAGAGATGAATTTCTGTTTCAACATTTTGTTGGATGCTCGCCGCAGTCAAAGCAGCTTGCTCATCTCCTTCACCGACTTGAGTCCGCTTTAAAGGAGCACTTTCAGCTAAGGGAAATGGAAATTCCAACGTCCGAGGAACGTCTCAGGTGGTCGCTAAGTCGATTCCTGGCAGCTGCGGGGAAAAAACAATTCCCTGCTCGCATTGTGATAGTCCTTGACGCTGTCAATTGTCTCCTTGGAGAATCTAGCACAGCAAATACATTGCACTGGCTCCCGTCTCAGCTACCTCAGGGAGTGAGAATAATCGTGTCCACAGTTGAACTAGAGCAATTCGGGTCAAGCCCTGACGGGCTATTTGACGAGTCTAGGATGCACAGAACATATACAGAGCTCCGTCGGAGAAAGTGTCCAACGATTCATTTGCAGCCACTGTCTGTTGAGGTTCGCCATCTTATCATAAACAGTTTTCTTGCAGCCAACCAGCAGTCTCTACAATTGCTAAAGCAAGCTCAACAATTCAGAATAGTAACTGCCAAAGCTTCCTCGCAGCCGCTTTTCCTTCGTACCGTTCTCTATGCCTTGCGCCTTGGCGCTGAAATGTCGAATGCGACTATTGATCAGCAGGTTGAGGTCTACCTTGCAGCCGAGGTAACACCAGTGCTGATTGCTCGCGTACTTGAAATGTGTAGCGGTTACGTAGATTCTACATACACAGAAGCCGCAAATAATCTTAGGCGGGTACTTACGGCACTTTATTCGTCCAGACATGGATTGACCGAGATAGAAATGTGGGGGATTGCTCAACTCGCTACAGGCAACCCTCTACCACGTGAACAGTGTGCGTGTATTCGCAGGATTCTGCGTGATTTCACATTTTCAGTGAATGGACTGCGAAGCCTCTCCCATGTAGAATATGCTGCAGTGATTTACAGTGACTATATCCGTAGCCCAGAAGCGCATATTCGTGCTCATCATTTGATGGCCCGTTATTTTGGCAGGCTTTCACCGTGCGATCGCAAACTCGATGCGCTTCCTTATCATTTGGAAGTGAGTGGGAATTGGCATAGGCTACGCGCTGTGCTCGTTGAAGTGAGAATGTTCTGCCTTTGGTGGACACATGCACACAAGCGGGAGTTTTTAAATTTGTGGGCAAGCTTGACTGCTTCCTCCAATTCACACACACCCATACGCAAACTGGTTACAGGAGAGTTTGATGACACCATGCGATGCGCACAACCATCTCGTCCATGTCTTGACCTTGTAGAAGAGTATGTGCGATCAGTTGACGAGTTTAAACTTGCACACACACCATCTGATGATGAACTTGCTGCCGTGATCCTGCAAATTGGTGATTTCATGCTTGAATTTGCCACGCTGTCGTTGGAAGAAGCGGCAGATGTGCCCAAATTCATTCATCCACCAATTCCGAACGACGACTTGGCAAGTCTTGGTGTACCATTTCTTTCAATAGACAAGGATGGTAACTCCATTCTGAACACCCCAGTTGTTGAGTTAATCAGTGAAAAGGGTAACATCAGCGGCAAACTGGGTGTCGTGGACGTGCCAATGAAAGTGAATGAAAAAGTCCCCCTGTGTTCCACCTACTTTTATCACAGGTGGGTGTGGATTCAATTTCCATGGGTGTCTCTGGCAAACTGTGGGGAGCGATTTTTGAAGGGAGTCGCACAACGATCCAATCATCAGGACAAAACTGCTACCACACCCTCAACCAAACTACTCAAGCTAAATCAATTTCTTTGTATGACTCCCGCAAATGCGGCACCGAAGATAAGCAACGATTCGACTGCTCTGGCAAGTACAATGAAGGCAGCTGTTGTAGATCGCAAGTTACCTCAAATATCCTCTGTCAAAATTGACAATATGGCAGATGCATTAGCAAAGCCAACTGCCGAAACTAAGAAGCCCACCAGTAAATCACGACATAAATTTGCGCGAAAAAAAATGTCACCACAAAATCAACAGCGTGGTTTTGTGGATCATTTTGCTAACAAATTGAACCAACTTCGCGAAATCATTAGTTCATACCGCAATGAGTTAGATCAATTAAGGCAAGAGCGAATTGCTGTTAATCGGAGATATGATGGCATTCGTGATGAAGCAAATGAGCTAAGCAAAATGCACTTGTCGACAAGCGGCTTGGAGACTGAGCTCACTAGATTAGTGGAACGACTAGAAAGGACCGAACGTGGTCATAGAATGGCAAAGCTTCTGTATAGGAACTATGAGTGTGTCAAGCTTATGTGCGAACGCCATCCAGCTCATAGCCAAGCACTGATAGACGAGCTCGAGGCAAAGCTGACTCAAGATGACCTATTCATAAAAGAAGTCCAACAGCAGTTGAGAAGCAATATATTTGACTCACATGACTTTGCTGCGAACAATAAAATTCTACATCGTGCAGCCCAGGATTTGACTGGATTGCAGAATGACATGCTAATTCAACGGATACGTCAGCGCGAGCATCTCCAACGCACAGCACGACGAAAACATCTCAATCGTCCCACTGACGGCTTGCTAAGCTCAGATGATTCAAATTCCGGTGTCAAGTCTAGGCGAGACAGTACAAAAGAGCGTCACAACCACACCCAAGGAGTTCTAGCCAAAGATACTGCCCTTGTTGGCAGCCGACCCCAAGAGCTGGCATCATACCTGGAGCTTGAATGGGAGGCCCGTTTAAAGCTTATTCAGAAGCGAACATTGTTGCCCAACCTGAGAGAGTTCTTCTGCAAATTTTATCTGGCCCAGTCGCTCCAGACACAAATGTGCGCATTGCATGATGCTGCTGAACTTCGACAACGAAAAGTAAAATATATGCTGAGCCAATCTGAATTGGAGCTGGAGCAAGTACGTTATGATTCACAATCAATTGTTGGTTCGAGTTCCCGCGAGGCTCGTGATATGCAGCTCCGCCTTGCCAATCAATTAATGCGTCACAAGCATGCCCAGGAGACAGCCCGAATGGCGGAGAGTCTGCATCGAGCAGCTTTTGGGGGTATCAAGCATGTGTGCATTATGCTTGGCATCCCCCCTCCCGATAAAGATACGCCCATAAACGAGATTATACACCAAGTTGAAAGTGTCCTGGAATCGCTGACGGAAGAGAGGGATAGGTCAGCGCAGAAGCTAGCGGGCCACAAGCAAGTTACCCCGGACACTGCGCATAGTAACAAAAAATATTTGCGAACACCAGAGCTAGATGCTGCTCTTGAACACTTCGAAACATCAAAATCATTAATCGCGCATCGCTTGCCAGCCAAAGCATCGTGATTTTGATCGTTTTGACAAGATTTAAGCACTCGCAATTATCTGTCGCTCACGATATTCGGTCGTCATTGGCTAATAAAGACCACCCCAATGAAGGGGCGAGGAAGCCAGATTTCGAGGACTCGGAAAGACCCGGATTGCCGCCCACAGCAAATATAAATGCAGCCAAAAGGTCCTTACAAACGAAGGTTAAACAAGTCGATTCCCGCCCCCCAACAAAAGTGGGGGTGGGGCCGTCGGGATTTGACGTTTTGGCAGACCGATACTTGGGGTGGGAGTTGAGTAGCATCTTACTTATTTGAATATTCAAGTGTCCAAAAAGTAAGTTTTGGTTTTGGGTCAGACTACCTTTGGTTTTGGGTCAAGGCTGAGGCCGGGAATTAGTACTGCCAGTGGTAACCGTGCGGAGGGAACATTCGCCTCATGAACTTGAACCCCCCAGGCCACCAAGGACACAGTTTGGGGTCTCGCGGGACCATATTCTACCAAGATTTGCCTGTTTCGGCCCGGTTTTTGGACCACCAAGTGACGGGTTTTGCTAAACTTGAATTATTTACCCCGCCAAGCTTCTGCGTGTCGCGTGTCGTGAGCTTAGTGCGCGAAACACGCGACGAGGAGACGCTGTTTGGGCTTACCTGACGAGCACATTTGGCTGCAGAGTAGACTAAGGCCGCCCGGGAGGGTCCGCCATCTTATGTTAGTTTCGAGATTGCGAGCCTTCTGAGTTTCGTGTTTAATATATTAATTTGTGGAGTTTGTTAATTGAATAACGTTTAGTGATGTTTTATAATGATTTAGGTTAGGTTTTAAAACGTCCGGAGGGTTGTTCAATGCCTCTGGACAGTTCCGTTAGACACCACGCAGAGCGTGGGCCCATAACCTGCGATGCATAGGGAAATAGAGTGTGTAGCTCCGGACTTCCCCGGCAGCGTAGTGTAGTCGTCTAACGAAATAGTTTCTCCCATGTTTGATGGGGTTTGTGACGGGGAATTGCGTCCGTCAATAAAAGTGACTCAGGATGATAATAGTTAGGAGTGAGAGGCGACTTCCCCCTACTAAGGGGATATCGGAGCACCCTAGGATGGGAAGTAGCCTAGACGGGTAATACAAGTACGGGTTGTGCTTGGATACGTCTCAGTTGAACCTTGGGATCCTACTAGACGTGTATTTCCATTGCAATTATGGCGATCGCTGCGCGGCTGCCCCACGCGCAGAGAGTTCGCCCGAACTTAGCGGCCAAGGAGGCCTAGGGGGAACTAGTACAACTAAAGTAGGCCCGGCGTGGGCCACACGACAAAACATCATATTCGTGGTGAGCAGAGTACTAGAGCTACACAGCCCGCAAAGCATCGATCCTGGGTCGTCACCCTCTGTTGTCCCTGGTATTATGCCGTGCTGGCGCTGTAGTGACGAGCTGGTGAATGATTCTCGTCATATCAAATTTTTATGGCCAAGATGGGAGCTTTTCGCAGCCGACCGTCAAGGCGACGAAGCTTGCGCGAATCCAAGGAGCGTTCCATGGCTTCCAGGCCAAGTCTTGTGTGTCGGCCTAGCTTAAGCTGTCGTCTGATTTTTTGTAGATGCAGAACTGATTCTCGTAGTCTCAGTCGTCGCTTGGTCATCATATAAGCAAGGACAATGCAGAACGATGTGTGAATTCCAAGGTCACAGTGCACTAATAAAGTCTCCTTGCGCCTACGAGTGAGGTGATGTTAAGGTGGACTGTATTGAGGCTGGGGATGAGATAATGATGGGACTTGACTCGATAGCTTTGTGAATAAATTCTGTACACGTTTTTAGTAATCCAGTAAGAGTGTACCATGCTGCTGCATCCTCCGTAGTCTCTGGCATGTTTATCATGATCTCACATTGTACAATGGCTTTGTTCTCCCCAGGGTCCGATAGCCAGCGAATCTTTGGGTCCTTTTGACCTGTAGTTTAAAGGATGATTTTGTTCCAACAGACGGAGAACCAAACCTCGATCAAAAATAGATAGAACAGATGTAAAGCCTCGGTCTGTTGCAAATTGCGGATATGCGGCTTCTCTTGAGCCAAGCCACAACGCACCGCGATCAAGCCCACCGGGTAAAACACACTGTGCTGGTTCGTTTGAAATGAATTGTTGAATCAAAGTCTGTACCTCGTGCAGCTCGCCCTGTGCAAGAACAATAGGAGTCTTCCCGTCGGCGCTCAGGGCATAGGGTGATGCATGATGTTTGAGAAGAACATCAACAATAGACGGAAGTTTAGCTGAGACAGCATAGTGCAATGGCGTCCACTTCCAGATTTTATCCGGCTGCCATCGCATGGTGTCTTCATCAATTAATTGTAACAGTAGAACGACCATAGCAACTGACCCACTAAGGATGCCATGGATAAAAGCTGAACGACCAGCTCTATCTCGAACATCACACCTAGCACCATTCGCAATAAGCATGGTTGCACCCTCACATTCCCCACGACGACAAGTAGTGACTAGGGGTGTTTCCCAGTTGGCATCACGCACTTCGAGTGTGGCTTTGGCTTCAATGAGGATCTTGATAACACCAAGATGACTATTTGAAGCAGAGTAATGTAATCCAGTACACTGTGTTGTGTCCCGGGCATCTACTTCCTGACCTTCTCTGAGGTATTGGGCAACTACATCCTCTGTCCCTGCACGGCAGGCTTGTAAGAACAGTTCACGACCAACCCTTGGATCTCCGATGTACTGCGCACGTTCTCTGACTGCCTGGAGCGTTTCCCATTTACTGGAGACCGAGTTAAGTCTGAAGTCATAACGTCGAAATTGAAGCATATGTGGATGGTGAGCATCTTGGATAAGCTGATGAACCTCAACCCATGGTAGATTCTCAGTCATGATACCATTAACTTCTGTAATAATCATACCGGCTTGCACAGCAGGAAACAATTCTGATATGCTACAGCCTTGCTGATCTGCAAGGACGTGGTCCTCACTGATTCTTTCTGCTGTTTCACGTTCTAGCTCGAACAACTTTTCTAAGTGCTGATCAGCTTGCTTCATGTCTTGAAATGAACAATCTTTGATTCTTTTTACATCTCTCAGCACTTCGCGGGCCTCGAGAAGACGCTCGCAGCGCAGCTTGAGCTCATGATATCTTCGCCACTGCTGCTCTGCTTCAACTTTCTCTTCGGTTTTTTTCATCAATGCGACGCGTTCCCGAAAGTTTGCAATTTTGGGTCGCAGCTCTAGATATTCTTCCAACTCTTCTGGTCTGTCATTCATCAGTAGCCACGCAGTCTCCCAGTTCTTGAATGTCCGATTCTTTGCAACAAATTCCTTTCTAAGGCAATCAACTTCGAGCATCTGCTTCTCACAAGATCCAGCGGCCGCGTCATGGTCATCTATTGGTGTTTTCCAGCCCACAACGACAGCATTGAGGCCATCAGCTCCAGGTACTACTTTCAAAGTCAACATTAAGTTATCAAATGTGCCAGAGAAGCTACGGCGTGGTACACGTTCCCACTTGACCTCAGCAGGCACATGCTTGACCCCCGCCTTTCGCCTCTGCTGCGCGCGCGCTAATCGCGATGCATCGCCATACATATTTAGGTGTGTAATTCGACTCTGTTACAAGGCACAGCTGCTCCGCTCGCTGGCTATTGACATATGATACCGTGTATATAGCAAGAGTACTGGTATGTCGCAGCGTTACGAGCTTGTATGTAAAGTAGCAGGGTCCTAGCTCTCCAGTCAGAGACAGGGCCTGCACCGCAGCTCAAAATTGTGAAGCTTCAAATGACATATGATAAGCTTCATGAGCCAGTGACCTATCCGAGTCCCAAAACTTGAAGTGGATCTCGAAATATTACTACTAATCGACCGTGACCATCAACATGGACTGCGAAGAATATACCCCCTGGTGCTACACTAGGCCCCTCTTACTCTCCTACATAGTCCCACCTTGACGTAATCATGATGATGAAGGTTTACACCCCATTCACTCATAGTGCTAGTATTACACGGGGAGTCACTTTGCGCCCGGCCCGGGCGAAATTCACTGATGAGCTGGGTGCACTGGCAGCAAGTGCACAATGCAGCTGTTGTAGCTAGGTCTCTCGGGTGTCAATGTGACTCGGACACGGAGATACCAACAGGAAGGACTCTCACTGAAACGTGAGAGTGTGGGAACCCCCTCAACCCCGACTCCGAGTCGGACTCGGATAAGACACTGTGGCAGAGTTGGAATAAAGGCCCGGGAGATTAGTAACTTGAAGAGCCTGAGCCTGAGGGAGAAGGAAGTATCCTAGGATACAGGCCACTAGCCTTTGATACCTACTAGAACCCGAGAGGAGCTCGCTCTAGATAAAGGTAACTACAGGATCATAACACAATCGCTGTAAACGGAGAGACGATAACATGTATCTCAGGATACCTACGGTACCTACGGCCTGGTACGTATAGGCACGGCCTAAGGGCTGCATCGCAGATCCGGGTGGTACAGACACTGCGCTGCCGCACGCTGTGGCAAGGCAAGACCCTGAGGGGGGCGAACAAGCGGAGACGATTTCGCGCCTAATGTGCACACCTGGCCTACGAGACGATAATACTCTAAAGCGGCTCGACGCATGCATTCGGCAGCTCGTGGCCGTCAAAGATGACCGTCCGGGGACCGAGGTGCACCTCGCAGAGGAGGACGTCCTATGGCTTGCACGAACGAGCCGTGGAGTTTTCCTCGAGCAACCGATGCTGCTCGAGCTACATGCGCCGCTGAACATATGCGGCGATACCCACGGCCAGTACCACGACCTGCTGCGGCTCTTCGAGGTTGGGAACGGTGCGCGAATTGAAACGGTGCCTTCGTCGACGGTATATGCGCTTGTCGAGAGTGTCTCTACTGCCGTACATCGGTCCACGGCGTGCTCACTCATCGCGTCGATCTCCACGCAAACGCGAGTCTGCTCGATGGCGCGGCGGTCAACGCCAGGCCCCCCCACCGCTCGACTAAGCCAGTACGATCGTCGCCGAGCACACGGCTCACTGGTTAATTTGCACACAGGTTGGTGGCTTCCCCCCAGCGGCGAACTACGTTTTTCTGGGTGACTACGTGGACCGGGCAAAACAGTCGATCGAAACAATTGCGCTTCTGCTGTGCTACAAGATCAAGTACCCGGAAACCTTTTTCCTTCTGCGCGGCAACCACGAGTGCTCGGCCCTGAACAGGATCTACGGGTTCTACGATGAGTGCAAGCGCCGCTACTCGATCAAACTCTGGCGCGTCTTTGGTGACTGTTTTAATTGCATGCCGGTCGGTGACTCTGAGCACCTGAAGTTCGTGTGTCTTCACCTTGGGGCCGTGCGTCGCACCGAGGGCGTCAACCTCCGCCGTCGACGCGGCGTGTTCGTCGGAGATTCACGGTGGGGAGAGCGCCGCGACAGCTTCGTTTACGCAGGTGGCAGCCATAGTCGCCGACAAGATCCTGGCCATGCACGGTGGCCTCAGCCCCGAACTCGCGTCGCTCGACCAGATCGCCAAAATAGAGCGGCCGACCGAGGTCCCTGAGGACGGGCTGCTCTGCGACCTCCTCTGGTCGGATCCGGACCCCGCGATCATGGGATGGGGCTACAACCTGTGTGGGAAATCAACCAGTAAACTAGGTCCCGAGAATTGTGTCGTAGCGCGACTGAGGTAACCTTGCCGGCGACCGGGAGGGTAGTGGAGTTCTCAGATAAGGCGTCGGGTTGATGGGGTGGGTGTTCATCTGATTCGAAGCCACCTGAACTTTGATTTCCTTACAGGCTACAACACGCGGGGAGTTAGTTATACGTTCGGGCACGAGGTCATCCGTGACTTCCTGAAACAGCATGACCTGGACATCGTCTGCCGAGCGCATCAGGTGGTCGAGGACGGGTACGAGTTCCAGGCAGCCCGTGGACTTGTAACCATATTCTCGGCGCCGAACTACTGCGGCGAGTTCGACAATGCCGGTGGGATGATGTGCGTCGACACAGGTCTGTGCTGCTCCTTCAAAGTCCTGCGCCCCATGAACACCAAAAAGACTCACGAGGAAGCGGTCGAGGCCGATCGCACGCAAACACTCGTGCGGCCCGGCTGAGAAGTTGACAAGACCTAGGACAAATAAACACTGAGGTAAATAGCCCCATGAACTTGTATTCCTTTCGTGAACTTGTAAATAGCACCCGTCTCGGCGGTCTGCAAGCGCCCACAAGCTGCTGCTCTGCGCGAGGCTCTAAATCGGCGCGCGACCGCGAATAGATCTCCAAATCGCCGGTAGAGAAGCGCCTGACCCACGCGCACCGCGACGCACCCCCAGAAGTCCACCAGTTGTCCATCGCCACATGTCAACTTGAACCCGCGGTCGGTCGGGATAAATTGTTCCTGAGTTTGTTCAGGCACTGCCAAAGGGGCGTTTGGTAATTCCCCTGAAGGTGTGGGGTTATCCCCGGAACTATATCTTGAATACCCGGATAAAGTAGGTTTAGTGAATACCGTAGGTACGCCGGTACCGCCAGGTACCTACGGTACCGTACCTACGGTACCTACGTAGCAAGAGTATGTCGCAGCGTTATGTAAGGTAGCAGGGTCCTAGCTCACCAGCCAAGGCTGGGCCAACCTAACTACGACTCGGCGAGAGCCTGAGTGTTTTATAGCAAATTGTTGTTACACCGTAGTGCAATAGACACTCGATGTATCATCATATGATAGACTCAAATTTAGAGAGTGGGAGATACATATCTAGGGTAGGATGGGCTAGTAGGTTTCTCTCTCTCTGCTACGGTACGTAGGTACTTAAGTACCTACGGTACCTACGGTACCGTAGGTACCGCAGTAGGTACCATGGTACCAGTACCAGCTTGAACCAACGGAACCGAAGGAACCGCACGGGAGCGCAAAAACAAAAGCACGCGCCTGCAGCACCCCCCGCAAAGAAGATGATGACCGAAGGGATCACGGTCTACCTGCGCATGCGCCCCACAACACAACCTAGTGAAGACTATGACGTCGGCGCGGACGGCCGGTCGTTGATGATTCGGGACGTCGCAGCCAAGGCTGCCGGTAGGGACTCCCAGCGGGCTTTCAAGTTCGATCAAGTATTACCGATGGACATCACGCAAGCCCAAGTGTTCGAGCGCGTGGGCAAGCGCGTGGTACAAAATGCTTTAGACGGCTATAATAGCACCGTCTTTGCCTACGGCCAAACTGGAAGTGGAAAAACATTCACGATTACTGGTGGTTCGGAGAGGTATGAAGATCGCGGGATCATTCCCCGAGCTCTCAGTATGATCTTCCAGGAGTTCCGATCAAGGTCGGACTGCTCCTGGTCCGCGCACATCAGCTACATGGAGATCTACAACGAGCAGGGTTTTGACTTATTGAACGAATCTTCAGGAGTGAAGGCGCTCCAGGACCTCCCTCGAGTTCGCATGATGGAGGACGAGCGCGATGCGGCGCGGTTTCTTTCCGTTTCCGAACTCTAAGACGCGTCGAGGGCGTCGACGGGACGACGAGGCCACCGTGACGCCGTCGACACGACAGCGAGAGAGTGATTTCGTCGTTGTGACAGCGAGACGCGACCGCGTGATGCGCGCAGGCACGGCAATTTTCATTTGAGGAACCTGTCCATGCACCGCGCCACCTCCGAGGAGGAGGCCCTCAACTTGCTGTTTCTAGGAGACACGAACCGGGCCATCAGCGAAACGGCGATGAACCAAGCGTCTTCTCGCTCCCATTGTTTATTCACGGTCTTCCTGGAATGCAGAGGGGCCGGCGGTTCCGACAAAGTCCGTAGATCAAAATTGCACTTGGTGGACCTAGCGGGATCCGAGCGAGTACATAAAACTAAAAGCGATGGGATCACCCTAAACGAAGCAAAATATATAAACACCTCATTGTTTTATTTGGAGATGGTGATTGTTGCCTTGAACGAAAGAAATGAGAATGCGCGGGACCACATTCCTTATAGAAACTCGATGATGACATCCGTGCTCCGCGACTCTCTGGGAGGTAATTGCCGCACCGTCATGGTCGCGACCTGCTCCGCCGAGAAGGCCCAAACGGAAGAATCGATCAGCACATGTCGCTTCGCGCAGCGCGTCGCGCTGGTCAAGAACGATGCTGTTCTTAATGAAGAAACAGATCCGTCTGTCACGATTGCCCGACTCAAGGCTGAAGTCGCTTCTCTGAGAGCGCGACTCGAGGGGCAGGGCAGGGGCGACGAGCTGGCCGATGGCCGGGACCCGGACCACCGCCTCGCGGCGGCGCTAGGTCGGATTCGATTACAGGAGGCGGCTCTCGCGGACGTCCGCGCAACGACGTCGCGATTCTTTGGGTTTGAAATCGAGGAGGAGGAAATGCGCGCGCGCATGGCGGCCGCGCTGGAGCCCATAATCCGTGCGGAGCCGCTCGCTATGACAGGACTTGACGAGGATCCAGCGCAGCGACAATACAACGTCGTCGGCGGCGGCGGTGTCGGCGTCGGCGCCGGCGAGCGCGGCGCCACGCGCCGCGACGGCGGGCGCCCCGGACGGGAGCCGCGCGGCGGCGGCGGCGTCAATGGCGGCGAGCGTGGCGCCGCGCGCGGCGACGGACGGGAGGTCGAGGCCCGGCTGGTCAGTGACCGCAGCAGTGAGCGCGTCTGCGAACCACCGGCGGTCTCACCGGACTCAACGGGCACGCGCGAGAACCGCCTCCGGCGTCAGCTCGAGGCCGCGCGGTCGCGGATGCGAAAGCACGAGCAGATGCGGGACTGGCTCCTCCGCAGACGGCGCGAAGAAGAGGCGGCGGCTTTGGCCGAAGAAGAGGCGGCACGCAGAGCCCGTATGCGTGAGGAGGAGCGCGATGCGCGGGATCGCCGCCGGCGGGCGGCGCAAAAACGAAAAATGAGCGAGGAGTACTACGTTTTGAAATCGACCAGAGCAACGGAGACAACGGACATCCGATCCTTCTGAGCCGGTAAACAGAAGACCACCAGGTTGCGCGACCAACCGACGCAGTCGTGGGTCGGCGAAGAGCTCGTCTTTAAATTCGAATACGCCGCCCCTGGTCCGCGCCCCAGTGCACGATCGGCAGCATGGCATAGGTATCCCGGCTGTGTGCGGGTCTGGGATGGCCGTCGCGCGATCGCGTCCGCCGAAAAGCATCTTCGCCTGCTGGACGAGATGCGCCGAAAGGGACGCTCGCCCAGTGGTGCTATGTGTTTTATGTTAACAAGCAAGTTTACAGTATGGTCCGAGCACCGCGCAGTGTGAGAAGATAAGTCTACTGTTTTATCAATCCCATCTGCCCCGACGACGGCCGAGCAATCAGCACGCCGCCACCGCCGCCACCGAGTTCATCTCCGCCAGAGAGATGTAGGCCCGCTTGACCTGTGTGAAATCAAGCCGTGACCGCGAGGTTCCCTCAATGGTTGATTTCCACACTGGTCAGGACGGCGTCCTTCAGGACCTCCCGCGCGTCTGGGAAGGTGTCCCAGATCCACGTAAGATGGTGGTTGACGCGTCATGGATCTTGGAAATGCGCGATCAAGACACAATGCTCTTGAACGCCGGTCAGTACGCGAAAAATCGCCAGTGTGGTCCAGCCCCCTCCCCCCTCTTGTACTTTTTGCCGTCGTCGCCGTAGGCCGCCGCGAGCTCCTTGTCGGTCGCCACGCGCAGCAGTTCCGTCGTCTTCTCGACGATTGCTTCAATCGAGGGGGCGCGGCCGCGCTTCTTCCATCCCTTCTTCTTCAGCGCCGCGTTCACTTCGCCGATGACCGTGGCGACGAACTCGTTCACGTCGGCGCAGCTCCGAGTCTCGCAGTTCCGAGTCCCTTACACCCCTCCCTAGGCGCATTGTGCCTATTTTTCAACAATGCAATTTAGATTCAATTTTATTTTAGTTGATCTATAATATTTAACTGGCAAAGGCGCATCCCCCACCCCCCCCCCTCCAAGCTCTTACCCTACCTCTACTGCGGTAGCCCCCCTTCAAAACCCAGGTAGCTATGATCTGTACATTGGTCTTGCAACGCGCTACTAATAAACTTTGGTACCCCAGCTTGTTGTACCGCTTAATAAAGTGCGGCTTTGTATGGTTATTATGGTATGCTTGCTAGTGTCTTACGCCGCTAGCCGCGCAAAAAATACACCGCCGCCATTATATAAAAACGTGTGCTATAGCTATCCCCGTTGAAGGCGTTGCACATTGAGCGGCTGTCGTGAAGGAGGTTGCTTCCCAACAACCTATCAGCACGAGAGGTGGTGATTGAAGAGAGAAAAACTCGGACAGTAGCAGCCACCTCCCTACGCAATGTCTTTTTGTCGTCGCCACCTTCACGCCTGGGCGGCGTTCGCGTGCTACAAGCGGGCAGCCCGCCGGCACGAAACGGCCACGGTTGCGCGGGCGGCGGCTCACGCGGCGGCCCAGGGCGCGCGACAGGCGCTGGTCGTCTGGGGCGCGCGGAGCCGACTCCTGCCCGGACTCGCGCGCCGCGCAAGCGCGGGGGCGGCGTCGCGCGCGGACGCCGCCCGCGCCCGCCGCCTGAGCGCGCGCGCGATCGGGGCGTGGCGCGCCCGGGCCGTCGCGCGCCGCGCAAGCGCGGGGGCGGCGTCGCGCGCGGACGCCGCCCGCGCCCGCCGCCTGAGCGCGCGCGCGATCGGGGCGTGGCGCGCCCGGGCCGTCGCGCGCTCCGGGGTAGGCGAAGCGATGGCGATGGCGGCGGCGGCGGCTGCGTTCCTGGCGCACACGCGGCACCTAGAGCGCTGGGCCGGCGCCGCGCGCTGCCGGCGCGCGGCGCGATGCAAAACCGCGCGAGCGGACGCCTTTGCGCGGCACCAATGCGCGACGCGTTCCTGGAAACTCGTCCCCGTCGCACTCCGCGCTTGGGAGACTGACGCGCGCGCACGGTGGGCGAGACGCGAGATGATGGTGGTCGCCCGGCGTCGGGCCTGTCGGAACCTCGCGCTCCACGTCTTGCGCTCTTGGGCAGGCCTGTGCAGATGTCCCGGTGGGTTCGTTCGTTGTTGTTCCGATTCCTAGTGCGTCGGCGCTCGTGCTCGTGTTGTACGACGAGGCGAAGAAGTACGTCTGAGTTCTATCTATTTTGGGGTCGTGTGTAGAGGTCGTGTGGTGTAATGTACAGTCTTAGCAAGTGCCTAGCCGCGCGAGTCGGAGTCAGGCCTCGAAGTCCGGGTCCTCCATGGCAGCGTAGTCGATGGCGCGGCGCGCGCGGCGGGCGCGCGGCGACGGCGCGGCGGCGGAGGGCTCGTCGCGGCGGTGCTTCTTGCGCCCTTGGCCGGGTGCATTGTACTTCTCGGGCGGCACCAGCTGCCCGTCGACGACCGGGTTCGTGTGGCGGCGGCCTTCGAGGCCCGAGCGGCGGATCGCCGCGTTGACGGCGTGCGCGGCTGCCTCCTGGGTGTCGAAGTAGCCGATGCAGCGCCGCTTGCCGTTCGCGTCGGTGTATTGCGCAAGCCACCGTCGGTTCTGCTTGTGCCAACTCACGCCCCAGAACTTGGACGTCGTCGCCGACGGCGGGAGGCGCGGTCGCGCCTTATCGTGTGCTCGCGGGGCACCAGCGCTCCCGTCGCATCGACCGCGTTCGTCTTGCGTCGCCCTTCGAGGCCCGCTTCGTTGATCGCTTTATTGTACGCGCGCGCTGCCTCCTCCTCGTCGTCGAAGTAGCCGATCGTGTGCCGCTTGCCGTCCGCGTCTTGATACTGCGCCCGCCACTTCTTGTCTCTCCGATCCCAATTCACGCCCCAGAACTTGGAGGTCGTCTCCGTCGGCGCGCGCGCCGGGTCCGGCGCGACGACGGCGGCCTTCTTCTTCTCGGCGGCGGCGGCCTTCTTCGAGGCGGCGGCCACCGTTTCGTCGCCATGCAGCGCCTTGTTCGCCATCCGGGCCAGTTCCTCGTCTTCGCCCGTAGCAAACTGTTTGAGTGCCCTTATCAAGCCCAAGCCGCGTTTCAGTTCGTAGTCATAGCCTAACAGAAACTCGTCGACTGCAACCTTCACCTTGGCCTTGACGTTGTCATCCTCGGAATCACCTACCAATGCGCCCTTGAGGCGCATACCATTGTAGCCAAACCTTTTCTTAACGAGTGCTCGCTTCGCCGCATTAGCTATCCCAGGATCGGGATCATGTGCCAGCCCTGTCAATACCTCGGTAGAACCACGTGTAATTGCTGAAGGAAAGGTCTCCGCTTCAGCTTCTCTGTATGATTGTGATCAAAATCTCTCTTTATCTTCCCGTTTATGAGGAATTGTTTCAGCCGTCCAGTTGCATCATGAGGCTTCGCATCGTCACTTGGCCACGTTATAATAACGGTGTGCCTGTTTTCCGGCACACCATGTCACTCTTCAACCGAATTTTGGCTCCGATGATATACAAGTCTTAACACAATCACAAGTTTTGCTCAACTCTGAAGATTTTGTATCAGCTATGATTTGTGTCACACTGTATTTATCAAGCTTACTATGTGGTGTCTCCCGCACAAGCAAATCACTGGTCAATTCCTGTGGCCCCTTGCAATGCAGACTCCTCAAACTGGTACATGCCTGGGACAACCAACCTCTTGTACCTGAAATTAGAGACAAAAGCTCGGAAATCATGGAGATTATCTCACAAAGCGAGCAAGATTCAGATTTTACACCCACTGTGGACAGATTTTACACCCACTGTGGAGAAAATGTTCATTCTTTTCGCACAATTTGGTAAGCTGTCTCAGATGCTTGTCTATCCACTGCAGTATATACCTCTGGGAACAGACCTAACACAATTTGATACCTTCCCAATCCATAATAAAAAAAAGGACGAACGAACACCGAGCCTTTAGGCAATAAGTTTTACTCGATGCTGAAACTACTGGTACTACTAACATCATGATGGGTACCCCGATCCCTTCAGGAGTTTGCGCCGCGCGTACCCCCCCGCGCGCGCGCGGCCCGGCCGTCTCTGTCGCTAGGTGCGAGGTGCGTCTCTCTTAGCTACGGCAATCTCGCTCAGCGCTCACGCTGTAGCAAATCCACAAGCGCTGCGAAGCCGTGCCAAAGCAATACGCTTGCAGTGCCACGGAGAGGTGCAGGCTTTCAAAGGCATCCAACAACGATGAGTGGCACGTGGATTGAAGGCGAGAGGGCGCAGGCGACACGCCGTGCGGGAAATCAAGTTGTCCCTGGCACCACCATCAGGGTAGCCTGACGCCCGGTCGATTTACGCAGGACACGGCTCTCGTGCATGCGGGAGTGGCTCCAGACGCCGCGACGGGCGGCATCCTGACGCCGATCCACCAGTCGACGACCTTCGTGCAGGAGTCGATCGACGCGTACATGGCCAAGGGCTACAGCTACAGCCGCACGACGAACCCGACCGTCGCCGTGCTCGAGGCCAAGGTCGCCGAGCTCGAGGGCGCCGCCGGCAGCTGCTGCTTCGCGACGGGCATGGCGGCCACCGCGACCGCCGGCGCGCGCGAACCAAGGGCCGCGGCGCCGTCGTCCGCTCGACGGCGTGGCGGCGCCCGCGCCGCCCGGCCCGGCCCGCGGGGCCGCGCCGCCGCGGAGCAACGAGTTCGCGGGGAGCCGTCGGGCGCGCCCGACCCGCCGGTCGATGTGCGCGCAGGTGACCGTCATGTCGGCGTTCCTCTCGCAGGGCGACCACTGCGTGCTCACGGACTGCTCCTACGGCGGCACGAACCGCGCGGCGCGCGAGCTCTTCGGCAAGTTCGGCGTCGAGTTCAGCTTCGTCGACTTCCGCGACGCCGACGCGGTGGCGGCGGCGTGCCGCCCCAACACCAAGCTCGTCTTCAGCGAGACGCCGGCGAACCCGACGCTGACGCTGACCGACCTGGCGGCGGTCTCCGCGGTCGCCAGGGCCCGCGGCGCGCTGCACTGCTGCGACGCGACGTTCGCGACGCCGCTCATGCTCCGGCCGCTCGCGCTCGGCTGCGACCTCAGCCTGCACTCCACGACCAAGTACTTCGACGGGCACAACATGACGGTCGGCGGCGTCGTCTCCGCGAAGACCGCGGCGCTGGCCGAGCGGCTCCACTTCTGGCGCAACGTGCACGGCAACATCATGGCGCCGCACACCGCCTTCCTCACGCTCCAGTCGTCGAAGACGATGGGCGTCCGCTGCCGCGCGCAGGCCGCGAACGCGCTCAAGGTCGCGACCTTCCTCGAGACGCACCCCAAGGTCGCGCGCGTCGTCTACCCGGGCCTCGCGTCGTTCCCGCAGGCCGAGCTGGCCGCGCGGCAGCACGCCGGGGGCTTCCACGGCGGCATGCTCTGGTGCGAGGTCAAGGGCGGCAGCGCCGCCGGCCGCCGGCTCATGGACACCTGCCAGCGGCCCTGGTCGCTCTGCGAGAACCTGGGCGCGGTGGAGTCGATCATCACGTGCCCCTCCGTGATGACGCACGCGAACATGCTCCCCGAAGACAGGCTCAAGGTCGGCATCACCGACGGCTTCATCCGGCTGTCGTGCGGCGTCGAGGACGCCGGGGACCTCGTCCGCGCCCTCAAGATCGCGCTCGACGCGCTCTGAGCTCGCCCTCGCCGCGGCGGCGCGCGCCTGTATAACTTTTCGGTCCGAGTCGGCGGGTGGGTCCCCCAGTAGTAGGGGTTTCAACTTGAAGTTCAAGTTTATATACTTCCTGTCCATCCCTTGGGTTCGCCAGAGACGTTAGTTCCGGCGGGATCGAGAGGAGGAGGGGGAGGGAATGACCTAGAGGACTCGGTTCCGCGCGTCCTCCAGCTTCTTGGCGACGTCCGCCGGCGTGCGGTCGAGGTCGGCGGCGACGCGGCGGCGCGCGTCCGCGGGCAGCGCGAGGAACTCCGCGCAAAGGTCTCCGTCGGCGACGTCCTTGGCGGGCGCGTAGGAGCTGCGGTAGGAGGCGTGGTCGCGGCCCGTCGGCGCCAGCCGCTCCTGGCGCACGTGCATCTCGAGGTGCGCGAAGAAGTCGCGGTCGTCGCGCGACGGCGAGGGCGCGAGCGCGCCGACGGCGCCCGACACCGTCGCGTACGCGACGACCTCGGCGCCGCCGGCGCCGAGCGCCGCGCGCCGCAGCGCCGTGACCACGTCGCCGACGTGGTAGCGCGCGACGGGCGCGAGCGCCGCCGCGCCGCCGCCGGCCGCCTCGCCGAGGAGCGCGCGCGCCGCGCCCCCGGCGGCGGCGTCGCCGGCGGCGTCGGCGTCGGCCGGCGCGCGGAGCACGGTGACGCCGCCGCACTTGTCGGCCACCGCGACGGTGTCGTAGTCGAGCGCGGCGAGGGCCGTGACGCCGCGCGGCGCCGCGTCCTCCGCCACCACGACGAGCGCGTTGCGCTCGCGCGCGTAGCGCACGAGCGACACGCCGTGCAGCGCGTCGCCGCAGAACGCGCGGTCGCCGACGACGGCCACGCGGACGACGAGCGCCGGCGCCACGCGCGTCTCGGCCTTGCGCAGCAGCTTGCGCTTCCCCAGGTCGTACAGCCGCGCGCTCGCGCCGACGGCGACGAGCAGCCGGCCCCGGAACGCCGCGAGGGCCAGCGGCGGCGCCTCGACGGGCGTCCGGTGCAGGAGGACGAGCCGCGCGTCGAGGAGCCGGTAGACGTGCACGGCGCACTCCGTGAACGTGCGCGGGTGGAACGTCAGCGCGCGCGCCGTGCCCACCGCGACGAAGGCCTCGTTGCCGCGGCCCGCGAAGCGCACGCAGCAGCACGAGAGGGCCGCCTCCGACTCGCCCAGCTCCAGGAGCTCGAGCGTGGCGCCGCTCGCGGCGTCGACGACGCGCACGCACGAGGCCCACTTGCCCGGCGCGGGCGGCACGGGGCCGGCGTCGTCGGCGGCGTCGTCGTCGTCGTCCCCCGTGTCCATGTCGCCGTCGCGCGCGACGCGCCGCGCGGCGGCCAGCGCGCGCCGCTCGGCCTCGTTGTACCGGTGCTGGTCGGCCTCCACCACGAGCACGCGCGGCGCGGCGCCGGCCGGCGGCAGCGCGCAGAGCCGCCGCGGCGTGTAGCGCAGCGGCACGACGGCTTGCGTGAACTCGCCCTGGGTCGCGGCGTCGCACACGAAGATGCGCAGCGACGCGCCCGCGACGGCCACCACGCCCTCGGCGCAGCGCGGCGACGCGAAGGGCGCGGCGTGCTCCAGCGCGTCGTAGGCGAGCGGCGCCCACGCGAGCGCCGCGCCGGCGGCGGCGGCGCCGTCGCCGGCGGCGGCGGCGGCGCCGCCGCGCGGGGCCCCCAGCCACGCGCGGCCGGCGAGCGCGACGCACGCGGCCCGGCCGCCGTGCGTCACGCGCGCGAGCCGCACCGCGCGGCCGCCCAGGAAGCGCGCGCGCGCGTCGCCGAGCGCGCCCGTCCGCGCGTCGACGCGCACGCGCCGCAGCACGCCGTTGCCCAGGCCCGCGCAGAGCTCCAGGTCGTCGTCGCCGAGGGCCACGAACGCGAGGCCCGCGCACGGCGCGCCCAGGTCCACGAGCGCGACCTGGGCGAGGAGGTCGTCGGGCGCGAGCGAGAGGAGCCGGAGCCGCCCGTCGGCGCCGCCCGCGGCCAGGAAGGGGAACCGCGCCCGCCCCGGGGGCACCGGCCCCAGGTCCAGCGCCGCGGCGGCGCCGCCAAGGCCCTTGGCCCCGAGCTCCGCGAGCGCGCCGCTCGCGTCGAGCTCGAAGTAGACGACGTCGCCGCCGCCCAGGGCCACGGCCACCTGGCGCTCGTTCGCGGCGGCCGCCACGACGCGCTCGCCGCCCGGCGGCCGCCACTCGCTCGGCGCCGCGGCGCCCGCGGCGCCCGCCGGGCCGACCCGCCGCACGCCCGCCGCGTGCGCCTGGACGAGCGCGCCGTCCGCGAGCAGCGCCGCCGCGAGCGTCGCCTCCGACGCGAGGAACCCCGAGTCGCCGACCTCCTCCACGGCGTCGCCCACGCGCAGCACCAGCGTCGCGTTCGTGAAGCTCACGACGATGTGCCGGTCGTACGCGTCCTGCGCGCCGCCCCGCAGCGTCCACACGGCCGCGGGCCGGCCGGGCAGGGGCGAGGCGGCGACCTCGGCCACGCCGACGCCGCGGCGGAGCAGGCGGAGCGAGGACCGGGCGCCGCGGCCGCACGCGACGGCCAGCCGCGCGTCGTCCTGGGCGCCGCCCGCCGCCGCGAGGACCTCGAGCGCCGTCGCGCCGCCGAGCGACTCGGGCCGGTCCAGCGGCGCCAGGTTCCGCAGGGGCGCGGGCCGGAAGGCGGGCGCGACCTTGGCCGCGCCCGGGCCGTCGTCGCCGAGGCTCGGGTCGAAGACCGCGCCCGCGGCCGCGTCGTCGGCGCCGTCGCCGACGCCCCGGAACTGGAACAGGGCGTGGTCGCCCGCCTCCGCGGCCGCGTAGAGCAGCCCGTTGCGCGTGATGCACAGCGCGCTCGCCGGGAAGAGCGTGTCGAAGACGGACACGCGCACGTCGGTCACGCCGGCGGCGCCCCACGCGAGCGTCACCTTGTAGAGGTCCCCCAGCTCGCTCTGCACGAGGAAGAAGAAGAGGTCGCGCTGGCGGTGCGCCGCCACGCGCGTCGCCAGCAGCCCGCGCGCCGCCGGGAAGCCCGCGCGCCGCGGCAGCGGCGCGCGGACCTCGGCGTGGCCCTCGTGCTTGAAGGCGACCCAGTTCTCGCCGCAGACCAGCACGCCGCTCGGGCCGTCGCCGCCGCCGGGCGCCGCCGCGAGCACGTTGGCCGTGCGCGCGACGGGCTCGCTCCAGCGGCGCGTCACGTGGTTGAGGCCGAGGTCGAGCTCGTAGTAGGTGAGCACCTTCTCGGCGTCGCGCGCCGCCTCGCCGCTCGCGTCGGCGTCGGCGTCGCCGTAGTCGAGCTCGAGCGCCGCGAAGCACGGGTTGTCGAAGCCGACGTCGAGCGCGACGACGTCGAAGACGACGCAGCGCGCCTTGTGCGCCTCGAGCGGCGAGCTGATGGTGGGCGCGCCGGCGGCGTCGCGGTTCAGCGTGTACACGAGCTTCGTGCGCTCGACCGCGGCGACCATGACCGCGCGGCCGCGCGGGTCGGCCGCGAGGTACTGGCCGGGCACCGCGCGCCGGCAGCCCGTCTTGCCGAACGTCTCGCAGTGGATGCGCGTCCAGGCCCCCCTGGCGGCGTCGAAGCGCAGCACCGTCAGCGTGCCGGCGTCCGACGCAACGGCGACGTCGTCCGTGGCCGCGCCCGTCGGCCGCACGGCGCAGAGCGCGCGCACGCAGCTGAACGTCGCCGTGCTGGCCACGGTCGCGAGGCGGCCCGTGGCCTCGTCGGGCCGGAGCAGCTCGAGCGCGCCGCCCTGCCGCGCGACGACCACCTCCTGCGCGCGCCCGGCCGAGAACGAGCCGAAGGCCGCGGCGACGACTGCCGCCGGGGGGTTCAAGGTGAACTGCACGAAATGCATCGTGCGCAGCTTGCGTGCTCCCGGGCTCCGCGATGCTCGCAGCGGTCACGGTTCAGGACAGGGGCAGGCCAGGACAGAGGGCGAGGCTTGAATCCCCCCCTCTGGGCCTAGCGGGTTTTACGGGTTTTACTCGCTTGTGGATCCGGACCTGTAGAGGCCAGGGTCTAGGCGTCCATCCCCCCGGGACTAGGCTAGCGTCCCCAAAACCGAGTAACTAGTCGTCGTACTCGCTTGTGAAGATTTGCTCGGCTCTGTTTCTCTCGGGAGAGCGGTCCGCTCAGTTTCTTGGTTTTGTGGGCTCGGACGCGTCGAACCACGGCGCCTTGACGCACGAGAAGACGATCTCGAGGCCCTCCGCGAGCATGCGGCGCAGCAGGGCGCCGCGATCCGCCCGCCATGGTTTATTTCTAGAAGATCTATGAACATATGCGTCCATACTCTTCCTGGAACCCTCTTGGTAAGTATAAGGGGTTACCGACGCCTTGTAATACGTGTCGTACGCCGAGGCCTGCGGTAGAACAAAGGCTTCGAGCTCTCACGACGACGGCCGTCGAACGAAGGGCACGTGACGAGACTGTCACATGAAGGCCTTGTCGACGTAGAGTAGGACGCCGCTCTCCTTGCCCGGTCACCGACATACTTATCAATTCCCAGATCGTCGGCGTCTTCGAACTTTGCAAGCTGCGTCGCCACCTGATTGACTTCTTCAGCCTCGCCTTTCCACCGTAAGAGCCGCAGCACGGCATTCCCGTCGCGGTCGCAAACGCAGACGTTCTCGTCGTTTCTGGGGCACAAACTGACCTCCTTCTCGTCCACGTAGCGCATGACGCATTTCTCGTCGTTTTTCACCTTGTTCAGATTGAAGGCTGATAAGTAAGTACACATGCGCAGTATTTTGGCGAGTCCGGGGCGTGTCGCGTGCACGTCCTCGTTTATTTCGCTTTCCCGTAGCGCCTTGGCCACCGGCGGCTCGGTGGCTTTCCAGGTCGCACCCACCCTAGGGAAATAACGGAAGGCAGCCTTGCATTCGCTCTCGAACACGACGTCTCCGTGCTTTGCGTCGTGGGAAGGAACCGTCGTGACGAAGTCAAGGGGGCGAACTTTGGTGTCCTCTGCTGCCGCATCTTCCAAGGGCGGGTCGATCACGTGGATGTTTAGTCTTTCGCAAAGGAAAAAGAGAACCTTGTGGCCCCGTCTGGCAATTTCTCGATATGCGCGACTCCAATAGTTTGCTTCTCGTTTAAACTTTGTTTGGAGCTCGCGGCGCCCCTTTTTCAGCCCGCGTAAATGCGTGATGGCTTCTTTGGGGTGGTCCCCCAGCTCGAGGGCTTTTAAATCGGCAAGTGATGTGTCGTTGGCATCTACTTTTCCATTGACCCAAAATTCTAGTTCCAAGGGGGTGACACTGACGCTGTGCGGCGGCCGCGCGGCCGTCGTCTCGTCGACCGACGCCTGCCGCTGCTTGACTTGCTGCTTGTCTCGCTCCAGATCGGCCGCAATCTTTTGCTTGATGTTCCGGAGCCTCTTGTACCTGGGCCCATCCGCATGGACCTGCGCCTGCAAGGCCACGACTTCAGCCTCCCACTCATCCCGGATGCGGCGTTCGCGTCTCAGCTTTGTTCGCCGCGAGATGATGCCCGCCAAGCCGGCGTTAAGCTCGTCGAGTGTCGCGTGGCGGTCACGGTCGTATCTTTTGATGAGCTTTACGACGCCGTCGCAGGTCGATGCCTCCTCGAGCTTGTGGCGCTTGAGCTGTAAGTTGTCCTCGAGGAGCTGCTCCGCCTCTGCTCGAGGACGAGCTTCGACCGTCGTGCGGTCTGTTTCGCTGGCACTCAGCATGTGGTGGTGTGTGTTGCTCTCTGTGGGCTCAAGCCTACGGTTCGCTTGGGCTGGCCGCTCTGGCTGGCGTCCGAGGACATGACGATCGCTTCTGGCGTTCGACGCTGCCCCGCGCCTTCGTGCGGTGCCGGGGCTGTCCGCCAAAGCCTTTTGCTTGACAGACAACTTGCTTGCTAGCGTCTTAGACCGCTAGATAAACACCTGCGCAGGGTTACACGCGGCCTAACCCGATTTTTGCCCCCAGCATTGAATAGCTAGCTCTATTTGGGCAAAAAACAGCTAGATAGACGGAGAGGCCTTTCCCTGGCACCAGAGACGGTCGGCTAGTGACGCATTGGTTGGTCCGTCGCATGCCTATACAGTGCACCGCCGAGGACCCTCGGCCGCCGCGGCTGCCGCCGCGGCAGCCGCGGCGGCCGCGGCCGGCGAGCGACGAGGAGTCGAGCAGCGAGGAGGACGCCGGGAGCTGGGACGCGGAGTCGAACGAGTACTCGAGCGGGGGGTGGGAGGAGGCCGCGCGCCCGCCGACGCCCGACGAGAGCACGTTCGCCGTGCCGCCGCCGCCCGCGGCGGCGGGGCCGAGGACCCACGCCGTCCAGGCGCGGCTCGCGACGGCCGAGTGCACGGTCGAGGACCTCGGCGCGCGGGGCGAGATCGCGACGGGCATCTGCTTCCTCGACCACATGATCGACCAGCTGCAGTCGCACGGCCAGCTGGGCGTCGCGCTGCGCTGCCGCGTCGGGGACGGGCCGTGGGCCCGGCCGAACGAGCCGCTCGGCGCGGCCGCCGACGAGGCCGTGCACATCGTCGGCGCGTGCGGCGAGGCGCTCGGCAGGGCGCTGCGGCGCGTGGCGCTGCGCGCGCGGACGCGGCCGCCCGACGTGGACATCGTGCGCTTCTTCTGCCCCCTGGACGAGGCCTACGCGGAGTGCTGCCTCTGCCTGTTCCCGCCCGTCCGCGCGTCGGTCGGCGCCGACGTGGCGCTGGAGCCGTACGGCACGCACGCCGCGGGCCCCCGCGGCCGCGAGTTCGTCGGGACCTTCCGGACGCGCCACACGCCCGTCTTCTGGCGCGCGGTCGCGCGCGGCATGGGCGCCTCCGTCGCGCTCGCGCGCTGGCGGGGCGACAACGCGCACCACGTCCTCGAGTCGGCCTTCAAGGCCTTCGCGCGCTGCTTCCGGAAGGGCCTGGACCGGCTCGGCGCCGCGGCGCCCGCGGCGCCGCCGGGCGCGGCCCGCACGGGCGCGCGGCGGCGCGTCACGAAGGAGACGTCCATCGACGTCGAGGTCGACCTGGACGCGGCCTACGCCGCCGCCGACGACGCGGCGGGCGCGGAGGCGGCCTGGGACGGCGCGGCGAAGACGCCGGCGCAGCTCGAGGCGACGATCCGCGCGCTGCCGCGCGTCGCGACGGGCGTCGACGGCCTCGACCGGCTCCTCGACGCGTTCGCGGCCGCGGCCGCCGTCAAGGTCAAGGTCCACTGCCGCGGCGACCGGCACATCGACGACCACCACTCGGCCGAGGACGTCGCCATCTCGCTGGGCCAGTGCCTGCACGAGGCCGTCGGCGACAAGGCGGGCCTGCGGCGCATGGCGTTCGCGACGCGGCGCGTGGGGGCGTGCGAGGTGCGCGCCGTGCTCGACCTGTCGAACCGGCCGCACGTGACGTCGGACCTGCGCTTCGACGAGGAGTTCCTCGGGGACGCGGCGCCGGGCCCGGGCGAGGTCGGCCGCGCGCTGACGAGCGAGATGGCCGCGCACGCCCTCGAGTCGCTGGCGCTCGAGGCCCGGTGCACGCTGCACCTGGCCTGCGTCGCCGACGACGGCCTGCCGGGCCACACGGCGAACCTGGCGCTGGCGGCGTTCGGCGCCTTCGGCGCCGCGCTGGGCGAGGCCGTGGAGGTCGACCCCCGCCGGCGCGGCGGCGTGGCGTCGAGCAAGGGGACCCTGTCGGCGTAACCACTCTCTAGGGACCTCGCCACTTACTTATGCACTTCCGAGTCACTCCTAGTTCGGGTTTTCTCGTTTCTCCCCCTTTTAATGGCCGTTCGCAAGTCAGGCATATACTACAGCGTGCTTATCACGAGAGGGAAGGAAGGAAGGAAGAAGGGGATAGGAGTGAACGTGTTGATCGGGAAGAGGAAGGAGGACGTGGAGGTGGAGGAGGTAAAGGAGGGGAGGGTTACCGCCGAGGACTACTGTCGTGAGTGGCTCCGCGTAGACCGCGGTCAATGCGCACGCCGAGGTGTGCACACCATTAGATGCTTGGATCTCGCGCGCCGTCGCGTCGACGAGGCCGCCATGGTGTCGGTTCACGTGGTGGTATGTTTGGCGGCGGGATCTCTGGCAGTGGTACCCTCTCCTTGTGCTTTCTAATTTGCGTGCTAATCGCTTGCTTAACCACCGTGCCATGGGGCGTGTCCGCGCAAAACACAGTAGACGCAAGCATGGCAACTCTTTGCTCTGCTGGTGTGCCGAGCACTTCGAACGCTTCGTTGATTTCGAGGCATTTCGTCAGTGCTGTTCCGTTTACCAAGTCGGCTGCTTTCGTGCCGAGCCGCTTTTCTTCCGCGAATAGCTTCGCTATGTCCCTCACGCTCGACTTATGGTTATCTAGGTTGCTAGACATGTCGGTTACTTATGGGGTTAGCCTCACTTGGGCTTTGTAGGGTCGTTTCCCGCTGTTCCCCCCAGTGAAGTGAACTTACTTTAGGTTCACCCCGGTGTTTTTACGGCGCCTATTTAGCGCCGGGCTTGATCCGCTTGGATAAGTAAGAAGATACGGGATATAGGGAAACATCAGCTCCGGGCACATGCCGGCTGATATAGCGTGCTGATAGGCGAGAGTAATGTAGCCATAGATCCGGCGATAGGGGGCTATGGCGTTGCGGATATATATCTAGGGGAGTTTTCACCTCAATTACCGTCGACGGACCGCCGCCGCCGTCTTGGGGCCCCAAGGCCTTCTTGTGCGCATCTTTGGTCCCGCCGGGCCCGCTCCCGACATCTCCCGTGCGTGGCGAAGCGCCACGGTCCATCGTCGGCCGTCGCGTGCCTCGCGGAGGCGGTGGCCCTTTTGGGCTTGGTGCTGCCCTTCAGTGGACTTCCTGCTGCTTTTTGGGGCAGCAGACACTTGCGCAGCGTGCTCGGCGTCCGTGGCTCGCTCGTGTCGCTCGTCGGCGAACTTGTGCGGAAGGCACAACTAGGCCACCAGCCAAACCTGGGCTTTTGCTTGCTAGTGTCTCAACAGACGCTAGCGCTTTATTTTTTTTTTGCGTTTTTTTGCGCTTTCTTCTTTTTTTTTGTTGGCGCCTCGGAATCGCTGCCGGAGCCGCTGGCACTCGATTGGGCTGCCATCTTGCCCTTCTGCAGTGGTGGTTTACCTTCTACACGCCCGAGGCGAGGCGCAACACAGGCAAACAGAATCAGCGCCCGGGCCCGACGCGCCGTTTACTTTTTTTGGGACCGCGCCAGGATGAGGCGGCTAAGTACCTTTCTGTCAATTTTACGCGTCGACCTGTCCCCCGGGGATCGTTCCGAGGCTTGCTCGCGCGCCGGACAACCCGGCCGACGCGGGGTCTGCGTGACTCGAAGCAAAGCGTAGAAGTTGGTGTCTGCCAAAAAGCGCACAGCTGCATACTAGAAGTAACTTCAAGTTGAAAAGGGCACCCGCGGGCTGGGACCGAAATTCCCATCAGAGCCTGGCGACGGCCGGTCGAGCCCCGCCCCCCGCGCCGCGGAAGTTCTACGACGGACGACTTACACGCGAAAGGCCGGGAGGACGAACGTCGGCCGGTCGCGGGGCTCGAACGCCGCCAGGAAGGCGGCGAGCCTCGCCGCGTCGAGCGGCACGGCGGCGGAGCCGGGCGCGACGCCCACGTCCGCCGCGTGGATGCCCCAGCAGACGAGCGCCGAGTCGACGCCCGCGCGGTTCGCGCCGGCGACGTCGTGCGCCATCGAGTCGCCGACGGCCAGCACGCGGCCGGCGGGCGCGCAGCGCCGCAGCGCCTCCTCGTAGATGTAGGGGTACGGCTTGCCCACGGGGTGCGCGGCGCCGCCGAACCGCGTCACGTAGCGCGCCATGAGCCGGCCGGGCATCGGCGACGCGCGGCCGTCGGGCCGCACGAGGTCCGGGTTCGCGACCACCAGCGGCAGGCCCCGCGCCGCGGCCGCCGCCAGGACGTCGTCGCACGCGTCGTCCGCGTCCCACGCCAGCGGCCCGCCGGGCAGCGTCGCGAAGAGGCCGCGCGCGAGGAGGCAGTCGGCCTCCTCGACGCGCGCCGGCGCCACGCCGCAGGACACAAGATAAGCCTCGTCGTCGTCGCCGTTGCCGAAGACGAAGGCCCGCAGGCCCCGGCCGGCGGGCCCGGCGACGCCGTCCAGCAGCGGTGCCGGCGCGCCGCGCGCCCGCGCCGCGAGCGCGTCGTGCACGAGGTCGCCCGACGTGACGGCGGAGATCGCCGGGCGCCCGTCGGGCGTGTCCGCGCGGTCGCGCAGCGTGCCCGCGCCGCAGCCCATGGCCTCGAGCCGCTCGATCGTGTCGCGGCGCCGCTTGCTCGAGTTCGACAGCACGACGACGCGCTTGCCCGCCCGCTGCAGCCGCCGCACGAGCTCCGGCGCGCCGTCGTACGGCACCTTGCCGTCGTGGACCACGCCGAACTGGTCCAGGAGGATGGTGTCGTACGCGCCGCACAGGCCCTCGACGTCCTCGACGACGCACGGCTCGCGCGCGGCCTTCCTAGGCCCGGCCGCCCGCGCCGCCGCGCGCACCACGCGGCGCGACGCTATGTGGTGCATGGTCAGAGCTAAGGACAGGATGGGTTTGAGGAGCAACACGGCGCCGACGCGGCGCATCTATGCAGCTCGCGCGCTGCGATTTTGTTGACGGCACTTATCTTCTTGAAATCTTGTTGATCTCCCTTCAACTCAGGCTAAGCTCGCAGGTCCAGCATACCTCGACGGCCTGGTGCGTAAAGACCCCACCCCTCTTTTACGTCGTCAAAGGGGTACCACCCCTCTCTCCTACGTCGTTCGGGGTGCTACCCCTTTTTCCTCCCTTGAGAGAAAACGGGTTTTATCGAAAAGGGTGCGGGGTCTTTACCCGCCAGCTCGACGGCTCACTTATACCTCGTAGAGTATACGAGCTTGTACTCTAGAGTAGGCGTCTCTAGAGAGTGTCTTCGAACGGCTCACACGTCGGCGCGGGGCGGGTCTACTATATAGTAGGCAATCAAATTACCAGAGTGTGGAATCTTGTTCTCTAGTGTGTTACAGGTAGTCCCGCGCAGGGCCCTTGCATACACAGACGCTCGCATACCTCCGTATGCGCCGCATGCAGGCGCGTATTTGGTGTTTTTCTAGGACCCTTACCATCGTATTTTTTGTGGGTCTGGGGGCGTTTTCTTTGCTGGGGGGTATACCCTAGTTGAAGGTCGATGTTGAACTTGAACCATTTACCCCCCTACTACGGCCCACGTATGCAGACGCGCATGCGGGAGCGATCTCAGAAGTACGCATGTAGGGGTACGAGTTTGGACATACGTGCGTATGCAAGGGCCCTGGTCCCGCGGGTTGCCGCCCGTGGCCTGAGATCACGGCCTCCGATTGTGGCTGAAGTCGGCGGCCTCGAGCCGTCTGCCCCTCGAGTCGCTTCTGGTGGGCAAAGCCTTGGGCGGTGAGACCAAGATCTCATATCGTCCGTTCTGCCCGTCCTCCAATGGGGAGCGAAACCCCAAGACCAAGTCTGAGGACGATGCTGTCGGGGCCCCAAGATTGGTCTTTCGGCGGTGGGGCCAAGACCTCATGCGTCGTTCCGCCACCCCACGGCGCCAAAGCGCCAAGCCCCAATGGGACGTGGGTTCCGGCCCGCGGTCAACTTCTATATTGAAGTTTTTTTTTTTCCGCGTGCCTGGCGATGAGTCAGTTCGGCAATGAGCCAGTTTGAGGAGATCCGTCCCCGGTCGCGGCTAGCGGCCTGTAGACACTAGCAAGCAAGTCCAAGTCTCTCGCTGAGCGACCGCGTCATATAGGCCTCTAACAGCCGCGTCTAAGACGTAGCACGGAGCGAGGCCCTCCGGACGCGGCAGCACGCATCCGCGCGCTCCGTCGCCAGCGGTGGCGAGCAAGACGCAATAAGCGTGCTGCCGCCCACGATGGCGACGGCGGACGACGGCCTCGCGGTGCAGGACCGGCGCGCGCTGGACCCCGCGGCGCTCACGCCGGACACGCCCGAGGTGATCTCGCGCCAGGCCACCGTGAACATCGGGACGATCGGCCACGTCGCGCACGGCAAGAGCACCGTCGTCAAGGCGATCAGCGGCGTGCAGACGGTGCGCTTCAAGAACGAGCTGGAGCGCAACATCACGATCAAGCTGGGCTACGCGAACGCGAAGATCTACAAGCGCGTCGCGGAGCGGCCCGGGCCCGGCAACTTCTGCAGCCGCGGCTCGGCGACGCCCGACGCGTTCGAGGACGGCGACGGCGCGCGCTGGGCGCTCGCGCGGCACGTGAGCTTCGTGGACTGCCCGGGCCACGACATCCTGATGGCGACGATGCTCAACGGCGCGGCCGTCATGGACGCGGCGCTGCTCCTCGTCGCGGGCAACGAGCCGTGCCCGCAGCCGCAGACGTCGGAGCACCTCGCGGCGGTCGAGATCATGCGCCTCGAGAACATCCTGATCCTCCAGAACAAGGTGGACCTCGTGAAGCCGGACCAGGCGCGCGCGCAGCACGAGCAGATCCGCAAGTTCGTCGCGGGCACCGTCGCCGGCGACGCGCCCGTCATCCCCATCTCGGCCGTGCTCAAGTACAACATCGACGCCGTCTGCGAGTACGTGGCCCACGCCATCCCCACGCCCGTGCGCGACTTCACGAGCACGCCGCGCCTCATCGTCATCCGGAGCTTCGACGTGAACAAGCCCGGCGAGGACGTCGCGAACCTCAAGGGCGGCGTCGCGGGCGGGTCCATCCTCCAGGGCGTGCTGCGCCTCGAGGACGAGGTCGAGGTGCGCCCCGGCATCGTCACGAAGGACGCGGCGGGCGCGGTCACGGCGACGCCGATCTACAGCCGCGTCGCGTCGCTGCTCGCGGAGCGGAACCGGCTCGAGTACGCCGTGCCCGGCGGGCTGATCGGCGTGGGGACGCACATCGACCCGACGCTGACGCGCGCGGACCGGCTCGTCGGCCAGGTGCTCGGCCTCAAGGGCCGGCTGCCGGACGTGTTCATCGAGGTCGAGATCAGCTTCTACCTGCTGCGGCGCCTGCTGGGCGTGAAGACGAGCGAGGGCGCGAAGCAGGCCAAGGTCCAGAAGCTGCAGAAGCAGGAGATCCTCATGGTGAACATCGGCAGCACGGCGACGGGCGGCAAGGTGCTCGCGGTCAAGGCCGACCTGGCCAAGATCCTGCTGACGCAGCCCGTCTGCACGACCGAGGGCGAGAAGATCGCGCTCAGCCGCCGCGTCGACAAGCACTGGCGCCTCATCGGCTGGGGCCAGATCCGCCGCGGCGCGCGCGTCGAGGTCGCCGCGGCCGCGCAGTAGTAGGCGGCGCGGAGGCGTAACTTATCGTAGTAGGTGGCGGCCGGGTGGGGTGTGGTGGTGGTGGAGACGTGTGCCTGCCCTCGCGCCCCGTCGGGTATAGACCACGACTCCTCCGAGTCCGCTCCGGGAAATTAAGGCGCGTCAGCGGCCCGGGAGGCGTGGTCTAAAAACGCGACCTCGCGGGATAGAACTCACTTGACTCGGAAACCTCAAGTTAAATAAATAAATAAATAAGGGAGCAGGAAATAAATAAATAAATAAATAAATAAATTAAGGAAGACCTAAAAAAGGAACAAGCTCCTAGGAGCCTTCTCCCTGCTCGGTCAGGATGCCCAACCGGAGCTTCGAAATAGCAGTAAGGTATCTATACAACGGATTTTCGATCTCCCGGGGTAACGCGTCCCCCATGACCAAGCGACATCGGCCCTCATCGGTCAATTGCCGTGCGGGGGGGCAAACTGAGTATAATCTCGCAAGAAATGCCTCCCGAAGAACTAGAAAGAAGGAACGAGCTCTCCTCAGGGCCTTCTCGCCGCTCGGTCAGGGTGTGCAACTTTCGAACTTGACAGTTACGGGTCGCCGCCGCCCTGGTCGCGGGTCCCCTGGACGCGGGCGAGGCGGTAGGGCCCGCCGTCGGGGCTGCCGTAGAGGAGCGTGCCGTCGAGGGCGTAGCCGCGGTCGTCGACCTCGAGGACGTCGTCGCGGAGCGCGAGCGCGTCCTTGACGCGGACCCGGGTCGTACCATCGCGTTGGCTCAGCACGACGCAGCCACCGGGGTCGGCCATGGCGCCGTCGAAGCCGCCGTCCACGGGCCGCCACGCGACGTCGCAGCCGCCCAGCGGCTCCCAGCGGCCGGTCGCCGCGAGCGCGGCGGCGCACGCGGCGGCGCCGCGCGCCGGCAGGTCCGCGCAGGCGGCGTGCGCGGCGGCGAGCGCGGCCCGCGGCGGCCGCAGCAGCGCCATGCGCCGCTCGTCGTCGAACGCGTAGCACCGCAGCCGGAAGACGTTCTCCGGGGCGCCGTCGAGGTAGTAGCACGCGAGGACGACCCGCGCCGCGGCGCCGGCGAGCGGCGCCGCCTCGGCGGCCCGCAGCGGTCGGAGGCAGCAGTGCACGTGCTCGTGGCCGGCGCGGTCCGCCGCCGCGACGCCGCGGGCGCGCTCGGCCGCGACCTGCGCGTAGTTGTCGAAGTCGCCGGCAAACGCCGCATCGAAGGCGCACCGCCAGTCGCGCTTCGCCGGCGCGAGCGCCGCGGCCGCCGCGAAGCAGCCGAGCGCGGCGCGGCGCATGCCCTGGTGCTGGGGGAAAACTGCGCAGCACGGTCCTTTCGCATCGACCCCGCAAGTGCAATAGTTGTCGAGCGGCAAGAAGGCGCGCACAGCCGCGCTGCGACAGAGACCACGGGCACGACGAGGACCCGCCCCGGGCTAGGTTCCTGCGGTTGCGTAGGTCAATAGGAAGGAACATATAAATAGGCGGAGGTGATAACAAGTTAGGTCGGCGAGGGTGAGAAAGGCTCAAGATGATCCGCGGTCGGTGCGCGGGAGTTCCGTAACGATACTAACGCCGGGATAGGTTCTACTAGGATGTCATATGCACAACTTCACCACTCCCTACGAGATCGAGCACGCCGGCGGCGACGTCGTCAACTGATCGACCTCAGCCAGCGCGGAAGCCAGACGTTCCGTTGTCGCCTCCAGATTCGCCTCCGTTACGTGAGAAGGCGTTAAGAGGGGCGGTCCGTCCTCGCCGTCCGCATCGAAGAGGGGCGGTCCGTCCTCGCCGTCCGCATCGAAGAGGGGCGGTCCGTCCTCGCAGTGGAGGGCCGGATTGTTCTGCGGGGCGCGCCTGATGGCCACCAGTGCCGGCGCCAAGGGTTCCACGGGTAGGTTTGCGCGCCAGTCCCAGATCCGGTACCAGCGGGCAATCGCGACGGCGCATCCGACGAGCGCGTCGAACGTGGTGTTTGCCCCGTCGGGGGCGGGGTGGGGCGGGGGCGGCTGGAGCGTCAGCGTCCCAGCCCGGGCCATAAGGAATATTCTTCTTGCGCGCCAGTCGCGCCACCGCCGCAGCGGATTGGGCATTCCGGAAGGATCAGACTCGCCGCTGGTTACACTCGACACTCGACCGAATCGACTTTGGGTCGCTTGCGCGGCTGCACAAGTGGCCGTGTGCTGCACAAGCTATCTCTATAGACGGGTGGCGGCTCCGCTGCGACGCGCGCCCAAAAGGCTCATGAGGCACATGACCGTGGCTACAGAAGGAAAGGGCAGATATATATAAATAAATAAAATAAGGAAGACCTAAAAAAGGAACAAGCTCCTAGGAGCCTTCTCCAAAAGTATAATGAAAAAATCCTAAAGAGCCTTCTTCCTGCAGTGTAGCGCGCACACACACCCTCCCTGGGCAGCCTGGGGTCTAGTCCCTGGTCCTCAGCATGAGCACAGCAGCCCGAGGGTCGGCTTCGGGGCCACTCCGAGGAGTACGTTCGAGTGACGCCCCGCGCGGGCAAGACACAATACCCCCCTTACAGGACGAGGTCTCCGCCGTCGGCCAGCCAGGGCAGGTCGAGCGCGCGCCGCGCCGAGACGCGCGCGTCGGGCTCGTACCTCAGCAGCGCGCGCAGGAAGTCGGCCGCGTCGCGCGCGTCGCGGCGCGCGAAGGCGAAGTTCTCCTCGAGCACGCGCGCGATGGCGTCGACGCCCGGCGGCGGCGGCGCGATCGCGATGTTCCGGAGCGCCGACCCGTCGCCGCGGAACCAGCGCGCGGCGCGCGGCGAGCGCCGCACGAGCTCGGCGGGCACGGGCCCGAGCAGCTCGACGGCCTGCGCCAGGTGCGACTCGTCCTTGCTGAAGGGCTCGCCCGGCCGCGGCGACTGCGGGTCGAAGAGCGTCTCGCCCGTGAGCAGCTCGAAGACGAGGCAGCCCACGCTCCAGACGTCCGCCGCCGGCCCGAAGGGCCAGAGCCCCAGGACGCCCTCGGGGCACCGGTACTCGCGCGTCTGGATGTCGCGCGCGCCCTGCCGCCCGACGTAGAACGCCGTGCCCAGGTCCACGAGCTTGACGCGGCCGACGGGCGCCGGGCCCGCGAGCAGCACGTTCTCGGGCTTGACGTCCGTGTGCAGCACGCCGACCTCGTCGTGCACGAAGGCCAGGCACTCGAGGAGGCACGCCGCGCACCGCTTCGTCTCGGACACCTCGAGCGCGCCGCGGTCCTGGATCTCGTGGAGGAGCGTGCGCCCCAGCAGCTCGAAGACCATGCACACGTGGTTCCCGTGCGGCCCCGCGACGTAGAAGTGCTCGAGCAGCTCGACGACGTGCGACGCGCGCCGCGCCTCGCGGGCGCGCCGTCGGATGTGCGTCAGGATCTCGATCTCCGTGACGGCGCTCGCCGTGTACCTGTGCGCGAGTCAAGCAGTGAGTCGGGCGCACCCGACGCTTCTTCACCAAGTCCCTTCTCCGCGAGGACGGGGCCGCGAGCATTTGATTGATGCACGGCCGTGCACTCGGGCGCGGCCTTCTGGATCTTGAGCGCGACGCGCCGCCGCGAGCGCCGGTCGCGGCAGCACCAGACCGTGCTGTAGACGCCCCAGCCCAGCTTGTGCTGGACCTCGTAGCGCTCGTCGTAGACGTCGCCGAGCGCCACGGGGTGGTAGCCGCCCGGCGCGTAGTCCTCGGCGGGCTCGGCCTCCTCGTCGCCCGGCGGTGGCGGCGGCGACGGCGGCGACGCGGGCGGCGGCGCGGGCGGCGCGGGCGGCGGCGCGGCGAGCGGCGCCGTCTCCGCGGCCTCGTCCTGCTCGAACGGCCGCCGCGGCTGCTCGACGATCTCGACCGACGGCCGCGCGATGAGGCCGTCGTTCGCCATCGGGTTCTGCGTCGTGCCGTCGTCGCCGTAGGCGTCGCCCGCGCGCGGCGGCGGCGACGCCTGGCCGACGGGCCGCCGCCGCGCGCGGCAGAGGCAGCGGCACAGCAGCAGCGGCGCCACGCGCCCGAGGCAGCCGCGCCGCTCGTCGTCCTCCAGGTCCTCGTCCATTTTTGGCGTGCGACGGTCGCGCGACAGCGCTCAACGCCGGTCGCGGTTCCGCGTCCCGCTTCGCCCTGGATCGGGTGCCTGGGCAGGCGTCTAGCTCTCCTCATGCCTGAAACCATGGTACCCAAGCGCGGGTTTTTTTTTTTCGCGTGGACCGCGTCCCCGCGCGGCCGCAGCCCTCGGGGACGCGGCGGCAGCGGTCCCGGCCGCGCCCGGCGGGGGGGCCGCGCATATTTAGCCGCCGCCGCCCAACAGCCCGGCGTTTTGGGCAGCTCATTTAGCCCGGCGCGTTCGGCAGCCCGCCCGTCCGCGCCCGATCCGCGCCCGCAGCGCCGTCCGCCCGCCACGATGGCGCCTGGCAAAAAGAGTTCGAAGAAGTTCGAGCTCACGGAGGAGCAAAAGCAGGAGATTCGCGAGGCGTTCGACCTCTTCGACACGGACGGCTCGGGCACCATCGACGCCAAGGAGCTGAAGGTGGCGATGCGCGCGCTGGGCTTCGAGCCGAAGAAGGAGGAGATCAAGAAGATGATCTCGGACATCGACAAGGACGGGTCCGGCACGATCGACTTCTCGGAGTTCCTCGAGATGATGACGGCGAAGATGAGCGAGAAGGACAGCCGCGAGGAGATCCTGAAGGCCTTCCGGCTCTTCGACGACGACGAGACGGGCAAGATCTCGTTCCGGAACCTGAAGCGCGTCGCGAAGGAGCTCGGCGAGAACATGACGGACGAGGAGCTCCAGGAGATGATCGACGAGGCGGATAGGGACGGCGACGGCGAAATCAACGAGGACGAGTTTCTGCGCATCATGCGCCCGCCGGCGCGCAAATCAAATTTCGCGGCGCCTCGTAGTCTCCGTGCGTCTTTCCACGGCGCACTGACTCGTCGCGTCGACCTGCACGCCATCGACGCGACGTCCGCTCGATGGCGCGGCACCCAGCTCACCGCTTTGCACACAGGAAGAAGACCTCGCTCTACTGAGTGCCTCCGGCTAGGACCGTCCCGTAAGTTGCTATCGAGAATTTCCCCGGTAAGTCATCATTCGAGCACAGATGCATACCTTCCCCCGCGTCGTCGGGGATACCATAATACTCGTTAAATAAACGTTCACTGTTTTTTTTTTTTTTTTCTCCCGGGTTTTGCAAGCTGTCATTATACAAAACTAGCGCCATAGCTGCCTGTCTCAACAGGCAAGATGTCGAAAAAGCAGAAGTCGAAGAAATTTGAGCTCACGGTGCGTCGCGGCGTCCCACGCCCGCTTCGTCCTGGCCCACGAGTACCTGCTACCGTTTGAGCGCCAACCGCAATGGGGGTTCTGCGAGAGCCGCGCGCCCGGGAGCGCTGCCGCCACGCCTTGACCACGCGCGGCGCGCGTCGCAGGAGGAGCAAAAGCAGGAGATTCGCGAGGCGTTCGACCTCTTCGACACGGACGGCTCGGGCACCATCGACGCCAAGGAGCTGAAGGTGGCGATGCGCGCGCTGGGCTTCGAGCCGAAGAAGGAGGAGATCAAGAAGATGATCTCGGACATCGACAAGGACGGGTCCGGCACGATCGACTTCTCGGAGTTCCTCGAGATGATGACGGCGAAGATGAGCGAGAAGGACAGCCGCGAGGAGATCCTGAAGGCCTTCCGGCTCTTCGACGACGACGAGACGGGCAAGATCTCGTTCCGGAACCTGAAGCGCGTCGCGAAGGAGCTCGGCGAGAACATGACGGACGAGGAGCTCCAGGAGATGATCGACGAGGCGGATAGGGACGGCGACGGCGAAATCAACGAGGACGAGTTTCTGCGCATCATGAAAAAAACGTCACTCTACTAGAGCGCGGCGGCGGCGTCCGCGAACGCGCTCGCTCTAGTGAGCTGCTGCGCAAGCTGTGATAAATTTTTGATTTATAATCAAGGTGCTTCCTTCTCTATGTGCCGAAGAGTCTGCCTCTTGTGTGCACACGCGTGATGCACGAAAAACGAGTTTTGCACCATCTATTTTGGTCGCGTGCGGGTTGCGTAACTTCGCCGTAAGTCCAGGGGCCGGGCCGCCAGAGGTACTACACGTATAGGGTACCTTGGTGGGGTTGCTAAGGACTAGGAATTAAACCCCCGCGTGTCGCGCATTGAGAAAAAAAAAAGGGGCCCGAAAGCACATCGTAGCCGCATTTTTCGCATTAATTGGCAGCGCCCCCAAAAACCGAGTAACGACGTACGCGCTCGCGGCAGTAAGGCCAGCTCTCAACTCGCGCAGATTCAGACCAGTTCATCAATGGGCGCGGCGGAGTCCGCGCCGGGGGCGGCAGACGCGGACGAGGCGGCCGCCGCGCGGCGCGCGCGGGGCATCGCGCGCGTCGACGCGCGGCTGCGCGAGCGGCTCGGCACGCAGGGCGTCCGCTACAACCTGCGCGTCGTCCTGCGCGGCGGCCGGCGCGCGGGGAAGACGGCGCTGTTCGAGCGCCTGGCCGGCCGCGGCTTCAGCGACGCGTACGAGGCGACGCGGGAACTCCGGGCCGCCACCATCGCGTGGGCGCCGCGCGACGGTCGGGAGCGGTGCAAGGTCGACGTCTGGGACGTCTGCGACGAGGCGGAGGCCGAGGGGGCCGTCGACGCGGCGTCGATCGACGTCTACGACGGCGCCGCCGCCGCGGTGTTCCTCGTGGACCCGCGCGACGCGACGACGCTCGACTACGTCGTGGACAAGCTGCGCGGGCTGCCCGGCGGCGTCGACGCGGTCGTCCTCCGGAGCTTCGCCGACGCCGCCGACGGGAGCGGGCTGACTGAGAGCGACGTGGCCGCCGCGCTGGAGCCGCTCGGGAGGCGGATCCGCGTGCTGAGCGCCTCGGCGAAGACGTGCGCGGGCCTCGACACCCTCCACGCGTGGCTCGCGCTGCCGTTCCTGCGGCTCGTCGCCGGCGAGCACCGCCGGGCGCTCGCGCGCGCGGAGGAGCGGCTCGCCGCCGCCGAGGAGGCGCTGGACGCGCGGCTGGCCGCCGCCGTCGCGGCGCCGGCGCCGGCGCCGGCGCCGCCCCCGGCGGCCTCCCCGGCGCCCGCCGCGCGCCCCGCGCCCCCGGCGGCGCCCGAGGACCGCGACGCGGAGCTGCCCGCGCCGCCGACGCCGCCCGCGGCGCGAAAGTCGGCGCTCGACGCGTGGCTCGACGACGACTCGGACGACGACGGCGGCGGCGCGCGCCCGACGCCCGCGGCAGCGGCCGACTCGGATTCCTCGGACGACTTTTACGGGCCACTCCCCGGCGCTCGGGCCGCGGCGGCCGCGGCGGCCGTGGCGCCGAAAGCGCCCGCGCCCGCGGCGGTAGAACAACCGGCGCGCGGCGCCGAGGCGGCACCGCCCGCTGTCGAGCGACCCGAGGCCGACGCCGAGCCACCGGCCGACGAAGCGCCAGCAGCGCCAGCGGACGCGGAACCGCCTGCGCCGGCCGCGGAAGCCGCACCCGCGTCCGCCTCGGAAGAAGCCGCGGAGCCTCCGGCGGTCGCCGCGGAGCCCCCGGAGCCCCCCGCGCCTGCACCCCCAGAGCCGGCGGTCGCCGCGGAGCCACCTGCGCCCGCGGCAGATGCACGGGCGCCGACCCCCGCAGCAGAGGCGGACGCGCCCGCGCCCATAGCCGATGCCGCGCCGACGGCGCCCGCCGCGGAGGCCGCGCCCGCGCCGGCCGAGATGCTCGAGGCGGAGGCGGCGGCGTTCGTCCCCGCCTCGGCTGCGGCGGACGGCTTCTTCGACGACGACGACGACGACTCGTCGGAGGAGACCGCGCCGGCGCCGCGCCGCGCCCCGTCCGCCGACGACGAGCCGCCGCCGGCGGCCCCGTCCGCCTTCTTCGACGACGACGACTCGTCGGCAGACGCCCCGGCGCCGCGCCGCTTCTTTGACGACGACGACGACGACGTTGCGGCGGCGGCCGCCGAGGCGCCAGCGGGGCGGCGCCGGCGCCGCGCGAAGCTCCGCGTCGTCGCCCCTGCCAAGGCCGAGGCTCGGCCGGCGACGAGCGAAGCCGCAATTGCGGCGATCGCCGCGGCAATGGGCGCGAGCCTCGAAGCGGCGCCGCGCTCGTCAGAGAAGAAGAAGAAATCCTCAAGAAGAAGTATTAAGTAACTTGTAAAGTGGGCAAAGCAAGCCAATGTAGTTATTTATTTATTTAACCCGCTGATACGTCAGAGTCTTAGTGTCGGAGAGGGGGGGTCGCTTATTGAGCTAGCCCCTCCAGCACGGTCGGCGGCAACCCGGACGAGGACGCGCGCTTAGCTCCCCCGAGACCACACATCTCCCAAGGCATCTCGCCAGGCGTGCCCCCAAAACCCGAATTGACTAGTATAGCAAAATAAAGAATGATTTAGCTCCCCCGTCACCCCTCTAGGCGCGCGCCCCCGCAACCCGAATTGACTATAGCTATTTATAAGTACCTAGGCGCGCGAGTACGCCCGGATCAAGATCGACGGCCTCCGGCTCGTCGGCGGCAACCCGGACTTCACCAACGCGCCCGGGCACGGCGACGACGACGCACGCTTCTACGACCGGCAGCAAGCTTACGTACACGCTCGCGGGGGATAGCTCCCCCGTCACCCCTCTAGGCGCGCGCCCCCGCAACCCGAATTGACTATAGCTATTTATAAGTACCTAGGCGCGCGAGTACGCCCGGATCAAGATCGACGGCCTCCGGCTCGTCGGCGGCAACCCGGACTTCACCAACGCGCCCGGGCACGGCGACGACGACGCACGCTTCTACGACCGGCAGCAACGCGTACGCTCGCGGGGGGATGCCCCCGTCACCCTCTAGGCGCGCCCCCAACCCGAATTGACTATGCGCATTTATAGGCGCCGGGCGCGAGTACGCCCGGATCAAGATCGACGGCCTCCGGCTCGTCGGCGGCAACCCGGACTTCACCAACGCGCCCGGGCACGGCGACGACGACGCACGCTTCTACGACCGGCAGCAAGCTTACGTACACGCTCGCGGGGGATAGCTCCCCCGTCACCCCTCTAGGCGCGCGCCCCCGCAACCCGAATTGATCACGCCATTTAAGTACCTACCTAGGCGCGCGAGTACGCCCGGATCAAGATCGACGGCCTCCGGCTCGTCGGCGGCAACCCGGACTTCACCAACGCGCCCGGGCACGGCGACGACGACGCACGCTTCTACGACCGGCAGCAAGCTTACGTACACGCTCGCGGGGGATAGCTCCCCCGTCACCCCTCTAGGCGCGCGCCCCCGCAACCCGAATTGACTATAGCTATTTATTATAAGTACCTAGGTAGGGATGCCTAATGATTTAAGCGCGCACTGCGCATAGGCTGCCCCCGGCTGGCGATGCGTGGGACGCGCAAGCCGGCGGCAGCGCACCGCCAAAGGAAGGGCGTGCCCCCGAGCCCGGCGGCTCCCGCGCCAGCGGGCGGCGCGCCGCGGGATGCCGCGGGCGCGGCGCGGCGCGAGGCCGTCCGCGCGTGGAATGGCGCCAGGGACCTCGACGAAATACCCGCGCGCGTCTGGGCGCGCTGGCGCGGCGCGGCGCTGGCGCGCGCCGGCGTCCGCTTCGCGGGCGGCGACGGCGCGGGCCGGCCCGACTTCGAGCTGGCGGCGTGCGCCAAGGTCGCCCACACGGACGCGGCGCGGCGGTGGGCGCTGACGTGGCGGCTCTGCGCCACGGCCGTCGCGGGGAGCCGCGTGCGCGTGGAGTTCGTCGCGACGGTCGTCGACGCCGACGCGGCGCGCGGCGCGGGCCCGAGCCTGGGCACGGGCGCGGGCGGCGCCGGCGCGGACGGCGGCTGGTCCGGCCTCGTCGGCGCGCTCGACGACGCGACGGGCGCGGCGCCCGACCTGCCGGAGGCGCAGGCGCGGGCGCACGCGCGGTGCCTCGCCGGCGAGGCGAGCTCGACGCAGAGCGAGTTCGGCGACGCCCGCGACGCGCTCGCCGCGCTGAGTCTCTACCTGCGCGCGGGCGACGCGGGCCTCCGGGCGTGGCTCGCGCGGGGCGGCGAGGCCGCGGGCCGCGCGCTGCTGCTGGGCCTCGCGCGCGCGCTCCGGCCCCGCGCGGCGGACCTCGTGGACGCGCAGCGCCGCGAGTTCGCCGCGCGGCCGGACCTGCCGCCGATCGGCGCCGAGGGGGACTGGGCCGCCGTGCCCGCGCTCGCGCTGCACTGCGTCGCGCGCGCCTGCCCGCGCCTGCCGGCCGAGGTCGCGCCCTGGGCCGAGCGCGTCGGCGCCGACGTCGTCCGGTGGTGCGGCGAGGCGCCGCCGGACGTGCGGGCCCTGGCCACGGAGGCGGTCGGCGCGCTGGGCGAGCTCCAGGCGCGCGGCACGCGGGCGCGGCCCGCGCCGCTCGCGGACGAATTCCTGGGGGCCGCGGCGCGCGCGGCGGCCGCGCGGCACGCCGCGACGGCGCGCGGCGCCGTTTGCGCGCTGCGCGGCGTCGCGCTGGGCCTCGCGCCGGGCGCCGCCGCCGAGGTCGCGGCGCTCGACGCGCTCGCGCCCTGGGTGTCCGCGTGGCTCGACGCAGCGAGCCGCGCGCTCGCCGGCGACGCGGCGGCGGCGGCGGCGTGCGTCGAGGACGCGGCCGCGGCGCGCTACGCCGTCGCGGCGTGCGGCGACCTGTGGGCGAGCGTCCCGCGCGAGTCGGCGGACCTCGCGCGGCGCGCGACGGACGCGCTACGCGCCTGGACGCCGGCGGCGCTCGCGGCCGCGCCGGCCGGCGTCCGCGCCGGGCTGCCCGTGCTGGCCCTCGGCCGGGCCGCGGCGGCGTTCTACCAGACGGCCGCCGGCCGCGCCGCGCTGCGGGACGGCGACGCGGCCGCGGTCGAGGCGCGTGCGCGCGAGGCCGGCGCGTCGAACGAGGACGCGCGCGCGGTCCGCTTCGCGCTGCGCGGCCCGGCGCGCGCCGCGCCGCCGCCCGGCGCGCCCCCCGACGCCGCGCGCGTCTGCCAGGCCGAGTGGGCCGCGGCCCACGAGGCGCGGCTCGCGGAGCACCTGCGCGCGCCCGCCGAGGACGCCGACGCCGTCGACGCGCTGGCGTACCACCTCGAGGCCGAGCTCCGCGCGGGCGACGACGCCAACGCCGCCGCCTTCGCGTGCCTGCTGGAGCTCTCGCGGAAGCGCGAGGCGGTCCTCGCGCGCCTGGACGCGCCGACGCGAGGCCGCGTCGAGGCGCTCGTGGCGGACGCGCTCCGCGCCGACCCGCCGCCGACGGACGAGGACCGCGCCGCGTTCGACCACTTCCGGAGGACGGGGGAGGTGCTCGGCGCGGCGCCGCCCGCGGCCGCGGAGGAATAAATATGTTCGGATGCATCGCCGAGCCAGTCGGATGAGACGATGGGCCTTTTGACCCCTGGAGGCTGGTTTTCTGTCCAGAGCCGCTTGCGCGGGAGCCGCTTGCGGCGGACGCAAAAGCTGTCGCGTTTAGACCACGCCTCCCGAGCCGCGGACGCGTCTAGGTAAATTCGTCCGGGTTTACCCCAGTCTCTCTTTCTATAAACACATAGTAAATACGCGGCGCCCGGCTGGTGCCAGTGCCTAGCTACCTAGCTCTAAGCAAAGCAAATAAATAACTAAATAATTAGGGAAGGAATATCCTAAAGGAAAAGGACATACACTCCACAGACGCAAAGGGCACCTCAGCACCACATATATAGATATTTACACGCCGCCGCCGCCGGGCGCCGGCCGCGCCCTGGCCAGATCCCCGGCGTCCCACTCCTCGACGGCCCAGGTCGGAAAGCGGACGATCTGGACCCCGTCGTAGACGCCGCCCTCCTGGCGCGCGCCAATGACCCAGAGCGCCTCGTCGTCGCCCTCCTCGGGCACCTTGAAGAGCACGACGACGGCCGTGCCCGCCGCGTTGACGTAGGTCCGGCCGACGTGCGCGTCCTCGAACACGGGCCGGCACGCGTCCCGCGCGGCCGCAAGCGCCGCCTCGTCGAGCGGGTCGCGCGCTGCGGCCGCGGCCAGCGCGTCCACGAGCGGCTGCGCGTTCTCCGAGACCTCGTTCGCGAGGAGCTCGGAGAGGCGCCGCAGCGCCGCGCGGAGCGCGGGCGCCGTCGCGGGCGGCACGGACGAGAGCGCGCGCCAGAGGGCCAGCGACGTCGCGGCCGACGCGTACCTCTCGGGCAGCGCGTCGGTCACGGCCGTGGCCGCCTTGAGCTTCTTCGCCTTGCGCGCCTTGGCCGCCGCGGCCGCGCGCTCGCGCGCCTTCTTGCGCTTGTTGCGCGCCGCGGTCGCCTTCTTGCGCTCGGCGCGCCGCTTGCGCACGCGCTCGCGCGTCGCCCGCACGAGGTCCCCGCCCGTGGGCTCGCGGATCCGGTGGCTCCGCAGGCGTGCCGCCGCGAGGAGCCAGTCGGGGGGCGGCGGCGGCGCCGCGTCCGTGGCGCTGGCGGCCGCCGTCGCGACGTCGTGCGCGTGCACGTACCGTTTCGCCTGGTCGACCCACGACGACATGTCCCAGCGATTTTGTCGTCCCAAGGGCGACTACTAATAAATAATCCCTAAGATGCCTCCTAAGCACTTCCTCGCTGCTCACCAAAGCTAGCGGCTGTAAGACTCTAGGCATCCAAAAGTCCTGCAAAAGTCCACATCACACGAGTCGCTCAACAAATTGCGTCTCCGGAGAGCCGATAATGCGGACCCTACTCGCGGCGGCGCTGCTCGCGCCGGCGCTCGGGCTCGTGGCGCCGGCGCGACGGAGGAGTAGCCGGGGGGCCACGCGGCGGCTCGCGTTCGACGCCGCGCTCCTCTTCGACTGCGACGGCGTCCTCGTCGAGACCGAGGAGCTGCACCGGCTCGCGTACAACGAGGCCTTCGCGGCGTTCGGCCTCGAGACGGCGGGCGCGCCCGTCGAGTGGAGCGTGGCGTACTACGACAAGCTCCAGAACACCGTCGGCGGCGGCAAGCCCAAGATGAAGTACCACTTCACGGAGACGGCGAAGGAGTGGCCGACCGTGTCCGGCCGGGGCGGCCGGGCGACGGCCACGACCCTCGAGGAGGGCATGGCGCTCATCGACGACCTGCAGGACTACAAGACGGAGTGCTACAAGCGGCTCGTGGCGACGACGGCGACGGCGCGGCCCGGCGCGCTCGAGCTCATGGACGACGCGATAAGGACGCCGGGCCTCGCGGTCGGCATCTGCTCCGCCTCGACGCGCGGCGGCTTCGAGAAGGTCGTGGACGCCATCGTGGGCCAGGAGCGGCTGGCCCGGCTGGACGTGGTCATCGCGGGCGACGACGTGACGCACAAGAAGCCGGACCCCGAGATCTACAACCTGGCGGCGGCGCGGCTCGGCGTCGACAAGAGCCGGTGCGTCGTGGTGGAGGACTCGCTCGTGGGGCTGCGGGCGGCCAAGGCCGCGGAGATGGCGTGCGTGATCACGTACACGTCCTCGACGGCCGACGCGGACTTCTACGGCGAGGGCGCCGACGCCGCGCTGCTGGACCTGTCCGCGGGCGTCACCGCGGACATGCTCTTCGACGGCGGCGCGGTGCGCGGGGACCTCCTCGCGGGGCTGAGGGACTCGAAGTAAGGCAGTGTTTTTAACCCTTGCCGGCGCGCGCCACGGAGGCCGCCCGCCGCGCGGCGCCGCGCAGCGCGTCGCGCGCGTCCGTCGGCGACGCGAAGCGGACGGCGCGGCCGCGCGCCGGGAGGAGCCACTCGAAGTCCCAGGCCCCGTCGGCGTCGTCGGCGAGCGCGAAGAGCGCCTCGCTCGCGCGCGCGGCCGAGTGCTCGGCCTCGAGCGCGAACGCCGACACAGCGCCGGCGCGCGGGTCGTAGCCCGCGAGGCGGCCCGAGAAGAGGACGCGCGCGCCGCCGACGTCCGCGCGCAGCACGCAGTGGCCCTGCGTCGGGCCCGGCGTCCAGCGCGCCACGAGGTCGAAGGCGCCCGGCAGCGGCCAGGGGCCGTCGTCGAGCTTCCGCGCCGTGGCCTTGGCGCCGGGCCGCAGGTTCGCGCCGGCCGCCGAGAGGAGCGTGTCGGCGTCGTCGCGCCGGTAGTCGCCGCGGCCGGCGTCGAGGCGGTGGACGACGCGCGTCGCGCGCGGCGCGGCCCCGCGCACGGCGGCCTGCGCGCCGCCGTCGGCGACGCGGTGCGGCAGGACCCACGTCTCGGTCCCGGCGGGCGCCAGCGCCGCGTCCGCCGGCACGCCGACGAGCAGCGTGTCCTCCACGACGTACGCGGCGTCGTCCTCTCCCGCATGCGGCAGCGCCACGATGGTCGGCAGCGCGGCGGCGACCGGCGTCGGTTGCTTCGTGCCCGGGGGCGGCAGCACCTCGAGGGCGCCGGCCACCGCGCAGCAGCACCAGAGGCGGACAATCATAGGGCTGATACGCTCCTTTTCAAGAATCTGAGTATCGGTTTTCAGGAGCTTTCTGACGATAGTACGTCGGGCGCTTGCGCGGCTCGTTCGGCGGTATAGAACTACCTACTGCGGTACGGTACCTACGGTAAGTGCCAAAGCCATAACATACAAGTATAGTACCTCTTGATATGCTGCTACGTAGAAAACCGCGAGCTCTGGAGGTTCGGGGCTCAATCGCCAGTGATTTATCTTTAACCTTATTTTACTCTGCAGCCAAATGTGCTCGTCAGGTAAGCCCAAACAGCGTCTCCTCGTCGCGCGTTTCGCCGCCCCACTAAGCTCACGACGCGCGACACGCTAACAGCTTGGCGGGGCGATGCACGAATCGAAGGATGGGGAGGTACTCATCATGATTACAATCAGGCCGCGCGCCGGCGGCGGACCGCGACCACCCGGAGCGCGACGAGGCCCGCCAGCGCGGCCGCCAGCGTCGCCGCGGCGGCGTCGTGGGGCGAGCGGCGGCCGCCGGCGGCCGCGGCGCCGAGCGCGTCGTAGAGGCGCCCCAGCCGCGCCGCGGCGCCGGGCCGCCGCCGCGCGGCCTCCTGGAGCCCCCACTCCGCGTAGAGCAGGCCCAGCGCGAGGCGCACGGGCCAGGCGGCGTCCGCGTCCGCCTCGGCCGCGAGCCCGAAGTGCCGCTTCGCGAGGTGCAGGTCGCGCCGCACGCCGAGGCCGCGCTGGTAGCACCACGCGAGCGCGAAGGTCGCCTGGGCGTGGCGCAGCTCGTGCGCCGCCTGGTAGTGCCCCACGGCCCGCGCGGCGTCGCCCGCGCGCAGCGTCATGTCGCCCAGCCGCAGCGCGGCGTCGGCGTTGCCCTGCTTGGCCGCGAGCTCGTAGAGGCGCCGCGCGCGGCCCTCGCAGTCCCCCGCCGACGTCCCGAGGCAGTCCGCGGCCCCGCGCCGCGCCGCGCGCGCCGCGCGGTCGAGCAGCCGCGGCGTTCGCCTGCGCGACCTCGTAGCCCGCCTCGGCCAGCCGCGCGTACGCGCGCCGCGCGCCGTCGACGTCGCCCCGCGCGTACACGGCGTGGGCCTCGGCGAGCTGCGCGACCCAGGGGCCCCGCTCGGCCACCGTCTTGTAGGCGTTCGCCGCCACGTCGCAGCTCCGCCGCACGCCGAGCGCGCGCGCATAGAGCCGCCCGACCTTGTGGAGCGCGCGCACGTGGCCGTTCTGCGCCGCCAGGCTGAAGAACTGCAGCGCCTTCTGCGCGTCCTTGCGCGACCGGCGCTCCTGCCGCGCGAGCCGCCGCGCGAAGCCGTCGACGAGCGCGAGCTCCGCCTCCGGCCGGCCGTCCCAGCCGAGCTGGTACAGCCCGAGGTGGTAGAGCGCGTCCATGAAGCCCTTCTCCGAGGCCCGCCGGAAGTAGCCCGCCGCCGCGTCCCGCTCCTTCCGGCCCGCCGCGCGCCGCAGCTCGAGCAGGCCGAGCCCGTCGAGCGCCGCGGCGTCGCCGCGCTTCTCGCCCCGCCGCAGCCAGGCCTCGGCCCGGGCCTCGTCCCGGGCCACGCCCCAGCCCTCGAGGTAGCAGAGGCCCGCCCAGCCGAACGCCGCGGCGTCGTCGACCTCGGCGCCGTCGGCGGCGGCGGCGAAGAGGCGCGCCGCGCGCGCCGGGTCCTGCGCGACGCCCCGCCCGCCGTGGAAGTGGAGGTGGCCCAGCGCGAGCTGCGCCGCGCCGTCGCCCTGCGACGCCGCGTGGCGGTAGTAGTGGAGCACGTCGGCGCCGCGGCCGGGCCGGCCGCCGACGCCCCAGAACGGGTCGTCGCCGTCGGCCGCCCAGGGCGGCGCGCCCGGCGGCGCGACCCACGGCGCGTCCGGCGCGGCGGCCGCCGGCGGCGGCGGCGGCGGCGGCGCGGCCCGCGCGCGCGGCGCGGCGAGGAGCGCGCGGCCCGCGCGGACGAGCCGGTCGCGGTGCTCGACGAGGCCCGCGCCCAGGTCCAGGAGCCGGCCCGCCGTCGCGTCCCAGAGCGCCTCCAGCGCCGCCACGCGCCCGCCCGCCGCCGAGAGCCGCTCGCGCGCGTTCGGCCGGAGCACGCCCTCGGCGGCGGCGCGCCGGACGGCCTCGTCCGCGGCCCGCTCGTAGAAGCGCAGCGCCGCGTCGCAGTCCTTCGGCACGCCGTCGCCGTGGACGTGGCGCGCGCCGAGCGCCATGTTCGCCAGCGGGTCGCCGCCCGCCGCCGCGAAGTAGAGGTGGAGCACGGCCGCGTCCTCGCGCGACGCGCGGCCCCGCGCGGCCGCGGCGGCGGCGGCGGCGGCGCCGCCCACCTCCGCCGCGTAGGCCCGCAGCGCCGCGCGCTCGGCGTCGTCGCCGACGACGAACGCGTCGCTCCCGAGCGCGACGGCGACGCCGAACTGGGCCGCGGGGTGGCCCCGCTGGGCCGCCGCGCCGAAGCGCCGGAGGGCCTCGGGCAGGTCGCGCGCGCAGAGGCTGCCCACGTCGCCGGCGGCCGCGCCGAGGCTCGGCCACGCGCAGCCGCGCTCGAGGAGCCGCGCGAGCTCGAACGCGCCGTGGCGCGCGCCGGCGCCCGAGCCCCGGTCGGCCGCGAGCGCGTACATCTCGACCGCGCGCCGCAGCGACCGCGTGCCGTTGCGCTGCCCCGACCGCCAGCCCGCGGCCTCGCGCAGGAGGCGCTCCGTCTCGGCCTCGGAGAGGGGCGCGTCGTCGGCCGCGGCGCCGCCGACGAGGGCGAGGAGCGCGAGCGTGCGCATCTTTTTTGCGCGCGGCCGGGCTGAGCCTAGTTCCTACGACGGCTGAGTGCTTAGCTAGCCAACCCGCTTGGCTCGGAGACCCTTTTTTTTTCTTTTTATTTGTGCAGAGGCAGGCAAGTCAGGAGGCCACTGCCTCCAGCCAGTGGTCTCGTGAGCCGCCAGACCACTCTTGACTTCTTGGTTTCAGAGCGTCGGCTAGCTGCCGCCGGATCAGGCAGCCCTCAGCCCACCTGCTGCCGCCATTTTGCCCGGCGGTCGTCCTGCTTCCGTCATGGCTCCAGAGTCGGCTGCTTCCCTTCCACGCAGCCTTTCAGAGCCTCGGTAAACTCCGCATACTGCTGCGGCGGATGCGCGGGGCACCTCGGAGAAAACCGAGCTAGGAGCGCACCCTCAATAGATCCGCAGGATGGGGAACGGCGCCACGGGCCGCTCGGAGCCGCTGACGCCGCTGGCCGAGGACCGCGAGGAGTGGTGGTCCGCCGACCAGCGGGGGTCCGCGCCGCGCGACCGGCGGCCGCCGCGGTCGCGCCCGGGCAGCGAGCGACGGGGCCGCGCGTCCACCATGGCGCCGCCGCCCGAGCCGCCGCGGTCCGCGCCGCGCGCGCGGCGGCGCCTCCGCTACGACGACGCGAGCGACGGCGAGGCCTCGCCCGACGAGGAGCGGCGCCGCGAGCGCCGCGCGCCCGCGGCGTCGCCGGCGCAGCCGCCCGCGCGCGGGCGGCCGCCGCCGCCGCGCTCGCGGACGCCGTCGGGCGGGCCGCGCGACTCGCCGGCGGGCGGGCGGCACCACCGGCCGCCGGCGCCGCGGGGGCCCCCGCGGGGCGACCGGCCGCGCCCGCCGCGGGACCCGCGGCCCGCGCGCCCGCCGGGCCGCCCGGCGCAGCCGGCGCAGCCGGCCCCGCCGGCGACGCCGCCGACGGCGCGCTCGGCGCGCGGCGGCCGCGCCGAGGCCGCCGGCGCCGACTCGCCGGCGGGCCGCGCCCCGCGGTCGGAGTCCCCTCGGAAACGAGCGGCCGTCGGCGCCGAGCGGGCGGCGGCCGCGCCGCCGGCGGAGGCCGCCGACGAGTCGGACAGCGACGGCTCGCTCGGCGCCGAGGAGGTCTACGACTGGTGCGCCTTCGACACGGCGCAGGGCCTCGACCTGATCTCGGACAAGGCCGGCGCGACGGCGCCGACGCCCGAGAAGCGCGAGCGGACGCCGCCGCCGACGCCGCGGCCGCGCGCGACGCCGGCGCCCGCGCGGACGCCGACGCCGTCGCGGCGGCGCGCGGCGGCGTCGCCGCCGCCGGCGGCGGGCGGCGGCGGCGTCGTCGACACGAGCCGCGTGTCGCGCCGCAAGGCGTCGCTGCCGACGGAGATGGCGCACCCGATGCCGACGTCGGGCGACTTCCTCAAGAAGCGGTACATGGTCAACAACTACATCCTCCTGGACTCCGTGGGCACGGGCTCCTACGCCGACGTGCGCCTCGCCAAGGAGAAGACGAGCGACCGGCTCTACGCCGTGAAGGTGATCAACAAGCAGGTCCTGCGGCGGAAGCTCACGGGCGGGTCGACGATGCTCGACGACGTCAAGCGGGAGATCGCCATCATGAAGAAGCTGAGCCACCCCCACGTCCTCCGGCTCTTCGAGGTCATGGACGACCCCAAGGTGAACAAGCTCTACCTCGTGCTCGAGTACATGAAGCTCGGGGACCTCATGCAGATCATGCGGGGCGACGCCAAGCGGTACCGCTGCGACGCCATGGGCGAGGGGCCGCTCTGGACCTGCATCCGGCAGGTCGCGTCGGGCCTGGACTACCTGCACGCGCAGAGCATCGTGCACGGCGACATCAAGCCGCAGAACCTGCTGCTGGGCGAGGACGGCGTGCTCAAGATCGCGGACTTCGGCATCTCGAAGATGCTGGCCCAGGAGGAGGCGCTCCTCGAGACGGCGGGCACGCCGGCGTTCATGTGCCCCGAGATCTGCGCCGGGCGGCCGTACGCCGGCCCGTCGGCGGACGTCTGGGCGCTGGGCGTCACGATGTTCATGCTGCGCTGCGGCCGGCCGCCCTTCGTGGCGGACAAGGTGATCCGGCTCTACCACAGGATCATCCACGACGAGCTGCGCTTCCCCGCGACCGAGGCGCCGCTCGCGCGCGGCCTGCGCGAGCTGCTGCTGGGCATGCTCGCCAAGGACCCGGCGGCGCGCAGCTCGCTCGAGGCCGTGCGCGGGGCCGCGTGGCTCCGGCAGCCGCCGCCGCCGGCGCGGCGGCCGGCGCGCGACCGGCCGGCGCTCGCGGCGCTCGAGCCGCGGCGCGACGGCGTCGTCGAGGCGGCCCACCGTTTCGAGAAGATTACCGTCTCCGCGGCGGACCTCGACGGCGCCATCGTCGCCAAGCGGAAGAGCAGGCGGGCCCCGACGCCGGAGAAGGCGCCGGAGGAGACGGCGGCGCCCCCGGCGCGCGTCCTGAGCTCGCGCGACGCCGAGGACAAGCGCCGGGCCTTCGCGAAGAAGCACTCGAAGCCGTCGCTGCGGCGGCGCGCGGCCTCGGCCGACGACGACGACGCGAGCGACGACGACGACCTCGCGGGCGCCGTCGAGGACGACGGCGGCGCGCTGGACCTCGCCGTGGCCGTGCCGCCCGCCGCGGCGACGCACGTGCTCGAGCGGCGGCGCTTCGCGGCGCCGGCGGGCCTGACGAACCCGCTCGCGCGCGTCGCCTGCGCGTGGCACTCGCGGCGCGGCCAGCGGCCGTCGCAGGAGGACCGCGTCACGGTGATCCCGGACCTGGCCGAGCTGCCGGGCTGCGACGACCCGCGGTACTCGGGGTACGCGTACATGGGCATCTTCGACGGCCACGGCGGCGACGCGTGCGCGACGTACCTGCAGCGCGAGCTCCACGCGGGCATCTGCCGGCGGGGCGCGCAGCTCTTCGAGGACACGCGGCAGGCCGTGGCGCGGGCCTTCCGCGAGACGGACGAGCGGTGCTGCGCGCGGCTCCGGGCCCAGGACGACGGGAGCGGCTCGACGGCCGTCGTCTGCCTCTTCGACGGGCCCGGGCGGCGACTGGTCGTGGCGCACGCGGGCGACTCGCGGTGCGTGCTGGGCGCGCGCGGGGCCCGCGGCGCGAGCCTGACGCAGGACCACCGCCTGACGCGGGCCGACGAGCTCGCGCGCGTCCGGGGCGCGGGCGGCCTCGTCGTGAACCACCGCCTCCACGGGACGCTCGCGGTGTCGCGGTCTTTCGGGGACGTGGCGCACAAGAGCGGCGAGCCGCCCGTGCTCACGGCGACGCCCGAGGTGCGCATCCAGAACGTCACCGAGGAGGACGAGTTCGTCGTGCTCGGCTGCGACGGGCTCTGGGACGCGCTCTCGGCGCGGGTCGTGGCGAACTTCATCCGCGGGGAGCTGAACGACCACGGCGACCTGCAGCGGGCGGCGCGGGCCGTCACGGAGGAGGCGCTCCGGCGCGGCTCCGTGGACAACGTCTCCGTGATCCTCGTCGCGCTCAACCACGGCGACGGCGACGACGACCGGCCCGGGAGCGCTGCCGGCGCGGCGGAGGAGGTCGACTAAGCTTTGCGTTTGTTTTTTCTGCGCTTTTGCTGATGAGACGGCTGAGGCCCCGGTTCTTGGCTCGAGTTTTGGCTTCCTCGTCGGCGGGCGCCTCGCCCGATGATGTCCGCTCGTCAAAACGCTGTTCTTCGCCGCTTCAACCAGTCCCTCAACAATTGGAACGTGATCAATGTGAGGAATATGAATCGTATGTTTAAAGACGCAAGGTCCTTCAACCAGCCGCTCAACAATTGGGACGTGTCAAATGTGGATTATATGAATCATATGTTTGAAGACGCAAGGTCCTTCAACCAGCCGCTTGACAATTGTGCCCTGCGGCGGCCGACGCGCGCGACGAATGGCGGAACCGCGTCGGCGCCGCGCTCTCGCGGCGAGGAGCGGTCGATTGGCTCTCGTGGACGCCCTCGATTGAGATTGTGGCGCTCTGTCTTGGAAATGGGGGCAATAGCAAAGACCGTGACCTGGACCGCGAGCTGCCTTTCATATTCACGGAGACGTTGGGTGCGTGGGCGGCGAAGGAACGCGAGCATGTCGTTCCTCGCATGTATCGCACGACCGCGTCTGACTCCGAGTCTGGTTCTGATGGGGAGGAGGAGGACGACACTTGATCTCGACGCGATTTCTGATCTCGTGGTCCGGCCGGGCGTGCGCGAGGGCCTCGCGAAGGCGTCGTGGGGGCGTTCGACGCGGCGCGACGTGTTGGGCAAGTAGGCGATTCATCCTCGGCTTCCTCGCAATTCAACGGGTCGACGGGCCTTCATTGGCGATGTTGACTCACCCCAGCAATTCAAGCTCCTTCCGATGACAACTCTTCGGGTCTTCCGTCGGCGCAATGTTGCGAACGCGCGGGTGTTTTTCGCGACTCCCCCGCGGGCGCGGCGGCGGGCCGGCGGCGGGCTACGGAGATCCTCGTCGGCGGCGGCACTCGGGCAAGACTCCACGGAGCGGCGGCGCGCCGGGACCCTGGATACCTTGACTAGCTCTGGGTCGGGTCTCAAGCAAAGCGCCTTCGCGTCCGCGTTCTGCAGATCAAGGTTGCGTGGCGGCGGTTCCCTTTTTTTTTCCCGCACATCGCTGCACGACCTCTGCGACGAGTCTCCTGGGGCGGGGAGGGGTCCCGCAAGACCGCGCACCGGTTTCCCGCAAAACCCGTCGGTTAAATTGAGGCTAGGCTGGTGGCCTCCCACACTTTGCGGCCGCTCTGCCGCCGCATGTTGGCAGGCCTGCGTCCGGCTCTTCAGAGTACACCGCTACCGTGCACAAAAGAAGAGCTGGCGACACGAGCGCGGTAAAAAAGTACTGCAGCTGTCTTACAGCCGCTAGTAGTCGCCTGCCCACGTGAGGTGCATTATATAATATAATGCAATTACATCTTGGTGATTCACGAGCGCTCAGGTTGCCTGCATAGCAAAGAAACATGGCGGCGATCTCGGCGGCCGAGCTGGACGCGACCTGGCGCCAGCTGGAGCGCGTGCCGCGGCCGGACCTCGCGCGCGCGCTGGCCCGCGCCCAGGAGCTCGGCGCGGCGGCGTTCAAGCGGAAGGACTACCAGGGCGCCTACGACCACTACAACCAGGCCGTGACGGGCCTCGAGTACCTCGCGCGGACGGGCGCCGACGCGACGGAGCGCGACGCCGTCCGCGCGCTCGCGAACCGCTCGGCGTGCAAGCTCGGGCGCGGCGACGCGGCCGGCGCGGCGCGGGACGCGGCGGAGTGCGCGCGCCGCGAGCCGGCGTGGCCCAAGGCCTGGTACCGGCTGGGGCGGGCCCTCTTCGCGCAGGACAAGTTCGGCGACGCGTCCCAGGCGTTCGACGAGGGCGCGCGGCTGGAGCCGGACAACGCGGAGTTCGGGCGCTGGCGCGAGCGCTGCCGCGCGCGGGATGAGGCGGCGGCCGCCGAGCGGCGCCGCGCGCGGCGCCACGAGACGGACTACTCGCGCTTCGACTTCGTCAACGACGGCGACGGCGACGGCGGCGGCGGCGGCCGGCGCGGCCCGGCGCGGTCCGGCGCGCCCGTCGTCGAGACTGTCGAGGAGATGCACGACCTCATGCAGCGGAAGCAGCAGGCCCAGATCGACCAGCAGGCGCCGGCGGACATCTACTACGTCCAGACCATGCTCCGCCTGCCGCAGGCGACGCGTCCCGCGGAGCTCGAGGGCCAGACCGCCCTCGCGGCCGTCGTCGCCTACCTCGAGCGCGCGTCGGCCCTCGCGGCGCCGCGCCGGCCCGCGCGGAACCCACGAACCCCAATGAGAGAATGGTCGCGCCGACGCGGCGGCCGCCCGCGCAGGTTCCGGCGCGCGGGCGCCGCGGCGCGGCGCGCGGCGGAGGCGTGGGGCGGCGCGATCGAGCGCGTCCGGCGCCGGCTGGGCGAGGCGGACCTCGGCGACGCGGCCTGGCTCCACGTCGGCGCCGGCTGCGGGCGGTCGCTCGCGCGCTGCGCGCGGGCGGCGGCGGGCCCCGTGCGCGCGCTCGCGGTCGGGCCGGCCGCCGGCGCGCGGGACGTGCTCGCGGCCAACGGCCTGGCGGACGCCGTGGAGTGGGTGGAGGCGCCGGTCGAGGAGGTCTTCGACGCGGCGCCGCCGGCCGTCGTCGTCGTCGTGGACCCGGACCTCTTCGACGGGGGCCTCCTCGGCCGGCGGGCGCTCCCCTACGTGCGCCACGCGCGGCGCCACCTCGCCGTCCCCGAGTGCGTCGTCGTGCCCGCGCGCGCGCGCGTCTTCTGCGCGCCGCTCGCGGCGCGGTTGCCGGCGTCGCACGGCGTGCCCCTCGCGGCGCTGGACCGGTACCGGTGGGGCCCGGGGTCCGAGGAGCTGGACCTGGACGGCTCGATGCAGGCGCGGGCGGGCGCGTACCGGCTCCTGGCGCCGCCGGTGCCCTGCGCCGAGCTCGACTTCTGCGCCGCGGACGTCGAGGCGGCGCTCGCGGCGCGCGAGGCGCGCCTGGCGTTCGAGGCCGGCGAGGACGGCGTCCTGAACGGCGTCGCGTTCTGGTTCGAACTGGACTTGGTGGACGAGCTCCGCTTCGGGACGGCGCCGGGCGGCGGGCGGCGGCAGCGCGTCCAGTGGGTCGACCCCGTGCGCGTCGCGAAGGGCGCCCCGATCCGCGTGGCGGCGCGCGTGACGGAGACGCGGGTCGCCTTCGAGGTCACGGCCCCCCAGCGCGTCGCGCCGGTCGTGCACCGGCACTGCCTCGGGCGGTGGCACCTCGACATGGTGGCGGACGCGCGGCGGAACGCGGCGTTCCGCGCCGGGATCCGGGCGGCCGTCGCGTCGGTCCTCGAGGGCAAGCGCACGGGGCCGCAGCGGCCCGGCGCCGCCGCGGGCTGCGCCGTCCTGGACTTCGGCACGGGCAGCGGGCTCCTCGCGCTGTACGCCTGCGAGGCGGGCGCGACCGCCGTCGTCGGCGTGGACACGTCGGCGCACGTCCTCGCGTGCGCGCGGGAGATCGCGCGCGCGACGCCGCACGCCGCCGCGGTGCGGTTCGTGCACAAGGACTGCCGCCGCCTCGAGGCGGGCCGCGACTTCGGGGACCGGGCCGACGTGCTCGTGATGGAGCTGTTCGACTACGGGCTGCTGGGCGAGGGGTGCCTCCACTTCGCGCGCCACGCGTGGGCGCACTGCCTCCGCGCGGACGCGAGGATGGTGCCGCGCGGCGCGGCGCTCCGGGCGGTGCTCGTCGAGCTCGGCGAGGCGGAGACGGGCGACGGCCTCGACGTGCGCTGCCTCGGGACCCGGCGCTTCCAGCCGGACTACTACGGCCTCCGGCTGGAGGAGGAGGCGCACCGGCGGCTGTCGGCGCCGTTCGACGTCTTCGACTTCGACTTCTCGCGGGCGAGCGCGCTCGCCGACGGGTACCTCGAGGGCGCCTGGCGCGGGGACGTCGAGGTCACGGCGACGGGCCGGCTGAACGCCGTGGTCTTCTGGCACGTCCTGGACCTCGGCGACGGCGCCGACCTCGCGACGGGCCCCGACGACGCGGAGACGTGCTGGCTCCAGGCCTGCCAGCCGCTCGAGGAGGTTTCCGTCGAGCAAGGGACGCGCCTGGCCCTGCAGGCGACGCACCAGGGCTCGCGGTGCACGTTCTCGGTCGACCGCGCTCCTGCCGGCGACGCACCAGAATTTTACGACCACAACGACCTCGCGCTCCACAACGAGCTCGCGGCGCAGTCGGCGCAGCTCGAGAAGACCGTCGTCTTCTCGAGCGAGGCGCGCCAGGAGGCCGCCGACGCCGCGCTCGGCGTCGCGGTCGACCCCGCGCGCCTCGGCCGCGGCGGGCGCTACGTGGACCCGGACGTGGCCCAGCAGTTCGCCTGGACGTTCTTCCAGGGGTGAGGCGGTTCCTCACCATCCTCCTTGCGGCTGTGTGCAGATTATGTAACCGATTTTGCAAAAAAAGAGGAACGGGGTTTACTTCGCGCAGAGGGATCGGAAACTTCTTCAGGGAGGTTTTCTCCGTTACGCTAGTGTAGAAGACGCTAGGTAGGTAGCAGTGGCGGCGCCCGGCGGCGAGGCGCTTGCTTCCGCCCGAGGCGCGCTGCACACGACCTAAAAGAGCCGCAGTGCTCACGGAACCACCTCCGTCCCAGCGGGCGGGCGAAGAGCCCGCGCGAACCTTCGCGCGCCGCCAGCGTGTGCCCGGCGTGTAACCACCACGACGATGCGCGCGTTCCTCGTGGCCCTCTTCTACGCGGGCGCCGCGGGCTACCGCGCGCCCGCAGCGCGCCCGCGGCGCGGCCCGCGGCCCCTGACCATGGTCCTCGAGAGGGCGCGGCCCGACGTGAGCGACAAGACGGGCTTCGTGGGCCTCCCGGGGCTGCGCGTCCAGGGCCTCGACGGCGTGAACCAGATGAAGCTCGAGAGCGACTACCTGCGGCACCCGCTGGTCGAGGACCTGGCCGACATGGAGACGATCTCGATCAGCCACGACTCGTACAACCTGCTCAAGTTCCACGGGAGCTACCAGCAGGACGACCGCGAGAAGCGCAAGAAGGGCGCCGAGAAGGCCTGGCAGTTCATGCTCCGCCTCAAGGTGCCCTCGGGCGAGTGCCCCGGCCCGCTCTACCTCGTGCTCGACGACCTCTGCGAGCGCTTCGGCCAGCGGGACCTGCGCATGACGACGCGCCAGGCCTTCCAGATCCACGGCATCTCCAAGGCGAACCTGAAGCACGTGATCCGCACGATCATGGACGCGGGCTCGACGACGATCGGCGGCTGCGGCGACATCAACCGGAACGTCATGGCGCCGCCCGTGCCCATGGTCGAGGGCGCGCCGCCGGCCTACCGCCGCGCGGGCGCCGTCGCGGCGATCTGCGCGGAGCTCTTCGTGCCGCAGACGGAGGCCTTCAGCGAGATCTGGTGCGACGGCGACAAGCTCGCGTCGGTGCAGTACTGGAAGCGGCACCTCGTCGACGCGGTGACGGGCGGCGGCACGCCGACGGTCGAGAACTTCGCGAAGGCGGACGAGCTGCGCGTCGACGCGAAGATGCAGGAGTGGATGCGCGCGCCGGACGGGCGCGGCGTCGTGCTCGACCACCCGGTGGAGCCCATCTACGGGGACATCTACCTGCCGCGCAAGTTCAAGATCGGCGTGACGGTCGAGGGCGACAACTCCATCGACGTCTTCATCAACGACATCGGCGTCGTCGTCAAGGAGGACCTCTCCGGCGCGAACGTCTACGTCGGCGGCGGCCTCGGCCGGACGCACGGCAAGGAGACGACGTTCGCGCGCGCGGCGTCGCCGCTCGGCTTCTTCACGGACGAGGAGCTCGTGCCCGCGCTCAAGGCCGTCGTGGCCGCCCAGCGCGACCACGGCAACCGCGAGGTGCGCGCGAACGCGCGCCTCAAGTACCTCGTGCACACGCTCGGCCAGGACGCGTTCCGCGCGCTCGTCGAGAGCTACCTCGGCAGACCCATCGCGCCCGTCGCCGAGCTCAAGGAGTGGCGCTACAGCGACTGGATGGGCTGGCACGCGGCCGGCGACGGCACGCTGTTCGTGGGCATCAACTGCGAGCAGGGCCGCGTGCGCGACTACGCTGACGGCGGGCCGCAGTGGCGGTCCTTCCTGCGGGCCTGCGTGACCGAGGTCGGCGCCGACTTCATCCTGAGCCCGACGCAGTCCATCGTCGTGACGAACGTCGCGCCGGACCACCGCGCCACGGTGGAGCGGCTCATGGCCGAGCACCGCATCCTGCCGATCGAGGCCGTCGACCCGCTGACGCGGCTGTCCATGGCCTGCCCCGCGCTGCCGCTCTGCGGCCTCGCCGTGACCGAGGCGGAGCGGCTCATGCCCACGATGATCACGCGCGTCCGCGCCGTCATGGACCACCTCGGCCTCCTCGACGAGGAGGTCATGATGCGCATGACGGGCTGCCCGAACGGCTGCGGGCGGCCCTACATGGCCGAGCTCGGCTTCGTGGGCGACGGCAAGGCCTCGTACCAGCTCTACGTCGGCGGCAGCCCCGTGCTGACGCGCGTCGGCTTCGAGTACAAGGAGCGCTGCAAGACCAAGACGATCGAGCACTCCCTCGAGCCGCTCTTCGCCATGTGGCGCGACGAGCGCCTCGACGAGAGCGAGGCCTTCGGCGACTTCGCCGCGCGCGTGGGCCAGCCCGCGCTCGCGGCCTTCGCGGCGGACTACGTCTGCACGTCGGCCGTGGCGAAGTAGCGGACTCGCTCGTGGGGGTCCTGTGTACACTTTCATATTCTGAGACGTTGGCGGGTTTTGTGTGTAGTGCACACGTCTGCGGTAAACTAAGGCTAAAGATAAATCACTGGCGATTGAGCCCCGGCCGGGAGCCTCCCAGGTCGCGGGTTGTCGGCTTATTTAATAGGTGTGCCGGGTCCGGGGGAGCTAGTCGGTACGACTGGCGTAAACACTGCCCCTGCAACAATCAAGCAGCGCGCACGAGCGCAAGGATCCCTCTTATAAAACCTCCGCCAAACCACAGCTCGTGTGCCCGCGTCAGCTTGCTAAAAAAGCTCGGTGCGGCCACTGCAAGCCAAGCACTGCCACTGATGCCTCGCACGCCGCGCCGCCCGGGCGACCCGCCCGCGCGGGGCCGCCAGCCGCGCAAGCCGAAGCGGCCCAAGGTCCCGCGCGACGCGCCCCTCGACGTGCACTGGGACGACTTCTACGCGCGGCGGGGTGGCCGCTTCTACAAGGACCGGCACTGGCTGCGGCGCGAGCTGCCCGAGCTGATGCCGGCCGCCGTGCGGGCGGACCCGCTCCGCCACCAGGCGCCGCTCGAGAGCGACGGCGAGGCGGTCGACCGGAGCGACGCGTTCCCGGCCGCGCGCGAGCTCGCGGGCTGCGGCGTCGTGGGCCTCGAGGCGGGCTGCGGCTGCGGCGCGGCGGCCTTCCCGCTGCTGCGGGCGAACCCGGACCTGTTCCTGCTGTGCGCGGACTTCAGCGCGGAGGCGATCGGCATCCTGAGGGAGAGGCCCGAGTACGCGGCGCAGCTCCGGTCGCGGGCGCGCCGCTGCCACGCCTGGGTGGCGGACGCCGGCGCCGCGGAGGGCGACGCGGCCTGGGCGGCGTGCGAGGCGCTCGCGTCCGGTCTCGGCCTGTGAGGAAATCTAATTTCGGGCGCCCCACGCTCGATGGCGTGAGTTTTCAGACCATGGACGCGACGTCGTCGCCGTGACTGCGTCGGCTCAATGGCGTGGAGGTCCGCGAAGGTCCATGATTTCCACGCAGGCATCGGCGGGCTCCACGCGATCACGCTCATCTTCGCGCTGTCGGCGCTCGAGAGGGCGCCGGCGGCGCGGTGCGTCGCGCGGTGCGCGCGGCTGCTGCGGCCCGGCGGCCTGCTCTTCGTGCGCGACTACGCGGCGGGCGACCTCGCGCAGAAGCGCCTGGAGGCGAAGCCGAACCGGAGGACGGCGGAGGAGGACGGCTTCGTGAGGGGCGAGGGCACGCTCGCGCGCTACTTCTCGCGGGCGGACTTCGACGCGCTGTTCGACGCGGACTTCGAGGCGCTCGCCGTCGGCTTCGTCGAGCGCGACATCACGAACCGCAAGCAAAAGGTCACGATGGAACGGCGCTGGATCCAGGGCAAGTACGTCAGACGCGGCGCGCCGCCCCTGTTTTCGGTCGGGGGGCGCGCGAACGTCGTCGAGGCCGCGCCGGCCGTCCGGCGCCCGCCGATCGACGCCGCCGCCCCGCCGCCGCCGCCGCCCGCCGGCTCCGCGGACCGGGCCCATCATCGGCCCTGCGCCGGCGGCTGCCTCGGCTGCGCTCAGTCTTGACGAAAACGTTGTGTAAGGCCTCGTACTATCTAGACTACTAGTAGTAGTACTAGTATCGTGATGAGAGACTTCGCAAGCGATCGACCCGCCGCCGCCCGCGCTCCGACCGACGGAAAGGTGCTCCGGGCGAAGATCGTCGGCATGGGCGTGTCGCTAGTCGTGGCGGCCGCCGCGCGGCGGGCGTTCGAGAAGTGCGTTTTCAAGTTGGATAAGTGAATCGTTGTTGTTATTACTTCTATATTAGTACCAGGAAGAAGAAGAACGCGCCATCTCACGTGGTGCCAAAGAAACACAAATGACTATGTACACAAGGACCTCAGGCCCCGACGACGACGCGCGGCTCGGCCGCGGGCGCTCCGGTCTCCGCGGCGCCGCCGCCGGGCGCGGGCCGGAACGTGTTGAGGGAGAGGGACGACGCGACGACGCAGAACGAGCTAAGCGCCATGGCCAGCGCGGCGACCTCGGGCGGCAGCCGCACGCGGAGGACCGGGAAGAGCGCACCGGCGGCGATCGGCACGCCGAGCCCGTTGAACACGAGCGAGAAGAAGAGGTTCGAGCGGATCCGCGCGAAGGTCGCGCGCGAGATCTGGATCGCCGCGTCGACGTCGGCCAGCGCGTTCCGCACGAGGACGACGTCCGCGGCCTCGACGGCCAGGCTCGTGCCGCAGCCCATGGCGACGCCCACGTCCGCCTGGGCGAGTGCCGGCCCGTCGTTCACGCCGTCGCCGACCATCATGACGACGCGGCCCTCGCCCTGCAGCCGCGCCACGACGGCGGCCTTGCCGTCGGGCCGCACGCGCGCGAACGCGTCCGGGATGCCGCACTTCTTGGCCACCGCCGCCGCGCACCGCTCCGTGTCGCCCGTCAGCATGTAGACGTCGACCCCGCGCGCGCGGAGCCCGCGGATCGCCGCCGCGGCGTCGCCCCGGACCCGGTCCTCGATCGCGACGAACGCCACCGTCGCGCCGCCGCCCGGCGCCGCCCCGTTCCCGGCCTCGGCGCCGACCCGGCGCGACGCGCCGGCGTGGACGAAGACCACGGTCGCGCCGCCGGCCTCCCACTTCCGCGCGCGCTCCTCGACCGCGGGCGCCAGGGCCCGGGCCCCGCAGTCCCGGAGCAACTCGCGCGTGCCCACGTGGAGCACGACTTCCCTCCCGTCCGCGGCGCGCAGCGACGCCGAGACGCCCCGGCCGTCCAGCGACGCGAAGGCCTCGCACGCGAAGCGCTTCGCGTCGACCTGGTCGACGAGCGCGCGCGCCAGCGGGTGCGCCGAGTTCGCCTCGGCCGCCGCGACGGCGTCGCGCACCGCGTCCGCGACGTCGTCCGCGGCGCACCCCAGCAGCGCCGCGGCGTCCTCCGCGACGAGCTCCGTGCGCACGACCTGGGGCCGCCCCCGCGTGAGCGTCCCCGTCTTGTCGAAGACGACGCAGGTCACGCCGCGCGCGACCTCGAGGGGCCGGCCGCCCTTGATCAGGACCCCGAGCCTCGCGCCGACGCCCGTCCCGACCATGACCGCCGTCGGCGTCGCCAGCCCGAGCGCGCAGGGGCACGCCACGACCAGCACCGCCACGCCGAACAGGAGCCCGAACAGCGCCGGCCCCTCGCGCTCGTACCAGCTCCGCGGGATCGCGCGCGTCGCCGCGAGCGCCGTCCACACGATCACGGCGACGCACGCGACGACCACGACGCCGAGCACGAAGTAGCGCGCGACGACGTCCGCGAGGGCCTCGACGCGCGTCTTGGACCCCTGGGCCGCCTCGATGAGGCGCACGATGCGGCTGAGCACGGCGTCGTCGCCTGCGTGGAAATCAAATTGTCGCGGCGCGTCGTCGCCACTGCCGAATCATTGCCTCGACGCCATCGACGCGACGCCTGCTCGATGGCGTGGCGGTGCCGGTTCCCACCGCTCGACGGAGCCAGCACGGCCGCGTATCAACGCGCTCGACACGCTGGTTGATTTCCACGCGGGCCGGCGCCCACGGCCACCACCTGCACGCGCAGCGCGCCCGGGCCCAGGTTCACGGTGCCCCCGTAGACCGCGTTTCGCTCCGGGTCCGCGCTCTTGGGGACGGGCCGCGCCTCGCCCGTCAGCATCGACTCGTCGACCGTCGACGCGCCGCGCACGACGACGCCGTCGGCGGGCACCGCGAGGCCGGGCGCCACGAGGCACACGTCGCCGCGCCGGAGCGCCGCCGCGTCGACCGTCTCCGCCTGGTCGTCGCAGAGCACCACCGCGCGCGCGGGCTGGAGCTCGAGCAGGGCCCGGAGCGCGCGGCTCGTCTTGCCCTTGGCGCGCGCCTCGAGGTACTTGCCCAGCAGGACGAAGGCGATCAGCAGCGCGGACGTCTCGAAGTAGTGGTGGCCGTGGAAGCAGTGCCCGTCCATCGCGCACGTGCGGTGGCTCCGGCAGCAGGGCCGGTTGTGCGACGCCGCGCCCAGGGCGTAGCACGAGTACCCGTACGCCGCCGACGTGCCCAGCGCCACGAGCGTGTCCATCGTCGCCGAGCCCCGCCGCAGCGCCTTGACCGCGCCCGCGTAGAACCGCGCCCCGAGCCAGAACTGGATCGGCGTCGCCAGGAGCAGCGACCCGAGCGCCTCGGCCGCGAGGTACCGCCGCCTCGAGCCGAGCACGTTCGCCTCGAGCGCCAGGACGACGCCGCGCGGCCCGTACGGCTTGAGGAGCATCACGACGACGAAGATGGGCAGCGCGAGCACGAGCGCGAGCAGCGCCTCGCGCCCGTAGCGCCTGACCTCGGCCTCGCGCGCCAGCCGCCGCGCCTTCTCCCCGGCCAGCGCGCGGTCGCTCGCGCTCGCCGCGCCCTCGACCTCGGCCTCGTAGCCGAGCTTGCGCAGCTTGCGCGCGATGTCCTGCGCGCCCAGGCGCGCCGGGTCGTACGCGACGCGGACGCGCTCCAGCAGCACCTCGACCGCCACCTCCAGTACCCCCGCCGTCAGCCCCAGGGCGCGCACGATGCGCGGCGGGCACGCCGCGCACACCAGGCCCCCCACCACGAACACGGCCTCGGCGCGGTCCGGCCGCGCCGCGTCGCCGTCGCCCGTCGCCCGGTGGACGCGGCTCACGGCGTAGCCGGCCCGGGCCACCGCCGCCTCGCAGGCCCGGACGACGGCGTCCACGTCGCCCGCGGGGCAGCGCACCGTCGCCTCGTCCGTGACGCAGTTCGCGGCGGCGGCGGCGACGGCCGGGTGCGCGCCGCGCAGCGCGCGCGTCACGGCCGCCGCGCACGCGCCGCACGTCATGCCGTCGACGGCCAGGCGCAGCGCGACGGCGTCGGGCGTGGGGGCCGTCGGGGACGTCGGGGGCGGCGGCGGCAGGAGCGGCGTCTCGAGGGACGGCTCCGCCGGCGGATCCGCGTCCGCGCCGCACGCGTAGCCCGCGCGGCGCACGGCGTCCTCGAGCGCCGCGCGCGAGACGGACGCGGCCTCGACGCGCGCGGCGCCGTCCGCGACGGAGACCGCGACCTTGGCCACGCCGGGCACGGCCCGGAGCGCGTCGGCGACCCAGGCCTCGCACCGCGCGCACGTCATGCCGCGGACCGCGAGCGTCGTCGTCGCCGTCTCGGGAGACGCGGCCGCGGCGCCGAAGCCGACGGCCTCGACGGCGGCGACGAGCGCCGAGAGCGGCGCGTCCGCGTCCGCGTCGACGCGCGCGACGCCGCTCGCCAGATCCACCTCGGCGCGTCGCACGCCGCCGACGCCCTCCAAGGCCTTTTGTACCGTGCCAACGCAGTGGAGGCAGGTCATCCCGTCCACGCTGAGGCGGACCGACGCAGCGCTCATGTAGGCGTTCTTAGGCGCGGTGCTGTCCGCGCTGCGTCAGGCGCTCTACCCGGGCCGAGCTTGCTAGTGTCTTACTGCCGCTAGCTGCAGCTCTGACTACCACAACCATCAACTTGTCCAGCGAATGCGGAACCGCTTGTGCCTCCTCGGAGCAGCCACGGCGGCGGCGCTCGACGCCTCGATGCCCGCCCGGCTGCGCGCGGTGCTCCAAAAGCCCCAGATCAGCGTCATGCCCTGCTGCTACGACGGCGTCACGGCGCGACTGGTCGAGCGCGCGGGCTTCGAGCTCACGTTCATGACCGGCTTCGGCGTGGCCGCGGCGCGCGGCTACGCGGACGCGGGACTCCTGAGCTTCGGCGAGATGCAGGACTCGGCGCGCATGATCGCCTCGGCCCTCAAAGCGATCCCCTTCTTCGCCGACGGCGACACGGGCTACGGCAACGCCGTGAACTGCAAGCGCACGGTGCGCGGCTACGCGCAGGTCGGCGCCGCGGGCGTGATGATCGAGGACCAGGTCTCGCCGAAGCGCTGCGGCCACACGGGCGTCAAGGCCGTCGTGCCGCGGGACGAGGCCGTCGCGCGCGTGCGGGCCGCCTGCGACGCGCGCGACGAGCACGGCGGCGGGCTCGTGGTCATCGCGCGGACGGACGCGAACGCCTGCCTGGGCTTCGACGAGGCCCTGGACCGGTGCCGGCGGTTCCGGGAGGTCGGCGCGGACGTCACGTTCCTCGAGGCGCCCACGTCGGTCGCGCAGATGGAGACGTACTGCCGGGAGGTGGACGGCTGGAAGCTGGCGAACATGCTCGAGGGGGGCCTGACGCCGGTGCTGCCGCCGGCGGACCTCGAGGCCATGGGCTACACGATCGCCGCCTACCCCCTCACGCTCCTGTCGGCCAGCACGAGGACGTCCCTGGAGGCGCTCGCGCGGCTCGACCGGGGCGCGTCGACCGAGGACCTCCTCCTCCCGTTCGGGGAGCTCTGCGACGTCGTCGGCTTCACGGAATACAACGCCGAGGCGGCGCGGTACGCGGCCGAGACCTAAGTCTAGCCATGTGAGTTCTGTCGCGTTTTAACCGCGCCCCCCGAGCCGCTGGCGCGTCTACGTACATTCGGTTACATTTCTCGGACAGTGCGTAGGTACGCGACCGACACTTAAACAGCCCCCGCCCCTAAAGCTCGGCGCTCCCGTCGACGAAGCCCATCGGGTTCGCGCTCTGCCACGTCCAGAGGTCGCGGCACATCTCGTCGAGGCCCAGCTCGGCGGTCCAGCCGAGCTCGTCCGCCGCCTTCTTCGTGTCGGCGTAGACGGTGGCGACGTCGCCCGGGCGCCGCGCGACGATCTTGTAGGGGATCGTCTTGCCCGCGGCCTTCTCCATGGCCCGCACCATGTCGAGGACGGAGTAGCCCTTGCCCGTGCCGAGGTTGTAGACGCGCAGCGCCGGCGCGCTCGTCTCCATCTTGCGCAGCGCGCTCAGGTGCCCCACGGCGAGGTCCTCGACGTGGATGTAGTCGCGCACGCCCGTGCCGTCGGGCGTGTCGTAGTCGTCGCCGTAGACGCTGAGGAACTCGCGGCGGCCGACCGCGACCTGGGCCACGTAGGGCATGAGGTTGTTCGGCGGGCCCTGCGGGTCCTCTCCGATCCGCCCGCTCGGGTGCGCCCCGACGGGGTTGAAGTAGCGCAGCAGGACCACGGACCAGTCCGCGCCGGCCGGCGACCGCGCGAAGTCGCCGAGGATCTCCTCGATGACGTACTTCGTGCGGCCGTAGGCGTTCGTGATGCCGCCGCCCGTCGGCGTCGCCTCCGTGATGGGCGGCGTCGCCGCGCCGTAGACCGTGGCCGAGCTCGAGAAGATGATCTGCGTGATCGCGTGCTTGCGCATGGCCCGGAGGAGCGCGAGCGTGCCGCCGACGTTGTTCTCGTAGTACTCGAGGGGCTTCTGCGTCGACTCGCCCACGGCTTTTAAGCCCGCGAAGTGGATGCAGGCCTGGCAGGGCGCAATCTTCGCCAGTATGGAATCGAGCTTCTCGTAGTCGCACAAATCCACCTCGTGGAAGTCGAGCAAATCTGATTTGCCCGTGAGCTCGCCGACGCGCCGCAGCGACTCGACCTTGCTGTTGACCAAGTTGTCCAGGACCGTCACGCGGTAGCCCGCCTCGAGCAGCTTCACGCACGTGTGGCTCCCGATGTAGCCGCTCCCGCCCGTCACCACGACGTGCGGCGCGCTCAGCGCCGCCGCCATCCTGCCTACCACGAGCAGCCAAAAACGCATAGACGCGTCACAGCCGTGGGTGGTGCCGCAGCAACCGAGGCACGTCGACGGGCGCGCGCGAGCCTGGCAGCGCGTTTGCGACCCAACGCCTGCAGCCAACGCCCGCCCTTTTTTGTGGAGCAAGAGACCGCAAGCAAGCTGTCTCCCAAACGTCGCTAGTGCCTTACTGCGCTAGCTTTTTTTTCCAAGTTTTTAGTGCAAGCCAGTGCATTGTGAAAGTCAGTGCAACGATGCACAACGTCCTCTTCGTCATGGCCGGTGCCCACGCCCTGGCCGCGCCGGCGGCGCCGTCGCTGTACGTCGTCGGCTGCGGCGTGTTGGGGCGAGCGACGTGCCGCCTGTGGCGCGAGGCGCACCCCGGCGCGCGGATCATCGGCGAGACGGCGTCGACGGCGTCGCACGCCGAGCTCGAGCGCCTGGGCGCGACGCCGGCGACGCGCGCCGCGCGCGGGACGCCCGCGAAGTGCGCGAACGTCCTCTTCTGCGCGCCGCCGAGCGCGTACGGCGACGAGGAGTACGCGGCCGAGGTGACGGAGGCCGCCCGCACGTGCTGGGACGGCTCCGGCGCGTTCCTGATGGCGTCGTCGGGCGGCGTCTTCGCCGAGGACGCGGGCGGCGTCGTCGACGAGGCGGGCGCGACGCTCGACACGCCGCGCGCGCGCAAGCTCCTGGGCGCGGAGCGGGCCGCGCTGGCCGCGGGCGGCGCGGTCGTGCGGCTGGCGGGCCTCTACACGCGGGACCGCGGCGCGCACGGGTACTGGTACAAGCAGGGCGAGGTCCGGGCCGCGGGCGACGGCAGCCTGCTCAACTTCCTGCACTACGACGACGCGGCGGCCTTCGCGGCGCGCGCGCTCGAGGCGCGCGTCGCCGACGAGGTGCTGCTCGCCGCCGACGGGAGCCCGCGGACGCGCGCGGGATGCGTCGACGCCGTCGCGCGGCACCCCCTGTTTCGGGACCGCGCGCGCCCGACGTTCGTCGCCGGCGACGCGCCGCCGCGGCGCGGGCCCGCCGGCGGCGGCCGCGTCTACGACTGCGCGCGCTCGGCGGCGCGCGTCGGCGGCTGGGCGCCCGCGTGGCCGTCGCTCGACGCGTTCTTCGCGGCCGACGCGGAAAAGCCCTCCGAGGTCGCGGACCGGCTTCCTTAACAGTGTCTTAGGTTTCTTCGGGGTCCGCATTCGGGGGGGAACCGGGCTCGTCGGGCGCCGGAGCCGGACCCGGAGGCACGAAGGCGCCCATGGCAAACGTCCCTTCGACGAACTTGCCGTTGCTGGACGCGAAGCGGCCCGCGCCGTGCGGGTAGCCGTCCGCGAACTCGCCGCGGTAGCGCTGGCCCGCGCCGCCCCGGAGGTCGCCGCGGCCCTCGCGCCGGCCGTCCACGTAGTCCCCCGCGTAGCGCTGGCCGCCCGGCCAGGACGCGACCCCGCGGCCCGTCATCGCGCCGTCCTCGAAGAGGCCCTCGTACCGCTGGCCCGACTTCCAGAAGTAGGCGCCCCGGCCGTGGAAGCGGTGGTTCCGGAACGCGCCCTCGTAGCGGTCGCCGCCCGCGAGGGCGAGCGTGCCGGACCCGTGGAACGCGCCGGCCCTGAACGCGCCGCGGTAGGTGTTGCCGCCGAACTTCAGCACGCCCTTGCCGTGGAAGAGGCCGTCGCGGAAGGGGCCCCGGTACACGGCGCCGCGCGGCACCTTGAAGACGCCGCGGCCGCCCGGCGCGTCCTCGACCCAGTCGCACTCCAGCGTCGCGCCGTTCGCGAACGTGTAGGTGCCCCGGCCCTGGCGCTTCCCGTTGGCGGCCCAGCCGTCGTACGCGTCGCCGCACGGCCACTCGAACGTCGCGTGGCGCCCGTGCTTGCCCCCGAGGTCCGCGGGCGTCGCGCGCAGCGCGAACTCGGTGCGCGGGAGCGGCGCGGGCGCGGGCGCGGGCGCGCGGGCCTCCGGCGTCGGCAGCCGTTTCCTGAACGGCGGAATCTCGGCGATGTCCCCCCGCGCCAGCATGGTGGACGCTCTGCTGCCCCGCACTCACCAAGAGGGCGCCTCGTTCCTCCGGGTTTGAAGGCCTAGCCTAGCTTCCGTTCCTCCTCAGAGGGCGCAGCCCGGCAGGGCCGGGATTGGGCCGGGCCGGAGATCGATCGGGCCGGCGCTGTGGAAAACCCGCTTCTAGCCTAGCCTCAGCTTAACCGACGGGTTTTTGCGCGCGGTCTTGCGGGACCCCTCCCCGCCCCAGGGGGCTTGCTTAGGCATCCCTAGTGACTTACAGGCCGCTAGCTCGCATTCCCGGCTAGCGGCCTGTAGACACTAGCAAGCAAGCATTAGTGCGAGAGAGGAATAATCACTGGCGTTTGAGATGGTGTGAAACCAACGCATGAGTGCCGACCGTGCCCTGCGATGGCCAACACCGTCCTGATCGTCGGCAGTGGGCCGAGCGGCTGCGCCTGCGCCGCGGCCCTGCTCGACGCGTCCAAGGACCCGACGCTGCGCGTCCTGGTCGTCGAGCGCGGCCCCGAGCTCGCGGCGGACGCGACGGCGCGCTGGGGCTTTCCCTCGTCGTTGATGGAGGAGCGCGCGTACGCGGCCTGCGGCTACGCGCCCTTCGCGGGCTGCGCGTGGGCCGGCACCGTCGCGGCGCTCGGCGGCGGCTCGGCGCTGAACGCCGGCGCGCTGATCGAGGACGAGACGTACTGGGCGAACGAGTGGGGCGGGTGCGGGGCGCGGTGGCGCCCGGCCGCCATGGCGCGGTGCGCCGCGGCGGCGCTGGCGCGGCTCGGCGTCGACGCGGCGCCGCCGCCGGACCCGCGGAGCGACGTCTTCGTCGGCGCGTGCGGGGCCGCCGGGCTCGACGACGCCTTCCGGCCGCGGCTCGCGTTCGACCGCCGGGGCCGGCGCTGCGGCGCCTGGAGGCTGCTGCCCGCCGACGACGCGCGCCTGCGCGTGGTTCACGGCGAAGCGCTCCGGATCCTGACGGCGGCCGGGCGCGCGACCGGCGTGCGGCTGGCCGACGGCGCGCGCCTCGAGGCCCGCGCCGTCGTCGTCGCGGCCGGCCCCGAGGAGACCGTCAAGCTGTTGCGGCGGTCGCAGCTCGACGGCGGCGGCGCCGTCGGCCGGGGCATCTCGGACCACCCGTCCGTGGCCCTGCCGCTGCTCGACCTCCGCGGCGCGGCGCCGCCCGCGGCGGCGGCGGCCGCCGCGGCCGCCGCGGGCGCGCTCCTCCTGGGCGGGCGGCGCGGCGCGGCGGCGGCGGCGGCGGCGGCGGCGGCGGCGGCGGCCGCGCTCGCGCTGCGGCCGCGGTCGCGGGCGGCGGCGCGCGCGGCGCCGGCCGCCTACGCGGGCGTGGCCTGGGACGCGCGGCGCACGTTCCAGCTCAGCTACCTCGGGGGCCAGGGCGCCGTGTGCGTCGGGGGCTTCTACGGCGGCGCGCCGCGCGCGTGGCGCGGCGCGCGCGCTCCGGGCGGCGCGCCGCGCATCACGGCCGCGGCGCGCGTGTTTCTGCGGACGACGGCGGCCCTCCTCCGGACCCTGGGCTGGACCGGCGGCCGCGAACCGGTGAGCGTGGGCGCGGTCGTCGCGACGGCCGCGGCGCCGGCGACGCGGCGCGCGCTGGACGGCGGGGAGGCGCCGCCGTTGCACGCGCAGGACGTGGAGGTGCTGGTGGACGGGCTGCGCGCGGCCGCGACCGTGACCGAGGCGCTGCTGAAGGCGCGCGACCCGCCGGCCGGGCCCTGGACGCGCGGACTCGAGGCCGCGGCGTACCGGGTCCTCTCGGTCTGCGGCGCCGCGCCGCGGATGGACCGGTCGGACGCGGAAGCCTTTGTTCGTGGTTGCTGCGGTACGCTGTGGCACCCCGCCGGCGGGGCATGCCGCGGCGACGCGCTCGACGCGGAGTCGCTCGAACTCCGCGGCTGCGAGGGCGTTTGTGTTGTCGGCGCGGCGGCGATGCCTGCGCTCCCGCGGGTCAACCCGTCGCTGTCCTGCTACGCGATGGGCTGGCGCCTCGGGGAGCTCCTCGCCGCCGAATAGAATCGTACTATTGTTAAAATTTACCGTCGCTGATCGCAGGCCGGGGCCGCCTCCCACGGGAGGTGGTGGAGCACGCGAGTGGCGCTGTCGACGCGGCAGCCGCCCCGCCCCCGCCCGAATGTCTGGGGCAGCTCCGCGTAGCGGCCCGACGCGACGATGGGCGCGAGGGCGCGTGGCGTTCAGCGTTACATTCCATCACGCCCGGCTGGGCGCAGACGGTCGTCGCTTTCGGCGGCAGCGCGAACTGGCCGCGCGGTAATGTCCTGTGTGGAAATCAAATTTCGGGCGCCCCACGCCATCGACGCGATGTTGTCTCCGTAGCTGCGTCTGCTCGATGGCGTGGAGTTTCCAGGCCATCGACGCGACGTTGTCGCCGTGATCGCGTCGGCTCGATGGCGTGGAGGCTCACGAAGGTCCACGCAATATTTCTCAGGATAACCTAACTCACTGGTTGATTTCTACACAGGTAATGTCGCCGGGCGCCACGCCATGAAGTCCGTGTGGACACGGCTCGTGCTGGTACCAGAAGGCGAGGACCGCCCGCAGAAGGCGAGGACCGCGTCGATGCCGTCGCGCGCCATGTGCGTGCGCAGGAAGCGGTCCTCGCTGACGATGACGTCTGGGTTGAGTCGTACGACCCAGTCGTAGCCGTCGAACCAGCCCCGCGCCTCGGCCTCGCTCAGCGCCAGGATGGCGCCCATCTGCTTCTTCGTCGAGCCCAGCGTAAAGGCCTTGCGATGCACCTGCCGCGTCGCCTCGGCGGAGAAGATTTCCACGGAGCGATTATTGTAGCGCGGGAACGCCGCGGCGACGGCTTCGAGCTGCGCGGCGGTCGCCGGCCGTCCGCTGTTGAAGACGACGGCGTCCCGGAGCAACCGCGCCCGCCGCGCCGCGGCCGGCCACAGGCACCTGAGACCCGACGTGTGCCACTCGCTCAGATGAGTCGTGACGTACAGGAGCGTTCGCAGCATGGTACCGGTCACGGGCTGCCCGTCATCAGATGCTGCCCCGGCAAATTCATCTCTTTGCCAGGCACGACGAGCCTGACTGAACACAACAAAGAGCTGTCCGATGCACATTTCATGATCACACACTGTGCTTAAGCTAACGTGGCCCGGCGCCGGGCGGCGCGGCTTATAATTATACGCGCGGGTTTTGTCTTAGTCTAGGATCACAAATCCCATAAATCCCATGGACCGTGGGACCCGTGAAGGGCCGCCCGAGGCTTGCCAGACGGCACCCGAACTCTATGTATCCCCGCGGACATGCATTCGGCTGCCCCCCGCCGTGGTCGCTGCGCTGCGCCTCGAGTGCCCGGCGCCCTCAGCTCATAGCTCGCAGCCCGTAGCTTCCCCTCGCTGGTTCGCGCAGCGGCCGCGAACCCGTCGTTTTCGCCGCCTCCGCGGCTGCCCTGCGTCATGGAGGTTTCGGCAGCGACCGCGCCGCCGCCCGAGCTGCCGCCGCCGCCGCCCCCGGCGGGGACCGCGCCGCCCGCGGAGCAGCCGGCCCCGGCCGTGCCCGCGGCCGCGGCGCCCGCGGCGCAGCCGAACCTGCAGCTCGACCCCACGCGCTTCCGCAGCGCGACGCTCTCGCGCCAGGCCGACGGCGCGCTCGGCCTCGTCGTGCGCGAGCGCGACGGCGGCGTCTTCGTCGACGGCTTCACGAACGCGGCCGTCGAGGTCGCGGCGCGCGGCGCGGTGCGGCCCGGCGACCGCGTCGTGGCCGTCGACGGCGCGCACGTGGCGGCGGGCGGCCGGCGCCACCTCAAGGAGCTGCTGGCCCGCGCGCGCGACCCCGTCTCGCTCCTGCTCTACCGCGGCGACATGCCGGCGGCGGCGGCGGCCGCGCCGCCGGCGCCGCCGCTCGCGGGGCCCATGGGCCCCCTGAACGTGGTCCTCGCGCGGGCGCGCGCCGACGTGGGCGCCCTCTTCGCGGCCTACGGCCGGTCGGCCTTCGCGCGCTGGCAGCTGCAGGTCGCGCTGCACGAGCGCCTGCCGCAGCTCAGCGGCCGGCCGCGGCGCACGCTGCGCCAGGGCGCCGCGCGCGCGACGGACGCGCAGGACCGCGCGTCGCCCGACGCGCGCCAGCGCCTGCTCCTGTCCATGCTCGCGCGGGGCTTCGACGCGCGCGCGCTCCGCCAGCACGTGCTCTGTCGCGACCCGGCGGCGCACCTCGCGCCCTCGGGCTACGCGCTCTGGGTCGCCGGCGCCCAGGACAGGCTGCGGGAGCTCCACGCGGCGAACGGCGGCCAGCCGTGCGCCGTCGACGTGCACCCGCCCGACGTCAAGCCGCTGCCCGAGGCCTTCGCGCGCGCCGGCTTCGCGCGCGCGCGCTGCGCCGTCGTCGTCGAGCGCACCGACGACGACCAGTACCGGGCGGTGCTCACGCACGTCGAGATCGCGCACGCGCCGCCCGACGACGCGACGGGGCTGCAGAGCGCGGTCGTGGACTTCCCGCTGCGGCGCCTCAAGCCGTACCTGGAGCTCGTGGGCCTGGGCCTGGCGGACGCCTGCCTGGGGACGGTCGAGAAGCGGCGCCGCGCGCCGGCGCCGGCCGACGACGAGATGCCCGCGGCCAAGAAAGGAGACCTCGGCTAGGGCCGCACCGCACCCCCGCCTAAAAATTATTCGGCACACGACAACAATCACGTTAGACGCGCGCGTAGCTCCGGTGCCGCGCGGCGTCCCCCTTCCCGGCCTTGGACCGGCGGAGGTCGTTGCCGCGCCGCCGCCAGAGCACGGGGTCCACGCCGATGTCGGCGGGCTGCGCGACGCCGCGCGAGCGGCAGAGGCGCCGGAAGTTGCGCAAAAACCGCTCGGGCGGGCCGCGCGGCCGCCGCGGCGCGTCGAAGGCGCCCTCGGCCACGGCCCGCGGCACGGCGGGGGCCCGGTCCGAGGCGCCCCGGCCCGTCGCCGCGTAGGCCGCGTAGGCCCGGACCAGGCGCGCGCAGAGCTCGCGGGAGCGGTCCAGGTCCCCCTTGCGCGCGTGCGCGTCGAGCGCCGCGCCCAGCGCCTCCGGATCGTCGGACGCCGCGCACAGCGCGCGGGCGCCCTCGAGGTCCCCCAGGCGGCAGCGCAGCTCCACGGCGTGGCGCGCCGTCCGCGCGTCCGGGAAGCGGTCCGGGAAACGCTCCGCGAACGTGTCGTAGATCGCCGCCGCCCGCTTCCGCCGCAGCGCGCGGCTGTAGACCGAGTAGTAGGCGTTGAGGCACGCCGCGTCCGGCGCGAGGCCGTCGTCGAGCAGCGCCGCCCACGCCGCCTCGGCGAGCCCGAGGACCGCCGCCTGGCGGTCCCGCAGCTCGACCGAGTTCCGGGGCGCGCCCTCGAGCGCCATCTCCCGGAGGCGCGGCAAGCCGTTCCCGACCGTCGCCACCGCCGTCGCCTCCTCGTCGTCGTCGGGCAGCGCCTGCATCAGCGCGTCGAGGTCCTCCTCCGTCGCGGCCTCGAAGAGCGTCTCCAGGAAGGCCTCGACGTCGTCGTCGCCCGCGCCGGCCGCCGGCCGCGGCGGCCCCGCGTCGAGCCCCGCCTCGGCGAGCGCCGCCGCCAGCGCGGCCCGGACGTCGGCGTCGTCGCCCGCGTCGTCGTCGTCCACGGCCACGGGCGTCGCCGGGCCGGCCTCGCCCTTGCGCCGGAACCCGCGGCCGCCCGCGTCCTCGCCGGTCGTCACGGACACGTCGGCCGCGGGCGCGGCCGCCTCCGCCGCGTCGACGCCGAGGCCCGCGAACGGCGCCGCGGGCACGTGGCGGCCCCGCGTGCCGCCCCGCACGCCGACCGTCGCGGCCCGGGCGAGCGCGCCGAGGTACGCGGCGTAGCGGGCCGGCGACGGCGCGCAGCCGAACCGCCGCGCCGCCTGGAAGTACGCCGCCGCCGCCACGTGGTCGCCGCAGGCGCCGGCGCAGCGCACGAGCGCGTCGAAGAGCTCCGCCGACGGCGCGACGCCGTCGCCCTCCATCGCGTCGAGGATCTCGTCCGTGAGGAAGCCGTAGGCCGGGTGCCACTGCGGCGCCGTCGCGGCCGCCCGGAGCAGCGCCGCGTACGTCGCGGCCGCGGGCCGGACGCCGACCTCGCGCATGTCGCCCAGGACCTGCAGCGCGCGCTCGGGCAGCCGCTGCAGCGCCAGCGCCTCGAGGTAGCCGTCGAAGGCGCGCCGCGGCGGCGCCGGCTCCAGCGCGCCCAGCGCCCGCGCCGCGTCGAAGGTGGCGACCGCGTCGGCCGCGCGGCCCGCGCGCGCGAACCCGAGCACGACCTCGGCGAGCGCGCCCTGGCCCGCCGCCGCGAAGCCCGCCGCGTCGCGCGCGGCCCACTCGTCCACGAGGCCCGCGGCGGCGTCGGGCGCGCCCGCGGCCGCCGCGAGCCGGACGATCAGCGTCCAGCCCGCCGCCGTCCGGCGCGCGGCGGGCGCCGCGTCCCAGGCCTTCCGGGCGGCCTCGTACGCGGCGGCGCGGTAGGCGCGCCGCGCGCCGGGCGACGACGTGGCGCCGCCCCGGGGCGGCCCGGCGAGCGCCGCCAGCGTCTCGTCGAGGGGCGACGGCGGCGGCGCCGGCGGCGCCGGCGCACTTGCGACGACGCGCGCGACCGCTTGCGGCGGATCCCGTCGCCGCGGCGCTGGTTGTTGTCGTCGTTTCGGTGCCGGCGGCAGGTGCGCTTTTGCGCCCGTCCTCCGCCCAAAGGCGCGCGCCCCGGTAGGCGCTGCCGCGAGCAGGCGGCGTGGCAACATCAGCGATCGCTGGCACTCGCTGCGCCTAAGCCTTTGTCTGAGCACGCCTTTTGTCTTTACTTAATAGTATGTATGTCGGTACCGTATCACTAGGTACCCCTCGTCTGCGGTAGCTGCTACTCGCGTTTTGGGGCGCTAGCACCTTGGGGATGGATGCACTAAGACCAGACCTCTAAAGGTCCGGATCCGGCATCAGAACTTCACCGTCCAGAAGCAGGCCTGCGCAGCGCAGGCAACAAACCCGTTTTGTAAAAATCCCGTGCGCGGCAGAGTCCGCCTTTAGCCACGTAGCTTTCCTCGGGTTGCCCTGTGACGGTATTTTGTCCGTTCGACTCTATCAGGTCAGCATCGCACATCGCGCCCAAGCGTCGCTTCCGGTACGGCTACGCCGTGCCGCGACGTGCAGGGTCAAGTGGAAGTCGCAGACGATTCGGCTAGCGTCGGTTTTGGTTGGACACGCGCTCTCCCCCGCTCTCCCGCTCTCCCGCTGATCGGCAACATTCAGTTATTAGGATTAAAGCGAGCCGCAGTGACTACACTTAAACCCGTAGATCGAATCGTCAAGCCGCGTACTCATCGCGCAAACTGCGTCAATTGTGGAGGGGCACACGATCCGCTGTTTGGTGCGGGCGCCGCGAGAGGACGCGCCCGCGATGATCGTTGGCCCGCATCATTGGCCCGCATCATTGGCCCGCGGCCGCTCGCTGCACTGACACCACGTAGCGCTGATTGCAAAAGCATTCACTCAACCGCGTCCGCGCGCAGGTCGTCAACGCGTGCGTCCAGCCATGAGGTCACTCTTGTGCGCGTGCGTCGCGGTCGCGGCGGTCTCGGCGCTGCAGCCCGTGTCGCGCCGCAACGGCCTGAAACACCTGGCTTCGGGCGGCGCGGCCCTGGCGCCTCTGCTCTACCCGGCCGCCGCCGAGGCGGCGTTCGGCAAGCCCAAGGCGTTGACCAAGAAGCAGCTCGCGGAGAAAGAAGCCCGCGAGAAGGAAGAGGCCGCGGCGGCCGCCGCGGCCCAGGCGGCCGCAGATGCCGAGTCCGACGCGGAGGCCGCCGCGGCGCGCGAGCGGGAGGAGGCCGCGGCGGCCGCGGCCGCGAAGGCGGCGCGCGCCGACAACAAGGGGGGCAAGGGCCTCCGCCGTTCTTGCGCCTCGCGGAGCCAGTTCGTCCGGAACGGCGAGTGCGTCGACCGCTTCAAGGGCGACGTGCCCAAGGACGCGATCCAGCGCAACCTGGGCAACGTCGCGGCGACGGGCGACAGCATCAGCGGCACCTTCTCGAAGATCGGCTACCGGCGCGTCTGCGACTCGCGGTCCCAGGTGCTCGTCGGCGGGGAGTGCGTCGGCCGCAACTAGGATTAACACTTGAGTTTAACTACGGCCCGAACGTGTCGCCGCCGCCCTCGACGCCGCCCTCGAGGGCGCCGCCGCATAGCTCGCCCCACGCGTCCGCGTCGAGCGCGACGGCCGCGAGGCGCCCCCGAAACGCCTCGTACGTCTCCTCGAGCACGACGTAGAAGGGACCCTCCGGCGCCGCCGCCGGCGCGGGGGACGTCGCGCCGTCGTAGAGCACGCGACAGACCAGCTGGTCGTCGCGCCGGCGGCGCAGCACCTCGACGACGACGCACGCGCAGAAGGGCGGCCACTTGTGGTCGTAGACGCCGAGGGCCACGAGGAGCGGCTTGACCGTCGTGTCGTGGCCCGACAGCAGGGTGAGCGTCGGCTTCGAGGCCGGCGCCGCGACCGCGGCGTCGAGCCCCGCGAGCACGTCGCGGCAGAGCGGCCCCGCCGCCAGGCGCAGCGCCTCCGCCTCGTCGGCGCCGCCGTCGCCGCTCCCCACGCCGAGCAGCAGGGCGACCTCGGCGGCGGCCGCGTCGTCCAGCGCGCCCAGCTCGTCCTGCGTCACGCCCCAGGGCAGCTCCTCCGCGGCGAGGCTATCGAGCGCGATCAACGCGTCCTTGAGCGGCACGGCCGTTGCGGGGAACCCGAACGTCGCCCGGGCGTCGGCCGGCACCTTCGCGACGAGCCGCCGGAACGCGGACGGACTCGTGTCGACGTGGCGGCGCGTGCTCCGCAGCGCCGCGCGGCACCGCGCCCAGTGCCGCGTGAGCCGCGGGCAGCGCTTCGTGGAGGGCGTCAGCGTCTCGCGCGACGCGTGCGCCGTCTCCACGACGACGGGGGCGGTGCCCTCCGCGAAGCCCAGCCCCAGCAGCACCCCGCGCAGCGTCAGCACGCAGCGCGACACGTGCGTCGTCCGGCACGCGAGGCGCGGCCGGAGCTCCTCGAAGTCGGCAACGCCGTAGCGCGCCCGGAGCCTCGCCCCCAGCGCCTGCGCCTGGGCCCAGCCGACGCGCGTGAGCTCGCCCGACCGCGCGCCGCCGGCGAGCGCGTGGCTCCGCTGCTGCGCGTCGACTGCCGACGGCCGCATCGCGCCGCTCCGCGCCGTCAGCGCGACGACGGCGTCCGCGCCCGCGTCGACGCGGGCGCCGAGCCGCGCCGTCTCCGCGCACGAGTCCCACTGGACTCGCCTGACGACGTCGCTGTCGAGGCCGAAGACCGGGCAGCGCGCGCCGTGGCGGAACGTCGCCGTCGCGTGCACGAGCTCGAGCTCGTCAGCGGCGTCGGCCACCGTGCTATTTGTGCGCATCGCACCTGCGGCCGGCCAGAGCGGCGCCCTGCCCAGGAGGCGGCGCAGCATATGGCTGCGCTGCAGTTTTTGGTGATGTGTCTAGCGTTGCGTTCTGCAGAGCGTTCGCACTGCGAGCATTGCTGTAGGAGCGTTCACACTGCGAGCATGCGCGTAGGGACAGGAAAATGTCCGACCAAGACAAAATACGGGTTTTTTTTTATCCCATACCTGGCTGCGAAGAGACTCGCCGCCCGCCACGGCCTCAGGAGGACGCCAACGGGAAGCTTCCGCGATCTTGGTAGAGTCTTGCTTGGCTAGTGACTTTGTAATCTCCGGAGCGCACCCTCACATCAAGCTGCCTTTAAGGACCAGGGGCACCCCCCCCCCCCGGCCGCAAGTCAGGAGAGACCCCCCAGGCTCTTACCGCAACCCGCGGGGCAGCCCCCCGCGACAAGGCGCGGCCCAACGCGTCAGATTTTACGACGAAACGTAGCAGGGCACGCCATGCCACGCCTGCGCTCGCAAACGCGGGTTACGGGCATGGGCATCCCCCTGCCGCCGGACCTGGTGGGTCGATGCCTCGAGTCCTTGCCATTTGAGGACGTGCACACCGATGTAAAACAAGTCTCCAAAGAGGTACGACTGGCGGCGCGCCGAAGCCTGACGCGCGGGCGCTGGCGACCCGTGAAGCTCTTTTGCGAGCAAGGGCTGGCGGCGCTTTCGGGCGACACACCACCGTCATCCGACCAGACGAAGGCCATGCTCCGAAGCGCGTGGGCAACGGAACCGAGCGTCGTCCTCCTCGAGATCGCAAGCTGGCCTGCCATGCGTCCCGCTGAAGGCGAGTTACATGCGAACTACCTCGACGCCACGATCCGCTTCCTCGACGTCGTCGAGCCGTCCTTAGATGGCATTGGTCGAGTCATCGCGGCGTTCGGCCCCGAAACGGTGCGATCCGGCCTGCGGTGTTGGAGAGGGTGGAGCAATCCGCCGCATATCTTTGCCGGGAAAATCTGGATAGAAGGCCTTCTCTGCCAATGGTTTTGGCGAGCTGCTCGAAATGATGGCGAGAGCGCACCCGAGGTGCTTTTCAAGATCCAGCCGGACCTCGGGCTTCACGCGTGGAAAGACCCGAGAGGGATCGCCAGCGTACTTATCAAATGGGGTTTGACCCTGAACGGAGTGGTTATTACGCGAGATAATCCTGCTAGCATTGAACTTCGTGACCGCATCCGAGCGGAATGGCAGGACAGCAGCGAGACTCAGGTCCTGTTGCAGGTCTTCGACGAGGCGCCAGTTTGGCGGGAGGACTATTACGACTCCTTCATCCTAGAGTTCTAAATAAGACTTTGGCTATAGGCCACACCGCCCCTCAGCGGCCCCTGCCCCGTACCGCGAACGGCCCGGGTACGCGGCACGCAGGCCCTCGTGGATTTTGCGTCACTAGCCCCTAGTCGTCCTCTAGGGTCGCTTTGCGCCTTGGGAAACGCGCGCGCCGCCGACCACGGAAGGAGGTGCGACGAGATCGACCGCCGCACGCAGCTTCACAGGCCTCGCCGCTCCGGCGGCCGTCGGCGCCCATCTCGAAGCGCCGCCGGGGCCGCCAGCGCGGCCTGGCTGATGATTACGTTCGAGGGCGTAAATGGCGAGCAATATCAACCAGCCCCGGAGCTATACACAAACAAAGGCCTTCCCCGGCCGCGACTCCCGCGCAGCCGCCGCGCGGCGACGACTGCAAGCAGGCTCGCGACGGCGCCCGCGACGACGCCGCGGCCGCGCCGCGCGGCGCGGCGCGCGACGCGCGCCCGCTTGCGGGCAAGCTCCCGCGCCTTGATGACCGCGTTCGGCGAGACGCCGCGCGCGCGGTCGGCGTTGACCGCTGTCCGGTTCCCGTGGACGAAGAGCGCGCACGGGTACGCGCGCCGCGCGGCGGCCACGCCCAGGACGGCGTCGTGGTGGTTCGCGGCGAACTCGGCGAAGCGGTAGAGGTGCAGGCGCTCGCGCCGCCACGCGACGCTCGTCGTCGGCGCGCAGTGGCGGCCCGTCGGGCACCACGGGTCGTGGAAGTACGCCGCGAGGGCCAGGTCGTAGGGATCGAGCCGCGCGTGCATGCGCGGCGCGGCGCGCGAGGCCTCGCGCACGACGGCGCGGAACTCGGCGTCGTGCGCGTCGTAGAGCGCGTTGCCGTTGACGTGGCGGATGACCCACTCGTCGACCTTGACGGGGCCCCGCACGGCGGAGCCCTTGACCCAGAACCGCTCCGTCTGAACCAGCGCCTGGAGCGCGTCGGCCCAGCGCGCCCGGATGGGCGCGTTGTCCGGCTCCGTGTAGAAGAAGTGGCGCACGCGCCGGTCGGCGAACATGTCCGCGTGGACGGCGTAGAACACGTGCGACGCGCCGTAGGGGTAGCCGTCCTCGGCCGCGGTCAGGTTCGCCGCGCGGAACTCGACGCGCTGGAAGCACGCCGCCGCGGCGCCAAGCCACGCCCCGACGTCCCGTCGTACGTGTTCGTGCCACCGCCGGTTCGCGTAGAAGATCAGGGCGGGCGGCTCGTGCGCGCGCTTCTCCGGCGCGAAGCCGCAGTCGCGGCGGACGTGCGCGGCCGCCGGGGTCGCGCGGTCGTCGAGCCGGCACGGCGCGAAGTCCGGCGTGTTCCAGCGGCCGAGCGTCGCGCGGAGCCGCGCCAGGTCGCGCGGCGCCGCCGTCAGCGGCACGACGACGGCGAGCCCGCCTCGCGCGGCGGCGAGGGCCGGGGCCGCCAGCAGCAGCGGCAGTCCCATCTACGCAGGGCTGCCCGGTGTGTCGCCGTAGGGCTGCCCGCCGCCGCGAAATCCTTGATTCCGTGAGCTGTGGATGCGTGTGCGTGGCTGCTTCGTCGCATGCGATAAGCTCGAATGGCTCGATGGGTGCGACTTTTGCTTGCTAGAGTGTCTTACCTGTACAGGCCTCACTAGCGGTGCGCGACCTCCGCGACGAGTCCCCTGGGGCGGGGAGGGGTCCCGCAAAACCGCGCAAAACCCGTCGGTCAAATTGAGGCTAGCCAGCTAGGCTAGCTGCTGTTTCCTAACGCGGAAGACCTGGAAGCCGCGTCCCAAGACAAGTATCTAGATCCTAGGGTCCGGGTTCGGGACCAGGTGGTCGCACAGATTGGGACGGGTCTTGCTATGTCTGAAGATGGAAGCAAGTCGATCAACGAACCGGCGCTAGTTCCAGAACCGCAACAACAACAGCATATAGGTTCTATGTGTTATGCCCGGCGCGTCACTCACTTCCGGATGAAAGGGTTGCGGCGCTTGCGGGACGCCTCGGCCGCGCGCTGCTGCTCCTCCGACTTTTTTCGCGAGGCGGCCGCGGCGCTGCGCAGGGCCGGCGGCACGAAGTTCGTCTTGCCGGCGCCGGCGGCGGGCGGCGGCCGCTTCTCCGCGGGCGGCGCCTTCGCCGCCTTCCCGAAGCTGAGCCAGTTGTTCTTGGGCGGCGGCGGCGGCGGCGCGGCCGGCGTCTTCGGGGCGCCGAAGAGGCTGAACGGCGCCTTCTTCGGCGCCGGCGCGGGCTTCGGCGCCGGCGCGGGCGTCGCCGCCGGCTTGGACCCGAACAGGCCGAACGCCGGTTTTGACGCGGGCGCGGGCGTCGGCTTCGCCGCGGGCTTGGGCTTGGCGCCGAACGAGAACGGGGCCGCGGGCTTCGGCGCGGGCGTCGCGGCCGGCTTGCCGCCGCCGAAGAGGCTGAACGCCGGCGCGGGCGCGGGCGTCGGCTCGGGCGCCGGCTTCCGCGCGGGCGCGGGCTTCTGGAAGACGCGCCCGGCGTCGTTGCTCGGGAAGAGGTCCCGCGCCGGCTTCTCCCGCTCGCGGCGCGCGAGCTCGTCGGAGACGCCGTCGACGACGGGCTGGGCCGTGGCCCGCGCGAGCTTGCCGACGGAGCGCGTCAGCTGGGCGAAGTTCGACTCCTCGTTGCTGAGGGACGCGGCGGCAGCGCCCGCCGCGAGGATCGCGGCGAGCTCGGCGTCGAGGCCCAGCGCGGTGGCGCCCGCCGCGAGCACGGCCACGCCCGCCACCGTCGAAATGGGCCCGTCGGCCGCGCCCGCCGGTGCCATGGCCGCCTCCGGCGCCTCCGACTGAGCAATGGCCGCCGACGCCTCCGGCGTCGCGACCGTCGTGGCGATCCTCGGCGGCGCCTCGGTCGCGGCGGCCGCCGCCGGCGCCTCGGCGGGGGCGGCGGCGCTGAGCCGCAGGCCGAAGCCGTACCACGACACCACGCCGTCGCTGTCGCACGTCTGGCGCCAGGCCTCCGCGGTGGGCGCTGCGACGGCTTCTGCCGCCTTGGCCGGCGGCGCGGCCGCCGACGCTAGCCAGGATGGCGTCGAGCCAAGCGCCGCTTTGTCCTCCTGCCAGTCCGCCGGCGTCGGCGGCACCCACGGCTTCTCCTCAGCCTTCAGGACGACCCTGCCGCGCTGGCAGCCAGCCCTGGAGTGCTGCCAGGCGCTGGCGAAGCCCAGGATAGGTGCCAAATAGACGAATGCGCGCACCATCGTTCCTAGCCCTTGAAAATAACCTAATTGCAAATCTGTGCAACAATGTCCCTTGGGCCGGTGGGCGTGACTCAGGGTCGTGCCACGCCTGGTCCAGGCACCTGCCTCCGCACACCCCACCAGAATTTTTTTTTTTCAGCACAGGTCCCAAGCAGAAGAATCCTCCAGTGCAAAACATTCCTACGAGAAAGTGCCAAAAACCCGGGGGCGCTCGATCCGCCGCGCCCAGGCCCGGCCGGCCGGGACCGCGACGCGCGCCGCATCCTCTGTGTCTGCGGCGGGTTAAGCTCTCTGTTGTATTCGCGCAGCGCAGCGCAGCGCGCCACCGCGCCGCGACCGGCCAAAACGCCGCACGGGCCAAATAGGAGAGAGAGCTTTTTTTTAAAACGCGCGCGCGGCACCACCATGGCGGAGGAGGAGGAGGACGACGACGTGTTCACGATCATGGTCGCGACGGACTCGCACCTCGGGTACTGCGACCGCGACGCGGTCCGCGGCACCGACAGCTTCGCGGCGTTCGAGGAGGTCCTGCGGCTGGCGAACGACCGGGGCGCGGACTTCCTGCTCCTGGCCGGCGACCTCTTCCACGACAACAAGCCGAGTCGGAGGACGCTCTTCAAGACCATGAGTTTGTTGAGGCGGTACGCGCTCTCGGACGCGGCGGTCGGCTTCGAGGTGCTGAGCGACCAGGAGGCGAACTTCCGGCAGAGCGTGAATTACGAGGACCCGCACGTGTCCGTGGGCCTGCCCATTTTTAGCATTCACGGCAACCACGACGACCCGACGCGCGAGGGCGGCGTCGAGGCGCTCGCCGCTTTGGATTTACTGAGCGTCGCGAACATGCTCAACTATTTTGGAAGGCAGGAGCACGCGGACCGCGTCGAGGTCTCGCCCGTATTATTGAGGAAGGGCAACACGAGGGTGGCGCTCTACGGCCTCGGGAACATGCGCGACGAGCGCCTCAATAGGATGTGGCAGCAGAAGAGGGTGCGCTTCCTGCGGCCGCGGGACGGGACCTACTTCTCGATCTTCGTGTTGCACCAGAACCGGGATGTTGGGAGGGGGCGGAACACGTGCGTGCACGAGTCGATGATCCCGGCGTGGATCGATTTGGTGATCTGGGGCCACGAGCACGAGTGCCAGATCAAGCCGCGCGAGTCGGCCGTGGGCACGTTCCGGGTGTGCCAGCCCGGCTCGTCCGTCGCGTGCTCGTTGGTCGAGGGCGAGGCGAAGCCGAAGCACTGCGGCCTGCTCCAGGTGCGGGGCGCGGAGTTCCGGCTGACGCCGCTGCGCCTGACGTGCGTGCGGCCCTTCGTCTGCGACGAGGTCGTGCTGAACGAGGCGCCCGAGCTCCAGGACGACATGGACGAAGGCGACGGCGCGGACAACGCGACGGCCGTGCGCGACTGCCTCGCGGCGCGCGTCGAGGCCCTCGTCGAGCGGGCGAGGAAGACGCGGTCGGCCTTCCGCTACGACGACATGCTGCTGCCCATGGCGGCGCCGGACCAGGTCCTCGTGCGCCTCAAGGTCGACCACACGGGCTTCGCGACGCTCAACAACGCCAAATTCGGCGGCCAGTTCGTCGGCCGCGTCGCGAACACGTCCGCCATCCTCCACTTCAGCCGCCAGAAGCAGGCGAGCACGAGCGCGGCGAAGACCTGGGTCCCGACCGAGGGCAGCCGCGAGCCCGTCGAGGAGGGCGAGCTCGCGGCCGCGGCCATCGACCAGCTCATCCAGGACCAGCTCGACGGCCAGGAGGCCAAGCTCCAGATCCTCGAGGAGACGAAGATGAACGAGGCCCTGAACGGGTTCGTGGACAAGCAGGACCCCCAGGCCTTCGCGGAGGAGGTCGAGCGGACCCTGGTCCGGGAGCAGAAGGCGCAGTATAAAAGGGGCGACGCGACGGACCCGGAGAGCATCCGGGCCAAGTACCGGCAGGCGCCCCCGCCCGCGAAGAAGGCGCCGGCCGCGGTCGACGCGTCGAGCGAGGAGGACAGCGACGACGCGCCCAAGAAGCCTGCGAAGAAGAAGCCCGCCGCGCGCGGGCGCAAGAAGGCGGCCGCGCCGCCGTCGTCCGAGGACGAGGACAGCGAAGGCGAGGCGCCGCCGCCGCCCCGGAAGCGCGCCGCGCGGGCGTCGCGCGCGCGGAAGCAGGCCTCGTACGCGGACGACGACGACGACGACGACGACGACGACGAGGAGGAGGAGGAGGACGACGCGTCGGCCGACGCGTCGCCGCCCCCGAAGAAGAAGCGCGGCGCGCGGAAGCAGGCGCCGTGGAAGGACCCGGCGCCCCGGGCGCCGCCCAAGGCCCCGCAGCCGGCCTCCATCGACATGACCGGCTGGGACTCGGACTAGCGGCGGGGCGGGGCGGATTACTATGCTGTGTATCTATCGAATCTTAACGGACTAGCGGCGCGCCGGGGGCAGATAGCTCTATGTGACTGAAGTCCCCTACTAGCCCCGGAAGAGCCGCACCGGGAGTCACTAGTATGTTCTGTATCGAGTCGCTTACCCAGGAATGATCGCCCCCGTGTCCCAGTCGACGAGCGGCATGTGCTCGTGGCCCGGCGGCAGGCGGTGGTCGATGAGCAGCTGGAGGATCCACTTCTCGTGGCCCGCGTGCACGGGCGCCGCGTAGTGCAGCAGGTCGAGCCGCGAGTCGTAGAGCAGCGCGCCGCCCTGTCGCGGCGGGAACGCGAGGCCGTCCTCGGGGAAGACCGTGTGGCCGCCGCCGCGGCACGTGTTCAGGTACACGAGGAGCGTCGCGTCCTTGCCGTCGACGTGCGGCGCGACGCCCTCGCCCTCGCGGTACCGCACGACCGTCGCGTCCCGCACGATGACCGTGGCGCGGTCCGGGCGGTAGTACAGCTCCTCCTTGAAGCGGTAGTTCCGGTGGCTCAGGCCCAACAAACTCAACGCCTTCGGCGCGACGAGGTCCAGGATGTCGGAGGGCATCCGCACGCGCAGGCCGGACGTCGCCCCGTCCGACCACTCGAGGGCCTCCTGGGCCTGCTCTTCCGAGTAGCCTGACGTAGCGACGGCGCCGTCCTCGTTCACGCGGTGGTTCAGGTACTCCTCGCAGACCTCGACGTCGTCGCCGCGGGCCGCCTCGATGATTTGGGCGCACTCCGCGTCGCTCAAGAAGTTTTGTATTTTGAGCACCGGCGGCGCCCGGTGCTCCAGCGTGACGTCGAAGTCCCGCGTGTTCGGCGCCGTCTCCCAGGCGGCGCCGATCGTCGCCATGATTTCGTCCTGCGCGTCGGCCGTCGCGACGCTCTGCGGCCGCGGCGCGACGCGGCGGCGCGGCGCCGGCCGCAGCGCGTCCGCCCCAAGGAGGACGCCCACGACTAAACTGCGGTGCATGAGTGCTGCGGTTTACGGCGCTTACGGCTAGGGGAGCGTGTTTGGCTACTGAGCTGCCTGAGAGCTCGGTTTTCAAACGCGTTTTATCCTAGAAAGTCGGCAGGCGCCGAGTCGGCACTTCTGCTTCGTAGACTGCTGTCAATCTGTTTGACCCTGCGACACCCAGGCGCCTCAAAACGATTTACGTACGCGTCGAGTAAAAACCCGTAACTCGAGGTCCCGGAGGACTAATTATAAAGGAAAACAGCGTTAGAAGAGGCCTCGCGGGTTGTGAGAGCTCGAGGAACAAAGCTGGCTCCAACTCTGCTGATGCCCTCTGCCTCTGCCACTGCCTGTCTGTCTCGCGCGTACCAAGCACCGCATCGATGGCGTTCCGCCGCCGCGGCTTCCGGCGCGGCTGGGGCGGGCCGTTCTGGGGCCCGGCCCCGCTGCTCTACACGGGGGCAGCCGTCGGCGCCGGGTACGCGATCGGAAGACGCGGCGGGGACTATTACGGCGAGGACCCTTACCCCCAGCCGGGCGTCGCGCCGCAGCAGCGGCCGTCGCAGCTCGTCGTTCGCGTGCACGCGGGGTCCGGGCTCCGCGACCGATGCTGGACGACGCGGCAGGACGTCGTCGCCGAGGTCTACTTGTACATCGACGGAAGTCTGTTCAGCCGCGCCCGCGTGCCCGAGGTCGCGCGCGGCGGCGGCGGCGACCCGGTCTGGCGCGGCGGGCGCAACGCCGTCGCGCTGCCGCTGCCGCCGCGCCTCGACCTCGCGCGGGCGTCGCTCTCGGTCCAGCTCCTCTGCGCGAACGTCCTGATGCAGGACCAGCTCATCGGCACGACGGGCCAGGGCTGCGCGGCCGTGGCCGACGGCCAGCCGCGCGACACCGAGGTCGGCCCGCGGGGCCGGCTCACGTGGACCGTGGAGTACCAGCCGGGCCTGGACCAGGCCGTCGACGCGCGGCCCGCCGCGCGCGCGCAGCCCCAGCCGCAGCCCGCCGTCTACGGGGCCGTCCCGATGGCGACGGCCAAACCGGTCCCGGCCTACGCGCCGCCGCCCGCCTACGAGCAGCCGCCGCCGCCGCCCGCGTACCAGCAGCCGCCGCCCGCCTACGAGCAGCCGCCGCCGCCGCCCGCGTACGAAGAGCCGCTGCCCGACAACCCGTTCGTGCCCAAGTCCTAGCCCCCCCTTCCCTACGTGTGCGTAAGAGGCGAGGAAGCTTCTGCTGAAGTACGGAGTTCCGGTGCGCTGCCGGGCCCAGACCTCCTGCGCGCGATTCCTGGCGTGCTTTCTCGGATTATTTTTACGGTGCTAGGACTAGTGGGTGGAGCCCCTGCCAGGGTGCGATTCATCGGCGGCGGGCGCGTGCCGCTTCTTTCATAACAGCGTACCTCCTTCTAAGCAGAACCGCCTCGGCAACCCCCCTCGATCCTGGCGTGCTTTGGGCTACCTACCTACTGACCTACGCAACCGCAGGACCTAGCCCGGGGGGGTCTCGAGTCCAGTGCTTGACTAGAGGGGCCTAGGTACAGCGGGAGGGAGGGATGCTTTTGTGATTTTCAGAGGTTGATATTTTGAAGCGCACACCACATAAATGCGAGTTTGACCACACACGCGAGGGCACCACCGCGGCTCTGCGCTGCAAGCGAAATTGAAAACGACAACTAGACACATGGGCATCACCAAGCTGCATGCGCACCTCAAACCGCTCTCGCGCGACGTCGACGTCGCGGCGTACGCCGGCTGCTCCGTGGGCGTCGACGCGTCCGCCTGGCTGCACCGCGCCTACCACGGCGCGCGCGCCGACGGCGCCGCCGACGTCGAGGCGCGCGTCGCGGCGTTCTTCGCGGACTACGCGGCCGCCCTGGCGGGCCGCGACGTGCGCGCCGTCCTGGTCTTCGACGGCAAGGGCCCCGCGGCGAAGAAGGCGGTCGCGGGCGCGAAGGCGCCCCGGGGCCGCGGCAGCCCGTACGCCTTCGTGGCCGCGGCCCGGGCCGCGGCCGCGGCGGCGGGCGCGACGTGCGTCCAGGCGGCGGGCGAGGCCGACGCGGAGCTGGCGGCGCGCGCGCGGCGCGGCGACGTGTGCTGCGTGCTGACGGACGACTGCGACCTCGTCGCCATGGGCGCGCCGCGCTGCCTCTTCGCCGCCAAGCTCGCGACGGCGGGCGACGGGCGCCCGACGCTCGTCGGGTCCGAGTTCGAGCTGCGGGCGCTGGGCGCGTCCGGGACGTTCCTGGGGTGGCCGCGCGAGCGGTTCGTGGCGTTCTGCGTCGCGAGCGGCTGCGACTACGCGAAGAACGTCCCCGGCGTCGGGCCCGCGCGCGCGCTCGCGCTGAGCGCGGGCGCCGCGGACGCCGAGGTCGTCTTGCAGCGGCTGCTCCGCGAGCCCCGGTGCCCCGAGGGGTTCGCGGACGCGTTCCGCGCGGCGGTGCGCCTGTTCACGGCCGGCGACTAAATCTATATCACGGAGGGCACGTCGGAGGGCGGTCGAGCCCTCCCATCCGGCAGCACCCAACACCTGGGGGGGCGCGCAACAGGTCGAAAACGGCCGGCGACGAAATTTACGAACTAGTCCTCGAGGCCGAACGTGTCCGTCGGCACGGACCCGACCTTCTCGTAGCACCGGAACGAGTCCGCGATGGTCCGGAGCTTCGGCTCGAGGCCCTTGAAGCGCGCCGACGTCGTCACGGCCAATAACGCCTGCGACTTGCCGTTGACGTCCGTGACGGCGGCGACGCCCCGGCGCTCGACGATGAAGCCCGCGCCCGTCAGGAGCTCGTAGGAGAAGTCCACGGTCGTCGGCGCGCCGGGCGTGACCTTCCGGACCTTGAACTCCTGGTAGAGCTCGCCGCCGCCCTTCTGGGCGATGCCGCCCTTCAGGAGCTTGGCGTAGTAGGCCTTGTCCGTGGCCGGCCGCAGGTCGGACACGTAGAGCGCGGCCGAGTCGCCCTTGCCGTAGTCGCCCGCGCTCACGGTGCCGTCCTCGCCGTTCGTGTTGACCGAGGGCTTGACGACGAGCCAGCCGTCGGGCCGCAGGAACTCGACGAAGAGCGACTGCTCCTGGTTCACCGACGACAGCACGGGCGCGAAGCCGCCCGGGATCTTGTCGAGCGGCGGCAGGCCGAGCTTGTCGAGCTTCTTGTTCCAGCTGTTCAAGTCCGCGGCGGCCGCCGGCCGCGGCAGGGCGACGCCGGCCGCGGCGCCCGCGGCCCAGCCCAGGGCCCGCCGCCGCGTCGCCGGGGCCAAGGCTGCAGCGGCAGGCAGCGCGCACAGCAAGCAAGTTGATGCCTTCATCGGCGGGTCCGAGCGGCGGCTGTTCAACGGGCACGAATAGATGCAAAGCTTCGCCGCGCGTGCAACACGGCGCCGTGCAACAACTCAGAGCTCTCTATAATGCTAGTGTCTTACAGGCCGCTAGCTCGTGCCGCTTTCAAAGTCGCTTTCAGACGACGCCTCCAGCGGCCTCCAGCTCGACAGCTTTCGGCTCTGAGCGGCGGGCTCGGGCAGCGCACCAATTTACGGTCGATCAGCCCGAGCACAAGTGGCTCTGAGGAGCCGCATGAGGAGCAGCATGTCGAGGTGGCGACGGACCCTGGTCCTGGCCGGCGCCTGCGCGGCGCTCGCGCCGGTGCGGGCGCCAGCGCAGCGGCGGCGGCGCGGCGTCGTGCTGCTTGCGGACGACGCCGAGGAGTGCGACGTCTTCGACCCGAGCCCCGAGTGCCTCACCGAGGCGGAGGCCATGTCGTGCGGCGCCTGGGAGGAGTGCAGCTTCAACATCGGCGACCGCGTGCGCGTCGTGAGCGACGCCGTCGTCTACCACCACCCGAAGCACAAGGCGGGCCTCGCCGTGCGGGGCCTCGTCGGCAGCGTGTCGGGCCTCGCCAGCGTGGCGCGCGACGGCAGCGGCGCGGCGCTGTCGGCGAACCGGCCCGTCGTCGTGCAGTTCGAGGAGCCGCGGCTCACCGCGCACTTCGAGGAGGGCGAGCTCGAGCTAGATATGTAGTAATCCTTAGAATAGTAGTAGTCTTCCGACCACGAAATCACCCGACCCACTTGTACCCGCAGCCGCAGCACACGAAGATGAGGCTCAGCGACGCCGCGAAGGCGCCGGACTCGGCCTGGAAGAGCACGGCCTCGTCGTGGCCGCAGCTCTCGCAGCGCGCGCCGCGCATGCGCTGCAGCGTCGGGTCCTGCGTCACCTCGGGGTTGATGGTGTCGAGGCGCGTGGAGACCTCCTTCTTGATGCGGTTCTCGTAGACGACCGGCGAGTGCGCCGGCTCGGCGTACCCGCAGTTGCGGCAGTGCAGCAGTAGCGTCTGGTCGGCCCGCGACTCGCGCGGCTGCCACGTGTTGCCGCACTGGGGGCAGAAGCGCCGGTCGGGGTCGCGCGCGTCGCGCGTCACCTGGTTCGGCGGCGGCGCGCCGTCGCCGGCCGCCGGCGCGGCGGGCGCGGGCGCGGCGTCGCGCAGGCCCAGCCGCTCGAGGTCCTCGTCGTCGTCGTCGTCGCCCAGGCCGAGGTCGTCGTAGGCCGGCGGCGCCGCCGCCGGCGCGTCGTCGACCATCGCGGCCATCCGCGGCGCGGGCGGCGGGCGAGGTAGGAAAGCAAAGGCGTCTCTGTACGATTCAGCGCTTGTGCGGCTAAAAGCGACCACGAAGAGCGTGCAATGGCCAGAACTAGTTCGCGCGAGTCGGCAGCGATGCCGCGGCTTGAGCTAGCGGCCTGTAAGGCACTAGCCTAAAATCCCTGACTCAGGGTCGGGCCGAGTGTCTACTGGCTTTGTTGGAGTGTACGGTGCCGAACGCGTCGCCGCGGTCCAAGGTCGCTGCGGGGCGTCGCGGGACAAGTTGATTGAACGGGCGAACGTTGCACATTGTTCGGGGGGTTTGCCGCTCGAGGCGGTTCTGCTTAGGAGGTACGCTGTTTCTGTTATGAAAGAAGCGGCCCGCGCCCGCCGCCGATGAATCGGCGACGCGCGGTGTCCCCCCCAGGGGCTCCGCCCACTAGTCCTAGCACCGTAACAATAGATTGTGACTCAGCCCTTGCGTCCTAGTCCAGCCGGACGGGTGGGCCCGGGGGGAGCGGGAGGGGTGCGGGGAACCCTGCGACGTAACTAGCCTGAGCCTGAGCCTAAAACTAGATTGATGGTTACGTAGACGGGCACAGGGGGATCACATGACGGCGCAGCCCGCGTCCGCGGCGTCGCCCGCCTGGCAGCTCACGCCGCCGCAGCCGAACGCGTCAGGGGCGTCAGCGTCGTCGTCGTCGTCGTCGTCGTCGTCGCTGGCGGCGCCGCCCGCCGCGCGCGCGCCGTCGCCGCCGTAGGCCGCGTGCGACGCCGGCAGGTCCTCGACGCGGTCACCGCCGCCGACCGTGGCGCCGTTGCTCACGAAGCGGAACTCGTCGCGCGCCAGCGACTTGCCCTCCTGCGCGTTAAACTTGGCCGTGTAGGCCGCCATGACCTCGTCCATGCTCGCGCCGCGCGGCACGGTGATGATCAGGTCCTTGCCCGTCGCCTTGTCTCGTGCGCGGATCGTCACCATCTCCCGCGGCGCCGGCGGGCCCGCGCGCTGCGCCGGCGGCGCCGTCGCGGTCGCCATTGGCCGCCCCAAGTCAGGTGTCCACGCCGCCGCGGGCTCCGAGCAGCTCACGCTGGCTCCCGCGACGCCGGACCAGGCACGAGTGGAACCGGGGCTGCCCGGGACCCGGTGGCGGGCGTCCCTGGCCTTCCTTCGGAGATGGGCTTGCGACCGCCGACGTCCCTCTTCGTTTTACGTAATATTATTTGGTGCGAGACTCCCCGTAAAAAAAATGATTTTCAGTTGCGAGCACCGACCCGAGCAGGGAGGCTTCTCGAGCCGACGAGCCCTTGCCGGAGACATCTCCCGCGGGCGGGCCAAACAAACAAAGCAGGTTTGGTCCGCCGGCCGTGCAGCGCTGCCCGCGGCGCCCTCCGAGCGGCGCGACCGAGGCCAGCCCTCGATACGACCGCTCGGCACGACTCACGGACGCTACGGCTCGGCCGAGGCAGCCCCGTCGAGGAACACGGGAAGGCAGTACCGGCAGGCAGGACTACTGCCGCCCAGCCGGGGCAGCCCCGTCGACGGGCCCAGGAAGGCAGTAAAGACCCGAAGCTACCATGGGCCTCACGGAGATGCTGGCCGCGGCGAAGGAGCGCGAGGCGAACGCCGGCAGCATGTCCGCGGCGGCGGCGGCGCCCGCGCCGGCGGCGAGCGTCGTGGCCGAGGCCGAGGCGCAGGCCCGCGAGGTCCGCGAGGGCGCCGCAGACGCGGATCGCCTCAAGAAGCTCCTCGGGGGCTCGGGCGGCAAGAGCGCCGGCATGGCGCTCAACGCGTTCGCGGGCGGCCGGGCCTCGATGGCGGGCCTCGCGTCGAAGACGCGCCAGGTCACGTACGAGCCGCCGGCGCGGACGGCGGCGGCGGCAAAGCCCCCGAAACGGCGGAAGTGGTCGCCCGAGTTCCTGGACTTCTGGCTCTACGTGCTCTTCATCGCGATCCTGGCGGCGACGAACATCGCCGGCACGAACGCGACGCCCTACTACTTCCGGCGCAACCTCGAGGACCAGTTCCTCGTCAACGAGTTCGAGCCGAACTGCGCCTACGACGGCATCGCCTGCTTCGCGCAGATCGAGGTCTGGCTGCGGGACGTCGTCGCGGGCTACGCGTACGGCGCCGGCGGCCGGACGTGGCACGGCAAGCCCGCCAAGCCCCGGCTGCTCGCGGACGGCGTGACGATGCGCGTCGGGCTCGTGCGCGTGCGCGTCGTCCGCGCGCGGGGCGGCGACTGCCCGACGATGGCGAAGAGGCTGACGCTGCCGGACGGGACGAAGCTCGACCCGGACAACTGCTACCCGTCTTTGGACTCAAACTGGCGCGTCAAACGGAACTATAAGGCGCCCGTGCTGGATCTGACGGTGGCGGAGGTCGCCACGGAGGCGCCGACGTTCGCGACGGACGCACCGACGCCCGCCGTCGTGACGCCCGAGCCGACGCACGCGCCGTCCGCGTCGTGCCGCGCGCCCGCCACCAAAACCGGCGCCAAGCGGCGCGGCGAGTTCGTCAACTCCGGCTGTCCAGGCAAATATTTAGGCAAATATTTGGGCAACTTGGCCTGTAGCGACGGCGACAGCGACGCGGAGCTGCCCTACACGAGCGCGACGACGGGCATCACCTATTACGGCGACGGCAACACGTTCGACCTGAGCCCGGACCGAGCCGTGGCGCTGCGCGAGCTGCGCGAGCTCCACGCGGCGAACTTCTTCGCGGGGCGGAGCGTCCGGGCGGTCATCGTGAGCTTCTGCGTGTACAACCCGCACGCGGACATTTTCGGGCTGGTCCGGGCGAACGTCGAGCTGCTGCCGGGCGGCGGCATCGTGCCGACGTACCAGGTCGTCGCGTCGCCGATCCTGAAGCTAGATCGGGAGCTCCGGGGCGACGGCCTGGAGGGCAAGCCCTGGGGGGAGCAGCGGCGGGGCGCCTTCGGCGAGCTGCTCTTCTACGTCGTGTGCGTGCTGTACGCGCTGCGGGAGGTCCGGCAGTTCGTGAAGCACCGGGAGGTTTATTTCGACAGCTTCTGGAACTGGCTCGAGGTGATCAACCTCTCGACCTATTTGCTCGTGGCCTTGCTGAGGATCACGATCCTGCTCTGGACGGCGGATAGGTCCCTCGACGACGTCGACCTGAACTGCGGCTTCGCGGCGGACCTGGCAAAGATCGCCCACGTGGCCGTGCGCGTCGACGCCCTGAACGCCGTGAACATGATTTTTAGTTTTCTCAAGGTCTTCAAGTACTTCCGGCACGTGCCCTCGCTCGCGCAGTTCACGAACACGTGCGCGCGGTCCGTGAGCGACTGCCTCGTGCTGCTCGGGATCATGTTCGTGGGCATCCTGGGGTTCGCGATCGCGTTCTTCGTGGGCTACGGCGCGTCGACCGACGCCTACAAGGACTTCCACAGTTCGTTCATCACGCTCCTGGACGTGCTCATGGGCGCGTCGGACATCGGCGGGCTCGTGGCCTCGGACCACGTATTGGTGGCGTTCCTGTTCTTTCCCTTCGTCTTCATGAACTCGTTCATCGTGTTGAGCATGTTCCTCGCGGTCATTGGCATCGCCTTCGACGAGGTGCGGGACGAGCACCTGGAGGACATGAAGGAGCGCAAGGACGAGGGCATCAAGGAGGCGGACTCGCCGTTCCTGCAGGACATGCACTACTGCTACGACGTCCTCGTCCACAAGATCCTGCGGATACCGCGCGTCGACGCGAAGGTCGGCGTCGGCGACGACGAGGACGACGAGGACGACGACGACGCGGCGCTGCGGGCGCGGTGCCGGCGGCTGCACGCGGAGTTCGCCGCGAAGGTGGAGCACCTGCGGGACCACCAGGACCTGCTCCTCGAGGCCGTGCGCGCGCGGTCGGAGACGGAGTCGCGGCGGCTGAGCCAGGGGGGCGACTAAGCCACGCGGAATAGTCCCTATACCGCCCGGAGCCCGCACGCTCAGATCTCTGATGGCCGTCGAGGCCGATCAACGTCGGGAGGTAAGAAGAGCCATCCGATTCCGCGTCATCGGACATCCAGCAGCAGCAGTGGGATGTCGTCACCCTTGTCGTCATCGTCGTGTTCCTCCACCATGTCAAATTTTACAGCCGTTGACGTGGATGTGAGTGCAATAGTGAGTGTAGCAGAGGATGCGTTGTCGCGACTTACTTTGAGGCAGCCGTCTACACCGTCGACGGCGGCCAAACTCCATCGACGACGGCCGCCCTCCCTCAGGGGGTGTCGGTTGTCGTCTCGGTACTACTAAGCCTGCCTGATATAAATCACACAACCATCAAGTTAAAAACAACCTCCTAGAGCCACTTCGTCGCGCGCCGGAGCGCCCGCTCGGCGACGTAGTCGACGACCCGCGCGGGCACGACGCGGCACGCCTCGACGCGCGCGGCCAGGGAGACGCGGCAGCCGCCGCCCTCCCGTTCCTCGACGCGCCAGGCGCCCGCGAGCCGCTCGATGGCGACGTTCCGCGCGTCGGCGTCGAGGGCCACCGTGAGCTCGCGCGGGCCGCTGACCTCGAAGGCCAAATTCGCGGGCAGCCGCAGCTTCGTCAGCTGGAAGCCCGCGCGGACCACGTCCGGCGCCGTCGCCGGCTTCAGCGCCGCCGCCTTGACGCCGCGGATCGTCCGGTCGTAGTTCTCGACCTCGCGGATGACCGTCCACGCGTCGTCGGCGGCCATCGCGCTGTCGACGACGGCCCAGGCCGCGCCGACGCGGCCGTCCCGTTCGACGCGCTCGACGCGGCCCGACCGCCGCAGCAGCGCCTCGTCGGCGGCCGTCAGTCGCGGCGCGGGCGGCGGCGCCGGGAGCGTCTTGGTTACTGTCGTCGTCAGGCCCGAGCATGCTGCTGCCAAGCTGAGGACGGCGAGGCTGGCGTGGTGGCGCTGCATCGTTTTGTTGATGTGCTGCCAGCTGGCCAAACACGTGCAATGAAGCAGTGGCTTCACGCGACGATAGTGTACTATGTGCACTGTCGACTGTTCAAGGGTGCCATAGATGTGCTTGATGCTACCGCGTATACGGACACTGACTCGATTAATAACTTGCCACCGGGACGCCCATCTACCAAAGAGCCATGCGCCGAGCAGTCACTCGTGTCGCGCCGCGGAGACGGCTCTCGGTGCGCGTCGAACGCGTAGACAAGCACATAGCAGTGGTCACGCTCGACCGCCCCGAGAAGCTCAATGCGCTGAACATGGCGGCCTTTCGCGGCGTGCGGGACGCGGCGCGCAAGCTGCGCGACGACGCGAGCGTGAGGTGCGTCGTGCTCCGGGGCGCGGGGCGCGCCTTCTGCGCGGGCCTCGACGTGAAGGGCGTCATGCACCCGCTCCGCGCGAAGGCGAACTGCGCCGAGCTGCTCGAGCGTGCGGACGGCGAGGCGGCGAACCTCGCGCAGGCCGTGTCCTACCTCTGGCGCGGCGTGCCGTGCCCCGTCGTCGCCGCGGTCCACGGCGCGTGCTTCGGCGGCGGCCTGCAGATCGCGCTCGGCGCCGACGTCCGCGTCGCGGCGGAGGACGCGAAGCTGTCGGTCATGGAGGCCAAGTGGGGGCTCGTGCCCGACATGGGCGCGACGGCCGCGCTGCGCGAGCTGACGCGGCGAGACGTCGCGCTCGAGCTGACGACGTCGGGCCGGGTCGTCGGCGCGCGCGAGGCCCTGGAGCTCGGCTTGGTCACGCGCGTCGTCGAGGGCTCGGCCTTCGACGCGGCGCTGGAGTTCGCGCGGCGCGTTGCCAAGGGGAGCCCCGACGCGGCGGCGGCCGCGAAGCAGCTCTGGCACGCGGCCTACGACGCGGGCGGGGGCGAGCCCGCCGAGCGCGAGCTCCTGCGGCTGGAGACCGTCTTGCAGGAGCGCCTCTTGGGGGGCTGGAACCAGGTCGCCTGTTCCATGCGAGGGCTCGGCGCGCCGCCGGCCCTGACCCCGGGCTTCGCGGACCGCGCGGACGCTTGGGCGCCCGAGGCCCAGAGCGCGGCCCGCGAGTGGCTCGCGCGCCTCGAGGCGAGCGGCGGCGACGAGGGTGACTAGACGTGTTAAGTATATAATCTGTGAGAATATTACACCTTCCGCCGCGCGAGGAGCGACCCGGCCCAGACGACGGCGACGACGGCGACGACGACTCGGAGCACGCGCGGCGCGCCGGACGCGGGCGGCGGCGGCGGCGCGGCGCGCTGCCACGCCTCCCGCCCCCGCGCCTGGGGCGTGCCATCCGACGCGTCCACGAGCGCGTCGCGCGCCGAGTCCGCGAGCGGCGCCGCGGCGCCGCCGCCGACCCTGGTGAGGTACATCATCGTCGCGCCGCCCCGCTTGTCGCCACAGGCCTCGAGCAGCGCGTCCGAGGGCGGGTTCGCGCGGCAGGCCCGCGCCAGCTTCTCGGGCGCGTTCGTGAGGCCCCGGAGGCCCCGCCGCGAGAGGTCGGCGCCCAGGAAGCACGTCGCGGCCAGCGCCGCGAAGGCGTCCGCGGCGGCCTCGTTCTCGCAGAAGACCACGGCGTTCGGGCCCGCGTCGAAGGTGTACGCCGCGCGCGTGCGCTTCTGCGCGGCGTTGAACGCGTGGACGCACGTGATCGCCCGCTTCGAGACCTCGTTCAGGTAGAAGATGGGCGGGAACGTGTCGAGGCACGTGGCGTGGAAGCTGTTCGAGTCGCGCATCGTCAGCTCGCCGAAGCGCTCGAAGTTGCGCTGCCGGAAGGCCTTCTGCAGGTCCAGGAGCCGCGGCTCGGCGACGGCCTCGGCGCGGTGCGTCAGGAAGGGCGAGGTGGCGACGCTCCGCTGCATGCCCTCCGTCGACGGCGTCTCCTTCTCCGCCGCCGACGCCACGATGATGACGCAGCGGAGGTCGGGCCAGTGCCGCTCGTCGAAGAGCTGCTCGGCCTTCGAGTCGGCGCGGTCCGCGCGGCACCCCTTCCGCCACGCCACCAGACCACCATCCAAGCTCCGGCACGCCGACCCCGAGCCCTCGCGCGCCGTCGCGCTCAGCGAGAAGGAGGGCGTGTCGCGGACGCCGTAAAGTTCGGACGCGCACCGGACCAGCGCGGCGTAGCCCGCCGCCGACGAGGCGAGGCCCGCGGCCGTCGGGAACGTGTTGCGGCTCACGACGCGCACGCCCCACCTTGAGAGCTCCTCGCTCGACGTCGCTCTCGACGAGCGCGGCGGGTGCTTGGCCTTGGCGCAGCGCCGCCGCATCGTCGCGAGGCACCGTCTCAACCGCTTGGCGTGCGTGCCGTCGCCCTTCACGTCGACCTTCCTTCCATTTAAATAGAGCTCGTCGCTCCTGAGCTCCGGCGACGCGACCATGACGGTCTCCGCGCGCAAATCGTTGGGGTCGAGCGTGAGCGAGGCAGAGGAGTTGATCGGCGTGTTGCCGCCCCGGGCCGCGTCCTTGCCCCAGTACTTGACGACGGCGATGTTCGTCGGCGCCAGCGCCGACGCCATGTCGAAGACCTCGAGCGGCTTGGGGTGCGGCGGGGGGGGCGGCACCATGGTCGAGGCTGCACCGTTCGACGCGCGCGGCGTGACTACTTGATTTGATGAGCTTGGGCTTGCAATAGCTCAGGCCTATTTTAGCGCTGGAGGCGCGCAAAAATGGCTGTCGACGTAGAAACCCGCGAGCTCAGGAGGCCCGGGGCTCGATCGCAAGTGATTTATCTTTAGCTTTGTCTTAAACTCCCCAGCCTTAGTGCTCGTCAGGCTGCTCCAAACAGCGTCACCTCGTCGGCGTTTCGCCCACAGCAACGACGCACGACACGCTTTTCGTTTGGTTAGGGCGATGCACTGGCGGCCGGCGCGAGGATGTACGCACGGAGGAGCAAAGACTCGGCGTTGCTCGGCTCGCAAAAAAAACTAAAAGTGCGCTAGCGGTTGTAAAGACACTAGGAATCACGCTTGCAGCGGCTTGCGAGTGAGACCACCTGCCACCCTCGTTCAGGAATCAATCTGAAGCCGACACGAGGGAGACGTCTCGCGAGCTGTTCGGGCTAGTATGGTGGGCAAAATGCCCGAACAGCTCGTCCTTAAACCTCAAACCTCAGAACCTTCAAAACCAAAACAACCCCTAGGATGAGTATAAAACACCTAGCGTGTCGACGCACTAGCCATGAAAAGCGTGGCACAGCCAGACGCCGCTGCGGACCCGAGGCAGCCCGGCGCGCGGTTGCTGCTCCCCACCGTGCTGCCCCTGCGCGGGTGAGTGGAGTACCGCCCGCCCCCCATCCCATCACACTACAAGATGGCGCACATGGTGAAATCCACCTTCCTGATGCTCGTCGCGAACTTCGTCCACAGTCCCAGCTCCTTGCGGTCAGGAGAGGTGCCTACGCTGCTCGACGTTTCGTCCATCGCGGGGGTGGACGCCACAAGCGTGGTTGAGGTCGGCGCCGTCGTCGTCCCCGCAGCCATCTACACCAGCATTTGGCTCTGGCATGGTCCGTCGCCTCGTCCCTGGGTCATTATTATTGACTTCGCCCTGGACGGCACCGCCCCGGCGAGAGAGGCGCGGCGACGACGCCATCGCCGCGCAAGAAGCTACTCGTCGATGGCCCTCCATGCCGATGCGACGTACACCGTCCACTTCGGCGATGGCACAAACTTGACTGGTGTGCGTGAAGCATGTTTCGCCGCCGCGCCCGCTGCAGCGAAGGCGTCGACCGTGCTCGCGGCCACGTCCATGGGGTCCTGCGCGGATACCGTCGAACTCAAAGTCGAAGATATGAGCACGGGCAACTGCTTCGTGTACTCGTGCCGCAAGACGATGCCCTTGTCAGACGTGTGGGAGTCCTTGGGCTCTGTATAGGGCGGCGCGCACATCATGTGTTTGCGGTGCCTTCCGACGCGTCGATCTCCGCGCCATCGACGCGGCGTCTGCTCGATGGTGCGGCGATGCCGTTTCCTAATCATTCGATCGACGGAGTGATATACGAGCCTGCGCATCCGACGGTCGATTTGCACGCAGGCGGTGGGTGACTGCCCCAGCAAGCTCCGTATTCTCAACGAGGAAGGCTGCTTGATGCGCCCGCGCTTGTCTCCAGAGGACCAGGACCTCGGCAGCAGCGCTACTTTGTATTGTTATCGTGAGCAGAGCGGCGGCGGCGGTGGTTCGACGGAGGTTTTCCCATCTGCAGATGTCCCAGAGGGCGAGAAGCCCTTGAAAGCGAAAGCTAAAGCCCGCAAAGTCGGTCAGCTGAACCTACGGGAGGAAGACGTCGTAATGAAAACGGTTAACGAGCTCACGACGGACGTGCGGCTACCAGATGGTTTTACCCGCGGAAACAACCATGTATGGACATCATCATTGGACGAAGGGGCCGAGGAGGCGGTTCTCAAGCTCATGCGGCTCCGTCACGACATGAAAAAGGAAGGGCGAATCGCGCTCTACGAGGTCGTTAACGTCGAGACAATATCGGTGGACGATATCCCCGACGGATGGGCGCCCAAGAAAGGCACGAAGGCACACACGAAGCTGTTCCGCGGTTTGCCAAAGGTCATCAAGACGACCTTTGGCAAACGTCTTGATTCGGGCGTCGCGGCGGACGGCTGGTAGTCCTCGCTCGCGCGACGACTTCCTGCTTCTAGGGGTCGGCGATGTCCCCACGAAGGCCGCCGGGCCCGCCACCTTGTCGACGGTCTGCGTGGTCGTAGACGTCGTCGCGGGCGCAGGAAGAAGCCCGTTACTACAGGTAGTGCGGGCCGCGGCGCGCGCGCTCCAGGGCGCCGACGGTAAATGCGTCGCCCCGAGACCGAGCTTGTACCGCATCCAGTCCATCTCGCGGGTGGCCCGCACGCAATCCACCCTATTACAGCAAGGAACGCCGTCGAGCACAGACACGAACGTGCACCGGCACATCGTGCAGGTCATCAACACACACTCGACCTCGCCGACTAGGAATACCGCAGCGCCACGGGAAGTAGCAGCCGCTGCGGCCACGGACTTGCACCGCTTCTTTTGAGATCCGCGGCTCCGCGGCGCACCGCCCGAGGGGCTGAAACCGAGCGGCGGCGTCCCGAATGACACACCCCTCCTTCGTGTGTGCGACGTGCCGCAGCCACCGCTGCAATTGTTGTTAGTGCAAGACATGTCGCTTCTCACCGCGCGCTGCGCGTGCGCTCAGTAATTTGCTTTTAACGGTAGTTTGGCACAGTTTGCCCGTCCTTCGGCGCGTAGCGTGCGTCCGCGTCCTGCCGCTGCCACAGCAGCACAATAGGCCTTGATCGAGCTTCGCGCAGCGTGGTTACGGTCCGCGCGCGGCCTGCTGCGGTGAGCAACCGGCGCCGCAATTCGCAAGCAACGACAAGCCGTATTTGGCGGGTTTTAGTCATTCTTTTTGCTGCGCCGACGTCCTCCGCCACCGTGTGACGAGTCAGGAGCGGGAGAGAAGGCTCCGGAGGCGATTCGTGTCTAGCTTGTAAGGCACTAGCCTGCTTGAGCATCGAGTCCTTTGGCTTGATCACCTACGCGCCACCGCCTGCTACGCTCCTACGGCCGCGGAAAGAAGCCCTGGTCAAGCCCTAAGTCTCAGCCGGCCGCGCGCGGGACTACCTAGGGCCGCGCCTACCAAAAAAGGAGCAATATGGCCGCCGCCCTCCTGCGGGCCCTGCCGCGGCGCGCCGCGTCCCTCGCGCGGCCGCGCCTGCGCTGCTTCTCGACGGAGGACCCCGAGATGGCCGCGGACCTCGCGAACCTCGAGCGCATCAAGGCCGAGCGCAACCGGAGCGTGACGGCGCCGCACATCGCCGTCGTGCCCGACGGCCTCGCGCCGGCGGGTCCCGCCCACCCCGAGGAGGCCGCCGCGCTCATGCGCATCCCCGAGATTCATAAAAAACGCACCGTCGTCATCTCGCAGAAGGCCCAGGCCGCGACGACGTCCGCGAGCCACGCGTCCAAGGCCTGGCGCCTGGGCTGGAAGACCGAGGAGCGCTGGACGAACCCGCTCATGGGCTGGACGTCGACGGCCGACCCCCTCTCCAACACGGAGCTCAAGTTCGAGACGGCGGAGCAGGCCGCGCGCTTCGCGACGAAGATGGGCTGGGCCTTCGAGGTCGCGGCGCCCATCGAGCGCAACAAACAGTACGGCACGAACACGTACTCGCACAACTTCCTCCAGAAGTGGGTCGAGACGGACCTCAAGGTCAACGGGACGGAGACGAAGCACTTCGCGCGGCCCCGGCCGAACGCGTCGCACTACTTCCGCCCGCTCAAGTTCCACGGCGACGGCGAGTGCGTCCAGCACGGCCACCGCGTGCCCGGGTCCGCCGAGAACGCCGACCACGCCTGGAAGCGCGCGGGCTCGCCCGGCGAGGCCTGGGCCAAGAAGCCCTCGACGGCGCCCGGCGCGGCGTGGACCTTCCCGGCCAAGGCCGCCCCGGCCGCGAAGGCCAAAGCGCCGGCGAAGAAGGCTCTGGCGAAGAAGAAGTAAACTGTACATCTAGATACCTATCTCGTCGTCGACGGCGGCTAGAGACGGCGGCCGCGACGAGGCGAGGCTCTTCGTACTAGGAACGGACCCCGCACGCGGGCGCGCGAGGCCCGAGGCTCGGCATTGGGGCCGCGGGCTGCCTAAAATGGACGGCCCTCGATAGCTTCACCACCAATCGCGGCGTGCGACAGCCTTCTCGAGAGCTTCAGGCAGAGCCAGGGCAGCCATGCCGCGCGACAACCCCTCGTGCACCATCACGACGAGCCTGGGCAACTTCACGGCCGAGATTTTCCTCCGGCCAATGCCCCTCACGGCGGCCAACTTCATCGACCTCGTCGAGAAGCGCTTCTACGACGGCACGCACGTGCACCTGCTCGCGCCGAAGATGGTTCTGGGCATGGGCTGCCCGCACTCGAAGGACCCGCATTCCTCCAAGGCGGGCACGGGCGCCGCGCCCGACGGGTCCGCGTTCCGCGCGCCCGACGGTCGCCTGGTCGAGCGGCTCCCGGGCGGCTACGTCCGGGACGAGGTCGGCACGGAGCAGCTCTCGAACTACGCGGGGACGCTGGCCATGATCAACCTCGGCCGGCCGGACAGCTGCTCGTCGCAGTTCGTGATCAACTGCGACCACAACCGGTGGGCTGACGCCTGGGAGCTCGAGTCGCCGGCGTCGCACTTCGTCTTCGGCAAGCTCGTGAGGCGGGGTGATTTAGATGTCGCGAAGAAGGCCGCGCGCGGCGCGACGGCGGACGACGACCGGCCCGCGGACCCGATCAAGGTCGTGCGCATACGCATGGGCACGGCGGAGGACGCCGCGGCCAAGGCCAAGGCGGAGAAGGAGAAGCTGCTGGCCGAGGCCAAGGCCGGCGCGTCGGGGCGCTTCATCTACGGTAACTGGGACTAGTGACTAGGAACACAGGACACCTTTACGCCGCGTGGTGGAACTCGAACCACTGCTTCAGCGCCGCCGCGAGCGTCTCCGGCAGCTCGCGCACGTCCCGGAGCACGACGTAGCACGGGAACGGGTAGCCGTCGAGGTATGGGCTGATCGCGACGCCGCCCTGCGCGTCGAAGGCCACGATCTGCATCTCCAGGATCGAGTCGCGGCCCGGCCGGTCGAGCAGCACGAGGACGACGGCGACGCCCGCGTCGACGGCGTCCCGCTGCGCGCGCCGGAGCTGCGCGCGCGCCGACGCGTCGAAGCGGCCGTCGCTCACGAGCAGGACGAGCTGCAGCGGCGCCGCCCGCCCGGCGCTCCGCAGGCGCGCCTCCCTTAAATCTTCCAAGGCCCTGTCGAGCAGCGCGCCGCACCGCGTCTTCTCGTCGGCGAACGTGAACCGCTTCGCCAGCGCCTCGAGCTGCGCCTCCGACGGGCACGACCCCTGGAACGGGTGCAGGAGCCGCACGGCGTCCCCGAAGGCCGCGATGCTCAGGTCGCCCGCCTCGAGCGCGCGGAGCCCGCCGACGAGCGCCGCGAGCGCCGCGAGCGCCGCGTCGGCGCCGCCGTGGTCGCGCATCGACCGCGAGTCGTCCAGCGCGATGAAGATCTGGTAGCACCGCTTCGACGGCCGCGTCCGCCGCAGCCAGATCTTGTCCCGCCGGTACCCGGACGCGACGTAGTCGAGCACCCGCCGCATGTTCAGGCGCTTGCCCGTGCGGTAGTCGCCCTTCAACCGCGCCGTCACCGTCGGCTCGAGCACGACGCGTAGCGCCTCGGCGAGGCGCCGCGCCACGGGCGCGGCGCGGCGCTGGTGGTCCCGCCACTGGTCCTCCGCGAGGTAGGGCTCGCCCTCTCCATTGCTTTCCGATGCGTGTTCGACGTCCATCGCGTCCCGATCCAAAAGCAACGCCGGGTCGACGTTGATCGACGACGGCCCGGCCTCGTCCTCGGCGTCCTCGGCGTCCCCGGGCGCGAGCGGCGCCGCCTCGGCCATCTCCTCGTCGCCGTCGGCGTCCCGGTGCTCGGGGCGCGGCGCGGCGCCGCCGCCCGCCGTCGCGCTGGTCTCCGCCTCGGGGTCGTCGGCGGCGCGCGTCCGGCTCTGATTCGCCTCGGCCGGCGTCGCGGCCTCGTCGTCGCTCGCGTCCATGGCATCGTCGCCCGGCGGCGCGTCCACGGCTTCGTTACCCTCGTCGACGCCGCGCGCGCGCTCGACGGGCTCGTCCGCGCCGCCGCGCGGCGCCTCCCCGGGCCGGTCCGCGGCGTCGTCGCCGGCGCCGCCGAGCGCCGCCGCGTCCGCGCGCCGGTCCGTGAACTCGAAGCGGTCGCCGCCGCCCGCGTCGTCGTCGTCGTTGTTATCGGCGGAGGCCGCTTCGGCGGCCGCGAGGCGCGCGCGCCAGTGCTCTGCCGCCGCGGCCGGCGTCGCGTAGGGGTTCGGCGCGCGGCGCTCGGGCGCCGCCGCCGCGGCCGCGGGCGCGGCCGCCTGCGCGCTCCCGCCGCCGCCGCCGCCGCCGCCGCCGCCGGCCGCGTCGCCCGCCGAGGCGGCGCCCTCGGCGCCGTCGCCGCCGGCCCCCGCGTCGCCGCCCGCGAGCGCGTCGCCGCCGATCTGCGTCGCGGCGCCCGCGGCGCCCTCGCCCGCGGCCGCGCGCGCGTCGGACCGGTTCTCGGCCGCGAGCGCCGACTCGCCCGCGGCCGTCGCCGCCGCGGCGACGTCCTCGGCGTCGTCGCCGGCCGCGTCCATCGCCGCGTCCGCGCCGCCGCCGGCGTCGCCGTCCTCGTCCTCCGCCTCGACGTCCTCCGGGCGGCCGCCCTCCGCCTCTTCTATTTCGTCGTCGCCGTCGCCCTCCGCCGCCGGCTCGTCGATCTCCATGCTGTCCGGCAGGGCCTCGCCCGCGTCGTCGTCGCCCCCGTCGCCCGCGTCGTCGTACCCGGCCGCGTCCTCGTAGGCGCCGGCCTCCTCGCCGTCGTCGCCGTCGCCGCCGTCGCCGACCTCCTCGACCACCTCCTCCTCCGCCTTGGCGTCCTTGGCCGCGTCCTCGCGCGCGTCGTCGCGGCCCGGCGGCCGCGCCGCCTCGTCGGCCGCGGGCGGCGCCGCGCCGTCGTCGTCGTCGCCCACGTCCGCGTCCTCCTTCGCTTGTTCCGGGTCGGGCGGCGGCGCGCCGTCGCCCGCCTCCTCCTCGCGCGCGCGGACGTCGTCCGTCGCCGCCTCGCCGTCGGCGCGCGACGCCTCGGGCATCGCCTCGTCCTTGTTGTCGGCGTCGCCCTCGCGGTCGTCGTCGTCGCCGCCCCAGAGCCGCTCGTCGACGGCCTCGGCCTCGTCCCCCGCGTCGCCCAGCTCCCGGTCCACTTCCTCGCCCTCGTCATCAACGTCGTCGCCCCCGTCGTCCTCTCCGTCGTCGTCGTCCTCCTGCTCGCGCCGCTCGCCGTCGAAGGCGCCCTCCATCTCCACGCCCTGGTCCTTCTCCTCGCCCCGCAGCTTCTCCTGCTGGCCGTCGTTGTCGCCCTCGTGCTCCTCCCGCGCCTCGTCCTTGAGCCCGAGCAGCTGCTCCTCGTTGTCGATCTCGTTGCTGACGTCCTTCGCCTCGCTCACGTCGCCCTCGCCCATGCCCGTGCCGTCGCAGTCTTCCGTGCGCCCCGAGTCCTGGGGCCCGTCGTCGTCCGACTCCTCGCAGAGGCCGCGCGCGAAGAGCGCCCGGACCACTCGACAACACACGTAGCACAGCTTGGCCAGGGACCGGTGCCGCCGCGCGTCCTCGCGCCACGCCGCCATCGCCGCGTTGCGACAGGGCACGACCACGCTCAACGCGGCGACCGCCAGGGTCACGTTCGACGAAGATGCCGTCGGCCGGGCCAGCGCCTCGAGCGCGTCGGCCAATCTACCTAGTTTGAGCGTCGCCGCGCGCGTGACCCGCGCCGAGGACTGGTCGCCGACCGTCTCGCCTTGGTCATCATCTTCTCGCAAGCGCTGCGCCGTCAGGAGGGCCGCCTCGACGCACGCGTCGAACGCGGCCGCGCGGTCGCCGCCGTCGCCCTCCGGCGCGACGCGCGCCGCCTTCACTAACTCCTCCAACGCGGTCCGGGCGGCCGCGGCCGCGGGCCCGCCCTCGCAGCTCGCCGCCGCCGCGCGCAGCGCCGCGACGAGCGCCGCGCGCTCGCCCGCCTCCGACTCGGACGACGCGAGGCGCCGCTTGGTGGTCTCGCACGACGACGCCAGCTTCTCCAAGGCGTGGGCGTCGACGCGGCCGCCCGCCAATCTGAGTTGCGCCGCGACCTCGGCGCCGCGCGCGGCGACCGGCGCCGCCGCGTCCAAGATGCGCGCGTCGCGCGGCACCGCGTCCACGGCGAGCACCTCCAGCGCCGCGTCGCACCGCTCCAGATCGTGCTGCAGCCGGCCCAGCGCGACGCGCTCCCGGAGCAGGAGGAGCTGGAGGCGCGCGCAGGCGCTCTTGAGCTGGGCCGCCTCGCGCGGCGTCACGTCGCGGTCGTGCTGCGCGCGCTCGTGCCGCAGGAGCTGCACCTCGGCCGCGGCCCGCGCGAAGTAGCCGCCGTCGTGTCGCACGGCCGCGGCGGCGCTGGCCCCGGTCCGCGCGTCCCAGACCGCGGCCGGGACCGCGCCGCCGAGGCCCTCGCCCTTGAGCCCCCGCGCCAGGTCGACGACGGCCCGGCGCTTCACGGCCCGCGGCGTCGCGGGGTGCTCCCGCAGGTAGGCGCACCGCCCCAGGATCGTCGCCGCGACGCGCTCCGCCGCGTCGTCCGACGCCGGTTTTGATGAAAGGACCGCCCGCATGCGCGTCGCGAGCTGCGGGAGCCGCGGGCCGTAGGTCGTGGCCGGAGCCACACCAATCAAGGGCGCGGGACCGAAGACCCGGGCCTCCTCCTCAATTGCCTCGTCCTTGACGAAGGGAGCCGCGCCATCGGGCGGCGCCGCGCGCCGTTGTAGAATGGGCGCGACGGGCTCCATCAATACGTCCCGGAAGGCACCGAGGATGCGCCGCAGCGTCTTCCGTGACGCAAGCGTGCACGCCTCGAGGCGGTGGTAGTTCCGGTCGTCCCAGCTGGCCAGTTTTGATTCGTCCGCGAGCTCCTTGAGGTGCTGCGCGCGCGCCTTCTCCACATCTTTCAGAACGTCGGGCAGCGCCAGCCCGTACTGGTCCGCCAATGCTCTTACTTCATGGCGGCCCGTGGCTTCTCCTAGCGTCTTTACGAGCTCGACCCTCGCGCTAAAGTCGCCCCGCGTGCCGTCCCGCAGGAAACCGTCGAGCCTATCGAAGGCGTCCTCACTTATTAATTCGCCTTCGTCATCATAAAAGGGCAGGTCCTTGCGCAGCCACGCCGGGATGCTATTTTGCGTCGTCGGTATGAGCTCGCGCAGCCGCAGAAACGACTCCAACACTTCACTACCAACACTACGCTCCTCCACGCCCTGGATTAAAGACGGCCACCGCTTTACCTCGACGCCCCGCCAGCGCGCCACGACGGCGCGGATCGCCTTGAGCTCGTCTTCGAGCGTCACGTGCCTCGCCGCGTGCTCCTCCCAGTCCTGGGCCCGGTGCAGCAGCACCTCGAGGCCGGCGAGGACCTTGCCTAACACCTCAATCTTGGAGGAGAGCAGGGCGTCGCCCACTCGTACAATTCGTTCGAGCGTCGCATTCTGCGGCCACTGCTTCAATAACTCCGCGCAGCGCTCGAGCAGCCGGGTGCACGGCCCGACGGCGTCGCGCGCGCAGGCGGCGCCCCACCCGACGTCGGGAGACACCTCGGGCAGGCCCAGCGCCGCGAGCCGCTCGACGAGGCTCCGCGCGTTTTTCGGTACAACGTCGATGGACGGGTCCAGCAGCGCCGCCTCGCTTTCCAAGACGTGGGCCAGCGCGCCGGCGTGCGCGGCGTCGTCGCCGCGGTCGAGCGCCGCGACGCCCGCGCGGACCGCGGCGCTCCGGAGGCGGGCGGCGTCGCCCGCGCCGCGCGCGCGCCGGAACCACGCGCCGCACGCGACGTGCAGCAGGGACGCGTCCTGCGTGGTGTCCAGGGCCTCCGCTTCCTCCCCCTCCTCGGCTGGAGGAGCAGCAGTCGCGCCGCGCGCGAGGAACCCCGACGCGAGCCGCCGCTCGTCGGCCTCCGTCGGCGCGCGGTCGCGCCACGCGGCCACGACGCGCTGCAGGGCCTCGTCGAACGCGGACGAGCGCCGCCCCTGAATCATGTCGTCGAGCTCGCACCGCCACAGATCGAAGACCGGGTCCGACGGCGCCGCGGCGCCGAACGGGAACCGCCACCCGGCGTCGCGGTCTTCCTCTAGACGCAGCAGCAGGCCGAAGCAGCTCGTGCGCAGCGCCGCGCAAAGGGGCTCCACGACGTCCAATCGAGACGAAGCGTGCGCCCGGTCGATGGCCTCGGCCGCCTCGGCCGCCGCCGCGCGCCACGCGGCGGCCGCCGCCCGCGCGTCCGCCGATCGACGGTCCAGCGCGTCCAGCAGCGGTGATATTCGCGTGGCCAGGACCGCGCACCGCCCCAGCGCCTCCCGGAGCGACGCCCACGGCGGCGCGTCGCTCGCGCGCTCGAACGTCGCGCGCGCCGCCAGCGCCTCGCGCCGCTCGTGTGCCGCCTCGACCGCGCGCCGCGCCTCCCCCACCAAACCCCGGTCGCCGAAGCGGGCCGCGTCCGCGAGAGCTGCGCGGTGCGCTACCTCCACCACCTTTACGTGGTGGTCGTGCGCCTCGAGCTTGGCGGCCGCGCGCGCGCCCGGGTCCAGCGCGCACGCGGCGAGCGCCAGCACGCGCGCCGCGCCCAGCGCGGCCCAGCCGCCGCCCACGTCACCGCCGTCGAAGCGCCGCTGCACGTCGGGCGGCGCCCCGGGCGTCGCCGCGAGGTGCGCGCGGCCCGCGCGCAGCGCCGCGCGCCGCGCCCTGTCGACACCCGCGTCCTCCCGGAGCAGGCGCGCGACGGCCCGGAGCTGGCGGCACCGCTGCGCGACGGCGACCAGGGGCGCCGGCGCCCGCAGCAGGCGCAGGCCCCGGCACACGAGCGCGTCGCCGGCGAGCGCCCCCGGCAGCGGCTCCGCGGCCGCGGCCGCGCGGGGCGCCAGCGCCAGGCCGTCGCGGTCTGCGAGGTACGGCGCGACGTCGCAGGCCCGGGCCCAGCGGCCCACGACGCCGTTCGTCACGCGCCGCAGCGTCGCGGCGGCGCCCACGTTCTTCGCGCGGACCCAGCCGAGCGAGATGAACGCCGACGCGTCCGTCGGGGGCCGCGTCGTCTCGGCCAGGATCGCCCCGGCGAGGCGGTCGCAGGCCGCGCCGTCGACGCCCCCGCCCGTCGCGTCCGCCTCCGCGACGTCGGCGACGACCGCCGCCTCCGCGCGCGCGACGCTCACGGCGGCGCACGCGCAGCTCTGGACGTGCGCCCACCGGTCCAGGAGGCCCCCGTCGTCGCAGGCCCAGAGCACGACGACGTCCTCGCCCCCCTCGTCGTTCTGCAGCGGGACCCCGCGCGCGGCCCAGCGCGTCGCCGCCGCGGCCCGCGCCGCGGCCCACGCCTCCCCCAGAAAACCGTAGTCCGGGCAGTCCCGGCGCGTGGCGAGGGCCCACGCTTGCGTCGCGCGCGCGTCGGCGGCGTCGCGCCGCATCGCGCCGTCCACCGCCAGCGCCGCCGCGAGGGCCGCGTGCGGCGCGAGGCCCGCGTCGCCGCGGCCCGGAAACGCCAGGTCCCGGGCCGCCGTGGTGACCCCGTCGACGCGTTGAGCATGCAACGGCGCGCGCGGCCAGCCGGCCTCCTTCGCCGCGCGCTTCCAGAGGCGGCACGGCGCGGTGTCGGTAATCCGGAACAGGGCCTCGACGCGGCCCAGCACCGCGCGCGCGGTCGTGGCGGGGGCGTCGTCTCCTACCAAGGCCTTGCGGACCATGGCGCACGTGATGGCGAGCAAGACGTACTGGGCTTCGTCCAGATCCGCGGACCCGGTCCACGCCGCGACCGCGTCGCGGGCCCGCTCGAGCGGCACGAGGTCATCGCCGGGTACGAGCAGGGCGTCGCGTTCATGAAGGACGGCGTCCAGCGCGCCGACGAGGCCCCGGACCCGTTCGTCGTGCGCGGGCGACGCGTCGCGGAGGATCCGGCGCCGCGCGCTCGCGCCCGCGCGCCGCGCGTCGCCCCAGGCTTGCGCGACGTCGCTCTCGCGCACAATACGCCCGCCGCACTCCGTGACGTCGGGGCTCGCCAGGAGGTCCTGAAGCGCGTACGCCACGTCGGCTTTATAGTGATGCCTCTCGTGGGCGTCGTCGATCGCGTGGCCGTCCATCACGAGGTCCTGGAGCGCGAGGAGGCTATCGATGACATCACCCGTCGCCGCGCGCCGCCGCAGATCAATGATGCGCCCCCGCGCGGCGGCCTCCGCCGGGGCCTCTCCAGCAACAAAATCGGCGTCGTCGCGGGCGCGCTGCGACGCCGGGTCGAGGACGCGCGCGCGCCACGACCCCGCTCCCTGATCGATGTCGAGCGGATCCGAAGCAGATGGAGGCGCCGCCGCCACGCACACGTGGCAGCAGCGGTTGCGCATCGCGCGCGACACGTCGCCGTATTGTTGATCGACCGTCAGGAACGCGCGGAACGCCGGCGCGGGCCGCACGGCGCGCGCGGCGCCGCCGGCCTCCGTCACCGTGAGCTCGCCCCCGGGCTCGAGCAGCGCGTTCAGGCGGTCCAAAACCGACGGCGGCGCGAGGTTCGCGTCCTCGAGCACGAGCCACGCGCCCCGCCGCGCCGCGCGCGTCACGGGCCCGTCGACCCACTCGAAGCGCGGCGGTTCGTTCCCGCTCGCGGCGGCGCGCCGCTCCGCCGCCTCCGCGGCCCGGGCCTTCTCAACACAACCGGGGTCGGCGCGCGCGTCGCGGCAGCGCGCGGCGGCGCGCCTTCGCAACCGCTCGGCGTCGACCTGCTCGAAGCCGCCGAGGAGGTCCGTGACGTCGGACGCGGGGTGGAGGCGCACGCGCCAGACGCTCGCCCCGCACGCCTCGGCCAGCCTTAGGATTGGCTCGACCGGCGCGCGGCCGGCGCCGTAGACGAGCGCGGGCCAGCGCTGGCGCACGCAGCGCGCGAGGCTCGCGAGGGACGGGGCCGCGTTGCTGTCGCGCGCGATGCGTCGCGGTGCTCCGCCGTCGTCGTCGTCGCCCGCCGCCGGCGCGATGGCGAACGCGCGGGCGAGCGCCACGCCGCCCGCTCTGAGGCAATCCGGGGCCAGATCCACGGGGCACGCGGGCGCGACGGCCGCGCCGACGGCCTTCTCCAACTTCCGGCGCTGTTCATCATCAGCGCACCGCGGGCCGAAGACCTCGGCGGCAATCTGGGAAACGCTCGCGTCCTCGCGACTGGAAACGACCTCGCAGAGGCGCTCGACGTCCCGCGCGTTCACGTCGCCCTCCAAGCCAAAGACGCCCTCCCGTCGTATGCGATCGACGCACGCCGCGCACTCGCGCGCGAAACCCTCGTCGAGCGCGTACTTCTGGTACGCCACCGCCTCGAAGTCGACCAGAGTGAGCGCGGCCACGTGCACGCGGAAGAACCGATCCAAGAAGCTTTTGGGCAACGCCCGGCGGCCGCTCACGCCTCCGTGCGGATTCTGCGTCGCGAACAGGCGGAACCCCCGGCCCTTCGCGACGGCCTCGCCGAGCTCGGGGACGTAGAGCGTGCCGCGATGATCCAGGACCGCGTTCAGCGCCTCGAGCACGGGCTGTGGCGCCAGATTCAACTCATCTAACAGGACCCAGCTCCCTCGTCGTAGTGCGCGCAGCAGCGGCCCGTCGCGCCACGAGAACCCGTCGTCGGCGGGCAAGTCCGCGCCCACCAAGTCCTGCACGTCGCTGTGCTCGCTGAGGTTGATGCGCTCCAGCTCCCGGCCGCAGCGCCGCGCGAGCGCGCCAATCAGCGCCGACTTCCCGACGCCCGGGGGGCCCTCCAGCAGCACCGCGCGCTCGAGCTGGCACGCGCGGACGACCCGCCTCAGGTTCGCCGCCGTCGTCGGCGCGTCGTCGCAGAAGGCGTCTCCGTTAAAATCGCCCCGTGCTTCGAGCGCGAACGGCGCCGCGCCGTAGACATGAGCGTCTCGGGCCAGCGGCGGCCCCGCGCGGTCCCATTTGAGCGCATCCTCGACGTCGCCCATGCCTCGACAAATCTCCGCGAACCGGCGCTCGCAGACGTCTCGACACGCCTCTAAAGCGTCCGCTTCGACGCAGGGGTTCGCCACGCCCAGACCGTCCAGCACCACGCCGCAGCCGTGCCCGAGGGCCTCGACCACGTCGACCTTGCCTTCGAGGTGCTTCACGAAGGCCGCCCAGTGGACCAGGTCCCGCGCCGTTAAGGGCGGGGGCTTGACGTCGTCGGCCATGCCCTTTATGAATTCGCCAAAGTCCAGCAGCGCCTCCGTCGCGGCCGCGTCCGGCAGCGTCGTCGCCACGAGGGCCCGCAGGTCCTCGCGCGAGCTGCACGCCGGCGCCCAGAGCTCCGTGAAGCGCGACCGGAGCGCCGGCGACAGCTCGCGCTTGCCGTGGTCGCCCCCGGGGTTCATCGTCGCCAGCAGCCGGAACGCCGGGTGCGCCGTTACAATTTCGAGCGCGTCGCCGCCCTTCTCCGCGAGCGCGATCGTTCTAGCTGGCTCCAGGACGCTGTTCAATCTCTCCAAAACGGCGTCGTCCGCCAGGTTCAGCTCGTCCAGCAGCACCATCTCCCCGCGCCGCATCGCCTCGACCAGGCACCCGTCGACCCACTCGAACAATGCACCACCACTCTCGCGCCGCGCCGGCCGCAGCGCCCCCAGGAAGTCCGACGCTTCCGAGTGGAGGTGGCAGTTCAGGACCCGCAACTGCTGCCCCCGCATCGCCGCCAGCAGCTGGCACGCGGTCGTTTTGCCGCCGCCCGTCTCGCCCACCAGGAGCACGGGCTCCTCGTGGTCCAGCGCCGCGCCCATGAGCTGCACGAGGCGCGCCATCGCGGCCGTCGGCGCGACGTTCTGTTGCATGCACACGTCGCGCACCGAGGCCCAGGTCCTCTCATCATCAAGGGTCGCCTCGAGGGCCTGGGAGATGCACGCCCGCACGGCCCGCACGTCGGTGGGGCACCGCAGCCGCTGCGCGAGCAGGTCGTCTCCCACCAGTAAAGCTCGCGCCTTGTCGGCGCTCCCGCCGAGCCGCTTCGCCCACTTGAGCACGTCGCGCGCGGAACATAACGCCGCGTCCCCGTCGAGCAAGGTGCCGCCCTCGCGGCCCCGTCCTAGTCTCAGCCGCGCGAGGCGCCGCCGCGCGTCCACGAGCTTCGCCGCCAGCGACGGGGGCACGCCGCCGACGCGCTTCACGATCTGGGCGAGCTCGTCCGGCGGCGGCTCGTCGACGTGGATCTCGACGAAGCGGTCGCGGAAGGCCCGCGACAAGGGCTTGCGGCCGCCGTACTGCGCGCCGGACGTGGCGCAGCTCGCGGGGTTTTGGGTGGCGAAGAGCCGGAAGTTCGCGTGCGGTGTTATGACTTCGCCCGTCTCCGGGAGGCGCAATTCTCTATTATCGTCCAGTAATCTATTCAGCGCCTCGAGGACGTCCGGCGGCGCCAGGTTCAATTCGTCCAACAGGATCCACTCGCCGCGCCGCACCGCGCCGGTCAGCGCGCCGTCGAGCCAGCCGATCGTGCCGTCCGGCAGCGGGGCGTACCGTCCGACGTACTCCGCCACGTCCGTGTGCTCGTGGTTGTTGATGCGCGCGCAGCGCACGTTGAGGCGCCGCGCCAGGTAGTCGATCAGGGACGTCTTCCCGGCGCACGTCGGGCCCTGCAGCAGAATGGGCGCCCGCCCGAAGGCTAACGCCCGGGCGACGCGGCGCAGCGACTGCGTGACCGTCGGCGTGAGGCAGAAGGCGCCGGCCGCGCCGTCTCCCAATAAGGCGGCGTCGACGCGGCCCGCCTTCGGCCCCGCCGCGACCCAGAAGCCCGCCACGAGGTCCGCGTCGTCGTCCGTGAAACGCGACGGCCGCGGCGGCGGCATGTCCGATGCCATGGATGCGCCCAGCCCCTCGCGGATCTCCCGCCCGCAGACGCGGCGCCCGCCCTCGGCCGCGTCCCCCACCAGCTGCGTCGCGTAGGCCAGCTCGAAGCCCTCCCGCAATGCCGCCACGGGGCCGCCCTTCACGCTTAACACGCAGGCGGCGTCCAGCGCGCGGCACAGCGTCCGTAGGGAATACCGCGGCGCCTGGCCGCCGCCGTCCGTGAGGACCGCCGGCCCGGTCCTCACGAGGTCGAGGAGCCGCCGGTGCGTCGCCACGGCCAGCGCCGCCGCGTCGCGCCGCGCCGCGCGGTGGAGGTCGTCGAGCGGCGCGAGCCGCGTCTCCGCGATGGCGATCAGGTCCGCGTCGTCCGAAGGCTCGCTCACGAAGAGCTCCGTGAACCGCGACCGCACGGCGGGCGGCAGCTCGCGCTTGCCGGCGTCGCCGCTCGGGTTCATCGCCGCGAACACTCTAAACTGACCGTGGACGTCCCGGCCCTCGAGCATGGGCAGCAAATGCTGGAGGACGTCGCCCGGCGCGAGGTTGACCTCGTCCAGCAGGACCCAGTCGCCCTTTGCCGCCGCGTCCGCCAGGGCGGACGCCATGAACGCGAAGGCCAGGCGGTGCGGCTCGGCGCAGCGCTTCTCGAGGATCTGGGCCTGCGTCGCGAGGCGGGCCCAGCCGGCCGTCTGGCCGGCGTCGAGCTTCCGGCGCTTCGAACTTTTCGTGTAAGCGTCGCAGGCCTTCGCCGCGCCCCGCGCGACCTTGGCCCAGTCCGACGCCGCGAAGGCCCTATCCAGCACGCCCAAAAAGGCCGCGTTCGCCGCGGCGTCGAAGGTCGCCGCGAAGAGCTCGGCGCACGCGTCCCGGAGCCGCCGGCTCACTTCGGCGACGGACACCGGGCGCACGCCGCCCAGCAGCTCCTCGGCGTCCGTCGCGTGGGACAGGTTCAGCACCCGGAGCGTCGCGCCGCAGTGCCTCGCGAGCACCTGCACCAGGGTCGTCTTGCCACCGCCCGGCTCGCCCACCAATAGGACCGGCTCGCGCGACGCGACGCAGGCCGCGACGCGCTCGAGCAGCCGCGCGGCGTGCGGCGTCGGCGCGAACCTCAGGTCCGGCGCGCCTCCGGTCGTTTCTAGCACGACGCGCCCGACCTGGACGCCGCGGGGGGTGGACGTGATTTGGGGGGAGGAGGCCCGCACGCGCATGCGCAGGTGGTCCGGCTCGAGCCCGAAGGCCTCCGCGACGTTGGCCTCCGCTTCCGCGGCGTCGCCCCGGCACCGCCCGAGCACGACGTCGCAGGCCTCGACCGCGGCGAGTAGGCGCTTGGCCTCGGGCGCGTAGGGCCCCTCCTCGAGGTTCACGCGGTCCCGCACGCGGCGCGCCATCTTGATCGCGTCGCGCGCGCTTCCCTCCGCGGCGTCGACGACGGCCGCGGCGACGGACGCGGGGAGCCCGACGATGGCCATGAGCTCGGCGCGGTCCAGCGGCCGGCAGTACGCCTCGACCCAGTGCTCGCGGCCGAGGAACCGCGCCTCCTCCGTCGTGGCCGTGCCCAGGAGGCGGAAGCCCGCGTGGCGGCGCACGCTCTCCGAGGCCAGGGCCCGGCCCGCCGCTCCCAGCGAAAACCCCTCGGCGAGCGGCTTGAGCAGCGCGAGGACCTCGAGCGACGCCCGGTCGACGTCCTCGACGACGGCCCACTCGCCCCGCTCCACGGCCAGGGCGAGGGGCCCGCGCCGCCACGAGAAGCGGCCGTCCTCCGCGACCTCGTGGTAGCCCACGAGCGCGCGCGCGTCGCAGGCCTCGTCGAGCACGAACTCCCGCACGACGGCGCCGCAGCGGCTCGCCAGCTCCCGGATCGCCGCCGTGCGGCCCGCGCCCCGCTTCCCCGCGACGACGACGGGCGGCCGCCGCGGCGCGTTGAGGGCCTCCGCGAGACTTCGACAGTTCGCCACGAACGACGCCGCGGCCGTCGGATAGGGCGACCGCGCCGGCGGGCCCCGCCGCAGCACCGCAACCCCGAACACGTCCACAAACGCCGGGGACAATACTAAAGCGTGGGGGTCGTCCGACGCGTCCGCGTCCTCCCACAGCGGGGCCGCGTCGCCGTCGTCGTCGAGGAGCCCGGCCGCCGCCAGCGTCGCCGCGCACGCGCTCCGGCGGAGGGCGGGCATGAGCGGCTGGAGGAGCGGCCGGAGTTCCTCGCCCGACACGAGCTTGAGTATCACGCCCGCGAGCGCGGCGGCGGCCGCGTCGCCGCCCGCCAGGCGGACGCCGCGCGCGACGAGGTCCAGCAGCATCGCGCGGTTCCCCCGCCACATTTCCAGCTCACTGACCACCCAGTGGGCCTGGTCGGGTGTGAGGAGCACCACGGCGCAGGCGTCGAGCGCCGCGCGCACGTCCAAGTCTTCGTCGTCGTCAACGTTGAACATTCGGGGGTTGCACCCCGCGACGAATCGGCGCGCGTCTCTTTCGTTCATTCTATTCTATTTACGCATTCGCGCTGTTCGGTGTAGAGTTGCTGTGCAGAGCACTGCTGGCGCGTTTCCTCGGGGCTGTTAGATTCGCTCCTGCTGTACCGCACGACTACAACAGTGTAACTACGTGTATGGATGTCACGGCTGAGCTGAGAGCATCTGCGTGCTCGTCGCTTGCGGCTAGTAGTATATAATACTAGTATCTTTACGACGCTAGCTGCCGCGATTTTCACCCTCTAGGATCTTATATTCAAAAATTAACGCCTCATCGCGGCCGCGCCCGCGGCGACCGCGGCCGACCCTGCTGCGGCGGCGCGGGCCAGGGAGGACTCACCGCTCGCCCCCGCTTCTCCGCCGGCGACGACGGCTCGTCGGCCCAGGCCGCGTCGGCCGGCCGGGACGGCGGCCGCGGCGGCGACGCGGCCGCCTCGCCAGCAGAGGACAGGACCTTCTCGATCTCGGCGACGATGCGCCGCTTCTCGTGGAGCGCGTTGCGCTGGACGAGGTCCCAGTGGGCCGCCACCGGGTCCGCCGCGGCCGGCCGCGGCGGCTCGCCCCCGGGCGGGTCGGCGAGCGCGCTCGCGCGGGGCCGCCGCGGCGACGGCTGCTTCGGCGCCTCGGTCAGCGCCGCCGCGAGCGCGAGCGGCGCCTTGTGCTCGCAGCGCGGGAAGGCCGCGTCGTCCCCGGCCGCCGCCGGCCCGTCCTCGGCGAAGAGGCCCGCGGCCTGGCGCGCGACGCCGTCGAGCGCGAGCGCGGCGCCCCCACTGAGGGCGGGCGCGTCGACGTGCGTCTTGTCCTTCGCCGGCGCCAGGCGGTAGAGCAGCAGGAACTCCGGGAGCACGTTCTCGGGCTTGAGCGGGCGGTACTCCTCGCGCACGGAGCTATATAAGGCGTCGGGCTCCGGGCCGTCGGTGGACGCGTCCTCCTCGACGCGCACGGCGCCGACGAGCACCCGGCACAACGCGAGCACGCGCAGCCGCCCCGCCCGTTCGCCGCCTTTCCGCGCGTCGCCTCGCACGCTCTCGAGCGTCGAGTACCGCGAGAAGGCGCGCGGAAACTCGAGGGACGCCGCGTCGCGCGCCGCGCGCCGCGCCTTGACCTCGGTCGGCTTCCGCTCGACCGTCCCGCCGAAGCCGCCGGGGCTCGCGGCCGTCGGCGCGCCCGGCGTCCGCGACTGGTCCGCGAGCCACGCGTCGTCGAAGAGCGTCCGCTCCAACGGCGCCGCGTCGCCCCGCAGCCCGTAGAGCACCAACCGTTCCACGCTCGCCGCGGGCACGTCGCAAAATAAACCCTTGACCGCTATTTTCTTCTCGTCGCTCCGCGGCGTCTTCCTCCTCTCCACCTCGCGCTGGAACGCGTCCAGCAGGCACCGGTTCTCGATCTTGAAGACGTCGACGACGTCCAGCCCCGCGAAGGGCCCGCCGCCCGCGAAGAAGCCGCGCCGCGCGTTCTCGGCCGCGGCCCGGCGGCACCGCGCATACTGCGCGTCGCGCGGCGTCAGCCTCCGTAACCGCGCCGCGCCGCGCGTCTCGTGGTCGCAGTGCAGCGCGAAGGCCGCCAGCCGGTTCCGCAGCTCCAGCACGTCGATCGCCTTGAGCCGCTCGGCCTCGGCGACGCGCTCGCGGCACTGCGCCGCGCGGCGCTCGGCGGCCACGACGCTGCCGTAGCGGATCGCGAGCGTCGCGAGGCGCGCGTCCGCGTCCTCCTCGTCCCGCTGCTCCCGGCGCGTCTGCGCGCGCGCCGCGCGCCGCGCCGCCGCGCGGCCCTCCTCGACGAGGCCCTCGCCCCGGGTCTTCGCGGCGGCGATCGACGCGACCGTCGCGCCGCGCCGCTCCGCCGCGGCCTCCCTTAAAATCGCGGCCCGTCGCAAGCTCCGGCCGCAGCGCTTCCGCGCGACGCGCCCGCGCAGCGAGTCCCGGAGCCTCTTCTCGAGCGCGGGGGGCAGGCACCGGTCGTCGTTCTCGTCGCTCCTCAGCAAGAGCTCGCCGCTGACGAAGCCGTTTGCCGCTTCCTGGGCGCTCATTTTGACAGGTAGCAAAATTGTAGTACAAAATGCTCGTCCTCAGCGTCCTCAGCGTTTCGCCGCACGACGCGCAACGGGCTGTAGGTCACCACGCACCAGCCTCTTGCGAGAGAGACTAGCGGGGAAGTGCGGCTCGCAATTCGTTTTATTAGTTAGCGACCTGTAACACACTAGAAATAGCAACAAACCGCTGTAAGGCATCAACCAGGCCAGCATTCGCAATTTGCCCACAAAGTGATCGTTTTGATTGATTTTGAGCCCACTTCGCGTCACAGCGCAGCTCGAAGGCTGCCACAAGACTGCAAGCAGCATTCGACGCCGGCGCTCTGCGGCGGCATACCGACCGCGCGAGATCATGGCCGAGGCCGAGCCACCCACAAATAAACCGACGTCATTCACGACGGAGCGCCGCCCGTCGCGGAAGCGCACGATCACGACGCTCTACGAAACCGATTCGTACGTCGCCGTCGACAAGCCCTACGACATGCGCATCGACAAGCAGAAAAACGACGACGGCGACCCGAACCTCCAGGACCTCGTGCGGGCGTCGCTCCCGCCCGCCGTGCGGACGGAGCTGCGCCACTGCCACCAGCTCGACTACGCGACGAGCGGCGTCATGCTCTACGCGACGTCGAAGAAGGCCGCCGCGGCCGCGCAGATCTGCTTCCAGGAGCGCCGGGTCCAGAAGGAGTACCTCGCCCTCGTCTGGGGCGCGCCGCCGTCCCGGGAACTGGCCTGCGCGGACCCGATCTGCCAGTCGCCCGAGGACGCCTTTCGAATGACGATCGGGGACGTGGACGCCGTCTGGCCCCTCCTGGACCAGGACGCGCCGAAGGCGGACCGGGACGAGCGCCGGCGGAAGCGGAAGCACTCGGGGCCCGCCGCGACGACCGTCGTCGAACTCGCGCGCGGGTCGTACCTGGGCAAGCCCGTGGCCAAGCTCCTCCTGAGGCCGGCGTCGGGCCGGCGCCACCAGCTCCGCCTCCACTGCGTCGCCCTCGGCCTGCCGATCGTCGGGGACGCGACGTACGGCGTGGACGACGGCGCGCCGCGGATGATGCTGCACGCGCGGACGCTCCGGCTGCCCGTGGGGGAGGAGGGGCTCGAGGTGTCCGCGCCCGACCCCTTCCGGTCGGGCGTGCTGGAGGGGCTCTCCCTCCAAGCCGCGCCGGCGGAACAGCGGTAATGTTTGTTGAATTTTTGCTAGGACCAAAAGGTGGACGGCGTTTTTATGACATCATACCTCCTTCTAAGCAGAACGGTCATGGCACACTGAATCCTAGTACGACAAAATGTCATGGCAGCAAGGCACATGAGAGAGGCTGCCTCTGGACGCTAAGCCGTGGTCGCGACGACGCCGTGGACCATGCAGCCGGCCCGGGCCGCCGGCCGGCCGATGGCGGCCGCCCTGCGGCGCAGTCCCGTGGCCTTTGGCACCGCCTTCGGCACCGGCTATGGCGCCGGCTTCGCCACCGCGACCGGTGTCATGTTCCTCGACGACGACGTGCAGCGTCTGGAGATCCTCGAGAGACTCGAGCGCCACGTCGACCTCCTGGAGGCGGCCGCGCGCGCGGCCGAGGCCCGCGCGCGGCGCCGCGCGCGGACGTGCCTCCTCGTCGGCGCCGCGGGCTGCCTCGCCGGCGCGGGCGTCCTGCTGTGGCGTGCGCGCCGCCGGCACCGCGCCCGGCGGCGGCCGCGCGACGCCTCCAAAGACGACGATGGAAACGCGCGCTGGCGCTCCGGCGACCCGCGCGTCGTCCTGGGCGTCGGCCCCTTCGCGTCGCGGGCCGCGTGCCGCGCCGCGTACCTCGAGCTCGCGCGCCGCTACCACCCGGACAAGTCGGGGTCCGCCGCGACGGGCGAGGCGTTCGCGGCGATCAACGCCGCGTGGACCAAGATCGATAGTAGGAGTGTGTAACTCGTATTAATGTGCTCACAACACTACTTCGGGGGCTTCGCGTCGCAGGCCGGCTTCGGGTCGGCGCCGGCGGCCGTCTCCCGCGCGCACCTCACGACGCGGTCGGCTGTCGCGGCGTCCATGTCGAGCCGGCGCCGCCAGTACGCCGCGTCCCGGCCTTTTGCTGGCCCGACGAAGACGGAGCCGTAGCGCCTGGTGTGCGACCGGTAGAACCAGAGGCCCGCCATCTTGTGCGAGAAGAGCTCCACGACCACGGCGCCCGGCTTGTGCCACGTCAGGTGCGCGAGGGCCGCGCCGTGCATGCCCACGACGACGTCCGCGCGACTGACCTTCTGGATCGCGAGTAAGTCGGTTCTGCTGCGCTAGTTGATGAGGCTAAAGGCAATCAACGATAGAGAACCCGAACTCACCCTAGAGGCTCTGCGAGCATGATTATCTAGCGCCTGTAAGACACTAGCTACCTCGGCACGAAAACAAAGGCCGCCGGTCCCCGCGCGCCGTCGACGCGTACCAGCCAAAGGGCTGCCCCATCGACTCCAGCACCAGGGAGCGGGCTGCCCATCGCCCGCCAGCCGCCGCTCGACGCCGTCGCCGCGCCCCGCCGTCTACAAACGCCTCCCAAGCACAAATGTATTTCACATACTGCGCCGCCTGCGCGGCGCCGCTCGGCTTATCCTTGGGCAAGAAATGTGGCCGCTGCAGCACGCGCTACTGCGGCGCCGAGTGTCAGGTGCAGCACTAGAAGGAGGGTGGGCACGACCAGGTCTGCAAATTAATTAAAAAAGCAGGCGGCGCCGAACAATACAACGCAAATAACAAGTGCACGGAGGCCGTCGCGGTCGCGGTCGAGGCGTGCGCCGAGGACACAAAGGGCCAGACGTGCTACATCTGCACGCAGGCCCTCCACTGGAAGACGAAGGAGGGCCTCGTGCGTATGTGCGCGTGCCGCGGGACGGCGGGATTCGTGCACGTGTCGTGTCTGGCGGAACAGGCGAAGATTTTGATCGCCGAGGCCGAGGAAAATAATTTGACGGACAAAGTGAATGAGAGGTGGCAGCGGTGGCGCACGTGCAGCCTATGCGAACAAGAGTACCACGGGCTCGTGGGGTGCGCACTCGGGTGGGCGTGCTGGAAGACGTACGCGGGGCGGCCGGAGGAGGACATGGCTCGGAGATTTGCGATGAGCGTGCTCGGGAACGGTTTATCCGATGCAAAGCACCACAAGGACGCGCTGTCCGTGCGAGAGGCCGAGTTGTCTCTGTTGCGGCGCATTGGCGCACCACAAAACGACATTCTCCTCGTGAAGGGCAATGTTGCGAACACGTATCAATTGCTCGAAAGGCGTGAAGATGCCCTAACCTTGCGACGAGAAGTATACTCTGAATGCGTGAATTTACACGGCGAGGAACACTTCGACACAATCAGAGAAGCCAACAACTACGCTTCGTCCCTCCATAATCTGCGGCGCTTTGAAGAAGCCAAGGCACTGTTCCGCAAAATGATTCCCGTGGCGCGACGCCTTCTCGGAGAGAGTCATCATCTCACGCTCACGATGAGGTGGACTTACGCGCTGACTCTCTACAGGGCCGACGGCGCCACGCTTGATGATCTCTGCGTGGCCGTAACGACGCTCGAGGAGACGAAACGGATCGCGCGGCGCGTGCTCGGAGGCGCGCACCCGCTCACGAAGGCGCTTGAGCGCCATCTGGGACTCGCGCGAGCCGCGCTCCGCGCCCGTGAGGCGCCGCCGCCGTCGAGTAGCGCACGGGACCCGAGCGCCGCCGACGACGACGCGACGCCGGCCGCGCCGGCGGCAGCCGTGGACTCGGGCCCGGACGGCTCTTCGGGCAAGGTGCCGGCCGCCGCGTGCGATGCCGAGGCCTCTTCCTCTAAGTAATTTGTTGGCACCTTCACTCTTCCGTAGTACCCACCGGTCGTTCTCCGCGGCCATTATATTACCGGGCCCCTTATTTTACCGGACAGAATAGACCTATAGTGAATAAGGTAGATAGCAGTACCTACGGTACTTTTGTCCGAAGCCAACTCGCCTCGCAAGAGTGATAGACGCTGCCCGCCGCACTGCCCACGCGCAGCTCCACGCTACCAAGACACCGTGCAGCACACGCGCCCGCAGCGCACGTGCGCCCGCAGCGCCGCGCCCGGCAGCGCGCCCGAACCTGAAGGAGGAAATCAAGTAAAGCCCGCGAGCCTCGCGGTTCCGCGAGATCCGGCGGCCGCGGCAGCCCCCTCGGACAAAGACCAGGTAAACGGGTCTCTCGAATTCGGAGGCGGACACCGAGCGCAGCTCTGCATTTTGCCGCAGTGCGGACGTGATGGCTCAAAATATTCCCGAGTCGGTCGTCGACGCGGTATGCGACGGCGACCTCGTCGCGGTGAGCGCATGGCTCAAAAACGGCGGCAACGAGTTCGTCGATGAAGCGCTGGAAGGCCACCCATTCATTCTTCCTTCTTTAAAACATCTTATTTCGCAAGCAATAGAACACTCGGCAAACGCTTCAGCGATCGTCGAGCTCCTGCTGCAGGCCGGCGCAGAGCAACGTGACGCGGTGGCGGCGGTACGGGCCCGGGGATCGAGACGCTCCTCCCTCCACCCTCCCTGAATCCTCTGGCTCCTGATGCCGGGTCGTGACCCCCGCCCCCCCCACCCACTTCGACCCCCAACCCCCACCTCGCGTGTCCTTTACGTTTTGGTGATCACGGCGCATTTGTTTATAGGTTGTAATTCATTTTACCCGAAGTTGCGGTTCTACCGACCGCGAGGTCGTCCTGCCTAGCCCTCGGGACGGCCCCAGGCTTCGCGAACGCATACAATCAATACCGGGGAAAGCCCACAACGTACTCTAGGCACCCCGAACGAGCTGTAAACCATCGACGCCCAGTCGACAAACACCGCCCCCGCCCCGAGGAGTCGCGAGCGCGCCCCTCCCGGACCAATGCCCTATTCAAGTCACAACACAAACCACTCTAGACGTTCCGAACCCCACAAAAACGCACATAAAGTGCCACTACGCGTCCCAATTTTATCGGTGGCAAACGGCACGTGCTTGCCCTTCATCAGGTGGACGTCGCATCCCATTTTTGCTACGACTAACACCCCATCAGTCGCCTAGGAGCACAAGTTTTCGAGCTGCGGATCATCATTTAATGACCACAAACCACCACACCCTTATTTCAACTGGCAGAAGGTGCCCAGCCACTCTCCACAATACCTCGATGATTTCTTATCTACATAAGACCCAACGCACAACAGTACGACCTTTCTCGAGACAGCTCATCAAGGAGCATTTCCAGCACCACGAGAACGCGTCGTTATCCTGGGAAAAACAACTCAAAGTACCTGGAAGTGCCACCGCGCAACTGGGACAAGGCATCCCCTAAGATAGAAACCTCAGGAACTAGGTCTAAAGCACCCTCGAAAGTCTCGACTTCGAGGACCTGTAATTTGAGGCCGTGACCTCTAACCATCAAGTGTCAAGCAGTAGACTTTGCGCGAATCACCTACTGATCCCAGCTAAATCATGCTAGGTGTCCCATGTCATGTAACACCATGTCGAACACACCCCTGAGTAGTCTCGACTTCGAGGACCTGTAAGAGTCGGCGCCGACCTCAATTCGTGCTGTGACAAGCAGAGAACTTGGGATCGCAGACCTATTAAACCCAACTAAATCATGGAACCAGTAGTTGCAGCCCCACAATGTGACTAAAACCCCATCGACAACATGAGCTCATCACAACTACTACTTCCGAAAATAGTAATCTACCGACGTCTAGGTCAGGCATGGAGCGTCACTCTGGGACCCCGGGGCGCTCCATCATTTATATTTTGGCCAGGGGCATCATGTTCAAGGACGATGGGCCATTTCTACCCATAATCGATATGTACTTCCAACACGATGCAATCGTACCGACGATCTGCCAAGTAGTATCAATTCGTCTTGGGACCCTGAAACGCATCCCTCAAACAAAATGGACCCACTCCTACATGTTGATGTCGATAGGACCTCCAAAGGCACAAATCGGTGTGGATACCCCACAATTCGCGATTAGTCTGTAACCATGCTCACGCATTGTTCAACATTGATCGTCGATTGTGTCGTGTTCCATAGATAAAACTCGTCGCGCTAACATCTCGATCCGATATGTCATGAAAACCCACAATCGAACAGATTGTGAAGGAGTATGACGAATGAGATAGGTACATCACCAAAAATACCATCGTTCTCGACGCAACACGTCCGTGCGTTCTCACTTCTCTTTATTTCTTTGACGTCGAGTGGCGGTATTGTGAGCGAAACGCGAGAAGCGCCCAAGACCGCGCACACTGCCAATGCCCCAGGAGAAATTTTTGTGCTAAGCCTCGGGCTGGACCAATGCCTCGCGGCGCGTCGGGCAATGTATCTAATACTCGTTTGCGCGCCAAAAAAATTCACCTTTGCGCTGCCGAAATGCACGACGCCGTCGCGGCGCCCCCACATAAATTTGACTAGATCAAGGCTCGCGGGGCTGCTTGACAATATACCTCAGCGAGTTTCATGGCTGCCAGTTACCGGCAAGGACTGCCAATTGCGGCGGCGCCCATTGCGAGGTAAGGAGCGTCTACCTAGGTACCGTGGTACTATGCGTGTGACCCGCCACAAGCAATGGAGACAACCAGGCAATTCGAGTGGTCAGGCCCTGGTGTACCATTATCCATAGATCTAAAATCAAGTTCCTAAGAATAGGAAGACCTAATTATTGCTTTGCTTAGAGCCAGGCCGCCTAGCCACAGGCCGCCGCGGGGGCTGCGTGACTTATTATTAATTATGGTTATTATTATGCATTTGGTCCTCGAGTCCAGCAGGCCTCTCATTTCTGAGCAGCAAGGCGGCTGGCTAGTTCCTGAACTTTCTCCTGCTGAGCACGGAAGACGCGCTCCGCACTCTCAAGAATTTTCTGCTCCAAAGCAAGTTGGTTCGTGAGCCAACCTCTATCTTTCAGCCAAGGAAAACGAGGTGTTGCGAAGGGTGCCTCACGTAGCACATCTTCGAGCATTGGCACGGGGACCTACAGAAGAACAAAACTGAGCTAAGTATTGAAGAGAGGCACTGGAACTAGCAACATGAGCAATGATTGCTGCACGTTGCGTAATTCCACTAGAAACCATCCCATGTGCATGGGCCACATTCGTGTGTCCGCGGGGGAGGCCAACTAAAGTCTCGTCATTCTCGAATCCAAAAACATCATGAGGGACACAACAGTGAGGCCCTGATTGAGTTAACAAAGGTGACCGTGACCGTCACAGTGCCAGTCACCATCACGGTGACGGTGACCGTGACTGCGTAAAGTGAACTTACTTTAGGTTCACCCTGGTGTTTTTGTGGCTGCTACTTAGTACTGGGTGTGATCCACTTGGATATAGGGAAATACCGGCTCCGGGCACAAGACTCGGACTATCATGATCATGATCAGCCTGAGTACACCAAGCCTCGTAACTCTGCTAGATTTAGTCCGTTGGACGCCATGCTTGTACCGAGGCATCTGCCGCCGGACGCTTCTCCCTGCTGGCATAAAAAGGGGATATAGCTAGTATAAGTTGAAGTGCCAGTGGGGCTAACTACGGTTACTGTTGCCAGTACCTTAGGTACCGTAGGTACCTACAGTGCGTGCGTCTCTCGCGGCGATGCGCGAGTGGGTCGCGTCGCTCTCGCTCTAGGCAGACCTCGTGCAGCTCATGAAGAAAGACCCCTCCGTTGCTATATGTAGTGCCGCGCTATGTGTAGTAAAAGCAGCCTTACGTAATTCCTGTAAATCATGGACAGTCGGGCGGCGCGTACCCCCTCGAGCGTAGCTCGACGAGAATGTTATCCGTGGGGAGGGAGTGGGCAGGATCAGCGCGCGATCATAAGCCAGCGCCACCTCAGGCCGACGCCTCGGCCGTGAGCGCCGCCTCGACCTGGGGCTTCGACCGGTAGCACTTTTTCGCGACGCGGTCCACGTAGATCGTGTTCCGCCCGGCGTCCCGGAAGACGCCCCAGCCGGCGACCCTTCTTGGCCATGGCCTCGCCGCCGGGCATCGTCTTGAGGTGCTTCTGGAGCTTCGGGATGTACTCGGCGGTCTCGGCCGGGTCGATCTTGTCGGCGTAGTTGCCGTACGCGCCACGGGCGTTGGGGTCGCTCGACGGGAGGCGGCGCGCGCTCGTCCGGCGCGCGGAAGTCGCAGCAGTGGTCGACCCTAAAGCCGGCGCGCCGGAACGCGGCCTCGAGGACCGAGGCGTTGCGCAGCGTCCGGTGCGCCCGCAGCGTCCCCTCGCGGTCCTCCCGTCGTAGATGCAGGACGGTCCTCGGGGCCCCGACGGCGTCGGTCGGGGGCGGGACGCCGAACGCCGCGAAGCCGACGTCGCGGAAATTCTCGGGCACGGTCTGCGACGCGGGCGTGGCGGCGACGACGGCGACCTCGCGGTAGGTCCGCGCGCTCGGGCGGGCGCGCCGGTAACACGCGAGAGACGCGTAGACGCCGTCCGCGAAGAGGGCCTCGAGGAACGGCCGCCAGCGCTCGGCGAGCGGCGCGAGGCGGCACGGGTCCTCTGGCGGCTCGCCGTCGTGTGCCACGAACGCGAGCGCCGCCCGGCGTTGCGCGGCCGCGCGCGCCGCCGCCGTCACGCAGCGGTTCAGGAGATGCCAGAGCCCGTTCGCGCCGCAGTCCCGCGTGGCCTTGATCAGCACCAACGTGACGGGCTCCGTGCCGTTGGTGCGCGGCGTCGGACCGGCGCACTCGTCGCCGGCGAGCGTCCGGCAGCCGCCGTCGAACGCCACGCGGACGTCCGCCGCCGCCTCGGCTCCCAGCGCGTCGACCGTCGCGGTCGTGTACGTGCGCGCGACGAGCGGCTTTTGTGGTGGGTTGCTCCTCTTGGCGCGAGCCGTCGCGGCGACGAGGACCCACAGCACATGCGGCCTGGCCATTTCGCTATCGCATGGCTCCGCTACTTATGTCAAACCACACACCAAAAAGAGGCTGCCCCATGACATCGTGCTATTCCCAAGGTACCTACGGTACCTTACCTACGGTACCCTACATATAAGTATAGTACCTCAAAGCTCGCTCTCTTTTTAGTCAACGCCAAGTAGTGCATCCACAGCCTTTCGAGCCGCGTCTCTGCTCTTTCCATAGAGATTTCGAGCAGCATGTGTGCAGAAACGAAAAAAAAACCGAGCAAGACCGCAAAACCCAGCTCCCCAGCTGGTCCCGCCAAAACTCATGACACCACCGGTGCCAAAAGCGACGCGCGCCAGTCGTCGCCCCGTTGCGTTACGGCGGACGTCACGGCACAAGCGCAAGCAGCACAAGCCGCACGAGCCGCACCGCGGCCCTCGGTCGCCGCGCGCCGCGTCGACGTCACGGACCTCATCCTCGCGCGCGCGCCGCGGCCGCGGACGATCTGCGCGGCGTGCGGCGCGCCGGAGGCGAAGGCGCACTGCGGCAACTGCCGGCTGGCCTACTGCGGCGCGCGGTGCCAGCGGCGGCACTGGAAGTCGGGCGGCCACCGCGACCGCTGCGACGACGTGAGACGGATCGGGCTCGACCAGTACGTCGCCAACGCCCAGGCGAACGCGGCGCGCGAGCGGGCCGTGGCGACGTACGTGGCCGAGGCCGCGACGGCGGCGTGCGGCTTCTGCGGCAAGGGCGGCCAGCTGCTCCGGGCGTGCGACGGCTGCGAGGCCGGCGCGGGCTTCTTCCACCTCGAGTGCCTCGCGGCCTACGCGGCGACGGTCGCGGCGCGCGACGGCGCGCGGAGCGAGCGGTTCCAGCCCTGGTTTGCGTGCCGCGCGTGCGGCGACGACTTCCGCGGCGTCGGCCGCCTCGCGGTCGCGCGCGAGGCGTGGCGCGTCTACAACGGCCTCCACCCGACGGACCTGCACCGCGTCTTCGCCATGAACAACCTGGGCGACGCGCTCGGCGCGATGGGGCTGCACCGCGAGTGCCTGCCCGTGCGCGAGGACGAGCTCGCGGTCGGGCGCGTCCACTTCCCGAACCACACGCCCCAGATCGAGGCGAACCTGGCGCGGTGCCACACGCAGCTGGGCAACTACGCCGAGGCGCTGAGGCTGCGGCGGCGCGTCGTCGCCGCGGTCCAGAAGCGGGAGGGGCCCCTCTCCCGCATGTCGCTCGAGGCCGCGCGGGGCCTCGCGAACGCCCTCGGCGACGCGGGCGAGACCGACGAGCAGCGCGCCGTCCTGAAGCAGCTCTGGCCGCGCCTGCGCCGGGCCCTCGGCGACGCGCACGCGACGACCCTGAGCTGCGGCGCGAAGCTCGCGCACGCGCTCGTCGAGCGGGGCCACGCCTGCTCGGACTCGGTCATCGCCGAGGCCGAGGACATCTTGTGGGAGTGCCTCGAGGCGGCGCGCGACGGCGGCGCCGACGACGTCACGGCGGTCGCGCTGGAGAAGTCGCTCGAGGAGACGCGGCGGCTCTACCTCGCCGAGGAGGCCGACGACGACGGCGGTAAATTCACCTAGAGCTTATTTCTATACGTATTGACCCGTCGAGGCTCGAGTCGTCGTGGCTCACGCGCGCGGCTCGGGGGGTCACGCTGGGGTACGTATTGTCCGGCCGCCGCGCGACGGCGGTCAGCGCGTCGTCGTCGTGGACCTCGCGCAGGTAGACGCGCACCTGCTGCGTGAGCCCGGTCAAATCGATGGTCCGGCCCCGGAAGTCGCGCAGGAGCCACGTGACGAACGCGCGGAACTTTGAGCGGCGCGCGAGGCAGGACTCGAGCTCGTTCTTCGAGACCTCGCCGTTGCCTGAGTCGTCCGCGTCCTTCAGGACCGCGCGCGCGGCCCACTCGGCGGGGCTGATTTTTCGCAGCGCCGCCTCGCGCTTCTCGGCGCGCTCCTTCCGGAGCCGCTTCCTTTCTAGTTCCGCCTCGCGCGCCTCGTCGACCGCCGCGTCCCGCCGCCGCGCGACCTCCTGGACCGCCTCCTCGCGCGCCAACCGCGCCGCCCGCATCAACGCCTGGAAGTCCGCGAACGCCGCCGTCAGCTCAGTAATACCAAGTGCCATCTCGACGGCCCTCCGCTTGAATTCGCGCGCGCGGTCCCGGAGGAGCCACTTCACGAAATCGCCGTAGGCCGCGTTCGACCGCGCCAGCTCGACCTCCTGGAGCGTGAGCTGGGCCTTCCCGGGCCCGCCGAGGTCGCAGGCCTTGACGAGGGCCCGCGCGTGCGCGGCGCCGGGCGTCTCGAGGAACTTCGTCTCCGTCGCGTCGCGCTCCGCCTCGATCCGCTTCCGCTCCACCTCCGCGGGGTCCTCGTCGTCCGTCGGCGGCGCCGCCATGAGCTCCTCGACGGTCGGGCACGCGGCGAACTCCAACTTTTGGAGCGCCGAGTTCGCGGCCTGCCGTTCGTAGATCTTCTCCTTGCTGCCGGACTGGGCGACGCGCTCGAGCATTGGTACGATGGGCAGCATCTTCGTCAACTGGTTCTCGTCCGCGTTCGAAGCCAGCGCGGCGACGAGCGCGCACGCGGCCTCGACGCTCGCCCCCGTGGCCGCCTCGAGCGCGCGCGACGCGGCCGCGAAGAGCTCCCCGAAATTATGGGACGCGCCGTCCGTCCTCACACACATCTCCAGGACTAGGCACCCGTGCCGCAGGATCCGCTCCTCGCCCGCGTCCGCCGCTCTGGTTATAGCGGCGCAGGCCCGCTTCGGCACGTGAGCCTTCGCCAAGGCATTCAAAACGTCGTCGTGGGGCGCGAGCGCGTGGCACGCCTCGAGCGCGGCCTCGACGACGGCGGGCGGGGCCTCGGCGTCCGCGAGCCGCAGGGCCAGGATGGGAACGGGTCCCGTGCCCGCGCGCTCGGCCGCCGCGACGAGGTCCCGGTACTTGGCGCTGCCGGACGTCCACGCCGCGAGCGCCCGGAAGGCCGCGGCGTCGCCCGCCTCGCGGCACTCCTTGAGCAGTCGGTAGAAGCCCGCGCGGCCGTCGTAGCGCTCGTCGACGGTGGAGGCGCCGCCCGGGAAGGCCGCCCAGCCCTCGCCCCCGAGGCGCGGCCAGTTGCTCGGCCAGCCCTCCGGCGCCGGCGCGGCCTCAGCGGCGACGGCGTCCCAGCGGTCCCGCGCGTGTTTCGAAAAGGCGGCCTCCTCGTCGGCGTCGTTCTCGACGTCCTGGCCCGGCTCCGGCGCCGTCGAGGGCCGCTCGGACGCCTTCGAGGCGGGCCTCGTGCCGTCCTTCGGCGTCGCCGCGCGCGCGACGGGCTTGAGTTGCCGCGTGAAGGCCACGGTCGCGGGGCGCGTCGTCGTCCGGGGCGCGCGGTACGTCTTTGGCGGCGGCGACCGCGCTTCGGCCTCGATCAACCGTGCTCGGTCCTCGGCGCGCGCGAGCGCCGCGAGCGCCGCGCTCCGCTTCACCCTCGAAAACTTCTGCGCGCCGAGCCGCAGCGACCGCTGCACGGACACGCCGGCGGTCGTGTGGGGGCGCGCGACGGCGCCGCCCGCGGCGGCCCAGTCCCCGAGATTGTCGCAGCGCGGGTCGTAGCGCCGGTCGAGGCGCTCCTTCACCGAGCGCGGGGGCCCGTCGACCGGCGGGCGCCGCCGCCGCTCCTTGTAGCGCCCGCCGGGCGGGCGGAAGGAGCCCCTCATGGAATCCGGGCAGCCTGCTCAAGAGGTACTAAGTACAAGAATTAGAGCTCCCTGCTCTCCCTTGCGCTGTGCTGTGCCGCTGCGGCTCTCCCGTGCGCCGCGATAGCTCCCTGCCTAGTGCTACGGCAATGGTCCATTGGCAACGTATCAGTAGACGACTCTTGCTAGTGTCTTACGGGCCGCTAGCTTCGAGAGACCACCCGCATCATCGAGGTAAAACAGGCTGCAGACCCCACATTTGTAAGCTCCCACGTGTGTAATGGTGACCAGGATACGCGCCGCGCTGCTGCTCGCGCTGGCGCGCGTCGGGGCGCTCGTCGCGCCGCCCTCCCTGCGGAGACGACCGGCCCCACGTCAGGCGACGGCGGTGCAGGACCTGAGCGGCGACGGCGGCGTGCTGAAGACGGCGACGACGGGCGACGGCGCGCCGGCGTTCGGGAACGACGGGGACGTCGCGTTACTGACGTACGAGGCGCGGACGGCGTCCGGCCAATTGCTGGACAGGGGCGTGCAGACGCAGTACACCGTCGGCGACCAGCAGTTCATCCCGGGCTGGGATCTTTGTATTCGGAGCCTCGCGGTCGGGGAGCGGGCGTCCTTCGCCGTTTCCAGTGATTACGCGTACGGTATCCAGGGCGTCCCGCCCGCGGTCCTCGCGAACGAGCCGCTGACCTTCGACGTGACCGCTCTGGAATATCGGGGCAACATCCAGACGTCGGCGAGCTTCGCGAGCGACGCGCCGCTGACGCCGCGGACGCCCGGCTCGATCAAGGCCGAGTTCGAACGACGGCAGGCGGAAAAAGCGGTCCGCGCGTCGAGCGACCGCGCGCTCCGCGACGAGCGCGACGCCGAGGCCTCGCCCCTAGATCAGGTGAAGAACGCGTTTGGGGACCTCGGCGACAAGTTCTTCGGCGACGAGGGCTTTTACTTCTTCGGCTTCTTCGAGTCGGCGACGGGCGAGGAGGCGCCCTGGTACCTGAAGCCCTACCTGACCTTCCCGGCCATCTTTTTGGGGGTGGCGCTGAGTTTCTACGGGCTGCTCCAGACGGACGTGATTGTATTGAGAGGCGACAACAGCCCCATCCCGGGGCAGCAGGGCTTCACGCTCTCCGACTAATATCATTACTGAGACGCGAGGAACGTCGTCGCCAGCAGTAGGACCGCGGCGCCGCCCGCGGCGAGCTTGTACGTCCCCGCGTCGCGCTCGAACGCCTCCATTTGAGAAGCGGCCGCGCGCGCGTCGCGCACGGCCTTCTCGAAGTCCGCCTCCCGCGCCCCGACCTTGTCCACGAGCGCCCCCACGCGGCCCTCGAGCGCCTCCAGGGCCTCGCGCTCGCTCTTCTCGACCTCGGCGACGGCCGCGTCCAGCGCCTTCCGCACCTCCGCGGCCTCGTCCCGCCGCTGCGCGTCGGCCGTCTCCTCGATCGTCTCGCGCGCCCGGGCGTACCCCTCGTCGACGATGTCCTCGAGCTTGAGGCTCGCGACGAACGCGTCGCGCTCGGCCGCGCTCACCTCGCGCGCGGGCGGCGGCGCGAAGAGCGACCCGAGGTCGCCATCATCATCATCATCGTCGCCGTCGCCGGCGTCGTCGTCCGCCCGCGGCGCCCGCGGCTGCGCCTCGAAGAGGCTCTTGAGCTCGGCGAGGTCCGGCTCCTCGGCGGCGCGCCGCGTTAAGGCGCGACGCGCGCGTGGCTGCTGGAACGCCGTCGCGCCGCACGCCAGCACCACCATCCCGGTTCGTCGCCGGCGCGGCATGATTGGCACTTGGTGTGCAGTGTCTGCAAGTTGTGATGCCGGGGCGCAGCGAGAGCTGCAGTTCGCGTGCACGCGCGCAACGGGTCCAGAGGCCTGTTAGAATGCAAGATAGAGGACTGAGCCGGGCTGGACGCAGTGCAACCGGAGAGCCCGAGAGCTAGCGTCCTGTAAGACACTAGCAAGCGTTCAGCCGGACCCGTCCGGACGGGTGGGCCCTGTGGGAGCGGGAGGGGTACGGGGGACCCCGCGACGTAACTAGCCTGAGCGTTCAGATCTCATGCACGGGCCCGTCCACTAGTCATAGCACCGTAAGAATACCCACTCAGATCACATGCAGAGCCTTAGAGCCCCCCCCCAACTCCAACCTAGGATCGCGACCCCCGGTGGAACAGGAAGGCGAGGTCCTCGAGCGTCAGCTTCGAGAAGCTCGCGGCCGAGCCGTCGACGGTGCCCTCGAAAACCAAGCGCTTCTTCTCCTGGAGGCGGAACATCTGCTGCTCGATGGTCGGCTCATTGGCGGACGTCGTGACGAAGCGCGTGGCGACGACCTTTTTCGACTGGCCGATGCGGTGCGCGCGCTGGATCGCCTGCATCTCGACGGCCGGGTTCCACCACGGCTCCAGCAGATACACGCGCGACGCCTCCTGCAAATTCAAACCCTCGCCGCCGGCCTTCAGCGAGAGTAGTATCGCCGCTATCGACGAATCACTTTTAAAACGCGCGAGGACGCTCTTGCGCTCCGCGAGCGGCATATCCCCGGTTAACTTGACGACGCGCTGCCCTCCTAATCTCAGGCGCCACTCCATGAGGTCCAGCATCGTCCGGTACTGACTGAAGATAATGGACTTGACCGCCGGGTCCGCCTTCCTATCACTATCAATCGCGTTAAAGCAGGCCTCGACCTTCGTCGACGTGCGCCACTTCCTCAAATCAATCTTTTGCAAGATCGAGGCCCTCCCTAACCTACTGCCCTTGCCCTCGCTATTCACGCGCGCCACGCGCTTGATCGGCTCGCGGCAGACGGGGCAGCTAAAGTCCCGCTTCTTCAGCTGGTCAACACACGAAGCACAGGCGCAGACGTGGCCGCAGTTAAATAGCATCGTGTCGCGCGGCGCGTCCAGACAGACGACGCAGACGTCGCGCGTCGCCGCGTCCACCCTATTCTCGTCCTGCGTTTGTTGTGGTAATGCCTCGAGATCCAACGCCTCCTCCTCCTCACTATCACTCTCGCGCGCGAGCGCCGGCAACGGATCGGACTTCTTCAGCCCCAGCGTCTTCAGGCCCTTGTCGATGGTCGCCTGCTTTTGCTTCTTGCGCGGCTTCGCCTTGGGCTTCTCGCCGTCGTCGACGTCCTCCTCGGCGACGCCGTGGACCCTCGATACTTGTAACGTAAGGGGCTGGAAGCACGTGGGGCACTCGGGCGCCTCGCCCCGCTGGTTCGCCTCGTCGACGATCTGGGCCGCGCAGTCGCGGTGGAACGTGTGCCGGCAGGCCGCGACCGCGCAGTCCGCCGCGTCCTGGATCTGCGCGTTGCAGCAGGCGCACAAATCATAAAAGCCCGGCGCCGCCGCGTCCATCGCATGCTCGGCGTCCTTGCCGTGGACGACCAGGTACGGGTGGTCGAGGCACTGCCGCATCCGCGCCAGTAGTTCGAAGATGTGCGCGTAGTTGTGCATCGCCGTGCCCTTCCGCACGAAGGCGTCGAAGCGCGACTTCGTCTTCTTGTAGAGGCAGTTGTAAAAGTCCTGCTCCGGCGGCGAGAGCGTGAGCTCCTCGACGCGGATCTCGAGCGGCGGCAGCTTCAGGTCCGCCGCGCGCTCGGCCTTGGTCCGTCGCAACATGACCACGTTCAATATATCGCCCCGTAGCGTCCGCAGCGCCCTCGCTCCGGCCCCGGCGTAGCCCGCCTGCTCGATCGGTTTCAGGATCTTGCGGTTGAAGCAGTTGTAGTGGGACATGGGCGGGTGGTCGCAGTGCTCGCAGCGCGCGCCCCGCGCGCCGAAGGCCCAGTGCAGCGTCTTGCAGTCGCAGCCCTTCCTACTACAGAAGTAGTACGCGTACGGGTCGACCTTGAGGAACCGCACGAGCGACTGGAGCTCCTTGACGCGGTTCTGGAGCGGCGTGCCCGTCAGGCCCCAGCGCCGCTCCGCCCGCAGCGCGAAGGCCGCCTTGGCCGTCGACGACGTGAAGCCCTTGATCCGATGGGCCTCGTCGAGGACGACGCGCTGCCACCTACCACAATGTAGCAAGGACCCGGCTAGATCCACGCCTTCCACGTCGTTGACCAAGTCGGGCGCGGCGAAGACGCGGCGGTCCTTTGCCTCTTCTTCCTCCTCCTCCGACGACGAGGACGACGACGAGTCGTCGGCGGCGGCCTTCTTGGACTTGCGCTTCTTCGTCTTGGCGGGCTTCTTCTTCACTGAAACGTCGAGCTCGGCGGCGCGCCGTGCGATGGCCTGCTCGACGAGCGCGTCGATGGCGCGGAGCCGCGCGGCCTCGTCGTCGACGGCGTCGACGTCGACGACCAGGGCCGCGGGCGGCGGCGCCCGCTTCACCTTCGTCACCTTCGTCCGCTTCGCCTTCATGGCGTCGTCGGAGTCCGAGGCGTCGTCGCCGTCGTCGTCGCTCGACGACACGTCCGACGCCGACGCGACGGGACGGAAGTCGGCGTCGTCGTCCGATCCCGCCGACTTGCGCTTCCGCGGCTTGCACTCGAGCGAGGCCGAGTCGTCGTCGGCCGGCGCCGCGGCGGCCGGCGCCGGCGCGCGCGCCCGCCGCGCGCGGCTCGCCGTCAGGTCGGTCCCGACGGCCGACGGCGCGCCGTCGCGCGCGCCCGGCGTGAGTGTGTCCGCGAGCGCCCGCTCCGCGCGCGACGGCCTGCGCGGCGGCGGCGGCGCGTCGTCGTCGTCGCTGCTGCCGCCGCCGCCGCGCTCGTGCAGGACCCGGGACCGGCGCGACGAGCGGCCCGCGGAGAGCTTCTCCACGTCGGCGAGGGCGACCTCCTCGCAGTGGCCCGTGCTCTCCCAGCGCACCAGCACCTCGTCGCCGGCGCCTGGCGCCCGCTCGACCGTCGCCACGTGCCCCGTGCGACCCACCAGGACGGTCTCGCCGAGTTCGAGCTGCGGCGCGGGGGGCGCCGCCTCCGCGGCCGGCGCCGGCGCCGGCGCCGGCGCGGCGGGCCTCCGCGCCCGCGGCTTCGCGGCCGGCTTCGCGGCCGGCTTCGAGCTCGGCTTCGAGCTCGGCTTCGACGGCTCCACGGCGTCCGGCGTGACGCGCCGCGCCGCCGCGGCCTCGGCGCTCGCGGCCAGGCCCCGGCAGAGCGGGCAGAACCAGGTGCCGCGCGGCACGCTCTCGAGCCCGGCGCAGCGGAGGTGGCACTCGTGCGTCGGGTCGCCGTCGCAGACGAGCACGCCCGCCTCGGCGGCGCCCGCGGCGTCGACCGTCGGCCGGCCGCAGACGACGCAGGCCTCGTCGATGTCGAGGACGGCGTCGGGCGGCGGCGGCGCCTCCTTGCGCCGCTTGCGCGCGGGCGGCGCCGCGGCGCGCCCGGCCGCGCGCGCGCGGTACGGCGCGCCGGCCTCGGCCACGCCCGGCGGCACGGGCCCGGCGCGGCCGCGCTGGAACTGCGGGATGATCTCGTCCGCGCGGCCCGCGGACGCCATGAGCTCCTGGTAGATGGCGCGCGGCGTCGGCACGCCGGCGCGGCGCGGCGGCGGCGCGAGCTGCGTGCCCTGCGTCGCGGGCGGCGGCGCCGCGGCCTCGTCGTCGGCGTCGGACGCCTGGGCCTCAAATTCCTTGAGCAGGGCCTCGTATGTCTTAACGTCGCGCGCGTGGCGCGCCTTGTCCGTCTCGGCGAGGGACACGTAGGGCCGCCGCGCGGCCGCGTCGAGGGCCTTCCACTGCTTCGTCTGCAAAGCGGCGATGTCCTTGTTCGGGGCGCCGTCGGGCAGTTCCGCCTTGGCCTCGTCGCGCGTCGCCGCCTTGTAGAAGCTGAGGGCGGTCTTGGCCGGCTTGGGCTTGGCGGGGCTGCGCTTCTTCTTCTTCTTCTTCGTCGAAGAAGCCGCGGCCCGGTCGCCGGCCGCTCGTTCGGTCTTCTGCTGGCCGGCCGTGCGCCGCGCGTACGGGCCGCACATGTATTTTAAATGTTGCCTCAACTTCCGCGGCAGCATGAGCTTCGCGCAGCAGGGGCACTTCACCTTGCAGCGCGCGTGCTCCCTTCTATATTCATACTCGAGCACGGGGTACGACGTCAGCACGACGTCGGCCTTCTGGAGCCTCTCGGGCGTGACGCGCTTGCGGTTCCCGTAGTACACTTCGACCGTCGGCGCCTCGAGGGGGCGCCCCTTCTCGTCCTTGGACGAGACCCAGAACTTCTCGATCTCGTCCTTCCACTGCCACAAGGCCGAGGAGGGCGCGACGACGAGCGTCGAGTCCGGTAATGCATACCCGTAGGCCTCTTCGTCCTGAGCTAACGTAATGGGCAGCGACGCCTTGGTTTTAGCTCTTTCACACGCGTCGTGCGCCATGAGCGAGACGCACTGGAGCGTCTTGCCCATGCCCATCTCGTCGGCGAGGATGCCTCCATTAGATTCGCGCTCGCGCCGCAGCATCCAGCCGAAGCCCTCCTCCTGGTAGGGTAACAGGGGGAGCGCGATGTTCGGCGGCGGCGCGACGCGCGGCAGCGCGCGCTGCGGCAGGAACGCCTCGTCCTCGGGGTCCAAGGTCTTGTCCGCCTCGCGGTCTTCTTTACTAAACTCGGCGACGACGGAAGCGCGCGACGCCCCGTCCAACGCGTCTAAACCATAAACGTGCCGCTCGACGTCGAACTTCGGCTTTAATGAGGGGTCCCGGAGCTGCGTGAGCATCGTGCACTCGACGTGCGTCCACGCGCTGATCGCGCCGCCGCAGCCCCGCGAGTCCTTGAGGGGGATGCCGATCCGCAGACTCCCCTTCGCGATGAGCTCGCCGCAGCCCCGCGTGCAGCAGGACTGGCCCGACCGCGCCGTCTCGACGATCGCGTAGTGCACCGGGTCCTCTTGGACGGCCCGCCGCCGCCAGCAGGGCTTCTCGCAGCTCCGGCAATAACCATAATAGTACTCGTTCGAAGCCATTATCGATGAAGCAGTTTCCTTGTCTTGACTCAGGGGCCTCGACCGCGGCGCAGCGGTAGCTTTGGGCGCTGCGGTTGGAGCACCGCTCGCGCGCGCTGTAGTCCGAGCTCTGGATGTCTCGCCTTGCACCAATGCGTGCCAGAAGGCGCGATTTGCGACCAGCACAGCCGAGATGCCTGACCTTGCTTGAGAGCGGGTTTTGAACGAACGAGCTCGTTTCCGGGGGACCGAGTGCCCGCGTGGATCTATAGACGACGAAGGAGTCCGAACTTCGTGCGGGTCCGCGCAGCCTCGCGCCCAGGGCCACAACCAAGCTCGCCACCGGGCTGCCCCATCCTGCAGGTGCACCATGGGCATCCTGCACAGCCGCGACGAAAGCACCAAAGAACCTACGAAGAAGGTGCGGCGGACCCACGACGCGGACAGTAGTGTCAAGCGGTCGGCGGCAGGGGCCCTCGAGGATAATTATGCGGTCGACCCGAAGGTCCTGGGCCGGGGCCACTACGGGGTCGTGCGGAAGTGCGTCAACCGCGCGACGGGCGAAAAGTGCGCCGTCAAGGCTATACCAAGGGCGAAGATCCACCGGCCCGAGGTGTTGGAACGGGAAATTTCAATTTTGAGGAACCTGAAGCACCCGAACATCGTCGAGATACGCGACGTCTTCCAGGACCCGCACCATGTTTTTATTGTTACCGAGCTCTGCGAGGGCGGGGAGCTGTTCGACGCGATCATTGCCAAAACGCAAACGAAGGAGGGCCACTACTCGGAGCGCGACGCCGCGAAGTTGATCAAGCAGATCCTGGACGCCTTGGCGTATTGCCACGCGCAGAAACCTTCTGTCGTGCATCGTGACCTCAAGCCCGAGAACTTCCTGTTCATTTCGCCGAAGCTGGAGCGACTCAAGGTCATCGACTTCGGGCTGGCGACGGAGGAGCATTGTAGTGTGCAGGGCATCTCGGACCCGCTGCGGACGCGCGTGGGCACGCCGTACTATATCGCTCCCGAAGTACTCAGGAAGGAGTACACGTCGCAATGTGATCTTTGGAGTGTCGGCGTGGTCTCGTACATCCTGCTGTGCGGCTACCCGCCGTTCGGGGGCGATTCGGACGCGGAAATATTTAGAGCGGTAAAACGGGGTCTGAACAAGCACAGCTTCCCGCGGGACGACTGGGGCGACGTGTCCAAAAACTGTTTAGATTTTATCAAGAAGCTCCTCGTGCACGACCCGTCCAAAAGGATGACCGCCGCCAAAGCTTTGAAACACCCCTGGCTGACGAAGGACGCGCCGACGAAGCCGCTCTGTACCCATGTGGATATGGCGAAGAGACTGGGCAAGTTCGTCGGCGCCACTAAATTAAGAAAGGTCGCCCTGAACGTCCTCGCGCACCATTTGACGGAGAAGGAGGCGGCGGAACTGTCACTGGTCTGGAAGGACCTCGCGAAGACGAAGAACGGCGCTTTGACGTTAAATGACATGAAAAAAACGTTAAGGACGCACCACGGCGGCACGGAGCTGGAATTGGATGAATTAGTCAGAAGCCTGGACGTGAACGGCGACCAGCTCATCGACTACTACGAGTTCAGCGCGGCGATGCTCGCGCGGAACCGGACGATCCGCGACGATCGGTTGGTCGAGGTTTTTAGGGCGATGGACCGCGACGGCACGGGCGACGTCAGTTTACAGAATCTCGAGGAGATCATGGGGTCGCGGGCGCACGCCGAGGAGGTCTTGGGTGAGCTCGCGGGCAACGGCGAGTTCCGGCGGTCGGGCAAGCTCACGCTCGCGGCGCTCCGGGAGCAGCTCGCGCGGGCGGGGCCGGGGCGCCTGCCGCCGTCCCTGTCGCTCGAGGACGCATAATTCGTTAACTCTAGGACTCGAGGACGGGTTTTGACTCAAAATTTTAACAAGCAATTTTTGCAGAGCATTTGCTCTGGGCCAAATACGTGGCGAGGACGCTGTTTGGAGCTTCCAACATTCATGCTGCAAAGAGTGCGCGGGCACTGGGGCAGCCATCGGTAAAACAGGATGGCTGTTCTCGATTCTAGCTGGAGCTTGTTTTGGACCGCTGCTGCTGCCCTGCACTGAGTAAGCTCACGCGTTCGCAGCATGCGCACACCACTGGTTGCGACGCTGTGCACCCTAGCCGCCGCGAAGAACGAGACCTACGCGGTGCTGGCCTACGGCCGCGGCGGCGGCGCGGCCCTGGGCGCGCTCGTCCTGGGCAGCGTCCTGAAGCGCGTCGACCCAGGCCGGAGCCGCACCGCGCTCGTCTACGGCGTGTCCGGCGACGCCCGGGCGGCCCTGCGGGCCGGCGGCTGGGCCGTCGCCGAGGCGGCGTCGTTCAAGACGCATCGGATCGACGGAGACGCGGCCAACGACCTGGGCAAGGCGACGGCGTGGCCGGGCCGCAAGTTGGATCTGTGGCGCCTGCCCTACGACAAGGTCTTATACCTCGACGCGGACACGATGCTCGTGGACCACGCCGGGACCCTCCCAAAATCGCTCGCGGGGCTCTGGGCGCTCCCGCTCAAGAAGGGTGAGATCGGCGCGCTGAGCAACGGCGCGGGCTGCTTCAACGGCGGCATGCTCCTCCTCCGGCCCGCCGCGTCCACCTTCGGCGCCTACGAGGCCGCGCTCGCCCAGAACGCTCTCAAGAAAACGTGCGAGGGCCACGACCAGCCCCTGCTGAACCACGTCTTCGACGGCGCGTGGACAGACCTGCACAAGAAGTGGCAGCTCATGAAGGTGACGCAGAGCTGCGACCGCCTCGAGCACGCCACGCCGGACGCGGTCCACTTCTTCGCGGCGAGCGCGCCCTGGCGCGGCGGCTGCCGCGCGTGCCTCGCCGAGAACAAGGCGTGCTCGCACCGCCACGGGCTCCGCGACGCCGCCTGCGCCCAGGCATCGCTCCTGGAGGCGCAGCGCCGGTGGTGGCGCGAGGTCGACGCGCTGCCCGCGGCCGCGCGGCGCTTCGTGGACGGCCTCCTCGAGGACCCGCCCACGCGCGCGGACGGTTCGCCGCGGCGGCTCTGCTAGTCTGTTGAGTCTAACTTATTTTGTGGAGTCGCTCTCGGGCGGACGCGGTCCCGCGCTTCCGGCAGTGGACGCGGCACCGGCGCTTCCGTCCCGCGCTTCTGTCGCACGCGCGCGTCCAGCCGTCAATGGTCAAATCCAAGCGCGCGCACTCCTCGAAAATGTCGCGGCCCCGCAGCAGGCACTCGTCAAGTTTGTAGGCGCAGCGGATCATGAGCGTGACGTTCGCGCTCAGGTCCGTCTCCGGCGCCGCGGCGCCGTGGTGCAGCGCCGACCGCCTCGACGTTACGGGCGGCAGCGTGACGTCGTCCCGGCCCGCCGCGCGCATCAGGCGCCGGAACTGGTCCGAGAGGTCGTCGAAGGCGAGGACGTGGGCGCACGTCCGCCGCCCGGCCGCGTCCCAGACGTACTCGTGCTGCGGCCAGAGGTGGCAGTCGCTCATCGCGGCGCCGCAGCGGTGCGTGAGCCGCTCCCTCATGACGAGGCACGCGCTCCGGTGGGCGCCCTCCATGCGCCACTGGCTCAGGACGCGGTCGACGGGGTCGCGCGCGACGCAGAACGTGTCGTGGTCGGCGTAGGGGCTTGGTTGTGGCAGGTACCGCGGCGGGACGTGCCAGAGCGAGCAGGCGCACGGGCCGCCGACCTTTATGCACTTGCCGCACGTCCGCCCGTCGACCACGGTCGTCCGCGGGCGCGCGTCGGGCAGCAGGCGCTGGATCGTCGTGCCCGCGTTCTTGGGGACGTGCAGGAACCGGAGCGGGCGGCTCACGTTCGCCCGGCCGGCGCGCAGGCGGCGCGCCTCCTCCGCGAGTGCGTCGGCCTTGTAGTAGCGCCGCGCCTCGGCGCAGCTCTCGAAGGCGTCGGTCCGGAGCGCGGCGCCGAGGAGGGCCGCCCACAGCGACCGCATCTCAGCACGCAGTCCATCGTTTTGCCTCCAGCACGCGGTGCATGCCACTTGTTTTGTGTGCACTGATTCGAACGGCTGCCTTAGGAAGTGCGGCGAGAGGTCTTGCGTTTCAAACTGGCTGCCCCCATTGCCAGAGTGCCCCACAGACTCCGTGAACCCGGCCGCGAGAAGCCATCCGTCGAAAGACCGCGGATCTATCCACGGGGAGAGGTCGAGGACCGGTGGGCGTTGCCGTAGCCCGCGGTCCGACCCGCTCGTTTTTCCCGTTCGTTTTTCCCGCTGCCCGCCGCGCGAAGCCAGCAAAAAGGCCGTGCGTTTCGCCAGAGGAGAGCCTGCCCCGTTTCGCGGGGCCGTGGTCCCAGCAAACGACGCGGAGCCGCGCCGCCCGCCGATGGCGTCCTTCGACGCCACGAGTTCCGCCGTGCCGGACTCGCTGCTGCTCGCGCGCCAGGCCGACCGCCTCGCGCGGCAGGCCACGAACACGGTCATGCAGGACACCATCAGTCGGCCGGCGCTCGGCGACAGCAGCAACACGCTGAGCGTCGAGGCGCTGGTCAAGCAGGGCGGCCGGGCCAAGGCGCCGCGCCGGATCTGCCACGGCTGCGTCGCGCTGCGCAACGAGGGCGAGGCCCTCAAGCGGGAGGTGCTGCGGCTGCGGGGCGGCATGAAGGCGATGCAGGCGCGGCTCGAGGCGCTCGAGACCGCAGCGGTGCGCGCCGCGACGGCCCGCGCGGCGCGGCGCGAACGGGCGCGGAGCGCGAAGCCCCCGGCGGGCCCGCCGCCGGCCGTCGTGGCCGCGAGCTCGCCGCCCAAGCCGCCCGCCGCGGCGCCCCGGCCGCCGGCGCCCGGGCCGCCGGCGCGGGACACGCCGCCGGCGCGCGCGCCGCCGCGCGCCGCGACGCCGCCGGCCACGCCGCCCCCGCCGCCGGACTCGCCGCCGCCGCCCGCGTGGCCTGCCGAAGCCGACGCGTGGCCGCCCGAACCGGCCGTGCGCGTCATCAGCGCGCCCGGGCCGGAGACGCCGACCGATCCGCCGCCGTGCTACTCGCCGCCGCGCCGCGGCCGCACCTACTCGCCACAACGGGCGCCGGCGCGCTGCTTGGGCGTGCTCGACGCGCTGCACGCCATCCTCGGCTGCGACCGCGCGGCCCTCGCCGACGAGGCCACGCAGGTCCCCTGCAAGCCGCTGGCCATAGCGCGGAGGCCGGCGCCGCCGCCGCCGCCGCCGCCGACCCGCGCGCACCGGCACCGCTTCTGCCTCACGCCGGAGCCCCCGGCCGGCCCGCCGCCGCCGCCGGACGCGTTCGCCCGTGTCGTCTACGAGGAGCCCGCGGAATTGCCCGACCGCGACGTCGTCGCAGTGTAATCTACAAGTAAGTCTAGCTACGGCGTATGGGGGTGTGCGATCACGCGGCCTAGCTCCAAGCAAGTCTACAGCTTCGGAACGTCCGCCGCGCGCGGCGCGTCTCGTAGCCATCAGACCCGTGCGCGACCAAATTATGCAGGCGTCTGACTCTCGATGCGAAGTGCGTGCTCGGCGATTTTTTGCGCCCCGGATTGGTGTCGCTGGGCGGGAAGGCCAAAAAATCTTTTGACAAGCATTTAGCTTTTTTGATTTTTTTTCCGTTGGATTTTTCAGGAGAGGTCTCGCTATGCATCTAGCGGAAGTTCGAAGGCGTTTGTACAGCTCCGTCAAAAAAGCCCGCGAAGCTCTCCAAGCCGCGCCACGAGCATCATCATCTGCGGCCGCATCACGTGGCCACTCACGGTGAAAAACACAGCGCGCAGACACTCGCCAGCCTCCACTCTTTGCAGCGCCGCCGAAATCCGCGGTCCCGCGCACGCCGGGCACGCGTTTCTCTCGCAGAGGCGGGAACAGTAATCGCGAGCCCACGAGCAGCAAACAAGCATGGACATGGACACGGACGCGCTGGGCGACCTCGCCGTCGGCGACGCGATGCGCATGCGCTTCCCCGGCCACGGCGTGTTCACGGGCAAGGTCGTCGGCTTCGAAGGAAACAAGGTCGACGTCCACTGGAACGAGGACAGCAGCTCGACGCTGCTGACGCCGGCGCAGGCGCTCAAGGCCCGCGTCGCGCACGCGCAGGCGGAGCCCAAGCGCTCTCCCAAAAAAAAGAAGGCCGACTTCGAGTTCGGGGCCGACGAGGAATCCGAGGACGAGGAGGACGAGGAAGAGGAAGAGGAAGAAGAGGCGCCGGCGCCGAAGCGGCGCCGCGCCAGGGAGGCCGCGGCGCCCGTGCGCCGGTCGACGCGCGAGCAGAAGAGCGTCGGCGTCTACGTCGACGGTTTTTTTGTGAAGAAGTCGAACCTGTACGACGCCGAGACGGGCGAGCGCAGCGTCTGGGACCAGGAGCTCGCCGGTGATCGGGACGCGGCGGCGGCCTTCGGCGCTTCCACGAAGCCGCCGCCGAAGCGGAAATCTTCCACAACAATCAAGACCAAGGACGCGCCCAAGAAGCCGCGCCACCAGGCCAAGGCCGAGCAGGCGCGCGACGCTCAAAGGGATGCGGCGAAGTCGCGGCTCCCGGCCGCGCGGGCCTGCCGCGCGCGGTTCCTGCTCGCGCACAAGGACGCGCTCGCGCCCTTCAAGCCTTCTCTAAACTGGTGCAAGGAGGCGGCGAAGAAGGCGCCGCAACGGGTGGTGATTGAGCCCTTCGAGCGGACGCCGTCTTATATAAAAGCGGACATGCGCGACTACCAGCGCGAGGGTCTGCGCTGGCTCGCGCAGCGCTACGAGGACGGCTGCGGCGCCATCCTCGGGGACGAGATGGGTCTGGGGAAGACGCTCCAAACATTAAGCTTCCTGAGCTGGCTGAAGCACGAGCGGCCGGCCGAGCACGGGCCGTCCCTCGTCATCTGCCCGCTATCCGTATTATCGAGTTGGCTCACGGAGGCGCGCAAGTTCGTGCCCGATTTGCGCATGGTCAAGCTCCACTCGGGCGACGTCCGAGAAAGGGACCGGCTGAAGCACCAATTGCGGGACACGTCGGCCTATGATGTGGTGGTGACGACGTACGAGATGGCCAAGGCGCCGGCCATGCAGTCGACGATCCAGCGGCCCTGGTGGCGCTTAGTGGTGTTAGATGAAGGTCATGTGATAAAGAACGAGGAGGCGGACATTAGTAAGGCGGTCCGGCGGTTACACGCCGAACGGGCTTTGCTGTTAACGGGCACGCCGCTCCAGAACGATCTACACGAGCTCTGGGCCCTGCTGAATTTCCTGTTTCCGGACGTCTTTCCGGACAGCACGGCCTTCGACGACGCGTTCGATCGGGGAAAGGGCGGCAAGCAGGGCGCGCTAGCCAAAGCGCACAATATGATGAACGTCCTCATGAAGCGCCGCGTCAAGTCCGAGGTCGAGACGACGCTGCCGCCGCGCCTCGAGACGAAGATTTTAGTGCCATTAGCCGAGTCGCAGCGCTGGTGGTACAAGCGGCTATTGCTGCGCCAGTCCGAACTGCTCGACCAGCTGAACGACCCGACGGGCGGGCCCCAGACGGGCGCCTGGAAGAAGTTGCAATCGTTACTCATGCAGCTGCGCAAGTGCTGCAACCACCCCTACTTATTTGAGGGGGCCGATCCCGACCCGGGCGTCACGGACGAGTCGCTCATCGAGGCGTCGGGCAAGGTCCACGTTTTGGATCGGTTGCTGACGAAGCTCAAAGATAGGGGCCACCGGGTCGTGCTGTTTTCGCAGTTCACCACCACCCTAGATTTGTTAGATGACGTACTGAGATACAGAGGCTACGAGTTTTCAAGATTAGACGGCGGCACGAACCGCGTCCAACGGACGGTAGACATCCAGTCCTTCAACGCGCCGAACTCGTCAGTCTTCCTCTTCCTCATGTCCACAAGGGCAGGAGGCTTAGGTGTGAACCTGCAGACGGCGGACACGTGCATACTGTTCGACTCGGACTGGAACCCGCAGGCCGACCTGCAGGCCATGGCGCGCGTCCACCGCATCGGCCAGACGAAGCCCGTGCACGTTTATCGACTCGTGACCGCCGGCACCGTCGAGGAGCGCATCGTCCAGCGCGCCGAGAAGAAGCTGTACTTAGATGCGATGGTCAACCGCGACTCGCAGCGGGCGGCGGAACCGGACGACCAGGTCTCCGCGGGCGACATGCTGAGCGCGCTGAAATTCGGTGCGGCTGCCATCGTCAACGGCGCCGCGGACAAGCAATTAACCGATCAGGATTTAGATCAGATCCTCGACCGTAGTAGAGACGGCAACGCGACATTAGGTGTGGTCAAGGGCAACCAGGCCTCGGACGCCGCGTCGTTCAAGAGCGACACGCAAGCTGTGAGCCTGCGCGAGTTCGAGGGCGCGACCTACGGCGCCAAGAGGGAGAAAAGAGCGACATTAGGCGACTTGAGCGCCGAATTCATCCAGCAGGAGAAGCGGAAACGGACGCAGCGCATGCGCCAGGAGCGCGTCGAGGGCGTCGGCTTAGTCAACGTCCTCACGAAGGAGTACGGCGACGGCCAAGAGCGGAAAAAGGACGCGAAGCAAGTCGACGAGCAGGCGGCGCGCTGGGAGGCCAAGGCCGCGAAGGCCGCGCTCGAGGCCGTCGGCGGGAGACAGATCGCCGGCCGCGACTATGATAATGAGGAGCACTGCCTCCACTGCTGGGACGGCGGCGATTTGATCTGCTGCGACCAGTGCCCGGCGTCGTGGCACGCGGGCTGCTTGCAGAAGATCGGCTTCGCGCTGCCGACGAAGAAGTTCGGCTCGTGGGGCTGCCCGCACCACTCCTGCGAGACCTGTGGACGAAAGGCGGCGCAGGCCGGTGGGTTGCTGTTTCGGTGCGCCGTGTGCCCGTCGGCGTTCTGCGAGGACCATCTGCCGTCGACGGCGACGATCCAGGGCAAGTGCGAAAGGTTCATGGCGCTCGGCCAGAACCACCCGAAGCAGGCGGCCTTCATCATCTGCGGCGCGGGCTGCAAGCAGTTCTGCAAGGACCGCGGGTTATCGTCGACCGGCCACGACGTCGCGGCGGCCATCTCCGGGGCTGCGGGGTTAGATACGACGACTCTGAGACAGGAAGCTCCTCCTAGAGAGAAGCTCCGCACGGACGAGCGGGACGACCGCACGCGCCTCGCGGAGACGAACCCCGACGCCTCGATGCGCCTGGACGCGGCGCTCGCGAAGAAGCGGTTCTCGGTCGCGCAGAGCTCGCCGCATTTCATCATGCGCTGCGGCACGTCGAAGACGGGCGTCGCCTCGGCCGTCGACGCGCTGCACTCCATCTTGTATGCGGACGACGAGGCCAAGGGCGGCCTGTCTCGGAGCACGGAAGCGTTGGCGAAGGAGATCGGCGAGTGGACGGGCGTCGGCGAAGGCCCGGACCTGAAGGATCGCGCCGCGGAGCTCTACCTGACGCTCAACAGACTCTTCGAGACGTGGCGCACGTATGAATTGGATGCGCTCACGTGGGCGCTGCAGTTCGTCCAGTTGGAGCGCGGCCGCAAGCCTAGAGCGCGCGAAGCTAGAATAGGTAACAAGCGCGTGCGCCACGAGTTGTTAGCTCAGTACCTGGTCGCGCCGCGCCAGGGCGCGCTCTGGCTCGTCCAGACGGAGGACGAAAGCGGCGGCGTGCGGGCCTCGGGCGTGACGACGTTCGACCTCGCGGACGAGAAGTTAGTCAAGAGGCACTACGTCGGCGTGCGGAACCTGGACCTGGCGGGCCGGGGCAACGTGGAGATCGCCATGGAGCAGCGCTACGCGGACGGCGCCGGCCGGCGCCTCTCCTTAACCATGGACAAGTGGGGCGGCGACCGCCCCTTTGATTTGACGGTGCCGCGCGTGTCCGACAACCCGCCGCCGCCGCCGCCGCCGCCGCCGCCGCCGCCGCCGCCCGCGGCCGTGCCGTTCTTTAACCTGGGGGCGGCGCCGGCGGACGCCGCGTCGGCGCCCTACCGGTCCAAGGGCAAGGCCCCGACCCACCCGTTTGGGCACTGGCCGACGGCACCGGCGCCCGTGCCCGGGGGCGGCCGCGCGCCCGTCGGCGAGAACGACCCCTGCGGCACGTGCGGCCGCACGCCGGCGCACACGACGTTCTCGCGCTTCGTGACGACGGGGGCCCGGCGCAAGACGTGCGACGCCTGCAAGGCCAAGAAGGACGCGCAGAAGGCCAAGAAGGCCGCGGCCCCGCGCCCGGCCGCCGTCGCCCCGCCGCGGGCGCAGCCCGAGCAGCCCGTCGAGGTCCGCTCGCTGCTGTCTTCTGCGCCCTGGCGCCGGTTCGCCTCCGCCGCCGCCGCGGCGACGCACTTCCCGGGCGTCACCGCGCGCGACATCGAGGCGCTCGTGGCCGGGACCCCGATGTACCACCTGACCATCGAGGCGCGCCGCGCGACGGCGTCGCCCACCTCCGTCGTCGACTTGACGTCGTCGCCGTCGGAGTCGCCGAGTTCCCAGGTCGTCACGGACCTCTCGTCGCCTTCGCCGCGGCCGGGCGGCCGCAAGTCGCCGGGCAAGCGCGCGGCTTCGCCCGGTGCCGGCACGCTCAAGGACCCGGGCCTGCGGGAGAAGATGCGCGCGCCGCGGTCAGCCTGAGCATCTTGTGCGCGCACGCGTGCCCTCAACACCCCGCCTGAAGAAGTACTGACGTACATAAGTATCTATGCCTGAAGTCTCGCATAAGCACAGCAGTAGCACCACGAACAGCACAGCGGCGAAGTCTCGTGCTACTAGAAGTATTGGTATTACTCACCGGCGATGAGCGCGTCGGCGAGCTCGATGCAGACGTCCTGTTTGCAGTTCGCGTGGGGCGTCTGCACCGGCACGTCGTCGACGGGGTCGGCCGCCGCCGCGCGCAGGCCCGACGCGTCGTCGAGCTTCCGCGCCGCGTCGTCGAGCTCCGAACTGAGCGACGAGCGGCACGCGAGCAGCACCAAATCGTCGGGCGCGTCGCCGGCCGTCGCGCAGACCGCCCGATCGGCGGCGAGCGCCGCGGAGCCGTCGACGCGCGCCCGCAGCGCCCGTGCACTCGAAGCGAGCCCGGCGAGCATCTGCGCGTCGGGCGGCGCGCCTTCGTCCAACGCGACCATGGCCGCCGCGAGGTCCTCCCGGAAGCGCACGTAGTCCAGGTAGAGGCCCGCGCCGGCGCGCCACGCCGCGCCCTTGCCGTCCGCGACGAACGCGGCCTCGCACGCCTCGAGCACGGGCCGCAGCGCCGCGGGCCGGCCCGCGACGAGCGCTTCCGGGCAGCGGCGTCTCAACGCCCTTTCGGCCTCGGCCCAGCGGCGCGCTCCAACTAAATGGGAGACGTGCGCGGCGCCGCCGCCGCCCGCCGCGCCGGCGCGCGTCGCGAGCGCCGACTCGAGCCACTCGTCGGGCGCTTGGAGGGCCGCGCCGCAGAAGGCCCTTCTTAACTCATAGGCCTCCTCGAGCCGCTTCCTTGCTTCCACCGCGCCGGGCCGCAGCTGCGCCCCCGGCGTCCCCGCCGCGTCGGGCGGCCACGCGTGGCGCTCGAGGACGTCGCGCGCCAGGCGCTCCCTTATTTCGGGATCATCATGCGTCGCGGCAATCACCAAAAGCGCCCAGTGCCAGAGCCCCCGCCCACACAGGTCCTCGACGAACGCCGCGCCGAGTCGCGTGAGCGACGCCTGGGCCACCTCCACGCCCAGCGCCCGCAGACACAGGGCGAGGTGCCACCGCCCGCCCGGCGCCTCGCCGCACCGCAAACCGTGCGCGAAGCTTGTTAACAGAGCGTCCGCGTCCTCGAAGTCGCTCGAGAACGCGAGCTTGAGCAGCGTGTAGTGCGCCGCCGGCACTCTACCTCCAACTTCATCAGCTAAAGGTGCTCGCGCCCGCCCGTCGCAGACGGCCTCGTCGAAGGCGCCCAGCGCGTCCTCGAAGTTATCGCCGCGGCCGTACCACGCGTGCAGGCCCAGCCGCGTGCGCCACCGGAGGCCCGCCGCCGAGTTCGGATTACTTAACTCAACATCGTCCTCGAGGTCGAAGGCGCCCGCGGCCACGCCGAGCACGCGCGCCTCGAGCGCCGCGTCCGCGCCGCCGGCCGCCGCCGCGACCGCGCGGGCCCGCGCGAACTCGACCTGCATCGCGGGATCGGAATCCGGCTCGTCGCGCGCCGCGAGGCAGAGCGCGGCGCGCGTGCGACCCGCCGCCGCGCACGCTTTAGCCGCGGCCGCGACGTCGTGCCGCGCGAGGTGCAGGAACGCCGCGCGGACGCCGTCTCCCGTGTTCCGGACCTCGGCGCGCGCGCGCGCGGCGAGCCACGACCCGACGGCGTCGTCTCTAGCTGCCCTCCTCAACTCGCGCGCCCAGGCCGACGCGACGGTCGGCCGCTCTACGTGCGTAGCCGTGGCGTCGTGCAACCACAGCGCGCCCACGAGCTCGAAGGCCTCGCGCAACCTTCCGGCGTGCGCTTTCCCATAGGCGTGGACGGCCTTGGCGACGGCGGCCCGCGCGGCCGAGGCCGCGTAGAGGTCGTCGTCGTACGCGGGGCACGCGGGCAGCGCCCTCAACGGTAATTCTTGCGGCGCGGCCTCGGCCTCGGGGAGCAAGTGCGCGAGCGCCGCGTTCAGGGCCGGCTCGGGGTCCGCGTCCGTCGTGCGGACGCGTTTGATCTCGACGAAGAACGCGCCGCGGCCGACGACGGGCCGCGCGAGGCGCCCGTCGCAGCCGAAGGCCGGCCGGAAGCTCCGCGCCAACCACATGCCGGCGTCGCCGAGCTGCGAGAAGGGCCTCTCGGGCAGGCCCCTCGCGCGCCGCGCCGCCGCGAGCAGCTGCAGCGTCTTCGACTGGCTCGCGGGCCGCGGGCCGGGCGCTTGCCTCGGTTGTTGGACTGGTGACGACGGCGGCAGCGGCGGCGTCACGACGAGCCGGTCCCGCGCCGGCTCGCCGGCGAGGGGCCGCGGCGGCGCGAGCGCGCGGCGCCACCGCCCGACGGCGTCGGCATCGAGATCGAGCTGGGCGGCCAGGCCGAGGCGGTCGCGCGCGCCCGGCGAAGCCTCCGCCCGGCCGCTCCCGTCGCTCCGCGAGAAGAGGCCGCCGGGCGAGAAGCTCCGGCGCGGCGTCCGGTCCGCCGCCGCGTGGGGCTGCTCGTCCTCGGAGTCGTCGGCCTCCGTCGGCGCCGCGTAGGGCGACCGCGCCGTCGTAAATTCCTCGTCGTCGTCGCTGGCGTCCAAGAGGCCCAGGCGCACCATTTTGGCGCGGTGGGGACGGCGCCAAAGTGTTGGCGACGCTTGCGCGTGGGCAAGTCGCTGTTCTCAAGAAGCCCTGAAACCGTGGCTCGTTAGCTAGCCCTGCGCAGCCGCGCCGCGCCAATTTGCCGAGCTAGCGGCTGTAAGACACTAGTTCTTCTAGTATCTTACCGCCGCTACTCGGCGTAGCGCTTTACGGTGGTAGCGCTGGTATTAGGCACCGATTTCGTGTTCTGGCAGCCACCACGCACCACCACCACCGCCTGCGCCCACCAGCACTACCGCGAGGCATGGTCTCCTTCCTGTGCTGCAAAGCAGCACCGGACGAGGACGCGCCGTCGACGCCCAAGAAGAAGAAGTCTGCGGTAGCACCCCGGCAGCCGTCGCCGGAGGAGCCCGAGGAGACGGTGGTAGAGACGAAGGAGGAGCCCGAGGACGAAGGCCCGCAGGACGGCGGCGGCCTCTCCTGCGGAGGTGGTCCCGACGAGCCGTGCCGGCGCCGGGCCTGGGCCGGCATCCTGCCGCACCAGCGCGCGCTGCTGTGCCCGCTGCACGCGCCCGCGCCGCCCCTCGAACAAATACCCGAGGAGGCGTTGGAAATTCTCAAGGACGGCATCGAGACGGACATGCCGCTGCGCTGCGCCCAGGCCCTGCAGTTCCACCTGAAGGACATCACGGCGTGCCCCTACGCCATCTGCGACATCCGGAGGTACGGGGACAAGGGCGAGGTCATCGGGACGGAGTGGCGGACATTAAGGGGCCGCTACAAGTGGTCCGTCGCCGCGGCGTCCTCTCGTATGCATTCATCGGCGGTGACGCACTTCATTCCTGTGGTTCCGAGGCGCCGCGAGGCGTACCTCATGAGAGAGAAAACGTAATAGACTCGTTGTCTGAGCCGACCGTTCACGCGAGAGACGCGTAGCGACACGGAAACCGCCCCTCATCGCTCATCAACGCAGGGGCCTGCGCGACGGCGAGGTCGGCGAGGACGCGGCCATGGTCACGACTTTGTTCGCGCACGCGACGCGACGGAACGCGGCCAAGTGCTGCGGATACCTTGCGATCCTCGAGGGCCATCAAGCAAACGCGGGCCCGGGCAGGGATATGAATGACGAGGGGTTCGCGCCGCCGCCGCCCTTCTGGCCCAAGGGCGGCGTCGGCGGCCACAAGTGGCGGCCCTACGACATGCGGCCGCACGAAGACCCTTTGGACGCGGCAACCCGGCCCCTCGTCGCGGCGCCGCCCGAGCCGCCGGACGAGAGCGAGGAGGTCACCGTGCCGTTCAACGACTGGCACGCGTTCCGCGACGAGGCCCGGCTGAAGGCGCTGAAGAATGAGAAGTACACGATCGACGGCAAGTTGATAAAATAGTTTTGTGGTTTTTACCTCGTCACCTCGAACCACCGCGTGTTGTCCGCCTCGTGGAGGACGCGGCACTCGGTGAAGAGGCCTCGGCCCAAGACCATCTCCCGCGCGACGCGCTCTGAGAAGCCGAGCGTCCCCAGGCCGCGCCCGCCCGGCTCGCTCAGCGCGCAGGCCATGCACAGGCACGTCGAGAAGGCGTACATCGTCGCCGCGCCCGGGTGCTGCTCGACGTTCTCGCGGACGCCGTCCCGCGCGGCCATGTCGCCGAGGAGCCAGACGCCGGAGGGCGCCAGCGCCGCGGCGGCCTCCTCGACGAGCTGCTCCGGCTTTGGCGCGTCGTGGAGCACGTCGTACGTCGTCACCAAATCGAAGGGCCCCGCGGCGCCCATAGGCGTCTCGCGCGCGTCCACGACGGAGGCGTTCGGCAGCTTCGCCGCCTGCGTGAACGATCGACGGGTCAGCCCCACGCCATCGACGCGTCTGCTCGATGGCCGAAGGCGATGGGCACGGTCGCGCACTGCGAGGCGCTTGCGCGCGACCGCGAGCGCCGTGTCCGACACCTCGAAGCCCACGACCTTGGCGAGCGGGAACCGCCGTGCCAGCGCGATGACGAGGTTGCCGCCGCCGCAGCCGAGGTCGGCGATCGCCCCGCCGCGCTCGAGGCGTCCGACGATCGAACCGAGCTTCCCTAAAACAACCGGCAGCAGCACGAGGCGAATGTGCTTCGCGTGCGCGTCGTCGATGGCCCGAGAAATGTCCTCGTCGTCGTAGGCGACGCCGCGGCCCGAGCGGAACGCCTCCGGCAGCGCCGTCCGCGCGCGCTGCACGAGCGCGGGGACCATGCGCACGAGCGAGATGTCGTACTCCTCGTGGTTCGGGTCCGCGAGGACGTCGGCGTAGGCCCGCTTCAGTCTGAAGCGCAGGCGAGAGTCGCCCGTGCCGGGCAGCAATTTCACAAAGCCCGCGGCCGCCTGCTGCGCCAGCCATTCGCGCGCCCAGCGCTCGTCGATGTTCGCATGAAACGCCAGGTCTTCGGGCGTCGCCGCGTAGGCCGTTTCGCACAGAAATTTGAGCGACGCGTAGAGGCCGAGCTTGTCTCCTACGTAGAGTTGGGCCGCGGTCACGGCGCCGCCGATGCTCCGCCATACGCGTGCCCGCGCCGCGCCGTGGTCGTCCTCGTCGTCCTCGTCCGGCTCGCGTCGCGCGCCGCGCTGGAAACTTAGGGTCGCGATGATGCCGAGCCCGACGCCTGCGGCCGCTGCTGCTGCGAGCTGCGCGCTTTGGCTGGGTGGCATGCTGTGTATGATGGTGGACTTGTAGCTCCCGCGGTTGCCCGAGGAGTCGTACCGCGCAGAGAGACCTATGAGACCTATGAAGCTGTGTGGCAGCTTGGGCAGAGCTCCACGCCGGCTAGCAAACCGATCGAAAATATGCAGAGTTGTTCGCAGCTTTTCTTGGCGAGTGATGCGGTGCTCGCACGGCTGTCTCGCAGACGACTGGTCGACTTTAGCTTGTGCTCTCCCTGTGTTTTGGCTGCTGCCAGCCTCTCCCGCAGCTGTCTGCTGTCGCGTGTGCAACGACGAGTAGCCAGCTCTACGACCTACCTGAAACGCGCTGGAGGACGGATGTCTTGGAATGTTAGCGTAGACATACTAGAGATGTGCGTGGAGCCTCAAACTGCGTGTGTGCACTGCTACCGAGGCGCAACGCACGAACTGGCATTGCAAACGAGGGGCATCCATGCCGAGGCAAGGCGTCGTCATGCTGCTGGCCGTGGCCCGGGCTCTGAGGCCGGTCGCCCGCAGTGTCAGGACCCCGGTGCGACCACGGAGCACCGTCGCCGAGGCGGAGTCGCGCTTCATTACGGGGCACCCGGACTGCAACGTGACGCCCTACATCGCCAATTTAGTAGGGCGGGACCTCCATAAAAAATCAGCGCACCCGCTGGGCATCATCAAGGATAGGATCGAGGCGTACTTCGCGGGCCTGGAGACGAGTTATGACGTGTTCGACGGTGAGGACCCCGTCGTGACGACGACGCAGTGCTTCGACGATTTGAACATCCCGCCGGAGCATCCCGGTAGGTCTAAATCCGATACGTACTACCTCACGGACACCGAACTCCTAAGGACGCACACGTCGGCGCACCAGTCCCAGCACCTGCGCCAGGGCCACGAGGCCTTCTTGTGCACGGGCGACGTGTACCGAAGGGACGAGATCGACGCGTCGCACTTCCCCGCGTTCCACCAGATGGAGGGCGTTAAATTATTTAGTGAGGAAGAGATGAACGGCCAGACGGACTTTTCGGACAAGGAGGCCTGGCTCGCGTCGCCGGAATGCGATATTGTTGCGAAGGACCTGAAGGCGACGCTCGAGGGCCTGATCAAGTACGTTTTTGACGATCCCGACTTACAAACAAGATGGCGCGACGACTACTTCCCCTTCACGGAGCCGTCCTTCGAGCTGGACGTCTTCTACCAGGACGAGTGGTTGGAAGTCTTAGGTTGTGGTGTGATTCACGCGGACGTGCTGGACCGGTGCGGCCTCGCGTCGAGAAGGGGCTGGGCCTTTGGTTTGGGGTTGGAGCGGCTGGCCATGGTCCTCTTCGCCATCCCGGACATCCGACTGTTCTGGACGGACGACGAGCGCTTCCACAAGCAGTTTAAGGCTGGCCAAGTATCGACGTTCAAGCCCTACTCGAAGTATCCCCCCGTCTTCAAGGACATTGCGTTCTGGTGCCCCGAGTCCTACGTCGAGAACGACTTCAACGAATTGGCGCGAAGCATCGGCGGCGAGCTCATCGAGCGCGTGGAAAACATCGACACGTTCACCAATCCAAAAACGGGCAAGACCTCGAACTGCTACCGCATCACGTACCGCTCCATGGACCGGTCGCTGACGGACGTCGAGATCAACGCGCTCCAGGATTCGTTGAGAGACGAGGCCGCTTCTGCTTTATCCGTCGAGCTGCGCTAGGCCACAGTAAGGTTAGTTATATCACAGCACGCGCTAGGACGGCGACGGCGAGCGCCGCCGTCGCGCGCGTCGCCCTTTTAATATGCTTCCAGACACCCACGTAGTCCTCGCCGTCGATGACCGAGAACGCGGCGGGCGGCGGCGCTACTCTCTTGGCGATCTTCTCGGGCAGGAGCTTGGCCGCGAGCGCGTTCGCGGCGACGCGCCCGACGAGCCCCACCGTGAACAGCCGCTGGCGCCAGACCGACTGGTCGTACTGGTACGGGAAGCCCCGCTGGACGAGGTGCGCGATCGCCTTCGCGGCCGGCGCCCGCGCCGCCTGGTACGCGGCGACGGCGTTCTGATCGTCGAGCACGTCGCCGAGCGTCTTCACGTCCTCCAGCGCCGCGTTGACGCCCTGCCCCAGATCCGGGGGAAAGGCGTGGATCGCGTCGCCGACCAAGAAGCAGCGCGCGGCGCCGACCGTGGCGGCCACCGTCTCGACGTACTGCGGACTGGGAAACGCGCCGGGCTCCGCGATGGCGAAAGCCTCGCAGGCCTCGTCCGACACCACGGCGTCGGGCAGCTGCGGGAATTCGGAGCGCAGGAACTCGCGCACCTCGGCGCCCGTCGCGCAGCCCCAGATCTCGTGGTTCGCCGGGCGGATGATGTTCGCCGTGCGCGGCAGCTCCGGGTCGCGCGACGGCAGGAGGCCCAACCTCAGCCGCCGCGTGTTGGGCTTGGTCGAGCGCGAGGGCACCGTGTAGGCGTCGCGCGACCGCGTCGTGAAACTCGAGCCGTCCGTTTTGTTCGTCACGTCGAAGGACGGCGGCACCTGGAGCATCTTGTACGTGAGACCGGCCGACGGCGATGCGAGCTCGCGCGGCTCGAAGCTCGACGCCGGCAGCTCTTTTGCCAGGAAGTCTCTCACTCGCGACCGCGCCCCGTCCGCGCCGACGACAAGTGGCGTCCGGAGCGTCGTGGCGCCGCACGCAATGTCGACGGCGCCGTCGTCGGCCGCGCGGAGCCCGTCGACGGACACGCCAAACCGCAAATCGGCGCCGTCGTGAGCGGCCCGCTCGGCCAGCGCGGCGAGCAGCGACGCGCGCGGGATCCAGACCGCCTGCGCCGCGCCCGGCCGCGCGAGCACCGGCTTCGTCGGGAAGATGCCCTTTTCGTCCGGGTAGATGCGCGTGAGGGAAAATCCTTCGTTGGACACGCCCCGCGCGCGGATGCCGTCCGTGGCCCCGACGGCGTCGGTCCAGCGCTGGCCGCGGCGGTCCACGAGGTAGAGGTACGCCTTCGCCACTTCGAACTCGTCCGGCGCCTCCCTCCGCTCGAGCGCGACGACCCTGTCGAAGCCACGGCGTTTGAGTTCGACGGCCGCGGCCAGGCCCGCGGGCCCGCAGCCGATCACGACGGCGTCGACCTCTTCGATCGTCGACTGCCCGAGGCCCGCGAGGTAGTCCCCCGAGGTGGCCCGCGGCGCCGTCCGCTCGCGGAGGCGCACGGGTGGTGCAATCAGGGCGTGAGCTGTGCAGACTACGACGAACGCGCGCATAGCATGCATTATGAAAGCAAGTGTCGTTTTGCTGCAACGAGTCGCAATTGCTAATGCGAGTGTCGTGCAGGCCAGCTTGGGCTGTGCTGTCAAGGTATTTTGCTGCAATGGATGCAAGTTGCTGTTGCTCGCGGCGTTGCACGACTGCTGAGCGGCTGGTGCCGAGGGCTAAACCGCTGCAGCTATTGCCGACGATGAAACTTACGTGTGGCTTGCAAAAGCCATCAAATTTCAGCGTATTGACACACTAGGATTAAGTTTGCCATGCGGACCGGCGCTGGGGCAGCCCGAGAAGACCGGTAACGAGTCAATCGCCCGGAAAGTCGAGACACCGAAGGCAGGAGCCTCAGACATGGCATCGGTGCGCACGCCGGCCACCGGGGGCAGCGCCGCCCGCGCCCCCCAGACGCCGGCCCTCGCCGCCGAGGTCGAGGCTTTGGATAGGGAATCCCTCGCGTCGCTCGCGGCGGCGCGGCGCGCCGTGGCGCGGCTGTCGACCGAGAACGGCCAGCTGCGCGAGGCGCTCGCCGCGGCGCAGCGCGACGCGGCCCGCGCGGCGCTGAGCGACGAGCGGCTGCGCGCCGCGCGGGCGCGCGACGAGGCGACGCTCGAGCGGTGGCGCCAGGAAATCGAGGGCGCGCGCGACCGCGACCGCCGCGACGCGACGGAGCGCGGCCGCGAGGCGACGCGGGTCCGGGCGGCCTTCCGCGCGCGGCTGGAGCGGGCCGAAGCGGAGCGCGACGCCATGAAGGCGGACCTCGACGAGGCGCGCGCGGCGGCCGCCGCGCGGGACTCGCTCGCGCGCCAGGAGGCGGCGCGCCGCGACCGCGCCTGGCGCCACGAGCGGGCGCGCCACGAGGCCGCGCTCGCCGCGGCGCGCGACGCGAACGCCGCGGCCGAGGGCAAGCGCGCCGACGCCGAGGCCGCCGCGTCGCGCCTCGCGGCGCAGCTCGGCGCGGCCGAGGCGAGGGCGCGCGACGCCGACGACCGCGTGGCGCGCGCCGCCAGCTCGATGGCCGCGCGGCCTCCGGTGCCGCCGATGCCGCCCGCGGCCCTCGCGGCCACGGCGCCGCCGCTCCGGTGCGGACGGGTGGTCGTCGGCGCGGACGGCGCGGCGCGCGTCGCGTGGACCTAGTGAATCTGTTTATGTAGTTACGCCGAGGGGGAAGGAGTCAGTGCACGACGTTGGTCGCGTCGCCGAGCGCCGCCGCCGCCGCCCTCGTGGGCTCCAGGTGCTTCGGCGCCGGTGCGGTCGGTTCTTCTTGCGGCGCGGCGAGGGGCGGCTCGACGGCGCGGCCCCGCACGAGCAGGTCGAGGGCGCAGTGGTACGCCACGTCCACCGTCGGCGGGTCGGCGTCGCCCACGACGAGCGCGTGCCGCTGGAGCGCCGCGTCGAGCTTCTGCCGGCGGTCCGCGCAGTCCGCGGCGGCCGGGTCCGCCGTCCGGACGGCGTGCGCCGCGTTCGTGAGCGCGTCCGCGCGGCAGCGCAGCAGCAGCGCGTCCCCGTCCGTCTCCGGCGGCGCCGGCGGCCAGGCGCCGGCGCGCGTGTCGCGCGCCTCGACGCCGAGCACCGCGTCCGCCGCGGCCAGGTCCGCGCCGCGCTTTGCCTGGAAGGCGGCCTTGGCCTCGCTCAGGCGCGCCGCGGCGGCGTCTCGCTCCGTTCCTTGCGCCGCGGCGACGCCCGCGATGGCGGCCTCGAGCGCCTGCTGGGCCCGCTGGGCCTCGACCCGCCGGTCCCGCGGGTCGAAGGCGCCGACCGCGTGCGCCGCCAGCACCGCGGTCATGGCGTCCGCGGCGTCGTTCAGGGCGAGGTGGTCCTTCCGGGCGGCGTTCAGCGCCTCGCAGACGCCCTGCGCGACGACCGAGGCCAGGCGGCCGAGGCGCTCCGTCAGCCCGGAGCTCGCGCGCAGGACCTTGGCCGTTTTCTTAAGGAGCGTCAGCCGGCCGCCCTCACTGAGCACCTTGGCCGCCGCCTGCGCCGCCGTGTCGAGGCGCTGCTCGTCAGCGGCCGCGCCCGCGTCCGCCGCGCCGCGCGCGTCCTTAGATTCCGTCGCCGCGACGGCCGCGACCGTGCGACACTCGGCCAGGTCCGCGTCCGCCGATGCCGCGTCGCACGCCGCCAGGGCCGCCGCCGCCTCGAGGTACGCGGGCCGGTCGCGCCGCGCCAGCGCGTCGTGGCAGCGCGCGTCGATCACCGCGCGCGCGTCGGCCGCCTCGCGCTGCAGGGCGGCGCGCCGCGCCGCCCGCGCCGCCCGCACGGCCCGCGCGTCGCGGCGCTTCTCTTCCTCGTCGAGCGCCCACTTGTCGAGGCTCTCGGGGGCCTCGGCGGGCGCGCGGTCGACGAGGCCCTCGAGCACGGACGCGTCCTTCAGGCACGCGGCGGCCCGGTCGTTGGCTCGCACGGCGATCGCCTCGACGGCCGCGCGCGCCGCGCGCGCGAAGCGCCGCGGGGCCTCGCCGAGCGACGCGTCCTCTTCCTTCGCGAGTGCGGCCAGCGTCCCGCAGCACGCCTCCACACTTAATTCCACGGCCCGGGCCGCGGCCCGCGCGGCGTCCGCCCGCGCCAGCGCCTCGGCCGCCAGCCCTCGACCCGTTTCGGGTTCGCCGTTCGTGCGCGTGGCGGCCGCCTCCGTCGCGGCGGCCTCCAACTCGCGCCGCGCGTGCAACGCCGCCTCGCGCGCGCGGTAGACACCGTCCAGGGCCGCCGCCGCGTCGACGCAGTACGTCGTCGCCGCCGCGGCCAGGCTCGCGTCAAGCCACGGCGGCAGCGCCGCCTTGGCCGCGTCGGCGCTTAGAGCTGAGAGGCTCGCAGCAACACTAGCGCCGAGCGCCGTCTGGCTCGTCTGCGGCACCGCCCACGCGTCGTTGGCGGTGCCGACCAGGTCCTCGGCCGGGTACGGGAGCGCCGCGCACCAGGCGGCGACGAGGGCATCGCTTTCGTTCGTGGCCATTGTAGCTTCGGCGCGGTTTCTTGTGGTTGTTATTGACCAGGTAACGATGCTTGCGGCAAAAAACTGTGTGGAGGGCGGTTTCTCGCGGGCTCCGCTTCGTGGCGCGTAGCGGGACTACTGCCTGCGCTCTGACGAGAATCTTGAGCTCGACGGTGGACGCAGGCCACCGTAGGACGCAAAAAACCAAGCCAAAACGGCGTGATGCTAGCGGTGTAAGACACTAGCATGCCGCAGACTAGATCTTTTTTCTCGTACGATCGAGTAGCCAAGCCCTTGAAACGATCGGACCCATCGGAATGTACATCGACCGCCGGCGCTCACTCTCAGGTCATTTTGGCGCTGGCTCTCGCGGCTGATACAAACGAACGAAGCAACGAGAGTAGCTCAAGCGCACAGAATTGACGCATCAGAGAACCCCAGACGCCATCACCGGCTGCCCAAACTCGAACGCCATCTCTGGACCGCCGGGTCAATCCAGAAAGCACAAAATGCCCATGCAACAACCGCCGACACTCGTGCGCAACGCGCTGCCGCCGATTCGCTTGCCAACGCGCACGCTGAAGCCACCGATACCACCAATTACACCGCCTCCACGCCGCCGATGCAAGCCCAGGCCTCCGACCTCGCCGCCACCGCGCCGCGGCTGCAAGCCCCGGCCGATTGCATCCCCGATCACGCCGCCGGCACGCCGGGTCAAGCGCACGAAAACGACTCCGGAGGCCAAAGCCGCCCTCAAACTGGTCGACGCCGCGGCGCGCGGCGGCGAGGTCGACCTGCTCGCGCTCTCGTCGAAGTTCTGGACCGACGCAACTGAGACACGGACGCCGAGGTTCCTCGAGGCGCTCCGGCGAACGGACCCGGCGCGATGGCGGCTAGTGAAACAACATATGAAGCAGTTCACGGCCATCCGGGGGCTCCTGCTCGCGGAGGTGGCCGAACGGGCGACGAGGACGCACGCGACCTGGCGGCCGCGGTCCGGGTCCTACCACTTCGCCCCGGCGCCCGCCCAGTAGTTGCGAGTTAATGATGAATTATGTGCAACGATGCAAAAGCTAGTGGCGGCAGTGGACGACGCCCTCCGCGTCGAAGGGCCGGAAGCGGTAGACCCAGCGCCACGGGGCGGGCAGCGGCTCCCGCAGCAGCGGGTCCGAGCCCGCCGCGAGGGACCCGTCCCGTTTTATGGCGAAGGTCCGCCGCGCGCCGGCCCGCCCGTACGTCACGGCCGCGTCGAGCCCGGCCGCCGCCGCGGCGCTCACGCGCCGCCGGAGCTCGACGAAGGGCACGGCGAAGGTGTCGGCGGCGCGGCCCGCCGGCGCCGGCCAGTCCGGCAGGGGCCACGCACCTAGTGGAGGCGAGATGAGGAAGCGCCGCGACGCGTTCGCGGCGTCCACGGCGGCCGCCACGCGCGGGTCCATGTACCGGCCGAGGTCGACCTCGAGGTCGCGGATTGCGGGAGACGCCTTATACACGATAACGGTGTCGGCCATGGCGCCGCCGCCGAGGTCGATCCGCCTCAAGACACTACTGGAAAGGAACCAGTGGTTCGACCGGCCACCCTCGATGCGCAGGTTCGAGAACATGATGAAGGACGGGTGCGTCCGCAGGCCGACGTAGGGCAGCGCGCTCGCGAGCAATAGAAGCATCGCGGCCAGCGACGTCCGATGCACACGCGCCGGCCGCCGCGGCGGCGCCGCGACGGCGTCGCGCGCGACCAGGACGAACGCCAGCGCGCACCAGGACAGGCCGAGGTCCCAGGACACGTAGGGCGGGTACTCGACGCGCGCGGCGGCCGCGCCGACCGCTACTTTGTGGGCCTCGGCGAGCGCGACCGACCCGAGGGCCAGCCCAAGCGAGGCCTTCGCACCGTCCAGGTCGCTGCCGTCGCTGAGCCCGAGCGCGAAGAGCGGCGCCATGAGCGCCGAGAAGGGGTAGACCGACAGCGGCGGCCGCGGCGCCGCGAGCAGCACGTGGAACGCGCCGCCGGCGACGGCGAGCGCGATGGTCCAGCGCCGGGAACCGAGGCGGCCCGCCGAGCGCAGCGCGAAGGCGACCGCGAGCGCGACCTCGGCGACGATGCCGACGTACGGCTGCGCCGCGAAGACCGCCCGCGGCGGCGGCGGCAGCCCGAGCTCGTGGACGCCCGCCGCCGCGATGAGCGCCACGCAGCTGCCCCGGCCGTCGACCCAGCCGTCGTTGAGCTTCGCCAGGGCGGTCATGCCGTACAGCGCGCCCAGGAGCTGGCGGCCGTAGGCGCGCAGCGCGGCGCCGTCCCTCGCCTCGAGCACGGCCACGGCGAGGAGCGCCTGCAGCAGCACGTGGTTGCTCGACGAGCCGCGCCTCACTAAGTAATAGAGGCCGGCGGCCGCGACGGCTTTCCGCGCCTCGTGCTTGTGCCGTCGTCGTACCAACGCGGCACCAGCAAAAGCGACGGCCGCGGCCAAGGCCAAAACGCAGGGCGTGAGCAACGCGCCGCGGGCGCGCTCCTTGAGCAGCTGCAGGCACCAGACCTGCACGTAGAGGCCCAGGAAGAGGTCCAGGGATGCGTCCTTCGGCATGGTTGCAGGAGCGCTGCAGTGCTGCTGCGGATGCGTCGTCAAATTATTGCTATTGCATCACCACGCGTACCTTGATGTTGAATGCAGCGTCGTCTCCGATCGCGATTAGCTAGCGGTCTGTAAGACACTAGCAAATTACATGATTACAACTTTAGACAACGAGCAAAGGATTTGGGGGATCACCGCGGAGTTCCTCTCCACTTCGATCCGCGCATCGGTCACACGTGGGTAAGCTGGCCGCTCGACTTCGATCCGCGCATCGGCGATACACGCATCGCCGCGCCGTCGGACGAGGCCCGCTCTGCGGCCGTGGGCCGCGGCGGCGACAGGCGCGTGAGGTCACTGTGCGAGAAGCTCCGGCGCCGGATGTGGGCCGAGTCGTCGAGGAGCGTGCCGCCGTCAGGCGCGAGCTCGACGTCGTGCAGGTGGTGCGGCGCCGCCGGCCGCGTGTATTGCGGCGTGCCGAACACGAGCGCCTCCTCGGCCTCGTGATCGTCATCATCGGGTAACGCGAAGGGATGGTGCGCGCCGCGGTGGACAAAACCGTCCAATTCGTGGTGCGCGTCGGCGTGGAGCGCCGCCGACTGCGTCTCGGTCTGGAACGCCCGCGTGGCCGCGTCGGGATCGAGCACGTGGCGCGCGGCCGCGACGAGCATTTGCAGACTCGACTGGCTGCGTTGCAAGGTCGGAGGCGGCGGCGGCGACGCCTCGACCAACAAGCTCAGCCGCGACTCGCTGTGGCCCGTCCGTCTGAGACGCCCGTCGGCGTTCGTCGCGAGGAACCGGCACCGGTCCGCCGCGTCCGCGATCGGCTCGAGGCGCCCCGCGCCGTCGACGACGTGGCAGCCCGGCAGCCATCGCCGGAGCTGTACTTCGTTCTGGTCGTCGTCGCCGAGGGCGTGGCGGATCGTCGCCACGATGACCTCCGTCCGACGCTCGAGCTCCGCCTCATCTTCCCGAGGCAGGTCGACGGCCGTCGGCAGCAGCAGGGTTCCGTCGCGCACGTAGAGCTCCTGCACGCAGTGTGCCAGGCCAAAGTGGTCGTTCGGGTGCCACTGTCGTCGCCATGCAGGCGGCGACGGCGAAGGCCTCGACGAGCGTCGCGCCCCAGAAATACGCGGCGGTCAGCGCGAGCGCCAGGGGCAGCGCCGAGCCCAGGAGACCCACGGCGAGGCCGCGCGCGCCGATGATCTCGAGCATCTCGACGTCGACGTGAAGCCCCGCCTCCACGACTAGGAGCACGAGACCCACCTCACCCACAAGCATCAGCACCCCGGGATTCGGTACAAAGTCCAGGACCGGCGGGCCCAGCAGCACGCCCACCAGTATCTCGCCCACGAGCGACGGCGCGCCGATACGATACGCGCGAGCCGCGCTCCGCGCCCGCGAAGAAGCGAGCTCCCTACACGAGGCCGTGACGACGCTCGAGAAATCGTCGCGAACCACGCGGCGCGCGCTCGGCGGCGCGCACCCGATCACAATGAATATTGAAGCTAATTTGCGAGCAGCGCGAGCCGCGCTCCGCGCCCGCGAGACGCCGTCGGGGAGTGCGTAAAGGTAAGTAAGATAGATCAGCAACAACTTACAAAACAAACGCTAAAACGCGAGGTCCCGCCGGACGCACTCGCGCGGGAGCTGGTTCTTCAGGCGGCCGCCCTTCAACACCTTGGCGAGCCCGAGAACGCGCCCGCCGTGCGCCACGAGGCACTGGTCCCCGGGCTCCCCGGACGGCGGGGCCGCGTCGACGTCGTCGCCCCGCAGGTACGCCAGCGCCGACGCGTCGTCGAGCGACGCCCGCCGCGCGCCGTCGACGGCGCCGCCGAGCGTCGTCGCGAACTCGTGCGTCGCGCGCACACGGCCCGACCGGAGCGCCTGCCCGAGGGGCACGGCCTTGCCGCGGACCTTGAGGGCCTCGACGAGCTTCGCGCCCGCGCGCTCGTACCGGAGGTTTTTTGCGAGGGGCGGCGCGGCCGGCGCGAGCCAGAGGTTCGCGCCGCGGCCCACGAGTCGTGATGACGCCGGTCCCACGAGGGACGTCACGCCCCAGGCGTCCCGCAGGTAGTCCCGCGCCGCGTCGGCGACGTCCTCGTCCGCGTCGGTCGCGACGGCCGCGCCGCCGCCGTCGCCGGCCTTGCGCAGCTTCGCCGCGAAAAAGCCGGCGCTGTCGTGCGTCTGCGGCCAGAGGCGCAGCGTCGCGTCGCCGCCCGCGGCGAGGCCCGAGAGGTCCTCGAGCTCGGCGTCGCCGAATTCTTTCAGGACCTGATCTACGATGTCTTCGTCCTCGCGCGGCCGCAGCGAGCAGGTCGCGTAGACGAGCGCGCCGCCCGGCCGCAAGCAGGGCCAGGCGGCCCGCACTATTTCAAGCTGCGTCGCGACCTGTGTGGAAATCAAATTTCGGGCGCCCCACGCCTTCGACGCGATGTTGTCTCCGTAGCTGCGTCTGCTCGATGGCGTGGAGTTTCCAGGCCATCGACGCGACGTTGTCGCCGTGATCGCGTCGGCTCGATGGCGTGGAGGCTCACGAAGGTCCACGCAACATTTCTCAGGATAACCTAACTCACTGGTTGATTTCCACACAGGTCGCGACGATCTCCTTCATCGAGGCGGCGTCGGGTTGGCCCCGCAGGTGCTTCGCGAGGCCCCGCCCTTCCCGCCGCGCGAGCGTGTCGCCCGAGCACGGCGCGTCGAGCAGTATGAAATCGGCGCATTCCCGAGGCAGCGCCGCGAAGAGTTTCTGGCCGGTCGTCCGCGTGCACCGCAGCCACGGGCCCACCTGTGTAGAAATCAAATTTACGGCGCGTTCGTCCTGAATCGCCGCGTCGACCTCCACCCGACACACTGGTTGATTCCACACAGGGGCCCACGCCACACCGGACCGCATTCGCGACGAGGGCCCCCAACCGGCTCGACGACGGCTCGTTCGCCACGACGACCGCGTCCGCGCCCGCGTCGCGCAGCGCCGTCGCCAGTTGAACGGTTTTGCCGCCGGGCGCCGCGCAGGCGTCGACGGCGACGACGCGCCTCCGCAAGTCTTCGCCCCGCAGCAGCGCCGCGACGGCGACCATCGCGGCGGCCTCCTGCACATAATAGTCGCCCGCGACGTGCGCCACGCGCTTGCTCGGTTCTTCATTTAACCAGTAGCCGCGGCCGGGCGCCCAGGGGATCTCCTCGCACTCCGTGGAGGCGCGCAGCGCCGCGGCGGCCGCGGCGTCGACGCAGCGCACCGCCGGCCGCGGCGGCCGCTCCGTCGCGGCGACGAACTCCCGCCACCAGTCGTCGGCCGCGTCCGGGGCGATCTCCGCTCTATATGCGTCCAGCAGCGCCGCGTCGTCAGTCGATGCGTGCCTTTTTAGATGCGTGCGGCGTGGGACGGGCGGCTGCAGGCTGGCACTGAGCGCCAGCAGTGCTGCTGCGGTGCAGCGGGCAGGCATGTCCTCAGTTGTCACATAGAGGTCACTCAGAGGTTGCGACGCGTATCGCCGGCGATGGGAAGTGTTATGCTATTTTCCACAGTTATTATGATGCAAGCCTGAGCGCGCTTTTGCAAGAGTGCCGCTTGCACTGAGAATGCTAGTGTCTTCCTGACCGCTAGCTCGGCCTGCAAAAACACGAGAGAGATCGTATCGGTCGGTTTCGCGCTTGTTTCGACACCTCTACGCCGCCGTCGACGCGGCCCAGGGAAAATTCCTGCACGCCATCGACGCAGCTGCAAGAGAGCAAAGCAACCATGCCCACAGCCCTCCCCGGCGTCCTCGCGCGGTCTACGATCGTCCTCTTCGGCGACTCACTCACGCAGCGCGGCTTCGAGCCCGAGGGCTGGGCCGCGGCGCTGGCGCACTACTACGGGCGGCGCGCGGACGTGTATAATAGGGGCTACGGCGGCTACAACACGCGCTGGGCGCGAGAGCTGGCCCCCGCGCTCTTCGCGCGGCCGCCCCAGGGCCAGGCCCACCTGCTCGCGACGGTGTGGTTCGGCGCGAACGACGCCTGCATAAGCACGGAGCGCGCGCACGTGCCGCTGCTCGAGTTCGAGGCGAACCTTGAAACGATAGTACAACAAGCGCGCCAGGTCGCGCGCGTCGTCGTGGTCATGACGCCGCCGCCGGTGCACGGGCCCTCGCGGCTGGCCTACCAGAAGCGGAAGTACGGCGCGAGGGCGACGGGCGTCGAGGAGCGGTCCACGGAGGTGGCCGGGCGCTACGGCGACGTGGCGGCGCGCGTCGCGGGCCGGCACGGCTGCGCACTGCTGGATGTGCACCAGCTCATGCTGCGGGAGGCGGACTGGCCGCGGTACGTCGGCGCCGGGACGGAGGACGGCGACGGCCTCCACCTGTCGGGCGCGGGCCAGCGCTTCGTCGCGGAGAAGCTGCTGGCGCTGCTGCCGACGCTCGGGCTCGACCGGGACGCGCTGGCCTACGACGCGCCGTGGGGCTTCGAGGTCGACGCGAACGAACCGGCCGCGTCGTTGCGCGCGCACTTCGCGCGCCACCGCGGCGCGCTCCAGGCCAACAGCGGCGTACTGGGGGTGGATCGGGGGGAGTCGCGGCCGCTGCCCGGGGCCGGGGAGCCGTACTCCTACGGCGGCGTGCCCGCGGGCGCGTTTTTGCTGGGCGTCGCGTGCGGCGTGGTTCTCCTCGCGCTGACGCGGCGGCCGCGGCGCGTGCGGTTCCGGAACTAAGTACTACTTGTGTGTGTGCACCGGAACTTGCACCGGAGCGACGGCGTATGAGGGCCAAGCAAGCCTAGCTCTAAGCACCGGCCTGCTGCCTCAGCCTGCCTGCACCGCGGCCCGGGCGGACTTCCGGGCGGCTTGGTGGCTAGGCGGCCTAGCTCTAAGCAAAGCAAGTAACGTGACACAAGGTTAATCAAAGGTGGAACTTGCGCCGCGACACGTCCATCTGCTTGCGCCGGTGGAGCCACTCGTAGGCGCCGAACTTCGTGTCGAAGGTGCCGTCCTGGAGCCACCTTAATCGTAACGTGAAGCGCGGCCCGAGCTCCTGGAGCCGCGCGATGACTTTTCTTTTCCTTTTGTCGACGGGCCGCTCCTCGAAGATGTACCGGTGGTGCCTGACGAAAATGTAGTCGCGCTGGTTGTGGAAGGTCACGCACTGCCTGCCTTGGAACGCCGGCTTGCTGTAGAACAGGGACGACAGCATGCGGCCGACGCGCCGCCCCAACCGCGTCGTGAAGTTGTTCAGCAGGATCTCGGGCTGGTGCTCCGTCCGCCGCCCCGCGCCCGGGACGCTGTCCGAGACCTGCACGTTGCTCACCTTGAAGAAGGCCGTCGGGCCGTGGGGCAGCTTCGAGAGTATGAGACCGTTGCACTTCTTCGCGCGCTCCGACAAGACGATGACGTGAGAAAAGTTCTGCTCCGACCCCTTCCTACAAATGTCCTGCACGCTGAAGTGCCGCCGCGGGTAGAAGAACGCGTTCGGCACGACGCTTATTAAATCGGCCACGAACCGAAACAATTCCTTCGACGGCCGCGGTCTGGTGGTGACGAGGACTTTCGGCGGCACGAAGTCCGGGTGCGGCTCGCCACTAAACCCCTCGCGGTACTCGTGCGCCGCGAACTCGTCGTCGGCCTCGTCCCGCAAGATTTCGGCGTCCCCCTCCAACACGCGCGTCGGCTCCTCCTCGCGCGTGTTCTCCAGCGTGCGCGGCTGCAGCGCGGGCTCGAGGCCCTCGCCCAGCTCGCCGCCGTCCCTTAATAAATCGTGCTGGCGGCTCCGCTTCTTCCGTCTTTGTTCCTTCCGCTTGTCCTTCTCCTCGCGCTTCTGCGTCTTCTCGCGCGCCCAGATCTTGGCGCGCTGCTGCTTGTTGCCTATTGTCGGTCGCGTGCGGCCCATGGTTGCTGCAGTTATTGTATTGCTACTGCTCGCTTGCGCGTCGACGGCGTCGAGCGCTGCTGCAGTGTTGCTGTGCGCTATCACTGGCAACGTGCAAGCACCGATGCGGCTCGGCGTGCGCAGTAGTATGCTGCGTCGTCTCGCTGCGCGCATATGCGCATCTGTAGCTCCTCAGCACGGGTTTTTCAGAACATCACAAGCACACCTCTTCGCCTCGCAGCGCATCTTCTTCCGAAGGCTCGACGCGCTTTCCATCAAGAGGACCAGTGAGAGGCGCTCAAGTAGGCGCTCTCAGGCCCGCGTTGCGCGGCAGCTAAGCGCGGCGCTCGCAGGGCGACCCCACGACTCCGGGCTGCACGCGTGGTGCACAAACACATCAAAACGTAGCCCGGGGCAGCCCCAGCAACGCCATGGCGCCGCCGGCGCGCGGCGACTGGCGGACCGGCGGCTTCGACCTGTCCGCCACCCAGCCGGCGTCGCCCGACGAGAAGACCAATAAGGGAGACGCGCCCAAGGCCGCGTCGAAGCTCCGCGAGCCGCGGCTGCACATGCGCGGGCTGCTGGCGAAAAGAGGAAGTGCGTTGCTCGACCCGCAGCGCCGCAAGCCCACGAGCGACGCGCGCCTGGTCTTCCGCAGCGCCGAAGAAGTACAACAGGAGGAGGAGAAGCCGGCGCCCTTCGACACGCGATCACTCACACACGCCATGACCCGGGACCCCGCGTCGAACACGTGGCGGACGGTGGGGGGAGGCGCCAAGGACCCCGGGGTGCGCGAGCAGGCCGGGTCGCTGCTACGAGCCTTTGAGGTCGCCATGGACGCCGTCGAGAAGGCTTCCATAAATGAAGCGGCCGCGCCAGACGAGCCCGACGGCCAAAAACTAGCAGCAAACATCCTCGGCGAGATGATCGCGGCGAAGCATGACGTTGCACAGGCGTTTTCCAAGCGGACGTCACTCGAAGCAAGTTTGGACCAAGAGGGCAAGCTCAATTGGACAAAGGAGCAGAAGGACATCTCGAGGCTCTGGTGCGAGGCCAAGTGGACCGACGTGCTCTCGCAGAAGCTCGCCGATCTGCTACAGGAGCAGACGCGCGAGCACGGCGCCCTGTTGCATAAATTGCGGCTCAAACGGGCGGCGATGCTCGACAAGGCTCTGAGGTTGCACTCCGACGCGTTGTGGCGCCACGACCGGGCGTGCGCCTTGATGGAAAAGAAGGGCGACGCTTTGGTTGAAGCTTCCCGGAAGCACGACGCTTTAGTAGAGGAGAAGAATGTCGAAATAGCCGCGTTAAAAGAGAGGATCGCGGACCTCGAAAGGAATCGCGACGCGGACCGCACGTTATTCGAGCGGCAGGCCGAGGCCAAAGTGAAGAGATCTAGAGACGCTTTGGAAGCGATGAAGGAGCTGTTTCTGGACATGGGCAAGGACAAGACGGACCTGGCCAAGATGGACGCGCGCGACGACGTCCAACGGATGCGGCGGGAACTCGCGGAGTCGATGAAGGAGCTCCAGGAGTTGCGATTGTTGAGGGACGGCGCCCAGATGGACCGCGCCGAGGTCGCGCGGGCGCGACGGGAACTCAAGGCACAAAGGACAGCCACGGCCGCACACACCCGAGAACTCGACGCGCGCGCGGACCGCGTCAACGAGCTCATGATGGCGCGCGCCGAGCTCGAGCACTACGTGACGACGGACCGCCAGAAGCGCGAGGAGGCCAAGACCCTGAAAGGTGGTTCTAGAGAGGAAGGCCAGGTGCTGGATTTCAAGCCTCCGGACTGCGTCGAGGACGCGGCGCAGGAGGCGTCCCTCCAGATCGAGCCGTCCCAGGCATTATGTGTCCGATGCCAGCGGTCCATGGACGCTTTGGAGGAGGAAAAGCGCGGCAAGGCCCACGACCACAAGAAGCGGGTCCGGTGCCTCGGGTACCGGGCGTTACTGCCGCAACTCCCGGCGTCCCTGGAACTGCCGGCGCGGTCCCACGCCTGGGGCCAGGTCTGCATGCGCACGATACTCATAGCCAAGCTGAACCACGACCGCCTCCATCGAGACGAATCTCTAGTGACGCGGTTCCCGGAGTTCGTCCACGCGTGGTTCTCGTCGCAAGCGGTCGTCGAGCTCACGGACAAGGAGCGCAACAGCATGGTGGCGCGCGAGCTGGGCATGGCCCAAAAAGTGGAAGTGAGTGAAGAGATGGATCCCGACGATGTCGACCGGTGGGCGTTCTATTTTAAGATCAAGGAGCTCGCGGCGCTAGATAGCATCGAAGCCAAGATGTTCTGGTTGCTGCTGGACGAGACGCACGGCGACGACTACGGGTGCTTTTTTCTCCACTCCTTCCAAGCGCTCGTCGCGTGCTGCGGCAATACGTTAGGTAATCAATTGGGCATCGCGGCCCGGGGCCTGAGCTACCACCAGACGTGTTTATTGGCGGCGGAGGCGGACCCCACCCTCAAGAAGAAGGGCGTCCCGGGGACGGACCTGAAGAGGTACGACCGCGCGGACTTGGTGAAGGCCCTGGATTCGTTGAGCACCATGGGCGGCGCGGTGTTTGTCTACGTGGCCCAGGCCTACGCCGTGTTGGACGCGGTGCTCGCGGGGCCTTTGCAAAACCGCCTGCCCCTCATCAGGTCGGCAGTGCGCGGCCTGAGCCAGCCGTGCGCGACCCAAAAACTCGCCTGTTTCGACGACGCGGCCAAGCTGCCCTCTCCGGCATCTCCGGTCTGGCTGCTCTTCGGGCCGGCGCCGACGGACCCGAAGAAGCTCCCCGAGCACTGCCTCAAGTACAAGGTCGACAAGGATTCCATCAAGAGGGGCTGCGACCTCTTCAGCCTCATCCAGGTCCTGGCGCACGTCTTCAAGGAGGAGCAGGCGACGCGCGCCGCCGCCGTGCGCGTCATGTTCGGCGCCGTGGCCGACAAATCCTTTGCGTCATTAACCGCGGACTCGGAGCGGGCCGTCGCGAAGACGCAGGACATGCTGGCGCGGGACAAGGATTTGGCCTACGCGCGGCTCCCGCGGAACCTGACGCTGTCCTTCGACACGTTCGCGTCCATCACGCGGGCGCTCTGGCCCAAGTGCTCGCAGGTCGAGGCGGCGGCCATGTACCGCGCGGCCTTCGACCAAGCCCACGGCCGCGTGGACCACGCGGCCTTTGAAAAGGTCATGGCGCGCCACCGCGTCTTCACGCGCTGCCTCAACCTGCCGCGCTTCGAGGGCTGCGGCTTCGCGAACGCGCTCGCCGACTCGCTGTCGACTTCCCTCACGACGGTCGTCACGCGCCGCCTGCACTTCTCCGAGCCTCTCTTGGATCGTATCCGGGCCGCGCTGCCGCAGCCCGCGGCCAAGCGCTTCTCGGATCTCATCCAGCACCTCCGGCGCGAGCTCGGGTCGGCGTCGCCGACGCGGGGCGTGCGGGCACTCTGCGCGTACCGCGAGGTTTTGAGGAGGGCCCTCGCGCTGCGGTCGCTCAAATTAGAGGTCGCGTCGTCATCCGAGTTCCTCGCGGGCCCCGACCGGTACGCGGGGCTCCGCGCGGACGCGGAACTCGGAAGGCTGGAGGAGGCGCTCCGGGCGCACGACATTGTGGGAGAGGGCGACGGCACCGGCGCGTCTCCCGCGGACATCGCGGCGCGCCTCGCCCTGTCCGAGAAGTTCCTGCGGTTCCGCCAGTCGGTCGCCGTGCGGAAGATCCAGGCGACGCTGCGCGCCCGCGCGGAGCGGAGCCTCGGGCCGCCGCCGGCTGTATTAAATGCGATGCGGCGCCTCGCGGGCCGCGGCCGGGGCGGCGTCCACCGCCGGGCCGTGACGCGCGACGCCGCCTGGACCGGCGCGCGCGTCGCGCAGATCTACGACTGGGTCCGCGACGCTGATGGAGAGGCGCCCTTCGGCGACGTCGTGTACCGCTACTGTCTGGACGCGTGGGGCGCGCCCTCGCTCGCGGACCGCGCGGCGCACGACCTCTACTACAACGTAAGAAGGCACGCGCCGACGTCGCGGCGGTGCCTGTTGTTCGCGGCCTTCTCCGGTATTGACAATGACCCGATCTCGAAGATGGGCCACCGCGTGGGGTCCTCGCGGCTCCTGTTCGAGGCGGCGACGGCCCCCGCGGCGCGACGCTTCTTCTTCCACTGCGTGGACTTGTTGCGGGACGACGGGCTGGCGTTCCCGTCGGACGACGAGGAGCGGTGGCTCGTTCCAAAAGCCGCGGTGGAGGGCGCGGCCCGCGCCGCGTTCAACCGGGACGCGGCGCCGTGCTACGCGCCGCCGGCGACGGACCCGCCCCGGAAGGGCCGGATCGAGGCCGCCAAGGCCTTCGACGATTTGCTGTTCCGGCTGCGGGACCTGGCGATTGATGAAGACGGCCGCGTCGACGCGGACGCCGTCCTCTGGCTGCTGCTCCAGCACTGGCGCGAGCTTGTCCTGGACGGCCGCGAGCTGAGCTCGACGAAGGCCATCGCCGCGATGTTGAATGGTGTCGCCTCCTACAATAACCAGGAGATGGTCGAGGAGGCGGAGGAGGTCGCGCGGAAGGCGCTGCTCTCGCTGGACCACTTCGTCGCGCTGCGCCGGAGGTTGGGTTTGTGGGGCCTGGTTTATGATGAGGCGGCCGACGTCGCTTCGTATCACGCGGCCGTGGCCCACGTCGAGCGGACGCCCGCGCCGTCGCCGGTGAAGGCCGTGATGCTCGGGCTGCGGCGCTATCATATCAGAACGCTGCGCGGCGCGGCGCCGCGTAGCGCCGAGGACGGCGCGCGCGCGCGGCGCGCGGTCGCGGCGAACTGGGCGCAGTACGAGGCCGTCGTGCGCGACCACGTGACGCAGATCACCAAGGCCATGAAGAAGGCGGACGCGGTGCACAGCGGCGTCCCTCTGTTTTGTGATTCCTCTCTCGACGCCGTCCGACGCGCAGGTGCGGCGGCGCGAGGCCCTGAAAAAGAAGGAGACGTCGCAGGACGACCTCGAGCCCGACCCGGCGCGCGAGCGGATCCAGAACCTCAAGGGGCTGCTCGCGAAGCTCGACGCCGCCGTCGACTTGCTGCAGGGCGGGGCGCGCGACCCCGAGGACGACGCGGCGCCCTGGAGCGGCCTGAGCTTCGGCTACGAGGCCTCGGACTTCGTGGACGCGTTCCGGGCCGTGGCGCGCGCGCCGGCGTCGGACGAGGCCCTCGGCCGGGCCGCGCGCGCGGTCGGCCGCGAGGTGCGGTGCCTGCTCGCGCACGTGTACGAGACGCAGGTCGACGCTTGTTCCGAGTCTTCTCCTCCTCCGGAGTTCTTGCGGGACGCTTGGGCGTAATTTACCTGGCTTTCAGTTGCCTGTTTTTTGCTTGCTTTGCTTCGACCGTTGAGCCGGTCCCGCCCCGGCCCTCATACACCGTCGCCCCGGAGTGTTAGCTCGGAGGCGACGACGGTAGTTAAGTCGGGAGTCGGCACGCCGAAAGCGTGGAAGCGAGCGAGTTCACGAGATGGCGGAACACGCCTTCTTCACTGGACGACTGTTCACCCGGCACCACGCCGTCGAGCAGACGCGGCCGCAGCGCCACGGGCGCAGGTAAGTAGTAGATAAAAGTAGCATTACAGGAGGGGACCACCTCAGGACCGCGTCAGCCCCGCCGCGACGTACGGCGAGGACGCGATCCACTTCAGCGCGAGCTGCCCGATCGGCACGTCGGGGTCCAGGGCGTTGGCGACGCCCTCCATGACCCGGATGGCCACGGCCGTCGACACGAAGAAGCCCTCGAGGGCCACGCGGCACTTCTCGGCCTCGGCGAAGATGCGCGACGCGTACTCCGAGTACTTGTTGAAGAACTCCTCCTCGACGCTCCGGGACGTGATGTCCCGCATGCACTCACAAAAAGAATCCTGGGCCCGCTGCCAGGCCTCGTCCGTGCCGAAGCCGTTGTTCAACGCGCGCGCGCCGTCCATGCCCTTGCAGAGGAGCCGCCCCGCGGCGTCGCCGTCGTGGCGCATGAGCGCGGAGAGCACGCGCACGAGGTGGACGTGCTCCTTCGCGCCGAGCTCGACGCAGATGCCCGCGTCCAAAAAACAGACCGCCGGGTCGCGCGTCGCGTCGCGCGTCACGAGGATGTTGCCCGGGTGCAGGTCGCCGTGCAATAAATTGTCGTGGAAGATCATCTTGCAGACCGCGTCGACGCCCACCCGAGCCAAAGCCTTGCGCCGCGCGTCGTCGACGTCGCGCTTGAGGTACTCGCGCATCGACGGCCCCTCCACAAAGTCCTCTACCAATACGTCCTCGCTCACCAATGCTCGCCGCGGCGCCGGGAAGCTCACGCTGCTCTGGTTCCGGAAGTTTTCTCGCAAGCGCTCGAGGTTGTCGGCCTCCTGCGTTGGTTGATCGCGTGTCGCGGTGCTTTGTGGTTTCTCTCGAAGTCTTCGACGCGTGGCTCCCCCCGCGACGCCGTCGACGCGTGGCTCCCCCCGCAACAACCAGCAAACGCGTCTCCGGACGCCGGCCGCGCGCCGCGCGCATGTCCATCTGCGCGCCGAGCGTCGCCGCGAACTCGTCCGCCGCCGCCGCGAGGTTGAACCACTTGGCGCGCGGGATGAGCGCCTCGCCCGCGCGCGCGCAGGCCCGCAGGAAGTCGAGGTCCGAGGCGACGCGCCGCCGCGCCGCCGGGTGCACGACCTTGACGGCGACGCGGTCGCCCCGGCGGCCGCCGTTTGTTACGTCTTTCTTGAGGACCTGCGCCGGTGTTGTTGTCGGCTCTCTGTCGCGTGCGTCGTCGTCTCTACCGCTTGCACGACCCCAAAAAACAAGACGCCGCCTCGGACCGCCGAGTGCACCTGGGCGACGCAGCCCGTGCCGACGGGCGCCGCGTCGACGTCGAGCACGTCGCGCCAGTCGGGGCCGAGCGACGCCTCGAGGGCGCGCTCCGTGTCGCGCCACGCGTGCGCCGGCGCCCGGTCTTGCAAATGGGCGAAGCGGTCGCAGAACGCGCGCGGGAAGCGGTCCTCGCGCGACGAGGCCCACTGCGCGAGCTTGACGGCCGTCGGCCCCGCCGCGCGCGTCGCCCAGAGGCAGTAGCGCCACCAGCGGTCCTCGTCGAAGCGGCGGAGGGGGGCCTGCGCGCGGTGTTTTGTTCATTTCTCTCGCGTCGGCGGGTGACGCCATCGCCGCGAGACGTCGAAACTTCGCGGACTTTGCGGACTTCAACGCCATCGAGGTTGTGACGAGAACAACGTCGCCGCGATGGCGTAGAAACTCCACGCCATCGAGCAGACGCAGCTACGGAGACAACATCGTGAAGCTTGATTTCCACACAGTCCCGCGAACCGCGAGCACGAGCGGCGTCGCGAGCGCGCCGAGCCGGATCGACGTCTCGACGATGCGCGCGAGCCGGAAGCACGCCCGCGCGAGGTGCTGCAGGACGTTGGCGTCGTCGTCGAGGTCGGCGCCCGCGCGGCGCCGCTGCGCGAGAATCGCGGTCGCCGGCGGCGGCGGCGGCGCGGCCTCGAGCAGGCGCGCGCGGCTCGCCCTCGTCATGGCGCAGCCGCCCGCGACGGCGCCGACGCTCACGCTGAGGAGGCGGCGCTGCGTCCCGCGCGGCACGAGCGGCCTTGCGGTTCTTAGGACAACCAGCATTTTTTTTTGCGGTGTTGCTGTTGGGTGGTTCCTCTTCGCGTGGTGTTCCGGGGGCTGCTGCACTGGCGGGAGACTCGCCCCGGCGAGAGGCCGAGGGCCGGAGGCGGTGCGACGGGCGCAAAAAAACGGACGCACGCACCTCAATCCCAAAACGGGTTTTTCTATTATAGACTTTAAATTGCAAAGCTCGGTCTTTCTCGCAGCCTTGGGGATATAGCTCAGTTGGTAGATCCGTACAACAACGGAATCGCAAGCGCCTGCTTAGCATGCGGGAGGTCATGAGTTCGATTCTATATGCGAAATATGCATAAATCAGTATTATCTCCAATTTTTTTTTTATTTTTGAAGCCAGCACCCCCCCCTTTGCACTTTGCAGGGATTTGGAGGCCGGCGAAGGGCAAAACAGAGGATTTTATAAAAATTTTTCTTGCAAAAAAGACCCAAAAAGCGCGTTGCGGCGCCTTAGGGCATAGGGGGGGTAGAAAAAAAAAAAAAAATGTACTCGAGGCGAGACTCGAACTCGCGACCTTCTGCGTGTGAAGCAAGGACGTACCCAGTTTAGCACTAGGTAGGACGTCATAACCAACTAGACCACCCAAGCACATGTTCAACCGATGTCTGCGAGCATTCACCGACATCTGGAGGGATCAAGAGGACAAAAATGATGGACTAGTAGGAAAGCAAAGGAAAACCCGTGAGTTAACACGGCTTGTGTTGCCCGCCCCACAGCCGCGCCCGCGACATCGTCAGACCTCGGAAAGCCACCCGAGGCAGCTCAGAGCCATGCTTCGCGAAGCCTGTTGCCCCATACTCCCTTCCAACATACGCAAGGTCCGACTGACCCGCGTTTATACAACAACACCCCGACCGACCCCTGAAACCCCGCCACCCTCGTCCACCGCAGCGCGTCGGAGGCGTATCGCGGGCGAGAAATTCCGACCGCGTGGTCCGCGGCTCGCTCGTCGTCGGCGCGGCCTCGGCCCGGGCCGCGGGGTGGGAAATGCACAGAGCCGTGTCCGTGGGGGTTGGAAGCTTCTCGTTGCCCTCTTAGAAAACCCAAGGGGCTCCCTCCCTAGCGGCCTGTGAAGTAAGCAGACAAAGAGCATGCTCTCACTGCTACACACCAAAAAGTAAACAGCCTGACGCATCACATTCACATTCCTGCCAAAATCCTGGTGCGACCGGATCCACCAAAAAAGCAAGCTGGCGTCCCCCCACCTCAAGCAAAATGCAGTGCTCACCTTCTTAGCAGCAGCAGCAGTGCTCGCCTACTACCTGAGACGCCGCAAAAAACGACGCCAGCAAGCAGCAAAGCGCCACGCGCGCGACCTCCTGTGCGACCCGAGAATCAAGCGAAGCCTCGTGCCGTACCCGTCGAAGGACACGACGCGCCGGCTCGCGACGCTCACCGGCCTGAGCGCGCAGCAGGTGCACCACATCGCGAGGAGCGCGCGGTCCGGGCGGTGCGCGCGGCCGTGGCACGGCGAGGCGCCGGCGCAGAAGCGGCGCGAGACGTTCGCGCGGCGGCGCCACTTTTACTTTGCGTTGCACAAGTTTGAACGCAGCGTCTGCTCGACGGCGTGAAGGCGACGAGTGCAAACACGCAGGCCCGCCGGCTGCGTGACGCAGCGCGACGAGACCGCGTCGACGGTCTTCGACGTCCTGCCGCCGGGGTTTCCGCCGCGCGGGCCCGCGTCAAAACGTGAGGTGCCTTCACGGGATCGCGGCGACAGCGTAAGGCTCGACGGCAAAAGTCGCCATCGCCGCGACGCACCTGGAACTCGACGCCTGTCGAGTAGACATCGGCGATCGTGAAGCCCCGCCCTGGCACCCGCGGGACTATGCAAAGTTCGAAAAACGATGGGCGCTCCACAGGCTCGGCCCCGTCGGCCGCCTCGACAAGGCCACGACGGGCCTGCTGCTGTTCACGGACGACGGCGGCCTCGCGAAGCGGCTCGTCGCGGCCGGAACCTGCAGCAAGACCTACGTGCTCGACGTGGCGGGCGACGTCACGGACGCCGCGCTCGCGTCGCTGGCGACGCCGCTCGACGACGTCACGCTGCATACGCGAGAGGCCGTCCGCACGGCCCCGGCCGACGTCGCGGTCCTGAGGCGCGACGCGACCGCGGTATCGAGGCGGCGTCCGTCCTTTCCTTCAACCGGCCGCGCGTCGATGGCGTGGCGTTGGGCCCGCGTCGCGTCGATGGCGTCCGAGGTGCTGCGCCAGTACAAAGACGACGACGCAGGCGACGCTCGAGGTCACCATCGCCGAGGGCCGCAACCGCCAGATCCGCCGGCTCGCGGCGCGCGCCGATTTAAAAGTGACCGCGCTCCACCGCGTGCGGCTCGGCCCGCTGGCCCTGGGCGACCTGCCCGTCGGCGCCGCGCGGGGCCTGACGCCGCGCGAGGTCGACGCGCTCCTCGGCGCCGTGGGCCTCGCCGGCGCGCGGGGGCCGCCGCGCGCGCTGCCCTGCGCCGCCGCGCCCGAATTAAGGGAGAGCGACGTCGCGGCGGCGCTGGACGACCTCGTGGCGCGCGCCTAGGCTATTTTGTTGTTTATAACACAGTGTTAAAGTTAAGATACGACGCCCCGAACCGCCAGCCGCACGACGGACCGCATCGCGGCGACGCGCGGCGTCAGCGCGAGCGTCACGGCGAGCCGCGGGATCTCCGTGAACTTCGCCAGCACCCAGGCCACGGCGAAGGCGCCCGCCGTCGGCGACGAGCGGAGGCCGTCGACGAGCGCGCGCGGCGCGACGGGCGCCACGAGCGCCGACAGCTTCGCCACCGCCTCGTCGCGCGCGCGGCCGCCGCCGAGCAGGCCGACGTCGACGGCGGCCGTCAGCCCCGCCAGCGTCGTCCCGTAGACGGCGAAGTGCGTGCCCACGGCCGTCCAGCCGTACGTGCGCCACGCGTCCGCGAGCTGGCCCGCGTAGCCGGCGCGGCGCGCGCGGAACGCGACCGCGAGCGCCGCGGCGCGCCGCGCGCGCTCCTTGACCGCCGCGGCGTGCGCCGCCGCCGCGGCCTTGAGCCGGGCGAGGCGCCGCGGCCGCCGCGCGGCGAGGAGCCGGAGCCGCGGCGCGAGGAGCTCGCGGAGCCGGAGCCGCGGCGCCGCCAGCGCGAGGCGCGCGCGCACGGGCGCCGTCGTCGCCGCCGCGCGCGCCTTCATCGCGTCGCGCCAGCGCGCGCGCGGCGCCGCGGCGGCGGTCCAGCGCGCGCCGACGTGGCGCGTCGACGCCGCGAGCGCCGCGCGCGCCGCCGCCGCGCGCGCCGTCGTCGACGTCGTCGTGGAAAACGCTCTGGCGGTCCCGACGCGGTGGAGGGCGCGGGTGGCGAGCATTTTTTATCGCGGAGGCCTTGTCGCCTTTTTTTACTGTGGCGGCTGGGCGTCGCGTGAGCCCGCAGCGCTCGCTGTGTTGCGAGAGGCGACGCAGTACAGTGACTTACTGCTGTCCTACAAATCGCGGGCTGGCGCTGTACCGCTAGGTCCTGCGTTGCCTAGTGTCTTACAGCCGCTAGCTTGACGCGCCGTACTAGTCCTAGCACCGTAACATGAGAGAGAAAGGCGTCGGTCCGGCGGCCTCGAGAGCACGAGCTACCCGCCTTCCAACTTTTAAGTGAGAGACGCGCAGAGAGTTCAACGAGGAAACGAGGTTATACCACGACACACCGGGGGGGGGGACGAAAAAGCCGACTAGCCGAACCGCGCCAGCCGCGCGGCGCGGATCGCGTCGCGGTCGTCGGCGGCGGACGTCTTGGCCTTCTTCGCGCGGACGTCGTCCATGGACGCGGCGATGGCCGCCGCGAGCTCCGGGTCCGCGGCGGCGGCGGCGGCGAGCGCCGGGTCGACCTCGGGCTCCGACGGCGCGAGCGCGCGGCCCGCGCCCGAGAAGGCCTGGGTGGCCGGCTTCGTAGAAGACGACGCGGGCGCCGCGCCGGAGGACGCGCAGGCGGCGACGGCCGCGGCCAGCGCGCCCGCGTCGCGCTCCAATCTATGGGACGGAAAGGCGCCGCGCACGGCGAAGACCGAGTAGCCCTTCTCGAAGTGCGCCTGGAGGAAGAGGTCGACGTGCGCGGGCGACATCTCCTGCGGCGTCTTCGCCATGGAATTCAGGTCGAACCAGTGGCGGTCGCCGATGCGCCGCAGCGCGAACCAGTGCTCCCTCCGGTTCAAAATGTAGCCCGCGTCGCCGCGTTCCCGGTTCGCCGTCGAGCCCAGCTGGCCGCAGGCGAGGCCCGCGCGCTGCAGCGCCTGGAGGATGACCTGGACCGAGAAGAAGCCGTCGCCCCGGACGTTCTGCGACTCGTGGTCCGCGACCGGACTCGACAACAGCGCCGCCTCGCGGCGGTCGAGGTCGCGCGCGACCTCGGCCAGGCCCACCTCGTCGAACCATCGAGCTTGCACCAAGTTATTCAACGCGTGGACGGCGCAGAGCGCGCCGATCTGCTTCTCGTGGTAGATGCCGTGGAAGTCCGTCGGCAGGCGCTCGCCGTCGACGGGCATCTCGAGCGCCTCCTTGGGCACGTCGCCGTCGTCGCCGGCGTGGTGGTCGCCCGTCATCTTATCCTTTAGCTCCTCGCGCTCCTTGAGCTCCTTCATCGAGGCGATCGGCATGGTGGAATGTCGCCTGGTCACCTAGGCTTGACTCGGGCGGAGCGGTGCCTTTCGGCGCAGCGCGGCGTGTGACGGCTTTGGTGGAGGAGTTAAACGCTCGCGCGATAAGCGTGCGCGCGTCCTCAGAGGCAGGCTGGGCCGGCACTGACAAAACGCCGGCCGATGCTAGTGTCTTACTGTCGCTAGCACCGTTTTGTGGCAGCCCTTTACGGGCTCAAAGACGCTAGTTCCAAGGCCGAGGCAGCCAATAAATCACCAGCCGGACCGCAGAACGCTGCGAGGGCTGCCCTCTGCCACATGCATGCGATGCAGCACGCGACTCTGCTGCTGGTCCTAACATGCAAAACGCATGCCCTTTCGGCCGACCCGAGCAAAGGCTTTGCTATTTTTGCGCGAAACGTGATGCGTGGGAACCAGCGGTGCTTTTCGCGGGTCGCCGACGACCTCGCGCAGCGGGGCCTACCGAACGGCGCGCGCGTCTTGGACCTGGGGGCGTCGGCGGGCGAGCCGAGCCTCACGATCGCGAGCCGCGGCTTCCGCGTCGTGTCCACGGACTTCGCGCCGCCGAACAAGAATCTGGGGGAGAAAAGGGCGGCGGCCTTCGGCCTGAGCGATATGGTCGAGTTCCACACGGCGGACGCCCAGGACCTGTCGCGGTGGGGCGACGGCACCTTCGACGCCTGCGTCGGCACGTACGTCCTCATGTTCACGCCCGACGTCGAGAGGGTCTGCCGCGAGGTGCGGCGCGTGCTCAAGCCGGGCGCGCCGTTCATCACCACGGTGTGGCAGCCGCCCGCCCGGGTAAACATCTGTGTGGAAATCAAAATTTTACGGCGCGTTCGTGCTGAATCATCGCGTCGTCCTCCACGCCATCGACGCGACGCCTGCTCGATGGCGTGGCGATGCCGGTTCCTCGCCGCTCGACCGAGCCAGGTCGGCCCCGTCATCGCCGAGAAATGACTTAGTGAAGAATTGTCGGGTGCACCCGACACACTGGTTGGTTTCCACACAGGTGGACATGTTCGGCGCGGGCCTGATGAAGACGGTGCTGGCGCTGCGCGAGGCGGGCAAGCTGCCGAAGCCGGACCCGGCCAACCCCCCGGCCAACCCCTGCAACCTGGCAGACAGCGTGCCGGGGGCGCTCGGGGACGCGCTTGCGAACGCGGGCTTCGGCCGCGTGGCCGCCGAGGAGTGGAGCTACCCGATCGTCATCGCGGGCGCCGACGTCGACGACGTCGCCGCGCGCTTCCTCGAGGGGACGCCGTTCCACAACGACATCCTCGACGCGGGCGGCGCGCCGCTGCTGCAGGAGGCCCGGCGGCTCCTGGCGTCCAACGTCGCCGGCTTTGATATCGTCGAGCTCGCGGACCACGTCCCCGAGTGGGCGGGCGTCGACAACCCCGACGGCCTAAAGAAGGGACTGCTCTTCCCGACCAACACGTGCCTCTACGTCACCGCGGTCGCCCCGTGAACCCCACCACCCGCTCTTTCTTCATTCGGGATGCACCCCCTTGTTCTCCCCCGGTAACATATGCAAAAGGCTAGTCGTCAAACACCGGAGAACGAACGAAGCCGCTCTCGAGCGCCCGCCTCGGGCCGAGCTTCTGGGGAACGGGTTCCGCCGCCGGGGCGGCGCGCGGCGCGGCCGGCGGAGGCGCCGCGGCGGCCTCGACGCGCACCGGGGGCGCGGCCGGCGCATCGAACGTCGCGATGACCGCGGCGTGGCCGTGGAGCTCGGCGATCTCCCGGGGGAGCCGCCCCGAGTGCGCCGCGACGTCGGGAGACGCGCCGCGCGTCAGTAACAACGCGCAGACGTCCGCGAACCCGTCCCGGCACGCCTGCCAGAGCGCCGTCTGGCCGAGCGCGTCCCTCCCATCTATATCTACGGGGGCGTCCAGCATCGCGGCGACGATTTCAACGTCGCCGCTCTTGCAGGCCGCGTGGAGGCCGCTCCGCCCGTCGCCGTCCAAGCGGCGGGCGTCGCCGCCGTGTCGGAGTAACAGACCCGCGCAGGCCGCGCGGCCGGCGGCGCACGCCGCGTGGACCGGCGTCGCCCCGTTCCGGTCGCCGGCGTTCGCGTCCGCGCCGCCTCTCAATAAGGCGTCGACGACCTTCGTCCGGCCGTAGTTCGACGCGTGCCAGAGCGCCGTCCGGCCGTCGTCGTTCCGCGCGTCCGTAGGTGCATTATGTTTCAATAAAATCTCGACGCACTCGATGCAGCGCGCCTCGCCCCGGCGCGCGACGGCGGCCAGCGGGCCGTCGCCGTCTCCATCTACCACGGAGGCGTCCGCGCCCAGGTCCAGCAGCTGTTTTAAACCCGTATCGTCGCCGCGCCACGCGTAGTGCCAGAGCGCCGTGCGGCCGCAGCCGTCTCTGGCATTAACGTCGACGTTCCGCTGCCGCACGAGCGCGGCGGCGGCGACGGACCGGTCGTTCATGATCGCGTCCCACCACAGTTTTGTGGTGTTTGTTTTGTTCTGCGGCTTGATTGGCGGGGCTGTGAGCTTGAGGTCCGCGTCCTTCACGGCGTCGGTGCCGCCGCGCAGCTCCTCCTCGAGGACGTGGCGCCGCAAGATCTTCTCGTAGTCCATGCCGAAGGCCATGGTTCGTGTGGGCTGCCGATACGCGTCGCGCGGCCCGATCGTCTCGCGCGCTCGACGGCTGCCCCAGCTAATGTGTCCGCCGCTACGCGTCGCGCTGCCCGATCGTCTCGCGCGCTCGACGGCTTCTTGTGGCTGCCGCGGCCTCGCGCTCGGTAGGCCTGGACGCACGGGACGCTGCCAGGAAACCGATTCATGTTAGCGTAGCGTAAGACACTAGCAATTGGTCCAAGCGCGGGAGACTCTCGCCGGCGTTCTCTCTGCGAAAGCCAACCTGAAAGCTGCCAACACACACAACAGCGCTTCATCGCCTAGCCGTCACCTGGCCCGGGCCGCGTCAAGCACCGTCGGGCGGCACAAGAGCATCACCAAGACTTCAGCTGCCCCTGTTTCTGCGCTTCAAGGCGTCAAAGTAATGCGCGTCCTCCTCGCCGCCCTCGCCGCGACGGCTGGCGCGCGGCCGCCGGCACCACTAAAGTGGCGCGGCGGCTCCGTCGCGCCGCGGCCGCCGCCGCCGCCCCCGAAGACGCTCAAGCCGCCCAATGAAGACACGACAACGCCTCTGGAGCGCCAGCTCCTCGAGAAGGTTAGGGTCTACGCAAGAGGATTGGACGCCTACGTGAAGCCGGAAAAAGTAGTGAAGAAGGCGTTGGCCGGCGCCGCGGCGCTCGACTACGCGACCGTCGAGCAAACGCTGGCCGAGAACGCCGCCTACGCCGCGACGGAGCACCCGGACTACGGCCGCCTCGCCGCGCGCCTGGCCGTCGACCGCCTCCACGCCACGACGTCCTCGTCGTTCAAGGAGACGTTGTTAACCTTAGACGACGAGCCGAATCCCACGACGGGCGAGCCCTGCCACATCCTGGACGCGGGCTTCCGCGCCGCCCTCGAGAACGATAAGTACTTCGTCGCGCAAGTCGAGGGGGCGATCTCCGACGAGCGCGATTTTGATGGATTTGACTATTTTGGCTACAAGACGCTCGAGAAGTCTTACTTGCTGCGGCACCGCGGGGGCGTCCACGGGAACGGCATCGCGGAGCGGCCCCAGCACCTGCTGATGCGCGTTGCTTTAGGTATTCACCGCGGTATGTGATACAGCGTCTGAACGCGCGAGCGAGAGGTATCGAGATCGACCGGCGCGGCGATGGCGCCGTCGACGCGGGCACGTCGCCTTCGCGCAGAGAGACGCAAAGAAGAACGCGCAACGCGCAGAGATGTCGCCGCGCGCCGAGAGACACGAAGATGACACGACGCAAACGCAGGCTGGGAGAGCTCCGAGCAGTTGGAACGGGCCCTGGAGACCTACGACCTGATGAGCCGGGGCCACTTCATCCACGCGTCGCCGACGTTGTTCCACGCCGGCCTGAAGCGGGCCCATTTATCCTCGTGCTTTTTGCTCGGATCGACGGACGATTCCATCGAGGGCATCTACAAGGCGTTAGGTGAATGCGCTCGAATCTCGAAAGCGGCGGGCGGCATCGGGCTGTCCGTCGCCGACGTGCGGGCCGCGGGCTCGAAGATCAAGGGCACGGGCGGCGAGAGCAATGGTTTGGTGCCCATGCTGCGCGTCTTCGACGCGACGGCGAGGTACGTCGACCAGGGAGGAGGTAAAAGACCAGGAGCCTTCGCGGCCTACGTCGAGCCGTGGCACGCTGATATATTTGATGTGTTGGACCTCAAGAAGAACCACGGGAAGGAAGAGCGACGAGCGAGGGATTTGTTTTATGGGCTGTGGGTCCCCGACTTATTTATGAGACGCGTCCGAGATGATGCTGAATGGGCGTTGATGTGCCCGGACGAGTGCCCGGGTTTGACGGACGCGATCGGCAACGCCTTCGACAACCTCTATGAGACGTACGAGGCGCAGGGCAAGTTCAAGCGCAAAGTGAAAGCTCGGAAGCTCTGGCGGGCCATCTTAGATGCCCAGATGGAGACCGGCACGCCGTACATGCTTTATAAGGACGCCTGCAACAAGAAGTCGAACCAGCAGCACCTCGGGCCGATCAAGTGCTCGAACCTGTGCTGCGAGATCGTCGAGTTCGCGAATAATGATGAAATTGCGGTCTGCAACCTGGCTTCCCTCGTATTGCCGCGGTTCGTGAAGAATAATGAAGTGGACCTCGAGGGACTCAAGCAAACGGCAAAAGTCGTCGCTACCAATTTAGATGCGACGATCGACCACGGGACCTACCCCAACGCCGCCGCTGAAAGGAGTAACTTGCGGCACCGGCCGATCGGCATCGGGGTCCAGGGCCTCGCGGATCTATACGCGTTGCTGCGGCTGCCCTTCGACTCGGAAGAAGCCCAGAAGCTGAACGTGGACATCTTCGAAGCGATATATGTCGGCGCATTGGAAGCGTCGATCGAGCTCGCGAAGAAGCACGGGCCGCACGACTCGTACGCGGGGTCGCCGGCGTCGCGCGGCGAGCTCCAGCCGGACTTGTGGGGTCTCGACGCGAAGGAGCTCGACGCGAAGTCGCGGTGGGACTGGGCCCAGTTAAGGGCCGATCTCGCGCGCTATGGATTGCGGAACTCGTTGCTGACGGCGCCGATGCCGACGGCGTCGACGGCGCAGATCATGGGCTGCAACGAGTGCTTCGAGCCGTACACGTCCAACCTCTACGCGCGGCGCGTCAAGGCCGGGGAGTTCGTGGTCGCGAACCGGCACCTCGTCAAGGACTTATGTGAACTGGGTTTGTGGGACGAAAATCTGAGGCGGGACCTGTTGCGGGCGCAGGGGTCGGTCCAGGGCCTGGCTATTCCCGACGACTTGAAGGCTTTGTACAAGACGGCCTGGGAGCTCTCCCAAAAGTCGCTGCTGGACCTGAGCGCGGGCCGCGGGCCTTTTGTGGATCAGTCGCAGTCCCTGAACTGTTTCATCGCGGCGCCGGACTACGGCAAGCTCACGACCTTCCACTTCCGGGGCTGGGAGGCGGGCCTCAAGACGGGCATGTACTACCTGCGGACGCGGCCCGCGGCGGACGCGATCCAGTTCACGCTCGAGGCTTCCGCGCCCGGCGCCGCGGCGGCGGCGCCCACGACGATCGACGACGGCCGCGGCGGCCACGTCGAGGCGTGCGTGTCGTGCTCCGGGTAAGGCACTTGTTTGAAGTGTGCGCGTCACATGATGAGCTCTTACTACAACACCTAGGCGGCGGCGCCGGGCCCGCTCTGGAGCCGCGTGCGCCGCTGCCGGCGGTTCCCCGTCTTCTTCGCGGGCGCCGCCGCGGCGTCGATCGCCGGGGGACCGGCCGCCCTCGCCGCGGCCGCGGCCGCCCCGCCGACGAGGTCCGCCGGCACGGCGAGGTCGACGACGCCCGGGAAGCCGCGCACGCGCCACGGCCTCGGGAACCACCTCGCGTTCGATACGACCGTGCCGAAGGTCCCACAGTCCTCGACGCAGGCGCAGGCCCGCGGCGCCGCGTCGTCGAAGGACGCGAGCCGCCGCGTCTCCCCGACGTCCACCACCCCGGCCGCGTCGCCGCGCCGGAAGCCGGGCCGGAGGTCGGCCGCGCCCGCGGGGTGCCAGAGCTTCCACGACGCGTTGTCCCAGTCCTTCATGCCGACGCGCACGACGACGCGCCGGCCCTCGTACGGCGCGAAGAGCTCGTTGTTCCGCGTCTCGAGCGTCTTGAAGCCGTTCAACAGCAGCGCCGCGAAAGGCTGCGTGGGGCATCGCGTCGATGGCGTGGCGCGCGATGCCGACGCAACAACGCGAAGAGAATAAAAGGACGCCGCAAGAGCACCATCGCGAGCGACACGGCGGGCAGCGTCACCGTCGGCTTGGACGACGGGCCGCCCGGCGCGTCGATTACTTTGCCCCGCACGCCTTTCTCGAAGGCCGCCAGCCCCGCGCGCCACCGCTCCTCGTTGAGTCCCTGCGGGCAGTGCACGGCCAGCACGCCCAGCGCCGCCGCAGCGACGCAGTTGCCGTGCTTGCCGTCGCGCGCGTCGTCGAAGAGCACCATGCGCGAGAACGCGCAGCCCAGGCCCTTGGCGATGCGCCGCAGGTGCGTCCGCTTGTCGCCCGGGTAGATGTGCACCGCCGCCGCCGCGAGGTCCGGGACCTTCGCGAGCAGCGCCTTGGACCACTCGGGCTTGGCCGAGCGCGACGCCACGGCGACCTGCGTGTCCGGGCGCGCGGCCAGCAGCTTCAGCACCGCCGCCGCGCCGGGCAGCACGCGCACGTCCGTGCCGAGCGTCGGCGTCCAGCCGTCCGCGGCGCCCCGCGGCGCGCGCAGCGTGTAGACCTCGGGCAGCCATACCGTGGCGTCTAGGTCCAGGACGACGACGAGGCCGTCGCTCGTCGAGAGGCGCTCGACGGCGGCGGTCAGCTCGCTCATTATCCTCTCCGAGTTGCAAGCTGTGCGAATTAAGCCAAGGCGACCGACCGGCGTAGGTCTCGCAGGCGATGCTCGGTTGACGGCTTACAGCGCAGGCACGCGGCCACAGCGTGTGTGGATCGAGCTGCAGAGAGAGGCAGAAGTCGCGCGCGCGCTGAAATTCGACAGCGGCGCAGCGCAGGCGTCTGTTGGACACGTCCACTCACACGAACGGCTTCCAGTCGTTTGTTTTTGCTTGCGATCGGACCTGTCGCAGCTAGCGTCGTGTAAGACACTAGCATGAGCGCCCGAAAAACTCCAGAGGCGCTCGCAAAGAGCGTCACACGCGCTGCGCTCGTCTTCTGGGTGTCGCATTGCTGCTCTTGATCCCGCAGCTTACCGTGCTGCGCAACAAACGCTCGGGGCTGCCCTTCCGTCTCAGTTTTTCGGGCTGCCCCGGGAACAAAGCATGGCTGCGACCGTCCTCGAGAGCCCGGTGCGCGTGCGCGTTTTCAGCCAGGGCGCCACCGTGCTCGTGGGCATCGTCCTGTTCTTCCACGGCGTCGAGGGGCTCCTTGACTTCATTGCGCCGAAGGACGCGCCAAGCCGCTTCCTCTTTGGCCTCACGCTCTTCGCCGGCTCGCTATTTTTATTAGTGGTGAACCGCGGCTTCGTAGCGGCGAGTGGCATTGAGGCTGACGACGACGCAGCGGACGCCGTCGCGCCGGCGGGTGTGGTGCACGCGCTCCGCGAGTGCAGTCCAATTCCTTGCTGCTGTCTCGTCGATTTCCACGCGGACGTCTGGGCCGTGGCGACGGTCAACGGCGCGTCGCTCTGCTGCGCGTGGGCGGGCCTCGAGCACGTACTGGACAGCGCGCCGCGCCTCTTGATGGAGAGGCCGCCGCCGGCATGGGTGGACGCCTTCGTGTGCTTAGTCCTTGGCAATTTCGTGCTCGTCGCGAGCCGCCAGCTCGGCAATCAGTTCCGGACGCGTCTCGGGCTTTCCGCGACGCATGTCCTAGAGAAGACGCGGCGCCACGAACCCCTCGTGTAATGTTGTCAGTCAAGCTACAGGTACAAGATTGGTTAGAAGCCCCGCTGGAAGTCCTCCACGAACCGCAGGTGCACATACGCGTAGCCGAGCGAGAACCCCACAAAAGCCGTCAGCGCGTAGTTCCTGTACTTCCAGAGCGGAGCCGCTAGCCGCTCGCAGCGACTCGGCAGCTCGACGGGCAGCGGGTCTATCTTTTCCTCGGCCCGCTTCCGCCGCTCCCTCTTAAAGTCGGGCGAGTCCGCGTAGAGCGACTCGCGCGTCATCGCGAGGATCGGGTCGTCCGGCGCCTCCTCGTCCAAGATGGGGATGGGAACAGACGGCCGCCGCGGCGTTGCGAGCTCGAGCGCACGCCGTGCTGCCGCGCCGCTTTCCTCGAAGGCCAGGGCAAAGGGCGTGAACTGTTTCGTCGTTTCGGGCTCCGGCGGCGGCGCCACTTCTGTGTTATCAGTCGGCAGCCGCGGCGGCGGCGGCGCGGCGGCAGCCGCGTCCGCAAGGAAGGCCTCTGCGGCCGCGGCGCCCGCCCTCCGCGCCGCGTCTCCGAATCGCGCGTCCTTGGCCCGCCTCGCAAATGCGAGCCGCAGCGGGTAGCGAAGCTTCCGGAAGAAGTCCACGAGCGCGCAGCTTCCGGACTCGATGGGCGGCGCCTGGCCGTTCGCCGTAAGGAGAACATCTCCCGCGAGAACGCCCGCGCCGGCCGCGCGGCTCGCCGGCTGGACCGCCTCGACCGTGCAGAGCGCGCCCCGGTCGCTCAGGGCGAGCGAGCAGCCCATGGGCGGCTCCGGCACGATTACTTCGATGACCTCCGTGGATTGCATTATCCGTCGCCTTTCCGGTGCGTCGTGAGTGTCCACCGATGGGCTCGGGTGTAGTGCTTTGCTCGAGCCGAGGGGTTCGAGGTGACGACCTCGCAGTGCTCAGCTGTGTGAGGCTGCAAGTCGATGGGCTCGGGTGTAGCTATGAGTAGTAGTGTGCGGCAGTCTGCGGCAGTGCTTTGCTCGAGCCGAGGGGTTCGAGGTGACGACCTCGCAGTGCTCAGCTGTGTGAGGCTGCAAGTCGAAACAACTGCTAGCAAGCCCGAGAGACGAGACGGCCGCGGTGTGAACCGCGGGGTTGGCAAGCCGAGCGCTAGCGTGCTGTAAGGCCACTAGGACAAGCCTCCCCAAGCAAGTTGCTGAGCTAGCTAGCTAGCTCTCCGTGCGCACGCAAGACTCGTTCCAAGGTAACCAACCGCTGCAAATCGCTCGCGCGAGAGAGGCCGCGTCGTTTTCGCTGCGGAGAACGCGCCGCGCTGCAGAGCGCCGCAATCACGACGGCCGTATTCCACACAGCTAAAAACAACATGGGACGCGGGGGTCGTCGCGGAGGAGGTGGCATGATGAGGCGCCCGCCGCCGCCCGCTCCTCGGCGCCAGGCCCCGCCTCCGGCGCAACGCCGCTCGGCTTCCACTGCTCCGGCTCAGCAGCAATCCGGCGGCATGCTTTCGGGGCTCGTTCGCTTCGGCGTCTAGGAAGCTGCCTTCACACGCGAGGCGGGTCGTTCGCGCCAATCGTCGAGAGAAAAGAGCTGCCGCGGCGGACTCGGCCTTCAGCGTGGCACGTGACAACTCCTTGCGCCGACGGCCTGGGTCTGGGCTACCTTCAGCCGGGCAAAACAATAGTTTACTATCGATCTGATGGTGGCTGTCAATTGTCCAGACCCTCGCCGTCCGACGCGAGTCGAGCCGTCGCCCGAGCTGCCTCTATACCTGATTCCCTTCGACCAAGCCAACTCTGGAAGCCGGCAGATGTGGTAACCTGGCCGCCCCAGTACTCGAGAAATCGGCGAAATTGGGATCTTCTGGTATACTATGTCTCCTGGCTTCTCGGCCTATGGACCACTGCTGATTCAGAGAATTCGCGCCATCGACGCCAAACCGGACGCTCACTGGTTGCTGTCCTACACAGATGGGCACCATGGCCCAAGGCTTCGCCTTCGGCACGGGCTCGTCCATCGCGCGCGGGGCCGTAGGCGCCGCCGGGGACGCGCTCTTCGGCGGCTCCTCGGAGCAGGCGGCCCAGCCCGCGGCGCAGCAGGCCGCGGCCGCGCCGGCTGCCCAGGACGCCTGCGCCGTCGACAAACGCGCCTTCTACCAGTGCCTTGAGACCTCGAACGGCGACGCGGACAAGTGCGATCTCGGCGTCCCGTTGTGTAGAGACGCCTTCACGCCATCGACGCGACTCATTTCCATCTCACGATGACGTGGGTGGTTTCTTTTTTCGAGGCCGTTCGGTCGCGCAGGTGCTCGGACCTATTCCGTGCTCTGAGCATGTGCCAGGAAAACGCCAAGTGGCAGTCGGCCTGAGCATCGCCCCTCCCCTGTACTAAACTAATCTTAGCCGCCGGACACGCCCTTCGGGAACAGGAACGACTTGATGCCGAGGCCGCTGAAGCCGCCGTCGACCTCGTTCCACTCGCTCGCCTTGCGCGCGTAGAGCCGCGCGAGCGTCTCCGCAGACTGGATCTCGTCCAGCGTCGGCGCGACGCCGGCCACGAAGGGCCCCGCGCCGCCGCCGCACGCGTGCGGCAGCGGCGCGCGCGCGACCTCGGCCAGGTCCGCCGCGCGGAGGGCCGCCACCTCCGTCGCGTCGGCGCCGTGGAGCAGGCACAGCACGTAGGCGCCCGACGCCGTCGGCGCGCCCGCGCGGCGGTCCGGCGCCGCGTACGACGCGGCCTCGCGGCCGTCGCGTACGAGCACGAGGCCGCCGACCGCGGTGTTTACAAGGAAGTCGTCGCCGAGCGGCGTGGCCTCCGTCACGGCGTGCTCCGAGAGCGGCTCCGTCGCCAGCGACGAGGTTATCCTCACCAACGTACCGTCGACGACGGCGTCCAGCTCCGCGCCGCCCGGCGCGTCGCGCGCATTTATGATGTGAGTCAGGCCGGCTATCCGTCCGACTTCATTGCCAGCATCATTACCCCGCTTGAGGATGGTAACGCTATTATCCGAGAGAACGCAAACGAAGCCCGTCGGCGTCGGCGCCCAGGTCTTCAACGCCACGCCTTTGGGCAGGGGCAGCTTCGCCACGACGCCCGACGCGCGGAAGTCCGAATCAAAGTCGCGCCACTCTATACAATCTCCCCCAATAAACGGCAGCCCCTTGTCAAAAAAGGCCTGGCAGAGCTTCGTCCCGTCTCCGTTGCATCGGACGCCTTCGTCAAAGCCGTCGTCGGCCTCCTTCAGCAGCCCGCCGAGCTCGCTCTTCTTCTGGGTCCCCAACGAGAGCGGGTCGACCATGTACGGTTTGCAGCCGTCCGTCAAAGCGAAGAGCCGGTCGGCCCAATATAACAGTTTTTTGCCCACGTTCCGCTCCGCCAATGGGCTCCCCTCGGGCATGCCCCGCCGATCTCGCAGGAAGGCCTCCGTCCTTACGTACCGCGCGCGCGCGACGCACGACCCGTCTCCACCAAACGTCACGCCGAGGCAAAAGCCGTAGGGGTCCCTTTGTTGACCACGCCTCAACGCGCCGCCGGGGCCGAGCCGGTAGAGCGTGCCGCGCAGGTCCGCCGGAAACTCAGCTTGTATCGCTACGGCCTCGTACTCGCCGGCCTCCGTTAACGTACTTTTTTCCGACGCTCGTCGGATGGTCGCTTTTTGTTTCATGCGTTGGGGCGGGACGAGGGCCGCGGCACCCACGAGCAGCAGCGATCGCATGGCTCTCATGCTGCTGACGTGCTCTCAAGTTGGACCACTCGTGACCGCTGGCTGTGGCAGTCCAGGAAGTGGCACGGCTGCACGCGGATGGTGCAAGACGTATTGTTACTACTACTGAGCTCAATGCGTCCGATGCGCAGGCAAGCCTAGCCAAGCTAGCAACCTAGTGTCTTACATGCCGCTAGCTTCAGCATCTGCCGTTCCCGCCGGGCGTAATAGCTGGACAACAGCACCGATCTTGAAGGCTGTACTGAAAGCCTGGCGTGTCGCGTGCACCAGCTTCCGCCAGAGAGCATCAGTGCGGGACTTTAAAAAACCATGGAGGCCGCCCTGGTCGCGGCCGCAGAACGAAACGACGCCGACGCGGTGGAGCGCATCCAGCGCGCGGCGCGGGGCGACGACGACGCGCTCTGCGACGCCGTGGCCTCGCACCTGCGCACGGAGCTGGAGAGGGAGGCGCCGCCGCCGCCGCTCGATAATACAAATGACTTCCCGGCGCTGCCCACGACGAAGAAGAAGCGCGTGCGCGCGACGCTCGTCACTGCGACGGTGCCGCCCGCGCCGCCCGTCGCGACGCCCGTCAAGCGGCCCAGCGCCGCGGCGTCGACCGACGCGTCGGCCGCGCTCGGCGCCGTCGTCGCGCGCGCGGCGCGGCGCGGCGACCTCGGCGCGACGCTGCGCCTCGTCGCGCGCGCAGCGCGGCGCGGCGGCGGCGGCGCGCGGCGCCTCGCCGCCGAGGCGGCGGCGGCGCTCGCGCCGGAGCTCGCGGCGCTGCCCCTGGACGCGTTTCGCCCCGCGTCCTTTTTTCTTTGCCTTCGACGTCCTGGCCCCATCCGCGACCTCGCCTCGTGCCTCGTGTGTGGGCCTCTGATGCATCACGTGCCGTCGACGCGACCGCTCGACGCAGGTGCGGCCGCGCGGCCGACCTCGCGCGCGACGCCGGCTGCCGCGACGCGGCGGCGGCGCTCGCGCGCCGCGCGTCGCCGCGGCCGTCTCCGAAAAAACAATCGGCGGCGCCGCGCGACCTGAGCGTGCCGTTCGACGCCGCGCGCGACTCGCGCCTGCACCACCGGGGCCGCGAGCAGGCCTACGCGCTGCGCGAGCGGTGCCGCGACCGGTTCCTCGATTTACTGCGGGACTACGAGGCCGCGCGCCGCGATGCGAATCGCGAGCGCCTCTTCCCGCCGGCGGACGACGCCTTCTTCTTCCGGAAACGGCGGCCGCAGAGGCGCGGCGCGCGGCAAACAAGAGACGCCTTCCGCGACCGCGCGTCCCAGGTCTGCCGGGCCGTGCCGCCCGAGCACGTCGGCTGGTTCGCGCGCGTTTTCACGGATATCCTCACGGCCGCGGCCGCGGCCGAGGATGTCTATGACGAGGCGGACGACGCGTTCTGGGCGGGCTCGCCTCTGGAAACGGTGCCGGGCCAGCTCCGGATCTTCGCGCTCTTCGTCGTCGGCGCCGACGCCAAGGCCTTCTCCGATTCTTTACGGGAGGTGCTCGTCGCGACGCTAAGTGAGGACGTCGACGCGGACGCGCTCCCGCGGACGCGCGTCGGCGAGGCGCTGGCGAAGCGCACGGCCGGCGCGGCGCTGCTCGGCTTCCTGCGGTCGGCGCCGAACTTTGGTAGTAGTTCACAGGGGCGGCCGCGGCCGGCGGACCTCGACGTCGTTCGCGTGTTGCAAAGCGTCAACGACGCGTCGGACGCGCGCGCCTACTTCGTCGCGGCGTGGGTCTGCGCGTTCCTCGCCGCCCTGCAGTTCGACGCCGCGTCCCGCAGGGAGGACACGGCGATCATGGACGAGCTCGAGGCGTTGCGGGCGCGCCTCGCCTGCCGCGACCCGTCGCCCGCTTTGCTCGCGGCGCGCCTCGACGTCGAGGCGTGCCTGCGGCGGCTCGGGCGGCCGCTGGCGTCTCTAGAGTTAAGCGTGCCGGCGCCCGCGTCGCCGACGTCGCCCGCCTCGCCGCGCGACGCCTGGTCGCCGCGCCGCGCGCCCAACGTCGCCGACGCCGACGCGCTGCGGTCGCCGGCCGCGGCGCGGGCCGCGCGGGCCTGGTTCTCCGCCGCGGTTTCTGTCGTGTCGCCCGCCAAGGCCAAGACGCCCCCGAAGAAAGTGACGCCGCTTCTCGTGAAGCCCGCGCCCGCGGCGCGCGCGGAGAAGAAGGCCGAGGCGGCCTCGCCGACCGCGACGGCGACCGCGGCGCGCCGCGCGCTCCTCAAGCCCGTCGCGGCCGCGTTCTTCCGGCGCCACCCGCGCGCGCGCGACGTCGCCCAGCTCGCGGTCGACGCGGCCAAGGCGCGCTGCGCCGCGGACCCGGGCCTCGACCCCGGCCGCGAGATCGACGCGCGGGCGCGGCCGGCCCTGGACCTGCTCGCGCCGCCGGACCAGCCGGCGGCCGTCGCGCGCGTCGCGGCGTCGCTGGCGCGGGCGCACTTCCTCGAGGACGTCGTGCCGAAGCTCGCGTCCGGCGGCTCGCACGCGAGTTTGTAGTAGTTTGTGTTTTTGTGTTTTTCTCTATTTTTCTCTCACGGTGACACGTACTACATAAATTACCAACCAGGGCGGATTCACGCCCCCTCCACGCCATCGGCGCGACACCTAGGCGCTCACAAAATCCCCGAGCAAGCACGGGTTCCCCTCGGCGCCGCGCGTCCACCAGCCGAGCGCCTCGAGCTCGCTCCGGCAGTTTTGCGAGTGCCGCTCGCGCACGCCGCCCATCGCGAGGCCGTCGGGGTAGCGCAGCTGCATCGTCTTCGGCGAGCAGCCGCCCTGCGCGCAGGGTTTGAACGCGGGCTCGCCCGTCCGCTGCCGCCGCTTCGACTGCGTTGAACGACGCCGTGAGACGCGTAGACCCTCCGACGGTCGCGCGGCGACGGCGTCGAGGCGTCGACGCCATCGACGCGAGCGAAAAGGCGAGATCGGACGCGGCCGACGCGCCTCGCGGAAGAGCCAGCGCCGCCACGGGTGCGTGTAGACGGTCGAGCGGTGGTACGCCGCGTACGCCGCGAAGAAGAGGTCGTCGACGAAGAAGCAGCTCGGCAGCCCGCCGCCCGGGAGCAGCTCGCGGCCCCACCGCTCGAGCTCGGCGAACAACGACAAGGGCGCCGCGAGCATGTCGCCGGCCTGGGCGACGCAGACGGCGTCCGTGACGGGCCGGCCGCGCGGGAACGGGTACGAGTAGTAGGTCCACACGGTCTTCGCCGCGTCGTAGCCGACCGGTGCAGACGACGACGAGAAGCCGACGTGCAGCAGCGTCGCCAGCGCGAAGGGCTCCCACTCGTGGTCGTCGTCGGCCGCCACGACGACCGCATCTTCGCGGTCGCCGCCCGCCTTCTCCAGGAGCTCCGGGTCGCGCCGCAGCGCCTCGACCTGTGTTGAACGGACGTCGTCGCGAAACTATACGCCATCGCCGCGATCACAAGCTCATTTCCCACGCCGGTCACTGACCGCGCCCACTAGCTTCGTCGCGGGGCCGTAGTCGCGCGCGGGGTGCGCGACGACGACGCACGGCGCGCAGGGCCCCTTTGTTGATCGCGCCGCGGCGTCCAGCCGCGCGAGCCACGGCGGCGGCTCGATGCGCTTGCCGTTCCAGTGGCTGCGGCGCTTGTTGTAGACCTGCGAGCGTTGCGTTTGCTCCGTCGTTTGGCGTCCATCCCCGTCGCACTTGTGCCGGTGCAGGGTCCTTGGCCCGTGGCAATGCAGTCCGACGCGACGCGGTACCCCCTTGTACGCCATCGACGCGACCCGGTAGTACGTTTGATAGGAGGAGGGCTTCTACGTTTCTCTAGCGCCAGTCTGCGTCGCGTCGTTTCATCTCAAGGCCGTCGACGCGATTGCGAACAGGTGCCACAGTTTATGGAGGAGGACGCCGCCGCGCGCGTCTGGGATGCTCACGATTATCAAAGCAGGCTGCGACTGGTTCAGCAGGCTGCGGACGGCCGGCTCGCACGCGGCCACGCGCGTCGGCGTCGTCGTCATGGCCACGACCACCGGATTGCGGATGGGCGGCTTCGCCAGCAGCGCGCCGGCGGCCTTGAGCTCCAGGTCCTCCGGGTACTGCGAGCGGTGCACGCTGCCCCTGAAGTTGGGTCGGCTGTCCAGGATGGCCCGCATCCAGGGCGGGATCGGCGGGTCTTTGCCTGCTGCGAGGACAGCCAGGAGGGCTGTTTTGGCGAGGATGCGTCGCATTTTTAAAATGCGGGTGCGCTCTACAACCCGCTACAACACGCGGCCCCCCCAAATCACGGGTTTTCTTTTGCGTTCCTAGTAATCCCACAGTTTCAGCAAAACCAGGTCTCCAGGCGTCTTTGGATGCGTGCGAGTTCGAGACTCAATCTTCCTAGCATAGATTTTCTATGGGTGAATTGCCACCCAAAAGAAGAGTGTTTCTCAGTTGGTAGAGCGATTGACTGTAGAGGTATATACACGAAATCAATTGGTCGCTGGTTCGATTCCGGCTGCTGGGACTTGCATTTTTTTTTGCGAGGAGGGGGGGTCGCGCCCCAACCTTCGCTCTTAGACCCAAACGAGGTCCAACGAGCTTGCTGGCACTCGAAGTGGAATCTGCGACTTTAGGGGCGACCTGGTCTTCTGTACGCAAGCGAGGGTTGCCATGGGCCCTGGCGACGCGTTTTAGGAGCGGGCCGGTTGCGTGATGACAGAAAGTGACCATGGAAGCACCGGCCCTCGCCCGCCGTCGCGCCGAGTGGGAGCTCGGAGGGAGGCGACGACTACGAGGGGAAGCCGGTATTTGTTTTTTTACTCCGAGTCAGGCTTGGGGAAAGCAAGAAAGTATTCCATTAAAAGCACACGACGAACTTGTTGAAACGCGAACGAAACTACGATGAGGACCGCGCCGCCCGCGCCTCGCGCTGCCGGCCCGCCTCGAGGAAGAACGCGAGGTCGTCGCCGGTCTCGGTGAAGGTCCGTCGCGGCGCCGGCGCCCGCGCGACGGCGGCGGGCGCGTCGCCGGTCTCGGTGAAGGTCCGCCGGGCCACCGGCGGCCGCGCGACGGCGGGCGCGGCGCCGGACCGCCCGTTGCCCAGCCTCCGGACGCCGCCGTTGGCGGTCTTCTTCTTCACGGCGAAGCCGCCGTCCCAGATCGAGCGCTGCGCGCGCCGCGGCGGCGGCTTCCGCGCCTTGTCGAGCTGGGCCAGGGCGCGGGGCGTGAGGAGCGCCTCGAGCCGCCTCAGCAGGGCGCGGAGCCAGTCCGGCGTGCAGTCGAGCCTGCGCGCGACGCGACCGGTGAGGCGTCACCATCGAGCAGACAGAGGACGCCGGAGCCTCGCCGCTCCCAGAACGCCACGAAGAAGGCGATGCGGCCGTGGTCGATGCCGGGGCACACCTGCGTCGATAGCTCAGAGACGCGACAAGGACCCAAGGACGCGGGCACGCACGAGCTCGCCGCGCCGCTCCGACAGGTCGCAGACGAGCTCGAGGACGCGCCGCCAGCGGTCGACCGGCCCGCGCGCGAGCAGCTCGGCCGCCGCGGCCGGCGACGACACCTTCGTCTCGGGCGGCGGCTCCGACGCGCCGCATAAATCCGTCGGGAACGCCCACCACGCCCAGTGCGTGACCTTCCGGCCCCTCGACTCGAGCTCGTCGACGATCCGCGGCCTGCGTTGTCAGCGACCGGTGAGATGTCGAGCAGGCGCGATGTCGCGTCGATAGCGTTCGCCGCGGGCCTCAAGCTCCGGGGTGCGCTCGACACGCTGGCACCCTGGGCCTTCGTGGACCGCTTCTGTTTCGTGCCGACGCCCGCCGCGGACCTCGCGGCGGACGCAAAGAAAAAGAAGAAGTACGGTCGCAGGGGACAAACGAGGACGCCGCGGCAGGACAGCTCGCGCGTCTGCCGCTTGATCAGCGCGCGCAGGTACGGGCAGGCGACCTCGTTGTCGAGGGCAGCGGCGCGCGACGGCGACGGCGAGCGCGCGCGAACCGGGGAGTGATCGGGACGACGGACCGGCGCGCTGCCGTTGCCCAGCTTTTGGCCGTGATCGGTCCGCGGGTCGCTCATGTTTGCGCTGCGGACCGCTGGTCAATGGTGGTAAAATGATTCAAATTTAGTGCAGCGAAGGAATGCGCAGCCGGGAGCAGCGAGTAATGGGTGATGCCTGGCGTCGCCGCACAGGGTTCCTGATGCGTGTTCTCGCGTATCGCGCCGCGCCTCCATGCTGATCGAGATGCTACCGTGCGGGTTCTTAACCCGCGAGACCTCTCTCCGTCGTCAAGAAAGCAATGCGAGGACGCTCTCCGGAAAGACGCGACGCCTCCGGCGGAGGATCGCGCCCGATTTGGGGCACGCTCACTCAGTTTTTGCCGGGGCTGCTCTCTGAGTTGAACAGCGGCGAGAACAGCATAAACGACCATGCTGCGTGTCCTGGCGCAGCGCACGGCTCCGCAGCTCGCCCGCTCGGCGGTCCGCACGACCGCTCTGCGCGGCTTCGCCACGTTTTGAGCAGTGCCCCAAAAGTCACGTTTCATTGCGCGTTACGCGGAGCGCCGACGCCGCGCGCGGACCTTCGTGGTGCGGCGCATGACGGAAGGCCGCCGCCGGCCGCACGCGAGGCAAAAGCGCTGCTTGCAAAACCATGCGCGGTCGCCGCGGCTTCCGAGACGCTTCAAGCGAAGTATTCCCGCCTCCAAACGGGCATAGAGAGCCGCCATGGTCGCAAAACACCACCTCGACGTCACCCGTCGCACGACCGCAGGTCCTTCGCGGAGAGCCACGAGTACGCCAAGGTCGACGGCGGCGTGGCGACGGTCGGCATCACGGACTACGCGGCGAACGCGCTCGGCGACATCGTGTTTGTCGACCTCCCCGAGGTCGGCGACGAGGTCGAGAAGGGCGAGGCCTTCGGGGCCGTGGAGTCGGTCAAGGCCGCGTCGGACGTGTACGCGCCCATCTCGGGCGAGGTCGTCGAGATCAACGGCGCGCTCGAGGACACGCCGGACCTCGTCAACTCGTCGGCGCTCGAGGACGGCTGGTTCATCAAGGTCAAGATGAGCGACGCGGGCGAGGTGGACGCGCTCATGGACGAGGCCGCGTACGCCGAGCACACGAAGGAGTAGGCGACGCGCGCGCGCCTCGTGCTTAACGGAACATGTACTATTTATCGACCTTGCTTCATCTTGGGACCGCTCGTGTGGGCGTCGATGACACGCGCGCGTGCCGGCGCGGCTGGGTGCTCGAACCAAGTACGTCCGATCTCATGATGCGTTCTGCTGCGGTGGCGTTGCCGTTGGGGGGTGGGGACGAGTGCAAGCAACGACGGCGCGCGTCGCGGTCGCGACCCGGATTGTCCATGCGAAGACGCCGCATCGCGTCGACGACCGGCTCCGCGGGCGTGATCCGGCCGCGCGGCGACGCGTCCCGTGGCGCAGAAGAGCTGAAGTTCATACGTTCTCATGCAAGCTGCCCAAAGGGAAGCTGCCCAAAGGGACCTCATTCCGCGGCGCTGCCGCCGGCGCAAGGCACTCGGTTGCAACACCGACGGGCACAGAGCACCCCGGGCGGTCCCGGCACGCTCACCGCGGCGCACGGGCGCGGCGCCCGTCGTTCTTCGCAGAAACCCCGGGGCTGCCCCGTAAGGCGATGAATTCCGTGCGCGTTGTCGACGACCGGTTGGGCGCGGACGACGGCGACGAGGAAGCAAGTCGGCCCTTCGCGACGCTCGTGGCGGCGCTCGCGCCCGCGCCGCCCGCGCCGCCGCCCGCGCCGCCGCCCGCGCCGCCGCCCGCGCCGCCGCGCCAGCAAGCGACGCGGCCGCCCGCGGGCGGCCGCTGGCGCTGCGGCGTGATGGATAGAATCCACGCCACGGGCGCCGCCTCGCTGCTGGCCCACAACGTGCTGCCGCTGCTCAGCGCGGCTGACCTCTGCCGCTTCGAGGCGACGGCGCCCGCCGCGACGCGCGCCGATCGCGCGCTACGCGGCCGCGGCCTCTGCGACTACGTGGCCTGGCGGCGCCTCGCGGAGATGCGGCGGCGCCAGGGCGTCGCCCCGGGCGCGGCGCTCCGGGTGCTCCACGCGGACACGGAGCGCTGCACGGTCGTCGTGTTCAAGCGGCGCGCAATGCGCGTCGTCCACGCCCAGCTCGACCTCGGGGCCGTCCGAAGCGCGGCGATCGTCGCGCGGCGCGCCGCGACGCTGGCCGTCGGCGCGCACTTCGTCGAGCCGCGGCGGACCGAGCTCCGCGCCCTCGCGACCGAGACCGACGCGGCGCTGGCCGGCGTCGTCGTGACGGACGGCGTCTTCCTCGGCGCGGCTGCGGATCCGGCCGCCGGCGACACGCTGAGCGTCGACCTCGCGCCGCGCGACGCCGCGCGCCTCCGGCTCGCGAGCCGCGCGTTCGACGACGAGATCGCGCGCGGCGAGGCCATCGTCCGCAACGTCGTCCCGGCGCTCGCGCGGTCGCCGCTCCGCGCCGACGGCTGCTGGGTGCTCCGGGCCGTCGGCGGCCGCGCCTGCTGGACGCCCGAGGCCTATGCGGCGCGCGTCGCGTGCGCCGCCACGTCGGGCGCGGCGACGGTCCGCGTCGACCTCGAGCGCGCGTACGACCGCCGCGACTTTTCGCTGCCGCTGAGCACCGAGGCGCGCCACGCCGTCTGTCTCTGTGTCCAGTCACCCTCCACGCCATCGAGCCGACGTAGCCACCGGGAAATGACTGGATCTCCACGCAGGTCATTCTGGCGCGCCAGGCCTTCGAGCTCGACGCGCGCGCCGAGGCCGCGCTCTTCCCGACGGACATGGCCCACCGGCGCCGCGCGATCTGCCTGACGGAGCGCGACCGCGCGACGCTCGAAGACCACGGCGCCCGCGCGCGGGCTACCGTGTCCGTCATCCTCGTTTCGCTCGACGCTTGAGATACTTCCTCCCCATCCCCCCGCCCGGTTCGAACTAACTAATTTGTCTCGGCGAAGTCGTTGCGCCGCGTCGTTCCCCCCGTACCCGTCCTGGACTTCGTCCTGTAGCTAACGTGCGGGTTTTGCCAATGACCTCCATGCTTGCAACACATCAAACACATCTCCGTGATCCCCTTTTACTGCCTCTTTGGGGCCCTGGCGGGGTAAGTGAGCATACCCCAGTCACCCAAGCGGGAGCTACAGCCTCCATAAGCAAGCGACACACGCGGGCCCCCAGACGACGCCCTGACGCCGTTGGCCGCTCGCGCTCTCGCGACGAAGCCGTGGGACGGCTGGCCGCCGAAGCCAGCCGCCGCGAGCGTAGTAAACCCAGCCAGCCCGGGCGCCGCCCAAAACGCCGCCGGGCGAACGGACGCGGACGCCACGGAACAAAAACAAAAGCCCCGACAGCTCGCCGATACAACGCACAACAAAATGCACGGCTCGGGCCCGCCCCTGGACCCGTACCCGCGCGACGACGAGGTCCGCGAGGCGCCGCTCAGCGACAAGCCGCCGTCGCCGGCCCGGTCCAAGGCCTCGCGGTCGAACTCGCCGGGCTCCTTCGAGTTGGATGACTTCCTCGAGAAGGACGAAGCGTACAGAGCAATAATGAGCGAGACGATGGGCGACGGCCTCGCGCAGAACTTCCTCTTCGACGACAGCCCGCCGCGCCAGCAGCCGGCGAGCCCGCCGCGCCAGCAGCCGGCGAGCCCGCCGCGCCAGCAGCAACCGTCTCCACAGCAGCGGACCTTCAACGGCAAGCAGCCGCCCTCCCAAAAGCCGCCGCCGCGCGACTTCGTCGACGACGCGCGGCCGCCGGTGACCGAACTTCGCGGCGAGGTAGAGCGTCGGCACGATCTCGACCTCGTTCACGAAGCAGGTCTGCTTGCGCGACTCGGACGGCTCCGCGAGGCCGTCGAGGTCGGCCCGCGCGTGCGTGCCGACGTCGACGCGCACGGGCCAGGCGTAGCGCTCCGCGCAGAGGTTGCGCCTTCCGTCGAATGAATACAAAGGCGGCAGGACCTCGTCCAGGACGCGCTTCGCGAGCGCCGCGTGGGGCCGCCAGTACTTGGCCGGCAGGTCCCGCGACGACGCGCTCTCGGGGCACGACGTCAGGTCGAACTTCTTTCCAGGAGAATGCGTCGAGTTCGCGACCGCGTAGGCGAACTCGCCGCCGACGAAGAAGCACCGCGTCTCCGGCAGCCGCGCGAGGCCGCCGAGGTGCCGCTGCACGAGTATCGACTTCGCGGAGGGCTCGTTCTCCCGAAAGTACTTCTCGACGCGCTGCGGGTTGACCTGGGCGCTCTTCGTGAGGAAGGCCTCGACGCCGCGCGACCACGACGACGGCGAGGGCTTGACGACGAACTTCTTCCAGCCTTGCTTAGCGGCGGCGTCGATCGCGAACTGCGCGCCGTCTTCGATGGACGCACAATCGTAGACCACCGTCGGCGCCGTCGGCACGTTCTGGGAGGCGCACGCTTTCACGTAATTCCCCTTCGCGTTACATAGATCCTGCAGCGCGGCCGGCGGGAACACTTTACACCGCGGGTCCCGGAGTAACGCCGCCATGCGGTCGCCATGGCCCGCCTCGAAGCCACCAGAGCCATCAAACTCCTCGAGGTGCGCCGACACCGCGTCCCAGCCCAGCAGCAAATTGACGTCGTTCTTCACGAGGCGCTCGCGCGTGACCTCGCCGGGGCCCTCAATTAAATCACACTCGACCGACTGATCGTAGTGGGTGCGCGCCCACCACCAGAGGGCCACGTCGGAGTGGCAGAGCGGGCCGCCGCCCTTGGGCAGGACCTCGTTCTCCTCGGGCGCGCGGTGGTGCTGCGTCGGGAGGCCCGGCGCCCTCACGAGATCGCCGTCCTCCTTGCCCACGACGAACCCAATCCTCAGCTTCGCGAGGCACGGCCGCTTGGGCCGGGGCTCGGCCATGGCAGGGGCTGCTGGCTCCCTTTGTTTTGTTGAGTTGCTCCGACGGCGTGCGCGTTGCTATGCGTTTTGAGCGGTGGTCGGAGACGCTGTGTGTTATCTCCTTTATATCTATCGAGCCCGTAACACGCCTGCAACCCTGAGCACTGCTGCGGCCGTTGGTGATGCTCAGTACAAACATAGCGCCTCAAAGACACTAGGATGCCGCAAAACGAAACGCGACTTGCAGCCGTTTGAGTACCGTTCCGTTCGATACTGGTCCAAAGAGATCAATGGGACACGTACTGGAGGCCGAAAATAGTTTCGCGGTGCGGAGGCGGACGAGGCCACAGGGCGGCCGCGCCGGTTTAATCCTGTCAATCCCTGCCGGCGAGGTGTCCCTGGGGTCGCCTAGGGTCGGTACTATACACGTGCAAGCGCCTACGTCGCATACGCCGCCGCTTCAAGCATTCTTGGCCGATTTCTCTCAGCAGCCCACGGAGGAATAGCAACTTTTTGCCATGGTTTGCTTTCAGAGCCCTCCGAGAGCACTAGGCTGCCGCATCGACGGCGTATGCGGTGCAGGTGACTACCCGCCACCAGGCCTACCCCGAGGGACCTCCAGGAGCCGACCTGGCCCCGAAAAAAGTAAGTAATTTGGACCCGATGGCGCCCCGTTCCCGGCAAAAACGCCAATTACCCGAGGGCCCCCAGTAGTCGCCGTAGCGGTCTCGTCGGACCCTATACTACCCCACCGATAGTCAATTACAAGTATATGGCATCTACACCGCGAGAAGGGTACTTTTGGCTGCCCACGCTCGGGACGTGAACATCTGCATCTGGACCTCGCGGAAGTCCGTCGGTCATGAAACAAATGATCGCGTTATGGTCCATGGTGAAGGTACACGGGCTGATGGTCGCAGGTTCAGGTATCGAGCCCCCCTTTACGCCATCGAGGCGGTCGGGAGTTGGCCGAGGCGCGCCGAGCATCTTTGGGTCTCGGAGCAATGTAGTACACGCTCAGGCCGGTTATCTGGCCCGTCCCACAACTAAAGCGCCTGAAACGCAAATTTATTTTATAAAACACCGGTCTGGGGCCCTTCCCGCCCTCCGTCTACGCACCGTCGTCCGCGGAGAACGGGCAAGTCGGTCGATTGTGAATAGAACAACGGCGCTATGGTCCATCTGGGTGGTGGCGTCGCTGATACTCGCAGGTTTGGGTTACGGGCTCGCCTTCGTAAAAACGCTGGGGCGCGAAATCTTCGTTTCGCGAGGCTCCAACGGGCCATCTAATGTAGCTCAGTAGAGCCGAGGCGATTTAGATGGCCTCTACCACCAACAAAAGGAAGGAAACGAACATAAACTGGGGAGTTGTCTAGTAGAATTCTTCTCCCGCCCTCCGAGCGCGGGCCGTCAGCTCCGGTTCCGTCGATCATGTATAAAAACTGGGCTGGAGTTGATATAATGTACTAACCGGATAGTAAAAGGCGGCGTCAATCGCTGGTGTAAATTGGCGAGCCGTAAGATTCATCCGCGAATGTCGCCGCGGAGCAGTGTCTTCCGGGAGCCTCGAGGGTATCTTCCCGGGCCTACTCTGAAACATTTGGTCTCGGCGAACGACTAGGATGTATTCTGAATTTGGAGGCAGATTTCCGCGAGGATACGTCCTAGTTTGAGAGATATTTATTTATTTACCCAACAACCGCGACCCGCGCTTGCTGAGGCCGACGAGTTTGGCGCGCATCGCCGCGCGGCGCTCCGCGTCCGAGCGGGAGCTCTCCCGCCGCGCGAGGCGCGGCGCGTTCACGCGCAGCTCCTGGCCGTCGAGCGTGCGCCGGTTGTCGAACAGCGCCTCGGGCGTGATGTTCGCCGTCTCGTCGAGGCCGCCGCGCCGGGGCCGCCGCCGCGCCTCGTCCTGCTGCGCCGCGGCCTCGACGCGCGGCCAGCGGCCGGCGGGCCCCCGCCGGTCGAGCGCAAGGTCGCCGCACTCGCGGGGGTCCCGGAGCGATAGGGTCCGCGGCGCAGTCAAACGCGCGAGCGTCGCGCGCGTGAGCATCAGGTGCGCGCCGCGCGTGTTCTTGCAAGGGTCGCGCGGCCGGCCAAGGATCAGCGCCTGTTTCAGGTCCGATTGGTCCACGCGGAGCGCGTTCAGAAACGGGCCGCGCAGGCCCAGCGGCACGATGCTGGAGTCGCAGATCGCGCGCGTTCCCGGCGCGCCGTACGGCGCCACGCGCGTGGGCTCGTCGCGGCGGGCCGCCATTATATTGCTTGGCCGTCCGCTCGGCTGTCCGACAACTCTTACGCTGTGCTGCGGCGTCTGCTCAATTGATGGGCTGCACAGCAGATGGCCACAGCAGATGCACGCTGTGGCACGGTGGCACGCTGTGGCACACAAAGCGCACACAAAACGCAGCGCCCTCTCCGGCGCGCCAGGGAGCTCAGGTTCAGGTTCGGGCCCAGTACTCCTCGAGCCGGCTCGGAGGAGTCCTCCCGCTGGATCAAGCGTACAAAGAGCGTTGTCAACGACTCCCATTTTTGAGCGTGATGGGCGTCGCCGTCGCCAAGGAGTACTAGGGTTGCGCTTCAGGACGGTGCCTAGGTGTAAGCAATCGCAAATACGAATAAAATAAGGTTACCCGACGACGCGGCGGTGCCCGCCGCCCTCGTCGAGGGCGTCGGCTATTTCGACGAACGCGTTCTCGTCGGAGACGGCGTAGCGGGCCAGGACGCGCCGCGCGCGGGCGGCGACGGCGGCGCGCGACGCCCCGTAGGCCCCGTCGTCGACCTCGAGCTTGACCAGCGCGGCCCGCTCGAGGCCCGGCGCGTCGCGCAGGTGGATCAGCGCGCAGGACGCCACGCGCGCCCGCCCGGCGAGGGCCTTGGCCACGGCGGCCTCGAGGCCGTCGCCGTCGGCCGGCGCGCCCTCGAGGAGCGTCCAGGCCGCGCGCTTGCCGACGGGAAACGCCGCCGCCGCGATCGCGCAGCTGAGCGCGAGGCTCAGGAGCGGATCCAGGTACAACCGGAGCCAGGCCACGGCGCCATCGGATAAAAACGCGTGGCCGTGGCGCAGCAGCACCGCTTCGCCGAGCACGACGAGGCACATGGCCGCGTCGCCGGCGTGGTGCGTCACCAGCGCGAGGCGGCCGACGTCGAGGCGCCGCCACCACCACGTCGGTTGCACGACGTCGGGCGCGGGCGGCGGCGGCGCGGCCTTCGCCGGCGCGCAGGGCTTGCACGGCGCGCACGCCAGCACGGGCTCGCCCGTCGTCGGGCTGAAGAGGGCCGGCGGCGCGAGCGGCGAGGCCCCGCCGGCGACGCAGCAGCCGCCGGCGCAGAGCACGAAGCGCCGCGCCTCGACGCGCGGCGCCTCCTCGTCGTCGCCCATGTCGTCGCCGAGGAGCGGGCTCGCGACGGCGACGTCGTGGCAGGCGCAGCCGACGTGGTGGTGTTCGACGACGCCCCAGCAGCTCAGCACCGCCGAGGCCACGTTCACGACGACGCCCGCCAGGCTGACCCAGAAGAGCGCGCCGAGCCGCTCGATCGCGGCGGGCTCGAGGAGCCGGCACAGCGCCGTCAGCGCGATGGACAGGCAGACGGCCTCGAGCGCGGCGACGTTGACGAGGGCGCCGACGGTCGACGCGCGCGCGTAGCCGAAGGGCAGCGTCCGCGCGTCGAAGTCGCGGCGGTCGAAGGCCTCGGCCAGCTGCGCGACGACGGCCGCCGCGGCGTCGCTCAGGTTGTGGAAGCCGTCCGAGACGAGCGCCAGCGAGAGGATGGACGTGCCCACGAGGATCTGGGCGCCGGCCAGCCCGAGGTTCAGGGCCACGACCCATCCAAGGCTGAAGCGCGCCGGCGCCGCGGCCCGCGCCGGCCCGGGCGCCTCGACGTCGTTCGGGGTGCTGCCGTCCATGCTCGCAGCGCACTGGGGCTGCTTGCTGGCGGCCCGGGCTGAAGGAGGGTGGTTTGACGTTGCCTCCGTGTTTGAGGGATCTGACTAACTTCTTGACTCCCACGTCATAGCATCGAAACACTAAACGGCAACCGGCAGCGCCCGCAAATTGCACGCAGCGCGGCTCCCGCCGTCCCTCCCCATCCGCACACGCCCCCGGCAGCCGCGCGGCGCGAAAACGCGGGCCCGCGCGCCGCGCGCGGCGCTTTGCAGCCCACATCGCCCGATGGCTTTTTTCAACCGCGCGCGGCGCGTAGCCCACACCGCGCGCGGCCTCCGTCGCGGAAGACTCACGCGCGCGCGCGCCGCAGGTCAATAAAGATGTGCAAGGCTCCCAAGGAGGACGAGTTCCGCGGCGCCGAGTCCACCGGCTCCGCCAAGGGCATGATGGCCGGCGCCAACCTGTTCGGCCTCATCAACGCCGTGCTCACGTGCGTCGTGCTCGGCATCGTCGCGACGCGCGGCGGCGACACGAAGAAGACGACGAACAACGCCGCCGACGCGCACCTCGACACGCCGGTGTGGATGAAGCAGGCGTTCCTCAACAGCATGAAGGTGGACTACGGCGAGAACCCGTGCATCGACTCGACCGGCCAGGCGCCGCTGCGCGCTGACCTCGGCGACATCGAGTGCGAGGACGCCGGCGCGCAGTCGGCCACCGACGTGACGAAGGGCGCCGCGGGCGACTTGGACCCCGCCCTCGCGCCCATCGTGGACTACAACGACATGGGCATGTGCACCGTCAACGTGCACTGGCACATCGGCGCCGAGCACCGCAGCGAGGGCCAGTACGACGAGAACCAGTCCTTCGACCACCCGAACAAGGACACGTACGCGGGCTCGCACCGCCGCCTCGCGTCCGCCGACGGCGGCATGAACATCGGCCACATGTGCAAGGCGGGCAAGGACCTATGGGAGGCCAACGACCCCTCGGTCCGCAACACGGACGGCTCGGTCAACGAGTACGACTGGAAGTACTGCAAGGACATGCACGTCGGCCTCACGTACGAGTTCCACTGGCCCCACTCGTCGCTCGGCGCCTGCCAGACGCCGTGGCAGTACCAGTACCACTTCCTCGACGGCGTCCTCTGCGGCGCGACGATGGGCAATGTCGACATCGGCACCGCTTCCCAGCTCCTAATGGACAAGACCCACGGCATCGGCGTCGAGGGCCAGGTCTTCACGATCGTCAACGGCATGGGCGGCGAGGCCATCCGCCCGACCTGGGACGTGCTCAACGGCTGGGACCGCCAGGCCGCCAAGGACGTCGCCTACTACCAGGGCTCGACCACGGGCGACGCCGTCCAGAGCGGCGCCAACGCCGGCGACATGTGCCGCGGCACGGGCAACCTCGTCACGTGGCACGTGGACCGCGAGTGCCACACGCTCGAGGCGTCGACGATGGACGAGATGTGCCGCCGCATGCTCGTCATCTCCGCCGACGACATGTCCCCCGACGTCATCCCGCACGGCGCCCGCGACACGGTCGTCGCCTCGCTCACGGACCCCGCGGAGGACCACCCGGACTACCCGGGCACCCGCCGCCTCCGCGGCTCCAACTAGGCGCCGTCGCCACCCGCGGCCCACGGACACCTCGCACAAGGCGCGACTTCCGGCGGAGACCGCACCGCACCCCACCCCCCCCCCTCGGTGGTGTCGCCACGCCGAGGCGACAGCCGACGTGTACGGCGCTCGATCGACTTCTCGCGACGCGGCGCGGTTTAGATAAACTTAATATTATTTAAACTTAACCCGATGTCTCGCCTCTTAGGCCCCCCGCGCCGGCGCCGCCGCGAGCTCGAGCGCGCGCTCGCAGCCGCCGTACGCGCCCCACGCCGCGTGGCGCTTGATCATGGCGTTCATCGTGACGAGGGGCTCGGCGCCGGCCACGAAGAGGTCGAGGTAGCGGCCCGCGTCCGCCACCGTGCGCGCCTCCTCGGTGCCGTCGCCCAGTTCGTTCGCGCGCGACGCGCTGAAGGCCTCGTGGTCGCCGACGCGGCGGATCATCAGCTTGGGCACGGGGTAGAAGGCCAGCTCCGAGGGCTTGCACGCCAGCACGTCGACGACGGGCACCAGCAAATCCGTCGCGGCGACGGCCGCGAAGTAGTCCGAGAAGGCCAGGAGCGTCACGGGCGCGAAGTCTTGACTCCGCTGCAGGGCGACGACGCCCGCGTGGTCCCCGATCACCTTCAAATCCCCGCCCGCCGCAAAACCTAGGGCCGCGAGCGTCTCGAGCAGGCTCGCCCTCAAATCCGCGTGGTCGCCGGCGTTGAGCACGAGCTTGACCGTCCCGCTTTTGCAGAGGGGCGCCACGCGCTCCGTGAGCTCCGTGATGAATTTCTTCTGCGCGCCGGCGCCGCCGACGGGCACGAGCACCCGTCGCGGCTCCCGGGCCTTGGCCCGCTTCATGCGCGCGTCGCAGTCCCTCGGGATGTTGTCGACGAGGTGCTTCGGGATCCAGTGGCCCGCGAGCTTGATGAGCGACCCGCCCTCCCGGAGGTAGTCGCCCTCTTCGAACTTCTTCAGGAACCCGTAGTAGTTCCGCGGGCCCTGGACCAAATTCAACGCGGTCGGCGCGACGACGAACCACTGCGGGTGGTTGTCAATAACTAAATTGACGACGTTGTCCATGCCGGCGGCCGCCGCCGCGAGCGCGACGAGCGTGTGCGTCGCGATCACGGGCGCGCCCCGCGGCAGGCCCTTCATGAGCGGCGCGAGGCGCGCGCCGACGAGCGCCGTGCTGCGCAGGGACGTGGCGTCGCCCGACGACGTCAGGAACCCGTGGATCAATTCAAAGGGCCCGCCGACCTCCGTGGCCAGCTTCGAGGACTTGCGGTACAATTTGTCCGTGTCGTGCACCAATCTCGCTTCGGCGGACTCGATGCTGAGCAGGTCGTGGAAGTACACGTGCTTCTTGGCGGCGACGGCCCAGGACGACGCCGCGTAGGCGATGCGCTGGTGGCCGAAGCCCATGCGGATCGTGCCCACCACCAACGCTTTCGCGTCCGGCTCGTCGATCCCGTCGCCGGCCGTCGTCACCCGCAACCCCTCGACGTGCGGCGACGGCGTCCACCCCAAACTTACAGTTTTTTCGAGGGAGGCCTCGATGGGGAACTCGCTCGCGCCCGTGAGGCGCTCCGTCGCGACGACCTGCAGCTTCCGCGGGAACGACGCCGGCCCGCCCGTGAACGCGTCGATATTAAGATGGGCGAGCGGTTTTAGCAATGCGTCGTACTCCGTCTCGATCTGGTCCTTGAAGTAGAAGGCCGCCGCGGCGCCGACGGCGACGGCGACCGCACACGCGGTGCTGAGGAGCACGGCTACGGTCTTCACCAAGCCCATTGTTGCACAGCAGCCGTACTCGCGGCTGCACAAAAGGCTGGCTTGCCGCAGCAATCTAGTGGGTCATAACTAGCTCAGTTACCCGCCGCAACGCAAAACGAGGCACGCACGCGTCGCAGGACGTGTCTATGCAAAACGGACCCTTCGCTTGCGGATCCAGCTCGACCGCCGTGCGACAGGCGCTGGACAAGGCGCTGGACAAAACGCACCAGGAGCCAACTGCCAGGAGCAACACAAACAAAGTCTTATTAGTTGGCGTCGATTCCATAAAAAACGCACCAGGGACAGCACGCGGGCAGCCATTCGATGGGTAAAAAATGATGACGAGGCAGCCTTTGACCGAGGCGCCGCCTCCGAGTCGCGCGGCACAGTCGCCCCTCCGCTGGTCGTACAGTGATCGATTCGTCGTCCCGGAATGCGAGGCCCCGGCGCCAGGGTTCGTCGCAGCGCCCGCCGCGGCGCCGCCCGGCGAGGCGCCCGCGCCGGCCGCGCCGCACGCCGCGCCGGCGCCCGCACCTGCTGCGGAAGCGCCCGCCCCGGCGCTCGCGCCCGCCCCCGCGCCGGCGGCGGCGAGCGAAGCCCCGGCCCCCGCGCCGGGCCCGGCGCCCGACCTCGACGCCGTTATAAGGACGCTCCAGGCGCGCTGGCGCGGCCGCGTCCTGCCGACGCTCCGCGCCGTCGCGGAGGAGGCCCTCGACGTCGCCGAGCTCGACCGCCTGCTCGACGAGGACGACTCGGACGGCGGCGAGGAAAAAGGCCCCGATCCCGAGCCAGCGCCGCCGCCGGAGGTCGACCGCGCGACGAGGCGCCGGGCGCTCCAGGAGCTCGCGCGGAACCTCCAGACGCTCGCGAGCGCCGCGGAACGCGAGCACGCGTCGCGGGCGCGCCTGCCGCGCGTGAGGCGCCTGGGGGGCGTGATCGTGTTCGAGGCGACGATCGCCGACCACGGCCGGATGCGCGCGGCGGCGGGCGAGCGCCTCGAGGCGCTGCGAGCGTCGGGCGCGCTCGGCCCGTCGGCGGCGCACGCGGCGGTGTTGGACCTCGCGCTGCCGCTCGCGCGCGAGGGCGCGCGCGTCGACGACCGAGGTGCGGTACGAGAGCTCCGCCGGGCCGTGGACCGGCACGCCGTGCTCGTGCGGCGCGCCTTGCGCAAGGACGACCGTCGGCAGGCCGCCGAGCGAGCCGCCGCGTCGCCCCCGCGCCGACCGCCGCGCGAGCGAGCGCGCCCCGTCAAGCTGAGCCCGGGCCGCCGCGCCGCCGTTCGGCGGCTGCGGGCGGGGCGCGCGAACCGTCCGGCGCCGCCGCCAGAACGTCCGGCGCGGTCAAACTTCCCCTCGACGGCGACGGACGAGCCCCTCGAGATCTCGCGGTTCTGTGACTACCGGCCGCGCGAGGAGGACCTGCTGGGCCTGCGGCTGTAAGACGATGTATGATAGAAGTTTACTAGGGGGAAGGGAGGGACGGGGTGGCGCGCTTGTCACGCCCTGCGGGATTTCTTCGGCGACCGCTCGGCCTCGTCGGAGGGCTCCGCGGCCCGCTTGCCGCTCGCCGCCGCGCGCTGGACGCCCACGAGCCGCTCCACAAGCGCCGCTTTGAGCCCCTTGGTGTCGGCGCCCGCGGCCTCGAGCGCCGCGCGGAGCTCCGCGACCTTCATCTTTTTCGCCTGGCGCGTCGCCGCGGCTTCATCAAAGCCCTCCTCGGCCTCGGGCGCGGCCTCCGTCGCGTCGGACGCCTCGGGCGCGGCGGGCGGCGCGCCCCCGGCGGCCGCGCGCTGGACGCCGACGAGGCGCTCGACGAGCGCGGCCTTGAGGCCCTTCGTGTCCGCGCCCGCGGCCTCCAGGGCGGCCCGGAGCTCGGCGACCTTTAGCTTCTTCGCAGCCTTCGTCGCGGAAGCCTCGTCGAACGCCGGCTCGGCCTCCATCGCGTCGGACGCCTCCGGCGCGGCCGGAGCGGCGGGCTCGGCCTCCATCGCGTCGGACGCCTCCGGAGCGGCCGGCTCGGCGGCCGCCGGCGCCTCGCCGGTCGCCTCGGCGCGCAGCGCGCCGACGAGCCGCTCGACGAGCGCGACCTTCAGGCCCTTCGTGTCGAGGCCCTTCTCGGCGAGCGCCGCGCGCAGCTTCGGCACCGTGAGCTTCTTGCAGGCCCGGCGCGCCGCGGCGGCGTCGAAGGTCCGGACGGGCGACGGCGGCGCCGCCGGCTCCATGATGACGACGTCCTCCTCGTCCGCCGCGGCGACCTCCGCGGCCCGCGTCAGCCAGAGCAGCACCTCGCCCACGTTCGTCGTGTCGTCCGAGCACGCCCTTCTTAATTCCTTGGCCGCCCGCCGCAAGACCGGGTCCTCGCACGCCTCGACGGCCGCCCACGCCGCGGCGACGTCGGGCACGGCGCCGAGCGCCGCCCGCTTCGCGTCGAGCGCCTTCTCCTTCAGCTCGTCGTCGAGCTCGTCGACCCAGCGCCACGCGTCGCTCAGCCCGCTCAGGCCCGCGACCGACGCGCGCCGCGCCGCGCGCGCCGCCGGCGAGTCGACGCCCTCGAGCTGCTTGAGCGCGTCGGCGAGCGCCGGCAGCGTCGATGCGCGGCGGTCCGGCGCCTCGTCCAGCGCGTTCGCCCGGAGGAAGGCCTCGCGGAAGATGCGCGTGACGTCGCCGGGCTCGTCCTCCTCCGGCGGCGTCTCGTCGCGCACGTGCGCGTCGTCGTCGTCCATGTCCTCCATATTAGCGACGTCGTCGCCGGCGTCCGTCGCGTCGTCGTTGAACTGGTCCCGGGCCTGGTCCCGCGACTCTAAAGCAGCCCAGGCGTCCTCGAGCGCGGCGGGCGCCGCCTCGACCACTTCATTCGAATTCGTCTCGCGGCCCGCGAAGCCCTCGGGGTCCGCCGCGAACGAGTCGAGCGCCGAGGCGAAGGCCGGGCCGTAGGCCACGCCGGCCTTGGCGACGTCCTCGGCCCGCTGCGCGATGAGGGCCTTGTCCTTGTCCGAACATTCCGAGGCTAACGCGGCCAAGTCGCTCACCGAAATGTTTTCGGAGTTCGCGGCCTCGACGGCGCGCCGCGCGTCCTCGTCTTTCTTGCTGAGGGTCTCGAGCCAGCTCCAGGCCTCGCCCAGGTCGACCGTGTCGTTGCCGCCGTAGTGGCGATCCAGGACGCACGCGTACGCCAATCGGGGCTCCATCTCCCGGTCGACGAGCAACTGCGCATTCTCCTGAACCTTTGCGAGCGCCTCCGGCGCGACGGCCGCCTCCATGTCCGCCAGCAGCTCCACGACCTCGTCGTCCGCGTCGTCGTCCGAGGACTCGTAGAGCGCCGCGAAGCGGTTCTCTCCCCCGAACTCGCCCGTGCCCACGAGGCAGCGCCACGCGCCGGCGGCGTCGCCCGCCGCCAGGGACTTCCGCGAGTTCCGCACGGCCTCGGCGCCGGCGGCCCGCAGCTCGGGGTCCTCCAACGATTCCATCCAGCCCCAGGCCTCCTGGAGCTCGGGCACGCGCGCGACGGCCTCGGGCTTCGGCGCCGCCGTCTCCGTCGTCTCGTGCAGCGCCGTGAGCCAGTCCCAGACCTCGCCGAGCTCGGGCAGCGCCGCGATGGACTGGCGCCGCCGCCGGGCCTCCTTGCGCCGCATCGCGGCGCGCGCGTCGCCGGGGTTGCTCTGGCGCTTGCGCGCGCGCTTGAGGCGGCGCTTCCGCGCCGCCTCCTCGTCGTCGGCGCCCTCGAGCAGCGCGGCGATGCTCCGCGACCCCTCGCGCGTCAGCGTGTGGTCGTCGACGGGCGCCGTCGCCGCCGCGAGCACGTCCGTCGCCGACGGCGCGGCCTCCGCCTCGGCCTTCGGCGCCTTGGCCACCGAGGCCCAGCTCCGCGCCGCCGCCGCGACCGCGGCCTTGACGAGGTCCTGCTGGCGCGCGTCGAGCACCTCGCGCCGCAGGCCCGCGGGCAGGGCGTCGACGCGCACCGTCTCCTCCTTCGGCCGCGCCCAGGGCGACGCCGCGAGCGCCGCCTGGGCCTTGGGCGAGGCAGGCCCGTCGGCGGACGCCGGGCGGAAGGGCGTCGGCCGCCGCAGGCCGCCGCCGGACCGCGACGGCGTCGCGCCGGCGAGCGGCGCGAACGTGACGCCGCGCGCCTTCGCGGGCGACGCCGCGAAGCGCACGGCCGGCCGCGGCGGCGCCTCCTCGACCGCGAAGCGCACGCTCGGCCGCGGCGGCTTCGCCGCGACGGGCTCGGCCCCGAGCGACTCCTCCTGCGTCAGGCCGCCGACGGCCGCGTCGGTCAGCGAGTCCTGCGAGTTCTCCTGCGTCGACAGCGACGGCTCGGCCTCCGCGGCCTCGGGCTCGGTCTCCATCGCGGCGGGCTCCGGCGCCGCTTCCGTCGCCACGGGCTCGACGGCAGGCTCGGCGACGGGCTCCGTCTCCATCGCCGCGGGCTCAGTTGCCGCGGGCTCAGTCGCGGCCGCCGCGGGCTCGGCGACGGGCTCAGCTTCCGCCGCCGCGGGCTCGGCGACGGGCTCGGCCGCGGGCTCGGCGACGGGCTCGGCAGGGGGCTCGGCCGCGGGCTCGGCCGTGGGCTCGGCGACGGGCTCGGCTGCGGGCTCGGTCTCCATTGCCGCCGGCTCAGGCGCCGCTGCAGCGGGCTCGGCCGCGGGCTCGGCCTCCGGCGCGGCCGCCACCGGCTCGGTCTCCATCGCCGCGGGTTGCTCGGCCGCCTCGGCGGGCGCGGGAACCGGCTCGGCCTCCTCCATGGGCGCGGGCTCGGCGGCGGGCTCCGGCTCCGGCGCGGCCGCGGCGGGCTCCAGGGGCGTCGGCTCGGCCGGCGCGGCCGGCTCGGCCTCCATGGCAGCCGGCTCCGGCTCCGGCGCGGCCGCCTCGGGCGCGGCCTCGGCCTTGCGGAGCACCTCGCCCGCCGTGAGTGACTTGCGCCCCGCCTGCTGCAGGAGGCGCGCCTTGAGCACGGCCGCGAAGGGCCGCGCCGGCGGGGCCGCGGCCGCCGTCGAGTCGCGGTCGCCCGTCGAGGCGACGCGCGCGCGCCGCGCGGCGAGCTTGGCCCGCAGCTCGCCCGCGAGGTCCTGGGGCACCGGCGCGGCGGCCGCGCGCGGCGGCGGCGGCGGCGGCCGCCAGCCCGGCGGCCGCGCGGGCTTGGCGCCCTCGAGCGCGGCGAGGCGCCGGTCCGTCGCGGCCTTGAGCTCGGCGGAGAAGCTCGGGGCCGCGGGCGCCGCGCGGGGCGGCGGCGGCGGCGGCGGCGGCTTCGCGGGCCGCCCGAGGACCGACGACCGGCGGCGCGCCGTGATCGCCTGGAGCAGGCCCGACGGCAGCGGCTTCGCGACGTCCCGCTTCTCGGCCGTCACGTTCTCCTCCTCGGTGATCGAGGCCATCGTCGTCGTCGCCGCGAGCACGGACGCCTCGAAACGGAAGCGCTTGCCGCAGATCTCGAAGACGTCGCCGTCGCGCACGTCGCGCGCGGCCTTGGGCGCGAGCGGCTGCGCGTTCAGGAGCGTCGCGTTCGCGGCCTTGGCGTGGTTGACCAGCGACACGCGCGCGTTCTGGTCCACGCGCAGCTCGGCGTGGAGGCGCGAGCAGTGCGCGAGCGCGATGCGCACGTCCGACGTGAGCGCGCGGCCGAAGGTCACGGTCGCCGCCGCGCTGGCGTCCAGCGGGATGCGGTTGCCGTCGTCGCCGTTCGAGCGCAGGACGCAGATGTGGCCCGCGGGGGCGACGGTAGCGGCCATCTTGGGGCTCTGGGCCGGGTGCTCGGTTTTGGCGCGTCTTTGGGCCGCGTCGCTTTGGGGCGCGGTCCGGGCGGTCACAGGCCACTGCTCGCGCAGCGCCTCGACGTCAGATATGACGAGTGGCGCTGTACGCAGCTCAATATACCGCGTCTCAATTTTAAAAAACCCCCCCAAGGCTAGCGTCTTACGCTAGCGATATCCTAGACCGCGGAGACTTCTTCTCTAGTCCCTACGGATGGGTATTCGACGGCGGCGCGCGCAGCCTTGCAGCTGTGTTGGTCGGCGGTACATGGTGCTGGCACCAGCCTGGTGGCACGCAGTGGCTTCTCGCACAGCAAACCATCGTGATTGCTGGCTAGTTTTGCAAGTTTCGCATTCGCACCGCAACTGCAGCGTTGCCTTTTGCATATAGAGCACTGCTACCCGTGTGCCAGCAGCGTGCCACCCGTGCCAATGCTGCGCTACCTCGTCGCCGCGGCGCTGCTCTGCGCGTGCCAGGCCTTCGCACCAGCACCAACACCGCGCAAACGACAGCTACGAAAGCCAGCGATGCTGCCGGACCCGACGCTGTCGCTGGCCCTCGGCACGGACGCCGACGTGGCCACGTTATTCAACATCGTGACCTTCGTGCCCCAGGCGACGTGCTGGATCCCTATGATATTAAGTGGATGCGGCGTCGCGAAGCCCGTGGCGAATGCTATCATGCGGCCGTGGGGCCCGACGATTTTGTTTTCGCTCTGCCACGTGGCCATCGTCGTCATCAGCGCGACGCAGCCCTCGGGCGTCGCGCCCATCGCAGAGTTCAACGAGGTTTTTAATCCCGCGGGCTTCCCGTTCAGCACGGCGCCGCAGGCGGCGATGCAGGGCATGATGCAATACGTAAACTTCGTGAGCGAGGAGTGGCCGCACGTGTTGATTTGGGACCTGTTCGTCGGGCGGTACATCTGGCTCGACGGCGAGCGGCGGGGCGTCTTCACGCCGCACTCGGTGCTCCTCACGAACCTCATCGGGCCGCCGGGCCTCATGCTCCACTTCCTCACGTGCGTTTTGACGGGGAAGGGCCTCCCGCCGACGGAAGAGGAGGTCGCCTAAGCTAGTTGTGTTTTTTTTCGTCGCGCGAGATGTTGTTACGGTGGCGAGGACTCGTGGGCGGAGCCCCTGGGGATTCATCGGCGGCGGGCGCGTGCCGCGTTTTCATAACAGCGCACCTCCGGTGCAGCACGATCCTGTCGTGAGGCTGAGGCTAGTTACGTCGCAGGGTTCCCCGTACCCCTCCCGCTCCCCCCGGGCCCACGCCGCGCCGCGACCCCCGCCGGAGGCGCGACCCGCGCCACCGCCGCTGCGACCTACTCCGCCGCCGCCGCCGCCGTTCTCCTTCTGCTGGGACGGCTCGCGCGTCGACGAGCCCGCGGCCGTCCAGCCGCCCGCCGCGTCGGCGCCGCGGAATGGCTCTTCGTATAATTCATGACATTTTATTCAGGAACGCCAAGTCCCAGGCTTGTCGTGGTGCTAGAACTAGTGGGCGGAACGACAAGGTTGCTTGCCAGGATGCCTAGTGTCTTACTGGCCGCTAGTTCGATAGCATAGCATAGCGCTTCTAAGCGCTTAGCCTCTACCCACGCTGTGGCTCACCAGGAACCTAGAGACCAGTTCGAACGCCAGCGCCAGCGCTCTGCCCCAAGTCAAGTGCTCTCACATAACTAGACAAATGAGCCTCAGCACAGACGCAGACGTAGCCGCGGCCGAGGGCGACCTCGCGGCGCTGCGCGTGCACGCGGACCGCCTCGCGGACGGCTTCGTGAAACGGCGCCTGGCCCGGCACCTCGAAACCGTCGCGGACGAGGTCGCCGCGGCGCGGCGCGCGCTCGCGGCGGCCGCCGGCGACGCGCCCACGTCCGCGGCGGCGGCGGCCGCACGGACAGAGGCGCGGCGGGCCCTGGCGGCCGCCGCGGGCGCCGGGGTCCCGCGCTCGCCGGCCGAGGCGACGGCCGTCGCGCTGCACTTCGCGCTCCTCGCGGTCGCCGGCGATTCGCTCCGGGCCGTCGGCGCCGGCGCCGCGGCCGCGGTGCCCGGCTTCGCGCCGCGCGCGAGCGAGCTCCCCGCGGCGAACCGGCTGCCCGCGGACTGGCGGCGCGACGACGGCGGTCGCTTCCAGTATCGATCGACGAGCGGCGAGGCGCTGGAGCTCGCGCTCGACGCGGCGCGGGGCGTGCTGCGCGTCGCGCTCGCATCGCGGACGCGCGGCGTGCTCCACTCGGGCGAGCTCGCCGTCGGCGCCGACGCCGCGGACGGCCTCCTCGCCCTCGCCGACTTCGAGCGCCTCGCGGCCTACGCGCGGGGCGTCCTGCCGCGGCTCGCGGCGCCGGCGCCGGCGCCCGCGCCGGCGCCGCGGCGCCCGCCGGCGCCCGCCGTCCCCGGCTTCGCGCCCGCGGCGCCGCGGCGGCCGGCGCCGCCGGCGCCCCTCGCGCCGTACCCCGACGACGGCTCGGGCCTGCTCGTCGGCCCGGGCCACCCGGCCTTCGGCGGCGGCGCCGTCGACCCCCTCGGCGCCGGCCGTTTCCGGCCCCGCTTCGACCCCATCGGCCCCGGCGGCCCGGGCATTCCCGGACCCTTCGGCCCGGGCGGCCTCGCGGGGCCGCGGCGCCCGCGCCTGCCGGGCGAGCCGGACGACGACCACCTCCGCGTCCCCGGGCGGCCGGGCGACGGCTTCGGCGGCGGCGACCCGTTCATCTAGCCCCCACCATAAACTGTGCTCCCACTGAGCTCTTTTTGCGACCCGTTCATCCAGCCCGTCCCGCGACAAATTGCCAACAAAGTGCACACCGCGCCGCGCCGGCGCGAGGGAGCTGTCATAAGTCTGCTCGGCGTCGTAGGCGTCGCCGCGACGTCTCCCGGCGCGGGCCCTAGTACCTGCATGCCAAGGGAGAGCTGCACAGCGCGGCGCTAAATTGTAGCTCATAACTCGCCCAGCGGGCACCCGAAACGCTGCCCCCGGCGACGACACAGCCGTGAGAGTGGGCGGCGGCAGCCCCCCCGCCGAGACGCGGGGCAAACCATGCCCGCCCTGCCCTACTTAGATTTTGGCCCGCGCTCCGCGAAGGAGGCGGCGGCCGCGCCCGTGAGCTTGGAGGTGGACAGCCCCGTCAAGCCGGCGCGTAGTTTGAGATTGCAGCGCGCGCGCGCGGCGGCCATCCCCAAGGCCACGCTGCTCGACCGCGCGCGGCGCAAGCCCATCGCCATCGTCGACGTCCAGAAGACGCCCGAGTTCAAGCGCGAGAAGCTCATTGAGAGCGACGACGAGGACGACAATAAGGAAGAGAAGGAGGCGTCCCCGGCGAAGCGCGAGTCTCCCAAAAAGAAGGACAGCGCGCTCGAGCGCGCGGCGCTCCTGCGGCGCCTCGGCGCGAACGAAAGTAGTGAAGAGGGCTGGGCCACGGCGATGACCTTTGGCGGCGGCACCTTCGCCCCGAGCATGGCAAAGCAAGGCGTGCGCAGCGCCGAGCTCGCGTTCCTCGAGAACATGGAGGGCCTGAGCGGCGAGCACGTCCTGAAGAGGGCCATCCTCCACCCGGAGCTCCACAAGGCCTGCCGCGCGCTCTCGCCCCGGTCCATGCTGGACCTGCAGCGACGGGTGCGAGGGAAGATGGCGGCGCAGGTCGAAACACTACGCACCAAATTCACGCGCGAGCTCGCCGAGTTAGATTCAAGGGGCGTCTTCCACCCCGATGCGAATGTGAGAAGAGTGCACACGCGCTTCCTCGCGGCGGTGCAGCGCGAGGTGAAGCTCGGCGACATCGAGGCGACTTGTCTAAGGGAGCTGCTCGCGGACCGGGGCAAGCATGTCACGATCCAGGAGCCGCCGCCGAGCCGGCCCCGGACGAGCGAGGGCCCGGTCACGGCCGCGGGCCTGCCGAACCCGGCGGCGGTCGACCGCTCGAAGCTCCTGACGGACGATCAAGTATTCAGACAGTTCGTGACGTGGCACCGCGCGAAGGAGAAGCTCGACCGGCAGCAGCTCACGCAACGGGGCCGGCCGGGGCCCCTGCCGGCGACCGAGTCCTTCGTGAAGTCGTTCGCGGCCCTGGGGCCGCCGGACTTTGCGCGCGTCGGCGAGGGCGCGCACGTGACGGAGCGGGCCCACGGGTCGACCCGCGAGCCCTTCGAGAACTCCTTCGCCCGGGGGAACCGGGCCATCGACCACCAGCGCGACCGCGAGCGGGCGGCGCAGGCCGCGCACGCCGCGCGGCGGGCGCTGGACAAGGCCGCGGAGGCGCGCAAGATCGCCCGGCTCCAGGAAAAGGAAAGGGCGAAGGTCGAACGGCGCAAGCGCGAGGCCGAGGACCAGCGGCGGGTTCGCGAGGCGGAGCGGCGCCGGGCCTCGCTCGAGTCGATGCCGTCGCTAACGCGGTCGCGGCCGGTGACGAGAGGAGACGACCCCCAGCTGAAGCGGCGCCTCGAGCGCGTCTGGCTCCTGTTGAAATTACCGATGGCGACGCGCCTCGCGTTCCTCCAGAAGTACGCGTCGGTCGAGCACGCGCCGCGCCTCGAGCAGGCCGTCGGCCTCTGGGAGCGCGCCGCGGAGGCCTACCCGCGCCTCGCGAAGCTGCGGCGCGTGGAGGCGCGCCTGGCGACGGGCGAGCTCTTCCAGGCCCAGGACTTCGTGAGCCTTCTGCGGGGCATCCTCGTGAAGGGCGACCCGGCGCCGCCCGACGTCCTCGCGGATCCGCCGGTCGTCGACGCCGACGCCGCGGCGGAGGGCTGCGACCGGGGCGCCGCGGCGGCGTGGCTCGCCGAGTGCGTCGAAACGTACGTGGGCCGGTGCGAAGCCGCCGCGGACGAGGCGGAGGCGGTCCTGGGGGACGCGATGCCTTCCCATATAGATTTCGCGCCGCCGCCGGAGCCGCCAAAAGTTCAACGGTCGCGGGCGGGCTCGGAAGCGTCGCTCGGGAGCCGGGCATAAGTAGCATGTGATACTAGTTCACCTGGTCCGTCCGCGGCTTATATTATTACGGTACTAGGACTAGCGGGCGGCGCCCTGCCCGGGCTGGGAGTGAGCCTGGGGGGAGACACCGCGAGTCGTGCGACCTCGGTGGGGGTGTGCGATCCAACAAGACGGAGCCAGGCCAGTCAAGTTGCATGAGAACTACCCCTCCCCGCGGCACGCAACGATTGCCCTGAGCTCTCGAGAGGCAATAGCTATAGTCAATTCGGGTTGCGGGGGCGCGCGCCTAGAGGCGTGACGGGGGAGCTATCCCCCGCGAGCGTGTACGTAAGCTTGCTGCCGGTCTCGAGAGTGCGAAATGCTTTTAAATAGGGTTCTCAGTGCCGTTCCAGCTGCCCACGGACTCCCATAGCGCGGTCCGCGAGGCCATCGCGCTGCAACGCTTCGCGGAGTGGCCGTCTGACCCGGCCGACGCTGCCCGGGCATCGAATCCGGTGCTCGGACGCCGTCGTAGCACATATGGGCAACGCACTGCGGCTCGGCGTGGGTCTCCTCGCGTTCGCCGCGGCGGAGGACCTGCCCTGGTGCGACGAGGACGACCGCTACGACACTCAACCAGTCTTCGACCGGGGACAATACATCGGCTGGCAGACGCCGAAGGTGGCGGCGGCGCTCGACAAGGACCGCGAGGGCCTCGGCCCCACGGGGCGCTACTGCCTGTTAGGCGGCGAGGGCCCGAAGATCGCCGATCGCTTCAAACCCCGGTCGCAGGAGGACGAGTGGCACCTGCCGCATTTGGACGACCTGCGGGAGCGACACGAGGCTCGCCGCGACTACTGGCTGGAGGAGGGCCTCGAGCGCTTCGCGGAGCACCGCGACCGCATCACGGAGCTCACGGACGCCGCCCACGACGCGCACGAGCGCGCGCGGTGGGACCGCGACGAGCGCGCGCACAACCGCGCCGTCGCCATGGACGTCTTCGCCGAGAAGGAGCGCGAGGACTGGGCGAAGATGGAGGAGGAGCTGGCCCATTTATTGGACCGGGACCAGCTCGCGGAGCGGGGCCAGAGCGACCTCGCCATCTCCTCGGCCGAGGAGCGCATGCGCTGGGATATGGAGGAGCGGCGGAAGCGGATGGCCGAGGCGGCGGCGCGGGCCTAACAATATGTTTACTTAGTTATCCCGTCGCGGCCTTGAGCGCGAAGGCGGCGCCGACGACCGCGAAGAGTGCGGCGGCCGCGCGCTCGATTTGCCGGTCGTCGAGGCGGCCCGCGAGGCGCGGCGCGATCTGGCCGCCGAGGATGACCCCGGGGATCGTGTAGCGGACGAGCTCCCACGGAACTTCACTCGCGTCGAGCTCCGCCAGTTGTGTTACGGCGGCTGCCGCGGCGGTGCCCGCGACGACGGCGACGGAGGTGCCCGCGGCCTGTGGCAGCGGCCGGTCGCGCGAGATTTGCGGCAATACGACTTCGCCGACGCCGACGCCAAGCAGGCCCGTGAGGAAGGCCCCGCCGGCCGTCGCGGCGCCGTCGGTCAGCTTGTCCCCGGGCGGCGGCGCCACACAGTCCCGCCGCGCGAGGTCCGTCGCCAGCGACAGCATCAGCAGCGCGTAGACGGCGCGCAGGAGTTGCGCGTCGCCGGCGAGCGACGGCGCACATACCGCGCCGACGAGCGCTCCGGTGACGGCGACGGCGAGGATCTCCCGCGCCACGGCCCAGTCGACCAGATCCCGCCGCGCGTAGCCGACGAGCCCAGAAGCGAAGCCGAACGTCTCCGTTAGCAGCGCGGACGCCACGGCCGCGGCGGCCGAGTCCAGCGGGTAGTCGGGGCCCAGCAGCGGGAAGACGAGCAGGAAGATGGGCGAAAAGAGCGCCGCGCCGCCGATGCCGCAGAGTTGGCAGCACGTCGCGACCGCCGTCGACGCGGGCAGCATGAACGAGTAGTCGGCGACCGCCGCTGCTGGCGGACTGCGCAGCGTGAGACGAGGCGGGCCCGCCGGCACCACGAATGCGTTGGCGGCTGCTGCGACGCTGGTCCAGCGCCATGCCAGCATGCTGACAGCCTGCAGGATTGCAATGCAGCTGCCTGGAAGTGTAGTGGTAATCGATGGAAATACGAGGCTTAAATTTTGTTGCTAGTCACTCTTGCCACGAATCATCAGCCAAAACGAGCCGTACGGGCAGTAGCGGCTGGCAGGACGCCGCCACACTGTGGCCCACAGCAGCTTGGTTGGTTGCTAGTCTCTAGCCTGAGGACGGGCTTGCGGGAGGGGTACGGGGCCCCGCGACGTAACTAGCCTGAGCCTCTAGCATGTGCACAGGAGGAGACGCACACGCACTTACTTCTTGGCCTTCGCCGCGCGCGCCTTCGCGAGGAGCGCCTCGATGGAGACGTCGGGCCTGCCGGGCGGCGCCCGCTTGGGGCTCTTGCGCGCGGGCGCCTTGCGCGGAGCGGCGGGCTTGCGCGCGGCGGGCGCCTTGCGCGCGGCGCGGCGCGGCGGCGGCGGCGGCGCGTCGCAGTCCATCGGCACCGCGCGGCGCCGCGGCGGCGGGCGCCGCGGCGCCTCGTCCTCTTCTTCAGAAGACGACTCGTCCATGGGCGCGGGCGCCTTGCGCCGCTTGGAGGAAGCGGGCGCGCCGGAGCGGCGGCGTTTTGAAGAAGAGGCGGCGAGGGTCCGCAGGTGGCCGCGCAGGCGCTCGTAGTCCGGCGCCGCATTATGAGCGAGGGCGCGCGCGTCCGCGAGGAAATCCCCCAAAGGCCGCGCGTCGCCGGCGAAGCCCACCAAATCGTCCTCGAGCGCGGCGAGCACGCCGTAGGCGTCGCCGCACTTTTTCTTCGCCGCCAGCACGGCCTCGTCCGATTGTGCAGAGTCCCAGGGCAGGCGGTCGTCCGCGGCCGCGCAGAGCAACACGTAGGCCAGGGCCTCGACGTCGTCGCGGCGCGCCGGCGGCGATGATGAAGACGCCAGGGACGCGAAGCGCGGCGTGCCCGCCTGGCCGCCGCCCTCGTCCTCTGCTTTATGTTTGCCGGACACGGCCGAGACGTATCTAGTGGCGACGCCAAAGTCCACCAAGCGCGCTTGGTCCTTGTCCCGGATCCGACCGGACGAACAAGTCCCCAGCATAATGTTCTCGGGCTTCATGTCGCAGTAGACGTACTTCTGCGCGTGGAGCACTTCTAACGAAGCAAGGCAGTCCGCGCCGATCGACGCGAGTTGTTGCGGTGTTAGTCGCGTCTCGGCCATCTCGTCGCCCAGGGACGGGCCGAGCCGTTCCAGTACTAAATACCGGCAGTTCTGATCTTCGCCGTAGCCGACCTTCGTGCCGAAGCGCCGCGGGTGCCGGTTCAGCACGTTGGCGTACAGCAAATGCTCCGCAAATAGTGTGTCGGCGGCGCGCTTCTTGTCCATATAATCTTTAGCCTTCTTCTTGGATTGGGGCGGGATCGGCGCGGCCTTGACGACGAGGTCCGCGTCGGATTGCTGTAATTTTTGGGCTCTTGATAATTTAGCGCCCTGGACACGCTCGCAGCAGTAGACCTCGGCGCAGGCGCCCTCTCCTAATCTCGCGCCGACGCGGAACTCGCCCTTCAGGACTTGGTTTCGGCTGAGGACTGGCATGCTGCTCTGCTGCTGTTCTTGTGGTACGGTTTCTCGCGCAGCGGCTGCGCTAGCAATGGCAGGCTGTGAAATACAGCAATCTGTGACTGATTGACTGCGAGGAGGCGCGCACGCTGTATATACGCGCGCGCGGCGGCCAAATCGTTTTTTTGGTGTTTAAACGGGTTTTCTCCCCTCGAAGATCTCTCTCCACGCGTTGGAGGAAGTCCGAAACGAGTGAGAGAAAGCATGGCGCGGGGCATTTCAGGCGCCAAAGCTGCTCAAGCCAGTCCGAGCTGGTGAGTGCTTGGAGGCTATAAAGAGCCCGTAGCCGCGTCAAATACTTCGATTTTGACGAGTGGCAACGCCGACGGCAGAGCTGCGAGAGATCTGGCTCGGCAGACTGTGAGCAGGGTGCCGCAGAGCTGGACTTGAGACCAGGCGGCGGCGCCGTGGAGCCCACAAAAACGAGAGACGAGGTGAAGAAGAAGACCGCGCGTGCACCACGCACGGCGTCGCCGAGAAAAGACGCCCGCGCGCGCCGCGCCGGCACCGCGTCACGCGCGCAGGTTTCAATTATGAGGGTCCTCCTCGCTCTCCTAGGCGCCGCCAGCGCCTTCGTGGGGCCGGCCGCCGCGCCGCGACAACCGACGAAACTGAACGTCGTCGACGCCGCGCTCGCCGCGGCCCTGGCGTCGGCGCCCGTCGACGTCGCCAAGCTGAACAGCCGGCTCCCCACGACGACGCTCGCCAAGACGCGGACGATCACGCGCGAGGGCTTGTACGGCGACTACACGGTGGAGATCATCGACGAGCCGAACCCTTTGGACGACGCCCGGTCGACGTTCAAAACTCGCGCGCAGACCAAGAAGGGCAAGAACAAGTACCTCGGGCTCTTCGTCGTGCTGCTCTTCGGCTCCTTCGTGATCCCCATGGCGCAGTACTTCTGGTACGTGCGCGACACGCCCGACTCGCTCTTCGCGAACGAGGAACCGCCGCCGCCGCCGCCCGCGCCCAAGAAGTTCTGGGAGCGGTAGGGGGTGTCGCGGTCTAACCGTTCTTCTGAGTCCTGTGCGCGGTCGTTCTTGGAGGTGGGACCCGCGCCGCGCCCAGATGCCAGAGCTAGAAATTTCCGTGCTCTTTAGCACTCCCCCGTCCCGCACGACTGCTCTTGGAGGCGCGAGCGGCCGCGAGCCGAGAGATCCGGAGCACAGCGAGTTGTTGCGTGTCCCAGGTGCTACCAAGCTAACTCCACAATGAGCAAAGCTGCACGCATTGCCATGCAAGGACAGTGTCCCAGGACGCGTTATTTCGCAGTTGCACAAATTTCAAGGCTGTACGATGCTCCTGCCTCGAGCACCAAAGGTGTAGCCAAACCCACTGCACAAAGCGCAGCCACGCGCGGCTTGCCCGGAAGCGCTCGCGCGGCGGCCGCCGCGCGGCCGCCGGCGCGCCGCGCGCGCACGCCGGCGCACGGGCAAAAAATCAGACTGGCCGGCGCGCGCGACGCGTTACACCCAGAGGAAGAGCAAGACCAGGGTTCTTGCAGAACCAGAACTCTAGAGGAATCTAGAGGTCAAGTTCGGGTATAAGACCCTCCTTGGTAACAAAAAAAAACACACAGGTCCGTGTCGCTGCTGCTGCGCCCGGCGGCCTGCTTCGCGCGCGCCGCGCGCGGCGCCGCGCGCGCCGCGCGCCTCGCCTCGACGACCGTCGTCGAGGGCGCCGAGGGCACCGAGAGCTACCGCCAGTTCTTCGAGGAGGGCGGCAAGCGCATCTCGCCCTGGCACGACATCCCGCTCGAGGCCGGCGGCGGCGCCTACAACATGGTCACCGAGATCCCGAAGTACGGCCTGGCCAAGATGGAGGTCGACACGAAGGGCGAGTCCAACCCCATCATGCAGGACACGAAGAAGGGCAAGCTCCGCTTCTACCACGGCCCCATCTTCTGGAACTATGGGTGTTTGCCTGTGCACAAATCAACCACACCGCCACGCCGTCGAGCAGGCGTCGCTTCGATGGCGTGGAGGTCGACGGAACGCGCCGTGACATTTTGATCCATGCACAGGTGCCTGCCCCAGACGTGGGAGAACCCGAACGAGAAGCACCCCGAGCTCGGCTGCTTCGGCGACGACGACCCGATCGACGTGGTCGAGATCGGCTCCTCCGCCTTAGAAGCGGGCTCGGTCACGCCGGTGAAGCCTCTCGGCGTCCTCGCGATGATCGACGACGGCGAGCTCGACTGGAAGGTCATCGCGGTGGCCACGTCCGACCCGCTCGCGTCGAAGCTGAACGACATTGATGATGTGGAGAAGGAGTGCCCCGGCTACGTCTCGGGCATCCGCGAGTGGTTCCGGTGGTACAAGACGCCCGACGACAAGCCGCTCAACGCCTTCGGCTTCGACGAGGCCGCGCTGCCGAAGGCCAAGACCGTCGAGGTCATCGCCGAGACGCACGCCGCCTGGAAGGGCCTCCGCGACGGCTCCATCGACGCGGGCAAGCTCTGGACGGGCAAGTAGATGTGCCTCTTTTTAAGACTCGAGACCGTTGTAGTCGTATTTAATCGGTCGCCATTCACAGACCCCGCACGCATCGCAGCGTCCCGGGGGAGCGGGAGCGACTAGGGGTCGCGCGCGTGTAAAACCCGAACCCCCGCAGCGCCCGCGACGTCGCGACCGGAGAGCCCCTGCTTTTTGGGGCCCGTGCTCCGCATATCCGGCGCCAAAGGCAGTGAGAGCAGGTTCTTCCGTAAGTCACCAGCTTCGGGCAAGGCTGCCCCGCACAACCATGTCGCGCTCCAGCACGCCCCTGGCCACGACGCGCTCCAAGATGGAGCGCGCGTCGCGCGACACGAAGAAGAAGTCCCCGCTCCCGCACGACGATCAGGCGCCGCGGCGCGAGGGCATCTTCGTGCTCGGCGAGCAGGACCAGGCCGTCGTCTTCGACGCGGCTCTACGGCAGGACTGGGACTCGATCACACGCATATATGATGCCTTGGACACGGAGCGCGATTTGAGCGACATGCGCACGGAGTACCGCGTTACCCTCGCGACGCGCTTGTGCGGCAAGAGCCCGGCCGAGATGGCGCAGACCGAGGCCGACAAGCGCGTCGCGCGGCGGCGGAAGGCGCGGCGGAGCCGCCAGCAGTCGGTGGACGACCCGGACACTATTAATGATTCGACGGCTACTTCCCAACTCCCGGCCATCGAGCAGAAGCTAAGGAACCCTCTGGCCGCGAAGCGCGCGGTCAAGGGCATGCGGCGGACCGTCGCGGGCCACACGGCGTTGCATCTCGCGGCGCGGGCCCACGCGCCGCCGGAGATCATCGAGGGGCTCATGAAGCTGCAGCCCGCGGCCATCCGGGCGCGCGACCGCACGTCGCAGACGCCGCTGCATTTGGCATGTTGCGGCGGCGTGCCGTACAAGGCGACGCGGTCGACGAGCGTGCGCCACGCCGTCGGCGCGCACGCCGGCGTGGACCCGGCGAAGCGCGCCCGGGCTGTGGTGGACGCGCTGCTCTCGCAGGAGAGTAGTGACGTCGCGGGCGCGGTGGACGAAAGTGGGAGGACGCCCGTGGAGCTGGCGGTCGTCCACCAGCTCTGGACCTGCGTCGAAAGCTTGGTCGAGGCCTGCCCGCGCGCCGTGGCGCGGGCCGACCACCGGGAAACACCATTGTGGGCGCTCGCGAAGCGGCACGGCGCCACGGAGCGCGTCATGAAGGCCTTGGAGGAGGCGCACCCGCGCGAGAACATGACGCTCATCGCGTTGATTCGGTGCGGCTTCTGGCTCGACGCGATCAACGCCGTCCGGGAGCAGGGGGCGCACTCCAAGGACACGCGGGACCGGACGCCGCTCCACGTCTGCGCGATGCACCCGGACGCGCCCGTCGGCCTGATCGTGGCGGTGAAGGAGTCCTGGCCCCAGGCCGCGAACCAGCGGGACAAGGCCGGCTGGCTGCCGCTGCACCACTCGGCGCACCACGGCGGGCCCGCGGACTACTACCGCGAGGTCGAGCCGGGCGAGAAGCTCATGGTCGACGAGTTCCCGTTCATGGTGCCGCGGCCGCACGAGGACTTCGACTCGGACGACGAAAGGTTCATTAGGCAGGTCGTCGCCGAGGAGGAGGCGCGGCGGGCGGCCGAGGCGGAGCTGCTGGACGAGGAGGGGTTTATGGACTAGGTGTGTACATGTGTGTTCTTACAGTCTTATTCACAATCGTCGTCGTCGTCGAACGCTTCCTTGAGGAACTCGTAGGCGAAGGTCGCCTCGACGAACAGCCGCTTTGCCTCTTCCGGGGACAGCCGCTCGGCGGCCGGCTTCTGCATCTGCTTGTCCGGGTGAACAACCAGGACGCGTCGGCGATACGCCGACGCCAGCGCCGCCCGCGTTGCGGGCATGTCATCGAGGCCCAGAGAGGTAAAAAAATCATCCTGCGCATCATTCTGCGCGGGCTCCGGCGGCGGCGGCGGCGCGTCGGCGGCGCCATTCGCCCACTCGCAGTGGCGGCGCCAGGGGTCGTACGGGTCCGCCGCCGGGGCCGGGCGCCTCGGGCGCGCCTCCTCCTCCGGTGGCGGTGCAGCGAACAGGCCTTCGATCACGTCGCTCCAGGGGTCGTCGCGGCTCTTACGGAGATGGCGCAGGAACACGAGCTTCCCCTTGGCGCGCGTGTAGGCTACGTACTGCACGTTGTACTCCTGGCGCCGGTCTTTTTCCGAGCCCCATTCCATGACGGGCCCAAAGGGCAGGTCGTCCGGCTGGAGCACGTAGACCGTGTCCCACTCGAGCCCCTTGGCGCGGTGCACGGTGCTCAGCACGACCTGCTCCTCCTGCTCGTGCGGCAGCAGGTGTTCAGCGTTCGCGAAGAGCCCGTCGATGTGGCGCTCCAGGTCCGCGAGGTCGACGGGCGCGCCCTTCCTAGCGTACTCGAGCCGCTCGACGACGACCGCGAGGCAGGCGCGCATGTCTCGCGCCTTTAAGCGCGTCGACGACTTCGGCTCCTCCTCGGCGTACGGGTCAAAATCGTCGTCGCCGTCGCTCTCGCCGCCGTCGTCGCGAAATGACGCCGCCATCGACTCCGCCGCGAGGTAGTCCTTCAGCTCGTCGAACGTCCGCGCCCCGATCTTCGCGAGCGTGTGCTTGAGCTTTTTCGCGAGCGTCTCGAGGCCCTCGAAGCGGACCGCGACGTGTCTCATGGCGAGGCAGTCGCGCAGCGCCAGCAGCGGGGCGTTGGTGCGCGAGAGTATGCCAATCTTCCCGCCGCGGGACCGCGCGGCGCCGTGGGTTACCACGGCACCGAGATTGGCGTCGCCCGGCAGCGGCTGCGTCGTGAAGTCGGCGTCGCGCACGATCTCCCCCGCGGGCGCGCCCGGCCACGGCCGGATATGATGCTGGAGCTCCGGCGCTCGCTCTTCTTTATCAGCAGTCGCTTGCTCTTCGTCGTTTATAGTGTCGATGACCTCGTTCGCCAGCTTGACGTGGCTGCGCGGGCAGCGATAACACGTCGACAGCGGGAAGCGGCGCATTGCGAAAATCTCCCCGATGCGCGCGAGCGCGCCGGAGTCCGCGCCGAGGAACGCGTAGATCGCCTGGCAGTCGTCGCCGACGGCGACGACGCGGCACCCGCTGTCTCGCTGGAGGCGCAGGCACATCTCGCGCCGCGCCGCGTTCGAGTCCTGCGCCTCGTCGACGAGGAGGACCGAGATCGGCTCCTCGGCGTCGGGATCCAATCGGATACCGTCGGCGAGCGCCATGTAAAGCATGTCGGCGCCGTCGAGCAGGGGGAGCTTCTTCCGCCTGCCGCGGGTGGACACGAGGTGCGTCCTACCCCTCCAGTGGGCCGACCGCGCCGTCTCGCAGCTCGCCTCCAGGACCTCGACGGCGAGCTCGACGCCCCGCTGCAACAGGGCTGTGCGTGTCGGCCACCGCGCCTTCAGCCGGTCTCTGACAGGGCGTGGGAGGCCCGAGCACCGCTTCTCGAGGCTCTTGCCGTAGGCAGGACACGTCTCGGCGATTTCACGGAGCCCCTCCGCGTCGCTGGCGAAGCCCTCCACGCCGACGCACCGAATTTTGGCGGCGGACACGAGCTTGTCGACGAAGCCGCGGAACACTAGGCACGTGAGCGACACCTTCGCCTTGGGACCGTCGTCGGCCCGCGACGGCGGGTAGAGCGCGTGCAGCAGCAGCACGGACTTCTTCCCCAGATAGACATTCACGTTCCCGCCCAGATGCTCCTTCCACGCGGCGAGGCCGAACGCGTGGAACGTCTTGGCCTCGCGCACGCCGCGTTTCCGGAGCTCGAGTTGCGCGGCCTTGTTGAACGCGAGGACGAGGGCCCGGCGGCCGCCGCCCTCGCACTCACACGCGATGTCGACGAGCAGCCGCGTCTTGCCCGAGCCCGCACCCGCCTCGACGAGCGCGTGGCCGTTGCCGCTCCGCATGAACTCGCGAACTGCCTCCGCCTCGTCCGCCGGCGTCGCCGGGCCTTCGAGCCTCCGCAACGCTTCTCGGTCCTCCACTACAACCACGCTTATCTTGCAGGCCTCGTGCGCATAGCCGCCGCGGCATCGCGTGATATCCTCCTCCTCGCGTATCGGACCGCGGCAGCCTTGACACACGCCAGGGTATTTGGCAGGAAAAACCCTGGACTCCAGCAGGCAGTCGCGTGCGAAGTGGCCCGGCTGCCCACATTTATAACAATTGCCGCACTTGGCTACTATCCGGCCCGGAAGCGTCTCGCGGCTCCGCCCCGGCACGAGCTGCCGCAGCGCGAGCGTCGTCTCCTCCGCCGCCGCGACGGCGCCGCGCTCCTCCTCATCGTCCTGAGACACCGGGACCGCCTCTCTCGATACGTTCTGCTTTTTGGGCCGCGGCTCCGCCGGGCTCACGAGCGTCGTCGGCGGTGTCATGGGCGCCGCGGCGGGCGCACCCTGGCCCTTGGCTGACACGGTCGGCGGCGTGGAAGGGGCCTCTGGAGCTTTGCGCTTTTGGGGCGTCCGTGGCGGCGTCGAAGACATGGCCTTGGGACAGCTTGTTGCGGTTGTCCGTGGTACGCTATTCAGAGTCTCTACAAGCAACTTTCCCCAGTCGTACGCAGCGTGTTCTTCGATGTCCTCAATAACGGATCGAGGCTAGCGGCACTCGTACTAGCCATAAATCCGACGCTCTCCCAAGAAGAGAGAAGGAGCAAAGGACTCACGGCGTTTTGGGCAGCCCGCTTGCCGCCTCAAGACACGCCATCATCTAACCATGGCGGACCCGGGCAGCCCCAGGGGCAGCGAGGCCTCGGCCATCGACCTCACCTTCGCCCTCGAGGCGGCCGGGGAGACCCAACCCCAAAGGGCCTCGGACAAGGCATCCGGGGAATGGCTGCCCTTCACGGCCGCGGGCGACACGCCGACCTACGCCGCGGCCGTGAGCCCGACGCACGCGTCGCCGCTGCGGCGGCCGCGGTCGCGGGGCGTCAACGCGGTGTCCTTCGACACGGCGCCCGACTTAGGGGTGCTCGGCGGCTTCCGGAAATGCGTCAACTGCGACCGGGCGGCGACGCGCTGGTGCAGCCGCGCGACCTGGCCCTCCTGGGCCGCGCCCGACGAAAGCAAGGCACGGGACCCGCGCGCGTGCACCGGCTCGCCGCTCAAGCGCCGCGCGGAGAAGCCGGCGTGCCCGACGACCGGCCCCATCTTCTGCGACGCCTGCGCCGCCTCGAAATATAACGGTTGCGAGGCCTGCGGCGCGTTGGAGTCTGTGTGGAAATCAACCAGTGCGACGGGTGCACGACAATTCTTTACTAAGTCATTTCTCGGCGATGACGCGGCCGTCCTGGCTCTGTCGAGCGGTGAAGAACCGGCATCACCACGCCATCGAGCAGGCGTCGCGTCGATGGCGTGGAGGACGACGCGACGATTCAGCACGAACGCGCCGTAAAATTTTGATTTCCACACAGGTTGGAGTGCGACACGTGCGCGCGCGACACGGCGGCGCCCGCGGCCTTTGCCAAGTACTGCGCCGCCGAGACCCGCAAGGCCGCCGACGCCGGCGACTACCCGGCCTCGCCCATCCGCCCCCACGCCTTCCGGGCCCTGCGGCCCCGGCCCTGCGACGCGTGCGGGAAAACCAAGTGCGTGGCGTGCTACCGCGAGTGCCGCCTCTGCCACAAGATCGTCTGCGTGGCCTGCGTCTCGGCCAAACCCTACCTCTTCCGCAAGGACCTCTCCGCCTGCGAGCGCTGCGTCTACGACGCCGACGCCTTAGAGTCGGATCCGTGCCACGGCTCCTTCCGCCACGCGCCTTGACTTTCATCAATCCGCGCGTCTAAGTTAGGCTACGTTCTCGGGTCCTGTGCCGTGTCGATGTTACGGTGCTAGGACTAGTGGGCGGAGCTCCTGGGGGGGAGACACCGCGCGTCGCCGATTCATCGGCGGCGGGCGCGGGCCGCTTCTTTCATAACAGCGTACCTCCTTCTAAGCAGAACCGCCTCGGCAACCCCCCCCGAACAATGTGCAACGTTCGCCCGTCAGCGTCCTGTGCCGGAGCTAGCGGCGTAAGACACTACATCGCGCGCGACGCCTTCGGCCAGCCGCCGGACGCGGCCACGACCGACTTCTGGCGCCCGCCGCCGGCGCCGCCGAGCCCCGTCCGCGATTTGCTCAACCAGCCGCGCCCGTTGTCAAATGATTCGGGCCTCGCGGAGGCGCACGCGGCCCACGTGGCCCGCGCGCACCTGCCGCGGCTGTGCGCCTGGCGGGGCGCGCTCACCGCGGGCGACGATGTCGACGCGCAGCTGCGCCGGTGCTACTTCGGCGGCGCCGTCGCGCCGGACGGGGGCGGGTTGACCTCTGTGTGGAAATCAAACAGAGAGTTATGGCGCCAAGTTTGATTTCCACACAGGTGGACCTACGACGAGGCGGCGGCGCGGGGCGTCGCGCGCGGGTGTCCCGCGGGCCTCGCGGGCAAGCTCGAGACGCCGCGCGCCCTGGTCCTGGCGGCGCTGCGGTGGGCGCGCGTCGTCTTCGGCGACCACGCGCGCGCGGTCGGCGCCGTCGCGGGCGCGGCCCGGGCCGCGTCGGCGCGCCGGGCCGCGTGGCTCCCGCCCGTCGACCTGCGGCTGACGGACGCGGCGGCGCTCCGGTGCCAGTGCTCGGCGGCCGTCGACCCGGCGGGGGCCGCGCTGTCGCTCGTCGTCACGGCGACGATCGTCGCCGTCGCCGACGACTCCTCCGGCCCGCCTCCGCGACGTCGTGGCCGCGCGGCGGGCCTCCCCGCCGTGCCGCCGCCCGCGGGCGAGGTGCCCACGCGGCCGCCCTCGCCCGGGGTCGACGCGATGCGCTCGACGCTCCCGTGATGCTGATGATGTATTCCTGGTCACGACTACTCTGTCAATAGTAATTATTATACTCTAGGCCGACGCCGTCGCCCCGCCGAACGCCGTCGCGATGGCCACGAGGTCGTCGGACGCCTGGTCGTCCGTGAGCTCGCCGGCGATGAGCGACGACGCGGGCCCGTGGCGCCGCGCGGGCGACCGGCGGCCGTCGTTCTGGGACCGCAGCGACCGCGAGGCGCCGGCCTCGGGCGGCGCCTCGCCCTTGGCCGCCGCCTTGCGCTCGGCGAGCTTGGCCTCGAGCGACGCGACGCGCCGCTTCACCTCGTCCTCGGACGCCTGGACCTCGGCGTCGCGCAGCTTGTCTAAAGCGGCGAGCTGGGCCCGGTGCGCGCGCTGGCTCCGCGCGATGCGCGCGTCGCGCGCGGCGGTAATCGGCGCGGCCCTTGCTACAAATTCCGGGTGCGTGCCGGCCTCGAGCGCCGCGGCCTCGGCGTCGATCGCGCGCAGCGCGGCCTCGTAGTTGGCGACCTGGCTCCGCAGCGCGGCGGCCTCCCTGAGCCTGAGCTCGTTCTCGTCGGGCGCGGTCTTGGGGGCGGGGTGGTCGACGCCCGGCGCCTCCTCCTTGCGGTCGCGCGCGCCGGCGGGCTCCTCCCTCACTAATTTCGCGAGCTCGTCGTCGGGGACGAGCGACATCGCTTCGCGCAGCTCTGTCCTGGGGTACTTCCTGGCGTCGCCTCGCGCGGTTCCCCTGGCAGCAACTTACGCCTTTTGCTTACCCTGGTGTCTCCTGGCGTCGCTTGTTGCGCAAGAACAGATAATGACTGCGAGACTATAACGCGCACCGACGGCTATATTTGCTGCCTGAGGTGCGTAAGCCTTTCGCAGGCAAGCGGCAGAGCGAGCCAAAAAGCTGGCTCTGGCTAGTGCCTTACAGCCGCTAGCGCAGTGTTAAAAAAGCGGCAGGTCTCTAGGCTTAGCATAACTCATTTCGACAGCTTCAGCCGTGTAAAAGCACCTGTGCTGCAATGCTCGACGGCCTACAGCCCCAAATGGACGCCGGCGCGCTCTCCGTCGGCGCCCTGGCGCGACTCATGCGCGAAGAGCGCCAGCGGCAGCCGGACAAGAAGATCCACCTCGTCCTCGACGACAGGGCCGCCGAAGCCGTGGGATGGGCGGGCGGCGCCGCGTGGTGTCGGCAAGTAGGCGCGGCACATATATATGCGCTCGGCGCCGACGTGCCTGACACGGATGACGTCTTGCGTGTGGTCGTGACGAACGACGTCGAAAAGGCGCGCCAACAATACGGGGCGTGCGTCGTGGCGGCGGCGCCGGCGTTCGCCGCCCCGTTCCACGGCGACGACGCGACGCTGCCCTGCCTGGTCTCGCTCGCGTCGGACGCCTTCCCCGTGCGGCCCTGGGAGGCGCCGGCCGACTGGCGCGCGGGCGACCTGCCGGAGCGGCGGAGAAAGGGCCTCAAGGACCTGGCGACCGAGCTCGCGGCGCTCTGCGCGGACTTGCGAATAGACGCGGCGGGCAACGTCTGGGCGCTGGGGGACACGGCGGGCGCCGTCGGCGCGGCCGTCGACGCCCAGCTCCAACAGGGGGGCGGGCGCCGCGCGGCGTTGGTGCTCCTGGACCGCACGGCGGATTTGAGCGTCGTCGGCGCGCCGCCCGACGGCGCGCTCGAGAGAATCATGGCGCACTTTTCTGGAGAGGGGCCTTTACTAAGTGCGGCCGCGGACCTCACGAAGGCGTACGACGCGCCCTGGGTGATGAACGCGTGCGACCGCGCGTTATTGCGACGCGTCGTCGCCGCGGCCTCGCACGACGACGCCTTGGATTTATTGAATGAGGCCGTCGCCGAGCGATTACAATTGTATGGTATCGCGCCACCACCACAAAAAAAGCGGGGCCGCGGCGCGGCGCTCGCGGCGCACCTCGAGGCGCTTTTGAAGGGGGCGCCACAACCAGCGTCGAGCGCCTTCGACGTGCCCGACAAGCTGCTGCGCGCCATCAGTGACATCGCGCCGCTCGGCGTCGCCGTCGTCGAGGCCACGCAGCGCACGGCGAAGCGGCGCACGTCGCTCGAGGACGTGCTTGCTTTAGATAAGCTCCTCGCCAATTTGGTCGCGCACGCGAACGCGGGGCTGCTGGAGTGCGCCGACGTCGTCGCCGAAACTTATGAAAGGAAAACGACATCGCTGACGGCGTCCGACGCGGCCTGCGCGTTGGTACGGTGCCTCGCTCTTACTAGGGACGGCGCGGACGCCGCCGCGCAACGCGTCGCGCGCGCCGTCCAATCGTGCGCCGACAATGATGATCGCGACGCGGCGCTCTTCGTGCTGGGCCTCGTGGGCGTGCTCTCTACGAGAGTGTGCGGGCCCCCCGGGCTCGTGGGCCGCGTCGTCGACGCCGTGCTGCGCGGAAATGATGATGGCCTGACGCGGCCCGGCCTCGGCGCCGCGGCGTCGGCCGCGCTGGGGTCGCTGAGCGAGACGGTCGGGCTGGGCGGCGTCTTCGGCAAAGTTAAGGCTGCGGTCGCCGATAGAGCTCCGCGGCGGCGCGCGGGCGACGGCGGCGCGCTCATCATTATGATCGTGCTCGGCGGCCTCACTTTTTCGGAAGTCCGCGACGCGAACGCGGTTTTGGAGGAGCTCGGCGCGCGGGACCGCGTCGTCCTCGGCGGCACGCGGCTGTGCACGGGGCAGGACGTCGCCGAGGCGCTGTTTTTTGCGGACGACGAGGACTTCTGACTCCCCCCCTCACGAGGATTTGTAAGCTAGTGTGTTTGTGCTCTAGCCCACACTACTCCTTCGCCTGACTGAGCCTGGCTGCCTCCGGCGACTCGAGGGCTTGCGTACCGCATAGCTGAACTGCCGAGAATATCTCTGTGTGATAGTCTCATTTCTTCCCGCGACGTGGACCTCCACACACCAGGAGGCACACACAGCCTGAAACCCTAGCACTATGGCAGAGGAGGCCGCGCCAGCACCAGCGCCACCCGAGCGCGTCGAGACCGTCGACCTCTCCGAGGAGGCCGAGTCGGAACCCGAGGCGCCCGCGCCGGCGCCGCTGGAGGTCCACAAGGCCTGGACGCGGCTCACGCACAAATACCGGTGGCCCATCCTCGCGCTGACGGCGCTGTCCTGGGCCCTCGCGCCGCTCGCGCCCGGCCTGCTGAGGGAGTGCAGCAACGCCGTCACGGCAGCGCCGGGCTCGCCGAGCAAGCGGGCCAATCGCGCGATCGCGCGCGCGTTCCCGGCGTCGTCCAAGGCCGCGACGCTCGTCGTCCTCGCGGAGGGGCCCCTGCTCGCATCCTACGAAGAATGGTGCGGCTTCGAGCGCGCCCTGGCTGCGTCCATACAAACGGAGCATGCATCGTTCCTCAAGGCGCCGCTCGCGTCGTACTGTCTATTAGCAGACCGCAACCTCACGTACCTCGCGGCGAACTTCGTGTCCCCCGAAGCGGCGCAGTTCGTCATAACGTATGATGCAAGCCGGGGCCAGGCGGCCACCTCCAAATTCGTAGCATACGTCGAGGACAAGGCGCAGTCACTAAAACCCCATCACTACAAAGTAGGAGCGACGGGCTTCGACGCCTTCGCCCGGGCGAGCGTCGAGGGCGAGCGCAAGGACCTGAGTGCCGTGGACGAGGTCAGCGTGCCGCTCGCGCTGCTAGTCATGGCCCTCACGCTAGCTTGCGTACCATTACTCGTCCTGCCGGTCGTGAACATGCTCACGGCGACGATCATCGAGTTTGTGGTAGTAAGGTTGCTGGCGAAGTCCATGACCATCGCGCCCTTCGTGCCGTCGATCATGCTCACGGTGACGCTGGCCATCTCCTTCGACTACTCGTTATTTGTGTGTTCCAGATATTTGGAAGCAAGGCGCGCTGGCGTCTCCAATGAGGCGCGCGTCGACGCGGTCAACCGGGGCGCGGGCCGGACGATTGTCGTGAGCGGGTCGACATTGATAGCGTGTTTTTTGGGTTTGCTGTGCTTCCCGAACAATATACTCAGGGGCGTCGGCGCGGCGGTCGCCGTCGGCTTGGCGTGTGCGGTCCTCGTCAATTTACTCGTGTCTCCCGCGTTGTTACACGTTTGTGGAGAGCGCCTGTGCCGAGCGCAGGACGTGGTCGTGCGCAAGGTTCTGACGTATGTCCGCCGATCGACCGACGAGGACTACGTTCCCCTCTCTCCATCAAGACCGAAACAGAGGAACCCCTTCCGCTTCTTGTCGGACCTCGTCTGGCGCGATTCAAAATACGCGGTGGCCGCTTTGTGCATAGTGGTCGCCGTGACGATGCCGGCGTGCACGAGGGCGACTCATTTAAGGACCGTGGCCGACCCGGTCATGGTCGCGCCGTCGCCCTCGGAGCCGCAGAAGACCCTGGATCGACTCGGAAAAACGTTCGGGGCCGGCGCCGTCGCGCCGTACACCGTGTTGTTTGAGGGTCCTTTTACGGACGCTGCCATCACGGAGGCTGACGCGTTCCTCACGGCACTGGGCGAGCCCTACGCCGGTCCGACGTCGCTAAACGGGACGCTCCTATCAGTAAGCGACTACGCGTCATGTGTTTTTAGCAGCTCTGACTGGTGCCTCTCGCTGAAAGCTTTATATGCGACGTCCGTGACGAAAAGCGCCTTCCGCGCCACCGTGTCGCTGAGAGCCAACCCCTATAGTAATAGGGGCCTCAAATGGCTCAAGAAAGCGCGCAAGAAATGTACTTCGGGAATATATATAAATGGCCCGGCGGCGGGCCTCTCCGACGTCGTCGACGCGCTGTACGCGAGCTTCCCGCGCGTCGTCGGCGCGACGTTGGGGGTGGTCTTCGTGTTGCTTTCCTTATCATTCAAATCGGTGCTGGTGGCGGCGCGGAGCGTCCTTTGTTTGGCACTTACTTTATCCTTCGCCTTCGGCTGCTGCGTTTTGATATATCAGGACCACAGGTTATCCATCGACTTCCTCACGACGCGGACGGCGGACCGGGGCGTCTCGTGGCTCGCGCCTCTCTTATGTTTCACGATCGTCGTCGGGTTGGGTTTGGATTATGACATCTTCTTCCTAGCGAGGGTCCACGAGTACCGCTTCGTGGGGCGATTGTCGGACCGCGACGCGTGCGTCGAGGCGGCCGCGCGGACGGGCACGGTCATCTCGTCGGCGGCGGTGATCATGGCCGTCGCGTTCTCTGGTTTATTCTTCTCCACCACAACTATATTGAACCAGGCGGCGTTCCTGCTCACGTGCGCCGTGCTCTTCGACGCCTTCGTCGTGCGCGCGCTCGTGACGCCGTCGCTGCTGGCGCTTTCAGGTGAATACGCGTGGTGGCCGTCCGTGCCGCCGGCGGCCGGGCCCCTGGCCGAGGGCCTCGCGCGCGTCGACGACGACGCCGCGTCCGACGACGACGACGGCGGGGTCGATATCTAATGTGTCTGTACTTACATCATCGAGTCGCCGGCCCAGGGCGCGCGGTCGTCGGCCTTGAGGTAGGCGCCGAGCGTCACGTGCATCGTGATGAGCTTCATGTACGGCTCGAGCGTCGCGCGGAGCTTTTCGCGCGACGGCTCGTCCCAGGCGTCCGGGAACTGGCTCATCGCCGCGTCGAGGACGTGGAAGAGCGCGCAGTCCGCGTAGGTGGTCGTGTCTCCAAACAAGTAGCGGCCGCCCGGTCTATTGTCAATTAATGTAACGAAGTGCGCGAGCCAGCGGTCCAGGCGTCCTCCGTCCTTCACAAATTCCGCGACGGCGACTTTAGCCTCGTCCATCTGGACGGAGTAGGACTCCGTGGGCTTGACGGGGTGGAAGGGCGCGCGGCCGTCGGCGAGGAAGTCGCAGGCCGAGAGGGTTACTTGCTGCGCCCGGGCTTTGTCCTCGGGCGAATGCGGGACCAGGCCGAACTTCTCGCCGAGGTATTCCAAAATGGCTGGCGTCTGCGAGAGCTCGAACCCCGTAGCCGTGTTGCGCAGGATCGGCGGCGCAAAGTGCTTGGGCGTCTTGGCGAGAATCGTCGCGACCGGCGTCGGCTCCTTGGGGTACGCCGCGATGATTTCGGGGATCCCATCCCCTTGCATCGTGTACTTTACGTCCGCCGCGGCGAAGACGAGCTTGACGAGTTCCGCGCGGCCTCGGAAGGCGCCGCCGCCCAGTACACGATCTCCCACTTGTCTCCTCCATTTTGCTCTTTGTTTTTGTTCTTCTGCTTGCCGCGGCCGCCGGACCAGAGGATCCCCAGGCTCTCAGCTAGGATTGAGGTCATGAGTATTGCTATTGACTTGCTCTATCTGAACGAAAGACGGCATACCCAAGTTACGCAACCTCGAAATCGGTGCTAGCGGACTGTAAAGTCACTAGCAATTCGGTCCAGCCGGACGGGGGGCCCGGGGGGAGCGGGAGGGGTACGGGGAACCGCGACGTAACTAGCCTGAGCCTGGACTGTAGTTGTACATCGAGTCGCCGCGCGAGCGAAAAAGCCCGGGCCGTCCACAACACAATCTCCCTGACGCTCACACACAAGTTACTCCCCTGGAGGAGACGCAGGAGGGCTCGGCAGCGCGTCGTCGGCGATCGACTTCGCCCACCATCGCCGCCGCCGCTCCAGCTCCACGCGGTCCTCGTCGTGCAGCAGCGACGCGTCGACGCCGTCGAGGCGCCGTGCGACGCGCTTGAGCCGTCGGAACGTGACGGAGAGCCGGCTCGGCGCCCGCGCCACGACGTCGCCGACGGCGCATCCCGCCGCCGCGCCGTTGCACACGCGGTCGTCGACCGTATCCGCGCGCGCCGCGGCGATACCGTGCTTCAGCGAGAGATACGCGGCGTCCGCGAAGGCTACGACGCTCCGCGGCCGCAGCAGCACCGACGCCACGCGCTCGTCGCCGTCCGTGAAGAAGTCGAGGCGCGCGCTCGACTCCAGACTCACGATCACCGCGCACGGCTCGTAGAGGGGCCCGTCCGCGTGCGAAGCGATGCCCGAGCCCTCGACGTACTCGTTGACGAGCGCCTGGTCCGGGAGCCGCCCGTCGGGGAAGAACGCGGCGGCGCGCCGCGCGAGCGCGCGCAGGCACGGCGGCAGCGGCTCCGTCCAGGCCCCGTCCGGGTGCGGCGTGCCGCCCACGCTCAGCAGGCGCCGCCGCGGCAGCGGCGCCCAGCCGTCCAGCCGTCGCAACACCGTGGCCAGCGCGCGCGCCTCGCGCTCGTCGACGAACTCGGCCGCGTAGCGGATCGTCGGCGGCGCCGCCGGCAGCGGCGGCGGCACCGCGACGGCGGCGGTCGGCGGCGGCGGCGGGTTCGCGGCGCGCTGCTTGCGCGCCTCGCGCTTCGCGGCGGCGAGCGCGGCGCCGAAGTCAAGTGCTGTCGACATTGGTTGTCTGCCGCGCCGCTTTTGCAATGTATATGCCTGTCGCGCAGCTTCGGTGATTGTGCTGCTGCTTTTTTAGGCCCAGCTGATTTTTGAAGCTGGGAGAGCTGGAGAGCTTTGGCCACCACTGGGCTGGCCAGAGATCGCGCACAGCGTTCAGCAAGAAGCCTGGCTATAGGTCCGAGCCAAATCACGTCAAAATGTGACCTATGGCCCCAAATTACGTGCATGGGGGGTTTGAGCACGGGTTTTTCGCGCCGCGCGCAGCCAAACTCCGGCATACTATACGTGAGTAATCCGCCCGTATTTGGGAGGCCAGAGCCATGCTGCAGCGGTGCCGCCACTTTTCGCGACTCATGCCGCGTGGCCGCCGCGACCTCTCGCGCCTCGCACTCGCGCGCACGCCGCCCTTCGCGCTCGAGCGCTATTTCGCCGAGCACGAGTTCTCGTGCAAGATCTCGGCGTGCAGCAGCGACACCGAAGCCATTTCATTGAACGACGTCCTCGCGCTCATGGACGCCGAGACGCGGCGCCTCTGGGACGAGCAGAGCCTGGGCTATACGGAAGTCAAGGGCCATCCCGCGATGCTCGCGCTCCTCGCGGAGGCGTACGGCCTGGAGCCACACTGCTTCCAGGAGGTCGCCCCGCAGGAGGGCATCTTGCTGGCGTACGCGGCGCTGCTGGAGCCGGGCGACGGCGTCGTCTGCACGGCGCCGGGCTACCAGTCGTTCCACACGTGCGCCGAGCAGGCCGGCGGCGCGGTGACCTTCTGGCAATGTCGCGTGGACGAGAGCGGCGCGCGCTTCGACGTCGACGACCTTGTGAAGGCGTGCGACGCGACGCCGAACCTCAAGGTTGTAAGTGTGAACTTCCCGCACAATCCGACCGGTGCATTGCCGTCTACGGAGGAGTGGGAACGCATCGTCGCCATTTGCGAGGCACGCGGCGCGTACCTTTTCGCCGACGAGATCTACCGGGGCCTCGGCCCGAGGACGCTCGAGAGCGCGGCGACGGCCTACGACAAGGGTATCAGCCTCGGCGGGCTGTCGAAGAGCATGGGCATGCCCGGCGTGCGGATCGGGTGGCTCGCGACGCGGGACGTCCGCTTTCTGCGACGCGTCGCCGAGCTCCGGGACTACACGACGATCTGCTCGTCGGCGCCCTCCCAAATCTTGGCGGTGGCGGCGTTGCAAAATCGGGACCACTTGTGGCAGAGGGCGAACGCCTACGTCGACGCCGGCCGGCGCGCCGTCGAAGCGGTGCTGGCGCGGCACGAAGACGTGCTCTCCTGGGGCCCGGCCGCCGGTCCCATAGGCTGGGTGCGGCTCCGCCGCGGCTCGGCGAGTCAATACGCGGAGGCGCTCGTGCGGTCGGACGACGGCATCATGCTGCTGCCCTCCACGGTCTTCGGCGCGGGCGACGGCCACGTGCGCGTCGGCTTTGGCCGGGACGCGTCGCCCGCCTATATGGCGGCCTGGGCCGCGACGCTGGACAATGCGACCCATCCGGCGACGCGGCTGCTCCGCGAGGGGTGAGGCGCGACTGTTATGTCTATAAGTATTGTTACAAAGATCTCAGGCGTCCTCCTTCGGGTTGTACTTCTCGTTGAGCGCCTCCTCGACCTGGTTCATGCCGACCGCGCCGGCCACGAACATCGTGAAGAGCACGCCGAAGGCGAAGAAGATCCACAAAGCAGTGTCCTTCTCGTCGGTATCTAAAGCAGCCTTGAGCAGCAGCGTGTAGATGCCGAGCAGGCAGGCCCAGAGCACGATGAACAGCGAGCAGATGATGCCCAGGTCCTCACAACTTAAATAGCAGGCGATGTTCCACTCGCACTGCGTGCCGTCGCTTCTATTATAAATGCACTTGTAGGGGCTGTAGCCCCGCTGCGCGTTCATCTCCTTCAGCGTCGACGGCCGTGACTGGCGCTCATCGCGCACGCGGGGCTTCTCCTGCGCGGGGGTTTTGCCGTTGCGCTCGCGCTCGTCGCTCTCGCTCGCTCGCGTGGTCCTGGGGTCTCTCTCGCGCTCTCGTGCTCTCGCGTTCGCGCGCCCGTCGCTCGCGCGCGGCGGCGGTCGCTGGCGCCGACGCGACGACGGCCGGGCCGCGCCGCCGGCGCCGCGGCGCCGCGCGACGACGGGGGGGAGCGGGGCAGCCCCGGCCGCGATTGCCTTCCTCGGGGGCTGCCCTCCTCCCCATGGTGCAAGGCGCCCCCTTCCGTCCGACGTAAGTTGTAGATCGGCGCCGCAGCATACGAGCAGCACCTGCTCGGGCTCCGCTTCGCCCTTCATGGCGCCGCGCTGGCCCCTCAATGAGCGGCGAGGCAAGGCCGTCAAAAGCGTAAAAGCGAGCCTCTCGGGGGCTCGACTGTTCCTCGCGAGGCCTCCCGCGCGGCCCCGCGTTGTTTGATGACGGCTGGCCCCAAGCCGGAGGGCTATGGAAGCATCCCAAAAAATCTCAAAACCCGAAACCGGATCCCACAGCTTTTGGCAGAGACGACGGTAAAAATGGCTCGGTTCGCGCTCCTGGCGGTGTGCGCAGCACGGGGCGCTGTCGCCCTCGTGCCGCCGGCGGCGCCGGCGGCCCGGAGCCAGCTGCGGATGGCCGGCGACGCGGAGCTGGTCCCTGTGAACGAGGACTCCATCAAAACCTCTTCGGCCGTCACGGCCGGCGGCGCCGGCTTCCTGGTGGGCGGCCCGGTCTTCGGCGCGCTCACGGCGGCGGCCGGCAACTACGCGGCGAACCAGGAGTCCGAGGTATGAAGCGGCGTCCGGAACCGGTCGCGCATGTCAGGCGCGTTTCCGCCCCGTTTGGCGGCGTTCCGCGCGCGCGGTGCTGCCTTCACTTGATCAGCCGCATGCGTGGCCCTACGGCAGCGTGGCGCGGCGGCGCCGCGCCGCGAAACCGGGTTGTATGGTGATATAAAGGGCGCCACCTGGCGGCGCGCGCGGCCGCGCGCGGCGCCGCCGCCGCCCCCGGCGGGCGCGGCGCCGCGCGCGCGTGCCTGCTGATGCGGGGCGCGCTGCGGCCGCCGTCCTCCGGCCCGGGGTTGCCTCCTGGCCCAGCTCCGGGGCCCGCTGCGGCCAGGACGGGCACGCGAGCGCCGTCTCCGCGCCGCTGGCCCTGCATGTGCCGTCCTGGCCTCGTGGCGCCGGCCCGAGACGGCACTTGCGGGCCGTCGCGGCCGCGGCGCGGGCCGGAGAGGCGCCCTTCCCGCCGGGGCTGGCAGCGACGAGCCACGCGAGAGACGAAGCCCGTCAACAACACCCCGCGCCCGAACGCAGGTCGGCGAGGTCGTCCGCGGCGTTGGCAAGGTCAGCCTCGACGTCTACAACTTCCTCCTCAAAATCAACGGCAAGTACGACCTCACGGACAAGGCCGGCGCGCAGCTCAAGGACCAGCTCAACAAGCTGAAGGCGGGCTCCTCGGGCGAGACCATCGCCAAGGTCGAGGACGCCCTGTCCAAGGCCACGTCGAAATTCAACGAGCTCGACAAGGAGTACGACCTCGTCGAGAAGGGCAAGCAGGCCCTCGGCTACGCCGGCGACCTCTCGGCCAAGGCCATCGACAAGGGCCTCGAGCTCAACGCCGAGTACAAGCTCACGGACCAGGTCGTCGCCAAGGTGACCGAGGCCAGCAGCGCGGCGGCCGCGAAGGCGACGAAGAAATCGGCGTAGGGGGTGTATCGCGGGGCGTCGTTTGAACAAGTAAGCCCCGGAAATTATCACATCCCCTTCATCTGCCGCGACAGAACCGTCGCCCGCTGCTCGACGATTTTGCCGGCCCGTTCGAAGCGCGCGCGGTCCTCGCGGCTCGCGCCGAGCGTCTGCTTCGCGCCCTCGTAGCCGCCGAAGAGCTGGATGAGCGGCCCCTTGGGCAGGGACGCGCCGTACTTGCCGGCCTGTGCGTTGAACTTCGCGCCGGCGCCGCTCGAAGCCGCCGCCGCGGCGTCGGCCTGGGCCAGCGCGGCGGTCTCGAGCTTTGCGACTGGAGGCAAACACACGCGGTCGCCGTCGGCACGCTTCAGGGCGGCGACGACGGGCGCCGCGCGGTCCGCGAACGTCTTGAGCTTTCCCGCGTCGGCGCCCGCGGTTGCCTTAGCAGCAAAAGCCTCCCAACTTTCGGTCGACGGGAGCGGAATCAGATCGCAGCTCGCCGGGTCCAGGCCGTCCATCGCGGCCTTGACCGCGTCCGTCGTCTTGGCTACGTTGGCGTCGGGCACGCTGTTGAACCAGTCGAGCGCGGCGTCGACGGTTGCCGCGAACTCCGGCGACTTGACGAGGATGGCGCTTACTTTACCCACGAAGGGCTGAAAGGCCTCGGGCTTGAACTGCTTGAGGATGGGGTAGCTCGCGTCCGCGAGCTCGACAACGTCTTCTCGCAGTGCCGCGTTGGCTGCAGTACTACCGCCGAGCAGTGCAATTGCGGCGGCCGTCGGTGCGACGGCCTTCCGCAATGCCTTTTGCATCGTCTTTTGCATCGGTCGCATCGATACGACGGCGTTGGCAATGCTGACAAGCACGATGAGGCGCATTTTTGCCTCCAAGGTGCTGCTGTGTTGCAAAATGCTTGTCGAAATCGCTGAGAGAATTATAGCAGCAATCAAATGCCAATATTTCTTGCAACTAATCAAATGAATGTGCTGCTTTACAACCTCGCAGATCGGCGCACGCGCGCTCGACTCACTTGTCGCTTTTGAGCAAGATTATTGCATGCAGGACTCTTCTGAAAAGTTTGAAAGGTCTCCCAGGAGCACGGCGTTTTTGCTAGTGCTTGGTGTTTTTGCTAGTGTGTTTACAGACGCTAAGCTGATAGATCTCGAAAAACGAAGAAGAGCAGTCCAGAGTGTACCTGGGCAAGGCAACACTTCCGCTGACGCTGCATCGCGACCGCCCGCTGCGCAGCGCCCGAAGCAGAATGGCCCAGCTAGCACTAGCCAACCAGCATGTCTGCGACGACAACCCGGCGGCCGCACTCATAGCTTTTGAAAGGAGCATCCAGGAGGCGCCGACGGCGGCGGCCTACGCCGGCCGCGCGGCGCTCCACATTCGAGAGAGGCGCTTCACGGACGCGCTCCAGGACGCGGCCGCCGCGCTCAAGCTCGACCCTACTCATGAGCCCTCGTTATACAGAAAGGGCGTCGCTTGTTTCGAATTGGACGAGTTCGAGAGCGCCCTCGACGCGTTCCAGGCGGGCCTGAAGGCCTGCGACCCGAATTTGATCGACGCGCGGAAGTACGCGATGTGGCTGCGGAAATGCGAGGCGGAGCTCGAGGCGAGCGACGACGACGACGACGACGAGGAGGAGAACGTCCCGACACAAGCCCAGCCCATCGCGACCGCACCGCTACCAACCAATTCGGGTTTAAAAGTAGTGCCTTGTACGATCAAGTATCAATACTACCAGACGTCGTCCCACGTCACGATCACGCTCTTGGCGCAACAAATAAAAGAGGAGGATTGTACGATTGATATTCGCGAGAAGACGCTCGTCGTGAAGGTACGAAAGAATGATACGGAGATGACTGTGATTAGTGGCGAGTTATATGATCCAGTAGTCGTGGAGGACTGCAAGGTAAAACACTACAACAGCAAGGTCGACATCAAGCTCAAGAAGAAGGAGCAGTTCAACTGGAACGAGCTGCTCAAGGGCGATTTGATAGGGGAGAAGAAGATCATCCCGCCGACGCGGCGGCCGGTCCAATCAACAACCTCAACGGCGACGCCCTACGCGTCGCAGCGCGACTGGAACCGTTTGGAAAAAGAAATGGAGGCCGAGCTCGAGAAGGACAAGCCCGAGGGCGAGGAGGCCCTCAATAAACTCTTCGCCGAGATTTACGGCAAGGCGACGCCGGAGACGCGGCGGGCCATGAACAAGTCCTTCCAGACGTCCGGCGGCACGGTCCTCTCCACAAACTGGGGCGACGTCGAGAAGACGGACTACGAGGACCCGTCGGTCCGCCAGGCGCCGGCCGGGATGGAGTGGAAGGACTGGGAGGGCCGGAAGCTGCCGCAGAAGGACTCGGGGACCTAGGGAGTGGTGCCGGGTAACTTGTTTTTACTAATATTTTGAGGTTCACGTCGCCTCGGCGGCGTAGATGGCGGCCTTGGGGGGGCGACGCGGGCCTCGGGAGACCTCTTTCTATTTCGTGCGGGTTATGGCCGTTGAGAGCGGGCTTTGTATAAGTCCCGGTGCGCTGCCGGGCCCAGATCTCCTGCGCGCGATTCCTGGCGTGCTTTGAGGCTGAGGCTGAGGAGGCTAGAGGGGCTACGCTAGGGGATTATTTGGGTTAACGCAAAACGACGAGCCCTGGCCCCTGGCCGCTCGAAGCTTTCGACGCGACAGCCTTACGCAAAAACAGCAGCAGACGTGCGTTCTCCACGGCACACGCACAACGTGATGACGCCGCATCGAGTCGCCGGCTAGGCAGGGGCTGCCCCTCCAGCCGTACACATAAGCAGCCGCCCCCGGGCCCGGTCACCGGCTAGACGAGACCGTACAGCACGATGTGGCGCCGCGGCAAGCAGACCCGCCCGGGCCGGATGTACCCCGACCCCGCCGGCGACGCGCGCGAGCAGGGCAACCTCGACGCGGTCGCGGCCCTCGCGTCGCCGACGTCGCCCACTTCGCAAAACTCCGACGAGGACACGGTGACATTAGACACGACGATCGCGCTCAACTCGGTCCGGGCGGAGAATGAGAATGAGGCCGACGCGATCGAGACCTACGCGGACCTCGAGAAGACAAATAGTTCGCATAGACTGCTCTGCGAGGAGTGCGAGAAGCGGCCGGCGGTGGCCCGCTGCACGGCGTGCCAGGAAACATTATGTGCGCGATGTTTCGTGCTGACGCACCCGCCGCGGCCGGGCGGCAACGAGCACGACCACCTGCGCCACGGCAAGGTGCGCGCGTTGTGTTTAGACGATACGAGCGGCGCGCTCCAAGGCACGCGGCTGGGCACGCTCAACAAGGGCGGCGCGCGGCTGTGCCACGAGCTCGCGCACGGCATGACCTCGGAGCTCACCGAGGCGGACCTCGAGGCGCGGGGCGTCGATTTGACGGTGCCCGTGGCGCAGGAGGCGCCTTTGATAAACTATTGTGCGGGCGACGTGGAAAGGGACATTCATAATGACGCGTGGCGCGCGGGGGAGGTCGTGCTAGTCATTTCGGACGAGGCGGACCGCGAGGACGCTTCTTCAGATGAGGACGCTCCTGTACGATCGCCGGACAAGGCCGCGGGTGCTGGCGTCTTCGCGGCGCGGCGACGGCGGGGCCCGAAATTGTTCCGGAGGAAACGAGAACGGTGGGGGCTTTTAGTTGATGTACCTGAAAGAACGTACAAGGAACCGAGCCACGAGGAGATCCACCAGCACCACACCCTGCCGAAGAAGCCTCCTGTCGTAGTAGGTGACGGCGCCGTGAGATACTGTCGAGTGCAGATCTGCGGGAGCTGTTCGGGGGATTATGTCCGCGAGTGCGACGCCGCGAGAGATGAGCGTTTGATTCATCGGGTGAAGTTGGACGATGCGAGGCGATCGCGAACAGGCTTCGTGAACGCCGCGCGCGCGGGCTACGTGAATGTGGAGTCCAGGGACTTCCGGGCGCCGTTACCTATTCAAGTACCGGAAGATCGACGCATGGAATTGGTGAGAGAAGAATTTGTCGAAAGACCGGAAATGAGGAGAGCTCTACTCGTCGAAGCGCGAAGAGTCGCCTGCAACCAAGTGCTGCGGGCCGTGGACCGGCGCTTCGCGAATCAAATCAAGCAGGGCTACGTCAACGACTGGCGCGCGAACGCGCGGCGCATGCGCCGCGCTGAAAGAAACAGGTGCTCTTCGACCATCCAGAGAAACTGGAAAAATATGAGGTGGTGGCGCCACAAGGAAGCCTTGGAGCAGGCGGCGGCCGACGCGGCCTACGAAGCCACCAGGCAGATCCACCGCAAGTTTAAATATGTGACGGACCCATCGAGGTTCTCGTCGTGCTATACCACCGATGGTTCGGTCTACTTCGAGACGCAAGTCGAGCTCAATGAATATATGGCCTGTCTTCGAGACAAGTGTAAATTAGTGGCGGACAAGTGGACCGAAAGGGGCCAGAGGTTCGTCCATTTGTACTTCCGGCACTGGCGCCAGGAAGCGCAGTTCTTAAGGGATAAGGAGCTCGTGGGAGAAACGCACTTCGAAGGCCTCACCACCAACCAGCAGCTCGAACTGAAAGCAGCGATCCAACGAGACAAAGAAGACATGTTAAACCGGGCGCCGTGGCACCCGGCGTGCGGCATCGATCTGCCACCGTTGCCGGACATGGGCGGCCATAGAGGAAAAGCCAACGCATTAATTATAGATGATGAAGACGTTCATTTCAATTTCAAGATGAAGATGAAGGGCCCCGCCGACGTGAGTAATTGGGTCGTCCCCGGGCTGCTGTGCATGGGCGCCTACCCGTCGGGGCCCAAGAGGTTATGTGCTACCAGAGATTTTGACTTCGAGGAGGACGAGATCGGCTGCGCCGGTTCCATTGTTTTTAACGGGGTTCGCGTGTTTGTTGATTTGATGCCAGAGGCGGAAGCGCGGATCCATGCCGATTCACTGGGCGACCAGTGGCGGCGCATCGAATTGGCTGGTAAAAAGCTGCTGATGGCCGAGGAAGAGGTCTCGAGGAAGGCCCAGCTCGTGTTCGGGGAGAAGTCGACGGACGAGCTCGGGGCCGTCACTTGTGCGCTCCAAGCTATCCTCGATCGAACCCATACGGCCGAAAGTGGAGTGCTAGTGAAGGCCACGACGAACCACCTGTTTGCGGACCAAGCCGTAAAACGGTGCCCGCGCTACAAGCCCTGGGACGCTAGGTATGAAGAAAGCGAAAAGGAGTACAACACGTGCATGGCCAAGCTAAGACTGGCTAGGAATGCGATGGACGCCGCTAAACGTAGACTAAAAAAGCTGCCTCATAGACTAAGGACGATCCGCTACGCCGTCGAGCCCGAGAAGTGCGGCGACGAGGAGACGTTGATCAGAGTCTGCGAGGCCATCGAACACGAATTAAGGCAGGGCGTCGGCGTCTACGTCTATAGTCGGCTGGGGCACGGCCGCGCGGGCATGGTCTGCGCTTTGGTGTTGGGACGGCTCTACGGGCTGACCGCGGCCGAGGCGCTATTCCGCATCCAGTGCTACCACGACTGTCGACGGTCTGTGGAAGTAGCGAAGCGCGCCTTTTCTTGTCCCCAATCGCTCAGTCAGCGATCTCTCGTCGAGCGGTGTTTGTTACATACGGACCCTATATATAACACCGTGGAACAAAAGTCGAGGTGGAAAGATACGAAGTTCTCGGGCGCGCCCCGTAATAATGGCGTGCCGCAACTCGAGGATTTGAAGCTGCGGGACGAGCCGCGCGACCCGCGGGACAACAAGTCGTGGCAGATCCGGAAAAGTGAGAGGAGGCCCTGGCGGAGCCACGTCGTCGAGGAAGGTGCGATTGTTCAAGTGGAGGAAGAACCGTCCGAGCGCATGAAGAACGCCCACCCTGTAGAAGTCGTCCAGTCGCCGACGATGCGGTCCTTACGACCTAGAACGGTCAAGCAGGAGCTGGATCTCGCCAAAAAGAAGAAATTCGTGAGGACGAAGCTACCCCGAGCCGAGAAGACCATCGAGCGACTGGAGGAGGAGGAGGCCGAGCGCGCGCGCGCGAAGAGTCCTGCCCGTTTTACACCGATCAGGCGGAAGTCGCGCGCGTCCTTCGACTCCGTGGAGAACTGGTAGTAACAAAATGTCTGTGAATTACTATCGGACCCACCCCTCGTCGCGTAACAAGTCGACCGTGTCCTCTCTGGCACTTTCGGTGGAGAGCCACTTTCCTAGTTCCCGTAGGGACACGTCGTCGCCTTCATAGGCGTCGGCGTCGGCCTCGGCCGCGAGCGCGGCGAAGTCGACTTCCGTGGATATCGCGTCGTCGTCGTCATGCTCCGTCTCCGGCTCCGTCGTGGACGTCGCTTCTTCGCTAGCCCCGAGCGCCGCGACGGCCGCGACGGCGGCCTCGAGCGTCGTCAGGAGGTACTTGGCTTCCGCGTCTCGGCCGCTGTCGCAGAGCGCCGGGTCGCGGACACCGTAGACTCTTGCCACGTACAAGCCCGTGCTTGGTCGCATGGGGCCGTCGTCGCCCGTCGCCAGCGCGTGCACCGCGAGCCCCAACACGTCCTCGGCGCCCATCACAGTCGATGACCGCGTAATACGCGCAAAGGCCTCGAAGACGGCCTCGACGAGGCGCGCCGGCGGCTGGCCCAGGTCGTCCAGCACGCGCAATGGTTGAATGGGGTGCGCGTCGTACGAGGCCGGCGGCGTCGCGCCGACGAGCCGCGCGACCTCGTCCGGTCCTAGGTTTCGCAAACGTTGACAAAAGCGCCGCTGGCACGCGAGGAAGCGCCTATCGGAAGCCGCGAGCGCGCGCCGCCGCCTCTGGGGGATGAGGAAGTCGCGGCCGCCGCGCGTGCACAGCCGCGCGGCGAGCGACGCTAATGAAGAGCGGTGCTCCTTCCCGGAGAAGGCGTCGCAGACGTCCTCCGCGAATCGATTCGCGAAGGCCAGGACCGCGCGCGGCGCCACGTCCTGTTCCTTCACGCGCGCGCGCCACTTGGCTAATAGCCGGCCCTCGCGGTGGCGCTCGTCTTCCAGTATTTCGTCGGCGTCGGCCTCGGCGGCCGTGCGCGCCGCCGCCGCGTTCCGTCTCGAACTCGTATCGGCCCTGGGGTCGCGCAACACCGCGTCGGCCTCGGCCGCGGCCGCCGCGGCTCTACGTAAAGCCTGGACCCTTGCCTGCGGCGTCCGCGCGGCGACGCGGCTCCGGAGGGCCCGCGCGGCCGCGGCCGCGCGCTCGACGGCCTCGTCGCGGGCGCGCAGGCCCGACCGCCGCGCTTTGAGCGTCGCCGATTTAGCGAGCACGTCGCGCGGCGCCAGCTGGCAGAAGCCGGCCTCGAGCACCGCTTGACAACAATCGCCCTCGAGCAACGCCGCGGCCTCGGCGCCGCGCGCGAGCAGCGCGTTCTCGGCCGCCGACGCCGCGGCCGCCTGGGCCCGCGCGCGCGCCGCCCGTGCAGCGGCTAGCTCCGCGAAGGGCCTCCTTAATCTCCGCAGGCCCCAGCGCCGTAGCTGCGCCTGCTGCTGCGCCGACGCCGCCTCGACTTGCCCGGCCTCGCGCTCGAAGGCCTCGCGCGCGCCGCGCCAGCGCGCCGCCTCGCGGCCAATGTCCTGCGCGTAGTACGCGAGGAGGCGCCCCGCGCGGCGCGCCTCCGTGTACGCGCCGCCGAGAGATAATAGAGAGTCGACGACGTCCGTCGTCTCGGACCAGGCCCAGGCGCTGTGCGGCGGCAGCGCCTGCTCCGGCGCGGCGTCGGGCTCGGGCGGCGTGCGCTCCGGCGTCTCTTGGTTTATTTTCTTCTTCGCGGGGCGGCGCGGCGGCTTGAGGGCCCACATTGGTGCTCTCTCAGCAGCTACGAGAGAGCATTTTTGTTGCTGCCCCTATCGGTGCATGGCACGTTGCTCGTTGCTATATATGGAGAGCAGTCCTTCCAACCGTCCTTACAGCGCCATCGAGATGTCCCGGGCGCAAATCCGTCCCGCCATGCATTGAGATGGATGGAAATGGCAGGGTTGCTGGGAACCATTTCCGGCGCCAGGGCCTCGCGGAGGCCTCGGAGCGGGTCCTCGACGCCCCCCGGACGCTCGAAGGGATGAACGCGTGTAGGAACCCAAAAAGCCGGCCGCTCGATTTTCCCCGAACTCGCCACCTAAACAACGAGGCTCCAAAAGCACGCCACAGCGCCTCATTCACCGGGGGGCTGCGTCTGTCGTTCGCGCTCTCGCCGCGCCGTCGCCGTGAGAAAAAGCGCAGCGCCGCGAGGCCGCGACGGGGCCCCAGCTGCCGAAGATAATATTTGGCGCCTCGCGAGATTCGGCGCCGCGCCCTCCGCCCGCGGCCCCGCGCGCCGTTCCTGATCATAACCATGACCGCCGCGCCCCCCGCAGGACCCTTAAATAACAACCATGGCCGAGGACGAAGACGTGCAGGCGCTCGTCGTCGACAACGGCTCGGGCATGTGCAAGGCCGGCTTCGCCGGCGACGACGCCCCGCGCGCCGTCTTCCCGTCCATCGTCGGCCGCCCGAAGCACCCCGGGATCATGGTCGGCATGGACCAGAAGGACGCCTACGTCGGCGACGAGGCCCAGTCGAAGCGCGGCGTGCTCACGCTCAAGTACCCCATCGAGCACGGCATCGTGACGAACTGGGACGACATGGAGAAGATCTGGCACCACACCTTCTACAACGAGCTCCGCGTCGCGCCCGAGGAGCACCCGGTCCTCCTCACGGAGGCGCCGCTCAACCCCAAGGCGAACCGCGAGCGCATGACGCAGATCATGTTCGAGACCTTCAACGTGCCGGCCATGTACGTCAACATCCAGGCCGTGCTCTCGCTCTACGCCTCGGGCCGCACGACGGGCTGCGTGCTCGACTCGGGCGACGGCGTCTCGCACACGGTGCCCATCTACGAGGGCTACGCCCTGCCGCACGCCATCGTGCGCCTCGACCTCGCGGGCCGCGACCTCACGGACTACATGATGAAGATCCTCACGGAGCGCGGCTACTCGTTCACGACGACGGCCGAGCGCGAGATCGTGCGCGACATCAAGGAGAAGCTCACGTACATCGCCCTCGACTTCGACCAGGAGATGAAGACGGCCGCCGAGTCGTCGGCCCTCGAGAAGTCGTACGAGCTCCCCGACGGCAACGTCATCGTCATCGGCAACGAGCGCTTCCGCTGCCCCGAGGTGCTGTTCCAGCCCTCGTTCATCGGCAAGGAGGCCTCGGGCATCCACGACTGCACGTTCCAGACGATCATGAAGTGCGACGTCGACATCCGCAAGGACCTCTACGCCAACATCGTGCTCTCGGGCGGCACGACCATGTACCCGGGCATCGGCGAGCGCATGACCAAGGAGCTCACGGCGCTCGCGCCGTCGACGATGAAGATCAAGGTCGTCGCGCCGCCGGAGCGCAAGTACTCCGTCTGGATCGGCGGCTCCATCCTCTCGTCGCTCTCGACCTTCCAGTCGATGTGGATCTCCAAGGCCGAGTACGACGAGTCCGGCCCGGCCATCGTGCACCGCAAGTGCTTCTAGGCGTTTCGCGCGGCGTCGCCGGAGGCAGTCCGCATCAGGGTCGAGCCCGAGAAGGGTTCCCCGGCGAGGCACGCTCCAGCGGCCCCAACCGTTTCCACAAGAAGTGTAAAGCTTGTATATTCCACACGCTTTTTTTTGCTTTGTGAACCTCCGCGAAGCCGTTTGCTTTGCTTAGAACTAGGCAGCCTAACTACCAAAGATTCCACCAAGCCGCTTGAGCGGACGCCCGTCCCACCCCCGGTCCCCATACGCCGTCGCCGAGTGATAGCCGTTTCATACAACGCATCACGATAGCGCCAAGTGTCCACGGCGCCGCGGCGGCACACGCGTACCCGACAACGGCATCTAACAAAGGATACGAGTACAGTATAAGTTAGGGAGAGTGTTGCCGTTGCGGCGGGGCGCGCCCTACTGGAGCGAGCCGATGCGCGGCCGCAGGGGACTAGATGGCGTCGCCGTCCGCGACGCGCCCGGTCTTTTGAGCGTGTAGTTCGCCATCATGCAGACGCAGTCGTGCTCGACTTGTGTGGAAGAAAGGTTCTCCCTAACATACGTCGAGCCCGACACGTCCAAGCGCGGCTGGCCGTCGAAGAGCGCCGACCGCGGCAGCTCGCGCAAGCCAGCTTCGTCCGCGAAGAGTGTGAGTACGACGCGCTTCGGCCGGAAGACCGCCAGCACGTTCTTCACCAAACTGCCATACGACTTCAGGGCCGTGTTCGTCTCGAAGGACGCGTAGGAGCAGGACGCTTCGGGAGTGACGTGGACAGTAGTGTACGACTCGAACGACAAGGCGTTCAGCGAGTAGCCGCACGGCGCGAAGGCGTGGTCGTCGACCTTACCTGGTATGAGCGCTTTGAGGCCACTTCTTTGCGTCATTGCCCGACCAGCCGCCCTTAAATCGGAGTCCTCGTCGCCCTGCAGGTGAAAGTGCCTCCGCACGTCCTCGGGCAAGTCGAACATCATGACGTTCACGGTCCTTTCGGTAGCGGAAGACGCCGGCCGCTCACACTGGTCCGACACGTAGACGAACCAGTGGTCTCCGGTTAACGGCCCGAGGACGTAGCCGCTCCCATCAAACACTTTTTCGGCGTCGCCCTGGTGCGCCTTGAGATATCTCAGCTCATCTTCGAAGCAGCCGTGCGGCGCCACCTGGTCGTCGGGGAAGCAGTAGTTTTTTCGGGAGTAGCCGACCCATTCTAATTGCAAGCCTAGCGTCGAGGTCGCCTCCTGCACTAAGCGTCTTAAGCATCTCAGTAAAGTCGTGCGGCCGCAGGTCTTCACCACTACTTTATGAGCGTAGACAAATAACGACGATTCGCTCAGGACATACGCATCTAAGTGCGCGTTGGACATCCTTGATAAAATAGTACACCGCGCCTCCTCGAGGATACAATCGAGCTGCGCCCGCGTCAGGCCGCGGCAGCCTCTGATATCACCAGCACCGGGTAGAAAGCAGACCTCCAGCGTCTTCTCGGGCCCCTCGAAGGCGCCCGGCTCGTCGACCAACGAGTCCGCCCGCGGCAGCGAGTTCGTCGACGCGTCGCTCCCCGTCTCTGAGAGCAGGAGCGCCATGCTGGCCGTTATTTGATGTCCGCAGACATGCACTGTTGAGTGGTGCTATCGTCTTAGCGCCAGCGCGTGCGCTTTCTCTTTGGGCTCGCTGGCGTGGCTCCTAGCCCCCCGGTGGACGCAGGTAGCTCTCAGGTTTTGAAACCGGCGGCTCGGAGAGGCCACCCGGATGCAGCGGTGCGACGAGCTATACGTCTGGCCTCGCGGAGACGCGGCAGCTGACCTCGGGCGATTTTGGCTCGAGATCGTCTGGCCGTGCTCTCTTTTCGTAAACACGCCTCTGGTACACGTGCGGTGAGAAACCTCAAGCGACGCGTCCGGAAAACGCGGGAAAACCCGATCAGTTTGCTTGATGAAGCAGCATCAGTGACATTGTGCAGGATCCACTGCGCTTTGCTCGGCTAGGCATCGTGCTCAGGCGTCGAGCAGCTGTCGCAGCGCATCAGACCGCACCACTGCGGCGCTCCGAGAGACAAGCGGTGCAACAGCCATGGCGCCTCGCACTGCGAGAGCCCTGCTCTGCGTGGCCGCGGCCGCGGCCCTCGTGGCCAAGCGCGCGCCGTTGCCTAGATCTATAACAAGAGCACGATCAACGATAGTGATGAAGGACTTCCCCCAGCCCAACGTCTTCGATACGGACCCGTATCGCGAGGGCAGTCGATTGTCCGACCGGTTCAAGACCGATCTGCAGGCGGGAGACAAGAAGAAGAAAGTAGCGATCATTGGCGGCGGTCTGTCAGGACTGAGCTGCGCCAAATACCTCAGTGATGCGGGCCACGAGCCGACGGTCTACGAAGCGCGGGACGTGCTCGGGGGCAAGGTCTCCGCGTGGCAGGACGCGGACGGCGACTGGATCGAGACGGGCCTCCACATCTTCTTCGGGGCCTACCCGAACATGATGCGGTTGTTCAAGGAGCTCGACATCGAGGATCGGCTCCAGTGGAAGGTGCATAAAATGGTCTTCGCGATGCAACGATCTCGGCGTCCCGTTGTGTAGAGGCGCCTTCACGCCATCGACGCGACTCGTGGCCATCTCACGATGACGTGGGTGGTTTCTTTTTCGATGTCGAGGCTGTTCGGACCGCGTTCGACGGGAGATGCTCCGCGCAGGCAGGAGCTCCCGGGCGAGTTCACGACGTTCGACTTCATTCCGGGCATCCCCGCGCCCTTCAATTTTGGGTTGGCCATTCTCTTGAACCAAAAAATGCTCACGCTCGGCGAGAAGCTCCAGACCGCGCCTCCGTTACTACCCATGTTGGTCGAGGGCCAGGAATTTATTGATGCGCAGGACGAGCTCAGTGTCCTAGACTTCATGCGCAAGTACGGCATGCCCGAGCGCATCAACGAGGAGGTTTTTATTTCGATGGCCAAGGCCCTCGACTTCATTGATCCGGATAAGCTGTCGATGACGGTCGTCCTGACGGCCATGAACCGCTTCCTGAACGAGGACAACGGCCTGCAGATGGCTTTTTTGGACGGGAACCAGCCGGACCGGTTGTGCGCGCCCATGGTCGAAAGTATAGAGCGTAATGGCGGCAAGGTGTTCTGCGAGAAGCCCATGGAGCGCATCGAGCTTAATGAGGACGGTTCTATCAAGAAAGTCGTGTTGCGAGGTGGTGAGGAGGTTGTTGCCGATGAATATGTTTCTGCACTACCAGTAGACGTCCTGAAAAGAGTAGTACCGGAAAAATGGAGCACGATGCCCTACTTCAAGCAGCTGGACGAGCTCGAAGGTATTCCTGTTATTAATTTACATATGTGGTTCGACAAGAAGCTCACGACGATTGATCATTTATGCTTTTCACGAAGCCCGCTACTCAGCGTCTACGCGGACATGTCGACGACGTGCAAGGAGTACGCCGACGATGATAAGAGTATGTTGGAATTAGTGTTCGCGCCCTGCTCGCCCATCGCCGGCGGCGACACGAACTGGATCGCCAAGTCTGATGAAGATATTATCCAGGCGACGATGGGCGAGTTAGCGCGCTTGTTCCCCACGGAGATCGCGTCGGATCCCAGGTATGAGGGCACGATGAAGCCGCGGACCTTCGAAGGTGGGGCCTTGCCTGAGTTGCCCGATGGTGCGAAACTGAGGAAGTCCGCGGTCGTCCGCGTGCCTCGCTCGGTATATGCCGCAATTCCAGGCAGGAACAAGTACCGCCCTAGCCAAAAGTCGCCCATCGACAACTTCTCGCTTTGTGGTTGTTTTACTTCTCAAAAGTTTTTGGGCTCGATGGAAGGCGCTATTTTAGCGGGAAAATTGGCCGCGGAGGTCGTGGCCGCGCGCGCCGTCGGCGCGGACGCGCCGGGCGACAAGGTCATTCAGCAGCACGTCATCGATGAAGCGGCAACGGCGTCGCCCAAAAAACCCGTGGGCTGCAAGGGCCGCACCGCGGTCGCGTTCGGCGGCGGCTACACCTTCGACCAGGCCATCAAGCGGGAGCTCGAGGGCCAGGACGCGGTCCAGCTGACGCCGCTGAACTAAGTAGTTTCGTTTAGATTTTGTCGGGCTCCCGAGCCGCAGGGGTTCCGATGATGATATAAGTTGAGTGACTTTTTACACCACTTTTGTGATGCTTAGACACCCGCGTGCGGAGTGCTCCCAATTCCCCCTCAAGAGCCCTCAACGGCTAGAAATGGTGAGACACCCGAACTTTTTTTGGAAAACCCGCACGCGGGTGATGCTTAGAGGTCACCGTCGTCCAGCACGACATACAAAAAACGAGGTTCGTGAAGAATATGCAGCGCCGGCGGCCGGCCTGCGAGGCCACGGCCGAGGGGTGCACGCCGGAGGAAATGGAGCGCTGGGCGGGGATTTCATAACAACATTTACTTAGTCGCCGACCTCGCGGACGTTGAGGTTGAGCCGCGACCCGCGGAGGAACTCGCAGAGGCCGCGGAGCGCCTCGTCGTCGGCCGGCCGGCCCGCAGCGTACGCCGCATCGCTACTGTCACCGTCGCCGGGGCCGGGCGCGTCGGGCCAGGCCGTGGCTTCTCGTAGGTGTGATGGACACGTGTCCGGTAAGATGCGGGGGACGCCGTGGTAGTAGGACCGCGCCGCTTCGCCGACGAAGACGCACGCGTCGCCCGAGCGCAGCCACACGGCCGTCGGCGCCACGTCGCGCGTCGCGCCGCCGACGAGGAACACCGCGCCTGCATGGAAATGAACCAGTGCCGCGATCGCACGACCACTTGATTTCGCACCGCGCCGCGCTGCATCCAAGACTGACCGACACGAGCGGCAACGAGCGGTCCGTCTCCGCGTCGTCGACGTGGCCGCCCATGGTGTCGCCCGGCCGGTAGTAGTTCACGATGGCCGCCTCGGCGTTCATCGTCACACCAATCAAACCGCACAGGTCGTCGCAGAGCTCGGCGACGTGGCGGGGCATCGGCTCGGCGTGGTCGCACGCGTACGTCCGCTCCGTCCAGTTGTAGTGGCGGCCGAGCGTCGCCCACCGCAGGTTCGCGGGCGGCGCGGCGGTCCGCGGCGGCGGCGCCGTGCCGTCGCGCCGCGCGAGCCAAGTCAAGTTCGTCTCCGCGGGCGGCCGGTGGTACGCGCCGTAGCAGCAAAAGGCCAGGCGCCGCTGCGCGTCCGGCGCGACGACGCCCGGCAGCACGAACAGGCCCGGCCTATCCGTGAGTTCGTAGGCTCCCGGTCCCGCGCGCCTCACGGCGCCCGCGGCCACGCCGGCGGCCGCGCCGTCGCGCAGGTCCAGCACGTCGCTGTAGTCGGTGGGCGTCCGCGTCCGCGGCCGGTAGCGCTTCTCGGCCTCGCGGAACGCGGTGATCGATGTCTGTGGCGTCTCCGCTGCGGGCGCCTGGCTTTTGCGGCGGCCCATGTCCGTCGTCAAGCAATAATACGCCCAATGGCTAGGGTGTCAAGAACGCTTATATACACTCCGCGCCTGCAGCGGACGACGAATGCGGCCGTGGCCTCGCCTGCAATTTGTGCTGCCAGAGAGCTGTGGTCTGTTTGCGTCGCGAGGGCTCGTCCTACCGCTGTGGCGGCTTCAAGCGCAATCGATGCGGGTGCAGAGAGTCTTTTTTGAGCTACTACTGCGCTCGTTTGATCGATTTTGCAAAAGTGAAAAACCCGTCAAGCGCCGCAAAGATGCCCTGGCTGGCGCGCGCACCTATAGCTGCGCTCAAGCACTTATTACAGCGATTGAGCTAGCGCATTGATCGAGTAGAGCACAAGCAGCCGCAGTGACTCGCATCGATGGCGTCCACGACGGACTGGAAGCAGCTGCCCGACAGCGTCGTCGACCCCATCACGCTCGAGCCCATCAACGAGCTCAGGGTCGAGCCCTTCAAGATCAACCAGCACTACTTCGACGGCGAGGCGCTCGCGGCCTACCTCGTGGCGTCGTCGACCTTCGAGAACCCGCTCGACCGCAAGGCCCTGACGCGCGACGACTGCCAGCGCCTCGACGCGCATTTGGCAAGGAACAAGCTCGAGCGCCTCGGCGTCGAGCGCGAGCGCCGCGCGGCGCAGCGCCGCGCGACGCGCGCCGCGCGGCGCGCCGAGGACGAGGCGGCCGCGGCCGAGCGGCGCCGGGCCGACGCCGCGCGCGCGACGGCCGCGGCGCTGCTGGACGCGCTGTACGCGCGGCGGCCGCGGCGGCGCCAGCGAGGGCCGGCCGTCATCGACGACGACGAGATCCCGCCCGACGTGCTGGCGAGCGCTCAAAATGATGACGACGCGGCGCCGGCGGACGAGGACTTCCCCGCGCTCGGCGGCGGCGCCGCGCCGCCCTTCCGGCGCGGGCAGCATGCCGCGGCGCCCGAGGCGTTCCCGGCGCTCAACGGACGCGCAGCGACCGGCGGCGGCGGCGACTGGTACGCGAGTATCGCCGCGACGCGGGTGGCCGACGACGAGCGGCGCGCGGCGGCCGCCGCGCGCGAGGCCGACGCCGCGGCGGCGGCGGACGCCGCCTACGGCGCGCGCGCCGCGGCCTACGGCGTCCCGACGCAGCGCCGCGACCTTGCCAGCGGCATCGCCGCGGTCGGGCGCCGGTCATCCCTAAAACACGCCGCGGCGCAGCTCTGGTCCGACGAGCTCCTGACGTGGGCGCGCAAGGACCCTCGGCGCGTGAAGCGATTGGAGAAGGAGCTCGGCGCCTTCGTGGCCGATTCAAGAAGGACGGCCCACAGCCTCCGGCCGATGCGGCGCGCCGAGCGGCGCAAGACGCACGCCGTCTGCGAGGTCTACGGCGTGGGCACGCGGTCCTACGACCGGTCGCCGGAGCGGCACATCCGCATCCTGCGCGAGCCGGGCGCGCCGGCGCCGGCGCTCCCGGACGTGCTCCTGTCGGAGGCGGCGGCGCTCCCTGCGGTCTCGGTGCTGCCGGAACCGGCGCCCGCGCTTCCGGAGGCCCCGCCCTCGCCGCCGAAGCCCCCCCGCGCGCCGCCGCGGCCGCCGTCGTACGACCAGTACGTCCACAACCGCCCGCACGCGGCGCAGACGGCGCTCCTCGGGGCCCAACTCGCCCAGGAAGACACGGGCGCCGTCGACCGCCTCGCGGCCATGGGATTTTCTCGAAGAGCCTGCGAGGCGGCCCTGCTGAACGCCGGTCAAGACGAGACCGCCGCGGTGGAGCTGCTCCTGACGCGGTCGACGGAGGAGCTGCTCGGTGTCACGGTGTAAGTGATAATTGTTAATCCGTGTGTTGTCGTCGGGGCGGCGACCGTCGACTGGTGGAGACGGCGTCGCAGGCCGGCCCCGTGTCGCGCGGGAGCGCCGCGGACACGCTCCCCTCGCGCAGCGCTTTCAGCTCGTGCCGGTTGAAGAAGAAGCAGCACGCGTGCAGAATATATAAAATGCACGCGCCCAGCGCCACGTACCGAAATCCAAAGGGCCACTTGAACAGGTAGCAGTGCAGTGCGGCTAAATAAGCCATCAGAATCTGCGGCAAAAATAAAACCGACGCCCGCGCGCGCACCGACACGGCCACGAAGAGCTCGACGCCCCAGACCAAAGTGAGTATGGTCAGCCCGAGGATCTGGTCCGCGAAGAACTCGAAGAGGAAGGCCAGCATACCCACCATGATCGGTGCAAAGGCCGCGGAATCGAGTAAGTGCCGCGTCACGAGCCGCGCGTACGACCTTCGGGACGAGATGGTCTCCCGTAACTCCGCCGTGAAGCGCAGCATGCGCGCTTGCGTCTCGCGCAGCGTGTAGTGGACTAATGTGGACGTGGCGAAGAGCACGAACGCGGCGCGGCCCGCGACCGCCCATGAATTGGAAGAAGACACACTCAAATCGTACAACTCCCCACTCCGCTCGGCCTTGAGCCAGCCGCGCCCCGCGCCCGTCAATACGGCGTTCGCCACGACGCTCTCCGACTCGACGAAGCGGGGCACAGCTTTTCCTCCGCATTTCACGTTTACAATGTTGATGCGCAGCTGCTTCCGCGCGTCCTCCGTCAACAAGGCCACGCCCCGGTCCCGCGCGAACCAGAAGGCGACGCCCGGCGCCGCGTCTGTTGCCACCGCGCACCTGGCGTGGTCTTCGCTCGTCAGCACGATCCTAATGGTCGGCGCGTAGCGCATCTGCGCGACCGCATCTCTTAACGCGCGCGCCACGGGCTGCTCCGGCGCGGCCACGTAGCGCGCGTGGAGCGCCGCTAGAGATACCGTGCTTAATAATGCGGCAGCGCCGCACGCGAGTTCTATGATCAACCGCAGCCGCGGCCCCGCGCGCTGCTGGACGCCGCGGCCCATGCGCACGTGCTGCCTGAAGAGCACCGTTTCTAGTGAGGAGGCGACGGGCATGTTGTCTGATCAGTGCTATTGTTGTGTCGATCAGTGCTGCAGCCTCAGCGCAGCCGTAGAGCTCCGAAGGAGAGCTGGCTGGCTTTAGCAAAGTCTTGTTTGCATTCATGCGTTGCAGAATGAGCTCTTACTGGCGTCTTGCCCCACGTTCGCGGCCATCAAACGCTGTCGACGTAGAAACCCGCGAGCTCAGGCCCAAAAGTAACAGCGGCCAGCTAGCGGCGGTAAGGCACTAGCAAGCCTGCGGCTGCAAACTTTGAAGGCCTCTTTGAGCTCGGGCTGAGCCTCAGCTGAGCACAACAGGCCAAACTGGTGGACGTGGGAGCCATGCGTCGACGTAGCTACCTCGTGGCGTGCCTCATCATACACGCGAGCGCGCGCGCCCCGAAGTTCGAGCCCTACGCCAACAACCACGGCTCGGCCGCCGCGGCGGCGGGCGCCGACTTCGTCTACCTCGCGAGCGACGCGCAGCACGTCGCCGGCATGACGATCGCGTCGTGCCAGGCGCGCCAGCGCGGCCTCACGCCGCGGACGCGGCTCGCGGCGGGCGGCTGCCGCGCGGACTGCGACGCGCTCGCGCGCGATTTGGTGGTGGAGGCCGCGCGCTACGAGTTCGCGGCGCGGCGGGAGCCGGATTGCCGGGTCCTGGCCCAGGCCCTCGCGCGCCTCCTGCACGGGCGGCGGCGCTTCCCGTACTTCGCGCAGCCCGTGCTCGCGGGCCTCGACCGGGACGGCGTCGGGCGGTGCTTCGCCTTCGACAGCGTGGGCTCGGCGTCGGAGGCGTGCGTCGTCGCGGCCGGCGCGGCGCAGCGGCTGCTCCTGCCCGTCCTCGACGCGCGGGCGCCGGCGCGCGCGCCGGAGGACGGCGCCGCGTACCCGCGCTTCGCCTCGGCGGACGACGCGCGGGCCGCGCTCGTCGCCGCGTTCCGCGCGGCCGCGCGCCGCGACGCGACCGTCGGCGGGGTCCTGGACCTGACGCTCGTGACGCGCGACGGCGCCGTCGGGGAGCGCGTGGCGCTGCTCGGCGACGACCTGGCCGCCGCCGCGCCATCGTAAGTTTTTTGTGTAACCTAGCTGCCAGTGAACTTAGATAAGATAAAAGGAAGAGGGGAAAACTGAATGTCGGGGAACCGCGGAACTGATCTCCTCGAAATCAGGCCGCGTTGACGAACTGCGCGTGCTCCTGCCACCAGGGGTGCGCCTTGAGCTCGGGGAGCGTCATCCGTTGCCTGGGGTCCACCGTGAGCAGTCGTTGCAGGAGGTCCTTCGCGTTTTCAGAAACACGAGGTATTGGATTAGGACCATTCTCGTATGCAAGAAGTAATCCGTGCAGGTTCCCGTCCTTTACATGATTGTAGGCAGCCCCTTCTGGTCCCCACGTTGGCTCCCACGGGGGCGCGCCCGTCAAGAGCATGAAGAGCATGATCCCCAGCGCCCACACGTCCGCGGCGAAGGCGTCGAAGGAACCTTGGGGGTACCACAATTCCGGAGCCATGTACATTGGCTTCCCGCATTTCCCGGGCCAGTTCTGTCGCGCCGCGAGGGGCACGGCGTGGTAGCTCCCTCCCGCGTGGTGGCCATCGAAGAAATCGGTAGCAGTAGGTATCGCCTTGACCGCCATCCCGAAGTCGATGATGATCGCCCGGCTATGGGCGTCGACCAGCGTGTTCTCAAGGGAAATGTCATGATGCATCAGGCCCATGGCGTGTAACCGTTCGAGGCCTCTGACGAGTTGCCCCATGTACGTCGCCGCCGTGGCTTCCTGCAACGCGCCGTGCCGTTCCACGACGCCGAATAGGTCGCCGTTCGGACAGAAAGGTAAGACAACGTACACCGCCTGATCGTCACCGTAGGTCGCTAGCAACGGCAGGACGCACGGCGCGCCGCCCTGCGACGCGATGTACTCCATGACCGCGGTTTCCTTGAACGGGTCCTCGTTTAAGTGGCCGTGGTGGCTCGCTATGAACTGCTCTAACGCCGCTCGTTCGATGCACTTGACGGCGACCTGGCGCTCCGTCGCGCGCCACAAGATCCCGTCCGCTCCGTGCGCGCGCGCTGCTTCGGCCGGGACGCGCTCGAGCTCGACGCCGTACCTCACTCTTCCATAAATAGCCCTCTCCAGGTTGCGCAGGAGCGCGTAGCCCTTGCCGTCGGCCGTCGCGAGGACGCGGTCGAAGACGACCACCCTATGGCCCGGTCCGCTCAGCACCCGCTGGTCCACGAGCAGCTGACAGTCTTGGACCGTCGGCGCGGCGTACGGCATCGGGTTCGCCCCGGCGCCAATGTGCGTCAGCTCTTGCAACAAGCCCGGAGCGGGGCCGCGCGGGAAGGAGCCCGAACTCGCGTCGTAGCCGTGGGCCTCGAGCGGCGCGAGCAGGTGCTGGTGCCACGGCATGCCCAGGAGCCGCGTCGCCACATTACCCAAGCGCGGCCCGTCCGTGTTGTTTCGCGCGAGCAGCTCCCAGAGCTCCAGCACGAGCGCCTCGCTGTCCTCATGCGTCGCCGCGGGGGCGATGTGCGCGCCGTACCAGTTCGCCATGTCGTTTACGGTTGGTCCGGGGGGGCTCGGCGCGCGCGGGCCGGACCGGAGTCTCGAGAGCTCCGCCTCCGCCTCGTCGGCGTCTAGGACTCTCCGAATGGCCTCGGCGTCCTCGGGGCTGCACGCGAGGGGTGGCTGTGTATCGTCGGCAGCTCGGCGCCGTGCGAGCTCCGCCTCGAGGAGTGAGATGCGCTCGTCGAGGGTGAGCTGCCCAAGCGCGTCGCCGCTCTCCGCGAGGGCACGCGCGAAGCGTTCGTCGTCGGAACGTTGCCGGGCGACCCGTTGTTGCCCCGGGCTGCCCCCTTCCATTAACCCTGGTCGATCTTGGCAGCTTTTAGGCTGCATTTTTTTTCTGTTTCTTTTTTGCCAGCGTTATACTGCATCGTGCGCAAAGCACCGGCTCCCGGGCAATCTGGTGAAAAACTAGAGGCCTTAGCTAGCGGACAAGCGACTCTGCTGCACTAAGTTGCTCCCTGAGCCGCGCCGACGAAGCGGCACCTTCATTGCAGTCGCGCAGCGCCACCCCGGATACCTCTTTGGTGTGCTGCTGCATAACCCGGCTTCACTGCTCCACACAAAAGAGAGCACGGCACTTCACTGCCCACACGATGATCAAGCGCCTCCGCACGTCGCTGACCGGCTGGCGCGCGACGGCCGAGGAGCCCCAGGAGGCGGACGAACAGCCGGAGCCGCCGGCGGAGGACCAGACCGAGGAGGACGATAGTAATGATCCGTTCCGCAAGTACGGCAACCGGAGCGTCGCGGTCTGGGACGCGGCGACGTGTACTTCATCAGTAATCCGCCAGAAGGGCAAGCACTTTAGGATCATGGGCTGCTTCGCGAACGGTGCTGTGAAACTGTTCGCCGAGGAGACCTTGTATCTGGTCGAGAGGGAAGCTCTGGTGTTGCTACCGTCAGCACCGGTCGAGGATGAAGACCATCCGGAACCAATAACAGCGAGAGAGTGCTACGACCTCTGCTTGAGGAACGAGGACCAAAACGACGGGCAGCGGTGCCCTTTAGCTTGTTACTGGACGTACCAGCAACTCAAAGGTCTAGGGTACGTCGTCTGCCGGCCGCAGCAGTACGCCGCGGCCGACGGATCGAGGGCCATCGCCCCCCAGTTCTGGGCGGGCGACGTCGCGCCGGGCGCCCCTCCAGTACCAGTATGCTTCGAGTGCCACCAGCCGTCCCAGAACTTCGCCAAATCAAGATTAGGGGACCCGGCCTTCCGCGTCTTTGTGACGCACGCCGGGGGTGGGCTCCCTTCCGTGACGCAGCTCACGGATTTGCTCGAGCGGTGCGCCGGCGCGCCGGCCAAGGCCGCCGTCGCCGCGGGCGACGGCACCGTGCTCCTCTTCGACCTGACCGAGGGCGTGCCCACGATCGCCTAGTAGCCTAACATCACTTATCCGGGAGCGCCCTCTTCTCCCAGTCCCTCAACTCGTTCCGTGCTGCCCTTAATTCCGCCCGTTCTTCGCGCAGACGCACGAAGGCCGCCTTCGCCTCATCCGAGGCCTCGGCGGGCAGGCCGCCGTTCGGATCAAATAAAGCCTCGCCATACGCCAAGTCGCCGGCCGGCCCCGGCAGCACGCCTTTGCCGTCGACGAGCCTCAACCAGCTCTCGTAGGCCTTGCGCCGCCATCTAGCTTCCGTCTTGAGCGGCTCGGCGAACTGGGGCCCGAGCACCTCCAGCCGCTTGAGCGACTCCTTCGTGAGCAGGTCCGTAAATTTATCGAGGTCCGGCCACGACCGCTCAAGTTGTTTAGAGACGGCGTCCTCGTCGTCGTCGCGCGGTGGTCTTGGGATAGCCACCTCGGCCCGCGCGAGGCGCCAGAGCTCCTCGTCCGTCGCGTCCGCGACGTCGAGGCGCGGCTCTGGTGGAGGCGCGGCGGCGACGGCAGCGAGCTCGCGGCGCGCCTCGACCGGGTCCATTGCTAAGGCGTCCGCGCGCGACCGCCCGAGCACGACGAGCCGCAAGATGTCGTCGGGGGTCAGCGCGTCCGACGGCTCCGCCGGCGGCTCTGCCGCTTCCAGCGGCGCGGCCGCGGGCGGCGGCGTGGCGGGCAGCGGCGGCGCGGCGGGCGGTGGCAACGCCGCTTCCAGCGGCGCTGCCACGGGCGGCGGCGGCGGCGCGGCGGGCGGTGCTGCCGGCGCTGGTGCGGCCGGCGGCTTGGCCGGCGCTGGTGCCGCCGGCGCGGGCGCGGCCTTGGCCGGCGCGGCGGCAGCGGCCCGGGCCAGCAGGCGCCGCGCCCGCCGCGGCGCCATCGCCTCGGCCTCCGCGCGTCCGTGGCCGAGGACAACGAGCCGCAGCACCTCGTCCGACGAGAGCGCGGCCGGCGCGCCGCGCAGCCGGCGCCACGCGCGGCGCAGTCGGCCCGGGCCGCGCTTCGGCGGTGCCTTCGCGAGGCTCGCGAGGTAGTCGTTTTCGGCTTTCAGCGGCTTGCGCACCGCATGAGGCGTCCGGTGGTGGTGGCTGGGCGGCACCCAGGCCCAGCCCACCACTAGGGATGCCAGCAATGCACTTCTTCGCATTCGCATTGGTGCGCTGTAGACTCACGTATACTAAGGTGCATAGCAGAGCGCGCACAATAATAATTATTGCGAAACAAGCCAGCTAGCGTTGTAAGACACTAGACTCGGTTTCACACCTTAAAATCAGCTTTTTTTGGCTAATTAAAGCGCGAACGGCTGCAGCGTTTAATTGAGACCATCCAGCGCTGCAGTGGAGCCCTCAAAGCAGTCATATGGACCTCCGGACCCGGCAAAAGGCGTTTGCGCAGCGCGGCCTGCAGGCGCCGCGGGATCTGGTGGTGCTCGCGGATGCGCAGGACGACGAAACGCGGCGCTGGGTCTACGCGACGGGCCTGGCCGCGGCCGGCGCGTCGTCGACGACGACGCGGCTCGCGCGCGCCGCGGCGGGCCTCGCGCTCGAAGGAATGGCGAGCCCGGCAGAAAGGCAAGCACTGGAACGGTCCATCAGGCGCCACGCCGTCTACGACCGCGCGGCGCTCGCGGAGCGCGCGCCCTACGGCCGGCCGCCGGCCCAAAAAAAGCACCCAGGAGCATTGGGTGCCGCTCTCGCCCACATTCCGAGGAGGACGCCGCTGACCGTCGACGCCGTCCAGCGGGCGAAGGACCGAAAGGCGCTCGCCGCCGCCTTCGCTAGAGCTGGCCTCACGAAGGCTCTTGGGGTCGTACTGGAAGGCCTGCCCTTCGCGTCGCAACTAAGACTGGAGGCCCTCGCCAGCATACCGGAGACGGTGCACCCCGGGAGCTACGCGGCCTTATTGCCTTCTTTAGATGAACCGGAGACCCTATCGAGGTACGACGACGGCCTCGACGACTTAGACGTTGACGGGGCTCTCTCATCATTAAAAGAGCGCGCCCTGGCCGATAGGAATTTACTGGAACCGCTCTGGGAGGAGATCCAGGATGGCGTACCTGCGGAAACGCTGGTAACGTGGTACCGCGACCGCGCCTTACAGATGGACGACCGGTGCGGTGCCGTAGCGAACAGCGAAGCTCTACTAGCTCTAGCAAAAGACCGATTACCATCAGAGCACTACGCTTCATTATTCCTCTTGCATCGGGACTGCTGGCAGCTCGCTCGCTTACTCGCCTTAGATGCGTTACGAGACAGGAGGGAATCCCTAGAAAGCTGGCGGAAGCGCTCGAGGCAGGACCAGTTAAATGAAGCCTCAAAACATGTGGAAAGGCCCGAGACGCTCGCGAGCTATGCTTCGGAAGCTATGGCGTTGCGGACGGTCCTGGGTCCTTTAGTTTGTGGGCGCTTCGCTCTAGAAGGTACAAATGACGAAGACCCTCTGCTCTCGTCGATCGCGGAGGTCGCGAAACGAGCCATTCAGGATAGAGGAGACTTCGGCGTGGCGCTGGCGGCGTGCCGCGCATCGTCGGTTGAGATTGGGGTCGAGGAGCGCCTCGTGCCGTCGCAGGGGCGATTGGCGAGATTTGTGGTCGAGGTGTCTCAACTAGCTTTAGGTCACGGCAACGCCGTGCACGTGTGTGCGCAACTACTCGCAACGCTCGCGAACAATGACAACGACCGCGCCCTCGACGAGGACGAGGCGTTCTTTGCAAGGGAAGGTCCCAAAATTTGGTCAGCGGTTGATGACTTGGCGGAAAGAGTCAAGGTCTGCGAGGTGTTGCGGGACGGGTGTAAAGTGTTTGTCGATCTTGGTAGCCTACAATCGCGCTTACCTCGATTAACGGAAGAGCAGCTGGATCAGTTAGCACCTAACTCACATGTGGACGACCTCGCGCCGAAACTACTAGAGAACGCGTGTCGGCGCTTCGTCGTGAAGTGCGTGCTCAAAGAAAGATGTTCCGTGGAGGACGCGTTGCAAGCCTGCGACCAAGCGGGAAAACGCGGTTTATGGAGCCCACGCGACCACAAGGCCGCTATGCATTGCGGGCGGGCCGCCGCCCTGTTCCGGTGTGCGCTCACTTCCTCAATGGAAGACGCGGAAGATACTTTGAAAATACTAGAGAACTGCGCGGACAAACATCCACAATGGCTGGTGGACGCGGCGTCGCGAGGCGCGCGGCGGCGATTGTACCAAGCGTCAAGTGGATACGTCTACGAGGCATCATTAGCCGCGGACGCGGTGTTGCGGGTCGTGGCCGACTTCTGTAGGAAGCGCGGGACGCCCTCCTTCGACGGCGGCTTCTCGAGTTTCGACGGGGCGAAGGGGAGTAACAACGAGTGGAGCGAAGCGGCCAAATCCATTACGACGACGCGGAGGTCCTGCAGAGGTGTAGCGCTACTATCCATGGTGGGCGGTCTGGACGGGAATGTAGTACTGGATGCGATCCAGGACGTCGCAGAAGCGAGTGAGGAGGCGCGCGCGGCGCAGGTGGCCGCGAAAGCGTCTTCAGTGGCATTAACGGGCCACGTGTGTACGGAGTTCGGTGCACTGAATGACCTGCTGGACGACGAGGACGCGGACGTATTAGACGACCTCGAGATCTTTTTTGGGGAGAACGACGCAGCGGAGAACGAGGTCGTGGTCCGGGGGGCGCGGCTCGTGGCCGAGACGACGTCCGGTGCGGCCGCGGTCGCGGCGTCGGCGGCCGCGCGCCTCGAGCTGTTCGAAAGCGCCTTGGCCAAGGGCAACCACGAGCGGGCTTTGCAGCACGCGCGACGAGTTGTGAGAGCTGCGTCCTGTGTAGATGCGGCCGACGATAACGACGCCGAGCGGGAGAGCTGTCGGGACGTCGTTTGTGCTCTAGCGGTCGATGGTGCTATCCAATTGGGGAGGTTACCCGCGTCGTCGGACCGCGACCAGTTACTGAGGACCGCGCTGCGACTGCCCGCGGGTCGCAAGGCCGCGCAGTTGGTTGAGGTGGTCGCGTCACTGACGACCACGGATCCGTGCGATGCGTTGGAGGCGGCCGAGGCCTGCCTGACCGAAGCGGCGAGCAACGAAAATGAACGGAGCTGTTTGCTAGATGCAGCCTGCGCGCACCTGCTGGAATCTACAAAAGAGGCCGACATTCGCAAGGCGACGGATGCCCTCGCAAAACTGGATGGTGAATTGAGACGCAAGCACCCCGTGACCTCGAAACCAAGGCGGGAAATGGTAGATGAATTGGTCGCGCTCGGCTTTGAGGAGAACGTGGCTCTCAAAGCGTGCCGTATGACGGACAACGGCGCGCTCGAGGCGCGCGTCGCCTTTTGCCTGGAGCAGGCGGGGAAGGAGACGCCTCCGGAAGCTGATGTGACGGGAGACGCGTCGTGCGCGCGGCGCGCGGCGGCGTTCTACCTGGCGACGTGCGCGGACCGGGACGTTAAGCTTAAGGAGCTCTGCGCCGCCTCCCGAAGAATGCTTGCGGAGCGGCAGAAGGACGCCGAGGAAGCATTGGCGCTGCAGCGGGCGCTCGCGCCCGCGACGCCCGCCAAGCCGCCGCCTCCACCAAAGCCTGCGTCGCCGCCGAAGTCGATCCGGGGCGCGCTCGCGCGCGTGCTCGCGCCGGAGCCGGAACCGGCGTTGAGCGGCGCGCTCGCGCACCTCAAACCTGACGAACCTGTTGTCGAGGACGTGACCGATGAAGCGGAAGCTAGACGGGCCGAAGAACACAGCGCGTTAAATGTTGATCTGACACGGTTCGAGCGCGAGGATGTTTATAGAGGCGAAGCCCTGGTCAAGGCGGCGAAGTCGGCGAACGGCGCAGCGTTTCGGGCGGCGCTGCGGGCGGCGGCGCGGCGGCCGATCACGGGCGGGACTGATAAATTAAGGGAGGCGAGCTCACCATTAGGACTCGCGACGGCGCACCTGACGCGCTGGTTCGACGACAAGGAGCTGCGATCTCCCAGTGGCGAGGTGGACAAGCTCACGCAGCTGCTGTACGATGAAGAAAGTTCCGTGAACGAAGCTTTGAAGGTGCTGAAGGAGCATTCGACGCTCGAAGCTTGGTTAATGGAAAGATATAAGGACGAGACGGACGCGCCGGCGCTGGCGCTGGTCTGCGGCCTCGCGAGCGAGCATTGTGAGGGCGCGTTCGCGGACCAATGTAGAACGCAGGCGCCCATCCTGAAGCGGTACGCAAAATGTATCCGACCTCTCAACACAAGCGTCGCCTGCAAACCTCTCATAGGTGAAATCGTCGCGAGTCGACCTTCTGTCTTAGAGGAGGCCGACGACCCGCCCCGCAACCCGCCGGCGCCCGGCGCGCGCGTCGCTTCTAATGAAGACATCAAGCGGGACCGGGCCGTGTTTCTGTTGCGGCGCGTCGCGAATTATAGGACCGCGGCGGCGCTCGCGACGTTTTCGACGAAAGGCTTCGACGCTTCGCTCAACCTTGGACCAGCAGAAGTCTACGCGGCCGCGGCGCGGCGCGAGCTCTTCGACGCCATCGCGGCCGACGATATGGCGAAGAAGCACGCGGTGCAGCGCGTCTCTCCCCTCTTACAACGCTGCGCCAAGGCGTCTCCCGAGGTCGCCTCAAAAGAACTCGGGAGCTGCGTCTTTGAAAGTGTAGGCGGGCCCTCGACGCAACACTTACAGATGGTCGTCACGGCCGTCCAGTGCGACGCCCTCGCGGCATCGTTGACCACGCTCCAGAGGGGCCTCGAGGCCGTCGAGGCGGCGATCCCGTTTTCGTGCGATCGAGAAGCGTTAAATGCGGCGAAACTAGCTTATCAGAGAGACGAGACGGTCGTCGACGCCGCGATCGAGCTGGCGCAGTGCCTCGCGGGGCAGGGCGCTTCGGCCTCGGTCGTGCGGAGCGCGTTTTTGCTGGTCACGGACGTCGCCGGGCTGGACGCGTCGGAGGCCGCGAACGACGCGGCCGACGACGCCTGTGCCGTCGCGTTCGGCACGGCCTGCCAGACGTTGGTGATTGAACCGCTCTTCAACGGGACCGAGGCGCCGTCATCAGAGGACGTGGACCGCGGCATCGCGATCGCGGCCCGCCTCGTCGAGAACGCTTCTTCCCATAACCACAGCGCTGTACTCCTCGCCTCGAAGCTCAAGGGCGTCGAGGGCTACTGGCGCGGGCTCTGCGGCGCCTCGATCAAAATGCAGCGGCCGCCGCCCGAGGCCACGCCCGACCGTTTGCGGGCCATCGGCGCCCTCACGAAACTTAGTGGTGGGCAAGAGACCGACTCATTCATGGAGGTCGCCGAGGTCGTGGCGCGCGTCCTCGGCGCGGACCGAGCAGCATCCCTGGAGCGGGGCTTCGCGCCGCACGACCTGGTGCGCGATTTCGTGAAGGCGCGGGACGCCCTGGCCGTGCGCGAGCTTTGCGCGCTGGTGTTCCCGGGAGGCAGCTCCAGAAATTTGTGCCTCGCTACGTTGAGAGGAGACGGCGGCGGCGAGGCGGAGCCGGGCGGGCCGACGTGGCTCGCGGCGCTGGACGCGGCGGACGACGAATTTTTGAGGGAGCTCGTCGTGCACGGGCCGCCGCCGCATTGTACGCCGTCGGAAGAAGCCGAGGCGGCGTTCTACGATGGGTTGGGCGAGGCGACGCGGCCCCTGGTGGGCCTCCGCGCGGCGCACCCGGCGCTGCGCCTGCGCGCCGCGCGTGACGCCGCCGCCCTGAAGCTCGACGTCGGTGACGCGCTCGTCGAAAGCGGCGCCCTGCTGGCGGCGCTCGAGGCCGACGCGGCGTGGGCGCGCGCGTGTTGCGTCGCGCGCGCGTCGCCCGTCGCCGTCGCCCAGCTGCTGGTGTGCGGCCGCGCGCGGCGGTGCCACGCGGACTTCCTCGCGGCGGCGCGGTGCGCTTCTGTGAAAGCGCCGGCCGTGCTGCGGGGCGGGTTCGACCTCTGTCGGCTGGCGCTCGAGGACGCGTCGCTGGACCCGACGCTCCGGAAGGAGGCGGTCGCGGCGCTCGGCGGGTACCTGGGCGAGGACGTGGCGCCTGAGCCAGCCGAGTCGGTGGGCGAGGAAGCGGCGACCACCGAGCCTGCCGAGGAGGAGGACGAGCTGGAGCTGGACGAGACGTGGGGCGGCGCTCCGGGCGAGGACGGTCCCGCGGGCGAAGCGGAGCCCGAGTCAGACCTGGAGCTGGACGAGACGTGGGGCGGCGCTCCGGGCGAGGACGGTCCCTCGGGCGAAGCAGAGCCCGAGTCAGACCTGGAGCTGGACGAGACGTGGGGGGGCGAAGACGCTGCGCCCGAGCCCGCCGAGGAGGAAGACGACCTGGATCTGACTGAGGAATGGGGCGCATGATAGTTGTTAAGTTGTTGTTAGTCACTCGGTGGGCATGAGCGGGACTTGCTCCCCTTCGAGCCACTTCTTCATGTGCCGACCGAATTCCTCCTCCTGTGGTGCGTTGTTCCGTTGCGAGGCGGGCGGTGTCCGCGTCGGCCCGCGATACTTCTTTGGCTTGCGCCGGACGACCGGGAGGCGTTGCTGCGACGCAAGTGCTGCCTGCCGCGCCGCGCGCTGAGCGCAGAGCCGCATCATTCTCGCGTTGACTTTTTGGTAACCGAGCAACTCGAAATCCCGCGCGTAGAGCCGGTCGACAATGGAATTACGCGCATTCGCTCTGCATGGACCCTGCCGCCACCCTCGACGATCTGCGCGAGGCCGTGACGACGCTCGAGGACGCTGAACGGATCGCGCGGCGCGTGCTTGGTGGCGCGCATCCGCTCACAGCGGAGATTGAGGACCAATTGCGATACGCGCAAGCCGCGCTCCGCGCCCACGAGACGCCGCCGCCGCCGAGGAGTGCGTAAGGAGACCAAACCAAATCTACCACAACAGAGTTAACTAGTTCGCCCCACCAAGGAGCACCGCCGCCACGCGGTCCCCCGCCTCGAGCCCCGACAGCGCCGCGGCCTCGACGGGGCACGCCGCCGCGCGGACGAAGTCGCCGCAGATGGCCAGCCGGTAGGGCTCGAGAACCACCGCGTGCTCGGCGCCGCGCGACCAGCCCTCCAGCGTCTCCGCGGAGAAGGCCGCGCGCCACATTTTGGCCCCGACGGCGCTCGTCAGCTTCGCACCGTGCGGGCAGAGGAGCCGCAGCGCCTCGTCGGCGAGGAGGAGGCCCAGCGACGCGACGGCGTCGTTGCCCGGCCGCTTGTCGGCGAACGACGAGGTCGACACGACGGTCCACGCGTTCCCGGCGTCCGCGCGGCCCGGCTTCGAGGCCTCCCTGGCGAGGAACTGGAGGACGCTCGACGACGGCGTCGTCACGGCGTCGAAGGGGATGGCCTCGCCCCCCTCGACCTCGACCACGGCACTCACGACGGCGCAGCGGCTCTCGCGCACGCGAGCGATCGCCTCAACGAGCCCCGTGAGCCGCGCGACGACCGCCGGGTCCGCCGTCTCGGCCGCCGCCGCGGCCACGGCCGTCGCCGCGAGCGAGGGGCCGTGGCTCGCGACCACAACAGCTTCGAACTCCTTCCCCTCGACGCGCCAGCCGTCTTCGACGCGCTCAATGGCCTCGACCCTCCCACTCGGCTTGAGTTCTACCCCGCCCATCTCCCGGATCGCCTCACAAACAACAGCGTTGTCCGGGGCGCTCCAGAGGTCGCCGTCGCCCTCGATGAAGCCGCAGAAGTCGCCTCCGTCCCGCATCGTCGCGAGAGCGGGCATGGTACCGCGCGGCACGGCCTCTCTCGGCAAAAAGCCGCCGCCGTGGCTCCCGAGCAGGCCGAAGCGCTCCGGGGCCACGCGCCACCGACCCACCAAGTTTCGCTTTTCCAGCTCGCCGAGCAGCGACCGGAACCGGTCGCTGCTCGCGCGGAAGAACTGCGTGCCGAGCTCGGGCCGCTCGCGCTGCGCGCTGCCGCCGAAGCGCCCCCCGGACGCACCCTGGTCGTAGACGCAGCACGGCACGCCGCGCGCCGCGAGCGACAGCGCGCACAGCGACCCGCTCAGGCCGCCACCCACGACCGCGACTCTCGCGTCGGTGGCGAGCTGTCGTACACGTGTGGACCGCTGCAGGAGGGTGCGCAGCATGGCTGCTCTCATAGAGTTTAGAGGGTGCACAGATGGTGCAGCAGCTTAGAGCGAGCCGTCCCGTCGAAAACGGCCCTCAGGAGCCAGTACGGGGGCGTGCGAGCGTTTCAGCCGTGCTATCGCAGCTAGCGTCCTGTAAGACACTAGGGATGCCTAGTAGCAAGCAGGCTCCGAGACAATTCGGACGGACAACTGCGCTTAGGAATGTACTAAATCGCGGTCAAGTTTCCTTAGTTACGGTGATGGTGGTGGCGGCGTCTTCAGGCTTCAGCATACACAAGCTTACACAGCCGCTCTAGGCCGGAATAGCAGTCTCCACGACCGACGCGCCATAGGTCACGACGAGGTCCAGCGTCGCCATGTCGGAGACCGTGGCGGGGACGGGCGACCACTGGAAGAGCGCCGCCAGCGTCCGCTGGTTGAGCGTCGCCTCGGACACGCGGCCGTCGTACGCGACGACGCTTCGGTAACCTAGGCCATGCACCGCCAAAAGGACAAAGTGCCACACAAGAAGATTAGTCGCGCTTCACCCCGCCATCAAGTAGCCCCGCGCCGACGACCTTGAGGTACTTCTTCATCGCCACGAGCCGCTGCGCCGCGAAGAGCAGCATCAAGAAGACGACGCCGCCATACAAGTGGTCGAAGGCGTCCTCGGCCCTATCGCAGGTCCGCGCCAATAAAGTTTCGTCGTTCGGGCAGAGGAAGTCCGTGACCCGCCTGGCCACGAACGACCCTGCTGCCACAAGCATCGGCAGGACGTAGAACTCGACGTTGCGGAAGGGATTCCGCGCGTCGTTCATGAGGCGGAACCGGTCCCTCGCTTTGCTTAGTTCCAAGTCTAAAGACGCCCGCGTCTCGAGGATCGACGCCTTCCGGCCCATGGTGGCCATCGCATCAAAGGCACACAACGCATCGGAACGAGCGCGCTTCTCGACCGTGCGGAACTCCCTAGGTTCTAAATACGACACACCGGGCCCCGCGCCGCACTTCGAATCTAAATCGGCGCAATACGCTTCCAGAGCCTTCGCTCTAGCGTTCCTATTGTTCGCCTCGGCCGTGGCCTCGAGCATGGTCCGCGCTTGCGGGAACCTATTAGCGCCGCCCGAGAACATGGCCGCATACGCTCGGACGTAGTTGCCCAATTCCAATGCTGTTAACTCAGAACCGTTGATGGATTTCGGCTCCAAATCCGAAAAAACGCTTCGCATGAACCGGTCCACGCATCTTTTGAACAACGGTTCTATCGCAGCCGTAGAACCATCGTATTTTTTCGAAGTAACAGCAAAGCCGGGATGCGGCAGCAACCGGCACCCAATACTCACGAAGCACTGCGTGATCTGTTCTCTCGTGAACTGGAGGTCGTTCGCGTGCCTAGCAGCCATGACCTCATCTAAATAGGTCTTCATCTGTTGCTCCATGTCTGTGTCACTTAGTGAGTCCTCGAACTCCGTCCAGTCCCTGACGAGAAACTCCAGCCGCTGAAAGGGCGGCGGCGGCTCCTCGAAGGCGTCGTCTTCGACGACGCTCTCCTTGGCTAATTCCGCCTCGAGTTGTTTGACCTTGTCCAATGAACCGTCACACGCGCGGGCTGCCTTGACCTTTTCTCTCAATTCCTGTCTACGCTCCTCATTCCTCTGCAGGGCGTGGTCCTTCTTAATGGACGAAGCTTCTTTTCTAGCTTGGCGCTGCGCATCCAGAGCCATGCGCCCGTACTCCGTGAACAAAGCTAGCTGCTGCAGGTTGTCCTCCTGGATGCGATTGGCCACGTTGTACACTTGAAATGAGGACATGAGTGTAGATAAGCCGAAGATGCACGACGTGAGGCCCATCGGCGTCTCGTTATCAAATAAACCTTGGGTGTCCAGGATGATCACCGATAACAATTCACCCTTGTTGCTGGTGACCTCGAAGGGCTCCGACCAAACAGTGATGCCCGTCGTCATGCGGTTCCTCCCTCCGCGCCACTCGAACGCGTCCTTCTGGGAATTCACGCCTTCGTTCGCGTTGCCTTCTGACAAGGTACCACCTTTCTCAAGCCAGTCTCGGCCGCCCTTCTCCCGGAGATATCTTAGTACGAGCGTGAGTAGGAAGGACTTGCCCGTCCGGAACGCGCCGACCACCGAGACGACGGCGACCTTCCTCCCTGACGGTACCTTCTTCAGCACCTCGTCCAAACACGCCTCGTCGAGCACGAACGCGTAATCGTCCGTCGCGTCGCCGCATCGTATCAACGTGAGCGGGCGGCCGCGCGGGGCCGCGTCGGTGCTGGCGGGTGCCATCTCGGCGTGAATCGCGGCGTCTCGCGGCGTCTCGCGCCGCGCGAGAAGGGCAAGCTCTGGCTCTGTGCTGCTCTGTGTGGGCGGGTCCGTGGGTTACGGAAACGCGCTCTTTCGCTGTGCCTCGCAGCAGCAATGGGTAGCAGCGTTCAGGCGCGCCCGGGGACGCGCTACAGGTGCGCGCGTAGGTCGCACCGACTCACAAGCGCCGCACTGCTCGACGAGACACGGGTTTTCACGACCCCTCCGAAGGCTCCGCGGCGACGGCTAGCGTTCCCACGAAAACCCCGTGACGCTTCGTTCGAGTTGGGCCGACCCGGACTGGGGTAGGGGGTCATTAGCCGGCGTTGTTGCAAGAGGGCAGGCTGTTTTTAGCGCCGCGACCGAGGCGCCCGGAGACCGACGGCTGCCGTGGTGGTATCGTAGCATCACCACACCACGCGCCGCAGCCGGGCAGCCCGTCCCGCGAAGCACAGCAGAGGAACAGCTAGATGGAGTCAAGGCGGGCCCAGCTGGAGGCGCGCGCCCTGGCCAATAGAAGACCGCGCACGCCGGGCGAGATGAGAGGAGATAGAAACCACAGCCCGACGCACGGCGACGACCTGGCCCGAGGCAGCGCCGTTTCTCGAAGGTCGGACGACGACGTGACCGAGGGCGACTCCTACCTCAGTCCAGTCAGGAGCAAGTGGCGCCAGCCGCCCCCTGCTGACTTAACGAGGCCGAAATCCACCGCTCGAGAGAGACTACGGGAAGCGAGGGATCGCGACGGTTCGTTAAATGACCTCCAGGAGCCGAGTCTCGAGCGGCCATCTATTTCATCATCGACGCATCGATCATCGCGAAGAAGGCCGCAGTACGCCGACCCGAACCAACAATTAGATGAGGACTCGGCTTTACATAGATTGGCTGATTTACAACACCAGCCTCCTAGAACTAAAAAAGCCCCTTCCCTTGTTGAGGCTTGGGATTCGAACCAGGGTTTCCGGGACGAGAACTACCAGGAGGCTTCTTCTATCGGTCTTGCTGAGCTTGGTACGTTGACGCAGAAGCGCCACGAGGCTTTGCAGGCGGAGGAGCAGAATCTTATACAACACCGAACAGTAGCGCAATCCCACCAGGACTGGGTCGAGGATTTGACCGAGATTTTGGATTTGAACCACCAAGAACAGGCCCACTTGGACGCTGAAATTGAAGAATTGTTGCATGGCCGAAGCCGCTCAAAAATCATGAAGGGCGTACTGGTCACATTAATGCAAAGGAACCTGAAGATGGCCATGGTGACCTGGAAGGACCAGACGGGCTTCGGTGGGGGCGCCTTGATCCAGGAACAAACGATCAAAGAGCTAGAACGGCAATTGGCCGAGGCCATGGCCGCCCATCAAAAGGTGGAGAAAGAATATGAGACGTCTATGGCAAATTATTCGGCAAACGCCCTGAAGAACGCCAACGCCTCGACGTACAAATTGATCTTAAATGTATTCGGCAAGCTCATGGGTGATTATAGCAGGACGTACTTTGCTACGTGGAAGAAGAAGTCCGACGAATACGCAGAATATCAGAAGAGGTGGGGCCGCTTCTTCAAGCGTGCTCTCAATATAAAGATGGCCGCGGGGTTTCAGGCCTGGGTCACGTTTTATCGGTTCACGCAGCTGCCGCCCGAGGAAGCTCTCGCGCACGTGCGCGCCCAGATGGCCAAGTACAAAGCCGAGATGGAGGCCCAAAAAGCGTCGGAACAGGAGGCCATCGCGAAACTACAGCGCGAGCTGATGGAGGCCGAGGAAGGGAGTTGTCGGAGACTGTTAATCAGGGTCGTATCACGCTTGTTAAATATGAAGGCCTGGTACGGCTTCAAGCGGTGGCTTTCTAGGGTAGCGCTGTACAAACATCAACGGAAGCTGGTCGGGGGCTTCATCAGTCGGTTCGAAAACATGAATTTTAGTAAAGGGTGGAACAGCTGGAGAGCATATGCGAGAGCGCATCAGGAGAACGAGATCAACGCGGGCGCTAATGCTATTCGGGATGATATTCGATTGAAAGAGCAACAATTGGAGGATACGATTGCTCAGTTACGGGCTCTCGAGCCCGACGTGGAACAGATGCGCGACTCCATCAAACTCCAACACGAAGCCTCGAAGCGCGTGGCGTTGGCCATGCCCGATGTGGCCAAGAAGCTCGCGGAGCTGGCCAACGTCAAGTATAGACCGCCGCCGCAACCCGCTCCCGTGACGCCTGCTGCGGTCCATAAATCTCGTCGAGGCGGCCCGGGCCCCTCCATGCCTTCAAGGGGAGGCGGTCCGGCCTACGGGAGCCCGGGACCGAAGCCCCGGTCCCGGTCGCGCGACCCTACGGTCTCGAGCCTGAACCGGTCGCGCGACTTCCCGGCGCCGATCCAGACCCAAAGTTATGGAAGTCCGTCGAAGCGCATGACGCCCAAGGAGTCCGATGGGATGTTGCTCACCTTCTTACGGCACGCCCACGAGGCCGACACGCTCGAGGAGGTCTTCATGGCCGACTTGAGGGCCCGCGTGCCGAACTTTGATAAATATCAGCGGAAGATGCGGACGCTCGCTGAAAATGGCGACCGGCGCTACGCCGCGGCGGTGGAGGCCTTCGAGCTGCTCGGCGACGCGCGGGACCTCTGGGAGAACATCGACCTTATCCAGGGCCCCGACGACGTCTTCAGCCACGACCCCTACCTGCGATAGAATAGGGGAGTAAGACTACAAGACTAGTTATGATACTCTCCACAAGCCGCCGCGTCGCGCGATCACGGCGATGGCGTGCGGGCCATGCGCCGCCGGGGGAGGCGTCCGCAGGTTATACTCCACAATCCGCGAAGTCATGTGCCGCCGGGGGAGCGTCAGCAACAGACCCGGAGCTCGCCGCAGCGCGCCGCCTCGAGGATCGTTCTACTACCAAGATCGTTGCCTCGCAGGTCGCGGAGCGCCGCGCCCCTTAGTAAAGCGCCGCGCTTCTTCGCATATAAAGCATTGAACGTCGCCACGAGCTTCGCCGCGGGCCGCGCCCGCCACGCCGCGGGCAGCGGCAAGACCAGCGAGAGCGACCGCTCCTTTTCATCATCAACGTAGTGGAGCCGGAGCTGGGTCGGGAAGTTCCTGCGCATCACGCGCGCGAGCGCGCGGTTGATGCGGAGCCGCGCGGCCTCCGTCGTCGACAGCGGCACCTCTTCCCTTATATCGGGCGGCGGGTGCGGCGCCACGGGTTTATCAGGGGGCGGCGGTCTCCCGCCAAACTTCAGGAGCGGGTCCAACGGCGCCTCCATCGTATCCAGCGACGACGCGAAGGCCGGCCGCGGCGCCGCGCCCCGCAGGAACGCGTCCTGCTGCGCGGCGAGGGCCGCGGCGTCCGCCGCCGCGCGCTCCGCGTCCCGCCGGCACCGGAGCTTCTCGAGCTCCGCGGCGGCGACGTCCGCGGCGAGCTGCGCCCGGCGCGCGTCTTCATTAATCGCGTACTCGTAGCGGGGGCGCACAAACGCCGCCACGGCCCGCCGGCTCCTTTGTTTTTTTATGTGAGATGCCTCGCGCGCCGCGGCCGCCCTCACCTTCTCGAGCGCGTCGGCCGCCTCGCGCTTTGTTTTCATCGCGTCGCGTTCCCGCATCACGTGGCGCCGCCGGGCGCGGTCGCGCTTCGCCTTCATTGATCGCGCGTGCGCCGCGATCGATGACGCGGCCGCGGCCGCGCTCGCCTCGTAGCGCGCCGCCGCCGCGCGTCGCCGCGCGTCCCGGATGGCCGTCTCGGCCGCGGCCCGGTCCCGCTCCGCGCGCGCCCGGGCCGCGCGCAGGGCGCGCCGGACGGCGCGCCGCGCGGCCGCGGCGTCGTCGTTCTCCTCAATAATCTCGACCTCGTTTTCCGAGTCGTCGTCGAGGCTGCTGGCGGGCCGCCCCGCCGCCTGCCGCGCCTTCAAAGACGCTTCCAGGAGCTCCGCGTCCTGCTGCGCGCGCCGCTCGTGGAACAGAATGTTCGACTCAGCTTCCGTCTGGCGGGCGAGGCTCTCGTCCAGCTTCCGCTTCCAGCCGAAGGCCGCGCGGTTGCAGCCCTGGCTCGTCAGCTCGTCGAAGCGCGCCTTGTACTCCGGAATTACGGAAGTCGCCTCAGCAACAATGGAACGCGCCTCGTCGAGTTTGAGCCGGTGCATCAGCTGGCGCCCCCGCAGCAACTCGGGCGCATCCTCCCGGACGCCGGCCTTCGTCGCCTGGTCCACGACGCGCTCGGCGCCGTCCGGCGTGCTTTTCGCGGCCCTTGCCAGCCGATCCAGGTTCGCGAGCGCTTGCCGGCGCGCGGCGCGGTCCACGCTCGCGGTGGGTGCGACGACAAGGCGCTTCGTCGCTCCGAGGGACGCCTTCCGCGCCGCCGCCGCCGCCGCGTCGGCCACGCGCCGCAGCTCGGCCGCGCGGCGCGCGGCGACCGCCTGCCGCTTCGGCGCGCCGGCCCGCGCCTCGCGCGCCACGGCCATGTCCGCGCGGATGGCGCGGCGGCGCGCTGACATGGCCGTGGCGAGGCGCAGCTCGCCGAGGGTCTCTCTGAATAGGGCCGCCTTCGCGTCTCGCCTCATCAACGCCGCTTTCGCTCGCTTCTGCGCGAGCGCCTCTCTGCGCGAGGCGGCCTCGTCCCGCGCGAGGGAGGCGTCCGCCGAGCACTCCCGTTGGCGCATCCGCCGCGCGTGGTGCTGCATGGCGGTCGCCTCCATAGAGCTTGTTGGGGTGGCGGCCCTCACAACACTTTTCGGGCGCTGCCCTTCAACGACCGCTGCCGGCGCGGGCGCGCGGGGCTCCTCCACGAGCGGTTCGGCTGCCGGCGCGTCCATTGTCGTTATGCGCCCACGACACGACCTGCCATGCAAGAGATAAAAAGAGGGGACTGCCGTCGCGCCCCGCGCGGGCAGCCTCCTTTTGTATGATCCACGCCTAGGAGCCCTCGGGGAGGCCGTGGGAGGCGTCTTCGACGGCGTAGTGCGGCTTTGCCCCCGGCCCCTGGGTGAGTGAGGCCCATGGGGGGGTAGATCTCGGGGAATGCGCCTTGTGCGGCGTGTAGTAATCCTTGGCCGCGGCTTTCGACATGCTCGGATCGCAAGTCATCAATAGTTGGAGGAATTTACCCGGCAATTGCCCGAGAGCGCCCCGACCAAAATATTTCAGCTATTTTTGCTCTGCCAAAGACAATCACTCAAAACGCTTGCAAAAGAAGCACACATGCAGTATTATGCAATTCTAGCTGCCGTAGCGGCAGCAGCCACCCAACAGACGCTGCCCGCCCCGCGCGCGGCAGCCGCACCTCTTGTGAAAAATGACAAGGACACGACAACCGACGAGGTCTGCGTGATCATCACGGGCTTCGACACCGAGGACACGGTCGGCGACGCCGTCGCGAGCGTGCTGGGGCAGACGCACTCGAACCTGAAGATTGTTTTTGTGGACGACGGCAGCCGCGACGCGACGAGGTGCGCCGTGGAGCACGCGCTGGAGGGTGATGACCGCGGCCACTCGGTCGTCGCGCTGCCGGCGAACACGCCCGGCGGCGTCGGCTCCGTGGCCAACAAGGGCATGGATGCCTGCCCCGCAACGTCGAATTACGTCGCCTTCCTCGACGCGGACGACGTCATGGCGAAGACGGCGCTGGCGCAGCTCGTCGAGGCCGCCCAGACGAACGACGCTGACGTCGTACTTGGAGATTGGTTCCGCTACGACCAAAACACGCACAAGCAGCTCCCGCCGTACGACCTCAAGGTGACCAGCTCATTACCTCGCGACACGGCCTTCACCGTCGAGCAACACCCGCAAGTGTTGCGAGCGTCGCCCGTGCCCTGGCGCAAGCTGTACGGGGCGGACTACCTGCGCACGAACGACGTCAAGTTCCCGACGGGAGACCACTTCTTCGAGGACAACGCCTTCCACTGGAGGGCGCTGACGGCGTCCAAAGACGCGAAGGTCGCCTACACCGGCACGCCGGTCGTGGCGCATACCGTGGGAGACGCGCGCCAGACGACGGCCGGCATCGACGGCGCGGACGCGGAGAAGCTCGGCGGCTACTTCCCGAACCTCAACGCGATCGCGGCGGAATTGCTCGCGGACAAGGCTCCTTCGTTTTTACTTCGCGAGTTCGCCAGCTTCCTCAGCCGGAGCAAGTGGATCGTCTCGCGGCAGCAGGACCCCAAACTGCGCGCCAAGTTCGCGCGCATCTTACAAAGAACCGCGCGCGACTTCGTCGACGCGGCCGCGACCTACGTGCCGAGGGAAGATTTACTGTCGGAGTTCGAGGACAACGACCACGTGAAGTTCTTCGGGGACGACGAGGCGCCTCGCGTCGAATTATCCGTCGTGATCCCGACCAAGGACGCCGGCAAGCAGATCACGGCGCTCCTCACGTCGCTCACGAACGTGCCGCTCGCCACCGAGGTCTTCGTCGTCGACGACGGCTCCACGGACGACACGGTCGAGGCCGTGCAAAAGTTCCGCGGGAAGCACGACAACGTCTACCTACTGAGAGACGGCGTCTCCAAGGGCGCGGGCCGCGCTCGCAACCGCGCGGCTCCCTTACGCGATGGCGCCTTTACGGTCTACGTCGACGCCGATGATCTAGTGGACGCGCACGCGCTGGGCGCGGCGGTTCGCGAGCTCCGGGCCAACGACGACGCGGACTTACTCTTCTTCCCGTACCAGATCGACCAGAGCGGCACGAAGCGGTCCATGTGGGATAAGGACCAGGCCGCCTTCGCGCGCGGCCGTGCGGCGGCGACGGCGGACGAGCGCAAGGCCGCCGCGCTGTCGCTGACGAACTACCCGTGGAACCGCGTCGCGCGGACGGCCGCGTTGAACGGCGTGCAGTTCGGCGCGACACGCGTCAATAACGACGTGCGCTTCCACTGGGGGTCGATCGCGGCCAGCCGGGACGTCGCGTTCTCGGAGAAGACGACGCCCGTCGTCACGCACCGCAAGGGCTACACCCAGACCATCACGGACATCGCCTCGTCGACGCGGCTCGAGGCCTTCGCCGCGCTCGCGGAGACGCGCGACGCGCTGGGCGCTGAGTTCCTGCAGACGAACGGCGCCGCCTTCGACCGGTTTGCCCGCGACCTGGTCGTGTGGGCCGCCCCCAAGATCCCGGCGGCGAACAAGGGCGAAGCGCTCCAGAAATGCTTGGACGCCAAGATCGACGCCGCGACCTGCTCGAGGGCCTTCGGGACCGTCGCCGCGCAGCCGACGAAGTGCGTCGCGCACCAGCACCCGGTGCGGGCCATCCGCCTGCTCGAGATGGACACGCCGCTCGCGGCGTACAGCTACTCGTTCTCCTACGACGTGTCGACGGCCCAGCCGACGTCGTCGCCGACGCCGACGCCGATCATCGCCGTCGAGGTCACGAGCACGGTCGCGGGCGTCACGGCGGACGCGTTCCAGAACACAGTGTTCGTGGACGCGTTCAAGACGACGGTCGCCGCGGCGATCACCGGCGTGGACGCGGACATGGTCACGAACCTGAGGGTCGACGGCGTGCCCGTGAATCGCCGCCTGACGGGCGGCGTCGAGGTGACGTACGAGATTGTGGTGCCCGCCGCGACGGCCGCGGCCAGCGGCTACGACGACGTAGACGCGCTCTCGTCGGGCGTGTCGACGTCGCTCGAGGCGGCGGCCGACACGTTTGTCGAGGAAGTGAAGAACGAGGTCGCGACGATCGCAGCGGCGGCGCCGGTTGGCTCCCCGGAGGCGGCTGAGGCCGCGGCGGCCGCCACGCATGCGGAGGCCATCACGACGGTCTCGGCCCCGGTCGTCGTCGTAAGTCAGACGCTCGCGCCGACGCCGCGCCCGTCACCGGCCCCGTCTCCGGCTCCCACACCGGCGCCGACGCCTATCGCCGGAAACCCGACGGCGGCGCCCGTGCCGGCGCCGACGGCCGCGCCGCACAAGGCGACGCCCGCGCCCACCGCCACGCCGGCGGCGCCCGGCGGTCACAACGACCGCAAGCGCGGCGGCCGCAAGGACCGCAGTAGCCTCACCTGGCTCTGGATCGTCATGGGCGCCGGCCTGATCGTGGCCATCGCCATGATGAGCGGCACGGCGGGCTTCATCTTTGGCCGCGACGCCAAGGCGCCGACGACGCCCGCCTCGCGGTCGACGCCCGCCGCCGGCCTCGACGACGACATCTTCATGGATTTGATGAAGAAACATCTCGCGACGCCGCAGCCGGGCGACGCCGCGACGCGCGGTTTTTTTGCGGACCCGACGGACGTCGAGGCCGGCGGCGCGCCGGTCGACGACGACGATGTGCAAGTGATTGTGCCCGGGGGCGCTGTTGTTGAAAGTGAAGCCCCCAGTGAAAGTGAAGAAACGTACCCCCGCAAAATCCTCGACTGGCTCATATGACGCACACGGCGTCGAGCTCCCCTCCCCTCCCCTCCCTTTGCCTGATCCCCCTGTGGTAATAAACCCCATCTCACACGGAATTCTTTTGTTTGAGTCGTCCCTCTCCCCCCGCCGCGATCACCGCCGCGCGGCCTCCGATGGGGCGCCCAGGACCTGCGGGAGCTGCGGGGGGTGCTCGATCAAGAGCTCCCGCGGCGGTAATACTATATAAATTTAGTTTTACTGGCCGTATAACATATCCCGTCGGTCGACGGGATATGTTAGCCGTCGTCATGGTGCTTCCCCTGATGCGGGCCGCTATCCGGCACAGACTTGCTGCTCGCACGCATAGCCGAACGTTTCGTAGTCGGGTGACAGCAGGCGGCACAAGGCGCGGCGGACGGCGCACTCACCGAGCGCTGCGTACCATCCGGGCTTGACGTGCATCGGGTCGGACGACGTGATGTGGATCTCGAGACTGCTGTTGTAAGGAACGTGGCCGGTGCCGCACACCGCTTGCATCCGTGCCCAGTCGGCGGCGAAGTTTTCTAGCCGACCGATGAAGTCCAGCCCGACGAGGCGTTGCCAGGTGGCCGCCTGGCCAAACATCGGGTAGACGTGGGCCAGGCCGCCCCGGTGTCCCAGAGCCCGCGGAACGACCGCCCACCTAAACTCGAGCAGATCCTTGAGAAAAGCCACTGCGCGATCGCGCGAGCCGACGGGCAGGCGATGGAAGCGCCAGCTTCCCATGTCGTCGTCACCTAGCAATTTCTGCCCCTGTCGGAAGCGCCACTCCATCTCCACCGCTCCGGAGATAAACTTCCTCAGCGGTTCGCGCACAAATGTGAAGGTGCAGTTGGCGGGGTCGGTTCGCTCGCCGTGTGCCCATAGGGCCATGTTCCCGCTGATCTCTTCGCTCGCCACCTTCGACATCATGACGTACCGCACGTGCCGGTAGTGGCCGTAACCCCGGGACATGTTGTAGAAGCCGAGCACCAGCTCCCTGTTCTCCGCGGCGGTCCTATTCAGCCCGAGCAGCTCCTGCGCTTCCGCCCAGCTCGCCACCATCCGCTGCGGGTCGAGCCGCGGCAGCGTGAGAGCGCGGGCGGCTGCCAGAAAAAGCATCAATGCCAGCATTTTTCCACGCAAAGGGCTGCCCGACGCTGCAGTCCCAGTAGGACCATGGGTCGAGCAAAATCTAGTGGGTTACAACTAGCCACATTAAATTTTTCACAACAGTCACGCCGCAAGCGCCTCCAGGAACGCCACGGCCTCGCCGTAGCCCTCGCCGCCCGCCTCGATCAGCCGCGCGGCGCACATCTGGAGGTCCTCGCCGGGCCGGACGAAGCGTCGCAAATCAATCTCCTGCGCGCCGTCGTCGCCCGTCTCGTGCGCCCGCGCCGCCACGAGCGCGGACGCGGACGCGTGGCCCGCCCACAACCCAAAACGCTCCTGCGCGAACGCGAGGAGCCCGTCCGCCGCGGTCGCGAGCATGGGCTTGTCCGCCGCGTTCGCGAAGAAGTCCAGCAGCGCCGCCCGCAGGACGTCCTCGTCCCTTCCTAAAGCGTCGCGGAAGAAGTCCTCGGGGGCGAGCGCGAGCTGCGCGGTCAGAAGCGAGGCCAGTCTCTGGAAAAGCAGCGGCTCGGCGGCCATGAGGCCGTCGCAGGCGCAGAAGAGGCGCACGAGGCGCTGCCACTGCTTTAGGGCCTCCAGCGATCCGAGGGAGAGGAAAACCACAAAAGCCAGCGCGAGCTCCTTCATCAGAATGGAGGGGGCCGCCGTCGCGGCGAGCCTTGAAGATGCATCCGGCCCGTGGAAGCTCGTCGCATCTACGTCACCGCGGCGCCGGCGCATCGCGTCGCGATCGACCGGCGTCCAGCGCGGTTCCCTCTCGCCCCGTTCTCCATCAATACCACCGGGCCCGAACGCCTCGTCGAGTCTCAAATTGCATCTTTGTAATGTCGCCACGTCGATGCTAGAAGCGACGGCGGCCCAGACGCGGGCGTGGTTTTGAGGATACGGCGCGAGGGTCAGGGCGCCGGCCCGCGCCGCGGCCTCGAGGCTCTCGCGCTGCGCGTCCGTTAGTACACTTGCGCCATCGAGGCATTCATTATGCACGTCCCAGCGCTGCCGGTGGACGCCGCCGGCCACGCAGTCTATGAAAACGCCCTCGCGGCCCGCGACGCCGCCGGGCGCGAACGTGAGCAGGTGCAGGCCCTCGCTTATGGAGTGCAGGCCCTCGAACTTGGCGCCGAGCGTCCAGACGTGGGCGTCGATGCCGAACTCCATGCCTTGCGTCGTGTCCGTGACGACGAGGAGCGCTTGTGGCTGGAGAGCGGCCATCTTGCTCTCCCGTCGGCTGTCGCGCCTGCAACGCTTCGTCGCAGCTGTTGCGGCTGTCAGTTGCAGCTATCAGATGCAGCACTCGTGCTTGGTAACGCCGGTCGTGGAGACACAGCCGGGCCGTCGCGCTAGCGTATAGTAAGACACTAGGAATTCAAAGAGACGCTTTGGCAAGCCAGCTAGCTCTATATTATAAGCTCTTTATAGATCTAGCACCAATGGAGAACGTAGATCCGCAACCGATGGACCTTGTCGAGCCCACGAAGCCAACCGCGCCGCCCGCCGCGGCCGAAACCGCTGCGGCCCCGGAGAGCGCCAAGGAGCCGGAGGCGGCCAAGGAGCCGGAGGAGCCGGCCAAGACCGAGCCGGCTGAGCAGGCCAAGGAGGCGCCCGCGGCCGAGCCCGCGGCCGCCGAGGAGCCCGCCAAAGCGCCCGAGAAGGCCGACGAGGCCGAGGCGGACGAAGAAGAAGACGAGGAGGACGAGGCGCCGAAGCCGGGCCTCTACAACGGGTCGCAGATCGTCGAGGGCAAGCGCGCGCGCAAGTCCACGGAGCGCATCGCCATCGAAGCGCCCCAGAAGAAGGAGAAGAAAGTGGGCGCCGGGACGCCGCTCGGCGAGATGGCTGAAGTAGATGAACTGATGCGCGAAGCGAAGAACAAGGACGCCTTGGAAGACCTCCATAGAGTCGTCTTCAAGACCAAGGGCGCGAAGGGCAAAGTCCGCAAGAACCTCGCGGCCTTCGCGGGGTTCGTGTTCGAGGACGAGAGCAAGGAGAAGCCGCGGCTCCTCGACCGCCTCGCGAAGTTCAAGAACGGCCAGATCACGGCCATGCTCGACCTGTGCCGCGTCGACCGCTCGGCCAAGTCCTTCGAGGGTAAGGTCGACAAGGAGAAGCTGATTGGTAGATTAGTTGAATTTTTGGAGAAGCCGTCGTCGTCGTTGCAGAAGGCGGCGCCGAAGCGCAAGCGCGCGCCGGCGAAGAAGAAGGCGGTGCCCAAGAAGGCCGACTCCGACGACGAGGATGATGACGACGACGACGAGGTGATGCCCGTGAGCAAGCGCCCGCGGAAGAAGGCCGCGCCGCCGCCGCCGCGCCGGGCCCCGAAGCGGGCCGCGCCCAAGGCCAAGAAGGTCGACCCGACCTTCGGCACGGACCCGGCCACCGAGACGTACGGCCTCGAGAACCTCGGCGAGAGCCAGCCCATGCCCCTGTCCATCCCGGTGCGCCTCTTCGCCGCCGTCGCGCGCGCGGAGCTTTTGAAGGACGCGTCGCTCGACCGCAAGGCGCTCATGGCGAAGGTCGAGGCGACGGCCGGCTGCGCGATGAAGTGCGGCGAGTTCAAGGCCGTGTGCCGCCTGCTGGCCGAGAAGGCCGCCTCCCTTAATGAGCCCGAGGAGGAGGTCGCGCCGAAGCCCAAGCGCCGCGCCGCGCCGAAGAAGCGCGCGGCGCCCAAGAAGAAGGCCAAGGTCGAGTCCGAGTCCGAGTCCGAGCATGAGGAGGACGAGGAGGAGGAGGACGACGACGACGCGGAGGAGGTCATGCCGCAGCCCAAGAAGCGCGGCGCGCCGCGCGCGCGCAAGGCGCCCGTCGTCGACGAGCCCGAGGAGGAGGCCGAGGAGCCGGCCGCCGAGGAGCCGGCGGCGGCCGCCGAGGAGCCCGCTCCGGCGGCGGAGGAACCCGTGGCGGCGGCCGAACCCGCGGCGGAGGAGCCCGCGGCCGCGGCCATGGAGGAGGAGCCCGCGGCGCCGGCCACGGAGGAGCCCGCCGCGGCGGCCACGGAGCCCGCGGCGCCGGCGCCGGCGGCGGACGCGATGGACGAGGGCGGCGAGGCCGAGTTCCAGTGAGCGCCCTTCCACGACGACTAAGCTTCGCATAATTATGAGTCACGGTCGCGGGCGGCGATCGGTCGGCGTCTGATCCCGCCCGTATGTATTCCCCTGTAACACTAGCATCGTGACAAGAAATTAGAGCACAGGAGAGAGTTACTACTACTACTACACGAGCTTCGAGCCCCGCGCGTTCACGAGCACGAACTTGTCCGAGAGGTCGTTCACCGCGGCGGCGTTCTTCGTCGCCGTCGCGAGGAAGGCCGTGGCGAGCGCGTCGTTGTAGTCGCGCAGGAAGGCCTCCTCGAAGGCGCCGTCCGATTTTAACGAAGGCAGGCGGTCGCAGAGCGCGCCGAGCTTTCTGAGGAGAGAATGGTCGGCGGCGACGGTGCCGGCGCGGACCGCGGCGAGATAATCCCGTAAAGCCCGCACGCGCGCCGCCAGCGTCTTCAGGGACGTGTCCAGCGAGGCGACGTGCGTGTCGAGCATCAGTTCCCGATCCGTACACCCCGTCTGCGCGACGGCCTCCATGGCGACGCGCTCGGTTTGGGTGGTTTCGAGCTGGAAGGGCACGGTCGCAAACACGGTCTTCAGGTCGTGGACCTCGGTCTCGTAGACCTGGATGGGCAGGTCCTTGGCGTCCTGTTGCGGCTGCGGGTCCATCAGTAAAAAGAGGGGGCTCTCGTTGTACTTGACGAACTCCTCGTGGAGCGCTAGGTGGTTCGCAGTAGGTGCCGGCGCGACCGCGTACCATCCGACGAGGTCTCGATCCTCATACACTTCGGTATAGAGCGCCTTGGACTGCTCGAGGAACTGCGCGTCGACCTTTGTGGCCTCCGTCAGGTGCACCTCGATAGCGTCGACGACGTCTACTTCCAATCCGCGCTGCATCCCAAAAAGCAGGCCGACGACGGGCGAGCCCGCGCCCTGGCGCGACCCGCCGACGCTCACTCTTGTAAAATGGTCCGAGACGCCGACGATGGCCAGGGGGTGGAGCGCGACCGTGCGCGCGGTCGACTCGGCGGCCGCCATTCGGCCTTTTTTTGTCGCGCTAGCGTGCGCGCTGGCCGCGCAGCCGTGCGGAGGCTGTCTTGGGGGTCCTGGCGTACCTCTGCCTCCTCTCAAGACAAGTTGCTAGGCTCGTAAGGCCCTCGCGGCGCCGCACGACCTGGTTCGTGCTAGTGTCTTGCTTCCGCTAGCTCTGTACTACTCCGAGGCAGCCAAAGCAGCGGCTACGGCAGCCTGAGCGCAGTGCTCGAGCGCAATCGCAGCGCATAGAATCGCATCGATCCAATACCGCGGTAATTTCGACTCGCAAGCAGCACACAAGGTGTTGAGCTCCTGCACTCTGCTGGCACTGCTGGCGTCTGGAGGAGTTATTTGTCGTCTCGCGGAAGCGAGATGCCGCGCACTCTGCTTCTCACATCGCTCACACTCAGCTGCTGCGGAGCACTGAGCTGGGTGCGCTTCGACGCGCCACCGCCAACCAACGCAGCAAATACCGAGCAGCGCTACCCGCTCTACCCGCTGCGCGCGACGTACATGCCGTGTGGCAGCGTAGAGCTGCGCAACACTGAACCGCGAAACGTGCGCATGTGTCGCGAGGCGGATTATTTCGTTGCGAGCCTGTTACACGCGGACGGGGCGTCGTGCGCCGAGGTCGGGACGCTGCTGCGCATCGACGGCGTGGAGAACGCCACGCGCGACGCGACGGGACAGGTGCTCGCGCGGCCGCGGGACGCGCCGCGGGCGCTGCGCGTACGGTGCACGGCCGTGGGCCGCCGGAGGCTCGTCGGGATCCGCAACGGCGACGCCTACTTCGATGCTGGCGCGCGGCTCCGCGGCGAATTCCTCGTCGGCGAGTTCGAAGCCTACGACGACGAGCAACCAACCGATACGACGCCGGACAATGCGGCCTCAGCGCTCGCCTTCCTCGCGCGAAGCCTGAAGGGCGACGAGAAGCGCGTCGTCGAGGAAGCGGCGACGCTCGCCACGGCGGAGACCTCCTGGAGGGCGCTCGAGCTCTGGCAGCGCTACTGCGCGACGCGCCTCGCCACCGCGGCCGCCGACGCGCGAGCGGACCGCGACGAATTATTAATAGACGCCAAGGTGCGGCAGGGCGGAGCCATTACCGTGCCCGTCGACATTACGACGCTGCCCCCCGACGACCGCCGGCGGATCCTCGAGAACGACGAACGAGCGTCGGACGCGCTGCGGCAGATGGAACTGGCTGACGCAACGGCCTTCCAGGCGCTCCTCGAGGAACGGAGCGCTACGGAACGCCTCGCCGCGCTCGCCGCCGGCGCGCTCCGCGAGGGGAGCCGCCTCGCGCAGCGCGCGGCGCTGCAGCGAGCCTTCGCCGCGTCCCCGTGACGTGCCTAACATGTCTGTAACTTACACATCACTGGCACAATGGAACCGCCCCACCATCGCCGCCGCGGCGCCGAGCGTCCAGCCGAAGCCGTCCTGCGGTTCGTACTCGCCGCCCGCGCCCCGTTTGCCGCGCGCGTCCGCGTCGTACTTCTCGAAGAACGCGCCGCTCGCCTCGAAGCCGGCCTTGACCGACGCAAGCCACGCCGTGCCGATCGACCGCGCCAGTTGCGCCGCCCCGTCGTGGTCCAGCCCCAGCAGGCCCTCCACCAGCATGTCCACGAGCGGCGGCCACGCGTTCGGCGCGTCCCACTGCTCGCCCGTGGTCGTACACGTAGCTTGAACACCGAACGCGCGGACCAGCCCCGTCGCCGCCAGGTTCTCTATCAACCCATCGACGTCGCCGTCGGGCGGCCCGATGGCCGCCCAGAGCGGCGCGTAGTCCGATAATGAAGGACCTAGGGACGCGTACGTCCCATCCTTTAATACGTCGCGCCACCGCTTGCGGGCGGGGTCCCAGAACGTCGCGTTCATCAGATCGCGGCGCGTCCGCGCTTTCTCCGCGAAGCGCGCCGCGTCGTCCTGTTGCCCGAGCCTCGCGTAGAACGCGGCCAGCCGCCGCTCCGCCTTGTACAAAAACGCGTTGAGGTCCACCGGCACGACGTCGCGCGTCCGGATCGTCTCGAGCCCGTCTCCTTTCAACCAGCGACTCGAGAAGTCCCAGCCCGACTCCGCCGCCGCCCGTATTTCACCGTAAATCGTCGCGCCGGCCTCCGTGCGCTCTTTTAAGATAGAGCGGAGGTCCGCCTCAGGATTCGGCGTGAAGGCCCTCGCGGCCGTCGCCACGTCCTCTAAATATGACTCGGGCCGGGGCTCACTCATATCAGAACCGTAGCGCGCGAGGCCTTTGATGGCGGACGCGCGGCGCCCGGACCACCAGCTTAATTCAATCTCAATAAGCGGCGCCGCCTCCGCCGTCAGCGCGTCATCATCTAGCAGAGAGACCATCTCCGCGAGTAAGGGCGGCTGCGACCGGCCCGCGTAGTACGTCCGGTTGCCGTTCGGCACGTAGCCGAAATTGCGCACGTCGTCCAAGAAGTTGCGCACTATACCTCTTGCCGTCTCCTTCAGCCCCGACCGTAGTAGTCCTTTGACGATCCAGTAGCTGTCCCAGTAGTAGCCCTCGCGAAATCGCCCGCCCGGGACGACGAAGGGGAAGCGCCTCGCTATGAGTGTGCGTCTTTCCGGAAAATCATCGCGGGACACCCTCAGCAACTTCGGCCACATCGCGTGAATGGCCGCCATCAACTCGACATGGTCCGCGTCGACCCTTTGTGGAAATTCCGGCGTCCAGTCCTTTGGTAGCGGCGCCCGCATCAAATCGGAGCCTGCTGCACAGAAGTGCGCCTCGATGAACTGACGGAGCTCGTCCTTGTCGCCCGCGTACACGCTGCGGAAGGCCGACAAGGCCTGCCCCGGCGCCACCTTGAGCGGCATGTCCACGAAGGCCTTGCCGTCCCCATACACACGGGACCGCTGGACGGCGTCGAGGATGGGCCCCCTCAAGAAGACGTCGGCGGCCGTCGCGGGCGTCTCGCGCGGCGCGTGCGGCGTGACGACGAGCTCGTCGTTTATTGTTGTTTCGTCTTCGTCGCTGTCCTCGAAGGCGTCCCACTTCTTGTAGGCGTCGGTCCAGGCCGCCATTTTTGCACCTGTCTGCCGAACGACTGCAAAATTTTGTGCGCGCGTGTTTTGCACGCACTGCGCCACCTTTGGATATTTTGGCAGCCGCGGCAACTCGCCGCGCGCAAAAAACGCAGCTAGCGGCATGTAAGGCACTAGGATGTAGGCGGATGTTTCCAAAGCGGCTAGCCATACCGCCATTGCTGGCATTCTTGCAGTGCCGTTAATCGACTAATAATTGCCACAGCAATGGCGGCCTCGCGCTTTTCCCCTCCTGCTACACCTCTGCTTGTGGGAGAGCGGTATCTCCCCGACGACGTCCTGCAGCGCGTACTTGTGGGCCTCCCTTTAGATGATCACCGCGCGGCGGCGTCGGTCTGTAAATCATTCCGCGGGATCATCACTGGCCCGCGTTTTCTCGCGGCCCGCCGAGGGTATGGCTTCGCGGAGCGCGGCGTTGTTACCGTCTTTCGTGGAGACGGCGGGCTGCAAATAAAAACGGCGCACAAGAGCGACGTCATGGCAACCATTCCCGTTAACCGTCTATCTTATTACAGCACGACGACCGACGGCGGTGCGAGGCTGTTTGTCTGTACTAGGGGCTGGTCACCGCCGACGGCAGAGGACACTCCCGGTCAAATTCTGGCGTTGGATCCCTCGTCACGCCGATGGAGACGTTTCGCAACGCTGCCACAGGTCAGAGGTGTGCACTGCCTCATGTGGCATGCTGGTCTCCTGTACGTCGCTGGCGGCATCAGTAGTTCTACTGGTATCCCTACTAATTCTTTCCATGTGTACAGCGAAGCAACTGGGTTGTGGGAGGAGCTGCCTCCGATGCTGCATGCCTGCGTGCGGGCGGCGTCGGGCGTCATTGGCAGCGAGCTGTTCATTGCGGATGGTGAGGGTTTGACGACGTTGCAGATTTATGACATCGCCACCAGGACGTGGCGAGTCGGCGCACCACCACAGGGGTGGTCAAATCCAGGAAGTGGTGCAAGAAAAACCAAGGGCGTCGTCGTGGACGGGAAGTTGTTTCTATTCAGTTCCCGCCAAAGTCCGTTGGTGTACGACCCCCAGTCCAACACGTGGAGTGAGGAGGCGGTGCCCGAGATTCATGGTTCCTCTGTGTGGCATGCCTGCGCCCACGAGGGCCGCGTTGTCGTCTTCTTGTGGAACGGCAAGGCATTCGAGCGAGCCGCCGGCGGCTCTTGGTCCCTCTACACACGTGCCGAGGCGAACAGATGTAACATCGACGGGACCCGTCGGTTAATATATAAAAAAAGATGTGTCTCCGGCTCCGTCCTCCTCGGCTAAGCGAGGTGTGTAAGAACAGTGTCCTAGGTACTCTCGGAATGACGCCATCGCCGTGCCCCCCCAGACCCAGTGACTAAAATGCCGAGGCTTAGGCGCGCGTCTTCGACGCGAGCGGGCCCATGAACTTGGCCTTCTCGTCGGGCGTCTGGAAGCGGCCGTGGCCGAACTTGGACGACGTGTCGATGAACTTGAGGTTGATCTCCTCCATCTGCACCCGCGAGAAGTTCGCGTGTAAAGAGCGGCGCAAGGTCAGGCACCGCTTGCGAGACCCCGCGACGCAGCCCTTGAGCATGAGCCAGTCCTCGTTGACCTCGCCGTAGTGCGGGAAGCCGCCCATGGGCGTGATGGACTTCTCCGTGAGGTCCGCTTCCGTACTAGCAGATTTAGCATCACCGGCCTTGCCGATGCGGTAAATCTTCTTGTTCATCTCCGTGCGGTGGTGGTAGCCGTTCTGGCCGGAGCGAGCGACGCTGAACGACACTCGGGACGGGTGCCAGGCGCCGATGCAGGCCACCTTGCGCAAACCCCTATGGGTCTTGCGCGGCAAGCGCGTCACGCCCCACCGCGTCACGACGCCCTCCGTACCATGACCGCGAGTCACGCCACACACGTCAATCATCTCGCCCTGGTTGAAGACCGTGTCCACGGGCACCTCCTGCTCGAAGAGGCCCTTGGCATAATCCACTTTCTCCGCTACGGAACCACCACCGTTCACCTGGATCTCCATGACGTGCGCCTTCTTCTGTCTGAGTTTGAGCTTCTTGACTTGCGTGTGGGCGATGACCCTTACCACAGTACAGTACTTCTTGATGCGCTCCAGTTCTCTGTCCACGTCTTTGCTTTCGCCCGTCCACTTCGCCGCGTACTTCGTCATGGCCTTCCTTTTCGACTTGTACCAGTTCTTGTAGAAGCGGCGCTTGACCTCCTCACTTAAAAAGGCGGCCCAGACCGTGCTCAAACTCCTCAAGCCTCGCGGGGTCTCGACGTAGCCCACTAGACCGACGACGGTCATCGGGGGAGCCTCCAGAATAGAAACGGCTTCGACGATCTCCTTCTTGTGGATCTTGGAGCCCGGGCGGTCGACGTCGCGGACGACGTGCGTCATGCCAGCTTTATAAGCCATGAAGGCCGTCAGGTGGCAGGGCTTCGACGCGTCGTCCTTCGGGAAAGAGCGGACGCGGCCGGAGTGGTGGCGCGTCCGCTTCTTCGGCAGGAAGCCGAGCGAGCCGTGGCGCGGCGCCTCGAACTTGCGGTGCGACATGGTTCGACCTGCGGCGCGGCGCGGTGAGTGTGGTGGGTGGCTCGCGGCGGCGTGGGGTGCGCGATCTGTGCCCCTCGCGCGCGCCGCGGCGCTTTTTTGCACCTCGCTGGTGGAGGGCAATATGCTCGCTAGGAGCAGCAGCGCGGCGTACGGAGCTGTGCCAGTCGCTCTGAGGCGGTATGGAGGCGTCCGTGACGGCTTCAGATAGTTGTCAACGCCGGACCGTGCGGAGATTAGCAGCTTCGCCCGTCAATTGTCGAGCTGCGGCGATCCGGCGACGGGTTTTTCAAGGTGGATTTCAGACGTCTATAAGCGTCCCATCAGGTGCGTCTCGTCCTGCAGCGACATCTGGGACCAGCCCTCGGGGGAGAAAGGTAAAAAATGGCGACGCGCGGGTGTGTTCGGAGAATGAGACAAACATAGTATTACGAAGACGCCGACGACGACCCGGAGGACCCCTCCAGCGCCCGCCGCTTCCGGAACTCCGCCCGCCGCGTGAGCTTCGTCGGCCGGCCCGTGTGCCCCCGGAACTCGGGCGCGCGCCGCAGGTCGTCGAGGACCGCCACGTCGCCGGCGGCGGCGCGGATGGCCGCGAGCTGCGCCTCGTCGCGGCAGAGCACTCCGGCCCACTTGCTTCTCAGTTCGTCGGGCGCCTCGGGCACCCAGTCCGTCGCCTCCACCAGGTCGCCGCCGCCCCCAACCAACTTGAGAACGTGGGACGTCGCCAGGGCGGCCGCGACGCCGACGTTCAGGCTGTCCGCGAAGCCGTGCTGCGGCACGTAGACCCGCCGGTCGCACGCCGCCAGGAGGTCGTTCGAGACGCCCGTCGACTCCGTGCCGAAGACGAGCGCCACCTGTGTGGAAATCAACCAGCGTGTCGGGTGCTCATTTCTCGGATGACGCGGCCGTGCTCGCTCCGTCGAGCGGTGAGGAACCGGCATCGCCACGCCATCGAGCAGGCGTCGCATCGATGGCGTGGAGGTCGACGCGAAGATTCAGCAACGCGCCGTAAAATTTTGATTTCCACACAGAGCGCCACGCGGTGCGGCAGCGGCCCGCGCAGCCACGGCGCGCCGTCGGCCAGGACCGACGCGTCCTGGCCCAGGTCCGAGCACCACAGCTCGCAGCGCGGCACGGCCCGCACCGCCGCGATCACCTCCGCGTGGGACGCGAAGTCGCGCACGGACAGGAAGCGCGCGGCCCCCCTCCCGTGAACCGCGTGTTCCGCGTCGAGCGCGTCGTCCGCGGTCCAGGCGTCGGCCGCCTTCCGCCGCCGCCGGTCCTTGCGCGAGCCCGCCCGGACGGGCTGGTCGTCGGCGCGTCGGTTCGCGTCGTTCGCGGCGTATTGCCTCGCTCGTTCCGCCTTCGCCTTCCGGCGGAGCGAGCTCCTGCTCTCGAAGCGCGCGGCCCCCGGGGGCGGTGCGACGACCCAGACGTGCTGGACGCCCAGGGCCTCGCAGGTCCGGAAGATGGCGCTGTAGTTGTGGCCGTCCACGAGGCGCTCGAGCACGACGATCAACCGGCTCGTCCGCCGCGCCAGCACCGTTTCTATCCGCTTCGCGAGTCGTTCCGCGTCATCGGCGCGCTCGAAGCGCTCCGGCGCGGCTTGAGATTGCCGCAGCGTTGTTGTGACGCGCGGCGTCGGCGCGAGGAGCGCTCCAGCAATGCAGGGCAGTGCGAGACAGCCTCTCATCCTCCAGAGAAGTTGAGAGCAGCAAGGGTTAAGTCTAAACCCATGCTCATGGATGGAGCCGGCCGAGCAGGACTAGCGGCCCGTAAGACACTAGCGCGCGCAGGTACGGGGAACCCTGCGACGTAACTAGCCTCAGCCTCAGCCTCAGCGCAAAAACCCGTCGGTTAAGCTGAGGCTAGGCTAGGACCCTGCGACGCGAGTAGTCCCACGATTATACACTACCGCTACGCCGCGGGCGCCGCGGGACGACGCGTGTTACACAGGTAGTATTACTCACACAGTCCAGGGGCACCTGCGCGGGCGCCGGCTCGCGACGAACGTCGGCCCGTCGCCGCCGTTCGCCGCACCACAAAAACCGTCGACGCGCGCCGCGGCCTCGGCCAGGGTCCCCTCGTTGACAAAGTTCTTGTGGTGCAGCACGCGCGTCCGCGCGAAGCGCGGCCGCGCGCAGTCCGCCCGCTTGGGCCGCGTGCGCTCGTTCAGCGCGTTCGGCAGGTAGCCGAAGGAGAGGTCGGTGGCCGCGCCCTTGTCGCACAGCTTCGAGGCGGCGAAGAGGTCGTGGAGGGCCGTCTGGTCGGCGCCGAAGTGGCCGCGGCCCTTCCACGTTTGTGATGCGAAGCCCTTGTACAGTTTGACGTAGGTCGCGAGCCAGCCCTCGACGAAACTCGCGACGTCCTCCCGTCTATCGACGAGGAGGGCGCCGCCCTGCGCGCCGGAACACCAGAGAGTGGGAGGCGCGTGGTCGTCGAAGCACGTCGCCTCCGCGGCGACGAGCGAAAAGTTCCCTCCCATCCTCTTCCGCTTCGTCGCCTCCCAGGCGCAGCGGTGCGCTTGCTTTAAGCGAGGGGCCTTGGCGTGGACGTCGAAGGGGTGCGCCCGCACGGCGATGCGAGAAGGTAAAGTAGAGAGCGCGCGGAGGTCCTCTTCCACATCCACGGAAGGGCAGAAGAACGTGTCGTCGTCTAAAAACAGCGTGACGTCGAAGGGGCTCCTTTGTAAATTCCCGATGCGTCCTATTCGGGAATTGACGAGCGTCCCCGCCGCGTCGGCCCACCGCCGTTCAAAACCCGTCAAATTCGTCTTCACGAATGCGTCCCGCGTGTCGTTCCGGACCACGTCAAAGAGTTTTAGGTTGTGCGTCCACTCGCCGCCCTTCTTGAGTCGCACGCCGTGGATCGCCCGTTCCAGCAGGTCCGGGGGCAGGTCCGTGAACAGACAAGTCGGCACGGCCGGGAAGCGCCGTTTCAGCGACGCGGCGGAGAGCACGAGGTTCCGCAGTTCGGACGACGAGAGGTGCTCCGTCGTCTCGTGCTTGCGCGCCTTGGGCGGCCGGTGGTTGACTTTGTTGCGTGTCCAACAGACGCCATACGACGGCGCGGCGGCGGCGGCGGCGGCGGCGCCCAGGGCGACCGCGGTCGCGACGCTACGCATCGCTGCCGTGCATCGTGTCGTCGCTCGTGTCGTCGCTGCCGCGGGCAGCCCGATGGAGATTTGCGAGAGCGCGGGTTTTCGCGGAGGCCTCCCGCACGCGTCCGCGTTCCCCTACCATCATGTCGGCCGCCGGGCGAATGCTACATGACAATTCTGGCAAGCCTGGGGAACGAACTAGGTATCTTCTCTCGATCTTGTTTGGAGAGCAGAACCAACCGGCGCCTCCGAAAGGCTGCCGCCGGCACTCGTAGGGCTGCGCCGCGCCTCTGCGTACCCCTGCTTCCATCCTTAACCACCTATTACTGCTAGTACTAGTACAAGAAACAACATTAGAGGAATAGCTTCAGGATCCCGCGGAACCCGTCACAACCCTGCGGGCACCGCCGAAACTTCGCGGCGCACGGCGCGCAGAACATCGCGTGGCCGCAGGGCAGGCACGCGACCCGGTCCCGGCCGTCCGGGCAGGCCGAGCCCTTGAACGCCTCGAGGCAGATCGCGCACTCGAACTCGTTCAATCGCTCGCGCTGCGCGCCCGCCGCGGCGCGGCGCTCGAACGCGGCGAGGCGCTCGGCCCGCGCGGCCGCGTCGTCGGCGCCGCGCGGCGACGCCGCGGGCGCGGCGGACTCTCCTGCGGGCGCGGCGGGCGCACTGGACGCACGGCCGCCGCCGCTCGACGACGCGGCGCTCCCGTTGCCGAGACTTTGGCCGCCGCCGCTGAACGACGCCGCCGACCGTCGCTTCTTCTTCGCGGGCTGCCTACCGGGCGGGCTTACCATGAGAATGCCTCCCTTCTTGCCGATGCGCTTGCCCTTTGGTGGATCCATGGCGGCGATCGGTGCTCAACTAGCGTCTCCTGCGCTGGCCCAGCGCTGCGCCCGCCTTCGAGGCGCTGCGCCCGCCTTCGAGGCTCCTATAGGCTCCTGAGCTGCAAAATCAGCTAGCGCTGTAACACACTAGCAAATTGCTAGTGCCTTACAGCCGCTAGCTATTAGCGCAGGCCCTTTGTGAGTGCCTGCTTGAGGAGGCTTCGTGAGCAGGCCAGCGCACGATGATGGCACCATAGTAGCCGCAGCGATGGCCATCCTCACGCCCGCCGCCGCGCGGGCGCTGCTCCGCAAGACCCGGAGCCCGGCCCTGGGCCTCGACGTCTCGCCGTCGCGCGTCGGCCTCGCCGTCTCCGGCCCGGGCGGCGGCGCGCTGCCGCTCGGCACCATCAAACGCGCGGCCCGCGACGTCCGCGCGGTGAGTGGTAAGATCGCGGCGGCGGCGACGCGGCACCGCGCGGCACTCCTGGCGGTCGGGTGGCCCCTCGAGCCGTCGGGCGTCGCGGGCGAACGATGCGCGGCGGTGCGGGCGTTCGTCGACGCGGTACGCGCCGAGGCCGCCCTGCCGCCCGTCGTCTTCGTGGACGAGCGCTTCACGACACAGGCCGCGCGGCACGCACTCGGCGAGGCCGGCGCGGCGACCACGCACGGCGCGGAGGACGCCGCGGCGGCCGCGCTCATCGTCGAGGCCCTGCTCGAGGAAGAGCGGGCACCGCCGTCGCGATTTTTTGCCGACGACGTCCCGGACTAATTGTGATTTGTAACAACACCAAAACTTAGACATCACTGACGGGCTGCTTTTCGCGCAGCACCTCCCCGCCGCGCGCCAGCTCGCGCTCGAAGGCCAGCGCCGCGAGCCAGATCGTGAGCACGGCGAGGCCCTGCGACGCGAGGCCGGGCGCGCCGGCGAAGGCCGCGGCGAGCGACGCGACGAGCGCGACCAGCGACGCGACCTTGAAGGCCACGGCTCCTCGCATGAAGCCGTAGGCGCCCTCGTCGTCGCAGGCGAAGAGCAACGTGCCCAGGAGCCCGTCGCCGCTAAAGAAGAAGAGCAGCGACCCGAGCGCGTGGGGCCAGCCGCGGCCCGGGGCCAGGCGCTGGGAACAGGGCCGCACGGGAAACATCGCCAGCAGGAAGAGGCCCACCAGGGCCACGTACGCGAAGGCCAGCGCCGTCGCGCCCGCGCTCAGCGAACAAAAGCAGCGCCCGTCGCGCGTCGTCCGCCAGCAGCACCCGCTGCACGTGCGGCCGAGCGCCGCCGTCGCCGCCGCCGACACCTCGCGGTCGTGGAGCGCGAGCGCGACCAGGGCGAGCAACGCGCCTCCCGCGTAACCCACGACGCCGACGACGTAGATACTCGGGCAGCAGAGCATGTAGGAGATGCGCAGCTCCGTGTAGTCGCGGCGGCGCCCGTGCCGCGCGAGGGCGCAGCCGCCGCCCGTGTACCACAGCAGGAAGATCAGCCCGGTGCCGAAGAAAGCCATGGCTAGCGCGAGTTGGAGGCAGCGCCGCGTTTGTAACAGTCTGCGTTGTAGCAATGCGTTTTCGGGTGCGTCGACGGCGTCATCGCATCGCTTCGATTCCTCGGCCGAACGCATGGCTGCTGCCGAGGGCGTGGCGGGCGACGCCATTTCGGTCATTTCGGTCGTCCCTCGCAACGTTGTGAGCGCTCGTCCACTGGAAAAGTGCGAGCCGCCGGAGCGCAGAGCTAGCGACCTGTAACACACTAGCCAAGCGGAATTGTTGGCTCGCGTCGGGCAGCCACACCGGTGGACCGAGACGTACTTTGCAGCTAAAGAAGGCGTCGGCCGCAACGGACGGTCAAGGGCAGCCCACAATGATGACCTAGCACCATGCGCCTCGGAGCGCTCCTCGTCCTCCTCTACGCGTACGCGTGCGCCGCGGACGACGTCGAGGTGTACGACGAGGAACCGGCAGCGGACGAGGAGGAACCCGAAGTCATCGACGAGTCGATACGACGGAGCGTCGACGCGTTGTTACGGTTCCCGCTCCAATTGGACGAAATCAAGCACCGCATCACCGTGAGCGACGGAGACAAGGACACGGGTTTCCTCGAACTGAGCGGCCGCGAGGAGGTCGCCGACGCGGCCTACGCCTTCGGCTTGGTGAAGGGCGCGCCGCGACGGGGCACGCGCCAGCTGCAGGAGGCGGTGTGCCGGGGCCAGGGTCTAGTGAAAGGCGCGTTGCGACCGCCCTGCACGCGGCAGAGCGCTCTGATATTGGATAGGGACGTCCTCGACCCGCGCGACGAGAACATGACCCAGAAACTACCTGGCCGATTAGAAGTGTGGGAGGGGCAGTCGCCGCTCGACGCGGTCGGCGGTCTGGTCCGGGCGGCGAATTTACACACGGTTATCGACGTGGAGTGGTTCGCGCCGGCGTTGGTCGACGCGTTATGTACCGATTTAGCGCACCCCGAGCTGTTCGCCTGCGGCGAGCACGAACTGCTCGGGCACCACAAGCATATAAGTAGGGTGGTGCCCATCAATTTGGGCGGCGAGAAGGGCGTTATTGGTGATCTCGTGCTACATGACTACGAGGAGGCCGCCGACGCGATTTACAATTTCTCGCAATACCATGACGAGGTCACCGCGTTCGGGAGGAGGCAGCTCCTGCAGAATTTGTGCGGCAAGGACGCCAAAAAGTGGCGCTACAGATGTTCGAGGCAGCAGGCCCTCGTCTTCAAGAGCGCGCCCGTGCGGTCGGTCAATGGCACCATTGCTTTGATCGATGCGACGCCGGCTCTTCTCCAAGTCTGGGAGGGCGAGGAGCCGGCCGACGCCGTCAAGGCCTTTTGTGATAGGGTCGGCTTTTCGGACGACGACGCGAAACGTCTCATAAGAGAGGTCTGCGGCGAGTACCCCGTGAAATTGCTCCCGCGAAGATCGCCCTTGCAGAACTGCCAGCGCCTGAGCTGGGTCCTGGAGGTGATGCCCGTGCGGGGGCCCTTCGGGCCTGGCGGGCGCATGGCCCATGTGGGGGATCTGCCCATTGTGGAAGGAGAAGAAGGCCACGATTTAGCGTGGGCCTTCGCGGCCGAACGGGGCTGCGAGGGCTGCCCGTTCTACAAGCAGTTGGCCGCCACGTTATGCGCCAAGCCGAGGGTTACGTGCTCTAGGCGAAAAGCGCGAGTGTGGAAGGCGTTTGTGGACGTCGCGACGCAGGAAGCGTTGGCGTGGCCAGAACCGCTCGAGGACGCGTTTATTGAGGTGCTCGAGGGCGACCAGGTCGTCGATGGAGTTAGGGAGCTGTGGTTTTCGAGAAATGTGACGAATGAGACGGAGTTACATACGGACAACGCTAGGTTCAAAAGAAGAGCTTTAACCGCATTAAGCTGCAACCCCGAGTACGGCCACGCCGACGCCAAGTTATGTGCACGGGCCGAGGAGATCGTCGCGCGGAGTGACGTCGAGCGGCCCGGCGCGACCAAAACATTGCAATTCAACTCTACTCTCCCCAGGAAGCACGACGACCGCGACTGCGGCGACGCGTTGTCAAAAAGGGCGGACTACGACGATTTATTGATGGATCGTATTAAGGCTTGTGCGCCGCCTCCCCCAAAGAAGCTCGACAAGGACGCCTGGCGCCGCCGGAAGAAGATGCGGCGGGACGAGGCCGAGCGCGAGGCCGACAAGGCGCGCGAGGACATCGAGAAACAGTTCCTGGACGACGTCGAAGGCATTGAGAGCAACGCGACCAATACGACGGAGCCAGAGAAGAAGAATTCATCAGCACCGGCGGACCCCGAGGCCTGTGAGGCTGCCACGAAAGCCGTGGAGAGTGTCTCCCTGCACAAGATTCAACTACTCATAGAAGCCGCATGTGTCCCGACGGTCTACGACTTTGGTATAAAAGGCTGGGCGGGCAATAGCAACCTGCAGGTGCTTGGGGCGCACAACGACTCGGAGGCCGACCGGAGAGAGTTGTTCCAAGGCATGAAATTGCGGAGGGTCGACGGCGTGCTGATTGAATCTTTAACAGATTACAAGGAAGCGCTCCGACGTAAATCAGCCGAGGCCTTCCAGCAGAGGAAGCGGGTGAATATGTCGCTCGAGTTCCTGGTCGTCGATGAAAATGATCGCTTTCTGACGGGGGGCCAGAAGGGCGAGGGCGCCGGCCCGATTGCCGTGTACGAACATGAAACGGCTTCGGACGCGGTCTACCGCCAGGCCCACTTGAATGAACTGATCCAGCCGAATTATACCGCGCTCGGCGTGCAGAAACGATTTCTGGAAGAAGTATGTAAGAACCCGTTTCCCGCACACGGACCGCCGGCGCGGGGCTGCGCTCCTCCCATCTACCGACCGCGTGTTTTATTATTTGAGATGCCTTTGGAATGGTTAGGATTGACCTATACGTTTAGATATTATCCGGAGGACTGGCCGCCGTGCGCCGGCGACTACAACCCCTTCCACTACCACGTGCCCAACACGACGGCGTGGCCCTTCGGCGCCGACAAGAAAGCTTTGGAGGCGTTGCGGCTCGTGACGGGCGGCGAGGACCCGTTGCCACGAGTCGATCCCGACTGCGAGCCTTCGTTGAAGCGCTTCGCTACGTATGTCTGCGAAGCGCTCGGACCACCGCCTCCAAATAATTGTGATGAAGATATGGTCTCGCTCGCGAAACAGTACGCGGACCACGCCATGGAGTACCGGTGGAACGAAAAAGCAACTCCCGACGGCATCGATTATTACGCTGCCTTAGGTGCCGTGCGCGACTCGGACAATGATACTCTTGTATCAAGTTACGCGCGGGTCTCCCTGGAGCTCCAAGAGCCGTTGGAGCTGTTTGAAAGATTACTGGCGAACGCTCAAAAATTAAGAGAGCGGGCCGCGTCGCTACGAGCAGCGGCGCGAGCCTTGCTCTCGCATGCGAACGCGACGGCCTCCGCGGCGCGCGTCGCCGTGGCCATGGCGCGCAACGACTTGAAAAGGGACCGCGCCGTCACCTTCGTCGCGGCGCGGAACGCGAGCCAGTTCTCCGAGGACGCGCGGCGGGTGCTTATCGAAGCTTTCTTCGAAAATAATCAGATAGAGGAGCCTCAAGCAAAAGCGAAGGCCGAGGCGGTGTTGAATTCTACGAAGCTGGCCTCGTCGGTCCTCAACGAACTTATCAAGGGCGGCGCGCTGGTGGAAGAACAGGGCCAATTGAAGCGCGTCGACGCGCACCTCGCGAAGCATCGCCACAAACAGGTCAAGAAGCCGCCCAAGGTTTTGAAGCTGACGTCGATCGGGAGCGCCGCCCTCGGCGCCGAGCTCGCGGAGCTGGAACGGCGCCACGCGTCGCTGAGCGAGGGCGCGCCGTGGCCGCGCGTGGCCAAGCGGGTTGGAAGTGCGCGGGCCGGTGCGGTGGTCGTCGCGCGGGGTCTCGGAAAAGTTTTGGAGGGGTGTCGCCAGCGCGTCGCGCTCGCGGACGACTTGCTGCGGCAGGCGCGCGACGCGGCCGTCGAGGCGAACTTCACGATTCGAACTTTGGACAAGCCGCTCGGCGAGGTGTCGAAGCGGGCCTGGGGCCTGCACAACGCCTTCGACACGCTGACCGACGCGACGAACCGCGAGTTCTACGACAAGCCGTGCCGGCCCGTGTTCGGCGCGTGCTGCGTGCGCGACGCGCCGGACGGGGGCATGCGGATCACGTGCGGTTCCTAGTAACAACTTGTATTAGTACACTACAGGCTCGAGGCTTCGACGAGCGCCGTCGTCGCCGCGGCCGGCTTGCTCGTCTCGGCCGCGAGCGGAGCCGGCGGTCCCTCGGGCCAGCTCACGACGACGTCGCCCCGCTGTTCGAACAAACCCAGACTCTCCGCGGTCGCTTGGGGGTGGAACGGCGCGCCGCCGCGATAACTCAACACGGCGGGCACGGTCGCCCAGAGGCCCAGCGCCGCTTCAATATCCGCGACCGTGTCCGACGGCTTGACGTCCGCCCTGAAGAACGCCTTCTGCTCCTCGATGTAGAGCTGCAGGCGCCATTCGTCTGGCAGCTTCGCGGCCGCCGCGCGGCCGTCGAGGGGCAGGCGCACGTCGAGGCCGCCGGGGACGCTCGCGCCGTGCGTCGGCTGCCAGTCTTTTGTTGCGACGAACTCTCCAGGAGATTTTTGGACGACGACAATGTTAATATCATCTGTGTCGCCGGACGCCTCGTCGCGGACGGCGAAGCGGTGCCTTCCTGGAGGAATACGGCTCAAATCGACCGTCCCGTGGGGCGCATCTAAACAATGCTCCGGCGCTGGCGCTCGGCCCTGCAGCGTCGCCGCGACGCAGACGCGTCGTCGCGTGCTGAGGCGCAGCGTGAGGCTCGCACTGCCGTCCAGCGCGACGACGCGTTGGCCGTCCGCCGGGGATACGACGATGTTTGGCCGGGCGCGCGCTTGGGCCAGGGCGAGGGTGCCGAGGAACGCGCGGTGGCGCCGCTGCAGGCGCGTTGCGCGGCGCATCAGCAGCATCTGCGACGCCGAGCAACGACACCTGGCAGTCTACACGTGTAACCGAGCTGCTGGGTGTCGATGGATGCCCAAAGAGTCGAACAGCGCGAGTCACCAGTCCGAAGGAGTGTATAGCAGCACGCGTCGTGCAGCGATGTGTGTGCCGCGTACACGCGTCGGGTGTCCGCTCCGCACCTAGCGTGTTGTAAGACACTAGCAAGCACTTGCCAGCGGCAAAAGCACGAGTTACGGCGGCCGTCGAAGGTCAGCCGTGCTGGCAGAGGCGCCTCAGATAGCACAGAGAACAGCACGCCATCGCTGCGACGCCTGGACGAGCGTTCACACTCAAGCCAGTGTAGCTGTGCAAAAGTGCCGTGCAGCTGTAATAGCTCAATATGGTCGAAATCCTGGCCGCAAAAAAGGCCTTGCGCCGGTCCATCAAGGCAGTCTGTGCTGCGTTGCCAGCTACTCAAATCCAGAGCGAGAGCGCCCGCGTCGCCCAGCGCCTCTTCGCGCGGGACAATTGGAAAAGCGCCACGAAGGTCTGCGCCTTCTGCAGCATGCCCGGCGAACTTGACACGGCGCCCATCCTCGAGGCCGCCTTCGCGGCCAACAAGCGCGTCTTCCTGCCCCGCGTCGAGGACGTCAAGGCGCGGGACATGGCCATGGTCGAGGCCTTCTCCATGGCGGACATTGACGCGTTTCCCCGCTCGAACTGGGGCATCGCCGAGCCGCCGCGCGACGATAGTCGGGAGGACGCGCTCGACGCGCGCGTGGACCTCGTCGTCGTGCCAGGCGTGGCCTTCGACTGCGACAACGGCCGCCTCGGCCACGGCGCGGGCTTCTACGACAACTGGCTCGCGCGCGCCGACGCGGCGGCCGACGCCGCCGCGGTCGCGCGGCCGGCGACCGTCGGCGTGTGCCTGGGCGCGCAGGTGCTTCCGTCCTCCGAGCGCGTGCCGCGCGAGGCGCACGACCGGGTGCTGGACGTCGTGCTCGCGCCTGATTAAGTAAATTCCTCGCGAAAACACTACCAAGTAGACGCCATCGCCGCGACGAAACAACATAAAACACGAACGCTCCCTTAAGACACTAGGAGCACGGTGCGTTCCCGAAACCCCGCGGCTCGGCCAATACGCGCCAACGAAGCGCGCATCGACGTCATATATCACGCGGGGGTGGAGAACGCAAACGGGGACCTACGAGGATCAGGTCATCCAGGCCGTCCCCGGCCGCCGTAAAGCTGCATCGGGCGCCCGCCGGTAGTACTTTTTGTCCAGTTGCGCCCTATCAGCGTACGGCTCTCTGATCAATTCGTGGAGCTCCTCGGCCACGGACCAGTCGCCCGCGCCGGCGGCATCATACGCCTCGACGAGCATCCACTCCCTCAATATATGTTTGGGGTTCTCGCGACGCATGCGCTCCGCGACACCCGCCGTGTCTCCCAATGCGGAACGCCAGTCATTTAACCATTCATTCAAGAACGACCGCTTCTCCTCCGTCAGCGGCTCGTAGCACGCTTTCTCTAGTACAGACGCGTCGCCGCCCTCGACGCAGTTCATCAGTTCCCGGAAAAAGATCGTGTAGTCCAGGCCCCTTAATTGAGGCTCGAGCCGCCGCCACAACGACTTGGGTTTATCAGAAGCATCCACACCATCAGGAAAGCCCAGCTTGCGTCTATAACAATCGTCGACCGCGGCTTGAAAATAACCGTGCGCATCATCTAGCAAAGCTTGTAAAGGCGCCGGGTCATCGAACAACGGGGCCAAGCTTCTCACAAGGGTCCCCCAGTTCGCTAAAGCAGCGCCAGGTTGATTGGCGAAGGCGAAGTGGTCGCCAGACCCCACCCATTTCGCGAAGGAAGGATCATATTGATCCAGGAAGCCGAAGGGGCCGTAGTCCATGGTCCTTCCTCCAACTAAGCAGTTGTCGGCGTTGAAGTTGCCCTGGCAGAAGCCGACGCGCAGCCAGTTCGCCGCGAGGGACGCGAGTTTCTCTCGAGACGCTTCGGCGAACTTCAGGGCGACCGGTTTTAAGTCGTCGACTTGGGGCAATCTAGTAGCGTCCTCACCAAGTAATTCCGGGTACTCCCGCGCGATGACGTGCTGCACGATCTTCTCATACTCAGTCATCCGCATGGCGTCCTGGCGCGCCCTTCTGGAAAACAAGTCGACGTGGCCCACTCGCGAGAAAGAAGGAGCCACCCTGCAGGTAATGGCGCAGCTTTCTTCGATCATCACGTCGGGATCGTCGCCGCCCTGCCTCATCAATTGTCTGATGAGCTGCTTCCGGACTTGTGGCGGGAACTTGGCCAAGCGAGGGTCGTCCTCGCTTATACTCGGAGCGGGCACGGCGTCGTCGCGCGCGCCCGAGTACCACGGCCGCTTCGTCGTTTCCGTCCGCGATACGACCAACGACAAAGCTCTTGTAGTAGGCACTCTGAGAAAATGCATCGCCTCCGACGCTAAAAATTCTCTGAGAGAAGATCTCAAAACGGCCCTGCCATCCGCGCCCCGGCAGAACGGTGTCCGCCCGCCGCCCTTCAGCTGGAGCTCCCACCGCTTGTCATCTACAACAACCTCGCCGAGCGACACGGCCCGCCCGTCGCCGTAGCCCTCGCCCGTGCCGAAGGGGCAGTTGCGCGTCTGCGGCTCGCCCTGTGTGGCACGGACGCCGTCATACATCCACGCGACGCGTCGACTCTCATGTGATCGTGAAGACGACATCGACGCGAGGTGGCATCGCGAGGACGCCATCGCCGCGACCGCGTCAGGTTCAAGTTCATTTCACGCTGAGTCGGCACCATGATGCTCAGCGCGTAGGGCGTCGCCCACGTCGCGCCCAGGCTCAGCGCATCCACATCACCCGAGAAGAAGCGCGCGAAGCGCTCGTCTTTGACGTCGGCCTCCGCCAAGCCTAGTTCCTCGCAGAGTTCTTTCGAATGCAATTTGAGCTCCGGCGATTGTAAAGCAGTGGGCACGACGGGGACGTAGTGGCCGCTCTTCACGCGCCGCGAGCTCTTGTTCGGCTCGTGCTGCTTGGATTCGGGGTCGGCGTTCAATGCTCGCGTCCAGCTCGCGTCGGCGGCGGCGGCAAAGGCGTCGAGGCCCCGCATGTTGATGAGGCGGCGCGTCGGCCTCAGCCGTCGCACCGCCGCGGCCCGCAGTGCTGCACAGGCCGTCGCGGTGTAGACGAGCTGCGGCGCGCGCATCCGTTGCAGCGCTCGTCACAGCAGCCTTGGCAACGCGGCAACGCTCTTATTATCGCCGCTCGTCCGCCAGCAGCCTTGCCTGAAGTGCAGCTGGCTTACCAAAGCTCCTTTAAGCCTAGTATGTCGATACACTAGCAGAAGATGCTTAGAAGATGCTTCATATATAGATAAGAGCCGCGGAACGCCGACGACGACGATGATGATGAAGAAATCAAGACAGGAACACGCGGAACACGTCCTCGACGGGCCGCCGGCACATGGGACAGGCGTCCGCCGCGCCGGCGCACGCCGCGCAGAGGCAGACGTGCCTGCGCGGATCAGACATTGAGACGACCGCGGCGATGGCGTGTCTCCGCGCAATCGAGGTGTCAAGTGAAGTATCAGCGGAAATCTCCGGGACGCCGCGACGCACATGCAAGGGTAGCAGGCCACCTCGCGGCGCCGCTCCCAGCAGACGACGCACGCGTCCTTCGGCGTTCGCGGCGACCGGGGGCTGCGGGGCTCCGCCTCGGCCCCAGCGACCGAGAGGCGCGAGAGTTGCGAGGCGACGTCTACGTCGGTGTCGCCCTGCGTCGTATCGCAACTCTCGCGCTCGAGGCCGGCCGCGGGCGCCGCCGCGTCCGCGGGAGCGTGCGATGCCAGCGCCGCCGCCGCGTCCGCGTCCGCCGCCGATGCGAGGTCCGCGTCGGAGAAGGCGACGCGGGACCGCGAACTCCGGGGCCGCGCGCGCCGGGCCAGGCGGCGTAGCCGCGCCGGCCGTCGGCTCCGGTTCCGTCGAATGTGTATGAAAACTGGACTGGAGCTGATATGATGTACCATTTGGACGGTAGAAGACACCGTCAATCGCTGGTGTACTTTGGCGAGCCGCAAGACCTAGTGAGCTAGCGTATGGACATACTAGGAATCAATATATATACATAAATATAGTATGCATGTATACAGGCCTAGGCGGATGGCTTTTGAAAACAGACCTCTCCGACTGACCTCCGAATAGTGAAGTTCAGAGCTTAATTTCCGCTCTGCGGATTCTTATCACACGCTAGGGGCGTCGTCTAACATGAAAAGTTACAAAATAATCTTATTTACCCCACTCACTACGCCGACGCCTCCTTGAGGTACTTGAGCAGCGGCGCCCGCTCCTTGTCCTTCTTGATGCCGGCAAACACCATCTTCGTGCCCTTGATGAATTTCTTGGGGTTCGTGAGCCACTTGTCCATCGTCTCGTCGTCCCACGTCACGCCGCTCCCGGACACGGCGCCGCTGAAGCCGAAGCCCGGCGCCGTGCCGGCCGCGCGCCCGAAGACGCCGTGGAGGTTCGGGCCCTGCTTGTGCGCGCCGCCGGCCTCGATCGTGTGGCACTGGCTGCACCTGCGCGCGTTCGGAGATTAACGGCGGCGCCATCGACGCGCGTATCAGTGCGTGCAGAAGACTGCTCGTAAGCGGTTACGGCGCCGCGGCCGCGCTTGGTCTTAAAGATCTTCGCGCCCTTGTCGCCCTTGCCCATTGGTCACTGCTTCTATTCGTTCCTTGACGGCGGTAGCGCGGATCCGCAAATATCCGCTTTTATTCTTTGCGCAGCAGTCTTCGAAGCTCGGCTGTGCTTTGAGGTTATGTGTGCTTTGTACGCACTGTGACGCAGCGAAACCGATATGCTGCCCGGACCGCCAAAAAAAAGCGGCTCGAAAGCGGCACACGGAAGCGATAAAACAGAGCAGGGAGGAACGCTGCCGCCGCTTGCCAATTGCCAAAGCGAGCGGCCTGTGTCTGCGCGTGCCCACGGCCACCGCGCGAGAACAGGAACGCTCGAGGACTCCTTCCGTCCCGAAAGCCGACGCTTGCGTCGCGAGGGAGCTGTGGTGTTTTGCTGGTTGTCTCTCCCCCATCCTGCCTCCAATCGCGCACGCCACGCGTCGCGGGCGATGCGTCTATGTTCCATTCGTTCCTTTACCACGTTTGCCGTACCTTCGATTTTGCGCGGCACGAGTCCATCATGCCCGCAGGCAGACACATCAGAGCGCCTGTAGTTGCTGCACGGCGGTCGTATCCGCGCGCCACGCTGTGCGCGTAGCGCATCTATACGCAGCTTGTAGCGGGAGAAGCGTGCACGGCGAAATCCGGCTCAGTTGGCGATTCCAGCCTTGCGAACAAAGGATCCCCACGTGCTACGCCGCGCGCGGACCCGTTGAGACCGCGTGCGCGGCGAGAAAGCGAAACGATGCTGCGCGCCGCCGTGCGCCTCAACGTCTCGACGGGCTTGGTCGCGTCCGCCGCCGCCGCGGGCCAGTACACGACGCGCTGCGACGTCGTCGAGAAGCCGCAGCGAAGGGTGACGCCCGTCCGAGAGTTGGAGAGAGATGTGATTGTTTTAGAAAGACAAGTCGCCGGCGAACCCTTGAAACGCATCAACCTGGAGGAGATGATCGAGGACCTCGCGGACCCTTCGCGCAAGCTCGTCATGTTCGGCGAGCACCACGACGATGCGAAAGCTCAAGATGTGGAACGGTCCGTCTACGATGGTATGGCGCGGCGCCAGCGCGACTCCCGTAGAAGAGTAGCATTAGCTCTAGAGTTCGTCGACGCGGACGCGCGGCGCGACGCCGAGTCCTTCGCGTCCGGTCGGTCGAACGACGTGGCAAAGTTATTTTGAGGCGAGGGTGATACGAAGCGCTACGGGCCGCTGGCGTTTTTGGCCCGGGCCCTGGGCGGCCCGATCGTCGCGGCGAACGCGCCGAGAAGGCACGCGCGCTTAGTGGCGAAACAAGGTGTGAGTGCTCTAGACACCATTTCTGGTGATGACGTCGCAAAACTACCACCGCTCCCCTACCACCACACGCCGCTCTCCGAGGCCTACGCGGAGCGCCTACAGATGGTCGGCCTCCGGTCGAAGAATGTGGTGGCGGCCCAGTGCCTGTGGGACGCGGCGATGGCGCACTCGTGCCTCGACTTCCTCAAGACGAACACGCGCGACGCGATCATGTTGGTCTGTGGCGCCTTCCACGTGCAACACTTCCTAGGCGTCGTCGACCACGTCGAGAAGTATACCGAGTCGGGCGGGCCCTTCGAGCCCTTAGATAGAGACGAGTTTCGGGTCGTGGTCTGCGTGCCGATGGACGGGCCGTCGTTTTTAAGGAGGTCGCTCGTGGACGTCTGGGACGACCCGTCTTTGGATACGGTCGCGGACTTCATCGTGTTTACCAGAGGCGGCCACGGTGGCGTGACGGGCGTCTGCGCCGCTTAGAGATTCGTGTAAGTTAAGTTTTCACTATATTTATGATTCCGATGCGCGACACACACAACAGGGTACAGACCGGGGGACCTAGAACAGGCCGAAGAACTTCTTCTCCTCGCCGAGCTTCGACGCCTTGATCTTCGAGGCCTGCTTCGCCGACAGCGCGCCGGCGTCGCGCCAGAGCTGCGCGTCCTGCGAGATGCCGTTCTGCCTCGCGCGGTCCTCGACCTTGTCCTGCTTGCCGCCGTTGAACTGCGTGAAGAACGACATCACGCCCGGCCCGTTCTTCTCGTACTCGCGGTCCGAGTCGAGCCACTTGCCGGCCGTGTACATGCCCTGCGACTGCTTCTTCTTCGCGCGGCGGAGCGCGGCGCCCTTGAGGTCGGACCCGTCCCACGAACCACCGCGTCGCTGCATGTACGGCACCTCCTCGATGGGCACTTCGCCGGACTTGATCTTGCGCGGGTCGACGGCGAAGAGGTGCGTGGCCTCGCCCTTCTCCATCGCTTCGACGAAGGAGTTGAACGATCGGGACTTGTAGGCCTTGCGGTCCGACTTCTTCGACGCGGCGGCCTCCTTCTTCTTGAGGGCCGCGTAGGCGGCGGGGTCCATGCCCGACGGTACGTACGCGCATAGCTGCGTGGCGGCGCGCGTCGACGTCGTCTGCGGGGCCGTGAACGCGACGGCCGTCGCGCCAAGGAAGGCAAGAGCAAGCTTCATGATTACTGTTTGCTGTCGACGTCCAGTGAGCTGTGCGGCACCTTGCGTGGTGTTTATGGCAGCGGGAGCTGGTCGATGCGCCAAAACAAATGCGAGAGCCCTGCTCCGCGGTGGTGGGCCAACGAACTTGAGGTGCCAGTCATACGCCGGTCAGCCGCGGCAGAGCAGGGCGGGGGGGATAAATGGAGTACTCTTGCATATCCAAACAACCCTCAAAAGGCACAACCAACTTACGCAGCGCGACGCCGAAGGTACGCGTAACAACAACCACACAACAGCAACAAGATGCCAAACGCGAAATAATGAGGCTTCGACGGGTCCGTCCGCAGGAACGCCTCGTAGGGCCGCAACGAATCAACGTCGCACGGCGCGCGGCAGCAGACGGCGCGCATGTCTTTGCATGAGACGCAAATGCCGTCGTGATCAACTAAATAGGCGCGCAGGGCCTCCACCAAATGCGCCGCTCCTTGTTTCCCCCGCCCGCCGAATTGGCGCGGCCGTTTTTTAACCTCGACGCGCTCCTTCAATCGCTCCAAGACATGCGAATGCCACTTGAAGTGGTACACTATTCCTCTATCGGAAGCGAAGACCGCATCCTTCCCAAGCGGCGCGTGCGCGCCGTCCGTGACCAGGCGCGGCAACTTGTAGGCCACGACCTTCGGTTTTCTCCGAAACGCGCAGTTCAGCGGGAACGCCTCCCACAGATCTTGTTCTGGTATGGGTGCCAACGCCCCCTGGTCCGCGACCCTATCGGTCCACATACCACCAACCACGTCGGCTTTTCCGGCTCGCGACAGCACCTCCTCAAAAGATCTATCAGGAAAGACCACGAATTCATCGGAGTCCGCGTGGACGACCCAGTCCCCGAATTTCATCTGTTTGCTTTGCAGCAACCGCGCAAACGCAAAACGTCTCACGGCTTCCTTGTGCGCGCCGGAGTAGGGCGACGCCCAGCGGACGTGGCCCATGGCTCCAAACGCTTCGACATGATGCGCCATTTCTCTATAAGTTGCCGTCCGTTTCGGCGCGTGGAGGACGACCACAAACCGGGACGGCGGAATCCAGGCGTAGTGTTTTAACAAATGAGGCAGGAGCCTCAATTCCTCGGCGTCCGTCGCGGCCACGACGGAGAACCAGGTCTCCGATGCCTTTGTCCTCGGGATAAATGATGCGTTCTTGGATGGCACGTAGGTCGCGGACCAGCCGTCCTGGAGCGTCGAGAAGGCGCGGCGCGCGGCCGCGCGCGGTGAGTCGGTATTCTGCCAGGGTAATTTCGCAGCAACCGCGGCGAGCAGCGCCGCGACGCGTAACAACATTTGTCGCTGCGCTTTGTCGCTGCGGCTTTTAGGCTGTGAGAGCACAAGAGCACATCCGGAGAGCACTGTGCCTGGAGCGTGCCGCAACGATACGAATCGCTGGCACGGCACAGAAAATGACCGATGCGGGTCTCGCGAGGTCACGCCGGCGCGTAGCACGCTGAGCGGCATGCAGCTAGCAGTCGTAAGACACTAGCGCTCAGCCCTCGTCCTTGAGCTTGCCTCAGGCCGCCGCTGCTAACTCGCTAGCCACTGCTACTCCGTCACGAAGGGCCCTACTGCATCACCAAGACGCTGTGGCAACGAGGCTTGCAAAGAAATCGCGGTGCCGTGCAAACTCACCATCGCTGGCACAGCAAGCCCTGCAGCATCACCGAGACTGCTGCCGCAAACGCCGCGTTGCACAGACGCCGAACGAGCACCAATCGTTGGCAAGCAAGCATGCGCCTCCTCCTCGCCGCAGCCGCGCTCTGCGCGAGTGACGCCGCCAAGGCCCCGGGCTCCGCCCAGTACGCCGCCCTCCGCCCCGCGCTCGACGAGATCGCTTCCCTGAGGGCGCACGTCGACGGCGGCGCCTGCGTGCCCGATTTAGGAGCAAAGGCCGACGCCCTCTGCGCCGCGGCCGAGGCAAGAGTAAAAGAGAGTGGCGGCGACGCCAAGGCGGTGCGCGACGTCGAAAAACGATTAGATGCTTTATTGAGGAGCATCTACGCCAAACAGTTGAGAACAGCAAGGGCCGCGGCCGTGCAGGCCTTCCGCCGTGCGAAGCTCGGAGGCGAGTACGACGCGCTGATCAAAGCACGCGAGGAATTCACGGCGCTCGCCGAGGCCGCGTCGCGCGCCGAGTGGACCTACGACGAGGACGAGCGGGAGCTCGAGGCGGCCTTATTGGCCGTCAGCAGGGCCAGCGCCGCGGCGCGCGACGCGACGATCGCCGCGGCGCAGCAGCGCGCTTCTGTATTTGCCGTGCTGCGCAAGCTCGTTCTAGAATTATCGGCGGCGACGGCCAAGAGACTGGGGAACGACGCCGACTGCGACGCCGGCCTCGCCGCGCGAGTGCCGGCCACGAACATCAACCTGTCGGGCGCGCTGCAGCGGGGCAAGTCGTCGCTCCAGATCTCCTGCGTGCCCGACGACTCGGCGGCGCTGCTGGGGGCGTCCGGCTTCAACAAGCCGCGCGTCGGCGCGGGCGACCTCGCCGTGTCGTGGAAGGGGGACGTCTAAGTACTCGAAGTATCTAACTACACGGACCTGCCTAGTGGTCCCCTAACGCCATGGAGAGCAGGAGCCCGCCCATCGCCGCCATGGCCATGCCGCCGCCGCCGCCGGCGAGGAAGTCCTCGAGGTTCATGCCGCCCATGGCCTGCCCGTGCTTGCGGTGCGGGCGGTGGCCCGGCTGGCGCGGCGGCCGGCCGAGGTTCGCGTTGCCGTTCGGCACGAAGCCGTCGGTGAGGCAGAAGACGCGGTCCCGCAGGTCGAAGCGTTGCGACGACGAGAGCTGGGGCTTCTGGCTCATGCGCTTGCGGCGGAGTTCGCGGTGCAAGGCGTCCATGAGCTCGTGGTACTTGAGGTCGTGCCGCGCGTTGTCGAGCACGGCGAGGAACGCGTTCGTCATCGCGCCGCCGGCCTGCCCGCCCGCCACTACATCCGCCGACGTCTGATCATCTCTACAACCACTGAACATCTGGACGTCGCCGGGCGAGAAGGCCGGGAGGCTGTCGACGGACCAGCCGCGCCCCTGCACGTAGGTGAACGGTAGGTCCAAACCGGTACCGGAATGGCAGCCTGCGCGAAAGATCGGTCTCGCGGCGATCGCCGCGATGCGAAGGCCCCGCGACGCCGGCGCCGACAGTCCATGACCGACGTCAGGCGGCACCCGTCCGACGCGAGTTTCGCGCGCCTATCGGCGAGCTTGCGCGAGTACTTGTCGACGTCGTCCTTGTCGCCGCTCTGCTTAGCTTTTTTCAGCTTGTGTTCTAGTTGTTCGATCTTCTCGAGCAGCTCCTTCTTATCCTTCTCGTACTGGCCCATGGTGTTTTTTTGGTGTTTTGGACCCCCCAGTAAAACTATGGTGGCCAACTAGTGATCTGCTGTCGACGAGTGGACTACGAGAGACCTTGGGTGCCGAGCCTTCTCGACCACAATGCAGGTTATCAATCGATACAGTGGAAGGCCTGGAGAAAACTAGTGTCTTACATGCCGCTAGCTACCAAAAATATGGCCCCGAGACGCTGTGTGCAGCGTATGACAGTATTAGGCATTGAGATATCACAGCAGCAACGCCGCAAACAAAGTTCAACGATGTCTTAGCCATTGTACACAGAGCCCAAGCCCATATGCGCCTGCTCCTCGTCGCATGCGCGACAACTACAGCGAGAGCGCTCTCGACGAGCAGCAGCGTACGCCTGGACAAGTTCCTCAACGACGCATCCGTCGCCGCGAGCCGCGCCGCCTGCAGCCAGCTCGTCAAGCAGGGGCGCGTCGCCGTCGACGGCGTCGTCGCGAAGCGAGCCGCGGCGAAGGTCCCCGCGGACGCGCGCGTGACGGTCGACGACGTTCTAGTTGAACCGCTGCCGCTGCTCTGGGTGTACCACAAGCCCATTGGGGTGCACAGCACGCTGAGCGACGACCGCGGCCGGCCCGACCTCGCGGCCGTGGCGCCGCGCAAGGCGCACCCCGTGGGCCGCCTCGACGCGGACACGTCGGGCCTCCTCCTCTTCTCGTCCGACGGCGCCCTCACGCACAAGCTGCTCTCGCCGCGGGCGGCCGTCGAGAAGGAGTACGTGGCCACGTGCGAGGTCGCCGCCGGCGCCGACGCCGCGCTCGCGCGGACGCCGGAGGCGTTCCTGCGCGACCGCCTCGCGGCCGGCGTGCAGACGACGCTCGGAGTACACGTCGGCGACGTGCTGGAGGCGCGGGTCGCCGACGACGACCGCGTCACGGTGAGACTCGTCGTGCGCGAGGGAAAACACCGCATGGTGCGGCGGATGCTCGCCAACGTCGGCGCGCCCGTCGTCGGCCTGCGGCGCGAGCGGTTCGGCGACGTGTTGCTCGGCGAGCTCGCCGAGGGCGCGTGCGAGGCGCTCGCCGACGACGCCTGGGCGAGGAGCCTAATCACCTAATGTTGAGTCCTAGTGCGCCCAGCTCGTCGACGAGCGCGCCCGTCGCGGAGCACTCGGGCGATGCGGCCGCCGGCCGGTCCCCGCTATCCATGTAGTACGTGCCCGCTTCGTCGTCGACGCAGGCGAGGAGCACCGTCGCCGCGCCCTCGGCGGGGGTCTTGAAGAGGCGCCGCGGAAGCACCGCGCGCACGGGCGCCGGGAAGAAGCCCTTGAGCATGGGTGTCCACACGAGTCCGGGATGACATGCCCGCGCGTCGACGCCATTGTTGCGCAGCGCTGCCGTGAACTGCAGGAGACCTAGCTTGGAGGCCGCATAGGCACTCAGGGACTTGTCCCGTCGCCGGTCGTCGAGCATGCGAGCCACGGGGCAGGCCCTCGCGCGCAGGTGCGAGGACGACGCCACGTTGACGACTCTCAGCTTCCGGTTCCGGGCGCGGAGCCCGAGGGTCAGCCGCGCCGGCGCTAATAAATTGACGCGCATCGTCTCATCGGTGGCGGCGCCCATGACTCCGGCGTTGTTCACCAGCAAGTTGACGCCCCTCGGCAGCGCCGCGTCGCCTTCATTGAGGTCACAGACGGCGCACTTGTGCGCACCCGGAAATTCCTCGCGCAGCCGTGCGGCGACGGCTTCTCCCTTTGCTGGGTCGCGAGCGCCCACGAGGACGTCGTAGCCGCGTGCCGCGAGGCCGCGGCACACCTCCTCCCCAATCCCACCGGTGCCGCCAGTGACCAACGCGCGGCCGCCGCCGTTCGTTGTCATAGGCGGGCCGGCGTAGCGCCGCCCCGGCTTCGCGTTCGACAGCAGCTCGCCGAGAATGCCGAGCGCCCAGCGCGCGCTTCTGCGCATCTTTGTGTCGATCGCTGCGGCAGCTCGTCGACCGCTGCGGCGGCTCGTCTATCGCCACGGAACCGCGTCGATCGCTGCGGCTCGTCGACGGCTGCTGCAGCCAGCTGCAGTGATGAGCGCTGCACTGCCCGTATGGTGCGGCAGCGTACAGGGGATCGCTGCGGCAGCGTGCAGAAAGCTATAGCTTGCCTATACAATGCTTACATGCACCTATACACGCTATCCACGCTCGGTGCCAAAGCTAGCGTCACGTAAGACACTAGCACGCAATCGTCGCCCCCCAACTTATACAAAAAAACCGGGTAATGTGAGCCAGCGCTGCGGAATATCAGCATAAATAGACCGTCATAGCTCGCACGACATCGCTGCGCAATCGCAGCGAGCCGGCACACAAAACACAAAACACCAAGCACAAAGTATCACGCACCGAATCTGTCGCGTTCGCCCTAGTGTCGGCGAGTCTCACTCCACTGTAACAACGAAGCATGGGCGCCCAGCCCACGAAACCAGAAAGAGAAGAGGCGGACGAGCTGCGAAAGAACGTGCCGCAGGCCTGCTCCGAGGCGGCCGACGCGATCCTGGATGCTGATGTATTATTGCTCGCGACGGGCGCCGGCTGGTCCGCTGAAAGTGGCTTAGCTGTATACAGGGACATCGCGAACGTCAAAGCATATGCTGAAAGAGATCTTACATATAGAGAACTGTGCGTGCCGTCGTGGCTGCGCGACGAACCCGAATTATTCTGGGGCTTCTGGGGCCTGTGCTTCAACGACTACCGGCAGACGAGGCCCCACGACGGGTATGGCATCGTTAAAAAATGGCGGGATGCGATGTTTTCTACTTCTGACGTGGCGGACGTGATCGGTTTGAGGGTTGCGGAGCAGGAGAAGCAATCATCACTGGAGGATTTAAAAAATGAGGAGGAGGCGTGGTCGAATGATCACGTCACACCGCCGGGCGCCTTCTTCTCCTACACATCGAACGTCGACGCGCATTTCTATGATGTGCTCGACGCGGGCGAGATCCGGGAATGCCACGGCAATGTCGAGTTGTATCAGTGCGGCGGGCGGCGAGTTGTTGTCGAGGATGAAGAAGGTGAGAAGGTGTTGTACATGTCGAAGAAGTGCTCGCGGAGCGTGTGGCGCGCTCCATCAGATCTGGCGCCCTACGCCGTCTCCACAGAAACGATGCTGGCGGAGGACGGCACCCGCGCGTCATCACTGGCCGCGAAAACGGATGTGGATGATAAAGCAACGATCGGCCACACGGGCGGTGAGACGAGGGACCCGTCCACCACGCTCCAGCACATGCCGCCTCCGCTGAATGATCGCTCAAAAACGTTCGACAAAAATTGGCCAATCTGCCCGCGCTGCGGCGGCCGCGCGCGGCCGGCCATCCTCATGTTCGAGGATAACGACTGGGTCGACTCGGCCTTGCAGGACCGGCGCTACCGCGAGTGGACGGCGGCGGTGCGCTGGCTCGCGACGGAGACGCGCTCTGCATCAAATCCATTAAGGGTTGTGATCCTCGAGGTCGGCGCCGGCGGCAACGTGACCACGGTCAGGCACGAGTCGGAGCACGTGTTTCGCAACGTCGATGCCGTGGCCACCACCTTAATCAGGGTGAACCCCGAGCTGCCGCTGCCGGACAACGACGTTGACAAATTAGCGGCGGGCCGCGTCCGCGTTGTATCAATCATGGCCGGCGGGCTGGATGCAATCAAACGCATCGACGCGTGCCTGCGCGAGCGGCGGCCGGACCTGTTCGACGAGTCGCCCATCCCGCCGGACGAGGCGTACACTCCGCTGGCGGGCTACGAGGCGATCGGCGAGGAGCTCGGGGACATCCGCCTCGACGAGTGACGTCACTTAAGTTTTGAATTAATTATAGGACTACGCCCCCTTCACTAGACCCCTTCACGGGCTCCTCCTGCGCGTAGATGACCTGGCCCGTCTGCGGCTGCGGCGCGTAGATGACCTGGGGCTGCGGCGCGGCCTGCAGGACGACAGAAGGCGCGGCGGCGTGTGCGGCGCGGACCTGGACCGTCGCCATCTCGACGGCTTGTACGGTGGGCGGCTCACTAGGTTTGGGAGGGTCCGGCTGGAAGAGGCAGAACGTCCAGATGACGCTCGGCACGAGGAGCAGCGCGATCGCGATGGAGCTCCAGAAGGCGAGGAGGTGGGCGTGGGCGTGGATCGACGAGCCGTCGTTGCAGCGATCCGGGTCGCCGACGCCGTCGCACTGATCAGTCGCGTCCATGTCGTCGTCGTGAGGGTTGCAGTAGTTCCAGCAGTCCTTTTCCGTCGCGAAGGCGCGGCATTGGTCGTCGCTGCCCCCGCCGTCGTCGCAGTCGTCGCCCCACTTCGAGTAGTAGAGGTGCCCGCCCCCGGTGTCCGGGTTCGTACAGAGCTGGAACCGCGAGGTCTTCTGGCCGCAGTCGTCGTCCCAGGAAACTCCAGTCCACGGCTCCGCCGAGTCGCACTTGATCGTGTCCTCGCAGTTGTGGCGGATCGCGGCGTCGGCGCCCGACGCGCAGACGATGAAGCTGATTACGGCTAGGACACAATAAGCCATCATAATGCCTTGGACCAGATGCGGCTTGCAGCCCTCCTCGCCACAACACTGGCAGACGAAAATCGACGCCGTGACGAGGACTGTGACGTTCATAATCACATTGATCCATCCGAACCACGCGTAGAGCGGTATGTCGAACGTGAAGAGCGCGCAAATAGTCATGCTGATCGTGGCAATGCTGGCGCAGACCACAACGGCCGTGCCCGAGCAGCGCTTGTTGCTCCCACAGCACTGGTTGTTGGCGGCCTGGGACATGGTCGCTCGCGGTCCGCGCGGTGCGCTCACGTGGGAGGACCGGTGCCTGGGCTTTTGGGGCTGCCCAGCCAACCTACGCCGTCGACGCCCGGGCTTTGGCAGTCTAGCTAGCGCTGTAAGACACTAGGAAATCAGCAAGCGCGCGCCGCGTGTTTAAGGCAGCAGGAGTGCCACACAGTTGAATCTGAGCATCGCTCGGACGAGCATATATCACAGCGCAGCCCGGCGCGGCTCGCCAAGGGCTCAAATTCAAAGCAAGCTCAAAACTGAAAATGCCCTCGGACGAGCTCGTCGCGCGGCGCCAGGCCCTCGAGGAGAAGCGCCGCCGCATCGAGGCCCTCAAGGCGCAGAAGGCCGAGCGCGCGCGCCAGGCCGCCACCTCCCAAAAGAGCGCCGCGTCCGCGGCCGCGAACCTGCGGTCGTACGTCGACGGCCTGCTCTCGCAGAAGTCCGAGGCGCCGGCGCCAGCAGCACCAGTTTCCACCCCAAATGGCACGCAGCTGCCGCCGCCGCCGCCGCCGGCCGCGTCCCGCGCGTCGACGTCGCCTCGATACGAAAGAAAAATTGTGGACGTGCTCGCGGCCGCGACGCAGACCGAGACACATGAAGATGTTGACGAGGCCGCCGCGGCCCAGGCACGACTGGAGAAGGAAAATTCGGAACGGGCGCTGAAAAACCGGAGCAATTCATCTTCAGACAGCGCGCGCAAGGCAACGGCGGACATTCGCAAAGTCGAGAAAAGACCCGTGGACCTCTCGTCGCTATCATCACGAGCAAGGCTCGTCGAGAAGTGCCTGGGCGAGCGCGACGTCTTCGACGCTCTTTTCGCGCCGGTGAGCGTCGAGACCGATGTGAGCGCCGGTGCCAACTTCCCTTCATCTGGACGGACGACCTTTACGATGCCCTTCGAGGCGGCGTGCACGGGCGTCTCTGTGATAAGAGAGCGGCCCGAGGCCTTTGTCGCTTCGTATGCATCCTCTACATCTGAGTTTGACGGCGACGTCGGAGAAGAGGGGTGTGTGTGCGTCTGGTCCCTCGCCTCCACGAAAGCGCCCGATTCTCAATTCAGATGCGAGGCCGGCGTCACCTCCATCGCCTGCGACCCACGGCACCCTTCTCTGGTGTTAGGTGGCGCGGCGTCGGGGCAACTCCTGCTGTTTGATGGTAGGACGCAGAACTGCGTCGCCAGATCACCCTTGGACCGGCACGCGCCTCATGCATCATCGATCTGCGCTTTATCTGTGCGAGACGACGGTACTGTATTGACGGGGTCGAGCGACGGCGTTTGTTGTCTGTGGGCGCCGGGAAACTTGGAAAGGCCCCTCGAGAAGCGGCAGCTCGGGATCGCGGTGTCCTGCGCCGACTTCGCCGACGATAGTACGGCGTACGTCGGCTGCGAAGCCGGTTCCGTATCAATGGCGACGTTCGGCGGCAGCGAACCGTGCGCCGCATTGGGCACGCACCGCGGCCGCGTCACGTGTCTCGCGGCGCACCCGGCGTCGCGGAAAGGTGCGGCTGCTTCCAGCGACACGCTCGGATTAAGGAGGCATCTGCTCGCGTCGGCGTCGGTCGACTGGACTTGTAGATTGCGAGTTGGCAGTACACCGCTGGGCGCGCCCCTGGACCACGGCGCGCACGGCTACGTGGCATCAATAGCGTGGTCGCCGTCCAGAGCCGCGTTACTGTGCACGGCGGCGTCCGACGGGTGCGTGCGGCTCTGGACGGCCGCGTCGGGACAAATCGTCGGCGCCGCGGAGCAGCTGTCGGCGGGCGCGTTGACATCCGTCGCTTTTTCCGGAGACGGCCGCCGCGTCGTTGTCGGCGACGCGCTCGGTTGTTGTACGGTGGCGGCGCTCGAAGCGAGTGTTTGTGGCGAACACCCCGCCGAGGCGGCGCGGCTCGACGAGCTCCTCGGGGGCCTCGCGCCGACGTAGAGCCCCGAAGGACTAACAATACAAGAATTTAGTAGTCGGCGCCCCCCGTCACACGGACTAACAATAACAAGCACTTAGTAGTCGGCGCCCCCGTACCCGCCGCCGCCGAAATAGCCCGGCGGCGGACCGTAGCCCGGCGGCGGGCCGTAGCCTGGAGGCGGGCCGTAGCCCGGAGGCGGTCCTCCTCCGTAGCCGCCGCCGCCGCCCGTGATCATCGATATGTACGCGGCGAGGCCGGGCGGCATCACGCCGCCCGTCGGCGGCACCGCGCCGCCCGGCGCGACCGGCGCGCCGGCGCCGGCGGCGTAGGCGCCGGGCGCGGGCATCGCCCGACGTCCCGACCGGTTCTTCGGGATGCCGTCGGACGGCCGCGCGTTCCCCGTTTTTTCCGCCACCACTTTCACGGCACGCTCCAGGGCGGCGTGCGCCCGCGTGTGGTTCCGCTGGTCGACGAGGTAGCACGGCAGCACCTGGTCCGTGTCAAAAAACACGAGCTGGGGCGCGCCGTCGCCCTCCTGCGTGGGGTATTGAGTGACGCCATCGACGCGACTCGTTTGCGACGCGCGGTTTGTTGAATGCCACCTCTCGGACACCGCGCAAAACGTAGCCCAGGTGCGAGTCATACCCAGCTTTCTTCGGCACGCCCCGGTCGCGCTTCTGCGTGGCCTTGTACTGGCGCCCCGGCAGCGCTAAGCAGGCAAACACAATCGCGTCCTTGGCGTAGGCAAACGCCAGTCGAGGGTCCGTCGTCGTGTAGATTCCGCGCCCAAAAAAACCGTCGTCGGTGACATGTCTCACGGTCCGCCCGTCGGGCACCTTTAGATTGCCCTCCATGATCGCCCGGAAGTTCGACCGCGACGTCCCATGATACACAATCGCTAAAGGCGTGGCGCGCGTGCCCTTGTTCCGGCCGCTCCGCGGGCAGGGCGCGCGCGCGAGCATGGCCGCGTGCTTCTCGAAGAACTTGACCGCCAAATCAAAATTCGCGCACGCGTTTTTCAGCTCCAAACCCACGGCCCACTTCTTCGAGTCGCGCGTGTACTCGGTGACGATCGCGGCGAGGCCCGTCGGCGTCGACGCGAGCTCCTCCGTGTCGACGCTCTTGCGTTTCTCTTTCGCGGCGCGCTCGGCGGCGTTCTTGCGCTTGATGGCGTCGGCGCGTTTCTTCTCCTCGGCCTTGCGCTTCTCCTCGGCCGCGAGCTTGCGCGCGATCCGCGCGTCGCGCTCCTCGGCCTTCTTGCGGCGCTTCGCCGCGCGCTGCTCTTCTAACTCCAACTGTCGCGCGACGGCCTCGTCGTCGACGTCGATCACGGACCGCCGCCGCTTCGGTGAGGCCGGCGACGCCGCCGTCAGGTCCACGACCGAGTCGTCGTCGTCCTCGGACGACTTGTCGCAGAGGTCCACGACGTCGCTTTCGTCGTCAATGTCGATCGGCTGCGACTCCGTGGCCATGGTTCTTCCCTGGCGCTGCGAGTAAAAACTGGCGTGTTCAGGGGACCGGTCTGTGCCGGAGCTTTGCGGGCGCCACGCGACCCGACGGGTGGCGCAGAGGTCGAGGGCGCTGCGAGCAGCGTGTGGCAGCACGAGGGGCCACGTATACGGCGGAATAAATCCGAAACGCAGCCGGGCCGAGCTAAATGGCTAGCGGCTGTAAGACACTAGCAAGAGCAGCTTTTGGACATAACAAACACCCGCAGCGCAGCTGATGGGAGCCTGTTCGTCCCGCAGTGTTAAATTGCCTGCTAGACCTGCGCGCGCCACCGGTGAGGCCACACCAGAGACCCGCAGCATCATGTCGGACTGGTTCGAGCGCCTTGTGGGTTTCAGAGAGCGCGACGCGAATGATGTAAGAGCGCTCGTCACCGCCGAAGGCACGGACCTCGTCGCGCCCGCCTTAAACCAGCGCTACAAGGCCGGCGCGTTCACGACGCCGTCCCTCGGCGAACTAAGAAATCAACTCAAAGCACGGACCTACGAAAAAAAACCACCGTCCTTCTCCAATGTCATCGGCGACGCGGGCGCCCTGCACGGCGAGTTCCCGGGCGCGACGTTCCAGGTCGCGAGCCAATTCAACTGCCTCGAGTTCGTGGGCCCTTCGGTCACGCCCGAGGACGGCGTCACGGGCTACGCCTGGGACAAGACGCAGGGCCCCTGCTGCGCCATCGCCTGCGGCGCCTCGACGATCTACCGGAACTATTTTGGGTTGAATGGCGCGCCGCAGACCAGAGATTCACAGATCGAGAACCTCCGCGACGTCCTCACGCATCTAGGGCCGCTCGGCGGCCGCTTCGACGTCCGGGGCGGCTACACGATGGCCGACGACGCCGCGCTGCGGGCGCTAACGGAGAAGGTCGCGAGTTTAGATGAAGCGGGCCGCGACGCGGTCAAGGCGCTCCTGCGCATCGGCCTCCAGACGGACTGCCAGGTCACCTCCCAGAACTGGGGCCGCGACCAGTTGAGGGATACCGACCACGTCGTCACGCAGATCTTCGCCTCGGCCTGTTCCGTCGCCTATTCAGGAAACGGCAGCGGCCTCTGGAAGGCCTTCGCCTCGCTGGTCCTGGAGGCGTCCTACGAGGCGGCGCTCATCGCCTCCGCGCTAAACGCGCTCGACCACCCGGACCGGCCCCACGCGTCCAAGGTGTTTCTGACGGCCGTCGGCGGCGGCGTCTTCGGCAACGGCCTCTCGTGGATCGCGCGCGCCATCGAAAAAGCTCTGGCTTCGGTGGACTACCCCCTCGACGTGCGCTTAGTTACGTACGCCCCGCCGGTGCCGCGCCCGTTCGAGACGCTCGCCGCGGTCGCCGAGTCCCTCGCGGAGTCGCGGAAGCGGCCGCGCGACGAGGGGAGCGCCCTCGGCGGCGCGGCCGCGTCGTCGCCGGCCGCCGTGCGCGCCGCGCGCGTCGCAGCCCTCGAGGCCGCGCCGCCGCCCGCGCCGGCCGATGCGACGGCGCCGCCGCCGCAAGTGCCGCCGCCGACGGACGCCTGAGCAATGCGCCGCCGCCGCCGACACTTCCGTCGAAGGGCGCCTGAGCACTGTGATAAGCCTCGTGTGAGTTCATTAGCACATAGTTATAAGCTAGGCCGTCGCCTCGAGGCGCGCGAGCAACCTCTTGCGCGTCTCGACCTTGAGGCCCACGTCGCGCCACTCGGCAGCCTCGAGGAACTTGGCCGTCTCCAGATCGAAGATCTCGGCCGTGGCGAGCTGCTCGACGAGCGTCGCCAGAGCATGATCAGATAATCCTAAGGACGCAACAAACTCGGCGAGGCACGGCTGGAGCGGCCCGTGGCCGTTCGTGGGCAGCGCCGGCGCCGGCGCCGGCGGCGTCGGCGGCGACACGACCGCCGGCATCGTGACTGGCACGTGGGTTCTGACGGGAGAGGGAGGCGCCTGGGCCTGCCGCGCCCGCGCCGCCTCCGCGCGCAGGCGAACGGCCTCGTTCGGGATGAGGCGCGTCTGGCCCGCGCCTAAGGTGACGTTCGTGATGGGTGACGTCATGTGGCCCCCCCGCAGCCACTGCTCGATGGCGCTGCGCTCATACACAATGCCGTCGCCCTCGAGCGTCACCGGATCCTTAAAAAACTCGTAGGTGATGGGGCACTCGAGGTCCTTGATTGATACTGAAGAATCTTGAGAGACGAATTGCGGGGCCGCCGGCAGGGCGGCCGGCGCCGGCTCCGGCGCCGTCGCGGCCATGAACTGGTCCCAGGCCGCATCGTCGAAGTCGTCGTCGTCGTCTTGTTGTGGCGCCGCGCGCTGTTTCATCTTGGCCGCGCGGGCCTTCGCTATTTCACGCTGGCGCTCTTTATCTTCTTCACTTCTCCTCTTGTCTCTGAGTTGCTGGGCGCACTTCTTCAGCGCCTCGACGTTCTTCTTCGAGAATAGATCAGACCTAGTAGCAGCGGCGTCGAGCACGTCGTCCGACGCCCAATTCGCAGCGACTAGCGACTTCTTCTCCGTCCCGATCAGCGACTGGAACAAGCGATTGACGTCGCCGTTTTCTCTTGTTAAATCATCCTTGGTGACCGTAGAAATCCAGGCGCCGAAGGCCCCGCTCCAGACTCGGCGCCTCACGAGGTGCGCGAACTGCCGCCGTTCGCTCCGCTGCTCCCTTCTCATCAATCGAGCTTCTAACGAGCTGTGGAGCTCCATGGCCTTCGCCACGACGCGTTTAGCCGGCACGGAAGCCTCTCTAGAAGCCACGCGACACAATTGCGCGCACCGCGAAATGGCCCGCTCCAGCGAATCGACGTTCGGCTTCAGGGCCTCTTGCTGTAAAGTCGACCACCCCTGGGCCTCTTTGAGTAGGGATTCTAAGGAAGAGGCTTCATAAGCGCACTTCTCGGAGGCCTTTTTTCTCTTCGCGTCCTTCTCATCAGCTCTAGGGTCGATGACGTCGACGGCACTCCCCGCACTCCAGGGCGACCAGGACTGGTGGCCGTTCTTGTCCACCGCGACGCGCCACTTCAGCTCCCAGCCGCCGAACGTTAGACTGTTGAACGTCACTTGCGCCACATGTCTTCCATGAGAAGGCTCCAATTTTATGGATTGCGTCATAGGCGCCTTGTCGAAACCGCCGTAGCCCCAACTCTGCTCGACCCGACACTCGGCCGCCACGAACTGCTCCGCTAAGACTGATAATGCGGAGACCTCGCCAGTCACTGTCAGGCAATCCTTGCCGGGCACCTTGGACACGATTTGCACCTTCGCCGGCGTCCGCAGCGCCTCCTCGGCCTCCAACCGCAAAGGCTTCTGGGCGACCTTCTCGGCGTCGCCCTCCAAGCCGAGCGACGCCTTGTGCTTGGCCAACCAAGCGTCGTGCCACTTCCCGTATCGTTCAGACTCTTCCAGATCCTGGTCGATATCCTCGCGTAGAGCCGTATCCCTCGCTCTCGTCATCTCGCCGACGTACAACAACCTTTTTTCTTGGTCCTTGAGCACGGCCGACGATATCTGAAACTTTTCGAACCGTAGACGAGCCTCCTCGCCGCCGCCGCACCGATCGGGGTGCAGTTGTAGAGCTCTCCTTCTGTAGAGTTTGTTCACGAGCTTCGTAATATCATCAGCGGCTCTTTTAGCCTTTTCCGAGGTCTTGTGGGCTACTAAATATTTTGCGTCGTGATCCTGCTTGGCCCGCGTCGCGAGTTTCTCGGCCTGGTCGACATCTAACGTTTTCGCATCCTCATCATCCACGTCGGCAAATTCTAAATCATACGTATACGTACCCTTGTTATCTTTGCGCACTTTGACAACCCGAGCCTCGACATAAGCTTCCCGGCCTCGATACCTCGCTTGCACCACTTCATCTTCCTTGAACACATAACTCTTCGAATCTTCATCGTGCTTCGCGAGCCAGGCCTCGCACTTCTGGGCCTTGGCCTGGTCCTTCTCCTTTTCGCTCTTCTCGACGGCGGTCTCGACGGCCTTGCGGTACTTCTCGAGCCGCTTCTCCACGGCTGTTCTTTGATTGGCCTCGTCCTCCCAGTCGCTCCGCCGGATCAGATCGGCAGAGACCTTCTCCTCGATCACTTTCTCCTTGCAAGCCTCGACGAGCCGAGCGTACTTCTCGACCTCTCGGGCATCACCATCCCTCCTAGCCTTGGCTAATTTCGCCTCCAATTTCCGACGCGTGTCTTGGCGCTCTTTGGCCTGCTTGAGGCGCTTTTCCTTCTTCTTTTTGTCTTCTTTATCTTCCTTGACGCCCTTCCGCGCGGCCGCGAGCGCCGCCTCGAAGCGCTCCCGTTGATGTTTCGCGGCGTTGGCGATCGAGGCGGTCCGTTCCGCCTGTTCCCGGTAGTAGGCCTCTTCCGCGAGCAAATCAGCAACGTCTTTCCCTCCAAAGTCCAGACAGACCGGCAACGCGTGGCAGATCTCCTGTAATTCATCAAGGCGCTTCCCGTTCTGCTGGGCGCCCTCCTTCATGCGCTTTCGATCCTCCTCCGTGACCTTGACGCCGACGACGTCCCCAGGCTTCTTGCCCGGTGGACATTTAACAACTAATCCCGTCTCGACGCCGTTCTCCAAAATGGGAATGTCGTCTCCTTCTCTACAGCCCGCGGGCACGGTCACGAACACGACGTCCTTCTCCGGCTCGAATCCCTCCGGCGGCGGCGGCGGCATCCCTCGACCGTCGCCCTCCTTGATCAGGATCGGCAGGACCTCGCCCGGCTTCACGTCGTCGGGGCAGGGGTAGTCTCCCACATGTTTGACGCCGCCATGCGGGTCGCCTAATTGTGTTGTGTCGATGACGATCGGGATCGGGTCGCCTTGTACACAACCCTCGGGCACGCGGAGGTGCGCGACGATCGCGCCGTCGGCCTCGACGGAGAGGCGCGCCGTCGTGCCGTCGTCGTGCTTGCTCTCCTCCACGGCGTAGACCTCGCCGTCCTGGATGTCGTCGAGATCCATGTCGTTGCTACGCGGTCCTTATCTGTTCTACGCGGTCCGTATGCGCAGCGCTGGGTTATCCGCAGCGCTGGGGTATTTAGCGCCAAAAGCTTTTTATGCCGCAGCTGTGGCGCGTGTGCTGTAGGTCAAGCGCAGCGCTGCGCTGGCTGCAGACGCAAGCGAGTCCAGAGCTGCGCCCGCGCCGCACGCGCGCAGGAGCTCGCAGGTCACCCTCGGGCCTCCCTATAATACCTAGCGGCTTGTAAGATACTAGCAATTTGAAATATTTTGAGGTTGCTTGCTTAAGAGCTAGGCCGCCTAGCCGCGGCCCGCCGCGGGGGCTGCGTTTTAGGGGCACGGCGTACATTAATACGATTCGTAGTGTGTTATGGACAACTAGGACCGTGGGAGGCAGTTATTAATCCGGGATTCCCCAGTGGTATCTTCTAGTATCTCCGCGGTCATCGGCCCCATGTGGGGCCCCATATATGCACCTGCTCGCGTTTGGCCTCGAGTCCCTTCGTGCCGTGTGGTTCCAAGAGTGGGTATTGCATATTGCCCTCCGGTCCGACGCTCGCCCAACCGTCGTGCAGGACAAGGACACTCTTGTACCAGCCGTCGTGCGCCCACACCCCGGCGACCTCGACGGCACGTCCGTCGAGGTCGCACAGGAACAGCTTCGCGAAGTCGTGGAGGTCGGCGTCGCGGCCCCGATACGCGTTCCACCGGCGGAGGTCCATGCGGACGCGCGCGGCCGCGGGGAAGAAATTCCAGAGGCGGAGAAACCTTTCGCGGACGGTTGATTCCCCCCGGGCGCTGTGGTCCGCGGCCCACACGGAGCCGCGAACAAAATCTTCGCCTGCTCCGCCATACATGGAAGGGGGATAATCGCAGTAGTCGTACGATTCGATGCCGTCGCGGGCAGGGGACCCGGGCGCGAAGTCGATGGACAGCAACGAGCCGCTGCCGTCGTCGTAGGGAGCCGGGGCGGCGAGGCCGTCTCCATCGAGGGGAAAGGCGACGCGGAGCATGGCGACGGGCAGTCGGTCCGCCCCCGCCAAGGAAACCCGGGTCAGCCGCGGCAGCATCGCGTCGCGCAGCCGGGCCAGCGAGTCGCCCAGGACCCACGCCTCGGACGCTGCCCCCGCCGCCTCGGCGCGTGGACGCTCGAGTTTCTCCGCGTACTTGCGGTTGTACTCATCAAGACAAATGTACCCTTCGAAGTCGATCTCCAGCTCGGTCGGCGGTTGAGCTCGAAGCATCTCGCACGCAGCATCAAGGTTTTCGAGGGTCACGGCGAGACGCGCCCCGGTCGGGTCGGCAACCGCATCATCGTCTGATTCGGTCGCGTCATGAAGACCGGGGGCGACGTCGTCGTCATCATCTCCTGGGACGTCGCGCCAGCTCACGCGGACGCGCGAGCCCTCCCGCGGCCCCGACTTCTCGTATCAGTCGCGGTGGCATGCAAGGTCCTTTCTGCAATCAAAACACACTTCGTAATCTTTTACAGACGCCACCACGACGCGCGACCCGCGGGAGCTCGCGAGGAGCTGGTACAGGGCGACGCCTAAGCCGTCCGCCATACCGCAGCCTCCCACGCGCCGGGCAGCGAAAACTTCGATGGCTGGGCACGCGAGGGCAGCCTCTTCCAAGAGCCTGCAATCTCGCTGCGTGCGGGTGTCTCGAAAGTTCCTCAACCTTAAGGGAGAGCTCCAGGCTTCCCTTCAGGCGCCGGGGGGCGCCCCGAGCCGCTGGTGAGGCCTCCGGTTTTTCACTCGAAGTTTTCGGCCCTCGACGCGCGTACCGCGTTTTACAAACGCGGGCCCCTAGACGCCCCGTCGACGCGACATCATAAAAAACAAACAATTAGCTCTGGACCTCGTCGCGCAGCTCGAGGCTGACGCAGTCTTTTAGGTCCGGCGGCTTCGCCGTGCCGCAGATCGCGCTCTGCACCGCGACGCCGTCCGGGAAGGCTAAGCGCAGGGGCCCGCCCTTCGCGATCGGCTTCCCGTCCTCGTCGCTGTGCACGAGGAACCCTTTCATCAGGTCGGCCCGCGATATCGGCGCCGTCGCGACGCCGTCCGCAGCTTTAAAAACGCCCTCGGCGCAGACTGCCGACGCCTTGACGACGTTCAGCGGGCACGCCGCGAGCACGGCGGGCACCGACGCGCCGAGGTAACCTTGCTTAGAGCCGGACGGGACTGGCAATGAGGGCAATCGTTTGATAATGTGATCGATGGCCACGGACGCGATCTTCCCGTAGATCGGGTGCAGAATGACGAATGAAGGGCCCTCCGTGTCCGCGACGGCCTCAAAAAAGTCCCTGTATTTTGGTTTGAGTTTTGTGTTACAGTGCTCGCACCGCCGCGCAGCACGGACGACCCAGCCCCGTCCTAGATTTTCAGTAGTGCCGTGCAAGGCCGCGTCCCGCGTGAACGAAGCGTCGTCGCTGGCGTAGTCGATGTCCTCGCCGAAGCGCACGACGCCCACGATCAGACCCGCGTCGTCGTCATTCTTCACGACGACGGCGATATCGACGTCCTTACACCAATCCGGCAGCGCGTAGTCATGAATAGCGATGGTGCGCTTCCCATCAACCAAGTCCTGCGCTATTCCTGAGGCGAGCAATGGGCTGTGTTCATCGAGGCCCAGCCTTGTGAGGACCGTGGAGAAGCTGGACATCTTGTTGCAGTGTGGTGCGGTGGGCTACGGAGGCTGCGAAACAGGTGCGCAGCGTGCGTGCGATGCTGTGTACGCTGCGGCGCAGCTTATTAGGCCTGAGAAAACCCGCGTCGAAACAGAATTTGAATTCTAAGCCTCTTTCCCCGATGTCGAGGCCTCAATACGCGTCATGGAGAGTCGTCAAACGTCCAGAAAGGGCCGAACGTTAGGGCCAGGTCATCGCATCCAGCGCGGGCCAAATCTCGAATTTTGCCGCTCGCGACAGCCATAATAACGGCCGGGGGACTGCGAACAGGCGGTCCTCTCGCATAGTTCGCGCCTACGCAGCCACGAAGCGTAAGGCCGCTCGATTCGCCTGCGAACTTGTCCACTCTCACAGCCTCAGATTTTTGTTCGCGACGCCATGAAAGTGAAACAGATGGCGATCACGGGCCTCCTCGTCGGCGCCGCGCGAGGCCTGATCCCACGGACGACGTTCGGGACTCAGAAGCCCCTCGCGCGCGGCCTCGCGCGCCGCCGGGCCGCGCGAAAGCAGCAGCAGGCCCAGCGCATGCCTTCGACGCCGCCGGAGAAGGTCGACGGCCACGCGCGGCGCCTGTCGCAGCTCCAGGGCCACACCTGCCTCGTGCTGAACGCGGACTGGCAGCCCCTGTCGTACCTCCCGCGCGGCCCCCGCGTCAGAAACTTATATACGCGCACTAATCACGCCGTCGACGCGCCGCAGGCTCAGCGTCTGGTCGTGGCAGGACGCCGTCAAGGCCGCCTGGCAGGAGCGCGTCCACGTCGTGAGCTCCTACGACGTGCGCGTGCGGTCGGCGTCGGCCTCGTTCGCCATACCTTCAGTGGTGGTCCTCCGCAACTACGAGAAGCGCGGCGCCGAGAAGGCGCCCAAGTTTAGTAAAAGATTGATGATGCTGCGCGACGGCTACCGCTGCCAGTACTGCAAGGACTCCTTCCCGCCGTCGCTGCTCACGTGCGACCACGTCGTGCCGCGCGCCTACGGCGGCTCGTCGACGTGGGAGAACACCGTGTGTGCCTGCACGGCCTGCAACGCGAAGAAGGCGTCCTTATTACCGTCCCAACTCAAGGCCGTCGGCATGCGCCTGCCGAACCCGCGCGCGCCCTCGGCCTACGAGCTCGAGGCCGCCGCGCGGGGCCTCGCCGTCCACAACCTCCTGCGCAAGAAGAACGTCCACGTCTGTGTGGAAATCAACCAGTGAGTTAGGTTATGAACCTCCACGCCATCGAGCCGACGCGGCCACAGAGACAACGTCGCCTCGATGGCGTGGAATCGCCACGCCATCGCGCAGACGCAGCTACCGGAAAGCACGTCGCGTCGGTGGCGTGGGGCGCTCGAAATTTGATTTCCACACAGGTCCACGAGTCCTGGAAGATCCACATCGGCGCGGCCGACCTCAACGCGACGATGGCGAAGGTCGCGCGCGAGAACGAGGAGCTCTTCGCGACGGACGTCGAGCCGCGCAAGTTGGTAAAGCGCGACCGGAGCGTCGCCTACTCGCGGTAGATCATCATATTCCCCCCCCACTTGTATATTGTAAGAAGGCTATTATTTATTCGTTGTTTTCGCCGTCGCCGCCGGCGCCGTCCGGTCGTCGCCGCTCCTACTCTTCGGCGGCGTCGTTGTACGATGCTAGGAGGACGTCGCCGCCGCCGCCGCTGTCGTAAACCTGCGAAAGACAAGCGCCGAGACCGCCTTGGTCAGCAGCTTAGATTCATTCATTGAGTAAAGGAAGACCCCCGAGGAAGTGCACACTTCGTCCCAAGATGAGTGGAGATTGTGGGTGTGGATTGAAGGAGCAGTACGTGTCACCGAGATGCCTTGACATCGTCGAGCCACAGCACAGGGAATTCGAGCCGATACAAGTTGAAAGCGCGTCCGTCGCCGCCGCCGCCGCGATGACTTGACATCGTCGAGAGCTTTGGCAAGCCATGAGCACATGTATGTAAGTGGTGTGTAGAAAGCGTGATTTCCAGGAGCGGCTCAGTCGTCGTCATCGTCTTCGTCGTCGTCACTCTCGTCGAGGCCCGCCCACTGGCGGCCGCGCTACGGGAGCGGCTCGTTGGGGTCGCCGAAGCGCGTGTCGACGATTGAGGCGAGGCCTAGACGGGTCACGTCACTGCTACCGGTGATTGTGCGACGGCGAGGGGATCCCGAGATACGCCTCGGATGCGATTTTTGGCTGGACGACCATGCCAAGCCCAAACTGGGAGTGGGTGTTGCCCTGCATATAGTAGAGCGGCGAGTTACCAGGTTAAGTTCCGGTAAGGTAATTACCCGGTAATTACCTGGTAATTACCTGTAATTACCCTGTAATTACTGGTAATTACCAAGGCCGATATTCGTATAACGGGTTACTCCTGGCTGTAATCTAGTATGTCTAGCCAGTAGCTCAGCCTCGAGGGACTGTGACGGACTGAACTGAGATCCCCAGATAACAACACCCCACCGAATTTGGAGTTCTGGAACGGTGCCATTTTGGACCTTCAGGTCGAGCCGTCCCGTGCCTGCGGCTCTCGCCCGGCAGCAGTCTGCTGCCATGCTGCTGCAACACCTGCTCTCCTGGGCGGATTCGTGCGGCGCATCGATGCGTCGCTGTGAACGACGTGAACGATGACGGCTGCGAGCCGTGGCATTGTGCCCGGGTGCTCCAGGCATAGTGCGGTGCGCTTTGTACGCGGTTCGAGCCCCAGCGAGCGGTGGCGCTTGGCATCGTCGCTGGCTGCGCTGGTGCGGTGGCGGCGGCACGCGCGAGCGCTGGCCGTCGAGCGGTCTTCGCGAGCAGCGCGAGCGCGGCGCGAGAGGCGCTTCGAGGCCACTGCGCACAGCATGCCCAGTCCTCTCCGACCGTGTGCGCGCCGTGGTTCGGCGAGAGAGCGGCTGGGCGACGGGTGCGGCGTCGCCGCCCCCGCGTCGCCGCTGCACTTCGTGATATGCTTCGCACGCTTCCGGTGCGCGAGCACGCACCGCATGTAATGTAGAGCATGATCGACGCCGTCGCGAGCGGCGCAGTTGCTCTCCGGCCGTCCCTCGAGGCCGTCCATGCGCTGCGGGTCGACGCGACTCAGGAGCCTCTGGACGCCGCGCGCAAGACGCACGAGAACGACGCAGACGCCGGTCGCTGGAGGTCGGCACAGGCGTCGGCGACGTCGTGGGCTCCGGCGTCGGCTCACTGGAGGTCGGCGAAGGCGTCGGCTCACTGGAGGTCGGCGCAGGCGTCGGCGACGTCATGGGCTCGGGCGTCGGCGACGTCGTGGGCTCGGGCGTCGGCTCACTGGAGGAGTTCCCACTGCGGTCGACGGGGCGGCCGTGCGCCCTGAGGCTTCTTCGGCGCCGGGTGGCCGCATCGGATGCGTGTCGGCCTCGAAGGGCTCTGCGTGATTGGGGGTAGTACGATTAAGATAAGAAGAAACGCTAATTTAGGTTTCGGGGTCCGCCTTGCGGAGGCCTGGGGAGGGCGAGCACTCGAGCGCGGCCCGGCGCCTACTTGCACGCCTACTTCTTCGCCGAGAAGAAGGAGGAAATTTTGGGCTGGCCGCTCCACTCATAAGAGGAGGGGGGCTTCGCCTTGACCTCGTCTTCATTTCTAGGAGTGCCCTGGAGGAGGATGCGCGGCTTGCTGGATCGTCGGTACTTGGCGCACGTGGGACCGGTAGGGCGCAGCGGGCCGGTTTGGTGCCTGCGGGGTTGCCGGGGTTACGTCGGGGTATTCAGAGGCAGGCGACGCGCGGCGTTCCGCCCGCCGCGCGCAAAGCCCACGTCTGAATCAATTGTGTGGAAAAATGTCTGGTTTTGTCTGGAGGCGACCTCGCGCGGCCTGTAAGTTTCAGGGAGGCTCAGCGCGGGCTGTGAGAGGGCCCACGTATAGTTTTTGGGGTGAGGGGACGCCGCGCGCGACGGTGGAGGCAAGGATATTTTTGCCACTCACCTAGCGTCATAGACCTACTAGCCCCAGCTCGAGCCAAGCAAAAGCAGCGCAATCGCACCACACAGATCGAACTAAGCCGACTCCTGCTTCGATCGTGACCAAAAAGCATGGCGCAGAGCGATGCAACCGCGATCGCACCCCTCGTCGCATTGCTACGAGATGCAGCCTTGGCATTGCGGGATGCCAGCCCAGCAACTCGCGCCGGAGCTCGCTTAGCGCTCCAGGCCGACGCGCTTCGGGCCTTCCAGTCGTTCGCGGCCGCCGCCGGACACGACGCGAACGCGCACGCGGCCGCGGATGCGGAGCCCGTCTTGCGCGACGGCATCGCCGGGCTCCCGCCCGAGGTGTTCCAGACCATCATCTCCTTTGTGGGCTTCCGAGCGCTCTTCAACTGCGCCGTGACCTGCCGCGCGTTCCGCGACGCCCACGCGAACCTGCCGCAGCTGCTCTTACAAGGGCTCGCGCTGGATTACTATCCTCTGTTGCGCACGGTCGCACCAAGTGCACCGATTGCTGCGCAACCGCCACGCGACCTCATCAGAGTGTTTCGGTGCGCCCACCAACAAAACCTGGATTACTTAAGTGACTGGCCGCCGCAGCCACAATGTACTCTCGCTGAGTATCAGCTGATGCTCTCGCTCACTCACAATGGGGGTGAGCTCCACGCCGGAACCGGTGTGCTGGATGCCGATGGCGACAACACAGGGAGGTATATATTTTCGGTACCAGGTGGAGCGGTCACGGATCGGAGCCAACTTAACGATGTGCGGGCAAAAGTCATGGCTTCCCGTCAAGTCGGGAATAGGTTGCACTTCGCCTTGTTATATGAGGGTGGGGTCATGACGGACAACTACGACGATGATGACAGACCCGTAATCGAATTTGACTGGTTGCCAATTGCACGAGACCCGAGAAATAAGGCGCTGGCGTGGAAGATGCATTACTCTAGTGCTTTTGAGTACGCAGACCCAGAACTTCGCATCATCTGGAACGTCGACTGGACGGGCGAAACAGACCTTTCTGAGGAGACGGAGGTTGACGTACGCTTCGTGTTCTACGACTCGCAGAACGGGGAGGACTTCCCCCGTGACATGAGCTTGGCAGACACGTGCATGTGCATCGAGTCCTTCGTCGCGTGGTCTGATTAATATTATATTTACAATAGCCACCCACCGGGGTCCCCGTTAGTGTCGAATTACTGGATTTGAATTGGACGTGCGCGACGTCTCGCGGCGGCTCCGACGCGCAGCCATTAGTGCAGGTCGACCGGCCTCGCGTCGAGCAAGGATATTTTTGAGATGGTCCTGTCAGTTCGTCTGGCCCTGGGCGGTGCGTTTGCAGCGCTCAAGGAAGCAGTCAGAGCAAGAGGCAACATACTTTTAGGGGTACTATACTCTATACAGTATAGTACCACCCACATTTTTGTTTCGCTTCTAGCTCTTACCAGGTGTCAGCCACGGCTCGGAGGAGGTCCCGACGAGGCAAACCTCCAGCTCATCCGTACCTTAGCCCGATTCTTGTTTTGCAGGCAATTGCCTTGGCATTGGGCCTGTCTACGACCCGTATCGGGACTGCCTGTGCCTGTGTGGAAATCAACCAGTGAGTTATGTTTACGGGGACAACGTCGCATCGATAGCGTAAAGTCTCCACGCCATCGAGCTGACGCGGTCACGGGGACGACGTCGCGTCGGTGGCGGGGCGCCTGACATTCGATGTCCACACAGGCCTCTACTCGACGGGCGGTTCCAAGTTAAGAAGAAGTAGTGTAGAGAGCGGCAAGAAGGTCTGGGTCGTCGACCTGGCCGATGAAGCTCAAGACTCGCTACAACGATTCTACCCGGCGAAAGATGCGCCTGCACTCCGCGGGGCCATTCCTTCTCCTCCTCCTCTCTCCTCCCCGCCTCAGATATGGTGACTAAGACTGAGTCTACACATTAGTCGATGCCTCCGGCAAGGCCAAGTCCACGCACGAACCAATCGATAAAAACAAAATAAGGTTAACTAGGGCACGCCTTGGAATCGACCGCGCGCCGCCTCGCATCGTCCGCTTCATAATGAAACCGGTCCACGAGGTCCGGATGGGCGCTTTTCGTATAAAAGGCCAAATCATTCTCATCCAAATTCGCGTAGCGCGTCGCCTCCGACGCGTACCTCGAAAGAGCCGAGGCCCGGCCCGTGCCGTCGCCGCCCCCGTGGCCCCGCCCGAATTTGGCCGCATCCGAAAACGAGTCGAAGTCCCTCCTCAATTTGCCGCCGACGCACTCGCAGACGGCGCGCACCGTGCGCTTCGGAGCGAAGAGTAAGTCTTCGTACCGCACGATCAGCCGCGGGATCGCAGTATTGTAGTACTGAGCGTACCAGGAATTCCAAAAATCCAGCAAATGGGCGTACCGTTCCATGGGGAATCCTTTTTTAAAATTGACGGTCACGTTCCTCATAGCACGTAAGCGATTCGGATCCAAGGGCGAAGGACAACAACTACCTCTACCGAATCTAGCCGCGTAGGGCGTGCGGCACATGCTCCGCGCCCAGGTCAGCGGGTCTTTCACCAAGACCGCTGGTAAAACTTCAGAAATGTTGAAATGATCCAATCTATCAACGACGTGCCGCCCGCGAAAGTGCAAAGGGTTGTGCTTGCCCCAGGGCACCTGGAAGGGGTAGCCAATGCACTCGCCGCGCGCCATCATGGCCATCTTCTGCTTTTGAGGCATTTTCTCGGGGCACGCCTTGTCCACGACGCAATTCTTCCTCACGAGGTTTGTTAGTAAGTTGGTACCCGTGTTGAACAGACCGGCCGTCGCCGCCCTTCTGAATTCTGATGTTGTTTCTCGAAATGCAGCACATCTTTCCAATCCCAAAATCGCCGGCTTCCCATAAAAGTCTGGTATAGAATCGGCCTCGTCGTCGTCCTCGACGCTGCTCTCGAGGGCGTTCCCAAACGCGAGCGGGCCCTGGAGCCGCTCCTCAAAAATCTTCCTAGCTTCGGCGCGCTCGGCGGCCGTCGGTAATCCTTGTATTAATTCCTCCTCGGCGGCCGAGAGCGTCGTCTTTTGTTGTGTGCTGTCAGCTGCGCTGCGCTCCGTCGGCAGCGGCACGGCCGGCGCCGCGAAGTCGCTCGGCCGCCACGACGCCCCCTCGCGCGCGACGTGCGCGTCGTGCCGGCCCGCGTGCATGACCATGACGGCGACCTGGCAGCCGATGACGAAGGCCACCACGACCATCGGCGTGCAGACGCGCTGCTGCTGCTGCTGCGGCATCGTGGTGTACGCAGTTTTAGGAGCCGTAGCGCTGCCGCAGCATTGTGTGGGTGGTCCACATTGTTCCGCAGTCGTCCCAAAACGAGAGTTTAGTTACACTGTCTTAGTGTGTAGACCTGGGCAGCGATGTCCGCCACAGCGCGTCCGCACCAAAGACAGCAATTGCTGTCCTCCGCGACTGCTGTGGGCTTGAATGCACGCAGTGCGCCGCTGCGCCTGCAAGCGAGCTAGCGGCAGGTAAGACACTAGCAATTACAAATGAGGCTGCCCTAACTGGCAGGCATACTGGCTGCCACTCATCTCACCTTACCACAATATGCCCCGGGATCACTCACGCGAAGTGCTCGCGCACGCCATTGATGAGCTCGGCGTCCGAACGCTCCACGAGGCACTCGCGGAAGGCCTCGATGTTGAGGGCGCGCTCGGCGGCGGGGACGGTGGAGGCGGTGTACGCGGAGTAGGCGTCGTACGGCGTCACCTGCACCGGGAAGGCCGGGAGCTCGACGTCCGTGCTGCCGCGCCGCGAGGCCAGAGAGCCCTCGACGAGGACGTAGCGGCCGTCAACAGCGCTCGCTTGGAACAAGGCCACCTCGTAGGGGAGGCCGATGATGAGGGCGGGCCACCTGTGCGTACATCCAAGTGACCGTTCCGATCGGCGTCGAAGGGCCGTCGCGCGCGCGGTCTTCTTTCCTCGTGGCGCAGTTCCCGCGACTCCAGCACGCGCGGCGTCGCAGGGCCGCGCCCCCGCGGAGACGTGGCGCCACGTCATCGACGCGCAGCACGTCACACCCGCGGCGCTTCCGCTCGAAGAGCCGTCGCGTTGCGGCGCGGACTCCGTTTGATTTGGACACTGCTGGCCACCAGACGTCAATAAATTGCTTGTAGCGCCGTACGAAGTCGGGCAGGTCCTTCACCTCCCGCTCCGAGAACCGGAACCTATCTAATTCCCAGCAGCCGCCGCTGATGCACGGCGGCAGCTCGGAGTCGTAGTCCTCGCGCATGGCGTGGACCAAAGCCAACAAGAGAAACATCGACGTCGTCCGTATGCAGCAGTAGTGCGCCAAGAAGCGCGCCGCGTCCATGCTGTGCATTTCGGGAACATAATTCGGCACGTCGTCCACAACAATTAACGGAGCTAACTTGACGTTCAGGCGCGGCTCCCGGAGGCGGAAGACGAGCGCGCGCCGCCCGCTCGCGCGCACGACGAGGTCGGTTTGCGGGCTCTCCTGCAAAAGCAAGGCCGCGCGGCGCTCGCACTTGGCGTACTTCGTGTTGAGCGCGCGGAGGAGGCCGGCCTGGCTAAAGGTTTCGGGCTGGAGCCACGGAGGCAACGAACCCTTCAAAGAGATTGCGTGTGCGACGTCCTTCTTGCTCTGCTCCGAGTCCCAGACGATCTCGCGAGCCTTGTTCTCGCCCACGCGGCCTTGGGTGGCGAGGCGGTCTAAGGTATTGGAGCTGAAGGTAATTCGGCCGTCGCCGCCGCCGACAACGCCGCCAATGACAACACTGCTGATACTTGCGCCTGCATCGTCGTCGTCGTCGTCGTCGTCGTCGTTTACTTGCGACTCGGGCACGATCACTCTAGCGACGGCCTTGAAGCGAGGGAGGTAGACGGCGGCGTTGTAGATCCACGTCGAGACCCGCTTCATCTCCACGAAGCAGCAGATCACCGTGATCTTGAACTCGATCAAGTCCCCGTGCATCACCGCTCTCACCACTGCCACAGCGAGGGCGTTCACAACCGGCTGGTGGTTCAGGTCGAAGTATATGAAGCCGAACGTCATGGTCAGGAGGATCACGCAGCCGTGGAAGCACGCCGCGGCGTACGTCTTCCGCCGCTTGAGGGTGATCTCGCCTTGAACGTGTAACACAATCGCGGACATGAGGCACGCGAAGAGGAAGTCCACGACCGCCCCGCCGAAGGTGTCGACGAGCGGTCCCGGGGTGAAATTGTAGAGGATGGCTCCCGAGTGTAATAACAAAAAGACAGTCTGGCGCGCGGCCCAACCTAACACGCCGCGCTTCGTCCAGCGCTCTTTGAGGTCGTTTAAGTCCGTCGTGAGCGCCCCGGTGCTCATGCTGAAGTCGCGCGCCACGGTGGACACGCCGCGGTCGCGCTGCGACGCCCACGTCTTTATGGACAGCATGTGGCCCCCGACGAGCGCGCACATGGCCGTGAACGCCGTCCACGGCATGGCCGCCACGAGGCGCGACACGTATGAAGTCCTGTTCATACCATGTTGTACGAAGATGCCAAGGCCCCCGTACTTGGCCATCGCGCTGCCGACGCAAAGCGACCAGACCAGCATTGCTAATGTCGCCTCCCTTAGAGAGTACATTGCTGACGGTACCGCAGCAGCGTGCGGATCTTTTTTGTAGGAGTCGTTCGCAACGAACAGTGACGAATTTTGATCTGCAGGTGGTCCTCTTCGGTGGCTTCGCTGCGCCAAAAAAAGCCGGGACCTAGCGACCAGACACACTAGCTTCGCCTGCAAGTCGGGTTACTCTGCGCTCCAGTGTAGACCGTAGACCGTCCTACCGACTCGGGTGTATCTAATAAAATCATCATTTCTCCAACCGGCGTTAACGCGTCAAATCCCTGAAGCTATAAAAATTGTGTGAGTCGATGGCCAGTCTACCGAGGTGGACCGTTCACCTTTGTCCGCCGCCTTCTGACTGGGACCCGGGAGACGAGGATGCCCCCTAGTATTGCGCCAGCCGACGTGCCCATCTTATAAGACGGAAGACGACCAGTAGTAGAATAATAATAATAAATTCGTGAACCGTCTATCTATGATATCTAAAAAAAACAAAAACAAAGCACACTCGCTTCGCGGCCGCGGCCGCGGACACTGGCTATGACACAAACGCGTGCGCGTCGAGCGCGCCGTCGCCAGCCATGCGGAAATCAACGGCTTGTAAATGAATTTTTGCCGTGCAGCGATAGCTAGCGTCTATAAAGACACTAGCAAGGCAAAGGCAAGCTGTTGCGTCAAATCGTCGTGTTACGGCACCGCTGCGTGAGTTGCTTTCGCAAATTCACTTGGCGTTGCTGCTCACAGTTTTGCTGCGCCCGACGCCATCGCCGGCGTTTACAACTTTACCTAGGGAGGGGCACTTGGGCAGCCGACGCGTCGCCGCGGTGCGCTCACAGCGCGCGGCCATCATGGGCGGCGGTTCGGGCGTCGGCGGCTTCGAGGAGGACACGCTCAGCCCGCACCCCCTGCAGCAGACGGAGGAGGCGTTCCTCGAGGGCGTCCTCGGCGGCCGCCCGGCGCAGCCGCCGCCGCTCCAACGGACGACGAGCGCCTGGGGCGAGGCCCAGCAGCTGCGCGCGGCGCGGCGCGAGCTGAGTCTAGTCGTCGACGCGCGCCTCGGCCGGTGCGTCGAGGCGTCTACGCAGGAGACGGCGAGCGCCGCGGAGCTCAGAGCTGCTTTGAAGGCCGCCGCCGCGGCCGCGGCCGCCGCGCGCGACGCCGATCATGAGCGGCGGCAGGTCGATGATAGATTAGACGCCGCGCTCGACCGCCTCGGCGCGCCCGTCGAGGAGGACGCGAGCGACGGTGACTGGGTCGGCTCGAACAGACTCGAGGAGGCTATCAGCGCAGCGAAGGCGGCGGGCCGGGCCGAGGCGCTGGAGGCCCTCGGCGAGCGCGAGCGGCTGCGGGAGAAGTGCGAGCTCTACCGACAACGTATTGAGGAGCTCGAGAACAACATGGAAGACGTCGCCCTGGATGACACCGTGGATGCGAAGGTACATAATGAAGTGTTAGAGCGCCTCGAGGCGGCCGAGAAGAAGCTACGGTGCCTCATGGGCACGGAGCGCGGCCGGGCCATCGCCCAACTCGAGACGGAGCTCGAGGAGCGCGACGAGACCATCGCCGCGCTGCGCGAGGCGTTGGACCTGGCGGCGCGGCCGCGCTCGCCGCGGACGCCGCCTCCCCTAAAGCCGGCGCCCGTCGACCCGGGCGAGCTCGCGCTGGACCTCGCGACGCAGCCGGCCCCGCAGCCGGCCTACCTCATGCGCGCCGAGTCGCGCGCCTCGGAGGTGTCCTTCGACTCCGACGGGCCGGCGACGCCCGTAAAACCGTCGACGGCCCACCTCCTGCGGCCGGTGCCGCTCGCGGGCGAGACGCACCACCGCGTGATCCAGGTCGCGGGGGACACGTTCGTGGTCTGATGCTTTGGCGGTAAATGTATTTAGTAGACTACCAGCCCTCCGTCGTGTAGGGCTGGGACCTCACAATGAGGTTGTCGATGGGCACCGGCGGCGCCTGCATAACTTTCTCAACGACGGAATTCGGGACGGCCCCCGCGCCGACGGGCGTGTTGAACATGTACTGCTGGGCGGAGTAGCCCGGCTCCGTGTCGGGGACCGGGCACAACGCCGAATCGATACCCTCCGTGGGAAACGGCAAATCCCACGCCGTCGCCTCGACCAGCGCGTCGTAGCGCGCACCTAGTTCCCCGGCCGTCTCGTAGTTGTACGTCATTTGTAGAGCCTGGTAGGCCAAATCCCGCGTTTCGTCCGTCGTGCCCTCGTAGGTGGCCCGTTCGGGTTCTAACAGATGACCGCACGGAGGGTAAGATGTAGTCACGTCCTGGATCGCCTGGAGGAAGTCGCCGCTGCACTCGCTCTTCATCATGGCTTGAAAGTCCTTTTTATCTTTTTCGGCGTACATTTGGTCGTAGGTCGGGATGAGGTTGTAGAAGATGTCGTTCTTGCTGCAAGAGGCCAGAATTCTACAAATGATCTCCTCGTCCGTGCCCGTGTCTACCAAATCTTCGACTTTTGTAGCGACGTGTAATCTATGGGCGAGGAACTCCCATTTCGGCGTGCAGTGCGCGAGTAGAGCCGTCCGGAAGTTCCCACTGAGACCCTTCTCGAGCGTCTTTCTCAGCGACCGCTTCGTCTTGGGGTGGTTCTCGTAGGCCTGTTCGAGGTACGCGATGTGCTCCGGCGACGCCTTGGCCAGGATTTCGAGGAAGGGCCCTTCGTCGGTCGAAATCAGATTCGCCTCGCAGGCCTTGTACAGGCGATGGGCCTCGTCCTCGAGTTGCTGCGGACTCCCGGCCCAGCCCTCCTCGCGGTCAAATTCGGCGAGGCGCGCGATCCACTTCCCGTAGTCGCCCGTGTACAACGTGCCGCCCGTCGCGTGCTTCAACGCGTCGCTCAGCGACTTGCCCGTGTCCTTCTCGTAGACTTGGGCCGCGGCTCGCAGTTCTTCATTGGTCCGAGTAGATAAAATCTCACACAGCGCCGCGGGATCGGAGAAGAAGCCGCCCATCTTCCTCTGTAAAAAGTAGGCCGTCTGCCGCGCGTCGGGCATCATGCGCCACGTGCACAAGCGCGCAAAGTCCGACAGCCCGTCATCTAACTGCGTCCAGAAGGACCAGGACTCGCCGCGGATCATCTTGAAGATCGACACGCCGCTTTCCGCTTCCACGAGATTCTGCATGTCCTGCAGCTGGTGCCGCGTCCGCGCGTTCGTGACTTTGGAGATGCGTTTTTCATCGCAGCCCATGCCCTTGCAGGCCTCGACAATCTCCTTGTAGTCCGTATGGATCACGTGGCGCTTATAGACTTCCAGAGCGTGCTCGTCGCAGCCGACCATGTGATCGGCGTCGGACCATCTTCGTTGACAGACTTCGACGGCCCGCCACAGGAAGGCGTGCTCCCGATAGTACTTCTTCCTGTCTGCTTCCTTCTGCGCTTGGGCTTGCAAGAGCTCGGCCTGCGACGCGAGCAGCGCCTGGCCGTACTCCTGGGCGCCCTTGACTTCCTGCTCTAAATCGCGCTTCCTCCTTTTGAGGTCGGCGAGGGGGTCGCCCTCGAACTCGTCGCCCTCGGGCTCGACGGGCGCGCTCGAGATGCAGCCCATGGTTCCAGCCTTTTAAGCAGCCCAAAGTTAAGCCCACGAGGCGTCCTTGAAGGGGCTGTCGTGCGCTCTGGCTGCTGGACTGTCTCGCGGCAGCCCGAAGCGAAGCCCACGACGCGTCGACCCGCGCCCGGGGAGCAAAGGGCAGCCCGCTCTCCCCAAGTTTCAAGGCGCTGAAGGTGCGGGGCGCGGAAGCGTCTGTTACTTGCGAGTAGCCGTGGGAGACTCCTCCGGTACCGCTGCCACCAATGCGACTCGGGCCGCGCGTAAATTTACTCCCTAGCTCGCCTTCGCGGCGGGGGCCGTACTCGCGAGGCCGCGGCCGGCGACCATCGCCCCGAGCCACACCGCGGCCGGGAGTGAGCCCGTCCCGACGCTCACGACGCCGGGGCCCGGGCACAGCCCGCCGAGGCCCCAGCCCGCGCCAAAACACGCGCCGCCGACGAGCGTCTTCGCGTCGAGCGGCCGGCCCGCGTAGGCCCGCATCGGCGGCAGGTCCACGAGCCCGAGGACGCGCCACGCCACACCAACGACGAGCAGCGCGCCGCCCATGACGAAGGCCAGCGACGGGTCCCAGCCCCGCGCCGCCGAGAAGTGCAGGAAACCCTCGATCTTCGACGGTTTCACCATCGCCGCAAGCACGAGCGACGCGGCGAAGCCGCAGCCCCCCAACACGTTGCTCACTTTTTTGTTCGTCCGCGTGAAGAACTGGGCGACGGCGACACTCGCGACGGCGCGCGCGAGCGGCCACGAGAACCCTGATGATGCCGCTGGCGCGAAGTCGTTTCCCACCAGGTACGCGGCGAGGCCCCCCGTGGCCATGAACACCAGGACGAATCCAAAGCTCGCCTTGGAGAAACAGGCCAGGCCCTGGATGCCGTTGCCGCAGGTGCAGCCCGCACCCATTTTTGAACCCGCCCCCACTAACAACCCAGCGACGCCGAGTCTCACGAGGCCCAGGCCCCGTAATGAATCTCCCTCAAAAGACGCGTCGTCGACGAGGGCGAAGAACGGGTTCGACACCAACGCGAAGGCGCCGGCCACCATGCCGGTCCAGACCTCGGCGTCCGGCGTGGCCGACGGCAGGAGGCGCTGGTTCGTCTGCGCGAAGATCGTCGCCACGGCGCCGATGCCCATGCCTCCGACGGCCGCGGCCAGGGCGCTGTCCTGGGTGAACTCCGGGGAGAGGTGCATGGCTAGACTGCCACTGTTTCCTTGTTGTGGGCAGCCTCTCTTGGCGACTGGCGTGCTGCGGCGCACTGTTTCCTTGCTTGGGCAGAGCCTCTCTTGTGTTGTGCCCGCACGGAGAGCCTCGAGCGTCCGCTCCAAAGGCTCCCGCGATCCGTCGCCGGACCCGACCCCTCCGCGACGACGCATGCGCGCGTCTCGCGCGAATTCCAAAATCCAAGCATCTCCCAGCGCCAGGCTTGCGTGCCCATCTCCGGCAGCCCCAGGCCCGCCGCCACGGCCAGGACTGGGCGGCAGCGTCTACGGAGGGAGCCCTCCTCGCTCGGACGGAGCCGCACCCCACGCCACCGCATTGATCGACGGAGCAACCGGCATCCAGGATGGACCCGGCCACAGTACAAGCCCTGCGCGACACGAAGCAGCTCTTGGACGATGGTATTATTACGGAGGCGGACTTCGAGGCCAAGAAGGCCGAGCTCCTCGGCCAGCCCGCGCCCGAGACGCCCGCCGCCGAGCCCGAGCCCGCCGTCGATCCGGAGGAGGCGGCGCTCCGCGCGGCCATCGCCGGGCTGGAGGCGGAGCTGACCGCCCACAACGAGCAGAACGCCTACTACGAGGGCGAGAACGCGCAGATCGAGCAGGAGAATGCCCAGCTCGACGCGGAGATCGCGCAGAAGAGCCAGGAGGTCGAGGAGCTCAAGGGCCAGTACTTCCAGGCCGTCGCCGAGGGGTTGAAGCTGGGCAAGATGCACCAGTTGTTAGCTTGTGACATTAGGCAGATCAACGCCTTCAACTGCGGGCGCGACGTGGAACGGATCGAACGAGCTATTGCTGGGTGGGGCACGAACGAACGGATGCTGCTCGATGTCTTGACGGCGCGATCCAAGGAGCAACTCCTAGGTATCGCGCAGGAGTACGAGGCGAAGCACGGCAAGGCGTTGTTGCCCGTGCTCAAGTCGGAGCTGTCTGGGTTCCTCTGGGACTCGCCTTTGCCGTACCTCGTGAGGTGTCTCTTGACACCTTCCGAGGATTTGGATGTGGAGTTCCTGCACGACAGCATGGCGGGCTGGGGCACGAACGACGGGCAGCTCATCGAGGTGCTCGGGACACGGTCGGCCTTTGAACTGAAATATGCCTCAGACAACTTCAAGGAGAAGTACGGGAAGGACCTGCGGAGCGCCGTCGACGGCGACACGTCGGGCAAGTACTCTGAGTTATTGTTAGCATTTGTGGACGCCATTCCCACGCGACGAGAAGGCGACAAGCCGGAGGACAACGACGTCATCGAGATGTACGCTACCTCCATCCATGATGGACTGGAGCCGGATTCCGAGGACTGCGTCGCCCCTTTGGAAGGGTTTCTGCCCGAGGCGTCCGCGGCGGATATCCGAGCGCTGAAGAAGAAGTACGCCGAACTTTATGGAGGCGAGGACGTCGTCGAGAAGGTTAGGACAGACAAACGTTTTGATAGTATGTGGGAGAGCGAGAACGGCCGAAGCAACCTCAGGATGCTGTTGCTATCGAGGCTGCACGAGCCCGTGACCTACGGCGCGATCGTCATCGACCACGCGCTGAAAGCAGGATTTTTAGGAGGTGGCTTCGACGGCGTCGACGAGAAGGCTTTATCAAGGGTCTTGGGCCGCCACGACAAGAACTTCGTTTTTAAAATTGCGAAGCGCCACGACGAGCTGTTCCCGGACAAGCCCCTGCAGGGGCGCTTCGAGAAGAGTTTGAAAGGTGATTTTCGCGCCGCTTGTTTGGGCATCTGCTTCGGGGCGAACGAGTCTGATTTATCTGGCGTCGGCGAGGCCGCCGCGGGCGAGTAAGGAGTTTCCGGGACTCGTGGGCGGGGGAAACGCGGCAAACGCCGCGCGGTGGCGTGGGTGTGGGACGTCAGGCTCAGGCTAGTTACGTCGCGGGGTCCCCCGTACCCCTCCCGTATGCTAGTATGTTACCGGCCGCTAGGAATTCGTCGAGTAGCTTCCGCGTGTCGCTCCAGAGCCATACCGCTCGGTATAACTGATTGCCGCTAGCGCATACGTTCGCATCGCTGCCAGACGACGCTAACCGAGCGCTCAGCAAGACAGCAACGCCATCGGCGCGCCCCGAAAACAAAACAAGCAGCCACAGCCACACCATGGCGCGCCGGCGCAAAGCGCTCATCGCTCTCCTCACAGTCACCGCAGCACGCGCGTCGCCCCTCCATTCACTAAGAGACACCTGGAGCAGAGCCGCCATGGGCTACTGCGAGATGGCTCCGAGGGCTGGCGACGTCGACACGTGCGCGTGCAGTTTCGACGTGGTGGATGCGGCGACGTCGGAGGTCTTCGGACCTTTGTTGAGGAATCTTACTCAACGTCGCTTCTTCCGCTACTTTAAAGTAGCTTTGGATCGACCTTGCAAATACTGGCCCGACGACGGGCAATGTGCGCGGGAAAGCTGCGCCGTGCGCGTCTGCACCGACGAGGAGGCGCCGTCGAAATGGGTCGAGGAGGATCGGAACCGATCCGCCTGGAAGCAGCCCAAGGACGAAGCGACGCCGGGCTTCCTCTGTTCTTCGGAGTTACAGGTAGTAGATCGGCAAGAAGACTCGGATACATGGCAAGAGCAGGGCGGCGACGAGGTTTGGATCGACCAGGGCGACGACGAGCAGATGAACTACGTTGACCTATTAAGGAATCCCGAGGGCTACACGGGCTACGACGGCGAACAAGCTCATAGAATTTGGCGATCTATATATGAAGAGAACTGCTTCGACCTGGAGAGGACGCCTCCCAAGGAACAGCTTTTGTTAGCGTGGCGGTCCGAGGAACCCAAGCACAGTGGCCAATGCTTGGAACGTAGAGTCTTCTACAAGCTGATTAGTGGTCTACAAGCTTCCATATCAACACACATCGCGGTCTCGCCCTTCACCTTCTGGGAGGTCGTGATGAGTGCGCCGGCGTCGCTACGTCGAAGATGGCAGGCCTTTATTGGCGCTACAGTAGCGCGCTGCGCGGTAGATGACAAGGTCTGCCACGCGCTGTCGAACGACGCTATATTTCTTAACAGGGTCGGGGCCCATGAAGACAGGTTGCAGAACCTGTACTTCGCCTATTTATTCGTATTACGAGCAGTCACGAGAGCGGGACCGGAGCTCGAGAACTACGCTTTTGATACTGGTGATGCTGCAGATGACGTGGAAACGGCGAAGATGATCCGGCGACTCGTCGCCAGTCGTTCGGATCCCTTCAGCAAGGAGGACGATACGTGTGAAGCCGCGCAAGCGGCGCGAGCGGCTTTCGACGAGAGCTTACTATTCAAGGCTCCCGACCGGCCGGGTATGTCGCCTTTGGAACGGGCACTGGCGCGAGAGTCCGTCGAGGAATTGCGGGCGCAGTTCGTCCAAAGATTTAGAAACGTGTCGACGATCATGGACTGCGTGTCCTGCGAGAAGTGTCGGCTGTGGGGCAAGCTCCAGGTGCTCGGGTTGGGCACGGCGCTCAAGATATTATTGATGGAGGGCGACGTGTTGGGCTATGGTGTCCTCCAGAGGAACGAGGTCGTCGCCTTGGTGAACACTTTAGCTCAGTTAGCTAAATCGGTGGATAGTATTCGGGACTGGCAGCGGCGCGACGTCCGCAAGGCGCACGCGCATTTTGCCGTTTGTTGCTTTGGGGTGTTTTTGTTGGGGCTTTGCTTGGTGGTTTGTGGGTTGCGGTTGGTGCGGCGCAAGGCGAAGATGGCGTAGGCTATGTGTAATATTGATCGTTGATTATTTATCCCCGGCGGGCGGCGTTTCGTGGGCGCGGAGCAATGCCCACGCCTCTCGCAGAGCCCCTTCAATCCCCATTGTGAGCGGGTGCGTGCCACCCATCACGCGCCGCGCGGTCCGCTCCGTCTCCTCGAGCGTCGTCACGGCCTCGTGTAGATCGTCGAGTGAGGCGGCGGAGTCCTCGTAGAGCGCCATCGCGTAAATCCACCGCATCCTGAGCGTGAGATCATGATTCTCGCCAAGAACACGTCGCGCCACGGGAATCGTTTTGCGCAACAGTGACCTGGCTTCTGCGTAGCGCTTTAGACCGCAAAGGGCATTCGCGTAGTTGCAGGCGTCTCCTAGGGTTTCTCTACTTTCCTCGCCATATAGCTTCAATGTTCCAGAGTATACGTCTCCCTGCGTACGTATGCAGTCTTCAAGTCTCCCAAGTGATCTATAGGTGCCCGCGAGATTGGTCTGCACGACGAGAATGCTGCTTTCCGATGCGCCATGCTGGCAAGTGGAATCACAGTAGCGGGTCCAACATCTAACGCAACGCGGCGCGTTGTGGGCCAGTGGGGCGGCGCAGGCGGCGCAGTTTGTGAGGATCATCTTGCGTTTTGCGGCGAGCTATTGGGCTTTGCGCGGCGGCTTGATCGGCTTGCAAAACCCGATTTTTTCAACGCACAAAAAACACGCGAACGCTCTACGCGACCACGCGATCAAAACGCAGCCTTACACCGCCCCCATCAGCCCCCTCAACTCACTCTGCGCCGCCGACAGCTTCCGATAACACGCGTACTTCGCGTCGTGGAAGGCTGCTAGAGACGCGTCCGGTTTGATGGTAGAGCCGGGCCGCGTCATCGCCGCCATCGCCGTCTCCACATCTTTAAATTTGCCGGCGCCCGTCGCGCCCAGCACGGCCGCCCCCAACATCACGGCCTCCTCTTCCTCGGGCAGTACTACATTCACATGTAGAGCATCAGCAACAGTCTGGACGAAGACCGGATTCTTCGCTAATCCTCCTGTAATCAACACCTCCGTGATCGGCGCTCTCCCTGAATCGACGAGTTGGTCGACGATATGTCGCGTCTGGTAGGCTATTGATTGTACTGCTGCTAAATACAAAACAGCCAGAGCGTCCATCGAGTTGTCGCAGGACAACCCCACCACAGAACCTAGTCTAGACGGATCGGCCAGAGGCGCTCTATTCCCTCGAAAGTCGGGGTCGACGTGGACGTGCCGCGCGAGCAAAGCCACGGAGGGACCCATCGTCGCCAAGTGGTTATTTAGGTAAGCGTAGTCGTTCTGGTCCGCCGGTATTTGAGCATATGCCGCATGATTCTGCACTAAGAAGTCTAACAATTGACCCGCGGCCGAGATGCCGCCTTCGTTCAGGTAGTAGCCGGGGACCATGGCCCCCCAGTAGGGGCCCCACACACCCTTAGCGAAGCACGGCTGTTCGGTCGAGCACATGTGGCAGGCCGACGTCCCGGCTATCAGTGCCAATCTACCTTCCATGGGGTGTTGTGACGCCCCGACGCACCCGATTCCGCCCGCGTGCGCATCAATAATGCCGACGCCCACCTTGACTGTCGTACTGAGTCCCAAGTCTGAAGATGCTTTTTGAGTTAGCGTTCCTAACTCGGAACCGGGCGCCTTGAACTCACCACCGATGTCGCACTGCGCTCGTAAGGATGACAACCCCACACTCGCCAAAAAGTCGTCGTTCCACCGCGCACCGTTACTATCCGCGTCGAGGTTCCACTTGCAGACTAACGTACATAAAGATCTCACATTAACGCCAGAAGCCCTCCACGTCAGGTAATCAGCTAAATCAAATAATTTCCCCCGTGCACATGCGGGCTTGTGTTTGGAAAGCCACATGATCTTGGGGATCTCCATCTCTGGGCTGATGACACCGCCCACAGTGTTTAATGCCGAGTGGCCTTTTTCATTGACAGCTCTCGCTTCCTGTTCCGAGCGGTGGTCCATCCACACGATGATATTCCTCTCATTTGCCGAGTCTTGTTCGTCGGAGACGGATAGAGGTTCCCCAGAGCTATCTAACACGACCAACGAACACGTTGCATCAAAACTGATGCCGACGACTCTATCTTTAGCGATATCCCCCAAAGCTTCCTTGACGGCTTCCGAACAGCTCCTCCAAATATTTTCCGAGGACTGCTCGACAAAGTCACCTCCGTTATACGTCCAGGTCTTGATGTTCCGCGTCGCGCTGCCTAGGCGCTTTCCTGCGAGGTCGAAGACGCCCGCTCGTGCGCTTCCCGTGCCGACGTCGACGCCGATGACTAAATCACTCATGCCTGTGTGAACTGTGTTATGTCGCGTCTCGCTCGAGCCGCGCGTCGGCTTGTGTTTTGTGTGTCGGCTCAGCTAATGAGATTCCACTGCAGAATTCCTCAACATTCAATAAGTTCTGTTGTCCCTATCTGGTTGTGTCGTCTTCGCCGCGTCGACGTCGTGTTTGCTGGACGCTGCTGGGCTTGCTGTGTTTTTTGTGCTGTATGCTCTGCGAGAGAGCAGACGGCTTTTGCGGCAGCGCTTCTTTGAGTGATTAATGCGACTCGTGCGCTGCTCAGAGTGTTGGTGGAGCTTCAGATCGGTGTGTTTGCCAACCTGCAGCAGCCTCATCACCAAAGAGAGCAGCTCTCTGAAACTCCGTTTTTTGGCACGCGAGCTGTCCAAATTCGTCTTGCATCCGTGTTTCCGACGAGATAGAGGTAATTCGAACATCGGACAAAACCCGAATCAAAATGCGCCACGCCTGTCTTTTGTTGCACGCCCCGCTGCCAAATACGCACTCTCGTTGCACTCAAAGCTAGCCAAGGCTTCCATACGTCCTATAGGCAACGGTGGACCCAAATCGCCACTCACCGATTCACGCGTCACTATGATCAGACGACGCACTCTCCTGCTGCTCGCCACTGCCGAGGCGTTAGTCGCACCGGTGACACGACGGACAACGACAAAATTGCACGCCATCGACGCGGTCGTCCTCGAGCAGTGCGCCGGCTACGCGGCGATCCCCACGTGCTTTGTGGGCACCGGCGCGTTCCTGCTCGGGAGAGAACCGGAGGGCACAAAACTCGAAGGCGCGCTGTTAGGCAACAACGGCGAAGTATTGACGAATGACCCCGTCGAGGAGGGGGAGGTGGACATCTATAGGGATACCGCATTACGATATGCGGGCTACGCGAACGAAGTCGGCGAGGCCTTCGCCCCATTAACACCGGGCTGGTGCGTGCCCTTCTCGTATGCGGTCGCGATCACGTACGTCATCGCGGACACTATTGATAAGACGAAGAAAGTCTTAGATGGGACCAAGTACGCGGGTGACAACATAAACACTTGTGCTGCCATCGAAGGTGTGGATGCCCTGATCTGGCAGCTCGCGGCTTCCGTCGCGCTGCCGGGGTATACCATTCATCAGCTGGTGGCGATTGTCGTCGCTCTGTTAGATGCATCAGGCGTGGACCAGAGCGGCGTGATCTCGGCGCTGCCGACCGCGTGCGGCCTCGCGATGATCCCGTTCATCGTGAAGCCGCTCGACGAGCTCGCGGAGGTCGCCATGGACGTGACCTTCCGCAAGGTGTCGGCGCCTTACTTGGAGTCGTGCGAGGTGTAGGTTCGGCGCAGTAGTAAATCTAGGAACTCACATACTTTACTCAGGGCATGGCGACGGAGGCGACCTGATCGAAGGCGTCGTAGCGGATCGGGAGATTGATCGGTTTCTTCCAGGCTGCTACGTCATGCCCGAAACTATTGTCCCGCCGCACGTAGAAGTGTACGCTACAAGACGACGCGCCTCTCTCTCCTTTCTCTAACTGCATTAAGTAATCGTCCGGGCCGTTGTGGTTGACCACCCCGAGCACGTATTTCGGGCCGCGTGCCGTATGTCTCGGCAAGCCTCCATTAATGCTAACCCACACTTCGCTAATCGTGTCGTAGGCCATGTGGTCATTACCGTAACCCAGGCGTCGGGGAATAGGGCTACGATGACGCAGCACGTGGACGAGGCCCCTGTGGTAAAAGAGGCTCGGGCTGTATTGATCAAGGTACCGAGCTGCTAAAGGAATGTCGACGCGCCTCCACGTCTCCGAAAGAACGTCGAACACACAAAAGTGGGAGAGATAACGGTCGCAGATGAAAATTTCACCTTCCGCGGCGACCGTGATCAATGAGTCCAAATTATCCCCATAGACGCGGTAGCTCAACCCCATCGACTGCGGCATCGAAGGGAGCTCGACCCATTCCTGAGAGTTCGCATCCCAAGACCAGAAAAGGATGCTGTTCTGGGCCGGGGCCATAGTACCATAAGGGTGCTCTTTGAATGCGCCGCCAAAGAGACGGCCCGCGCAGCCGAGTGCGAAGAAATTTATAGGGCACGAAGGCGGCAGCTGCATGCTGAACCAAGAATCGTCAACGGCGTCGTGCACGGCCACAGCACAGCTGCCATCTGATCTCACGCCGCCGGCGATAAAGAGCTCGGTACCAATGACCGTGATACCCGAACCCCAGAACCTAATATCGCTGTCTAAGTCGATGCGCATTTCCGGTGGCATCGGAGCCAGGCGCCGCCACATTCGCCCGGACACCAGGGCCAGCAAGCCACAGTCGCGCGTGACAGCAACGAACGTCTCCTCCGTGATGTCCTCGGCGCGCCGCGCCTTGACGAAGCGCTCGCTGCGCATCAATGCTCGAAAGCCGGTCGAGCAATCCGCGACGGCGTCGTGGTCTTCGCGCGGTACCCGCGCAAGACACGAAAGTACGACGTGCTCCGGTAGGATCTGAAACGCTCCGAGGTGCGACATTTTGGCTCTCCGCGCCATAGCTTTGACCATTCCGCGTCGCGGCTCGACAAAACGCGGGCCGGCTCTGGCGCCAAGGCCTCTGAGCTCCTCAAGACTAGCGGCCATAGCGCTGGCGCAGTGCTGGGGTCGTCTCGTGCAAAACACAGAGGAGCTAGCGGCATGTAAGGCACTAGCACAGAACCGAGCGCAATGGCCGCATGCAACAACCACAGCTCAAATCGTATCCGCGCAGTCTCCCGTGACCGCATTGGTGCCGCCTGATGCGCCGATACCAACGCGTACTCATGCTGCTGGAACTCGTGCGCCATGCGAGGAGCCTCACCACCTTCCCCGCGCACGCCTATTCCAAAGAACTGACAGCCGCCGTGGCAGCAGTACGACGAGCCGCACAGATCACGACAAAATTACAAAGGGACCTCGCCAACGTCGAAAGTGCGACCAAGGACGACGCCTCCCCGGTGACGGTGGCGGACGTGGCTGCCCAGTGCGTCGTCATCGATGCGCTATCATCATTATTTCCGGACGACGGCTTCGTGGCCGAGGAGAGCGCGGCGGATCTGCTGGAGCGGGGCGAGCGTAGGTGTATAGAGGCCGCGGCGGCAGCTGCTGATGTGTCCGTCGAGGAGCTCTGCAACATCGTGGACACGCGCCGACCAAACTCCAAAAGATGGTGGGTCCTGGACCCCATCGATGGGACGAAAGGGTTCCTGAGAGGCGCGCAGTACTGCACGGCGCTCTCATTGATCGACGTTTATGAGGGAGATTATGAACGAGAAGCGGTCGTTGGTGTGTTAGGGTGCCCAAATCTCGAAAGGGACGGGAGCTTACGTGAGGGAAGTGATGGCGACGGGGTCGTGGTGGCGGCGGCGCGCGGCGCCGGTTGTTTTATGACTCCTTACGCCGAGGATGACTGGACGCCGTTAACTACCACACAACGTGCATCGTGGACCGACGGTCTGTTGATCGAGGGCGTCGCGGCCTCGCATTCGGACCACGGCGCTTCTGAGAGAGCGGCCCGAACCCTCAAACTAAAAAGTGAGCCGGTGCGCCTCGACAGCCAGGCGAAGCACGCCTTGCTGGCGGGCGGCCGCGGCGATCTTTTTACGAGGCTGCCGCGGCCGGGCTACGTCGAGCGCGTCTGGGACTTTGCTGCGGCCAAATGCGTGGTGGAGGAGGCGGGCGGCGCCATCACCGACCTGAAGGGTAGGCCCATCGACGTCGGATTGGGAACATACTTAGACGCGAGCGTCGAGGGCATCGTCGCGTCGGGCGCGCCGGCTTTACATCGAGAGGCGTTGGACGCGGTGAACGCGGGGCTGGCGGCTAAGGACTAGGTAACTGTGCGTCGATGGCGTGGAGGGGGGCGTTGTATCTGTTACGGTGCTAGGGCTAGTGGGCGGAGCCGCGATGCAGCGGCGCGGGCCGAAAAGCAACACCCGCGGCGCCGGAGCCGTACAGCGCCTCCGACGAGCACCTTGTAGAGGTGGCGACGGGCGCGACGCCCGAACCAAGGCGGGGCGCCGGCGAGCCGCAGCTACAAGGCTCATGAGTGAACGCCGCAGAGGCTGCCTTTACGTGCTCGCAACGCGACGACCATGGGCGGAGGTGAGCCATAACTTCGTCCAGAGGCGCCGCCGCCCCGCGCGCCCCGCTTGTCCAAAAAAGGGCAGCCGCCGCGCGCCCGCGCGCCCACCCCCATACATTGCAGCCCCAACACCTCGCTACGCGCGTCGCAGGCGCGAGCGTCCCGTCGGACATGAAGCAGAAGGTATGAGAACCGGCGTCCCGACCCAACCACGACGGCGCGCCGCGCGCCGCCGTCGCGCGACGCACACACAAGGCGCGTCCGCCGCCGCCACTCTCGTCTCATCTCTCCGCGTCGCGGCGACGGCGTATGGACAGCGCTCACCTCACGCCATCGAAGCGACGGTCGCGGCGATGGCGTGGGGGCCGCACGCCGTCGACGCGACGACGCTTTCGGCCTTCGACGCCAGGACGACGCGACGCGACGCAGGTCCACGCGGCCTTCGACGTGCAAGATACCGAGGCCTGGTCCAACGCCGACGATTTGAGGACGCCGTCCGAGGTCAAGGCCGAGCTCGCGCGCTTACGACAACTCGCGCTCGCGTGCGTCACCGCGAAGATGGACAACAAGAAAGTTAATGACAAAATTGATTTGAACGCTCCCAAAAAAGCAGCGGTCTACAAGGCGCCTTTGGTGCGAGAAGCCATTGCGCGGTGCCTGTCGTCGAACCCCCTCTTCAAGCGGTGCCGCCCGGAGGAGAAAGAAGAATTGTTAGGACAGTTCGAGAAAGTCCAATTTACGAAGGGTAGTACGATTATCAAACAGGGCGACGAAGGGGCTACCTTCTATGTGGTCGAGGACGGTGTGTGTGACGCCTTCATCAAAGGAACGTCCAAAGCTGTCGCGTCTCCGGGGCCCGGTTCGGGGTTCGGTGAGCTGGCACTGATGTACAACACCCCCAGAGCGGCGACGATCGTGGCTCGCACGCCCGTCATATTGTGGAAGATTGAGAGATCTGAATATCGCTTAGTACTGGCTTCGCACGCGAAGCAACGGAGTGATGAATATAAAGCTTTGTTAGCTGAAGTGGAGTTGATCAATTCAGAGGGCACGAAGAAGCGCCCGCTCAAACACTGCATCACGGACCAGCAGATGACGAAACTCGCGGATGCCATGGACGAAGATGTGGTCCCTGCGGGCCAGAACGTGATCGTCCAGGGCGACGAAGGCCATACCTTCTTCGTGATCGCGGACGGTGATGTCGATGTCTACGTCGATAATAGTAAGGTCAATACGTTGGGTAGAGGTCGCTACTTCGGCGAAGTCGCTCTTATTAGGGATGACAAGAGAAACGCCACCATAACCGCGGGAAGAACTGGAGCCAAGGTACTAGCTGTTGATCGGGAAGACTTTGTCGCGTTGTTAGGTGACATTGATGCTCTCATCTCAAGTGGTTCGTCGGAAGAAGTGGAGGTTGACTTAACGAAGCGCGACGCGGCCCAGATTGGACTTAAGGATCTAACAGTGATAAGAACGTTAGGACACGGCGCCTTCGGTACGGTAGCATTGGCGTGCCATGAAGCGTCCGGGCGACACTATGCCCTCAAGTCGCAGGCCAAGCACGCGATCTGCGAGAACAATCTCCAGGAACACGTGTTGATGGAGCGAGAAATACTGATGATGCTCGACCACCCCTTCATTCTCAAGCTCGTGTGTGCGTTCCAAGATGACTACGACGTGTACTTCTTACTTGAACTACTCATCGGAGGTGAGTTGTTTTCTCATTTACGACGTGCTGGTAGATTTGACGAGCCTTCAGCTAAATTCTACGCGGCTGGTGTCGTGCTGGCTTTCGAGCACATGCACGCCAAGAAGGTCGCCTACCGAGACTTAAAACCGGAAAACTTAGTGCTAGACAACCGAGGCTACGTCAAGCTCGTCGACCTCGGCCTGGCCAAGGTGGTCCCCGGAAAGACGTGGACCCTGTGTGGTACTCCTGATTACTTAGCCCCGGAAGTTATTTTGAATGAGGGCCATGATAAGGCTGTCGATTATTGGGCGCTAGGTGTTCTGATATATGAGTTAGTGGCTGGAGTGCCTCCGTTTTATGCTGACGACCCGATGGACGTCTACGAGAAGATCCTTTCAGCTAATATGGCCTTTCCCTCGCATTTCGGCCGTTATCTCAATGATGTGGTCCGCAAGCTCTTAAAGTTGTGCCAGTCCAAGCGCTTAGGTAATGGGCGCCAGGGCGTCGGTGCGATCAAGAAGCATCGGTGGTTCTCGGGCTTTGGGTGGGACGATTTACTGGAGGGCAAGCTCAAGCCGCCGGTCGACGTCAAGGTCCAGAACGATGGCGACGCCCACAACTTCGACACGTACGACGAGCAGAAGTCTGAAAGAGTGGCGCGGCGGTCGTGGCGCCCCGCTCTGGATGATTGAACATACTGTGCCGCGCGCCCCTCCCCCACGGCTGCGATCCCCTCCCCCCGTTGCGTTGAATGTGCCCTGTGTGTGCTAAGAAACACCTGTGCCTCTTATTAACTCAATCTCACGACGACGGGCGCGGACTGGTTGGACTGCGTGCGCCAGCGCATCGCCACCTCCGAGAACGTCGAGCCCGTGACTAGTACAGCGTGTGCGGCTCCGCGGAGGACTCCCAGCTCGGCCGCCGCGGCGACCTCGCGCCCGACCGCGCCGGTGACGGCGCCCTGCGTGGCGACGACGCCTGCGGGCAGTCTTTTCACGAGCTCGTCGACGACCCATTGCGTCGCCTCGTGACCGGGCTTACCGATCGCCGTGATGATAAGGATGGGCAACTGGTCCGCCCCAGGTCGTCGCCGGATCTCATTTATCGCTTGCGTACGCGCGGTCGCTCTCCTGGAACGACAACGACACGCTCGACGATCTCCGCGAGAGCGTGACGGCGCTCGAAGAATTGGAACGGATCGCGCGGCGCGTGCTCGGCGGCGCGCACCCGACCACAAAGGGGATTGAGAAAGATCTAAAAAACTGGCGAGTCGCGCTCGCCGCCCGCGAGACGCCGTCCGTCGTCGCCGGGGCAGGCGTAACAAAGCAAGAATAACAAGCACCGAATGCAACACACGCGACCTTAGATGGTCAGTCCTCCCCGTCGGCGACGAAGTCCGCGAGCGTCTCCTCGCGGCTCAGGTGGTCCGCGAGGCGCTCCGCCGGCGGCTTGAGTTGAGGCGGCGGCGGCAGCGGCGCCTCGCCGCGCCGCCGCCGCGCGAGCTCCTCTTCGCTGGACGCGATCAGGTCGCGGATCCGCGGCACGCCCGCCGCGCAGTCGTCGTACGCCTTCTCGACGGCGTCGCAGTCGCGATCGAAGGTCTGCTTCTCCTCGGGCGTCACCGGCGGCACGGCCGGTGTTGATGGAATGTCGGCGCCCGCCATGATGCGCGCGGCGGCGACCGCGCGGCATGCGGCGACCTCGTCGCGCGCTCGAGCCGTTTGCAAACGCAGCTCCGCGAGTTTCGCCCGCTCCTCGGCGGCCTCCTGCGCGAGCTCGGCGAGCAGCCTGCGCTTCGCTTCTCGCCTAGCGGCGGCGACGTCCGGCTCGAGCCTTCTAAGAGCGCCGTCTCGAATCCGATTGATCCACTGGCGCTCCTCGGGCCCGAAGTCGGCGCCGACCTCCTCGGCGCACTGCTCGAGGGCCGCCTTGATCGCGGCGAAGGCGCCGGGGGACACGCCGCGGCTCCGCGTGCCGCCGGGCAGCGCGAGTAAGGAGTCGCCGGGGCCCTCGTCGGGGACGAAGGGCGCTTCTCTTAGTGTATCTTCCAGCAGCGCGACGTCTTTTTTGGTGGTCTTGGCCTTCTTTGCCGGCTTAGGCATGCTTTGTGCTGCTTGGCGCGCTGGGGGTTTTGCGTTTGTCGTCGCGCGTTTGCTGTAAGACCTTGGCGATGGCTGTGAGATGTGAAATGCGCAGCGATGGCGTGCGGCTTGCGGCCACTCACTTGTGAGGTGGTGTGTGTGGCGCGACTTTTTGAGTTGGCGCCGGCAGCGCGAGCTAGCGTGCTAAGACACTAGCAATACGGGCTTGAGCGCTTTGCCCGCTACGCGTAGGCACTGTAGCTTCACACAATTTCCACTTACCCCCCGATCCGCACGACGGGGTCCATGCCCCTTTTCATGACGTAGGACCCCAAATCCACACCCTTGGCCTTGGCGACGAACCGGTGCGACGCGTACGTGTTCACGTCCACGGATTGCCCCGGCGCGATCTTGCCCTGCAGCGCCAGGTCGCTCCCGTCGGCCCAGAAGAGCTCCACTTCATCAGAACCCGTGTTCTTGAAGACGACGCTCAGGCCGTTCGAGCCCCTTGCTTTCGACTTGGCCCTATCTATTTCGTCCCGAGGCCGATTCCAGACCCACAAGTTCGCGGCCCATTTTTCTCCTTCAATCATCGGGCACGAGCCGTGGAGCGAATAACCGTCGAGCGACGCGTCGCCGCGTTGCGAATAGAACAATACACTGTCGCCGGTGCGGGGCACAACTCTAAGAGCCTCCGACTCCCCATTACAAACCCAGGCCGCGTCCGAATCCCTGATGAAGCCCACCGTGCGGTTCGTGCCAGGAGTCGTCAACCGACCACCGTTGTAGGTTGAATGAGTATCAGACAAGGGAAAGACCGTCTCGCCGCCCTTCGCCGCATCGTTCAAATACAAGAAGACCGTCGCGAAGCGGTTCGTCCCATTCCTTTCGATGGGCACCGCATTCGAAAACGCATCCTCGTCGGCGCCGCCCCCGCCCGCGTTGCGCTGCGTGAAGTAGTCGACGTGGGGCTTGTACCACTGCGTTTTATCATAATGTAAAACCTGTAATCCATCTTCCAATTTGCGCTGAGCATCGATCTTCAACAACCGGAAAGCCCTTCCGATGACGTCGCGAGCCGTCGGCGACGACGTGTCCCACGCATTTGTAGATGTTCTCGTCCGATCACCCGCTCTACCCACCAACCCAACTTCGGACGGTTTTATTCTCGGTCGGTTCCTTTCAATAATTGCTTCACATTCATGCTCCAACATGAACTGCGAGATGCGGAAGACCTGCGGCCTCATGGACAGAGTCGTGATGACGGAGCTGTGACCGGCGTCGGCTCCCGTGATTTCATCGCGTAGCTCCGTTCTCGTGACGTGGCCGGTCCGCACCGTAGGCCAGACGAAATGTACGGTAGCAGGCACGACCCACACGTCCGCGGCCGCGCGACTGTCCCATGAGTTATCATTGGTGATGAAGTGGGCGGGGTAGCCGACGACGCCCGGTTGGCTACGAGCTAATCTCAACAAATCGTCAATACTTCTAAGTCGATTCCCGCGCGCGTCGAACGCCCGCGCACCGTCCGCGGCCAAACACGTGGCCTCGTCGGCCTTCGACAGTGCAGATCCCGTGGCATCCCCAGCTAGATCTGAACGACCAATAGTTTCGACAGACGCCTTCTCGCAGGCCACCTCCAGGAAGTCGTCAAACGTGTCGTAGTCGCAAGGTCTTGTGGCATGCCCCACATATGCTGAACCGAAGTCGCCATTTAATCGAGCTCGTATCCTCAGCGACCTCGCTTCCAGCGTCGAGCACTCTTGCAAGTTCGAGGGATAGGCGGGCGGGCCGTACTTGTCGATTTTTATGATGGGGCCATCCGTCGTCTGCCACTCTACGGTATTGACCGGTTCTAGGTCACCGTCCATGTACCACAGCACCGCTATTGTGAGGATATCGTTTGATTCTTCGGTCACTACCTTGTGTGATGAAGCTTGTAATCGGCCATTCGTCAGGATGGGTAGTGGGGCTCCACCCTCGATAAACACATCACTCGGTGCGAGTTCGGCCGCGCGCCACTGTTGGGACTTGGAGCCGAAGGACGACACCGTGACCGGTGCGCCGGAGAGGGAGATAGCATGTACAGCCGTCAGCGCGACGCCGTCGACGTCCCGATCGCCTTCCCCTACAGCGAAACACCGCTTGGTTTTGGACGACGCTTCATGCAAAGCGACGTGGACCTCGCCGAAAATCCTCGGTTTTGAGGTTCGTTTCTCAAGTTGTGAAAGGCCCGGTTTCTTGGCCAATGCTTTGGTCAACGCCTCTTTGCGCTTCTCCAAAGCTTGCGAGGCGACGCGCGCGGCCTTGACTACTGATTCAGGTGCCTGGTCGCTCCAATTAGTGCCTTTGAGCACGAAGGCCGCGGGCTCTACATCAGTCGCGGCGACGTACGAGGGCCACTGCTCGCCTGAAACAAAGCCGGCGGCGGCCTTGGATGCGGTATCAACATCTAACACAATCTCGCCCTCATCCACCAAGGCGCCGCCCTCGGCGAAGGCTTCGTCGACAGCGTCGTAATTGGATAGTCGCGGCAGCGCCGTCTGCTGAGCGACAGGCACGGCGTCGGGGTGCGGCGTCGGCGGGTCCTGCTTTTCTGAAGAGCTGAAGGGCCAGAGGGCGCTGGCCGAGGCCAGCACGACGCCTATCAGGAGGCGCCGCATGATTTTTTTCCAGCCTCCTTTCCTGGCTTGGCTGGCTTGGAGCGCTTTTTATCGCTCGGTTTTCTTTTAGCAGCTGGCCGACGGTGACGCTTAGCGTTCCCTGCGAGTCTCGCGTTCAGCAGCAGTGAGACAACGCCGCGTATGGCGTTGGCTGCGTTTTGCCTCGATAAATTGCTGGCTAGTGTCTTTACAGTACGCTAGCCTCTTGGACCCTTTGTTCCGCGACGAGAGGTGTAGACAAAGAAGGCAAGCGGCTGGCGTCGGGCGCTAGCGTCGTGAGCCCGAGACCATCCCACCTCTGTGCTCATCATCGGTCTGTGTCATCACCAGCTCCGCGTCTGAGCCCCTGTGCAGCACAAAACACAGCTTAATATTGATATTGACATCGATATAGCTCGTGCGCATCCGAATCTTGCAGTCTCACGACCAGCTCAACAAAAACACGATGCCTCGAGTAACCAATGCCATCCTTGCTGCCGCGCTGACGACCGGCGCGGCATTAGTCGCACCGCGACTGCGGGTGAAAGCACCGACAGCATTGGCGGCGCGCGGTCGCTTGTTAGACGAGCTCGCCGACCTCGACGGCGAGGCGCCCGTCGCCGTCGAGGAGACTGCGCCCGTGGCCGCCCCGGTCGCGGAAAAGGCCGTCCTCGAGCCCGAAACATTGTTCTTCGAGGGCCCGCCCTCCAAAACGGAGCTCATCGTGCCGGGCCTGTCCGTGCTCACGGTCATCGGCATCGTGCCGTTCGCCGCGGCCGCGGCGCGCCAGGCCTGGGTCAAGTACAAGATCACTTCTAGAAGAATCAGCGTCCAGTCCGGCGTCGGCGGCCAGGACTTCACGGAGATTGTTTATAGCGACATCGCGGGTATGAAGTTCGTCTACAGAGGGTCGAAGGACGTCGGCGACCTCGTCATCTCGTTGCGCGACGGCGCGAAGCTCGAGATGCGCTTCGTGCCGCAGTTCCAGGAGATCTACCGCTACATCTATGAGAGGTGCTCGCCGGCGGCGCAGGCCGAGTCGTCGCCGATGGCCGACGACGAGTAAATGTGTTGCTAGTATATCGTGTGCCGCGTCGACGGCGTGGGGGTCGACTCGACCAGCACGCCATCGCCGCGCGGTCGAAAGTGCCCTTGTGGCTAGTACTTTGGTCAACGCGGGTTTTGGAAGGCATGCAGTGCGTGCGCAGTGGCACGGCAGAGTACATACGAGAAAAACAGAGACGTATACTTCGGGGACAGGAAAGCTATGGTCGTGGCGGGTCTTCCGCGTCGGCCGCGTCGACGAGGACGACGGACGAGCCCGCGTCGGAGTGCGCCACGACCACCAAGTCGGAGCCCTCGCTTTGTGCTCGCGGGAGCGGCTGCGCGTCGGCGAGCGGGTTGAGGGCCGCGAGGCGCGCGAGGAGGCGCTCCGTCGGCGGCGAGTGGAGCGGTTCTGGTGGTGGCGGCGGCGCAGGCTCGTCAAGTAAGGGCGACGGCGGCTCCGCGGCCAGCGCCTCCATGGCGTCGAGGGCACTTCGCGCCGCCGCGGCCGCGCGCTGCGCGGCCGCCGCGTCGGCCGCGTCCGCGGCGGCCGCTGCCGCCTCGGCGTCGAGCCTACTAAAATGCTCCTCCTGCTCGCGCTGGAAGGCCTCTATCTCGCGCCGGCACGTCACCCGCGCGGCGTCGACGGTGTTCAGCGCGCGGTCGCGGAGCGCCGCGAGGTTGTCCGGCAGGCCGCTCTCCTCGACCTTCTCGTCTATTGTATTTTGGAGGTTCGCGAGCGCCTCCTGCCAGAAGCCTGCGTGGTTGGCGCGCGTGACAGTCCAGAGGCGCGCGTGACAGTCCAGCGTGAAAAATCTGGCGGACGACCCTCCTGCCGATCGGCGTTTGAAAAATCCCCCAGGGCTCGTTCCGGCCACAGCCTCGGCGCGCGGCCTCAACTCGCGGTGGCGTCGTCGGGCTACGCCGTCTAGCGCGCCGGCTCCGTGAAATGGACGCTGAAAGTGGACCACTCATCTGGACCTGCTTTTAGCCGGTTCGGCACAGCTAGCGTTATTTATTTTTCGGGCTGGGGTGGCAGGTGTCTGATGGCCACGTGGCAGCGGCGAACATTCAAACGGGCGGCCAGGGGGCGCGAAATCCGCTCCGCTCTGACATCTCAGGCGCTGACTTTATCTAGCTCGAGAGACACACTAGCACAGGCGGGGAGGGGTCCGCAAGACCGCGCGCAAGCCCGTCGGTTAAATTGAGGCTAGGCTAGGCCTCCGACCAAACAGGAATAGAAACCACACAATAAACTTACGGCGGCCCACCGCCGCCGCCCTGGACCGCGGGCCCCGCCCCCTTCGACGCGCGCCGCCGCTGCTTCCGCTGCGAGGCCGAAAGCATGCGCTCCATCTCGATCCAGGTCAGCACGTCCTGGACGCGTCGGTAGCTCAGCTTGTACTGGCGCTTGAGGCGCGCGTCGTACTTGACGCGCGACGGCTTGATAAAACCGCGTTGCCGCCGCCGCCACTTCATCATCAGGCCCGCTTTTTGTACTTTCCTGTTTAATCGCGCGACGGCGAGCTCCGCGGGGAACTCCTCCAGACTGATGCTAAATTGCGTCCGCGCCCAGCGGCACGGCGCCGCGCCGCGCAGCGAGCGGCCGAGGCGGGCGAGCAGCATTTGTGTTGGGCGCAGCGCTGCTATTGCGCTAGCTTGTCCTGAGCTTGCTCAGCAGCCTCAGCTTGCTTGCAGAGATTTCTAGTGTCTTACCACCGCTAGCAAAGCGCTCTCCGACCTTTTTGACCACGTAGGCGTATACGAGTGATAAAGCATCGTCCAACGCTGCGCGCATTCACTCCTCGCTACTGCGGCTGCATACAGCGCGCACACCACTGAGGCTGCATATATCACATCACTCACTCCTCACTACTCGGCTGCAGACAGCACACCATGCTGCGAGCACTCCTACTCATCGGCTGCTGTGCAGCTCTTGCGCCCGTCAAGCTGCCCGACGGCTTCAAAGCACCCACGCCCAAACCGCTGCAAATCGGTGATAGCGAGATACCGGACCTGCTGAGTGGTGCTGCCGCATTAGCCGTGCGCTTGGCGACGGGCACCTTCGTCCTCGGCTGGCGGCCGTGCTTTGCCGAGGTCGGCGGCGTCAAACTCTTCGGAAGCGAGCCCGGCGCCGGCGAGTATGCATTATCGTTCGGACCCGTCCGGTTTCGCGACGACAGCTCGGTCCTGCCCGCGGCGCGACCCTCAAAACCCATAGTAGTCTACGAGTACGAGAGCTCGCCCTTCTGCCGGAAGGTCCGGGAGATGTGCTGTCTGCTGGATTTGGAAGTTGAGTACCGGCCCGTGCCCGGGGCGCGGGGCGGCGCCTTCGCGAAGGAGTTGTTTGCGGGAGGGAAAACGATGGTACCATACATGGTCCGGCTCCGGCGTCCGTCCCGAGCGTCGCGCCGATGGCGTAGATCAGTGCCCGCGCAGGTCGACGAAAACGCCGACGTGGCCATGTACGAGAGCGACGACATCTGCCAATATCTCCGCGAGACCTACGGCCCGGCACAGGACGCCTACGATCCCAAGGCCCTGTGGCCGCTGACCTTCGGCCCGTTCCAACTCATCACGTCGACGCTCGCGGCCATCGTCCGGGGCCTCCCCGGCGGCCAGCGGCGGCCTGATGCGCGTTCCGATAACGAAGAGCGCAAGCCGCTCGAGCTCTGGGGCTACGAGACGTCGCCCTTCGTGCGACCCGTGCGCGAGACTCTCGTCGAGCTGACGCTGCCGCACGTGATGGTGCCGTGCTGTGTAGAAATCAAATTGTCGCGACGCCTGCTCGATGGCGTGGCAGCACTCGACGCACTGGTTGATTTCCACACAGGTGCCGTGCGCGCGCGGCAGTCCGAACCGGGACCGCATGATGAAAGAAATGGGCCGTTTCCAGGTCCCGTTCCTCCGGGACCCGAACACGGGCGCCGAGCTTTATGAAAGCGCGGCGATCGTCGCGTACCTCAACGACGTCTACACAGAATAAGTACAGATATATTACCTCCACCACGCGAGCGCGACTACAGCGACGGACAGACTCAAGCGAGCGCGAACACCGCTATTGCACGGCGTGTCGATCGTCGGCCGGAAGTTGTTTCTATTGACACAACACCGCGTCGTGTGCTCCATGCCGCCGTACTGCATCGTGAAGCCGTGGTCCCTAATTTGGGTCCCCAACGCGGATTTCGACTCCGAGTAGCCGTCCTCGACTTTCCGTGGTCGGATCGTGAACGCGTTCGAGGAGATGCGCATGCGCTCCTGGTCCGAATCAGTAGGAAAGCACTGCGAGTGGTTCGCGCAGGACCGGACCGTCATGCACTTGCGCTTCGGGCCCCTCTTGTCCTCGTCGTTCACGGTCTTGTCGTGGAACAAGTGGCAGACCTCCATCTTGCTGCAGTACCACGGGCCCCGGCAATCTTCATTGTAGCCGTCGTCGTCCCTGCCAGACGCCTTGGCGACGGCTTTCCTCGTTTTTTGGTTCGCTTTGCACTCCAGGTCGCAGTACGCCTGCTGCCGCGCGTAGTTCCCGGCCCCGGTAAAACAGAGCGTCCGGCTGACCTGGTTCGCGTCCGCGTACGTGTGCTTGTCGACCCAGTTCCGCCCGCTGTTGACCGTGTCCGGGGCCAGGCGCGCGCCCAATTCAAAGGCCGGCTCGGGGTCGGCGGGCTCCGGACACAAATCCTCGTTCTCCGAGCACGTCCTTTCGAGGTACATTCCCTGTTCAAAGCTTAATGTTTGTGGAGAACAATCATCGTAACCTTGCGCCTCCGCCCACGTTTGATTGCATGGGTACTTGCTGCGGTTCGCCCAGGTCTCGTCCAGGTATTTCATGCATACTTCGCAGGCCGCGTGCGCTGTGGCCGTGAGGAGGGCTGCCGCGAGGAGGCGGAGCCCCATGACTGGTGCCGGGGCAGCCCGTTTGCTGGGGCTGCCGCTTCGTTCGTGCCGAGGGCTGCGTCGACGCCGCGGGCGGAGCGGCTTTATCCTCTTTTGCCAAGCCAAGAGATGGCCCAGCCATGAAAGCGCCGATTCGAAGCAAACGCCCAGTCGTCCCGGGGCATCTACGATGCGTCCGAGGGCGGGCCGGTATGCGATGAGGCGGTGGTGCAACGAAAAACCCGAAATCGCTGTCACAAGTGCCGCTCTCCGTGCAATTGTTCCACACGCCCAAACTCCTGTCGCATAGCCCTTTGTACGTAACCCTTGCACACAGCAGCAGCACATATAGTGAAAATGGCCCCCCTCTTCTCGCTCTCCCTGATGTTCACGTCCGTCGCCGCACTGCTGGCGCCACGTGCGGCCATCCGTAGTACGCGTCTGATGGCCGAGCCGCCCATCGGCGACTTGGCTGATCGCCTCTTGAGCGCCAAGGAGAAGTCGGGCAAGACCTTCGACCAGATCGCCGACGAGCTGGGTTTCACGAACACGTACACGACGCAACTTTTGTTAGGACAGGCCCAATTGAAACCGGAGACGCTGCCCAAGCTCAAGAAGGCCGTGCCCGGCATCTCCGCCGCCGACCTCGAGACCATCAGCAAGGCGCCCTTCCGCGGCTGGGACCCGGAAATCCTCAAGGAACCGAACGTCTACCGGACGTACGAGGCCATCACGCACTACGGCAACGCCATCAAGCTGCTGATCAACGAGAAGTTCGGCGACGGCATCATGTCGGCCATCGACTTCTACATGACGGTGGGCGGGACCGTCGGCAAGATGGGCGAGAAGCGGGTCGTCATCACGTTCAACGGGAAGTTCCTGCCCTTCATCGAGCAGGTCGCCGCCGACAACTCCGCGGCGTCGCCCGAGATCGCGGAGTGATTCTCTGGTCTTGATGCCCTGTCCATACCCCTGCACATATTGACGCATACGACCACCTGTACATGTCCTGTTCATATATACTGCCGCGATTCGCGCAAGTCTAATGTAAGTCTAACTTATCCTACGATACCGCATCAACAGAACAGCCAAAACCGCCACCGCCGCCGCGCCGAGTATTAGAGGAAGGCGCGACGCGTCGTCTTCGTCCTCGTCGTCACTACTCAAATCCAAAGGCGCGACGGCGTAGGACCCCGGCTCCTCAAATTTCAGATGAGTCTCGTCCCTTCTCACAATGCGGAAGCCTCGGATCACCTCCGCTTTTGTAACACCCGGAGCCTCGACCCGATACCCGGCGTTCGCAACTTTCAAACCCAGCACGCGCAGCACCACCCCTTCACCAGTAGAAATGCGCAATGCAGAACCCTCCTCTACTATAACATCCTCGAGCTCGACCGAGCCTTCGCCCTCGATCACTAGAGTAGCTCCTTGTTTCACAGTGACGCCCTTTACTTTACTGATGACATCATCCTCAATCAAAGCGAACGAGGGAGAGAGAACAATGCGCGGCGGCATTTCGATAGATAGACCTCGGTATACGCCAGGTTCTTTGCCACCAATCACGACGTCGCGACCGCAACGCAAAAAATCGCCGTGAAGCGCGTAGAAGTCGGCCTCACCCGAAGAAGCGCAGTGCGCGTCCAGCCCCTGCTTCACTTTATCGATCGCACTTGCCGGAGAGTTCTTGACCGGGGCGTACTCGCGCACAGCTTTCCGGGATAAAGTAACGAAGCCCACCGAACCACCTTGTAGTAACTGAGGGTAGTCCTGCATCATGCATTCTAAACGAGCGGGCTTCTTGAAGGTTCTATTTGCGTTGAATTTCGGGTTCACAAATTCTGGTACATTACCGCCCGTCCTTTCTAAGGTAGCAACGTAGCCGTGCTCACCTTGTAATGAGATGATGAGCTGGTTCGTGTTGCCCGGGTACGGTGATGGAGTCTCGACGTCGCCCTTGCCCGTCGCTGCGAGGAGCAACGGCTCCAACTGGTTGTATTCCACGTTTTTCAACAGTGACTTATTATCTTTCTTGAGGAGACATAAGGCGCCCATGGCCTCGCCCGCTCTCCTTTCAACACATGTAGAACATACATCTAAGTTTCGCGACGCGGCGCTACCGAGAGCTGGGAGTAGTGTTCGAAGGGCAAACGCGTTCGTGTCCTGGAAAAAAAACACGCGTTTCAACCCTCGGTCGAGCCATTTCTTCGGTAAGCCACTCTGTGCTAGTAGCGAATGGACGTCGCCGTGGCCGTGGGGCTTGCACAGTATATTGTCATGATCTAACACGAAACGAGCCTTGTCGTCGCTAAGCGCCGGCACGCCCGCCTGGACCACGAACGAAATCTGGTCGGCACGCATGCCGAAGTTGTTATGCTCTTTTAGTAGAGCGCGCGTCGCGGCTTCCGTGTCCTTGGAGAGCATCAAACATAAAGGTAGTTGAGTAGTGGCACTTCTACGCTCGAACGCGAGGATCGTCTTGATGTACAACTCCAGATAACACGTCCCCGTCGTGCTTTCCGCTGGTAGAGAAACCTTGATGCCGTCGTAGCCTAGTCTTTCACCTAACCCACCAGCAACTAGCACAAACGCGCACGCACCGACTTCGCGCAAACCGACACGCTCCATGGCTCGCCACTCTTCGGAATGGGCTTCTAGCAGATCGCCTTGCGGCACGGACGGCGTCCAGCCTTCTAAGGGATTTACTTTGTTCGTCGCGTCCTGTAGTAATCGCTTCGCGGTCGTCGTGTATGCTGTTAAGTCGAGGCGCGCGTCGAGCTCCACGAGTGCGTCCAGGATGTTGCGGTCGCGGCCTTGTATGATTGCACCATTTTCTAAGCTCTGTCGTACTGATGACCAGTCGGCGAACACATGTTTCTGTTCTTCGAGGAGCCGCAGCGCGGCCGCGTCGGTCTCGGCATCGAAGGCGCGGCCGCGACCGGCGCCCGCGAGGATGGATGGTTTGCCTTGGTTGCCGCTCACTCCCGCACCCATTTGTGCTTTTGTCTTGCTTTTGTGTGCTGTCAGTGATGCAGCTTTACTGTGCGACTGCGTGCGCGCCGATTCAGCACAGCTCGTCGACGCGGTTGGATCGATGCGAGAAACGGTTTGACGGCTCTCTATGCGCCCAGCCGCACTCCTGCCTAGAGTTAAGCGTCGGCTCCTCTCTCCCTGGGAAGCTAGTGTCTTACAGCCGCTAGCTGCTAGGAACGTGTACAAGTTAGTCGCGGCCTATCGGGCAGGCACGCCGTACATCTGCCGGTACTTCCGCAACAGGAGCGACGACTCGGGGGGCACCTCTCCATACAGCGTTTGCCACTCGCCCACGATCGTACTGAAGTTCCGTTTGTTCTTCGGGATCGGGCCGCGGATGCGCTCGCCGAGCGCCTCGCCGGCGCCCGGATGTGTCGCGTCGACGCGCGGCGCCGCCGTCGCGACGGACGAGTCCCAGCCGCCCGACGCGAGCTGGATCATGTCCTCGAGCGTCTCCAGGGGCTTCTCGGAGACGTCGCACGGTCGCACGGACGGATGCGAGTGGACCCAGTGCTCCATGGCGTACCGTCCCGTGCCGACCCAGGGCGTCCCCAGCAGCGTGCCGCCCTTGTCGAAGCCGAGCCGCCCCCAATACGCGTCCATGCCCTTCTGGAACGACGGTGGCGCCAGGAGCGTGGCGACGTAGCGGCACGAGGCGAGCCACATGTTGCCCTTCGTGTGCTGGTGCGGGAGCGCCGTGAAGTGCGTCGAGCAGACGTCGCAGGCGTCGCCCTTCGTGATCGCCGCGAGGCAGCCGACGCTGCCGAGGCCGCGCAACAACGCCTGGCGGAGCCGTTTCTGGCGCCCGCGGACCGAGCGATTGAAGACGTTCCGAAAGGAGCCCTTGTCGTGCAGGTAAGCGACCTGTGTGGAAATCAACCAGTGAGTTAGGTTGCATCGCGTCGGTGGCGTGGGGCGTCTGAATTTTGATTTCCACACAGTAAGCGACCGACGCCTCAGGGTTCTTCGTGCAGAACGCGTGGAGAGGCGTCAGCGTCCGCTCCTCGTGGCCCGTTTTGTGGCTCCCGAGGCGTCGACACGTCGTCGCGTTGACCTCGCGGCAGATCCTCTCGACGTGGTTTCGCATCTTGCCCTTGCCGATCGTGCTGTAGCGGATTTCTTCCACATCGTCCCAGATGGGCGCCGCTCTCAGCTCCGTGAGCTGCTCGTAGACGATCTCGACGGCCGTCGCGACGTTCTTGCTGAAAACGTTGTAGTACACGACCAGCGCTGCGGCGCGCGGGCACGCCGCCGCGAAGGCCAGGACGGCGAGCGCCCGCATCCCTGTCCACGTGTGCGATAACGAGAGGAGTGAAACCAACTTAAGCAAGCTGATTTCAGTGATTTGAGTTACAAGAGATGTAACTATGCCAGCGCGTCGAGACGACGACGAGGCGTGCTCGCAGAATCAAGGGTGGCAAGCCGACGCGAGACGCGCCGGACCGCGGACGACGCGGTCGGGCCGTGGCAAAACGGGTTTTTGGGTGTAGGGGACACATACTCAACAAACGACACACATTACCTCTAACGGCGCTTGAACCCGAGGCTCTTCCGGTGGGCCCGGTTCTGCTGCACGAGCCGCTGGATGTCGTCCTTCGACAGCGGCGCCGGCTTCTTCCTCCGCCCCACGTTCGCGGTCGCACTCACGGACTTGACATCCCGATAAGCGCCGCCGATATCGACGATAGGTTCTACTTGCGTGGTAGCCTTGACGTCGTCCTTTATTTGTTGAGCAGTGTAAGTATATGACGACTCCTCCGCTCGCAGCTCGTGCGCGCTCCGCAACACAAAGTCCAGCCGCGACACGGCTCTGTGATAGCGAAGAGCATGTCTCAAGCCAGCCGCGGCGAGCTTCTGCGCCTCTTGAGGATGAGAAAGATAATAGTCCAGCTTCTGGAAGAACGCGTCCGGATCCGAGTTGTCGTAAACAACGACGTGCTCCCCATCCACAAACGGTCGCGGGTGCGGCGTGTACATCTCGTCGACGAACACCAAAGCACCGGAAGCCAGCGCCTCGAACGTCCGGAAGTCGCCCTCCCAATGGCTCGGATTACACGTCACGACGATCTTCGCCCTCCGCATCGAATTGAAGTAGACCTCGTTGATTTCTCTGCGACCGCCGCTATTCACATCTCCAGCAATACCCTTCACGTCGGCATGCTTCTCGAGGTAGTCGTGGATCCAGCTCACGATTCGTGATCTAGTCGGCTGGCGCTCGTGGGGCCGGTTGCTACACAAGATGTCGATGGTTCTTGCCATTTTGCCCATGTTCGCCGCATCAAAGTAGGAATCGGCAATGGAGTAAGCTAACGGGTAGTAGTGCCGCTGGTACCGTCGACCGTGCCCGGTATACGCGCCATCTCGCTTCGACACCCAGGATCTTTTGAAATACGCCAAGTAATCATCTTGCTTCACGGCGGGAAAATAGCCGGCGCCGTCGCCCTCGTCTAGCACGATTAATTGTCGTTGTTCCTTCTTGTCTCTGATCCACGAAGGAGGCGTCCGCGTCGAGACCGGTAAGTATAAAACGAAGTCCGCCCCTGTTGCATCCATAACAGGTTCAATAAAAGGGTGCTTCGCAAACCCATCTTCAACGAGTAAATGGAAGCGCCAACCGGGCTTGGACGGGTCCGCGGGAATCCAGTGGACCTTGCTGCGCGTGCGGAACTGGATCTCCGGGGAGACGCAGACTCTCTCAGATTCACCCTCGTGGTCGTAGCACACGTCCAAGCTTCCAGGGTAGGGCTTAACCGGGTTGTACGGGCTCACTGGTCCTTTTTTTGCGGGTGGTGTGTGCGTGACGCGGTCGGCGATGGTCTCGCGCTTGCGGCCGAGGCTTTGCGCTATTGTCAACTTCTTCTCTGTCGATGCGCCGCCGTCATGAACGCGTTTGGGCGGCGCCGGCGGCTCATAGGTAGAGAGCGGGCCCGGCGTCCGTTTAGGCGGCGCGGCCGGCGGCGCCGGTAAGGAGGGCGGCGCGGCGAGCCAGGACTCGATGGCCGCCTCGACGCTTTGTGCCGCGGGCGGCGCGTCCCGATGCGTTGATGCGGCGACGACAGGCGCCTGGGGCGCGGGCCGCCCGGCGGCGGCCGCGTCGCGCGCGAGGCGCATCTCGCGCGCGTGCGCGATGGCGTCGGCCGCGAGTTTTTCAGCTGCGGCCGCGCGCTGCTCCGTAGCCCGCAGGCGCGCGAGGAGGTCGCCCTGCGGCGCGTGGTGTGCGGGGTCGGCCGCGAGCGACACGTGCGAGAGGTAGAGGCCGCCCAGCGCCAGGAGCAGCAGCGCAGCGAGTCCTAGCGTCGTGGGGGCGCGCATTGTAGCCTCTGCTGACGCTCCGCTGAAAAAATTACGGATCACCGATGCAGCTTGTGGAGCAATTACGGTGCTTTAAACTGCAGTGTCGTGGCGTAATTGATGAATGCACAGCAGGTATTGATCTACCACGTGCAATTCACGCTGCCAAATGCCACGACGCGGGCCACAGCAGCCTAGCAAAATTGGGCTTGCTGGCTTGCTAGTGTCTTACAGCCGCTAGCTGACTGGAAGCCGCGCCCCGGAGCGTACACCCTCAAACTGACAGATGGCCGCCCGACGGGTTTCAGGTCGACGCCGTCGCCGCGCCGGCCGCTAGTCCTAGCACCGCGACAAAAACACCGCGAGCGAAAGGAGTCATATACTCACATCCTTACGCGCCGAAGACTACATGTCGCAGTGCTCGTGCCACTCGTGGAACACGTCCATGCTTTTGGTATCGTCCGGCTCCGCCCACGTGACGAGCGCTTGGTTGCCCATCTTGCGTTTGATTCTGTATGCTATTGCTCCGAACACGATCACCAAACCCATGAAGCCTGTGATCGAGATGTCATGGGAATAGACCACCGCTGATAGCAATATAGATGCTATTATACGAGTGTTCATGCATATGGCGAAAACGACGGGTCCAAAGGCCTTGATGGTTTTGAAGATGAAGAGCTGGCCCACCGTGCTACACAATGAAAAAACTACGAGGTGGATGTGCATCGCCGGGTGCGTGACCACGAAATCTACGGCAGACTCGAGCTCGTGCGTATGCACTAGCGTGATCAGGGAGAAGACCATGCTAAACGTGTTCACCATGAACATCATGTGATAGGGCGAGATGTCGGGGTGTTCGTTGAACAATCGCGCTTGGTACTGGCCCGTAAACGAGTCGAAGACCAAGAAGAATAACAGTAGGACGATGCCGCAGACCGTGCCTCCCACATTTTCTATCTCTCCTATCGCGTCCTGGCCGATCTCCAGGTCTTCCGTCGCTACACTGAAGACCGCAATCCCAACACCAATGGCCGCAGCGACGCCGTAGTCGTAGGACGGGTAATTCTTGTTGCCCAGCAATTTACCCATGGCCATTATGGGAAACAATTTGAAGCATTTGAAGAGCATCTGGGTCGGGAACGACACGTATTTCAGGGCCTCGTACTGGCACCAGGACGACAACATGTTGGATACTGATGGGAAGGCAAATCTATACGCGATCGCGTTATGCCCTGGTGGAGAAAATACATAGAGCATCGCTCCTGAGATGAGGAAGCCTCCCAACCTATTCAAGAAGACCAAGCCATAGGACGACGTGAAGTAGTCCCCATCATACGGTTTGGTCAGCATCCGCTCCTGCAAGACGCCCCACACGAGAAAGGAGATGAGTAGACCAGCCACACAAACGCCCAATCGTGTAAGAACCTCCTTCTTCGTGGCGTGTTCTTGGTTGAATTTGGTATCATCAAACAAAGACGCTATTGCTTCCGTCGAGGACCTCCTCGCTAAGGGTGACGGCGGGCCGGCGCCCTGCTCATCCACTAACGGCTCTTCGTCATTATCATCAGCCGTCTCCGTCTCCGGCACGACGTGGGCCCTTGCTATGGAGTCGGGGAAGTAGTAGTGCTGCAGGCCGGCGCACGCGATCACTAATGTAACATACAGTAGAAAGTTCGAGGCTAATACTCTGAGCTCGTCGCCTAGATTGCCGCCCCCCAACTTCCTTGCTAATTCCTTCGTCGGGTTATGTGTGTCGGTTGTTGCTGCGTCCGCGACCGCTTCCACTAATCGCCGCGCGGCGTCGAGCATGGTGTTGTGTCCGCCGGCGCGCGTCGCTTTTTACCGGTGCTTAGTTACGCGTTACGTGCGGCGTCGACGGGCGTCGGGCGTCCCGTATATATGCTCGCGCGCGCTCGCCTCGCGTGCTGTGTCGCCTGCTCAGTAGGCAGTCTTGTATGCGGCGGGCGGTGCGCTGTGGCGCTTCGGCACGCGGCAGGTGGCTTTGATACAAGCTCAAACAACTCCGAAACAAATAACAGGTCGGCCCAGCGCCGCCGGTCGGGCGTAGCTCTACGTTGGCCGAGCTGGCTAGTGTGTCTCACGGCCGCTAGCTGCATTATTGCCTTGAACTCGGCAGAGTGCCGCCCGTGGATAGCTGCGGGCTGCATCTGAGTCTAGCTACCTATACGTATCGGCTACAGTCGCTGGACGCGGCCGCAGCGCATAACTCTCGCAGAAATTGCGGCAGTGCAGCACTCTCATCACTGCAGCTGGCCTCTACGCGTACGGCAGCGGTCGCCGGAGGGTGCGAAGAGTAGCCTTGGATCCACCGACTGACGACCGCATCGATGCGCCTCGTTCTGGCAATGTTACTCCGCCACGCCTCGTCCGTAGCGGTGCGGACCGCCCTGCGCGACGCCGTCGCCGCGTTGCATAAGGCCAAGGTCCCGGAGGCCCAGGCCTCGGCCGAGTGGCTGCTGGTCCACGCCCTAGGCGAGTCGGACCGGAATTCGGTGACACGCGCGATCGCGACGAAGCGAGACCTCGACGCATCAGAACAAGCACAGTTCTCCGCATTTATTGAAAGGCGATTAACGAGGGAGCCCGTCCAGTACATCGTGGGCACGTGGGCCTTCCACGACGTCGAACTCGAGTTGGAGCCGCCGACGCTGATCCCGAGGTGAGCGCGTCCACTGAAACGCCGTCGACGCTTCGCCGCCGCAGGCCCGAGACCGAGGAGTTGGTGGATTTGGTGCTGGACTGGTGGGGTTCGTCTACGGCACATTTCGCGGATGTCGGCTGCGGAAGCGGGTGCCTCGGACTGGCTTTACTAAACAAGCTGCCGGAAGGCTCTTCCTGTACCGCTATTGATATTTCACAAGAGGCCGTCTCCCTGTCAAAACGGAACGCTAAAAAATTGGGCCTTTCATCCGTATACGACGCGTCGCGCCAATCGGCCGATCAGCTGGAGGGCGCCTTCGACTTTATTGTATCAAACCCGCCCTACATCCCGTCTCAGGATCTCCGAGGCTTGGACGCCGAGGTCGTTGACTTTGAGGACCCGCGAGCTTTAGATGGTGGTGCCGACGGTTTGGTGGTCGCGCGTCAGTTGTTGGCACGGGCGCCCTTGGTCTTGCGGGGGGATCGCAAGGGCGTGTGGCTCGAATTGGATGAGACGGGGCCGGCGCTGCTGAAGCCGTCTTTCGCGTGCGAAAGCTTCGTTGATTTGGCGGGGAAGGAGCGGTTCGCGCGGGTGGACTTCTCCTAGCCCCCTTGTTTGTAAGTTGTTTGTTCAGAGTCGTCGCGGCGACGGCGTGGGCGGCTTTCGGACGTTTCTGTGTTGCCGGCGCGCGGCCGATGCGCATTTTGGCTCTCCTGTTGACCGGGCAGAGCCCTGCGCCTCCAGACTACTCCATTGAGTGCTGGGAAGGCGCGTTTGCGGCGGGACGGGTGCGCGGTCCAGGCTCGAGTCGCCCTTTTTGCGTGCTGTGGACGGCGAGGCTGAAATAGGAGACGTGCGACGCAGTGTGGGACCAAAAGAACTGGCGAGAGAGACTGCTTTAACCGCGACGGCAAGCTGCAGCGCTTCACGCTGCTCGCTGAGACGCCTGTGGCGCCGTAAGCGAGGGACTAGCAGCAAGCGGCATTTGCACCGCTGCTGCGGCCGCTGCGCACCCGCTGGCACCACAGACCTCCTCCGAGGCCTGCGCGGCCACCACTGCGGCCGCCAGCACTCCAAGCGAACTGCTGGCGCTCCGCCGCCACCGGCCGCTCTCGAGGCGCCCCCCGGGCGCCGCCGCCACGAGAGAGACGAGCGGAGAGACTGACGAGAGGCAACCGCGCCGTCACCCGCCACCGTCGCAGGTCATAGAAAAGCTGTTCCAAAGATGCCCAAGGAAATCACCGACATCCGCGACTTCCTCCAGAAGGCGCGCCGACGAGATGCGAAGGCCGTGACCATCAAGACGACGCGGGGCATGACGAAGTTCAAGATCCGCTGCAGCCGCTACCTTTATACTTTACGGGTGCAGGACGGCGAGAAGGCCGCGAAGCTCGAGCAGTCGCTGCCGCCGGGGCTGCAGCGCAAGGACGTCAAGTAAGTGTCGTTCGTATGTAGTCTTACGTCGTTGGGGGGTGGGGGCGCGGCGATGGCGTGAGGCGTGTTGGTGTTTTCAAATCGGGTTTCGTGCCAGGGCGCTGATATCGGCCCAAACGACGCGCATTTGTCGAACAGGCGAAAAAAACGTCTATGGGGCCTGGAGCCGCGTAGCCCTGCTGCGGGTCATCTAACACCAGCTCAAACGCGGCGCTCTTTTGCAACAAGATGTCCACAGATCCAGCCGCTGCTCCAGCTCCAAAGCGCGCGAGCGTGCCGTATCGACCGCCGCTTGTCTCGCTGTGGAGACAGAACGATTTAGCGGACAGCGTCGTCGCGTTTCTACCTGGCACCAATCTATCGAGGCTGCCCGTCATTTCAAAATCATTCCGCGCCGCGCAACCATTAGTCCTCTTTACGGCGGCGCGGCGGCTCAAGGTGCTCGACCGGGCCCAGGACGCATTTCTGGACGTGCTGCGCGAGGCAAGCCCGGAACACAATATCTTCCGCGAGACGTGGGACGGAGGATTAGCGCGGTGGCTCAGGGCCGATGGAGAGGGCCTCAGGGCAGACACAGTAGGATCGCCGCCGCACCTACGCCTGCGTGGTACCAACGAAGATCACACCGGGCTCTTTCACCATTTCCCTCGCTCTGCTGGCAGATCGCTAGCCGTGAAAAGCTTTCGCGCTCAAGTTACATTTCCAAACGGTGCCGCGTCTGGCGCTTCCGGGTACATCTGGCTTTGCCGCGACCCAAATAGAAACGAGGGCTGCGAGGCCATTGGCGGTATCTACGGCTGCTATAGGGGAGAGGACATCGATGTGCAAGAAATTGAACCAGAGGATCGCGTGGGGACGCTGAAATGGATCGCAACCCAGCAGGATGAAAGCGGGGAATGGACTAACGAGTGCACAGAATTGTGCACGGTTGAACCAGGCGTCTGCTACGAGGTCACAGCATCGTTTTCCGAAAAGGGCGACGATGAGCTTATGACCGCCGCGGTCAATGTCACCCCGCTCGGCCAGCTTCCCTTGGCTACTACCTTAATCCCGTGCCGTGCGGGTGACCTCGAAGTCGTGAAAATCTACAACTTCCACGACGGCGAGGCACACATCGGCGTCGTCGAGGTCGGGTACGAGTCTGATGACGCCTAAGTATAACTGTGTGACTCACGACTTAGCCTCCCCCAGCAGCGCCGCGAGCCGCTCCCTATCAGGGGCAGCCCTTAATTTCGCCGCGTCGAGCGCGGACCAGTACGTGTTCAGGGCCGTGTGCGTCGCCAACGGCGCCACTATTCTGTGACCCGTCACAGCAAATTCTAACGCGAGCATCGCGCCGAAGGGCGCGACGTCGACGATCCAATCTTGAATGATTTCCGACTGCGACATCTCGCCCTCGCCGTCCTCGACGTCCTGGACGAAGCCCGCGTGCGCCACGGCGAAGAGGGCCGACGTTCCTAGGAGAGACACGGCGTCGCCCACAAGACCACTACCAGTAGCGGCGCCGACGGCGTGGTACGCGCCGTTCTGGATCAAGCCTCGGTAATAAAGCTCCTCGGACAGCGCCACCAGCAACTGCCAGGCCGCAATCGCCGTGACGGCATCCGCCGGCGACGCCGTCGCCGCGCCCGTGACGCGCCACAGAGCGGCTTTTTGGCCCGCGAGCGACGGGTTCTGTTCCAAAGCAGCAACGGGGTCGTCGTCAGCATCGTCGTTCGCCAGCGTTTTCCTCGCTAATTCCGCGCCGCAGGCGACCACCAACCCGAGAGCGACGTCGGAGATTATTGAGAAGGGTCCGCCTATCCACGACTTCCACATGGCCAAGGGTGCCGGTTCTCCGAGGCCGCCGTAGCAGAAGGGCGCGACCAACGCCGAGGCACCCAGCAAAGCGACGACGCCGACCAACCCGGCGGGCGCCGCCTCCTGGAGCGCCTTGTCCAAGGGAGGTCCTGATGATGGCGTCTCGGCCGCCACTAAGTCAAAAGAGGCCGCGGGGCCGCGCGGGTCCCCTGTAACAGCGGCAGCCGCGGCTGGTACGCTCTTCCGCATGACGGCATGGCCTAGCCGCAAACCGCCCTCGTCATTCGTAAAGCCGAGGCCTTCATAGAGACTTCGAGCCGCATTATTGGCCTCCTGGACGGCAAGCCAGATCTCCGCATCTGATACCCCGGACGCCTGGGCGGCACTGCTCGCCTCGCGCTCGGCCCAGGCCATTAATGCTCTGGCGGCTCCAGTACGGCGTGAGGTCGGCGTCACACAAAGGCACTGGACCCAGAGCACCGGTTTACCTATAGAAGAGGAAGAAGCCTCCTTCCGGACAGCACAAGGCACGACCTGGGCGCAGCCGATCGACAGGCCGTCCTCGCGGAGCAGCGCGACGGAGGCCCTCCCGCGCACATCAAAGAAAACATTAGCGAGGCAGGCCGGGTCGCTTAGCACCCGAAAGTGCTCGTCCGCCGACGCCGGCGGAAACGCGACACCACAAAGCTCCGCCGCCGCTCTCAAATCGCCTCGGTTCGACGCGACGGCGAGGGTCCGTTCTGTTGTTGTCGAGACGGTCGCCGCTGCGAGTCTCGTTCGTCGTCTCACCCCGGGTGGTGTGACGTGGAGGGCTCGGGCCGTGGCCGCGATCACCAAGAGTCGCCTGGTGATCATGTTTTGGGCTGGTCCCTGTCAGAGGGGTCTGTGCTGAATCCTAGAAGCTGCCAGCCGGCAGGCGACTGCGGCTGGCTGCCGAAAAGCTCCTCGGACCAATTACAGCGTTTGAGAGTATGCTAAACCAGCGTTGCCCTCAAAGCTCGGAGGCGGCGGCGGCGAGGTAGCGTGTAAGGCACTAAAGCAATTAATTCATTAAATTTTTGCAATTGCGCGGCGCAGCAAAGTCATGGAAGTTTGAGCCAATAGCGCTTTACACGAGCGTAAGTGCCCACCAGCAGTGCGCAGACAGCGCGCGCAGCTCCAGCTGTGCTCTAGCAACGCTCAGCAGCACAGCAGTTGCAAATTTACAAAAAACAAATCGGCGCGGCGCGGCGCTGCGGACGCGGCACGCCGCACCGATAAAATGAACGGCTCCGCACTAGCCGTGGGCGACCGCGCGCGCTTCCGCCTGCCCGACAAGTCCGTCCACCGGGGCGTCGTCACCGCGATTCACGGAGACGGCACGTATGCACTCGAGGAGGAAGGCTCGGGCGCCGCGCACCGCCTCCCGGGCGCGAAGGTCAAGCGGGACGACACGCCGACCGTCGTCCGATTGATCACCCAGGACGAAAACGAAGTAGGCGACGACGGCGAAGCGTTGCTCAGAGTAGAGGAGGAGGGCTTACAATTACTAGAAAGCCTGAACGAGACGAGAGTAGCTGTATGTTCTGTAGCGGGCATGTACCGCACGGGCAAGTCCTTCTTTCTCAATAGATTGGCCGGAAGTGAAGGAGGCTTCGGCGTCGGCGAGACCACAGAACCATGCACCAGAGGCGTGTGGTTGTGGCACCGGCCCGACCTGAAGACGAGTGACGGTGCCACTCTGTTGTTAATGGACACCGAGGGCCTCGCATCAGCAGATCAAGACGAGACGTATGACGCCAAGGTCTTTGCTTTAGCGCTACTACTGTCTTCTTATTTTGTTTTAAACGTGGTGGGCGTCATTGATGATAGTACCATAGAGAGATTACATCTGGTGACGGAGGTCACGAAGCGCATCGCTACTGAAGGTTCAGTAGAGGACCACTTTCCACCTTTGCTCGTGTTGGTGCGGGACTTCGCGTTGACGCCGACGAGGGACGGCGTCGCCATATCTGATCAAGAGTACTTGGAAGATGCATTAAGAGATCGCGGGACGCCGGGCCAGAAGCGGCACGAGCGGCGCAACGAAACGAGACAAGCATTGCGGCGGTTGTTCCCGCGGGGCCGGCGGTCGTGTACGACACTCGTGCGACCGGCGTTAGATGAAGCATCTCTGAGACGGGCCCACGCGTTGAAGGATGAAGAGTTGAGGGAGGAGTTCGTGGCGAAGCTTAAGTTATTGAGGAGCTCACTTGTTGATGGTAGAGATGAGATAGGTGTGACAACCATCCGAGGGAAAAGTGTCTTAGGCGCGCCGTGCTCCGCTTCCGCCTTGGCCGCGTTAGCTAGACATCATGTGGACGCGATCAACAACGGCGCCGCGCCCTCTATTAGAGGAGCGTGGGACGCGGCCTCTCGAGAACTGAACGCGCGGGCGTCGCAACAAGCGCTGGAGGCTTTTGAGGACAACCTGGCCATACCAGAAGGTGAGTTACCAGAACCACCTGTGTTGTCCGATGCTTTAAGTGCGGACGCGGCCTGCCGAGACGCGTGCGACGCGGCTTTGCGAGTCTTCGATACGCGGTCGTGCGACGGCTCAGATCGGGCCGAAGCGCGAAGCGCGCTGGAGGCGCAGCTCGCGAAGCTCTGTGACACTGCGCGACGTGATTTAGAGGCGCGCTCCGACGCCAGCTGCGACGCGGCACTGAGAAATTTGGCCGAGAGGGACGCCTTCGCCGGCCTGCCCGACGCGGAGGAGGACGAGTCCCACGGCGGTCTAGTCGTGGAAAGAGCGCGCACTGGTTTATGGGAGCCGCTCTGCGACGATCTAACGACAAAGTTCCGCGGGCCCCGACGGGAAGCACGTTTAGTGGATGCGCTATCTACGACCGCGGTGCCGCGGTTAGTAGAACCGGCCGTGGCCGAGGTTCTGAGGAGGGGCGCCGCATCCCGAGTGTTACTACAAAAGCGCCTCGAGAAAGAGCAGAGCGATGAGCGCGCCGAGGCCAAGAAGCGCTTCGACGAGGCCGAGGCGCGCGCGTCGGCCGAGCGGTCTCGTTTAACAACGGAGATCGAAACTGTATCAACGAAACTCGCCGCAACGGAACGCGACGTCGATGAACTGCGGAGCGCGAAGCGAGAAGTCGACGACGCGCTCGCTGATAGCAAACGCACGGCAAAAGATTTGGAGGCCGACGTCGCGCGGACCCAAAGCTCCTTGGAAGAGACGCAGAAGAAGCTCGCGTCGACGACCGACGACCTGGCGAACGCCGAGAGTCGAGCGGGCGACGCGGAAGCTTCCCTCGAGGCGACGCGGCGGGAATTGAGAAGCGAGCGCGAGATGAGTGCGACTCTCACACAGTCGCTCGAGCAGCTGCAAAACCGCGTCGCTGACTTGGACGGTCGTCTCAAGAGATCGGAGGACGACGCGTCGGCGGCGGCGCTGCGGCACGGCGACGCCATCGAGCAGCGAGAAAAGGAGCTTGCTGAGTTAAGAAGACGGCTAAACGAAAGCGAGGCCGACGCCGCGAAGCTTTCTGATGACCTCGACGAATTGACGCGCTCCAACGCCCAAGCTCAAGCCGACGCCGACGCGCGCAATCTGAGTCTGATGATGGAGGGCGCGTCCGAGCGCTCTAGGTTAGAAGGAGCCGCGGCGATCGCTTGCGCGTCGCAAGCTTGTGTCGCAGCACTGGTGGCGAAGGTCGAGGCGTCGCAGCGACTGGAGCGGAGAGAAGCCTACTATTCCGCGAAACTGCTGCAGACGGAGCGCAAGGCCCAGAAGGCTCAACAGCAGTCGTCGCCCGGCCTCTTCTCGCCGTTCCGCGCGGGCGGGTCGGCGCGGAAACTCTTCAGCGTCGGCAGCGAGAAGATCGAGTCCGTGGCGTCGTCCTTCCTCAACTTGGTGGACGAGGAGCTCAACGAGGAGGAGAATGTTCAAATCCCGGCGCGGGCCGCGGCGACGCCGGTGCGGGATAGGAGTGTGCCCAAGCCGCTGCGGGAGCGGGCGAAGGAGCACGCGCGGCGGTCGTCGTCGGGGTCGTAAAAATTGTTGACTTATGGAGCCTACTAGCGACGTGCTCTGGGGAGACGTGCTCTCCGTGCCGGTGTTATTGGACCTCTTTCCTGAGCCAGAGCCTGAGCCATTCGCGGGGGAAGTGGGGGAGCCAGGCGCGGCTCATACCAGGTCTTCTTTCCCTCTTTGTGCTCGCGCCACGTCTGCCAAGAGTTGCTGTGCGCGAGAGGACTCCAAGTGAGCGACGCGGAGGACCCCCGGCATAGGTCGCAGAACGGCGCCACGACGAGGGTCCCCTCCCTGCCGAGCACGGGGGCGACGTCGTCCTTCCGGCCGTCGCGCTCCAACGGTTCGACGCGGAGCATCGTAGACTTGCCACAGTCGCGCATTTCAATCCCACTCCGAGCGCTTTCTCCGTCGACTTCGACCGTCGCCGTGATGCGTAGGGGGCCCTCGTAAGTGACCTTAACCTCGATCACGTCGTCGCTCCGAAAGAATGGGCGGATACCACAATTAATCTTTAAGTCTCGCACCGGAAAGCCGCCGGCGTTCCTGCACCGGACGGCGTCCATGGGATACGGTTGCCCGTCCTCGTTCCATTCGTACGCGGCGAGGACCTTCCCGGGATTACTGGGGTCCAAGATCGCAAAGCCGACCGCGTTGATGTAAGTTCCGCTCCCGTCCGACGGTTTCTCCACGAGTACCCGCCACGACGTCGTGCAGCCGGGCCAGAGGCGGATCGCGCGGCCGCGGAAGTACATAAGGGTCTTTTCGCGGTTCGTGACCGTGGCAGGACCGTTGAGCTCCTTCCAAGGATAATAGCTCGGCTGGCTCCCGGCCCAGCGTATCTCGCGCGCGTAGCTAAAGACGGACTCCCGCCACGTACCAACGCGGTCCACGAGCCCGTTCTCCCGGAAGACGACCTGGAACAGCGCCTCGGACGCGCCGTGCCAGGCCTTCGAGACTCGCAGGGCGCAGGGCAGGTCGCCGAGTGGCAGCCAGGCCATGACGAACTGCGGCGGGAGGCACCGCGGGAACGACGCGTGCCGCGCCGCGATCTCCCCGTCGGCGCGCCGCGCCAGGGCTCGCGCCGACGCGACGAGGGCGCGCAGCTCGGGCTTGGAGAGCGCCGAGAGGTCCTCTTGCTTCGCAGCCGTGTCGAGAGAGGGCTCGCACTTGTACCTCTTGTTCGGGCGCTCCGTGGCCGCCTCCTCGTCGCGCGCACGCTTCTGGGGGGCGTCCATGGTGAGGAATTGATGCCGCGACGTCGTTCGGGCTGCGTATTACGTTCGGAGTGCACTTTTTTGCTCGCTCTCTCTCTCGCTGCTTACGCACCCCGTTTTTGCTCTCGGAGCGCTGACCCGCGGCGCGCTAGCTAAGCACACTAGCAAGCGTTCGTTTCGCAGTCGGGGCTGCCAAAAGCGCTGCCCCGGAGCCACCAGCAGCGCGTTTGGGACACCACACAATGCCGCGCCCGGCCAGCGCCGGCCGCGTCACCATCGAAGAGGCGCAAAGACCAAGAGTAAGGCCGACGGACAGAGTCACAAGGACAAGACGCCTGAAGCAGCGGCGCCAGTCGCCCATCGGTCTGAGCCTCGAGCAGGTCGAAGATTTGGAGTTGCTCGATGCCGCCGGCAAGAAGGCCGATCAACTGATCGAAGAAGCATTGATCGATGCGGACGAGTCCGAGCCCGCGGACGGCGCGACGGCCGACCCCCAGCCCGTCTCGAAGCCGCTGCGAGATAGGCGACGGGAGCTCGACACCTACACGCGTCGGAAGCGCTTGGATGGGAGGAGCGCGCCTCAATTCCCGCCCCGGACCCGAATCCAGGAGCTGGCGCAGTCGCGGCGTTTGCAAAGGCCGCGCACGGCGACGTTGCAACGGCGTCCGAAGCCTTCAGCGACGAGGCCGCTCTCGGCCCAGGCCAAGGTTTCGGTAGGCTGGGTGCGGCCGGAGCGCGACGACGAGGCGGCTTTAGGTATTGTCGAGGACGATAACGAGGACGGCTTCGAGGAGGCGATCCACGCCTGGACGGGAGGTTTTACTATGAAAGCATCACGTGGCGGCGTCGTGGCGCTGACGCAGCGGCCTACATCAAGGCGAGAACCGACGGTCGACACGCGCGTGTCGCAACTGGTCAGGGAGCTGCGCGCGCGGTTACTGTCGAAGCGGGGCGGGCGGCCCGTCTCGCAACTCTTCCGCCTCTTTGATAGGCGAGTGAGACGGAAGGCCGACCCTAGGGACGTCTACGAGGGGCTCCGGTCACTGGGCATCGCGGCGACTTTAGGTGATGCGCAGGGGCTCGTCAAAGCAATAGCGCGAGGAAAGGAGCTACGGTGCTCTGATTTGGCAGTGTTCCTCGACGATCCGGACTTCGCGTCTTTAGAAGATACGGTCTGCGCGGGCGCGGCCTCGAGATTACTGCCGCCGCCTCCTGTTACATCCTACGCGCAGTGCGATCCTACCAATCACGCCGTTCACCAACTGCGCGACCTGTTTGGCGACAGCTTCGTTACGAGGCGGGCCTTTTCCGACGGACTGCGCCATTTGCAACTCGACCGCGTCGCGCCGGACGTCGTCCAGCGCCTGACGACGGCCTACGATCTCAATGGAGACGGCCGCGTCCACGCGCGAGCCTTCGTCAAGAGGATTACAAAGTCCGGAGCCTGGAAACGCGCCGCGAAGGCGAGAAAACGAGTACTACAAGTCGCGCGCGAGGCCGAGGAGGCGTACGACCAGGTCGACGAGGAGGGCTACTGGCCGAATGAATTGGACGAAGAATTGGTCGAGGCCTGCCGCGGTTTGGGTTTGAGATGTTTGACAGATACCCACGCCTTATGGGTGGCGAGGCGCGCGTTACAGAGTGACCTGCCGCCGAATTGGGTGCGGTCGCACGCGAAGGACGGGAGGCCCTTCTTCCACGACCTCGTTTCTAACAATTCGACGTGGGACCGGCCCTTCGCGCCCGAGTTCGTGAGTCTCGCGCGGGACGCTTGTCGTCGTCGGCGGCGCGTCGTCGACGACGACGAGGACGCGCTCGTCGTCGAGGACGATTCTGAGGAGGAGGAGGAGGAGGAGCCCGAGCGTATCTCCAGACCCAAGTCCGCCGACGCCGTGCGGCGGGCGCGCGTCGTCGTCTCACCTGAGGTCCTCCAGGAGGCGCCGCCGGCGCGCGTGCCGCGGCCGGCGTCGGCGCCGCCGAGGCGCCTCGGCCCGTCCCCGACGCCGTTCCTGACGCCCGAGAAGAGCGCCTCCGAGTCGGAGAGCGACGCCGAAGATGCGTCGGACGACGCCGAAGAAGAGGCGTCTGCCGAGGGCGCTCCGGACGCGGAGGAGGAGCCCGAGCCCGAGCCGGTGCCCGCGACGCCGCCGCGGAAAAGGCCGTCGACGAAGGTGGCGCAGATCCTCGCGGACCTCCAGGCGCGCGTGCGGCTGCTCGAGACGACGACGGGCCGCCGCGCGCCCGAGCCCTGGACGCCCGACGGCGTCCGCGGCGTCGCGCGCCTCGCGCGGGGCACGCCGCAGCGGACGCCGTCGCGGACCGGGCCGCGGGCCCGGAAGTCGCCGCTGCCGGGCGGCCACACGGGTCCGCGGCCGCGGAGCGCTGGGCCGCGGTCCCGCGCCGAGCTGTCGCGCCCGACGAGTGGCGGCGTGGTCGTGTTCATACAGTAAACTTATTTATTTCTAGCCCGAGCGCCCCCGGGGCCGGGGCATCCGCACTGGGTCACGGTGCTCCGACTCATGCTCGCAAAGACAGGAAATACCGCAAAGGCATTCTGTCTGGACGTGGTGCCACCAGTCACCACCGGGGGGTGGTCCCGGGGCCATGAGGTTCCGGGGCGGTTCGACGAGAGGCTCAATGTCGACCAGCGCACCGTCGCAGAACGACACGGCCGGACGCAACGCCGGACCGCCGGTGAGTCGTAGGCCTTCGGCGATAATCCTCGGCGTCTGGTCGGCCCAGCCCTTGCTCGATATCGCCAGCGTGGCGGATCCGTCCTCCTTAATCTCGAGGGCAAGCAGGGCTTTCCCCCCGTGGATGTAAGGCGCGTCTAGCCACCTTCCGTCGTGAAAGGCGCAGGCGCCGATGGGCCGCTCCACGCAGACGCCGAAGCCCGCCCCATCCAAGCCAAGCGGACGCGTGCGATCGACCGCGGTCGTCGCGATGCCTACGTACAGATGGATGTCGGCCCAACTCGAGCCTAGCGTCCGTGACCGCTTAAAGACTCTCCTTGTGGAATAGTTGATCCACCACGCGTGGCGCCCGGCAGAAAGGGCCGAGCTGCCGAGGCAAACGGTAGGATGCCGCCCGTAGTTCGCCGACTCGCACTGGCACCCATTTTTCTCCGAGCACGAGGCACGGAAGGTCTTTCCGATGAATTCGTCGCGGCCCCGTTTGACTTCGAGGCAGCGAGAATCGTGGTAGCTCGCGCGGCGCGCGGCCGCGTACGGTGTCGACCACGGGGTTTTGTCTCTATAGCGACCATGCGTGAGTGCGACCTTCTCACCGCTCTTGGCGTGGGACCAGCGGTAGAGTACGGCTTCGAGGAACCTATCCATGGCCCTCGTCCGCGGCCAGCGCATGCCGCCCCGCGCCACGGGACGCCAGGCAGACTCTAGGCCGCGTTTCACGCAGAGGTCGCGAGCGAGCGTCGCGCTCGCGAACGATGGGCCGAGGTCCTTTGCAGCCCTACGCTTGACGCTCTCAGCCGACGTCGCATCCAGGAGGGCTTGCGTGATGCTCTGCGTGATGTAATCGATTCTGTCGGGGGGCATCCCTGGCCTCGGAGGCCTAACCACCTTTTCAACCTCTGCCCGGAGCCACGCCAGCACCGCGGGATCATTCTGCGCCATGGCTTTGGCTTCCGCGTCCGCGCGATCGCGCTCCACGTTTTTGATACCGCGGAACTTATCGAGACTTCTGTAGATGTCGCGCCAATCCCAATCCGTCTCCACGGGCGCGGCGCCCGGTGCGTCGGCGGTGACGCCGGCCGCGCGGAGGCGCGGGATCCAGTGGTGGTCTTGCTCGCCCGCGCGCCGCGCCGACCGATCGACCGCGCGAAACTGGAGGAGCTCCCGGACCGTGAGGAACTGCAGCCCCACCGGCTGAGGCAGCTCCAGCCTGCGGTTCCGGAAGAGGAAGGCCGTGGGCCCGGCGAGGCGCACGCGGCGCCGCTCGGAAACGATGGCCGCGACGACGGCGTCGACGCGCCGCTGCTTGTCTACTCGCTTCCGCTCGCTCTTGAAGACCTCGCGCAGGCCCACGCTCGCCAGGAAGCTGGTGAGGTCCGCCACCTTCTCGAATTCGCGCGGCAGCGGGGCGTCGCCGTCGGCGATCCAGCGCTGGGCGGCCAGCTCGACCTGCTTCTCTTGCCAGGCCTCGATCTGGTCCCCGTGCAAGTCCCTGGGCTTGACGATTTGCCTCATGGCGGAGAGAGTGGGCAGCCCCCGGGTGCAGGACTGCGACTTGTGTGCTTGACGACTTTATTTCTACGGTGATTGGGCTGCCCTCCCTCGAATCTAAGGACCGCGCAGCGCAAGCTCGCAGAGCGTTTTGCTAGGCATCCCTAGTGCCTTACAGGCCGCTAGCTCTCTACCCCCACGAAAGGACTTACTCCGTCTTCTCCTCGCGGTAGTACTCCTTCTTGCCGGTCATTTTCAAGAGGCGCGTCCGCGCGTAGAGCGCGACCAGGACCGCGTAGACGACGAACTGCGCCGCGGGAGCCTTGAAGGCGTTGTGTAACAATGCGACGGCGAGGCATCGGAGCGTCCACTTCGTGGCGACGCGGACCGTCTCGTGGAAGTTCTTCGACTTCCGCGAGACGCCGACGACCCAGCACGACGCCGCCGCGACGACGAGCATGTAGACGAACGCGAGCTCCCAGTGGTCGAGGAGCGTCTTCCGGACGATCGTGCCGCCTTTCCTCAGCACGAGTAGTGTGTAAAGCCCCGCGGCCGCGAACTTGGACTTGAAGCCGCCGCCCGCGCGGCGGATCAAGTAGAGCACCACGAGGCAGAGAGCGATCGCCTCGCCCATGACGACGGCCGAACCGTACTGGAAGGGCACGTTCGCTGACAACGCATGGGCCGCCGCGAGCAGGGCGACGCCGGCGAGGACCATGAGCGGGCGGACCGGGAAGCCACCTGTGCGGAAATCAAACGTGTGACTCCGGGGTGAGTACCGTGAGTAAGCCTAAGACGCCTCGTGCGAGGACGCCAAGCACTCTCGCGCTGCGTCGAGGCGGCCAGAATAGTAAATAATACATCCAGGCCGGCCTGGCGCACTGGTTGATTTCCGCACTGGAAGCCACGATCGACGACGACCTTTATTTTGTACGGCTCCCGAGATGATACACGCGCGCACGAATTGCCGTAGGGCGACAGGTCCAGGACGCAGTCCGAGAACGGGTTCGGGCAGCTGTCCCACGGCATGGGGAACAATGGCCTCCTGGCCAGTTTCTGATCAAGCTCCTTGCCGAGGTTGCCGGGCTCGGCGCCGATGAGCTTGCCCACTATCGAACGCCCCGCCTCGTGAAAATCGTCGTCGCTGACGGCGCGCGCGCGGCCGCCCGCCTTGCCGAACTCAATGTCCCACGTGATGGAGCCGAAGATCAACGACGCCGCCGGCGCGTCCGGCGGGGCCACGCAAAAGAGTTGATCCTTGCTGGCTTCGATCGCAGGCGCGTCTAGAGTCATCTCCAAGGCGCTCTCGAATTTCTTTGGCGCTTTGCGTGCCGCTACCACACACATGAAGGCGGCGAGGAGTTTCATGCCTTTAACACGATTTCCGCGAGGTCCGCGGCTCTCCTAAATTTATAATCAATGACAGACGTAGAAAGGCGTCTCCCGAAGTGCCTGATAGTGGCTAGATCCAGGGGCTAGGCCTCAGAGAGCTGGCTAGTGTCTTACTACAGCTAGCACCGAAAACTTAGAGTCGCTGCAGCATTTCGCCTGCAGTTGATACTATTGCAACTAGCAGGACAGCGGGGCATTGAAGACGAGGTATTGCGGCGGCAGGATCGGGCTGCGCGCTTCCACACGCGATAATCGCATTGGTGCTCTCGCTGGATTCAAAATACTGCATTGCTGCGCGATTGCATTGCGCGATTCAAGCTGACGGTGCGCATCACATAACGATGCATCCTCGCGTTACAGCTCTCTGGCTGATCACGATCCACACCGCTGGAGCACTCGCGCCAGACAGAACGCGCACACCCGTCGTCTGCCGCGACGCGCGCCTCCTCGACGCCTGGGCCATCGCCGGCGTCGCGGCGCAGTCGTTCTACGACGATCCGGCGCCGGTCGTACGCTTGCAGTGGGCCGCGACGATAGCGCAGCGGTTCGAGGGCATGCGCGGCGGCGATTTGGTGCCGCACTCGTTGGTGGTCGCGGAGGTTAATGGACGGAGGGGCGACGTCGTCGGCTGCGCCGAGGTGGGTTTGTTGCCAGCACCACCGGGATTCAAGGGCGCCGCGGGCACGGCGGCCACCGAGGCGTCGGCCGCCTGGCGCGGCGTCGATATTGATGATGTGTCCTTCCGCGCGCCGGACGTGCCCACCGTGGCGAACGTGGCCGTGGCGCCGCGGGCGCGGCGCTACGGCGCCGGCCGCGCCATCGTCGACGCCGTCGCGGAGCGCCTCAAGACGGACGCGTCCTGGCGGGCGTGGCGCGAGTTCGTGTCGGACGAGGACGATTATTTGTATGCGCGCGTCGTCGACGAGCGCGCGCTGCCGTTCTGGAGCGGCGTGGGCTTCGACCGCGTGCCCGTCGAGCCCGGCGCGCGCGACGCGCGGGGCCTCGCCGGGACGTGGTTCCGCAGGAAGCTCTCTTCGTTTTAAGTGTATGTCATTGAATTTACGCGTGGTACGTCGTCCGCAAGAAGATATCGTCGCTCTAGTAATCTTCAAACATTTTTATGTCAATGAATTCAAGCGTGGTACGTCGTCCGCGGCGGCGGCACGGCAAAGCAGCCCCCGCCCTCGCGCCGCCGTTCGAGCTCCACCAGATCATTCTCCGACCCCGACGCCTCGGGCTCCGAGCCCTGGATGTCCCTGGCGCGCGGCCCAAACCGCAACACAAACAGCAAAGTGAGGACCGAAAAAAAAGCGACGAAGTACATGGCCCCACCGGCCGCGACGCCGATCGCCGCGGAGACCCAGGTGGAGGCTGCCGTCGTGATGCCGTGGACGTGCTGCTGCTCCGTGCCGCGGCCCGTCTTGGTCGAGGCCTTCCAGATGAGGCCCGCGCCCAGAAAACCGACGCCCGACGGGATGGCCGCCGCGACGCGCGACGAGTCCCAGGCCATCGGGCCGTCCTCGAAGGCGAGGAGGGACGTGATCGTGAAGATGCAGGCGCCGAGCGCCACCAGCGCCATGGTCCGAATGCCCGCTGGTCTATCTCCCCTCCTCCTCTCGTAACCGACGGCGCCGCCGCACAGGATCGAGAATAAGATGCGTCGCCCGAGGTCGCACTCGCGCTGCGTCAAATTCAAAAGTTGGATGTAGCGCACGTTCCGGCAGCCCGGGTCGTAGTGGGGATTGACGAAGGGCGCGTCGTGCTTCGGGAAGATCGCATCCACCAAGGCCTCGTCGCAGGCCGGCCGCAGCCACGGCTCGAAGAGCACGATGCATGTTGTCGAGAGAAATAAGCAAGCGGACAGTATATAGGCGCAGACCTGCTGGCGCGACGCCGCCGGGCTGAAGTAGCGCTGCGGCAATTGGTGGAGCTTGTCCATGACGCTGTCGGTGCGCCGCGGCGGCCGCGGGCTCCCATCATATCCACCCTCGATGGACGCGTAGTCCGTCTTGGTGTTGTTGTTGCGGTTCGAGAGGCTCATCTTTCCCCGCCGCGTGTCCTCGCGCTTATTCAGCCAGTGGTGAGGGCCACTCAGTGGGGACCTACGCCTAGTGTAACGCGCCGGTCAAGCAGCGATCGCCGCGGCTTGCGCAAGTTATGAGCGACGTCCGAGATGCCGATAGCACCCGCAAACAATCAACCAGCGATGGCTACGGGCGGTGGACGCAAAAACATAGAGCTAGCGTCCTGTAAGGCACTAGCCTTACTCGAGTAGGGCTGCCCCCGTCGCGTTTTGTTCACAAGAGATGATCCTCACGCAGTGCGCCGTCTGCGCCACCGACCTTGGTTTATCCTTGGGCAAGAAATGCGGCCGCTGCAGCACGCGCTACTGTGGCCCCGAATGCCAGGTGCAGCACTGGAAAGAAGGCGGGCACGACCAGCTCTGCAAGAAAATAAAGCGCTCTGGTGGCGCGGAACAGTACAACGCAAATAAGAAGTACACGGAGGCCGTAACGCGCGCGGCGGAGGCGTGCGCCGACGACACAAAGGGCCAGACGTGCTACATCTGCACGCAGGCCCTCCATTGGAAGACGAAAGAGGGCCTCGTGCGCGGGTGCTCGTGCCGCGGGACGGCGGGCTTCGCGCACGTGTCGTGCTTGGCAGAGCAGGTGAAGATTTTGGTCGCGGAGGCCGAGGAAAATAATTTTTTGGGCTCTGATAAGTTTGTGCCGAGGTGGGCGCGGTGGTACACGTGTAGCCTGTGCGAGCAAGATTATCACACGGTCGTACGGTGCGCGCTCGGGTGGGCGTGCTGGAAGACATACTTGGGTCGGCCGGAGACAGACAAGCTTCGGCGAACTGCGATGAACCTGCTTGGGGGCGGTTTATACAGTGCGGAACACCACGCGGACGCGGCGTCGGTGATGGAGGCCGAGTTGTCCATGATGCGGCGAATTGGCGGTTCAGACAATAGCGACATATTCGTCGCGCAGACTAATCTTGCGAGCACGTATCAGGCGCTTGGACGGCTTGACCAGGCCATGTGCTTGCGGCGAGAGGCATACGCCGGAGGATTAAAGCTCTTTGGTGAAGAAGATAATAATGTCCTCTCAGCAGCCAACAACTACGCGAAGTCCCTTCTTACTCTCAAGCGCTCCGAAGAAGCCAAGGCGTTGCTACGCAAAACGATGCCCGTGGCGCGACGCGTTCTCAGAGAAGAACATAGAATCACGCTCAAAATGAGGTGGAATTATGCGCTGGCGCTCTGCTGTGACCCCAGTGCCACGCTCGACGATGTCAGCGAGGGCGTGTCGACGCTCGAGGACGCGGGACGGATCGCGCGGCGCGTGCTAGGCGGCGCACATCCGACCACAGAAGGAATTGAGAATGCCCTGCGAGACGCGGGGGCCGCGCTCGCCGCCCGCGAAGGTGACTGCGTGACCTCTGTCTGCGAGGCGGTGGCCGCTGTGAATTTACTGGACGGGTCCTAAGCACCGCACAAAACGTAAAGCAAAAATCAATCTTAGCAGCGGGGGCAGCGGGGGGGGGGGCAGGGGGGAAAGAAAAGCACACAAGTCACGCCTTCGCCGCGACCTGCTTGCCGAGCGCGAGCGCCGTCGTGACGACGCCCGAGACGTCGTTGGGCTTGTCGGGCACGATGATCATGTTCGCCGTGTTCGCCATCGTGCTCAGCGAGGCGATGTACTTCTCGGCGATGTTCTGGACCATGGCCTGCTCGCCGCCGGCCGCCGTCAGCGCGTCGGAGACGGCCTTGAGGCCTTCCGCGCGGCCCTCGGCTCTCAGCTTTTCAGCTTCGGCGTCGGCCTCGGCGCGGATGCGTAACGCCGCCGCGTCGGCTTCCGCCGCGATGGTCACGGCGCGCGACTGGCCTCTAGCGGTTGTCTCGGCCATGAGGGCCTCGGCCGACGCGACCGCACCAGACGCTAACGATTTAGTCAAAGCATCATCAACAGGAGCAGCTGAAATAATATTGATCGACATGATCTCGATGCCGTAGCTCCTCGTTACACTATTAGCGTGCTCGACCGCGCTGCCCATCTTCTCCAGGTTGTAGAGCGGGTTGTCCGCGAAGGCGCCGACGGTTGCGGGCGTCTCTTCTACGAGAGTAGCGGCGGCGACAGGTGCCTCTCTTCCAGCAGCTTGCGCCGCCGCACTCATGTGGAACGACTCCGAGTAGTTCACGGAGCCGATGAACGCCGCCAACGAAGCTAATGCTTGTTTGAGAACATCTCTCCTTAGTTTCGAGATGTCCGCGGCGATCTTGCCCTTGCCGCTCTGCGCCATCGTCTCGGCCGCCATCGTCGCCGCGACCTCCACATCAACGATGCGCCAATTCACCGTAGAATTCACCAACATGTTGATGTTGTCCGCACTTGTAGCTTGGATTCTCTCGAGCTCATCCGTCTGGATTTTGAGGGTTATAAATTTCTCGAACTTCCAGTTCTTATGGGTGAGGAAGTGCGTATGCCCGCCCGCGAGTATGACTTGTTTCCCATTGTTCTGGGTCACGGCCGAATACCCCTCATTTACGGTAACAAGGGTATAAGGACCGAGTTCGATGATGTGGTCATTTAAATGAAATTGCGACACGAAATCCATACTCTCGGACGTCCAGACATGTATACCAGGTGGGAGTAATACGGGCTGACCGTTGTCCGACGCGTAGCCAATACTCCCTTGATCCACTACTACTATCGTGCGATTGCCGTGCTTGATGTGGCCCCGCAGCGGCCTCGGTTCACTCGTCACGCGAATGAACATGGAGTTGATGTTGTGCATGCCCGGCTGCGCGAACAAGTAGCGGTTTTGCTGGTCCATGAGGAACCCAACGTGACCCGCGGGCACGAACATTTCGGTATGGCAGGCATAATAAGCACAAGGCACCAAACAACAACAGTTCTTCGCCCGTGCTACAATATTCTTCCACTGGTCCGTGTTCTGCTTGAGGTCTAAACCGGTAAAGATGTCCTCGATGTCCTTGCGGCGGTGCTCCGTGCATAAAACACCGGCCCTTCGTAAAGCGATGTACGCGGGGGTGTCTTCGGCCCTCCCGGCGGGCGCGCCGCGGTCCATGGTGTCGAAGCGCGGGCTGATGCGCGCCTCGCCCTTTTGATCATCCAGTAACATGGCTTGCTCCAGCGGCGTGCGGGCCGTGGACATTTACTTGCTCAGCTTTGCTCTGTGGCCAAGCTGGCGCGTCGAACGGCGTCCGGAGCTGCGTCGATGGCGTCCGGAGTGCGCCAACGATGCGAGCGGCGGCTGCCTCGTGGTTGGGCAGCGTTGCGATTTGTCACGGCGGAGAAACAAAAGCCAGCTTGGCCTAGGGTTTTGGAGTTTGTTAGGAAATTTGCAGAGGAGTGAGGCGTACAAAGACCGGTCTTTGGAGGCGCATCTGTCCTAGCACGACTCCTCGACGGCCCGAGGGAGACGTCGGGCCGCATGCTGGCTAGTGTCTTACAGCAGCTAGCTCTCTTGCCGGCCGCATTAGCCTAATAAAATCGCTGCAAGGCCATCACTGTTCATTATAACTCATTAGTACAGACCTCACGCATCACTACTACAACTTGCACGGCTCGCACACATCGCTACGCAACAATGGAGCTCACCCAAGACCTGCCACCGCAGTACGAGGAAAGGATGCTAGCAGCTAAGTTAGATTGCGACCGCGGTCAAGGTCAAGGAGACGCCTGCCACGCCGTCGGCGAGTTTTTGTCGGTTGTGAAGAACGACCACGTCGGAGCGAGGAAGCAGTTCGAGCGCAATTGTGGGAAGGGCCACGGCGCGTCGTGCTTCGCTCTTGGTAGGTTGTTGCTCGGCGGCAAGGGCGGTTCTACTGATGAGAAAGGCGGCGAACGCGTTCTAAAGAAGGGCTGCGATTTGGAACACGCGCCGAGCTGCCACCACCTCGGCCTGCTTGCGTTCGGTCGAGGCGACGAAAGGACGGGCAAGAAACATCTGGACAAAGCGTGCACGAAGGGCCTGGCCCAGGCCTGCCACGTGCTCGGCGGTGCTTTATTGAGACCGGGTTCCTCCAGGAATGCCGTGAAGGCGAAAGATTACCTCGAGACCGCGTGCGCCGACGGCCACGCGCCGGCCTGCCACAACTTGGCGGTCATGTTCCGCAAGGGCGACGACGGCGTGCCCGCCGATCCGCAGTTGTTCGAAAGGTATGCGAAGCGGACGCGCGCACTCGTCGAGGCGGCGGGCGCGGCGCGGGGTGTGCGCGTCGCTTGATCTGACTAATGTGGTGTTGTACAGTCTAGTTCAGTGGTGTATGCGTCTGTTGCTCGCGTCGAAAGCGTGCTTCTAGTATGTTACAGACCGCTAGCTCGGATTTTTAGTCGGCCAAGCGCAGCGGCGCCAGCGCATGCTCTGGCGCCGCGCGCGCGCTGAACAGCGTTATTCGCAGTGCGTCTGCCCGCTGCGGTGACAAAGTTAGATCTGTCAGGGCCAGAGCACCGCTGTAAAGAGCCGGCCATATTTCAGCAGCAAAATGGACCACCCTCCCCTCGCCCTGCGCCTGGCCGCCGCGCTCGCGCACGCGACCTTCGCAGCATCAGTGCTACTACCCGCGCTCGTCACGGTCCGCTGCGCCGTCGGCGCCGACGGCGCGGACCGGCGCCGCGCGCGGAGCTGGCTGAGGTACTGGTGCGTCGCCGGCCCGCTGCTCGCGCTCGAGGCGTCGGCCCTCGGCCGCTTTTTCTATGGGGCGCTCACGCTCACGGGCGGCGACGCGCGCGTGCTTGGTTTGGCCGTCCTCCGGTTCCTGGTGGCGGAGCGCCTCGCGACCACGAACCTCTGCGACGACTTGTATGTGGCGCTCGAGGGCTTCCTCGCGCCCCGAGAGGCAAAGATCCGCCGGGGCCTGGACTCGCTGGGCGACGCCTCGGTGAAAGCGGGCAAGCAAGCCGGCGCCGTCGTGGCGCGGACCGCCGCATCTCAGTCGCGCGAGCTCTGGCGCGTCGCGCGGTGCGCGGCGGCGGCGAAAAGGGTGTCGGACGGCCTGCGCGCGCGCGCTGCTTATGAGGCGGCGCATTCACCGGGGCCGAAAACAGTTGAAGGCGGCGGCGCGCCCGCGGCCGAGGACGAGCTGCCCTTCGAGCCGACGCCACCGACGCCGCCCGGCCGCCCCGCGGTCGCCTTCGAGGAGCAGGCCTCGGGCTACCTCGACGACAGCGGCGACGAGACGCCGACGCTCGGGCCGCAAGTTTCGATAGGCTCGCGCAAGACGGCGGACAAGCCTCGAAGGAGGGTCCGCTTCGCCGAAAAACTGGACGACAAGACGCCGGTGAAGCCGGTCGTCCCCATGATACCCAAGGGGCTGCCGAGCGGCGACGGCATCTCGTTCTGCGAGGATGATGTGTATCAGATGCCGCAGCCGCCGACCCCCCAGACGCCGCAGCATTCGAGGTACGGGACGTTGCCCTCCGGCGACGGCGTGTCGTTCTGCAGCTTCGCGGAGCCGCCGCCGCCGGACCCGGCCCGCTACGCGGCGCTGCCGTCGGGCGACGGCGAGTCGTTTTGTGAGGATGATGATAACTCGCCGGCGTCCGTGGACACGTTCGAACCTAAACTAGATGTGTTGCCGTCGGGCGACGGTGATGATGATGATGTTGTAGCGCGACTGATAAATGGCACGGTGCTGTGCTTGGGCGGCATGGCGACGGGCGGCCCGCCGTGCCGCCGCCGCGTTACCTTAAGGAGGGGGCACCTGGAGTGGTCGGCGCCGTTGGAAAATGACGCGGGAGAGGGCGGCGCGATTTCCCTCGTGGCCGTGGAAGCGGTCGTAGCGGTGGGGGGACGCAAGCACCGATTGCGGGTCCGGTCCGCGACGTCCCAGGGCTCTGATGACCTCTTCCTCGACTGCGACTCTAGGGAAGACGTGCCCGCGCTGCGCGACGGTCTCGAACGCGAGGCGATGCAAGCTAGAGAAAAGGCGCGCGCCGTCGTCGAGAAGCAGCTCGCGCGCGTGCGAGCGCGCCTATCGAACGCGTTCGAGCAGCTCAAGTGTAGTAAGTGAATTTCATGTATCTGCTTAGAGCTAGGCCGCCGAGCCGTCCCCGACGCCGGGCCCGCGTGTATCTATTCATGTCTTGAACTTATGCGGGGGGGGGATCGTCAGAAGCCCGCCCACGGGTCGTCGTCGTCGTCGCCGCCGCGCACGGGCGACGACGGATCGACGTCGGACGCGCCGTCGAGCCAGCCCAGGTGTCCTAATTCAGGAGCGAAGCGCGGCGGCGGACTGACGAGCGAAATCTTCCAGACGTCCTGGCTGAACACCGCCGTGCCTCCCACATACGCTCTTTCCGCCAGGATCCGCCGCTTCTTCGGTTTTCTCTTCGTCAGCAAAGCGTCGATCACGGCCAACGCGCCCTCGTCACTAATACCGTCCAAATTCGGCTCGTCATCTCCACGGATCTTCCTCAACAACTCATTAGGGTCGTCGTCCGAGAAAGGCCAATCAACTTTCAACATCTCCACCAACAATACCCCAAGAGACCACCAGTCCACCCCACACCCGTGGCCTGAACGCGTGACCATTTCGGGCGCCATGGCGTGAGGCGTGCCGCAGTACGTCTCGCGCTTCGGTTCGCCGTCGACGCCTGGCGGGCGGTCGCGATCGAAGACCCCCGTCGCGCCAAAGTCGACCAACACAGCTCGTCCATCGCCGTCCAAGACCACGTTCGAGGCCTTGACGTCCCTGTGGAGCACGCCCCACTCGTGGCAATGCGCCAAGGCGTCGGCCGTCTGCGCCGCGTAATACAACGCGCGCTCCGGCTGGAAGCCATTCGCGGCCCTTATATGCTTGTATAGAGGGCCTCCTAATGCGGCAGACGTGACGATATAAATCCTAGCATCGTCCTTCGCGGTTCGTACCAAAGAAGCGATCAAGGGGTGGTTTACTTGTCTAAGAGCGTCCCGCTCCGCAACCACAGCCGCCGGGTAGCACCGATCCCTCGAGTAGCTCTTGACGACGACAGCCTCTTCGTTGTATTCGTCGAAACAGAGTTCTGTGGTTTGGCCGTTGCTCTTCGACGCCAGGGTTAAGGTCCTCGAGAAGGAACCGACCGGTCCTGATAAAGACGAGCGGCGCGACTGGGATTGACTTTGTGAAGCGAAGGGGTCGGAGATGCGCGCGCCCGGCGTCCAGAAGCGCCGCACCTCTTCATCCCAAGCCTGGCTGTCGTCTTGTTGCCGGTCACGCTCTCTAGGTGGGTGGCCGGGGCCGCCGGGGACGGGCTGCCAGTCGCAGTCGGGGTTGCCGCAGACGCAGCGGCCGCGGCGGCGCATGTTATGTCTGTTCGTGTCCTTGGTCGGGCCGCGGGCTGCCCCGTCCGGTTCCGCTCCTCGACAGAGGGGGCCTGGACTTCCCTTACTAATTTCTGCCTGCCTCGTGCCAGAGATTGGCCGGGAGAGCACTTCACGAGAGCAGCGCTAATTCTAGTATCTCTATAACCTAACAAAAATTACATAATCGAGAGCCTGCGGTTTTTTTGGCAAGCTGTAGTATTTGCGGACATACGAGCGATCTCAGCGTAGCATTTGTTTGCTCGAAAGCGCCCACGACCTCTGCGCCGCACCCGACGCCGCGCCGCCGCTGCGGAAGCGACCAAAAGCCATTTGACCGGCCGACGCCGGACGCCGCCGAGCGCAGCCATGAACATGGACTTCGCCGCCTTGTCAAGGATGGCCAAGGACGCCACAACGAAGGCCAAAGCTACAGCGACGAAGCTGGCCGAACAGGCGAAGGAGCGCCTCGAAGACACCGAGGGTAACAAGCAAATGATGCAGCAGTTCGCCGAGAAGGTTGGAAGAACGCTAGATGAGTTTATCGATGAGGCCCCGGGTCCCGACCAATCAAAGATCATCGACTTGACGTACGTCACGGACCGTTTCGTAACGATGGGCTTTCCCGCGTCTCGCCGAGGCGCTCCTGGTAGCGCCGCAGCCAGAGCTTGTGCTAATCCTATCACAGCCGTCGCGAAACACCTGAAGACTTATCATGACGGCCACTTCATGGTTCTTAATGTGAGCGAAGAAACCTACGACTACCGACGGTTTGAAGATAATGTCCTCGAGTTCAAGTTCCCGGGGCATCCCGCGCCGCCGCTGGGCATGTTGGTGAAGATATGTACGACGCTAGAGTCGTGGCTGGACGCGGACCACGAGAACGTGGTTGCGGTCCACTGTCTCACTGGTAGGGGTAGAACTTCTGTCGTAGTAGCTTGCGCTCTCGCTTGGTTGGGAGAATTCGAGGCGAACCCCGTCGTGGCGCTGAGGCATGTCGCTGAGCGCAGGAAGGATGATGTGGAGAGATTAACCATACCTTCGCAGAGGAGATACGTCGGCTATTTCGCGAACGTGTTGGATGGGTGTGCGCCGCGCGGCGAACCCCTACTCTTGAGAAGGTGCATCATGCACACCATACCCAATTTTGGCAGTCAAGACAAACCTGGGTGTCGACCGTACCTGCAATTCTTCCGGAGCGGTAAGCTAGCACACACAGCCAGGTGGGAAGGCTCGCAAGATGACAAATCGTGGGCGGCACCCTCTGAGGGTTCGTTGGTCTTCCCTGTGGATTGTGTGGTGCACGGCGACTTGTTAGTACGATGCAGACACGTCGACGATCGAGAGCGAAGGACCTCCATGTTTAGGGCGGCCCTACACGTCGGTTTCGCACCTACAGGTGTTTTGAGATTAACGAGGGACCAGCTCGACGGCGCGTGCGGCGACGACCGCTTCGATGGGGACTTTTTTGTCGACTTAATTTTTGAGGCGTGTAGCGGCAGTGCTCAAGCCCTCGAGACAGGAGTGTCGAATGAGGAAGGAGGCTTCTCGGCGGCGTACGACGCCTTGTTGGCCAAGGACTCGGCCTTCTGGAAGGACGTCGAGGATCGGAAGAGACGCGCGCAGCAACGACGGGCGTCGCGGCCCGCGCGGACGGCGAACGCTCGAGCTGCCGAGGCGGCCGCGGCGGCGCCTGAACCTCTGAGGAGAGCACCATCACCTCGGACCAAAAAGCAAGAAGGTCCAGTGTTTGCTATTGGCGAGGAGACTCCGTCTGAAAAACCAAAAACGCAGACGACGCCGGACTTGCTGGACACTGATGATCTAGTCCGGCAGCTCGCCGACGCGGACGCTTTATTTGGTTCGGGAGACCCGGCGCCGTCGCTGCTGGAACTGCAACAGCTCGCGGACGCGCCGCCGATGAGCGACGACTTCGCTGCGTTCGCGTCGACGCCGCCTGTTGAAGAGTTTGCTTCTTTTGAGTCCGCGCCGGCCGCGGCGCCCGCGCCCGCTGCGCCGCCGCCCGCGCCGCCGCCAGCACCGCCGGCGCCCGCGCCTGCAACGATGACGCCGTCGAAGGACCCGTTCGGCGCCTTCGCGTCGGCCGCCGCGCCGCCGCCGGCACCGGCGCCGCCGCGGCCGCCGAGCCCCGGCCGGCGCGACACGACGGACATCCTCGCCGACCTCGAGGAGGTTCTGGGGGATGCGCCGGCTTCCGCGGCCGCGCCGGCGCCCGCGGACGCGGCCTTCGACGTCGACGACTTCGAGTCGTTCCTCGACGGGTTGGACGGCGGCAAGTAAAGTATGTGCTAGACTACTTCTTCTTCTTACCCACGTTCAGGCCCGCGGCCAGCAAATCGGACAAATCTTCTTCCTTCTTCTGCGTGGGGATACAAAGCGGTGAGTCGCGCCGGCGGCGCGCGGGGGTCGAGTCGAAGACGCCGGAGTCGTACCTTCTTGACCTTCTTCTTCGCCGCGGCCTGGGCCACGGCGATGCCCGTCGGCTCGGGCGCGTTGGGATCAAAACCCTTGAGGTGCGGGAAGCACTTCTCCGGCTCTTTGATCAATTTATCGTGCTTCGCGACGACGTGGTCGTACAAAAGCTTGTCCTTCGACGAGATCATGAAGGTCTGCAGGCAGACGAGGCACTTCTTGGCGTTGCGGTCCTTCTCGGCTTTCGCTTTGGACGCTTCTCGTTCTTCCTTGCTCTTGCCCTGCTCCTTGGCGTTGCGCGCGCGCGCGGCGTTCGCCTTGGCGACGTTGGAGCCCTTTCCCATTGTTGTGAAGTTGCTTAGTTGTAGTGGCAGTGTTCTCAGTGTGAAGCGCTGAGTGCAAGCGTCACGCCTCGATAGCGTCGCTGCGAGTTGTAGTGCAGTGCTCTCAGAGAGGCTTTGTTAGCACGGCAGTATATCGAGTTGCACGCGTCACGCGTCGATAGCGTCCCGACGAGTGCTGCGGCTGCGGTCAGGCAGTGTTTGTTGGATAACTAGCGTTTGCCGGTGCGTTGATGACGTTTGCTGATCTCGCTAAGTGTGTCTTTGCACGCTAGCTAGTCTGTGCAGCTTTCGATTGCAGGCCCAAAATCGATCGCTTTCGGTGCTCGGCCACAGCAGTAGACGGCATCGCTCATCAACAGAGCCGTAACGCATCGATATGCTCCGTGCACTCCTATTACCAAACATTGCAGCCGCACTGCTCGGCGGCCCAGCTTTCACAGCAACACGTTGCACCTACGACGAAGTATCCGAGCTCGCGAGCCCATCAGAACCAGTGGACGGCGACGTGTGGGTCAAGGTTACTGAGAACGCGGCACCATCATTGGACTTGACGTCCGCCATGGCCGCCGCAACCAGTGAACCATCTATAGTCGTAGGAGCACCCGCGGCCTGCGGCCGCCTCCGTCCAGGACCGAACCCGGTCATTGATGTGCTGCGGTCCTCGATCGCCAAGGAGCAGGTCGACCGCTGCGGCGCGTCGATGGACGCATGCATAGAAAAGTTGTTAGAATGCTGGCTCGAGAACTTGGGAGACGACGAGTTCGAGAGTCTCGGCGCCTCGGCGACGTTGTACACGTCCGACGCCTTCGAGCGCTTCGGGTTCGCGGAAATCGAATTTCCCGACCTGACCGCATTGGGCCGCGGCGAGCCCATCGTGACGCATCGGGCGCGCCTATCCGCCGCAATTCTCGCCTGCGACGCGCGGGGCAGCGCGGCGCTCGCCGAGGAATTGCGAAGGCAGCCGCCGCCCTCCGGGAAGGAAGAGGCGGCGGCTCCCAAAAAAGACCCGTGGGCGGGCGCGTTTAAGTTGTAACAGTAACACAATACTACCAGTTATCCACGCTCGCCGTCGAGTCCGACCGCGCCGTCGACGGCGGCGCCTCGCCATCCTCGCCGGGCACGAACGCGATCGCGTTCCGCCGCCGCTCGGAGGGCGGCTTCCACATGGGGTGCGACCAGTGCATCTCGCCCTTGGCCGTCCTTTTGGCGTATTCATCGTCCGTCTCCTGCATCGCGTACTCGCGACAGATCTTCACGAACCGCTCGATCTCGTGGACGCCACAAAATAGGTCCCAGACGACCTGCCACATCTGCTCCTGGTTTCTACCAGGCCACGCCCGCACGAAGCGATCGCGCCGCGGCCCGAGGTCATTGGCAAACACCTCCCAGTGCGCCACCATCATTTTTTTGTATAGGATATGGATCTCCTTCAGTCGTTCCGGGTCGCCACCATTCTTCCGCGCGGCCTCCATCACCGCAGGTACATTTTCATTTAACCAGTCTTCGATGGGGCCCGGCGCGTCGTCCTCGTCATCAGACGCGGCGTCGACGTCGGACGAGGCGTCGACGTCGGACGAGGCGTCGATATCCTCACCACTCGGCGCTTGGTCGGGGTAGAGTTCCTCCGAGGGCCACTTGAACTTGGGGTAGACCTTGCCTGGTTTCCCGAAGTCGTTGCCTGTGCGTAAATCAACCAGTGAGTCGGATGCCGATGATTCTTCACTAAGTCATTTCTCGGCGACGACGCGGCCGTGCTGGCCCCATCGAACGGTGAGGAACCGGCATCGTCACGCCATCGAGCAGGCGTCGCGTCGATGGCGTGGAGGTCGACGCGAAGATTTCCACACGGGTTGTTGCCGAAGTCCAGTTTTCGGCCTTCGAGAGCCGCTTGCGCGTCCTCCGCGGCGATCCTAGCCTCCTCGGCCACGGAGGGATGCTCCGTGACCTCCCAGCCCGGTTCCGGCTCCTTGGGCTCCCAGTTTTCTTCCTCACGCGCGTTCTGCTCCACGATTCGTTGAAATTCGTCTTCATGAACGATCGTGAACGGCCGCTTATCAGTACCATCCTTGTTCTTGAACAAATGCTCGAACATGGACGGCTCCCCACCGAGAGGATCATGCCGCGGCCGCCCGAGATGCGTCGGGAACAAGTCAGGCCTATCTTTGAAAGGATTCGGGTGCTCCCGCAGGTAGTCGGCCCACTGCGCCTGTCGAGGCCCATGGTCCACCTCCCATTTGGTATGCTTCGCTTCTTCCCGCTGAGCTTTCCTTATACGAGCGTGATAAGTGGGTTCGAAGCCCATCGCTTCGAGCCGCTCATCCAACTCTTGTTGCGATAAATCCCACTCCTCCTTCGAAAACTTCGTCCGGGGCACTTGCTTGCCCTCCTTATTCACCTCGGTGGGCACTGGAGGCGGTGGCGGACTCGTGAAGCCATCCGCAGGGGGCTCGCCGCCCTTCAGCCTCACCCTGACATACAAGCCTCTCTGGTCCTTGCGTTCGGGTTTGGCACCGCCGTCATTTATGGCAGGACCAATAAACTTGGCGCCCTTCGTATAATCATAAGGCTCCTCCCAGAACTCCTTCGAGTTCACGGTTCTCGCATTGTTCGGTTGGGACGGAAAGACGCCGGCTCTCCTAGCTGCGGCTGCCGTCTTGAAGAAGGGCGGCGGGGTCTTCGTCGCGTTTTCCTCTCGTGTCGGGCGCCGCCGCGCCGGGCTCCGGGCCACGCTTTGCGCGGTGTCCTGGACGGCTTGCGCGGCCGACTGCGCCGCGCTCTGAATTGAAGAAGACGCCTTCGAGAAGAGGCTGTCCATGGAGCCCCGCAGGCCTGAGGATGGGGTCGTCGCGCGGCCGCCCTCCACTACATCTCGTGTTGGGCTGCCCTCGCGAGACATGATATATGCCGCTGGCCTGCTGCCGCAGTGATGGTATGGTCGGAACGCCGAGGCGTCGCGGCGATGGCGTCTGGGCAGCCGGCGTCCTGCCAAGCCGGGCAGCCTGCAGGCGCTCCTCTGGAGGTGCGGGCTCTGCCGCAGGAGCCCTATCAGCGGCTATGTTGGGCCGACGACTCTCTTCGTGGCGTCTGTGGTCGATTTCGTACAGCTGAAATTTAAACTGCACCCGCACTCAAAAATCAGTTCAGAGATGAATTGAATTGACCTGAGCTCATACACGAGCCTCGGACTACGTTTGACTGCTGCGCGTCTTCAGCAGTGACCTCACCGTATCCCTGCACTGCAGCCAGCAGCGCGGCGCGAACCGCGGCCCGTGGACGCCGTACAAGCGACACAACAAAAATACCACAGCGCTCAAAATGACCGACGTCGAGCAGGACTGTTTGGAGGAGACCCTGCCGAGCCAGCACGACGCCTGCACGCCGCCTCCCTCCGCCTTCCACGACGATTCTAGGGAGTCGACCGACGACGAGGCGGTGTTCGAGGCGCTCGCGTCGCAGTTCCGAAGCAGTAGAGCGCCGGCGACGCCGTTGCGATCGTCCGAAGAAGATGAGAGAGCTTTGGAGCGGTCCATCTCCGGATTATCATTAGCGCGGCCTCCCAGATCCCCGTCACCGGTCATGAGCGAGCCCCGAGTCCATACACCCGCAAAATCAGAAAGGAACACGCCCGTAAGAACGGCCTACAACCGGCCGCTGTCGACCTTAGATGACGACGTCTCGAAGAAGTTGTTTGACGACAAGGAGAACGTGCCGCCCAACAAACAAAGTGTGAGGGCGTTAGATGAATGGCGAAGCGCGGAGGACGAGGACGGCGACACGTACTACTACAACCGGAGAATTAGGAGAGTGGCCTGGGAGCTACCGAGGGGTGCCGTGACGGTGGAGCGAGATGGTATCAGTAGAATCGTGGCCCCGCGCGACAGAACGATCGAGCGAAGCGTCGACATCGAGCGGTGCACGCAAGCCGCCCAACAGGCCGCCTCCATGGCCCAAAAGGCGCGTTCCATACCGCGCACGCCGCCCCGCACGGCGTCGCCGTTCCCGGATTTGGCCGCTGCTTTACGTGAAGCGACTACCTCGACGCCAGAACGCGTGTTCTCGCCGGCGTGTAAAGTGGCGCCGGCGACGCCGCCTCCATCAACACCCGAGCGGCCCCGGACGCCGCCGCCCCAGGAGGCCGCGCCGGCCGTGCGCACGCCCGTCCGGGAGGAGCCCCAGGCGCGGGCCGCGCCTCCTTCACCAATGCCTGTGCGCACGCCGCCTCAACCGGAGCCCAAGAAGGACCTGCAGTCGTTGCGAGCGCGCTTCGCCGCGCGGGCCCAGCGACCCCCTCCATCAGAGGAAACGCCGCAACAGGTGCGCAAGCCGTCGACGGCCGTGACGCCCCACGATTTACCAAAGCCCCGCCGCCTGGGCACGCCGCGACGGACGCCTCTATCTGAAGCCAACTTCGGGGAGTCGCCGCCGCCCCAGCAGCCGCGCGTCTTCTGCTGCTACTGCGGGCAACCTTCTCATGTTTCGAAGCTCAACGCGCACCTCGCTTCCTGTCCTCAAAGGAAGGCCCTGGGGAACACGCCCGTTGAACGGCGCCTGAGACAGGCCTTGCGGAACCACTGGGCCGCGTCGCCCCAGAAGCCGGCGAAGAAGCCGGCGACGCCGGTGCCTCACTACGCGCTCGTGTCGCCCGAGTGAATGAGCCCCTCTTTTTGCCCCTTTCCCCTCCGTAAACGTACGATGATACTTAGCCTACTAGGGCGGCGCGTAGCCCGGCAGGACGTCGGAAATCAAAACGCACCGCTTCTCGTCCAAAGATCTATGAGCCGCCACGCCCAGAGCCACGGCCATCAAACCGTCGCGCACGGACACGGGTGGCACCTTACTACCGACCGCAGCTTCCACAAAGGCCGACAATTCAAAAAACGTCGCGCCCTCGTGAAAGCCGGCCTCCTTGATCTTCGCGTCCGGGTGGATATGACTAACAATGGGCTTGTTCCTCTCAGCTTCCAAGGGCGGCGTCCGGCCCGGCGCGATGGACTTCGCCGATCGCGTCGTCAAGCGGAACTGGCACTCCGGGCACCTTGCTTCGACTTTACCTTTGGTACCTACCACTCCCACATACTCCGTCTGCATGTCTTCGGCGAACATGCACAGGTCTAATGATGCCGAACAGCCATTGGAGAACGATACAATGACGTGGGCGAAGTCCAGGATGTCCGGCTGCTTGCCGTCGTAGTCCTCGTCGCGATGGTTCACGCCGCCGCCCCCACACGCGTAGACCGAGACCGCATCACACGATCCGTCGTGTGCCACAATCCGCCGCATCAAATCAAAAAAGTGGCAGGCTTTTTCAACTAATGTACCTCCGGTCCACTTATTAAATCTATTCCAGTACGCGACCTTGTGGAGGAAGGGGAAGCGGTGTTCCCTAATAGCGACCATCTTCGTCGTACCTAATACGTTACTATCGACCGTTTCTACTAATTTGGCAATCGGAGGCATCCACCGGTACTCCATGCCGACCATGAACATATAGTCACTCTGTGCATAGTGTTCTTTGACGAGTGCTTCCACATCCAGACAGTCCTGGATGGTCGTACAGAGGGGCTTCTCGCACAGCACGTGCATTTTCGCGAGAGGTAGTAGTTCTACTAGTAGTTCATGGTGCTGATAGTTGGGCGTGGCGACGATGAACGCGTCGCAGCCGCAGTCGAACAAAGAGTGCCAATCCGACATGACTTTCGCTTGTGGAAAGCCCCACTTATCTAATTCAGCTCTGGCTTCCTTTCTGGCGCGCTGATCGGAGTCCGCCACGGCTACTATTGTGGACCCTCGTTCTCTCAACAGCGAAATGTTGCGGATGTGTTCCAGGCCCATGGCGCCCGTGCCCGCGATCGCGAATTTGAGGCCGTCCTGCGGGTATTGTGGAGGTTTCTTCTGGACGAGGAGGCCGTGCTTGGCGTCCTTCTCGTGTGAAGCCGCGGCGTCGTCGCGCTCCTGGGCTCGGGCGTGGTCGAGGAGCGTCATGGTAGCTTTTGTAGGAGCGTGTCGACGGCGTCCGGCGTGCGTCGCGCTGTGTTTGCCTTGTGGTAGCAGCCTATGGGAGAGGGCCTTTGGCGCGCGTTTTTTGGGGCCGCAACGAAGTTTGGCTGTAGTAAGCTTGCAATAGGAAAGATCTGCGCGTGTCTGCGTGCAGTGGGGACGTTTGTGCTGCGCGTGCAGCGATTCTGAGCTTTTTTGGCTGCTCGCTAGTGTCTTACCGCTAGCTTGATCAGATAGCTGACCCGAGTCTCAGCGCGTTGTGTACACGAGAATCGACTTGCCTGAACGCTGACGGACGCGCACTGGCTCCCCAGCAGCCTACTGAAAGCCTCAGCTCAGCCCCGTGAGCGCCGCGGCCCGCGGCGCACCAACTTATACAAAAGAGGCCTCTCGCCGGAAGGTCACAGCGCGACAACGAAAAATGGCCGACCCCACACCAATGGACGTCGACGACGAGGCCGGGCCTACCGATTTGGTCTTACCGGACGTCATGGAAGGGATGCTAAGAATGGCGGCTCTAACGACGCCCGACACGCTGCCGGACGCCGCGAAGACCTGGACCGAAGCGCAAGCCACAACAGCTTTGAAGGTCGCCCTCGACTTGATCGGAGACCACCGCCGCGACGCGGGCTTTTCATTACTCGCTTTGTGTCGGCAACGCCTCACGACAAGTGATAACATAGGACGCGTCTGCCTCACCTGTGTAGGAGAAAGAAGCCACGCCGTCGCCGGCGTCGCTCTACTCCAGAAGCTGCTTCCTGCTGATTGGCCCTCCTCCCAAATCGACGCGACCACAATAAGTACGGCGGCCGTCGAAGTGCTCGCCGACCCGCGCGAGTCTGATTTATTGAGAAAGCAGGTCCTGGCGTTACTAGGAGACCGAATACAGGACAAGACGGCGGTCGTCGCGTGCGGCCTCCAACGGCTCTGCAAGGCGGAATCACCGTCGGGCGTGCTGGTCGACGCGCTCGAGTCGCTCACGAAGGACTCCGCGGGCGCGCCTCCCGAGAACTTCTTGGCGTGGCTCGACGACGTCCCTACACAACAATTAGAAAAAGCGGGCTGGTGCCTCGGTCGCAACGGCGCGATCGGATTAGCAGCCTTTTGCGTGAGAACTGAAGGTATAGCATTAGGAGCCGCGCGGCACTACGCCGCCACGCATGCGAATTTGAATGTTGCCGAGCGGTTGATTGAATGTTCTAGGGAGCCGTGCATTTCTGCTGCAGAAGTGTTATCAAATGTATTGAGGGACCGGTCGACGTCTGGTGAAGAGACAGCTAGAGTAGACGCGTGTTTGCGCTATCTACTCGTGAAGAAGCCGCAGATGCGCGGCGCCTGGCTAAGGACTCTAGGACCGAACGCTGCGGCGGATAGGGCGGCGCTGGAACGCGCTTCGGTCACGAAGACGGCGCCACCCGTAGAAAAGAGGAAGCAGCCGCCGGGCCTCGCCAATCTGGGGAATTCCTGCTACGCGAATGCGGTCTGTCGGGCGCTGCACGCGACGGCGCCGCTGCGAAGACTGCTACTCCAAGAGGCAAAAATGGACGCCGAGGCGCCCGTCTCGTCCGAACTGCGGAAGCTCGCCGCGTTGTTGTCAGGATCTACTAGATCATATATACGACCGGAACAGTTCCGCAAAAGATTAGCGGAGCCCTTCTGTTCCTACGGTCAACAGGATGCCGCGGAGTTCCTGCACTACGTCCTCGACGCCCTCGAGACCGAGGAGAATTCCGTTTCGAAAGCTTCATTGGATAATGTCTTTGGGGGGCAGTTGGAAACATTAATAACGTGCCAACGATGTCACAACCAGAGCAGCTCTTCTACGGAGTTGAATGGTCTTTTGACCGTTTCTGTACCGGACGATCGTATTCTGAGGAAGAACGAGACCCAGCCCGTGCTGAACACGTTGCAGAAGCCGTCTCCGTTATACCACTTGATCCGGGACCAGTATCTAGCGTCCGAAACACTAAGTGGAGAGGACGCCTACGAGTGCGAGATTTGTTCTCAGAAAGTAGAAGAAGCTCATCGGACCTCTAGAATAGCGCAAGCACCTAGACATCTGATCATCAACCTCGCTTGCTTTCAGTACGACGCTTCTAGTCAAACGAGACGGAAAGTGTCCACGAAGGTCGACTGCCCCCTCGCGTTGCATTTAGTAGATACGGAGTACAAGTTGTATGCGGTCGTCGTCCATTCTGGGAGTAGTCCGCACCACGGCCACTACTACGCGTACTGCCGCGACTCGTCGTCCGCAGAAGGTCGGTGGCGGAAGTTCGACGATGAATCGGTCGAGGACTGCGACGAGAAGGAGCCTTTGGAGCACCGCATCAATAGGTCGCCCTACTTGCTCTTCTACGCGCGCGACGACGACGAGGATTTATCTGAAGGTGAGTGGAGCGCGGATTTGCGGGGCTTTGTGGACCGCGACAACGAGGCGGCCTTGAATGAAACGCGGCCGGCGACGCCGCCGCTCCTCTTGACGAACGGCCCGGCGTTTGGGCCTGTCAATAGGCCGCCCCAGCCGCCGCCTGGAGGGCCGCCGGAGCCCTTCGCCGGCGGCGGCGCGGCGGGCTTCGGAGGGATGGGCGGGGGAGGCGTGTTTTAAGATTGACTGTGATTTGATTTACTCTCCTGATAGACTCGGCGCATTCTTCAAGCTCGTCGTCGACGCGTTCGCGAGGTCCAGCGAGACGCGCCTCGTTTCCTTGGCTTGGATTTGCGTCGCGTTGTAGTAGCGCGGCCGCGGGACCTCTGCGGTCGTCGAGTACATAGCACCGACGGGCCTGGCGTCCCCGGACGCCTTCGTCGGCAACTTGTTCAGGTCCCAGAGGCCCATGGCCACGCCGCACTCCGCGAGCACGGCGTGCGCGCGCATGATCGACGCGTCGTCTCCTTTCTCGGCCAGCGCCGTCGCGAGGCTCAACGCGGTCTCGTCAACATCCGCGCTCCGGAGGCTGCCTTCGAGGCACTCGAGCTGCTGGTCGAGGATGTCCGTTTCTCCGTTCGTGTGCTCGTGCGTTTGTGCGGGCGCGGCGTCCACCTCCTCGACCTCCTGGACTGGTGCATGGGGTGGCGTCGGTGGGGCGTTCTCGTTGTTGATCGGTGGCTTGGGGAGGCTGGCCATGTTGCTCCTGAGTTATGGAGGCTGCCCAATGCCACGGCGCGTGGATACAAGCGGCACAGGTGCTGCCGGCTTCGTTTTTGGATTGCTAGTGTGTGTGTATACGCTAGTTTTCAGCTTTCACGCGCTTTGCAAAGATCAGCTGCTACAGCCCCCTTGCCGGCAGGCGTGCGTTTTTAAGACTCACAGCAACCACAAAACTCGCGCGCACTCCAAATCGCAGCGTTTTTCGATCAGTGCTACACCAAAACCACATGGCTGCCCACGACGCCGACGCGCGCGCCCGCCAAGCGGTGGCATTGCTCATAATTTGCACCGTAGTGCAACGTTGGGACGTCCTCGAAGCCTGCTACAGCGACGAGGGCATCCTGCCCGTCGCAAACTGGCAAGCACAAGTGAACAACGACGCGCTCCACCGACTGCTCGTCGTCCACGCCTGGTCCGGTTCAATAACCTGGCAGCGCGGCCTCGCCCTGCTCCAAGTTTTACTAGCCCTGGGCCTCGCGCTAAACAGGCAGCCGCGCCGCTGCGCCGTGCTCTCGCTCTGGCTCTACGCGAGTGTCACGGCGCGGCACGCCAAATTAGCTTTCATCCTCGACCGCTACGCGCACATTCTGCTGCTGTGGCTCTGTGCGGCGCCCGACGCCCTGGCGAAGCCGACGCGCGCGCGGACGGCTTCATATATATTGAGGTGGGGCCAGCTGCTCTGGATCTATTGGGACGCGGGCCGGGCGAAAATACGGGACCCGTTACACGGATGGTCTTTTGAGGGAAACGCCCTGGACGCCTATTTGAGGCATACCTTCGTGGGCGAGACCACACGTACATTGTTAGGAGATCGCGGCGTGCGGTATGCTACAATTGTAGTGCCATACGTTGAAGCCTTCGCGCCGGTCGTCGCCTGCGCGGCCTTCTACCTTGAATGGCATCGCCTTCGACGTGTCGCCTCAGCAACGATAGTCCTCCTCCACGCCGGCATCGGCCTCTCGATGAACGGTGCTGGTTTGCTCTCAGCCTTTGCGTGCGCGGCGTGGCTCTTCGTCGAGCCACCTCTACCGGCCAAGGAACAAAAACGGGCCTCCTACCGGGACTGGTGCGGCGTCGTCGTGATCGTTCTCTTCTCCTTGGGTTCCATAGCGCATGGCGTCCTTGATATGGCGAGTTGTAGGGACGCCACGCAGGAACCTCTCAAAGCAATCTTCCACAACCGCTGGAACGTGTTTGCCGGCGCCGAGGACCACGTCACGTGGGAGATCATGCCTGCCCGCACGCATTCTGGCGCGATTGTGGATCTGTGGTCGCAACAACCGGTAAGCTGGAAGCAACCGGCAAAAGCTGCGAGGTCCGGACGGTGGCGCTCCTTCCCGATGCTCGGCGACGGCGAGGCGCCCGCCGAGGAAGTGGAAAGAGTCTACGCGTGGTTCTGTCGCGAGCGCGGAGACGTGTCGCACTTCCACGCGTACATGCTCCGGGCGGAGCTGAAGGATGAGACGAAAGTGTCGAAGCGGCTGTTGCATGCGCACGTTTGTGCGTGAGTAAGTGTTTGTGTGTGACTCTTTTACCTACGTATTGTTACGAGGCTAGGACTAGTGGGCGGAGCCCCTGGGGGGGATGTGACTCGTTTCCCGGGCCGCGCGGGTCGACTTGTGCTCACTTTCCGCGCTGCAATGGGGATGAGGCGCCCGAGGATCCGTGCGTCAAGCAATGCGGGGAAGTCAATAGCAACTCGTTCCAACGGGCCCTCAGATGCCGACCCCAAGCGCGCGTGCCTTTGAGCAGAGCAAAGACGAGCGGCTGGCCACGACCGCGTCGAATTCGCCTCGACTCGTTGCGAAACGGCGCGGACAACCTCCTGGGCATCTCTGTACCCTCGTCGATCAGTTTGAAGTAGCGTTCGCGCCGCGCACGAGCAAAATGCGACGTGTAGCCTTGTAAGCATGCGCAGCGTTATTGTGTGGCTCGTAAGCGCCGGCGCGCTGCGGCCACCCGGCCGGCGGCCAAAGCCGACCGCGAAGCCGTTCGCGCCGGACACGGACGCGCTCGACGACTTCTTCACGCAGCTCGACCCGGACGCGGTCGTCGCGACGGCGCCCGAGGACGCCGCACCCGCCGCGCCCGCCGCGGACTGGGCCGGCGGCTGGGACGCGCCGGCCGTCGAGACTGGCGCCTGGGTCGCCGACGCCGCGCCGGCCTTCGTGCCCGAGGGTCTCGGCGGGCCGGAGTGGGAGAGCCTCGAGGACGACGCCGCCACGGAGCTCGCGCTCGACGTTTTAGCGACGCCGCGGAGCGCGACGGAGAGCCTCGACGACGACGACGACGACGAGCTCGTCATGAAGCCCACGGACGACGCCGAGCTCGCGTTGGATGTTCTCGCGACGCCGCGGAGCGCGACAAAAAATGCAGGGGTGGAGTTCAGCCACCCGCAGCTCAACGCCGGCGATTCCGTGGAAGTCCTTTGCGAGGACGACGGCGTCTGGTACGAGGCGACGTTGAAAGAGGTCGGCCTCGGCATTTGTATAGCCGACTACGGCGAGGGCTTCGAGCCGGAAGTCGTCGAGGTGACTCGGGTACGAATCCCGGACCTCGATCTGATCACGAAGATCCAGGCCGTGCCCGAGGAGCAATCAGTTGAATACGGCGAGGTCGACTCCCATTTACTCATAGAGCGAGATAAGAACGGGAGGCCGGCCCACGCGGGTTATACATATGTGGATGAACAGACGTGCGTCGGCTGCTATAATTGTGCGATGGTCGCGCCCGCCACCTTCTTCATGGAGGACACGTACGGCTCGGCTCGAGTTTTTCATCAACATGGAGATGCGGCGGAGATTATCGAAGAAGCTATTGATACGTGCCCCGTCGACTGCATCCACGCCGTGAGCTTCGATGAATTGGAGAGGCTGGAGATTGAGAGGCGGGACCAAGTAATAAACTTCGCGGGCCGGAACATGGCGCGGGCCGAGGGCAAAAACATCATGGTCGCGTCGATGACGTCGTCGGCCGGCGGGCGCTTCTCGCGCGTGCAGGAGTTCGAGGAGATCGTCGAGGACGACGAGTTTCGCATGAAGGCGGAGGCGAAGGCCGTCGAGCGGAAGCAGCGCGCGCGGGAGGACGTCGAGCGCATCTCGGGCGTGCGGCAGACGTCGGTGGAGCTCTAGGCGAGCTTCGCGGGTAACCTTAACTTTGTGTGATAGCTTTCTGCTTGCTAGTGCCTTACAGCCGCTAGCTGCAGAACCAAAATCTTGCGTCGGCCCTGTGTGGTTGACAGACGGCACGAGCCAGCGCAAGACTTGGTGACATTGACGCGCGCAGCGAGCGCGCCCACGCGTCGGCTCCTGTCCAAGAACTGCGCCCCGAGCAAAGTGTTTGCAGCTGTGCACCAAAGTTGGCGTTGACGCGGAGCCCGCGGCCACATCAATTCCGCGCTACGTATAATTCGCGAAATAATAGCTGCGCGAGCTCCCGCACTGTAACGCGAGACGTGAAACGTTGGGATGGCGACGGCGACGCGCCGCGCCCGCAAGGCGAGCGACCCGCCGCCCTGCACGCCCGCCGGCGACAACGACGAGTTGAGGGCGCGCATCCGCGAAGCTTCCTTGAGGCTGAAGCAGGCCCTGTCCTGCCCGGTCTGTCATGATTGGTTTTCGGACCCGATCGCGCTCGGCTGCGGCCACGCGCTCTGCCGCAAGTGCGCGCTGGAATGGTTGGCAAATACTCCGTCGTGCCCGAAGTGTCGCACGGCGGCGGACCCGCGCGGGGCATCTAGACGGGACGTGGCGCGCGATTTAGAGAGAGCCGTCGCGGCGGCGAGGCCGTGCGTCGCGATGGCGGGGACGCCTGGACCCAAAAAAAGAGGGAGAGACAGTTAAGTGAACAATATGTTTAACTCAGCTCGAACCCAACGCCGTTGTGGATCGAGTAGCGCAGCTTCTCCCTCAAGACCTCTTTCGAGGTGTACCTCGGTAGCTTCAGCAGATTCATGCACGTTCCTGCTGTGGGCAATCTATCATCATCCGCATGTATACTGACTTGATGAATAGATATCGAGGGAGACAGCATGCGGAACCCGAGCAGAGGCGGCCGACTGCAAGCCGTCACAAATTTCAGTAATGCCGCCCGGTCGTGATCATCAAACTCCGACACGACCTCCCAGAACCACCTAATAAAAGGCTGGGAGGGGTGGTAGCCGCCCCCGTAGTGCGTGTGGCGCTGCCAGTCTGTTACGTCTACGGAGACGTCGGCACCGCTCACTAAAACTTGTAGTTCATCTGGATCGAAGGCTCTAAGCCACGTCGCATCTATCACGGCCCTCAGACCTTTCAAGAAGGCCGCACAGGGCTTCGCGGGCTCCACGTTCAGGCGATGGTGCGCCACGAGTTGGACGTATCTGCTTCGATTTTTTGCCGTTACTTTCGTCTCGGTATCCGATAGAGGTACATCTCTACCGTTTACCGTGATAGCAAAACTAAGATCTAAAGCATCTACTTCCGATGGATTCATGTGTTTTAACCGTACCAAATTGCCATATAGATCGCCATCTAAACTCCTAAGATCGTCGAAGTAGTTGTACTTGCCTAGGGCCTTGTTGAGGAAGAAGCGCGCGAACCTAGGTTCGACCAAGACACCTTCATACAACGCTTTGCCAATAATACGACCGCAGAATTCATAGCGAGCTAGATCGGACGAGCCAGAAGCGTACAATAACCCAGTAGTAGGCGAGGCCTTGAACAATCCCGAAGACCCGAAGGCGGCCTTGGTCAGTTGATCGAGGAACTCCTTGAACACCCCACCCCCGTCAATGCCCGCCTCCTCCTGTCCTGTCTCGCTGATGAACGTGACTTGCACGCGGCCCTTGAGTTGATCACTCGATAACTTGTGGAGCTGGCGGAACGCGTCCTCGAAGATCTGGTCGCGTCGGACTTTGACCCTGAACCCCAGAGGTCGCATCGACATATCAAACCCGGCGTCGCTCTGGCGCTGTTGCCTGTCCTTCTCTACTCTGCCCTGAAATAGAGCTACTCGTTGTTGAAATCCTACCACAAACGGGCACGCGGCTAACGTTTGGGCTACTCTAGGTTCGAGCGAAGCGTGTAGGGGCGGCCTTTCACTCGGCATAGGTTGTGGTTGCTGTCTTCTAGCCCAGGGCAGGTCGCCGTCGACGTCCATGGCGTCCTCATCATCATCTTCCTCCATTTGTGGAGGTGGGGGCGCCTGGATCTCGACAGAAGCCGCGCGAACGCCGTCCCAGAGCCACAACTGATCATCATCTAACTGCCTCGCCACCCTATCTCTCAGCTGCGAAAACAGTCTAGCGCAGACCGCCACCGTGGCGAGCCGTTTGGCGTCGGGGTCTTTTTGTAGTATCGGCTCGTCCCACATTTCTCTCCTCAGAAACTTCGATAGTAATGATACGATACCTCGCAGGTCGTCGCCGGACCAGCCTGCCGCTAAAGCAGCATCGTCCAACGCGCGTAGCAACAACGCGAAAGACGCCGCGAAGAGTAGCAGAGCGTCCTCATTATCGACCTCCGCGAACAGTGCCCTCACTACCGCGCCCCTTTCTCGGGAGAAGGCCGCCGCGTCTAAGACCGCTTCCGCCAGCAAGGGCTGGGCCGTCGCCTTGCCTAGTAGGGCTTGTGCCGTCGCGCACCTTGCTAAAACTGCAGAACCAAAGCCCGCGGCCGCGCGCGCCGCTTCTGATGAGACAGTAGCCTTGTCGCAGAGCCAAGCACAAAAAGGTCTCGCGACGCGTGCGAGGTCTATGGACCCTCGGGGGGCCCTTCTGTCGCGCGCCGCGAAGGCGTCAGACAAAGCGTCGGCGAGTAACAGCGTGCCCCGCCGCGCGTCGTCGTCCGAGTCCGACGAATCGTCCATCTTCTCTCCTTGTATTTCAAGCGGCAGCGTCTGGACGAGCATCGAGGCCGCGCGCGCGACGCTTGATGGCAACGCGTCGTCGACCGGCGCCTTGGGCGCCAAGTCCATCAACACGGCAAGGATCCGCGCGTCGGCCTTTGATGTAAGCGCGTCGCAGGCCCTCCGTAATACGCCTGCTTCCTCCAATAAAGGCGCGTCGAGGCGCCGCGTCCGTTGCGTCGACGCGAGCAAATGTAAATAAGCGGCTCTGCAAGCATCCGCGCGGGGGCCCTCGCCTCCAATGCGCACGGCCGCCGCCGCGACCCGCGATGCGATTAAAGAATTACGGACGGCGCAGCAGCGCGGACCGACCTCGACCAACAGCGTCGGGTCCTGGAGCGCGTTCAGGGCGCCTTGGACGCCCGCTCCTACATTTTCGCCGCGCTCCAAAGCCGAGACGCAGCTCTGGATGACGCCGCGCGCCCGCGACGGCGGGTTCGAGGCACAGCCCAGAAATAAGGTACAGGCGCTCTCGAGGCGCGTCGCGTCCGAAGCGCCACTATCAAAAGCCACGAAGCCCGCGACGAGCTTCGCCGCCACGTTTTCTGGAGGCGCGAAGGGCACGTGCTGCGCCGCGAGCGCGGCGCGGACCCTCTCTAAATCTTGCACGCGCGCGTCGAAGTTGCGTCTTAACTCGGCGCGCCACCTTTTAGCTGCTCGGCGGCCGCGGTACCACCTCTGGACGCACTGCGCACTCTTGAGTCGTTTCGCCTCGGCGGCGCGCGCGGCGCGCTCGACGCGGGCGCGCCTCGCTAATTCCGACGCGCTCGCGTTGTCGCGGCGGCGGCCGCCGAGGTTCACGCTGCGCTTCTCGACGGCGCTGCCGTCGAACATGGTTCTTGGGTGCTTGTGACCTAACGCGCGTCCGCGCGCGGAGTTCTTTGCGTGGCGTGGAGTCCACCTGACCTGAAAGCAGTCTCTGGCGTTTCAGGGACGCGCCCCGCCGCTCCGGGAGGAGGGCCGCAGTACTACTTGAGGTCTTCACCTCCGCAACGGCCAATTCTCTGGGAGCGCTGCGGGGCCGAGCTCAAGCACCGGCGCAGCTTTAGCTAGCGTCTTGTAAGGCACTAGCTCAGAGAGACCAAGACGCGTTTTGCTTCGTACGGCTGCCCCCGAGCGATTTGACCGCGTGCAAGATGATCCTCACGCAGTGCGCCGTCTGCGCCACCGACCTTGGCCTAACTTTGGGCAAGAAATGCGGCCGCTGCAGCACGCGCTATTGTGGGGCTGAATGCCAGGTGCAGCACTGGCAAGAGGGTGGCCACGATAATCTCTGCAAGAAAATAAAGAAAGCAGGCGGCGCAGAGCAATACAACGCAAATACGAAGTATACGGAGGCCGTCGCGGTCGCGGCGGAGGCGTGCGCGGATGACACGGAGGGCCAGACGTGCTTCATCTGCACGCAGGCCCTCCACTGGAAGACAAAGGAGGGCCTCGTGCGCGGGTGCGCGTGCCGCGGGACGGCGGGCTTCGCGCACGTGTCGTGCTTGGCGGAGCAGGCGAAGATTTTATTCGAGGAGGCCGTGGAGAACAATTGGGGTGAGAAAGTCGTGAATGAGAGATGGGCGCGGTGGTACTCGTGCAGCCTGTGCGAGCAACGCTACCACGGCGACGTGAAGTGCGCGCTCGGGTGGGCGTGCTGGAAGACGTACGCGGGGCGGCCGGAGACGGACTGGGCTCGGCGCTTGGCGATAGAGGTGCTCGGGAACGGTTTATTCGGCTCAAAAGACAACGAGGCCGCGTTGTCCGTGCAACTGGCCGAGTTGGCTATGAAGCGGCGACTTGGCTCACGAGAGGAAAACATACTCGTCGCGCAGAACAATCTTGCAAACACCTATGAAAAGCTAGGACGCGTCGAAGAGGCCCTACGCATGCGGCAGGAAGTTTACTCTGGACGTTTGAAACTCTATGGCGAAGAAAACGAGAGAACCCTTATTTCGGCCAACAACTACGCGTCGACTCTTGTCACTCTAGAGCGCTTCGAAGAAGCCAAGTCGGTGCTGCGCAAGACGATGCCGGTGGCGCGGCGCGTTCTTGGAGAGGGTAATGATCTTACGCTCAGGTTGAGGTGGAATTACGCGAAGGGGCTCTACAAGAACTCCGCCGCCACGCTCGACGACCTCCGCGAGGCCGTGAATACACTCGAGGACGCGGGACGGACCGCGCGGCAAGTGCTCGGTGGCGCGCACCCGCTCACAGAGGGAATTAAGGGAGACCTGCGGTGGAGCTCCCGGGCGATACTTACTGCGGCTTCGCGTAAGTAAACACAGCGATTATTTAGACGACTAGAACCAGACCTCGACGGGCTCCCCCGCCGCGTCGCGCGTGGCCTGGACGAGGCCCTCATCACACAACCCGCGGATGACGTCGGACCAGTGCGCCGGCGGCGCCTCGTCCCAGGCCTTGGCATAGAACTTGAGCAGGGCCTTCGTCGGCGCGGGTAGTAATGACTGTGCCCGCATCAACAGAATAAAGTCCGCGCGCATCTTCTCCCGCAGGTCGGCCTCGTCCGCCGGCGGGCCGACGACGTAGTCCGCTCCGTAAGACACGCCCGTCATCGGATCCACGTAAACGCCACCCTGCGCCGGCGCCGGCGCGGCGGCGTTGGGCGCCGGCGCCGGCGCCTCGACGAGGGGTGCCGGCGCGGGCGCCTCGGCGAGCTGGACTCTGTCCGCCACGCTGCCCGCGAGTCCCGCGAGGAACCGTCTGACCGGGTCGACGCCGCACTTGAAGTCCATGTTGGCCTTGATCTCGGCCCGGTCGACGGCAAGTTTATGAGCGTCCGCCGCCTTTCGAGCTGCCAAAGCCTCCCGCTCGGCGTTGAATGCCTCCGTCCGTTGTTGCGCAGCTTCTTTTGCCTCACGTTTATGTCGCTCTTCCTCGTCGTCGATGTCGCGCGCCCGCCGCTCGCTCTGTTCGGCGTGCTCCCTCGCGTTGTCACTCCGCTGGCTCGCTATCTGATGCCGCGTCGCCGCCAGGTCATCTAACATCTGACGCCAGTCGCCGCCCCGTTTTGAGGCTTCGCCGCACAGCGCGTCCGCATGGTCCTTGAAACTCTGGGCCTGCGCCCTTAAAGCGCACCTCTGCTCCTCGCCAAAGCGCACGACGCGCCTTCTTGATACTTTATGGTGCTGGTAGAACAGCACCCGCAACCGATACATGTACAAAGTCTGACGATGATAACACCACCACTTTATTATACAGTTCGCGGCCTTGTCGCGGACGATGGTCTGCTTAAGGGCAATCTTCGGCGGCTCCCAGGGCTTGCGGTGGTCCTTGAGGAAGCCCTTGCGTTTCCAAGGTAGGTTCCTCACGCTTAGGCGGGAGAAGGCTGTTGGTTCCGCTGGTGGTTTTTTCTGTTTGTGCTGCGCGAGCTCCTCCTTCAAGAGTTGGCGCGCGATCTCAACGTTCGAGAGGCCCTTCGAACTTGTGGAGAGCTGCGGTAATTGGAGCTTCTCCGGCGTTTTGGGGGGTGCTTTCGATACGATGCGCGGCGACGATGTCCGCAGGGAGAACTCATCTCCCTCCATTATGCTCGCTCCTGGTCCGTGATGGGCTGCCCCGAGCGTTTCCTCTGGCTTCTGTGGTCCCGTGCACTTTCTCCGGTTTCCTCACGGTGCGCTCGGGTGGCTAGGGACTGCTCTTGACCCTCGGCGCTGCGTTTTGCTCTCCGGGCTAGTATGTCAGTACGCTAGTTTTGCTCCGTGAAGGAGGTGGCGCTGATAAAGCACTTCCAGGGCGGTCACGGAGCACAAGCAGGCACGTAGTACTGCAACCGGACCATTTCTGCAGTCGTGCGCAGCAGAGCACAGATCATAGCTTACTCACACCACACACATGATGCTGTGGTCAGCAGCCGTGCTGCTCGGCGCGTGCACGCAAGCGCTACGACCGCTCGTGCCAATACGCCAACGACGCGGCCAGGCGCTGCGAGCAAAGACCGATGAAAATTACGATGCCGTCGTTGTCGGCGCCGGCGTCGGCGGCCTCTGCACGGCGGCGCTGCTCGCGCGATACGATCGCCGCGTGCTCCTCGTAGAGGCACACGACGTGGTCGGCGGCTGCGCCCACTCCTTCGCCCGAGGTGGCTACACGTGCGACAGCGGCCCGAGCCTGTGGGCGGGCTGCGCGCAGCCGTCGACATCTCCATTAAGACAAGTCTTCGACGCGATCGGGCGCGACGTCGACTGGATCCAGTACGACGGCTGGGGTTTGCATGATTTGAAAGCTGATAAAAGGTGGCGCATGACGGTCGGCCCGGACGCTTTTGGGGACGTGATGCAAGAACTGGGCGGTTCAAATGGAGAGCGCGCCTGGCGATCTCTATTGAAAGGTTCGGAGCCCGTCGTCGACGCGGCGATGGCCTGCCCGCCCATGGCGCTGCGGGCGGATCCTTTGGGGTTTGTGCAGACGGCCCTCGTGCCCTACCTGTTGCCGGCGATCTTCAAGGCGTCGCTGAAGGCGAAGACGTTCATTCCGGATTTATTGACGGGTGCGTCGTCGCAATTGTTCGACCTCGCTGAAGCGGATAACGACTTCCTGGAGCGGTGGATCGACTATCTGGCGTTCGCGCTGTCGGGCCTGCCCGCCGACGGCACGGTCGGCGCCGCCGTGGCCTACACGCTCGGCGACCTGCACCGCCCGAACGCCGTCCTCGATTATCCTGTGGGAGGTTCCGGCGCCGTCTGCGAGGCCCTCGCGGACTACATCAGTGATCAAGCGGGGTGCGCCGTGCGGACGCGGTGCCGCGTCGACGAGATCTTGGTGAATGGGGACGGGTCCGTGACGGGCGTGCGGCTGGCAAGCGGCGACGAGGTGCGGTGCGACACGGTCATCTCGAACGCCGACGCCTGGACGACGGCGACGAGACTGCTCAAACCGTCGCCGCTGCCCCAGATTGCCGCTTGGCAGGCGTCGCAGAAGGCATTGGTACCGACGCGGAGTTTTGTTCACTTGTGGGTTGGGTTTGATGCCGCTGGTTTACCCTCCGATTTGGATTGCCACCACAGCGTCTTCAACGAGGGCCTGCTCGAGGACGACTGCGCGGCCCTCGACGCGGAGAGGAATATGTACATCATTTCCATCCCGACGCTCTTCGACGCCGGGCTCGCGCCTGCAGGAAAACATTTGGCTCATGTATATGCCGCGGCCACCGAACCGTACGACGCGTGGGCGGCGCTCGACCGGAAGAGCGCCGAGTACAAAGAAAAAAAACTCGCGGCCGCCGAGCCGCTCTGGCGCGCGCTCGAGGCCGTCGTGCCCGACGTGCGGCAGCGCGCCGAGATGACGACCATCGGGACACCGCTGACGCATGCGCGGTTCAACAATAGGCATATGGGCACCTACGGGCCAGCTGGCGCGACCGTCGAGGGCGACCTCAAAGGCTTCGGCGACGGCGGCACGCCCGTGAAGGGCCTCTGGCAGGTCGGCGACTCGCAGTTCCCGGGCATCGGCCTGCCGGCCGCGGCGGCGAGCGGCATCCTCGTCGCGAACGCGTTGGTGAGCGTCGCCGAGCACCGCGCGCTGCTCGACGACATGCGGGCGAAGGGCACGCTCTGCGCGGGGAAGGACTGGTGGGAGCGACCGAACGCGGCGCCGCGGGCGCCCGGCGGGCGGATTGCCGTCGACGCGTCGCTGGGGGAGGTGGGATGTTCTGTGTAAGTTTTCTTAGTCATCTTGGTAGCGCCTTGTGCGCTTGCTTCATCAGTCTTGTACTGAGTCACGCTCTCGGCTACGTGGCTGCGCCGCTAGCCGGACCAAAACGCGAGTACCTGGCAGATGAGCTCATTCGGGAGCGCGACGAGGTTGTTCAGCGCGGGGTCCGTCGAGCGGATCTTGCCGCGGTTCGCGAGACCGCGGAGGGTCAAGACCTCCAACCGCGGCGCCATGATGTACGCGCGCCAGGAACCGTGCGCGTGGACGCCGTCTATCTGGGCTTTGATCGTGATGAAGTGGGGATCGGCAAGGAGCTCGGCGCACCTGCCGTCGTCGTCGTACCGATGTGTCCGAACAGCAGTAAGCCAAACATTCCGCATACTTTGCCACCCAGTCAATTTCCCTTCACTAGAACTATCTACGGAGGCACCCGCACGCAGGAGCATTTTCACAAGTTCCGCAAGCGCCGCACTGTCAGGACGACGTCGTTTCGCCAACTTTTCGATGACCATCGTGATTGGAAGGCCTACGTACCTTCCACCTGCGCGATTAACATCAGCCCCTGCCCTCAGGAGAGACTTGACCACATCGATAACTGCTTTTCCCGAGCACCCATGGCCAAAAAAATGCAGTACGTTGTGTAGCGGCGATGCCCCGCCCGTCTCGATTTGATTCACGTTAGCACCGTGGGAAATGAGCAGTCTCACGATTTTGACGTGCCTCACGTTGTTGCGAACTTCACAGGTCACACAAGAGAGAAGCGTTGCATTGCTGCCAGGCGCAGCAGGATCTATGCTGTTCACGACGTCTCGCGGCGTGGCGACGCTGGCTAGAAATTTTTGCACTTCTTCCAGGTCGCCGTCGCACGCCGCGTCAAAGATTCTTTCAGGGACGCCGTCGTCTTCCATCGCTCCGTCAACCCCTCTGCGCGCGCGGCAGATCGAGATTGATTTCAATTTTCAAATGTAAGAGCGCTTTCCGGCGCGGCCCGCCGCGGTCCGCGTTGACTTCTGGGTCAGGATAATAACCGAGATACCGATTTTTAACGCCTGCGTCCGCTCCGCGGCCAAACCAAACAAAGCTAGTGAAGTAGTGTCTGTAAAGGCACTAGCACCAATTTAGCACACGACTTTTCTGGGCAAAGAACAACAAGTTCGACCCACTCTCTGTTACAAACCCAAGAGGTAGCCGAGGTCAAGCTCCGACCGCTGCACGAGGCCTGAGCATCGCTACGCCGCCAAACCAAAAAAGATGGCAGCACACTTAGAATCGGTGCGCCGAGCCCTAGCCCAGCAGGACGCCGAGGTCGACCGATTCAGAGCCATCATCCAAGAGAACAGCGCCCTGAACGAGCGTATCTTGGAACACGAGGACACCATCGCCCGGCAAGCGGCCGCGTTGTCGACTTTGAGAAGCGAGGCCGACGACACGATGACGGCGCGAGCAGCACAGACCGCAGCGCGGCGCCTCGAGCAGCAGAACGCGTCGCTCCAGCGGGACCTGAGCGCGGCGCACGAGGCCGCGCGAGCGTTGGACAAGGAACGCGTCGCTTTGGCCGATGCGCTCCACGAGCGCGACCGGAGACTGGAGACGCTGCGACGGGACTCTGATAGGTTGCGCAAGGAGCGGGACGAGGCCGTCTCAAAATTGAGCGCGGAGCGATCCAAGGCCAAGCGCCACGAGGAAGAATCAAGACTAAGAAAGCAGGAGCACGATTCACTCATACAAAGAGTCATCTCCGACAAAGATAAAAAGAATGGGGAGCTCAATGCGATGACCGAGGTCGTGGAGCGGTTGCGGAGCGATCTGGATCTGAAGAACGAGAAGGAGTGGTCAGTGGTCGAGGCGGTGCCGTCGAAGGCACGGTGCGTGGTACGACGGGCCCACGCTGTCGCAGCGGTCGACGTGTGTCTGGAGGGGAAGCACGCGGTTTCGGGCGGGGAGGACGGTTCCATTGTTGTTTGGCACGTTACGACGACGCCGACGCCGTCCCTCAAACTCACTACCGATAGGAGAGAATCCTGCGCCACCGTCGATGTGAAGCATGATCTGATACTGTGCGCTTCGAAAAATACGTCCGTCCAGCTCTGGGATATCAATGGGAGGCGCCGCCTGTCGCTGCAGCACTCACACCAAAAGAAAGCGCGGATGGGCGGCGCCGTTTTACTCTCACAAGCAACGTATGCGACGTGCGCCAGTGACGGCGTCGTCAAGTTCTGGGACCACGACCGAGTGAGGGAGGAGCGGCTGTGCCCGAGCGGCGGTTCTGCCCTAGCTAGCGTGGGCGGCCATTCAGTGATCGCGGGCCACGCCGACGGCGCGTGTCGATTGTGGGATGCGCGGAGCGAAGTGTGCGCCTTGGACATGGGGCCGCGCGACAGCACGGCGGCCGTCCGTGCCGTTAGTGCGGAGGGCCATTTTGTGGCTTCCCTGAATGCGGACCACGCTCTGTATATCTACGACCGGCGGCGCTCTACGTGTGTGCACTCCCTGAAACACGATGCCCTAAAGGCGCCGGAGCGATGCAGGATCGCGTGGGCGCCCGGCGCCTTGCACGTTGCGGCGCCCTCTGTCAGTGGCGCCGTTTTGGTCTTCGACGCGCGGACAGGGGCTTGTGCGACCACGTTGCAACCGTCTTCCCTGGAAGCGCCTCCCGTCAACGCCGTGGCGTGGGCCGCGGACATCCTCGCGACCGTGGACCAGGACGGGGGGCTGGCGTTGTGGGACTAGTTGTTGTCTGTAACTTATATTGTGATGAGTCGCGGCGAGGGCGTTTTAGCCCGCTACCACCACGCCATCGCCGCGACGCTTACCACACACTCTTTACTCAAGCAGCGCCCTGCTGCAGCGCTATGTTGTGCTAGCTGCGATCTCTCGGCAGACCTCGAGGCACTCGGCGAACGGCGGCGTAAAGAAGTGGGAGCGGCCCGGCAGCTCGGAGTACTCGCTTTGTAGGTTTTCGGCGACGTGGCGCGCCTCCTGTGTTTGAACGACAGCGTCAGGGGCACGTCGCATCGATGGCGCGATCGAAGGACGCCGCGATCGCGCGGTATCCGGGATGAACGGGTCGTTGTCGCTGTGGAACTGGACGATGCGCCCAGCATTCGCCCTGATGGCGTCCCAGCGCCAGGGTCGCGCGTAGTAGCCCGCCGCGCGCTCGCCCGGGTCGCCCAGGTCCGTGTGGCACGCGCTCACTAGTACTAATGCAGCGACCGGTGTCTCCTCGGCGAGGCGCATCGCGGCGACGGCGCCCGAGGAGTGGCCGACGACGACGGTGTCGGCGCCGACCTTGAGAGTGTCGCGCATAAACGGCACCCAGACGCTTTCCTTCGCGCCGACCGGGTCGGGCATCGTCTCCGGGACCACGACCTCCCGGAATGGTGAATCGCGTCGCAGCTCGCGCTCGAGCCAGCCGTACCAATTCGCGTCCGCGACGCGGCCCGTGCAGCCGTTGCCGGGCACGATGACGCAGCGCAGCGCCGTCGTGCTGCTGATGTCCATGGCTGCCATGATGAGGAGCGCTGATGCGCGCATCGACTGGCGTGAGCCTCGTAGCACGTTCACACGGCTGCGGCGAGTGCAAATGATGCGGACCGCCGCTGCAGCTCCGAGGTGTGCAGTCCGGTGCACGTCCGGTGATCGTGTAGCCACCAGTCGTCGGACGCGGTGAGCGCACTGTGTGCACGTCTCCTTGCCGCGATCCGTGATGCCTGCAGGCCCCTGTGCGCCGAGTTTGTGAGAGCCGCCTTAGCAGTGAGCTAGCGTCTTGACATACTAGCCTCATTGTCGGCGCTAAGTTCAGCAGGGCCTGGTCTCGGCACGCCAGGCCGCCCTGACCACCTCCGGCAGCCTCCCACTGTGGCACGGAGCACACCGGTCGCTGCCCCGACGCGTCCTTCGATACGACCCCGACGCCAGAGTCTGTGCACTCGGGCAGGGCTTGCAAGACGCCGCTGCCCAGACGCCATCGCCGCGACGCCTAGCCACGATGCAGCGCCGCCCCCGCGGCGTCTCGCAAGCCTTCCGCGACGAGGAGATCCATGGCGAGTACGAGGAGGCGAAGGACGAAGATGATGACGACGACGAGCTGCCCCGCTCGACGAGTTTCATGGCAAACAATCTCACGCGCACCTTGCTCGCCGCCTCGGAACGGAATCCCACCTCGTATATGTCGAAGGCCATGTCGACGCAAGGCCGCGCGGCCAAGACGTTCGCCAAGGAGTTTAATCCCGAACCCTCGAAAAAACAGTACAACAAGGCTCGGGGCCTCGGCAAGACGGCCACGGTCGTCACGACGCAACTCACATCCATCTTCAACGCCCTCAAGGGCAAGGATGGCTTGGCCACGTCCCGATTGGGCGACGCGATCCGCGCGCTGGACCTGAAATACGCACCACCACCCGGTTCGACCCATCCCCAGGAAGCGGCAGCTACCTTCTTGACCGAGCTTGCTTTAGATCCCTCGCAAGCCTTGGATGAAGACGCCTTCATCGGCGCTGCGGCCACGTTGAGACCCGAAGCCATCAAAGCAGCCGCCGGCCCCCGGAACGCGAAAAGATTGCAACGCAAGATGCGGGCCGACCCCTTCGCGATCATGCGGCGGAAACAGTCGCGAGCCCAGGCCTTTGACTTCAAGAGAGAAGCCGAGACGGGCAAGGCGCTCGCGCACACACAAAGGCTCCAGGAAGATGTTCTCGCGAAGCATGTGAGTGAAGACTTCCTGGAACTCCCCGAGGAGAAAAAGGACGAACGTAGACTACAAAGGAAGTTACGGAGGATGGAGATCGACGCCATCAAGGCCGACCGGAAAGATCTGGAGAGGTGGAAACAGGAAGATGCTGAGAGGAAGGAGGCGGTCCAGAAGAAATTGGAGATGATCGAGAAGCTTCGTAAAAGTGGGGAGGTCATCAGTGACAAGGAGGCTGCACAAATGGTCGCGTCGATCCCGCCCTTACGGCCGCGGCCGCAGGACCCGTTGCCGCTGCCTGCTAGGAAAAAGCTACATGAGCGAACGCTGGAAGGCCACGAAGTGGCGGACAAGGCGGACCAGTCCCGCTTCGAGGCGGCCCATCGGTCGTACTACGAGGCTTCTTCCGTGCCGGAAGCCCAGGTGCCTCGACTGACTGGTCCTGTGGACCACGTGACACGTAATGTGGAGGCCGTGACATTAAGATCATCTGGAAGCGTACCTCTGATGGACGCCCTGGCTCTCGAAAGAGAATCAAAAGCCACGAGGGTGAACCTCGTGAAAAGAGAAGAACTTGACCTGCGGATGGAGCTGCCTCTACGGCAAGGGTTTGACGCCACGGCTGCGTCCATAGACCTGCCCGCGGGCTTCGATGCTTCAGCATTGAAGGAGATCCGCGTGCCGCCGCCCGGCGCGGCGTCCGGCGCGCCGCGAGGCGGGCCGAGAGAAGCTGTGGTCCAGGAGGCGCGACGAGCAGAAAGGGAGGCCATCCGCAAGCGCAAGGCGGAAGCTCGATTGGCTGAAAGGGTCTCCATGGCCATTTCGAACGTGCAGAAGCACGGGATTGAAGAGAGATTAGAAGAAGTGAAACACGAGGAGTTGTCCAACGCGATCCGACTGGTAGATCATATTAGGAGGGAGGAGTTCGACCGGGAGGAGAAGATCCACCTGGAGCGGGAGCGGGCCTCCAAGGAACGGGCCGCGGAACGGCGCCGGCTGAAGGAGGAGCTCGAGCGCGACGTGGAGCTCATCCGGAACAGTGAGATGGATCGGGTATTGGCGTTGCGGTCGCAGAAGGCTCCTTTCACGATCCACCCGGGCATCTTCGATTCTACCATACCACCGGAAACGGATGAAAGCAAGCAGAGGAGGAAGCAGGCTTCGTTGTTGAGTGAGTGGCGTTCCGCGGTAGAGGCCGAGAAAGAGCGTGTTGCGAATATTAGATCGACCAATCTCCAGAACTACTTCGACGCGCGGGCCTCGCCGTTCATTGGCGAGCCCTCGGAGTGGAAGGCGACGGGCTCACCGGTGCGGACGGCTTCTTCCCTCGTCGACGGCACGGGCGTCTTCGTCGAGGAAAGCGCCGAGCCGGCAGAAAACGAGTTGTATCCGACGTTTTCTCGCGCTTCTACCCGTGGCTCATTAAAGACGCGCGGCTCCGTCGACTCGTGGACTATTACTGATGGTGGCGCGCGCTCCGAGACCGTGACGCCGGCCGCCTTGCCGCCGGCCATGGTCGCCGCCGATCGAATATTTAGGCCGAAGCGGCGCGTGCAGACGGTGTATCTCTAAGGGGAAGTGTGTTTTACTTTGTCTTGCTTGCGGGCCGTTCGGGCGCGGGCCGCGTACGGGCAGCGTCCCTTGTTGTGTTTTTTTACTCGAGAGCAGTCTTGTTCCGAAGCTTGGGCTCGCGCCTGTACCCGGAGCGGTGCGCCTCAGGTTGGATCCGCGCACCCCGTCAGCTTTGTTGATAGCTCGTGCTGGCAGTGGCACAGCCGCCGTCGCATAAATTCGCGCAGACAGACATCGTTGGAGTCTTCCGCGAGTATCTCTTTGCAAGAACACGAACAGTCGTCGAAGACCGCAGTCGCAACAACACTTTTGTTGCAACAAAACCACTCAGCAGCGCCACTCAGCCGTCACAAGCCGTCGCGCACCACAAAACGCTGTCGAAGCAGCACCGCAAAACGCTGTCGAAGAACGCAACAATGGCTCGTCTCGCAATCACCGCACTCCTCGCAACCGGCACGGCCTTGGTGCCGCCCGTCACCAGGATAGCGCAGCACAAGCTGCGCGCCGTCGACGAGGCGACGGCCCTCCTTGAGCAGGCCGCCGCCTTGCGAGCGGAAGCGGACGCGCTCGCCGCCGAGGCGATGCCGCCCGCGCCGGCGCCGCCGCCGCCGGCGCCCGTCGCCGTCGCCGAGCCCGTCGTCGAGGCGAAGGAGCTCACGCCGGAGGAGAAGACGCAGCGCGAGATCGAGAACCGCAAGAAGATCACGGAAGCGCTCCGGGCGGCCACGAAAGCCCGCAACAAGGAGCAGATCCAGATCGCGCTGGCGACGGCCGAGAAGGCCGGCGGTTTTTCGAGGGACAACCTCGACATCATCGCAGCCGTCCAGGCCTTCAACGAGCTCAACGAGCTGTCCGACGAGGTGCGGAACAAGCTCGTCGCCGACATGAGGAAAAGTGATCCTATGTCGGCCGATTACCAAGGGGGCGGCAACCTCTACCTCGGTATTTTCGGCCTCATGACCGTGCTCGTCATCGCGGGGGGCAAAGGTATCTTCTACTGATATGTAACAATAGTTCGTTTATGAGTCTCGTCGCGGTGACGGCGTTTCGACGGGCAAGAGTGCGGTCTACATTTCGGTGCGGGGTGACAGTGTGTTGGCGGGGTAGGAGTGCCTCTTTCCACGCAACACCTCCTCGCAGCCGCCACTGCGTTCGTACCACTAGTAGCTAAAACAGAACGCAGCACGGTGAACTTATACCAAGAGAAGGACCGGCGCGGGGGAACGAGGGGGATGATAGTCAGTCAGATGTCCCAAAGCAGGCATATGAACATGGTCGTATGGAAGTGGGAGGCGGACCGGCGCGCGCCTTGCGCGCGCGCCGACCTCCGGTCTAGTCTCGGGAGCACACCGTGCCGGCCATGTTGAGCCGGCAGAAACCGGAATCGTACGGCCCCTGGCAGCTGTTGCCACCGGTGAAGCAGTTGACGCCGTTGTTTGTGCAAGTCCCGCACCAGGGAGACGTGTCCGTGACGCTGTACGCCGCCGAGGCCCAGGCGTGGCAGAGCGACTGGCAAGTTGGGAGCGTCGGCGCCGGCGTCGGCTTCGACGTGGGCTTGATGGTCGGTCGCGGCGTCGCGGCCGCGGGGTTGGCGCCCGGCATCCAGTCATTGTCGATGAGGAGGGACGCGAAGGCGAAGCCCTGATCACCAATACCCTCGCAGAGCGCCTCCGCGGCCGGCACGGAGGCCGTGAAGTGCATGCCGCCGTCCAGCCGCGACCGCGAGCAGTCGTCGGATAGCTGGGTCATGTTTGACCAGGTGAGCTGGACGTCCTGCGCCGGTACAAAACCGGGCTCGACGTTCGAGCTCCCGGCGGCGACCGTCGCCGCGAGGCCGATGGACTGCCCTCCCGTCCGGACAAACTCAGCATCGAATTGCCTGAGAAAAGCTCCGGTTATTCCTGTCCGCGAAATGCGACGCAAACAACCCTCGGGGCTGCGCTACGACGCCTTTTGTACCCCCCAGACAGACGCGACCGCAATCGGCCCGACCCGCGAAGACCGACGGCCGCGGCGCGAGCTCAAGTAGATAACGCTGTCCCCGAAGCGAAGTCGGCCGTGGTGGCTAGGCAGTCTAGCGCTAAGCAAAGCAGATAAACACAATGATATATTAAAAATAAGCGGACCAAGGGGCAGAATTGCGGGTTTCCTCGGCCGGGCGGCGCCTACCCAGTAGGCGTCGCCGGGCGTCATGTGGTGCTCCGTCGTCGCTTTTTTCGATGTTCGATGAGGCGCTGCGCGCGTCACTCGTCGGCCGAGTCCCGGGACTGGCGGCTCCGCTGCGCGTCGACGTGGCCACTGAGTCACGGGAGCAGGAAATCCGCGATCTGCACTTCCGCTTTGCCCTCGTCGGCGAAGTCGCCCTCGAAGCGCCTCCGGCGAAAATAACCCCAAGAGAACGGGGAATACCTTGGAGCATCGGTCTGCAGCGGCCGCATCTCGGCGTCGTACGCCGGGTTGTAGAAGAAGGGCGCCGAGACGCGCGACACGCCCGGCGGCGACGCCAGGACCCTATGCTCGGGCGCCCGATATTTCCCATTGGATAACACTTGGAGCATGTCGCCCACGTTCACCGTGAGAGCGTCCTCGACGGGACTGACGTCGATCCAGTGCGGCGGCGCATCGTCATTATGAGCGTTGACGTTGACTTGCAGCGACGACACGGCCGGGTCCTGGTACAACAAAGTGATCACGCCAGCGTCGAAGTGGCGGTTCACGCCCAATCGAGGACCGTCGAGTTCATCCAAGGGCGTCTCGGCGTCGTCCTCGCCAGCTTTGATAACATCTAGGTCCACGTCGTTCTGGACGTGGCGGTTTTGTGTAGCCGGATACGCGTTCAGCCTTAAATAAGACGTGTGGCCGCCCTCAAACAATGATCGAAACGCTTCCGGTTCTATATCCAACGATAACGCGACGGCATCGAGCAGCTCCTCGCACACATGAGCGCAGCAGGCATAATACGTCTCGACGGCCTCCCGAAAACCAGCTAATTCAGGAACTTGATTGTAGCCGTCCATGACGTGGTTCTCGGCATGATCATCGGGCAGATCCGCCCGCGGCTTGTGGCCGAAGTCGTACATTTCTTTGTAGTCTCTGGTCCTTTTCGTGAACTCGTCGTCCGCGAAGCCTCGCGAATTCGTGGCCGTGCGCTTGACGCGACGTTTGACGTCCGTCGGCAAGGCGAAGAAGGCCCTAGTTGCGGCTTCAAACGCGTCGATGACGTGCCGGGGCACGCCGTGGTTCACCACATGAAAAAAGCCGGGGTCCGCGCACGCCCGTCCCAGCGCTTCGATTTGTTCTGGACTGTTGAGTTGTTTCAGGTCCAGTACCGGGATCCTTTCTGGTCTTATGCTCGCCGTCGCGGCGCCTAGTAGTGCCAGCCACCGCATCGTCTTCGCTGAGCAGTCTTGGCGCCTCTCCAGACCAGGACGGCGGCGCAGGTTGAGCTTCACAGGCTTCGTCCAGCAGCGTCTCAGAGTGCTCTTGCCGATGCGCGACTATCGATAAAGCACAACTGCGCGCGACGCGCGAGTGTTCACTTTGGAATGCCGAGGCTAGCGTCGATACACACACTAGCCTCACCAAGTGCGCAAAGGCCTGCATGTCGGTGCGCGGCGCGAGCTAGTACTTTAGGGACCCGTTGCGGTCTCTGCGCTGTGCCGTATCTTTCGCTGCCAGTAGTTCTGCTCGCGGAACGGCTGCGGACCTCTGCTGCCTGTGCTAGGGGTGCAGAGTGCAGCGTGCAGCGAAGCCACGCTGCAACAGCGAACGCGTATCTAGCAACGAGCAAAGGCAGTGCAGCACCATGCGAGCCCTCGCAGCAGCATACATCGCACACGCCGCAACGGCACTCGTCGCACCGATACCACGTGTGCAGCTCCAAACACGCATCTACGGAGACAAGGGCGTCTTCGGCCCGCGGAGCCCGGATATTGAATATATGCCGAAAGCGAAAGACGCGCCGCAGCGCCAGGTCGGTTTGTGGCCCCGCGGGACCGCGGCCAACTTCTTCCGAATCATAACATTTACGTGGGTCGTCGTCTTCGCCCTCACGCTGGCGTCGTCTACATTAACACTACCAGGCGTGGCCGACGCGGGAGCGGACATTTCCCAGGGCCGAGTCATCGCCGACGGATTGATGGGGCGCTGTTTTGTCGTGAGAAAGCGGACGTTCAGTCCTAGAGCGTTGTGGGACGCGAACTACCGGAGACGGTTAATGAGAGGAGCCGCTCTCTCGACGCAATCCCCGCTCCTCGGTGACCTCGCGTTAGATTTGCCGCGCTGGACCTCGCGGTGGCGCTGGCACCAAAGGTGGCGCTGTTTAACGTATTTTCTTGCACATGGGTCCGCGGCGCACGTTCTTGGTGATGCGGTGTTGTTGCGGTCGTCATTAGCTTTGGATGGGAAAGGCCTGCCCTACGACGCGCGACGACGGTTAGGCGACGCGAACGATAATCGAGGAGGCGCCTGCGGCGGTGCTGGCGTTCTACTGCTGACATCAACCTTAGGAGTCGTAGCGGGAGGCATCTGCCACCTGCAGAACACGATGCGCGCGCCTCGAGCCGTGGGCGGCGGCGCCCTTTGTGCGGCTCTAGCTGGTGCGAGGTGCGTGGCCCAATGTAAACTACTGAAGGGCGCGCATCCCCGTTCCAGAGCAGTAAAGAACCTCCTGCCGCGCCTGGCCGTGCTGCTCGTCGCGAATTATGCGATGGACGTCCCTCCGGCGGTCGTCCTGGGCGGCCTCGCGGCGGGCCTCTCCATCTCCATAATGGCGGCGCCGCGCGTCGTGGGCACGGAGACGGAGTTCGCCCTGTATGGTGATAAAAGAGACGCGTTGCGGAGAAAAGGCAAGGGTCGGGCGTTGGCCGTGTCGCTCTCCAAAAACATCAAGCGGGAGCCAGCGCGCGTGCCTCCACCGGTATGCTTCGCGCTGGCTTTGTTAGTAGTGCCGACGCTTCGCATCGGGTTACTGCAGCTCGTGCCTGCCCTCGCGACGTGCGCGGCCCGGCCGGGCGCGCTGTCGGGGCGGGGGCTGGACTGCCCGCCGGGGTTCGTTTGGTGAGTCATGTGTTAGGTATTTATTTTCTACTTGCCCGACGGCGTCTCGCGGGCGCGGAGCGTGGCTCGCGATGCTTCTAGGGCACAATCGAAAGTCACTACAAGCGGATGCGCCGCGCCGAACACGCGTCGCGCGGTCTGTGTCGCGTCCTCGAGTGTCGCCACGGCCTCGCGGAGATCTTCGAGCGTCGATCCGTCGTCTTCGAAGAGCGCCACCGCGTAAACTTTGTTCATATGGAGCGTGAGATCATGGCTTTCTCCGAGGAAGCGTCGCGCCACAGGTATCATTTTGCGCAGCAGCGACTTGGCTTCTTCGAAGCGACTTAGAATCATAAGGGACGACGCGTAATTGTAGGCTTCTCGGAGGGTGTCATAATGTTCCTCGCCATGGAGCTTCAAAGTTCCAGAGTATACCTCTTGTCGCAGGGACAGGACCTCTGCAACCCGTCCGAGGTCGTCATACGTGCACGCAAGATTGCCCTGCGCGATGAGCACTTGGTGTTCTGGTGCGCCAACGCGCCGCTTCATAGACAATTCGGCCTCTCTCGCGGACAATGCGTCCTCGTGGCGTCCTACAGCGGATAAACCATTCCCAAGCTGCGTCATCGCTGCGAGCCGAGGCTGATCCGTCTCGGGCCGACCCACGTACGTCTTCCAGCACGCCCACCCGAGCGCACAGCACACGACGCCGTGGTACTCTTGCTCGCACAGGCCACACGTGTGCCACCGCCGCCACCGCTCATTAAACACCTTCATGTCCAAATTGTTCTCCTCGGCCTCGTCGCACAAAATCTTGGCCTGCTCCGCCAGACACGCCACATGCGCGAACCCCGCCGTCCCGCGGCACGAACACCCGCGCACGAGGCCCTCCTTCGTCTTCCAATGGAGGGCCTGCGTGCAGATGAAGCACGTCTGGCCCTTCGTGTCGTCCGCGCACGCCTCCGCTGCGACCGTTACGGCCTCTGAGTATTTCGTATCGGCATAATACTGTTCAGCCCCACCGGCTCGCTTAATCTTTTTGCAGAGCTTGTCGTGGCCGCCCCCTTCCCAGTGCTGTTTCTGGCATTCGGGCCCGCAGTAGCGTGTGCTGCAGCGGCCGCATTTCTTGCCCAATGACAAGCCAAGCTCGGTGGCGCAGACGGCGCACTGCGTGAGGATCATACTTCTTGCTCCCTCTTTGGGCAGCCCGATGGCTCCTCGCACCGTCCACCACCCTCCAAAGCTTGTCCAGCCTCGGCCTCGCGCCCAAATTGTGTTCAGCGCCCGCTCAGCACGCTTCTCCTGGACGCGGTCCGACCCCTCGAGAGCCTCGCCGGGCGGCTCCCGCACTCGCGATTTTGAACGTGCGGGGGAGAGCCAAACTGGGCATGCAATTTGGGAGACGCTGGGAGCGGCACAAATCGGCTCCTGTGGACCCAGGGAGAAGCAGCAACCCGCAACCCCAGGGGCAGTCCGCGGGCAGCCCAGACAACAACTAGTCCCAGTCACTGGAATCCCAGTCCATCGGAGGCGATACTCTCGATCAAACCATGGTCCAAGCAGCCGGCCCCGCCCCCGTCTACATCCGGGTAAGACAGAAGACGAACCGCAAGAAGGGCGTCCTACCACCGGCCTGGTCCCCGACCTTCCGGCCGACGCGCACGGGCGCGCCCGTCAGCCGCACGCTGCCGCGGGCCGCGGCGCCGCGGCCCTGCCTGCTGCCCCTCGGCCACAACCAGGAGTACGCCTGGTGCCGCAATCGATCAATGAGACCAGTGACGCCGTCGCCGGGCGAGCACCTCCGCCCGAACGCCCCGGGCACGGAGGGTCCGTGTGCGATCGAATTACGGGCCCACGCGCTCCGGAAGCGCATCGAGAGTCTGGAGAAAGCACCGCGGCGCGACAAGGTGAAGCGCCAGGAGGCCCTGAAGTCGCTGAAACGCTACAAGCGCGAATATAACAGATGCCTCGACCTGCTCGAGGGCTGCGAGGTCGCCGAGGCCGAGTTCCTGCCGGACGAGCCGCGGCCCGGCACGCCCTACACCGTCGGTAGGACGACCCACGTCCGCCCGGGCTGCGCGTCGCCTCTCTCCGATTCGTCCACAGTAAGCGTGTGGTCGACGTCGCCGCGCAAGCTGTCGTCTCGTGGCACGTTCCCCTTCTCGAACACCGAGGACCGCCGCCTCGCCTCTCCGAAAGTGGTGTCGCCCAAGACGTTCGCCAACCTCTTCGCCCACTAGTTAGACTCTAACTTATCCGATCGACTAGGGCCGCGACGTGCGCGTCCTCTTCTCCCACTTCGCTAAGCCAGGTCGCGAGGTTGAGGAGGTAGTCGCGGTTCGGCCCCGACGGGCCCACGGCGTCTTTTATTGTAAGAGCGGCCGCGTCCAGATCTTTGATCGCGCTCGCGTCGAAGTTCGGGTTGTCCACCGTGCCGCGATATAACAAGGCGTCGAGCGTGCCGCCCGCGTGAACGACACTTACGACCTCCCTCGTATACCCGCCCTTTTCTCGGAAGTCGAGGTCGTCCAACACCTGCCGCGCGTCCGCGTCCGCAACCCTATAAGCCGTGCCCACACACGAACCGGTGTAGCCCTCGTCTTGTAATGCGAGCTTCACCAGGTCCTCGTCGCGCACGACCGTGGCCACGAGGCCCGGCGCGGCCGGCGTGCCCCGGTGGTCCTGCGACCGCTGCGCGAAGTAGCGCGTCAGGCCCCGGACGCGGCCCGTGCATTTTTCGACGTGCGGGAACTCCGTCTTCCAGCACAGGGACCCGTAGCCGAAGATCCAGAGCGGCGACGGCACGTCGTCGGACCCGGCCGCGCGGTTGCCGACGTAGACGCCGTTCTTCGCGTCCCAGACCGGCGCGGTGGACATGGCCGCGGCGGCGGCGGCGACGCTCGCAAGACCGGCGAGCCGCGCCAGTTTTGCTCTGCGGTGCCGAGCTGCAACCTAGCTTTTGCAGCGAGTGCAGCTTTAGATTGCGTTCTAAGCGACGCACCGGCAGGAATGGCGAGTCGTGCGACTGTGCCGGGCGTGGCACTGCCGTTTGGCTGCGAGTTGACGAGCTGCTCGTAGCCAAGGGCAAATTTGCCCCCTAGCGTCGTAAAGACACTAGCAATAAGCGCTACTGGGATGCTCAGCAGCATCGGACCCCGCAGCGTCGGACCGCCGGAAATGAGAACTACGGATGAAGTTGGGAACGGACTTAGAAAGTACGAATGCCCTCTATCGGACCCGGGAGTCTTCTGGCCCCCGTGACGCGAAACCCGTCCAGTTACTTTGCTCACGAGACGCGACATGCAGCCTTTCGAGTACCGTTCGGTTCGATACTGGTCCAAAGAGATCAATGGGACACTTACTGGGGGGCGAAAAAAATATTTTTTTTTAATTCGCGATATTGACGGTCCCGCCATGACGGCCGCGCCGATGGAATCCTGTCGATTTGCGGCGCGGAGGCCTCCCGGGGTTCGCTTTGGGTCGGCAGTGGTCGCGTGCAAGCGCCTACACCGCACACGCCGCCGCTTACAGCATATTTTGGCCAATTCTCTCAGCAGACAAAGGAGCTTTAGCAAGTTTAGGGCAGGTCTAGGTTCCGAGACCTCTAGGCTGCTGCATCGATGGCGTAAGCGGTGCAGGCGCTTACCCACTACCAGACCTACCCCGAGAGGCCTCCAGGAGCCGATCTGCCCCCGAAAAAAGTGTGTAATTTGGACCCGTTGGTGCCTCGTTCCCGGTAAAAACGTCAATTACCCGAGGCCCCCCAGTAGTCGCCGTAGCGGTCTCGTTGGACCCCATACTACCCCAACGATAGTCAATTACGAGTATATGCCATCTACATTATAAGAAGGGTACTTTTTGCTGCCCACGCTCGGGACGTGAACATCTTTATCTGGAGCTCGCATAAGTCGGTCGATCATGAAACAAATGATCGCGTCAAGGTCCATGGTGATGGTACACGGGCTGATGGTCGCAGGTCCAAGTATTAAGCCGTTTAAAGCAAGATCGTGGGCTCGCGGGATGGCCGAGCCGCGCCCAGCATATTTGGGTCTCGGAGCAATGTAGTACACGCTCAGGCCGGTTATCTCGCCCGTCCCACTACTAAAGCGCCTGAAACGCGAATTTATTTTATAAACCACCGGTCTGGGGCCAATTCAGTGCCCCGCGTGCGCACTGTCGTCCGCGGAGAACGGGCAAGTCGGTCGATTGTGAATAGAACAACGGCGTTATGGTCCATCTGGATGGTGTCGTCGCTGATACTCGCAGATTCAGGTTCTGACGGTATTTTTGCATAAAACGCGAGGCGCGGAAATGCCGATTCGCGCGGCCCTAACGGGTTATCTAAAGTAGCTCAGTGGGCACTGATTCGGCCTAGATGGACTGTACCACTAACAAACGGAAGGAAACGAACATAAACGCGAGAGTTGTCTAGTAGAATTCTTTTCCCGCCCTCCGAGCGCGGGCCGTCGGCTCCGGTTCCGTCGGATGTGTATGAAAACTGGGCTGGAGTTGATATGATGTACTATTTGGACGCTAGAAGGCGCCGTCAATCGCTGGTGTAAATTGGCGAGCCGCAAGACCTAGTGAGCTAGCGTATGGACATACTAGGACGCAGCCCACTAGAACCAAGTATGTATCTACCTATCGGACGAGCCGTGAGGCGAACCGCCGACGGACTTTTCTATCGGACGGGGCGCCGGGTGTCCGATGCTGCTGAGCATCCCAGTATACTCTCAATTTCAGCGCGTAGCAGCGCGCATAGCGCAGTTACGCAGCCACGCGGTTGCTGAGAGTGACCAAACGCTCCTCCAAAACCGCCAGCCGACGCGGCCTCACAGGCGAGGCGCCCAACCCACCTAAAAAGGACAGCGCTCCCAAAGCAGGCCGCGCGCCGCAAAACACAAAAAGCGATGGCCGCCTGGCAACCGGAAGAAATGAATTCTTTATATTGCCACGTCATGGCCCACGCCGAGAAATTTGCGGATGTCACTTGTGATGGTGGTGCGGAAGCTTTCAATAGAGAACTACTGCAGGACGCCGCAAACAATGATGAGGAGGTGGTAGAGACGCCCATTAGCATCGAAGTGATTGATGCCGTGGCGAAAAAGGAGCCGGGCTTCGTTGCGGGCTTCGGTGATAAGGTCCACGTCGAGTTCGTCGTGGCGCTGAAGCGAGGCTCCCAGTTAAAAACGGTGGGCAAGCGCTATTCCGAGTTGGAGGAGTTCCACGCCGTCCTACTCTCACATAATCTGGTGGACCGGTTGCAGGCCCCGCCGTTCCCCGAGAAACAGACCTTTCGAGACAGCTGGTACAAGTTCGACGCCACGGACGTCAATAGCGACTTCGTGCGCAACCGACGGGTGGCCTTGGACCAATATTTGAGGAATTTATTCGGTACCTTCCCGACGCTCTTCCACGAGCCGTGCGCGATCGCCTTTTTTGGCATCGAGGAGTTCGAGTTCGAAGCGGCGAAGGAGGTGTCCCAGCAGACGGCCGCGCGCGCCGAGCGGGTTCGTAAAGCTCAAGAAGCGAACATCGCTCCGATCGAGCCCGTGCCTCAGCAAAAGGAGGAGGGCGTCGTCGACGTGTGATAACTTGTGGTACTACTTATCTCTTAAACTAGGGCCCGAACGCGAGCACGGCGCGGAAGGGTCGGTGTGGGAGGTGCGCGAGCGCGCCGAGGAGCGCGTCTGAACTCGTCGCGCGGCCGCGGACCACGAGGCACCGGAACCTCGGCAGCGTCCGGCGGTGGAAGCGGCGCTCGTAGGCGCGCCAGCTGCCGGCGGCGCTGACGCCGCGGATAAGGGCCTTGAGCACGCGGAACGGTTCGTCGCGTATTGAGCACCCCTGAAACGGGTGTTCGCTCTGGCGCTCCCAACGCGCTATGTACTCCTCGGCCGACTCGGCCTTTTCCCCCGCCCAGGACACTGCGCACTGGACGTCGACACCAGAGCCGGCGCGCAGCAGCACCGTCGCTAGCTCCAACTTTGCCCGCCGGCGCTCGTCGTCGACGCACCACATAAGTCCTGTGATCGCGAAGCCGAGCGACAACGTGCCCTCTCGCGTCCGCTGGTTCACATCGGCGCCCGCGCCGAGGAGGACCGCGACGAAGGCCGGCGTTGCAATGGTGTTGCAGAACACGGCGCTGTGCAACGTGGTGTTTCCGTTGCCATCGCGGACGTTCGGGTCTGCGCCCCGCGCGAGCGCCAGACGCGCGAGATCGACCTTGGCCGTGGATATCGTATACGAGAGACATTCAAGCACCTCGGTTAGGTGGTGGACGTTCGTCGCGGCCGCGAGCCAAGTTTTCACTAATTCAATCTCCTGCGGCGTCATCTCGGCCGCCGACGCGGCCCTCAACACGTCGATGGGCGGATGCCGAGACGTTGCATCCAAAAGTGACATGGCCTGCGGGCGCGGGACCGTGCGCGCAAAAAAACACCTCGGAGCGGCAAAAAATCGAGCGGTTCGAGCGTCGTCGGTCGGTCCGCGCGTCGGCAGCGCCCTTTTGGCCTCGGACGGCTATTCCTATCTTTTTTTTTTAGTTGGTCGTCTCGTCAGCCGACGCGATATGTTCATGAATGCGTGGACGCCGCACGCGCACGGCCTGCTAGGTGCCGTCGTCGTCGTCGTCGCCACTCTTTTTCAAGGCGTCGGGGTCGAAGCGCCACGCGCTGCGGCTCTGCGGCGGCGCGCAGCAGAGGCACCCCTGGTTATGGCCCGGCAGGCGCTGGCGGGCGCGGAGCGCGCGGCCCGGGCCGCGCACCATTAGTCTACGGTCTCCGTGCGCTGGACGACCGTGCAGCACGGCAATCGGTCGACCAGCTTGCGCGACGCTGCTGGGCTGCTAGTACGTTTATGTAGCTAGCTAAATCTTGTAAGCTTACCCGCAGGCCGTCCATACGCGCCAAATGGCCCTCAGGACGGGCTCTACGGCCCTGGAATTGCGTTACTTGTAGGCGGTCTCGTAGCACATCTTGGTGGGCTCGAAGCTCCAATTGCAAGCTACGTCCGTCTGCTGCGTCCAAACCGTGTAGTAGAGGGTACTCAGAGCCGGAGAGGTCACTACCGAGCCACAACGCTGCGCTTTTTGGCAAAAAAATGCGCCCGCGGCGGCCTACAGCTGCCGAGCTTGCCACGCTGCACATCGCTACCTAGCGGCGTCATGCGACGCGCTAGCCAGCAGATTGCACCGGCGGAAGCCACGCGTGGTCAGCGGTGCGCACGGCGGCGCGCGTCGCGTCGCTGGTGCCGTGCTCAGAGAAAACTGAGCCCGGACGGCGCCGATTGACCCGTCGATGGTGGCGAGCGCCGCTGCGCCGTCGACGCGCGGTCGGCACCCGCCGCGGAGGTATTTTTGCCCGACACACACACGGCAGACGGGTAGATCGCGTCGCCGCAGAGAGAGAAGAGCGCCGCGGCGAGAGAACGAGCGCTCAACCGCGTTAAACACACAGTTTTCGACGACGACGATGAAGCTCGCGGTCGCCCTCGCGTGCCTCCCGGCCGCCGCCGCGTTCGTCGCGCCGGCGGCGCCGGCCGCCGGCGTGCAGATGTCCGAGACGAAGGCGGACCTCGAGGCGCTCGCGAAGCAGTGCAACCCCGCCGTCGGCTTCTGGGACCCGCTCGGCTGCCTGAACTTCGACTTCTGGAAGCTCGGCCAGGAGGGCACGATCGGCTACCTCCGCCACGCGGAGATCAAGCACGGCCGCGTGGCCATGGCCGGCTTCTTGGGCTACTGGGCCCAGTCGACGGACTTCATCTCCGGCCCGCACAACAACCTCCCCTACCGGGGCTACGAGCCCGGGCTCACGCCGCCGGAGCAGTGGGACGCGATCCCGCTCATCGGCAAGGTCCAGATCATCACGTTCGTCGGCATGCTCGAGTCGTACGGCGAGCTCCTGCCGCAGCACTACACGAAGGGCGGCGTGCCGGGCTACTACCCGCCGATCAAGGGCGCGCGGCCCGAGATCCTGCTCAACCTCTGGGACCCCTTCAACTTCATGGCGCGCATGACGCCCGAGGCCAAGAAGGCGGGCCTCGTCAAGGAGATCAACAACGGCCGGCTCGCGATGCTCGGCATCTTCTCGCTCATCAGCGAGGCGCGCGTGCCGGGCTCCGTCCCGGTCTTGCCGAACGAGATCCCCGAGTACGCGGGCAACGTCATGATCCCGTTCTCGGGCGACTTCTCGCTCTTCAACTAGGTTCGCATGTCAAAACATGTGGGCCGCCCGTCGGGGTCCGTGCGCAGGGGCGCCGCGCACCCCCTTTTAGATTCGCCGTGTAGTCATCCGTGACAGTTGCTTGCTTTCCTTGGGTGGGGCTCGCGTCGACGGCGTGGGGCGGGGGCCTCGCCCTCGCGTCCGTCGGGCGCGCGTCCTCGCGTCGACGGCGTAGCGTGCTTTCTCCTCCTCAGAGGACCAATGACGTGATTATCGCACCTCAGTGGACCTATGACGCGATTATACGTCGGGAGCTGTCGATACGCTAGTAAGACTGCACGCTAGCTGATCAGTCGGCTGAGTTTGCGGCTCCGTGGTAGCCAATTAATCGTGTTGCACAATCATTACGACGATAAAAGGGCTTACCGGAACTCGTTCTTGCACGGCACGAAGAGCTACGGATCATCCGGCGCCATACAGTGCAGCTCTCAGCAGCCACTCAGTGCCACCACTCAGCCTGCAACAACCATGCGTGCCGCATTGCTGGTAGCGATTGGCACTACGCATGCCGTAGTGATGACGACGCGCCGCCGCATCGGCGCCAGCGCGGCGGCGGGCATCGCAGGGCTAGCGCCGCCCGCCCACGCCGCCGACGCCGACCTCCCCACCCTCCGACGCGGCCTCCTCGACCTGGAGGATCTAGTGCAGAACTGGAAGGAGCGCACGACGAACTGCAATTACGCGGAAGTGAACCGAGACCTCCTGGGCTCGCAGAACAAGGCGGCCCTTCTGAAGCAGGCCAGCGAGAACGCGGCGGTCGCCAAGGGCTCCGCCGTGAAGACGCTCTGCAAGCGCGATCCGGAAGCCGTGCGGCGCATCCTGGGCCTCGACGGCAAGCTCAACGCCAAGTCGGCGCCGCTCCTCGCCCCGGGCGCCGCGCGGCAGGAGCGCCTCAACGCCGAGGACCAGAACGCGGCCCTCGCGGATGCAGATCGGATGATCCGCAAGGGCCTCGAGTTCACGAGCGACCTCGACGGCTACGTCGAGGCGAACGAGAAGTGGCTGCGCGCGGTGTCGGCGATCGACTCGGCGACGTACTCGAGCCGGAGCCAGGACCTCGGCGCGGTCATCTCGACGACTGCGGGTGGTGCGGAGGTCCTCGACTCGGCCCTGTCAAGTGTCGTCGAGGCGAGGGACGCGCTGCGCGTCGTCGTGAAGCTACGTAGCATGTAGGTTGTTAATTGTTAGCACAAAACATAGTATCACGATTGCCCGAACCGCGCGGCCATGATGCGCCGCGCCGCGTCCTGCGCGCGCGACACCTCGTCGTCGGCCGCGGAAGCGGGCGCTGCCACCGATGCCGCAAATTCCCCTCCAAGGGACGCGAAGAGCGCGTCCGTCGCGGCCGTCACCTCGGCGGATACCTGCGCGGGCGCCGGCGCCGGCGCCGCCGTCGCGGTGCCCTGTGTCATCCACGCGGGCATCGTGGCGCCGCGGCCCCGGCCGCCGGCGAGCGCCGACGGCGCGGCCGGCTTGGTACCCTGGGTCATCCAGGCGGGCGTCGTGGCCCCGCGGCCCCGGCCCGGCGCCCCCGCGGCCGGCGCCGGCCGCGCCGCCGCCTGCCCCGGCGGCCGGTAACCGGGGACGAAGCGCGCCGCCACGGCCTGCGCGGCGGCGATCTTGTCCGCCGAGACGGTCGGCCGCGGCGCCGCGGCCTGGGCGATGCCCGCCGCGCCGTAGCGCTGCATCGTCGGCGACGGCCGGATCCCCGCGGCGCCGTACTGGTTTGGAGCCGGGGCGGCGTACGGCTGCGCCGCGGCCGCCGCGGCCTGTGTTGCGCCGTACGACTGCGCCGGCGGGGCGCCGTAGGGCCGCGCGTAGGCGCCGTAGGGCTGCGCGGGCGGCGCGTAGGAGGGCTGCGGCGGCGGCGGCTCCCACGTCGTCACCCCCGTGGCGGGGTTGTAGTAGTACGGCCGCGGCTGGCCCGGCGCGTGGACGACCTGCCAGGGCGGCGGCAGGCCGCCCTGCGCGCCGTATTGCGGCGCTTGGCCTTGCGCGGGCGCGCCGTATTGGGGCGCGCTGTATTGTGTCGCGGGCGCGCCGTACTGCTGCTGTGGCGGCGGCTGCTGCCGCGTGGCCGCCTCGCGCGTCGCCGCCATCGCCTCGCCGTACGCCGCCATGGCCGCGTCGTAGTCCGGTGCGGCGGGCGCCGGCGCGGCGGCGGCGCGTGCCGGCGCGTACGACGCTGGCGGAGCAAAGGCGGCCGGGGCCGGCGCGGCGGCGGCGCGTGCCGGCGCGTACGACGCTGGCGGAGCAAATGCGGCCGGGGCTGGCGCGGCGGCGGCGGGCGCGGCCGTGCCCTGGGTCATCCAGGCGGGCATCGTGGCGCCGCGGCCGCGGCCGCCGGTCGGAGCTGCGTACGACGCCGGCGGGGCGAACGGGTTCGCCGCCGCGGGCGCGGGCGCAGGCGCCGGAGCGGGCGCGGCGGTCCCCTGGGTCATCCAGGCGGGCTTGGTCGCCCCGAGCCCGCGGCCCGCGGGCCGGGGCGGCGGCGCCGGGCCCTCCGCGGGCGGCCGCGCGGGCCCCTCGTACGCCGGGGCCGGCGGCGCCGCCGGGCCCTCGACGCGCAAGGGCGACCGCGGCCGGATGACGCACGACTCCGGAACTTCCGGAGGCAGCAGCGCCGCCGCCGCGATGGCCGCGGCGTCCTGCGGCTTCGATGCGGAACCAATGTCCAGCACCGTGTAGTACGCCGGCGCCGGCGCAGGATTCTCGGCCCGCTCCTGGGCGCGCGCCTCGGCCGCCGCCGCGCGCTCGCGCCGCGCCGCGCGCTCGCGCTCGATCGCGGCGTCCTCGTCCTCATCCTCATCGTCCTCCGACGCGCTCGACGACGACGATTGAGGTTCGGGCGCCGCCTTCCGCTTCTTCTTGTCCCGCTTGAGGCGCTTCGCGGCGCGCTTCGCGGCCTTTTTGTCGCTCTTCTTCTTTGCCTTGGCCGCGCGTTTCGCGCGCTTCTGCTGGGACCCGTCTTCCTTGGTGCGCAGCTCGCGCGCGCGCTGGTGGTCGCGCTCGGCCTCGGAGAAGGTCATCCGTCTCTCGGCGCGCGCAGCTGTTGGCTAGCCTCTCTCCTGTGGTGTCTCTACTGCGATGTGTCGGCCTCGGCGGCTGGCGTCGCCGGCGCAGGGCTGCAAAGCAATGTAGTGGCGCGTCTCCGCGCGTCTTGTCTGGCTCCTCGAGCTCGTCTTGGCACGAGCGCCGCGCGCGGATCGAGCTAGCGGCATATAAACACACTAGCAAGACAAGCAAAAAGGCAATCAAGGCTGCGCAGGGAGCTCTGACCACGCATTTGCATCAATTACCTATTGTTTCCATCGCTGCAGTCGTGCTGTTGCACGCTGCGCGCTGCGCACACAGTCGTAGCATCACTGCACGCAGAGCGGTACCAGCCAGCGTCCAAGTAACATCAAAAACGCTGAGCGCCGACGATGACCGAAAAAAAATAGCTTAATCTTTTCTGAAGCGGGCCCACTGAACCCCTTGACAGACGACATTGACGACTCGACTGAGGCGCGTCCTGGACACAACGAGCGAAACGCATCGTTGTAGACACACATAACAAAAAAACACGCAGGCATGGCGTGATGGCGCACACGCTGCGCGTCGGCTGCGACCGGCGGGAGTTCCGCGTGACGGCCCGCGGCGACAAGCCGCTCCGGTCCGTGGCCAGATCCATCGCGAAGCGCCTCGGGTGCTCGCTCGTATCACTCTTCGCCAATGCGCGCGCCCTCGATGAGTCCCTGACTGTCGGCGCGCTCGCGGCGTCGGGCGTCGGCCGCGTCGAGGCGGTGCCGTGCGACGACGCGCCAGCGCCCGCGCCGGCCGCGCCCGCGCCGCCGCCGCCGCGCCAAGCCGAGCCAATGGCGCCAGCACCCGTGCCCGCGCCGCCAAAAACACCCAAGGCCCCGGCCGAGCCGCGTATCGAGACCGCGGCGTCAACGGAAGACGCCCTCGCCGCCGCCGTCGCGTCGCTCGCGGCGTTCGCGCCGAAGGCCGAGGATCCCAAGCCGCCAAAACCAAAGAAAAAGCCGGAACCGCGCGCCTGCCCCGGCTGCGCGGTCTACGTCTATAAAACCAGAGAGGGCCGCTGCCTCGCCTGCGGCGCGGATTTGAGTGGCGACTTCAAGCGCGGCTTTTTGGAAACCAAGCTCGAGGGCCTCTGCGTCGTCGTCGCTGATACTATGTCCGTGCGAGATGTCAGGAAGGTGCACCTCAAGCATTTGCAGAGAGGGGCCCTCGTGGACGTGAAAGAAGACGACGGCTCGACCTGCTCTGTAGTATCGCAGGAGTTCCCCGGACTGAGAGGATATGCTCCGTCGAGCGACCTCGCCCGTTTTGATGGAGACGACCTTCACGCTCAGACCTTCACATCACTCTGGGAAGCGCCGGCCCTCCAGGAGGTCCACGAAGGCCACATCCGGGGCAAAGTGGAGCGCGTCTGGCTCCGACGGCGAGGCCCCTGGCTCGACGAGGTTTTACAAGCGGACGCGATCATAGAACGCAGCGAGGGCTGGGTCGCGCGATGTATAAAGAGCGGCCGCGCCGGCGCCGTCTTCCACCCGCTGCAAGAGTGCGAGCCCGTCCTCCTTTGTCGGGGCCGCCTCCGCGACGACGAATTAAGGTCGGACGACGAGGCCGACGCGCGCGGCGATCCGCCCTCATCGCTGCAGCCCTGGGACGCAGCTCTCCAACTCTGCGCGGACGTCGGGCGCGGCTGGCGGCCCTCGTTGTCAAATGCCGACGTCTGGGCCGCGCGCGGCGAGGCCGCGTACGCGCTGGACAAGCACGCCGCGGCCGTCTACGCGTTCACGATCGCGTTATGCGCGACGGACGACGGCGTATTATATAGAGCACGCGCGGCGGCGCTGTGGCGCGGCCGCGCGGACGGGAGGAAGGAGGAAGCGGGCGAGCCGCCGCGCGCGTTTCCCCTGGTGCTCGGGCTCCTGGCGGCGCGCGACACGCGAACAGCTCAACGCCGCGGCGCGTCGGTGGCGGGCGAGCCCTGGGAGACGATTCTAGGCTTCGCGCGGCGCGCGCAGGTGCCGGACATGCTCGGCGTGGTGGAGCAGGAGTGGGTCCGCCACTCGCCCGAAAAGAAACCCCCGCCAGTTTAATGTTGTGACACAATATTACAAGTCGACCGCCTCCTTGCCCAGACTCGACACGAGGGACACGGCCTGGGATCTTTCCAAACGCGACAGGCGGTTCTGTTGCGAAAGAAGATTGCGACCGTCCTTGTCCGTCCCCGTCCAGGACACGTAGACCGCCAACCTACATAACTCGGAAACTTGCCCCTCTCCTTTCCCGCATTTGTCGTCGGCCACGGAGCACTGCTCGGCGGCGTCCTTGGCCATTGAACCATCATACTCGAACTCGTTCGCCGTGCAGGCGGCGTCCTCCTCCTCGCAGTCGAAGCAGCCCGCGTCCCAGGCGACCGCGGCCACTTCGCCTCGATCTAGTACCACCTGAGCATATAACACCGGAAAGGTCGACGGCGATCCTCTATGCAAATCCCGCCACCGCCTTTGGTAGCTCCGCTTCCCCTCGGATTGTAACGAGAGGCCGATGCTCGTGGAATTGAGCGCGTGGTGGGCACCAAGCTGTGAAGTAAGGGGCGCCCACGCGCCCCGGACCTCCAACCGCGCGAACGTGTCGACCTCGGCCCGGAAGCCCAGTCGCACGTATTTCGTGTCCTCCGCCCAGTCTAAGGACGACGAGAGCACGACGCAGAGGTAGGTCTCGTCGCCTCGTCGGAGCTTGGGGTTCGACCGGCCGGCTACGGAGCAGGCCGCCTCGGCGGTGGCTGCCAGGGAGAGGAGGGGCAGCCGCCGCATGTCTTTGTTTCAAAGCAGTGTGTTTGGGGCAGCCGATTCGTGCGAGTAAAAGCGCTTTTCAAATGCTAGTGTGCCTATTATACGCTAGCCGTCGCAAGCTTCACAACGCACCGGGTGCTATAGAGTTCGCTCTGACAGCTCAGTGTTTGTTTTCGAGGGCTTTGGTACGTGGGTGATCTCGTGGTCCAACTTTGACGTGCTGCGGAGGGCTGACAGAGAGCTGACAAGATGGCAGCAAGGAGCACCTCCTTCGGTATGCCCGACGAAACGAAGGACGAAACGAAAGAGCCCTCGCTCGCCGACGCCTGGGCCGACACGCTGTCAGCAAGGTCGTCGCCGGCGAGCCTCTCCTCGAAAATCCACGACAGCGACGCGGAGCTTGAAACTCAGTCTTCATCGGAGCTGGCCGAAGCCTGGACGAAGACGCTCCCGCCGCCGCCGCCGAAGAACGAGACGGGCGTGAAGCTGACGTTGGGGGATGCGACGCGCGTAGGAGCACGAACCTTGTACACCTTCTACCTCGGCCACGCCGACCACGCCTGGACCGTGAAATTGCGCTACTCGGACTGCGCTTCAGTTTTTGCGGCGTGTGCAAAAGTCGACGTGCCTTTACCAACACCGCCTCCCAAAACATGGCGCCTCACGTGTCGAGGCGAGGCCGAGGCCGAGGAGCGTGGTAGGCATCTAGCGAGGTACTTGAGTCGTGTTGTGGCGTCGGAGAAGTGCTGGGCGCTCTCAGCAGTCAAGGAGCTCTTCGGCGTCTCCACAACAACCTTCGACGAGGAGCTGGGCCCGTCCGCAAAGGAGGGCTGGTGTTTAGTTGAAGGTAGAAGAAGATGGGTCGTGGCGAAGCCGCGCTTTCTGGCCGTGTACGATGCGAGCGACGCTGATAAAGATGCCGCGCGATTTGTGGAATTAGAGTGCTCGTCGCACAAAGTAGTAGTGGAGGGCTGCGACGTGAGTGTTGGTAACTTAAAGCTACGGACCGAGGGCCGCGATCGCGATAGAATCGCGCGGGAGTGGGCCGACGCTATTGAAAGCACCATCGGTAGGCGACGAACATCCGCCTTCGCGCCGCAACGATCTAAAAGTCGCGCGGCGTTTTTTGTGAGTGGTGCGGAGTATTTCGGGGCTGTTAAAGAGGCCATTGACCAAGCTACTTCCACTGTCTGCGTCGCCGGGTGGCGCATCGAGCCGCAGACGCCTCTGCAACGAGATCCTACCGTAAGTGTCGTGGACGTGCTAGGGAACGCGGTGAAGAGGGGCGTGCGCGTCTGCGTTTTATTACATCGCGAATTGTCCGCGACGATGCAGCCGCGCCATCGAAGCGGAGAATGCGCGGAAATCTTAGAGAAAGTTGGAGTAGAGGTACTACGGCATCCAAGACCGATGGCGCGCCAGGCCTTCTGGACGCACCACGAGAAGGTTGTTGTTGTCGATCAATGCAGAGCATTTGTCGGCGGGCTGGATCTGTGTGAAGGCAGGTATGATGACCTGGAGAGGAGACTGCGGGACGATACACTTGTGGGGCGGGAGTACTACCAGCCGTGTGCCGCGGATTACACGAAGATCGATCGGACACAAACTCCGAGGCTGCCGTGGCACGACGTGGCATGTCTTGTGGACGGCGGCGCCGCGTTAGATGTGTTCCTCCACTTCGCGCAGCGCTGGGAGCACCACCGGAGGGAGCTGAAGAAGAAGGTGCCCGCGTTATTGCCTTATACGGACACGCCTCGTAAAGGCTTAGGACCGGGCGCCGAATTGATTGATGCAACTGGTCCAATAGCGTCGTGCCGCGTCGTCCGGTCAGCAGGTGGTTGGTCTTTAGGGGTGCCTACGGATTCTAGCGCGGCGAAGGCCTGGAGCGATGTTATTTCTTCCTCAAAACATTTCGTCTACGTCGAGCAGCAGTACTTCATCACGAGCTTTGATGACGAGTCTGATTCAGAGGAAGAGCTCGACTACAAGGGCGCATCCGTATTAAATGTGGCGGCGCCGCCGTCGCTGAAGCCCGGTCAAACGGTAGAAGTGCCGCACGGCGCGACGACGATGACGGCCGTGGTGGATGAGTTCGGACGACTGCGGGCGGTGGACTCTACACAACCGTCGTCACAGGGCCTGCTGCAGAGGGTGGGCTCGCGCATCGGTGATATCAAAGATGGCATCGACTCCAGGAAGGGCTCGTTCGAGAAGGGCGTCAAAAATAACATTGGCCGAGCTTTATTGGAGCGACTCCGGAGGGCCATTCGTGGCGATGAGACGTTCCGGGCACTTATTCTACTGCCATTACGGCCGAAGGGTCGATTGCTGGAAGGAGACGATCCTGCCGCCTGCGCCGTTCTCAGACAGCAGCGGTCTTGCATCGCCGAGTTCCTCGGTAAACTTAGGAATGAGTTTCCGTCCACCGACCTAGATAGGTTCGTCTTCTTCGCGACGCTGCGGACGCACGACGTTCTACAAAACGGCCCGTGCTCCGAGATGGTTTATGTTCATTCCAAACTGTTAATAGTGGACGACGCGACGTGTGTCGTCGGTTCTTGCAACATTAACGATCGCTCGTTGCGAGGTGGTAGGGATACGGAGGTCGCGGTCGTGGTCGACGGGCCTCAAGTGAAAGAGCTGAGGGTGAAGCTGTGGCGGGCCCATCTCGGCATCCGAGACTCGCCGCGGCCCCATTTATCACGGTCGTCCTTGGATGTCACAGATGTCATAACGTGCTTTGATCAAGTTGTGGAGACGGCGAAGACGAACGCGACGCTCGTCGAGGCTTGTTTTGATTTAAGGCCCCTGGACGACGTCGCTACTCTCGAAGACGCGAAGTCGGCCGTCGGCCTCGGGTGTGTGTCCAGGCGCCTCGCGAACTTGGAAGGCGAGGCGCGGGAGAAAGTTGTGCGGGAAATTGCGAACACGCTCGGGGGCGTCCGCGGCGACTTGTGTGCTTTCCCTGTCAAGTTCTTGGGCGCGGACGCGCTCGCCCCGCCGTTATTAGGAAGGCTTGTTGTTGGTAGAAAACTGTTTCAATAATAATGTTACTTGAATTTCGAGGACGCCGCGGCCCTCCGGAAGTAGTCCTGGCGCGTGAAGAACGGCCGCAGCGAGAACCCCGAGGAGACTGTTTCCAGACCTTTTTTCACGTCGTCGGGGAAGGGGTGGGCAAGACCCAGCTTTGAACAGATGCCGCGGCACTCGTGCGAGGCGAAGAACGCGCGAATATTCTCCTCGCTCTGGCCGTTGCCCGCGCCGAAGGCGTCCGACGGTCCGGACGTGTGGATCTGCGGGTCCGTGACGTGTAATGTATTCATACTCCGCACGCCCTGCACGTCGCTCACCACGAGTTTACCCGCCGACGCGGCCCAGGTGAAGTGGGAGTAGGCCTCGGCGACGGGGTCCGCGTGTCGGTCCGACAGTAACAGCTCGGCGAAGAAGGTATTGGAGTTGAATTTCGAGAACTCCTCCAATGCGCCCTCGATGTAGGGCTCGACGTGCAAATATTTCCGGTCGCTGCCGAGCGTGAACTCCGCGTCCTCATTGTCGCCTTTGACTTCGAGCACCTCCACCACCACAGCCGGGACCACTTCTACCCTGACTCCGGGGGCCTTGGCGTTAAAGTCTGCGGCGTATTTCCCGGCCACGCGGTGCGCGTGCACGTCGCGGAAATACACGCCGTCGCCGACGCCCTGATTGCTCCACAGCCACTCGCGCGTCTCCCGCGTGTAGGCCTTCGCCACGCACCGCTCCACCCCGAAGATCGAGGTGCCGTCGACCCGACACACCTCGCGCATGGCCCCCTGGATCTTGACTCTCTCCAATCCGTCGGCGATGCGGAATGTGGCCTCGCGCCGCCGCCACGTTCCCGGCGCCGTGTCGAGGTCGACGTCCACCTTCTCTCCCTGATCATCCGGCGCGTAGACGCGGCCCACGATTGCCCGAGCGCCCCTGTTGATCCACACGTCATCACGCGAGCGGTGCCGTCGGTAAGTCAAGAACGCCTCGAGCGCAAAACAACCACCCTGCACCAACTGCGGCGCCCGGAGCCAGCGCGTGAAGAGCAGGCGGGACGCGAGGGCGGCGCGCAGGAACGCCGCCGTTTCGAGGCAAGCCGTCGCGAGCGGTACGGCGTTTGGAAAACGCCACCCCTTGCCATGCAAGGCGTAGGCGTAGCCGTAGGCAATACGCAACGCCTCGCACGCGGCAGCCAACGCGAATAGCGGAAACGGGTGCGGCCCCGCGGCGACGGCCTCGCGCGTCTGCAGCGCCCAGTTCACGTACCGCGACGGCGCGAGGAGCAGGGCCAGGGACGCGTGGCGCGCGCGGCGGTCCAGCAGCGCCAAGACGGACGCGCAGAGCGCCGACGCGAGGTGCGCGGCGTAGTATTGGCCCGCGAGATAGGGAAAGGCGCGGTCCTCGTTTCGCCGCCGCGCCGCGTGGCCGCCCAGCGCGCCGGCGAAGAGGCCAAAGACCACGACGTTGGCCCAGCGGCTCAGTAGAACCGCATGCGCGACCCACCGCGGCGCCGGCGCCCAGCGCTCGCCGCCGAGCGACGCGCGCCACCGCCGATTGCTGAGCAAGCTGAGGGCCACGAGCTGAAGCGCCGCCGTCGCCGCGAGGCCAGCGCGCGACAACAGCACGCGGAGATATGGCGGCAGCGCCGCCGTACCGTCGAGCGGCGGCAGCAGCATCGACGCGACGACGGCGGCCGGCGCGTGCGCCGACGCGGGTAGCACGCTGACAGCGACTATCGTGCCGCATCGCAACGCTGTCGCATCGTCACTCGTGTGCAGGTAGAGCGCCAGCACGGCTGCTACGCACAGGTAGAGGTATTGCTTGGTATGCGGCCACAGATGCCAGAGCTGCTGCATTTTTGCGGCTGCCCTAGATTGCGCTTGGCAACATTGGGCAGCCTTCTTGTGCCGCGAATCTAACTGAAGGTGGGTGCAGCAGTAATTAATGTCAGAATTGCGAGCAGTGAGCACCGCTGCGGCGCCAGAACAGTGTTTTTGGGAGACCTAGCGTAGCAACATACTAGCATTGCATTTTGTTCGGCGCTTGAGCTGAATTGCTGCCCCTCGCAGCTGCATCGCAGCCCGGCTGTTGCGTATCGCAGCCCCGTTACGCGGTGACCTACCTGCAGCCACTGCAGAAGACGCCGTCTGCCTGACACATCCCAAGGACCACACTGCCTTGGTGAGCGTGCACGCAGGGGCTGCGGTGAACGTGCGCGCAGCTGAAGGGCTGCCTCCGCACGATGGGCAACGCCGAGTCTGGGCCCGAGACCAAAGAGCAGGACAGCCCGCCGCCACCACCACCCGCCGCCGCCCCGGAGGCGCCACCACCACCCGCCGCCGCCTCCGAGGCGCCGAAGACGCCGCTGATGACGCCGCCGCCCATCAAGAAGGCGAAGCTCTCTCTACTCAAATCCCTTAAGGACGTCCGCGAACCATTAAGCCAAGAAAAAACAATCGAGGCCCTCGTCGCAGACGAAGACTTCTCCAACGAGCACCTGGACCGCCTCGCGACGTCGTCGGAGTCGGAGTCGTCCGATAGTGATGACGACGAGGACCGTCGACGCTTTGAATTACTGAAGGTCTTGCGGAATGTTTTTTCGAGGGTCGGCCTCGTGTTGTGGCTTTTGGGTTTCACGGCCTTCTACGCGTATTCCGCGTTTGACGGGTCCTGGGCCAAGGGGTTTTACTGGACGGTGCAGGCGGGCCTGTCCATCGGCTTTGGCGTGCTCACGGAAAAGAGCGCGCTGAATTTGTGGGCGACGGTCCTGAACATTTGTTTAGGTGCTGGATTGGCAGGTGTCGTTCTGGCCGACTACGCGACGAAGGTCGGTGAAGAAAAGGACGCCTGGCGCAACGAGATCATGCTAGAACGGTCCCTCGCGGCGGCGGGCCACGAGCAGCACAAGCTCCGCAAGCGCGTGCGGTTGGCAAAGAGGATGATCAAGGAGTTGGAAGCACCTGCCCCAAAAGTGACCGACTCCCAGCTGCGCTGGGGGAAAATTCGAGCGCACGTGACGAAGCGGCGGCCGCAGCAGGGCTCGCTGCTGCCGGACAAGGAAAAGATTTTGCGACTCAAGCGCGTCGTATGGCGCGCCAAATTAGGTAGACATGGCCGCGCGAACGCGTTTCAACGCGTCAAGTTGTGGCTGCGGATCCACCGGCAGAAGCTGTCGGTGTTGGCGGCCAACTTCGTGTGGCTGGGCGTCGGCGTCGTCTATGCGATCGCGAAGGAGCGGTGGTCCCCGACGCGCGCGATCTACTTCGCGGTGTCGTCGCTGTCGACGGCGGGGCTGCAGGGCATCCCGCTCGCGTCGAAGGACTGGCAGTACGCCTTCGTGGGCGTGTGGTGTTTGGTGGGAGTGCCTCTCTTTGCAGCCGGCGTCGGCGAGCTCGCGGGCTTGTTCGTCCGCGAGGACTGTGAAGTGGAGGCGCGGGCCCAGGAGTGGGGCTCGTACGGCGAGAGCGACTGGGATGCCGCAGTCGGGGCGCTCCGTAGCGACCCGTGCGGAAATTTCAGGCGCCATCTACGCATCGTTTGATTTCCACGCAGGCCGCCACATCGACCTCACCGGCGACAGCCTCACGCGCGAGCAGTTCCTCGTGTCCCAATTACTGCTGAGCGGCGCGACTTCGCACGACGTCGTCGATATTATATATGATCGCTTCCGGACCATCAACACGGATGATGATGATGCGATCAGTCGGGAGGAGTTCCTCGAGCACGCGCGCACGCGGCACCGGCACCGGGCGCCGACACCGGCTCACGTAAAGCTGGCGCGCAAGCTGTCTGCCAAGCTGCATGTCTAATTTCTTTTTAAGTTTCCCTTTACTGTTACGGTGTGTGTGTTAGGACTAGTGGGCGGCGCCGGCTAACTTTTGCCTAGCGCATAAAGACACTAGAAAGCTGGGCCGAGTCCGAGCGAAAATCGAAGCGCGTGCGAGCTGCACTGCACCGTTGCACAGCGCGCGACCCACAGCGGTCGCTCGACAGCTCGCCGGTAGCGTACCGCGAGCGCCAGACTGCCGCGGACGGCCCATTACCGCGCCTGACCCGCCGCCGCCAGCCGCGCCGCTGACTCGGTGCCGCGCGCGAGCGCCCAGTCGTCAAACAGCTCGAAGACAACCATGGAGGAGCGCGACATCCTCGCGCCGGTAGACGCGGCTCTCAAGCTCTTCGCGGTCAACGACGCCGCGACGCAGACCGCGTCTCGCAAGCTCATGGTCAAAGCTCTGCGGAATCTGGAGCGAGAGCCGAGTAATGAGAAGTTCCGGAAGTTAAGGGTCGCAAACAAAGTGGTGCAATCAAAAATCATCAACGTGAGAGGCGCGCAGCAATTGATGGCGTGTGGCGGGTTCTATAACAAGGGCGAGTTCCTCGAGGCGTTAGGTGAGGACTGCGCAGTCAAAGCTAAAACGGTAGCCGACGCGCTGGAGAAGAGCGACGGTACGTTTAAAGTGAAGGCGTTGTTGGCGCATTCTGCTTGTGTGAGAGGTGTTGCTGTCGACGCGCAAGGTTTTTTAGCAACTGGTGCCCTAGATAATGTCGTGCGCTTGTGGGACGGCAAGGGCCAACTCGTACATGAGTTACGGGGCCACGAGAAGCCGGCCATGGCCGATGGGGGCGTGTTGGCTGTCGCGTTGATGGAGAACGGAGGTCGCGTGCTGTCAGGTGGTCGAGATGGACGACTCCTAGCTTTTTTGAGAGATGCGTCGGCGGCGAACTGCTACGTCGGCCACGGCGAGCCCATCGATGGCCAGGCGAGGCCGACGAACGCCCAGAACGTGTCTTGCGTGGCCTGCGAAGGAGATTTGGTGTTGACAGGCAGCTGGGATAGGACAGTCATCAAGTGGAACGTTACCAATGACGCGCCGGGGACGAGGTACGGGCCCTTCCCCCAGTCCATTACGGGTATTTGCATTCTACAGGGCGGCGCGAAATGTGCGGTGTCGATTGGTGATGGTACATTAGCTTGTTTCGACCCCTTACAACCGCCTCCCAGTACGTTGTGGACGTCGGATGACGCGAAGGGCGCGCCCATGCGCGGATGCTGCTCCGCTGCCGGGTGTGTCGGTACCGCTTCCAATGATGGTCTAGTGCGGTTGTTCGATGCTGAAAGTGGTTCACTCATAAGAGGCGCAAAAACAGGAGCAGAAGGCTACCTCTACGCCGTCTGTGGTAGTGATGATGCTATCTACGCCGGCGGTGAGGACGGGATCGTCACGAAGTTCCACGCGCCCTCGTTACAGGTAGCTCTGAGGGTTCCCCAGCCCGCGGCCGTCTGGTCGTTAGCTGTTTATGGTCCTCATTTGTTCTGCGGGTTGGACGACCATTTCGGTGCTGTATTGTGGACCAGCGATCCGACACAAGCGCTCGAGGGCCCTGTGGCGACCTCAATAGAAGCGTCGTGCCACGAGGCGGCGACGAAGGCCGCTCTGTTAGTTCCCGAGGGAGTTTTGGAGGGAGCTGCGGCGAGAGCATCTAACCAGGGCGCGGCCGGCGGTGAAGTGAGTATGGGTGGAACACCGCCTCCCCCACCAAATCCGAACTACGACTTCTCCTTCCCCGTGGAACTGGCGGGACGGCCGGGCCTGCAGATCAACTGGAACCGCGGCGACGACCCAAATATGGTGGCGATCCAGTTCTGCGACGACAACGGCATCCCGCGCGACCAGCTCGGCGACGTGGCGGTCTTCGTGCAGAACGTGATGGCGTCGCAGTCGTAAGTTGCTAGATTTGTAGTTTTGGCACGGGTTTTTGGCAGCAAAGCCCGCGCCGGCGCGCCGCGTCTCGCTCACACCGGCCTCTCTTGAGGGACGGGAGAACGTTAAACAGTGGGACTGAGTTAACTGAGGCCGCCGCCGGGCGCTCGTGGCAGAGCGAGGTGGTCTGAAACTGCTTATTCAAATTTCCTCTGAGCATCCGAACATGGATAACCGGGGCACTTTTTTGTTTGCCAACCATTTTTCTGCCGACGACGAGCATGGTCCGACTCCCATTCTGGTCGGCGAGGACCCGCGGCTCCGCGACGGGGGCCTCACCATCTTACGTTCGGAGATGTCCGACGGTCCGCCGCGCGTGCAAGAGGCCGAGATCGAGAAGTACCACGACGGCACGTTCAGCGTCTGCGACCTCATCGAGGCCGTCCTCAGGACTAAGTCCCACAAGGCGGAGAATTGGTACGAGATGTACCATGCCGTCCGAATCGATCGCACCGAAGGCACGGTCTTCCTCGACGTGGACTTCGACTACGGGTCGTGAGGAGTTAGTTCCGCCCGCGTTAAGGAGTTATTCTTCAAAGGGACACCCGGGTGGGTCAGCTTCAGGCTTCCGTGAGGGATGCCTAGGCTCCCTAGTGTCTTACAAGCCGCTAGCTTGCAGCCCAGGCGGCAAAGCGTATTTTGTAGCCCACAGAGCCGCCCAGGGCAAGGCCACCTCGCCGTTTTACTCAGAAGTACCCTCGGACTCGAACGGTGCAGCAACGCCCAGTCCCGCAGCTCTCTGGTCGCGGCACGAGGTCCTGCTCTCAAGAGACATCCAAACCTGTACGCCGCCGCCGCGTCGATAAACCAACGCAATCCCGGATGACGAAGACTCAATTCTTGACGCCAGCGCGCCGCGGCGGACAGCGGGCTTAGCACCCGTTAATACCCGCACTGCGGCGGAACGCGGGGCCCGTTAGCACCCGCGGCGCGCAGCCGGGACCATTATCTGCCGCAGGGGGCAAAAGGGGCCGCGGCGCGCCGCGAAACTTTTTGCCCCCTGCGGAATTTAAAGTGGACAGGACCCGGTCTTGTGGATGCAGCATTATGAGATCCGACGGGACACACATTTGCTCAAATCATTCCGACAAAACATGCAGTAGGTCACACTCCCGCACGCAGGCACCATGCGCGCCGCCCCACCTACAATAGAGGAGCTCGAGCGCCTCGACGCCCAGACCAAAACAGCTCTAGATTCGATCCTCACGGGAACGACGCAGAGCCGCACATCCTTAGAACGGGAGTTCCCCGCGCTCTCCAAAGCCGCAGCACCGTTCAAGACCTTCGACGAGCCCGACCATGAAGCAGGGGAGAAGCTGAGCTTCCTCGAGGCCGAGAAGGCGATCGCGCGGGATAAAGCTGAAATGGACGCGACCGCCGAGCGCATATACAGGGAGGCCATGCGCGAAGACGAGGAACGGACGGAGCACCTCAAGACGGGCACGTCGGGCGGGCGATTGTCCCTGTACGAGGCGGACCCGCCTCCGATGCAATGCGACAATTTTGTGGAGGAAGAAAGCGATGTGGAGGAGACCATCGACGGGCAGCTGCCGGCGCCGCCTCCATCAACTGTGGTGGAGGCGAAGCCTGCGGTGCGGCGCGGCTTCCTGAACCGGACGCCGGAACCGCCCGCGCCGCCGCCGCCACCGCCTAAACCAGTCGGCGAGACGACGCCCGTCGAGGCCTTCGCGCTCGAGGAGGGCTTCGACTACGACAACTGCCCGCTCAGCGCGCCGCCGCCGTCGATGGCGGAGTCGGTGTTGGCCTGGGAGCGGGACCAGTTCGGCCCCGGGGGCAAGCCGCCCGTGGACGCGGCGTCCTCCGACGAGGAACCGGAGGTCGTCGTCGAGGAGGACCTGGTCGACGAGGGCGCCGAGTAAATTTTTGATGAGAGTATAGACTAGAGGTGCCAGTGGACGCCGTCGACGCGACGCGACGAGCGTGTGTGCCAGGTCGCGCCGATGGTGTATGGGTGGCGCCAGACGCCATCGACAGACGCGACATCACGCATGGTCCAGTGGGCCACCGGCTAGAGCTCGAGTAATATGAGACACGCGACGCGACGAGACGCCACCCATACGCCATCGCCGCGACTAGATGATGAGAGGATATATATGCAACTTAGTCAGATTTGGCCTTCGAGGACTTGAACGCACCGAAGGCCGACAGTATGACCAGAGCCGGCTCGACCGTCCACGCCGCGTCGCCGGCCAAATTGCCGGCCCACTCGTACCAGGCCTTCTCTTCGATGGTCGTGAAGGGCCCGAAGTAGGTCAGCGGGAAGACGGCGTAGCCCCAAAAAGCAATAAAGTTGAGCACCCAGATGACCATCGCGAACGTGACGTTTCTCCTCCCTTGAACCGCTCTCTGGAGTAACTTGCGGTTCGTCTTGTCCCTTTCATCTACTAATTCCCCGGCCCGCTTCAGCAAGGCGCCGCACCTTGTTTTAATGGCGCCCATTTCAGTCTCGTCAAATACACACGCCTCGAGCGACTTCTTATCGATCAAGCCGGCGTCGCAGCAGGCCTGGGCCCGCAGCGACTTGTCCCTTTCTCCAGAAGCGACGTCCGCGCAGTTCTCTGCCTTCGTGTGTTCGTCCTTGTACTCCTCGCGCATGGCCCACAGGGCCACCGCTAACCCGATCTGCATCGCTAATAACGCCCACTGCACCTGGCGTTCCGTGGCTACTTTGCACGAGTTCATGCATAACACTAAGAAGGCGGGAGCTAAAGTGCAACTGAGAAAAGCGTAGCATATCCCATAAGTCGTTTGCTTGACTCTACGACTATGAGCGTCTATCGCTACGGTACTTCTAGCTTTCTCGCAGGCTTCTTTCAACGCCAACGCGTCCTTGCGCGCTTGTAACGCTGCCGGCAGCTTCAGGGCGGCTCTCGCGTTGAAGACGGCCGCCGCAAATTGTAAAGGTGCGATCAACGCGTTTAAGGTCGACATGCCGTTCTCAAAATACCCGAACTGGTCGTACTCGTCGGGCAGCGTGTCGGCGACGACGCAGAGGCCGTTGCGCGCCAGGCCGATCCATGTTTCGAGGGACATGGTTGTTGGCTGTATGAGGTTGTTGTGTTTTGCTGTTTTGCGGCGCTTGCTGCGGCGTCGCTTGCAACTGTTTCTTTGCTGGCGGTTCCTACGGGATAGATGCGCTTCTTCCGCTGTCCCGCGCTTGCGCGAGGTCGACGGCGCGATCGCTTTTACGAGGCTGTGCGTGGGCTGAAAATGGGAGAGCCTCTCAGACCTTGCAAGAACCCGTCCCACCACCCGTCCACGTGCCATGAGGCGTCTCCGTGGACCGCTTCCAGGCGTTTCGAGACCCGCGCGTGTGCTCACGGGTTCACAGCTCCAGAGAGGCAGTCATTGTTCACGACCCATAACACGCGCGGTGAAGCATCACCGATCGCAAAAGTGACGAGATTGGAACGCTGTATATAGCATTGGTGCCAGCGCGCGGTGCCGGCATCAGACACGCCGCCGTAGGCGTAAACCAAAGGGCATCAGGATGACAAGCCTGCTCCTCCTGGTGTGCGCCGCACACGCCTTCGTGCCGTCGCCGCCGACGCGACAGCCACGACGGCGACGCGCGACCCAAACGCACGCCATCCGGAACTGGTGGAGCGGCGCGTCGAGCGACCGCGACTGGCGCAGCGCCCTCCGCGAGGCGTGCGCCGGCGTGGCCGCGGTGCTGGGCGAAGCGGACGACGACGACGCCGTGCTCGCGCTCTGCTTCGCGTCGCGCGGCCACGCTCCGTACATCGGTAGTATCGGCGAGGCCTTCGACGAAGAAGTGGGCGACCGGGCGACGAGCGTCGCATTGATCGGCGGCGGCGTCGTCGGCGGCGCGGGCGACGAGCGCGAGGACGGCGCCACGAACGAACAACGGCAAACGGACAATAGCGAAGCGGCTTCACATCTATCAGTCCTCGTCGGCGTGCTGCCGAAGGGGAGCTCCATTGAGGCGGCCAGTTTCGCGCCGGACAAGACGCCGCCTCCTAAAAACAAGGCGGAGCGCTGGCAGGCCCTGCTCGGCGACGCGCCGCGGGCCTGTCTCGTCTTCGCGGACCCGTCCGCGCGGTGGCTGGGGCGGAGCTGCGGCGCGCTCGACGCGCACTTTCCCGACTGTGTGGTGGGAGGCGGCCTCACCTGCGGAAGCGGCGCGACGATGGCGCTTGGCGGAGCTCTTTTACCGGCGGGCGCGACGTGCGTCCTGGCGCTGAGCGGGCCCCGGCTCCGCGTCGACTGCGTCGCGTCGCAGGGCTGCGCGCCCGTGGGCGATGTGTATGAGGTGACGCGCGCAGCGCGGAGCCAGGTCGTCGCCGAAATTGACGGGAGGCCGCCGGCCGTAACTCTGGATAAGGTGATGCGCGGCGCCACGGACCGCGAGCGCGAGCTGCTGAAGCGGGGCGCGCTTGTTGGTTTAAGGCCGGCCGCGGCGTCGCGGTTGTCGGGTGGCGGCTCCTATTCCAAAGACGGCGACGAGGAGGCCGCAGACTGGCTCGTGCGCCAGATCATCGGCCAGGTCCCGTCCGTGCGCGAGCAGATGAGCTGGTCGAACCGCATGTCCGGCATCCAGTATACGGCCCGTAGGGTCTCGGACGCCGGTTTAGCGGTAGATGCCGAGGTAAGGGCGGGCGATGAAGTTAGATTCCACGTCCGCGACGCGACGGCCGCGAAAAATGATCTGGATCTGCAGCTGCGGCGCTACGCCCTCGAGCGGGCTTATACTGGTCAAGCGGGGTCCGTCGACGCGTGCCTCGTGATCCCCTGCGTCGGGCGCGGCCGATTATTGTTCGGGGAATCTGGTTCTGATACGCGGACGATCGGCGCGGCGCTCGGCGGGCAGGCGGCGGTCGGCGGCTTCTTCGCGAACGGGGAACTGGGGCCGGTCGGGGCGGTGGTTGGTAGTGCTTCGGCGCCGGTGTATCGGAGGAGGACGCACCAGCACGACTACGCGGTCGTGGCGGTGGTGTTCGGGGAGGCGGATCCCGAGTGATTCTTGTGTAACTTGGTGTGTGTTTGTTATTAATGTTTTCTCACGGTGCGTGCGAAATTGCGCCATCGGGGGGGCTGGAGGTTCATTGTCGGGCGGTCGCGTCGACGCCGACCCGCGCGGGGCCCTCTCCCCGAGAGCGGGGCCGCCCCGGCGGGGGTCAGCTACAGGCGCTGCCTGGGGCACGTCGGGGTTCTTTTAGGCTGCCCCTCCGTCTCCTGAGCCCAGCTAGGCTAAACCAAGCAGATCGAGACGCCAAGATGGAAAATCCGCCCCGCGCTGCATCAAAGCTCCCTGGGACGTCTCAACGGGGCGATTGACATGGATCCTCGCGAATCCGAAGACAAAAAATTGTCCTGTCCAAAAGCTGCGTGTCAGCAAAGGCCAGCTATTTTTCGCCTAAATCGCCCCTAGACAGCTCCGTTGCACGCATCTGCGACTTCAGCAGTCCCAGGGCTTCCATCGCACTCACCGCAAAAGATCTCACTTCGCGCGCACAGCTTCGTGGCGTGTATAGCTGGTGAGCATCCAAATCAGTCAGAGGCAGCAGAAAGACCGCAACCATGGGCAAGGGCGGCCAGCGCAAGCCCTTCATCATCTCTGAGGAGAACAAGGATTTACTGAGCGGCAAGGCCTATGGAGCTACGTTATTAGCCCCGGAGGACGCGTGGATCGCCCACTTGGACCACGAGAAGTTCCGCGAGGACGTCCACCAGATCGGCAAGACCCTCAGCAACAACCAGGGCAAGGAGGATTTAAGACACTTATCAAAAATCGTCTGGATGTCTAGATTATGCCAGTGGATCGGCTTCGCGACGATGTGGTACTGCGTGAACCCCGTCTCCATCTTCTTCCTCAGCATGGGCACCTTGTCGAGGTGGACGATCATCGGCCACCATGTGTGTCATGGCGGTTTTGATAAATGTGACAAGTCGAAGCGCTACAACCGCTTCACGTTCGGCGTCGGTTCTTTGTTCAGACGCTGCTGCGACTGGCTGGACTGGATGATGGTCGAGGCCTGGAACGTCGAGCACAACCAGCTCCACCACTACCACCTCGGCGAGGTGAGCGATCCGGACCTCGTCGAACACAACATGGAGTACCTGCGGACCTTGGACGCGCCCATGGCCGTCAAGTACGCCGCCTGCGTCTTCATGGCCTTCACCTGGAAGTGGTGGTACTACGCGCCGAACACGTTCAAGCAGCTCAAGGCGAACGAGCGCCGCCGCAAGGGCATCCCGCAACCGGGCTCCGTGACGGCGCCCCAGACTTTTGACTTCGGCTGGTTGATCGGCATGGGCGACCACACGCACTTCTCGGGCACCGAGTTTTTAGTTAGATGCTTGGGCCCGTACTTCGTCCAAAGATTTGTGCTAGCCCCTCTACCTTTCTTGATGATTGGATGGCCGGCGTACTTCAGAAGCTTGATCACGCTCGCGCTCGCGGAGCTCTGCACGAACCTCCACAGCTTCATCGTCATCGCGACGAACCACGCGGGTTTTGATCTGTACCGCTTCGAGAAGCACTGCAAGCCGCGGTCGTCCACCTTCTACCTGCGCCAGGTCATCTCGAGCGCGAACTTCGCCTGCGGCGACGACATCACGGACTTCCTCCACGGCTTCCTCAACTATCAAGTGGAACACCACCTCTGGCCCGATCTCAGTATGAGATCCTACCAGAAGGCCCAGCCGCTCATCCAGGCTTTATGTGCTGAGCATGGTGTCCCGTACGTCAAGGAGCCCGTCCTCAAGCGCACGATGGATCTGGTCGACATCATGGTCGGCAAGACGTCGATGCGCAAGTACCCGACGGCCTACGAGTACGGCCCCGACATGGTCGAGGGCGCGGCGGCGCACTAGGCCGCTCCTGGGGTTTCACACATAACCTCCTTCTATCGTCTCTTTTGGCTGTGCTTTGCCAGTGCTTAGCTCTAGGGCGCCTAGGCTGTCTTGGGGCCCAAGTTGGGGGGCCCGGGGGGCGGCGACGCCGTTCCGCGTCGGCGGCGGCGTCGAGGGTCGCCGGGGCGCCGCGACGTCGGACGCCGTCGCCGCGCCGCGCCGCAGCGAGAGGGAGTTATAGACAGTTATAGATTAATCAATTGGAGGCAACGGTGGCACACCCGGAACGCACGGGGGTCGGCCGACCCACAAATGAGTGTGGGCCGGCGTCATAAGAGCGTCTCGGAGCGCGCAGACGAGCCTCAGAGGAGCGTCAGGACCTTCTCGACGAGCGTCTCCGCCGTCACGGGCCCCTCGGCGTCGTTGTCGCCGGCCGGGTCGTCGGGAGCTTCCGAGACCTGGACCCAGTCCACCGTATTGTCCGTCACGCACGCGACGAAGCGCTTGCAGCGGCCCGGCCCGAGGTCGCCGCAGGGGCCGTTGTGCGTGATCTCCATGCCCAGGGCCTTGGTGAGGACGGACAGGTTGTCCGCCCAGAAGGTCACGAGGCCCGTCCCGTCGATGTTCTGGTCTTTGGCCCAGGCGCGCATGACCGCCGCGTCGTTCACGCAGTACACAAAGACCTTCTCGATCCCCTTGGCTTTCAGTTCGGCGCTCTTCGCGACCTGTGCGGAAAGCGACCAGTGAGATCGCGTCGATGGCGTCGGGCGCCTGAAATTCGATTTCCACACAGTTCACAAACGTAGCCGGGGACCTGGAACTCGGATCAGCAGGGCGTGAAGGCGCCGGGCAGGCCCATGATCAGGACCTTCTTGCCGGCGCAGGCCTTGCGCACGTCGAGGAAGACGGGCGGGTTGAACTCGAGGCCGTCCTGCGTGCGTGACGGCGTGTGCGTGCTGTCTCTCGGCTCTCCAGTCGCGCTTCGTGTCTCGCTTCGGCCGGGCGCGTGCGAACGACCGTTTCGAAGCTCACTCTACGTTCTTCGCGCAACGGTCGCCTTCGGCTCGTGACGCAGCCCTCGCGCGACGACGTCGCGCGAGTTGCGCGGAGGCTGCTTTGTGGGAGGGACACTGCTGCCTGCATGGACCTTCACATCAGGGATCGCATCCCCGGCTTTCACCATGGCTGCGTCCGAGCGCGAACGTTTCGCGGCTGGAGGCTCCGTTTTGCTGCCTGTGTGGCCCGCGCGCGTTCCACACTCAACGAGCAATGTCAGCCATCTGAAGGAGAGGCTTTGCTAAACTGGTCGAACGGCGTCGAGGCTTGTCCTCCCGTCATCGGAGGCACGCCTCAGACAACCGCAACGGGAGAAAGGCTCGGGTTGCTACAGTAAGACATACTAGAGTTTCGCATACACGACACACGTAAAGAGGGCTTGTGGGTCGGCGCCAGCGTCCTGAATGCAATCGCAGCTCGTTTCATAAGCAGTATACGCTACCAAATCGATCCGAAGCAGCAATCGTTGCAATAGACCGTCGCAAAGAGCCGGAGAGCACAACCGGAGAGCCAATCAGACGACACGCTGCGCCACCGGAGAGCAAATCACGACACGCTGCCGGAGAGCAAATAATCAGACGACACGCCGCACGCACAGGTCCACTGCAACGATGAAGACCGCATCGGTCCTCGTCGCACTCGCGGCCGGCGCCGCCGGCCTCAGGCCAGCGCTGCCGCAGCGTGCCGCGCGCGCGACCGCGCGCGCCGCGCCGCGCATGGCCATCTCGGCGCTCCTCTTCGACTGCGACGGCGTCATCGCCGACACGGAGCCCGACGGCCACCGGCCGGCGTTCAACGCGGCCTTTAAGGAGAAGGGCTTCGCGGACGTTTGGACGAAGGAGCACTACGGCGAATTGCTCGAGACGGGCGGCGGCAAGGAGCGCATGACGGCGCACTGGAACGAAGTGGGGTGGCCGGCGGGCTACGAGGACGCCGAGAGCCAGCAAGCTCTCGTCAAGGAGTTACACTTGAGGAAGACGGCCATCTTCAACGAGATGATCACCAAGGGCGAGATTCCGATCAGAAAAGGGGTTCTGAATTTAATTGATGAAGCTTTAGCTGACGGCGTGCCGGTCGGCGTCTGCTCGACGTCGTCCGAGCAGGCCGTCTCGAATTTAGTCAGAGTGCTCATGGGCGACGCCCGCGCCGACAAGATCCCCATCTACGCCGGCGACGTCGTCAAGAAGAAGAAGCCGTCTCCCGATGTTTATCTGCTGGCCGCGGAGAAGATGGGCTTGGAACCTGCCAAGTGCGTCGTCATCGAGGACTCGTCCATCGGCCTGGCGGCGGGCAAGGCGGCCGGCATGAACGTCATCGTCACGAAGTCGTCCTACGCCTACCGGGAGAACTTTGATCTGGCGGACAAGGTCGTCGACGACCTCGAGGTCGGCGGCGTGGGCCTGGACGCGTGCAAGGCGCTCGCGGACGCGTAAGGTTGTGGGAAGTTTACTCTGATGCCTCGCGTCGATGGCGTTCGGGCGCGCTTCCGAGTCTAGACACACTAGGAATCACTTGGCGCAAGGGGCAGCAGCTGTACTCGCTGTGCCCGGAGCAAACTACGCACCGCGGTGGTGTCTAGGGCTCTTGATAACCCAGCGGTTGAGCTCACCAGCCGCCGCCATTTATAACACACTCCCGGCCACAAACGACCGGAAGGCACAGCACTGCTCTCACTGCAAAACCGCAGCCCACCGTAGCTTAGAACTGCGGACAGAGCGCCAGCATGATGGCCGCGAATGACGAGAGCAAGGAGGCGCCGTCGAACGAGCTGCGCTGCGACTACCTGGTGGTCGGCGCCGGCGCGGCGGGCATGGCGTTTGTGGACACGCTGCTCACCGAGGACCCGACGTGCCGCGTGGTGCTCGTGGACCGCCGCGCCAAGGCCGGCGGCCACTGGGTTGATTCGTACCCGTTCGTGCGCCTCCACCAGCCCTCCCACTATTATGGCGTGAATTCGCTGCCGCTCGGGAAGGCGAGGGATGCGAAAGGCCGCGAGGTGTTCGACCGCGACGACCTCGCTTCGGGCCCGGAGGTCGTCGCCTACTACGAGAAGGTCCTGGCCCAGTTCGAGGCGAGCGGACGGGTCGATATCCGGCTGGAGACTTCCTACGAGGCGCGCGGCGCGCGCGCCCTGCTGACGACCAACGACGGCGCGACCACGTGGGTGACGCCGCGCAAGACCGTCACTACTATCTCAAACGTCCAGGTGCCGTCGACGCGGCCGCCGCCGTTCCCCGTCGCCGACGGCGTCGAGTGCCGGCCCCTCAACGCCCTCGAAGTGCCCAACGCGTCGTCCTACGTCGTCGTCGGCGCGGGCAAGAGCGGCGTCGATGCGGTGTGTCACTTGCTCGACTCGGGCGTCCCGATCAGTGCATAAATCAAATCGTCGCGGCGCGTCGCCACGGCTGAATCCCTCCACGCCATCGACCGCCCGACTCACTGATTGATATGCGCATAGGTCTCGACGGACGCGATCACGTGGATCGTGCCGCACGACAGGTGGATGTTCCTTCGCGACGGCATCTGGCCGTCTCGTACGAGCGGGTACTACGAGGCGATGGCAAAATTCTTCCCTGCGCTCCTGGAAGCGTCGGACTCCATGAGTGTGGCCTTAGGCCTTGAGAAGGAGGGCATTTGCGCCCGCATCTTCCCGGGCGGCGAACCGCCGCGCGTCTTCAAGGGCGCCACGATCAACAAGTCCCAGCTCGAGCAGATCCGCTCCGTGGCGGCGGTGCGGCTCGGGCGCGTCGTGGCCGTGGAGCCCGGCGAGATCATCCTCCAGCAGGGCCGCCTGCCGATCGCGCCCGGCTGCCTGGTGGTCGACGCCACGGCCGGTTACGAAACCGCTCCCGACGAACTGTTCGGCTACAACGTCGTGGATGATGCATTCAAGATCTTCTCGGCCGACAGCATCAAGCTCGGCCCGTCGCTGAACCTCTTCAACGTCTGCCTCTCCGCGGCGCTCACGGCCTACCTGGAGGCGACCTGCGTCGACGACGCGTTCAAGAACTCGTTGTGCTACTTCGTGTCAGGCGAGAATCTACGTTTCTCGCACAAGACTCTGCCCGCGCTCCTGTACTATTCGACGAAGAACATGGACGCGCTGGAGAAGTGCCACCCGGCGGCGACGATGTTCGTGCTGAAGAGCCGGCTCTTCGACGCCGCGCCGATGCACCACGGCGGCCTCCTCAAGTTTCTCTGGGCCATGCTCGGGCCCACACTGGCGCTCAAGGCGAAGGGCAAGAAGTTCCTCAAGAAGGTCGACGCCGGGGGCCTCTCAGACGTGCCGGACTCGTTCGGCCTCGGGCGACCGCTCCCGGCGAAGAAGAGGGGCGCGGTCCGCAAGGTCAAGGGCCCGAAGAACTACCCGCCCAAGCCGCGCGCGCGCTGGGCGCCGTGCGGCTGCGGCGCGCCGGTCGCCGCGCCGGCGAAGTAGTCGCGCGGCCCGCGCCGACGCCGCCTATTTTTGTTCCCTCCCCCAACAACGCCCTCCCTTATGTCTCCGCTGTGCCCCTGTGCTAATGTGCGAACATGAATAACACTTATACAACTAGAGCTCACCCCCGGAAGCGGAAGAAGACGAAGTCGCCGCCACACGCCACCGCCAAGCCTCCGCATCCCCAACATCAGCCGCCCGCCAGAACCGGCACGACCCGAGCACGAGGTCCTCGACGGGGCCACGCAGGGCCGCCGCGAATCTGCGCGCCTTCAAAACAGCCGCCGCGCGCCGGGCCCTTTCTGCCCGCGCCGTTTCGTTAGACGCGTAGAATTTCACAACATCGACCATGGCCTCGACGCCCTCCACAAACACCACGGCCTCGCGCCAGGCCTCCCGCTCCAGAGGCGCACCGCCGGCCTCGGCGACGACGACGGCCCCCGCGGCGATGCTCGGCAGGTAGCGCGTCGCCTTCCACTCGTCGGCGTCGCCGAAGTATGCCAGCGAGAGCACGACGCGTGCTCTTCTAAGAACATCTCGCAACCCATCGCCGAAGAGCAAGGCGTCGGCGTTGGCGTGGTAGACCGGCACGCCCCTCTTTCTTAGTTCCAAGAGGACCTGCCTCCTCCGTCCGTTCATGCGACCGACGAACACGACGCCCAGGTCTCTCTGTTCGTCAACGGGAGCATACCGCTCGAGCGAGTCAGACCACCCGAGCGGGACGTGCCGCGCGTCGATCTTCAACCGCGCCAGCTTCAGCACCGACGCCGACGAGTAGTCCCAGAGGTGCTTCTTGAGCGCCCACCGCGGGAAGATGTCCTTGAGCAGCGTCTGCTCATTGACCGTTTCGAAATTGTACAGCACCGACGAATCGGGGGCCGGCCAGCCCTGCATCTCGCACAGGGTCTTTGACACGCCGTGATCATCAAAACGGTAGCGAGCTAAGTGGTGCGCTCCTAGTACGACGGTGAAAAAAGGAGCGTCGCGCGGCGCTTTACATAATCTCGCATCCGCGCAGTACACGACGGAAACCCTAGAAACTCCAAGCTCCCTCAACGCGTCGGCCACAGCTTCAGCTGAGTCCGCAAACACGCCCTCGGTGCTATCGTCGAGCTCGCCCTCGCCTAGCACGAGAACAACGAAGCGCGGCGCTCCCTCAGAATCGCACCGCGGTTCCGAGGGCGTGGCGTCTATGTCCAACTTGGGCCTCCTTTGCAACTCGGCCGCGGTCAGCACGCTCTCGAAGTGGCCCGGCGCGAGCGTCTTCCACTGCAGGTCCGTTTCCTCCTCCGTGACAGGTTGGTCTTGACGTACCGGGGGTTCCACAAGAGGAGGCGGCGGTCCCAGCTCCAAGATGGAAGGAGTACCGCTCACCTCCGCCAGCCTCCTCAACGCCGGCGGCATCTCGTGCAATTCCTGCACGACCGTGCGCTTGAACGCCGGAGGGTGCGTCGGGTGCAGGTCCTCGAGGCTTTTGTTCATATCCCAAGCATGCCAGACGTCGCGCAGCCAATTCTCGCGCACGTCGCGCGCGTGCGCGAAGGACGTTAATTTGTCGTGCAGTTCCTCCGTCGTGCGCACATAAGATAAATGGTGGCATTTGGCAGTTGTAGGATCTACAAAGGTGCCCAGGGCCTCGATCGTCGCAGCGAGGTCGATCGATGCATCTGATGAAGAACAGGCCCAGTTCCGCGCTTCCGAGAAGCCGCAGGTCACCGGAGTATGGTGAAGGGGTACCTCGACGAGCCACAGGATCTTCAAGGGCTCCGGCGGGTCGACGACGAAGCGCACGGTCTTGAAGTACGTGGCCATCGTCGCGCGCACCCAACTGATTCTTCGTGTCTGCGAGGCCTGGTAGACCAACGCGAGGGCCCGGTCCAACTCCACGGGGTGCCAGAACTCGTCGCCGTCGACTAATAACAAGTGCGTCGGTCTCGGGAGTAACGTGGCGGCGAGCTGCAGCGCCGCGTTCCGCTGGGCCTCTTCCGACGGCCAGGCGCCGTTGACGACGCGGACCTTGTCTGGTGCGTTGCTGCGGATGCGGTCGACTGTTTGTGCTGCTCTCAGGAACCCGGCCGGCCGCGCCGTACCGAACCACGGCGCCGTCGCGTGCGAGATGATGAGGTGACGGAGCCGCGGCAGGAGGTCCTCCACGAGGCTCTCGAGGAACCGATCATCATCATAAACGCAGAGGGACGCGGCGACCGTGCCCTCTCCCCGGCCCTCGCGCTCGTGCCGCTGGGTAGAGATGGCGCTCGGGCCTCGGAGCCATGTCTGACGTTCTTGTAAAGGTGGCTCTCCAATTTCGCGCCGCGCCAGGTGGAACTGGTCCGCGTCGCGCTGGATCAGGCGCTCCCAGTCGAGGTCGAGCAGGATTGCGCCCTCTTCAGGACTACTAGTCTCTACTCTCCACCGCGCCTCGACGGCGTCTCCAGAATCCTCCAGCGCCGCGAGCCACGCCGCGACGCCGCCGTCGAGCGCGTAGCCGACGTCCGGCTTTGGGATCGCGCGCCACTTGGTTGCATCGACGGCGACGACCGGCAGGCGCGAGCAGCCGTTTTTGTGGGTCGGCGCGTACGCCACGACGCTATCACCATAGCCGCGCAGCATCCGCTCGTAGGCCACGAAGGCGTCTTCCGCGAGCGAGACGCCCCAGGGCACGAACAGCAGCATCGCGCGCTCGTCGGTGACAGATGCGGCGCCGGCGGCGTACGCCGCCGCGGGCCCCGTCCACTCGCGCAGCACGACAAGCGACGCCCGCACACAGCCCGAGGCGTTCAAGGCCGTCCCCAACGCCGCGCGATCGTCTTGTGAGATGGAAAAGCCGTCCGCCACCACGACAACAGAAGCGGCATGCGCACAGGCTGAGAGTGCCGACGCCCACAGCGCTTTTGTGGCGGTACGTCGCGTGATCCTGGCGGACGGCGACGCGACGATTACGGCCCAGCGCCGCCGCAGCGTCCTATTTGCGGCGTGCGCGCGCGCGTACGCCGCGCGCACGACGCGGTCGACGTAGGCCGGACCTGTTTGAGGCCCTGCCGCCGCGAGGGATGCAACCACGTCGTCGCCCTCCCAGAGGCGCAGCGGCTGCGTCGCGCCATCATCATAGACCAATGGGAGGGACGGCAGCTCCGGCCGGTGCGCGCTGTCGAACAGCTCGTGCACGACGTGCGCGCGTGCCACGGCGATGAATATGAGTCGTTTCAGCATTTCTGCTCCATGCTGCCCATGCTGCTGCTTGGGCTGCCTCTCACTTTTGTTTGCAGGCCTTGCGTGGGTTTTGGGGCGGGACTTACTCGAAGCGGTCCGGGATGGATCGAAACACGATACTATGCGCATGCACGACGTCGTACGAAAAGCCTAGTGCCTTTGGCTAGTGTTGCGTGACGAGCAAAAACGAGTTCCAAAATTGCTAGAGCTCAGCTGGTGACCACTGGTTACATTAATCGAACACCGCGTTGAGTGCACCATCTATTAGTAGCATTTTAGTTGCAAGCAGCATCACGATGAAGACGACTGCATTACTCGTCGCGCTCTGCCTGTCCTCGGCTGCGGCCATGGCGCCGCTGTCCACCAAGCCGGCCTACATGAACGGCCAAGTCAACGGCGTCACGCCGTCGGTCGCCACGCTCGAGCGGTCGGAGGTGACCAAGCTGCAGAAGGAGCTGCTCACGGTCGCGGACGAGAAGTCGACGCTGCAGCAGACCGTCCGGAGCTTCACGGACCGCCTGCGCCAGGCCGCCGACGACCTCACGTCGGCGCAGCGCGCGCACAAGCTCGAGCTCTCGAAAGTCGAGTCGACCTGGGAGGGCGTCGTCAAGGGCCTCAAGCAGCAGATCAACGACCTCGGCGCGGACCTCGCGCGCGTCAAGCTCGGCGCGGCCCAGGACAAGGCGGCCGCGGAGCAGCGCAGCCTGACGTTGGTGACAAAACTGGGCGCGACGGAGGCGAAGCTCGCGGCGGCGGAGCAAGCATTGGCCGCCGAGAAGGCCGCGGCGGCGGAGGCGCGCGCCGCGGCGCAGACCGACGTCGCGCGGAGCGAGGCCATCTCGGGGGCGCTCGGACGGTCCGTCGCGGCGCGCGACGCCGAGATCGAGCGCCTCGAGGGCCTGGGGGTCCGGTCCCTGACGAAGAAACTCCTGGGCACGGCGAAGGATAAGACCGTCGCCGCCACGAAGACCGCCGCGGCGTTCACGTCTGACAAGGCCGTGAAGATCTACTCCTACGCGAGCGACAAGGCCGTCTCTGCCGGCCGCGCCACGCGCGCGCAAATTGGCGCGATCCGCGCGGAGCCGGCCCGGCTGACGCGCGCGCCGGGCGCCGTCGCCAAAAGCGCCGGCGAGCAGCTCAAGCGCGTCCGCGGCGCGTCCGGCAAGAAGACCGCGTGGCGGAAGGACTGCGACGCGTCCGGCGTGAAGTCGTTCTACGACTCCGGCGTCCGGCTTTAGATTATGAAAATAGTACTGCTGTGAACTAAACTTATACATATTAAGACTTCTTTTTCAAAACGACGAGGCCCTCCGCCTCGCAATGGACGTCGCCGTCGACGTCGAGGAGGCGCGCTTTGACCGACACCTTCCGGCCGTCGATCTTCACAATTTCGCCCTCGATCCGCAGCCAACTGCCGACGTCCACGGGCTTTTTCAGCGCCGTGTTGATCTGCACCGTAAAGCCGCTCCACGGCTTGCAAACTCCTGTCGCGCAGAACCCTGTCCAGCCGACGACGTCGTCCATGAGCGAACACATCGTGCCGCCGTGGCACAGGCCCCGGTGGCTCTCGGCGCCCGGCCCGAAATGAGCGGCGCCGACGAGTTTCGATCCGACACCGCCGCTCACCCCTCGTAGGTAGTAGCGCGGGACGTGCACCGCCGCACAGGCGTCGTGCACGTAATCAGACCCCTTGAAACCATTTTTTCGCCGCCACTCGGTCCCGTTATCCCACTCCGGTAGCCGCACGCGCTCGTAGCTCTCGTCGTCCTCGAGCTCGTCGAGCCACGCGGGCAGGGGACCACGCTCCGTTTCGTCTGCGCGTCGTCGCGGCGCGATGAGTTTGCATGCGAGCAGTCCCGCGGCTGCAGCTAGGCCGACGCATGGAAGAGTTGGCACATTGAGGGTTATTGTGTCCATCGTTAGAGGACGCACGCACAGTTGGAGTGACAGCACTCGTCAGGGGACGCACCACGCACACGCGTGAGTGACACCACAGCACTGCTCAGGCTGGATGCCCAGGTACTGGAGCACTGCAAACCAGCGATGCGGTGCGACGAGCGCGGCGGTCGCAGCGGTCGAATAGACGATGCAAGCACTGCACACAACGCTCGCGTCAGCCAGGGCGAGTGTTTTTGTGGCTTACCATTTAGCTAGCGCAGGTAAGACACTAGCAAGTCTAGTCCTAGCACCGTAACTATACATCCCAAACATCTCTCCGCCGCGTCGGCCGGCCGCGATGTTCTCAGCTCCTACCGCAAGGAAAATCGAAAGCCGAGTGCTTATAGGGGAAGGGACGATCGGGGAGGCCTACCACGACCGCTTGGGGAACAGGACCGCGCCCGCGCGGACCGCCGCATCGACTCTGTCGTCGTACGCGGCGCAGCCGTAGTCCGGCTTGGCGCCCCAGGAGGACTCGGTACAGGACCGGCGCGGGCGCTTCACCGGATCCGACGCCGACGACGCGCGGCGCGCCTCGTCCGGCGGCCGGCGGCGCTTTGCCTTCTTTTTCTTCTTCTTCTTTTGGGACGGCGCCGGCGCGACGGGCGAGTCGGCGATGCGGTAGCCCGGCGGCGGCATGTCCATGACGGCGTCGACGGAGCAGGTCTCCTCCTGCGTCTCGGCGCGCTCGCCGGAGCGGCTCCGCCACGCTGGAGTCACCTCGTCGCCGTCGACCCGCCGCTCCATGCGCCCCGGCGCGCTCCCGCCGCTGAAGCCGCCGGGCGTCTGCGATTGCGTCTGCGTCGGCGTCAGGCAGTCGCTGATCGACGACGGCGTCTCGGCCGGCCGCGTGATGGAGATGACGCGGTCCGCCGGCGTCAGAGCCGCCGTCGACACGCCGTCGTCCATCTCGTCGGCGGCGGCGAGCAGACAGGACACGCCGCCGGGTTGCGCCGCGCGCCGCAGGTCGTCGACCTCGCCGCGGAGCGTGTCGTTCTCGCGGCGGAGGTGGTCGTTCTCGGCCGCGAGCGCGGACCAGGCCGCGGCCGCGGCCGCGTCGCGCCCCGGCTCGACCGGCGCCGGGGGCGCAGGTGGCGCCGTCGGCCGCGGCGGCGCGGCCAGGGGGAGCGTCGCGCGCGGGCGTGGCGTCGGAGGTACCAGGCGGCGCGGCGTCGGCGGAACCACGCGCCGCGGCGTCGGCGGCACCAGGCGGCGCGGCGTTGGAGGCGGCGCGGCCGCCAGGGGAAGCATCGTGCGCGGATCGACGCGGCGCGGCGCCGGCGACGCGAGCGGCATCATCGTCCGGGGGTCGTAGCGGGGCCGCGGCGGGCCGAGGCGCGGGATTTGCGGCGGCGCGCGGCGCGGCGTCGGCGCGTCGCGGACCTTGGCCGGCGTCGTCGCCTCCATGCGCACGAAGCGCCCGTCGACGATGGTATGGGAATGGCACGCGGGCTTGAAGTCCGGCGCGAGGCCCGCGAAGGCGCCCCGCTCGCGCTGCGCAGCGTCCGCGGCCGCCCGGCGGCGCGCCGCCGCCGCGGCCTGGTCGCGCTCGTGCTCGTCGGCCAGGGCCGACGCCGCGTCCGCGGCCGCGAGCCAGAGCGGGTCGTCGTCGGCGATGTCGGGGGTCGGTGGCGGTGCCGGCGGTGCCACGGGGAGCAGCGTCCGCGGGTCGACGCGCCGGGGCGGCGGCGCGGGCGCCGCGTGCGCCGCGAGCGCGCTCAGCGCGCCCGCGGCGGGCGGGAGCGGGGCCGGCGCGCCGCCGCCGTCGTCGTCGGCTTCGTCGTCGTCGTCGAGCTCGAAGGCGCCCAGGGCGCGCGGCGCGGACGGTGGCGTCGTACTCGTGGCGGAGGCGCGGCGGCGGCGCGGCGTCGCGCCCTCCGCGAGGAACGACGGCCCGGCGGCCGCCGCGGCCATCGCTGCGGGCCTTCGCGCGGGCCAAGGCCCAGGGCGTGCGGCCGACGCGCGTGCGCAACAAGGACCCTCTGAAACCTTTGCCGGTGCCGGGCAAGTTCCTCCGGCCGATCATCGACCCCGAACGGGCTCCTCCCCGGCCGAAGGACGGCATCGGTATTTGAGGCGCCTCCTGGCGTAAAGTATGTATTATAGACTTAAGAAGCGAGCGATAGCGATCGACTCACGAGAGCAGGTCCGTGTACGTCTCCAGCACCGTCACGGTCGTCCCGAACAGCCCGACCAAGACGCCGAACGCCGCGACGAGGCGCATCGCCCCCCGCTCGCCCTTGGCGCAGTCCTTGTCCGCCAGCACGCGGCGGCCGATGAGCGACGGCACTACCAATATAAGCGCGGCGCCGAGCGACGCGCCCATGAGCGACACGACGAAGCCGACGTCGGGCACGATGATGGCCAGTAGGACCGGCACCGCCAGCAACGACAACGAGAGCCCGGCGAAGGGCAGGAACTTCCCCGGCGTCGCGACGCCCAGCAGCGAGCACATGGCGTCCCTAAACCCCGTGAAGAGCAGCGGGTACGACGACAGTAACGAGACGAGCGTCGCGATCCAGGCGACGCGCGCCCGCGGGTCGTTCGCATCATAATTCGCCAGCACCAACCCTTCGCAGGCGCCTCCGAACGTGACGTAGCCCGCGAGCATCACGACGCCGTAGAGCAATCCAGCTAGGCCGAACGCCTTCCGCGCGACGCTCGCGTGGCGGTGCTTCGGTCCTAATTCATCATAGGCTCGCACGGCGTTCGTGTGGCACATGAAGGCCGTGCTCAGCATGTTGAACAGCACCGCGGAGCCCACGGACAGTTGCGTCGTCGAGACCTGGTCTAGGGCGTTTTCCGACGACGCGAGCCACCCTGCGAACGCGCCGCCCTCGCCGTAGCTCCCGTCCAGACTCCGCGACACGATGACGAGCGCCGAGACGGCCACGGCCATCAAACCAGCTATGGTAGAATGCTTGAGCGCGGAGAGGTCGCGCAGGAGGGCCAGGGGCCCGATGGGAAACAGCGTCAGCAGCGCGATGGCCCGCGTGCGCTCGATGCCCGAGAGCTGCTTGAGGAGGTCGCCCGTGAAACCTGCGAGGACGCGTCGTCAACCGCGTCTGCGCGATGGCGTGGACGCCGCACAAAGCACAGCTGTACGTCAGCGCCGCGCCGCCGGCGACGCCAACGATAATCAAATCAATAATCCAGGACGTCTCCCTGCCGAACGCGGCACTCCAGAGCTCCGAGAACGTCTTTGAGCGCGTCTTCGCGACGCTCCGCCCGACCAACGAATACGTGTAGGCCGACGCGCCGGCGTGCAGCGCGAGGATCAGGAGGCCCGGCAGCACGCCCGTGCCGCGGCCGGCAGCCATGCCAGCGGGGAGCGCGAGGATGCCGCCGCCGACGATGGTCTTGAAGAGCGAGACCGTGGCCTGCGTCTCGGTCATGGCGCCGCCGCCGCGCTGCTTCAGGGTTTTTGGTGCATTGAGCTTGCTCTTCGGCGGCGTGATGGCATCGCTGCACAGTGCTGCAGTCAAGAGCAGCAGCTTCAGCATTTTTGTTTGGTGCCGGTTGCAAAAGGTTGGTGCTGCGTTACAGCGGTGAGTAACGATGGCTTTCGTGAGGGATGCTTGGTTGCGTATGCAATGCGGCACGGCGATTTTGAGGCTGGCAAACGCACTGCAATCCAAGTGTCTCTTTCACGCTAGCTTGCAAAAACGCGAGGCCGACGCGGCCGTGTCTGCGAGCTGTTCTCGCACGCAAAAGTACTATTCGTGCTGCACTGACAGCGCTACTGCAATCTCTCAACTCCAGTCCGAGTTCTAGGGCGTGTGCTGGCGACACTGCCGGCTGCAGCCATATTACGCTCGCCACAGCGATACGCAGGACCACCATCCGTCGCCGCTGATGTCGTCATTAAAGCAGAAGCTCAAGCAAAAGAAGCGCAAGCGCCCGCCGAAGCCCACCACGACGGATGAAGACGACGACGACGACGCGTTAATTGCCAAACTCGAGAAGAAGCTCGGCGGCCGCAAGAAGGCCAAGGACGACGACCCGCTCGCCGACCTGATTGGTGGAGACGATTCTTCGAGCGACGCCGAGTCTGTGGAGCAAGAGGAAACGACTGAGGCGCACTACGCGCCGAGAGAAGGCCAGGATATTTATGGAAGGCCCACGGACCAGAAGTGGGTGCCGCCCTCTTTAAGAAGGCGCCTCAACAACGAAGCGCCGGCGGAGGTCGGCGACGTTTTGAGAGGCGCCCTGAACAAGGTCTCCGACACTAATATAGATGCAACCTCGGACGCGATCTGCGCCGCCTACGCGCGGTTCCCGGCGAACGACGTCCACGCCTTTGTATCAAGCCACATGCGCGAGACCTGCGTCCACGGCGCCCAGAACATGGAGGCTTTGGTGCCGCCCTACGCGGCCGTGATGGCGGCCGCCGACACGAAAGGCGGCCGCGAGCTCGGCGCGCACGTTTTGGAGGCGTTGCTGCCGGATTTAGAATCAGAGGGCAAGCGGCGGGGCAACGCCGCGGCTTTATTAGCGGCGTTTTGCGACGTCGGGTTATGTGGCGGCGAGCTCACGATGTCGTACGCCGAAGCGTTGCGCGACGACGGCACGGCCGACGCGCTGGAGGCCTGCGCCGTCGTGGCGACGGGGAGTCGCGACGTCTGGCGTCGGAGTGATTTACGAGGGCGCCTCAGCAAGCTCGCCCTCAAAGACGAGAGCGGCGACGACGCGCGGTTGCTCCAAGCCAAAAATGCGTTGCGGACCGCGTGCGCCTCGAAGCCCGGCGACGTCTCGCGGTCGAAATCATTAAGAGCGGCGGTCGCGAGGGCCGTGCCAAATGGCCGCGCGCGCGACGCGCCGCTCGCGCTATCCTGGAGCGACCTGAGGAACGCCGAGGCGACGGGCCGCTGGTGGCGCCGCGGCGCGGCCTACGACCGGCACGCGCAGGACGCGCTCGTGGACGACGTCGCCCAGCGCCGCGCGGCGGCGAAAGCGCCATCATCAAAGCAGGAGCAGACCATGCGCGCGCTGCGCCTGAACACGCCGGCGAAGCGCGCGGCCTTCGGCGGCGTCGCGGGCGCGGCCGACGCTCATGATGCCGCGACGGCGCTGCACGCGCTCTCCACAAAGCGCCTCTGCGACGACCGCACGGCGGCGGGCGTCCTCCAGACCTGCTGCGGCGGCGAGCCGACCTACAACCCGTTCTACGCCGCGGTCGCGAAGCTGCGGAGAGGCGAGTCAAAGGACTTCGCCTTCGGCCTGAAGCTCGCGTGCTGGGACGCCTTCAAGGCTTCCGATGCTTCTGAAGATGCGCGCAAAGCGGCGCGGCGGGCGGCGAACCTGGGCAAGTTCTGCGCCGCGTTGCTCGGACCCGAGCTGCCGTTGTCCGTGGCTTTTTCGAAAGTCGAGGCGCGGAGCCTGGTGGCCGACGCGGCCGTCAAGGTCGCCGTGCTCTCTGCTCTGCGGGGTCTGCTCGTGGAGGCTTCAGATGAGACCTTCGCCGGCGCGTTGGCCATGGAGCCGTCGCCCGGTGCCGTGACGGTCGCGCCATTCGCGCAGACGCGGCTCAAGCGGCCCGCTGGCGCGGACGCGAGCGCGTGGGCGGCGCGCGAGGCGGAGCTGCTCGCGTGGTTTGAGGGGGGTGGGGAGGGGGGTGGGGAGTAAGTGTGTGTTTAGCCTGGCTCAACAATGTTGCCACCTTACTCAAGTGCGTCGTCCGGCCGTCCCGTAGGGCCATATCCTGGGCCTGGAACCTCAGTGGTTTCGTCCACATCCACAGACCGAGCGCCGAGTCGCGAAAACGGTCGAATCAGGCGCCTGTTGTGAAACTTCCCCACAAGCACTGGGTGACCTAACGCGAATAAAGCGCGATGGCCGCGCCGGAGCGGCGGCTCAGCGCCGAGGCCAAGCCGTTCGCGCCGCCGTCGCCGCTCGCGAAGGTCGTATCGCGCGACGACGACGAGCCGCCACGTCGTCGTGGCGTCATAGTCGACAACCTTGAAGACGAGACCGTCGTCGGCAGCGAGTCGGACCTGGAGCTGGACCTCGAGTGTAGCGTTTGTGCGGAACCGTTCGACTGCAAAACAAGGACGCCGATGGTCCTGCCCTGTTCCGGCAGTCACGAGATCTGCGCCCTCTGCGTCGTCGCGCTCCGCGACCGGTTCGGCGGCGACGACGGCGCCTTCCATTGCCCGTCGTGTCGGGAGCCCATCCTGCCGTGCTTCCCGATCAACAAGAACCGCGGCCTCATGGCGGCTCTCCGCCTCAACGAGCGCCTCGCCCGGCGACGCCGGTGAACACCATGCGTCGTCGCCGCCGACGCGCCCCACTCCGTCGACGGCGACGGTTCTTCCGTGGCGCTCGCCACCGAGCGCCTCTCCCCTCGAATGAGGGCCTGGCTACTCTGACATAAGCTTGCTGTATACTATACGCATTTGAGAGAGAGCGAGTTGCTCATTGAGCAGTTGAGCTAGCGGCCGGTAAGACACTAGCAAGCACAAAGCAAGCCGAGCTTGAGCGGCGCGTCGTGTGCCAAAGACTCGCGACAGGACGCTGCGCGCGGCTTCAAAAGTCATAACTTGCATTACTGCTGCGCCAGTGCTGCTTGGTTGCTGCACTCCGGGAGCTGCACTGCTACGGAGAGCAGGAGCCTGCACACAGCCAAGATAGCACGCAGCGATGCTCAAATTCTTCTGCATTTCGGCTGTCACCCATGCCTACCTCACGCCGTCGCCGCGGCGCCGATCAAGAGCAGTCGTTGCCGCCACGGACAGCGAGCAGTGGGAGAGCTTCACGGCGTACCACGTCGGCGAGTGGTTCGGCGCGAAGACGGTCTATGACGCCTCCGCGGCCGTCGTCGACGAGGACTCGGTCGCGATCACCTGCTTGCGCCGAGAGGACGACGAAGTGACGCACGTGCTCAAAGTACCTGCAGCAGCGCTCGCGGCCTCGGGCTGCGACCGATGCGCCGACACGATCGAGTGGCGCGACATCCCGGCGGGGTCGTACAAACAAGGCGCGCTGGGCCGTTTTACGGTCAATGGCTGTGTGGAAATCAACCACAGTAGCTAGGAGGCACCTCGCGTCGATGGCGTGGAAGCCGTTGGGCGCCTGAAATTTGATTTCCACACAGGTCAATGGCCGTGGCGCCGCCGTCGGGCCCAGCTTGTTACGGAGCGGTGGCGTGTCCTTCGAGGTTGCTCTCGCGGACGGCGAGCGGCGCTGCACGCTGACGGCGTCCTTCGCGCCGGAGAGCGATAAGACGCTCGCGCTGCGGCGGTGCGTCCTGTCGCGCGAGCGGACCGACGCCTTTCCCGACGACGACGCCGCCTTTCACAGCGCAGTCGAGGCGTACGGCTGGTCCGACAATGGCGGCCTGACCGTCGACGCGCCCGGCGGCATTTCTTTTTGCGTCGCCGAGCGCATCGAAGAAGGTACGCCCGCCCGCGTGCGCCTGCGCTGGAACGCGCTCGCCGCGGACGCGGTATTGACGGCGTTCCCGGGACCGCCAGTCCTCGCGTCGTTCGACGCGTCGAGTTAACACAGTTATTGTTTAGAATCCTCGGCGGCGGCGGGCGCGTCGTCCTCCTCCTCCTCAAGCTCTCGCCGCACGTAAGCGTTCCGGTTGAGCGCGTAGCGGAAGGGCTCGCCCGGCACGGTCCTCAACAGCTTCAGCGACGTGAGGTAGCGCAGGTGCCGCTTCATGTCGGACTTGCTCTCGAGGCGGTCGCGCGCCGGCCACGCGCCCTGCGCGTCCTCGACGCCGGCCCAGAGGTCGCCGACGGCCGCGCCCGGGCTCGGGCCGTCGTCGACGAGGCGCAGCAGGCGCTGGTTCACGGCCGGCCGGTCGTTGCGGCGGCGCGCCGCCGTTGTCGCGAGCGGTCGTGTCGGTGCGCTGCGCGCCGGCGTCGTCGCGAGCAGTCGTGTTGGGGCGCGCCGCGCCGTCGACGTCGCGAGCAGTCGTGCTGGTGCGCGGCGGCCTACGGCGCTCGCGGCGAGCAGCATGGTGTAGCACAGCTCTAGCAATTGGCTGCAAACGTAGCGGTATGCCACAAAGGGTAGCAAACACTCTTGCCACTCGCCCTCGCACGGTTAATAGCGCGCTCCGCGGCTGCTTTGCGATTGCGTCCGCTTCGCTAGTGCCTTACACGCCGCTAGCTAATCTCGGGAGCAAGCTCCTCTACGCGAATCACCAAAGCTACGTAGGGAGCCACGGTCAGAGGGAGCCGTCGTGCGCGCGCGAACCGCCTGTCGACGACAGACACAGCACCTCCGCACGTCACGCCGTCACAAGCTCCCCCGGGTCACCTACATATATCCAGCATGGCCTTCGCCTCGTCCGGCACGGAGCCGGCGCAGCGCTGCCGCGAGATCAAGATCGTGCTGCTCGGAGATTCGGGCGTGGGCAAGTCTTCGATCGCGCAGCGCTACGTGACCGACACGTTCCGCCCGCACGGCGAGTCGACGATCGGCGCGTCGTTCATGTCCAAGATGATCGTGAACAACGGAAGCCCCTGCAAGTGCCAGATCTGGGACACGGCGGGCCAGGAGAAGTACCACAGTTTGGCGCCCATGTACTACCGCGGCGCCGCGGCCGCGATCTTAGTTTATGATATGACAAAGAAATCAAGCTTCGAGAAGCTCCAGAAGTGGGTCGACGAGCTCAAGGAACGGGGCCCCGAGGGCATCGTCCTCTGCGTGGCCGCGAACAAGTGCGACCTCGAGGAGGGCCGGGAGGTCGAAGTGGCGGAGGGCGCGGAGTTCGCCCAGAAAAGTGGAGCGGACTTCTTCGAGACGTCGGCGAAGAACGACGAGAACGTGGGGCGCATCTTCACGACCCTCGTGACGAACGTCCAGCGCAAGAGCGAGGCGGCGCGGCCCGCGGGCGAAGCGAGGCTGGACGCGGCGCCGCCGAAGCGGACGTCGTGCTGCGGCTGAAGAGTCGGTCCCCCTCCTGTGTTTCTAAAGTTGGTTCTCTCTCTCTCGGCACTCTCTCGGCGCGGCCTCTGCGTGAGCTCGGACGCCGCCCCGGCGCGGACGCCGTCTCGAGACGTCATCCAGGAGCGCTGTCGAGAGGCGCTGGCCGTTGTTACGGTGCTAGGACTCGTGAGCGCGGCTTGCTAGTGTGTTACACGACGCTGTGAACTATCCTCTCGCGCCGCGCCAGCCCAAGCTTAAATTTAAGCTTGAATCAGAGCGAGTGAAATAGCCGCGGAGGCTAAATTTAGACCACAGAACTGCCGGCAACCGGATTCCGCACCGATTGCGACCTGTGCGGCCACGGTATCGAGGCTCACACGCATTGCCGTCGAGGCAGCAGCGCAGCGACTGCGCCGAGGCACAAGCACACGCATCGCCCTCCGCGGGAGATCGCCAGCAAGAAGAAGAGCCATGGACGACGACGACTGGGCCAACTCCGCCGAGATGGACGCATTGATGGCCGCCGCCGAGGCCAAGCCGCCGCCGCCGCCGCGGACCGTATCTAGCAAGCAATTACAAGCGGTGCTCAAGGACACGTGGGGCTACGCCGAGTTCCGGGCGGGCCAGGAGGAGGCCGTCGAGCGCGCGTGCGCGGGCTGCGACGTCGCCGTCTACTGGCCGACGGGCTCGGGCAAGAGTTTAGTGTACCAGGTGCCCGCCCTTTTACATGAGACGGGATGTGTCTTAGTCATCTCGCCGCTCGTGTCGCTCATGATGGACCAGTGCAAGGCCCTGAACGCGAAGAAAGGTATGGACGTCGCGTGTTTTCTGGGGAGCGCGCAGCACGATTTTAGTGTGGAACAAAAAGCGAAGCAAGGCCACTACCGGTTGGTCTACGCGACGCCGGAGAAGGCGCTGGGTTCAAATCTAGCTCAGAATCTGAACGATTTGCGCCTGATCGCCGTCGACGAGGCTCACTGCGTGAGCGAGTGGGGCCACGATTTTAGACCAGAATACAGAAGGTTGGGCGACCTGAGGGGAGATTTACAAGTGCCCCTCGTGGCCCTCACGGCGACGGCGCCGCCCCACGTCCGTAGAGACATCGAGCGCTCCCTGAAGTTGAGAACAGGATTCCACGTCGCCGCGAAGACCGTAGATAGGCCGAACCTTACATTGAAGTGCCAGGCCCTCGCCTCCGGTTTAGGGACAGTACTAAGGGACGTGGCAAAATCTCTAGGCAAGGGCAACGGCTCGACGTTAATCTACTGCTCGACGCGGAACGAGGTCGAGGCGACGGCCGCTTCATTAAGGCAGCTCGCTCCAGTGAACACGACGATCGCGGCCTACCACGCGGGCCTCGGCGACGACCACCGTAAACAAGCGCACTACGACTTCCTCTCCGGTAAAGTTGAGTGCGTCGTGGCCACGGTGGCCTTCGGCATGGGCATCGACAAACCTGACGTGAGGCGGGTCATCCACGTGTCCCCACCGAAAACATTGGAAGAGTACTACCAGCAGGTCGGCCGCGCGGGGCGCGACGGGCTGCCCGCGTCGTGCGTCTTGTACCACAACGCCGTTGGTTTTACGAGGTACGAGTCGGACTTTTATAAGAAGGGACTGGAAGGAGCCGCTTTAGATAGGTACCATGAATCTATAAGAGCGATGCGCGCCTTTGCCGAGAAGGACTCGGGCTGCCGCCGGCGCCACATCCTGCAGCACTTCAAGGAGCCGGTTGGAGACACGTGGTGCTGCGGCGCGTGCGACTTGTGCAACAAGGGCGACGAGCGCGACTTCACGGGGCCGTGTCGACTATTGTGCGTCGCCGCGGCTTCTACTCAATGCGCGGCGACGGACCTGTGCCTCCTCGCGAGCGGGAGCTTCCGGGGCAAGCGGAATAGTTCCGATGGCTCGACGTACGTGCCCGCGGGCCACGCGCGGGCCCAGCAGGCCCTCGCGCCGCTGTTGCGGCAGAGACCTGGTACTGATAAGCTCTACACCCAGGACGCGCTCAAGGGCTTCCTCGTGCCGCTCGTTCAGCGGGGTTATTTACATAGAGAGACGCGGAAGGGCAGCTACGCGTCCTACGACGTCTACTCGTGCGCCCTCCGGGGCCGCGCCGTCGCGGACGGCAACGCCCAGGTGCGCCTGCCGCCGCCGGCCTTCGTCGTCGACGCCGAGCGCCGCGAGCGGGCGCGGGCCGACGAGCGGCGCGCCGAGCTCGAGGCCGCCGGCGCGGACGTCTCTTCCATCCCGCCCGACCAGCTCGCAGCGGGCGCCGGGCCGGTCATAAGCGCCGAACTGAGCTGGGCGCGCCGCTTGGAAGGATGGCGCAAGAACGGCCAGGCCGACCGCGCGGCCAAGTACGAGGCGATGCTGGATCGGATATTGAAGTGGCGCGCGGCGGCGGCGCGGGCCCACGACCTCGCGCCGGCCACCGTGCTCCCCGACCACCTCGCCAAAAACTGCGCCTATTCCATGCCGACGACGGCCGCGGCGCTGCGCGAGATCGGCGTGCGCTTCGGCGCCGGCGCGGACGACTTGGCGGCGCTCATCGACCGCGCCGGCCGCGAGCTCGGCCTGTCGGTCGCCGTTTCGGCCGACGAAGACACGGGCGTGACGATCGCGCTGCCCCGGGGCCCGAAGTCGTTCGCGGCGTGGCCGCTCGCCGTCGAGAAGCCGTCGAAGGCAGTGCGAAAATCAAACGTCGCGGCGCGTCGGGATCGTGACCTCCGCGCCATCGACGGCGCACGCCACCTGGTTGATTTGCGCACAGGTCGAAGAAGCCCAAGGCCTGGGACGTGTCCTGCGAGCGCCTCTCACAAGGAGAGAGCTGCGCCGCCATCGCCGCGAACCAGGCCAACGGCAAGGCCATCCAGACGGCTACCGTCGTGAAGCACGGGCTCACGGCCCTCGTCCACGGGCGCGCGGTGGACCTCGGACGACTCGCGGCCGACGGCGCCGGGGCGCGGCCCGCGCCCTGCGGCGCGCCGACGGTCGAGACCTGGCGCAAGTTCGCGGCCGCGGCGCTCTCGGCGGGCGTCGACCCCTTGCACGACGAGAAGTACGACATCAAGGCCCTCGCGCGCGCCTACGACGACAGCTCAATTAGTGGGATGGCGGACGTCGACTACAAGGACCGCACGGACTCCCAAAAAATCGCGTGGAACGCGTGGTCCAATTCTCGAAATTGGTGGGAGGCGCTCGTCCGCGTCGGTTGGGACCCTGATTCCTCTGAGCCGGCGGCCAAGAAGCCGCGCATCGTCTAAGATTGTGTACTACATACTTATCTACCAGGCGGCCGCCGCGAGAACTCCGACTCCGGCCGCCCAAAGCCCGCGAACGCGTCCCCGCTCCCGCGCATTGATAATCTATCATCTCTGAACAAGGCGTCCAAATCCTCGCCGTCGTGCTCCTCCAGGGAATTGCACTCGGCGATGACCGTGGCTATTGCTGCTAAAGGCCCGGCGTCCACATCCAACGCCGAGAAATTTAGTGAAGCGAACCAGGGCGCCGCGTGGCAGTCCGCCGCTCGTAGTCTTTTGTCAGGGTTCCTTTCTAACATTTTTTTGAGAGTAATAATAGAAACATCGGAGACGTCGTTCCCGGACGGCCAATTTGGTTGTTTATTCCCCACAATCGACGCGAAGGTCTCCCTTGCTGTAGGGGCATCATGCGGCGGTCTGCCCGACAGCAACTCAAAGAGTAAACACCCGAGGGCCCAGCAGTCGATCTCGGCGCCAAAAGTCGTGTGTTGCTTGAGGAGTAGTTCAGGAGCGGCGTACTGCACCGTGCCGGCGAAGGACCGTTTCTGCTGTCGCGAACCGGCGGCGGGCAACCTAGTAGCCAAGCCAAAGTCCGACAAACGGACATGGCCCCGCTGGTCCACTAAAACATTGCTTGGCTTGACATCACGGTGCACGACGCGGAACGCATGGATCTGCGTCAATGCCGCGGCGAGCTCCGCGCCGACTTTCTGGGCGGCCTGTCTCGCGTCACTTCGTCGGAAGGACCTAGAAGCTAACACCGCATCCAACGATCCCGCCGGGTAATAGTCCATGGCTAGGTACAGCCGCTCCATCGACTGGAAGGCACACCGTAATTTGGCGACGAACGGGGCGCGTCTGTGAGCTAGTAAGTCGAGCACATCTCGCTCGATGCGTGCTAACGCTCTCGCTCGCGCACCTCGTAACGACGCCTTGTCGATGACTTTTATAGCGTATCTCACTCTATCGCGAGCGCCTCTGTCACTTTTACGTTCGGCTACGACCACAACGCCGAACGCGCCTCGTCCGACAATGCGTTTCGGAGCGAAATCAGAAGGACTAAAAGGTTGCAACGACAGCGTGCGGTCCGACCCACCTCTGGGAGGAGGAGGTGGTAATCCCGCGCGTCGCGCCGCCCTTATTGATGGAGGCGTCGGCACGGCGGGCAAGGGCGCCCGGGACGTCTTCTTCTTCTCCTTGGCCGGACTCTTGAACATCGCCGCGAGTCGACCCGCCAAAGATTTCCGTTTTTGCGGCGGCGGTTTGACGGGCGTGTTCCCGTCGAGACCGAGCGTGCCCCGTCGTCTCGGAGCAGGCGCCGGCGCCGGCGATACAACCGGAGACGCCATCGATACGCGTCGCGAGGCGCCCGGCGACGCCAGCTGCCGCTCCGGCGACTCTTCGTTCTTTTCCTCCTCGACACCCGCATCATCGGTCAGGGGCGACATCGGTTGGTCTTCGACGGCGATTGCGTCCAAAACTTCCCGTAGATGAGAAAACACGGCGTGCGCGGCCCCGCGAGACGTCGCGCCGGCGTCGAAGCGTGTTTGTAAAACTTTCTCCGCGGCCTTGCGCGTCGAGTCCCACCAGGCGTCGTCGCCATTCGGCCCTAGGGACCGTCGCACGGTATCCGTGGCGGCCTTCGAGGCGTGCTTCAGTCGTTCTGGTATGGGTGAATTTTGCGACTGCGCCAGTATTCTCAGAGCGGATGCTTCGACGTCGTCCCAAGGGATATCCGAGACCTGCCGCTTCGATAAGTTCGACGGCGGCTGCGCTTCTGTTACCTCGTTCTCAGGTCGTTCGAGCATCCATTCCGCGAGCAACCCAGCGTCGGCCACCTGCAGCGCGCCGTGGGCCCTCCTAATAGACGTTTCGTCGAAGCCCATGGCCTTGAGTTGTTTGAGGGCCGTGTCGAAGGAGGTTCTCGGTTCGACGCCGTCGAGCAGCTCTTGGGGCGGCGCGCACGACGACACTCGTCTCAGAGCGCTCTGGAGAGCTCGGTCAAAAGCTTGGGCTGCCGTCGCGTCCACGAACCTCAACCCGAGCACGGCGTCGTCCGTCGCCGACCCTCGCGCGAGTTCCGCGAAGGACGACGGCTTGCCTTGGACCTCGTGCAACGCTAGCGTCGCGTCCCTTTCTAGATCGAACGCGACGGCCAGTTCATCTCCTTCCGGGTCCGGCGCCGCCACCCTCAGTTGCCCAGAATCTCGCTCTTCTACTAGACAGAGATCGACCCACCGCCCACCCGCGAGCGGCCGCCAGGAATCGCCCTCGAGGTCGTAGACGCAGACCTGGGCCGCGGCGAGCGTCGTGTCGACCGTGCGCTGCGCCTCCGTCGTGCTCTCCTGTGGCGGCTCGGCGGCCGGCGCCGGCGCTGCCTCTGCAGCGGGCGCCGGCTCCGGGGCGGCGGCGGGCGCGGGCGGCGCCGCGGGCGCGTCCCAGTCGTCGTCGTCGTTGGCCGCGAGCCAGGCCTCGTCGTCATCAATCTGTGCTTCGAGCGAGGGCCGGTCGGAGTCCGGCATCGCTCCGCCGCTGCTTCTTTTTTTTCTCGATTTGGGGTTGCCTTGTGCCAGCGATGCAGCACGCCTCTCGCAGCTCAATCCGCGTTGCGTGTCGTGTGCGGCTGTTTCCAACGGCAATTGCAGGCCTATGCAAGCGTGTCGAGACTCCCTCCCGGAGAGCTCCCGGCACTCGAGCTCCCAAAAAATAATCGCGCTAGCGGCCTGTAAGACACTAGCAAGTTGGAAACCCTGCGCGCAGCTATTGGCGTCCTTTACGCCGTCGCCGCGACCCAATAAAACACACCTAACGTTAGATCACGCGTGCTCGACCGTCACGGCCGGCACCTCGTCCGCCGCCTCCCACTTCGCCGATCGAAGCCGCGCCCAGAGGTCGTCGCCTAAAGCAGCCGCGGGCGTCAGCACGCCCCCCTCTCCAGAACCGCGCTTCGCCAGCAATCCGAGGGCCGTCTCCATCAAAAAAATGGTGGTCGCGATCGCGGAGGGATCCCCGTTCCCGCGCCACGTCGTCTCTGATCTCGAACCATCGTCGCCCGTCGCCACAATCACATATTCGTAGGACGCCCGCCGCGCTTGCTTGAGCGTGGGCCCCGCGCCGGCTGCCGGCACCATGCCCCGTTTCCGCAGAAAATCAAGCATCCCCATTTTCAAGAGAGACGTCCCTATTCCTAGAACCGCGAAGTTCTGCACCGCACTCTTCAAGGAAGGCAGGGCCATGGCTTCCGAATACACTAAACCATCCTTGTAGTCTAACAAACCGTTCGACCTTCTAACAATGGGACAGTTCGCCCCGGCCATGATGAAGGGCGACAGGTATCGAGTTTTGCCGTTGAGTTGCACAGTTTGCCAGGGCTTGGTGCCGTGGGTCCAGTCTATCTTCGTCTTCGTGGCGGAACGGACCGCAGACGGCTTCACAGGCCGTATCGGCTCGGCCAATTCATGAGCCAGCGTGTCGACCGTGCCGCCCTGGAAGCGCGCGCCGCGCATGGACGTGACGTAGGTCCTTATCTCTGAGGGTGGTGCGCCCGTTTTTGCGGTGTGGTGTTTTATTGCGAGCATGGTACCAATATCAGAGGGAACAGAGTCGAAGCCCGCCTGCGGCACGATGATCGCACCTGTACTAACACAGGTCTCGTGGTGCTGCGCGGCCATGTTCAGCGTCCACCCTGATTCCCCAGTGATGTCCGCGTAACTGGTGCCTTCTTGCGCACAGGCTTCGACCAGCAACGACCCGTACTTGCGGAAGGGCCCCGCGGTCGACGCCACGACCTCGGTGGAGGCTGCCAGCCGCTGCAACGCGTCGGCGTCCTGCGCGTCCGCTATGACGATTCGTGGTGTGACGGCGCAGCTCTCGGCGACCTTCTCCAGCTTCGCCCGGTCGCGGCCCGCCAGCGCCACCCGTAGACCCTTATGAGTCCTGAGCAAATAGTCGGCACACATGCGGCCGCTGTAGCCCGTCGCGCCGAAGAGGACTAGATCGTACTCGCGTTTCGTGGAGAGGCGCCTCGCTGTGAGCGCGCGTGTTGTGGCGCGGCGAAGAGAGAGCATGGTTCGCAGCGTCGGTCGCAGCGATCTGTGTGTGCAGCCACGTATGCCTCTCTCTAAAAGTCGGAGAGCTTGCTTGCTAGAGTCTTTCTGCCGCTAGCTTGTTTCCAGACGGCGGCCTTGTCTTTGCGCGATGACGGGTAGAGAACTCGTGAGCCGACCTGCGCTTAGTAGTCGGTAGCATCAGTGGTATCGCTAGGCGTCAAAAGACATCAATCTCAATCAATCCCAGGGGCACTGATCAGTTTCACGGTAACAAGCGGTACGCAACGCGATGCGGCGACCGACGTTCCTTCGCGTGTATTCTTCTGACGCTACGGAGAAGGCCGACGAGGCGACGCCGATCAACCGGTCGGACTCGGACGACGTGCGGAACAGCATCGACAACAACGAGCTCCACCTCTACACGGAACTGCACAACGACGAGCAGATGCTCATGTTCCGGCCGACGATGGCGCTGGAAGGTCCCGTCGCGCGGTCCTACTTCGACGGGACGTGGCCGTGGCAGTGCGCCGTCGTGTTCTGTTTTTGCTTTTGGAGCCACGCCGTGGCGACGCGAGGCGCGGTGCTGCGTGGAAATCAAATCTCGCGCAATAACATGACTCACTGGTTGATTTCCACACAGGCGCGGCGGTCGGCATAAACCTCGCCCAAAGCCAGCTCGTCACATTGGCCGCGGCGGCGGCGATTCACCTCGTCGTGCCGGCGGCGCTCGGCGCGTACGCGGGCATGATCGATCCCCGATTGGCGCCGAACTGGGGCTGGATCACGCTCCACGCGTCCCTCGCGGTGGTCGGCTGGCTCGCGCTCTCGCGGTACAAGCTCCTGAACGGCGTCGGCGGGCGGCTGGGCACGATGACGTACGTCACGGGCAACGTCGCCACGTTTCTCGCCATCGCTGCCGGCGACGTCGCATGCAGTGCACAAATCAAATTGTCGCGGCGCGTCTCCGCCGGGGTCTCCGCCACTGTTGAATCATGGCCTCCACGCCATCGACGCGACGTCGGTCACTGGTTGATTTACGCACAGGTCGCATGGGACGAGCTCTCGTGCTGCAACTACGAGAAGCGCGTTGCGAGGGTCGCCTCGGTCGGCACGTGCGTCGCGGTCGTGTTTTGTGCAGTCCTGACGCGCCTCGTGAGCCAGTTCCTGGGCGGCACGCGCTGGGGCTCGCCGGTTGCGGCCGGGGCTTTTGTCAGCTTTGCGCTCATGTTGTGTATTTCCGTCTCGGGATACAAGCACGCGGCGGCGGTCGAGCTGGGCCTCGGCGTCGGGTCCTTCGTGTCCATGGGCTCGACGTCGTTGCTCCCGGAGACGTCGGACGTCGCCGCCGCGGCCGCGCTCGCCGCGGGCTTCGTCCTGCTCCTGCTCCCGATCCAGGTGCACCCCCCAGGCGGCAAGCAGGGCCTCACCGCGGTCCTCGGCTCGCTGGCCTGGGCGGGCGTCCGGCGGCTTCTCTTCAGGCCGCCCGACGCGCGTGGATAAGTCACCGCTAGTCATGTGTCCGCCGCCGCCGGCGAGATCTTCCCTAGGCGTTGGGCTTACGACGACCAATCCCTGGGGTCGAGCGGTCCCAGGACGACTCCATGCGCGAGTGGGCGGGGCGCGAGGACGGCTTTTGGCCCCCGTGATTTTGTGGTCTCTAGTAGCTTACAAGTTACTAGGACCCAGCGCCAGCCTCTCGCGCCGCAGGAAGCTGTCCGGGAGCAGCCCCAATTGCTGCCCTTCCTTGGGCGCAGGATCGTTGGGAGAGCCGACAGCAGCGGCAGCCGTCGCAGAAAGCGGCGCGGCCCGCAACAAAACCATGGGAGCGTCCCTGAGCCAGGACACAGCTTACTTACCTGAAGAGGTAGTAAATAACTATAGGAGGAGCGACGATAGAGATTTGCGCTTCCGACTGGCCCTGGCGAGCCACCAGCGCTTCTACAAGCATTTTGATCCCGCGAAGTTGGTCCTTACGGAGGACGAGTTCGTCGAGGTGTTTTCTCCCTCGTTTGTCGATGCGAGACTCCACTTCCGCCATCTCGACGAGAAGGAGCGGGGCCGCGTGTCGTCCTTCGAAGCTCTCGCGGGCTGTTATCTCACGTCACGGAACTGGGACGAGTCCTCGGAGAAACTGCTCGTGACGGCCCTCTTCCAGGTCTTCGACCGCTCCTCGAAAGGATCCCTCAGTCGTGTAGAGATGGAGATTTTGCTGCGGACGTCGTGCCAAGCATTAACATCACTATACAGAAGCAAGCCGGTCGCGGATTACGTGCTGCGGGACGCGGTCAAAAAGATTTTCGGCGATAAGAAGAACGGGAGCGGCCGTAGAAGTGGCCGGGCGTCGCTGGCGGATCTGTTGAGGTGGGTGCGCGGCGGCGACGAGGTGCAGACCTTTCTTTCTTTGTTCGACCGGGAGTCGTTGGAAGGGACAACTACCGTAAAAGCTAAAAGACCGACCTCAAAACGAGGCCCCGACGTCAAGAAGAGCCATTCGGAACGTTCGCCGGAGATGCTGATGGCCGAGATCGAAGTTAGAACAGATCTAGTATGGGGATTGGTCACGGGAGCCGTCAGGGGTGCCAAGGACCAGGCGACCCAAAGCGAGACGGCAAAGAAGGCCCGGGAGCTAGCTGAGGCTGCAGCTTCCGAAGAAGCGCGGATCGAGGCCGAGAAACGAGCGGCTGAGGCGGAAGCGGAGGCGCAACGCTTAGCTGCCGAGGCCGAAGCGAAGGCGCAGGACGCCTCGGCTACGCGACTAGCAGCTTGTGTGCGCGGTCGGAACTCGCGGAGAGAGCTCAATGCTCAACAACGGGCCGCAACGAGACTCGCGGCCTGCGAACGAGGAAGATCCGCGAGAAAAGACATCCAGGACCAGTCAAATGCCGCAACAGCATTACAAGCGCAAATTAAGGGCCGGAACGCGCGCCAAGAGCTCACGGAGCAGAAGAAGGCCGCGACGGCACTCGCTGCGGCGGAACGCGGGCGAAGTGCCAGAAAGGAGGTCAAGGAGCAGCAGCACGCTGCTACAGCACTACAAGCGCAAATCAAAGGCAGGAACGCGCGGAAGGAGGTCGCCGACCAGAAGGTCGCTGCTACTAAATTACAAGCCTCGATTCGCGGTAAAAATGCGCGGAAAGTAGGACCTACGGTCGGCCAAGCGCGCAAGCTCTTCGAGATGCTCGACCGGAGAGAAAAGGGCATGCTGGCTGTTTCAGACATTGTGAAACAACTCGATGAACGGCCCGAGTGCCAATATTATCTCAAAGGTACGGGCAACCCTTTGCTGCAGGAGCTGCTGGGCGCCGACGACCTCGAAGCGCGGTTAATGAGAAGACCGCTATCGACGAAAGGCGTCATCACGAAGCAGGAGTGGGATGCCGCTATAAATGAGTGGGCCGCGGCGCCTGATCTAGCGGGCATCCCGGATGGTGATGAGGATCCTCTGTCGCCGATTGTCAAAAGAAGGAAGCCGGTCCAGCCCCTAAAACCGCCGCGGGAGTTGGTCATGGACGATGACCTCAAAGCGGCAGTGGCCAAGCGAGAAGCGCTGCGACGAGAGAAGCGCAAGTCGATCGTACCGTCCCAGCCGCTGGATGCTTCCACCAAGTCCACGCTAGCCGCCGAAGCCAAGCAGGAATTGGGCGAGGACGCCCTGAAGCAGGCCAAGGACGCCTTCGAGGCCGCCGACGTGAACAGCTCCAACGACCTCGACCGCGAGGAGGTCGAGAAGGTCCTGCTGTCCATGGGCATTAGCTCCGCCTCCGAGTTGGCGGAAATATTCTTGTCAAGTGATCGCATGGACTTTGACGGTTTTTGCATCATGATCGCGCCGGAGACGGCGCGGAAGTGCCGCGAGAAATTGGGAGTTGCGCCTCAACCACCATCACCTACCAAGCGCAAGGTGCCTCGGCAGAAGCTCACTGGACGCTTTAGTACTTCTGAACCGACGGATTTCTCCCAGACCTTCCGGTCGACGCGCACGGGCCTACCAATGGCGCCGTGTCTCAGCCCGGGCGGCGTGCAGATGCCGGCGGTCGAAACGCCCAGAGAGGCGGAACGACCCATGGAGGGGGCGTTTACACCGGGCCCGGCCCCCGCCAGGGAAGCGGCACCGCCCTCGACAGAAAAGTCGCCCGGCGTCGCGGAATCAACGCCCGCGGGCTTTGCCGGTTTTAGGCAAGATGGGTTAGATGGCCGCTTGAAAGAAGTGGATGAAGAATGTGCCGCCGAGGTCGACGGCCTGCATTCTCTGAGCGCGGAACTGGCGAAGATGACCGGTTCGTTAGATGACCTCAAGAGCACGATGACCACCTTCTGGCAGACGCGCCACGACGTCATCGACGAGAAGGAAAGAAAAACATACAACGCCGCCGTGACGATCCAGAAACTATTCAGACGCTTCTCCGTGCGCCTGAGGATGGCGAGGTGGGTCGCTGAAGAGGACGACGACGACGTCGCCTCGCAGCTCGAGAACGTGCGGGTCGCGGTGGCGCAGTTCTGTTTGGCGAACCACGTGGACTTTGACCGGGTCGAGAAGAAGTTCGCCGACGTGAACAAGTCGCTGAAACGAGCGACGGCGGAGCACGTCGCGGCCGATGAATTATTGGCGGGCGATTCAAACGCGCCGCTGGACGACCTGGCGGGGTCGCGGGCGACGGCTTGTAGGATTAGAGAGTGGCAGGAGGCGCACGCGCGGCGCAGCGGGTAAGTGGTCTTTTTGGATCTAGTCTTGTAAAACCCGTTTTGCGTCGCGTTTTGCGCGCGCGGCCTGTCTCTCCGTCGTTTGCGCGGCTCTCGCGCAAGCAGGGGGGGGGGGGCTCTGGCCCGTAGCGTCCATCCTGGGAGGGATAACGTCGAGCTAGCTAGCGAACTCTGAGCAGTTTGGCCATTTGGCTTTTAAATTTCATCCTGCGATGGAGGCGCCGCGGCACGTCCTGTTAGTTCTTGACGACGAGGGCGACCTCCACTCGGTCGGAGAGGAGTCCGACGGCGAGGCCCTCGGCGGCGAGACGCCGGAGCTGTCTGACGACGGCCGCGCCGACGCCATGAGCCAGGAGCAGTGGCGCCCCGGCGCCGTCGTCGACGCGGCGGCCGTCGCGTTCGGCGAAACCTACGCCGAGCAAGCGCGCAACGGCGGGCCCAAGAAGTTCCGCGGAACAATTGTCGCCGCTGCGGTGATGGACGATCACTGGAACGTCAAGTACGATGAGGACGGCGAGGTCTACGCGACGGAGGCGCGGCACCTCACGCTCGTCTCAGCGCCGTCGGCCGACGGCGCGCGACCGGCTCCAGAAGGCCGCCGCAGCGATAGACCTACGACCGTCGCGGACGAAGACTGCGCCGAGCGGACGGCATCGTCGCGGTTCTGGGGCGTGTGTTGGCATCGGGGAAAAAAGAAGTGGCGGGCGTGCTACAGAGGCGCGAACGGCAAGGAGCGCCACATCGGCTACTACGACGACGAAGAGGAGGCCGCCCGCGCGGTCAACAAAGCGATTCGCGACGCGGGCCTGGAAGACCAGCGCCCGATGAACGTGGTCGACGCGACGGGCGCACTGGTGCCGCGCAAGACGCACACGAGCAAGCCGCGCGACCGATCCACCGTCGTCGCGCCGGACGCGGCGCGCGCGCCTTCGGCGACGACGTCCAAGTTCTGGGGCGTGAGCTGGGCCACGAGACGGCGACGGTGGAAGGCTGGCTACAACGACGCGGACGGCAAGTCGCGCACCATCGGCTACTTCGACACCCAGGAGGAGGCCGCGCGCGCCTACAACGCGGCGGTCCGCGCGCTTCCTCCAGACGTCCAAGCTCGGCGCCAGATCAACCCGGTCGTCGACGGGCAATTAGTCCCGAAGCCGCCGCGCAAGCGCTCTCGCGCGGAAGTTCCCGCCGCCGCGCCGACACGCCGGTCGGCGCGCCGCTCCCGGCAGGAGTGAACCAAGACCCAAGAACGAAGAAGACCCATCCTTCCCCGAGATAAGCTCGGCTCTCGTACGTACGTCGAACCTTGTTTGGGCAACCGAGCGCTAGCGGCCTGTAAGACACTAGGAATGCCTGGACAGCTGGGACTGACATTGTACAAGCCGACATGCTAGCAGGTGTTGTGTATACCTGGTCAAAAGACATCCATCACTACGAGCTTGTAGCTGCACCACTTCTCCCGATCGCTAACTGCCGTGCGCTGCACGCTGCACGCTGGGTGCAAGCCATGGCAGCCCTCAACGAGCAGCCACCGCTCAAAATCTGCGAGTTCTACAGCGGTATTGGTGGTTGGCGCTACGCCCTGGAGAAGGCCACGTCCCGTGAAGATCACGACGTCGCCCTGGCGGTCGACGCGTCGACGACGTGCAACTCGATCTACGAACACAACTTCGGCCAGCGACCGACGCAGCGCCGCGTCGAAAATATCACCACGAGCGACGTCGCCGGCGCCGACGGTTGGCTCCTGAGCCCGCCGTGCCAGCCGTACACGCGGCAGCACGCGATGACGGACGTGAGTGATCCACGCGCCGCGAGCCTCTTGCACCTGGCGGATCTGGTGGAGCAAGCGCCGCCGCGGTTCGTCTGCCTCGAGAACGTCGTGGGCTTCGCGTCATCCGAAAGTCGAGAGAGGTGGCACGGCGCGTTACGACGCGCGGGCTTCGCTCGACCAAAATGCTGGCACCTCACGCCGACGCAGACGGGCGTGCCCCACGAGCGGCCGCGCTACTTCGAGTGCGCCGTCCGTACAAATTCTGATGAGGACTGGGCGTCGCCGGCGCCGACGGAGGACGCGTGGCCCGGGCTGGACCGAACGCCGCCGATGCGCCTTGTCAAAGAATTCCTGGAGGCGCCCTACGCCCTGGACCAGTGCGCCGACGCATCTGCTCTGATAGAACCGTACCGCGTGCCCGCCAAGACGATCAAAAGCGACGCGGCCTGGTGCTTCGACGTCGTCGACGCGACGGACGCAATACCGACGGCCTGCTTCACGCGGTCCTACGGCCGCTTCAACCGGGGCACGGGGTCTGTCCTGCGCGTCCGTCAAATGCTGAATGATCCGGATCTCGCTTCGCTCGGCTTCTCGCGCACCACGCCGGACGCGCGGCCGTTTGGGGACACGTGGCGCGCGGCGCTGCAGCTGCGCTACTTCGCTCCGAAAGAAGTTGCCAATTTGTTGGGTTTTCCCCAGTCGTTTCACTTTCCCGCGGATGTCTCGCTGAAGAGCGCCTGGGCCGCGGGAGGGAATTCCCTTCACGTCGACGCGGCGGCGGCTGTTATTCGGGTGGCGCTCGACGACCTCGCCGCGGCGGAGGCGTCGGGGTGACTAAATGTGGTGTTCAATGTGTTGCGGTGTCCGGCATACAGTCGGGGCGACGACGTATGAGGGCGGGTCGGGCGTACGGTCACGGCCTCGCGTCGGCTCGGCGGCTAGGTTTGGACCGCGGACCATAGCTCTAAAAGCAAAGCAACAGAAAATAAACACAAGCACAAACTTACGCCGTATTCGTCGGATACAGCGCGATGTCCGCGGGCCGCTCCCGCGAGACGACGTTCTTCAGCCTCGCCAGTAAACCGGGCCGCGCGCGCTCCTCGCGCAGCTCGTGCCGCGCAGTTTCGGCATCGTTCTTCACCGTCACGAGCTCCTTCTTCAGGCGCTTCAGTTCGACCTGCAGCCGCAATTTTTCGTAGGCCGCCTCCGCCCCTTCTAACCGACTCCCAACGACTGCCTTGGTCACCGTGTCGTGTTCCGTCGACAGTGCATCTAGGCCCTTGTTCAAGTCATCAGCTCTACCTTCTGCGGCGGCCAACTGTCTAGCCAACCCGGCCGCCGCGACCTCGTGCGCCCGCGCCGCCGCCTCGGCCTCGTTCGCCCGCAGCTGTGCGGCCTCGACGGCCTCCATGGCCGCGTCCGTCTCCTCCTTACATCTCTCGTCCTTCTCTTCCAGAGCCCGAAGCTGTTTCTCTTCCAGCGATTCTATCAGGGACGCGTGCTCGCGCTCCTTCGCTTGCAAGGCCTCGGCATATTTCGAAGCCGACTCGTCGGCCTTCACCAGGTCCTGCTTCCGCTCGGCGCGGTGCTCCTGGTCCCTTCTCTCAAGAGCCTTGGCGTGGTCGTCGGCCAGCCTTGACAATTTTTTGGCGTGGTCGCGAGCCAATTTCATCTCCTTCTCCTCGACGGCTTTTTGTACATCAGCTCTACGCTTCGCCTCCGCATCGAGCAACCGGGTGTGGGCGTCCTGCGCCGCCCGGACCTCGGCGTCCTTGGCGGCCACAGCTTCGGCCATCTCCTTCCTCGCATTTGCTAGTTCTCGCGCGTGCGTCTCGCGCGCCCACTGCAGGGACTGGTCCAGCTCCTTCTCCTTCGTCGCGCGCTCCCGGGCCTTGGCCTCCAGCGCCTCCGCGACGGCCTTCTCAATGGCGTCCTCGTTATTCCCCAGTGCGTCGACCTCGGCGGCGTGCTCCTTCCTCATCTCGTCCGTCGCTTCGTCGTAGCGCTTCTGCTTGTCGTCCATCGCGGCGTCGTGTTCCCGTTGCTTCGCTTCCGTCGCCTTGGCGTGCTCCTTTTTTAGAGCTTCCAGCTCGCGCGCGTGCCCTTCCATCAAAGCCTCCTCGGCCGCCTTCGCGTCCTGGCGCGCCGTAGCTGCCGCAGCTTTAGTGGCTGCCGCGAGCTCCTGAGCGTGTTCCTGCGCCGCCGCGGTCCGGCCCGCCTCGGTCGCGGCGGCGACGTCCTCCGCCGCGGCCTGGCCGGCCTTGGCGAGTTCTGCTTCGTGCGCCTCGCGCAGCGCCCCGAGTTCCGTGTCATGGGCCGTCGCCGCGGCCGCGAGCTCGGATTTGTGGGCGTCGCGCTGTGCATCAGCGTCGGCCGCCGACGAGCGCAAGCTTTCAAGCTCCCGCGCGTGCTTCTCGCGCAGCGCCGCGAGGTCCTTCTCCCAGGCCGCGGCCGCGTCGGAGGCTTCGCTCGCGTGCGCCTCGCGTAGATCCCGCAGCTCCGCCTCCAGCTTCGAAGCTGCCGCGCGCTGGGCCTCGGCTTCCGTGTTGAGCGCCACGAGCGCGCCGGCCGCCTCCGTGCGCGCGGCCTCGAGCTCCTGGGCTGTGTCCTTGCGCGCGGCCTCGAGCGCTTGCGCCTGGGTCCGCCGGAGCTCCGCTACCGCGGCCTCGTGCTCCTGCGCGAGCGCCGCGCGCTCGGCCGCGGCCTCGCCCTTCGTGGCCTCGACCTCTCGAGCCCGCGCGGACCGGAGCGACGCGATCTTCGCGTCGCGCTGACTCAGTTGGTCCGTGAGGCGGTCCCGATCCGAAGTCAACGCGTCGAGGTCCGACGCATGCCGCGCAATATCAGCTTTCAGGGATGCTACGGACGCGTCGTGCCGCTTCTGGGCGACGGCGTGCTGGTCTTTCACCGACGTGAGCTCGTTCCGCGCACTCAGCGCCGCGCGCTCGGCCTCTTTTCTAGACTCAGCTTGTAGACTAAGCCTTAACGACGCCAGGGAGGACGCCAGGTCCGCGGCGTGCGCGTCATAAATAGCGTCGAGGTCCGGCGGCGGCGGCGCGGCCGCGGCTCTCACGGAGTCCTCCATGGCCCTCAAAGCTTCCGCGGCTTTGCGCGCCGCTTCGGCCCGCTCCAGGGCGCCGATCTTGTCTCGTAATTGCGTCGTTTCGCTCCGCTCCGTCAGCAGTAGAGCCTCCTTGTCCGCGGCTTGCAGCTGCGCCGCGTCGCGTTCCCGCACGGCGTCGTCCCGTTCCGCTCGTAATGCCGCCAGCTCCAAACGAGCAGCTAATAAATCATCATCGACATCCACGTTCACCTTGGCTGCGTTCCGGACCCGTTTCGCGCGCACGCCAAAACGTAGGGTAGAGACGGTCTCTTCGGCGTGTAACGACGACGCCGAGACACACACGAGTAAAGCGGTCTTGGCGTTGCCGCCCAATGAGGACTGCAATAATCTTGTCAGTTTGGAATCGCGGTACGGCACGTGCGTCGCCGTTGAGGACGTCAATGCCGCGATCACGTTGCCAAGAGCAGACAAAGACGAGTTGATCCGTTTGGCTTCATTCAGCGTGCCGCCCGTCGCCTTGGTCTTGGCGACGCGCTCGGAGCCGGCCAAATCGACGAGGCGCATGATCGCGCTCGCGTTTATTGATGGCCTTGTAACTCTAAAGGAAGCGACGAAGTGCGACCGCGAGCTATCGGCGTTCATCTCGTGCGACGCTACCACTCTCCTCACGAGAGCGCGCTCCAGCAACGCCAACGTGGCGGGCACGTCCTTGACGACGGCGTCGACGGCGCCGTCAACGACGACCGACCCGTCCTTGCGGTTCTCTCGCAGCTTCAGCGGCCGGTGCTCCTCGTTCAATAAATCTCGCAAGTCATCATACAGTTCCAGACACGACACGCGCACCTCGTCGCCGGCCGTCAATCCCGCGAAGAGATCCTTCAACAGGCGCGGCACCACACCCGCGTCCGGCCCATCCAAGGAACAGTCCGGCGGCCCGAACATGGAGTGCGTCTTTCCCGCGCCCGTCTGGCCGTAGGCAAACACGGTCGCGTGGAAGCCGCGCAGCACGTCCTGCGTGATCGGTTGTATGGACTCGTAGACCTGGGCCTGGGACGCGTCGGTGTCGTAGGCCGCGTCGAAGGCCCAGGACGCCTCGTGCTCGCCGACATACTCCGCCGCATTCTGCAGCCTTAGGCGCTGCGCGCCCTGGATCGCGACGACGCGCTCGCCCCGCGTCTGCTCCTCGGCCGTCGTGGGTCTTACGCGGCACAGCACGCGCACGCGGTCCATGATCTATTATCGCGGCAGCCCTGCGCGGCGTATGAGCGCAGGTGCGGCCTGAGGCGCGGCTTCGGCGCCGCAACTATGGTGCCGCCGCGCGGGGCAGCCCGGATGCGTATGTATGAGTCAGTGCCGCGTCAGCGCGCGTCACCGCGGCGCGGATTCGGCGTCGCACGATGCGCTTGGCCACGGCGTCGGCCTCTCCGCTGGGCTCCACTTTTTTTCTCAAAATGCGGCGCATCGCCTCCCCCGTAGTCGCACGCGTTGCGCCACGTACAGGGTGCGCTACTTTAAACCCACTAATCGTGCGGGCCTCTGTCTCGCAGACATCTCAGCAGCGGACCTCCTCGCCCGCCAGAGGCCAGCCCTCGGCCACCAACAACACCATGAATCGACCAAACGCACAAATAGATAGACGCCTGCGATGAGGCGGCGCCGGGCCGCAGCCCTCTGGGCTGTGGCCGTCACAAGCCTGCTGGGGGCTGGGCAGCCCCAGGAGGGCGCCCCGCCGCAGTGCCTGCCCGGCGACGCCAAGACCTGCAGCCCCGGGCTTGATCTGGAGGACGCACATGTTGCGGTGAGGACGGCCGCGGCGGCGCTGTGGAGTCGCGACGAGGTCGAGGGCCGACGGCGGATCGACAGTAGTAGAGAGGCGCTGCCCAACTTCTATCTTGATTATGTGAACGAGACCGTGCGCATCGCGCCGCCGCGGCCGGTCGCGCCGTGCCTGGGCGTGCAGGTCGTGCTCGGCTTCTGTCGGGGCGGCGCGGCGACGGTCGGCGCGTTTCAGAGGGATGTGCTCGCGCCGGCGTTGCAGCGGTCCGTGCCGGCGGCGGCCTGTTCATTGAATGACGCGCCGCCCGTCCAGTCCAAGGGCGGTCCATCGATTGCTGGGAGCAGTATCCTGAAATCGAACGCCCTGGACGCGTTCAAACGAGGTACACTTAGTAAAGATAGGACGGTCTACGTGGCCATGGGCGAGCCAAATACTAGAAGGGAGCTCGCCTTGGCCGCGGCGGAGCACGTGACACTGTTGACCCAAGCTGAGCTCGCCTGGGGCATTCACGCGGAGCCGGAACTACAAAATAGGCCGACGTCCTACTTTTTGCTGCTCCGAGATCCGATATCTCGCTTGTTGAGCGACTTTGTCGCGTGGCGCGACGAGCCGCCGACTTCCTTACGAGCGCGGCACCCGCTCGCCATAAAAGCCAAAAAGGGGATCCGCGAGTTCGCCGAGGCCACCGCGAACTATCATTTACGGTTCCTGGGCAACGACACGCGCTGCGCGCCGCGGCGGTCGGCCTGCGCGTCGCTGACGTCGTTTGATCAATCGCTGAAACGCGCGAACGCGCCGCGGTCGCCCCTCTCGTCGGCGGTCGCGACGCAGCCCTGCCACCTGGACTACGGCGCCGAGGACGCGCGCGTGTTCTCCTGCGCGTTGGCGACGCCCGAGAATATTTTGAGGGAGCACTTGGCCTACGTGAAGCGAAACGTGCACAGCCTGTATTTCGCCGTCGGGCTCCACGAGCGGTTGGCGGAGTCCATGGTGCTCTGGCGGGCGGCCGCGAGGCACCACGACGCCCAGAACTGGCCCGCGCCGGCCTGCGTGCCGCGGCTCGCGCCGCAGGCGCCCGCGCGGCTGCGGCTCGAGCCGGGCGACGTCGACGTTATTCGGGAGCTGAACGCCCTGGATCTCGAGCTGTACGACACGATCCGCGCGGCGTTCCAGATGCAGCTCCTCTCTGCCAAACGGCACGCGGGGCCCGGCGTCGCGGAGCTCCTCGCCGCGGCGCGGAACGGGTCGCTGCCGTCGTGCTCGCCCGAGCCGGAACCGAGCGGTCCTCCTGTAACCTAGTCTTTAGTTTTTAGTGCGATTTGCTAGCGGCCTGTAAGACACTAGCAAGCAGCCCCAGGACATCGCGCGGCAGTCTTGCCGCATTCGTCGCTTGATGCATCGGTGACCAGCGAGATTAGTTCCGACGTGAGTGCACATGTGCTGGAGCGAGCCGTGCAATTTGTGAACGAGCTGTAGTCCTGCTGGGGCACTGCACTGTGCAGCAGCACTCAAGCAGCACTGTGGGCTAGCGCTGCGGACAGCCGTGCTTCGGCATTGCAACGTTGCGCCGTCGATGCGCCGCGTATTGCTCATCGCGATGGCGGCGTCCGTCCGCGCCGGCCGCGTCGTCGTCGTTGGTGGTGGTGCCAGCGGCTTCTTCGCCGCTATTACCGCAGCGCGGCGCGGCGCGGAGACGATCCTCGTCGAGGCGACGCAGAAACCGCTCAAAAAGGTGCTCGCGAGCGGCGGCGGCCGATGTAATGTCATTCACGACCCGACGATGGCCGTCACGGACATCGTCGAGCGCTACCCGCGCGGGCGCCGCGAGATCCGCGGGCCGTTCACGTCGCTGTTCGGTCCCGATGATATGAGGCGCTGGTTCGAGGCCGAGGGAGTGGAGCTCAAGACGGAGGCGGACGGTCGAGTCTTCCCCGTGACGGACGACTCGCAGACCGTGGCCGACGCGCTGCGGAACGCTGCTCACAAAGCCGGCGTTTTATTCAAGGGCGGCGCCGCGGCGACGACCATTGATGTGGCGGGCGACGGTTTCGCCGTCAAAACGGGCGACGACGCCTACGATGCGGCCGCGGTGGTCTTAGCCACCGGTTCCGCACCAGGGGGCTACGCGCTGGCCAAGGCGCTCGGCCACGAGCCCGTGAAGCCCTGCCCGTCGCTGTTTTCGTTCCGCGTCAAGTCGCCGGTCCTCGAGGGCCTCGCGGGCCTGTCCGTGCCGGACGCGCGCGTCGAATTGAAAGGCGCGAAGAAGAAACCGCCGCCGCCGACGCGGGGCCCGCTGCTCGTGACGCACCGCGGCCTCTCGGGGCCTGCGGCGCTGCGGCTCTCGGCGTTCAAGGCGCGGGAGCTGCAGGACTGCGGCTACAAGGGCACGCTCGTCGCGGATCTGTTGCCGGACGCGTCGCCGGGCGCCGTGCGCTCGACGCTCGATTCCCATAAAAAAAAGCACGCCGGCGCGACGGTCGCCGGTGCGACGCGGCCCTTTTCGCAGCTCCCGAAGCGGCTCTGGGCGCGCCTCGTGGCCCACGCGAACGTCCGCGACGGCTGCCGGTGGGGCGACGCGTCCGCGCCTGTGTGGAAATCAACCAGCGACCTTCGTCGACCTCCACGCCAGCGAGCAGATGAATTTGATTCCCACACAGGTCCGCGCGGGAGCTCGACGCCGTCGCGGCGGCCTGCTCCGCTCTGGAATTACCCTTCGACGGGAAAGATACGAACAAGGAGGAATTCGTAACCGCGGGCGGCGTGCGCCTCAAGGAGATCAATTTCAAGACCTACGAGTCCAAGAGCGTGCCGGGCCTCCACTTCTGCGGCGAGCTGGTCGACGTCGACGGCGTGACGGGCGGCTTCAACTTCATGCACTGCTGGTGCAGCGGCTTCGCGGCCGGAACGAGCGCGGCGGACATCGCGGAGGGGGTGTCATAAGTGAAGCACGAACTTTTACAACCGAGCGGGAGGAGTGGGGTCAAAATCTACGCCGAGGGCGCGAACACCGCCGCGACGAGCGCGTGGTCCGCGGGCCACGTCTCGCGGGGTAATGTCACGGGGTGCGCCTCATCTGCTAAATCGGGCACCGTCGGCAGCAATTCCAAAGAGCCGTCCGTGACCACGAACTTGTCCTTCGCGGCGACCACGGTCTTGTGGCACTTGTTGTCGTCGTAGCACTGGCCGTGGAGGCGCGACCGCCGCTTGGACGTTGTCGGCACGCTCGCCGACACCTGGAGGCCGCTCGCTTCCACTTCCCGCCGGAAGGCCGAGTCCGTCGACTCCTTCGCGAGGTTCGTATCCACGAGCCACGCGAAGGGTCCCGCGCCGCAGGCCGCGGCGTGCGCCGCGAGGAACTTGGCCAATAACTCGGCGGCCTCGGGCGTCTTCGGCTCCTTCGCATGCAGCGCGTGGTAGGCCACGCCGTCTAGTCTCACAGATAGGACCTTGGCCGCGGTAGTGCCCTCGAACGCCGCCATCGTCTTCTTATCATACTTCGGCTCGCCGTTCGCATCACGGGTGAGGGTCTTCATGACCGCGTCGGCGTCGACGCCTATGGAAGCATCGCCGCCGTCGGCCAGGACCGCGCCACCACTCCCAAAGCCCTTGTGCACGAGCGCGCAGCTCCGCACGGCTCGCACGACCTCGAAGCCCGCCGTCTTGAACGCCGCCTCGAAGACGGCGGCCCGCGGCGTGCCGGCCTGGGGGAACTCCTGCAACCCCAGCACGCAGCGGCCCATGCGCGCGTCCCGCGCGACGTTGAGCGCGGCATCAACAAAAATCTGCGCGTGCCGCTCCGTGTTGTCCGGGTTGAGGTAGGACGCCTTGCAGGTCTCGGCGAAGGTCGACGCGTCTTCCGACGCCACGACGCAGCACAATAAATCCCAGGCGAGGAGTGAGGGAGACTTCCGGTACGTGTCGCCCTTCTCGCAGCATCGTTTCAACAGCTGCCACCACTCTTTGTTCGACGTGAGCTCCCAGACTAGGGGGCCCTTGTCCGCGCACGTCGCCGCGTCGCGGTCGAAGCGCCGCATCGCGAAGACAATCAGATTCATGCGGTGGTCGAAGAATTTGTTGTCGTCCTCCAACGCGCTGTCGTCCATCGCCGCCCAGGCCTCCTTGCTCCGCATGGCCGTCAGGCGGTCGGCGACGGCGCCGCCGCAGGCCTCTACAAGTTCATTGAGGCCCTGGGCGTCGAGGTCCGCCCACGTGACCGCCCGCGCGCGCGCCTCGAAGGACTCGCAGACGGCCATGAACTTGGAGTCGTCGACCGCCAGGAACTCGAAGGGGTTGTAGGCGTCGCCCAGCATGTTCATGGTGCCGATGAGCGTCGAGTTCGCCATGCTGGCCATCGCGCCGCGCGGTGCGCTGTGGCCTTAGGTTTCGCGTCCCCCTGGTCCGAAGCGTTGCTCCGGCAGCCGTGTGGCCTGTGGCCGCCCGTAGCTTCGACGCGTTAGCACAGCAAGCCCGGCTACTGCTTGCAGCGCTTTTGGCTGGTTCGGGCCCGGCTGTTTACCAAAAAATAACTCACCTAGCGTAGCAAACACACTTAAAACGGCTTTCCGGCGCGAGGAGTCTTTCCGGCGTTCGGACCGGCTGTGTTTCGCGCCGTGCATCCATTTGGGCCACTCTACCGCAGTGCCTGGAGTCACAAGGAGGCCATCTCTGGCAGCAAAAAGCTGGCAAACCTCTGACTGCCGTTCCAAAAGGCACGGTACCGCCAGTTGGCGACTGCATCGCTGCGCTGCGCGTGCATTTGACATCTGTGTCCTTGCGGCGCGATTGCACAGTCCTGCACAGGCTGCAGAGGCTGCAGAGCAGCAGCAGTGTCGGCATCTCTCAAAGCCGCGACGCATTTGCGTCGTCGACGCGTAGCAACGTGAGAGGATGCCGACAGCCTTCGAGTCCAAGGTGCACGCTGTCGTGCGCGCCGTGCCCGCGGGCAAGGTGACGACGTATGGAGCCGTGGCTGCAGTAGCGGGCGGCTGTGCGCGGTCCGTCGGCGCTGTGATGCGCAAGAACTGTCCCGCCGAGACGAGAGTGCCCTGACAGCGAGTGATCGCGTCGGACCGGCGCCTCGGCGGCTTCAGCGGCGAGTGGGGCGCGGCCGCTCCTGCGGTGCGGCGGAAGCGGGCGCTGTTGGAATCCGAAGGAGTCGTCTTCGACGCGGACGGCCGGGTCTCGGCCGATTGTGTGCTTCGCGAACTGCCCGCGCCGGGCAAGCGTTCGCGCGCTGACGACAAGGCGGCGCCGCCGGCGAAGCGCTCCCGCCAGGCGCCGACTCAGACCGAGCTCGCGACGGAGACGCTCCGGATCCTCGCGGCGCGCGGCGCGGGCAAGACGTGCTGACCGTCGGAGGCGCCGCGGCGGCTTGCTACTGCGGCGTGTGATTGGCGGTCGTGGATGCCGGCCTCGCACGCCGCGGTGCGCGACCTGGTGGGGCGCGGCCGCGTCGTCGTCACTCAGAAGGGTTCGGTTGTTGATGTGAAAAAGGTCCGCGGGCCGTACCGGGTGCGACTCGTGTCGTCGTGAATATATGACGGTGCGCGCGCTTACTTGGCGCGCGGACCTGATCCCACGAACACGCGTCGGGTTGTGTGACTCACTGTGTAGAAAGTTAAAGAACTAAATACACAAGACTAGATTTAGGCAGTAAGCGGCAAGCCAAGCATCACCAAAATCCGCTTCAGCAGGTCCGCGGACTCCTCGACGTCGAATTTTGCTTCTTGCATGTAGGCCGCGACTTGCGCTTTCGACCCGTTCGGGTTCGCCTCGCCCCAGGCCGATGTGTAGGCGTTCAGCGACGACATCTGGATCTTCTGGCCCCACAAATTCACGGCCTCGAGGTACTGGTCGAGGTCGTCGGGGTTCTTGAGGAGGGGCGCGGCGCGGACCATGAGCTTCTCGCTCCGGTAGAGCGGGTCGTTGATCGACTTGTATCCAATGTACTCCTGAATCACTAAAGGAGACGCGTCGCACAAGGCGCCGCCGTTCGTGGCCACGACCTGGGCCTTCTCCTTCGAGAGCTGGGCGTTGCCGCAGGAGCCGCCCGTGATCTTCTGCCAATCTTTTAAAAGGGTCTGCATGCGCTGGTAGCCGAGCGTGAGTTTTTTAAGTTCGTCGGGCGTCGGCGCCGCCTCGGCGCCCGCGCGGCGCGGCGCCAGCGTCTTCATCAATGCTGCGCCGCCGAGGCCGTGGAGGCAGCGCCGCCGGCCCGTCATTTGCAACGCATGCGCGCTCGCGCAGAGGGCTGCGACGCGTAGGGCTGCTGGCATCATCATCCTGACTGTGTCCTGTGCCGGCGATTGATGGCTCCGCAAGTAGCAGCGCACGAGTAATGCGAGTTCGAGCGCTTTTTTGCAAGCGATGAGACGCCCGAACGCAGCGGCTGAAAGCAAAAGGACGCCAGGCTGGCAATGGGAGAAACCCGTTTTGATCGACAGGTGACCTGTACGTCTCCGCTCTTGATTCGTGTCGTTTCGAGCTCTCCGACGAAGCCAGCGGAAGCATCGAAGGGCTGAGACATCGGGCGATCGAGACAAGTACCGCGCACAGGACAAAAAGACTGGGTTGCGGGGAGCCAAAAGCTCGGGAACGGAATTCGTCGTCTTTTGCTGTGCAAGAACCCCTGCTAATATCGCGGCTGTGTTAGAAGGCGCCCCGTAGCCAAACGCACAGGCTGGCCTAGCAGCACCTCCTGCCCCGGGCCCGCGCCGAGAATGGCGCCCGACCCAAAGCCCCGCGCGCTGGAGCTCGTCGAGACCGGCGGCTACGGCAGCACGCCGGACGCGCCCGCGACGCCCCACGCGATGAACACGTCGCCCTGCGCGACGCTCGCCGTGCGCGGGACTCTTGTGGTGATTGTGCTGGCGAACGTCGTCCTGGTCGCGTCGCTGCTCGCGATCGGGGGGCGTTATCCAGCTCTAGTCTCCCCGGGCCTCCTCGCGCTCGGTTTTGGGTTGAGACACGGCGTCGACTGTGACCACATCGCCGCCATCGACAACGTGGCGCGGAAGCTGGCCTACTCCGGAAAACCGGCTGCTCTGGTCGGCCTCTGGTTCAGCCTCGGCCACAGCACAATGGTTTTGCTGCTGTGCGGCATCGTGGCCACCGGCTCGTCCCTCATCAGGTCGCGCGTCGACGCCGTCGCGAGCACGGGCGCCGTCGTGAGCGCCGTGTTTTCGTCCGTTACTTTGACGCTGATCGGGGCGTTCAACCTCGCGACCGTGGGCCCGCAATTTCGAGCGTGGCGCCGCGCCGCGAACAAACAACAGCGCGAGCACCACCACAACCACAACGCCGAGTTGATTGATGAGGGCGAGCAAGTAAGGGTTGAGGTGACGGGCGGGCTGTTCGCGCGGTGCGGCTGCTGCAAGCGGCTTTTGGCATCGGTCGACGCGGCCTGGAAGATGTACTTCGTGGGCGTGCTGTTTGGGTTGGGCTTCGAGACGGCCTCTGAAGTTGGTTTACTTGCCTTAGCGGCGGTGGGGCCGAAAGATGTCCCCGCGCCCCTGGTCATGCTCCTGCCCGCCTTATTCACGTCGGGCATGGCCTTGGTCGACACGTGCGACGGGTTGCTGGTGCTCTTCACCTTCGCGAAGGGCAACGACGGCGACGCCGCGGGCGCTTTACTGTTTGGTGCCTTACTCACGGCGGCGTCGGCCGCGGCGTCGCTCGCGATTGGGAGCATCGTTGGCTTGGGGCTCGTGGCCCCGTTCCTGCCGCCGCGCGTCGCCGGGCCGCTCGTGGCGCTCTCGGAGGCATTAGATGCGCACACGACGGCCGTCGGCCTCGCGGTCGTCGGCATGTTCGTGGCTGCGTTGGTGCTGTCCATGGCGGCGCCGGCGCTGCATCGGGTCGCCCGGCAGCTGTGCCCGCAGTGCTGCTGCGGCAAGACGCGGCGGCGGCCATACGCGGAGATCTCCACCTGACCGCGATTCGGTTTCGTAGTGTGTGTTAAACAAGCTAAACTTATAACATATCCCGTCGACTGGCAAGGGTCACAAGCGCACGCGGATCGCCGGCAGCGACTCCGAGCCCGGCTTCCGCACGACGCGCCGGTTCCGCCTCTTTCTCTCAGCCTTAGTACCGTCGGGGTCGTTCGCGTCGAGAAATTCCCACGGGTGCGTCTTCGCCCGCGCAAACAACTTGCGCCGCGCGACGTCCTCGTTTCTCACTTTTCGAGCGTTCGCGAGCGCCACCCTCTCGGCTTCCTCGCGCGCCCGGTAGCGCCGCTCGTGCGCCAACACGTACTCGCGGCACTTGTGCACCCGATCGCGGTGCTCCGAATCACCTAACCGCGGCCACGACGACGCCCGCGCCCGCAGCTCCCGCTTCTTCTCCTTGCGCTTCTTCTCCGCCTCGTCGTCGTCCGAGTCGGAGGCCAGGTCCTCGCCACCGTCGGAGGCGCCCTCGTCGTCGGCGTCTCCATCTATGCCCGTGGGCAGCATGAAGGGGTTGTCGCGCAGGGGGAAGTCGTCTCCCACATGAGCGCGGAACTCGGGTGAATGATCTAAGAAGTCCATCGACGTCCGGACACATAGCAAGAAATCGACGCCGTTCCAGAGGAAGGGCGGCGGGTCGGGCGGCGGTGTGGGCGGCGGCGTGCGATTCCGGACCGCGTACTCGGCTTCAGCGGCTCTTTTCTTGATTTCCGCGAGTTTCTCGGCCATGGTCTGGGGTTTGTCGGCGGGGGCCGGCGCCTCCGAGGCTTCCACGGGTTCTTCCTCGATCACGACGGGCGCGGCGACCTCGCCCGCGTGCCACGTCGCGATGGCTTCCACCGCATCGATAGTGGCCCGCTGCATGCCCTTGATGGGCGGTCTTCGCAACGGTTCGGGCGGGCCGAGCGCTTCAATTAAGTCTTGCATCGCGTCGCGCTTTTGGCTGTTCAGCGATTCCGGATCGGCGCAGACCGCCCTTACCACCTTCAGCTGCTCGAAGACCTTGAGGCGCTCCGCGTCGAAGGCCATTAATGCGCGAACGACTGCACCCTCCCGTAATTGCTGCGCGGCCTCGCGGGCCGCCCTACGCGCCAATACTTCATCCGAGATCTTGGCCTTGGCGTCTCGCTCGACGCGCCGCTGGAAGAAGAAGAGCTGCCCCGCGCCCCGCATCTTCCTCCGTAGTTGCGCACGGTCCACGCGGTTCTCGACGCGCGTCGGTTTGTATGAGACCTTCTCAGGAACCTTCTCGGGCTCGGGCTCGATCAAACTCCGCCAGGCCGGCTTCAGCGCCAACCTACGCTTCTCGCGCACCTTCTCGAGGCGCCTCAACTCGGCCTCGCGCCCCAGGGCCTTGCCCCAGCTCCCGTGCCACAAATTCCGCAGGTCGCGTTCGCCCCTTCGTGAGGGACCCTTGACGACATCATCACGCGCCTTCGCCTTGGTCTTCGCCCTTCTCGTCAAGTGTTCGAACTCCGCTTCCACGAGCTGAAGCTTCTCTCTATCTCCTTGATCAAAGGCGTACTCGAGCAATCGAGCAGCATCTTCAGCAGAAGGCAGCTCGCGCTTCTTGCGCCTAGCTGCGGCCATCCTGAGGAGTTGCCCGGGCGTCGGGCGGTTCTTCTCCATCATGAAGTCCTCGAAGTCCCCTCTGAAAATATTTTCCCCTTCACTTGATTCACTATCAGATTCCGGTAAGGTAGGTAGAGTTTCGGGACCGTACAACTTCGGCGGCCGCACGGTCACGGCGGTCTTGAAAATAGTTTCGGCGCGACCGCCCATGAAGTACTTGTCGCCCTTCTCGATGGCCGAATACGTGTGCGCGAAGTGGTCGATGTTGTGTAAGAGTACCGACCTCACGATCGCCGTGATCCACTCCCAGTCCTCGCAGTCGACAATGTACTCCGGCAAGTTGATGGGGTGCTTCGGCACCGGCGCATGATCTTCTTGCTGCTCCAGGAGAGCTGCCAACTGAGGACTCCAGACCCACGTCCCTGGTTTTTCCGGATTCTGCATCGCCACCAGCTCCGTCAGGGGCTCGGGCGGCGCCTTGTCGCCGCAGGCCATGATGAAGTCCTGGCGCTTTCTTTCGCGCACGGCCGCGTAGCCTCGTTGCGCGGCCTCGGCGGTGTACTTTTCGCAATCCTGGACGGACGAGTCGCGGCGCCTTCTTGCAAGCTTCGAGGCTTTGGAGGCGAGGAAGGCGTCGAAGCCGCGGCCCATGCTGTGTTTCTTCCGTCGGTAGCGCCGCGGCCGCGGTCTCGACGAGAGGGTGGACAGGCTGGCATCGTCCGGCGGGCTGCCCGGCGTGGCCGTGGAGGCGTCCATGGTTCTTCGTGTCGTTATGTATGGTGCATTTTACTATCTCGCAGGAATGGGCGGTTTTTACGGCCCCAAAGGAGCCGGCGTTGGCAGGGCAGCCTCGGCATCGGGCTGGTGCCGGGCACGGTCGGTTCCGCGAGGACGCGTCGGTGCGCACGGCTAGGGCTCGCGAGGGACGTGGTCGGTTGTTTTTTGCGGTCATCGAGTAGCATAGACACACTAGTTTCGCCTGCAGCAAGCTGCTGCTCTGCAAAAGGAAGTGCTTGCAGGAGCATCTGTCGCAGCGCAAGCAGGCAAGAGCAATAAATAGCAGTGCGAAACACCACCCGCAGCCATTTTAACAAATAGCAGCGCTGCAGAGCCGGTTTGCATATCGCCACACTCACCTGCAGCTGCTCACCATGGTGCGACGACTGCTATTGCTGCTCGCGGGAACGGCAGATGCGCTGCGGCGGCCCGCACCAAGACGCGCAACACTCGTAACGCGACAAGCCCACGAGCCCAAGCAGTACCAGATCATCGCCGGCCCCGCGTGCGAAGCGATGGCCCAAAGAATACAAGCGTCCGAACCGGCCCGCTTCACCTACCACGAGACGTCCTGGGACAAGTTCCCCGACGGGACCGACCGCATCGTCGTGGGTGGGTTCCAACCGAAGAATGAAATTGCGGGCGAGCACGTTCTCATGCTTGCCTCGTTCCACGATAATGATGTCACGCTCTCCCAGTTCCAGGTCATGGTCATGTTACTGATGTCTTTTGTCGAGTCGTTGACGATCGTGTTACCGTTCTACCCCACGGGCACGATGGAGCGCGTCGTGACCGAGGGCGAGGTCGCGACGGCCGCGACCTACGCCCATCTATTCTCGTCACTACCGTCGTGCGGCCGGCCGACTCGGTTAATCGTCTACGACTTGCACACCTTACAAAACAGGTTTTATCTGCACGGCAACACGGTTGCCTCATTACATACTACCGTACCGTGTCTCATCCCTCGCCTGGAAGCCGCGGGTATAGACGCCGTCGCCTTCCCCGACGACGGCGCCGCGAAGCGCTTCAAGCACATGTTCGACTCGGATGTGTACGAGATCATTGTGTGCGGGAAGGTGCGAGATGGGGACAACCGCGTAGTAACGGTGCAGGACGGCGACGTCAACGACAAGAAGGTCGTGATCGTCGACGACCTCGTGCAGACGGGCGGCACGTTGTACGAGTGCGGCGCGAAACTCTTAGATCTGGGCGCGGCGTCTGTCAGTGCGTTCGTGGCGCACGGCGTCTTTCCGCGCGAGGCCTGGAAGCGCTTCGCCCGGGGCGGCGACCGCGACGTGTTTGACACGTTCTACGTGACGAACTCCATCCCAACCACCACAGACAAACTGCCGTCGAACGACGTGTTCGAGGTCATTGACTTGACGGAGCGGGTCATCGACGATTTGGATAACTACTAAGTGTGTTTACTATTCTCTTAGGCGGTCGCCGTAGTCACCCTTCGGCGCCTTGAGGGCCGAGGCCATCGCGATCGGCAGGAACATCCGCGAGTGCTCCGGTAGTAACTCGTAGCCGTGCGCCTTCGCCGTATCATCCCTAATTTGCTTCGCCGTGAGTAATTTGAGGCCGGGCGTCTTCAGCGTCTCCCTCGTTAAGTCTACTGAATCCGCGATCTTTCGGAGCTCCGCGTACTCTTGATCCTGAACAGAAGACTCTCCAGTAACGACGGTGCCCGTGCTTCCGCGTTTGCCGAGGGGCTTCATGCGCACCGCTCGACCCATGTTCCTCCGATAATAGGCCTGGTCCTCGTAGAACTTCGCGTGCGACGCGTGACTCGTAGATGGCGTGGCTTGCGTCTTCCGCAATCGACCGGCGAAATATCTATTGTGCTTCCTTAATTCATCCTTCTTGATCTTGTCCGTGATAGCCTTGTTGTAGGCCATGTTCCTTCTTAATCTTACGCGAGCCATATCTGGTTTCTGAGACAGAGGAGTCCCGTTCTCCATGATGTGCACGATCGACTTCATCAAAATTTGATTCTCGTGGCTGATCTTGTTCTGCCACTTGAGCTTGTCTTCAATCGCCTTCGTGTTTTGCTGGAAGTGCGGCAGCCCGTAGCCGCGCGGCGCGGACGTGTCCGTGACCGGGCCTACTTTCTTGACTCTCCTAAAAAAGGTTCTTATTTGTTTTTCTTCCCGCGCTCTCGAGACGGCGTCCTCGGGCGCGTTGATGGGCGCCCATGCTGGCCCCCTCCTCATGTTAGTTGCTGTGAGGAGCGCGGCGGCGGCGTCTCGCTGCGGTGACTCGTGTGGCCTGTTGAACGGGCCGGGGGCTGCCCAGGGGATGCGCTGCGGGCGCTTGTGGTGTGTGCCTCTGTCCCGCGTTAGGGCAGCCTCTCCGCGCCCGGCGTTCCTCTCGGGAGTTGTCTAGCCGCTCGCGGACTGCCTGGAGTTGTTGTTGGGCGGAGTTCATCCTTCTGGCGGAAATACCGATGGGTGCTAGTGTCTTACTGGCCGCTAGGGAGCTACGCGATCAAACGCAGCCCACGTGGTACGCTGCCGGTTTTGCACCACTACAGAGAGGAGAGCATTGCTGTACGCAAGTCTGATCCGCTTTGCAAACGAGAAAAGAAACGCATCGCTGCAATCAATAACAAGCAACCATGCCCAAAGCCCTCGTCGTTTTTGGCAGCGAGTCCGGCACGGCCGAGAAAGCTATTAAGGAACTCGCGGCGCAGTGGAAGGCCGCGGGCGCCTGGACCGTCGTGGATGTCATCGACGGCAACGCCGCCGCGAAGCAGGGCCTGGAAACGCTCGCGACGAGCCACGACGCGATCATCATCGCGACGTCGTCGTTTCGCCAGGGCGACGCGCCGTACAACTACGACGATTTTCTCGGGGCGCTGTATCGGGCGACCTTCAAAGCCGAGTCGCCGTTCCAGGGGTGCCAGCACGCCGTGTTGGGCTTCGGCGACTCGCATTTTGATACCTACATGAACTGCCCGCGCTTGACGGATTCGCTGCTGGAGAAGTGCGGGAGCCGGCGCATGGTGAAACGGGCGGAGATCGATGTCCGGGAGAAGGAGCGAGGCGTCAAGGACATGGCGACCTGGGCAGCAGCCGTGGACGCCGCCCTGAAAAACCTGCCGGACCCCTCGTCGAAACCCGCGTGCATCTGGGACGAGAACACGTCGACCTACGACAAGTCCCTCGAGTATGATGATGACGAGGAGGAGGTCGCGGTACAGTCGGGGTCGTCGCTCTATTTCTACGGGTCGGTCGTCGCGGCCGCCGCGGCGCTCTACTACCTCCTCTTCGCATAATTATTAACAACTTAAATAGCTACGGCCCAGCCGGACGCGTCCCGGCCGTAGTGCGCGTCCGAGAGGCGCCGCCAGAGCTCGCTCGCGACGGGGCCCGCGCCGCCGCCGGTGGGCACGTCGATGGACGAACCCTGGTAGACGACCTCGCGCACGGGGCAGACGACGGCCGCGGTGCCGGCGCCGAAGACCTCGAGCAGCCTGCCTTCGCGAGACGCCGCGACCACCTCGGGCATCGTAAAAACACGCTCCGACACGACGTCCACACCTACCGACGCGGGATCGGCCCGCGCCAAATCTAATATAGACCGCCGCGTCACGCCCGGCAGGATGTCGCCACTTAACGGCGCCGTCACGAGCTCAACACCTGATGCAGTCCGCAGGACCACAAAGACGTTCATGCTCCCGACCTCCGTCACGCGGTGGTCGTCGCCGAACAGGAACAGGACCTGCTGGGCCCGCCCGTCCGTCTGGGCCGCGGCGTCCAGCACCGGTTTTATGGTGGGGGCGTAGTTGCCCCCTATTTTAGTATCGCCGGCGCCGCCGGGCCACGCCCGCACATTCACCGTATCGGCGACGACCGTTATCGGCTTGAAGCCGTCCTGCGCGGGGCGTCGCGTCGAGTGTCTTACAATATTGTCGCGGCGATGGCGTGGTTATGGCGCCAGCACGCCATCGACGCGACGCCGTCGTCGAAGAGAACCGATGACCCTCCACGCCTTCGAGCAGACGCTTCGAGGACGGACGCCGACCGCGCACGGGAAAGTAGGGCCCCACCGGAGACGCAATCACATACAGCGTCGCCTCCTGCGGCACGCCCACCCCCAAAAACGGGTCCGTGGCCACACAGGTCGGCCTCAAGTACATCGAATGACCTTCGCCCCTAGGGACCCACTCTTGCTCCACCTCTACATAGCGCTTGAGTAATTCAACAAATGCCGTCTCGTCAAACGTCGGCATCGCCAGCCGTTGGAGGGACGAGGTCATGCGCCTCGCATTTAAATCTGGTCTGAATAGTCGTATCGCGTCGTCGTCGCCGCGGTAGGCCTTCATCCCTTCGAAGCATTGCAGCGCGTAGTGGAGCGTCATCGCCGCCGGGGACAATTGGAGGGGTCCGTGGGGCTGGATTCTCGGTGCGCTCCAGCCGTCGCTGGCGGTCCAGTCCACGCGAAGCATGTGGGGCGAGAAGATGCGGCCCCACTGGCCGACGAGTGCTTCGTTCGCTGGCGGTTGCGCGGGTGTGGCGCAGCGCTCTATTTTAAGCTTCGAGGCGTCGAGACTGCTGAATGCGCGACTCGTGCGGTTCAGCGCTTGGCGCAGCATCGTTGTTTTCTCACCGGAGAGGCTTTTTGGATTGTGCTCTCCGTGTGTACTGCTCTCGTTGTAGCACGATGCGCTTGGCGTACTTGCTGCAGGTGGTAAGCGCTGTATGCGTGCGTGCTCTGACGCTCCAATTGCAGGCACAGATGCCACAATGGCTGCCAGCTTGGCATGCTCGAGTTTTGGACTGAGCGGGTTTCGCGCGCTCGCGCCCAGCCCTTGTTTTGCGGAAAGAGCAGTCCCGGATAATGATTACACCGCCTCCTTTGCGGCGCTTCGACCACCCCACCAAGCCAGCAGCCAGCTCGATGACAAGGAGCTGGAGCAAAGAGCTGGAGCTCAATTGCCGCTGATACGCGTCCCTGGTGGTATTGAACACGTGCTGGAAGCCTTTTTCGTTGTGCACGACAGCGCGCTCGAAGGAACTCTGCTCTCCTTGCGTGGAGAGCCCCCCTAGTTGCTGCAGCTCTGCCATGGGACGAGGACGACGACGACGCGTAGCGCTCTGCGCCGCCGTCCTCTGCCGACCCGCGCTCGCGCTCGCACCGCTCAACGGCGTGGCACCCGTGAAAACCGACCGCGTCGCCGAGCTCCGGAGGCAGCGCGCGGAGATCGACGCGGAGCTGGCAACACTCGAGGTGGGCCACCGGCACGCCACCGCGACCCCGAAACAACAGATCAGGGCATTGTACGACGCCTTTAATGCGCGCGATGGCCGCGCTGTTGCTGACTTACTAGCTGACGACGTGGTCTATGAGGACTTGCTGTTAGGAGAGTCCACAATTTGCCGGGGCAAGGCCGCGTTCTCCGGCGCGCTGGAGTGGCATCCTGCGTTCGTGTCGAAGAAATTGAACCTGCCCTTCGACCTGCAGCTCATCGTCGACAAAGTGGCCTGCGACGGGCAGAAGTCGGTGGGTGTCGAATGGCACGTCGAGGTTGATGGGAAGCCCTTCCCGTTGTCTCGCGGTTTATCTCTAGCGACCACCAACGCCGAGGGCAAGTTGGAAAGAGTCGTCGACATCGCCGAGGCGCCGTGGCGCGTCGTCGGGTTGTTGATCCGGCCGCTGCTGACGGCGTTCGGCGCGGGCGCCGCGGCGCTGGGCATCGGGGGGCTGGGCTACCTCATCGGGACGTAGCCAGCCGAAGACGAACATCATAAGCTATTGTGTGTGTTAGACTTTGTTATCGGTGGATGGTCTAGCGAAGGGGGGGGTGTTAGAGGGCCCGGGGGACTCGGATCCGAGTCCATAGGGTTCGTGCCCTCTAGGCTCTCGAGAGAGACCACGTGCGAGAGTCGCTGGTCCCCCCGCCGCCGCCGCCGCGACATCAAACGAATGGACCCTTACCCGAAGACGATCGACGACGCGCCGCGCTGCTGGTGGCGGAAGCGCTGGGACGACTGAAGCTTGGCCTCGGCCGCGTCGTCCTTCGCCTCGCGGCGCCGGTTCGGCGGGAAGCGCGGTTCCGCCCCGCCGAAGATGTCGGCCACGCTCTCCTTGGCCTCCCGTCGCACGGGCGAGGCCTTGCTCTCCCTTTGTTGTTGTCGAACTTCAGCCTTCACGTCGGACATCAGAGAAGCCATCTCCTTCTGCACGGCCCGCTCGAAATCCTCCTCCTGCTTCCTTTTGTCCGCCCGACGCACGGCCGCGAAGGCCGCGTCGACGCTCGCGTCAAAGTCCGGAATCGCGCCCACTTCGGCCGGCGCGCCCTGGCCGCCGAAGGCCGCCCAGCACTCCTCGCGGATGATTTCCTTCCGTCGCGCTAGCGCGGCTACTTTCGCGTCGAAGGCGCGGTTTTCGCCCTCTTGCGGCGCCGCGCTCGTGGTTGGGGGCGCTTTTTGCTGCTGCTGCTGTTGCTGGCGCTGGCGCCAGAGTCTCGCCCTTATTTCTTCTTCGTCCAAGGACGGCGCCTGGCCGAAGTGGGGGTTCCTTGGGCCTAGCGCCATTTTTATCGTTCGTTCGTGGGGCAGCCTAAGTTTGACAAGCCAGTGAATTATAAAACGTGATCCTGACCCCCTAATACCGAGGTATAAGGTACCATACCGATACCTTACTGCAGGACTCGGCGGCCGCGATTCTAGGCTCTGCTGCCTCTGCAGGGCGTATAAACACACGCGGCGCACCAGAGCGATTGCGCGCGCAGCTCGTTTGACCTCTGCAACCAGCCGCGAACGACTGCAGACCGCTTCGTATCGCGCAAACCATCAGCAGCCAAGTGCAGCACCAGGCAGCACCTACAGTAGCAGCCATGCACCCCCTCAAGAAGAAGAAGAAGCGTGTATTAGCCGGCAAGTCATTAGGAGTGGCACCGCCCGTCTTCGGTAGAGGCGGCCGGAGGAGGGTGCCGCCCGCGCGGAAGAAGACGCCTCCACCAGCACCGCCACCGCCGCCTCCTAAACCAGTACCACCAGTGCCGCCGCCCCCACCGTCCAACGAGACCTGGGACCAGAAGGCCTTGAGGGAGTGGCAGCTCGAGCAGGCTATTAATGAAGGCGGCGCGACCGCGCGCGACGCTTTGCTCAACTACCAGTTCGACGAAGAAGACATACGGTTCGCGAAGCAATTCGTCAAGGAGAAGATCGAGCCGTTGATGGAGGAGTCGAAGCGAGATTTCGCCGAGGAGAAGGAAGTGACCTGGACCGACCTCGGGTTACCTGAACAGCATCTCAATTGGGTCAGTAAGGACCAACTCCCGGCGAAGTTCTCGGATCGACCGAAGGACGAGCAGAAACGTATGTTAGAGGACTACAACGAAAAACTCAGAGTTTGTGTCGCGGAGATCGAGAAGCTCGGGAATAAGTCTGATAGGTATGTGGACCCTGAGCCTAGGTATGACGTGAAAGATGAGGAAGTTTTTGAATTACTCCCCGAGTCAGTGCGCCAGAAGACTAGGAAGTTTGGGATTGAGAAGTTCTTCCCTATACAGAGAGCAGCTTTACCTCTGACGATCGCGGAGGCTCGGGAAATGCACGGCCTTGGCCGGGACATTGCGGTGAGTGCGCCTACCGGGTCGGGCAAGACGCTCATCTACGCTTTGAGCGTCCTGAGCGGGTTGCACGACCGAAGGGTGCCTCGGGTGCGCGGCGTCGTCGTCGTACCGTCGCGAGAGTTAGCAAGGCAAGTGCACGCCGTGTTCGAAGCCCTGAAGCCGGAGATGGAGGACATACCGATGCGGATCTGCCTGGCGGCGGGCCAGCCCGACGAGCAGGTCCTCATAGAACCGAATTGGGACCTGATCCCGCCGTCGCGGCGGCCGCGGCCGGCCGAGGGCAAGTGGGGCTTCTGGCAGCTCCACAAGTTCCCCTTCCCCGACCTCGTGCCCGAGGAGGACCGCGAGCCCGTGCCGCAAGGTGGTATTGTGGACGGGCAGTGTGATGTGATTGTAGCTACTCCAGGTAGGTTGGTGGACCTCGTGGAGAATTTACGCGGTTTTACGCTACAACACGCCCGTTACTTGATAGTGGACGAGGCCGACCGGCTGCTGGACCAGTCGTACCAGGACTGGGCGCAGATTGTCTTGGATGACATGCACCAGAACCTGGAGGGCTCGGCCAAAGTGACGCCCGACTTCCGGCCGTTTGACGCGACGACGCGACGACCCTACAACCTGAATGCTCCCGGTGCGCCCCATCCTTGGTATAGAACCCGATTGTCCAAGTTCCTATTCTCTGCTACACTCGGAGACGACCCCCAGCAGCTGAACGCGATGAAGCTCTCGCGGCCGTTGTTTTTGTACAGTGCCGTCGTCGACGGCCAAGAGATCGTAAAACACTTGGACGGCCTGAGTGCCGAGCGCTTCTTCAAGGATGAAAAGGCCGACGACCACGCGCGGAGCCTCCCGGCCGGCCTCACGGAGTCCGCGGTCTCCTGCGACGCGGCGTCGAAGCCCGTGGCTTTATTTGCGTTGTTGGAGCGGGAGCGCGCGCAGTGCCGGCTGATCATCGTCTTTTGCAACTCGGTCGACACGGTGACGCGGCTGGCGCACCTGGCGCAGCTCTGGTGTTTGCGGAGGCAGTGGCTCGGGGGCGAGGAGTGCGTCCTGGCCCTGTCGTCGGCGGCGGGCGCGGCGCGGCGGGACGCGATCATCAAGGAGTGTCGGAGGCGCTTAGATGAGGATGACATGCCGTGTACGGTGCTCGTCGCGTCCGACGCCCTGGCGCGCGGCGTCGACCTGCCTTCCGTGTCGTTAGTGATCAACTACGACGCGCCCCGGGACGCGTCGAACTACGTCCATCGCGTCGGCAGGGCGGCGCGCGCCGGCGCGACCGGCCGCGCAATCACGCTGATCAAGCGCGGCCAGGACAAGGACTTCGACCGCGCGCGGCGGAAGGTCGCGCCGCCGACGAAGGTGCCTCGTGAGTCCGTCGGTGCGCTGAGTTCGTATATCCCGGACTACAAGAGCTGCCTGGGCGGCTTGGAGGCGCGCTTGGGGACGGGTCGAAAGCTGCGCCAGCCCGCGGGCGGCTTCGGGCGCGGGTTTCTGAACGCACCGGCTCGCTCGCGGTCGTCGTCCTCCTCCAGTGCGCCGGCGCCGGCGCCGCGGCGGTCGCGCTCGCGGTCGAATTCGTCGTCGTCGGGGTTCCGGCGCGGGTTCCTTGGTTGAGGTGTTGTTTGTTGTGTAACCGTGTGAAATTTATTTACTACTAGAAGTTACAACAAACAATCAAAGCTCGCCCAACGCCGGCGACGACGCGTCCTCGACGACGAACGTCCGCGTCCTCGAGCCGACCTGCTCCTCCGCGTCGCCCAGCGAGTACGGCAACCCGTCGTAGGCCCACTCTAAAGCCTCAGTCTTGTCCTCGAGGAACCAGCGCGGCGCGTCGCGCGGGCGATAGTGGGCAAACAATGACACGAACGCGTCTCCTTGTAAAGGTACCTCGCGCCCGTGCAGGCATTTCGCTGACTCGTAGAAGAGTAGCTCGCCCGGTTCCATCGTCACGTTCGTCATCTCTCCTGAATGCAGGTCATAGATTTGCAAAGGCCACGCCTCGTCCATGCCGTACTGGCCGATGTTCACTATTACTGAGGCGGCGTGCGTCTCCTCCCGGTCGACATGAGGCATCAGCGTGCTCCCGCGCGTGTACCGCCGGAGGCCGTAGAGGTCCGTGTCCTCCAATTCTACATCACCGATCCACGCCTCCACGAGCGGCCGCAACGCGTCGTGCCACCTTCTTTTGAGCCCGAACGGAAGGTAGCACATCTCAGGAGGCGCAGACCACCAATTCACGTGAGCGCTGTCGGCACCCCACTCCTCATACACGAGACAGGTCGCGGCGTTATTGTACCAGTATGTGGCAATATCCGCAAAAAGAGCAGGTGGTAAGGGCGCCCTATCATAACCGCGTTTGGTCCACGTCCTTTTGACGCGGTTCGCGCGGTTCTGTTCGAACTTTCGGAGGTCGTCCTCCGTGCGCTTCCACTGCTCGGCGCTGCGCTTTGATATAGGCCGAGGAGCTGCGACGATTGTGTGAATGGCGTCGTGCGTCGCCTCGTATTCGCCCAGCGTTTCGCCGGAAGCTTCTTCGACGACCACAAACCTATGCCCCAGGCCGGCGGTGAGCCAGACCGTGCCCTCGTCTCCCGGGATCAAACGCCGCTGCATATGCCTCTCACCGGACCGCGGGTGCACCCAGTAGACGTTTGCTGCGTTTCCATAGGTGATGAAGCCCAGCTCGACGGCGGAACAGTCGCGGTCGTACCACTCATCTAGTTCTTTCTCGGCGGCGTGGGCCCTTGAATGGTCGCCAGCCTCGAGGGCCGCGTCGATGGTGTCGCCAGCGTAGCGTCGTAGATCGGCCGTCGCGGCGACAAGGGCAATGGGCGCGCCTCTCAGTAGACACACGACTCCACAATCCTCGACCTTGAGCAGTCTCGCTAGTTCTCCGCCCGCGACGGCGGCTTCGCGTGGCTCGCGTAGCTGGTCCAGCCTCAATTGGGTGCGCTCGCAGCCGGCACCGGTCACGACGAGATTGCGGTCAAGGCGTGCGCGGGCATCTTTTGGGAGCTGTGCTGCGGTGTCATAGCTCGGCCAGACGGCAGCTGTGATACGTATACAAAGCAAAAGCGCAGGGATGCGCATCGCGTTACAAGTGCTAAAGACCAGTAAGGCGTGGTGCGCGAATGCAGCGCTGGCGGCACAGCTCTAAAACCTTGTGAAATGACGAATGCGTGCGATTGAGCCGGTAGGACGACGGCGCAAGCAAAAATTTGCTAGCTAGCGGCTTAAAGACACTAGCCTGGACGAGTCTTGCGTGTGAAGTTGGCCAAACAAGCGCATACGTACCCGCTGTGCAACGCCAGCCGCGCAGCGCGACTTCAATAGCTGTGCTGTGCAGCTGCAGCAACGAGCACGAGCAAAGCCTAGCCCACCATCCCAATCACCTGGGCGAGCCTGCAGTGTCGGACAGCATCCGTGCCCTGCGCAACGCGACTAAAGAACAGTGCTGAACATGGGCAAGAAACGCCGCCGCACGAGCAACCAGCGCGACGACACCTGGACCAAGGGCCCGGAAAAGCCGGCGGACGCCGCGCGCCGTCTCAAATGCGCGCGGCGCTTCGAGGATTATTATAGGCAGCAGCTCGGCCTCGACGACGAGGAATGGCGGCGCATGATGGCGACCTTCAGAAAACCGCTGCCGGCGACGTTCCGCGTGACCGCGCCGGACGGCCTCGCGCGCAAGATCGAACATGAGTTGAGGGAGGTGTGTGGGCGGTGCGACGCCGCCGCGGCGCGCATGCGGAGCGAGGGCCCGACCGCGGCGGATCTGGAACGCTTCTCGCGCGACGCGGAACCGGCGGCCTCCGCGGCGGCCTACCACGCCTTCGCGACGGCGCCCCTGAACCTCACGAGTTTGGACTGGATCCCGAACCGGCGGGCCTGGCGCGTCGACGCCGAGCGCGCGGCCCTGCGCAAGTCGCCGGCGCACAAAGAATTACACACTTTGCTCGTGGCGCACGAGCGGGCAGGTACGATAACCCGCCAGGAGGCCGTGAGCATGGTGCCTCCTCTCTTCCTGGCTTGTCGACCGGGCGACCGCGTCCTCGACACCTGCGCCGCGCCGGGCTCGAAGACGTCGCAGCTCATCGAGGCGGTGTTCCCGCCCGGGTCCGGTGATTTGAAGGATGCTTCAGGTTTAGTGGTCGCGAACGACGAGGACCTCAAGCGGACGCATACGTTAGTGCACCAGCTGAAGCGGTTGGGCGCGCCGTGCTGGGCGGCGACGCACGGCGACGCGCGGCTCATCCCGACGCCGCGCGATCCTGATGGACGCAAGTTATTGTATGATAAGGTCCTGGCGGACGTGCCTTGTTCCAGTGATGGCACTCTCCGGAAGACGCCGGGTGTCCTAGATCGATGGTCGACGGCGACAGGCGCGTCGCTCCACGCGCTGCAGGCGTCGATAGCCGTGCGGGCGGCGCAGCTCGTCAAGCCCGGCGGTACACTTGTTTATTCCACGTGTTCCCTGAACCCCGTCGAGGACGAGGCCGTGGTCGCGGAGTTGCTGCGGGCGGACCCGTCGCTGACGGTAATCGAGGACCCGCGCGCGCCGCAATTAGTAAGACGGCCGGGCCTGACGACCTGGAAGGTCTTGGACGAAGGCGACGATGGGTTAGTGGAGTACGCGTCGCCCGGCGACGTCCCCGAGGGTAAAATGCGCCGTTTCCGGCCCTCGGTCTTCCCGCCGACGGACTCACGCATCCAAACGCAGCTCACGCGCTGCATGCGCTTCCTGCCGCACGACGCCGACGCCGGCGGCTTCTTCGTCTGCGTCCTGCGCAAGGAAGGTTCTACAGTCGCGGAAACGGCGACGACCGAGGTGCCGCCGAAAAAAGACAAGCCCGACGGCCGCCAGCTCTCCGAGGACGTGAAGTACGTACGCTTCCGGGACGCCGCCGACACGGCGAAGTTGGCCGCCTTCTTCGGCCTCGAAAACTTCCCCTGGGAGCTGCTGGTCTGCCGGTCGGGCGCCGACAACGCCATGGCGACGCAGCAGTCGGCGAAGAAGGTCGTGCTGGGGACGCCCGCGTGCGCCGCGTTATGCGAGCGCGCGAAGCAACTCCGGCTGCGCGTCGTCCACGCGGGCGTGATCACCTTCGCGCGGACCTCGGAGTCGGCGGGCTGCGCGGTCGACTACCGCCTGTCCCAGGACGGCGTCGACCTCGTGCTGCCGTTCCTCACTAAAAGACGCGTCGCGTGTGGGAGAGGGGACTTCGAGAAGCTGCTGGCGGGCGGCTCGCACGGGCCCGAGGCCTTCTCCGAGAAGGTCCGGGCGGAGGTCGCGGCCCTGGGCGCGGGGTCCGTCGTGTTTGTGCTGGAGGACGGGTCGGCGCGGCCGCCGGCGTGCGTCGCGTGGCGCGGCCTCCAGGGCTACGTCTCGGTGTTCGCGGGGAAGGAGGACCTGGTCGTGCTGCGATCGCGGCTGGGGTAAGAGTTCCTAGAGGTAAACCCGGTCCCGGCGCGCGACGGTGATGTTCTTCTTCGGCCCAGACGGGAAATTGGCCGTCGTTCAATCAAACGACAAGCCAGATCATGGGAAACCAAACTCTAGGCACACTGTATTATTTAGCGCAACAGCCTTCGCGGCGGGCCAGAAGACCTACGACATCAGGGTCACGAACGTTAACTCGAAGCTCACTCTTTACGTGGACGGCGAGCTCGACAGCTCCGTGCAAGGAACCGCGACGTACATGCCGCCCGAAGGTGTCGGTAGACTGATAGTGGGGTGGGATGCAGGATTTGTCCCACCCTACCTGCCGGCCCAAGCCATCATCTCCGACGCTCGCTTTGCCGACCTGGACCTAGGCCAAGACGAGGTCCTCCCCATCTCCAAGCACAGCTACTGCGTCGAGACGAAGTTCTGCTCCAGCAAGCCCTGCACGAACACGACGGCCGCCACGAACCTTACGGTCACGCGCTGCACGACGGGCCTCCAGTACGATACGGCGACGAACCGTTCACGCATGCAGGGTCTGCCTGACGCAAGCAGATTGCGACGGGTCGGAGATCTGCGAGTTCCCCAGCGCGCGCCGCGGGCTCCGCTTCGGCAGCATCCAGCAGGAGGGATGCTGCCACGCGCGCTAAGCGCGCATCAAGGCGCAAAACGGCAAAATACAAGGTAGGCGATTTGCCGCGCGCGACCATCAAGCCTCCACCGCCCGCCGACATCATAGTCGGCGGGCTATCCGACGTCGCCGAGCCGAGCAGACGCGACGCTGGACGCGCTCAGATGACCTGGACGCAAACCACACGCTGACGTGTGGCATTACCACACAATCGATGCCCTCCCCTCGACCACAGTACGAGTTCCGCGGCGGTTTTTCCTCCGCCACACCGATGAATCGTACGGGGGAGCCGTGTCGCCGCCGCGCCGACCATTCGTCGGCGCGGCGGAGAAGCGCCGCAAACGAGTTCGGCCCACCTGATGCTCTTAGGCGGGCCGTCCACGCAGAGCGATGAGGACCTGATGACGATCCAGTCCGTGTCGAACCCCCGTCGTTTCCCCTCCCCTCCCGCCGTGCTGCCGCCCGTCCGACGCCCGCCGCCGCCGCCGCCAAAAAACGAACCGCCGAGATCCATCGTGATACCACCCCCGGGCCCGCGTAAGCTTTCTGGATTCGCAAACTATCGTCCGAGGGATCCGCCATCGTCGCTGCCCAAAATACTACTCACGCGCTTAGCCAACAGCCTACCGCAGCTCTTTCAGGCTCGTACATCATCCCGAGCGACACGGCCAGGTGGACGCCGTCGAACGACGGCGCGATGGCCCGGATCTTGTCGGGCAGGACGTCCTGCTGCAGGTAGTCGCCTCCTTTCAACGCGTCCCAGACGCGCAGCGTCCGGTCCGACTGGCCCGAGGCCAGCAGGCACTTGCCCGTCTTCGGGCACGCGAAAAAGGCCACGGCCGTCACGACGGCCCCCGGGTTCATCAGCACGAGCAGGGGCCCGCCGCCTTTGATGGGGTCCCACACCCCGACGCTGCAGTCGTAGGCGCCCGACGCCACGAGCGGCTTATTGCCGTTCTGGGCCGCGGCGACGCAGTTGACGCCCTCGACGTGGCCCCGCAACGTCAAGAGTTCTTTCCCCGTCAGGAAGTCCCAGACCTTGACGAGGTTGTCGTGCGACCCCGTCACCAACCGGGGCCTGCCGCGGTCGTGGAACGTCGCCATGCCGTAGACCATGTCCGTGTGTCCGGTGAGCATCGTCGTCGTGTTTTTCGGAGGAGGTGGTGCATTGGGCTTCGGCGGGCCGATGACCGCCTCCTTGGACATGGTCCGTATCCGCAGCGTCGTCTCGCCCTCGTTGCGGCCGCCCGTCGCCAGACATAAATAGGCCTGCTTGTCGTAGACATATACAAGTAGTCCAGTAGCCATCGCCGGCAAGTCAATCGTGTAGATCGGGGCGCCGCCCACGAGGGGATCCCAGATCTTCACGCTCTTGTCGAAGGAGCCGGACGCGATCCTGGGAAATCCGCCGTACGCCGCGCCGTGGTGCGGGTCGAGGTACGTACACAAGCACCGCACCCAGCCCCGGTGCCCAGCCAGCACGACGATGCACTGGCCGTTGCGCGGCTCCCAGACCAGCACCAAGCCATCATCGGATCCCGTGACGACCAATGGGGTGTGCGTCGCGGGGTTGTCGAACGTCGCGACGCAGGACACAGTCAAACGGTGGTGGCCCTCGAAATGTGTACATTCTTTGAAGAAGCGCTTGTTCGTGTTTTCGGTGGTGACGCAGTGGGGGTAGATCTCCTTGAGGGTCGCGGGGGCTCGCGGCGGTTCCGCTTTGGCGGCGCGCGCCTTCGCCTTCGGCTTTGGGGGCGGGACGGGCGGCGGGGCGCTGCCGCCGATCTTCGTGATGCGGCCGAGCGTCAGCTTCGGGAGGTCCTTCTTCTTCCTTCCTTTTGGGGCGGCCGCGGGCTTCTTTTTGGGGGCGGGCCGCGGCTTCGCCTGGCGCATGGGCACGTCGTCGTCGGGGACGAACTCGTCGTCGCTGTCGTCCATCATCATCCTCTCTCGTTGCGTTGCGCCTTGCGCGGCGGCGTCGGGAGAGCACTGCTGTGTTGGGATGGGAGCCTTGCAGCGTGTGCTAGCTAGTCGCAGCGATGCCAAGCGATCGGCGCGGATGAATTACGTATCAACAGGAGCGCTACCTCTTAGCTGCAATCTCCCGCGGCACACTTCACGCGCAGCGACCCCGATTGTCCAAAGCTCGTACCTAGCTAGCCCCACTAGCCCGCCCACACCGTAGCTATCCAGCCAGACATCGCTCCCGCAGGAATGCTTCCCCGACGAGTAGCAATCCACCAACCCGCGTGCGCGCGGCGGCTGTTACACAGCGCGGGCAGCAGCGCCACAAGCTCGTAGTCGCAACGCCCCCATCCCGGGCAGCCAAAAACAGGCAACGAAACGATGCCCGCCTACTACGGCCGTGCGCGGCGCGACTACGAGCCCGACGTCGTCTACGTCGAGCCCCGGCGCCGTAGCTACGACTATGACGATGACCGGCGCGCGCCGCGCGAGAGTGAAAGAGAGCGCGAGCTCCAGGACGAGTTGAGAAGAACGCGCCGCGCGCTGCTCGAGATGCGCCAGGAGCGGGCGGCCGTCGACGTCGCCGAGCGGCCGCGCTTCGTGGCGATGTCGCCGAAGAGACGCGGCGACGCCGTCCAGGGCTTTGCCGAGCGTCGAGATGACTATGATGATGAGGAATTTGTCGTCGTCGAGCGGCGCCGGCGCGACGACGACGTCTTTGCGGAGCGGCGGCCGCGCGACGACCCGGTGGTCGTGTGGCAGGCGCCGCGGCGGTATGACGACGAGGACGAGCGCGACGATTCAAGGTTAGCGCCGCTGCCGCGGCGGGACTGGTTCCACGACGGCTACTCGCGGGAGTCGAGACGGTACCCGGGCTCGCGGCGCCAGCGCTACTCGCAGGAGGGCTGGCGCGCGCCCCGCGAGGACCGGAGCGACACCGCGCAGTGGGAGTGGTGCGGAAGGGTGGTGCGCGCGGCGCCTCCATTACCTCCACGCGTGGAACCGCCGCGCGTGAAAAGTACCCGTCAAAGGCAGGACGAGGCCGTCGAGCGGCTGGAGAAGCTCTGCGTCCAGGCCGACGAGCGCGCGAAGCGCGCCGAGGAGCGCCAGGAGGCCCTCGCGAAGGAGCTGCGCGAGACGCGGCGCGACTTGGAACAAGTCGCCGCGGCCGCGGGCACGCCGGTCAAGAAGCCGGTCGAGGACGAGGTCGTCGACGTGGACGAGTTGAAGAGAGAGAACGAGGCCCTCAAGGCGAAGCTCGCGGAGGCCGAGGCGAAGGCGGCCGCGGCGATCGACGCGTGAATAACACGAAGTCTCTTAGCACACACTACTACGACCGCGGCACGCCGTACTTGTCCTGGATCGCCTCGAGGAGGACCTCCTCGTTGCCGGGGCCCGCCTCGTCCAGGAACGCGTCGATGTTGTCGAGCTTCTCGGGGTTGTGCACGGCGTAGATGCTCGCGATGTCCGCGCGCACCGCGGCCCGCGACCGGGCCGGTCTCGCGACGGGCGTCCGGGTCTCGCCAGGCGTCCAGGCGTCCAGGCGGCGCCGCGCGTCGCGGTACGCTATAGCTTCGTCCCGCTGCAGGCGCGCGGCCATCGCGGCGTCGTCGTCCTTCTCCTCGGGCACGGCGGACCCCTGCGTGAGCTCGGCGTTCTGGAGCCGCAGGGCCAGCGCCGCGTCCGCGCGTTCGCGCTCCTGGTGGCTCACGGTCAGCCGCTCGATGCGGCCCGCGACCTGTCGGACAAGCGCCGGGTCGACCTCGACGGCCGCCGCCGTGGGCACGACCTCCGCGGCCTGCAGCCGCCGCGCGAGCGCCGCGTCCGGGTCGTCGGCGCCCGAGAGCCGCCGCGCCAGCGCCGCGTCCTGCGCCGACTTGTCCTCGGCCGCGAGGCGCGCGAGCGCCTCCTCTGTCAGAGTGTCGCTGTGCGCGTTGAAGGCCACCGGCTCGCTCGCTGCGGAGTTCTCGGCGTCCTGCAGGCGCGCCGCGAGCGCTTCGTCCTCCGCGAGGGCGTTGACGGCTCTTGCTTTTATTGCGTTCTCCTTCTCGGCCTCGGCCGCGATGAAGCGCCGGCGGCGCTCGGAGGCGGACATCAAGCCTGCTACTTCCTCCTCCGGTGTGACTTGCGTGTAGGAGGCCATTTTTTTTAATTTGCTTTGCTTAGAGCTAGGCCGCCTAGCCGCGACCCGCCGCGGGGTTATTGTTGCTGGCAACTTTGCGGGTAGCTGGCAACTTTTGCTGCGGGCTGTCTAACGATGTGCTCGTCCGACAGGTGTTTGATGTCGGCCAGCACGATGCGAATCTGCTGTCCGCGAGCTCTCTAGTCAGCTTGTGACGTTTGTGTTTGGCTTCACAAAAATTTCTTTTAGGCTCGCTAGAGCCTAAGAGCCGCTAGCTTGAGTATTGCCAAGAACTCATTCGAGTATCCTTCAGTTCGATACTGGTCCACAGAGACAAATAGGACGACTCCTGGGGGGTGAAAAAATTAATTTCTTGACGTCGCGATATTGACGACGCCGCCATGACGACCGCGCCGATGGAATCCAGTCAATTCGCGGTCCAGAGGCCTCCCGGGGGTCGCCTAGGGTCGATACTAGACATGTGCAATCGCCTACGCCGCAAGCGCGGGCGCTTCGATCGGTGGATACATATCAGTACAGGTCCCCAGCCAGACATCGGGCTTGAGCACAAGTCGGACAACTTCTCGATCCAGAGCTCTCGGGGAGCACCAAGAACCGGCGCAGGCGCTATAGGCGACTACCCGATCTCAGACCTATCCCAGAGGGCGTCCGAGAGCCGATCTACATCCGAAAAAAGTAAACAATTTGGACCCGATGGCGCCCCGTCCCCCGTCAAAACGTCAATTACCCGAGGGCCCCCAGTAGTCGCCGTAGCGGTCTCGCTGGGTCCCATACTACCCCAGCGATAGTCAACTACGAGTATATGACATCTACACCACGAGAAGGGTACTTTGGGCCGACCACGCTCGGGACGTGAACATCTTGATCTGGACCTCGCGTAAGTCGGTCGATCATGAAACAAATGATCGAGTTATGGTCCATGGTGATGGTACACGGGCTGATGGTCGCAGGTCCGGTGTTGCACCCCATATGAGTGAGATCGTGCGCTCGCGAGTTGGCCGAGCCGCCCGGTGATTTATGGACAAGTAATTAAATGTAGTAGACGTTCAACCCGGTTGGATGGCTCATCTGGTAACCGAACCGCCTGAAACGCAAATTTATTTTATAACTCACCGGTCTGGGGCCTTTCCGGTGCTCCGTCAACGTACCGTCGTCCGCGGAGAACGGGCAAGTCGGTCGATCGTGAATAGAACAACGGCGTTATGGTCCATCTGGGTAGTGGCGTCGCTGATACTCGCAGGTATTGGTTCTGCACCCCCCTTTGTATAAACGCGGGGGCTCGAAGTCGCTTCGCCGTGAGGCTCTAACGGGACATCTAATGTAGCTCAGTCACGCCGAGGCGATTAAGATGGAATCTACCACTAACAAACGGAAGGAAACGAACATAAACTCGGGAGTTGTCTAGTAGAATTCTTTTTCTGCTCTCCGAGCGCGGGCCGTCGGCTCCGGTTCCGTCGAACTTGTATGAAAACTGGGCTGGAGTGTATATGATGTACTATATGGACGGTAGATGGCGGCGTCAAACGCTGGTGTAATTTGGCGAGCCGCAAGACTCAGTGAGCTAGCGTATGGACACACTAGGAATTGATTTCAGGGCGGATCTGGGCATTGGCCAGCGGGCCCCGTCCGCAGACCATGGGCTGCCATTCGTCGAAGCAAAATTCATCGACGCTGGTCGCGCCGCCCTTCGGAGTGATCCGATTGGATGCTTGGCAGCGAGAGCAGCTGAAAGAAATGGAACGGGCCGCGCCCAATCTCGTGGCCTACCACAAGCAGACCATGCAGGTCACTGGCGAGCTGATGGGCGCTGGGTGCGCCGCACCATTCCTGCTGGCCCGCTTGCTGGAAGCGCACAACCCGAAGCTGCGAGCTCTGGCGCGGGCCTCGTTCGAGGTGCACGACACCAGCAGGACCGGCACGCTCAGCCGGGAGGAGAGCCAGACCTTCTTCGACGACTACGTGAGAATCGCAGTCTTCATCAACATGGCCGTCACGCACCACATGCTGGCAACGGACGGGGGCCCGGCCCTCGAGGCGTTGAAGCCCATGATGCGTCAGCAGCTCCAGCTGCTGCACCAGAGAACCGCCCCGGGCCATCGGCCAGAGGGCTTCGACGGAAAGAGGCGGGACGAGGCCGCCTTCGGGGTTCTCGACAAGAATGGGAACGGGCAGCTGGTGGAGGAGGAGGTCGTGGAGGCGCTGACACTGGGGACCCCGCAGCAAAACCAGCTGATGTTGGCGCTCGGTATCAAGGACGCCGCGCTGCTCAAGAAGACGATAGAAGAATTGCACGAGCAGATAGTCGCACAGGACATTGAACTGGAGCAGTTAGAAAATGTGAAAAGGGAACTGCCACCTATCCCGCGGTCGCCCGGCGGCACCATGACGCTCGCCGACGGGACCGTGATCCACTCGTCGGTGGCGTCAGGCGTGTGAGCGCGCGAGTGCGCGAGCAGGAAGTGGGGTCAACGACGCTTTTACAACCGAATGACTGGTTCGTCAGTCATGCCACTTCATCGACTTTGCCGGCGATCTGCGGCACAATCCGACAAACTTCCTCGAGCACTAGTTAAATAATCCATTCCTAGTTACGACCTCACAGCCCCGCGTGCAGCGCCGGGTCATCGTTGGGATCCACCTCGGCCTCGTCCTCCGCGGGATCGGCGAAATCAATCCGCGTCCGCTTCGGCGCGGGCGCGTCCTCCTCGACGTCCTCGCCCCTATCGCGAGCAGCGTCGCGCTTCGCCCGCTCCTCGTCCTCGGCCTCGCACTGGTCGATCCACTCGGAAAAAACGTCGACGGGCTCGCTCAGGTAGTTGATCGTCGCCGTGTACGTCGCGGCGCAGACGCGGCACTCCAGCGTCCCCGTCTCCTTATCATAATCCATCTTCGCGGCGACGCATTTCTCATAATTACAAAAGGGGCACTTGAACTCCGTCTGCATCGTCGGCTGCTTTTTTTTGACGACCTTGGTGGCCTTGGCGCGGCGGCGGCCCATGGCTTCTGGCGGCGCGCTGCGGCGTCGAGTTCGCCTGGCAGGGCACACCAGTGTGCAAGGCCGGGGCGGGCGGCGGGAGCTAGCTGGGGCGTTTGTGGCTGTGTCAGGAGTCGCGCACGAGGCCACGTATCGACAAATTGAGCGTACTGCGCGCAAAAAGCGAGCACAGGCGCAAATTCGCTAGCTAGCGTCCTGTAACACACTAGCAAACAAGCTGCGCGGTGGCGGCGGTCAGTCCCATGGGAGGAGGCCTAGTTAGGACTCCTCTACGGAGTCCTCCCTAGGCTGACTGTCTGTAGAATACAGTCCAAAACGGGTTTTTGAAAAAAACCCGGTGCCGCTTGCCGTGGGACTGGGCGGCGGTGCGGCTGTGCCAGCACCGTGCCACGCTCACAGCGCTCCTACGTGACCTTTGAGCATCGCTGGCGACACACCGCCAGCGCTGCGACACGTGGGAGAACAGCAGCGATGCGCTGCCACTACGCCGTCCTCGGAGTGGCAAGAGGCGCCACGGAAGACGACATCCGCAAGGCCTACCGCCGGCTCGTGATTGCGCTCCACCCGGACAAGGCGCAGCAGCGCGGCGAGGACCCACAAAAGGCGACCGAGGCCTTCCGCGAGGTGCAGGCCGCCTACGAGTGCTTGTATGACGAGCAGGAGCGGGCCTACTATGATGCTCATAGGGACGCGATCTTGAGGGGAGAGGACCCGGACGACTACGAGGTCGAGGAGCCGCCGCAGCAGAAGAAGAGGAGAGGACGAGCGAAACGCGACCCCGAGGACGTCTGGGACGCCTTCGAGGCCGAGCTCTGGCCCTTCTTTTCGCGCGAAGCGTTTGCGGAGTTCGACGATAGCGAAAGCGAACAGGTCCTCATCACGGAGGACTCGCTGACAAAAACGATAGCGCGTATACTGCTGGTGGGCGTCCAGGCGGCCCAACGCCTCGCGCCGTTCCTAAACTTCCTCTGGACGCCCCTCGAGCGCTTCTGCGTGAGAGCTGCGACGACGACGACGACGACGCCGCCGGGCTTCTTCCCCTGCTTCCGCGACGCCTTCGAGTGCGTCAACGCGGCCGAGCGCCTCGCGGCCCAGGCGAACGGTGCTGTTTTTGAGGCGCTGCCGGCCTTTGGGGGGTCGGGCACGGCGTGGCCTCAAGTCCATAGGTTCTACGCGTCTGCTCGAAGCTTCCGGAGCTGCCGGGGGTTTAGGGAGGCCGAGCCCGATTCACTAAGGGAGGCGTTCGACGCGGCCTTCGACCGGAAAGAAAGAAGACGCGTCGAGAAGCAGCTGGCCGCGTGTAGAACGGAGGCGCGGCGCGCGTACGAAGGACAAGTGAGGAAGCTCGCGGACTTCTGCCGGCGGCGCGACCCGCGCGTCGCGTTGAGGCGGCGCCAGGTCGCCGAGGCCGAAGCGCGGGAGGCCGAGGAGGCAGAGCGGCGCGCCGAGGAGGCGCGGCGCCTCTTTCAGGAGAAGCGCGCGGCGTGGTTGCGAGAAAGGGCGGCGGAAGTGAAGGACGAGCCGGAAGGGGCGCGCTTCGACCCCGACGACGAGGTCGTCGTGGAGTCCGAGGAGGAGGATGCCGTTGCGGACGAGGAGGTCCGCTGCGAGGTCTGCGACAAGGCGTTCGGCTCCGCGGCGGCGCTCGCGCGGCACTGCCAGTCGAAGCCGCACCGCGCGGCGCTGAAGAAGCGGCGCAAGGCTCCCGTCGTGGCCGCGCCGGTGGCGCCCGACGACGCCTCGTCGTCGTCGGACTCGTCGGAGGACTCGCCGGGCGGGCTTGCGAACCGGTTCGCGGCGATGGCGACGGAATAGTTGTTTGTTAAATGTGATTGTGTCTTATAGGACTTCGCCGGTGGTGGCACACGTCGCGCGCCAGAACTTGAGCACGTGCCAGCACATTTCGTTCGGGAGGCGGAAGACGGGCTCGAGGATCGGGTCGGCCGTCCTCGCGCGACCGCGGGCTACCAAGCTCCGAAGTCTTAAAACACGCCGGCGAGGAAGACGTGCGTAGGCGGCCCACGTCCCTCCCGCCGCGCGGACGCCCTCGATGAGAGAGCGGATCGCGACCCAGTCCCTGTTATCGCGCAACCCATCGATTTCGCGTTCGATAGCTCGTACTAGGTCGTCGACCGAGTCAAAAATGCCGTAAGGGCCTGTATCAATTCGAATATCCAGAGACGCGCCTGCTCTGAGTAGCTCGGAGACCAGAGCCACGCGATGTCGGTTTGGCCTGTCTTGTCCCGCACAAACAAATTGAATCGCACTTATGAGTGGGGTTTCATTCCTGCGATTTCGCGCGTTGATGTCGGCACCTGCATCGATCAATACGCGCCGCATCTGTCTCGCAAAAACAAAAGATGCGTCGATATCCACTGCACGTACTGTATCGCCGCCGACAGCTCCATGTACGAGAACGCGGAGAGGAGGCAGACGCCGCCCGCTATCATCCAGCAGAGCGCCGACGACGGGCCCGCGACGGGGTAGACTTCGCCCGTGAGCACGAAGACGCCGCTGCCGACCGTGCCGCCGATGCCGATGCAGAGTAAATCAAAAAGCGAGAGGCTCGCCTCCTCCTCGTTCCCTTCCGCCTCGAGCGCGAATTCGTCGAGCGTCTTGCGTCTATTGGTTTTGTCACACTGGACCATTGTTGTCTCGTCGTCGCGCGTCGTCGCGTGCGCCGTGTGCGTTTGAAGGGAGAATACTTAAGCGGTCACGAACGCTAGACTAACTCTTGCGTCGGCGAAGCTGAGTACGCGGAGAAACGCTCAAAGGCGCTTGACAACTGAGGCCTGCAGTCCTAAATTCTTTGCTGAACTATGCTGTCCTGCGCACTAGCTTGCTCGCGCGGTGCACCACGCGTCGAAGGGCAATCACGTGAGTCAAAACACGACAATACGAGTGAACTCCCAACGACTGCGCGTTATTGCCGGGGACTGGTGGTCGTGAGTGCGACTGAACTCGGCCTGTGAGTGAGACCACCTGCCACCCTCGTTCAGGCATCAATTTGAAGCCGCACATATCTCGCGAAGAATAACTCGACCTAGCGGCCTGTATGACACTAGCAAAGCATTGCAATTGTAGTGCCCAAGCTTGGGTGCGGCTTTGATCCAGCCCCAAGCGAAGCAGCAGACAAATCTAAAGCACTCGCGAGCTGTGCCGACACCAGTTGACAAAGCGGAGGCAGCGATGCGACAAATTGCAGCCCTAGCTCTCCTTGCGACAGGGAGGGCCTTTGTCCTCCCTGCCAATGCACCGCGCACGACGACAGTAAAAGCCGACATGCTCGTTGATGCGCCACTCGACCTCGTCCGCTCATACCAAGCGGAGATGATCGGCCAGTACCTCGACGATGTCGTCGCCGAGCCGCTCGACCTCGTCCGCGACCACCACGCGTACATGTGGGAGGAGTTCGCGGACCAGGCGCGGACGCCGCTTGATTTGGTGAGCAGCTTCCACGAGGGTCTCTCAAGAGAACACCGCGCGGCCGACGTGTCGCAGCTCCGCTCGCCGTGGGGCCACGCCGGCTAGAAAGGGCGCCCCGCGACCTCTCCCCCCATCGTCTGTGTAACTTTTCGTCCGATACCGATTCATCTTTTGTCGAGGCGCCTCAGCTCGCGGGTTGCGCTCCGCCGCCGCGAATTTGCCAGACTGCCCAAAATAAGTGGAGCAGGGCCCCCAAACAATCAGATGGGCTGCCGCGCAGGCCCGACGGGCCTTATGAAAACGATAGGCTGCCTCGTCTGGTTCGCCCTCGCTGCCGCGGCGCACGAGCACAAAGTAGCAAAGGTGCACCACACGGCCACGGGCCAGCCCGCGCGGCGCCTCGGCCGCACGGCCGAGCTTTCGGTAATAACCGACGACCTGCACTTGAAATTAAACTTGGAGGCCGACTTCGGCGCCTTCCACCGGAGCTACACGGAGCTCTCGATGGGCCCGGACGGCACCTCCACCACGCGCGCCGGCGCGCGCGGCTGCCACTACAAGGGGTCCGCGACGGACACCAAAACTGGAGAGGGCGGCCGCGTCACGGCGCGCACGTGCGCCGGCTACCCGGAGGCCGTCGTCCGCATGGATGGGGGCCGCGTGCTCGAGCTCGCGTGGCGCGACGGCGAGCACGCCGTCTTCGACCCGAGCGACGACGCCCGGCCGCGCACGTGCGGCGTGGACCCGGAGCGCCACGCGCCGCACCCGCCCGACGCGCTCCGGCGCCACCTGCGCGGCCACGACGACCACGGCCACGGCCACGACCACCACGACCTCTTCCAGCGCGCGCTCGGCGCGAACGAGTGCGCGGCCGGCCCGACGAAGTACGTCGGCATCGTCGTCTTCAACGACGAGAAGCGCTACGCGCGGCACGGCGCCGACGTCGAGGCGCACACGGCCGCCCTCTTCGACGTGATGCACGACATTTACACCGAGGGCGCGCCCTACGGCCTGTACGACGGCGACAAGCTGAACTGCCGCGTCGTGCCCGTCTTGATCGGGCAGGTGACGTGGCGCGACGGCAATCCCGACTGCGACTCGTGCACGTTCGCGAATACCGGCGGCACCTACACGCGGAGCGACGGCAGCCACGGGATGTACTACGCGCGGGGCACTGATGATTGCGCCGAGTGCGGCGACACGTGCACGAGCGACGAGGTCTCGGCGACCTGCCTCCTGGACTCGCTCACCGTCTACGTCGCCAGGGAGCGGGCGGCGCTGGAGAGCGCCCTGGGCGTGTCCATCGACTCGAGCATCCTCCTCTCGGGCGAGGACTTCTCCTCGTCGACGGCCGGCCTCGCGTGGATGGATGGCCTCTGCGTGGACACCTGGTCGGGTTCCGTGGTTGAGGACTCGGGCAGCATCGCAGTCACGGCGGCGGTCATGGCGCACGAGCTGGGCCACCTCCTCGGCATGGGCCACGACGAGGGCGGGCCGAACATCATGAACGCGGTGATGACTTCTGGTGAACCTCATGACACGGGCATGCAGTTCCGGGACCTAGCGCGGGAGGAGGCGGACGGCTACTTCACGAGCAAATACGGGTCCAGTAACTTTTGGCCCGAGTGCCTGAACGAGAACGTCGAGACGTCCTGGGACACGCCCGTGTGCGGCGACGGCATCGTGGATATCGGCGAGCAGTGCGACCCGGGCATCTTCGTCGACGACGCGTGCTGCACCAGCGATTGCCTGCTGGAAGCGGGGTGCGGATGTGCGAACTCGGACGCCTGCTGCACGGACGGCGCATTGACTGCGCAGGGAGTGGTGTGTCGTCCGGCGCAGCACGACGAGTGCGACGAGGAGGAGGTCTGCACCGGAAAGATGAGTGACTGCCCCGTCGATCGGTACGCGTCGCCCGGGACGGACTGCACCGAGAAAATCTTCCCGGACGACAGCGATGCGAAGTCCAACGAAGACGGCAAGTGCTACCGGGGCCAGTGTATTTCGAAGGCGGGCAGTTGTATCAACCCGAACACGGGGGGCGCCATTTACGACGGCTCGACGGCCCACACCTACTACTGCAGCGCCTCGGACTGCAGCGTAGTGTATTGCTCCGAAAGCCAATTTTTTGGCAGCTGCTTAGGGTATAATGAACCGTCCCGCGACGGCACGGAGTGCGACGGGCAGGACTCGGGCAAGCAGTGCCGCACGTCCACCGTCGACATCTCCTCGGGCGAGCCGGCCGGCTCGTCGTGCGTCGACTCAGACACCTTGAAAGACTACCATTGGTCCTTGGGCGACGACGGCTGCGAGGAGCCGGTCTGCCTCGACGAGGAAGGCGAAAAGTGCGTGGACCAGTGCGATGACCCGACCTGCCAATTGTGCGTGGACGAGTGCGGCACCGCGCCCCAAATACCAGGCTGGTGCACCGCGGCGCCGACGGTCTCGCCGCCGCCGTCGGTGTCGCCCAAGCCGACGGGCGAGCCGTCCGTGCCGCCCACGCCGGCGCCGACGTCGACGTTCGCGCCCACGGCCCTGAAAGACGACGACTTCGACGAGACCGCCGCGCGCGTCCTCGGCCTGGCGCTCAAGTGGTTCATCGCCGTCCTCGTCGCCATCATGGTCGTCCTCGTCGCGCTCGTGTGGCTGTGCACGTGCGTCGCGAAGCTCTGCCGCCCGAAGCACCGGCATCAGAAGCCCGCCAAACCCGCCGCCCGCGCCCCTCCCCGGGCGCCGCGCGCCCCCCAGGCCTTGCAGTCGCCGCTGCCCCGGAACTGGTCGCGCCAGGTCGACGGCATGTCCGGGAAGACGTACTACGTCAACCACGCGACGGGGGCGACGAGCTGGGAGAGACCCGTCGGACGGGTCTAATCGCTACGCCGTCTAACACAATTTGCAGAGTTTGGTCCTGCGGGTCCGAGTCCGTCCTAGCACCAGGTGCAGACGCCATCGCCGCGACTCCCGCAAGCCTCAAAGTAACACAAATCAGGAACCGGTTAGGGAGGGAAAGCTAGGCGCGGACGCGCAGGTCGCTCGGGAAGAGCTCGGGCCGCGCGTCGTCGTCGGCCGCGCGGTAGGCGGCCATCTCGTCGTCCGTGAGGAGGCACGCGTCGAGGGCTTCCGTGATGGCCGCCTGCTGCGCCACGGCCCCCACGCCGATGAACACGATCTCCTGGCGGCGGTCGCCGTCCTCGCCGTCAAAGTCCGAAAGAATCGAGGCCCGCATGTCCTCGGGGTAGCGGTCCTCGGGCAGCGTCGCCCACCACCGGCCCATCAATTCGGCGGCGAAGTGGTTGCCCGCGTGGCTCCAGTAGTAGGCCGCGTCGTGGCTCGACGCGAGCCAGAGGAAGCCCTTCGAGCGCACGATGGTGGCGAGCGCTCTAGCGGTGGGGTTCAGGGCCGAGTGGTCCGTCTTCCCATCACTAATGGCCGCCGTGACGTCGGCCGGCAGGGCCCGCAACAACTCCTGGAGCCGCGCCGGCGCGAAGGGCCGCCGCGCGGCGTAGACGAAGGAGTCGATGCCGATGGCGTCGTGCGTGTGGCCGTGCGAATGGTCGTGCGCCTTGTGGCTGTGGTCGTGCGTCGGGTCCGTGCACGTCGGGTCCGCGCAGGCCTCCTCCTTCGCATGAGCGTGGTCGTGCGCCTTGTGGCCTGTGCGCAAATCAACCAGTGAGTCGGGTGTATGTTGGCTAAAACGAGCGGTAATCGACCACAACACGCGCCGTGCCGCGACAATTTGATTTATGCACTGCTTGTGGCTGTGGTCGTGCGTGGGATCCGTGCAGGTCGGGTCCGCGCAGGCCTCCTCCTCCTTATGCGCGTGGTCGTGGCTCGCGTGCGAGTGCTCCTCCTTCGCGGCGTGCGCGTGCGAGTCGTGCGCGTGCAGATGGGAGGGATCCGAGCAGTCCGGATCATCACACGCGGCCCCCTTCGACGCCGCGACGGCGACCTTGTGCTCATCCACCGGACCGATGCGCGCGGCGCCTTCGTCGCCGGCCACACCTAACACTTCATTTAACGCCGCGTCCCCGAACTCGCACTGTTTTACTATCGCGGTCGGGTTCAACGCTTTCATGATCTCGGCGAGGCGGTCCATCTGTTGTTGGGTGACGAGGTCTTTCTTGTTGAGCAACAGCACGTCGGCGCACTCGACCTGCTCCACCAACAAGTCCACGACCGACCTTTGGAGGGAGTGGTCGAAGCGCGCCATCAGGAAGGGACTGGGATCGTCGTCGACGGGCGCGGCCAAATCCGGCCGCTGCGCGATCGACGCCGTCTCCGCGTAGGCGTCCAGGAAGGCCGCACTGTCGACGACCGTAACTAACGTAGACAGTTCCACTTCCTCCATGAGCGGCATGCCGGCCGCCTCGGCGTCCTGGAACTGGTCTCGGATGGACCTAGGTTCGGCGATGCCCGTCGCCTCAATCACAATATGATTGTACCGATACCCTTTCATGGACGACACGGCCGCCAGTTCCGCGAGCGTCGTAAACAACTCGTCGGCCATGGAGCAGCAGACGCACCCGTCGCCGATCTCCACGAATTCCGCCGCGCCCTGCATTTTTGGGGAATCGCTTTCATCTAAGTCCAATCGGCGCGCGGTGATTTTGGCGTCGATGTTAACCGCCGCCATGTCATTGACTACCACGCCTACCTTCGAGTCCTTGTCTTGCGAGGCCTCCTCCAGCAGATTTCTCAACAAAGTAGTCTTGCCCGTGCCGAGGAATCCCGACAAGAGTGTGACGGGGACCTTGGCCCCGGGCTCGGCGACGGTCGACGCGAGCGCGCGCAGCCTGCCGAACTTGCGCGGCGCCTGCAGCGCCCGGACCCTAGCGACTCTGCAGGCGAGGAGCAGCATGGTGCTTCTTGTGCAGCGCATATGCGTCTCGCTTCTGTGTTTTAGCGTCTCGCTTCTGTTTTGCCTCTCGCCTCGCCGCCTCGCGCCGCGCTTCTGTTTTGCCTCAACCTCGCGGAGAGCTTAATAAGCGCTAAGAGTCTAGTGTTCGCTTCGTCTGACCAAGCTTGTCGGAGCGCGGTGCGAATGCGCGAATATAATGCGGAGATTGTTGTTCGCCGCGCCTGCCCTCTGCCTCGCGGAAGCTGCCAAAGCTGGACCTAGCATCATGTAAGTCACTAGAAAACACAGACACTATATATCACAGCCTGCTGCCTGCACAGCTGCGCGGCTGCAGCCAGCAAGCATCCCATGCCGTGCGGACCCATGTCAAAAACCGCTGCATCAGCCACACACACCCTGGCCATAACTGCAGATGGCGGCGTCGAGGCCACACCACTGACCGCAAGCGGTAATCGATTCGGACAGTGCGGCGACGGCAGTGCGGAGCGGCGCTGCGAGATGCGGACACGCCGCGTGGTTGGCCTGACGGGCGTCGTCGCGGTCGCGGCGGGCGGCGGCATCGATGCGGGACACTCGCTCGCGGTCACGTGCCACGGCGACACGTATGCATGGGGCTGCGACCGGTGGCAACAGCTAGGCCTAGGCAGCGCCGAGGCCGGCGCCGTGGGCTACACTTGGGAGGGCGGCAAGCTGTGGCAGACGGCGCCGCGGCGCGTCGAGGCGCTGCGCGGCATCGTCGACGTGGCCGCCGGCGCCGACCACTCGCTCGCGCTGGCCCGCGACGGGCAAGTCTACGCCTGGGGCCGCGGCAACGACGGGCAGCTCGGAGACAAGGCCTTCGTCGGGCCGCCGCGGAGGCTCGCCGCGCTCTCGGCGAGCAAGTCTCGCACGCCCCAAGCCGTCGGCGCGCAGAACGCATGCTCGTGCGCGATCTTCGACGATGGTTCGGTTGATTGCGTCGGTGCCTGCGCCCGCGCCGGCGCGGCGCTCCGCGAGGCGCTGCGGGAGAAGGCGTCTTTGTTGTTGTGACTAACTTGAAATATAAATTATAAACTGAGGAAAAATCGGGAGGAGGAGGCAAAAGTCAGGGAGGGGAGTGGTGGTGCGGCCGCCGGCGGTGAATGCCGTGCACGCCGCCGCGGAGCCGCCGGTCGATGAACTCCGTCGCGTTGTCGCAGTGAGCGCGCTCCCAGAACCAGCTCGGCGTGGCCTTTCTTGCTTCTTTGACGGTTGACGCGTTCGCGGCGCGCGCGTGGCGCAGGCACGCCATCTTCGCCCCGAGCTCGGCCGTCGCGGGGCACGGCGGGCCGTCAAATTTATCGCGCAGCAAGCGGCACAGTTTATCAGGTCCTTGCGGCGAGTAGTCCGTGCGGTAGATGCCCCAGCGCTTGGGGGCCACGGTGAGGACCGGCCCCGTCTTCGCCAGTCGATAGTTCGTCTCGTGCGAGGCAATAAAAGTCCGCATCGCCAAGGCATCGGACTCAAAAACTGGCACGGCGCAGCGCGCGAGCTTTCCGGGGAAGCCGAAGGCCCAGTCGTCCTCGTACTTGAGATAGGCGATGTCGCCGTGGCTCACGTAGGCGTCGTAGCCGGCGGGGCTGTCGCAGCTGACCGTGAGCGGCATGCACCAGCACCTGAAATCGCGCGCCGGCCGCGCGAGGCCGTCCTTGTCGAGCTGCGGGTCGCAGCGCGCCGTGTTGCCCGCGGGTCTAAGCTTGATCATCTTCGAACCCATCGGTGTTGTCGCCACGAGATCAAAACGCCAGACGAGGACGGAGCGGTAGCCTTCTTTGGGCCACATCCTTCTCAACGACTTCATGGCGATATTCGCGGGCGTGGCTTGTGTTGCTCCTGGTCTAGGCACCCTATCGACGTGGACCACTCGCGTGCGGTTGCGGTTGTAGAAGCCTTTGAGTCTTTCGAGCTGCGCTTCTCCGTCCGTCGCGCAGGGGTAAGTCGCGAAGAAGACGTCGACGCGGAAGCCCGCAGCCTCCAGCGGCGCGATGATGTAATCGACGTGGCTCGCGCTGATGGCGCGCTGGATGCGCACCGCGAAGGGCGTGCACATGAAGCCCCTCTTGCTCCCGCGGGCCGTCGAGCCGTAGCTGAGGCCGCGGTAGGCGTCGCCCCGCAGAATGAACGCGATTCTCTTGCTGTCCTCGGCCGTCGGCAGCGACGTCGTCGGTTCACATTTATTTTCGTGGAACTGGAACGCTGCCGCGGCGGCGTGCAGCAGGAGCATTGTGCTCCCTGCCGTCATTGTGCCCCCAATACTCCCAGGGCCTGTATACGTGCCCCAGCGCGTACACACGAGAAATTTGCTTCCTGTGTGTGCCAGCCTGTACACACGAGCACTCGTGCGGCCGAATGCGTTCAGTCACGCCGATATTTTTGGCTCTAGTGCCTTACACGACGCTAGGTCTTATGTAAGGGGCGTGTAAGCCGCGAGCGCGGGGTTTCAGAGGCTTGGCGAATCCCGCTTGAAGCGCCTCGACTCAAAATCAACATACGTCCGGTACAGATGCCGTCGCGACTCGGAGCCGAGTAAAAACAGGAAAAAACCACTGGTTGGTGGCGGTGGCGCGCGCGGCGACTACAACTGCGAGGCGGCTCAATCTACACGATGAGCTACTCCTCGAGCAACCACAGCAGCGGCCGCTCCGTCAAATTCCGCGACCTCGAGGCCGGCGCCGGCGACGCGTCGGGGTCGCGGACGTCGAAGATGTCCGCCGCGCTCTCGTTCGACGCCTCCGTGGGGCTCTTGTCGGACGCGAGCGCGAGCACGACGAGCTCCCGCCGCGGCCGGCTCGGTAAGCCGGCGCCCTTGAGGTCGGTGTCGAGCGCAGCCAGCGATGCGAAGGAGGACGACTCGCCGTTCCGCTTCATGGAGCTCCTGAAGCAGATCTATGCCCTGTTCGCGGCTTTGCCGGGCTACGACGCTTTCAAGGTTCGATATGGACTGCTCCAGGTCGTGCGCGTCGTGACGCAGCTGTCCTTCCTCGTCGGGTTGTATTTTCTGTCGCCGACGCTCCATCCGTCGCTCGACGCCAAGGGGATCAAGCCCTGGCAGTGGATCGTCCTCCTCATCATCGGCCTCATCAACATCTTCGGCCGCCTCGAGCCGTTTGTTACGAAGAAAGTACGGTGACGGGCGCCTCACTGCGGAAACTGTTCAGCGTCGTCTCGCAGTCCGCCCAATTAACAAATGGTACCATCCGTGACGAGATCGCCTACGGTCGGCGGGACGCAACTGATGAAGATATTCGCGAGGCCGCCGGGCTCGCAGAGCTCGACATTTCCCACCCAGATTTACAGCTAGACAAGACGGTGGGCGAAGGGGGCGGCCGCCTCTCGGGAGGCCAGCAGCAGCGCGTCAACCTCGCGCGCGCCATGCTCAAGCGCGGCACGATTTACCTCCTCGACGAGCCGACCACGGGTTTGGACAATGCCGTCGCGCGATCGCTCCAGAAAACGCTAGACAAACTCGCCGAGAACGCGACGACGATCTGCATCACGCACCACCTCGGCGACCTGAAGACGTCCGACGACGTCATCTACTTGGATCAAGGGCACATCGTCGAGCACGGGTCCTTCGAGGAACTCATGACCGCGAAAGGCACGTTCTACCAGCAAGTTAATGCGAGAGGGGACGAGTAACTTGCTAAGGTTATTAGACATCCATCTTCTTCGGCGCGCGCCGCGCGCGCTTCCGCGACGGCTCTTCTTCTCGTGGAGGTGCTGGTCGTCGTGGCGGTGGTTGGCGCGACGCCGGCGTCACGCCGGCGACGGCGCCGGGCTGGCCGTACGTCGCTAGTGCCCTAGCGTGGACGACGCTGCAGCGTACTAATGTTGAGATCGTATACCCACCTTCCAGCAAGGATACAATTCGACCACCACACACCCGATACGCCAAATCCATGACGCGCTTCGTCATGTCGCGGTAGCACTGGTCGTTCAGTCGCAAAAACCGGAACATGTCGTCTTTATGGGCGTCGAAACCCGCCGAGATGAGGATCAAGTCGGGATTGAAGGCTTCGGCGGCGTCCAAAATCTGCTGAAACCCTCGCAGAAACTCCGCGGGCCCCGAGCCCCGCTTCAGCGGTACATTCAGAGCAGGTGTCGTCGAAGGCTCTCGCCTGGTTCCCGGATACAGGGGCGCGTCGTCGGGCCCGGCGCCGTGGATGGAGCAAAACAAGACCCTATCCCGCAACCCTTCCCTAGCTAAAGGCCCGTCCGGATCACTGAGAATTTGTTCCGTCCCGTTGCCGTGGTGGAGGTCCCAGTCAATTACCACAACCTTCTTGATGGTACTACCGTGCCGCGCCAACGCGTGCCGCGCACCGACGGCCACGTGATTAATCAGGCAGAAGCCTTGGCCGACCAACCCGGGCTCGTCTTCGTCGGGCGCCTTCTGGTCCTTTCTTGTTGATCCACTTTGGCCGGCATGATGACCGGGAGGCCGCACGACGCAGAACGCGTTGCGGTACTCTCCTCTGACTACAGTGTCAATGGCCTTGCAGACCGTGTAGGAGGCACATAAAGCAGCGTGTAAACTTCTAGCGCAGGCGAACGTATCTCCGGTTAGTGTTGTTGAGACGCATCGCAGCAGTGTCCTTTTTGTCTCCGTCGCTTCGGAAACACCGGCTTCGGCGCGCTGCAAGGCCTCGACGTGCGTCGCTACTCTCGACAGGTAGTCGAAGTCCTGCGCGGGCATCGCGGTCCGAATGGCCTCAAAATCGAAAAAGAAACCACCCACGACCTCGTCTGATGGAAACGAGTCGCGTCGATGGCGTGAAGGCACCGCAGCATCGCGGGACGCCGAGATCGCACGTGCACGCGCAAAACGACGGGCTCCAAGTCGTCGAACAAAAATTCGACGGACGCCGTCCGCGTCGGTGACTGCCGCTTCGGCGCGCCTGGAGGGCCTTCAAACGGCCCAGTCTCCGGCGACGCGAAGCGCTCGAGCGTGTCGTTCAGGCCCCGATTCAAGGTGGGCGACGTCGCCAATTCAACAGTATCGACGATCTTGGTGCCGCCGCAGGTCCAGGCGCACTGCTTCAGCGCGGCCCAGACGGCCTTGACGCGCTCGGGCTGCTCCGGGGACGCGAAGGGCGCCGCCGCGCCGGCCACATAATCGGTGCCCATGAGCGCCGGCGTGACATGGTTCGCGCATTCCAAGTGCGTGACGATGAGCGTTTTTTGCGGTTTCTGGACGGGCGCCGGCGGCGGCATGGCGTCGCAGGACGGCGCGGGCGCGGCGCGCGTTTCCGTGGCTTCGGCTGGTGGCGCGGCTGTCTCGGCGGCTGGCGTCGCGGCGGGCTCCGGGTGCGGCACCAGGGGCGCGGCGGCCGGCGCTGCCACGGCTGGCGCTGCGGCTGGCGGCGCAGCGGCTGGCGTCGCAGCGGCTGGCGCCGCGGCCGGAGCGGCCGCGGCCGGCACCACGGCCTCGAGCTCCGCCGCTGAGGGGATACGGTAGAGCGCCGCCTTGCGCCGGAGCGCCGCGGTCTCGGGGTTGCCGGGCACGTCGGCGAGCGGCAGCGGGTCGTCGGCGCCGCCGAAGGCGAGGGCGCCGCCCCAGCCGTCTTCTGACGGACTCAGCCGCAGGTTCAGGTTCGCGTCCGGCGCGGCGTGGAGGTCGAAGCGGGGCGGGGCTACCGTGGCACCCGGGGGGAGTGCTTGGGCATCGCCGCCAGCGAGCGGTGCCGCGTCAAAGGCCTCGGTGGCAGCCTGTGGTGCCGCTGTTGTCTCGCTTTGCGTGGGAGGAGCTGCTGAAGAGTTTTCACTGGCACGCGGCGCCACGGCGGTTGCTGAATTTTCTGGGGCTGTGGCTGCCGGTGGGCCATCGGACGAAGAACTTGGCTGCTCCATATCCTTTTCGATTCCCTATGCGCGGAGTTAGACGAGAGTGAAAAAAGCAGCCCCTCAGGCCTGTTTGCTAGTGTGTTACATGCGCTAGCTAGCGAGCGTCCAAGCTGAGACGAGCCGCATGGATGCCCAATAGCTCGTGACGCACGTTTTCAGGAGCGCTGCGCAGCCATGCGATGCGCTCGGCCCGTAACGCGAGCGCTGCGAGGCGTGCGCTGGGCCAGCTGGCAGCGCGCCGCGCCCAGCGTCTGGACCTACGGCGTCGAGCTAGAAAACACACCTCGCCAGACGGTCTTCGGCCGCCACGCCTGCTACGTGCCGCCCAAAGTTCTGGGCTACGAGCTGCCCTCTGGTCAAATCCCGGAGGTCGCCGTCGCCGGCCGGAGCAACGTGGGCAAGAGCACGTTGGTGGGGGCGTTGTTAGGTGATGCGAAGCTCGTAAGGACGTCGAGGAAGCCTGGCAGGACGACTACCCCAAGATTCTTCGCCGTCACTTCGAGAAAGGAGGACGCCGCGAGAGCTGCAAAACACGCGGCGTGCTTCTTGGTGGATCTGCCCGGCGTCGGCTACGCTAGGCGATCCAAAGCCGAGCGGGCGGCATTTATGGAGAGTTCGGCGGAGTACCTCGCGGCGCGGCCGCGGAGCATTTTGAGGCACGCTTTGGTATTATGCGACGCGCGGCGCGGGCCCGACGAGCAGTTGTTGGACGCCTTCGACTCGCTCCGCGTCGCGCACTCCGTCGTGCTCACAAAGGGCGACCGCGCCTCGGCTCGCGATATTGTGGAGGCGCTCGAGGCAGTTGAAGAGCGCTTCTCGCGCAAGCTCTCCTCGCTAGTTCCGGTCGTCCACGTCGTCGCCGCGAAGACGGGCGCCGGCGTCGACGCGCTCCGGGCGCACCTCGCGGCGGTTGTCGTCGCGGATTAATTTTGTTTCGTGTGTGATCAAAAACTGTGTTGGCGACGTCCGCGTCCGCATCCCAAGAACGAAGTATATGGGATTTTCGAGCCAACCGTTCCCGGAGCGCGGCTTTTGCGTCGGTCGATGCTACGGTGCTAGGACTAGTGGGCTTTTGCGACCCGTGAGCTACCGTTGTAAGACACTAGCAAGCTCAGGCAAGCCAACTGTGAAAAGGCGGCCGCGACGCGAGGCGAGCTCTTACGGAAATTTGCTCGAGCAGTTCACTAGTTCGCAGCCGCCGCCGAGTCACCAGCGATTCGCGCCGCAGTGCGCCACCAGCCCTGCCAGACACCTGCCAAAATGAGGCGCTGCCTCGTTTTCCTCGTGTGCGTCGCGGCGGCGTCGGGCCTGCGCCGCGCTAAATACGCGCTGCCGACGATGACCGAAAAGCCCCCGAAAAAGGACAAGCCGCTCGCACCGTCACCGAAGGAGCCGCCGCGCGCTCTGTCGTTGCGCAACTTATTAGGAGACGCGCAGCTCTTAATCCAGATCGTCAAGTGGTCTCTCGTGTTAGGCATCGGTTTGGTGAGGGCTGGATCAATGCTGTTGGGCGAAGCGATGATGCGCAGTTTTTACAGAACTGTGGTCGTCATAGAGTTACGAGGTGTTATTGCGGACGACCGCGGCTTCGTCAACAGTGGTATGTGGTGTCTGTACAACGCGGACAACACAGATATACAAGATGATGGGTTGGTGAGTGTCCGAAGAGTCGAAAGAGCTCTAGATAGGGCCTTTTCCATCCGCAAGGCGAAAGCCGTCGTATTGAGAATAGCGTCGCCGGGCGGCACGGCGTCGGAAAGCGCGTTGCTCCACGCGCGACTCAAGTCCCTTAAAAATAGAGCCGCTCGAAACCACGAGAAGAGGATCAACCGGTTTCATCGGCGGTTCCTGCGCTTCGTGACACGCATGAAACCCTCGTCACCGCCAGAAGTACTAGCTTATGTCGACGAACTCTGTACCTCGGGCGGCTACTTCGCCGCGTCGGCCGCCGATTCTATTATTGCCTCTCCTTGTGCTTTGGTGGGATCGATTGGTGTCATACAAAGGGGCTTTGGATTTCACAGGGCATTGAGGAAGGACGGCGTCGAGAGACGTATATTGGCCGCCGGGGACGCGAAGGCCGGGCTTGATCCGTATTTACCCAAAACTCGACCAGGAGTAGCGAGAGAAAAGGCTATATTGAAAGAGCTGCATGATAGGTTCGTCACGGCCGTGAAGGAGGGCCGAGGAGACCGATTGCAGTACTACGCGGCCGCAGATTTAGCAGCTCAGGCGCAGTGCACGTCCTGGCCTTCTCTGAGTCCAGCGGCGCTGGCGGCGTGCTGGCCGAACCGTATTCTGACGCGGCACCGGCGCGCACAACGGGGCGCGGGGTTGTTCGACGGGAGCGTGCACGGCGCGCTCACGGCGCTGAAGCTGGGGCTGGTCGATGATGTGGTGGAGGAGACGTTCCCCGAGGCCATGAAGCAGAGATATGGTCGTAGGATTTTCCTCAAGCGCCTGACGCCGGGCCGGGACCTGAGACTGCTGGTCCGGCCGCCGGCGGGGCCCCCATCGTCTCTCTGGTAATAACACAACTGTCTACTTATCGGAAGCCGTTCTTCGGCTTCTTTGTTCTAGCTTTCCCCGTGTTGAGCACGTTCATGACGCCCACCGTCGCGCCCAATGCTCCGCCGGCTGCAAAGCGCGAGTTGAAGTTCTCTTCCCGGTTGATCAATTCCCGCTTGAAGTAGACGAGCTCCTCCTTCATCCGTGCCACGTCTCGGAGGGCCTCCTCGTTCTCCCGTTCCAGCGTGGCTATCCGCTCGACGTCTTCCGGGCGCGACGGCCGATTGGTATACTTGCGATCTAATTCGTCGTACTTCGCTTGCGCGTCTCTTAACAAACCTTCCGTCCGCCGTCGTTCGCTCTCGAAGGCCTCGACCATGGTCGCGTGGCGTTTATCCGCCTCACTTGCCGCCTTCGCGAGGAGCTCGTCGCGTTCGTCCTCGAGCCGTCTTCTCTCAGAATCCAAATAAGCCGAGGCGGCCGTTTCCCTCTCATCGGCTTCGCGTCTCAAAGTAGTCATGGCGTCGTCGTGCTGCCGTTTTAACTCAACAAGAGCGACGCGGCCGTCCTCGAGCGCCGCATCCCTAGCCTTCTCCATGGCCGCGAACCGTTCCGCAAACTCGCGCTTGTCGTTCTCAGAATTGCCCTGCCACGTGTTATTGAGTTCCAGCGCGAACTGCGCGGCCGCACAGGCCGCCTTGGCCAACGCGCGGTCGGCGTCGAGCGCGTCCTGTTCGGCGCGCCGGACCGCGGCCTCCTTCGCCGCCTGCAGGAAACCCTCGAGGGCCTGCACGCGGGCTGCCCGTTTCACGGCCTCGCGCAGCTTTTGACGACGGTGGGCCTCGGCCTTGGCCAGCTCCTCGCCGTGCGCCTTCGACGCGGCTTCAGCATTCTTTCGTAACGCATCGATCTCGCTTTTTGCTTCCTCCAGATCGGCGGCGAATTGACGCGCGGAGGCCTCCGCCTCCTCCAAACGCTGCGAGAGGTCGTCGCGCGTCCGCTGAGCATCTGACCGGACGTCGGCGAGCGTCGCCTCCAGGTCCCGTATCGTCTCCCGAAGCTCCTGAATCGTCGCGTCGCGCACCTTCACGAGCGCATGCGCGTCCTGCGACGCCGTTTCGATGGCGGCCCGCGCCCGCTCGAGGTCGGCCGTCGCCTTCGCAAGAGCAGTCTCCGCGGCCTCGTAGCGCTTCGTCGCTTTTGCAAGAGCCGCGTCGGCTTTAGCCGTGGCCTCCGCAAAGAGTTTATCAGCCTCGGCTTGCGTCGAAGCGAGGTCGTCGAGCCGCCGCTGCTCCAACGTGGCCAGCGCCTCCGCATGTGCCGCTTCTAACCGCGCCACAGCCTCACTAGATTCCTTCGTCAACCTACTTTCAAGGTCGCTCAATTCCTTCTGCAATCGTTTCGAAGATGCCGCCTCCACCGCCTGGAGCTCCCGCTTCAGCCGCTCTTGGGCCTCGCGACCCTCCGACGCGAGTTGCCGTCGCAACTCCTCCACTTGCGATTTCAGAGACTGCGTCAGCTGCTGCTGCCTCACGGACTCGGCCTCTGCAGCTCCACACCGTTGGAGCGCATCCTTCAGATCTTTTTCGAGCTTCTGCCGCGACCCCTGCACTAACGCGTTTTCTTGCGCGTTCTTCTCGAGGGCCTCGCGTAGTTGCTTTTGCAGATCCTCTATCGACGCTTTATGTTCCTTCTGGGCCTTGTGTTCGCGCTCTGCTGACCTCTTCCGTTGGGCCTCTAGAGCCTCTTTGCCCTTGGCCTTGGTGGCTTCGATCTGGTCTTTCAAGGATGAAAGCTGGGCTTCACTTTGTGCTTGCGTATCTCTGAGAGTCTGCTTCGAGGCCTTCAAATCACTTTGGAGCGCCTCGATCTGCTTCGATGACGACCGCTTGAGCTCCGCGAGTTCTGAACGGAGCTTCTGAATAGTAGCCTCGGCGACCGACGCGTCCGACGCCGACGACGCATGCGAATCGCGCAACGCGTCGCGCTCCTTACGTAACGCGTCGATCTGTTGGTCCTTCTCGGCGAGCTGGCCGTCGCGCTTGGACAGCTCGGAATCCGTCATCCTCGCTAAGGCATCATATCTAGTTTGTAACGCGTCGGTCGCGTCGGCACTATCCCTCAGAGCTTTCGACTTGGCGGCGTTGTCCTTGCCCAGGGCGCTGTTCGCTTGCTCGAGGACGCGCTGCGCGTCCAAGGCTCGTTGCAACTCTTCGGAGGCGTCGCCTCGTTGGCGCAAAGCGTCGTCTCTCAACCTCTCAATCTCCTCATCCTTGGCCTTGAGGTCAGTCCGCAACGTCTCCAGTTCACTGTTGGCTTCCTTAAGGGCCTTCTCGAGTCGCGAAGCGTGCTCGGCATCTAACAAAGCGTTCTTCGACAATTCCTCCAATTCAGCCGTATGCCGCTGCTCCTGCAGTTTTAGGACCTCGTCCTTCTCCGTTCGGAGCTGCTTCGCTTGTTTTGCCATCGCATCCTCGTGTTCGCCCTTGAGTTCAGCTCTTAATCGCCCTAACCTCGCTTCGAACGCGCCTTCGGCCTCGGCCCTGCCCTTCGCAAAGCCATCTTTGTAGCGCTCCTCGAGCTCCTGGCGCAACGCTTCATTCGCGGCCATCAGTTGGTCATGCTTGCCCCGCCACTCGCCGCCCTCCCTCAGCAGAGCGTCCTTCTCGTCCAATTGTTTCTGCAGCTTCATCAGATCCTTCTCCAGCTGTTCCGACTTCTTGTTCGAGCCGTTTTCCAATTTTTCTACCGTAGTCTCGAAAACATTTTGAGCCGCACGGAACCTCTCCTCCAGATCCTTCACGACCTTCCTCAAGTCATTCATCTCCGCCTCATGCGAGGAATGGGCCTTCTGAAGGGCCTGGTTTACACATTCACGAGCTTTCGTCTGCGCTGAAGCTTTGTCGCGCGCATGCGCACTGATGAGATTCTCAAGCTTCTTCTTCAGCCCGCCGTCGGTCGCCGACGCAGCGTCGCCGATCTCCTTCACGCGCTTCGCGGCGTCCCTCGAAACCCGCGCGAGCTCTTCCCTATGTTGTTTTTTTAATGCGGCGAGCTCCGACTGGTGATCTTCATTGGTAGTATTGACGTGGTACACAACCTTTGTTAATTGAGCAATTTTCTTCTGCATGAGTTTATGGATTTGGTCCGCATCACCTGAAGCGGGGATGGGCGGCGGCGCCTCGTCTCGACTGGCGCGGGAGGGCATCGTTGCCGGCTCGGGGCAGGCAGCCCGCGTCGCCGCAGCGGTGCGCCCGCGGTCGGGCCTTGCTACACCACCGCCAGGGGCAGCCGCAGCGGTCGCAGCCTCGAGCCCTGCGGCGCGCACCCTCGGGCAGCCGGCTGTGGCCAACCGCGCTGCCCGTCGCGCGGGGGCCTGGAGGCTGCGGTCGCGAGCGATGGCTGGCCAGGCGGAGGGCTCCTGTGGACGGGTGGATGAGTATCGAAACACGCGTGGGCTAGCGGCCTAAGACACTAGCAAGTCCAAGGGCCAAGTCCAGGAGGAACGCGGCCGGCAGCCATCGCGGCGAAGCTTCGAAGCGATAGTCTGCAAGCGCATCTCTTGCAACGGTTGTGCTGTCCAGTTCTTATTCGGCAACGGGACTCATCACACCAACAAAACCTCTCAGGCAGCAGGAGCACAAGAGCTGCTGGCCTCCAAAACGCATCGCAGCGATGGCCTCCTCCCTCCGCGGCAAGACCACCACAAGGAGCCTCTACTTGACAGGATTAGGCGTGGTCTACACCTGCGCCTTCGTGAGCTTCTGGCTCCAGTTCCCCGGTCTACTCAGCACGAATGGACTGCTGCCGGCCGCGAGCTTCTGGCGCAAGCTGAAGCACGAGTACGCCGGGGCCACGCCGGTCGACGGCTTCAAGCGGTTGCCCTGCTGGCTGTGGTTTGTGGCTGACGACGACGCGTCGATCGATCAGGCCATAGAAGGCATCTCAATAGTAGGGATAGCCGGAGGCATGCTGTGTATTTTGGGCGTCCACCACGCTTTACTGTTCGCGGTGCTGTTCATGAACTACCTGACATTATATACAATTTCGCAGACGTGGCTGGGATTTCAGTGGGACATATTTCTCTTGGAGACCGGTGCGGCCAGCATACTCTACGCCCCCTTCTTCACTATCAGTGCAAGAGGCCAACTCAGCAACGGCCACCCCATGGCCTGGCCCCTTAGAGCATTATGGGTCAAGTTCATGGTCATGAGTGGAGTGGTCAAGGTGACGGCCGACTGCCCGACCTGGCAAAGTTTGACAGCATTGGAGTACCACTTCGCGTCGACGTGCCTGCCCACGCGCCAGGCCTGGGCCTTCCACTCCTTTCCACCACTATTATTGCGACTCGGTACCGCAATAATGTTCCTGGTCGAGCTCGTAGCGCCCTGGTTTTTGCTGGCCCCGATCACGGCGATGCGGCGCGTCGGTGTTTTGATCCAGTTACCTTTGCAGATCCTCATCCAGTACACGGGCAACTACAACTGGTTCAACCTGCACACCTGTATATTATTACTTCCGGCGTGGGCCGGCGACTTTGATGAATCTGAAAACGCGTGGGAGCGCTGGTGGAGGCGGAAAGGCTGTAAGAGGGCGGCCTGCTTCTCTTCATTAGTATCGTTGATCTACGCCTCAACACATCTCTTCCCGCTCACCCTAACGAAGCCGTACAAAACAGCTCTGAGTAGACCGGACGGCTTCACGATAGAAAACCGAGCGGACCGCTACTTCGTCGCGGGCATGCTCACCGCCGTTTTGGACTGGCGGCCCGTCGCGTACTTGTACGGCGTCGCCGCTCTTGCGGGCTCGGACTACGCGCGGCGGTCCGCTCACAAAAAAGGTTGGGTGAGGGGCGCGGTCGCGTACGCGTTCCACCTCGGTCTCGCCGCGATCTGTCTAGCCCACATGGGTATCATTATAATACCGATGGGCTCCCTCGCAAATAGGTCGATCCTACCTTTGATACCGACGCCGACGGGCCAGCGCCTGACGCAAGGCTGGAAGGAGCACGTCGATCCGTTCCGCGTATCGAACTCCTACGGTCTGTTTCGGCGGATGACGGGCGTCGGCGCTTCGGAAGGCCGAGGCTACGGCGGTCTGCCTCCCTCACTGGTCGAAGTGCCCGCCGTCGTCCTCGAGGGCTCCACCAACGGTTCAGTGTGGGAAGAGATCCCTTTTAGATATGCGCCGTTCGTCGAAGAACGAGCACCTCGGCGGACGGCGCCGCACCAACCTAGGTTAGATTGGCAGCTCTGGTTCGCCGCGTTAGGTCACTACCAGCACAACCCTTGGTTATTGCACCTCATGTACCGTATTACTACAAGAATACCATCAAACGACGCCGCCTTGCAACTGTTAGATGTGGACGCGTACCCCTTCCGCGAGAAGCCGCCGGCCTTCGTCCGGGCCTGGCTCTACCACTACGACTTTACGAGGGCGCCGTCGCGCTGGGCTCGAAGTATCCCCGGTACCGAGTTGTGTGGGAGTGACTGTACGAAGTACTGGAAGAGAACGCGGATCAAGGAGTACGTCCCCAAGGTCGACTCGACGTTGTTGCGGATGCAGGTCGTCGAGCCCCAACAGTGGCCCGTCGCTCCGGAAGCGCCTTCAGAAAGTACGGCGAACCGCCTGCGGCGCTTTATTGGGATCACCTACGGGGATACTTTTGTGGACGGGCCGCTCCTTTGCATTCTGGCGGCCGTGCTCCTGCCGGCGCTGCGCGCGCAGCTACCGGAGAGGCGCGTGTCCCGGAAGCCGCCGGACCTGAAGGCCGAGTAATAGTTTTGTTATCTTCTTCGCTTCGCGACTCCGCGACGTGGCGCCGGAGAGGCTAGTTAAAGATAGTAGTTACTCCTAGCGGGCCGCGCCTTCGCCGCCTCGATCGTCCTCACGGACGACGGCTCCACGAGCACGGGGTCCGACGACGCCTCGGCGTCGAAGCAGGCCCCGAGCACGGCGTCCGTCAGGTCGTCGAGGTGCACCCAGGTACCGACGCGCCGCAGGTCCTTGGGCGCGGGGAAGAGCCGCGAATCCGCGAACTTCGGCAGGCCGAGGACCGTCCCGGCCCGGAGGCACCGGCCCAACCCCCCAAACGTCTGCTTCCAGCTCCGCTCGGTGTCGCGCAGCGTCTCGATGCGCTTGTCGGCGAAGGCGCCCGTCCGCTTCACCAAGTCATCGACGGGCGCCAAATGCACAAACCGCCGCGGCATCGCCTCCCCGGCCTCGCGGGCGGCGCGCGCGATGGCGTCGACGGGCCGCGTCCGCCCGCGCTTGCCCAGGTCGCCGACCGTGAAGACCACAGCATCCACGTTTTTCAAGGAGTCCTCCCAGCCGACCCACCGGTCCGAGACGCTATCCAACTCATCGCCGCCCGTCCAATCCCTAAAAGTGATCTTCTTGCCGAAGCCCTGGGCGTCCCACTCCTGAACGCGCCGCTCGCCGACCCAGCCAAAGTCCTCGGACACGCGACTAGGCGACACCGCGAGGTAGGCGTTCCGGCACAGGATCGTCACGCTGTGCCCCTGTTTGGCGCAGCGCTCCGCCAGCGCGGAGCCGAGGCCGCCCGTGCCGCCGGCGAAGACGAGCTTGAGAGCTGTTGTCTGCGCACAGATGGCCAGCAGTGCGAGCGGCGCCTTATGCATGGGTTTGGATTTTGGATATGAGTGTTTGCGCAGCAGCAGCGATGCACAAGCTTTGTGTACCAGAGTCAGCTTGCAAAATACCTATCAAACGAATGCCGGACCGGGCAGTGCAGCGCTCGGCGGCAGCTATCCTGGCTCGAGCAAAACCGGAGCTAGCGACCTGTAAGACACTAGCGCAAGCAAAACTTTGCAGCGCAGCGTAGAGCACTATGTATGCCAAATAGACGTGCGCACCAATGCGCGTCGTCGCGCTGAGCTTGCTCCTGGTGCGGTGCGGCGCCGAGGACCAGCCCCGGCACGCCGCCGCGGCGCACTGCGCCAGTCGAGGCCGTACTTTAATTGCTTTTGGTGCCCACACGGACGAATCATTTGTGCAAAACGAATTAACAAACATCCACAATGCCGCGGACGCGATGAGCCGAGGCTGCCCGGCCCACGACGTCGCGCTTTTTGTGGACGCGTCGAAGCAATATGGCGTCCTCAGGCACCCGACCAACGGCACGACGGTCCGCGTTCCCTTCGCCCTTCTGAAGAAGAACGCTTCCGCGGCCACGCGCGCGTTTGTCAGCCACCAGCTCTTGATGGCCTCGCTGCCCGCTTATGTTGCAGAGGACAAACGTTATGATTATGTGTGGGTCATCGAGGAGGACGCGAAGCTCGCGCAGGGGAGCTGGGACCAACTGTTTCGCAAGTTTAACAGTAGTCAGGCGGATTTGATAGCACATATCCGGCGGACGCGCAACGGCATGGCGGCGCTACTACCCGTCGCGCGCCTCTCGACGCGATTAATACGAGCCATACGCCGCGACCTCGCGCGAATCGACAATCGCGAACGAGGCGCGCCGCGGAGAAGAATCCACGGCGCCTTCTCGTACCAGCTGTGCCGCGGGCGGAGCTGGTGCGCGACCGAGGCGATCCCGCGGGAGTGGCTCGCCGTCTACCGCGCGAAGTGCGCCTGGAGCGGGGCCAAGTTCGAGAAGGATGCGGAGACGTGGTTCAATCCCACATCGCATGGTCTGTTGTACCACCCGGTCAAGCTCCACGCGCCGACGTCGGGACGGGACTTCAAGCGCTACAACTGCGCCAAGACCTTCGCGAAGGAGCTCTCCGAGAACGGGCGCCAGCGCGCGCAAGCGGCGAACGAAAAGCGCGGCGGCTCGCGTGTGTAATTGTTGTGTGGTATGATTCTTGGCGCGTCGATGGCGTGGGGTTCGACGCGTTTCTGTTGCGGTGCTAGGACTAGTGGGCGGATGCCTTCTCCCGGGCTGCGTTGTTTCGTACGGCTCACACCACTTCCGTCTGAGTAGAAGCTTCGTAGGAGTTGTTACGAGCCGTAGCGCTAGTATGTCTAGGAGATAGCATTATATTTTTGTAGCAGTGACACTTCACTTTGCCGAGGCGGCGCGCACGATTCGACACGCACGTCGAGAAGCTGCGTGAGCACGTGTGAAACCGCTGTGAAACGCATAAGGGCGCACGAGCCGCGCAACACACTAATTGCGTAAAGTGACAAGTGCTGCTCTCCGAGAGCATGTTTGCGGCCGCCGCAGCGAGAGCGGCGCGGCCCCTGGCCTGCGCCGGGCTTCTGCCGGCCGCCTACCTCACGCGCAAAGACGAGCAAGCTCGGTGCCTGGAGCGGCGCCTCGCGGACGCGTACCATTTGCTCGAGCCCGAGCGGCCTTTAGGCGTCGGCGGCCACGGCGTCGTCTTCCCCGGCGTCAACAAGAGCAGCGGCGAGATCATGGCCATCAAGCAGGTGTCGAAGAAGCACCTGCCGCCGGAGGCGCTGAAGCGGCTTGGTAAGAGAGTTAAAGAGGAAGCGACTTTACTACGAGTCGCGGGCGAGCACCGGTCGGTCTGCTCCTACAAAGAATTGTTCGAGGGCGACGACGCCTGGTATATTGTGACGGAACTCGCCAGGGGTGGCGAGCTGTTTGATCGGCTTGTGGAGCGAGGCGCGTATTCTCCCGCGGGTGCGGCGGGAGTGATGCGAGAGCTAGTAGATGCTGTCGCTTATTTACATCAGATGGGCATCGCGCACTTAGACCTCAAGCCGGAGAACGTGCTGTTGAAGAGTGATGAAACTGATGCCTCTGACGTGCGATTGGTCGACTTCGGCTCCGCGAGATTCGTCGGTCCCTCAACAGAAAACGGCGAGGAACTAAGGACAAGGGGCGCCGCGGGCGCGACGCCGGCCTACGCGGCGCCCGAGGTGCTGCGGGGCGACGCGTTTGACGCCTCTGCCGATCTCTGGTCTCTGGGTGTGATCCTCTACCTCCTGTTGACGGGGACGCACCCTTTTGATGCTAGGAATGATGCCGACGATGCGGAGGTTACTCGGAGAGTATTGGCTGGCGCGGACGCGGCCGGCGCGTTCAAGGGTGCCGCGTGGGCCCGCGTGCCGTCCGCGGCGAGGCCGCTCGTCAAACGATTATTAGCGGATAGACCATCAGACCGACCGGCCGCGGCGGAAGTTTTAGCACATGCGTGGCTCCAGGATCCCACAAGGGGCGAAGGGTTTAGGGACAAGGCTGCCGCGAAGGCCGCGTCCGATGCGTTGCGCGAGTTCCATCTGGGCAGGAGGCGCTTCAAGGCCATGTTGTTGGCGGTCATGGTCGGCTACGCGGACCAAGCTTTGGCCAGAGAACGGGGCGCGGGCACGGCGCAACTTGGGAGCCGAAGAGCGGCCATGGACGTGTTTGACTCGGACAATAATGGGTACGTGACGACGGAGGACATCAAGAGAGTCGCTCGACTGTTGGGAGATGAACTGGATGAAGCCGATACGCGGCAGATGCTTAGGTCAGTTGCAAGGCCGGGAGACGACGTCCTCAAGGTGCCCAAAGAGCGGCTCAGACACATGCTGCCTCCGTTATATCCCGCGCACTCACTCAGGAGAGGTGATTTGGTCTTCTCAGCAGGCGAGACCGATCCTGCCTTTTACATACTGTTAGATGGTGATGTCCTCATCTCGCACTCGTTTCTGCTGAGGCCTAGATCCGGATTCGCCTCGAAGAGCGGGAGGGAGCTCTCGTTAGGATTGCATCGGTTAAGGACTGGTGAAAGTTTCGGCGAGACGGAGCTGTTGGAGGGCGTCCGACCTCGAGCGTCGACCGCGACGTGTGCCTCGACGTCTTGTGCTTTATTAGCGGTGCCCGGCCACTTGTTTCAGTTGTTGGGGGATGTCTTCACGGGCGTCCGAGGCCCGATCCAGGACCAAGCCGCCGCGCGATGTCGAGGCTTGGTCTGGTCCTGGGCCTCGGCCCTAGCAGCGCAACCGGACGGCGGCCAAGCGTCAAGGACGTCGATGACGGCCGGGAGCGTCGCCTGGGCGAACATGGAGTACGCTGATACAGACGTGAAGGCCAAATCGCCCCGAGACACGTCCAAACAGGACCAGTTTGTAGTAGTGGAAGATGGTGTGGTGGAAGTCGACGTCTTAGATACGAAAACCAACAGGAGGCACACGCACACGCTCTGGCCGAAGGATTTCGTGTACTGCAACGAGCGGCCGGGGGCCCATCCACTGGATAGTGCGGGGCAGTTCGCTTCCACAGTAGTCTTGGCTCTTCGACCGGTCACGGCGGCGCAGCTCACCTTGGTGCACGGCGACGTCTTCTCGCAGGCCATGTCGCAGCCGTCCATGCAGCAGGTCAACACGTATCTGGTGGAGCAGTTCCGGGGCGAGGTCGAAACCGTGTCGAAAAAGGGGAGGATCCCGACGCACGACCTCGTGGCGCGGAACGGGGAGGCCCTCTAAGAGTATGTCCTACCTAGTCTTACACGAGGAAGCCGGCGACGCGACAAGCCAGCGGCCAGGGTAACCACCAATGACGCGCGGTCGCGCGCATGCGGTGGGCCAGGAACCTCCGCACGAGGAGCTTGAGCGGCGGCGAGGGGGTCTGACACACGATACGGAGTGGCGTGCCGAAGCGCTGGACCGCCCCGTAGACGTCCGCGCCGGCGCTGAGTAGAGCCCGGACGACGCGAATTCGAGGGTCCGGGACCTCCGGGCCGGAACCCGGGACAAGCACCACGACCATGACCGTGTCGTTGTGCGAGTTTGGTGGCGAAGCGTACGTCTCGCCGGGCGAGATTCGCCTCGACAGGACGTGGCTCATCGTGCCCATCGTACCGTGGCCGGGCCGCCCCCACGCGAGCCCGCCGCCCGGACCGTCGGCCCACCCGTCCTCCTGAAAGGCCGCAACGAGTCCGCCGCAGCGACCGTCGGTGAAGCACGCGTAAGCCGTGCCTCCGGTCCACATGCTGATCGTGAGTGCCGGTTTGCCCTCCACATTCCTGAGCCGGTGCGGCCCCTGGCACAGCAGACCGCGCGTTAGCGCCTCGGGCACGTTGCGGAGCGTGTAGTGGCGGCCACCTCTGCGCCGGTCGTGCCATGGCGCGGCGCCCTCCCCGCACGGCACCTGCACGAGGCCAGGCTCGCCCAGGACACCGACCGGCCTGGGCATCCCCCGAGTAGAGCACTGCGTTATCACCCTGCCCGGAGATAGTAAGGGCGGCGATCCCGCAGTGTCTGTGAGACAGACAAAGGGATATAGGGCCGCGAAAAGGGGTGTCGCGCCGGCCTCGTTCGTCCGGTTCGGGTTGAAACCTCGGGAGAGCAGCAAGCTGACCACGTCGTAATACCCGTTCGCGCACGCCGCTATGAGAGGAATTTCGCTTCTCGCGTCCTCGTCGAGGATTCTCCGCACGGCCGCCGCATCTCCGCCTCGAGATGCACGCGTGAGATGATCCATGCCCTCCATTAGCAGACAGTGATTTATTTAGCAGTGATTGGCACAAAGACTTTGCCAATGGCCACAAGTCCACAACGTCTGTCGTTAATTTCTTCACGTAACTACAGTCTTGCGAATGGCGTCCGGTCTGCGCGCGCCAGCTGTACGCGTGATCGCAAGTATAATTGATTTTTTTTTGGGGATCCCTTTTCGACTTTAAACGGGTTTTCGCGCAGAGCTTTCCGGTGTGGAAGTACAGAAAAGCTAGTATACCGCAGTCCTTACGCGCAGCAAAAAAGAGCCCTACTACTCCGCGACCTGCGCCAGCGCCGCGTCGAGGAAGTGGTTGATGGGAATCATGCCGTCGCCCTCGTCGAACGCGTCCAGTAATGTCTTGGTTGCATCTGGATCGAACCCGAGCCCAATGTCGGCCAACTCGTAGGCGACGTCCTCCCTATCAATATTCGACCCCGGCGCGGCCTCGGCCAAGGCGACCAATCGCTCGCCGGCGCCTTCGATCGCCGCCACGCGTTCTTGTAATAAAGCGACCATCTGGTCGGCGTTCAGCATGCCCGGCAGTTCGGGCTGCGGCGGCTGCTCCGCGCCCTCGACGTCGCCGATGACGCACCAAAAATTCGGCGACTTCTCGAGCCGCACGTTCGTCTGGCCCGTCGTCTTGCCCGCCATCTCGCTCACAAGCGCATTGACCTTGTTCTGGCCCAGGTGGTTGTGGCACGTCACTTCCAGCTCCCTGCCGAAGTCGGTGCTGTCCCAGTTCTTGACGGAAGCCGCTAACGCGGTCCGCGTCGTCTTGTGCTGCACTACCACGGTCGGGCCATTTAATCCAGTACCGCAGGGCACGGCCTCGCCACCGCTGAGCTGTCGCACGACGCCCGTGTTCGCGCTGATCTTCTCGAACGTCCACGCGGCCGCCATGGATCGCTTGTCCGTGGCGAAGACCGTCTGCTGGTTGCTGACGCGAGAGCCATTTCTGTCGTTCTTCAGCTGTGAGGCTAAGTAGAAGGGCGGTCGTGTGGCTCCTAAGGCTTCATCCAACACCAGCAAATCGTGGCACCTCAGGAAAACAGGTTCGCCGAAGTGGAGGTCGTCTCCGAGCTGCGTCGCACTATCCGTAGGTTCCAGGATGTAGGAATACCGAGCGCAGTGCTCCGGTTCGACTCCCGGCATGGCTGCTGTCACCAATTTCTGGTCGCGATTCGCGTCGAGACACGGCTCCGTCAGATCCACTCCTAACACACCACCCGTCGAGGGATGTCCTAGCATAATAACATCACCGAACCTGATGGTCGAACCAGCCCTCGGAGCGAGGGGCACCTTCGTGTGGTAGAGGTTTCTTTTGCCCATGACGTTGTACATGAGGCTCGACCCCTCGTCCCGGTTGCGCGCGAACTCGCTCAGCTTCTCCTCCTGGAGGCACATGTCCTCGAGCCAGTTCCCGACCTTCGTCTTGCACATGTAGGACGAGCCGCCGGCCAGCTGCTGAGGGGTGAACTGCATGGTGCTGCCCCGGTGGTTGTCGGTGGCGGCGGCGGCGCGGTTCTGGCGGTGGTCTCGGTTGCCTGGAGAGGACCTCTCGGCGGCTGCCTTCGTCCGCGTCGGCGGCGGCGGCGCGTTAATTGGCAGGTGAATTGGCCGCTATGCCTGGCTAGGCTAACTAGGGGAAGGGGTTTCCTGCCGAGTTGATTCGCACGGAGTCCGGGAACCGTCCCGCGACCCCTCGGGCCGGGCCTCCCCGGGCGAGGGCTGCGTCGCCCCTCGCAGAGCGGGGCTCTCACTCAGGCTGCCGCTGGCATTGCACTGCCGTTCGGACCACCGCGCATCTATCATTAGGCAGCCGCCGCGGCCCCGCGACGGCGCCGGGGCAGCCTCGTTTCCATGGCGCGCTACCGTGATCGGGTGGGGAATGACCGCTTCATCCCGGCGGCACACGACGAGAACTACGAGAATGCGGCGCCGCCGCCGGCGGGCGACGCGCGCGCCGCGCTGCTGCGGCAGGCCCTGCTCGGCGCGCGCGGCAGGGTGCTGCAGTTCGCAAAGCAGACACCGCCACCGGCCGCGCCGCCGCGCGCACAGCGGAGCCCGCGCACGGCACCGCGGCGCGCCTGCGCGACGCCGTTCCGCGTGCTGGCCGCGCCGGGCCTGCGCGACGACTTTTATCTGGATCTTGTGTGCTGGTCGCGCCTCGACGTGATCGCCGTGGGCCTGGGCAGCCGCGTGCGCCTCTACCGGGCGTCGAATTTGAAGGAGCTCTGCGACGTCGGCATCGGGGACGCCGTGGCCTCGCTGGCGTGGTCGCCGGACGGGCGGCGCCTCGCGGTGGGCTGCGCGAGCGGCCGAATCGCGCTGTACGACGTCGGCCGCGGCGTCGTGGTCACGCCGGCGAACGGGCACCGCGGGCGCGTGGGCTGCCTGGACTGGCGCGGCGACGTCCTCGCGAGCGGGTCGCGGGATCGGGGCGTCGCGTGCCGCGACGTGCGCGTGTCGCCGCGCAAGACGGTGGCGCGGTGGAAGGCTCACAGGCAAGAGGTCTGCGGCCTGCGCTGGTCGCCGGGCGGCGACGCGCTGGCGACGGGCGGCAACGACAACGCCGTGCGCGTCTGGTCCGCGTCGAAACTCGGCGCCGGCGCCCAGGAGCTCCAGGGCCACGGCGCCGCCGTCAAGGCGCTGGCCTGGTCGCCGCATCACCGCGGCCGCCTCGCGACGGGCGGCGGTACCGCTGATCGATCCATAAAGATCTGGGACGCGGCGCGGGGCCTGAGGCTGAGTACGGTGGACACGGGGTCCCAGGTCTGCGCCCTCGCCTGGTCGAGCGCGGAGGACGCGCTCGTCTCGGCGCACGGCTACTCGCTCAACCAGATCCTCATCTGGCGGCTGCCCGAGCTCGCGCGCGACGGCGTCCTCGCGGGCCACGGGAAGCGCGTCCTCTACCTCGCGCTGTCGCCCGACAGCCGCGTCGCCGTCACGGGCGCGGGCGACGAGTCGCTCCGGTTCTGGGCATGCTTCGGGCGGCGGAGGAGTGGGCCCGGGGGGTTGTTAGAGTGCGGCGGGATTCGCTAATATACGTTTACAACATGGCGGCGGCGCGGGGGAGCTTAAATGCGCAAGGCCCGGGGTCGGCCTCGCCGGCGGTCCTCCCGGAAATCAGGGGGGAGTGGCCTGCGGCGTCGGGCTCAGCGTCGGCTGCATGGTCTCGAAGTTGTACGAGTACGTCTTCGCGGCCGTCGGCACCGGCGTCGGCGTGCATACCCCGTCCTTCGGCGGCCCGCCTCCTTCTTCGCAGAAATACGTCTCCACTTTTTCGTCGCCGTCGGCGAGGGCCTCGCACGCAGCCTTGTCTACGTTGTTCTTGAACTTCACAGTGACTACGCCATTCCTTTTTTTCTTGTAGTAGAGGCACTGCTTGAACTTGTTCGGCTTACTCGGCCTGTAACCCGGGAACTTGGCCTGCTCGCACGGGTCGCAGCCGTACTTGTCCGTCATCGCGAACCAGGCCTTCATTTTTAACGGTACAAATTCGGGCGGCGGGGTCACGGGGCGGTCCTGGCTGTCGACCTGTGTGGAAATCAACCAGCGTGTCGGGCGCACTCAATAATTCTTCACTAAGTCATTTCTCGGCGATGACGTGGCCGCGCTGGTTCCGTCGAGCGGTGAGGAACCAACACCGCCACGCCATCGAACAGACGTCGCGTCGATGGCGTGGAGATCGACGCGGCTATTCAGGACGAACACGCCGTAAATTTGATTTCCGCACAGCTGTCGACGCAGCAGAAGTAGAAGGGAGCATTTTGGCCGACTCTATATTCCCCCTCACACGTCGCCTTGTCGATGTTGGGGCGGATCCCCTTCTCGGGCCGGACTAAGTTCAGGCGGATGCAGACGCCGTCGTCGCGGTTCCCTTCCGCGAGGTTGCCGCACTCGCACTTGCACGGGAAGTCGACGCAATCGGTGCCCGCCGCGCCCGTGAGCACGATGGCGACGAGGAGGACCCGCATGGTTGCCTGCGTCGTTCGCGGCCGAGTCGGCGGACGACGCGCGTCGACGCCGCCGAGCGCGCTGCGAGTGAAAATCGCCGCGGGGGGTTCCAATGGTATTACCGGGAGATTGTGAGTCTCTCAACGCTCCGTCGGCGCGTCTCCGAGCCCCCGATGTGTGGAGGCCCAGCAATAATCGAAGTCTCGTGCGGTCGGGCGAGTCGGAGAAATTGAGACACGGCAAGGGTACGGCGAGCGCCCGGAATTGCTAGCTCTCTGGCGTGGAGATCGTTGTTAGAGGCTTCAAAAACCGCTCTAATACCATGAAGGGCTTTGGTGAATTATGAAATTACGGAGCCGCGGGACTCCTCGCAACGGCCAGCGTACGCGCCAGACGCCTTCCCGCGCGAACCTGAGAGAGATCTCCCTTTCCTCCTTTTACCTAGCGACGTAAACACACTAGAAACCGGCTTGTTTTTGGCCGGCCGTATAAGACGCTGCTCAACAGCTGCTCGAGTATTGCGCAGCGCACACATTTCAGACCACTGCTGTGGACGCAGCGCGCTGACGGCGCAAGAATGGCAGCATGCACCCACCCGCAGCGCTTGGGCAACCTCTGCGCCGTCTGCGGCGCCGTCCTCGACGGCAAGGACACGACGGAGCAGGTCGCCGCGCGCGCGTCCAGTGCCGCGCTGAGCGTGACGAGCAAAGAGGCCGAGGCCATCGCCGGCGCGCGCCAGTCGCGGCTCGACACGCAACGAAAATTGCAGCTCGTGCTCGACCTCGACCACACTTTATTAGAATGCTCGACGGACAAACGCGCATCAAGTGTAGAGGGCGTCGTATCCTTAGGCAACGTCGCGGGCCGGCCGCACTGGGTGCGATTGAGGCCGGGCCTCCGCCAGTTTTTTGATGCGGTCCGGCCGTTGTACGAGCTGGCCATCTACACGCATGGTTCAAGGGCCTACGCGGCCGGCGTCGCCAAGGCCCTTACCGAAGCCGCCCCTGGGACGTCCTTCGGTGGCAGAGTCGTCTCGCGGGACGACTGCCCCGACTTACGAGGAGAGAAGAGTTTAGCAAGGCTCTTTCCGGGCGGGGCAGCTAGAGCGTTGATTCTGGACGACCGGTTGGACGTCTGGACGCGGGGCGTCGACCAGACGGCTAGAGTGCTGGTCGTGCAGCCCTACAAGTTCTTCGAGCACCATTTCCGCGACCCATCCAGAAGGGACGGCGACGCGCAGCTGAGCCATTCCGCGAGGGCGCTCTGCGCGGCCCACGCGGCCTTCTACCCTTCGAATGGTTCGGTCGAGGACGACGTCGTGGCGTGCCTCGATCGCTCTCGGACGAAAGTTTTCGCGGGCTGTTCCTTGTTTTTTGCGGAGGAGGTTGATATATATGCTGCGCGCTGCGCCGAGCGTTATGGGGCTCGGCTCGTCGAGGATCCGGCGGAGGCGACGCACGTCGTGAGCCGGCAGCGGCCCGATGACGAAGCAAGGTGGGCGCACCTGGACTGGTTCTGGTACTGCGTCTGGCGCTGCCGGCGCGAGTCGGCCGAGCGCTACCGGCCGCAACAGCCTCCCCAAAACGGGTCGCGGAAGCGGGCGCGGTCGCCGGAGGAACCGGCCGCGGACGAGGACGACGAGTGGGCCGCGGACCTCGAGGAGGAGCTGTTCTCCTGATTTTATTTGTGTGTAAGTTTTAAACAAACAACAGAACAAATTATCAACGCATCTCCCACGCGTCGCGGCGGCCGTCGAACGCCGGCGCTTTACAGATGGCCAGGAGCGCGTAGTAGTCGTCGGCCGGCGCCTCGGCGAAGCGGTAGTCGAGGCCATGAGCTGTGAGGAGCTCGAAGAAGGAAAAGGACGTGTCCGTTTTTGTAACGCCGAAGAGGCCCTTGGCGCCCTTGGATAGGCACCTGTCCAGCGCCGCCGCGAGCGGCTCATATAAAGAGGGATGGTAGGCGTTGTCCGTGCACAAAATCAAATCCGGCTCCGACGTGAGGTCCCAACTTGTTTCATCCTTCCAGTCGAACAATTGGACGGAGACGCTCTCCCCCAAATTATTGCGCCTGACGTTGTCTCGCAAAAGCTCGAGGTGGTCCTCCGCGTCCGTGAGCACGACGCGCGCCTCCAAGCATTTCGCGGCGAAGAGGCCCGCGACGCCCGTGCCCGCGCCGAGCTCCAAGATTCTCAGTTGGCGCTTTGGTGCTAATGCCGCGTAGCGGTCCGCGTGCGCGGCGAGGTGCTTGCAAGCTAAAGCACCGGTGGACCAGGTCTTGCCGCCGATGCCGACGCGCCAGCTCGCGGCGACTTTGATGGTGTGGTCGTTGTGGGTGATCGTTTCTTCCTGCTCCTCGGCGGCGGAGACGGCTGCGGACATCGATGGCCACAATAATTTCTGATCTCTTGCGCTACTTTCGATGCTTGTTGTGGTGTTATATCGCGAGATCGTCGAGGAGGACTCGATCATCGAGAGCACGAGCTAGCGGCATGTAAGGCACTAGCCAGCATGAAAGCAAGCGCAATTCAACGGGTTGACGGGCCTTCACTGGCGATGTTGACTCACCCCAGCAATTCAAGCTCCTTCCGATGACAACTCTTCGGGTCTTCCGTCGGCGCAATGTTGCGAACGCGTGGGTGTTTTTCGCGACTCCCCCGCGGGCGCGGCGGCGGGCCGGCGGCGGGCTACGGAGATCCTCGTCGGCGGCGGCACTCGGGCACGACTCCACGGAGCGGCGGCGCGGCGGGATCCCGAATACCCTGACTAGCTCTGGGCCGGGTCTCAAGCAAAGCGCCTTCGCGTCCGCGTTCAGCAGACCCAAGGTTGTGCGGCGGCGGTTCCCTTTTTTTCCCGCACATCGCTGCACGACCTCTGCGACGAGTCCCCTGGGGCGGGGAGGGGTCCCGCAAGACCGCGCGCAAAAACCCGTCGGTTAAGCAGAGGCTAGGCTAGGCTAAAAGCGCGCGGGCAATTTTACAGCTGTTACGTTAGCTGTGCTTGCTAAAGCTTTACGATAGTTCATCACTCGCACCTCTGCTTGCAACCCACAAGTGTCACGGTCAGGATGCCTGGTGCAGACGCAAATGATGGCCTCACAGCAGCCACTCTCGATGGTGCGCGCGCGCGCCTCCCTCTTTCTCCGCCCAAACGCATGCCAAACGCATGCGCCGCGTTCAATCTTACCAACGCCGACCCCCCATCGCAGCCGTGCAAGAAATGTCCGACCTCCTCGACGCGGACCTCGGCCGCCCGGCGCTCGAGGTGCTCACGCGGCTCTGCGACCAGGGCGTGCGTCCCGCCGTCCTTGTATGAGACGCGCGCACCGCGAACCGCGCGCTCGCAGGTTAATCCGACGGCGCTCGCGGCCGTCGTACGGGAGCTACGGAAGGAACGGGACGCGCTGGCCGCGGCGGCGTCGCAGGCGGGGGGAGAGCCTCCTAGGCGATAGCGCTAAAGTAAAATACCACCTATCTTGCATTCTGCGCTCCGGGGAGCATCGCGCTAGCGTGCTGTAAGACACTAGCATACTACGCTACCCGAGACAGCAGACGGCGCCGATTGGCCCCGCAGCTCGCCGCGCGCGGCACGGCAGGGCGCGAGCTCTTAGTATGGTCGACGGATATATAGGTCCGACGTCTCCAACAATTCTTGGCCAAAGCAGCGCGGCGGCGGCGGCGAGAGGAGCGGTGCAAGTTTGCTGTGTTTGCGATGCGGCGGCGCGCGGCGGCTACAGGTCGCGGCATCGGACCTGATGTAGTACGAGACCGTACGCATTGCTGACCGGGCGCGTTTGCGGCGGCGACGGCGGAGCGGCCCGAATCGCGCGCGGCCGGCGACGTACGAGCTGCCCGCCCGCGGGGTGAGTGCGCCAGCCCGGGGCAGTTGCGCGCTGCAGACAAGGCTTGTGCGGTCGCGGGCGATGACCGATGCCGTCTGAGAGACGCGAGAAAGGGACGCAGGCGCCGCCGCGATCGCGGATGCCCGTGCCACCGAGGAGACGGGGCCGCGGCGGTGTAGGGCTGGCCGAGGGCGTGAGATGCGGAGGCCGCGTCGCGTCCGTCGTGCCGACCGGGCGCGGGCACTGGTCCGCGGACGTCGTCTGTTGGGTGCCCGCAGCGCTCCGACTGATGCCGTCCGAGACGCGAGAAAGGGACGCAGGCGCCGCCGCTGTCGCGGACCCGCGCCACCGAGGAGACGGGGCCGCGGCGGTGTAGGGCTGGCCGAGGGCGCAAGGTGCGGAGGCCGCGTCGCGTCCGTCGTGGACCGGGGGCGCTGGCACCGGTCCGCGGAAGTCGTCCGTGGGTCCCGTTCAGCGCCCCGACGCTGTCGAGGAAGTCCACCGCCGCGACGCCTCGCGATCGCTCGCAACCTAAGTCTAACTGCTGCGCTTAAAAATTTGTTGTAAAACCCGTGCCCACTTCAAAAGCTGGCTGGTCCGCCGCGGGAGAGTGTGCTGCGCTATTTTACACACACACCACCGAGCTTGCAGCGCGCAGCAGTGCTCACAGCCCTGCGCGTCACAGCGCGGCGCAGCGCCGTGCCTGCCGCTGCAAAAGCGCCTCGCGCAACCAGCGCGCGCACTCGCATTTTTGCGCTTCCGCTGTACTCTACGGCCGCGGGCCAGGCGACGCCATGGGCAAAAAAAGGAAGCTCCCCCCCTCAACAAAGACGTGCTCGTCGTGTGGCGCAGTAGAGCGCGTCTTCGCGTCCAGCTGCAGCAAGTGCGGCAACGCCTTTAAGTCGGCGTCGACGTTAAAAAAAAGGTCCAGAGGCGCCAAAAAACGCGCGGCCGTGGCCGCTTCGGAGGCTGACGAACGGACGGCGGCGGCCAACGCGGCCGCCGAACAAGCGCCGGGCTTCCTACGCGACTCCAGCAAAAGTCCTGTGGCGTCGACGAAGCTAGGTTTACTCGACGTCTTGCGCTTGGTGCCCAATGTGCATCCAGGGACGAAGAAAGGGCTCCCGGAGTACGTCTCGACGAGAATCATCTCGTTCCTCACGTGCCCGGGCACGGACGCCGAGCGGGTCTACGAGCTGCCCTACGTCGACCACCACACGCAGCTCGTCGCGCGGTGCCAGCGGGAACGGCGACCATTGCCCCCGCTGCCGAGGCCGAAGTACGTGATCCGGAAGGCGCGCGGCGGGCTGCACTCCGAGCTGCAGGCGCTCTACGTGGCGTGTGGGCACGGTTTTGATACCTTGGTCGGCACGCGCGGCATCGAGGTCGGCGGCCACTTTACGCGGGTACAGCGGCCTACGAAAGAAGTCAGATATGCGACGCCGGCGTACATAGCAAGGCTGGGCGGCCGTGACCCGCTACGCAAGGTTCTCGAACCGTGGCCTACGCCGGCCGTGGATTCGGAGACGACGGGCCTGCTGTTGCAGCCGCGGCTCAAGAGCGCCTGGTCCCCGACGTCGGCGCGCTTCAACTGCGGTCCGCCGCGGCTCTTCTGTGACATAGGCAAGCTGCCTCCCCTGGCGCTCCCCCCATCTCCTTATTCTACGCTCGCCGGGGAGCGGCCCATGTCCGACTACAAGGCAACCGAAGACGAACGCCGCACGAACTCCTTCCTGCTGGGCGTGGAGGTGCAGCTCGACGAGGCTGCGTTCCTGCGCCGCCTGTCTCGTCTGGACCAGGCTTGGCTGGCCAAGGTGCGGGACTTGCCTCAAAGCCAAATCGTCTTCGACGCACTACGGCTCGCTCCGGTGAATGCGCAGACTGCCGGGGGCTGCGCCTGCTGGATTGCCAAAAAGAACGCGCAACGTGCGCTTTTGTTAACCTATGGCTGCTCTCCTGACGACCTGCGCAGAGCGGAGGGGTTGCTCATCAAGCTGTCGGGCGACTTCGAGGCCAGCACGGGCGACGAGCTGCGGCTGTCCCAGGCGCTCGCGCACTACGTGCTGCATTCTAGAGCGCTGGGACGCGCTGACGTTTTCCTGGAGGACGGGCGCTCTCTCGCGTCGCTTACGTACGCGGACCGGCTGAAATGTGACCGGGTCTACGACGCAGCCCACTATTGTTACGAAGTCACGGCCTCATTGAAAACAGAATATGTCGTCGTCGTCACGGTCCCGGGCCGCAAAATTGGTATTGCTGCGCCGGGCTACGGACCAGAGCGCGAGCTCACCGAGCGCTTGGGTCAAGCGTACGACGAATTACGTGGCTGTTCGCCGTGGCCCGGGCAGGGCCTCTTCGCGGATCTCATAAAGCTCATGCCTAATGCCTACGAGCCGTCGGAAACTGCCTTAGCATTCGTCGCGCGCCACTGCGCCAGTGGCTTAGCCGGAACTCGCCTACTGGTTGTGACCGATGGCGTGAACGTCGCCGCGGCCATCGTGAGCGGGGCGCGGCACTTATATCCTGTCAAATCCGTAGACTTGAGCTGGCGGTGGGATTGGCCACTCCTGAATCGGTGCGCGCCGACGAAGGATAAGTCGAAGTTCGGCGGTGCACCCGCCTACGGTTTTGTGCGGAGCGCCGACGACGAGCGCGGGCTGGCCCAGCGGGCTTCGAGGGTACGCCAGTTCACGAGCCGAGGCAAAGTCAACGAGCACCTGATGGTCTATTCCTTTCTCTTCGAGCGGCTCGAGATTAGAATTCCCGCGGGCCTCCCGCGGGCACCCTCCGGCCTGCTCACCGAGGCGCACTTCGGCGTCGGCCACTCTTATTGCACTTTGATCCAAAAATTTGGGGAGCGGCTCTCCGAGGCCGGCGAGAAAGAAGCGCAAGGCGGCAATACGGAGAAGGACGATGACTGGTGGAATGAGATTGGTGTGTGAGTAATTGTATGACTAATAGTGAAAATTCTCGAGGACGGCTAGGGACCCGTCCGGCTGCGCGTGTGCGGGCGAGCGACGCCGACACCGGCGCCCTACTGGCGCGCGGCAGAAACGACCTCCGGGATATCGTCCGTCGTTCACGCCGCCGGCTCGGTCGCCGGGCACCGGACGTTCGCGCCGCGCCCGCAGCTCCTCTGACGCGCGAAGGCGTCCGACCGCCGCGGCGCCTCTGAAAAGCGTCGGGGCCCCCGTTCACTCGCCCGCGACCGTGCACGACTCGTCCGCCGCGCCGCACCGCCGCGGGCTGGCGCAGCTACTCGCGCGGCCGCCGCCCCAGGCGCGTCGCCCGGCGCGTGTCCCACGAGCTGCTCCGCCGTCGCCGCAAACGCGCCCGGCTCGCAGTGCTTCCGGTCTCACACAACGATGGCGTCAATGTCGCGATCCATGACCGCCGCGCGGCGCGCGAGGCAGGCTAAATCGCGCTGAAATTGCATGGCCTGCCACGCGGCGCATTGATGGCGGCCGCGGCCCAGGCCTCAATTAGAGCTGGCTCATAGGTCCCTTTTGCGAGGGAGCGCACAACCGACGGGCGCAAGGCGGCCAAAAATACAAAACCCAGACTGGGTTTGCTGTCTAGAGCGTTAGTTTGCGTAGTACGCCTAAACTTGCAAAGCCATGCAGCAGCGCTGAGCTGTCTGCGTTGCTCGCCATTGCCTGCATTACATCACCATTGCTGCGGCTTTTCAGCACCAAGTGCGTCGCGTTTCTAGACAGTGCATTGGGCAGTGCTTCCAGCAGCCAGCCTCACAAGTGCAACAATGAAAGCCACCCTCTTGCTTGCGCTCCAGGGCATAACCGCCTTCCAGACGCCGCCGCCGCGCCGCCCACCGCTCACGCTCAACGCCGTCGACGCGTTCCGGCAGCGGCGCGCCTGGAGCGGCCCCGCATACCCGCCGCCCCGGCCCGTGTTTGAAAGAGGCCCGACGCGGCAGCCGCCGCCGACGTTTAAGGAGTGCATCGCGTTTACGGCTCCCGCGTTGGCGATTTACGTGGCCGGGCCGCTCATGTCGTTGATAGATGCGGGTTTCGTGGGGCGGCGGTCGAGCTTTGAATTAGCGGCTCTGGGCCCCGCGGGCACGATCTCGGACAGCATGACGACGTTGCTCGTGTTCTTGTCCGTGGCTACGACGGATTTAGTCGCGAGGGCGAGGTGTGGCGGCGACGACGACGAGTGCGACCTCGACGCGGCGTCGCGGGCAGCGACCACAGGCTTACTTCTAGCCGGCCTCGTCGGTGTACTCGTGGGCGGTTCCCTCGTCATAGGAGCCATGCCCGTCTGTCTCTCCTATTCGAAGAGCGCCGACCTGGCGAAGGCGGCGGCGCCGTACGTGGCCGTGCGCGCGCTCGCGCTGCCGGCCGCACTCATAGCGTCCGTCGCGCAAGCCGCCTGTTTAGGGCTGCGGGACGCGACGACGCCGGGGCTGTCCGTGGCCATCGCCGCCGTGTTAAATCTCATGGGAGACTTCGTGCTCGTCCCGCGCCAAGGTTTGTTAGGCGCGGCGATAGCGACGGCGGCGTCGCAATACGCTGCCGCTCTACTTTTAATCCTGTCCCTGAAACGGAAAGGAGTGGTCGGTAGAGCCTGCTTCGCCATCAAGGACCGCCTGAAGCGCATCCCCACGTCCATCAAGCGAGACATTCGGCCCTTCTTCGCGCTGGGGCCCTTCGTCTTCTGCAGCATGATGAAACTACTGTTACATAACAGTAGCGCGATGACGGCGGCGGCGTTGGACGCGACGCAGACGGCGGCGCACACGGTCGTGTTCTCGGTAGCGATCTGTGTGGAAATCAACCAGTGAATTAGGATCTTCGTGAGCCTCCACGCCATCGAGCCGACGCGACCACGGGGACAACGTGGCGTCGATGGCGTGGAATTGCCACGCCATCGCGCAGACGCAGCTACGGAAAGCACGTCGCGTCGATGGCGTGGGGCGCCCGAAATTTGATTTCCACACAGGTCGCCATGTTCTGCTTCGTCGTAGGAGATGTCGGTACGTCGCTAGCTTTGGCCTACCTCCCGAGGTTTGTGGGCGACGGCGAAGGGCGAAGACCGCTGGACACGAAGGCGGCCCAACCGACCGTGCGCCAGGTCCTGAGGGCGGGCTGGTGCCTCTCGGCGGTCTGTGTCTTGGCTTCGACGCTCGTGGTGTTGCGTGGTTCATTGCTCACGTCGGACCGGGCCGTGCAGCGGGCCATCGCGAGGTGCCTGCCGCTGACGGTGCTGAATTTTTGCTTCCACGCGACGGCGGTGACGTCGGAGGGGGCGCTGCTCGCGACGCGCGATCTGAGGTTTTTATGTTCGTGGTACGCAGGCTTAGGCGTGGCGGTCTTGGCGGCGCACCGATTTATTCTCGCGCGCGGGTTGGGACTGCCTGCGATCTGGCTCACGTACTTTGGCGTGCAATTCAGTAGAGCCGTCGTCTTTCCCGTCCGGGCGGGCATGGTCGCGCGGCCGGCGTGGACGCGGCGGCGGTCGGCGCTCGCGTTCGCTTAGCTTATTATTGGTGTACTTTGCTACTCCGGGACCCCACCCTTCTCGACCCGGCGAAGTGACGCAATGAGATATAGTTTTAGTAGTTTAGTAGAACACCGGGCCCGGATTCCAGGGGTCATGTCCGCGAGACGCGTATTCTCCCGGATGTCCCCAGAACTTCGCGACCGTTGGGATGATCGAGGGGGGTAAGCGGTGGCCGAGCATCTTCGTGGCGGTCGCGATGAGCTTCCCGCGTTGTAATCGCTCGTAGGCGGGAAACCCTCCGGCCTCCGCGATTCTAGACGTCTTCACCGAGATGGGTATCGAGGCCTTCCGGGCGTAGACCACGACGTCGACGACGTCCTTCACTGACCTCGGAAAGGCGATCTGGTCGGGCAGGTTGAACTTGACGCCGTAGGCCAGTTCGATCTGTGCCAAGTCGCCATTATTTACGTCGAAGTCGCCCATTAATGTCGTCGGCGTACCGGGCACAGGCTTGATATCAGCCCCACAGTTCTCTATTGCACAATAGAGTGTGATCGTGCAGATGCCGGCAGGCATGCTAATGAGGTCATAGGAGGAGACTAGAACAAATTCTTGGATTTCCCGATCAGGGTTCGCGGAGGTCGGAAAACCTTGCCACATCTGCCACCACGCGAGACATTCCGGCAACCATCTTGACTTGTCGACGTCCTGGACCAGGCCGCTCTTCAGGGCAGAAGCTTTGAGGGCCGTGGGCGACGCGCGGAGGCCGCCGCCGTGGCTCGCGCGCGGGACTGCGACGGCCGCGAGTGCGGCCGCGCCGCACAAGGCGACGATGAATTTGAGGACGCCTCGCTTCTTGGGCGAATGCTTCTTGAGTAGCCACTCGGTCTCCATGGCCGCTCCTCTAGTAGTATCAGTGGCAAGGGCAGTCCGTGCAGAACTCAGCGAGGCCGTATTTGAAATTGAATGCAGCAAACGTGAATGTCCGTTACGCCGCGTGAAGCGGTTAATCCGGTCGCGCGGATCAAAGTTGAGTTGTGTGGCTCCGAGGCGAGGTGCTAGTGTCTTTACAGGCCGCTAACGACGCGTCGACGGGGCAACGAGACTAAGGATACGAATTATTACATCAGAATGGTCAGGTGTACAGGTGAGCTTTCCTCGTGTAGACGGGCTTGGCGCGCGGGTCTTCCCTTTCGTCGGAGAAGGACGAGTGCGCCGACGACTCCGAGCCGCGCGCCTCCGGCCCGAGCGGCAGTTTGGAAGATGTCGTCGGCACGATGGTCCCGTGGCGCACGGCGACGGCCTTCAACCGCCGCGCGATCTCGCGGAACGCCGGCCGGTCGGCCGGTTGCGTCGCCCAGCACCGCTCCATCAGCGGCCGCAGCTCCTCCGGTAGGGCCGCGGGGACCTGGGGCCGCAATCCCTGGTCCCGCACGGCGTCCGCGATGTCCGCTTCCCGCGCTTGGGGAGATCGCGCGTTTGTAACATAAAAATGGTACGGGTCTCCGCGTTGTGAAAAGACGGCCGCACACACAATCGCGTAGGCGAACACATCGAGCTTCGACAATTCGTCGAAGTTGCCCGCCACTACTCTGCCTGAATCGGACATATCTCTGGTAGAGTCGGACGAGTTCTCGCCCCGGTCGGGCCGATCCTTAAACCTTCCGCGTAATTTAAGTAACATCTCCGGCGCGGCATAGACCGCCGTCGCCCCGGCGGACATCCTTCTAGGTGCCTTCGTGGGGCCCTTAGATACAACATCTTCAGTGTCGGCGACGAGTTGGGCCAGTCCGAAATCTGATACTTTAGCGGTGAAGTCCCGGTCCAGCAGAATGTTGCCCGGCTTCAGGTCGTGGTGTAATACCCTTTCGGCGTGGAGGTACTGTAAGGCCAATGCTACTTGATACAATATAGTTGTTCTGGCTGCTACGGTTAATCGCGGCGTCTGTCGCGGCTTGCCATTGGCGCCTCTCAGGACATCATCCGCGACCCTACCACCCGACAAGATCGCATCTAGAGCATAGGGGCAGTACTCCGTCACGATGAAACAGTAGACGTCTCGGCGCGAGATACCGTAGAACGTTAACACGTGAGGGTGCTTGAGCTTATGTAACAGAGTCACCTCCCTACTAAACTCATCCAAGTTCGACGGGTCGATGAAGGAACTAAATAATTGTTTGATCGCCACGCGCGCGCCCAAGAACTCCCCATGATACACCTGGCCCGCGGCCCCGGCGCCAATTTTGGCAACAACTCGTAACCGCTCGTAGTCGATCTGCCACGACTGGAGCGTGGCGAACCGTCTAGGTTTCTTGACAACAGCGGGAGGAGGCTTCGGCGCCGGAACCTCAGGTTCCTTCTTTTCCTCCTCGCCGTTTTTGGCGAGCGTCGGCTGCGGCGGTAATGAGGCAAACGGTTGCGCCGGCGGCTGGGACTGGGACGTTCTCCGTTGCACCATGGCCGCCAGTGACGACTTGGAGATGCTTGGTGACGCGAGGTCCGCGGACGGGCGGTTGTTCGGGGTCTCCTCGCGGTTCCTCGATTCGGAGGGGAAGAGCCAGGCGGCCAGGTTGACCGTGGAGAAGGGGTTCGAGATGCCCCTCATATCTCGACTTTGCTTGGCGTCAAACCTTAAAGATTCGACGTAGTGCTGCCTCGCTTGCCGGTCGGCGGCCCTTGCTACTACGAGGAAGGCCACAACTAACACCGCCGCCGACAGCAGGGGATAGATTCGAGCGTGTTTTGTGGTTCCCAGGCCAATCCCTAACGCAACAAAGTCGCATGCTAAGGCGCCAGCTATCGCCACCAAGTGCAATCCAAAACACAAAGCGAACAACCCGGCGTCGACGGCCACGTCCAATCCTAGGTAATACGGTCGAGACCACTTGTCCCCGAAGAACGAGAACGCCAATACTACTTGGACCGCCTGCAGGACCGCTAGACATAACACCGCGGCGCACCACTTCTCATAACTTCCATCACCCGACGCGATCTTGATATGTCTAGAAGCGAAGTACAGCGCAACCACGCAAATGCCGAACAAGCCCGTCGCGAGCAACTCGTAGCGGTGCCAGCTTCGCTTCCTCGCGAGACCATCCACGACATCCGCGAGCACGCGCGCGACGAGCATGCCTAATCTCGTGACCCAGGGCGTCGCGCCCAGCTCCCTCGCTCGCCGCGCCCGATAGCTCCGATACCGGTCCTCGAGCGGCCCGTGCCGGAATCGCAGCGACACCGGCGCCTGGCCGAAGGCGTCGGCGTCGAGGTCGCCCATTTCCAATGCGCTCATGGTCTGGCGCGCGGCCGTGGACGGCGAGGCGCGCATTTTGTTGCGGGGCGCGTCGGCTGGCGTCTACCGCTGGCGCGTGCTTTTGGACTTTTCAGAGGCGGCCCGTGTCTACAGCCCTTGCGGCCGCGCGGGCGAAGAGCCTTGGCTGGGCCGCTTCCGCTGGTTTCTGAGACAGTGTCGGACGCCTTCGGCAGGCTAACCACGCGGCGGTTTATTGATTGCACCGCGCAGCCCAACTTTGCGCCTGTTCTCTAGTATCTTACAGGCCGCTAGCTAGAAACATAATTTCGCATTGCAGGGGCCTCCAAGTCCACAGGCTTGACAGCATTGCCGCCTTGTACTACGGCACGTACTCGACGCAGTAGGCACCAGAAGCGGCGCACGTCGAGTTTTATTGCGAATTCGCACACCCAGCACAGCTTTGCCCAAGCTGAGCCTTCAGGTCACCGCTGTGATGCCGGCCGACGAGCCCGCCGCCGCGACTTTTAGCTTCACGGCGACGGCGCCTGCGCCCGCCGCGGCTGCGCCAGCACCAGCGGCTCCGGCGTTTACCTTCGGCGCGGCGGCTCCGGCGCCCGCACCCGTGGCGGCAGCGACGCCAGCGTTCACGTTTACGTTTGCCGCCGGCGCGCCCGCGCCCGCCCCGGCGGCTTCGACGCCTGCGTTCACCTTTGGTGCTGCAGCGCCCGAACCTGCGCCGGCTGCTGGCGGCCCGGCCTTTACCTTCGGGGCTCGGGCGAGCCCCGCGCCGCCGGCGCCTGCGCCTGCAGGTGGCCCCGCGTTCACCTTTGGAATGGACTCCGACGAGGAAGATGATGAAGCTCTAGCGAGAAGGCTGCAGCGCGAGTGGGAGGAGGAGGCATCGACGGGCACGTGGGAGACAGACGAGGCATCGACGGAGTTGTCCCAACTGCCCTCGGACGACGAGGAGGAGGTGGCGACCGCTCGCCACCCCTGGGCCGATTTCTTTCATCATGGGGACGTGCATGTGAGCCGCTTGGAGTCTCTGTACGACGTGAACGTCCGTGTAATTCAAAGCGATGGTGCTTGGAGCGCGCGCGCGCTAGACCGCGGCCTCACAAAAGTGGAACAGAATCCCGCGGTAATGCGAGCCGTTGAGGCAGTCGGCGCCAGAAACGTCGCAAGCTTTACGTCGCCCGAGTGTGACACCCCATTGCTTCATTGGGCAGCGATTGCCGGGAAGGTCGAGTGCGTGCGCGTTCTGCTGCACCACGGCGCCGACATCGAGGCGCGCAGCGGCGACGGTTGCACGCCGCTGTTTTATAGCGTCCCCAACGGCGAGCCCGCGGTGGCCCGCGTCCTGGTCGCCGCCGGCGCCGACATCGACGCCGTGAACGTACATGTCATGACACCACTCGGAAGCACGGTCCAATACGGCCAGCCCCACCTGGCGCACGTGCTGTTGAGCCTGGGCGCGATATTCGACATGGCTATGGCCGACCGGGCCAAGGCCATCTATATGACCGAGCAACCCGACCCGGACATGCTGGACGGCGTCGTCGAGGCCCACGCATTGCACAAAAGGGTCCGTGACGCGGGCGGTAGCTACAAAAAGTACCTGCTCGCGACGCGGATGCCCCTCGTCGTGCTGCGGCGTCTTGCCGCATCGAAACGCGCCGTGCCTCGACCGGACTGCCCGCCGATCTACAAGCGCCTCTTCCCGCGCGCGGCGCCGCTCGATTCCGAGGAGGAGGACGAGACGCCGGTGCGGGACATTATTCCGCCGCCGGACATCCCGGACGAGGTCTTCCTGCGCATCCTCGGGTTCTGGTACACCGTATGATTAAGATACTTGTAGTACAAACCAACAACACTTACAACGCCCGCATCCGCTTCGCAAGAGCAACCGCCCGCGCCGCATCCTCCAACCCCCGCCCGTCCGCGCGAGCCAAAGCGTCGTAGGACGCGATCGCCGCGGCCGCGTGGCCAAACACACAACCCCGCAGCATGCCCCGCAACGCGTCGTCGCCGCGCGCCGCGACGTGCTTGTCGAGGCGCTCGGCTAGGCTCCTTAAACCTTTTTCGGCCTTGGCGACTTCCGATCTAGCCGCGTCGAAGCCCTTCGCCGACGTCGCGGCGCCGCGCGACCTTGCATCAAAATACAATGAAGCCTTCGGGAAGGCGTTATCCATCATAGCCGTCGCGTAGGCCTTTGAAGCGTCATCTGAAGCAGCGCGGCACTTCGCGGCGTAGGCTTGGAGCCGGGGCGACTTGGTATGATTCAAAAGCCGCCGCGCTAAGAAATAACGGGTCTCTACAACAGATAGATGGGCGTGCTTCGCATTGGCCGCCGCGGTGCGCTCGATCATCACATCGACTTTGAGGAGTAGAGCCTTGTACGCGGGCTCGACGACGTCCTTCCTTACTCTCTGATCGTCCAAACTTGACAGAGACCGCTCGACGGCGTCGCACAAACTACAAGCGAACGCGGCGCCGTCCGCCGGCGCGCCGCCTAGTTTATGATCCCGCCTTTTGTACCTCTTGAGATCTTGCGCGTCGCAGCGGTCTCCCGCTAAACGCACCTCCTGGCGGATGCCGTCCGCTGCCTTTGCTCGAGCCTCCTTGAGCAGAGTGGAGACGAAGGACGATGTTTTACGGTCGCACGCGGCGTAGACGGTGATGGGATCTGTATCTGAAGCCGCCGCCGCGTTCAAAAGAGCTTGACGCAACGCCGCGAATTGCACCTTCAGACAGTCGTCGTCGCGCGCGCCGAAAACTTTCTTGGCGAAGCTCTGTTCCCGGTCGACAACTGGGATGACGTCGTCCAGCAGACGCTCGACGAACCGTGATTCAAGCTTCAAAGCGTCGATCAGCGCCGCGATGGACTCGCCGTACATGGATGCGGACGCCTTGGCCCACGCTTGATGACATGCTTTCAGAGCGCTCGAGGCTCTTATACGAGCAAGCGCCCCACACAGCGTTTTTAGGGACGCATCTTTCAACACCCGGTCGTGCGCGGCGGCTTGTCTACGTAATAACGCGTCGCGCCGCTGCTCCGCGGACGCCGTCGTCCCGCCGACGGAGTCCTGCCTCATAAAAACATTGGAGAGGCGCTTCGACGCTAATTTTGATGCGTCCTGGGCGAACCTCGACCGGACCCGATCCAAGTGGTTTTTCTGCTCGCGGACGCTCCTTAAACCTTGATAGGTGTCGTCCTTTCTGAGGACGGAGGCGTTCTTCAGCGCCGCGCGTAATTGGTCCGCGCCCCGCGTCACGTCGCGATCCACCGACCGCAACCTCAAAGCCTTCTCCGCGCGCGGGTGCAGGCTCAGCCCCTGCGGCGCGGTTGCTACGACCTTGGCCAGGACGCGGTCCAGGGCCTCCAGATTCTCCGTGACGACCTCGTTCGTCTTCGTGTCGTCCGACACGTCGCGCACCGCCGCATCCACCCCATCCAAGTCGTCGACGTTCTTCGCGAGCCAGGCGTCGACCTCTTTTATTGATTCCTCGAGGGCGTCGAGGTCACCGGCCAAGGCCTGGAGCGGCCCGAAGCGCGCGCGGCCCGTCTTCGCCGCGATCTCGTCCTCGATCTCCCAGGCGACGGCCTTTTCGATGGTCCTCGCGCTCGGCGTCGGCGCGGGCGGCGCGTCGTCGCCGGTGAGGAGGGCCAGGGCGCGGTCGACGGTCGACATCTAGCCACCGTTTTTCGAGCTAGCGTCTCGTGCTCTTCAGCCGCCGCGCGGCGGCCCGAGGTGGTTTGTTACTTATGGCAGGCAAGGCGTCTTACCGCTCGCTGGCGTGACCGTTCGAGGCGCAGCGATGGGACACGACAGCAGCGCTGTGATAACGAATATTGACGATATGTAGAACACTTGCAGCGTGCAGTATGGGCTTTTTTTTTGCGTGTGGCCCGCGAGCTAGCGACCGTAAGACACTAGAGGCGAGCTTGAGCGCTGTGATTTCGGGGCCTCGTGAGCGTCTCCTGCCGCGTGAGCGGGAGGCTGCTCCTTGTATCGTGGGGCTCTGTCGCGCGCACGGACCGGTGGCGCAGATCCCGGCCGCGCGGGCAGCCCTGGGCACAAAAGGGCCACTCAGTCCCAGATCCTGGTACCAGTGATCGCGTGCGCCGCGGCGTCGACGCGTCGTCTACGATCCCGGCCGCACGAGCCAAACGTGTAGACCAGTGGGCAGCGGTACGCACCGCGCAACACCATGGCGCTGTCCGGCCCGCCGCCGCCGCCGGTCTCGCGCTTCACGCGCACGGCGCCGCCGCGGTCGCCCGCGGAGCTCGTGAGCCTCGTGAGCAACTACCTCTTCGACCTCTTCGACGCGAACAGCATGGACGAGTATAAAGCTTTGGAAGCGTTGGAGGACCAATGCATGCCGCACACGGACCCGGACTCGGAGGAGTTCAGCTTCGCGCAGCAGGAGCTGCACGCGACCTTCGTCCGGCTCCTAGAAAGCTACGTCGAGGCGTACATACGTTCGCTGGGTCGGACGCTCGCGGACTTTTACGACGCGCTGCGGGAACTGAAGGACGGGTCCGGCGCGCCGATGCTGGACGCCTCCGACTGCCTTGACACGCTCTACGAGATGGAGGACATCCGGTGCTGGATCGACGGCGTCAAGGCGCGCGTGCGGTACAAGCGGCTGCACGGGAGTAAGGTAAGCTAATATCTACACATTTACTCCGTCCAATCCGCCAAACCCCGCGGCCGCACGGACACGCCGAGCGCCGCCCGGAAGTCGCGGTGCTCGTCCTCGAGCGAGATGATGTCGAGCTGCGGCGGCATCGGCGGCGGCGCGCCCGCGTCGCGCCAGCGGTCGACCCACTCGCAGATGTGCAGGCCCGTCTCGCGGCTCTCGACGGCGCCCTGCAGCGCCGCGCCCAGCTGCAGGGTCAGCCGCGGCGACCCGCCGTAGTACAGCGTCTGCTCCGCGTGGCCGTCGAGGAGCTCGTCCGCGACGTCCAGCGCGCCTCTGCAAAACGCGACGTCGGCGCGCGGCAGCACCGTCCGGACCACGCCGCGCCAGCCCGCCAAAACGTCTCCAGAATGATCGACGGTCGAGAGGCCCAGCAGGTCGTGCCGCACTAATACCAGAGGCGCGCCCCGGTACACTCTTCCCGCGCGCTGCGCCGCGCGCAGCGCGCGCAGCGCGTCGGGCCGCCAGGCCAGCGCGTCGGCCACGGCCGCCGCGTCCTCGAGGCGCTGCGCCGCCGCGGTCGCGACCGCGTCGTCAATATCCGCGAGCTGAAAATCGGCGTCCTCGCTCCGCCACCGCGCGAAGCACCGCGGCCCGAGCACCTCGTCCCAGTTCTCGACGACCTCCCCCGCCGTGAGGGGCCGCGTGCCCGGCCGCACGCCCTGCAGTTCGCCCTCGGTCGGGGCCCAGCCACCGCCCTCCCACTTCGTGCCCGACGGGTCCTTTCTAGCCGCGATGGCGCGGCGCCCGACCTCGTCCTCCTCAAACAACAAGCGCAGCATCATGCACGCGTCCGCGGGCCGCACGACTCGTAACTCCCTCAAAACGCGGTGGTACTTCCTTGCTAAGTCAAAGGTTCTCCATCTATGTTGTGGGAGGTCGCGCTGGTCGCGCCAGGGGCCCTCGGGCCTGAGACTCTGCAACGCACTCAAGTAGACCTCGGACTCGAGGGGCAGCGTGTCCGCGACGACGTCGAGATCTACCACTACTCTAGGCGGCGCCTGCGTCTGCATCGAGAGGGCCAAGATTGTTGCGGGCAGCAGCAGCATAGCGTGGCGGCGCCTCATCGCTGCGTCTTAGACGGTTTCGCGCTCCGCTTTGCAAATGCGGTGCAAATGATACACCTTTGTTAATGGAAGTGTTGACAGCTCGACGAGCGTTTCAGACCGAGCGTGCGTGCGTCGTTGTAGTAGCAGTTGTGGGTGGGCTGCTAACCACGGCTTCGTCTCGCAGTTTCGCTGCTCGCAGACGGCGCTGAGTCACCTTGAAACTCCAAGCTCTCAGAGACTTGCTAGTGTCTTTACCAACGCTAGGTCGAGCTGATTGGAGCCCACTGTGTAATACGGTCTAGCGCGGCTAGAACTGATTTAGCGCAACGCTAGTAACTGCCACGTTTGTTCTGCGCTGGGACGCGAAGCTACAGCATTGTACCACAGCCGGATAGTCGAGGCAGTAAGGAGAGCACACACTCGACTGGCTTGCGCTAACGAGCAAAACGGCACACAGCTATGAAGATCTTCCAAAAAACACGCAAAGTAGCAAAGAAGAAAAGCACACAACCCAAAAAGCAACCGCAGGAGGTCTACGCGCGAGCCGCCGCGCCGAGCGTCGGAAAGAAGAAGAAGAGGAAGCGCCCGAACGACGAAGGCCTCGCGCTCGGCCCGCTCACGGCGCGGCAGCGGCGCTGCGTCGCGGCGGCCGCGGCGGGCGCCGGCCTCGCGGTCGCGCGGCGGCCCGACGTCCGCGGCGTGCAGGCCGCGCCGGGCAAGCGGCGGCCGCGCGCCGAGCGCTGGCGCGGTGGCGGCGAGGCGCCGGACGCCTGGGTCCAGGCGCGCGTCGCGGCCGTCGTGCCCGGCGCGGCGGCGGCGCTCGAGCGCGCGCTCGCCGCGGCGCCGGCGACGGCGCCGCCGTTCCTGCCGCTCGGCGACGTGGCGACGGCGCGCTGGGCCACCGCGACGCCGACGGCGCTCGTGGCCTGGGACGGCGACCAGCTCCGCTTCGACGGCGTCGAGGCTGTGCTGGAGGCGGCCGAGGCACTTGTGGAAGGACGCGCGGTTGCGCACGTGGTCTGCCTGAACCCGCGCGGGCCGCGGCGGCGGGCCTGGGCGGCGCAGCTCGCGGCGTTGGATGGGGGCCCCTGGGCGGCGCGCGCCGTGTTAATTCGCGTCGCGGAGAGCCGGTGCGACGGCGTCAAGTCGGGGCTCGCGCGGCTCGTCGCCGAGTTTTGTCGAGCCGCGCGAGCCCCGACTGGGGCCGCCGTCGACGTCGTCGTCGCGGCGACGCGGAACAAGAAATTATTAAAGGAGCTCGAGGCCGTTGTGGGGCGTGTTGTTGTGTTTGAGCCTCCGCGAAACAAAGGTTTTTACCCCCCACGTAAGAAACAAAGGTATTAATACACACTCACATCTGCCGGCAGCCGTCGAGGGGAGTCCCCTGGATGTAGCGCCGGACGCGCTCCTGCTCGAGGAAGGGTACCTGCACGCCGCCGGCGCCGCCGAACACGAGGACGTTCTGCTCAAGGTCAATGATGCATCTGAAGCGGCGGAGCTGGTCGAGGCCCAGTAACAACAACTGATCTTGTACTTCTAGAACCGAGAAGTCTAAAGCGAACCTGCGTGCGCACAGCATTGCGTTGATAGCGTGGGGGGCCGTGAAATTCAAATTCTACGCGGAAGCGAACTCGACGTTCTTCAGGTAGATCGCCACGGACCGTAATTTGCCGATGATCCGCGCTCTTCCGACTCCCGCGGCGACGCCCTGCTCGGACCGATCCAAGCGGTTCATCAGGCCGAGCCTTCGAGCTAACGGGGCCGAGATCACGCTGTGCTGCGCGCCCGAGTCGACCATCATCTCCACGGCGGCCGCATCTCCGAACCGACACTCGACCAAAACCATCCCACCATCGACGCCAGTAGGGCCAGCCACGGCCCAGAGTCGCAAAACACCCGCTCGCGGTCGAGCGCGTGGGAAACGAAGTCATCGTCAAACTCTCCCAGGAGGACCACCCCACTGATCGAGAAAGGGCGGCTATGATCGGTGCGGCGCCTCCAAGCAGAAATCACAGTGCCAAAGTGCCTATCGCTAGAGAGGCAGTTTTCAACATGAAAAGAAACCGTGCTGTATTAACCCATCCTGATGTGCTCCGTCATACTAACGAAGGCGCGACCTGTGTGGTCGTCAAGGACGGGAACTCAGAAGAGATGGTCAGGGTTCTCCTGGACCACCTCTCGCCGTTAGCTCGCCTTGGTCTCCAGATGCGTGCCGTGGAGGCTTGTATGGACAAGGGCGGAGTAAAGAGGTTGGGTTTAAACTTACACAAGACACAGGAACAGCGACTGCCGCGGGCCGCATACAACTCTCTGGATCAAAATTTCGCGACACGGGCTGCGGCCGCTGCGAGACGCTCGAGCGTCGCGCGGATCTACGACGTGACGACGAAGGTCAAGCTCAACCCACCAACGCGCGAGCTTTTGTCATCGGACTGGTACGCATTCGCCTTGTACTTGTGATCAATCTCGAGCGGCCCCTTTCGCTAAGGGCCGCGTGTCAGCTAAATCGACCTCCTGTTTGAAGCGGAGTCCCAGAAACATCGTGGCGATGCCGCGGCGGCGCGCCGCTTGGCCGTCGCCCGGCGTTCACTTGCCGCATCCTGCTCCTGGTACTGCAGGCTCCTAGCAATGGCTTCGTCGTTTTGCATCGATGCCGCCATCTCGCAGCTGTGATGAGTGCCCCTGGAGTGTGGCGTGGATCTGTGGATCTGTGTACTAGGCGCAGTTTCTCGCGGTCTGGCAGCAACGCGTAGCCTAGATCTTGTCTCGCAGACCGCACACACCGGCCAGATCGCAGTAGAGAGCCAATAAATGCTTGGAGAGCATTCCTAGTGTGTCTTACAGCCGCTAGCCTCGTTTTTGTCCGAGTGCAAGTGCCTATGCTGCTGCCGCCTGCCAGATCTGGTTACAGGAAGCCGCTTTACACAGCTCCACCCGAGCAGAGAGCAGCGCTGGCGAACTACACTCATGCTCAGGACTAGATCACACACCATGCTCTGGTGCCTCAGCGCTGTGCTCGTTTCGACAAATGCCCACAAGCTGGGCCTCAGCCGCAGGACGGCCCTCGGTGCCGGCGTGAGCGCTGCGTTTGCAGCGCCCGCACACGCGGCGAGTGAAAATTTCGTGAATTTCGAGGACGGTACGATCGGCCTGCGCTTCCAGTACCCCAAGGGCTGGCGGTGCCGCGGCACGGGTGCGCTTATGGGGCTGGTGGCCGGCAACCGCGTGACGACCTGCACAGACGAGAGTGCGAAAGACGGCGCCGTCATTGGTATAGAGGCGCGCATGGTGCCCGCGAACGACCAGCTCTATGTCGACATCGAAAAAGCACTCACCGAAACAGATGTGAAGGAGATGGTCGTGCCCCCGGGAACGCCCGCCGACGTCGCCGTGGCCACGAAGGGCGAGCGCAAGGCCTACGTGCTGACGAGCGAGCAGGCGCAACAGAAAGTGGTCGACGTCTTCACGGTCCACGCGGGCGAGGCTGGCCAGTACTGGGCCGTCACCGTGAGCGCCGCGGCGCCTGCACAAAAGTGGCCCGCGGGTTTAGACGGGGTCCTCGACTCGGTCGCGTTCTTTAGGCCCAATACTGACACCCCCTTTAGGCCCGGGTAATGGCTACCCTTAATTTCGACGTCCGGCCCCGGCGATGGCGTGCCGGTGTGAGAAGAATCACAAACACATATTTAGAAGCAGCCCCCCGACCGCCTTCGTTTGGGGCTGAAGAGGTCGTCGCAGAACGTTGTGCGGTCGGGCGGCTCGCGTTGCCTCGGGACGACGGCGGGTTCGTCCCTGAGCCGCGCGTTCTCCGCCTCTAGCTGTTCGACGCGCCGCCGGAGCTCCCGGCACCGGTGACGCCAGTCGACGCCCGACGCCGCTGCCCGCGCGACGTCCTCCGCGGCCAATGACTTGCCAACCGCGTCGACGTCCTCCCAAGATGATGAAGACGCCCGCTTCTTCCGCACCACCCGCGCGAGCCGGGCCCCGTCGCGCGTGAAATGGGGATGCGCGAAGACCGCGCTCCCGTCGGCGCTCTTCCGCCGCCGGAACTCGTACATGTTCAGCATCCGCGCGAACGACGTCCAGTTGCTATGCTTGAAGTAGACGGGGCAGCGGTCCGCCGCAAATTTTGTGGGGTCCGGGATGACCAGCGCGGCGCCGTCGGCCGCCCACGTTATGTGAAGCCCCTCGTGCACGAGCTTGTAGAGCTGCTGCACGAACGGCGCGACCGGCGCCGCGGCGTCGACTTCCTCCATCGATGGCGCGCACCCGTTTTCAACCGCTGCTGCCTCGGAGGGGCTGCCTCCACTGGCTCTGTGTGCCGCTATCGATGGTCGGGCGTCGCCGCACCGATCGCGTACGGGCCCGGTGCGCTTCTCAATGGCTCAGATTGTGCGACGTTCCATCGATGCGCGCACAAATGCGCCTGAGTGCGAATGCCAGATGAAATTGGGCCTCATGGGATCAAGCCCCCACTACGCTGGCAGTTGCAAGTAGGAGACGTCTCTAGGGTCGCGTAGGCATACCTTTGCTTCGGAAGCGTGCGTTTTACGCTAGTATAACCCACTAGAAGTCACGTAAAACACGCTGGACGTCAACTCTGTGCTCTCTGCGCGCGGGGGCAACCGGGGCGTCAGGAGGTCACAATATAGCTCCAGAAGTGCCGGGCGGGCGTTAGGTAGAGCAGTTCGTGGCCTGCAGCGAGCAGCTCCGGAGAGTGCTGGCAGCAAGGCAGAGCGACGCGGTGACGCGGGGCGCGCACGGATGCGCTCACCAAGCGTAGCCATGCTCCTGGCGGTGCTGCGGCCCGTCCAAGCACTGAGAGGCCCGACGCACAAAGCACGACACTTAACTAGACGGTTTAGTGGAGAGGCGTGGACCGTTTCAAGGACAAGGACGGCCTTCACGGACTACTTCGAGAGTAAGAGGGAACACAGTTTCGTCAAGTCCTCGCCGGTCGTACCGTTGAGCGACCCCACGCTACTGTTCGCCAATGCGGGAATGAACCAATTTAAGCCTATTTTTTTGGGGCAAGTGGAACCCGGTACAAGCTTAGAAGGCTTGACGCGAGCCACAAACAGTCAAAAATGTATAAGGGCGGGAGGCAAGCACAACGACCTGGAAGACGTGGGCCTCGACACGTACCATCACACGTTCTTCGAGATGATGGGTAGCTGGAGTTTTGGGGACTACTTCAAGGCCGAAGCGATCCAGTGGGCTACCGAATTGATGTGCGACGTCTACGGGTTGGACAAGGAGAGGTTGTACGCGACCTACTTCGAGGGCGGCGACGGCTTGGAGCCCGACCTCGAGGCAAAGCAACTGTGGTTGGATGCCGGGTTTGCACCTGAGCGAGTCTTACCAGGAAACAAGGCGGACAACTTCTGGGAGATGGGCGATTCTGGTCCGAGGCGGCGTCCGAACCTTCAGCTTTCATGCACCGTCGCGACGGCGTAATTGGACTCGCGACACACACGCCACGCCCGCGCAGGCCCCTGCGGCCCCTGCACGGAGCTCCACTACGACTGCATCGGTGGCAGAGATGCCGCACCCTTGGTCAACATGGACGACGCGTCGGTCATCGAGATCTGGAATCTCGTGTTTATCCAGTTCAACCGGGACGGCCGGACGGGCGAGTTATCTTCGTTACCTGCCAAACACGTAGATACGGGATTAGGCTTGGAAAGACTGGTGGCTATCTTGAATGAGAAGCCGTCGAACTACGACACGGACGCGTTCCAGTTCTTGTTCGATGCTACACACCAATTACTCCCGGAGGGCTCTGCGCCGTACCAAGGCAAGTTAGGGGACGAGGATGTGGGGTTGAGGGACACCGCTTACAGAGCCGTGGCGGACCATATCAGGTGTTTATGTTTCGCGATCGCCGACGGTGCCGTGGTGTCGAATGAAGGTAGAGGTTACGTGCTGAGGAGAATTCTACGGAGAGCCGTGCGCTACGGCGTCCAGACGTTAGGTGCTCAACCCGGATTCTTCTCCAAGCTCGCGCCCGCATTAGCCGCATCACCTTATGGCGACGCCTACCCGGAACTACGCAATGAATTAGATCGAGTGGTAAGTGTCTTACAAGAGGAAGAGGCGACCTTTGAAAAGACCCTTGAGAGGGGCCTCCGATACTTGGACGAGGAGCTCGCCAAGAGCGACGGGACGCTGTCCGGTGAAGCGGCCTTCTTCTTGTATGATTCGCTCGGGTTTCCGGTTGACCTGACCGAACTCGTGGCTCGGGAGAAAGGGTACGGGGTTGATGTGAATGGCTTCGAGAAGGAGATGCAGACGCAAGTCGAGCGATCAAGGGCCGACCGCCAGGCGAAAGCAGCGGCGGCTCTCGGTTCGGCGACGATTGAGCTGGGTGCGGCCGAGACCGCTGCCTTACTAGCTTCTGGCGTCTCTCAAACAACACAGTCTGCGGTTGCCGATGCTGTGAAGGACGACGCCGTGAGCGGTAGTGGTGTTGTTCAGGCGCTGTTCATTGTGGATGAGAGCGGTGCCTTACAACGAGTCGAGGCACGAGATCTGAGTGACGGACCCGTCGGCGTCGTACTAGATGAATCCCCCTTCTACGCCGAGGCCGGCGGCCAGAAAAATGATGTGGGTGTCATAGAAGTGGACGGCGTCTCACTGGAGGTGCGGGACGTCCAGGCCTACGCGGGCTACGTGCTGCACACGTGTGTGGCCACGGAAGGGTCTATCCGCGTATCTGCTTCTGTAGAATCAAAAGTCGACGCCGAGAACCGGAGGAGGAACGCCATCAACCACTCCATGACCCACGCCCTCAATTGGGCCTTGTGGACCAAATTGGGAGACGGCGTCGCGCAGCGCGGCTCGGATAACGACGCGGAACGGTTGCGCTTCGACTTCTCGCACGGCAAAGCACTAACTACTGATGAATTGGAAGAAGTGGAAGCATTGGTGAACGGTGTTATTGAGAAAAACGATCCGGTGCAGCGAGCTCTGGTGCCGCTCGACGAAGCTATGCAAATAGAGTCATTGAGAGCTGTGTTTGGGGAGAACTACCCCGATCCCGTTAGGGTGGTGGCCGTCGGTTTGGGGGAGGATACGTTAGATGATGTGCGCGCGGACCCCTCAAATGCCAAGTGGCGCGCGGCGTCGATCGAGCTCTGCGGGGGCACGCATTCTCTCGCCTCGGGCGATGCGCAGCGCTTCGTCATCACGCGCGAGGAGGCCGTGGCCAAAGGTGTCCGGAGGGTGGAAGCGGTGACGAATGGGAAGGCCGCCGAGGCCGCTCGAGTTGGTGATGAGTTATTGGCTGCTTGTCAAACACTTGAGAAAGAAGAAGCACCATCACAAGAGCAGCAGAAAGAGCTACGGGCGCGCATCGACGCTGCGACGTGCTCCGCGGCCCTGAAGCCGAAGCTGAGGGCGTCGCTCGAAGCCGTCGCGAAAAGATTGGCCGCAAAGGAGAAAGCAAAGGGCGCGGCGGCGGCCGGCGCCGCGGCCGAGGTCGTCGTCGAGAAGTGCGACGAGGCCGCCGCGGCTGGTCATACAAGTGTGGTGGTCGAGGTCCCCGCGGGCGTCGACGGGAAAAGTGTCGGCAAGCTCGCCAAAAAAATCCACAAGGCGCACCCGGACCTGGCGCTCTTCGTGGTCGCGGGCGGCGGCGGGAAGGTGGGCGCGTTCGCGGCGGTGCCTGACGGGCATGCTTTGGCGCCGGCCGGCGCGTGGCTCAACGCGGCGCTGGAGCCGCTCGGCGGGCGGGGCGGCGGCAAGCCGACCTTCGCGCAGGGGTCGGCGAAGGGCGACGACGCTTCGGCGGTTGTGGCGGCGGCGAAGGCGTTCGCCGCGTAAATATGACTACTTATCAAATACCTCGTCCAGGAACTTCTTGCTACCGTCCCGCGTTGGTGGTGGTGCTGCCACGGCGCGCTCCACGAGAGCCATCCTATCTTCGTCCGTCTCAGCAGAAGGGCCCAGGGCAGTGTTGACGGCGGCGGTCAGGCCCGGCGGAAAAGGCCATTCGCGCAGGGTGAGGCACGGTGCGTCGAGGAGGAACGCGGCCGTCGCCCGCAGCTCCGGATCGCGCCGCGACGCGTGCAGCACGAGCGCGGCCGCGTCCGCAGAATAAGGAGAATCTAACTTCGGCTCGCCGCCGAGCTGGCGCGCGCAGAAGCGGCCCGACGCCGCGGCGAAGAGCGCCTGGCCGAGCGCCCAGACGTCTCCCTCGGGCGTTTTCGTCGCTCTTCCTTTGAGCTCCGGCGCGACGTACTGCGCCGGGCCCTCTAGCCCGAAGCCCGCGCCGGCGAGCTTGACTCGGCCGTCCCTCCCGAGGCGGATCGACGCCGGCGCGACGGCGCCGTGGGTCAGCTGCCGCGCGTGGAGGAAGGCGAGGCCCTTCAGCGCCTCGCCCGCGATATGTAGGAGCACGGTCTCGTCCCCAGCCAAGCCGTCCTTCTTCACAGCGATGTCGCGCAGCGAGCCTCCATCTAAATATTCCGTGACGACGCGCGCGCCGCCCTTCGGGGCAGGGCCGACACCATGCACCGCGACGAGCTGGGGGCACGCAGCGGCGCGCGCCGCTTTACGCAGCGCCTGCACTTCCCCCTCGACGTCCTCGACGCTCACCAACTGCCGCGTGGACCGCTCGACGCCGAGCCGCAGCGCGCCGAAGACGCCGCGGCCGTCGGGCCGCACGACCGCCACGTCGGAGACGTCCGTAGCGACGGCAGGCGTCGGCGGCGGTGGCAGCGGCGCGCCGCCGTCGTCGACGAGGGGGATCGGAGGGATTGCTTTTGCACTTCGCGACATCTGCCGCACGAACGCCGGCCGCGGCGACCGCACGTCCTCGAGCTCGCTCTCGGACGAGTCGTCGGGCGCCGGCGCGACCTGGGTCGGCCGGATGGCGGCCAAGATCTCGCGGCTCGTCGCGTCGGCGCTGTCGTCGTCGTATTCGCGCGTGAGGTGCACGTGGCGCGGGCTCTCGTCGACGGGGTCGACGCAGCCGCAGAGGTAGGCGGAGAGGTCGTTCCACATGGTTTGCGCGGAGTAGCGGCCCTGTGGCTTCCTTTGGGGAGATGGGCTGCCCCTGCCCTGTGGCTTACTTTGGGTAGAGATAATATGGGGGCTGCCCCTTGGGCCTTGCCGACTTCTGCGATGGTCGCGCCGGGCGATGATCTTGTAGAGGAGTCTGATGGCGGACCTTGCGTCCCTGTAGCTCCTTCTTTAACCTTGTGGAGCAAGCGAGTGTAGATTTCGAGGCTAGTGTGTTTCGACACGCTAGCTGGCTTGATGCTGCGTAATTTACATTGCACCAGGCTGTAGGCCCCAGGCAAGCTCCAAATTCTCTCAGCAGCACGCCTCAATAAATCACTGCACTGCCTTGGGACAGACGGAGCCCGCGTTGACCATGCCACGACGGAGATGCACCGCGTTGGCGTGGTGGAGCCTGACGCTGGCAAGCCGCGGCGCGGCGCTCGTCGCGCCGCCCGCGCGCTGCCGCCGACGAACGACGCCGATGAGGCAACCGTTGCGGCGACCCGCCGTCCTTGACCCAAATGTGATAGCGCCCACCCTGACGACGGCCTACGACTTCGAGGGCTTCCAGGGCAGCTACGCCTCGTTATACGCCACGCTCGGATTGTACGTCCTGTCCTTCTCGGGTTTGTGGTCGACGATCAAGCGCGCGACGAAAGTAGCTCTAGTGCAGAACACGTACGAGTTTCCCGGCGAGAACGCGCCGGGCGGCGGCCGGCCGATGCGGGAAATAGCGGGCGACGTCATGGCCTACATGCAGGCGAACAACTATGAAGTGGCCGACGCCGGCGAGACGATCACGTTTCGCGGCAAGATCGCGGCCTCGAAGTCGCAGGCGTTCTTCCTGTCGTTCGTGACGCTCGTCTGTCTTGGAAGTCTCGCCTTGGTGCTGCAGATCCAGTTCCCGGCGGTCGGCAACTACTGGTTCGGTTTATGTTTGCTTGGACCGTATGCAGGAGTCTTCTACTGGGGCAGTGCCCAAGAAAACGAAGATAGGGAGTTCAAAGTAAAACTCACAGCGAACGACGAAGAAACCGAAACGCTCATGGTCTTAAGGGGCGGCAAAGAGGATGTAGAAAGGATGGAGCGCGAGATGGCGCTGCAGCAGCAAGGGATGGTTCGCGTCAAGGGCGTCTTCGAGGACATGCTCGCCTAGTTCTAGTGGGGGGGCTCTCGTCGCGTAAGGGGCTTCTTACTATGTCTTACCCGTTAACAATCCCCGCGGCTATTGCTTGGATATGCCAGTTCTCGATGGTCGAAAGCGCTTGTCCGCGAGCGTGATGATGCACTCCTGCGAGATAGCTGAGCAGGTATTCGTATCGATGCCGCTCGAGTATGTCGACGAAACCTTCCGAGTTATGAGAACCAATCGCCTCACGAGAGTAATGCTCGAGCCTGAACTCAAGATGATCAAGTGTGCCATCACCGGTTGTGTCGTGCGTGACGTGCAAGCTCGCTGTCGGATTCAAGTAAAAACGCGTTGATTGAAAGAGGGGCAGTGTAGCGTGGTGAATGCCCTGGTGAGGTCGGAAAATGTATTCTTGCTCAGCTTGACCTGCAGTGCCGTTACATGCATCGTAGCGCATGTGACCAAGAGAAACCATAGCTTGATCCTCGTCCCTAATCGCAACAAGGGTAATTGACATGCGGGCCAGGGACTGGTCAAGGGCATCACGCCACTCCATTTCATGCTCAATGTGCGTGGAAATACTGAGGAAAGTTTCCATCTCATCCCAGCCCTCCGATCGTGTTATTTCAGCCCAAACGTCGTCCAGAAGCAGAGTATAGCCCCATTTCTGCTCGGGGCAGCGCTTTAGGTCGCCCTCCCAAAACACGCGACCGTCGTCCGTCGAGAAGCGCGCAAAGTACGTAAAATCATCGAACTTGTTCGGCCGAACCGTCGGCGGCGGCGTCGACCACAAGAGTGAGTCGACGAGGAGTCGGCGGCGCACTTGCGAGCGGACGTGCGAGAGCGCCTCGCTCGCCGCGTCGCGCGGTCTGGCTGGCGGCAGCTGTGCTTCGGCGAGCCGCGCCCAGGCCTTGCTCTCGCGCACGTCTTTGCGCAGCGTCTTGCTGTGCAGGTCAATAGGCACAGTGATTTTGGGTCCGTAAACGTGAACAGTTCCGGCCGTAAGGGAATCATGGCTGTGAGAGAGGCTTATATCAAACTATGCTCGTCTGATGCCTTGTCTGGTGCCTCAAATACCTCGGGGGGCAAGAGACCCCTGCTTGCTCTAGTGTGTTACACACCGCTAGCGGCGTTTTGGGCGCAAGCGCATATCGAGCTGCGCTGCATATTAAGGGCAGACTCACGCGCTGCTAGGATCTCTACTAAAGAAATTGTGCTAGGTAGAACCAGTGCGACGCCGCGCACCACTAAGCACCCATGCTGCGCCGCATCGCCTTGCGCCAGGCGCGGCGAGCGCAGCGCCGTCGTCTCAGCAGCGACGCCGCGGCGCAGCACCGCCCGTCACGCGCAAACCGCCGCGCGTACCTCGCCGGCCTGCGCGACCGGCGCGACGCCTTGGAGGCCGCGCACGGCGCGCCGGCGCTGCACGTGGCGACGGCCGTCGAGCGCACGCCCGTGGTGATGCCGGACCCCGAGGACTGGGAGCTCGAGATGTGGGAGCTCCAGGCACGGCTCGAGGAATTTGAAGGTTTTGACTATCCGCCGTCCGTGCTCAACGCCGGCGCGCGCGGCGCACCAAAAGAGAGGAGCGGCCCGCCAAAGAATATACCGGAGGAGATCCTCGCGCTCGCGAACCGCGAGACGGACGCCGACCGCGCCGATGACCGCCAATCGCTCGAGCGGCGCCTCGCCGACTCGCTCTACCTGCTGGTGAAGAGCGGCGGCGCGTGGACGCTGCCGGGCGTCGCGCTGGACGAGGAGGAGTCCGTCCGCGACGCCGCGCTCCGCGCGCTCGACGAGCACTGCGGCGACGACCTGTACACTTATGTATTAGGCGCGGCGCCCGTCGGCGTCTGGGACGCGGACGCGGACGGCTACCGGCGCGAGTTCGTGGCCAAGGCCATCGTCGTCGACCCCTACGCCTCGGGGCCGCCGGCCTGCGCGGACTACGTCTGGGCGGCGAAGGACGAGCTCGACGGCTACCTCGCCGACGACGCGTACCTCGAGTTCCTGCGGAAGCTGCTCTGAGATATCTATCTGTTCGTAAATAACCTTAACAACATCAGAAGTGCCCCGCGTCCGAGTCCGCCGTCGACGCCTCGGGGTCGGACAGCGCCCGCACGGCCTCGGCGACGCGTTTCAGGGACGCGTCCGTGGCCGCGATGCGCCGCTCGACCGCAGCGAGCTCGAGGCGTGCGCGGGGCAGCGCCGCGGCCGCCGCCGCGGCATCGCCGTGCACTTCCCTTAACTCAGCGAGGCGCCGCAGCACGGCCGCGACGGGCCCCCGGTCCTCGTCCGAATGCGCCCCAAGCGCCGCGGCGTCGGCGGCGAGCGCCGCGAGCGTCTTCGCGGACGCGTCCGCCGGCGCGGCGGCGTCGGGCGGCGGCGGCGGCGCCGCGGCTCGCGCCGCGACGCCCGCCAGCGCGGCGTCGGCCGCGCGGCGCGCGGCGGCCGCGGCCGCGGCCGCCGACGAGGCCGGCGGCGCCGGCGGTTCGGCGGGCAGCCCCGCGGCGAGGCGCTGGAGCGACAGGCGCAGGTCCTCGACGTCGTGCAGCAGCGCCGCCGCGGTCCGCCCGTCGTAGGCCTCCGGCGCCGCAGCTAAATCCTTGCTCAGCTCGTCGGTCTCCCGCCGCAGCCGCGCCAATTTTAAACGAGGGTGCTCGAACGCGCTGCGCTGCGGCGCGCGGCCCCCGTGCAGCGCGCGGCCCGCCGCGTCTCTTGTTAAACCCGCAGCCGCCGCGCGGAAGGCCTCTTCACTGGAAACGAGCGGCGCCGTGTCCAGGCCCTCGGTTTGTGGGGGTGGCGCGGCGTCTTCGGGGGCGGCGGCGCTCGGTGGGACATATTCGTAGATCTCGTCCTCGGCCATCGGTGTTGAATTGGTGCAGCGAGAGCTTTGGCCGTTTTCAGACTTCTTTTGTCGCGATGCGTAAGCTGCGACAGCTCAAAGGTCCTGCGTCGCTGTCTTGATCGGCGGCGCGCGCGTCGATGGCGTGCTGCTGGACCAGGGCTAGGGTTGGTGCAGCGGCGGCGGGAAATTGATGGCGCCGCGCGGCGAGGGCTGCGCGCTGGCTGTGTAGGGAGGTGCCAACACTCTGCAGAGCGACCCTGAGGCGCTCCGCTCGAATTTCACTCGCGAGATGAAGTTAGCGTGATAAAGGCTCTAGAGTTCGACGTAGCCGGTCTTCGCGAGCCAAAACGAGTGGTGTATTGGTGTATTGGCCCGGCGGGGAGCCGTTTTGATACATTCTCGTCATCATGAAGCTGGCTCTTACCGCTGCGTGCCTTGCGGCCACGTCCCACGCCCTCCTTGCCCCACCAAGGCAGATCTTGGCGCTGCGCCCGGCGGTGCCGGTGCCGCCGCGGGCGACCGTTCGCCTCGGCGCGGCCGACGCAGCGCCCGCGGCAAACAAACCGTCTCTGATTGCACGGTTCAACAACTTCGGCCTCTCGCTCAAGGACCGATCGCGGAGACAAAGGGAAGCGCTCAAGGGCGCCAATCTAATGATGAAGCTGCCGCGCGGCGCGTACGTCGCGGCGCTGTCGCTCGCGTTCGTCGCGTACCGGGCCTACCGCGGCTTCTTCGTCGTGCTGCCGGCGGTTTATGGGGAAGTCTACGCCCAGGCCCTGGCCCAGGCGACGGAGGAGCACGTCAGTATAAGGGGCGTGGAGGTCGCCGACGACATTGATCCGAAGACGGGCAAGCTCCGGCTGCGGTCGCGCGTCGTCATGAACGTCGGGGCGCTGGCCTTCATGGGCGCGTTGATGGTCGGCGGCGCGGTGCGGGCACCCATTCGGATCGCGGCGGCCTGCTTACGAAAAGTTGGGCTCCTCCCGCGTTTGGTAACAGAGGCGACGCCGGCCGACCGCCTCGCCGCGAAGGAGAAGGAGCTCGACCTGCCACCGCTGCCGGACATCCCCGACGACGTGCCGCCGGACACCGACGACGTGTAACTTGGACATCTTGTTTATTTTTCGTGCGGGTGCATCGCGGAGCGCGGCCTGTTTCTTCTGTTTTGCGAGCTGACGCTGCACAAAAGGCACCACCGGGGCAGCCATGGACGCGCTGAAGAATGCTCTCTCCATCGTGCCGTCCGGCACGGCGGCGACGATCATCGTCGGCCACGCGCTGCTCACCAAGGTGATGATCTGTGTGGAAACCAACCAGTGATTATTCTGAGAATTATTGCCGAGACGTCGCCATCGAGCTGCCGCAGCTACGGGGACGACGTCGCGTCGATGGCGTAGATCTCCACGCCATCGAGCAGATGCAGTTACGGGGACGACTCGCGTCGATTTCCACACAGTTGATGATGACGGCCATGTTCCGCCTCAAGCTGACGATGAAGTCCGCGCCCAAGGCGGAGTGTACCAAAATTCTCAAGTCCCAGTTCTACCAGCGCGTGTGGAGTGCCCAGCTCAACGAGGCCGAGTACGCGCCGCTCCTGACGGCGGTGCTGCTCTACCTCAATTCGGAGGGCGTCGCCGCGCCGCTGGCCTCGACGCTCGCCGTCGGCGGCCAGGTCATCTACTTCTGGCTGCGCGCCTTCGTCGGCCACTACCACGAGGGCGGCATGGATCCGCCGCCCTACGCGCCCTTCGCCGTCGTCCGCTACGTCGCGCTCGGGCTCCTCGTGCAGGAGCTGCGCGGCCTCACCGCTTAGGCCTCCGCTGCCCCGAGCACTTAACAACAAGACTCTTATTCACAGTCACAGTTCCGTCCGCGCGGCGGCGGCGGCGATCTCAGGGTTGAACACGTCCCAGTTGACGTCGTCGTTGTGGCTATGCGTAAAGCCCGCTTTCCTCTCGGCGTCGACGATGGCCCTCGTGCGGAAGGCGATCACGTAGGTCCGCCGGTGCCGCGGCGACTGATTGCCCGGCGAGCCGTGGACGACCCACTCGTCGTGTAGTGTCACACCTCCTCTTGGAACCTCGGCAAGGCGTATCTCCTCGTCGTCCGCAACCTCCGCAACTACGGCGTGGCCTTCCTCGCGAGATTTCGCGAGCGGCCGGTGCGGCCGGAGCTTCTTTTCCTTCTGGCTCCCCGGCACGTAGCGAATGCAGCCGTTCTCTGCCGTTTCGTCGTCGATCGCTAAGGTAAGGGTGACGGTGCGCGTGTCGTTGGCCGTGAGGGACGCCGGCGGCCAATATGCCATGTCCTGGTGCATCGCGAAGACGGCGTCACCTTTGCCGGGGCGCTTGTCCAGCAGCTGGTCGTAGTCCTGCGTGCGAATCGACCGGTGAGACGGGTGCGTCGATAAAGAGTCACGCCGCGTGGCACCTGCACCATCTCTACGCCTGGAAAGACCTCAGCAGCAATTTCGGCAGCAAGCCGCTCCCAGGCGTTGTTGCGCAGCGGTGGATGGTAGCGGTGCGGCAACATACCATTAATAACACTCCACTCGTCAAACGGCGTGCCGAAGGGCTTGGACATGTCCGTAAAATTTTTCCCCATCACCTCGGCGTGGATGCCAGACATGAATCGGTCGTACTCCACCTCAATCGCCGCGACCGCGGCCTCGTCGAGCATCTTCCCGAGCACGACGAGCCCGTTCTCGAAGAACGCGTCGCGCTGCGCCGGCGTCAGGTGCGCGGCCCGCACGGCGGCGACGGCGCACGCGAGCCACGACCAGGCACTGAGCATCTTGTGGTGTGCTCAAGCGGCGGCGCGGGCCACAGATGAGTTTTGCAGCACGTGGCCACTAATACGAATGTAGTGGACCGGTAGGAGCGTTTACACGGCCTGCCGCGACCGCTGCGCGATTCTCAAAACTGGAGAGCAGCTCTTTGCCATCAACAGAGCAGAGCGATGAATTGAGCAGCCATGGACGGCAGCAGTGACCCGCCACCGGCGGAAACGTGCTGCAGCGCATCGCAGCCGACAAAGGACGACGCCTGCGCGGCGAGCGGCGCACGACCCGGCGACGACACTGCACAAGCGCCCTGCTGCAACGCAGCCGACACGCCGCCGCCGCCGCAGCCGGCACCGAACGACGCCTGCGCGAGTAGCGGCTGCGCACGACAAGGCGGCGACGCCGACACCGCACCGCCGCCGCCGCGACCAGTACGCCGCCGCCGCGCGAGAATACGGCGCCAGATCCCCCCGGAGATTAGTGAAGACCCTTTGCTCAAGAGCGCCATCGAACGAACATTACCGACAAACTACGCGTTCGAGATCCCGAAGACGATCTGGCGGTGTCGCGAAGCCGAGGCAAAATGCGTGGCCCTGCAGTTCCCCGAAGGGTTACTCATATATGCGAATGCGATAGCGGACATTGTCAGGGAGTTCTCGCAATGTGAACGAGTGATTGTCTTGGCGGACGTCACGTACGGCGCGTGTTGCGTCGACGATTTGACCGCCAAAGCATTGGGTGCCGATTTCTTGGTGCATTATGGGCATTCTTGCTTGGTGCCGGCGTCGGTGACGGGTCCCCTCAAAAGTCTATATGTCTTCGTCGAGATCTCATTTGATGTGGACCATCTAGTAGGATGCGTCGAGGCCGAGTTCCTGCGGAAGCGCATCGGGGACGGCGTCGCTGATACGAAGCCGCAAAAATTGGCTTTAGCGGGCACGATCCAGTTCGCTACCGGTGTGGAGAGAGCTCGCGTGTTGCTCGCGGAGAAGAACGAAGATGTGGTTGTGCCGCAGCAGTTGCCCCTGTCGGCGGGGGAGGTCCTGGGCTGCACGTCGCCTAGATTGCCGGAGGACGTGGACGCGCTGGTGTTCGTGGCGGACGGGCGGTTCCACTTGGAATCGCTGATGATCCGGAACCCTCATGTTCCTGCCTTCAGATATGATCCGTATTCGAAGCGACTCACGTCTGAAAAGTATGACACGCGGCAGCTGCATCGACTAAGAAGGCGGGCCGTCGCTGCTGCCTCGAACGCGTCTCGCGTCGGTCTGGTGTTGGGTGCTCTTGGTAGGCAGGGGTCGCCAGCCATCCTTAGAAGAGTGCGCGCTTTACTGTCGCAAAGAGGCATCGCCCACTTCTGCCTCATCCTGACCGAAGTGACTCCTGATACACTGAAGAGATTTGATGCGCACGTGGATGCGTGGGTCCAGGTCGCTTGTCCGCGCCTCTCGGTCGACTGGGGCCACCACTTCAGCAAGCCGACGCTCTCGCCCTACGAGGCCCACGTCGCCTGGGGGTCGGAGGCGTGGGACGACGGCCACTACCCGATGGACTACTACGCGCGCTCCGAGAAGCCGTGGACGAACTACTTCAAGGGTGATGCTGCTAAGTAGATGTTTTGTGTAACCGTCGCGGCGATGGCGTGGGCCGTTCTCCGTCGTCGCGGTTTAGGACTTGTTGTTTCTATAGTTATCCGCGGAGCCCCGGTGGGGGAAGAGGGGGGACGAGGGGCTCGACGCCACCACGACTCTACTCCTTCACGGACCCGCGCTTCGCCGCGCTGCCAGCATTCGTCACGCCGCCGGCCACCCCGGACCCCGCGCCCTTGACGCCGCCCGCGAGCTCGCCGCCGGCCTCCTTCATGCCGGCCGCCATGCCCGAGACGCTTCCGGAGGTGACACCTTTCGTGACCGCCTTGCCCGCGCCGGCGACGCCGCCGACGGCGGCCCCGGCGCCCTTGACCGTGCCATGTAACACACTCGACGTCGCGCCCGTCGCGCCCTTCACGATAAAACCTCCTGGTACTTTATCGGCTACTTTGTTATTGACTCGCAAGATGCAAGGGGCTGTTCCTTTTTTAGCCTTGGGCTCCTAGGGACGGCGCGTCGCACCAGAGCTTGGGATACGTCTGGGGGTTACGCGAGGAGTCCACCCTGCTCGCAAACACGTCTCTGCCGTGCGTACGCTGGCCGCAAAAGCGGTGGCTGGTGTTAACTAGCGGCATGTAAGACACTAGCAAGCAAGCAAGAAGCGCTTTCCGAGGCGCAGCATCCCTAGGGGACCGGAGGAATATCGCCCATTGACTCCAAAGAGACAGCACCCAAAAACGCCGGCCGCCGCGAAAACCGCGGCCCCGAGCCGCGCTCTAGAGACGAGTCGCGCCACGGGCACCCCCACTCCAAGAAGGAAACACACACAGCAGACTTACCCACTCCACACCTTGTAGTGCGCCGTGTGGTAGTACTTGGGCCGCGCGTCCATGCGCACGTGGAGCCACGGCACGCCGGAGCCTTCCGTGCTGAGCCACACCGGCCGGTCGCCCTTCTGGGCCACGAGCGACTCGTAGGTCGACCCCACTTTCGCCCAGAAGGCCGCGGCCTGCGCCTGCGGCGCGTTTCTCGCGAACGCGGCGATGTGGCCGTAGGCGCTCTCTGGTGCCGCCACATGTGGGTTCGCCCGCTCGTAGAGGGTCCCGTGGGCCCGCGGTTGGACTGGTGGCGGCCCGCCCTCGTCGCAGGGCGACACGAGCATCGAATCCCTACCCAAATTGGGAAACGCCGCGCAGCGGTCGCCCCTTGAGCACGCGCCCTCCAGATGCTGGGCGAAGTCCGAAGAGTCCGCGGCCCGAAAGCCCCACCGGTTTTGGACCAACGTGTGCTCGTAGGGCGTCTCGACGAACGTCACGATGTTCACCGGCGGCACTTCCCAAAAGTACGCGTCGAACGCAGACTGCGCAAGGAGTTCCTGGAACCAGCCGGCGAAGGTATCATCGCGCCAGAGCCGCGCGACCTCGCCGATGGTTAACCGGCGGCCCGTCGCGGCGTCGGTCAGGTGCGTCGTTTCACTGCTCTCGTCGCTTTTTGTGGTTGCGCGGTACTTGCCGTCGGGCGAGGCCATGCCGCGGTGGTTCACTACTGATGGATGCAGCGTGTCGCGCCGGGGAGTGCGATACTTCCTTATGTAGCGCTGCTGCGTCGTGAACTGGGTGAGGAGCGCTGTTGCAGCCAAGAGGAGCGCAGCCGCAGTCATGCGGCGGTCAAATCGTCGCAGCGCTCGTGGCACAAGTAGTGTAGCGTTTTTCACGTGCGTATGGGCAGGCTTAAGGGTTCTGTGAGGCAGCATTTCGCGGCATGCCTGCCGTGCTAGTGTCTTACTGGACGCTAGGTCAGTGCAGCTCAGTGGCGGCTCTCCACGCGACTCTTTTCAACTCGCCCCCCCCCTCAGTTCGGCGAGGGAGTCCGCGGGTGTTCTTCAGGCGACACGGGCACTGCCGCTCAAGCCACGTGCGGTAACTACAGGCGGGCCAACGTTTAACTTTCAAGGACATGCCAGGGCTGTCAGACGACCTGTGTCTCGCCGCGAGGATGGGTGACGTCGCCACCGTACAAGCGTGGCTCGAAGCCGGAGGCAATCCAGACGAGCGCATGGCCCGATCGGACGCGACGGACACCAATATGCGTGGTCACGAAATTGGGCAAACACTCCTGCACTATGCGGTTGGCGGCCCAAATGTGTCCGTCGCGTCGGACCCAAATTTGCTAGCTGACTTGGAACGCCGCCGCACCAACATCGTGCGCATGCTACTGGCTCACGGCGCAACGGCAGACGCAGTCAATGACGCTGGCAACAACACACCGCTCTTTATTGCTGCCCTCTATGGACAAGCCGAATCAGCAGAACAACTGTGTCTCGCCGGCGCCAATGTCAATCACACAAGAAGCTCGGGCGATTTCCCTCTCTGGTATGCTACTCGTAAAAGCCCTCGCACGGTTCGTGTGCTACTCCGCTTCGGAGCTGACCCTTCGATGACCTACATAGATGGAGGTAGAACGCTCACACCGGAGGAACATGCCAACCTCCATTCTGAGAGTTACTTCGGTTCTATATATCGTGAATCTGCTCGCATTCTCGCGGACGCGCGGCTTCTGCGCCCGCGGCTCCGACAAATTTTTGCCCTTCGCGCGTTGGTTCATCGCGGCCGGGCGACGCCTACTTCCGAGACGCCGGAGGGATTTGCGCTGCTGTTCTTCGCGCCGAAGTCTCGGCCCAGGACGCGCGCCGCCTGGCGACGGGCGCCGCCGGGCCTCCCCGACCCCCTCGCCCATCTCGTGTGCAAGTTCTGGCTGGGAGAACCCCCGCGTCGTCGCCGCGCGGCACCCGCGACCGAGTAAGTACCACTGTGGAAGAAATGCAGTCGCGGAGATGCCAGGCACAAACAAAAAAAAACAAGAAAACGAGCCCACCTTACCCGTCGTCAACAACAAGAAACTCCGCCAACCGATTCGCCAGCGCCTCGGGCACGCGCGCGACGAGCCGCGTCCCCTCCATCTCGTGCTCGACGCGCTCCACCGTGCCCGTCCTATGAACTTCTTCCACCAAATCGCCCCGCGCGAAGGGCACGAGGCAGTCCACGAGGGAATTCTGCGACGCTAGCGCCGCGTCGACGGCCTCCAGCAACTGATCGACGCCGCCCCCTGACGTCGCCGAGGCGGATAAAGACGAGTCCACATCGGACTTGGGCAGGTTGTCCAATTCAAAAACAACTGCGTCATCCTCGCAGAGGTCCTGCTTGTTGTAGATGGTTATTGTTGGTGTCTCTCGACAGCCGAGCTCGTCGACGATTCCTCTCACTGCCCTCATTTGATTGGCCGCCAAGGGTGAAGAAGAATCAACCACATGGAGTAGCAAACAAGCGTCGGCGACCTCCTCCAACGTCGCTCTAAATGACGCCACGAGTTTTGTTGGGAGCCGTTGAAGGAACCCAACAGTATCTGTTAATCGACAAGCCCTACCAGAAGGCAACTGCACGCGTCGCGTCGCCGGGTCCAAGGTCGCGAACAGCCGATCGTCCGCATATAAGGGCTGGGCCTGCTCCGCGAGGGCATTGAGCAGTGACGTCTTACCCGCGTTCGTATACCCTACGAGACAAACGAGGGGCAGCCGATCGTCGGTCTTGCGCTTCTCCCGCGATTGTGTTCGTTTTTCTTTCAATAAATCGAGCTCCTTGTTCAGTCGCGATATTCTCTTCCCGAACAAACGCCTATCCATTTCTAGCTGCGATTCTCCCGCACCCCTCAGGTAGGCGCCTCCACTCGACCCTTTGCCTCCTGACCGCGAGTCCATGCCGGCGCCCGTCGTCAAAAACGTCGTCAGTCGAGGCAGCATGTACTCGGCCCTTGCTAGAGCTATCTGCGCTCGAGCCTCCCTTGTTTGTGCTCTTTCGGAGAAGATCTGCAACACTAATTGTGTCCTATCCAAGATTTGTAGATCGTCAGCACAGCCATGGAATGCGAGCTCCTTGTTTAAACTTCGTTGTTGTGCCAGCGACAACTCGTCATCGAAGACGACGGCGTCGGCCCCGTGCTCGAGCACGCGCTTCGCGACGTCCTCGACTTTGCCCTTGCCGACTAAAAACTGGCCGTTGGGCATGTCGGCCCTCTGAAACGTGGAATCGACGACGTTGACGCGCGCGGTATCACATAACCTCCCAAGCTCCGCCAAACTATCGTGCACCGTCCAGCCCGCATCAACCGGAGCGCACAATGCCATCCCCGCGTTGTCCGCGCCCCGCGTGCGTCGCTCCGCGAGCTTCGACGCGCCCCGTCTTGAAGTTAAGTCGAGACCCACCAAGACGGCCGAGGGCCACCTACTAGTATCAAAATACCCTTCGATGGCCGCGCTCTCCGACGCGTCCCTTTCATAATTCTCGGCCTGCACGGCGTCCGCGAGGAGCTCCGCCGCAGCGTACGCGGACTCGGCCGCGGCGACGCCCCGCAATAATTCCCGTCGCTCGGGACTGATCTCGTCCTGGGCCTTCTTGCGCTCTCGTCCTTTCGTTTCTTCCTCTTCCACTACTACGACTTTGTCGTCGTTGCCGCGCCTTTTCTGGATCTTCTGTTTTGCTGTAATACGGTCCGGCGCCGCCTGCTTCGGTTTCGGGGCGAGCGCTTCCTCCGCGAGGGCCGCGGCCTTGGCGGCGGCGCCGGACGACTTCTTCTTTTTTGGCGCTTTGGGCGCGTCGTCGGCGTCCTTGCTGTTGCCGCGGCCGCGCTTGCGGCCGGCCAACGGCGTGAGCGTTGCCCGTCGCGGCGCCGGCACGAATGCCGCCGCCAGGGTCAGCCATAAGACGGCGCGCAGCATCGCTTCTTTGTGCCGGCTGGCGCGTCTTCACGATGCCAACGCCGAGGCCTCGCCCGCCGTCGGACGCGCGCGGCGACGCGTCGAGTGCTCTTGGGTGCAAGTTGCTCCAACACAGCGGTGGGCCTCAGGGAGCAACCGCGTGCAGCAGTACTGCTTGGTATGCTTGCAGGAGTGTCTAAACGACCACTGCTCAATCCGAGAGTGCTCAGCGCGCCCGCAATGGCTGGCGGAGCAAAGCCCTGCGCTTCCTAGTATCTTACACCCGCTAGCTAATCCGCAACGCCGGACGACGCTCGGACGCGGACGCTGTCCTTGTGTGGCCTGCCTCCGGGTTTCACAAGCTCGGCTCCGTCTCAAAACCAGAGCGGCCGTAAGGACGCAAAGCGGCCCCGCGGCTGCCAAACCCAAAGCCCCAAAAGAGGAGGGCTGCCCCCCCGATGAAACGACGACGATAGCGACCACCACATAAACGACCATGGAGGAGTTCGACGAGCTCATGCCCACGCCCGACGAGGACGGCCGCCTCGAGCTGAGCCACCGCGCCTGGCAGCACGTCGACGAGGTCGTCTGGACCATGGGTTTGGAGATCACGGCGCTCAGTCTGGCTTATAATCGGTTAGCACACATCGCGCCGGAGCTCGGGGATTTGAAGCTGTTGCGCGAGCTGGACTGCTCGTGCAACAAGCTGCAGGCGCTACCGGCGAAGATTGGCGCGCTACGCCAGCTCCGGAAGCTGAAATGCAACGGCAATTCCCTGGAGCATCTACCGGACGAGATCGGGCAGTGCCGGCAGCTCGAGGAGATCATTTGTAGCGAGAATAAGCTCGTGGCGCTGCCGCGCGCTCTGGGAACGTGCAAGAAGCTCCGGATTTTACTCGCCCAGAACAACTCGCTGGCCATGTGTCCGCCGACGCTCGCGGACGTCTCCGCCTCGTTAGAGCACATCAACCTCGCGGGCAACCCGAGGCTAGACATGATCCCCAAGAAAATCCGGGGGGACACGGAATTGATCCTCTGGGTCCTGCGACTGCACCGGGACAACGAGGTCGAGTCGCAGTACGTCTTGTCGTGCATCGACACGCTCGAGGGCATATCCCGGGGCGCGACGGAACGGCACCGCGAACTGCGCTTGGAATTGAAGAAGGTCGACGAGGACCGCCTCGAGCTGCTCCGGAATCTACCCACGGGCATCGACAAGGTCCTCGTCATCTACGAGTACCTGCTGAAGAAGGCCAAGACCAAGAAGTGCGTAATATCCTAGCCTTAGAGCAGTGGCCTACAGTGGGGATTCCTCTTCTTGCGCGCGTCGCGGACGACACTTCGCAGCCGGTCCGGTTTTTTGGGAGCGAGCGCGCGGCGCGCGGCTCGCAACGCGTCGGCCGGGTCGCGATGCCCCGCCGAACCCGACCGCAATTGTCTCTGTTTGGCCGGCGGTCGTCGCGTCTCCGCGCTCGTCGCGCGCGGCCGGCGGATGGGCACGGCGGCGCCCGTGCCGACGGGCTTGGCCTCGCCCTCCAGCGACGGTCGTCTATAGCCACAACCCTTGCAGTAATTTCCGTTCGGCTCGGCGCGGCCGCAGTTGCGACATGTAAATTTTCGTCTCACAATTTCCCACCGCCGACGCGCCTCTCTTCGTCCCACGAATCCACGGCCGAGCCGCGTGAGCGTGAAGGCCGCCTTCACCCTTCGTTTCGCTCGCGCGAGCCGCTCTTTGCGCCGGCGCGCCAGCAGGGCAAGGAAATGCGGCGCGAGTGTTGCACAGGCAAGCCTCCGTCTTGCTGCCTCGCGCCGTCGTGCCGCCGCGACCTCTGCGAAAGCAACAATTGTCTGCGCAGCGGCGCCCCTGCGTCGGGCTGCCCACCGCCGGGCCGCGCGCTGCAGGATCTGCGCCGCCGCGTCGCGTCGGCGGTCCTGCACGACCATCGCGGCCGTGAACAGGGCGCATTCGGTAAACGCTTTCTTCGCCGCGGCCGCCGCGAGCTCTGACGCGCGCCGGGCGGCCGCGACCGCGTCATTCGCCGCAGACATCGCTTCCGCGACGGCCTCCATACGCCGTATCGACACCGCGACGGACTCGCGGAGCGCGGCGCGGTAGAGGCCTATTCGGCGCCCCGAGCGGCCGCGCGCCCGGCGCTGGAGAGTTACAGCTGCGGCGATGGCAACGCGAAATTGCTCCATGGCCACCTTTCGTCGCGACAGCGCCGCGAGCCGCGTCGAAGCGCCTCGTGCCACGCCGAACGCACGGCGACTCGAACGCCCGCGCTCGTGGGCCGCGAGCAGCGTCGCCGCGGCGCGGCGCCAGCATAGCTTTCGCCGCAACGCGTTGTGCGCCAGTTTACGCCGTAGGGCGTCCTGGACCACCGCGGCCGCACGATGCTTGCGCTGCCGTAGTTGCCACATGGCCTCGCCCGCCAGCTCGTAGGCCATTTTCCGTCGCCAGGCGCACTCGAGCGCGACCGCCGCTTTCACGCGCGCGTCGCGGGACGCAATCTTTAAGAGCCGAGATGCCGTCTTGGCGGCGCGCGCGTCGGCGCCGGCCAGCCACCGCTTCCGGTCGCGCCAGGCGTCCTGGATCTGGAGGACGGCGTCGAGCTCGACGGCGCCCCACTGCCGGCGTCTAATTGCCTCCGGGCGCTGCCGCGCCGTGCGGTCCACAACGCATCGCGCCCGCCAGCCCCGCTGGATCGTGTGGACGGCGCGCATGCGCTGCTCTTGCCGCTGGCGCTGGCGCGAGGCCAAGTCGGGGCTTCGCGCTGGCGCTGGCGGCCGCCGACGGGGCTTCGCCTTGCGCGGCTTCTCGTGCTGCTTCGCGCGCGTCCGCCAGTCCGCCGGCGCCACGCCGGCGTCGTCGTCCTCCGCGACGCCGTCGCTGATGATGCCGTTCATCTCCGCCAGCGCGCTCAATAATCCATCGCCCCTGTCGCCGCCGCGACCGCGCCACGCTGACGCTAAAGCGGCTGCTTGCGCGCCGGGGCTCCTCGGTGCCGATGATTGGCCGCCAAGGTGACCGCGGGGGTGGACCCGCGCATCATTGCTGTTACCGCCGAAGATGGCGGCCGGGGACCAGTCCTTGTAGCGGCTGGGGGCCGTCATCGGTCCCGGTGGGCAGCCTTTTGTCCAGCTTCGCAGCTGTTGGAACGGGCGAACCCGCACGTATTGCAACGCACAGGGTCCGAGGCAGCAAACATCCGACGGGACTGGATGCGCCGCGCGGAGGAGATAGATGGCTACCTTCTCGAAGCGTTCGATTTGTTCAGTGCGCAGGTGCAGGCATACCTCGCAGTGGCGGCGCGGTGCCGCACAAGACGCTGCCCCGTTGCTGCAGTAGTACAGGTGCCTGATCTTGCACGCGGTGCCTGAACTTGCAAACGATTGCAGCAGCAGCAGCCCTTGCCATTGGAGCACTGCCCAGTCTAACCAAGCACCACAACATACGCCATCGCCGCGCGACCGCATCTCAGAAGCACACTACAAGACGCAAATGAGTGCAATAATCGATGGCGAGGTCCTGCTCCTTGCATTCGGCGTCGTTGCCAAGCTAGTCATCGTCGCCGCAGTGGGCGCCACGGCCGCGAAGCGCCCGCGCGACCGGCCCATATTGAGCAAAGATGCGATCACGCGCATTTCGCGACTCTCCGCGGCCGTCATGATACCGTCTTTGATAATCTCGACGACGGGCGCGTCAATTAGCGTAAAGCTGCTCAAGGAGACAGTGTTAGTTGTCGTGTTCAGCCTGGTCACGATCGGCGTAGGATTACTGTCGATGCAACTGTGGGGAATGCTGTTTATACCCGCACCGCAGCGCCGGTCGTCGCTGTGGCAAGTGGCTTCCTTGGCCGCCGCGTTTCCGAACATTGTGGCTATCCCCTTGGTGGCAGTTGTGTCTATATGCGAACGAAGAGACGTCAGGGCGGACTACGACGACATCGCTACATGTGCCCGCACCGGGTCGGCGATCGTCTTCGTCGGCTCCTTCGCGTGGACGGCTATTTTCTTTACGTACGGCGCGCATCGACTGCGCACGATCGAGGCGGCCGAGAGCGGCTCGCCGGCGCCGAAGCCCGCCGAAGCCGTTGGGAGTTGCGTCCGCGAGCCCATCAATGCTGCGTTAGCTGTGGGCACGGCAATTGGTCTGATCGCACCGTTACGGCGCGGCCTCTTCTCCGTGGGAGGGCGGTCACCGCTTAGGATTATAGGCGGGACTGTCGAATTACTCGCGAGTCCAACGGTGTGCGTCGCCGTCCTCCTCGTCGGCGCGTCGCTCGCGAACGTTGATTTGAACGCTCTGGCCGCGCCAGATAAGAGCGCGAGAGACGCCGAGGCGCCGCCGCCACCGCCCGCGAAGCGCTCGGTATGGGGCGCGGTATATGCGGTCCGCGGCATCATCTCCGGTTTTGTGGTCGTACGGTTGCTGGTCGTTCCCGCGATTGTCGGCGCCCTCGAGGCGCTCGCGACGGCGACGATACCAATACCCCAGGCGCGCCTCGGTCGTGCCGTGCTGCTCATCTCGTCGGGCATGCCGACGGCGCAGATCATGATCGTACTCCTCCATAAATTCGGTCTCTCGCAGCAGGCGAGCGAGCTGTCCTTCCTGTTCGTGTTCCAGTACGCCGCGTCGATCCCGACGATGACGGCGCTCATCTCGTCCGTGTTGAACCGTGTGTATTAAGTAGCCTCTGTTTTTCGATTCTATATTTAGACAGACACTAAGGTTACTTGCTATGAATTCCACTGGGCGGGGATGCCCAGCCGCTCGACGTAGGCCCGTAAATCATCGGTGTGCTCGCAGCGCGTCGCGTTGACCGTGGAGATGCAGGCGTTCTCCACGATCAACGTCGAACTCGAGAGAGGCACCTCGAAGGTCCCGTGCCCCTCCTGCGGGATCGTGTGGTGGAACACCTGGTCCACGAGGCGCGGCAAGTTCACGTCACAGCTGTCCCCGCCGACGTTCGCGAAGGGGAAGCGCGGGCAGTGTTCATCGATGCGCGCGCAATCGAGCACGAGCATGGGGAACTCCTTGCGAGCCTTGTCCTGCTTGAGGTGCTTCGCGTCGGAGTAGCGGAACTTTGAATAGATCTCCCCCGCGTAGTCGACGCAGCCCTCGGACGCCGCGAAGTCGAGTATAGTGTGCCACAAAGAATACTGGTCCTTGAACGTACATCTATTGGAAAACCAGTTCGCGAAGAAGGCTCTACCTTTGATTGAATTACGAGCGTAGAAGCGGCTCCCGTGGACCTTCCACCGTAGTGTGCCGGAGTTGTCGGCGCCCTCCTTAAAGCCGTACTTGAAGCTGACGTCGGAATATCTATTTGTGTGTTCCGAAGCGAAGAGCGGGTCGACGGTCCAGGGGTAGCGCGTCACGGCGTCGAGGTCGACGTAGTACACTCCTTCTATACTAGGCGCCGCCAAGGCCGCCAGGACCGCGGGCATTTTGACGTAGTGGTTCGAGGCCATTTCGTCCATCTTGTCGAACCCTCTGGGAGCGACGCCGAGCCGCGAGTCGTAGAAACTTCGTAATCGACGGTGGTGCTGCGTGACCTGCATACTCTCAAAACAAGCTTGCGATGACGGCTTCTCGAGGCCTTCCGGCAGCTCGCCGAGCCACAGGAACGTGCGCAGGCCCGCGTCCGTCGCGTAGAGGAGCTTGTTGAGGAAGGGCGGCCACAGTCTCAATAAGTAGGAAGGGCTATTGGAGACCATGACCAAGCCGACGTCCGTGGCTTGTACTGGTCGGTGTTTGGGCACGTACTCGCAGAGAGCCGGCCTCGTTATGAAGCGGTCGATGTTATGGGCGTTCTCCGTTGAAATGGAGAGCTCCTCGCCGTCGTGGAACTTGAGGGTCAGTGCCGGGCCCCGCTCGTCGTCCAGCAAGCCGACTCTATCTACATGAATCGTACAAGCCACATCAATAGGGCCGAAGCCGCTCATCCAGCTACAGTCGCCGTGCGCGCCAACGTCGCCGCACCGCCGTGACGTGCCGCCCGCGGCCCAGCTCCGGACGTAGGCGTCGACGGCGGCGTCGCGGGGCGCGGAGACGGCGGTGTCTCTCCTGCGCGGAGAAGCGTAACACAGATCCCGCCGCCGGCGCGAACGGGTCCCGACGCCGACGCGCTCACCAGCCGAGCCAGCGGAGCCAGCCCCCGAGCCACGACGTCTGATGGCGGGGCGCGACCACAGGCGCGACGACAGGCGAAGAAGTAGGAGAAGACGTGAACAGGGGCACCGTGCGGTTCCCGTAGGTCTTCATCCTACAATGATGATCTTTTCCCGCGGTCACGCATCCGGGCACATCTCTTGGATACAAACGCGCAGGCTTTTCCGCATGCGTATGGGGCTGATAGGTATCATGCACCTTTTTGACACGTTTCGGCGCCGGCGCATCTCTCAACTTCTCCCACGCGTCGCCGCCCCTAGGAACGTAGGCCTCGTCCAAATAAACGGCGTAGCGCGTCCCTACCAAACTTTTTGAGACCTCATTCCAGTTCGAAATGTACTTCTGCCAGTGCGCATCGCCGTGTATTTTAAAAATCGTGTCCGGTCTCTCGCTAAAGGAAGCAGCACATGCATCCCCGTCGACGAGCCAGCTCCGCAAACCCCCAAACTGCGCGTGATCCGCATCCAGGTCCTCGTAGGACACGGTCCGCACGCGCACGCCCGCGTCCGACGCCAGCTTCGCCAGCTTCTCCATGTGCGCGATCTTCGAGAGTTCGAGGTCCAAGTGCCTTAACAACTTGTGGCCGACGGGCAGTTCGACCGGCGCCGCGTGCTGTTGAGCATCGTTTTGCGAGAAGGCATGAGCAACATGTTGTTCAAACCTCTCGCTATCGATCTGGTTCGCCTCCTTGGAGACCATCAACCGTAGTAAGTGTTGCCTCACGAGGAAAACAAGTTTTCCTCGCCTTTCTTTCAACAGAGGTAGGAGCCAGTCCTCGAAGGCCTCGTAAAAGAGATCACTCGAAGGTTGGTTGAGCATCCACTTGAAGCCGTAAGATCGAGATTTGTCCGACCGCTGCGCGCGCCACTTTTTGGCCACGAAGTTGAACTTGTCGCCTACTTCTATGTCAAAGGCATTCTGACCGCCGGGCGTCATCCTGAGAAAGCCGTCGACCGCAGCCTTCATCGTGTCTGAAGACCATAAAAACCCGCTCCGGTCGAAGAGCTCGCGGCCGCACTCGATGCAGGACGGTTTCTGGAGTTCGTTTAACAGCCAGCCACTTCCACTGCGCTGCGTCGTTATTACAATAAAATTCGCCTTTTTGAGTTGTACTTCGTACCTCTCAATCGATTGAGTTTTGTTCTCCGGCAGTCGCAACGTCCGAAAGACTTTAAATGAAGTGTCCTCCAATTGAGGGAGTAACGCAGGATCTAGATTCGATAAGTCTTTTCGTACGTGTTCGAAGTCAGCTAAGGTCTCCCTGAGGTCATCAGGTGTTATTTTCACGGAAGAGCTTTCGGGTACTGATGAACCGGACACGCCGACGTAGTCGAATAACCGCCCTAGCTCTGTAGAAGCGTCGCGCTGCAACGCTTCGTAGTACAAGACGAAAACCTTTCCACCGGACGCTGTTGTCGTGTTCCGTAATAAATCATACCAATACTTGCCCAGCTTCCGCGCGCTCTTGGACAGTGATAGAGCATCCACAGAAATCTTCTTCGACAACACTTCAGTATTACTTTCCACGCAGTCCTTGGCTTTTTGACTCAGGACCTTGTGCGTATCGCAAGCTTCCACCAACACGTCCGCATGAATCGATGAAATAGCGTGCTTGATGAGGTTCGTCCTCATGTACACCACGGTCTTCACCGGCGCTTTTAGGAGTTGGGGCCAATCGCGCTCCCAGGACAGGAACGGCGTGTGGCTCGGGTTCACGTCGAAACCTACTAGCTTATCGTCGAAGCAATCTGTGGTCGTCGGCGCGGTTAACCAGGCGTCCTTTTGGCCGTTGGGGCACATTTGGGTGCTACACGTGGGCCGGCGGACCATCACTTCAAAAGCTTTGCGCGTGCGGTCGGCGTCATCACTGAAGCAGCCTTGGGCCTCGTGGCGGAAGAAGGCCACGCGGTCGTCTTTCTCTAACATGTCGGCGAGCCACGTGCTTCCCGTCCTTGCTTTCTTGAAGACGACGACGGGTGAGGGCTGCTGCTGGCCCATGCTTAGGTGCGCGGCCCACGCGACGGCGACCGCGGGCCGGCGCATGCTTAGGCGTCACTTTTTAGTATCGATGGTGTTCACGGAGCCATGCCGAGGCTGCCCGTCGGGCCCAAGGGCATGAGAAAGCGCGTGCGCTCCGCGAGCTCGATTTTTGAGTGCGGGCTGTGAGCCCGCGCGCTTTTCGGCGCACCGAGCACCAATCGCGCGAGTCGTCCGGGGAGGTGTCGACCCAGAGCACGGGTCCCAGGTCTCCTGTATGTATGCGACCTGCACGCCGAGCTGCGCGCTGCTAACGTGTCCACGGTACCGCGGTGCGATATTTACCATCGAAACTTACGCATTACAAACGTCGGCACAGGGACGCCCTCGGCGGCGGCGAGACGCGATACGCTCGCCTCGCTCACCTCGGCCAGGTCGGATGAGTGGACGCCGCTGTCGACGACGAAGAGCGAGTCCAGCCCCGCGGCGGCGGCGCCGAGGACGTCGTGGCGCAGCGAGTCGCCGACCATCAGCGCCCTTCCCGCGTCGTCGACGCCCGCGGCGCGCAATGCCGCGGCAAAGTGGGACACACCGGGCTTGCCGTACAGCACGACCTCGCCGCCCATGGCCCGGTAGGCGTCCGCCATCGTGCCCGGCATATACAGCGGCGTCACGCCGTCGACATCTATAGTTTTTTGATCGGGGTTCGCGCAGAGCATTGGCACGGACCGCGCGGCGGCGTCCTCTAATAAGGCGCGATAGGGCTCGAGGTCGCCGGTTATCCGGAAGTCCGTCAACGTGCGATCGGCCATATCGATCGTGTCCGGCCCATAACCCACGATAACATCCGGCGCGGCGTCCGCGAGCGCGACACCCGTGCCCGCAAGGTATTCTGACGAGTCCCGGTCGCTCCAGCCCAGCACCACGGCGCTCGCATAGCTACTCTCGCGCAACGCCTCCCAGCAGCACTCGCCGCTACAAATGGCGTCATGGAGCCACTCGCTCCGGAAGCCGCGACCGGGCAGCTCCGCGATGAGGGGCGCTCGTCGCTTCGACGTGTTCGACAGCACGACTAGCTTCCGCGCGCCGCCCGCGTGCACCCTCTCGAGCGCGGCGGCGACGCCGTCGAGCAACGCCTCGCCGTTGTGCAGGACGCCGTACTGGTCGAGGATGATGGCGTCGTAGCGGTCGAGCGGCAGCTCTTGCAAGCCGTCGATGACAGCGGTTGCTCGGCGCGGCACTGATGCTGCTGCTGCAGCCTGTCTTGGCACAAAGCTGCGGACCGCACTCGCAATGCTTGCATAAAGCAGAGTCGTGAGGCTCATTCGACGTGCTGCCGCTACTACCTCCGCTTTTCAATTCGACAAATGATTGCGTGCTGATCGCAAACTATTCATTGCAAAACACTTGCAGCCGGGAGCTGTGCAGCCTGAGCAGCCTCGACGGGTTGAGCTTGCGAGCAAGCGACGACAGCACTCCGTTGGCTGGTGCAAGCAGCATTTTCGCACACATCGGAGAGGACAACGCATCGATTGCGGGCCCTCGGCACTGTGCAATCACAGCAGCAGCAATAGATCGAGCTGCGCTGTAGCAGCGCACTCGCAGGGTTAGTGAGCGTCCGTTACGCCATCGACGCGACGCCGTCCCGGTCACTACTGCGTCGACAAGCGGTGCGCAGCCATGCTCGCCGCCCGCCGCGTCGTCAGCGCGGCGACGCGCGGCCGCCGCTTCTCCAAGTTCGCCTTCGTCGGCGCCGGTAAAATGGCCGAGGCGATGCTCGCGCCGCTGCAGGAAACCACGATCGAAAATGAGACGCCATCGGTAAGTTTCTACGACGTGTCGTGCGCCGTCGCTAAAAGGGTGGCGGAAAAGTACCCTTCCTTAACGCGGGCGGAATCTCTCGACGAGTGTGTCGATGGAGCGGACGTCGTCGTGCTGTGCACGAAGCCCCAGAACTGCGACGCTGTGTTTGCGGACTTGAGGCCTGTCGTGCAAAATCAAAAAACGCCGCCCGTATTACTCAGCATCTTGGCGGGCGTGCCGACGGAGCGATTTAGAGCGGGTTTAGGATTGCAGAAAGTCGCTAGGGCCATGCCCAATACCCCAGGACAAATAGGCTGTGGCGTGACGGTGTGGACCGCGGGCGAACACAAAGAGCTGTTCACAGACGCCGATATAGAGCGGTGCAAGGGCGCGCTCGGCGCGTTGGGCAAGGAGATCTACGTCGAGGAAGAAAGCTATGTGGACATGTCCACGAGCATCTCCGGCTCCGGTCCGGCATATATATTTTTACTGATCGAAGCGATGGTCGACGCGGGCGTCCAAGAAGGCTTCTCGCGCGAAGTCGCAACAACTTTGGTGCATCAGACCATCCTCGGCTCCGTCAAGTACGCGATGGAGTCCGGCGAGCACCCGGCGGTCCTCAAGAACTCCGTCACTTCTCCTGCTGGTACTACTGCCTCCGCTATTTATGAACTTGAGAAAGGAAACTTCAGAACAGTTGTCCAGGACGCGATCTGGGCCTGCTATCGGCGAAGCTTGGAGATGGGCGGGCTCGACTCGAACGTCGGGCCGGGGCGCTCGGCGGGCCCCAAGCCGACCACAGAATTCCCGGACATGAACGGTAACTAACTAGTTTTATTATCCGACCTCTTCTGCTTCTTCTTCGCGCGCTCCTTCTTCTTCAGGGCCGACGCGTTCGCCCTTACCACAGCCGCGAGTTGGGCCTGAAACTTGACGAGGTCGGCGCCGTTCACAACAGTAGAAAGCTTCTTCTTCTCCGTCTTCGCCCTTACTAAAACGCCGAAGCGCGCCGGCGCCGTCTCGACGGTCGCGTCGTCACCGCCCTGGCCGCGCTTTGGCCTCTGCTGGAGCCGCTTGTGCGTGATCGTGAGCGAGCCGGCGTCGCGCGTCGCCTGGAAGAGCTTCGTGAGCTCGCTCAAGAACCTCGCCTCGTCGAGCTGGACCATTGGTTTGGTCGCGCGCCCGCGCGGCTCGCGGCTGTGCAGTGGGTGCTCTCGCTAGGCTGGTCTGCTAGCGCCGGTGCAGAAAGCGATGCAAGATTCGTGCGTCGTCGTCGCGGCAGCTATTTATTTGCAACTTCCTGTGCAGCGCGTGAGTTATGCGCGTAGTTTGGAGCGTCGCTTTTGCGCTTTGGCCTTGCCCAAGCCTCCACCCTTGGCAAGCGAGGCCGCAAAGGCACCAAGAGAAGGGGTCTACGGACAGCTCTTCGCACTTATGTTGTCGATTGATCGCGTTTTCAAAAACGTGCGGGTATTTCGACTCCTCGCCTCAGATTTCGTCCTGAGCCAAAACGGGAACAATACGCAGCCGCCGACATCGTTTTGACACGCGGCAGTGATACTACATATTCCGCTGTAGCGCCACCAATCGTTTCCGGTGGAAAAACCGCCGAGCCGTGTTGCAGCAAAGCATGCTAGCGACCGCGGTGCCCGCGGCGGCGCGGCGCCTCGTCGCGCGCCCGCCGGCAGCGGCGCGGCGGCGCCTCAGCAGCAGCGCCGTCTCGCGCCACCGCCCTATGATGAAATATGGGGACAGAAGACCGGTAGCCGCGAACGATGCGTTTGTGGCCCCCAACGCGACCGTCGTCGGCCGCGTCGAGCTGAGAGATGAAGCCAGTGTTTGGTACGGCGCCGTTGTGCGGGGGGACCACGCCGACGTGTCCATTGGTTCCGTAGTGAACGTCCAGGACCGCGTCGTCATCGAGACGGTCGCGTCCCTTGACTCTGGCTTCCCCGCCTCGGTATCTGTGGGAGACTACACTTCTGTTGGGGCCGGTTCTTGCTTGAAATCGTGTGTGGTCGAGCACACGGTCGATATCGGAGAAGGGTGTATTATCGATCAAGGCGCCGTCGTCCAGAACACTGTGATCCTCGAACCGGGCACCGTCGTGCCTGCCGGCGCTCTCATCACATCGGGCGGCCGGTGGGCGGGCAACCCCGCTCAGCTGATTGCTCCTTTGCCGGAGGAGGCCGCGGCGGCCATCGTCGCCAAGGCTGAGGCGAAGCGCGTTGAAGCAGATAATGCGCATGGCGAGTACGACCCCCCGGCCGGCGCTCCTTGACCAGAGTCGTTATCGTGTAAATAATTAGGATTATAGAGTCTTTACATCAGGGGGGTTTCTCAGTTCCGGTCCCGCGACAGCAGGCGGAGGATGAACAGGAACAGGTTGAGGATGTCGAGATACAGAGTTATCGACGCGAGGATGTGGTCGTCGTACCCGAGCCGCTCCGTGATCTGCCACGTGTCGAAGATGATGAAGCCGCTGAACAGCAAAGCGCCAAAGAGGCTGTAGAGCCCGCCCGCCAGCGCCGGGAAGAACAACGAGAACAGGCCCCAGAAAATGAGGAGGAGTAAACCCGAAGACAAGCCAGCTTCCATAAAGCTCCAGTCCCGTTTCGAGTACACGGTGTAGAGCGTAAGACTCGCAAATATCGCCGCCGTGAGCACCAAGGCTTCCACAACTATTCTCCCTTGCCCAGCAGCAGTATAGGACGCGCATACGACTCCGACCGTGTACGCCTCCATCAATGTCCACACGAACAGCAACTGCGCGTTCAACGGGTGCTGGTTCTTGAACGCCATCAGGGCGAAGAGCACTCCGAACGAGCCGAACATGCCTGTGTTTCGCGTTCGTGAGTCGCGGCGATGGCGTGGGGGAGAGTTGCACGCTGACACATGCCGATGTACATCAGCGACGGCGTCGTCATGACGAAGCGGCGGCAGGCGCCGTTCAGCGCTAGGACGGAGCACACGATCGTCGTCAGCGCGAGCTGGCACGTCAGGATGCCATAGACCTTCCGGATAAATCCCAGGCGCATCTGCCGCTGCACGTGCGCGTCGACTGCGTCTCCCACGCCTACCTCGATGTCCGGGACGTTGTCGTAGCCCTGGCTGACGCTTCGATACGAGCCCTTGACGGCCGGCGGCGCGGACGGGACGGCCTGGGCCTTGATGGGGTTCATCGTGTCTTGTTGGTCTTCACTGAACTGCGCGGCCATGGCTTTAGTGCTTTTGTCCGTCTACGCGCGTGCGCGCAAGGAAGTTTGATGCGACCGGTGGTCTCAACACGATGGTCTCCCCATCGATTTTCTGCTAGCGTAACAAGGATACTAGGACTCAGGACCTTGCGTCCTAGTCCAGCCGGACGGGTGGGCCCGGGGGGAGCGGGAGGGGTACGGGGAACCCTGCGACGTAACTAGCCTCAGCCTCAGCCTCAGGAAGCCCCTTATATTGGATAGTAACAGTTCTTCTTACTCCAGACTGCACAACAAGCTAATCATAACGGACTCCATTGCCCTCGTTCGAGCGCCTCTTGAGTCGCCCCCATGCAGTCACCGCAGCCGGGTTTGTCCTCAACGGCGACATCGGCTGCTGCGGCGAGCCCGTCGCCCGCGGCGGTGACGGCTCCGCACCGCGTCGCTTCTTGGCCGGCGGCGGCGACACGCTCCGCTCCGGCCGCGGCGGCGCGGGCGCCGGCACCGGCGCGGGCGCCTCCACGTCCATGGCCGCGGCCGGCGCCTCGTCCTCTTCCTCCGACGACGACGAGTCGTCCGACGACGACGACTCGTCGACCGACACGCGCCGCTCAGACGACTCCATGGGCGCGGCCGCGTCGTCGTCCGCCTCCGCGTCGTCGAGGACCTGGCGCAGGTGGGCGATGTAGCTCGCCCGCCTTTTGCCCTCGAGGATCAGGAGGTCACCGATGATTGCCCGCGCGCGGACCGCCGACAGAACGCCAGCAGTCCGGATCGTGTCCGCGTTCACGCCGACGGCGCTATCTTCGGCAGACACCGGCACCGAATCAGAATGTCGACGGGCCGACTTGCCCTCGCGCCGCAGGCGCATCCCATACCGCATCGACGCCTCGATAACACAATACTGCTGGTAGTTGATCGCGAGACCATAAAAGTCCCCGGCCAAAGCCGTCCAGATGTGCGGCTCATTCCGGGCGGCATCACCAGTGTAACGAGCACACAAGACCAAGGTGCGGAGCGCCGCCGAGCCGCCGACCAAGAACGAGTAGAAACCGTAATGTTCCCCGATGACCCGAATCTGCTCCTCGGAAAAGGCTTCCCCGGACTTGGGCCTAGCCCCAGCCTCCGACAAAAAACGCGCAGCGAGGCCCTCCTCCGTCGCTATTCTATCGAAACAATCTAACGCTTTTTCGTCCTCGGCCTTCTCCCGCAACGCTCGTCGCCAGGCGTCGTTGACCTCTTTCTGCAGGTCAGCTGACGCTTTAGTAAAGTCACAGAACACGTCCTGCGCGACCAGCTCGCCCGGAGCCTTGGCCTCATGGTTCCTAATACCTGCTGAATACAACACGGCCGTAGTTTCGGCGTCGGCCTGCCGCACTCCTTCGATGGCCTGCGTCGAGAACGTCAAATCGCTGCGTCGACGGCGCCACGAACCACTGCGTCGACGGGGACAAGTTGAAGGACCCGCTCCACGCCGAGCCGTACCTCCGCGTGGTTCTTCCGGCCCTCCCCGCCGTCCACGTCGTTAAAGCTCCTCGACGGGACCTCGGCGCCGTCGACGAGAGGCTTGCGCCCGAGTTCCCCGCACTCCTTGACGTACTTGGCCTGGATGGCCTTCTCCTGTGCCGTGAGCACCGTGACGGTAAATTTGTCGAGGCGCCCCGCCCCTTTCTTCCCTTTATAGGGCTTCTTCAACAACGACAGCCTCGCGGCCGCCTGGATCGCCGGGCACACGCGCTTCATGCGCTTGTAGATCGGGTCCTTCTCTATGTTGTCGGTGTCGCGCCAGGACAGACAGTTCCCGAGGGCCTGAATCTTGGCGTCCGCCCTAGCAACGGCGTCCGTGGAGCCGACACAGCCGTAGTAGATGCCGACTCCCAAATAGCGGCCGCCGACGCCGCATTGAACTAGATGGCAGTCGTCCTTTACATTATACTTGGAATGCGGCCGCGGCCTGACGTATTGATCAGCCGCAGCCAGCAGGTCGTCCTTGGTCGCTTCGGAGTTTTCGAAGACTTCCCTTAGCTTTGGACCACAGTCCGTTCCCTGCAGCCAGCCACCACTTCCTTTGGTCCCTAGTCGTTTGGCTTTTGCCTTCTCGCTTTCCTTCCGTTTTTCACCTTTCGGTAGGAAGTGCATCTTCGTGACTGGTAGCACGTGCTTCTTGTTGTTACCCTTGACCGTGTTCGCGGTGTCCCTCAGATAGTGTGCTTCTTCTTCTACAATAACTCTCATGATCCCCCGGTTTTTGGGGCCGCCGCGGCGAGGTTTTTTCCAGTCCAGCGACCCCGTCCACTCCACTTTTACCACGTCCGTGTCGTTCCAACCAGCAGGCACGGCCTCGTCTTTTGCCTTGTGGATCTCGGCCATCGTCGCCTGGCGCACCTCCTTAAAGCCCCCTTCTTTGAGGGCGAACTGCAAAGGCAACAGCCCGCGTTTCTTCGGCGGCATGGCGGCGGCCGCACGCAGTTATGCGCGGCAGTCGAACGGACAGGGGCAGCGGGGCCGTGGGGCCGCAAACACGGGAGGCACGACGGGAATTACAGCCGTGACTCGCTGCTAGCGGCATGTAAGACACTAGGCCTCGTTTTGACGCGTTGTTACGCCTCAAAACTACTCACCAAAGGCCTCCGCCAACGCTATATCTTACGCACGCATTGCTCCGGCTGTGCCGCGCCACTCCCCTTCGACGCGCCGCGATCTATGCAGTTAAAAACGAGATGCTGTGCAGCGCTCCTGCCAGCACCACCACTGGCGCCGCGGGTACGAGCAGATCTGCAAGAAAAACGCCGCGGCGGCACCGCGCAGCAATACCACGCATACAAAAAATACAAGAATGCCGTTGCGGTCGCGGTTGAGAAACGCGCCGACGACACGAAACGGTCAGACGTGCTACAGCTCGTGGAGGTCGCCGGTTGACGCACAAAATAAGGCCTCGTGCACCGCCCCGCGTGGTACGGAACGGCCGTCGCGTCGCGAAGGCTAGTCGCGGCGAGTACGGCGTCTCCCGACGGGATCTAGGCCAGCAGCGCCGGCCGTCCAGGCTCCAGGCGTGCCACGCGGTCGTCGACTCCGCGGGCGCGGGTCTCCGACGGGATCGTCGCCGACGCGTCTCAAAATGTTGGCCCTGCGCCGTGGGCCGGCCGCGCGAACTCCGGCGCCACTTTCGAAGCTTTGCCTTCGACATGCTGGTGCTGAAAACGCATCTAGGATTATGCCGGCGTGAATGAAGGCGTCACGTCGACGACGTCCAGCTGGAGGAGGAGTACCCTCGACGCCATCGCCGCGACACGCGCAATGTTTAGAGGCGGCCTGTCGGATAATCCGCGCCGACGCGTTGGAGAAGCAACCAGTACGGGTCATCGGGGCCGACTCAGTGCCGGGGCCGCGGCTGTTGAGTCGACGTCCGCGCGGCACGTGCGGCACGCGCGGAGCCTTTAGGGCCGGCAGCGGCGACGCGTGCGGCGCTTGTGACGAAACGCCGGCCTTTAATTTGTGCTACGAGTAAGAAAGTTAAGCCTCTAGAGGCGGCCGAGGCTGTGCTGCAACTCGATCGCCGTGTCGACGAGGTTGACGGCGCGGCCCCACCCGAGGCCCGTGTGCTTCTTCTTGAACGCCTGCTCGGTGTTGCGGTTGAACTTGTTGTTGAGGCACTTGATCATGAGCTGCGGGGGACACGACCGGTGAGTCGGAATGAATCCTGGGGCAACGTCGCGTCGATGGCGTGGAGGGGAGAGGGCGAGGCTCCCGGACAATTGAAGGCACCCTCGGGATCGGGGACGCTGCAAGTTTCGAAGAAGTTGTTGGGCTCGTCCATCGTCGCCGCCACGACGTGGTCGAGCTGAAACCACTTCTTATCGAGCAATTCCTTGAGCGTCTTCTTGGAGATGCGCGTGCCGTAGGCGGCCACGAGCATGTCCAGGAAGAGGCCCCTCTTCTTGAACTTGCGCTTGATGGTCTTGAACAAGTTGCCGTAGTAGCCGCGGTGGCTGAGGCTCTTGAAGTCTTCCCGGATCTGCGGGGGGTTCAAGTTCAAGGTCAACTTCAATGTCAACCCTACTCTCGACTCTCACCGAAAAGAAACGCGGACGACCCTCCCTCCCGCACCTCTCTAGGCCATCGGAACGACGACTCGAAGGGGAAAAGACACGGCCGCGCGCGAGCTCGACGAACGGCGCGAGCGTCTCGTTGCCGACAAAGAGCGGCAGGCCCTCGCCCTCCGGGTTGATCAGCGCGTCAGCGACGTCGTCCGCGTCCATGGGCGCGTCCTCGTTGTCCGTGAACTTGATGCCCGAGCCCTTGAGGGCCTCGGCGAGCTTCTCCTCCATCTCCTTCTCGCTTTCCGCGGACGCCGAGGCCTGCAACGCGGCGATGTTCGCGCGGTGCCACGCCACGCCCTTGATCTTGGGTGTCTGGCCCTTGACGAACCGCTCGAACCACGACTTGGCATAGTTGTGGTTGTCCTCGAGCTTTTCGAAGAGCTTGGACCTGCGTGAGTTTACTATTGCGACCTCGTCAAAGACCGTTCTGCGCGGCTTCAGGACTGCTCGAAGACGTCGAGCAGGGCGTGCCGCTGCTCGAGCTCGCTCATGCCCGCGTAGGATTTGCGGTAGACGACGACGTTGTAGGTTGTCATGCCAGTGTCCTCGTCCTTAACGGACCTTAAGATGACATACTCCTGGCCTTCCTCGAAGTCGCGCACCGGCGGAAATTTGGTGAACGGGGCCTGATCTAGGTGGTGGTGGAAGGTGGTCGTGTCGCGCATGAACGCCTCGACACGCTCCTCAAATGCCGCGTCGTCCAGGTCGACGAAGTCGGCGAGGCGCTCCGGCTTCTTGATCGTGCGCGCCAGGGCGAGCCTGGGCGGCGCCTTGTTCTTGTGGGTCGAGCGCTTCTTGTGGGTCTTGGACTTGGCCATGGATGCGACGGGAGCGAGAGCGTTAGTGGCGGCGGCGAAGAGGATGAGTTTGGTCGTGGCGGCGATGCAGCGCATTATCTATCTCACGGTGAGATGAGTCGCGCTATCAAAGGGGTGACCCAATATAATTTTCTAGCGTATTAACACACTAGCACACTCACTGAGCAAGTTAGCTGCGCTGTCCAAGCGGCGCCGCAGACGTAACAAACAGAGCGGGGATCATCTCACTCGCACGGCATTGATCAGGCAACAGCGCCACCAGAAAATCAGGGCTGAGCGAGGCCCCAAAGAGGAGCTGTAACAAGCCACAGCCACAGCCAAAAATGGCCAGGCCGTACCTAGACCGCACGCCAGAAGGCGCCCTCTACCAGATCTTCTCCCACGTCGAAGCCGAAGACCTGGCTAGATTATCCTGCGCGTCCTCGAAGCTCCGAATCGGCAGTGAAAACTTCGCCCAATTACAAGTCAAACAAAGAGAGTGGCGGTTACTCGACGGCGCCACGGCGACGGAACGACTAGCCAGTGAAATAGTTTACTTCGACGCTGATGCCTTTCGCGCGGTAGGAAGAGATGCCCCCAGATTGAGATCCGCGAGGAGACAAGGCTCGCGAGCAAGATTACGAGTAGCGCCACCACCAGGCTCGACAAGGGCAACACGCTCAAATAACGTGCCCGTCGCCGCGTTCTCGGAGCATGGTTCTCTCATGAAGGTCCAGCGGCCGGGGCGATATCGAGTGAGCGGCGTCGTCGAGCCGGCTCTGAAAAGGCGTAGACTGAACCCCGAGGACGAGGCGAGGCGAGAACGACTGGCGTTCCAAGTGAAGGTGGCCGCCGTCGATCCCCGTAGTAGCATCTACGTCGGAGTCGCGACGAAACGATGGGCCCGAACGCGGGGCGCGGCCCAGGCTATTCGCTCGGAAGAGTGCTGGTTGCTGGATTTACGAAGAGGGCGCTTCGTGCACTCGTTTCCGGCCTATGATCAGGCCGCGCGTGCGGCGCATGGGGCGCGAGCGAGGTACCACGCGACCTCTGATGATACGGTCGTCGAAGGAGACGTGCTAGGTGTGCGCGTGATCGACGGCGCGGCGCACTTCTTCCGGAATGGCCGACGATTAGCTTTTAGTGCGGGAGGTCGGGGCAGCAATCAACTCCAAGACGCGGGCTGGGGCCGGCCGATACCGCTCTCGCAAGATTTAGTGCCCATCGTCGAGGTCCATGCGAGAGAACCGGACGACGACGACGAGGCCATGGCTCCGTTGGCATTGCAACTAGGCGCGTGGCGGCCGCCTCCTTATTATCATGGGCAATCCCTCCAAGCGCGACGTATTATAGAAGACGATCCTGTTCGCCGTTTCGAGACGGGAGAGTTCGCCGACGTCTGGCCCTCCATCACGAATGACCCTGCATTGAGGGACATCACGCAACCGCTACAAAACGACCAGCTGACGTTTCGGTCCTTGCGGATTGTCATTTGTTCGGTGCTACCTCTGTTGCCTCTGATAGCTGGGTTGTCTCATACGTTGTTGGACGTAGGCGGCTTCGGCATCGGCGTCGCTTGTAGACAATGGCGGCCGACGCCGGTCCTGTGGTTGCTAGGATTGCTATTTAGGCGGGCCGCGGATTCGATAGCGCTGTCGTTGGCTGTTTCTGCGGTCTGGAAGTGCCATTTTTACGATCGGAGACGACCTAGGAGGACTAGAAGAGGCTTGCGCAAATTGCTGCAGATGCATCTGTTGAAATGTTTTGGGGTGGCTCTGTGTGTCGCCTTGTTGCCGTCGTCGCTAGCCCTCTCCAGAAGTGCGAACGCATTGACTTCTTACAGGGACGGCGTCGTGCTCGAGTACGGCCCGATGAAATGGATCTTGAAAGGGGGCTGGCGCGGCGCCTTCGAGACGTGCGAGAAGTGGGTCGTCGTGGAAGCAGCAGCGGAGGGCGTCTTCCAGCTCTGGCGGGTCTTGAGGCAGTCGAAGCTCGCCGCTTGTTTATGCTCATTCCCGGGCGGCGAAAGCGCCAGGGCGCGCCGCGCATCAGCAAGGGCCGTGGCCAAGCTCTACGCGATGATGGTCCTCGTGCCCGGGAGTGCCGCACCTTTATTATACGCGGCCGCCGAGCACCTCGCCGGCGGCTCGAGACCCCATTGGCTCGTGGCCGTCGTCGCGTACCCCGTGCTCGGGGCCTGGGCGGCGTTCACGGCCTTCGTCAAGTTCGCGTTCGTCGTCTTCGCGCTCAATACGCTGGCGGGCTTCGAGGACTTCGACTCGCCGGGCTGGCTCCTCGGGTAAGATGGTTTTGTGTTTAGTAGACGTCGCGACGATGGCGTGGGGGTGGCCTGTAGTCTTCTTGAGCCATCCGCGAACGTAAAAACAAACCCGGAAGCCGTTTCTTTCACGAGGACAGCTGCCACACGGCTGGGTGCGATGGTCCGGCGCGCCCAGACGTCCGAGAGTTGCCGCGAGCCTAGGGTCAACGAGGCTCGCTGCGCCTCGTTTCGGCGCCTTGGACATTGCGAGCAGGCGCGAGATTTCCGCGCAAAAGCCTCCAAACAGCAGCCGGCTGCCTCCACGCCCATCAAAAGGGCCCACGGCCCCCACGGACCCCCCGCCGCACGCTCCGAGCCCGGGCGAGCGGCCTCGCTTGCCGAGAAAGGGCTGCCTATAGCTATGGACTACGCCGACCACAGCGACGACGAGCTGACGGGCGTCGCGGCGACGCGCGAGATCTACGCGACCTTCGGGTATCCGCCGTCGCAGCCGCTGCCGCGATCCCGGCGGCACGTCTGCGCTGTGGTTGGAGGCGCGACGGTCCTGTCCGCTATTTTAGTATTGGTCGCTGGGCATTCCTACGACCCCACGACGGCCTTCGCCACATTACCGCATGCCCTACGAGCGGCGACCTGTGCATCATCTAGTAATGTACCGCCGCCGACGATACGAAGGCAAGCCGACAGCAAACCCAAACACTGGTCGCGCGGAGCAGCCGCGGACCCCTGCGCGATGCACGACGTGATTATCGCGACGACGCACAAGACAAATTTAGATGCGCAGCTACGGAGCGTCTCCGATCCCAACTCAAAAAATTACCGCAAGTACCTGACGACCGAAGCGGTCAACGAGCTAGCTATTGATCAAAACCATGTGAGGAATATAGGGAAGTGGGTTTCGGAAATAGGCGCCCAGGAGATCAAACGTACAAAAAATGGAGAGTACATCACCGCACGCGCGAGTGTCGCGACGTGGACCGAAGCTTTGGGGTGTGAGTTCTTCGACTACTCCTACGAAGGCAAGAAAGCGCCGCGCTGCGACGGTGACTACGGGTTGCCGGTGCATGTCGATGCGTCGGTCCACGCCGTATTTAATGTGGGCAATCTAGCGCCGCGCATCTCCAAGCTCAAGGGCATCACGAAGCTCGTGGACAAGGAGGTCACGGAGTACGTCACGCCCTCCGTGCTAGCTGCTTTTTATTCAATACCTTCAAGTGGTGCGGAGACCGCCGGCGCGTTCGGGCCGGATATCCTCATACCTCCGACCGGCTCCGCCTCAGCAAGGCAAGCGGTCTTCGAGACCCAAGGCGAGTACTACTCGCCGACGGACCTGGCCCAGTTCCGGAGCTATTTTGGATTACCTCCTGCTGATGCTACACCAATTAGTAACATTGGTTCTCATGATGAAGCGATTGCTTGTGATGTGGATGCGGACCTATGTGACGAAGGCAACCTGGACATGCAATATTTAACTACAGTGAACCCGTATGGGCCGACCACTTATTTCTATGTTACTCTGGCGGACGTCGCGACGGACCCGTTCCTAGCTTTTGCGATGGCCCTGGCCGACCTCGTGGAACCGATCTACGTCGCCTCGATCAGCTGGGGATCGATCGAGTCCGAAGAGGTGCCTTCCATCATGGCGTCTTTTGATGTTGAGGCGGCTAAGTTGGGCCTGAAGGGTGGTACCATCGTAGTTAGCAGTGGAGACGACGGCGCGAACGGTTTGGGGACGGAGTGCGGCTACGCTCCGAGTTTCCCGGCGTCGTCGCCGAACGTCTTAGCTGTGGGTGCCACCAATGCGTACGACTGGTCGGGCACGGCCGGAGCCCCGAACGAGATCGTCTGCCAGGCTGATGTACTCGGTGGCGTCGTTACCAGTGGAGGCGGCTTCTCGGGCACCTACACCCAACCCTACTGGCAGGCCGATGCTGTTGCGAGTTATTTCGCCCAGGTGGACGGTACGCAATCACAACCGGCGGGCGGCTTCTCGAAGGGTGGTAGGGGCTATCCGGACGTCGCGCTTGCCGGCAAGGACTTCGAAGTGGTCATCGGGGACGTGCTCTACCTCGTGAGCGGGACGTCCGCCAGTGCACCTTCGGTAGCGGGCATGCTCGCGCGCATCAACGCCGGTTTATTAGCTGCCGGGAAGTCGCCCGTGGGCCTCGTGAACCCGACGTTATATGCCTCGTCTGGTAGCTTCGCCAACGACATCGTCGACGGCGACAACACGTGCACGGCCTACTTGCTCGAGTGCGAGCAGGGCTTCTACGCAACAACGGGCTGGGACCCGGTTTCGGGCTGGGGCTCCGTCGACTACGGGCGCCTCGAGGCGCTCCTCGCATAGTATTGTAACTTAATCGTTCGTTTCACACATCACAGACAATAGGCGGCCCGCGCGCGGCGAGCCAGTCTTTCAAAACTGCGCAGTCATTGCCGGAGAGGTCGTACTCGGAACACGCCGCGGCCACGACAGCAGAAGGATCCTCGCCGGCCTCTACAACAACGGTCGTCGTCGACCCGTCGCCTAAAGTGACCTCCGCGGAGGCCGGCCGGCGGTGGTTCCAGAGCGCGTCGCGCAAGCGCATTGCCATGGCGCGCATCTGGTCGACGCACGCGTCGTCGTCGCGCCCGAGCGCGCCGCACGCGCGGCGCGCCACGTGATCGGGATCGTCGCAGGCGCCCACGCGCACCGAGTCTTCGACGCCGCCGCTCTCGAAGGGTAGCGGCAGCGGCGCCGGCATTCCGTCCAGTTCCGTCGGCGGGATAGGAGCGCCCTCCACCACACATAAACGGCCGTAGTGGAACGGCGAGCCGCGCGGGACCGACGCGAGCACGCGGCCGCGGAACGCCTCCGTCAAATGAGGGAGCTGGGCACGCCACAGTTTATTAAGGGGCCCGCCCGTCTCTTCACCTAAATGAATTGCGGCGGGCCGTTGCGCGCCCCTACAACTAGAAGTGGCCACGGCGCGCGCCGTTTGTGCCAGGTTGTCGTCGAAGAACCCACCAAGAGCGTGGACGCGGCCCGTGGCGCCGCTCACGCATGTAGTTTTACGAACGCGCGCCGCCTCCATTTCTGTTGAGGAGCACGGTGGCGCGCCGCCCAGAATGTCGAGCGGCGTCTGCTGGAACCCTGCTGGGCCTACGGCTTCTATATTTAAAGCGGACATGAAGAGGCCAAACACGACATCATCCGCGTACGCGTTGTTCAAACGCAAGCCTCGTCCGTCATGGTTATGATGCGCCGGCCAGGACATATTTGCGTTACATGTTTGAGCGGGGCAGCCCGTCGTCTCTACTAAGTAGAAGTAGAAGTCCAGGTGTTTTTCCGTTAATTCCGCCGCGGGTTCCGAGAGGGCCCAGCCCGCGCCGCCCCAGGCGAAGCGGAAGCGCTCCTCCTGATCTGCGTATGCGATCGCCATATCGCCCACGTAGTACGGCTTCGTACTATCGTACGCTGCCAAGTGCCACGTTAATGCGTCGACGTCCACAAAGGTGTCGTCCATGACGCGCGCGAACCATTTAGCTGACGCTCTTTTTCGTAACTCGACGAAGGCGCGGCCCGACTTGCACGGCACGCCCGCTTGACTGGCCTCGCAGGCGACGGCGACGCAATTCCGGTCGTCGCACGCGTCGCTGACGACGAGGACCGTGATGCCTCGGGCGCGGGCTGGGGTTATCCAAGCATCCTCCAGTGGTGGCAGCCTGTCCTTGGCGACCGGTGAGGAGGTGATGACGGCGTAGGCGACGTCCTGGACGTCGAGGGCGTTTGTTATTGCTGCTGCTGCGAGCAGTAGTCGCTTCATTTGGCGTCTAGGCTGCTGTGCCCAGGTGGGCAGCCCATCAAAATCTGGTCTGTCGCTAGTAGCTCTATCGACGCTAGGATCGGTCTTTGCGCTTTGCGCTTTCATGGAGCGAACGCACGAGGAGAGCCATAGCGGTGCAATAAAAGACGGCGCAGGAGTAGCTCGGACCTCACAGCGCTGGGATCTCGCGTGCGCTACAACTGTCGCTACGCTCCCGCTGCGGTTCATTGCCACAGCAAAACTGACCAATTGCATTTATTGTGCGCGCCACAGCGCATCCACGTTTTGCTACGCTGCGTACTGCAGCGCACAACACTGCACTGCAGTCTAGGATGCCTCACTGCCTGACCGACTCGGATGACGAGGACGCGCCCGCGCAGCGACCCGCGGCGCGACGGCGCAACAGGCCGCCGGAGGTAATTGCGATCGACCAAACGCCGCCGGCATCGGACGACTCGGACTCTAACTCGGACTCGGAGGACAGCGCCAGAGCCTTATCCGTCGTCGACTGCCGCTCCGACTCGTCGGACGACTCGGACTCCAGCGACGACGACGAGGCCACGCCGCGCCGCAGCGAGTACTCGTTCAGTGCACAGCCCGCCGCCACGCCGTCGCTCAGCCTGAAGACGATGAAGCAGACGATCAAGGACGCGGGCCTGGGCGTCGCGGACCTGTTCGAGCGCAAGGACGTCGAGGAGCGCTACGCGCAAGCCAAGGCGCGCCTCGCCGAGGCCGAGCGGCTCAAGCGGCGGTCGCGCGACGCCGACGGCGCGCCCGCGCCCAAGGCCCCGCGCGTCACGCCGCCGCCGCGGCCGCCGCGGCCGAGCCAGCCGCGCGCGCGACGGATGGCGCAGGCGCCACGCGGTGTGAGGACGGAGCCGCGCACGGGCGTGCGCGTCGTCCACAACGTCCGCGGCGTGGAGGGTCTGAGCATCGCGTACGACGTCTTTGACGAAGATGTCGAGGCGCGGATCTTCGAAGGCACCGAGGCGTGCAACCGGCGATCTTACGACATGGCCTTTCAGAAGAAAGGCGCGAGACGGCAGACGGACTGGCGGCTGATGAAGAACCCGTCGAAGAAGCAGGACGCCGATGGCAACTGGTACGGCCGCGCGTCAAGCGACGTCCATAGCTTCCGCCACTACGCCTGGTTCGACTGGGCGGCGATCGGCTTCGCGCGCGACCACCTGTGGGCGGGCCTCCCGCTGCCGGACCTGAACAAGCGGAGCCAGTACATTCCCAAGCAGACGCGCCCGGCGATCAAAAACATGCTCTCGCCCCACTTCGACCCGCAGGGCCATTATGGAGAAGCGATCGTCGGTTTGTCCGTCGGCGCCGATGCGATCCTCGTCATGCAGCGCTGCGCCAAAGGGCACTCCCGGTGCAACTGCAAGGCGTCGGAGAAGGAGAAGATCTGCATCCCCCTACCGCGGCGCTCGATGTATATCTTCCGCGGGCGGGCGCGGTATTCTCTCCAGCCCGGCTACACGCACGGCCTCGTGTGGCCGGCGAAGCGTGCCGCGCCGCCGGATTGGAATCCGACCGGCGAGCGGCGGTCGATTACCTATCGCGCCGGCAAGGCGTGGAATCTCTTCTGCCTCGAGGAGCCCCCCTTCCCGGAGCTCTGCCGCGCCAGTCCCGCCGAGCGAGCTCAAAGGGCCGAGGCGCTCCGGCCGCTGAAGGACAGGAAGACGAAGCGCAAGGGCGAGAGGGAGCGGTGGGTCCGGCCGAACGAGGAGTCCCTGGCCTCGCTCGGCCGCCACTACGAGAAGCTGGCGTGGCGCTTCTAGTAGTTGTGCTTAAGAATGTTACCCAGATGCCGCCACCGGCCGGTCGCTCGGCGGAAAGTAGGACACGGGATGCTCGGGCGCGGGCTGCGCGGCCGGCGGCGGCGGCGCGGGCGCCTTCTCGACCTCCTCGGCCACGGGCACCGCAGGTGACGCCTTATCAATAGACGACACGGGCCGCGCCAGCGCCGCGGCGCTCGTCCGCGCAACCACATCAGCCGCGACCTCGGCCGACCCGCACGCCTGCGCCACCACTAAAATGGCGTCGGCCATGGCCGCGGCGCGGACCTTCGTGGCCTTGGCCTCGGCCTCGGCCAGGGCCACGACGCGGTCCGCGAGGATGCGCGTTTCCCGCGTCGCCGCTTCGTGCGCGTAGGCCGCGTCGCGCCGAGCTGCTTCCCTAGCCATTTCGACGCGTTGCACGGAAGCGGCGGCCTGGGCCTGCTTCTCCGCCAACGCGGCCTGGGCCTGGGCCCGCTCCTCGTCGTTGCGCGCCGTCAGCGCCGCGAGCGTGAAGTTCCTCACCTCCAGGCCCCACGACGCCGGTGCTGAATCGTTGGAGAGCTGGTGCTTCACCGCCGCTTCGACCGCTGAGCGCTTCGTCGCCAATTCGTCGGTCGAGAGCGCAGCGACTTCTTTTTGCACCAGCAAGCCGGCCAACTCGGCTAATTTTTGCGCGGGGTCGTCCGACGCATGCCGCGCCTTCTCCGCATCTACAATACACACGTTCGCCGTCGCCGCCGCATCCACACCGACGCCGTCGCGGCTCAGACACTCGGGCGGCGCGGGCACGACGATGGTTTGTTCCCGCGTGTCAACGACCGCAGCGATGGCATCTAACCCGGGCACGCCGACCCAGTAGCCCGGGCCCTTCACATCATAAGGCTGGCGGGCCCGCTCGACGACGTGGGCCTCGCCCTGCGGTACCACATTAATCAGCGTGTTGGCCTTCGTGCGCGGCCAATTGCTGGTGGTCTTCGGCTCGTCGAAGGCGTACTCCGTGCTCATGGCGCGCGTCGTCGTGGCGCGGCGGCGCGCGGCGAGGCGTGCGGTTTGGCGCAGCATTTCTCGCGCCGCGTCTTTCTGGTTGAGAGTGCTGGCTGTGGTCCTAGGTGGTGCGCTCTCTGGCCCCTTACTGGTGGCTTTTGCAACAGCACCGCGCCCAGTCTATATCGAACGGCTCGCAGGTATGCAGCGCTTGCTCTGGTGCCGCCGCTTTGGCCGTCTGTGCCGGCCAAATTGCGAGCTGTTTTGCATTGGTGCACAGACTTATGCGAGCCGTCCGACGAGGCCGGTAGCGTGACGCGTGTGCAACGAGCAATGCAACGAAGGGCTAGAGTAATCGAGCTAGCGTAAGAAGATACTAGCAGCAAAAGCAAAGATAAGGCTGCCAAGCAGTTCAGGCTCCTGTGGGCCTCGTTGGTGATTGTTGGTGCGATCCAGGCGTTGGAAACGTCGCGTGACGTAGCCATGCGGCTTCTCACCTTGCTTCCGCTGGCAGCCACGGCTCTCCAGGCGCCAAACCAGAGAGCGCCAATCCAGAGAAGATCGACGGCGCGGCGCGCGTTCTCCTTCTCCGAAGCCGCTGACAGCTTAAAACTCGACGAGGCCTCGTCCAAGGCCGCCGACGCCGCGGCCAAGGCCTCCAGTAGCTTCTTAGATTCATCGAGCAGACTCGGCGCCCAAACGAGCGACGCCGTCGCCGCCTCTAGCAAAGCCACCTTTGAAGCCGCGCAATCCGCTTTAAAAGTGGTCGATTCCGACGCCGTGAAGAACGCGTTGAAAGCGGGGGACGGCGCGGCGGACGCCACCGCGCAAGCGATCAAAAGGAGCGCCGACGCGCTGTCTTCCGTGAAAGTGGACACGTCGGCCTTCGACAAGGCCGCTCAAAGAGCGGCGGAGGCCGCGTCCAAGGCCGCCAGAGACGGCGCCACCATCACCAAATTCGAGGCGCCCGACCTCGGGAAAAAACTCTCATCGATCGACGCGTCGGGCATCAACCGGGGCTTCGCCGACGCGGGGAAGAAGATCTCGGCGTCGGTGGACGCGAAGACGCTGACCACAAACCTCGACGCGGGCATGAAGCAGCTCGGCAAGAATTTGGCTGTTGATGTGGACAGCAAAGCCATCCAAGCTTCCTTCGCCAATGCCGGCAAGAAGCTCTCTTCCGTGGACACGAGCGGCATCGATCGCGCGGTGCAGAAGGCGTCGGCCAATGCCGCCAAAAAGCTTAGTAGTGTTGACCTCGACGCCGTCGCGAAGAAGGCCGCTCAAAATGCTGAAAAAGCGGCCAAGTCCGTAGATACTAAAGCGCTGCAGAAGCTGTCCGCGAACGTGGACAAGAAGCTGTCGGCAGCGAAGGCCCCGTCCTTCGACAACCCTCTCCTGAAATTCAAGGAGGGTCTCGGTGCATCGACGGCGAAAGCCGGCGGCGCGAAGAAGGCCTTCGGGGCCAAGAAGGCGGTCGCAGGCGCCAAGGCTACTGGATTGGCGGCGGCTGCCGAAAGAGCTGCGGCGTCCGCGCGGGAAGCGGGCGAGAACGCGGCGTCGCTCGACTTCGAGGCGCCCGATTTCTCCGGGGTTATTGACGCGTACCACGACGCCTTTCCGACCGTGTCGGACGACGTCTTGGACATTGCGGCGTTAGTTGTCGTTCCTCTGGTCTTGATCGCGGGCGGCACCGCTAGGGACGGAGGCAAGGCCTCCGGCTCTGCCGCGGCGGACGCTCGGAAAGCTGCCGAGGAGGCCGAGCGGCTCCGCAAGAAGGCCGACGCTGACAAATCGGAGAAAGCTCGTAAGGCGGCGCGCGAGGCCGAGGAGAGGAAACGGAAAGCGGAGGCGAAGGCGCGGGACGAAGCACGCGCTGCGGAACAGCGGGAACGGGAGCGGAAGCGCGACGCGGAGAAGCGCGAGGCCGAGCGCCGCGACGCGCAACGCGCGTCCGAAAGGCGCGCCGCGGACGCGAAACGCGACGCGGAGCAACGCGCGCGCGACGATAAAAGGGCGGCCGAGGCGCGGGCGCGCGACGAGAAAAAAGCTGCTGATGCAAGGATGAGGGAGGAGAAGCGTCTAGCCCTGTGTGGAAATCAACCAGTGCGTCGGGTGCACCCGACAATTCTTCACGAAGTCGTCTCTCGGCGATGGCGCGGCCGTCCTGGCTCGGTCGAGCGGTGAGGAACTAGCACCGCCACGCCATCGAGCAAACGTCGCGTCGATGGCGTGGAGGTCGACGTGGCGATTCAGCACGAACGCGCCGTGAAATTTGGATTTCCACACAGGTCTAGCCGACGAAAAGAAACGCAACGAGCAGAAATTGGCCGACGAGAAGCGCCGCCAGGCCGAGCAGCGCGAGGCGCAAAGATTACGGGACGAGAAAGCTGCTCAAGCGCGGCGCGAGGCCGACGAACGAGCTAGGATGGCCAAACGACCGGTCGCGGCCCCGGGCCCCTACGACGCGAGTCAGTTCCTGAAATACTGCATCAAGTTCGACAAATTTTATGGGACCCAGGAGGAGTATGATTCTCATTTTGCGCGGTGGAAGGAACGCTCAAAATACATCGAAGAATATAATAGAGGGCTCGCGCCGGGCGAAGCCAAATTAGTGCTCAACGCGCAGGCGGACCTGTCGGACGAGGAGGTCGCGGAGCTGGCCTAGGGAGGGCGTAAAGTCGTAAATTTTCGAAACGTGCCAGTGGGACCCGTGTCCTAGGCAGTGACAGTCGCATTTTCGAAAAACGTGGGGAGTCTTAGGCATACAGGCATACAGGGGGACTTCGTCTCGCGGTCTCTACGCGACGCCGTAGAAGGCGGCGCGCGTATCGAACATTCCGAGCAGCTCGTCGTACGCCGCCTTGTCCGCCGCGGTCGGGCCGTCGGAGGGCATCAGCAGGCCCTCGACCTCGAAGTTGAGCGTGGGGATCTTGGGAGGACCTCCGCCGAAGTCCCTGGGGAGCCCTTTGAGGAACGCGACGCGGCATCGGAGGCGCGAGCGGTAGCAGCCGAGGGCCGTGAGCCCGTCGTCCGTGATCGACTTGTCCGCACCGCAGGCGAGGAACACGCGGAGCATCGTCAGGTCCGGCGATTCGGAGTCGACGTTCATCGCGGCGAGCATCAACGGCGTGGCCCCGAGGGCGTCGGCGTCGTTGATCGCGTCCCGGCCGCCGATCGAGCAGAGCAACTGGACGAGCGGCGCCAGGGCCGGACACTCCTGGGAGTGCGCCGCGCAGTAGTGGAGCGCGCGGGCCTTCCGCACGCAGGTGCCCTGCTGGGTCACGCGCTTGATGATGAAGGTCACGACCCTGCGCATCGTCGCCTCCGAGATGGGATTGTTGCGAGCACGCGCGCAAAAGGACGAGAGGAAGTCGCTGAGCTCCGCGTCGGCGGGCCGCGGCAGCGGCGGCGCCGGCATGACCAAGCCGGGCGCGGACGCCTCTTCGTACGACATTGGAATCGCGCGCCAGGTCGCGTCGACGCAGTAGAGGTGCGAATTCTGGTAGCACTCCTTGAGGACCTCGTCGACCTGATAGAAGCCGACGCGGAGGAAGGGCGTCATGTCGCGGCGGGCGCCGCGCCGGGCGAGGTCGTACGCCGCCTGCCGCTTCGCCGGGTCCAGCTCGTCCGAACCGAAGAAGCTGGGTCTGCCGCCGCACGCTGCAAGCTCTGCCCCCGTCAGGTGCGTCCGCGCGTCGGGGACGTAGGCGGCGCAGCCCCAGCCACCGACGAGGTCCCGCAACTGCTGGAGCGCCACCGTGGCGATGTCGGTCCGCGGGTCCGTCGAGGCCGGCGCCTCGATCTCGAACGTCTCGATGTACGCGAACTGGCCTCGGCCCACGCCGTCGCCGTGCGCCCGGAGACACTCGAGCCGCGGCGTCGTTCCGTCGGCGTCGAAGAACGTGGTCGCGATGTCGTAGAGCGTGCCGTCGCCACCGACGTGGTCAATAGCCGAGTTGAAGTCCCAGCTCTTAGGGTCACCGGACCAGCGCGCGAGGAGCGCGCGATCCACGAGCACGAGGGCCACGCGGCCGACGGCCTCGCCTTCGTAGCTGATGGTGGCCCGCACGTGCGTGACGGCGCCGCACTCGCCGTACTTGTGGCCGTCGTAGTCGTACTCACCGTCGCCCACACCGTCCTCGCCGTACTCGGCCACCGCTTCTGCGTACTGGTCGACGAGCTTCACTTCCACGTTGGGAATAATCGGCGGCGCGAGCGCGTAGGGCGCCTGGCACACCTGGCAATTGTGCGCGTACTGTTCGCGCCCCGGATCCTGCAGGTTCCGGCGCTGCAGCTCGCGCAGGCACTGCTCGTGGATGACCGTGTTGCACCGGCACGGCGCCAAGAGCGAGTTGCCTTCGGTGACCTCGGACGAGAGGCAGACGTAGCACTGCGGGCCGCCGGACGGCGCTTCGTCGTCGATGAGCCGCTCGACGACCACCGCGTCGGCGCTTCGGACCGCGTCGTCGGCGCTCGCCGCGTCGTCCATAATCGCGGGCGCGTCGGCGTTCGCCGGCGGAGTTGCGGGCTCGTCCGCGTCCACGTCCATGTCTTGGGCCGGTGCTTCGACCGCCGGTGCCGGTAGTTCGGCCGCCGGTGCCGGCGGTTCGGCCGGGAGGCCCTGGCGCTCGCGGCGCGCGGCGTGTGCTTCGGCAAGAATGTTGTTCATGTCTAGGTACCTGCGGGGGGCGTCAAAATTTACTGAGACGTTCGCGCGCTCGAGCCTACGCGCGCAGGCGCTGCGGAACCTCTCAGTGGTCGCGGCGCCTTAATTTGAACGGGAGACGAAGTGCTGCCAGAGAGCGTTCTCCCGGCCCGCCGCGCGAATGGCGCGCCCTCGAGCTTTCTCGCGGCTGTCGCGCAGCCCTATAGAACACCTAGCGCTGGATCGCGGTTGAATCGGCGCGCTGGCGGGCGCGTTATAGCGCGTTTTGTGTGTTTGTTGGGATCCGCTCTTCGGCTAGTATGTCTTACAGACCGCTAGCTAAATAAAATAGGGCTCAAACTTACTACGCCAACCCCACCAGCCCCGCGGACAGCCGCCACAGCTCCTTCTGCTCGTCAATTGAACGCGCCTCCGCGGAAGGCGGGTGACAAAGCAGCTGGTGCTTGCCCGGCGGGTCCGTGTCCCACCACCCGTTCGTCGACTGATCTAGTAAAGGCGCCGTCGCCACGTACGATAAACAAGCCCCGCCGAAGGCCGCAGTCTCCGCGACGCCGGCCTTCGTCGCGATGGCATTAAAGGTCTTTGCAAAAAACTTCGGCTGGTAGCGGAAGAAGCCGTCGGGGGACGGGATGAGGCCGGGGCTGAAGGCGTGGGCCGTCGCCTTCGCGTTCTTCTTCGCTAAGCGTCGTGACGCCTCGGCCGTAAACAGCAAGTTGCAGAGCTTCGAGTCCTTGTAGGCCTTGTCGGCGTCGAAAGCGCCGCCGTCGACCATGTCGAAATTCGCTGACTTCAGACCGCTCAAATCACCGAGCGTCGCCGTCGAGCCGACCTTGCCCCCGCCGGACAAGGGATCGTGGACGGGGGACGCCGTCACGACAAGGCGCGGGTGCTCACCACTTTTAACAAGCTTGTCCTCGAGCAGATTGTAGAGTAGAAAATGTCCTAAATGGTTCGTCCCGATGGTGAGCTCGAAGCCGTCCTTCGTCCGCGTCGGCTGCGCGTCCTTCGTGTTCAGGGCGAGGCCCGCGTTCAGCACTAACACGTCGACGTTGGACACGGTCTTCGCAAAGCTGCGCACGCTACTCAGATCCGCTAAATCACACACGGCGGCCGTGCCGCCTGTCGCTGATGCGGCGGCGTCGGCCTTGGCCTGGTTCCGGCACGCGCAGACGACGTCGTGGCCGGCCTTTGCTAATATTTTTGCTCCTTCGAGCCCGACGCCGGAATTCGCGCCCGTCACGATGATGCGGCGCTTGGCCACTTTAGCTGCGGTCTCAAACAACTCGGCCTGGGGCACGACCGTGCCCTCCGGGCTCGCGGCAAGCGCTCGCAGCGGCAGGAGGCCCGCGGCGCCGAGCGTCAACAGGAGGTCGCGGCGGTCGAGTTCCGCGCTTGCCGGCGCGTCGACCGGTCGCGCCGGCGGCGTACGGTGGCCGCTGGGCGCGAGCGCGTGCGAGACGGTGCAAAGTGCTGCAAGTGCAAAGCGCATCCTCGATGTCTCGCTGTGGCAGCCTCCTGGCTGTCGTAGGAGTACACAGATCGCAAAAGCTGGGTCGTTGATTGCACAGGGCCCGCAAAAAAGCTCTTGAACTCCGATCGAGCCGATGCTCTGCGAAGCATAATTCTAGCGTTGTGAGCACACTAGGAATCGAGCAAACGAGCAAAAAACGGCTTGTTGTATGCTGTGTGTTGGCCGTTGCCTACGCATCGATCACCGCTGATCGCTCTCCAAAGCAGACAAGACGAGATGGCTGCCCCGCGCAAGCAACAAACCGATAGATGAAGGGGCTGCTCCTGATGCCATGCCTGGCCGCGGCGGCGCCAAATGCCTGGCGCCGCTGGCGGCGCCAACAACAACAACAGATGCCGGAACCGGTGGCACCCGAGTGGACCAAAGAAATGCCGCAGACGTGGGAACCCGCGCCGTCGCTGCGGGCCTGGCGCGGCGTCGCGCCCGCGTGCGCCTGGTGCGCCCACGTGGACCAGAAGCACGCCTACTGCCAGGGCTTCGGCGGGCGGTTTTGTGATGACGGCGTCGATGAGTGCTCCATTCCCTCACGCGAGCTCGACAGACACTGCGCCAAGGCGTATGCCGCCACGGGCCTAGACGCCTGCGTGGCCCGCTGCGACGGTGTATTGCGAAAAAATGCCTGCGCGGCGCGCTGCCTGCACGCGGCACAATCTGCGGTGCGCCCCGACGCCTGCGCGGCGCGCTGCGCGCACGCGGCGACCGCCGCGCCGCGGGACTGCGTCGAGAAGTGGGTCTCTCTTAACCAAGACGCCGCGTTAGTTGCCTCAAAAGGATGCCACCAATCTGTTGATGAGTTCTTCCTCGGTTCACAAACGGACACGCTGTCCGTGTTAATTCATTTGCAGAAAACGGGCGGCTGGAGCGTCGTCGACGCGGCGCGGGCGGCGGGCGTGCGCTGCCCGTCCGTCATCGCCAATGCTGATGGAAGGCGCTCCACGGAGCACCTCGACGGCTGCGCGGGGTATAGGGCCTCGACGCCCCAGGACGAGGGCTTGTTACGGGCGTCGACGGTCGGCCAGCAGGCCGTCCTCAGCGCCCACCACCGCATGTTTGCGTTACTGCATGTCGAACAGCCGCTGAGCCGCGTCTGGCCCGCGTTCCTCGGCACGCGGCAGGTTTTGTACGTTACGGTACTGCGAGATCCTCTGAAACGCGCGCTCTCGCACTTCAAGATGGCGACGCGCGAGGTGCACATCCCCGGCATTTATTCTGGTTTACCTTTCGGGCGCGTTGTGGAGCTCCAGGAATTCGCGGACAAGCCGCTGCGGGACTGCTTACTGTGTTCGAGGCGAGGCCGCGCGTCCGACCGGACGCAGGGCTACTTTGGGGTGGACGCGAAACGGAACGCCTCGACCCTAGTCGGGGGCGGCGAGTTCCGCCATTGTTGTAGGAGGCAGTGGCGTTATGCGGCGGACAACTACTACGCGCGGGAGTTATGCGGCTTCGCGTCGCTCGCGGAGCTGCCGTTCGGGGACGTCAACGAAACGCATGGGGACGAAGCGTCGCGGCGCCTCGACGCCTTTGATGCTGTTTTAATAACGGAGCGATTGCATGAAGCGCGCCCCGTGCTCGCTTCAAAACTCGGCTGGCGCCTGCCCCGGGACTTTGCCGTGCCGTGGCGGAACAAGGGGTCGACAGAAGAGGAAGAATATTCCGAGGCCGCGCTGGCGGCGCTCGAGGCGCGCAATTCCATCGATCGGGCGGTGTACGCGCGGGCGGCGCGCGCGTTCGACGCGAGTCTGCGGAAGCGGCGGTCGCGGCGACGGCGTCACGACGGGGACGTGTTGTGAGTGTGTAAAGTCTAACGTTAACTTATCAAGCGTCCACGGCGAACTTGATCCGGGGCGCCCCCGGAGTGGTATAAGGGAGGTCCGGCTGGTCCGCGGGGTAGAGGTCCTCGTCCTCGCTATCAGATAAACCGTAGATCTCGGCCAACCTCTGCTGCGGGCACGTCGTCGCCGGCCTTCTGGCAGGTAACGTCGCCATCCGCGCCCGGTAATCGGAATCCGCGACCCCGACCCAAAAAGGCCGCGGCGGCTCGACGGGCGGCCCGTACTCGTCCTCGTCCTGGAGTTTTCTCGTTCCACCTCGCGTCCTTCCAACATCGGCAGGAGCCAAGGCATCCACGGCCTGCGACGCCGCGGCGGCCGCCGCTATCTTCTCGGCCGCTTCGCGCGCCTCCGCCGCCGCCGCTTCGGCGGACGCGCCGCGCGTGCCGCACGTGTGCGCGGAATGGGCGCCGCGACACGCCGCACAGGGCTGGCTCTTTTCCCTCTCGGGCTCTGGGGGCGGCGGTGGCGGCGGCGCCTCCGGGATGATTTGTGGGGCCTCGTTCACGCTGTCGCAGTCCGACGACGATGAGGAATAACCGTCATCCGTTAACGAGAACCAACCCGCCCTTGCAATACCCCTCGGTTTTTTCGTGGAAGATAAGGGCGGCGCCGAGACGCGAGCTGAAGAAGCGTACCGCACTCTACCAGTGAACGAAGCTTGCCGTTGCGCCGTCGGTCGAGGCGATGCCGGTCTTACGTGAGAAGAAGGTTTGGAATCGGGCGGCGGTACGGCCTTCGGGACGGTATGACTCCCATATCTATCAACTAGAACACGACCACCGCGACCCACCCGAGCTCTTCTACGAACCGTCGACACGGTTAGCCGGACAAATTCGGCTTGAGCAGCGGCAGTAACGGCCTTCATCGCTTCTCTGTCATCCTCGACGTCCACCGGCTTGTTCGGGTCTCTAGGCTTAGGTTTAGTGTCCACCTCCATGGGGACCTCCTTCTTCTCGTCCTTCTTCTGGGTAGCTTTGTCGTCGGGCGCGAACTCCGACTCCGGGAGGGGGTCGGGCGGCGGCTTTAGCAGCGCCATGACTTCCGGACCCTCCGTGGCCACCGGGGGATCGAGGAACACTCTATCCAAAGCCACGGCCAAAGCGGCGTCGTCCCTGTGCAACCAGCCCGTGTCCATGAAGCCTTTCTGGGGGATGCAGACCGGGCCCGGTTGGCCGTGCAAGGGTCTTTTCGGGGTGTTCGCTTGCGCGCGAGCGGTGGCATTGCTCGTACCAGGCGGTAGAGCGTAGGTGTCCTCCTCGAAGGCCCGCCTTTGCTTCTTGTTCCTACGTCTACGAGCAGCGTCGTCCCTATCTCTCACGGAGACCGTTCTTTTGACCACGCCTGCGCGGGAACGACGCAGTGACTCTCTGACGAGGCGCGTGGGCTCTCATGCGGCCGCATCGACGGCGTCGAGGCGGCGCGGCATCGTGTCGACGCCGTCACGGCGACCACGTCATGCGCGGAGCATCGTGGTCTCTCGACTCGGTCCGAACGGCCTCGAAATAAAAATAAACCACCCACGGCATCGTGAGATGGACACAAGTTGATGGCGTGACTCTCCACGACGGGACGCCGCGATCGCGCCTCGCTCCTCGGGATAGTCGTCCTCGACCATCGGCTCCTCTAATGGCCGCAGCGCGACACTCGCCAAGCGTTCTCGTAGTACTTGAGCCACGACCTCGGGGGACCACCGCTTTTGATCCGTGGCGGGCGCGGGCGCCGGCGCCGGTGCTGGAGCTGGTGCGGGCGCCGGCGCCGTGACCACAGGCACACCCAGCCCGACCGGTAGCTGGGCCTGGGCCTTCTTCGCCGCCTCGGCGTCGGCGAGAGCCTTCGTCGCCGCCGCGACCTCGTTCGGCGTGAGGCGGTAGTCCTCATCTTGATCAGCAAAGGGAAATTGGTCGGGCAGCGCTTCGACGCCCCGTTGCTTGGCTAGCGTGTCCAAGGCGCGTCTGAGCCTACCTCGCGACGCGTCTCCACGTAATCTACGCACCGTTTCTCTCCGCCTCGCGAGAGCACACAGGTCCCGAGCCGTCTCGAAGTCACGGCGCAACTGCTGCAACTTCCGGAACGCGTCGACGTCGTTCTTGCGGTGTTTCCTCAACTTGTATCGTTCCTTCTCCCTCGGTCGGAAGACGCAGTGCGGGTTCGAGTCAGTGGGAGACGTAGCCGGCCAGAATCGCCTCAACAAAGGTTTCCCTAGCTTCTGCCGCTTCTGCAGCCAATACGCATGGATCACGGGACCCAAGACAGCGGCTAGTTGGGGCTCCTTCAGCACCAACTTGGACCCGACGCCGCCGCGCCACGTCGGCTCGTTGCTTTTCAACGCGTCCGCGGCCTGCTGGCCCTTGGCGACGATGCCCGGCCAGGGGCCCGTCAGGACTTCCAGCGTGTCGATGACCGCCTCGAGATGGGCCCCCGTCAGCGCGTTGACGTGGCGCTGGACGTTTTCTTCGGTGGCCTGCGTCGCTTCGTCCACTTCCATGGCCTGCGGGGTTCGCGCCGTCGACGCGACTCGTCCCCAGGAACGATGAAGGTGGGTGGTCTCTGTTGCAATTTCGAGTCGAGTCGGACCGCGTCGCGAGCCGTCGATGGCGCCCGAGCCGTATCAAACTCTCGCAGACGCCATCGCCGCGCCGATGGCGTAGGAGGCGCTCTCGCCGTCGCCGTGCCGCGTCGATGGCGTACAGGCTGTCCTCTACGGAAGGGGCGTAAATGCGGACGCCGCGTCGACACCTGGACGAGGTCCTCCTCCTTGGACTTCTTGCCTCTAGTAGCGGGCTGGGCCGCTAAAGCGGCCCGCTTCTCGGCCTCTTCTCTTTTACGACGCTCCTCCTCGGCCTTCTGCTGTTCCAATTGAGCGGCCTTGCCCGCGCCCTTCTTGTGCGAGCGGCCTTTTTGCGCTTCGGCTCGGGCTCCCGCGCCAAGCTTCTTCCGCACGGCGTCCGGCAACGTCTCGCGGAGCCACCGCTCGTCGTCGGCCCCGAGCACGTATTCGGGCTCGTCGTCAGACTCCGCGCAGGCCGGATTCCCGCTCATGTCGGCCGGTGGTGCCGCTCCCAAGGGTCTACCTAAAGCTAGGGCCGCCTCAGCTTTTTCGCCTGGTACTTTTGGGAGGGTACTGCGTTTCGGCGGCTTGCTTCGCAGAAACGCTCGAGGTAAAGGTCCTTGCTCCGGCACTAGTTGATCGTAGTCCTCCACGTCCTGGTACGACGGCGTCGGCACGTTCAACCGTATAGCTTTGTCGTAGGTCGTCACGCCTTCGAAGAGGCCCGCCTCGAGCTTTTGTCTGCTTACTGTCACGAGACTTCTCCCGGCGGCGGTGATGGACACGTATTTGAAGTCATTTTTTCCTTTCGGCCGGCAGAACGGCAACGGTCTATAAAAATCAATGGGCCTCGGCTTGTTCTTCTGGTGGGCGCGCTGGCCGGGCGGCGCGGGCTTCGCCGGGACGGCCGACATCTTTCACGCTTTTACTTGAAAAACGGATGCGAGACGTATTGGTGCTTTGCAAACACTTTAGCGTGTTTGAAACACGCAATTAGCCCGCGTCCGCTGTGCTGTGCTGGGGAACTCCTACGAGTTTTGGTCGCGCCAATGGCGCTACGCGAGCGCGAGCTGCGAGCGCGAGCTGCCTTGACCAGTTTTTTGGGTCGTATATGTGGTCAATAAAATTGCATCAGCACCGGCAGCAAGGCCGGTTTTTGGCTCACACGAGCTGGACAAAGTCTTCCTGCCGTACTCTCTAGTGTCTTACATTACGCTAGGGTGTTCATTTGACTAAGACTTTGCTCAGAGGGTATTAGCCCATACGGCGACCTCGCGACGACGCTGCGAGGCAGAGCTGTCGACTCGTCGCTGGTAGGCGAAGCTGGAGACTCGCCGCCATGCCAGCAGTCGTGAGCTCAGACCATGCAGATGAGTCTCTAAACCAGTCCAGCAGCGCTGCGGACGCGCACCGCTGCATCCGACCCGAGGAAATCGAGCAGCATCGGTCGAAGGAGAGCTTCTGGTGCGTCGTTGATGGGTTTGTCGTCGACGCGACCGCATTTATCGACACGCATCCCGGCGGGCTGCGCAAGCTCATGAGTACGGACGACGCCGGCATTGGCGCCGGGCCGGACCGCTTCTCGTTCTCGTTCTCGCGAGGCCGAAACGCGCACTTTCCAGACACGGGCCGCCGCTTCGCCGACGGCGTCCAGCGCTACCTGCGCGACGGGCACGCGACCAAAATCAAATTCCCGCCGCACGGGAACCTGATCATTCTAGGACGGCTGAAGAGTCATAATGTTGTTGTATTATGCCCCCCGTGCGCGCTTCTTGCCCCCCGTAGGAGCAGAGCCGTTCATCGCGTCGACGCCGCGCTGCTGCAGCGCGGCCATGACGTCCGCCGTCCGCAGGACGCGCCGCCCGCCTTCCGCAGCATCGCCGCGCAGCGCCGCCGCCTCGCCGGCCTCGTTGATGAGCGACGCGAGGAAGTGGTCCGTCGCCAGCGCGACGAGCCCGACGATGTCGTCGGCGGCCGAGGCGCCCGCTTCCCTCATGTAATACCGCACGACGTCCGCGGGCAGCGCCGGCTCGTAGTCCCGCGACCGATTAATGAACTGCGCGAGGCCCTCGTGCTGGTCGGCGCCGTGGAGATATTCGTCCTCGTCACTATCTTCAGCCTCGGCGTCCTTCGCCGTGCGCGACGGCGGCACGCGGTGCGCCTCCGGGGCCTTGCGCGTCGCGTTCGGCTGCTTCGTGAGGTCGAACGCCTTGACGGGCGCCTTCGTCGTGCGTTCCGTGGGCGCGTCCTCCCGCGCAGGAGGCGCGGGCGCGGGCGCGGGCGCGTCTGCTCCTATTGCGGCCATCATCTTGGCGACTTATTTGCGCGGCGCGCTGCGATGCGTGCGCTGCGCAGCGAGGGCACGGGAGCTCGTGGAGGGCTCTGTATGCGGTCCTAGAGAGGGGCCGCAAGCTTTGCAACGCTGTGAGCGATGAAATGCCCAGCGGATTGAGCGTCCGCGCTGTGGGTTAGCGACGCTAACTCGATCTTGCGAGACAAAGCGACGTTGAAAGCTTAATGTGCAGAGAGCCTAGTATCTTTAGCCGCTAGCGTCATTATTTGGGCTTCGACGAGCCTTGTGCACAGGAACGACGGGAGCTCGAGATGCACCGTGCCTCGTTGCTAAGAGGACTCGACAGCTTTGTCAACCGAAGACACCGTCGTGGAGCTGCAGAGACAGCGGGTCTCGCAGATTTTTTGGACACAGCCGAGTCTTACATCGAGCCGTCTTTGCGGTACGACCCTGAGAACGATGCTGTGACGCGCGTGTACGAGACGACGGGCCTCTTCGTGCCTGGAACCGGTGAGACGGTGAGCGTGGTGGTTCGCGTTGGCCTCCGAGACCGCGCGCCGCCGGACGGCTGGTGGCCCGCCCTTCACGGCACGGACTTTGAAAATATGAGCGACATCCTCGAAAACGGCCTCCAGCCAAGCGTGGGCGTCTACGGCGAAAACATCCACGCGACCGCAGCGGCACCCCTCGCGCTCCAGTACGCCCATCACAGCCACCACGGAAGAATGCTCGGCCCGAAGAGGGAGGTCGCGGTCGGGACACGAGAGCAGCTCTACGACGTCGCTGTCGTCTTGGAATGCGCCCTCAAGGACGACAAAGTCGAGATTCGCAAGAACACGTTCCACGCGATATCCGGCGCGTTTTTGCAGGCGGAGAACCAGATGCTCGAGTGGCTCGTGCCCGACGCCGAAGACTGCGTCGTCTTCAACGTGCTCTTCTTCTTCGTCGAAAGGAAGATGTCAGATCGCGACAAGCGCAAGCGCCAAAAAGAACTCGCAGAGTTGCCGAAGCAGCCGAGAAAGCTGCGGCGGCGTGCGTAGGGGCGGGTAAGAGGTAGTTGTTGTTACAAGCTCTCCGCCATCGGCGCAAAGCATGTTTCCTAGTGTCTTTAAGTCGCTAGTAATCGTGATTGCGGCGTCGGGCGAGATTGAGGCGCGACGGAGATCATCGGGACGCGCTGCCAATTGGGAACGCTTCCACTTCCATCTTACGTCCGCGCGGTAGCGATTCCGCTGCTCTGAGGACGCCTGCGTGTCGGAGAGCATCGGTGAACAACTGCAGCTGAAGACAGCACGCCGCCGGCGCGCACGCAACAAAGAAAGAAAAGGCGATGGGCAAGCGCCGCCGCGAACAGTTAAATGCGGACGCGGAGCGCCTGCAGGTCCAGCGCCTCGGCGAGCTCGTCGACCGCGAGAACGCGCTGCTCCTCTCGGACCTCCCCGCGCAGTACCAGGCCGCCTTCGCCCAACCGTTGAGAACGGAGAGCAAACTCCGGAAATACCTCGAAGGTTTAGATGGCTTCGAGCTCTGCGAAGGCGACAAGCCCGGCACGCATTGCCTGCGGCGCAAGGCGTCTGAACAACCGCAGAAGAAGGCGCGCCGCGAGGTCCGGACGACCGCCGAGAACGTGATTAGTGTGGAGGCGTCGCCGGCGCCGCAGTCCGAGTTCAATCCCGTCCGCCGGGCCGCGTCGCCGCTGCAGAAATTACATGACGAAATCCTCGCGTTTCGCGACGTGGTGGCGCCGTCTTCAACAGAGCGGGCGGCGCGCGAGGACGCCTTTCGCACGCTGGAGCGGGCGGCGAAGAGCTGCTGGCCGCGCTGCGAAGCGAAAGTCTTCGGGAGCGCTCTTACCAAACTCGAGCTGCCGTCGTCGGACGTCGACGTCGTCGTGTTCGGCGCGCCGGTGGACAAGGGCTCCGGCGGCGTCGCGAAGCGGCTGCGGACGCTGGCGTCGGCGCTCGAGGACCTGGGCGCGATCGCGCCGAGGTATGGTACCGTGTCCTTTTGAACGCCATCGACGTCCGGGAGACTCGTATGCCGTCGACGCGGCGATGGCGTCCGCGAGGGGAGTTTGGCACGCCTCGTTACGCCATCGACGCGGCGGCGCCATCGACGCGGCACGCTCGCAGGTCCCTCGAGGTCGTCGAGTCCGCGCGGATTCCCCTCGTGAAGTACGTGGACGCGGCCTCAAATACCGCGGTAGATGTCTCATTTGACGTGGAAAGTGGCTTACGAACAGGAAAGTTAGTAAGGAGTTATATGGACGCGATGCCTCCTCTCAGACCATTAGTCTTGGTGCTCAAGTTCTTCCTCGCCCAACGAGGCCTGAACGAGACGTTCACGGGGGGTGTTGGAAGTTACATGCTCCAGCTCATGGTCGTGTCGTTCTTACAACAGAGACATAGGACGGACCGCGCTACTGGACTTGTCTCGCCCCAGAATTTGGGGTCCTTGCTCCTGGAGTTCTTTGAATTGTACGGGCGGGACCTGAACCCCACGATTACGGGGATCTCGGTGCGGCGCCACGGCGCGTACTTCCCGAAGCGGTCGCGGAACTGGTTCAATCCGGCGCGGCCCAACTTATTAGCTATTGAAAATCCAGATGACGACAAGCTCGACGTCGGCAAGAACTCGTACAACTACCACCGCGTGCGCCGCGCGTTCGACCACGCGCACGACGCCATCGTCGCCGCTTCCACCAGAGAGGACTGGCGGCGGACTTGTTTGTTGGGGATCGTCGTGGACATGAGCGTGTGGAACGAGCGCGTGCTTCAGCGGGGGCTTGGGTAAGTTGTTGATAAAACATCGCTACTTCTTAGCCTTCGACGACGAATACCCGAACGCCCCCGCCCCGGTACACGCCGGCACGGGCTCCCCGGCGACGGGCAGGCCCGTCTTCCGCACGGCGTCGTCGAGGAGCTCCCGCTCCCTTCTCTTTATCGACTCGGGCGTGTCGTCCTCCTGCGGGTTGTGCGGGTACCGCCGCGGCGGCAGCGGGTCCGACGGGTCGTTCGGGATGCCCGCCTTCTCGCGCTTGACGCCCTTGGGCATCATGGTGGGCTTGCGCAGCTCCTTGGGGAGGGACGCGCGTTTTCCGCGCCCGCCCCGCTCCAATTTGCCGCTCTTCAAATCCTCCCGTATGAGATACGACATAGCTTGATACGAGGGAGACGCCGGCTCCTGCCGCGTGAACGTGTGGAGCTTGAACTTGGATTGGGCTAGGTCCGGGAAATACAGAGCCGCTTCATCACAAGGGGCCTCAGAGTAAGCCGCAGGCGCATCAATGGAACTCCGGTCGAAGCCCAGCTTCTCCAACCTCTCCAGAAACTCCTGGGAACCAGCCCGACCTGTTGATGGTGCGCAGTAGTACACGCGGGAACAGCCCAAAGCCACGATCGTCTTGCACAATTTTTCTACCACGTCGGCCGAATACACGAGATCCGCACCCACAACCACATCGCAGTGCTCCCGCGCCTTGCCGGCGCCCCGATCGTAACCCGCCGCGAACATCGCTCCTGATTCCCTAAATAAATCGGGATCCGCGGTTAACGGAGGCGCCGGCCGCCCGCACACGGGTTCTACCGGAGAATCCCAATCTAGGGACTGCACACTGATCCGCTTCGTCTGTTTGAGGGGGCCATCACTCACGTCCGGATTCCCGAAGTCCTGTTCAAATAAGTCCGCGTTGTGTCGACAGTTCTCGAGGGCCTCTTGGGAGGCGTCCGTGGCGACCACCGAACACGACGTACAAGCTGACGCTAGAGCCAGGGCCCCGACGCCGCAGCCTGCGCCTAATTCGACAACACGTTTTTTTTCAAAATCACTTTGCTGCGAGGCGAGCCATCTTCCGAGCACAACTGCGGCCGCCCAGACGCCTAACCCAGTCCTATCGGTCGCGCCGGACCCGTCTCCTAGAGCGTCCGTACTTTTATCGGCGATCGGCAGTTCTCGGATACGTATCGGTTTCTCACCTAGTTTCAGGGCATGCGTAATTGTCTGTGGCGCATCGTCAGTGTCGACCTTCTCCAACCCCTCAATAATCTTCTCCTCCGCTGCCGAATCGTGTTCTAACGCTATTGTGGCACACGCGCCGTCGCCGGACGCGATGGCCTCCGTTAACGCGCTTCTCCCAAAATTGTTTTTTTTGAGCGAGTCCGTCAGTACGAGTTTCAAACAAGCCGCCTGTTTTTGTTGGGCCGCGTAGTGGGCCGGGGTGTTGCCCGCGTCGTTCGCTAGTGTCGTGTCCGCGCCCCTCGCGAGTAGTTCCTTCACGATGGCCTCGTGGCCGTTCGCACAGGCCGCATGCAGCGCCGTCAAACCCCCAGGACCCTTGCCGTTGACGTCCGCACCCTTTTCCAGCTCCTTCTTCAGATCGTCCAACTCGCCATACCGCGCACACGCGAAGAACTCGTCCTGGTCGAAGGCCATCGTCACCTTCGCGGCCTCGGCTTGGGCCGCCATGACGCCGCGTTGTCCGCAGAACTAGAGCCGTGCAGCAGCGATGCGCGGCGACGGCGTGCAGCGACGGCGTAGAGCGACGGCTGCGGCGGCGTGCGCAGCAATGCGGCGACAATAGCTCGCTGTGCTTGGTGGCAGCACACACTAGTTGAGAGCTTGCAAGGATCGATGCAGCAGTCTCGTCGCGACGAATGCTGACTCCTGTTCGTGTAGACTACAACGCTCGATGTATTGCGTCGCTTTGTGCTACGCTGCGCATCGAGCAAAATCGTCGAGCAGGTCGAGCCTTTTTTTCATGATGTTCAGGGGAGCTCTGGATCCGATCCGAAGCCGCAAGATTACGGATGTGTACTGTTTGGTTTATGCCCGATTTGACAAAACGGGTTCGACTCGGCCCATCATCGATCACATTTTGCGACGCCGGTGGCCGCAGTCAAACGCGCGGCAGGTGCAGAACTGGCTCCTGGTATAGCATCGCTTCGCTGGAACACGAAGGAGTGGTCGCATTCCATCGATTCGTAGCGCACCAAACCACTGAAAAAACAAGCAAGCGCAGCGAGCGTGCGAAACCGCTGCGACGGACGGCTGCGCGCGGCGCACGACGTCGCCGACGCGCACCCGCAAACCACAGCAAGCAGCGCTCGACGCCGCCGACGCGCATCGAAACGATGCCCGTCCCCTTCGCGTCCTCGATGCCGCCCAAGGCACCCTACAGCGGCACCGTCCGCGGCACGCTCGTCAAGCAGAACACGTCTCATGGAGGAAGCGAATACGCGAGAAAAGTCTACTGTGTATTAACGGGCTACACGCTCTGGGAATACGATGATGAGGCCGCGGCGCGCGCCGGTCTGTGGCCCAAGGCTGAAGCGGACGTCATCGGTGTTTCTCCAGCCCCGGCCAATTCCTCGTCGCTACGGTCGACGCTGTTCGCCACGTCGTCATCGAGACCTAAAGATGAAACAGCGCGGACCTTCGTGTATACTACGACGGCCGGTGAGCGAGTTTGCGCCGTCGCCACGTCGGAGGCGGAGTGCGCCAAGTGGCTTGTTGGATTGACGCTAGCTGTTGAGTTATTAGTGTTGGGAGGTTTACCCGACGGCGCGGGCGGCGCGGCGCAGCGGAGGCCGCACGAGCCCCCAACTCCGGACGATCGCGCGACTCATTGCGCCGCGTCGGGCGTCGCCTTTGGCTATACGGTCGCGAGGCATACGTGTGCGGCTTCTGGTAGAGCCTATGCCGCGTCGCACATGGCTCCGGCGGGCCTACCTCTGCCAGGTATAGGACGAGGCCGCGCCGAGAAATTGAGTGATGCAGCGGCCCAGGCCCAGCAACTGCTGAACGTGGCCCGATCGAGAGCGAGACTACTCGCAAGTGCGGCCCACGCTTCCGAGCTCGAGAAGACTCTGGAAAGAAAGTTTCGCACGGACCGACGCGCGTTGTGGCTATTACATCACGCCGATAGTGGTAGAGTAGACCCGAAGCTCGACCCGTCCGGACGGGCCTGGCCCCGGGAAGAAGCGGCCCAGGCCGCCAGGCAGATACTCCTAGATCGGTCCCAGCCTCTGAGTGACCCTGAATACGACGCTCTCTTCAATACCTGTAGGGCGGCCGCACGGGACGCCTGCGATAGAGCTTACGACGTCTGGAAGGAGCAAGTACTAACTCCAGTGAAGAACGACGCGGCGGGATTGGTCGGAGAGTTCCATTTTTTGACCTTGGACGACGACAGCGACGACCCACCCCCAACACAAAAAAAAAAGAAAATAAAGCAGTCGCCCTCGAAGCGACCGCCGCGGCCGCCCGACAATATTCCCGAAGAATTAGAGGACCAGTCCCAGAAAGCATTGGCCGCGGCCAAGGGCGTCGACGAGGGCGCGCCCGACCCGCGCGTCGACGACGACGACGCGAAGAGGCGAGCGGCCAATGCTTTATGTCGTAGAAGGTTACCTAGAGCGGCGCGGTTGGTCGCGGTGAAGGATGTTTTAGGGCATTTGGCTGACTACGATTCCGCGAACGGACCGCCCCTACTGTTTTATTTACCTCAATTAGCTCATGTGTACTATCGTACTTTACCACCTTTGGATGGGGATGCCGCTCTTAGGAGTACGTTGGCGGAGGAGTTCTTACTTAGAGTAGCTAGGCGGTCCTTCCGCTTCGCTCTCCAACTAGCTTGGTTACTCGTGAGTTACCTCGAAGATCGCGCGGGCGCGGCCTCGCGACGACCGCACGTCTTGCGATTATTAGTGGAGTTGGAAGCAGCAGCGGCGTTTGCGGCTTCCCAAGCTGGAGGTGGGGTGGTAGCGGATAAAACAGGAGACCCCTGGGCCTTGCGGAGGGACGCCGTCGCGGCCGCAGCTATGTCTAGAAGAGGGCCCTTGTTGACGGGCGATACCTCGCCCTTCGCTGGCTCTGTGGCTCTCGAACTGCTACCACGCACCCCACCTTGGTTGGCCCTGGAACTAAGGCGAAGTGCCGGCGCTTTACGACGGACCGCCGCATTAGCTCTAGCTACTCTAGGTGTCGAACCGGCAGCGCCGCCGCCTCCACCAAGCCCGCGACCCATCAAAACACCTACAGGTCGTAGCTACGGCGCCCACGACGCCGACCACAGCGACGGGCTGCAAGGCCCTCCGGATGATGTCTTAGCGAGGGAGATGCGCTTCGTGCGCGCTCTATGCGACGTCGCCGAGGCCATGCGCGGCGTCGACGGGTCCTCGAGGCCGGCGCGTCTACGCAAAGAACTGGAAGCGTTACCTAGAAGAACGCCTCTGGCCCATGCTCCCTTCGAGAAGGCTGGTAGATTAGGTAGGGTCGCACGAGTACCCCCGAGGGAGGGCCACGTCTTCAAGACGAAGGCGCGGGCGCCAACACTGGTGCTCTTAGAAACGGTAGATGATCCCGACGCTGATACCACATGTCTGAGAGAAGAAGATTCCGAGAGCGACGACGACAAGCCCGTGCGTCGGATGACGCCGGCCCAGAACCACCCCGTTTATTGCTGTGTCCTTTGTTTTTCCTTCTTCGTCACAATCGATGGAGTGAAGTGGGATGGCTCTACACCGCCTTACGCCATCGACGCGACGCGACGCGACGAGAACCCCACCACGCCATCGACGCGACGTTTCCCAACGCAGGAGTTCGCCAACGCCCTCCGGGAAGCTTTAGCGGAAGAACCCGCGCCCGAAGAGCCTCCTACGGATGATGATCACTCGACGACGTCCGCCGATCTCGCCGGCGAGGTCAACGACGAGATGCTGCCGACGCCCTCGACGTCCCAGGAGCTGACGGGCGACCAATTGAAACGGGTCACGTCCGTGCCCTCAATAGTGGAATGCTCGTACGGCGCCGACGACGCCGCGACTGGAGACGTAAAGCAGGCGGTGCAGTCGCCGCCGCCTCGACGGAACACGTCCTCAACCGGTCTGGACACGTTAGCCGAGGCCGATACACCTTTGGATGGAGAGGAACCGACGCCCGTCCCGAAAATATCCCCGAGACGAGTGGATACGCCAGAAATAGGCCAGCCGGACTTCGCGGCGGCGTTGGACGAGCCGCCGCCGCCGCCCGTGGCCTCGGGCTATTCTCCGCGACGCGATGTTGTTCGAGCTTTAAGAAGGAAGCAGGCCCTTGGTCTCAAAACGGAACGACTTGATAGCCTGCAAGATACGCCGCAACCCTCGCCCGTCGGCAAGCAGGACTCGCTCGAAGAGGTACAAGGCGCGAACAAGGTGGAACAACCGGGCTTCGGCGAGCCCTGGGCCGTCCAGAGGGCTCGGGTCCGGAGGCAATCGCCCATCGGCGACGAGGAGTCCTGGAACCTCGTGAGCTGTATCGTGAAGTCCAATGATGATTTAAGGCAGGAGGTGTGTGCGTTGCAGATCATTGCGGCTTGTGACGACGCGTTTCGGGCCGCTGGCTTAGCCGGTGATCGCACTGGATTGTGGCTGAAGCATTATAGTATTGTCCCTACCGGGGCTTCGACGGGCATCGTCGAGGTCATGACCGACGCCGTGTCTCTCGATTCTCTGAAGAAGTCGAAGGGTTTTAAGAACGTCGCGTCGCACTTAATTCACGCGCACGGGCCCGCCGGTTCGAGGCGGCACGCGCGGGCGCGGCGGGCCTTCGTGTCGTGCGTTTTGCGGCGTCCTTTTTTTCTTCGATGGCGTGCTGGTCGCCGCGACCCGCGCCACGGTGGCATCGGATGCGTTTGTACTACCGTCCCGTGTTGTGGCTGGGCCTAGCTGGTCGTGCTCCCCAGGACACAACGGCGGCCTGTCGTGGTCGCCGCGGTCCCCAGGACACGCCAGAAACCTGCCATCGACGCGGCGTCGCGCCGATGGCGTGCTGGCATAGATTACGCCAGATCGGGCTCTACACCACCTTACGCCATCGACGCGACGCGTTCCTGCCAGAACACACCGAGAGAACGCGTCGCAACGCAGGTCCATGGCCGCCTACTCGCTCGTGAGCCACCTCCTAGGATTGAAGGACCGGCACAACGGTAATATTTTACTGGACAACAAGGGCCACGTCATCCACATTGATTTTGGCTTCCTCCTCGGCACGGCGCCCGGCGGCTCGTTCTCGCTGGAACGGGTCCCGTTCAAGCTCACGGCGGAGCACGTCGAGGCCATGGGCGGCTGGCAGAGCGACGGGTTCGCGGACTTTGTGGTGTTGCTCTGCTGCGGCTTTTCGGCGCTGCAGAAGCATTCGTCGAAAATCCTCGCGCTCGTCGAGGTCATGGCGCGCGACTCGCCGTTCCCCTGCTTCAAGACGGGGACCGCCGCCGTCGAGAAGATGCGGAGTCGCTTGAAACTGCATCTCACGACGAACGAGCAGGTCGCGGCGCACGTCGCGGATCTCGTGAGGCAGTCGTACAACGCGTACGGCACGCGGCAGTACGACAGCTTCCAGTACCTGACGAACGGTATCTATAGCTGATTAATTCTCTCTGTAACTTAAAAGGCATCACCTATTTTTCTTCGCGTCGCGCCTCACAGATACTGTGCGATCCGTCGAGGGAAAACCCGTACGTCGCATTGGTCAGCCAGCGCTAGCTGAAAGACAGCACTGATTCAGCTTGCTCGCCGAACTATGTTTTGCTAGTGTCTTTACGACGCTAGCTTCAAGGGACATTGAAAAGGCCTACAGACACGTGCCGCACGGGCTTCTTGGGACAGCGAGAGTGATCAAACGGACTTCCCTGTGCCCGGCTCGCACACTTGCCGTCTGAGCTCAGACCGACTAATAGCCCTAGAACAACATGAACCGCCTCATCGCCGCCCTCGCTATGCTGTGCAGCGCTTCGGCGTTCACCACCCGCGCTGCTGTGAGATGCGGCGTCCGTTTTACGCTTGCGCGGCCGCAAATAAGCCATCCTCGCTGAGGGCCATCGTCAGCGCCGGGTTCACCGCGCCGACGTCGCCCGCGCCCCCTCAAATGCCGGAGCGCGACCCTTGCCACTCTTAGAAGGGCTCGGGCGCAAGTCCGGTCAAATTCGGCTCGAAAAAAGGCTAGCTCCCGCCGGGTTCTCCGACATCACATTTTTCCAAACTCCAAAAACCGTCCTACGCCAGCAGTCTCTGCGCGGAAACGCTCCATCACCCGCGGTTTGACCACGCAGGCGCGCCCGTCGCTCAAGCTCGACTACGCCGTGACGCTCGTCGAGGACGGCGCCGAGACGACCATCGAGTGCGCCGACGACGTGTACATCCTCGACCAGGCCGAGGAGGAGGGCATGGACCTCCCGTACTCTTGCCGCGCGGGCGCCTGCTCGTCGTGCGCGGGCAAGGTCACCGCGGGCGAGGTCGACCAGAGCGACCAGTCGTTCCTCGACGACTCGCAGATGGACGACGGCTTCGTGCTCACCTGCGTCGCGTACCCGGCGTCGGACTGCACGATCATCACGCACGCCGAGGAGGACCTCTTCTAAACGCCCCCTCCCAAACCCGCGCCGTCGCTTTCAGCTTCGGTGTCTGCTGTGACTAAGTACCGGAGCGGTTTAATTCACAAGAGTGTCCTCCCGAGCCGACGGCGTCTGCGTGGGCCTGTCGTCTTCTTCGCGTGTACCATTCTTACGCACTCCCTGGCGGCGATGGCGTCTCGCGGGCGCGGAGCACTTTTCGCGCGTTTCGCAGGGCTTCATCAATCGACGAGGTGAGCGGGTGCGTGCCGCCGAGCACGCGCCTCGCGATGCGTTCCGCCTCCTCAAGCGTCTCCACGGCCTCGCGGAGATCATCGAGCGTGGCGCCGGTGTCCAGGTAGAGCGCCGCCGCGTAAACTTTCCTCATCCTCAGCGTGATAGTATTACTCTCCCCAAGAACGCGTCGCGCCACGGGAATCATTTTGCGCAACAGAGCCTTGGCTTCTTCGAAGCGCTGTAGACCATTAAGCGACACCGCGTAGTTGTTGGCATTCGAGATGGTTTGAATATTTTCTTCGCCATGGAGCCTCAAATGTCCAGAGTATACGTCTCGCAGCATCTGACTGGTCTCTTCAAACCGTCTAAGCTTTTGATACGTGGCCGCTAGATTGCCCTGCACGGCGAGGATGTGTTCTTCTGACGCGCCACGGCGCCGCTCCATCGACAACTCCGCCTCTCTCACGGTCAACGCGTCCTCACAGTGATTTGCGACGAATAACCCGTCCCCAAGCACGTTTATTGCGAAGCACCGGGCATTGTCCATCTCTGGCCGCCCCACGTACGTCTTCCAGCACGCCCACCCGAGCGCGCACTTCACGACGCCGTGGTACTGTTGCTCGCATAGGCTACACCAGGACCACCGCCGCCACCTCGCCTGCTTCACCTTGAGGCCCAAATTATTCTCCTCCGCCTCCGCGAACAAAATCTTCGCCTCTGTGCCATCGCCTTGATCAAAGGTGGTAGGGGCAACCCGGAACGGTCCCTCAAATCTTTACAAGCTGTGTCGACGATCGCGGGCCTGCCCTTCACCGTCGTCCTCATGTACATGATCCACGCGCTCTGGCTGGCCGTCAAGGAGGAAGCAGGGGAGCTCGACGAGCGCCGCAAGAACTTCGCGACGACGTGCCTGCCTACTTCTCTGGGGGAGGTGTGTCGGGACGTCCCTAGATTAATTGAGGCGGCGTTGTTTCCCTTCTTGCCGATTAAAAGGATCCTCACCGATACAATGGCGCCGGCCGCGGCGTGCTACGGCATCCTAGCCTTCGTGACGTTCTACTTCGCCGTGACGCTATTGGCCATGTGCCCCATCGAGGCGAACCTCCGCTTCATCTCGGCGGCCTGGTACATGGCCTTCGCGGCGATTGTGGCCTACACGCGCTACCGCGTGCGCCACCACCGTCAGATAAAACACGGCGACGTCCTCACGGACATGTGCATCGCCGTGCTCTTCTATCCCCTGGCGTTGGTGCAGCACGAGAAGGAGCTCCGCGCGCCCGACGACTTCTACGGCGGCTCCCTCGACAAGGAGTCCGAGGAGAAGGAGGCGTGAAGCTGCCGCGCGTCCGTCGGCACTCCCCCCGTTCTATCGTTCCCTCGTTCTAACGAGTCCGTCCCTATCTATCTCTCGCCACCGCGCAGACGTCGTCGCGTCGATGGCGTAAACCCGCGCGAAGCTTGAATCGGCGCTGCGCTGCACGCTGTACACCACCGGGGCAGCCTAATCATGAGCCGCGTTACTCCTTCAGACAGCTGGCAACGAGCACGGTCCAAGACTGCAGCCATAACAGCCTTCAAGCGACCAGTGCGACCGGTGGCCACAGGCAGCCGCGTCTCGCAGAAGCTCTCCGGCTCGTACATCTACTTTTTGGTTCTGGAGCGTTCGTGGTACTACGCCGTCACGCTCGCGCTCGGCCTATACGTCATCAGCATCGTAGTCTGCGCTCTGCTCGCGACCACGGCGCGCCTCGCGAACACGCAGCGAGACCTGGAAGAGGACCTTGATGTCGTGGCCCCGCGCTGGGAAAAGTGTCTCCGATTTGCCGCCGCCCATGTGCTCACGATGAGCTGGGGCAGCGTCGTCCCCGTCGACAGATGGAGCCACGTCCTCTCCTGGCTACAGATCGCGCTCGGTCTTCTGGTGAACGTCTTTGTGTTTAGTGTCGTCGTCGCCAAGTTCCAAGCGCCGCAATCGGATCTGGTGTGGAGTCAAGGCTGCGTTATCCTATCCCGGGACGGCGTCCCGCACTTACTCATGCGCGTGGGGAACCTGCGGTGCCACACTTTGTATTCCCCGCGCATTCGCTTAACGCTATTGAGGCGCCATGTCACGCAAGAGGGCGAGAGCTACTTTCGCCGGGATGATCTCAGTGTGGACCAGCCGGCGACGATGTCGGGGATTCACACCGTTGCGCATAGCATCAGTGCGGATTCGCCCCTCCGCGAGCTTCACGCAAGCGGCGCGCTCCAAGGGTCGCTCAAGGGCGCCGGCGAAGCCCTGCTGATTCATGCTGTTGTGCAAGCGTTCGATAACGTGTATGGAGGCGACCTCAGTGCGACGCACACCTATGGCAAGGGAAGCCTGCTGGAGGGTGCCTTCGCGGACATGATTCGGAGCGAAGGCGGCCGCACGACGATCGACTGGGATAATTTTAACGCGACGAGACCGCTGGGCTCGCCCGTACGGGACGCTGATCCCGAGCCGCCCGAGCCGCGGCCAGGCCGGCCCTACATTTCTTGTGGATCTGCGCGGGCGTCGTACGGCACGGGTGGAGCACTCGACGGCGGCGCCCCTAGGTCGGCCCTGGAACCGTATTGTCCCTACTCGACGCGCCTGTGTCTGCTATTAGCTGAGGGCGGTGTGGACTTCACGATGGTGAAGATCGATCTAACGGCGGTCCAGGGCTGGTATTCGGCGGCATTTAAGCCCGGAGACGCGCCCGCGATGTGGGGGACTCCGGGCGGCAAATCGGTGTCAGATGGCTGGGTCGGTGGGTCGAAGGAGTCGCGCGCTGCGTAGAAATCAATTGCAACGCGCTACACGCCATCGACGCGTCGGCTTGGTGGCGTGGGACTCACTGGATTCTTTGCACACAGGTGCCGCGACCGCGCCGTCGCGGAGCACGAGGGCGTGCGCCTAGCAAATGAAGCAAGGGCGTCCGTGAGCGAGGCGGAGGTCGCCGCCTTCGGGGAGACGCTCATCTTCGGCGGGCTGGCGCCTCGCATCGCCGGCTCGACGCATCCAAAAGGTTCCAAGGTCGCCGCGTTTATGCTAAAAAAAACGCTGGGGGTCGAAACGGCGACGGCGCTGCTCGCGCGCGACGATAAGGACGAGGCAATGGACGAGGCTCGTGGTCTGTGCCGAGACCGACTCAAGGTGGCGCTCCGCGATGTGTCGAAGCTCCTGGCCGCGGCGGAGGGACAAGGGGGGTTCTTAGGCGGGCAGGATCCGGACCCCTCGGACATAAACCTCGGAGGCGCCGTCTACACGGTCAAAGCCCTGCTCGACTCGGGCCTCGCTGCCGATGGGAAGATGACCCCGGAGCTCGAACGTTACCTGGAGCGGTGGTGTCGGCGCGACTCGTGGGTTGGCTTCCGGCGTCCTGCGAAGAGCCTTCATCTTGTCTCGCGGCGATGGCGTGCACGCATACGCCATCGCCGCGACTCATCGCCGATTCCCCGCAGCTCAAGGTCTACGGCACGGGCCAGTTATTCAACGCGGTGATCGTGCGGAGCTTCGCGAACAAGCTTTGCACGGTCGCGCCCGACGTGTGTTCCCCGGATAGCGTGCGCGAAGCCTGCGACAAGGCCCGCCGACTCGATCCGCGGTACCAGGCGCTCCTCCAGACCAATACGAAGGCGTGCACACCGCTCGGGGGCGACGACGACGGCGCGATTTGTATTTAATGTTGATGATTAGTAGTCCTCCCGCCCCGAGAAGGACCCGCTACTAGCTCTGACGCGCCCTATCAATGAACCACTGCCCCGGCGCGTACCCGGCGACCCGCCCGGCGAGAAGGAGCCACGTCTAGCACCCTTCGGCAGCACTATCCCAGGCACGCTCACGTCCTCCAAGGCGCCATTCACAAACCGGGCCCACCTTCTTCCTAAATCAGGAGCCTCGTCGACCGGCGGCGGCCAGGTCCCACCCGCCATGACGGCCTGGACCTCATTTATAGTCCTTGGACAGGTCGTGAAGTTCTCGAAGCCGTTTGATGTGATGCAGACCACATCTTCGAGCCGCACGCCCCCGAAGCCCCGGAAACCCCTTAACCTATCGGCGTTGAGGAACTTTGAGAGCGACGGATCTTTCAAGGCGTCATCTAACAAAGCGTCGATGAAGTAGCAGCCCGGCTCGACCGTCAAACACATGCCTTGCTTCAGCGTGCGCGCCGTCCGCAACTTCGCGAGGCCCGGTCTCGTCGAGCGTGCCGGCTGGCCCGGCAAGTAGCCGCCCACATCATGCGTGTCCAGGCCAATGAAATGCCCGAGACCACAAGGCAGGAACACGCCGCCGACGCAGGCCCGTTGCGCCTCCGTGACGCAGCCCTTTTTTAGGACGCCTAGTAACTCTAGTGCCTTCAACACTTCATTTTCCGCGGCGAGATGGCAGTCCGTCCACGACACGCCCGGTTTCAACATCGCAAACACCGCCCTCTGTGCACTAAGTACACCTTCATACACAATTCTTTGAGCCGGTCCAAATTTACCCCCCACGGGCATCGTACACGTCAAATCCGAACAGTAGCAGTGGTACTCGGCGCCCATATCTAACAGTGCTAAGTCACCGGTCTCCAATCGACGATCATTCGGCGCGCCAGCGTGGCCGTAGTGTAATACTGCTGAATTGGGACCGCACGCACAAATAGAGGTATAGGCGCAACTCCGACACCCCCCCTGACTCGCGCAGTGGTACAAAAATCTAGCTTCGAGCTGGTACTCCATCATCCCAGCTTTGGCTTCGCGCATCACTTCAGCATGTGCATTGCTCGACACCCAGGACGCGTACCTCAACAATTTCCTTTCATCTATTGACTTGATGACTCGACTTTCGGCTAGCGCGACGAAGCAGTGGTTCGGGATTGTGGTAGAATGGACTAGCGTCGGTAGCTCCACGGGTAGCGGCAATGCTTCATCTATCCTCTTTCCGCTATCAGAGTTCCGGCCTCTGGGTACGTAGCACTTTGCTTTACTACAATGTTCTTGTAACTCCGACAACCACTTCACTTTCACGCCGTATCTATTTGAGAGCTCGCTTCGTGTCGCGATCTTGCCCATCCTGTGTGATACGTGGTCTCGCGAAGACGCCATCGACGCGACCGGCGCCGTCGCAGCTCTCGCACGCGACGCGTAGACTCTCTGACGGCCGCGACGACGGCGTCGAGGCGACAACACATCGCGTGCACGCCATCGCCGCGACCGCGTCAAGTTCGAGTGTCACAAAGACGCCGCATACATGCCAGACGGCATACGACTTCGGTAACTCGGGCGCGAAAAGCGTACACGTACCGGACGGCATTTCCAAGCACCCGACCCAGCCCGGTTCCTTGACCCCAAACAAATGCTGGAAGTAACTTTCCTGCCGGAACAACTCCTCGTGGTCACTGTCGTTCCGCGTGCGCGCGACGCCGCCCACCAAGACAATGATCCCAGGAGGGTGGTCTTTCAGTAGGGTGATTGCTCGCTTTCGGTTGTCCTCGTGGAGATTTGCTGGAACGCGGAACGTGTGCGCCCCTCGCGAGAAGAAGCAGGGGTCTCCAGCAAAAGCGCCGGGCGTCGACGGTGTTAATGGGGGCGTCTTGCAGTCCAGCGACGCGATGACGGAGGCCATGTCTTCGATAGGTTGGTGGCGCGGCGGCGGCGTCGGTGGTAAAAAGCGCATGTGGCTGCCGGCGTGTCGCGCCGGCGTTTTTTTTGTGCGGTCTGCGGCCTCCGGAGCCAAATCCACGCAAGTGCTGAGCAGTGCTGTAGTGCTCAGGCGGCCTGGCACGCCGGATGGAGTTCCCCAGGCGAGGTCGCGAGGCTGGGTAAGCGATTTGTGGCTTGCCTGAGTTTGTGGCTTGCCTTTCGGCGTTTGAAACTTCGAGAGAGCCGAAGCCAGATTTTTCAGGCTAGCGTCGTAACACTCCAGCTAGCTGCCGGTCGGACAAAATTCACTATTGCTGCATATACCAGCCTTTGGACTCTACGCAGCAAGGTTAGGAGCGCTTCGATACACCCCGCAGCGGTTCGTAGCAAGCAACCGCGTTAATGGCAATGATGGCTCGGCGTTTAGCTCGCACTGTCCTAGCAGCCCACCTCTGCACGAGCGCGCGCGCCTGGGAGACCATCGCCGGCCTCAAGACGCAGCGGATGACCGTCACGCCGGCGCCCGAGGGCTCACCGACGATTGCCAAGGGCGACACGATCACGGTCCACGCGACGGGCGTCGTAAAAGAGACCGACAAGAAGTTCTGGAGCACGAAGGACCCGGGCCAGCAGCCCTTCACCTACAATGCTGGGGTTGGCTCTGCATCACCTGTGTGGAAGTCAAAGGTCGAGCGCCCCACGCCTTCGACGCGACGTCGTCCCCGTGGCCGCGTCGAGCCTCCTAACTCACGGGTTGATTTCCACTCAGGTAATTACGGGCTGGGACCAGGGCCTCCTCGGCGCCGCCGTCGGCGAGGTCCGCAAGCTCGACATCCCGGCCGAAGAGGGCTACGGCAAGGGCGGCTTCCCGGCCTGGGGGATTCCCCCGAACGGCGGCCTCTTCTTCGAGATCGAGGTGCTCTCGATCAAGGGCAAGTCCGCGGAGCTGTAGTGCGCGGCCTGGGCGCCGCGCACCATACTAGTAGTGTGTAAAAACTAACAAATTACTGGGCGGTCGTAGTAGTACTAACAGTCGCCGACGCGGAAGTTGCGGGCGCGGCCGTTGCTGGCGCGGCCGCCGGCGCGGCGCTTCTACTAATCTTCGCGGCCGCCGGCGCGGCGCTCCGACTCGTCGCCGCCGCCTGGGCCTCCTTCCGGGACATCTCCGGCAAAAAAGGCCCGTCCTCCCAGCTCCGCAGGTCGCGCATGGCGACCTCGACGCGCAACCGTCTTCTATCCTTGATATCATCGTCGAACTCCCAGACCAGCTCGGACGGTACACATACACCAGTCAGCCGCCGCTGGTACTTCCGTTGCCGGACGGAAATCGTCAGAAAACGCGGCAGGCAGTTCACGTCGACGTCTTTCGCAGAAATATCGTCTGGCACGTCGAACCAGATCGACACTCTTTCATTGTCCTGGCGCCACGTGTACGCGCCCGTCCAGTCATCTTCCTGAGGCGTCGTGGCGAGCATCTGAGTCCCTTGGCGCCAGGCGCATTCGATTTCCTCGCCCGCTCTTAGTAAATCGGACGTGCCGCCCCCAAAAACGTTCTGGGGCCACAATTTCTGTTGCTTCTTACATAACTCCAGCGCGAGGCACTTTTTGGGATGTGGAGATCCGTGGAAGGGTCTGGCACCCATAGCGTAAGTGCAGTCCTTCTCTATTACTGGTGGATGTGGTAAACGAACGGGGTCCATGCCTTTGATCCGCAATTCTACGTCTTCCTCATGAAAGGACGCGGAGGCCTCGGCTTTACTGGGTAGAGCTATTTGTATCCATGTTTTCTCTGTTGTGTTCTGCCACGCCAGTTGGGTCTCGAAGGGCCTATCCGAATCGAAGCCCTCATTTTGTACAGCATCCTCTTCGACGACGCAGGGGCCGTCCCCGTTCGACATCTGCACGCTGTAGGCCTTGGTGCCGTCGGCCCGGATCGTGGCGGCACCATGAGAGCGCGGGTCGATCCTGACCTTCTGGGGCTCGTCGTCGGAGGAGCAATCTAACGAATCCCACTTCGCGTAGTTCAGGGTGTCGAAGGAGGCCATGCTTCGCGTCGACGGCGTGGGGGCAGCCCTTGTCTGATATGGGGCAGCCTTATTCGGCCGCAGCGGTGGCGCCGAGGACCGCTGCGACCGCGTGGCGGCTCGAAGAGTGTATTGCGCCGTCGTAGGGCAGCCTCTCGCGGCGTTCGAAGCGAAGCGCGGCGCTCGACTCGAGGCTCGAGGCTGCCGGGACTCCTCCACCGGCAGGGCTCGCCAGGCCTGAGAGGCCTCGCCGACGCCCTCCCGAGTGCGATAGGCCCCGAAAAGAAACCGCACTAGAATCTACAGTCCTAGCGGCCGGCCTGCTAGTTTAGCGTCCGGCCGAGGCGCTGCCTAATTGCCAGGGCGCAGGACGAGCTGCTCCGGCCGACCGCCAGCGGGAGGCGTCGCCGAGCAAGCAGCGAAGTAAACCAAAGCGGGCAGCAGCGACCGAAGCACGCGTCGCGGGGCTGCACGGGGCTGCCCCCAGAGGCAAGCACCATGTACGACGAGGCCGACGCGCCGCCGCCGGCCCTGGACCTCAGCCAAGAAGAACTGCGGAAGAGGCTCCGCGCGCTCCCACCAGGGTTTGATAAAAACGCGCTCAAGCCGCTCAAGATGCTGAGCCGGACGGGCCGCATGACCTCTAAGAGAAGGAAGACCCAGGAACAGTTCTCAAGGACGGCGCCGGGCCTCATGAAGCGCACGCAAGCCACGAATGCCAAGGGCGTCCTGTCTACCGAAAGAGCCGCCTTAGCGCTGACCTCTAGACATGTGTTATCGAAGCCCCACAAGGTCCGCCAGGTCATCTCCCCGACTCGATCCATCATGTCCGTGGAAGAAGCGGCGGTCGTACCTTACAGTGAACCAGTGAAGCAAGTAGTGTCGTTTTTAGACTCCCTAGAACTATCAGATCAGCAGATGGCGTCGTTCATCGACGACGCCGGGTCCTTCCTCTACCTGACACGTCGAAGCAGACAGTCGTCGGCCTACGACTTACGCGTGTGCGAATGGGCCGAAGTGGATGAAAGCGACTACTTCACCGTCTCGTGCAATGGTGTGTATCTCCGCGTTTTGAGGTGTTGCGGTGCCTTCACTTTGTTGATGTGACTCGTCTCCAGGAGAGAAGGCGCTGGGTGGTTTCTCGTTCGAATTTGAGTGAATTCGGACGCGATGCGAGAGAAATGCTCCGCGCAGGTGTCACGCAATTCGAAAAAACGGACTCGGAGTTCACTTCACTAAGTGTTTTTGAGAAGGAGTACAAGGACTACCACGCCATGGCCCGGATTCCCTTCTTCTTTAAGTATCGGAGCTGGAAGACGTTCCAGGTCTGGAAGAAGGTGCGACCTCGGCGTCCCGTGCGGTGCCTTCGACTCGTGGCCATCGCACGAGGGCGTGGGTGGTCTCTTGACGGAAATGCTCCGCGCAGGTCGTCAAGCGAGGCAAGATCCGCGCCGCCTCGAAGGTCATCAAACAGCAGTTGTTCCTCTTCGCTCCCGCGTTGAGGGACGCTCTCCTCAAGGTCCAAGGTTTATGCCAAGACACGTTAACGTACGGCTTGCTGTCGGCCGATCCTAGTGTGACGTACGAGCTCCAGGACTTTGTCAAAGAGCAAGAAGCACGACAAGCGGAGATGGCCGAAGGACTCGTGAGGTTCAGCGCCGACGTGCAGCAGGTCGCTAGAAGTGCTTGTGACGACGTCGTGGATCAATTCCTCAAGCAGGCGGGAATCGTCGCGGACCACCGCATGACCTTCATGGAGCGGGCCGCGTTGCGGTCGGAATGTCGCAAGTTGACACGGTTCCTGCGGTTGGTCGATTGCCACGTCGTCGCCGCTCTCAGAGAATTAGCGTTGGAGGCGGCGGCAAACGCGCTGCGATTAGTCGATCCTCCTCCTCACAAATTGCCGAAGCATGTTGTATACAGGGATGATCCTGACACCGTGGTTAAGGCGGACCCGCTCGCGTTTTTGAATGAAGCTGAGGAGGTGTCGGCGACGCCGCTGTTTCGAGTCGAGGTCTCTTTTGTGGAGAGCGAGCTCCAGCTCTCCCCATCCAAAGATCAGATGCAGTTGTGCTTCAATGACGTGTTGCAGTCTTGTCTGCGAGTGGTAGGCATTCCCGATAGGATTTTTGCCCACCCCGATCTAGCTTTATATGTGATGACGGACGGCGACGAGCCGCACGGTGCTTCATCAGTGTCTTGTGTCCATCTCACTTCCATGAGAGTGGTTTCTTTGTCGAGTTTGAGGCCATTCGGACCGCGTCGCGGCGTGTCCGAGAGCGCGGTCGCCGCGATGGCGTGAGGTTGCTCGCACCGACGCGGTCGCCGCGACGGCGTCGCCGCGATGCCGCACGAGAGTCGACGCGTCGCGTGGGTGAACGGAGACCGAGACCGCGATACGCTCCGCGCAGGCGAACAGCGGGAAGAGATCACGGTCCAAGATTTAGTAGGGAGGGAACCGTCGTGGCGGTCCTGCAGCCAGGACATCGCCGACGCTCTGGCGAGAACTTTTGACGAAACAGCTAACTACTGTGAAGTGTTCCAACCTTATGCGGGTAAAGGGTCGGTCTCGGTGGAAAACGACGCCTTCCTCGCTGGACATAAGACGGCCTTTGGGGACCCCGTCGACCTGCAAGCCTATTCCGACGCTATTAATAAATTCAGAGATCAGAGAGACGACTTCCGGACCATTCCGAGGAGCGCCGACGTGTCGATATTACGCGTCGACTCGCTGGACCTGAAAACAGAGCTCTTACCATCACCTACACGCTGTGTGGATGCCTTGCAAGCCTTACTGCCGGAATTGATGGACCTAGGATTCAAGAAACTGCTGCGAGACATCAATACGCAACTACCGACCGTGACGGGAAGCCCGCAGGACGTGGCGGAATTCGTCCACAAAATGAAGGTCGTGCGCGAGAGCCAGCAGAGCGTCGAAGGGTATCAACAAAGACAAGAGCATTTGAAGCAGATGGCGTCGCTCATGAAGCGCGAGCACTGGCCCCTGCCCGAGCAGCAGTCAGCAAACATGGTCATGTGCGACGAGAACGTCTCGCAGTTGGAAAGTGGAGCGCAGATCGCCGAGGCCGGCGAGGAGGACGGCAAGAAGCGCTTCTCGAACGAGATCGAGAAGGAGGTGCCGTCCCTGAAGAAGAAGATCGGCCTCGTGCGCGAGAAGCTCGATGATCCCATCATCGCCTCGGTCCACGAGAAGCCGTCGACGGTGTTGAGTTTCTTAGAGAGCAATCAAGATAGCCTCGATGACTTAAGAAAGCGGTCGGAGACGCTGTCGGAATATCAAGTAGCATTAGGCCTGGACGTCGACGAATATGACACGCTCGACGAGGTGCAGCTCGACTTGACGTTGAAGTTGAAGCTCTGGCGGGGCGTCAAGGAGTGGTCGCAGCTCACGGCGGGGTGGGTGATCCAAGCACTATTGGAGGTAGATGCGGCAGAAATGGAAAAGCAGGTCAATTTGTACACGAAGACCGTCTTCCAGGCGCAAAAGGGCATGCCCGGCAACCCCGTCGTGCCGCGACTGAAGGATAGTGTCGACACGTTCACACCGCTCTTGCCCTGCGTAGTTAATTTGAGAAACAACAACCTGCAGGAGCGCCACTGGGACGAGATCCACGCGCTGCTCGGCTTCGAGGTCAAGGGCGACAAGCACTTCACATTAGGGGACCTCGTCAACCGGGGCGTGACGGACCACGCCGACGCCATCACCGTCCGTGACTCAGCGTTTTCAGTGATCTTGAACTTGCCGGGGTCGGCGCGATGCCGCATGAGCGTCTACGCGTCTCGTGAGCGACAGTGTCCGTTCCACACAGGTCATCGCGACGAACGCGACGCAAGAGTCGGTCCTGGAAGAGATGATGGCCAAGGTACGGCATCGGTGTTTTGACGTGTGGAGGCGCCTTCACTTCCTTGGATGGACTCGTGGCCATCTCACGATGAGGCCATTCGGACCGAGTCGAGCGAGCACGATGCTCCGCGCATGACGTGGTCGCCGCGACGGCGTCGACGCGATGCCGCGCCGCCTCGACGCCGTCTTCGTGGTCGCATGAGAGTCCACGCGTCTCGCGAGTGACACGGCGTCCGTGCCACGCAGGTCGCGGCGGCCTGGGAGTCGACCGAGTTGGTAGTCATGCCCTATAAAGATGTGAAGGACCTGTACATTCTGGGAGATGTCTCGGAATTGATAGCTGCTCTGGACGAGTCGCTCGTGACCGTTAATACGGTATTAGGTTCTCGCTACGTAGGAGGCATCCGGGACTTCGTGGAGACGTGGCGGAAGAACCTCATATTATTTCAAGATACGCTGGACGAGTGGTTGGCTTGTCAGAGAGCCTGGATGTACCTCGAAACAATTTTTGCCTCGGCCGACATCATAAGGCAGCTCCCGGCCGCCGCGAAAAAATTCCAGAGTGTCGACAAGTCCTGGAAGGCGACGATGAAGGCCACGGCCGACGACCCCATGGCTCTTAAGTCATGTACAGTAGCAGGCCGGAAAGACATGTTCCTGGCACACAATAACACGCTCGACAAAATTCAAAAGTCGCTGGACGAGTACATCGAGACGAAGTGCTCCGCGTTCCCGCGGTTCTACTTCCTGTCGGCGGACGAACTCCTAGAAATCCTCAGCCAGTCGAAGAACCCGCAGGCCGTGCAGCCGCACATGAGGAAGTGCTTCGACAACCTCGTGCGGCTGGACTTCGGCGACGATGCTACGAGCGTGGACATCCAGGCCATGTTCTCGGGGGAAGGGGAACGAGTGGCTTTAGGGAAGAATCTGAAAGCCAGAGGGAATGTGGAAGATTGGCTTTCCAGTGTCGAGGCTAGAATGAAGCTGTCGCTGCACGGGTTGATGAAGATTGGATTACAAGACTACGAGAATTCCGTGCGGGACGAGTGGGTGGTGGGAGGCACGGCTGGTCAGGTCGTCGCGACGGTCGCGCAGATGATGTGGGCGCGCGGCTCCGAGAAGGCTCTGAAAGAAGGCTCTATGCAGACGTGGTACCAGACGCAGCTCGATGATTTGCAAGGTTTAATTACCAAGATCAGATCCGACCTTACTTCATTGCAGAGGAAGTGCGTCGTCGCTCTCGTTACAACTGATGTTCATGCGCGCGACATCGTCGAGGATTTGAAGAACAAGGGCGTCGATCGGGTCGACGACTTCAACTGGATGCAGCAGCTGCGGTATTACTGGGAGAGTGTCGGCGGAGGAGAAGATTGTTTAATAAGGCATTCGGACGCGGTGATCAACTACGGCTACGAGTACATGGGCGCCACTTCTCGCCTTGTGATTACGCCGTTGACGGATCGGTGCTGGTTGACGCTGACGGGTTCTTATGGTCTCAAACTAGGAGCGGCACCGGCGGGACCCGCGGGCACCGGCAAGACCGAAAGTTCAAAGGACCTAGCGAAGGCCATGGCCATCCAGTGCGTCGTCTTCAATTGCAGTGATCAAATAGACTACAAGATGATGGGGAAGCTTTTTAGGGGGCTCGCGCAGAGCGGCTCGTGGACTTGTTTGGACGAGTTCAATCGCATCGACATCGAGGTGCTGTCGGTGATTGCGCAACAACTACTAGTACTACGCGAGGGCCGGCTCGCAGGGAAAAATAATATAAATTTCATGGGCGTCGGTGCGGACTCAGCGTCAACTTCAAGTTGCGTCACATGAGAGTCCACACGCAGGCATCAAGCTCGTCGACCACCACGTCATCATCACGATGAACCCCGGCTATGCCGGTAGAACCGAACTCCCGGACAATTTACAAGTGTGTTTCCGGCCCGTGAGCATGATGGTCCCGAACTACGCGCTGATCGCGGAGATCATGCTCTTCGCCGAGGGTTTTGGGGACGCGAAGACGCTGTCCCGAAAAATGTGCAAGCTTTATATCTTGTGTAGCGAACAGCTCAGTCAGCAGCCGCACTACGACTACGGGCTCCGAGCCGTCAAAAGTGTTTTGGTCATGGCCGGAGGGCTCAAGCGGGCGAACCCCGACATTAGTGAGGATTTGGTCCTTATTCGAGCGTTGCGCGATAGCAATCTACCGAAATTCTTAGCTGATGACATCCCGCTCTTCTTTGCGATCATAAAAGATTTATTTCCGGGCGTCGTCGTGCCGGACAACGACTACGGCGAGTTCCAGGCGCGCTCGCGGCGTCCTGTTGCGTTCGCGATGCGGTCCGAACCGGTTCATTGAAGGAGACGAGTCGCGTCGACGGCATGCCCCGCGCAGGTCGCCATGGAGGAGGAAATAACCAAGGCGGGTTTGCAGAACGTTCCCGGCTTCCACAAGAAGGTCATCCAGATGTTCGACATCTTCAACATCCGGTTTGGCATGATCGCAGCGTCCCGCGGTGCTGCGGCGCCTTCACGCCGTCGACGCGACTCGTGTCCATCTCACAATGAAGTGGGTGGTTTCTTTTTCGATATTGGGGCCATTCCGAGACCGCGACGCTCCGCGCAGGCGCGACGCTCGTGGGGCCGACGGGCGCGGGCAAGTCGACGTGCTACCGCATCCTGTCGAGGATCATGACGTCGCTCCACCAAGCGGGAAGTAAAAACGAGCAGTACCAAGAGGTGGCCTTCGAGATCCTGAATCCCAAGTGCATCACGATGGGTGCTGACTCAGCGTCTGTTTCTGAACGTTTCCGAACTTCAAGAACGCGTCGGTGGCGTCGGCGCGACGCATCAGCAGCGTGACGCCGTCGATGCGGCCGTCAGAGCGTCCACAGCGGTTTCGTGACAGTGTCGGTGCCACACAGGCGAGTTGTACGGCGAGGTCAACATGGTCACGCAGGAGTGGAGGGATGGCTTAGCCTCCACGATTATGAGGCGAGCCGTGAATGATGAAACGCCGATCCGCAAGTGGACGGTCTTCGACGGGCCCATCGACGCGCTGTGGATCGAGAACATGAACACGGTCTTGGACGACAACATGACCCTTTGTTTAGCCAACGGTGAAAGGATAAAACTTAAGATAGAGATGAAGATGCTTTTTGAAGTGATGGACCTGGCCGTGGCGTCGCCGGCCACGGTCTCGCGCATCGGCGTCGTCTTCATGACCCCCTCCGATTTAGGATGGATGCCCTATATCACAAGTTGGACGCAGACCTTTCCCGAGACCGTTCCGGAGTTAGTCAAGACGAAACTAATTGTTTTATATGAATCATGTTTCCAGAAGGGCCTGAGTTTCCAGCGCAAGCGGTGCAAGGAGCCCGTGGGCTGCGTCGACATCCAGCTCGCGACGTCCTCGGCGATGATCTTTCAGAGCATACTCTTCGGACCGGAGTCGAAGGTGTCCTTCGAGACCTATGGAGAGAAGCCCGATTTGTTAGAGAGGTTGGTCGAGAAGCTCTGGTACTTTTCGTTCGTCTGGTCCGTCGGCGGGTCGTGCCAGGCGCAAGATCATGAACGTTTTGACGACTTCGCGAAGGAATTGATGGAGACGAGCGGTGCGTATTTCCGCGTTGTGAGGCGTTGCGGGGCCTTCCACTTCGCTCGTTTCCGGGAATGATGGCCGGGGGTGGTCTCTTTTTCGAGTTTGGGCCGATTCGGACCGCGGTCGCGTCGATGGCGTCTTCACGAGACATCGTGATCCCACGAGAGTCTACAGTGTCGTGACGGCGTCCGTGCCACGCAGGCGAGGAGGGCTCCGCCGTCCCGCTCGACGTCCCGGGCATGGGCACGTCCTTCGACTACTTCGTCGATTGCACGATAGAGGGCGGCAAGTTCGTGCCCTGGCGCAATATAGTACCGAGCTTCAAATATCAAAAAGACGTCGCCTACACGGCGCTGACTCGGCGTGAAAAATGAACTTGAACTTGACGTCTGGTCGATGGCGTCTCCACGAGACCGCGACGCCGTCGACGCGGCCGCATGAGAGTGACGGTGTCGTTCCCACACAGGCCATCCTCGTCCCGACCGAAGATACCACAAGATTCTCCTACCTCATGAGAACATTAATCACGGTCGACAAGCCCGTCTTCGTCACGGGCATGACGGGCACGGGCAAGACCGTCATGGTGCAAAATTTATTGCGCTCCTTGGAGCCGTACCCCGACGAGGGGGGTCTAGCGGTAGTACCAACTTTCATGAACTTCAGCGCGCAGACTTTGAGCTTAATAACGCAGCAGGCCATCGAAAGTAAATTGGAGAAGAAGCGGAAGAATTTGTTGGGCGCGCCGGCGGGCAAGAAGTGCATCTTTTTCGTCGACGACATCAACATGCCTTTGGTGGTGCTGACTCAGCGCCGAAAATGAACTTGACGTGCTCGCCTCGATGGCGTCGCGGCGACGCAGCATCGCGTCGACGCCGTCGACGTGGCCGCATTGAGAGAGTCGCGGTCGTTGCGTGACGGTGTTCGTGCCACACAGGAGAGTTACGGCGCCCAGCCGCCCGTCGAGTTATTACGACAGTTCCTCGACTTTAAAGGCTTCTACGACCGCGACAAGTTGTTCTGGAAGGACATTACGGACACGATGCTCTTCACGGGCGCGGCGCCGCCGGGCGGCGGTCGCAGTGTGGTCACACCTAGATTCACGCGGCACTACAACGTCTTCTGCGTGCCGCCCGCGAGCGAGGCGGTCATGAGGGTCATTTTTGAATCGATTTTCAGTGGGTTCATGAAGCCGTTCGACAAGGACGTGCAGCGGCTCGTCGGTGCGATCCCGGCGTTTTATGAAGGTGCCTTCGACTCGTATCTGACACACGATGCCGGGGGTGGTTTGTTTTGTGATTTCGAGCTGTTTCGGACCGCGTCGATGGCGTCTTCACGAGACAGCGCCGCCGCGACGCCGTCGAGCAACCGCGACGCTCCGCGCAGGCGGCATCGTCGCGGCCACGATCGAGGTCTACAACTCCATCTCCGCCGAGCTATTACCCACACCAGCGAAGTTCCACTACACCTTCAACCTCCGAGACATCTCCAAGGTCTTCCAGGGCATGCTCATGATTTCACCAGTCAAGTGCAAAGATCAAGATACTTTATCAAAATTATGGCTCCACGAGTCGCAAAGGGTCTTCTACGACCGCCTCATTAACGAAGAGGACCAGCAGTGGTTCGAGCGCTTGGCCTGCGAACTCTTGAGCAGACATTTAGGGCAAATGACGAGTGCAGACCAAATTTTCGGCGAACATTCGGTCCTCTTCTGCGACTTCATGAAGGCCGGCGTCGACGTCGAGAACCGGAGGTATGAGCTCGGGGGCATTGATAAAATAACAGCGTTGCTGGGAGACGCGCTCGACGAGTACAACGTGTCGTTTCCGACGCGGATGAACCTCGTGTTCTTTTCGGACGCCGTGAGGCACATAGCGAGGATGAGTCGTATCTTGAGGCAACCTAGGGGCAACGCCATGCTCGTGGGCGTCGGTGGGAGCGGCAAACAAAGCACGACGCGGATGGCCTCGTTTATCGCCCAAATGCCGTGTCTGTCCATCGAGATCTCTCGCGGGTACGGCCTGAAGGACTTCCGGGAGGACATCAAGGTCTTCATGGTCAAGACGGGAGTGGAGGGTACGAACGTGGCCTTTTTATTTACAGATACGCAAGTGGTCGAGGAGTCGATGCTCGAGGACATCAACTCCATTTTGAACAGCGGAGAGATCCCGAACCTGTTTCCCCAGGACGAGCTCGACAAGATCTGCAGCGACATGATCCCCGTCTGCGACGCGCTGGGCGTGCCCGCGTCGCGCGACAACTGCGTCGCGACGTTCGTGCAGCGAGTCTGGGACAAGCTCCACATCTGCCTTTGTATGAGTCCGGTCGGGGACGCTCTCAGAGTGAGGTGTAGACAGTTTCCCTCCCTAGTAAATTGCTGTACGATCGACTGGTGCTGACTCCGTGTCTGAACTTCAAGGTCGCGTCGATGGCGTCATTCCTGGAGACGACGCGCGCAGGTACCTCGGCTGGCCCGAGAGCGCTCTTTTTGCCGTCGCGAACCAGTTCCTGGCCTCGTTCAAGTTCGGCGCCGAGGACGACGCGAAGGAGGAGGTCTGTCGCACGGCCGTGGCGAAGATTTGCGTGAAAGTCCATACCTCTATCAACGAGACGGGCGAAAAGTTTTTTAATGAATTAAGGAGGAAAACATATACCACCCCCAAGTCGTATCTGGATCTCATCGGCATGTACAGCAGCAAACTAGGAGAACTCCAAGGTCAAGTCGACGTGAAGATCGAGCAGATGGAGGTCGGCTGCGCGAAGCTGGCCGAGACGAACGCGGTGGTCGACGGGCTGCGAGGCACGCGTCAGCGTCTACGAGACTCGCCTCCATCTCACTTCCATGAGGGTGGTCTCTGGTCCTTCAATGAACCTCTGGAAGGCGTCGGGGCCGTCGCGGCGATGCTCCGACGCCGCGACGCCGTCGGTGCGATGCCCCGACGCCGCGACGCCGTCGGCGCGCGCCTCACGCCGTCGCCGCGACGCCGCGCCGCTCACGCGTCGATCCCAACGCAGGTGAGCTGAAGGAGCTCGCGCCCGTGCTCGAGCAGAAGGCCGCCGACGCCGAAGTCATGCTCAAGCAGGTCGCCGTCGACCAGGCCGAGGCCGACGTCGTGAAAGAAAAAGTTTCCGCGGAAGAGGCGACTTTGGCCAAACAAAGTGCGGAGGTCAAAGCAGTAGCTGACGACGCCCAGGCGGACCTCGACGTGGCCATGCCCGCTCTCAACAACGCCGTCAAGGCCCTCGACAGTCTCACGAAGGCGGACATCACCGAAGTAAAAGCTTTCGCGAAGCCGGTCCGGGCCCGTGTCGAACTTCAAGTTGTGCTTCAATTCGGGGTCTCTCGCGGTCTGAGAGATGTGCTGCTCGCTCCACGCCGTCGTGTGTATCAGAGGGACCTCGTGGCCGAGTTTGAGCCTCTCAGAGGGCCGCGGTGCCGAGCTAGCGAGACGCGGCGGATCGGGGCGTCACGATGGCGTGCCGTCGCGGCGATGGCGTCCCCGCGGACGCATCGCCGGGGCCCGACGCCGTCGACGCGACGCTGCACACAAATCATGGTCGATGCTCCGCGCAGGCCCCCGCCGTCCAGATCACGATGGAGGGCGTCTGCATCATGCTCGACGAGAAGCCCGACTGGCCCACGGCCAAGAAGGTCCTCGGCGACTCGCAATTCCTCCAAAATTTGAAGACCTACGACAAGGACAATATTCCCGAACCCACCATAAAAAAGTTACAAAAGTACATCAACGACGAGAACATGCAGGCGCTGACTCAGTGTTGAAGTTGAACTTGAACTTGACGTCGTTGTGACGATGGCGTCGTCATGACCACATGATGAGAGTCCACGCGTCGCGCGAGAGAGTCGCGGTCGTGTCGCGACGCCGTCGTTCCCACACAGGTCGCCGTCGTCGAGCGCGTTTCCACCGCCGCCAAGGGCCTCTGCATGTGGCTCCACGCCATGAACGTGTACCACAAGGTGGCCAAAGAAGTAGGTCCCAAAAGGGCGAAGGTTGCAGAGTTAACGGCTCAGTTGGAAGCGGCCAACGCCGAACTGCAGGAAAAACGAGACAACCTCGCCGCCGTCGTCGCGAAGGTCGAGCAGCTCCAGAAGACGTGCGACGAGACGGTCGCCGAGAAGCAGCGGTTATTAGATGCTCAAGCTCAAACGGTGCTGACTCAGCGTCCGTTTCCGAAGTTTTCTGAACTTCAACTTTGGGAAGATGGCGTCTTCGTGGTCTCACTTCACCGCGACGCCGTCTTTATGATCATACGAGAGTCTACGCGACTCGTGAGGCAGTTTCGCGACGCCGTCGATCCACGCAGGCGATGCGGCTCCAGAACGCGGAAAAGCTCACCGGTGGACTTAGTTCGGAGGGCGTGCGCTGGAAGGAGAACCTCGGGAACTTTCGTTCGCAACGTATAGACCTCATAGGAGATACGCTGTTGAGCTGCGCCGCTATCAGTTACTACGGCCCCTTCACCGGGACTTACAGGGATGTGCTCTTTGCCGACTGGACGGAGCTCGCTCGAAGCTTGGACCTGCCGACGTCGTCCAATCCTACTTTACTGAACACTGTTGGTGATCCGGTCCAAGTGAGGGAATGGCAGACGCAATTACTACCCACAGATGAAGTATCAACCAATAACGCCATCTTAGTGATGCAAGGGCAGCGCTGGCCCCTCATGATCGACCCGCAAGCTCAAGCCAATAGGTGGCTCCGCAAGATGCTCGAGAAAGATTTACTTGTGTCTACCATGACGGACATTAATCTTTTAAGGGTACTGGAGAATGGGATCCGGAACGGGAAACCTCTACTCATAGAAGATGTGCACGAAAGCATCGAGCCGGCGCTAGAGCCCGTTTTGGCCAAAGCCATCTTCACGGAGGGTGCTAGACGGTTGATCCGACTCGGCGATTCGAACGTCGACTATGATGATCTATTTAAATTATTTATGACCTCGAAGATGCCGAACCCGCACTATTTACCGGAAGTGGCCATAAAAACTACTATAATTAACTTCACCGTGACGATGGAGGGGTTGGAGGACCAGCTGTGCGCGCGCGGCGTCCGTCTTACGTCCACGCCGTCGACGCGACTTCTTTGTCGAGTTTGGGGCCATTTGACGGCGGCGTCGCATCGACGCGTCCGCGACGCGTAGATCCATCGCAGGCTCGGCGACGTCGTCAAGGCCGAGATGCCTGCGGTAGAAAAGAAAAACGTTCAGTTACTTTTACAGATGTCCGCGGACCGGAAGAAGGTCGCGGAGCTCGAGGCGGACATCCTTAAAAGATTAAGTGAGGCCCAGGGGAATATATTGGACGACGAGGACCTGATAAACACTCTAGCCGAGTCGAAAAAGGTGTCGATCATGATCGGCAAGCGCATGGAGGCCGCCGTCGTGACCAAACAAGAAATCGACGAGGCGCGCGAGGCGTATCGGACCGTGGCTACTCGAGGTAGCATCATCTACTTCGTCATCGCGGACATGGCGCGGACTCGGCGTCCCGTCGTGTGGAGGCGCCTTCACGCCATGCGCATGACGTGGTCGCCGTGACGGCGTCGATGCGGCCGCATGAGAGTCACGGTCGTTTCGTGACGGCGTCGGTCCCACGCAGGCCCAGATCGACCCGATGTACCAGTATTCTCTGCAGTACTACCAGGCGTTATTTAACCTCTGTTTGAAGAACTCGGAACCCTGTGAAGAGCAGCAAAAACGACTGGACATAATAATTAAGTATTCTACCGAAAATTGCTACGCGAACATTTGTCGGGGGTTGTTTGAGAAGGATAAAACGTTATATAGTGCTCTGCTCGTGTTTAACATATTAAGGCATGCGGACAAGATCCCCTCGAAGGAGTGGGGGCTCTTTGTTCGGGGTCCCGGTATTGTGGACCGCGACGCGCAGCCGACGAACCCGAGGCCGGAGAAGATCCCCGAGGCGTCCTGGGATTTGCTGTGTGCCGCGGAATTTAATCTGGAAGATGCGACCGGGGAGGAGGTCGTGCCGAGCCCGTACGCCGGCGTTACTTTATCAATAACGAAGGACTGGGACTCGTGGTTAACATGGCTCGAGGCGCCGGACCCCTACAAAGCACCGCTGCCGGCGCCCTTTGAGGACTCCACGACGCGATTCTCGAAACTCATCGCGATACGAGCATTGAGAGATGAACAACAATTAAAGGCAGTAAATGAGTACGTCCGCGGCGAGTTCGGCGACGAATTGGCGGATGCGAAGGCCGGCACGATGGACGAGATCTACGCCGACCTCGATAACGCGACGCCGTGCATCTTCATCCTGTCCAAGGGTAGCGACCCGACGGGCATGCTCTTTAAACTCGCGAAGCAGAAAGATTATTCTGATCGACTACAACTCGTCAGTCTAGGCCAGGGCCAGGGACCGGTAGCAGAAAGCTTAGTAGCCAAGGGAGTCAAGTCGGGCGACTGGGTCCTCCTCCAGAACTGCATGCTGGCCAAGTCCTGGATGCACAATCTCGAGGTCATGTGCTTCGAGTGCTGAGTCAGCGCATGTTGAAGCTAGTTCAATGTGAGGAATCGCGTCGATGGCGTCTGAGAGTGTCGTCGTGCCCTCCACGCCGTCGCCGCGGCGCGTGCCTCGGTTCTCGACGAGTCTCGTGACGGTATCTGTCACACACAGGCTCGGCGAGAACCGCGAGTCGAACCACAAGGACTTCCGACTCTTCCTGACCAGTAGTCCGGCACCCTACTTCCCGGTAGCGGTCCTCCAGAACGGCGTCAAGATGACGAACGAACCCCCAAAAGGTATCCGGGCGAATCTGTTGCGGTCGTATCAGAATTTAGTGAAGCCCGAGGACTTTGACACGTGCGCGAAGAGCGATGCCTTTAAGAGGATATTGAGCGCATTATGCTTCTTCCACGGGAACATTTTGGAAAGGAGGAAGTTCGGGCCGCTGGGCTGGAACATCCGGTGCGTATCTCGGCGTCCCGTTTCACGCCGTCGACGCGACTCGTGTCCATCTTGAGGCTGTTCGGACCGCGTCGATGCTCCGCGCAGGTATGCCTTCGACGAGAGCGATCTGGAGACGTCTATAAATGTCATGAGGAGGTTCTTGGACGAGCAGGAGTCGATACCGTGGGACGCGCTGCGATTTATTACGGGGCATATCAACTACGGTGGTAGAGTTACAGATGATTGGGATAGGAGATGTATCGTCACTATCCTCAGTATATACTTTAATGAGGCGATCATGGTCCAGGAGGACGGCGCGTACAAGCCTCATAGTTTCTCGCGGTCGGGACTGTACAAGCCCGCTTCAGTCGGACCCTTGCAGGAACACACGGATTATTTTTCCTCCTTGCCACAAATAGATGAACCTGAAATATTTGGCATGCATGAAAATGCCAATATAACTTTCAATCGCGCGGAAAGCAGTACGCTCATGTCCTCGATTCTGGCGCTACAACCGCGCGAAGGCGGTGGCGGCGGCGGGAAATCTTCAGATGAGATCGTTATTGATGTTATTGACGATGCTGAGGAGCGCATGCCCGCGCTGTTGGATGCTGTGTGGAAATCAACCAGTGCGTCGGGTGCTAAGTCATTTCTCGGCGACGACGCGGCCATCCTGGCTCGGTCGAGCGGTGGGGCGCCGGCATCGCCACGCCGTCGAGCAGGCGTCGCGCCGATGGCGTGGAGGACGACGCGACGATTCAGCACGAACGCGCCGTAAAATTTTGATTTCCACACAGGTTGGATGAAGATGATAAAGGCCCCACGACCTTCGTGATCCAGGACAACGGCTTGTTGACGTCGCTGGACACCGTATTGATGCAGGAAATGGTCAAGTTCAACCGACTCATGACGAACATGTCTTCGTCCCTTAGTTTGTTGAGACGAGCGATCGGGGGGCTGGCCATCATGTCTTCAGACCTAGACGACATGTACGTCGGGTTGATGAACAACCAGCTGCCGCCCATCTGGGAGAAAGTAAGTTTCGCGACGATGAAGACGCTCGGGTCGTGGATGAAGGACGCCCTGTCGCGCATCGAGTTCATGCGCACCTGGCTCGTCAACGGCCTGCCCGTGAGCTTCCCGCTGCCCGTCTTCTTCTTCCCGCAAGGGTTCATGACCGGCACTTTGCAGACCTTCGCGCGCAAGTACATGGTGGCAATTGATACGTTGTCGTTCAAGTTTGGGATCTGCGGCTTCGAGGAGCCCCAGGAACACCCCGAGGACGGCGTGTTGTGTAGTGGCATGATGCTCGAGGGCGCGAAGTGGGATCCCGATGCGGCGATGGTCGTCGATTCGGTCTTGGGTGAGATGTACACGCCGCTGCCGATCGTGCACTTCATCCCGGCGGTCGGCCACGTCATCGCGCCGACGTCGTACGCCTGCCCCATCTACAAGACGGCGGTCCGGAAAGGTGTATTGTCGACGACAGGTATGTCGACGAACTTCGTGGTGGCGGTGGAGCTGCCTACCGCCGTCGACCCCGACACGTGGGTGTTGGCTGGGGTTGCAGCCTTGCTGAACCTGACAGACTAAGAAATTTGAAAATATACTAGTTGTTCCCATCAAGATACGTTACACATTCGCAAGGAAAGGTGGAACGTCTGAACAGGGGAGGACGACGCGTGATCCGCGCTCCTTCGTGAGCACGTACCGTCGCTAGCGTCGTTGCGTCGTCCGTCGAGCGGCCGAGAAGGGATGGGGGCGTCAACGCGCGCTTGTTCGCGTCCGGAGATCGGGCGGTCATGTAGCAAGGGCGGCGTTGCCGTTGTTGTAGACGCCTTCTTTTGGGGCGCGCGTCTACGACGCCGTAACGCCTTCGCCATGCACCACTACGGCGCTGGCGTCGGCGACGACGTAGGCCCGGCGCTCGGCGTGGATGTAGGCACGGACGTCGGCCCAGGCGTCGGTCCGGGCGTTGTAGATCCTACAGTCGGCGCTGCCGTCGGCCCAGTCGTAGGCGCGGCCGTAGGCGCCGTTGGTCCGGGCGTCGATCCGCGCGTAGGTACGCGGGTCGGCCAGCGTCGCACGCGGTGCACGTAGTGCCCGCGCTCGATGATTTGTAGCCGTCGTCGCAAGGCTTGCAGCCATCGCGACCTGTGTTCGACTCCTGGCCCGCGTCGCACGCGGTGCACATAGTGCCAGCGCTCGATGATTTGTAGCCGTCGTCGCAAGGCTTGCAGCCATCGTGACCTGCGTTCGACTCCTGGCCCTTGGGGCAATCTTCACAGTCCGAAGTCTGCGAGTTTTTGGCGATCTTGCCCGGCGCGCAGAGCGCACAGTTTGTGTTCTCCTGGCCACTGGCGTGCCTGCCCTTCTCGCAGGGCGTGCACGTACGTTGGCCCGGGACCGAGAACTTGCCCGCGGCGCAAAGCTTACAGTAGTAATTGTCCGTTCCGTACCCGCCGACTTCGAAACCCGCGAGCTTGGACCGCCCCGCCGGGCACGCCTCGCAGAGGTAATACGTTCGATCATTATTGCAGTAGCTATCGTCGAATCTAAATCCGTCATCGTCCCAGCCGGCGCCGTTGTATCTATGTGCAGCAACAAAAACGCACTCGAAACGCCTCGCCGCGCCCTTGCAAATCGCGGCGGGAACAAATTGACGTTGAGTACGTAGCTAGCGATCTCTTGTAGCGAAACACGCCGCTAATTCACTGGAATCGGTCGCGAGTTCACAGGAAAAAAAGCAACCTGAACCCGCAGGTACATAACCAACTTACACATCAGTGCGGACGAGGCGGCGCAGGACTCCTTCCAGGCGTCCGCGCGCTGCGGCTCGGCCGCGACGACGACGGCCGCCGCGACGCCGCCCGCCGCGCGTCCAGCGCCGCCCGCAGCGGCGAGGGCGCCGGCAGCGCTGTCCGCCGCCGCTTCGCCCGCGCGTCGAGGGCCCGGCCGAGCTCCTGGCGCCGGTCGTCCCTCTCCAGCAATCGCGGCGTAGCCGCGACGGCGCCCCACGTCATCAGCGGCGACTCGTCGCCGCCCGGCAGGATCCTAGGCGTCATGGGCACGAGGCCCTCGTCAGCAGCAGCAGAGGTCGTCTCCGACGACACCGAGGACAGGTCCGGATAGCTGCTTGTCGTATTTGAGCGCGCGCGCGGCTCCTCGGGACGAAACCGTGTGTTCGCGCGCTGGATCGCCTTGACCACCGGCCTTTTCTGGGCACCCTCGTAGGCCGGCGGAAACAACAAAGCGTTCCGCGGCTCGTGCGGCGCGAAATCTAGTAAGCGTTGCGAGTCATCCGCGGCCATCGGTGCGTTGTCGGCCGCGGCGTCCGCCTTCAACCGCCGTTCTTCGGAAATGCGCGTCCCGTCCGATAATAAATGAGTACCCAACGACGACGTGTCCGGCACCTCAATACCAGCGGCCTTCAACCGCTCGGCGTCGTAGCACCACCAGTACTTGCGCACGTGCGCGTTCCTGGCTCGCTCCAGCGCCTCCTCGAACGACGCGTTGTCCTCGGACGTGTGCTTCGCCGCGAAGGCGTCTAAACTCATATCCAGCGCCGCGACGTCATCTCGTGAAGCGCCGTCCGGGAAGTAGTCGCGCTGGATGATTCGACGTAGTTCGTCGACGTACTCCTCCTCCTCGAGGACGATTTTCTTTCGCGCCGGCGGGCGCGGCGGCGGCGGCGCCATGACGAGGCAGCCCGTGGCGCCGCGCGTCTTCTGTGGTTGCGGCGGCTTCGGCTTCGTCGCGAGGGTGGACGGCGCGATGTGCGCGGCCTCGACGGCGTCGTCGTCGAGGGGCGGGTCGTCATTTGTTTGTGTCGTCGTCGCGAGGGCGTCTGTCGACGCCATGGCGGCTTCGCGACGGCGGCGTCTCGCGCTCGCGCGGCTGCCGCTGCGGACTGCTGAGGCGGCGCGGCTTTTGAGGGGCGTCTCGCGTCTGAATTTCGGCAGGCACGACAAAGGCCGACGTGTGGAGCGCTGCTCGGTACGTGAGGCGGCACAGTTCGCGTCTACGGCCTGGTGCCCGATGCTGCTGGCCGATGCCTAGTGTCTTACTGGACGCTAGCTCGCCTCATGCGCAAACTTGGCTATTGCTCAGCCGGATTGCAGCAATTGTGCCAGTAGAGAGGTTGATTCGACTAGCGGTTGTGCCCTGGGCTCCAGTCCGTATCGACTTTGGCACTCGTGCGAGCATTTGCCAACCCTGCACAGCGTGCACAGAGGACACGGCAGCCAAGCGCTCCAAAGCTATGCGAACCGGAAACACCATGGGCCGTTTCTCAGTCGCACTGATCGCCTGCGCGGCCCACGCCTACCAACGACCACTCTCACTCGACCGACCACGACTCGCACCTCTGCGAACCCAACCAGACTACCTCATCACCGACTCCGCCGACCTCTCGAACCGACCACCACTCACAGAAGCCCTCGCAAATCCGAGAGATGCGTTAGCGATGGCACTGCTGGCCGTCGGCGGGCGCATCTCGCTCGCGAACGTCGTCGGCGCATACGACACGACATACGTCGACGCCGAGCGCTGGGCGGTCGCGCTCGGCGCCGCCTCCGCCGCGGCGGCCGTCGCGCAGCTCGTTTCCAAATACAACATCTCGCCGAACGAGCGGCGCGGCATTATTGATGATGCCACGGTGACGGCCTTCGCGGGCGCCTACAGCCTGGCGGTCTCGTGGCTCGCTTTACGTGCTTCCACCGCGTGCCCGCCCGGATTGTCGGACTACGACGCGCCCTGCGCGGCGCTGGCGGTGCTCGTCTTCGCCTACGGTGCGGTCGCGCCCGTGCTGACGCTGCTCGGCCTCTACGGCTCGGAGCGGCCCGAGCTCTCGGAAACGGAAACCCTGCGCGCCACGGGGCTCGTGGCGATCGGCACGTTGGGTGCTATTTTCATCCCCGACTGCGTGGCGTTCGGACTGGGGAGCAGTGCGTGGTGGGATAGAGTCAGCGCGCTCCACCCGTCGCAGCAGACGCTCGAGTCCTCGACGAGCTTGTTTGCGCTCTTCGCGACGGAGGCGTCGATGGTCGCGCACCGCGTCGGCAAGGCGGGCTGCGCGCCCTTTGCGCAGATCGTGCCGGCCTTTGTGGTGGTCTGCTTCGCTCTCGCCATCGCGCCATGCGTCGCGGCGCTCTACTGGCTCGGCGGCGACATCTCCTTCTTCAGTTTTTATAGAGACTAGTTTGCATCGTTAGACCGCGGGGAGGGGGGACGGTCGGCAAAGGGGGAAAACAGCGCTCACCCGATCGTGAGCTGGGCGCCGTACGCCGGCGCGCCCGGCGCGTCGTACTTCGAGGAGGCCGAGACCGCCAGCGTCGCGTCCTTGCCGAACTTTTTGACGGCGACCAAGCTGAGCGCCGCCGTCGTCGTCTTCACGCCGAGCGACGTGACGCCCGCCAGCGCCGAGCCGCACATCCACTTGAGGCCGACGCAGGCGCTGTCCTGGCCCGTGCTGTCGCCCGTCGCCGCGACCGTGATGTCCGGGGTCGCGTCGAACATCAAGCCGAAGTTGAAGACCTTCTTGGACGTGTAGATGCAGCTCGCGAAGACGCCCTGGACCGTCGCCGAGCCGCCCGCGGACAGCGCCAGCGCGCCGCCGCCCGTCGGGTACTCGAAGCTGAAGCCTAGTACACCACCAGCGAAAGGGCTTGCAGTAGCACTCCCCACGATCTTCTTCGAGTCCGCGCCGCAGGTCGCCGTGAAGTTCGACTCCTTGAGCTCCGCGGAGCCCGACAGCGTACCGACATCAAACGGGTCGAGCTTCGCCTTGCACTTGACGCCGGACACGGTCTTCGACGCCTCGACGCCGTACGCGCTACCCTTCAGCGTGACCTTGTCGAAGGAGATGCCCGTCGACGGCTCGACGTATTTCAGCGTGAGCTTGCCGGCGACGCCGTCGGGCTTGACCTCGTCCTCGATGGTGTAGGAGATGGGCGGGCCGCTCTTCGGGGCGCACTTCACTTTGAGGGTGGTTTTGGACGTGTAGTCGTCGCCGATGAGCTGTGTGGTGTGAGGGTGGGTGTTGTGTGTGCGGGCGCGGTCTCTCTGACGCGTTCCGACGGCGCGCCGGGTCGGCGGCACGACAGCGTCCTTGCGTGGCGGCCGTGGCGTGAGTTTTTTTTGCCACGCTCTGACGGCGGCCGGCGGTGGCCGGCGCGCTGCGTAGTCGGCGCGCCGCGCGGTACCGTGGCGACAGGACACTGGTGCGTACGTCATCACACGCTTCATTGATCTTGGAAAACAGCGGAGGACCTGCGCGCGCGCCGATGTCGTCTAGGTGCTGCTATTTGGCGGATTCCTGCTGAACGGCCGGCGGACGTCCCCGCGCAGCGCTTCCGGCGTCTCGCTCGATTATTTTGAGCACGCTGAATCGCACCCATGGTCCGTCCTACTCGTACGCGCCCGTGCTCAATTAGCCGCGTCCTGTATGCACTGCCGCTCGATGAGGGCAAGCAGCGGAGCTACAGCATGCGTCCTCTTGTTGCGGCGGAGGGAGTGCCGTGAGAGGTCTCGCTCTTTCGCAGAGAAAACCCGGCGCGCCGACCCCGCACGCACTCAGCATAATCTCTCCGGCCGCAGGACGCATGCTTGGGCTGCCTCCGAACGTTGGGCAGCCGCAGCTCCTTGTTCCATCCATCAAGAGTATCGAATCTTCACGATGAAGGCAGCCCCTGCCTTATGGCTCCTGCTGTCCCTAGCCTACGCCAATGCCTACACCAAGCTCACAGACGACCGCTGCGACCCCACGCGCGAGCGCGACGACCAGGCGTGCCGGGCGCAAGGCCAGAGCAGCAAAGGCCAGAGCATCTGCTGCGCGTGCCCCGGCACCGGCTATTGCAGCGACGGATTCTCCTACGAGACCGACCTGGCGTGGGCGTGTAGCGCACCGGATAAGTGTGGGCCGGGAGTGACTATGGTGACGGGCTGCTGCTATGCCCCGGGATCCACGGAGGCGACGTACATGGACGAATATGATGGCCTGTGCACGCTCATAATTATATACCTCGTGTGCTCGGCGATGGTCGGCATCGTCGGCTGCGTCTGCGCGAAGGAGAGCGGCCATTGGGCGGGCCGGACCTTGGCCGAAGCGCCAGACGCCGTCCCTGTTGTTTCCGACATCGAGGCCACTACTACCATTGCCAATCCCTTGCTACCTGCAGAAACGCCGAGCGCGCCGCCGGCGCCCGAGCCGGCGCCGACGCCGTCCGCGCCCCCGTGGGAGCCGATGTTTACGGATACAGAGGCGTTCGCCTACGCGACACCGGCGTTCCTCAATACGGAAGACGAGGACGCAACGCCTGAGGGCATGGTGGTGGAGCCGGGCGTCGGTGTCGGAAAACCCGCCGACGACGCGCCGCCCGCCTACGTGGAGCAGCCAGCACTCGTCCCGGAGGGCCAGCCCGCCGAAGCCGTGGCCGTCGCGGAGCAAGTCGAACAAGGCGCCGGTTGTGGCCCCGGTTGCGGCCAAAGCCCGCATTTGAAGTCGCTCACCCTGACAGTGCTCATACTCATCATAGTCGTGCCGCTGCCCTTCTGCAATGCGACGTGGCTGTACCAAGGGAAATGCGCTGACTTTTGGAACATGAGAAGCTATGGCCGCGAGGAAGACGCGTCGGATAACGCGTTCTGGATCCTGCTGGTCTGTTACGTCGCCGAGTGCCTGTGCTTCTCCGACACGCATAAATTCCTGTGGAACCTCACGCGCGACTCTGCGCTGAAGCCTCACATCGAACAGGTGAAACGCTCGCGCCCGATCATCAAGCTCAAAATCCAGTGCTACCACTTCGAGACGCATCACTGGTGGGAAACAGTTAAGGACCAGCACGGGCGCGAGCGGCGCGTGCGGCGGTCGAAGGAGGTGCGCGTGAACACGCACGCGGCGTCGCACGTGTACCAGTACTCCTGGGTGCGTGACAGCGGCGGCGACGCCTACAACCGCTGGCCGGCGACGCTGCTCGCCAAGGTCGAGTTCGGCAAGCGCTGGACGTTCGGCGACGACTATACGCGCCAGCATTTTGGCATGTACAAGCGGCGCTTCATCCGCCACCATCGGCGGGACCGACACTTCGACTTCTCCCAAGATTTCGAGCTCCCCGAGTTCCGGGAGCGGCTTTTGGTAGGAATGTGTGTGGAAATCAAATATAGGGCGCCCCACGCCATCGACGCGACGTGCTTCCGTAGTTGCGTCTGTGCGATGTCCACGCCATCGAGGCGACGTTGTCACTGGATAACCTGACTCACTTGTTTTCCACACAGGTCGAGATGTACCCGGGGGCGAAGCCGAAATACGCCTCGACGGGCTGGTACTGGGTCGCGAACCTGCTGCTGCTCACCTGGCCCTTCCGCGTGTGGCTCGATTCCATCTGCCAGCGGCGCCGGTACGAGTACGTGAAAGAGATCGTGACGGCGCCGCCGAGCGCCCCGCCCGCCCCCATAGTCGTGCACCACCACCATCATCACACCACCACCGTCGTGCACCAATCTGCGCGCGCGGCCCTTTCGATGCAGCAGCAACTATACTAGACCTCCTCCATGCTTTTGTTTACCCCTGTGGAGCGCAGTAAGTTTTCCACACCGTGACTAGGTACCCACTCTAGAAATTCACATAGATAGCCCCTTACTCCTCACGCGACGCTGAAGCGCGCCATCGTCGACGGGTGCGCTTCCACCGAGAAGCTCTCGAGGTTCTCGGCCTCGTTCGCGGCCCACGCTAATCTTTCTTCAAGCGTGTGGTGGTCGAGGTCCTTGCGCGTGATGATGCCGCGCACTTTATTGCCCGCGTCGACGACGACTAAATGGCGCAGCCCCAGCGTGCGGAAGACTCTATATGTGCGCTGTATCGACGCGCAGTCTTGGATCGTCACCGGTCCCGTGTCGGCATAAGGTCGCAAGTCGAGCCAGCACCCTCTATCGGTCTCCGAGACGTCTAACTCATCGACGGTCGGGAACCTCGGATAGGCCCGCTCGAAGACCGCGGACGAGAGTAACGGGGAGAGAGCTCTTGTTCGTAAGTCATTTCTCGAGGTAGGGTCGTCGCCCGGCGCGCCGAAGGCCCGGTGCTGGATGAGCATGCATATTGTTGAACGTAAAACCGTACCAGCGAGCTGTGTCGAGCCACCGCCGGCGACGACGGGAAAGCACGCGTGCCGACAGCTTCGTAGGACGTCGTACGCGTCGCCCACCGTGACCAGAGGCGCGAAGCAGACCGGGTCCGCTGCCATGACCTGGGCCGCGTGCGCGGTTCTCTCTGCAGCGGCAGCAGGTACCTCCTCCTCAAGAATCGGCATCTTCTTCAAGTGGATATGTACATCATACAACCCTTCATTAAAAACGTTGCCGACCCAGCGCGCCGCCATCAGCGCCAGCATTAATGGCAATAGGTTCGAGATGTTGCCCGTCGCTTCGAGCAAAATAACACATAATGATATGGTCATCCGCGCCATGCCGCCGAGGCCCGCGGCGGCTCCCACGAGCGCATACGTGCCGGCGTCCGCGAAGGTGCCCGACTGCGCGTCTAATCGGTGGAGGAGGTGCCCGACGAGTCTACCTAGAGCAGCTCCTCCCAACAGTGAAGGTACGAATAAGCCCGAGGGCACGGCGATGCCATACGTCAGGCACGCGCACAAGAAATAAGGTACATAGAAGGTAGCAATGGCTAATGAACTAAAAGTCTGGACGTCCTGATTGAAGACGCCCGACTCCCGAAAGTGGAACAGCTGCTTGATGGCCGTGTCGGAGTCCGTGAAAAACAACGAAGCCACCTCGTTGTAGGAATCCGCGGGACAGCCAAACGGAACTAAATCTTCGACCAAGTTTTTCTCGAACTGCGTCCACGTGACTTGTACGAGCGGCTTGGGGGTGCACCGCCGCCAGAGGCAGGGCACGACGTACATGACCGTGCTGCAGACGACGCAGACGGCCCAGGCTTCCAAAGCTCGCAGCGCCTTCGACGCGCAGTGCCGCATGCGCCACTGCGTCAGTCGCTTGTTCAAATGGTTGAACAGCGCCCCGGCCAGGCCGCCCAGCGCCCCCAGCGCCGTGAACAGCAACAACTCCCACACACTGAAATTGGCCTTGCCGTCTGACGTTTTATAAGTGAACTCGCCAAAGGAAAACATCTTCGTCGAGTCGGCGCTGCCCCACAGGTCCTCCGATGTCCGTACGACATATAACGTATAGATCGTGATCATGCCACAAAAAAACGCGCGCCACGTTAGTTGTGTCGACCAGAAGCTTGCGCCTTCCTCCAGGGCGAACAGAACACCCCCAATCGGCGCCCCAAAGGCCGTGGCGACGCCTGCTGCGGCCCCACAAGCGACGAAGTCCCGCTTTTCCGGGTCACTGCGAAACTCTAAGACTCGCGTATCACCCAATGTACCGAACAGGCCTCTAGTGCCTTGGGCCAGTGAAGCACCAATAACACTCCCAGAGTGGATCATGGGGCCCTCCTTGCCCACGGGTAGCGCTGCGGCTACACTAAAGAGTACGCCAAAGGCCTTGCAGAACAAGGTGCGTACTCGTACTATACGAGGTACATTTATACCATTAAGGTAACATTTCACCTCCGGGATTCCTGAGCCGGCGGATACCGGTTCTATATATACACATAGTATAGCGACAGAGACGTATAATAAGTTAAAGCCGAGGTAGCAGAAGAACGAAGAGCCTCGGTAGGTACCCTCGTCCTCCGCATCCATGACGCGTCGCACTTTCTCGAACTTGTAGTCGGTTAGTTTACGAGTGAAGAACGTAATAAATGTACCAACTAAGCCAGCCAGGACGCCAATAATAAACGTCAGGACCCACCGTTTGAACACGACGGCGTTGTGCGACGTCCACCACCTATTTCGGTTCGTGTACTGGAGCTGGGCGTGCTTCGTGCGCCAGACTTCATTTTCTTCTGTGGTGAAGTTGAGGGATTCGGGGAGCTTGGACCACGTCGCGAGCCTTGCTCTTCTGACGCCACTACCATCAGTGTCATCTTGCGAAACTTGGCGGTAGGGCGTCCGGCCATGGGCCGTGCCGCCGCCCTTGCGCGCGTAGGGCTCGGACATGTCGGCGCTTAACGCCCTTCGCTGGCGCGTGCGGGGCCAAATGGTTGCGACCGGCGACTCGGCGCGGCGATGCGCGCGCGTCGACGGCGTTTATTCTACCCCGGGCGTCGACGGCGTTTAGTCTACGACGGCCCTCGAGGCCCGCGTCGATGGCGCGCTCTCCGCGCGGCTATTTTACCGCTGCGGGTGGTCAGGCGTGTTCCGGTCAGCAGCCGTGCGCAAGTCGGAGGCGCTTCGGCGTCGACGCGCAGCCTTGCGTGGCTCGAGGGCTTTCTCAGATCCAAGCGCTGTGGGTATGAGGAGCCAGCCGCTCGGTGCCGTCGTCGGCACTTTTTTTTCCGCTAGCGTTGTAAACACACTAGCAAGCACTTCAGCCGACAAAACTCGTCCCAGCGGCTCGCATAGTTGCGTTGAGCCTACGTTAACTATTGCATTCGACTGATTATTGAGTTGGCTTGCGCCAACGAAGCGCTGCGCGGGAACCTGTTCGCATCAGCAAAGCACCAGGGCTTGTGCTGGCAGTGACGGCTCGCAGCAGCGCGTAAGGCGAACGCGACGAAGACTGATTCATCCAGCACCCACATTGCTGATCAGTGCTGCCACACGCGCTGCTGCTGAAGCCAATGATGCTGCGCCGCGCGCTAGCCCAAAGCCTGCGCCGCAGCAGCACGGCACCACCGGAACAAAAACAACAGAGACCCGTCGTAAAACAACTGCTAAACGCCATCCGCAAGACGCCCTGGTGGGCCGGCGGCGACGTCGAGCGGAACCGCACGCTCTTCGAGGAGCTGATGGAACGGGGCAACGCGCGCTGCCCCCATTTAGGGAGCACGCACGAGGCGACGACGACGGACTATGGTGGAGTGCGCATCGCGCCTAGAGATAGTGAATCGAAGGCCACTATTTGTTTTGTCCACGGCGGCGGTTTCTTTGCGGGCAGCCCGCACGCGTATCGCGGAGCCGTCGCTTCGCTGATCGCGCGCGTGCCCGGTGGGTGTACGGCTTTATTGCCGAAATATAGAAGAGCGCCCGAGTTCACTATTGCTGATGCAGTAAACGACGTCGTCGGGCAGTACAATGAACTGACCGGTCCGATCGTGCTAGCTGGTGATTCCGCCGGCGCTTACTTAGCACTAAGGGCGGCGCAACAACTCTCAAGTAAACCAGCGGGCGTGCTGCTCTGGTGCCCCTACCTGCTGCATCACCCGACGAAGGATGTGCAACGGTCATTATCTTCGGACGGCGATTTTCTGGACGTTTCGTCGTTACAACCGGCAAGACACGTGAACGACGAACAAAATGACGCGCGCCACGCCTTCGCTCTGACCGCGTCCGGCGTCGACGATATGATGATACTAAGTGGAGAGCAGGAAACGTTGCATGTTGATGCCTTGACGCTAGCACTAACAGCGAAAGCCTCCGGCACAGAAGTCACACACAAAACCTACGAGGAGATGTTCCACGACTTTATGCTCTTCCCCAAGTTCCTCAGGTGCTGACGCAGCGTCCGTCGCGATGCCGCATCGCTCGCGAGTGCACGGAGACAGTTTCGCGACGGTGTCCGTGCCACACAGGGAGGCCGAGGACGCCCTCTCAGAATCTGCGCAATACATCGCACAACGGTGCGACCCTGTCGTAGAATCGGAAGTCGATCGGTTACGGCGGGAGCTCGCGGAGGCCCTTCAAGAGGAGGACGTGGAGGAGCCTTCAGAAGCCACTTCAGACGACATCGAGGACTGGGCTAAAAGGGTGAGTCGTTTCGTGGGCGTGGCCTGGGATGAAAAAAGGAGGAAGTGGAAAGTCACTCTCAACGAGTTAGATGGCAAGGATCGAACCATAGGTCGGTACGACGACGAGCGCGAGGCGGCCTACGCGCGTAACAAGGCGGTGCTCGACGCGGGCCTGGAGGGTAGACGTCGGATGAATGCGGTGGACGAGCATGGTGTGCTCGTGCCGCCGGGCGCGCCGCATCGGCGGGCCAAGGCGTCGGTCATAGCGCCTGATCCCCTCGCGGTGACGAAATACGGTGTCAGCAAGTACTGGGGCGTCACGTGGGATAGAAAAGGAAGGGTCTGGCGGGCGCAGTATACCGATGGTGATGGGAAAAGAAAGAGCGTAGGTCGTTATGGGAACGAGGAGGAGGCGGCCTACGCCTATAATGATGCGATTCGCGAGGCGGGCTTGGAAGGCGTGCGCAAGGTGAATCCGGTCGTCGACGGGAAACTGGCCCTGAAGCCCCCTCTCAGAGATCCGACGGCGGCCCAACAGTCCAAGTACTGGGGCGTGACCTGGGCGCGCAAGCAGAGCAAGCAGTGGCGGGCGACTTATAATGATGCGAACACCGTCAAGCGCCACATCGGCTATTTTGATGATCAGGAGGCCGCCGCGCTCGCGGTGAACAAGGCGATAATCGACGCGGGCCTTGCTGGTGTAAGGCGCATGAACGAGATCGACGCCGACGGCATGCCCGTGCCCCGGCCGTGGGGTGGAGGAGATTAAATTTAGTGTTAGTGTGCACGGAGGGGGAAAACCCGGCCAAGTTGAACGGAGTGAAGCCTGCCCGGTTCCGTGCGGGTTGCATAAAGGTCGCGCTGTCACCGGCGCGCGAGCAAGCGCCCGAGCACGACGCCGCACACCAGCGCGGCGAAGACGCGTTTATTGGACGGCGTCGTCCGCTGCGAGCAGGGCGTCGCCCACTCCCTCGCGTGCGTCTGCACCGCGTGGCGATGCATCAGGTGCGGCTTGAGCAAGTCCACGGCGTCGAGGTGTTTTCCAGCAGTCGCGTAGCGGTGGTAGTCGTCCTCCGTCGCGAACTCGGCGACCACCGCCACATCATGATTCATCTTCGTCCTGCCTACACACAAGTCCTTGCCGATGCGGTAGCTCAAAATGTACGTCTCGGTGAGCGGTATTTGCTCGAGCTTCTTCAGGCCCGGCTCGACGGCGCTGTCCGGTGTGCCGGGCTTCCACTTCAGCAGGACGACGTGCGTGAGCGTCATTGTTGTATAATCCTGAACAGCGACCGCGCTTGGGCTCTGAGAAGCTGGGAGGCGGGAGAGCAGCCACAGGAGTTGCGAATGGCAGCGTTTCGGTGGTGCAGCGAATCTGCCCCGACGAAATGCAGATATTCTCTCGCGTCGCCCACCAATAGTGAGTAGCGCGCTCAATACGGCTGTGGTCACGCAAGGAGAAACTGAGCTAGCGACATTAGCACACTAGCAGAAACACGATTATCCTAACACCCTTCGGTTTTCGCAAACAGGAGCCATCGGCTGGCGCATGGAGTCCTTTCCAGCCGTCTTGCAACCAACCAAAAATCGCAGCTCGAGCCTGTGGCGAAGCTGCAAAAACGCCAGCAAGCGCGACCAGTGGTGGTGTAGTGACGCTCGCCGCAGCGAGAGCACACACATTACTCGCACTGCAACCGCAACAGCGCTTGGCAACCACACAACACACCGCTCGCTCTCACAAGCACATTGCTGCTCTCCAAAAGATAAATCACAGCAAAAGATGCCGACCGTCACGTTAGACCGCGACCACCTCTACGAGAGACTAGGAAAGACCTACACGCAGGAGGAGTTCGAGTTACTTTGTTTCGAGTTCGGCGTCGAGCTCGACGACGTGACGAGCGCGTACCAGAGGGCCAAGGACATGAACAAGAATTTGACCGCGAAAGAGCTCGAGAAGTACGATCAAAGTGTGGAGTACGCCATCGACGTGCCGGCCAATAGATACGATTTACTTTGTATGGAAGGCATGGCGCGCGCTTTGCGCATTTTTCTGGGGCTGGAGAAGACGCCGTCGTTTACGCTGGTCGAGCCTGCTAAGCGATTAAAAATGACCGTGGAAAGTGATAGCACGGATGCCATCAGGCCGTTCTGCGTCTGTGCCGTTCTCCGAGGCGTTTCCTTTGAAGATCCGCGCGTGTACAACTCCTTCATCGATTTACAAGATAAGTTACATCAAAACATCTGTCGAAGACGGACGTTAGTGGCCATCGGGACCCACGACTTGGATACTCTACAACCTCAGTTCACTTACCGAGCGGAACCGAGGGATTCGATCGATTTCGTACCACTCACGGAAACGGAGAAGTCCTGGACCGGTCGCAAGCTCCTAGACCACTACCGCACGGCACCAGAATGCAAACATTTAAAGCCCTATACGGGTATCATATATGATTCTCCGAACTACCCCGTGATCCGCGATTCTACCGGACAAGTACTGTCGCTCCCACCAATCATCAACGGCCGGCACTCGAGGATCCAGCCTTCGACGAAGAATGTCTTCATTGAGTGCACGGCGACCGATGAAACCAAAGCTAATGTGGTTTGTAGCACCGTCGTAGCCATGTTCGCCGAGTACTGTGGGTTTAGAGTAGAACCGGTCGACGTCGAGTACGTCAAGAACGGTGTCATCACGAGGACGGAGACGACTCCAGTATTAGCAGCGAGGACGATGACCGCGCCTTTACGAGATGTCCGAGGTGTTGTTGGATTAACAGATAATGAGTTGACACCCGAAGCTGCGTGTCAACTGGCGGAGAAGATGCAGCTCGCTCCAGCGAGGTACGATGCGACCAAGGACGAAGTGTCTGTCTCCGTCCCGGTGACGCGGTCTGATATTTTACATGCAGTAGACGTCGCCGAAGACATCGGAATTGCGTACGGCTACAACAACATCCCCGAGACGTTGCCACGTACGACTACGACGGGACGACCGACACGATTGAATGGGTTTAGTGACTTACTGAGAGATGAGGTCGCGCGAGCCGGTTACGTCGAAGTACTGACCCATGGCCTCTGTCGGTTAGACGAGCAATTCGACAAGCTACGACACGACGACGGCAAGGAGAAGGCCGTGGTCCTGTCCAACCCGGCTTCCGAGGAGTTCGAGATCGTCCGCACTTCGTTACTGGTGGGTGCTCTCAAAACCCTCGAATGCGCCAAGGCGCACTCCGTCAAGGAAGGCCTGAAGCTGTTTGAAGTGAATGATGTGGTCCACCGTGATGATAATGAAGATGTCGGGGCTCTCAATAGAAGGCATCTCGTTGCTACTTATACGGGCATGACGGCCGGGTTCGAGGTCATTCATGGGTTAGTGGATCGGGTCATGACGTGTGCTCAAATAGCACCTACTAAAGCATATGCGGGGAATTCCTTGAAGGGCTACACGGGTAGCTCTGGAAGTAGGATGTACTCCGTCGAACCTATTGACGACCCTACGTACTTCCCCGGGCGGTGTGCGCGCGTGATGATTGAAGAATCAGGTTCGAAGACATCTGTCGGTATTTTCGGCGTCGTCCATCCTGAAGTATTGAAGAACTTTGGCGTGGCGAACCCGACGTCGGCGCTAGAGCTGGACGTCGAGGCGCTCGCGGCGGCGTCGTCGGTGCCGCCGTGCGGCTGCTAGCTAGCTAGTAATAAAACATATACTTACCAAGTTCCGGGTTTTGATGCAGGGAATATCTTGGGCTTCACGCCGAGGACGAGCTGGTTGCAGGGCCCGCCGTTGGCTCCGGACCAGTGCTGCGCGCCGCTCGGGGCCTGGCCTCTCGCTCCGAGTTTGGCCAATGGGTGTTCCGCGGAGTTGTCTTGATATAAGACCTGTGTGGAAATCGACCAGTAAGTTAGGTTATCCAACCTGAACGCCATCGAGCAGATGCAGCTACGTCGACGTGGGGCCTCCGAAATTTGATTTCCACACGGTACAAGACGTCGCCCGGTTTAAATGTTGTGGTCTTGCCGTCGCTCGTCCGGATGTACCAGCTGCCCTTGAGCGTCACGACGAACTGCGGCGAAGGGCAGAAGTGCCACGGGTTTTCTCCTACTTGTTGCGTGACCACTAAGCCCGTGAGAGCGAAATCGTCGGAGTCAGAGAAGGCGCGCACGTATTGCCTGTGTGAGGCACGCGTCGCGTCGCTGGCGTGGGGGCCGAAAGGACGCCGATTCGGGCAGCGCGGCGTCGCCGCCCGTCGACGTGAAGTCCTTCGTCTCTAGTTTACCGCATTCGTGCTCGTCGATATGAGTAACGCCGTCGGCACTTACCCAGAGCTGCCGATAGCGAATAGCGCCCTTGGCCGCGGGGGCGGTAGAGAGGGCGGATGCGGTCAGTCCCATGCCGAGGAGGTGTCGCCGGAGCAGCGACGTGAGGAGCATAGACGTCTCCCTGATGCTTGTCTTTCGCTCGGCACCTTGCGTTACAGCTCTGCGCGGCCGGCAGCAGGGTGAGAGCCAATATGCTCTCCGGTTGTGTACGGCACGTAAGCGTGTTGTATTGGCAGCAGCGATGGAGGGAGCAGCCGAGGGCCTGTCCTGGATTCACAGGCGGCGATGTAGCCCGTCTGGTAGGCGTAACTATGCACAAAGTGGCAAGGAGCAAAGCCAGAGCTAGCGGTCTGTAACACACTAGCAAGCACGGGCTCCATCATTTGATGCACGGCGCACGGCTACTCGCGAGCTGAATTGATAAACTGCAGCCGCCATAAGATCGCCGCAGCGCGTGTGAACCGAGAGCAACCTTTGCTCCCGCGCGCAACTTGCCGGCAGGGCCACTGCTCTCTAGGGCACTTGAGCGCAACACAAGCGCGCACGCCGCCGGGGTGCTCACAAGCGCGCACGCGGGGCGCCATACGACCAGAATCAGCATCTAAAAAGCCACGGCACGCCATGGCCGCGCAGCCGGCAAAAACAGTAACGGTAGCGGCCCTGGCCGGCGCCGCCTTCGCCGTCGCTTATAAAACAACCAGCAAGTACCTCAGCAACGACGAAGACGAAACGCCGAAGAGCCTGGACGACAGCACGAAGCTCGACGAGAGCACGGCGTCTAGCTTCTACGGCATTACGCCTTCTTCGTTAGCCACAAGACATGAAGCGAGAAGCATGGATCGAGAAAAGAGCGAGCGATCTTTAAGGTTGATGGTCGAGTCCAAGGCCCTCGCACAAGCGTCGACCACGGATTATGCGGGCGGCACTTTAGGTAGTAGAGTCAAATTGGTCGTGGCCATGGTCGGCCTACCAGCTAGAGGTAAAAGTTATCTCGTCAAAATGTTAGTAAGATATCTGAGTTGGGTCGGCTTCCCCACGAAAATATTTAATGTGGGCGAACTACGACGAAAGCAGGGCCAGGCCGGCGCCAAGGCCGAGTACTTCGCCGACACGCCAGAGGCGATGGCCGTCCGAGAGGGCCTCGCGCTGCAGTGCCAGGAGGAGATGTACGACTGGCTGCGGGCCCAGAAGGGCGCTTGTGTGGCCATCTTCGACGCTACCAATACGACGCGACATCGGCGACACTTGTTAACAGAGAGATGCAAGGCCGAGAGTGATGAAAGTGGCAACGATGTGAGTATAGTGTTTGTGGAGAGCATCTGCGACGACCCGAAGGTGCTCTCGCGGAACTACGAGATGAAGCTTCAGAACGTGCGCGCGCGGCGTCCTCGTCGCGTCGCGCGGCCGTCAACTCTGTTGCGTGTGCGTGTCGGGTCGCGGCGATAGCGTATGGGGTGGCACGAGACGCCTCGCCGCGAGAGTACGCCCACCGCCGCGCCGCCACCGCGGTCCCCCGCAGGCCGACTACCGGGGCACGGACCCGAAGAAGGCCATGGCCGACTTCATGGAACGCGTGAAGCAGTATGAAGCTAGGTATGAACCGGTAGATGATGCCGAGGAGTGCGCCTACATCAAGCTCGTGAATGTCGGTGATAAAGTTATAACAAGACGGTGCGGCGGTTATCTCACTTCTCAGTTGGGCTTCTACCTGGGCAACGTGCACATCCAGCCGAGGCGGATTTGGTTGGCATTACATGGTGAAAGTCAGCTGCAAGTAGAGTCTAGAAGAGTCGGCGCCGCTACGGGGCACCTCACGCCGCGCGGGCGGTGTTTTGCCAGAAGATTAGCTTCTTTCGTGAAAGACGCGCATGCTTCCTTCCGAGAAGAGCATGTAGATACGGACCCCGAGATCGTCGTCTTGACCGGTAATGCGCCCATCCATTCTCAAACGATAAAGCCGCTGCTGGCCGATCCTCTAGCGTTCGAGGCGGCGCCGCGCGTGTCGACGTCGTCTCTATTAAATGAGTTGTGTGGCGGCGACTTTGATGGACTGAGCGTCAAGGAGATTCAAGATAGGTACCCGGCGGTCTGGCACCGACGCATGGCCGACAAGCTGCGGTTCCGATACCCGGGCGCCGGTGGGGAGTCGTACCTGGACGTCATCAACAGGTTGAGACCTATCCTCATTGAATTGGAGCGCCAACGCAAATCTGTACTACTGGTGACGCATCTGGCCGTCCAAAGGTGCTTGTATTCTTATTTTACGGGTACCGACGCCGAGGCTATCCCTTATTTACCGTTGCCGGCGGGCGCCGTCTTGGAATTGACGCCGACGCCGCACGGGACGCAGGTGCGGACGCATATATTATTGCCCGACGACGAGGAGGCACCGACTCGGCGTCTGCGTCGTTCCGCGCGACTCACCGGTCGTCGTCCACACAGGTCTCCGAGCACGGCGTCCCGTCGCCCGTAGCGTTCCCGGCGCGCGTGCCGTCGCACGCCCAGGCGGCGCCGCAAGGGAAGGGCTCGCCTGTGGTACACGCTCCCGTGCGGCTCACCTCGTAAGTAAAGTTGTATACATATAATCACGGCGGTGGTGTGCGCTATAATAGGCTAATACTTAAGCACAAGCACAAGCTTCCTAGAAATTCCACACCTCGTCCGGCGACATGTCGTGCCCGGGGTGGATGTCACCGGCGTCGATGCCGTCGAGAGGGTCGCCGCCGACGCCGCCGCCGCCGCCGCCACCGCCCGGCCCCGGCCCCGGTCCCGGCGGCGTCGGCCCGGGCGGCCACGTGATGCAGCCCGGGTGCTCCTTCCTGAGCGTGATGCACCGGTCGCGCAGGACCTTGCCGAACGCAGTGAAGCTCTTCGCGACGTCGTCGTTGAACGTGAGCGACTTGAGGATCGTCGGCAGCTCGTCGTAGTTCGGCTCGTACTCGCTCTCGTCGTCGATGACGCCGCGCAGCGCCATCTCCACGAACTTGGGGTCGCGGCGCAGCGCCGCGTGGTGCGCCGCCGGGAAGAACTCCGCCATCAGCGCGTAGATGTCGTCCAGGAAGTCCTGGATGATCTTCGTCGCGCGCGCGCCCTCCGGGTTGAACATGTTCGTCCAGAGGGCCCGGGCGACGCTCTCGGGCGAGTCCCTCGTCACGATGATGCCGTAGTTCTGGCCCGGGCCGCGGCCGCGCTTCTGATTAACGCGTGAAGGGTGGACCATCACGCCGCGCGCCAACTGCTTCAGCTTCGCGTCGTCGTTCCGCGCCTCGGCGAACTCCCGGAAACGCCCCAAGGTCTCGATGCGCTCCTCCTCCGTGATGCGCTTGAGCGGCAGCAGGCCGTGGCGCGTCGCCGGCAGATGCACGACCGCGTTCCGCCCGGCGCGCTCGATGTAGCAGAGGGTCGTGACCGTGAAGTGGCCGTTCTCGTCGGCGGCGCCCTTCTGGATCTTCGCGAGCTGGAAGTTGTTCTCATCGAGCGGCCGCGTGTCCAGGCGCGGCAGGTCGTCGGGCCGCCCGGCCCACGAGTTCTTGACGATGAGGTCGGCGAAGCACGTCTTGTCCCACTTCGACCGGCCGCAGCGCTCGTAGGCGTACTTGGCGTCGCCCTTGTTGCTGGGGCGCACGGTGAAGCCGTCGCCGTCTCTACTAATCTCCTTCGCCCACAAGTCGAGCTGGTTGTCCTCACAAAAGTTGAACCAGGCGTTGGCCTGGGCGTGGGCGGCGGCGCCGTCGATCTTGACGACCTCGCCGTTGCGGAACAACGGCCAGCCGAAGCCCCACTCGATGGCCTGTGCGACAACGACCGTCAAAAACGCGGCTACCGCCGAGGCCACTCTCAAATTTTGAAGGCGCCTCGAGCTGATTGAAAAAACGCCGCGTGCGCACCTGCTGGCCGATCTGATCATTAGTAATAACGCCAGCCGTGGCGAGGCACTGGCAGGACTGGGCCATGTCGCCGCGGTTGATGGTCAGCTCCTTATCCGCCCCTCGAAAGAGCTCGAGCTCCCATTCGTGGCACGTCATCCCTTCATCCGCCTCGCGCTCGAGGACTCGGTTCATCGCCGAGTGCTTCCGCGCATAGAAAAACGACGGCTCGAAGCCCGGCACGCCCGGCGTCGTCGGATAGGCGCCCTCTCCCTTCCAGTACTGCCAGTCGGCGACCGAGACGGAGCGGTGCGGCACCAGGGCAGTGCCCCCCATAAGCGTGAGCTGGCGCTCTTGAGGGGTACCGGACCACTTCTTCGCCTCCGCCTCGATCTCGACTTCTCTCAGGCGCTGCGCCCTGCCGGCCGCCGATTTCTTGGCGTTCGGCTCATGCGTCGACGCGGCACTGCGAGCAGCGGCTGAGAGCCCTCCAGCACCAGAGTCGTCCTCCTCATCGAGTAAGGCCCTCGCACGAAACTCCTCCTTGGCTCTGGCGAGCGAAAGAGGCTTCTTGTCGTCCCAGGGCACGACGACTTTGACGTCGTTTAGGGTATACCCTCTTGTTTTGTGCCACGCGCACCAGACGCGGCAGCCCGGCAAACCGAAGTGCTCCGCGAGCTGCTCCGGCGTCCACTCCACCGAGTCTTCTCCCGGCGGCGTGTGGCCAGAGAGCGGCCGCGCCTCTAGCTCTGCAATACGTTGCTTGCCCGTCGGCATCGCTTGCAGCAAGGCCAGCCGGCGCGGCTCCCGCACGAAGGAGGTCGCGGCGCCCGCCAAGCAGAAGAGGAGGCTGCCGCGCATGCAGCAGCGAGCTATTTTCCGAACGAGCACCAACGCAGCAGCACCAATGCGGCTCGTACGTCGGCCGCCAAGCCACTTGGCTGGGCTTTCTAGTGTCTCACATGACGCTAGCTCCACGGTACGGTGCTACGCGGAGTTTGGCCGCATCCGAGGCGCAGTATTACGAGGCGCCTTGGTTTCGATTGATTTTGCACAACAGCAGCATTTCTGCGATGGCTCAGCGCTGCCAAAGCTAAAAGCAGCGCACCTCTTGCCCACCTCACCAGCGCAGCGACGCGGCGGGCGCGGCGGCGACAGCACTCATGAAGGAAGCCGCGGCCGATGGGCCGCGACAGCGCAACGATTGCTGGCGAGCTCCACTGCGACGTACTGCGCGGCGCGCGCGGCGGCCCCTAGATAGCGGGACGGCTCCTGGCCACAACTCCACCCTCAGCGAGGCGCAGGACGAGTAGATTCGTCGCCGGCACCGAGCGGTATGAAACCGAGGCGAACGCGCGGCCCGCGTGTGTGGTTGGTATCCTTGCTTCCCTAGTGAAACCGGACACTCGAGTATTCGTTGACCGCGGTCTCTCATCAGCCGATCTGGAAGAGGCAGTCTACGCGTCCCACTTCCGGAATCGATTAGACTACGCTAGGTGCTCTCTGCGTGCACAATACGACCTGCGAGTCATGTGGTCTTCGCGTTGCGGATTTGTAGCCATCGCGGTCCTGCAAATAGCTACGGGCGGCCGCAGCGCGAGACGGCCAGGCGTCCGCGGCCACCTCCACCGTCAAACGCCGACTTTTTAAGGCGACGACCCGCAGACGACACCGTGGAAGTCGCGGCGCGTCTCCCGGCACAGAGGCACTAGTGAATATAAAGAAACTTAACATCTAGCCTAGGGCTGGATGTTCGGCGAGTACCAGTCGCAGAACGCGATGGCTTCCTCGCGCTCCAGGTCCGTCATCGCGCACCAGTCGTCCAGGAGCTGCCGGGCGGCGGTGAGGCCGTTGGCGGTCGTTGACGTCGAGCGGTCCACGCGGACATTGTTGAATTGACTCAGGTCGCCACGCTGGTTGAGCGGGTGGTTCCATTGCGACCGAGGCATGTCGGGGAAGCGCCGCGTGTGTTGCGCCATGATGAGCGGCATCGCGTCGACGGAGGCGATGATCTGCTGAGACGGGGCCGAGCCCCACGGACCCATCATGCCCGGTACTTGCGGCGCCCACGGGCCCAGGTAGGGGTTGGTGGCGAGCGTCGCGTTGATCGGCGGCGCGGGCCACATCACGCCGTGGCCATTTTGGCGGAGAGAGGTGACTGCAGCTCTCAGAGCGAAGAGCGAGGCGAAACCCATGAACTGGACGGCGCGGCGGGCGAAGTTCTTGTCGTACTGACCACCCATGATGCGCTACCTTGATTTGTGATTATAAAACGTCGAGTCTAAGTGATATATATGTCACCTTTGCGATTGCTAGCGTCAAGTAAGACACTAGAAAGCGGCTGAGGCTGAAGCTGGCTAAGAAGGCGAGGAGCTGCTTAACCACCAGCACCACCTGCTTAAAATATTGCATTTATAGCAGTGAACCGCTGGGGCATTTGTGCTGCACGCGCGTGCGCAATAACACCGCTGCACTGAGCTGCAAGCGCCTTACTGCAGCACGCCGGCGCGCGACCACTGATCACGCCGCCGACGGTTCGCGAGTCGCCGAAGCGCTGCGAGCACCATGGTCAAACAAAAGACGATCGAAGACCCGAACAAGGAGATCTGGCTCCTCCGCGTCCCGTCGAGCATCTCACTCGATGCGGTCAACAACCTCCCGATCGCGAAGGAGCAGGGCAACGTCGGTGATGTTGTAGCGAGGGCGCCGGGCGCGGCCCGAGACCACGGCGGGCCCGTGGGCCGCGCCTTCGGCGGCGACATCGTGATTCGGGAGGAGTCCGCGCTCGCGGACGACATGCGGCCCCTCGTGAAGACGCGGAGCGGCTCTTTGAGGTGTGCGGGCGTGCCCGTATCAAGGCAATTATCATTAGCGGTGGAGCACGACCCGGCCACGACGGAAATGGACGCCGCGAAATACGTCCCTAGCATCGTCGCACCGGCCGTCGAGAGCGTCTGGTCCCAGGATCCGATCGGCGAGGAATTGCTCGGCAAGGACTTCGCCGAGAAGACGGGCTACGTGCACCCGATCTGGTCGCGGGCTGTGTGGAGATCAAATTTCGGACGCCCCCCGCCATCGACGGGACGTCGCCCTGGTAATGGCATCTGCTCGATGGCGTGGAGTTTCTACGCCATCGACGCGACGTCGTCCAAATAACTGCGGCAGATCGATGACGTGGAGTAACCTAACTCACTGGTTGATTTCCACACAGGTCGCGGAGTGCCTACAACGGCAAGCTCCAGCCGCGGGACATCAGGGCGCGCTTCTTTCCCAACGCCACGCGCGAGCCGCGCGACGGCTCCGCGCCGCCGGGCGTCGTGACTTCCGCGCCGACGAAGAAGCGGAAGAGCGATGCGACGGGTTCCGAGAAGAAAAAGAAGAAAAAGAAGAGGTCCAAGGGCGACGCGGGCGACGCGCTGTCGCCGACTGGTTCCGAAAAGAAGAAGAAGAAAAAGAAGAAGAAGTCGCCCACCGGTGGGGAATAAAACTTGTTAAAATTACTAGTGCGGAGCGAACGCGTCGTCGAGCTCCCTTTGTATGGTCTGCGTAGGCGTCCCCGCTCGAATAGCGTGGCGCACGCGCGTAAAGCAGTCGCAGTAGATCTCGGCACTGCAGACGTGCGACACCGATCGAGCTGGAGGCAACCGAGACCCGAGCCGCCTCAATTCGTCGACGCCCGACACGCTGTCCAACAAAGCACAAACCATTGATGAATTGACCTCGTTCTTCCGCAGCAAACTTTCGATGGAATTCACGGAATCCTCCGTCGTCTCTTCATACACCAACACGGGTAACGACTTCCGCTGCTTGGTGGAGGCCCCCTCGAAGTCGGCGACGCGCCAGCCGCGCGCCTTCAGCGAACTGCGCACGGACGCGTAGTACTCGCTGTTCTCGGTCTTGAAGAGTAAATAGCGTCCACTTCCCGTCGTCTCGGCCCACGCCACGATCGAGTGGATGAGCGGCGCGCTCGCATCAATAATTATGTCGGCCTCGTCGTGCTCCTCGACGAGCGCCCTCAAACTCATAGCTGCGCCGCCTCCTGATCTGATTTGTCTAGATGCGTCGGCGAGCATGACTCTAATCACCGCGTCGTCCGCTTGTAAAGCTTTTTGTTCGGTCGCCAATCGTTCGACCAACCGAAAGCCCTGGGAGCACTCCTGGAGCGTGAGGTCGTCGGCGCCTTCCGCTCCTAAAGCTAAAGCCTGCTCGCCTACTGAGCTATCAGCCTCCACCACCAGAGCTCTTCTGTTAGGACCGTTCGGCAGGAGCCACTCCCTTTTCACGCGAAATGCGGCCCGAGACAAATCATAGTCCGCCGTGCCGTCGCCGTCGCGATCGACCGTCGGCGGGGGCACGCCCCAGCTCTCCATTTTGGAATACGCGCCGTCGGGCACGTGCCAGCCAAAGGGCGTGTCCACACCACTTCCTGCGGTTCTAGCTGCTGCTAATGTTCTGCGTACCGAAGGCAGGGAGAAATCTTCAAAAACGGGCACGATGTGCGCGCCGAATCTTCTCACAGAAAGCTCCGTGACGTCGCTTTCTCTACCAGCGAGTCTAACAACTCGCTCTTGCACGCCCGTCTCGAACAACGGCTCGTGGCCATTCCTTACGCGCTCGTCATAGTCGGACGCCGCAGCAGCCGACGAGTCGACTAACCTCATCACTTGCGCTATACCTAGGAAGCCCGCCACGATGCTCCGCAGCGTCTGGGCTCCTAAAACCTTCAGTTCTCTGCGTGGACTGACCTCTCTGAGCAAAGGTTTCGCCTCGACGCGCCACGCTTCGCAACACGTCCTGGCCGGCTTCGTCAGCCATATGACCGACGGTAGCACTTGGGCCGCGCCGTACCGAAAGCAGAACCTCGCTCGGCCGAGCGCTCCGGGTCTCGTCAACAAAGCACCTTCATAAACTCCAATAGCTAGTACAGTCCCAAGAGACGTCGCCATGGCCGCGTTGTTCGCGCTGTCCCCAAACACGTTCGTGACGCAGGACTGCGCGATGCGCCTACCCGCCTCGAGTCGATCCCTCAACGCCTGGCCCGGCGGGCTCTTGGGAAACTCGCCGCTCATTGTTGCTCTATCGCGTACACTCATTGTCGCAGCGATGGCGTTGAGTATGGGCAGCGCTGATCGCCCGTGCAGCGATGCGGATTCAACCAAGACTTTAATCGCTTGCAGCGCGGGTCGATAACGTATTAACGCGCGTCTGCGCACCCCCCAATAGGCTGCGGCGGCAGAGTTATTGATCACTTTGTTACGCTGCTTGCTTGCTAGTGTCTTTCTGGACGCTAGCCCGGATTTTTCAGCGGAGCCCTGGATACCGCGTCCCGGGCCGGTTACCCCTCAAACTGGTCCATTGCCGAACTAGCTAGGTGAAAACCCCGCGCAGAAGACCGCAGTTCATTCTTACGCGCCCCCCTGCAGGCCCCGCACGGCCACGTCCTTCTCGAAGAAGCTCCCCGCGAACGCCGGCCGCGGCGGCGCCTTCGACGCAGCACCCTTCTCGCGCGCGTGGATGATCGGCGGGTAGCCGTCCCACCAGTACTCGTCGCCGCCCCGCAACGAGATGGCTCCTCTCGCGTCGCGCGTCGCAATCAAGACAACGCCGCCGAGCTCGGGATTCGTGGGAGAGACGAAATGGATGCGCACGTCGTCGTCGAAGACGTCGATGCAGGCGCACATGGGCTCGTCCTCCAAGACTTTCAGTTTATCATCACCTAAGGAGCAGGTCGCCGCCACAACCAGCAATTCCTCGGCGTCGTCGTCCATCGCGAGCTGCTTCCGTCTCTTTATTAACGTAGGTGGTCGCTGGGACAGCTCCTTCCCGACCTTGTAGGTCAGCGCGAGTTCGCCCTGGAGCTGCTGGACCGTGCCGTCGAAGATCAGGTCGGATGTTTGTGTGGTAGGAGTGATGAGCGTGCGCTGGCGCTGGAGCGCCTTGTCTTTGCCGCCGAAGAGCAGCGCCCTGACATCATTCGCCGTCGGGAGCGTCTTCGTCCCGGAGGAGGCGGCTTGGCCCATTTCTCACTGTGTGGGCAATTGTTTTGTGGTACAGGCTGCCCCAAAGCTTGTGCAGATAGCTTGTGCTGTCGAGGCGTCAGTGAGGCGCAAGAATGTTTATGTGGAACCTTCGTGCGCACTGCGCGTGCGACTTGGTGCCGGAATGGCGGCCGGGCAGCCACAGCGCTCCGAGTCGAGCTCGAATTTGGGCGCAGCGCACCCGCACGACGACGACGCGAGACGCAAAGATAAAACAAGAGCCCCTTAGACCTTCGACGACAGGTCCGCCCCCAACTCGGAGAGCGAGTCCTCCTTCGCAGGCTCCGCATTCGCGACCGCCCGGAGGTCCTCTTCCCTAGCTGCACGCACGTCCCGCAATCTTTTTTCAAAATCCGCGGGCTTCAGCAGGTCCGGCTCCTCCGCCGGCGGCTTTTCTTCCGTTGCTGCCTTGAAGGCGGAATAGCCCACTTTCCCGAGCCCGCGGGCCAACATCCCAAACCCGTACTGGTTCTCGTTCTCCGCCGCGAAGCCCACCAGAGCGCCGGCCAGTAACGCTGATGAGACCGCACCGGCGTCTAGGATCTCGACGCCGGCGCCGGCCGCGGCGACCGCGCCAACGACGAAGGCCGAGAGCGTCTCCTCGACGGGCGCGAGGCGGTCACCGTTATTCTTCTCGTCGCTTTTGGAGTCGTCCTCGGCCCTCCTTACTGTCCTCGGCGGCGCCCGGCCCTGGCTGGGCAGAGGAGCAAACACAAAGCCATGCGCCACCACGGCGCAGCAGAGCGCTACGTAAGGATACCGCATGCTGAATCAATCTGTCGAAGGCTTGCCTGCGGCTCGGAAGGCCTCACGAGCTCTTGGGCTCGTCTACCCAGCGCGTGCGTGCGCTTTTTGCTCTCTTTAGCTGCGGGAGACGCTGCGGGTTTGCGCACCTAAATGGAGCTCGTAGGGGGCTCAGGACGAAGCCTGGGTAGTCCTCATTCGCCGAAGACCCCGTAGCGACGGAGCCGTCGCTCTTCTATTTTGGTCACGGGTTTTCTTGGTCGCAAAATTGAGGTGCAGAGGCTCCGCAAGCTGCTAGATCTGCCTGCGCAGCTCACGGTGGCAAGCCTTAGGGGTGCCTGACCAGCCGGCGCAGCGAAACCGGCACTTGGAGGGCGACGCGCTGCGCCCAGAGACGAGAACCGCGTCGCGGTTCAGAGAGACTCCGCCGCGCAAGAAAGCGAGACGCGACGACGATGGACGCCGCCTTCCGCAAGCTCCAGGCGGAGAAGGCGGCCGAGCGCGGCGAGACCGCACCGAAAGAAGAGCCGCGCGAGCAACAAAAGGCGCCGGAACCTAGAAAAGACAAGCCGTTGATGCGCAAAGGCCACGCGGCCGGCTGGGTCGTCGCGCCACAAATTGGCGAGGCCCACCAGGCCGAGATCCCCGACGCTCCTACGAGGAGGGCCCGAGGCCCGCGAAGAGGCCGAGATGCAAAAGCCTCCAACGTGGCGGACGGGAGACTCGCGTGGCAGGCCGGCAACTGGAAGCCTCATCCGGATGGGAACAAGGGCGGGCCCTGCGGCGATCTCATCCTAGCCGCGAGGCACGCGCTGGATGAAGGCCATCCGGAAGGCTGGCCGCCGCGACGGAGAGATGATGTGCACGAGGCCATCGCGCCGCGAGAGCCCTTTTCGTGGTTGGGCGTCGACGGCCAGCCCGTTCCGTTAGAAAGTGATGAACAAGTACTCGCATTAATTCAAGCTCATGGCGGCAACGCGCGACGGGCCGCCTACGCGATGACGTCTGGCTTGGGTGCTGCTGCCGAAGCCGGTGCTCGCAAGCGCTTCGACCAGCAACGAAAGCTCGTGTTGCGAGCCGCGGCCCAGGGAGCGACACCGTCCTGCGTCGGGTCTCGGCCCTTGGCGGCGCAACTGTTCGATCCCGCGAGACCCCCTACCCGAGAAACTAGATTGTTCGCGGCACTCCCCGGCTTCATGGCCGGCGTTAGTACAAAACCGAGGTCGAAGCGATCTCGACGTTATATGGTGCCCCCCGATTTAACGAAAAGAAAGTCGGGCGTCGCCGCGGGGCAAGCTCGGGTCGAGGAGTTCAAGCGCAGGGAGCGCGAGGCCAAGCTCAAGGCCGACGAGGAGGCCCGGAAAGCTGCCGAAGCTCAACAACGCGCCGAGAACGGCAATAATGAAGAGGAGGACAAGAAAGACTCCAGTAGTGACGACGAACAAGAGCAGGAGGGTCGACGACGCTTAGAACGGCGAGGCCGCGGCCTGGGCCGGGCCGACGCGGCCCAGCGCTGGCGCGACTTAGAACAGAAGGCCGACCAGCTCTGCCAGCGCGCGCAGCGGCACCAGCCGAAAGCGGAAAAGGAACCCGCGAAGGAACCGCCGTCCAAGAAGCGCCGGAAGAAGGCCCAGGAAAGTTCGGATGATGATGACGATGTTGTGCCGGTCGCGAAGAATGATCAACGGCCGACTTTGGCCGAATGTGTCGCTATCTTGAGGGAGGCGGAAGACCTGCCGGACTGTCCGCCGTCGATCGGTGGTACCGGCGAGGATCCCGTGTCGCTGCTGAAGGAAAGACTGGATGAAATTTGGAGGCATGTGGCTAGATGTCGCTTATTATCAGCGAGAGCTAGAGATTGTGTGGCTCGCGGGAGTGCGGACGAGGCCTCGGCCGCGTATGACGCTCGAGGATTTGGGTATTCCGTCTACGCTCGCACGAACGCCGACGGCACGCCCAAGCAGACGGCGAACGAGATCGTGGCCGCGGGCGTCGGCGTGTCTCGGAGCGGCGCGCGCGGCCTGTCTACTGGCTCCGCAGTAGAAGAAGAGCCTGAAGAGGACGTCGTTGCGGGGCTGGGCGCCATGTCGGAACGGGAGCCGACGCTGCCCCTCGAGGACGCCGAGGCGTGTCTGCGGCAGTTGAAGCAGCATTGTATACGAGATGACGATGCTTTAAGGCCTTTAGCGGCTTGTTTGCGAGCGGCGTCGGCCTGGCGACGGAAAGCTCATGATTCGTTAGAGGGCCAGGGCGCGCCCGCGCGGCAGATCGCGCCGGGGCAGTTACTCGGATTGGCGCAGCGGGGCCGCGCGATGCCGTTCGTTGAAGGTGAGTTGTGTGAGCAGCTCGAGGAGCGGGCGCAAGACGCGCGTGACCTAGATAGGGAGCTTTCTAGAGCTTTAGATGGCGTGACCACACCTAACCTCCAAACTTTGAAAGAGTTACGAGAACGGTGCCGGGACTTCGTTGGTGTTAAGTTAGAAGCTCGGAGAGAGCTCGATTCCCTTTGTGATGCCGCGGAGCAGTGGGCGAAGGATGCCCGACGTATCTTGACCGATCCTCATGCGAAAAAGGCCCCGACGAAGGCAAGACGTTTGTTGGCGCAATTGACAGAAATAAAATGTGGTGTGGGACCCATGGGTGTCACCTTGCAAGAACAGGTCGCCAAGGCCGACAAGTGGACGGAGCAAGCTCTTAGCGTCTATGAGGGTGATGCTGATGACTACGCATCATTGGGTCGACTCGTGGATGCCGCAGAAGATGTACCAGCTCCTAGAAGAGCCCTGACGGCCTGTAGTCGGCGCCATCGCTTCCTGCAGTGGGTCCGGGAGGCGCGCGGCGCGCTCGTGGCGTGTTCCGTGCGGGAGCCGGGCGACCACGACGAGGTGATCCGGCCCGGTATGTTGTCTGTGTCCTCTGGCGAGTCGCGTCGATGGCGTACGAGTCGCGTGGTCCGAAACGGCTCGAAACCTCGCTCGACGCTCCCTCGCCGGCGCGCGACGCGTTTCCACACACAGGTATTCAAGACGCGAAGGACCACCTCGAGTCGCTCGACGAGCTGCGGAAGGGTGCCACGGACGACTTGGCCAAACTCGCGCGGAAGCAGCACGAGGACCCTCAAGTCATTTTAAACCCGGAGAAGCGGGGCGAGGTCGAGGAGGTCGACCCTGTGCAAAAAGGGGAAGACCGGCGGGCCGCGTCGAACGCCCGCAAGGAGGCCCTGCTCGAAGCGAAGCGCAAGCAGGAGGAGGAGAAGGCTCGCTTAGCTGAGAAGAAGCCTCCCCCTCCGGAGGATACGGATTCGTCTTCCGAAGATTACTCTGACAGTGAAGATGTGAATCAGAATCAAAGGCGGAAATTAACGGCGTTGACCATACGGAAGGCGGCGCGGGACGCCACTCACGTGTCCGAGGAAGAGTCGCAATTGCGGGAAATACTCGCGAAAGCTGAAAGCTGGGCCGCTCGTGCTAAAGCTCTCAAGCCGGCAACTTGTGCCGGCGGGCTGACGGAGATCCCCCACGAGAAGCTCATGGCGGCACCTACTCTCGCACAGCTCAAGAAGCTAGTTGACCAGGGCGAGGCGTTGGCGATTGACTGCACGATCCAACTACGACCGCTGCGGACGGCCTCGAGGCAAGCCGGCGCCTGGCTCCACAACTCGCGAGATGTCCGTCGGAAGCTCAACCTCGAAGCGACGACCGACGTGAAACTCTGGGTCACGACCACAAATGATAGTGACAGCGACGACAGCGACGCGGTGGTGAAGCAGGAGTCGGGCGACGAGGACGAGTCAGGTGTCACGGCTCTTCAATTATCGTCGTGTCTCGCGCAAGCTCGGCGGTTGGGCGCGAAGGTCGACGAGCTGGCGCAGCTACGACAGCTCGGTAGTCGCGTCGACGCGTGGCGCGCGAGACACCGGGAGCTCTGCCCCCGTCGGAGTACGCTGATCGACGACCAGCCGCAGAAGAGTAGTACAAGATCCAAAGCCTCGGAGAAGGCCCGCCAGCTGGCCGAAGAGGAGGCTGCTCGCGCCAACGTCCGAGAACCGAGCAAGGCGGAGAAACGGAGACCCGTCTACTTAACAATTGGCGCGTGCACTGGTGACGCCAAGCCCACTCCTGAGGTGTTGAGAACGTTAGATGCCGCATTAAACACCCTACCTCTGGACATGGAGGTCGAGAGGCAGGCTCTCGCAGATAGATTAACCGCGGCCTCGGAGCTCAAGAGTGAAGTCCGTACTTTGTTGAGTGATGTGGGAGAGCGGTGTGTCGGATTGCTGCCAAATCATACGGCTCGACTAGCTCGCCTCGAGACCGGCGATAGTGACAGTGAGGACTCCGACAGTGAGGACAGTGACGACGCGCCCCTCGTGCCGCGGCCGGCGCCCGTTGTACAACCGATGGACGTCGACACTGCTGTCGACAAGAAGCCTCCACCAAAACCTAGACCGAAGAAGCTGTCGCGGCAGGAGCGGCTCGATCGCGACGAGTTGGAGAGGGACGCTCTCCCGGAGGACGACGACCGCGGGCGCGGCGTGCTGCGAGCGGAACTGGTTTTGAAACGGGAAGTTGAGGCTGCTTTGGCTAAAGCACCTAGAGTGCGGACGGCCGACGAAAGGAGACTGGAACGCTGTTTAGACATATTAGCGTGGTGTGCTGCCGCTAGGCGTATTACCGCCGTCGCTTGTGCGGCGCAGGCGCGGGAGGAGCGCGCTTTTGAGGCGAAGGACCGGGCCCAGAAAGCGTTGCAGTCCTTGCGCGAGGCGGAACACGTGACCGACGAGATGCGCGACGGTCAACTACGACTCTCGCGAGAAGCGGCGGAGCTGGCAGACCGGGCCGACCGGGGCGAGGCCGTCGACGCAGATGAGCTGTCAGGCATCGACCGAGACCGCCAGTTACTATGGCATGGCTTGCAGGCCCGGGACGCCAATGATCAACCAGAAGATATACGATGTTTGGTGCCCTGGGAGCAGCTCCACAAATACTGGTCGCTCAGGATTGCGGCGCTGCGCGACAAATTCGGCCAGTTGCACGGGTGGAGGGATGAAGCCAGGAAGGCTCTGGAGCGGCGAGACGCTCCCCTCGTCAGTGTCTTAGAAGACTTGTTAAGTCGAGGCGCCGCTCTCCAACAGAAGATGACTTCCAGAAGGGACCGACGCGGCATCATGGACGCTTGTGACTCTCTACGTCGTAGAAAGAAGTGGATCTTCGACGCCAGGGACGCGTTGCGGAGCGGTCCCAAGAGGAAACTGAAGGCCGTCGACGCCCTCGCGCGCGAGGCCACGAAGGTCGGCCTCGGCGATTGTGAAGACGCGCGCGCGTTGCGAAGCGCCGCGCGAGCCGCTAGAGCGTGGTTCGCCAAGGTCAAGCGCACGGGGATTGAGAGGGGAGAAGCGTCTATTAGCGAGTTGCGAGCTCTACTGCCGGAAGCGGCGAAGATACGAGTAGACATTTCCGGAGACGTCGACGTCGTCAAGCAGGCGTCATTGCAAGTTTGTTTGTGTGCCTCACCAGCAGACGGCCAGATGCTGCAGTGCGAGTCCTGTGCGATGCAATTTCATGCTAGATGTGTCGGGCGGGGCGGCCCTGATCTAGAACCGTTGGTGTCCAAAAAACGACCGCAGCCGCTCAATGCCGCGGCCAAGAAGAAGGCTCGGTTACTGGATCAGGACCGGCAAGCCGCAGCAAAAGCGGCCCAAGATGCGTTGGACGCGCTGAATCCTCCTGCAATAGATGAGGATCCAGAAACTCGTTATAAATCTGTGAGCAATGTGTCGACGGAGCCGTTCACGTGTGCGAGGTGTGTCCTGGAGCGGTTCGCATCTTCCGAGAGGGAGGCGACGGAACGGACCCTGGAGAACAACATCGGCGCCTGGGTGGATGGCGTGCGAAATATCGTTGCAAGACCTTCTGGAGACACGCTGGCGCTGGCGGCGGTGCGATGTGTCTCAAAAGCACCTAAAGATCCGCCGCAATTGATGCGTTCCGTGGATGATCTGGTGAAGCAGTGCCCGCCGGAGACGGCCCAGCCGCTTAGGAGGTTGGCCTGGGCCTACGCCGCGGCGGCGTTGCTACGGGCGCCGCCTCGCTGTAGAGATGTCATACCTATTACGAGTGCGGCGCCGTCATTGGGCATTCCCGATCTGCCCTTGCAGCACTTTTCTGGTTGTTTGGAAAGAGGTGCTGTGTTAAGACGTAGATTGGCGCAGTTATGTCGCCGACCAGAACCTAGATCTCGGCCGAAGCCCAAGCCCAAGCCCACGGAGCAGCCCGTTGCGGAAGAGGAGCCGCCTCAAGAAGAGGAGCCTCCGGAAGAGGCAGAAGTAAAGACGTCGTCGTCGCGAGGCAAGGAACGGAAAGTCGACGTCACGGCGGTCAAAGCGGTCCTCGAAGCGTCGCGGCACATCCCCTTGCGCCTAGAAACGTTGAGGAGAAGGTGTGCCGCGATAATTGATGATGGGGGCAAGCGCTACTGCTTTTGTCGGGGGCCGTCGGACGGCGCGTTCATGCTCGGCTGCAACGATGGGTCGGCTTGTGGGGACGAGTGGTTCCACGGGCGGTGCGTGGGCGTCGAGGAGGCCGACGAGAAGGCGGCGGACGAGTTTGTTTGTAGCAAGTGTAGAGCTGCTCGGGCGAATGAGGAGACGCCGCCGATTCGTGAGTTTGTGGCGTTCGGCGACGAAGTCTCGGATGACGAGGACACGCCCGAAACTTTAGCTGCTCTAGCTAAAGAAGATCGGGGCGAGGCGCAGTTCAGTCTGCCGTGGCCGCCGGCGCTGCTCGGGGCGTCTGATGAGTTCAAGGAGGCCGTCGAGAAGCAGCAGGCCGAGCGGCTGGCGCAGCAGTCTTCTACGGTGGTGGAGAGTCCGGCGCCCCCTTGGGCGGCGGCAACGTAAGTTATGATTAGTGGTATTCTTAGTCCCCCTAAAAGCAATCGTCGATGTTCCCATCCTTCACCTCAAATGCGTCGGCGAGCTTGTCCACCGCCTTCAACGCGGTGTCCAGCAGCTTGTCGTCGCTCACGCCGGCGTCCTTGACGGCCTGCAGGAGCCCGTGCGCAGCCGGCGCGAGCGGCTTGGGCCTCAAGCGGATGAACTCGTCGGTGTCGTACGGCGCCATCGCGAGGCGGCCCGAATTCGTCTTGACCTGGTAGGGGCAAATATAGTCGTATCCCCCGTCAGGCACCGGCCCCATGTCACCGAACGTCTCTCCCCATCCGATCTGAACCACTTCACACGGCACCCAACCCTCGTCTCCCTCCCCGAGCGCGCACTCGACCTCAGGGCCGCCTTTGTCGTGGACGGCGAGGCCAATGACATGATTATTGATATTCAGCTCTCAAGGACTCCAAATGCGAAACTTGATGCGAGCTTCGATCTATGCGTGAAAGCTCGAATGCTCGAGTGCTCTCAGCTACAAGCTAGACACCCAAAGCGATATGCGGGCAAAAAAATGACTTGGAAAACCCGTTTTTGTAGCAGTCTGGACCGCAAGCTGTGGAGGCATAGTATGTTGTAAACTCAATCACAAAACTTACTACTTGTCTAGCTTCCGTCTCTTCGCGGGGGGTGAGTCGACATAAGGGCGGACATACTCGTCGGTGTCGTTCGGCGCATATACCAGATCCTCCGAATTGGCGAGCTGTATCTGGTACGCGGCCACGTAATCCTTCTCGAGCTCCAACACCGATTCCGCCCAACCGATCTTGACGATGCTGCCTGGCTCCCACGCGTCCGCCGCGGGCCCCGTCTTGCAGAGGATCGCGTCCCCGACCTTGAAGCGCGGCGTCGGCGGCGCATGGAAACGGTGCATCTTGCCGCTCCCAGCCCGGTCCGCGTCGTCCCATTCGTATTTAAAATACACGGAAATCGGGGCGGCCACGTTGGCTCCAACGAGCGTCTCCACGCAAAACCCCCGGGCGACGAGCTGCGGCACGATGGAACACTTGTCCTCCGTCGTCAGCTGCGGCCATTGATCCGCCAGCGTCAGCGGTTCGTCGCTGTCCGCATAGGCTTCTACGAGGTCGTCGGTGAAGAGGTCGGCCTCTATCTGGCCCATTGCTGCTTGGCGCTTGATGAGCTCCAACGAGGCTTCGTAGTAGGGTTGGGTTAGTATTTTGCGGAGGCGCGCGACCTCGGACCGTAGGTGTTCGTTCTCCCTTTGGAGCGCGTCGAACCTGAAAATCTCTTTGTGTAGCACAGCCTGCGGCACGTCGGCGAGCGTGCGCGGGCGCTTCGTCTTCGGCCTCGTCGGCGGACAGTGCGTCGGCCGCGCCTTTGGAGCCTCTTGGACTGCGGGCACTGTAGCCATAGAGATGCGAAGGAAAGGCAAAGTCGTGCGCAGAACAGTAACGAGATGCGTCTGCTGCGATGTGGATAATAAGAGCGGGATTTCTACACCCGCACAGCGGCAAAGAGCTAAAAAAACTAATTACATCGTGCTAGCGGTCGGTAAGACACTAGCAGTCGCGATTTCTCGGGGATAGATCAGTAAGACACATAGTATACCTTAGAAGAAGAGGCGCCGTCTAACCGAGAGCCACGTCCATCACCATCATCAGCCCGAATCCGCCCATGAACGCGAGCGTCTGCTGCTTGTTCTGAGACGGGCCCGCGAGCGACTCGGGGATCAGCTGGTCGACGACGACGTAGATCATCGCGCCGGCGGCGAAGGCTAAGGCGTAAGGCAGGATCGGTGTCACAAGCGTTACGAGCGCCGCACCCATTATACCACCGACCGGCTCGACGACACCAGACAGCTGCCCAAACAAGAACGCTTTGTACGACGACAGTCCCGCCCGTTTGAGCGGCATCGACACGGCGAGGCCCTCGGGGAAATTCTGCAGCCCGATGCCCAGAGCGAGGTTCATGGCCTTCGCTCTAGATTGGCCCGCGAGGCCCGCGGCGGCGCCGCCAAACCCAACTCCCACAGCCAGGCCCTCGGGGAAGTTGTGCAGCGTGATCGCAAACACTAATAGCGCGACGGCCCGCCGCGCCGCCGCGGCCTTTTTTGCGGTGGAGTCGTCGTCCGGCTGTGGCGGCCCGCGCCCACCTTCTAAGGAAGACGGCACGCGCGGCAGCGCGTCCGGTCTCCTAAGTCGCGCGTTCGACGGCGTCGCGTAGGGGTTGCTGCTGCTCCGCGGCGACCGCCGCAACGGCGAGTCCGCCTTCGCCTTCGCCTTCCGCCCGAGCACGGCGTCCTGCATGAGCGCGAGCGGGTCGTGGATCTGTTGCGTTTCCATGTAGACATCACATAAATAGAGGAACGCGCCGCCCAAGAAGAAACCAACGGCAACAGGGACGAAGGACCACCTCCGGCCCAGCTGGTCCTCGGCGAGCTCCAAGGCCGGCGCGAGCAGCGAGAAGAAGCTGGCGGAGGTCATCACACCGCCCGCAAACCCCAGCATCGGTCTTAGTAATTGCCGCTGCGTCGCCTCGTCCGGTGGGAGCACAAAAACTAAAGCGGCGCCGGCGGCCGTCACGGCCCAGGTGAAGCAGGTCGCGAGGAAGGCGTCGAGCGTCGCGGCGGCGAGGCCCATCGTTTTTTTGTGGCGCCGCGGCGGCGTGCAGGCCTTCGCGCACTGCGCGCGCGGCGTCAAAGCTCGCACTGCGGTCACTTGGCGCAGCCAACGCAGCGCGGCAGCTCGAGGGCTCGCACGATTTATCGCTGGCAGCAATTCTTAAGTAATTAGGGTGACTGCAATGGTGAAACGCGGTAGGCAACCGCGACTCGATTTGCACACACACTTTTTTTTTGCATGCTTGCTAGTGTCTCAGTCCGCTAGCTCAAGTACCAATGCAAGGCTTCAAGCACGGCCCACAGACCTCGTCAGAGCGGGGAAGGAGCTCGTCCCTTCTGAGAGCACAGGGAAAAAAAACTGAAAGGCAAAACAGTGGGCAGGGGCAGCGTGCCACACTCGCGCGCGCGCCGAGGCAGCCATCGATCAATCGGACTGGCGCGGCGGCGTATCCAACTCCGCCCCCGCTGCTGCCCCGGCTCCCGGAGCACCACTCCCAGCACCACCAATCATGGCCCTCGCCTCCGCATTAGCCTCGGCACTGTCGGACGCCCACGCGACGATGGCCCACGCCAAGGTCCACGAGGACTACGCGGCGGCCGACCCGTTTTCCTCTCCTGTTCCGCCGTCCAAGCAGAACGCGCCGCCGGCCACGGTCTTCAAACCTACAAGTGTCACGCCGCCCTCGCCTCCTAGAACACCGACGTCGGCCGACAAGCGCGAACCGGCGTCCACGGTAGCTGCTCGGAGAGCTCTCCGAGCTGCTGTTGAAAGAGTGGAAAGACGATGTGCTAGAGTAGAAGCAGTAGTAGCATCACGCTTAGACGCGTTGGACGCGCGCTGCACCGAGATGAAGACGATGATGGTGAAACTGGTCGAGAACCAGCCGACGAAAACTTGTCTAGATGCGGTGAAAGCAGCTCGAGAGGCCGCGGCACGGGCAGAGGTCGCGGCTCAACAAGCGCAGAAGCACGCGGAGGCGTCGCCTCCTTTACAGAGGGAGAGGAAGAAGTCGTTATCTGACCGGTTGGCTGCTCTTTCTCCTCTAAAGAAGCAACCGGTCGTCGAGGAAGATGCGTTGGTCGCGGCCTACGCCTCGTACCAAGATCAGGAGCCTCCATCTATATCAAGGATACCAGACGACTTCGCGACGATCCAGGCGGCGATCGACGCCGCGGAAGATGATGGACTAGTTATTATCGCGCCTGGATTGTATCGCGAGGCATTGGTCGTTGCAAGACCAATAAAACTCGAAGCGGCCGAAACTACGAGTGACGACGAAGGCGTCGGCGCGCCGTTAACGACGGTCACCGTCGAGGCGCCGGCGCCAGGTTCACGGGCTTTATTAGTGACAGCTGCGGGCTCGTGTACGGCGCGAGGCATCGCGTGGCGGTGCTCGACCGAAGTGAATGAGTTAGCGAGGCCCTGCGCGGCCGTCGGCGTCAAGGGCGGCCGCCTGGCCCTCGAGTCGTGCGCCGTCGGGAGTGCTTCCGCATTATCAGGGGTCAACGCGCAGCGCGGCGCAACGCTTTCCCTATTACGAGTTACTGGCGCGAACTGCCGCCACACGGGCGTCTTGTTGAGCGGCGCGGGGACGACGGCGACTCTGGAAAGATGCGACCTCTCGGAGAACGGCGCGCACGGCCTGGAAATTCAGGACGCGGCGCGCGTCGACGACGCGCTGCGGCTGCGCTGCGCGCACAACGCGTTGTTTGGGGTGTTTGTTTCCGACCCCGGGTCTTCATCGAAGCTGCGGAGGGCGGACCTGTCGCGGAACCGGAGGTGCGGGGTCTGGGTCCAGTCGGGCGCGTCTTGCGACGTGTCGGATGCGACGTTCTCGAAGAACGGGGAGCACGGCGTGGCGCTCTCCGAGGACAAGTCGAGTGCGGTGCTGCGGCGGTGCGCCTTCGCCGGTCGGGACGACCACCTGGCGTGCTTCAACGGCGCCGCGTTCTCTTCATTAGATGCGCGGGACTGCTGCTACGAGCCCGGGGATGACGACTCTCCTAGGCTGGAGGCGGGGCTCTAAATTCATCTACTGCTGTAGGCCCTCATCGCGCCGTCGGCGAGGTACTACTCCATTAGTCATACTTACACAGTCTTCCGGTCCGAGAGCACCCTTACTATGGACCCGACGCCGAACTTCTCCGCGAGCTTCGCCTGCCACATAAAGAGCTTCGCCGTGCGGTCCGACGGCGTCTCCAGGCCCTTGTAGACGTACTTGAGGAGCACATCACCATGATCGGGCGTCATCGCGTCGATCGTGACGTCGATTTTCGAGTCGGCGATCTTGTCGAGCGCGGCGAAGACCTGGTCCGCGTGTGTTTGTTTTTGTGAAGCGTCCTTGGAGCCGGCGGGCGCCGTGGCTAGTAGCGTGTCGAGGTCGGCCATGCTTCGGCCGCGCGTCCCTGGGCCGGGTGTGAGTGTGCGCAGCGCTATAGGTCCTTTTGACAGGAGCTGAGGCGGCGTGGATAAGTGTCGTTGCGGCGCGCAGCTGTTGGAGTAGTACCGAGTGCGCAACTTCTCTGCAGCGGGCGGTCTCGCTGCAGCTAGGCGCTCCTCGAGCAAAAGCCTGAAAGTGAGCTAGTGTGTCGATACGCTAGCCTGCTATAGGGCTGCTTGTCGTGAGCTGAGCTCTGAGTGTTTTTTGTACTAAGTACTTTTTACGCGATGTGGGGATGGGTCGATGGGGATGGGGATGTGCTACGGATGACCAGAGAAGGCCTCCGTGCCTGCCCGCCCGACGTAGGGTCGAGCGGGGTACTTCGACGAACGACGACGCGCGGCGCGCGGTGGCCAAAATGCGCGAGCTATGCAGCCAATCCTTTGCCGTCGGGCGCGGTGGCTGAAGCTCTCGATTGGAAATGCGCGGCGCGACCGGTTTGACGGAAGCACGTGCGCACGCATTTGCAATGCTATTGCAAGCAATTACAATTTACGCGACTCGCGACAACCATGCTGAAGGGACGATTGGCGTTTAGTGAAGAATTCGACACTGATACTTGCGGCGAGTTGAGCGTGTTCACGTCGAGCTGATGGGCACTTCACGAAATGCTGCACTTTGTTTGACCCCCTACCGGGCCATATAGGCCAGACGCGCCAACGCGCAAGGTTTCAGGCCCGCAACGTTCCTGGCTCTGTCGGAGAGGTCTGATGGTGATTATGGCTTTGCACGGCGTCGTCAAGTAGATGTGATGGTCGGACGCGGCGCCGCCGCGCGGGGATATCACACATAGAAACTTATCACGAAAACAAATAAACCTCCTTGCCATCCGCAGAAGGGGGCGACGAGAGCGACCCAGAGCTCACCTGCGGCAGCACCGGTGGAGGCGGCGGCGGCTCCTCCTTCGACGGCGTCAGGTCCGCCTTCAGCGTCTCCAGGTCCGCGGCCAGATTCCGCGCCAGTTCCGCGGCCGGCGCTTTCAATTTCTCAAACAACGACGCCGGCGCCGCCGGCGCCTCCGCGACAACATCAAGAGCGTCCCCGCAGAACTCGAACGTCGCCGCGCACGGCCGCCGGTCCGCGAGCAGCGCCAGGGCGTGCGCGTAGCCCGCGACGTTGTCTCCATCCACAACCGTCAGCACGTCGCCCACGACGACGCCGCCCTTCCACGCGCGTCCGCCCGGCGCGACGCGCGCGACGCGCGCCACGGGCGCGCCGTCCTTCAATCTCGCGTCGGCGAGGCGCAGCCCGAGCGGGCCCTCCGGCAGGCGCACGACCTTCTTCTCCTTCGTCGGCGTCGCCTCTTGCGGCACGGACGCGAGCAGCACCAGCAACGGCCGCGCGGCCGTCGCCAGGGCCTCGACGACGCGGTCGTAGGACACGCGGTCGCGGTCACCATTGACGCCGACGACGCGCGCGCCGTCTACCAGAGCGAAGTCCGCGTCGCGCGTCATCTTCGAGCCAAGGGGCGCGCCCGCGGGCACGACGGCGGCGACGAGCTCCGGTTTTGGGGGCACGGGTCGCATCGTGTTGGTTATTGCAGCGACTTCGCCGTCCTCGCTGTCGAAGGACTTCGAGGCACGCGTGTCCCAGTAGCTCTGGACCTTGGACTGCGAGCCGTCCTGCTTCTGCGCCGTCCACGCTTCGTTCGTCGCCGACGTCGGAGGCGCTTCTTTTTGATCGAGCTCCGGCTGCGCGACGTCGACGCGCCTTAATAACAGCTTTACAATGCCGCGCTTCTTCGCCTTTGCAATAGCTTTCACGACCGGAGCGTAGCGCCAGCAGCGCCTCTCGCCCACACCAACAACGTAGTCTCCGGGCTGGACCGCCTCCGTCCACGCCGAGCACTTGATAACGGCGCACCTCCCACCATGGACCTCGGCGAGCTCCAATCCTAATTTACCTTCATTCGTACGCAGCTCCACGGCGCGCTCGTCTTGATCAGGTGTCACGTCGCGCGATTCTATACTGGAAGCTACGAGTTTGACGCAGGCGTCCCTCCTGTTCCTTATAGATGACTCCTCGTCGTCGAGCCAGTGGGCCTCATAATCCAAGGAAGCCTTGACGGCGTCGCAGGCGGCCACCGCCAAATGCTCCGCATAAGCAGAAACGTACGGCGCGGACACCGCCGGGTCCGACGCGCCCACGCTCTCGAGGTGGTGCCGTAACCGGCCGTTGCCGCCCAGACACAGGGCCGCGACGTGGTGCGGCGCCCACGCGTCGTCCTCGAGGGACCAATAGTTTCTGCTGATGCCGCACGCGCTGCACGCGACGATACCTGTTGATGCACACCCATAGGCGCGCTCGCCGTCGACACACCACAACCCCTCAATCCGCGCAAAACAATGAAAGCAGCGGTCGTTGCCGCGCAGTGAAATGACGGCCACCCTCTCATTTGATGAGAGTCCCGTCGCTCGCTTCTTCGAAGGTTCTGGCGAGACGCTCTCCTCCTCATCATCATCGCTTTCGACGGCCTCCTCCAAGAGTAGCCGCGACACCCAGCCCCGCACCGGCTCGTCTATCTTACAGCGCTCGCGGCCGCTCGCCAGCGTTTTCGTGTCCACAATGAACACTGTGCATCCGCTATCTAACGTCGTCACTATGCTTGAATCGAGCTCCTTTTCCTCCCTTACAGCGGTCTCCCAGCGGACCGTCGCACGCGTGCGCCGCTCGGGGGAGCCGGCCATCGGTCTTGCGCGCCCGCAGCGATGGATCTTACGACTGCGCGGGTGCTTTTCCAACGACTGCGACAGCTGCGGCGGCGTGCTGCTCGGCGGCGTGCTGTGGCAAGGTGTTATTTGTCGGCGGGCGGCGGCGAAGCGCTCTAACTGTTGGGCGGCAGACTCGCAGCAGTAATCAATCAGCCCACCCAACGTGCGCGCGCCACAGGGACAATAGCAGCGACCGACTTTTGCGATGCTGTTTTAGGTAGCTAGCGTATCGACACACACTAGCACTTTTGGGGCTGCCAAACCGGGCGTTGCACGACTACGAAACGATAGATAGGGCAGCCCACCGGTAGATCCAGACCAAGGCCGGAGCACTTTCGCCTTGTGGGCCGCGACGCGCCGGCTCCCTTACAGGCTGCCGTGTGGGAGTAGCCAGACGCCATCGACGCGCCGCAGGAGACGGCACCAAAACCATGTGGGCCATGGGCTTCACTTCCAAACGATCGCGCTTCACGGAGCACGCGAGAGTGGGCTTCCGCGCCGAGGCGCCGGGCAGAGTACACGCAAAACAGTCCGAGGCGGCCGTCGCCGAGGCGCTGCGATTGGCGCTGTCGGATGAATGTCGATATAGGTTGGTCTTGATTGACCGCGGCGCCGAGGGTGCCGTGCGGCATGTGTTGCATCCGGAAGAGCGGGATGTGCCTGCCGATAGTCCATTGGCGAATCGGCCGCCGCCTCCATCTCGCTCAGAATTGATACTGGTGGCGAGGTTGTCCGATGATTGTCATAGAGGTTCCGATCGGGCAATACTAGAGACCACAAGAATCATGGATCATCTCGGGGTCGAAAAATTGGATGGTCTATGTGTGCCGTGGCCCGAAGCGTCGGAGGACGCGCCTCACGATCCGAACCACACGGGGCCCGACTGCCGACGACAGAAGAAGCTATTCTTGAGGACCTGGAAAGCACTACATAAGAAACTAGTTCCTGATCGAGTTCGATGGCTCGGCACGGAGTTGCTCGATGCCTGGCAGCTCGAAAGGGTCGTGGAGGACGTCTCGGAACATGAGCGGCCGGTCTTCAATCTCATAGAGATGGACATCTCCGCGCCAAAGACGAGGACGGTCACGTGGTGCCAGGCGCACGGCATCGAGTTGCTTGGTATGTTAGATACGTCGGAGCACAAGATAAGTACTGAGGAGGTGGGGAAATTTAGAGAGTTACAATCAGAAATGGACGTGGAGCCGTCTGTCATAATTACGCGCTGGGCGGTGCAGCGCGGTGTGGTGACATTGCCCTCTTTATCGAGGGTGGTCAGTGAAGGGTCGTCGTTAACGTCAGCCGAAGCCTATGAAGCCTGGGCCGACAAATTGAAAAAGATTCTGGCTGCTCGCACGCTTCACCTACACATGCCCACCGAGGGCCGGCGCGTGAATTTGGATAATGCGCGACTGGCTTTGTTGAACTCTTTTGATCGAGAACAAAATGAAAAGCAGGAGTATTATGATCAACGGCTGGCGGAGATTACTCGTAGAAAATTAAAACCGGTGCGGACGGCGGCCAAGGCGTTGAATGCCCTCAGTGCGTTCTCGACGGCGGCCGAGGATAAGGCTCGGGAGCGGGGCGAGGAGGTGCCGGCGTTCACGCTCTAAGATTGGTTTTTGTAGGTAGCTTCGCGGCGATGGCGTACTACGGGGCCGTCGCGTCCGGGCCCCGCGCGCGGAGCGTTAAAGTCGCGCGCGCGCGCGCGCGCCTGGGTGCTCGCATGAGTCGATCGATGCGCGCCATCACGTTCGCTAGCGGTCTGTAAGACACTAGCAAGTGAGTCGACCTACATTTCAGGGTTACGAGCGCGACTGCAAAAACCAAAAGTGCGACCTGAGCGCCTACTTCCGGAAGAAGCTGGCGAACGTCGACTGGCAGAATTTAGATGTGGACTCGGAGTGGAGCCGCCTGCGCATCTTCAACGCCGACGGCCACTTCGCGAAGGACATTTCGAGGGACGTCGGCCATGCGGGGCGCCGGGCGATCCACGGCCACGGGCCGCTGCTGTGGCACCTCTAGTGGTGCGCGAACATACCTTCCTCTCCTTTCCTGCTATTCTGGTTATACTACCTTCCCCCCTTGACGTAATTGATGTTTCTTCATCCACTGGCATTACTACATCGGATGACGCCCTCTGGACGCCGTCGCCGCGTCTCTCTCGCCGCCCCGACGCCGTCGCCGCGACGCGAGCCACGAACACCGCCTGCGCCGCCGCGATTAAAACACTAGCTACTTACTGGTCGTCGAGGCCGCAGACGCCCATTTCGGCAAATTCGCCGCCCTGCTTCTTCCGGTGCTCTTCTCTTCGTTTCAAAAAGTCGTCGCAGCCCGGCACGTCGAGGAACTGCCTTTTTGTGAGAGGGTTGCCCTGCAGGTCCAGGTGCGATAAACTTGATAGGCGTAATAGTGACGTCGCGATGCCCTGTGCTTGCAAACGATTCCGCGCGAGGGATAACCGTCGTAATGCAGGCGCCTTCGTCGCAATATCGACCGCCTCGATGAGGTTGTCGTCGGCCCGCAGGTCAACTAATTCAGGGAGGGAGAAGGAGCCATCTAACAGAGAGCGGAGGCCGCAGCCGCACACATCCAACAAAGTCAACCGCGTGAGCAGCGCGACGGCGGGCCAGAGGTTGCCCGTGCCCAGGGACGGATTCTTCGACAATGATAATTCTTCAAGGTGCGCCTCCGCGTTCGTCAAACAACTGACGACGTCCGTCAGGCGGTTTTCACTCGCGTCGAGCTTTTTTAGAGCTTGACCAAGTTCCGGGAGGCGCGTCAATCGGTTCTGCGAGAGGTTGCAGGTTGTGAGTTTGGGAAAATTCCACTGCTCCGGTAGCTTATCAAGTTTGTTGCGAGACAGGTCCAAAGTTCGCAGTCGCGAGGCACTCCCGCCGAGCTGCTCGCAGACGATCTTCGGCACGGCCTCGAGCTTGTGCTCCGTCAGGGATAGGACACCAGTCTTGGACGCGCGCTCGACCTTCTTCCGCACGACGCTCGAGCCCGTCTTGTTGGTCGGCGGGCCGAGGCCGGCCATCTTGGCTACGTCGTTGCCCATGGTCGAGGTGGTGCAGCCCATTCACCGGCACTGCGGTACGGTCCCGTCTCCCTACGGCGGTCTCCGGGAGCACGGCTTCTTCTTGGCGCTGGAGCACTGCTGTGGCGCTGTCCCGGGTATGTGGCAGCACGCCCGAGACGTGGAAGCGACGACTGGTTATTCAATTATATAAATGCGAGTAACCACGCGCCCCGAGGCCCGTCACTGAGCTCTTTTGCGGCTAACAATAATTGCAAGCGCGGAGCGCTGCGCTAGTATCTGTGTACACTAGCTAGCTCGCTCCGCGGTTTGCGACGCAGCTTGCTTGCTGCCGCGTGTTTCCGTCTTTCGGGCGGTCTACAGCGCCGCAGCAATCCAGCTGAGCATCAATTCCATCGCTTCGGCTCGTCTGCCGGATGTTTGTGGTGGACAAGCTGTGAGACCATGGTGAGCTCTCTCAAGGATAAATGGCGGAAAATTTCGCAGAATAAAGGCTTAGCAATTGTTAGATTTCTGAAGGATAAGATTCGCAAAAACAGGGATTGGACGCCGCGGGGATTGGACGACCGCCGGACGATGCAGGGATTGGCGCGATGCGCCCTGAGAGAATTCGACGACCAAGAGTATGGCAGATGTATTGAAATGTTGTCAATATGGCCACGCGGACGCAAGGCGCTCAAACATATGCTACGTTTACGGCCAGGCATCGCCTCGGCGAGCGAAGGCCGGACTCGCGGTGCGCTGTTGCATTATGCTGTTCCTGATCGCCTAGACTTCGTCGTGGCGTTGCTCGAGGCGGGCGCCGATCCAAATGCGCGGTCCAAATGGCTCGATTGGACGCCGCTGTTCCACGCCACAGTCGAAAATGTTAAGCACGGTGCGAGCGTGGTGACGAGCTTGCTAGAACATGGTGCCGACCCGAACGCGAAAAGTGCCGAGGGCATGACGGCACTTCACCACGCGGCGCGCCATAACAATGTAGCCATCTGTAAATTACTCATCGCAGCCGGTAGCGACGTTAATGCTAAAGACAACGAAGATTGTGCGCCGCTGGAATTCGCTGCGGAGAACAAGACCCCCAAATGCATCGAGACCCTCCTCGCCGCGGGCGCAGAATTGACTAGCGATGTTGTTGAGGCTGCGATGTGCGAAGGGAGCCCCCGAGGGCTCCATTTGTTGTTCCGCGCCGAACCGTGCTGTGTGCACTGGGCATTCTACTCGATAGACCGAGACGCCCTGTGCATCAACGTCGAATATCTCAACCGAATCCGCAAAGCAGCTGTTGACGCGCAGTTTTTCGTGCGCCCGGGCGAGACTGCCTCCGAGGATCGCGATCGTTTTGCTCGCTCAGTCGACGCCCTGATTACTAGTGAGCCGCAAATCAGCAAGCACCGCAAGCGATGCGCAGAATGCGGTAAATTAGTGAGCCGCGGTGCTTGCAGATTTGCTGCATACGAGGAATACGAGCGCGACCAGCTGCGCGCTCTCACGACCATCGTCCAGCGCATCGTCGGTCATCGTGTTCCCGCGGAGATCGGCGACATCATCGTCGAATATTGGGGTCATCCGGGGAGCTATGTCGTGTTCTAAGAATTTGTGAAATGATTAGTCCACAAGAAACCTAGCCCACTCGTCTATCCTCGCCTCGTCGCCGTACCACTGCGCGTCGGATTCGGCGAGCTCGGGCGACAGGAACGACGGCAGCTTCGCAGCGTGGATCGTCGTTCCGGCGAGGGTGAGCCGTTCCGCGCCCTCGAAGTCCAGGGCGGAGCTGAGCGGCGTGACGCCGTCACCGTCGGCCGTTGCCGCTTCTGCTTTGGAAAGGCCGCAGAACCTGCGGTGGCGTCGCGTCTATAGCGCCGCGTCGATGGCCTCGCGTCGATGGCGCCGCGTTGATGGCCTCAAGAAGACATGTCGCATGGACGCCGCGTCACTCACTCGTACGAGTCCCGCGTGAATGATCCGGAGTCGTCGCCTCGAAAGCCGGCGCCCGCGACCGCGAGAGCTTTGACGGGTGATGGCTGCCGCCGCGCCCACGCCACGTTGGCAAACGCGACGCCGTCCGAAGCGGCGTGCGGAGAGCCCAGCGTCACGAGCCGTCGGACGCCCCGGGCCAGCCCGCGGTGCGAGTGGCCGCCGTACTTCTCCTCGCTCAGGTAGATGCGCGAGATCCAGCCCGCGGCGCTGTGGCCGACGATGCTGCAGCCGCGCCGCCGCTCGCGGCCGTTGAAGGCGCCGAAGCTCCCGCGCGGCTCGACGTACGGGAACTCGTCCGGATCTGCCGAGCCGCCGGCCTTCAAAACGCCTCCGGGATTGTTCACGAAGTCGCTGACGAGATCTGCCGCCGAGTAATCGGGAAATGGCGCGACGACGTCCAATTCCTCGGCCGTCGTCGCGTAAGCACAAGCGTGATCAATACGCGCGAGGATCGGTCGCACGGACCGGCCGCCCAAACACGGAATCCAGTGCCAGCGGTGGATCGGCGCCACCGTCGCCGCGATGCCGCGCCGCCGCAGCGCCTCCGCGACGCCGACGAATTCCGCTGCACCCTCCAAAAATCCTGGGACGACGACGGCGGCGTCGCGCGTCACTGACAGGGCGGCGGCACTGCTGATGAATGCGAGCGCGCACCACAGGTTTAAAATCCAGCCCATGATATGAATGCTGTGTTTGGCACACTGCCGCGAAATCACGCCGAGCTTTGAATGGCACAGCTTGATAGGACAGCGGGACTGCTTTTCAACCACCAATCCTTGCGTGGTATCACGCGCCAAGGGTGTAGTAAATTAGCTTTGAAAGCCAAGCTCTCTGAACAGGGCTTCGAGGGGCTCGCACGCGGTGACCTTGTACCTGCCGTAAAGGGTCTCGCGGGTGCAAGAGAGTTCTTCAAAGTTCTGAAAATGATCCTCGGAGCTAGCTGTGAGACACTAGCAAGCGTCATCTCACTCGCAGACTTGGTACGTTTTGCTTCAAGGGATCCGCGACGAGAAGCTCCAATTCGTGCAGAAAAAGCATTGCACAGCCACCTGAGACCGGCGCCGCAAGATGACCCCCGCCCTGCGCCATGTCACCAAGATCTCCAGCCTCTCCCCCAAGGAGATCAAGGGCGTCCTCAAGCTTGCCCTCGAGATGAAGGCCCGGCCGGCGGACTACTGGGACGCGCTCAAGCGGCGGACGCTGCTCATGTTCTTCGAGAAGCCTTCGCTGCGCACGCGCGTCTCGCTCGAGGCGGGCGCGACTCCGTGTGGAAATCAAAACTCGGACGCCCCACGCCATCGACGTGCTCGATTCACACAGGCATGACGTCGCTGGGCGGGCACGGCATCGCGTACATGACCGGCGACTCGCCGGTGGGCGAGAAGGAGTCCTACGAAGACACGGGCGCGGTCCTCTCCCGGATGTGCGACGCCGTTACGGCGCGCGTCAAGTCGCGGGAGCAGGTCACGGGCCTCGCGGAGAACTCGACGATCCCGATCATCAACGCGCTTGATGATTATGCGCACCCGATGCAGATGCTCGCGGACCTACAGACGATCGTCGAGCACAAGTGCGATGGAGACGTCGAAGGATTGACGGGCAAGTCTCTGGCGTTTGTGGGCGACTGCCAGAACAACGTGACCTACGATTTGATGCGGTCCGGCGCGCTGATGGGCCTGGACGTGCGCATCGCGGGCCCGACGGGCTTCGAGTGGGAGATCGAGCCTTCGGTGCTCGAGGAATGCGCGGCTCTGACGAAGGAGCACGGCGGCACGGTCACGGTGCTCAAAACGGCGGAAGAGGCCGTAGCTGGCGCGGATATCGTGTATGCGGACTCGTGGATGTCGTACGGCATCAAGGGGGCCGAACGGGACCGTAGGATGAAGGCGCTCATGCCCTTCCAGGTCACGCCGGAGTTGATGAGCAAAGCATCTACCAGTGCGAGCTTCATGAACTGCCTGCCCGCGGTCCGAGGCGAGGAGCAACTTGCCAGTGTTATTGATGGTCCTCAATCCATCGTCTTCGACCAGGCGGAAAACAGACTGCACGCGCAGAAGGCGCTGCTCGTGAAGCTGCTCGTCGAGGGGCTCTAGCTAGTTGTCCATAATATATTAGCCTGAGTCCCGACGTCGATCTGGCGCCACCCATACGCCATCGCCGCGACCCGACACAAACACTCCCATCGCGTCGCGGCGGCGGCGTCGAAATCTAGTCTAGAACATTAATCGAGCTCCAACCGATGGCCCATGCGGTCCTGCTTCGTGCGCAGGTATTTGTAGTTCTCCGGCGTCGGCGCCGTGAGCACGGGCACGCGCTCCTGCACCCGCACCCCCAACGCCTCGAGCGCCTCGCACTTCGCCGGGTTGTTCGTGAGCAAGCGAACCGCATCGACGCGCAGATCTGACAAAATGTGCGCGACGGCGTCGTAGCGCCGCGCGTCCACCGGCAAACCCTGGTCCTCGTTCGCCTCGATCGTGTCCCTACCTTGATCTTGTAAGGCGTAGGCTGTGAGTTTCGCATTCAAACCGATGCCCCGGCCCTCCTGGCCCCGCAGGTAGATCAAGACGCCCGCGTCCGCCGCGGCAATTAACTGGAGCGACTTTTGTAATTGTTCCCCACAATCACATCGACGGCTCCCAAATATATCACCCGTCGCGCACTCGCTGTGGACCCTTGCTAAAGGTGCTTGGGCAGTGCTCACGTCGCCCCTCGTCAGCACGAGGTGCTCGAGGCCCGAATTCGTTTCCGTGTAGCAGACCGCGTCGAAGTCGCCGTGGGCCGTCGGCATCCTTGTTTCTTCGCCGCGTGTGACGCGCAGGCGGCTCCTCGGGGACAATGGTGGGGTCACGCGGCGCTCGACCGCGTCCTTCGGGGCCTCGACGACGACGGGCGCTTTTGGTGGGGTGCACATCTTTTATGTATTGCTTGCTGGCGCACCAATGCGGCGATGGCGTGCGGCTGCTTGGTGATACAGTGGCTGCAATGCTGTCGATCTCACTGCTTGCACGATGGCTGCAGATATCGCTTCGTATTTGGACTTTGAGTGCTACGGTGATCCTGCACGATTGCTGCTTTCAAGTTGTTCGTTGCTGGACGTCGCGTACGCCGGCATCAACAAAGCAGGCTGCAGACACGGAGGCTGAGACCGCGAGTCGACGAGACACGTCCGTAGGGCGCATCCTACTCGTCAGACTACTCTCTAACGGCTAGGATACACGCTGAGTCGTGTGGCTAGGGCGACACCTGGCAGGCAGAGCATCTCTCTTGTAAAAAAGTTGGACTTGCAAAAAGCGCTGCCCATCAGCGCAACAACCAAGAATGCAGCGTTCGATGACCCGCACCATCCGACGCGTCGTGTGTCTCCTTGCCATGACGGTGTCAGCCTTCCAAGGGCCGCCGAGCCTGCCAGCCTTTGGTTTGCTGCACTCCCAACGACCGCAGCGGTCGCGAACTCCAGTGGATCTCGGCGCAGCGACTGCGGTTGCGACGCCGACCCCAGTCTCGAACGGCGCACGCGCTGGCGCCAGCCAGTTTTCGCGCAAGATCGCTCCGACGCTGCCGACGCGGCCCTCGATACGACGGCGCCCCAGGGTGCGCCGAGCGGACGAGTCCATGCAAGTCGCTGCGACGCCGAAGAGCGTCGCCCCAGCCCGTCACAGATACCGAGACGTCGCCGCCGCGCCGACGCACGAATTGCTGGCGCGATGGCGCCACCAGGCCGTGAACGCCCTCTGCTACGCGCGGATTGCGGTCGTGACCGGAGTAGTCTCGCTGGTGCACGCCGTCGCCGCGCCGCTCCACAAACAACTGGGCTGCAACCACTTCGCGACCGCGTCGCTCGACCACTGCATCCAGCTCTCGCGCCTCTTCCTCGGCCTCGCGCGGAAGCAAAAAGACGCGCGCACGTGCCTCGCCAAACCGGTGTGGTGGCAGGTCGCGCCGCACGGCAGATGCTACGCCGACGGCGGGGAATGCTTTTTGTATTGAGGGACTTCTACCACGCGATGGCCGAATGGAATCCTCGAACGTGATCTACCCCCTATACGCCATCGGCGCAATGTTGTGAGCGCAGTAGCCGCAAGTAACGAAAGATTTTTACACCAATAAGTGGGGAGGGAGTCTAGGGCGTCAATCCAAGCAAATGCCCCATGCGCTTCTGTTTGGTCAAAAGGTACTTGTAGTTCTCCTCGTTCGGCTCCGTCACGACCGGGATGCGCTCGACGACCTTGATGCCCAGTTCCTCCAAGGCTTCGCACTTCGCCGGGTTGTTCGTCAGTAATCGCACGCGCGACACGCCCAGGTCCCGCAAGATCGCCGCACCCGCCTCGTAGTCGCGCGCGTCGACGGGGTGACCCAGGTCCTCGTTCGCCTCGATCGTATCTCTACCCTCGTCCTGCAACGTGTAAGCTTCTAATTTGGCACCTAAGCCGATGCCTCGCCCCTCATGCCCCCGCAGATAAATGAGCACGCCGGCTTCCGCGGCCTGAATAGCCTCCAAGCCCGCCTTCAGCTGCTCGCCGCAGTCGCACCTTCTACTGCCAAAAATATCTCCGGTCGCGCATTCGCTATGTAACCTCACTAATGGAGCTTCAGCAGCAGCACCGGAGTCGCCGTCGACGGGCATCGCCGCGTCGGCCCGCTGGAGGTAGGAGTAGGCATCGGTCGTATAGCCCTTGAGCATGGCAATGTGCTCGAGGCCGGTCTCGCGGTCGGTCGCGCAGACGGCATCGAACAAGCCGGCGGACGTCGGCATCCTCGTCGCCTTCCCTAGTTCGACGCGTCGTTCAGCCACGGCGTCGTGGGCCTCGTTCAACACGTGTTCCTCCACGGCCTCACCAAGTACCTGTTCCCGATACGTCCGCAAGTCTTGTATAGTAGTAAAGGCTAGGTCGTGCTCCTTGGCGAAGACTTCTAGATCATCCCACCTGGACATCTCGCCGTCTTCATCCCGTACGATCTCGCAGAGCCCGCCCGCGGGGTGCAGGCCCGCCAAACGGGCCATGTCGACGGCGGCCTCCGTGTGGCCACCCCTCTCGAGGACACCGCCCGGCCGCGCTCTCAGCGGAAAGATGTGGCCCGGGCGGCAGAAGTGGCCCGGTTTGCTTGAGGGGTCGGCTAGAGCTCGGATCGTCCTCGCTCGGTCGCCGGCGGAAATACCCGTCGTCACACCATCTTTAAGGTCGACCGTGACCGCAAAGGCCGTGCCCTTCGGATCTTCGTTCTTCGACACCATCGGCCCCAGCTTGAGCCTGTCCAAGTCTTCACCGTACATCGCCGTGCATATGACACCCGACGTGTGCCTGACCACAAAGGCCATCGTCTGCTGGGACACGGTCTCCGCCGCAAAGATCAAATCGCCCTCGTTTTCTCTATCGCCATCGTCCGTGACGACCACGGGCCGGCCGTTCCGCATTTCCTCGAGGGCCTTTTCTACGGACTCTCGCCCTAGACACCAGCCATTCGCGTCGGGCTTGGGGTTGAGGACCTCGTCCTTGAGTTTCAGGACGTTCGAGGCCAGGCTCGGTAGGCGGGTGGCCGTCATGCACGGCGCGCGCCGCGCCGGCCGCGCCGAGGATCTCGATACGGCGGCGCGCGCGGGCTTCGCGTGGTTCAGGGCGTGGTTCTGCACCAAACCGACGCAGGGGGCCGCTAATAACACCGCGGCGAGCGCCGGGGCCGCCGCCAGCGTGGCGCGGCGTCTTCGCCGGCCGCTAAGGCAAGTTCCCTTTATCCTCGCTGGCGCCGCCATCGCGAGCCGGAATCAATAGGTGTGATCGCTGGGGCCCAGAGGTGAGTTTGCAAGCGCTCCGGCGATCGCTGGGGGCGTCTGCGGGGCGTCTGCGTCCGGGCGTAGCAGTGCTGCATCATCCTGAGTAGGAGGGCACGAGTTGATTGCACGCGCCGATTTGACCTCTCCGCCTCGCCATTACTCCTCTCCGGACCGGTCTGGGCGGCTACCGCACTCCTCGCGCCCCTAGCGTCACTCGACGTAACGACTGCTTGGCCAGAGAGCATGAAGCGGAGGCTGCCCATCAGCCTCAGCGCCGACGCCGCGATGGAACGCTAGCAGCCCGAACCAACAACAAACAACGCCACAGGCAATCAACAATGAGCGCACCAGCCCTCAGCCCCAGCCAGCTGAGCCCGGAAGTGAAAGGGCGCCGCCGCCCCCTCGGCCAGCCCTTCCGCTTCGCGTCTCCACCATTACCACCGCTGCTGGATAGTGCGAGTGCGCCTCCAGCTCTAGATGACATGAGCTTCCTGAGCCTGGACGACGGCCAGAGCTTCCTCACCGAGTGCGGGAGCGTCAACTCGATGAAGAGCTACCCGCACAACTTGTGGGCGACGCCGTCGCATGCCGACTATCCGATTACGTCGGAGAAGATGGCGATCCGGTCCTATCTAAGGCGCAGTCATCGGAGTCAAGTCAAGAAGCGGCGACGGCGCCTCGCTCTGGCGAAGGAGCGCCGGACGTTGCGCCTGATCAAGGAGCACGAGCGCCGCGTGGAATTGTTGAAAATAAAGCACCAGCGCCGAAAAGTCGCGCAAAAGTGGCTGGACGTTTTAGTACATAGAGCGATCTATAGCAAAGTTGTGTCGGTCTTCGAAGACGCGGACAAGGCTAGGAAGGAGAATGAGATTCGTAAAGAGCAGTTGCGCAAACTAAGCGCGACGGCGTCGGTTATTCAAAAAGCCGTGCGCTCGAAGCTACTCAAGGACCTCAACGGCCAGCACTGGCAGCAGGTCGCGCGCTTCGCCGGGCTCATGCGGCGGAATAGGTGGCGCTGTTCTTTAGGTCTAAGGTGTTGGCGGCGCTACAACGCTAGAAACGTCGTGCGCGACTTTTTGAAACAAACAGCAAAGATGCAGGGCGGTAGAGCGATCCTCGTCTTCCAGCAGCGCGTGCGCTACGCCCAGCGGCTCGTGCGGGACTGGGTCAGGGTGAGGAAGCGGCGGATGGCGTTCCTGCGGACCGTTCGTTTCCAGTGTAGCAACCGCGATCGATCGACGCCATCGACGTGGCGCGCCGATGGCGTGCTGGCGCCGTACGCCATCGACGCGCCACGCACGCAGGTCTGGGAGGAGGTCGAGGCGGCCGCGCGGACGGAAATCGGCGCGAAAAAAATGAAACGCCTCGGCGAGCCGAAGCGGACGGCACGCAAGAAGTGGCGCGCGCCTAATTTACAAGAGGAGGTCGAGGACATGGCGCTCGTGTTTCGGGACCTGGAGGAGGATTTCGACAAGATGCGAAGGCGGCAGCACGAGCTAGGGGTCTCGCATGGACCGGTGTGCCAGGTATCGGAGACGGTCGAAGTTTCTCGTGTCCCTGCGGTGTTGCGGGATGCGGCCTTGGAGGACTTGTTCCACGAGGTTTGTCTTCGGCACCAATCGCGCGGCGGCGGTAAGGGTCCGGCGCTCCGCAAGAAGTCCGGCGTCACTGTTGGCCTCCCCCGAGAGTTTACGATGGCGGATGCCAACAAGATCCTAGGGTTACACAACACGAAAGTAAAAGTCAAACCGCTCGTCGCCGACGACCTCGTGGACCCCCACTGCCTAGCGTCGAAAAAGTCCGTGATGATGCTCTACACGGCCTTCCTGCCCGAGAAGACGCTCATGGAGACGGTCACGGAGCTCTGGACTGAAGCCTACGACACGCAGAACGAGCCCGTCGCGGCGTTATATCTCTCGCACATCGTGAAGCGCGACGCGAAGGGAAGACGGGGGGCCCTCGTCCCGAACCCCAAGGCTCTGAAGCGGCGCCCCGCCCTGAAACGTGTGTCGCTCCTGCCCGAGCCGGTCGAGGAGGTCGTGCTGCCGTCGGACTACACGGCGGTTGTCGCACGCCACCTCAAGCGCACGTCCCGGGACTCGAGGGATGAGAAGCGACTGAGCCGGTCCAGTTTTTATCGCGACCAGGCGCTGCGGGATCTCGGCGCGACGAGGCCGCCCTCTCAGGAAGAAGAGGAGGTTCCTGAGCGGGCGGAGACGCCCTACGACATCCGGGAGGCGATCGCGCGGCGGGCCTCACGCCTCGGGATATCTCAGAAATCTCCCTTGCTGAAGAACGCTGGCCGCGGGCCGCCCGGGAGTATTCCGGGGGTAAATTAGTTGTACTAGAGGTACTTATTCGCGGCGATGGCGTATTTTCGCCGATTCATTTATCCGAAGCCTGCCAGTGACTCGGTTCAAGTTATTCTACGACCGTCCCCGTGATCAACGCGGAGACCGGCGCGGAGACGCGCGAGAGACCGCCAAAGCGCGCGCGCGAGGACGCCGACGCGGCACCGCCCCCTTCCGGCCTCCAGCGCGAGAAGGCCCAGCAGGACGTGCTCGCCCAGGTCAAGCAAGAGAAGGAGGCGCTCGAGGACCGCCTCCTGTGCACGATCTGCATGGAGGCCGACGCGCCGCGGGCCGTCGTCTTCGGGCCGTGCGACCACTTCCTCGCCTGCGCCTCGTGCGCCGCCGCCCTCCAGGAGTGCCCGAATTGCCGCGCGCCGATCACGACGCGCACGACGATCGCGAACTCGAGCTAGACCTAGTAGCACCGTAACAGTATCGACGAAACCTCACCTTACGCCCTACTTCTTCTCTTCCGCGTCCTTCGCGTCCTTCGCCGCCATGATCGCGTTGAGCATGGCCTCGACCTCGCCGGCCGCGCGCTTCTCCTCCTTGGCCTTGGCCGCCGCCTCCGGATCCAGCTTCGCGGCGTCGGCCTGTTCCTCGGCGCGCTCCCGGTACTCCTTCCGCTCCTCCAGGAATTCTTTCAGAGCAAATTTATCTTGAGATTCCATCCACGAGATGAACGCGTCGCCCTTGGCCGCGGCTTCGGACAGAGTAGCACTACCAAGCGCGTCCGCGAGAAAATCTCGGCACGCTAAATCGGTCGCGAGGACCTGGGTCTCCCGCTCCTCGACGAGGTCGGGCAATTTCTCCTTGACCACGGCGATGGCGCGAGGCAAGACACCGGTCTCGTCCCAGCCACTATCGCCCGACGACCGTAACAACGCCGCCAGCGCGGGAGGCACGTAATCAATGTCCTCGCCCCGGCCCAGGTAGTGCGGCAGGCAGTCCAGCAGCAACCAGAGCTTGTCGTCGATGGATAGAGAACCCGTGACGTTGCCCAGGGGCTTCCAGAAGCCTTCTCTGGGAGCCGCGATGCCCAGACCTTCGCGTAAAGCGTACCTTTGGGCGCCACAACTCGGATCGTACTTCGGCGCTACATTCGCGGCAAATTGCGCTAACAAAGGAGAAGCAATGACGACGGCCATCGGCTTCAGCGTCTCGTAGAGCGGCGGCAGATTGGCCGCCGCCTTCGCACCGAGCGCCGCCCGCCGCATCTCGTCGTTCGGCTCGTAGCGCTCGAGGCACTCCATGAGCCGCGTCGCGCACATGCCTGCGCGGACATCGACCGGTGAGTCAGCTTATCTTCGCGTCGACGGCGTCTGGGAGCGTCGTCGAGCCCTCCACGCCATCGACGCGACGCGTTCCTCACTTCTCGGCACCGCGGCCCTGGTTTCGGCCCAAACTCGGACACGATCTCCGAGAGATACCCTCGACCGCGTAGACCACGACACACCAAAAATTGAAGTACGAGACGCTGGCACGCACGCTTGTCGTCTTCATCCATCGACGCCGCGTTCCAGAGGGCCGCGTCCATGCGCGCGCCCGCACTGGCGGAAGACGACACGTCGTAGGCTCTATCTGCTTGCACCACAAACAACGGCGTCTCGGACGAAGTAGCTTTTTTGGCCATGTCGCCGACCTTCGTCGCGATGTCCTTGCCCGCATCTTCGGCCGCGTCGAGGTAGTCGTAGCCTCGCAATGCCCTCCACCCCGCACCCCACATCGTCGTCGCGATCTGCTCGCCGTCCGCGATCATCGCGGCCGCGGGCGCGCCTGCTGAGAAGTGGAAGTAGCTCCCGACGACCCAGAGCCGCTGCGCGTCGTTATAGTCCTTCCAGGTCTGCGTCTGCTGCGCGGCGTGGGCGGCTGGGCTGAATCTTGCGGAAGAAAAAGCAACAATAGCTCGGCCACCAGGCTTCAGGACGCGCCAGAGCTCTCGGAACGTGCCTCTGGGGTCCGTGAGCAATTCAGCCGCCGAGGCGAGGACGACGGCATCGAAACTACGATCAGGATAAGGTAATGAAGCGTCCCCAAACAACGCAGAGGCATCGACCCTCGTGACAGATTGAGGCGGACTCCACAATTCCTCGCCACTTTCCGTGGGAATGTACGTCTGGCCCGAACACGTGCCGTCGACCTCGAGCACGGAGCCCGCCCCGGATTCCAGATGCGTGACTAAATGGGCCCTGAAAGTCTTTTCGGCGTTCTCGTCGAAGACCTTCGAACCGTCGACAATCTTCTCCTCCTCACCCTCCGGTTTTTTAAACCCATCTCTCCCGTAGGGCCACTGCCGCGGCCACTTCCAGGCCGTCTGGGGGACTTTCAAACCCGGCTCGGCGAGCCCCGCGGGGATCTCGGGCATCGCGGCGCTCGGCTTATTTGTTCTTGGTACCGCTTCTTCCGTGCTTGATCTGAGAGATGTGGAACGCGGCTGCGGCGCCGGCGCGCGGAAGGCGCTGGCTACGGCCGCGAGAGCGACAGCGCGGCGCATCATGGCTGCTGCTCCGGTGGTTGATGCCGCTGCAATGCGCTAGTGCAACTGGAACTGCGCGCCGCTGAAAAGCAGCAATAAGACGAGTTGTTCCGTCACCGCGTCAGCTTGTTGCGGCCACCACCGCCGACACGCAGAGCGGCTCCAAATCTCTTCAATGCAAGGGATCGGGTTTTGCGGCATCGTTCGCGCGGCACAGGCGTGTTCCGCCAGGCTTCGGAAGCCTCTTGGCACTGTCGAACGACCGGTCCCAGCACCCAGGCCTGCCATTTTCATCTTATCCGCGGCCAATCCGCCACGCCGAGCGCGGTTCGTTGCAAAGGAATACGGCTTTCAAAGAACTCGTCGAACGCCGGTAACGACTGCTGCTTGTCCGCGCTCAAAACCGTGGCACCGCTGAAGAGCTTGGCCAGGACAAAGCAGCACAGCCAACCGTGACCGCGGCGACAGCAGCGATGGCGGCTTTAACGCTCGACACGCTCGTCCCCGCAGCGGAGGCGCCCGCGCCACCCACACCGTACGCGGAAGCACCAGCGCCGGCTCCCGGGCCCGCGCCCGCGCCCGCGCCGTCGAGCCCGTCGCTGATGGACGAACCGGCCCCCTGGAGCGACGCCCCCACGTCGCCGATCGAGGCGCCGCCGCCGCCACCGCCCGCGGCTTCTCCTACCTCATCCTACTATTCAGCAGCGTCGCCGACGCGCTCCGTCTTTTCCTCCCAAACGCGCGAAGCTTTTGACGACGAGGACCAGTTCGACGACGGGCGCTCGGACGCCTCCGACGTTGCGTTGTCGTCGGACGACGACATCAGTGACGACCCGGAGGATATTGGGAAAGTTCCGGGAACTTTCAGAGATGTGCAGCTCCACGCGGCGCGCCTGGGTCTGACGCTGGAAAACGTCCTCGAGGCGACGGTCGTCCATGATGTGGATGAGGACGGCGCGGCGAAGCAGGCCGGTCTCGTGGCCGACGTCTTGGTGGTCAGTGTCAATGGCGAGACGACGCGGGGTCTCTTGCACGACGAGGTCATCACGCTGTTGCGGACGCCGGACCGGCCCTTGACCCTGAAAGTGCAGGACTTGGACGCCGTAACTTTGGCGCGACGACGGAAGGAAGCGAGAGGCTTAGCATTAGCAGCGAGGCAGCCGCCCACCTCTACAACGAGTGAGATCACGGACCCCGTCTTAGAAAGTGCGGTACGCGCTTTACGTAGAGCCGGCTGCCTGCCCGGCGCGGCGCCTCCAATCCCCGGCACGCCGTCGAAGCCCGATTCTATGGCGGAGCTCGCGTCACAACTCGCGGCGCTCGACGAGTTGTGTAGCAGGCCGACGACGGGCGGCCGCCGAGCTAGAGCGTCGTTACGCAAACACGAAGCAACACTAGCGCCGGCCCTCTGTAAAGTTATTGAAGGTGGCGCCAACCAAGGGCCGTTCGATCAACCGCGGCGGACGTTCACTTTACCGCTCGAGGACGACGATGAAGAGTTAGCAGCATCATCATCGGCCTACGCGAAGCAGGCGTCCGATGGAGATGGTTTCGCGCCGTGCCGCTGGGCCTCGGCGTCTGCTTTGCCTCTACAAGCAAATACGGCTGCGGCGTCGTCGGCCCTGTCCGCTGCTAGACTATTGTGTAGGATCGCCGCGTTGCAGAGAAAGAGACCCAACGCCGCCTCTGGTACAATCAAGAGGTTAGCGAGATTATCAGCTCTGGCGTGCGGCGACGCGCCTGCGAGCAACTTGATTGCCCAAAGGTGCGCTCGAGCCTGCGCGGCGCTGGCGCCTACTCTTAGGTCGTGCGCTAGACCGCGCTACGACGCCTTTGCGAGAGCATGTGTAAGCAAGGGCGCGCGCGACGCGGCGGACGCGCAAGCCCGAGCTTGTTTTGCGCGATGCGTCGGTGGCTTCTGTGGTGGCGTCATCACGCGACCGGTCGCGAAGTTTTTAGCAAGACAGTGCGGCAAGTTCGCGCGAGATGCCTTGCCTTGCGTGCGTAGAGCTGCTTTGGACGCTTGTTTAACGCTCGCGGCGGGTCTACCCAAGACGCTCGAGGACGACGACGAGTCGCACACGTTCTCGCGCGAGGAGTTCCTCCACTTACTATTGGCTTCGTTGATTCCCATCGCGCTGCAGTTGGCTACCGACGCTTCTGCTGAAGTAAGGGCGGCCTTCGCTCGAAGAGCAGGAGCTTTATGTCATGTTTTCGAGAAGCAAAGACTGGTCGTCGCGGACGAAGCAAGGGCTTTACTTGAAGATGATGATACTAATGTAAGGTCCGCGGCCTGCGAGGCGATTCCCAGGATCGCCGAATTGTCGGACGAAGACGTGTGCGAAAAACTGACATCTGCCTTAACGCCGGCTGCCGCGGCGCTGGCGTCCGACGAGTCGCCCGACTGTCGAGCGTCGCTGGCGAAGACGAGCGGGCTGCTGTTGCAAGCTCTAGGAAATGATCCTGATGCGGCCTTGAAAGCCAGAGAAGGAGAAGACAGCGTTGCTCCTTTGGATCGGGCCCTGTTTCCGCTTTTGCTGATTCTCGTGAACGACGAGGCTCCTTCTGTCGCGTGCACGGCTCTTAGGGGTTTGGCGGACTGCGGCGCGGGTCTGGCTCGCGTCTTGGCGCCTCGACATGTCGACGCCCTCACGAACTCGCTGGCGAACCTGTCGACGTCGCGCCACTGGCGCGTGCGATGTTGTGCTGGTAGGGTCGCTCCAGCATTGGCGCCGGCCTGCGACGACGAGGAGAGACGGAGAGCGCTGGCTGAAGTGGTCGCGAAGGCTTTGGACGATGTCGTCGCCGAGGTGCGCAGCAACGCCTGCGCGTGCGCGTGCGCTTGTGCTGCCGCAGCATCTAGGAGAAACGACGGCTTCTGGGTCGACGCGCCCCTCAAGGAGGTGTCGAGGCTGGGCGCATCAGAAAGTTCGCGGCAGCGGCGCACCGGGTTATTACTTGCTCGAAGCTTAGTAGATGCGTCGTCGTCCTTCGCCCCGGCAGATAGGGAAAAGTGCCGCGAGGACGCCGCGGCGCTCGCCGACGTCCTCGCGACGGACGATTTGCCATTAGTGCGCATGGACGCTGCATTGTTACTGGCCGAGCCGATCCAGGCCGGCGACGGCGTCGTCCAGCGCCTCGCCGGCGACGACGACCCCGACGTGAGCGAGGCGGGGTTCAACGCGCTCAAGGCGCGCGAGGAGCGCGTGCGCGACGACTCGTCGTGTGCGGTCGACTTCGGGTCGCAGTCGACGAACATGGATTTGGTCGAGCCGGCGGACGTGGAGGTGGTGGACGACTCCGCCGCCGCTGCCGCCGCCGCCGCCGTCGACTCGGCGGATAGTTAATATTTTTCGTGGGTATCTGTACTTGGCCATGGAGTACTTCGGGGTCCGGTCATTCCCGGCGCGCGTCGCTATGCGCGGGTTTTATCACATATTTTTTTGCCGAGCACGAGCTCGGCCTTGGGCGATTTAAGGCGCGGTGGCGCGTGACTGGGCGGCGTATTCCACTCAACGCATCCGCGCTGGAAAACCTTAGCGGAGTCGATCGATCTGCATGAGTAATGATGGGTGCCCAGGCCAACAAGTTGAGCAGATCAAGGAGCAAGGATGGCAAAGGAGCGGACTGATTGCGAGTTGGGGGCGCTCCCATTTCACATCGAGCGGATTGCATGGGCGAAAGCAAACGAAAAGATCACGTCGCACCTGTGGTGGCCCCTGGGTCTGCCTCTTAACGCGAAGAAGATGGCCGATGACATCTACAAGGAAATTATTAAGGAAATGAAGGACGACGACAAATTCGATTATGTCGCGGCTGGAATTAAAATCAAGGAAGAAAAGAAGGCCACCACCGAGAAAGACCCCGAGCTGCTTGGTGTGAGTGATTCGCTTCCTTGAGCCCCAATGGACTCTGCCACCCGTCGCCCCGCCCCGCGCGCCCATGAGTAACCATCTGCACTCACTTGCATTTACGAGGCTGTACCCCTCCAGTAAGCCTGATGCCAGGCGCTATCGCCGCGCCAAACAAAACCACACCTAGTAACCTTAGATATTCGCCCCGCCGTCGTCCGTCCAGCCGATCCGCCACTCGCGCGAGTAGCCCGACCCTATACTTTTGGGCGACCGCGCCAGGTCGACCTTGCCGGTAGAATGATAATATGTCTCCTCGCCCAACCCATGATACCCTCTCAAGCGGTGAATATAGCCCGTAAAGGTGCTAAACCAAGTCCCGGCGAAGACGGCGGCCCGGGCACACACGATGCTATCGACCATGCCGAAGTAGTTCGGATTCGTGCCGTGGGTAGCTTCCGTGTAGTTTCTGAGTACCGTAACGTGCCACCCGTTCCTCACAAAGGCGTCCCACGACGCGTCCTTGGGACAGCCCTCGACTCCGAGTTGATCTTTACAAGGTTTCTTGTTCGCCCAGCAGCCCTTGCAGACGCCGTCGGGGTCGTCGGTAGCCAGATACACCAAGGCGCCTCTCGGGATGATACTATTCCCGCGCAGGTTCTCGACGATCTCGCCCGCAGAAATTTTGACAGCCTTGAACTGGAAGTCGCCCCTTCTTATATGTAGGGCGTAGAACGTGCCATCATTGCCTAATCTTCTAGAGTGTGCTCTCACAGCATCCACGACTCGCGCCCCGGCGCACTGGATCTCGTCCCTGTATCTCATGCTGTCTCGTATGAGTCGCCGATAGAAGCTGCGCTGCTGCGGATCTCCAAAAAAACCGAACGCATAAAAGTGGTTCAGCAGGCGATGCTTCCCACCAGCGGGAAAGTGAACGTGCCGCGCGTTTTGGGCTTTCGAATCATATGCGGCCACTTTCCGACCCGCGGCTTGCTTCTTGAGCGCTTCCGCGTCCTTGGCCTTCGTCTCGGCTGTCGGATTTAAGCGGCCCATGGCCACGACTTGCCCGGAGTACTCCGGCTTGACGTCCGCACTTTTTTTGAGATATCTCCAGAGCTTCTGGCCCCAGAAGTCCGTCGCGTTGGGCCTTCGCCAGATCTCCACTTCCGACTGCTGTCTTTTCAGAAACTCCTCCATGGAAATCATGTGCATGCCTTCTTGGGCTTCGAGGCCTGTGTTTGATACCGTCGCGACACTCGCATGCGGCCGCGTCGATGGCGACTCTCTCGCGAGACGCGTAGACTCTCATGCGGCCGCGTCGACGGCGTCGAGGCGGCGTGGCATCGCGTCGACGCCATCGACGCGACCACGCCGTCGAGGCGCCGCGGTCCCGTGAAGGCGCCGTCGACGACTCTGAGCACTGACGGTCCGTGACGAAGAAGTCGTTGAATCCCAACTTGCGCTTCTGCGAGTGCGGGTTCGGCGCCCCGAGCAAGTACAAGTTCTGGGCCGGGGGGGCTACAAGAGTCCGTCCCGTCGCATGGGCAAACACGACGACGCATTCGACGCCCATCCTAACATTATTCCAGCCGCCCGCGTCATACTCGAACGTCAAGTATTTTTGATCGTGATTTGCGTGGTGCGGCGTGATCGGAGATTCATACGTCATGTCCCCCGGGACGTCCTTCCAGTAGATGATCTCGTGCTGGATCGATTTGCCATCACAAATAAGTTTGCCGGGCTTGGCGTTGTGGCGGGTGTGCGTCTTATGGGTCGTCTGGTCCCGGTGTTCTGCTACTCGCAGCTTTTTCTCGTCTTGCTTGATTTGAGTTTTGAGCGTCTCCAGGTTGGAAGCCTCCAACCGTTCGACGCGCTTCAGGAACAGGTCGACATCTCGCCCCAGGTCGCGCCAGGCCGCGGGCCCCGCGTCATCCACAGCCGCGGGGTGGTGCTTCGAGTGCGGGTGCCTTAACCACGACTCGAGGCCGTGGACCTCCTCCCTAATCTCGTGGCGCACGTATTCTATATCGGTCGCGGCGGCCTCGCGGATTTTTTGCTGCGACGTGAGGAACCCTCCAATGGCTAAGAGCGCGACGCAGGGCAGGAGCACCTTCGAGCAATCCATCGTGTCCGCAGCGCTGCGCGGCGCCGCGATGGCGTGCCGGCTGGCCGATTAGTATCGCTGCGCCGCGCACGGGCAGCTCAGGTTATATTTGGCTATTTTTGGTGAATCGGTGGAACAGCACGTTTCGCAGCGGTTGCTCGTTTCGCGTGTTGCAAGGCTTCGTGGGCGCTACTCGATTGTGTGACAATGACTGCTAATGCAGCTACGAGCGTACAGCTCGACTTTTTTGGCTGTCGGCTCGATGTGCTAGAGGCTATACGCTAGCTCTCTCAGCTTCCAGAGTAGTCCTAGCACCGTAACAATAGCTCCGCTCGAACTTCCAGATTGCCTCAACGCCACCGACGCGACACCAGCTCGATGACTACACAACAGACATCTTACTTCTTCAGCTTCGCATGCCCAGGATTCGCCTTGAGGTGCGCGAACAGCTTCGACCGCGAGGGAAACGTCGCGCCGCAGCCCGTGCACGCCATCGCCGGGACGTCGTCGTCCGAGGCCGCGCCCCGCCGGCCCTTCTTGCCCTTCTTCTTCTTCTGCTGGGGCGGCGGCGGCGGCGGCGGCGCCGTCGCCGCCTTGTCCTTGTCCTTGCGCCGGCGCGGCTTCCGCGCCGGCGGCGGCGCCGGCGCCGGCGCCTCGACCTCCGAGTCGCTCGACGTCGCCGACGTGTCGTCCTCGTCCGACGTGTCGGCCGCCGCGGCCGCGAAGGGGTTCACGAACGCGCCGTCTGAGTCCGAGGACGTCGCGTCGTCGTCTTCGGCGGCGTCGGCGGTCCACAGGCTGGCGGCATCGGCCTCCGCCGCCGCCGCCGCGGCCTCGAGGCGGTCCTTCATGGCGGCGATGGCGTCGGGGTCGCCACCATCAAAGACGGCGTCGACGTCCTCCTCGTCATCATCAGACTCGAGCGCCGCGGCGATCGCCGCGTCGTTACTTGTAGCGGAAAAGAATCCCACATCGAACGAGTCGACACGCGGCTTCTGCGGCGGCGGAGGCGGCGGCGCAGAGCTACCAGCCTTCTTTTTATGAGCTTTCGAAAGGCAGTGGTTCGCGTACTGCTTTTCCGATTTGAAGGTCTTCTTGCACGCGGCACATGAGTATATAGTAGTAGTAGCCTTCTCCTTTTTATCGTCCAGATCCGCGAGCGTGACGCCCTGGCGCGCCTCGTAGCCGTCGTCCACGGGGCCCTGCTCGCGCCACTTCCGCCGCGCTTCGAGGTTCTCCTGGCGTTTTTTCAACTTCAGCGCCTCTGCTGCGGCTCTTTTCGCCTCCCGTTCCCTCGCCACGTCCTCCATACGTTTTTTGACGCGCGGGTCCCGCTTCCTTACAAATAATGCTAATTGCCGCACCATGTCTTGATAAGTACTCTTCGCTTGTCTCCTATGTCTGGCATTCTCCTGGTCGACCGCGCGGCGCATCCTTCGGCCCTCGTCCGTCGACGCTCGATACTTGTCGTAAGCCGAGAATGATCTTTGACTTTGAAAGTCGACAAATTTGTCGTAGAAGGCCTTGACGGCCTCCCACTCCGACGAAGCGTCGCCGAAGTCACATCTCATCTCAGGCTCGTCCGCACTTCGTTCTTCCGACTCCTCGACTTGCCGGAAGGCATCTCCATAAACCGCGTAGAAGCCTTGAGGACCCTCAAACCCATCGAAGGCGTTCGAATTGAAGTAGGGCCACAAATTGACCTCCCGCTTTTTGAGTCTCGTCCCTTTTCTCTCTCTGAAGTCGTCGTCGGATGAGGAATCATTCAAGTCCCTACCAGCTAATATATCATCTCGATGGTCGTCGTACCATCGTCGCTCCGTCGCGTCCGTCAGCGTTTCATACGAAGCATTGAGTTCCTTAAACTTTTCCGCGGCCGACGCGTCTCCCACGTTTTTGTCCGGATGCAATTTCAGGGCGAGCTTCCGGTAGGCCTTCTTGAGCTGCGCGTCGTCGGCGTCTTTCTCTACTCCTAGGACCTCGTAGTGGCAGCGCATGGTTTCGCTCCGCGTGCCTCAGTGTGCTCTCACAAGTGTGGGAGAGTGTGCCTCAGCTGCGCGTCACGAGTCGCGGCAGTAGTCGCAGCCGAGCAATGAGTGTCAGGAGGGCTCGGCACCGCCCGTGTGGCCTCAAATATGCGCCGTTTTGTCGCCCAAGCAAGCTGTCGACAAGCTAGGCCTCGGGTTTTTCAGGCAAAAGGAACGCGGCGATTAGCGCGCGCGGAGGGCTCAGCGGACACTCAAGACCGATCGAAAGGCAGTTGGCTCGCTCGCGGCCATGGCGGCCCCGAAATTTCGAGTTTTGAGATGTTTGGGCCTCGCGCGCGCCAATTAATCGAGGGCAGCGCTGCCCCAGCACCACGCCACCATGGGCGAGCCCCAGCCCCTCGACGCCCAGTCGACGAAGCTCGTGCTAATTGCGTTGCTGCGCGCCGTGAGCCGCATGAAGGGCGTGCTGGAGGAACCGGACCGCGCAGTACTAAAAGACATGGTCGTCGACGAACCATTAAGGCCGGAATTGTTGCGGATTGGGATTAGGATGGCGATCCTCGACAACGATCCCCGCTCGGGATCACCGGAGGACGACCAAGTGCACCTCGCGAAACGGCGCGACCTCCTCAAAGAGATGTGGGACCTCTGCAAAGGGGCCCAAGAGTCGTCGGACGGCGAGTACGAGGACGATTATGAGAGCGAAGACGACGACGACATGATGATGCCGGACGAGGACGCGGTGCGCGACGAGCAAGCCGATAGTACCGCGGAGCGGGACGAGGAGGAGGCGCGGCAGGCGCAGGTGCGCGAGATCGCCGCTACCGTCGCGAAGCAGAAGGAGCTGCTCGCGCAGAAGATGCGCCTCGTTGAGGATCAGCTGTCGCGGCTGACGGCGCTGAAATCGGAAGCCGAGGCGCGGATGCGGCAGGCGCAACAGGAGGCGGAGGACGAGGACGACGGCGAGGACGAGGAGACGGACGAGGAGGAGGGGTCCGTCGAGGAGGAGTCCTGGGACGAGGACTCGGACGAGTGGGACGACGACGACTTCCAGGAGTTCGACCTGGACCGCGACGCGGACGAGTAGGGTTTCGCTAAGTAGTCTCTCGTGCACTCGCGTCGGCGGCGTGCCGCTCGTTTTTGTCGTTACGGTGCTGGGACTCGTGGGCGGCGCCCCAGCCCAGGGCTGGGGAGGAGACACCGCGCGTCGCCGGCGCGTGCCGCGTCTTTCATAACAGCATACCTCTTACATACCTCTCGCTTGATGTTACGGTGCTAGAACTAGTGGGCGGAGCCCCTGGGGGGAGTCACCGCGCGTCGCCGATTCATCGGCGGCGGGCGCATACCTCTATTGTGATTCCTAGTGTCTTACGACCGCTAGATAGTGGCGCATGCCGACGCAAGCACTGGCTCGTGTTCTCCGACACGATGTGGCGTCTATTCGTTGCAGTACTCGGTCTAGTACATCTATGTAACGCCCTCTTGCCGCCCGCAACTCAAAAATTCGCATTGAGTACGCCCCTGCGCCGCGCCAGCTCCAAAGGAGATTCATTTGAATTACAAAGCAGCCCAAAAAAAGCCGACGACGACCCGTACGCCTTCGTCGCCGACGCGGACCTCGCGGCGAGCTACGCCGACATACCCAACGTCGAGGGCGCCGCCACGCTCCTCGTCGGCGTCGACCTGCCCGGCGCCGCTTTAGATTTTGACGCCTCCGTCAGCGAACTCGCCGAGCTCGCCAAAGGCGCCGGTCTACACATTGTAGGTCAACCACTACGACGACGACTGCGGCAGCCCGACCCGCAGACGTACACCGATGCGCAAGGCGTAGATAGAATCCGAGAAGCGATTGAAGAATTAGTAGAAGAGGGCGCCGAAGAAGTAGCGGTCGTCTTCGACGACGAGCTCACGCCGGACCAGCAGAAGAACCTCGAGAAACGGCTGCAAGTGGCCTCCAGGGACGAGCTCCAACCGCGGTCGAAAAAAATTGACAAAAAAAAGAAAGCTTTGGAGAAGCAGGCTCGGGTTTTTGAGTTGCGCCAGGAGTCGCCCTATCTATCGCAGGCGGCGGCTCGGGCGAAGATCAACCAGGAGGATAGGAAGCTGCGGAGGAGAGGGGAGTCTCCTGTTGTGGCTGTCCGAGTGTTGGATCGGACCGCTGTCGTGTTAGATATCTTCGCGAAGCGAGCTACTACTAGGTCGGGACGTTTGCAAGTAGCTCTTGCGTTAACACTGTATCAGACGCCGCGGCAGGGCGGTCTGTTCCGCGGCATCGACGACGAGCGCGAAACGGGCGGTTCCCTGGGCACGAACAAACAGGAGCGACGTAGAACGATGGACGTGGACCAGAAGACGATGCGCGACCGAGCGGCTCGCTTGAACAGAAAAATACGGGCGCTCGAGACGCATCGCGATTTACAGAGGAGGCGACGAGCGAGGCAGGGCGCGCCGACGGTGGCGCTAGTTGGCTACACGAACGCGGGCAAGTCGTCACTCCTAGCGGCACTCGTAAATGAAGAAGTCGAATCCTTGGACGCGGACGACGAGGACAATCGCTTTAGTGTGGACGACAAGGTCTTCGCGACGCTAGATCCGTTGACTCGTAGAGTCCAAGTCGCGGACCAGACGGCCCTCGTCACGGACACGGTCGGGTTTGTGTCCAAGCTCCCGGCGCAAGTCGTCGCCGCGTTCCGAGCCACGTTAGAAGAGGTCAGCAATGCGGCCGTCATCGTGCACGTCGTCGACGCGTCGGCGCCTCGCCATATCATCCGCGCGAGGTGCCAGGTCGTCGACGAAGAGCTGGACGCGCTCGGATGTCGAGGGACCCCGAAGCTCGTCTTCTACAACAAGTTGGACGCCATGCATGATTCCTCTTCCTTAAGAGAGAAGGCGGCCGTCTCGAAGAACGTGGCCGTCGGGTCTGCTGCGGCTGGAGATTTAGGTTATTTGAGAGAGCAGCTTGCGGGCATTCTCGCGGACGCGTTGCTGGACGTGCGCGTGACCCTACCTTATGATGATGCGTCGTATGGCGGCGTGCGGGACGAAATTCTAAATCGCGGTCGGGTGTTTTCCGAGGCTCATGGCGACGCGGCCACCGACTTGGTCGCGGCGGTGCCCTGGGACCTCGCCGGTAGATTGCGGCCGTACAAGAGTAAGTGAGTGTATATGTTATTCCTACTATTCACGACGCCTTGCTCGCGCGCGTATGCGGGCGTGAGGAGAGTTCCAGTCTTCCAGTGCGATTTGCACAATCTTGGCGCCACACCGCTGCCCAGAGCGCCGCACCATTGGAAGGCGCCCGGTACATGTCCTGCGCCATCCGCGCACAAGTCGTACACACGCTGCGCCGAGCCAAAACGCTGCGTGCGCCGCGCTACAGGGGGCAGCGCCAGTTCTGGAGCGACATGCCGGCGGGAGCATCGAGCATATTATGGTTCGAGGAGCTCTTCGGCTTCCGGGAGGGCAGCTCCTACCGCGAGAATCGGGCAAAGTTTCGCATGGAGGGCGAGGTCCTGTGCGTCGACGGCGCGCCGAAGTTTAAACGACATTTCGTGGGCCGCTGGTCCACGCCCTCGTTAGCGGAGCTGCGCACGGAGCTCGGCGATGGCGAAACTGGGGGCTTGCGCTTTAAGCATCTGCCCACGCCGACCGGCGTCGAGCCATTGATCCTCGACGAGCGGAACGCCGGCGCCGTCTTCCAGGCCGCCTCGCAATTCAATGCGCTGGAGATGGTCGGCCCGGGCGTCAGTCCACGGGAGGGCATCGCCTTCTACTGCAACGATCCGACGCAAGGCCCCAAGTGCGCCCTGGCGTGCCCGGGGGGCACGGTCTTCCGGAACCACCTCGTCAATGAAACGGGGCAGGGCGACACGCAGATCGATTTGCTGGCGGACGTCGGCCGCGTGCTGGGGAATACGGACGAGTGCTACTGGACGATGCAGAACGGCTACGCGATGCCGTCGTCGTCGTCTTCCATCAAGGACCTCGCGCTCACACTAAATGCGTCGCCGCAACTTATTGAAGAGGCGGAGGCCGCGCTGCGGGTCGGCGTCCACTGGAACACGCAGGCGCGGCCGCCGCACACGCACCGCGTCTGCCAGGTCTACGCGTCGGCGCTGCCCGTGGCCTACGGGCGCGCGGCGCGGTCGGCCGAGTGGGAGCCCTTCGCGCGACTGGTGTTGCGAGCGGCGTACGAAGCGACGCTTGCTGTTGGTGCGTTGAAGGCCCGCGACGCGGGGCGCCGCCAGGCCGTCTATCTAACAAGTCTCGGCGGCGGCGCCTTCGGGAACCGGGACGCCTGGATTACGGAGGCGGTTCGGGAAGCCCTCGATAAATTCAAAGATGCGCCGCTCGACGTGTACAAGGTGCACTACGGGACGCGTGTACAAGGCGCGTGGAGGGACGTCGGGAGCGAGTATCCCGAGCCGACCACCGAGAAATGCTGCGGAAGCGAGCAACTGTGCCGGTCAAGTTAGAATCTTTCATTCCAGGACTTTTCGCTCTGTCTTCTTCCTAATTTCTATCGTATCACCTAGGTCAATGGCCGCCGGCCCCGGGCTAGTAGGCGGGCCACTAGGCTTCAGCCGGTTTGCCGAGCGCACATCGCACTTTGGGCGTCCCAAACTCGGCACAAACACGCGACCCGTCGACGGGACGGCGGTGAACGACACCATACGTCGCGCTGCCGCCGCGTGCACCGCCGAAAACGCTGCCCGAGGCAGCACCACATAACCACAGCATCTGTCGACGCGCCGCGCGCCCGCGGGGCAGCCGTTCGGGACCGGACGCCGCCGCCGCGACACTGCAAGGATGCCGCTCGTCCCAGGCCAGCAGGTCGAGGCCCTCTGGCCGGAAGACGGCGAGTGGTACAACGCTGTTGTAAGAGCAGTAACAAATAAGGGCATCGAGCTCGATTACGAAGATGGAGATTTCCGAGCCGATGCAACAGAAGCGGAGATAAGAGTGAAAGAGCCGGCTGAGGAAGAGAGCAGCATGGCCGACCTGCTGGACGGCATCCTCGACGCGCCGGACCCGGAACCGGAGCCGGGGATTGAAGTGTCCAACGAGATGGCGCACCTCGATGCTGAATTAGATGATGGTCTAGGCGACCTCCTGGACGGCATCATCGACGACGAGGAGGAGGAGCCGGCCGCCGTGCCGGAGGAGCCGGCCGCCGCGCCGGAGGAGCCGGCTGCCGCGCCGGAGCCGGTGGTCGCGGCCCCCGGCGAGGTCGCGGCGGCCATCGCCGACGCGTACCGCGAGGACTTCCACCTCGAGAAGGACGTCGAAGCCGAAGATGTGGTAGACGCCTTCTCTACCAACGACAAGGCCGCTTCAGTCTTACAGGCGGCGGTGCGGGGCCGCTCGGCGCGGAAAGGGAAGCCTTTGTTGGCGGTCGGTGATGTTGTAGAGGCGCGCTTCGGCGGCGACGACGAGTGGTTCCCCGGCAAGGTTGATGGTGTGAACGAGGACGGTTCTTATGCTATCGCCTACGACGACGGCGACCGCGAGGAGAATGTACAACCGGCGCTCGTCCGGGCCGTCGCTCCCGACGCTCCTGACGAACCTGGAGTGGACGGCGGCGCGACGGCCTCCCCGCCTTCGGAACCGGCCGAACCAGAGCCGGAGCCGGAGCCAGCAACGGAAGAGGACGCCACCGACGGCGTCTTCAACCTGACGGCGATACACGAGCGCAAGGAGCTGCCCGCGCCGCGGCGCCTGGACATGAACGCGAATGAAGGAGCGGGCGAGAAGCCGCTCCGGAAGCAACAAGCTGAAAAACGGAAACCGCGGCCGCGGCCGTTCTCGGCGGGCGCGGTCCGCGAGAACAAGTCGCCCACCAAAAAAGGGAAGCGGAAGAAGCGGCGGCCGCGGTCAGCGGCCGCGATGCGGAACCGCGCCTCGGACGCAAGTTATATAGAGGGCATCGTCGCGTCGACGCCGTCGCAGCTGGGGTATGGGTCGAGATTGTGGGATGGTGTCAGAAGGTGGATCGACGAACGCGAGGCGGAGCAAGCCGCGAGGAGGATAGCCGAGGACGCGGCGCCGCCGCCGCCGTCGCCCCCGAAGCGTCGGCGGCGGCCGCGGACCGCCGGCGCGCGGCCGCGGACGTCGAACGCTGATGCCGTACGGCACGCCACAGACGCGATCTACAAGTCGCCTCCACGAATCCTCGAGGCGCGACCGCCGCCGCCACTGATCGCGGGCGCGCCGGCGCCCGCGCCCGCGAAGCGGCGGTCGCCGGAACGGCGGCCGGCGCCCATGCCGCCAGGCCACCTCATGAACGGCGTCATGCTGAAGCTGCGGAAGCCCCCGCGGCGGCGGGCGCGCGACATCGAGGCGCTCGAGCGGGGGTTCACGCTAAGGATCTAATTTGCTCTCATGTCGGCCTTCTTCTGTGGTCCTTCTTAGAGTCCTTTTTGACAAGTTCTGTGGTCAACGCGTCTGCCGCGGCCCGAGGTCCAGAATCAGCCCCCGTCGTGGACGTTCCGGTTGCACCGCCGGATGAAGACGCCTCTTATGCTCCTTCCGCTTGATTGTCGCGCGTTTCTCTGATGTTGACGTCCACTAGCTTCGCACTAGCCTCTGATGCCACGGAGTCCCGCGCTCTCACTAAGAACGAATCAAAACCACAACATAATTTCGTTTACGCTGCAAAAACAAGTTGTGCCCGACGCACGAACCCTGTGGAGAAAGTTCGACCAGCTTACGACAACTTCAAAGCCCACCAAACTCACTGTGCAGCACCTGCAGCAGAGAGCCCGCCAAGTCGTGCAGCCGTAACAGCGTCACCTGCGTTCCCGCACGCCGTCGCCGTGCCGCACACCACGAATTCGAGCGCTCGTCGCGTGACGTGTCCATAATGCGTCGCGCACTCGCCGCGCTGCTCGTGCCGTCCGCCGTGGGACTCGTCGCGCCGCTCTGGGCGACGCACACGGCTATTGGTTTTACGGCGGGCGCGTCCGGCGCCGCCGCTGTCTACCCCGTCGACTTCGTGAAGACGCAGCGCCAGACTGCCGAAGGGAAGAAGGCGTTCGCCGGGCTGAGCCTTCCAGCAACTTTGGTGCACTACATTCAGCGGGACGGCCCGCTGAGCGTCTTTCGAGGCTTGGGCGTCCAGGTCGCGGGAGTGGCACCGGAAAAGGCCATCAAGCTGACGGTGAACGACGCCGCGCGCTCTGCATTAAGGGCGTCGTTTGGCTCATTATCTTTCGCGGGCGAGCTTGCCGCGGGCGTTTGTGCTGGTGCTTGTCAAGTAATCGTGACCAACCCGCTGGAATGCGTGAAAGTTCGGTTGCAAACCACGAACGCGGGCAATTGCTTTGAAGTAATACGCGCGCTCGGCGTTTCCGGTTTATCGACGGGCGCTTTAGCATGTGCCATGCGCGACGCGTCGTTCTCCGCGATCCTGTTCCCGACCTACGCGCACGCCAAGGTATTCTTGCCGGAAGTGCTCCATCTGCAGGGCGCGCCATCGTTGTTTCTTGCCGGCTTGTTGAGCGCCGCGCCGGCGGCGTTCTTGACCACCCCTCTTGACGTCATCAAGACGCGGCAGCTCGAGCGCGCCTTCGCCGACGGCGGCTTACCGTCCGTCGGCGACGTCGCGCACAGTGTGTATAATGAGGAAGGGCCCGACGTGCTCTTCTCGGGCGGCTTCGAGCGCGTTTTGAGAAGCGCGCCGCAGTTCGGCGTGACGCTGGCGCTCTACGACGTCCTCACGCAGTACTGCACGGACCACGGCTGGTTAGGGTAAATAGACTTAAACAGTACCAGCCAGGTACTCCCTCAGCTCGTGGCCCGTGAGCTGGAGCGCGACGCCGTTCGCCGCGATCAAAGCGGCCAACAACGCGAAGGTGCCGCCCACGGCCCCGATGATGCCCGAGTCCGAGTCGACGGACGTCAGCTCAATGGTAAAATCCACGGACGCGCCCGGCGGGATGACGCCGTCGGGCGAGCCCTCGTCGCCGTACGCGAGCTCCGCCGGCAGCGTCAGCTTCCGCTTCCCCCCGACGCGCATCGTCTGGACCGTCTCGTCCCAGCCCTTGATGACCTTCCCCTTGCCCACCGCGAACTGGGCCCAGGGGCGGTCGCCCGCGCCCTGGACGCCCGTGCTCATGACCTTCGCCTCGCCGCCGCCCGTCGCGTCGATGACCTTGCCATTTAATCTAGTTTCGTAGATGACGGACACGTAATCGCCGGCGTTGGCCGTCTTGCCCTCGCCGACCTCGATGTCCTCGTAGACGATGCCCGAGGGGGTGGTCGCATGCAATTGGAGCTGCTGCCTTGTGGTCGGCGGCACGAATGCGGTTGTGGTTGCCAGCGCGAGGCAGAGGAGGCCACGCATGCTTGTCGAGCACTGCTGGTGCGTATCGCACTCTGCACAGCTCGTGCAAGAGCAGCCAAGCCAGGATCGGGGCGCTAGGTATGGACACTAGCAGGACTGAATCAATTACTATCGCGAAGTCTCTCCGTCGTCGTCACGTCGTCGCGACCAGCTCACGCCAGCGCGACACCGCTCAGCCGCTGGGCCACGAGGATCATGTTGCCCTTGGCGCCCTCGCAGTGCTGAGCCGTCGCGAGCTCGACCGTGACGTCGTACCGCTCGCCGCTCGGCTCCTTGGCGGTGTCGGTCTTGTCCTCGAAGCCTTCGCCTTCGTATTCCTCGTCGGAGTACACCTCGCGGTAGCCCCCGTTCTCTTCCGTACACCAGAAATTCTCTCCGTAGCCGTTCCCCTTCTCGAGAATTTGCTTCGCCTTGGCTATCACCTCGGCCCACGTCGCGTACACGCCCACGATCGTCGACGTCTCGATGCTGCTCCAGCCCGTCAGGATCGAGAGCGCGAAGACGCCGCCCGCCGCCGACTTGGCCCGCTTCGGCGGCGGCGGCGCCTCGTCGTCGGACCCAGGAGCTTCGTCCGACTCGTCCGAGTCGTCAGACGGAAAATGGCGCCGGACGTTGACCCGCTTAAACGACAGCGTCGTGCCGTCGACGATGACCGCGACGCGGCCCCTGTCTGCGAGTTCCTTCGCCGTTACCGCTATGATTCCTTTCTTCCCGTTGTAATCCGCGTTGCTAAGGCCCTGCAGTTTCACCGCGGTGCCGACCGGTAGGCTAGCCATTTTAAAGTTACTATAAACCCAGTGCCGCTCCCGTCCGAGTTTCGCGCAGGCGCGGTTGACTTGGGGTCAGAGAGACCGCGCTCGCGGCGTGTTGTGTCCGAGAATAGCGGCGTGGCGTAAACCGCGGCCGAACTTAAATTGAAAAACCCGTGACTTACTAGAAATAGAGAGCTTCTGGAATCCACTCAATCAGTCGTCCAGCACCGGTACAGAAAACCCAGGGACCTATTACACACGCTACCGGTCCACGACCTGCACGAGCGCCGCCGTGAGGTACGCCCCCTCGGGAAACGCCGGGTGCAGGACGTGGTCCGCCGCCGCGCCGGCCGTCCGCAGGACCGTCAGGCGCTTGCCCGCGTCTTTGGAGGCCTCCCTCAACATGGCGAGAAACGCGCCCTCGGAGGTCGTCATGGCAGAAGAACAAGAACACGTCAGCAAAAGGCCGCCGGGCTTGACCGCGTTTAGTGCCAGAGCGTTGATCTTCTGGTACTTCCGTTTTGCGCGAGGTAAATCTCGTACCGACGGCGCGAGCTTCGGGGGGTCGCAGACCACCACATCGTATTCATCAGTGTTGGCATTCAGAAACGCAGACACGTCGCTCGAAACAAAGCTACAGATTCCATCAAGCGCGTTCCTCTCGGCATTGCGTTGGGCGAGCTCGACGGCTCTCCGACTCGAGTCGACGCCGAGGCATTGTGATGCGCCATGTTTCGCCGCGGACAAAGCGAAGCCCCCGGAGTAGCAGTACAAATCCAAGACGCGCTTCCCGGCACAGAGCGGCGCGAGGAAATTTCGATTATCTCTCTGGTCGCAGTAAAAGCCCGTCTTCTGGCCCCACACATCCACCTCGTAGACGAGACTTGATTCTGTAGCCTCGACGGCGTCATTGTCAGCGTCGTCGTCCGCTTCTATCTCTAGGCCCTCGCTCCTTAACCGAGCGACGGCGGGGCGCCAGATGATTTGCGGCTTTTCACCGATTAATGTGGAGTAGCTTTCCTCCAGCGCCGCCGTGATCTCAACACGTCGCGCCTCGGCCCAGGCGGCACTTATACTACAGACTAAATGAGCGCCGTACGCGTCGACCGTCAGGCCACTCAACCCGTCGCCCTCGGAATTAATGAGGCGGAAGGCGGACGTGGCTTCACTGGGTAGGTTCAGTGCGCTCCGCCGTTCACAAGCGGTCTCGATCAATGATCGGACAGCTTGCATTGGATCGTCCTGCATCGGACCGGGCAGCAGTCTTACTCTATACATCGAGTCCGGGTTGTAGAAGCCCCAGCCGATGTTGTTCCCGGCGCCATCCACGACCTCGACGGCGTCTCCCCTACTCACGTCCCCGCTCGTCCGCTCGACCGCGCCACCGTAGACGAGAGGGTTGCCGTCCCTGAATAATCGCGCCTTGCCGCGCTTGATTGTCACGCTCTTCGATGCGGCCATGCGCGTAACGGTGCGCCGCAGCGACGGCGTGCAGCGCTGCAGCGCCGCGGCCTGCCGCAGCAGCAGCATGGCGAGCAGCATCCGCAGGCCAGCTTCCTCGGCAGCACGCACGCACTGATGCGTGGAGACTGTTTGCCTTTGTAACGTGCCACGCAGCGCCGATTTTTGCACCGCTGCGGGCGATGTAGCTCGGTGCCTTTGTTTCTAGTGTCTTACTGGCGCTAGCGGTGCACGCAGCTGTGTGCACGCGTCGCTAGTCCTAGACCGCAACGAGGAGAAGTTAAAATGCAAACCTTCTATAGACGCATGGCGGGAGGCTACAACCGGAACGGCTCGCCCGAGAGCTCTGCGAGTACGCGGCCCGGCGCCCAGCCGTCGCAGGGCCAGCGGCCCGTCTCGTCGTACACCACCGGCGCCGCGCCGCCCGGCAGGAGCGCCTCGGGCGCGCAGCGCACGCGCACGGAGCCGTCCGCGAGCGCGCGCGCTTCCCTTACGACCACCTCCGCGCCGAAGGGGAACTCGGCCAACCTATCGGCGATCGTCTCCGGCGAGGCCCGCAGCACCAGCCCGCGGCCGACGACGCGGCAGCGCCGCGGGAATGGTAGTTCCCGCGGCGGCAGCGGCGGGGGTGTTTGCTCTTGAGGCGACGCCTGCTGCTCGATTTCCTGCTCCGAGAACGTGTAGGCGCTGCCATCCTTCACCGCGGCGCCAACCGGAGACTTCAAATCTACTAATCGACGGTCGGCGTCGGACGACAATCGGAGACGGTTGGGCTTGATGGGCGGCTCGCCGGGGTGGGCTTCATTATAACTTTTGGCGAAGTGCTCGGCGACGCGCGCCACGGGCTCGGCGTCCATGGACGCCGGCAGCGAGAGCTTGACCGTGTGCGACGCCTTCGGGCTGTCCAATGAAATGGTCACGCTGCGCGAGCCGACGCTCCGCGGCGACCGCGGCGAGCGGGGCGGGGAGACGGAGAGCTCGGACATGCTGGTTGGCTGTGTCGGCGCGGCAAGTCCCGTCTCTGGGAGACTGTTTCACGGAGGAGCTTTTTGAGGTCGCGCAGCCCCAATCTTCTGGGAGGTCGGGAGCTGGGGCCTTTGTGGAGCCGCTGGAGGCTGTGCGGTCCCAGGGATGGGGTCAAAGGAGCGCAATCGGGCTGCACCTCGGGTGGATGCGGGAGAGCCGGCCGGCCGCTGTCTAGTGTGTGGCGAGGCAGAACACGAGCTGGCAAGATGACAAGATACCTCTCGAGGCCGCCGCGAGGGCTAAGAGCCCGTCTGATACGACTCCCGAGGCCTCGAAAGGAGGGCCAAAAAAAAAAACAGGACCCGCGGGCCGCAGGTCCGGCTCCACTGACGGCTACGGTTATCGACGCGACAGGTACCACAGAAAGTTAAACCAGGAACATTACACAAACACTCACTTCCCCGTAACAGCGAAGAACGACCGCAGGTCCCGCGTCCCCGCCGCCGCCGCCGCGTTCTTCCGCGCGACGAGGCGCTGGCGCAGGGCATTCGTCTCCTTCTGGTGGCACGGCGTGCACAATGTCCGAAAGTTGTCCAGACTACAGCAGCCGCCGCCCTCCGCGACGGGTATGATGTGGTCGGCCTGCCAGTAGTCGCATTCCAGACAAGTATCTAACCGGCGGTCCTTCTTGCCGCGAGGGGCAAAGCCCGGCGTCGCCATGAGCACCTGGAAGCGCTCCGGCGGCGTTAATGCTTTGACGCGTCTGTACAAAGCGTGCGCGTCCAAACCACAAGCCGTGCAGACGCCGTGTTCTAAAGCAAATAACTGCGACCGTGACGCCTGGGAGTTGTTCGGCTTTCGTAATTTATGCTCGGACGCGCACGCCCAATCACAAAAAGAACCGTCCGGCGCGTCCGATGGCAGCGGCTTCTCGCACCAGGGGCACGCTCTCTTATCGTCGTCCTCATCACCGTCGGCGCGGGCCCGCTTCCGCGGCCGCGCGACGCCGCGGTCGAAGCACTTGTCCGAAGACGAGGCGCGCCTTTTCCTAAGTTCGACGTCGAGCGCCTCCTCCAGCAATTCGTCTCCTGATAAAGTCTGGCGGTCCACGGCTCTCAAAGAGCGCCACGCCGCCACGAACTTCTTGACCGCCCTCGCATCATCATCATCGTCCAACCCGAGGTCGTCGGCCGATAAAGGTAATAGCCGGCCCTCGCCATCAACTAGAACCGCGGGATCAAAGGCGTCCATGAGCCGCGCGAAAGGAGCGCCCTCACGCGAAGAAAAGGCCGACACGCGGCCCGTGTTGGCCGACACGCTGAACGCGTAGCGCGTCGTCAACGGTGATGAGGATGTTGACGAGGCGGAGGACCGCCGTGGCACCGCCGCCGTCGAGGACGAGCTCGCCCGCACCCGCGGCGTCGCGCAGATCTCGCACGTCGTGCGCTTCGAGTCATTGGCGAACGTGCAGGCCGAGCAGGGCCAGCGCTGATCCTCCTTCTCGTCGTCCGACGAGAGGCAGAGGTCGAGCGGGTCGGCAGCGGAGCCCGAGCCCTCGGAGGAGCGCCGCTTCTTCGGGGGCGCGGGCGCCGGCGCCGCGAGGAGCGTGCGCGGGTCGTAGCGCTTCGGTTTTGGCGCCGCCGCGGCGCGCTCGGCCGCCTCGGTCGCGCGGATCAGCGCAGCATCATCTAATTCTGGTGGAGGGGCCTTCTTCTTTTTCGGAGCGAAGAACGACCGAATATCCGCCTTGGCGACTTGTTGCGCCCGGGCCCCTTCCTGATCAAAGAACGACACGAGCGCGTCCTGTTCCGAACGCGGCGCCGTCGCCGCCGTCGCGCCTAGCGACGCCTTCTCCATCCCATCGATGGTCTTGCCGACGACTTTAACCTTGTTGCCGATGGCCCGCCAGAGCGCCATGTCCACCGACTGACTTTCGTCTTTCAATACTAAGTAATGCACGTTCACCGAGGCGTGCTGGCCGATGCGATGCGCTCGGTCCTCGGCCTGCACTAGTACACCAGGCGTCCAGTGGAGCTCCGCGAATAATACGGCCGAGGCCGCCGTTAATGTTAAACCAGTCCCGGCGGCCGTCACGCTGAGCAAAGCTAATCTAGTTCCAGGATTGTTCTGGAAGGCCTCCACCAATCGTTGGCGTTCCCGCGGCGGCGTCGTCCCATCGATGCGCATCATGGCCTTGGCGCCCTTCAGACCTCGCACCAAGTTTTGTTCGAGCGCGTCCATCACGGCCTTGTGGTGGGCAAAGACCAGTATTTTCGTTCCCTGGTTTTGTAGCAAATCTAGAGCGTAGGCGGCCACCGCTGAGGCTTTCGCGAGGCCCGACTTCTGCCACGCGTCGCCCAATGCCACTTGCTTCTCACCTCGCTTTTCCCACGCGTCCTCGTTCGAGGCATTTGCGATGGCTCGAGAGGCGTCTCCGAGTGACGAACAGGCCTTCTTCGATTCGTCGAGAGCTTTCTTATCAACGGCCTCGACGGCGACGAGCTGGCGGCGCTTGCGCCTGCGTTTCGTTTTTGTGTTGTGTCGCGTCGATGGCCTTTTCTCTCGCGGTGGCGGCGTGTCGACGGCGTCCAGCCATCGCTGCGGGCCGACCCAGACGCCATCGACGCGACGTGCGCCCTGCTTCACGCCATCGACGCGCCACTACACCGTCGAGGCGCTTGGCCAGGCCACGCGCGTCTCGACCGCGTCGACTGAGTCTCTCGCCTTGACGCCATCGACGCGCCCCACACTCCCTGGTTGGTTTCCACACTGACACAAGCGGTAACTGCGACAACACGTCGCGCTTCAGGCGCCGCACCATGACCTTGGCCAGTTTTGAGTGCAATTCTTGCGCGTTGCTACAACCAGTCACGTCCCAGCCGAAGCGGCCCCGTCTCGCATTACAGTAGCGCTTCGTATACGCGGAGTAGGTGCCGAACTCCTTCTCATCCAAGGCGTGGACCTGGGCGTAGAGCTCTACTGGTCTTGCGAGTGCCGGCGTGCCCGACAGCAGTAGCAACCGAGAAGCATTTTTCATGATCGGCAGTAATAGTTTCGTGCGCTGCGAGTCCCGCGTCCGCAACGAATGGGACTCGTCCACCACCACAACTCTGAATTTTCGTTGTCTCACAGCACTTGCAACTTGCGAGCTCTCCGTGAACAATGAATAGGTCACGATCACGAAGCGGACGCCTTTTCGCGCGACGGCCTCGCGATCCGCTCGACCCTTCGCGATGGAGACTTCGGAGGGCGCTAGTGTCGGGAGCCATTTTTCAATTTCGTGCGCCCACGTGTAGCGTAACGACGCGGGACACACGATTAATACGGGCGCCTCGTCCGCGTATTCTAAACATAATCGGATGGCCTGGGCCGACTTGCCGCAGCCCATCTCGTCCGCTATCAGGACCCGTCCTTTGACTTGCCGGCCGAACGCGACGCCTTCCTTCTGGAAGGGGAGGAGCTTCGCGTCCATGGCTGCTGCGGCTTTTTTTGCGTCGAAGGGCGCGCGCGGGGCGAGGGTTGTTGCCATCCTTGTGCCGCGCGTCTGCCGTCTGAGTTTAAATCAGGAATGCGCTCTCCGGCTGTGTTATGGCGTTGCGGCGTCGCAGCGGTTGCAGTTGCGCTGGGACGGCTGCCTGATCTTTAGCGCTCGCAGGAATCGATCCCTAGAAGCCCCGTTGCGCGCAGCGTCCTCAGATGGAGCGGTGCCGCGCGCTTGCGGCGGATGCCTAGTGTCTTACACGCCGCTAGCAATGCGGAGCCCTCGGAGCCGCTCCCGGGGTGCGTAGGGCATGGTCGTGGACGGGTTTCCGCGGCTACGAAGTGAAGATACGCATAGAAGCCTAAAACTTAGTCCGCGCACGGCCCCGGCGGAGACTCGTCCTCGCCCGCCTCGCTCTCGTAGGCGCCCTCCAGGCTGAGCAGCGTGCCCATCAGTTCGACGACCGTGTCGATGTCGCCCGCCTGCGCGGAAATCGATAATTGCTTCGCGTGCGACGACGCGAGGTCGCGACGGCGCGACGAAGCACTAAACAACGATGAATCTCGTCCGCACCGGTTCGGGCCTTCTGCGCTTCGTCCATCTCCTTCTTGAGCTGTGCTATTTTGGCGCCGGGACTATTCATGTCCTCGAGCGATACTCCAATGTCGCCGTCGGCGCTCGACGGCCGCGCGACGCGGTTTCGTCGGTGAGGTTGTGTGCTGGGCTGCAGGGCGGTTGCGCCGCACGCGAGCAGTGCGATGAGTGTTCGTCGCATGCTTGTGCACGGCTGAGGTTGCAGCTCTCTGGTGTGGCGCTGGTGCTGGTCGCTCGCAGGCTGCAATGCGTGGCGGTCTCGCTTTGATGCTTCGATGAGCTGTTAAACGGGTGACTTTAGCAAGCTTGCCACGCAACACGTCGCACGCAAAGGCAAGACCAAGCGTTTTCTAGTGTCTTACATGCCGCTAGCTGTGATTTTTTGGAATTCATTGATAAACACAGTGTAGTGCGCACAAATTTGCATTCTGAGTATATCTACGCTGGCCGTATTTGTGAATTTTTCGAACGCGTGCAAGAAACCGCGCTGCGCACGACATCTGCAGTCGCGACCATGCAGCACATCACGGACCTGCGCGACTCCTCCGACGACGAGCAGTCATTTATTGATATGACCGGCGATTCGGACGGCGAGCGACGCCCGGAGCCACGCGTCAGCGGCGGCGGCATCGATCTGACTGGCGCCACGGTTCGCGGCGTCGCGGCAACGCCTTCGAGCGCTGCCATGGCGTGGGTGGCACCCCTGGCGCCCGCGCCGCGCATCACTGAGTCGCCAGTGGCACCGCGCCCGGCGGACGACGACGACGAGGACTTCCTGGCGTTCTTCAGCAGCCGCCGCGGGCCGGCGCCATCGCCGCCGCCACCGCCGCCGCCACCACCGTCGCCGCCGCCCGCCGAGTCGACGCTACTCCGGCCGACCTTGACGCGAGAGGAGAGCGTGCTCGACAAGAAGGGCCCCGGAGGCCAAAAGCGCGAGCTGCTCGTTCATTACTACGCGGCTGACGAGCGAATTCTGGACGAGGCCGGGTGCCGGCAGCTCTTCGGCTGGCTGACGCGGCCCAAGTCCGAGGGCGGCGAGGGGCTCGGCGTGAAGTGGGGGACGACCAAGCAGTGGTGCGCGGGTCGATGCCTGGGCAGGTCGTATAGGCTACGGTATAGCGTGGACGAGCGGCGAGGTGAGTGGGACGTACGGCCGGGGGACGAGCGCGGCACGGCCACGAACCAGCAGATCTGGCTGATAGGCGAGCGCATCGTGCGGCTCCTCGGGCTCCCCAAGCCCTTTGACTACGCCGTCGTGCAGATTTATAAGGTTGACGATGAGCTCGACCGGATCCTCCGCGACGACTACGAGGCGAAGGTGGCCGCGGCCACGCGAGAAGGCCGGGCGCCCCCGGAGCGCGGCAGGTCCTATCGGAAGGGCATCGGCGCGCACACCGACGAGGAGCAGGACCCGTCGTCGCCGATCGTCTGCCTCTCGCTCTACGCCAACCCGCAGCACTCCCGGCCGCTCACCATGAAGCCGAGCAAGCACTACCGGGGCGCGGGCGGCCCGGTCGAGATCGAGGACATCGAGCTCGCCGACGGCTCGCTCTACGCGCTCATGCCGCCGACGAACGAGTGGTGGCGGCACAAGCTCAAGCCGCGCACCTGCACGCGCGTTTCGATCACGTTCCGCCGCGATCGGCCGCCGATCGATGGCGGCGACGAGCAGTGCCGGCTCGTCCAGGGCAGCACGGTGGGCTCGGTGTACCGGGTCACCCCGACGTCGTGCAACTGCATGTCCTTCGTGCGCAAGTCCGGTACCATTAACGGCACCTGCAAGCACATGCGCCAGGAATTCCCGGGCTGCCACGAGCGCCCGAAGAAGAAGGCGAGGAAATAGATAGTAAGTGAATCACTGTGTATTATGAATCGCCTCCGCCTCAAAAACGACCCCGAGCGCGCGCGCCCCACTAAAAGCAGGCGCCGCGCGCAGGACCACGCGCTGGAGCTTCTCGCCCGTCAGTGCGTTCAAATCGAGCGCCGCCGTCGCGAGCGGCGCTCCGTCTCTCCCAAAAACGGCGATCTTCAGGGGCGCCGCGGCCCGCGCGATGCGGATCACCGGCGCTCTGCACGGTCCGCCGTCGCCGCCGAGGACCGGCACACACAAATCGCGGGCCGCGCCGCGGTAGCGGAGCGTGCAAGTTAGTGAAGGGTCTGCAGGCTCGTTATCTCCAAACGCGACGCCCAGGCGCAGGTCGAAAAAAGCGTCCTCGTCATCCCTCCTCTCAGACGTGAGGTCGACGAAGCCAGAAGACGTGTTAGAGATGACGCCCGTCGTGAAGAAGCGGCAGTCGCGCTCGGCGCCGCGCAAGGTGCAAAAAGCAGGGGCGTCCGGCATCGCCGGCGGCTCGGCCGGCGCGTCGTCGCCCAGCAAGCGCAATCGCGCCGCCTCGGCGTCCCTTTCTTCATCCCGCACGACGATGATCTCGCGGCGCCGTGGTAACGGCGGCGGAGCCTCAGGCGCCTGTTCCGGCGCCGAGGAGGACGCCTCGGACGAGTCCGGTTTGGAAGTAGGCCGGCGCGCCGAGTTTACCAGAGCCGACGTGACGGAGCGCGACGCCGCCGACGCCTTGGGCCGGCGCCCTGTTGATGCGATGGCGTCCTCTAGAGTTATCAGAGTGATCTGGCCGCGCGCGTTGGAGGCCTTCGCGATGACCGCGGGGTCCGCCGCGCTCCCGCAGAGGTCCCGCCACCTCCTTTGCACTCGATCCGCCGGTAAACAGCCGTGGCCGTCGACGTCCGCGTCGTAGAAGGCCTTCCGCAGGTCCGCGACCGACGGCAGCGGCTCCGTCGTACTTTTGACACACTCGACGTCGCGCGGCTGCTCCCGTCGTCTGGCCGCTCTTTCAGCCGTCTTGATGACGTCTTTAATAAGACAGCGGTCGCGCGCGTCGCCGTCTATAGCAATACTCAGGCCCTCTCCCCTACATGCGTTGCGAGCCGGCGCACATTCCACATACCCCTCGCCCTTCACGTCGTAAGCGTACAACCTTCTTCGTAAATTCCGCAGGGACTCGTCAATAGAAGCCTGGGCCTTCGCCTGCGCCGCCTCCAGCGCGGCCCGTTCCTTCTCCTTTTTTGCCTCGACCTGAGCCGACGCCGCGCTATCGCCTCTTTTAGCTTTATGCTCCAACTTACGCGCCGCCTTGCGCTCGCGCAGCTCGCGAATATACGACAACCGTTCCTCTTCCGAGAGCCACATGTGGGCCATCAAATCGGCCCATCTACTTTCAATATCAGGGTGCGGCGCGAAGGGTGTATCTCGACCCACGGTGAACTCGAGTTCGAGTTTCGCGAGGGCGTCTCTTCTTCCTCGGATGATGGCGGCCATCCTTTTTTGCTTGTTGTTTTTGTGTTGTGGTGTAGGGCTGACCTAGAGCACCGCGTTTCGCCGCGGCAATCCGGTACCGCGGTACGGCAACCTAGGTTGGCAGCCTGACGTGCGATGGTCCTTGCCGTGCGCTTTTGCCACAGGACGGTGGCTGTCAACGATGGCTTAGCTGCGGCGACGGCGTAGCAGTGCAGCCCCCAGTACCACAGTGCGGCGGCCTACCCTTACGTCGCCGGGCAGCCAGAGCGGTAACGCGTGCCGCAGCAACCCGGTACCGCGAAACGGCGTGCTACGCTCGCGGTACGATGATTGGGCAGCCTCACGACGGTCCTTTTGCCGGACGGTGGCACCACCAAACGATTCCTAGTAGCTCTTTGGGTGTGGCAGACCAGCGATGCTTCGAGGCCGGGGTTCTGGGCGTGTGATCTGATTGCTCCGTGGGTCGACTTCGATGGAGCTCCAAAGAACTAGCTAGCCGTGAGACACTAGCCAAAAGCACAGAGCTCATTCCAGCCACACAACCTCAGGCCGCAGTCAGACGCGGCCAGGCCAAAAACACACTCCAGAAAGCCGCATAAATCGACGCCGAGAAGCGGTGCCGACGCGCAGCACCAGAGAAACCGCCAGTCGATGATGAGGCTCGCTACCCCTCTCAGGACAGTCCTCACGGCGTCGCTGGCGCAGCGGCCGCTCGGATTTGTTGTTCCTGGCTTCGGGCGGCTCCTCAACAAGTCGAAGCCGGTCCACCGCCTCCACTCGACGAGAGGTGGAGCTAGAAGTGTCTCGGACTTCACGACTTCAGAGCTCAAGAGATTGTTAACAGAACGAGGCGTCGACTTCCGGGATTGCTTGGAGAAGAGTGAATTAGTAGCTAGGTTGCAAGCCGCGTTGCGCGGCGACTACACGGAGGAGGGCAACACCGCGCTCGCTGGATTGAGTGCCGGAGAACGGAACACCGTCAAGCTCTTCGAACGAGTCTCGCCGTCCGTAGCCTTCATCCAGACGTCTGTCGTGCGGAGTGCGGGCCCGTTAACGATGCGCGGCGAGGTCGTGCCCCAGGGGTCCGGCTCGGGATTTGTGTGGGACGACCAAGGCCACATCGTCACGAACTACCACGTCATCCAGCAGGCCCAGAAGGCGACCGTGACTGGTATTGGCTTAGGTGATGGTAGTATGAACGCCTACGAGGCGACGCTAGTCGGCGCGGAGCCCGAAAAAGATATTGCGGTCCTCAAGGTGCGCGCGCCGAAGTCGGTCCTGAGGCCCATCACCGTCGGCAGTTCGTCCGAGTTACTTGTAGGGCAGAGCGTGTTCGCGATCGGCAACCCCTTTGGGCTGGACTCGACCTTAACGCAGGGTATTGTCTCGGCGGTCGGAAGGGAAGTCCAAGGCGTCGCGGGTCGGCCGATCAAGGGCTGCGTCCAGACCGACGCTTCCATTAACCCTGGTAACTCGGGCGGTCCGCTGCTAGATGCGAAAGGAAGGCTGGTCGGTGTCAATACCGCTATATACAGTCCGAGCGGCGCGTCGGCCGGAATTGGGTTTGCGATTCCCGTAGACACGGTTAGGAGAATCGTGAACCAGCTCATCCGGTATGGCAGGATGTTGAGACCGAGCATGGGCATCACGGTGGCTGACGATCAGATGACGCGCGGATTAGCCCAAAGGTTGGGCACGCCGCTGGAGGGTGTGCTGGTCATGGAGGCGCCTCCCAATACACCGGGCGGCGAGGCCGGCCTCACGGGCTGCATGCGCAAGGCCGGCCAATTATTTTTAGGGGACCTGATCACGGAGGTGAACGGTGTCGCTGTCAGGACGGTCGAGGATTTACTAGCGCTCGTCGAGGAGACGGAGATCGGCTCTGATGTGGTCTTGCGGGTGATGCGGGGCGCGGACGCGTCGAAGCTCGAGACGGTGCGCGTGAAGACCGTGGACCGGGCGCAGCTGCGCTAGTGTCTCTCTCTCCGGGGGGGTCTTCTGTGGGTTAATTCAATGAAACAAAGCAGTACTTCCGTGCGGCGACGGCGTATCGGTGGGGTAGGTTCGTTTTTCGCGCGACGGCGGTCCGCGCGCGACCGGGGCCAGTACGCCGTCGCCGCGAGCGCCGGAGCCTCCGCGATCGACGCGATTTTCCTCCACCGGTATGCCGCCGCCGCGGCCCGGCCAGTGGCCACGCCAGCGTTTTTCGCGCGACGGCCGCGGTTCGCGCGACAAGCAAGCTCCGGAGCCGCCGTGATCGACGACGCGTCGAGGCGTACGTGGTGGATGAGAGAGAGAGGAGAGAGGGGAGGGGTCGACGTCACTAGGCGGTTGTGCAAGGCACTAGGACATCTGTGACAGGACGTCTGCAAGCAGAGCATCACCATCGGATCATAAAAATACGAGTGATAAGAATTCCAAAGCAGTGCTAAGGATATCAGTTATCACACTGATAAGAACAGATACTACACTTGATCTTAGCCAAAAGGCCGAGAAAGGTGAGAGAGCGCTTAGTCGCTCGGCCGACGAATCGCGGTTTAGCGCCCCCCAGGCCATGACACTTTCGCGTCAATTTTACGATCCGGGCGAGGGAGCGGCAAAAAGGCGGCAGCTGGCGCGAGCTTGGGCTCCCCGAGGCCGCCGCGTCCCATTTTTCGGCCCTGCATACCGCCGTGGGGCTGCCCCGGCGGCCTTGTGCTCGTGCGCGGCAGCCTGCCGCGCCCGGAGTCGGGAGGAGCCCAAGGGCTGCCCCCAGCACGCGCTGGTCTGCGCCGCGCCACGCGCTTGGCTGCCCCTTCGCGCTTGGCTGTTTCCGCTCGGCCGCGAGCTTGCTTTTTGCTTTGCGGTCCGCTGCGTTTACGTCGCGAAGTCTAACCGCCGCGCCGCCGCCGCGCGCCAGCAGCCGAAAGGATTGTCAGCACGGAGAAGCTGTTAGCACCGGACAGCCCTGCGCCGCCGCCGCGCTTGCTTCAGCGAGACGCCGTTACGACAAAAGACAAAAGAGTCCAGCCGGCGACGGCTGCGGCGCACACGACATGACCCTCCCGGCCCACCTCATCGTCTTGCTTTTGTTCTTGATACTGGCTGTCGCCGGGTGCTGCTACTCTGCGATCCCCTGGGCGACCCCGCCGCGCGACGAAGACGTCGAGGCGCCCGCCGCGGCGGCGCCCCGCGTCTGACGCAATTCGTTCATCCTCGTCGTCTTCTTCGGCCTCGTATGGCAGTATCCGGAAGGTTCCTCCGCCGCGGTATCCTCCGCATCCTCCTTCCGGCGTCTTCCGGCCTGCTTCCCCCTCGCCGTCGTCACCGTCGTCGCCTCCGAGCTGAGAACACTCGGGGCGACGGCGTATGAGAGCCGGAGGGTTTTCCCCGGAGTCGGTTCCTAGCTCTAAGCAAAGCAAAACAATCTTGAAACATCAGCGCGAGCCTAGAGCTAGTACGTATCGCGCTGGTTTGGCCCACGACCGCCGACCAAAAAACCGCCCACGCCGACCCGTCGAGGTGCGCGCGAGGCGAAGTGAAGTGCCATCGCTGCGCCCAGTACTGCGCGCGCCCTCTGGCGAGACTCAAAAGCCGGGCGGCCGCTGTAGCCGGCAGAACAGCAACAGGCACAGTTGCAACGACCGCAGCGCTCGCGCGCTAAGACCCAGCCCGCCCGACGCGGCGCGAACCACCAGCAGCGCCGCGAAGACCGCGGCGAACCAGAGCGAGAGCCGCGAAAAAATGGCCGGCATAGCCGAAGGACGCCTCCGCGAGGAACGGCGCAGCTGGCGCAAGGACCACCCCATCGGCTTCGTCGCGCGGCCTCGGAGCAAGGCCGACGGGTCGACGGACCTCCTGAACTGGGACGTCGTCATCCCGGGCAAGAAGGACACGATGTACGCGTTTCCGCGTCCGCGGTGCCTTCTCATACTCGTATCGGGTCGTGTCTCGACGTCTTGTCGGCACGACGGCGTCCCCGCACGGCGCACGCGAGACGTGCTACCCACCGTCACGCCATCGCCGCGACGCACCCTGATGACGACGCCACGCGCGTGCAGGTGGGAGGGCTGCGAGTTCAACCTCACGATGGAGTTCTCCAGCGACTACCCCGCGACGGCGCCGGTCGTCAAGTTCGTGTCGCGGCCGGGCGAGGTCGAAGAACCGTGCACAAATCAACCAGTGAGCCGGCGCGTCTGGCGTGGAGGTCGACGCGACGACTCAGCACGAATGCGCCGTGAAATTTTGTTTTACGCACAGGTCTTCTGGCACCTGAACGTCTGGAGCAGCGGGCGCATCTGCCTCAATCTGCTGAACGAGCCCGACGGGACGTGGCACGGCCAGTGGTCGCCGTCGATCACGATCAAGCAAATTCTGTGCGCGATCCAGGAGCTGCTGGACAACCCGTTCCCCGCCGGCGCGCGGCCCGAGGTCCAGACGCTCTACGAGCGGAACCGGCCGGCCTACGAGCGGCGCCTGAGGCAGGAGGCGGACAAGTACCGGAAGCGGCCGCTGCCGGACGACGACGACGACGTGGTCGTCATCGAGTAAGAGGATTTGTGTTTTTCCGAACCCCCACGCCATCGCCGCGACCGTGATAACTCAAAGAACCTTACCGCACCTTCGACAGCTTGCCGCCCTTCTCGCGCTCGAAGATCTTGGACTTCGGGATCTTGTACTCCTTCTCGAGCAGCGCGGGCAGGTCCCAGATGACGTCGCCCTGGATGACGATCTCCTGGCCGCCGCTGTCCTTCTCCTTGACCGACGACGAGGCCGCGAACTTCTTCCCGAAGACCTTGGCCGCGTCCTTGAGCTTGACGGAGAAGGTCTCGAGGCCCTCGACGCTCGTCACGGCCTTCTTCTTGTTCCGCACCTCCTTCGAGATGATGACCTTCTGCTTGTCGGCGCTGATGGTCTTCTTCTTGATGACGCCGCCGCCGCGCTTGCCCTTCTTGCCGACGTCGCCGGCCTCGTCCTCGCCCTTTAGTAAATGGGGGCAGTGCTCGGCGATCCAGGGCCGCGTCTTGTCGTAGTCGGGGTAGTACTCGCAGTACTCCGGCGGAAGGCCGTTCAAGGGGCAGTAGATCGGGACCTTGTCCTCGCCGTCGGATTCCCTGCGCGTTTTTATCGCTCTCTCTCTCTCTCCTCCCATCTCTCTTCACCCTACCCGAGCCATCCCGGACGCCGTCGACGCGAGGCGGGCCCGGCTTCACGCCATCGCCGCGCCGCGACGACATCTAGGCGTCGACGCGGGCTGCTTCACGCCATCGCCGCGCCGCGTCGAAGAAACAACGGACGCCGCGCACAAACGGCTCCTCGGGCGCCGGCTGCGCCAGCTCCTCGTCGTCGTCGGCGCCGTCGGCGTTCTTGCCCGGCGCGACGCGCGGGTGCTCGTCGTCCTCCTCGTCCGTCGCCGCCGCGTCGGCGGCGTCGTCCTCGGGCTCGGGCTCGGGGCCGTACTTCTTGACCATGGCCGCGAGGAGCTGCTCTTCTTTGCCTTTGTACTTTTGGAGGAGCGTCGGGACCTGAGTGTGGCGTGGAGTTCTATGGCTGTTCTGATCTCCCTCTCTCTCCTTCTCTCTGTCATCCACGTCTCTCGAAACATCCTGTTCTGGTTTCTCTCTCTCCATCTCTCTGTCATCCTCACGCCGACGACGTCTAGGCGTCGACGCGGGCCACCCCGAACGCCATCGACGCGACGCGGGCCCCGCTTCACGCCATCGCCGCGCCGCGTCGGGAGCTCTTTCCCGTGATGGTAGAGCTGACACGCCATCGACGCGAGTCGTCACTCGGCGCTCGCGCGGGCCACTGGTTCATTTTGATTTCCGCACGGCTTGGGACGCTCGCGACCTTGGCCTCGTCGTAGTTCCGGTAGAAGCGCGTGAGGCGGTCGCTGTACATCTTTTGGAGGGCTTCGTCGTATGACGCCATGACGGTCTCTCGGCCCCGCGGAGGCTGCGGTTGGTTAGACTTGCGCGCGGTATGGAGGTGGCTTGTACGCTATCGACGCGACCCGGTCCGAATTTCGCTGCTCAACCGCACGCTTTGCGGCGTGAGTGGGATCGCTGTCTCGGGTGGGGTGCGGCTGTGCGCGGCCGGAGACGCACGGCGGTATCGTAGCGTGCTCCAACGACGTCGGTGCGACGCGCAGACGATCGCTCACGAGGAATTGCTCGTTTGCGTTAGGAGTACAGCCGTGCAATGGTGCTGCTCTCCAGCGGCTTGTCTGCTAGTGCCTCGCGCCGCTAGCTCCAGAGTCAAAATAATTAAAGCCAAAAAAAAATGTTTTACAAGGGTAGTACCTTGGGTTGACGTCACACGGCGGTGGTGCAAGGCCGTGGACATCGGTGGGAGGACGGTACGCAAGCGACGCGTCACCCCCTAATCCCAAAAATGCGAGTGATAAGTATTCCAAGGCATTCGGCCTCGTCCATCAAAATCTTCGCCTGCTCCGCCAGACAAGAAACATGCGCGAAGCCCGCCGTCCCGCGGCACGCACACCCGCGCACGAGGCCCTCCTTCGTTTTCCAATGGAGCGCCTGCGTACAAATGTAGCACGTCTGGCCCTTCGTGTCGTCCGCGCATTTCTCGACCGCGACCGCGACGGCCTCCTTATATTTTTTGTTGGCGTGGTATTGCTCGGCGTTGCCGCCGCGGTGTATTTTTTTACACATCTGCTTGTGACCGCGGCGCCAGTGGTCATGCTGGCAAGTTTTGTTACAGTATCTCGTGTGGCATCTAATACATCGCGGCGCGGTGTGGGCCAGTGGGGCGGCGCAGGCGGCGCAAGTTGTGAGGATCATCTTGCTTTGGCGGGGTCTGAGGGTCGCGGCGGCGGGAATTGCTCTGGTAGAGTTAGCTAGCGTAGCGACTTACTAGCAAATTCAAAGATACGCTCCGATAGCGTCAAAAGAATGACCCAAATTCAGAACACATCCTAGTCGTTCGCCGCGACCAAAGATTTCAGCGTAGGGGCGCGGGAACATACCCTCGCGCCTCCCGGAAGGCACCGCCCGCGACATTCACGGATAAGTCTTACGGCTTGCCAAATTACACCAACGATTGACGCCGCCATCTATCGTCCAGATAGTACATTATATCAACTCCAGCCCAGTTTTCATACACACTCGACGGAACCGGAGCCGACGGCCCGCGCTCGGAAGGCGGGAGAAGAATTCTACTAGACAACTCTCGCGTTTATGTTCGTTTCCTTCCGTTTGTTGGTGGTAGATTCCATCATAGCCGCCTCAGCGACTATGAGCTATGATAGGTGCTCCGTTAGAGCCTCCCGATTCGTCGACTCGGCGCCCCCAAGTTTTTGCGAAGATGGATTCAGAACCTGCACCCGCGAGTATCGGCGACGATACCTTCCAGATGGACCATAACGCCGTTGTTCTATTCACGATCGACCGACCTGCCCGTTCTCCGCGGACGACGGTGCGTACGCGGGGCACTGAATTGGCCCCAGACCCGTGAGTTGTGAAATAAATTTGCGTTTCAGGCGCTTTGGTTGTGGGACGGGCCAGCTAACCAGCTTGACTGTGTACTACATTGCTCCGAGACCCAAAGATGCTCGGCGCGGCTCGTTGGTCTCGCGAGCCCACGATCTGGCTAATTGGGCCGAATTATTTGGACCTGCGACCATCAGCCCGTGTACCATCACCATGGACCTTGGAGAGATCGTTTGTTTCACGATCGACTGACTTGCGCGAGGTCCAGATAAAGATGTTCACGCCCCAAGCGTGGGCAGCCAAAAGTACCCTTCTTATAATGTAGATGTCATATACTTGTAATTGACTATCGCTGGGGTAGTATGGGGTCCAACGAGACCGCTACGGCGGCTACTGGGGGCCCTCGGGTAATTGACGTTTTTGACGGGAACGGGGCGCCATCGGGCCCAAATTATTTACTTTTTTCGGATGCAGATCGGCTCTCGGACTCCCTCCGAGAGAGGTCTGGGGTCGGGTAGTCGCCTAGGCCGCATGCGCTGGTTCTTGGGGCTCTTGAGAGAGCTCTTGATCCAAAACTTTGGAGGATCATGGTGGAGACATGTAGGGAGCTGAGCACCTGTCCTCATAGGAATCCACCGATGGAAGCGCTCACGCATGCGGCGTAGGCGATTGCACGTGAATAGTACCGACCAAAAGCGACCCCAGGGAGACCTCAGGACCACGAATCGACTGGATTCCACCGACGCGGCCGTCATGGCGGCGTCGTCAAAATCGCGACATCAAGAAATTAATTTTTTCGGCCCCCAGTAAGTGTCCCATCAATCTCTTTGGACGAATAGCGAACCGAACGACGTTCAAACAGCTCTAGGTCGCGTCGCGCGTGAAAAGTAAAAGCAGCAAAACGGGTTTCTCGCGCCCACACACGCCGCCGCCGCGACCCCTCACAGACCCCGCCAACGCAAAATGATCCTCACAAATTGCGCCGCCTGCGCCGCTCCACTGGCCCACGACCACAAGAAAAGGTGTAGTAGGTGCAAGACCAGATATTGCAAGACGCGCGAGACGCGCTCCGCGCCCGCGAGACGATGGCTTCCGACGACGACGACGAGATTTCATGCGAGGAACTCGCCAAGGCCTTGGGCTGCACGGTGGAGGAACTCGACGGATATTAATCGGGGCGCGGGGCCGTAAGCGTCCAGGACGCGTTTCGGACGGCGCGCGCGAAACTCGCCCAAGAGCGGGCGGAGCTCGCCAAGACGCTCGCCGACGCGTCTGCGAGGCCATCGCAAGATGCACAAAAGTAATAAAAACGACTATGGTTTGCATTTCTTCTAGAGCGCGTCCTGGCGCCACGGCACAGCTCAACCGGGCAGGACGTAGAGGAATCGCCCGAGCGCTCAACTTACTCCCCCAACAAGAAAAACTAGGCCGCCGCCTCCCGCTCCACCAGCGAGAACCGCGGCAACAACCCCCGGTTCTTCCGCAGATACCCCAGCACGGCCCCCTCCAGCAATTTCCGCGTCTTCTCCGGCAGGTTGCCGCCGCCGACGCCGACGGCCTTTTCCCGCAGCTGCCGGATCGCCTCCGCGTCGCGGCCCGCGTCCGCCTCGCCGACCAATTGCTGTATCAAATCCCGGCCGAACTCGTCCTCGCGGATCATCTTGCTCAGAGCGTCGTGCAGGCCCTGGAAGCGGTCGTGCCGCACGGCCGAGCACCAGTCCTCCCGCAGGAAGGCGACCCAGTCGTCGACGACGCCGCGCTCGTAGGCCGCCCACGCGCCGTTTAAATGGGCCTCTTGCCGGCCGACGACCGCCGCGAGGTTCCGCGGCTCGACGGGCGCTTTCCCGAGATAAATGATCTCGCAGAGCAGTCCCGAACCGTCGACTTTGAGGATGGAGTACTTGTCCCGCGCCGCGGCGAGGTCGCGCAGCGCGTGCACGCCGGAGCTCTTCTCGAGCAGAGCCTGGGCCTGCGTCGATGGCGTCAAGCGTGACGGTCAGTAAGCGGTCGGCTCTCTCTCTCTCGCAGGCGGAAGAGCAGCATACTCGGCGTAGCGACTACCGGGAAGGCAAAAAAAAGGACGCGGACCGCGCACCTCGTCGTTGCCCAGCATCCCCGTCGGCAGCGCGGTCGCGTCGACCGGCACGGTGGGAAGCGCCGCGCGGCAGTAGAACAGCCCGCCCGGCAGCGTCGCCGACACGGCCCGTGCCTTGCGAAAGTCCGGCGCCTCGACGCTGGAATCCGTGAGCCGCGCCAGCAGGCTCTGGGCCAGGCACGCGCCGAGCTCGAGGGAGTTGAACCGCTCCTGGCCCGCGACGTGGCGGCCCGCGGCGTAGATGCTGTCGTCGCAGGTCTTGAACGTTGAATCGACCGTCAGCGGGTAGTCCGTCAGCGCCGCCGCGTTCGCCGCGACAGCGGGCGTCGACGCGCCGACGACAAGGCCACACTTCAAATCCACGATTTCCGGCGGGGGCGTCGCGGGCCGCTCGACCCACGCCTCGACGTCGTCCTCTTGTGGAGGCGCCGGCGCCGGCGCGTCGTCCTGTTGCACCGGCCGCGCGAACCGCGCCGCGCTGAGAGCGCCATTGTCTCGTACCAGCTCGGCGAATTTCAGCCCGTACTCGACGGCCACTTCCATAGACTGCTGAACGACGCGGTCGATGACTTGATCGCCGAGCGGCTCCAATTGATCATTCTCGCAGGCTATTTTGATGTTGGACGCGGCCACCCCCAAATCCAGGAGGCGCCGGGCCGCGGCTAGGGCATCTAAGCCGCCGCCCACAATAACCACGGAGCCCTCCCCGAGTTTCGACACCGCGTCGGCCAGCTCGTCCGAGGCGTTGTCCGAGGACAGCGACACGAAGCCAGATAAATCCGTGGCCTCCTCCTCCATATCTGACGGGACCTTGGTGAGCTCCGCCACAATATCGACCTCGGGCGAGTTCCAATCGGCAAGGTCGCTCGCGTCGGGCAGGAGCTCCTTGCCCGCTTTCGTAACGAGGTCCCGCTGCGCGCTTTCCTGGAGGCCGTGGGCCAGCACCAGAATGTCGTACGGCACTAACGCGCCGTCGGGCAATTGTACAACCTTGGCCTCGGCGTCGACGGCCACTGCTCTAGCTTTGATGACGCGCAGCCGCTGCCCCAGACCGAGCGCCTCGAACTCAAAAGGCTCGGGGTAGTCCTCGTCGACAACCACACCCGAAGCGCGAGAGATACCAGGCTCGCTGATCAGCGTGACGCGCTTGACGTTCGCCGTCGACGAGAGCAATAGGGCCTTGAGCATGCCGACGGCGCAGGTGCTCAGCCCTATCACAACAATCCGCGCGTTTACCTCCTGTGTATATCGACCGTTGGTACCGCGTCGCGTCGATGGCGTTGGGGTGGCGTGGTTCGATGGCGTGGGGGTCGATGGCGCGTCAAAAGGGACGCCGGGAAAGAACAAGCCGCGGGTCCGACGCGAGGCGCCGCGCGAAGTAGTGCAATAAAGTGCCGCCCGGTACCTCGTCGCCGCGCTTCCGTCCGAGCAGCTCATCCCCGGGATTGGGCGTCGCGCGCCACCGCGCCGGCACGGGCACCAGCGTCTCGAGGACGTGCAGAGGCACCACGTCTGATGAAGGAGCCTCGTGATATAATAAAGTCTTCTCGTACAAACGCATCGCCTCCTTCAGCACGTAGCGCCCGAACGTGGCAAATATCGGGTTCACGACCATATCTGTTAGCACGGCCTGGGCCCGCGCGCGGTGGCGCTCAAAGGGCACGTAGGCCTCAATATCATAGTTCGCCTTGTACCAGTCGATAGCATCCGTCGAGGCGCCTTTACGCGAGAGATCAACAACGGCGACGACTTGCTCGTTCATGAGCGCAACAAAGGCCGCCGTCGGCGGGTTGTCCTCCATCTTCGTGTCTGCATCAATCGCGAACGACGAGACGTCTCCAATTAACGCGGCGGCGCCCTCGGCATGTAGTGACGGGTCGTAGCGCCTCACACTTAAAGAAGAAGGTGCGAGCAACGCGTCGCGATGCAATAAATAGAGTGTATGGGCAAAGGTCGAGCCCGCCCTCGGCGGGATGGACACGAAGGCGTCCAGAAATGCAGCTCTTTGTACCGTCGGCGGCGCCGTGACGACGCAGTACTTTTTGTCCGGCCACAACTGGAACATGGCCGCGAAGAAGTCCGCCGCTCGCGACTCGTGCTGCGCGTCCAGGCAGAAGAGCGTCACGGCCATGCAGTTTGACTCGACGGCCACCTCCTCCTCGGCGGCGAAGGCGGCCGGCGCGGGCGCGGCCGCCGGCGCATCGGCCGGTTGCTCGGACGGTACTTGACCCTCCGTCGAGGAGCCCTTGACGAGGTTCCCGAAGGGCTGGAGCTCGAAGCACGCGCCGAGCGTCGCGACGTCAATGTCTGTGGAGGCACTTAGTAATCCGACCGCGTGGTCGTCGGCGACGGCGACGAGCTGCTTGTTGTTTTCATCCGCATTTTCAATAATTTCCGCGAGGAAGAAGTCCCCGAAGTGCTCCGCGAGGACTTCAGATTGCGACTGGAAGATCGGCAGCAAATCATCGGAGTCCTCGACGCAGGCGCCCCTCACTGACAGCGTCGGGGCGAGTTTCGTCCGAGGACAGTACGCTAAGTCCGAGTTTGCTAGGAGCGGCTCGGGCGACGGCTCGAGCACATCAAACAGCTCGGCTAGCTCGGGAGGCGCTTCCGGCGACCGCTTGTCCGGCTGCCGCGCCAGAATCAAGTGGTCCACACCTTTTAGAGTAGAGACGGCGAAGGTCAGACACGCTCGCGTAGCAGCGGTGTCTGCATCAAGTGCCGCAGAGAAATCAATCCACGCACACGTGCCAATCGCGCCACCCTCCGTATAATTCGCACAAAACGTAGAAGCCCAACTTTCGGCATCGGCCGCTTTGCAGCGCGGCGGCGCGTCCCCAATCACTAAAAACGCCTTCATTTTGCCATCCTCAACAGCTGAAATACAGAGGTAGCCCGTCTCTAGTAATTGAGCCACATTATAGTTCCCGTAGCGCTTGCGATATTTCGCCGCGCCGCCCGTCAGCGTCACGAGCGACGCGACGCCGGGGCTGTCGTCCGGGGTGGCCCTTCGGACTTCCATTGCGCTTGTGTTTGCAGCAGTGGGCCGTGCGGCCAGGAGTGATGGAGCACGTGAAAGTTTTGAGCTGTCTCGCACGAGGGCTGGGTATGGGCAGCCCTTTTGCCTCGGGCGCTGGACTTGGGGCAGCCAGTATCGGTAACTCCTAGCTAGCGTCGCAAGTGCCAGGCCGATTCCCAGCACGTTCAGGAGTGGCACCCACGGCTCCGGACGGCTCGGAGACACGTCGGCCTCGCGGAAAACGCACTAGCACCGATGAGCCTCCTCTGCGCATGCGAGGCTGCCCCTAGCTGCCGCGCGGCGCATCCGTGCCGCCACGACGCGAGACACAGCGCAGTAGGGCGCCCGCAACCGCCCCGGCCGGCACGCGCCATCGCCGCGGCGACGGACGTACATAAGACACAATGGGAGCAGCGGCATCGGTCGAGCGCGCCCTCGCGGCCGCGCCGGACCAGCTCTCGCGCGCGGCCTGCGACGAGCTGGCCGCGCGCCACGGCGTCGCCGTCAAGGACTCGCTCTTCGACGTCCTGGGGGCGGGGAATGGGACGGTGGCCAAGGCCGCGGTCGTGCGCTTCTGCCAGCTCGACGCGCTCGCGCACGGCACCTGCGGCGCCGCCGCGGCGCCGCCGAAGACGCCCAAGGCCGCGCGCAAGACGGCCCGCGAGGTCGTGCGCCGCACGCTCCTCGCCAAGGGCGCGAGCCGCTTGTCGAAGGGCAGCGACAAGGGCTCGAGCCGACTATCAGACGGCTCGATTGACACGCTCCTCGCCAAGGGCTCCAGTAGATTATCAAACGGCACGATGGACAAGGCGTCGCTCGACGCCGTGGGCGAGGGCCGCGCGCGCCGCGGCACGCTGCCCAAGGAGAAGGACGCGCCAGCGGATTTGCCCGACGGTGCGACGGTGGCGCCGCCGCAACGGCGCCGGACGCCGTCCATGTACCTCGGCGGCGCCCCGCGGGAGTCGGAGTCGGAGAAGAGATTGAGGGAATCCATAAGGGCGCTCGGCGCCGAGACGCGCATCCGCATGGAGCTCGACCGGGCCACGGCCAAGGAACGGCGGCAGAAACGATTAGAAGCTTTAAGGGTTCAGGCCGAGCAGGCCCTCGCGTCGCTCGAGGAGCTGCCCGAAGTTGAAAAGCGCCGCGTGCGCAACCAGGGCATCCTCGCCTTGTATACGCCCGAGAATTTGGTCAAAAGGGAGAAGATCCGCGAGGACCCGCGCGTCGAGAATATCCTGGGGAAGTGGTGGGCCGCGTCGTTACGCTATGACGACAAAGACCGCGACGAGGGTTTGAATCGGAGCGAGTACGCGGCCTGGCACTCTCGTTTGTTAGCGTTGTATGCTGCTTTAGGATTAGACGATGATCCGCTCACGGACGCCGAGAAGAACCGTATTCTCGAGGAGGATTTTGCTTTAGATAGTGGCGGCGCGAAAGTCGTGGATGAAGAGAAGTTCCTGCACGCCGTCTTCCAGGTGGCGGACCAGTGGGTCGAAAACATCGACGCGGCGCAGTACGCCGAGTTTCTGGAGCGGGCCTACGATGTTGTTTATAGAGAGCTCGTCGACGCGGACGCGATCAAGCCGCCCGACAGTTGGCTTACACACTTAAAAGGCAAGGCCAACAAACCGTGGGACCTGAACCGGACCTGCGAGTTCGCGGCCGAGATGTACCGCCTGAAGCTGGAAGGTAGGGGCAAGCCCAAGGTCTGGGGCCAGACGCTCGGGCGCTTCGTGCTCTCGCACATCAAGGAGCGGTTCGGCCCGGGCAACTACCGCAAGCAACTCAGCGGCTTCGTGCAGCGTATTCTACAAGTCGTCGAGGCGCCGCCCGAGGACCCGGCCATCTTCGCCTGGTTGTTGTTGTTTGCGCAATTGGCTGGATTTCATTCCCGAAGCTCGCGCTTGCCCGCCTTACCACCAGCCGCGGAGCAGTACGTCTTAGATACCTTAGCGGCGTCCGCCGAACTCATCTCGGAAGACGACGCGACCTACTCCCTCACGGCGTGCATGGAGAGGCCCGGCAACAAAGCCTTGGTCGGCCACATCCGCGCGGACGCCGCGAAGAAGCTGTTGCTGTCGTTGCTGAAGAAGGCGCCCTTCGAAGACGAACCGCCCGAGTTCGCCAAGGCCATGGAGTCCGCCTTCCGGTCCATCGTCTCTAGCAAATCCGTGGGGCAAGCCGAGCTTTTGACGCTCGTCGCGGCGGGCTACGTGGCAGCGTCGTGCCCGGGCGTGCTCCGCGCGGACTAATAGGCGTCCTCCCCATGTCCCCGACCCTGTAAGCTTCGTGTGCCATTTCTCTCGCGGACTCGACTAAGGTACCGCATGCGGCACATTAGTGAAATCCAAGATCTTACACAGTAGACTTATGCGCCGTCGTCGTCCGATTGCGACGCGAGCACGTTTTCAAATTCGGCGTCGAGCCCGTCGTCCGATCGCGGAACGACCAGGCCCGCGTCAGGGTGGAGCTCTCTCTGGTGGAGCAGGTAGAGGGCGACCCTTTCAAAGAGGCCCAGAAGCGCCGGAGAACAACTCCCTTCGCGCAATTTGTCCGCGGCCCGCCTGATGAATTGCTCGAAAACGGGGCCCGCGTACTTAATGAACGGCGCGCGCTCGGCCGTGTTCAAGCTAAAGAAGAATTCCGGCCACTCGAGTGCATAATCTAGAAATAGCACGGGCCGGCCCAAGTCCCCCAGAATAAATGCGGTCATAAACAGCTCCTTCTTGACGGACTTTGGGGCTTTATATCCTTGCCGGGCCGCTAGTTCCAACCCAACAGCCCTCGCCCCGAGCTCGTGACCGAGTTGATCAATGATGTTCTGAGCGCCGCACCAGTGGGCAAATCGGGCGATCCCGGAGATGTCGTCGAACGCGAAATCGGCCGGCGTTTTTGTCCGTGGACCAAGGAAGGGATAACAGAGCGCCAAAAATTGCACGACCGTCCGCGCCGAGTGGTCGCCGAGCACCGGGACGTCGCCCGCCTCGGGCAGGTCCTGGATCATCGTGCAGTTGATTTTCAGGACGGCCGCGCACGCCGGAATGCGCGTCTCTTCGCCGTCCTCCGTCACGACGAAGAACAGGTCGGTCTCGAACGCCGGGTAAAATTGCTCAACTTTGGGGATTGTGTCTATTTGGGGGTCCCGGATGCAGTTTCACGACAGGCTCGCTTTGCGACGCTCAAGAGGGAGCTCTAAAAAGCTCTTAAAGCAAGAAACTGGTCTGTTATTGAGGGCCTCGCACAAGAGCTCTCTGGAAAACCCGTGTCTCACTGGTGTTCCCGCAGTGGTAGAACTAAGAGAAACTATTACTTCGCATCTGTTGCGGGAGGCGGCGACGCCCACGGGTCCCACGACCCGAGCGCCGCCGCGTGCCGGAAGCCGCACGCGACCGTCGAAGCCGAAAAGCCTGACAAAGCCTCGACCTTCTTCGGGTGCGGCTCGCGCGCCTTGTCGCCATGACCCAAACATTTCGAGCCGCCCTGGCCGAAGGAGTACAGCACGCCGTCGGTCGACTCGACCAAAGTGTAGCCGCCGCCGCACCAGACGCGCTTTGGCAAAGGGACCCTGCCGCCCTCCTCCTCGAACAAGTGCGGCGCGGGGCCCAGCGCGAGCTTCGCGCCCCACTGTAGCAGTTCGGCATCGGTAGACACGACGGCCACATGAGAATGACCAGCAGCCACCGCTGTCGCCTGCAACGGCACGTCGTCCCGTTCCACTATTATAGGTAAGTCCTCGAGCGCGTAGACGTCCATCGCCAGGCCCCCACCTAAACCGAGCTGGCCCTGGTCGTTGCGGCCCCAGACTCGGACTAAGCCTTCCGAACACCTCGTGACCGTGAAGGCCGAACCGGCTTGGGCTTCGACAATCTCCACGTCGTCGAGCGCCGTGACCGGTTCCGGCTTCAGGACGTCAGAACTCCCACCGTTGCCATTCCTACCGTGCTCGCCCGCGCCGCAGGTCCACACTTCCCCATCGGACGTGAGGAAGACCGAGTGGGCCTCGCCCGCGGAGATCGAGGTGACTGGAGCTTCCTCCAACGCGCCTTCGATCAGAGTAGGTTCGAAGACGTGGTCCCGCGAACCTTGCCCCAGGTGGCCGCCGCCCGAGACCCAGGACCCGCCCCAGCCCCACGCGTAGCACCGGCCGTCCTTGTCCAATGCTAATGAATGACTTTCGCCGCAGGCGACCTTCACGATCTCGACGCCCGCGAAGCCCTGTAGCATCTCAGGCTTGTGTCGGTCGGCGTCGTCGCCGTGGCCCAGCTTGCCGTTCTCACCCTTGCCCCAGGACCAGACCTTTCCAGAACCGTCCACCGCTAACGTGTGGTTCGTGCCGCAGGCGATGTCGCGAAAGTCGACACCCTCGAGTTGTCTTGGAGTCAGCTCCAAATACTGCTTCATGAGCCCGGACGTGACGAAGGGGTAGTGGCCTAGTTCGCCGTGCGTGCCCTCGCCCCAGGTCAGGCAGACGCTCGAGGACGTGGACGCGCGGCGGACCGCGATCGCTGTCGAGCGCGCGGCGACGCGCGTGGTGGCGGCGAGCATGCTGCAGTCAGTGGTTGCTACCGCAGCGATGCTCGTCGGCGGCGCAGCTCTTCCTCGTGATTGATACGATGAATCTCCAGTAAAGTAAACCCTGTGGCGGCTGCGCCGTGCTAACTCCAGGACACGACGTCCCTTTAATCCGCGAGACCTAGCTGCTGTAACACACTAGCTAGCTACAAACCGGCCGAAAAATCAAGGGCAGCCGCAAGGGCAGCTATTTTTGTTTATTTAAGCGATCACGGACGCTAGACTAACCCTTGCGACGGCGTAGTTGCAAGGAGAAACAAACAAAATAGCAAGGGGCAGCATTTGATGCAAAGCTAGTCCAAGCAGCAATTAAAAAAAAATGCGACGACACCGCGGCAAGCCGCAGCCATGGCACAACAAAGCGCCGCTCAAGGCCCTGGCCGCCGTCCTCCTGGTGGGCGCTCTGGTGGTAGCGGTGCGCCAGCAGACGCACAACGAGTGGGAATCCGCCGAGAGCACATCCGCGGAGGCGCTGCGCGCGCTGCGCGCCGCCGACGCAAGGGCTCGCGACGCCGAGGCGAAGGCCGCGGACGCCGACCACGCGCTGCACGAGGTGCGGCACACGGCCTCGACGCGCAACGAGCTGAACCAGGCGCTGCGGGCGCGGGCCCAGGCCGCCGACGCCGCGGCGGCGGCGGCCGAAGCGCGGGAGCAGGCGAGCGATGCGCGCGCGAAGGCGGCCGAGCGCCGGGCGGCGCAAGCCGAGGCGGCGCTCCGGGCGAGCGCCACGAGGCCATTGGTTAAAAGGACGGGCCCGTTCAGGCACGTGAACGTTCAAAAAGCACCGGGCGCGCCAGTCACCTATCCCCCGGGCCAGCGCCCGTCGTGGATGACGCAGGTCGACTGCTCGGCCTACGACTACTCCTGCGCGTCGTCGCGCATGCGCGGCGCCTACGAGGCCTACCCGCTGCATCGGCCGCCGGGCGAGATCTCGGACACGCTTTCACTAGATTCGGACGGCGGCGCCGCGTTCCGCAAGCGCGTTCTCGAGCGGCTCGTCGCGCCGGCCGCGCCGGCCGCGGCGCCGTCGCGACGGTGGTGGCTCGCGGCGACGGCCTCCGACGACGGCGCCGTGCAAATCTCCAAGGACCCCGAAAAGACGCGGCGGGCGCTGGAGGCGTCGCGCTTGACGTCGCTCGACGACCGCCTGCAGGCCGCCGTTTCCTCGGAGGGCGCCGTGCCGGGCGCCACGGTCCTCGCGGCGCCGCTCAGCAGGCGCCTGGCCTGGACGATGATGGACAAAAAGTACGCGCACGACATGCTCTTCGACGTCGCGCACATGGCGCGGCACGTCGCCGGCTTCGAGAAGCTCGTCGTCGTCGCGCTTGATCAAAAGACGACGCGCGCCTGCGCCGCGGGCAGCATCAGCGCGGCGTTCGCCGGCGCGGCACAAACGAGCGGCGTCCAGGCGGCCGGCAAGATGAAGGGCGTGTCGAACGCGCTCGTCGAGGTTGTGCAGGGGGCCAAGTTCAAGGCCTCGCTCTGGTTCGTGCAGCACAACTACGACTTTGTGTTCTTCGAGGCCGACGTGTGGTTCACGAAATCCATTGATGTATTGTGGAGCGCCGCGCACCGCGACGTCGTCACTTATCAGGAGTCGCGCCGGGCGCCGCTCGAGGACTTAGATCTGTACGTGGCGGCGCACCAGAACAACCCCACCTCCACGAATATTGGGGTTTACGCCGCGCGCGCGACGGACGCTTCTAGGGAGTTCTTTTCTGGGTTACTGGAAGAAATGCGCCTCAAGCCCCACAAGCACGACCAGCTGTTGTTCCACAATTTGTTGACGTGGCACCGCATGAAGCCGACGCAGCCCGTCGCCAAGGAGTGGCGCGACGCTCCCAAAATACCGAAGCCACAGAACCCGGCGGCCTGGGCGTTTATTGATAATCACATGGGCGTCGCGTCGACGCACCCTATAATAACACAGGACACGGCCTTCGTCCACACGTTGGGGAATATGCCCCTGGATTCGCAGGAGGGCAAGAAGATCCACGCCAAGGAGCTGGGCGGCTGGCACGGGCTCGGTACTCCCCCGGGGACGCCTAGTTATTACGGCCCCTCGGCGCACGACGGCCGCACGAAGTACCTGGCTTTAGATGGTTCTCCCCTGAACGGCATCTCGCTCTGCGAGCGGGACGGCTACCACAACGGTAGGATAGCGAAAGCTAGAGTGGCTGTATTATTAGCGTTGGCGGCGTACACGGGCCGCGTTTTGTTACTACCGCGCATCGTCGTGGACTACCATCAATATTTACTATGGACGTTCCTCGATTTGGAGAGTGTGGGCTACGGCGTCGAGTGGCGCGAGACGAACTTCCCCTCGAACCCGCGGAGCTGGAAGAACGGCACGCACGCGTTCGGGTCGACGGCGCGCGTGTCGCTGCAGAAGCACTCCGTGGGGACGATGACCTCTTCTGGACCGCGGTGGGCGGCTTTTGAATCGACCTCGCCGCGGCGTCCTGGCGAGATGGCCGACGTCCTGGCCTCTGCTTTGAAACCGCACGGCGACGCGGAGCTTTTATTGGTCGATCTGGCCTTTGCGGATGGACGATTTGTGTCGGAGCTCACAAACTGCAGAAACGAGAAGGAATGTGAGCGCCGCGGCGTGCCATGGGAGCTCGTCCAGCTCTACAGAAAGCTGCGGTGGTGTGGGCAGACCATCGACCTCGACCGCTTCGCGGCCAAGTCGTTCCAGGGCTGGGACTGCTGGGGGAAGGGGCGGCCGCCCGGCCCGCCTCAGTAAGTTGTTGTGTATTACTCCTCCCAGTCGTAAGTCTGGTAGCCGCGTGGTGACATGCGGTTCGTGATGCGTGCGAGCGGCCGCAGGAAGTAGTCGCGCAGTTTTCGTTGCGTCCAGTCCGCCTGGATCATCACCACGAATAAAGCCGCCGCGACCACCCGTAAAAAGCGAATCCACAGCGGCGGGAACGGCCGGAAGGGCGCCTGCTCCCGCTCCAGGCGCTCGGCGTCTTACGCGTCGTCTCTTCTTCATCTACAGCGCTTCGAAGAAGCCAAGGCATTGTTGCGCATAATGTTGCCCGTGGCGCGACGTGTCCTCGGAGAGAATAATGAGATCACGCTCAAGACGCGGGCAATTTACGCGAGGTCGCTCTACGAGGACCCGGCCGCCACGCTCGACGATCTCCGAAAGGCTGTAACGACGCTCGAGGAAATTGAACGGACTGCGCGGCGCGTGCTCGGCGGCGCCCATCCGCTGACAACTTACATTGAGCGATGCCTGCGATGCGCGCAAGCCGCGCTCCGCGCCCGCGAGACGCCGCCGAGCAGCCCGGGGGCATAAGCAATGCAACAACAATTCACTTAGACAGGTATCCCGAGCAGCCGCAGGAGATCGCCTTTCTCCGCGCACCCTTCGGTGGACAGGCCGCGGCGCGCGCACTCGGCCTTGAGCAGGCGGATGGACGACCCCGCGTTCAGCAATGGTGGCGGCGCGTCGTCGTCCTCGTCCTCGTCCGCCTCGTAGCCGCCGCGCCGCCGCTGGGGCACGCCCGTCCCGTTCACGTCCGCCGCGACCGCCGACGAGAAGTAGAAGAACGCCGCTAATAATCCAAGCGCGACCATCTGCAGCGAGACGCTCGAATCCAATCCTTGCGCTTGATAACTTCGCTCGAAATTATCGTAGTCGTCGAGCGGCACGCGGTACATCCTCCCATTTCTTCGTACAAACACAAACCGCTGCTGCGGCCGGTAGCTGTGGAAGCCCGGCGGGTCCGCGTGGAAGCCGCCGCCTCCCCCAAAGCCGTGCTGCGCGCCTATTCTCTCATTGTCGTAGCGTCTTCGTTTCACTTCATCGCCCAGGACCTCGTACGCCGCGGCCACGGCGGCGAACTTCTCGGGGTCGCCGCCCTTGTCCGGGTGATGCTGCTTCGCGAGGTCGCGGTACGCCTTCTTAATTTGTTTTTGCGACGCGCGCCGCCGCAGGCCGAGCGTGTGGTAGTGGTCGCCGGCGGCGGCGCCGAGCAGCAGCGCTAGGTGGTAGAGCAGGCGCATGGTCAGACGCCTTTTTGTGGTCTCTGACGGCGTGCGCGCGCAGGGACTTCGTATCCGCTGGCAGAGGGCCTCCTGGGTTTTGGCTATAGGACGCGTTCGCGCCGCTTCTTCGATGTCTCGCAGCGAGGACAGGCACAAATAAGAGCCTCTCCGCTTGCGCTTCCGGCTGGAAGCTGGATAGTGGAGCAGGCTGGCCTGCGAAAGCTTGAACGCTAGGGCTAGCGGCATGTAAGACACTAGCAAACGAGCAGACCGCGGGCTGATGACGACGTCGCCTCAATCGCAGGTGGCACTCGTCGCGTTGATCATCAAAAAAGAACAGTAGCTATGCTTAGAGCCGTCGGACACAGAAAAGCGGGAGGGACAACGCGGCGACTCAGGAGAAGTAGCCGCCGAGCTCGTGCGAGTCGCGCGGCGGCGCCTCCGCGCCGCCCGCGATGGCGAGGCACTGTTCGCGCCAGCGGCTCCGGTCGTCGTCCGGAGACGTCGACGGCGTCGCGAGGAGGCTCAGCGCTTCCTCGCGCCAGCGGCTGCGGAGCGCCTCCGGGTCGGCCGGTGGCGGGCTGGCCAGGCAGAACGGCGCCTCGTGCGACGCGGCCGTCGAGTGCGCGCGGGACGACGCGCCCTTCGAGAGCGCGCGGGCGCCAAGGACCGCCGCCGACGCGCCGCGGACGGCGCGCGTCCCAGCGACGAGTTTCTTGGCGCCGCGGCGGCCCATGATTGTTGCGAGGCGGCTCGCGAAAAGCGTAGGTACGGCCATGCGCGCGTATTAACAAATTGTCTGCTGGACGGTTTTGTGAATCCTGAGCTCTGGAGCTCGCGCGATCGCCGCGTTTCGGCTGGCTTTTGATAACAGGTCACAGAGGGCCCGAATCACAGCTCTTCTTGTCTTCGGACCGCACCGCGGCCGCGGCGGAGGCTCGATCCGAGGATGGCACTGGCCTACCACTCCGACAAGAATCGAGCCACCCTGCCCAAGCACCTCTCGAGGGACTCCTCTCACCCCATATGCACGTACTAAGACGCCTCGCAGCCAGCAAAACCCAAAAACACGGGAAAAAAAAAGAGACAAACGAACGCGATTACACAACACGACTCAACGATAATTCTGGAGCAGCCCGCCGCTTCCGCCACTCGTCGACGGCGAGGCGCCCGCACCCGGCCACGACCGCGAAGATAAATACAAGATCGACCACCGCGACGGCGCGCGCCGCCCAGAGCAAGTACACGTTGGGGGCGTACTGGAGCCAGACGACGCAGGTGATGGCCGAGGGAAAGGTCATCGTGGCCCAGACGAGCGAGAAGGGCTTGATGGTGGCGCGGCGCCGCCCGACCGCGCAGACGGTAAAAAACGCGTAGAGCGTCGCAAGGCCCGCGAGGACGCCGCCGACCCAGGCGTCCCAGGCCGGGGTCCACAAGACAATCTCCCGTGACGCCTTCATCGCCGCAAAGGCTGCCGCCGAGATGCTGCACGGCGCCGCAAGTAAAGCCACGTCCGCGTGGGGGCTCACTTTTACATCCCGTAAAACGGCATACGCCTCCGGCGGCGCTATTATGACGCAGATCAGAAGAGCAAGCGCGAACGACCCCATGGGCAGCCAGTGGCGGGCGCCCAGGCACGGCGCCGCGACGATGGTAGTGGCGGCACACGACATGCACACGGGGTTCCAGTACGGCTCCGGCGCCGCGCCCTCCTTCCAGCAGGTTTTTAGGAAGACAATCATCACAATGAGCTGGAGCAAGCCGGCGGCGTAGGCTCCAAACTCGCAGGGTAGTAGCAGCCGCGCCCAGGAGAACGCGAAGGCCATCTCCCAGGCGCCATACGTGAAAAACGCGCGCGGTTTCGCGGCCTCCTCGAGGATACGGTGCGGCGCGGCCAGTCTCGACGCGAGGAAGAGGAGCCATAACGTTGCTGACATTGAGGCGGCGACGACCACTACAGGGTTCGGGTAGAGCACATGCAGTAAGTTGGCGAAGGCCGCGCAGCCGAGGGCCACGCCATTGATACCGGGCGGCAGGTCCTTCAACGCCTCGAGGGCCGCGGTCCCGCTCGACCCGGTTGCAGGCGGCTGCTCGGCATCGCGGGTCGCGTCGGCGGCGGCAGGCGGTTCGGCGGCCTTCACTTCTTCGCGGGTCGCGTCGGCGGCGGCAGGCGCTTCGGCGGCCATCACGGGCGCTGCGGTCTACCGGGGCAGCCCTGTGGCACTTGCTGCAAACTCACCTGGCTGAGCCAGCCCATCACGCGTACCGAGAATCCCGGTGGCAATTGCTTCGCCCTGTGGCCGCATGGCTTCGGCCGGGTGGCAGAGGCAGCGGCTCGCGTCGATTTGTGCGCCGCTCGCGAATGCTTTTGGATCCAAAAGCTGATGAGAATGACAAGGTTCGCGCCCCGCACGCTCGGCCCGCGACGTGTCCGGGCCCCCTGGGAAGTCTCCCGGCGCCGCCCGACGGCTCGGAGCCGGATCACACGCAGGATCGGCCGTTCCCGAGAAAACCGCGACCGGCGCGCCGTCGCTCCGCCCACGAGTCCTAGCACCGCAACAGAAACACTAAGTTGGTTCAACATCATAGTTATACTTGGGAGCCGGGCCCGGCTCAATAAGACCCGCGGAGGGCGCGCCGCACGGGGTCGCCCGGCACCGGGATCATCTCCACTTTCCTATGTAAATACACGAAGCTCAGCGCGATGATCACGTAGGCGACCACCAGCACGAAGCCCGACAAGTACGTGACCTCCCCCACTTGGACTTGAAACGCGACGATAATAACCGACAGCATCGTCACCGTCGTCTCGAACGGAGGAAAGTCCAAGGTCATGTCGTTATCCAAGCCTGGTAGGAGCCAGCCGATGACGACCATGAGTGGTATGACGAATAAGGCGATCTGCGTCGACGAACCGAGAGCGACGGCGATGGCTAGGTCGAGCTTCTCGCGGTAGGCCATGCCGATGGCCGTGGCGTGCTCGGCGGCGTTGCCCACGATCGGTAGGAGCACAAATCCCACAAAGGCCCTCGGCAGATTCCAAGCTAACGCTGCCCCCTCGATCGCGTCGCAAATGACCTTCGAGAGTAACGATATCAATAGAGTCAACAAAGCTAACCACGCAATGGCCACGTTCGGCGCCAACACGAACTCGTCGTCGTCATCTTCTTCCAACTCGGGATAGGACCCGTCGAAGGGCGGTAACCTATTGGCGTGCGCCGCCGCCAGCACGACCTGCTGGAAGCCGGCCTCGCCGCGCGCCCTTCGGCTGGGAGACTTCGGGCTTGCGTCCTCGTCGTCCTCAAAGATGTACGCGTGCGACGACAGCTGGAAGAAGAGGTAGAGGCCATATAGTAGCAACATGATGACGGCGACGCCGTGGGAGAAGGCCTTGAGTTCGGGTTTTTCGATCTCTTGGGACGCGCTGAGGACGGCGGGTACCGCGATAGCCAGAACAACCACTAGCAGTAATGAAGTGTTCGCCGACGCCGCCAATCGGTTGAATTTGGCTACTTTTTTCTTCATGCCCGCCGCGACGAAGGCCGTTCCTAACACCAGGAGCATATTTGAGAGTACCGAGCCTAGTAATGACGACTGGACCACGTCGATCAACCCGAGCCGCATCGCAAATATAGACACGATGACCTCCGTGGCGTTGCCGAAGGTCGCATTCAACAAGCCTCCGATGGTGTCTGTCGTGTGATAAGCTACTTTTTCCGTCACATCACCTAGTAAAGTAGCCAAAGGTAGCAGCGCGATCGAACCAAACGCGAAGCGCGCGCCTTCTCTCCCTTGGACGAAGGGTAGCACGACTACAAACAGAAATAACCAATTCAGCCACGTGCTCTTGATCAATGCCATCGACCCGGCCTTCCAACCTAGAGGCTGGAGCTTCTTCTGCTCGAGGAACTGCTTTGCTGCTACGAGATACAGTAACTTCTTCCTCCACCGACGCTTCTTCTCGCGCGTCGACGGCGTGTCCTGGCCGCCTAAATTGCGGAGCGACTCGGTGCTGCCCGCGTCGGGCACTTGGCTCGTGTCCACTTTCAAATGCGTGCGCTCGCTCATTTTACGTGTTTAGGTGTTGTTGAACGCAGTTCTAGCTGCCGGCGCGCACCGCTGCGGGTACGCGCGGTGCGGCAAAGGGGTGGCTGGCTCGCTGTCTTGCCAGGTAGGCTACGCCAGCGCGTGAAACTCAAGCGGCGTGCTGGTGCGGTGATTAGAACAGCGAATCAGCAAGCGAATCAGCAGCTCGCGCCAGAGATAGCAAGCGCGCAGCGCGATTCAGAATCGAGGGCTAGCGGCATGCAAGACACTAGAAACCGTGCCCGGACAGAGTCCTCGCCCGACACAGCAATCCCGAAACCCCACACAAGAATCATCGCCATGCAACGATAGCGCCACTAGCCTCGACAACGAGGCTGCCCACAAGGTACATAAGCCGAAACAGCGGCCCGCGGGCTGCCGTCACAAGGCACCATGATGGGCATCGACGACTTCGCGACGACGGTGAACCTCGCCGACGCGCTGAGCGGCTGCGCCGAGCCGAGCCCGCAGTGCGCCTTCCCCCAGCACTCATGTGAGGAGCTCGACGCCTTCCTGGGCCGCGCCGACGACGCCGGTCTATTGACCATGGAGGCGATCCTGAAGGGGCCGTTGGGCCTGCGCATGTTCTCGCGGTGGGCCTCGACGTTTGTTCAGGGCGGCGGCGCGGTGCGGGCGGCGGCGCACTTCTTAGTTGATGTCGCTCTCCTCAAAACGAAGAACGACGCGGCGCTTTATGAGTCCATCATGGGTACCTACTTCGGCAACGACGCGCGTGTTGAACGGGACCTGCCCTGCGATCTGAGGAGGGCGCCGCGGCCTTCTACGGCGGACGCGACGCTGTACAAGACGCACGTGCAGGATGCCGCCTTATTGGGCCTCGAAGGGCGCTTGGCGCGGCCGTCGAAGGCGCCGTCCTTCCGGCGGGAGACGTCGATTATTTCGCGGTACCGGCGCGGCGTCTCGACAGTACAACACTCATTTGCGTCCCGCGTCGATGGCGTCGCGCGTCGTCGCGCGTGCCGCGTCGATGGCGTCTCGGGCCGCGCTTCGAGACGCTCCCACCGCACGCCGTCGACGCGACGCGGCAAACATAAAACCACGCAGGGACAAGCTGCCCCTCGTCCACGGCGCCTCGTTGATCGCCAAGGACGCGCCGTTCCAAGACCAATTCAACATAATCGAGGACCTCATGCTCGCGTTCTGCGAGAAAGTAGCTTTACCCTGCTTTTTGTGTAGAGACGCGAACCCGGACCTCTACGCCTACCTAGGGTACCTCAAGACCCAGGTCGAAGCCAAACCTTGTGAAGAGGACTTTGAGACCATCCGAGTCATGGGCAAGGGCGGCTTTGGTTTGGTGAAGGGCTGCAAGACGCTGCGGACGGGCAAGATGTACGCCCTCAAGGAGATGGACCTGAAGCACGTCACGAAGAAGAAGGCTAAAGTTTTGTGTGACGCCGAGCATGCGTGTCTGACGCATCCTGTGGTTGCGGACTCGCCGTTCATCGTGTCGTTGATTTACGCCTTTCAAAGTTCGTCAGCGTTGTGTCTGGTGCTGGATCTGATGACTGGTGGGGATTTATCATTTCATCTAGACAGAGCACCTTCCAGAAGATTCCCGGAGGAAGCGGCGCGGTACTACGCGGCACGGACGTTGCTCGGCCTCGAGGCATTACATGACGCGGGGTTTGTCTATCGCGACCTGAAGCCCGAGAACATTCTGGTCGATGGCGACGGTCGTTGTCGTTTGTCGGACCTGGGCTTGGCGGCTTTGATACCTCAAAAGGGTGTAGCTGGTACTCCGGGATACCTCGCGCCCGAGATGCTCCAGGGTCACAAGTACGGGACGGAGGTCGACTGGTGGTCCTTCGGGTGCCTGCTCTATGAGCTTGTAAGTGGGACGTCGCCCTTTCGCACGGCGGAAGCGCGGAAGACGTACGAGGGCGACGCGGTCGCGTCGGCCAATCAAGCGACGCTCGAGATGAGTGTGGAGTACCCTCCCTACTTTTCTGGTGAGTTGAAGGACTTACTATCAAAGTTGCTGCAGAAAGATCCCGAGCAACGACTCTGTAAGAACGTCGCGGCGCACGCGTTCTTCTCCTCACTCAACTGGTCGGTCCTACGCAACGACCCGGACCCCGACACGATCGAGGGCTCACAAGAAGCGCCGCCCTTCGCCCCGGGCAACTCGCTGAATGTGGAAGATCCTGATGAAATTGGGACGTTCCCCGATTTACCGGATATTGTGGTGGATCCAGGCATGTTCCCGGAGGCGTCCTGGTTGTACGTCAGCGAAACGAAGTACCAGGAGGAGGTTGTGTGGTTATTGCAGTACCAGGAGAAGGCGGCGCCCAAGAAGTCCTCTTCGTTCTGCACCATTGCCTAGAGCGCGCCCCGCGTGAGAGCAGCGCCTACCCCCTGTCCCCGTGCGTGTTAGTATTACATTAATCGCCTCCCGCGGAATAGGGGTCCTCCCAGAGGTGGTCGCAGCGCGGCATGGACGCGTAGCCGTGCCAGTTCATGTTCAGCTTTTCCGAGGACGCATCCAACGCCCGCAGGCAGTGCGCCGCACATCCAAATGGTTTCAACCGGGGGCGGGCCGCAGCAAACTGCCACCACCAGTCCTTGGCGCAGTGGTGGCCGCCAAAACTTCTAGTTTCCTTCGGCGCGTCCCAGGACATGGCAATACCAGAATCGCATTTCGGCGAGTCGGGGCACTGCCAGGGCTTCGGGGGCACGTTGAAGTGTAAATAATGTAGTCTTCGAGGACAGCTCCACTTCGACACGAGCTTCGCGGTCCGCCGTTCCAGGCCAAAAAAGTACTCGACGAAGCCCTGATCACTAAAACCGGCGCCCATCGACGCCCAGGACGGCTCCTCTTCACTATTTCGTGTGGCCCAATTATGCGGTTGACTTCGGTCGCCCCACCCCACCCTATGGATCCGTTTCCGATCACAAACTCTATGCCCACCACACAGCTTGTCTAGTTCCTGGCCGATGTCGTAGAACGTATCTTTCGAGGGCACGGCCAGCAAATAAGCCGTTAATACGGGAGTGCCCGACGTCTGCTGCGCAATTAATTCCGCATGGTTGCCCTGCTGGCACGTGATATGGTGGTCTACCACGTTACAGGCGCCGTACCTGTCGGTGGATGGGGCGATGAGCTTCTTGTCGCATTGGAGAGGTGCCTCGAAGAGAAATCGTAAACTTCCAGTTACCACACCATCGATGTCCAGCAATAACACGCGAAGGTACTGATCCATCTTGAAGATATATAACTTCCGCAACAATAAATACGAGTCGAAGACATGTCTATGCGGCCCGAACAGCATCTGCTCTATGACAATGTTATGTTTGACCAGTGATTCATACAATGGTAGGGGCGTCTCCCTATCGACAAGAGCGACGAAATCATAGGTGTCACCCAACCCACCCAAGCGTCGTACCGAGTCCGCCAGCACCAACACCGCACAGACCGCCTTCGATCTAGGACACATGTCTCCTTGTTCTTTCTTGCCGACGCTGCGAGGCGTCCAGCCGTCGTTTTTTGCGGAAGGTGCTGTTGTTAGTAGTGTAGCGACGGCGAAGGGCTTTCTACGGTAAGTATGGTCCTGCTCGAAGAGCACGGACGTGTTGCGGTGGGAGTGCGCGGTGATGCCCCTGAGTCTTTGTTGGTGGATGTGGTGGCGGTGCGGGCCGCGGTAGTACCAGTACCAGTAACCCAACAAAGGCGTGAAGGGCAGCAGGCAGCAGGCCGCCGAGCAGTTGCGCCGGCGCGGGTGCTTGCGGCCCCTGCTTCGGGTCCTGCCCATAGTATTGGTGGTCTGCGCGCCGGAGTTGCGCCGCTGCTGCCGCTCGCAGTGCAAAAAATGGGCAGCCCTATTGATGGAATTTTCTGCTCGCAGCGCTTACAGCAGTAACGAGGCGGTTTCGTGACGCGCCGCGACGATAAATGAGCCGCGCGCAGGCGCCGCGCCGCCAAGCTTGCAAGCCCTCTGAGTTCGTGCGGGGTGGCCGCCCCAGCGCAGACTTCCGGGGGCTCCTGGCACGGTCCTTCAGCGGTTCTGCGACGGGCGGGATCAATCGCACCGAAGTACCCTGCCGAAGACGCCCCGGCGACGCGCTGCGACGGCGTGCCGGTGGCGTACTAGAGGCGATAGGTACCGAACTTGAAATGGTCATGCTTACCCCCGGGGGAGAAGGGCAATTCTTCTTCAGTCCTGGGCCATGTCGCCGGGCTTCGCCCCGACTAACGACCAGACCGCGACGGCGCCCTCGTCTCCAACACTGACGGCGCATTTCTGGTCCGGCGAGATGCGCACGGCGTTCACGGCTTTCGAGTGGGCCACGCCCTCGGCCGTCGCCACGCCCTCGTCGTAGGACCAGACCTTCACCGTGGAGTCGCCACTTCCCGTCACGTAGTACGCGCCGTGCTCGGGGTCGACGTCCAGCGTCGTCATCCACGCCGTGTGCGACCCGTCCACACATCGGACGTTCTCCCCATCCAACCCGTCCCAGTACGTCAGCTTGAAGTTGCTACCGGCCGTCAAGCACCCGGTCCCGTCGGGGTGCCACGCCACATCACAAAAGATGTTCGACTCCAACAACGAAAATCTCTTGAGTGGAGGCGCGCCCGGCGCGGGATCGAGCTCGAAGCAGAGGCAGGAACCATCGGCGGAAGCGGAGATGGCCGTCTGCCCATCGGGAGCGACTTTGATGGCAGTCACACTCTTCCTATGGTCCTTGATCGAGAAGAGCATGGCCTGGTGGGATGAGGTGACGCGCCAGGCTCGCACTCTCCCGTCGCCACCGCCCGTCATGAGCACGTAGCTACCCGAAGGTCGTTCGTTGGGCACGATGGCGAGCGCGGTGCAGCCGTTGTTGTCCTTATCATTGGGTAACTTCGTGTGCGCGTCGTTGATGACGAACTTTAACTTACCTGTTTCTGGCAGAAAAGCTCTAACACGACCGTCGGACCATCCTGAAATGATGGAATCGCCTCCACTGCTAACTAATATAGCGTTACATTCGAGGTTGGGCACTCTGATTCTCAACAACTCGACGCGTTTCTGCGTGTTCCAGACTCTGATGTCGCCGCCCGCCGAACAAGTGACGAAAATACCGCTGAAATTCGGCGCGAAGCAACAATCCTTCACGACGCCCACATGAGCAGTAGTCATCAGGTCCGCCTGCCAGGGCTTCACGGCAATGCGGTATCTATTACCTTCGACCGTAGACGCCGTGAACACGTCCGCATCATCTTCCGACGCCGCAATGGACGTCACGCCACCCATTAAAGTTTCTTTTTTGCCCCCGATCGGTTTCAAATTCTCGGAGAATAAAGCGATGGAACCATCACCACCACCGACGACAATCGTGTCTCGGCCGTTGTCCGGATTAATCAGGAGCATAATAGCGGTCACGCCTTGACTACATTTAGCTCTAGAAATCTCGCGGTAGCGCGGTCTCGTGCGGTCGGGGTCGTTCGGGCCCTGGATCCCATCTCTATCGATGGAGAACTTCAGGACTTCTCCCGTCGTCGTCCCCACGTAAGCGAACTCGTCGCCACTCCCGATCGTGACGGAGATCATGATTCTCTTCAGGGCACCAGTTATCGCGTCCATCGGATGGAGCTTGGGTAAAGACACGTCGACGACCCAGACCCGTAGGTGGCGCGCGCCGCAGGTCACGACTCGATCGGGGTTTTCTCTCAACCAAGCCATGGCCAAGCCACTTTCGGCGGCCGCCGGTTGGCCGCAGATCGCTTCTCCCGAATCTAAATCCCAAATCACCAGAGCGTTGTCATCTCTACCGCCCAACGTCGCTAAAAAGGTGTCGTTGCAGTTGATGGCCACGGCCTGGACGCCGGACTTGTGCTGCCTCAGGCGATGTTTGAGAGCGCGTTCGCCGCCCTGCGAATCACCACTCAAAGCACACTCGCAGGCCTCGGCCAAATCCCAGACTAAGACATCCGACATCACCCCCTGGACCGCCGTCTGGCCCGTCACGAGCGTCCTCCCATCTCGAGAAACGCAGACGCAGCTCACGTCGTCGTTGTGGCCCGTGAGGAACGTGAGATTCGACTTGCCCCGCGACGTCCCCGACTGCCGCACGACGACTTGCGAGCCCAGCGGGTAGACGAGCCACTCGCGGTCGCCCGGCAGGTTCGGGCTCCTGACAACTTTGAGGCCGCCGGGCACGTCTCCCGAGAAGCCGATGAGCCCGTCGAGTTTCAGGGTGACGGCGTCGTCGGCGAGCGCCATGGTCGGTGCCCCGGTCGCTGCCCCCTTCGCACTGCTGCTCCCTTGGACGCGCTGGGGCCGGCGCTTTTCGTTAGCTGCCCCGCCGGTCGCGCTATGGCATAATGTAGCGTAGCTTGTAGTAAAAACCCGACAAGCCGCAGCAGTCTCAGTAGTCCTCGCACCGTAGCAGGCTCGCCTCAAGCGGCGCACGAGCTCGTGCTCTACGCTTACCGTGGGGCCAGACGACCTGGTCGACCGTGACGTCCGCGGCGTTGCCCCTGTAGCGTAGCTACACTATTTCTGCGTTCATCCGCGTACAGGGTCGCCCGGCGGTCCGCGGCGGGGGATCCATCTCCCAGCGTTGCCTGGGCAGCTCTGTGTCCTGGTTGCTTTCCTTTCCGATTTATCCTAGAGTTTAAGTAATCCGCTTGGTCTCAGGTCTTCACGTGGGCTTTTCTAGCCGATGGGAGGTGCGTTACCTGTGGCTGGGTCTAACTGAGCACATTGCGCTGTTCGCGGTCGTCGCGCGCCCGCGGGTGATGGGCTCGCCAGCTGCCGATGCCACGGCTCCGAAGGTCGTCGGGAGTTCCCACCAGGTATCAATATCATCGATATCTGGGAGGCCTAGAAAACCCGGCCGATTCGAGCTCGACTGTGGGTCCAGTCCTTCGCCCACGGCGCGAACGACACGGCGAACGCGACGGCGGCCTTCTCGGCGACGCTCGGCACGTACCAGAACGGCCTCGACTCGTGCGACCAGCCGGAGACGCCCGTCTGGATCTGTGTGGAAATCAAATTTCGGGCGCCCCACGCCATCGACGCGATGTTGTCTCCGTAGCTGCGTCTGCTCAGATAACCTAACTCACTGGCCGATTTCCACACAGGTCTGGATCATGGCCGTGGGCGGCTTCTTCGTGCTGCTCGGCGTCTGGTCGCTCGGCTGGCGCGTGATCCGCACCGTCGGGTCCAAGATCGCGACGGTCGACTTCCACACGGCCTGGTGCATCGAGTTCGGCTCGACGCTGTCCGTCGTCATCGCCACCATCCAGGAGCAGCCCGTTTCTACCACTCACTGCCAGATCGGCGCCGTGACGGCCGTCGCGCTGGCCTCGCTCGGCTGCAAGCACGTCCAGTGGTCCATGCTCGGGAAGATCCTCGTGTCCTGGATCCTGACCATCCCGACGTCTGCCGTCATCGCGGCGATCATCCTCTGGATCTTCCGGCCGGCCGTCTGCGCGTCGTGCCCGTGGTCCTGAGCTCGTCCTGTCTGTCTTCTCCCTGTCGCACCCCTCTCCCTCCCTATGTCTAGGCTAAAGTCATTCGTTGAACTCCAAGCGTCCCTATCTATACCTTACCCCTTACCTATACCTATACCATACCATCAGCTTTCAAAACACAGCGAGAGAACGCCTTGATATTTGCTGCTTGTAAGCCGTGGCGCGGCACATTAGGACGCTCTCAGCTATGATGCGTCTCCTCGTCGCGCTTGCGGGGCTCGCCAGCGCGTTGCAGCCGCCGCCGTCCCTCTCCAAAGGCGGCACCTCCCTGAAGTTCGACGCCGCCGACGCGATGGCCGACATGATCGCCGCGCAGCACGCGCTCAAGCTCGAGAGCGTGCGCAAGGCCAAGGAGGAGGTCTACGCGTCCTACGCCGAGAAGATCGCGGCGCTCGAGCAGGAGCTCGCCCAGCGCACGGACGTGCCCATCTACTCCTCAAATGCGGCGGCGGTACCAGCACCGGCCGCGGCCGCGCCGGGCCCCGAGCTCACGTTCCTCGAGTACCCGCAGACGCCGGCCTCGAAGTTCAAGCCGACGCAGCCGCTCGAGAGCACGGTCATGAGCGTGAAGCGCGCCATCGGCCCGGACGCGCCGGGCGAGATCTGCCACGTGGCCCTGCAGACGGGCGGGCGGCTGCCCTACGTCGAGGGCCAATCAATAGGCGTGCTGCCGCCCGGCATTGATGCGAAGACGGGCAAGCCCCACCAGCAGCGGCTCTACTCCATCGCGTCGTCGCGGTACGGGGACGACGGCGGCGGCACGTCCGTGTCGCTCTGCGTCCGTAGAGCCGTTTATGTGGACCCCGAGACCGGTGCGGAGGACCCAGCGAAGAAGGGCGTCTGCTCGAACTTTCTGTGCGACTCCAAGCCCGGCGCCTCCGTGAAAATCACGGGCGCCGTCGGGAAAGGCATGCTCCTGCCCGACGACGACGAGGCCGACATCATCATGGTCGCGACGGGCACGGGCGTCGCGCCCTTCCGGGGGTTCATTCAGCGTCTCTTTATTGAAAGGACGCCCGCGGCGGCGGCGTTCGAGGGCCGGGCCTGGTTATTGTTCGGCGGGCCGACGTCGGACTCGGTGTTGTACCCGGAGCTCTGGGAGCAGGCCGCGGCGAACAAGCCGGGCCAGTTCGAGCTCACACTCGCGATTTCAAGGGAGCAGACCACTTCCACTGGAGGGAAGATGTACGTCCAGGAGCGGCTCACGGAGCGCGCGGACGAGCTCTTCGAGCGCCTCGCGGGCGGCGCCCACCTCTACTTGTGCGGCCTCAAGGGCATGCAGCCGGGCATCGAGGCGGCTCTTGAACAAGCGGCGGTCGCGCGGGGCCTCGACTTCAAGACGTGGATCAAGGCGCTCCGCAAGGAGAAGCGGTACCACGTGGAGGTTTATTGAACCTGTATCTATCTGTCTAAAAACGAAACGAACTTATGACCACTTCACTCGGCACCCTTCCTGCTGCCGCGCCGCCGGGACTTCGCCGGCGCCGTCACGTCGATGACCTCGACCTTCTTCTTCGCGTCGCCGCGGCCACCCTTCCCGCCGCGGCCCCGCCCGCCGCGCCCGCGGCCGCCGCCGCGCCCGCCGCGCCCCTTGCCGTTCTCGACGAAGGACGGCGGCGGCGGCGGCGGCGCGCCGTTTTTCTTCTGGCGCGGTGCCGGCGGCGGCGCCGCGTCGCGCTTCTCCTGCGCCTCCTTCTGCTTCGTGAGCCAGGCGATGTACTCACGGTGGTTGCGGAAGGCCGGCTGCTCGGGCTCCTGCGCCTTGGCCTTGGCCTTGGCCGCGCGCTCGCGCTGGATGGCCTCGGCGCGCGTGCCAGGCAGCGGCGCCTCGTCGTCGTAGCGGCGCTCGCGCCCTTTGCCGCCTTTGCCGCCCTTGCCCTTGCCCCGGCCGCCGCCCCGGCCGCCGTCGAAGCCGCCGCGGCCGCCGCGCCCGCCATCAGAACCCTTGCCGCGACCGCCGCCGCGCCCGCCGCCCTTTCCGCCGCGGTCCGCGTAGCCGTTGCCGCCGCGGTCACCGCCGCGGTCGCCGTACGAGCCCGCCCGCTTCGCATCCACATGACCATTATTCTTCGCCGAGCGCGGGTTCTGCGTGTCGAGGAACCACGATGGTAAAGGCTGCTTGTTCTCCTTGAACAACCGCACCAAATCGCGGTGTAGATCCTGGTTCCCGCGGTTCGTCTCGTAGCCAGGCACGAAAAACGCCGTCGCCCGCCCCGTCTTCCCCGCCCGGCCCGTCCGGCCGATCCTATGGACGTAGGTATCAAATTCATCTTGTGGCAGGTCGAACTGTACGACGTGTTGCACGTCCGTCACATCTAACCCTCGTGCGGCGACGTCCGTAGCACAAAGCACGTCGCAGCGCCCGGCCTTGAAGGCCGCGAGCGCCGCTTCGCGCTGCGACTGGTTCCGGTCCCCGTGAATGTCCTCGGCCCGCACGTTCAGCTTCTTTCTTAACTCTCTACAGACCCAGGCCGTGTCCCGCTTTCGTTGCACGAACACTATCGTTTTTTCATTGGGCACCAACACGTCCCTTAACAAAGGGAACTTGTCCTGCTTCCGGCCGCTCCGCGGCGCCTCGACCAGGAACTGCGAGATGCTCGCCACGGACGACCCGACCCGCCCCACCGTGACTTCCGCCAGTCGACTCCCGTCCAAGTACGTCTGCGCCACACCCTTCACCGCTTGCGAAAAGGTCGCCGAGAACATGAGCGTCTGCCGCTGGAGCGACGACGGCAGGTAGGCCACGATCCTTTTCAGTTGCGGTTCGAAGCCCATGTCGAGCATGCGGTCGGCCTCGTCTAGCACCGCGAAGCGCACGTTCGATAGGTCGACGAGGGGCCCGCGCTGCGTCGACCTCTCGAGGAAATCAACGAGTCGACCCGGCGTCGCCACGAGGACCTCGACACCTCTCGCCAGAAATGACAATTGCGGCCGCGCGTTGGCCCCGCCGTAGCAGCAGACGCACCAGTTCTTTTGCTGTCTTGGGGCGTCGAAGCACAACTTCGCGCACTCCTCGGCGATCTGCGTCGCGAGTTCCCTCGTAGGTGCCAGGACTAAGGTCGAGGGCGTCGCCGGGCCCTTCTGATTGGCCTTCCTTCTTTCTTTCGCCGCGGCGCTCGCCGCGGTTAAACAAGGCAGCAAAAACGCGACGGTCTTGCCGCTGCCCGTCTGCGCCGTCGCGACGACGTCGTGGCCCGCGAGGGCCAGCGGGATCGTGTGCTTCTGGATGGGCGTCGGCGTCTCGTAGTTCAACCGGTCTTTACCCGTAAGCGTCGCCTTGAGCCACGGCGGCACGCCGTTCACGTCCCTAAAAGATTGTAAAGGCGCGATCTCTTTGTTCGACGGCGTGCCCTTGCCGCGCGTCACGGGGATCTTCTCGTACTGCGCAAAATTGATGCCCGTCGACTGCTGCCCAAACAACTCGCGCGCGCCGGCGAGCGGCGGCGCGGCGCCGCCCCTGTCCACGCACTGCCAGAAGTATTTGGCCTCGTCCGCGGCCTTGGCGTCGACGGCTTGTTGTTGCTTGTTCCTACGGTAGGCCTTGCGGCTGTCTCGCGATTGGCGCATGGCGTCCTGTGTACAGCTGTCCTGTGTACAGCTGGCTGAATGGCTGTGGTACGATGCCAAGTTGTCGGCCTCTTAGGAATTGCGAGCTCGTGAAGTGCTCTTGGCTCGATGTGGTGCGATTAGAACTCGTCGCGGCCTCTTAGGAATTGCGAGCAAAGTACGGTGTTATGTGGTGCGATTAGATGCGCGACGGCCTCTTTTTTCGACCGTAAAAATTCGAGCTAGCATGCAGTAAGACACTAGCCAGCGTCCAGGCTCCGCGGCGCTCGACCCGTTGAAGTGCGAGGACGCCCAGGACGCATCGCCTACTCGCCCAGCATGCCGTTGTGGCCCTCGGCGCACCGAGCTCCTGCGTGGAAAACCGGCCGGCGGCGCGCCGCGGCAGCGTTCAGGGCAGCCCCAGGCTGAAGGCCGTGCTCAGCGTGTTCTGGGCTATTTTTCACGCGGGCAACTCTCATTTCCGGGCCAACAGGGGCGGCGCTGCACGTTGCGAGCAGCCCGGGGTGCGCGGGGTGGCTAGGGGCGGCGCGCGCGCACAACGCCAGAATCGTGGCTAGGCTAGGCTGCTACTATCAAGTAGTGGTTGCGGCGCATGCACGAGGTGCAGAGGCCGGCGGCGATCTTCTCGCGCTCGCACCCGTTCATCGATCTGTCGCAGCGCGGCGGGGTGGCGACGAGAATTGAAAATGACTCATTTCATGCCCGTGGGGTCCCCCTCACCGCTGCGAGCGCCGTCCCGATGCGTAGCGGACGGCACTACGCGGCCTTCACGATCTTACGTCACCGTGTACGTGTGCACTTCGGCTTGATCCGGCCAGGCTACGATGTCGAGAACCGAGGGTACTCGTACGATGTCGACGGCCACTGCTTCTACTCCGCGCGCGATGGGCTGCGCTACCCCGGCGCCAAAGCGCCGGAGACCTGTCCTGACTTCGTTGAGCGGAGAGACTACTACGGCGGCCATCCCTGGCCAGGGAATCCCCTGCCAGGGCAGGGCTGGCCCGGGAGCCAGGACGCGAGGCGGGGCGACGCCATCGGCCTGCTGCTCGACCTCGACACCGGCACCCTAACCGTCTTCAAGAACGGCGAGCGGCTGGGCGTGATGGCGACGGGCCTAGAAGAGGAGTACTGCTGGGCGGTCTCGCTGGGCGACGAGGGCGACAGCGTCCGCATCGAGCCAGCGTCGCGATTCCCGTTGCCCGTTGCCCCGACGGCGGCACAGGTTGCGGCGGCGGTCGCGTTCGAAGCGGAGCAGGAGGCTTTATGGGTGGCGCGGCATTTTGATCTCCGTTACCGTAGAGCCTGAGCAAGTTACTGCTTCGATAAAGCTCGTTCGTAGGCTTAAGAACAACGTGAGTTACAATTGCCCGTTCGGTCGCGCGGTCGTACTTGTGACATGCCCGCACTCAGGAGCTCGGCGCCGGCATCGGGGTGAGGAATCGACACCGCCACGCCGTCGAGCAAGCGTAGGCACGCGGCCGACGGGGGAACGGAAGAACCGCCCTCCGACCAAGATCGCGCAAGCTTCCCGTTGGCGTCCTCCTGAGGCTGTGAGGGGCAGCAAGCCTCGTTTTCGCAGGGGCATAACAACACACACACTAGTGTAAGAGGCCTCTTTGCGTAAGACAGCCGTCGGTTGGCCAACTATCGCGAGAGCACACACGTAGCTGGTCGCCTGGCATCGCTTCAGCAGCGTTCTGCATCTCCTGTGCATCGCTTCGCGCGAGGATGCACGCCACAGCCCGATTTGTGCGGTGCGTGGCGGCGCGCTCTGGCGGCGCATCGATGCGCCGGACCCTTGCGACGGCCGCCCGCGGGCCGCCGGCCGCCATGCCCGCCATTGCAGATCCGAAGCGGAAGCGCGAGCGCCGGCGGCGGCGGCCGACGGCGGCGCCGAAGCGAGCCGCAGTTGTTGACGACGACGACCCCGCGCGATTCTTGGAGCGCGCGGCGCGCCTCGCCGACCGCGTCGCCGCCGCCTTCGCGGGCCTCGACGGCGTGGCGACGTCGCGCGAGGGCGGCGTCGTCGTCGTCGACCTCGGTGCGAGCCGCGGCGCGTTCACGCTCGCGCCCAACGACGACGCCCGGACAGTGAGCCTCCTCTCGCCCGTAAGCGGCGCGCAGACCTACCGGTGGGACGCGCGCGCGGAGGCGTGGAAGCACGTCGACGACGGCCACGACGTCACGGGGCTGCTCGTGCGCGACTACCTGCGCGCGGGATGCGTGGGCTTGCCGGATTTGTAACTTCTTTGTTGTATCTCTTGACATATCTAGTACAGTCTCTGAAGTACTTACGCCGTCGACGACGTGACTTTGCTACGGGACCACGACGCACTTCTGGTCGTAGTTCGAGTGCTCCCCGAGCTCCTTCGCGCGGTCGTCGCCGACGGACTGCAGCGCGTTGAAGAACTTGTGCACGAAGCCCGCGATGTATACTCTCACCACGAGCAGTATCAGCGACCACACCATGAACGCGATGTACCACGCGGTGAAGCTGCCCTCGACCCACGAGAACTCGTGCCGGTTCGCGAAGAAGAAGATCGTGACCACGATGATGTTGAGGATCAGTCCCGCGACCCAGACCCACGCGAAGACGACGTAGACCAGCACGAGGCACGAGTTGTAGATGTGCGCGCCGATGAAGCCGCAGATCGCGCCTATCAAACACACGAGGAACCAAAATCCTCCCGCCCAGATGGAGCGGGTAAGCTTGCTCCATTTGCTAGTGTCTTACACGCCGCTAGCCCCCGCGGACGGCAGTGTCACTGGCCGGTACGGCGGGTCTATTAGTTTGGGCTTGGTGTAGTGTAATGGTGGAATGTAACTTAAATTAGGCATATTAACACACACACTGGCGGACAGCTGCAAGGGGCCCGACGCGGACGCGCCGGGACGCGAATGAGGCGCAGCGCCGGGATACGACGGGCCCGTGAGGTCGGACGAGACGCCGCACGGAATCGACGAGGGTGGCGTCCCACTCACGAGCGACGGGGTGATCGCGGCCGCGAATCGTCGCCGCGGCGCCCGCCACGATCCGTGTACTCTTCCGGGCTTCCGTAAACGCATGGCGTCCCCGCGTCACAATAGGAGCAGCGTGACGAAACCAAGTAGCGCGTCTAGCTACTCCAAGTCCGAAGACCGCGCGCCGAGCCGTGCGTGGAGCCGCCCACCGCGCGCCCTCATGCACCAGCGACGTAACCAAGTCGTCGAGGTCGCCGCGGGCAGGGGGCAAGGCCCTTCCGACGTTCACTTCCATCCGTGAGGACGCTTTACGCCGGCCGCGGCGACCGCCGCACACAGACCGGTTTTTGGTGGCATGCCTTGTGCGACGAACTCGAGCATAAAAACGCTGCCTGACCCAAGAGTGGATGCGGAGGGACCATCGTGCCAGCGCACAGGCTGGTTGGGGCTGCTGGGGCCGTTTCTGCGGTCATTTCTGGCCGGGCCAGTGTCTTGTCCCAAAATTTAATAAGGAATTTACGCCCCTATGCATTCATACTCGGCTTTTTGGGAATTTTTTTGTAGAGATCCGTGAGGAGGTACCTGTGGCTGTCGCCGTCCGTTGCCAGAGAGATCGCTGAGATACCCTAGTTACACTAACTTCACGGACAGACAATGGGGGCTGGGCTATTAATACAAACTAATAGAACGCCGCATAGGCAGCTACGGCGGCGCACCGCAATTGCATGGTCTCTGGCTGCTCGTCTTCGCTGCGCTGTCCATAAATAGCGCCTCTCAACGGCCGCTCTCTTGGCTGACCCTCAAGAGCTGCTCTCTGTGGTCTGACCCGCTCGCGCCTCGCAGCCGAGGGTACCCTCAGCCCCCCGGGCGAGCCGATTCTGCCCTCCTCCGGGAGCTGCTCTCTTGGTCTGACCCTATGGCACCCATACACGATGCCGCACGCGACGCTGACGTCGAGACGCTCCGGCGGTTGCTTGCGGAAGATGTGCCGCCAGATACAGTCGATAATATCGATGAGGATTGGGAAAGAACACCTCTGCATGTCTTGTGCCGAAATGTTGAATGCGCTACGCGCGACCATGAGGCCTGCATCATGCTGCTTCGCGACGCCGGGGCAAATTTGGAAGCGACCGATATTGTTGGGCTCACGCCACTTCACTATGCGGCTATAAGTGGAAGTGTCGAATTGGTGTCGTGGCTAGTTCAAAGCGGCGTTAATCTCGATGCTGCGTCAAAAAACGGTTATACCACAGCACTGCACGTTGCGGCTGGCAGGGACAGCCGTGCAAATTGCGTCGAAGTGCTCCTGGCCGCAGGCGCTTCTCCTCATGTAAGAGACTGGAGCGGGTATACGCCTTTCCGCGTTGCACTCAAAGAAGGGCCTCGCCGTACGTGGCCTTTATTTCTCCGCGCGGGCGCTGAGATACCCACAGATAACACGGACCCGTACATCGTACGAGTCAGAAACGCCGGCGGATTCCAGAGATACGCTCAAGCCCACGTCGTGCGGATCGCGTCGATCCTCGAAACGCCTCTTCTCCCGCCGGAACTCGTCCGGAAAGTCCTTGAGTTCTGGCTCCACGCGGCCTACTACTGAGTAGTGTAAAGCTATGTTGTTTGATGATTGTGAAGAGCTCTCGACGGAAGCAGCCCCGCGGCGGCCGGGTAGCTAGGCGGCCTAGCTCTAAGCAAAGCAACTGAAGAGACGCGTGAGGCTGAGGCTAGTTACGTCGCAGGGTTCCCCGTACCCCTCCCGCTCCCGCGTGATTGCTAGTGTCTGACAGGACGCTAGCAAGCACCTGTAGCGCCCGTCGACCGTCTCGACCTGCCGTCGTCCACCTGGCTGTGATGGAATTCCTCGTGTTTTTGTGTGGGGTGTTCGGAACTGAGCTTGGCGGCTGTGCGGCTCTGTAGAAGCTACTTGGGATTTAACCTTCTTACGTCGCGTGGGGGGGGGCGTTCGTGTCGAGCGCGCGCGTCGCTCAAAGCCTTGCGCTTTGCGGCGATTTCTTGTTTTTTCTTCTCGATAAGCGCTTTCTGAGCTTCGGAAGCGGCCCGCTGAGCCGCGAGAGCGTCATTCTTCTGAGCAACGGCGGCGCACGCCGAGCTCTCGTCGGCGACGGCCTTTTTGTACATCTCTTGAGCACTTATGCTGCTAAGACGGACGGCACGTAAAAACCCCCAAGGGTCATCCGGGCTCGGGCTTCCAACTCCCGTGGCCGTCGGTGAATTTCTGCCGTTTCTGCGCGACATGCTGCTGTCCTGACGCGGAGAGGGGGGCGGGCAGGAGGGGGGAGGGCGGGGGGGGGGCGGGCTCCTTCCGCCGACGCTGTGGTTCGGCGGCAATCGCGTGAACTACACCGCGATTTCAGGCAATCACGAAGCCTGATACTGAGACACAGCGCTTATTATACATGACATATCGACACGCTCCTGGGCCCCAGCTTCCGCAGCGAAGGGCTTCTCCGAGCTGGCGGCCACTACGCACGCCGCGTGCACCATGCTCTCGCGACAGACCTCCGTTGGCGGCGTATCAGTCATGGTGTGGAAACAATTGACGACCCGATGCAAGTACGTTAAATACAAAGAGCACACCCGCACGCGCCGCAAACGACCCCCGGCCCGAGCCGGCGCCAGCGAGGCGAAGCGCCGACGGCCCTTAGCTGCGTGCTTCTAAAGGTTTAATGGTAGAATGTAACTAAATAAATTAGGCATATTAACACACACACACTGGCAGAGAGTTGCAAGGGGCCCGACGTGGACGCGCCGGGACGCGATCGAGGCCCAGCGCCGGGATAACGATGGGCGCGTGAGGCCGGACGAGACGCCGCACGGAATCGACGGGGGTGGCGTCCCACTCACGAGCGAGGGGGGTGATCGCGGCCGCGAATCGTCGCCGCGCGGCGCCCGCCACGATCCGTGTACTCTTCCGGCTTCCGTAAACACATGGCGTCCCCGCGTCACGATAGGAGCAGCGTGACCAACCCAAGCAGGGCGTCTAGCTACTCCAAGTCCGACAACCGCGCGCCAAGCCGTGCGTGGAACCGCCCACCGCGTGCCGTCATGCATCGGCGACGTAACGAAGTCGTCGAGGTCACCGCGGGCAGGGGGCAAGGCCCCTCCGAGGGTCACTTCCGTCCGTGAGGGCGCTTTACGTCGGCCGCGACGACCGCAAAAAGACCGGATTTCGGTAGCATGCCATGTGCGACGCCGCCGAGCATAAAAACGCCGCCCGACCAGAAAGAGCATGCGGAGGGTGCATCGTGCCAGCGCACAGGCTGGTCGGGGCCGCTGGGGCCGTTTCCGCCGTCGTTTTTGGCCAGGCCGGCGTCGCTAAAAACACCACTTGAGCCAACTAAGCAATTTACCCCCCTACTCGGCCTTTTTGGCATTTTTTTGTAGAGCTCCGCGAGGGGGGGGCCGTGGCTGTCGCCGTTCGTTGGCAGAGAGATCGGTGAAATACCCTAGTTACACTAACTTCACGGACAGGAGACCGGGGGCCGGGCTATTAATACAAACTAATAGAATACAAGCTGTGGTATAGCCGCATATATCATCCGCGGCCAACACCGACGAGCGTAAAGCGTCGGTACCGTCCACTGGTTTGCAGCGCTTAAGAAAGCGGAACTCAGAGAGCCGCATAGAGCCGCATAGAGCCGCACAAGACGAAACCGCTGCAGCGCAAGGAGCACAAAAAATGACCGAGTTCCGCAAATTCAGCGCCGCTTTGGACGATGCCAAGCTCACGCTGCAGACCGCCGCCGCGACGGACAATAGCGACTCCGCGACGGCGCGCCGCGACGCGGCCGAAGCGATCCGGCGGCGCTGCGCCGAGGGCGACCTGCGGCGGACGGCGGACAAGTTCGCGGCGAAGCTCGAGGCGACGGACGACGTAACCGAGCCGACCTTCCTCGCGACACTCCAGACGGCGCGCCGGGTCCGGGACGCGGCGGCGGCGCGCGTCCACGCGGAGGAAGAGGGCGCCGCCGCGGACCTCGCGGCCGCCGAGGAGGTCGTGGCGGCGCTTGAAGCTGAAGCACCCTCCCGCACGGTCCAGAAGCCGCGCTACGGCGCGACGATGCGCGCCAAGGTCGCGGCCTGTGTGGAAATCAACCAGTGCGTCGGGTGCATCACCAAGTCATTTCTCGGCGACGACGCGGCCGTGCTGGCTCGGTCGAGCGGTGAGGAACTTGCATCGCTACGCCATCGAGCGAACGCGTCGTAAACTTTGATTTACACACAGGTCGCCGCCGCGCGCGACCGGCTCGAGGCGACGCTCCGCACGGCCGCGGAGGTCGTGGACGCGCTGGACGTCGACGTCGCCGCCGAGGAGGAGGCGCGCGAGCGGGCCGCGGCCGACGAGGCTGCGCGGCGCGAGCGCGCCGAGGAGGCGAGCGAGCGGGCCGCGGCCGACGCGCGCATCGAGGAGGAGCGGTCGGAGCGGGAGGCGGCGGAGCGCGCGGCGGCGGCGCGGCGCCTCGACGCGGCGCGGGCGCAGCAGGCCGACGAGGCGCGCGCGGCGCGGCGCGCGCGCCGGGACGCGCGCCGCGCGGCGGAGGCCGACGACCGCTCGCAGAAGGAGCAGGCGTCGCGGGCCTGGCGCCGCGGCGTCGCGAGCGTCGACGCCGCGCTGCGGACGCTGGCGGCGAGCGCGGGCGAGGCCTACGGCGACGCCGTCGCGGCGCTGCGCGACATCCTGGAGGCGATCGTCGAGAAGCCGGACGACGACGCGCGGCGGCGCCTCCGCTGCGCGAACGCGGCCTTCGCGCGCGACGTCGACAATTTTGACGGCGGGCGCCAGGTCCTCTTCAGCGCGGGCTTCCAGCTGACGCACCGCTCGTCGGGCGTCGAGCCCGCGCAGGACGACGAGGAGGACGACTGGCAGGTCTGGGAGTCGCTGCTCGTGCTGCGCGAGCCGAACCCGCTGAGCGACGGCTTCGACGCCTGGACGGCCTGGTTCGACAACCTGAAGGCCTGCCACGCGCGGCTCCGCGACGAGGCCGAGCGGCTCGAGGCGTCGCGGCCCTCGAAGGGGCTGCTCGCCGGCGCGGCGCCGAGCTGGGTCGACACGAAGCGGAGCCTGTACTAGTTATTGTTGGATCTATTTCCTGGGGCGCGATAGGCATGCCGTGCCCGTCGTTGAGGATTTTGAGGCTTTCGCGAGCGTGCGTGCGGGTTGAGGCGGCGGGCGCGCGCGCTGCCTGCCTGTGCGCATTAAGACTCTTAGTCCTGCCCCCGTGTCTCCGCGCGCCCGGGCAGCGCGGCAAACTCGTGAGGCCTCCTTGTCGCGCGCCCATCATCGTCCGGCAGCTAACAAAGCTCGGTTCGAGCCCCGGCAGCTTTTGCAACATTGCCGCCCGGGACCGCCGGGACAGAAGGACTAGAGAGATGCCGAGCCTCGCCGGCGCCCTGCTGCTGAGCTTGGGCAGCGCCGCGCCGCCGCGGGCGCCCGCGCGGGGCGGTATCAAACTGAGCAGCTGCCCCAAGGGCGGCTCGAGCCTCGCCGCGGCGCACGACGACAGCGAGGCGGCGGGGATCGAGACATTTGCTCGAGACTACGAAATCAGCACCTACGAAAACGGCAGCACGTGCGCCGCGCAAGCCGGCGAGAACGGCCTCGACGGCGCTGCCCCCAAGGCCCTGGCGACGAGCGCAGCAGCGAGGAACACGTGGCTCCAGCTCTACAAGAACTACGGCGCGGACGGCCTCTACGCCGACGCGGTCGACTCCGAGCCTATCAAAGGCGCGGCGACGGCCAAGCTCGTAGCGAACAAGTACGAGGCGGGCGGAGTGCACGCGCTCCACGCCATCGAGAAGACCGTCGGCAGCGACGTGCAATACAAAAACTACCGGTCGGACGGCACCATATTGATGTTGGCCCCGACCAAGGGCGGCGTCGACGTCTTGGACGTCGCGTCCGCCGAGCTGGCGCCTACGCCCGGCACCACGATGCAGTTCAAGGGCGGCGTCGACGAAGAAGAAGCGGCCCAGAGCTACCTTGGGCGGACTTCCTGGTGCCTCTTCCAGGTACTCGCTTCGGTGGTTCCGCGGCGCAGTAGCTCGGCGATGGGAGCGGCCTGGCGCTCGTCCGTCGTCGGCTACCTGGTTATTTGGGGGGACGTCACCCGCGTGGCGGCGGAGACTTCGGTCCGCGGCCGCAGCGGCCGCAGCGACGACAACACCAAGTTCAAAACCATGACGAAGACCAATACCCCTCCGCGCGCGCCGGCGGGAGGCCTCGCGCAGCGGCGTGCGCTCACGGGCTACGTCATGGACGACGATAGCATTAGAACGGCGGTGGCGGCTTGGTTTGCCGACCAGTCAGCCGCCGAGGCGACGTACGGCCACATCTCGACGTGGGAGACTGGGGGGGTGACGGACATGTCGCATTTGTTCAGGGAGTCGTCCTTCAACGAGGACATCGGCGCGTGGGACACCTCGGGCGTCACATCGATGTACGGGATGTTCGCCACCTCGGCCTTCGACCAGGACATCGGCGCGTGGGACACCTCCGGCGTCACGTCGATGGAGTACATGTTCGCCTTCGCCTCATTTAACCAGGACATCGGTGGTTGGGCGGTCCACAAAGTCACGGATATGAACGCAATGTCCGCGGCGCTGCTTTCAACCAAGACATCAGTGGTTGGGCGGTCGACAGCGTCACGGCTATTGACTGGATGTTCATTGGCGCCTCGAACTTCGACCAGGACCTCGGCTGGTGCTTGGACGAGGGCGTTAAGTTCGACGCCTGGGGGGGGGGACACACCATCCACGATGCGTTCTCTGGCACCCAGTGCGAGTCGACGTTGTGCGGCGTCGTGCGGGGCCGTTCTGAGGGGGGCATATGTGTGACGCTTGCGCCGACATTCTTCGGTGGCGCATTTGGCGACGAAAGCATCCGCACGGCAGTCCGAGCCTGGATAGAGGACAGCGCCGCCGCCGAGGCAGCGTTCGGCCACATCTCGACGTGGGAGACATCAGAGGTGACGAACATGATGTGGTTGTTTTGTGGAAATCAAGATGATGGTTGTAACACAGCCGCGGCGTCCTTCAACGAGGACATCGGCGCGTGGGACACCTCGGGCGTCACAGCAATGGCCTACATGTTCGAAGGTGCCTCGTCCTTCAACCAGGACATAAGTGGTTGGGCGGTCGACAGCGTCACGGACATGACCGAGATGTTTGAAGACGCCTCGGCCTTCGACCAGGACCTCGGCTGGTGCGTGGACGACGATGTCTTTGACCCCTACGGGTGGTACGGCACTACCATCCAAGACGCGTTCTCCGGCACCCCTTGCGCGTCGACGTCGTGCGGCGTCATGCAAGGCATCTGTGACTATCCGATGACCGACAGCAATATCAGAACGGCCGTCGCTGCTTGGTTTGCCGACCAGTCCGCCGCCGAGGCGACGTACGGCCACATTTCGACGTGGGACACATCGGGGGTGACGGACATGTCGTTTTTGTTTGATTCCCAGACGTCCTTCAACGAGGACATCGGCGCGTGGGACACCTCTGGCGTGACTACGATGCACTGCATGTTCTGCGGCGCCTCGGCCTTCAACCAGGACATTGGCGGCTGGAGCGTAGGAAACGTCCATGAGATGGGCCAGATGTTCAACTTCGCGTCGTCGTTCGACCAGGACATCGGCGGCTGGCGCGTCGAGCAGGTCACGGATATGCACTACATGTTCCACTGGGCCTCGTCGTTCAACCAGGACATCAGCGGCTGGCGCGTCGAGCAGGTCACGGATATGTACTACATGTTCCACTACGCCTCGGCCTTCGACCAGGACCTCGGCTGGTGCGTGGACGACGACGTGGAACTGGGAAACGCGTTCTCCGGCACCCCTTGCGCGTCGACGTCGTGCGGCGTCGTACAAGTTGCAGACGTCGCTGACTGCTCGACACCAAATCCGACGCTGCGCCCGACACCAATGCCGACGCCAGTACCCACGCTGACGCCGCGCCCGACGACGCATCGACCGACGCCGCGCCCGATAGCAGCGGGCAGCCCGACGCCGCGCCCCGTGTTCAGCCCGACGCCACGGCCGACGCCCGCACCGACGCCGCGCCCGATAGCCGCGGGCAGCCCGACGCCGCGCCCCGTGTTCAGCCCGACGCCACGGCCGACGCCCGCGCCGACGCCTGCCACTTCCGACGCCGTCGAAGGATCTTTTACGTGCGCCGGCATCACGTTGGCGGACGCCGAAGCGCACGCGCCCGTGTACGCGGCGGCGGTCGCCGATATTTACAACGTCGACGAGTCCAAGGTGATCGTGACGTTCGCCGCGTTCCGACGACGCCTGCAGTCCTCCGGGGACGTCGTCGTGAGCTATGTAGTGCTATACGCGTCTGCCGCCGCCGCGATGGCGGCCGCCAACGCGGCCTCGAGCCACACCGCCTCCACCTTTCAATCGTCCGTGCAGAGCGCCGCTTCGAACAAAGGAGTCTCCTCTGTTTTCGCCGCGACGACCGTCCAAACCGTAGCGACGCCGGCCACGACAACGACAACGCCGCCGCCATCGCCGCTTCCGCCGTCTTCGTCGGGCGGCGGCGGCGGGGGCGGCGGGGGCGGCGACCTCGTGGTCATCGCGATCGCGGTCGTCGTCGCGGTATTAATCATGGTGGCCGTCGGCGCGGCATATTACTACAAGACCAAGAAGAAGGACAAGGGAACGAAGGTCGCACCCGCCCGGTCCAGAAGCTCTGCCTTTGCCGCCGGCGCCGCTGCCGGTGCGGCCACCGGCGCCGACGCTGGCGGGCCTACGATGGAAGTCGGCGGGCCCACGCTCTCGTCGATGAAAATAGCTGGGCCCACGCTCTCGTCGATGGAAATTGACATCCTCGGGCCGCTCTCCGGGATGCTGGTGGCGCTCCCCGCGGTCGCGCCGCCGCCGCTCAACATGTGTCTGATGCCGTTTGCGCACGCCTTAGCCGAGCTGGGCCACGCGGTGCGCCGGGTGCGCTTCAACAAGGAGGCCGCGGCGCTGCTGCAGCGGCGCGGAGTTGAAATCGCCCAGAAGCTCCAGGACGTCGTCCAAGCGACGCAGGGCCTGCCGACGGGACAGGTCGAGGCCGTCGCTCGGACGGTCACGGCCATCGGCCAGGCGCTCGACGAGGCGGCCAAGTTTCTCCAGCAGTTCTCGCAGAAGGGCGCGTTCTCGAAGCTCTGCTCCGGCTCGCTCGACGCGCGGCGCTTCGGCCTCCTCGACAAGCGGCTTTGCGAGCTCAGCACGGAGCTCGGCTCGGCGTTGGACCTCCAGCAGCTCGCGCTGCAGGCGCAGCGATTCGAAAAGATCGAGGGCCTGATCCAACTTCTGAGCCAGCAGACCGTCGACGCGAACAACCAGGCCGCGGCCCAGCGGGCGGCGGAGCTGTGCGGCATGGCAAAGGGCAGCGCCGTCGAGCACGAGGAGCTCTCGGCGCTCGGGCTGAAATTGGACCGGATCGCCGCGGACGTGAGCACCGTCATCGACCAGAACGCGCATCAGCAGGAGTCGCTCGACGAAGTGAAAGAGATGGTGGCGGCGAAGGACTCGAAGCTGCGGGGCCGCGCGCTGGCGCGCCAGGACAAGGAGCGGGCGCTGAATGATTTCGAGCTCGAGCTCGAGAGCGTCGAGGAGGTTCCCTTCGCGGCGGGCGCGAGTGGTGAAGTGTTCTCCGGCCAATACCAGGGCGATGAAGTGGCGGTGAAGAGGATAAGCCTTATTGGCATGACCGCATCCGGGCGGGCCAAGGTCCTGAAAGCGTTCTCCACCGAGCTCGCGATCATGGTCAAGCTTCGGAGCCCGCGCATCGTCGCCGTGTTTGGGGTGGTGACGACGGACGCGTCGTACCTGGGCCTCGTCGTCGAGATGTGCGCCGGCGGAACGCTGCGGGAGGCGCTCGAAGCCGACGACTACGCGACGGCCGTCGACGAAGCGCAGCGGCGGCGCTGGCTCCTGGACGTGACGCTCGGCATGAGCTACTTGTACTCAAAGGGCGTGGAGCACCGCGACCTCAAGACGTTGAACGTCCTCCTCGACGCCTCGCGGCGGCGGTGCAAGGTGTCGGACTTCGGGCTCTCGCAGAGCGAGTCGCTGAATACGGCGGCGACGCAGTCGACGATGGGCCGCGGCGGCGGCGCGAAGGGGACGCCAGCGTACATGGCGCCCGAATTACTGGATTCGAATACCTTCACCGAGGAGACGGACGTGTACGCCTACGCGCTCGTCATCTGGGAGGTGCTGACCGGAGACATCCCCTGGCGCGGCCTCAACCCGGTGCAGGTCGCCATGCAAATCCTGACCAAGCAGGCGCGGCCGGCCGTCCCCGAGGGAGCGCCGGCGGACCTCGTCGGCCTCATGCAGCGGTGCTGGGCCCACGAGCCCGACGCTCGACCCTGCTTCGCCGCGATCAAGGCGGAGCTGCTCGGTGGCGGCCCCGAGACCCCGGCGAAGTGATCCGAGCGGACGACGGAAGCATAAGTACAACAACATCTAAACCTTATGCCACCGGACGCGGCACCCCGCGTCGTCCAGCAGCGGCGTCGCCGTGTCCCAGCCCGCCGCCGCGAGCGCCGCGCGGAAGGCGGGCCACCGCGCCGCCGGCCCGCCCGCGAGGGCGAAGCGCGCCTCGAGCGCGTCGAGGGCCGTCGCGCCGGGCGCGAGGAGCGCCTCGCCCCCCAGAATCACGAAGGGCCGCCCCTCGGCCGCGACGAGCGCGGCGACGGCCGCCGCCGCGGGCACGTGGGCGACGTCGTTCAAAGAGCAGCCCAGCCGCCGCCGCCCGGCGACGAGCAGCGGCTCGGCGTCGCCGACGGCCGCGACGTCGAGCGGCAGATTACGAAGGAAGCGGTCCATCAAGACGCGGAAGCGAGGCTCGTTGACCGTCCGGAGGCGCAGCTGCCGCACGGCCATGATGTTCGCGAGGACGTGGAGGAGCGTGAGGAGGACGAACGCGATCAAGACCGTCTTCGTTGATTCGTTGAGCACTTTCAAGACATAGTAGCCCAGCAAGAGTCCGAGCACGTTGACGAATTGCTCCTGGGACCCCTCCTTGGACACCAATTCCTCGAAGTTGCCCTGCACCGCAAAATGCCGGGAGATCGAGGCCTTCGTCGCGCCGGCCATGACGCCGCAGGCGCAGTGGCACGCCGCCGCGAGGCACGCCAGTACCACGAAGCGGTCCCGGCAGAGCGGCGCGGCCATCTGCAGCGCAAGTCCGCAATCGTTCGCGACGTCGGCCGCGAGCCGCCACTGCCGTACCCGCCGCCCGAAGTCCCTGCTGCAACCGTAAGCGAGCAGGAGCCCGGCGAGCGACGAGGAGGCGTCCCTGGCCACGTTCGCGAGCGCGCCGGCCATGGCCGACGCCTCGACGTCGCCCACGCCCAGGCCCTCGAGCGTCGCCTTGTAGGCCAGGTTCGCGCGGACGTAGGACGTCAGGCCTTGCAACGCGTCCCAGAGCTGGTAGGCGCCGTAGCCCGGCGCGACGGACCGCGGGTAGCCCTCGGGCAGGAAGACGTCGATCAAACGCGCGCGCCGCACGCGACGGCGCGGCGCGAGCGCATCGGTGGACGTCTCGGAGACGACGCGCGCGGGGCCGCCGTCCTCCTGGAGCTCGACGGCCCGGGCCGCCGCTCTCCTTCGGCTCGGGCGCACCCTCGTTGTTGGCGTCGGTGGCTTGTAGCGGGCGACCACTGGTGCCTTGACGACGTCGGCCCAGGACATCACGGGCGACCGCTCCCAAGCGCTGCGCTATAGAGCTAGGCTGTCTAGGCAGCAAGCACTGCCTTGGGTACGGAGACTTTCAGACGGTTATCGCTCGAACGAGCCGAACGAGCAGACGCAAGCCACACTGACAAGCTTGTTCGTGACCTATCAACGAGATTGAGGGGTGGTCGTGTGTTTTTTTTGCGGGCGCGGCAGCTAGCGGTCGTAAGACACTAGCAAGCCCAGGCAAGCCGGGGCGGCGGCGCGCATAGCTCTACGAGCTTGTGCACGGCCATTACTGGTCGCGCAAACTAACACTCTAACATCACTGCCAACGAGAAGTGGTGGTCGCTCGCTGCCGCGCGTCGTTCGCATCAGCAGCAGCAGCCAGAGGCTGGGCAGGCGCTCCGCCGCGCGCGTCTCCAGCAATGGCCGCCCAAGCCGCCGCCGCGCCCACTTCCTCAAAATACCAGCCCAGCGACTTCCTGAAGGCCGTCCTGGGCCGGCCCGTCGTCGTCAAGCTCAACAGCGGCGTCGCGTACAAGGGCGTGCTCGCCTGCCTCGACGGCTACATGAACATCGCCATGGAGCAGACGGAGGAGTACGTGGATGGGCAGCTCAAGGCCAAGTACGGCGACTGTTTTATTCGGGGCAACAACGTGCACTACATCTCGACGGCGCGGCGGCCGGCGGGCTAGGCGCCGTCGTTTCGTTCGTTCGTTTTTAACAACACTTCAGTCTACGAGGAACGGCTCCAGGCGCCAGCGCCTTCGTTTTAAACAACAGTTAGCTACTAGGGTCCACGAGGAACGGCTCCAGGCCAGCCCCGGCGCCTGTGGGCACTGGGAGCGGCAGCGGCGGGTCCGGCGCCTTGCCGCCGAGCCGCGCAGGTAATAAATCGTAGTCGTCGATCTTCGCGTGGTCGGTGAGCGCCTCGCGGTAGTCGCGTCCGACGATTCTGACCTTGGCGCGCATCGCCGCGTTGAGAAACACTGAAACGCCGCGCCAGAGCGTCTCGACGCCCGCGGGCGCGTTGACGAGCGTCACCTGTGTGATCCGCGTGTCTCGTCAACCACACGCCATCGAGCAGATGCAGTTACCTCGACATAATTTCGACACTGATCGTCGCCGACGCCGTCACCTCCGGGAAGTAGGTCTTGCCGACGGCCGTGATGCGCTTGACGACGCCCAGCCGGCGGAGCAACCTGTGCAGAAATCAAATTTCACGGCGCCTTTGCGGAATCATTGCGTCCACCCCCACGCCATCGATGTGGCGTCGGCTCGAGCGCACCCCACCCACTGGTTGATTTCTATACAGGAAGCAACGCCAGCACGCGCAGGCCCCGGAGGTCGATGATCAGCCGGCAGCGCACGAGGCGCTTCTCGGCGCGCGAGATCGCGCGCGACGCCTGCAGCGCGTCCTCGAGGTGCGCGACCTGCCGCATCAGGAGGCAGTCGGCCAGGTCCTCGCGCGCGACGCCTGCCACGTCGAGCTCGCCGAGCGCCCAGTACAGCACGGGGCTCCCGTCGGCCGCGGCGGCGTCCAACCGCAGGCCCATGCCGTGCGCGAGGGCGAGCCTGCCGCGCGGCGTGGGCGCGGCCGACCTGCGCGCAAATCAAGCGGTGAGTCGGGTGTCGCCACGCCATCGAGCAGACGATGATTGTGCACTGCAGCCGACGCGTCCGCGTGCTGCCGCCAGCGCCAGCCCGCCGTCGACGTGGCGTCGTCGGCGCCGCACTCGGCCAGCGCCGTGCGGACGTGGTGCTCGCGCCACGCGTGCGCCGCGCGCCACATGCCGGCCGCGGCCGCGACGTCGTGCTCCCTCGCCCGGAGAAAGCGCAGCAGCGTCGTCGCGTCCGCGAGCGCGGCGTCGCCGTATTTCTCAATGTCGGCGGCCAGCAGCGTCTGCAGCTCTTTCACCTTGGGCGCGTCCTCGGCCGGCACGCCATCCCTTTGCAGCGCCAGTAAAACGCCGGTGCCGGGCGAGGCCGGTGCGTTGCGGATCGGTTGCAGCTCCATGGCTGCCATGATGGTGATGCTGTGACAAGCTGTGTTGTCTCTCTAGGCGACAACGCTCAAGCCGTGGTTTTTGATGTGCGCAGATGCTTATCCTGGATCTGCCTTCGTTTCCAGCGCGGGTTGCGCAAGTATGATGCAATTTTGGCTCGTTTTGCGGCGCTTTTGCGGCCGCTTGCAAAGCCTGCGAGATGGTTTTTGGGAGAGCCTTGGTGACCGACTCTTGGCAACACGTCCCGGGGAGCCTCGGTGAACCCTATGCCTGGGGACTCGTAGCTCGAAACGGGGCTAGCGGCCTGTAAGACACTAGCAAGCAAGCCTGGGTAGGGGACTACAAAAGGTGCTCGTTTGGAGCGCATACTTGTTACTTGGGCGTGTCACGCACGCTGTAGTCGCCGACCAAGATGTCCAAACTGGCATCAGTGAAGCCGCTTCCCGAAGTTCGCGCCAGCGCGAGAACAACACCGCGGAGACCACTTGCAATTTCATCTATATCTCCGTCGCGGACGAGTTACGGATGCGATTGAGGCGCTGACCTACAGCGCACCACCCACGGCCACGCCACTGGGCGCGTGCACACGCCAAACGCGCGCGCGCGCGCGCGCACCCGCCGCGCCGCGCCGCCCGCCGCCGCCCAAAACGCGACCGCACCCGCGCAGGGCACCTTCGGCGAGGCCGAGCTCACGCCCGAGGAGATGCAGAGCCTCTGCGCGCAGTACACGAAGACCTACGACGGCCAGATCCCGCCCATGTGGAAGGCGGCCTTCGACGGGAACCTGCCGGCCATGAAGGCGCTCCACTTCTTCTACCGCAAGGGCGTCGACGGCTTCGACGCGATGAACCGCGAGGACCGGTCCATGCCGACGCACATCGCCTGCCTCCGGGGCCACCACGCCGTGCTCGAGTGGCTCGCGGGGCTCCACTGGCACGACGGCCGCCTCGTGACGAACTTTAATCTCCGGGACGACGGCGGCCACACGCCGCTCTGGTTGTGCGCGGCGTGGGGCTGGGAGAAGTGCGTGCGGCTGTTGTTGACGCTGCCGCACGTGCACCCGCTCGTGCCCGACGCCCAGGGCGTGTCGCCCGAGGAGGCCGCGCGGCGCGTGGGCTTCCACCAGGTCCGGCGACCGGCGTCCCCGCGGAGCCTTCTTCGATCGAAGGCGCCGTCGTCACGCATCCCCGCACGCAGATCGCCGACGCCATCAAGGTCCGCGCGGAGGAGCTCGGCGTGGCGCTGCCGGAGCGCGCCTTCTGGGACGAGCCCGACAAGCGCTTCTACGTCAAGGAGCCCGAGGCCGCGCCGGCCGCGGAGGAGTCCGACGACGAGGAGGACATGGAGTGAGTGTGTAGTAGCTGTCCCAAACCCCCGCCCCTGGTAAGAAAGTTTTGTCGAATTAGTACCGAAAAGGAAGGGAAGGAAAGGAAGGAAACTCACACGTACCGCGGCGAGAGCTCGATGTCGATGGAGTCGTCGTCATTTTCGGCGAGCGGCGTCGTCGGCCGCGGCGACGACGACGGGGCGCGTCTCTTCTTGTGCATCAACGACGCCGCCGGCGCCGGCGCCGCGCCGGAGTGGAACGGCGCCTCGCGCGATTGCAGGTATTTCCCGAAGGCCGCGTAGACGCACGCGAAGACGCAGAGGAAGACGCCCGCGCCGACGACGCCCAGCACGACGAAGAGGACGATGAGCGTGCGCTGATCCAAACTACTGTCGTCGTCGTCGTCATCTTCTTCAGTATTCCAGACCGGCGGCGCACCTAAAAAATGGGGGCAGCCGAAGCGGTTCCAGCGGCCGGCCTCCTTGTGCGCGCACTCGCCCTCGCTGATGAATGATACGGCGTCGAACTCGGAGTGAGAAATACGGGGCCCCGGCTGGATCGAGTAGCGCAGATAAAACCCCTCGCAGCAGCCGTTCTCCTTAATATCCTCGAGCGTCGTCCCCGCGCCGTGGCCGCAGATATTGGTAGCGAGGTTGCACCTGTGTGGAAATCAACCAGTGCGTCGGGTGCCCGACAATTCTTCACTAAGTCATTTCTCGGCGATGACGCGGCCGTCCTGGCTCGGTCGCGCGGCGAGGAACTGGCACCGCCACGCCATCGAGCAGGCGTCGCGTCGATGGCGTGGAGGACGACGCGACGATTCAGCACGAACGCGCCGTAAAATTTTGATTTCCACACAGGGTTGCACCCGTAACAACACTCGCAGCACGCGCCCTCGGGCGCCGCGTCGGGCACGCCGTCCGCATCGCGGTCGACGCGCTCGGCCCATGCGGCGGCGGCGAGGAGGATGGATAGGCGCATGGTGCGATTCGGCCGTGTTTTACGAGCGAGAGGCGAGCTCGGAGGCTTGGCTGTGAGGCGCTGATGGTGGGCTGCCCGGGGATTGGCACGCGCCGCGGCCGGGGGGGGGGCTGCCCTGGGATGGACGTTGGCTACAGCCTTAGATTGGCGCCCGACCAGCCTTGGATAGCCCCGTGCCCGAGGCGGGGGGCCCAGGAGCCGGCGTATCAGAGCCTGGTGCTGCAGCTGGGGTGCAGCATTACGGGGAAAGTTAGAGTCTGCGCAGCGACGCGTCGGGAGGCCGCGCCTACGCTTCGGAGGTGTCCTAGGGGCGTGGTTTTCCGGTGGGAGTATTCTAGTATGTCTCTACTGGCACAGGATGCATAATCTCAGCACTCTCCGACACAGCGGGCCTAATACGCAATACTCAGCCGTGTTGCAGCATCTGCGAGCCGTTTCCAGCCGTTTCCAGCAAGCTCTTTGCGCGGGACGATCGCTGCTGCACGCTCGACGTTCAACACTCGAGCAGTGATAAAAGACAGCCATGTCGACCGGCAATGGAAACGACGCAGACGTCAAAGCCATGCAAGCCGAGCTGCGCGAGCTGCGTGCTCGTGTGAGAACCCTCGAGGCGGAGAAAAGGCGCCCGACGCTCGAGGGCCACGGCGCGCGCGTCCAGGCCATCGCCGCGGAGGCTGCAGCTCTCCAACCGCTGAAAGAGGCGGCCGCGGCCACGGCGCCGGCGTCCGCGGCCGCGCTCGCGCTCGGGCCGAGCGTGCGATTGGAGTACACGCGGGACTCGCCCATGTTCCGCAAGCAGTGCGAGGCGTTCGAGAACTCGCTGGCCGGCCTGGACAGCCTGCTCGGCGGCCTGGCGATCCGCTTGCGGGACTGGTCGGCGGCGCTACGCGCGTCGCGCGACGCGGCGCGGGAGTGCGCGGCGTGGCTGAAGGATAGGCGGCACGCGCGGGCGCTGTTTGGGGGGAACGAGGCCCTGGGCGACAGCTCGGCGCGCTGCGCGACGCTCGCCGACGCCCTCGACAGCTACGCGCAGCGCCAGGGCCGGCTGGCGGACGCGTTCGGGGCCGAGGTCGCCTCGGCCTTAGATGCGTTCCGCGCGGAGGAGCTGGGTGATTGTGAAGGGTTCATCGGCGACGTCTGGCGTTTAGGTGATGCCTACGAGCAGAAGCTCTGCGCAGCGCTGCGCCTGGATACTCTAGATGGCGAGGCGCGCGCCGACCTGAAGGACGCAAGGGGCGCGTTCGAGCGGTCGCGGCTGGCGTTGGTGCGCTACCTGAACGGCGTCGACGCGGCGAAATGCATCGTGATCGGCGAGGCCGTCGCCGCGGCGGGCGAGGCCCTCGAGGACGACCGACGGAGCGGCGAGGGCGAGGCCTTTTGGCGCCTCGAGGCGGAGGCCAGTCTCTGCAGGCAGGCCCTGCCTGTTGCGGCCAAGCGGCGGCGGATTGACGGAGAGCTATGGGATCGGGTGGGGGAGAGATTGGAGGGCGAGCTGCGCGACGAGCTGCCGGGCGGCTCGCCGCGTACCTCGTCCGCGCCGACCTGGTCGGCAGCGCTGACGACGGAGGTGCGATCCGCGGCGTCGCTCCGGGCCTCGCGGAGCGACCTCGCGCACGCGCGGGACGAGGAGATCCTCAAGCAGGGCTACCTGCACCGGCGCGACGACGGCCTGCTGGGCACGCTGACCCGCGTCGCCGGCATGGCACCGAAGCGGCGGTGGCACCGGCTCCACGGCGGCGCGCTGTACTACTTCGACGTCACGAGCTGTGTGGAAATCAACCTGTGAGTTAGATTCTCGCGGAGATCTTCGTGAGCCTCCACGCCATCGAGCGGACGCAGTCACGGGAACGACATCGCGTCGATGGCGTGGGGCGCCTGAATTTGATTTCCACACAGGTCACGAGCAAGGACAAGAAGCTGCTCGATCTCGCGGGCTGCACCGTCGTCCGCGGCACGGACCGCGGCGATGGTGTGTTTGGGGGCGCGTTTGCGTTCGCCGTCATCGCCGAGGACGGGTCGCGCTTGTGCCTGCAGGCGGAAAACGAGGACGAGCGCCTGCGGTGGGTCTCGGCGCTGCGGCGGGCGACGGGCGCGCCGCTGAACGACTTCGCCTCGATCGGGGCCTTCCAGGCCGAGAACCCGGCCTGCGCGGAGTGCGCCTCGGACGAAGCGGACTGGGTGTCGACGTCCGTCGGCGTCGCATTATGTGCGGACTGCGCGGCGGCGCACCGCCGATTGGGCGGCGACTTCGGGCGCCTGCGCGCATTGTCGCTGGACGCGTGGTCGCCGCTGGTCCTGGATTATTTGTTGCAGTCGGCGGGCAACGAGCGCGCGAGGGACGTGTGGGAAGCCGTGGGACCGCCGACGGGCTGGAGCCGGCCGGCGCCCGACGCGCCGGCGCACGTCAAAGAACAGTGGGTCGTCGCCAAATACGCCTGGCGCGGCTTCCTGGCCGAGAACGTCTTCGAGGAGGAGCCGAGCCGCGCGCTGAAGGCGGCCGCCGCCTCGGGCTCGCTCCGGGACGTCGTCGCGGCGAAGGCGCGCGGCGGCGACCCGAACTGGCGCGACGAAGGATTGGATGATGACGACGGCCGCACGTCGCTGCACGCAGCGGCGGCGGCGGGGCGCGCGGACGTCGTCGCGTTCCTGCTGCTGAACGGCGCCGTCCTCGACGACGAAGTGCATGCATTAGCGGCGGCGACGGCGAAGGGGGTGGAGATCTCCCGGATCCTGCTCGAGTACGACCAGGGGGAGTTGTGGTAATGTGTACTGTGATGCGTCCATCGATCAGAGAGAGAGAGAATCGCTTATTGAGCCCACCCCCAGGTAGACCGGACCCCGAGCGCTTCGCCATCGAACGACTAGCGCATTTAAGATCAGGCTCAGGCTAGTTACGCCGCGGGGTCCCCCGTACCCCTCCCGCTCCCAGATCAGGCTCAGGCTCAGGCTCAGGCTAGTTACGTCGTAGGGTCCCCCGTACCCCTCCCGCTCCCCCCGCAGATCGATGCTAGTGTCTTACAGGCCGCTAGCTGGCTTGGAATTAATTTTTGGTCAAGAGGTTTTGCGGCGCTTGATCTGCCGCTCGCATCGGTTTTCTTGCACAGCGCGTGCTGCAGGCACACCCTCGCGCTGTGGGCTTCACCTCGCTAGCGTACGTCCTCCCACGAGGACAGATAGACGCTTTTGTCATCAGGGTCACGCGCCGGCCAAAGCGAAACTTGCGCACACACGCGACCCAGTTCAGACCATATTCACCAATCATGCCATTGAGCGCCGAAGAACTCGTAAATGCCCTCCACGAGACCGCAGCCGCGAAGAACGTCGACAACTTCGTCGCCATCGCGGGCGTCCTAGAGGACCAGGTTGACGAGACGTTCGTCCAGCAGAAGAAGGGCCAGCTCCGCCGCGTCATCAAGTTGTACCGGCAAATCCAGAAAGAGCAGGACGCGACGCCGCGCGAGATCGCCCGGGCGATGGAGGCGCTCGGCAAAAAGATCAAATCATTTACGACGCCGGCGTCGGCGCCGCCGGCGCCGCCGCGCACGCACGCCCCGCCGCCGCGCCCGCCGGCAGCGGTACCGCGGCCCGTGCCGACCGGCAACCCGCCCGCGCGCGGCGACGGCCCGCCGGCAGCTTTACCGCCCGTGCCGACCGGCACGCCGCTCGCGACGCTCGCGCGGCGCCGCCCGCTCGCGGCCGCCGAGCGCGACGCGCGCCTCCGGACCGTCGCGCAGCGCCTCGAACGCCAGGGCATCACGAGCAGTCTGAACAACACCGTGCGCTCGTCGGACATCAAGCAGATGTTCTTCGCGGTGGACGAGGTCTTCATCACAGTGCATAAATCAAATTGTTACAGCGCATTGGACCTGACTCACTGTTTGATTCAAATTGATTGCCCACAGGTCTTCCTCGGCGGCGCGCTCAAGGAACATTTGAAGGGCACGCGAGACGACCTCGACCGACTTATGCCAAGCGCGAGCAACCGGATGACGTCGACGATCTATAAGTTCGAGTACCGTCAAGGCATCGTCGTCGTAACGTTTTCGGCGGCGATGCTCTGGAAGCAGGACTACGCGCAGGGCGCGCACGTCTGCCGCGTCCCTTGCCAGAACCGGCGCGACACGATGACGCTGCTCGTCATGGTGGCCGCGGGACGCCTGGCCGCCTCGCACTTAGGCCTGGACAAGGACGCCACGGCCCTGAGCCTCTTCGGTCTGCCGCGGTCGCAGGAAATCATCTCGATGCCGCCGCCGCCGCGGGCCGCGGCGCGGGCGTCGGGCGTCGGCGTCGGCTCCAACGTCGCGTTCACGGACCGCGCCGGGCAGCGCCTCGTCGGCTCGGTCAAGAGCATCCGCAAGAACGCTCAAGTCCTCGTCCCGGACCCGACGAAGCGGGGCGAGATCTATACCATCAAAAGCTCGGGCCGGCGCGTCCACTACGCCAAGTGGAACATCTCGCTCAATTTGCTGTCCCCTGCGACCGCCCAAGACATGGCGCGCCACGCGGAACAGGAGAAGGCCGCCGAGGCCGTCAGTTTTGCGGCTGCGTTATCGTTCGCCGCGACTACGGCCGCCAAGGACTGGCTCCCGCCCAAGGCCGAGCCCGTGCCCGTCTCGCCCGCGCCTCCCGCAAGCTCGGGCTCCGTCGACGAGGAGGGCCTGCGCGCGCTCAAGCGCCTGCACGACGACGGCATCATCGACGACGAGGAGTTCGCCTCGAAGAAGAAGAAGTGCCTGGGGATCTAGAGAACCTAACGTGCGCATACCAAACTGGCACACGCTCCATGTGCCAGTCACAACGCGGATTTCGAGGTCACGATCAAGCCCCGCGCTAGAACATGACTACGAGTGGAAGAACTACTTTACGTTTACGGTGAACTTCCCTGACTCCCCTAGGCGCTACCCTCGCTAGGAGAAAGTAAAACTAACATATCAGCAAATTTAGAGGAGAACACGACCGAAAGCAAAAGAGTCAGATGGAGCGCCGCACCGCGGGCCACCGGATCGTCGGCGCCGACGAAACGCCGCGCCGCGCGCCGGACACGGGCGGCAGCGTACGAGTCGCCGCGCGCGCGGACCGCGAGTGGCGCGCCTGCACCGGCCCCGAGCGCTCGAGCTCGCGCCGCGCCTCGTCGCGCACGCGCGACCCAATGTTAATAAAGCCGTCGGACCGCGAGAGGCGCCCGAGGCGGTCGCCGGCGAGCGCCGCGCGCGGCCGCTCCAGCACGGGCGGCGAGCTCGCCTCGCGCGGCGGCTTGTGGGCGGGCCGCGCGAGCTTCTGCTCCAGGCGCACGCGGCGCTTGTTTTTTTTGGGCTTGCGCGGCCGCGGCTGAACCTCGGGAGACGTCGGCGAGACGAGCTCGGACGCGGCGTCGGCCAGCCGCTGCAGGATGGGGAAGGCCGCCGCTAGAGAAGCTTTTTTGGTGGGCGACGCGGGCTCGTCGCGCGGCGCGGGCGCCGTCGTCCGGTTACGAGGCCGGCCCTCGACTTGGACGAAGCTGCCGGCGGGCGGCGAGGGCGGCGCGCGCTTCGGTTTCAAGGGGCGCCGCTCCGCGCCGGCCGGCGGCGCCGCCGGCCGCTCGCAGCTGGGTGCGAGACCCGTCGGCGGCCGCCGTGCTAACAAAGTAAGGAAGCTGTGCGTCCGCAGTTCCGAGGGAGACGGCCTATCTGAAGGCGCCGGCCGGCAGCACAGCCCCAGAAAGTCCGCGCAGGCCGCCGACAGCTGCGTCGAGCCCAAAGGCGGCGCGATGCCTTGGGAAATATGAAACATCGCCGCCATCGGGTTCGGGAACTGGGGCCAGGGCAGCTGGCCCGTGGCCATCTCGACCAGCGTGCAGCCCACGGACCAGACGTCGCTCAGGATCCAGCCCTCCAAATCGCCGGACAACTCGCCCCGGATGAGCTCGGGCGCCATCCACCGCGGCGTGCCTCGTAAACCCGAGGCGCCGCCTCCCGACGCGTCCTCGCCGAGTTTCTCGATGCGCTTCGAAGCTCCAAAGTCCGCCAGTTGCGCCCCCGTGAGGTCGTGACTTAACAAAACGTTCGCGCCCTTGACGTCGCGGTGCGCGATGCCGTTCGTGTGCAGGTACTCGAGGCCCTGGAGCACCTGGTCGATATACGAGGCGCAGATCGACTCGTCGAGGGCGCCTTTCGCCTTCAGGAGCTGTCTCACGGAACCGCCCGGCGCGAACTCCATGAAGATCGATAATTTGTGCGTCGGGGCCGCCGCGTACTCGATGCCGATGTACTGCGTCAAGTTCGCATGGTGTAAGGACTGAATTAATGTGATTTCTCTCACAATTGCTTTGAGATCATCTCCCTTCAGACCCTCCGTGGCTATTTGCTTGCAGGCCGCTTGCCGCCCGTCGTGGAGCTGCGCGAGGAAGACCGTGCCGACGGCGCCCCGTCCCAAGATCTTGCCCTTGGTCCAGGGCCCGGTCAGCGTCGTCGTCTCGTCTATGCTGGGCGTCGTGCTGCGGACCATCGTCGTGGTTCCTCCCGGTGGGAGTGGCGCGGTCGCCGTTGATTTCTGGGGCCGGGGGCGGCGCGTCGGCGCCGTTGGTTCCGCGCTTCGTCCAGCGAGGGGCGGCGCGTCGGCCGCGCGGGGCGGTCGCGAGCGGCGCCCTGGCCCGGGCGGGGCTGCCCTCCAGCTATTTATTGGGAGGCTTGGCCCGCGGCCACCGCGGCGGTGTCGTGCGCCGGCCCGCGTGTGCTGGGACGGCGCCGAGGCTGCCCCGCGCGTGCGCGCCCGGCTCCCGCGAGGTGTGAGCACCGGCACGCGGATTCACAGTCTGCCTGGGACTCCGCCCATTTTGGAGCATGCGGGGGGCGCCGCGCGCCGCGCGGGATCCCATATGCGCGCGGCTCGGGGGCACCGAGGCGTCGCGAGGGCTGGGCGGGGCGACGCGAGGAAGGAGCGCGCGGGCGCGACCGGCGCGCGCGGTGTCTCCCCAATACGCCATCGACGCAGCAAGACGGACACGTCAAGCGAAACTTGGTTATTAGAACACGGGGCGTCTAGAGCTTCCGGGCCGGCGGCAGGCAGCCCATCATGTCCATCGTCGCGAAGAGGTCGTCGATCTTGTGCGTCTTCTCGTAGGCCTTTTTGGCGGCGTACAAGCGCGAGTCGCCGGCCATGGCCAGGGGCTTCAAGACTCTTTCGGCGCGCTGCTTCACCGTCTCCTCCTTGCCGCCCGGGATGCCTCCCAAACTCTCGCCGACCATCTTCTCGAGCTCCGGAACCAAGAACGTGTCCTGGGGTTCCGGCCAGTTCTCCCGGCCCCGAATATGGCGGTGGACGGGACTGTTGATGCCCATGTGGTCCTTGTGGTGCTGCTTGACCGCATCCGCATCTTCCTTCGGCAAGGTAATCAAGCCCTGCTTGTTCAGCTCGAAGATGAACAACATCAACTCCTGCTTCATGTTCACGCCCATGTCGCCCGGATTCGGTCTCGGTCGGGACGACGTCGCGGGCCCGCGCGCGCCGGAATAACCACCGGACCGCGCCGCCGGCTGCCTGGGCGCGCGGGCCGGCGGCTGGTAGCCGCCGCCGCCGCCGGCCCGCCGGGCCGGCGCCGCGCGCGGCGCGCGCGCCGCCGGCGCGCGCGCCGCCCGCGGCGCCGCGGACCGCGCCGCGCGCGGCGCCGCGGCGGTCCTTGGCGCTGCGGACCGCGCGGCGGGTTGTCGAGAGGATCGGGCAGGGGCGCCGGCCCGCGCTCGACTAGCGCCGGCGCCCGCCCCGTTTTTTGCCCCTCCCGCGGCTGGTGCGCCGCCCTCCATTTCCGCCATCATCTTCAGGCGAGCCTCCTCCTTGGCCTTCTTCTCCATCCAGCCCTTGTCTAGAATTGTTCTTATATGATTTTCGAAGTCTACGGAGTCGTTCAAGCACTCCTTGTTCTCATCATCGTTGCTCACAGACATGCTGAGCATCTCGTTCGCCTCGTCCCGCAGAGCTAGTAATTGCTCTGCTCTCCTCTTGAGCGTCTCGAACAAGTTATCCCGCTGCGACTGCAACAACGCCTCCCGCATCTTCGTCTTCGACAAACCACTGAGAAACACGACCTTGAACCAATGGCGATACGCGGTATAGATCTTGATCTTCATCATCCGCGTGAAGGTCTTGTACATCAAATTGTACTGCGCTTGAAATTCATCGGACTTGCGCTTCCAGATCTTGAAGACCATGACCGTCTGATTACCAGTCATCTTCGACAGGATGCGAACGAGGAGATCTTTTTGTTTCCCAGAAGCGCGAGCGAAGGCATTTTTGGCGGCATCATTCTGCCGTTGTTCCGCGTCGTCCTTGTACTGCTTCGACTGCCGTTCGATCTCCTCTAATTCTTTCATCAGTGCGGCCTTCAGCTCCAAAGTTTTAATAAGCTCCCACTTCTTGACGATCGTACTCCACCCATTGAACGACTGGTTGAGCTTCGCATTTTTTAACCTTTTCAAAATCTTGGTCATGAGCAATTTTTGATGCTTCGCCGCAAAGGCTTGTTTTTCCCAGTGCTTCCACCCTAACCTCTTCTTCAATGTCGATAATCTAGTGAGAATGCGCCAGACCAGCTTCTTCTGGCGGTCCGTGATGTTGCCAAACACGAGTCTAGCCATCTCGTCACTACGTCGTTGCGCCTCGGCGTCCGCCTCGTCCGCGGCCTTGTTGTACTTCTTGAGGTTCCTCCTGAGTTCTTTAAGCTTCTCCTGGTTGTAGACGGCGGTCTTCGACGCCCAGGTCTTCCAGGCCTTGGCGTAGGTCATGTTGCCCATGCGTCCTACCACTTTGCTCATGATCTTGCGTTTGTGTTCATTCCGCAACGCTTCGAGCTTCGCTCGTAGGCGGTCGCGCTCCATGGCCGACTCTTCCGCATCGCGACACAACTCCGCGATCCACCGATCGTAGGCCGTCCGCTGCTTGTTGAGATGATGTTCGACCATGCGGCTCGTCACTTTGCGGGTCGACGGGCCCTCCGACTGGGAGGGCTTCTTCTTGCGGACCGCCGCTCGGAGGTCGTTCATGGTTGCTTACGGGTGCGCTCGCGGCGTTACGGTCGTTGTCGTGCGCGCTATCTCTCGGCGCTAGGTGTTACTGTTTGCGGCGGCGCGCCGCGGCGCCGCCCGAGTTGGTGGCTCTTCGTGGCCGAACGGCTGTGGGGCAGCCTCGTGCCTTCACAAAGGGCGCCCGCGTGCTCCTGGGCAGCCTTACGCGCGCGTTAATGGCGGCTCCTCTCTCGCGGGCAAAGCGCGCTGTAGATAGGCTAACTACCTGTAAGGTAGGTTCAGGTGCGCGTTGCGCCCGGTGCCCGTCCTCCCGAGGCGTCCCTGCGCGCCCGGGAAGCATCGAAGGCGAGAGGCCGACCATTATGGGGCTGCCCCTCTGGGCTGCCCTGGGCTGCCTTCTATGGCCGCCGCGACGGCGGCGTTGGGCTGTTCGGTTTGTGAGCCGGTCTAAACTCTCCGGGCCCCCGACAGCTACGCTCCACTACAACAGACACGCGGCGGGTTTTTTCGCAGCCAGTTTGCAACTTTTTTGCCTTTAACAACGCTGCTGGCGGCTGCATGCACAGAAAAGGCTGCTGAGCACTTGTTCATAACTCACACGAATCGGGCCAAACGAAAAAACTGCTGGTTGATTCGCGTCGGAAGCCAAAACAGGACCACTTGCGCAGCAGCGCAGTTTCATTGCCAAAAATGCCAGCAGCCTTCAGCTCCCCGCGCAGCGGCGCGCCCCTAACGACCAAGTCCTTACGCAACGCCGACCTCGGCCGCCTGACGGCGACGACGCGGCGATCCAAAGCGGCGCCGGCGGCCACCAGCGAGCGCCGCGAGCAGCAGTTGCGGGCCGCGCTCGCAACGGCGCGCCAGGAGGCGGCCTCCGCGCGCGCCGCCGCGCGCGTCTGCGCCGAGGCCCTCGTCCAGGCCGAGCGGACTAATGGGGCGCCCGGCACGGCCACGAAAACCCTATTAGCGGCGGCGCAGGAGGCCGACGCGACGAGAGAGACCCAGCAGGCGTCGAAGGACGCCCAAGACAAGCTGAAGCGGCGCCAGAAAGAATTAAGGGAGGAGCTCGCCCGGGCCCGGGACGAGACGGCGCAGTTACAGCAACACGCCGCCGAGGCTTTGAGGAGGGACAAGTCATATGAGGACAAATGTAAAGCAGCGGACGCGTCCTTCGCCGCCGTGTCGAACCGCGTGGCGCAGCTGGACCGCGAGAACGCGCGCTGCGTGTCGCAAGCCAAAAGAGCTTTGGCCTCCGCGGGCGAAGTCGCTAGAAGGATGGCGCGCGCCGAGGCGGCCGTCGCGGAGCACCAGGCTAGGGCGGACCGCGCCGAGGCGGAAGCTGCCGAATTAAGAGCCAAACGGAGTTCTGGTAACGCCGAGCGCCAGCTCAAGGAGGCTTGTCGACGGGCGGAGCAGGCGTCTTCCCGTGCATCGTCGGCGACGGCGCGGGCGGAGGCCGCGGAGAAGCGCGCGAAGGCGCTGGAGGACCGCGTGAACGCGGCGGAGCGCAAGGCCTCGTCGTCGCGCGAGGCCGAGGTCGCCGCGGAAAAGCGCGCCGAGGCCGCGAACGAGGCCGAGGCGACGGCCGCGACGAAGTGCGCTTCTCTGGAGGCGGATCTGGACGCACTGCGGGGCCAGGCGGAGCGTGGCCAGGCGGCGCTCATGGGCGAACTCGACGAGTTACGGGCGGCGCGCGAGCGCGCGGAAAGCGATGCAGGCGCGGTGAGCGGTACTCTCGATAATTTACGAAAGGAGCTCGAGGCGGCGAACCAGCGCGCTCGTCAAGCGGAGCTCGCGGCGTCGGCCGCCGACGCGCGCGCCGCCGTCGCTGCCGAGAGCCGCGTCGTCCGCGTCGCCTCGGCGCAGCCCTCGTCGACGCTGCCGGCGACGCGCGGTAGTGAATTATTAAGGTGGCGCGCGCGCGTTGCGTTAGATGCGACGGGCGTTGGCGTTTCGCTGAAGGACGGCGACTCATTAACATTGGCCGAGGCGCGCGACGCCGCTTATGAGGCGGGCCTGCGAGCGGGTGACGTGGTCTTGGAAATCAACGGCGCCCCCGCGACGACGGCGACGGCCGCGAAGGCCACCGTGGCTCAAGCCAGGGACAGTGGCGCGCCGACCGTCGAGTTCGTGGTCGAGCGGCGCCGGCCCTGGCCCGACGTCGAGGGTCTCGAGCGGGACTTGGTCGATGCCAAAACGAGGCTGGCCCAGGCGGTGTTGGAGCACGGCCGCCGCGACGCGCAGAAGGTGAGCGAGGACGCGCAGGGCTTCATCGACCGCGAGGCGTTGGAACGGGAGCTCGTGGAGGCCAAGACGCGGCTTGCGCAGCTTGCGCTGGAGAACGCGTCTGGCGGTGGCGAGCGCGTCGCGGCGCTCGAGAAGGAACTAGCTGCGTCGCGCTCTGATAGGGAGAGGGCGCTCGAGGCCGAGCTCGCGAAGACGAAAACCGCTCTCGATAGTGCCGTCCTCGCCGCGCGGACGCTCGGCGAGCAGCACGACGCGTCTCTTAAAAGAGAGGCGTCCCGCGAGGACCTGTCGAGCGACGCCGTCGCGCGGTCGGAGCTGTTGGAGCGCGAGTTGGTCGATGCGAAGATGAAATTGGCGCAGACCGCTATGGAGTTGGGGGAACTGCGGATGGCGCGCTCGGCGACGCCTCCGCCGCCTGCTGCGGCTCCGCCGAAGTCGCCGAAGCGGTCCTGGCTCAACCGGAAGAAGTAACTACTTTTGTTGTCACACACTACTTAGCTCCCGCTACTACTGCTCGAGGAGTCCGAGCGCTTCTTCCGCTTCTTCTTCTCCTTTTTGAGGAGCTTTCGCGCCTTCTTCTTCGCTTCTTTTTTGAGTTTTTTCTTCTCGCGTTTCCGCTTCCGCTTCTTCCTATCATCAGAGTCCGCCGACGCATCATCGTCGGAGCCGTCCCTCAAACTCGCGTGCGTCTTCGAGGCGCGCGCCAATTTCCGCGCGCGCTCCGCATCCAACTCCGCCCGGTACGCCATCATCTTCTTCTGGTCCGCTCCAGTTAAATTTAATCTATCTTCATTATCCTTCTTATATTGGTCCCAGGTCGGCCGGTTACTGTCGTTGATCTTGTCGTTGATGGTCCGACAGTCCTGGCCCAACTGCATCCGTAAAACGGCATCAAAAGCCGCGGACCGCTGCGCGGGCGCGGGCACGCCCTGCGCGCCGCCGGCGGCCGTCGCGGCGTTTTGTTTGGTGTCGTCTTTGGGCGGGCCGGCGGGGCCGATCGGGCGCTTCGAGGCCATGGCTTTACAACGTGCGGTGGTCCTCGGCACGAGGTCTCGCGTCGCGTCGTGCCGGCGCGCGCCGCTGAGCGTCCTGCAGGCTGTCTCCTGACAGCAAAATCCGCTGTGGCCGCGAGATCTCAATCTGGCTTCAAGCGCCGCACGGCTGGAGTCGTTTAAGCCTCTTGCCGATGCACGAGGTCGTCTAATCGCGCTAAACTCGCAAAGCGTCGAGGCGAGCTAGCGTAACAACAACACTAGTTTTGGCCTGAAGCATTTGCACAGCCGCCTAACACGCACATTGCTGCCCATCACGCCATACGCATTGACTAACGCCATCGCTGTGACGTGTGCAAATCGCGTCGCCAGCAATTCGAGCACTCAGGACGTGTTGTGCCGCATCACTGAACACACTGCAATATCGCCGTCGCCGCGTTTCGCGCATTTGTGCCGGACTGCACTGTGCCGCTCACCGAACCACTGCAACATCGCCGCGACGAAGTTGTGCCAGACCGCACGCAGCAACCATGAGCGAGCAAGCCGAGATCCAGCGCACGATCGAGAAGGCGCTCGCGAAGCGCAACAAGGCTCGATCGAAGAAGATGTGGAGCGTGGCGGACGACATCCGCAACATGCTCAAGGAGATGGGCGTGCTCATTCAGGATACGGGCCCCAACACCTCAGAGTGGCGCTGGGCGAAAGGCGCGCTCGAGGACTCCGAGGCGGAGGAGGACGGCAGCGACGACAGCGACAGCGCCGAGGCGCCGCCACCCGCCCCGGCGCCGAAGAAGAAGCGCGCGGCCTCGACGGACGACGAGGCGGCGCCGAAGAAGAAGCGGAAGACCTTCCCCGGAGGTCTCGTCGCGACGATTCTACAACCGGGCAGCGGCAAGACGGCCCAGAACCGCAAGAAAATCACGATGAAGTACGTCGGAACGCTGGCGAAGAACGGTAGGGAGTTCGATCGCGGTAAAATAGCTTTCCGACTGGGCGCGGGAGAAGTCATAAAAGGGTGGGACGTCGGCTGCGCGGGCATGGCCGTCGGCGAGCGGCGGCAATTATTCATCCCGGCGAAGCTCGGGTACGGCAAGCGCGGCGCACCGCCTGACATACCGCCGAACGCGGACCTGAACTTTTCAGTAGAGTTGCTGAAGGCGTAGGTGGAGTAATGGCTGTTGTGTCACACGTGCATGCAGACTTCTTGTGGGTTTGTGAGGCCTCGTTATTTTGGGGCTAGGTAAAACACACTAGACTTCGCTTGCACACGCTGTGCTGTCTTGCAAAAGCACGGCTGCTGGGGACGTGAGGTGGACAAATCAAGCTTTAGAGGGACTGCCGAGTGCCCTGGGGACGATGCCGCGACCAGCGCTCCTCCTCGCTGCACTCGCGGTGAGCAATGCTCTCCGTGCGCCCCCGAGCCTCGCCGCGAGGCAACACGCCGCCGACGCGGCCGCCGCCGCACTAGGCGGCAAACCGATCGACCTGGGGGTGCCCTCCATGTCTGGAGCAACCATGCCGCCGAGCATGGTCGCCGGCGGCGCGGCGCAGGAGACGTACGACGGCGTGCGCATCGGCCCGCCGCCGGATTTGGCCTCGCTCCTCCTCCACAACCGCATCGTCTACCTCGGCATGCCCATGGTGAGCGCCGTGACCGAGTTAATCGTGGCGGAGCTCCTGTACCTCAACTACGAGAGCCCCTCGAAGCCCGTAACATTGTACATCAACAGCCCGGGCACGGTGAACGCCCAGGGCCAGGCCGTGGGCTTCGAGACCGAGGCGTTCGCCATCGCCGACTGTATGAAGTACATCAAGCCTCCGGTGCAGACGATCTGCGTCGGCCAGGCCTTCGGGGCGGCCGCGATGCTCCTCGCCCAGGGCGAGAAGGGCAAGCGCTTCTGCCTGCCGAACGCGTCGATCATGCTCCACCAGCCCCGGTCCCAAGCGCGGGGCCAGGCCTCGGACATCGCCATTCGGGCGAAGGAGGTCATGGCCAATAGAAAGGTGTCGTGCGAGTTGTTAGCAAGGGCCTGCGGCCGGCCCGTCGACGAGGTCATGAGGGACGCGTCGCGTACCAAATACCTCCAGCCCGACGAGGCCGTCGAGTATGGGCTGGTCGACAAGGTGCTGCACAACGTCGGCAAGGCGGCCGACGCTCCCAAAAAACCGTCGTTCATGGACGCGCTATGAGCTCGCGTGTAAGTATACTCTAGACAACACGTACATTATCAACACGCCGCGACTTCGCTCGTTGGCGCCGGACAGTTCTTCAGCCAAGCTGTAAGACCGGCGACGTCGGCCGGCGCCAGCTTGGGCAGCGTCCCCGCGAGCGCGTCGCCCACGGATGCCGCGACGCGCCGCCGGATCATCTCCGCGGCGCGCGCGAAGAGCCGCAGGTCCCATCTGTTGATCCTGACGAGCAGCTCGAGCTCGTCCGGCACCCACCCCGCGGGCCGCTTCGACCCGTGGCCCCCGCCGGCGCGGCGGGGCCGGTGGAAGTGCCACCAGGACGCATGCGCGCCGGGCGAGCGGCCCGCGCCGTCCGTCTGGAAACAGAACTTCCTCGATAGGAACTCGATCTGCGCCGGGGCATTTATCCATTCCGTTAGGACCAAGCCGTCGACGTGCGCGAGAGCTCTTTCTGCCCGACCGGTCATCGCGGCGCCAACGCCACCGACACACGTCGGATCGGTGGCGTCGCAGGCCTTGTTGCCGCGCCAACCTCCGAAAGTTTTTGAGTAGAGATTGTCAGGCACGTTCCACAGGTGGCCCGGACTTTGGCGGTTGGGGAAGCGCGTCCGGTTGACCCACGCTCCGAGTGGGCGCGGCCGACCCTTCTCCGCCTGGTGCTGGCCCCAGGCGCCTTCGAACCTGTGTGGAAAACAAATTCCGGACGCCCACGCCATCGACGCGACGTCGTCCCTGGCACCTCTCACTGGTTGATTCCACACAGCCTCGAACCAATAACGAGAGACGACGCGCAGGACCGGATGCCTCAAAATCGCGACGTAGCTCGCCCGCTCCCGTCCAGTAATGGGAAGCGTGAAGAGGCCGGGCGGCGCGCGCGTGCCGAGGCCCACGAAGACCGTGGTCCGCGCCTCGGTCCAGCGCCACGTCGACGACGCGTCGCAGGCGCCGTCCAGGTGCCGGCTGCCGTGCGCGAAGTACCTCAACTGATCCAAAAAGTCCTCGGCGAACCACTTGTTGCCCGTGCCGCGCACGACGACGAGCTCGACACCTTTTGGTGGTGAGCATTGGTCGCGCGGCGGCATGCATCTGCCCCATTTGAAGGGGTGGTTCGGATGCGCGGCCATGCACAGCGCGCACGGCTCGGCGGCCGACGCCCGCCGCAGCGCCAGCAGCAGCAGCATTCCGGCGCGCATCGCCAGGAGCCGTACGGCCAGCGATGCCCAGCTGATGGCCGAGTGGCAGCACCAGTGATCTACCCTGTAGACCAAGTGTGGATGCGTTCCCGACGCAATGCAGCTGTCGAATGGACTGAGCGCGACTTGCCGTGGACCCGTGGTAATTTTGCAGCTGTCGCACAACAAAAACAATAGCTAGGCCGGCCTGGGGGACAGCCAAAAAACGAACAAAACACGATAAAACCCGCGCACCGCGCGGCCGCAAACCGCTCCCAAACCCCCACGAAAACGATTTGCTAACAAGAACGTTACAAGATAGGGAAGCGAATTGGCTCAGGGGGGTGTCCTCCGAGAAGGCGCGGCGACGCGCCTTCTCGCCACCAAGGTTAAGCGTCACGCCGCGATCGCCTCGCGCACGTAGGCCGCCTCGAGCAGGCGCACGGCCTCGCGCCGCACGTGATAGAGCTGCGCGAACTTCCGGGAAGCGTCGTCCCTTTCTTTGAGGTTCTCGGCGCGCGCCGCCTGGCGCATCAGCTCGTGCTCGAAGAAGACGAGCCACTCCAGGTGGACCGAGGAGGGTGCTGCCGGGTACTTCTCGCCGTAGGACTTCGCCAGGGACAGCGACGCGGCGTCGCTCGGTATGTTAGGGTCTGCTGGGCCCAATTTGAACGCTTCCACGGCGCCCGCTTCACTACTCCCCTTCAGGGACATCAAGAGGTCGACGGCGGCCATGGTTTTGTTTCTGGAGGCCTGGGGGGGCTGCACAAAAAGTCTTATCAGCTTGCCGCGCAACTGCATCGGCAGTCTGTTCTTAATCTAGTGGCTCTGCCACTAGCTGACGGTCTCACACGTCCTCCCACGGAAGGGTACTGCCACGCGTCTTTCTGACACGTCTCATCGCCCGCGATGCGCGGCGCACGGGGCCCCGCATCATCGAAGCCTGGCGGCGCGGCCGCTCGCTTTAGCCCGCGCGGCATCCGAAACGCGCAGCCCCAACGGAGGCGAACCGCAGGAGTTTCCAGGCGCGTCGCCGGCGCAGCAAAAAAGTATCAAAGTGCCTTCGCGTCGACGCGGCGCTGCCGATACGAAACACGGGAACTGTGTCATCGGCCGACCGATCGATGGGGCGCCGCGCCGTACCGCTGGCCCTGCTGAGACGACGCACCGCAGCCCCGGCGGAAACGCCATCGGAGCCGCGCGCCCACGCCGTCGTCCCCCGCAGGTGCGCTCGGCCGCCTCGTCGCCGCTAGTCGACGTGGAGCCTGAAGGCGACGCCAGGATGACGTCCGGCTGGGTCCTCCGCAAGGTCAAGCAGAACGACAAGTGGGTCCGTCGCTGGCTCGAGGTGAACAGACACGTGCTCTACAGCTACCAGGCCTGCCCCGCGGAGTCGCCGCAAGCTAGAGTGATCAACATGTTAGATTTGAGAAAAACGCGCGAGATCAAATTGGTGGACGGCGGCGTCGCGGGCCTCTTCTGCATCGTGCCCGTGTCGGCCGACGGCCAGCATCCCGGCTACCTGATGCGGGCCGACACGGCGGCGAACGCTCAGGAGTGGGTGACGGGCCTGAACAAGGTGCGCGCCGTGGAACTCGAGAAGAGCCCGGTGGAGAGTGAGGGCCGCCAACCGGAAGAGACGGTCTGCTGCTGCATCCGGCGCCGCAGGCCGGCCGAGGCGACTAGGCTCGTGAACTGACGTGGTGCGCTTTCTCCCTGCCCATATGCTAAATAAATATAGTTTTCTATGACGGCGCCGGCCCGGGAACAAATTGTCTCCCTTGCTTCAAGCAGCTGCCGCAGACCACGCTGCCCGTCTAGCGAAGCACCCGAGCCTCGGCGACATGCATGCAGCTGGAGGCAGGATGGGATGGAGATGCTGCCCAATCGTACAAAAACAGTACGTGTTGGCGTGCTCGACGTATCAAACCGGACAAAAGAAAAACTAGTGTGTCGATACACTAGCTCACCTGCGCCTCAAAAAAAGGCCGCAGTCACCGCATTGGTAGTGCCAGGGCCACGTTCAGGGACTGCTTGGACTCGTGTCGTCGGTGGCATACGCAGCCGCAGCGTCGCGCCACTCAGCAGAGCACACCAGCCGACCACTGCCGCTGCTGCATCGCTCCAGCAGACGCCGCGCAGACGTAGCGCCGCGCACCCAGCGGAAGAGCGGCACCCAGCAGTTACCGCAGCGCCGACGCCGCGCGCACACACATGGGGCGCTCGGCGAAAGTAGCGCGCATCGGCAACTTCGCGACCCACAAGAAAAACGTCCAGAAGCGTTCCTTAGTCGTCGAGAAGCGACCGAAGAAGTCGCGCCAGACGTACGCCACGAGCAAGGCGCCCGCGCGGGCGCCGAAGAAAGCCGTAAGAGACGCGCCGAAGAAGAAATAGATGAGGTTACTACTTCTGCTCGCGTTGGTAACGGGCGACGCGCCGAAGCGCCTCCAGCAGACGACGTACGCCCTCAAAGCAGCCGCGCGCGGCGGCCTCGTGATCGGCGTCGAGGCCCGCGACGGTTGTATCATATGTGCGGCGTCGAGCGAAGCAAAAGGTCCGTCGTGGGCTTCCTTAGATAAAGGCGCGGCGACGGAAAAGATCCACAAAGTCGCGCCGCACGCTATTGTAGGAGTCTCGGGCCTAGACGGCGACTGCCGGAGCGGCGTGAAGGCGCTGCGGAACGCGGCCGTGGCGCACTGGCTCGAGTTCGGCGACCGGCTGACGCTGTCGGGCCTGGCCGATGCTTTAGCTGATGAATGTTCAAAGCATGCGGGCTTAGATGCCCTGCTGAGCGGTGCGGACGACGACGACGACGAGCGGCCGGCGCGGCCGCTCGGGGCGGCGTTCCTGTTGATAGGTGTCGACGATGCGAGTAGCATCTGGCTCGTGGACGCGGCGGCGTCGCCGCGACGGTGGCGCGCCAAAGCTATTGGCCAATCCAGCAATGAGGCCGACGCGCGCCTCGAGGCCGAGCTGCGAGCGTTGTGTGAGCGGCGCGGCTTCGACTTCCCTTCAGTAAATGACCGAGCGCCCTGGAGCCTCGACGACGCCACTGCAATAGCCTGCGGCGTCCTCGACGCTTTATGTGGCGAGGCCGACGTCGCAGCGACCGTGGTCCGGCCGGCGGCCGCGGTCGAGGCTTCTACTGAATACGACGCCTTCGCGCACGACGACGGCTGGGAGGGGCCCTCGGCGCCCGTCGTATCCGCCCTACCGGACGATGAATTTCGCGCCGCCGTCGCAAATCTAGCGGCGCAGCGTCCGACGCCGCCCGGGGACCCCGAGGCCGCTTCAATCGTCGTGCGGCAGGCGCTCGACCTGTCGGAGAAGGACGCTTCGGTTAGTTATGAGGTAATTCACAGCAACTAGTTACAACACCTCGAGCGACGCGTCGGAGCCTCGTCCGCGAGGCGCACCACATCGTCCGAAGACGGAGCTTTTTTGCGAAGGACCCGTGCCGCGAGGTCCTCGAAGGCCTCGGCCACGTTCTGGTTCGTCTTCGCCGAGGCCTCGAAGTAGGGCAGGCCCTTTTCACCCGCTAATTTTTCAGCCTCAGCCTTCGACACCTGTCGTTTTTCAGCGGCGAGGTCGCACTTGCAGCCGATTAGGCACAACTCAACGGGCCCTTTTTTGTTCTTCTCGACGTCGTCGAGCCACTGGCGCACGTGGTTGAACGACGCGCGCGCGCCCACGTCGAAGCAGACCGCAAAGCCATCCGCGCGGCCGAAGAAGTTGGACGTGAGGGATCGGAAGCGCTCCTGGCCCGCGGTGTCCCAGATTTGCAGCTTGATATCCCTTCCTTCTATCTTTACAAGCTTGTCTCGATAGTCCACTCCGATCGTCGTCATGAACATGGTACCTGCGCCGGCGACCGTCGTCGTCAAGCAGACGCAATCACGGACACGTCGCGTCGATGGCGTGCAGGTTCGGACGCGGCGTCGCGCTGAAGCTATCCTCGTCGTAGCGCACGACCAAGCTCGTCTTGCCGACGCTGCTGTCGCCGATCATCAGCAGGCGTATCACCATGCGCGGCTTCTCCGGTTTCTTCGACGGCGCCATGCTTGACGACGACGTGCTGCGCTGCGAATTAATTTGGTGTAGCCTTGGCGGCCTAATCGATGCCTTACGCTTCGTTCTGGCGCGCGCTGCAGCGCAGCGCGTTCTAACGCACAGTGATGCGATACGCGGAGCCGTTATCGATGGCACACTATGGCCTAGACGTCCTTTTTTTGCTCTAATTCGCAATTTTTTTGCTCAATATTTTTTGAGCCAAATATTCGGGTTTCATCGGATTCGTGTACGGCGTCTAGGACCCGTCGGGGCGTGAGATTATGATTGGTGCATCGGCCTACTGCTCTCCGGAGCTTGCAAGTACCGCCAAGCGAGTTCGAGAGTCGCGCCTCTCACGCGGCCTCGCCGGCAGACTCTAGAGGCGGACACGACAAGGCAACTCCTACACGCAACGGAACCGCCCACGCCATCGCCGCGCGACCCCATCACCCACGACAGGAGACGAGAACTCACACTACCCCTTTTAGGCGGCGCAATAACTACACGGACGATAACTTTGTTCTTTGTCGATCACGATGCGTCAGGAACGTAAAGATGAACGGTCGAAGCGTCAAAGGACACCGCCAATCTAGTTGAGGCGGCCCGGCGCGCCCGGCACGTCGCCGGCCTTGGGGTTGGCCTCGATCTCGGCCATGGCCGTCTTCTCGGCCATCATGGCCGCGAAGTCGACGTCGGGGCGCGCCGGGTCGGAGTACTTGCCCTCGCCGGGGAAGTAGCCCGAGCAGTCGCACGCGTTGCCGTCGGCGTTGCGCTCGAACGGGTTGAAGTTCGTCTCCGAGCGCGGCGAGTTCGGGTCCCAGTTCTCCCAGAGGTCCTTCTTCTCGGGGAAGCCGAAGATCTGGCCCTCGTACTTGCCGGCGCCGCCGAAGACGACGACGGACGCGGGCGCGCGGGCGGCCGGGGCGAAGGCGGCGGCGGAGCCGAGGGCGAGGGCGGCGATGAGGCGGTTCATGATTGTTTTTTGTCTGTGCGTGGTATATTGTGAGTGCAACGCGCGTTGCGCGCGGGGCGGCGGTGATGTGTTGGCGTGTCACGGCCGTGCGTGTGCGACGAGGGTTGCGCGCGGCGCGGCGGTGACGCGTGGTGGCGCGTCACGGCGTCGCCTCACTGGTGTCACGGCGTCGTGCGTGTGCAACGAGGGTTGCGCGGCGCGGCGGTGATGTGGTTTGGGCGACGGCGCGCCGTTCGTGCACGCGCGTTGCAGGGGGACTGCGGGCATGCGACGCGCCCCCGTGAGCGGCCGCGCGCGGCTTGGCGGTGCAAGCGCGCGTCGGCACAGCCGATTGCATCGCTGGGCGACGCAAAGGCTGCCTGCTCGCCGCGGAGCAGCGATTTTGCACCCGATTTCGCAGCGTGCTGCAAGGATTGAAGGAATGGCGCTGTGCACGCGCGCGCGGCGAGTGAGAATTGCGAGACGCGGAGATCGCACAGTGAACTATGTGAGAGCTATGCCTGGTCAGCAGACTGTCAGACGACCCCGCACCGTCCCTTTGTTTGATGCCTGCATTCCATTCCGAAGGAAAGCTGATACGGGTCCCGATGGAGGCATACCTCAAACCGCACCCGCGGAACACGCTCTCGTCACACAGCGGCTCGGAGCGCTTTTTTGCAGCGGAACAGACGCAGCGGACCCACGCAACGCGCGTTCCGCCGTCGGACACACGCAACGAGTTACTACGAACGAAGCCGTTGCTGCCCCGGTCCCACCGTCATAAGAACTCGGCGGGGGCTGCGCAGCGCACCAACCAAAAGAGGCCACTGCTTCGAACGCCGCCGCCGCGGCCCTGGTAACGAAAACGCGATGATGGCCAACTTCCAGCGCCGCGACCTCCATATCAGAACGGCTCCGAGCCCCCGCGCCCGCGACGAGGACTGGGACGCCGAGGCGCGTCAACTACTGGAACGCGTGAACGTGTCATTACAAAGCCGGACGGCGTTCAACCACCTCGATTGTATCTATCAGCATCCTTCCACAAATGCGAAGTTATTCGTGGGGAATCAAACAGCAGCGAGAAACGTGCAATTACTAGAAGCCGAGAGCATTTATCGAATAGTAAACTGCCAGGAACTGACGTCGTGCAACTTCTTTGAGGGTGATGCCCGGTTCCAGTACCGACGTTTCCCGGTGAGTCGATGGCGGACAGAAGTGAACACAGACGAGGACATCCTCCGATTCTTCGAGGAGGGCTGCCACGCCTGGATCGCCGCAAATCTAGATGAAGGCAGGAACGTTTTGATACATTGCCTCGCGGGCGCGCACCGGGCGGGGACGACGGGCGTCAGCTTCATGATGCGCGAAGGGCGGTATAACGCCGACACGGCCATCCGGTTGGCCAAGGCCCTGCGGCCCGTGATTGACCCCTTCGGGTCGCTGCTCGAGTTGCTCGAGCGGCTCGAGCGCGCCTACGCGGCTTCCGGCCGGGCCGCGCTGTCGCCGACGAGCTGGGAGCATGAAGTGTCTGAATCGTAAGTTCTTTTTTGTGTGAGTTCTTCGTCGCGGCGACGGCGTGCCCCTTGCCGTTCGAGGCGTGGCATTCGGTGGAGGCGTGTGGCGAGAGGACTTGTATTGCTAGCCCTAGTAGCACGGACCCGGAGCGCTTTCGCCAGGCGCAGACACGGTGCAGGCGCTTACCCTAGCCCCCTACGACGAAGCGCGCCAGGAATCGCGCGCAGGAGGCTTGGGCCCGGTAGCGCACCGGAACTCATACGACGTCGGCTCAGAACGGCCACACGCGCGATCGAAAACACCGACACGCGCAGATAGCTCAACGTATAGGTCAACAATTTTTGCGCACTAGCGGCCTGAAAGATACTAGCAAGCAGACCATCCTCCGAGATCCTGCTCCGCGGGCCTAAACGACGTGCTACGCGAACCACTGACAGTCAGATTACTGGGAGCAGTGACGCCCATCGTATTCTCGAGTGTAGCCAAGTCTCACGTGCGACGCTGAGGCAGCGCGCCCAAACGAGCGCCCACAGTGCACAGCACCAAAAACAAATAAGATGGCCGACAAGCGCGCCTACTGTCTAGGCGTCGACGCGCGAGCCACACGAGGCCCCGCCGGTGCGACGGTCAAGCGCTGCGCATGTGAAGTCGCGCAGTACATGCTGTTCGGCCGCGCGAACGCCCCGGCGAAGACGACGGAGGCGTCGGTCTACGCCTTTAATTGCAAGGAATCGGACAACGACTTACATACCGACGATAACGAACTTGGATTAAATGTCGTCAAGCTATTGAGGATGGAAAAAACCGGGGCGCCCGGGATTATCAAAACCGTATCTTCTGAAGAATGGCCCATGCATGATGACGATTGCGCTGGCATTGTCGATTGCGTCGGGGCCATGGTCGCCGAGGCCCAGAAACGAATTGGTACGAAAAAGGTAAATAAGCGGGTGGTGCTCATAACAGACGATTCTTCCTGTGCGCTGTGGACGACTGACGAGGACGCAGCACGGGCGAAGGACGACTTCAAGGGCATGGTCGAGCGGCTCGTGTCGCAAGTTTCTTTTGGGCTATGTGTGGTCATCGTCGAGACGGATCAAGAAAAAACTCCAGAGGCGTTGGAGGGCGCCAAGCTCCTCAAGAAGGCTTGTGGGGTGGCGACGAAGAAGGGCCCCGTGTCGGGCTTCTTTGTTAAAGGTAGTGCTGATGATATAGCACTACTCACGCAGGAGGCGTGCGGGCGATTGGAGGCGTGCAAGGTTCGTATACAAAAACCGATGGAACTCAAATTAGCGCCCGGATTGACGTGTTATGTCACTTCACAACCATTAGCAGAGGAGTCGAAACAACTAGCATTGAAACAACAAACAAGGGAGGCGGGAAATACCATAGCAACCACGAGGGAATATGTCCGAACGGATAAAGATGACGCGGACCCCTTTGATGCGGATGAATTAGTAAAAGCCTACTACTACGGCGGCGAGTACGTCCAGTGCCCGCCCGACGTTTTGAAACACGCGAATGAGGACGACGACGAGTACGGCGCCGTCGTGCTCGGGTGCTACGACGAAGCGTTAGGCTCGCCTTGGTCCTGTGGTGATGCGGGCGGCGCGTCGGGAAATCGAGCTCAGTTGCTGAGGGCTACTGGTGAGAGAAATAAGGTGCTACTGGCGGCCTTTGCGAGAAGTTTGAGGGACCAGAAGCAGGTCGCTGTTATATCGTTCAAGCTTACTAAAAAAAGTGCAAATTGGCGCCTGGCGTGTCTCCAACCGGCGCTCGAAGCGTCTGCGTTAGTACTCACTCCTCTACCTTATCAAGACGACGTGAAGCCGACGCCTCGCATTAGGCAAGCGGACATCCCAGAAGACCTCCAATCTGCAGTTGATCGGTGGTGCGACGCCCACACGTTGAGTACGAAGGACGTTTCTAAGATAAGACGGTGCGACGATCCAGTAGTGTTGAACTTACAAGATTTAGCTTGTGTGAGAGCCGTAGAGGGTGATGATGAGGCCTTCCAGGCGAGGAAGAAGGCTCGGTTTGAGAGATTGAAGGCGCCGGTGGCCGACGAGGCCGACGAGCATTGGCGTCATACGCTGAAGGCCTGGCGCGAGAAATCCGAGAAGTCGAGCCGAGAGCAACCGGGGCCCACGCAGCCTTCATTGAACCAAGCCGACGACATCGAGATGAACGTCGAAGAGGTGCCGGCGCCTCCAGTACAACGAGCGGAGGTGACATTACGGAAGCGCCACGCTTTACAAGATTTCGACGCGCACTGGGCGGTGGCCGACGACGATGCGAGGCGTAGTGTTTTGAGGGAGGACCTGCGCGCGGTGATCCTCGCGTTGGCTCGCGACGCGGAGGTGAGCGACGCCTATGTCAGAGAGGGCCTGGGGTGTTTGAACAGGTTGCGCGCCGTCTGCGGTCCGTGCCTGCGTCCTTCTTTTTAACATGCGCGGCGACGGCGTCGCGCCCCACGCCATCGACGAGCGTTCGTTCCCGCGCAGCCGGCCGCCACGAGGCCGAGTTCGACGCCTTCTTGCTCGGGGCCATTGCGGAGTCCAAGGTCGACAACCCGGTGCGGCGGCCCGCGTCTCGCACGCCGTCGACGCGACGCCGTCACCAGTCGTTCTCCGCGCAGGACTGGGAGGACGCGCTCGAGGGCCAGGAGCCGTTCGCCGGGGGCGCCGCGCCGGCCGAAGCGCCGTTCGCTGACGACGGCCCGGACACGCAGTCCCACAAGGGTGATGATGATGACGGCGACGACTTCGACTAAGACCTACGACTGTAACTAATTATGAAGGGGGTTCTTGCCACGCCTTCCCCTCGACGACGACGTTCTCGGGGGACCGCAGGTCGCTTTTGGGCGACTCAACGAACCGCGCGCTCTCCTGAGACTCCTCGTCGTCGCTCGACGCGCTGACGTCGCCGGCCTCGCTCTCGTCGTCGTCGGTGTCGGAGAACTCGGGGTGGCCGTGGCCCGCGATGGACGTGAAGATGGAGCCCCCGAACTTCGACCGGAACGTCTCGAGGCCCGGCCTCTGGTTCTTGGGCGACTGGTCCTCGGGGATCGCCGCGAAGACCCGCCCGAAGCTCCGTCTTATTTTCTTGCCGAAGCTTCGGATTCGACTTTCCGGTACCTTCGACGGGTCCTGGATTGTTAATTCCAGACCAACAGGTCTGTGATCAGAAGTATCCACCACCGGAAAGGATCTATGCGAGCGCACTACGGTTCTGATAGTAGTGTCCGCTCGGAACAACACGCGGTCGCACCAGGCTGGCAGGCGCTTCGGATCATATTCGATACCTCCCGGCTTGAGCTTGAAGGTTGGTGGGAACTCACACACCGGCACCGTCCAGTCCGACAGCACGCCGTGCTTCTCGTGGGCCCGGACCAACTCATCCGCTTCTCGCAGACTCCGCCAGTCGCCTTCACGAATGCAGTGTTCTACACTACCGTCCCAGACGTGGTCCGTGTCGAGCCGCCAATTTAAGTCGCCCGCCAACACGGCAATGTCGGACCTCAGCACCTTGGCCTTCTTCAGGATCTCCTCGAGGGCGTCCATGCGCTCGTGGAACTTGCCCTCGTGGGCGGGCCTGCGTTTTTTTTTTGTCTTGTCTCTGTGTGTTGTGTATCTCTCGACGCCATCGAGACTACGGAGGGCTTTGTACGTCCACCTCCACGCCATCGGCGCGTAGCTTCTCTCTGTGTCTCGTTACGATCCTCGCAGCCCGGACGCGAGCGATGGGCGTTCGAGACCGAGGGACGCCGGCTACATACAAGTGCGCGTTGATCGCCGTGCACGTCGTGGCGAAGCCCTCCTTCTCGACCACGAAGGTCGACACGAGACCGCCCTTGTTGCCCATGACGCCGGTGCCCAGGTCCCTGTTGACGACGAGGCCGCCGACGCGCGCGACCTTGTGGCGTTTTAAGACTACACTGACGTCGCGCTTCGCGAAGACGAGGAGCCTGTGTCGTGTATCTTTACGCCATCGACGCGACGTGAGGACGCCGCGCAAAGCACCGGAGCTGGCCCCACGCGAGCGACGGCTTCTTGCGCACGCTGAAGCCCAGGTGGTGCAGGCAGTCGCGGATCCGACGACTGCTGCCCAGCGTCACGCGCGCGCGCTTCTGCTGCGGTGATAATGAAGGGTTCGACAACGCTCGGGCTTCTTGTTTTTCTTTCTCGTGCCGTTTTTCCCGCTTCCGCCGCTGCCGGCACACGTAGGGTATCGCCAGGCAACAACTCACCCCCCAGGTCGGCCAGGCGAGGGCGCCCGCCGCCAGGAGCGCCGCGACGCTCTTGCCCCGTTCTAAGTGGCGTTCGGTCACGACGTGGGCTTCTTGCAAACACACAATACAGACGTCGCAGTGCTTCGCCTCCCGCAACCATCTATTCAATTGATCCGGCTCCAGGGGGCGGTTGCCGACGTTGAGGGTCGCGACGAAGAGGTTCATTGGTCTATGCTGTGCTGTGGAGTGCAAAGGTGCGCCTCGGCCGGTGCGCTTCGAGGGGCAGCACCGCGGCCGCTGCGAAGGATGCGCTTGGGCTGCGCGAGCGGTTGCTGCGCTTTATAGGCTGCGTGCGCCCATTGCTCCCATTGCGCATTGGCCTCTGCCTCTCGCAAGCGTGATGGGGACTAGGTTTTTGAATGCTTCCACGCGGAAGACGGGCCCGGGCGGGCCATTAACCATCTGGAGCTCGTTCGGGCTGGCGCCGGGCTGCCTGCTGGCGCCTCCTTCGCCACGATTCCAACTTGAAGTGGGCTGCCTCCGCGGGCCTGTTTTATGCCCAAGCGTCCGAATTTGGGTCTCGGGAGGGCAATTTCCGGTCCCGCATACGTCTGTGAGCCGCCGAGAAACCTTCTTGGGGGTTTATCGTGGGACCGCCGCCGTCCAGCTGCGCCAGCGTGGTTCTGGGACCGCCAATTTGCAAACTCAGTCACTTGCACCAACGCAGAGCATCCAAAAGCTGCAATACTGCGTCGCGACATAGCTGACCATCGCCTTGATGGATTCTGCAACAATGCACAAGCTACCCAAGCGTACGCGCCGCGGTGGGAGGCGTAGAAACAGGAGACGCGCTTCCATGGCTGCAGGTGCGCTGGACACCGCACCACAGACGTTGCCGGCCCGCGCGAACGCGATCTCATACGTGTCAGACAGCGAGGACTCCGTTTCCTCGGCCCTAACCGAGCTGTCCTCCTCCAGATCGCCGGCGCGCTCGCGCACGAATTCTTTCAGCTCGGTTTCATCCTCCTCCACGTCCTCCACGTCGTCTTCCTGCTCCACCGCGTCGCGCTGGTGGCACACGAGGGCCGACACGGACGACTACGACGACAACATCAGCTGGCGCACGGCGTTTGACGGGTCCGACCTGGGCCTCAACCTCGCCACCGCGGCGCGCACGCCGTTCGTCTCGAGCTTGACCGTCTTCCCGGCCGACGCCGCGCGCCTCGTCAAGGAGGCCGCCGTCGAGGAGGACGGCGAAACCGATGGCCTCTTCGCCGACGTCGTCCCGAACGTGCTCGCGCTCGTCGACGACGTGGCCAAGGCGCCCGTCGCGTACGCGGACGTCGTGAAGGCGGCGCCCGCCAAACCCGCGCCCGTCGCCGCGGCCGTCGTGACGGACGACGACGCGTCCGACGAGGAGGCCAAGGCGCGCGCCGTGCGCCGCTCGCGCCACGAGAAGCGCCGCTCCAGAAATCTGCGCAAGCTCGAGCACCGCGCGGCGCGCGCGGCGCAAAAAGCCGCCGCGGCCGACGCCTTCGACGCGGCCTGCGCCGAATTCTCGTGCTGATCTCGCCGCGACGCACACGCGCCGCGGCCAGCTTATTGTCCCTGCCCTGTTGTCAATGTGGCTTATTATCCCGCGCGAACCCTCCCGGAGGCTGATATAACTTCCGGCGTTTCGCCTATCTTGTCTTGTCTTCTTTTGGGGCTTCAAATGGATGACCGGGGTGGCCCCTGCTACGCATCGTTCCAACTAATTTTTACTCTCTCTGGGCCAGACGTTCATTCAAGGCGCGGACGCCCGCCTCGTGCAGGAGATCGCGCGCCGCCTCCAGGCCTTTGAACTCGCCCTGGAGCGCGGCCGCCTTGAGCTGGAGCTCTATGCTCCGGAGCTTTGCACCGGTGAGCGCGTCGCCGTCGCCGCCGGGCGCGCGAAGTTCTCTCGTGGAAAGCCCATCCACCGTCTCCATTATGTGGGCGTGCAAGACGTCATTAATTTGCTGGATCTCCGTCAAGAGCTGCCCCTGCCGCTGATTCAACTCTTCTTTGATTCCATGCACGTCGATCATGCGCGGGGCCCGGAGCCTCGCGGCCGATTCCCGGGCCCAGTCGCGTTCCACGCGCGCGGCCCGCCTCGCGGCCGCGTCAGACTCGAAATCGAGAGGGCCGCGCCGGAATCCGTTCGACATGATTGCCAGACAGAGCCCTGGATTTCTTGGCAGACGACACGCAGGCCTGGTTCAGCTCCTGGACGCTTTACGTCGGCAGCGGCGACCGCACATACATACTTACTGTTATTGCAATTCTCTACAGCATCGTGATGTTGTCGCGCGTCCAGTCCCGAAAGGCGCGGAGCTCGGTGCGTTCGGTCGCCGTGAGTCTCTCGTAGCGTTCGAGGATGGCGTTCGCTCCATCGCGGCCCTCGTTCGACAGGCCCAGGACGCCGCGGCGATGTGCCGCCACGAAGGTGTTGTTGAAGTCGGACGTCGTCATGTGGTGGTCGAGCATGTCGAGGATGTCGGAGCTGCCACCCGGACCGGGTGTCGGCCCGCACTTGCGGATCTGGACGAGCGCGGGGAGGACGTAGTCCTCGACGAGCTCGAGCTTCGAGTTCGCGCCGCAGGCGGCGCCGGCGTTGTTTGGGTTCCTCATCATCTGATACAAGACGCACGGGTTGGTGGCGTCGAGGCGCGACTTGCGCTTCTTGACCCGGTCCGACGTTAAGCGGCCGAGGGCCGCGAAGACGGCGAGGACGTCGCGGGCGGCGTCCTTGTCCGCGGCGTGAGGCAAAATCGGCAAAATACCTCGGTCCATCAAGCACTGGTCGCGGTCGAAGAGGCAGACGACGGGCGTCCGCTGGTCCTTCCGGCCGTCCTTGTAGTGGAGGCCGACGATGGACTTGGGCGAATTTACGTACACGTCGCAGTCCGTCGAGTACGCGCACGCCACCTTGTGGCCCTGGAAGCCATCGCGGACGAGTTCCGCGACCTTCGCGTCGGCGTTCGAGGTCAAGGCCTGCACGCACCGGACCCCGCGGCTCGTCAGCTCGCCGTACAGCCATTCGCAGATCTGGTAGAACTCCAGCCGGCCGTCGCCTACGGCGTAGCGGACCGGCCCGTGCGGCCCCGCGGCCACCGAAGGGTCGCGGAAGCCGCCCGTCGCGTTCTCCGAGTTGAAGTAGTTGGCTGCGAGGTTCATGTCGAAGACGGCGATGGGCTCGTCGAAGCCGCAGTCCATCAAGAAACTAAATGCGCGGTCCGTCGTGTTTTTGGCCTCCTGTTTCTGCTGGTCTAGGGACGGTTTCGGCGGCGTGATGCACTCGTCTGGGAACCGCTTCGACGCCCACGCGAGGGCGAGGGGCCCCATGTCGACCGCGACGAGGATCTGGCGGCGCTGCCCGCCCTGGCCCACGGGCCGCGGCGCGGCGGTTCCGCGCGGCCGGCTGAAGACTGAGGGGCGACCGGGCGCTGGTGGTGGGGCGTCGGTCTGGTGGCGCAGCGCGTTGATGCGGTTGCGTACCTCGGTCTTGGATTGCTTGGCGCAGTGCTGCTGCATCGATCTGTGGACCAGCCATCGAAACTCGTCGACGCCCATGGTCCGACGGAGCTGATATATGATCACGGCTGCAAAGCGGAGCGCGGGGCAGCTATCGCGCGCGGCAAGGCACACCAGGGGACGAGCCAAGGCTTGCTCTAGTGTCTTACAGGCCGCTAGCGTCAAGCCCTGGCTGGCGCCGCGACGCCTCGAACCCGAGGCCGAGGCCTCGCGCCAGTTGGGAGCGGTGCACCGAGGATGTAGCGGGAGCTCCTGGAGGTCGAGCTTGCTGATACTGCACGACCGGCACGGAGCAAAGCCGCAGATAGCTCCCCCCTTAATGGCTCCGGGGAGTACCAGTCCGCCTTTGACCTATGCTTCGTCGAGGCAAGATGGCTTTTTTTCAAGGCACTGGAAAAAAAAAAACCGGGTTTCTCAGGTCAATCCCCATCTCCTTTTACTTTTGCTTGGGAGGTGCAAAACCTTTGTCTCGCGCGCTGTCCGCACACGCGAGGACGCCCGTGCACGAATTCAGTCGGCGCGTACGCACGACAGCAAAAAAAATCAGCACTGAAAAAAAAAATTGACCTGAATTGATAATATGGCCGAGGAGCCGCCGAAACGGCGCCTGGTGGTCACGGAGGTGACGCGGGGCCGCAACGGCGGGCCGGGCATCCTGGCCCTCGGGCTCGGGGCGCCGCGCGCGGCACCGGCCGCGGTCGGCGTGGGTCGCCGCGGCGCCGCGCAACCGCCGCCGCCGCCGCCGCCAGAGTCGTCCGACGAGGAGGAGGTCCAGGAAGAGTACGTGGACGAGGACGGCGAGTCGTCGGACGACGACTTCCGCAACGACCCCTACGGCGTGAAGAGGGCCGAGAGAAAGCAAAAAGCGGCGGAACTCAAGAAGTGGAGGGAGAATAGGAAGGCGCTGGAGTTGAAGGACAAGTCGTCCGAAAGGCGGCAGGCCCTGATTGCGGGCCTCTCGCGGACGGGCGTGGGGAGTTACACGTCGTCGTCGCACCGGGGCGAGGCGGGCGAGCGAGTCGTCTTCGAAGATGCGAAACTCTTGTATGTGAAAACGAGCTCGGAAACGAGCAAGTTCGGTTCGAAGTACAAGAGCGCGGACCGGTGCATAGAATTAACGCCAGCCGGGATCGCTCGAGAGAATCGCGACTGTCTACAGGCAGAGATTGCGAGTCACCCGTCGCTTCCACACAGAGATTTATGTATTCATCGTGGACGACAAGGACGTCGTCATGTGGCGCACGAGCGACACGAACAAGGAGGCGAAGTTATTAGCTCCCGGTTTTATCGTCGACTTTGTTGGTACTGTTTCCGACCAGTCGACGGACGGCGGCGTGAACGTCACGACGGTGACGGGCTTGAAGGTGCTCATCGTCGACGGCGCCCGCGTCGCGCCGACGCCCAAGCCGGAGAAGCGCAAGAAAGGAGCCGAGGACGGCGACGACGACGACGACGACGAGCCGGCGGCGGCGGCCAAGAAGGCGCGCGTCGCGGAGGGCGACGAGACCGACGACGGCTGAGATTCTAAGTTGCACTACTTACTACTTGAAAGTAGCAGTCTTCGGCGCGCGGCGCTCGAGACGGCTCCCCGCCGCGCCGCGCCCTCGACACCCTCGGCGTCGTTCGGGCCGCTCATGTTGGTCATCGACGCGCGGGGCCCGGGCCGTGCGGCGCCGCAAATCGCGCTCCGGGACCGGTAGTCGAATGGTATCCGCAGTCGTCGATCGACTCGGCCTCGACGATCGCTCCAGAAGCCCGACACGCGCAGCGCTTCGTCTCACTAAAACTTCGTGTCGCACCCGCGTCGTTCGCCATCGTCGCGAGGCGGTCAGCCGCCGATCAGCTCGCAGGCTCCGTAGAACGGGGGTTCCCGCTCAGGGTGCAACGCCATCACTAAATCTTCGACGGTTTCCGCGCGGTTGGCGAAGTGCGTTATGCGTCGCCTGAGGTCGGCCCGGAGCTCGTCGCTGAGCGGCGGGAGGCGGGCCGACAGCAGGCGCCCGCTGGAGCGTCGCGGCGGGCTCTCGCGCCGTCGAGTGTGAAGCATCCTCGCGCGACCAAGATTTTGGATTGGCGGGAGTGCGCGCTGACCACGGCGCTCTCTCGCACGCCGTCAATGAAAGCGCGCGGCCCGGCGTGTCGCCGTGAATTCAACCTGAGCCAGCCTACAGTGCAGAGCGGTGGCGGCAGCGGCTCGCGACAGCTCGCAAGGACCGGTTATCAGCTCTTGGGTGCAAGTGATAGTTTTTGCACGGACGCCTTAGGTGTAAGGCTGTGCACGAGCGGCCTGTGCGCCGCGACGATTTAGGCTGCAGTCGGGTTTCACGGCTCCCGCGGCGCCGCATCCAAGTCTCAGCGCATAAAAACGTTGTAGGGACGCGCAGGCCTGCAGTGTGCTTCCATCGCTGCGGCGAGGCCGAGCAAGACGTGACGCCGCGCCGTATTTACTCCTTGCTCTCCCTACCTTTGTGAGAGCACAGCGGCCAGTGCGCGACGTGGCCGAGGCCTCGCGCTGTCAGACGTTTGGACGCGTTCTCGCAACACAATCTACGCCACATTTTACAAGGGCGCGGCATCCCACGTGCAGCACCGCAGCTGCCGCGCATCTGGTCCGTTGATCGCCCTCCACCGCCGCGAGTCGCAGCCCGTGGGACGCGAACGCCTGTCCGCTGGCACCGAGCCGCCGCCGCCGCGATTGTCAAGACGCTACTTTGCCGATCGCAGCGCCGAAGCGCTACCCGGCCCTAGACTTGTTTGCGGCGTCCGTGGACACTCTACGTGATGCCCTCGTCGACGCCTTGCACACGAGGCTTCGTCGATTCTACCGCCGGTGACCCCCGGCAATCGTGCTGCGGCTGTCACCGACGCCTCGTGCACCGTTCGAGCGTCGGACGGCGGACAGGGCGCGAGATGCCTTTGGCGACGTCTACGTGTGAACAAAAGGTCTCCGGGAGGCGCCGTCGACGTGGCGAGCACTGTAGGCGACCGCGGGCCTCGCACGTTCATGTTGGCGGAGACCCGCCCGCGGAGCGGCTGGGAGACGCCTCTGACGACGTCTACGAGTGAATGAAAGGACTTTTTAGGACGACGAACTTGGCGCCGTTGACGCGGCGCGCAATGGACGCGATCGTGGGCCTCGAGCGTTCTGTTGGTGGAGACCCGCCCGCGGAGCGGGTTTGACGCCGCGGCGCGCGCCAGGGTCCGACGTCGTCCATGATACCTAGATCATTCGAACCGCCGCAGATACGCACGGGCACGTGGCCACGAACGACTCCCCGACGCGCCGATGGCTGCACGTCGCGTCAATGGCGTCTCGCCGGTGCCGTCGGTTTTTTGGCCTCGCCAACGCCCCAAACCCCACGCCCGCGCTGCTAGGACCTCCGCGCGGGATACGTCGTGTAAAAGTTTGTCCCTTACTCGCGCTCCGGGGTAGTGCTAGGCCGCCGCCGGCACCAAAACGCATCCGAAGCCAAAAAGTTCCTGCCCGCGTTCCACCCATCCCTAGCGCGCGGTCTCGAATTCTCTCCTCGCGGCCGGTATCGTTCTGAAAAGCGGGAGCTAGTGCGCGCATCCCGCACGCGAGCAGCTGTTGTGCGCGCAAGCGCGTCGCCGCGGACGAGCTGCGTACGAGGCAAGCGTTGGGCAGCCCGAGATGGCGACGCCTGGCGCCTCCCGGCAGCCCTTGGCCTGCACGATGCTGCCCCACAAGAAGCCTACCAGTTTGGGGGCTCTGCTCCGCCTCGCCGTGGCGGTGGTGGCCTTGTACGTTCCGCGCGCTGTACCAGCGCGACGTCTCCGCACCTCGCTGCACTTGCGGCGCGCCCCTCGACGAGCGTGGACGCGTCGCGGCGCCGCGCCGCGCTTCTCCAGGCGCTTGCGAACTCCCAACAGCCTCTATTTCATGGCTGAGCTCACCGAGCGCTGCGGCGTCTGCGCGAAGTGCCAGTGGACGTGCGCCGACCAACCGGACCAGACGGCCTGCTGGATGTGTCAAAACGGGGGTGGGAGGTGTTATTTCCAACACCAGTCAAAAAGGGGGAAGTGGGACCTCCCGCCCTGCGAGAAGCCGCAGCCGGCGGCTCAGCCCACCGAGCGCTGCGGCGACTGCGCGGCGTGCCAGTGGACGTGCGCCAACCAACCGGAGCAGCCGGACTGCCGGTTCTGTCGAGACGGGGGTGCGAACTGCAGTTTCCAACAAGCGTCAATAAAGGGGAAGTGGGAATGCCCGCCCTGCGATAACCCGCGCACCTTCGACTTCTCGGAGATGAAAGGGGTGGTGGAGAGCAGAACAAGACAGCCGGAGTCAGCGCGCAAATCAAATTTTACTGCTTCAATCGACGACGTGGCACCCGACTCACTGGTTGATTTGCGCGCAGGGGCCCGGTCGACGACGAGGCGAGGGCGAAGGCGGAGGCCGACGGCGAGGCCGAGCGCAAACGGAGATCGGAGATAAAGCAGAGGAGAGACGCGGCCAAGCGGGACGCGACGGCGAAGTACGGCGGCAAGACGCGGGAGGAGACGGGCAGCAAGCTCGAGGGCGGCCACGTCGAGGACGCGTCGGCATCACTGCGCGACTTCGACGCCTGGGTCGACGTAGGCAAGCCGATGATCGAGCCGTTGCAGGGCCTCGACGGCTGCTTCTTCCACGCTCGCGACCTCGAATGCATGCACTGGACCGCGCGCAAAATCATTTTCACGGTGCCTTCGATGATTTATGCCGATCACCGGACTCACTGGTTGATTTGGACGCAGGCATTGGGTCGACAAGGCCCAGTCCCTGGAAGACTTCCTCTTCAAGTTGCGCTCGGACTTCGCCAAGCAAGCAGAGGAAGAAGATGGCGCTCCTGTCATCGACATCTGCAGGAAGGCCGAGGCGTGCATCTGTTTGTCGACGGTCGGCGCGCTGTGCCACGACCAGGCGACGGCCGCGGCCATAGAGTGTGCCTACGGCGTGCCGCTGCTCTACAACGGCCAGGTCGTGTTATTAGACCGCGAGGCCGTCGAGGGTTGCGTCAACGCCTGGATCGACCGTATCGAGGAACGTGAGCTTCCGATCTGGGAGGGGTTTGACACGAAGACTGCCGAGGCCTTCAACAAGAGCATAGACCCCGCTTACGCCTTCTCGGACGTGTTCGTGCCGGAGTCTGAGACACGCGAGAGGATCAAAGTCCGGCCCAAGGACCGCAAGGACACCATTCTCGCGCGGTTGCGAAGCGGTGCGTCTGGCGAATGCGGTCACATGCACGTGACGACGGTTGTCTACGTGGAGCGCCTCGGCCGGTACGTCAAGGCGTCGCTCGCTTTTCAGTCGCGGAAAGCCATATTGTCCAACATGCGCATCTATCCAACGTCGCGAGTGGCCTTGGTAGAACGCTTGAGGGAGTTCGCGGAGGCGCGGGACGACGACAAACTTCTCGAGCGATTGGCGAAGGGGGTCATTTCGAGCAGCCACCCGAACAACTTCGGCATCATCGAGCTCAAGGCGCACAAGGAGAGGGAGGGCGGGCAAGGTGAAGTGGGTCCCTCAAGAATCACTCCGCTACAAAAGGCGGCGAACAACCTCTACTTTACGATGTTCAACGAGGGCGCAGCGGCGAAGGAAATGGTCGAGAGCTTCTCGGCCAAATTGCGCGAGGACTTCCAGCGGTTCGGCGTGGACCTGGACAACATCCAGGAGCACCTCGTCGACGGCATCGACGTCCGGGAGGGCTTCGAGGTCTTCGACCTGGTCGTGCACGCGTTCACGGACGACGACGGCGCCGCCACGCGCGCCGAAAGGCACGCCCGGGACCACGCCGACGAGATGGACGTGTTCTGCAACGAGTTTGCAGTGATGCCGACTTCCCACACGCTGCCCTTCCTCTTCGACGACGTCGCGCAGCAGACGTTCAGGGCCTTCGGCGTCGCGCTCCGCGCGCGGATCTCCCAGCTGCCCGCGACCTGCCTCACCTGGCCCGACCCGGCCGACGACGACGCCGACGACTTGATCCCCGACTTCCCGCCGGGGGGCGGGGACGACGAGATCCACGTGTTCCACCACATGTCGTCCATCGAGCTCGAGAACTACGAGGCGTGAGGTCCCGGCGCCTCCGTCGTTGTGACTCGTAAGTCTTGTATTTCAACACGAACCGGGGCTTCGAATCGACTGGATCAAAAAGCGAGTCGATCCAAAAAAGCTTAGCTAGCGTGTGTAAGACACTAGCAATAAGGCTTTTTTTGTCGCAGCCTAGCTCTACCTACGCCAGCCGCAGCGCCTCCGTCTGCTCATTCGATCGATACCGATGCGTGCGCAATTGCTATTCCAGCTCTTCGCCGCGACAGCGCTGGCAAATAAGTTCATGCCCACCATAACCCTCCCCAAATTCGGCAGAGCCCAGCCCGCGCGGATCAACCAGCCGTCGAAAAAAGATACATACATGGTGAATGCCAACACGACGCGCCTCGTCGTGCTGAAAGTGCCGCACTCGGGCAGCACCTGGTTCGCCGCTTTGCTCAACCGCTTCCCGCGGAGCTACGTGAAGGAGGAGTCGATTACCAAGACGACCTCGAACAACGTGGACCCGTCCGCAATTCGCGAGCATGTGGCGACTTCGTTAGTCCGGCCTACGGACAAGATGGTCGCGTCGCGCAACGGCAAGCATGCATTTTCCCCACGGGCGAAGAATTTCGACTGCGGCGGCTGCGAACTCGCACTGCTCGGCCTCACGATGTGCCCCATGCGCTCGGAGCCGCCCTACGATTTTCCCAGGGGCGTCCCCGCCGCCATCTTCCACCAGACCGTCAAGTTCAGGACGATATTTTGGGCGCGCACGAACGTCGTCAAGATGAGTTTCGCCAGTAATGGTTCAAAAAATCGAACGAAGGCCTTCGTGAAGGAAAAGCCCTCCTGCGATACGTTCGCAAGAACCCTGGGCTACAAAATCGCACAACTGCGGTCGCTCGATGCGCTTTATGACGAACGACGGAAGGTGGACCCCGCACTCGTGTTAAAAGTGCGCTACGAGTCGATGCAGCTCGACGAGGCGGGGACGCTCGCGACGGTCGCGCGCTTCCTCGGCGTTGACGCGCCGCGGCGGTTCCTGAAGAGTAGCACCGCCGTCGGCGAGAAGCGCGCCTCCGACGATTTGAGGGACGTCGTCAAGAACTACGACGAGATACACAAATGGCTCGCGCCGAAGGGCGTCCTCGCGTCGCCTTGTCTCCTGAAAATGCTCGAGGTGCGAGGGCCGCAGGTCTTCGCGCCCTGCCCGGCGCCGGCGCTCGTCGAGCGGACGGTCACGAGCCTGTCGCCCGCGAAGACGTGTCCCGGGCCACGCGGCGGGGGCACCAGTGGAGATCCTTTGTCACATCAAAGGACAAAACGACACGACGGACGGCGCGCCTACTTCTGAATAAGATTCTGTGTGTTAAATAATACTTCAGCACATTAGCGACCCCCAGAAGAAGCGAGGTACCGCCCCCGCGCCTTCGCCATGACCTCGACCATGGAACCGGAGGCGCCTAGAAGCCGCGCGACCGGCGCGCAGACTGAGGATAGGACCGGGTCCTCGGCGATGGACGTGAAGAGCACCCCGATGACCTCGTGCGCCGTACACGCACGGATCACCTCGAACGACCCCTGCCGCGCGTCGCTCAGCGTGGCGAAGACGCCGTCCACTATTACCTGAGCCGGGGGCGCGTGCCACGACGCCCGAGCCTTGTACAATCCTGTTGAGGAGACGTAGTACGGCGCCGCGCAGAGCACGCGCACGTTTCTGGGCCGCCACTCGCGGTCCAGACTCCGCGACAGCTGCTCGACGAAGGCCTTTGTGGCCGAGTAATGGGAGAGGTACGGCGTCGGCTGCGCGGCGGACCCCGAGCCCACGTTTACGATAGTCCCGCCCCGCTCCGCGAGCAGAGGTAAGGCGACGCGGCACATTTTTGCTGTTGCGCAGCAGTTTACGGTAATCATGTTCTCGAGCATTGATTCGTCGAGCTCGTCATGGGTCAGGGGGTAGTCGACGCCCTGCGTGCGGGGGCGCGTCGACGGCGTCTCGCGAGGCGCGACCCGTCTCCACACGATCGACCCGTATCGTCGTCGAGGAATGCTGTAAACCTCGCGCACAGACGCGCAACGGGAGGCGAAGGTCGCGGACGCGGGCCACAAACCACACCGACGTTGTTGACCACGAGGGCCACGTCCCTTCGAATAACGTCCGCGACCTTGCCGTAGAAGCCACCGGCGGGCCCGGCGAAGTCGTGCGCGAGGATTCTACAGCTCGCGGCCGGAAACTCGGACTGGAGGTCGCCCGCCAGCGCCTCGAGCTTCGTCTGGTCGCGACTCACCAACACGACGGGCACGCCGCGTTCCACGAGGCCTCTCGCAAAGGCGCGGCCGAGGCCTTGCGTGCACCCGGTCACGAGCGCTGCACCTCGTATGCAGCGGCCCTCTCGTTTGAGTCGCGTGGCGCGCGGCCTTCTCAAGAAACGCGGCGTCCAGCCCCGCAGGGCGACGGCCATGCGCGCGCCGCAGTAGACGAGTGCGAGCAAACCGACGCCGCCCAGCATCGAGCCGGCGACCGCGCGCAGCGCCGCGAGAATGATCGTAACGAGCAATGGCAGGGCGACGAAGATCTTGGCCAGGTTCCTGTCGCGCGTCGTCTGCGTCTTGCTGCTCGGCATCTTGAGAGCTTTGTGACAAGAGGTATGCGCCGCGTCGTTTCACGCCGCTGATCAGCAGCAGCAGTAGGGTTTGAGTAATTATCGACGCCTGCGAAGCCTTTTTGCTGAACGGTACGTATGCGTCCCAGGTGGCTTTGCCAAGGAGAGCTTGCAGGCTGGCTCTGCGAGGAGGCCCTGGCGGCCCAAGGCGTGCGAAACGCGACAGCAGCACCGCAGGACTGGCGGAATACCTCCACCGCAGCAGCGAATAAGAGCTGCTGGCACGCAACCGCCGCGAGCCGCACGGCTGCACACTGTGGCAGTGCACAGCAGCTGAATGCAAGCGCTCGCACGCGTCGCTCTGATCGTCGCATTACAAGCAACGATGGCCATGACCGCAAGAGTCCAGGGCCTCAAACAAGCTCTAAGCAGTGTGAGCCCGGACCTCGTCCGTGCCGCCGCCGCGCGCATCGAGCCGCACGCGAGCCGGACGCCCATCTTGCGGAGCGATCAGATAGATGCCCGCGCGTCGTGTTCCATACATGTGAAGGCCGAGCACCTGCAGACCACCGGTTCATTCAAATATCGCGGCGCATTGAACGCCGTGCTCTCCTTAACAGACGAGGAAGCATCAAGAGGCGTCGTCGCGCACAGCACGGGCAACCACGGCGCCGCCGTCGCTAGAGCAGCAAAAGCGCGCGGCGCGCCTTGTTGCATCGTCGTGCCGCGGACGACCCCGGTCGCGAAGCTCGAAAACATAGCACGCTACTGCGACGACATCGTGCAGTGCGAGCCGTCGCCGCAGGCGCGCGCGCAAGCTTCCGTTGAAGCCGCGGAGCGGTTGGGCGGCGCCTCAATAATCCACCCGTTTGACGACGCGCGAGTCATACAAGGCCAGGGGACCATCGGGCTGGAGTTGTTGCAGGACGTACCGGCGTTGGACGCCATTTTGGTGCCCGTGTCGGGCGGGGGCATGCTTTCTGGTATTGCGACGGCGTGCGCGGGGACGAACACGAAGGTCGTGGCCGTCGAGCCTGCTGGCAAGCGCCTCGGCGACGCCTTCCAACGGGGAGAGCGGTGCATCTTCTCCGACGACGAGTTGAAAGCCGCCCCGACCCTAAAAACGGTGGCCGACGCGATGCCGACGCGGCTGCTCGGGGAATCTCTGGCCTGGCCCCTCGCGTTCGGTCTCGTCGAGGACGTTTTGACGGTCGACGACGGCCAGATTCTCGACGCGGTGCGTTGTACTGCTGTTGAGTTGAAACAGGCCGTCGAGCCGGCGGGCGCCGTCGCGCTCGCGGCGGCTCTATCCCCCGACTTCGCCGCGCTGCGCGCCGAGAAGGGGTGGGCGAACGTCGCGCTCGTCGCTTGTGGGGGGAACGTGGATCTGGAAGTTCTAGGACGGGCACTAAGTGGGTAAATTTAGGAAGCGGCTCAGGAACTCCTCGAGCGGCGGCCTCGACGCGTTGCGTTCGCGCTTCACGGCCTCGTAGCAGTTGCGGTTCGGGCCACACTCCTCGATCCTCTCGTCTAAAAGGCCTGGTATCCGCACGTTCTGCCCTTTCTTGAGGCCTTCTACAGCGTCGGCGAGCGAAGTATCCGTGACCGGACGCTTGTGCGGTTCCAAGGGCGCTAGCGCCGCGTTCGCCTCCTGACCGAACGGCGGCACGTATGACGGCAGCGGGTCGGCGCAGGTCTCCGTCGGGAGCCCTTCGCGCAGGTGGGCCACGACACACGCGACCTCGCGCTCGACGCGGTCCAGCACGCGCTCGAAGAGCAGCTCGTCGGCGACGTCGATGAAGGTCATCGCGAACCGCTTCCCAGAAGGGTAACTTGTAAGATAGATACAGTTTCCGTAGATGGGATACTGCGTCGGCCTCCAAGACAGTGATGGTGAGTTAAGCTAGCGGCCTGTAACACACATGGAAGCCTGAGCCTGTTAGAGGGGCCCGGGCGTGCGAGTCCCTGTGACTCAGCCCTTGCGTCCTAGTCCAGCCGGACGGGTGGGCCCGGGGGGAGCGGGAGGGGTACGGGGGACCCCGCGACGTAACCCGGGCGTAACTAGCCTGAGCCTGAGCCTGAGCCTGTGACATCGTGCGCTCTGAGTTCGCAGACGTTAAGTTTAACCATTCAAACATCACAATTATGCGGCCGGTCCGTTGGAACTGCTGCAGCAGAGGGGCCTCGTCCCGACCTTTTTCTTCACATCCGTGCACTCGAAGCGAACATCCCCCGCGCCAACGCGCGCGACCATCTGGTACCCGGCGCCCCAGGCGGCGGAGGTGCGCTTCTTTGCTTGCTCGTGGGCCTTGGGCCTCGGACACTCGCCCGGCCAGTGGAGCCAGCAGGAATGGCAGCTCTGACTCGTCCACGCGGCGCTCCGCCGGAGGCGCCCCAGCACGCCGTCGTCGCGCAGCGCGGCGGGCGGGCAGAGCGCGGCGCCGCGGGCCGCGCAGGCGGCGGCCGCCGCCGCCGCGGTCGCCGACTCGTTGTCCGGCGCGGGATCCACGCCGACGTCGCGGTTGCGGTCCGCCTCACTGAGAGGCGTCGCGTGTGTTGACGGGAACCGGTCGCCCAGCGGGTAAACGTACTGTCCATGGTCGTGACGCTGTGGACCGCCCAATCGCCAGAGTTCCGTGTACAAGTGGTTGTTGTCGTAGGGCACGGTCGAGGCGCGCCCGTCGGCGAGCGTGATTCGTCGCACCGCGCGGTTATCAATATCCGTGAGGAGCAGCTCGTTCGCGCGGAACGCCGCCATCTGGTGCGGCCGGCTGAACCGCGCGGCGGCGCCCGCGCCGTCGCGCCAGTCCTCGTGCTTGTTGACGTCGCCCGCGACGAGCGCGCACGCGCCCTTTTTCTTTCCCAAGCGGTAGACGGCCATGCCCGCGTTATCGGCGGAGGGGTGGCCCACGACGTACAGGTGGCCATTTTGCGGGGCCGTCTCCCGGAGGTGGACGTTGTGGAGGCCGCACGCGGGCTCGCCCGTTAATTTCTCGGCCCGCTTCTGGAAAGTGCCGGTCGCCCGGATGGAGAAGACGCCGTTCTCGGCCGTGACGTACAACGTCGCGTCGTCGCGGCTCAACGCGAGCCCGGCGAAGGTCTTGCCCCCCCGCATGGCGTCCTTGGATGCGACGAGGCGCACGTTCAAGGAGTCGCACCGTTTCGCCGACGCATGAATAGCGCGGGGCGCGAAGGCCGCCACGCCCGCGGCCTTGAGGGCCACGAACCCGACCGACCCGTCTCGCTTGAGGGCCACCATGCGCGTGTTGGCGTCCAGGGAACGGAGGCACGGCAGCTCGACGAGCGTCGCGCGCGCTAAATCAGCAAAATCGTCGGCGTGCGCCAGGGCGGCGAGCGGCTTCGTCAAATCCATGCGCCAGAATGCGGGGCCGTGGTTGGTCGTGAGGTACGCGAAGCTGCAGTTGGCGCAGCTCGCCACGCCCGTGAGCGAGTACCACTCCTTCGTGTCATTTTTGGGCGAGGGCCAGCGCCGGCTCCCAGCGACGCCGCCTCGCAATACGTCTACGATTAACAACGCATTCGCGTTCGAGTCCGCGACCGCGGCGTAGCGGTCGTCAATGACATAGATGCCCACCGGCCCTTTGCCCGTCGCGCGGGTGCCGGCGCAGAGCAGCGCTGCCAAGATCCATCGCATGCTGCTGGCGTGCTGCGGCCTATGACATTGGGTTGTGACGGCGCCGCCGCCGCGCTGCGCGCGTTCCTGCCACGCGCAGCCAGCCGTCCTCCGACCCGGTCAACGCGAGCGCCGACCTTACCGTCTCCGTTTTTCGCGCACCCGTGATTTAGCTAGCGGCGGTGTAAGACTCTAGCAAGCCTCCAGCTCCAGCCGTCATTGAGAGCTCACGTACTGTCACGCTACTGCGTTGAGAAGCTGTTACACCCAGCAATCCGTGCGGCATGAAGCTGCACCTCTGGGCCGCTCTCCTGCCGGCTGCATCAGCACTCATCACAACACCGCCACGCCATCGAGCAATCACACAACAAAGAGCCGCACTGACTCCACCATCACTCGAAGCCGCATCATTCGACGCCCTTGGTGGTAACACTGTGCTGAAGGCGCTGCGGCGACGCTGTGTAGGCCGACGCGCCCAGCGTCTCTTCGCTGCGTACAACGCCACGCGGCCAGCGGACTACGCCGAAACGCTCGCCGCACACGACGCGTCGGAAAAGCTAGAGCCGTTCCTGGGCCGCGACGTCGCCGACGACGTCCTCGAGGCCGCCAAGTCCGGCGCGTCAGTCACTGCCGACGACCTCGCCGCGGCCGCCGACGCGACGGCTGCCGTCACCGAAGCGGCCACGTGGGCCGCCGAGGCAGATACTGAGCTGCCGACGGCGGCGCTGCTCGCCGCGGCGCCCGCGACGCGCGCCTTCGAGGCAGATGCTTTTGAACGCGACGAACACGGTTGTATGACCACGGCGCTCGCCGACACGCCGGCGCTCGCCGAGGCGCGGCATGCGGTGACGAAGGCCCGGGCGAGGCTCGCCACCGCAGTCGCGTCGGAGCGCGCCGAGCACGACGGCCTGTTCGAGCTCGAGAAGGATCGGTTCGTCGTGCCCGTGAAAAGTGCGACCCCACCGAAAGCGCTGGGCCGCAAGCGCGGCGCGTCGCGGTCGGGCCGTTCCTCCTACGTCGAGCCCCACGGCTGCGCCGCGGCCGCCGACGCAGTCGAAGCTGCTTTGTCAGCGTTAGAGACGGCCGAGACGCAGCGCCTGGCGGAGCTGACGGCGCAGCTCTCCAAGACGGCGGATCCACTACGAGCCGCTCTCGAAGCCGTGGCGGCGCTTGATGCGGCGCGGGCGCGCGCCCTGTGCGGCTTCGACGACCTCCAGGGCGTCGTGCCCGAGAGCGGCGCGTGCCTGGACCTCGTGGGGGCCCGGGACCCGACGCTGCTGCTGGACGCGGCCGTCGATAGTGTAGTGCCGATCGACGTAATCGCGGCTAGGGGCGGCGCTGTCGTTGTGAGTGGTCCCAACGGCGGCGGGAAGACGTCGCTGCTGCGCACCGTCGGTCTTGCCGCCATTTTGACGCGCCTCGGCGTGCCGGTGCCGGCGACGCGAGCCGCGGTGCCCTCATACGGCCGGGTGCTCGCGGACGTCGACGGCGCGGCGCGGACCGCGTTTCCCCAGCGGTCGACCTACGAGGCGCGCTGCCGCACGCTGGCCGCGGCGCTTGAGAGCGACGACGTTCTGGCTTTGTTAGATGAACTGGGCGGCGCCACCGACGTGGCGGAGGGCGCCGCCGTCGCGACGGCCGCTCTGGACGCGCTCTGTGACAACGGCGCGACGACGGTGTGCGCCACGCACGTCGCGGCTTTGAAGGCGCTGCCCGCTCGCGACCCGCGCTATTTGTCGCTGGCGTTCCGCGTCGACGAGGCCGGACGCCCGACGTTTTCTCCACGGCCTGGCGCTCCCGGAAAAGCCGACGCCCTCGCGGCGGCGGCGCGCTCGGGGCTGCCCGACGCCGTTGTGCGTCGCGCCGAGGAGCTCCTCGTCGCCGAGACGCCGGCGGCGCCGGCCGACGCCAACGCCGACGCGCTCTGGTCGGCGTTGGACGCTGCCCGCGCGGAAGCCGCCGACGCGGCGCAGGCCGCCGCCGACGAGCGCGAACAACTCGGCGAAGAGAGGGCCGCGTTGCGCGCCGCTGTTGCGGACGCGACGGAGCGAGCATCTCGTCGAGCGCGCATGGCCGCGACGCGTCTGGAAAAGCGCGAGGCCAAGCTAGAAGGTATGTTCCGCGAACTCAACAAATTTGAGTACGACGCAAAACGCGTCGTGGGCGCCACGTTGGACGCGGCTCGGCTCGAAAACAAGGAGGGCCGCACGGACGCCGTCGCGGCGGTCCTCGCGTCGCACGGCCTCGCCGCGGTCCCGCCCGGCAAAGATGTGAAGGTCGGCGACGACCTCCTGCACGTCGCGGGCGTCGACGTCGAGGCGGGCACGGTGCGCGTGCTCGCGGGTGTCGTCGCATCGATTGATGTGGACGTGGTGAGCTTCGAGCTCCCGGACGGCACCGTGCTCGAGAAAATCCCACGCTCGTCGCTCGCGAAATGGGACGTCCCATATCTCGCCGATGGCACGGAGGTCCTCGCGCCCGCGGCCACTCCGAGCGCGGCGAGCGCTAGGGGGCGGCGGCACGCGCGATACCGGTGAAGGTTGTATGTTAACTTGTATTACTCACGACTCCGCCCAGTACGTGAAGACGTTCCATACGACGTGGTTGTCGACGCCGACGAGCGCCTTCATGACTGGATCGGTCGTCGTGAGCTTGCCGCGCTGCGCGAGCGAGAGCAGGTTGAGCAATTCCTGCAGCGGCAGACGGACGTACTTCTTGTAGGACCCGGCGGCGACGACGCCCTTGACAAGGCATTTCGCCGCGACGTAATGCTCGTCGTCGGCCAGTTCGGGCGCCCGCGCTACGGCGTCGTCGAGCGCCCAGGTCGCGCTATACGTCGTACACGCATAACTCCGCGGTCCCCAATCCCGTAACAGGTCGAGTCCCTGGTCGCGCACGCACGGATTCGCGCCCGCCCGGAGCAAGAGCTTGATGAGCGCGAGCCGCTTCTCCGTCGTGATGAGCGCTGTCACTGGAAAGAAAAAGAGCACTCGCGATAGCATCGACATGCGACACCGGAAGCCGTCGACCAACACCTCCGAGGTCGAGTTCGGGTCCGCGCCGGCACCTATCAAGAGGTCATACCAGGCATACATGTCGTCCGTGCCGGCGACGTTCAGGCTCGTGATAGGCATTACGAGCGGCGACTGCAGCAGGCGTGCGTCACCCAGAGCGTCAGCCCTCGCGCCCCGCGCTACGAGCAGGCGCCCAATTTCCAATTGGTTGCGAGCCTCGTTCCGGCTCTGGGACTGCGCCGCGGCGAGCACGCACACGCCGAGCGCCGTCCGGCCGTCGTCATCACGCGCGTTCACGTCTACCCCATCTAGCTTCAGCATCGTCTCCACGGTTTTCCTAAAGCCTAGATTGATGGTTGCGCTAATAGCATTCGTCATTGGATAGTACTCTCTCATTGGTTACACTATAGAGAGCCTCAAATCACACACAAATAGGCAGAGGAATGAGCCGCGACAAAGCTGGAAGCTAGCGTACTAACCCACTAGATTTACAGCCAGGCGGGGCAACAAGACGATTGTAACCGCACAAATGCGCTATTCATTCCCGCAGCAAGCAATAATTGATGCCTAATGACTACAGAACAAAATGCAGTACACGTTGAGCAAGACATAAGCCCCGGAGAGCAACCCGCAGACACATCGGTGCACGTCGAGCAGGACGTCAACCCCGGCGAGCTCGTAGACGACCGGAGCATAGTAGTAGCCGTGACGAGCCGCCGCAAGCTAGGCAAACAGCTCACGATCGCGCGCTGCGTCGTGGACGAAGTGCGAGGCGAGTTGAGTGGCGGCCTCGCACGAAATGAAATTATCGACGTCGTCGCGGGCGGCGCGTCGGCCAAGGCCTTTGCCGCGGGGCCGGCGCAGCGGCCGCGGCACCGTCTAGGAGCGGTGGTGATTGAAGCAAAACCGAGCCGGAGCGGCCGCCGCGTCGCGCGCGTGCTGCGCTACGACGGCGCCGTCGCGCCGGTTGTCGCAGAGCCGCAAGTAGTGGATGAAGCACCGAAGACCGATAGAGCCGAGGTCTTCGCCGCGTGGCTCGACGAGAAATTTGGACGGGAGCGCCTCGAAACAGTAGTCGACGTCGCCGGCGGCAAGGGCGCCGTCGCCGCGGCGCTGTTGCGGCGAGGCGCCTCGAGGAAGGCGACGGTGATCGACCCCGTGGGCTTGGATAGAAACCACGCGGGCGAGGCCAAACAAGCAAGCGTCGACGACGCCTTCTCGGAGGCGGTGCGCCTGCTCAAGGAGCCCTTCGCCTACCCGCCCTCACAAGCGTCGAAAGCACTACTAGCAGAAGCCACGTGCGTCGTCGCGATGCACCCCGACGAGGCGACGGAGCCGGCCGTCTGCGCCGCGGCGTCGTTGGGTCTGCCCTTCGCCGTCGTGCCTTGTTGTATTTTTGCCTCGAAGTTTCCGCACCGGCGCCAGTTCTGGAAGTGCGACCCCGCGCAAGCCAAAAGGGGTGTGAAAGATTGGGACACTTTTTGTGCTTATTTAGCTGAGCGGGCGGCGGCGCTTGGTAGTTGCGACGTGAAGATTGATGAGCTTGCTTTGGTCGGGCGCAACAAGGTCGTCTATTCGCTCGGGGCCGCTTCGAAACCGTACGTGACCTGGCCCGGGGACTGCGTCGCCCACGTCGCGTCCTATTTACCTCTGGACGCCCTCTGCCTCGGGTCCCCGCGGTGCGTCGACAAGGAGTGGCGGTTTCATAGTGATCGGTCGCTGCGGCTGCGGCTGCACGAGGTGCGTTCGGAGATCAAGCGGTCAGACGACCGGCTCGAGGTGGGGTCGGAACTGCCCAGACCTCATCTGGGGGCGCGGCGCGTGGCGAACGCCGCCGAGCTCCGGAGCGCCCTCGACGAGGAAGGGAGTTGGGCCAGGAGTTGGCGCTGCGCGATTCGACTTGCCGCGGCGGTCCACGGCGTCGTCCTCGGGCCCGCGTACGTCTCGCACCCCCACCAGACGGGGCGTCCTTTTCTCTTCGTGGAGCGGGCGCAGCTGTGCGTCAGGTCGGGCTGCCACATATGCTCCCTCCCTGTCCAGATCCCTCGATTTGCCTACATTACGCCCTGGGACAAACGGAAGATCATCCAACCAGCAGTTCGGGGGTTCTTGGCGCGGCGCCGCGCGAGACGGCTTCGGGCAGAACGGTCGTTGTGTTGTTAGATTAAGCTGTGATAGTTTAGAGACGCGAGGGGGCAGGGGTTCTACTCGGCGGCGGGAGCTGCTTCTTCAGCGGGCGCGTCGGCCGGAGGAATCGTCGCCTCGGCCGTCGGCGGCTTCATCGGGCCCGTCAATTCGGTGTTGATGAGACCGGTGGCCGGGTCGATGTACTGGTCGAGCTGTGCCTTGAGCAACGGGATCTTGTCGAGCTGCGCGATCCACTCGTCCATGTCGATGATGCCGTCGCCGTCGACGTCGAGCGCCTTGATGAGGCCGTCGAGGTTGTCCTCGCCTGTGTGGAAATCAAATTTCGGGCGCCCCACGCCATCGACGCGATGTCGTCTCCGTATAACCTAACTCACTGGTTGATTTCCACGCAGGTACTCGCCTTCTTGGGTTCCGGGTAATTCGCCCAGAATCTTCATCAGGTCCGCGCGCTCGATCTTGCCACTCTTATCAGCATCAATCTGCTCGAAGACTCTGATCGACCCGGAGCCGATCTTCGCCCGCAGCTTCGACACGTCGTTGCGCTTCGACTCGAGCTTTTCGTTCTCCTCGTCGGTCCGGTTCTCGTTCATCTCGAGGATCATGACGTCGGCCGCGAGCTTCTCGAGGCGCGCTTCGAGGGATAAGTAAGTAGCTAGTTTGCCCGTAGCCGGATCTAAATTCGACTCGATGGCCGTCTTCAGACCAGGTAACTTGGCCAGGTTATCCACCCACTCTAGTAAGGAGATCTGGGCATCGTCGCCGCCGAGCGTCGACGCCATCTCCTCGAAGGGGACGAAGGGCGAGCCGTCCGTCGGCTTGTTTCTAGGGAGGCCCTTGAGCAGGCGCTTCAATTCCCCGGTGTCGATGCTGCCGCTGCCGTCAATGTCAATCTGATTAAACACAATAACCGCCGGCGTGGCAGCGGCGAGCGCGGCGTTGATGGCGTCGTCCTCCTCGCCCGCGGCCTTCTTCTCTTCATACAACTTCTTGAGGGCGGCCTCCGTCGAGGCGGAGACCGGCACCGCCGGCATGGACACGCCGCCACCCATGGTTGTTGCGGGTTCTTTGCGCGGGGGCTGCCTGGAGGCAACGTCGGAGCACGCACCGGGCTGTGCGGTGCGTTTTACGGGCTGCGCTGCGACGAGAGCAGGCCGCGTTGGATGCGGGAGCGAGCCGGGGCTCTTAATTCTGAGGCCCGCGTTGTCTCGGTTCTGTATCAAAAGCACCACTCCCACGACGCGTGGCGACGGGTGGCGCGGACCGATCCTCGATTTTGCCGACGAGCCTTGGCCCTCTGCATTTTGCAATTGCATGCACAGCTGGAGGCCGCGCAAGGCGCACGACTGCATTGAGCAATCGCAAACGACTGCATCGATCACTACAAGTGACACTTTGACCGCTGCTGCATCGCTGACAGCCGTGCGATGCAACTCGCTGCACTGCTCCTGCTATGCATTGCACAGATTGATGCCAAGCCGCGCGGACTGGGACCCGCCGGGCGCGACTACATTCTGTCAGTGCTGCCACAAGCTGAAAAACTAGGCACGTTATCAGAAGCAACAATAGAGGTGCCGGCCGCGACCGACGGCTCTACGCTGGCACAACAAGTCCGAGCCCTTGACGCGCAAGCCGCGCGCCGCATCCAGGAACGGGACGCGCGGCAGGCAGCGAGGAAAGCTAGGGAGACGCAGCGCGCCGTCGCGCGCACTTTTAATGCATTGAGCGAGGAGCCGGTGCTGGCACCGGTCGCGGACGAGGACGAGGACGAGGAGGTTGTGGTCGAGGAGCCGGTGCCTACGGAAATACTTTGTGTATTATGTAGAGAAGCGAAGCTTGGTAAACAGGGCTGCGCCGCGTTGTTGAGGCTCGCGTCGAGGCAAGGCGTCGTGACGGAGATAGGTATAGCCGATGCGAGGATCGACGACGGCGGTCTTGAAACGTTGCTCGAGTGGGCCCTGTGTCGAGGGGGGCGACGGTTGCGGGTCAAGCGCGACGCGTGCGGCCACTGTGACCTGGCGAAGCTTAAGAGAATGAACGCGACCGCGACGCTCGAAGTGTTGGAATTGGAGCATTTGGGGCTGGAGGATATTAGTGGGCTGGCCGACTTATTGACACCTCACGCTTCTTCCCTAAAGCGGCTTTCGCTGCGGGGCAACGCGCGGATCTGCGACGCCGGTATCGTAGCTCTCGCGAAGGCCTTCGTGAGGACGGCGTCAGCACTCGAAGTGTTGGATCTGCGGAACACGGGCTGTTCGGACGGCGGCGCTGTTGCATTAGCGCGGGCGCTGAAAGCGCGGCGCGACGCCGGCTTGCCAAACGTGGCCGTAGACGTGGGCGAGAACCTGCTGTCGGCGAAGGGTGCGAATGACCTCATGCGGGAGTGCGCGGTCTTGGATCTGAGACGGAACGACCTCCAGGGCGCGCGCTTGTCACTGAAAAACGCGCCGCACCTCAAAACCCTGTCCGTGGCAAGCTGCGCGTTCACTCCACTAGATGGGGAGGCTTTTCTGAAACAGGCCGCAAAATCTAGTATAGAGGTACTGGACCTCTCGGGCAACGCCCTGTGTGGAAATCAAATTTCGGACGCCCGTCGACGTCGTCTCCGTAACTGCATCTGCTCCATGGCGTGGAGATTCTACGCCATCGACGCGACGTCGTCCCCGTGGCCGCATCGGCTCGATGGCGTCGAGGCTCACGAAGGTCCACGCAGATAACCTAACTCACTGGTTGATTACACAGGCAACGCCCTGACGACCGTCGAGGCGAAACGTAGAGCAGCAAAGAAAAATCCCAAGGTCGTCCAGAAGCTCGCCAAGATCACGTCGAAGGTCGCTCCACAGACAAAGGACGACGGGCCTTCGTCGGACGCTCTGAGTCTCTGCGCTCGATTATTGCGGTCGCCAGCAAAGTTTCCTTCCTTACAATGGCTGGGGTTGCAGGACGTCGGCCTGACGCCGTCGCACAGAGGGCTGGTGTCAGCTGCTTTGAAGAAGCGGCGGAAGACTGGCGGCTCATCGATCGTGTTAGAGGCCATCGCCAACAACGCGGCCAAAGCTCCAAAGAGTAAGGGACCACAGATTTAACAAAACTAGTTCGGGCCGTCGGCGCGCCGCGCGTGCCGAGCTAACCGTCGACGGAACGCGTCCGGGTCCACGCGCGGCGTGTCGTCGGAGTCCGACGACGAGAAGTCCGCCTCGCCGTCGTCCGGACCATTCAGACCATTCACCGGCGCCGCACTCGCGTCTGGCGGCCCGGCGCTCCTCAAACAATCGAAGGCCGCGCCGGCTCGCCTACCAGCTCTACCGACGCCGTGCCGCGCGTCCTCCGACGCCCGCGCGAGCCCGCCGCCCAGATCCCGCGCGCCATCGGCCAATCCAGAAGCAAAGAGTGCCGAGGACGCGCCCATGGCCCGCAACGGATCCCGGTCCACGATGACCCCTCTCACATACGCGCGGCAGCCCAGGAACGCCCCAGACACGACGCCGCGCACGGCGCCGAACGCCGCTGACAAAACGTGCCTCGCCGCGTTCACGCCACCGCCGGCGACGTCGCCGGCCACGGGCACACGCGTCATCGTCGCGGCCGCCGTGTCCAGCACCGCGCCCAGGCCGTCGTGGACGCCATCTAACGAAGTGGTGGCACCCTTCAGCACACCTCCGATCGATTCATCCGCGACGCGACAGAAGTAGGACAAAACCTCGATCGTGTCGCCGTCGCGCACCGCTCTTACGATAGATGTCACGGCCCCCTTGGCGCCGCGCGTAATGCCCCTCAACACAGCTCCGCCCCCATCGGCAGCCCCTCGTAACGCAACTTTGGCCGACGAGAGCTTCGACTCCCCCTCATCGGTTGGTTCCTCTTGTAACAAAGCAGCGACCCGATGGACACCCTTGTTCAGCGCGTCGAGGCCCGTGGAGGCCAAGGATTTGAGAGCTAACCGATTCAACCACGCGAAAAACCCGAGCCGCGTCCCCAAACCTTCCGCACTGACGTGGCGCACGATGGCGCCCGTGCCCAGCGGTCGTCGTCGCTTCACGAGACCCGTCGCGGCGTCCTCCTCGCAGTAGGCCGCGGTCACTTTTATTCGCGCGATCGTGACGGACTCCGTCCGCAGATAGCGCTTGGTCCTTGGTACTGAGACATCGTTCTGATCCGACGAGTACTCGTCGAGCAACCCGCCGCCCAAGTCGTCGCCTAGCGCTCTTGCTTCGATAACTTTCGTCGCATATTCTAGGCCATAGGCTGATGTTCTACGCCATCCCGTTGGAGTACGCTCAAAGAGCACGCAGGCGTAGGCCGGGCTTGCAACAGCAAATTCAAAGACAGCTACGTCGGACGACGTGAAGGGCTGGACGTGAAATTCCCCGTACCTGTCCGTCACGATGCACGCGTGCACGGGGTCCTTCCTCCTTATCTTTTTAAGGCGTTTCCCGCCCCGCGCGACGAAGGTGTCCTTGACACGTCTCAACACTCGTGTCAGCGACGTGTCCGAGAACTGCAAATCGTAGGCCGCGACTTGAAGGTGCACGTTGTGCGCCGCCACAGACAGGACGACTCGAGCCTCTCCTCTAGGATCGCCGTCGTCCGGAATCGTGGTGCGGGAAGGACATCGGAACCGCAATACTAACGTGTCCACCTGTAGACATTTTTCTGTCTTCGGGCGAGAGGGCGGCGGCGCATACACTCGGACATCTCGAATCCGACACGTGATCTTGCTGATGGGGTTCTCGCCGTCACGATACCTCGCTCTTAGCGTTGTTAGTATAGATCGTAACTTTGTCAAGGTAGAAGGCTGCTCGAGGCGCGTGTTATTCGCACCCGCGCGCCACTCGACTTCTAACGTTAATTCACCCTTGATCTGGACATCTAACCCAAAGAAACTCTTGAGCCAAGCAGAGGCCAGGTCCTTCCTATGAACATAGGCCATTAAAGCGCCGCCGACGATTATTGCCGTGGCGAGCTGCGAGAGCTGGAAGAGTAACCGGGCCGCGCCCAGGAGGATGAGGTATGTCAAGTAGAGCTCGAGCATCGCTTTTGATTACCGAGTCGCGTCCGCGCTCGCGACGCGCTGGATGAGCAGTAGTGTGTTGGCACTGTTGGGGCCCAGCCTCCCAGGAATGCTCACGACTGCGGCAACCGCTCAGGTCGCTCGATACGTCATTGAATCACGTCTTGCTGTGTGTCGGGCCATCGTTTATGGTCGCACGACGCCGACGGCACGCACGGCCTGGGCACCAAACAACACGGTCATCCGGCAGCTCAGGCCTGCAAAGTTCTGCCTAGGTTTGGCGGCGCGTGCGTTTCGGCCCGCAAGGGCTACCAGCAGTGCTCGGAAAGCTACCGCAACACGCACTAGGCGGCTCAAAAACTCGCGCCCTCTCGAGCGCGGCGCCTCACAAGCGACGCCCCAAAGCACGCACAGACTACGCCAGTAGCCCAGCGCTGTGCCCACAGCGCGAGCTCACTGCGCCGCGAAGAAAGCGAAGAAACGCCACTGCAGCCGAAACCGCCGCACCCACACGAAACAACCATGTCCGCCAGCGACAGCGAGGAGGACACGCGTTCACCTGCACAACGCATCAAGGACGGCCAGGAAGAGTTCGCCGAAGAAACCAAAGCTGGAGACGCCCTCCTCAAAAAAGCGACGAAGGGCGAAGCTCGACCGCTGTCCGACTTTTTCTTCTGCATTATCAGCGCTAGAAGACCGGGCAACGTCGTCAAGATGGAGAGCACCCTCAAAGGCTGCTCCCCGACGTGGATCGTGGCTGCGGGCGACAAGAAGGCCTATGAAGAAGGTGGTGCTACGAAGGTCATCGAGGGCGGCGGCCTCTGCGCCTCTCGCAATAAAGGCTTGGAGCTCGCCAAGAAGCTGAACAAGCCCTGCGTGCAGTTATCTGATGATCTCAAGACCATTAGCTTCGTCTCCAGTAAAGAAGATAAAAATTGGACCAAGCCAAGCTCGCTATCAGCAGCCAATGTCAGGGCCAAGAGCGCCCAGATCGAGCCCGTGAGTCCCGGCGCGGCGGCGCAGTACATCGACTACCAGTCCAAACAAACTTCCAGTAAGTTGGGAGGCACGTACCCGTGCGGCAACGCGGGGCAAGGCTGCGCGATGGCGCCCGTCGCGGCCGAACATTTTGTGGTGGGCGACTTCTTCGTGTCGCAGCCGTCGGCGACCTGTAGATTCGACGAAGAATTGACGCTGAAGGAGGATTATGACTTCACGTGCCAGCACATTCATCTGTATGGGCGCGTCGCGCGGTGCAACCGTCTTACATTATTAGCGGAGCACTATGTCAACGAAGGCGGGGCCGTGTCGATTAGGAACGCCACGGAGGAGAAGAAGAACATCAAGCGCCTGCGGTCGAAGTGGCCCGGAGTGTTTCTTGGAAGTCCCCGCGGCGACTCGGAGGTGCGCCTCATCTGGGACAAGCGCGACGTCGTGCTGGGCGGGAACCGCGTCTTCGAGACCTACGACGTCCGGGGCAAGCTCACGGTCTACGACAAGGACGAGCAGAAAGATATAAGGAGGAAGCGCCTCGCGAAGGGCGAGAAGCGTTTGGCGGAGGCCCATGCCTCTTGTCTGGAGGAGGCGCTCCTGCCGCCCGCCGCCAAGAAGGCGAAGAAGTAGGTTACCGGGTGGACTAACACAAGTTATCGTGACTACAAAACTCAGTCGCGCGCGAGCAGGCCCGCGCCCCACGCCTCCCTCCTTTTAACAACACGCGTCGACGCGGAGCTCGGTCTGACGGTGCTCGCGCCCGGGATCGCGCTGTTCGCGCTCATTGCCGTCGTGGCGCAGTTCGCGCACCCGGTATAGAGGTGCCCTCGCGGACAAAAAGACGACGACGCGGCGGTGCCGCTTGACGTGGCCCTCCCGCCGTCGCCTCGATGGACTGGCTTGGGGCGACGCGGAGATCCAGTGCGGATGTACTTCTGGTAGGCTAATTCATACAAGTCACTTAGACTTTGACCTTGGGGGTCTGGTACGAGGTCCGGTCCTGCAGGAAGTGGGCCACCTCGACGGCGTCGCACGGGGACCCCTGGTTGTAGGCTTCGCCGATGAGCTTGACGGTCGCGGGTGAGTCGAGGTCGAGGAGCCGGTGCGGGCCCTTCGTGTGCGCGTCGGAGAGGAGCTGCGTGGCGATGGGCTCGGGGACGTTCGGGATGGACGTCTTCAGCATGCTGTAGTAGACCTCGAAGCAGCCGTCGTCGTCGTCGAAGCCCCAGTAGCGCTCCGTCGCGGCGTGCAGCTTCTTGGAGACGCCGTACTGCGCGCGTGCGATGTCGAGCGCGCGCCGGTCCGTGGGCAGCGCGAAGCCGAAGTGGAAGGCGAGGCAGGCGAGGAGCGCCTTGTGGAAGTCCGAGTCGAGGAACCGCCGTGGGGAGGTGCTGCAGATCTCCTCCGGCGTCGTCATCGCGATCCACGCGAGGAGGACGGGCAGCGACGCCTGGCCCTGGCCCGTGAGCGCGTCGACCGCCGTCGCCATGCAGACGACGAGGAGCGGCTTCTTCGGGCCGCCCGCCTCGAACGCCTTCGGCATGATGTCGCGGCGCGAGACGATGATCTCGCGCTTCATGATCGCGAGGAGGCGCTCGACGTCGAGGCGGCTCAGCGGCACCTGCAGCTGCCGCTCGAGGCGGTTGAGGAGGGCGAAGGCGCAGCGCGCCAGCAGCTGGAACGCGCCGAGGATGCGCTGGCGCTCCGCCTCGTCGCAGCAGTCGTCGGCGTACAAGTAGAGGGTGCACGCCTCGAGCACGCGGCCGCCCGACACGCGTTCGAGCTCCGCTCTCGCAGCGCAGACCTCGCTGGCCTCGGCGAAGTACGGCGCGTCCGTGCGGTAGACGCGGTCCGAGTGGCCCTGGCCGGCGGCGGCCAGAATAGATAAGGTCCGCGCCCCGGCGCCGCCCGCCAGCGTGCCGCGCGCGCGCAACGCGACGAGGTAGGCGTTCGTCGCGATCAACAGGAGGTACTTCGCGCAGGCCGCGCCGACGACGGCGGCGGACAGCTTCGTCCGCTTGAGCACTTGCGCGACGCTGGCGCCCATCTTGTATCTGCTGTCGTCGCACGGGCGCAGCTGCGTTTGCTCGTCCTGGACCAAAGCGAGCACATGGCGCGACATCGTTGTAAGCGGTCTAGCTTTTTTGGCTTTTGAGTGCTGGCAGTGAGTGTGCACAGCTACGCGCTGTGGCTAGGGCTGGTGCAGCGGCGCTGCGGCGCAATTGCGCGACAGGCTTTTTGCACTCAATTTTGGCCTTGTTGCCAACGACAAACAAGATGGCCCGCAAGACTGCGTTCACCGTCGAAGGGAGGCTGCAGCAGACGTCTGCAGCGGTGATTCGACGCGTTCGTGGGCGGTAATCAAACTACGAATCAGTTTGTCCTGGAGCAGTGCGGCGCGAGTGAGATTGCGGACGCGCACGCGAAGGAACTGAGGCAAAGGCCCTCAGCGCAGCGTACCTGATCTTATATCTTCAAGCCAGAGCGCGCGCGCTGTCGAACGCAGCCGTATGGCCGAGGTAATTGACCTGCGCGGCGACAGCTCTGGAGACGAGGACGCCGCGCCCGTCGCGAAGCGCGCGCGCACGTCGACGGACAAGAACGACGGCGTCGACGGCGCCGATCCGGCGCCGCCCGCCAAGCCGCTCCTCGCGAAGCGGCGCGATGAGCGCGGCGCGATGACGGCGCCGGCGGCGCCCGCCGACGCCGCGCCGGTGCCGCGGCCGACAGCCGTCGACGCGGCGCCGCCGGCCGCGGCGCCACCCGACGCGGCGCCGCGCCCGAAGCGCCGCCGGCCGCGCCGCGCGGTCGACCTCGCCGACGCGGCCGCGGCGCTCGACACCGACACGATCAAGGGCTGGATGCGCGACCGCTCGGCCATCGTCGACGTCAAGCGGCCGCGCTACGACGCGGTCGCCGCGGCGCCCGCGGACCCGCTCGCGCCGCGGCTCGCGCCCACCGCGGCGCCCGAGCTCGCCGCCGTCGTGGCGCGCCTCCACGGTGGCGACGGCGCCTCCGCGCGCGCGCTGCTGCCGGTCAACCGCCACGGCGCTGAAGCGGCGCCGGCGCCGGCGCCGGCGCGCTTCTCGGCGCGCTTCGACGACGACGAAGACGACCTCGACGCGGCGCCCGGCGCCTGCGTGCCGTTCGTCCGACGAGGCACCGGCTACACGCCCTTCGTCGTGTGCCCGGATCATCAGCGGCGCGAGGCGTGCCGCCTACGCGACGAGTGCCCCGCGGACATCCACGTCCTTTTTGGTGGTGGGTACGCGCTGTACGACTGCGTCGTGCGCGACGCCGACGGGAATATAGTGGTGGAGAACGGGAAGTTCAAGTGCGAGTGCGGCGCGGCGTGGACGACGCGCCACCCGACCAGCGGACACTGTACGAGGTGCGGCGGCTACGAGGAGGGGCTGGCATTAGTGTCGCGGTGCGAGTCGGAGGGCACGACGCCCCCGCACTGGATGTACACGCGCGACCGCGCCATAGCGGCCCTCGCCGCCGCGGAGGACGAGGATATCAAGGCGCAGGCCGAGTTCGAGAAGACGGACGTCGCGAAGAAGTTGCTGCGCGAGATTCGCGGCGGCGGCGGCGGGTTAGTGATAGACGAGGGTTCGTGGAACAAGCAGCGCCCGCCCCCGCTGTCCTGGGCCGCGTCGGACACGTGTGCGACGTCGGCGTTTGGCGTTGACGCCCCGCTCCTCGCATGCTTCGCGCCGGCGACGCCGTGCCCCCTGGAAGCGACGCGGCCGAGCTTTGTCGCTCGGTATGAAGGTGCGGAGCGCGCGTCGCGGCATCAGACCACGACGGCGGCCCCGACGGAGAAGCGCATCGTCGAGAACGAGGGTGCCACCTACCACACGGATTACATGGACCCGTCGCCGGCGACGGTGGAGGACGCGCTTCCTAGCGAACACGGTTCTGAGCGCGGCCGCGCCGGTGTTCGTGTTAAAAAAGAGAAGAAGGCCGCGGAGAAACAGCGGATCGAAAACTCGACGAAGGCGAAGTACGGAGGGGGCCTGGACTACGACAAGCGATGTCCGAGGGAGCTGGCCGGGGAGCGATGCATCACCAAAAACAACAAGAAGGCACCCTGCCGCTTCTGGCACGCGCCGGACGGCAAGGGCGCGCACCCGAGGTACATTTGGGACGCGGACCTGGGGGAGTGCGTCGAGCACGACCAGCCGACTTACAAGTCGAAGTGGGGCGCGTTCTGTGCACGGTGCGGTTCGGCGAAGGGGGGCGGGGCGGACTGCGTCGGCGGGGCGGACTGCGTCTCGTGACCCATCCGTCGCGCTAGGACAGAGTAAGTTGAGAAGTATACTTCACACAAATTACTGACCTGCGTCGCGCCATACAAATCAGCGGCCATGTCCTGCGAGAACGCGTCCTCGTACGGCTCCTCGGCCTCGTCGTAGCTATCGAGGACAAGGACCAATGCCGAATTCCCGTCGGTCGAACAATTCCTGTAAGCGCGGTAGGGCGTCAATCTCGTCCTCCGCCGCACAAGCTTGAGGCCTTCGCGAGCTTGACCTGCAAAGCCATCTCGTCGCTGCACTTGTCGACGGCCTTGCCTCCCCGAAAGAAGACGAAGGCCGTTGCAGAAACATCACAGGCCTTCGCCAGATCCGTGCGCAGGCCCGCCCTCAGCAAGATCGCCCGGGGCCAGAACCGCAACGCCATGGCCCCGAAGGCGTCCCTCAGTTTTTCTGTTTCTTCCCCATCTTCGAAGAACAGGCACAGCGTTGTTTCTGGCGGCGCCGTCTCGCGCAGCACGTCGAATTCGTTTTTGGAGTACACGCGCCCATTTGGTGGCGGCGGTTCGAACTGCCTCACAACTAACGCGCCGCCATGATCTAGCGGAGGCGTATCCAGGTAGTATCCGGTACCTGATCTACGTGTCGTGAAGACGCGGCCGGGCCTTGGGCCAGTGTATGTGGCGCTCGCCTCGAAGGCGTCGTCACTTTGTGTTACGTCTGTGTAGTAGCCCTGGCCCAGGTAGCCCCGCTTGAAGGCCTTCCCTGGTCTTGATCCAGTAAACGTCGCGCTCGGCTCGAAGTTGAGCGAGGCTATTGCCTCGTCGCCGGCCGTCGCGTCCTCTGCCGGCGCGGCTTCTTCCACGACGGCTTTCCGTAGGACGACGCGCAGCGTCTTCTGCGCGTCCACCAAGTTCCCGACCGGCACGGCGGCGTCTAGCTCGCCCTCCGCGTCCGCGGCCGCGAGCGCCGCCGCGTCGACGCGGTCCTCCGGCGCGCACCGCCGGTTGTAGTGGCGCGCGAAGCGTTCGACGTAGGTTTGTAGCGGCGTCGCGAGTTTCGACGGGGCGACTTCGAGCTTTATCGCGTGGAGCTCTTTGTCGGTGGCGTCCAAGAGCCTGAGGATGACAGATGCCTTTTTTGGCGGCACTGCGGGCATTTTCGCTGTGCTTTTTTTTGTTCGGTGCCTCAGAATATGCCTTAGAACAGCTCTCGCTGGTCAGCACACCGACAGCGTCATCAATGCGGCCAAAAGCCGAAGTGGACTGAAGTGGTGAGTTAACTAGCGTGCTATCACACTAGCATGCACCGGAACCCAAGCCGCGGGCGTACGGCTGCCCATCTCGTCCATCAGGGACTTCGAGTGAAGGCAGGCAGCCCAACCGCAACCCTGCCACAGCCCAGAAGCATCAGTGAGGGCAGCCTGTACGCGCAAAGCATCAGTGAGTGAGGGCAGCCCTGCGCGCTATGCTCGCGCTCCGCTGGCTCGTCGTCGGCACGGCGGCAGCCACGACGCTCAAAGACCTCTGCCCCAACAAGCATTTTGAGGCAACGCTCGAAGACATCGACGACGCCGTGCTGCGGGGTCCGCCGTACGACGACGTCCGCGACCAGCTCGCGCTGAGGCACGCCACGGAGGGCCGCAAAGGGCTCGAGATCGGCGGCCCGACGCCGCTCGCCGCGAACCTCTATGGGCTACTGGCGAGCTGCGACAACCTGGCCACGTTCGAGGATCATTTTCATGGGAGACCTGAGTTGATAGATGGAGCGGACTTCGCCCCGGCCGGCGAGGCGATCGGCAAAACCCTGGTAGGTGACGCTTCCAATCTCACGAACCACGTCGCCGAGGGCTCCTACGAATTCCTGTTCGCGTCACATGTATTGGAACACACGCGAGATCCGCTCGGCGCCTTACTGAGCTGGGATGCCGTGCTCGCGCCGGGCGGGACGCTGTTCCTCGTTCTGCCCTGGAAGGCGGACACATTTGATCACGCTCGCGCCCCTAACACACTTGACCAGCTCGCCCAGAAACACGTAAGACGACGGACGAACGAAGACGCGCTCATGTCAGATTTTGAACAGACAATTAGGTCCGTGGACGTCACGCGCGACTGGGGCTTCCCGCCGGGGAGCGGGGCGGCGGAATTGAGGGAAAGAACTCTAGCCTCGGAGAAAGGAATGCAGATGCTGCACTGGCACGTCTTCGACTTCCACCTGCTGAAGGAGCTCTACGAGTGCCTGAACTACGACGTCGTGGTCCTGGACCTGCTCCGGCCCTTCCACCAGGTCATCGTCGGGACGAAGCGTATGTCGTCGTAACTAAAACTGTTGTGTTATTACATCACATCGTCCAGGAGGACCGCCGACCGGAGCGCGTCCAGCAGGGACGCGTCGAGCGCGGCGTCGATCGGCGACGGCTCCGGGTGCAAAGCCGCGCACGCGTCGTCGCCGTTCGAACCTTTGAGCAGGCCTCGCAGCGTCGCGTCGCGCAGCCAGTCCGTCGACGACGCGAGCTTGAGCGAGACTTCTAAAGCAGCGCGCGCCGCGACGCCCCAGGTCGTCTCGTCGTACGACAGGGCCTTCGTCAGCGAATCGGCGTTGTCGTCGAAGAACGTCAGAGGCGACGCTCCGTTGCCCGTCGTGACCACCTGCGTGGAAATCAACCAGTGACGTCGCATCGATGGCGTGGAGGTCGACGCGACGATTCGGCGCGAACCCGCCGTAAAATTTTGATTTCCACACAGGTGACCACGAGGCCGCCGCACGTGGAGTTGAGCGGAGCGGCCACGGGGAGGCCATGCTCTAAAGCTAGGAAGCAGCCCGTCGAGCCGGCCGGCGCGATGACAACGTAAGCCGCGGCCATGAGCTTGGAAAGTTCAGCCTTTGCAGCTTGTAACGGCGACGGCCCCTCGAGCGCCACCAGCGGCAACGAAACATAGGAAACGGAACACGCCCCGCGCGTCGGCTGCGGCGTCGGCGCCGCGCGTCGCACGTCGGCCAAGGCGGCGAGCGACGCCGGCTCCGGTTCGTCCGGCGCCGAAGCCGCCGCAATGCCCCTTTCGGAAGCACAGTGCTCCTCCACGACTTCTCGCCATTCATCATTACCGGTGACGACCAACCTGCGGCCGCGCCACCTCCCCAAAAGCTGCGAGAGGGCCTGCCTGTGGCCGCGGCCCGGGCCGAGCATCACCAACACATCCTTTCTTGAAGAATAAGACGCGACGTGCTTGTGGGCGTCCGCCCCGCCGACCAGACCCTCGGAGTCCACGTCCGTGCGGTACGACGCGAAGACGACGGGCGGGTGATGCGTCGCGTTCGGCCGCGCGCGCACTTGTAGAGCGCGAAAGGATGGTAATAAAGCCGCGTCGCCAGCTATAACAGCGGTGACGGACGGGTGCGCGTACAGCAACCGCTCGTACCCGTAGACGGCAGCCGCCGACGCCCGCGGCGCGCCGGCCGCGACCTCCTGTCTATAATGTAACGAATCAGACAGCAACGCGACGAGCTTCGGGCGGCGCCGCGATGCCCGAAATCTCTCCAGGGCGACATGTGCGGCCGGTCTATCTCCGAATCTCACGTCAAAATTTACTTCCAGCAGCGCAAGATCAAAAGCCGCCGCGTCTAATGCTGAAGGTGCCAGCACCCTCGTCAGACCCTCGTCGTCCGTCTTCACGTCGACCGAACAGGCATCTAAATCAAGTCGCCTTCGGAACCAGAGCTTCGCCGAGGCCGGCGGCTGGTCGCCGCTGCCCACGTATTTCAACGCTCTACCTCTTGTAGCCAGAGTCACCCGGTGGCCCCGGCCGCATAACCACTCGACGAGGCGCAAAATACGCGCGTCCGCGCCCTCGAGGTGTCTGAGGGGAGCGTCTCTCACGAGCAGAATTCGTCTCGGCGGCTCCTGGACAAAAACGCCCGACGGCTCGCCCGCCTGGATCTGACCCTTGGCGCAGGCTCGCGTCGACGGCACCGAATGTTGTATAACGGTACAAGCCTCGTCGACGCGCACGGCACGGTTCCTCCTTCTTAGGGTCGAGTTCGCGGCGACGGCGACCGCCGCGTGCTCGCACCACGTTTTTACTACCTCATGCACGTCCCTCTTTTTCAACAAAGGCAGATGGGCTAAACCGCACCGCTCCAACTCGATACGTTCCGCATCCCAGAGCCACTCTCCAGATACTTCGGCGGGCGCCGGTCCGGTACTACAGCAGCACCTTGCGAAATGGTTTGACTTCAGGAGTCGGCCCATGCCCCTTGTCGAAGCCTCCGCGGCCGCCAGGCGCTTCTTCGATGATGATTGTACCACTGTCTCATCATTGATTAACCCTAGAAGGACCTCATCATAAACCACTTTGCCAAGATGCGCGGCGGCCGTCGCGAGCACGGCCAAATGATCGCCCCGTAGCTCCACCATCGGTTCTAAAAGGGACGCCCACCTCGACGGTAATAATAACGCGTCGACCCTCTGACTCGCACCAAAGGCCCAGCCCTTTGCGAGGGGGCGGCGCTCGTCGACGACTTTGTCTCTCAGTGAAGCATAGGTCGACGCGTTCAGTTGAACACCAGGAGCGACCAGGAACACGTAGTCCGAGGACGGCGGGGCGCATTTGAGTAGAGACGCCAAGTCCTTGTCGGCCTTGCAGGCGTAGTCGAAGCGCTTTCTCGCGTCGTCGATAGCATCGACCAAAGAAATGTGCACGTCGTCGTGAGTCCGAGCTGCGTCCCTGGCTTTCAGCAAGGCCACCGCGGCGCCCTTAGTATCAGAGAAGAAGACGTGGGCCAACCTAGGAAAGCGGTCGCCCGTGAGCGAGGCGGTGTAGGCGTCTCCAGTTCTCGACGCGTAGCCGTGAGCACCTTGCCACGTTCCAAAACCCCGATCCACGAAGTCGAAGGCCGCCGCGACGGGGCACGACGGCAGCTTGAGAGCTACTTGTACTAATGTCTCCGCCCGGGAAAACGCTCCTGGCGAGCTTGTGGATTCGTGGACGTGTTCCGATGAAAATCCGGACGTGCTGTCCCACGTGCCGTTGGACGTGGCCTTCTTGAGCTGTTCCACGGCTTTTACGATCTGTGAAGCTTGCGTTTTCGAAATATCTATTTGCAAAGCCTTTGCTAATCGAGAAACCTCGCCGCTCCGATCAGCAAACATCGTCTCGTACCTCATGTCGTAGCACGCGTATCTCGCCCACTTGGCGTACTGCTGGAAGCGCGGCGCGACGTCGTGGGCCGCCGCCGTCGACTTGCGATCTCGCGAATGCAACGCTTCGGGGCCGAAGCCGAGGCACGAGCCGAACATCTGCATGCTCGATAACAGGACATCCCTCAAATCTCGATGGGAGCTGAACACAAAATCCACCTTCGGGAGGAGTCGGGGCACAAATCTATGCGTCTTCAGGAGGCACGGCGGCGTCGCCAAACAAACGTCGAACAATGCGGAGTCGGCGTCGGCGTGCGCTGTTGATGGTTCCACACCCGAAGCTTCTTTAACCAGTTCCCTCAATGCGTTGAATTGCCACGTCGACCCGCTCCGGCTCAGCCCGGCGACGAGCACGCGCAAATCCTTCGCTTTCGTGGACGGGGCGCATTTTGTAGAACCCAATTTTTTATCCGAGAGTCGCGGAGCGAGCCGCGTCACATTTATAGAAGTGTGGCGCTGCTTCTTTTTCCGGTCGACGTGTTTCCTCTTCAGCGCGGCGAGCTCGTCGCGGAGCTTTCCGAGCTCCGCGTTGTCTTTGCGGAGCTTTGCGAGTTCCGCGTCGTCGACTTTTGGCTCACTCGCCTTCGCGAGCGCCGACCTTACTTTTTCGCGCAGGCTCGCGATCTCCGCATCTCTTGAACGCACCGCCGCGGTGTTAGCTGATGCCACCCAATCTAATTTCGCGCGCAGCGCCGCGGCCTGCGTGCCCGGCGTCGGCTGCGGCGTCATAGGAATTGTGGGTTGCGGCGTCGGCGCCGGCGCCGGCCGCGCCCAGGGCTCGTGCGTTGTTAATTCGCGGAAGGTGGCCCACGAGTTGCTCAGCAGCGCACCGAAAGCGGTGGCGAGCAGCAGCCAGCACAGGGTGGCGCATCTGTTGGCGCGCGGCCTGGGCCGCATCGCTGTGCCACCGAGTTGTCTCGGCATCGATGCGTTTTATGGGCACCCGGGCGGCCACCTTGGGGGTGCTGTTTATGGGCAACGCTCACGGCAGCCCCATGCTGCCCCGATGTCGTGTGCTCTCGCTGCACCAATTTTTCTCTCACCGTTCTAGAGGTCTTACAACCGCTAGGTTTTATCTGGCTCAACTTAGCGTCATTGATTCGCGGGGATACCGACGCGCCTAGCTGCCGTCGCCCCCTCAGCGATTGCGAACATAATCCAGAGGGGCCGTACGCGCTGCTGCCTGAACAAGAGCACCGCTGCCTCCCTAGGGACGGCGTGGGACTCTCCTCGATCTTTGCTTCGAGTACGCCAGGAGAGCCCTAGCGGTGCTAGCCAACGCGCCAACTGCTCGCCGGCGGGGTCCCCGTGACCCGGGGAGCCGCAGCGTAACGAGCCAGCGCGCCAGTTGCCCGCCAGCGTGTCTCTCGCGCGACCCGCAGCGCGCGGGCCGCGCCAGTTGCCCGCCAGAGTGTCCTACGCGCGAGCCGCAGCGCGCGAGTGGCGATGGAACGACCAAGCTCCGGTCTACGACGCGGCAAGTGGACCCAGGAGGAGGAAGCCTACGTGGAACGCGTCATCCGCGATTTCAACGGCGGCCTGCTGGACGCGGCGCCGGGCACGACGCTGCGGAGCTACTTGAGTGACAAATTGAACTGCGACCCGATGCGCATCACGAAAAAGTTCACGGGCGACGCGTCCATCGGCAAGCGCGTCTTTCACCCGCGCGAGAACGCGAGCCCAGCGGCCGTCGAGCGGTCGAGACGAGAAATCGCGGAGCTCGAGGCAATATGGCGGCGTAAATTAGAACAGCAGCGGCGCGAGGCCGAGGCCGCCGATCGCAAGCGACGAGCGGCCGACGAGCCCCTGACCGTGTCCACGGGATCGACGCGGCGGATCAGAGCGTGGCTTGCGAGGGCTAAGGTGGCGCTCGAGGCCGCCACGACTCCGGCGGCCATCGACGCCGTCCTCGCGGACGGCGACCGCTTGCGCGCCGACGTCGCCGCCGAGGGACGAGCAGCGGGCGCCGCGCGGCGGCGGCGGCGGCGTACCGAGGAAACGTACGCGTCCTCGGACGAGGAGGCGTCGCAGCTGCTCGTCGCCTTTCTCGAGTCGGCGCGGAACCGCCGCGTCCCCTCGATCGCCGAGGACGACGGCGGCTGGGGCGACGCGTCGGGGTCGGACGCCGACGCCAGTTGATCAACTCTCTCGGGCCCGTCCCCAGGCGCGGGCCCCTAGCTTATCTCTAATGTTTAAAGTCGCTTTACGCAGAGGAGGTCGAGGCGGGAACCATGATGGCGGGGAGGGTTCCACCGAGCCGTCGCTTCACTCGCACGGGCACGGCTCGGCCGTGTAGGTCATCGATAGGGAGCCGAGGCCTAGGAGTCCGAACGTCGTCGAGGATGCGAAGCAGGCCGAGGCGCCCTCGAACGTGAAGGTCCGCAACGTGTCGGGGTCGCCTTCCTTGATGTCCAACGAACCTTCGAATCCCGGGAGCTGGGGGATCTTGCTCGCGTCGCAATCGTCGGAGCCAACGTACCAGGCGAGCTGGCCTTTGCATGCGTCGGTGCAGGTGAACTTGTACGAGTGGGGTAAATTTTCGTCCGGCAGACGCGGATCAGAAGTCGTGATCACCGTCGAGAGGTGAGGCAGGGCGGTGCAGACGCCCTCTTCGAGGACGAAGGCCGAGGCCGCCGGATCGTAGACATTCTGCTGCTCCGGGGTCAGGCCGTCCGCGTCGGGATCGAAGCGCGACGCGAGGAACGGTGCGCACTTTTGATTGGTACACCAGCCGAGCTCCGGGTCGAAGAAGTCGCCGACGCCATTCAGGTTACGCCTGCTGCATTCACCGTTGGTTAGCCGGAGGCATGTACACTTCGGTGGCTCACAGGGGGGCAGAGGCCCGCTGCACGCCTCGCCGCCCCAGAATGTCGGCTTCACGAGAACAGGCTGAGCCGGCGGTTCATACTCGACGAACGCGTCGACGACAAACGGCGCGCTGAAGAGGCCGGCGAGCGCGACGAGGAGACGGTTCCTGCGGAGGCGCGAGTGGTCAACGCCGTCGCGTTTTCAACGCGCGAGCGCTCGCGCGCGGCCCCTGTCCTCTGGCCACACACGACGAAATTGATGGGTTTTTGCACTCGTCGAGCGCCGCGTCTGTCGGCAAGTTAGCGAAGAAGTCGCAGAAGTCGCAGACGCCGGTCTGAGCATGCTTATTTTGGTGTCTATGGCTGTCCAATGGGCCAAATTTTGTAGCTGGTAAAAACCCGCGAGATAAGCCGGAAAACGAACAAGTTCCTAATATCCCTATAGTGAGCCTTACGTGTCGAGCGGGGAGGGTTATGTACGCAACTCACGACGGGGGCGTGAGCGAGGGCGGAAACGTGCCGTGCTTGCCGCGGCCGCAGACGTACGGCTGCTTCCCGGAGATGGAGTTGTACGTGGCGATGACCAGCGTCGGGTCCGGCGGCCCCTCCCGCGGGATGACCGGTCGGGACGTCCCGGGCCGCGGGATGCGGTAGTAGGCGCCCTTCGAACCAGCGGTGGCCGGTCGCAACTGCCGCGTCGGCGACGAGTTCAGCCGCTCCCACGTCTGCCAGGCCGGCTGGAGGTTCTTCTTTTTAATGCCGTGGAACCGGTACCTGTCTAGCAACGCCTTGTTCGCACGGCCATAAGAGCGCCTTAACTCCCAGTGCTTGGCCGGGTCCCGCACTCTCACCCATTTCCTAGGGGTATCGTAGGCCAGGCTCTCCTTGTTGCGAGGCGGCAACGGATGAGAATGCGACGTCCGCGGCACGCTTCGTGTAAAGGGAATCGTGGTCAGCGGCACGCCGTGCGACTCGTCCGTCGACTGCTGCCAGATCTGGGTTTCCCCAAGCTCGAGCTTCTTCGGACTCCCGAAGACCGTGTCGCTCTGCACGGCGACGGGGCTGAAGGCCGGCGTCGGGTAGACGCCGGTCCTGGGATCGACGCCGTGGATCTGGCCCAGGATGGGGTCCTTGGGCACGGCGAGGACGCGGAGCGCCGACTCGTCCATGGTTTATGTCTTTTGCTGGCGCGTCGACGGCGTCTCGCGGGCGTCTCCCGACGGCCTTGGTTCCCAGGCTGCCTGCCCCTGGCTCTCCCGAGATGGAGGCCTTCTCCGCGCGATGCAGGGGGCTAAAAGGAGTGGAGAGGGGGTCCTCCCGGTGTCTCGGGGGCTGCCCTCGTCCCTCTCCGCGAGGCACAGCGGCACCTTTGGGAGAGCGCTGAGTGCTGCCACTTAAAGGCTGCTCGATTTGTTTGCCGACTCGTCGCGCGAGCGGAGGAGCTCTCGCCGTTCTCCGATCGCCTCTTGTGCGACGCGTCTTGTTTGCGCGAGACTCTCCCACCAGCTGCATGAGAGCATTTTGCAAAGCGGCTCACACGCCGCGGTGTGCGGAAGGTGCAGCGAGCAGCGGTGGCGGAGGACACATCCGGAAGCGGTGTTCACTCGTGCGGGCGAGAAAACGCAATTCTAACCGCTAGACACCTCAAAAGCATCACTGCACAAGGAGACTGCAGCTCTGCAGCGGGCATACGACTGCGCTCTAGACCTAAAAAATGCGCATCGACTACGTGCGAATGCAGCAGCGCAAAATGCTGCTGCTCTGCGCGTTCTCGGCTGCAACCACGGAAGCATTGCGACCACCGGCAAAAGTCGTCGTCCTCGACGCCTACACCGCGACGGCCGGCGTCTTCGGCGACAGGGACGCCGCGTGGCGGCCGGCGCTGCGGGCCGGCGACGAACTAGTGGTGTACGACCGGACGGCGCCCAGCGACGTCGTCGAAAGGCTGAGCGGAGCTGATGTTGCGGTGGTCAACAAGGTGCTGGTCACCGACAGTCTCCTGAGCGCCGTCCCTTCACTGGGCCTCGTCAGCGTCACGGCGACGGGCGTGAACAACGTGGACCTGGAAGCCTGCGAAAAGCGTGGCGTCGCCGTCACGAACGTCCCCGCGTATTCGACGCCGAGCGTCGCGCAGCACGCCATCGCGTGCGTTTTGGATTTCACGAACAAAATCCACCGCCAGAGCGCCGCCGTCAAGGGTGGGGCCTGGCTCAACTCGCCGGACTTCTGCTGCTTCCCCGAGCGCACGATCGAAATAGCGGACAGCGTCTTCGTCGTGGTCGGCGGCGGCGCGACGGGCACGGCCGTGGCCACCGCGGCGGGTGCGCTGGGCGCCGACGTGCGCGTGGTCTCGGCGCGCGACCGGCGATCCCTGGACGCGGCGCTGGCGGACGCTGATTTTGTGTCTTTACATGTCCCTCTCGCGCCGGAGACGGAGAACCTCGTCGACGCGGCGTTTCTCGACGCGTTGAAACCGAGCTGTTGCTTCATCAACACGGCGCGAGGCCCCATCGTCGACGAGGGCGCGCTCCTCGCCGCGCTCAGAAACGACGGACTCGCGGCGGCGTATCTCGACGTCTTAGCCGAAGAGCCGCCTCGAAGAGACTCGCCGGGCGCGGCGCTCATCGCGCACGACAGATGTTTCGTCACGCCACATACCGCGTGGGCGACGGACCAATCAAGGAGGCGGCTCGTCGACACGGCGTGCGCGTCGATCGCCGCGTTCCTGCGCGGCGACGAGCTAAAATATCAAGTTTAGGACATTACACAGTGCGTGCCGAACATGGGCCACTTCTCTTGCGTATTCAAGGGCGGCTCGGGGCGGTCGAGCGCGTCCCGCAGCTGGCCCCGCGCCAGCGTCGCGTTGCGGTGCGCGAGCGACGACGCCGGGAACCGGGCCAGGGTCTCGGCGAAGAGCTCGAAGGCGCCCGCCTTCTTCACGGCCGCCGCGAGCGAGACCCGCTCCCCGCTCTCGCGGAGGCCCTCGAGCGCCGCGAGAGCACCCAAGGCCCAGCAGCCCGCCGCCCGCGCCGACTCCGCCTCGCACCCCTGCAACGACGCCACTATCAAACGGCACTCGCCGGCGACGGTCGCCGCCGCGCCCATGTCGGCGTGGGCCGCATTATACAACGCCAGCGCCGCCAGACCCACAAGTTTAGGATCGCCCTTGTGGCGGCTCAGCGCTTCTAGCGCCGCGTCCACGGCCCGCGGCGCACTTAATCTAACGGAAGCTTCTCGATCCAAAAGGCGCGCGTGGCCCAGGATCCCGAGCCCGGCGCGCTGCACGTCTACGTCATCTGGATGCGTAGATAGCGTCTCGAGCACGCAGGCCAGACCGCCGTGCGCCGCTAATCTATCAATAAACACGGCCCCGCCGCTCGGTCTGGATGACGCGCAGGCCGCCGCGCACGCCTGCAGCGCCGACGCGCCGCTCGAGTCCGCCCGTCGCAGCGCTCCCAAAAGCTCCGTCGCCACGACCGACGCCTCGCGCGTCGCATTCGTACAGCCCTCCAAACCTCCAGACGCGTAGTGCGCCTCCAGCCGATGCGCGCCGCGCACGGCGAGCCGCGCGTCGGCCCCGTACTCGCGCATGGCGCCCGCGAGGGCCTCGGCCGGCGCCGCCGCGGCCGCCGCCGCATCTAAAGCTGCCCTTCCTTCGCGCCACCAGTCCTCGTCGTCGTTGAGCGTGCGGCGCGTCGTCGTCGCCGTCGTGAGCGAGTCTTCACTGTCGCTCGCGTCGCTGTCCGTCGACAGGGAGCCGCCTCGCTCGAAGCCGCTGTCCGTCGACTCGGAGTCGGAGCTCGAGTAGTCGAAGCCGGGCGCTGCCATTCCGAAACCGGGCGCACGGAGCTGATGGAAGCCCGCCACCCCATAGGGCTCCTCTGGGAAAGCTGCCATTCCGTCGCGGGGCAGCCCCTACGGCCTGCTTCGAAGGCGCATGGATGACGCGCTTCTAGCCAATCAGCGCTGCGGCAGCGTGTCGCGGCCGACCAGGAGGGTAAAGCTAGGGTGTCGACGCGCGTTTTTGACGAGCGCTGTGGCGTGTAGCGACAGTAGCGTGCAAACCTAGTGTCTGTCTACACTAGCTCGTAAAACCGGCAGGTTGGACGAAGAGCTGCTTTCCTACGCCTCGACCGGTGGTGCGGACGAGCAGCGGTCCCAGCGGACGCGACTCTGTCCACACGCGACTGCTGGTACCCGCAGAGCTGCTTTTCAGACTTGTAGGAAGCCTGGGGGGCAGCACTCCAATGGCAGCCCGCGTCATCCCCGTGACCTCTCCGAAAAGCGATACTGATGAGCAAAACATCCAGCTCCCCTGCCGCTGCGACGCGCCGCTGAAAGCAAGGAGCGACGAGCCCTGCCCCGTGTACCAGGACATAACTTTCGACGCCGAGGCAGTCATAAAAGCCGCGGGCGCCGCGCCGCGCCTCGACGCTATCAGTTTTAGAAACCACTACGTCGCCTCCATTAGTGTGATGCAGCGCCAGGCGCGGCCGGAAGGCCTGGTCTGGGTCCCGGTGCTGCGGGAGAAACACCTCATGCGCGACGCGCACTGCGAGGACGACGCGCAGGCCACGACGACGCTCGCGACGAGCGACTTCACGAATTTCGATTCGGGCCTCTGCGGCGTGGCCGCGGGCGACGACGAAGGCCTGCCGGTCGGCTCGTTACGTTTCCGCCTGAGGCAGCCAAGTCCAACTTGGAGGTCCTACGAACTCAAACATGTGAAATGTATCATGCGTAAATAACATTCGATGCGATTTACTCGTCGGTCGGGGCGACCTTGGTCATCGACGCCCTCGACTCGGCCTTCATGAAGTTGATTTCGCTGGGCGGCGCGTCGCCGGCGACCCGAGCCTTGAAGGCGGCCACGGCCTCGATGACCTCAAAATCAGAAGCGTCGAGGAAGGGCGGCACGCGCAGCAACACGTTGCCGAAGACGACGAGCAGGGGACAGACGCATATGATCGTGAAGACGACGTAGACGTTGTACCACGCTATTGACGAGTGGAGCACGGCCCTAGCGAAGCGGTAGGAGTTGCACAAGACCAGAGACTGCAGCGCGTTCACTATAAAATATTCGCCGTTGACGCTTACTTTCCAGTTCTTCGTTGTTGGTGTGGTTAACGTGTACAGGGTGAATACTGCTACGGCAATGATCAATGTAGATAACGCAGCCTCGACATAACCGACAATGTGATGTTCGGCCACGAACCTACAAACTAGAGCCTCGGCCGCATGCAAGACCATGGCACACAACCAAGTAGAATCTTTAGGATTGACCATCTCGTACATCACATCATCTTGATACAATCTCAAGTACAATTGAAACGGAAAGTCATCTTCTGTCTTGGCCACCGTGATGAACCTGTCTCGTAACGTCGCGTACCACCGTAGTTCCCGCGTTTCTTCCACACTCCCACCTGCTCTTTGGGTAGCTAAAGCCGACGCATGCAACAAGAACCGCTGGTTCGCATACACAGCTAATCGAGCCGCGAGGTACTGTATACTAAAATAGAGCACCATGCCCAGAAACAGCGCGACGTGCGCGACGTGCACCACATGATCTAATTGGTGGTGCGTCTGGGGGAACCACTTCGAGTCCTTGGTCCGTTTCGCGACGGCGTGGCTCGCCTCGAACTTATGCGCCACGAATAAGGCAAACGAAATAAAACCTAAGACCGCGAGTTCCGACTCCATCCTCTGAAACAGGTCCATGACGTAGTTCCGCCGCTTCCCGATGCCGTGCTCGATGTGCTTCAACTCGGCCTCGTGTCTCCGCTTTTGTCGTTGCGCCCGCGTCTCGCGCTTCGGGAAGAGGGCCTCGTAGTTGTTCGCCAAAGCGCGCTTGTGGAGTAAACCAGCGATCTTGTCGTGGATCTGCGTCGACTTCTCCGTTTGTAGGGGCGGGAGGTGGTGGGCTTTCTTATGAAGGGCGTGCATGATGTGTTCAAATAAGAACGTCGCGGCCATCAGGAATAAAGCGCAAATGCTATCGACGTAGTAGTACTCCCGATCGCCGTGCGCGCCCGCGTCGTCCTCGTCGAGCCACCGGTCCACACAACCGTGATCTTCACAAACGTGGCACGCCTCCTCGCAGTAGTGGAACGTGTACGTGTGGTGCGCGCACGACTCCTCGCAGCTATGCGATAGCGCCGCGCAGGGGTAGTGGCTGTCGTGGCATTCGGCTGAAGCGTGGTCGTCGGTGTGGGCGGCGGCGGCCAGCTCCCTCCCGTCGGAGTGGGCGCTGCTCGTCGCCGCCGCCGCGGCGCTGAAGGCCAGCCCTTTGAGCCTCATGGTGTGTGATGAACGCTGCCCTTTCTTCAGGCGCGGCACCGATGCGCGCGCTTGGAGACGTTGGCGGCGCGCGGGCTGCCGTGCGGCGCGCCGGCGGTGGCGTGGAGGGCCGCCGGGCAGCTTTGCAGCGCCAGCGGTTTGTGGTTTGCAGCGCCGGACCCGCACGCGCGCCGCGACGCCGTGGCGCCGTCGGGGGCCTGCTCGAGGTCTCACGAGGCGTGCGGTCGAGCCTCACGCCGTCGTGCCAACGTCTCACACTTCCGGCGCCACCGCGCGAGCCTACGAGCACAGCAAATCCGATACCACAAGTTACTTACTTCAACGCCCGGTCCCCGATCTCGTCCCAGGCCCCCGATCGGGCTTTCTCGAGCGCGCAGATCACGCAGTCGTCGCCCATGTACCACGTCGACTCGTCGACGTCGATCGGGGCTGTCAATCTATCAACATGCAATAGAGATGAAGCCCCGTGCTTCACGATCAACGCGTTCCGTTTGATGGACACGGTCACGTCCTTGCCTCGAGTACCAGAAGGTACATAAACCCTAACCTCGACCTCCGTCTGCGTCTGCGTCCAGGTGTAGCCGTCGCCGCCCCGTTCCAGCGCTAGGATGCGCTTCTCCTCCTCGCTCTGGTCGAACTTGACCGGTGCTTGACCACTGTTCGCCTGACCCAACTTCGCGTACATGTCGGACAGCGACGCCATGCCGCCCGGCGACTTCTTGGAGATGCTCTTTTGATCCTTAACCCACGGAGCGTCACTCTTCATATCTTCAATCGTGAAGTCTTCCCGAAGCCACGCGTCCTCGTCGTCAAAATACCTGGAAACGAAACAATCCCCCCGGAACTGCTGGTCCGCGTGGCCGCAGGCCCGCGCGAGGCCGCAGGCTCGCGCATTGACCGGCGCGTTCTTCGCGTGGCCCTTGTCGTCGCAATACAAACTGACAGCGCGCTGGTGCTCCTTGTCCGGTACGGTTAGTGCGAAGGTGTCCACGGAGACACCGTGAGCGACAGCTAACAAATCCCGGTCCCGCACCTCGCACTCCGGGTCCTTGGCGTGGATCTGCTGCTTGAGGCTTAGGCAGTACGCGGCTAATTGCTCTTCCGTCAGCGTGCCACTGTTAGAGAAGTGGAGCTTCAGCGCTTCTCGTAAATCGTCATCTTCCAGCGTCGTGTTCTTCGGGTGCTTGTACTCGACCATCGGCCTGTGCGCCTCGTGCGGGATGAGGACGTACGTGAACTCGCCTCGTTCCGCGAGCTCGGCTTCTCTTGATGCTATTGAAGCGTCGACGACGTCTTTGCCCGACGCGAGGGCGGCGTCGATCGCGGCCATGGCTGCTGATTTGAGGACTGCTGGCGATTTGTCGCTTCGGCGCGATGCGCAGGCGGCACCGATGCAGATTCGTAAACTTGAGGGACGTAGACCTGCGTGCACAAACACAGCAGGCTCAGCACGTCCGTAGGAGCGCGCGACGGGCCGCCAAAGTCGAGCTTGCTTGTTTGCTAGTGTCTTACTGCACGCTAGCGAGGCTGGACGCGCTCCGGCTTGAAAAGCGGCCAAAAAGGCTAATACGCGCGCATACGCAAGCGCACGACTCGCATCGATCGGAATTAGGAGCGATTTCGACAGCTGTGCGCTCGCGCGGCCAATACAGCCTCACAAACACAGCCTCACCAAAATCACCAAAATGAGCAGCGACAGCGAACAGGAAGATTACGAGCCGTGGAGCGACGACGACGACGAGCAGCACCAGCAAGCACCAGCGCGCCCGGCAGCACCGGAGGCCCTCGACGCCGAGACGCTCGCAGCTCTGAACTCTTTGGACGGCGAGACGCTCGCGGGCCAGCTCTGGGACGTGCTCGGCGGGCTTGCCGTCAACTGCGCGAACAATGACGAAACGGCGCGGTCCGTCGCGGCAAGAGCTAGAGACGCGCTGACGCCGCGCGAGTACGCCATGGCGCTGCAGCCGGAACTGACCCGCTGCGGCCATCAGGCGACGTGGTGCTGGCTTGTTGATGAATTACACGCATGCCTCGAGCGCGTGACGATGGAGCGCGCGGCGTCTGTCGCGCCGCGCGCCGGCAGCGCGGTGTGGCGCACGGCTTGTTTGGCCGTGTCGGCGCGGCAGAAGGCCGCGCGGAAGGCCCTGGACAGTGATCTGGTGGTTGAGGAGGACGACGATGTAGGTGGGCTGGAGGTCGATGCGGATGTCGCCGCGGCCAAGGTGTTCGGAGTCGCTTCATTACTATCACAAAAGTGCGAGACGTGTCGATGCGTCGCGGTGCGGCTCGCGCTCAAACTCGCGGCGTGGGACGCCCTGCCGGACGACTACGCGCCCCGATTGTGGTCCATAATAAGGGCTTGTGATGTAGAACCGCACCGACTGCTAAGTGTCGCGTCGCAGCACCGGCCGCGGAGATTAGCGAGAGCACGACGGCGACGGAAGCGCTTCGAAGAGGAAAAAGCCGCCCACAAGGAGCGCTGCCTCGGGCTGGGCGCGCGGCCCGAGGAGCTGCCTACCAAAGAGTCGACGGGGCACGCGTCGTCCTCGTCGAGCGGCGACTCCGCGTCCTCAGACTCGGGCCGGTGGGACTCATCGTCACAGGACTCGGAGTGCGACGGGCGACGGTTAGTGAGACGCGACCGGCATGCCTCCGCTCTCGGCGCAAAGCCGGATCCGGACCTGCGGTGGTCGCTCACCGGAATTGCGCGGCTGGTGGCTCGCGAGAACGGGTTCGCGGGGCCCCTGGCGCGCGCGCACGAGTGGCGCCTCGTCGCGCCGCTGGCGGCTCGTTTATTGTCTAGACATGCGCAGTCCGAGGCCGGCGCCGCGGCCGCCGGCGCCCAACTCCTGCGGGCGCTCGTCGAGGCGAACCCTCTTAAAATGAATCGGGACGAGATTCTGGAGCGGCGCTGCGCGCGGCGGCTGGCGCGGGTCGCGGCGCGCGCGGCGGACCCGCGGGCCCGGCGGGCCGCGCGGCCGGCCCTCGCCGGCTTGCTCGCGACGGTGTCCGACGACGGACGCAGAACGTCTCTACTATCAGCGTGCTTCAAGAAGGGCGACGCCTGCGGCGCCGTCCTCGACTGCCTCGGCCGGGAACTAGTGGCGAATCCTGCTGGGATCGACGACTTGGTCGCGACGGCGCTGCGGGACCGCTTCGCGAGCATGGACAAGGACGCAGACGCCGGCTACGACGCGCTCGTGTTGAATTTGGACGCGCACGTCGCCGTGGCGGCGCTGGCGCGGCGCGTGGCCCTCGCCGGGTCTCTCAAATTGCCGGCGAGCGTCGCGGCGTTGCGCGACGACGCGGCGCCGCGGCGCGTCGCGGAGCTGCTGCGGTCGCGGCTGCGGCGCGCGATCGCGGCGCCGAACATCGGGCGGGAGACCGTGCCCGCGACGACCGGGAGCGCCGACGAGCCGTCGAAGCCCGGGGGAGAGCCCGCGGCGCAGCGGTTCATGCTGCACCTCCTGGCCGAGAACCTGGACTACGTGCTGGAGGCGCTCGGTCAGGCGTCGTGAGCCCCTGTTAAGTTGATGTGTAGAACACGCGACGCGACGTCAAAAACCCAGGGAACCAGTCTTATATGTACAAAACAAAAGGAGGAACTGAACTCAGGTCTGCAGCCCGCTCTTGGCCGCGCCCCGCGCGTACGCGACATCAGGTGGAGGCTGGGGCGTCGTTTCGGCGACGACGTCGTCCAAAACGCGGTAGGACGGCACGGTACCACTCTGGACGCGCCCCTTCCTCAGCACGACGCGGCCGAGGCCGTGGGGCCGCGCAAAAAGCTCCGAGACGCGCCGCGCCCTCGGAAACATCACGAGGTCCGCGGGCGCGCCTTCGGCGAAGGGCTCCGAGGCGAGGCCCATCGCCCGCGCAGGAGCTGAAGAGACGAGTGCGGCCCACCGACCTTCGTGCGGCGCCGTGTCCAAATGACCTAAAGTAACAGCGTTCTTCCAGGTCTCCAATTGGTCGTAGTCGCCGTAGGGGTGCCACCAATCCCTGACATTGTCCGAGGCGGCAGCCACATCAATGTTCTGCGAAGCAAGCTCTTGGACCGGGGCGAGGCCGCGCCACTTCGGCGTCCGCGGTTCATTCGGATCGATAAACGCGCAGTGCGGCGGCGCCGAGCCTCTTCTATCTTGCAATCCTAAATTGGTGGAGGGGTTCACTACAATACAAACGGGCTTGCACTGTTCTAAAGCTTGGCAGATCGCGTTTAGTATGTGAGGCGGCTGCAACGCGAGCGCCGTGCAGTGCCCGAAGACCACCGGCTGGTCGTAGCCCACGGCCCGCGCATCGAGCAAAGCATGAGCTAACGCCGATAAACCGCGGCACCGCGCATCATTGGTCTCATCGACGTGGCAGTCGACCGGCAGTTTTAGTCTTATGGCGTGGGTAAATAACGCCGCGCAGTGCTTCAGCGTCTCCTCCGGTGTCGTCTCGGCGACGTTGCCGCAGTAGGCGCCTAATATCGCGCCCTCCTTGAAGGCTCGGTCCGCGAACGGCTTTGCGATATTTTCATCGGACCACAGAGGTAAGTAGAGGTTCGCGACGCCTTGGACAACGAGTCCCTTCGTCGCGTACTCGTCTCTCAGTTCCCGGAACGCCGCATACACCGTATCCACCAGTTTTTGATCGTCCGCGGCCGTGCCGTCGAGATGCGTCCGGATGGCCTTCGACCCGTGGACGTAGGCCGTCTTTAACGCAAATTCCATGCGCCGCTTCACGTCGTCGGCCTTCGGACACACTACTTGGTCTTGGGGACCGCCCGCATTATCTGAACCGCCCGTTAAGGCGTTGGGCCGGCAACACGCACAGGCCGCCCAGCGCGGCTGGTCCTCGACCTCCTGCGCTAAAGCACCGTTGATCGAGCCCGTCGCGTTGCGCGCGCGCGGATGCGCGTGCGTCTTTACCAAGTGGGTGTGAGAATCGGCGAAGCACGCGACGACCAGACAACCGTTGCAGTCGATGCCCCCCAGACTCTTCGGCGGCGCGACCTCATCAATAACACCATTTCCGACGGCGACGTCGCAGGCCACGAGGCCCTCGGCGTCGGCGGCGCCTCGTAGCTCCCGCGGCAGGAGGCTCTCGGGGATTCTAACGTCGCGGAGCGTGTACTTGCCTCTGAAGAACTGGGCGAGGCGCAGCCGCAGGCGGAGCAGCGCATCCTCTTGAGACAGGGCCTTGCCGACGACGACGCCGGCGGCGACGGCCGCGGCGGCGGCGGCGGCCGTGGCTGTGGCTTTGCTGCTACCTTGGAACATGGTCGATAGATAGCGTCGCAATGCCGCGGCGCGTGCAGCACACGCACGGTGGCGTGAATCAAAGCGTGAGGCAGCCTTTGCGGTCGTAGAGGAACTTCCGCCGCCGCGAGAGACTTGGTGCGAGAAATGGGGCAGCCTCGAGCCCCGCCGATCGACAAATCTACAGATCAGGCCGGCCGCGGAGGGCTCATACACTCCAAACAGAGCCAAATTTTACCGCACGTGGAAAACCCTAGTGGGATTTCTACCAATGCAGCGCCATCTCGAAAGCCAAAACAATATCGGCAAAACCACGGCGCCCAGCACTGCATTTTCGCCCCGTTTTCGCGGCGCGCGCCCACACACACCCCTTGCCCCCCTGGGAGCCCGCGCGGCGCAGCCCCGCGGCAATCCGATTGCGCGCGGCGGCGCAATGGGCCCTGGGCGCCAAGGGAAAAAACCGCCTGCCGGTCGAAAAAAAGACCCGCCCAAACGGCGCCCCGACCGCCCGGCGGGGCCCGGGGCAGCCCCCGCCCCGCGCCCCGCGCAAGGAGAGCCCCCGCCGCGCGCCTGAAAGGACTTCCGAATTAACCGCCGCCATCGCAGGTCCGACTCACCCTCGGTCCCTCCACTTTCAACCTCTTTCACCACCTACAACCACCTTCAACAACCATGCGTGAGTGCGTCTGCCTTCACATTGGCCAGGCCGGTCTCCAGGGCGGTAACGCTTGCTGGGAGCTCTTCTGCCTCGAGCACGGCATCCAGCCCGACGGCCAGATGCCCTCGGACAAGACCATCGGCGGCGGCGACGACGCCTTCAACACCTTCTTCTCGGAGACGGGTGCCGGCAAGCACGTCCCGCGCGCGGTCTACGTCGACCTCGAGCCGTCGGTCTGCGACGAGATCCGCACGGGCACGTACCGCCAGCTCTTCCACCCCGAGCAGATCATCTCGGGCAAGGAGGACGCGGCCAACAACTACGCCCGCGGCCACTACACGATCGGCAAGGAGATCGTCGACCTCGTGCTCGACCGCATCCGCAAGCTCGCGGACAACTGCACGGGCCTCCAGGGCTTCCTCTGCTTCCACGCCACGGGCGGCGGCACGGGCTCCGGCCTCGGCTCGCTCGTCCTCGAGCGCCTCTCGGTCGACTACGGCCGCAAGTCCAAGCTCTCGTTCTGCATCTCGCCGGCGCCGCAGATCTCCAACGCCGTCGTCGAGCCCTACAACTCGGTGCTCTCGACGCACGCGCTCCTCGAGCACACGGACGTGACGTTCGCCCTCGACAACGAGGCCCTCTACGACGTCTGCCGCCGCAACCTCGACATCGAGCGCCCGACGTACACGAACCTCAACCGCCTCTTCGCCCAGGTGGCCTCGTCGCTCACGGCGTCGCTCCGCTTCGACGGCGCCCTCAACGTCGACATCACGGAGTTCCAGACGAACCTCGTGCCGTACCCGCGCATCCACTTCATGCTCACGTCGTACGCGCCGGTCATCTCGGCCGAGAAGGCGTACCACGAGCAGCTCTCCGTCGCCGAGATCACGAACTCGGTCTTCGAGCCGGCCGGCATGATGACCAAGTGCGACCCGCGCCACGGCAAGTACATGGCCTGCTGCCTCATGTACCGCGGCGACGTCGTCCCCAAGGACGTCAACGCCTCGGTCGCCACGATCAAGACCAAGCGCACGATCCAGTTCGTCGACTGGTGCCCGACGGGCTTCAAGTGCGGCATCAACTACCAGCCGCCCACCGTCGTCCCCGGCGGCGACCTCGCCCGCGTCATGCGCGCGGTCTGCATGGTCGCCAACACGACGGCCGTCGGCGAGGCGCTCTCGCGCATCGACCACAAGTTCGACCTCATGTACGCCAAGCGCGCCTTCGTCCACTGGTACGTCGGTGAGGGCATGGAGGAGGGCGAGTTCTCCGAGGCCCGCGAGGACCTCGCGGCCCTCGAGAAGGACTTCGAGGAGGTCGGCGCCGAGACCGCCGAGGGCGAGGGCGAGGAGGAGGACTTCGGCGAGGAGTACTAGATCCGCCCACGCGCGCCACACGGTTGATTGACACCTGTCCGTCCCGTACGTGTTTTTTCGTTCGCACCCGCAAAAAGATCGCTGCACGCCGCTCCGTTGAAGACGCTCCGTTGAAGAACCCAGCTGAAGAACTCAGTAAGCTTGACATCGTATATCTCGTAGAAACCCGGCGCGCTCGCGATGCAGTTGAGCGTTAGTTTTGATGAGCGGGATCGGCGAGGAGTCAGCAGTTTGAGGGGGTACCGCCCGGCCCGGGCGGGGCGCGGCTTCCAGGGCTCCCGCGCTTTTTAGGAACCGCAGCTAGCGGAGTAAGACACTAGCTAGCTTAGCGCTGCCCCAATCTGCCAAAGCAGGACACCCACACCGAGGGGACGCGCGACAACGCGTCGTTGTGCACCCCGCAACGCTGGTTTCCAGCTCCCGGGGCAGCCCCGGAGGAGGGGAGGTAGATGATGCGACGCAAAGTGAGGTAATGCAGTCACCCCACGGTCCGGGCGCCGGCGCGGCGGCGGCGTCGCCCTACGGAGGCAGCCCCGCGCGGGGAAGCAAACGCGATGCGACAAGCAAGGTGATGCAGTCGCCCTACGGTCCGCCGGATCCGGGCGCCGGGGGCGCGTCGTCGCCCTATCGTCCGGGGGCTACCACAACGTCTCCCTACGCTGCGGGCGGCCCGCTCCCGCCCTGGCCGCGGAGCCGGCGCCGGCGCCCGGCCAGGGGCAAGAATCTGGAACTGCAATGGCTGCCGCCGCTGTCGCCGTCGTGGGCGGCGGCCTCGATACAGGGAGAGGACGGGCGCACGGCGTTCCAGATGATCGCCGATGACGTCGAAGCGCGCCCGCCGCGCATCTTTTTAGGTGAAATGGCCATGGCCGCGACAAAAGTCCAGCGCGTCGAGCGCGGGCTCCAGTGCCGCGCGCGATTGTGGTGCGTCGACTTACCTGGTGGCGCGACGTACACGCGCCTGGCCCTCGTGGCGGCGTCGTCGAACCCTCCCTCAATTCACATGTCGACGCTCGCGCACCACTGGGCGCGCAAGGGGCAAAAAAGGTGGCGCGGCGTCCTCGGGAGAAGGAAGGCGGTACGACGAGCCGAGGCCTACGTCTACAAAGCAGCGACGCTGATGGCCGCGGTGTGTCGGGGCGGCGCCGCGCGACGCCTCGCGAGAGCGATGCGCGCGGCGGTCTTCGAGACGGCGGCCTGGCGCGTCCAGCGCGCGTTCCGCGACAAGATGGTGCGCAAGATGCTCGCTGAAGCGAGGAGATTGAGGAGAGCGAGGATGCGGGGCCGCATGCAGCGCTGCTGGCGCATGGCGCTTGGTAAGAGACGGGCAGCTAGGTTCGCCGTGGCGAGCGCCGTGGCCGCTGCGAGATTAGATGCGTTGAGCGCGGCGGCTCGATTAGCGAGAGCTCAAAAGGAGCGCAACAAGCTCGAGCTGCCGCCCGAGGACGCTGTACCAGGACCCTGGGAAGATGTTGCAGATCCGGTCGGAAAAGTCGTCGCATACAAAGCCTGCGCCTTGGTGCCCTTTGAGTGGGAGGTCGCTTCATTAATAGGTGGAGACGAGTACGAGAAGCCCGAGGAGAGGAAGGCGGAGGCGCCTATCGATGAGTCGAAGGACCCGCTCGCGGCGTATAAGGCGCGCAAGGCCGCGGCGGAACTGGAACAAACGGAGAGAGAGAAGACCCCGCCCGGCGTGTTAGCTAGAGCTGCCGCCATCGATCCATTGCTGCACGCGGCTCATGCATTAGCGTTAGGTGATGGCAACTGCGACTCCGCATTATCAGTGTTGGAGGCGGCCTCGCCGTCATCAGCCGTGATGGCTACAAGAGCAGCGTGCCGCCAGCTCGGCTGGGCCTGCGCGACGAAGTACAAGCTCGTGCTGGCCGACTGGCTTGATGAAGCTCTAGATCTCATCAAGACGGCGCGAAGCATGGACGAGTCGCGCCACGCGGGCGTCTATTTTGAGAGAGCTTATTTAAGAAACGCCGTCGTCATGTGGTCCGAGGGGTATCGAGCACCGAACGCCCGGGCCTTCTGCGGCGCGGCGCTCGCTTCCAGCAGAGGCGACCCGCACCTCGAGCCCGCCTGTGCGGATGGACAAGCGCGGGTCAAACGCGCCCGAGATACGCAAAGAGCGGTGTATCACCTCGACCTGGCGCGGCGCCTGGCGGAGTCGGAGGGCGGCGGCGACTTAAGTGCATTTGCGAATGCCATGGGTTGTGCCGAGGCCCACGACGCCCTCTTCACGCGAGTTAGGGATCCCGTCATCGAACGCATGCGCGACGTGAGGTGCGTGCGCGACGTGGAAGCTGCTTGTGGCATAGCTGATTTTGACGACGCCGAGGCGGCGAAGCCTCCGTCGTCGAGGCCCCAGACGCGGACGCAGCGACCGGACACGGCGTCGGGGAGCTGGCACGTCCGCGTCTTTGCCTGTGGCGACGCCTTCGTGTGTACGGCTGAAAGGTCCGCCGCGACGACGCGCGGGTCACCGGTGACGGCGCGGGACCACGTCCTCCTGCTCCACGACCTCGAAGAACTCGCAAAATTACATTTCCCGAAGTCCGAGCAGGCGGCGGCGTTGCGAGACGGTAGACTAGCGGAAGTTGTGTGGGACAGGTTGGTGTTAGTGGGCGGCGACGGCCGGGGCGGTCCTCGTGATGGGGTGCCGCCGTCCTTGCAAGTGCCTGAAGTAGCAAGAGCACGAGCGGCCGCCGTACATCTGGCCATGGAGACGTTCTGCGCCATTCTCGTGCAAAGAGCGTATCGAGGTTTTGATGCCGCTAGTATGTTCAAACGGAACATCTTCCGGCTGCGCGAGAAGGATCGACAAAGGGCAGGTGTTGCTATCAGACGGGCCCAGCGGTTGCTAGCGCAACTCCAAAGAGATCTGGGGATCTCGAAGTTCCAGGCTTGCGTGCGCGGGCGGCAGTTTAGAGCTCTCCGGAAGCGAGAGATGAAGGCCGCGGCGTTACTGCAAGCCTACGCGCGCGGCGTTAGGAAACGAATGCAAGATAAAGAGGAGGCCGAGCGTAAATTGTTAGGCGCGCCGGTCGAGATCGCGTTCGTCGGCGGCAGGCGAGTCGGCGGCGTGGACTTAGTATTGACGGTCACGCGGTGCGGCATGAATTATAAATTTAGTGGCCAGGACTTCGCGGCGCAGACGACGTATGTTGGGGTTTGTCCTGCGTCGACCGTCGAGGCCGCGATCAATGGGGCCAACGCCGACCGACAAAAAGGCGAGAAGATCAGGAGGCTGAACAACCGCGAGGATGTGTTATTTGTGCTCTTGGATCGGTTGGCGCTGGTCGATGCGATCTATGCGCCGACGAAAGAGTTGCGAGGTGGTGGTCGTGTCTTGGTTGTTGATGCTTCTAAAAGAGCAAGTGGTGGCGGCCCGTCCGTCTCGAAGCTCCATGGACTAGGAAGGCGCCTCGACGACGGGGCGCTCATGCTGCGCGACTACGAGAACAACCAGAGGCGGCACAACGAGGCCCGGGCCGCGCGCGGATTGGGCCCGAAGCAGCCCTCGGTCATCGAATTGCAGAAGGCCAAGGCGGCCTTTAAAGCTAGACTGGGCTCGAACCCCGTGTCCGCGAAGGTACTCCGGGAGCGGAAGAAGGCGGCGCGGAAGCGGCTGGAGGCGCAGGAGGCGGAGGCCCTCTAAGAATTTGTGGTTTATTCAATGATCAGCCAGTGTTCTTACACATAACAAGTGGGCGGCCTAGTCCGGTCGCACCCACGTCACCGTCTCCTTCGCGCGGCAGACGTAGTAGGCTCGTGACTTGGCTCCCGAGCCGGTGGACCTTTCGACCCAGCCCGGCGGCAGCGGCCCCGTCGACGAGCTCGGCGGCGGGCGACCGAGGCCGCCCATCAACGCAAATAAACCTCCCGGCTTCCCCATAACCATGGTCCGCTGGAACATGCCCGTGCTGAGGTAGTCCGCCATCGGCTCCCCGCGAACCGCCGCGAAGATCTCCGAGTTGAGTTGACAGTCCTGGACCATCTCGGTCTCGAAGATCGGCAGGTGGATCCTATCGAGCGGGCCGACGGCGTCGCAGATCAGGAACTGCACGCGCGCCTTGGTCGGCGGCGCCGCGCCGTTCCGCAGGATGAGCGCCCTGGCCTCTTCGACGAGGGCGGGGAGGCCCCATTCCTTCAGGAAGTCGAACCGCGCCGCGCACGCGCGCAGCTTGCGGAGGGCGCCGACGCCGTCGCCGCTCAGCAGGCGGGCGAGGGCCTCGGCCCACCAGTGGTCCGGCCTATCGGCGGCTCCCGGGGCCAGCGCGGCGACCGCCGACTCGAACGCTCGCGCCGCGTCGGCGAACTCGCCGCGCTGCGCGAGAGCCAGACCGAGAATATAGAAGGTGTGCGCGCGATGATCGTCCGGGAGTCCGGAGTCGAGGGCCGTGCGGAGGTGGTGGACGCACTCGTCGCCCGGGGCCAGCTCGAGGTGCTCGGGCCAGGCCTGGTACTTCGTGTCCATCGGCTTCACGAAGCACAGCTTGCCCAGGTGAGAGTGCACGTCGGCCAGCTGGTCCGGGCCGACGCCGAGTTCCAGGGCCTTGGTCAGCGCGCGGTACGAGCCGTCGCGGTCCACGGGCCGTAAGCTGAACCCGAGAGAAGCGTAGGCGCCCGCGGCGTCGAAGCCGCGAGACGTGTAGCCGGCGCGGTCGGCGATGGCCGCGTCGAGCGGGCCGCGGTGGGCGCTGTGTTGTCCGAGATCCTCGAAGATCTCAATGGCCCGCCGGTACGCGGCCGCTGCCCGGGCCGACGCCGCCATGTCGGAGCCTTTGGCCTTGGCAATCTCAAACAGCGCGTTTCCGTAGTTGTTCCAGACGGTGGCCGCGCGGGCGTCGCCCTCCTTGCGCGGCCGGGCGTCCAGGAGCTTCTGGAACGCCTCGAGCCGCCCGTTGGAGTCGCCGGCCAGCTTGAGGGCCACGTCCAGCAACTGGTGGGCGTCGATGTCCGCCGGGGCCCGCTTCAGCGCCCGCCGCGCCTGGGCCGTGGCCTTCGCGATCAGCTTTCGCGCCTGCGCGCTGTCCTTCTCCTGCAGCGCCCGCGTCGCCCGCGCGATGAGCACGTACGAATTCTTCATGTTCTCGATTTTTTCGGGACCCAGGGGCCCCTGGCAGAGCGGACACGCGTTCGCGCTGTCCGGGACGTTCAGCATGTACCCGTGGCAGCCGCGGCACAGCCGATGCGAGCAGGGCAACTCTTCGGCGTCGCGGACGGGATACAGGCAAATGGGACATTGCTCGTTCACGTCCGTCGGCCCGGATTTTCTCAGCCGCGCGCACACCAGCTTGTGTTCGGGAAAATGGGCGGCCTGGCAATTCGTGTCGCAGTACGCGACGCGCTGACACCGGCTGCATCTCTTGAGGCCTTCGGCGCTTCGGCCGCACGAGGCACAGGCGTCCAAAGTGGCCATCGCAGCGGTACGCCCGGGTAAACTGCTCGACGAATTCCACTTCTGGGCAGGTTTGGTGCGGCAGCGGCTCAGCAAAGGCCACTTTCTCGCACCCAGATCTGCAATCCTAGTGTCTTACAGACCGCTAGCCCTCGGCATGCTTGCCAGGGCTGTATAAGCCGATAGCGCGCACTGGGTGGGCGAGCATCCATCGCATTACGCCCGCGACAAACGGCCCGACACGACAAGACGACCGATAGCTCGCCGACAGCTTGGGAACCCAACAAAACCATCTCTGTGACAAATTGGCTAGCCAAATCCAGCGTGCGTGCTTAGCGTGCCCGCTTAACTTTTCCGGCGCAAGTACTCGCTGATAGGAGGGATGATAATCGAACGCGACACCTCCACGCTCTGGGCCTGGGCCGCCGCCCTGGCGGTCGTCTCCGGGCTATTTACTATCGTCGTCCAGCCCCTCGTCGAGCGTTGGGGCCTCCGACAGAAGTGGATGCCCCGTTGCCTAGAACTGCAGCGCCACGTCTCTATAGGCATGGGAACGCCGAAAGACTGGTGCGACGACGAGCACTGCCTGAGGGCGTGGGCTGGAGGCATCCTCGCGTTCATGTTCCACGCCACCTGCGGCTCGCTCATGCTACCGGTCGTGATCTACGGATGGGGCGCGAGCGAGACGTATCAGGACATGTTTTTGTTCGGTTCCCTGCTAGACCTAGGTTGGGACTTATTTAGCCAAATACAAGTCTATGTGGCGACGTTCCACGGCGACGTATCAGACCGCTGGGGCTGGGCGCGTTGCCCGCGGGGTCTATTTCCGTTCATCGTCATGCATCACGCGTTGGCGTATATCATCGTCGTGCCTATGGATAACAAGTACGCGCCCGTGTGGAAATCAAAATTTTACGGCGCGTTCGTGCTAAATCATCGCGTCGTCTGCCACGCCATACTGATTAATTTCCACACAGGTACGCCCACCTTCCGGACTACCACCAGGTCTGCCTGTCGCTACTGGGAGCGGCGGCGTGCGCCACGATCAAGATGAGGTGCCTTTTCGCGCGGGCGCTCTACGAAAACGAGTGTGCCACGCTTGACCATCTCCGCGAGGCAGTGACGACGCTCGAGGACGCGGAACGGATTACGCGGCGCCTGCTCGGTGGCGCCCATCCGTTCATGGTAGCGATAGAGGAAGGATTGCGAGAAGCGCGAGACGCCCTCCGCGCCCGATCCGCGGCGCCCTAGCGAGTAATCGACGAACTTGAACGCAACGAAGACTAGAACCTACATTTCCCTCTCCTTAGTCATCCAGCTGCGACAGCATCGCGACGCCCCGTTGGACCCAATGTTCTGGGGGAACGTCGCTCGGCACCTGTGTGGAAATCAACCGGTGAGTCGCCTGCTCTTCACAAAGTCATTTCTCGGCGACGACGCGGCCGTCCTGGCTCGGTCGAGCGGCGAGGAACCGGCATCGCCACGCCATCGAGCAGGCGCCGCGTCGACGGCGTGCCGGGCGACGGCGGCCGCCGCGACGGCGGCCGCCGACGGCACGGGATAGGCGTCCCAAGACACACCAACGCCGTCGGCGCGACGCCGGGAGCCCCCCGGCCGCGCCCCATCGGCGCACAGCACGAATTCTCGACCTTTCACCAGTACTCTCATGGTCCGGGCCCCGACGCGCCCGAAAACAACTCAAATTCGAAAAAAAGACCACCCACCGCCATGATTCTAGGAAACGAGCCTCTCCGATATCATGACGACGGCGTGAAGGCGCCGTAACGTTGATTTCCGCACGGCTCGGCACGTTTATGTCCAATATAAAATTTGTGCTGTGTCCGGTGGTCGCCAAAATCCCTCTTCTATCGCCCGTCTTGTAGACCGGGCATAGATATGAGGGAGGATGCCGGATCTGCACCGTTCTTTTGGGCTGGAACCACATGAGCGGCGCCGTCGTAAACAGGACTTTCGGCTCGCTCTCCAGGATGCGTTTCTGCTTCTTGTCCCAGCGCGCGCCCTCGAAGAAGAAGCCGTAGACGTAGACGCCCAATGCCGGCGGCTTCGCGTACGAACTGCTGGGAAGCATCTCGAACTGCAGACCAATCGCGTCGATGGGAATCGTTTCGGCTCTAGAATAGTTCTGCTTCGAGGCCGTCATGAAGGCGTGCTGGAAGAAGAAGGCCGAGATCCAGTAGGTGGAAGGCGGCTTCTCGCACAACCATTCATTCAAGAAATTCAATCTCTCGAGTAAATCGGTCACGTAGCCGGCTAAAGGTTTAAAGGAAGGATAGGACTTGGCCTTCCACATGGCCGGGATGGCGCCGTAGACCAAGGAGTCGCCCAAAGCTTCGAGCGGCCCGGACATCACTACAATACCCCTCACGGCTTTTTCGACGTCAATCAGCGACTTCTTCATCGCGTTCGTCAGGTTGTTGAATCGCGCTAATTCTTGGCAGAGCACCGTGTTCATGCTTTGCTCCCACAGTACTGGGTAAGATATAGCTGCTTGCTCCATGTCGTACGCCGCGGGGAGCTTCTCTTTGATGTCCCCTGCTGTAGTCGCTATAGTAGCGTCTTTATCACCGGAGCCACCGCCACCACCCCCACCTTCACAGAGCAAACAGGTCGCGAACATGGCGTTCGTCTCCTTCGTGTCCTTGGTGATGTTCGCGTTCTCGTGGAAGCCGAAGATTTCCGGGGGGGCCACTAAAGGCAGGCCCTCGATGACCTCCAGGAATTGTTCCCGCGTTTCGGCGGCGGGGATGGAATACGTTCCACTATCAGACATCTTGTAGCCCGTCTCGAGCACGTCTTCGTTGAAAAACCGCTCCATGATGCTGTTGAGCGTGATCCGGTCCTTCCCGTCGGTCACGCGCCCGCCGTAGTTGCACTCCCCAATGCAGTATTTCAAAGCTTTAAACGGTGTCTCCTCGTTCTCCTCCAGGAACGCGAACAACTGCTGCAGCGAGATGAGCATGTCCGACTCGTTGAAGCCGTAGGGGATGTTCCAGCCCAGGGGGCCGTACAACCGTCGTTCCTGCAACAAAGCGTGGAAGATACACAGCGAATAGCAGAGTTTCCGGAACTTTTCGGGTTTAGAATTGCTCTCCAAGTATCCCGGGTTCGCGATCGGCGCCGCGGAATAGGAACCAACCAAGTTCGCCCGCAAACCCTTCGGCGGTTCGATGGCCATCTTGATGCCGTTCTGGAGGACCGCCGTCGGGAAGATGGGCGACGGGCACGTCGTGCACCACAACCGGAAGTTCTCGTGCGGCCGCGGTTCGGCCAATTTATCGCAGATCTCCTCGAAGCGGGTCATGAACGACTCCGCCAAGTGGCAGTTCTGCAGAACGACCCAGGAGCCTTCCTTGCGCGATTTTTCTATCAAAGCTTCCGCTACCGGTCCTTGGCCCTGTCCGAGAGAAATCGGACCGACCTCCCTCCCAATCGCTTCGGCCGCTTCGAGGACCGAACCCATCGGATCACTCCCAGGAGCCAAGACGAACACGAGAGGTTGCACACAAGAAGATTCATCATAACACGCCTGGAGGTCGAAGGGCGGCGGCCGCACGAACTTCTCGCCCATCGCTGCTATGACAAACTTCTGCACGCCCAGCACGACCTTGTCCGGCCTAATACACCTCAAGATACACAACCTCTTCAAGCCTTCTAATTTATCCCATCTACCAGGCAAGGGCTCCTCCTGGGGATCCGTCGAATCATACAGCGTCCGCCACTGGTGCGGCGTCCGGTCGACGTGCTCCCTGAGACCCTTGAAGGCTGGTATATCGTCTAGTAAACAGATCTCGTTCCATAATTTCGTTGCTAACCAGTCCTCGGCGGGATTCTCGTGCTTGTTGTCCAGAGAAACGCCGCCCGTCAGGAAAAAGAGCCACTCGGCGTCATCGAGTTCATTCTTACCTTGCAAGATACGTATCGTTAGCACGAAGGAGAAGAGTAACTTGTCCTTCTCTAATAAAGATCGACAGATGTTCTTGTATAACGAATAGATGAAGTGGTTGTACAAGTTGTCCAATCTAGTAGGTACATCACTAGCAGGTTCGCTGTTTTTGATGGACGCCACGAACAGGTTGATGAACCAGTCTAGGGAGTAGGAGTAGACGGGCTCGATGTTCTCGAGGCACGCGATGCAGAAGAACAAGACTTGCGTCGAGTACGCGACCGAGGTATAGCCTTTCCGGACGTTGTCGATCTCGACCTCGGTCTTCTCCGCGACGGCCTGCTTGGCCTTGATGTCGTCGGACGTGACCTTGGATTGATTCAGCGTCACGATGGCCGTCTCGTTCTCGAGGATGTTGCCTTCTCCCGACAGGATCTCTAAAATTTGATCCTCGATCTCCTTGAGCTTGCGTTTGTTCTCGGCGCCTTCCAGCACGAGCTCGTTCTTCTTCTCCTCGAGATCCGCTCGCTCGCGAGCGACAACAACACCAAGAAGCTGGTCCTGGAGACCCTGCGGCGTGATCATGAAGTTCAACAGCGTCACCTTGACGCTAATCTCCGGCACGTAGTGCGGGTTCCGCAATTTGGTACAGATGTAGAAGCGGAACATCTCGCTGTATTCGATCGTCGCGTCGCCGAGTCGGATACAATCCACCCCACCTTGCTTGAAGATCTGCTTTAGGAGTAGCGGCTCTAGCGTCGCGTCGAGGACCTCGCCGACGTCTTCCAGTAAAACAGGAAAACCAAACTGTATGGCTGATTCCATATTTCTCATATACTCGCCCGACATCTTCAGCACGTTCAATTTATTGGGAGCCTCCATCTGGCGGATCCACTTGTTCGCTTGCCCTTGAGGGTCGATCATGAGCGGCCACCGTCGCGCCGCGAAGATCGTGATGGCGTTCTCTACACTGAAATCATCAGTAGGTAACCCTTCGATGTTCCATTGCCTTATCTTCACGGGGTCGCCCAGCGTGTTTATCAAGGTAGGCTTCTCGGACGAGGGAATGGACAGCTTCTTGCAGGTCTCGATCCACGTCGCCATCTGGCGCATGCGGAAGGTCGAGGTGAACGGCCCCAAGTAGGCCATCAGACCGGCAGATACAAGTACGTCACCCGTCAGGTTGATGTAGGCCGCGTCGAGCTCCTCGACGAAGATGCCCCACTTCGTCTTCTCGCCACCCAAACTTTCAATGAGTTGTTTCGCCCGGACCAATTTCTTGCCACAGAGATCGACCTGGTCCAACAGGTCCTTCTTCTTCTTCTCCGCTCCAGCTAAGTTGGCTTGGAGAGCGGCCAAATCGTCCTGGACCACCTTCAACGACGCCTTCTTCTTGTTGAGCTCACCCATCGTAATGGCCAGAGCCGCCTGCGTCTTCTCCAAAGCTTCCTTCTTCGGCGCGACGACCTTGGCCACCCGATCGTAGCACTCCATGGCCAGGACCCACTTGCAGAGGCCCGCGGCCGCCGACGACGCCTTCGCGGCGGATTCGGCGTTGAACTTCTCGTTGGGCATGTAGGTCGTCCTTATGGTCTTCATGATTTTTGGGGAGATGTTGTCCTTATCATACTCTTTCAGGCGAGGGATGAAGCCCTTGTCGCCCATCATTTTTTGTGAGGGCGCCCAGTAGTCCATGATCTTCTTTGAGCTATCGTCGGGGTCGGGGATCTTCACGGGCTTCTCGCCGAGCATGACGCAGACGCCTTCCGCCACCAGTTTTACGGTAGCGGGCGGCTTGGACAACTTACGGACCGCATCGATATCTTTGTCGTTGATCGTGTTCAAGGCCTGGACCGCACTTTCTAACGCCGGCAGCGCCTCGTCCAAATCGGCCTGCACGGAGTCCACTTCGATCTGTACCGTATCCGCTTCCTTCTGCGCGACGGCCGCCTCCGCACCTACCACTTCTTCTTGCTCTCTTACCCCGGGCAATTTCGCCTCGATCTCCTCCATGAGCTTGTCGGTCGCGACCTGGGCTTCCGCTAAAACCGGTTGGAGATCCGTGAGCTCGACCTGCATCGTCGCGACGTTGTCCTCGGCACCCGCGAGCTGCTTGAGGCCGTTCTGGTACCGGTCCTTGCCCGCCGTGATCTTTTCGCGCTGCTCAGCTAGAGCTAGCTTGAATGCTACGATCAATTCCAAGTATGACGTAGGCGTGACGTACGTGATCCGACCCTGTTCGGACAAAAACTCCGCAGCAAGGTCGTGGGCGTTCGTGTGGAAGGTCATGCACATGTCCACTATCGCTGGCCTTACCTCGTCGTCCAATTTCACTTCCTTCAAGAACTTTTCTGCCACAGCTAACAGGGCATCTCCCGGCCACGCCGTGAACCAGTCGATGGCACAGCAATTTACGAGAGAAGGGAACAACCGCAGGCGATCCCTAAACGCCGACCCAATCGGCGAGAAGGCCAGAATAATATGCAAGTACTGTTTGACCCGCTGGATGAAGTACGCATACAGCTGCAACGGCGACATGTCGCCCGCGGCGCGCCCGAACTGCTCCTTCGCGAAGGGCCGGACTTTTTCACAGATCGCGACACGCTCGTCCGAGGGAAATATATTAGGTACTTCTCCGGCGTTTAACATGTTATTTATGTCCTCTACGAAAGATTCCATCGAGATCTGCGTATCGCTAAACAAGAATACTAACGGTCGATCACCAGCGCCAGCTTCAATCAATACAGTTTTGAGATCTTCGCGCCACTCCGTCATGCCGTAGGACTTCGTGATTTCTATTCTGAAGAGTTGATAGCCGGCCATCTCCGTAGCTAAGATACTGAGACTTTGTCTGCCCGAACCACCGACACCAACTAATAAAGCGTTACCACCGGGCATCCTGAGGACGCGAGCGATGCGACTGACGTGCTCGATGGCGAACATGAACATGACGAGCTCCATCGGTTTTTTACTGGCGGAATTGAAGTCGCTCAGGGCTTCCTCCGTGCGCTCCTGGAGTTGCTGGAGGTCGGGCACCTCGGCGTAGGGCCGCTCGTCCTCGTCGGCGGGAGTCATGTAGTCGCCCCAGAAGAGGCGGCGTAGAGTACCATACCCCGTCTCTGTCTCGTCCGCCGGCCGGATGTGGTCGAATTCGCTCTGGAAGTCACATTTAAAAACCTCCTTGCACATCGCCGAACAGTGGTCGCACATCCACTGGCGATCCGTGTCGTCGGTTAATCGGTCACCGAAGACTCTTAATGCTTCATGGGTCCAGAGCCGCATGACCGACGGCTTGTTCTGGAACTGATCCGAGGGTTCTTGCAATAGAACCCCTTGGACGACGCGCGAGAAGTCTCGCAAGTTAAACGTGTAGTGGGACTTCGAGGGCGTCGGCAGCAGCCCCTTCATGGCCTCGCGATACGTGCGCATCGTTGCTTGGACTACATTCCCGGCCTGCTGAGAAACGTCACCAGAGTACCCACGCTTGAAGTAGCCCTTGACGATAGTAGAGAAGATAAGTGTCAGCGTGTCGTCGTCGAAGCTATCCACACATAACAGATGGAAATGTCTCAGGAAGCGAGGCGTAGTCCCATTACGCCCCCCACCAGGAGGCCCCATGGCGCAGGCCATGACCGTGTCGACGATGCGGACCCAGGACTTCTCCTTCAAATCGTAGTAGCCGCCGCAGTCGACGAGCTGCCTCAACAATTCAATCGGCGGCTGGGCGCCGTAGGTCTCGACCTCGGGCATGTTCACGTCGTCCACAAAGATGATTCCCACGGTTCCCATGGGCGGGCCGAACATGCCCTTCCTCCTCTTCCCGAGGTTGCCGTCGATAATATCCTGGGTCATGTGGGCACTCGTCTTGGCCGAGAAGCCGAGCTGGATCGGTTTATATTTCGACTGGTCGAGGTCGGACGTGACGCATTTCACGACGGAGACGGATTTACCCGTACCCGTGGGGCCGCAAACCAACGGTCGGAGACCGTGCGTTACCAAGGTTTGGCACATGTACGACAGCTGCGCCGTGTACCCGGTCGGCACCATGATCGTCGAAAACTCCGCGTCCTCGGCGATCGTGAACTTCTCGAGCGTGTCGACCCAGTTGACCCACGCGCCCTTCCTCGGGTCGTAGCACCAGTCCTGCAGGTCACCCGCGTCCGGCGGCGGGCACTCGACCGAACCTTGGAATTGCGTAGCGTCCTCATAGGTCGGCTTGACCCACTTCCGCACGGCCAGCGCCGTCGCGACGCCTTGGTACTTTTCGTCGATCACGTCGACGTTTTCCATCACTTCGCGCACGAATAATGAATATTTGGCTCGTCCCGCGGCGTCGGACGTGCATCCGGTGGACCAGAACAAGGCGAACAGGAAGCAGCACTCGAGCTGCTTCTGGCGCGAGCCGCCTTCTTCCACATCGGCGTCGTGGGGTCCCGGGATCGCTGCCGTTAATAGGCACCTCAGTAGTCCTAGTAACGACGTCAGGAGATTAGCATCGCCCGTCGGCGACATTTCTTTGCAGTTCCTCCTCAGACAGGCCATGGACGGCTCGACGAGCCAGTCGTACAACGCAGTCAGGTGGACCTGTTCTTCCTCCTTGAGTTCAAAGGGCGGCGGCTCGTCCCCTTTATCTTCTTTGTGCTTCTGCTGGTAGTAGCCACCTACCGTCCAGCCACAAACCCAGGACTCCCAGAGCGGCCGCAACCCGAGCTGCTCGGGCTCCATGTAGACCATGCCGCACCGGGAGACTGTCGCTGGCGAGGCCACGAGTAAGTCCATGGGCTCGAAGATCATGCTCATGACGTCGGACATGGCGATGATCTCGCCGCTCATCAAACAGAGCTTCTTGTTGTCGTCGAGCACCGTGTTCATGTTCTCGATCCAGATCGCGTCCACCGGCCCGTCGAGCAGCACCCACTTCCGGTCCTCCGGTTTCCCGACCTTCGACTGCGCCGCGTTCCGGTACTGAATCGCGAGCACGCCGTCCGTCCACTCGTGCGAGACGGGGTCGAAGCACCCGTAGAGCTGGCCCATCGTCACCGATTTGGGATTCATGACAAAGGGCACGACGTCCGTCCACCGGTTGTCCTTCGGGTACTCGGCGTGGAGCTTCGACAGCGCATCAGCTAGCACCCTATAAGCCGAGGTTTTACCAGAAAATGGAGCGCCGACGATCATGAAGCCGTGCCGCACGACCATCATGTCGTAGATCTGCACGATCTTGCCCCAGAAGTAGTCCGTGAGTCGTAGGTTTCGTTCGACGCACGACTCGCCCGATTTCGCTTGCATGGCCTTCCTGTCTGGTACCGGTAAAACGACGCCCGGGAATAAATCAGACGTGATGCCGTTGAAGAGCGGGACGTCGGGGGCCAGGAATTTCGGCGCGTTCACGTCGATGATGGCTCTTAAAACCAAGATGTCCTCCGGGAGGTGGCCCTCGGATCTTTTGAGGTTGCCCGAGGCGCGCAGCACCGCGATGACGGCGCGCATGCCATAATCGTAGTGCGATTGGGCCGATAGCTGCTCGCTACACAGTTTATACGTCGTCACGATCTTCACGGCCATGGCTTTCGCATCGGTGTAGCCCATGCTGTACAGGATGATCTCGCCGATCATCGCGTAGTCGGGCACCATCATCGCCACCGTCCTGAAGAGTACTTTCAAGTTATCGGGTAACTCCGCACGTCCCGCATAGCCGGGATTCATCGTGATGAACGGGCAGCACGTCATCCTTAACGGTAGATCCGTGCCCTCGAACATGAACCGCTCGGCCTTGCGCGCTTTGGCCTGTTGGATAGTTAAGACCTGCTGCGCCACGACGGACAACACTTCCAAGATAATACGGTTGAACTCATCAAAACAAGCCCAGGCACCGGAAGCAGCAAGACCCTTGAAGAACTTGGCCATCGCCTTGTAGTCGAGGCCGTCGGAACAGTTCGTGACCACACATTGGATGGCGATGGCTTTGCCCAGGTCTTTGGTCGTCTCCGTCTTGCCCGTGCCCGCCGGGCCCTCCGGCGCGCCGCCCAAGTTGAGATGAATAGCGCCCATGAGCGTGCGATAACATCTATCCGTCAAGGGCGTGATCACTAACCGCCCGCAGTTGCCCATGTACTCGTAGGCATACAAGATCATGGCGTTGATCATGCGGCAGGGGATCGTCTCCGGTTTTCCTGTCTGGGAGGAAACACCGTCGTTGTCCCAGTAGTAGCGCAGCTGCGCCTGCCAGTCGAACTCGCTGACCGTATTAATACTAGTCTTCGACAGCCACTCCGTGATGTCGCGGTTGTGCACGTCCATCACAACTAATCCGCCGAGCGTACCTCGCAGTAGTTTGGGGATGTCGCCTCGCACCGTATCAACAACGTCGAGCAACTCCTCGACTCGTTGCGACAGAACCGCGGCGATGGCCGGCCCGCCGCCGTTCTCGATCGCCGCCTCCATGGCCATGACCCAGGTGATCTGGTTCACCGTCAAGATCGTCTGGCCCGGCCAGTTCCGGAGCCACTGCCTCCGTTCAATTTTGAAGAACTCGTCAGTCGCTAGATCGATGGACAGCGCCAGCGACTTCTTCATGATCGTCTCGACCTCGACGAGCCACTTCTCGACGTTGCCGCCGCTATCCTTGGGATTGATCATCTTGTGGTCGCACTGGTCATACGTGAATTCTAACCTCTCGCCCTTTGGAGGTGGGGCATCTAACGCCGCGAGGATGTTCAAATCCGGATCAAAGTCCAGGTGCGCAATCCCGTCGAAGCACTTCTTCATGTGGGGCTGGACTTTTGTCGGGTCCTTCGTCTCGGCGAGGATTTCTAGGAGCTCGTCGTTGGACAGGAAGAAGAATCTGGGAAAGGCTAGTCTCTTCGTTTCGAGGTAGTCGGACAGCCCCTTCTGGATCACGTCGAGCTTCTCGTTGGCATCGGTTAATTGGTCTAACAAGCCCTCTCTTCTAGCGACAGAAAGAACAGCAGGCTCCCGCGCCGTCTCGGCCATGGACTCGATCCAGACGCCGTTGACGACGGTGAACATCGACGACTCGGTGGGTAGCTGGCGCGTGATATCATCCGAACTAAATATAGGTTCGAGGTACAACCACGCGGCTTGCACCTTGAGCCAGTTGTCTATTATATCTTGCAACGAAGTCAAAGTATGTTCCCAGGCGTCCACCCTCGAAAGGAAGGGCTTGACGTAGCGGCTCCCGTGCATGGCCTGCGTCTTGACGATCTGGTCGTCGAGCTCCTGTTGAATTTCGTCGATCCCAGCTAAAATACGCCCGGTGCGCCACTCCTTCGTGCCGAACTCGGCGTCGGCCCAGTTCAGCTCCATCTTCGACAGAGCCTTCTCGAGGGCCGCTTCCTTCGACGCGGCGACGCACGTGTCTGTGTGGGAACGACACTGTCGCGACACGGCCGCGACGCTCTCACGAGGCGCGTGGGCGCTCTGGTGATCATGAAGACGCCATCGCCTCCCCCAGATCAAGTTCAAGTTCATTTTTCACGCCGAGTCAGCACCTTCGATGAGGTGCACGTAGTGGTTCAAACCGATGTCCATGAGCTGCATCATGTTCATGCCGCTCGTCACGCTAAACTCCAGTTTTGTCGTACTTTTAATCTCCTCCCAGTGTCTACTTTTCATTCCTGGCTCGCAGACCAAGAGCATTAGTGGTGCCTCGTCGTCCTCGAAGGATTTCGTCTCCTGGAGGAGGAGCTTGCAGCACCGCGCGGCGTTCTCTCTTGACTCTCCCTTCTTCTCCAGTACTTTACTGACTCTCGCTAGCTGACTGCCGAATTCTCCAGCTTTCGACGCGGCCGCCTCCGCATCCACTTGCGGTAAAGGTAGCTCGTGCCAGGCGTGGGACTGCTCGACCCACTCCTTGGCGCAGGTCCAGAGCTTGTCGAGGGGGCCGAATTCTTTGGTGCAGGACCTGTGTGTGACACGTCGCGTCGCGACCTCGAAACGCGCTCAAGCCTCCTCTCCGAGAGACGACGCGCGTCGACGGCGTGAAGGGACGCCGCGATCCGCACTTGAGGCGTTCCTCGAAGTCCGTGCCCTCCATTTCCAGCACTTCTTCCTGGGCGAGGATGTCCTCGCACTCCTCCGTGGCCTTTTCCAAGCCGTCCCTCAAAGCGTTGACGCGCTTCGTGACCGTCGGAATGTTCCCCGGCGCGAGGGAATTTTCTTCCGCCAATGCTTCGATCATCTTCTCGAGCCTTTCGACATCGCGACCAAGAGCGTCGTTCTTGCCCTCGACCACGGCCTTCAAATGATTGGTACGAGCATTTTGCAGGTCCTCGGACCGCTTCAGGAACGACGCCATGTCCCCCGGCCAGTTGTACGTCTCCGCACAGAGCTGCATGTCCTCCTTGCTCAGCTTGTGGTCCTGGGCCAGTAAAAACTTCTGTCTTTGATAAATCTCCTCGCGGTATTCGAACTCCAAGTGTTCGAGGAGCGTCGTGGCCTGCGCGGGGCGTCGCGGTCTCGGAATGGCCTCAAACTCGGAAAAGAAACCATTCTCTCGTGGAGACGACTCATGACAATGAAGTGAAGGCGCCGCAACACTTCAAAACGCCGAGAGCGTGCCTCTTCGGCGAACTCCTTCAGCTGCCCGAGCTCCTCCGACGACGTCGGCTCCTCGACGAGCTTATCCGCAATACGCTGGTAGCGCCTATTAGCGTCGCGCATGTGGTCGCGATTGTCGCACGCGACGGCGTCGTTGATCAATTTACAGAGCGTCTCGGCCTTTGTGGCTAGGACCTCTTTGCACTCGAGGCATAGCACTCGGAACAAGGGAGCGTCTTCGACGTCCAGAGTCGTCGCACGTATGGAAGCAGCTAGCGTTCGTAGTTCTTTGGCCTTTTTGGTCAAGGCTTGCATGGCATCGGCCGTCGCGCCCTCCTCAATGTCGTCCATGCGGCCCGCGTCGCCTTTATCTTCCGGGTCCCTCCGGTGGACTTCGATCAATTTCACGACCTCCTGATATAGAGTTCTATCGACCAGAGGTTTATATTCAGCAAATCTCGGCACCAACGACTGCGGCGTCTCGAAGCGCCTCCGCAAACACTCTCGCACCCGAGTCTTGATGGCCTCGACGATTTCATCTGTTAAGGATGCAGTCGCGGGCCCGAGGAACTTCTTGGGCGGCGGCGCCGGTGCCGGGGCCGGCGCCGCACCAAGCGAGTCCACCGACGCGACGGACGCCTCGTCGTCGCCCAAAACGCTCATGAGCTTGGGCCCTTCGTCCGGCGGCGGCCGCAGATTCTCCTGGTCCACGCAGGGGAAGTCCCTAGAAGCTAGGACACACCGGTCGATGCACCGACAAAGCCTCTCCTCTAATACAGAGAGACTGGGCTCCAGCGCGACGACGCCCTCCTCGGCCACCACCAACTTGAGCTCGAGCGCCGCCTCCAACGAAATACGCGTCTCGTCCGTGTCGTGCCGTTCTAAGAACGACGCGAACATGTCCAGCGACTCTTCCACGAGAGATCTTAACTGAGTGGACATGAGCATGTTGGCGCAATCTAAAACGGTATCTTCTCTGTATCTCTGCGCCCGCATCCTTGTAGGTGACGGTGGTTTGGCCTCTTTGGGCCGATGGTCGGGCCTCCCAAGCCCATCAGGCCCGTAGGTCCGCACGAACCAGCGGTCGAAGGCGTCGGCCGCCTTGTCGCCGGCTAGCGAGCCATCTAAGACATCGGGACCCTCGTAGGGCGTTACCCACCACTGCTTCACCTGCTCGCCGAGCTTGGACATGTCATCGGTTTGCGGAGCACCCTCGTCCAAGTGAGCGGCGAGCAACGACGCGCAGGCCGGGACCCACTCTTCCGAGAGAGCGTTCCGCACCGCGTTCGCCCGGCCGTCGACGTGCTTGCAAAAGTCATCCAGACTCATAGGTAAACGCTTCCGGAACTGATCGGTAGCTACATCGGTCAGCAACACTCTCGAGAAGGGCGGTTTGGTAGGTTGACTACTGACAGAAGTCGAGATCGACCGGGCTGCAGAAGCTCGTTCTCGAGCTCTTCTAGGTAATAACCAAGCTTCATGTAAATCGTACATGACCCGATCCACAATCCGTAAACGATCCACAGCATGATGTTTGGCCACATGCACCGAGCGGCGAGACACGCCCGTATCTCGCAGCACGACCCATTTGTTCGTCCTATAGAAATCGGAGGTCCACCACTTCGGCGCCGCTTTTAAGCGTGAAGGATCGATGGCGTGCATCTGGCAGACGTCGCCGTCGCGCAATTCGTACTCGACCATGCTCCGGGCCACGCCGTCGGAGAAGGCGAGCTTCGTCTCGGCCAAGGCGTCGTCGGCGACGGCTTCCGCCCGCTCGACGGCCTGGACGGACCAGGGCTCCGGCTCCGCGTCGGCCAATGCGTCGACGGCGTCGCTCGTCACTGTGTCACTTACTTTACGTGCTTTCAGGACGCGAGCTCGCTCCTTCAACAGCGAGGCGGGCGGGGCTACTCTTCCGGCGATGCCACCCAACCAAGAATCTGGTAAGTTAGCGATAGGTCTGCGAGTCCCCGCGCCCGCCGCATGAGCTGCCCCTCGCTGCGTGAGTGTCCGAACCCTACCCCAGTAGTTCTCGACACACACTTGGTACTTCTCTGCTTGCTTGACGGGCGACTCCTCCACAACACGAGGAGCCTTCTTCGTACCTTTTCCGGGTTCCCATTTTTCCGGGTCCCACTGCAGGGGCGCCTTGCCCACGGCGGCGTCGACGGTGTCGAGCGTCTCGCCGCGCGCGTCCCGTCTACGTACTCGAGCGTCGTCCTTCCGCTCTTTGCGCTTTTGAGTAGCTTCCTGCGCATCTATCTCACCAGCCCTCTCCATCTGCGTAATGCTACCCACAGAGGTATAATCTGTGCGAGACGCGGTCTCCTCAAGAAATAAAGCGGCCTGCTCTTGCGCTTTATAACCAACAGGAGCTATGCGAGATTTGCGAGCGAGCTTGTCGGAGCGCGCCTTGTCTCGGAGCGTCTGTTGCGCCCAGTCGGGCAGGAGCCACGCCGGCAAGGTCTCGGCGTTCTTCTGGGCGTTGCGTTCTCGGACCCTCAAGGGATCTTCACACAGGGCGCCCAGCTTCTCCGCTTCGCTCTTCCACTTGCTGACTCGTACGGCATCTTTCATCGTTAGATGCTGGGCCGTCGGCGTGTAGAGCTTGCCTATTCTGTCGGTAGGTGCCACGTACGAAGAAGCCACCTCAGCTAGTCTCGCTTTGTTGGTGGAGACGCCGGCGAACGGTCTCGCTTTCTTGTCTCTCACATGAGAGGTGGCCGCGAACGCGGAAGAATGTAAAATGTCGGGCGCCGTCGGCGACGGTTCTGGATCAACGACAAAGCCGCCGAGCGGCCCGACGATCTCCTTGACCGGCGTCGTCTCGAGCGATTGTAACAGCTCGGACTTGGCGTCGGCCCTCGCCTTGTCTCTGACCAAACCCTTCGTTTTGGTATCGCTCATGGACGTCCCCGCGAGATGAGCGGCATCGCCCAGCTCCCGCGCCCGTCGCGTCGTCAGCGAGGCCTTCAGGAGGCTCTTCGTGTCCGCCATGGTCGGCCTCGCGGTGCTGGGGCAGCCTCGGGCCCCTGCGGCTGCGGTGTTTTCGCTGCCCGCTGTTCTGGGGCTTGGTCGTGCAGTTCTCGGCAGCTGCCCGGTCGCCTCCCGGCCGACCAAGGGCTGCTTCTGCTCGACTTTTTACGCCGCGCTGCACAGGACGGCTCTAGCCTGGACTACAGCTTACAGCTTACACTAGGAACTTAGCGTTTTTCGTTTCGGGGCGAGTGGCGCCTGGCACGCGTCCGGAGGACTGGTCGCCGGGAACCCTGGGAACGGAGGCGTCCACAGTAGATTTGTGACAAGGGCCATCTCGCAAAACGAGCAGGAGTAGCAGTAGCGCGCACGCGCCGAGACCGGCGCGCCGGGCAGCCGCAGCCCGCGTCGGGACCCCACACCTTCGTAGGGAAGCGCCTCGCCCCAGGAGCGGGCTGCCGGGCGGCCCTGTACAAAGCTTGAAATTGGGGCTGGGATTTGAACCAGGCTTGAACGAGGCGCCATGGCCAAGGGCGACGCGACGGAGCGGCGCGCGCGTCAAAGAAGAGCGCCCGACGGCGCCGACAAGGCCCAGCTCGCGAGCGCCTGGGCCGCCGCGGGGCACCTCCCGAAGCTCGACGCGAAATTGATCGAAAAGGCGCTCCCCGGCGGCAAGGCCCAGATCGGCGCCTACGAAGTTACAAGAGTACTAGGAGAAGGGGAGTTCGCCACGGTCTATAGCTGTATCAGAAAGTCGGGCGAGGGCGCGGGCGCGAAGGTCGCGTGCAAGGCCATTAAAAAATCCAAGGTCGAGCGCGCGCGCGGCGGGTCGATCCTGAAGGCCAAAAGGAACATTGGGAGGGTCAATCTGGAGGTCGAGGCGATGAACCGATTACGGCATGAAGGCGTGTGTCGGTTGTACGAAGTTGTCCAATCGTCTTCATATGTGTACTGCTTCATCGAGGCCGGGGAACGCGATCTTTTCAGTTTTCTCGATGGCCATCCCCGCGGTTGTCCGGAGCCGGTGGTCGTGGCAATAGCTAGGATCGCGGCGCTGGCCTTGCGACACTGCCACCAGCGGGGCATCGCGCATAGAGATGTAAAACCAGAAAACGTGCTCGTGCTGGGCTCGCCGGCGACGTGGGGCAAGGGCCTGCCGGACGCGGGCATTATTAAGTTGTGCGACTTTGGGCTCTGTGCCGACATATCATCAGGCCACGAGCTGACCGATTTTGTCGGAAGCCCGGGCTTCTTCGCGCCGGAATTGTTCTGCGAGGCGTCGTACCGGGGAGATTTGGCCGACGCCTGGTCGCTGGGGTCTGTGGTACTGGAGTGCGTCCTCGGCCACCGGGCCTTCGACGATTTGTGGTGTCCCCCATATGATGATTTGAAGGACCCGAACGCTTTTAGGGATGCGGTGGACGCTGCGGTGGGACGGGTGAAGCTCGGCGGCCCGAACGGGCCGCTCCCGCCGAAGCTCCAGCAGCTCGTGTCCCAATTCTTGCGCGTCGACCCGACGATCCGCGCGACGGTGACGGACATGTGCTCCCGCCCGGAGTTCGACCTGATGCGTCTGCGCCTGTGTCTAGATCAAACTTCACGGCGCGTTCGTGCTGAATCGTCGCGTCGACCTCCACGCCATCGACGCGACGCCTGCTCGATAGCGTGGCGGTGGCGATTCCTCATCGCTCGGCGGAGCCAGCACGGCCGCGTCGTCGCCGAGAAATGACTTCGTGAAGAGCAGGCGACTCACCGGTTGATTTCCACACAGGCCCGGACAAAGACGGCTGCATGTCGATGCTGCGGCTTACGTACGATCATACGCCCAGATTGGAGGAGAACACCGTCGCCCGGCGCAAAGCGTTCACCAGTCGGAGTTCTCTGAAGACCTCGCCGGGCGGGGACCTCTCCGACGCCTCCGTCGTCTCGACGTCGTGCGAGTCGCCGACGAATTTCCCGGACATTCCCAAAGTCACGCCGGGGAAATAGCAGCGCTGACGCCGGCCCTATCACCTGCCAGGCCCCGAAGGGCCCGACACCAATGCAACATCGACCAACCAATTAGTTGTCCAAAATATCCTAACCTGATCCTTATCCATTACACTAGTTCCTGACGCCATCGACGCAGGCCCGGGCCCACCGATCTCAGGCTCCCCGTGGACCGCGAGTAGAGAAGCTCAAGATACAGACCACTCCTTAGAACTTCTTCTTACGGAACCCGTCCCCCTTGCTGAACTTCTTCAGCCGCTTCGGCCCGCCGGGCTTGAAGCCCCCCTTCTTGTGCGCCTTCTTCCAGGCGACGCGGCCGGCCGTCGACTGGTTCTGGGACAGCTCGGGGGACCGCTCGTCGAAGACGCGCGGCGGCTCTTGGACAGCTTCTTCCTCCTCCTCCTCCTCCTCGAAGAGCTCGCCGCTCTTCGGCGTAGAATCCAAACCCCCAGAATCGAACGTCTGTAAAGGGTCGTTGTCCTTGCGCCGCGTGGACGACGTGTCGCCCCGCCGCCGCTTCGCGCCGCCGCGATCGGAACGCTTCTTGCGCTTGAACGACGCTTTCGGCGCGGCCCCTGCCGCGGCCAACGACGGAGGAACCAAGTATGAGGGCACGTGCCGCACCTGCGCCGCCACGAGGTCCCGCCGGACGTGCAACTCCGCCCGGTCGTGCGTCAGCACGGCTAGATCGCCGGGATTCGCCTCGAAGTGGTCCTTCAACGCTTCGGAGTTGAGCATCTCCCTCCTTAGTTCCGCGGCGCGCGCCTCGCGGACCGCGGCGTGCGTGACGCCCCGCGAGACGTCCGCGACGCGATATCGAAACGGTTCGCAGGCCGCGGCGTCAAACGCTAAGCGCGCCGGCTGCGGCACGTGGGCACCGGCGCCCGCGTCGTCTTCCCCGATATCCAAAGCGGCGACGACGTCGCAGGCACCACCTGCTCGCAGTGCTGCTATTTTCCTAGGGGGTTGCGCCTTCTGGATATTTGTCAAACGCTCTGAATCGTCCTTTCTACCGCCGATCGACACGAGGGACAACGCCGTGCCCCTCGCACCGGCCCGAGCCGTCCTCCCGACGCGGTGCGTATACGACATCGGCGTTTCTGGTAAATCAACATTCAGGACCCACTTCACATCTCTAAAATCGATGCCGCGGGCCACGCCGAAGGTCTCGTCCGCGCTTTTCGGTGCTTCGTCATCGGCCGCGACGGCTTCCACGGACGCATCAGTAGCTACTAACAAATCGTAGTAGCCCCGGTTGTAGGCCTCGATGGCGTGCAACCGCGACGCTAAAGGTAGCTCCGCATTCAAGACTAACGTCCGGATCGAAAACAAGTCCAGGAACAGCTTTAACCGATAACACCGGTCGACGCTATTGACAAATAGTACGCCTCGACCCGACAGCAGCCCGAGTTTCAGCATGACGTACGTCACTAAATCTTTATCGCCGTCCTGCACGGCGACATAATACTGCGCCAACTGCGCCTCGTCGTCGCGACTCCCACCGAACACTCCTGCGGCCTCGTCGAGGGTTATGGTCGCGGCCTTCCTCAGAGCTAATTTCTTCAGGCCGCGGACGTCGGCACCGAGCGTCGCCGATAGCAAGATACCTTGAGGTTTATTGTGAGACTGCAAGCGGTCGATCAATGCGGAGACGTCCTCGTCGTAGCCAAAGCCTAAGACTAGGTCGGCCTCGTCGATGACGTAGGACGCGCACGTGCTCCCGAGCTCTTCGAGGGGGTGCTTTGCTTCTAGTAAAGCTTCGGACGCTTCCCTCGCGGCGGCGGGCGTCGCGCACACAATATCACCCCTTGACTCAGATACGGATAAGGCGTCGTCGCGCGCGCTGTCTCCCCTTAAAGCGACCACCGTGACCGACTCGCGGCAGTAGGCCGCTAGTTCTAATAATTGTCTGCGAGCCTGCGCGACCAGTTCTCTAGTAGGTAGGAGCACCAATGCCCGCACACCGTTGTAAGCTTTTCGCGCATCAGAGGCGGACGCCTTGTCCCGCAGCACCTTCTGCAGGATCGGTAACGCATAACACGCCGTCTTGCCCGAGCCCGTGCGCGCCCTTACTAGACAGTCGCGGCCCGAGAGCGCGACGGGCAGCGTCGCCTTTTGCACCAAAGAGGGCCGCGTCCAGCCGAGCTGCGCCACGGCCCGGGCTAATCTTCTGTCTAATTCTAGCGAGTCGCAGAAGGCGCCCCAGCCAATCTCTTCCTCCTCTTCGGGCTCTGCGGGTGCTGGCGCTGGCGCGGCGGGCTCCTCGAAGGCGACGGCCTTCCTTTTGGTCTTCTTCTTCTTTTTGGGTGGCAGCTCGCCGTGTGGCAGCTCGCCGTGGTCCATCGTGGTTAGTTTGCGTCACAGATGCGTGCGCGCGCGCGCGCTGCAGCGTGATTTATCGCCTAGTTGACAGCCTTTGAGTGCTCTTCGTGTAGACGGCGTGCGGTTACGCGGCTCCGGATTCGACGTATGCGCGTCAAGGAGAAGCCTGACGAGCGTTGTGGCGTAACCTAGAGGTATCGACGCGGATAAACGCAGCCTCACCACTTCACTGGCTGCAGCAGGCGGGTTTTTCAAGCCTCCAGCCAACCGCTCCGAGGGCCCACGCAGCAGTCCAAGCGCGAGTTTTACGATCATTCGATGCTTGCTGGCTTTTACTCTGCTTGCTAGTGTCTTACAGACCGCTAGCTCTGAAATTTTCACACAAGCCACCAGACGCTGCAGCAAGCGGGAGCAAGCAAACGCAGCAGTTTTACAGCAGTTTTAAATAACTGCTCGATTGCGCCGCGATCTAACGACTGATAATGGTGCAGCAGTGAATTGCAAGCAGCATGCGACGAGCAGCAGCTCTACTGGTGGCCGCCACGCTCGCCAGCGCGGGCGTCCCAAACTTAGATCAGTGGGACGAGAACGCGCAGCGCGCCTACGACGCCTTGCAACATGCGCCGCTACCGTCGACGCCGCCGGTACAACGAAAAGGCGAGGGCGTCGTCTACGCCGTCGGCGGCTCGGAGGAGTTTTTCGACCAGGAGGTCGTGCCCTGCGTCCGGCACCTCACGCGACTCGAGAACTCGGGCGACTCGTGGCGCCACCTGACGAAGCGCACTTTGAAGTTCATGCTCTTCCACGAGCGGCGGCAGAGGGAGTTCAAGAAGTGGGATCTGGTCCAAAATTTTTTTGATGCCACGGAGGCGTTTGAAGACGAGGCGCCGGCGTCCATGACGCGCGTGAGCGATCCACGGATACGAGTGAAGTCCGTGAAGGCCTGGGCGTTCTACCGGGCGCCCTTCGAGCGCTTCGTTTATTTAGATTTTGATTCAAGACCTTGTTCGTGGCATGCTCCGTCGGACGTGCTGGCGAAGCTCGCACAGAGCGGCAAAGACGCTTTGCTACATAACCAGTGGCCCGCGCAAGCCGCGCTCACCGGTTCAGCCCACTTCCGGTGCGAGCACCACTCGGCCGTGGCCGCGTTTCGAAGGACGGACGCGTCGGAGGCCGCTCTCAGGTTTTTCGTCGACGCGTTCGCGCACATGAAGCTGCGGCGGGACCAGCCCGCGCTCATGGTCGCCTTGCGCTTGGCGAGGGACCGCGCGGGCTTCACGCATAGTGATGTGGACAACGCGACCTTCTGCCGCGCCGCGTCGGGCCGACCCGTGTCGTGCGACGCCGGGTGTTTGCTCTTACACAAGCCGATGAAGTACGACGCGAGCAACATCGTGGTCTCCGTCGGGCGGCGCGGCCAGGGCGGCAAGGCCGTCAAGCGGGCGCTCGCGGCCCTCAAGCTGATCGACCGCGACGAGGCCTGTGTTTCTCCCGACGAGGCGACGCCAGAAAAATGCCGGGTGCTGATCGGGGAGCAGTATGCGACGCCCGAGGGCGCCGCCGATGTGCGGGCACGGTACCCGCGCGCGCGATTCATCGTGCCCGCGGCGCCGGCGTGCCACGCGGACCGCGCGCACGTCGACGCGCTAAAGCGCGCGGGCATCCCGGAGCACGCGTTGTTCGAACTAGATCTGCGGAAGGCGGCGGACGCGGGCCGGCCGACGCACTGGCGCGACTTCTGTGCTTTCGTGGAGGCGTGGTCGTCGTGCAAGACCCAGAACCTTGCGCGCGTGGCGAACGCGTGGCTGCGGCGGGCCATCTGGGAGGACGCGGGGCCCGGGAGCGCCGAGAAGTGCGTGTCGATCGTATAGTTTTGTAGTTATTTGCTAGAAACTTACGTGGCATCATTATACCAGTCTCCAAATGTCGCGAACACGTAGGGCTGGGATCGGTAGTTATAAGCACCGGCGAAAAAAGTAAACAGGAACTCGAGTTGTTCTTTCGTGAGGTCATCGAGCCATGTTAAGTGGCGGGCCGCTGCACCACTCGTCCGATCGTGCATTTCCACGGATAGTTCCAAGCTGTTCAATTCGCTGTTGTCAACATTTACAAACAATTCAAGCAGGATCTCAAATTGCTCCGTTTGATACAACGCCTGAGACGAGTGGAAAGAGGGGTCGCCAGGATCACTATCGAAACAAAAACTACCAAGAGGGATCATGGCCTGGTCCTCGTTGCGGATCACAATTAGTGTAATTTGGACACGGTCCCAATAGTCATCAGCGTCATCAGGGATTTCTATGAAACTCCCGCGGTCTTTGATCGCTGACCAAGCTTCGGACATTGACAACTCGACAAATTTTCGTCTCGATACGGGGAGGTTCGTGTGAAAACCAGCAACAGCCACATCTCCCTCCCATAGCACCTTACCGTCCTCCTCGAACCGAACGAAGAACGTGAAATCGTCGAGTTTGTTCGGAACCAAACGATGCGTCTGCGCCCGCGACATCGAGTCCGCGAGCCGTCGGCGGAGCACTTGCGACCGCAGGCGCACGGCGGCGGCGCGCTCCACGGCGAGAGCAGCTTCTTCAGCAGACCGTGGCAGGTGCGCGTTCGCCATCAGCGTCCACGCCTTCGAATCGAGCACGTCTTTGCGCAGCGCCGCGCTCACGCAGCTCATTAAGCCCAAGCTCTGAGGGTCCATAAACTCGATCAATTCAGGTCGCAGCGGTATGGCGGCCGTCGCATCGATGCGGTGCGATTTAAATCGAGCCATGTCCGTACGAGCGCCTCTCGCAGGCTGGCCGCAGCTAGCGGTGTAAGACACTAGCAAATCACCCAGTCTATCACCCAGTCTATTGCCAAGCTCGCGCAACAGTTTTATTCATAAAAATATAAGCCAAAACCTTTTGCGCACGCCGGCTCGACTTTTCCGTCGCGATTTTGCATCGGTGCGGCCAATTATCGAGTGCCAGGGATGCTGCCTGCCTTGAGACGCGGCGCCCGCGGCGCCAGGCGTCGAAGGACTGCCGTTCTACCGCCACCGACGCGACGACGGCTCGCGACGCCCTCCTTCCAGCTCGGAAGGCTGAACCACGTCGCGCTGGCGGTGCCGGACCTCGCGGCGGCGACGGCGACGTGGGCCGCGCTGGGCGCGACGGTCTCGCCGCCCCAAGCGATGCCGGCCCACGGCGTCACCGCCTGTTTCGTCGGCGAGCAGCTCGAGCTCCTGGAGCCCCTCGGCGCGGAATCACCGATCGCGGCGTTCCTCGAGCGGCACCCGGCCGGCGGCCTGCACCACGTCTGCCACGAGGTTTCTGACGTCGCCGCGGCGGCGCGAGACCTCGAGCGTCGGGGCTTTAGAATACTCGCGCCGCCGGCGCTGGGCGCGCACGGCGTGCCCGTCGTCTTCCTGCACCCGAAGGCGACGCACGGGACGCTTCTGGAGCTGCAGGAGGCGTCGGGGGATTAAGAAGTGTGCATTGTAATTTCAATGTAAAGGCATCTGGGCGCGACGCGCCGCGCCGGCCTGGGCCGCATGCTGGGCCATGTTGAGGAGTTGAGTCGTCCTGGACCGGTCGAAGCGTGAGTTCGGTTACCGCTAGCCCCTTGCTTAGGGCTGGGCGCGCGGTCGCGGCTGGAACCCGACCAACCAAAGTTAACCAAACCCAACTCGATCCCAACGCCAAGTGTGGAGGGTAAACAGCAGTGCGGGCCCGGCGCAAGTCTCCGCTCCAGTGAGTGAAGGATAGGCAGCCTCCAGCTGAATTGAGGCAGCCCTTACAGGCAGCACCAAAATGGGCGGCGGCGTATCATCTCTGCCGGCAGAGGTCTCGCTTGCCGAGGCGAAGGAACTGGCCGGCGCCAAGTGGCAGCCCGCGTGGGATCAGAAGTTCGCGGAAGCCAAGATTTCCAGGGACGAGGCAATACAATGCTGGAAGGACGCCGAGGCCAGGGCCGCGATCTCCGAGGCGCTCTACGAAAAGCTCCACGGCACCAACCGCTCCGGCGTTGCGGAGACGCTGGACTTTTCGGCAATCGTAAACGAGAAGCGCGGGCAGCACCTTCCCGGCACGCGCGAATGGGTCTTCGAGGCGGTCATGCGCTGGCGCACGGAGCCGGAAGCTGCGAAGCTCTTCTGGCTTGTGGGTGGCGGCGGCACGGGCAAGAGCGTCGCTGCGGCCGAGTTGCTGGCACGGCTGCTCGACAAAGAGAACGTCGCGGCGTGGCACTTTTGCAAGCACACCGAGCCGGCGCGGTCCGCTCCAGCGGTGCTCCTGCGGTCGCTGGCGGGCATGCTTTGCGCGACGGTGGAGGGTTTCGAGGACGCGCTGAAAGAGAGCACGGGCGTCGAGACCGACAAGGTCGACGAGCTCTTCGAGGCTTTAGTAGCCAAGCCGCTGCGAGAGGTCGAGGCGCCCCGCGGCGCGGACGACGCCCTCGTATTAATCATAGACGCGCTCGACGAGCTGCCGCGGGACGCGCTGCAACCAGTGTTATCGCTGCTCGCGACCGAGCTCAAGACGCTGCCGCCGTGGATTAAACTTGTCGTGACGAGCCGCGACGAAGCACAAATCAAGGCTGCACTAAAGGGCTATACGCCGTCGGAGCTGCGCGTCGACGAGGCGCGGAACCGGCAGGACGTGAGGGCGTACCTGACGGTACTCGCGAAGGAACACGTCGAGCTCGAGGTGACGATGGAGTCGCTGCGGCACGAAGTCGAGGCGAAGTTCCCGGGCTTGAAGAATCTCGACACGTTCGCAGACCTCGAGGACCCGCTGCGCCGGTCAAAGGGCGCGTACGACGAGGCGGTCCGCGGCGTCGCCGGGATTCACGAGCTCGAGAAGTACAAGGAGCGACGTCTCGACTTGGTACAAGACGAGACCGACTTTGAGAAGCTCTACGCCGACGCATCACTGGCGCAGACAGTTTTGGTCGAAGCGCTAAAGACGCTCCCTGGCAACGTGTCGGATCCGGGCGTGAAAGGGCGTGGATCCGCAGAAAGGAAGCTCGCGGACAAGTACACCGACAGGAATGGGGTGCCACATCCCGAGAAGTTTCGGGATCTAGCCCGCGCGACGGTCCTGTTCGAGAGCGCCGCCGACCTACTGAAGGTGCTGACTGAATTGGACGGTGGAGGCCTCGGGCTGGAGATCGCGCAATTAAAAAACAAGTTTGCCAGTCCGACGCCGCTCGGCTACCGTGACATGAATTTGAACGTCAGCGTGCGCCTCGACGACGGCCGAAAACATCTCGCCGAGGTTCAGCTGAATTTAAAGAGCGTCGCGGATGCCAAGCACATCGCCCACGAGCAGTACGAGGTGATTCGATTGGCCCTACCGAAGATGTGTGAGGGCACGAGCGTTGGGGCGGGCGCGCTGGAGGCGTTTATTGCCGAGCGTCTCAACTCGTCGGCGCTCGACGCGGCTGTCACTTCGCTCGAACGGAAGGCCGGTGGACTGATGCTCTACGCGCGGCTCATCGCAGACCAGCTCGAGGCCACGAGCGGCAAGATCGACTTTGCGAGCGTCGGGGCGCTGCCGGCGGGCCTCGACGAGATCTACGCGGAGAACTTTCGCCGCGTATTCGTTGACGATGCCTCGTGGGGCGATGCGCTGCCGCTCGTCGAATTAATCTGCGCTGCTGCGGAGCCGTTGACAATTGACGCTGCGAGTGGGGCGCTCGGCTGGGATCGGGCGCGGTGCAAGAAGGTCTGTGACGGCGTGTCCCTGCTGTTCCCGCTGCGCGAGGGCGAGGTGATTGGCGTGTTACATAAGACCGTGACGGACTGGCTGACCGGCGAGGCGCCGTTCAACAAGCGCTCTGCGAAGGACGCGTTCTTCGTCGCGCGGGACGCGGCGCACCGGCGGCTGGCGCGGGCTTGTGCTCGAGCGATTCGTGCTGAAGCCTTGGATACGGAGTCGCACTCGAGCGACGCGGCCGCGGATGAAGCGCTGGCTTCATTTGTGGAGGGCGAGGGCGGCGTGGCGTCGGATGCTTATGCGCTACGATGGTGTTTGTTCCACATGAAGCGGTCTTGTTCTGAGGGCGAGGCCTTCGCGGTCGCCTGCAGCCTGTCGTACGTGCGGAAGCGGAGCGACTGCGACATTGTTTCCTTCGTGGCGGACCTGAACGTTCTTCAGGGTCAGGACACGTTGCTGCTGTCCGACTCCTTGGTGTTGTCGCGGAACCTGCTGTCACGGGGATTGCCTCTCGTAGAGCAGTTGTGGCAGCGGCTTGTGCCGCGCGCCGATGCGGAGTCGTCTCTTGCCGCGCAACGCCTGGCCGAGGATCTGAGACGCGTCGCAAGCAAGCTGCCTCTCTCGGCCGTACGACCGATGGGCCTGACGGCGGCGGGTGGGGCGGAGCGGTGTCTGATTGAGACTCAGGCTGAGTGCTTGGCGACGTTCGTGGATCCGGCGACGGGCGAGCCGCGGGTTGCTTGCGCGTATGAATACGACAAGAAGGTGTTCGTCTATGATCCGGTCGCGGGTGGCGCGGCGCTGGTTGTGATTGATATGCGTGCTTCCGCGCTGGCGGTCTTCAAAGACCCGGTGACGGGCGAGCCGCGTTTGGCTTGTGGTTCTTACAAGAGGTTGTTCATAGTTGACCCGGTGGCGGGCGGCGAGGCGCTGCTTGTGATCGACACGTCGGCTTGGAGTCTGGCGGTCTTCACGGACCCGGCGACGGGCGCGCCGCGGCTTGTGACTAGCTCTGGCAAGATCTTTGACCCTATTGCGGGCGGTGAGGCGCTGCTCGTGCTCGAAGTGGACTCTGCAAAGCTGGCAGTCTTCGCGGACACGGCGACGGGCGCGCCGCGGCTCGCGTGCGCGTCGGGAGAGAAGGTGCACGTCTTCGATCCGGTCGCGGGCGGCGAGGCGCTGCTCGTGCTAGATATTGGATCTGAAGTGGAGACACTGGCGGTCTTCAAGGAACCAGCGGCGAGTACGCCGAGGCTCGCGTGCGGCTCTAACGATGGGAACGTGCGCGTCTTCGACGCGGTTTCTGGCGGCGACGCGCTGCTCGTGCTCGAAGTGGGCTCGGAAGTTAAGGCACTGGTCGCATTCGAGGACCTGAAAACGGGAGCGCTGCGACTCGCGAGCGGATCAAAAGATAAGAAGGTGCGCGTCTTCGACCCGGTCGCGGGCGGCGAGGCGCTGGTCGTGCTCGAGGGACACACACGTGATGTAGAGGCTTTGACAGCCTTCGTTGACCCGGCAACGGGCGAGCCGCGGCTCGTGAGTGGATCGCGTGACGTTCGAGTCTGGAACCCGGCGGCGGGCGGCGCGGCGATCGAGGCGGAGCCCGAAGGACACTCTGATCCTGTGATGGCCCTGGTGACCTTTGTGGATCCGGCGACAGGTGCATTGCGGGTCGCGACCGGGTCGTATGATAAGACGATTCGCGTGTGGGACGCGGAGACTGGCGATGTGTTGCTCGTGATTGACGTCGGTGACTATGTGACTGCGCTGGCGTTCTTCGCGGACCCGGCGACGGGCGCGCCGCGGCTTGCTTGTAGTTGTGATGAAGAAGTGCGCATCTACGACCCAGTCGCGGGCGGCGAGACGCTGCTCGTGATCGACGTCGGCTCGGAGGTGTTGGCGCTGGCGTTCTTTGCGGACCCGGCGACGGGCGCGCCGCGGCTCGCTTGTTGTTGTTGGCGCGATGAAAAGGTGCGCATATTAGACCCGGTCGCGGGCGGCGAGGCGCTGCTCGTGATCGATGCTGGCTCGAAGGTGTGTGCACTGGCGGTCTTCGCAGACCCGGCGACGGGTGTGCTGCGAATTGCTTGTGGATGTAGCAATGGAAAGGTGCGCATCTTCGAACTGGTCGCGGGCGGCGAGGCATTGGTCGTGCTCGAGGGACATGCGGCATCGGTGGGGGCGTTGACTGTTTTCGAAGACCCGGCGACGGGCGGACTTCGCCTTGCGAGCGGATCGGATGACCGTTTCGTGCGCGTCTGGGACTTGGCCGCGGGCGGCGCAGCGCTGTTTGTGCTCGATGTCGGCTCGGGGGGGGCGAACGCGCTGACGGCCTTCACGGACCCGGCGACGGGCGAGACGCGGCTCGCGAGCGGGAGCGGCAAGACTTTGCGGGTTTGGGACGCAACCAAGGGCGGTGCGGCGGTGCGGGTGATTCCTTTTGATGATGAGGTTAAGACCTTGGCTGTCAGGAGCGACACGAGTGGGCTCTTCGTGGCTTTCGGGAAGCGGTGGGGGGAGTTGCGCATCGAGAGCGCCACGACGCCACTGACAGCCGCTTGCTACAAGGGTGAAGTCGACACAATAAACGCTCTTCTTCAGCAGGGCGCTAATGTCGATCAGGAGGACGGCGACGGTTATACGCCTCTGTTCGTTGTGAGTTTGAAAGGGCACGCCAACGCCGCGCTTTTGCTGCTTGATGCGGGCGCCGCGGTTGATAAGCGGCGTGCGGGTGATTGGTCGCCGTTTGGGATTGCGTGCGCTCTTGGGCACCTCAACCTGGCGACGCTATTGGTGGAGCGAGGTGCAGCTGTCGATTTGTGCTTGGACGGTACTGCGCCGCTTTTGTTCGCTTATCGCAACCAGAACCTCGATGTGATGCGGTTATGTCTCGAGCGCGGCGCCGATGTGAATTTGGCCGACAAAGAGGGTACTACGGTTCTGTACGACGCATGCTACAACGGCCACGCCGGCACGGCGCGGCTGCTGCTGGAGAAAGGCGCGGAGGTCAACCGGGCGACGGAGCACGGTCAGACGCCTCTGCACATCGCCTGCCGGAAGGGCCACGTCGAGGCGGCGCGGCTGCTGCTGGACAGAGACGCGGAGGTCGACCGGGCGGATAATCGGGGCAGGACGCCGCTGTTCATCGCCTGCGAGAACGGCCACGTTGACGCGGCGCGGATGTTGTTAGATAAAGGCGCTGAGGTCGATCGGGCGGATAAGCGAGGCAGAAGGCCGCTGGACATTGCGAAGCGTGAGGACCATGACGCGGTTGTCGCGCTGCTCGAAGATCATCTTTACCCGCGGCACGCCACCGCCAAGGCAGGCGAGGTCGACGCGATGACGCGGATCCTTGACGGCGGCGCCGAGGTCGACCAAGCTAAAGGTGACGGCAAGACCTTCCTATTCGTCGCGTGCGAACACGGCCACGTCGACCTGGTGCGGCTATTGTTAGATAAAGGCGCGGAGGTCGACCGGGCGGACGAGGACGGCCGGACGCCGCTATTCATCGCCTGCCAGAACGGCCACGTCGACGTGGTGCGGCTGCTGCTGGACAAAGGTGCGGAGGTCGACCGGGCGGAGAAGAAGGGCGCGACGCCGCTGCACATTGCCTGCTACAAGGGCCACGTCGACGCGGCGCGGCTGTTATTAGATAAAGGAGCCGAGGTCGACTGGGCGGAGAAGCACGGTGCGACACCGCTGTACATCGCCTGCCGGAAGGGCCGCGTCGACGCGGCACGGCTGTTGCTGGACAACGGCGCGGAGGTCGACCGGGCGAAGGAGGACGGCGAGACGCCGCTGGAGGTCGCGCAGAGGAAAGGCCACGCGGCAGTTGTCGCCCTCCTCGAGGAGCACATCGATGCGAAGTTCCCACTTCACGCTGCGGCGAGGACCGGCGACGTCAAGACGATGACGCAACTCATCGACGGCGGCGCCGAGGTAGACGCAAAGAAGGACGGCGCGACGCCGCTGCACATCGCCTGCGAGAAGGGCCACGTCGACGTGGCGCGGCTCTTGTTGGAGCGCGGCGCCGCGCTCAAGGTCGACAGCAGCGCCCTTTGCGAGGGCGATGCGGTCGAGGTTAGGTATCGAGGCCGCGAGAAATACTACCCTGGGAAAATCAGCCGGGATTGCGGCGAGGGAAAGTACGACATCGCTTACGACGACGGAGAGTGGGAGAAGAACGTCGAGGCGCGGCTCATCCGCAAGCTACCACTCTCGCCGCTGGCCATCGCCAAGGAAAATGGCCACGCGGCCGTCGTCGCGCTGCTCGCGGAGCATCTTTACCCTCTGCATGCCACCGCCAAGGCCGGCGACGTCGACGCGATGACGCGGATCCTCGACGGCGGCGCCGAGGTCGACCAAGCTAAAGGTGACGGCAAGACCTTCCTATTCGTCGCGTGCGAACACGGCCACGTCGACCTGGTGCGGCTATTGTTAGATAAAGGCGCAGAGGTCGACCGGGCGACGGAGAACGGCGCGACGCCGCTATTCATCGCCTGCGAGCACGGTCACGTCGACGCGGCGCGGCTCTTGTTGGAGCGCGGGGCCGTGGTCGACAGCAGCGCCCTCTGCGAAGGCGATGCGGTCGAGGCCAGGTATCAAGGCCGGAAATACTACCCTGGGAAAATCAGCAGAGACTGCGGCGAGGGCAAGTACGACATCGCTTACGACGACGGAGACGGGGAGACCGGCGTCGACGCTCGTCTCATCCGGAAGCTACCACTCTCGCCGCTGGCCATCGCCAAGGAGAATGGCCACGCGGCCGTGTTCGCGCTGCTCGCGGAGCATCAGAAGTGACCACCTCGGGAGCCGCGTCGACGGCGTCGAGGGGGCAATAATGCCTCTGGATATGCAGGAGGCGTCGGGGGATTAAGTGTGCATTGTAAAACGGCATCTGGGCCGCGGGGACATCCCCTGGCGCGGCCTCAACCCGATGCAGGTCGGAATGCAAATCCTGGCCAAGCAAGCGCGGCCGGCCGTGCCCGAGGGAGCGCCGGCGGACCTCGTCGCGCTCATGCAACGGTGCTGGGCCCACGAGCCCGGCGCGAGGCCCAAGTTCGCCGCGATCAAGGCGGAGCTGCTCGGGTCTGGCCCCGCGACCCCGGCGAAGTGATTCACTGTTAATTAATAACTAAATTAGAAATCGAGGACGGACTCGGAGGGGGTACGTCACGTAACGACCCTTTCAATGAAATCCCAAGAGAACGGCGAAAACGGACACCACGCCGACCGCCGAAGCGACGCGGCCGCCCAAAGTGGCGGAGTCGACGGTGTCGGAGCAGACAGAGTTGCCGGAGGCGCAGCACTTGGCCGCGACGGCACGGACGGCCTCGATGGCAGAGGGGGTAGTGCAGGACTCCGCCGCAGATGAGGCGTCCACGAATTCATACCCTTCAAAGACGTGCCCGCTACCGGGAGAAGTAGAATATTCCATTGCCTTCTGGCAGGACGCCGCGGTGTTCCCGTTGGAGGCGCTGGCGGCCTCCCACTCGGCGGAGGGCGTCCAGCGGGTAGGGTCCGCGCAGACGTAGCTGTAGTCCCTCCAGCACGCACTGCGCTGCGCGTCGCCGGTGCCGCAGCAATAGGACGCTACAATATTAACGGTTTCCTGGACTAAGTACGATTCGGCAGAGCATGCCCCGTATATGGCGGACGAAAAGTCCTTGCCCGCCAGGTTGTTGCCGCTGCTTGTGAAGGAGTCCATGATCTGATCGCACGTCACCGCCTGGCTAATCTCGTGATCGTACATTGCGTCCCCCTGGTAGTTTGCGGGCGTCGCGCAGACGTGGCTGTAGTCCGCCCAGCACGCGCTGCGCCGGGAAGCGGCGTCACCGGTGCCGCAGCAATAGGACGCTACAATATTAACGACGTTCTTGACGTCGTACGATTCGAGAGGGCAATGTAGGCCGACTGAAAAGTCATAACCCGCCAGGGTGTTGCCGCTGCTCGTCCAGTGGGCCATGATTGCATCACACGTCACCGCCGGGCTAATCTCGTGATCGTACATTGCGCCCCCCTGGTAATTTGCGGGCGTCATGCAGAGGCCGCTGTAGTCCTGAGCCACCGCGGGAGCGGCCAGGAGGGCTGCGAGGCATAGGGCAGCGCACCTCATGCTAGCTACTCGGTGTGCCGGGCGGGCAGCAATCAGGGAGCCCGCAGCAAAGCATAAGCTTCCCCCCGCAGCAAAGCGGAGAGTCGAGCCTGACGTCGGGTCGGGTATGTCGGGTCGGAGACATCCATCTAAAAACACAACTTTATTTAACAGATTGGCTCGGACGCTTGTTCCGGGCCATCGGCGCCGGCCGCCGCAGGTCCGACCGCGTGGCCACGGGCGGCTCCGCGACCCGCTCGCGCCGTCGCGCCGCCGCCTTCTCCAGCCCGGCGGCGACCTTGGCGCCGATGACCTCCTTCGAGTGGCCCTCGTAGGGCAGCCCCGCCGTCGACGAGAACGCGGGCGCGAGGGGCGCCCGCGTCGGCTCGCGCTCCGGCGGCACGAGGTGACGCACGGGCTCGACGGCGACGGCGTCCTCCCCGAAGGCGATGCGGCAGACCTCCGCCAGCACCAAACAGCCCGCCGCCGCGGCGAGGACGCGCGTCGAGCCGATCGTCTCCAGCAGGGGCGCGACGGCGCTCGGCCGGTCCGGCGGCCGCCGCTGCTCGCGCAGCAGGTGGCGCGTCCGCGAGCCCGTCGCCTTCAACGCGTCGTTCGCGGCCTGCAAGCGGCGAAAGGCCGCGGCGGCGTCCGGGTGGCTGCACTTGTCGGGATGCACCTCCTTGACGAGCTTCGTGAACTGCGCGCGCACGGCCGCGGACGTGCACTGCTCCCGCGGCAGGCCGAGGACCTCGAAGTGGCCGCGCGCCCGGAGGATGCGGGTCGCGGCGGACGTCATCGCTGGTCGCGGCGACGGCGCGCGGTGACGCTTTGGGGGCTAAGCCACAGCCTCTCCTGACAAAAGCCTCTTCGAACCGCACGAGTCTGCAGCGTTCAAGGTACGTGCTGTATGTATTGCGGGTGGTTGCGGGCTAAGTCTGCAGTGAACAAAAACGGTCGCCGACGACGACGCGGCCGCGCACACGACTTGCCACGCGCTTGCTCGCGCTGCTAGCGTCGTAAAGACACTAGCTTCGATCGTTCGTATACGCCTCCGACGCACGCACCATAACAAATAGACATGGCCTGGCCTAAGAAAAACCCAGGATAAACAAAAACAGCAACTTACTCCACGTCCGACCCGCACCCCGACGAGTCCGAAGACTCGTCCTCGTAGCGGATGAAGTCCCGCTCCGGCCACCGCCGGTGCTGCGTCAGCGTGCAGTGCCACCGGAGCAGATCCGGCGTCGTCGGCCCGAAGTCGCACTCCGCGCAGACCATTTTGTCGAGGCCGAACGTCATGGTCCCGGCCCGCTTCTGGAGATCCCCCAACGCCGCGCAGGTCCGCGCGTGGCCGGCGACGGGCCGCGCCCACGCGGCCTTCTGGCACTCCACGCTACAATAAAACACGTGCTTGCACCGCGCGCACCGCCTCGCCGCCTCGACGCGGCGGCCGCACCCGTCGCAGAACGGCAAGACGATGGACCCCCGCTTCAACGCGCCTCGGACGACGCGCCCCTGCCGCGCCGCGACGACGGCGTCCACATATAACTGCCGGCAGTCGAGCCGGTCCGGCCGCGTCTCGAGGCAGATGCGATCCAGATGTTCGAGGGCCGCGACGCTCCGCGCCGCCTCTTCTGTTGAAACGGAGCCGACGGCGAGGCGCACCATTTTGGAAAAGTTGCCGTGCGCGCCGTGATGTAATAAAGCCGGCGGCAGCGCCACAATATACGCGATGTACAACCCTACGACAGCGAAGCCCTTGTCCCGTCGCTGCGCGCACGCTAATACGGCGTCCGCGATGCCGCCGCGCCTTAAATCCTCGAGTTCTGGTAATGACGGGTCGTTGCCTTGGTGCTCGCAGCCCTCCTCACTCCAAACTTTGAGCAGGGGGTGGTCCATCTGCGCCAGCGCATCCCGAAACACCGACGTCCGCCAGCCGCCGCATTTACATTCGGGGTCTCTCCCGAAACCGCTCGCGGCGCGGTCCAAAATCACCTTCATGACCTGTTCCAGGACTTCGGGAGCGGCGTCCGGGACCAATTTCAGGAGCTCCTGCACCGTCGCGCAGTCCGCGATCTGGGGACAGGCGTGCCCCGTCCAGTTGACCGGCGCGAGCATTTTTTGCGGCCCGTCGCCCCAGCGTCGCTCCGGCTCGCGACTCGTCCGTCGATGGCGCCGCGTTTTTGAGGAAATGGGCACCTGGCAGGGCGCCGTGACGCCGGGGATGCCCGGCGGCGGGCCGCGGTACCGGTCGGCCATGGCCTTGCTGGGCAGCCCCTTCTTTGCGGCAGGACTCCGGGCTGCGACCGCGCGTGGGAGACGGTCCCGGGACCACGCCTAAGATGCCCGCAGCTGCCCGGGCGGCGTTGCGCGTCGCGTTGCGCGTAAATCACCGTCTGCACTAGAGAGTTTACGCTAGGGCTACATGCTCTCCAGACTTGCTCTCCCGGATTTTGCGCCCTGCACTTGCCCCAATTCGTCCAAATTTTGCTGTCCCGGGTAGCTGCGGGTGCTGCCCCTGCTGCCCCCCTTGTTCCTGCCCTTGCAGCAACCCCTCCCCTCCCCGGAGGCTGCCTGTCCTCACGCTGCTACGGGCATAGGAACCGTAGTACAAAACGCTACTACGGGCATAGGACCGTAGTACAGAGGCCTCTCCCCCACGCCGTCGACGCGAGAAGAGATCACTTGCAAAAATGCTGGACGACGTCTCGGTCCTCACGACGGGCTCGGCCGCGAGCCGCCGGCCGAAGCGCCCCTGGACGCCGGTGCAGACCCTCGCGTCCGTCGACAGCCGCCCGGCGAGCACGCGGAGCGACCGGTCCATCACGTCCGTGAGCCTGAACGAGTCGTTCCGGCGGCGCAAGCACCGCTACCCCCCGTACACGCCCGGCACCTTCGGGTGCGCGCGGCGCTTCCCGCCGGACGAGCAGCGCATCTCGCCGATCGGCGGGGTGGAGTTGGGGTGGCCCGGGAAGACGTGGCGGCCTGTGTGGAAATAAACCAGTGCGTCGGGTGCACGCGGCCGTCCTGGCTCCGTCGAACGGTGAGGCACCGGCAACGCCACGCCATCGAGCAGGCGTCGCATCGATGGCGTGGAGGACGACGCGATGATTCAGCACGAGCGCGCCGTAAAACTTTTATTTCTACACAGGCGGCGGCGCCGGTTTATCAACACGTCGCCCTGGCTCGCGCCGCGCCGCGACGACGCCCACTCCTTCACGCGGGACGCCCGCGTCAAGCTCTCCGAGGACGATGGGTCCTTGCTGAGCGCGTGGAGTCCCGATTCGCAGGCGCGGCCCGCGGGCCGGCGCTCGCTCGTGAGCCAGCCGAGTACGCTGTCCGTCCGCAGTCGCTGCTCGACGCCCGTGGAGCGGCGGCGCCAGGCGACCCGAGAGGCGACGAATCCGCAACGCCTCCGGGCAGCCAACGCCAAGCTTAAGAAACGGCAGGCGGCGCGCGACGTCCTTTACCTCTACGAGCGGCGCTTCGAGGTGCCCTTCGCGGAGCCCTGCATTAATGGAGACAATCGGCCGATAACGGCGCCGGGCAACTGCTGGCTGGAGAAGAGCATGCTGCTGCCCCAGCCGGCGACGAGCACGCGCCTGCGCCACAACGTCGAACGCCCTCGGGCCAATCATTATCAGCGCGACGGCCGGCCGAAGACGCCCGGCGCCGGACGCGCGCGGCGCCACGAGTCGAAGTGGTTCCAGACGCTCGGGCTCGCGCGGTCGATCGCCCTGCGCGCGTGAACATATCCGCCCGTCGAAAGTTAGTATGCGTGTTACTAGCCCCAGATCCTACTTCTTCTTCACCGGCGCCGCCTTCTTCGCGTTCACGGGCTTCTTCGGCGGGGCCTTGTAGAAGCCGTTGGGGTAGACGGGCTTCTTGCTCTCCGAGGGCTTCATCATGAGCTCGGGCACCTGGCCCATGGGCAGGCCGCTCACCGCCGAGTACAAACCGGGGTAGGTCTTCGCGTACGTCGCGAAGTTCCCGGCGGGCGCGAGGTCGCGGCGCGCGACCGGCGACTTCTTCTCGAGTCTCAAGCGCTTCTCGGGGTAGAGCGTGTTCCAGTTCGTCTTGGGCGCGAACTTGGCGGTCGACTTGTCGAGGTCCTCCCAGGGCATGTTCGAGTACGAGTATTTTTTGAGGCCGGACTCGTCGGCGTACTCCTGTCTTTCGACCGGGGCCGTGCGCTTGATCGAGTCGCCGGGCGCGGCGAAGGCCAGCGCCGGCGTGAAGACCAGCGCCGTGCCGAGCGCGGCGGCGCCGGCCACTTTTGACATCGACTTAGTTACGGCCAAGCCCTGGCAGCCGGGACACCCCGAACAGCTGGGATTGCCGCAGAATGCTGCCGCGGTGGCCGCCAGCGCGGCGAACACGCACAGCCTCATCTTTGCCTCTGCTTGCGTTGTGGATTTGCTGCTTCTGAAAACAACGAAATGCGTCCCCAGCCGTGCGTCCTGCGCGGCGGCGTCGCCTCCTGAGTTTTAACACTACAGCTCGCAGCGCGCAGCGCGTATGGCACGCGACCAGACTCGCAGCGGCTCAAGGGGCACGAGCGTGCTAGAGCCCCTACCTAGCGTCGGTCACCCTTGTTGGCAAAATTTCCTCGGGGACGTCTACAGCAAGGGCTTGTAAGCGTCTGGTGCAGTTTGGCGCCGACCAGACTGCCGAGACACGAGCCTGCGCAAATCTTAATTACTTGTTGTGAACGCTGGCTGAACGCATCAAGACTGCTAGTAAAGTTGTGCGTCGTCCGACCTGACTATAACACGTCGTCTGCGAAGCTTTTTAGCGGAAATCGTCGCGTATTCACAGAGAACAGCAGCAACAAAATGCGCACTACTGTTTTACTCCTCGCTATCGCGGCCGCATGCAGTGGCTTCGTGCCCAAGATTCCGATGCCGAGCGCGGTGAAGCCGCTACGCGCCGAAACGACCGAGTCCGAGGCGCCGGCGGAGGCCGAGGCCCCCGCCGCCGCCGCGCCGGCCGAAGAGCCCGCCGCCCCCGCGCCCGCGCCGTCTTCGGCGGCCGCGTTCGACCCGAACAAGGTCTTCAAAGTCGACGAGTCCCCGCTCATGGCCTACATCTCGCGGTCGTGGAACAAGCTCGACGGCAGCGACACCGTCGAGGTCGAGGAGATGCTCAAGGACCCCGCGACGGTCGCCACGATCGACCGGCCCGACGAGCTCGGCGCCAACGCCCTGACGCTCGCCGCGTCGCTGAACGTGCCCAAGCCCGAGATCATCAAGGCGCTCCTGAAGGCCGGCGCGGACGTCAACGCCAAACTCGGCGAGGAGTGGTCCGAGAAGGACACGAGCGCCCTGTACCGGGCCGTCGAGGGCGAGTCCCTGGAGTGCGTCGAACTGATCGTGGCCGCGGGCGCGGACCTCGACTACATGAACGACCGCAAGGTCTTCACGGGCCTCGCGAAGATGACGGCGCTGCAGCGGGCCGAGGACATCGGCGCGAAGAAGATCCGCGACTTCCTTAAGAGCAAGGGCGCGAAGAAGGAGATGAAGGAGAAGCCGCTGAGCGGCGTCTGAGGCGCGCACCAAGTTTCCCGTAAGCACATGTATGAACCCCGTATGCTTTGCTTAGAGCTAGGCCGCCTAGCCACGTCGCCGCGGGGGCTGCGTGACCGAACGCCGCCCCGCCCCCGCCCACGTACGCCGTCGCCCCGAGTGTTGGCTCCGAGACGACGACGGCGAATGCACACAAAGTTCTTAGAAAGCGAGGAGAGTTCAATCAGATGGGCCCGACGCGCGCGGGAGGCCAGAGCCTGACCAAAGGCCGGCCCGTCACGAGGTCCACGGGCAGGTTGCCCCACGACCGCGAATCCACACTGTTGCCCGGGCAGTCGCCGAGCACGTAGACCGTGCCGCGCGGCACGCGGCCCTTCGCTTCCGCGAACTGGGGCTTGCGCCCCGTCTTCGGATCACACAAACCCGGCCGCGGCACGCCCTTGACGAAGACGTCTCCCGTTTCCGTGACCCTTACGATGTCGCCCTCGACGGCCGCAACTCTTTTAACGAACTGCTTCGTGTTGCCCGTATCCACCAAAGATTTCAAGGCCGGCGGCGGCTCGAAGAAGATCAAGTCGCCGGCCTTGGGTTTGAGGAAGACGGGTCCGAAGCCGGTCCCCGTGAAGAACCGGTCCTGCAACACGACGTCGCCGGGCTGTAAGGTCGGCACCATGGACGTCGTCGGGATGTAGGTCAGCGAGAAGCAGTTGCAGAAGAAGAGCGCCAAGGCCGCGAACGTCGAGCCGAGCGCCGCCGCGGCCGTCGCCGTCGCCGCGGCGAAGCCCGGCTGCGTCAGTAACGCTAGAGAAGCGTCCGTCCCATCGAGAATAGCGCACGCCTCGCCGCCGTCGTCGCAGCCGTCGACGCCGTCCAGCTCGAGCGTCGCGGGCCAGCCGCCGTCGGGCGCGCCCCGGAAGCGCCAGGGGAAGATCGGTTGTAACGCGACCCTAACACCTTTCGAAATGCCGTCGGGCAAGCGAGCGACGCGAGTCCCGTCCGCGAGCTCCAGCGACTCGACCCTATAATCGGCTCCGGGCAGCACGCCGCGCGCACCCAACGCCCCGCGCGTCCGCTCGTCGCCGCCGTTCACGCCCCAGGCCTGGAGGCCCGCCTGGACCATGAACAGCGTCTGTTCCTTCAACGCCTCGCACTGCTCGATGCTTCGCGGCGGCGCGGGCAGCCCGTCGGCCCCCAGCGGCGCGACGCCGCGCCTAGCGCTGTCGGGCGCGCCGCCCTCGACCAGCACGGGCACGACGACGTGGCCCACCCGTAACCCGTTCCGGACGGCGTCCGGGGCGGCGAAGGCAGCTCTTACCAGTCGCGGTAACCTCGCTAAAGCTAACGGCAGCGGCGAGTTCGTCTTCCGCGCGAGCTTGACGGCCGGCTCGGGGTGGCGGAACGTCGCGAACTGCCGGTCGGTCGCCGTCTTGGTATCGGACGACGCCGCATACACTTGAATCTCGGACTCGACCTCGAGCAATTCGTCGTCGATATCCAGTTCCGTCCGGTAGGCCGGACCCTCGCCGTCCAAGACGCCCGCGGCTAAAGGGTGGACGAACGTGAGGCCGCCTTCCTCAGTATTGGAACCCAGCCGGAGCGTGAAGGCCGCGTCGACGGCGTCGCCCACGTCCTTCGCCGCGTACCTTAACTCAACACCGCACCTCTTATTGTTACGTGGCGAGAGCTTGAGTGTCCACCGCTGGCCGGCGCAGTCGAACGGCGCGGACTCGATGGGCTCGCCCTTGTTTAAACGGTCGCTGGGCACGCGCCACGTGAAGCTGCCGCGCACGAGGGCGGCGGCGGGCGCGATGACGAGGAGCAGAGCGCGCAGTGCGCTGGTCATTTTTTTTTTTGAGATCCAAATTCGGCGCCTCCTGCTCTTGCGCGTGGCGTTGTTTCTGCTGATACTTAGACCCGCAGTAGTGCGGCACGATGGCTGGTACTCTCCTCGTTTATGTCTCGTTGTTCAATTGAATTTACGACAGCCGGCGTCGAAGCTCTGCGGCCGGCCGGCATCAGCAGCACGAGCAAGCTCTAGAGTCGGTACCGCACGCTAGTGAATGGAGTTTAAAAATCCTCTGATGCCGACGACAGACACCTGTGGACCCTGTTCGGACGCTTTTCTGGAAGCTTAGGAGACGTGAGTTTACGAGAGGCCAACTGGGGAGACGCCAGCCTCCGCGCACGTGCCGCGGCCGCTCGCAGCGTACGCGACTGCAGTGTGCGACCATCACTGCGACGGAGTGCGATACCGCATCGCTCGCCCAATTGCGAGCACTCACATAGCACCAATGCATCAGAGAGCACTACTCCTCTCACTCACAGCCTCGTCGGCCGCGGCGTTCGTCACGCCGGCATCGGTGACCATCGGTACGCCATCACATGCGTTGACGCGGCGATGGGCCGACGACCTTGACGGCGGGGGCGCCGACGACGACGCCGCCGCGGCGCCCTCGCTCGACGCCGTGGAAACCGCCGTGCTGAACGACGCCTTGGACACCGCCGCGAAGCAGCCGGCCCCGCGGAAGAAGAAGAAGCGGCCCGTCGACCCCGAGCGCGCCGCGACGAAGTTCGTGAAGACCGCGACGAACCCCGTGACGTGGAAGAACGGCATCTACGCGGGGTCGCTGGCCATCGCGGTGCTCCTGCCAGTGGCGCTGCTGGCGCTGGCGCAGAAGTAGGACACGTCGGTTGCGCGCGAACCGCGGCGCCACGAGGGGTTCCTCGAGCACGGCACGCGAGAGGATAATACTGAATATGTTATACACAAATCACAATACTCACGCCTCGGAGAACAGGAGGAAGTCCGCGAGCGGCAGGACCGCCGAGCCGGGCGTCGTCTGCCGCGCGGCGGAGGCCTCCGCGACGAGCTCCGGGCCCCGGCCGCGGTCGCGCTCGTTCCCGACCCAGTCGTCAACCTGCGCGGCGACGGCGTCTTGGTGGCGTGTGGTCGCGGTGATGGCGTCTTCGTGGGGTAGAGGCTCGGGGCTAGAAGTAGAAGAAGACGCCGCGCCCCAGACGGCGGGGTCCGGCGCGAAGCGCAGCTGGAGCACGTAGTTGCGGAAGCCGACCAGGCCGTCGGCGCCGCGCGGCACCGACCGGTCCGCGGCGAAGCTGTCGAAGGCGAACGGCGCGGCCCCGCGCTCGACGCCGCCGACGGCGTCGCCCTTCGTGTCGGCCGGCCGCTCGTTGAGCAGGACCGTCGCGAGGTCGCCTAGACCGTTCGGGAGCGACCGCGCGAGCCGCGCGGGCGCGCCGCAGCCGTACTTCACGTGGTCCGCTCCCACAATCGCCACGCAGAGACCGTTCTCGTGGTCGCGGCACCAGTCGGCGCAGGCCTTGGAGAGGGCTTCGTCCCAGAGGATGCGCCTCGCTAAAAAATTCTTGAACGTCGTCGTGCAGGCGCCGTCGTTGCCCACGCACGCGCTCGGGTCCGTGGCCGGCAGGATGCCCAGGGCGACGTGCGCCGCGTACGACGGGCGTATCGTGTAGCCCACGTAACTCTTGAAGGCCACGGTCCGCGCGAAGGCTTCGGACGCCTTCGGATCACTCACGTATCGCCGCCGCGCGTCCGGCGCGAGCGCGGCGAGCCCGCCCGCGCTCACGGGCGCAGCGTCCTCGTCGTCCGCGTTCAAGGCAAGCAGAGTCGCACGTGCTTTTTTCGCCGCTTTCAGCACCGGCACGTAGGTCTGGAAGGGCCAACCCCAGCGCCGGTCCCAGTCGACGGCGGCCCGCAGTTGCGTCTCCGTCAGCCGTCCCGCAACATAAGCGTCGAGCTGTGGCTGGAACCGCCGCTGGACCATCTCGAGGCCCACGGCTAAAGGCCGAGCGGCGCCTATTTTAGTTCGCAGTCGCGATATTACCTCCGCCTGTAGCGCGTGGTCCGCCGCGGCGTCGTGGTGTTCTCCGAGGAACACGGCACGTTTCGTTGATAACGCAGTGACGAGGCTATCAGACGCGAGGGCCGCCACGGATGGGATCATCGTCGCGCTGTCGCCGCGGACGGCGTACGACTCCCAGTCAGGCCGCGGTGCAGCCTGCACTGCCTGTGGCGCGAGAGAAGCGGCGCCGTACGAGCGCAAAGCATGCCTGCGGCTGACTATGGCGGCAGCAGCGCTGAATGGCGCTGCAAGCAGCAGCAGTTTCGCATTCATGCTGCCAGTCATGGCTCATTTGCCTCGCCGCAGAGCAGCTCTCGATGGCTTGATGCCACACGTGCCGCGGCGATACGCGCTTTAGAGATCGATTTATGAGCGCACGCGTAAACAACACTCTCATCGCACGCTAAAAACCGCCGCGACTTAGCCATGCTCCGCAGCGCGCTCAGAGCCTCAGCGGCCACGCTGGGCCTCGCGATTTTTGTCGACGTTCCCTCGAAGAACCAACCTCACGCCCTCAAACTGAAGCGGGCGGACGCGGCCGGCGCGACGTACCGCGGCGTCGCCGCGAACGCGACGCAGAGCTCGCTGCGCAACTTCCAGCTCTCGCTCGACGCGGTCTTCGCGCCCTGCGACGAGGCGACGTTCGCGGCTCTGAAGGGCGCCTACGGCGGCTGGTCGGCGTCGCGGTCCGCCGTGGCGTGGGAGGCGGGCCGCGAGTTCCGCCTGTCGGACCTGCTGCCGCCGCTCGCCCAGGCCCTGTGCGGGCGCCGGTTCACGCCGACGACGAGCGGGGATGTCCTCTGCAACGCAAACTGCTGGGGCTTCGCATATTCCGTCCTCGAGGCGGCGGCGGCACCTAGTGATTCCGTTACGGTCTCGGCGGGCGCGCACGGGGACGCCTGGGCCGCGCTCGTCGCCGTGACGGACCGCGTGCAGTCCACCCTCGAACAGGGCCACGATTTGCTCGGTGAACAACGTAACGCGGCCCTCGCGCCGGGCGACGTCCTGATGCTCTGGCACCAGAACACGGGCGAGGAGCGCTACCTCGACCACGTCGCGATCCTCGTCGACGACGTCCGCGCCCGGCGTCGCGTCGTGCCTTCGTCGCGTCGAGAGAATCGCGCCGACAGAGCGACGGAGTGTGACCCTCGCGCCGACGCAGGACCTCTACCTGGAAAAGGCGGGCTCGGGCGCCGAGACGCCGTTCCGCCTCATCGACTGGGACGGACTCGTCGCGTCGTGGCCGCCCGCGGTCTTCGAGTGGGACTGGCGCCGCAGAAAGCAGGGCATCGCCGTGCCGCCGGCGCGCGAGGCCTTCGGCTCCAGGTTGGCACCGAAGGGCGCGCGCGCGGAGGCGCTGGCCGTCGCGCCCTACGCGGGCACGGAGCAGCTCTCGTGGGTCAAGACCCTCGATGAGCCCCTGACGATGGACCGCGGGCGCGCGGCGCTGCCGCCGGCCGCGTTCGAGGCGGCCGCGTTCGCCGTCGTCGACGGCGCGGACCCGAGCAGAGAGCCGACGAAGGCCGAGGTGCGGGAGGCGAAGTGGACTCCCTTGTCCGTCGACGGCCCTGTGCCGCTCGGGCGCGTGCCGGCGGCCGCGTGCGTCTTCGGCGGCGGGCTCTACATATTCGGCGGCGAAACGGATGACACAAGGCCCTGGGTGCCGATTCCGAACCGATACCTGAACGACGTCTGGCGCCTGGACCTCCGGTCGGGCCGCTGGGAGGAGCTGTCGCCGGACGGCGCCGAGGACGCGCCCGACCCGCGCGTCTGCGCCGCGGCCGTCGCGTCTGAATCTGTGTGGAAATCAACCAGTGAGTTAGGCTATCCTGAGAAATATTGCGGAGACTTTCGTGAACCTCCACGCCAGACGTCGGGTCTGAAATTTGATTTCCACACAGGTCCGACGCCGGCGAGATTGTGATGTACGGAGGCCTCGTGCGCAGGGGCGGCGACCACGTGACGGTCGACGACATGTGGACCTTCTCGCCGGCGACGCGGCGGTGGACGCGGCGCGAGGCGACCGGCGGCCCGGGCCCGCTCACGGGCCACGCGGCGTGTCGCCTGCGGGGCGACCGCGCGTTGGTCTTCGGCGGCGCGCGCCCCGAGGCCGAGCACTCGAACGAGACTTGGGTCCTGGACCTGAAGACGTGCGTGTGGACGCGCCGTTCAACAGGCCCGGCGGCGCGGGACTTCCACCTCTTGCTGCCCGCGCGCGAGGGTGTTTTGATGTGGGGGGGCGTCGACGACGGCGCGTGGCGCTACTGCGTGGAGACGGACGCGTGGACGAAAGCCGCGGACCTGCCCTACCTGTCCGGCCGCGCGGGCGTTGTGTTAAAAGACGGCACCGTCGTCGCGTTCGGCGGCATGGACGTCGCCCAGGGCGTCGCGGCCTACGGCTCGGACGTGCTCGTGCGCCGCGGCGCCGCCTTCGGCGCCGTCGACGCCGAAGCCGCGCCGCCGGGCCGCTGCTTCCCGGCGCTCGCCGCGGCGCCCGACGGGTCCGTATATATGTTCGGCGGGTACCGGCGCGTCGACGGCGAGCCCCAGGAGCGCCTCGGCGACGTCTGGCGGCTCGAGCTCCGGCCGGCGCCGCCGCGGACGACGACGCCGCCCTATGACTAGTTTGTAATTTGTTCCCTGTGACGTATGGGCCACTAACAAACGAAGCCGCCGGGCGTTGGCGCTCGCAAAAGCCAAAGGATTTTCTAGTGTCTTATGACGCTAGCTGCGCTTTGCTCCTCGACTTTTGCCGACGTGTAGTCGGCACACAACTGCGTGTAGTGAAATTGACACACCGCACGTCTGCCACAGCTGTCGCAACTAGCGTCTGCAGCTACGGCAGGCTGTCGCACGCTGCACAAAACAGTGCATCACATGTCGAGTGACCGCACAAGGTTGCTCGCACTCGCAGCACCACTGATGGTCAGAGCCCTGTACTCCGCCTTCTGCACAATCGCAGCACGCAGACGCCGAAAACTCGTCGTCGACGCTCTAAAAGCGCTGCCCGGCTCGGCGTTGTACGACGACGGCAGGCTCGCGGACGTGCTGGCCCCGCGCGACGTCACGGATTTGCACGTCGTCTTCGACTTCGACCGCACGCTGACGGCGCACGACGCGCCGCAGTGCCACGACCCCTTGCTAAGGCTCGAGGACGTAGAACTGCAGGCGGCGCTCGCGCCGTACTGGCGCTTTTCAGATGAAGGCGGCCCGCCGCCCTGCCGGGGCCGGCCGTTCCGCTGCTGGTGGGACGACGTGCACGCGCTGCTCGCGGCGCACGGCGTCACGCTGGCCCAGTTGAGTGAGGCGGAGGCCAGGAAGCCGTGCTATTTAAGGGACGGCGCGCGGGAAGTCTTGAAGGCGCTCGTAGCACTAAAAGTGCCGACCACGGTCGTGTCAGCTGGTTTAGAACATGTCATCGTCGGCTTGCTGCAATCAGAAGGTCTGGAGGCCGTGTCGTTCCTCGACGACGACCTCGCCGACGCGAAACGGCCGACGCGCGTGCGCGTCCTGGCCAACCGCCTCGTCATAGATGGCGACGGCACCGTGACCGGCGCGCTGCCGGACGAGCCGATCCACGCCAAGAACAAGAAGGACGCCTACTTTCATTTGAAACCGTGGTTCGCCGCGTCGGCCACGCCGGCCACCCGGTTATTGGTTTTTGGGGATAGCGTCGGCGACGCGGCCGTCGCGGCGCCCGTGCCCGCCTCCTCGAAAGCCTGCGTCGGCTTCTTCGACCCGGCGAACCCCTGGGGGAAGCGCGCCGAGTTCGAGGCGGCCTTCGACTGCCTCCTGCCCCACGACGCGTCGCTCGCGTGGCTCGCGGACCACCTAGGGGAGTGTCATACATCGAGGTGATTCTACTATCGCTTCCTTAGGATGAACGTCGTACCCTTGTTCCCGCGCGACACCCGGAGCGTGTCCGAGACGTAGCGCGTGTCGAGGTAGCCGCTCGCCTCGTCGCCCAACAACCGGAAGGGCACGGGGTAGGGGATCCTCACTCCAAAGGCCGTGAGGTACGCGTCGTCGAAGGTAAAATCGAGGCGGCCCGTCGCCTCGTCGAAGCTCCCGCTCGCCGAGAGGCGAAACACCACGTTCTCGCCCGCCTCGACGAACTGGTCGACCCGTCCCGTTCCGGCGTCGTCGAGCTCGACGACCTGCCGGATCTCGACGCTCTCGAGGCCCGTCACGAAGCGCTGGATCGGCGACGACGACGCGACGGCCTCGGCCTGCGAGAAGGCCACGTCGAAGATCTTCTCGATGCCGGGCGCCGTGCCGTCGACGCGCCGGCCCAGCGGGTTCGCGGGGTCGAATTCCGATTTAGACGTGTAGAGCAGGTCCCAGTCGCCGCGGACCGACGCGATCGTCGGCTTTCGGCCCTCGAGGTTCGCGACCAATTCGTCGAGCTCGACTTCGTCGCTCTGCGGGAGGCCGACGCGGCCTTTGCCTAGCAATTCAATTATTCTCGTTTCGCGTGCGGCTGGCGCAAGGGAGAGGGCAGCAGAGAGGTGCAGGGCTAGGAGCAGCAGTGGCCGCGGCGACATATTTAAGGCGTGCAGAGCGTGCCCGCAGCTAAGAAAGTGACCGCTGTGGGTCTATGGCGGTTCCTAACCACCTCAGAGGGGATTTTTACTTTGGTGTTTTGAGAGCAAAACCCGCAGAGCATCGATTGAGCGCGCGACAATATCGCCACGTAGAGACGCGCTACCGGCGTGCGCGGCAGGAGGTCTCAAGCAACCTCTGCGCAACACAATCTCAAACTCTCAAGGCACGGCGGTACGCCTGCAGCGAGGACAAAGGACAGCACCTGCAGGCCTTCCGCCAGCATGCGTCGCACGGCGCGGCACCTGGGCCGCGCCGTCAGCCTCAAAGGCCGCGCCCGACCACCCGCGCAAATCCGTGCGGCCTCGGCGCTCTCGGCCTACGCGCACGACCGGCGCCGTACAGCCACGCTCACCGTCCGCCGGAGGGACCACTCGCACAGCCACGGCCACGTGCCCGAGGGCGACCCCGACTACGAGGTCACCTTCCGGATACGGAAGACCGGCGAAACCAAAACCGTGCCGGCCTACGAAGGTGATAACCTATTGCGATTAGCCCAAAGGCACGACATCCCGCTCGAGGGCGCGTGCGAGGGCGTGACGGCCTGCTCGACGTGCCACGTCGTGCTGACGGACGACTTCTTCGATCAGTTGGAGGACGACGGCGACCACGCGGACGACCGTGAGGAGGACATGCTCGACCAGGCGTTTGGATTGGAGCCGACGTCGCGGCTCGGCTGCCAGCTGCGCGTCGACGCGCGCTTCGACGGCCAGGTCGTCGAGCTGCCCGAGGCGACGCGGAACTTTTATGTCGACGGCCACGTGCCGCAGCCGCACTAGCACGCTGTCGAGCGCCCCACTTATGTTTGTAACTTGAATGTTTATGCTATCGCTGCCCCAATGGCGCCGCCGCGTGGTCTCGCTCAGCCGCCACGGCGTACCGCCGCACGAGGTCCCTCCTATATTCATCCTCGAACGCGGCCCACTCGCCTCCAGAACGCCCCATGGCGAACTTCGGAATGTCCAATGGCGGCTTCGTCACGCCGCGAGGCGTGTAGGGCTCCTTGTCCAGCCCCTTCGTCCACAGCCGCTTCAGCGTGTCCATGCTTCGACACACGTCCCGGTCGGGCAGACCGTCCACCATCAGCGTCTGGCACCGCTCGGCCTTGCCGAGCAGCGCCTTGAGCGCGGGGTCCGTCCAGGCGTCGTATTTTACGTTGGCCTTGACGACGGCCGGCTTGGCCTGCTTCTTTATCCGTCTCTTTACCGAAGTAGTGTGGTCCCTGTCCTGTTTCATGTGCGGCCACCAGCCTACTTCGGTCCTATTCCCGACCTTTTCGGCGGGCACCTTGCGGTGGAAGGCCCGCTGTGCGAGTCGCGCCCACTTCACCTCCTCCTTCTCCAAGAACTTTTCATGGGCCTCTTCCTTATCTAATCGTTCCTTCGTCCGGCGCCACCCGGTCTTCACTATTGAACCTCGGATATCCTTGACGGCTTCGCGGCGGTCGTCGTGGACATAGGTCAATGTTTCCTTCTTCTGCGCGTCCTTCCGCAATTGCAAGTTTGGGCGCGTGGGCCGCCAGTCCTGCTTTTGGGCACTCACGCGCTCGTCCCAGAGCATCGGCCGGTCTGAATACTTGTCTACAACTTTCAAAGCTTTGGCTGCGGCCTGGTGCTCGTCGTTCAAGTGCTTGCGCTGGGGCAGGCCCCGCTTCGTGATTTTGTCGATGGTAACAGTAGGCGTGACGTCCGTGTGGTTCAGACTCATTGCCAGGGCGCTCGTCCGGTAGTCGTAGACCCCGAGACGCTTTAATTGAGCCGGGTCCGTCGCGTCCACTGGCTTTGAAAACACGTCCTTCGTGCGTGCCGGCGCCGGGCGCACCGGCTGCCGCTCCAGTCCATTCCAGGACACCTTTTCCGGCGGCGGCGGCAGCGTCCTCGCCTTCCGGCCGCCTAATAACGCGCGCGGCGGCTTGAAGGTCGCCTTGTTCTTTGGTGGAGCTTGGGTCCCTGGGAGAGACATGGTGTCGAGGCTGCCCCGTCGCCGGCGGGCGCTGCGGTGCCGATCGCTCTGGAATCGACTTATGGTCCGTCGGTCGGTCGCGAGCGATGCGGTGCCGGCAAGCGCTCTGCGGCCCCGTCAAAGCGCCTCTCTCGCGTTGCGAATGGCAGAGCCTGCGCGCCGAGCGGTCGCGGACGGCTCGACGACTGCCCTCGAAGCCGGAGTCGTCGCCTGCGTGGGATAGGCGTGGCGGATGAATCCTTTGTTGAGCTAGCGACCGTAAGACACTAGCCAGCCAGCCAAAGGCGGCGCCGCGGCCGCGCCAGCTTTTAGCGGGCCTGCGCACGTCTGGTGAGCAGACGCCTTAGTAGTGCCCCGCTCACGCATCTCAAGCTGATACGCAAGCGTTGCAATCGCACAACAACACCAAAAGCCCAAAAGCACACCTCGCCGTCCACAGCCAGCATCGCCGCGCAGCATGGCCTCCTACGCCTTCGACGAGTTCGGCAACATGATCGGCGGCGAGTCGTCGGAGGACGAGGCCGAGCCGCTGCCGCCCGCCGACGAGGAGGAGCTAAGTGTGGCCCCGATGGAGACAGATGAACCCGAAGAGGAATCTAGAGCAATAACACTACACGAGGACAAGCAGTACTACCCCGAAGCCTCGGAAGTCTACGGCGAGAAGGTCAAGACCGTCGTCCTCGACGAGGACGCGCAACCAATCACGGAGCCAATCCTCAAGCCCGCTACCGTAAAAACGTTTTCCGTGCTGGACAACACCGGTGCTCCTGCTACTGCGGGGTATACTACACAATTCCTGAAGGGGTTGTTAGATGCTCCTAGGTTAATTAGGAACGCGTGTTTACTTGGTTCGTTGCACTGCGGCAAGACGTCTTTGATGGATGTCCTTGTAGAACGAGCACATAACGCGGAGTGGGACCCGTCGAAGACGATTAGATACTCAGATACGCGCAAAGACGAGCAGGAAAGACAGTTATCCATAAAAATGGCTCCGGTATCACTGGTGCTACCGGATTCGAGAGGAAAACACTTCGCCTTACACTTAACGGACTGCCCCGGCCACGCGAACTTCTCCGACGAGGGTACGTGTGCGCTGAGGGCAGCAGACTGTGCCGTGATAGTTGTCGACGCGGTCGAGGGGTGCATCGGCCAGACGGAGCGCTGCATCGCCCACGCCATCGAACATAAGGCAGCTTTGACTTTGGTGATCAACAAGGTCGACCGACTCATCGTGGAGCTGAAGCTACCGCCGACCGACGCGTACTTTAAGCTCTGCCACACGCTCGACGACGTGAATGCGAAAATTGCCGAGGCCTGGGACGCGGCGGCTCTGCGGTTGGACCTCGAGGGTGACGCGCCGCGCTTGTCACCCGTTGATGGGAATGTGCTCTTCGCCTCAGCACAACATGGCTGGATTTTCAGTCTGGAGTCGTTCGCGTCCGTGTATGCTGAAAAGTCGAAAGTAGACCCTGCACAACTAGCTAAAAGGTTGTGGGGCGATCGTTATTTTGATTCTAGCACTGGTCAGTTCGCGAAGAGACCTCCTACAGAAGGGCGCAATGTCCGTTCGTTCGTGGCGTTTGTCCTGGAGCCCTTGTACAAGATCTACTCCCACGTGCTCGGCGAGGAGCCGGCCACGCTCAAAGAGGCTTTATTGGAGGTCGGGGTCAAGATGTCCAAGGAAGACCTAGCTCTCGATCCTCGGCCACTGTTGAAATGTGCGTGTAGAAGGTTTTTCAGAGACAGGGCGGCGCCGTCGTTTGTCGATTTGTTGTCGCAGTGGGGCCCCTGTCCCTTGGATCGTAACAGTACAAAAGTGAAGCAGCACTACGCTCTATTATCAGGTCCAAGGTTCGACAGTATGTGTCTCGGGGACGCGAACGGCCCGTTATGCGTCCATGTCGTAAAATTACTGTCGACGCCGGACGCCAAGGACTTTGTTGCGTATGGTCGAGTGTATTCTGGCAGAATCAAAGCTGGTAATAGGGTACGTGTGCTCGGCGAGGCCTATTCACCAGAAGATCCTGAAGATCAAAGACCGTGTATCGTGCAGGGCGTCGGCGTGTGTCATGGCAGACATGTGACGGAAGTGTTGGAGGCGGGCCCTGGCAACTGCGTCGTGCTGGAAGGCGTCGGGCAGCACGTCGCGAAAACGGCCACTATCGTCGACGATTCAAGTGACGACCCCTGCGCCATCTTCGAGCCGCCGCGCTTCGACGACCAGGCCATCGTCAAGCTCGCCGTCGAGCCGCTGAACCCCGCGGAGCTCCCGAAGATGACGGAAGGCCTGCGGAAGATCTCGAAGTCCTACCCCCTCGCGCGCACGAAGGTCGAGGAGTCGGGCGAGCATGTGGTGGTCGGGACGGGCGAGTTGTACCTCGATTGCGCGATGCACGACCTCCGCGAGATGTACTCGTCCGTCGAGATCAAGGTCGCCGATCCGGTGGTCGCGTTCTGCGAGACCGTCGTCGAAACGTCTTCCCTCAAATGCTTCTCGGAGACGCCTAATAAAAGAAACAAGCTCACGATGATCGCCGAGCCGCTCGATGACGGTGTGGCTGATGATTTAGAAAGGGGCGACGTGAGAGCGGACTGGACCAAAAAACAGGTCGGGGCCCACTTCCGCGCGAAGTACGACTGGGACTTGTTAGCTGCTAGATCGATCTGGGCCTTCGGACCCGATACCGTGTCCACCCAGTCGGGGGCGGGGTGCTCCAATGTTTTACTAGATGACACGCTACCCTCAGAGGTCGACAAAAAATTACTCAATGCGGCGCGCGAATCGATCGTGCAGGGCTTCCAGTGGGGTTGTAGGGAAGGGCCCTTATGTGACGAACCTATTCGGAATGTCAAGTTTAAGATCTTGGACGCGGCTATTGCCGATCAAGCACTACACAGAGGTGGCGGGCAGGTCATACCGACCGCGCGACGAGTATGCTACTCGGCATTTCTGATGGCGGCCCCGCGGCTCATGGAACCTATTTTGTCAGTAGACGTCCAGTGCCCGGCCGACTGCGTGCAGGCCGTGTATCCCGTCCTCGCGCGGCGGCGGGGCCACATCGTGCAGGACGCTCCCAAACCCGGGGCGCCGTTCTACACCGTCAAGGCGTTCCTGCCGGCGGTGGACTCCTTCGGCTTCGAGACAGATCTGCGGGCCTTCACGCAGGGCCAGGCCATGTGCTCGAGTCGCTTTGACCACTGGGCGGTATGCCCAGGCGACCCCTTGGATCGGTCCATCATCCTGCATCCTTTGGAACCGTCGCCGCCGCCGCATTTGGCGCGCGAGTTTATGGTAAAGACTCGCAGACGCAAGGGGCTGTCCGAGGACGTGTCGATCGCGAAGTTCTTCGATGATCCAATGCTCAGACAGATAGCTGAAGAAAACCCCATTTCCTGAGTAAGTGTCGAGACTACTAGTACGGGGCTCCTCATTAAAACCCCCTGGCGGCAGCGGCTGCGCGGTGGAAGAAGACTCCAATTTCCTCCGTCAGTGTCGAGACTACTAGTCGGGGCTCCTTCTTAAGCCCCAGAGTGAGTCGGCGGGAGAGGAATCGCGCGGAAACCCTCTCGGGGCGCGAGCCGCGGATAGGCCGCCCGTCGCCGCGCCGTCCGAGCTCCCTTAGAGCGCGGCCACGGCCGCCGCGGCCGCGGTGAGGAAGCCTAGGCCCGTCGCGGCGGCGCCGTCGGACGAGTCGCACTGCTTCTTGCAGTCGCCCTCGTTGCAGTCGTCGCCCGGGTCGGGGAACATGAAGTTGCAGTCCGGCACGCCGCACTGCTGCTCCGCCGCCGCCTTCAGGCCGCATTTGGCGAAAGCCCATAGCTCATCCGTGCAGCCGCCGCACTCCTCTGTGAGGCGGACCGCGTCCTGAGACGCATGCCATATGTCGCACTGGATCTGTGTGGCAATCGATCTAAGTTCGACTAGGCGTCCATGGTCGATCAAACTTGATTTCCGCTCTGCACTGAACGATGCCGCATTTTCTGATGCCAAGACGAGCGCGACACCGAATATTGGCGTACTTACCTCGCGCTGGAAGGTTTGCCGGTGCCCGACAAGCTGCAATATCCCGACGTCCCGCGAGGAGACCCCAAGGAACTGCCGGGCTGGGTCGACCGAGAGGACGAGTCGGCGGCTGACTACTAGCCTGCCTAAGAGTATTACTCCCACGCCAGACACACCCGCAGCGCCCGCGCCAATTGGCGCGGCGACGCCCCCGCGGCGTCGACGCGTTTTGCCCGCCGCCACCTGAAAAACCTGGAAGGCGGGACTTCGATCTCGCCGGAAATACCAAAATAGTCGAGCGCGCGCCGCAGCGCCGCGACCTTCTCCGCGCGCGAGGCCCGGGCCCGGAGCACGTCGCGGAGCGCGCCCTCGGAGAGGGGCACGCCGAGGTCCACGCTCTCGCAGAAGGTGGGTGAAGCATACACGCGGCCATCGGTAGCCGCGTCGGGAGAGTAGCTCCGGCCGTCCCAGAACTCCGTACCATAATCAAAGGTCAACTCTTCGCCCTTTTTCACGTCGCGGATCGTCGCGAACCGTACCCTGGGCGGCGACGCCGTCACCTCGAAGTCGACGTTCGGTGCGAGGGCGTTGTGGTTCATGCGCTTCGACCAGTGCGTCGAGTTCTCCGCATCAATATAGAGCGCGTCGTCGACGCGGAACGCGTACTCGGGCTCGGCGTCGGGGTGGTCGCGGAGCAGCTCCTCGCTCGGCACGACTTTTCCCACGTAATCGGTCAGGAAGGTCCCGTTGTTGATCGGCGCCGTCGCGAAGACGCCGAGGCCGCGGTCCTTCGTCTCGAGCACGGTTATCGAGGAAGTGCAGTCGCCGGGCACCGCTTCGGCGGCGCTAACCGCTGCGCGCTTATGCCGGGCGGCGACCAATGGCCGCTGGAGAGCGTGCACCGCAGGCAGGATGACCAGCAGCCTGCAGTGTGCCATTGATGCAATTTCTGTGTCGCAGCGATTTGTGGCGGAATCAACAGTAAATCTTGATACACTGAGCCGTTCTCGCCATCAACACAAGCGCTATGCAGCCGAGCAAAAAGATGAGCTAGCTCAATGACACACTAGTTTGCTCAGGCTCTCTCACTGCATAGCTCGGCTCTCGTCACATAAACCACCATCGCACCGACAGAGCGAACTCCAGGTGCTCTACACGCTGCTTGAATCGACTCCTGGCGGGAGAGCCCCCTGGGATACAGGACAGCAAGGGCTGCCCCAAGATCCACAAGGAGTGGGGCCATGCGCTGCCCGCGGAGGGCGGAGTATACACTGGAGAGGTAGTCACTGGACCATGAACGTGTACCTCAAGACGCTCGCAGGCGACGTGTTCGCCGTGGGCATGACCGATCCCGAGGCCATCGCGGCGGCCGAGGCGAGCGGCGTCCGCGTTTGTCCGCCATGCCTGCTGGCCGAAGGCGGGGTCGGTGAAGACACGACCATCGACCAGCTCAAGGGTTACGTGGCGGCCATGTCGATCTATCCCGCTGGGGACCAGCGCATGATCTTCGCCGGGAAGCGGCTCGAGGACACGCGCACGTTGCGACACTATGGCATTCGCGCAGAATCGACCGTCCATCTCATCACACGCACCGGGTCATCAGCCACGCTTCGGCGCGAGGGAGGCGACCCGGAACCTGGCCGGACCCCCCTCCCGTCGGTGCTCGACGTCTCGAGCGACGCGCGGTTGCACGCCACCTGCCACGCCGCGCTGATCTGGACGGCTCTTGCGCCGCCGGGCGAGGGCGAGGCGACGTGCCTCCACGCCGCGCCGCCGGTGTTCCTCCTCCCCGTGCTCACGCCCGAAGCGTCGGAGGCGATCATAACGCACGCCCGGCCGGGCCTCGTGGAGAGGCGCGGCCACGCGACGGCGGCCCAGCTCGGACTCGCGGCCTTTACGGCGAAATTGGTAAAGCACGTGCTCGGGCCCGCCGTCCACAACCTCTATCCCGGAGTGCGCGTCGACGCCGACGCCAGCCACGCGTTCATCCTGTGGCACGCGGCCACGAATCCGGACCGCGCCGGCGCCTCTCTCTGGCGGCACCGCTCGGACACGGGCGAGCCGACGTCGGAGCACGTCGACGACTCCACGGTCACTGTGAACTTTACGCTCGGCGGCGATTTCGCAGGCTCGGATCTGAGCTTCGCGTGTGGCGACCGGCTCGTCGTCCCGCAGCGCCCCGGCCTCGCCGTGGTCCACGCGGGCGACCTCGCGCACGCGGTGGAGCCCATTACGGCGGGCGAGCGCTTCAACCTCGTGTTCTGGCTGCGGGAGAGGCGATAGTAGACTGCGTTGGGAGTTTATTAACATAGACACACTAGGATTGCTGCTCTGGATTGCCGTCCAGGTATCCCAGGCTTTCGTCGCATACGCCACCACCGCACGCAGAGCGAACTTCAGAGGTGCTCTACACGCTGATTGAACCGACTCCTTGCGGGAGAGACTAGTGGGCGGAGCCCCTGTGGGGGAGACACCGCGCGTCGCCGATTCATCCGAGCTATCATAGAGCAAATGACACACTGTCCGACGCGCAGAACGATGCGTAAAAAACGTCGAAAACCCGACCAGATCGGCATGGCTTTTTTGCTGCAGCGCAGTATGAGGTACCTCGACCACATGGGCGAGGCGCGACGCGCGGCCGCTGCGTACGTCCAGAGTATGGACATGTTCACTCGCTTCAACGATCCGCCCGACGAAAACGGGCTTCTGGACGCGCTCCGCCGCTACGACGTCAAGCGGGACGAGGCCAAACTGATCGCGGCCCGGACGTGCGAAGCGGTCCGGCAGCGCCAGCTGACGATCCCAAGCCTCTTCGAATCGGCGAGCGCCGCGCATCCGAAGCAAGCCGCGTTTGGCGACCGCGCGACGCACTCGTCGCCGCCATCCCAGGACGAATCGCTGCGCGTCGACGCCCACATCGAGGTCGTGGGTTTACCGGAATACAACCGGTGGCACGGCGTGGTCCTGGAGCTCGTCGCGCGGGAGCGCGTGCGCGTGCGCGTACGCGGCCTGGAGCTGACGCTGAAGCGCGCGAACGTCGTACTCGCGCGGCCGCGGCCGCCGCAGCCGCCGCAGTCGGCGGGCCAATCGAAGAAGAAGAAGAAGAAGAAGAAGAAGAAGGCGGCCAAGCCCGCGACCGCGTCGGACGCGGCCGATTTTTTCTCCGGAAAGGTCCGCGACGCGACGAAGCCGCCCAAGAAGAAGAAGACTCGAAAGAAGTAGGGCGGGCCGGGGGCATTGCGCGCGCCGCGCTGGCGCGGCTTCGCCGAAGAGCTCGGACGGGGCGGAGTAACTAGGTTGGATTAAACTTACACGAGACACAGGAACAGCGACTGCCGCGGGCCGCACAAAACTCTCTGGCGTGCCACGCGCCAGCCACGTTCGCGGTGGGTGCCGTCGCCGTCGAAGGGGCGGGCGCCGCGGCCAGCGCAACTCTCGGCGTCGATGGCGTGCCTGACGAAGCGTTGTGCCGTCGGTCGAGGCGCCGAAGTCACTCGTCGCGGCGACGGCGCGGGCTCGCCGCGGCCCTCCGGATCGTTTGCACCAGCTCCACGGTGTGCGTCGTCGACGCGGTCGTTACGATGGGCAGGTCGGCGCGTCGCGGCGGCGCGCTCCAGGCGCGCGCGGCGTGAGACAGGCGCCAAGACCTCCGCGCGCCCGCCGAACAAGCTCCGGGCGCCTACAACTGCTGCCGAACGCCTCCCACGCCATCGGGCGAGAGACCAGGGCTCGCGTGTGCGGCCGTGCGCGGCCGTGCGTCGGGTCCGCCAGCTTCAAATGACCGCCCCTCGCGATCCAAGAGGATCGCAGCGGTCGTCGCGCCGGCGTGGACGACGCCTCGGCCGCTCGCTGAAGCACGTCTCGTAAAAGCAATACGCAGGCGCCGGCGGCGACGTCAAACGCAAAATTCGATGAAGCAGCCCGTCCCCCATCGAGAGCACTCGTCGACGAGGTACTAGGAGCACCCCCGCGACCAGCGCCTGCTGCACGGACGTGCGTCGCCATCCCGCCGTCGCGGCGCCAGCGCCGGCGTTCACCCGTCCCGCCAACACGTCGCGCCGTCGCGACGGGAGCGGAACGCGGAGGCGCGGCAGACGCTCGCCGTCGCACGAGACCCTTGTTTGCGAGGAAGATCGACGTGCCGACCTTTTGCTCGACGGCGAAGATCGCGCCCGCGTCGTCGTGGTGTCCGTGACACCGTCGACGTGTCGATACAACGTGTCCTCCGCGGGCGCGTCGACTGGCGAACCGATTACGTGGTGGCGACCCTTCTCCCGCGATGACGTTCATCGTCACGTCGTAGATCCGCGCGACGCTCGTCTCGCAGCGGCCGCAGCCCGTGTCGGCCGTCGAGTGCGCCCCGGCCCAGCGCATGTGGACGGGGCTTGCGGGCCCGAACCTCGAGAACCCCACGCCATCGACGCGACGTCGTCTCTGAACCGCGTCTCCTCGACGGCGTGGAGGAGGGCGAACTTGGGCGCGGGTAGGGGCGGCCGCTGCCGAGCAACAGCTCCTACGCCGTCGAGGGCGCGCGCCCACGCCCACCGCACCCGTCTTCTCCGGCCCTGGACCGCGAGGGTCTTCGTCGACGGCTTCGAGAGCGGCATCGCCCTCGACGTGTCGCACGGCGGGTCGATTGCTCGCACACTGGCCGGCGCAGCTGCAGGTTGGCCGACGGCGTTGACCGCCGCGCGCGTGCAAGTGCAAGTGTTGCGGCGCAGTGGGTCGATGGCGGGCGTCAATAGGGGGGCAGTTATCAAGGGCGGGCGATGCCGCGAGCGCGTGATGCAGCGCTGCACATTGCCTAGCTTGTGTCAGCAGCAGCAGCAAGCACTGCATGAATCGTCTGCGGCAAGGGCGGTGCCGGGATCTGATTCCTTACAGCACGAACGCCTCCGGGGAGCCTCCCCTTGCAATGAGCGCTGTTGCAGCGCCAAGCGCGCTTGCTTGAGCTTGCCAAGCAAACCCGTGCGATCAGAGAGACGCAAAGGCGAGTGCCTCGGGCCGTCCGGGAGAGCTTCCGAGAAGATAGGTGCACAAGCACGCCTAAAAAAAAACTCCGCCGACGCCCACGCCGGTCCCCTGCTGCCCCTTTGGACCGGCTTCGCGGCGCGAAGCCCGCCGCAGCTCAAAGAGCGCCCCGGAGGACACTTTTCGACACGCCTGCCAGCCTGCGTTGGGCTGCGCCGCGCCCCGTTGCTTTTTAGAGCACCCACTCACCCCAAACATGGGCGGCCTCATCGGCGCCACGATCGCCGAGGCGGACAAAAACTCGAGCAACGCGGTCGTCTATAAGGTGGGCATGGCCAGGATGATGGAGACCATCCGCAAACTCGACGAACGCGACGCCGACTACGCCGTGTTGCGCGCCATCGAGTCGACGAGACGCGGCAGCGCGGTGCAGTTCGTCGTCGAGAGCGACGGCGTCCCGCCGTTACGCGAGATCGTGGAGGACCAGGAGCCCGAGGACATCGGCCGCGTGCCCGTCGCCGTCGTGCGCCGCGCGAAAAAGACGTGGGCCGAGGCGAGGTTGGCCACGGACGACCGGGCGCTTTTCGTCCACATGGTCGACGTGTTGTTGCGCATCCCCGAGAACAAAAATTTCGACTTCGCCGGCGCCGGCGCGACGGGTGCGCCCTCCGCGTCCCGATCGTCGACCGTCTGCGACGTCTTCGCGTCCCACGCAGACGACTACTGGGCGGCGGGCAAGCTCGAGCTGCGCTACACGTACCAGTCGCACGGTGTCTCCCTCGCGCTCGAGAAGGCGATCATCCCGGGCTACGTGACCAAGTCCGTCGATATCAGCGACCTGGCGCCATACGACGACAAGGAGGAGATCGCACGGGCGCGGCGTCCGCGAAGAGGCGCGTCCCTGAGCGCCACCGACGCAGGTGCCCGTCATGATTTTCGTGCCCTACAACATCGGCACGGGCCGCGACGCGAGGATCATGCTGGACTCGGGGCAATCTGGCTTCGAAACCGGCTACGACCGCATCGTCTACATCGGCACGCAGTTCCCGAGCACGCTCGTCGCCTTCGTGCGCCGCGCGGCCGACGGGACCGAGCAGGTCCTGACCTCGCCGGCCCTGAAGCTCGCCTGCGCTTTGAAGGCCGGCAAAAACCTGCGGCGCGGCCGCGCCATCGTGGACGTCGAGGCCTACGTGTCGTCGTCCGGTAGCTCACCACTCGGCACCATCCCCAGCACGCTCGATTTCGACCGCCTCCTGTTGTACGCGGGCGCCGGCGCTTCGTGGCTCACCTCCTTCGCGGGCGACGTCGCCGGCGCGAAAACGTTCCTCCTCGCGCAAGCGCGCGCGCTCGACTCGACCACGCGCACGCGCGAGAAATTGATCACGTGGACGCAGTCGGGTTACTCGCCAACTCACACGCTGGTCATGGTGTCCGAGACGGGCCTGCCGCCGACGACGCTGAAGGCCTTGCACTACGCGGAGTTTCCGAGCGGCGACCAGAGCCGCCGCCACCACAACATCGGGGACTGTGTCGTCGCGCGGAAACTGGTCGACGGTGGGGTGAACGTGGTCCTCGGCTCGGGCGAGGTGAAGAAGCCCCTGCTCTGCCGATTCCCCGGCGTCGACCGGCCGACGCCGCTTTCTGTCGCGGCCTGCATGGCCAAGCGGGCCTCGTTCATGTTCAATATTCAGGGCGAAGGCGGCGGCCGCGTGCGACGCAGTGTCATTGATTTCGTGACACTTCGCTTCGCACATCGACCGCCAACCGTCGCCTCGCACGCAGGCCGAGGTCCCGCTCGAGACCGCCGCCGTGCTGGTCGTCGTGATCGACGCGCATGCTCTGGACGACGGTAACATAGCGGCCAACCTCCGCGAGGCCGCTGCGCCGCTCGACGTGCCGAACTACCTCTTCCTCGTCATCCCGCAGGACGGGTCGTTCAATTTCCACATGAACGAGCCGAACTTCAAGATCTTCATCCCGCAGCACCTCTTGCTGAACGTGCTCGTGAAACGGGCCGGGGACGACGAGAAGCAGCTCTACAAGAAATATGGGCAGTGCGAGTGGGACGAGAAGGACCTGAAGATCGCCGAGAAGGGCATGTGCGTCGCCGAGGACCTCGCGAAGACGATCGTGCCGTACGCGCGCGCGCACGCGGACAAGCTCGCCCAGGCCGTATCGCGCGAGTGAGGCGACGGGGGGGCAAGTGGCGCATCGAAGGTCACTTCCGAAGGAGCGGCGGGAGCGACGACGGCCCGCAGTGGGAGGAGTACGCGCCGCTCGAGGCCCCTGGAAATCCAGGCCCCACCTGCTGCTGCACTATAGCCTAATTTATACGCAAAGTAGAGGCAGTAGAGGATACACATCACAAACTTACCCACCCCCATCAAAGATGATCCCGCCGCCGCGCGCCCGGAACGCGGACCCGTCGGGCCGCGCCTCCGCATCCACATCACACGCCGCCCGGTCTGCATCCCAGACGTTCATGTCGCAGGTCCAGCGCGCCGGCAGCTTCCGCAGAACAATGTGCGACGGCAGGCGCCGCCACTTGGCACAGGAGTCGCATTGCGCCCACTTCTGCGACGCCACGTCTAGCGGCACTGAGACGCAGCCCCGGCACTTCCAGTCGCCGTCCGGGACGCAAGTGACGCCACCACACGCAAAGCACCACTCCTCCGCGCAGTCGGTGCCGTCGCACAACAGCAATTGCCCGTTCGGCGGCGCCGCTCCGCACAAAGAACAAGCCACGCCCGTCAATCCCAGGCTCCGCTCGAAGATCGGCGCTAATTTAACCAGCACCTTCTTGAGCCTTTTCTCGTCGTCCGTCCTCCCGAGCGATTCGACCAAGGCCTTGAGTTCTTGTACATCACAACAGAAGCTCCACGCGCCGGTCGACGCCCGGCACCACAGCACGTCGAAGCGTTCACCCAACGCCCAGTAAGTCCTTCCATCTCGATCCGACCCTAAGGGCGAGCGGCGGAAGGACCCGACCGCTCCTCTTATAGTTTCGAAGCGGTCCGCGGGCGCGCCCTGCGGCACGACGGCCGAGGGCGGTTCTACCTTCACGTTGTTTAGCTTCGCCACGACCCGCAGTTTCTTCCGCGGCGCACCATCAACAACTTTGTCGAGGGCGCTACCAGGCGTCACATACACACCGCAAACCTGGGCTTGTAAGACGTCGGGGATGTCATACACTAAAGGCGGCGGCGTCGGCGGCGCGGCTTGCTTCAACTTCCCGAGCGTCTTCAGCGCCTCGAGCGCTTTATCCGTGTCGTCTTTACGACGGGCCATCAACAACGACGACAGCGCCGCGCTGACGGCGCAGCGCTCCTTGGTCGATAAGTCGCGCCACGGCGTGTACGAGCCGCGGCCGTCCGCGCGCGCGGCATCTAAAACCTGCTCGCAGGCCCGGCACGCCGCTTGATCTGACGCAAAATCACCTAGAACGCCCCGCCCGCCCCGTTGCCGCCCCTCGCGCTGGTCGCGCTTCCTCCGGTCCGCGTCTTTGACCACGAACGTCGCCGCGTCCTCGACCGCCTGCGCGTCCAGGGGCCACAGCTTTTCACCTACGTGCGGCGCGGGCCCGCCGGGCCGTTCAAACGCACCGCATCTCGCATCGTGTTTTCTACGAGCAACTACACACCGTGTAAAAGCGAGCAATCTCGCGTACCAGTCTCCATGCAATAAAACGTCTTTCAATGAATCGACGGCCTCGGCGACGGAAATCGCGGCCTCGTCGGCCGCGACCTGCCGCGCCTGCCTCCCTGCCATGTCGCAGCCGTCTAAATCTTCGACGGTGACCGCTCTAGGTGAGGACGGCTTCTCGTGCTTGAAGTTGCGTCGTAATGTCGCTTGGAAGCCTGGGGCCGAGCGAGGAATAGCTGGAGACTTGGGATCCGTCGCCTTCGCCGTCAAGGCATCAATTAACGTCGAATGTAATCTATGCAAAGCACCTCTAGGCCGAGAACCGTCCAACAGTTCCGCTTCGTAGGCCAGAAACGACGACCCATGAGTTAACGCAGCCTCGTCGGCCGCGCGTCGCACAGACAACCAAGCATTTTCGTCGCCGCACTGCAGGGCCCTTCCTACAGAATCGCCGTCCCAGTTCTTGTCTATTCGCGACGCGTGGTAGCACGCGTAGTCCCAGGCCGCCAGGGCTTTATGCGACTCTTCGAGCCCCTCCGTCTTTATGGAGCCGCTCACGTCACTTACTTTATCAGCACCTTCTACCACACTTTCTAACGGTCTTACATGTTTGGCAGGTACCTTATCAAAGACGTTCGGCTCCGCGGCCCACTCGACCTCGTACGACTCTTTGTAGATCTTGTGGACGCGCGCGGGGTGCCAGGCCTTGCCCTCCAGTTCGGACTCCCAGTAGGCCTCGACGTTGTCTCCTACTGCTAAACCTTCTTCTATATCGAACCCTAGCACATCAACTACATCGTCGTCGGGATCTACTAAGTTCTCGAGGCCTTTTTCACAGAACCGTTTATGTCCCGCGAGGCCAGCGATCGTGTCGTGCAATGAACCGCAGTCGTCGCAGACGTATCTACCTTTGTGGTCTCTGGTTGGAGGTCCCGTGGCGCCCGCGCGCCACCTCGAACCGCAAGGACCACATAGAGTTGCAGGGCCGTCCGGCCCCGGATTCCTCCTGCCTCCTACTTCACTCAGGGACGCGTCGCACCAGCCGCAGCGCCAGTTGCCCCCGTCGCAGGACCGCTTGTGGGCCGCGAGGCCGCCCAGCGTCTCGTGGACCCTACCACAACTATCGCACACGAAACCGCCCGCCTCGTTCCTCGTGGGTGGGCCCGTGGCGCCGCCCCGGTATCTCCCACCGCAGGGACCACACAACGTCGCGGGGCCCTTGGGCCCGGGGTTCTTCCGGTTGCCCGCTTCACTAATCGTACAAGAGCACCAGTCGCAGCGCCAAGAACCGCCGTCGCAGAACCGTCTATGTCCGGATAATGCTCCTATCGAATCAAACAGAGAACCGCAGCCGTCGCACTTGAACTTGCCCGTCTCCGGGCACTTCGACGGCGCACTTTTGGCGCCTCCTCGAAATCGTCCGCCACAAGCGGCACACAAAGTAGCCGGCCCCTTCGGCCCCGGCGCTCTTCCAGAAGTCTCTAGTCTCTTGCAGCCGCACCAGTCGCAGCTCCACTTGCCTCCATCACAAAAGCGCCGATGACCGGACAGCGCCGAGTTTGTCGGGAATTTCGCATCGCACGAGTCGCAGAGAAAATTCCCCTCGGCGTCGCGCTTCGGCGGGCCCGTGGCGCCTTGTCTATATCGGCCACCACACGGCCCACACAACGTCGCCGGACCTTTCGGGCCGGGGTTCTTGCGGTGGCCGCTGTCTTTCGAGGACGCGCCGCACCAGCCGCAGCGCCACGTGCCGCCGTCGCAGTGGCGCCTATGTGTGAGTTAGGTTAACTTCGTGAACCTCCACGCCATCGAGCAGACGCAGTCACGGTTGATTTCTGCACAGCGTGGCGCCGGTGCGACCGCAGCGCGCCCTCGGAGTCGAACTCGGCGCCGCAGCCCTCGACGCGGCACGGGAACTTGCCCGTCGCCGGGTCCTTCTGGGGCGGCACGTCACCTTTCGCAAACTTGTCGCCGCAGCCCGGGCAGAGCGTGGCGGCGCCCTTGGGGCCGGGCGCCGAGTGGTCCGCGGCCTTGCACCAGTCTGTGTGCCGGCGAGCGACCGGTTATTGCCCCGACGCCGTTCGTGTGATGGGTTCAAATGACGGACGCCGCGCCAAGACCGCACTGCGTCACGTCCGGCGCGGCCTTGCGCTTCCTCGTCGTCGCGGGCTTGCGCGCGGCGGGCTTTTTAGGAGCGTCGCCCTTCTTGGCCGACGGCTTGCGGCCGGGCTTGGGCAGGTCCGTGTGCTTCGAGGCCTTGCCGCCGGTGATGGTGTTGAGGATGGCCGACGCGGCCCGGAGGTCGCCGCTTTCTCCCTCCGTGGAGGAGGTGGCGCTTAGTAAGCACCAGCCCCGGACCTGCAGCGTCTTCGGGTCCTTGCGCTGCATCGCCTCGTAGAGTACCGGTAAAGGTACCCAGTGCGGCGGGTACTTGAACCGGGCCACGTCCAGCAACAAGACCTGATCTGTGGAAGCGTCGTAGCCGCCGACGGGCGAGAAGTGGCCGTCGCCCGTCTGGCCCAGCGTCTTGCGCGAGTAGGAGGCCGCTAATACCACGTCGCTCCGGCCGCACGCGTGCTTGACTGCTGCTCGTAAATCATCCAAACTACCGGAAGTGATCGACGCGTGGCAGCCGTCGGACACGTTGGCGCACGTCTTCACTGACGTGGTGGTTGGAGCCATCTCGACCTGTGTGGAAATCAAATTTCGGGCGCCCCACGCCATCGACGCGACGTCGTCCCCATAACTGCATCTGCTCGACTTCTACGCCATCGACGCGACGTTGTCCCCGTGACCGTGTCGGCTCGATGGCGTGATAACCTAACTCACTGCTTGATTTCCACACAGATCTCGACGTCCTCTCCAGCAACATGGGCCCGCCGCGTGTCACAAGACAGGCCGTTGCACACCGCGAGACACACGAACTCTTCCAACGAAATCCCGTCCAACTGCACCTCCCTCAAATCCTTGCAGCAATCTAACAAACTTTCGTCGTACCACCGCCACACCCCCTTCCACGGCCGGCCCGGGTCGACTTTCAGGGAGTTGAGCGCCATCGTGAGCGTCGCGAGACCGCAGTAGGCCGGCTCGTTCTGGGTATGGAACTGCGCGATCAGATCGAAGAAGCCCTCGAGGCCGCCTGATTTAAGAGCGGACTCGAAGAAGGCGCGGCCTTCTCGCGAGGCGAAGGCGACGCACTGCTCCGGTAATTCTCGCTTGTAGAACTTGCCCTCCTCGATTTCCGGTTTCGGCTTCGGCGCCTCGGGCGGCGGCGCCTCGGCCTGGGAGGCAGCGATCGCCTCCTGCAGCTCAACCTCTTCGACGGCGTCGAGGTCGTCCTCGTCCGCGGCGTCGCTCATCTTCTTGGGGGCCTTTCTCGCGCGCTTGCTCGTCGTGCGCGGCGAGGTTTCGGCCATGTTTTCCTTTGTTGCACCGCGCTTTGCGTTCGCGTCGTTTGACGAGTGCTTGCGAGCGCTGCTGGTTTTTTGCGCTTCCGTGTGCGGTTCGGTGCCGCTGCGGCCGCCTGCTAATTTGAGTGCCTTCAGAGAGCCTCTCCGAACGGCGGCGCACGCAATCGACGGCTGGAAATGACCGCGTTCGCTGTCAGCTACCTTTTATCAGTTTACGGGGCTCTGCGCGGTCGCAGCGGTGCGGCAGCAGGCGCGGCGAGGAGGACCGGGGCGCTCTGCCCCTGGTTGTGCATGAGGATAAGGTGTCCTCGCGAGGAGGCTTCATGCGTCCTTGTGTGGTTCCAGCAGTGCTCCGGAGACTTCCTATGCAGGTTCGCATGCAAAAATGGCAGGCCGGCGCATCTCAGCTGCAGCAGCGCGACGAGCTGCACGCCGAGCGGTGCAGGCGACGCGAGTTGGAGGCTGGCAGGCAGCTCACAGCACCGCTGCAAGCCATTTTCCGAGCGCTGTGGTCGCGATCGCTGGGTAGCCCACAAAAATGGCAGAGGCTGCAGAGGCTGCTCCAGAGACGGACCATCCGGCGCCCGGCGAACCGCTCATCGATGACGCCGTCGCGAAAAGCGCTGCGCGAAAGCTCGTCAGCGGTGCCATTAACGCAGCCAAAGCGTCAGCGCTGGCAGACGACACGCTGGTTGCGTCGCTGCGCATCTGCACATTGGACGGCGTCGCCACTACTGATGACGACACCGACGTGCTGCTTTCAAAACTCGCAGCGCTCAGCGTGAGCGCAGCGCTTTACGTGACAGTTGATGGCGAAGAGACCAAAATCGACAGTGAGGAGGCGCTCTTCGCCGCGTTGCGTGCGGCCGCGAGCGCACGCGCGATTGCGTTTCGCACAGAAACGCGGCCCGCGAAGCGACAGCGAGATGATAGCGATGATGAAGCCGCCGATGCGACGAAGCGCCGACGGCATTTCCTGAACGTATCGAGCTCAGGAATAGTGGTGGCGTCGCCGGGCGTCTTCGAGGCCGCGGCCGCGGGCGAGAGCGTCGCGGTCAAAGTCTTCGACGAGTCCTCGGACGTGCACGTGGGGACGACGTGCGGCCACTGCAAGGCGAGTCCGATCCGCGGCGTGCGCTACACGCGTCCCGCGCCGGGCGGCGCCGACCTGGACCTCTGTGAGCCGTGCCTGCTCGCGTACCGGACCGGGCCGGCGCGGGGCGAGCGGCGGCTGCCGTTCAAGAGGGTGCCGCATCCGGTGCGGGAGGTGGCCCTGTGATCGTGCTCGTCCCTCCCGCCGCGCCGCCGTCGAGGAGACGTCGCGTCTCGATGGCGTCGAGGGGTGGCCCTTGTTAATTTGTTGTTGAGTAGTCTCTCGCAGACCCGCGGCGGCTCCGCGGTCCGCACGAACGCACAACCAGACCCGGAAGGCGTTTCTTTTGCAAGGGCGGGTGAAAAACGGCTGGATGTGGTGATATGGCGCCCTTCATAGTTCCGAAAGTTGACGTGAGACTAGTAGGATGCCGTGCTTGAGTACACGACGCACGGCGGCTCGACCCAGGCTGCTCCGCACATACATATCTGCACAGCACATTCGCTCCGTCTTCGGTGCTCTATCAGATAGCAGCACAGCGCGAAGCGAAAACCAGGACTCGTGGGGGCTTGTACGAAACGCTACAGCCCAAAACAGGATACACTTGCTCTCCCAGCGACCAAGCGACCCAGCGACAAAATGGCTCGTGTCTTAGCATTCGCCGTGTCCGCGGCCGCCCTCGTCGCGCCGCCGACGCAGCAAACGCGACGACCTGTCACCGCGCGCGCCGTGGTCTCGGAGCCTATCCCGTCCAGTGTGAGCTCCAAAGACACTTTGGTAGCGGCCGCCGAGGCCTTCGATTTGCAGGGCTACTTCGCCAAGAAGGTCCAGGCCGTCGAGAAGGCGTTGGACGCGTCCATCCAGTGCACGACGCCCGAGACCAAAAAAATTGTGGAGTCCATGAGATATTCATTACTGGCCGGAGGCAAGCGCGTGCGCCCGGTCATGACCATCGCCGCCTGCGAGATGTTCGGCGGTTCTGAGGCTACTGCGATGCCGACCGCAGTCGCCATCGAAATGATTCACACGATGTCGCTTATTCATGACGACCTCCCGGCCATGGATGATGATGATTTGAGGAGAGGGTCGCCGACGAACCACGTCGTGTTTGGTGATGACGTCGCGATTCTCGCCGGTGATGCTCTCTTGTCAACGTCGTTCGAGCACTGCGCTGATGGGTCTACGAAGGCCGGCGTCGAGCCCAAGGTGATCGTCGAGTGCATCCGCCGGCTGGGCGAGGCGGTGGGTGCGGTCGGCTTGGCCGGTGGCCAGGTCATGGACCTCGAATGCGAGGCCAAGCAGGGCGTCACGTTGGATGAATTGACTTGGATTCACACGCACAAAACCGCGAAACTGTTGGAAGTGTCTGTCGCTACTGGTGCTCTGCTCGGTGGCGCGAATCCTCGGGACGTGAAGCAGTGCGAGACCTTCGCGAACGACATCGGCATCGCGTTCCAGGTGGCCGACGACATCCTCGATGTTACGGCTACGTCCGAAGCTCTGGGCAAAACGGCAGGGAAAGATTTGGACGCGGACAAGACGACCTACCCGAAGCTCATGGGCTTGGACGGCGCGCGGGCCGAGGCGGAACGGTTGTACCAGGAGGCCATCGATTCGGTCGTGCCGTACGGCGAGGCGGCGATTCCCTTGATCGCGATCGCGAAGTACATCGTCGAGCGCAAGTCGTAGAGTTGCTGTTCTCTCTCCCTCTCTCCCCGATTAAATGAATCTCGTAGACGACTCGTAGTGCGGCGCTCTCCGACGCGCGAGGGGTCGCGACGGCTGGCGTTGCGGGGTACCGACGCCTCTGGAGCTGGCATCTCCCTGGCCGTGACAGGTTCTTACCCCGCGGGGCATTGACCTTAGCGCTTGGCCGGCGCCCGCGGCCGCCGCGACGCCAACCCCGAATTTAGTTTCGTGCCCGCTGATCACGTACCAGACGCCTCTAGCCGTACGGGAAACGTCAGTTACTGCCGTTTCACGGGTGCTCGGGCAGCCCTCGCCTGCAAATTTGGAGAGTGGTGGTGTGACAAGGACACGCTTGGATAAGCAAAAACCGTGCCCGCGGCGTCTTTGCAACATCGTCGGCACTTCGTTGGCCAACGCGCATCACCATCAAGAGCTATCCCAGCAAATTCGGTGCTGCGGCGGTCTCATACCTGCCTGAAGTTGCCGCGCGGCACCTGGGCCTTGCATCAGCGCTTGCGATTGCTCGCCGGCGGCGCGCTTGGCCAGCGGTGCCGCGCATCGCTGCGCTATGGAATGGCCGGCTCGAATTTTTCGAGCGGTGCTCACAAATTGAAAACTCCCAAGACGCGCCCGCCGCCAGCGAACCTCTCGCAGCAAAAAAACACACCGAGACGCCGTCGACGCGCTAAAAACACACCGAAACGCCGCTGATACGATCAAAAACACGCCGAGACGCCGCCGACGCGCCGCCGCTCGAAGATCACCCCGTCCGTCAACGCAGGCACAACAAAATGTCGATCCGCGTCGGTATCAATGGATTCGGCAGAATTGGCCGCCTCGTTATGCGCGCCGCGCAGACGAACCCGAACATCAGCATCGTCGGCGTCAGTGTGGAAATCAAATTTTGGGCGCCCCACGCCATCGACGCGACGTTGTCGAAACCTAACTCACTGGTTGATAATTCCACACAGGTGGGCGTCAACGACCCCTTCATCCCGGTCGACTACATGCGCTACATGCTCAAGTACGACACCGTGCACGGCCGCTTCCCGAACACGGTCGAGGTCGCGGGCGACTCGATCGCCGTCGGCGGCGACAAGGTCAAGGTGTTTGGGGAGCGTGATCCTTCAAACATCGACTGGTCCTCCTGCGGCGCCGATTATGTGATTGAGTCGACGGGCGTCTTCACGAAGACCGAGGCGGCCAGCGCCCACTTAAAAGGTGGCGCGAAGAAGGTCATCATCTCCGCGCCGTCGCCCGACGCGCCCATGTTCGTCTGCGGCGTGAATTTGGAGACCTACGAGCCCTCCATGGACGTCGTGTCCAACGCGTCGTGCACGACGAACTGCCTCGCGCCGCTCGCCAAGGTCATCAACGACAACTACGGCATCAAGGACGGCCTCATGACGACGGTCCACGCCGTCACGGCCACCCAACAAACCGTCGACGGCCCCTCCCAAAAAGACTGGCGCGGCGGCCGCGGCGCCTGCTACAACATCATCCCGTCGTCGACGGGCGCCGCCAAGGCCGTCGGCAAGGTCATCCCGGCGCTCAACGGCAAGCTCACGGGCATGTCCTTCCGCGTGCCCACGGCCAACGTGTCGGTGGTCGACCTGACCGTGAACCTCAACAAGGGCGCGTCCTACGACGACATCAAGAAGACGGTCAAGGCCGCGTCCGAGGGCCCGATGAAGGGCATCCTCGGCTACACCGAGGACGACGTCGTGTCGTCGGACTTCATCGGCCAGACGGAGACGAGCGTCTTCGACGCCAAGGCGGGCATCGCGCTCTCGGACACGTTCGTCAAGCTCGTGACGTGGTACGACAACGAGGCCGGCTACTCGTCCAAGTGCCTCGACCTCATCTCGCACATGGACGCGTCCAAGTAGATGCTTGTGACCCCTCTGCCCACTCGCGTAACTACAGTGTAAATCTGCTCCTCACTCGTCGACGGCGTCACGATTCACGGATAGTTACACGGGGGAGGATCTCAGGCGCGGCCCTTCTTACCACGCTTCTTTTTTTTGCCGAATTTGGCCTCGAGTGCGGCCTTCTCCTCACCTTTGGCCTTGGGCGCGACTTTGGGCAGCAACAACTCGGGCTGCGGGTACTGCTTCACGAGGGCCTCCTCCGTCGCGGCGTCGAGCTTGAGCAACTTCTGGCACTGCTCGACCATGCCGAACTTGTGTTCTTCGATGTCCGTGTCCTGCGTGCAAATCGATTAGTGGGCATTCCTCAATGGAGCAGGCGTCGCATCGATGGCGTAAGGCGATGATTAAGCACGCCGCGGCGACCATCTCAATCTTGATCTGGAGCCACTCGAGCTCGACGCGATCGCCTTCTGTTAAGGACGCCACGACTTCTGAGAGGGCCCCACCGCTCGTGGAAAAGGCCAGCAACGCCGTCTGCTCGTCGGCATTGCCGCCGACCGGAATCGAGAACTCCTTGACGAGGCCGCAGGCTATGGCAGGTATCAAATGGGCATATCGTAGGTAGCGCACGATCTTGAACTTCGCGGTCGCGTTCTCCAACTTGAACGCCGCCAAGCCCTCGCCCTCGCCCTGGACGCCGTCGAAGACCGCGATGGCCTTGTGGGCGGATGCGACCTCCGTGGCCTTGGGCGCCGACGTGAGCACCGCCTTCATTTGATCAGTTGCTTGCTGCCCGGCCTGCAAGATCTGCTCGGCCGTCTCGTTTTGCTTGGCTTGCTCCGAGTACTTCTCGAGCTCGGCGTCGGTGGCGACCTACGTCGTCAACCAGTGAACCGGGCGAGCTCGCACGTCGGCAGAAACCCCATCGTCGGCCGAAGTTCACTTCTACACGGGTCCGCCACGCAAGCCTCGAGCGCCTTATGGACGGAGGCGTGGTCCATTTCTTGCCCAATAACAACTAGCTCGGTACGGCGGTCGCCGTACGGTTCTTCCCAGATCGCGGACAACGCCTCGGTCAGTTCCTGGCCGGGCTTGCGGACGACGGCCGCCCATGGGTTGCCGAAGGCCACTTGGAACCGGCGGCCGGCCAGCGACGCCATGCCCTGCTGCCAGTGCGATTGTTGCGTGCTGAGCCACACGAGGCCCTTGGCCCGCACGACGCGCGCCTGGGCCATCACGGGAACGAGGCGCGGCAGGTCGAGGCCCTCGAGGCCGTCGCGCGTGTGTCTGCGTGGGAAGCGACCGGTGAGCCCGCATTGATTGCGTCGAGATCACGAACGCCGAGACAGACGCGTGAAAGAACATTGAGAGGCGCCCGGCGTCCAGCGGCTTGCGGCTCCGGAAGACGATCGACGAGATGCCGTACTCCTCCGTCTCCGCGGTGTGTTCGCCGATTCTTGCTTCTTTCAACCAATCGGGATGTTGCTCCGCTTGTGTGAGAGAAAACAAGTTCGTGCCGAGCAACCTGCGCGTGATAATGTGAGTCGCGGCGACTGCGTCCTCCTCCTCGCCATCGACGCAACAAGGACGCGGCGTAGGACTGCTTGGGGTCGACGCGGCCGTAGGTCGACTCCACGACCTTGGCCTTTGGGTTCGCGCGCTTCAGGAAGGCGTGGAGCTGGCTTCGGCCGGCGTCGTCCAGTAAATCGCACTTGTTCACGACGATGACATTCGCAAACTCCACTTGGTCACAAAAGAGCTGCGCGATCGTGCGCTGGTCTTCCGGTTGCGCTTGCCAGCCGCGGTCTTTGAGGGCGCCGCCGGCCATGAGCTCGTCCATGAAGGAAGAGCCGTCGACCACGGTCACCTGCGCGGGGCATCGTGTCTCGATCGGCGGCGATTGCGTGTCGGCCGCGACGATCATGAAGGCGCCTCGGACGCCGCGCCGCGCGAGCGTATCGAGCTTCGCGATCGAACCTAGCGAGGTCCCGGCCGCGTCCTTGAACGTGAACGTCTCCGCGACGGGGAGCGGCTCCGAGATGCCGGACGACTCGATCAAGATATGATCCAAGCCGTCGGGCTTGGACGCTAACTTCGCGATCTCGACGAATAAATCTTCGCGAAGCGTGCAGCAGATGCAGCCGTTGGATAAAGCGACCATCTTCTCCTCCGCTTGAACGACGTCCGTGAGCAGGTTTGCGTCGACGTTCACGTCGGCCATGTCGTTCACGATGACGGCTACCTTCAGGCCCTCGCGGTTGTTGAGGACGTGCCTGTGCGGTCGATGCGATGATTCGAGGGCGCCGTGCAACAACGAATTTCTGCGCAGGCTTTTGCGTCATCAACGTCGTCTTGCCGGCTCCGAGGAAGCCGCTCAAGACAGTTACGGGCAATGGGCTTTTGCCAGACGCCTTCATGGACTCGGCCGCGGCCTTGACGGCTTCGAGCAGGTCCGCGTCTTGACTTTTTTGCTCGTGCGTGCTATGCGCGTGGTCGACGCTATGCGCGTGTCCATGGCTGTGGGACATTTTTGCAACTTTGGCTTGCTTTAGCAGTGATTTGGGTGCTGAGTGCGATTTGCTCTCAGGCAATTATCTCTGCTATTACTCTGATTTTGGCTGCGTGAGCTGCAGTGCAGGGCGCGCCAGCACTGTGAGTCACTCGTCGAGCGCTGTCACCACCTTGGAATGCACAGCAGCCGAGCAATCCGCAATTTGGGGCGCTTCGTGTAGAAGTCACATAATAACCTCAGATATATCCGTTGGGGGAATAGGGAATTACTTTCATCGCTACAGACGGTTCTCGCACTCAAGAGACCGCGTGGCACCGATTGAAAGGCATTTCATTCAACGAAACACGCACCGCGCGCCGCCGGACGCCCGCACGCGAACTCGACGTGAAACTTGAAAAAACTTACAACCCCTCGACAAGCCCCTCCGGCAGCAGCCCCTTCGCGACAGCATCCCTCCACAACTCCAAGGGAACCGCCTTCGCTTCCGCGAGCAGCGCGACCGTCTCCGCGACGAGCGGCGCCGCCGCGAGGCCGACCGCGACTTTCGAAACACAGGCCGGCAGGAAGGCGAAGGCCAGCGCCGCCGCTTTGAGGGATACGGCGTGCTCGGCGCAGAGCGCCGCCCAGGACTGCAGCCGCTTCTTTTCGGCCATCGACGGTTTCCGATATTCATACAACGCGCCGCCCGCGAGCAAACCGGACGCGTAGACGCCGGCGACGTGTACTGCTATCGAGTGCTCCGCACAATACCTGAAGACCTCCGCGCCCGTCTGGTCGAGGAGATGCCATCGCCCCGCGAGCATGACCGAGTCCACTCTAAGTGCCTGCGTCCCGCTTTGGACGGCCTGCAGCAATCGTAATGCGACGTCCGCATCATTTAAGCCTATGGATACCTCCGTGCCGTGGCGCTGCCGCAGCGCGCTCAGCCCCTCCAGACTGCCGCCCGTACAGACCGCGAGGGACTCGAGCAGCTTCGTCTCGGGGTCGTGGCACCGCAGCCCGCAAATTTTAATATTTTCACCCAATCGTCTCACGGAGTCGTCATACGACAAGAACGCGCCGTTCCACGAGTAGTCCTGCACGGGCCGCGCGTCCTTCGGCGAATCGAGATAGATGCCTTTTCCGGGCACGTTGGCCTCCTCGACGTCGTCGGGATCCGCCACGTTCTCCGTCGTCCGGATGAGTCTCCCTACTTTCGTCCAGACGCGGCATTGTGCTGCTTTGCCGGATCTCCTTAAACCTTCGCCTAGCCGTTCCTCGGCCTTGCCTAAGCCGTACAGAGGTGCCGTGTCGAAGTCCCGGAAGCCCGTGGCGACGCATTTTTCGACGATCGCTGCCGCGGCGGCGTCGCTTATGGACGTGCCGATGCCGCCCAGGGGGCTCGTGCCGATGATGACGTCGGAGACGCCGAAGGCTGTGCTGCGGCGGGCGAGTGGCTTGGCTGCCATGGCTGCCATGGCCGTCGCGGTTTGAAACTTCTGTCGGTCAAGAAATGTAGTTAAAGCTGGTGGTCTTGCGTGGACTTGTGCGTGCCCTGGTGCTCCGCTCGCACCGCTATGGCCGTACAAAAGCTAGCCTGGCCCATCCCTGTCTGAACCCGCACGATCGCGCCCGCGGCGGATCCGTCGTTTTGTGCGCCAGCATGCACTCGTGCGAGAGAAGCCGGGAGATACGGCTGAGCCGTCAAGCTAGCGGCCGTAAGGCACTAGCAAAAAAGCAGTAGCTGAGCCTCCAGATCGCATAGCCATCCTCTGCTCTCGGGCTGAGTTACACTCATAGAAATCAACCAATAGATTCATCAAGACTCGCGCGCCATGTTTGCAGCTCGCGCCCTCGCTAGGCGCGCCGCGCAGACCCCTGCTCTCAGTGCAGCCAGTGCTCGGCCTCTCGCCACGACGCCGCAGCGGACATTTGTCAGCAAGATCAGCCGCTACGAAGGCATGAGCGACTACATGTCGCTCCAGCAGATGCAATTGATTCGGGACCGGCTCTCGGCCGACGCGTGTGGCGTCGGGACGGTGGTGAGCTCGGACACCTTCTTCTACATGTGCAAGCGGGCCGCCGCGGACCTGGGCGTGACTGATGATGCTCTCAAGAAGCTCATCTCGAAGATCGACGAGAACGGCGACGACCAGATCCAGTTTGCCGAGTTCCAGGACTTCATCACAAGCAGAGAAGCGAAGCAGCCCGGCACTTTGATGGACCCGGCCAAGGTCTGCGCCATCCGCGAGAGGCTGAAGGACGACAAAGTTGGCGTCGGGAGCGAGGTGTCCATCGACACGTTCTTCATGATGGTGCGCTACACGTGCTCCGACCTGGGCGTGACGGACGCGGAGATCCTGGACCTCATCGACAAGATCGACGTCAACGGTGCGGTGGCCGTGTCCGCACGGCCGCGGCGACGGCGTGCTGGTGGGGTAGAAGTGCACCCGACTCACCGCTCGATTCCCACGCAGGCGACCGCATGATCCAGAAGGAGGAGTTCGACGACTTCGTCAAGGAGCTGATCGGCGTCTAGGACCAAAGCCTGTGTAAAAGTTACGCTAAGTAGTATACCTCGGGATCGATTCGTGGTGCTCGTAGATCTTGTTCAGCTGCGCCGCGAGCGCTGGGCTCCGCCGCACGCGGAAGAGGGCGTCGATCCGGGCCGAGAGCTCCGACGCGCCGCCGAGGTCGACGCGCGGCGAGTCGCAGTCGATGCGCTCGGTCGTCGGTGGCTCGTCGACGGCCTCCGCGCGCGACGCCTCGCCCGCCGGAGTATCGGTCGCGACCGTCTCTGGCTCTGGCTCTTCCGGAGTGGCCGCCGGCGCCTGCGCCGCGGCCGCGAAGCGCCGCAACTCGGCCGCGCGGCGCTCCGCCTCGGCGCGGTCCGCCGCCGCGGCCCGCTCCATCTCTTCCGACAGCTTCTTCTCGTGCGCCGCCGCGCGCTCGTCCGCGTCCCAGGCCCCGAGCGGCCTGTGTGGAAATCAACCAGTGTGTCGGGTGCACCCGATAATTCTTCACTAACTCATTTCTCGGCGATGACGCTGCCGCGGTGGTTCCGTCGAGTGGTGATGAACCGGCATCGCCACGCCATCGAGCCCGTAGAATTTTGATTTCCACACAGGTCCCGGCTCGAGCTGAATCGTCCGCTTCCCCTCGATCGTCAGCCAGCGCCCGCTCGCGCTCCGCAGGCCGACGCCGCCCGCGAGCTCGTGTAACTCAAACCGCTCCCACCCCCAGGTGGCGTTCCAATTTCCACGGGCCGGCGCCTCCGTGACGCCGTCGGCCGTCACGCGGAGCCAGCGCTCCGTGCCCGGGTTGCGGAACGCGACGCGGTTCTTGCCGGCGTCGAAGGCCACGAACCGCGCGGTGTCCCAACCAGCCCAGGAGCCATTTTTGATCGCGAACGACCTGGCAAGTCTGAGGGCGAGCCACGCCTTTTGGTCCTTTTGGTACAGCCCGAAGGACTTCCCCACCAACCCGGCGACGGGCAGGCGGCCGCGGCTCGGGTTCGCCGGCACCTTTGCGGCCTTCACCGCCGCCTTCACCGCCGCGGACCTCGATTGTGCCTTGTCCCTCGCTGCCGCCGCCTCGCGGTATCGCGCCGCCTCTTCCCGTTGCCGCCGCCTCGCGTCGCGGTCTCCCGCCTCCGATGCCCGATCCACGTCCGCCGCCGGCACCGCGATGCGCATCTGCTGGCCGGGCCGGACGTTCGGAGGGACGCGGACCTTGATCGTGCGGCCGTCCGGCGCGCGGACCTGGAGGATGGCGTTGGGGGCCGTGCCCGCGGGGATCTGGATCTGCATCGTCGTGCTCATCTTTTTCGTGGTGTGGTGCTGTGCTGTCCCCGGGACTGCGGTGTGATGGGCTGCCCCTGCCTAGGGCCTGGGCTGTGGGATGGGTGCGTTGGCCCGCGACGCTGCCGGGGCTGCGGGTTCGCACGGTTACGGTCCTTGTCTGTTGCGTCCCACCGTTATATACGCTTGACGGCACTCCTGCGCACGCCCGGCGCTATAGCAGAGCGCTGGAGCCGGGAGATGCTGCCCGGCCGGGGAGCCCGAGCAGCCGCGCGCACCGCTCGAGCCGTGGCCGGCGGCGCATGGATGGGTGCCGGAGGGCTGGGACGGCTTTCCTTGGCTGGGAACCCGCACGTCCAGAAGGGCGGTTGCGCACATTGCTGCCCCAAAACGGTGAGCAGCCACGGTGTGTTGCGGTGATCGGATCACCGCACGCACCGTCGTTCGTGGTCGCACGTCGCACGTCGGCTGCCTCGTCGGTGGTCAGGCGTCGCGTGCGTCGGGCTGCCACAGCGGGCTGCAGCGCTAGCTTGTTAGGAGCGGCGCTGCCAACAACAACAGTAACTCGTCGCTAGGAGCGGCGCCGCCGAGCGACAACAACCATGCCCTTCGGCTTCAATGCACCCAAATTACCCTTCGGCGGCAAGGACGAGGCGAAGGCCGCGCCGCCGCCGCCGACGCCAATCACAGACGGGCCGCCCTGGGAGTCCGGACGATTAAGTGTGGAAGTGCTCGGCGCGCGCGGCTTGAGGGCCGCGGACAAGTCGGGCACGAGCGATCCTTTTGTGTGTGTCCAGCTCGTGAGCAATGGCAAGGCCCTCCCGAAGCCGCACGACAAGGCTCGTAAAACAAGGACCATAAAGAAGACGTTGGCGCCGCGCTATAAAGATGAAAATTTTGTGTTCGACGACGTGCCTTTGCAAACATTGCGCTTCCAGGTTTATGATTGGAACGCGGGCCTGATGGGCATGGGCAGCGGCAAGGCCAAGCCCCTCGGCGAAGTAAGTGTCGATTTAGCGGCGCGGTGGGCGGCGCAGCCCGACGCGGGCCCGGACGGGAGAGGTGTTGCCGAGTGGCTGAAGCTAGATGCATTAGAAGGCCAGCAAGGCGCCGGCGAGGTCGAGGTCAAGATCCTGTTGACGGCCGGCACGGGCGACGCGCAAGCCGACGCGGCCAAGGCCGCCGACAGCGCCAGATGGTTCGTCGATGACCAGGAACCGGAGCAGGGCGAGCCGAACGTGCTGCACGTGGCCGTCGTCCGGGCCCGCGGTTTGAAAGCTGCCGATAAATCCTTGATGGGTACGTCCAGCAGTGACCCCTTCGTTACCCTCCAGTTCGGAGACAAGAAGGAAAAGACCGAGGTAGTTAAAAAGTCTCTAGCACCGATCTGGATGAAGATGGTCGAGCTCCCGGTACCAGTCACAAAAGAGAAGAAGCCTCTACCGTCGCTCGACGTGCTCGTGGAGGACCACGACACTTTATCTTCAGACTTCCTGGGCAAGGTGACCATCTCGCCCGCTTCTATTCCTACATTAGAAGCAGATGGCGCGGCGCCGCCGACGTGGTTTCCGCTGTGCAACAAAGACGGCTCGCCCGCGGCGGATCGAGGCCAGATACAGTTAGCCCTGAAGATGGTCTACGACCCCCAGTACGACCCGTCCGAGGACCGGCCCTTCTTCACTGAAGAGGTTTCTGAGACGGACAAGCCGCCGAACGAGTTACGAATAGCCATCGCACGAGCGCGAGACTTAAAAGCGATGGACGCCGCCGTACCATTTAGTTCGAAGGGCAAGACGTCGGATCCCTACGTGAAAGTGAAGCTCGAGGGCTTCTCGGACAAAAAAACGAAGACGCGGATGAAGACGCTGGCGCCCGTCTGGAACGACTCTTCCTTCACCTTTGATTTAGTAGCGGGCCAGAAAGGTACAAGTACGGAATCCCAGCCCAAGGAAGTCGAGCTCGAGGTCATGGACTACGATTTGGTCGGCAGCGACGACTTCCTCGGTGCGGTCCCGCGTCCGACGTTGTCCCGGTGACTGCGCCTGCTCGATGGCGTGGATTCTACGCCGTCGACGCGACGTTGTCCCTGTGACTACGTCAGCTCGATGGCGTGGAGGTCGACGAAGGCCAACCTAACTCACTGGTTGATTTCCGCACAGGCCTCGTCGTGCTGAAGCTCGATGAGTTACTCGAAGCGAAGCATAAACCGGTGAGCAAGTGGTACCCGTTGGGCGAGAAGACCCAAAGAAGTGGAGGCGACGGCAGTCGCGGCAGCTTGCAGGTTATCGCGCAGTGGCGCTACAACAAAGATCTAGATTTTGAGCCCTTTTCCGTGCCACCTCGGCGTGATTTCCAACCTTTTCCGGACCTCAAGTTGCGTCGATGGCGTCTTCATGAGACCACACCGCCTCGACGCCGTCGATGCGGCCGGAAGGAGAGCCTACGCGGCGGCGTCGCGACAAATCTTATGAACCACACAGGCCGAAGATGACGTGCCCGACCGGGAGCCGAACGAGGTCCGAGTAGCTTTATTCAGGGGAAGAGGCCTGGCCATCAAGGACAAGAATTTATTAAGTAAAGGGGGCACGTCCGACCCGCGCGTCCGGTTCGAGTTACTGGGAGGCCAGTTCTCCGACGATAAGAATGAGCGCAAAAAGCAGGAAAAGGAAAGGCATTTCAAATCCTCAGTGAGGAAGAAGACCTTAGATCCCGTGTGGCGCGAGGTCTTCGCGCGGGAACTCCGCCAGCCGAAGAAAGACGATAAGACCGAGGGAACGTGGTCCCCGCCGACGTTACGGTGCATCTGCGAAGATGTCGATAAAGTGGGCAGTGCGGACTTCATGGGCTGCGTGGACATTGCATTGACGCCTCTGTTAGAAAAGAGAGAGACGCTCGCGGGGTGGTATGCGCTCGGCCCGGACCCCGACGGCAAAAGTAGCTCAAACGTGTCGGGGGAAATCCACGTGAGTGTCCAGTGGCGCTTCGACCCGGAGCTGGACTTCGACCCTTGGTGCGTGACTCAGTGTGATTTCCGAACTTTTCCGAACCTCAGTTGCGTCGACGCGATGCCGCGCCGCCTCGACGCCGTCGATGCGGCCGTCAGAGAGTCTAGACGTCTCGTGAGTGAACGGAGACAGTTTCGTGACGCCATCGTTCGACACAGGTGTGACGAGGAGGGCGGCGACAAGCCGCCGAACGAACTGAGAATAGCATTAGCGAAAGGCCGGGACCTCTCGGTCAAAGACAAGCCGGTCCTGTGGGGCGAGGGCACGTCCGATCCTAGGGTATCTTTCTCTCTCAGTGTTCTAGGAAATGACAAGGCCGACACCCCCCTCAAGCCGTGGCACTCGAAACCAAAAAAGAAAACATTAAATCCGACCTGGAACGAGACTTATACACATGCATTGCCGCCGCCGGAAGAAGGGGAACCGGGCTGGGTGTTAACCGCGACGTGCGAAGATATCGACGGCATGTCCTCCGCGGACTTTATGGGTAAAGTGGACATTGAGCTCCAATCTTTATTAAAGGAGCCGAAGCGACGTTCTAGAAGCTGGCACAAACTTGGTGCAGTAGATGGCAAATCGTCAAATGTCACCGGAGAGCTCGACGTCATAGTGCAGTGGCGCTACAACCCGGCTTTAGATTTTGACCCCTGGTGCGTACCTACCCACTGTGTACGCCATCGACGCCTTTACACACGCAGGCTCGACGAAGAGAAGGACCCGAAGCACGCCGACAAGGACCCCAATGAATTGAGAATAGCCTTAGTCCAAGGACGAAGTCTCGCCGTGAAGGACAAGGCCGTGCTCTATGGTGCCGGGTCGAGCGACCCGCGCGTGCGCTTCAAAGTAACGGGCACGAAGGACTTGCACTGCACGTCGAAGTGCATCAAGAAAAGTTTGGACCCGTCGTGGCGCGAGACCTTTTCATTACCACTCACGAAGGACTACGCCGAGGACGAGAAGCCGATCGACTTCGGCATCAACGGCCCCATCCTCGAGGTGACGTGCGAAGACGTCGATACGGTATCGTCGGCGGACTTCATGGGCGAATTGAATCTTCCCGTTTTCGTCCGGCGTCCTTCGTTTCTGTGTGTGTGATCCCCTCACGAGCAGTACCGCGCTGCACGCCATCGACGCGACGGCGCGAGAGTTCGGGGCCGCTCGTCCGCCGTCGACGCGCCATCGCGCCGTCGTCGCGACCCGACGATGTTATTCCCGCGCAGCTCAACGCCGTCGAGAAGCAGCGAGTACGGAAGTGGTACGCGCTCGAGGCCGACGCCGGCGGCGAGCACAAGTCCTCGAACGTCCACGGGGAATTGGAGCTGATCCTCGAGTGGTGCTACAACCCCGAGCTAGATTTCGACCCCTTTTGCGAGGAGGACAAGTACCCGGACAAGGCGCCGAACGAGGTCTGCGTCGGGTTGGGGCGCGGAAGACATCTGGCCATTAAGGACAAGGCGGTCTTGTATGGGGAAGGTTCTTCCGACCCGCGCTGCACGTTACGCATCGACGGCACGGAGCTCAAAGAAGTCTCGGCCGTAAAAAAGACGACGCTCAACCCCATCTGGAACGAGACCTTCGCCTTCCCCTACTCTAGGGGTCCCGACGACTCGCAGCCCCCTTCGTTAGTGATTGAGTGCGAGGACGTCGACACTATCACAGCAGCGGACTTCATGGGTTTGGTACGGGTCGAACTCGACCCTCTCAAAGATCATAAACGTCTAAAAAAGTGGCTGCCCCTGCAGGCGCGATCAGATGACAAGGCGTCCTCAAATATCTCGGGCGACCTGGAGGTCTTTGTCCGGTGGCGCTACAACCCCGAGCTCGACTTTGATCCCTACCCCGACAGTGAATTGAAGCCTGCCTACGAAGATAAGGCGCCGAACGAGCTGCGGCTGGCGCTGGTGCAGGCGCGCGGGTTGGCCATAAAAGACAAGAACCTGCTGAGCAAGGGCGGTGCGTGATTTTGTGTCCTTGTGGGGCCTTCGAGACATTTCTCCACGCAATTTGCGTCGCATCGATGGCGTGTGAGCTCCCCGACTCGATGCCGTCTCACGCCCCTACCCCACCGCCACGCCATCGACGCGATACCGCCCTGGACGCCGTCGACGCATCATACAACACAGGTTCCTCGGACCCCTTCGCGAAATTCGAGGTCACCGGCGGCGACTCGACTGCGAAGAAGCCCTTCAAGTCGCAGACGAAGTACAAGACGCTCTGCCCCCGCTGGAACGAGCTGTTCCAGGTGCCGCTGAAGAAGGGCGAGGTCCAGCCTCGATTGGAAGTTTTGCTGTACGACGAAGATGAGGTTTCAAGTCCGGACTTCATGGGTCGTATTAGTATAGAAATCTCCGAGTTCTGCTCCACTCAAAAAGCGAGGCGGGAGTGGTTCACGTTGTTACCGGAAGAGGGCAAGTCGGAGAACGTGAAGGGTGCCGTGGAGCTCATCGCGCAGTGGCGGTACAACCCCGCCCTTGATTTTGAGCCGTTCCTGGAGCCGGATGAGCATGCGGATGCGCCTCCCAACGAGTTGCGGGTGGCTATTGTCGCTGCGAGGGACCTGGCGATCAAGGACAAGAACTTGCTGTCGCGAAGGCGGTGTCTTTTTTTACGGCGCCTTCCTCCACGCCTTCCTCCGTCCTTGGTGGCGCGTTGCGCGTGCGATGGCGTGGACTCGGTGCCGCGCCGCCTCGACGCCGTCGACGCGGCCGTCAGAGAGTCCACGCGTCTCGCGAGAGAACAACGAGGGCGATATTGGCGAGAGTTTGGGGCGGCTCGTACGCCATCGACGCGACGTCCCACTGGTTCATTTGCCCACAGGTCGAAGGGCGGCTCCTCCGACCCGCGGTGCACCCTCACGGTGTCGGGCACGGAGCTCAAGGCCCAATCTTCCACAAAACAGAAGACGCTCGAGCCGCGGTGGTGCGAGGTGTTCAGCTTCGAGTACACGCCGGGGTCCGACAGTGAGAACCCGCCGGTCCTGGACGTGCTCGTCGAGGATATAGATGCGGTGAGCAGCGCGGACTTCATGGGCCGGGCCCGGGTTGAATTAGAGCCGCTCAAGAATCAGCGCCTGCGCAAGTGGTTTCCGTTGAGTGCCGATAGTGAGGGCAAGAAGGGCTCGTCGAACGTTCGCGTCCGGCGCCGTTGTCGTCTCTTCGACTTGCGTCGATGGCGTCGAGAGAGTGTCCGCACCGCCGCTCCCGCGGCTCCGAGCGCATCGACCCAGCTCCAGGGTGAGAGAGCCACCTCACGCCATCGACGCGACAGGTCGACACTCGATACCCGCAGGTCACGGGCGACCTCGAGCTCGTGGTCCAGTGGCGCCATAACCCCTCGTTGGCCTTCGCGCCCTTCGCGGACGCGGTCGAGGCCGTCGAGGGCAAGAAGCCCAACGAGCTGCGCGTGGCCGCGATTCAAGCCCGTAGACTCGCAGTCAAGGACAAGAGCATGATGGGGAAAGGTAGTAGTGATCCCGTCGTGACCTTCGAGCTCGGATCCGTCAAGGCCGAAACCACTGTGAAGAAGAAGACCCTGAATCCCACGTGGAAGGAGGCCTTCGCGAAGCCCTGCTCCGTCGACGAGGCCGGTGACTGCCAGCTCAAAGTGACAGTGGGCGACTGGGATGCGGTAACTGCAAGGGACTTCATGGGGTCTTGCGTCATTGACTTGAAAGGGTGTGTCGAGGCACCGAATCAACCGGCTTGCCGGAAGTGGTGTCTGTTGGATTTACAGGACGATAAGAAGACGCAGAACGTGTCGGGCGAGGTCGAGATCTGGTACCAGTGGCGCTACAACCCGTTGCTGGACTTTGAGCCGTTTACCGACGTAGGGTCAGATAAAGCGCCCAATGTACTGCGAGTCGGGCTGTCCCAAGGGCGTGGTTTGGCGCTGTGTGGAAAAATCAAATATTTACGGCGCGTTCCTCCTGGATCGCCGCGTCGACCTCCGCGCCATCGACGCTACACCTGCTCGACGGAAGCAGGGCGGCCGCGCCATGGCCGAGATTGATTTTCACACAGGTTTGGCGGTGATGGACAAAAATCTGTTGAGCAAGGGTGGCAGTTCGGACCCTCGATGCGTGCTGTCTCTCGTCGACGGCGACGGCGCCGTCGTCGGCAAGCCTATTACGTCGGCGCACCAATCCAAGACGCTGGAGCCCAAGTGGCGCGAGGTCCACGAATTCGACGTAGAGGACGCCTCACTCACATTCAAGTGCGTGGTCGAAGATTACGACGCAGTCTCGTCCGCTGATTTCATGGGCGAAGTGCAAGTGGCGCTCTCCGAGCTGCCGCCGCAGAAGGTCGTGAGGAAGTGGTACTCCCTAGGCGAGGAGAAAGGTGAGGTCGAAGTGATCCTGCAGTGGTGCTACGACGCGGACCGCGACTTCGAGGCGTTTCCCGAGGTTGATGAATCCTCCAAAATGCCGAATGAGCTCTGCGTCGGCGTGTTCCGAGCTCGGAATCTGGCCGTAAAGGACAAGGGCCTCGTCGGGAAGGGCTCAAGTGACCCCTACGTCAAGCTAAAGGTCGCTGGCACCACTCTAGAGCGGCGCACGAAGGTCAAGAAGACTAGCTTGGACCCGGTCTGGAAAGAATTGTTCATTCTACCGCTCTCGTCCGAGCGGCCGCCGGACAAACCGACACCGGAGCTCGAGGTGTCCTGCTGGGACCACGACACCGTGAGCGGCGACGACGCCATGGGAACGGCCACCCTAAGTCTCGAGAAGTGGACATCACAGCAAAAAAGGACGGGCGAGAAGGTCTGGCTGCCCCTCGAAGGCGAGGGCGCGTCGGGCGACGTCTGTGTGGTCGTCTGCTGGAGGTATGCGGAAGCCAGAGCGTTCGAGCCCTTCGAGGACGAAGCCTTGCCCGAAGGGAAAGAGCCCAACGAGCTGCGGATCGGATTGTTTCAGGCGACGGGCCTGGCGGTCAAGGACAAGGCCCTGCTCTGGGGCGAGGGCAGCTCGGACCCGCGCATGACCTTCACCGTCGACGGAACCGCCCTCAAGTGCACGTCCGAGACGGTCAAGAAGAGTCTCGACCCCGTCTGGAAGCAAGTGATGACGCTCGAGCTGCCGAAGGGGCCGGCCGGCGGTCTAAAGCTGCAGGGCAAGTGCGAAGACGTCGATGAAGTGTCCGGCGCTGATTTCATGGGTCATTTCGACTGTGATTTGAATGAATGCCTCGACGGGAAGGTCAAGCGGCTCTGGCGTACGCTCCAACCCCGCACGGAGAAGGACGAGGTCTCGGGCGACGTCGAGCTCGTGCTACAGTGGCGCTACAACGCGAGACTGGACTTCTGCCCTTTTGACGGCTTTGTTGACGAGCATGAGGGCGAGGCACCGAATGAATTGCGAATCGCATTGATTCGGGCGCAAGGCCTCGCTATCGCGGATAAAAATTTACTGTCAAAGGGGGGCAGTTCCGACCTGTGTGCAAATCAACTGTCGCTCTCCACGCCATCGACGCGAAACTTGCTTGATACGTCCGTCCGCGCAGGTTCCGACCCTCGCTGCACCTTCGAGCTCACCGGCGTCGACGACCCCTGGAAAAGCCATACCATCAAGAAATGCTTGGATCCCAAGTTCCATGAGCAGTTCGTGCGGCTGCTGGACGTGCCGGGCGACGGCTCATCACCATCGCTGACCGTAACTTGCGAAGACGTCGACGAAGTCTCGGGCGCGGATTTCATGGGTCAATTCACCGTGGACCTCGGTCCGCTGACCGATCACAAGCCGGTCAGGAAATGGTACAAGCTCGAGGAAACCGAGGGTCGCAAAGGCGACGTTGCCGGCCACGTCGAGCTCTTCCTGCAATGGGTGTACAATCCGGTCACGGCATTCGACCCCTTCGCGCCGTCAGAAACTGAAGGGGAGCCCAATGAGCTTAGGATTGGCCTCGGTCGCGCTAGAGATCTCCCGGCCATGGACAAGGCCCTCGTGGGCAAGTCGAGCTCGGACCCTCGATGCACGTTTTCTGTCGCTGGTACTGCGATCAAGCTGCAGTCTTCTACCAAGAAATCGACGCTCACGCCGACCTGGAAAGAAACCTTTGAGGTAGCCCTACCGAAGGGGCCCCCGGAGACGAAGTGGGAACTCGTCGTAGACATGGAGGACTGGGATCGCGTGTCTGCCGCCGACTTCATGGGCAGGGTGACTATTCAAATGGAACCGCTTGCCGACCAGGCCATTGTGAAGGGCTGGTATCCACTTACGCATAAGGACGGTGGCGCCGCGAAGGGTGAGGTCTACCTTGTCCTGCAGTGGCGACGCAACCGTGACCTCGCGTTCGAGCCGTTCGAGGACCAGACCGAGGCCGAGTTTCTTGCTAAGGAGCCAAACGAGCTTCGGATCGCTGCTGTGTCGGCGCTGGGCCTCGCCGTGGCGGATAAAAACCTTCTATCAAGTGGCGGCTCCTCGGACCCGTTCCTGACGTTCGCGCTGGAAGGCTCATCGCTCAAGCCCTTCAAAACGAAGCCCAAGAAGAAATCCTTGGACCCCGTGTGGCACGAGCAGTTTGCTCGCTCGGTCACTCCGGGCAAGGAATCGATGAAGCTTGTGTGCACGTGCGAGGACTGGGACGAGGTGTGGCGGCCGCGTCCGAGACACTTTATTGACGCCATCGACGCGAGGATTCCCGCGCAGGTGTCCGGCTCAGATTTTATGGGGCAATTCAGCGTCGACCTCGATGAGCTGAAGGACCAGAAGGTGCTGAAGAAGTGGTTCAAGCTTGGCGAGGCCGAGGGCCGCAAGGGCGACGTGGCGGGTCACGTCTGTTTGCATGTGCAGTGGCGCCACGATCCAGCGATAGCGTTCGAACCATTCTCGGAGGACACGTCTGACAAGACTCCGAACGAATTGCGTATCGGCTTGTTCAAGGCCCGGGACCTCGTAATTGCCGACAAAAACATCCTATCTAAGGGTGGCAGCTCGGACCCGCGCGTCAGGCTCTCCATCGCCGGTACCGCGTGGACTGCGGCCTCGAAGGTCATCAAAAAGTCCCTGGAGCCCGTCTGGAAGGAGACCTTCGTCGTCCCTCTGCCACATATTGATCTAGACGGTTGGACGAAGCCGCAGCTGACGCTCCAGGTGCGCGTCAGCGTCCGCCGAGACGCCTTCGACGCCATACGCTATCGTTGCGACGCTTCACGCCATCCGCGAACGCAGGTCGAAGACTGGGACGAGATCTCGTCGGCGGATGCGATGGGCTGCGTGACTATTGATTTGCAGCCTGACCATGGCATATCCCGAGAGTGGTACACGCTGCAGCAGAACGACAAGGGGCTACCGAAGGAAGTCTCTGGCGAGGTCAACGTCGTCATGCAGTGGAGGTATAATCCTGATTTGGACTACGATCCATTCAACGAGCCTGTCATTGACGATGAACTCAATGAGCTCAGAGTTGCTGTGGTGCAAGCCCGAGGCCTAGCAATCATGGACAAGAACCTCCTGAGCAAGGGTGGGAGCAGTGACCCCTTCGTGGAAGTCTCGCTCTCATCGGCCAAGAAGGCCAAGAAAACTGCGGTCAAGAAGAAGACTCTGGAACCAGTCTTTCATGAGCAATTCCTGTGGTCTGTGTCGCCATCGTCGAGCGGCGACCAGCCCTCGCTCACGCTCAATGTTCAAGACTGGGACGCCGTGTCCAAGAACGACCCCATGGGCTCGGTGACGGCGCGCTTCGGAGTCAGAAACTTTAACTTTCACCTGCCCACTCCACGCCGTCGCCGCGACGTTCGTTCCCGCAGGTTGACCTCGCCACGCTCCTGCAGCGCAAGGGCGAGCCGCTCCGCAAGTGGTATGCCCTGGACACGGGTGGCGCTATCGAAGTCATTGCGCAATGGCGCCACTCGCCGACGAACGCCTGGAAGCCGTTCGCCGCCCCGAAATTCCCCGACAAAGCACCGAACGAATTGCGGGTCGGATTGAGCCAGGGGCGCGAGCTGGCCGTCAAGGACAAGAATTTGCTGTCGCATGCGGTGCCGAAATCAAACTTTACGGCTCTTGACTCACTGGTTGATTTGCCCACAGGTCCAAGGGCGGCTCCTCCGATCCGTACTGCAAGTTCTCGCTCACGGGAACCAATGTGACCTTCCACTCGACGGTGCAAAACAAGACCGTCGATCCAGTCTGGAGAGAGATCTTCACACAGCCATTACCTGATCTCGAGCCGCTGCCGAAGCTGCGGGTCGAGTGCTTTGACCGTGACGCTGTCTCGAAGGATGACTCGATGGGGAGCTTCGAAGTAGACCTGGCCGAGCTGCGTAATCAGGCCGTCTCGAAGAAGTGGTATGCACTCGACGAGGGAGAAGTAGAGTTAATTCTACAGTGGTACCATGATCCCGCGCTGGCCTTCGACCCCTTCGACGAAGTCGAGGAGGCGTCTCGGGCCAAGACTCCCAATGAGCTCTGCGTGGTGGTGTCGCAAGGCCGAAATCTCGTCATCAAAGACTCGAATATCTTTAGTAGTGGTGGCACGTCGGACCCTCGAGCCATCCTGAACGTCGTCGGCGGGTCGTCGGTGAAGCTCTCGCACACGACAGAGACGCTCAAGAAGACCCTCAATCCGCGGTGGCGGGAAACCTGGTGCGTGCCGCTAACAGGGAACGGCGGGGAGACGCTGCACTGCCGCGTCGAGGACGTCGACGAGATCTCGGCGGCGGACTTTATGGGGAGCACTGAGGGCATCGACCTGTCGCAGCTCAAGCCGAACACGATCACGAGAAAGTGGTATTCACTGCAGCCCGAGGATCCGCTCACGAAGAAGAAGTGCAAGGGCGACGTCCACGGCGACGTCGAGCTGATTATCCTGTGGCGGTACAACGCGTCCCTAGATTGGGACCCGTTCGATCGCGAGAACATGTCGGACGGCCCGGTCAACGAATTACGGGTCGCCGCGTTCCGTGGCAGGAAGCTCGCTATTCGTGACCGCAATCTCTTCAGCGCTGGCGGAAGTAGCGATCCGAAGCTGACCTTCGCGCTGTCGACGGCCGCCGAAGCCTCGTGGACAGGCAAGACTAAGGCCCAGAAGACCACCTTAGATCCAATTTGGAAAGAGCAATACAGCATTCCATTAAAGCCTGAGGACTGCGGCGGCACCTGCGTGCTCGAGGTCAAGTGTGAAGATGCCGACACCATTTCCAGCAACGATGCCATGGGCTCCGTGAGCATCGATCTCATGCCCTTGCAGGGCAAGACCGAGCAAAAATGGTACGAATTATCTGGTGAGGGCGCTGAAGGCGCTGTCGAATTGATCATTCAGTGGCGCCACGATCCCACACGCCACGAAGCTGAATTGGACGCCAAAGCGAGAGCCGAGGCGAAGGCCGCCGAGGACGCGAAGCGGAAGGCCCAGGAAGCGGAGCGCGAGGCCGCGGAACAGCAACGGTTGGCCGACGAAGCGGAGCGAAAACGGAAGGCTCTCGAGGAAGCGGAGGCACGCCGCAAAGCGAAGGATGAAGAGGCGCGCCGCAAGGCGGCCGAAGAGGAGGCTCGCCTCAAGGCCCTCGCCGAAGAGAAGGAACGAAAGAGATTGGAAGATGAAGCTCGCCGGAAGGAGGAGCTGGAACGCCTGAGGAGGGAGCGTGAAGCTGCCGCGGCCCGCAAGAAGGAGGAGGAAGCCGAACGGAAACACGCCAAGGCCCTCGCGGACGCCGAAAACGCACGAAAGCTCGCGGAACAGAAAGCCCTTGACGACGCGGCCGCCGCGCGACGGAGAGAAGCGGCAAGGAAGCGTAGGGCAGAATTGGAGGAAGCGGCGCGCTTGCGAAAGTCCGAGGAAGATGCTCGCCGAGACGCCGCTCGGAAGGCTCGCGCCGAGGCCGACGCGAAACGGCAGGCGGCGGAAGCGCGGCGGCGCGACGAGGCGCGCGCGAGGCTGCGTGCTGAGGCGGAAATGAGAGCCAAGCGCGCCGCCGCCGCGCGGGCCCGTCGGCGAGAGGCAGCCCTCAAGCTCAAGGCGGACGAAGATGCTCGCTTCGCCGCCGACGAGGCGTACCGAGAGAATCTCCGGCAGACACGGGCCGAGGCGCTCAGCAAGGCGACGATCGAGCGGCAGAAGCGAGAAGCCATCGAGGACCGCAAACGCGAGAAGGAGCTCGTCAAGGCGCTCGGCGACGGCTCGCGCAACTGGCGGCCCGACGCGTCGTCGCGCTTCGGCTCCAAGCCGGACACGCACGCATTTCTGCCGAAGACGAAGAAGCCTGCGGATTAGGAGTAAAGTGTTGCTCCGAGTCTACTAGCCGCGGCGATGGCGTACTCCGCCTCTGGTCCATACTACTAGTAGATTTCTTCAGGCTCAAGCGTTACTACTAGACTTGGTTCTAGGGCGAGCAAGGGGGAGTGGGGGTAGTGGCCGTTCAGGTACCGTAGAGCTCCTGGAAGATCGCCTCCTCCGCGTCGTGGTTCGCCTCTTCGGCGTAGAAGAATGCGACGTCCTCGTCCCGCGGGTCCGCGGCGCTCTTGTTGAACGGCTTTCGCGCCGCGAGCATCGAAAATGCTAGGGATTCCCAGGAGGCCGGGGGTTACACCAACGCTCCTAGGGCACCAGAAAAGCTTCTGAACGTCGCCGGTGTGACGCGAGGGACGAGTTTTGAATGATTGGTGGGGCGCTGAGCCGCGCGTTGCGCCCGCGTTTGTTGTCTGGCAAACTTGGCCTCACCTAGCGAACAAGGCCTCTAGCAATCGACTTTCCTCGTGAGAAAAATCCCTAGAGCTGCCATTGACCGCGGAGGCGTCCACGCGAAAAGAATAACAACCCGCCGCCGGCCCTGTGCTTGCCATGCGTTGTACGCGAACACGCCAGACATGCTACTACACTACAAATCCCTTACGCCAAGAACTCCACGACGACCGTATACAGCCGCCGGTGCGGCATCCTTCCGAACTCCGTCCAGCTCCCGGCCTCGTCGATGCGCTCCAGGGTGACGCGCGACAGCGGCGGTAGGTCGTATTGCCGCTCCGACGGCGTCGCCGCGGTGCGCACGAGGGACCGGTGCTTGCCGCCCGCCCGGCCCCGCGACCGGAAGCGCACGATGTCCGAGTCCATCGGCGCGTAGTCGATCCCGGTGTTGAGGACCACCGCGGCGGAAAAGCCCGCGTCCGAGAGGCAGCGGGGGTGCGCGCTCGCCTCGAGGGGCGCGTGCGTCACGAAGGAGACGCCCGGCGCGGCGTCCGGCGTCAGCGCGGCCCAAGCGCCATCGTTCGTCTTCATCCCGTAGGTGCCGTCGAGGTCCGTGTACGCGTCGGGCGCCACGGCCTCGAGCGGCGCCCGCAGCGTCAACGCATCTCTCAGCAAATGCACCGCCGCGGCGAAGTCCCGCGACGCCTCGCTCACGCTGTCGCCCAGCGCCGCCTTGAAATGCGTCATGATTAGCGTATAGTCCTCGGCCAGCGTCCGCGGCCAGCCCGATTCCACTTTCCAGTCGATGGACTCGCGGATCTTGGCGAGCTCGGCTTCGATGACCTGCGCGTAAATCAACCAGTGAGTCGGGTGTGTACGATAACTCTTCACCAAATCATTTCGCGGCGATGACGCGGCCGTGCTGGCCAAGTCACGCGGTCAGAGAACCGTCTGCCACGCCATCGACGCGACGCCCGCTCGATGGCGTGGAGAAGCAAAAGTGTGATTTGTGCACTGTCGACGACGTGAATATTGGCTCGAAACAACTGGAGCACCGTTTCGCGGTCGTGCAAGGCCAAGGATTCGTCGACCCTTAGGAACTTGGCATACTGCAACTCCGGCCACCTATCCCGCCAGCTGCCCTCCTGTCTTGGCCCGACGACGTCGTCCAGTATTTCTATACTCCGCAGGTAGGCGGGCTTCTCCGCGAAGACGTTCAGGACGCGGCCGGCCGTCCGCAGAGTCACCTCGCGGCGCGCGGCCGCCTGCCAACCGCGGCTCACGACCTGGGCCTTGCCCAGGTCTCTGGCCGTCCCGCGCGTCGCGATGAGTAGGAGCACGTCGTTGGCGAGGCGCGTCGTGGGGCGCGTCAGCTTGGCGGCCGCCGCGGCGACGGCCTGCTGTTCAATCGCTTCGAGGTCGACGGCCTGCTCTCCAGAGGACTGCGCGTCTTCAATCGGATTTTCTATGTCAGCCATCGTGGGCACCGGTGTGTTAGGCCGGTCGGCCATCGTCTTACTGCTCTGGCTATGGAGGCAGCAGGCTGCCACTTGTATCGACTGCGGTTTCGAACCTCGGGGGGGCTGGTGGCTTGAACGGCGAGCCCGAAGAATGCTCCGCACTTACAGGCGTCCCAGGAAGGTGGTATGTTGCCCAGCTTCGCATTCAGCTCTCGCGTCCGATAATCGAGCTAGCGTTCTGTAAGGCACTAGGAAAGTAAGGCATCGAGCTCGAGCTCGCCCGGGCCAAAAAAGAGGCTACAGCTAGCGCAAACTCATCTGAGTGTCGCGTTTGATCATCCGCAGCACTGTGAGCCCGCCGCATCCGCCGCAGCGGACACATGGCTTCTCTCGAGTTCCCCGCGCCGGCCAGGGCGGTGAACGAGCCCATCGCAGCGAGCGCGCCCCCGGCCCCGAATCACCCCCTCGCCGCGCGGCTGAAGCCCGACGCCGGCCGCACGGCGAAGCTGCAGGAGGTACGCGCGGTGTACGGCAGCGGCCTCGCGATGCGTTTAGCAGGAGAAGACGCGATGGCGTCGGAGGTCGCCCGCCTGCCGGGACTCGAGTCGTCGCACGTCCTGCGCGACACGATCCGCGGCGACGCCGAGTCGCTCGGCTTCGAGGACGTGCTGAACCTGCCGTCCGAGGCGGCCGAAGCGCCGAAGGCGTCGCTCCACGACCGCGCGGAACGGCTCTACGGCATCGGCGGCGGCGGCCCGGAAATTATCTAGTCTGAGAGAGAGAGGAGCGTGTGTAATTATCATTCATCCGTAGCAAGACGCTGGTCGTCCGTCGGGCTAGCAGGCCTGCCAGGCTCACTGGCACTCCTATTTCATACCCGTTGAGAGAGCAGTCGCGGCGACAGCGTCGAGGCCAAACGCCAACGCCACGCCGAGAGAGGACACACAAAACAATTACCCGTCGTACCCGCCCGGCACGCACGCGAAGGCCGCGCCGTCGCCCCACGCCTCCGACAAGCCGACGACGGCCGCGACCGAGCCGACGCCCAGCGTCAGAGGCAGGATGATCCCGCCGGTCGTCGCGAGCGCGCATCGCGTCGGCAGATGTTTTACGTTCGCGGCCTGCCGCGGATCCAACACATAAAACGCCACCGGAAACAGGAACATGATCGGCGCTCCCAGCAACGAGCCCATCAGGGCCTGGAACGCGCTGAACCACGGGATCGCGTTCGCGACCACGTAGGACCACGCCAGCAATAGCATCGTAATCCCGAACCAGCGCAAGGCTACGACCCGGCTCTTGTCGAGGGCGCCCCATCTCAACTCATACAGCTTTTTTGATAAAGGCTGGTTGTTCACTAAATAAGTGACGGCGACGTGGAAGTAGAGCATCAGACCCACCAGCGTCTTGGACGCGTTGTCCTCGAGGTCGTCCGGCAGGAATCCGGCCACGCGCGCGCCCCGGTAGTAGTAGCCCAGGCCCGTCGCCATAGAATACAACGCCAGCAACCCGCCGCAGGACGCCGTGATTGCTTTCCCAAAGTCCCGCGGCGCGTTCTCCATCTCGTGGGCGATTTCTAAGAGCATGGACTGCCCTTGATAGGCAAATGTTGTTGACGAGATCGCGTCGAAGCAGTCCCAGACCGACGACGCCTCGGGTTTCGACCATGACGCGTCTGTTTCTTTCTGGCCGCCTCGTACGAGTTCGACGCCGATAACCAATAGAGCGATGGCCACGGAGGCCACCGAGAGCGCTGATAAACTACTAATCCCTTCGAAGGTGCGCACCTGCGCCGGCACGCCGATCAGCGCGACGGACAACAACGCCCAGGTCGCGTAGCACGTGTCCGTCCACCAGAAGGCTACACTGAGGGCGTGCGCCGACGCCATGAGGTAGTAGGGCAGCACGAACAGCCACGACGTGTTGATGCATAAAGCCGTCAAACGCCGGGCTCGCTCGCCGCCGAGCAGATCGGCGCACGCCTGGAAGCTGTCCACCTTCGGGTGCTCCCGTCGCACCGCCGCCAGGAGTAATGAGCTGAACAACGAAGCGAGGCCGAAGCTTACCAAGAAGGCGAGCGCGAGGCCGCCTCCCACCTTCGCCGCCGCGTGTGACAAGCCCAACACACCAGTCCCGACGATCTCCGCCATCATGGTGAACGCGGCGCGCTTCCAGCCCATGCCCTTGTGAAGTTTTTCTTCTTCTTCTTCTTCGATGAACGGTTCGGCCTCCTCGTCGCCAGTACTGACTTTGCGCGCCGCCATCTCGATGGCTTTGGTGTCTTGCTCCAGTATTGCTTGCACGACGGCGTACTGTCAAGACAGTATTGCTTGCCCCGACGGCGCACTGCAAATTTTTTATGCTGCTGTAAATTTAGCTGCAGGGTGATTTTGGTGGCTTCGCTTCGGCTCTTTTGCTGCAACGTGTGCAGTGGTGCAAAAGCTAAAGCTGGAGTTGCTACGTTTGCAACCTAGCTGCGTACACGACGTTCAAAGGCTGTCGACATGAATTTAAGCTAGCGGCCTGTTAAAGACACTAGCCAGCAAACTCGGAACGCGCATGCAGTCGTTTGAGTATCATTCAGTTAGGTAATGGTCCAAAGAGATCAATGGGACAAGTACTGGGGGCCGCAAAAAGAATTTTTTTAATTCGCGGCCGAGGGCGCCCTACGGTCTATGGCGGCCGCGCCAATGGAATCCTGTTAATCCCTGCCCAGCAGGTCTCCCTGGGGTCGCCTAGGGTCGGTACTATACACGTGCAAGCGCCTACACCGCATGCGCCGCCGCTTCAATCATTTTTGGCCGATTTCTCTCAGCAGACCACTCGGTTTAGCCATCTTTTGGCCAAGGTTTGCTTCCAGGGCTCTCCGAGAGTGCTAGGCCGCCGCATCGACGGCGTATGCGGCACAGGCGACTACCCGCTATCCGACCTACCCCAGAGGGAGTCGGCGAGCCGATCTGCATCCGAAAAAAGTGTGTAATTTGGACCCGATGGCGCCCCGTTCCCGTCAAAAACGTCAATTACCCGAGGGCCCCCAGTAGTCGCCGTAGCGGTCTCGTCGGACCCCATACTACCCCACCGATAGTCAATTACAAATATATGACATCTACACCACGAGAAGGGTACTTTGGGCCGACCAAGCTTGGGACGTGAACATCTTGATCTGGAGCTCGCGTAAGTCCGTCGATCATGGAACAAATGATCGTTATGGTCCATGGTGATGGTACACGCGCTGATGCTCGCAGGTCCAGGTACTTTGCCCGATTAGCCAGATCGTGGGCCCGCGAAGACCGACGACCCGCGCCGAGCATCTTGGGATCTCGGAGCAATGTAGTCGGCAGTCAGGCCGATTAGCTGGCCCGTCCTAGAACTAAAGCGCCTGAAACGCAAATTTATTTTATAACTCACCGGTCTGGGGCCTTTCCGGTGCCCCGTCAACGTACCGCCGTCCGCGGAGAACGGGCAAGTCGGCCGATTGTGAACAGAACAACGGCGTTATGGTCCATCTGGATGGTGGCGTCGCTGATAGTCGCAGGTCTGGGTTCTGAGCTCATGTGGGGGTAAACGCGGAGGTGCGAAGTCGGAGAATCGTGAGGCTTTAACGGGCCATCTAATGTAGCTCAGTAGAGCCGAGGCGGCTAGGATGGACTCTACCACTAACAAACGGAAGGAAACGAACATAAACTCGGGATTTGTCTAGTAGAATTCTTTTCCCGCCCTCCGAGCGCGGGCCGTCGGCTCCGGTTCCGTCGAACTTGTATGAAAACTGGGCTGGAGTTGATATAATGTACCATTTGGACGGTAGAAGGCACCTTCAATCGCTGGTGTATTTTGGCGAGCCGTAAGACTCGTCCGCGAATGTCGTGGGCGGTGCCTTCCGGGAGGCGCGAGGGTATGTTGCCGGGCCGCTACTCTGAAACTTTTGGTCGCGGCGAACGACTAGGGTGTATTCTGAATTTGGGTCATTCTTTTGACGCTATCGAAGCGTATCTTTGAATTTGCTAGTGTCTTACAGACCGCTAGCCCTGCTATCTTGCAAACTTGAGACAATTAACCATGGAAACCATTCGTCAGCGGACCTCCGGCAACAAGGGCGAGAAAGCCTTGCTTGTCTTGAGACACAGTGGCTTTGTGGGGACGCTCCTAGCCGCGCGCACAGACGCCTTGAGTAAGTCGATCGCGCTCGCCGGATAGGCCCGAGCTGACGAGGGCGGCCGCGAGGAACGTCCGCGCGTTTCTCGATCCACTCATAGAGGCCGCGGAGCCCGTCAACGCCAACAGGGCCCGCCTCGAGCTGAAGGCATTCGCGTCCCGCGAAAGTCCCGAGTTCGTGGCCTTTTACGACGAATACGCCTCCGGAAACACCCGCGGCTGGTTCGACCGGCAGCTCGTGGCCGCGCCCGGCGGCCCGCCGGACTGGCTCCAGGCTTAATTGCAGCAGCAGGGAAACTGAGTAAGTTAAATTTATCCCACAGTGTCGACTGGGGGGTCCTGCACAAACGAAATGCAGGAAAACGGGTTTTCCAGGGCAAGCTTGAAGCCGCGCGCCGCGTTTCAGCGGACGTCAGCGGCCGCCATATCACAATTTCGAAGGGTTTGGAACATGGACGCCATCACGAGTGCACTCAACGGTACCTCAACGTCACCCCTCGTCCTGGGTGGAGCTATAGGCCTTTTGCTTGCCAAAAAGCTCCTGTCAAGTGGCCGCGCGCGCGAGCCGTCGGCGACGTCGCTGGGAGCACGTGTCGTATTGATAACGGGCTGCGACAGTGGCTTTGGCCGGGGCCTCGTCGAAGCCGCCCTCGCCGAGGGCTTCGAAGTCGTCGCGGCGTGCTACACCCCGGACGGCGCGGCCGCGATTGAGGCGACCGGCGGCGGCGTGGCGACGGTGACGACGGTCGTGGCCGACCTCGCGACGCCCGAGGGCGTCGAGGCGGTCGCGCGCGTGGCGAAGGAGGTCGCCGGCGCGCGCGGCCTCTACGGCCTCGTGAACAACGCCGGCCGCTGCGTCCCGGGCAACTGCGGCTGGGCGCCGCCCGTGTCCTTCGAGTATACGATGAAGCTCAACTTCCACGCGCACGTCGCGGTGACCTACGCGCTGCTGCCGGTGCCTGTGTGGAAGTCAACCAGTGAGTTAGGGACGACGTCGGGTCGATGGCGAGGGGCGTCTGAAATTTGAATCTCACACAGGCCGGCGCTGCGCCGCGCGAAGGGCCGCGTCGTCAACGTCTCGTCCGTCTGCGGCATCGCGGCGCCGCCGACGAACGCCGCATACTCCGCGTCGAAGCACGCCCTCGAGGCCTACTCCGACATTTTGCGCGCCGAGGAGGAGCCTTTTGGCGTCAAGGTCTTCGTCGTCGAGCCGGGGACCATGCGCACGCCGCTCGCCCTCTCCTACGGCGACACGTGGAAGAAGGGCTACGACGCCGCGCCCGCCGCACGCCGCGCCCCCTACGGCGCCGCCTGGGCCGAGGCCACAGTTCAGAAGATGAACACCGACATCCCGAACGTCGCGGAGGACCCGCAGATCACCGTCAAGGCCCTGCTCGAGTGCCTGGTGCTCGCGGACCCGCCGACGCGCGTCACGACGGGCGGGGCCATCCCGACGATCTATCGCGTCCTCGCGGCGCTGCCGGACAAGACGCGCGACCGGGCGTGGGACGCGCTCGGGGGCGTCGCCGTGCCTCCCGCGGCGCTCACGAGGCCGTCGCCGCCGAAGAGCCGCGTGGTGTCGCACGTCTCGATCCGCGTCCGGTCCCTCGCGGCGTCGACGCCGTGGTACGAGGCGTTCGGTTACACGCGCGTGGGCGCCGCCGCCGACGGCATGCTCTTCCTCGAGCCGGGCGCGAGTTCCATCTGGCGGCCGCTCCTGCTACTCGTCGAGGACGCGGCCATGCCGCAGCGCGGCGCCTGCTACGAGGCGGGTCTGTCGCGACTGAGTCTGTACGTGGATGACCTGGACAAGGCGCTGTCACGGCTCACCGACAAGCGCTTGACCCCGATCCACCCCCCGGGAGGCAAGGGGGGCACGGCCGCAGTCTTCCACGACCCCGACGGGTACTGCGTCTACCTCATTAGCTTCCACGGCGCGATATCGCTCTACGTGCGGTTCATGGGTTGGTGGAAGGGCGCGCGGGACGCGAACCCGTTCTCCTGTACGCTGAACGTCACGGACGCGCGGCGGGCCAACGCCGCGTTCGAGGCGCTCGGCTTCAAGACGCTCGTGGATATTACCTCCCCGGACCGCGATATGCTGCCGGCGTTCGGCCTCCCCAGGGATCTCGGCATCGAGTCCATCCGCCTCGCCCTGCTGCCGTCCGACGGGTTCATAGGCATCGTCATGGAGTGGACGTCAACGCCCAAGACCGCCGCGACGCCGTCGAACGCGCTCGCCATCTCCGTCGACGACGTCGCAGGGGAGCTCGCGCGCGCGGAAAAGGCAGGGCTCCGGACCGAGCCCGCCACGCTTAGGAGCTACCCGGTCCTCGGCGAGGCGCTCGTCGGCGCCTGCTTCGTCGACGACTGCCGCGTCGAGTTCGTCCGCTTCCTGGATTGCTAGCTGTCGCGTTTAGACCACGCTTCCCGAGTCGCTCACGCGTCTAGGCGACGTAAATTCGGGTTTCCCTAATTTCTCGGAGCGGAGTCTGCGGAGAAGTCGTTGTCTATACGACAGGATAGCTAGGAAGTTCATACAGGGTAACGTTACTTCGTTTCACAAAAGAGGGCCGCATGGCGGCAGCAGCCAGTGATCACCGGTGCTTCGCCGCGGGCTCGACGGGCGAGTCGCGCGAGTCCGCGGCGTACGTCTCCGAGAGGTCGGCGAAGGGCTCCGACGGGTCGCGCCGGTGGCGCTTGCCGTGGCGCGGCCAGTGGTAGTGCCAGATCTCGCGCAGGATCTCCGCTTTTAATTCAGAAGCGGACATGCGCTTTCGCTCGAACGCGAATTGATCAGCAGGTATAGAGGGCCCGGTCGGCTCGTCGTCGGGGTAGTGGAGCTGCTCCAGGTAGGGGTGCGCCAGCGCCTGACAGACGTCGATTCTATCTGAGGGCTCAAACACTAGTAAATCCTCGAGCAAGTCGCACGCCAATGGGTTCGCTTGTGGATACAACGCCCGGAAGCCGACCGGTCGTGAATCCGGGATCTGCGCGACGAACTCGCGGATCTCCGGCGTCTGGATCTTGTCGATCGTGTCCATAGACGGCCGTCCGACGCACTGGCAGATGAGCTCCAGTTGATGTTGCGAGTCGCTCCCCGGCCAGAGCGGCTTCCGTCCCAGCAATTCGGCCAAGATGCAGCCGGCGGCCCAGACGTCGACGGCCTTCGTGTACTCGACCCAGCCTGTGTGTCGTAAGCGTCGCGGCGATGGCGTGGGGGCGGAAGCGAGCTTTCTGAGGCTGTGAAGCCGTCTCGAGACGCGCTCGCAGCCACTCCGACAGAAACTCGGCCAGGAGGCCGTGGGACCGCCCTCGACGCCATCGACGCGATGGATGCTACGACGCGACGTAGTCCGAACGCCCTCAAAAGGACACTGCATACATACCAGTGATAATTTCAGGCGCGCGGTACCATCTAGTAGCGACATAATCGGTCATCGCCGACGACGACGACGATTGCACGTCGACGCGCGCCAGCCCGAAGTCGCAGATCTTCAGGTCGCAGTTCGAGTTCACCAGTAAATTGCGCGGCTTGAGGTCACGGTGAGTAACCGGTGGGCTACACGTGTGGAGGAACTTCACACCTCTTAACACTTGGTAGATGAAGAACTGGACGTGCTCGTCGAACAGAGGTTGCGGGCTCTTGATCACGGAGGATAAATCCGTCTCCAGTAAGTCAGAAATGATATACAGGTCCCGAAATCCATCCGACTTGACCGGAGGTAACAACGTCTTCAGCCGCACGATATTGTCGTGCCTTAACAATCGCAACAACCGGATCTCGCGCAACGTCCGTTTCGTGTAGGTAGCATGTTCAAATGCATTGGCAATTTTTTTGATTGCGACCGCTTCCCCAGCCACAGCGTCGTGCGCGGCGCAGACGACGCCGTAGGCGCCCTGGCCCACGACGTCGAGGACGTCGTATCGGACATCGACGTCGAAGCGGATGCCCATCACATTATATCGCTTCAGTTCTCTTGTGAGTCCGCGTTGTGGTGTCGCGGGGCTTCTCGGAGAAGGTGGCAGGGAGGTCTCTATCGTTTTTTCATCGTCATCGGACAGCAAACCGAAGTCCGAGGTGACTTGGGGCGCCACGGCGGGTGCGCTCATTTTCGCGTGTTCTGGTCGTCGCCCCTCCTTTTATTCCTGGGTCCTGCGGGCCTTGGGCGCGCAGGCAGCAGGCAGGGAGGTAGCAGTAGACCAGCAGGTAGCGCTAACGACGCGTGGTCGCCCTACGGCCCGCGCGCACGTAAGAGCAAGGGTCAGGTCAAGGCTGCTCTGCCTCGCTGGCCGCGTTCAAACTGTGCGGCGGCGGCGTAGGTTTCGATACGTTGCGGCTCTCAGCCGTTTGGATGCGATGCGGTACGCAAACCCTGCCGTCGTCTCCGCGCCGCAGAGTTTGGCTCAGACTCAATACGAAAGCTGAGCTCTGTGTTTGCCCTCGCAAGTTCCGCCAGCTCTAGGCACCCCTCTGTTGCCTACGCTTGCTGCCCGAGGCGTATCGACCGCTCCTCCGTCGGTCCAGAACCGCGCTTTCCGGTGCGCACGGGTTTACTGCAACACCACAAACTTGGCTCTGAGCCTTATTATAGCACCACGAGGAGCATTATCGTGCTCAGAAGGACATCCGTAGCATCTCTACCGACCCATCGCTGCAACCAACAAAGAATTCGGAGCAATGCTGCGCCACACGGCTCTCGCAGCGCTATGCATCACTGCTGCAGCCCTTGTAGCTCAGCGAACCACAACACCCACAGCAACGGATGACGCCCTCGCAAATCTAAGAAGAGCCATGGCTCAAAAGCCAGCAGCCGTCTCGAGAAAGACCTTCGGCACCGCATCGATCGCCGCGGCCGTCACGGCCTTCGCGCGAGTAGCGGAGGTCGACGCGTCGGGCGGCGCGACGGCAGGCGGCGCCTATTTGCTACGAGCGAAGGAGCGATATAATGCGAGAGTAACCGAGGGCGCCAAGGCCTACAAGAAATCGACGGACATCGCGGCGCTCTTCGCCGAGAAGGACGGCGCGCTGGACGACCTCGAGGCCGCCGGCTTCCTGCTCGCGAACGCGTTCCGCATCAACTCGACCCAAAACCCGGACAAGATCGTCCAAGTGCAGAAGTTCAAGGCCTTTAAAAAGGACGCGGACGCCTGTGCGGCATTGCTCAAGAAGAAGAAGAAGACCGACGCGGCGGCGGCCTACGACGCGTCTCTGGTATCACTCGACGCCTATCTGAGTTCGGTGGGGCTCTGAGCGTGTCGCGTCGACGGCGTGTGGAGGCCGTAAACTTGTGGGTTATTATTCTAATTTATCGCGGGCTAGTAGCCGGAAAGGAACGCGCTCCCGCCCTGCTCGACCAGCGCGTGCCCCACGCGCCGCCCGAGGTCCTCGAACGACTCGCCGTCGTGGAGGGCTTCCGACACCTCGACGACGGCCGAGCCGTCCGGCGTCGCCAATTTGCCCCGCAGGACGCTTCCGCAGCAGTAGGCGGCGACCGGTGGTCTGCCCGGCCACTTTCGTCGCAGGCTCTCATCAACGACGTCGAGCAGCGCCCGTTCGGCGGCCACGCAACGACGCGCCGCGCGGTCGTCTATGTTGTCTAGAATCGCCGCCGTCGCCGCGTCGTCGGCGCGGCACACGACGGCGATAATTCCTTGCGCCGCGCCGGGCAACATGTCATCCAGCGGTATCGGATGGACATCTGCCCGAGCCTCTGCGAGCCGGTCAAGCCCGGCCTTGGCCAGAATCAGGGCGTCTACTTCACCAGCATCGAGTGCAGCCAGTCTTTCCAATACATTGCCGCGGATGTTCACAACTTGCGCGTCCGGCCGCCGCGCTAAGAGTTGCGCCTGCCGCCGCATCGACGCCGATCCTACCCTAGCGCCGGCTGGCAGATCCTGCAAGGACGCGTAGGGCCCGACCAGGACGTCTTGCACGTCAGCGCGGGGTAGGCACGCGGCTATGGTCAGGCCCGCGCGCCACCGATTCTGCGGAGGGATGTCCTTGCAGCTATGGACCGCTGCGTCGATCGTGCCATCTAAGAGAGCGTCGTCGAGCGATCCCGTGAAATCGACCCCTTTCCGCGCGAGCGGCGCGTCCTCCTTGCTTCCTTGTATATCACCCGCCGCGTCGATAGGCATAAGCGCAGAAGAGACGTTGAGAGCGCTCCGGACCCTCTCCGCCTGCACGATGGCGAGCTTCGACGGCCGGCTGCCGATCCGGAACGGTCGTAGCACGGCTACACTCGCGGGCCTTACGTACGGGTTCGATTTGTCGCGCCAGCTGAAGGCCCGCACGTCGCGTCCCGTCAGCCGCGACGCGTCGGCGAGGAACTCGGTCCAGCGAAGCTTCGTCGAGTCCGAGGTCACGACGGTGGCGCCTGCCGCGACGGCCTCGGCGGCGCGGCGCGCAAAGCCCAAGGCGAGTTTCTCCGTGTAGCCCACGTCGGAGGCCACCAGCACGTCGCAAGGCGGTAGAGGTGACTCGCTGAAGATGTCAAATATGGATGTAGATAGCTTCGCGCCGTCGGGTGCGCCCGCGACGCGCGCCAGAGCGTCGTCTTCGACGTCTGTGGCGAGCACCGCGTCCGCCCCGAGCGCGCAGCACGTCAGCGAGACGAGGCCGCAGCCGCAGCCGATCTCGGCGACCCGCTTGCCGCGCACGAGATGTGCGTTCTCTGAGAGATAGCCTGCAAGCGCGCGGCCGCCGCTCCACGTGACGGTGCCCGTGTGGACGCCGCCCGGCTTGCCCTCGTCGGCCTCGAGCACGGTGACCTCCAGGCCGGGCGCGATGCGGATCTGCCGCTTATGGGTGCCCGGCACGCTCAGAGCCGCCGCTGTGGATACGAGTAGGAACCTCATCCTCGGAACGCGTCGAGCACGACGTCGTACCACGGCGGGTGCGCCCAGTCGATCACGCCCCACATAAACGGGATCATGATGAACGCTGCTTTTCCAATTTTCTCTGAGCTGAAGATGGACTCATCGTTCGCACCGCGCAGGACGACGAGCTGCTGGGGTTTCGGTGCAGCGGGCGGCTGAATCGGTGCTACAAAAGCAGTCGCACTGAGTGCCAGGATGGCTGCCACCACGCGTCGCATGACTCGCTCTGTGTATCGCAGTGCACAGCTGCACAGATGTCGTAGCCAGCCGGAACCCCTTTCGCGCTGTGGCAGGCCTTCGAGCTAAATTGTGACTGCTCTGCCTGCAGCAGAGCATCCAGAGCTCGGGCTGATTGCTGCCTGCCTGCGCGTTTCTGCGAGGTGCAAAGCAACGCGTGCAGTCAAACAGATCGTCACAGTCGCGCGGAGCATCGCTGGGCTCTGTGAGACGCCGCGACGGCTCCACAAGTGCCCCAACACTCACTGCTCTGCGAACGGTTTTAAAGGCCGTGCGGCGCTAACGCGTCGAAAGAGATCGTCGGGCAGGGCCAGACATAACACGAGACGAGATCGTGACGATGATGGACTGGTTCCGCGGCGGCGCCAAGGCAGACGAGAGCGACGCCAGCGACGACCTGCTTAAGCAAGGCGACAAAGAACGCGACGCCGGCGACCTGACAGCCGCGCTGCACTTCTACGGAAAAGCATTAGCGGTCGCGGGCTCGCCCGACAAGCGGAAGGCCGCGCTATTGGCGCAGTCACGTACCTATGTTTTGAACGGTGATTTAACCGAAGCCGAAGAGGCGGCCACGCGAGCGCTCGACCTGGGCGTCTGCGCCCCGTCGTTGGTACGGCGCGGTTGCGCGCGAAGGAAGCTCGGGCACTTCGGCGCGGCCTACGAAGACTTGCGAAGGGCCGCGCAGCTCGACCCGCAAAATAGGGAGGCCCGGGACGAGATAAGGCGGCTGCACGCAGCGGCTCAAAGGCGTCAAAAATTTGAGGCCGAGGCCCAGCGCGACGCCGAGGCGGAACAACTGCGCGCATCACTTCCGGGCGATTTGGTGGATGCCGTCATTGCATCCTGCCGCGAGCCGTTCTACGCCGAGGCCTCCGTCGCGCCGGGCCTGGGGTACGAGCTCAACGCCGCGATCGCGCGCGTCCAGGGTTCTGTTCTCGCGATCACGCCGCCGCGGCGCTGCCCGGGCGTCAATTTGTCGACGACGGGCAAGGCGGTCCGCGACGGCAAAGCACCGTTTTATGTGGACGTGGTCGTGCGAGGTGACCGGCCCTACGAGGCCGGCGTGTGGTTTAGGCTGGTGTACGCCTCGCGGGAAGGCCCGCCGCGCATCCGCCAGGCGTCGCTCGGCCGCACAATCGTCGTCGACGACGACGCGGACCACCACGGGCGTCGCGCTGGCCTCCAGTTCTACGCCCTCCTCGCCTCCCGGAGCGACGAGCCCTTCGGACTCGAGGCGGTCGTCGAGGGCCTACGGGCGGCGCTTGAGGACGACGGTTCGGATCGGTGGCGCCACGCGGCGAGCGACCACTCCCGAAGAAGGCGAGTGATCGACGCCTACAGAAACGAGTGGCCGGCGCACAAGATCGGCCTTTTCGGAGATATCGACGAGGCGTCGGCGCTGGCCACGGCCGTGTCTACGCCCGGACCGTTCGCGCCGCCTGTACTACTACCAAAGAGCGCCCTCGCACCGCGGCTGGTCGAGGCGATTGAGGCGGGAGACCTGCGGCGCTGCGTCGAGGAGGTCTGCGAGGGCGTGTATGCCTTTGATTTGTTTTCCGCAGAGTTCACGACGGCGCTCTTGGCCGAAGTCGACTACTTCTACGCGAGCAAACTACCGGCGGCGCGACCGAACAGCATGAACAACTACGGTGCAGCGACGGCGTCAGCCTCCACGCCATCGACGCATGCGGTCAGAATCGTTCACACAGGCATCATCGTCAACGACATCGGCCTCGAGCCGCTCATGGTAGCACTGCAGCGCCTCGTGCTGCTCCCGCTCGCGCGGGAGCTGTTCTCCTCGTCAGACCGGGGCGACCCAGCCACTGGCTTCGACTCGACGCACGCGTTTGTTGTCAAATATCGGGCCGACGAGGACAGTCACCTGGACGTCCACACGGACGACTCGGACGGTCGGTGACTCGGCGTTGAAATTTGAGTTCTACGTCGCGTCGATGGCGCGAACCTCCACGTCCCCTCGCAGTGACGTTCAACGTCTGTCTCGGGCGGGACTTCGAGGGGTGTGGGTTGGTCTTCTGTGGGATGATCGGCGCGGCGGACCACCGGTGCCACAAGCACACGTACCACCATCGCGTGGGCGCGTGCGTGGTACATCTGGGCGCGAGGCGCCACGGCGCGGATCACATTACGAGTGGCGAGCGCCTCAACCTCGTCATCTGGAACCATGGCCTGGCGTGGAGGGAAAGTGAGGGTGCGATGGCGCACCAGATGGCGTATGAAAAAGAAGGCGGTCCGCCCGACCCGCGCTGCGTGTCCTATACGCACGATCGCGACTACGGCTCCTTCAAGCCCTACACCGCGGGCATTGTTGACTTCAAGCATCGGGGCTGGTGCCCGCCGCAGGGCGCCGAATACAACGGGTTCCGGGCGGACGAGTAGTGTGCATAAGATTTTTTGTGAATACCTACTTTGTACAGGTGACCCGCTCAGGGCGAGTACGGCAGGGACGAGTGGTGGACGACGATCTTGAGGTTGCCGTCCGCGCCGCGCTTGTACTGGAACGTGTACTCGACCTTCGCGACCGTGCCCTCGAGCGTCGTGAAGTAATATTCGCCCATCGCTGTGGCAGAATCGGCATTCAGGATCGTCTTGCTGTTCTCGAAGCGCACCGCCTGCGCGCGCACCGTGAGGCGCGGATACGTGTTTCGACGCCGCACCGTACCGTCCAGGGGTTGATGGCGAAGCCCTTGTCCTCCTTGATCCCAATGTCGTCGCCCGCCGCCGCGGCGCCCACGAAGTAGGACACGGCCTGGTCGTAGTCGTGGCGGATCGGCACCTCGCTCGCCTTCGTCGGCTTGAAGAGCACCTCCATGCCCTCCTCCTTGAAGCCGTAGAGCTCCGTGATGACCTCCTCGGCCTTGGCTTTGCTGCGAGGAACGAAACCGTCGCGAAACCGTCGCGAGCCGCGCTCTCGTGAAAAAAGCCTGGTAGAGTGGACGCCGCGGCCCGCTAGTCGCCCTTGTCCTGGTAGACCTTGCCGATGTCGACGATGCCCTTGGCCCAGGCCTCCTGGGCCACCTCGACGTCGCCCGACGTGATCGGGTCCTCCTTGCTTCCTACGCAGGACGCGGCGGCACCCATTTTGTTGCTGTCTGCGAGCGGCGCGCCGTTCGCGAACCGCGGGGCGTCACTTAATTGTCGTAAGGTCGTCGCCGCACGCAGCTGGCCGAGACGGCGCGGTTGCGGCGCCGCGCGGATCAAACTGATTCGTGCCGGCGGACGCGTCGCCGCCGAGTGCGAGCAATTTTTTTGCAAGGCAGCAATTAATGAGCGCGACCGTCTCATTGGTCGCGGTTTCTTTTGCTCCCTTATGTCGCTTGGCGGTTAGAAGTGTACGATCGGTCTGATATATCGCCGGACGCGGAGTCGCGCGAGTGGCTGGTGAGTTTGCCCTTGTTTCACTTTGTGTGGACACGCAGGCCTCGAACCCGCCGCCGCGGGCAAGCGTCAAACACAAGCCGCATTAAGTCTTGGAACGGGAGACGGGTATGGCGCGCCCCGATCCGCCACGCGGCAAATCGCGCGGCCGCGCGGCCGCGGAAACACAAGTCGCAGGGTAGGGTAGGGTAGGCACATATTCAATTGGTCCGCTTCCTTACGCAAAAGGGCTAAGCGGGGCCGCGCGGGCAGGTAGGCAACAGAGTCGTGCGCGGGGATGGTCATGGGTCTTGGTCATTGCATGTCGTACGCTTGTAACGCCGCGAGGTCCGGGTTGCGCCGGCGGAACTGCCCGCGCTTGCCCAGCGATGCTTGAATCCTTTCTCTCAACACCGCTCCGGGCTGCTTGCCCTTGGACTGGAAGCGGCCCGTCAAGGAGCTTGTGGATGGCCGCGCCAGTTCCTGGGGCTTGTACGGCGACGTACCGCTACCAGGCCTCTTCAGAGGCGACTTCCGCCTTCTAGGCGTGTCGTCGGCGGTTCTAGGTCGCTCCAAGGGAGGCAGTTCCGGCTCGGGGAGCGGTTCGGGCTCTGGTGGAGGAGCCTTCTTCTTCGGCACGGGAGGCTTCTTCAGGACAATAGGAGGCTTCTCAGGCTCCTTCCTAGGTCTCGCTTTGAGCTTCGATCGCCCCATGATGACCCGCACGAACTCGTGCTCGTGGATAAAGCCATCACCATTAACGTCGAGCCGCGCGAAAATTTCGTCTGTTGTGGGTTTATCTAATGGTAATCCAAAAGCATGCAAAGCGCGATCCAAACCCGAGCGAGGAATGCCCTCGTGGTCGCCGCCGCCTGAATTGCGGAACGCGCGCCACGCCCTTTGCAAGCCGTGGCCGCCCGGTTTTAGTCGTTGCGACACCTTGGCCCGTAAAATAGTGAGAGCGCCGTCGGCATCTATAGCTAACGTCTTTTTGGACGCCCGCTGCTCGGCTTCCAAGGCGCGTTTCCTGCCTTCCGTAAGTCTATTACCTAACCCATCAGTACCGGCCGACTCCATGCCGCCCGCGTTCACGGAAGCGTCCCAGCGGCCCATGATCTGGTCGATGAATTCCTTGATCTGAATGTAGCCGTCGCCCGACGCGTCCATCCGATCAAATAGTTCATCAGTTTTGGACGGGTGCAGCGGGATGCCATAGAGCTTCAATCCACGTTTGAACTCGCTCCGAGAAATACCTTCCTTCGACGACCCGGCGCGATTCCGGAACTCGACCCAGCATCTCATGAGACCATTGGGACCGGACTTCAACCGCTGGCCGATGACCCGTCGCAGGGCGAGCTTCCCGTCCTCAACAGTCATATACGGGTCGACCTTGTCCTTGACCATGAGCGACGCGCGCCGTTTGCCTTCGCCGTCCTTACCTCTAACCTCGTCCTCAGATTTCCCTCCGGTATGCATATTGGCCTCGGCCGTCCATCGCCCCATGACCTGATCAATAAATTCTTTGATTTGAATATACCCATCTCCAGAAGCGTCCATCCTGTCGAACAATTCGCGAGCTCGAGCCTTATTCAAGGGCACGCCGTACATCTTGAGGCCGCGCTCCCACTCGGACGCCGTGATGCCCTCCTTGGAGGCACCGGCGCGCTGCCGGAAGTTGACCCAGCACCGCAGCAACCCACCGGGACCCGAAGCGAGTCGTTGGCCGATCTTCTGCCGCAGCATCACGAGACCCCGCTCCACCGTGAGCGTATCATCAACTGCGTCCTTGACCATCACATTTTTAGCCATTCTGCCGATCCTCGCGATCTCCGCCGCCGACTTGTGGCCCCCGAGCACGTTCGCCGACGGGTCCCAGCGGCCCATGACGTGGTCGATAAATTCCTTGATCTGAATATGATCATCTCCGGAAGCGTCCATCCTATTGAACATCTCCCTCGCCACTCGTTCCGGGGCGTCGATAGCGTAGGATTTTAGTCCACGTTTGAACTCCGCAAACGTAATGCCTTGCTTCGTGGAGCCAGACCTGTTCCTAAACAGCACCCAGCACCGCATCAGACCATGCGAGCCGCCCTTGAGTTGTAGGGCGATCTTCCTCCTCAAATTCAACAGACCCTGCTCCGGCGTCATGGACTCGTCCATGACCTGGACGGCGCCGGCCATGGCCTTCTTGTTGCCCCGCATGCCGATGTTACATACCGACGCTACAGTAATGTCGTCGTCGTCATCTCGAGGAGTTCCTGGAGGCGTGTCGGAAGTGATCAAGTCGCGGGGCGGCGGGATGCCCTCGCCCTGGTTCACGCCGAGGGGCCCGGCGAAGGCGCGGGGTGGCATGATGGTCTCCTGGTGACGTAACGCCGCCTGTTTCCGTGCCGGTGCCGCGGCAGCGCGCTGTGGGCACTGCGACACGGCCTCCGCTGCGGCGGCGGAGGGCAGCCGAGTCAGTCGTCGCGCGCTTGGCGCGTCTTTACTGGGCTTGTCGCTGGGCCTCTCCTCGGCGTTGCAGAGGCTAGTAGAGCAGGTGCCGAGTTGACGTGCCCTTGCGGGCCTTCGGCGCCGCGCCCGGGCCCTCGGGAGGGCTCGCGCGCACGGCTCCTGGGCGAGCGTCCCGTTTCTTTCATGGCTCGGGGCAGCCTGGCTGGGCAGCCTGGAAACGGGCCATCGTCGGGTGGATAGGGGCCGCTGCGCTGCTCGAGGCGCTCCATGGCCTCTTCGAGTCGCCCGCGAGCCCGCGACGGCTGGGCGAGAAAACCCGCGTCCGCCGCTCGTTTCAAACAAGCCTGCTCCAAATCGTGCATAGATTTTGCCTCTGAAACGCGACGCGCTGCTCACTGACAGCTTTTGATCAATTACTGCGTGCCTCGTAACAGCGACGCCGAAAAACGACCGGTAACACCGCTTTTTGCACAGCCAGAGCCATGTCCGCCCTCGCCGCGGCCGCGCCGGACCTGCCGCTGACCCTTTTTGATGACGACAGCACCGCGTCATCGTTAACGAAGCTGCGCGCCGGCAAGCCGCTCATCATCGACTTCTGGACGACGCGGTGCGAGCGCTGCCCGGCGTGTTTGGACAAGCTCGACAAGATCGCCGAGGCCTTGGGGGACAAGGTCGTCTTCGCCGCATTATGTTTAGATGATCCGGACTTCGCCCAGGAACTGGTGGATGAGCACGACTGGGACCACATCACGCACGGCGGCATGGATTTGGAGACGAAGGAGAAGGCCAAGGCCGCCTTCGGTTTTAATAGTGTGCCGCACCTCGTCATCATCGGGGCCGACGGCACGACGCTCTTCTGCGGCAGCGCTTTGAAGGCGACGGCCGACGGCATCAACGAGGCGCTCGCGGGCAAGGAGAACGCGCCCCAGCCCGTCGCGGCGGCCGCGCCGTCCTTCACCATGGACGACGACTTCTAGGCGCCTCGTACTTAACCTTCTGTGGCTATTTTGTCGACAAAACCCGCCTTGGCTGCAAGTTGGCTGCGCGTGCGGCCGGCAAACCACACTGGCCGCTTGCAATTCAACCGCAGCGATCGCTGGCAACGCAAACGCATCGCGAAAGCATCACTGCGAACGAGCAAGCTGCGCAACGATGCACGTATGCCTGGTTGCTCTCCTAGCTGTGAGAGCAGCAGCAGCCTTGCAGCCACCATCGCTGCAAAGAGCTCCTTTAGGACGCCAGAGGCACGTACGCTTTGCCGACGAGGCGCCGCCGGACGCCGCCGAGGCAGCAGCAGACGCGCCAGCGGAGCCGCCAGCTGAGGAGAAGGTCGACGCGATGACGTACGTCTTCGGCAAGCCCGGCGAGCTGCAGGGCGACATGGCGCGCATGGGCACGAGCCCGCGGCGACTGGCGCTCTTTGGGTTGCTTGGACTGTTTATAGCGCTGGCCGGCGACCTCTTCCGGCTGACGTCGACGTTATTACGAATCGCGCCGGGTGGCGTGCAGGACGCGGCCCGGCGCGCGCGGCTGGACACGTACTACCCCATCGGCGACTTCAAGCGGTATATCGACGACGAGTACGGATTTGAGGTCCGCTACCCCGAGATGTGGCTCGCGGACCAGGCGATCTACGTGAGCCGCATGCAGGCCCGGACCGGCGCCGGCGCCGTCGACGCGGAAGCACTCCTACGATCTAGAAAACAAAAGGGGCCCGCGGCTCTGGCGGGCTTCGGGCCGCCCGGCGGCGGCAAGTTCGAGAATTTGAGCGTGTTTCGGTCGCCGGTGATGGCAGGTTTGAAGCTGAGAAACCTGGGTACGCCGACGGAGTTCGCCCAGAGGCTGCTGGACACGGCGGTAGCGCCGCCCGAGTCCGGCAAAAAAACGACTCTATTGGCCGCGACGGAGCGCGCGGACGGGAGCTACGCGTTCGAGTACTGTCTGCAGTTGCCGCAGCGCCGCGACGGCGTCGAGGGGCGCATCCTTCATAACCTAGCTGTCGCGTCGGTGCGCGGCGGCGACGAGCTCTTCACGCTCACGGTGTTATGCGGCGAGGAGGACTGGCGCGACCGGGAGGCACTCTTCCGCCAGGTCGCGGCGAGCTTTCGGGTGTATGGTGCCTAAGCTTGGTTAGTTTATGTGTTCTTGACGCCGCATGCGCGCCCGGATTCATCGAATGCACCCGTCTTGGGTCGCAGTCTGGCTGGGTCAGGCTGGCTGCTAAAAAACAATTATCGACGCTCTCGCAAACGACGGAGACCAAGTCCATTACGCATCCAATTCAGCATGCCGCACTTGGAAAATGACTCCTGTGTGTACCAGCGTCCCCAGTACACCACTGCAGCACTTTGCACGCACGCATACGACCTATGGGCTGCGAAATCACCCCATGCCCCACTTCGACCCAAATCGGGGCAAGCGTGGTCCGCGCGCGACCGCGGAACTGCGCACGCCACGCCGCGAGCGCCCGTTGCACCCGCGTGCCGCCCCGGGGCCGCGCGTCCGCTGTCGCTACAGATTCGGGCCAGAAGAGGGCTGACCCGACCCCGCCGCGACGGTCGCGTCGTCCGCCCCGCGCGCCAACGTGCACCAACGACCCGCCACCGCGTCGCAGGCCCGCTCTGCTACGAGGCCTGGGGCCCGGAGTCGATGCGCGTCCTCAAGGTCTGCTGGTGGTCGCCTGTGTGGAAATCAACTTTCGCGCCCCACGCCATCGACGCGTTGTCGTCTCACTGGTTGATTTCCACGCAGCCAGAAGACGATCTGCCAGGCGTGCGACGTGCAGATGGAGATCCGTGGGCAGGACCTCTGCCCGTTCTGCCGCGCCGAGCCGATGTCGCCGGCCGACGAGCTCGCGAAGCTCGAGCACTGGGCCGCGAAGGACAGCGCCGCGGCCGTCTGCCAGTTAGGTTCGTGCTACCGCCGCGGCGACCTCGGCCTCGAGATCGATTCGCCGCGGGCGGTCGCGCTCTACGAGCGCGCCGTCGAGCTCGGCGACGCCAAGGCCGTCGTCCATTTAGGACTCATGTTAGCCGACGGCGACGGCTGCCCGAGAGACGAGGCCCGCGCGGCGGCGCTGTTCGACGCGCTCTCAAAAACTAAGGGCCCCTGGGCGCCGTGGGCCGAGAACGCCTTGGGCCGCCTCGCGACGGACCCCTTCGTCGCCGCGGGGCACTGGCGGCAGGCCGCGGAAGACGGCTTTTCGATCGCCATGGCGAATCTGGGCATGCTCTACGAGGGCCGCTTCTCCTACGCCAAGGCGTTCCCGACGGACCTCGCGGCGGCCAAGATGTGGTACCAGGCGGCCGCCGAACACGGCCGCGAGGACGCCGCGTTTAATCTCCAGCGCCTCCGCGCCGCCACGACGTCCAAGGGCCGCATGACGCACGCGTTCCGCGCGTTCGAGGGGCTGCTGGCGGCCTAGGCGCCGCGACACCTCCTGTACCATTTTTCCCGCCCCGCTCGTTAAGAATTTTATTGTGACGAAACAACCACACGTTACCGGTTCGAGAACGCCGGCAGCTCTCCAGACTCATCGAACCACAGCGACACGGACACGGCGCCGCCCTCACAGGGCAAGGAATCGACGCGGTGCCACCAGCCGCGCGGCACGAAGAGCGCGTCGCCCGGCGCCACGACGACGTCGTAGTCCGGAGGGCCCGTCGGCTCGCCGCTCGACGGCCGCCAGAGCCGCCAGCGCTTGCTTCCACAAAACTGGCCCACGACGTTGTCGACGGGGTCGTAGTGACACGGCGTCGCCGTCCCGCCCGGCCCCGCCCAGATCGCCGCCACGGCGTCCCGCGGCGCGAGACCCAGAAACGCCGCGCCCAGGCCGTCCCGTAACTCAGGAATCTGGTCGAAGAGCCGGTGCTGCGCGACGTAGGGCGCATCAGCATCACCCTGCATGCCGTCGCGCAGCGCGCCCAGGGTCACGACCTCCTGGCGCCGGTCCGCGCCCTGGCCTCGTTCCGCCGGCACGTGCCGGTCCTCGAAGCCTTTGACGAGCTCGGCGACGGAGGGCCACAGGGTGCTATCACATAGAGCATCACGGATCCGTTTCGGCGCCAGGCCGGGCCGGAAGGCGCGCGCGGCGACAACCTCCATGGAGTCGACCAGCGGCTCCACCACCCGCCGCTTCTTTTGCGGAGGCCGGATGACGTCGCTGGCGTGGCTCCAGGGCGCGACGTGCGCTACGGAATTGCCGCCGGCGCCGCGGACCGACCGGAGCGCCGCCAGCCTTTTCTCTCGCGCGGGCCCGGAACGACGCGCCGACGACGCGCAGATCGTGGCCACGTCAACATGCAAACGCGCGCCGGCGCAGTCGTCGAGCGCCGCCCAGAGCACGGCCGCGGCCGCGTGCGCGGCCTGGAAGCCCTCGGGCACGTTGTCCCAGTACGTCGCCGCGTCCCAGGCCGCGACGGACCGCAGCGGGCCGAGGGCCGCCGCGCAGGCCGCGCGCGCGTGGCGCAGCGCTCTTTGCTTGTCCGGCATCGCCGCGACGGCCGCGCGCGCGTGCGCGGCGGCCTCGTACGCGTCCGACGCGTTCGCAGCGTCTTGCCTGGCGAAGGTTATTGCGTCCTCCACGTTCATTCTTGCTGCTGCTTGGCCTTGAGCACGCGTTGCCGGTAGGCCAAGATGGCGCCACTTAGCCCAAACTGTACCCCTATGAGCAGTCTCCAGTGCAAGGGGATGCGTTTGAAGTTGAATTTGAGACCCATTTTGTCCGCAGCAGCGATACTGGCCTGATTTTTGACGCGTTTGGCCTCAGCCTTTGCGATCAGGCTGCATCCCCCTGTTTTTTGCTCTCCGTAAAAAACGTCTGCTAATTCAGACCAATGAGCAGCGAGAGCTAGCATGACTCATCAACGTGTCGCATTGTGCTGGCTCTCCATCGCTGCGGCCCTGTCGCCGCCAACTGCGCGCGTTTCACAACTTGCACAGCACCACGCTGGCGTGCAGCCGCACGTAACGCGTCGCAGCGATGGCCAAACGACGTCTACGCATCGCCGGAATACCGCTGGCGATGATGTCCAGCACGCGCTGCCGAGGCGTGGCCTCCTCGCACTCGCCGCATTCTGCGCGGCGCCGGCGTCGGCGGCGGAGTCGCTGCGCGACGCTCTGGCAGCACGCGACGCGAACAGGTTGACGAAACCGTTCTACAATGTGCCACCGGGGCCTACTACGTTCCCGGACTGGTTGGAAGGACGATGGCGCTGCAGCGCCACCTTCCAGGGCTTCCAGTTCCCGAATGAGAAGATATCGAAGCAGCGCGTCGTCGCCGAGACGGACTTGCCAGGCTTTACCAAACTCTCAATCGCACGCTTCGGCGACGTGGGCCGCGAAAAGACGGAATTCGATCTAAACTTCGTCAGACGCGGCGGCAAGGTCATCGAGGACTACGGCAATAACGTCGCGAATGCCTTGGCTGCCCACGTCGATAAGCCCGACCTGGTTAAAAATGTCGCGTGGGATGCGGCAAATCCCAACAGGATGACGATGTCTCTGAAGGAAGGCGGGCGCAACGGCGAGCGCATCGAGATCTTCGTCAACTCGCGGCGCTCGGAGGCGCTTGAGGGCGACATCTTCCTGAATTCTGAGAGCATCAGACAGATGACGATGGGTCCACCGACGTTGCAGAACCCAACGACGCCGCGCGTGGTCATCGGCGAGTACCAGCACTTCTGGACCTGGCGGCGCGACGGCGACGGCGCGCGATGTAATGTGTTGACGGCCGTGTACGCGGTCCCCGGCGGCTTTGGTTTTGAAGAAGCTTTCGACAAACCGCTGGTGATGTACTCGCACAATTTGCGCCTAACACGAGTTTAATTGTTTTTGACATCTAGCCGGCTCGCGCAGCTTGCGGGATATTTTAAAAATCGTCAAGTCGGTCGACCACAAATATAATACCGGTTCCTATCTTCGGTGTAATAGTTCCGTTGCTGGTGCCCGCAGTTATAGTTCCCGGTGCGCGTTTAAAATACCCCTATACTAGCACTACTAGGTAGTAAGTACTACTAGTAGTAGTAGGCAACCGATGAATCGGCGACGCGCGGTGTCTCCCCCCAGGGGCTCCGCCCACTAGTTCTAGCACCGTAACAATTACCAGGCAACCATGCCAGTGACCAGAGTCTGTTTTTGACATCATTAGCACAGAGCCCCTCGCCGGCGCCGCGGGTGGCGGGCTCGTCTCGTCTTCGAATTCTTGTGGGGAGCGCTCAGGCGACCTCGCACGTGCAGGGCGTGCCCGCCGGCGACGCGTCCCCGGCGTCGGGGGCCGGCGGCGCGCCCGTGGCGCCCCTCGTGGACTCCTCCTGCGCAACGAGCTCCTTGCTCTCCGGGAGGATGCGGCTGCGGAAGGGCTCGGGGAACGCCACGTTGCGCTCCGTCAGCGCCGCGTTGAGGAACCCTAAGGGCTTGGCGGGCACGGCGAGGCGCAGCAGGCCGCCCTTGCCGACCATCGACGGGTGCTTCGCGAGTCGCGCGGTCGCAGCGCGCAGCCCCAAGGCTAGTAACGTGCGCTCGTGCTGCGACTCACAATTGAACTCGTACTCCTTGTGGCCCGCCTTAAATTTCAACATCTGCGGCTTGGACGCATCGTAGGGCGCGACGCTCGTCACGTTCTTGAGATGCACGGACTTCGACTCGTGGCTGCCGAAGCCCCCCTTGTTCGGAGGATCTTCGTAGATGAAGGTCCGGTTGTCCTCTGAGATACGTAGATACTTGACGGTGTGCCGGGACCTGCGTGGAAATCAAATTTCAGCCGGCCTACGCCATCGACGCGACATCAACCTAACTCACTGCTTGATTTCCACGCAGATCGGGACAAAGCGTGGCTGTTCTTCTTGGCCTTGATGGGACCTAGCGCCTTGTCCTCCTGGCGCGCGTGTAACGCCTGTAAGTGGGCTCTATCGGCTTTCGCGACGGCAGCCCTCCGGGCTTGCGCCTCCTGGAATAATTTTTCTTGTTCAGCTTTCGCCTTCGCTTCTTCCGCGATTCTGTTCTTCTCGGCCAACTTCTCGTCGTGGGCGCGCTTCTTCGCCTCTGCAGCTAGGTTCTTGAGCTTCTTGGTATACTTGCCTGCGTCGCACAGTGTCGCGTCGACAGCGTCGGACAAGGAATCGCGGACGCGGGAATCGCACGGTAAAAGTCCTGGATCTGCAGCGCCGCGTGGCCGTTGGGATCGAAGCCCGCGAGAGCGCGCAGGCGCTGGCGCTCCCGCTTCTTTTTCACATGCGCTTTGACGAGGAAATAATTCTGAGGCCCAAATAGAGCGACGCCGATGATGTATAGTAGGATTGTGAAGAACCACCCCAGCAACCACATCACATACGAATGAATGAAATGCGCATAGAACATCGTGCCGAGACCGATCGCCAAACAAGCGGCCGCCAAAGTAGCCGTGGCCACGGGATCGGCCCTACCAGTCGCCAAGGCGTTCAGCGCCCTCAAAGGCAACAGCAGACCCAGCAGCAGTCTCTGGACAGGTTCTAAGAAAGGTTTGAGGATGTGAATGGAGCGGAAGCGTTTCATGGGCCTGCGTAGGACGTCGATCAGCGCGTCGCGCGGACGGCGTGAGCAGACGTCGCGTCGATGGCGTGGAGGTGGACGTGACTCTCAGAGGGCGCCCCATACGCCGTCGAGCAGATCAATCGAGGACGCCGCGTCGCGCTTCTTCGACTTGTAGTCGTCCTCGTCGACGACGTCCTCCTCCTCGTCCTCCTCTTCCACGACTTTCACTTTACCGGAGGCGCGCCACTCCTCGAGCATCAGCTCGATCGCGACGGACTCGGCGTCGCCGCGCGCTGATTTTTTGGCGGCCTGGAACTCCTCGTCGGACGTCGGGTGCTGGACGGCCTTGGTGCCCGTCGCGATGGCCTTGGCCCAGGCGAGCATCGGGAACTGGGGCCGGGCGACGCGAGGCACGATGTTGTGGCCTTGTTTCGCCTTGTCGTCTTCTCTCACGCCGGCTAGCGTGTCCCGCAAATCCAGAGCCGCGATGAGCCACAACCACGCCACCGCGCGCGCGCCGTTGCTGACGGACGTGAGCCACGCGACGAGGGCTACGAGAGATCTCACGGGGTTGCGGTACATCACTAGTGCGACGATGCGGTCTTTGAGGCCCGAGACGGCTCCTAGCAAGACATCCACCAACTCATGAGCATGATCGGACACGCGCCCTATCGAGAACGGCTCGTTGACCGCATCGTGAGGACAAGCGCCCTCGCCGTACATGGCAAACCTGACGTTCTCGCGCAGGGCCTTGCCGCCCTTCGTGGCCGGGAACGTCACGTACTGGGGCTTGGCCTCGCCCAGCAGGTCGGTCAGCGCGCTCTTCGCCATCGTCATGCCGCCGTCGTCCCAGGTGACCTTCACTCGTAATCTAACGGCCCCGCGCGAGTCCTTCTGCGTGTGCTTGCCCGCCGCGTTCGTCGCCGCCGTCGCGAGCGGCTCATCTGCCACCAATGCTCTTCCAGCATTAGCTAGAGCTTCGCCTTCGGTCGCCGCAAACACTAAAGGAAACCACGCGTCGTAGGCCGCGTTCGGCGCTAAACTGCGCAGCCCGACGGCGCACCGGCCGATGGGATCGTCGGATTGTAAGGGGTTAGGGTCGTCATCAAAGATCGCTACATATAGTGTAGCCGCCGGATCGACAATCCTGAATCTGAAAGCTCGGCGCTCGTCCGCGGACCAGGCCGGCACCTTGGCGTTGTCTTTTATTGAGGTGATGCCCACGCCGCCGTCCAGCACTACGAGAGCGTAGCAGTCCTCCGCTGAGAAGGCGTCGCCCACACCAACGGAAGTCCAGCCGCCCGCACAGATCACTTCGACCTCGACGGTCCCGACGGGCGCGCCCGGCCGGAACCGCGCATCGACCAAGACATCCTCGAAGACCTCGGAGGGTCGCAGGTCCTGATACTTCTCGCCGTCGTGCGTCTTCGTGAGGTGGTGCAGCGGGTTGAACTTGTTGAGCGTGCCGGCTACTTTCCCGACGCCCTTCAGGTTCTTGGACGGGTCGAGGGATTCTATCGTGTCGAGCCAGCCGTCGATGGTGCCTTTGAGCCAGCTCGCGGCGTTGAGGAGACCCATCGTGGCCGGTTATTTTTTTTATGGCGGTTTCTCTGCCGCGCTTTCGGCGACGGCGCCGCGTAGCGCGCTGGTTTGTGTTCGGGCCTCCCGCGTCGCTTTTTGGGGGCGGCGCGTTGCTTTAGCGCCGATATCCTGGCTCGGCCTTCTCTGCTCAAAAACGGAGCAGCGCTGGGTTTCGCAAGGAAACAATTCGGCAGGTGGTCAGCGCTATTGACGGCAAACTCTAGCGGCAGCACACGCCCTCAGCGCGTCAACACTGCAGCGCTTTGGCTTCGCGGAGCTTGTTTATCCCTGGGCTTGTGCTAGTGTGTTACTGCGCTAGCTCAATCGAGCACTAGAGATACTGGCTCTGATTCTAGAAGAGTCCGTTACACCCCGGGCGGGAACTTGAGATCCCTCAGCCTGTTCCGGCTCGTCGACGAGGGAAAGACTGACGTCGCGGCCTACGCGCTCAAGTTTATCCCCTAATGCATATCCATAAGGATGTAGAGATATCTCTAGAGCAATCCCTACCCAAGACTACTACAGCCCCCCCCCGCTCGCCTCCGTCACAACAGCTAGCGCGGACAACACCTTCGCGTGCTCCCTTGATAATTCCGCGAGGGGCCCCTCCGCGCTTTCCAGCGCGGCGGCCTGCGAGCGACACGCCTTCGCGAGGTTCTCGCGCGCTGCTTCCTGACTCCCACTGTAGCTCACGGCAGCCTTCGCCACGGTCTCGTCGAAGCCCGTCCGCGTCACGCGCGCGCCCCGTAACGGAGGGAACGGGTACTGCGCCGGGAACACGTAGTCGTCATGCGGGTTGTCTTTCTCCACAAACCCATAATTCGCCAGCAGCAAGGCGTTGGATTTCGCACCGTAGGACGCGAAGGCCTCGTCGCCCTGTCGCAAATCGTCGTGCGCGCGCACGGCGAACTGGTCCCCGAAGTACTCGTAGGACGCGCCGCCCTCGACGACGCCCGCGTGGTTCAGAAAGTCCACGCCCGGCGCCAACACGTGCCTTTCTAGATTCAAATCGTCGTTCTTCGCGACGAAGTAGTCGCTCAGCAGCGTCGCGAGGGCGACGGCGAGGAACCCCTGGAGGGCCGTCTCCCAGGGCCCGTAGCCACCGACCACATACCCACCAGCCAACCACGCCGCGAAGCCCACCGTCGCCAGCCGCTGCGTCGGCGACGACGCCTCCAGCGGCCCGCTGAACGACCGCGTCAGCACCGTCGCGAGCGCCCACCGCAAATCCTTCTGCGTGAAAGAACTCGAAGGTAAGAGCGCGTCCTCGGCCTTCTTCCAACGCTTCTTCTGCTCTGATACGACCTCCCTTAAGGGGGCGTACGCGCAGTCGTTCAGGTCGGCGTCGGTCCAACTGACGACCGGGAGCTCGTCGTACGACGCGGGCAGCGCGGCGAACCAGCCGCTTAGTTCCGCTTCGTCCTTGCGCGCCTTCAGCAGCCGCAGCGCGAGGCGCCCCTGCCAGCCCGCTTGCTGCCATCTTGCATCATCACAATAGCCCGCGCGTTTCAGTTCGCGGGGGGCGTTTTTTGCCTCGAGGCTCGTGGTCTCTAGAGCGGATGCTCTAGGCGCCGCGATGAGCTGTTCGCCTTGTTTTATGGTGTCGGTCGCGATGAGGCCGCGGACGCCTAGCGCGTTGTCGCCTATTTTCAATTTCGGAGCGTCGACGCCTTGCAGACTGCTAAGACTGAGAGCGCTGGCTGTGCTGACTAATAGCACCAGTGCTCTGGCCATCGCTGCGACTGGCGTGCTGGCTATGCAGCGCTGTAACTTGTGCTCTTGCTCTCCTGCTGCTCTGTACGTTGCTGAGTCGGTTGTTCTGCGTTTCCAGGCGAGGCAACGAAACAAGTACGTAAAAATGGTGTTCCGTATGCTGTCTGTTTGCGAATAGCGATGACGCGGAGCACGCTTTTAGCCGCCAGTGCCAGGCTGTGCAAAGGCAATGATCTCCAGAGCTGGAGCGGACGAAGTGGTAGTATCTTTCGAACACAAAGGACGAGTCTTGGCCTACGACGAAGCGTCGCGGGGCTGGATCGTCGACGACGCTAGCGGCCTGTAAGACACTAGGCATCCCAGCAAGCAAGCAAGCAAGCCAACTTTTTTTGCAGCGAGGGTGCAGCTTGGCAACATACAACTCGTATTTTTTGATCTCTTGGTTGCTGCGGTGCCGCAGATCAGCGGTTTCACCACTAAGTCTGCCCGCATTGCAGCTGCAGCCACTGCTGCTGCTGACAGCCTCACGCCGTCGAGCGGACAACATGGACATCGAAGACCTCAAACCCCCGGACCTGACGAGGGGCCCGCGCTGCGACGACGAGGTCGTCCCCAAGCACAAGCGCACCGCGCGGTTTAAACCACGAACCGAATGCAACGCACCGAGTTTCCTCCCCGAGACGAAGCGCGTCTACGTGCGCACGTTTGGGTGCGCCCACAACGCGTCCGACTCCGAGTACATGGCCGGCGTCTTGGCGGCGGAAGGGTATGATGTGTCGGCCAACTCTAATGACGCGGCGAGCGCGGACGCCTGGGTCATCAACAGCTGCACGGTCAAGGACCCGTCGCAAGCAGCCTTCGTGAAGGAGGCGCGCCAGGCCATGGCCGAGGGCAAGGGCGTCGTCGTGGCCGGCTGCGTGCCGCAGGGCGACCGCGGCCTCGTGAAGCGCAAGCCCGGGAAGGCGCCTCCTTTGTTGGATGGCGTCTCGTCCATCGGCGTCAAGCAGCTCGGGAGGGTCGGCGAGGCCGTCGCGGCTTCGTTACGAGGCGAGGTCTTCCACGCGCTGGGCCAGGGCCCCCTCCCTTCCCTGGAACTGCCGAAGCAGCGAAAAGAAGCTCTAGTAGAGATCGTGCCCCTGTCGACGGGGTGTTTGGGCGCGTGCACGTACTGCAAGACGAGACACGCGCGGGGCAAGCTCGGCTCGTACGCGCCGGAGGCTATAGAGAAGCGCATCGCAAACGCGCTCGACGAGGGCGTCGCCGAGGTCTGGCTGAGCTCTGAGGACACGGGCGCCTACGGGATTGATCTACAAACGTCTTTATCTGCTTTATTGTTGCGATTGATCCCCGTACTTGAAAAAAGGCCCTTCGCATCTTTGAGGGTCGGCATGACGAACCCGCCCTACGTCCTGGACCAGCTGGACACGCTGGCGGAGGTCATGGAGCACCCGCAGATCTACGCGTTTTTGCACGTGCCCGTGCAGTCCGGTAGCAATGAGGTACTCGGCGCCACGAGAATGAACCGCGAGTACACGGTGCAAGATTTTGAGAAAGTCGTGAACCGTCTACAGGAGAAAGTGGACGGTGGCGTGACCATCATGACCGACGTCATCTGCGGTTTTCCGGGCGAGACGGAGGAGGACTTCGAAGAGACGTATCAGCTCGTAGAAAGGCATTCTTTTCACTTGATGAACATCTCGCAGTTTTATAGTAGGCCGGGCACGCCCGCGGCGAAGATGAAGCGCGTGCCGACGAAGGACGTGAAAGCGCGGTCGCGGCGTTTGACCCAGCTCGCGGCGACGTTCCGACCATATAGTGAATTAGTTGGGGTGGTGGAGGCGTGCGCGTCGTGCGGGGAAGTGGCGGACGGCGGCAAGCGGCTCGTCGCCCACACGAAGCGCTACGTCAAGGTGCTCGTGCCCTTCGACGAGCGGTTAGTGGGGGCGCGCTTCGACGTGAGGATCACCGCGGCGCACCGGTGGCACGTCGACGGCGCGGTGGTCCGCGTGACGCTCGCCGCCGACGCGGCGAACCGGCCCGCGCTGCGCGACGCGCTCGCGGCGCTGCGGCGGCGCGGCGTGGACGTGTCCGCGGAGCCCATGGTGGTGTCGCGGCGGGCGGCGGCGCTCGCGGTGTTGCCGCTTGCTGTTGGGATGGTGCTGTACTACCTGTCCCTATTGCTTGCGTAATTGTGTTTTTGTAACGTGAATAACGCAGTTATATAACAGTCAGGGCGGCGCCAGCGAGAGGGAGGAACTGCACGCGGAATTTTGTTCTGTGTTTTTTTGATTGATTTTTTCCCGGGCGTTCGCGTATGTAGGGGGACCGCGCTTCGTCGCGGGGGCTGGCGCTGCGTTTTGGGCCTTTCGGTCCGATCAGCACGGTGTTTTGTCTTCGCCGGCGTAGCATCGTGGGCCAATATACGCGCCGTTGCTGCGTTCTTCTAGGACGTGGCACGTATCACCATACGTAAATAGGCCTTTCAAACATGTTGCCGAATCAAAATAACGTGTGTCAGTCAGGGGCGTCCAATATTCGCCACGGTCTGTCCTGAAGAAGCCTTTAAGTAGAGATCAAGGACTACCAGACCTACGAGTCTCTTAAGGTGGGCATCGACGATATGCACGAGCAGCTCGCGGGGGCGGACGCGGACGTGCGCAAAAAGTGTACGGCGCGCCTCGACGCGTTGCGGCGCAAGCTCGACGCGGGCGTGGCCGGCGACGAGCCGCGACGGTTCTTCGACGTCGAGAAGGCGCACGCGGCCCTCGAGGCGCTCGGCGAGGATTTCGAGATCGTCGATAAGAACACGTTCCTCAAGGCGACGCGCCGGCTGAAGAAGCTGGAGGCCGCCCTCCATTCCTACGAGACCACGGCCAAGGCGCGAAACACCGTCGACGGCGGCTGGCGGACGCCGGAACAGCTCGAGCACTTCCGCGCCGATGTCCCGTACTGGAAGCAGCAGATTCACGACGCCGCGCCGAGTTTCTCCGAGGCGGCGCAGAACCAGCACCAGGACCAGCAACTCGCGGCGCTCAAGGTCAAGGTCGCGCGCGAGCACCAGATGCACCGCCTCGCCGCGGCGCACCTCAAGTTCTGGCACTTCTGGTTCCTGTTTCTGCCCGCGGCGCTGCTCACGATGGTGAGCGGCATATTGGCGTTCCTCGCCACGTCCGAGCTGATCGGCTCGAACACGGCAACGGTCCTCACGGTGCTCGTCGGCCTCCTCTCGCTCGTGGCGACGTTCATTCAGACCATCAACGACCGGCTCAATTTCGGAGGCCGCGGCGACATGCATGCCTCTGCCGTGCTCGACCTGAAGCAGGTGCTCGACCAGCTCGAATTCAAGCAAATCAACGACATCACGGACCGAGGCAAGAAGCCCGCGACCGAGGCGACGGGCGACCCGGCCACTCCACCAGGATCTGAGTTCATGGACGACCTCGAGCGGGGCGCGCTCTCGTCGAAGACGGTGGACACGTACAACGAGATCTACGTGCAGATCCAGTCGTCTTGTAAGTCCGCGGTGCCGCTGCGCATCCAGCAAGCGTTCGCCATGGCCGACTCGATGCTGCTCCATACTCTTGCGGCGAAGGCCGACGACAAAAGTCTCACGCACGAGCTCAACGACTGGGCGGGCCCGACGTGCACGATAAGCAAAAACCTCTTCTCGGACGAGTTCGTCAACGCGCGCTTCAAGTTCCAGTTCAACAGCGTGCGGGGGATGCTCTACGACCACATCTACGGCAACATCTCCTCGAGCCGTGGTTTCCCGATCGTGCTGCCGAAGCCGCACCGCATCGTCAACCGCGCGCTCGCGGAGCTCAATCCGTGTGCTCCCGGGTAATTCATATTCATTTTAGATTAGCTAACTAACGCGCTCGCGCATGACTCGCCGCTCGTGCCGGATACGCGTGAGCGACCGCCGACAGAACATGATATGCGCGAGCACCACACAGGCCAGCGCGACTGCGAGCTGCGGCGGTACCACAAAACCGGCCAGGTCGAGCCGGGGCTCAGAGCCCGCCGCGCCGATCTCGTCGTCGAAACCTCGGGGTGCCTGGCACATAGGGCCCGTCCTGGTATCACCGCAGCGACACCGCCGTCGCACACACTCCCCACCACTCCCGCACTCCCTCCCATGAACACACGCCCCCCCGCCGCGCGGCACCGGCTCGAGCGCCCGCCGCATCCGCGGCGCGTCGGGGTCCAGATACCGATCTAGATGCGCCTGGATGAATTTTTTTGTAGGGTGCGACGGCGGGTCGCAGCCCACGGAATGTTTTTCATTTTGATACAGCCGCACGTAGTCGATCAGGAAGTGCGCCGGCAGCGAATCGCAGAAGCCCTCGGCGATGGCGCATTTGCAGGCCTCCTTCTTGCAATCAAAACAATCGCAGGCGCAGCCCGCCGGGCAGGGCGCCGGGAAGCCCCACGTCGACGACATGGCCGTGTTTAAGAGGAGGTAGGTCGGCTCGTCAGGGATCTGCAGCCCTCGCGTCAAGTTCGTCAATGATTGCTGGTTAATTTCATATAAAAATTCACCGTCCTTGTACCACGCCAACCTTTGTCGAGGCGTCCACTCCAAGCGATATGTATGAAACTCTTCAAACTCGGAACTGCCAATAGGAGTATTGGCAGAAACAGCGTCGGCCCAGTACGACTCCTCCGGGTCACCGATGGGCGACTTGAGCTCCATCCCATAAAAAAACACATTTTGGGACGTGTTGGGACCATATTTCATACCCTCGTACCACGTGCCGGGTGCCGGCTGCGCGCCGTTCCAGGGCCGCACCTTTGCCGCCGGGGCTAATTGCAAGGAGGTGGAATAGTAGGGTTTCAGCAAGTAGTAGGGCGGCACGGGCATGGGCATCCAGCCGTCGCCTGCGGGGAACGATCTCATGCGGCCGCGTCGACGGCGTCGAGGCGACGGCGTCGAGGCGGCGGCGTCGAGGCGACGGCGTCACGTTCAAGCTCATATTTTTCACGCCGAGTCCGCACCAGGCATCACCTCGAGCAAGTCGATCTCCGGGGCGCCCCGACCCTGCCTTGAATTCAAACCAAAATGGGGCCGGATCGCACAGCCCGAGACCTCCTGCTTCCGCTGATTCGATCGATCGCAGGGCTCATGCGAAAAGGGCCACATGCGCTGCGACGAGGCGACATACGTCGCTCGCGCGAGGTTGCCCATCATCCACAAACCCGGCCAGAGCCCGCCCACGTCCCAGCGGCCCGGTAGTTTGGCCCGGATCTCCAGCACGCCGCCCCGGAAACAAAATTTGTCCCATCCTTGGAGCATCGCCGACCGGAAATGCTTTCTTACCTTCACCGTGACCTTCTCCTTGTTCTTCACTTGATGAGACATGAACTCCGTGTCTTCATCAGTGGTGGTGAGTCGCAAAGTGCCGTTGAACGTCGTCGCGTGAGTTTCAGAGTAGTACTGCAGCGCTTTATTGGTGTAGTCGTTCTTGTTAATGGCCGTCCAGCGCGGGTCCTCGCCGTCCTTGAAGGAGCGGTGCGGCGTCTCGAACTCGTCGCTCATGACGAGCGTATGTTTACTGTTGTCGCCGTAGCTCCGGATCGTCCGCTCATTGTGTGGCGTGTCGGCGTCGATCCAGCCGGCTCGTGCGCACGCGACGCAGAGCGCGCAGCGCAGCGCGAGGGCGCGCATCGTGTCTACGCCCGCACGCTGCGCGTCGCCTCACTGACGCTCAGAGAGAGGATCTCGATGTGTGGCGCCCACGGCGCGCCAAGCGCGGCACCGTTCGCGCAGGTGCGCTGCGACCACTTCGCTTAATAAATGCGGCGATCCATCGCCGCTCTCGCGGGCACGAACGTGAGCATCGCTCCACTTTGCCTTGTTGCGTAATCGTTCCTAGTGCTGTTATGCTAGCTCAAAAATATAGTCGAGACCATCTCTCTGAATTCGCCAGCTCCTGGTCGCATAGTTGCAGCTGCAGGTGCAGTACAGGTTGCAGGGCTGGACAGCTCGGCAGCAACGCCCGCGCCAGCATAGCTGCAGCACTGCATCTCTTTGGCAGCCACAGCGGCCCAGCAGCGAACAAGCATCTCAGACGCGATGCAAGACGAACCCCCACCCCGCGCGAAGCGCCTCCTGCGCAAAGGAGTATTAATAATAGCACCGATACTGTTAATAGCAGCAACCGTCTACGCCAAGGTCATCGCGCGCCGACGGTGGGAGGGCCGCGCCGCGGTCAAGGGCTACGGCGACGTCTTCAAGCGGCAAGCAATCAAAGAAAGCACGAAGCTCAAGGGCGCGACCGCCGAGTGGGTCCCCTTCGAAGCGCGAACGCATCCCGACACGCCGACGAAGCTCTGGGGTAACGTGAAGCGGCCCTTCCCGACCGGAGCGTGGTGGACGAATTTGGTCGTCGGCGGGCCCTCTTCGAGTGGCGACGGCCTCGGCACGGCCTTCGCGACGCCGTATACGGTTTCCGTGTTGCCCGACAAAGGCGTCGTACTAGGTTACGGCGAGGTCCTCGCGACGAACGACTCGCTGACGCTGGCGACGTCGCAAGCTGCGTGGAAATCAAATTTCGCAACTGCATCTGCTCGATGGTGTGTAGATTCCACGCCATCGACGCGAGGCGATGGCGTTCAGGTGGATAACCTAACTCACTGGTTGATTTCCACGCAGGTCGCAGGACCTCATCGTAAGCCTCAAGGGCGGTCTGGAGAAGCGAGAAGTCGTCGCTTATGACGACCTGACGATGACGATGCGTTGTTCTGCAGACAAGGGGCAGATCGACGCCTTGTTCGCGCGGGGCAGTCCCTACGTCACGTTCCGCGTCGACGGCGTCCCGTCTCTGAAATCCGACGCGCTGTTTACGGATCTCCAAGCCGTCGACGCCGTTACGAACGAGACGATGCCGAAAGCGTGCGCGGCGTACCCGAGCTGTATACTAGCGAGCATGAAGGGAGACTGCTGCCCGCAGCCGAGTGGTGTAAAGCACCCGTGCTGTAGCGGTTCTTTGGGCGCTCAGACGGGCGAGGTCTTCTCTGTTGCGTTGTCGAACGGCCAGGCGTGGCGCCTCTACTTCTCTTCTCCAGTGACACTGACCTGGGACTCGACCGGCGCGCACACCACCCATTCCTTTCAAGGAGTCATGCGCGCAGCCGTCGTGCCGTCGAATTCCACAAAAGACGCGCTGATGTTGGATGCCCACGCCGAGGCCTACGCGACCGCCGGTTCGGTAAGGGTGACCGTCGATCGAGCCAAGGATCCCGATGTTGGAATTGTGGCCTTCGACTGGCAGGTCGCTTATTTAGGATCGTCCATACCTAGAGATGAATTGGAGCCGGCGCTGCTGATGCTTGCTTTACCTCATCACGTCGACGCCTTGGTGGCGGACGCGTCGATAGGTTTCCTGGACATACTACGTTACAGAGGCGGCCTCAAGGGCATCTGTAGGGCCGTCCTCGGGAGCAGTTGGCGCCTCGCGGAGCCTTTGACCAAAATAGGCTTCACGGCGCCGCGGCCCCTCAAGGAGCAGAAACATGTCGATGCCATAAAAAAACAGGTGAAGTCCGACGTCATGCGGCCGGCCGGCGAGACCGACAAAGATGCGGCGTGGATTTGCTTCGACGACTGGTTCGGCAACGCGTACTGGAACGGCAAGGAGGCCGCGCGGCTCGCGGGCCTGGCGCTCGTCGCGCAAGAAGTGGGTGACGACGCGTCCTTCACGAGCGCGGTCGCCCAGATGCGAAGTATCTTAGAATTGTGGCTCGAAGCTAGGAACGGGGACCCCCTCGTCTACGACGCGACGTACGGCGGGCTCGTGACGGAGAAGGGTCTCTACGACCACGACGCGGATTTTGGAAATGGCTACTACAACGACCACCACTTCCACTACGGCTACCTGCTGCACGCGGCCGCGGTGGCTGTGAAAAATGATGCGGGCTTCGCCGCGAAACATAGAAGAGCGCTCTTCGCGCTGCTGTACGACGTGGCGTCGCCCGGGAGCGGGCACTCTCTCGATAGTGTGGATGTCGACGCGCGGGCCTTCCCGCGCGCGCGGCACAAGGACTTCTACGCGGGGCACTCGTGGGCGAGCGGCATCTTCTTCATGGGCCAGGGCAAGGCCCAGGAAAGTTCGAGCGAGGCGGCGAACGCTTATTATGGGGCGTACCTCCTGGCCCTGAGCCTGGGTGACGTCGCGCTGGCGGACTGGTGCCGCACGCTCCTGGCCATGGAGGTGCGCGCCGCGCGGTACTACTACCACATGCCGGTCGGCGGCGAGGTCTACCCGGCGAGGTTCGCGGACCACAACAGAATGGTCGGTGTGCTCGGCGCGCTCTCGACGGGCGCGCAGACCTGGTTCGGGCCGTCGCCCATCTACGCGCACGGCATCCAGATCCTGCCCGTGACGCCGGCGACGGAGGATCTCTTGAAGCCGCCCTCGTTCATCGCCGAGGACCTGGCGTTCCTCGACGTCGTCCTCGCGCACGACGCCGCGGTCGACGACTCGTGGTCGTCGCTCGTCGTCTGCGAGCGCGCCGTGCTCGACCCGGAGCGCGCCTGGAAGGAGATGATGGCCCTCCAGGTCGTCGACGGCGGCGCGTCGAAGGCGGCGCTGCTCTACTGGATCGCTACGCGGCCGCCGCCCGACGCCGAGACGAAGGCGCTCCTGGCGAAGGCTGAAGGGGGTGGGTAACTTATTTAGGTGTGGTTACGAATTGGGGGCGAGCGGCGGTCCGCGGCTCGTCGGCGTAGCTCTAAGCAAAGCGCGAATTGGGGGACGGGCGACCCGCTAGGTCGGCTGCGTCGTGGTGACCGTTTCGTCCTTCGTATTTTGGTTTTTAAACGGGTCACCTTCCGCTACGTCCTTATGAAGGTTGTCGGTTAAATCTTCCAATATGTGCTGGTCGGCCTCGCGCAATGTCTCTCCCATATTCCGGGAAATCCGCTGGTACTTGTCTTCCTCCGCGCCGTCGACCGGGGGCGAGCAGTGGACGCAGACGTGCTTGTAGCACGGGCACACGGGGGCCGGGGCGCCCCGTTTCTTCATAAAGTAGAGCATCTGGTACGCCGCGCACTGGCCCTGATGCGGGAATAAGACCGGCACGCAGGTTGCGATTCCGAGGTAGCCGGGGAGGTACGTCGTGCAGGTCGGTCCGCAGCACTCGTCGTCGGGCAGGCCCCACTTGCGCTTGACGCCGTCGCGGACCTGGGTGCCGTACGCCGTCATGATCCAGGGCACGAAGAGACAAGATATGAGTGGCATGATAAAATAACCGGCAAGAAGATACACGCCGACGATGATGCCGCACTGCTTGTACCACTCCTTCTGGCGACAGAGGCCGCGGATGCCGTTCTGCTCGGCGACCTCCGCGTGGGCGCAGACGGCGCACCAGCAGGCGTAGCAGCAGAGGCCCTGGTCCAGCGTGCAGCGGTCCGGCAGCACGCACGAGCAGCACCTGTGTGGAAATCAACATTTTACGGCGCGTTCGCGCGTCGACCTCCACGCCATCGACGCGACGCCTGCTCGATAGCGTGGCGATGCCGGTTCCTCACCGCTCGATCGAGCCAGGACGGCCGCGCCATCGCCGAGCACCCGACACACTGGTTGATTTCCACACAGAGCAGCACATGGGGAAGGGCCACTCGGAGCTCAGGGCGCTCACGGTCACCTCGGCGTGCGGCATGCCGAACCTGGGCCCGCCGTGGTCCGGCTGGACGACGACGACGTCGCCGACGCCGACGTGCGCGGGCACGGGCTCGCCCCGCTTGACCTCGACGACCGTGCCCTCGACGGCCATCTTTGCACGTGCAAGGCGGATGCGGCTGCGTTCCTATCGCCCAGCGTCGGGCAGCGCGGTTGGCTGCGAGCTGCCTTGGCGCGGCGGGCGTCGGCGCGCGCGGCAAGCCGGGCAGTGCAAGTCGGTCTTTTGGTCGGCAATGCAAGCAGCAGCCGCGGGGGCTGCCCGGGCCAGCGGCGAGCAAGTTTGGGCTGCAAGCGGTGCCTGGCGCGTCCGGTGGCGCGCGGCGGGGCTGCGGGGGCCGGCGCCGTCAGCTTAAATGATTCTCCCAGCCCTGGCATCAAGTGGGCTCTGGTTGACCTCCGCTGGACAAAAAAAGGACGACGCACCGACCTTTACGCACACTCCTAGCCGAGCAGGTCCGCGATGTAGTCCGACAAATTCGCCCGTCCACTTTCCGTACCCAAAGCGCCCGCCTCCCCCAGCTCGTGGCGCTCGAACCGCAGCTTCGCCCGCACACTTTCGGGAAAGAGCGGCGTAAACAACTTCACCAAGGCCCCGAGCAGCCGCGGCAGGTTTAGGAGGACGGTCGGGCCCGACAGGCCCGGAAAATACGCGTCGCCCTGCTTCGACGCCGCCGATAAAGCGTTGCGGAAGGACGCGTCTCCGAGTAGATCCACTCCAGCTAGATCGTTGACCGTCGTGACGGTCGCCAGCGCGCCCGTCCGCTTTGATAGAGAGGCGCAGGCCCTTTCGTTAATTGCCTTCGCATACAAAAAAAAGTCAGCAAGTTCTTCTACAGTAACAGCACTCATGAGGGCCTTGTCGTCGATGTCGCCCGCGCGAATCGCGTAGATGAGGCCGTCTCCCTGCTTATTCCTCAGGTTCATGACCCTTCCTCCCTCAAAAAACGCGTTTATTTTACTACCGTGCGGCGCCTTCTCCTGCACGGGTTTATTGGTCCAGGCGCCTTCAGAAGTGGCTTCGTTGACCGCATCTCTCGCCGCCTCGCAGATCTTCTTGCCTTCACCAGTACGCCATTCTATACTTTCTCGTACCTTCGCTTCGGCCGCATCCACATCACCGTCGTCGCCAAGAAACCGGGCGAGCCACGTTTTGAGGTCGGTGTCGTCTCCACAAGGAATCAGGTCGTCGGCTAATGACCGCGCGTCCTTTGTTCGCGCGGCGAGGTCGTCGATGAGGGCCGCGTTCGCGCCGCCGGTGGCCTCGGCGACGGTGGCTTGCAGCGTCACGCGTGGTTTCGGCGCAAGCGGAGCGATGAGTGCGGAGGCGCACGTGGCCAAGGCCAACCATCGCAACGGCATCATTTCGCAGCGCTAGGTCGATGGCCGGTGCGGTGTTGCAAGCAACAGATCGCAGCAAGCTATTTGCAGCAGGCAAGTCTCGCTGTACGCCGGCGCACAGGCACCCAGATAGCAAAACACAGTTCCACGCGCCGGTTGGACGAGCAGTGCCGCACGGTGCGCCCTGGATCGCGGCGCTGCTTCCCTCGGTTGCTAGTGTCTTTACGGACCGCTAGCTTACGTGACCCGTCGACGGCGCGCGCGCCCCGAACAAAGTCGACGGGTGACCTTAGACCCCCGACCGATCGACCTACTTCTTCATCTTCACGCGCGGCGACGAGCTCGGCACGTCCGATATCAGCGTGAGGATCGGCTGGATCTCCCACATCTTGTCTCCTGGGGTGGAGAGCAGCCGCGAGACCGTCCCGGCGACCGGCGTCCTTATATCCACCGACGCCTTGTGGGTGTCCACGACGGCCACGGTGTCGTCGGCCGCGACGCTGTCGCCTACTTGTACCGTGTACTCGAAGAGCTCGCCCATCTCATCATTAAAATAGCCGTCTCCAATAAAGGGTGTCCGCACGAAGGTCTCGTTGGCGTTTTTGGTTGGCTGCTGCTGGCCGGACTCGTCGAAGGTGGCGAATGGCGCGGCTCTTCGTGCGCGCATGGCGAGGCGCGGCGCGCGGCGGAGGAGCGCTTGCATTGCCATGATGCGGCACTACGTGCGCGTTCCTGCAGCTCTAGCGGCACGCGTATCGCGTCCCAAGCTTACAGCGCTCTGAGCGTAGGGTTGCTCTCTCCCTCCGCTTCGAGTTTCGGGACGCGCAGGTTCAGATGCGATGAGTTATAACGCAGCGAATGAATGCCAACCGTCGCGCCGCACCGACGGCCACAGCGCGCCGATCAAGCTATGATGCAGGTTCAGATGCGATGAGTTATAACGCAGCGAATGAATGCCAACCGTCGCGCCGCACCGACGGCCACAGCGCGCCGATCAAGCTATGATGCTCTGCTGCAGCTAGCTTTGATAGCTTGGGCAGCAAGAGCAGCGGCTCGGCTCGGGCTAGCACACGTCCTGCCCTCGCATGCCTACGTTGGACACAAGATTCATCTCGACGAAACAGGAGAACCCGCACCCAAAAATCACTGCAGCGCCGAGACTCAGTAAAAACAGGCCAAAACAGCTGCCCAATAAGCTCCGGGCAGCGCCAGGGAGCGCCTCGAACGAACGACCGAACCGCGGCAAGCAGCGCGCGCCAGAAGGATGGCGACTGGAATGCTCACCGAGTCCCAGCTCAAGGAGAAGCTCGCCACGCCGCGGAGCCCGCCGCCCATCCCCCAGGAGCCCTTCACGCTCACCAAACCTTTCATCGACACGCCGTTCCCCTACCCGGACTGCGCCCGTCCATTAACGAAGAAGACGCCGAACGGGTTTGGCGTCAGCACCTCGCAGATCTCGACGTCGCACCTGGGCATCCGCGCCAAGCCGGTGAACCCGCACACGCGCGCCTTCGACGAGGCGGCGGCGAAGCAGCACGCCACGGAGATCCACTATCCGTCGCTGCGATCGTGCCACCTGCAAGCGAACTATCCCTCGACGATCGTCAAGCTCGACCCGTCGTATCCCAAGACGCAATGTCCCGACCCCTTCCTGCAGAAGCAGAAGCCTCCCTTCTCTCCCGAGTCGTTCGAGCGCACGCGGCCAGCAGAAGCGGCCACGAGGAACGACGCCTACGCGGCGTCGTACAACGCGCGCGGCCGGAACGCGTCGAAGCAGCACGAGTGCCACATCTCCTGGGAGACGCGGCCAGTCTTTCATGAAGCCCCAAAACCGTCGCCCGCGCCCTGGGCCGGGCCGCTCGCGCCGACGCGGCCCGAGCCGAAGCAACGGCCCGCGCCGTACGCGTACGACGACGGCTATTAAATATAACGTATTTTGAATAGGCGTCGTCGTCGACGGCGTGTTACCTGGTTTTCGCAAGCCCAAACGCACGGACTCCTGATTTCTAGTGTCTTCACACCGCTAGCCCGGCCTGGTTTTTAGCGCACACGTGAGCCATTATCTGGCCATTTGTTGCAATTCGAGGCTGTAAGGGGACCCGTTGCTTCTCTTAGACGTTCGCGCGAACAGTGCGAGCAGCAGCGACCGCAGCCAAAGCAGCGCCCCAGCAGGGTCAATAATCTACATCCTGCTGCGGCCGAAACGCTGGGCTGTGATCGCACGCCGTCGCCGCAGATCTGCAAGAAAATACACCGCGGCCAATATCGCGCCGACAAATATACAAAGAGGCCGCGGTAACGAGCCATGCAGCAGATCGCCTACTTCGTGCCCCTCTTTCTATTAGTTTTTGGACTGAGCGCGTCCGTCGACGTGCGCCAGGCCTGGGTCGAGCGGAAAAGGTTTGGGAGAGGCGTTGTTTGTGGCCTGCTGTGCCAATTCGTGTTATTGCCGTTCCTCGGGTTTTGCGTGGTGAAGATCTTTGATCTGGGCGAGGTTTATGGCGTCACTTTATTAGTTGTGACGTCGTCGCCCGGCGGCTCCTACAGCAACTGGTGGTGCTCGCTCTTAAACGCGGACCTGGCGCTGAGCGTGGCCATGACGACGGCCTCGACCATTTTATCTCTCGGATTACTTCCACTCAATTTGATTATTTGGGTCACGGCGGCCTATGGTACTAGAGCCGACAGGCATCTGCGGTGGAGCGGCTTGTTTCTCTCCATCGGTGTCGTATTAGCAGCTATTTTGTTAGGATTGGCCGCCGGCGTGGCCTTCGGCTCGGCCGAGGAACCCGTGGGGGACGCTCCCAGGAAACAGAAGAGTAGTAAAGGTACAAAAGCCAGAGCCTTCTTCAACGCGCTCGGCCAGTTGTCTGGCGTAGCTTTAATAGCCGTCGCGTTTTTGGTATCGTCGCGCGACGAGCCGGTCTGGGACAAGCACGCGGGCTTTTATGTGGCGGTAGCTTTACCTTGTCTGGTGGGCCTGGCGTTATCAACAGTACTCGCGGCGGCGGCTTCATTAACAAAGCCGGCGCGGGCGACCGTCGCTGTGGAATGTGCTTATCAGAATCCTGGTATCGCGACGGTCGTGGCGCTGTCGATGTTTGATGGAGATAAAGCGTCGCGCGCCGTCGGCGTGCCGTTGTATTATGGGTTCATCGAGGCCGTGTTTATTGGTCTGTATTTGGTTGGAATGTGGAAGGCGGGCTGGTTGCTGGCGCCGCCGGACGCGTCTGTTCACTCGGTGTTATTGTGGAACTGGCAGGAGAAGGGCAGGGAGGAGGTGGAGGGCGACGCGGAGTCGGCCGCCACGGAGTCGGCCGTCGTCGTTGACGAGACGCCGCCGCCGTCGTCGAGATGACCTCCTCCTGGGCCGTTTTATTTATCTGTGTGTTGGTGTAAAATTTTCCATACAACGTTGTGACGAGTTCGTAGTTTCAGCTAGCGCTGTAAGACACTAGCAAGCCAAAAGCTCGTCTTTGGAGCAGCTTTGTCTCCGTCTCTAGCTGAGCATCGCTGCCGCCGCCTTCAGGAAAGCTTCTCTGAGTACAGCTCTCACTCGGGTTGAAACCACGGCAACCCTGCTGACGTATAGAGATACTTAAGCTCCTGAGAGAGCATATCTGTGCAAAGCCCAGACGCTGCAGCAAAGCAACAATGATGACGCGTCTCGCTCTCCTCGCCGCTTTTCTGCCGTGCGTGAACGCATTGCTGCCGGCCAAGGCCCTGCGAAACGGCCGCCGCCCGTCGACGTCTCTCAACATCCTATCTCCCGAGGCCATGGTTTCGCTCCAAAAGGCCACGAATCGGGCGGAGTTCGAGGACACCGTCGCCAAGTATGCGAAGCAAAAGCGCCTGAGCACGCGCGACGCCGAGCTCGAGTACGCGCGGTACCTCCTCGATCCGGACAAGTTCGTCCTCGACGCGGCGGCGAACTCGAAAGGCGTCGTCGAACAGCGACAGCGGCGACCGGAAAATATCCAGCAGGCGGGCTTCGGCCAGCGGCGGTCGCCGCTCCTGCAGGCGTACATCGACGACGACCCGACGGGCGCGACGGAGAAGCGGATCTCGGACTTCGAGCGCTCGAACACGATCAAGGCCTGCGCGATCATCGCGTGCCTCTTCGTCTTCGTGATCACCTGGGACCCCGTAGTGCCGTAGGGAGTAGTTCAACTATTTATTACGACTGTATTCAAGTGAAAGACGTGTAACGTGCTAGAACTAGTGGTTCGACGGTGGCTCAGGCTCAGGCTAGTTACGTCGCGGGTTCCCCGTACCCACCGCTATTGTTACGGTGCTAGAACTAGTGAGCACCCGTACGGAGCTAGAGACTATGTGTGCGCTAGATCCGATCGATTAACGGGGCTCGCGTTGAGGCAAAGAAACAACCGCCCGCGCGCGCCAGCTGGGCCCGGCGATTGCATTTAGGGTGCATCGCTGCAGCGCCAGCCACGCCTACGCTGCGCAGGGCCCCGGCCGCAACAGCTTTAACGAGCCCCAACCTCGTTTTGTGGGAGGGACTGCAGGAAACCGCAGATACTGAGGGAACCGCGCGCGATGGCCTGGCGCGGCCACGAGGCGTCGCCCCCGGCCTCGCCGCCGCGCGCAGATTACGAGGCCGGGCACGATGGTCTCGACGACCTCGCCGTCGCCGCGCTTGCGACGCTGCCGCCGCAGAAGGCCGCCTCGATCCTCACCAAATTAAGGAACAAAGGAGGCAACGTTCGCAACCCGTCGGCCTACGTGGTCCGGTCCTGTGTGGAAATCAAAATTCAGGCGTCTCACGCCGTCGACACCGTTGTCCTAACCTAACTCACTGGTTGATTTCCACACAGGTCCGGTCGGTCGAGAACGCGCACTGCCACGGCGGCGGATCCCTGCGCCCGCAGCCGCCGCCGGGGGCCGTGTACTACGTACCGTACTGTGTGGAAATCAACGCGATCCTGCTGACCGAGCGGTGAGAGACGCGCCCCGCCACGCCATCGGAGATGCGCCGCGAAATTTGATTTCAAAACAGGTACCGTACTACAACTACGGGCCGCCGCCGCCTCTAAATGAGAGCCCGCCGGGCTTTGAGGGTTTCGCGCCGTCGCCCGCGGCCCCGGCCTTCGTGCCCCAGGGGGTGCCCTATGAGGCGCCCGGAGTCCAGCCCCCGCCCCCGTCCGGCGGGGACGAGTCCGACGCCACGGACGACGGCGAGCAGAAGGACCCCTGCGACGCGCTCGACCCCAAGGCGTCCGCGGCACTAGCCAACCTCCCTGAAAAAGAGGCGGACCGCATCCTCGACAACCTAAGGCGGAAGGGCGACGCCGTGCGCAACCCGTCGGCGTACGTGATGCGCTCGATACTCAACTCGCACGCGGAGGTTGGTTGTGCTTACGCCACAGAGGAATTGCCAGATATTGAAGAAGTCCCGCAGGTGGTGCTCTGTGTGGAAATCAATCAGTGCGTCGTCGCGTCGATGGCGCGGAGGACGACGCGATGATTCAAGCAACGCGCCGTAAAATTCTGATTTCCACACAGGCGGCGTTGCACGACGCGGCAAACTGCGCGGCCTGCCTCGAGTGCAACGAGGTAGCCCTCTGCCCGCGGAAGGCGGCGGTCGACGATGCGCTGCGCTGTGTGGAAATCAACCAGTGAGTTAGGTTTACCTTCGTGAGCCTTCATGCCATCGAGCCGACGCGGTCACGGGAACAACATCGCGTCGATGGCGTGGGGCGCCTGTAATTTGATTTCCACACAGGCGCTGCGGGCGCCGCCCATTCGCGAAACGGGCTGTTCCATCGCCTTCGCGACGCGAGGCTCGGCAGCGGTACAGGCGGCGCGCTGCGCGCAACGGTGGCGCGCGCGGCGGCCGGCGCGGCCGGCGGCGGCGCCGCGGCCCGTCGAGCCGCCGGCCGAACCATCGTCGGGTTGCGGCGAGGCCTGCGACTGCGGCGACGCGCGGCCGGCGGCGGCGCCGCGGCCCGTCGAGTCCAATTCTTGCGGCGAGAATTGCGACTGCGGCGACGCGCGGCCGCCGGCGCCGTCGCGGCCCGTCGACTGCGGCGACTGCGGCGACGAGGCTTGCGACTGCGAGAAGCCCGGCGAGGCGAGCCCGGTCGTCGGCTCGCCGCCCTCGCTTCCGCGGAGCGTGTTGGTGTGCGTCGGCGACTGCTCCGTGGACGAGCAGGCGAGGTGCGGGAGGCGCGCGCGCGTCGCCAAGGCCGTGGCCCAGGCGGCGATGCAGCCCGGCGCCACGCAGTGCGCCATCGTCGCGGGGCGCGCCGCCGTCGACGCCGACGCGCTGGTTCTGGCGCTGGCCGAGCTGCCCGAGAGCGACGCGGCGGCCGTCGCGGACGACGAATTAGCGCGCGGCGTGGCGCTCGTGCAGCAGGTGCATCATTATCTGAGCCCGGCGAACCTTGCGGACGACGAATATCTGCGGGGCCTCCAGGAGGCGACGGGGGGCTACGTGGACCTCGCGGCGCTCGCGGCCTTTCCGAACCTGGCGGCCATGGGCGCCGACGTGGCGTCGCTGGCGCGCGTCCTGAAGCACTCGCGCCTCGTCGAACTGGACCCGACGGGCACGCTGGTCCGGCCGCGGCCGCGCGAAAGCGCGGCCTGATGTCCTGTGGACGTCAAAATTCGAATCGAAACCACCCTGTCGAACCCCAGTCGTAATACTAGTTGAACTACTTAGCACACAACAGCCTAGGGCGACGCCGCCGCCGCCGCCGCCTCGGCCGCGGCCTTCTCGATGAAGTACTTCCGCGGCAATTTCCGCAGCGTGTAGAGCTTGTCGAGCATGTCCTCGGCCTTCTTCTTCTTGTTGCCCCTCTTGCCGGTCTTTAGGAAGTCTGCGACCACTTTCATCTCATTGCGAGCGCCGTGCGCGTCGACCCTCGAACCAGCTAAAGGGAACTTCGTCGAAGGGTCGGCCGTCACATCTTTTAAGAACGTCTCAAACTTTTTTATCAAGACCAGCTGCGTCTCGGGCGTTTTCACGCTCTCCACCGTGAAGACCACATCGTCCAGGCTTCGCATTTGCACCAGCGAAAGACGTGACGGTTCAAGCTGCTTCATTTCAGTCGCCTCTCGCGTAGTCGTGGCCCGGCTCCTTTTCTCGTGAACTGGATTCACAATGACCAACGGGTCATTATTGTGCTTCCACTCTACATTCGGTAAATAAGCAGCAAACGCGTTCACAAAAGGGTCATGATAATCCTCGTGGCCGAGCAGGCAGAGGCCGTCGCCCACGCCTCCGATCGTCGCCATGAACGCATCCGCGGCCTCGGACACCGCAGAAAGGCCTCCGTCCTCCCGCGGGACGCGCGTCGGCACCATTCCAGCAGCTAACACTAAAGCTACTGCACCCGACTCACTAAACAAGCGGGCACCTTTGGCGAGGCATGTTAATGACCCTGTCGGTCGAATGAGAGTCGTTTTACTGGGAAAGCTCGTCCCGTGCGGGAAAATGCCGATGACGTGTGGCGGCAAAAACTCGCTTCTATAAGTACCGCCGAAGACGTTCTCGAAGACGTCGCCGTCTAGTCTCGACACGGTGAACATTCCCATTTTGGAGAGATTGTCCGCCAGCGCCTCGCGATGCTCGTCGCTTAGAGCTTCGTCGCCGCCCCATATACTCGAGATGCCACCGTAGCCCGATTGGTCACAGATGACCGCCACAAAACCGCACGTAATCAAGCCCTTCTCGGCGGCCTCCGACCGCCAGACGGCGCGCAGCTCGTCCCGTTCCTTCCTTTCCGCGAGCGCCTCCGCGATCTCGCGCAGCAGCTCGGCCTCGTCGCGCTCGAGGGCGTCTTTGTAGCCCTGGACGGCCGGGAAGGCGTTCACGTCGACCGCGCGCGGGTCGTCCACGGCGAAGTCGAGGGGCACGTCGAGGACGCCCGGCGGGCAGCTCTGGTTCACCATCAACCTGCGTAGAGACGACGGCTTCGTCGCGATCCCGCACATCTCTCTATCTCTGCGAGAATGCGGTCGTTTTGGCTACTTTTTTGGACGTGGGAAACGCCGCCGTCGTCGCGTCGATGGCGTGGTGGTGGGTTGGATTCTACGCAGCAAGACCGACTGGACGTCGACGAGCGTCGAAGGCATGCTCGTCGGCAGGCCAATGTTCGTTTTGTCCTATGTCAAATACAACGTTCAACCAAAAAAAAACGGAAATGATGATCGGACACTGCAGCGGCGCCTCATCGAGCGGCGGCCGCTGGACGACTTCAAAATCGACGACGATCTTGTGGCCGAACATCAGCGCGACGGGGTCCAGCTCGACCAAAATAATAGCAAACGTCAACCGACCCATGAGCGACCAGGGGTCCTCGCGCAGTGTGCAATCGACGGCACGGGACACCAACGTCACGTCGATGTCCTCGAGCGGCTCGCCGGCGAAGAGCCGCCCGTCGCCCGCCATGATGCCGACGAGGTGCAACAGCCCGAGCGACGATCTCATGACGCGCTCGACGCCCTCGGCCGACCGGCGGCCCGGCTTCGCGAGCTCGGCCTGCGTCGCCAGGGCGTAGGCGCGCACGCCGCGCTTCGGACCCTCCTCGGGCACCATTTGCGAGTTGATGTAGTCGACGTAGAAGACGATCGGCCCCTTCCAGTCGCAGCGGCCCGTCTGCGCCGCCAGCATGGCCTCGTCGTGGGGCGTCTCGCACGACCACCACGCGCCCTTGGCGCGGTAGCCGGTTCGCGCCTCGCACCGGTTCAGCATGAACTCGCGCGAGAACGTTTGAGTGACGACGACCAAGTCCGTGCGCCCGGCGACGAGCGCTTGGACGCGCTGGAGGCACGCGGAGTCGTCCCACGTCGCGCCGTGGAAGAGCACGGCCTTGATGGGTTCGGCGGGATCAGACGGCGGCATCCAGCCCGCGGCGCTCGAGGCGAACGACTGCAGATGTTCTAGTTGCGCGACATCGAGCGGCTGTCCTTCCGTCGCGTGTTCCACGGCTACGACGGTGTACGTCTGCGTCGCCGCGCGCGCGACCTCCAGCTGGGAGAACTGGTTGTGCTCCTGCTCCGTAACAGGGATGGCGAAGCAGTGCATGGCTGGATGGATGCTTGCAATTGCGCGTATACGATGATCCTTAGAGCGTCTTGCGCGACGCACTGGCTACGCGCCGCGCTTGCGCCGAGCGCAGGCTGCAAAAATCGGGTTTTGTCGATTTTCTGTTTTGGCCCGGGCGCCCTCCAAAATAACGTCGGAACGGCTAGGGAGGTCTCCGAGCCTCACGCAAGACATGAAGTCAAATCAAGGCCGCCTCCCTAGGCTTCCCGCGGGGGCGTGGGCGGCAGCAGCAAAAACACGCCCCGCAGCCCGGCGGGGTGGAAATTGCCCGGAGGTCTCCATGACAAGTCCGAGGGCCTGTCAGCGAGATAGCAGCCCGAACCGAGAGTAGAACCCATATATTGTATTGACTCTATCTCTCCGACTCTCTCGTGATTTTCATCACTTGATATACCCCCACAGGCACGAGTACGCGAAGTGCCGTACAGCTCCCCAGCTTCCCCGGGACGCTATTATGAAAGTGTCTTGTTGTCAATTGGATGTCAACCCATGCCCAGTTTGGGCTGGGCATGGCCGTCCGGCCAAAAATCGCATCCGAGGCGTATCTCGGGATCCCCTTGCCGTCGCACGAGCGCCGGTAGCAGTGACGTGAGCCGTCTAGGCCTCGCCTCAAAGGCCCCCAAGACATACCTCTGTGGGCCTGGGAATCTCATTGTCCCATTTGTCCCATTAGTGTCTGAGGATATGTCACATGTCTCAAACTTCCGCCAGAGGGTACCGGCGGCATCGGAAAAAATTACTCCCGGAGTGGCCCAGAAACGCCCTACACATCATGCCATTGCGCACCCGCGCGCGTCCGCGTGTAGACCTAGCGACGCGTCCGCACGTAGACCGAGCGGCACCTTCACCCGTAGACCGCGTGGCGCGTCCCGGTGATGCTGTAGCGGAGCCGCGGATACGACATCTAGCTAGCGGCCTGTAAGACACTAGCCAGCAAAGCTCACGCGACTGCAAGCTCTCCTGCGAGCGGTGCACAGCGCAGCACACGCACAGCGCTCGAACACCGCGCCATCGCGACATCGTGAGCACGTCTGCGCCATCGCTGACGACTCTCTCGCGCCGTGGCACTGGGGGAAAGTCCCAGCTGCCGGCTGCAGCAAAGCGTGAGTCGGCTTGGCCGCGTTCGCTACGCGCGGAGCGATCGCATACCTCGGCCGCACCAGTTCGCCACGTAGCGCCGCACTTTCCGCTCGCCGGCGCGCTGATCAAACGCCGGGTCCTCGCGATCGCGACCTGCCGCTGCGGCAGGTACGGGCAGCACGTACTACGGATACGTAATTCTCGGTGACGGGGAACACATCCAGGGCACGCCTTGCATCGCTCTGCTGCAACGGTCTAGACCTTCGCCGCCGAACCGCTGGGCCTACAGGCGACGTCGGCTCTATACAGGCGCGTGAGTCAAAAAGCGGCCACGCCTCCGCCGTGCCGAGCGTCGGGCGCGATCGCGCACATGCACCACGGCCGTCGTCAGCGTCGAGATCATCTCGCGCAGTCCTCGACCTCAGGCGCGCGACGCTTTTGCCGGCTCAGGGCGTCTCGAGAGCCTCCTAGACGTTCGGGAACGTCACAGGCTCGCCACGTCGACCACGGGTTCCCTCGATACGCCAATCTATCAATGCGAGACCTCGCTCTGCGGGGACGCGTTGCTGGCGACGACGCGCTGTGCGGCGGCGCCCTCAAAATCCAGCCGCGGCTTCGCGCTACAGCTCCCCGCGGCCACTCCGCGAGGACGAGGACGTCGCCGCGGGCGAGGCATGATTTCAACGCCGCGGAGCCGTCATTTTGAACGCGACTGCGTTGGATTCAACAAGGACTGCATCTACGGTATCGATCGCGGTGAGTCGGCGCCGGACGCGCCCCGCACCAGTGTTCAAGGGCTACTGTGCGAGACGTACCGCCATCGAAGGCGGCGTTGATGCGCGTGCGCGCGTGCGATGGACGCGCCCGCGCCGGGCAGGAAGCGATGCCACGCGTCCACGCCGTGGCGCCCCGAGAGAGGATGAGCTCAAGTAATCAGATTATATGCCTAGTCCCACTTCATCTTGCGCCAGAGGCGCGCGAGGCCCTTGCGGAAGTCGGCGAGGTGCGAGTGGTTCTTGGCCTCCGCGGCCTTGATCCGCTCGACGTCGTAGCCGACGGCGACGACTCTCTGGATCTCGCCCGACGCGGCGAAATCCGTGAGGATCTTGAGGTCGGCGGGGGGCGGCGGGCCGGGGTAGGCGGCGAGGACGGCGTTTGCGGCGACCATGATGTGCGGCATCTTGTAGGTCAGCAGGCAGAACGAAGGGAGGAGGGCGCCGTACAGCGACGCCATGCTCTGGGAGTTACTTCCCCAGAAACACGAGCTCCAGATGACGACGGGCACGCAGCAGAAGATGATGGTAGCACCAATTACTATATTGAACACGATGATGATGACCACGGCAACAGTGAGGCGACAATCAGACCTGTAGAAGGGCATCTTCTCGTAGAGCCAATTCGTCAAAATGATGATCGACCCATCAAAGCAGCATAAAGCACCTACCTGTTGAAGCAGACCGGCTTCAATGAGCACCAGAGCGAAGGGATAGAACGGCAACTTGACCTTGCGATCACTAAGATGATAAGTCGTGAAATGGGCACAGGCCTCAGCAATCAAGCTTTTGAGCTGCTGATGCGCCAACGAGTGCTCCCGGTGGGCCCAGACGAGGCCCATGATCTTGCGGAGCTCGCGCAGGTTCGGGTGGAACGCCACGGTGAAGACGAGCGTAAATAATTGACACACATAAGTGAGATTGCCGAGGACGAGGAAGAAGCACCAGATCATGATGAGCCAGGGGAGGTCGTGGAAGATGTTGGTGCGGCAGCAGTGCCACCTGCGCGGACGTGGACGTGACGCGAAATCGAAACGCGCGGCGCGAGCCGGCAGGCGGCGGATCAACGTTTTCGACGCGGACGCGCGCGAGCTGATGCCGACGCCCATGAAGCCGTCCGTCACCTTCTCCATGAGCGCGATGGCCTGCTTGCGGTAGTCCAGGGCGATTACTACCGAGTGGTTCAGCTCGACCTCGTCCCACTCGATTGCGTTGCCCTGGTCGTCCAGAGGTGGATGTTCGCGGAAGAACTTCTCGATGTCGGCCTCGCGATTGGCCTGCACGTAGCCGTGGCCGTCGCCGAGTCTCACCTGAACCATTGTCGTAATATATAAATCACTGCTCCCACTTTTTTTAAGAGACGGGTTTTCCGCGCCTTTACACGCGCGCTACGTCGAAAGCGGTCGTCGTTTCGAAGATGAGGGAAGAGCCAAGCCCTCCCGACAGTGCAGTGGTGCGCGCGACCTCGGAAAAGGCCACCAAAGCTTTTTTGGCAAGCAGGAGTGCTAATCAGCAGGCGCCGACCGGCCACGCGGGTGGCGCGGCGCCGTCCCAGGAGGACGCCAAGACCGCGGCGCGAGCCATAGCAAAAAGGGGCGCGGACCTCGTGGGAGTCATGAAGCCCGGCGCCGCGACCGTCGAGCAGATCGCGGGCGCGGTCAAGGCCCACCTCGAGGCGCCCGAGTGGGATTGCGTCGTGGCGTCGCAGGAGTCGTCCGGCCAGGAGCGCTACGACGCGGCGAAGAAGCGCATCGACGACTCCGCGAAGGCGAAGAAGAGCCGGCCGGCGGCCGAGATCACGCAGGGCACGGGGAAGACGCCCGCCAAGGAGTACCCGGCGCACGACGACACGCTCCCCGCGCCCAGGACGGGCGACGTCGAGGTGGTCGAGGCGCCCCTTCGGAGGTTCAGCCTCGAGTACTGAGCATGCGCGCGTTTATTACGCGGTTTAAGTACTGACATCCCCCCGTCATGCGAGCTCGTCGCCCCCCGCGGGCGACGTCGAGGTGGTCGAGGCGCCCCTTCGGAGGTTCAGCCTCGAGAACCCGGAGAGTCAAATTTTGGGATCGCGCTCGACGCCGACGCATGAGTTAGTCTCGCGTTCGTGACCGCTTAAGTGCTCTCTCAAAGCCCAGAGGAGTCCGAGCACACAACAAAACAGACTTAAACTATCACAGGAGGACCTGGCAGAACTCCTCCAGGCCGCCCGAAGAATCTGAGCCCTGGAGGAAGACGGGCACCGTCCGCAGATGAGAAACATGGTCGGGATCCAACGCCTCCGCGGCGGATTTAGAGAGAAGGACGCCGTGCTGGGCGCAGAGCCGCGCGGCCACACCCACACATGAGCCGGCCACGACCCCCTCGTAGACCGGGCCGCACGCGACGCCGAAGCCCACCTTGATCCCCTCCAGCGCTTTGCGAGAGGCCAGCACCGCGTCCAAGGCTCGAGACACGCACGCGTCGAAAATATACAGCGTGTCCGACCCCGCCGCGCGCCTGCCTCCTTTCGAGGTCAGCACCTCTTCCAGGACATCTAACGCCCGGCGCCGCTCGACGTAGAGGCGACTCGTACTTCTCAAGGACGCGTCGAAGTACACCATCGCCACGACCACGACCCTATCAATTGGTTCTGAGAGAACCACGTCGCACGAATCGCGAGGCAGCGACAACGAGGGCCAGGGCGCCCTTAAATAACCTCCTTCGATGCGCGTCCAGGCCTCGCCGTCGTCATCGAGGCCTTCCCGCTTCAGTCTATCATGAAACGCGTCCGAAACGCAACACCGCGGCTCGTCCGCTGCGACGCATTCGACGAGCTCACATAACACGTTCCATGAGTCACCATGGGGCCGCCCCGACGGGTACTCCGTCGCGACGGCATCACTACTAAAGTGCAGCGCCGCCCGACAGCCCGGCCCGACGGTGGCGACGACGCGCGCACAAAACGCGAGCGCGATGCCACACCGCCCGAAGGAACACCGGAGCTGGTCCGCCTCCCAGTGCGCGTCCAAGGCCGTCTCCCCAAGCTTCGCGTCGTCACAAATACGTCTCATTCTCAGAATGACGCGACGGGCCGCTCCCACATCACAATTTTTCAGGGCTTCTTCCACACAACCCCTGGCGTCGATCAAAACAACGCACCGCGGGGCCTCGCTTACACTTCCAACATAGTCGTTCGACGCGATGGCGCGCTCCGCGTCCGCTTCACTGCTCTCGTCGCCGTCGTCCGCCGTGCCGCCGACGCCCTCACCCAACCGCTTCAGCAGCCGCGGCGTGAGGGCGAGTTGCGCATCCTGCCAGGGGTGGTGGTGGAAGTGCGCCGCGTAGTCATCGATGCGCTGCGGCCGCGGCCGGCGGCCCCGGCGCCTGCCCTGGCTGCTTTCAATGAAGAGGCGGAAGGCCATGCTCAGGCTGCCCCGTTGACGATAGGCATCCCGTGCTCGCGTCGCCGGCGGAGACGTGCGTTCCTACGCTTCGTAGCTGCCTCTCTGGCGTTTTGCTCTCGAACACAGCGCGCGCGTTGCTGCCTCTCCGAGGCTCATCCTTCAGAATCCCTCTGTCAGGCCACTACGAGTCCCCATCACTGCGGCAGTCCTCGGTCCGACCAGAGACCGGTGCGTGCGGGTTCGTCGATCGGGGCGCTGGTCCGCTGGACACAGCCTCCGGCTCTCTCTGCGACGCCCGCGCGCCACGGACGCGTCGCGCGGCCCCGGGACCGCCGACGCGCGCCTTGACCCGCAACTTGTCTGCCCGTGCGCACCCACGAATCGAGGGCAGCCCCCTGAGGCAAAATGATCAGACTCCTCGCCATCACGGCCGTCGGCGCCGCCCAGGAGCCGCAGCGCTTCCATATTAGGGGAGGCCAGGTCCACGAGGGGGGCTACCCCTCGAACCACTGGCACCGTTTTGATCATTACCGCCTGAAATTCCACCAGACGGTACAACGATATTGGCCCGCCAAAACCACACAAAATAAGTATGATGGTGCCCACTGGGGCTCGCGCGAGGACGGCAAGAAGTACTTCTGGGAGGCCGGCTGGGTCGACGACGGCATGTTCGATCCCAGGGAGCACGACCCCCGGTTCATGGTGACCAACGCGACACGTCGTAGGAGGCTAGAAGAGAACCGCTGCGAGGCCGCGGACATCTGCTGTTCTTTATGTAAAAATGATTTACAAACATGCTGGCGCATGGCCGGGTACCTGGTCGAGGACAAGTACTACCCGTCCGAGCAATCTGTCACTGGTTCGTGTGACGACATCGACCGGCGCGTAGCCAACTTGGACGTCTTCGGCCCGTCGAAGACCTTCCGGGACAACGACCTCTGCCGAAGATTGGTCAATGAGTACATGTGCCTCTGGTGGGGCTCGGAGGGCGTCGACCAGTCGAGCGAGAACCACTGCTCGTCGAAGGGTGTGATCCTCGTGGCGCCGTGCCGGCCGTTCTGCGTCCAGGTCGCGATCCAGTGCGCGAACTCCCTCGACTACCAGCGCCTCTGCCAGGCCATCCCGTGCCCGCCGATCGAGGAGACGTGCATGCCCGAGCCCCGATCCGTCGCGACGGTCACTTTATCAAAGACGATGGCCTGCTACGTCTACCGCTACTCGACGCTCGCGAACATGCAACAACAGGACTACATTCCAGGCAACAGCCGCGCGGGCGCGCTGGCGCCGTCCCTCCTATCTCTCCTAATTTTATTATTGTAGATTACGCCTCTCTCTCAACTTCCTGTGTTGCCAGACCTGTGTGGAAATCAAATTTCGGGCGCCCCACGCCATCGACGCGACGTGCTTTCCATAGCTGCGTCTACGCGATGGCGTGGTGATTCCACGCCATCGACGCGACATTGTCCCCATGGCCACGTCGGATAACCTAACTCACTGGTTGATTTCCACACAGTGCCAGACGCAGCAGCCGCAGATCGTCACAGCCCAGCCCTCTATTCGCGACGCGTACAACTCCTCGCTGAAAAAGAGGAAGGCGATCGTGAGCAAAGCAATATCTTTGAGCAGAGAGTAGAGCGCGTAGTTCACCGCCGACAGTGTACCGATGAATCGGAGCATCGTCAGATTGAATCCGACGCTACAAGCGCAGTCCAGCAGCAACAGCCACCACGGCAACGACGCTACACAGGACGACAAAGAATCAATAGGTGTCCACTCGGTCACCGCCGCGATGACAAATAAAAACACCGCGGAACACGGCATGACGTAGAGCATCGTCGTCAGGGGGTTAAACCTAACTTCTTCGAAATCCCGAGCTTGGATCACCTGGAGCCCGACGGCGTAGACGGCGTTCGCGACCGATGCGGCCAGAATACAAAAAACACCCCGCAAAGCGTGGGTGGACGCATCGTCGTCCGACGTCGACGCCGTCAGCGCGACGCTCCCGAACACGATCAAAAAATTCAGGGCCTTGTACTTTGACAAGAGTGAAGGGTCGTTCACAACACTCAACCCGTAGATGATGGGCCCGGCCACGGGCTTGAGCATCTGGACGTACCCCGGCGCCAGGTACACATAAGATAAATTCCCGGCCCAGAGGTAGATCGCAAAGGTCGCGGCCAGCGGGACGAGCCACTTGACGTAGATCCGCCATGAGATGTCGAGGGGCCGCGTCATCTGCAGGACGTGCGTACAGACGTAAGCTACCACAAAGCAGGCAAATTGTTGCACGGCCGTGATTGTTGCGGGCAGCGGACATAAATCATCGAGAATATAAGCGTTCACGTAGACGATCGCCGCCGACCAGCCGAACATACCTAACGCTAATGCCAGCGCTTCCTTGCTCTGCGTGTCGTGCGTCTTAGATATGGGCTGGTTCGTCTTGAGTCCTAAAGTCGCGTCCGAGACCTCCATTTGTCCTAGTTCGTGGGTGTAGCTGCCCAGGAGCAGCATTAGGAGGCCGAGGGCGATGAGCGTCTTCGTCCAGCTCAAATCATTCACGAAAGCGCCGAGGCCGACCTCGAGGTCGTACGTGTCGTCTGCCAATGTGGCGTTGACGTCGTCGTCCGCCATCCTGGCGTTTCGCTTTTTGGCCTACGGGCCAATGCGTTGGTGGTCCCGAGCTTGTGTCGGCGGGATGGCGACGTCGATCTTTGGCGCGCGCGCGAGATAATGGTATGCTGTATCAAGGTGTTGGTTGTGATGTGTGATGCTGTGATGCTGCCCTTGGCTATAGCGATGGATACCGTGCTAGCAGCCCTTGCGCAGCAGTGGCGCCGTGGCTGCAGCGCCAAGCTGGGACCCGTAATCGGCGGGCGCGTATGCGCTTTGCGAGAGAGGTGGTGATGGTGCCGAAACAAGCAAGTTTACCTGAGCGGAAGGAGAGATATTTTTGCGTCGCGAGCGCCTGCTAGAGCAATGGTGGAGTCTCCGAGGGAATATATAGAATCGATGAAAACCGACCCCCAGCAGTGAGACTCTAGAGCTCTGTGAGAGGTCAATTGTGAGCGCAATTGTGAGACGCCTTGGGCGGCACGATGAGCGTTGATCGCTTGGTTGGGGAAGATATTTGCAAGCCGGATGAAATATTATGGGGCGGCGACGAGACTGAAGGCATGCGCAGCCTCGGTATGTCCCTGCGCTTCGCGCCTGGCGTCGAGCACTGTGCCTCCGTAGCGGCCCTGCAGCCGCAGACGTTGAAAGTCACACGCGAGAGAGAGATGGACTGCGCGGGAGGCCACGTCGTCTGTTTGCACCCGGTTCCGACGGAGGAGCCGGCCAACGGCATGCTTTCACCGATTATCGCCGTCGGCGGCCGGTGTGTCCTACAAGCTGGCGACATTGCCAAATCCCGCAAGAACTTTGAACTCTTTGAACTGACTAAAGAGTGGCCGGGGCCCGAAGTGTCCGAACAGTGCCCGCACTGCGGCGCGCGGCACGTTGAATCGGACGTCAAGACGTACATGTTGCTTTGGATGCCCCTTTTTCGAGAAGGCAAGGCGATCCTTTGCGGCAGGACGCAGCGGATACAGAAGAAACTGCATATGACCATCATGCCGCGATTGGTCTGCGAGCCGTGTTTTGCGGCGATTGCTGGGACCTTGTCGTGCGAGGTGCTGCGCGGCAATGAGACGGTCGAGTTGAGCGTTGCCGAGCTGCTCCCGGCGGTGCTCACGGCGTCGTTGCCTGGTTACGACCACGACGATTGTCCTGGCGTCACCTGGCTCAGCACGCAGTGGCGCGAGCTCGGTTTGCTCGAAGCATTTAAGGCGTACTTTGGACAGCAGATGGCTGAGGGGATGGGAGGAAAATTCGTCCAGCCCGGCGGCACCGGCGGTCAAGTCGAGTTCAACGAAAAGTCCGCCGCGGGTCGCACCTGCGACATGTGCGGCGCGCGGCACCGCGACGGTCCGACGCGCTTGCACCGGTGCACCGACTGCGAGCACGCGTTCTACTGCTCCCGCACGTGCCAGAAGGCCGCCTGGCCGGACCACCGCGCCTTCTGCAAGGAGCGGCAAGCCAAACGCGAGCGGCTCCGCGAGGAGATAAGGCAGGCCGAGCTCGCAAAGAAACGCGAGGAGGCCAAGTTGGCCGAGCAGCTGGCGCAGGCCAGGCTCGAAGCCGAGGCCGCCGCGCGCGATTCGTTCCTGCCCGCGGCGGCGGCGACGCCGACGCGCAAGAAGAAGTCGGCGGGGTCGAAAAAGAAGAAGGGCTCGAAGCGAAAGTGAGTGCGGCGCTGTGCTGTGAGTAATTCTGATTCTGTAGCTAATACTTAACACATACACAGTTACTCCATCGCGTCGACCTTGCGGAGCAGGGCGTAGTCCATCGCGTACATCTTCCGCACGCGGGTCAAGAGAGAGGGCGTGTAATGCATCGAGAAGGCCTCGGAGGCGGCCTTCGCGCGGAGTTGCGCGCCCGCGAAGATCGAGGCCCGCGACTTGTGGGCGCCCCAGCCCTTCTCGCCGTAGCGGTCCCAGGCGCCCAGCGACTCGAGCAGGCGCCGCGCGTCGGCCTGGATTCGTGTAAACTGCCCTACAAAATCATAGCGCTCCAACAACATCTCGTTGTTGCACAGGTACCGCTGCGGCCGCCAGTGCGGGTCCGCTTTTCTGTCTAAACGGATGCGTGAGACGAATTCCCCAAATGTGACGTTTTCTCCTCTGCCGAGGATGCGGTTGCGGTAGGCCGACAGCAGCCGCTGCGCGGGATCCCGGAAGAAGACGGCCCACGTGTAGCGCCGATCATCCACAAGTGCTTGGGCCTTCTGCAGGCTCAGCTTCGAGACGAGATGCTTATCACGATCCGCCACCGCGAGCGCCGACCGCTGCGGGTCGCGCCGCCAGTGGCTCGAGTTGCCCATTCGTAGAATCAATCGTGCTAATTCAGTAGAACCAACCTTGGGGATGGCGCAGAGCACCAGCCCATGCGTGTGGTCCACGAAGACGTGGTGGCCGAAGGCGTCGCGCTGCTTCCGCGTGAGCCGCGGGAACGGCGCCTCCTGCTCCATCGGTCGTCGCAAGTGGTGGCTCCCCGCGTCGGCGGTATCGGGCAGCAGGAGGTGGTGGCTCAATCCTAGTAATGCCATCGCCGCGACGCCGGCGGCGACGATGCCCCTCACATTAACGTCGCGGTCCTGCGACGCGAGGCGCTCGCGCCGCCGGCGCCGCGCCGCCCGCCGCTCCTCCGTCGTCGTATCGAGCATCATGGTTCCATCAACGACACGTCTGTTCTTGCATTTTGGGCTGCCCAAGGCTGCCAAATTTAAAGCAAAACCGGAGAGCTAGCGGCATGTAACACACTAGCAAGCTAAAGCTCGACGGCTTGCCTGGCGGGCTATACTCCCGTCCAAAAGCCCTAGCAGCACGCGATACAGTGGTTTTGCAAAAGCCACAGCCCCAGTTGCAAGCGGCAAACAGCCTCGCCGCCCGGCGGCAACTAGCACCGCTTGCCAGCGAGGTACTGGTTTTGACCTCAGCGCAGCCAAAAAGGCGACGCGACCGCAGCCATGGCGACGAACGGCAAAGCCGCGCCGGGCACGCCCCCGCGCCGGCCCAAGCCCGCGCCCTTCACGCCGAGCAACGCGCGCGGCGAGCGGCCCGCGATCGTGCCCGCGGAGGACGTCGATATGTCCTTTTTCACGGAATTCACGACGTACTTCGCCTACACGTTGCTCATCGCCGTCGGCCACCTGCGGGACTTCTGGGGGCGCTTGACGGGACGGACGCGCTTCGCCACGCTCAAGTCGAAACCACAGACGAAGCTCGCGCCGCTCCTCAAGTCGTGGGAGAACTTCTACACACGTCGTTTGTATGATCGCATCATCGACGTCTTCAACCGGCCCATCTGCTCGTCGCCGTCGGCCTGGATCACGGTGCAGGAGCGCGCGCCGCACCCGGAGACGTCGGAGCTCATCCAGACGGGCAAGGAACGTAGGTGTTTGAACCTGGGCTCCTACAACTATTTAGGATTTGCCGACGACTGGATGAACACTTGTGGAGAACCCGTACTCAAAGCGGCGCGAGAGTGGCCGACGAGTTGTGGAGGCACGAGGACGGGCGTGGGCACGACACCCCTCCACAGGAAGCTCGAAGCGAAAGTCGCGAAGTTCGTGGGCAAGGAGGACGCGGTCGTGTTCAACATGGGCTACGGCACGAATTCGACGACCGTACCGGCGCTGGTGGGAAGAGGTGACCTGATCGTCAGTGATGAGCTCAACCACTCGTCGATCGTCGCTGGGTGTCGGGCCTCCGGCGCCTTGATCCGGTCCTTCAAGCACAACGACGCGAAAGCGCTCGAAGAGGTGCTGCGCGAGGCCATCGCGTACGGGAGACCTCGGACGCGGCGGCCGTGGCGCAAGATCCTCGTCATGGTCGAGGGCATTTATAGCATGGAGGGCGAGATCTGCGACCTGAAGAACATCTCGAAAGTGGCGAAGAAGTACAAGGCGTATTTGTCTGTGTGGACATCAACCAGTGTGTTGGGTGCACCCGATGATTTTTCACCAAGTCATTTCTCGGCGATGACGCGGCCGCGCTGGCTCCGTCGAGCGGTGAGGAACCGACATCGCCACGCCATCGAGCAGGTGTCGCGTCGATGGCGTGGAGGTGGACGCGGTGATTCAGCGCGAACGCCCCGTAAAATTTGATTTCCACACAGGTATTTGTATCTGGATGAGGCCCACTCCATTGGTGCTCTCGGCGACACGGGCAAAGGCTGCTGCGAGCATTGTGGGGTGGATCCGGCGGACGTGGACATTTTGATGGGTACGTTCACGAAGAGTTTTGGCGGGATGGGCGGCTACGTTGCTTCTTCCAAAGCTGTCGTAGACCACCTCCGGAGGACGTGCCCGGGCGTCTTGGCGCATGACGCGATGTCGCCGATCATGTGTGCCCAGGTCCTAAGGGCCCTGGACATTGTCCAAGGTACCGTCAAAGGTTCATTGGGGAGAGAAAAAATCGACGCGCTCAAGTCGAATTCGAACTACTTCCGGTCCGAACTCCAAGCTTTCGGGCTGCACGTGTACGGGGACTGGGACTCGCCCATCGTGCCCGTGCTGCTCTACAACCCGACGAAGATCGCGGCCTTCTCGCGGGAATGTTTTGATCGTGGGTTGGCCGTTGTCGTTGTCGGATTTCCGGCGACGACACTCGTGAAGTCGCGGGCGCGCTTCTGCGTGTCTGCCGGACACACGCGCGAAGACTTGGACGACGCCCTGAAGAAGATCAAGGAGGTCGCGACGCTCATCAAGATCCGCTACAACGTGTCGGGCTTCGGATGAGCTAGCTCCCCTCGGTGCCTAAGGGCGTTTTCGGTTTATTCTAGCGGTGTAAGACACTAGCCAGCAGCGTCAGGAGCTCGCAACCTCGGGCAGAGCTCAGGAGCTATAACGCTGCACTTCTTTCGCCGCTAGTGATCGATCTCTACCACTAAACTTGCCTCGGCAACGTTTGGAGACGCCTGCGTACGCTTCCGCCGCTACAAGACAGCACCCACAGCATGCGCCTCATCTCAGGCGCATTGCTGCTCTGCGCGGGCACCTTTGCACAACAGCAGCCAGACGCCATCGTCGACTTCGAGGTCCAACTAAAACCAGGCGAACCAATCGAAACCTTCGCCGTCCACGTCTATCGGAAGTGGGCGCCGAAGGGGGCATCAAGATTCCTCAAACTCGTCGACGACGGCCATTTTGATGGATGCGCCTTTTTTCGCGTTATCAACCGATTCATGGCCCAATTTGGTATTAATGGCGACCCGGAGAGACAAGGAAGATGGCGGCGGAAGTCGATCCAAGACGAGGTGGCGGGAGAACACGTGCCTAAGTCGAACACGCGCGGTCGTATTACATTTGCGCACGCGGGCCCGAACAGCCGGTCGACGCAGCTTTTCATCAATTTTGGTGATAATTCCAGGTTAGATAGGGAGAACTTCCCGCCCTTCGGCGAAGTCGATGAAGCGGGCATGAGCGTTGTTGATAGATTACACGTGACGGGCGAGGGCGGGCCCAAGGGCCCGGGGCCGTCGCAGGGCAAGATCAACAACCAGGGCGACGCGTATCTGTCGAAGGAGTTCCCCGAGCTGTCCAAAATCGTCTCGGCGAGGCGGCGCCCCGAGGCCCTGGTTCCTCATCGGAAAGGCGATATTGATGGAGACGGCAAGCTCGACGGCAAGGACACGGCGATTCTCGAGCACTACGCGCGGCTGCGGGGCGCGACGCTGGCGCCCGTCGCAGCAAAGCCGGCAGAGATGCCGGCCGCCGCGTCTGGCGACGACGGGTTTTATGTGTGGTTCGCCGCGGCCACCCTGTTCTTCGTCGTCGCATCGCTCCGAAGGCGGCGCGCCGCAAAGGAATCTTAGCTAAAGAACTAAAAGTAATTACTGCATCAAATTCGCCACCACCGCCGTGTGATGCCGGTACTCGTGCGACGACCGCGCCATCACAACGCGCGCCACCGCGAGCATTGCCGTCGCCGGTAGGGCGTCGAGCCGCGCCTTCGATATGACGAGGAGGCGCGCGTCCGTCAGAGCGGTAAACGTGAGGTGATGCGAGTGCCCGGTAAAGGCAGACAGGTAGCCGTGGAGGCTGCCCGGCCCCGAGGGCTCGACCTCTCTATCATGGCCACCCGCGAACACGACGGAAGGGCGCGACCGCAGCGACGTCCTAAGTCTTCCAGACACGACCAGAGCTATTCCCGATGCGGGATCGCCGGCGTTCCAGATGGTCTCGCCCGCTTCCACATCAACAATCTCAAAAGCACTTTCGATGCAGTGGAACCACCCGTCGGGCGCCGCAGCAAAGGTCCGTCTCAACATAGCCGCGGGATCGGACGGCGGCGGCGGCAGGCGCCGCGCGCTCCGGAGGTGGAGCGATTCCGCGTATTCCAGGGCACCATATACGTACTCGAAGGCTTTGATCGCGTCTTTCGCGTCATCGGCGTCGAAGAATCCGGCCCGCGCCAGCACCTGTGCGGACAGAGACAATGTTGCGTCGATGACGTGCGGCCGACGCGGTCGATTTGAGTTGCGCACAGGCCAGCACCTGCTCGCACTCGGCGGGCAACGCGGCGACGAGCAGGACCGCGTCGTGCTCGTCATGCGCAATGCGCTTGAGAGACAATAGCCCCCGCGTGGCCGAATCGTCCACATCCGACACGCGCGCGAAATCCAACACGACGATGACACGCGCGCCAGCCGTGCGCGCAATCCTTCCCATAGCCACCTCGACGTCGTCGGTCGAAGCCGACCGCGTGCGGCCTAAGGCGCTCGAAACGTCGTCAATGAGTCCAATAACCCTTGGTAATCTACAGCGCTACGCAGAAAGCAAGGCAGTGTTGCGAAAAACGATGCCCTTGGCGCGACGCGTTCTGGGAGAGAGTCATGAACTCACGCTCACGGTGAGACAGAATTACGCGGCGGTGCTCTGCAATGACCCCAGCGCCACGCTCGACGATATGCGCGAGGCTGTAACGACGCTCGAGGAGTCGGAACGCGTCGCGCGGCGCGTGTACGGCGGCGCGCATCCGCTCGCATCGGGGATTGAGCACGCCCTGCGAAACGCGCGAGCCGCGCTCCGCGCCCGCGAGACGCCGCCGGAGGCAGTCTAATAAGCAAAAATGAATTATCTCCAAGCCCCCTTGGGCCCCTCGCGCGACGGCAGCGTCGTCGGCGCCGCCGCCGCCCCCGGCACGGCCGCCGACTCGCGGTCGAGGTGTTCCGCGAGCGCCGCGTAATGCTGCGCGTCGGCGGCGGCATCCGTCGCGCCGCCGCTCGAAGCTGCACGTGTCGGCGGCGCCGCGCCGCCGAACTTCTCGGCCACGGCCAGCGCGGCGCTCGCGAACGCGCGGAGGTGGTCCTCGGCCGCGGCGAGGGCGAGCTTCGCGGCCGCGGGGCAGCCCTCCTCGTTCGCCGAGTCGACGACGACCGCGGCAGCTAGAAGGGCCGCGCCGCGCGCCGAGTCGAGGCGTCTCAACGACACGCCGGCGTGCTCCTTGATCGAGTCCTTTAGCGACGCCGCGCGCAACTTCTCGCGCAGCGCGTCGTTCTCGGCCGTCGCCTTCGCCGCGGCCGCCCGGGCCTCCTTCAGCTCCGCGTCGCGCTTGTCGAGCGTCGCTTCGAGCGCTTGCAGCGCGCGGCGGCTCTCGCGGGCGTCGGCGATGGCCCGCTTGCGGGCGGCCGACGCGCAGGCCGCGACGGCGCGCGCGTCGGCGAGCTGGCGCTTCCTGGCGCTAGCGGCGGCTGTTGCGGCGGGCGACGTCGGCGCGCGCGCCGCCGCGGCGCCCGCGCGGGCCGCCGCGTCCGGCTTCGACGGCGTCACGGCGGGCCGCGCCGTCATCGTCCGCCGCGGCGGCGCCTTGAAATCCTCGGAGCCGAACGCCGGCTTGATGTTGTTCGTCCGCGGCGGCGGAATCGTCGTCGGCGACCACGGTTTGTCTCCGGGCGTGGGGAGGAACAGCTTGTGGCCCTCGCGTCGTCGCCGATTCGACTCGTCCCGCGCGACCGCCAGCAGCTGCTTCCAGCGCTCCGGCCCCAGCTCCTGGCGCGTCTGTCGCAGGAGCTCGAGCTCGGCATGAGACAGGGGCGACGCGTCGCGCGTGACGTTCCTGATGAGGAGGTCCCACATGCCCGTGGGGGGCAGCGTCGACGAGGGGGTGCTCATTTTGGTGTTGCGAGGCGCTACGTCCGAGCGCCCGCTGCTTGTATGAAGCTGTGGAGCACGTGGGCGGCAGGCTGCCCTCGCGTTTGTGTCCGGCCTCGCCGCGTGCGTTGTTGTTGGATGGCATTATCTAGCGTACAAGACCACTAGGAAGGACCGATCGTGTTTCACAGGACCACAGCAGTCGAAGCAGTCGAATCGACACTGATTTGCGCCTCCTGAGCCCTTCGGACATTCGTTCTTCATGGCCTGGGACCGCAAGGGCGGCCGCCTGGTGCGCCGCGGGCTGCGGAGCGACGTGACGCCCTCGGAGCTGCCGCGGCGGCGGCGCCGGCGCGCGCGGCCGAAGCCGCGTCGTCACCATCTCGGCACGCTGCCCGATGACATCGCAAAACGAGTCTTCGCGTTCGTCGCGCCGCCCGCCGACCCGATCCCGTTCTTGCGCATCCTGGCGACGGACAGCGCGGTCCGCGGCCTCGTGAACCGCTGCTGCCTCGAGCACCTCAACACGTGCGCCGTGGATGCGGCTGACGGTATACTGCTCATGCGTGCCTTCGCGCGGGCGCGGGCGCCGCTCCGATCTCTCACGGTACACTTGGGCTCGGATGAGGTCCCGATGCTGCGCTGGCTGCTCGAGACATGCGACACGACGAACCTTTCGCGCGTGCGGATCAGCGTGTCGAGGAATGTACGAAGTATGCTCCTTTCGTCGGAGGCGTTGGTCCACGGACACCCTAACGCTGACGGCATCATCGACATCGAAGCGGATGCTTTCGAGGTGCCGACGATGGATGACTTCCGCCGCGTCGTCGCGTGGACGCCCGACCCGACGCTCCGCCCGGCGGTGAGCGCGCTGCGCAGCCTCACGCTGGTCTCGTGCACCGACGACGTCCTGCGGCTGTTCGGTGCCAGCGACGGAAGTCTTGAGCTACCGAACGTGAGAACGCTGCGCATGACCCTGCCGCAAAGGGAGAGACGCTATAGATGGGATGCTGCGACGGGCCTGTCTGTGGAGCTGCCCTCAGTAGTTAACGATTTCGCGCTCCTTAGACGGCTACCTCGACTGCACACGCTCCAATTGAATGGCTGCGCTGACACCCGCATTTCAATTGCGTCGCCGAGCCTGCGAATTCTCGATCTTGCCCGCGCCGCAAAACACTGCTTCATCCATAGCATTGCCTGTCCCATGCTCACGGCCATTTATGTTCGAGACTCGAGCTACGGAACTGGCATTCGTCGTGTGGTGCCGCTGACGGTGGGAATGGCGGAGCACGTTGGACAGTACGAGGGAAGTTGTATCGGCGACCCAGTGATAAAGTGGGCCGAAAAATCGAGGGGTAATGGGTGGGGGGCAGGCGGAGGGGTGGTCTCTGTTCCTGCGGCTGGCAACACGTGGGCCGCGGCACATTACGAGGACATCCCCCACGATTACGGCGGCGAATCAGACTCGGACAGCTTCCGAGTCATCTCCCTTCCAGCGGCCTGCACCGTGCACTTCGGCTCAGACTCGGACTTGGTCACGATCTCCGAGAGGTACGCTCGACTAGTGTAGGTACGTAAGTGCAAATACCAGTAATATATTAAACGCACGATAACTACGTCGACTCGTCCAGGAAGTCCTTCACCTCCGCGGGCGTCAGCACGCGGAAGACGCGGTCCTCGCCCACAATACCAACCTCGATCGTGTGCTCCGTCATCTCCCCTTCAAAGCCCTCGCGCATCGTCAGGAGGGCCGTGTGGATCGCATCATCTAATTCCACGTCGTCGTTGTAGCGCTTCTCCAGGAAACTTCTAGCGTTCTTGAAATTTTTACCAATAGCAGAAGCCTTCCAGCCGTAGTAGGCTCCAGATGGATCCACTTGAAACAATTGGGGCCCCTCGTCGTCGTAGCCCGCGACGAGCAGAGAAATACCAAAAGGTCTCACACCGCCGCTCTGCGTGTACTCCTGCATGACGGACGCCGTGTCCTGGACGAGGGCTTTCACGGGTTTGAGGGCTCGGTACTGTAAAAAGTAAGCTTGGGCCTGCTTCCTAGCTTTCTTCACTAAAACTCGATAGTCGGGCCCGACGCCCGAATACACAAACCCCACGGACGGCGACACCTTCTCGAGCTTCTTCACTTGTTGCACATCTACAAGTTTATTTTGAATTTTTTTGTCCGTGATCAGGACCACGCCGTTCTTGGCCTTGATGCCGATCGACGTCTTGCCTTCCCCAACAGCGGTCAAGGCGTACTCGATCTGGAGCAATTTGCCGCTCCGGCTGAAGGTCGTGAGCGAGTAGGAGTAGCTCGCGTCGGAGGCCATGATTTATGTGGTGCGGCGGCGGCGGCGCGGCGAGTCCGAAGCGCTGCGCGGCGCGGCGTCGGCGCGGCGCGGCGAGTTTCGAGGCGAGGGTGGTCCGCTGACCAAATCGCTGCGCAGTGCCGCGGAGTGGCAAAGCGATGTCGCGCGGGCAACAAAAGGGGTTATAAGCACGCGCAGGCGTCCAGCACTTGGGCGCTTGCGCTTAGCGGGTCCAAAAAGACGGCCGCGCCTGAAAACCAGGGCTAGTGTCTTACCGCTAGGTCGACGAAGCAAAGATCATTCCACGCCTCCCGCGGACGCCGTGCGCAGCGCCAGGCAACCTCAATGCATGCCTAGAAAACACCAGCAAAAGAAAAATGTAGTAAAGTAATCCTAGGGGCCGCTCAGCGCTCGGTTTTGCCTGGCAAATCGACGCGCTACCTGGCGGCCTAGGCTCTCGCACGAAGCCGCGAGACCGACGCCCGACGGAAGCCAGCAGCCCGGCAGCAGCGCCGTCCCGTGCGGAAGAGCGGGGCAGCCCCAGCTGTCGCAGCGAAAAAAGAGGCAGCTTTGCCATCGCGTGCAGAAAGAGCGCGACCGCGGAGCGACCATGCAGCAGGATGCGGTCATGACCTGGGCGCCCGTGGCCCACGAGGGCGAGGAGAAGCCGTCTCCCCGAAGCGCCCATTCGCTCGTGCAGAACGGGTCCGAGGCGTGGATGTTCGGCGGCTGTGATAAAAGACGCCCGCCGGGACCGAACAACGAGCTCTACAAGCTCGACATGTCCGACAAGGAGACTTTTTATTGGATGCGCATCAACGCGAGTAATCCCCCCCCGGCTCGGTGGCACCACACGGCGCACCTCCTAAAAGACAACAAGACCATGTTGGTGTTCGGCGGTTTCAGTGCGGACAAGATCACGCGGTACTTTAATGATTTGTGGTACTTCGACACCGAAGAGGAAACGTGGTCTCAACCTCCCCCAGCAGAGACGGCTCTAGCCGAGGGCAACACCGTACCTACTCTCAAGATGCCCTGGCCGGGAGTACCGACGCCGCGAGGCGCCCACGCCACGTGCCTCGTCAACTCATCTCTATATTTACATGGGGGCTACGGCGGCGGCGGCTTCGCGCGCAAAGATTTCGGCGACTTACATTCGCTAGATCTGGAGACTTATGTGTGGGAGGAGCTCGAGACGACCGGTGATGCGCCCGAGCCGCGATCGGGCCATCAACTCCTGTGTGTGGAAGACCGCGTGCTCTACCTCATGGGCGGCTGGAACAGCAACCGCCAATTTGATGATGTGCGATCTCGGCGTCCCCTTCGTACGCCATCGACGCGACTCGTGTCCATCTCACTTCCACGAGAGTGGTTTCTTTTTCGAGTTTGAGGCCGTTCGGACCGCGCAGGTGCACGTCTTCACGCTCGAGACGCGGGCGTGGTCCCAGCCCGAGTCCGCTTCCGGGGAAGAGAACTTCGGCCCGCCGCGCTGGAACTTTACGGCTGTAAGTGTTTTCGCGGTCCCGTTCTGGAAAATCTTCATGTTCGGCGGTGCTGACTCAGCGTGAGAAATCAGCTTCAACATGACGTGGTCGCTGTGCGGCCGCACGAGAGTCCGCGCGTCCCGCGAGAGCAGTTTCGTGATTGCATGATTCCGCGCAGGCAACTCCGGCGATCTCGTCGACGGTAAACCGACCGGAGTGTACCAGAACGACTTGCAAGTTTTAGAATGTGGCGCCGACGTCTGGAAGCGCCCGGAGACCGTGGGTAGCATACCGCCGCCTCGCAGTGACGCGCCCATGACCTTCGAGAGCGAGTCGGGAACTCTACTCATGTACGGCGGCTGGCAGCACGCCTGGCCCGGCGACTGCCACACGTGCGACGTTCTTGAAGTGGTCGGACCGCCCTACAGTGTCGATTCCATCAGCCCAACAATTGGCCCAGTAACGGGAAACACTTTGTGTGAAATCAAGGGCATGGGCTTCACGTCGGTGCGGGGCGACGTGACCGTTAGATTTGCGTGTGTGAAGGGCTATGAAGAGGGTAGCAATGGCTCCGTGGTCGACGACGCTACTCTCCTAGTGGAGACCCCGAACTACGAGGCGTACGGGCCGTTGGACGTCGAGATCCGCGTCGCCATCGGTAGCAAACCACTTACCAATAGTAAGGTCAGTGCGTCGTATTTCTCCGTAACAGATGCCAATCAATGTCTAGCCTTCGGTCCTGGACTAGTGAATGGGGTACTAGCAGGAACAGAATGTCAAATATGCATCCAGGCCAAGGATTTTACGGGTTCGAATCGTACGTGCGGCATGGACGAGTTCTCCATAAGAATCGAGCCGCCGCCGCCCGACGAGGCGGCTCGCGAGTTAGATGAAGCGGCCATACTAGAGCAATCCAAGTCCGCGGAGGGCTACAACGAGTTGTACGCCATCCAAGACCAAGTGACCGCCGAGGAGGAGCTGAAGGTGCTCGTCATGTTGAGCGACGAGGGCGACGGGACGTACCTCGCGGAATTCGAACCTAGTGTCGCCGGAGAGTATAAAGTGCACATCGAGTTCAACGGGACGTTTGACGGTCCTAGTGGCCCCATTCGCGGTTCTCCATTTACTTTTGTCGCCCAGGAGGCCTACCAATATGTAGCTGACCATCCGAAGGACTTTTCGTACCTCGAGGGCGCGGACCCCGACCAGCGCGCGTTGAACGAGATCAACTCCTTCGACGGGCCTTTACTGATTGCGGATATCGTGGCGAAGATCAAGGGTATCCGAGATTTTGCCGGGAAAAAGAAGCGAGGATTGGCCAAATTGGACCCGCAGAACTACGACGACATGGCGCGGACTCGGCGTCGTCATTGAACTTCAACGTGACGTGGTCTTCATGAAGACGTCGTCATGATCACTGTCCGTGCCACACAGGGTCCGCTCATCGAGGGCAAGGAGCATTTGAGAGACATCGCGCGCGTCGCCGACGAGTACGCCCTCTGCATGGATAGCACCAGAGCTTGCTTACATTACTTAAAAGCTAGACAACTACCAGTAGACAGGCTCTTCGACCAGCTCGGCAAGGCGCTCGCCGACTGGACGGAGGTGCTGGAAAGTGTAGAGCCGAAGGTGAAGGCGATAACGCCGACGACCATTCATTTTGCGGAGAAGACCATGGCGGCCATGTGCGCCTACGAGGAGTCTATACAACAAATGGATACTGATTTCCGGGCCGACAAGTGCTTCCTCCTCGAATGCGGGAGCGAGGACGCGTTCAAGCTCTTGGACACGTACGCGAAGGACTTCGAGAAGGAACTGAAAGTTCTGGAGCACAACGCGAACCTGTGCGCGGTCTTCGAGTTCCCCGAGAAGATCGACGTTGCGAGAGGTGTCTTGGAGACGATGATTCAATTAATAGACGATCAAAGGGACGCCTGGGCCGTGGCGGAAGACGTGGCGGGCTTCATCGGGACGAGTCAAGCCATGCTCTGGCGCGAATTGGTCATCGAGGACATCGAGGACGGCAGCAAGGCCCAGCTCAAGAAGCTGTCTGGTTTGAAGAAGACGGTCAAGAAGACGGGCCTCTACGTCGACGTCAGCAAGAACATCAAGAATTTTATCAATACCATACCACTGATAGCAGCATTGCGGAGCCCGTCGATGCGGCCGCGGCACTGGGAATTGTTAAGAAAGGCGACGGGCAAGGAGTTCGTGCCGCCGCATGAAGACGAAGATTTACAACTGGGCGGACTCCTATCGCTGAATTTGCACGAGTTCAACACCGACGTCGAGGAGATCTGCGACCAGGCGACGAAGGAGGAGAAGATCGAGGCGCGCGCGCCGCGTCCCTTCACGCCGTCGGCGCGCGTCGTGTCCATCAGAGAAGGCGCTGGGTGCTTTTTTGTTCGAGTTTGAGCTGTTTTGAGCTGTTTCGGACCGCGTCGAGCGACCGCGACGCGCCGCGCAGGTCAACCTCGGCGCGCTCAACGAGCGCTGGGTCAAGATCGAGTTCTTGTGCGACTTCTACAAGGGCACGGACGTACCCCTCCTCAAGTTCGGCGAGGAGGACTACGAAGCCCTCGAGAACGACCAGCTCACGGTCCAGGGCATGATGGCTAGTCGTTATATAGCTCAATTCGAGAAGGAGGTGTCCATGTGGTCCGTGGCTCTGCTCAACGTCAGTGACTCGGCGTGAAAAATGAACTTGAACTTGACGTCGTTGTGAAGATGGCGTTCCGCGTCGCCTCGACGTCTTCATTGAGACCGTCAGAGCGTCTCCACGTCTCGCGAATGTACAGAGACAGTTCCGTGACGGCGTCGTTCGACGCAGGTCGCCGACGTCTTCACGACGATCAATGAAATTCAGAGGACCTGGTCCTACCTCGAGCCGTTGTTCATTCATAGTGACGAGGTGAAGCGGGAGCTCCCGGTCGACGCGGAGCGCTTCGCGGGAATTGATGTTGAAATAAAAGATATTCTCACGACGTCGTGGGACACTAGGAACATAAAAGAGGCGCGATCTCGGCGTTTTGAAGTGTTGCGGCGCCTTCACTTCTTCAATACGACTCGTGGCCATCTCACTTCCATGAGAGTGGTTTCTTTTTGGATTTTGGGGCCGTTCGGACCGATTTGACGGAAATGCTCCGCGCAGGCCTGCAACGTCGACGGCATGTTGGAGCGGCTCGAGGGTGAATTAGCCGGTCTCGACTTGTGCAAGAAATCACTCGCGGACTTCCTCGACGGGAGACGACGGCAGTTCCCGAGGTACTACTTCACGTCCGAAGCGGACTTGCTGGATATCCTCTCGAACGGTTCGGTGCCGGAGAAGGTCATGGTCCACACGTCGAAGATCTACCTCTCCACAAAAGTCTTGACACTGAGTGAGGATGAGAGAACCGCGTCGAACCGCCCCATCGCCGTCGGCTTCGTCGCCGGCGTGGGCAAGGAGTACGTGCCCTTCGAGCCGGCCGTCCCGTTGGAGGGGAAAGTGGAAATCTACATGCAGACCGTCTTGGACGCCATGAAAATTACATTGTACGAGAATTTGAAGCGGTGCGATCTCCGCGTTTTGAGGTGCTGCGGCGCCTTCACGCCATCGAGGCGACTCGTGTCCATCAGACGAGGTCGTGGGTAGTTTTTTGAGAGATTTTGAGCTGTTTCGGACCACGTCGGGGCCGTCGCGGCGTGTCAGAGAGCTCGGTCGCGGCGATGGCGTGAGGTTGACGCGGTCGCCGCGACGGCGTCGACGCGATGCCGTACGAGAGTCTACGCGTCGCGTGAGTGCACGGAGACCGAGACCGCGATGCTCCGCGCAGGTCGGTCGTGCGCTACGCCCAGATGGAGCGCAAGCAGTGGGTCATGTTCAAGGAGGGCGGGCGGCCGGCGGACCCGGCCCAAATTATCTTATTGACGCTGGCGATCAACTACGTGCAAGGCGTGGAAGACGCCTTCACAAAGATGCAGGAGGGGAATGCCAACGGTGCTGACTCAGCGTCATTTTCTCTGAATTTCTCAACTTCAACTTCGCGTCGACGGCGCCAATGTGACGTTCCGACACCGTGACGCCGTCGACGAGGCTGTCAGAGCGTCTGCGCGTCGCATGAGGGAGCCGCGGCCGTGTCGTGACGGTGTCCATCAAACACAGGTATGGTCGAGTACAACCAGCTGCAGATCGACGACCTGTCGGATCTCGTTCGATTAACTGGAGGGGATTTAGATGGAGAAAATAGGACGCGCATCATGGTCTGCATCACCATGGATTCCCACGGCCGCGACATCGTGCAAAAGCTCATCCGCGAGAAGGTGAGCGACGCGACGGAGTTCCAGTGGCAGTGCTGACTCAGCGTGATTTCCTTCAATTTCTCAACTTGAACTTCGCGTCGATGGCGTCGTCGCGGTGCCGCACCGCCTCGATGCCCTCTTCATGATCATCCGAGAGTCTGCGCGTCGCGCGAGTGCACGGAGACGGTTTCACGACGCGGTCGTTCGACACAGGTCGCAACTCAAGCACAAGTACCGCGAGACGCCGTCGACGGCGGGCATGATGTGCTTCCCGACCAGAGATCCGCACTTACGGGACCCTCCGGGCAACCCGGAGACGGGTCTCGGCGGTAAAAGGGCGGAGATCGCGATTTGCGACGCGATCATGCCTTATGATTATGAGTACCTGGGCAACGGTCCTAGACTTGTTATTACACCTCTCACAGATCGCATTTATGTGACGGCGACGCAGTCGCTCACGCTCATGATGGGCTGTGCTCCCGCGGGTCCGGCCGGGACCGGCAAGACCGAATCTACGAAGGATCTCGGCAGTGCCCTAGCGAAGGTGGTCTACGTCTTCAACTGCAGTCCCGAAATGGACTACAAGGGCCTCGGGAACATTTTCAAGGGTCTTGGGAGCAGTGGCGCGTGGGGCTGCTTCGACGAGTTCAACCGGCTGATCCCCGAAGTGCTGTCCGTGTGCACGGTGCAGTTCAAGGCCGTGTGTGACGCCATTAAAGCAGGTGCCAGTCGTGTCGTAGTAGAAGGCGACGAAGTAAGCCTAGACTCGACGTGCGGCGCGTACATCACGATGAACCCCGGCTACTTAGGGCGGAGCGCCTTGCCGGAGGGCCTCAAGGCCTTGTTCCGGCCCATGACGGTCATGGTGCCCGACCTCGTTCTCATTTGCGAGAACATGCTCATGGCGCAGGGCTTCGTCGAGGCCAAGTCTCTCGCTTCCAAATTCTACGGTCTCTACTCCCTACTCAAGGAACTCCTCAGCAAGCAACTCCACTACGACTGGGGGTTAAGAGCAGTGAAAAGTGTTTTAGTGATTGCCGGGGCGATGAAACGGGCCGATCCCGACCTCCCGGAAGGCTCCGTGTTGCTCCGAGCTTTACGTGATTCGAACATCCCCAAGATCGTCAAGGAGGACGAGGTCGTGTTTTTTGGGCTGTTGGGGGACCTGTTTCCGGGCCTCAATCCCCCTAGAGCTAGGGATGAAACTTTGGAAGCTAATGTCGTAAGAGCCTGCGAAGAGCTCAACCTCGATCCGGACGACGCGTTTTGTTTAAAATGTGTCCAAATGAAGGAACTGCTCGATATAAGGCACTGCGTCTTCCTCATGGGGCCGGCGGCGGCCGGTAAAAGCGAGTGCTGGCGGATTTTGGCGAAGGCGCGCGAGCTGATGGGCCCGGAGCTCAAGACGGGCATCTGGGACGTGAATCCGAAGGCCGTCGAGACGCAGGAGTTGTATGGGTACATCAGCATGGCGACGCGGGAATGGAAGGACGGCTTGCTGTCGACGGTCATGCGGAACATCGGCGCGATCCCCGACGAGCTCCCGAAGTGGATCATGCTCGACGGTGCTGACTCGGCGTCATTTTCCTTGAATTTCTCAACTTCAACTTCGCGGCGACGGCGTCAACGCGATGCCGCGTCTTGCGAGAGAGCCGCGGCCGTGTCGTGACGGTATCCATCAACCACAGGCGACCTCGACGCGAACTGGATCGAGTCCATGAACAGCGTCATGGACGACAATCGGATGCTCACGCTCGCGTCGAACGAGCGCATCCCGCTCAAGCCCCACATGCGCATGGTCTTCGAGATCCGGGACCTGAAACATGCGACTCCGGCCACGGTCTCGAGAGCTGGTATTCTTTATATTTCTACGAACCAAGGCACGCAGTGGCGAAGCTTAATCAAGTCCTTCGTCAAGCAACGTACCGAGTCGGACGAAGTTAAAGTCTGGCTCCAGGAGCTGTTCGACGAGTACCTCGCCGATTCGCTGTTGTGGCTGTTGCTGAACGTAAAACAGGTTTTGCCGCTCGAGGACATGAATATTGTCCAGTCGATGTTGTACATGCTCGAATTGCTCTTAACACCTCGCAATACGGACACGCGAGAAAATCTCGAAGTAGTTTTTAATTACTGCGCGGTCTGGGCCCTCGGTGCTGACTCAGCGCAGAAAATGAACTTGAACTTGCGGCGATGGCGTCAACGCGACGTCACGCCACCGCGACGCCATCGATGCGGCCGCACGAGAGTCTGTGCGCGGTCGTTTCGCGACGGTGTCGTTCCCACACAGGTGGACCGCTCGGCATGAGCGACGACGGCGTCGACTTCCGGGCGATGATGTCCGACTACTGGACGTCGCAGTGGAAGAACGTCAAGTTCCCGAAGAAGGGGAGTGCGTCGACGGTCTTCGACTACTACTTAGATCCGAAGACGAACGACTTCGAGCCGTGGGTGCCGACTCGGCGTCAAAAGTCAACTTGAACTTGACTTGGTATTGAAGTTGGCGTGATCCCACGAGAGTCCACGCGTCGCGCAGGCCAAGTCTCCTTATTTTTTCAGCATCGACTACGACCCCGCGACGATGAACATGTCCGCGATTACCGTGCCGACGTCGGAAACGTGCTCCGTCGCCTTCTGGATGACGGATCTAGTGAAGAAACACCGACCGGTCATGCTCGCGGGCCCGTCCGGCACCGGGAAGACGCAGCAAGTGAACGGGATCCTCAAGGCCATGGACCCCTCTGCCTTTCTGTCTGCCACCATCAACTTCAACTTCTACACTACCTCTGCGGTTCTTGGGAACACGATGTGTCTCCCACTAGAAAAAAAAACGGGCACGAATTTTGGACCCCCTGGGATTGCGCACTTAGTGTACTTTGTGGACGATCTAAACCTACCAGAAGTGGACAAGTACATGACGCAGTCGGCCATCGCTTTATTGAGGCAGCAGATGGAGTACGGCCACATATATGATATGACCAAATTAGCGCAGAACCCGGTGCCGACGCGGCGTGGAAAGTGAACCTTACGCCATCGACGCGCGTCGTCTTCATCAGAGAAGGCGATGGGTGGTCTCTGGTCCAAATTTGGGCCGTTTCGGGCCGCGTCGGGGCCATCGTCGCGGCGTGTCGGAGAGAGAGCGATCGCGCGCCACGCCGTCGACGCGGTCGCGGCGATGGCGTCTTCATGAGACGGCACCGCCTCGACGCCGTCTTCATGATCACCAGGGCGCCCACGCGTCGGTCCCGCGCAGGTCAAGTCCATCAGCAAGACGCAGGTCGTGGCCTGCATGAACCCGGGCGCGGGCTCCTTCTTCATCAACCCGCGGTTGCAGCGGTGGTTCGTGACCTTTGCCATCGGGATGCCGCAACGAGCCTCGTTAAATGTCATCTACGATACCTTCTTAAATGGGCACCTGTCCAGAGGTTTCGCCGACGAAGTCTTAGCGCTCAAAGATTCCGTCATAAAAGGAGCCATGAACTTACATGGAGAGGTCATGCAGAAGTTCCGGAAGACGGCCGCGAACTTCCACTACGAGTTCAACATCCGGTCCGTGACTCAGTGTTGAAGTTGACCTTGAACTTGATCTGGTGGAGACGATGGCGTCGATGCGACCGCACGAGAGTCTACACGCCTCGTGACGGCGTCGTTCCCACGCAGGCACCTCGCGACGGTCTTCCAAGGTCTGTTGATGGGCCGGCCCGAGCAGATCAACACGGGCGAGAAGCTCGCGCACATGTGGCTCCACGAGTCGGAACGGGTCTACGGGGATCGATTAGTGTCTCCGGAAGATTTGAAGAAGTACAACGACCTGGCGCAAGGTCAAGCTCGCAAGATCTTCAGCCAGTTCCCCGTCGACAAGTTCTACGCCAAGGAGAACGCGGACCCCTTGGTCTTCTGCCACTTCTGCGAGGACATCGAGGAGCACACGTACGACCAGGTCCGTGACTCGGCGTCCCGCCGTGGTGCCTTCACACCATGTGTCGTCTCCGGGAGAGGAGGTCGTGGCTGGTCTCTGGTCCAAATTTGAGTCTCTGGAAGACGTCGGGGCCGTTCGGCGTGTCAGAGAGCGCAGTCGCCTCGATGGCGTCAACGCGACGTCACGCCACCGCGACGCCGTCGATGTGGCTGTGAGAGAGTCTACGCGTCTCATGAATGACCAGAGGCAGTTTCGTGAGCGTCGGTCCGCGCAGGTGCAAGGCGTCGACAAGATGCTCGCCGTGCTGGAAAACGCGCTGGAGCAGTACAACGAGTCGAACGCGGTCATGGATCTTGTGTTATTTGAAGATGCGATGAAGCACATCGTGCCGACTCAGTGTTGAAGTTGAACTTGAACTTGAACGCGATGCCTCGACGCCGTTCCCACGCAGGCGCGCATTTCGAGGATCGTGCTGAACGAGGGCGGCCACGCGCTGCTCGTCGGCGTCGGTGGCAGTGGCAAACAAAGTCTCAGTCGACTCGCGGCCTTCATCTGCCACTACGTCGTCATCCAGATCGTCATCTCGTCGACCTACTCGATCTCCGACCTGAAGGAGGACCTGAAGGTCATGTACACGAAGGCGCGCTCGCCGCGTTTTGAAGTGGTGCCTTCGACTCGTGTCCATCGCACGATGACGTGAAATGCTCCGCGCAGGCCGGGCTCAAGGAGGAGGGCGTCATGTTTTTATTGACGGATTCCCAGATCACGAACGAGCGCTTCCTGATCTACATCAACGACCTACTAGCATCAGGAAATATCCCGGACCTCTTCGCGGTCGATGAGGTCGACGGCATCTGCGGCGCCGTGGGCAACCGCTGTAAAGCCAGTGGAATGGAACCGACGAGGGGAAACTGCTGGGATTTTTACATCGGGGAGATCCGGAAGAACTTACATGTTGTTTTATGCTTCAGTCCCGTGGGAGACGACTTCCGCAATAGAAGCAGGAAGTTTCCCGCGCTCGTGAATAGCACAGTAATCGACTGGTTCCAGCCCTGGCCGGAGGACGCTCTCTTGTCGGTAGGACAGCGCTTCTTAGGAGAAATGGATTTGGGCACACCCTTACAAAGGACAGCTGTGGAAAAGTTCATGCCTTATTCATTTATTGAGACCAATGAATTGGCCAAACGATTTCAAAAAGAAGAGAGGAGACATGTGTACAGTACACCTAAAAGTTTCTTAGAAATGCTGAAGCTGTATCAAGTTTTATTGGAGCACAAGAGAGACACCTCCGATTATAGTATTGGGCGGTTAAAAGCTGGTCTCCAGAAGATGCAAGAAACCGCAGATGCGGTGGCGGAGATCGAAGCTGGGCTCAAGATCACTTTGGAAGACGCCGAGGTCAAGAAGACGAAGGCCGAGGGCATCGCGGAGGTTCATCTCGGCGTTTTGAAGTGTAGAGGTGCCTTGACGCCATCGACGCGACTCGTCTTGATCAGAGAATGCGCTGGGTGTTTTTTTGAGAGATTTTGAGCCGCTTCGGACCGCGTCGCGAGACGGCCCCGAATCGCGTCCGAATGCACTCGAAATCACGAAAGAAACCACCCACGTCATCGTGAGATGGCCACGACGCGCGTCGACCGTCGCACGCCGCCGCACAACCGCAATGCTCCCGCGCAGGTCGTCGGGAAAGAGAAGGCCTTCGTCGAGGGCGAGACGGCCAAGGCCGAGAAAGAAGCTGCTTTGGTGGCCGTGATCCAGAAGGACGTCGGGGAAAAGCAGCGGTCGACGGCCGAAGACTTGGCCAAAGCCGAGCCCGCCGTCGAGGCGGCCATGGCCGCGTTGGACTCGCTCGACCCGAAATCCCTCACGGAGTGCAAGGGCATGATCAAGCCGCCCGGGGGCGTCGATGATGTGTTTGCCGCGAGCATGGTTTTACTAGCAGGAATATACCCGAATATTCAACACAAGAAACTGAAAGTGAAAGATCGGTCCTGGGACGCGGCCAAAAAACAGTGCCTCGGCAACATTAAAGAATACATCGAATATCTGAAGGAGATTAAAGTGAAGGTCGACGAGTCCGCGGACTTATCCGTCCAGATGAAGGAGGTCCGACCGTTAATTGCGTTAGAACATTTTAATGTGGAAACAATTAAAGGAAAGAACAGCGCCGCGGCGGGCGTGACGGGTTTTATTTTGAACATCGTGATCTACTACGATATCGTCGTGACCGTCGAGCCGAAACGGAAAGCTTTAGCCGAGGCGAATGCGCAGTTGGAGGCGGCGAACACGAAGCTCGCCGAAGTAAACGCTCTAGTAAAAGATTTGACGGAGAAATTAGCCGTTTTAACGAAGGAGCTCAACGAGGCCATGGCCGACAAGGCCCAGGTGCGCTCGCGGCGTCCTACGATGTTTTCACTTCACTGAAACGACTCGTGGCCATCTCACGTCCACGAGCGTGGTTTCTTCGTCGAGTTTGAGTGAATTTCGATACGTATCACAGGCCGAGGCCGCCGTGGCCAAGGGCATGCAGAAGTTGGACCTCGCGCAGCGCCTTACGAGCGCTCTAGCTTCCGAGAACGAGCGCTGGAAGGAGTCCGTCGCGCAGATGGAGATCGACCGGAACTTATTAACGGGCGACGTGTTACTAGCGTCGGCCTTCATCAGCTACGCGGGGCCGTTCACGAAGAGTTTCCGCGACTCGTTGATGAGGGGCTTCTTCGAGGCGCAGTGGAAGGCCTTTGGGGGCCTCGCGGAAGGTGCCGACTCGGCGTGAGAAATGACCTTGAACTTGACGTGACGCCGTCGACGCGGCCGCATGAGAGCGTTTCGTGACGGTATCCATCAAACACAGGCATCGAAGAGCCCGAGGGCTACGTCGCGCCGCCCATGTCTCGCGTACTGAATCCCATTTCCGTGCTCGCGACGGCGCAGGAGATCGCGTCGTGGAACCAGGACACGCTGCCGGCGGACCCTGTCAGTACGGAGAACGGGTCCATCGTCTCGAACACGGCGCGGTGGCCTCTGATTATTGACCCGCAACTCCAGGGCATCTCCTGGTTAAGACATAAAGAGGGCCACGCGTCGCGAAACTGCCAGATCGTCCGACTCGGGCAAAAAGATATGATGCGGAAGCTCGAACGAGCCCTGGAGTCGGGACACACGATCATCATCGAGAATCTCGGGGAGAGTTTAGATGCTGTATTAGCTCCCGTAATCCAGCGAGCGACGATCAAACGAGGGAGAACGCTCTACGTCAAAGTAGGAGATTCAGAAGTAGAATTCCACCCCGACTTCCGACTCTACTTACATACCAAATTAAGCAACCCGCACTACCCGCCGGAGATCCAGGCCGAGACCACTCTGATTAATTTTACCGTGACTCAGGCTGGACTAAGTGACCAGCTGAACGTCTTGGTGCTCGGGAAGGAGCGCGCGGACCTCTCGGAGATGTCTGAAGTTTTAGTAAAACAGCAAACGGGCTTCAAGATCAAGATGGTGCTGACTCAGCGTCTTCATTGAACTTCAAGGTGACGTGGTCGCGGCGATGGCGTCGTCGCGATGCCATTTCGCGTCGATGGCGTCGTCAAGATCACACGAGCGTCCACGCGTCGCGTGAGAGTAGTTTCGCGATTGTATATGTGCCACACAGGGCGAGCTCGAGGACGAGATTCTCGATCGGTTGGCCAACGCCGAGGGCGACATCACGGAAGATGTTGAATTAATTGAAGGGCTCGAGGAGACGAAGCGGATCAGCACGGGCCCGTGTGGAAATCAACCAGTGAGTCAGGTGTTGCGTCGACGGCGTCTGGGGGTGCCGTCGAGCCCTCCACGCCATCGACGCGACGCGTTTCCCACTTCTCGCTGAGTGAGAGCGGTCGCGTCGCTATCTCGGCGCCGCGGTCATCTGAGAGGCCCAAACTCGGACACGATCCCCGAGGGATACCCTCGACCGACTGGAGCGAGCAGAACCTCTCTCAGACCACGAGAGACCACGAATTGAAGCACAACTTGAACTTATTTCCACGCAGGCACGGACATCACTAAGAAGTCGGCCGTGGCCAAGGAGACGCAGGCCTCGATCGAGATCACGTCGCGGAAGTACAAGTCCGTCGCTGATAGAAGTTCGATGCTCTTCTTCCTCATGTCGGATCTCGCGAAGATCCACTCGTACTACGTGTATAGTCTGGCGGCCTACACGAAAGTGTTTTATCGCGGCATCGACTTGGTTACTGATAAACCAGAGCCCGAACTCGACGACGAGGGTAACGAGCTGCCGGTGAAGGTTGTGGAACTCAACGACGAGGAGCTCGCGGCGCGGTGCATCGTGCGGACGCGGCGTCCGTTTTTGATGAATGAACTTCAACTTTGGGACGAGGGCGTCTCCATGAGAGTCTACGCGTCTCGTGAATGTGCAGAGGCAGTTTCGTGACGCTGTCGCTCGACGCAGGTACTCAACAAGTCGATCACTTTAACAACTTTTAATTACTTGCGGCGGGGTCTGTTCGAGAAGGACAAGTTGACGGTGGCGACGTTGGTCACGACGCGTATTTTGGTGGACAACGACTTACTACCGGGCGAGGATGTCAGCTACTTGTTCCTCGGCAAGGTAGCAGCCTGTGTCAGCTTATCTTCGCGTCGACGGCGTCGGAGCGCGTCGTCGCGCCCTCCACGCCATCGACGCGACGCGTTCCTCACTTCTCGGCACCGCGGTCCTCGGAGAGGCCCAAACTCGGACACGATCTCCGAGGGATACACTCTTCATCATAGAGAGAGCAGCACCTCACGCACACCACGACACACCTCAAGTTGAAGCACAAGTTGAACTTTGCTTGCCACACAGGTCCACCCCGACCCCGGGAACATGGGCCCCCTCCACGAGTGGATGCCCGAGCAGCTCTGGCCCAAAATTAAGGCCTTGGAGGGCCTGAAGCAGTTTTCAGGATTGGGCGACGCGATGCACTCGGACAGCGACGACTGGCTACAGTGGTTCGACGGGGCGACGCCGGAAGTGGCCAAGTTCCCCGGCGACTGGCAGAAGAACCTGTCGCCGTTCGACCGACTTATTCTCTTGAGAGCCTTGCGGCCGGATAGGTGTTCCAATGCTTTAGCCGCTTGGATCGGCGACGTCATGGGCGCTGACGCAGCGTCTGTTTCCGACCGTTTCCGAACTTCCCACGTCGCCTCGACGCCCTCGTCATGATCACACGAGAGTCTAGACGGCGTCGTTCCCGCGCAGGCAAGGAGTACGTCGAGCAAGCTCCGTTTAACATGCCCGCGACCTACGAGGAGACGAGCCCGCAGACGCCTACTTTTTTTGTATTATTCCCGGGCGTCGATCCCACGCCCTGGGTCGAAGAGTTGGGAAAAGAGCTCGGCATCTCGGAGGCCGAGGGAACGTTCTGCAACATCTCCATGGGCCAGGGCCAAGAAAAACCCGCCGAAGCAATAGTAGAAAGATACGCCAAAAATGGGGGCTGGGTCATGCTCCAGAACTGCCACTTGATGTCCTCTTGGGTTCCATCTTTAGAAAGGTTGTTAGAAGTGGTCCAGGAGGGGGCCCATGCGGATTTCCGGTGCTACATCTCGGCGGAAGCGCCGGGAGCGCTCAGTGGTCCTAATATGCCCGAATCGCTCCTCCAGTCGTGCATCAAGGTCGCAAATGAGGCGCCCGCCGACATCAAGAGCAATCTCACAAGATCCTGGGCGGAGTTCGGCCAGGAGCGCATCGATGCCTCGTCGAAGCCGGACGACTTCAAGGCTTGTTTATTTTCACTCTGTTGGTTCCACTCCATAATATTGGGGAGGCGGCGGTTCGGGCCGCAGGGCTGGTCTCGCGCTTATTCTTTTAACACCGGCGATTTGGTCATTTGTAGCAACGTATTAACGTCGTACATCGACGCCGCCGACGCCGCCGGTTTGGGCGTGCCCTGGGCCGATTTACGGTACATCTTCGGCGAGATCATGTATGGCGGTCACATCACGGACGCGTGGGATCGCCGGACGAACAACACGTACCTGGCGGAGCTCATGAAGCCCGAGTTAAGACCGGAAGGCGAGGCGAAGGTCGGGTTGGAGCTCGGGCCCGGGTTCCCGTCGCCGGATCCCACAACTTTGGACTACGAGGGCTACGCCCAATACATCGACACGAAGATGCCCAAGGAATCGCCGCCGTTGTTTGGACTGCACCCGAACGCGGAGATTGGCTACTTAACATCTTCTACGGCGAATTTATTTTCTACGATCGTCTCGTTAGGAGGCGGCGGCGGCGGCGGCGGCGGCGCGGGCGACGTCGTCAAGGCGACGATGGCCGATCTGTTGGATCGGTGCCCGGAAGAGCTGCAGATGGTCCTGATCGACCAGATGGCCGAGCCGTTGCTAGCTGAACCTTCCCAAGGGCCTTATGTGGTCTGTGCATTACAAGAGTGTAGAAGAATGAACGTGCTCCTAGGCGTGATCACGAAGTCCCTGAGCGACCTCGAGAAGGGCCTCGCCGGCACGCTGAACATGACGCAAGCGATCGAAGATTTAATTGCGGCTCTCACAATCTCCGAGTGGCCCGGGCGCAACCCCTACAGCCAGTGCGCCTGGGAGAAGTTCTCCTGGCCGTCCAAGAAGTCGTTGTTACCGCAATACGCCGACATGATCAAGCGCCATGGGCAACTGACGTCGTGGACGGAGACGCTGGCAACACCTATTTCCGTGTGGCTCTCCGGGCTCTTCAACCCGATGGCGTACCTCACGTCCATCCTGCAAGTCACGGCCCGCGCGACCGGTTCGGCCCTGGACGCCATGACCCAGGAGACGCACATGACGACGTACAAAGATGCGCATGCGATTCCTCCTGATAGTACTTTTCCGGAGAACGGCGCGTTCATCCACGGGTTATTTATCGAGGGTGCGCGGTGGCCCTTCGGCGACGAAGTGGAAGAGCCCTACGAGTTCGGCGGCGCGAAGGTCGGCGGCTTCTTACTTGAATCTCGCTTGAAAGAACTAATGCCTCCAGTACCAGTGGTCTACGTCAAGGCCGTGCTCGTCCAGCCGTCCTGGGAGCCCTCGGCCGTTGGATATTTAAGACACGTCGACGACGTCTACGAGGCGCCCGTCTTCATCACGACCGCGCGCGGCGCGACGTACGTGTTCCTCGCGACGCTCAAGACGGTCGTGCCGAAGAACAAGTGGACATTGACAGGAACGGCCCTCATGATGCAGCAGGACGACTAGTTTTTGCTTCCCTCTTCAAGGAGTTAAATACTGGTTATCCGCAATTACTAGTAGTAGTAGAATCATTGGACTTCGGGGGAGGGGCCGTGTACATGTGACTACATCACCGCCGCCGCGAGCGCTGCGACGACGGGGAGGAGGACCGCGCGGGCCGGCGCCGCGTCCGACTCGTAGGGCGTCGGCGCGAGGGTGGGCGCGAGCGTTGGCGCCGGAGACACCGTCGGCGCCGTCGTCGGCATGTGCGTGCAGTCCTCCTCCGTCGCGATGTTGACGAGCTGGACCTGGCTGTTCCGTGACCCGGGTTGGCGCCTTCCAACACGCACCAGCTGGTCGCCCCGGAATCCGTAGAGCGCACTTTCCCCGTCGAGAATCTCCCAGTCTTCGATGGGTTCGACCGTCGTCGTATTGTAGACTGCGAACTCGGTGCCTGACGCGATCGTCCGGCCGAACGCAAAGTACTGCCCCTCGGGGGAAAATGCCGTCAACTTTTTCTAGGTGGAAGAACGTCTTGCCGTCCTTGGATAGCACACTGTTACCCGCCCAGACGAAGCGGCCGTTTATCGCGCTCTCCGCGGCGACGGTCGCCAGCTTACAATCATCTTTCTGTCCCCCGGCGGCGTCGTCGAGCCTACCGCCAGCCTCCTCTTGGATGAGCTCGGCCGACGACGCGCGAAGGCCTAGGAAGGTGACGGCCGCGGCGGCGCCGGCGAGCGCCGCGGCCGCGACCACGACCGCCAGAAGCCCTCTGGCGCGGCGGCGGCTCGTCGGCGCCGCTTCTGTCGCGTCGCTTTCAATAGAACCATACATTGTGGATGTGGATGTGCAGGAGGAAAACTCCGGAAAAATGTTGTAAAAAATAGTGGGACCACTGTAAAAAATAAGACCAAAAAAATAGTAAAAAGTAGCGTTAGTTACACTATTAATCTATTTTTTGCTGTGTTTTGGGGCAGTGGCGCTTTTGGGGCATAGGCAGCCCCCCACAGCGGCTCCCAGCGGCCCAGCAGCTCGTGTTAGGTGCCCGTGACCATGAGCGACGACGAGAGCAGCGACGATGAGCTCGCGCTCACCGGCAGCGATGGTGGCGTCCAGCTCATACTCGACTGGGTTCACGTCCTGCGCAAGGTCATGGAGGGCAAGTGGGACAAGTACTTAGGCGAGGCCGTCAAGAAGAAGGGCGCCAAGGACTCAATCATCGAGGACATCATGTTCTTGCGCAGCATGTCGTCGAGAGAAGCCTTCCAGGGCGCGTTCGAGGACATCATCTCTAAGCGCTGGACGGCGCTCGGCGCCGGGGAGCTCGTGACGCACTTCGAGCGGTTTTACATTGAGGGCTGGGCTGGTTCCTGGTTCATCGGCTTCGCGCCGCCAGGTGTCTGTGTCACTGGGCAGCAGGCCTTGGAAAGCGGACACGCAAAAAAGATAAAGCTGCTGCTCGGCAAAAGTGCGCTCAAGGCGGACCCGGAGCCCTTCCTGCGTTCGTCGATGCCTATAATCACGAAGAGGGCTGGCGAAGACCTGCTCAAACACCCGGTCAGCAGCTTGGCATTCTCGAGCTCTGGTTTCTTTGTTTCGCAAGCGCCCTTGACCGACACGGTCGTCGTGGAGGCGGCTCTCCTCACCGATCGCGGCGCGAGCTTCGAGTTAGATTCCAAGGTGCCAAACGTGCGCCACGTTTATGTGACTTTAGATCCTGCTTCTAAGATGACTTCGAGACGTGCGCGGTTAGTACAAGATTTCATGGATTATGGTGATTTGCGTAGTATCAAGATCAAGGCGAGCGCGAAGCCCGCCGAAATTAAGAGTAAAGGGAACAGCATCCTGGCGGACCTGCGCTGCGTGAGGGTCGAGGTCACTGCAGTCGCTAGTATTGAGGAATCAAATCCGTGTTTTAGAAAGGCGGGTATAGTATTGGATCGTGTCGACGGCAAGTATCCTTCCATCGTTTGCCGGGGGTGTTTTGATTTTGCTAAGGGTGCCAATATGTGCAGACACTGTGTTCTTGTTGCTCATGACATGGGCTATTTGGACATAGAAAAATTGTTAGTACCTACGACGACACCCCGTTTAACCCGCCGAACGTGAGCGCGTACGAGTGCTTCCCGGACGCGACGCGCGCCGCCTGCGACGCGCTCGGCGGCACGGACATCGCGGGCCGCTGGTGCGTCCTCGACGGCGCCTACACGATGATTGGGCCCCTCTGCGACGATCGCGACGTGACGGAGTGCGACGAGATACACCAGCGCCTCAAGCAGGCCTGCGAAGAACCCTTCCATTTCGACGACGTCGAAGGGATTTTCACAGGCCTCGGCGGGACCGACGTCGCCGACGGCACCTTTTGCATCGTCGAAGGGACGTGGGCCGTCGTCGACCTTTATGCTTACGGCGCCCCCTGCAAAGGTGCCACAATCCGCACTGATGGGTCCAATGCTGTCTGCATCGTGGACCTGTCCCTGGACGATCCGGTGGAGTCGGACGCGGCGACGGGATCCGTCCCGCGCGCGCTCCTCGTCCTCGTCCTCCCCGGGCTGTTGGCCCTCGGCTTGTTGTAGCCTCTCTTGTCCTTGATCCCCACTTCCTCATCCTTCCCGTCCTAACAACGAGTATATTTTAGGTGTCCTCAAACGCGAGTCCTCAAACGCTAGGTCAAGTTACACGACGCTAGTCGCGCAGCCCCAGCGCCCGCCGCGACCGCGCGTCGCCGTGCGCGCCGAGCGCCGCGACCGTCGCCGCGAACGGCCCGTATGAGGAATGATGCAGACTCTGCAAAGTGAGCACGGGGAAGAAGGACGTGTGCGCGAGCTCGTAGCCCGCGTCCGTCAGTTGGTTGAGCGTTCCCTTCTGGCGCGTGATCTCGTGCGCGACGCCCTGGAGGCCCGCGCCCATGAAGCTGAGCGACAGGAAGTAGACCCAGGGCTGGTCTAAGAGCAGCGCGGGAACCCAGAGCGCCGAGCCGAACTGGCTGACCAGCGGCAGGTTGTTCCGCGACCTCACTAGCGACCCGACCATAAGCAGCGCTACTACTCCTGCGGCGCCGACCGCCGGCGTGACACCCAACAAACCCACATGGCCGCGGAGGAATAGGCAAAACGCCGTCCGCGCGGCGAGCGCGGCGCAAAACCACGGCGCCCCGGGCCGCTTGAGGTTGTGGTCGGGCAGGTAGAGCCAGTAACAAATCAGCTCGAGCGGGCCCGTGAGGAGCATGAGCGACGCATAGTAGTCTCTCGGCGCCAGGGCCGCGCACCCCCGGCTCGCGACCGCCAGCAGGGCGATGGTGAAGGCTCGCACGCTCGGGGGCGACGGCGTGCGCCCCAGAGCGAGCGCCCACGCGGCCGCCGTGAACGGCGCGACGCTGCGCGTGCCGAGCGTCCGGTCCAGGCAGTCGAGGAGCGCGAAGTTGCCGAAGATCTGCAGGAAGAGGCAGCCCACGTGCAGCCACACGTTCAGGGGGTCCGAGTGGTCGCGGCGGAAGTGGCCGTACGCCATGCCGTACGACGAGCCGGCGACGGCGTTGAGGAAAGGCTTAAACCTGCGTGGAAATCAAATTTCGGGCGCCTCACCAATCGACGCGACGTGCTCCCGTAGCTGCATCTGTGCGATGGCGTGGCGATTCCACACAGGCTAAAACGGGTTGCAGTAGAAGGTGCCCGGCACGTAGATGCACAGCCGGACCAAGGACGACGTAGCCATCTCAGAGGGCGGCGACGTCCAACCCGTGCTCGTAGAGCCACTGGAAGAAGGGCAGCAAGTTCGCGCAGGCCTCGTGGCCCTTCTCGGCGACGCACTCCTTGTAGTTCGGGATGCGCAGCGCCGGCTCTGTGTGGGGTCGACCGGTGGGCTGAGTGACAGCTCGATGGCGTCGAGATTGACGCGAAAAATGATTGCTACGCGGCGGCGTACCGACGAGGACGAATAAGAGCCACGGCGCGATGTTGCGCACAGCGGTGCCCACGTTCGCTTCCTCAGCCTCGGCGCGGAGAATCGTTGTGCGCCGGGCAACGCTGGGGACAGGCGCGCGGAGACGAGTCGTGCGTGCCGGCGGCAGTGTGAGGGCTCTGGCAGCAGCAACAAGGAGCAAGCAGGCTCTGGCCAAGCGCATTGCGAGCTATGGCGGTCGTACTTGGCTGCTTAGGAGGAGTTTGGCAGCTGTGCTCTCGATAATCTGCGCCATGCTAGCGCGCTGTAAGACACTAGCAATTTTCTCCGCCCACTAGTCCTAGCACCGTAACAATATGAACATCACAATCAAAATAGTTAGTCCGGCGCCTCGAAATCCGTCGCCGCCGCCGGCGGGACGTCGTCGTCGCTCTCACTACTCGACGACGACGACGACGACGACGACGACGACGACGCGGGCGGCGCAGGCGGCGCAACTGGCGCGAGCGGCACAGGCGGCGGGAACGGCACGGGCGCCGCCGCCGCGTTCCCGATGCCATACTTGACGCGGAGCTTCTCTAAATCAAGAGACTGAACGCCGCGGTCGCCCACGTCTTCCGCGCAGATCCACACGTTCACGGCGTACTTGACCGTGCCCCGCACGGGGTTGCCGCGATGAATGGTGCGTCCATCAGGCCGCCCGTCCAGGCCGATGTTCGGCCACAAGAGCGCTGCACCAGCTTTTGGCCGCTGCGCAATTTGTAAAGAGGGAAACACCGTCGCACCATTAGGGACACCCTCATCATCGTCGTCGTCCTCATCAATCGACGTCAGGAAGAGTAGCAAAGTTGCGATGCGCCGCGGCGGCACGACCTGGATCGCGCCCGACGGCCGGACCGTCCCCGCGTCGTGGTGATTATCAAAGCGTTGACCGCCCTCGTACCTCACAACTTGCAGGGGCTCGACCTGGTTGGCGCGGCCGCCTATCAACGAAGCGGCCCTTTCAGCCAAGGCGTCGAATGCTGGCAGCGTCCCGCGCGGCACGGCGCAGCTCGTCGACGTTCTTGCTTGGGACCTTGCGCTATCTGCGTAGACGCCGCCGTCAATCCGCGAGTGAGCAAAGCTGGCGGCCGCGGCCCATTGTAACATAGCTTGTCGTTCGCTGGCACTGACAAAGTCCTCTAGCAGATAAACGGGCGGTTCCCGCGCGAGCTGTCTCCCTTGCGAGAGTTTTCCGGAAGGCCCGAGAACCTCCCCAAAACGCTCCGGCAGCGTCTGGTCCATTTCTCCATCCACTAAAGAACCGGTGCTCACGAGCTGCATCAAGACGTCGCCGGCCGCGTCCTCGGCCGTCTCTTCTGATCGTTGTGGTGTCTCGACCACGTCGTTCTGGCCCAGCTGTATCATCGCGTCCCAGTCCTTGCGCAAATCAGGTGATACTTTCGCCCGCAACCATTGGCACGCGCGTGCCCGCGCCGCGCGCCGTGGACCGTCGTCGCGGAAGGCGTTCGTCGTCGTCGCCGCGGCGCAGCTTCTTACCGAATCGGGGTCGCGGCGCCAGGCCGGGTCCATGACGATGTCCGAGACGACGGCTGCGTCGGCGCCCAGGGCCTTGAGGGTGGCGAGGCACTGGGCGGCGTCCATGGCTAGCCGTCGTGCAGACGCAGTCCTTCGCGAACGCGTCGACGACGTCAACGGAGGGCGAGTGCCGTCACGCGTTGCCTAGGCTGCCCTAATGGCTGCCCAAAGCATCGAACAAAATCGAGGTATAGGTACTGAATTTGAATTTGACTTCTCATGTGTTTGTTCAGTGCTGCTCCGGGAGGCCACGGCGTCGTCCCGGACGCCTCTTCCGCGAATCGCCCATACCATATACCATACCAAAAGTACCATACCACAAAGAGAAGACCGCGGCAGCTCGCCATACGTGCGCCGTATAACCTCGCGTGGCAAGTGCTGAGTGGTGTTTGCAGACCTACTCAGCTGTACGCCTTGGGTCGGCCTCAAAAGCTGCACGAAACGGTGCCAGAGACGCTCTATTGGCAGCAGCTGTGTTGCTACCAGGCCGCCGTGGCCGCGTCCCGATAAGATGGCAGCCTTAGCCGAGAAGACGCTCAACAAGAGCACGTCGCAGCACCTGAGTCCGGCGACGCGGCCGTCGAAGTCCCTGTCCATGGAGGACACGACCTCTCCGCGAGCGCGAGCCGGCTCCTGGGACTCCGTTTCTACAGCATCGGGCGGCTTCCTGCCGGAGATCAAGTCCAAGCCCGCCTCGATAAAAGAAACGAGTTCAAGAAGATTGACGGTGGTTATCTTTGGCGCGACGGGAGACTTGGCCAAGAAAAAGCTGTACCCGGCGCTCTATCAACTCATGTTATTGGGCCAACTCCCGCGCGGCGACAAGATTCGAATTGTGGGCTTCGGGAGGAGAGCGGTAGAACTCCAGGGCTTCATCAAGAAACAATGCGCGAACGTCAAAAAAGACGCGAGGCTACCCTTCGAGGACTTCGCGTCTCGACTATTCTTCCACGGCGGCGGCGCCTACGACAAGGCGCCCGGCTTTGAAAGTCTAGCTGTATTACTGGATGAACTGGAACAAGGCCTCCCGACGGATCGACTCTTCTTTTTAAGTGTCCCCCCAACAGTCTTTGGGGCCTGCGCCCAACACGTCAGTGCGTGTTGTCGCGCGCAAGCGCCGAAACGGTGGACTCGATTAATAATAGAGAAGCCCTTCGGGAAGGATTCAGATAGTTTCGCCGAGCTCGACGCCTCTACAAGTGGATCGTGGTCCGAGGACGAGCTGTTCCGCATCGACCACTACTTAGGGAAAGAAGTCGTACTCAATCTCTCAACATTAAGATTCGCGAACCAATTGTTCGAGCCGACCTGGAACAGCAAATGCATCGAGTCCGTAGAAATCACCTTCAAGGAGGACATCGGGACGCAGGGCCGCGGGGGTTATTTTGATGGATTTGGCATCATCCGCGACATCATGCAAAATCATCTACTCCAAGTTTTGGTGTTGTGCGCCATGGAGCCCCCTGCCTCAGATCTACCAGAAGATATTCAGAAAGCAAAAGTAGAGGTCCTGAAGGCCATGAGCATACCGTCGCTCGACGACGCGTTTCTGGCCCAATATACGGAGGACAACTTCATGTCCGAGCCGGGCTATCTCGAAGACCCCGGTGTCCCGGACGACTCCGTAACACCTACGTTTGCGGCAATAGTACTAAAAATAAACAACGAGCGGTGGAAGGGCGTCCCGTTCGTGGTGAAAGCAGGTAAGGGGTTAGATGAGCGCCTCGCCGAGGTTCGGGTCCGATACAAGTCCCAGCCCTACAACAAGTTGTTAGTAGGGCCCCAGGCGAAGAATGAACTCGTGTGTCGGATCCAACCGGATGAAGCTCTTTATTTGAAAACGCACACGAAAAAACCCGGCCTCGAGCAGGAGGTCGAGCCGACGTGCATGGATATGAGGTATGCCTCTACGTTTGGCGGGTCCTATCTAGCTGATGCGTATGAGCGCATGTTTTTGAACGCCGCGAAAGGAGATTCTTCGTTGTTTGTTTCTTCGGGAGAACTGCGGGAGGCGTGGCGGGTCTTCACGCCCTTGTTGCATGCCATTGATAAGACGAGGCCGAAGCCCATCTTGTATGCCTTTGGGGAGCGGAATCCGCGCGGGTTCCGGGACTGGTCGCTGGCTCATTCCGGTGTGAAACAGCGCCAGTCCTTCATGGAGACGCTGTCGGGGTTAAGTGGGGACGCCGGCGCGTTAAGAGCGTATTTTGATAGATACGATGCGGACAAGGACGGGACGTTGCGGGCCGATGAAATTAGAGATTTAGCTCGGTCGTTGTACGACGGGCGCGACCCGCCCGAGAACACGCTGCGCAAGTTCTTCCATCTGGCGCGGGGCTTCGACTTGAAGGACAAGATCACGTTCCAGGACTTCACGTACTTCGCGCGCTGCGCGCGCATCGCGCACAAGTCCAAGCCGCGCGCGTACGAGCGGGACGTGTGCTCGGAGAAGTAGTTTTCGGCGTCTAAACACTTAGAACACACGGTTGTTGCCCCGTGCCGTTTATGGTAGAACGGGAAGCGCCTTCTAAGAAAACACAAACGAAAAGCTTATTCATACAGAACCTCTTGCTACAAGTCTTGCTACTTCCTTCCTGCACGGGTGGGGCAAGCCGCTCTTCACGAGTTCGAGCTGGCACTCGCGCGCGAACGCTTCGTCCGCGAGCTCACCCGTCGCGTTCAGCGGCGGCACGCAGAACCGCCCCCACGTGAGGTACGCGTCGTAGCCCGCGGCGTCGATCTTGTGTAGGACGTCGACCGCGGCCGCCGGGTTGGCGCCCGCGACGCCGTGCTGCTCCGACTCGGCCCAGCGCTTCGCGGGGCCGAACTCGACGGACGCATCGCGGACGCCTCCTCTGCCCAGTAGCTCGAGCGACGACCGGAGGGCGGGGATCTCCACGCCCTCGACGTCGATCTTCAGGAAGTCGATCGTCGCGTCCGCGCCGAAGACCTCGCTGGCGACGAGGTCGACGCTCGCCGTGCGGACCTGCGCCATCATCACTTCTTCGCCGCCCTCGGAGGCCATTCGCGCCGCGCCCAGGGAGGCCGTGCCGCCCTCGTTGAAGTCGTTCGCCGCGCCCAGTTCCGCGATCTCCACCTGTGTGGAAATCAAAATTTTACGGCGCGTTCGTGCAGAATCGTCGCGTCGCCCTCCACGCCATCGACGCGACGCCTGCTCGATGGCGTGGCGATGCCGGTTCCTTACCCCTCGACCGAGCCAGGACGGCCGCGTCATCGCCGAGAGATGACTTAGTGAAGAATTATCGTGCACCCGACACACTGGTTGATTTCCACACAGATCTCCACCACCGCGGGCACGTCGAGCACGGCGTTGTGGTAGACCTCCACGTCGACGCCGTTCGCCAGAGCCGACACCTTGACGAGGCTCGCGAGCGCCGCCTGGGCCTCGACCGCCGCGACGCGCGCGCCCCGGAGCGCCGCGAAGATCGCGAAGATGCCGTGGTTCGCGCCTATGTCTAGCACATTCGGCGTCGCGCCCGGCGCCGCCGCCGCGATGGCGCGGTCCATAGCCTTAAACAGCATCGCCTCGCGCTTGAAGTACCCGGCCACCCGGCCTAATTTTTTTGCAGGGCCTCCCCGTCGCTGCACCCACGGGAGGCCCGGATCCGCCTGCTCGGGCGCCGGCGGTGGCGGGTCCCGGCAGCCCTTCCGCCGGGGATGCTTTTTGCATTCCGGTGGCCGCTGCGCGACGGGACTCGTCGGAGCCGGCGGGGCCGGATTCAGTACCGGAGGCTTGCGCTTGGCGCGGCGCTGAGCCGGCTGCTTGCGCTTGTCACGTCGCCGGCCGATCGCCTGCCAGAGCCGCCAGGAGCGACGCGCCTTGTCGAGCAGCCGCCGCCGCGCCGCCTCCGACGTCGCGACGGTCATGATGGCCAGGGGCACCCATTCCCCATTTTGCCGCTTCTCCGCCGCCCGGTCCCGGCAGAGCTGCGTCTTGGATTTATGTTCGCACTCCACGGACGGCTTGCCGGTCTCGAGTACGCCCCAGCCGCCTCGCATTCCCGCGAGCACGGTCCTCGGATCCGCCCGCACGAGACACGACGCGTCGAAGGTTCCGTGGTGGTCGTGCGACCGCTTTGTTTTTTTCACCGTCGGCGCGCGCAGGCGCAGGACCAGCTCCCTCTTGTTGTAGAAGACGAAGTCGCCGTCCTTGTACTCCCAGCGGCCGCGCGTCCCGGCGGGCAGGTCGCGCAGCGTCGTCGTCCGGTTCTCCGCTACGGTGCCTCCGATCAGTGCTGCCACGAGGGCCAGCTTGCAAGTTGTGCTGCCCATGCGACACGCATGCATGGGATGCGGGCAGCCGCGTTCGAGGGACGGCCGGATAGCCTTCCTTCTTCAGCAGGTCAGTTGACCGCAGGGCTGCAATCTTGGTGCAAAAATGCGTTGCTCTGGCTTGGGGCAGCTTGCAAAATCGACGACAGGGAGTTTTTTGCGAGATGACAGGATGATTTTTGTCATTTTTTGTGCAGATTAGCTAGTGTGTCGATATACTAGCAATTTTTCATTCATCTGCTCTGCTATCTCTCCCCATCTGCTCTGCTTGAGTGAACGTGTACCCTTTCCGCGCACCGCGAGATCACGTGGGATCCAGTAGGAGTGGTGGTGGTGTTATCACAAACGATATTTTACTTCCCTGGCTCTCTGGCCGGGCACCGCCGCGGCGCCGCCGCACCAGGATGATGTAAGTGAACTGTATTAACTCACCCCAGCAGCAGCAGCGCGCCGCCGCGCCGCGTTCCGCCGCTCGCTCTTCCGAAGCTTGCGCTGGAGGCGCGCCTGGACGATGGCCGGGTCGCGCTCAACGACCTTCGCGACGCGGTGCCGCCAGTACCAGCTCTTGCGGTCGGACGCGTCGTCGTGCCGCGCCTCCAGTGATCCGTCCGGGTCCGCCTGGTCGAGCGCGTCGACGACGGCGCACATGTCGTTTAACGAAGAGGCCGTCGAGAGCGCCGTCCGCAGGTCCACGCGCGCCGTCAGGCCCCCGTGAAGGATCTTGAAGAGGTGGCCCCGCGCGTCCGACGTCTCCGCGCCGGTGTCCTCGGCCAGCGCCAGGTACTCGCGCGCCAGGCGCCGCGCGCCGACGTACGCATCGTCTGCGTCGCGGTTGCGGACGAAGAGCGCGGGGTTCGCCAGCAGACCTTCCGAGGACATGACGGCGTCGCAGCCCGTCGCCTCGGCGGCCGCCACTACGTCTCCCAGGTCGCCGATTCCACCATTAGCGATGGTCACGACGTCGCGTGCCGCCAGCGCCTCGCGCACCGCTTTTATTGACGCCCAGTTCGCCGCGCCGGAGAGCTGCTTGTTCTGCTCGCGCGTCCGGCCGTGCACGCATATGAGCGACGCGCCGGCATCGGCGAGGCGCAGGCACCGGTCCGCCGTCTCCCGGACGGCGTTCTCGTCGCCCGGAGGTAATATTCTGACCTTCGCCGTAACAACACGCTCATCAGTCGCAAATTGCGTCCGCAGCGCCCGGATCACGCCGACGGCCGCGTCGGCGTCGCGCTCCCAGAGCCACGCGCCGTACCGTCCCCTGCGCGCGATCTGCTGCGGGCAGCCCAAATTGAGGTCGAGCGCCACGACGTTGTCGACATTATCGCCCGCTAGATGAAGAGTCCGCTCGGCCGCCCTGCAGACCACCGATGCGTCGTGGCCGGCGAACTGCGCGGCCAGCGGCCAGTCGCCACGCCGCGTCGTGAACTGGCGTTCGAGATATTGGATCCCGGAGTCGCCCGCGGCCAGACCGGCGTGCAGCATGGGCGTGTAGCAGAGCCCGGCGCCGTAGCGCCGCGACAGCTCGCGGAAGGCCAGCTCCGACTGATCAACCATGGGGGCGCAGATATATTTGGGCGCGCCGATCGACCGCCACCAGGCCGTGCTCACGGCGCGGGCCGTGGTGAGCATTACCATGGCTGCGATGAGACGGCGCATCAGCAGTCAGTGCTCAGCGGCAGCTGTGCTGGGAGCCCTTAACAGACGAGTGAATTGCGCCAAGCTGTGCAGACACGTTAGTGTATGACCAGGCCGATCTGTGCCGCTGCTCAATGCGCGCGTAGGCGATCACTGTGCCCTTTTTTGCTGCCCAGCCCGCTTGCTCTTTGCAGCGCTAGTGCCTCAAGGCGCTAGCTAGGCGGACAAAGAAAGCTCACTTCGGACGCGGTGCCTTCCCGAGCAGGCCTCTCCTACCTTATCCAACGGCGTTTGCTTTCATCGCCGCCGCCGCCGAGGAGTTTTGTTTTGAGTGCATGACCAGGCAAAACAAGCGTCGCGCCGCATCGATACAACACACGGCGGCTTTGAAATTGATTCCGCAGCGCAAGTCTTGCCACAAAGCGCCAGCGCCGCTCGCCAAGCGCTTTGAGACCGCCTGAAGGTGCAGACCTGTAGTGTTGCCACTGCGGACGCTCGCGGAACGCTCTCGCCGCCGCGCCGCTGCAGAAGCACGAAAACCAAGGAAACGAAAACCGAGGAGATGAAGTTCAGCCTCGCCGCGGGCACGCGCCCCAAGGCGGACGCGTTCGGCCTCAAGAGCGCGGGCCTGAACAGCACCGCCAAGCCCAAGAAGTCGTTCTCGTTCTCGAAGATGATCCCTAGACAGGCCGCGCTCTTCGCCAAGACCATGCGCGGCGGCCCGCCCAAGCTCAAGGCCGAGGCGCGCGTCGCGTCGGCGGCGCCCACGAGCCCCGTCGTCTACGGGCCGCCGCCGCCGCCGGATTTCTCGCGCACGAGCGTCGCGGAGCCGCGGGCGACGCCGCCGAAGCGCCCCGCCGCGGCCGAGGCGACGCCGCCGACGGCCAGCAAGCGCGCGCGCGACGAGAACGAAAGGGCGCCGGACGACATTTACGCCAGGCGCCTCGGCCTCGCAACAGGGCGGCCGGACATCTCGTTGCCGCCGCCCCTCGACTCCGCGGCGCTCGCGCGCGGCGCGACGCCCATCGACGCCGCGGCGCTCGCGCGCGACAAGGCGGCGCGCCGCATGGAGGCGGCGATCGCACGCGCGCGCGCGGCGGGCGTCGCGGGCGTGGACCACTACGACGCCGCCTGGGTCGCGGATTCTGTCAAGAAGGCGTCGTGCCCCGAGACGTTCGCGGACCGCGTCGAGAGCGCCATGGCCAAGCGGGTCGAGGCACAATCGCGGTCGCCCGCCGGGTCGCGGCCGCTCGCGTCGCCGCGCGTCACGTTTACGGAAAGACCAAAACCCAAAACGCCCGCGTCCACCAAGGAGCTCAAGTGCGACAAGTGCGACGGCCCGCACGCGACGGAGGACTGCCCCTTCTTCAAGGGTGATAGGGATGACCACCCGGACGCGCGGAACCGCGCGCCGCACGAGGGGCTGGGCTCCGACGGCGGGCGCGCCGTGCTGCGGCAGGCGCGCGTCGTGCGCCAGCCGGGCGACGGCTCGTGCCTCTTCCACAGCCTGGCGCACGGGCTGCGGGATGCGCGCGTCGCGGACTACGACCACCGGCGGCTGCGGCAAGCATTGATGGACTGGCTCGCGCGGCACGAGGACCTGAAGATCGCGGACACGCCCGTGCGCGACTGGGTCCTCTGGGACGCGAACCAGGCCGTGCCGGCCTACGTCGGCCGCATGCGCATCGGCGGCTGGGGCGGCGGCATCGAGATGGCGGCGTGCGCGCGGAAATTCCGCGTCGACGTCCACGTCTACGAGCGGTCGCCGGCGGGCGCGCGGCACCCCTTCAAGCGCATCTCGCGCTTCGACGCGCCGGCGCGGCCGCCGCGCGGCCGCGTCGACGTGCTCTACTGCGGCGGCGTGCACTACGACGGGCTCGTCGTGCCGCGCGGCGCGGTGTACGAGCTCGACGGCGGCGCGCCGACGCCGTCGCCGCGGTCGCCGCCCTTCTCGCCGCGCTCGAACTTCTCGCCGGTCGGCGGCGGCTACCGGTCCTTCGGCAGCCCGGCGAACCGCTACGGCGGCGGCCACGGCTACGGCCGGAAGCAGGTCGGCTACGGCTTCCGGTCGCCGCAGTCGCGATGGTAGGTGGTTTAAACTTAAGCAATTGTAACAAACAAACTCCCATGCGCCTCACGAGGCTATCCTCCTACAAGGGACTCGCTTCGATCCGTGGTTGGAATGCTAGTGTGTGATTACGCTAGAAGCGCGTGCTCCACTTTTCAGGTCTCGTACGCGTCGCCATTGCACGCCTGAACCCAGCACTCGCACGCCAGCCTCCAGACACTCTCTGGTTCCCCCTGCACAGCTTTGCGCGACAGATAGGAGCTCATAGCTACAGAGAGGCGCATCTTGCTCAGTGGGCGCATCATGCTCCGCAGCCGGCGCGGCATCGTTATCCTAGCTTGCCTCTTCGCGACCGCCGACGCGCTGGCGAAATGGAACGTGGCGCTCAACCTCGGCCGCGAGCCGGGCAGTTCGATGCCCGAGAGCTGGGCGGCGAGCGGCGCGCGCTTCTTCCTGCAGACGCAGATCGAGTTCGGCGACGATCCTGCGGCCGAGGAGCCGTTCCTCGGCCGCGGCCGCGCGCCGCGCTGCGTCACTGCGGAAAGCGCGTCTTTTACCGGCGTCGGAGGTCGGCGGGAGGTGGCCGTCGGCAGCGGGGCATGGGTCCTGGCGCGCGATCGGGCACCAAGTGTGCTGCGCTTCTGGCTCGACTTTTCGGGGGCGACGGACGTCGAGTCGCGCGGCGTCGCGCTCCCGGCCGAGAAGCTCTACTTCACGGCGTCGGCCTTCGACGCGGCTGACGTGGCCGACGCGCGGCGCGACTTGCTACCGGCGAATCAGAAACGGGCGGCGGCGCAGGCGGAGGTCGACGAGGTCCGCGAGGGCCCGAACCTGTTCGCGCTTGCCAAAAAAATGGACGCCCTCGCCGCGGCGCAGTCGGCCGTCGAGCGCGTCGAGGAGCGCCTGCCGAAGGTGCGGGACCCGAACGCGGGCGCGCTCCCGGGCGAGGCCAAACTGTTCGTGGACCAGGGCCCAATCAGCGTCAAGCGACCAGGGCTCTTCGGCCCGTTCTCGCGCGAGAAGTACTTCATCGTCGGGACCTTCTCGCTGACGCCCGTGCTCGAGGGCGCCGAGCTCGCCGCGTCGAAGCGGCTGTATTATTAGTTCTAATTATTCTTAAAGTCTAATATTGACTCTACGGCGGCGTCGACGGCGTCTAAAGACGAGTGCTGCCATAGCGCTTCGCTTCACGATCGGACGGCCCGTGCTAGTGTGTCGATAAGCTAGGTTAAATCCAAGGAGCGCTGTGCTGCGTTTGCCCAAAAACGCGGCGTAACTCCACTAGTACACGGTTGCTGCACGTGGGACTCATAGAGGTAGCTCCAACACACACCAGTGGACCACCTGAGCAGAGCGGGGCAGCCCGGGGCAGCCAAAAATGGTCACAAAAAAGAAGCTAGAAGCAGACCTCGCGGCGGCCAACGAGGCCCTGGAAGCGGAGAAGCAGAAGGCCGCCGCGGCGGCCAAAGCGCACGACGACAAAGTCAAGGAGCTGTCGGGCAAGGTCAAGGACCTCGAGGCCGCACAAGCCGCGTCGACAAAGGAGTCCGCGGCCGCCGTCGCCGAGGCGAAGGCGGCCGGCGCGAAGGAGGCGGAGCAGGCCCTCCAAAAGACCCTCGACGACGTGCGCGCGGAGCTCGAGGCGGCCACGAAGCGCGCGGACGCCGCGGAGTCGCAGGCCGCCACGGCAGACTCACTCTTGAGCGCGGACGACTCGGGGGACGCCGCCGCCATCGCGGAGGCGCAGGCGGCGCTGGCCGCTGTTCGGGAGGAGTTGGCCGCGGTCCAACAGACCAGTGCGGCCGAGATCGCCGCACTGGCGTCGGAGCTCGACCAGGCGCGCCAGAGCGGCGGCGAGGCCGACCAGTCGGAGGCCCTCGCGGCGCTCGCGACCGAGTTGGAGCAGGAACGATCTGCAAGACAATCCTTGGCGGACGAGGCCGCCGAGCTCCGGGCGCAGGCCGCACAGCCGCGCGCCGACGAGGGCGAGACGGCCAAGCTTAAGGCGGAAATTAACAGAGAGAGGTCGCGCGCCGAGCGCGCGGCAAGGACTCTGGATGCCGAGCGCCGGAAGACCCAAGACGCCGAGCGGAAGTTACGCGAGACGGTGACGCGGCGCCAGGCGGACGACGAGCAGGACCGGCGACGGAACGGCGTCCGCGCGCGCGCCTGGGCCCGGGCGACCCATTCCTTGGCCGCGCGGAAGAAGGACGACGCCCAGCAGGCGTCCGCGGCCGTGGCCGCGGCGGGCGGCCTCGCGGCGCGCCTCGCGGCGTTCGGCGCCGGGCTCGCGCGGGCCGGCGAGCTCGACGTCGCGGAACGGTTATATGGAGAGGCGGCGCAGCTGCGCGGCACGATCTACGGCGGGCCCCACGCGGAGGAGGCCCAGTCGCTGCGCCAGCTCGCGGCCCACTGCCGCGAGCGCGACGACCTCGAGCAGGCGCTGGAATACATGGACCGGAGCTGCGCCGCGTATAGTTCGTCGCTGCGCGCTGGCGAGGGAGCGGATGTTATCGCTGAACCGACGACGCGGCTGCCGCCGCTGAACTCCGTCGCGCGGCACGCGTCCCTGCCGAGGATCGAGCCGGAGACGCCTCCCTCGCCGATCGGACTGCCCGAGGACTTTCTCTAACGAACGTCAACTTATACTTCGGGGCCTAGTACGCCGCGGCGCGCGCTCTCCCGCGGGCCGCGCTGCGAGTTCTAGACGCCACGGGCGAGACCGGCGTGGCGGGCGTGGAGTTGTAGTCCCACGCCGTCTTGAGCTTCGCAGCAAACAAGACCCACTCTTCCAGACCGATCGTCGTCGCGTCGCCCGCCAGGCACGTGAAGACGGCGTCGACGTCCTGCGGCAGCGCGAACTCACCAATCGCGTCGGCGTAGGCCAAGAGGTCCGCCCGCGAGAGCCGCTCCCCGCCGTCCTGGTCGAACATCGCGAAGATCGTCTTCAGCGCGTGGAGCTCGGGCTCGGAGAAGCCTCGAGGCTGCACCGGCGTCGCCGGCGCCCGTCGCGCCGCGGCGGCGTAGCGCGCCTTGGCCTTGGCGATGGCCGGCGTCGCCGGCGCGGGCGGCGCGTTCTCCCGGCCCTCGCGGTTCGCGCGCAGGTCCGCCCGCAGCGCCGCGAGTTCGTTGTCCATCTGCCGTCCGACGACGCGCGACGTTCCCATGACCTTCTTGCCTCGCCGGCCGACACCCAGCGCGCCGGAGTCGACGAAGGGCGCCCGCGTCGCCAGGGCGGCGACGGCCGCGTCGTTCAGCAGCCCGCCCTCGGCGACGAGGCGCCCGAGGACGCGCGGGTTCAGCTCGCTGACGGCGTTGCCGCGCCGCGCGGCGTCGAAGCGCCTCGAGACAAACCGCGCCTCGGGCGACGCCGCCTCGAAGGATCGGCGCCGCACGCCCGTCGACGAGCGCCGGCGCGGCTTCCGCGGCGTCGCGCCGGGCGGCGCCTGCAGGTCCCGCAGCGCGGCGAGGAGGCCCGCGATCGTCGTCGGCATCCACGGCGCCGCGGCCTGCGCGTCGCGCACCGCCATCGCCGTGAGCTCGCCGTCCGACGCCGGCGGCGGCACCGCGAAGTCCTTCGGGTCGGACCTCGCCGCGTACGCCACCGCGCACGCCTTGTCCCACGCCACGAGCAGCACAGCACCCAAATTTCCATGGTGGCCGCAGTAGTCAGCGGCGCTGAAAACCGTCGTCACGCGCGCGAGCTTTTTTCGCACGTTGTCGTCGCCGTCCAGGATCTCGTGCTCGCCGATCGACTCGAACGGCATGACCGTGTCGTCGAAGTCCTGCGCGAGGCCCGCCTCCTGGCACTCGTGTGCCCGGATCATGGCGAGAATATCGTTGTTCCGCAGGAAGCGGTCCACGGCCGTCTCGCCGAAGACCACGGAACATCCTCGCGTCGGGTTCGTGTCGAAGGACGCAAGAGTCGTCCGGCGCGCCGCGAATTCGTCGTCGCGGCGCGGGTCCGACCAGAGGATGTCGCAGAGTAGGCCTTTATCTTCGGGCTCGACGCGGCGGTTGATGGCGTTCAGGTCCGCGACGCGCCGCAGGTCCGGCCCGAGCCCGCCGTGGCAGCAGAAGATGTCGCCGCGCCCCGTGGCCACGACGGCGGCGAGCGGCATCGCCTCGAAGACGCTGCAGCACTGGTTGTAGACGTGGGGGCCGTACTTGCGGTTGCACTCGTCGCGGAAGCCGAAGTGGCCCGTGCAGTTCCGCGACTCGTGGTTCCCGCGGAGCAGGTGCACCTTCCGCGGGTAGCGCACCTTCAGCGCGAGGAGGTAGAAGAGGACCTCGCACGACCGGGCGCCGCGGTCCACGTAGTCGCCCAGGAAGAGCAGCGACCCGACCTTTTTGTCGTCGCCGCTCGCGGGAGGCCCCCCGAGCGCTTCCGGCGCGCCGCAATCGCGCCGCGCCTGCAGCAGGGCGCCGCCGTCGCCGTCGCCGTGGCACAGCTCTTCTAAATCGCCGTACTGGCCGTGGATGTCGCCGATCGTCAGCAGCGGCGCCTGGAGGCCGAGGACGTTCGGCTCGGCCGCCAGCACGTCGACTGCTCTCTTGAGCAGGCACAAGACGTCCGAGGCCGCCAGGACCTCGTCGCGGTCGAACGCGGCGCGGACCGCCTCCGGGCCCGGGCACGCGCCGCCGCCGGCGAGGTCGACGGTCGCCACGTTCGAGTGCGCGGCGAGGCGCCGCGCGCGCCGCTCGATCGTCTCGAGGCGCGTGCGCTGCTGCCAGAGCTCCCGAGCCGTCGGCCGCGGCGGCGCGGACGGCTCGGTCGGCGCCTCGCTCGGCGTCGGCGACGGCGGCGGCGGCGGCGCGGCATCGTGCGCGGGCAGCGCGTCGACGTAGCCGTCGACGTCGCCCTGCGCGTCGATCTCCTTGAAGCACTCGGCGCAGCACTCGTTCTCGACCGTCTCCCGCGCGCAGGCCGGGCAGTACGTCGCTCCGCAGCACGGGAACGCTTTGCCCGGTTCTTCGGCCGAGAGATTCTCGGCGCAGACGACGCACTGGCCGTGTTCATCGAAGTCCGCCATCGTTTTTTTGGTGCTTTCGGGTGTAACGCAATTTGCCAAGAGCGGGCGCTTCTCTCGCGTTCGTGCAGCGCCACAAGGGGTGGCGCAGCTCGCTGGATCAAGTCGTAGACTGCTACGCGCGGCGCGGCGCGATATGCAGGCCAAAAAAGAGGTGCGCACTTGCTAAACGTGAAAAAAATAATCGTGCTAGCGGCATGTTAAGACACTAGCAACAAAAAACGCGACGCTGCCGTCTGAGATTCATTCTATGGTTCTGAATTTGAGGACCCAGTAATGTTTCTCTAACGAGGCGGATCTGCGAATGCCCGGAGCCGCAAGGTTCTGTTCTCATTCACTCACGCGACCGACTCGGAGGCGGCTAGGCCCCCGCCCCCACTAGACGCCCCCACGCCGTCGAGCAATAGCCTCCACACACGCTTAGAGAACACGGCGCCTAGAAGCCCATGTTCTTCTTCATCTTCTCGAAGGCGTTGTCCTGCATGTCCTCGGAGAGCTCCGTGACCTCCTTGGCTTCCGGCCGCTTCTCGAGCAGGCCCGGGTAGGACACCTTGTAGCCGAACTTGAGCGCGTCCTTGGCCTTCTTGAGCTGGGGGTAGGTCGCGAGGCACTGCGCGACGAACTTGGCTTTTTCGGGGAATAAGGAGGACGCGACGCCGCGGTCGATGCCGCCCTTGGCGAAGCCCTTGGTCCAGTCCGTCATGTAGGACTCGATGAGGTCCTTGGACCGCTCGTCGCCGCCGAGCGAGCCGGCGGGGTACCACGTCGGCGAGTTCGGGCCCTTCACATATAAATCAAAGGACGGCAGGCCCGACGCCTCGCGCTGCTTCTGGTACTCGGCGTACTGGCGCTGCTGCTCGACCATGGCGCTCGGCGGGCCCATGCCCTTGCCCATGCCGGATTTGCCCTTGCGCTTCATCTGCATCATGCCGCGCGTCGGCGCGCGGTGCCGTCGCGCGTGCGTGAGCTGGCGCTTTGGTGCGGCGCCAAGGCCCGACGGCGCCAGGGCCGCGGCAAGAGTGGTGCATGCCGTCAAGGCCAAGAGTCGTCGTGCCAGAGGCGCCATGGTCCTAGCTGTCAGCTTTGTTGCAGCGCCAACTGCGCGAAACTGGTGCAACACTGCTCGGCAGCTGGTTTTTAACTATAAACCGTGGCGTTTTGCGCTGAAGCCACAACGTATGGCTGTGTTAGGGCCGAATTAAAGCCAATAAAGCCCAGCTCAGAGATGCTCAAGACTCGGTTTTTGGGGCTCCTCGTCTGCCTCCTATATCGCAAACCAAAGCTCGCCTGGTCTGGGGACACATCGCAGAGGCACTGTGTTCCGGGCTAGCGCGGTAAGACACTAGCAAGCACGCCAGCCTGCTTCCTGCGCTCGATATCCGCCCTTATCCATCGTGCTCGCTCCCTGGTTGCATTGAGTTGCATCGAGATTCATCGTGGCTCGCGTCCGAGCCGCTCCTTCGCATCGATAACAGGTGTCAATGGCAGCGCTCGTCCTCGCACTGCTGGCGCTCAGCGCTCCGGCAGCCGCTCTCGCACCAGGCAGCACTGTGACAGTCATTGGAGCCTCAGGGAATGTGGGCAAGCTCGTAGCGCTGCGATTGAGTGAGACGTTCAAAGTGAGAGGCGTCGTGCGGTCCGCAGCGCGAGCGCGCAGCTTTTTGCCGGACGTCGAGCTGCACGAATGTGATCTGCGAGACGGGCCGACCGCGAGCTTGGCCAAGGCGCTTGATGGTGCTGCGGGCTTGGTCGTCTGCACCGGCACCACAGCGTTCCCGACGAAGGCCTGGTCTGAAACAGGAAGAGACGACGTCACCTTTCCCGTGTTGCAAGCCCTGTTCGAAGCGAAGGGCGACCGATTTAAGGCCATCGACCTCCTGACGGAGCGCGGCTACAACACGCCCGCGACCGTCGACGAGACGTGCACGAAGACGTTGCTGGAGGCGTGGTACAGCTCCGCCGGATCAAATAGAGACCGCCTCGTGCTGCTCTCGAGCGTCGGCGTCGTGCGGCGCGACGAGATGCCCTACCCCATCCTCAACGCATGCGGCGTCCTGACGGCCAAGGCTTCGGCCGAGGCCGCGATCAAGGCCGACGCGGAGAAAAGCGGCTACGCCTACACGTTCGTGCGGCCGGGGCAACTGTTCGGCGGGCCCTACGACAACAACGTGTACCTGGGGACGCTCTTCCAGCTGGACAAGGACGCAGACGAGCGCGACGTTTTATTGGGCCGCGGCGACGTGACGCTGAACGACGACCCCCAGCTCGGCACGCTCCGGTCGACGCCTGTGTGGAATCAACCAGTGCGTCGGGTGCCGACGCGACGTATCAGCACCGTGAAATTTTGATTCCACACAGGTCGACGCTGGCCGAGGTCATCGCCCAGGCGCTCGAGACGGGCAGCGCGCAGAACATGGACTTCACATGCGTCAACGCCAAGGGCGCCGAGCCGACGGTGCCCGAGCTGCGGGAGCGGCTCGCGGCGCTGGGCTAAGAGTATGTACTTCAAAACTTCCCTTACTAGCGAGGGTCGCGTCGCTCAGCGGTAGTAGGGCTGGCCCATCTGCGGCTGGCCGTACTGCGGCTGGCCCATCTGCGGCGTGTAGACCGGCTGCGGTGCGACGGCCTGGCCCATCTGCGGTGCGTAACCCGGTTGCGGCGCGTAGGCCGGTTGCGCCGCGTAGACCGGCTGCGGCGCGTACTGGACCGGCTGCGGCTGAACCATTTGCGGCTGGGCGTAGGCCACGGCCTGGGGCTGCGGGGCGCGCGGCGGCGGCAGGGGCACGCGGAATTGGCCGCCGGGCCCGACGCCTGGCGGAATCTGGACCTGGAGCTGCTGGCCGTCCGGCGCCTGGACGACGACCTGGAGCCCGCCGCGCGCGTTCGCCGGGCACGTGACGACCATGAACCCGGGCTGGACCGGCGGCGGCGCGGGCGGCGCCGCGGGCACGGGCGGCGGCGCGGGCGGCGCGACGTACGCGGGCGGCGGCGGCGCCGCTGGCGTCCCCATCGCCTGCGCAAACACCTTGCCGCCGGCCGCCCCCAGCGGCGACGTCCCGGCCACGCCGCCCACCCTCAACGTGAGCACGCACGAGAACTCGCCCCGACCTTTGCCCTTGTACTTGAACGGCTCCTTGAACTGGCGCGGCTGGTTCGGCGTGCGCTTGAGAGCCAACAAGTTCACGAGCTTGCCCTGGCCCAACAAATCGTCCGACGACCCCACGTCGTAGTCGTAGGCCCCGACATCAATACCGTGCTCGAGGTCGTGATCCTCGAGGTTCATCGTGAGGATCTCGTCGAAGGACGCGTGCTTGCCCGCATTTTTTATGTGGTGCGTCTTCACTTTTTTCGTGCCCACGCGGAAGACGACGTAGACGTCGTTCTTGCCGAACATGTCGGCGCTCCTTAAATTGCGACATGAGATCTCGCTGATGGTGAGCTGGTGTAGGGCCGTCGACATGGTTGTTTATATACGGCTGTTATACCGAGCTAATACTGCGTTTACTCGGAGAGCGTCTCCCGGTCGCTTGTTGCGCGAAGCGATGTGCTTTTTTATACCGCGCTAAAATGCTGGCGCTTAACTCGGCGCACGCTGTCTCCGGCGCGCTGGCGCGAACGCTATACACAGATGCTATAAATTGCTGATACTTCGTTTACTCTGAGACGCGCAACGAGCGCCTGCCCGAGACGAATCTCCACGCGGCGCCGCGGCCGCGCGAACGCTAGTGTGTCTACACCTAGCCATAAAGTGTCTATATGTCTAAACATATAGGTAAAAATACCACGCTCTCTGGGGACACCGCCCCATGCACGCGGATATAATTTCACCTAAATATCACCCGTTAAGACCGAACCGCAATAAATTTATGAAGACGGTGTACCGCGCGCTATACGAACTTATATGCTCCACGCCGACGCGGCGGCGCGGACATCCGCGAACGGGGAACAAGCCGACAAAACGCCGTCGCCGCAGAAGCCCACGGGGACAGGAGTAGTAGTCCAAGATTCATCAACTACTACTGTTTAAACTACGGCCATCCACGCGCGCCGCCGTCGACAGTCGCCCTCGCGGGCGGGTCGACGGCGGCGGCGGGCGAGCGGAGGGGGGGTACGGAGCGGAACGAGCGCGTCCGTGAGCACAGACGGGGAAGAAGCCGGTGATGCTTGCGCCGGCCAAACGAACGATTTAGCGGGCGTAGGCGACCTCCTGCTCCTTCACCTCGAGCTCGCCGGCGGCGACCTCGGCGAGCGACTCCTGGATGATCTCGACCATGATCTCAAAATCCTCCTCCTCGAATAACAGGGGTAAGCGGACGTCGAAGGCGCGCGAGATGATGTCCGCCGTGACCGGTAAACCGCACTCCGGCGCCTTGGCGTACTTCCAGTTCTTGAAATTCCTCGCGTTGCTGCCCGAGCCGAAGCGCTCGACCGGCAGGCCGCGCGCGGCGCACTTGGCCAGGAAGGCGTCGGCGCCGGCGTCTAAGTCGTCACCGAGTGCCGTGGCCTCGACGTTGAACTGGACCGAATCCCCAACAATGGTAACTTGCGGGAGCTGGTCCTCGACGGAGCAGCCCGGCAGCGCGTTGAGCTGGGCCGCGATGCGGTAGTAGCGCTCGTTGTACTCCGCGCGGCGCGCCTCGATCGTCTTGATCTGGGGGCGGAGCATGGCCGCCGTGCCCTCGTGCATGCGCAGCGAGAAGTTCGGGATGCTGCCGTCCATGACCTTGGCCAGCGCCGCGTCGCAGGGGCGGCAGTAGTGCTTGTCCGCCAGGGCCTCGTAGGCGCCGGCGTAGGCCATACATCTCGCGGCCGCGTAGTCGTCGTCCGTGACGAAGAAGCCCCCCTCGCCGGAGTTGAGCATCTTGTAGCTTTGGGAGGAGAAGGCCGCCATCGTGCCGTGGTGGCCCGAGTGGCCGCCGTTCCACAACACGCCCAGGGAATGAGCACAATCTTCCAGTAACTCGACGCCCTTGGCGTCGCACAACTTCTTGATCGCGTCCATGCTCGCCAACTTGCCGCGCATGTGCGACACAATAAAGTACTTGCAGTCCGGGTTCGCGTCCATCTTCTTCTCGAGGTCGGCGACGTCCACCACGTAGCCCGGCGTCGTCTCGACGTAGACGGGGTCGCAGCCCGCGTGGACGATGGCCGACGGCACGGCCGTGAACGTGAAGCCGTTCGTCAGCACCTTGTCGCCGTGCTGCGCGCCGGCGCACTTGAGCATGAGGAAGATGGCGCTGCCGCACGAGTTGAGGCCGACGGCGAACTTGTGGCCCGTGAAGTCCGAGAACTCCTTCTCCACGAGGGAAACTTGCGACTCCTCCTTCGACGCGACGTTGTATCTAAAGAGCTTGCCCGACTCCATGGTCTTGATGACCTCGTCGATGCCCTCGCGGGGCACCGGGTCGGGCATCTTGATGTTCTTGCGGAGCCGCCGGCCCCCGATCGCGAGCGACGATATGGCGGGGAGCACGGCGGCGCAGAGTATGAGCTTGGTGTTGCACGTCATCGTTGTTTTTGTTGTCTGCGCGCGGGGCGGGGCGGTGAGGGCGCGCTCCCCGGGAAAGGGTCTCAGGTCGCGGAAGGTATCGGGAGGGGCGGCCGGGTCGGCCAATTTTTGCTGGGAGCGGCCGGTCAGCGAGTGTGGATTGGGGTACTGGGAGCGAGCGAAGTCCGCGTGCTCTGCCGGTAGCGCGGTGCGCTAGGCGCTCCCGCCCGCCCTGGGCGGTTCTTTGCCAATCGCCCATGTGGATTTATGCAGCAATGGGCGCATCAGCTGCGACCACGTTTGCAGGTTGGGGTCTCGGAGGCTGTGCGGAGAGGCTGAGGGCTGTGAGACGCTGTATGCACGTGTTTAGTCGCGTGAAGCAGGGACAATTTGCCGCTCCGCCCAAAACGTGGTGTTCGAAGTGGCATGACCACTAGCCGCCAATTCGGGACCTGTCGTCAACGAGATGGCTGCTCGCGCGCCCCAAAACCCCAGGCGGGCACGGAGACCCGTGTTTTGATCAAAAATACCCGCACGTTAACAAAATGTGCGATGTCTCCTTGCCATTCGTCTCAAGCACCGCTGAACGTGTCGTGCTAGGGCTAAAAACGTGTCCCACGGAGCCGCATTTCGCAGAGGCTTGGCTGCCAAGCCTTTGCGCTGCGACTGCTTGCCGAGCACGCAACGCCAACGCAGCAATAATCTTCGTTGAGTTGCTGGCGCAGCCATAGTTTGGCGCGCTTGCAATTTCTTTGCTGTAACGCGGCTCTACAGCAAAAGCCGAGGAGGTCTCTCCCAGGCTCATCCAAACTCTATACGCCGACGCGTAAACGCCGACGCGTAACTTTAAGCCCGACGCGCGCAAAAACGCGAGGGAGTAACCATGGCCGGCGAGGACAAGAACCTCCTCCCCGGCTGGGAGGCATTCCAGACCGACGAGGGCGAGTGGTACTATTACCACGAGGGCCGGGAGGAGACGACGTGGGACAAGCCCGAGGCCCCGAAGGCGGCGCCCAAGCCGGCGCCGCGGGCCGCCGCGCCGAAGGCCGCCGCTGTTCGATCCGCGGCGCCCGTCGCGGCCGCGCGGCCGAAGATGCCCGCGGGCGGCGGCATGGGCGGGCTGCTGGGGGACATCCAGAAGGGCAAGGCTCTGAAAAAAGTAGGGCCGCCTCCCGAAAGAGGCCCCGCGGGCAAGGTCGTTTCTGGTGGCGGCGGCGGCGGCGGCGCGCGGGCACCCTCGGGAGGCGGCGGCGGCGGCGTGGCGGGCCAGCTGAGCGCGATGATGGCCGGTGGTGGCGGCGGCGGCGGCGGCGGCTTCAAGGAGATCATGCGCCGCAACCGCGAGGCCGCGGCCAAGAAGGCCGCGGCGGGCGGCGGCGCCGCGCCGAAGCCAAAGCCTAAACCTGCGCCGGCGCCCGCGGCCGCGCCGTCGTGGAAAAAGCCCGAGCCAAAAGCTGCGTCGCCGCCGCCGGTCATGCCGCGGGCGGCCGCGGCGGCGCCGGCCATGCCCCAACGGGCGGCGCCGTCCTCCTCTGCGACGAACGGCGCCGCGGGCGTCGAGGCGCGCCTCTCGGCGATCGAGGCCAAGCTCGACAAAATCATGGCCAAACTCGGCATCTAGCGGCCGCTGTGTAGTAACTCTAGAAACTTATCCTGGGGGCTCGGCCTCGTCGGCAAAATCATGGCCAAACTCGGCATCTAGACCGCTGTGTAGTACTAATGATTCTCTAGAAACGCTTAACCGGGGGGCTCGGCCTCGTCGGCGAGCGCCGCTTTGATCGATGCCCCGGCGCGAGCACGGTCCTCTTCGGAGAAAAGTCCCGCCAGCGAGGTCCCGTAGCGTTTCGACTTTTCCGCGGCGAGCGCTTCCGCGACGGAATCGCGCTCAATCGGCGGTCGCGCTACTGGCCGCCAGGGTCGCCGCCTTAGCACGGCGCCGACGAGCGCTCGAACGGCCCCGCCTCGGTCCGTGCCGAGCGCCGCGGCCGCGGCGTCGATCGTGTGGCTCCAGCAGTTGTTCGAAATGAGATGCAGGTCCGTCGGCCGCTCGGCGAGGGCGGCGTCGATGGCGTCTGATGATGCCGCGGCCGCCGCGCCGACGTCGTACATGCCTACACCATCATTCGCCACGAGACGCCTAGCGTCGCCGGGCGCCGCGCGCAGCGTCAGGAGCCGCGCGAGGGTGGCAGGTGCCGTCGCGTCCTTTGGTACGAAGTCCCAGCCGTCAATGCCCGCGCCCGAGTCGACGAATAACTGGCTGTGGACGCGGAGCAGCTTCGGGCCGCCGATGAGCGGGCTGAGTTTGAGGAGGACGCGCGGTTCGGTGACCGCTGCGCTCGCGGCAGCTCCGCAGCACAGCAGGAAGAGCGCACGCATCACCGTGCTCAGCAGTGCAATGCTCTCCGTACTCTATTTCGGGCGCACGCGTGCTAGAACTTGCAGCAGTGCTGCAACTGACGTCTTGCAGTAGTTTCGTCCCCTCAGCAAAACTAACAGGGCATGGCTACGCGCGCAGTTGCTTGGCCACGGCGCTTGCTAGCGGCCTGTAAGACACTAGCATTATCGACAGAGATTGGAACACTCCGGAGCGCTTCCTTCAACTTGATTGTTAGTTGCGTTTCACCCTGTAAAAGCGACCTCAATCAGTGAACTCACGAGTGAGCTAGGCTCTTGAAAGACCTGAGATGATTACTGCTGATTATGGGTCGACAGACCTCAAGGACCTGGAGGCCATCAAGCCAAACAAGAAGGAGAAGCGGCCGCCCACGAGCTCCCTTCTAGTCGTGCTTCTACAGGGCGTCATGCAAGTGGGCGGCTTCACGGCGATCATTCCGACGGCCACGATGTACGTCAAGGCCGTCGGCGGGTCCGCGAGTACCGCCGGCTGGCTTGTTGGTATCACGGCCTTAGGCACCGGCCTTATGCAGCCGTTTCTGGGCTACCCGCTGAAGCACTATCGATTGAAGACGCTCATGCTGGCGCTCTGCGGCTTCAATTTCGTCGGATGGATCCTCTATGCGCTCGGCGACCTCTCGGGAAGTTTAGCCACGATCATGGTCGCTCGCGTGATCACGGGCCTCGCCGGCGGCCCCACGTGGCTGAGCACGTACGTCGCGCGGTCCACGTCCACGGAACTGCGCTCGCACTACATGCAGTACGTCTCGCTCTCGGTCGGGCTCGGCTACGGCATCGGTCCTTTCATCGGCGGCGCGCTGTACGCGATTTGCTCGAGCCTCGACTGCGACGGCAAGGTATTCAATAAATATACGTCGCCGGGCTGGCTCTGGGCCGTTTTTGCCGTTGTCGTCGCTGTTCTACTCCAGACTTTCATGGTCGAGCCGCCGGTCGCGAAGAAGCCCAATGCTTTGGGAGGCGCGCCGTCGCCGGCGCAGACGGGGATCCCGTGGGACCGTATATTGCCGATCCTGCCGATCGTCTTCGCGGTGCCCCTGAACGTCGGGTCCTGGGAGGTCCATACCGCGATGTTAGCCGAAACGCGCTTCGGCTGGTCCGTCGTCGCGACCGCGCTCTACCTCGGTGGTCTGAACGTCGTCGCGGCGCCGACGGGACTCTTGCCCGTCAGCAACTACGTTGAGGACCGCCGGGGCTGTCTCCTGTTCTTCGGCGCGATGATTGCGGGAACGGTGTTCTTCTGGAGCTACAAGCTCAACATCGCGTCGCGCGCCGTCGTCTACGGCGTCGGTGCCGTGGTGTTCCTCATCGGGGCGCAATTCGCGAAGGCGCAGCGGCCGCGTCCGAACTTAAACACGCCATCGCCGCGACGTCGTCCCGAGATTCACGCGTCGATGTCCTCGCAGGGCTTCGGCTGGGCGCTGGTCTCGAAGCAGCCCCCGCCTATTCACCGCTCGTACGTGATGGCATGCAATGCAGGCGCTTACATGCTCGGGCGCGGGACCGGTGCGACGGTCGCGGGATACCTGCCGCCGGGCGACGCCTTCGCGATTTGGCTCGTGGCCATCGACGCGGCCGCAATCCTATATATCCTGCTGCTCTGGAACCGCCTCACCGTTCCCAAGGAGAACAATTCCTCGGAGTCGACGCACGTGCCCGCGTGAGTGTTACAAGTCCCCCGTCTAAGTTTTATACTATTGGGGGAGCGGACAACGGACGGATGCTCCTGCTGCCGCGGGGTACCCCCAGGATTTCTCTTTTAGTGAGATATACATATATATTAGCTTTGCTAGTATCTTACACCGCTAGCTAACTCGCGGCGTTCGACATCTACGGGACTCACGAAGCATACCGGTGCCAAATTTGCACAAGAGGCGGATCCTGCATCCATTCGGCTGCGTTTAAGAGTGTTCTCGTAGCTCTTAGCCAGCCGCTGTGCGATTTGAGGTCCCGCACACCAGTTACCGGTTACAAAGCCAAGGCTGCCGCAGCACGAAAATGTCCGCCCTCGACGAAGCCGCCGCGAACGCCGCCGCAAAAAAACAGTCCATGTCTTTTGCGGAAAGAATGGCCGCGCGCGACAAAGCGCGCAAGGCCAAGTGGGCGAAAGCGCGCGCCGAAAAGACCGTCGACGCGGACGAGGACCCGGCCGTCTTCTGGCAGAAGTTCGGGGGCGAGAGCGACAAAGTCGCGAAACGCGCCGAAGCGGCTTCCACTGAGGCCGAAGTAAAACAGCTGGAGCAGGACGCGGCTACCTTAAGAAGTAAAGTTTCGGATGCCGCCGCCTACCTCACGCAGTACGACATCAAGCGCGCGACGGCCGAGGCCGACCAGGCCACGAACGCCGTGAAGGAGGCCAAGGAAAGAATTTGTCCTAGAGAAAAGTACGCCTTCGCCGAGGGCACGGTGCATGTGGAGAAAGGCGTCGAAAAAATCAAGTTTGCGGATCGCCAGAAGGAGATGTCCAAAGTAAGCGTGGGTGGGGAGATCCCCGGTTTTAGGAATGAAGTCGGAAAAGTCTTGGTCGTGGACGAGACGTGGTCGACGCAAGTCCATCTCGAGGATTTGAAGGATTGCGTCGTGTTCGCGCCGTACCCTTTGCAGACCCTGCGATTGGTACGTTTGGAGAACTGCCACGTCTTTTCACGAGTAATAGCGGGGCCGTGCTACGTGCACAACTGCGTCGGATGTGTGTTTAGGGTGGTGCCGCGGCAGCTCCGGATCCATGACACCACAGATACAACCTTCCATGTCGCATCGGCGTCGGGGCCGATCATCGAAGCCTGCGACGATTGCCGGTTCGCGGCCTACGCGTGCACGTGGTCCGGTATTCATGCCGAGCAGATGGCGACCTTCGTGAAGACCGGCGCGTGGAAAGATGTGCAGGACTTCAAGTGGCTCAAGACGGCGGCGAACCCGCACTGGCGCGAGCTGGATCGGGTCGACTATGCTACAAAGGTGCCTGAACAGGCGGCTTCGGTTGCTGCCGAGCAGGAGCTGGTGCTGCTGCCGCTCGCGGAATTGGGGCATGGGTTCACGGCTATGAGTTAAATTTTACACAACTATACAGAGAAGCCCCAGGAGCTCATCGTGACCCGGCCGAAGAAGTCCGGCTCGGTCCAAAGCTTCGTCCCCGACTCGTCATCAAAAGCGGCACCGGCGACGACGTGGAGAGGAAGCAGGTGCTCCTCGCCGCCGGGCGGGTGGCACGCCCTCGCGCACGGCGCGCGCTCCCAGTCCACCAGTAGCTTCCTTCGCTCGGCCGCCGGCGCGGCACAGGCCGTCGTGAGGTAGGCGTCGAAGGCCGCCGACGCTTCGGCCGCGTTGGCGACCTGTGTGGAAATCAACCAGTGAGTCGGGTGTCCGCGAAATTTGATTACACAGTTGGCGACGCCGCCGAAGAAGCCGCCCATATTGTGGTAAGACGAGCCGCTCCCGAGGATGAGCACGCCCTCGTCCCGCAACGGCCTCAAAGCTCGCCCCAGCTCGAAGTGTTTCGCGGGGTCCGCATTTGTCAGCAGCGAGAGGCATACTATCGGTATATCAGCTTTCGGGAACATGAGCATCATCGGCACGAAGACGCCGTGGTCCCACCCTCGGCTCTCGTCGAGGCGCGCGGCGATACCAGCCGCCTGAAGCAACGCCGCGGCTCGTTTGGCCAATGCAGGGTCACCGCTGGCGGCATATGTGTACTGGTAGCTCTTGGGCGGGAAGCCGCCGTAGTCGTAGATCAATTGCGGCCGCGCGCCGCTCGTCAGGGTTGGCACGGTGGTCTGCCAGTGCGCCGAGATCAGTAATACCGCGGACGGTCGGTATTCGTGCGCGCGCAGGAACTTCACCATCGACGCGTGCGACAGGTCGCCCAGAAGCGGCATGGGGCCGCCGCCATGGGAGACGAAGAGGCAGCCGCCGCGCATGATTGATGGATAGGGCGGCAAGTGCTTGAAATCAATCACGCGAGCCCACGCGAACCGCTGGTTTGCGCAAAATCGGCAGCGTTCTGCGCATCTCACGTGTGTCTGCTCAACCTAGAGTGTCACAACACCTAGCAGTTACATCAGCAGTATTAAAGAAATCAGTTAAACATCCCTACGTCGTCGCGAAGAAAGCGGGACAGAGGGAAGCGCGGCATAGATATATAATCACATCGACGGGATAGACGCGACGAACGGGACGGCCGCGACCTGGCCCGCAAGCAGCATCATCGACGCGTAGATGTAGCCGCGCGGCGCGTGCGGCGCCTCCTTCAGCATGCGGAATTCGGAGGTGAACGTCGACGCCGTCGAGAGCGCCCCGCAGAAGCCGTCGACGACGGCGTGCCAGAAGACGTCCGAGCCTGTGGTCTTCGTCCAGAGCCCCGTCGACATCGCGGCGATGGCCGTCGCGGCGAAGTTGGCACACAACGTGCCGTAGGGGTAGTTCTTGCCCTTACTGAACGACGAGAGGTGGTACCGCAGCCAGGCGCCGAGCGGCGCCATGGCGACCGCCGCCGCTTCTAGGTCGGCCATGGTGCCTAACGCCGTCGCCGTATTCCAATCAGCAAAGTGAAGCTTTGGGTTTGAGCCTGAATTGAGGCTTGAGGGCGTGTTTGTTTTGGTCCGCGTCGCCTCAGATCTTCGTCGGAGGCAGTTCTCGGCTCGCCTCTCTCCTATCGCGAAAAACCGCGCCTCCGCGTCGACACCCTGAATCAATTCAGGTTTCACAGGCTCACAATTGCGATCCGCGAGGGCCTACTGCTCGAGTTAGAGGCATATACACGGGCGCAGTCAACCCCTATCGCCGACGATTGCTGCGAGCGCACCCGTGCCACCTTGATTTGAGCTCTGCCCACGTCTGGCTCGCGTCGCGGGGGCCCGACGGCATACTCACGGCGAGGAGCCTCGAGAGCGGATACGGCGCGGCGAAGATTCTGCTCACGATTCATGTCTTAATAATCGCGTGGGCGATGATCCCGGCCGAGCACTGGCCCCTCTGAAAAGAAACAACGGCCGCGGGCCGTGTAGAAAAAGCATTGTGACGACATAGATCCTCGTGACGACATAGATCCCCGTGTAAGACAGGACTACTACACAAGAACCTTAGAACGAGCTAGACGACGGATCCGCCGGCGGCGGCGCCATGGGACCGCCCGTCTGCTGCGCGATCTGCGCCGCGATGGCGTCCTTCCACGTCTCCGTGTGGCCCGCCTCGTCCACGGCTTGTAGAAAGGCCTTGGCCAGCGTCTTGACGGCCTTGGCCCGCTTCTCGCGCGTCGCCTTGTCGACGGACGTGTCTCTAAATAACTTCGACGTCGCATCGCGTAATGTCGACTCCATGTCCAGGACACTGACCCTCCAAGCCGCTTCGAAGACCGACTCCATGGCTCGAGCCTTCTTCGCATTCGTGATTTGCTCCCGCAGTATTTTGGACGTGATGGCCGGACAGGTCTGCACATATCCGCAAATCTGCTGCACGGACTGCGAGGGCCCGAACTTCCGCGCGAGGCGCCAGTCGCTCCCATTCTTGTCAAATAACACAGAGGTCTGCGCATAGCTCAACTTCGAGAAGCGGTCGCGCGCCGCTTGAGCGGAAAAAAAGTGCTCCACGGTCGCGTCGTGCACGATGAGGCACGAAGCTTGCGACGCGGGCCGGCCGTTGTCCCTACACACTGAATCTTCTTCGTCCATCTGGGCTGCTTTTTCGGCCTTGTCCGCGGCTCGAGCCGCAGAAACGACCCCGAGCCCATCGCGCCCCGCCTTGAAGTAGTTGTGCGCCGAATGGGCGCCATCCGCAATCGACTGCCCGATCGACGCCGGCCCGCTCACCAGATACTGATTGGCGGCGCCGATGTAGGATCGAGCGATCAGTCTCGTAAGTGTAGCACCGAAGGGCGTCTTCGCCAGGTCACTCCCATCTGCCTTACACCGTTCAAAGAACGCGTCCTTGTCGCCACCATCCACTCGATCTTGAATGCGCTTCACCAATTTCGAAGCCAGTTCCACGCACCGCCGCCGCTGCCGAAAAGCCAGCTCCGCATCGTCCGGCGCATCATCACCCTCACCGTTAGCCAGCTGCGCCACCTTCAATTCACCGACGTACTCGGAAAACGCTTCGCTTCCAAATATCATCGCAAAGAAAACGGACGGGTCCATGGCATTTTCCGCGTTCTCTTCGCCCGTGCTGTCGTAGCGAGCTTTTGACTGCGGATCTGATAGAACAGCATAGGCGCCCGAGATGGCCTGGAATTCGACCTTCTTCGCGGCATCGTTGGGAAACTTGTCGGGGTGACACGTGAGAGCTTTTTTATAGTACGCTTTTTTTATCTTCGCGTCGCTCGCGTTCGGGGCGACGCCGAGGATGTCGTAGAGCTTCGTGTCCTTGACTTGATGCGTGGTTTCGGTCTCGTGGCCGGCCTTCTCTCGCCTCTTGTTGATGTGGTCTCGCAGCTTGTCGTCGGCTTCTGTGGATAAATATAACTGCTCCTCCTTCTTGAGGTCGTAGAAGATCCAGCTGTTGGAAGACGGGTCCCATTCTTTACCTTCCGCACTCGCTTGAATCGCGGCGGGCGTGTTCGCGATGCCGACGCCGACCTCGTACACACCAGAAGCGATGCCCACTAACGGTAAGGCGACAGCACCTAGAATACCAGCACCTAGACCAGCAGCAAAGCCCTTCCCGCCGCCCTCCTTCGCGCCGATGACCGGCGCGGCCACTAAGGCGGCAGCACCGGCCGCCACGCCGCCCACCGCGGATTGCAAGCCTCGACTCAAACCAGCACCGGCGTGCTTGTTCTTCGTTTTTGAGATGTGTCCTGGTAAATCACAATGCTCCTGCTCCTCGATCTTAGCGAGCAAATCGCTGTTCATTTGCGAGATGGTCCGCGCGCTCGTGCCCGCGTCCGGGCGCTGGTCGTAGTCCTCCTGTTGTAAACGCCGGGCGTAGGCGGCGTCGGCCTCCTCTTGCCTTTTTCGCTCGTCGTAGGTGCTCATCTTTATGTGTCCCAAGCGTCCGCGCGTCGCGTCGCGTCGGCTGGCGTGGGCCAGGCAGCCTCTCCTGGAGGATAGGCAAAAGGAGTGGTGGCTCACGAGCTTAGGATTCGCTGGCGCCGACTGGGCGTCAACAGAACTATCCTACAACCACGAATTGGCCTCTACGAGTGAGAGCGCAGCCCAAATACAGAGCTTATGCCCGCAGCTAATTCCTTAGCACCCTAGCGGCACCTAAGACACTAGAAAGTATTAACAAACACAACTACTCCCGCGGCGACAAAGCAGGCGACAACGCCGGCGACGACTCGGCGGAGAGCATCCGCTGCGCCAGCATCCGGACGTCCGGCGACGCGAAGAGGTCCTCCAGCAATCTAATGGAGTCCGACCCGTCGGCGTCGGACGAGATATCAATCAACGAGACGCCCATCCGCTCGAGCCGCTGCCGCGCGACGAGGCGCACGATCCGCGGGAGCTCGGGAAACACGACGCCGAGGCGCTCGAACGCATCCCGCGGCAGCACCCAGAGGTCGCAACTTTCACAAGCCACAGCCAAAAAGGGCTGCAGCATTACATTTTCGAAGACGAACGGAATTTCTCCGAAGTAACTTCCAGTTTCGAGCGCCGCGACCGGCTCGTCTCGGATCAATCGCACGCAGCCCGTCTCCACGAAGTACATTTCTAGAGCTGGTTCATTCTTTTCCAAGACTGCTTCTCCTTCACCCACAGAGAGCGGCGCGAGGACGGGGGCCACCGCCCGCGCGATGTCACTTCGCACGAGCGTGCCATTCAGGAGCGGTGATGCGCGAATAACACGACGGCAGCGCTCGACGCAGACCTCGCTCCTCAACAAAGGAGACAGCGCGTCCAGAATAGTTGATTCATCGACGCGGCCGTGGCCGCGCGCCTCGGCGGCCGCGTCGCAGGACCGCCGCTTCACGCGTAAATGGCTCCTATCCAGATGGTCGCGCACCCTCTCCCTCAATGTAGGAGATAAACCATGCTGCTCCAAAAACACGTTGCAGTCCCTCTGTAATCTTTCATATCTCGCCGACGGGCCGTCTAAGGAAGCCAGATAAGCTGTCAGTGAGCCGATAATACCGGCAAACAACGCCGCCCCGAAGACCATACTGACAGTAGTCAACAAAACTTCTACGGTAGACAGGGGTCTCACAACTCCATACCCTATACACAACATATGACTACAAGCCTTGAACAACGCCCACGCGTACTGGTCCGCATTCGTCCTTGACTTAAGTCCTAAGTGCCCGACCCAGGTCCGGTCCTCGTCGAAGTCGTCCATGCGAGCTGATAGGTACAGTAAGCAAGCATCCCAGTGAGCAAACAGAAAGACCGTGAACGTCAGTGCTAGGATTCGAACGTGGCCTTCATGGAGGCCTCCTAGATAATGTTGGGAGTAGCGGAACAGTCGAGCTACCCTTCCTAGACGCAATAACCTTGATAGCCGCGCGACGCGGCCGAGGCGTGTCGATGCGGCAACTAACGATTCGTTACCATCACCACTTCCTGCAAAAGCCATCGCGACGTCGAACGGCAGCACCGCGATCAAATCTACCACAAACCCGGACCGGCAGTACTTCTGCCTGATACGTTTCGGGTCCATCACGACCACGCCGTCCTCGACGAAGCCCGTTTTCAATGAGACGCAAATGTCCGCCACAAAAAATAAATCTATACAGATGTCGAACCAGAATTTGAAACTCGCCACTTGAAAACCGGGATAAAACGCCAGCTCCACGGGCAGCTCCACGGCGCAGTACAGCGTCGCCATAATGACGGCCAGGATCCAGCGCTGCCGGAAGACCGAGTCGGGGTGGTTCCAGGGCACGCGTCGTTGTTTCCGTCGACTCGACGTCATGCTTCCGCCGTACAACTGCGAGGCGAGCTTGGCGTCGGCGTTGTCCTTCGACGCGGACCGGGGCCGGAAGAGCTGCGCGGCCAGCGACGGCCGTTTTGCTGGCGGCGTCGTCGAGGGTCGCCGCCGTTCCGTAGCCACCATATCATTTAAAGCGGAGCGCACCTGCTCCTCCAAGGCTTCGGCGTCGGGCGTCGCGCGCCGCAGCGTCGCCGCGCGCCGCGCCACGAAGCGCTCGAGGTCGGCGGACCGCGTCGACGACGGCTCCTTGCATTCATCCGGCGCGGGCACGGGCGCGGGCCAGGACGCGCGGCGCGGGCGCGGCGGCGCCGGCGGACCATCGAGGAGTGGCGCCGTCTGGGGTGCGAGAGATGCGCGGCGCCTCGGTGGTGGTCCTTCTTGCTGCTGCTCTGCGGGCTGCCCATTTGCAGCCCCGTCGGCGCTGCTGGTCATCGGCGGCGAATCATCCATTATGCACGATCCTGAGCAATCACTGGCGGTGCATCAGCTTTGCCCACCCTGGAGGTCGCCTTTCACACATCATCACTTTGATCGGTCGTCGCGCCTACGGGCCGGATTCACCGCCTTCCACGCATGCCGGACGCGAAGCGAGTGGTGCCTGGGTATGTGGTTGACGGGGCCGACACTAAAAAACAAAACAGGTGCAGGGTGCCGGCGCTGCCCGGCCGGGATAAAGCTGCCCAGGCAGGCCTAGAAACAACCGGGCGCGGCACACGTACCACGCGGAAGCAGCCCGTCGGGGCGGGCTGCCTCTCCACACCGGGAGCAGTCTCGATAGCATCCAGCAAGGATGGATGTCATCGGCCAGTACCTACCGACGAAGGACCAGGTCCAAATCCGATTCATGCCCAACAAGACGCTGGTGAACAAGATGCTCGGATCGTTAAACCCGAACGGCCGCGACCTCGTTATCGACGGCTGCGATAGTATTAGGAGAAGAGTCCGCAGTGAAGTCCCGGGCGTCGCGAAAAAAAACCTGAAAGAGCTCACAGATGCAGGAGCGCTAGACGTCATGATTGATGTATTAAAACTTTGGATGGAAGACGCGCCTGTCTCGGGCCGGTGCGATCTCCGCGTTTTGAGGTGTTGCGGTGCCTTCGACGCGACTCGTCTTCATGAGAGAAGACGGTGGGTAGTTTCTTTTTCGAGTTTGAGGCCGTTCGGACCGCGTCGAGACACCGCGATGCTCCGCGCATGACGTGGTCGCGGCGATGGCGTCGATGCGATGCCGCGCCGCCTCGACGCCGTCGCCGCGGCCGCGCGAGAGGTCCACGCGTCTCGCGAGAGCGGGTCGCGTCGATGGCGTCTTCACGAGACAGCGCCGCCGCGACGCCGTCGTCGTGATCCACGAGAGTCTACGTGGTCATCAGGACGCCATCGACGCGATACCACATCGGACCGAGGCGAGCGACCGCGATGCTCCGCGCAGGTGCGCGAAAGCGCTCATGTGGATCGTGCGGAAGTCGCCGACCGATAGTGAAGCGGACCAACTGCTGGAGCTGGGTGGCTTGAAATTAGCGGAGCGATTGAAGGGTCTGCACCAGGACGACCTCGAGCTCCAAAAGTCCGCGAAGGAATTGATGAAGATGCTACAAACTAGAGCGGGAGCGCTAGCATGTAAAGAAATCCGCATCTGCAAGTTCTGCGCCGTGAACAACATGGACATGGACTCGGCGAAGCGGTTGGGGCAGTTGGTCAATCCCTTCCAGCGCGATGCTGGGTTAGGCTACTCGAGGAAGGACGCGATGGTCCATAAGAAGAAAGGGTCTGCTGATATATCTGCATTGGTCAAAAGAGTCCTGAACCACATGCGCGAACATCTCAAAGATGAAGGGGTCCAGGAATTCGGCCTCGAGGCAATCATAGAGTTCGCTTCCGACCACGACGACGGCGGCGCTCTACTCCAAGACAGAGCGGCGAAGTGCGTCGTTCTGGCGATAGAGGCCCACCCGGAAGCCTATAACGTCTCGTGGAAGGGCTGCGTCGCCGTCCAGACGATGTGTCGCAAACTTAGTCTGTCTTCAGAGTTGGGCAAAGCCCAAGCTCTATCAGCCCTAAAACAGGTCTACGAGGACTACAAGGACGACCGGGAAGTGCGCCAGCAGGCCGTCTGGGCCATCGGGAGCATGCTGAACGTGCCGGCCAATGTTGAAAGGACTAAAAGAGCCAATATGTACACGCTCGTGCAGGACGTCGTGACAAGACTCGAGGATCGCACCGTCGCGCCGGAGCAGAAGATCGCATTACCTCTGCCGTTGAGAGCGATCTGGACGAACGAGCAGTTGCATTCCATCAAACTCACAAAAATGGACGAGAAACGCCAGAGCGGCGAGACCGAGGCGAAGGCGACGCAGCAAAGACGGGCGCCTTTGCCTCGTAGAGGTGCCAAGAAATTAGCAAGGGTCGACGACCAGTTCGCGGCGGGCGAACCTGGATTGGTTGATAGTCAAGAGTACCCCTTCCTGAAGAAGCCGGGCCTGGAGTTCTACACAACCAAAGAAAAGCGCAACGAGATGTCGTTATATAATCCAGACTAATACATGTAGTTATAAATTCCAGGGCACGTTGATGAAGCCATCGACCTGCTTCTTCTTCCTCTTCCCCTTGCGCTTCTTGGGCGGCTCGCCGAGCTTCCAGGCGGGCTGGCCGATGGTGTGGAAGTCGATGAAGGCGCCCGGGTCCTCGAACCTCTTGAGGTACTGTATAAACTCCTCGTCCGAGTCGTCGCTGCGCACGGCGACCATCTCCTCGCCGTCGTCGGTGCGCACCGACGCCGTCTCGGCCGTCGGCTCGTCGACCGGTTCTGAAGGAGGCAGCGCGTAGGGCTCGCCCGATCGGCTGCCCGGGCCGCTCCGCTTCATACGAGGCAGCGGCCGGCCGCCGAACGCGCGGTCCTGGAGCTTCTCCCAGAGCCCGCGCCGCACGAAGTCCACGAGTAATTTTGCTGAGCGCTTCCTCCTGTAAAACTCGCGGCCCGTCCGCCCGCGCCACCGCTTCTGTAGATATATAGCGGTCGCGACGCGCGCGTCGTGTTTTCTCTTGAGCCTCCGGCGGAGGGCGTAAATAGCGCGGCCGCGCCGGCCCCGGTAGGTTCGTTGACACCAGCGCACTATGTAGTAAAGAGCGCCTTCACAACGCCCAATAGAACCGCGGTAGCGCCTCTGCGACCACGTCACTATATATATTCGCGCGCGGAGCGTCCTTACTTTATCAAGGGCCTTCAGACGGCGTCGATGGGCCTGTAGCTTTGTCGAGGCCCTCACCTCGGATTCATGGAGAGCTCTTGCTCGTGCTCGCACGTAGCGGCGCCGTTTGTGAGCCATTGCCTGCAGTCGGAGAACTGCCCTCAACTCCCGCGCGACGCGAGCTCGTTCTATTCTCAAAGCTCGGCGCCGTTGACAGATGAACTGCGCCCTCCTGAATCGCATCGCCGTCTGCAGGCGCAACGCCGCGGCGCCGTTCCGCACCGTCATGAATGCCGCGTGGCCGACGGCGCCCCGGTACCTTGTTTGCGTGAAGCGCGCGAGGCGCGCCGCGGCGCGGTTGCGAAGGAAGCGTCTCCTGGCGCGGCTCCGTCTCCAGCAAGTCTGGAGCCGCGTCGCCGCGCGCCGGTGGCGCTCGCGGCGTTGCATATGAAAGGCCCGCGCGACGCGGCGCCGGCACAGCGCCTTCATCATCATGTTGCGGAGCGGCCGCGCCGCGGATTCGCGCGCCGCCTGCCAAACGGCGACGGCGGCGGCTGCGCGGGCCGCGGCATTGATAGCTGGCGTCGTGTCGGTCGCGGCGGCCGCGTCGCACGCGACATCATACGCGACGCGCGCCGCCCGCAGCCGCCGCGCATACAACCGCACGTAGAAGCGCGGCGCCGCGACGCGACTGCAAAGAGACGCGGCGGCCCGGAGGCGCCGGAACCGCGTGAACGCGAGGCGCCTTCTTGTTATACCGGCGATGAGCGCCTGCATCGCGCCGAGGAAGCGCCGTCGCGCCATCTGTCGCCTCCTTAACTCGCACACGGCCCGCCACCGCCTCACCGTTGACTGAATGAACAACGCCGCGACGCCGCGGCGGACCACGAGCGCGCGCCGCCTCAACATAGCAAAGGGCCACCACGCCCTGAGGACGGCGTAGGCCGATAACCAGCTCGATCCCCGGTCCATCTTCACGAGAGAGGACCGATCTAACGCCGTCGCGTCGACATTCAGGTGGAGGGCACGGTTCCGTTTTGGCAATTTCGGCGCCGGCTCGATGGTTAGTAGATGGCGCCAGCCGTCGTCCCGGGGAGGCGGCGCGGTCTCCGGGCACCATCGATCAATCGTACGCTTAATACACCCTCGTAACGCGCTGTCGATCAATCGCGACTGCGCGTCGTTCCGTCGCGCGAGTGCTGGGGATAAATTGCACTCTAATAACCACGGCTTCGCGGCCTCATCCAGAATGATGTCGACGCCCAGAAACTCGAACGACCGCGACCGTGTACTTGCTAACTGGTGTGCTGTTCGAGCCAACGCTTTCACAATTTTACGGATACCTCTTTTCACCTTCTCGAAATCGACCATGGACTCAAGGTCACTCTGCGTCCCGAGTAAGTTGTCCGCACTCCCTTTGTTCACGGCGAGGTTCGACAAATGGCGCTTCTCGTCCAAGAGCAAATGATCGTCGAGCGACCAAGCTTTAGCACACAGCCGCGCGTACAACGGTTCATAAATATAGGCGTCGAAGTCGGACGCACCGCCGCCCGTTAGTAACACCCAGCACCGCAAATCGAACTTCCGCTTATCCCATAACTTACTATTCTCAACGTATTTTTGCGCCACGCGCCCCGGAAATCTATCGGCCACCTCCAGGATCTCCTCGAGCTTTCGGTGTAAGGAGATGCCTACACCCCTACAAGCTTCCGGCGCCTTGGTCAGCCAGATGTTTCTGCTGCCGTCCATCGAGAACTGTCCATGCCTCGCCTTGAGTGATGCTAGGACTCTATGACAAGCTTGTTTTAGGATCGGGTCCTCCACCTCTACAAGCTTCGTTGCTGATCCTGACAGGGATGGCGTCGAGGCCTTTTGCTTCGAGGTACACTTATAGGTATACGCGAGGAGCGTATCCCAGACTATGTCACTCAAGTCGTCTCCCGGATAATCAGTATCACCTAGGTCATGGGCCCAGGCCTGGCACACCCTCAGACAAACGGTAAGTTCTTTTTTCAGAGCCGGCAGGCCACTGACAAACGCCTTAAGAGCTGCACAACAAGCCGTCCTCCGAAAGTCTTGCACAAAAGCTGCTCGGTTCGCATCATCATCCAGCGCATACGACCGAGGAAAGAACTCTGACGACTCTGCAGAAGCGGTCCACTTGAGCTCCTCGTCGAGCGTCCGCGTGAGGCCCGCTTTAGTGGTGAGGCAGCGAATGTCTCTATAATGATTGACCATCTGCGCGTCGCGCAGCTTGTCGAAGTCGATCGCTCTCTCATCTAACGTCCATCTTAACTCGCAGTCCTCCTTCTTTCCCACGCGCGCCCAGCCGCGGTCGAAGTGCAAAGCTCGTCTTACTTCTTGGTACTCATGGTTCGGGTCCTCGATGTGGAAGCGCCTGCCTCCCGTGATGTCGGGGCCCCATTGCAGGAGCGCCATCCTAGGTGCGCATGCTTGGGCAGCCCTTCCAGCGTTGCTTCGCGCAGCGCCGCGAGCAACGATGGCCCATGGGCAGCCTGGCTTGGGATGCGTTACGCGTGCCTGAACGGCTCGGTAGCTGTCCTACCTTGTACGAGGGGTCGCGAGAGGTACCCGCACGCAGACTTTGAAAACCCGTTTACCTTCGCAATTTAGCGACGCAGCGCATTTGCTCTGGAGCCATTTACGGCCGCAAAAGACGGCCACATAACACGTAGAGAGTCGTTACACGCAGCTTATTATCAATAGCACGCGTAGTAGTATTTTTTGGCCCGCTGGCGTTACGCTGCAGCTGCGTAGAGCTATCTCTTGTGGTGGGCTGGGTCCATCACGCATACCTTAGCCAGACGCAGCAACTTAGCTATCTCACGACGAAGACGGACGAGCTCGTGGCTGGCACTACACCACTCACGTGAGAAATCACTCATCATGGGCAAAGCCCAAGGTCCAAAGTCGCAGAACACGATCAAGGACCTGCGCAAGGCCGCCGGCGCCAAGCCGCAGCAAGGTCCGGTCGTCGTCAAGCACAGCCGCCCGTCGGCGCGGGCGCGCGTCATCGCCGCGCGCCGCGAGAAGGCGGCGCGCGAGGGCCGCGCCGCCGCGCCCGCTCCGGCGCCGGCGCCACCGGCGCTGTCGCCGCTCGGCGCCGCGCCGCTCTTGGCACCGCTGGCGCCCGCGGCCGCGCCACGGTCGGCGCCGCCGGCGCCCGTGGCCGCGCCGCTGTCGCTGCTGGCGCCCGCACCCGCGCCGCCGCCGCTGGACCCGCTCGTCCCGGACAGCGCCATCGGGCCCTGGACCGTCATGCCAGACAGTAATGTAACATGACTTAGTCCTCGGCGTCGTCGACGAGCTCCGCGAGCTCGGCCTCGAGGTCCGGCGAGCCGTCGTCGAGCGTGCACCCGTGCACGAGGCAGTAGCCGTGGCAGTCGCGGAGGTAGGCGACGGCCGTGCGCAGCGCGACCTCCGGCGCCTCCTCGTCGAGGCCGCCGATGCCGTCGTTCTGGCCCGTCTCCAGGTAGGTGCCGGGCTGCGCGTAGACGGCGCCGGACGCGTCGGCGAAGGACCGCTGCGGGTGCGCCTCGTCGCTCGGCCAGATGGGCGTCCACCGCAGCCCCTGGCGCTCGTCGAGGTCCCGGCAGGCCGAGCGCGCGCGCCGCGACGCCTTCAGGCACGCGCGGTCCGAGAACCGGCGCTGGTTGTGCTGCGCGAAGTCCGCCCGCTCCCGTTGTTCGACGTGGCGCCGCGCGGCCTCCCAGGAGAGCTGCGCGCGCCGCGCCGCCTGCGGGATGCCGACGCCCTGCGTGTCGCGCGGCTTCCTTGTTTCTGTCGCTAACGGCGCCTCGATGCCGGCGCCGTCCCTGCCGAGGCCGCCTCCTTCATAACCCATCTTCCGGAGCATCTCGAAGCCCTTGTTCGACGCGTCGAGGGGCGTCTCGAGGCCGCGCTGTCGCCTCGATGCCTCGTCGTCCGCCTTTTGTGCAGGTGCTGGCGCCCCCGCATCGAACTCCATATCCATGTAGTCCTCACTCGGCGGCTTCTGCCCGAGCTTCGCGCGGATCTCGTCGAGCCTCATCGGCTTCTCGAGGGGCGTCCCCCGGAAGTGCGCCATGAGGCCCAGCGCTCGCGCCTTGCACTCCTCGGGGTCGAAGGGGTCGTCGGCGCCGGGGAGGTACATCAAAGGTTGCTCCTGTGCCGGGGGCGGCGGCGCGTACGGGCCCTTGTCCGAGTCCACGGCGCGCTTGTTGCTCTGCGCGCTGGCCTTGTTGTCCTCGCCGGCGGTCTGCCACGTGCGGAAGTCGTGGGCGGACATCTTTCCTGCCTTTATTCGCACGCGGCGGCTTTTTTTGCAGACAGTCGCTGCTTTTGTTCGCACGGCGGCTTTTGTAGACAGCGACAAGCTGTCCAATGCAGCAGGGCAGCAGGACTCGCTCCACGCAACGCCGAGAGTGCAGCGATGCACGGTGCAACAGTAGAGGGTCGAATGTATGACAGCGAATTGTGCTGCCGCGCGAACGGGCCCGTATAGCGTCGTCGCGCCTTGCAAAATTTAACCCAGTGGCAGCTAGCGTTTGTAAGATACTAGCCGCTCACCGGACGGGTGGGCCCGGGGGGAGCGGGAGGGGTACGGGGAACCCTGCGACGTAACTAGCCTCAGCCTCAGCCTCACGCGGGAGGGGTAGGGGGGACCCTGCGACGTAACTAGCCTGAGCCTGAGCCTCACGGGAGCACCGAAACAATTAGGAGGGGAGGGCCGGGGGAGCGGGAGGGGTACGGGGAACCCCGCGACGTAACTAGCCTGAGCCTGAGCCTCATACGCCGTCGCCGCGAGGGTTAGCTCGGAGGCGACGACGGCGAGGGAGCAGGTTTTTAACTAGTACTTCTTTTACGAGGGCCGCCAACAACTCAGTCCCCCATCTCCATCTCCTCGTCGTCCTCCTCCTCGTCCTCAAAGTCCGGCCACGGCTCGAACGGGTCCACACCATCCAAGGGCGCCGGCACCTCGGGCAAGGCTTCGACGGCCGCCCGCTTCGCTTCCGCATCGACGTCCGCATCCCCAGTCAGCTTCACCTTCGCTTCTGCCGCCTCGATGCGATCGACCTGCGCCTGGTGCCACTGCTGGTGCTGCATCCACTCCTGCGTCGTCAACAGACACGCGTCGAGGGCCTTCTCCAATTTATCCCTTTCCAGGTCAATCCCGATGAACACGATCTCGTTCCGCCGGTCGCCGATAGCCGTGACTTGATCTAAATCTTCATAATCCTCGTCCTTCTCGTCGTCGGGGAAATCCTCGACGAACTTGGCCCGTTCGGGAGTGCCCTGTTCCGGCCAGTACTCCTCGGGCGCCGTGATGCGCCACTGCGCGTTACATCCTAATCTGCCTATGACTCCTGCTTGCGACCACTCCCCGATGCCCACGGGCCGGTTGCCGATCCAGAACCAGCCCTTTGATCTTAGGAGAGTACCGAACTTCTTTGAATTTTTGGCGGCTCGCGCTCGTCTCTGCTCCAGGGTCTTCTCGGGGTCGGCACTGCCTTCTTCTGAAGATTCTCCAGTAGAAGAAGACACCTCGTAGAACACGAAATGCTCCGCCAGAAAATCGTGCAACCTCTTGGGATGGAACGGCGTCCTTTTCTTATAGACGAAATTTTGGAACCCTATGCCGCCCAGCGTCGTATCTCTGCCCGAGCCCGCTTGTTTTAACGATTGGACCCAGCCGGCGGCCGTGGATGTGGCTTCGAAGTCGAACCTATTTGTTAAGAGGAGTTGATCTAGCGGTGCGGCTGAATTAGTCGTTTCCAAGACCGTAGCCCTCGGATTGAGCTCTGCGTGGGGCATCGCGTCGATGGCGTGACACGTGGCGCCATCGACGCGACGTGGACGTGGCACGCGATGCCGACGCGAACAACGCGAAGATAATAAAGGACGGGCGCCGCAAGAGCACTCTCGCACGTGATACGAGCTTGTTTCAGGCGAGCTGGCGTCGCTAAATCACTTTTATTCAACAATATAGTGTCCGCGAACTCGACCTGACTGACGAGGAGATCGACCACGTTTTCCGACATGACGGCATCCTCACAAGCCTCTTCTTCTTCTTTTGTAGAGTGGTCGTGGCCGTCGTGCATGCCCGCTTCCATGGCCGTGTTCACGCTGCTGAAGTTTTCACTGAAGGCGGACGCGTCGACGACCGTGACTAACGTGTCGAGGCGCGCTCGTGTCGCGAGGTCCTCGTCCGTGGCGAAGGCTTGCGCTACGGACCGGGGGTCCGAGACTCCTGTGGACTCTACTACCAAGCAGTCGAACCTCCGTTTATCTTCCGTCTCGTGCCTCAATTCACTTAACTCTTTCACTTCTCTTAACAAGTCGTCTCTACGTGTACAGCAGATGCACCCGTTGGTCAGTTCTACTAATTTCTCGTTTGCTCTTACTAGTCGCGACTCCTTGATGAGCTTCTCGTCCAGGTTGACGGCGCCGACGTCGTTCACCAAGAGCGCGACGCGGACGCCGCCGCGGTTCGTGAGCATGTGTTTTAGTAATGTGGTCTTGCCCGCGCCCAAAAAGCCGCTCAGGATCGTGACGGGCAGGCGGTCGTCCTTTTTGTTCGCTTCCAGCTCCATGGCGGCCATGGTGCAGCGATGCGATGTGTCTGATTAGGAGAGCTGATGCTGCTCTCGTCGCTAGCGACCTCAAAGGTCCACGCTATTCTGCAAGAAACGAGGAGCAGAGATGCTGTGGCGTTGCGTGCGCGTCTCACTGCCCACGACAAGTCGATTTTGTAGCCGTATGGTGCTTCGCCGCTTCGCGACGCGCGTGCAGCTTAGCGGCACGTAAGACACTAGGAATAAAAAAACGAGTGTATCACCAGAGCACCGTAACAATAGAAACCAGAGAGAAACACAAAGCCCCACTTAGAGCTAGAACTGCCCCCCCGGGTCGCCCCATCGCTTCCGCTTGCCTTTCTTGGGGTTCGCAATTCCTCCGTTCTGATTGGCATAGATCGATTGCCGTTTGGGTTTCTTTTCCTTCGGGGCCGCCTCGGCTGGTCGATTCGGAGCAGTGTACACGGGCCGCGGCGCGCTCACGACCTGCGTCTCGTGCTTCGTCTTCTGGCCGCGACCGCCAAAGGCCGTCGGGAACGAGGCCACGACGGGCGCGTTATCCTCCGGCGGCGGCGGCGGAGCAGCGTCGGCCAACACGGCCGCCGCGGCCTCTTCGTCCTCCTCCTGCGCCGCCGCCGCGGCCATGGGCACGTGCTTCGTCATGCCCGGCGGCGGCTTGTGCGACGCCGCGGCGTCGGCGACGACGTAGGGGTTCGCCGTCGCGGCGCGCAGCTCGCCCGCTCTTACAGAAGCGGCGCGCGCACCTTCTTCAGTATCGAGGTCCTCCTGGACGGACGCGAAGGGCTCGACCGTGAACGCCCGCAACCACCGTTTCTTGCCGCAGGCCGGTAACGCGTGCAGCCGCGTCAGCCGCCGGTGGCCGCCCACGCCGCACCGGTAGGGCTCGAGGCTCCAGCCCTCGTCCGCGGCGGCGACGAAGTGGTACGACGTTTTTATCGACCGCATCGCCTCGCCGAGCGGCTGCGAACACGCACCAATCTGCGCGCGCCGCGGGTCGTCCTCTATCAAAATAGCGTCGCAGCCGCGCGGCGCGTCGCTCGTGAGGAGCACGTCGCAGCCGCCGTCGTTGCGATACGCGCCCGTGTCGATGGCCAGCTGCTCGACCTGTGTGGAAATCAAAATTTTACGGCGCGTTTGTGCTGAATCGTCGCGTCCTCCACGCCATCGACGCGACGCCTGCTCGATGGCGTGGCGATGCCGGCCACCCGACGCACTGGTTGATTTCCACACAGTCAGCGACGTCGTCGCAGGTGTAGTGCGGATCGTCGCTCCGGTCGTCTGGTGCTGTTTCATTATATGTGGCTTCGTCGTATGTGCCGCCGAGAAACCCGACGCGCAGGCCAGCGACGTCCTCGCAGCCGCTCCTGCCCAACCACCGTACGTTCTTCGCCGCCAGGCGCGACGCGAGGTCCGCGTCGATGGCGTCCTCGCCCGTCACGACGTAGACGGGCAACGGCGCGCTCTCCGCCGGCGCTTCTCGCGTCTCCCCCAGAAAATTGCCGACGCACAGCGCGGCCGCGAACTCGCCCTTCTTCTGAGCTTTGGCGACGGCTTTGAATAGGCTGGCAAAGTCGCCGCGGACGGGCCCGGAGACGAGGATGGAGGGCATTGCAAAATAGCCTGTGCAGCCTCTCTCGCAAGTTCTCGCAGTGCCTAGATGATATGGCTCACGAAAGCGGCTATCCACTTGTTCAGTTGACAGCTCGCGAACACGATGAACCCCTTCCACCGGCGTGTGGTGCACGCAGAGGCTGTCAAAAGCAAGGCCGCCGTCCGCCTAGTGCCTTACATGCCGCTAGCTACTCGGCGCGCGCGGGCGTTGTTGCAGTCCAGAGCGTGCTACCACACACGCCGCTGCGTGCTCGCAGCTGTACGAGATCCTTTCAACTCCTAGAAACGCCTGCAGCCTCAACGCGCAACTCGCAGCAGCGATATGGTAGCCATGCATCAGCTGGCAGCGCTCTGCATCGCCACAACAACGCTCGCATTCGTGCCACCGCACCTCCACAAACCCTCGCACCGCATGCGCGCGGCGCCGGAGGGCGCCGACCTCGAGGAATTGTGGCGCGCGCACTCCAAGCCGCTGCTGCGGGTCGGCGCCAACGGCGTGAAAGAATCGCACCGCAACTCATTAGTAGAACTACTGGAGGCGCACCCCTACGTCTGCGTGAAGGTGAACGGCGCCAAAGACGCAACTGCGGTGGCCGCGGCGGCGGACGCGCTCGCGGGCGACGGCGCGGTCGCGCTCCTCACGAAGAGCAACTCGGTGCTCTACGGCAAGCCGGGGAGGTCGTCGCGCGCGCAAAAAACAAAGATGTTGCAAGTGGACCCGGCCGCTATCGGCAAAATCATCGGCAAGGGCGGCGAGACCGTCCGGGGGCTCGTCGCGGACTTTGACCTCGCGAACATAGACGTTGCTGACGACGGTTGCGTGACGATCTCGGGCGGCGACGAGGCTCAGGTGGACGCGTGCGCGGCGCGGATCGGTGAGCTCGTCGACGTCGATTTAGGACGATGAGTAAATTGTATAGAGGCACAATTTTCTTAGGAACTTGCGAATGCCGCCCGACCGAAGAGGCGATAAGGAAAAAGGAATGTGCGTCGGTTTTCGCGCGACGTCGCTATATGCGCAATTCCCCCCACCGCTTTCCCAAAGCCACAAAGAGCCCGCTCTTGTCGTTCCTGGCCGCCAAGTCCCAGACATTATCTTCAAAAGGAACTACCCGCAGCGCCGCACCGCCCTTGGTCACGTCCCATACCCGCAAAGTCTTGTCGTACGACGCGCTCACGAGCCGCATCTCGCCCGTCGCCGGGTCCGCGAAGGCCGTCAGCGCGCAAACAAACTCCGTGTGTCCCTCGAGCACAAACAGCACCGCACCACCCGCCGCCAAGTCCCAGACGCGCACGGAATTGTCGTCTGATCCGCTGGCGAGGCGAAGTCCGCCCGTCGCCGGGTCTTCGAAAACAGTCAACGCCTCCACGGATTCCGTGTGCCCCTCGAGTACGAGCAGCGCCTCGCCGCCCGCGAGCGGGTCGTAAATACGCACCTCCCCATTCTCACAACCACAAGCAAGCCGCAGCGCGCCCGTCGCCGGGTCCGTGAACATTGCCAGCGCCTTAGCATTCACGTCGATCACGAGCAGCGCCTCGCCCCCCGCGACTGGATCGAAGACATGCACTTTCCCACCACGCCAACCACCTGATCCACAAGCGAGCCGCGACGCACCCGTCGCCGGGTCCGCGAAGAACGCCAGCGCATACGCGGTGTTGCCGGCGTCGAGCTCGACCAGCGCCTCGCCGCCCGCGACCGGGTCGAAGACGCGCACCTTCCCACCGTTAGAGCCAGAAGCGAGCCGCGGCGCGCCCGTCGCCGGGTCCACAAAGAACGCCAACGCAAACACATCAGAACCAACGTCGATCACGAGCAGCCCACCGCCAGTCTCTGCGTCCCACACGCGAATCGTCTCATCGTTCGACCCGGTCGCGACCCGCAGCACACCCGTCGCCGGATCCACAAAGGTCACCATGGCCCTCACAATGCCAGAGTGCCCCTCGGGCTCCACCTCGATCGCCGCGCCGCTCGCCGCCGGGTTCCAAACTCGCACAGTGCTGTCGTCCGATCCGCTCACGAGCCGCAGCTCGCCCGTCGCCGGGTCTGTGAAGGCTGTCAAAGCCCTCACATAGTCCGCATGCCCCTCGAGCACGACCAGCGCCTCGCCGCCCGCGACCGGGTCGAAGACGCGCACCTTTCCGTCCTCCGACCCGCTCGCGAGCCGCAGCTCGCCCGTCGCCAGGTCATCGAATGCGACCAGCGCCCTCACCACTTCGCCAGCGTCGAGCACGAGCAGCACGTCGCCACCAGAAATAGCGTCAAAGACACGAATCTTTCCATCGGTAGAACCACACGCGAGCCTCGGCGCGCCCGTCGCTGGTTCCTTGAAGACCGCCAGTGCCCACACTTCGTGTCCAGTATCTACCACGAGCAGCGCGTCACCGCCCGCGGTCGGATCGAAGACAAGCACCTTCTCTCCCGACGCGCGCGCGAGCCGCGGCGCGCCCGTCGCTGGGTCTTTGAAGACTGCCAAGGCGTTCACTTCGTCGCCTATCTCGAGGACGAGCAGCGCCTCACCACCCGCGACCGGGTCGAAGACGCGAACCTTCCAGTCGTCAGAACTGCATGCGAGCCGCAGCGCACCCGTCGCCGGATCCTCAAATACGACAAGCGCACTCACGCTATAATCCACATCGATCACAAGCAACGCCTCGCCCCCCGCGACCGGGTCGAAGATGCGCACCTTCCCATCATAACAACCACAAGCAAGCCGCGGCTCACCCGTCGCCGGGTCTTTGAAGACCACTAACCTCCGCACATCCGAGTCCACATCAATCACGAGAAGCGCCGCGCCACCAGCGACCGGATCATAGATGTACACTTCATGCTCAAAACCACAAGCAACCCGCGGCTCGCCCGTCGCCGGATCCACGAACGTCGCCAAGCTCGTGCACTCACCTCCGGCCTCAATACGACACCGCTCCGCCCCACCTGCCGCCGTCAGACCCATCGACCTCACGGCCGAGAGCGGCAGCTTGCTCGCGACTCCCTTTGCGTCGTCGGCCAGGCGTCGCGCGGCAGGAGACGACTCCGCATTGGCGCGTGGTGTCATGCGCTGCCAGAACTGCTCGACAAGTGGAGTGCCCTGCGACAACGCGTTCCGTGACAACACGAGCGCGTCGCGGAGTAGAAGCGCGTCACGACCCTCCAGCACATCGAGGTCACCAGCAAATGCACCAACGTCGCCGCCATCGACCCGTTTCTGCACGTACGACAAGGCACACGCCACAGCGACGGCCTCGCCCTCAGCAGAAGACCGCTTCATGTGAAACAAGCACCAGCGCAACGCATAAGCATCCGACGCAGCGCCGCCCTCGCCCTTGACGAATGATGCCAGCGCCGCATCTGCAGCAGCATCGCTCGAGTACGACTTTGCATCCAGAACCTCAGCACGAACCGCCCGAGCACAAGCCCGCGCCAGCCGCCGGTGCGCCGACTCCTGCGCAATGAAGAACGCGTCCTCACAGCCACGGCCGTCAAACGGCGCCTCGCCGGTTAGCCAGTCCGTTACGGTCTTGTGCAAAACACCGATCACGTCGCCCTCGCGCAGCGGGAACAGCAGCGACACCTCAGCACATAGACCCTCGCAGCGAGCCCGATCCCAGCCGAGCGCCCCACTCGCAGCGTCAATTGTCAACGGCTCGGCCGCTGCACAGATTAATTCAACGAGCGGCAGCGCGTCGCACCATGCAGTATCATCGACAAACACGCGTCGAAAATTCTCCGCGTAGATCTCGTCGAGGCCCGCGGGAAGTGCACCGACGCTCGCAAAGTCGATCTTGCCCGTCGTGGACGCGAGCTGCTCCGCGATGAGACGTGCGTAGAGCATGAGTCCGCCGGCCTTCCGTTCGAGCGAGGTCACAGCTGCATCCAACGCCGAAGACCGCAAGCGACGAGCGATATACGCCTCAAGCGCGTCCGCTTCGACACTCGTACCTTCACACATCTTCGGCAGCGCTAATCGGATCACTTCGTATTGCTCGTGGGCGATGTGCTTGGCGTCCGCAACGCTCCTCAAATTTAATTGAACCTCGGCGAGATGCGTCTCGCCGTCGCCGAGCTGGACGCGGACGTTCAAGTTCATGTCACGGTAGCCGAGCGGCGTCGGATTCGCGAACTTGTTTTTTAATTGAGCGATCTCCAGCCCGAGGCCGCCACCATCCAGTTCGGTCAGCACCTTGAGAAGGTCGGCGGCGTTCTCGAACAAGACTGTCGCCCGACTGAGGTCTCGGAAGCGCGCGGCATCACCTTTGTAATTGTCGTTTAGCTTGCGCTGCGCCGAGCCGCGCCCCTTCACGCCTGGGTCTGAGAGATCACCGGGCAGCTGCGTGAGCTTGTCAACTAAAATCTTCTGCGCTCGCGCTGCGTCGGCATAGAGCGCCTCGAAATCGCTCTTGTCTTGCTTCAAGTCTACATCACGCCGTTCCTTGTACGCAGCGAGGGCGCCGATGTCCGCTACCCCGTTGACGGCGTCATCGTACGCGCCCTTCGACCGCCGCAGCGGGTCCTCTAGATCCGCGAACGTGTCGAGATTCTTCAGGCCCGGGAACTTCGCCTCGACCTCGTGCCGCAGCGAGTCCATCGTCACTTCCAGCTCGACGTGCTCCTTCGCGAGTACCGTCAGGTACGCGCGAACGTCTTGCCGGTTCCGCGCCTCGTCGACGCGGAGCTCTGACGGCGTGTAACCTTTCAATGACGCCTTAATCTGAGCCTCGTCGCGGCTCGTCACCACAAGTTTGATCCATGGCGGCAGCGTCTTGAGCTCGTTCGCGAGCAACGACAACACCGGCTTGAGCGCGTCGCGCGGCAGCTCGTCGAGCGCGTCGATTATCAACACCAGAGCGTCGTCCGCGCCGCGCGGCGCCTCAACGCTTTGCAGCGGCTCGGCAATCAGCGCCTGGAAGAGCTCGTCGACCTTGTCCGTCGCGTTGTCGCCGCCGCCGCCCTCGCGCAGCGCCTCCTCGAATCCATCGACCGTCGCGCAAAGCATGCCCGCCAGCGACCGCAAAAGTGTCGCTGGCGCGGACCGCGCCGGCTCGGTGTGCTTGCAGAAGTGCCACGCGGCTGCGTTTTGTTTGTCGAGCAGTCGCGCCAGCAACTCGGCCGCGGCGACGCTCTTGCCCGTGCCGCCGCCACCGACGAGCCAGAAGAGCTTCGCAGCTTCCGGATCCGTCCGCCAGCGCATGACCGCCTCGAAGACCCACTCGCGCGTGCCGGGTAGGTGCTGCCCGCGCTTCTCTGCAATTATGGCCGAAAAGTCCAGCGCCTCGGCAACACCGGAGCGGTCGACGCCGTGGAGCTTCTCGTAGAGCGCCTCGGAGATCGTGGCCTTGGACTCTTTCCAGCATTGTATTGCCTCGTCCCTGGAGATCTTGGCTTCCGCGAACTTCTCCTCCCACGCGGGCTGCCACTTGGCGCCCGCCAGCTCCTTGGCCTCAGCAAGCGAGACCTCTGCAGGGAGAGATGATACACCGCCGCCCATTGTGTGCCAACCTTCTCACGCCGTCCCGGGCTGCCTTGGTGGCGATCCTCAAGCTACTACTGCAGATTTATACTGGCAATTCTTGCGCGCTGCGGGCGCGCGCCCGCACGAGAGCCCCGCACGCTATACATAATTACGATACCACAGTCAACTCTCGCTCCGAGGACCGCTCGCCAGCGATCCGACCACTCAACGCACCGGTCCCAGGCCCGGCAGGCTAGTAGGGCTGCCCATTGCCAAGCCCAGCGCCAGACGCCGCCGGCCTGCGAAGCGCGAGCCAGGCCTCGGGCTAGCCCGGCGAAGCGCACGTCTGCGGCTCGACGGCGGACGGGCATCGGAGGCAGCCCAGCGCCCCAAGAAGGAAGAGCCAGCCCCAGAGGCATAGAGCCATGAGCCGCCGCGCCGACAAGAAGGACAAGGCCAAGACCGTCGGCGCCGATGCTAGGGACGACCTGACGACCTTCGACACGACGCGGGCGCGGATCCCCGACTACGACCCCAGCGGCGACAAGTACTGCCCGAGCGCGCAAACGGCTCAGTACAGGCGCCGCCAAAAAGAAGTAGCACGCCGCGTGCGGCAGGACCAATTGTCGAAGACGGCGCCGGGGCGGCAGCAGCAGGGCCGCGCGAAGACGCCGCGGCGGTTAGAGCCCGTGACGGAGCCTACTACTGGTAGAGTGCGGACGCCCGAGCGGTCGACGCGGCAGCGGTCCCTGCCGGCCGTGGACCTGCCGCGGACGAACTTTACGCTGTCTACATTATCAGGAGGGATTACGTACGGCGGCGCCCCACCTATTATTTCTCCGGGCGACACGCTGCCGAACACGGAGCGCTTACGGCCTTTGACGGGCGAGACGTCCACTGCTTTGAGAAGATCCCCTAGAACGCCACCACCTGCTCCTGAGGAGGAGTGGCAGGCGAAGGCGGGCAAGGAGCCCGGCCAGGAGCTCGAAGTGCTCAAGACGATCTTGTTAAGGGAGGGCTACCTAAAGAGGCTCGAGAGCGTCATCAACTCTTGGTTGCAGACCAATGATCTGAAAAGGGTCCCCAAGGGTCTCGGGGATCTGTTCGACTTGTTAAGAACCTCGACGACGGAAGTCGTCGAGCACGTCGTGAGGTGGCGTTTGGCCATCGGCGACGCTGATGACGGGAAGCCGATGCCGTTCCTGTGGAATGGGATTAATTACTTACTCAAAATACCGTCGGATCTCGATGATTTGAACTTGCTACCGGCATTACGGAGGTGGGCCGGTTTTACGTTACAAAGGAACCCTTTTTTGATGCCTTTACCTTTGGACCATCGTACGTTATCAAGCACAGAGAGAGACGTGATTCCCGCACAGGACGAGGAGGACGAGGATTCGATCCTGTACGGCGACGACCCCATGACAGGTCCGCGACCGGGCATGGGCGTGCGGCCCAAACAAACGAAGGGACCTTATAGGACTCCGGTGGTCAATGATCCCGCTCTCCTAGCTACGGATACGAAGAAAAAGAAGACTCGCGTTATTGTTGAAGATGAGCCGCAGAAGCCGCAACGGAAAGGTGAATCAGCACCGCTGAAAGTTTTAGTTGGTGACGCTGATTTGAAGCGCGTCCGAGCCGCTGAATTAGTGATTCTCGACGAGGAAGGCAGGGAAGGCCGCTTCGCGCGGAACCACGACGGGCAGTTAGTACCAGCTCTACAAGTAGAAGAGGAGGAACATCGCAAACGTTTAGAGTTGGATAGAGGTAGACCGCTCGACGAGCCGGCGCGGGCACCTAAACATATGGCGCCCTACGCGGGCCCCGCCGGCATCGGCTACCAAGATGTAAGTTCCGGAGACGAAGTCGAAGAAGGTAAAAGAAGATGGTCTAGAAGGGCGATCGCCGACGACCCGCAAAAAGCACCCGTGAAGTCGGAGCAGGACGAGGAGAACGCGCGGAGCGGCGCCATGCGCGCGTCGGGTGCGCTGGGGCCGCTGCAATCGGCCTCGACGATGGGTCGGAGAAGAGCACCGACTCGTAGATCAAGAGGTGCTGCTCTCGACGCGGACATCGGACGACTCAAACGGGAAGCTTCTCGGTTAGAAAGAGAGGCCAAAGCCGTCCGAGTCGAGATGAAGGCTGATTTGGAGGAGATCCAACTCTTAGAAAGAGATGCGGATCGCTTGGAAGCGGAGGCCGCGGCGCGAGATGCTGCTACACAAAAGAAGTCGGCCGCGGAGATCCAGCGAGCGCAGCGCGGCAAGGCCGCTAGGGAAGAGGCTCGGCGCCGCGCCCAGGAGTTGAGAGACGACGTCAGGAAGGCCGAGAAGCGCGTTGAAGAGTTAGAACAAGCTTTCAAGCTAAGGACGCACGACTACGAAAAAAGACAAAAAGAAAGGCAGTCCCTCAAAAGGAGTGAACGCGAGATCGAGGACAAGCGTCGCGCCGTGGAGTTGGAGCGGGCGCGGCGGTTGTTGCCGCCGGGCGGCGTCCATCCCGCGGACGAGCGCAAGGCGCGCACGCTCGAAGACGTGTCGGCCACCTCGATCACTCGCATGGTCCGCGGGAAGCTGGCACGGTTGTACGCTAAGCGATTAAGACGGGTCTACGCGCGCGCGGCGACGATCATCGCCGCGGGGATCCGCGGGAAGTTATCCCGTATCTATGCGAAGAAGATACGAACCGCGAGGTACGCCGCGAATAATATACAGAGAGTTACACGCGGGAGGCAAGCTCGCGCTAGATATTATGTGTTGCGGGAACGCAGCCACCAGCAAAAGGCGGCCGTTAAGATCCAGACCGCTCAAAGGGGCAGATCGGCTCGTCGACGCGTCTCGAGACGGAAAGAATTAAGAAGGAAGGCCCTAGCTGCCGCGGAAGCAGTTTCTGTAAGAAAGCTCTTCGCCCAGGACTTAAAAGAATTAGCAACCGCAATCCAAGAGGCCCAGGTCGACGCTCGGCTAGCCTTCCCGCCGGCGGCTGTATTAGGACTCATCCGCATCGTCATGCTCATGCTGAGCGAGGACGGCGGCGGCGCCCTAGGCACCACACTGTCAGACTACACGGCGATAGGGACGAAGCACCCCATGGAGGTCGAGCGGAACGACCTGTCGTGGACCGGGGCCGTCAAGGTGTTGCGACGGGGCAACTGGCTGCTGCGGAGACTACGGTTCCTGGCGGCGGGGCCCGCTTCCGTGCCGCCTCGTTTATTATCACTACCTCTCCAGTCGCTAGAGCTCCTCCGAGCCTACGACAATGACCCGACGATGACGATAGAAGCCATGGAGAGAGTAGTGGTCGGCCGGAAGGCGTGTGTCCAACTTTTAACATATGTCCAGTCCCTACGAATTGTGTATGAGGTGCAGGCCGACTTCTTCGAGCAATTGGGTGGTGATGAAAGCACGCCGAATTGGTTGATACGGCGACGGCTCGGTGCCTCCAGAAGACGCACGCTGCAAGCCCAGCAACTAGTCGACAAGCACGACGTCGAGGCGTGTGGGGCCGCCCTGAGGCAGAAGAAGAGTGAAGGTAAGAAGTTTCCGGTGGAGTCCACTTGTTTAGAACAAGCTCGCCTACGGTTCCAAGCTTCTGATGACGAGCTCAATGCTCATGATGCCGCGGAGGCGGCTCATAGTATGAGGGACGAAATCAAGATCCGGGAAGAAGAAGTCGAGCGCGTCGCCGACTGTAAACAAACACTCAAACGTGTGAGGTACGCGGACGACGCGTTGACGCAGGCCATGCACGACGCCCGGACGTCCGGGAGTACTATCACTTTATCTCGCCTCCCAAAAATGCGAGGTGATTGTACCGAGGCTCGGATCGACGAGCGGGAGGCTCGCGCGAAATTGGCGCTGGTGCGGAGGAACGCGTCCGTCGCGGCCAAGCGACGAAAGACGATTGTGGTCGAGCTGCCCCCGGAAGTTAAGTATCGAGCCGCGGCCTGCGGCGAAGCGCGGTGTGCCGCCGCTCTCGCCAAGGAGAAGCTGCTACTGTGGTTCCGCGCGCGAGGAGGAGAGACCCATGTGCGAAAGATGGCCGCGAAAGCAGTAAGAGCATCTGCCTCATCAATCGACAATAAACAGCAGCAGGTCTGGTCTCGACAACGTGGAAGTGACTTAGCAAGACTAAATGAGCAAGATGATGCTGAGTTAAAGGCCTTCGACGCCGAAATGGACGACTGCGCGACGCGGCTGCGGGACGCGGAAGAAGCGCTAAAACGAGTACGGGAAGAATTAGAATGTGAAATAACCAAGACGGAGGACGACGAGCGGGCCAGAGATCAAAAACCCGTCGCCGCGCTCGACGCCACGGACGAGGAAAAGGCCGAAGACTGCCGCGAGGACGAGTTCTGCGCCGTCGAGGAGCTGATGCTCGACAAGCGCTTCGTGCCCGAGCCGTTCCTGCCGCAACTCGCCATGGAACGGGCCGCGGAGGCAAAACGTAAAGCTAGACAGGCCGAGGAGGAATTGGCTCAACAGTTAGGAGCAGTTCACGTCCGCAAACAGGGCATCGAGATCTACGAGAAAGCTTTGGATGATGATACGGGACCGCCGAAGGCTGAACACGAGCTCGAGGAGCACGAAAAGAGCCCGCCTCCGAGGCCTCGACCTCTGCTCGTGCTGGTCGCGCGGGACATTCCGTCGGTGGCCAAGCGGAAGATTGTCGATAGACTATGTAACGAACTCGAGGGCGAATTTGTTCGCGTTTGTTCGGATCTGCCGCAGGGTATTGATCCGGAGGCGTTTCAAGCACCTCTCAGTGTGGGTAAATCCGTTTTGGCGGATGTTGACTCTGGTGTCGCCCACGACTGTAGACACATGTTCATCGACGCGTTGGCGTTCTGCAAGGCGGCGTTGTTCCCCACTCCCAGAGTTATTTTGGTGCTGGGCGACGCGCGCAACCGACGAGGCGCGTGCGCACCGAGTCCCTCGGGCCACTACGGTGTTAGTATCCAAGACCTAGATAAGATGCACGACCGGAACTTGAAATGCGACTTGCAGGACGCGGCGGAGCATCTTGCGCGTTTAACTGAAAATGAAGCGCTTGAGAATCTAGCGTCGTGGAGCACCCAAGAGCGGCCGCCGTCCTTAGGTCATGCTTTAGCGATGGAGGCCGCTATCATATTGCTAACGAGGTCCCGAAAGTTCCGAGGTCCGGACCGGACGGTGACCGCCGTGGCCTGGCTGGCTGCTCGAAGATTGTTAGCGAGACCTGTTGAGTTAGTGGCCAAATTAAGAGACTTCGACGCGGCGACCATCCCGCCCCAGACACTGTTCGTCCTCAAGGAATACATCGCCCACGAGAACTGGCCCATCACGGAGATTATTGTGCACGAGGGCGCTTCGCTCATCACGGATCCCGAAGCTCCGGACGAGGACACCTATGTCTCCAACGACACGGGCGGCCCGACGGTAGAACACGCTCTCGGGCCTCTGATCAACTGGATCAAGGCCGTCGTGAGTGCGGGCGATTACCTCGCGAAGAACGGTGGTGCGGCGCCGACGATCTCGCGGCAGGAACCGCCCGACCTGGTGTCTTCGGTCGTTACCGTGTCGGATGGCCACACGGAGCTCGAGGAGGAGTCGGAAGCGGCGGGCCGCGGCTACAAGGCCGCGTCGGCGCAGTTGCTCGATGCTGCTTTGGAGGACTGCCGAGGTTATAGATGTGCTGCTAAGTTAGCATCAACGAGAATACCTCACGACGACGGCACGATCGCGCCGGACTGCATCTACAACGTCAACGTTGCTCATGATTGTGGTAGGATCTTCTTCAGCGCCTATGATCCGTCGACGTCGACTCGTCTCGTCACGTCTATCCACGAACGTGATGTCGATCGGTTACTAGCACCGAATTCCATCGAGCACCGGGAACACACCGCAAAATTACCACCCCGCTCCCTCAAGGAGATGTACGCGCGCTTGGTCAAATTACTCGTCGTGAAGCGCGGCGCGAATCAGGCGTTAGCCAATAGACCAGTAGCAAAGTCCAAGCTGTCGTTATTGGCGAAGCCGCCGCGCTCGAAGAAGCTGCAGAAGGTCACACCGCCCCAACTACTATGTCGTAGGAGACTACGACGACTCATGCGAGAAACGCGAAGGATCTCGGGCTACCTATGCACGCTCACAGTCTACGAGGAAGCGCGAGGGGAGTTGAGAGTGCACGCCTACCTGCCAGAAAGGTCAGCATCATTGGAAACGGCGGTCGGCATGGATTTGTTACATGATGTGGCCACTGGTAATGCGGATCCCAAGATAAGGGAGATGTCCGCGCTCGAGTCGCACGACGCCGAGACCATGCTGCCCTACATCGCGGACCGCATGGAGATCGTGCCCTCGAAGGCCTCCGCCGAGGACATGGGGTCTTTATCTCATTATCTACGATTGGCCTCGCAGGACGCGGGCGGGGCCAAGCGGAGTGCGGGCTTCAAGCTGCGGTTGAGACAGTGCAAGGGCCCCGGCCGGACGATCTTCAAGCAGTTCGCCACGATCTCGAACATGAAAGTTGTTCTGAGTGTCATGGAGGCCGGCGGTGCGGCCAAGCGAATATTGCGGATCGTGCTCTACGACCCCATGTCCGCGGAGACGCGCGAGTTGCGCTTGGCGGACACGCATCGAGCCGTACTGTTGGATTCGATCGGTGGCGACTGGCGTCTCTGGAGGGAATCACTCATCAAGAGATTATCTCTGCGACGGAAGCGCGTCTCGGGCTTGCTAGAAGGCTACAATTCTGATGAAGAGGATGGTGAACGAACGATAAAATATCTGCCGACGGAGCACCCGGGGGCGGACAGCGGCGCTATCTTAGATCAGGACGGCGTGACCTTCGACAGCACCGTCGTCCACAAGGCGTGCAAGATCAAGGGTCTGCGGTGTCGACTCACGATAGAACTGAAAGCCGGCGATGGGGAAGGTTTGATTGTCAAAGTGATGGAGCTACGACCGGCCAAACAAACGGAGATCTGCGTGACGCGCGAGCGGCTCATCGAGCTCTGGGAGCTCGAGGACACGGACCTGCACCCAGCGAGGCCCGTCTTTACGGTCCTAGGGAATAAAGATACGAGAGAAGAAGGCATCCAGAAGCTGGTTGATGGATTAACTAGAGATAAGGAGTCGGGCGAAGTTCTACTAAGGGCCGTATCGAATGAACTGCGGCGCAAGAAGAAACAGGGCTCGCCTCTGAAACTGAAACCTAGACGGCCGCCGTCGCGCGAGGAGTTAGAAGGGAGTGACGCGCCGTTCCATCGACGCTTCGCGGGCGAACAGTCGACCTTCGGCCATCCTAGGGAGCGAGTCGTCGAGGAGCACGATGGTTCATTGGAACATAGTGTCAAGTTCCGGAGACCGCCTCCTACTGTATTTTATGAACACCGACTCCCACCACCACCGCCGAAGGGCGACTTTTCGCAGTTGGTCTGGTTCGACGACCCGAGTCAGCTACCACCTCCACCTGAAGAGGTTTCAGACGCACCAGCACCCGCACCCTCACCAGCACCAGCGCCGGCGGCCGCCATCGAGGTCGCGGAGGCCGAGGCGCCTCCGGAAATAGAAGAAACGGTCATCACGGACATGCGCCTCATCTTCCAGCAAGGTGTCAGAACATCTATAAAGCCGCTCGAGCCCGAGACGTGGCCTTCGGTAGATGATTTGGGACTGGCCAAGGAGCTCGTCTTTGTCAAGGTCTTCGAGCAGTACACGTCGGGCGTTGCCGTGAGGCAGTTGCGATTCGAAGCGTACCGACATACGACGTCGGGCGCCGAATGTGCGATTATCGAAGATTTGAAGCATCTCAGAATGACGCTCGGACCGGACGCGCAACACCTCCTTGCACAGGAGAGAGAGGAAGAGATGATCCTCTACCTGATCAAGAACCGGATGATTCTGTGCGAAGGTTTAGTAGATGAGGAGACCGATAAATTTGTGAAGAAGGAAGATCGCTTCACGATGAAGTGGACGACCGACCGCATCTTCGACGCGCGGTTCAAGGTGACGCCTCTCGGCTTGGGTGGGTCTGATGACGAGGACGCGAACGCGCATCGCCTCTTCGACCAGGGCGCCTTACACCGAGGCAAGAAGATTTTGAGACATGCGCAGGCCATCGACGGCGCCTTGGTCCACGTCAACGTCTTTGAATTACCGGAGACGCCCGCTTCAGGACCGGCGCCGGCGCCGGCGCCGGCGCCAGCGCCCGCCGGGGCGCCGGCGCCCGCGCCGTCGGGTCTCGACGAAGGCCTGCCCCTACCTCATTTGAGGTTTGTGTGCTGGAACCCGCTGGCGAAGCACCGTACCATGTTCATCATACCGCCGGAAGCGTGCAGGGAAGTTATACAACTGGAGGACGCCGATTCTTTGGCCCACTACGGTGCGAAGGCCAACCGGACGCCGCCTTCATTTAGATTAGCGAACCCGAAGCATAGGTTCGATTTAGCGTTAGCTATCACGAAGAGATTACGGTTGTCGTGCTCGCATCGGGCGCCGCCGGACTGCTTCCTGCCCTGGTCCGGCGGACGGCCCGCACCACTCTTACACGGTCCCGAGCCGGAGCCCATGGGCGACGACGACGGCGTCCACGACTACGACGGTGGCCTCACGGAGGACGAGGACGACCCCTACCGCCTCCATGACAAGACCAAGGACAAGCGGAATCGGCGGTTGCAGTACGGCGCGAAGCCGAGGAAGGCGGAAGATCGGATTAATCGCCGATCCAAAAGGAGACGCTTGTTCCGAGTCTCGACACGAGTCGGGAGGACGGAATGTGTGGTCAGTGTATTCCACGCCATTGATACGGAGTTGGATCTGGACTTTAACGTCTATGTGCCTAGGATCCGGCGAGCGTGTGAAATAAGAATCACGGGCGCCGAGCAGCGCCACTGCATGGGCCGGCCTTGCCTCGAGCACGCCCAGGGCGAGCCGCGCAAGGCGGCCATCGACTGGTTGATTCGCCACTTGCGGTTGAAAGACGTCCCCTCACCCGAACAACTGAAAACCGAGCGCGACTGGAATGAAAGAAGGGAGGCCCCGGACTTCGTCAAGGACTTGGAGGAGGAAGCGCCTGAACCATTGCCGGACATGACCCTGTCGCTAGAAGCCAAGCCCGAGAAGCCCTGGTTATCTGCCTATCAAGGTCTAGATACCACTATAAAAGTGGACCCAATAAAAGGCGAGGGCCGGCCCCACGGCGTGCCTTTGGCTTTTATACCTTTACAAACTGTGGGAGACTTAGTGATGCGCAAGGGCATGGCTCTGCCGCACGGTGGCGATTGTGTGGTTACGGTGACGACGCGAGCGCCGGGCGAGCCCGCGGTCCACGGCTTGGTGATCCAGGCCTACGATCCGGTCACGTCCTACACCGCGAAATTGCACTTAGGTGCGAGGGAAATCATCAAGCTCATCGAGTTCGACGAATCTCGGATGACGGACCCGGAACTGGTCCAGGCGACGGTGTCGCGCTACATCCTCAAGCGCTTGATCGTGGAAGCGTCGCCGGTGGGTGGGTTGCAGTTAACGATCGCTAGAATACCGAAGAAACTGCGCGCCCAGGGCGTCCAGGACACGTTCTACGGGCCGGACCCGTCGCCGCGATTGTCGGACCCCGACGACCGCAACAGCAAGAAGTATTCGTACGACTGCGAGAACCCGGACCACCCCTCCTACGCGGGACCCTGGACCGGTTCTGAAGTAATAGAGCCGCCGCCGTCGCCGCCATCCAGTCCGATTCCCGTGAAATACGACAACACCGTGCCCACGCCGGAGCCCTCGCCGCGGTCGCCGGCGGGGTCGGCGTCGGCGTCCTTCGTCGAGAGCGACCTGCTGTCGCTCGCGCCGGCGCCGGCGCCCGCGCCCGCGCCCGGGGAGCGCAACGCGAGTCCTCCCTGAGGGCCTAGTAACGAACTACATGTGTATCGGCTAGCCAGGTCACACGATATCGACTTACTCCCGGGTCACACGATGTTCGCCGGCAGCTCTGGCGCGTCCTCGCGGAGCCGGATGCACTCCGCCGGCTTGTCGTCGTCCTTGTAGAACTCGTGCACCACGCCCTTCCACCTATTTTTCGAAGCGTTGTAGTTGAGCACGACGCGCACCTCGGTGGCCTCAACGCAGTGACCCAAGTACCACTGGTGGGTATGGTCATCTACGACAAGGAACTCGCACTCTTCGCCAACCTCGGGCCACCGCGTCGCACATACGAAGGGTGCCGACGACGGCGCCGCGAAGACAGGCGAGGGCGATGCCGCCCGGGGTGAGCCCTCCCGCCACGCCCGCGCGGGGACGTCTTGATCCACCTCGGCGAATCGCCTCGGCTTCTTCGTCTGCCGGGCATGCTCGGCGCGCGGCGGCGGGTTCCAGGCCTCGTCCGGCGGCGGCGGCGAGCGCTTGCGGAGCCGCGTCGTGGGTGGAACCTCGCCGTAGTCGGAGCGCGTCGGCAGGCGGAACGGCGTGGGCGGGCGCGGCGGCGCGGCCGGCGCGGCCGGCGCGGTCAGTGGCGGCGGCTCCGGCGTCTCGCCGTCGTCGTTAGCATCAGTGGTCGCTATGGGCGGCGTCGATGGCTCCGCGGCCATGGCTAGGACGCGCTCGACATGTTGTTGTGTCGCCGGATCCTTCAATGTGCTCGCAAACTGGCCGCAGTGGGTTTTGATGGGATGAGACCATATTCCCCAAGCCGACAGATCGTTCTGTAGCGCGCGTGACGCGCCTGACGGTGCGGTCCAATTGCAGAGCGCACACCGCACGTCGCCGTTCGACTCGACCGAGACCATCCGCTGCGTCCGCCCGTCCTTGGTCGCGAAGCAGTTCCCGAACGTTCGACCCTCATATACCGCGCAGACGGCGCTGTCTAGTTGGACCTGGAGCCACTCGTTCGGCGTCAAGCGGCTCCGGTCGCAGAGCGCCGCCTCCTCCGCCGTAAGCGTTATTTTCGTCAGATCCGTGCGAAAAACGTTAACGGTGTAGCCCGTCTTCGTCGTCACCTCTGCGTGACCGGTATTTCCGAGCTTCGTCACGACGCCCCGCAAGCCATTGCTGTGCTGGACGTGCGAGCCGACGGCCACCCAATCGTTTGGTGGAGGAGCTGGCTTTCGCTCGCGCTTGACCGACGGCTTGGGCGCCGCCGTCGTCGACACCAAATCTTCCCAACCCTCCGGAGGGCCGCGCGCCTTCTTCGCCGGCATGACCTCGCCGCCGACGCGCCGCGCGGTCAGGGGGAGCGGCGCCGCTTCGGCGGCGGCAACCGCCGTCGAATTGTCGCTGCAGCGCCTGCGTTTGCTGCTGCCCGATGCGACCACGACACAGGAAAGGAAGCGCTCGGGCGTCGCCCAGACGCGGTTGTCGTCGTCGTAGTGCACGTTCCAGACGGGCTCACCCGCCTCGATTTGAGGGCATCCTAACGGCAAATTAAAAGCCTCGCCGGGCTCGACAACAGTGCCGCGGTACCGCGCGGCCACGCTATTCGTAGGGTCGTGGCCGAACGCCTCTGGCGCGGCCTCGACGACCGCGCCGACGACGATGCAGGAGAGGAAGCGCTCGGGCGTGTCATAATCTTGGCCGTCGTCGTCGTAGAGCACGCGCCAGATACGTTCACCTGGCTTCGGCGGCGGGCAGCCCACCGGCAAAATATCTCCGTTGCCACGCGCCTTCACAGTGCCGCAGTATCGTTTCGTAGCTCCTACTTTCCTCGCGAAGCCGGCGCCCCACACCTGGGACTCGGCCGCGACGACCGCGCCGACGCAGATGCGCCCGGCCGCCGGTGGCGAAGGCACGCGTGGAGGCGACGGCGCGGGCAGCACCGCGGGCGCCGGCGCCGGGGAGACCACGGGCGCCGGCGCGGTGGGCGGCGGCGGCGTTGGCAGCTGCGCGGCCGGCGGCACCGGCGCCCCAGGCGCGTCGTCCTCATCTTGCGTCGGCACGTAAGCCCGGTCCGCATCAACGCAGCCTGACAGGAACTGCGGCTTCGTCCGCTCCCGCCCCGCGCGCTGGCCGTCGACGGGCGCGACGATGCTGAGGAAGCGCTCGGGCGTCGCCCAATCCTTCCCATCGTCCTCGTAGCTCACGAGCCAGACAGGCTCATCCGGCATCGGTGCAGGGCAGCCGGCCGGCAACCTTTCTCCGCTGTCGCGCGCCTTAACAGTGCCGCGGTACCGTTTCGCAGATCCGACCTTCTCCGCGTACTCGGCACCCCACACATGTGGTGAGGCCTCGACGACCATGCCGACACGAATGCGCTCGTCCGGCGCCGGTGCGCGCGGCGGCTCCGCGGGCGCCGGCGCCGGCGAGACCGCGGGCGCCGGCGCGGGCGGCGGCGTAGATCGGCGGCGCGGCGGCAGCGGCGCCGGCGGCTGCAGCTCCCGGGGCAGCGGCGGCAGCGCGGCCAGCGCCGACGCGAGCGGTGCCTCGCCGGGGAAGTTGAGCGGAATTCTGACGTTCCTTGTCAGCGCCCCCCACTTCGCCCGCGCGGCGTCGTAGGCCCGTGCGGCGTCCTCCTCGACGTCGAAGTCGCCGAGGGGTATCGTGTGCCCTTGCACCATGATCGCCGCTCTCCACTTGCCGCCCTTATAAGGGTCCCAGGTCACGCCTGCGAAGCGACTGGCCTTGTGGTCGGCCTTGGCCGGTGGTCTGCCGCGGCGGGCCAGTGCCGGCGCCGCCTCGGCCGGTGCCGCGACACGCTGCAGTAACGGGGCCGCCGCGACCTCAACGACGGCTGGCGGCGGCGGCGCTAAGGGCGTGGAAGAGACCGCGGTCGGTGCCGCGGCCACGCTGAGGACGTGCTCCATGTGCTGTTTTGGTGCTCTTTCACCATTCCCTTGTTTGCTCTGACCACAGTGAGTTCTGAGGGCGTTGAGTAACGTGTTCCAACCCGGGCCGCTCCGCAAATTAAGCCGGTCCTGCGTCGGCTTCCAGTCGCAGAGGGCGCAGCGCACATTCGTCGTGCCGGAGTCGACGACGAACTGCCGGATGACCCTGCCATCGGTGGTGGAGAATCGATTTTGGAACTCGCGCTGGCCGTAGCGAACACAGATTGAGCCGTCGATCCGGGCCTGGAGCCACTCGGCTGGCCGCTGCGGCCCCCGGGCGCATCGCGAGGCCTCCTCGTCCGTCAGCGTCGCGGGCGCCAGCCACGCTCGTCTCGACTTGACCTCGTAGCCCTCCGTCGAGAGCACGGTGACCCATGCAGTGCCAATCTCCGTCACAATACCGCGAACCGCCTCGCCGTAAGCTACCTCGACGGTCTGCACCTGTGCGCCGACGACGATCCAGTCGTAACCCGCAGCCGGAGGAGGTGGCGGCGGCGGCGGCGCCTGGACCTTCCGCGGGCGGCCTTGCGCCTTCTTCGCCGGGACAACCGCGTCCGACGCAGCTTGCGGCGGCTCCGCATCTAACGCGGCAGCAGCATGCACAGGCGGCGCGCCGCGCGGCCTTTTCGAAGGGCGCCGCGGCTCCGGCGTCTCGCCGTCGTCGGTATCGATGGTCGCTGTGGGCGGCTTCGACGGCTCCGCGGCCATGGCTAGGACGCGCTCGACGTGTCGCTTTACTGCCGGTTTACTCAATGAGCTCGGAGTCTGGCCGCAGTGAGTTTTGAGGGAAGGAAACAATCTTTTCCAAGTGGACAAGTCATTCTGCATTGCCGTGGACGCTCTCTCAGGTGCGGTCCAGTCGCAGAGCGCACACCGCACGTCGCCGTTCGACTCGACTGTAAACATCCGTTGCGGCCTACCGGTTTTTGTCGCGAAGCAGTTCCCAAACTCTCGACCCTCATATACTGCGCAGATAGCGCCATCCATCTGTGCTTGGAGCCACTCGTGGGGCTGTAATCGGAACCGGTCGCAGAGTGCCGCCTCCTCGGCCGTAAGAGTAATTTTCGTCAGATCCTGGCGATGAACCGTCGCTACGTAGCCCGTCTTCGTCGTAACGTCGGTGAAACCGGCACCTCCGCTCTTCGTCACGACCCCCCGCAACCCATTGCTGTGCTGGACGTGCGAGCCGACGGCCACCCAATCGTGTGGTGAAGGAGCCGGCTTTGGTTCGCGCTTGACCGACGGCTTGGGCGCCGGCGTCGTCGACACCAAACCTTCCCAGGGCTCCGGGGGGCCGCGCACCTTCTTCGCCGGAATAACCACGCCGCCGACGCGCCGCGCGGACGACGGCTCCTCGTCGGCAGCTTGCACAGGCGCGCCGACGACGATTGAAGCTGGAGGTGCCGCGGCCGGCTTTCGCGCGCGCTTCTTCGCCTTGGGCTTCTTCACCGGCTCGGGCTTCTCCCGTTCCGCGCCTTCGTCTAGCGTCTGGGCGCAGTACTCGCTCCAGAGGGCGTCGACGTTCTCTATCGTGCAGCGCTCCTGGCAGATTTCCTTCACGAGCGCCTCCGCGGTACCTCCAAGCTCGAAGAACGCCCGCACGGTCTCGGCCCCCGCGTACTTGTCGTACAGCGCGCGCGCGGTCAACTCGCGCGGTCGCGATGAGCTAAATTTGCAGGCGACGTCGCGCTCGCGCAGGAACTCCGCGAAGGCCGTCTCGCGCTGCCACTCCTCGGAGGTTTGCGGTGGTAGCAGCGTGCTCTCGTCGAGCAATTCGTAGGTCTCCAGCTCGTCGGGACGGCCGCCGCCGTAGTCGACGCGGTAGATGGGCGCCGGCCGGCCGGCGGCGTTGAGGAACGGCTCCTTGACGCCGCGCACGGGCAGCCATCCCACGATGCGGCCCTCGCTGCGGGATCGAAGTGACCTCGCGTTGGCGTTGGCCTTGAGCCGCCGCCCGACCCATACGCTTCCGCGTGTGCGTAGCGTCTTTTTCGGCGCCGGCCGAATGCGCTCCTCCGGGACGTCGTCCTCGTCGTCGCCGTCGTCGTACTCGATGCGGTACAGGAAACCTTTCTCGCCGTCGGCGCGCGCGGTCACGACGACGCCGTCGTAGTATGCGTTTTGAGCATGAAAGTCGGCCTGGACGAGGTCGTCGACGGCGAAGCGCTGCGACGCGGCGACGGCTTGCGGCCGCACGTTCTGTGGTTGCGGCGGCGGCAGCGCAGGAGCCGCCGGCGCCGGCGCGGGCGTAGTGGAGGCCTCGGCGGTCGCCGGCGCGCCCACGGACTGGACGAGGCGGTCGAGGTGCTTCTGCGCGCCACAGTGCTTCTTGAGAGAATTCAAGAGAATCTTCGAGTCGGTCTCCAAAGACCACGACCGCGCATCACCACAGAGGACGCACCGGACATGAGTAGCCGTGACCTCGAATTGACGCCGCTCCGTGCCATCCGCGCACGTGTAACAGTTCTTGAATTCGGAGCCGCCGTGGCTGAACCGTATCGCGCCGTCGATCCGCGCTTGCATGTAGTCCTTACGCGAGGCCGGGCGGACGCACAGCGCGGCCTCCTCGTCGGTTAGCGTCGCTTGCGTCAATTGCGTGGATTTTATCATCACCACGTAGCCTGCCGTCGTCGTCACTTCCTTAGAGCCCTTCTTTTTTAGGCAATCAGTTACGACGCCGCGCACCGTCGCATCGTCGACGTCCTGTACTTGTGCGCCGACGATGCGCCAATCGCCGGCCGGCACAGCAACACGCTGCAGTAACGGGGCCGCCGCGTCCTCAACAGCGACTGACGGCGGCGGCGGCGGCGCAGAAGCCGCAGGTGGTAGCGCCATGGCCGATGGCGGCAGCGCAGGAGCAGCTGGTGGGGGCGCGGCGGACGCCGGACGGAGCAGCTCCTGGACCCGCGAGCGCAGCCGCGCGTAGTAACCCTCCGGCGGGCTTGGGAAGTCTGCCGGGCTACCTTGGCTCCCCCCAAACGAAAAGTCGTCGATCCGCGGCGCCTCGAAGAGCGGCGTCGTTTTCGCGGCCAGATGTTTCAAGATATCGGGCTTGGACCGCAGAGTCTCGTTGCCGACGAGCTGGCCCGGGGCGTGGAAGAAGACGTCGCACTTGTGGCCGCCGAGTCCAGGCTCTGGTGCAGCCTTGCGAAATCTCAATTGGCGGTGCCAGCCGCGCGCGGGCACGTTGTTGCGCGCCAGGCCGTCGTCGGCCGCGAGCGCGTCCCACGCGTCGGGTGTCAGCGTCGAGCGCCACGAGCGCACGGCCTCCGCGCCACCGAGGGGTTCAAATGACTTGTAATTCAGCGGCCCTCTGTTGGCCGGCGAGCCCTTCGGCGCGCGGCCCTTGGGCGCGCCGCGCGGCTCCTTCGCCGGGACTCCGCCGTCCCAGTCGGGGTCGCCCTCGCCGTCCGAATCGGCGACGGACTCGTCGATCTCGGACTCGCTCTCGGCGCCGACGGCCGGCGGCGCCGCGGCCGGCCGCGACACGACGGCCGGCGACGCCGCCGTCAACGCTGGAGCCGCCGGCCGAAGCTGCTCGACGACCTTCGCACTCAGTCGCGAGTAGTAACCCGGCGGCGGGCTCGGGAAGTCGCCCGCGACGTCATTATCGAACGAAAAGGCGTCGAGCGGCGGCGACTCGAAGAGCGGCGTCGCGTCCGCGGCCAGGTAGCGCTCGACGTCGCTTCGGGACCGCAGGGCATCCGATGCCTTGAACTGGCCCGGGTGGTGGAAGCAGATGTCCGGTGCCTTCTTCGGCCTTTCGGCGGCGCGGCGCGCGGCTTCGTCGCCGTCCGCGTCGCGGTCGGCCGTGGTCCGGTAGGCGCCGCCGGCTTGCGCGAGGGCGAGGCAGCCTTCTAAATACGCCATGAGTCCTGGTCTTGAAGTCATAAGGTCCTGTCGGTTGCTGCCGGAGTAGCCCTTGCCGACGATGTCGTAGTAGCAGGGGAACTCCTGCGGCATCGAAACTTGGAATTCGGTTCGCCCCTGGGCTGGCTCGCCGCAGCGGAAGCCGCTGCTCTGCAGCGCCCCGCGTAGACCAGTGAGGCCGCCCTTCTCCTTGCCGGCGAGCTCCAGCAGGTCCGTGCAGGCGGCGACCCAGGCCGACGCCGTCGACGCGACGCGCGGCTTCGGCGCGGGCGGCAGCGGTGCGGCCGCGGGCGCCGCTCCTTTCACCTCGCGGTGCCAGCCGCGCGCGGGCACGTTGTTGAGCGTCAGGCCGTCCGCGGCCGCGAGCGCGTCCCACGCGTCGGGCGCCAGCGTCGAGCGCCACGCGCGCACGGCGTCCGCGCCCTCGCCGGACAGCCACGTCGCAGGACCCGTGGGCGCGTCGCGCTTCGTCGCCGGCGTCGAGCGCCGCCGCGGCTGGAGGGCGCCCTCCTCGGCCGCCTTGTCGCGCTCGGCGCGCTCGTCGGCGAGGCGCTTGAGCTCGGCCTCGTGCAGCGCCCAGGGCGCGAGCTGGCGGAACGTGACGCCGATGCGGCCCTGCGCTTCGGTCTGGTCGGTGTCGATGCCGTGCGTCCAGCAGCACGGGCAGCCCTTGTGGTTCCCCTGGGCCTGGACGTTCGGCTCGTCCTTGAGGTGGCAGTTGGCGCGCGCCGGCCCGGACATGAGGTAGATCGAGCGCGGCAGCAGCCGGATCTCGGAGCGCTGCATGCCGTCCTTCGGGCCGCGGCTCGCAGCGCGGATCTGGACGAGCTTGACGGATGCGCGCAGCGACATCGTCGCGATCGAGAGGAAGCGCGACCGCGAGTCGAAGTGCTGCGCCATGCCGGACCTGCGCGCCGATAAAGGTGAGCGCGAGTCGTCGGTCGACGGCCGGTCGAGGCGTGGTGATTAGGACGCCGCGCGAGACTGCGGCCGCGGCTGGTACGTCGTGAGCTGGATGGCCTCGGGGTCCTCGAAATTCTCCGCGAGGTCGTCCGTGAGGGCCGTGGCGCGCGCCCGCACGCCGTCGCCGCCGCCCGAGCGCGCGTCGTTGGCGGACGCTTTGTCGCAGGGCTCGCCGATCGGCTCGGCCGCGTCGCCCTCGCCGTCCTCCGCGTAGCGCACGCGCGGGTCCTCGTTCACGACGAGGTCCATGATTTTGCGGATGCGAGCGGCGTAGAGCCGCAGCACGGTCTCGGCGATCGTCGTATTCACGCCTGCGTCGAGAGTGCCGGTGATTAATACTTCGCGTCGACGAATCGCGGACGAGCGGTCGACTTCGACGCCGCGGCGCGCCGTCGAACTCCATGACGTAGGTCGTCTTGTCGCGCTGGTCGCCCTCGGTCTTGTACGAGCATTTTTGGCGCGTCAAGTCCCAGCGGTCGACCGTGAGCCGCTGTGAGAGGTTGCCCGAGAAGCTGTCGGTCGCGTCGCCCGCGTACTCGCGCGCGAAGCCCTTGTCGAAGCCCCGGTCGTACCCTGCGCGGGAAGCGAGCGTGACGTCCTACTACGAGCGGCACAGATCCTCCACGCCGTCAAAGGAGCTTAGAGGACGCCGGGCGCCGACAGCCGAGGAGCGCCTCGTGCTCGTTCGGCGAGATGGCGTTGTCGACGAGCATGCGTCCGACGACGCCGCCCGCGTCCAGCGACACGTGCACGGTCTGCGGGTGCGCCTCGACGGTCTCGCGCGACGGCACGCGCCGCCGGTACACGACGATGTGCTTGATGTCGCGCATGCGCTCCTCGGCGAGCTGGTTCAACGTCTCCGTCGAAAAGGCGTCCTCGACCTTCTCGGGCGCCGGCGGCTCGTTGGCCCGGCTGCGGCGCCGCGACATGGTCTATTTTTTTGCTTCCTTCCGCCGCGGCGCTCGAGTTTCGCCCGCGGGTCCGGTTTTTTTACGTGTTGGCGCGCGTTTGTTTTTTTTGGCTGTCCGCGGAGCTTTCTGACAGCGCTCGCTGCCGCCTCGCAGCGCTCTGCGCGCGTTTCGCGCGTGCAGGGGTTTTCCGGTTCAGAGAGAGCCCTCGGCGCGTTTCGCTCCCGATGCTAGTCTAATCGCTGCAAGGGGCTGGAAAAAGTGTTTTAGCCTTCTTCTCAGCGCCCTCACGCTCAATTCCTGCACGTGCGAGGAGGCGCGATTCGGTGCCGAGCACTGTGCCTTGCTAGTGTCTTACGGGCCGCTAGCAACGAGATACGAACGATACGGAACGAGAGATACGAACGACACGATGGAACTAAGTTTACAAGGGGCCCTAGTGGCCAGACGTCGCCGCCGCGTCCGTCATCTTCACGCCGGAGAACGTGCCCTCCTCGCGCTCCTCGTCCCACTTGTTCCACCAGTCGTCGGGGCAGATGGAGAGGGCCAGCTGGCGCATGGGCTTGCAGGCGTCCTCGTCGGACTCCGTCTTCTTGAGGCACATGACGTACTCGTTGTAGCGGTTCCAGCAGTGGCTCGCCTGGTTCGTGCTGGGAAAACGCTTGTCGTAGGGCGTCGTCTTGATGTGCGGGATAAGGCCGCTCATCTTTTTTGAGGGGCGCTGCTCTCTCTTCTCTTCTGCTCTCTCCGGGCGGCCTGCGGCGGGGCGGGCGTCGCGGTCGGGTCCGAGTCGTTTTCCTTCCTGTACTCTTGGGGCGGCGTTTCGTCTCGCTAATCGTTCGCTGTGTGTCGCGACCGGTACGTGCTACGGCAGCGTCGCGCTGGGGAGCCGCGCCGTGCGCCGCGGCGGCGAATTGGTGCCTCGCTTGCGGTATGTCCAATCGGTGTAGCAGCGGCGCTACCCACGGCGTCGCGCAAATTTGCAGCCAGCAGTCTCGCTATAATTAAGAGCTGTGATAATCGACTCCGCTTCGCACGCAGGCCTCTCTCTCCGCTCCTCCTGCTTGGACCAAAAACGCGAGCAGCCTAGTGTTGTAGACACACTAGCCCCGGGTTTTTGCGTGGACTTAGTCGGGTCCACTGGTCCTAACACCGTAACAGATGAAGTGGGGCTCTGAACCAGCGTGGATTGAGCCGCCGTCACGCCATCGACGCGCGCATATACATATCAATAACTTACTAACAAACTACGGCGCCGGCGGCGGGGCACCCTTCTTCTTCTCCGGCGGCGAGGAGCCGCTCTTCTTCTTTCGCTTCTTCTTCTTCTCGTACACGGCGGCGATCTTCCGCTGCTTGTCCGTCGCGCCGAGGCGCGGGTCGACGTCGGCGAGCCAGTTCGCCTTGTCGTTCCGCTGTTTGCTGCGGTTCTTGGCGTCGAGCTTACTAGCGCTTTCCTTGTTTTGGGGCGTGCGTTCGACGAGGCGCTCGGGCGACCCGTGGTGCGCGAAGGAGCCGAGGCGCGTGTTTTCACCTGCAGTATTGTTGCGGTTCCGGAGCTTCGCGTCGAGGGCCTGGGCGCCCTTTGTGGGCGGCGAGGCCCGCGGCCCGCGCACCGCGTCCGTCGTCCGGAGCTCGGGGTGTGCGTCCGGGCACGACGGGTCGGGCGAGACCTTGCGGAGGTCGTCCTGGCTGCCCCGGCGTTCTCTAGCTTTGCCGCTCGAGTACTTGTCGAGGATCTCGGAAGATTGAGGATTGTAAATGCCTTGTTTCGCGCGGCGCTGCGCGACCATGCCCGTGACCTTAACGGTCTTGTGCCAGTCCACGCTAAAGTCGCGATGCGCCTCGGCGTCCTTCTTGTACTCCTTGGCGTCGCTCTTCTCGACGGCTTTCATGAACGCGTGGAACGCGCCTTCGTGTAGATGCGCCTTCATCAAATCATGGATTCTCAAATTCATGCCGTTCACTTTCACGCGCTCGTGGGACCGCCGGTCCCACCACGCCCCACCCAGTATTCTCTCCCTAAGAGTCTGCTGCATCGAGAACGCGGGTTGTAATAACGCCGGGTGGCTTTTGACGAACGCCGCAAAGGTCTCGACGTCCACTTCCTCCGTATCATGGCGCTTATTCAACTCATTGATATGTCTCAGCAAATTCAGCGCGATCTGGTTCTTCGCGTAGCGCCGCCCGTACCTGTGTGGAAATCGAATTTCGGGCGCCCCACGCCATCGACGCGATGTTGTCTCCGAAGCTGCGTCTGCTCGATGGCGTGGAGCTTCCACGCCATCGACGAACGTAACTCACTGGTTGATTTCCACACAGGCCCGTACAGCTCCTTGAGCATCGTATTGAACTCCTCGAAGTCGATGGCTCCGCTCGAATCCCGATCGTACAGGTCAAAGGCGAACATGATGAGCTGCGCCCTTCCTAATGTACAGTACTGCCACAGCGCCACGACGAACTCCTTGAAATCTATTTCGTTACTACCATCCACATCGAAGATCGCGAAGACCCTTTTCGCGAATCTGTTCCTCTTCAGATCGAGATGGTCGAGCATCTCCCAGAGCTCTATCGTGCCGGATCCATCCTTGTCGATCTTCAAGAACTGCTCGTGGAGTCGTGCCACGTCGTCCTCCTTCAACCCTAAGCTCTCGAAGGTCGGCCGTAACGGTGCAATAGTTTTATTCCATTTCTTATCATTGTAAATGCGCTTGGAGTAGCCGTACGCGCAGCGCTTGTCGCGGTACCACCAGACCCATTTGGCCGGGAGGAGCCGGGCCATGCCGTACTAGTATGACCCTGCGGAGGTCCGCGGAGTGGTTACTTGTGGTGGAGCCGCCGGAGCGGCGCGCCTTCGTGCTCTATGTGCTGCTGCTACTCTATGTGCTGGTGATGCGGGCAGCCCCGGCGGCGCGGAGGCCGGGCATCCGCTCGCGCGTGAACGTGCAGATACGTGTCGAGTCAGGGGCAGCCGTGCTTGCTGGAATCGCTTGGCCAGACCGCTCAGGAGGCTTGTCTCAAGCACTGGCTCTCTGTGCCTCATCCTGTCGGAGCGGTCGCGGTCGAACCTGGGAGTGATGGAGAGTCGTATGATAAAGCTCGCGTGGAAATTCATGCATATTCACGCTTTCGAGCGACTGATCCTTGATTTCTAGTGTCTTACATGCCGCTAGCTGCATCGGCATTATTTAGTTGCGTCGAGCGGAGCAACAGCGTCGAGCGCGTACCGCTGGACAGGCGCTGGCAGCGCTATTGACCCCTGCGAACGTGTAAAGACGAAACTGCGCCCGACGAGGGCGCCGCAGTAGCTCCCTGCATTCACACACTGTTGAGCACCGCACGCGTCGCCGCGAAGCGCAAACAAGCAATGAGCTACCTCCTCCCCCACCTGCGGACGGGCTGGGCCGTCGACCAGGCCATCCTGAACGAGGAGGACCGAGTTGTGGTGGTCCGGTTCGGCCACGACTACGACCCCGTGTGTATGCAGATGGATGAAGCACTCAGTAAGATAGCGGACAAGGTCAAGAACTTCTGTGTCGTTTATTTGGTGGACATCACGGAGGTGCCGGACTTCAACACGATGTACGAATTATATGATCCTTGTACCGTGATGACGTTTTTCCGCAACAAGCACATCATGATCGACCTGGGCACGGGCAACAACAACAAGATCAACTGGGCCCTGACGAACACGCAGGAGCTGATTGATCTCATCGAGACCGTGTATAGAGGTGCTCGGAAGGGGAGAGGATTGGTGGTCTCGCCGAAGGACTACTCGACGAAGTACCGGTACTAAGTATGTTTCAAGTGTAATCGGCCCCAGTCTGGGTCAAAGTCTTATCACAAACACGCGGCGACGGCGCGGACATCAGACGCCCATGGTCCCCTGCGTCTCCGCCGCCACATCGACGGACGAGTGCTGGCAGACAAGCTCGTACGTCGCGTCGACGGCCTCCCTCCTGTCGTGGGAGTGGTCGCCCTGCATCCCGATGTACTGTAAAGACGTCTCGTCGCCCTCGCCGTGGTTGCCCGGGAAGAAGAAGGCCAGGGACGTGACGTTCGTGAACGCGCCCGGAGGGTGCACGTGCACAAAAGCCTCTCCCTGCTGATTTACTGGTAGGGCCGTCTCGAAGGTCGGTCTAACATCTTCAAGCGACTGGAAGTCCAGGTCTTCCTTCCCGACGTAGACCTTGACCCTCGAAGGATGCGTGTCGGGGTCGCCCTGGCCGATGACCATCAGCCTTCTCAGGGACACTGGTGCCAGAAACGTGATCTTGACGAGCAGCTCCTCGTCGCCGTCCGACACGAGGGACCCCTCCGTCTCGAGGCGCCGCACGAAGGGCCTTAATACAGATTTGGCGTCCCCTTCGGCATTTAAAGCTTCGGCCCTATCGACGTGTTGATATAAATTCCAGTTGTCGTCGGGATATTCTTCATTATGGCTGTGCGAGCCTCCGACTGCTCCACCTCCATGTCCGCCTTTGCCCATGTCTGAGAGAGTCTCTGTTGGTGGTCGCGACGGCGTGCCGCGGTGAAAAAACGCTGCGTACGATCGCTGCTCGATACGGGTCCACCGATGTGGCGGTTTGCACGGCTACAAAGCGTCAGGACGACGCGCGGCGGCCCGGGCCCCGCTGCTTCCTAGTGTGTTACATGCCGCTAGCTCGCGTTGCCAGCGCTGCAGCGTGTTTTGTGGCTTTACAGTACCGCTTAACGGCCCAAATAATTACCAGAACTCCTGCGACAATTGCGCTTGCACGGCAAGACGCCTAAGGCAGACCTGACGCACTGCAGCCCTCTGCAGCATGCACCACCTCCGACGCCAGGCGCCGCGAGCCCTGCGCACAATCACGCGCCGCCTCGCAAGCGCAAGAGCCGAGCCCCAGTTTCTCCACCTGGCGCCGTCCGGCGACTTCTGGCTCGGTAGTAAGATCTACGCCGCGAAGCACAACCCGTCGGACTACGTCAGATCCTTACCCCTACCGGTGGGGCAGATAATTCCGGACGACTGCCCGCACGAAGCGTTGATAAAAATGTACGATGCGAAGGAAGTGGACGCCGAGCAGTTGCGGCCGGCCTGGTCCGCCGGCGACCCGACCGCGGCAGTAGTGCCACCTGGTTTATGTCAGCTCACCGATGAGTTCACAGACTGTATGCTGGAGGAGCGTACTTGGGTCACCGACGATTCCTTCGTCGTGCGCTTCGGTCTACCCGATGCGACGAAGCCCCTGAACCTGAGCACCTGCGCGTGCATCTTAGCAGGACATAAGGACGACGTAAGGCCCTACACGCCCATTTCCACGAACGCTTTAACAGGAAGCTTCGAGTTGTTGGTAAAAGCATATCCGAATGGTGCCCTAAGCCAGCGCCTGGCGACGATGGAAGTCGACGAAGCCATGCCCTTCAAACATATAAAATTTAATGTCAAAACCCAATACCCCTTCTCCGCGAAGAAGGTCGGCATGCTCGCTGGCGGGACCGGCATCACACCCATGCTCCAGGCCTTGCACGCGATGCTAGGGTCACCGGACGATGAGACGGAAGTCAGTTTGGTCTACGGCTCCAAGACTTCCGAGGGAATACTAGCTCGCGATGTATTACATGAGTGGGAGGCCGAGAATTTTTGGAGGTTCAAAGTCAGTCATGTGTTAGGCGGTGTTATCGGCGAGGATCATGTGAAAAGGCACATGCCACCACCGGAGGAGGACTGCGTGCTCTTCGTCTGCGGCCCGGACCTCATGTACAACGCTTTGTGTGGCCCTCGAGGCGACCCCGAGGTGACGGGCCTGCTGAAGAAGCTGGGTTATGCGAAGAGCCAGGTCTATAAGTTCTAGTTGTGTGAATTCGTCGCTATTTGTTACCGTCCGTCCAAGGCCCCGAGCTCGTGCGGCCTGCGCGCGCCGACGACGGAGCGGACCGTCGCGTCCATGGCGTGGAGCCCGACGAACGTTGTCGCCTTCGCGCCTCGGCGGCGTATGCCCCGTACCGTTAACGGTACGGGGCACACACTCTAGAGACACAGGCCCTAGTGAGTTTTGCGTCATGCTTCTTTAAACATGAATTTCATATCGTGCACATTGGACACGTTCCAGTTGTCGAGCGGCTGGTTGAAGGACGTTGCGTTACAAAACATAAGTCTCATATTCGTGACACGTTCCAATCATTGAACGGTTGGTTGAGGGAGGTTGCGTTTTTAAACATAGCACTCATATCCGTCACATTGGACACGTTCCGTGAGGTACTAGAGCCGGCCGCAGGGACCTTTGCTGGGCGCCCCGCTAGACGGGTTTTAGCCCCCCACCCCGCACGAAACGCGCGAGAGCTTTTCGTGCTGGGAGGGGGGGCTAAATACCCGCAGCAGCGCGCGCGCGGCGGAGAGTATTGCGGCCTTGTCCGCCCCCAGGGAAGCGGAATCTTATTGCGGGGCAGCCCCCGCCGCCCTCTCCTAAAGCTCATGCTGCGGGAGCTGTTGTAATGGCGCTGCGCGACACGCGGTCGCTCTACCCGGGCTGCGAAGTCGCCTGCGTCTCGCTGGGCGCCGCGACGCTGCGCCCGGGCGCGGCGGCGGAGCTGCTGCGGGCGGCCTCGGACCTAGGCGTGCGCCTCGCGGACACGGCGGACTCCTACGGCGCCTCGGAGGCGCTCCTCGGCGCGCACGGCCAGTCGCTCCACGTGGCCTCCAAGTTCGGCGGCGACTTCTCCGCGTCGCGGTGCACGGCGGCGGCGGCCGAGGCCGTCGCGCGGCTGCGGCGGCGGCGCATCGCGCTCTACCAGCTCCACTCGCCGCCCGACGACTTCGCCTACGACGTGGCGCTCGTCGAGACGCTCGGGCGCCTCGTCGCGGGCGGCGTCGTCGGCGCGTGGGGCGCGTCGGTCGAGAGCTACGCGGCGGGCGCGGCCGCGGTCGCCGCAGGCGCGCGCTGCCTCCAGGCGCCGTTCAACGCCCTGGACCAGTCGCTCGCGCCGCTCCTCGCCGCCTGCGCGGCGCGCGGCGTCGGCGTGCTCGCGAGGTCCGCGCTCGCGCGCGGCTGGCTCACGGCGCGCGGCGTCGCGGCCGCTCGCCTCGGTCTCCTCCACGAATCCGCGCCGCGCCGGCGGGCGCTCTTCGAGCGCGTCGTCGCGGTCGCGGCCGTCGCCGAGGGCTGCGGCGTGCGCGTCGAACACCTCGCGCTGCGCTTTGCCGCGCACGCGACGGGCGTGACCTCGGCGCTCGTCCAGGCGCACGACGCACGGGGCCTCGCGGACCTCGTCGCCGGCGCCGGTCTCGACGAGCCGCTGCCGGAGTCGGCGCGCGCGGCGCTCGTTGCGTTGGGAACGTCGCCGGGCGACCGCGCCCACGGCGGCGCCGCGCGCGTCTGGGACTGGGCGGGGCCGACGCCACGCGACGTGCTCGAGGAGCTGCACGCGACGGAGGCCCTCCGGAGCGCGGGCGGCGCGGCGCGGCGTCCGCCTCGTCGTCTTCCATGGTATTTCGCGCACGTATCGTTCGCGAACGACGCGGCACGCAGGCTTCTACGACGCGGGCGGCCGCTACGCGCCGCACGAGGCCAGATGGCGCCGGGACTTCGCGACGCGCGGCGTCGCGGGGCCCTTCCGTGGCGCATTCCCGCGGGACGTGGCGAGCGCGCTTGCAGCGGGCGCGGTCGCCGAGCCGGGCCGACCGCAGGCGTCGTACTTCCACCGCGACGTCGCCGCGCCGCTCGCCGCCGGCGCGTTCCCGGGCGACCTGGAGGCGGCGCTCGCCGCCATCCTCGACGACGCGACCTGCTGCCGCCGCGCGACGCCGCCGTTTGCCGTCGACAGCTTCGCGGACGCGTGGCCGCGTCGGTCCGGGAGAGCGGAGAAGGCCTTCGCCGCAAACGTCGTCGCGCACGCCCGCGCGACGCCGGGCGTCGCGGCGTGGCGCTGCCCGAGCGGCCGCGAGGCGGTCGCGACGGGCCTCTCGCCCTGGGGCCTCGGCGTCGCCAACGGCCACCACGTCGACCACGGCCCGCACGGCGCCGCCTGGGACTTTGCGCTCGAGGATCAGCTGCTAGCGCCCTGGTGCGTCGTTTATGTCCTCCTGACGGACGTGGCGCGGGACCAGGGCCCGACGGTCGCGTGGCCCGGATCCCAGCGGGTGATGGCGAACATCCTCGCGGGCCTCGGCCCGTGGCGCCGGGTCCTCCTGGACACGCCGCGCATGTACGCGCTCTGTGCGGCGGCGGATTCGTACTTCGGCGACGCCGACGCGACGACGCTCGTCGGCGCCGCGGGCGACGCGTTCCTCGTCCACCCGCTGCTGCTCCACACCGCCTCCGCATCGACGCGCCGGGCGCCACGTGCGATCCTGAACTTGCCGTACCCGGCGCGGCCGCGCCGAACAGCGAAGGGATCGCTTTCCGCGCTCGACCTTCCGATCCGCGACGCGTTGCGGGGGGGCGGCTGCTGCGGGCCGCTCGTCGTCCCGCTCGTCGCGTGGACCGCGGCCTTCGGCGCGCTCCACCAGCGGTGCCGCGCGCGCTTCCCGCGCCTCGCGTGGCTCCTCTACTGGCCCGCCGCGCTCGGCTTCGCGCTCCTCTGCCGCTGCGCCGCGCCCGCCGCGCGCCAGGCGCCGCGGCCGCGCCGCGCTTGGGGATGGCTCGGACGCCGCGGGCGCCGGCCCTCGCCCGCGCCCGACGCGGAGGTCGGCGGCAGCGGCTATGACGATGATACGCCGCTCCTCCAGCGCGGCGGCGGGGACCCGTAGATTCGACTGTGTCTGTTTTCTCGGCCCGCGGGCCCTCGAAAACCCGTTTAGAGCTTGGGGGAAACCCGCTTGGCTCAGGCTAGTTACGTCGTAGGGTCCCCCGTACCCCTCCCGCTCCCCCCGGGCGGCCGGGCCCACCCGTCCGGCTGGACTAGGACGCAAGGGCTGAGTCGCAGGGACTCGCACGCCCCCCCCCTCTTCGGGACGCCCCCCATCAGGATGTGGAACTGGCCGCTGGCTCCTCTTTTACGACGGGGCCGAAAATGCTTGACTGCTAGTGTCTTACAGGCCGCTAGCGCGATCGGGGCTTCCAGGGCTCCCGCGCGTTTAGGCAAGCAAGCATCGTGGCTCGAGCGCGGGGCAGCCTCGTGATGGCAGAGGCGCCAGCGCCCGGGCGGCTCGCCTGCACACGCCGCCTTTTGCGTCGCGCGGGCGACGCGGTGGCGGCCGTCTCGCTGGGTGGGGCCACGCTGGGGGACGGAGAGGGCGCCCGCATTCTCGAGGCCGCTTGCCGCGCGGGCGTCGCGCTCGTCGACACATCTGACGCGTACGGCCACTCGGAGTTCGTCGTCGGCCTGGCGTCTTGCGGCGTCGCCGTGGCGACGAAGTACGGCAACCCGTGCGCGCGGAACGGATACGAGCACGACTGGTCCGTCGCGGCGGGCCGCGCGGCGCTGGATGCGAGCCGCGCCGCGCTCCGCGGCAAGCGGCTCGCGCTCTACCAGCTGCACTCGCCGCCCGCGGACGCCGTCACGCCGGCCGTGGCGCAGGTCCTCGAGGCCGCGGTCACTGCCGGGGAAATCGGCGGCTGGGGCGCGAGCGTGCACTCGTTCGAGTGCGGCCGCCGCTGCGTGGCGCTGGGCTGCGACGCACTCCAGGTGCCGTTCAACGTGCTCCAGCAGGAGCACGCCGCGCTCATCGACGGCTGCCGCAGCGCCGGCGTGGGCGTGTTGGCCCAGTCGGTCCTCGCCCAGGGCTGGCTCACGACGCAGGGCGTCGGCGTCGCGCGCGCGCTGCTCGCGGGCCGGGCCGACCTGCTACCGCGCGAGGTCGGGGCGGGCGGCGACGGCCGCGCGCGCGTGCCGTTCCGCGAGCTGCTGCGCCGCGTCGCCGCGTTCGGCGGCATCGCCGACGCCTGCGGCTCGCGGCCGCAGGACGTCGCGATACGCTTCGCCGCGCACGCGCCGGGTATCGCCTCGGCGTTAGTCCAGGTCACGTCGCACCGCCAGCTCCGCGACTTGTTGAGGTCGCCGGAAGACCTCGACCGACCGCTCGACGACGCGACCGTCTCGGCTCTCGTCGCGCTGCGGGGCGTCGACGTCTGGACCTGGGGCGCGCCAACGCCACGCGCGGCCCTGCGCTGGGCGCTGCGGCGCCGGCTCCACCCGTCGACGGGCGCATTGCTCGCGTCCGCCTATGCCGACCCGGCGGCCGCTGACGTGGCGCGGCGCCTCGCCAACGACGGCTTCGCCAAGCTGTCCGGCGCCTTCGACGCGCCGGTCCTTAGAGCGGCGCTGGTGGGCGCCGCGGCCGCGCGCGACGCGGGCGCCTACGGTCGGTCGCGCGAGGTGGTGCCCTTCGGCGCCGCCGAGCGCGCCGCGGGCGCGGCGCTCGCGGGAGCCGTCGCCGCGGCGATCGACGCGCCGCTGTTCGCCGCACCGCTCGCCGCGCTCTCGCTGCCGGACGCGCCGCCGGGCGCCTTTGGCGCGTGGGTGACGACGCACCGCCGCGGGACGGCCGGGACCTGGGCGCCGCCGTCCCCGCTCGACCCGGCCGCGACGCTGCCGGGAGAGTTCGCGGCGACGTGGCACATCGACCACGGAAACGGCCGCCGCGGCGCGGCGCCGCACGCCTTCGAGCTCGAGGACTACCTCGCGAGCGCCCACGTCGTCGTGCTCGTCCTCCTGACGGACGTGCGTCCCGATGCCGGGCCGACGCTGCTCCTCCGGGGGAGCCACCGCGCGATGGGGAAGGCGCTCGCGGCGGCGCCCCGGGGCCTCGACGTCCGCGGCATGCACGCTCTCTGCGCCGCATGCCGCGCGGCGGCGCCCGCCGCGGACGTCGTCGCCGCCACGGGGCGCGCCGGCGACGTCTACGTGCTGCATCCGCTGATGGTGCACAGCGCGAGCGTCGCCGTCGAGGGCAGTCCAATGCGGTGCATCGTGAACGCGCCGCAGCCCTGGGCGCGGGACGAGCGCGGGGCGGTCGTGCCGGCGCGCGCAGGCGTGCGGTCGCCGGTCGCCGCGACGATGCCGCGCGCCGCGACGGAGAACGCGGCCGTTCGCGGCTTGATCCACCTCGTCCTGCGCGCGGGCGGCGCGTTCAATGCGCGCCTGCGCGCCCACGCGCGCATCGCGCGCCTCCTGGCGTACCTTCTGGCGGGCGCCACCTTTTGGCTATTCGACCTCGCGTCCGGGGCCGTGCGCGACGCAGACGCGTCTCTCGCCGACGTCGCGCCGCGCGCCGCGTGTCCGCGGTGGTCGCCGTGGCCGTGGCCGTGGCCGCGGAGGTATCGCGGCCGCCACGAAGACGAGGCCCGGCTGCTCGGCGGCGACGCGGCGGTGTAACAAATATGTGTATGTACTACATGACAACAGTCTAGCGACCTACAGCACCCACTCTCCCAGCAGGACGATGAACGCGAGCATTCCTGCGACGCTCGCGACGTCGGTGACGACGTCGGCCCGCCCGCGGGGTTTCTGCGCGCGCGCGCCCAGCGTGTAGTCGAATGCCCTGCCGAAGAAGAGGTAGCGCCCGTCGAAGCCGGACGCGACGAAGGTCGGCACGAGCGCTGCGGCGCCCGCGAAGTCGCCGCAGTCACTCGCCAGGACAAGAATCGCGCGCAGAAGTCCGTGGACGACAAACCGATCCCAGGCTCCCGCGCAGCCAACGCCGCCGCCCATTTCGACGCGCTCCGCGGGCGGCAGATGGCTGTTGAGGCGCTCGTTTTCGACCGCGTTGCGATGCTGGCGGACGGCTAACGCCGAGAACCGTCCCAGGAGGATCGCGAGGGCGTATGCGGGCGCCCGGCGCGGCGCGCGCGCGAGGCCATACGCCAGCGCGCCGGCCGTCCACTCGACGGCGTTGGGAAGGCGCCGCTTGACGTGGCGCGGGTGCGCGACCGCAAGGAGCGCGGTGGCGCGGCCCCAGCGGCACGCGCGCGCGAGCTGTCCGCGCCAGGGCCACAGGTCGTGCGCCGCGACCGCGCCCGGCGCCGCCCGGAGGCGCAGGCCCGCGGCCCGCGCGCGCGCCGCGAGCTCGACGTCCTCGGCGCCGCCGTTGCGCGGGCACCGCTCGTCGAAGCGCGCCGCGACCGCCGCGAGCGGCGCTTCGACGTCGTCGTCGTTGCCCCCGGGCCAGACGCGCCGCACCATCAGGTTCGCCGTCGGTGCCCAGGGCGGCCCGCCCGGGTCGTCGGCCCACGTCGCCGCGTTGTCGAAGTTCACGACCATGCCCAGCGAGCGCGCCGCGCGCGAAAACCGGTCGCCGGCGTCGCGGAAGACCGTGAGGCCCGCGAGGCCGACGCACGCCGCGTCGCCTCCGGCCGCGTGCGCCGCGTCCGCGTAGCGGTAGAGGAGGTCCGGCGCCGGTTCCACGTCGTCGTCGAGCAGCACGCACCACTCCGCACGCGACGCCTCGAGGCCGACGTTCCGCGCGGCGGCGGCGCCGGCCGTACCGCGGTGGCGCGCCGCCGCGGATTCGCAGGGCCGCCGCGCGGGCCGCGCGCGGCCGGCCGTCGAAAGCACGCGGACGTAGAGGCCGCCGCCGCCGCGCGCCGCGCGCGCCGCCGCGAGCGCCGCGCGCAGCCGCTCGGCACGGTCGCCCTCGCGGCTCTGCTCGGCGGGCTCGTCGACGACGACGAGGAGCGTGAGGCCCGGCAGGCACGCGGGCGCAGCAAGCGCCGCGACGCGGGCGACGGCGACCGCGTCGAGGCGCACGGTTGGCACGACGACGTCGATGCGCGCGCGCCAGTCCGCGGGGCGAACCGTATCACCCGTCGCGCGCTCGACCCACCGCTTGGCGTTGAGCGCCGCGGTCCCGCCGAGCGCGCGCGCCGCGAAGGCGCGGTCCGCGGCCGTCGGCAGGAGCAGGCACGCCGCGCCGTGCGCCGTGCGGTCCGCGGCCGTCGCGTCCGGGCCGAGCGTCACCGCCGCGAGCACGTGGGACCGGACGACGGCCGGATTGTCGTTGGCGGCGCGCAGGGTGCGGCCGCGCGGTGCGCGCCCGCCGAGCGCCAGGCCGGCCGCCCCGGCGACGAGATCTAGGAACGCCTCGTCGTCCGCGGGGTCCCGAAGCGTGACGCGGTCCGGCGGCAGCGTTTCGAGCACCGCGCGATGCCACGCGGCGCGGCTCCGTGCGACCGCCGCCGTCGCGTCGACAGGCTCGTCGCCGACCCGCCGCCGCCGCGCGGCGACCCACGCGTCGCACGGCACGGCTGCGACCGCCCAGAGCACGTCGCGCCGCCGCGCCGCCGCGGCCAGCGCGCCGATCGTGCCGGCCGTCGCGTCCTCGCTGCGCAGGCCGCCGCGCCCTAGCACGCCATCTATGTAGGCGCGGCTGGCGGGTAGCTCGTGGTCGTCGTCAAACCGCAGGTGCGCCACGACGCGAATGGCTTGTGTGTTGCTCTCCATGGTTCATCTTAGGGCTGCCCCATGCCGTTTGCGGTGCCGTGTGGCATCGTAAGGCACCGCGCGCGCGCGCCGCAGCGCCCCTAGCGTCGTGAAAGGCACTAGCCAAAAAGGCAAAAGCCAAGAAGGCAGGCAGCCCCGCAGAGCCCAGCGGCCAGGCCCGAGGGGCGAGAGAGAGGTCTGAGACGGAGCCAGTTTCAGCCTTACGGGCTCGTTGGGCTAGGGGGCGAGAGAGAGAGAGAGAGAGAGTGGGCTGCATCTCCGCTTGCGGCACATGAGCTAATCGATGCAGAGGCGTTCCTTGCATTGTTTCCAAGTGCTTTGCAACAGAGGCGAAAATGCTACCTGGTGCTGCAGCACCGGGATCTTTGCCCTTTGCCCACGACGGCTTCGACTCCGCACGCGGCCCCTGCACCTTTGCCGCTTTGCGCACGCTGCTGCACGATGACCTGCGCGGCGTCGACGCGTCGACGCGGGTGGCGATCGCGATGCAGAACGGCGCCGACTTGGCCCTGAGCTTGCTGCGAGTGGCGCACTGGGCGGTCGCGGTGCCGCTCGACCCGAACGCGGCGGTGGTGGAGCTGCGAGTTGCGCTCGCTGGCTGCGCCGGGTGCGTCGTCGACGCGGCCGCCGGCCCCGCGGCCTCGGCCGCGGCCGCCGTCGGCACAGCGGTCGTCGTCGCGGTTCCCAAAGCGGGAGAGGCCGGCGCGACGTTTCACCTCCCAGGACCGGATGCGGTCGTGGCCGATCCGGCGGCCAACCGGCCTTGTCTCTTGCTACGAACGTCGGGCACGACCGGAAGACCCAAAATCGTGGCGAAGACGCGACAGCAGCTCGTCGCGGGCGGGGAAGCCATCGCGCGATCGCTCGCGCTGCGACCCTCGGACTGCTGCCTCAATTTCATGCCGCTCCACCACATCGGCGGGATCGTCTCCAACATCTACTCGCCGCTCGTGTCGGGCTCGGCGGCGGTCTACGTCAAAACCTTCTCGCCCACCGACGTCCTGAACCTCGACAACCTCTCGCCGCGCGTCACCTGGATTTACTGCGTGCCGTCGCACCTGCAAGCTATTCTCGCCGCGCGCACGCCGGGAGCGACGCCCCCGCGCGCCGTACGCCTCTACCGCAGCGGCGCGGCCGCGCTGCCCGCGGCCGTCGCCGAGGAGCTGCGCGCCTGGTCCGGGGCCGTCGTCCTCCCGACGTATTCGATGACGGAATGTATGCCGATTGCTTCGCCGCGCGGCTCGTACGAGCTGGACCGGGCGGGCAGCGTCGGCCCGGCGATCGGCCCGGAGCTGGCGATATCCGAGCGGGGCGAAGTCCTCATCCGCGGCCCGCTCGTCTCACACGACGCCAAGGAATGGTTCGCGACCGGCGACCTCGGCCGCATCGACCCGGACGGCTGGCTCACGCTCACGGGCCGCGCGAAGGAAATCATAAATCGCGGCGGCGAGGTGGTGTCACCGCTGGAGGTCGAGGACGCGTGCCTGCGCCACCCCCGCATCGCCGCGTGCGTCTGTTTTGCCGTGCCACACGACGCGCTCGGCGAGGCGATCGGACTCCTCGTGGTGCCGCGCGGGGCGGCGCCGACGCTCGCGGAGCTGCGGTCGTTTTTAGAACCTTATCTCGCGGCCGCGAGGCGACCGCAGTACATCTGCACCGCACCGGCGCTCCCCGTGGGCCCGACGGGCAAGCCGCTTCGCGCCGGCCTACGCCCCCGGAGGGGGCGTGGGTATGCCTAGTCTAAGTGAAGGCAACTTAGACCTAAAGAGAGGCTACTTGATGTGGGTATACATAACGTTCGACTTTGCTGTGCAAAGCGTTAAACTTTGCCAAGGCAAAGCGTACTGACGTTCCGTCAGCACGTTTCACCGCGAGAAATTCAACGTTCCGGTCGGCGAATCGAATGCTCCGCACCTTACGCCACGAAGACTCAGCAAACCTCCGCGAAACCCGAAATCGGTGGTTTATAAGAATCAAAAAGTCTTAAACCCGAATCATCACCCCCCACGCCGGATTTGGCACCCTTGCGGAGCAGCCCCCGGCAGGGGAAAAGGCATGAACTCCTACAGGGTTAGCTGCCCTCAGGGCAGCTGACCCGGAAGGAGTTTATACCTTTTTCACGGCCTCTGCCTCGCGCGCAGGGCGTACTTGGACAGACCCGGGCCCGCGCGCCAGACGAAACCCGAAGACGCGGCGCCCGTAGACGTTAGCCTGCCGCGCGCCCTGCCCGGGGATGTAATGTAGTATTTTGTAGATAGCACTCATTAGGATATGGACAGGGAAAGGCTCCTAGAAAGTATAGGAGATCATGCTAGTTCCGGCATCGCGACCTCGAACGTCGAGCCCGCCGCACAGCCAACCGGGATTTGGACCTGCACCGTCACACCGTTCGGCGCTTGTATCTGGATCGTTTGGCCGGCAGAGCCGCCGGGCGGCACTTGGACCTTGAACGTTGACGGCGGCGCGACGACAGTCCCCACGGCGACCACGCCTGAGACCGGCGCGACCTGGGTCGTCCGGTTCGCCTCGCCGATGTCGCACCACGGGAGCGACCGCTGCATGCAGGGGTCCTGCCCGAAGACGGGGTCGCGGAGCGTCAGCACCGACTCCAGGACAACGGACCCGGCGGCGGACGCGAGCGCCGCGGCAAAGGCCGCGCCGTCCATGGCCGCCGCGTCGACGCGCGCGCCGTTCACGACGGCTTTGAGGATGACGTCGCCGTCCGCGACGCCGACCGCGCCGAGGCCTCCGGCGCTCACGATCGTCGGCGGCGCCGCCGCGGCGAGCGTCGCCGTCCTCGCCACTCCCGCGTCGACGGGGGGCGCAGAGTAGACTCGCGCGGGGTTGTACACGGGAGTCTGCGTCGTGAACAGGCCGGCGCCGGTCCCCGACGCGGCGCTGCCGCCCCAGAACTCGGGCGACCCTAGGGCCTTGGCGGCCTTCTTGCCGCCGGCCGGCAATTGCCGGCCGTCGATGCCGTGCAGGCAGTCGCCCGTGTTGACGTGCTCGAAGACGACAGGGTTGGTCCTCTTCGTCTGGAAGACGACGTTGCTGCTGTCGAGCCGGATGCCGAGCTCGCGGATCGTCGCGCCACCGCCGAACCAGTCGGTGCTCGCCGACCGGTAAGCGGCCGGCCCGGTCGGGAGGCCGCCGACGACCTTGCGGAACTGGCCGGGGCCCTTGGTCTGGCCCGAGCGCGCCAGCGTCGCGACGAACCACTCGTCGTAGGCGGCCCGGTCCGCCGCGGACACGGGCGGCGCCGCGGCCGCAGCCCGCGCGGCGGCGGCGGCGAACGCGCCCGCGTTGCCGGCGGGCCCCACGTCGATGCACGCCACGACGACCTCCAGCGACGCGGCCTCGGTCGGCACGCACGAGACGACGACGACCGAACCCTCGACCTTGCAGTCCGAAACCTTCGGATCGAGGAGGAGGGGCCGGCGGGCGACGGACCCCGTCGGCACCGCCGCGACCCGGCAGTAGCGCAGCGGTACGGCGAAGCCTCGCTCCGACACGTCGTGCGCCCCGATGCCGATGCCGGCGAACTTGTGGCCGTACTGGTCCGTCGTCGTGTAGTTCTTCGGCACGACCGCGCGGTAGGCGTGGCGCGTCACGACGAGCGTGCCTCGCGCCTCGTCGACGAAGGCGCCGTGGGCGGCGGCCGCCGCGCGCTCCTGGGCGTCGTCCCGCTCCGGGCTGTACTTGTAGAGCTCGTCGGAACAGCACGTGCAGCAGCAGAATTGGTAGAAACAAGACTCGCGGAGACGCATGATGCGCTCGCGCTCCCGGACGCGGCCCTCGGCGTCGACGTCCAGCGCGAGCGCGCCGGGCGGCGGCGGCGTCCGCGGCGAGAAGCCCGCAGGCGGCGGACCGGTCGCGGCGAGCTGCGCAAGCTCGGTCCCGTAGTCGAAGTCGGCCTCGCGGAGGATGTGGTCGGCCCGCGGCGCGCGGAAATGGTCGTAGCGCGCGTTTGGGTCGCCCGTGCTCACGCCGTCGCGGGGCAGCGGAGCCGTGTACTCGTTCGGCGGGTATACGGGTTGCGGCGGGCCGAGGCGGCACTTTTGGAGGCACGCCTGCTGCGCCATCACCCCGCCCTCCTCCACTGCTGAACCTACGCGCGGCGCGGCGCTCGAATCAGGGTGGTTGAATTTATTTAATTCCTCGTTTTGGGGCCCTGCCCGACTGCTCTTGTTGCGGCTGCTCTTTGCGGCTGCCCTTTGCGGCTGCCCCGCGCAAACTCGTGCTGCTCTGTCTGCTCTGAGTCAAAATGCTTGCAGCTCTTTGCGGCTGCCCCTCGCAACGCCCAACCAACTGTGCTGCTCTCTGGTTGCTCTGAGTCAAAATGCTTGCAGCGACGCAGTTCACTGGCGTCGGCAGTCCAATCTCCAACAGTTAATTGAACTGCGGGACGGCAGGAGCCGATGTCAAAAGTCTCCTGCGCAGTGGATATGACGCTGCCTCTGCCACTGCCACCCCCACCCACACCTACACGCCGGCACGCGATTCCCGAGGACGCGGTGCCCGCGGACACTGCCGCCATCGACGCTCGCAAGCACCGGTACGACTGGGCGCTGGAGGCCCTCGACAACGGCTGGCGGCAGCGCGCCGCGATCCTGGGCGACGACAACGAGGATCGCTTCTGGCATGCGGGCCACGCGCGGAGCCACTGGCCGGGCCGGGCCCGCGTGGTGCGGCAGCTCCTGAAGCTAGCGTGGTGCGCGGCGCGGGCGGGCGACGGCGCGACGGCGCGAAGGATCATGTGGCAGCCGCGGCGAAGTTGGCTCGTCTTGAGCCTAGTGCGCGCAAAATTGACCGTGAGCGACGAGGCGATGCTCTCGATCCTGCGCGGGTCTTGGATCGCGGGGGGCGCCGCTGTGCGCGAGACGGCGACACAGCGGAGGTTGTACCTCACCTGGGCGCGGCAGCTTCAATTGCAGAAGATGTACGAGCGCAGGCGTCCTGACGTGATCCTCCAGTGCGGCGACAAGCTGCTGTTCTCTCGCTTTCTGTGCTCGCGCGGCGTGCCGACCCCGCGCGTCTTCGACCTACGCCGCGGGCGGCTCCCGCGACAGGATCTGTTCGTCAAGCCGCGTTACCTCGACGGCGGACGGCACGTCGAGACGTACGCGTGGCGCGACGACGCGTACGTGGACGAGATCGGCACCGTCGGCTGGCGGACGCGCGTCCCAGGTCGCGACCCCGTGATCAGCCCCGAGGCGCTCTGGCGAAAGCTCGCGCCCGCCAGCAACGCGGGCGGCGTGCTCGTGCAGGAGCGCCTGCGCAACACCGACCGCGTGCGCGCGCTCGTCGGCGAGAATGCCGCGTTGTGCACGTTCCGCGTCGTCACCGCGCAGCCCGTCGACCTGACGAGTTCCCGCGCGGCGGGCGGCGCGGCCGTCGTGGGTTGCGCCATGCGCATGCCGTCGAACACCATAGTGCCCGCCGACAATTACTCGGACGGTGGGATATTCTGCAACGTTGACTGGCGAGCGGAGCGGCTCGCCGGGCCGGCGCGGGACCTCTTCGGCAACCTGCACGCGCGTCACCCGAACACGGGCGCACCGATCGACGGCCGACTGCTGCCCGGGGCGCGCGCGATGGTCGAGCGGTGCGCGGCCCTGCACGACCTCCTGTGCGCCGAGTACTTCGCCGACGCCTACCCGTGGATCGGCTGGGACGCGACCCTCACGGCGGGAGGCGCCGGCTTCCACGTCCTCGAGGTCAACCCCGTCTCCGGCCCCGGCTTCCAGCTCGTGTGCGGTCCACACCTCGGCGACCCGACGGCGCGGGAAATTTTCGCCCAGGTGCCGAGGTACCCCTGGAGCTGTCTTTGGCCCAGGTGGGCGACTCCATTCGCGTGGCGGAGCTCCGACCCGGTGTCGCGGGCGACGCCCGGGAGGCGGGCGGAGCTCGAGGCCAAAAAAGCCAGGGGGACGTAGCCCGTTTGTGTACACTGTATGGCATCTAGATTAGTAATAGTGGTGCAAAATGGGCGGGGCTATGCGACGACAGTCCCCACGGCGACCACGCCCGAGACCGGCGCGGGCTGGGCATGGATGACGGTGGCTTCCCCGGTGCCGTCGGAGTGACACACCGGCCGCCGGAAGCCGGTGCGCGTGTTGGTCTGCGTCATGGTCAGGAAGTCGACTTTGTATACGCCGGCGACGATGGCGTTGGGCCGCCCAGTGGCTTTCATTCGGTCGAGCTCGTCCGAGTCCCTCGCCCGGTAGGGGATCCACCTCCCGTCCGCTTCCTGCCAGAACCACCCGGGGGCTTGTGGTGGCATATTCGCATCGACCGGGGTCGCGTTTTGGACCCCCAACATCGTCGTGGGCAGCGCCGTCCTGTTCGCCTCGCTGATGTCGCACCACGGGAGCGACCGCTGCACGCAGGGGTCCTGCCCGAAGACGGGGTCGCGGAGCGTCAGCACCGACTCCAGGACGACGGACCCGGCGGCGGACGCGAGCGCCGCGGCAAAGGCCGCGCCGTCCATGGCCGCCGCGTCGACGCGCGCGCCGTTCACGACGGCTTTGAGGATGACGTCGCCGTCCGCGACGCCGACCGCGCCGAGGCCTCCGGCGCTCACGATCGTCGGCGGCGCCGCCGCGGCGAGCGTCGCCGTCCTCGCCACTCCCGCGTCGACGGGGGGCGCAGAGTAGACTCGCGCGGGGTTGTACACGGGAGTCTGCGTCGTGAACAGGCCGGCGCCGGTCCCCGACGCGGCGCTGCCGCCCCAGAACTCGGGCGACCCTAGGGCCTTGGCGGCCTTCTTGCCGCCGGCCGGCAATTGCCGGCCGTCGATGCCGTGCAGTTGGTCGCCCGTGTTGACGTGCTCGAAGACGACAGGGTTGGTCCTCTTCGTCTGGAAGACGACGTTGCCGCTGCCGAGGCGGATGCCGAGCTCGCGGATCGTCGCGCCACCGCCGAACCAGTCGGTGCTCGCCGACCGGTAAGCGGCCGGCCCGGTCGGGAGGCCGCCGACGAACTTGCGGAACTGGCCGGGGCCCTTGGTCTGGCCCGAGCGCGCCAGCGTCGCGACGAACCACTCGTCGTAGGCGGCCCGGTCCGCCGCGGACACGGGCGGCGCCGCGGCCGCAGCCCGCGCGGCGGCGGCGACGAACGCGCCCGCGTTGCCGGCGGGCCCCACGTCGATGCACGCCACGACGACCTCCAGCGACGCGGCCTCGGTCGGCACGCACGAGACGACGACGACCGAACCCTCGACCTTGCAGTCCGAAACCTTCGGATCGAGGAGGAGGGGCCGGCGGGCGACGGACCCCGCCGGCACCGCCGCGACCCGGCAGTAGCGCAGCGGTACGGCGAAGCCTCGCTCCGACACGTCGTGCGCCCCGATGCCGATGCCGGCGAACTTGTGGCCGTACTGGTCCGTCGTCGTGTAGTTCTTCGGCACGACCGCGCGGTAGGCGTGGCGCGTCACGACGAGCGTGCCTCGCGCCTCGTCGACGAAGGCGCCGTGGGCGGCGGCCGCCGCGCGCTCCTGGGCGTCGTCCCGCTCCGGGCTGTACTTGTAGAGCTCGTCGGAACAGCACGTGCAGCAGCAGAATTGGTAGTAACAAGACTCGCGGAGACGCATGATGCGCTCGCGCTCCCGGACGCGGCCCTCGGCGTCGACGTCCAGCGCGAGGGCGCCGGGCGGCGGCGGCGTCCGCGGCGAGAAGCCCGCAGGCGGCGGACCGGTCGCGGCGAGCTGCGCAAGCTCGGTCCCGTAGTCGAAGTCGGCCTCGCGGAGGATGTGGTCGGCCCGCGGCGCGCGGAAATGGTCGTAGCGCGCGTTTGGGTCGCCCGTGCTCACGCCGTCGCGGGGCAGCGGAGCCGTTCGCCTCCCGGCGATCTCGTTCGGCGGGTATACGGGTTGCGGCGGGCCGAGACGGCAGCAAACCAGGCCGACGCTCCCCGCCGAGCCCCCCACCGAATCCACGACTTTTTTGGCAATGGCGCGGACGCTGCCTGTTTCAGTGTTCGTTTGCGTATTTTGGTTGAGGTCGAGTTTGTACGGCCACATGATGCAGGATTTCCTGCCGCTGCGTAGGCAGGACGCGATCGCCTTTTGGCTCTTCGCATCGTAGGGGCGCCAGCTGGCCCCGTCTTGGAAGCACCACTGCTCCATCTCAATAAGGAGTTGGCAGGCGTGCGCTGCGCTGCCCAAGGAGTTGGAGGTCGCAAACCGGCAGCAAGGAGTCGGCGGGCTGCCCAACCCAATTACCCAATGAGCCAGGTGAACCCTATCCGGCCCCGGCTTCCAAAAGTGCCGCGCGCCGCCTCGGCCATCCCTAGTGTCTTACAGGCCGCTAACACAACTCGGGGTCCGTACTACCTGGGGGTGGGCTCAATAAGTGGCTCTCTCTCTCTCCTCGCCCGACGAGTCGCTCGACGGACACGCGGTAGTGCCTTTTACGCTTGTCCGCTACCGCATCGCTTGCACTCGCAGAAATGACATACTGGTGTGTGGGCGCAAGCGCATCTGTACCCGATCGTGTATTGACATCGCGTCCCCCCAGGCGCGGCGCCGGGCGGCCTGCCAAAATCAATCTCCGACGGCGGGGGTCCAAGCGACATCTGGGCAACGGGTCGGCCTTCTACTAGTCGGAGTCGAGCGCGACGGGCCCCCAGCGACTTCCGAGCCCCCTACCCTGTCGCTCCCCTCCCCCCCGTCGTGCGAGCTCGTCGCCCCCTGCGGGGGAGAAACTCGCGAAAGGAGTGCCGGTTGCGTAGGTCAGTAGGATAGGATAGTTGTGTTACACCAATCCCAAAAGGAGTCATGCGTCGTCCAGCAGCTTGTAGGCCTCGTTCATGAAGTCCCCCGAGTTGTCCTTGTAATCTAAAGCTGATTCCACCGCCGCCCTGAATACTTTCACGACATTAGTACCATCCGCAGCAGACACGAAATAAAACGGAATGTTTTTTGATGAGGCAAATTTAAAGTTCTTTTTCGTCACTTGATAGTCGATGTCTATTTTATTGGCCACCAATATACAAGGGATATTTTCGCACGCGTCCCGCATCTCGTCGTACCAGGCTCCGAGATGTTGGTAGGTCGCTTTGCGCGTGACGTCAAAGCACAAGATACACGCATGCGCTCGATGGTAATAAGCGGGATGCATCTTATTGAACCGTTCTTGCCCCGCCGTGTCCCAGATGTCTACTTTCACGTTCTTGCCGTCGATGTCTAAGTTTTTTCTAAACATCGTAAGGGCATAAGTAGATAACTGCTGCGGGTTGTACTCGTCCATCAAAAATCTCTCGACGAGCTTCGTTTTCCCGACGGCGCTATCGCCCAACAGTATGATTTTAACGTCGGCCGGAGACAAGTCGTTCGGATCCGTCTCCGGGTCCTTGGACTCGTCCGTTTTGCCCTCGGGCTCGGGCTCCTTGCTCATCGTTAAGGAGTCGACGCGCCCCAGCTTGCTCCCTGCCTTCGGTGGGGCTCGCCCTGCGTCGCGCTGCTTTGGAAGCGTGTGGTGTGGGGCAGCCCTTTGCCCTGCACGGATCCGTACGGCGGACGGGCAGCGCCACACAATCGATTCCAAATGACGAGCGCGCGGGTTTGAACGCCGTCGAGAGATTGAGAGCCGTATGATAAGGCTCGCGTGGAAATTCATGCATATTCAGGCTTGCGGCGACTCCTTGCTTGATTGCTAGTGTCTTACATGCCGCTAGCCTGCTCCAGTTTTTGCAAGCTTGGAACAGCGTAGAGAGCGCGACGCGGCCTTATTCATCGTCAGGATTACCGTCGGCAGTTGCCTGACTCTCAGCGCAGCCGCTGCAGAAGTCTCACCGCGCACCGCGCAGCACCGCAGTCATGGAGGCACCAGACGGGGGCGACGCGACGCCGACGCACAGCGAGTTCGGCGACACCGACGACGAGAAAGAACAACCCGAGGAAGACGCGTCCGACGACGACGCCATGGAGGAGGAGGACGCCGCCGACGACGGCAGCGCCGACGTAGTAGCGGAATACGAGGCCGCCGCGGCGACGCCGGGCGCGCCGCGCGCCGCGCACGAGGAGCTCGTCGTGTGTTTGCGGGCCGTGCGCGCCGCCGCCCCCTCAAACCGCTGGCGCGCTTCACAGAAAGCGGCCTGGGCGCGCTTCGCGGAGCGGCATTCACTCAGTGCGGACGAGTGGCTCGCGCGGTCCCGCGATTTAGATGATCCAAGCGTGCTGACGACGGCTTGTACGATACTACCGCGCGAAGCGAAGCTCTGGCTCGAGCTCACTCGTATCAAACTGAATCAAAGCGTCGAGGCGGGCTCAAAAGTGTTGGAGGAGGCCTGCGCCGTTGCCGAGCGGGACGCTTCCGGGAGTCTATCGAGGCTCTTCGACGCCGCGCGCGCGCTGGCCGACGACACCGACGACGTTGAGAAGCGGGACGCGCTGTACGGGCGCGAGCTCTCGGCACCTCTTGTACCGGACCAGGCTAGAGTAGTGTTCGAGCGAGCGCTTCTCGACGCGCCGACGAAGAAGGCGACGTTTGGAGCGGCCAAGGCGAAGGGGTTAGCCGCCTTCGAGCGACGTAGAAAGCTCGAGACTGCCTCGAAGGATGAGGACACTTGGCTCGCGTACGTCACGCTCGAAGAGGAAGAAGATGCGGAACGAGCTTTAACTGTGTGCGAGCGCGCGCTGGAGCACTGCGCTTCGTCCCGACTGTGGCGGCGGCGGTTGAGTCTAGCTCAAACGCCGGGCGACGCCTTCGAGGTCTCAAAAAGAGCTGTAGACGCATTGCCGGACGACTTCCGGCTGCGCGAGGCTCATTGTAGGTGTGTGGAGCGGTGCAGGCTGTCCCTCGACACTCTGGAGGACGCGTTCGCCCGAGCGGCCGAAGTCTGCGGAGACAAGGCGCCGGCCTTGGCGTTGGGCCGATTGGCAGCTGAAAGACGACGCAGGGACGGTGCTGATGTCCAAAAGTGGGCCCTCGCGCTGGTGGACGGCAACGAAAAAGCAAGTTACGCCGTCCGCGCCTACGCGACGAAAATAAGTGAGGACCCGAAGCAGGCCTGGCGTTTACTACTGGAGGATGCGTCATTACCGCCGAAGGCCTGGCTAGATGCCGCGCGGGCTTCGTTGGAGCGAGGCGATGTTGATGAGGCTCGACGCTTACATAAAATGCACGCGTCCAAAAGAGCGGAGCGCACGCGCTCTTCCAGTAGTACGCCGGCGCAGCGCAAGGCGGCGTCGGACGCGGCAACGGCGTGGCTCGTCTTTGAAAGGGACGCCGGCTCGTTGTCTGATTTTGACGCGGCCTATGCGAAGGCGGAGGCGTGGGGCGTCTTCGATGGAGCGGCGGCGGCGCCCGCGGCGGCGCCGGTGGCCAAGCGCGCGCGGCCAGCGGTGTCTCCGGTGGCACCCGCGGCAGCGCCCGCAGCAGCGCCCGCAGCAGCGCCCGCCGTGGCCAAGCGCGCGCGTGCGGCGCCCGCCGCGGCGCCCGCCGCGGCGGCGCCCGCCGCCAAGCGCTCGAAGAAGGCCGCGGCGCTAGCGGCTCCAGACCCCGCGCGCGCGAAGCCGGCTACGGCGTCGGCGCCTTTGGCGTCCCCCGCGGCGCCCGCGGTCCCCACGGACTCTGCTCCTGCGGCCTCGGCTCCCGCGCCGGCCCCTGCACAGGCGCCGGCGCCGGACGCGGAGCCGGCGCCCACGCCGCCGCCGCCGAAGAAGGGCCCGAGCGACGACGCGCGGCGCCTCGCTCGGACGGCCTTCCTCGTCGGGCTCAAGAGCGACGCGACGGAAGATGAATTAAGGATGGCGTTCGAGGGCTGCGGCGCGGTCGCCCAGACCAGAGTGCTGAAGGACAAGCGCAGTGGACAACCGACGGGCAAAGGTTTTGTGGAATTTGTGGAGGACGGTGAGGCGCGGGCCAAGGCATTGAAGCTCGGCAAGGAGCCGCGGAAGGCGCTCGGCGGGTCGGCGCCGTGCAAGATCTTCGCGTCCAAGTACCTGTGCCCGGACCGTCCTGTTGAAGCGAAGCCCCGCAAGCCGCGGGCGCCGTCGGGACCACTGGTGCCGCGCGTTTTGAGAAGGCCGCAGCAGGGCCGCCGGCCGGGGCGGCTCGGCGTCGGCGCGGATAGCGCTGCTGCTCCTGCTCCCGCGGCTGCTGTTCCTGAAGGGGGGCATTCGCAGGACGCGTTCCGGGCGATGTTTCTCAAGGGGAAGTAACGGTGATGGTGTGTAGTCTTTTGAGTTGAAGCTGGCCCGCGAATTTGAAGTTCGGGTCGACGCGTCCCTTTCGCCCGTCGCCGTCGCGCAGCCCGACGACGAGTCGGACCGCTGTTTTGAGTCGTGTTGCTGTAGGTACGTACATAGCTAGGAGGTCCAAAGGACAGGGCGCGGGCGCCTACGCATGTCAAAGTCGAGGCTATATAGCGTCGCCTAAATGGCCTCATAACTAGCAGCAACAGCACGCGGCACGCGTTTGCATCGAATAAATGCAGCGCGGCTACGAAAGACGGCGCGACGGCGATAGGGGGCGGCCTCAGGCAAGCCGGGAGAGGCGCGGGCGGCAGGACCTAAGCCGCAGCCGCCGCGACGATAAATCACGATCAAGGCGAGAAGACAGCCGTAGGATCGACCACAGCAGGTCGAGGCGCGACGACAGCCGGCGACAGGACAAGTCGCGGAGCCGCCGCGACGACAAGAGCCGGTCGCGGCGCGAGGACTCGAGGCGCGGCGACAAGAGCCGCAGCCGCCGCGACGATTCTCGGAGAGAGGACCGACCGCGGCGGCCGGAGCGCGACCGCCGCGACCGCCCGCGCCGCGAGCCGGACCCGCGGCGGCGGCCGCCCGAGCGCCGCCGCGAGGACGCCGACCGGAGGCGGCGCGAGCGCGACGCCGACGACAGGCCGCGGAAAAGACGTAGAGTCGGCGAGGAAGGGCGACGACGACGGCGCGAGGAGGACGACGACGGCGACAACCGCGACGACAGCCAGGGTCATTATGAGGGGAAGGCGGGCGACACGATCGACGGGCGCTACGAGATCGTCGGCGAGGCCGGTTTGGGGACGTTTGGACGAGTTGTGGACTGTGTCGACCTCAGGCATCCGGATCGACGGCGAGTAGCTCTGAAAGTTGTGAGACGTATAGAGCGCTACACGGAGAGTGCCGCGGTGGAAGCCGAGATCCTGCGGGACGTGAACGCGACAGCCAGGGCGAACGGCGAGGAGGGCGGGAGGTTGTGCGTCCAGTTGTTTGAAACTTTCGAGTTCCGCGGACATTACTGCCTGGCCTTCGAACGCGCCGGGACGTCTCTGTATGACTACCTCAAGGGCAATAGCTACCGACCCTTCGCTAGAGATACTGTCAGACGGATATCACGACAGCTCTTGGAAGCGCTGCGGTTTCTCCATGCGATGAAGCTCGTGCATACGGATCTCAAGCTCGAGAACGTCCTACTTCGTAAATTGGGGGTGAAGAAACCACAACCGGATAGTGACGGGCGGTGCCAGCTCGGTCGGGACGAGGCCGACATCGTCGTCATCGACTTCGGCGGGGCGACGTATGACGACGAACGTAAAAGTTCGATCGTGAATACGCGGCAGTACCGGGCACCGGAGGTCATCCTGAACTTGGGCTGGTCCACTCCCTCTGATCTGTGGTCTGCTGGTTGTATCGTGGCCGAATTGGGCAAGGGTGAGCTGCTCTTCGCGACGCATTCCAATACGGAGCATTTAGCGTTGATTGAGAGGGCCGTGGGACCGTTCCCGCGGGCGCTGGTCCAGCGGAGTAGATATGCCACGAAATACTTCGACTCGGACGCTCGTAGCACGTGGGAGCAGGCCCTGCCGCGCGACGGTCGGGACCACGTGCGGCGCATGCCGCCCCTCCGCCAGTACTGCGAGCCCGACCGCGACCTGCACAAATTGCTGGAGGGACTGCTGACCATCGACCCCGACCGGCGGCTCACGGCGAAGGACGCGCTCTCGACGTGCGCGTTCCTGGAGCGGTGCTGACTTGCCGCCGCTTTCGTTTTGTAGTAAAAACATTCGACCGATTTTTTCATTGTCGTGTCGCGTCGATGGCGTCGCGCCCCTAGTGTCTTACTGCTAGTTCGGCTTGGCTTGCTTTTGCTTGCACAAATTACTGTCGCGCTACGCGCTAGTGCTCGAAGGCGTTGCAGCCACGCACGCTATCTATACGCATCGCTGCGCCACAGCCGAAGGAGAAGCTTCAGCACAGCTCTGCCTTTGGACCAGAGCCCTCGCCGTCGCCACCGCTCGAAGCGGCGCTGGAACGAGGCGCAACAGCACCACAGCTCTCATCTATACGCCATCGCTGCGGCCACAGCTCGAGCACAGCTCCCACCTTCACGCCGTCGCCGCGACACCCGCCACAAAAATGCCGTCCGTCGCGAACCTGAGCCTGCCCGGCACGGCGCTGCCGGGCGCCGTCACCGTCACCATTGCGGATGGCGACGCCTTGAAGAAGCAAATAGCGCAGTACGTCGCGACCATAGCGAAGGCCTGCACGAAGGATCGGTTCGTGGTGGCGCTGTCGGGCGGTAGCATGCCCAAACTGCTCACTGGCCTTTTGGATTTGGACGTGGACTGGTCGAAGTGGGACGTCTTCTTCGCCGACGAACGATGCGTGCCCCTGGTATCGAATGATAGCAACTACAAGGCCTGTGAGGATCACTTGTTCTCGAAAATCAAAGGCGAGAAACCAACCATTCACACGCTAGACACGTCCCTCTCACCAGCGCAAGCGGCAGAAAAGTACGGCGACGAACTTAATAGTGTAGGAAGGCGCTTCGACCTCTGTCTGCTGGGTATGGGGCCGGACGGGCACACCGCGTCCTTATTTCCGGAGCATGATTTGTTCCGGAAGCCCGACGGTAGTGTCGCGCGCTGCATCCTCGACTCGCCGAAGCCGCCTTCGGAACGGGTGACGTTCACGCTGTCGACGCTGCAGAATTCGGTCCGGGTCTGCTTCGTGGCGACAGGAGACTCGAAGACTCCTGTGTTGAAAGAGATTTTGGCAAGGAAGGAGGGCAAGCTGGACTACGCCTACCCTGTTCCTCCATATCCGGCCGCCTGGGTGCGGTCGGCGGACGGGGGCGCGCAGTGGTTTTTGGACTCGGCGGCGGGCGGGGGGCTCTAAGGTATCTCTGGTTTTTTCTTCTTGAGGGATTCCTTGCCTCGTATGGTGGAGGTCGCGCGGCGATGGCGTGAGGCGAGGCGATTGTGATCGCGAGCGCGGCGCGGCCGGCGCTCCTCCCGGTTTCGAAGGCAGTTTGGCCAGAGGGGTACTGCCGGAGGCCTGGCGTCGCTCTCCCGAGGGGTATCGTGGGCCTTCCGAAGGGAGGTCTGGCTTGATGGTGCTGACTCTGCAAAACGTAGACGGCATCTCAGCTCGTATAAACGACAGCAAGATGAACAAGCTCCTCATCGCGCTTGCGCTGGCGCCCGCCGCGGCCCTTGTCGCGCCCTCCGTGCCGCGCGCGTCCGTTTTGCAGCGTCTAAATCGGTCAGACAGCGACGCAGCGCAAATGATGAATCCTCGGGCCCTTGCGCGCGCCTATTAGCGCGCCGCCGTGGTGCGCCCGCTGCAGCGGTACGCGCACACACCCCTGCGGCCAGCGACGCGGCGAAACTCGCCGCGCGTCGCTCACGGAAGCAATGGTGGGCGCCGCCCGCGGGCAACGCAAATTGCACTTCCCAAAAGCGGCACGTATGGCCCGCCAGCGCTCGCCACGACGCTACCATAGCAACATGGTCGTCAGGAGACGCAATCAAAGCGGCCACGCGACGACTCCTGGCCCACACACCCCACGTCACGATGACGCCGAAACGCACAAAAACAAGAAGATCACCGATCACGCACACAGGCCCGCGACCGTCGTCCAGGCGAACCCCGGCATCGGCACGGGCCAGGGCCCCTCGTTGGAATGGGGCGGCTCGGACACGACGACGGGCGGCGCCAAAAAACTGTCCGAGGCCCTCGAGGAGGCCGACATCGAGCGCAAGAAGGCCGTCGAGGAGGCCGAGCGCCGCGCGAAGTGGCAGGAGCAGGAGCGCGAGGAGAAGCTCCGCAAGGTCGCCTTCATGAAGGAGATGCCCGACGACACGCCCGCCGGCTCGGTGAGCGACTACATGTACAAGGAGGGCGTCAAGGACCAGCTCGACAAGTTGGATTATGACTTAGTTGGTTTATTGCCGGTGAAGCAGCGCGTCCGCGAGATCGCCGCTTTACTGGTGCTGGACAAGATGCGCCGCAAGCTGGGCTTCGACACGGCCGTCCCCTCGCTCCACATGTGCTTCACGGGCGCGCCCGGCACGGGCAAGACGACGGTCGCCGTCCGCATGGGCCAGATCCTCGCGAAGATGGGCTACTGCCGGTCCGGCCACGTCGTGGTGGCCACGCGCGACGACCTCGTCGGCCAGTACGTCGGCCACACAGCGCCCAAGACGAAGGAGGTCATCAAGCAGGCCCTCGGCGGTGTGCTCTTGGTGGATGAGGCCTACTACCTCTACAACGCGGCGAACGACCGCGACTACGGCCAGGAGTCCATCGAGATCCTCCTGACCTTCATGGAGAACAACCGCGAGGACCTCGTCGTCGTCTTGGCGGGCTACAAGGACCGCATGGACAAGTTCTTCTCCTTCATCCCCGGCATGTCGTCGCGCATCGGCAACCACATCGACTTCCCGAACTACGAGGTCGACGAGCTCTTCGAGATTAGCAAAGTGATGTCGCGCGACCTGGATTACGAGATGACGGACGAGGCCGGCGACGTCTTCAAGAAGTACATCGAGCGCCGCATGGCCATGCCCTTCTTCTCGAACGCCCGTACGGTCAGAAACGCCATGGACCGCGCGCGCATGAACGCCGCGATCCGCGTCTTCGACCAGGCCATCGCCGGCGCGAACGGCGGCGACGTCGGCGCCGACGACCTCAAGGCCATCACGGCGGACGACTTCCAGGTCATCCTCGACGAGGCGCTCGCGGCCGAGGACGACGCGATCCTCGCGTAGATTCGCACTGCACATCGATCGTGTGTGTATAGGGGCCGGCGGGCGGGCCCCACCCTTTATAAAGATTAGTGATTCAAGTCTTTTCGTCGACTGGCGTGCTTGTGGACTTACGCACTTACTCACGCCGCGAAGTCCGCGGCGCCGAAGCGTAGCTGGTACGGGATTGAGCCGGCGCGTAACGCCGCGGCCAACGCCGCCGGGTTCGGGCGTTTCTCGCGCCCGTCGGAGCTTATCCGGAGCGACCGCTGCTGGCGGAGGCGCGCGGCGACGTCGCCCGGATTCGGCCCGAGGCCCTCGGCGACGCGGTTCGCGAGGCAGTACTCGCTCCAGGGCTTCGTCGCCCGGAGCGTCACGGAGCGGCGCTCGCCGGACGTGTTCCAGGCCGGCGCCGCCTCCGGGCGACTCGGCCAGACGATCGAGTGCTTCCAGGCGTGCGAGCGGTCGCGCTGATCTCGCGCGTCGCCCGACATGACGTAGACGCTTCCTCGCGGCAAGGGCACTTCGACGCGCTCCGTCGCGACGCCCGAGTTGCGAAAGAAGCACTTGCACTGGCGTTCCACCTTGTCGCAGGGGCACCGCTCCATCACTAATAGAGACGCCCGCCCGACACTCAGGCCAGCGACCGTCTCGCCATAAGTTATCTTCGAGTCGTAGTGCCGCGCGAAGGCCTCTCCATTGAAGGCCACGCCGCCGCCGCGATTGCGCTTCAACGCATAGCTCCAGAACAACGCAAAGTCGGGCAATAGTAGTTCCGGAAACACGTGGTCGCGGATGCCGTTGATCACGCGCCAGAGGTCCGGCGAGAAGCGGTCGTAGCGAGCGCGCGGCGCGCCCGTTAAATCGCACCTCCCATACTTCGTCTCAACGCGACCGTCCGGCAGAGGACATCTCGTGCCCATGGACTCGAACAATCTTCTCTCCGCGGCCTCCGAGAGGAAGCGCGGCGCGACGGCGAGGCCCTGGACGCCGCCGTAATTGCGGATCACTTGGATCCGCGGGCGCTGCGGCGGCGGCGGCCTCGGTGCCGGCAAGGCCCGCTGGCGCTGTGGCGCGGCGGTCCGCTGGCGCTTGCGCGGACCCTCGTCGTCGCTGTCCCGTGTCAGGTCGATTGCGTCTCTGGTGACCCGCCGACTCGTAGCAGCTGCGTCGTCATCCGAGTCCGAGTGAATCTCTATCACGCCCTCGCGCGCGGGCTGCGCGGCCGGGGCTGGCGCCGCGTCGTCGTCGCTATCTATGGAAATAATATCGCGTGTCCGCGCGGGTGCAGGAGACGAAGGCGTGGCTGGTGCCGCCGGACGCGCTGCGGGCGCCGCCGCCGCGGGGCCAGGAGCTGCGGCAGGCTCAGCCAATGTAGGCTCACCGCGTCTTGCCGCGCGAGCGGCCGCGAGTTCTTTGAGGAGGGCGTTGCCAGACATTTGTAGAGTAGATTTAAGCCAGCTGAACACCCAAATTCGCAGCGCTAAATGCCCTAGCTGCTCGTGACCCTGGCTTGCTAGTGTCTTAAGGCCGCTAGCTGTGAACAGATGCCGTCGACGGCATGCCTTTCCGTCCCCACCGAAGACCATTACTTCGGACCCTCGAATGATGATCCTAGTGGGCTGCCCGCGAGCGCCGGTTTGCGTCCTCGAGGTGCTAAAAAAGTGGCTCGGAAGGCTGGTAAAGCCTACGCCGTCCTCGCAAGCGCCAGGCAGCGGGAGTCCGTGCCACGCCGGCGCCCAGCCTCGACGCGGGCAGCGTTTTGGCAGCACCATGCGGCCGACAGGCCCAGTTTATCTCAATGGGGTTCCTCTCGCCCGCGAACTATTCACGAAGTGGCTCGACGAGGACCCCTACGGCACCGGTGATTCAACGAATGTGGTGGTCGACGTGCACCGCCCCGATAATAAGGGTTTTGGGGATGCCGAGGCCGCGGCGGACGCTTGGAGGGAGGCCGTCGCGGCGCTGGACGAGCCCGACGACGACGACGCGTTGGTGGCCGAGGTGTTGAGGGTCGCCGATGCCAATACTGTGGATGGCGCCGTCGACACGTCTCACTTAACGAGCTATGGCGAGCTAGGAAACCATGTGATGAGGGAACTGGGCCCCGGTGCGGTCGCCGTCGACTACGTCGAGCGGTGTGCGTTAACTTGGCGCGCACAGCGCGACGCGCCGAGGGGGCCCTGGTGGCGCGCCTCGACGGACTACACCGAGCTTCCAGCAAAGGTGTCACCGTCCGAGGAGGAGGAGCAGGAGGTCTTTGTCGAGGATGAGGATGAGGGCGTCCTCTTGGGCGCCACGAACGCGCTGGCGGCGCGGCTGAAGGCCGTCGAGGAGCGGCGGGAACGGGAACTTGATGAGGAAGCGAGGCGAGTCGCCGAGGACGTCGCTGCGTTGCGACGGGCGCGGCGCGCGGCGGATCGGCGCGCTGCTGAGGCGGAGCGCGCTCGATTAGCGGCTGAAGTGGAGCGCGAGGAGGCGGCGGTGCGGCGCGACGTGACGGCGGCGCTGCAGCGGCGTGTGGAAGAGTTGGAACGGGAGCTGGCGACGCGCGATGCGGTCCAGGAGGCGCCGGCTCCCCAATCGCCGTCCAAGGCCGTCCAGCAGCTGCGAAAGTCGCTGGAGCGGCCGGCCGACCGGCCGCGCCGCGCGCCGCCGCCGCCGACGACGGCCCGCGACGCGGCGACGGCTCTCCAACGCGTGGCCCGCGGCAATCTTACGAGACGACGGACGAGTGCCGTGGCCACGCTCGAGGCCGAGGTCCGCGCCGCCCAGGAGCGCCTGGAAGCGGAGGTGCGGGAGGCCCAGCGACGATTGGAGGACGCGCGGGCGGCGCTGCCCTCGATGGCAAGGCCTCAACCTGTGGAAGCGCCGGCCCCGGCGCCGCTGCCATTTGACCCCTTCGCCGGCAACGCCGAGACGTTCGTGAGAGCCGCGCACGCGTTCACTGGCGACGGCGACCAGGAGTTGAGCATCGAGCGGGACCAGGCGCTGCTCGTGCGGACGGCGCACCTCGCGGACGCGTCGGGCTGGGTCTTCGCGGTCGCCGTCGACGACGGCGAGGGCGAGCCGCGGTGCGGCTACGTGCCCATCTCGCACCTCGGCGGCGCGGTGTCGCCGCGGTTCTTTCAGGACGAGGCGTCGGAGGTGTCGTAAAATTAGTTTGTGAACGGTGCGGCGATGGCGTACTAGCGGCCTGTAAAGGCACTAGCAAGCGCGCCAAGCGCAGCGTCCCGCGGCTGTAGATCAGCACCGGCTGCTTCCTGGGCTATAGCACAGCGCGCACAGACTGCGCTCAATATCTCCTACGCCTCACGCCAGAAGCGAGAGCACTGCGCCCGGCACCACTGAGTGCGCAGCCTCGCACTGTAGCTGCTTTCAAACCTGTATTTCAAAACGCGCGGCGCCATTTGTCACGCGAATAGCAATTTACGTAACCACGCACTGGTAGTTACTAGCGGCAACTTCAAAAACGCGTCACCTCGCTCCGCACTACAAACAAATTGACGCGCGACGATGGAACTCACCGCCGAGCACAAGAAAAAGATCAAAAAGATCGTCGCGAAGGCGGACAAGCAGACGATGACCGTCAAGACCGTGCGCCGGACGCTCGAGAAGTCGCTGGGGCTCGAGAAGGACGCCCTCAAGCCGCTCAAGGAGGAGCTCACGGCCTACGTCACTTTACTGATCGACCCGCCGACGCCGGCCAAGGAAAAGAAGCCGCCGGCCAAAAAAGCTAAGCCGGAATCGACCGAGGACGCGCGCATTGTGCAGCTGAAGAAGATGGGGCAGGCGGTGCGCGCGGGGCCGACGCTGTTCAAAGGCCTCAAGGACCTCGACGCCGACGCGAAGGCCGCCGAGCTCAAGGAGCGCCTCGTGGCCAAGGGCTACGAGATTTCGGGGGAGGCGCCGACCGTCAGTGACTCAGCGTGGGAAACGAACTTCAGGATGGCGTGGTCGCCGCGACGGCGTCGATGCGATGCCGCGCCGCCTCGACGCCGTCGATGCGGCCGCACGAGAGCCGCGGCAGGCCTGGCGACGCTCCGTTCCACGCAGGCTAAGGAAATAAAAGCAGCGAAGCGCCAGCGCGACCAAATGGAGGAGGACGACAACGGCATGGACCTGTCGAACATCATCACGGGCAAGCGCCGCCGCGCGGACGTGACGTACGCGGCGGCGCCGGCGCCGCTCGAGGAGAACAACGTGGACGGCGTGGACGAGGACTCGGAGGCAGAGTTCGTCTAGGATCGTGCGCGCCACCCTCCACGCCATCGAGCAGGCGCAGTTTCGATGGCGCGGGGGCGGGCGAGATGTGATTAAGTGAACAAGATATACATTACCGATCGAATTCAGTCGAGGCGCCACTCCTCGACGCCGTAGCCGACGAACTTGCCGTCGACGCGCTTCGCGAACGTGCCTTGAAATTCAAAGCCCAGCGCGTCCGCCGCGTCCTCGAGCCGCCGCCGCTCGTCAGCCGTGAGGCGCCAGCCGCGCGCGCCGGCGGCGTCGCGTACATATTTCTCCGTCGTCGCGCCGGCTATCGGTATCACTCCCGACCCCATGATCCAGTTGAGGGCGACTTGCGTCACCGTCTTGCCGCGCTCGGCGCCGACGGCCCTTAATTCATCCAGCAACGGCTTGACGCCGCCTTCAGGCACTCTGACCTGATTCTTCGCGAGGAACGGAAACCCGATAAAGCCCGTGCCGCCCGTCGCGTAGTGCTCGAGAGCGCCCGTCCTCTGATCGCCTTTATCCGTCAACAGACCCATGGCCAGCGGGTAGTACGCCAATGTTTTAATCCCCAATTCATTGGCCGCATCGACGGTGGCCTGGTTGTTGCCCTTGTTTCTAGCGAGTAATGAATAGTGGATCTGGTTCGAAGCTAGCTTCAGGCCACGCTTGGCCATGAACGCACTACATTTCCTAAGTAGTGAAGGACCGTAGTTCGACACGCCGATCTCCTTCACGAGGCCTAGTTCGACGCACCGCGCCAACCCTTCCCAGTACTCTTCATCTTTGCACTCAACAAAGCCGAAGAACCTACCGGGCTGGACGACGTCGGGCATGTGGATTTGATATAAATCGATCTGCTCCACGCCTAACCTTTTCCGAGAGGCCTCACAAGCATCCACCACAGATTGCGCGCCCCGCCGCCATGGCGTCGGCGTGAACTTCGTGGCCACCACGGTGTCCTGCTTCGCGCTCATGAACCACTCTTCGCCGGCGGCCAGCGTGTCCGCGAGGTAGGCCTCGCCTACACTGACGTCGGTCTCCATTTCTCTTGTGATGTACTCGGCGCCGTCCGCCAGCGCGTCCGCGAGTAAGGTCTCGCCCACGCCGACAGAGTAGCGTTCTGCCGTGTCGAAGAACGTGAGGCCCTCCTCTAAGGCAGCGGTCGCGACGGCGGCCCTCGCCTCCTCCGTGCCGACCTTGCCGTCTAATCTATCTCCGGGCCGGAAGCCCGTTCGCTCCTTCTCGGGCGTCCAGGAGATCGTGCCTAGCGCGACGGACGGCACCTCTAACGAGCCAATTGTTGTAGTGTCTTCTTCGATGTCAATCTGCTCCGTCGTGAAGGGGAGGCGGTCGCCGAGCTCCTGGCGCTTTTGCGCGATGCGCTCGGGAACGCTCAAGATGTTGTTGCGTGGTTGCGTCGACGCCGGCGCTTTGACGGGCGCCAGTGAGGACGCGGTCAATGCGCAGAGCGCGAGGATGAGAGCACTGCTGGCCATGGTGCTTGAGTGCTCGCGCTGACGATGCGCAAACGACTTGTGCTCTTGGACACGTTGAGGAGCGGTTGATTGCACAGTGTTGCCGAACTTATGTCAATTGGAATTATGTTGTGGCCGCGTGAGCAGCAGCGCAACAAACTTGATGGCACTGACTGTGTTGGCCCAAACTCTTCGTCGAACGACCCCTCTTCTTGTAGGCCGATCCGTGCGCAGGCGTCATCTCCAAGCGCAGCACGAGGGCTGGGAGGAGCGCAGCAAGGCAGCAACACCCAAAACGCCCCCCTGCACAAAAAACCGGGACCGCAGCCCCCCGCGACCCCTCCCATCACAAAGGACAAGGAAAGACGGATCAACCACGGAAAAACGACGCCCCGCACGAAATAATTATTTGCTGCTTGCCAAGCCCGCGACGCCTTTTATTTGCAAGGGGAAAGGGGGCCCGCGCCGCCAAAGGGCACCTCGCAGGAAGCTGCGAGACCAGCGCCCGAAGGCAGCGCCGCAGCCCGGCAGCGGCCGTCCCGTGGTGAAGACCGGGGCAGCCAGCTAAAAAGCAGGGGAAAACAGGGCCGCGAGCCCTAGACGACGCGATGGCGCGCGCGCTGGCCCTCGTGGCGGCGCTGGCGCAGCTCCGCGCCGCCGACGCCGCGGCCGCCGTGCACGTCGAGGCGCGGCCGAGCCCCATCTACAGTACCGTAACGCAAAAGCTGCGCTTAAAGGGCAACGGCTTCGGCGCCGCGGGCACGGGCGAACACCTGAACCTCCAGTTCGTGCCGACGATGCCCAAGACGGACTACAAGGTGCAGGTGCTGTCGGATGACGCACTCGCAATTAACTTAGTAGCGGGCAAGTCCTGGCCCCTCGCTTCGGATGAGGGTACCGATTTGTATCTTTCGTCGTTGATAGATGACCGGAAAGGAAATATGAACCAGCTCGAGAGCCCTACGGTCATCGCGCGGGTGATCCCGACGCCGACCGTCATGCACGGCGGCGAAAAGGTCATCTACATGACCGGCACGACGCGCTTCAACATCAACGGCACGGGCTTCCGAGCCAAGACCATGGAGCTCATCTTCGACCCGCCCCTGGAGAAAGACGTAGACTACATGCTTAATACGCGCTCGTCGACGCACATGCAGCTCATGCTGCGCTCGGGCCGGAAGTGGCGGAGCGACGGCGAGCCCGGTCCTCTTAAGTTGAGGAGGATTGATACCGGTGCGGGTGATCTGCGCATCGACGCCAAGTACGGCGGCGTGACGGTGGCCGAGGTCCAGGTCGACTTAGGTGCCCATGGCGTCACGGTCGAAAGTGCCGCGGACCACAAGCTCTATCAAGGAGACCCCGAGCTGACCGTGCGCGGCTCGGGCTTCAACAACACGATTTCCCTGAACACCCTGAAGTGGGGCAACAGTCTGAGAGGCAAAGGCGTGAACTACACGATCACCAAGGCGTCGGGCAGTGCCTTGACGTTGTCCCTGAAGCCCGGTTCCGTGTGGCGGTCGAACCCGGCGAACCTGCCGGGACCTCTCAAGCTACTAGCGGTCAACGCCGGCGTCGGCCTCGTGCCGGTCGGCCCGACGGAAGCCAAGAAGGGCCGCACGGTGGCCACGATCTTCGAGGACCCGGCCATCACGGCGAACCCCCAGCAGACCGTCTACCAGACGCACACTCATGAATTGTGGGTGACCGGGCGCGGCTTCACGCGCGGGGCTTATGGTACCAAATTAGATTTCGACCCCCCGCTGCAAGTGGGCATCGACTACGTCATGATGGTCTTCAACCGGACGCACTTGCTCATCTCGTTACTTGATGGCAGGAAGTGGGCGCCGAACACGGGCATCCTGCGCGTCGTGGGCGTGGACACGGGCGCCGGCGCGTTCAAGCGCTTCCAGCCTGTTGCTGTGGCCCACGTCGCGTCCGACGCCGATGATCATCCTTCGGGGTTGACGGTGGCTCGTACGGCCTCGCAGATCCTCTACCAGACCGCTGCTATTAGAAAGCTGGAAATCCAGGGCTCGAGCTTCTGCCAGGGGCCCTCATTAACGTTCCAGCCTCCTTTGACCGACGGCGTGGACTACTCCATCACGCGAGCGACCTCGGAGAAGTTGTCATTAACCCTCAAGTCGCACAAGAAGTGGCGCTACGAGGCCGGGCCGCTCTACTTAACCTCGATCCAGTGCGGCTCCGACGCGCCCGTCGAATTGGCCTACGGCCAAGGTATTGTGGTGGCGACGGTGCTCGCGGACCCGACGATCGAAGCTTCCGAGCGCAAGATCTACGCGACGCACACGAAGCGACTCATTGTCCAAGGTTCTGGTTTCTCATTGGACGGCACCGAGTTGACGTTGCGACCGACGTCGCGCAGTTCATATGAAGTCGAAAGCGTGGAAATGGCCGAGATGGTCCTCATCCTCAAGGAGGGCAAGTCCTGGGCGCCGGCCAAGACGAAAGACGACGGCAAGCCCGTGTCCATCTACGTGACCAAGATCGATACCGGTGCCGGCGAGGTCGTCATGGAGGACGACGGCGCGATCGTCGCGAGGGTCTTCCCGGACCCGTCGGGCGCCGTCTGCGACGATAGTTGTGAGTGGGCGCTGGATGGCGTTTGTGACGACGGGTCCGCCGGTGAAGATAGGGAGGTCTTCGATGACGATTATGGCGGGTTCTACGGGTATGATGATGATTACTACGGCGGGTATGGGTACGACTATTACGGGTACGGTGACGACGACGACGACTTTTTGGCTCCCGTGTGCGAGAAGGGCACGGATTGTACGGATTGCGGGGGAGCTGATCCGGACGCGCCGACCGTGGAGTGCACGAACACGTGCCAGTGGGCGAACGATGACTACTGCGACGACACACGAACGTCCGGGCTGTGCGATTTGGGCACAGATTGTCATGATTGCGGCCCTGCTTCTAAGGGCAACTTCACGACGTTCGACGACGACGGCTGGTGGGACGACGATGAGAACTACTGGGACGACGATTATGACTGTTTTTGCCCGTGCGGAATCACGTTTGACGGCGCCTTCCTTCACGCCATCGATGCGACCCGACTCACTGGTCAATTCCACACAGGGGAGAACTACGACTCCGCGGACGACGACGCTCCCCACGTCGCGTTCATCAAGTCGACCCCTAACCCGAAATCGCGAGCCAACCTCGACGACGTCAAGGGCGTCGGCGGAGTCTTCATGATGCTTCTGGAGGGCATCGTCGTTGGCGTCGGCGCGCTCATGTGCGCGATCGGCTCGTGGTTCGCGCACAAGTTCTACAAGGGCGAGAAATTGCCGTTCGAACTATTAGCTCCTCCGTCCGCGGCGGAAGAGGCCGCCATGCTGTCGGGCGGCAAGGCGAACGTGCCGATCACGCCGGACGTCGCCTACACGGGCAAGGGCTGACGCGCTTGCCCTTCCCATTCCCAGCGCGTGGCCCCGGCGCGCTCCCCCCCGGTGTAACGGATTTGATATCGAAGTCGGTCGGCTGTCGCTGCGTACTAGCGTCTCACGTATGGATGTCACACGCGCATGCGCAGCGCGTATATATACGCATATAAAGATATATATATATATCCTTGCGCCGGTTAATTAAGAGCAATCATGTGTGGGGCTCTCTGCAAGGGGTACCATACAGTACCTTAAGTAGGTATACTTACACGCCCTTACAAGCTTGCTCTTGGGCTCGAGACGGACCTGCTAAACATAGAGGGCTGAGTGCTCCGCTCGCGCGTCGAGGCCCCACCTGAAGCCACAGATACGCCGACGACGCAAACGGACGCTAAGGGCCGATAAAGCTGCCACAATCGAAATTTCGCATCGCCATCCCCGGCGCCGCCGCCTCCGTCGCCCTTCTGGAAACGTTTGTTCGGAGGCGCCGCCGAGGAGGAGGAGGCGGCCGCCGAGCCGCGGCCGTCGTGGTCACGGATGTCTCCGCCGAGCTCCACCGAGGAGCCGTCCTCGCCGGCCGACATGGCGGGCGCGGCGCCCTTGCCGGAGTCGCCACATTCTCCACCACTCGAGGACGCAATCCTCAGCGTCATCGATCCGCCGGAGCTCAGACCGCGGGCATCTCGAGCCCCGACTCCGCCACCTCAACGCCAGGGCTTCGGCCGCGGCCCGTCGGCGGCCATCATCGCGTCGCCGCGAAACGTCGTCATCGAGCCCGTCCCACGCGTTAACCGCGTCACGTCCAACGAGGTCGACGAGTTGTTTGAGGCGACCACTCCGCCGGGTGCGCCGCCCGCCGCCGAGGATCAGGGCACGTTCCCGCCCGCGGCCGAGGATGGGGACACGTTTAAATACTAGGTAGGTTTATTTGCCGGATCGCGTAGAGAGAAAAGTTCACTAGGCTCAGGCTCAGCTTAATTACGTCGCGGGGCCCCCGTACCCCTGAAAACAGCTTGCTAGTGTCTTACATACCGCTAGCACTATTTTGCGCAAGGCAAAAGCGGCGGCGTCCGGCCGTCCGGCTGCCTTGGCGCACTCCAGTTGACCAGACTGTAGCACACGTATCGCTTGGTCACTTCTGCTGCATACGTTGGCAGCCGTATCGGCGCTCACAGCTAGCTGCCAAAACTGCTTTGGCAAGCGCCGACGCCGCAGCGGTCAAGCGGCGTCGAGGTCAAGCGCCGACGCCGCAGCGGTCGATGGCCAAGCTCAAAGTGCGCAAAGCCACGCTGCCCTGGCTCTTCGTCGGCCTGAGTTGCATTGCGTTAATTGTGCTGCATCAATCAACATCACAGCTGACCGACCGCGACGCGCACTACAAAGAGGAATTGCAGAGGCTGCGGGCGCTCGCAGGAACGCAGGTCACGACGCACGCGACGACGCGGCCCCCGGCGCCCGCCGCGGCGGCGGCCTTTGTCAACCGCGCGACAACTCCGCCGGCGACGACAACAAAAAAACTCTGGCTGGCAGTAGGACTGCCCACGGTCCCGCGCTTGAATGACGAGGACTACCTCGGGACCACGCTCAACGCCTTCGCGCGCGAATTGTTTCCGGCCGAAAGTATGTTAGCGGGCGCCGTCGGCGTCTTTGTCGTGAACGTGCACGGCGCCGGGCACAAGCGCTTCGACGAGGCCAAGGAGCGCTTCTCCACGAATCCAGCTTTCCGCTTCTCAGAAAAAGCCGAGGACCCGGCCCTCACGGCGAACCGCGTCGACCCGCCCCACGTCGCGGGAAATGCAAATAGACCGGGCTGGCGCGTGCGGAAGCAGACGCGCGACGTGGCGTCGGTGTTGAGGATAGTGCATGATCAAGCGAGGTACTTTGTGTTCGGGGAGGACGACATGGCGCTCTGCGACCATGGGTTCCGGGCCATGGCGTACATTATTGAAAGGGCCTCGCGCTTCTATCCCGACTGGCTCGCCATCCGGGCCTCGTTTGGGATGAACGGCATTTTTCTCAAAGATGCGGACTTGTTGCCGTTTGCGGATTACCTGGAAGAGCATCAGGCCCGGCGGCCGCCGGACCATTTGGTCGTGGAGTGGTTCGCCGGGGAGCGCGACCAGTCAAAAACCTACAAAAATAACCGACCGCACCTGGGCTTCCGCTGGAACATCTTTTCGCATCTGGGGACGAAGTCGACGTTAGGGTCGCGGACGAAGCGCATGCCCGGGTGCTTTGAGATGTTGACAACACCAGTCGTTTTTCCGGTCGAGGCGTTCCTGAAAACAAAATGCCCGCGCCAGGACTTCACGCCCTGCGAGGCGATGAAGGGCCACCCCATGCTGGACTGGGGGTCGGCGCGGGGCGTCTACCAGTGACCTGCACGCCATCGACGCGATGACTGTCGCCTAGTTTTTAAGTTTTAGTAATGTTCACACAAGGTTAAGTCAATATCGGCGCGCATCGCGGCGACGGCGTCGTGGTCAGTCCTCGTCGTCATCCGGGTACGCCTCGGGCTTGAAGCCCGGGATCGGCGGCGTCAGCGCCCAGAAGCGCCTATCTAAAGGTGGGAGGGGCACATCATCTAAGCTCATCGCCTGCTTCCGTAAGTCGGGAGGCAGGCTCGCGAGGGCGTACTGCTGCAGATCGAGCTTCAGCTGGAGCCCGGCCTCGAACTCGCAGTGCTTGATCCGCGACAGTTTGTTGTATCGCGCGCCGATTTCAAAATTCCGTTTTGCTTCCTCTTCCGAGAACTTCGGCCGCGTCTTGCGCGGCGCATCCAAGATAGCCCGGTAGAAGGCCGTCGCGCCGTCCTGCGGGTTGTCATCATCATTTTTACCCTTTTTCTTCTTCTTTTTCGTGGCCGGGGCCGCGAACCGCCGTCGCGCCTGTCGTGTTACCGTGCGCAGCATTTGCTTGCCTGTGTGTGCGATTGTGATGGACTGTTTCATCCCAAACTTCATTCGTGGGCTCCGTCGAGAGGCCTCGGGCCGCGCGCGTTTTGCAGCGCGGCGGGGACGTGGTATGAAAGATCACGGGCGCGCTCAGGAGACCGTCGTGATTGGTGTTGCGTCCGCTCGTCATCGACCTTCGTCAGCTTTTGTTGTTGGACGCGGGCGGCGACGAGGTGCTGCTCTTTTGAGCGGGGCTGATTGGTGCGGACGGTTGCCAGGCGTGCGGATAGCAGGTCTTGCCGTATCGCTACGATGCTATGCTAGCTCGCGAGAGGCTCAGCACTGCGCAGCGTTGCGCTTTGCCTCTCTGGCTAGCTAGCGGCCTGTAAGACACTAGCCAGCAAAAATCGAACGCGCATGCAGCTGTTTGAGTATCCTTCAGTTCTCTAATGGTCCAAAGAGATCAATGGGACACTTCCTGGGGGCCGAAAAAATAAATTTTTTAATGCGCGGAGCGGAGGCGGACGAGGCCACAGGCCAGCCGCGCCGGTGGAATCCTGTCAATCCCTGCCAAAGAGGTCTCCCTGGGGTCGCCTAGGGTCGGTACTAGACACGTGCACGCGCCTACACCGCATACGCCGCCGCTTCAATCATTTTTGGTCGATTTCTCTCAGCAGCCCGCAGAGGAATAGCAGCTTTTGGCCATTGTTTGCTTCCAGGGCTCTCGGGGAGCACTAGACTGCCGCGTCGGCGGCGTATGCGGGACAGGCGATTACCCACTATCAGACCTACCTCAGAGGGAGTTCTGGAGCCGATCTGCATACGAAAAAAGTGTACAATTTGGACCCGATGGCACCCCGTTCTCGTAAAAAACGTCAATTACCTGAGGGCCCCCAGGAATCGCCTTAGCGGCCTCTTTGGACCATATACTACCCCACCGATAGTCAACTACGAGTATATGACATCTACACGCCGAGAAGGGTACTTTGGGCCGCCCACGCTCGGGACGTGAACATCTTGATCTGGACCTCGCACAAGTTGGTCGGTCATGAAACAAATGATCGCATTATGGTCCATGGTGATGGTACACGGGCTGATGGTCGCAGGTCTAGGCCTCGAGCCCGAAATGGCCAGATTATACTCTCTCGGGGTGGCCGAGCCGCCGTGGAGATTACGGTCAATAAATCCTATGTAGTAAGCGCCCAGGCCAATTATCTGGCCCGTCCCACACCCGAATCGCCTGAAACGCAAATTTATTTCACAACTCACGGGTCTGGGGCCTTTCCGGTGCTCCGTCTACGCACCGTCGTCCGCGGAGAACGGGCAAGTCGGTCGATCGTGAATAGAACAACGGCGTTATGGTCCATCTGGATGGTGGCGTCGCTGATACTCGCAGGTCTTACTTATTTACCCGTTTAACATAAAAGGTGGTGTCGCGAAGATGACGAATCGCGAGGCTCTAACGGAATATCTAAAATAGCTCAGTGGGCGCTGATGCGGGTTAGATGGCCTCTACCACTAACAAACAAATAAAAACGAACATAAACGCGAGAGTTGTCTAGTAGAATTCTTTTCCCGCCCTCCGGGCGCGGGCCGTCGGCTCCGGTTCCGTCGATTGTGGATGAAAACTGGGCTGGAGTTGATATAATGTACTATTTGGACGGTAGATGGCGGTGTTAATCGCTGGTGTAATTTGGCGAGCCGTAAGGCTCATCCGTGAATGTCGCGGGCGGTGCCTTCCGGGAGGCGCGAGGGTATGTTCCCGGGCCGCTACTCTGAAATAATTGGTCGCGGCGAACGACCAGGGTGTATTCTGAATTTTGGTCATTCTTTTGACGCTATCGACGCGTATCTCTGAATTTGCTAGTGTCGTTACGCTACGACGACGACTTCGATGACGACGACGACGACGACGACGACGACGACTAGACGCATGACACGCGGGGTGGCTGCCCGTGAGCGCCTTGCACACAACTTACCTGAGATCCCCTCCCTACCCCTCCCTCTCTCCCTCCCTTACCCGCCCAACCCTCACCCGACCTCCCTCCCTACCCCGTTCGGCCCCACCCCGTGTAAATAGGCCCTTGACGAATGAACACTTCTTAGAGCGCCTTCCGCCGCGCGACGCGGAGGTCGTCGTCGTCGGACAGCGTCACGAGGAGGTCGTCGTCGGCGTAGAGCACGGAGAAGCTCGTCCGCCGGTTCACGCCCGGCAGCCAGGCCGGCAGCCAGCCGGCTGGGACGGCGGGCCGGGGCAGGGCCCGCGCGACGCGGCCCGTGCCGTCGGCGGGCTCGACGGAGACGCTTTTGGTCAGAAGCGTCGCGGCGTAGGGCGCCTTGGGCGCCGCGAGCGCGTGCTCGACCCGTATGGCCGGCGGCGGCAGGAGCGGCGTGGCCCGCGCGCGGAAGGCGACGACCGTGTCGACGCCGTCGCCGGCCGCGCTCGGCTTCACTCTATACTCTAACGATTTCAGAGCGAACTTCCCGAGGGCCTCCGTCGTCCGCGGGAAGAGGCCGACGACGGCGCCGGGCCCCGGCAGCGACCTTCTCAGCCGGTCGCGCCGCCGCGGCACGGCGCCGGCGCGCGTGTACTTCACCACGGAGCTGGGGGCGCGCTCGTTTTTGGTCGAGGCCGTCGCGCCGGCGACGGCCGACGAGTAGAGGACGTCCCAGGCGCCGGCGAAGCGCCGCGCGTCGAAGATTGAGGGGGCATATCCTCGCCCCGGCCGCGGCCGGTCCGCGCGGTCGGCCTCCCGAGCTCGCGCCGACAGCGCCTCGGCCTCCTCGCGGATGGCCCGGACATCCACCGAAGCCGCACCGAGACCCGCGTCCGAGCACCGCCGCACCGTCTGCATGAGGCGGTCCCTTGCTCTTTTTACGGCGTCCTCGGGGCGCTTCTGGATCGCCGCCTGTGCGCAAATCAACCAGTGAGTCAGGTGCTCGCAGCCACGCCATCGTGCTGACGTCGCGACGATGGCGTGAGACGCGCGACGATTTGATTCACGCACCGCTCGCCGCCATGGAGTCGACCGCGACTTCGATGGACGTGGCGTTCCGCCTTGATTGATCCCGGTAGCGCACGGCCGCCTCCACCGCCACAGCCTCGAGATTCGTCACGAGGTCGCGCGCGATCCTATTTTCCACAAGCGCGACCGGCAGCCACGGCCGCGGCTGGATCTCGACCGCATAAGTCAAGCGAGTGGCATCCCCTCCATCAATGCCGCAGTTCGGCAACGGCTGGGCCCGCCAGAGGCCCTGATACAAAGTGAAATCCCCGGCCTCTCCAACCGCCGAGACCATCGTGATGTCCCGCGTGAGCGCGGGGTCCGACGTCGCCGTGGCCCAGGGTCGCGGGAAGACGCCTCGTTCCAGTCGTTCGCGCCGTTCCGCCTGCCGCAGGGCGTCCTCGTCGTGGGGCTCATCTAGTAATTCTCCTCTTCTAATTTTGGATGGATCTAAACCGCCTATGACCTCCGTCACGTCCACGACCATGGAGGCCTTAAAGGTCAAGCCCGGCAAGACTTGCGCTGCCCCAATCTGCTTGATCTTGGCCCCGTTCGCGGTGAGCTGCACGACTTCGTTGCTCACTAAGTTAGGTACCACTTCAGCTAACCCTTCATAGTCCGTCAGCAACCCCCAAACCGTGTCGACGTCCGCATTGATGTCGACGCCCGTATAGATTCTGCGAGCGTTGCCCGGCGCCGCGTCCACCCTCACGACGACCTCGCCCGGAATCAAACACATGTCCTCGCCCAGCTCCTCGACGGGGCTCTGGGCCTTGCGCTCCTTGAGGTCGAGCTCCTTCGTGGCCGTCGCTTGGAGTTTCGGTGCGCGCCGCGGCGCCGCGTGGAGGAGAGCATGCGCCAAGCTGGCACAGGTTGCCACGAGGACAACGCTGCGGCTCATTGTTTAGAGGGTTGCGTTCAGTTGAGGAGGCTTGTATTTTTACAGTGAGACGAGCGTCGACGGTGCAGTAGGAGGCACGTGTAACTCGCTGTCATCCCACCCAGCTCAGCAAGTTTTGCTAGTGTCTTGCGCCGCTAGCCCACATTTTTGACGCGCCAATTTGACTTCTCTTCCGCTAGAGGGTCCCAGAAAGACGCCTCTCTGCGGTTCCAAGGCGCAACTGGTGCGCCTCCGCACGACCGGCGGACTCGCGGCCGCAAGGACCGGCGACCCCCAGTCAATCCGTGGGACGCGCGCCCTCGAGGCGCCCCGGTCTCCCCCGCCATACTACACCGAACGCGTACGGGAGGGATGGTCCCTGGCTCCGAGTCCGGACGCTGACGCGGACGCCACGACTCCGAGTGGCTGCTTGCAACACCCACAACGCCGGCGCCGTTCCGCGACACGAGGCGTCGCCGCCGCGCATCCAAAATGCGCATGCGGTGCGCACGTCGTGTGTTCTGTGGTTGTGCTCGCGTCCCGGCCGCGCGCCGCGTCGAACGAGCATCGCAGCGGAGGCTATCTGATGTATCGGCGCCGGACGCGGCGGAGTACGCGCGCGCGCTAACGAAGTGTTGCGTGGCGCGCTCTGGCCACAGGCGGCGCAGCAGGCCCTGCAGCGGGTGAGTGTATCCTCTTCGCATATGTTGGCTGCCGATTTGGGGGCAGCCTTTGGCGCGGCAGCGTCCGTGCTGCCCGCCGGTGGCGCCCTGAACAAGGGCAGCGTCGCTCTTGGGCTCCGCGCCGGGGGAGGCCGCGGAACATCATGACGAAGACGGCACCTCCAACCTAAACCTCTAGCGCAAAACGGCCGGAAATCGGGAGTTGTCGCCAGCGTGCAGGTCCGCTTCCCCGGGGCGCGGCGGGAGTGCTCCCAAAAGATGCGAAAAAAACCCGCGTGCCCTGCAAAATTTAGCTCCGCGGATGAATTGGCCCTAAGTGGCGTTCCTACGGCCTCGCAGCGGCAAGGAATCTTTGCTGGGCCCCGCCAGGACTGCGGCGCACGACTGGCCGAGTTTCGCGGCGTCTCGCTAGACGGCTGTGACGTCGAGAGCCCTCCTTGAAAAACACCGGCAGCTGGCAGGGAAACGGGCGCCCGCGGTCGAATTGAAGGGCCGCCATGGACTCCTCGTACGGCGCGCCCGCCGCGGCCGACGACCAGGGCCATCTTCATGCCTTACTCAAGCTGTCCAACGAGGACGCCCCGCCGCCGCCTCCTGCGCGAGGAGAGCACCCCGCGCTAAGCATGATGCGCCGGTCGCCGCCGACGACGCCGCCGCAAGTGCGCAAGTCGCTCCAGGAGGCGACGCCGAGTCCGCCGCGCGTGCCGCGCGTGCGGCCCGGTTCGACGGGATCCACGACCGCGTCGTCCATAAGCGACTCCGTCAACAGCGTCAGTGTCAGCACCCCCTCGATAGCCGAGCGCTCCATGCGCAAGATGATTTCCAATCTGGGCCCGCCGCGCTCCATACATATGGAAGACGAGGACCCCACGAAACCCGTCAAGTGGCGCTCGTTGCGGTCTCGAGGCGCCAAGCTCTACGCCTGGGCCACCGCCGCTCGATTGAGCGCCGAAGGGCGGGGCGCGGGCGTCAACCTCGGCTTCGATCCGGCCTCGCCAGTGCAATCCATAAAAAAGATGGAGAAGGAGGCGTCCGAGACGTCGCTGGAGCTGATGCGCATTAAAGCTACTCGCAAGCAGCAGCTCGGCGAGAAGGCTAAAAGAGAAAGAGCTCTGGCCCTCGAGGCTACCACTAGAATGTTGGATTACCTCGCGGCCGGCGGCGGCGAGGCCCAGATGGGCTCCCGCTTAAGCATAGACGCTTTGCGGGAAATCGGCGCGTCCGACGAGATCTCGTCGGAAGATCGGCGGCGGTCGCGGCATCATCGCAGAGGGTCGTCCGCGGGTTCGACCATCAGCGACGCCGACTCCTACGGCGAGTCCTTCGCGTCGAACAGCTACTCCGATCGCCAGGCGCACCCCCTGTTCACGCGGAGCGCCCAGAAGGCGCCGCGCGATGCGGACTCGTCCGACGACGACGGGGCCGGCGGCGCCCTGGCGTCGCATCTGGCGACGTTCAAATTCCGACGAGCACTAGACGCGGCCGCGGGCAGCCACAAGGAGCAGCAGGACCTGAAGACGGTGCTCGGGAATAGCAAAGCCCAGCCGCGACTGTCCGGTGCAGCTCAAAGAGCCGCGGCGGCCTTCGCCGCGCGAGGCGGCGGCCGGAAAGAGCCCAGGGCACCGCCCTGGAGCCCCTTCCAGGAGGAGCTCGCGCCGCAGAGCATTGGTCTCGAGTTATCCGACGACGAGGCCCCGAAGCGCGCCCACCGGCGGCAGCCGTCGCAGGAGGTGCCTAGGTTAGGCGCCGAGGCGCCGAGGAAGGCGCGCGTCGAATTGTGGCCCGAGACGGAGGCCGTGTTGAGGCTGCACGCGGCGATCGCGCGGGGCGACGCGCGGGCCGTGCGCGCCGCGGCCGTGGAAGGTGCGAGAGGCGGCCCCGTCGGGGCCTTTGCTACCATGGCGCGAGCTTTGCATGTCGCGGCCGCTAGGGACGGGGCCTTCGGCGCGCCGCGCGCCGGCGTGGTGGAGCTGCTCGTGTCTCTAGGAGCCGACGCCTGCGCGCCGGACGCCATCGGGGCCACACCTTTACATGTGGCGGCGGCCTGCGGCAACGCCTCGGCGCTGGCTGCTTTGTTACGCTCCGCGACATGTGATAATGACGACGGCGACGGCGCGGCCGAGCAGGCCGCGGCGCGCCGGTGCCACGCCGGGCTCACTCCTCTCGAGGTGTCGCTGACGCGGCGCCGCGACGCGCGCGAGCTCTTCGCTTCCCTGTTGTGTCGCGCTAGAGCGTTTGACGTCGACTTTACCGATGGCCCCCTCGGCATCAAGCTGGCGTTAGTCAGGCACACGATACCTCGCTCGGCGCCTGCTGGTGGCCTATTTGCGCCGGCGCCGCCGTCCACCCGACCGCCGCCGCCGCCGCCGCCGCCGCCCCTCTCTTCGCGGCGGCGCCGCCCGTCGTCGGAGGACGGCGAGCGGCCGCTCGTCGCCATGGACAAGCCGCCGCGGCGCCACCGTCGGACGGCGTCGGACGGCGCCGCCCCGTGGCAGGACGACGCTTCTCGCAGAGCGGCGCGCCACGCGCGGCGGCTCCGCTCGTTGGCGCGGGAGCGCGGCGCCCCCGTGCCGCCGCCCATCCCCGAGCTCCGGCGCAAGTCCAACGGCGAGGCGGCCGACGACTTCTGCGGTCCCAGAGCACCTCCGGCCCGGACCTTGTTGGTCTCCTCCGTGTCCGACTCCTCGCAAGCGAGAGGTTTGCTCGAGCCGGGCGACCAGCTCCTCGCGCTGAACGGTCTGGTGCTCGCGCCGCCGGACGAGGCGGGCTTCCAGGCGCTGATGGGCCGCATCAAGACGCTGAGCCGCCCCTTGCGGGCGACGTTCGTGGCGGGGTCGTTCCCCCACTTGTCGGTGGAGGACGACCCGTGCATCGATCTATTGACGCGCTTCTCGCCGGCGCCGCGGCCCGAGAACCAGGACGACGAGCCGCGCTGATCTCCTTTCCTCCCCTTGTGTGGTAGTTTGGTGTACTAACTCCTCTTCTTTCGTATTTTCTTTTCGCAAAACTTACCCCGGCGCCCCGTCGCTCGCCGCAAATACTGGCCTCGCTTGCGCGAAGAGCAATGCTCCCGAGTAGAGCGCCAGCGCGGCGGACGCCCGTAAGAGCCCAAGTCCGGCGCGCGGCGCGAGGCGCCCCGTCAGGACAAGTAAAGCGGCCATCTGCGTGGCCGTCTTCAGCTTTCCCGCGCCGCCAACGGCGACGGCGTCGCGCTGGCCGCGGTCCGCGCAGTACTCCCGTAACGCGGACACTGCCACCTCGCGCGCGACGATTACGGCCGCGGGGAGCGCGACGCCCGGCGTCGACGCCGTCAGCGCGACCAGCGTCGTGACGACCAGCAGCTTGTCCGCGACGGGGTCCAAGAACGCTCCGAGACGTGACTCGACGCGCCACCGGCGTGCCAGGTATCCGTCAAACGCGTCCGTTATGGATGCGCCCGCGAAGCAGCCGCACGCGAGGCGCGACGCGTCGCAGCGCAACGCGCCGAAAACGATTGGTACGCAGCCGAGGCGCAACGCCGTCAAGGCGTTTGGTGTCGCGCGTTTCCACCCTGGCGTTTCAGTTTCACTGTTGACTGCGCGGTAGTAGCAGTGATGCTGTCGTATCCGCGGGGCGACGAATGCGTCTGCGACGAGCACCGCTATGCTGCAGAGAGCTAGTCTGACCATTCTGCACCGAGCCTGTTGTGCAACCACCAGTTGTGCTATTGGTTCAGGTCGCTGCGGCGGCGTATCTAGATGCAATGGCTTTCACTGCCGGTGCAGAACTATGCAGCACGGCGGCACTCCTCTGCTCGCACCACCGAGCTGGATTGCTAGTGTCTATATGGCGCTAGCTAGCAACACTGTCAAGGCTCGTCGGATAGACGGCCTTCCGCGGCCCAGTAGCCCGCCGTAGCTTCGGTGGACAACCCTCACAGCGCCTACCGTTTGCTTCTCGGCCGAGAGCTCCATTGGGGCCGTGCAGCCTGTGAAACCAGGAGGCTACATCACAGTCACTATGTCGCTCCGCACGCGCACTGATCGATTACTAGAAGAAGTTGGCATAGAACGGACCGCGACGCTCAATGGTGATGTCCGTGCGCTCGCCGAGGCCGTGGGCCTCGGTTTCACGTCTCTTCCCGCGACGCTCACCGCCCTCGAGGCCGAAGTTCTAGGCGCGCCGGCGGAGGCGGCGCCGGCGCCCGCCGCAGTCGTGCCCGCACCCGCAGCCGCGCCCGCGGCCGCGCCGCCGGCGACGCCACCGACGGCGGCTAAGGCCAAGCCCGAGCCCGAGCCCGAGCCTGATAGCGACAGCGACGGCTTCGAACTCACGGGCTCGCAGACCGAGGCCGAGCGGACGGCCGCCGCGCGCGAGGAGGCGGAACGCAGGAACGACGTCGTCGATGTGGATGATGAGGGTGATGACGATCTCTCGAGCCAGTCCGTCAAGGCGCTCAAGGCGATAGCGGCGGCGCGCGGCGTCGACGTTTCGACGTGTAGAGAAAAGTCCGAGATCGTCGCGGCCCTGCGCGCTCCCGCTGCGAACGGCGCGCCGGCGGCCGCACCGCCGCCGCCGGCCGCAGCGCCACCCGCGCCGCCACCGCAATCGGGCGCGGTCAAGCGCCTCACGCGCCGCATTATCTCGAGCGCGCTCAAGGACGGCGCCTCGTTGTACGACGTGCTCGGCATCGAGAGCTCGGCCACGGCTCGCGACGTCACGGTAGCGTATCGGGACATTGCTGCTTTGATCCACCCCGACAAGTGCTCCGAAGAGAATGCCTCGGAGGCGTTCAAAAAAATCAACGAGGCGAATTCAGTTCTGTCGGATGCCGCGCGCCGCTCGATCTACGATGCGGAGCAGGCGCGGGCCGCAGCGCCGCCGGCCCCGGCGCCCGAGCCGGAACGTCGCAAGCGGCCAAAGCGCAAGGCTGCCAAGCGCAAGAAGAAGAAGAGCGCGAAAAAGAAGCGCAAGGCCCCGTCGAGCGACGACGACGATGACGACTCCTTCATCGCGGACTCGGACGACGAGGAGGAGGAAGAAGAGAGCGAGGCGGACTCTGATTCGGACTCGGAATCGGAGGAAGAGGAGTCCGAGGACGACGAGGACGTCATCGGCGGCTCGGACGACGACGACGATGAGGAGGAGGAGAGCGACGAGGAGAGCGACGAGGCGCCCGCGCGGCGGCGCGCGCCGGCGGCGGCGCCGCGGCGCGCGCGGCCGCCGCCCGCGCCGAAGACGCGCCTCGAGCAACGCGGCATCCCCGCCACGCGGGTCTCGCGCGGCGGCTGCGTCTGCCGCCTCGGGCAGAATTGCTACGCGCGGTCCCACCTGTGCGTCTGCGGCCAGTTCTCGCGGTGCTACTCGAAGCGCCACCTCTGCTTCTGCGGCACGGGCTCGTCGTTCACGTGCATCGCGAAGACGCACAAGTGCATCTGCGGCTCTGGCTTCCCCCGGTGCTTCGCGTCGCGACATAAGTGCATCTGCGGCACGACGACGACCTGGAGCCGGTGCCACTCGACGGACCACTACTGCATCTGCAAGCGCATCAGCGCGGGCAAGGCGGGCGGCTGGACGACGTGCGGCGCGCGCGCGCACGAGTACTAAGTAGCAAGTATATGACCGTCACGCCATCGACGCGCGGGCGGGCTCGGCTAGGCCTAAGCATTCTACATCCCAATACGCCTCGTCGACGCGCCAGTAAACCAATAGACAAACGCCATCGCCGCGACAACTCACACAACAAAGATTACTCAGAACGCGATCCACGGCGGGCAGTTCTTCATGCGCCTTAACGTCTCGGGCGCCGCCCGGTTGTGGCGCAGGCCGACGTGTTGGAGTGACGGAAACAATTTCCCGCGCGCCTCGGCCTGGAAGGCCTGGAAGAGGGCCCACATGCCCCTTGATCTTATCTCGCACGACTCCAAGTGGAGCTCTTCTAGCGTATCAAAACACCCTTCCAGAGCCAGGGACGCGATCAAGCACCCTCCATCATCCTTAAAGGCGTTGGCTCTTAGATCGAGCACTTTCAGCTTCACTTGGCCCTTCACGAGTCCCTCCAATAACAACTCGATGCTGTTCGGCATCAGCAGGTTGGCCCGTAAATCCAAACGCGTGAGGTTCGGAGCGCACTTTCGCTTGAAGCCATCACTTAAAAACTTGACGCCCTGCCTTCCTATATGATTCCATCCTAGGTCCAACGTGTCCAACCTAGGACACGCTCCGAGCACCAGATCTCTGACCAAGTATCGGACACCGATGGGCCCGAGCTTGAAGCCCTGGATCTTCTCGACCGTCCGGAACCGCTTCAGTTCAATCTCGAAGTGCGACTCCTCCTGCTTCTTTTTTTTGGTCCTATGTTTTTGGATAGCCGCGCGCCGCGCGCCCCTGCTTCCGGTCTGCTCCGGCTCTCTCACCTCCTCTTCCTCTTCTTCGGGTCGCTTCTCCTTGACCCTTAGTAAAATCTCCACATCGGTTTCATTGGGCGGTTCGCGAGGGTCGGGCCTCGGGGGATTGACGCCGGCGATCATGCCCGCGCGGCGCATCGTCGTCAGGGCCGTCTGCGTGTCGTGCTCCTGCTCGAGTCGTAGCAGTTCCGCATTGTGGGCCTTGGCGGCCCGGAACGTGTCGTCGGCCAATTTGGCGTCGGCCTCGCGGTCGCGCCTGCGTGCGTTTCGTCGACGGCATTCCGCGTGCGGTACCCCCGTGACGCCCTCGCGGCGATGGCGACATCGCAGGACGCGCGGTGCGAGCGAGTTCGAAGCAACGGCATCGAGCGAGCGCGGCGACGGCGTCCCGGGTCCGGTGGACGCCATCGCCGCGACGATCGAAGAAGGACGGACGCCGCCCCAGACTTATCCTTCGCATCCTTCTCCGCCTGCAACCGCCGATTAATGACGCCGTTCTCCAAGTCCCACTTCTCGAACAACCTGCGCGGAGCATCGTATTCACTGGAAACGGTCCGAATGGCCTCAAAATCAAAAAAGAGACCACCCACGACCTCGTCTCCTGGAGACGACGCGCGTCGACGGCGTGAAGGCGCCGCAGCACCGCGGGACGCCGAGATTGACGTCATGCGGCACATCGTATTCTCCATCTCCTTCTGCCGTTGCGCTTTCACGCGGCGATATCTTCGTTCGTCCTCGTCGCGGACGTATTGCAGAAACTCCTCGTCCTCCTTGCGCTTGGCCCACTCCTCTCTCTGCAAAGCTTCTTTTTCTATTCTGTCATCCTCGGCCTCTTGGGCTAATCTATCAGCTTTTCGCTGCTCCTTCCTCATGAGCTTCTCATAATACACAAGAGTGGGATGCCTTCTTTCTTTAGCCCGCTTCTCGCGCCAGGCGTCGAAGCGATCCCTATAGGTAGGCCTATTGGCCAGGCGCCGCTTCCTCGCTTCTTTTTTGAGCCGCTTCTTCTTCTGGGCCGGCGTTTCTTCTTTGATGGACCCTTTAGCAGAAGCTGAAGAAGAATCATCGTCGGTGCCGCTCCGCGAGGCGTCCGGGTCCGAGTCCGAGTACTCGTCGCTCGAGTCGTCATCTGACGAGTCGGACCAGTCGCTGTCCAAGTCGTCGTCCGAATCCTTGTCGCGATCAACGCCGTGCTTCTCGTCGACCTTGGCCATGCGCTCCTCGCGCGTCATGCGCGTCATGACATTCACTCTATCCGCCTTCGACCGGAAGCGGTCATGGTCCCCTTCGGACTTGATCGTGCTGCCGAACATGGTTGCTCGTCGGGCTGCCTTTCCTGCTGCGTCCTTTGCTGCGCCGCGGCGACGGCGTCGGGCGGTGCCGTTTTGTCGCAACGCGGCGGCTTGGGCAGCAATTTGGTGTCGGGTTTGACGAGGCGGTACTATGCGTGCTCCGGCCGGCCTACGGCTCCTTGGACGTGTCGATGATGGCGATACGGGTATTGAATGCTCGCGGTTTGCTTGCAGAATGTCGGAAGGTGCCCCTGATGCCGAGTCGAGGCGCTCCAACGTAGAATTTAAACTTTCAGCACGTCCGGACTTTATAAGTCAAACAAAGTGGCCTACCAGTGCTCCAGGACATAGGCACAGCTCGTCAGCCAGAAAAAAACCGATTCCGGGCCGTACGCAGCGAATTCCAGCCCAAAAAGAGCAGACAAAATTCTTCTGATTTGAAATGCGCGTCGTGTGGGTAGTCGCGGCGCTAATCGCGGCGCCCGCCGCGGGCTTCGTCCCCGCGCCGCCCGAGGTAGCGGCTCTCCACTTGAAAGAGACGCTGAACAAAAAGGGCTTCGTCCGCGTGCCGGGCGCCACGTTTCCGCGGCGTGGAATTCAAATCTCGCCAGCTCCAGCGAGCAGACGATGTACACGCAGGTTCCGCGCGCTGCTGCGATGGAAAGGCGCGAAGGAAGAGGACCTCCAACTCATCGAGTCCGGCGCGGTCCACGCCGACGTCGCGACGGACGAGGGCGCCATGGCCTTCCGCCAGTCGGCGGCCCACCGCCTCGTCGCAACGGGCACCGCGACGTTCGTGCCCGCCCATCGCCCGGCCGTGACGAAGATCCCGGCGAAGGAGGTACTGGCGCGGCGTCCGGCGAGGCAACGCCGCCTTCACGGTTCCGTCGCGCGCAGGTCGCGTCCGCCGCCGCGGCCAAGGTCCGGTCCAAGCGGTCTGGGAACCGCGTCTGGCCGCTCACGCCGCCGGCCTACGCGGCGTCGACGGTCCCCGTCGCCCTCGCCGAGGTCCAGCGCCTCTTCCTGCCCGACGCGCACACGCCGCAGCACGGCGTCAACGCGGCGTCGCCGCACGTCGTCACGGACCAGGTGCTCATCAAGGTGACGAAGACGGGCGACGGCGACCAGTGCCCGACGCCCGAGGGCATCCACCAGGACGGCTCCGAGGTGAGCGCCGTGACGATGATCAAACGCGACCGCGTGACGTCGGGCGGCGAGACGCGGCTCTGGTCCCTCGACGCGACGACGGGCAACTACTGTGCGAACCCCGCGTCCACGCCATCGACGCGACCCGACACTCCTTAATTCCCGCGCAGGCGAGGACGACGAGTGCCGCGCCATGCACCCGCACCTGCCCGAAAGGCCCGACGCGTCGCTCTCGCTGGGCACGCTCACGCTCAAGGACCCGTGGGAAACCGTCCTCTTCAACGACCGGGCCCTCAAACACGAGGTCGAGGCCTTCGACGGCGACCGGCCCTGCTCGCGCTGCGTCATCGTCGGCTCGGCGTGGAAATCAACCGGCGAGTCGGGTACACCATCGCATAGTCGCGTCGATGGCGTGGAGATCGACGCGACGATTCAGCACCGCGAACTTTGATTTCCGCGCAGGTCCAATTGACGCGCAAGCCCCTCAAGGACGGCACGGACACGATGCTCCGCGACGGGTCCCTCGTCACGCTCGAGTAGAGCACCACCAAACTACCACCTCCGGCGCCCGCGGCCGCGTCAACTGTCTGTCGACTAGTGCCCTGTGAACTACCCCATCACCCTGTCTGTAACATATGATGTACATCACTCTTGGTGCCTCGCGGCGATGGCGTCGAGGGGTGCGCGCCGCCGGAGCAAGTCCCGCGACCACCCCGACGCCGTCGACGAATGACCCAAGCGGCCCCTCGGTCTCTCGCTCGCACCAGGCCGCGCCTAGGAGTGAGCCCGGGCCCGGATGCCACTAGTCCCGACGGCCGCGAGTTCGACGAGGCCCGGGACGAACCCAGAGGGCCAGAACACAAGAATTGTGCACAGGACCGCCGCCGCCGAAAAAGCCGGCAACACCGTTATGTACTCACTTATACTCACAGAGACCTACTTCGCCGCGGGGTCGCCGTGCTTGTCCCACAGCTCGTGGCGGATCTGGGGCAGCAGCTCCTCGTAGCAGAGCTGGATGCGCGCGTCGAGCGTGTTGTCGCAGACGATGCGCCCGTGGCACGCCGTTACCGTGATACCGCCGCAGCACGCGTGATCCGGGAGGTGCTTGGCCGCGTCCTTGTTGACCCGACAGGTCACCTTCGCGATCTCGCCCGTCTCCTTCTTGATGATGTCCGCGTACATTTGCACCGCGCCCGGCACCTGCTGTTCGCAGAGCTGCACGTCGCACGCCCGACACAGCACCACGACGTCCGGCTCCTCGATTTTTATGAGCGACTGCACGATCAACTTCTTGACGAGCTCCGGGTACTGGGGCGACTTGGCGACCTTCGCCACCTCGTTTCGAGCCTCATCCACCAGCTGCTTGAGCAATTCGTCTCTCAGTCTCATCTTCTTCACGCGCGCGTCCCCGACGGCCGTCGACTTGGCGATGCGCTGCTGGACCTCCCTTTCTCTCTCTTTTTGCGCGTACTCCTCGTTGAGCCGCTGGCGCGCGGCGTGAATTAAGGTCTGCTTCTCCACATTGAAATCGTGCTCTGTTTTGACCCGGATCTCGTTCGCCTTCTCGTGGGCCTCCTGGAGGATGAAGTTGACCATCTGCCGGATCTGCTGCGGGCCGCCGGCCATGGTGCTGTAGGGGTGGCTGCTGCTTTGGTCAAGCCAATAAAGCAGCTCTCGGCCGTCGGCGTCGCTCAACGAGCGCGCGTGCGGCGAATATCTTTCAGACGCAAATTGCCGTATGCAGCTGCAGTGGTAGGCAATGCGCGCGCCGCGATTGCTATTTTGGCTGGTGGAGGAGGCTGGGGAGACGGAGGCTAAGGCTTGCTATGAGTAGCCCTCGCAGAGGATTCTAGATTCCTGTACTGCGTCGAAAAGAAATAGAAGTGCTCCATTGTAATTCGATATTTTATCTCACGGGTTTCGCGCGCTCAAAAAGCTTGTTAATCGACACAGCAGGCGAGCCCCGGCCCGGAACGCTCGCCGGCTTCGAGCTGAGTGCCTCTCGCGCCTGGCGCAGCTTTTTGCGGCATTCGTGAGCAGTGCCATGCAACCCATCACAACCCAAAGCTGGGCCGCCGAAGCCACCCTAGCCGAGACGCCCGGCAAGCTCGAGGTCGACGACGACTGGGTGCGCGGGACGTTGCGACTGACGGCGTCCGGCGTGAGCTTCGTGCCGCTCGAAGGCGGGCAGCAGCGGCAGATCCCGATCGGCACGCTGCTCCGCGTCGTCACGCACGACCGGCGGCGCCGCTGGAAGAAGGCGCGGCCCTGCGTCGAGCTCTGGGCGGCGAACGGCACGAAGGCGACCTTCGACTGTCGGGACGACCGCCGGCGCCGGGCCTTCGCGAGCGCCGCCGAGAAGGCCGTCGCCGACCACGCGACGGGCTTCAAGCCCTCGGACGCGGGTATCGGCGGCCTCGCGCGGCGGCGGCGGCGTAGAAGGCGGCGCCACGAGGGCCTGGCGGAGGACACGCGCGCGGACCTCAAAGCATTGGCGGCGCGGGCCGGCGAGGTCGTCTCCGTGCTCAAGCGCTACGGCGACGCCTCGGCGGCGTCGGCCTTCTGCGTCGCCGACGCCGAGGCCGCGACCGTGGACACGAGCGACGCGCGGCAGCTCGCGGCGTCGGCGGCGAGGGTCGCGGAGCGCCTGCTGGAAAGGCGGCCGACGTGCTCCCTGGCGGACCTGTGGTGCGCCTACAACCGCGCTAGGGGCGTCGCGCTCGTGTCGCCCGACGACCTCGCGGACGCGTGCGCGCGGTACCTCGCCGTCGACGCGCCGCGGCGCCTCGCCGACGCGCCCGTCGCGATGCGCACGCTGCGGTCGGGCGTGCGTATCATTTACAATGCGGGCGACGACGTGCCGGGCCGCGTCGCCGCCGCCGTGCCGGCGGCGGGCGCGTCGGCGCCGGCCGTCGCGCGCGCGCTCCGCGGGCCCGCGGCGCTCGGCCTGGAGCACTGCCTCGACGCCGAGGCCGCGGGCCGGCTCTGCCGCGACGCCGGGCCCGCGGGCCTCGCGTTCTTCCCGAACCGGTTCCTCGCGTGACGCGTCGACGCCGTCGAGGCGGCGCAATCCGTGCGGTTTTGAAGTCGCGTCACGGCGGTCGTGGAAAACAGAACATTGTGATAATGTGCATTATTAGTACAGCGCGTAAGGGAGAAACATACAAAAGGGGTCAGATGTCCTCGGAGCGGCCCGAGGACTGCGACCGCGGCGAGACGCCGTGGGACGACGACGACGGCGACGACACGTGCACGTCGACGTAGGAGCCCTCCGTCGTCGTCTGCGAGTAGGCCAGGCTGCCCGCGGACGCGCCTCGCGGCAGGCCCGGCACGACGAGCTGGCCCTGGCCCTGGCCCTGGCCCTGGCCGGGCGGGGTCCCGTCGGGCGCCGGCGGCGCCGGGTCCGCGAGGGGCGGCGGCGGCGCCGCCGCGAAGAAGCCCCGCGCCCGCGGCGCCGCGCCCGGGTCGAGGTCCACGTCGAGGTAGGAGACCTCGTCGTCCGCGTCGGCGACGGCGGACCGCTCCATGGCCCGGCCGACGCGCAGAAAGGCCCAGCGCGGGATCGCCGGCGCGTCGTCGTCTACTGGAGGCGGCGGCGGCGTCGCGAGGGCCGCGAAGGGCGTCGGGGCCGTGGTCGCCGGGGGCTCGGGCGGCGCCGCGAGGTCCGTCGGCGCGGCGTCGAGCGTCACGGACGCCAGCGCGGCGACGGGCGGCTCCGTAGCCGGCTCCGCGACCGTCGTGACCGCGGCCGGCTCCTCGGCCACCGTGTCGAGCTCGTCGTGTGCGGCTGCGGCCGCGTGACGCGCGTCAGCCGCCACCGCCGCCGCCGCCGCCGCCTCAGCCGCGACGGACGGCGGCATGACGGCGTCGGGTGGCGTGAGCGCTGCGGTAGCAGCTGCCGGAAGCTGGCCAATTATCAATCTTTGCGGTCTCAATGGTTCGTGTCTGTCGTGAGGACGGAGAGCTTGGATGGTAAAAGTTTTTTGTTCGGAGAGGCCAGCGGCTCAGACCGATAGAGCCACGCTGGTCGGCCACTGGTCAAGTCACCACTGGACCGGGCCGATAATAAACAAGGAACAGCTATGGTCCTTGCTGGCGTATATATCGAAATATCCGCCTTGCATGCCAGTGCGCTTTTGCTTTTTGCTAGTGTCTTTACAGGCCGCTAGGGCTCCTTCGCGGGGTTGTGGTGGGGGAGCTCCGGGAGGTTGCCTAACGCACATATTTATCAACGCCCCAAAAAGAACGACGCGTTCCCAGACCGCTCGGCGTACTCACGCGGCTTGCGGCACGCGTGGTCGATGTACACCGGCGGCGGCTGCAGGTCTCCAGATACCGCCTCAACTACTCGCGACGCCGACGAGCAGCACCCCGGCTTGTTGGCGAAGTGGCGTCGCCACGATCGATAGTTCCACCACGGCCCCAGGCTGTAGACGAGGAGCCCGTCGCGCTTTACCGCGTGCAAGATCTCGTAGGAGAGAACATTCTGGTCCGCGCCGTTGCTCTCCGCGCTCCCCCGCGTGCCCAGCTTCTTCTCCGAGCCTGTGTGCAAATCAACCAGTGAGCAGGCGTCGCGTCGATGGCGTGGAGGACGACGCGGCGATTCAGGACGAACGCGCCGTAAATTTGATTTCCACACAGCTCCGAGCAGTACGCGTGGATCCAGGCATGGTAGAGCTTCATTGTCGCGCGGCTTTTGCGCCAGAGAATGACGCCCGAGTTGGACTTGTCGTAGGCCGGCGCGCGCCAGGTCCCCTTCGCCGCCGCGGGGCCGCTCGGCACGCTCTCGCGCGCCGGCACGAGCAGCAGGTCGTAGACGTCGAGGAGGCCCATGCCGCCGCCCGCCCGCAGCTGCGTGTACAGCGTCGCGAGGTCGAAGCACGGCACCGTGTCCGCGTCCAGAAAAATATTGTGCCGGAACGGCGCCGCCATGATGGCGACCATCTTCAGGAGCCGCGTCGGCGCGATACTATGTGAATTGCGGCACGGCGCGTCCGGCGCCGTGTACTTGGCCAAGTGGCGCCAGAGCTGCGCGGCGTGCGAGCTGCCGGACGTCACGTCGACGCACTTCCAGGGCGCGCCGCCGCGCAGGCGCTCGCACGTCGCGTGGTCGTCGGCGCTCAGCGTGTGAATGTGGGCATAACGCGTCGACAACTGGCGCACGGACTCCGCGGCCATGAGGACGTTGAGCCGTCCGGTCGCGGCGTAGGTGACGCCGATGTCGGGCAACGCGTCGACGGCGCACCGCGCCAGGCAAACGAGTGAGAGTAGCCTCATGATCACAAGTCAGCACTTAAAAATTAAAATTGCCTGGTTGTGTTTCACCTTCCTGAGTCGAATCGATGCGCCGTATCGATGCGCACTGGTCACACGCAATTGTCGAGTACGTTTCAGGCTCGCGCCCGGCAATATTTAAGGTAAAGTTACGGCTGCAGTGAAAAACCCGTTTTTTCAGCTTCTACACGTATAATTAAGTATATATAGTCCAGCCGGACGGGCGAGCCCAAGCCTGGCTCGCGAAACGCCGCGAAATAATAACGAGAGTAACTTCACAAGACACAATTACCCCCCCTCCCCCAGGAACCAGGACGCGTTCCCGGTCCGCTTGACGTAGTCCCGCGGCTTCCGGCAGCCGTGGTCGATGTAGATGGGCAGGGGCCTGAGCTCCTCGGTGACCGACGCCGACGAGCAGCACTCCTGCTTGTTCGAAAAGTGGCGCCGCCACGACCGATAGTTCCAGATGGGTAGCAAGTGGTAGACCAGCAGGCGGTCGCGCTGCACCGCGGACAGGACCTCGCGCGAGAGGATGTGCTGGTCGCCCCCGTTGAAGTGCGCGAGGTCGTCGCCGCCCCGGCAATACGACGCGAGCCAGCGGTGGAAGAGGCGCGCCGTCTCGGGCGTCCGCCGCCAAAAAATCACACCCCCGTTCGACTCGACCCAGGCCGGCGCGCGCGCCCAAGACGCGAGGCGCGCCGGCGCCCGGGGGACCGACTCGCGCGCCGGGACGAAGAGGACGTCGTAGAGGTCCAGCAAACCGCGCTCCTCCGTCGCCCGGAGCTGCGTGTAGAGCGTCGCGAGGTCGAAGCACGGCACCGTGTCCGCGTCGAGGAAGACGTTGCGCTTGAAGGGCGCCGCGGCGATGGCCACGATCTTCAGGATGCGGTTCGGCGCGTCGCCGTGCAGCCTCCGGCACTCCGACTCCGCGGAGGTGTACTTCGCGAGGTGCCGCCAGAGCTGCGCCGCGCGGTGCTCGCCCCGCGTGACGTCGACGCAGGACCACCACTTCTGGCCGTCGCGCAGCCTCTCGCACGTCGCGTGGTCGTCCTCCGTTTGCGTGTGGATGTGCACGAGGTGCGACTTCAGGGGCCGCGCGGACTCCGTCGCCATCAGGACGTGGAGGCGGCCACTCGCGGCATAAATGACGCCGAGGTCGGGGATCGCGTCGACGGCGGCGAGGAGGCCGAGGACTAGCCGCGCGCGCCGCCCCATCGTGTTGCAGTGGCTGCCACTCGGGCTGCCGCTCCTTGCCGCTGGCGGTGCGCGGGTACCCAGGCGAGGCTCAGAGAGTGTGTGCTGCCATCGGTACGGGCGTGCGAGGCAGTAGTGGCACTGGCAGCATGCGAAAATTGACTGCTCGCGGGTTTTACCTAACGCGATATATCTCCCGATCTATCGCTCTCTGTACTCCCCCGCACCCCTAAACGGCCTCAGCTAAGCCAGGCGCAAGACGGCGGGCGGACTAGTGGTGTGGGAGATGCCGCGTTGCATGCCCACCAATCACGCGCGGGCAGCCTTCCTGGTTTTCCGGACGGTGGTAGGTGGAACTGTAGCCTCTCGCCCCCCACGCGTCAGCGAAACCTTTGGTATTACAAGCTTTGCACCACAGCCTACCACAGCCTCTGGCAGCAGAGGTTTGACCGTAAAATGGGCGGCGGCGCGTCGACGGGGCGGCAACCGCTCCATGCACTAAGCGCGGACGGCGTCCGCGACCTCGTCGAGGGCATCGGTCCGAAGTTCTCAGACCTCGCGAAGCATCTGCACGACAACGACGTCGACGGCGAGTATCTGGCCTCGGCGCCGACGGAGGACCTCGCCGAGATCTTCGACGAATTCGCGATCCCGAAGCTAAAACAGAAAGTGCTGCTGCAGAAGCTGGGGAAGCTCAAGGAGGTCACGTCCGGGGCGCCGCAGCTCCCGGCGTCCGTGCGGCAGCTCGCGGACGTCACGCTCGACGCCGAGCCAATCGGCTACGGCGGCTTTGCGGTCGTCTTCAGCGGCACGTGGAATCAGAAGCCAAGCTCCGGCCGCCGCCGCGGGCGGACGCGGAAGATCGCCGCGAAGCGGTCCAAGGTCGCCGGCCTCGCCGTCGAGCTCAAGGCCGACCTGATAAAGGATCTGATGGTCATGTCGGACCTGCCCCACCAGAACCTGCTGATCGTCCACGGCGTGTGCGAGATCCCGGACCTCGGGTTCCACGTCGTCACCGAGTTGATGGCCTGCGACCTCGAGGCTGTTATTCACCGCGACGCGCGCGGACCCCTCAACCACCAGGACGTCCTCCACATTTCGCGCGACGTCGCCGCGGGACTCGCGCACCTCCACGCGCACGGCATCGTCCACCGCGACCTGAAGCCGCAGAACGTGCTCGTCGCAGAGCACGGCCTGCGCTGCAAGCTCGCGGACTTTGGGATCAGCAAGGAGCTGAATCACACGCTGTCGACCATGACGGCGGTCATGGGAACCTACGCGTACATGGCCCCCGAGGCCTTCGAGGACGGCGCGCGCGTCGGCACGAGCGCCGACGCGTATGCGTACGGCGTGCTCATCTGGGAACTTCTCACGCGCAAAAAGCCGTGGGAGGGGAAGTCTCACCCTCAGATCGTGGCCGCGCTGGTCCGCGACGAGCGGCTCCCGAGGCCTGAAGCGCCCGTCGTCCCGGAGCTGGCGGACTGGGCTGTCGAATGTTTTGGCGTCGCGGCGGCGCGCCCGAAGATGGGACCGCTCGAAGCGAAGCTCGACGACCTCCTTTGCGCCGACGAGAAGGACCTTGACACGCTCCGGGCGGGGCTCGCCAAGGCGCTGCGCGGCGACGTCGAGGCGTACGAGGAGGCCTGGGATATCTACGCGCGCGACCCGCACTGCGGCGAAATGCTCGACTTGTGCGCGCTGCTCGCAAAACGGCACGCTGAGACGCCGCTGCAGCCCAAATCGTGCAAAGCCGTCGAAGATCTACTGGGCCTCGCGGAGCGCGGCCGCGACGACTTCCACGACGTCATCCGTGGTATCATCCGGATCGCTGGCGGGGAATATCGGAGGGGCCCCACGAAACTTCGGGAGCGCTGCGTCGAGAAGGCGACCCGCGATTATGAAGGCGACGTCCGCCGCGTCGTCGACGTCGAGCGCGCCACGGCCTTGTTTACGACCGTGTCCTCGCTGCACGAAGGGATCCGCCAGCTCTCGCTCCTCAACGGCGGCGGTGACCTCGAAGTCGTGCGCGTGAAAGATAGCTTCGGCGAGCCGAAGCCGTCGGGGTGGCGCTGCATCTACTTTTCCCTCGGACATGTGTCGTCGGGCCTCGTCGGCGAGCTTCAGGTGACGTTCGACAAAATTAAGGCGATCAACGGGCGCTCGCATCGAATTTACGACCTCGTGCGGTCGCTCGAGCGAAGCGTGGAGCCGGCGGCGCGCACTGCCAATGGCGACGAGGTCCGCGCCGCCGACGCTAGGGCCGCTGAAGAAGAAAAGGAGCGCGCTGACGCGGCCACGGCGGAGGCCGAGAAACGCCTTGCCGCGGCAGCAGCCAAGGCCCCCGAGGAGAAAAAGCAGCCTCCTTTGCCAGACGAGATCGAGCCCGTCTTCGGGCGGCCGCGCACGACGCAGCCCTACGACTACACGCCGCCTCCCAACCTCCTCGTAGCGTTAAGAGGCGCGTTACCGTACTGGGGCCAGGGCGCCGAGGACGTCGAGAGCAACGCGAAGGGCGACGTCCAGAATGCAAGTGATGAGGAGGTCAATCGAGTGGATCCGGAGACGGGCGACACTCCGTTACTATTGAGCGCGCAGTACGGCGCGGGCGACCTCGTCGAGATGTTGGTGGAGCGAGGCGCGGACGTCGACGTGACGTTACCGTCCGGCGCGACAGCTTTACACTACATGACGAATTCATCCACATTATGTCCGGACGCCGTGATTGCTTTATTGGCTGTCGGGGCAGATCCGTCGGTCGCGGACATGCACACGGGCGCGACGCCTTTGATGCACGCGGCGGACGCCGGTCACTTAAGACTGTGCGAGCAGCTCGTGAAGCACGGCGCCGACGCCGCTCAAACCGACTTCCAGGGCTACGACGCGGCGGGCTGGGCGCGGTCCGCGGGCCATACGGACTGCGAGGAATTTCTAACCTCAAAGACGACGGACGCGTTGAAGCACGCCGAAGCAGAGGCGAAGGCCGCTGGCGCGGAGGTCGATTGGGCGAACTGGCGCGGCGAGACGCTGCTGTACATCGCCTGCCAGCACGGCAACGTCGACGCGGCGCGGCTGCTACTAGATAAAGGCGCGAAGGTCGACCGGGCGGACGAGGACGGCGCGACGCCGCTGTACGTCGCTTGCCAGGAGGGCCACGTCGACGCGGCGCGGCTGCTGCTGGAGAACGGCGCGGAGGTCGATCGGGCGGAGAAGCAGGGCGCGACGCCGCTGTACATCGCCTGCGAGAAGGGCCACGTCGACGCGGCGCGGGTGCTGCTGGACAACGGCGCGGAGGTCGACCGGGCGACGGAGGACGGCCGGACGCCGCTGTACATCGCCTGCGAGAAGGGCCACGTCGACGCGGCGCGGGTGCTGCTGGACAACGGCGCGGAGGTCGACCGGGCGACGGAGGACGGCCGGACGCCATTATACGCAGCGTGCTGGGGAGGCCACGTCGACGCGGCGCGGCTGCTGCTGGACAAAGGCGCGGAGGTCGACAAAGCGGAAGAGGACGGCTGGACGCCATTGCTCGTTTCCTGCTTGAAGGGCCACGTCGACGCGGCGCGGCTGCTGCTGGAGAAAGGCGCGGAGGTCGATCGGGCGACAAAAGACGGTCGGACGCCGCTGTACATCGCCTGCCAGAACGGCCACGTCGACGCGGCGCGGCTGCTGCTGGAGAAAGGCTCGGACGTTAATCAGGCGAATGACCTCGGATGGACTCCGCTGTTCGCCGCCTGCGAGAACGGCCGCGTCGACGCGGCGCGGCTGCTGCTGGAGAAAGGCGCGGAGGTCGATCCGGCGGATAAGTGGGGCCAGACGCCGCTGTTCGTCGCTTGCGAAGAAGGCCACGTCGACGCGGCGCGGCTGCTGCTGGACAACGGCGCGGAGGTCGATCGGGCGGACGAGGACGGCGATACGCCGCTGTCCGTCGCAAAAAACAAACGCCACTCCTCCATCGTCGCGCTCCTCGAGGCGCATCGGAAGTGACCATCTTCAGAGCCGCGTCGATGGCGTCGACGACGAGGGGGAAATCAATATAACTTTGTGTATTTCGTACGGCATTCTCATTCAACCAGCCGTCTCTGTGAGAAAAAACGGGTTTTTCAGCCCATCGATTGTAGCTTCGATTGTAGCATTGCCTATACAGCGATCGATAGAAGGACTGGCGCGAGCCTACAATAACGCCCAAGCCCTCGCAGCGCTGCGCAACAAAAAAGATGGCCGAGCAGCCACCCGTGAGCGCCGCCGCCAAGCACAAGGCCGCCGACGTCTCGGCGGGCAAGCGCTTCCAGCTCTTCGGCGGCAAGTGCTCGGACGACGCGCGCAAGAACATGCTTTTAGATGATGTCGCGATCTACAGCGTCACCGACGCGCGAACCGCGGACCGGATCACCAAAACCGCTCTGGCGCTGCCCGGCGGCCCGCACCGCGAGGTCTGCGACGGCTGCGCCTGCGTCGGCGGCAACGTCATCAGCTTCGCGCGGGCCCTGCGCAAGGGCGGCCGCGTCACGGGGATAGAGTATGACGCGACGCGGTGCGAGTTCCTGAGGCACAACGTGGCCACGGCGGGCGTGCCCGCGGAGATCCTGCGCGGCGACGTCGCGCGGGCGACGGCGGAGGAGGCCACGGACGACGGCGACGGCTGGGCCTGCCGGAGCGCGGTCCGCCGCGCGGACCTGTTGTTTCTCGATCCGCCGTGGGGCGGGCCCGACGTGGCGCGCAAGCCCGCGGGGTCCGTGCGCCTGCACCTCGGCGGCGTCGACGTGGGCGAGCTCTGCCGGCGCGTCGCGGGCCCGGGCTTCCGCGCGAGGCACGTGCTCCTCAAGCTGCCGCCGAACTACGACGTCGCCTTCCTGGAGGAGACGCTGGCGGGCGTCGCGGCCGTGAAGGTCGACCCGGCCTTCCGGAAGATGATCCTCGCCGTCGTGTCGTTCCGGCGCGGCGGCGAGGGCGGCGACGGCGAGAAGAAAACAGAGGGCGTAAAGGAATAGTTCGCCCACTCGCCTTCGGTTCGTCGCGTCGTCGCGGGCGCTGAAATGTGTGGGCCCCCCGTTTCCCGCTAGCGTCTGTAAGACACTAGGCATCCAAAAGTGAGCCCAAAAAAACGTGCTCGAGGCGCCCCGTTTCAGCAACCTGGATTCACGCGTTGGCTTAGCAAAAGGACGCTCCCAGCGCACATTTGAAGCGCTGCAATTCAACCACAAATATCGAGATTTGGCTGTGCCCTCGGTAGCTGCCGACCTGCCGCAGCCAAAAGATAGATAGAGCCGCAGCCGACAGATCGAGCAGGAGACCCCAAAAAGAAAAACACAACCATCGCGCTCGGACGCCTCCGCACGCGCAACGTCATGGCCCAGCGCAAGCCGCCGCACGCCCTGGAGGTCCAGGGCCCGCCCGCGCGGCGGCGGCCCGGCCCGTCGCTCCTCCGGAAGGCGTGCCGCGCCGCGCTCGGCGGCGGCGCGCCGGGCGCCGCGGCCATGGTCCTCCAGGTGCTGCTGCTCATGTGGCTCCGCACGACGATCAACATCCAGCTGGCCACGGGCTCCGGCTTCTTCGCGACGATGCGCCACCTCTACCGCGAGGGCGGCGTGCCGCGCTTCTACCAGGGCCTCTGGATCGCGCTGCTCTCCGCGCCGCTCGCGCGGTTCGGCGACACGGCCGCGAACGAGGGCGCGCTCGCGCTCCTCGAGGCGTCGGCGCTGCCCGTCGCGGCGAAGACGATCGTCGCGTCGTGCTGCGCCGCGCTCTGGCGCATCTTCATCTTCCCCTTCGACACGGTCAAGACGACGCTCCAGGTCAGCGGGGGCGCCGCGCTGCGCGCGAAGATCGCCGCGGGCGGCCTCTTTTCCTTGTACGGCGGCGCGCTCGGCGCGTCCTTCGCGACGCTCGTGGGCCACTACCCCTGGTTCGCGACGAACAACGTCCTCGAGGGCGCCGTGCCGGACTTCGGCCCCCGGCTCAAGCTCGCGCGGCGCGCGCTCATCGGCTTCGTCTGCTCCGCCGTGTCGGACACGGTGTCGAACAGCATCCGCGTCGTCAAGGTCTACGTCCAGACGTCGAAGGTGCCGATCGGCTACGCCGCGGCCGTCTCCGAGGTCCTCGCGGCGCGGGGCCTCGGGGGCCTGCTCTGGTCGGGCCTGCCGGCGAAGCTGCTCTGCAACGGGATCTCGTCCATCGTCTTCTCCGTGGCCTGGAAGGGCCTCATGGAGCGCTACAAGAAGGCGAACCCGCCGAAGCGCGACGACGGCGAGGACGTCGAGCCGCTCCTGCCCCGGTAATTTTGGCAACTTAACTTATTGAAGGGGGTCGGTCGGGGATTCATCGGATCGTCTTCGACAAGTAAAATCTCAAATCCTGGAAGGGCAGGCGCACCTCGCCGCTCGTGCCCGCGGCGCGGAACACTGGCAGCATCATGTCCTGCTTGCAGAGGTACTCGATGCGCTTCTTGTCGAAGACCTGGCCCGCGACGATCAATACCGGCGCGTCGACGCCGACGCGGCGCTTGAGCGACCCGAGCAGCTTCCCTTTGTTGGGCTTCGCGCCGAGGTTGACCTCCGTGTACGTGGAGAGCTTCGCGCCGGCGAGCGCGGTCTTGACGGCCTCGCCGCCGGCGCCGCCGTCCGTCAAAAGGACGGCCTTGGCCGAGCCCACGTAGCCGTCGAGCTCCGCGTCGGCTTCGGGATTAGGGATGAATTGGTCGAAGAAGAATCGCTGGGTCAGCTTCGTGCGCGGCATCGACGGCTGCACGAAGGCTGAGACGGCGGCTGCCAACACGAGCAGCTTTGCGATCATTTTAGCCTGCTGTCTTGTGAGTGATCGCAGTGAGATGATGGCTGTGGATCGTGGGCTGTAAAAGCTCTGTATCCGCAGCACCGATAGCGCTAAACGCTACGGTTAGTGGAGTTTAAGGCACGCGTAAGCAAAGCGAAAGATATTGCTAGTGTCTTACACCGCTAGTGTTTTTGGGTTGCACCGGTGCACCGTACTTAGCAGTCGCGGCATAATGAGCGCACTCGCAAGAGACAGTAAACGCAGCAAGCACCGTGCGCACTGAAGAATGCCGACGACGCACACGCACTACGTGCCGCGGCCGCCCGTCGACGAGCAGCCGCTCACGCCGAACACGCTGCGCGCGGCGGCCTCGACGCTGATCTTCGGGCGCCGGCCGAGCGCGACGCGCCTGTCGACCGCGGCCCAATTACCCGAGAACACGATACAATCAGTCCTCGAGTTCCTCGACGACGACGCGCTGGCGCGCGCGATGACCGCCTGCCGCGCGTGGCACGACGTCGCCTGCGGGTCGGCCTGGGCCGACAAGGCGTGGCGCGCCCGGGGGGATGAGGCAGTGAGGGCTTTTGAGCGGCGCGGCGGCGCCGACGCGGCCTGCGCCGCCGCCGTGCGGAAGGAGGGCGGCCGGCGCCACTGCTGCGCGCGGGGCCGTTTCCTCGCGATGGCCTTCACGCCGGCGTGCCAGCTCCGGCGGCGCGCGCGGCGGCGGCGGCGCGAGGCGGACGCGGCAGCGAGGCGCTGGGCCGAGGAGCGGCGCCAGGCCGAGCGCGAGCTGCAGCGCGCGACGCGGCGATTGAGAATTGTGGCGTTGATTGCATTACTCGCGCTGCGCGCGACGCTGGGCGCCGGCGAGGCGGCGCGCGTGCTGCTCTGGCCGAGCCGCGTCGTCTGGCGCGTCGCCGCTTCCTTGTTCGTCGTCGTCGATCCATTACGAGTGGACGCGTCGACCATGCCCTTCATGCACGCCATCTTGGCGCCGGAGGCCCTCGAGGTGCGGCGCCACGCCTTCTTCGCGGCCGTCGTTTTGTGCGTGGCGCATTGTGCAGCATTAGTAGCGTGGTGGCGCTTCCTCTGGTACGCCTTGGGCGCGTTCTGCAGCGACCACCTCGGCCTTGCTTCATTAGATGCGGCGCGGTGCCGCGTCGCGTTGCTCCGGCTCGAGGAGTCGTCGGAAGCTAGGTTCGCCTGGCTCCGCGCCGTCGCGGCGGAGCGGCGCGAGTCGCTCGGCCTCCTCACGGCGCCGGACATTACTGTGGGAGACGACGTGACGCTCCACGCGACGTCCTTGCACATCGCGGCGGCGTTCCACGCGGGGCCCGACGACGCGCTGCCCCAGAACCCGCACCGCGGTTTAGATGACGACGACGACGCGCTGCCGGCGATCCTCCACGAGGTCCTGGGGACGGAGAAGAAGCGGGGCCGGCGGAGCCGCTTCCGGTCGCTGCTCGGCGACGTGTTCCGGTTGCACCGCGCGCCGCTGCTCGTGCTGGCGGTCGCCGCGTCGGTGTTGGCGTCGGCGGCGCTCATCATATTGTGGCGCCGCGAGAGCGCGATCTTCGACGGGGCGTGCCGCGTGGGAAGCGCCGTGGCGGTGTCGCTGCGGGACGACCTCCTCCTGCTGGCGTCCGTGCCGGCGCGCGTCGCGTACGGCTCCGCGCGGCTCGTGTTTGGTTACGCCGTGGCCTGGGTGGCGTAACGTGTATCCCTGTTGTTCTTGAACCGTGACGTGTACTACTAGTAAAACACAAGTAGTTATTAGTCGAACGTCGTCTTCGTCCCCGAAAACTTCGTCGCGGCCTCGGCCTCCTTGCGCGCGCGCGCGGCGGCCCAGGAGCCGTGGTGCGCCGCCGCGTCGGCGGCCTCGCGCCGCGGCTGCGGGTCGGGCCGCCGCTTCGCGACCGGCGGCGGCTTTGGCCGCGCGCGCGGCCCGTTCGTGACGCCCTCGCCGCGCCGGACGGGCTTGAGGCCGCCGCGGAGCATCGCGTTCGCCGCCTTCGCGTCGCCCTGCGCGGCGGCTTCCCGCAGCTCGCGCCGCCGCCGCGAGCCGACGCGGTTCTTCGGCTTGATGATGCCGAGGGCCTCCGGGTCGTCGTCCTCCTCCTCCGCCTCGGCCAGCTCCTCGGCCGGCGCGGAGCCGTCGAGCGCATCAACAAAAATCGCCGCGACGGCGTCGTGCCGCGGCTTATTCGTCGCCTTCTTCTCGCGCTTCGCCCGCGCCTTGGCCTCGGCGCGGGCCTCGCGCCGCAGGACCGGGTCGGCCTTCAGGAGCGCCGCGCGCCGGTGCTTCGTGGCGGCCGCGTCGACGTCGCGCGACGCTTGTACGACGGCCGCGTGCAGCACGACGCGCTTCGTCGCCGCGTGGCCCTCGACGGCCGCGACGACGCCCTCGTGCGCGCTGCCAACATTCGCGACGCCGCACCGCCTCAGACACAGCGCAACGACCGCGTCCAGGTCCACGGCCTTGCAGTCGTCGACCTGCCGCGCCGCGCCGGCGTCGTCGCGGCCGGCGCCCCGCGCGTCCTTCAAGCGCCGGACGGCCTTTTGCACCTCGAAGGCCTTGGCCTTCTTCGCCGCGCGGCGCAGCGTCTTCGTCGACTCGTGGACGAGCTTCTCCTCGTCGCTGACTTCGCGCTTGCGTTTTTTGGCCATTTTTTGCTCGGTGTCTGCCTCGTCTGTTACCACCCCTGCGACGTCTGCGACGACAGCGTCGCGTCGCCCTCGCTGCAGTGCAGCGTTTTTGGCTGCTGAGATCGCACAGATGCCGTCGCGCTAGCAGCGCGTTCAAATCACTGTCGCGAGTCGCTTATATGTCGAAATGAGCCTGCCGCAAGTTCCAAACTGGGCTGAGGCATGCGATGCGCTGCTACAGGCTGCAGCTTGCTAGTGTCTTACACGCCGCTAGCGCGGGTGGCTTGCACTACGCGCATACGTGTTTGTTTTAGGATAGGGAACCCGTTTCTGGACACGATCTGATCGATAACTAAGGCAACGTATCAAAAAAGTCACGTTCAGTCAGCCACTGCCGCGCACTGCTCACTGGGTGAGGCAGCACACTTTGCAGAGTGAGCATACGTGCCAGGATGGCCAAAAACAAGAAAAAGAGCAAAGCCAAAAAAGCTGCCAAAAAAGCGCAGCAACAAACAACGGCACCTGCGCTCGCCCCGGCCGAGGCCGCGCTCGTCCGAGAGCTCGAAGCCGGCGCCGGCGGCACGCTCAGCGACCGCCTGAACCCGGGCCACCCGGCCTTCGACGCGGCACTCAAAGCGCGCTGGAAGGGACTTGGAAAAAAAACGCGGCAACAAATCGTGGCGGCGGACACGAAGCGCAACCGCGACGTGAGGGACGCGGGCGCGCGGAACGCCGCCCTGCTGCCCTTCGAGGCCGAGGCCGACGACCACTGCGAGAGCCCGCCCGAGGCCTACGCGGACCTCGCGGCGACGCTCGACGTCGTCGCGGCCGCGCTCGGCCGCGGTCGATCGAACCTCCGCATCTACGACCCCTACTACTGCTCGGGCGCCGTCGCGCGGCACCTGCGGGCCCTGGGCTTCGAGCAGATACACAACGAGCGCGAGGACTTTTATGAGGTCCTCCGGTCGGAGCGCCTGCCGCCGCACGACGTTGTGGTCACGAACCCGCCCTACTCGGCGGACCACGTCCGGCGCCTGCTCGCGTTCTGCGCGGCGAACGCCAAGCCCTACTGCCTGCTCCTGCCGAACTACGTCTGCCAGCGGCCCGAATACGGACTGATCGCGCCGCAGTACTACGTCTGCCCGCGGAGGCGCTACAACTACTGGACGCCCAAGGCCTTCCGCGGCCGCGACAAGTCCCAGGGCCACGTCTCGGCCCTCGGCCACCGCACGTCGCCCTTCGCGTCCTACTGGCACGTGTCCCTGGCGCCGTTGCGAGGCGACGCGCCGCTCGCGGAGCTCCGGCGTCACGGCGGACCCCACTACTGCGCGTCCATAAGTGAGCTCCCCGCGGGCGCGCGCTGTTAATCTTGTGTTTCTTACTCACATGCGCCGCTCGAGCTCGTGCTTCCGCGTCGAGATCTCGAACTCGACGCGTTTGATGGGCTCGCCCTTGAGGCCCATCGCTTTGGCCTCCTCCAAAAAGGCGGCCCGGTCCTCGATCTCGCGCGAGATCTGCTCGATTTGCTGGGTCTCGAGGGACTTGGGCTCCGGGGCCGCGGCCGCGGGCTCCTCCGTCAGGCCCCGTCGCTTCCGCCACTCGCGCTCGACGCGCGCCTCCTCCAAGGCTTGCGCTCTTCTCTCGGAAGGCAGCGTCGTCTTGCCGAGCGTCATCTCGTCGGGCAGGGCCTTGCCGCCCCCAAATTGTGCGATTTCTTGCAAACGAGCTTTCTCGGCGTCCGTAGAAGAACCGTTGACGCGGGGAGGTCTATAAGCGGCGTTGCGCATGGACATGTCCTCGAGAATCTCGTCGATCGCCGCCGTGTTGCGCTTGCGGGCCACGAAATCAATGGGCTTGTACGTCGGTCGCGCGTACTTCTTGCGCCAGGGCTCGACGGTGGACGCCTTCTCTCGTCTATGAGAATTCGAGCGCGCGTCAGTTGCGTCGAGCTTCGCGCCGCCGGGGATGAATTTCGGCATTTGTTTCCTTGGCTTGGTCGTCAGCTTGGGATAAGCTATGTTAGGGTGGCCCGCCGAACTGCCATACAACTTCTTGAGCATGCGGCCGGCCTCCGTCGACGTGTCGAAGGCCTGCCAGGCCTTGTTCTGGGCCATGCTTGGCTGGGGGCGCCGGGGGGCAGCCTCCACGGACTGGCTTCGCAACCGGTTTTTGGGTCGAAACCCGCGCGTCACCGCGGCGCGGGAAGCCAGCAGAGAGGCGTCCCCCGACGGCTCGCGGGACCCGTCGCAGCAGGCCTCGGGCCTCGGGCCGTGCTACTGCTGTCCAAAGAGCCGGCACTCCGCGTCCTTGCGCGCTGCCCCGGGACCGCAGGCGTCGACAACGGACCGCGGGCGCGGGGCATCGGTCCCACGGAACCAAGGTGCTGTGCTTCATGCCCAGGGCCGGGGCCTAGACCAAGACGATGCGCGCCTGGCTGCTCCCCCTAGCGGCAGCCATCGTCGCGCCGCCGGACTACGACCCCGACCTGTTGTCGTGCCGCGAGCGCTGCGAGATGCTCACGGACTGCGACGTGCGGACCTGGGAGGAGACGGTCGCGATCCGCGAGTGCCAGAAGGCGTGCCCCTACGACCCCGAGGAGAATATTATACCGTTCACGCGCGAGGACTGCCACACGATATCTAAAAGAAGGGGCCGGGACGTCGAGCGGGGCTCGGGCGAGGACGGGTGTTTGGGGGGTTGTCCGGAGATGCCCTTCGGTCATGTTTATACGAACGACCTGAGGGCCATGCACGCGTCGGGCGAGCTCAATAACGTGGGCACGCACGCCTACTACCACGAGCGCGACCGCAACCACGAAACGTGTTTTCGGGGCATGGATTGTTTTGAAGAGCCGGACTGGGGTTCCATCGTGGATGCAGAGTTGCAGGAAACAAAAGTCAAGATCGGCCAGGGCGAAGACTACCGGCCGGTGCTCGAGCCTGAGATGCTGCAGCCCGTCGTGGACGGGCTGGATCTCTTGGAAGAGGTCGAGGCGGAGACGGAGCGGGATTCTATTTTGAAGCGCGAAGATGAGATCCGGGAGATGCATGCTGCTGCGTTGAGAGCCCAGGAGGAGCGCGAGTACTGGAATGAATTGGCCAAGGCGGACGCCGAGGCGACGAAGCAGGAGCGGGAGCGCGTTATGGCGATCGAGAAGCGCGTCGAGGCGGAGGCGGCGGCGGCGGCGCAGCGGCGCGTTAGGGAGGAGGCGTTGCTGGACGCGGTTTTGGGCTGGCAGGACGCGGCGGGCGAGCGCGAGGCGCGGTTATTAGCACGGAGCGCCGAGCGCGCCGCGGAGGAGGCGGCAAAAGTCATCGACGGCATGGACGACGTCGTCGAGGCGACGCAGGCCAAGAACGACGCCATCGCTCTCGGCGAGAGCATCGACGAAGCCTTGGACGAGCTCGTCGCGCCGTCGGTGGCGGACGCCGTCGACGACGCGATGGCGGCCTTCGAGGACCCCCTCGAGGACGCCATCGCCGCGCCGCTGGACCCCACGTTGCGGTACGCGGACGACCATCACGACGACGAGGACCCGTACGTACCGGACCTCGGCGACTGGGAGGAGGACGCCGTCGACGGGCGCGCGGCGCCCGCGAACCCGCGGCCGCCTCCGCCTCGACGGACGAAGGGCGAGCCCAAGCCGCCGCCGCGGCGCGGGCGGCGCGACGACGCGACAATTCGGAAGCTCGAGGAACGCCTCGGCAAGCCCCGGCGCCCGCGACGGCTCGACGGGGCACCGTCGGAGAACGCCACGGACACGAACGCCACGGACGCGATACTGGAGCAGAAGCTGTCTGGGATCGTCGACGAGGTGCTGGCGCCGATCGACCCCGGTCTGCCCGAGCCGGAGCTGACGTTACCTGTCGGCGGCGAGCCGGTCGTCGATAATATTTTGTGATTACTAGATTGGCGATTGAGCCCCGAGCCTCCTGGGCTCGCGTTGTTCTACTACGTCGATAGCTACTTAGCGCTAGTCCACCCCTCTATGCCACGGGTTTTTCACGCAGACACAGCAGCTTTTGTCGGCTTTTCTTCTAAGCGGTGGCGTTTTGGACATATTTGTCAAACAAAAATAAATGCCGCACCGCCAGCAGACGAACTAGAACGCCAGACTGGTCAATTTTACACCAATGGTTGTGAGGCCATTGCTATGCTTATCAGCAGTGATCGCTTCGGAGTTGCCATTTAGCCAAGATAAGGGACCGCGGCGAACCCTCCAACGAGGATCTGAGGTCACACAAACGAAGCGGCATCTGCGCGGTGGCTCCGTCGTCGACGACCGCCGCGTTCTTCACACGGATGATTTCGCCGAGACGGTAGTAGACAATCAGTGGCTCGTGTTGCTCGGCATTCTCCTGCTCATGGGCTCGGGGTCGGCGTGGAACTATTGCCTCCTCCTCACGTGCTGCAACACCTGCGAAGGGCGAGCGCCGTCGCTCTGGGAGACGCTGATCTGCCTCGTCTGCTGTCGGCCGCGGCGCGAGCGCCACAATTACCGTCACGAGCGCCATGACTCATACTACGATGACGACGGCGGCTGTTGCTGCGGTGGCCGCCGGCGGCGCGGCAGAGTCGTGTACGTGGAGCCGATCTATCCCACGTACGGCGCGCCGGGCTACGTAGTCTAGTCCCCTCCGTGTACATAGAGTTCTGTCTTTACTACCGCCTAGAAGGTGAGATTGGAGGCGTCCGCGGCTTCGAGAGCGCGTCGACGCGCGACGGCAGGCCGGTCCTTTTCCGGGAGCTCATGTCCGTCATCTCCTCCTGGTACTCCTCGAGGAGCGAGAGCGCCTGGAGGAGCTTCTCCTGGCAGCTGCGCGTCTCGGCCCGCAGCTCGTCGTTGTCCGCCGCGAGCACCGCGTTCCGCGCGTCCGCGGCGTCCGCGCGCGCCGTCTCGGCCTGGCGGCTGCGGCGCGCCTCCTCGAGGTCCCTGCGGATGGGCTCCGCGCGCTCGAGCGCCTCGCGCGCCCTCGAAAGCTCGGCCTCGGCCGCGGCGGCGCGGCGCTCGAGGTCCGCCTGCGTCGCGCGCCACCGCGCCTGCGCGCCCTGGTGGGCCTTTTCCACGGCCAGGAGCTGCTGGACGAGCTTCGCCACGCGGCGCTTCTCCGTCGCGCTCAGGTCGGCGAGCGTGCCGCCCTTGGGGGACGGCGGCGGCGGCGGCTCGGCGCGCGAGGCCGCGACGACCTTGGCGAGGGCGGCCATTCGTTTCTTTGATCCGTGGGCTACGTCTTGACAGCGTTATTACGCGTGGACGGCGTCAGGGGACCGCTCTCGGACGAGCTAGATTTGAAAGTGGCTCCAACCGGAGAGCACGCCTTGCCGCACGCGAAGAGATACGATTTTCAGCAGGCGTGAGCGGCTGCCACTATCCAATGAGCTGATTTAGAACAGTGATGGCTCCTTTTAGCGCTCACGTCGTCAAAAAGCGCCCGGGCGGGGCTTGCTAGTGCCTTACAGGACGCTAGCGCCTTCCGCCGCAGCAGGCAAGCGTAGCACGTCAGACGCGTGCACAACGTCGCGCAGCACGTCGCACGACTGCGCGCAGCTTCCAGCCATGCCCTTCCAGCAGCCGACGCCGGCCCAGCTCGCGCGAGAAGCGAGCACGGACGAGAAGAGCACCCAGTCCAACTGGCGCGACGCGCAGGCGACGCACGCCTCGATCGAGTGGCGCGTCGACTTTGACAATGAGGTGCTAACAGGCGCTGTCACGTACGACGTCACAAATAAAAGCAACGCGTCGACGTTCGTGGTGGACACGCATTCGGGCCTGACCATCCACCGGGCGTATGTAGATAATGTGGAAGCGGAAGTGTTACTAGGCAAGCCCCACGCCATCTTTGGTGTGAGCGCGGCCGTGCCCCTCCCACCGGCAAAAAAGACGTGCCAAGTGCGGTTCGAATACTCGACCGCTCCAGAGTGCTCGGCCGCGCAGTGGTTAAGCCCAGCGCAGACCGCCGGGAAAAAACGACCCTACCTCTTCACGCAGTCCCAGGCGATTCATGCGCGCGCGTTGCTCCCGTGCCAGGACGCGCCTGGCGCGAAGATGTCCTGGGACGCGGTCGTCGACGCGCCGCAATGGGCCACGGCTCTCATGTCCGGTCTCCAAGCCGAGTCGCTCCCCTTCATCCACAAGAAGTGCCCTCCCGTCGAAGATGGATATAGGAGATGGTTCTGGAAACAGCCCGTCCCGACGTCGTCCTATCTCATCGCGATCGTCGTCGCCGACTTGGAAGCGCGAGACATCTCGGAGCGCTGTAGAGTCTGGTCCGAGCCCTCTGTTGTGGATAAAGCCTTGCACGAGTTCTCCGAGACCGAGCAGTTCCTGCGAGCGGCAGAGGACATCACGGGCCAGGACTACGTCTGGAAGCGCTACGATCTGGTGTGTCTGGCGCCGTCCTTCCCCTACGGCGGCATGGAGAACCCCTGCTTGACCTTTGTCACTCCTACGCTACTGGCGGGTGATCGCTCTTTGGCGGGAGTCGTCGCGCACGAGATCGCCCACTCCTGGACGGGCAACTTGGTGACGAACGCGACGTGGGAGCATTTCTGGCTCAATGAGGGCTGGACGAGGTGGTTGGAGCGCAAGATCAAAGCTCGCACGTCTGGTAAAGGAAGGCTCTTGGAAGATTTCGACCTGGCGACGTCGCAACGCAATCTAAGTGGTGCAGTGAAGCACTTCACGGAGATCGGCCAAGGGGCGCTGACTGCATTAGTGCCACCGATCGAGGGTGTTGACCCGGACGACGCGTTTTCGCTAGTGCCATATGAGAAAGGAAGTACCCTGATCCACCTCCTAGAACGTACTGTGGGAGAAGAGAAGTTCTCGACCTTCGTCAAGGCCTACATCCGCGAGTTCCGGTTCACGACCGTGACGACGGCGCAGTTCCGCGCGTTCGTGCAGCGAGAACTCGGAGCCGTCTCGACCATCGACTGGTGCCAGTGGTTCCACGCCCCCGGTGATCTTCCCCAGGCTTTGGCTTTGAACGAATCTTTAGGAGAGAAGGCCGTTTCATTGGCGAGGCAGTGGCTCAAAAATGGTTGTGGCGACTTCACGACTCTGGAAGGCTGGACGACGGACGAGAAGGTCGCGTTCCTAGATGCTCTAGGCGCGGGCGGCGACGACGGCCGCACGCAGTCGGCCGTGTCCCTACAAGTGTTAGATGCGATCGACGACGCCTACTCGTTCACCACGGACGCGAACGCTGAGATTAGGAGCAGATGGTGCAAGCTGCTATTGAGCGCGGGGGCCGCGAGAGGCGTCTCCCTAGCATTGGACTTCGTGACCTGCCAGGGGCGCATGAAGTTCGTGCGACCCTTGTATCGCGCGCTCCGGGACTCGCCGTGTGCAAATGCGAAGGAGACGGCTATTTCCACCTTCGTCGAGAACGCGGACTTCTACCACCCGATCTGTCGCAAGATGGTCGCGTCGGACTTGGGCGTGGACCTGGGCGCGTCGGGTGTTGATTTGCGCCTCGTGGTCGCGGGCGCGGCGCTCGTCGTTGTCGGTCTTCTTCTTGCGCGGCGGCGGAACTAGTTTCTAAGTATTAATATCTGCACTGGCGCGAGCGGTGCGGTCCGTCGCGCACGACGCCGACCCGTACGCCGCTCTGCGGATTGCCAGAGCATCGCGGCAGATCGGGCTGCCCATGCGGGCTGCACAACTCTCTTGCAGCAACTAAAATAATGTACGAGGGCGAATTGATGCCGGAGGGCGAGACGCCGGCTGCGGCGCGCCCCTCACTGCTGTCCAGACTGTCCTCCTGGCGGGCGCCGGCTGAGCCGGAGACCAAGGAGGTCCATGCGCCGGAGGGCTCGCTAGGACTGTGTTTCGAGCGAGAGAGCACTGTGCTTTCACGCATCAAGGACACTTCGCCTTTACTGAACAAGGTGCAGGTGGGCTGGACGCTCGTCAGCATCGATGGAGAGGACGTGAGCCGCATGAACGGCCGGCAGGTCACCAAGCTCCTGACCTCGCGCGTGCACGACCCGGACGGGAGACGATTAAGTTTTACGACGGGAGAGACACGGCCCGTCGCGGCCGGCGAGGTGCTGCCCGAATTCGAGGGCGAGGGGGAACAGCCCACTGGCTGCGAGGTCCCGGCGGAGCCCGAGGAGCCGGATTTGGAGCAGGGAACCAACGCACTTGTCACGTCGTCTGACACGGCGGTTGTCCGTGCCGGAGTAGGTGCCTTCGGGATAAAACTCCTCACGCTGGTCCGGCCCGAGCACGCGCTCCGCTTTTCCCACGCCGCGACCCTGCGCGACGGAGGCAGCGCGCCGCTGACGGCCGGCGGCCTCAACGTCGGTCTCTTATTTCCGGACCAGCAGCTAGGAAATTCTGACGTGGACTTTATCAATGTGGGCGTTGGCGTGCAACCCATCGACGTTCGTCTTCACGGGTCGTGCGTCTTGTGGGACAGTCCAAAACTTGGCGAGCTGCTCCTCCACGTCGCGCCTCATCGGAAGCTGTGCGAAGGTGCACCGCTCCTGCTCACCGGGGCGGGAGAGAACTGGAAACTCGAATTCGAACAACGCGCGCAACCGTCGTGCGTCATCGCGGTGACGAGCGCAGGGCGGTTCGATGGCAACTCGTGCTCCTTTAAGATCGATTCGACGGTGGTCGAGTACAAGCCCCACCGTGGCTTCAACTTCCTTGTCCTCGAGGCGGACGGCAAAATCGTCGAGACGCGACACTTCGACTTGTGGGACGACGAAGAGGCGCCCGACGATATGAAAACCTACGTCAAGGGCCTAGCGCGAGGCACTCTCGTGCTCGTCGCGGGGAAAGATGAAGGTACACAGAGACTGACTACGGCACTGAAGACGACCATGGCCGACGCCTTCGGGACCCAGGAGCTCGCAAGCCTCGGCTACAGAGAGTCATACGCGGCGATCCTCATCAAGGACCGCCCGCCAATTGATGAGAAGCGCACGGCATGCCACGCGGGACCGGCTCGCGCGTACTCTGTCCGTTTTGACTTCGTCCTGCAGGCAGATGGTACGATCGCACCGCGTGCCGCGCCGCACCTACGGATCGGTGGTGTATACGAGCGTCTCAATCCCCCCGAGAGCGCCCGTCGCTACTCCTCGGTGTGGTCAGATTGCGGCGGGTGCTTGCCGTTCTGCCCCTGCTGTCCATGCGCCACGGAGTGGGCATGTCTTCTTTTTTGTCTCTGTCCGCTGAACAAGAGCATGCTCGACAGTCCCGATGCCTGGGCTTCGGCGTGGCCCACGGGTTGCGATTGGATACAAATCGATTTGAAGAATGGCTCGGGTGTCAACTGTTGGATCGTCGCTGGGATCATCGTCCAAGGCTGCAATTCTCGGTCCTACGGGGCGGAGCGAGTGACGCAGCTTTCGGTGAGCTACAAACGCTCCAACTACAGCCAGTGGGAAAAGGCGCAACCCTCGCGCATGGACGTGGTTGGATCCAAAAATAACGACGACACGCACCACGTTTTGTACTTCGATGAGCCGGTGGTCGCGCGTTACATCCGCGTGGAACCGACGCTTTGGCACGGTCATCCCACCATGCGCTGCGGTTTTATTGCGCGACCTGCATCGACGGAACAGACCGTTCCTCAGGCTCCCTCGGAGGAGGAAATAGAGCGCTAGCTGCGCGCCCTTTTTTTTACGCACTGGCATTCGACCTTTCAATTTCATTAGCCGGGCCCTCCCGAGTAATCTTTCGCACTTCCATTCATTCATTACCAACAGTTTTACTCTACTACACTACCTCTCGAGCCGCCGCCGCATCGCCTCATCAGACGCGCTCGCCCGCGGCGTCTCGCCGTCGTTGTCGGCGATGTCCGCGTCCGCGCCATTGGCCACCAACAGATCAACCACATCGCCGCGGTCACAAATAACAGCATAAGCCAGCGGTGTCAGGCCGTCGCCATCCCTCAAATCGACGCACGCCCCCGCTTCTAACAAAATGCGGCAGCACTCGACGGAACCACAATCCGCCGCCCAGTGCAGCGCCGCCCGCCCATCTCCATCGCAGGCGTCCACGGCCGCGCCGCCTTTCAGGGCGGCGCGGACGCCCGCGACGTCGCCGCGTTCGGCGAGGCGGACCAACGGAGGCGCGTCGTCGTCGCCACCACCACTACTCTCGCATGCCATCGTCGACACGCGCGCGCCGGCGATGGACTGCGCCGCCTGCGCCTCGGCGGCGTCGCCTCCGTCATTGCTGCCGTTATCGGCCAGCTCGGCCACGAGCGAGACGTAGCGCCGCCGCGCGTCCGCTCGTTTCATGTCGCCGTGGCCGTGCCACGCGTCCCACTTCGCGCGGCCGGCGACGTCCCAGACGTAGGGCCGGCCCGTCGTCACGGCGCCGCAGGTGCCCTGCTTGTAGAGGCCGTAGAGTCTTAACCGGTCGTCCGTCGACGGCGTGAGGCTGCGCGCCACCTCGGCGGCGGCCTCGAAGGCGGCGTCCGCGGCGTCCGTGAGGGCTGCCATTGCTTCGCGCTGTTTATTGCTGCACGCGGCGTGTCGAGCTCGTAGCCTTGAGCGGTCAACGCACTGCTGCACGCGGGAGCTGTTAGATTTGAGCGGTGCACGCAGCGAACGGATGCACGCCGATCTCTATCCACCCAAACGTGATTCACGGGCTGCGTTTATCGATCACTTTCGATTTGCTTGGCATCCCTAGTGCCTTACAGGCCGCTAGCCCGAATTTCCTTAACGCGGGAGCCCTTGGAAGCCGCGCCCCGGGGCAATACCCCCTCATACTGGTACATTGTCCGCTGGGTGAAACCCGTGTGCTAGGTGGACAATCAGGACTTACCAAGTACGCAGGGGATAATCAACGAAGCGCAGTCACCAAAACGCGGGCAGCCCGCGGCGCCGCCGCGGCCACGAGCCGGACCGCGGGCGGCGCGCCCGTCGCCGCGACGGCGCCCGTCGCCGCGGCCAGCACGACGAGGGGCACAGCGTCCGCCGCCGGCTCCGGAAAAGGCGTCGCCACCGGGACCCGCGCGAGCCGCGTTGCCGCGGGACGGAGAGGCGTCGTAAGTGAACGCGTAAGTGGTGTCGGTCGCGGCCGGACCATTGTGCTCACCGTGGCCGGCGTCGTCGTCTTGAGGCCGTTAGCGAAGAGCGCACCGAGCACGACCGCCAAGACAAACAGAGGCCCGCGACGCCACCGCCGCGGCGGCAGCACCTCTACGGAAGAGAGCTCGAGGACCTCGGCCGGCGCCACGGGCGAGAACGCGACGCGCTGGGGCTTGACCGCGGACACGGGCGTCAGGATCGCCACGGAGAGGGGCTCGGACGCGAAGGCGACCGTCTTGCCGCGTCTTCGAGCGCCTAGCGCCTTCGACCGCCGCGTCAGTTTGGAAGGCCGGTAGGACGGCAGGGGGCCGCGTCCCCGCAAGGGCGCCGCGTGGTCCTCGTCCTCTGATGTGGAATAAGGCGACAGGTCGCCGCAACCCAGCCTACAAGCTTCGTCCTCGCCCTCCGACGTGCTGTAGCCCGGCGAAATTTGTTTTGGGTCGTCATACGCTTCAATTTCTGTGGCTATTGCTGGCAATAAACGCGGGTCCTCGCTCGTTTCGTCGGACTCGTAGGCCACGTCGAGGGCGAGTTCGCGCGCCGCCGCGTCCTCGTAGGCCAATGCTAGAGCTGGTCGAGGCGGCATTGAAACCGGCGGCGGCGTGGCGAGGAACGCGAGCGCGCGCGTCTTGGGGCTCGGGGCGGCGCCGCGGCGCCGCGGGCTCGAGTCCGGGGTGCGGGCCTGGCTCCGCCCGCGCGGCGGCGACGCGGGGCTGCCCTCCTTCTTCTGGCGGCGGCGCGGCATCGTGTCCTTTTGTCAACTTGCTTTTGTGGCCCGGCGGCGCACGAGGGGCGCGCGGCGCAGCCCTTTTGTGGCGCGGCGGTGTACGAGGCACGAGGGGCACGCGCGCAGCCCTTTTGTGGCGCGGCGGTGTCCCCTAGGGGCGCGCGCGCAGCGAAGGCCAAAAGGAACCGTGCTGCACGACGAAGGCTGAGCGGGCCAGTGGGCCGCCGAAATCCTCCCACGAGCCTATCGAATGGTGCTACGGGATCTTTGTACGTCTTCGCGACGGGTACAAAAACCCGCTCCAGTAGTCGACGATGGCCTTGGTGTTTGTGGCCATTCGCGGCGTCGTCCGCGACCTCAAGCGGTAGCGTTCGAACGCCGGCGTCATATCTGTCTGTTAATCGGCCTCCGCGAGTATCGCGCGTCGAGAGATTGATCCCTGGCAAAGGCGACCACTCAACTCATGCGTTGTTCAGAGCGATTTCTTCTTCATCCACCGGGACCGGTTCCTGAACGCGTTCTCGAATTTGCCCGAGGTCCTGGCGGAGATGGCGGCGCGCGAGGACGTGTATAGGAGGCGGCCCGTCCGCGTCCCGAAGGCGTCCCTGGGGTCGACTTAGTACATAATCTTTAAAGTGGGAAAGGAGCGTGTCGACACGCTCATCTATAGCGCGGCCGCGGCCTGGGACTGCATCGGCGCCGGCACGGGCAGGCACTCGCCCGCGCGGTCGCAGCGCCTGACTTCGCCGTTCGCGAAGCGGTAGGACGAGAACGCCCGCACATCACAACCCGCGAACCACGTCTGGAAGATCTGGATCACGTCCGCGTGTGCGGTTAATATGACCTGCTTGCCGGAGTGGCGCTTCTCCAGCAGGTCGACCATGTTCGAGAGGCGCTGGCAGACGTCGGCGACGGGCTCGACGCCGTCCGTGCCGTCGAAAGGGGACGCCATGTCGCGCGGCCAGACGTTGTCGTAGTTTCCTGCACTCAACCCATCTAAGGAGCCGAAGTCGCGCTCCCTCAGATCGGATAAGAGGCCGATCTGCAACAGGGGCGGCGCCTCCCAGTCGCCGGCCGCGATCTGGGCGCGCCGCTGCATCTCGTACGCGGCGATCTGGGCCGTCTCGCGCGCGCGCGTGAAGTTCGAGCTGTAGACGACGACGTCCTCCAGCGGGACTTCGAGCTCGGAGAGATTTGCCCACAAGTCCGCACCCGCGACGTGGGCCTGCTCCTTGCCTAGTGCCGTGAGCTCGTGTTTGGTGGAGCCGATCGCGGGGTTGCTCGAGATGATGTTTTCGACGTTGGCGGTCGACTGGCCGTGGCGCACGCACCAGTAGGTGTTCCGGGGCTCCTCGGGCGGCTCGACGACCGTTTCTAGGGTTGCCGTGCGGAGGGGCGCGGGGCCGCGGTTCGTGCGGACCGTCGCCGGTAACAGAGCGAGCGCGGGCACGACGGCCAGGAGCAGCTTGGAGATCGGCATCGTCTTGTCGCGAGGCTCTGCTCGGTGCCTTGCTGTGGTGCACTTAGTGTCAGCAGTGCTTAGACGCTGTCGTGCAAGATGGTGCTTCGTGGGCTGTCCTGTGGCAGGAAAATACTGCAAATGAAAGTGTCTGCTTGTCTGATAGGCTAGATGGGTCTCGTTTTAGCCGCTATTGTTAAGCGATGAGATGGTGACGACTCTGAGCGGCGGTTACGCCCGAGGACCCCGAACGTACGATCAGAGATGTCAGCACGCCGTCCCGAGCCGCCCCGGACAGTTAGATGCGGCGAGAGTCGACTTGGCGCAGCCTCTCACAGCCTGTTTTGGCTATCGACTCCAAGCGTCGCCCGAGGCTGCAAAACAGTGCCGAGCGATTGACATCGTTGCTGCACGCATCGCCTGATTCGCACCGAAGCCGTCGACGCAGCCGCGCCGGCCTCCGCAGCGATAGAAACCAGCTAGCTCCCAGACTCCCACAGCAGGGAGATTTTCGGCGCGCCAGAAACACAGCCATGGCCGCGAAGGACCTCGAGAAGCTCAATCTGAATGACACGGACCCGGGCATCCCGCCGCCGCCGCCCGGCGGCGGCGGTTTTAGTTTTGCGAGCGCGCCCGCGGGCGCGCCGAAGGAAGGTTTTTCGTTTAACATGCCGCCGGCGCCGCCCGCTGCGGACGACGACGACGACGACGACGAGATGAAGCTGCCGGCCGCCGTCTTGGGTCGCGTGCTTGGTTTACGAGCTTTACATGAGAAGCGCGAGGAGGTCATGCAAGAGTACGTCAAGGAAAGGGCGGCCCTCGAAGCGAAGTATAGAGAGAAAATTGATCCCATCCTCCAAGACAGGTCGCGGGTCATCAACGGGAAGCTGGAGCCCTCGTTATCGCACGAGGACCAGCAGACCGTGGCGAAGGCCGGAACATCAGGTAATGATGAGAAGGGTGTGCCTGATTTTTGGTTGAGTGCGTGCGGGCGGCACGACGCCTTCGGGGGGACCATCGAGGAGTCGGATGTGGCCGCTCTCCGGTGTTTGACGGACGTGAGGTGTATTGATGATGACGACCTCACGGGATTTAAACTCGAATTCGAATTCGCGCCGAACCCCTTCTTCTTCGATACCGTGCTGACGAAGTCCTACAAAGTACCGAACTTGGTCGATTCGAACGGCCAGCCCGAGCTCGAGAAAATACAAGGCTGTACCATTAACTGGAAAGAAAATAAAGACCTCACAAAACGCGAGGTCAAGAAGAAGCAGAAGGCGAAGCGGGGTCGGAATGCGGGGGCTACCCGAGTAGTGACGAAGATCGAGGACAAGCCGTCGTTCTTTCGGTTTTTTGAATCTATACCGTTACCAGGATGTGATGATGATGATGACGAGGATGTGGAGGATTTGCGGGACAAGATCGACGCGGACGTGGAACTGGCCTTCGCGCTGCGGAACGAGGTCGTGCCGCACGCCATATTATGGTTCACGGGCGAGGCCGTCGACGACGATGATGAGGATTTTGATGAAGTTGAGGTCTCGGACGAGGAGGAGGACTGATCAAATTTTTGAGGAGTAGTGGATGCCCCACGGGTAAACCTAATTAATCACATACTACAACACTGCTCGTCCGTCGCCACCGAGTTTCGGGCGCCCAACCCCATCGACGCGACGTGCTTCCGTAGGACCGTAGCTGCGTCTGCGCGATGGCGTGGCGATTCCACGCCATCGACGCGACGTTGTCCCCGTGGTCGCGGCGGCTCGATGGCGTGGAGACTCACGAAAGTCCAACACTGAGGGCCAGGCGTACAACGGTCACGACTCGGGCCAGGGCAGGGGCTTCGAGACGAGTCTCCCAGTCTTTTCCGTTCTCAGACGCACATTGAGCAGCGCCTCGATCTCCGTCTCTACGGTCTGGCGCACTATATCAGCTTTCGACCGCGGCAGGCACGCGTCGCGCGTCGCCAGCGTCACCTCGAACGCGTGGGAGACGCGCCCGTCGGCGCGCTCGTAGCGGTCCGCGCGCCGCACGGCGTGGGCCAGCCCGCCGGCCGCGCGAGCCAGCGCCGCGCAGACGGCCTCGTCGTCGTCCGCATTATCACTAAAAAACTGCACCTCGAAGACGTACGACGGCGCCGACACCGCCGCGGCGGTCCCCGTCCGCGCAAGCGCGTGGAGGATGGCAGACCGCGGTTCGAAGGCGCGCGCTTTGCCCTCGCCTCGATGGCCCCGCGTGCCGTAGAAGGGCTCGAAGGGCGTCGCCTCCGCCACGACCAGGCCATTTTCCGCCGCGGCGATGTCCAGCTGCCAGCTGCGGTTCCAGGCCTCCCGCCGCGCTTGTTGGCCTTGCGGGAGCTCGCCCGCGCAACCTGCGTGGAAATCAAATTTCAGGCGCCCACGCCATCGACGCGAGGACCTGACTCACGGATTGATTTCCACACAGCACAGAACCACCCTGGCCGCCGTCGAGCGCGACGAGGAGCTCGCCGCCCGGCGCGAGCGGTGCCGCGCCGCAGACCGCGTGTAGCAGCTCGCGGTTGCGGCGGATGTTTTGCTTGCCGGGTGCGTGAGGGAAATTGAAGATGACACGGTCGAACGCTGCGCCGAGGTCGCCGGGCGCCGTCGCGTCGACGCCTCCGATGGCGCCGAGCCGGTCGAAGCGCGCCGCCGCCTCCTCGCCGTACTTGCGGTGTAGGTCGTCCCGGGTGTCTAGAGTTGTCGCGGTTACTTCAATACCAGCGTCCGCGAGCGCCGCGCTGCAGGACAGGTCGCCGTCGCCGAGGCACAGCACGCGGCGGGACGGAGCGCCACACACCGTCGCCGGCGCCGCGTAGCGGGCTAACGTGCTGCTCAGCGCTGCAGCCGTGCGTGCGCACGCGGCCAGGAATCGGAGGCTGCGGTGCGGCAGCTTCATTTGTGCTTGCGGTGCTGTTACACAACACTAGAGCACGCGTGGGCTTAATTCACCGAAGTGGTCGCTGCAATTGCAACAAGCAGCAAAAAGAGCAGGGCTGAAATCACCACAGCGACTGTCCGGTGACCTGCAAATGCAGCAGCGCTGGTAGCAATGAATGCCACTGCTATGCTGCTTAATGCCTGCTTAATGCCAGGCCGATTATGCACAATTAGCGCCCTACGCGTCGACTCGCAGCCAAGTTCGCAGCCGCCGCAAGCTAGCGGCACGTAAAGACACTAGCATCTCAACAACAGGGAGCCGGGGATTGACAGTTTTTGCCGTCGCGCATACATAAGCATGCTTGGCGGGCTGTCCTGGGCCTCTGCTGTACAGCGCTGACCGCTCCAGCAAGACGCTTGAGGCCGTGCGCGGCTCAACTCCCGCCGGGCGCCAAAGCTAGGCTGCTCCTTCGCTACCGCCGCGGCGGGGCGCGCGGCTCCGGGAGGACCGGCAGAACTTGTTACTGACGATGAAACGCCTCCTCCTCGTCGCCGCCGCCGCCGCGGGCTGGATGACGAAACAGAAGCCCATCCCGAACCTCGGCGTGGTCCTACGGCCGCGCGAGGGCGTGACGAGCCGACCAAGCACTCTACGACGTTTAAGAGGCGAAGGCGTGGCGCGCGTCAAGCTCGAGACGTACGGCGCGCGCGAAGTACGGGAAGCCGTCGCGAATTTGGGGACGGGCGCCAGAGTAGCTGTATCGATACCCGACGCGGAAGTAGAAGACGTGTCGAAGGGCGGCGCCGCGGCGGACCGCGTCTGCGCCGCAATCAAGAGCGTCCACGAACACGTGGACGGCGTCCTCGTGGGCGTGACGCCGCCGAGTGGTGCCGGTGCTGATTTAAAACGCTTAGCTCAGATCGCAAACGCGAGTCGATCCGTCTCGAAGGCCTGCTCCACCATAAATGCGTCCGTGCCCGTGACCACGGCTTTTGACCTCAACGTGTTACGCTCGTCCTACCCGCCGTCCGCGTCGCTCTTCGCGGCGCCGGGACCGCTGCGCGAGGTCCTGGTCCATTTACGAGAGACGAAGGCGCCCTTCGCCATCCAGCTTGACCCCTACGGGGCCTGGCGGAGCTCGTATTATGATGTCTCTCTAGATTTCGCGACGTTTGCGTTGGATCCATCGCGAGATCGGCCGCAATTCGTCGACGACGGGAGCGGCGCGCAGTACTACGCGCTCATTGATGCCATGCTCGATAGTGTACGGTGGGCCCTCGCCAAAGAAGGTTTTGGGGATCTAGATGTGGTCATCACGCGCGTGGGCTGGCCCTCTGGTTTAGTGGATACGGTGAACCCGCCGCCGGCGGCCGACGCGCCCGGAGCTGGTGCTACTCTCGAGTTGGCCGCGTCGTTCGCGCACGGTCTAGGTAAAAGGAGAGGTGTATTAGGCGCTTCTGCCCCGGAGCTCCAGAAGAACGTCAATCAAGGCTACGTCGTCGCTTATATATATGAGGCCGACGACGGCGCGCCGGCGCCGGATGGGCTGCGCTGGGGCGTCTGCGGCCAGCAGGGCTCGCTGAAATATTCCATACGGACCGGGGCTGTTGTGGCTCCTCGCTTGAGGACGGCCTCGACGGCTTGTCTGGGGCCAGCTTGCATCAGGAAGCGCTTCTCGCACGCGAAGCAGCACGACGTCGAGATGGCCGCCCTCGGTGTCGCTGTCGGCGCTCTCATCCTAGGCGTAGCGGCCTTCGTGGCGATCCTGTCCATCCAGCCGGCCCAGGCGCGGTCGCCGCGGTCGCCGACGCAGGTCGAGCGCATCATGCGCGTCGCGAATCAGCGCGCCGAGGAGAACCAGCGCGCCGCGCGCGCGGCGCCGTCCCTGCTCAAGCCGCAGGACCTCCTGCGGTGGGGGTCGCGCCCCTTGATGACCGTGGCGGAGTCGCCTGGGGCATCCGACGTGGAAGGGTCCGAGGCGGGCTCGCTCAAGAAGCGATAGTGGCCCGTCTCCTCGTTTCGTCTTTTAATCGTGTTGTTTCTATCACTCGCGGTACCCACTTTACGTCTCGGGACGGCCTTTCCCGCCGCTACGGCGTCGAAATAGGTCCCCTGGACATCGTCAGACTGAAAAAACCTCGGAAGATCCGCGTGCTAGTGTCTTACATGCCGCTAACTCCGCAAGCAAGGCCGCGACTTTTTGGGCTCTGTGAGATCGCACGGCACCAATTGAGGAGTTCTGTTAGACATGCGTGCAGCCCTCTTCCTCCTGGCTGCAGTCAGCAGCAAGGCGCTGTCCCTGCGGGCGGCACCGACACCAAGGAGATGCGCGACGCGCCTGCACGCGACCGTCGAGGACGACGTGGACCTATGCGAGGTATTGAATGCGAGCGACGAGGAGTTCCGAAAATTGGGCTGCGCCGGGCCGCGCATTCGCCTTATCGCAGAGGCGCGAGAGGCAAGGCAAGGCCGGGACGAAAAGCGTCGGGGTGCGGTGCTCAGTCACGTGGAGGCGCTCGAAAAAGAAAACCCCACGCCGAAACCGAACGAGTCGCCGCTGCTCTCCGGGCGGTGGCGCTTGGTCTTCACGACCTCCGAATCGATCCTGGGCACGCGCCGCATGAGGCCGTTCCGGCCGCGTCGACGCATCCTGCAGGACATTAACGCGGGAAAGCTCACGGCGAAGAACGAGGAGTGGGTGTTAGGCGGATTGCTGCGGAATTCTGTGAGGGCGAAGCTCGAGCCGCGGGATGACGGCGCGACGGTAGATGTCATCTTCAAGCGGTTCGGGATTGGTTGGCTGAAATTGCCGGCGCCGAAGAGCGCGCGGGGCGTGCTGACGACGACCTACCTCGACGACGAGATGCGGATCTCGCGTGGCGACCGCGGCAACGTTTTCATCCTCGTCAAGGAGGGTCCTAGTAAGATTTAAAACATTTAACTATGGCTGGAAGCCGCACACGGATCGCGCGCTCACGCCCTTGCGCCTTGATTTCAAAAGCATCTTCTGCGCCCATCTCACTCGGTCTATGCGCTTCGTGTGCCAGAGTAAGGGGGGGTCGTCGGTACTGCAAGGGTCGCAGTACGGGCCGCACTGGATCCCTACGGGTAGGTCAAACACCTCGTCGTCGCGGTGGCGCCAGAGCACCTTGCGCAACGGCATCTGGTCTCGGCCGTCCTTGGACGTGCCTTGCCGCATCTCCTCGAGCCATTCTCGTGCCAGCGCCGCGGACCGATTTGCCGCACTGAAGAAGAGTATGCCACCGTTCCGCTCGCAGTAGCCCGGCGGCACCTCGGACGTCCAGTGGCCCCGCGGAATGCAGAGATGACTCTTCGTGACGCCCAGCGCCTTGTGCCGCTTCCGCACTTCATCAAATAAACCCATCAGCACGTCCGCGCGGTCCCGTCGAATGGCTATGTCGTTGTCGAGATACAAGGTGCCGTCTTTGTACAAGGGTAGATTCGCGGCCAGCGCGCCGACCTTGAACAGCCGCAGCGACGTCGCGCGCGCCAGCCTTTCCATCGGCGCGTCCGTCGCCTCGAGGGCCACGATCTCGATCTTGGGGCAGGGCCGAAATCGCTCGGCGCGCGCCTTCTCCGACGGCGTCCTCACGACTAAGCGAGCGGGGTACGGCGTGGCGCACACGTCCCTCAGTATAGCCCCGAGGTTGTCGTTGGTCGACTCGTTGCGGCGGAGGCGTTCGACGGGCGACTTCGTCGCGACCAGCAAAAAGCCGCGCTCGAGCTTCGGAGGGACGGGCACGAGGCGGAATCCGGTGCGATTGAACGGCTGAGAGGGCAGCCAGCGCCTAATGCGTTCTTCCCGGCGCTGCAGCGCCCAGGCCGCGACACGCGATACGTTGACTGCGTCGTCGGCGAGACATCGCGCGAGGATTGCTGCGGCGACCGCGATGCTACGCATTATTGTGCTCTGTCATCATCGTGAGTGGCTCTCGGCTGCACCGCACGCATGCATGCTGGCTTCGGCCGGGGCTGCCCCGGGGAGGCCCAGAGAGTTACACGAGGCTACTGGTTGGCTGCCTCGGTTTATAATGCTCTTTCTTTTTGCAAAAGCTTAAGCAAGCCTAGTATGTCTCACCGCTAGCTAAGCCTGCTTCCCGCGGTGCTTTTTTGGTTCAGACTTGCAAAGGGATTGAATTGGTACGCAAGAACATTTTCTGGCACGTATGCAAAGCTTGTGAGCCATAGCCTGAGAGCTTGTGAGCCATAGCCTGAGAGCTTGTGAGCCATTGCCTGAGAGCTTGTGAGCCATTGCCTGAGAGGCCCAGCCACTGTGTGGTCAATGTCACCACTGGAGGGCGTTGTGCTACTCGTCGTAGTCGTCGGCGTGCCGCTGTGGCTCGCGCTCACGACAAGAGCACCAGTGCTGCCAGCACGCGACTGGTGATGCGTGCGCTACTCTTGCTCGTGAGCGTTCAAGCGCTCGCACCGAATCGACGAACATTTCTCGTCGCGACCGCCGGCGGAGCAGCAAGTGCGAGTGCATCGACCGACGGCGCCGTGCGAGAGATCTCACTGGGAGAAGCGGTCAAAGCAATAATAACCGATGGAAACCCCGACTGGGTCCGCGCGGTCGTCCAGGCCGGTTTCATCTACCGCGGCGTCGCCGAGGCGAGCCCGACGCTGCGCCGCGACCCGTATGATCTCTACTCCCCTGCTACGTACAATTCGGCACGGGCAGCAACCTATTTCCGGTCGCTCGACGCGGCATTAGACAAAATCAAAGCGCCCGGACCACGTGCGAGAACGGCGCACCTCGCCGTCGCCAACGCGGAAGCCGCGGCGCAGTGGGGCACCGCAGCATCCATCTGGCCCCTCGGCTCTATCTCATATGCGTGGGGCCCCACCGCCTTCTGGCCCACGAAGGACCGCGCGATAACCGTAGCAGAGAGCCTCCGCGTCGACGAGGGCCTCGCGGACTGCATCCGAGATGGACGCGAGGTCCTCTACGCGTGCGACGCATCCATAGCCGTGCCCCGATCACTCGAACCATCGCTCCGCGCGGGCCTAGGACTACTATAAAAAAGATTACTCTGCCGCCTCGTCCTCCGGCGCGTAGAGGACGACGTTATCTCTGAGAGTGGGCACGTCCGCGCCGAGGACGATGGCCACGACGGCCTTGTTCTTCACCAGCAGGAAGAAGGGCATGCAGCCGTGGTTCGCCAGGTCCAAGTCTGACGGCTTGGTGGCCATGAGCTCCACGAGCTGCGGCGTGAGAGTTTTGATGTCGGCCGTCGTAAACGCGACCTTGTCCTCGCAATTGTCGATCTCGTTGAAGATGGAGTTGTACGTCGGCTTCATCGTGTCGCAGGGGCCGCACCAGTTCTGGTGCACGTCCATGACCACCAGGACCGTCTCGGACTTCTCGAGGTAGGCGCCGAAGGCCTCGGCGTCGGCAATGGCTTCCACCGGGGCGGTGGCCATCGTGCGCTGCTATATATATATACTGCTGTGGATGGAGTGCGTGTGTTCCCGCTCTTGCTGCGTGGCGGCGCGACGGTGGCAGCCCACGAGACCGTATTTAGGCAGGCCGCTGCGGGCAGCCGCAGGCCAGAGGTCCGTTCCGTATTCCCCGGCCCTGCGTGGGTACGCGTCTCGTCGACGGCGTGGGGGCGGCATAATCCTGTGGGCACGCCGTCGCCGCGACGGGCGTACATCTCGCCGTCACGCCGTCGCCGCGGCCATCGCACGCGGGCCGCCGTCGCGCCGCGAGTGGATCCGGGCCACCGCTACTACCAGGGTGTCTAACCAGGGTGAATTCCCGCATCGATGGCATCGCGGCGCGACGGGCCGAGATGGACAAGAACCAGGTTATGTACAAACTTACTTCAGATACTATGGACGGTGTGTGTGCGTCGGTAAGGGAGGCACACATACAGGGGGATAATGAACAAGACCGTCAAAAAGACGGCACTTTGACGTGAGAGCGCTCGGCGACGGACGTCCCGTCGATCACGAAAAGCTGCGGGTACGCCGTCAGTAACGCTCTGAGGGGAACGGACTTGACCGAACTTTGCAGGGCGTAGACGCGTCTCAAGTACGCCCGGATCTTGTGGAGCGTCGACGGTCGCGGCGACTGCGCCCGCAGACACTCCAAGACCGTCCGCACGATGCCTTGATCATGGACCGCATCCCTAGGCCACGGCATCGTCGGCGCGTAGTCCTCCGCCGCTAAGCGCGCCAATTGCCGCTGACAACCTTGTGAAAGCTGCTGCGGGAAGAGTGGCGGCGCTGGAAACAACGACGAGGCGCCCATGGGCTTCTGGCGCGCGGGCCCGATGCACTGCTTCGGGGCCGGTTTTCCGTCGTCCACCACAGGCACCGCAGGTTCCACGAATTGCGGAGAGAAGACCGCCGCCTCCGCTCGCAAAGCCCCGGGCATGACCGGTGTTGACTCGACGGGCGCCAGTGTTACGACGTCATGCTTCGGGACACGTACCACTCGGACCCTACCAGCTGATTTCTCGAGGAAGGTCAACAAACCGCCGTGCGACGCTCTAACACGACTAAGCGCACCGACGCCTAATCGAGCTCGTAGGGCGTTCGACAGGTCCACGGCGGTTAAAGCGTTCTCCGACGCCGATGCCAAAATGTTGACCACTTCGCGCACCACGGCAGCTTCGTCTTCCCGCGTCGCTCTTTCCACAGGAGCCGCTCTCCGTTGCTGCCGCAGCCACCGCGGTTCTACTTGCGGAACATCGTCATCTGACGACGAGACCGCCGCAGGACCGACCACCGCGACGTGGTTCAGGGGCTTGTCGTGCAGCAACCGAAACCGCTCGGGGTACCGCGACAACAGACCACATAAACCACCGAAGTGGACCTTGATCATATTGTAATTTTCCGCGCTTTCGACGGCGAGCGTGCTACCGAGCGAGGCCGACGTCGCGACGCCACCCAGCGCTCGGATGCGGGCCGCGACCCAGTCGACGTAGGGCATGAGCTTCGTGTCGCCGTCGAACATGGTTGATGGTTCATTGGACGGGCTCGCGAAGAGGGTGGCGCGGTCCCCGAGCTTGGGCGTGGTGTCGAGGCTTGACGTGCCGCTTCGCGGCGCATCTTGTAGGTTCGGCGAAGCTACAGGATGGGGGCTGCGGTTTGGTATAGGCGGCGGCGCCGCCGCGCCCGGCATATTCGCCAGCGAACCTGGGAGCGCATGGGGCTGGGGGGGCGGCGGCGCCGCGGCGCCGCTGAAGAGGCTGTAGCCCCCGGCCGCGCCCCCCAGGGCGGGTTGCGTCAGCATCCTCCGGGCGGCGCGCCCATGGCGCGGTGCCGTGCAGTCGAGGCACAGTGATGCATCTGAAAAACTTGGGCCTTCATTCTTCAACGAAACTTGAGGCCGGCGAGACCTCTCCCTGTGTTTATGCGGGCAGCCGGGATGGTGCTCGATCGTTTGCGGGAGTGGTGACCACGCTAGCGGTAAGACACTAGGGATGCCTTGGCTTTGCAAGCAAAAAAAGCTGCCCAGTCGCCTGTGGGAGCGCGTTTCGCAAGAACCAGAGCGATCGTGATATCGCACGCGTCGCGCGCAGCGAGAAAAGCTCGAGTTTCAGCATACCAGCAGCTGAGCAGCCCTCACAGCAAAAACAGAGCACAGCAAAAAATATCACGCTGCGTGAACAGGTCGAATTTCACCGGGAAGGCTATCAGCTGAGCAACAAAAAAACACAGCAAAGACGATGGCCCGCAGCGCCGCACCGGACGAAGAGAACGCTGTCAGAGCGCCGGACCCGCAGCAGCGCATGCGCCTCGTCGAGCCGCCTCAAACGATAGACGACACCTTCGCGTGGACGGACGAGGCGAGAGTGCAGGTCGCCGTGCAGACCACGGCACTTTTATTAGCTTCTTGCGTGTATTGCGTCGGGGACGAATGGCGTTCTCTAGCTTTGGCACTCGTGTGGGGCAACGCGTCACTAGCCTTGAGCGCGCAGAGGGAACGAAGGCAACCGGCGCCCTGGCTCCAAGTTTTATTAGCATCAATAAGCTGCGTCCTCGCGTCGTACGCGTCGCGAGATCAGATCGAGGCGTGCTGGAAGTGGGTCTGCGTCTTTGCGTATGCGGTCGAGGCCATGGGGTGGAGAAGACCAACGACAGATATGATCCAGTTCGGTTTTCCCAAATTTCAAAGGCAATTGTTCGTTATCTTAATAGCGGGGACGTACTGGGGGCTGCCCGCTCTATATAAATTCGCGGATCGGCTCGAGTTCGAAGCTTTGTCGGCGCAACCTTTAGGTAGAGACACGGGCGACTTCGACACTTCGGCAGCGGCGTCGCGCGTCGCCGGCGGGTTATTGTATGGAGGGACCATCGCGATGCTGGCCCTGTCGATATACGTATGGTACCGCATGTACCTGATCGCGCCGGAGATGTTCAGAATCTTCGCGAAAGTGGTCGGCCTGGGCGCGGCCGTCGGTGCCGCCCTCTACTCCTTTGGAGCACCAGAAGTCGCGGCTTTGGCTGCGGCGACGGCGACGGCGTTCGCGGCCATGGCGCACGGCGCGATGGAATATGACACAGTTTTCAGGCGGCTCCTGCCGTTGTTGGCGCTGGTCGGCTACGTTGCTTATACGGCCCTGGACAATGCATCATTGGCGCTCGTGCTCATCGGCGTCGTCTTATTAGCCAAGGTCCAGTTCGTGCGCGACCTTGAGGCGTTAAGGGGCCGGCCGCGGACGACAAGTCGCTATTTATCGGGTGGCCTGGGCATCCTGCACCCCGTAGTAACAGTGTGAAGTTAGTTGCCCCAAAACCACGCGCCCTCGGGCGGCGGCTCGGGTACACGCGGTGTCCGCGCGCGCGCCGCACCATCCAACCAGAACTCGACCTCGTCCTGGACGCCCGGCGCCGCCCCGGCCACGTGCGTCGGGCCGAGGTCCCCCAGGTTGTGTTGCGACGTCCTTCCTCTCAACGCGCCCACGAAGCCGCCCCGGGCCGGCGCGGCGCCGGGCAAGATCCCGCTGTCGTCCGAATCCGAGGAGGAAGATGACGCGTGGGGCCGGACGAAGCGCGGGTCCCGCGGCCGCCGTTCAGTATCCGAGGCCGGCTCATAGACGGCCCGTTCCGACCGGTCGTCGCGCGGGTCCCGCGGCCGTCTGTCATTATCCTCCGAGTCGGGCGACGCCGGGCGCGCGAAGGCGACGCCGGGCTCAGGGCCGGGCCCGTCCGACCGGTCGTCGAAGAAAGAGTCCTCGTCCGCCTTGTCGTCGCCGAACGCGTCGACGGCGGCCTGGACCAGGTCGCCGTCCACGGCTACGCCTTCCTCTCTCAACAAATCGCGCAGCACGTCCTCCGGTATTTGTGCCGCGCGCCGCGCGCGCGACGCCGGCGACGCCGCGCGCAGCTGCGCGGCCACCACATGCTTCGGGACGGGCGTCTTCGGCCGGAGCCCCGCGGCGCGGAGCACGTCCCTCTCCAAGTCCCGGCGCTCGCCCGTCGCCGGCAGGCCGCTTCTTCGTAAAGACGCCTTGAGCTCGCCGATGTTCATGCGTCTTACCCGATCCTCCGAGAGCGGCTCCGCCCTTTCTTTGGTACCCGTCGCGAAGGCGCGCGCGGCCGCCGCGCCGGGGCCGTCTCTTTGTGAACCGTAGCGCGTTTTCGCAGCGGCCGCACTACTTTTCTTCGCGTCGTCGGCCGACGGTCTTCTTCGCCGCGCCGCGTCCGCGTCGTCGCGCCGCCGGTCGTGATCCGCAGGAGCGCTCCCGGTCATGTCGCCGGCGCGGCGCCGCCGCGGCGCCGGTGTGGCCACGACCCGAAACTCGTCGGCGTGCTCTCGCCGGTATTGGCGCCAGCCCGCCGCGTCGCGCTCCGGTGTGTAGTACTTCCGCCTGTCAACGTCACCCAAAACCTCGCGCGCGCGGCCCACGATCGTGAAGATCTTCGGCGACACGCGCGACTTGTCGGGATGATACTTCAGCGCGAGTTTTTTATAGGCGCGCGTCACGTCGCCCGACGCGGCCCCGGGTGCCAAATCGAGGGCCGCCCAGAGGTTCCCCCTCAGATAGTTGAGGTGCGACTCAATCTCTCTTCCGAGTTTGGCTATGAGCTCCTCCAATAGTTTGAGGACGCGCTCGGCGCCTTTCGTTCGCATGGCTTGGTCCTTTTGCTTTTCAAGCAACTGGGCGGCCTGCTCAAACGTCAACACGGCCTCGTGCACACTACCGTCCTCGGACAGCTCGAGGGCCCGCGCCCAGAGGGCCTCGACGGTGTCCGCCTGCATTGTCAGCTGGGGCTGCCTGCCATCGTTTCGTTCGCTGCCTTAGCTCGACCGGTGGGCTCGTTTGCGCCCAGATGATGAGCGAGTTGTGGCGTACGGGCTGCCCTTGGGCTCGACGTTGGGCTGGGTGTAAATGAGGGCTAGTATGTTAGTACGCTAATTCGCATCGCGGTCGAGCGGCGGCGACGCGGGCGCCACTCGCGCCATGCCACGCTGCATTAATTGCCACCTACCAATTCCTGGTTTATCTTTTACGGGAACCTGCGGCCAGTGCTATAATGAGTCCCTATTTGCACGTACAGCAGAGGAACAGACAGCGGACCTGAAAGCAAGGCAGGCGCGGCGCCGCAAGCTGAAACCGCAACTCGCTGATCTCCTGCGGAAGCACGCAGCAAACCGGGCGGAAGTCGCAAAAAAAATCCTGACGTTCGTCGGCTTTGACCTCCCGGGTCAGTAGGCCATGCGCCGCACCGCGCTCGCGCTTCACGCCATCGCGGCGACGGCGAATGCGCACTCGTGGGCCGCACGCATCGATGCCAAAGATGCGCCGGCCATCCGTGCGGCGCTAGATAGCGGACAACCATTTGTCGCGGCAGGAGCATTGAGCCCTGAGGCTTGCGACGCGTGGACTGGTAACCTCATGGAGGGGTTCGGCGACGCCATCGTGACCCAGCAGATCGCGGGCGACCCCTTCGACGCGCCGCTCGCGGAGTTCTTTTACGACGCGCTGGCGTCGACCCACGAAACGCCACATTTCCTCTTCGACGAGGCACTGCTCGAGGGCAACTTACGCGCCGCCGCAATCGCGCCGCAGCGCGCCATTTTCGAAGGAGAGGAGTCGTGGCTCGACGCGTTTCCAGCGGAGCGGCGGCCGGCGGACGCCTGTGTGGTCTGCGCGGGCGCAGGCGCGCGATCACCGCTCCACAGGGACCCCTACGACTGGACGGGCACGTCGCTCTGCCTGGAGGGCTCCAAGGTCTGGCGGTTCCTGCTCGACGTCGACGACGCCGATCTCGAGGCCTACAAACTGCCGAGCGAGGCCTTTGGGGACGATAGTGCTGGCACGCAGTCCGACATCGACCTGTATTGTGTTCAGGAAGGCGACTGGCCCGACGCGGCCGACTTCGAAGACGACCGGGACCTCGTCAAGGCCAAAGCGGGACCGGAGAACTTTACGCCATCGACGCAAGTACCGGGGCGCTTCTGCACGGCGCTGCAATTCGCCGGCGATGTGGTGATTGTGCCGCCAAAGTCGTGGCACCAGACCTACGCCCTCGAGCCGTCCTGCGCCGTCGCGTCCCAGTTCTGCGGGCGCCGCGACGCGCCGACCGTTTTTGAGCATATGATCCGCCATCGGTCCCGCGACGACGACCGCGTCCTCGACCTCGCGCGGACGGCGCCGCCGCGGGACGCGGTTCGTGCGCTGTTTGCGCGTCTCGATTCGGATAGCTAAAATATTCATGTGTGCATTCGGAACCCTCGATGAGAGCGTCGGGGCGGTATTGCGCTAGTCGTGCGGGTGTCTAGGCTGGTCGAGCTGCAACAGAACGCTAGCTAGTGTCTTACAGAACGCTAGTATGTTTGATGAAGTCCATGGTCAAGGGCGGAGGCCCGAGCGGTTCAGGGAGGAGGGGAGCCAGCGGTCGAAGGGCGGAGTAGGTCCGTCCCGAGCGACTCGGAGAGCGATCATGAACATGACGATGGGGGGAAGTGAATTGGGCTGTCCGGCCTAGAGTGGCCTATTGCGTGGCGCCGGTCCTCGAGGATGGCGGTGGCGAGGAGCGGGCCGCGCGCCGTGACGAGTTCCGTCTACGCCGGTGCCGCGGGAGCCTCGACGTCGGTCCGGTCGCGCGCGTCCTCGCCGTAGACGGCGAGGTACTTGTATTTGGCCAGCGTGCGCTCGTCGGTCGCGTCGACGCCCGCGTCGCCCGTCTCGCGCCGCGCGAGCCACGTGGCGACGCCCGTGGCGCAGCAGACGCAGCAGCAGTTCAAGCAGGCGCAGCAGGCGTAGCAGCGGCCCGGCTTGATGAAGTAGGTGGGGGGGCGCGGCGGGAGGTCCTCGAAGCCCTTGTCCTCGCCGACCCACTTGAGCCAGAGCTCGCCCGGCGGGCTCTTCCACCCGCAGCCGCAAAGGCCCCGGACGCGCTTCTTGCCGGACCAGACCGGGAGCTTCTTCGGGTCCGCGGGCTTCATCTGGCCGCGGCGGGCGATCGCGAACTCGACGCACGAACAGACGAGCGAGTAGAAGAGGATGGATTCAAGCATACCCACCGCGAACTTCCAGAAGGCGGCGCCGACCGATCCTTTTTTGCTCCCGTCTGTCCGTTCCTTTGGGTGCGTCATAAAGATAATCCCGTTCAAGAGGATCGCCCCGGCGATCGTGGTCATGATCAGGCAGATGCACTGTCCGAACTTTTCGGCGCACCACTTGACGCAGGCGGCCGAGTCCCGCTGCACGCACGGGCACTCGACCGAGTACTTGTAGAAGTAGTCGAAGAACCAGTTGAGCATGCCTCCGATGATCAAAGCCCGAATCAACGCGGTTCTGGCGTTCGCGGCATTCGCCTCAAAAATAAAGGCTATGCCGATCGCATATAAGGTCGCGAGCACGAGGCCGGTCCGGCGCTCCGCCGGGCTGTACGGGTGGTCCGGGTGCGAGAACAGCGTCGAGATGAAGGGATTCTCGGTCTTGAGGTAGAGCCAGAGGTCCCGCTTCCAGTCCTGCGACCAGACGACGCACCCGTCGAAGAGGCGCTCGACGAAGGGGTCCTTGATGCGCGTCGTCTCCAGCGCCGCCTCCTTCGCGCGGGCGGCGGCCTTCCCGAGCTGCTTCTTCTTTCTAGCCGCCTTCTCCTTGAGCGACAGCTTCCGCCCCGGTTTGCCTGCCGCCGCGGGCTCGGCCGCGACGACCGGGGACGCGGGGTCCGGTGCCACCGCGGGCTCGGGCTCGGTCACGACGACCGCCGGCGACGCGGGGTCCGGCGGCGGCGGGGGCGTCGCCTCCTCGCGTGGCGGCGCGGCGGCCGCCGCGGCCGCCGGCTCGGCGAAGAGCGCGCCCAGGCGCCGGCCGAGGCCGCCGAGCCAGCTTCCCGGAACGATGTCAGCGGCGACCGCGTCGAGGTACTCCTGGCGAGACACGGTGCCGTTGCCGTCGGCGTCGGCCTTGGCAACAATCTCCTGGACGCGCGCGAGGGTCACGTCCGCGTCATTCTTCGAGAGCGCCTGGTATATCTCGTCGGCGGTCAGTTCGCCGTCGCCGTCCGCGTCCATGGCGGCGAACGCATCCAGCGCGGCGCGCTGCTCCGCCGTCAAGTCGGTTCCCGCGGGCGCCGGCGCGGGCGCGGGCGCGACCGGCAGGACGGGCGCGACCGGCAGGACGGGCGCGACGGGCGCGATCGGCGCGATCGGCGCGACGGGCGCGACGACCGGCGCGGCCGGCGCGGCCGGCAGCGGCACCTGCACCGTCGCCCCGGGCGCGCAGCCGTGCGGCAGCTGCACCTGCACCGTCCCCCCGCGCCCGTCCGGCGCCCGGACGACGGTCCCGGGCACGGCGCCGGCGGGCAGCGTGATCGACAGCATGGCTGCCCTCGCCCCTCCCGCGATGCGTGGCGCAGGTCTAGTCTCGGGGAAGGAAGCCTGGAGGCAGCCCGCCGCACACGATGCCTAGATTCCTAGTGTCTTACAGAACGCTAGCTCGATTATTTTTTGGCGTGGCGTTCTAGTGGGCGTGCAACTCGCATAGGTAAGTTTGCCGCTTTGCATTGCTGTGCGGAGCATCTCTGTGATTCCGCTGAGGACAGCTGTCGACTGCTACTGCCGTTAAAATCGATATCAGGACTGCTGCACACTGCAGCACCTCACCTGCTCTGGCCAACGCGAGTAAAAAATGAACGATCTGTTCAAGCGACGCAAGAAGAAAGCAAAAGTCGCGCCGCCCGACAAGGCTGTGACGCCGCCCGCCGCCGCCGCGCCAGAGCACAAGCAGCCGGACAAGCCGGTCCTGACCTTCGGCGACTTAGGATTAGCGGGCTGGCTCGTCCAGGCCTGCGACGCACTCGGCCTAAAGCGGCCGAGCGCCATCCAGCGCCTCGCCATCCCGCCGGCGTTGGCAGGAAGCAACGTGCTCGGCTTAGCAGAAACTGGATCCGGCAAGACCGCGGCCTTCTCGCTACCGATACTCCACAGACTCTTCGAGGACCCCTACGGTGTTTTTTCATTAATATTGACGCCAAGTCGAGAGCTCGCGGCGCAGATCGCCAAGTTCCTGAGGATCATTGGCGAGGCGCAAAAGCTGCGCGTGCAATGCGTCATCGGGGGCGAGGACGTCGTGCGCCAGTCGCTTGAATTAACAAACCAACGGCCGCACATCGTCGTGGGCACGCCCGGGAGATTAGTGGAATGTCTTGATAGCGGTCTGCGGGAGATGATTGGTAATTTGCGCTGCCTCGTGCTAGATGAAGCTGATAGACTCTTGGAGAACGCGCGGGACGACGTCAAAGCCGTGTTTGGAGCCCTGAAGAAGCCGCAGGTCCTCCTCTACTCGGCGACATCGACCAAGCCGCTCGAAACGTTTTCAGGAGCATTAAAATGCATCAAGGTCGAAGGCTCGAAAGCAAGTATCCCCAAAACTTTAGTACAAGAATACGTCTTCTGCCCGAAGCGCGTGAAATTAGCGCATCTAGCCCAAGTTTTACTCGGCTTCGACCTCGCCGACAAGCGCGACGAGGAATCACGGGGCACGCCCGCCGACCGCGACTGGCGGCCTCGGAGCGCTCTCGTCTTCGCGCAGACGTGCCGACGGGTCCATGAGGTCCACGCCGTGTTGGCGCATCAATCGATAGACGCGCGCGCGCTGCACTCGCAGCTGCCGCAGTACGACCGGACCAAAGCTTTGGAAGCGTTCCAGCAGCGGCGCTCGCAAATTTTAGTGTGCACGGACGTCGCGTCGCGGGGCCTGGATTTGCCGGCCATCGACCTCGTGATCAATTTCGACGTGCCGCGCGACCCCGACGACTACATCCACCGCGTCGGGCGGTGCGCGCGCAACGGGCACCACGGCCTCGCCGTGTCGCTGATCACGCAGTCCGATTTGGCCTACCTCGCGGCGATCGAGGGTTGTTTGGGATCGCGGCTCGCCAAGTGCGCGCGGTTTTCCGAGAAGTCGCTACCTTTGCAAGATGTTGCGCGGGCTGTGGAGTCCGTTGGTAGCTTGAAGCAACGCGACTAATGTGCTTTGTCTGTCTAGATATGTCCATCAAAATCGCGTAAAACCCGTTTTGACCAGGGCTCGCAAGTCGCGCGTGTGAACGGCCGCAAACAGGACCCCAATAGACAGTCTTCCCAGAAATCTCCCTGTTCTTGTTTAATCGACTTGCGACCATTCATGGCGGCGGCCGGTGAAGGCGTAGAGATTCCAGAGATTTCACTAGCTGCGCTTGACTGCGACGTAGACGCACTGCGCGAGCTCTTATCGAGGGGCGTCGCCGTCGATTATACGGAACCCTACCCAAACCTTACGCCTCTACAGCTGGTGTGTCGCGGGGAAGCTGACAAAGTTGTTCCGCTCGAGGACCGGGTCGCCTGTGTCAGATTGTTGCTCGCGCGCGGGGCTTCGCTGGAGGCGGGGGTTCCGGGAAACCCGGGCTCTGACTCTTCTGCGAATTTGACACCGCTCATGTACGCAGCTTTGCGAGGCAATCCGGAAGTTGCCAAAATTTTACTATCTGCCGGCGCCGACGCTAATGCGTTAATCCCGATTGAAAATCCAGATGATGAGCGCACCTGGTCGGCATTGGTCATGGCCGTGTTTGTTGATCAAAGATATGCAAGTGGGTCCTATGCCATCATCGAAATGCTTCTCAAGGCGGGCGCGGACGCGAACCCGCCAAAATGGGGTAGAAAGACCGTCATGCAGATGGCAATCAACTATAATCGACGCCGCATCTGGCCGCTATTACTGCGGGCAGGCTCGATTCTGCCAATTCACCCCTATGGTGAGAATAGTTATTACGACGAGACTCACCGGACAGACCCCTACTTGCTGAAAATAGATGCAGCGGGCGGCTTCAAGGCGTACGAGAAAGCGCACCTCACGCAGCTCCTGGCGATATTCGCACCAAAGTTCACGCATCTCGTTCCGCCGGAGCTCGTGGCGCGCTTCCTCGAGTTCTCGTTTCACGTAGGCTTCTACTAACGAATGTGCTTGTCCTCTAGAGTTGTCTATACTTCATTTACTCGGCGTTTCGTAGTCGTCGAATGCTTCGGACTCGTAGTCGTCCGACGGCGTGACCGCTTCTGGGACGGCGAAGAGCTGCGTGCCCGGCGACCGCGGCGCCGGCGTCGGCCGTTTCTGGGTCGACGGCGTCCAGCGGCGCGGCGTGCGCTTGTCCGACGGGGTCTTCGCGGCGCGCGGCGCGTCCCATACGCTGGCGTTCCTAGAGGCGGAAAAATAGTACGTGTGGCCCTCGTCGGTGACGCACTGCTCCCAGTCGTCCTTGGGGCCGCCCTCCTTCCACGCCGACGGAACTTCCCACCGCGAAGCGTCGCGGCTCGAGCTATAGTAGTACGTGTGGCCGGTCGCCTCGTCGACGCACTGTTCCCAGTCGTCCTCCGTATTCGGCGTCTTCGCGGGTTCCGGCGACGCCGCCCGGCGCAGGCGCGCGTTTTCCGCCTCCAAGGCAGCCACTTTATCGGCGAGCGCCCGCGCGTCGGCCCGGGCCCGCTGCAAAGCTGCACGTTTTGGAGCCGCCTCGCGGCGCGCCTTGCGCCCGCGGATGCGCGCCTGGATTTTCGCGGCTTGCGCGTTGCGCGCCGCGTCCTCGCGAAAACCCTCTTCGTCAAGCTCCGCGATCTCCTGGCGGATCGCGGCGGAATCTCGGGGACCCTTCCGCCGCTTCGTCTTCTTGCGGGCGTTGCGGCCGCGCACGGAGGCCTGGAGCTTGGCGGCCGCGAGGTGCGTCTCGTCCGTCTCCGGGATGGCGGGTTCCGCCGCGGGTTCTGGCGCCACTTCAGGTTCCGGCTCCGGCGCCGGCGCCGCCTCCGGCTCCGGACTAAACACCACGGTCCGCTCGTTGACCTCTGGCTCTTCCGAAGGAGCCTCCTCGACGGGCGTAGGTGATTTGCGCCCGAAGGGCGAAGACGGCCGTTTGAACGACGGCATCTTGGGGGGACTCATACTCCCCCCGAGGTTCCGCATGGAAGACCCCATGCTCCCTAATCCTTTCTTCAGGCCGCCGTGCATGCTCTTCATGCCGCCGTGCACGCTCTTCGCGGCGGACACTGCTGATGAAGCGGCCGCCTTGCCCGCGGAGTGCGTCGCGGCGGCGGCGTTCACCGGGGAGAGGCTACGAGCCGATTGGCCCATCTTCGAGAGCATGCCCGGCTTCTTCACGGGCTCGGGCTCGGGCTCGGGCTCGGGTTCTGATTCCGACGGCTCCGGAATTGGCTCGCCGGGGCCGACGGGCTGCACTCGAGGTATTGGCTTGCCCCGGTACGGCGGCCGTTTCCCCGTATCAATTAACTCGGAAGGTACTTTCCGAACGACGCGTCGAGCGTCGATGTCGAAGGGCCGCCAGTACTCCTTCGGTAATTCTAACTTCCTAGAACGTTGTGTGCGACAGGTGAGGATGAGCATGCCCCGCGGGACGACGCGCTCGTCCACCTCATTCACCGACTCGCGCACCTCCGTGATCTTCACGCGGATCCACACCGGATGTCTCAAAGGTTTCCTCCCACCGAGCATGGTCACCTCATGAGTGACGTGGACAAAGGCCTTGTCGTTCGGGCACCAGCCCTCGGGATTTGGGGCCTGGTGCGGTGGTGGCGATACTGGTCTTCTCAGTATGGTGTCCCATCCCGATGAATTGTCCCAGGGCGCATATTTTGATGAAGGTGAGGGCGATCTCTGGGCAGGAGCGGACTTGGGCCTTGACAGGGAGTCGAAGCGTTCCTGCAGCCTTTTTTGCGAGGCGGTCTGCGGTCGTTCTGGCGTGGCCGGAGCGCTCTTCCGCCGTCGTGGTCGGCCTCGTGCGGGTGCCGGCGCTTGCGCGTGCAAGTCGTCATAGGTCCTTCTACGAGGCGAGTCTTTTCTACCGACACTCACAAGCACGGGGCCGTACTTCTTGGTCTTCCTCCGGAATTCTACCACTGCCCTAAGAGTTTCCACAACTTCAGAAGCTCCTTTGCCTAGCGTCGCCAACGGTAGAGGCTTCGGTCGATGATGCGGTGCCGAGGAAGGTCGGCCCGCTCGCGGATCGCTATCCAGAATGCCCCACGGGCTCGCCAATCTTTTCATCTTGTCCGACTGCTGCTTTTGCCGCTCGGCCTCCGCCGCGAACAGCTCGTCCACATTACTGAACGGGTTGTCGTTGGCAATTATCCTGAATGCCGCAGATCTAGGTCTTCGCGTCCGGTCGTAGTGCGTCTTTTTTGGTTGGGCCATCTTCGGCCTTCTCTTTGGGACAGGAGGTTCTCCACTAAAAAAGGCTTGCGTGAGGGGGTCGTCAACATTGATGGGAGATGAGGGCACTTCAATGGGTGCCGGCGCCTCCAAGGGCTCCGCATTGCTATTCTCCATACCAAGCACAAGCTGAGCCGCGTCCTCGCTCCGCTCCTTCAGTTTTCTCGAAGCCACAGCTCCACTACCAGCCGCACCAATCATCCTACGTTTCTTCTTCTTTCTCACCTTAGGAGCAGGCTTCTTCGCCGCCTCCTCGGCGTCCTTCTTCTTCCGGTAGGCCTCGGCCTTCCTCCGTCGCACATCCCTAATACGCTGCATCTTCTGCTTTTCGGCGTCGATCCTAGCTTGGGCCTCGTCGGCGAACTCGGGCTGTTGTAACAACTTCTCGTAGGCCATGTCGTAGCCCAGCTCGCCGGAGATCTCGTCGATGTCCTTGATTCTCTTTTCGAGGTTCCGGATGGCACTGTTCAGGCCTGACGTGACCTTCCGGGACTTGGCGTACATCGCCGCGTCCTCGGCGCGCGTGCCCATGGTCCTTGGTCTGGCTCTCTAGCTTTGTGCGGTTGGGCGGTCCTCTTGCGCCGCGTCCTCGGCGTCGCTTCGCCTGATCGGCCGCTGCCGCGGCGTGTGTGGGGCTGCCTCTGGCTTGGGCTGCCTCTGCTCAGAGCTGAGCCGCACGCCGCGGTGTCAGTTCGCGCCGTGCGTGTCCGAGCCTCTCCTCGGTCGCTCCCGCGGGCGTTCCGCTCGTGCTGCCCCGCTTCCTACGTGCTGGGCAGTGCTGCTTTGCAGCGCCAAGCGGGATGTCCCGACCCGGCGCCGCGCTCGGAGCTTGATCCATGCTTCTGGGGCGGCGTTCCCGACGCCTCGGGCGCCGGTGGACGACTCCGGAGGGGCTGATCACTAGAGTCACAAGGACTCTAGAGTTCGGCCGCGTTGTCTCTCGCGACGACGACCGCGATACGTGCCTAAATCGCTGCGGTTCACATTCGGTAACGTAGAGCCGACTCGCAGCAAGCACGCAGCGAGAACTGCGACAGCGCCGACGATACTTAGCACCGCTCAGGAGACCCTTGCACATTGCATTGTGCGAGCACTTGAGGACCGCAGCGCGAGACTCAGCCGTCGTCAGCGCACGCACAACACGCCAGTCGCACGCCAACAGCACCAGTCGCCGCCAGCGCCGCGCGCACACGCATAAGGAAGTCGCCGCGGTCACACTCGCACGATGAACTTCTCGGAACAGGAGTGGAAGGCCGCCCAGAGCCAGATGGCCGACGCCGACCCCGAACAACTGAAGGCGCAGGCGCGCATGATGAAGAACATGGACAAGAATACCGTAAGACGGATGAACCCGCAGTTCGCCAATATGTCCGACCAAGAATTAGACATGATGGCGACGCAGATGGAGATGATGGTGGCGACCTGTGTGGAAATCAACCAGTGTGTCGGGTGGTCCGTCGAGCGGTGAACGCGCCGTAAAGTTTTGATTTCCACACAGGCCTCGAATCCACAAATGATGAAGAGCGCGATGCAGATGATGGGCGGCATGGACCATAAAGAAGCGACGCGCAAAGTCAATCAAGCTAGGAGTGGCATGGCCAAGCCTACGATGGCTGGCGGCTATAGAAAAGGTGATAGAGTTGAATTGCATTCGCTGAAGGGCGCGGCCGAGCACAACGGCAAGCAGGGTACGGTCGTCGGTCCCCAGGGTGAAAGAGTCAAGGTACTGTTAGATGACTCCGAGTCCAAGACGCTAGCCCTCAAAGTAACGAATCTAACAAAACTTGAGACGACAGAGGAACCCGTAGCCTTGCCCGACGCGACGACGATGCGCAAGGGCATGGAGGCCATGAGCCAGGCCGACCCGGAACAACTGAAGGCCCAAGCGGCGGCGATGCGGAACATGGACCCGGATACCATTCGTAAAATGAACCCGGCCATGGCCAACCTGTCCGACGAAGCGATAAAAGCCAGTGCGGACCAGATGGAGGCCATGGCGGCCAACCCCGAGATGATCAAGATGGCCCAGCAACAACTCGCGGGCATGTCGCCGGAAGCGCTGGAAGAACAGATGCGCATGGTCTCGCAGATGTCGCCCGACCAACAGGCTAAACTCCAAAATGCCGCGAAGAAGATGGCCGCAAACGGGGACATGGAGCAGCTCGCCAAGGACATGGCCGCGGGGAAACCGCCGGACGCGGAGGCCGCGTCGAAGATGATGGAAGCCCTCGACGAGGACGCCGTGCAAGAAATGGTCGGCGCGATGAAGCAGAACCCGACCATGATCAAGGAGATGATGAAGTCGTCTCCCATGGCCGCGAACTTGACCGAGGAGCAGTTGGATCAGCAGGTGCAAGCCTTGCAGAACATCGACGACGAGACGCTCAAAAAATTCGTCGGGGTCGCGAAGAAGATTCATGGGATTTTCAAGCCGTTTATTCTTGGGTATTCTCGGTTGAATCGGCTGTGTGGTGGTCGGTTGCTCCAGGTGCTGGGGGTCGCGGCGGTGGCGTTATTTGTTCGTTCTATTGCGAGGCGGTTCTCTGGAGGTGAGGAGGCGCCGGATGGCTTGGACGCGCTCAAGGAGGCGGCAGAGACGGTCGTGGCGGCCGCAGTCACGGAGGAGGACGAGTTCGCGGTCGAGGGGGAGTTATAGTTGTTTCAATTTACTACTTGTGCGTGGCCTAGCGTCTAAAGGTGCCCGTGAAGCCCGGCAGGACGCCGTCGGGGCGATAGTTGTCCCTATCTAAAATCTCCTTGTTGTGGCTCGTCCAGGACCCGTTGTCGCTCTTCGTCGTGCGCTCGGGAGGCGGCATGGCCTTCGCGAGGCCGCTGATCGTCGCCGAGATCATCGATTTTGCCCCGGGCGCGAACTGTCTGGACCGATACCCCGCCAGGGACCCGGCGCGAAAGGGCTGCTTGTCGGCAGTAGCCGTGGCGCCCATGAGCACGTTCGACTGCGTCAGCACTCGAGGAGCCTCAGGTTCGACGTAATCGCCCGCGAGCGGGTGCGCGTGCGGCGCCCGGTTGAAGCTCGGGTTGACGTGCTTCTTGCCCCGTCGTCTTGTTTGGGCACCCCGGAACTCGTGGTCCGTCGCGACGCCTCTTTGCGCGAGCTGCGCGGCCGTGACGTAGGGCGAGTCCTGTTCCTGAATCTCCGTGCGCGTGCGCTGCGGCTCCGTCGTGAAGCGGCCGTCTTCATTATAGTGCTTCTTGCCCACGGACCGCTCCGCGAAGTAGGGGGCCGCGGCCACGATGCCGCCCTCCTCGGTGCGCTGGATGTGCTCCCGGCCCCTGCCCGGGTCGGCCTTCTTCTTGCCCCTGTTCTCGACCAAGCCACTCCAGTCCGCGTCGGGGTGGCTCGGGTCGTAGTAGGCGTCGACGCGGCTCCGTACGACGTCCTGGGCGCGCGCCGCGGCGACATTGGAGTGCACGGCTTCGTTCTGGCGGCGCATGCGCACGGCGCCGTCGTCGAAGCGCGACAGGCGCTGCTCCTCCTGCCACATGGACTGCTCCATGGCTGCGGCGCGGCGGCTGCGAGGGGCAGCCGATTTACCAGCTGGTGTGCAGCGCTCCCAAACGGTTTGGCCTGCCTGGGTCGGGCCCGCGAATCATCGCGGGGCGAGTCTTCAGGAGCGGTGTGCTGCGGCCCGTGAGGTTTGGACGGGTACGCTCGCTAGCGGCCTGTAAGGCACTAGCCTTGCTCGATGCGCGAAGGCGCTGTGGAAATTGGCCGCATGCGAACGCTGCGACGCGAGCTGCCATCATTCCTGAACGCACGCATTGCTCTCACCGCGAATAGCTGGCTGCGCTAGCTCAAACTCGAAACAGCGCCATATCCACTGCATTGGCAGCATAGGCAGCACAGCGCCGAAGCGATGGCTGCCTCGCCCAAGGATCGCCCGGTGGCCAATCCCCTGCGAGCAGCAGGCAGCGATGACTATTCGACGCTGGAAAACGACGACAGCGCGGGCTCTGCGAAACGCCGCCGCCGGTCGCGCTGGATGCTTGCGCTCGCTGTCATCAGTCTGTGCGCGCTTGGCTCGGCCTTGGCTGTTGTTTTTAGAAAACAAGTGCTCGCGGCCTGCTACCGCATAGGCCGGCTGCCGCCGGTGGCCGGCGGCCTGCTATTCTCTGGACTACTAGCGCTCTGGCTCACGTGTTTGTTACCTACCTCTCTCCTGGAGATCGCGGCTGGGTTTGTCTTCGGGTTTTTCTGGGCTACGGTATGGTCGACGGTCGGCAAGGTCGCAGGAAGCGTCCTGAGTTACTGGATAGGCCGGTGTGCACGATCTTCTGTAAGACGCCTGATCCTCCCGGACGACACGAGCAAGGAGCACGGCTATTTGCGAGGCTTAGAAATCGCGATGACCGAGGAGCCGGGCCGGACGTGTTTGGCTCTCAGACTGGCGTATGTGCCCGAAGCGATTCAAAATTACGTGCCGGCAATTTTCGACGCCCCGTTCATACCATTTCTCTTGGCGACGACGGGCGGCAGCGCCGTCTACGCGGCGCTCTGGGCGAACCTCGGCGCTTCTATTGGCGACGTCGCCGAGCTCAGTGCGACAGAAAGACGCATGACGCCCGAAAAGACCGCGTTCCTGTGCTTCGGGGCGTTGGGGCTGGGCTGCGTGTTTGGATTGATCCACTGGAACACGCAGCGCACGTTGCGGCGCTTCGCCGACCTGCAGCGGCAGCTGAGTCCTCCGGCCTCGCCCTCCGCGAGTACAGCCGTCACGCCTGGGCGGCCGAGCCTGACGCCGCGCTATTCGTCTACGGAGGGCTCCTCCTCGCCCGGGCGCCTCGTCTAGCCCCTCTGCTGATCTCTTGTGTGCTTAACGTATGTTAGAACTACTAGCCCGGGGCGCGCTGGAAGCGAACGGGCCGGGTCGCGGCGAGGGCCCGGCAAAAGCTGACGTCCGCGTCAGTTTGCGGCTCCGGAAGATCGAAGTGAATCCAGACCCAGCTTTTGTCGTCCCAGATTAGTTTGCCGTCGTTGTCGAGATTGTAACAGCCAAAACGCCACACAGAGTCGGACTCGCCAGTGTCGCCCCTTTTGACCTCGGACGACCAACTCGAGACGAAGGGCATGTTTTCGACTCCTAATTGGAGGCAGTATCTGACTTTGGTATAAAGTTCCTCGAGTTGCTCGTCGACAGAGAACATGGGGTTGGGAGCATCGCGACGGTTCAGTAACAAATAAACATCGTCGCCCACAACCGCGTACAACTCCTGCTGTTTACGTACGGCCTTATGACTTGCTACTACTGCACCGTAAGACGGCGTTGTCGTCTGATTATCCGGGTCTACTTGAATCTCGTCCGGAAAATAGGAGGCGGCCTCGTTGACCCTTTTGAGCGGCATGCATGTATTCGACCGGTCCTGTGGATTCAATACACCAGACGGCATGAATTCAGTTGCATTTCCTATATTCAGTTCGTCGAGGCAGACGGCGCCGTATAGCTGAGGCGCGCTTGCCACGGCGGTCGCGCCCCGCGCTATCAACTGCACCGCAATCGTGACGTCTCGGGACAGCGGTAGGGGACTCCCTTCCTCGTCGCGTGGGCACGGAGGCAAGGCAAGTATCGGGTGCGAGTAGAATTCACCGTGCTGTCCGGCGACGTGCATCGGCTGGCCACTCAGGGGGCCAGACGCTACCAGGGAGCGCCACATCCGCGACGGAGTCGCGGCGAGCAGCTCTTCGACGAGTTTCCGCGCGTCCGCCGGATGCTTAAATTTTCCCAGGGTCGCCAGGCAAGGGAAGCGTCGCCGAAATAAATCAATCCACGCCGCGTTGCACTGTTTGGGTGAGGTGGTGGCTAGGAGTAATCGCTTGCATGTGCGCCCCAGGGATGCCGTGTGCGGCACCAAGAAAGAGGCCGCGAGTTCGAGAGGGAGTAGCGTGGGCCTTGACTTGGTGGCCATGCTTTTTGTGTGTGGGCCCACGACCGTTCGGATTCGGCACGGAGCCACTATAGCACACGAGGAACACGACGAAGGAGGTCCGTTGCCCCAGCGCACGCGTAGAGGACTCGCGCGGGCCACAAAAAGTGTGGTGCCAGGGTCAAAACGGGTTTCCCAAGCTAGAGCCTCGACGACACAGACAACAAGTAGTTAAGACGCAGGCTCGACAGCTACAGGCGTAGTAGACGGGGGCACGACCGCCTCCGGGACGACGGGGGCAGCACCACCGCCAGAAGACGCCACCGCGCGCACGACCGACACGACGACCACAAGCACCGCCACACCGACCGAGAGCTTCCCGCGGTGGGAACGCCGCTTTTGTGGAGAGGCCGACGCAAACCCGCGCAGGTCGTCCCACAACTCTTCACATCGCAACTGGGCCCGCGCCGCGAACACCGGCCAGCGCATGCGCTCGGGGTCCGCGCGTAGGGCGTCGTCGAACAGTTTGTGCGCCAACTTCCGGTCGCGCGGCACGCCCGGCGCGCCCCGGGCGCGCACGCGCGCCGCCGCGAAGGCACCTCTAGCGGAGCCTTTTTGAGCGGCCCTGGAGTAGTAAGATAAAGCCCGGGCGTGGCGCGTCTCCAGGAGTCGGGAGATCGTGTCATCACTCACCGCTCGACCTTCGTCGACGCCCGGCGGCACGACGAGCGCGCCATGTAACACCGCGTCGCCCAGCGCGGCGTAGCCGTCGCCGCCTCCATCTAATGTAGAAGCCAACCGATGAAACCGGATAGCCAGGGGCATCGTATTTCCGACCAGCGCTCTGACATCAGAATCACGATCGAGCAGCCAGGCCGCGTTCGCCGCGGCCACGTCCGTGCCGGTCTCCGCCGCTTCCGCGTACCACAGTAACGCTCGGCCGGCATCCCCCCGTAGATAGGCATCGAAGCCCGCGCGCACGTCGCGTGCGGCCCAGCCCGCCCGCGCACAGGCTTCGAAGAACTCCCTTGCTCGATTCACGTCGCGGCCCGTCCGACCCGAGCCTCCGTGTTTCACCAATGCAATTTCAAACGCCGCGTCGAAGTGGCCGTGGCGCGTCGCCGCTCTTTCGTACAATCGAGCCGCCTCTTTCACATTCTTCTCGACGCCGATGCCGTGGGCTAAACAGTGCGCGGCATTAAAGTTCGAGTCCCCGTCGGCGTCGAGCCTCGCCGCCTCGGCGAAGTAGCCGTAGGCTTTCGTGGAGTTCTTCGGGAGGTGGTTGCCGTAGAAGTACTCGTATCCTAGACCGTTCAACGCCTTCGCCGAACCGGCTGAAGCGGCTACTTCGTACTGTCGTACCGCTTCGGCGTGGTCCGTGTCACCGCCCTCGCCCCTTAGCAACATAGAAGCATATAGACATCTCGCATGCGCATGGTCCGCATCCGCCGCCACCTTGAAGAACCGTCGCGCACGGACGTGGTCTCGCTGGAAGCCTCTAGCTCCCCAATATAACAAGTCGCCCGAAGCCACACAGGCATCAATGTCGCCCTCTTCCGCCCTTTGCATCTGGGCCTGCAGCTGCGCGTCCTCGTCGCCGCGCTGATTATCATCGACGGAACCATCGGCCACGGTCTCGTCCGTGATGCGGTTGAGTTCGACAAAAGTTTGTTCTCCAGGGGTATGAAATTCCTCCTTCGCTATTGCAGCCGCACATTTCGCGTACCACGCCGCCGCTTCTTGGGACTGGGAAGTGCCCCTTCCAAATCGGTAGCGGTTCGATAGTGCCAAACAAGCTCTGGCGTCGCCGTGCATCGCCGCTTGGTAGAGCAACTGCACGGCCCGTTCCGTGTTGTTCGTGTGGACGGCGTCGCCTAATCGTGAAGCGACGACGGGTCCCATCGTATGTGGAGGCGCAATAGCCTTCAGGTCCTTCGTTTCAGTGGAGACGAAGCCGGCCAGCGTTAAGGAAGCGAGCATCCTCGATGCGGCCGCGTCTCCCATGGCGACGGCGCGCTCTAGATATGATACGCCTTTCCTCAAAGCTTCCCCAGTTAAGGGAGGAGGCGCGTCGGCGTCCTCGCAGAACTTGGGACCTGTGGCCAGCCGCTCGGCGCCGAACAGCAATAGTTCGGCCGCGATCCTGGAAGCATCTTTGTTTATGGGAGAGGCGGCCTCGTAGTTCGCGAGGCGCTCATTGAATGAAGCGCAGTTTTCCGTTGATGCTAAAGCGACGGCCCAGGGGTCCTCCATTGGTACTAACGCGTCCGTGGCCTCGACATCAGGGCGATGCAGGTCGGGCTTGTCGCGATCCGCAGCCTGGTAGTTCTTTTGCGCATGCTCGCGCGACGGCGCCCTCGCTCTAACCTTAATGTCGGCAATGAACCCCCGAACGCCACGACGATCCGGATCCCGGAACAGCTGCAAAGGCCCGTCGTTCCAGGTCACTTGGTCGAAGATTTCCAGGGTCGCGTCTCTAGCACCATCCACGTCCAGCGTTAATAAATATTTAACATCAGAAGCATCGGATAAGTTGTGGAAGCCGAACTGGAGGTGGGTCCACTTCTTTACAGGTAGTGGTGTGTCCGTGTCGGCGCCAATATCTAAGCCCTTGTCCGTCGAGACGCGTAGGGCCACTTTGTTCGAGTCCGGGGCGAGCCACGCCGACGGCGTTCTCTGGCCGCCCAGTCTATCGACGTCGCCCTTGAAGAACAGGCCTCTATGGGCGCCCGTCGGCGCGTCCTCGATGTAAATCCAGAACTCGAGGCCCCAGTCCTGCTGAGCTTGCAACGGTAATTCTTCCGGCGGTAATGAGATATGCCTTTGACCGGACGACGCGTAGACGCCCGGTAATTCTAGCCATACGTCATCAGCATCAATTGATTCGGTGAGTGTGTCGTCGACGCGGTCGATGTCAGATACGAAGGTGCCGTCGCAGGCCTCCACTAGTATAGAACCGGCATTGGACTCCACTCTGCCATCGTTCACTAATGCGACTTCGTATGAAGAGGCCACGGGCACGCGCATGACCGCTTCACCAGATAAGACCGGAGGATGTCGTGAGGGAGGCGGCCACGGCGCGCACGCGGCCCAGAAGCTTCTTGAATCAAACGCTTCTTGTACCGCGTCGGCGTCGTTCGGCGCGTTGATATGAATAGCGAGGTGCTGGCCATTCGCTTCCCAGGACGCGGTCAGTGCTCGCAGTTCAATGTTCGTCGAGATGAGGCGGTCGAAGGCCCTCACATCTTTGATAGGTGGCGCGTTCGTCGCCTTCTCGAATTCCAACGTCATGGTCCAGCTGTCGGCGTTCCAGCGCATGGCTGTCAGCAGCGGCTCGACGGCCACACCACCAGACAAGTCGTGGAGCTCCCGCGGCAGGTCCGCGTCGACGGGCGGCAGCGGCGGTAATGTCAAAAGTATCTTCGCGCGCGGCCGCGGCGCTTCGTTGCCGATTACTGGTGTGGTCTCATACAAAGCGAGGTGCGGATCACTCGGCGGCGTCGCTAGCGTCCAGTTGACGCGTATTCGGTCGTAGGCGCAGACATTCTTGTCGAGGAGCAATGCGCTGCTCGTGGCGTTGGACGCGTCGGCGGCTCGCGCGACAGCTACGAGCACTGCGAATTTGAGCATGGTTGTGATGCTCCAAGGCCAGACCAATGCGTGCCTGGCTGCGGCGCCGGCGCAATGCGACCGGCACGCCGGCCGTTTTTGACGCTGCCGCGGGCTGCCCGGTGCAGTCTGGACGCCCGGGCTGCCGATTTTTGCCGGCTCTCAAATTGCTAGTGTGTCTGTATACACTAGCTAAGTGCGGAGAACGCACTTTATTCAAAGCGCTCATACACGCCACAAACGGGCGCCTCGTACCCGGCTTATACCTTCCAGCGGGTACCGGCCAGCGCTTGAACTTGGCGGGCCCGAATTTCCGGCGCTTTAACACCGCCCTGCCCAGTGCGCCCCGCAGCGCATTTTTGGCTTCGCGTGGCCGTACGCACCAAACAACGTACGACAAGGCTTAAGGCTCGAGACAAGGGGTGCACAACGCAGTCGCAGCGCTAAGAATGGCCGACACGGTACTCGAAGGCACCGCCCGCAAGCGCGGCCAGTACCGCGGCGCCTGGCGCGCGCGCTATTTTGTGTTGAATGCGGCCCAGTCGCGCTTAGATTATTGGGAGAGCCGCGAGGACAAGGAGGCCAATCAAAAACCGAGGGGCGCCATCAGAGTACGCGGCGCATCACCTCTAGATGACAAGGACGAGCCTTTTGGATTAGTAGTGAGAGCCGCGAACGCCTACGACGAGTGGTTAGCGTTAGATTCGCTCCATGAACGCGATAGGTGGGTCACAGCCCTCCAAAAGGCATCACTCCCATCGGAAAGCTTCGAGCCGGACGACGACGTTTGGGAGGACGCGACTCACAATACGGATGCGGGTGATATCCGGAACGCTACGGTGTATGACTGTTCCGTGTCGAGACACCATCTGCAGCTGGAGTTCGCCTACCACATCCTCGTCCAAGGTGAACGGGGCGAGCCGTGGTCCGTCCGACGTAGTCACAATGCATTACGAAGTCTGCTGCGTACGCAGTGCGATCTCTCGCAGTTAGATGAGGAGTGCGCCAAGGACCGCGCGCTAGATCCGCGGCGGTTCCTGGCCTCTCGGTTGCGTAGGCGCGTTGCCCTCGTCAATTCATTACTCTCGCGAGTTATGACATCGCCCGACTTTCGCGCCTTCGTGACCGAGGACGACGAGGACGTTCCTCCGGAGGAACCGCCTCCACCACAACAGCGCGACGTCGCCTGGCTCGTGCCGCTGCTGCCGGACCCTAGAATCGCAGCTTTATGTGGCGCCGTGCTGTGCGGCGTCGTCAGCCGCGCGTACGGCGTCCCGAATGGGTTGGTCGTGGCCATCTTCGCGGCGGGCGCGGCGACGGGCTTGGCCTGTGCTGGTGTTGTACCAGTACAACGCGTGGAGAAGGCTACTGAAGACGGCGGCACGTGCACGCTACCTAGATGGCCTAGGGTGGGCGGGCACTGCTGGTCCGAGCCCCGAGCCGCTCTGTTTAGGGTGCGCGGGCCGACCTACTTGACGGATCGGATCAAGGAGCCGTCGGACAGCGCCTTGTGTCGGTTGATCGGCGTTGACCTCTTCAGTACGGACACGCCGGAGTCAAATTTGTGTCGGCGGAAGGAGTCCTTCGCGCAGCGCGTGGGGAGCGACGCGCCTCCACTCATCATCGCCCTGAACTTTTGTTTGCCGTGGGGCAACTTCGCGCTGTACTGGGCGGCGCCGGAGGAAGAGCATGACGTCTTACAACAGTTTCTTGATTCAGATGATGACGCGTATCGGGACGCGCGGCTCAAGCTCATCCCGCGCGTCGTCGAGGGCAACTGGTTGGTAAGACGCGCCGTCGGGCCGGGCTCCAAAGCCGCGAAACTGGCGGAGACCATCGAACTCAAGTACTCCAAAGGCAATGGATATGTCGAGGTCTCGGCCGATTTGTGCGGCTCGGCGACGGCGCGGCGCATCCTGTCGGTGGTGCGGTCGGGAACGTCGGGGCTCGTGCTCGATCTAGCGCTCGTCGTCGAGGGCACGACGGAGGCGGAGCTGCCGGAGCGCGTGCTCGGGGCGGCGCGGCTGCACCGCGTGGACCCGGACTTGGCGGAGCCGTTGCCTGTGTGTTAAGTATGCAATTTTACTCACTAGTAGTCGCCCGTGTGGAAGCAGAAACGCACGACGTGCGACGCGATTTCGTGCGGGAGGCGCGGCCGCGGGAATATTTTCTCGAACACGGGCACGAGATCCCTGGTGTGCGCCTTTTCATACGCAGCCCAGGAGCCGGCCGCCGCGATTTTTGCGACGTATCGGCGCGCCGCTTGCGCTTGCGGGTAAATAGAATTCATCCAGGCAGAATGTGAAGCCCGCGGGACCGCTTATAATCTTATGACTTCACTCCGCAAGTTAGGGCGTTATGCCGAGATAATCCGTATCTTGCGTCCATTGGTTCCGAATGTTGCAGACGCGCTCGGAATCGAGCACGAACTCACGCTTCGGCTCCGTTGGGTCCTTGGCGAGTGCCTGGCCATGGGCCGCGACCATCGAGAGGGGTGGGATATGCTCGAGGATACGTGGCGGCGGGCTAAGAGAGTCTTCGGACCTTCTCATGAAATCACTCGCGGTGTGGGAAGGTCGCTATATGATGCGCTCCCGGTCCCGCGCTTCAAAATTGGGGCACGTGTCGAATGCCGCATGGATGGTGAGAAATATTACAAAGGAACTGTGCTGTGCCATCATTATTGCGAGGAGAGCTGGGAGCACGGCGTCTTCGCGCCGTACCAGGTCGAGCTCGACGATGGATCTCTGATCTACGTTATTAAGGATGATGGTCGCATCCGGGCGACCGCCTCGGACACGAGCGACGAGCCGGTCGCCGCGCCCAACACTCCGGACGGCGACGCGTAGGCACTTAAATTCCAAACAAGTTACACAACAGTCAACACAACCTCCCCGCGCACCGATACAGTCTGAACCCGCGTCCCCCTCAAATCAACAACGGAAGCGTGGTCGCCCCCAACTAATTCAGGGCCAGTCCAGCGCAACCGCACAGTCCCCGACCCGCGCAGCCGCACTTTCGTGGGCGCGCCGTCGGACCACGATAAATCAACCTCGAAGCCGCCGCGCGCCCGCAACCCGTTCACGGACCCCTCGCGCCACGACGGCGGCAGCGCCGGTAGTAAGTGAAGCTCCACATCTGTCAACGAACCCCGATGCGACTGTAATAACGCCTCGACAATCGCCGCCAAGAGTCCCAGATTGCCGTCCAACTGAAAGACGTCGCCACTCTTCGTGACCATGCCAATATCACCGACTAAAGGCCTTGGCGGCGGCTCGTCCCGGACAAAGCACGTCTGGCAGCCCTGGTCCTTGTACGTCGGTTTCAGGGGCGGGTGCGTGCCGAAGAGCGACGCGGTAAAAAAGTCCGACACAAGAGCGACGAGCTGCTTTTCTACCAATGCTCCGTCCAAGCTCCGCGCCGCTAAACAAGCCGCCCAGGCCCGGGACCAGCCCGTGTGGCCCGAGCCCGCCGCGAGCTTTGAGTGAAGGGTCCGCACGGCCGCGTCCCACGTGTCCCTGGAAGCATCGAAGGGCGAGAGCTGGCGCCCGGGGTAGAGGGCCCACAGGCCCGAAAAGTGGCGGTGGGCGCCGTCCGCAGCTTGACCGCTTTCCGTTGGATACTCGACGAGCAGCTTATCTCGCACCATGGGTAGGCCGCCGTTCGGCAGCGCCGCGCAGACGTCGTAAGCTTTGTCACAAGTTGACCTCATGCAGAGCTCACGGTACGCGTCGCAGACCCGTTTGAGAATAGCGATATCGATGGCAGGAGATAAAGTAACGAAGCCCCACCTATAACGAGCGGGGAACTTCTTCTTGGCTCCTGGTAGTGATGCATTCTGCAATAACACGCGGTAGGAGTTCTCGGGAGAGGTGGTTGGCCCCGTCAATTTACAAGCCGATGGTAGTCCCAATTTTGCCGCCGTTTTATCATCAATAGCAATAGCATAGTCGTCAAAAAACTCCAGCACACCTTGTAGAACAGACAAAGCGTCCCGCAACTTTTCGGTGGATGCAGGGTCGTCCTCAGAAACATCAACTAACTGCAACGCCGCCCAGGCGCCGCAGGTGACACACAACGCCCACTTGTTCTCGCCCAAAGCTCTTGAATCGCGCCACCTATCCGTATAGCCGTGGGCGACCCACCCTTTCTCTACACCATACCAGTCTTTGGCCGTCGTTTCGCCCTTGGACACGAGACCCTTCAAAAACGGCGCCAACACCGAAGCGCTGTCACCTAAGTTAGATGAAGACGACGCCCAATAAGTCATCTGGAGATTTATATTTAAATGGTAGTCGCCGTTCCAAGGGGCGCGTAGACCGTCGGCCCAGACGCCCTGGAGGTTCGCTGGTAGGGAGTCCTGCCTTGAGGACGACCAGAGTAGGTACCTAGCGTGCCTGAAGGCGAGGGCGAACAAGCCTGGATCTTTTATGGTAGTGGCATTGTCGCATGCTTGGCCCAAGCGCTCTATTCTATTCAAAGTGTCGCCTCCCCTCGTGTCATGCAATGAGAGCGTGGCCTTGGCCAGAGTTTGTTGCATGTCGTAGTCTCTTCGTCTTTTCAGTTCAGTATAGCCGAGCGACGCCGCCTTGACTAGTCTGTCCAAACACTCGTTCTCGGGGTCATTTCCGGTCACGCCCGCGATGAGTAACACCGTCGTATCAGAAGCTGAGCGCGACACGTACGTCTCGAGTGGCTTCTCTTGCAAATCAAGAATGATAGGTTCGGGACCGACGGCGACGGCGCACGCCGCGAAGGCCACGTCATCGACAGATGGGGGACTCGCTAATACAAAAACGTCGGCCTCGGGTGCCTGATACAATTTCGGGACCGCTCTTGTAGAACGATCAAGGCCGAAATGCAACGCGCATGTCGTCGAACAGTCAAATTTTAAAACAGTGACGCGGTCGGGTCGCGACGCCCAGCCCTCCCTTGCATGTTGTGACGTATTTGTGGCGAAAGTACTGTGATACACACCTTGGTCCACGTCCAGGCTTCTCTCAAATCCCTCGAAGGTCTTCTGCCGGCCGTTGTGTGCGAAGATCTGTGACAGGGAAGGCTTCCTCGGCGGCGCCGGTTTGCGGTTCTTCCCCGTGACTTTGGGTGTAGGCAGGACTGGCATTGTGACCGTGGGAACATCAACCAGATACCACAGCGTCGCCAGCCCCTCGAAGGCCGCGACGGGGCCCCCGTCGAGCCACCGTGACAATTGGTGGGCCTTCACACTATCACCGGCGAGTAACGCGGCGCGAGCCTCGCCAAAGGCTAGCAACGGCGTCGCGGGCCGCGCGGCCCAGAGCCGGTCCTCGGCCGTCTCCTTCTTTTGCTGCTTGCGCTGCGCCCGTAATTTGTCGCCCTGGGCGCGCTCGGCCGCGTGGCGCCCCTCCACGAATTTTCTGGTCTGCACGAGGCCCTCTTCCGCGAGAGGTATTCGACCGACGAACGGCTCGCCCCCAATCAAAGACCCGAGGGACCCGTCGCCTAATGGATAGGCCTCGGACCAGTCGAGCGCCGGTGTTGTTGCTGTGAGGTAGCGCTCGCCATCGAACTCCGTACTGGTCGTGTCGCATGCATAGGGTTGCTTGCGCGCTCTTCGCCGCTCCTGCGGCGTCGTGCCGACCCACGGGGCCGGCGGTTTGCGCTGCGTCGGCTTGCGGTTCGGTATCAAGCCGGAGACGAGGCCGTTGTGTCCTCCCCGCATCGGCACGACGACACCCTTCAACCAGCAGTGCTCGGCCATGGTCCACGCGACGCAGTCCTTGTTTCGCAGACACAGGGCGCAGCACGCCGCTGGATTGGAAGCGGCGCGCATGCCGCCCTTGAGGTCGCCACCTTTGAGATCCGTGTCGTTGCGCCATCTTTTCGTATCACAAGTGTCGGCCGGCGGCTGCGGTTGCTTCGGCTGCGGCGGTCGGATGATCGATGGCTTCGGCTTCGGCTTGGGTTCGTCGTCGTACGCGCCGCTCAGCATCTTCGCCGCGGTCCCGGCACCAACGTAGCGCGGCGGCGGGGCGTGCGCGCGGAAGAGGTGCAGGACCGAGACGAGGTAGCAGACGAGGCCGCAGGCTAATACGGCGAGGAAGCATGACAGGCGGCCTGTCCGCCCTGATCGGCGGCGGCGTTGCTGCCTCGACACCGGCTTCGAGCGCTCGTCGCTTGCGCGGCGCTTCATACCGGCTTTGCTCCCTGTCGAACTAGCTGCGAGCACCGCTGCCAGAGGGCTAGAACTGGGTGAGCACAACTCTACGCCTCCTTGAGCATCAGTGCTTCCTTCTGAGCATGCCTGCTATGCACACAGCCGCTGGTCGGCAGCAAAACCGCAAAAACAAAAAACGTAGCTAGCGGCTGTAACACACTAGCAAGCAGCCAGGCCTGCTGAAAGGGCCCTAGACCAGCGCAACGCTCGCCCAGACGCTCTCGTGCACTCGTACTGATGCCTGCTTCCGCCCCATGATGCATGCGCTACTCCTTTGCGCGCTAGGCCTCGCTGCAGCTTTGCACGCTCCGACAGGCATAATTGCAGCACCGTCGGCGCGCGAGCTCGAACGGGTGGCTCCACAGCTGATAAGTGATGGTGACCGTGTGCTGTGTGCCGGGCTGGCGCTTGGAAGTCAAATTGAGATGCTCAACCGTCTCGCGAATCGCGTCGTGAGTGTGGACGTGCCGCGCAAAGAGTCGCGGAGCAGGCGAGAGCTCTTTCAGAGCGATGCGGTGACCGACTTTCGCCCACTGACGCGTGCTGGCGACGTCACGGCAGTCCTGCGACCAGACGAATGCTTCGATTGCGTCGTCGTCGACGCGGCGGCTCTGCTCGGCTTCGACCTGCCGCTCGATACGCTGGCGCTCTGCGAGGCGCTGCGGCGGCGCCAAGAAACGCCGCCCACAGTCCTCGTTCGCTCCTCAGCGCTAGCTACACTTGCCGGGAGACTGGCCGCTGGAGACGATTTGGAACGCATCGCCCGCATACTACAAATGCACGACGAACGGCCCAGCCTCGACGAAACACGCATCTACGAAGCGCAACCCGTGATAGTCGGCGCGAGGGGCGTGCGCGAGTACCGGAACTGCATCGAGACCGTGGTCCGGCCCGGAGATCGCATCCTAGAGTTGGGGTGCCACTTCGGTACCACTACTGCTATCCTCGCCGAGGCGGTCGGTCCCGGCGGCTACGCGATGGGGGTTGACGTTGGGCCCTCAATTATTGCGTCGGCAAAGGGACAACACCCGACAATTGACTTCAGGGTCGGCGACGCCTGGGGCGTGGGCGGCCTCGCGGCAGAGGGCCCCTGGGATGCCGTATTTGTGGACGTCGGCGGCCTTTCCGGCGCGGACGGTACTTTGGACGCCCTCGCCCTCGCGCGATCGCTCGGCGCGGCCCTGGAACCGCGCGCCGTAGTGCTCAAATCAAAGTGCCTGCGGAGGCTCGCGAAGAGCCTCACGCCGTCGCCGCGCCTCGGAAACGCGTGGGACCATGAGAGGATAGAATATGTGTAATGCTGTGCGGTAGCCTCTCACGACGTCACCTCCGACGGCGTCGCATCGAGACTGATTTAATATGCCCGTCGGTGCTAGGACTACTTGGCCGAGTCCCGCGCGGAGAGACATCGCGTGTCGCGCGGGGAGCCATTGGCGCCGTTGAACTTCAACCGTTTTTTTTTTTTGAGAGCAGCGGCGAGCTAGCTGCTCTCCGCAACGTGAGCTGCCCAACAAATTCCAATAACGCTGCGCACCGACGCGTTGGAGTACTCACTCCCCATCACGCACACGACGACGGTCGCAGCCCAGCTTTAAGACGTGCTGCTGCCATGAGCAACAGGGCAGCCATTTTGCGATGCTGCCTCGTCGGCGCGCTGCTTCTCACTTCGGCAGTCCCTGCGCGCGGCATCTCGGTGGGGTTCTCGTCCTGGCACACGCCAGTCGTTGGCAATCTGCTAGTCTCAGAGGGCTTGGTCAGCGCGGCGGCGGCGCGAGGCGCTGCTCGCTTCAGTAGTAAAGGGCCTCGGGCCGATGTCCCGGGGATGACGCGGCGGCGGCTCGACGACTGCGGGAACGACGATTCGACCGAAGACGAGTACGGCGATACGTGCACGGATTGGTATGACGACAACCCCGATGGTTGCGGCGACTACGACGACACGGACTTCACGGCGAGCGAGCAGTGTTGCGCGTGCGGTGGTGGTCTTGCTGGTGGCACGTTCGCGCCGACCATCACGCCGGCGCCGTCCGCAGCACCCTCTACGCCGGAGCCGTCAACGCAGTCGCCAACCGGAGCGCCAACAACTGCCGCTCCGTCAATGACCTTTGCGCCAACGCCCACGCCATTGCCCTACGAGTACGCGCCGACAGTAGATGCGATGCCGTACTGCCGGCTTCAGACTTCATCCGCCTGCTGGGGCAACACGCACAGATTCCTGGCGGTGACGGCGAATGGGCCCTTCGACGGCATCGACGCTGGCTCTTTCAGCAGGCCAGCGCTCGGAGACCTCGACGGTGACGGCACGCTCAGACGGTGTCCATGAATCGATAAACTGCGATCTCACGTTTTGTGTCGCTCGCAGGCGACCTGGACCTCGTGGTGGGCGAACGATACGGCGAGCTCACCCTCACCTACATGGAGAACACCGGGACGTCTACGGCGCCGGTGTTTGTGGCAAGGACCGGAAGCGCGAACCCCTTCGATGGCATCGACGTCAGCGAATGGAGCTCCCCCGCGCTCGGAGACATCGACGGCGACGGCACGCTCAGACTGCGTCCGTCGATCGAGAGACTGCGACCACACTTTACGTTTCTCGCGCAGGCGACCTGGACATCGTAGTGGGAGAGACTACCTACGTAGAGGGCGAATGGAATACCTGGCTCACCTACATCGAGAACACCGGGACGTCTACGGCGCCGGTGTTCGTGCAAAGGATCGGAAGCGCGAATCCCTTCGCCGGCATCGACGTCGGCCAATTCAGCGCCCCCGCGTTCTCCGATATCGACAACGACGGCACGCTCAGACCGTGTCCGTCGATCGATAAACTGCAACCGCACGTTTTGTGTCTACCGCAGGTGACCTGGACCTCGTAGTTGGCAATATAAATGGCCTGCTCATCTACATCGAGAACACCGGGACGTCTACGGCGCCGGTTTTCGTGCAGAGGACCGGAAGCAAGAATCCCTTCGCCGGCATCGACGTCGGCGATATCAGCCGCCCCGCGCTCGCAGATTTCGACAACGACGGCACGCTCCGACCGCGTCCGTCGATCGATAAACTGCAACCGCACGCTTTGTGTCTACCGCAGGCGACCTGGACCTCGTCGTGGGCGAAGAAGGTGGCAAGCTCACCTACATTGAGAACACCGGGACGTCAACGGTGCCGGTGTTCGTGCAACGGACCGGAAGCGCGAACCCCTTGGACGGCATCGACGTCGGCGATTCCAGCGCCCCCGCGCTCGGAGACCTGGACGGCGACGGTACGCGCAGACCGTGTCCGTCGATCGATAAACTGCGACCGCATGTTTTGTGTCTCGCGCAGGCGACCTGGACCTCGTAGTGGGCGAAGGGGGAGCGTCCGATGGCGACCTCAACTACGTCGAGAACACCGGGACGACTACGGCGCCGGTTTTCGTGGCGAGGACCGGAAGCGCGAACCCCTTGGACGGCATCGACGTCGGCGATGCCAGCGCCCCCGCGCTCGGAGATCTCGACGGCGACGGCACACGCAACCCGCGTCCATCGACCGATAAGCTGCGACTGCACAATTTTGTGGCTCCCGCAGGCGATCTGGACCTTGTCGTGGGCGACTCGTATGGCTCGCTCATCTACATCGAGAACACCGGGACGTCTACGGCGCCCAAATTCGTGCAACGGACCGGAAGTGCGAACCCCTTGCACGGCATCGACGTCGGCGGCGATAACAGCAAGCCCGCGCTCGGAGACATCGACGGCGACGGCACGCGCAAACCGCGTCCGTCGATCGATAGAAATTTGTCACCGCACCCTTCGTGTCTCTCGCAGGCGATCTGGACCTCGTGGTGGGCAAAGAAAGTGGCAAGCTCATCTACATCGAAAACACGGGGACATCTACGGCGCCGGAGTTTGTTTTCCTGGATTTTTCCCACAAAAACAGCTACTCATACTCATACTCGTATTTGTATGATGACGACTATGATGATGATGGTGATGTCGCAACTGTGCCACCTAGCAACGCGAGTAGCTACTCGTATTTGTATGATGACGACTATGTCGATGATGAGGCTGTCGCAATTAGCACTTAGTCCCCGCGCACCGCTCACTTCGAGCGGCGCGCCGCCCGGAGCGCCCCCGCGACGTCGTCGCCGGAAGTGGCGCCGGCGGCCGTGTTCACGAGCCCCGAGGAGAGGCCGACCTGCGTGTCCTTCGCGGAGACCTTGCCCGTCGGCGCGGCGGGCGCCGGGGCCGGCGCCGGGGCCGGCGCAGGAGTGGGACCACGAGCTTGTAATGTGTGTCTCAAAAATGAATTAGTTAGGCGTTGTCGCCGCGGTCGGCGAAGCCGTCGTCCTCGCTTTGAATGGAAGAAGGCGACGACCGGCCCGTGATCGACGTCTCCTCGGGCGTCGGCGGCGGCGGCGGCGGCGGCGACGTCGTGATGCGCCTTTCAGAAGCTGTGACGGAAGGCGCGGACGCCGACCGATCCACCGAACGCACGACGCCGCGCGCGCCCTCGACCGTCTGCTTGACCGTTTTTTCGACCGTCGATTGGAAGCCCCGAGCCCCTTCTTGCACGGTCTTGAAGAGGTCCATGCCCTTCTTCGGGCTTCGTGTCACGTTCGCCGCGTCGAAGAACTTCTGGTGGTGGGCGCCAGGTACCGCGGTGTACGCCCCTGCTCGCCTCCGGTCGTCTTCCCGCTTTCGTTTGACCACGTCCAGGATCTCGTACCGTAGTCTAGTCCAGATGCCATATCGCGCCACATACTTCCTAAACGTAGGAAACTGGTCCTTGTCGATGAGGATGCTATGAAAGTCCAGCGCTTGCAACGTGTAGACATGTGTAATACGAGTACAATGGGCGCTGTATTTTCGCGTGACGAACTTGTTGGGTTTATCTGACACACTGGAGATGAGCATGGCAATGTCGTCGCCAAAAAAGCCTTTTTCTCCTACTCGTTTGAGTTTGTAGGGCTTGAAGGGGTCATGGCCGAATAGCAGTACTGAACCACTTTTGACGGCATAGAGCACGTCATTTATAGAGACATTGGAGAACACAACAGCTTCGCCGTCCATGCGCAGCTGCATCCTCAAACTTCTAGCGATCTTGAACATGATCAAGTTCTTCTGGAAGGGTAGCCTTTGTACTCTTTCACTGATGCTAATTTGATAAGGCCCCTCACCCAATAAGTACTCATCTAGCTGCAACCGCGAGAACTTCACATCCCGTTCCACCGGCTCACCGGGCAAGTCAATATACTTCAAGTCAAACTTCAATTCAGGAGTAACGGCCACGACGACAGCCCTCCGATCGGACCACTCGAAGCCCGTCTTGCCTTTGATGCGCTTCGCTCGTGCCCTGACAATGTCGCCGGGGTTGATGTCGTAGAACTTGTGGCAGGCATAGGCGAAAAACGGGATCTTATCAATGATCTTACCATAGTCCTTTTTGGCCACCAAGGCTTGCAAAGAGGGACTCAATCGATCTAGGAGCTGGTTGTAGTAGTTGTATCTAAATATAGGTTCGCTCAGCATCACATATTCCCTCAATTGGATGCGAGTCTCCCTACTATACCCAGCGGCATGCATGTAGTCATTTAATGAGTCTAGAGTTTGCTTGTGCATGTTCTTCACGGGGTCCATGTTGCTCATGACATTAGCTAAATCCCCGAGCAAAAAAGCGATCATGATGCACCCCACCAACATCATGACGAAGCCCAGCACGCCCTCGGCGTGATTGACAAAAACAGCTTCTCCGTTCATCGCCGTGAAGGACCAGACCACCGCGCTCGTGTACTGGGCCCAGACGCCGTCGCGCCACGTGTTCTGGTGCGTGAGGTAGGTGTTCGGGCAGTCCTCGTCGGGGCCGAAGCCGTCGACGCCGTCGACGTTCGGTGAATCTTCTTCTTTGTAGCAATTGTCTGCTTGGCGGTTCTCCATGGCCATGCCCGTGATGAGTCTCAATCCACATGCTGAGAGATGGATCGTGAATAATAACAAAGCTATGTAGGTGCACACGGTTTGAGATCGCGTCGAGATCGACAGGTGCTTCATCACCCTCGCTACTATTCTAGGCGACTTGACCACTCTCAAAAGCTTAAACAATCGTGCTAACCTCACCAATCTCAAAAACCCACCCTGCCGCACATCCAGACACCACCAGGGGAAGATACTGATCAGATCGATAAAGAACCATGACGTCAAGTAGTTGCACGTGATAGACTTCTTCCAGACGCCCTGGTCATCAAATAACAAATGCTTGACCCACTGGCCCTTCTCATCCACATAAGCCGTCAGGAACTGCATGACAAAGTCCACGACGAATAGGAAATCAACAAATCTATTGATCACGAACAGCGTGATGTTCGAATTGTTCTTGTACATCCTCTCGCTGATAAATGTCAATTCAAAGGGCGCCACCAACATGACATAGACGATCATCCCTAGCATGAAAATGTCCCAGTTGACCCGCCACGGCGCCGAGGGATGCATCACGATCCTGTGGTGATAGTCCTCCGTAAAGCCCTGGATCTGGTGGCCCCAACTGGCCGGGTCCGGGTCCTCGTCGTCTTCGTTCTCGTCCTCCTCCTCGAGCTGTTCTTGGACTAGCGTATGGATACTTTTTTGCCTCTCGAGTCGGGCCATCGATGGTCGTCGCGACGATGCCGTCGAGAGGCGGCCAGAAGAAGGTGTGCGAGAACCAGCGCTCCGTCGCGATGATGACGTCGCGTTCTCGCCATAACTCCTTCTATCCCATCGTGCTGGGTTGGAGCCTTGCGGAGTGGGGCCCTTCGAATCCGGCGATACTGCGGGCGACTCACTGAGGTCGCCGGACAGCGCCCTTAGAAACCGTTCCGCGGGCGGCTCCTTGATGTCCTTCGAGTTCTTGAGTTGGGGCCTCCTTGGGCTGCTCATGCCGTCCTACGCGGCGCGGGCGTTTCGACCGACTTGTGATTTGTGAGAGGCGAAGGACGACGTGCCGTGTTTAGGGAGCGAGAGGCGAGCTCCGTACGCGTGCTCCGCGTCTTGCGCGGGGTCGCGGAGGGTGAGGCAGCCCCTCGCCGCCTAGGCTGTTGCGCTGGGGGCAGCTGAATACGTGCGTGGGGCGTGCCGAGGACGGGAGCCGTTTCTCGGATCTATGCGCAACTGCGCCCGCTCCGTACGTGCGCGCGCCGTTACCGCCGTCGCGGTTCCAGCGGCGGTGCCAGGGCGCCTCAAAACAGTGTGCAGTCCGCCGCGGCTCGCGACGCGCCACGCGAGGGGTACGGGGGCGGCGTTGACGAGTGCTTGGATTGGTGGCTCGGTTTTCCACGGGCAAAAACCCGTGGGCAACTTCTTGCTAGTGTCTTACCAGGCCGCTAGCAGCGCGAGGCGCCAAAAAAAGCGTGTGCACGACACCGCTGTGCTGCGCGCGTTGAACGAGTGCTCCGCGCGACGCCAGCGCTGCGGTGCACTCCTGTCGCTGCTCGCGCTCGGCTCCCAAGATTGCCTAGACTGGCAGACTGGAAAATGGAGCTAGACAGCACGACCCCGAGCTACGTGCAGCCCGCGCTCCGCGCCCTCTACAAGGACGAAAATGTTAAGAGGTGCGGCGCGCAGCTCGCCGTCGCAAGCAAAGAGGAGGAATGCTACGTCGCCGCGGCCTACGACGACAACGGAGAATTGACACATCTGCGACGCTTCGTGAGATGCGGTGCGAGAGCCGCGCGCTTATATGCGGTGGCGCACAAGGAGGCCGGGTCCCTGGGCAACGCGTCGGACGCCAGTGAAAAAAATGGCTGTGTGATCCTAAAGCCGTCTGCTTGTAGTAGTGGAGAGTGCGCCTCCACCATAGAGTTATTTAGGCGGGAAAACGACGACGTGTTTGCGCGGACCATGGGCGAAGTGCTAGGCGAGGGCGGCGACTTCGAGCGGCAGCTGCGGAGGCGAGGCGTGGTCGAGAAGGGTGCTCGCAAGCAACTTGCAGCAACTCTGGAAAACTACGACAATGACGAGGTCAAGCGCACGATACAAGCACTACGAAGTGTGAAGGTCGAGAACGACGCCTGGTACCCGCAGCCCGACCCGTCGCTCGATCTGATGAGGTGCCTCGTCGACGTTGATGGAGGCGCGCACTGGCCCGTGTTGCTGTCAAAGCCGGGTTCTTCGGTGTTCGCGGAGCCCGTCCACTACGCCCTGTCGTTGTTGCTGGAGCACTGCGCTTTGCCTCTCACCGCGAGAGATGCGCTGGCGCTCGATGCTTCTGCTCTATCGAAGCGCGTCGGCTCCGACGAGGAGGCCCAAAATCTGAGAAAGCAGCTCATGCAGGGGCAGCACGTAGCGTCTTCTGAAGGCGAAGCGGACGCGGCAGCACGAGATTTGTTGATAGTAGCCGAGGCACTCGTCTCTTCGGTCTGTAGACAAGGCTACGACACGCCCGTCGTCGACGCGGAGGCTCTCAAAACAATAAAGACGCCTTCGGTCAGGAGAGCCGCGGCGCACGCTGATGAGATCCTAGTGATGGTTGTACGAAGAGGCTCGGAGCGGTTTGAGAACGTGCAGCCCTGGCTGATCCTGGGGGAGCTGGCCGTGGCCGCTTTATCATATGTGTCGGAGCCACCCGCTGGTAGCACAGATAGGGAGCGCAAGACTCTTGTAACAATAGCGCAACGCCTCGTCAACGGCCTCGCCAAGGCCCTCCAAAAGAAGAAGTTCGTGCCAGTGCCAAAAGATGCTCTGTCGGTACTAGAGAAGCCCTGGGACAAGCCCAGCTTCCTCGAGGACGAGCGTGTACGCTACTCCTCGCTAGCTCTGGCGGCGCACGGCATGATCGTCAATCCAATAACGGGCCAGGAATTGGACGTGATGCGCCAATGCGTGGGGTTGCACGTGGAGGCGCGCGATCGGAGGTTGGCGGACGACGCGGCCTTCGAAGATGCGCTGTCGGCCTTCGCCGAAAAGGTATCACTTAGGTCGAGAGTCTTCGTGCACGATGGTGTCAGAGATAGAGCCTGCGACGTCGTGAGAGTGAATGGCGATGGCACGTACGACGTGAAACCCATCGAGGAGAACGCCAAAACTCTCAGAGATGTGCCTCGAGTGAAGCTAGCAGCTGAACCGTTACTGGTTATCGGCGATCCCGCGGGCGGCAAGACGACCTTCGCGAAGCAGCTGTTGACCTGGACCCTTCGTAAGGAAGTAACCTACTTGGTACCCGTGCTAGTGCGGGTCTGCGACGTCGTGAGGTTGTTAGCATCAGACCTACCGGATGCCACGGAGCCATTAGTGTGGGCCTATCTCCGTCGCAGTTCGGGCGAGACGACGTGGCGCTTCTACGAGACGGCGCGTACGCAGAAGCGACTGTTACTGTTGCTAGACGGCTTCGACGAAGGAGGCGTTTTGGGCGATCGCCTCGAGAGGGAAATCGGCGAGTTCTACATGGCCCATCCTCTCGTGGTGACGTCGCGGGACATGAAGTGTCTACGCGGAAGCACGTTCCAGCGGTTCCGGCGCGTCCGAGTGCTGCAGTTAGATCACGAGCAAGTTAAAGCAATAGCTAAGCAAAGGCTGAACGAAGAGGATCTGGCGAGTTTCCTCGAGAAGTTACGCATTAATTCATCATTATCGAGGATGGCGCGGAACCCCCTGTTACTCTCGGTCACGTTAACGGTCTTCGAAGAATCTGTAGAAAGCATGGGCGACGACTCGTTAACGAGAGGTAGGGTCTATGAAATCGCATTAACGGCGATGCTCGGGCGCTTAGATGGTGTGGATGCTTTGTTAGCTAGAAGACTGTTCCGGCGGATCGCGTGGGTCGCGCATAGCCACGAGCGGGGCCGCGGCACGCGGGACTTCGGCGACACGCTGGCCAAAACGGCAGCTCAGACCCTAGATGACTCTGATGCGGCTCTAGAAGCGTGGAGTACCATCTCGGACGCGGCGCAACGGGGCCGATTGCCGCTGATCTCCTGGTTTACCGAGAGAGGTAGAGACAGGTATAGATTCGCTCATTTGACCTTCCAAGAATTCCTCGCGGCGGAGCACGTCGTCAAGGAATTCGAGCATGATAACGATTGCGCTTCTCGAGTTGCAAGGCTGGCGACGCATCCCTCAGGACGACCGGGCGCGTTATTTGAGCGCGGCTGGTGGCAGCAGGTCGTCCAGATGTTCGGCGACTTGGCTTCCGATGCCTACCGCCAAGCTTTAGCGGAGGCTACGCTGGGTGGGGCGCAGTCTGTCGACCTGGACGCATGTGTCGGGGACAGAAATGTGGCCACGCTCGTGGCGCTATTACCGCCTGGTCGAGCTCTCGAATCGTTACGTATTTCGGATGGAGGCATCGCCCGAGCCGGCGCTTCCCAATTGGCGCCGGGCATCCAGAGCGTAGGAAGACGCTTACGTGTCTTAGATCTTGCTGGGAATTTGCTGGATGGACCTGCTGCTACAATCTTATGTGATGCGCTTGCAAACTCACCCTTACAGATCCTCGACCTGGCCTCGAATCGTTTATGTGTCGGCGAGACGAAACGAGAGGGCTTCGACCAGGAAACTTTTCACTCCCGCAAGCGAGGTGGCTCCGGCCAGTCGAAACTCTACCTCGACTACATGCACGCGGCCTGGGTCCCCGACCTGTCGGGGGTCGAAGCTTGCGTCCAGCTCGCTCGGAGTACAACAACTCTGAGAGCTCTGGATCTGCGGTCGAACGGGCTCACGGAAAAGGCCGGAAATCTACTCGCGTCGTTGTTCGACGACGCGAGGCACGTGCGAGAAGTCTGCGGCATCGACGTGAAGAGGTTGCGGACTGGTAGGTGTGTACTGTTAGCGCCGGCCGGGGAGTTAGCTGAAAGTGAAGAAGAGCAAAGGCAACTCGAGACGGGCGACCGCGTCGAGGCCCGATTTCAAGGCGGGCGGCGGTTCTATCCCGCGGTTGTCGTTCGTGCTCATAATGATGCCCACGTCGACCTAGCTTATGTGGATTTGCAGGATCGCGTCGTACGAAGAGAGGATAGGGTACCTCGTAGGATGGTCCGGCCGGCCACCACCGGGCCGCCTCGTCGTTTAGAAGCGGGTGGCTGTGTGGTCTTAGCCGCGGCTCTTGAGAGGGCGGGCCCCGCCGCGAAGGGTGCGTTGAAAGAGTTGCGACTGGCGCGGCAGGCCTTGGCGTTTGACCTCGACTCGTGGGATGCGCCCTCTTGTTTAGATTCGAAAAGTCATAGCACGGGCATCAACCCGAATCCCGTCAAACGGCTGATTGCGGCTTTAGCATCGTTTCCTCGCGTGGAGGTCGTGGATTGTAGGGATAGTATGGATCCGGGCGCTCATGTTGGGGAAGCGCTCGCGGCCGCTGCGGTCGAGAGGAATTGGGTCACGCTGGGCTTGGGTGCGGCTCTGTTGGATGTCGCGGCGATCCGATCGCAGGAGGAGTCGTTGAGGGTGCGAGGTGCGTTGCGCGACGGCGGCGTCGGGGCCGTCGCTCGCCTAGCAGAAAATGTCACGTCGCTCCGAGTGTCGACGGCGGGCGTGTCGTCGGCCGGTCTCGAGAGGTTGGTAGCCAAGGCCAAGCACACTACGTTAGCAACGATCAACGGTCTCGATGTCGCCCGGTTCCGCGCCGAGGGACCCACACTCTTAACGCTAGATTTCTCCGACGCGTCGTTGGACCGAGCCACGGCGCGCATGGTCCTTAGACTGCTGGAAGGCTGCGTGTCGTTGGAAACGCTGAATTTTAACGGTAGCGACCTGATGCCTTGTGCACACCCGCACCCGATGACTCCCGAGGTCTTTGGTTCTGGTCATTTGTGCAATGCCTGCGCGTCGCACCATGGCCTGGCGGTTGATTTGAACTTGGCTTGTAGAGTGTGTGACCACGACACGTGCGGGGCGGCCTGGAGATCGAGGGACGTCGTCGACGATTTGGCGGATGCCCTGTCGAAGCTCGGCACGCACTTGAAACACTTATCGCTGAAGAATTGTTGTTTTGGGATGATGGACGGTCCCATCGCGGTCAAGCCCTTTGAACACTTGGGACAAGTGCTAGGGGACGATATGCTTACCTTAGAAAGCATAGACCTGTCGGAGAACGAGTGGTCCGCTCCTAGATTAACGAGGTGGTGCGCGGAATCGCTGATGGACGACGCTGCTGATGATCCTCCGGCCAACGATGATGACGAGGGCGACGCCGCGGACGCGCGGTGGCATCGAAGGGCGCGGCAGTGGGCTCGAGCTGTCGACGCCGAGGCGTCGTCTTCTGATGCGGACGACGCGAACGATGATGCGGTAGATAGGGCCTACTCGAGGCAGCGCATCCCTCTGGCCGCCGGGTTTCCAGCGATTGCTCGTGGTCTGGCCAAGGCGCCTTCTTTACAAAGATGTTCAGTCGATGGCCCTTGGGCCTTGGATTTGGCTGCCTTACGAGCTTCTTCCGGTACAACTATAGAGGCCGAGGCTTGTTTTGTGGGACCGGACACCACTGACTATCGAGCCATCCACGTCGGGTCGCAGAACGCCACGGACCCGAGGACGGCGGCGATCTATCCTCTCGCTCGCTTGGCGAATGTCCGGCTGTTCTCCGAGGCGTTCAAGCAGCTCGCTCAACGGTCAGAATACCCGCGCCACTTGATCTGTAGACTGCACGCCTTACCACCGCTCTGCCACGAGGCGGGCCAGCAGTGCCTGTTGGATCTGTTCGACGCGTTGGATGTCCTGGAGGTGGGGTCGCTTGATTTAGAACTCAAAGCACTACGCGACGGCGCGACCTCCACCCTGGACGTCTCCGTGGAACGGCTCGAGAAGCGCTGGCCGGCTTTAGAGGGGGAAGCGGAAGGCGTCACGGCGGCTCGCAGAGAGCGCTCCGCGCTGGAAGGGTCCAAGTGCTGTGGGCGGCTCGTGGCCGCGGCCATCACGACGGCCGCGCGAATCGTCGAAGTGGACTGTAGAGGAGTAGCATTGGGCGAAGCCGCCTCGGACGTCGCTGCAGCTGCTAGAAGGCATCTATCTCTACGCAAGTTGAATGGCGTCAGCACAGACGCCCCGCCGACGCCGCACCTAAGTTTCGCGCGGCGGCGTATTGGGGATGCCGGCGCGTTGGCGTTAGGTCGAGATTTGGAGCGGTCGCGGCACGCGCTCGAGAGTCTTGACTTGAGAGACTGTTCTCTTGGCCCTGCTGGCATCGCGGCCATATTGCACGGCCTCTCCAGGAGGCGCTCGGGCGATCCGCCGCGGCGCGACGTGAACCCCCGCGTGTTGAACTTAGAAAGGAACGATATTGGTGATGTGGGCATGCACGCGTTGGCGAGGCATTTGAGAGATGACGCTCGCTTGGAAACGTTGCAGTTGCGCGGGTGTCATCTACCTCGCTCTACTACTAGGGCCATGTCGGAATTTGGTCTTGCTTTCGAGGCCAATGTTGGGTTAGTTACGCTGGACCTACGCGGTGCGCGGACGCCGGCACAACTCGCTAGAGGTTTACGACGCACTGTGGAGAAGCGGCCCACGGTCGCCCCGCAACCGGAAGTCTGGACCACGCTCCTACTATGCCTCAATCGGAACGGCCTGCGCTGCGACGAGGATGCACTAAATGTGGTCTTCGGCTTCGCGCGCCGGCGACGGCAACTTTTGCTCAATGACGAGGCCGAAGCGTTGGCCGACTTGTTCCCGCTGCGGTCGGCGGAGGCGCGCAGCCTGGTCGATCGCTTGGACGCGGGCGAGTTCGACCATGATGACGACGAGGACTTGGCCGAGATCAACACGCTCCTCTCGCGCCTCGACGAGCGCGACCAGCGGTCGGTCACGCGGGCCTACTGGGTCTTGCGTGCTAGAGAACACCCGCCGGAGGACTTCGACGCCTTCGCGAACGAGGGGCCGCCGGACGACTCGGAGGACTCGTCTTCTTCCGATGACGAGGAGGATGATGGGATGGACGTGACGGCTGGGGGGGAGGATTAAGTATATCTGTTGGTTTTCTTACGCGATTGGGGGTTCGAATTTTCCAGCACCGGCTCGGGGGGTGGTGCTCGATTGCAAGAGCTAGCTCGTAGTCCACGCGCTCACACGGCAGCCTTTGGAGGCTTCAGCAGATAAGACGCCTTGGACTGGACCGAACTTTCGCGCTGATCAGACAGATCAGCAGTCGGGCGTCGCAGCTCGAATGCGGAGACGTTCTGCGCGACGTCTCTCGTGATCGTGTCACGCAGCGCCGGGCTCAGATTCAGGGCGTAATCTAGTAATGAGAGGGCTTCGTCTTGACCAGTGAGGTCGCGTACGACGAGGTCGAAGTCTCCAGCGTCATCAAACATGGGCCTCTCTTCTGGGAGCCCCTTAATCGCTTCGTCGGGTAACTTCATGCTCAGTATCATAGCGAAGTTCTCGGGGTCGCCGTCCTGCATAAGATTGCGCGCGCAGTCCCGTTGCAGGTAGTAGAGCGGGTCCACGTGTTTGTAGTAAAAAGTGGCGAGTAACATCCCAGAATCCAACGGTTTCGCCGGCACATGCTGATCGTCGAGGTATTGGAACATGTCCGACGTACAGACGCTGTTGACTTCCGCCTTTTGGTGAGCGTCCTCGACTTGCGAGATAAGAAGCGACATTCTTATTGGATGCTCCTCGCACAGGATAATGAGCTTCACGAGCTTGAGCGCGAATAAGGGCCAGCGCGGGTCGAGATACACGGTCTGCATCGGGTCCTTCTCGTCCATTTGCCGCTTCGCGTAGGCCACGGCTAACTGGAACACGTTCACGACGCGCTTGAGGCGCCGCGGATTACCGGAAGTTTGCATGGCGAAGGTCTGTGGCAGAAGGTTTCGACGACGGTTTCCCTCGGTAGATTGAGGCTCATGTCTGTGCGTCTCTCACAATGTGACCGCTTAAGTACTCTCTTTACAATGGCTGTGAGTTTTTTTCCGGCAATATCTCTAGGTTTCGCGTCTATTGTTAAGCTCTAAACGCATTAATGCGGCGGCATACAAACTTCACACCTGCTGGCAATGAAAAACCCGTTTTGCCCAAGCCAGCGAGGAGCGCCCCCACACTAGTTATTGCTCTTAATCCGATTTGCTTCTGTGAAGGTAGCTAGCCAGCTCCCGGTAGTACGCCATCACAGCTTCCCGCACCCCCGCCGCGCGAACTCGTCCGTGATCTGCTTCGCGTTGCAGATCGCCGGGAAGAAGTGCACTTGTCCACGTACAGCGCCGTTCGCAATCGCTTCGGCAGAATTCGCCATCTCGCCCGGCCCGACGCCCCACTGCGACTCGGGCGTCTGCGTCTCCTTGAAATACACCAAGATGGGCACGTCCCAGCCCTTCGGGAAGGTCTCGTAATTGACGAACGTGTTGTACGCCCACCGGTTCGCTCCCCCCACAACAACGTTCTCGCCGATGTCCTCCTCGCCCGACTTGAGCTCGAAGGCCTCATCATCAAAGGTAAAGTCGAGGCGGAACCTGCGTGCGCGCCCGGGCTCCGATACTCTCGCGGTCGCGTCGACGGTGGACGCCGTCACTCACGTCTGGATGAGGAAGAGTAGTCCTAAAAGCGTCAGGGGCAGGCCCGGCAGCCACTTGATAATGGGAATCTGGTCGAGGACGAGCGCGACGCCGCACGTCCCCAATGCTAATCGGAAGTCCTTGTCGATGGTCACATCGCTGGCGGACGCTCGCAGCGCTGTCCGCGGCGGCGCGGCGACGCTCCGCAGCGCTGGGCGCTGGAAGGCGGCCGCGAGGCCTGCAAGCAGGAGGAGCTGGGCGGCGCGCTGGGAGAGCATCCTCTCTGTGACTGCTGTGCGACCGCGGCCACGCTTCAAATGGGCAGCGAATCGCTCGCCACTGCTCGTGCTCTCAGAGAGCTAGCGTAATGTAAGACACTAGAAAAAAGCGAAGCCGCATTTTGGAGTTAGCTCGCCTCGCGTGTGCATCAGAGGCAGCCAGCGATCGTAAGGACTCCTGCAGCAGCAAGCCGCAGCAGCCAGCAACGTAAGCACTGCAGTAGCAGTAGTCGTAAGCACTCCTCAGCAGCCACACCATGGACGCCCTCGTCAAGCAGTGCGAGGCCGCCGGCGAAGCGGTCAAGACGGCCAAGGGCGGCGGCGACAAGGCGGTCATCGCCGAGGCGGTGGCTAAACTAGTGGCCATCAAGGAACAGATCACCAAACTGGACCCGGCGCACCCGATGGCGATAGTGGACAAGAAAGCGGCAAAAAAGAAGGCCAAGGCCGCCGCCGCCGCGGCCAAGCCCGCGGAGAAGCCCGCGGAGGGCGGCGGCGACAAGCCCATGTCCAAGAACGCCCAGAAAGCAGCAGCTAAAAAAGCTCTGAAAGACGCGAAGAAGAAGCAACACAAGGAGGGCGGCGCCGGGGCACCACCGACGGCCGCCGCGGCCGCCGCGCCGACGAAGGGCTTCGCGCTGCGGCCCGGCGCCTCGGCGGCCGCCCGCGCGAAGGTCGCGGCCGTCGCCAAGGCCTGCAAGGTCACCGTGGCGAAGGGTGCGGCGGCCGCCTACGCGCCGCAACCCAGCGACGGCTGCGTCTTAGATACGCCGGACGGGCCCGTCGGCGGCGCAGCGAACGCGTGCCGGCTCCTCGCGTTCGCGTCGGCGGCGTTTTCTGCCGACACGCCGGCCGCGGACGGCTGGTGCGACTGGTCCGGCCGCGCCGACGCCGAGGCCCAGGCTGCCAGTGTGCTGGACGAGGTCGGTAAGGCGCTCGCGAAGAACGATCCAGGGTTAGCAAAAGGCACTCTAGCGAGGATCCTCGTCGCGTGCGACTGCAAGGTCGCCCTCAAGTCGGCCAAGGGCTCGCCCGCCGTGACGGCGCTGGCCAACGAGGTCGCCGGCGAGGAGAAGCCCTGGAGTCCCGCGCAAGATGAGTCGACGCTGGAGTTCGTCACGCGTTTGTTCGCCGAGGCCATCAAGCGCGCCGCGCCCTCCCTGAAAGATCAGGACCCCGTCGTCCAGCGCTGCGCCATCGCGTCGTTCGGGGATTTTCAGTGCAACGCGCCCATGGGCATTTTTAAAGCGTTGAAAGGGCAGGGCGACACGTCCTACAACTCGCCGCGCGCCGTCGGCGCGGCCATTGCTGATAACCTCCCTCCGAACAGTGTCCTGGTGTCGGCCTCGGTCGCGCCGGCGGGCTTCGTGAATGCGAAAATAGACAACGCACTCCTCGGAGACTTCTGCCGTGAAGTAGCCCAAAAGGGCAAGGCGCCGCCGCCGCCGATCAAGGCCTTCGGCGGCAAGCGCAAGGTTTTAGTGGACTTCTCGTCGCCGAACATCGCCAAGGAGATGCACGTCGGCCATTTACGCAGTACCATTATCGGAGATACGATCTGTCGCGTCCTCGAGTACTGCGGCCACGACGTGCACCGAATTAATCATGTCGGCGACTGGGGCACGCAGTTCGGGATGCTCATCTCCCACATGGAGGAGGCCTACCCCGACTTTACGTCGAATCCTCCCAACATCACGGATTTAACGGTGTTCTACAAGAACGCGAAGAAAAGATTTGACGACGACGAAGCGTTCAAGAAGAAGTCGCGGGAAACGGTCGTCGCTTTACAAGCAGGGGATCCTCGTTGCAGAGAAATCTGGGCCTTGCTCTGTGACATTTCTCGCAAAGAATTTGCGAGGGTCTACAAACGACTCGGTGTGACGCTCGAAGAGGTCGGCGAGAGCCACTACAACTCGATGATCCCGAACGCGATCTCGCTCCTGGAGAAGGCGGGGTTAACGACGGACTCCGACGGGGCTACGACGGTCTTCCTCGAGGGCCACTCCTTTCCTTTGATCGTGAAGAAGTCGGACGGTGGTTTTGGTTATGATTCGACGGACATCGCGGCGATCCACCACCGCCTCAAAACGCTCGGCGTGGACTGGGTCGTCTACGTCACGGACTTGGGCCAGGCCGAGCACTTCCACATGTGCTTCGAGGCCGCGGAAAAGGCCGGCTGGACATCTAGTGAAGGTAGATTGTGCCACGTGGGCTTTGGCGTCGTGCAGGGAGAGGACGGCAAGCGTTTCAAAACTAGGTCCGGCGAGACCGTTAGGCTCGTGGACTTGTTGGATGAGTCCGTGACGCGCATGGAGAAGTCGCTGAAGGATCGCGTGGCCGAGGGCAAGTGCGCTTTGTCTCCCGACGAGGTCAAGTCCGCCGCCGAGAAGATTGGGTATGGTGCGGTCAAGTACGCCGACCTCCACCAGCACCCGGCGACGAACTACAAGTTTTCGTATGATAAGATGCTGAGTACGTCGGGCAACACCGCCGTGTATTTGTTATTCGCGCACGCTCGGTTAGCCTCGATCGTGCGGAAGGCCTCCGCGAAGGGTGTGGATGCGAAGAAAGCGGCTTCCAACAAGATGGACCTGTGCGCGCACCCGAAAGAGCGAGCCCTGGCTTTTGAATTGACGCAGTTTTCCGGAGTGGTCGCGTCGGTGGCGGAGGAGTTCCTTCCCGTGAGGGTGTGCGACTACCTGTACAAGGTCTCCTGTAAATTCACGGAGTTCGTCACGGAGTGCAAGGTCCTGGACGACGCGCGCATGGCGGAGCGCGTCGTGCTCTGCGAGGCGACCGGCGTCGTCATGCGCGCGTGCTTCGATTTGCTGGGCATCGAGTACCTCATGCAGATTTAAGTTGATTGGTAGTTATTTGTGTGGCTCTTCTTACTCCCGGAGCTCATTTTCCCGCCCGAGCCAGTAGTCGTCGCCATAGTCAAAAGTCAGCTCGTCGCCAACTTCGAGATCCCGCGCCGCGAAGAAGCGCAACCGTCTATCCGGGAAGCGCTGCCGCACCTTCCTCAACGACGCCGGCCGGCCGTGGTTGATGTAGCGGCCCAGGTTCGATTTCTCAGGATTCACGGCGTCGACCCACGTTTGATCGAGACCGAGTGGCCCCCGCAAACCCAACAAGTACCGCGCCTCGATGAGGTCCCGGTACCGCTCGTTCACGGCGGCGTCGTCCATTTCTTCGCCGAGGTAGTCCTGTGTTGACATCAACGCAGGTGATCAAACGCTGACCACGAAAAACCAATCGAGGACGCCGGCCGCGTACCATGACGAACTCGCCCTTTTCTATCCGTCGCCGCGCGAAGAGGCCCTCGCCTTTGCCGGGCGCCTCTTTTATTGATACGTCGTCTAATGTCAGCGGCGGCGTCAGCGCGAGGGCGGGCTTCGCGCGATACGCAAGCGCGGCCGCGGCCAAGGTGCCCGGCAGCGCGGCGACGAGGGGCTGACCCATCTTCGAACCCTCCAAGCCAGCCGCCGCGCTGAAGCACACCGTCGCCAATGCCAAGCAGGCGAACCGCGCGGCGATGAACGGCTGGTCGGCGCCCGCCGGCGGCGAGACGGTCGCGCGGTTCGTCGACAGCGGCTGCATTTTCGAGTTAGGCGCGGCGTGCCGCTTTTTTAGCAGGGAGAGCCAGTTTCAATGTGAGCTGCTCTCCCAACAATCGACGCGTATTTGCTGTGCGAGTGGCTGCAACTGCTGTGCTTTGCGACTCGGTGCAAATTGCAAGAGCTTTTGCCAAGTTGCACTCCCCAATTGGGATCGATGACGCGTCTCAGTCACGGCGCAGTCGTGTGGCTTGCTAGTGTCTTACAGGCCCGCTAGCTAACATGGAAGATTACTCACTCAACAAGCTCATTCTCTCTTCCTATCCAGTAGCTTTCGCCATAATCAAACGTCAGCTCCTCGCCGGGATCGATGTCCCGCGCGGCGAAGAATCGGAGCCGCCGGTCGGGGAAGCGCTGCCGTACTTTGCGGCATGTCGGGCGCGAGCAGTGGTTGATATACCGCCCGAGATTCGAACGTTCTGGATTCACGGCGTCGATGTAGCTCGGATTCAGGCCGAGCGGGCCCGTGAGTTCCAGCGCGTACCTCGCCTCGAGCAAGTTCTCGTAGCGTTCGTCAAGTTCTTCAGCGGACATCTCCTCACCCAAGTAATCCATGATGAATTTGCCCTCTTTGATTCGTCTCGAAGCGAACAGGCCTTCGCCCTTGCCCGGCGCCTCGCGGATCTCCACGTCGCCGTCGAGACCGAGCGGTGGCGTCAGCGCGAGGGCTGGCCTCGCACGATACGCAAGCGCGCCCGCGGCGGCGACGCCGGGTAACGCGGCCACGAGTGGACTGCCCAATTTTTGGCCCTCGAGCCCGGCAGCGGCGGCGAAGCACACCGTCGCGACCGAGATGCAGGCGAGCCGCGCTTGCAGGAAGAATGCGTCGTCGCCCGCGCGCGTCGCGGCCTTTATTGCCGGCTCCGGTCCGCCGAGTCGCATCGCTACGGAGTGCACAGCCTGTCGTCAGCAGAGCAAAATATGATCGGCACAGCGCAATTCGCGCAAATTAGCGGCAGTGTTCCACGCACTGGTCTCACACAACATGTGAAATTATCAAAACTCAACGACAGCGGCACGAGACGGCGCCGCACCGTGTCTTGAGCCACAGCTCCGTAGGGGCTTGCGTATGCTAGCGCCTCTATGACGCTAGCTCAATCGTTCTGCGACGCGTGCAGATAAGGATCGCAGCCCTCCCGGTGTGACGCCTAGACCGGGTGCCCGCAATGGCTCCCGCACGATCGGCTCCAAGCAGCAGCAGCGCCGAGCAGAGCGCCAGTGCCTCGACGCGAGGCGCGCGAAAATCAATCGAAAACGCGTACACTACGCACGCATTTGAGCCAGGCTGCCCCGCACCACGACAACTGCGCGGAGCCGCCGTACACGACGCGCATTTTGGACAGGCTGCCTCGGAGTCGCCACTGAAAAGCATACAGATGCGAGCAGCAATCGCAAGGGCTGCCCGGCTGCGCGGCGTCGGCGTCGCCGCGGCTGCCACAGTCACCACTGCGAGCTGTGCCGAGCGGCGGGCCTGCCCCGGCTTCGAGGTGCCATTGGACCGGCGGTACAAGGGTACCGCGGCGGCACGGGAGGCACGAGGACGAGGCTGCTTGACAGATGCCGAGGTAGTGCAGTGCGCCGAGATCATCAATAACTTCGTGGACCTGCCGTTCTTCACGGAAGAGCAAGAGCAAGAGATCTTCGAATTTTCCGTCTGTCGACTGGTGGAGCGGCTGGCGCAAGTCCTGCCCAACGAAGTGATCAATATGATTCACAGCGACCAGTCGCTGCCGCGGTTGCCCGCGGCCGAGCTGGAGAAGCGGTTGCACGCGTGGCTCGTGGACACGTGGCAGATGCCGTTGTTGGATGAATTGGACCGGAGGCATGTGGTCCATTGTCTGCTTGTCTTGGTCCGTGCGTAAATCAACATGTCACTGCGCCTTCTCGGACCTCCACGCCATCGACGCGACGCCTGCTCGATGGCGTGGCGGTGCCGGTTCATCACCAATCGACGGAGCCAGCACGGCGGCATCGTCGCGCACCGACTCACGGGTTGATTTGTGCACAGGTCTTGGTGATGCGGTCCATGCGGCACTGTTCCCGAGACGTGGGCGATCTGACGGAACGGGAGACGCACGAGCTTATTCTAGATGTCTTCGTGAAGAGCACGTTAGACGTGTTCTCGGACCCGGCGCAGCGCAAGGAACTCGGAGCCCGAATAGAAGGCTACGCGTCGTCGATCCCCTTCCTGCCCGCGCCGCTCTTGTCGCACGCGATCGACAAATTCTGCGCCCTGGCTACCGAGAAGGTCACTCCGGTACTAATTCATACGTACAACGAGCACCTTCTCGCGACCGACATCTACCGGGATTATGCGAGGTTGGCCGCGGAAGGAGTCGCGCCCAACGAGCAGCCGTTCACGGACCGACTGCGGCGGAACCTGCGCGCGGCCTGCGACCCCGCGACGGACGAGAATCGAGGTTTTCTGGGCAGCGTCGTGGCTCTTCTCCCGCAGGATCGAAGGGAGTGGTACGTGGGACTCTTCGTCGACGCCTTCTTAGAGGGGCTCAGAACGGACAAACTGGAGGGCATCCTGCACAACGTGACGCTCGACGACGCGCTTCACCAGGAGTTGATAGAAAAGCCGTTCCTGCTCACGGCGCGCGCGGCGCGGCGGCACACCGTGGTGCCGGCGCGCCGCGGCCACGTCGTGGGCAAGAGCCACTACCCCGCCGGCTAAGGAGCCTTGTATGTGAGTCAGTGGAGCGCAGGATTTGACATCTTCCGTGGACAGAGTTAGTGTATACAGACACTAGGATTACGGCCCAACGGGATCGAAGCTTTGTCCGATACCGCAGCGCCCCAGGACGAAGACGGCGCCAAACCGCCGCAGCGATCGCCAACGGCTGCCCCGCAGCCGAACCGAGCAGCCCTTTGACCGTCCACGGCGCCCCTGGACAACAGCCACCAAAAGGCTGTCGAAACCCCACGCCGCCAGCCGCCAGCAAGACGAAGATAAGGCTGCCAGCAAGACAAAGGATGCCGCTCCTCAGCGCCGAGTTCAAGACCAACATGGCTGTGAAATATGAGGAGGCCAAGATTTATGCGAGAAACGCGTACAAGAAGGCCACGACCCGCACCCCCAAGGAGCCAAAAGAGCAGGACGACAGCCCGAAGAAGTCCATGACCATGAAGGAGGCCTATTTTAAGAGGATGGAGAAAGGTACACTGAAAGATAACGACACGAACCCGATGGACCGCATGGCGGCGATGCGGTTGGTGGATGCCGGTCTATGGGACGCCAAGGAGACCGAGAAGCTCTACGCGGCGTATAATAAGATAAGGGCCAAAGATGGGCATCGACACAAGGCCAAAAACGCCAAGACGAGGTATCCGACGGTGGCGGACTTCTACCGTTTTTTCCGGCTCGAGACCTCGATCTTCTGCACGCAGATCCTGCTCATGCCCAAGAAGATCCCCATCGAAGGCTTAAGTGCCAAAGAGGTAGAAAAAGTCTGCTTCAGTTTCGCTGAATTTGCCTTGGCGGTGTGGCTCCTCTGCGCCTTCGACCTCGGGACCCTAGCTTTTTACATGATGGACCGCGACCACAAGGGCTACCTGAACCGCGGCGAGGTGCGACTCGCGGTGGCCCAGATCTACTCCGTGCACAACACGGGGCCGAGGCTCATCGACGGGACCAAACCCTTAGATTCGAAACTCACGCGAGTGATGAACACGTTAGATGCAAATGGGAACGGGAACATCTCGCGGGATGAATTCGTCGCGTTTTCGCACCAGCACCACCACCTGCTCATGCCGGCCTTTTCCATCCAGAGATCTGTCAGAGAACGGGCGTTCGGGATGACGTTCAATTGGGAAAAGATCGAAACGAAGCGGAAGCGCGTTGTGGGTACGAGAAGTATCCAGCAAGTCGTCGACGACGTCGCTCGGCTCATACCGGAGATTGGTGGTGGTCGTAGCAGCGACGAGAAAGTCGGCGAGGGCGAGGCCTACATGCGGGAATCAGATCCAGATAAAGTATTAGATCATGCCGCCGCGGCCTATCAACGAGGTGACCTGGAGAAGGCCAAAGAAATCTACGCCTACATCGAGCAGGGCGGCGGTTCCGAACATAAGGACGGCAACGTTAGGAAGAGTTCGGCCGTCGCCGGCTTCTCGTTGGATTCTACCCACGACGCCTACGCGGCGGATCTGCGCAAGAAGAAGGTGCGCGGGTCCCAGGAAAAGGCGTTCGCCGGCCGACGAGTAAAGAAATCCTAGTCACAAGCGCGCCCCCGCCCCACATCGCTCTCCGGCGCGTCCCGCAAATCGTCGCAGAGCAGGTGCTGGTAGGCCGTCCCCCTCAACGTATTCTTGACGCGCTCCCAGTTCGCGACGTACTCCCGCAAATCCGGATGACTATGGATCTTGACGTCCTTCGACGGCTTGTCGAAGTCCTGGGCGCAGGAATCACCATCGACGAGCCAGCTCCTTATATCATTAAACTGCGCGTTGTCCCTATCTAGGTCTTCGTACACCAGGAATTTCGAGGGGATGCCCGCCTTCTGGCACGTCTCGAAGAGTGCTTTGAGGGTAGTCATGGTCCGGTTCTCCCGATCCAGTGCTCGCAATAACCCGCGCCGCCGGGGCAGCTCGACCTTTTTGGCCACGCTCGAAGCCTCTTCCGTGGTGTGGGCGTGCGGGACGTGTTTTTTGGTCCCCTTGGAGTCCGCGTTCGTTACTTTGGAGACCAGGAGCCGTAGTAAGTGTCTTCTCACCAGAAAGATCAGCTTTGCCCGCCTTTGTTTAAGCACCGGCAGTAGCCACAAGTCAAAAGCCTCTTCCGCGCCGATATCAAAGGGCTGGTTCAGCATCCACTTGAAGCCCTGGCGGCGCTTCGGGGACGTACCCTTTTCCTTGCGCGCCCAGACGTCGCGCATGTCCTCGAACGCCTTGCCGACCACTGTCACATTTTTACCCGGCGCGAGTGTCAAAAACCCGTCCACCGCCGTGCGCATCTTTGGTCTCGTCCAGAAGTCCTTGGCGTTGAAGTACTCGCCGCCGCAGTCGATGCAGCGCGCGCGCCGGAGCTCGTCGACCATCCAGCGGCTCCCGGAGCGCTGCGTCGTGACGACGATGAAGTGGGAGTTGTGCTCTGGTGGTGTCGGTGGTGTCGGTGGGGCAGCCTTCTTTGGTTGGCTGTGGAGGAGCCATTGAGTGAGTGCCAGCAGCATGGCGGTGAGGACCACTGTTTTGACGGCGGAGTGCTTGTAGGCGGTGAGCAGGCGCTGACGGCGGCCCATGCGCCACTATACCTCGATGGGTGCGCGGGTGTGTCGTCCCGCGCGCGGAGCATGCGCGGTCACACGAAAATTTAATGCGGGCAGCTTCGAAAACGTTGGCCTCTTGGGACCAGTCTGGCACTCGCCGGAGGGCTCGCAAGCCCTCGACGGGCGGCCGGAACAATCACATTTTAATTCGGGTTCCGGCCGGCAGCGGCTTCGAATCGGAGCTGGCAAAGGGCTGCCCGAGCGATGCCCCGAACGACCAAGGAGGCCACCGCGACGGGCCACAAGTGCACCACGACCAGTCAAGGCAATATGGCCTCTGCCCCACCCCCGACCGAGCCCCAAAACGCATTAAAGCGCCTCACGGCGCTGCCCCACGCCGTCGCCGTGACGCGCATCTGTGCGCGCAAGGACGGCGGCGTCTATAGTACGGCGTCGGACGGCCGCGTGTGTTTGACGAATGACACGGGACGGCCGTCCCTCAAGTTCGGCGAGCGCGGTTCCATCGAGGTCGACGGCTGGCAGCATGACTTGGAGCTCGTCGAGGACCAGCTGCTGCTGGGCGCGGGCGCCCTCGCGACGAAGGCCTGGGACGCGACGACCGGCGCCCAGGTCGCGTCGCTCCAAGGGCACCAGGGCGCCACTCGATGCGTCAGCGGCTTCACCACCAATAGAGTGGCGACGGGCGGCGACGACGGCTTTTGTCGGGTGTCCGACTTATCGAGAGAAGACGCGCCCTGCGTCGCGAAGTTAGCACCGTCAGAATCAGAAGACTACGGCCTCAAGTGCGTGCTCTCGGACCAGTCGAACGTCATCACGTTAGTAGATGCCGCCGGCCGGCTGCAGCTCTGGGATAGAAGAGGAGGCACGCCCGTCGCGTTGGGAGAGCACCCCGAGATCGCGAACAGAGGCATCGCGCGGGACGGGTCCGCGATCTACTCGCTGGGAGGGAGGCGCGCGCAAGTGCTGGCCTGGGACGCGCGCAAGCCCAATCAGTCCCGAGTGGTCGGCAAGCACCAGGACGCTCCTGTTGCTCTCGCGATGTGCTCGAAAGGGGTGTTATCTGCGTCCAAAGATGGCGGCGTCGCGTTGTGGGATCCTACCTCGTGTTCACTCTTAGATGAATTGCGGGCCCCGGGCAAGAAACCCACGGCCCTGTCCGTCGTCGACGACGTCGTCTACGCCTGCGGCTCGGACCGGGTGGTGCGCGTCTGGGAGGCCGGCACGATACCGAGACCGCCGGGCCCGCGGCCGTGCTGCGACTGCGAAGGTACGGGTAGGAAGACGCTGCCGAGCGGGTCCAAGTGCATCTGCGTGGCCTGCTTCGGCTCCGGCAAGTCGCCGGTCGACGACGTCTCTTCGGACGAGGACGACGACGTGTCGACGCAAGCGCCGCCGCCGCCCGAAGTTGCCAAAGCTGTTGAAACGAAAAAGGCGCCGGCCAAGGTGCCGTCGTGGCTCACGAAACTGACGGCCGTCGGCGCCCTGAAGGCGCCGGCCAAGCCGGGCCAGCGGGGCGGGTTGGACGTGCGCTCGACGCGCTTCAAGCCCGGGACTTTGGTGGTCCTGGCGGCCTCATTACCTGACGCTGAGCCGGTCGACACTTTGAAACGGAAAGGCGGCGCGGAACCTTCGATAAGAGGCAACGAGGTCGGCGAGATCAAAGCTGATGATCGTAGTCGCGTGCCCTACGAGGTCAAGGGCCCCCGCGCGACGACGTCCTGGTTCGAGGCTGCTCAATTGGCCGCGTGCCCGCCCGAGCGCGCCGCCAAGGGCAAGGCCGCGCTCGCGGCGGCCAAGGCCCCGGCGCCGCCCAAGCCGCCGAAGGCCGTCCCGGTGAAGGCTCCGACGAGCCCGTCGGGCGCCGACGCCGCCTTCATGAACTTCCGGGGCGGACCTTCGGCGCCCGTCCCCGGTGGAACCGCCGTGGCGCCGCGCGCGCAGCCCAAAACTAAAGAGGAAAAGGCCGCGCAACGCGCCGCGGACGCGAACGTCGACGCGTCGCTGCAGCAGTACATGGCCCAGCGCGAGGCGAAGAAGGCCGCCGGTGGGGGGCGGAAGCCCGTGTCGGACCGGCTGAAGAAGCTGCGGGAGCGGGCTGGGTGAGTTAGGTGGACTAAGCTTGATACTTAAAGGAAGCCTGGCGGAATCAGCGACGGGGCCCTACACAGAGGGCATAGGACCCGCTGGCCGCGCCGCGTCGACGGCATCACGCCGTCGGCCCAAGCGTGAGACGCGAGCGAGTCCGGCCCAAGAACGCACGCGGCGTGGAACCGATGCGCGCAGCCGGGCATCCGCGGCGCGTCGCCGAGCGGTTCGAGGCAGATGGCGCACGTCGCGTCCTCCTCGTCACTACTTTCGTCGAAGAGGTCGCGCGATCCCGGCTCGGCGGGCGGCGGCGCGGGAGGTGCGGCTTGCTCCGCGGAAGCGACGGGCGGCGGCGGCACGGACGGGACCGCGGCTTGCGTCGTCGGCGCAGTTTCCCGCGGCGGCGGCGCCGGCGGCAGAACGAACTCGGGAGCCGGCTGTTGCGGAGCCGTCCTCCAAGTCCGAATTGCGGCTGCACGCATAGCAAGCTGCGCTGTAGTTGCAGTTTCCCGCGGAGGCGGCGTCGTGGGCATGCTCGCGGCCAAACCACGAGCCCGTGTGCAACCGGGAATGGGGCACGTCTCTCGGCTGCACTTCAGAGCGTGTTGCGCGACCAACTTCGCGAAGGCCTGGCACACGTCGCACCGGCACGTCCCGTTGCTCGCTCGAAAATGAACCACGTGCGCCCTCACGCTCGCGCATGGCGCCCGCGGCCGCCGAAGAGACTATGCACGCGGCGCAAAGCGTCGCGCCGCAACACGGCGCGTCGCGCGGGTCCGACTGTTCGTCGCCACATAGTTTACAGGCTGCTCGGGTCGGGGTCCACGCGGATTCGCCGTCGCCGCGTCTCGTCGTACTCTCTCTCGTCGTCGGGTCCACACACTCGAGAGCCAGGTCGAAGTCCATGGCCGCTCGCCGCTCGGCCCCGCAAATTGGACGAGCGGTCGTGGCGCCGCTCGGGCGAACTGGAAGCCTTCACTCAAAGTCGCAAAAACAGTGGCAACGCCGCGCACGCTGCGAAAAACTTAGGGTGAAAAACCCGTTTTTTTTGGAGGGGCGCGCGCGCGCGCATACGCGAAAAGGCCGGATCCTGATTGATCCTGCGACAAGACCCCGAGACAGTCCTACCCACACTTACGCGCCAAACAACTACTTCTCCGACAAAGCCCCCATCACTTTTGCGAAGCCCGACCGCGTGTCGGCCGACATTGGTCTGTTCGCGATACGGTCGCGCTCGATCTCGGCCATCACGTTCGGGTCGGGCTTGTCGGACAAGCGTGCCCAGGCATTTCCGTCCGGGAATTCCAGTATTGGCCGGCCGCCCGGTAGCAGTCTGAACCGCGCCGCGAGGCGTTTCGGCCCGCCCTTCGGCGAGAAGTCAATCACGGCGTCGAACTGAGAGATGATCTCGCCGTCCAAGACAAACTCCGAGCCGTCCGCGCTGTCCCGGCCGCGCACCTGCAGCGTGCCCGCGTAGTTGTCGGCCTTGATCGTTCGGTAGCCCTCGAGGTGCTCCGGGTCTTTGTAGAAGCCGGTGAACGGCGACACCGTCGGATTGGACGCGGAAAACACGGCGAGCGCCGCGCCCAGGTTGCCCGCCGCGTAGGCGTTCGCCGGCACGAGCGGTGCGGCAGCGATGCCGGCGAGGGCGTGCCTCCGCGAGAGTCGCAACGCGGCGACGGCGTTGCATGCCGCCAGCAGAGCGATGCGGCGCATGGTTATTGCGGCTGTGCTGCTGGCAGTGCTGAGGCTGGCTACTGGCTGCTACTGATGATGACAACTGGTCGCAGCGATCGATCGCCACTGCGGTCTCTCGCTTCAGATGTGCGGCCGTGCTCGCAAATCCTTGTGCGTCCTGCAAGGCCGTCTACAAGGCTGTCGAGTCCGTGCTGTGCTTGCTGTTAGCTAGCGGCACGTAAGACACTAGCAAGCACTCGAGCGCCCGCATGCAGCCGTCTTAGTACAGTTCAGTTCGCTAATGGTCCAAAGAGATCAATGGGGCACATACTGGGGGGCGAAAAAAATATTTTTTTTTATTCGCGATATTGACGACGCCGCCATGGCGGGCGCATCGGTGGAATCCTGTCGATGGGCGGCCCAGAAGCCTTCCGGAAGTCGTTTTGGGTCGGTACTCCACATGTGCAATCGCCTACGCCGCCTACGCCGCCGCTTCCAAATTAACATACATCTCTCAGCGCTATACCTCTATTGGCCAATGGCACCCCGTTCCCGTCAAAACCGTCAATTACCCGAGGGCCCCCAGTAGTCGCCGTAGCGGTCTCGTTGGACCCCATACTACCCCAGCGATAGTCAATTACAAGTATATGACATCTACATTATAAGAAGGGTACTTTTGGCTGCCCACGCTCGGGACGTGAACATCTTGATCTGGACCTCGCGCAAGTCAATCGATCATGGAACAAATGATCGCGTCAAGGTCCATGGGGATGGTACACGGGCTGATGGTCGCAGGTTCAGTTCTAAAGTCCGAATAATCGAGATAGTGGGGTCGGGAGACTGACGAGCCGCCGGGAGCCTTACGCGCAGTCGCTCTACCACGACGCCGCCACCACGCTCGACGACCTCCGCGAGGCCGCAACAACGCTCGAGGAAACGGAACGGACCGCGCGGCGCGTGTTTGGTGGCGCGCATCCCCTCACAAAGAACATCGAGGGGTCCCTGCAAAACGCGCGAGCCGCGCTCTGCGCCCGCGAGACGCCGTCGACGAGCTAGTCTAGATAAACATGGCAAGAACTAATTAGACAAAGACCCATACCTTAGGAAGCCGCCGCGACCTCGATCATCTCCTGCAGCTCCCCGGCCTGGTACATCTCCAGCATGATGTCGGACCCGCCCACGAACTCGCCGTCCACATAAAGCTGCGGGATCGTCGGCCAGTCCGAGTAGACCTTGATCTGCTGGCGGATGAAGTCGTCGCTCAAAACGTCGCACGTTTCAAAATCGGCGCCGATCGCGTTGAGGATCTGCACGGCCATATTGCTAAAACCGCACTGGGGGAAGATCTTCGTGCCCTTCATGAAGAGCATGACCTGCGCGGGGCGCGTCGATGGCGTGTTTGGGGGGCGTGCGTCGCCTCGGACGCCGTTTTTAGCACCTTATTATCCTTGACGAAGGAGTCGATCTTTGCGTCGGCGGCGTCCTCGGGCGCGCCGCGGACCGCGACCGGCCGCCGCGCGGCGAGCGGTGCCACCTGTGTGCGAAATCGTCACTTCGCGTCGACGGCGTGGAGTCCTGCGGCTTGAATTCGCGCGCGGGTGCCCACGAATGCATTGGCCGCAGCCACCAAGGCAGCAACTCGGAGCACACGCATTTCTATCGTAAGCAGCGAAGTTGTTCTGCGGCGGCGTGTGTCAAGTGCAGTTTAAAGCAGCTCGCAGCCACGTATAAAGCTCAGAGCCGGCCGCGCAAGCGAGTTTGATGTTGGGAGAGGAAAGCGCAGCTAGCGTCGAAAGGCACTAGGAAGCAAAGGGCTGAAAAAGAGCGCTACTACCTCGGCTGCTCCGAGCCTATCGGTGCTGAACGTTTCACAACGCGGCCTTACTGACTGCGCCTTGAGCCTGAGCAAAAAAACAGCGGTCTCTGAGACCCGGCAGGCGCTTCACACACCCATCCTTTGCCAGCGGCGATTTTTGAGGGTTAATAGCCAGTTTCTGGGAGGAAGTGAATCCCCGAGCGCCAACTGGCGATTTTTGCAGCCATGGCCCAGCAACCCACCTCCCAGTCCCTTGCGCGCGACGCCTGCATCGTCGCCGCGGCGAGGATAGCTAGAGAGAGAGGCTTCGCCGCGGCCGACGAGGGCGCCCTCGAAGCGCTCGCGGACGTCGTGCGGGCCTCGGTGCGCGCGCTGGCGCGGCGCGCCGCGGCGAACGCGCGGCACGCGACGCGGTCGGAGCTCGCTTTAAATGATGTGCTGTCGGCTTTGAAGCAAAGTCCCGCGAACCGAGTCGCGTGGCAAGAATTACGGGACTTCTTCTTTCCGCGGGAGGGCCACGGCTGGCGCCTTCCCGCCCAGCCGGGGTCCACGCTGCCGGCGCCGAAGCGCTCGAGCCGCTACGGCGTCCTCGGCGCCGGCGCGACGACGACGCGGCGCGCGCACGTGCCCGCGTTCCTCCCGCCCTTCCCGGAGAAGGTGCTCGCCGCGGACGCGCCCCCCAAAAAACGGAAGCGCGGCGCCGAGGACGACGCGCGCGACGCGGAGGCGCTCCAGCTCGCGCTGAACCGCATCGCGAGCCCGCCGCCGCGCGAGGACGGCGGCGCCTTGCCGCTCCAGGAGCGCCTCGACCGGGCGAAGGCGAGCGCGTAAGTTGTAGTGCCGCGTCGATGGCGTGCCGAGGGGTAGCCCTAGAGTACGACTACACGCACGGGGCGAACGGAGAAAATACTAACGAGTCACATTTAGCGGCACGCCCGGCAGCCCCAGTAAACACCGCGCGTCGCGCACGTGCGGCCACCAGAGCTGCGGGTAGAGGCCGTCCGCGAGCCACGGCTTCCTCGGCCCCGACCAGTGCCAGACGAAGGCGCCGTCCCTCAGACACGTCTCCTCCAAATCCGTGGGCTTCTTCCAGCCGAGGCCGTCGCAGTTCCATCTCTGATCAAGCGCCTCGAAGCGGCCGTGCGCCAATAATACGAGCGGCGGGTTCGACCCGAGGCGCCAGAGCTTCTTCCTCGCATGGGCGCGCGTCATTTCGATGAATTTGTCGCCGAGTTTCAAGGCGCGCCACTGTTTAAGATCGATAAGAACTACTCCGGCGTTGAACGTCTTCAGCGCGGACGCGTCGGCGAACGTTCCCAGATCGTTGTTATCACAAAAGAACATGCCCGGCCGCTGGTCCTTGGCGTCGTAGCAGGCCTTTTGATTGCGCGGCACGCCGGCGACGACGGCCTCCGGCTTCGAGTCGTACAAGGTAGCAATATCTCTCACGACGATCGCATCCGCGTCGAGGTAGACGACGCGGTCCGCGCCCGGCAGCAACTCATCCAGGAAGAAGCGCGCGAAGTTCGCGACGCTCCTTAAATTGCCGTAGCCCGGGCCCCGCGGCGCGCGCACCTCGACGCTCCTCAAAAATTGCCGCGCGTCGAACTCGACGACGGCCACGTGGCCCCGTACTCGGCACTTCAGCGCGCGCTTCAGGGCCATGGCGTCGCGCGCGCCTCTACTTGGTATGATTGCCGAGACGCGGAGCCGGTAGGGGTCCCTGGCTGCCGCGAAGACGGACCCGATACAGGCTATCAGTCCGACGTAGTGCGCCCGGTCCGCCGCGACGGCGACGTGCACGCTTTCGGAATGCTTCTTCGGGCCTGCCCGAAAGGTCTGGAGCCCCGTCTCCTTGAGCTCGGTGCGGGGCCACGGGTAGGCGCCGTCGATCGACGACGGCGGCTGTTGTGTGCGCTGTACCGCATCCACGGCTAACCAGGGGAAGAACTCCGGGTCGTCGTCGCGCGCGTAGCAGGCGGCGTCCTTGCGCCGGCTGCACCGCCGTCGGCTCGCGAGCACGCCGGACACGGGGCAGCAGACGAGGCCGCCCGGCGGCCGTGCTCTACATTTGTCGTCCTCGACGCACGCGCCGCATTGCGCCGGGCAGCAGATGCGGTACGGGCCGTGGGCTGCCGATACGCCGCCGAGGCAGAAGCGGTCCTGCTGGTTTGCTGCGGCGGCTGCCGCGAGCAGCAGTGATCTTAGTGGTGGCATTTTATGCTCTGTCCGTCATCGGCGCGCATTCATGCGCCCCGCGACGGCGTGGGGGCAGCGCTGCGTCCCCTTGGGCCATCTCTTTGCTTGCCATGCCATGCTTGTAATTTTGTTGAGTGCTCCCCACAGAAGGGCGTCGGAGGACCGATCCTCAGGCTCGTTAGTCATCCCTAGGCGAAGGGGATGATCACGACGATTCCTTTCAATTCGGATTTAATTCGGGTCCCAGGAAAAAGTCTGAGCTGTGGGCAGCTTGGACAGCGTTGTACGCGCGGACGCGATACCGGAAGCCTGCACATACCGGAAGCCTGCACTAGTGGATCAGCATGCTGCGAGCTGGGGCTGCCCTATTGCTCTTCCGCAGCGCTCTCGCGACCAACTCGACTTGCGGTGTGGGCTATGAACCGGTCGGGACGAAGTGCCTCCAACTAACAGGGTCCGGCTACACCTTCGACGAGTGCGCAACGACGGAGTGCCCGAAGCGCGGCGGCCACATCATCGCGGCCATCGCATCGCAGGAGGAGTTCGACGCCGTCTACGACGCAGTCACGGGTGGCGGGCTCCAGGGAGGCTGGCCGGGAGGCTGCGCGTTCGTAGGCTTGCATCGCTGCAACGCGCAGGAAACGTGGCGATGGACCACGGGCGACGCGGGCACGGACGCGCCATGGGGCGACGGCGAGCCGAACGACTGGGCCGGGTCGGAGGACTGCGGGATGGTCTGTGACCACATCGACGGCGGCCTCAACGACGGCCCCTGCCACAACACCATCCATTGCATCTGCGAGGAGGGAACGGAAGAGTTAGTACGCTACGACGAGGGCCAGTGTCCGGAGCCCGATTGGGCGGGGTGGTATACGCTCGCGTTTCTCCTCGGCTTTTTCTTTTGGCTTTGTGCGATCTACGGCTGCGCGGGCCTCCCGCAGATGTGTTCCAACTACAAGGCGTTCGCCAACGGCGCGTGCTTTGGTATTGTACTCTTCTGCATCCTGCTCACTGCACTCTGGACACATATTGTGGCCGCCTGCTACGGTATGAACGCCGGTATTTATGTTTCCGCGCACATCGGGGCGGCTGTTGGCTTTCTCGCGGCGCTCGCGCTCGCCGCGTACACGCGCCATCGGATGGCTCTCGACAACGACGAATATTCACCAAACACGCCGGCGCTGGAGATGGTTCCCGTCGTGCCTACGCAGCAACAGATCGTGCAGATCCAGGTCCCGCCCAACTCGTGTCCTGGCATGCACGTCCAGGTCCGGATCCTCGACGGCCGCATAGTCAACGTGCCGATTCCGGCAGGGGCCATGCCCGGCCAGATCATATCCGTGGCAGTACCGGCGCCGGCGCCGACTTCCGTCAGCAGCGAGGCCATTCCGGTCGCGGAGGCGTACCATGCGGAGCGCGTGAACGGGGCGCCGCTGGGCGAGGAAAACTGCGTCATCTGCCAGGATGCGATCCGGGGCGGCCACGAGCGGCTACCCTGCTCGCACGTGTTCCATCGCGCGTGCCTCGAGCGGTGGCTCCGAGACCGGGAGCACCGGTTCTGCCCTATTTGTAAAAGACCCGTGTAAAAGTTAACAACAAACATGACATGACTCAGTAGTGAAGCACGGACCCGTCAAAGTCGACGCGCTCCAGCCACAGCCCGCGCGCCGGCGCGACGAAAGCGCGAGAAGAAACCTCCGGCCGCGGCGTCGCCGGGTCGCGGAGCGCGTCTGCCACGACGCTCTCGGCTAGGTCGCCGCGCCCGACGCGCACGAGCGCCCCGACCATGCGCCGGACCTGGTGCTTGAGGAAGCCCTCACCTTCAAATCCCACCCGCACGAGCGGGCCCTGGACGTGGCCGACGAACGCCAGCTCTACGTGCTCGAGTTCCTCCACGACAACGGCGCGGATGGTTCGCACCGTGGTGCCGCTCGCTTTACCGCCGGCAGAGAACACTTTGAAATCGTGCTCGCCGACGAAGCGCTGCGCACAGGCCCGCATTTTAGCAAGATCGAGGCCCTCGACGCGCCAGGCCACGTCGTCTCCTGCGGCGTCCCCGAGCGCCAGGTAGTAGGAATAGGTCTTTTGGCGCACCGATGTCGTCGCGTGGAACGTCGCAGGAGCCTCTCGCGCCGACAGCACTAGCACGTCTTTTGGTAGTGTTACGTTCAGCGCTGCGACGAGCGCCTCGTGATCGTGGGACCGCTCCGTGCGCACGGAAATGAGCTGATGTTTTGCGTGTACGCCTTTATCCGTCCTTCCCGCAACCACAGGGCCGTACGTTTCGCCCGTGCATTTGTGCAGTGCCGCGGCGACCACGTCGTAGACGCTCGACTGGTTCGGTTGCGGCTGCCAGCCGTCGTACGCGCTGCCGAGGTATTGCAGCTCTATCACTAGTTTCTTTCGGCCGCTTTTTGTCATCTATAATTCGTCACGTCCGCTACATGTTGATCACATCTATCAATTCTCCATTTCTGCGCCGCAGTTGACTGCCCTAGCGGCCGTCTAACCACGATTTTTAGCGGCTGCCCATGCTTGCTAGTGTCTTACCGCACGCTAGCTCGTGTTTGCGCGCGCTACCCATTTACGGGCAAACTGGACAAACGAGTTGTCTCTGGTACCGCATCAGTTCCGTGACAGCGCGCTGGAAGCGTGGGGGCATCGGTGCGCCGTGGGTTTTTGATTATTGCTCTCACAGCTGAGTGGCGCGCTCAAACGCCAAACAAAGGCAGCGCGCTGTAGCGTGGAGCATAGTTCGTCGTGGGAGCTTTTTTTGAATATTGCTCTCACAGCTGAGGAATTACGCGCTCAAAGGCGAACAAAAAAATGGCCGTCCAAGGCGTCACGCGCTTGCAAGCGAAAATTCGAAGCAAGCAGCAACGAAACGAATTAATAGCGGGCGCGCGTGACGACTTCCTAGCCATCTGTCGCCGGCTCGACGAGGGCGCGCCGCCCGAGATCGCCGCGCGGCCCCGCTGGCCCGGCCCGGGCCTCTGCGCGCCGACGTTCGCGCCGCTGGTGCCGCCACAACAAATCATGTGGTCGCCACCGCCGTCGCCGGACCGCCCGCTGGCGGCGCCGCGGTCGCCGGCGCGGCCGCCACGCCTCCCGACGCCGCCCGCGTCGCCGGCGCGGATGATGCCGACGCCGCCCGCGTCGCCGGCGCGGCCGCCGCACTACGTGTCGTCGCCCGAGTCGCCGGCCTCGTCGCTGGACGCGGCGCCCGCGCGGCGCGCGCCGCCGCCGCTGCCGCCCCTATCACCAGCCTCGCCTTCCGAACAGCTCGAGGCGGCCGTGTCCGAGGACGAGCTCCGGCGCGAGCTCGCCTGGGCGACGGCCGCGCTCCGGAGCCGGCTGGACTACCTCGAGGCCCGGGGAAAATCTTAAGTCGCGAATTGGCCTAGCGCTGCGCCGACGGCATGTCGTACTGGCCCCGCTTGCGGTAGTGGTCGTGCGTCGCGGCGCCCTTCCAGCCGGAGCTCGTCTCGAGGCGCTTGCGGAGCCGGTCGCCCTTCGACGGGAGCAATTCCTTGTGCAGGTTTGGCAGGACGCCCCCCGCCGCGATGGTGACACCGCCAAGCAATTTGTTCAGCTCCTCGTCGTTGCGCACGGCGAGCTGGACGTGGCGCGGCATCTGCGCGGCGACGGACCGGTGAGGCGTCGCGTCGATGGCGTGAAGGGGTCTCGACGATTCGAAGGTTACCGGACGCAGCGGTGAACAATAGTTTTCTTCTTGTTGTCGCGCGCCGCGTTGCCCGCCAGCTCCAAGACCTCGGCGCAGAGGTACTCGAGGACCGCGCCCATGTAGACGCCGGCGCCGGGGCTCACCCTGGCGGCGTACTTGCCCTTGCGCATGTACCGGTTCAGGCGCGCCGTCGGGAACTGGAGGCCCGCCTTCTTCGACATGGACGAGAGCTTGCCGGCGGCCTTGCCCTTGCCCCGGCCGCCCTTCCCCTTGCCGGACATGGTGCTTGTGTACTGGTTGCTTGGGTACCGATTTGCGACGACGACGGCAGCTTACTGTTCCGAGCTGGGGCGCGTCGCCGGCGTGGGGGGCAGCCCAAACTGTTCCAATCCAAGTGTTGCAATCTCCTTGCGAAAGAGAGCGTTCCCTAGTGGGGTGTTTTTGCATCGCTCTAATGCTCAATTAGGCGTCGTCGTTACGCGTTTCTATACGGAGAAGGAGTCGTAGGTGACTTAGGGGCTAGCGCTAACACACTAGCAAGCAGGCAAGCCAATAATTGAAGGCCAAACGCACGCGTGGCTTGTTACGGCAGCTCTCGTTGCTCAGCGCATCGCTGCGATCTATTCTCTAAGCGCTGCATCGCAGCCGCTGCGAAACGCACTCTCGCGCCTCCAAATTCATTGCCTGAGGCGACCCGTCGGCGGCGTCGGCTGCGGAGACCGACGGGTGTCTGTGGAGTCCAGGAGTCCAGCTGCAAGAGCAGCAGCGGCTCTGAACCGCACTAGCTAAAAATTGCGGCCGAGCGCAGCCTTAGCAAGTCGCCGGTGCCACCACCGCCGGACGACGACGAGCCCAAGCCTCTATCGCGCATGGCGACGCGCTGCCTGCGGTATGGCTCGCTCGCGTTTTTGGTGGCGCAGGACACGGCGCTGGTGCTGCTGATGCGGTATAGTAGGAGCCACGCGACGGGCGAGATGTATTTGGCGTCGACGGCGGTCTGCTGCATGGAGGTGCTCAAATTGTGCGTCTGCGTCGGGATGTTGTACGCCGGGGAAGCGCGAGGCTCAATCAGTGGATTGGTCAATGTGTTTCGGCGGGAGTTCCTCGAGAAGCCTAGTGAGGTGCTGCGATTGGCGGTGCCGTCTTTTCTCTACCTACTCCAGAACAATTTGTTATATTTTGCTCTATCTAACTTACGAGCCACACCTTATAAAGTAACGTACAACCTCAAAATATTGACGAGCGCATTATTCTCCGTGACCATGCTCGGCCAGAAACTGTCCAAGAGAAAGTGGCTCTCGTTGATAGCGTTATTTGTGGGCGTCACAGTGGTACAAAGTGACAACCACAAGTCCGACAGCGACGCGCCGCACCCCGAGACGGGGCTGGGCTACCAAACTTTGGGTTTTCTCGCAGTTGTGGCCGCGGCCTTCACGTCGGGCTTCTGCGGCGTCTACCAGCAGAAGATCCTCCAGGCGGGAAAGACGAACATGTGGGTCCGCAACGCGCAGATGGGCCTGACCAGTGTGTGCCTTGGTGTTGTTTCGACCATAGTGAAGGACCGACAAGCTATACAGGAGCGGGGCTTCTTCCAGGGCTATACTCGTTTGGTTTGGACGGTCATAATAATTCAAGCGGTGGGCGGTTTGAACGTCGCCTTCATCCTGAAATACGCGGACAACATCCTCAAGGGCTTCGCCGCGGCCTTCTCGACGGTCGCGTCGTGCGTGCTCGAGATGGCGATCATGCACTTCCGGCCGACCGCCACCTTTCTGTTAGGAGGGGCTTTGATCAACGTCGCGGCCTACTGCTACAACACGCCGGGGCGGAAGGATGGCAACAAGCTGCCGAGGTAGTAGTTAACCACGTTCTATTCGTATCACAACTTAAACATCCCGAACATTTTGATTTGCGCCGCTGCGGCGCCGGCGATCGCTCCGCCGTAGCGGTCGCGCCAGGCGTCCGGGACCGGCGCGGCGACGGCGATGGGTGGCTTGTCCGCTATAGGGTGCGGGCACTCGAGCGTCGAGGCGTGCAGCCCGATGAAGGGCACGACGCCCGTCGTTTTGGAGGAGCCGTACTTCACGTCGTCGCAGATGGGCGTGCCGGCGTGGCTCAGCGCCGCGCGGATCTGGTGCCGCCGGCCGCCGTGCGGCAGCGACACCTCGAGGAGCGTTTTACCATCAGCCTGGGCCACGACGTCGTAGCTCGTCGCGGCCAGCTTCCAGCCCGTCGGCACTTCGAAGCTCGACCAATCACTAGGCTCCTCATCGAGCACGGCGAGCGACCGGCACGCCGTCGGCTTCGCAGCGCCGCCGGACGGCGACCGCATCGCGTCGACGAGGACGGCGCTGGGACGCCGGGGCACGCCGTCGACGACGGCGAGGTAGCGCTTGTCGACGCGGCCGTCGGCGAACGCCTTCGTCAAGCGCGTCGCAGCTTTACTCGAGGCCGCCACCAGCATGCAGCCGGACACGGGCCGGTCGAGCCGGTGCGCCGGGTTCGCGTACTGCGTGCCGCGGCCCTCCGCGAGAAACGCCTTGGCGTAGTCCGCGACGCACGGGTCGCCGGTGCGGTCGCCCTGGGACAGCACGCCCGCCGGCTTGTCGAACGCGAGGACGTGGTTGTCCTCGTACAACACGCGGCGGCGGAAGACCTTGGCGAGGTCCGCTTGCGTTGTTGTCGAGAGGGCGCGTGCGGTTGCTGCGGCGACGAGGAGGGTGCGGCGGGCTGCGTTTTGCATCATCCCACCGCAGCTGAGCAGCATGCAAGTCCTTGCACGCAGCCGTACGAATGGATGTCGCGTTGCGAAGCGTTCCGCACGTGTGTAGGCAACCTATTACACTGCCTTCCAGGTGCGCAACGCACTCGTGTGTCGCCACCTGCCCAAAAAACTGTAAAAAGCGGTCGACAAAACCCGTGCAGCTACGCCTCGGACGCGACGCGACCGGATCACGCGACCGGATAAACCCTCGACGCCTCGCCGCCGCGACCGCATAAAATCTACTTAGCCTCGACCTTCTCCTTCTCCGGAGCACCCATGGAGTCCAGCGCCGCGAACATGGCCGCCGCGCCGGCGCCCGCCCCCAGCAAATCCAGCTGCGCCAACCCGACAGTGTTGCACAGGAGCAAACCGCACAGGCCGCCGGCGACGGCCGCGGCCGTCGGGTCGATCTTCGTCGCCGTGCCGGACGCCTCGTTTTTTAGGCGCTCGACTTCGGCCTCGGCGCGTCTCACAGACGAATCGGCGATGTTCTTCGCCTGCGCGATGGCCGCGTCGCGCCGCTGCTCCGCGGCCTTCTGGGCTCGTTCCGCCCGATTCTTCTCCGTCTCCGCCGCCGCGAGCAAAGCGCGGTTCTCCTCGACGGCCTTCTTGACGTCCGCTTCCCGCTGCTCGATGAGTTTGGCGGTGCGCTCGAACGCCGCCGCTTCCCTCACCTTGCAGGCGGCGATCTGTTCTTCCGCCTCGGCCTCGCCTTCTACTTTCGCCCTCTCGAGTTCGGCGGCCGGCGGCGGGCCTCTCAAAGTAGAAGCCGCCTCCTTGGCCGCCTCCGTGGCCTTGATGGCTCTTTCTTCCCGCTGGACGGCGGCCTTCTCGGCGCGTTCCGCATTATTGACAGCTTGGGCATATTGTTTCTGCGCCTTTTGCGCGTCGGCCACGGCAGCATCCACAGTAGCAGCCATCTTCCGCATCTCCTCCTTCAGGGCCTTGGCGGCTTCCGAATTTACCGAAGCGCCTCCAAAAAAGTCAAATAAAGACGGGCTGTCCGCGACGACGTCCTCGGCGACGGCCTCGTCCTTGACGGCGTCGGCCCAGGCGGGCTTCTCGGCCTGCAGCCGCGTGCGTGGCCGACTCCGCGTGAGAGCGAGGCCCTGGGCCGCGGCGGCCAGCGTGAGGGTCCTCAGGATCATGGTTTGTGCTGCTGGTTTGGCGGGCTTGCTGTATTGAGTGCTTTTTGGCGCCTCGGCGGCGCTAGTTTCTGCAGAGGCAAGGGCTGGCGGCAACCGAGGCTCGAGTGGACGAGATCTGGCAGCAGGGCTTCGCTAGGTTGCTCTGGTACCGGTAGATTTACTCTCACGATCTTGTAAGTTAGCTAGCGGCACAAGGACACTAGGGAAGCTCTGCCACAAGCTCTGCGGCCGTCTATGCGTCATTCACGACTCCCGTGTAAGCTCTCGAGACTGTATTTTAAATTCTAACTCGTTGTGAAACGATGGCCGATCAGCCAGCACCACCCCTGCCGCCACGGACAAATAGCAGCACTGCCACGCCGCCACCGCCACCTGAAACCGAGCCGTGGGACGCCGAGGCAGCCACGGCTCTGCTCTGCCTAGCGGCGTGCAGCTTGCGCGACGACGGCGAGCAAGACGCGTTCAACGCCGCATACATCAATGCGGCCGCCGCAGCGGTCGGCGTTGGCGCGGTGCCGCCGAGCCTCGAGCACTCGTCGTGGGCCGCCGCGCTCAAGCCGCTCGCGCGCTCGGATGCGCGCAAGGCGAGAGACGAGCTCGCCGCTATCCTCCGGGCGCGCGCCGACGGCGTGACGCTGCGGCGCAAGGTGCTGGAGGGTCTACTCGCGGCACCGCTCGTGCACGCCAAAGGCGCCTACGACGCGCGCGCGAGGCGCTGCGTGGCGCGCGTCGCCGCGGCGCTAGACTACGACAAGGGCTGGCTGCGCCAGAGCGAGCGGGCCGTGGCCGTCGCGCTGCGGAGCGCCGCGGGCCCGGCGCCGGCCGTGGAGCGCCGCGAGTCGAACGCCGCGGCGGCCCTGCGCTACGCGGCCATTGGCGCCGCCGCCACCGCGACCGGAGTGGCCGTCGCCGTGACGGCCGGCGTCGCGGCTCCCGCGTTAGCTGTGGCACTAGGCGGCTCGACGGTCTGGGGCGCGTCGTCGGTCGCCACATTTGCGACTACTTACTCGCTCTTCTTCGCCGCTGGTTTCGGCGCTGCCGGCGCCGGGCTCGCTGGCTACCGGACGTCGCGCCGCGTCGCCGGCCTCACGGACTTCGAAATTGTTCGCGGCTGTGTAGAAATCAAATGTCGCGGCGCTTCTCACGTCATCGACGCGACGCACACAGGTTCGCGGCATCGCCCCGAAACCCGAAGCGAGCGGACTTACAGTGGCCGTCTGCGTCGCGGGGAGCATGCGAGACCCGACGGACTACGCGGCCGCCTACGGCGCCGACCCGCCCGCGGACGCGCCCCTCAAGCGGAAGCTCCGCCGCCTGCTGCAGCAGAAGGAGGGTTTGTCCGCGGTGGAGGCGCGGGACCGGGCCCGGAGCGTTCTCCTGGCCGCGAAGACGGGCCGGACCGAGTCGTTCGTGGCCACCCGTCGGCCGTCGCAGCTCGAGCGGCTGCGAGGCAAGGTCGTCAAAAAGAGCGAAGAAACTTTGGAGGAGCGGTGCCGCGCGCTCCTCGGTCTCGCGCCAGATGCGCCGCTGGACGCGGCGGCACCACCGGAGGCGCTGACGCCGGGGCTCGACGAGACCGTCGCGCGCGAGGCCGCGGACGCGCTCGAAGCCGCCGTCGCGAGAGCCAGCGCGCCCGACAGTGGTCCATCGGTGCGGGGCGACGCTTCAAACATTGTGCGCCGCGCGCTTTCACTTCGAGCGGACGAGGCGGTCGACGTCGTCGATTTGACGTCTCGGGCGCTGGGCGACGGCGACGAGGAGGCCGCTCGAAGGCGGAACGCGGCCGACGCCGAAAGATTGGCCGGCGCCGGCTTGGACGACGACGAGACCGACGACGCCGAGGAGCTGGCGCCGGAGTCGCCGACGACGATCAAGGAGGACGATGATAGTAATGACGTCGAGCTGTGGTGGTGGCCCCAGGCGTGGGCCGGCGGCGCGCCGGAGCTGAATCTGCTGATCTGGGAGCGGGCGATCCTCGTCGAGATCACGGCGTCGATGGCGGCGCTCGCGACGAGCCTCGCGCAGAGCGCCGGCCAGGACGCCATCCTGTACGCGGGGGCGGCGACGACGGTCGGCCTCATCCTCACGAGTCTGTTGCTGCCGATTACGTTGTTGCAGGCGACGAAGTACATCGATGGCACGTGGACGCTCGCGGTGACGAGGGCGGATGCCGCCGGCGTCGCGCTGGCGGACGCGCTGTGCGCGCGGTCCGCCATCGGCGAACGGCCCGTGACGTTGGTCGGCTACTCGCTGGGCGCGCGCGTCGTTTTTAGTTGTCTGGAAGAACTCGCTAGAAGGCACGCGCGGGCGCAGAAGCGGTGCCGGCGGCGCGAGCAGAGGCGAGCGAGAGCTGCGTCGGTCGTGGGCGTCGGGGCGCACGCGGGCGGCGCGGACCCGTCGTCGGACGTGGGTGTTCTGTCGGACGAGGAGGACGTCGACGACGACGAGCGCCTGCACGGCACGCTCACGATCGCGCCGCTCGACGGCGTGCACTGGATTGACGCGGCCGGCGGCCGGCGGCTCCGGCTCGCCGTGCGCGCGGGCGCCGGCGCCGGCTACACCGTCGGTTCGAACGCCAAGGTCTCGTCGCGCGCGCGGCGCCTCTTCGGGAGCGCGTCTGAAAACGACGAGCCCGACGCGCTGCTGGCCGGAACTCGCGACTTGCGGGCGGCCCCGGGGGAACCCCTCGCGTGGTCCGGTCCCGACAACATCTCCGCGTCCGTCGAGATCGACTGCGCGGCGCGCGACGCCGTGGTCGACATCGCGCTCGTGGCGTCCTCGTCGAGCTACGAGACGACGGCGTCGCACGAGGTCCTGGCGGCGAACCGCTTCCCGCGCGGTCTCGGCGCCGGAAAACCGCGCACATGCCATCGACGTGACCCGTCACGTAACGCAGGTCATGGGCGCGCAAGCAGGCGGCGCGCGATGATCCAACCAAGCCCGTCATCCGCCTCGCGGCGTTGGCTGATGCCTCTGGCGTGCGGTTCCGGGTCTGAACTCGGCCTCCACGCCATCGATGCGACATCGTCCCGGTCGTCGAGTCTCGATTGCATCGGCCTCCACGCCATCGATGCGACTGCGCCTCCGCTCGCAGGTCTCGGCGACGGCGCGCGTCGAGGTTAGTTGGCAGGACGCCGAGGCGCACGAAGCGCTGGATCGTAATCGCGACTCGTTTCGCGGCATCGTCGAGCACGCCGTTTTATTGGGCGCGCCGTTGCGCGGCACGGGCGGCTCGACCACGGAGCGCTGGCGCGCCGCGTCGGGCGTCGTGGCGGGCCGGCTCGTCAATTGCTACTCGCCGAACGACCTGATGCTCGCCGTGTTGTTTCGGATGCAGTCGTGGGCGGCGCGCGTGGCAGGCTTGGCGCCGCTTTCGCTGCCCGGGCTGGCGGTGGACGTTGACGTGTCAGACTTGATCGGCGCCCACGCCGACTACGGCTTGAAGATCCGGGAGATCCTGGAGCGCGTCGATCTGGAGGACGCGGCGCGGGACGACGACGTGTTCCTCGCATCGGCCGACGACGTTGCCGCGGAGTCGTCGTCGTTGGGGGTGTCCGTGGTGTGAGTATAATTGCCTTTTTGTGTGAACGTAGTTCTCAAGACAGCTCTCGACTTGTTGTACGGTGCTAGGACTGACTAGCGGCTCTCGACTGCGCTTCTAGTGTGTCTAGACTAGGTGATTATGCCGAGTCGTTCTCGCAAATTGCCTCGTGTTGCGAGCGTATTAGCTCGCGCGGACAGCTAGGTTGTGCACGCGTGAGGTCCCAGCCTCGCTGATACTTTGCTACGCCGCGCGCTGCGCTGGAGAATCGCTTGCGAGGACGTTAGATCGATTACCTTCCGAGGCTGCGCGCAGCCTCTTTGCCGGGCGCGCGGCGAGCTACGACTGCCTAGCGCCACCAGAAGGAAGTATGCCCAAGTCTCTCGGCTCGGCGCGCAAGGCGCGGAAGGCCCGCCGCGGCTTTCCCTTCCGCTCGATCATGAACGCGGCCGAAGCCGTCTGTGCGTGCGACGCCTGCCGCGGGCGGTTGACGACGGTTCGCCTGGAGACGCGTGGCGGGCGCGCGTCGCCGTCATCCATTGCCACGACGGCTCTGTCGCCGGCGGTGCATGGCCCCGTGCGCATCGTGGTCGTCATCAACGACGAGGGCGTCGAACAAGCTTTTGGCCTGAGGAACTTTCGGATCTCAGGCCTTTCGCCGACGGACGGCTACGCCACGGAAGACGACCTCTCCTGCGCGATCCTCTCGGCGCTCTCGCGCCCGCTCCCCGCGCCGGCCATCAACGCGTTCCTCCGCCTCCCGGCGCCGACGCGCGCCGAGTTCCTCGAAGGGCGCGGCCTCGACGAAGACCTGGCGCTGGACGAGCTCTGCCAGCTCGGTCTCAAGGACCTGCTGCCGCCCACGCGCGAGGCGCGCGTCGAGAGTTTTGAAGATGATTGCCTGTTCATGACGATCGCGTACCTGTGAATCAGTGTAAGAATGACAAGAAGAGTGATTAGACGCGTCCGTTTCCCGGCCCGGTTTCACTTTGCTCTGCCTCAGTGGGCATTGTCATCGGTCTATTGCTCGTGCTGCCGCGAGGCGATAGTCGCAAGCTGCGAGGAAGGCTGCAGGCGCATCTCTGACACCACATTTCAATAACGAGAAAGCTTGGTTATCGCTGCGCGCTCTGGCAGCGAACAGACTGACAAAGCACATTCCCCTGCAAGGAGCAACTAGTTCGCCTACGCGACGACAAGCGCTCGAATGGGCAACATGGTCGAGTCCTCCGACAAGGTGGCCGACGAAACCACAACAAAAAAGCAGCCGACGGCGCTCCAGCGCGCCGCGGCGGCCGTCGACCACGGCATCGCCGCGGGCACCGCGAAAGTAGCCACCTGGGTCTCGACGAAGCCCTGGACGACGATAGCGTTAGCGTTGTTTATCAGTGCTCTATGCACGCTCGGCTTCATGAACATCAAGTCTGAGGACCAGCCCGACAAATTGTTTGTGCCGGACAACAGCCGCGCGTTCAGGGATCGGCGCTGGGTCGAATCGCGCTTCCCGAACGACGCTAGTGTGAGCACGATGATCCTCGACCACAAGAACGGCCGTAATTTGCTCGACAAAGAAGCTCTCTTGGAGGTGTTCGACGTCTACGACCGCGTCCTGGCGACGTCGTCGGACGGCGGGAACCGCGGCTACGATGAAAGGAGTTGCGCGGTCAACACGCGGAACCCGGCGCAGCCTTGTGCGATGCGGCGTCCGTGAGTGTTATCGCGTCGACGGCGTCGCGCCGATGGCGTCGAGGCGCCCCACGCCATCGACGCGAGGGTGACGAGAGACACAGACACAGAGAGAAGCGCCGCCTCGATGGCGTGGAGGTGGACGTATAAAGCCTCCGTAGCGTCGATGGCGTCGAGAGGGCCGATGGAGTCGGAGAGACACACGCAGAGACAAGACACAAAAAAACCACACAGGCCAGAAGTCCGGCATCTTGGCGTTTTGGGGCTGGGACCGCGCGACGCTCGAAGCGGATACTGACATAATAGCTACGATCAACCGAGACGACGTGCCCGACTGCTGCAGCGGAGCAGGACCGTTCGTCGTGCTCGGCCAGAACGCCGGGAAGATTTCGAGGGATGACGCTGGATTAGTTACTAGTATAGGCACGCTCCAGTTGAATTTCTACCTGAATGCAAAAACGAAAAAGGGCGGCAGAGACAAGAAGAATCGAGAATTGGAGAAGGAGTTCGACAAGATCCGAGACAAGGGCTCCTACGACTACCTCGACAAGCCGCTCAAGCCCCTTACTTCTTTTGCTCAGTCCGAGAACGTGGGAGGTGGCTTTGATTACGACCAGGCCCTGATCAATGGCGCGTCGATCCTCATCTTCTTATATGCCTTCTGGGCCATGCACCAGCGCAAGGATCCGTATGCGTCGCGAGGGTGGCTCGGTGTTGCGGCCGCGTGTGTCGTACTCGTGGCGGTAGCTGCGGGTTTCGGTCTAGCTATAGCGGGCGGCACGGTTTTTTCTGCGACCGCATCGATAGCTATCTTCCTGATTTTGGGGATTGGCTTGGATGATGCGTTTGTCATTGTCGGCGCGGAATTAGTTCACAGAGGCGACTTCTCAGAAGACGCCAAAAGAGTAAAAGACGGCGCGGACGTGTATGAAATAGCCTCTCGTAGAGTGGTACGGGCCATGGCCGCGGCGGGTCCTAGTATCTTCGTTACTTCTATCACGGACGCTGTCGCGTTCTATGCCGGCGCGATCACTACGATACCAGCTATTCGCGCGTTCTGCATTTTTTGTGGAACTTGCGTGTTGACGGACTACTTGTTGCAGACCACCTTGTTTGTAGCTATACTTACCTTAGATATGCGGATGAAGCTCAGACGCGGTGCTCGCGAACTCAACGAAGAAGCGCAAATGAGGTGTTGCAAGCCCTGCGTGAAGAACGCCTTAAGTGATCCGAAGATCAACGGTTCTAGACCTACCTCCTTCTTTGGGGGTCGATACGCGTCTATCCTACTCAGCAAGGCGGGCATGGCCTTCGTATTGCTATCCACCGCAGCCTTAGTTTGTGTAGCAGCGGTAGGCGCTTTTCGCGTAACGGCGGACTTCCAGTACCAGGACTTCTTCGTCGAGACGGACGCCTTCGGTGCTGACCCAGTGTCTCACGAGAATTTCAACTTATGACGGTTTTCATGATGGCGTCTTCATGAATCCGCGTCGCCTCGACGCCGTCGATGCGGCCACGCGAGAGTCTACGCGTCTCGTGGGGCCACGGCGGTGTCGTGACGGCTTCGCTCGACTCAGGCAACGACCTGCCCTACGCCTGGTTCAAGAGCGACTTCGAGTTCCAAGAAAAGTACTTTCGCGACGGCAACCAGTACCCCATCGGCGTGTATACGTCTACTGCCGATTATTTTGTGGAAGGTAGTACGACACAAAAGTTCTACGCTGAATACGCGCAGCAGCCTTATGTGGTGACAGAAAGTGTCATGGGGAACTGGTACGACGCTCATCAGTTATACGCTGCGAGTAATCCTCCCCAAACCTCGGAAGAGTACAAAAATAGCGTGGCGACATGGCTGCAGACGGACGAAGGCAAGGGCTACCAGGAGGACGTCCTACTCGATGCTCAGAACAATATCATCGCGACGAAGACCGATGTGCGGTGGCAGTTCAACAAGAAGGAGTTAGATACGCCCATGATTTTGAACCGCATGCTTCGCAGTCGCACTTTCGGCCGGAAGCACGCGTCTGCTGTCAAACCTCGGTTCTACCAGTTCGCGTTCGTGTTTGCCGAAGGCATTAGAGTAGTACTGAGGGAGTCCGTGATATCATTATGTATCGCTTGCGTGGCGGTGTTGGTGGTCTTGTTATTATTATTGGGTGACTTGTGGGCGGCATGCTTAGTTGCCTCGAGTGTCATCATGGTATGTTTAATAACGTACGGTTCTATATATTGGTACGACGACCATTTAAATAATGTGTCGGCGTTCTTCGTGATCATCGCTGTGGGTCTAGCTACGGATGCCTCGGCGCATTATTGTGTGGCGTTCCTCGAATCGTCTCAGTCATCAAGGAAGGACCGGGCGGTCGAGGCCCTCGATTTATTGGGGCCGCCCGTGTTCCTGGGGGGTACCTCCACCATCCTAGGGATCTGCTTGACGGGCTTCTGCGTCACTTATGTCTTCCAGACGTTCTTCCGATATTTGATGACCATACTCATACTAGCGGTCTGGTTTGGATTGGTGGTCATGCCCGTGGTCTGCGCGTTGATTGGTCCCAAATCTAGGCGCTCGGAGGCTATTGTCGCGAAGGAGGACCTGGAGGCCGTGACGGACGCCCCTATTTCTGTTTCGGGCGGCGCGCCGACGGCGGAGAACTCTATATAGACTCGGAGAGTAAGTTGTTCATATCTTACGCCATCGAACGGCTTCCGGCGGGAAGCCCGCCTTCCGGACCGCGTCGCTGATGGCGGCAGCGATCGCGTCGCTCGCCATGTTCACACTGACCGTCGCACTCCCAACAGAGACGTCTGCGTCAACTACGCCAGCAACGCTGCGGACCGCGCGGCTCACCGCGTCCACGCAGGCGACGCAGCCCATACTCGGCAGGTCAAGGGTGAGAGCCGCGCCCGCGACGTCGTCAATTCGCCGTCGTCTCAACTTGGCGACCAAGGCCACCATTTCTGGCGCAAACGCCACGGCGATCGCGAGCGCGCCGCCGTAGACGTTCATCTGTCTCACCCGCGGGTCGACGCCCGGAGCCGCCACCGCCGCGCGCCGCAGGAGTACGCGCGCATGTAACGCGCACGCGAGGAAGAAGGGCCGCGCCGGCCCGAGGATGGAATTGAAGCCCGCGCAACCGACAGAAAGCATGTTCAGGGCGAGCTGGATGACGCAGCAACTGGACGACAGCAATGACAGGAGCGTCCACCACCCCGCGCGGTGCGCTCCGTGGAGTAGCGCTTCTTGCGTCGCGACGGCAGCGCGCTCGACCAGGTGCTGTGCGGGTGACCGCGCGAGCACCGCCAACGCCACGGCGAGGAACACGTAGCTCGCCGCGATGCGCGCCGGAACGCCGGGCGACCAGACGAGCCATTCGTTTTTTGCTGTCTGCTGCAGCGCGTCGGTCCGGAGCGATGCGCCGCCACGTTGTAAGCTAAAAAGTGCGCCTCCGGCTGTGGTTGCGCCGCGTCGCGCTTGGCTGAGCATTGATGCGGGTAGGATCATTTTTTGCCTCTCTGGTGCCGTTCGCGGCGACAGAGAGCAGCTGAGATTGGAGCTGTCTGCAGGTGTTTTTGCGCGGCGTCGATCGCCGCTGCCACTATAGACGCTGCTCGCTGGATTTATGCGCGAGGTTTAGGAGCGCCGGATGGTCTTAGATCTTTGGTTTGATGTCCTCGCGCGTCGGGTGGCGCTATGCCAGCTCTGTGCTGAACGAGAGCATCGAGCTGGCGGCCACCAAGCGCGCCGTCCAGCCGTCTAGCCATCAAAAATAGCACCGTCCCGGTCAAAAGGCTATACGTACGCACAGATGCAGCCGTTTCGAGCCGCATTCGTTGCTACGTGCGCCGCCGTGGCTGCTGCCAACAACAGCTTGGAATTGGTGCGAGATGTAGCTCTCGAAGACGTGCCCGCTGGTCCGCGAGAACTGCATCAGAGATATTCAGAGATATTCAGATACGGCAACCGCAACGCTGCGTCGCATTTATGGACAAGTTACATCCTCGACCGTGCGTCGGTGACGCCAGCCGCGCAGATCGAGTCACTATTCAGCGGCTTCTGCGCGGTCTCGGGTTCGCCGGTCTACCCGTCGGACTACAAGCGCTATCGCTTGCGCCTCAAGCACGCGGTCACCGGCGTCGACGAGGTCGGTTTCATGTACTACTGTTGCTGGCCGCGCGTTGCAGTGTCGAATCACCGGAGGTCACGCAGATCTCAAATGCTTCCGCACAGGTGCGTCTGCGACACGTGGGACTTCATCAAGGTCGACACGCTCACGATAACCACGGCCGACGGCCCGAAGGAATACCGCTTTGCGGTGATTGGCGACCCCTGCCGGAACGAGGAGCAACTAGACGTTCCGTTCATCCAGCCCTTCGACGGCCGCACGACGACGCTGCGCCGCGACGCGCCCGAGGTGCGGTGCGCGGACAGCCGTTTGATCGGTGCCACGCATACGGACCACGGCTTCATTGCTATATCGATGTTCTTCGACGCGCCGAGCGACGAGGAGGAGGACCGCGGCGTCTGGCAGCCCGGCCGCGTCGTGCAGCGCGGGGGCCACGTCTTCCAGGACGACGTCGAGTACAGCGATATGTGTTCCCAGCGCGCGGCGAACGGCTACGATTCGGGCATGGGCGAGATCTTCCGCCGTGTCGCGGCGATCACGCCCGTCGGCAGCAATCAAATCGAGGCGCCAGACGCCATCGGTGCGCTGTTGTGAGTGATAAGTATATGTTTATAAAGCCGCCTAGAAAGCGACAACAACAAGTTTCATGCGCCGTCCGACGGGTCCTCGTCGATGGGCAGCCGGTCGGGCTCGAGGTCGACGCGGTCGTCGGCCGTGATCGCGTGGTCCGCGGCGAAGGCGCCCTTGAGGGTTTGCTTCTGTTTCGCCGCGTGCTCGCGGAAGGCCTCCTGGAGCTTCTTGTACAGCGCGCGCGCGGGCTTGTACTGCGGGTCGAGGCCGAGGGCTCTAAGGACGCAGTCCTTCGCCCCGTCCAGGTCGCCCATGGCCAACAAACAGCGCGACGACCGAGATAACGCTTTCACGTGGAGGTCGGGGTTCGGGGCTTCCCGATCCTGCCGCTCGGCCGCCTCACTCCCTCGAGAGCAGGGCGGCCCACAAACCTTGGCGTTGAAATCCAGCGCTTTCCGGAACTGGCCCAGCTCCAGGTAGCACTGCGCGATGTTCCCGCAGGCGATCTGGTCGAGCCGCGTGAGTTGCTGGGTCTCCGTTTCCGCGTACTGAAACTCCCGGGACGCGTTCGCGCCCATGCCGCCGTATTGTCTAGCCTCGCCGGAAGGAACCCACGTATAAGCTCGGATGCGTGCGAACCTTGTAATGGCTTTTTTATAATCCCCATTCTTGAAAAATTCATTGCCCTTGGCCTTGATCTCCTCGGCCTTCGCGAGCAGCGCCGCGGCGCCCATGCCGCCCTCGGTCATCTTTTCGCCCAGTGGCTCGCGTCGACCGCGCGACCCGCTGGAGGCACCCCTAAGCCGTTTCTAGCTCGCTGCGACGGCGTCCGGCGCAGCTTAGCTTTGCTGGCGCCAAAGATAAAGTGGAGTGCTGCGGCAGGAACGGATGCGCACTCGTTGCACGAAGCAGCGGTTTGAATAATGCGATCAGCGATGCTGCGGCACGGCAACGCCGTCTCCAACGCGCGTCGCACGCAGCGCGGCCCCCCCCTCCAGAGGCCTCGCTTTGACCCCGCTAGCGGCCCCGCGCGCGCCGGCCTGGCAATGGTCGAAGCACAGTTCCACGCGGTTCCGGAGCCCTCGAATGTCGGCTCTTTTCCTTGTCACCGGCACGGCGTCGCCGCGGACATGCGCGGTGGCGCGGTGACGCCCATCATATTGCGAGCACTACTGTTCGAGCGAAACCGCATCGGCCTCGTCGTTCGTCGTCTTCGCCCGTTGGACCGCAACCACTCCACGCCATCGACGCAGCCGCTCGCCACTCCACGCCATCAACGCGACTAACAGAAAGCAAATTACCGCCCCCCGTAGTGCCCGCCCCCGCCGTAGTGGTTCCTCTCCCGTTGCTCGAGCATGCGCTTGTCGTACATGCGCGCGTCCCTGCCTCTCAAATCGGCCCGATTCCTTCCTAATATACCTTCATCGGCACCCTTGGCCTGCATCTGATTTTTGGCCGACTGCGGGCAGTCCCTCGACCAATGACCCTTCTCGCCACATCGGAAGCAGGTAGCCTGGGACCGGGGAATGTAGCCCTTCGTGTTCAGCGTCCGCAAGTCCGAGATCGGGACCGACTCGGCCAACGTGCCGCCCCATTTATCCCTAATCTTCTTCTCCTCCTTCTCCTCGTCGGTCATGAGGTCCCAGGGCTTCTCGTCCTTCTTCTCGTCGGCCTGCGCGCCCGGCAGCGACTTCATGTCCTTCCACCAGGACGGGTTCTTCTCCTGGTCGCCGGGCTGGTCCGGGTTTTCTCCCGCCGCGCGTCTTCTCTGTTTCTCGGCCTCCCAGGCGGCTAGGCGCTGCTTTCTCTGTTCTTCCGCTTCGGCTCGCCGATCCTGCAGCGTCTTGAAGCCCCTTGCTCGTAACTTGTTAATGACCCAGTCGTAGTCCTCGGCGTACACATCAGGATTCTGGGCCGCGGCGTACGTCGACGGCTTGTAGGTCGGGGGGCTCGAGTAGGAGGCCATGCTGCTGTTTCAGTGAGGGGGGCTCAGACCGAGTGCTGGGCCAAGGCGCGCAGCGAAAGTGGCAGCGACGGCTGTAGCGGTGTTGAGGCGTTCACGAGACGCGCTGCAGCGGTTTTTATTGCGCCCGCGGCTTGCTTTTTGCCTCCGTCGTATGGTGGTAATTAGCTAGCGGCCTGTAAGACACTAGCACGACAGGCACTCCGTTTCCCGTTTCGTTTCTCAGAGGATCGAGTTCGGGCACCCGTGGGGAAGCCCTCGACTTGGTGGAAGGCTGGTTTGACGGCTCTTCCAAGCGCCGTTTCTGCCGCGCGGCCGCATTTTATTTGGGAGCGCCGTGCGCACCCTACGCGCCGCCACCGGGGCGCGGCAGCGCTGAGCGCGGCGCGACCGCAGCTCTTACCGTTTACGTCGGCTTTTCAGCGGCAGAAATGCCGCCCTTGAGGCCCGAGATGCGAATCTCTAGCCTGATCACGGCGTGCGCGCTCCTCGCCGCGGCGCCTGCGCACGGCTTCCGCCTCGGCGCCCTCATCACGCGCGCGCGCGCGCCCAAGCCGCTCCAGAAGCCGGACGCGCGCAAAGCCTGGCTCGACGCGGCCGTGGTCGGCCCGCTGCCGGCTTTGGCCAATCCACCGTGGCTGGATGCAGCCTTGCGGTTGGCAAAGCGCGACGCGGAAGCGTTCGTGCCCGAGCTCCACGCGACGCTCACCGACACCGTCCACGCGTCGCCGGGCGCGACGCTCAAGGACGTCTCGGCGGCCGTCTCCCAGCGCGCGGCTGCCTGGGCCGAGACGCGCGCGCCCTTCGCGCGCTGGACGGCGGCGCACTACGCCCGGCCGCTGGGCGTGGCGATCGACGCGCCCCAGCTCGGCGAAGCATTGGAGCCGCTCTACGAGGAGTAGATGACGGTGTGGAAATCAAATTTCAGACGCCCACGCCATCGACGCGACGTTGTCCTTAATACAGGTACCAGACGGGACGGCTCGCGCGCCGCAAGCCGCTCAAGGCGCTCGCCATCTTCCTCAGAGCGGGCGTGATCCGCGCCGCCGCGGCGGTCTCGAAGGTCTCGGCCGCGCGCCCGCGCCGCCCGCGCGGCCGCACGCCGCTTGTGCGCAAGGCGCGCCGCTCTTTGCTCCCGGGCCTCCTCGACGACGTCGCGGCGGCGCTGCCGCCGACGCCGGCGCCGCCGGCGGGCCTCGGGGACGCCTGTCGCCGCCTCGCGGAGAACACGTTCGTGGGCTACGCCGCCGACGGCCTGCCGGTCGCCGGCTCGCTCGACGTAGCGGCCGTCGCCTCGAACCTCTGCTTCTAGATCGTCCCGCGTTCGGCACAAGGCCGCCGCGTCACGCTCTCCAATGCCTACCCGCATTCCTCTTTGTAACTGTGTTACGCCCATATATAGTACCGTCGCGTCGATGGCGTCAGGGGAGAGCGACACCCGCGGGCGACGAGAACCCGCGGTATGTACGAAAGGAATTATTATGCAGAGGAAAGCCTTCATATCTCGACGGCGCCAAGGCCTATACTCAACGCCAAGTATTCGTCGCGCTGCTGGCCCCAACTCAACTGCGGTAGCCGCGGCGAGTGATTGGACGAAGACGGAGAACCGAGCGAAGACTCGTCCGACGACCGCTCGCGCTCCTCCGACCTTGAGCGCGCCGGAGGAGTCAACGGAGCGAGCAAGGGCGACGGCGGCGGGCCCATGAGGGGCTGCCCGCCCCTTCGCGCTCCCGTGGGCAGCCAGGGCGTGCTCTCCTTGGATATTCGTGGTCTCACGGGCTGGAACGCGCTATGCCTCGACCCGAATTCGACGACCTTTGTCGGCTGTGTGCTGCTGCTTCCTTGCTCCAGCGACGCCATGGTCTGCAATTCGTAGGATCCTCCACACCGTTTGATGGTGCGTGTGTGAGATCATCAAGCTTCGTAGGCTAGTAGGCTTATACCGTTTTCGCCACGCATCGGTCGTACTGTCGACGTGTCGCGTTGTATTGGGTGGGACCCCTCGGGACGTGTGTAATTTCTAGCGTTGTAACACACTAGCGAGCTGTTGCAAAAAACGCCGCCTCGTTTGGTGCGCCGCGCGAGCCGCTGCGCACCCACTGGAACTGAGAGCGCAGTCCATTACAGTACTGAGCTTCAGCGCGGCGCCTACGGTCGAGCCCCGACGTGATTAAGACCGACAATGACCACCATGGCGCCTCCGCCGCCCGCGGGCTCGACCCCGGAGCCGCTGCGCGAGATCAAGCGCCAGCGCCGCGAGAGGCTGGCCAAGCCCGACGAGAACCTCGGTAACGATACGGTCGAGAGCTACCTCATGAAGCAGCGGGACCTCATCCTCGCGGAGATGGACGGCCTGACGGGCCGGCTCGTCGCTGACCACCACGACGCCGTCTCCAAGGCCAAGGAGGCGCTGCGGCAGGAGTGCCCCGCGGCGAAGCCGATCGCGGGCCCGCGCGCGGTGACCATGGTGGCGACGACGGGCCCCCACAAGGGCATCGCCTTCAAGATGACGGTCGGCGCGGCGGCCTGCTTCGTCGGAAGGTCTGGCGGCAAGAAGTTCCGCGAGAAGGGTATCAGCCTGCCCAAGGACAACGAGGTCTCGACGACGCACGCCAAGATCGAGCTGAAGAACGACGAGATCGTCCTCGTCGACGTCGGCTCCACGAACGGCACGTCTATCGACGGCGAGCCCATCGAGGAGGGCAAGCCGCACCCGCTCGCGGCCGGCAACACGGTCGTCTTCGGCGCGTCGACGTTCACGGTCAGCGAGATCAAGGCCGCGTGAGTTGCGTGCCACGGACTAGTTTACTAAGAACAAGACCTGTTGATACACGAACCATGCCCGCACGCTTGTATTGTGTGAGGAGGACAAGTGGGCGGCACGCTGTCGCCGCTAGCGCACAGAGATACTAGCAAGCATGCAAGCCGGCGCATGCCAAGGTTTTGAGCAGGCTCACAGCTAGCACAGATCGCAGTCGCGTCGATTAGTGGCAGAAAAGGCCCACCGGCAGCATTTCGCACCGCTCTCACTGCTTTCAGGCAGCGTTTTGCACTCCTGCAGGCTTCACAGTCACACTGCATCCAAGTCCAGCGAGGCTAAAAAGCGAGCACAGCTCAAAATGGCCTGCCAACGCGGCCTCGCGCTGATCACCGGCGGCTGCGGCGGCCTAGGCATGGCCTTCGCGCGCAGCTGGCTGCAGCGCGGCGGCAGCGTACGACTGGCGGACATGGTGTCGCAAAAGAAGGGCGACGAGGCGTGCCAACAGCTTGGAGGCAACACCACATTCGTGAGCTGCGACGTGACCGACAAGGAACAACTTGGAGAGGCCTTCGCCAACGCCGAGGACCTGTCATTGGTCATAAACAACGCTGGGATAGTAGCTCACGACGGCGCGGACCTCTTCGAGAACTGGGAGCCCATGATCGGTATTAATGTTGATGGTGTGGTAAATGGGACGAGGCTCGCTCTAGAAACCTTTGAAGGACAAAAACCCATCGAGGACGGCACTTCTAGAGTTATATTAAATGTGGGGTCCATGGCCGGGCTGATACCGACGACGGTGATGCCCGTGTATACGGCGACGAAGTACGCCGTCGTGGGCTTCACGCGCGCGATGCACGTTGCAGCCTCCAAGCGCTACGATCCATCAATCAAAAAGAATGTTCCGACGGGCATCCGCGTGCACGCCGTGTGCCCGTCCTTCGCCGACACGGGCATGGTCAACGCCGACACGTTGGCCAAGGACCCGCGGAACAAGCGGACGGTCGAGTTGTTTGGAGGGCTGCTGACGCCGGATTTCGTAAGTGAAGCGGCGTTCGAGAAATGCGTGGATGACCCCGCCGCCCGAGCTATTTTGAGGGTGACGCCCGTCGACGGCGTCAAGTTCGACGAGCCGGGGGCGCATCCTGTGGAGAAAGCGGTGAGAAACAATGCCATCCGGGCGGACCCCTGGGGGACGCTGAGGAAGATCATGGGGAGTAAATAAAGCTAAAGATAAAACTTATCGGTCGCCCTGGCCCTTGAACTCGGAGAGCTCTTTCAAGCGCGCGTTCACTCGCGAAATCGCGCCTTTCAGCGCAATCGGATCGACGGACAACCCAGCACCCGGATTCAAACTCTCAGCGCCCAACCACGTGCCGTTCGCCGCGCCGAATAAAGCGAGGTGCCAGTCGCAGCAGGGACCGTCCGGGCCGCCCGTCGGGCAGTTCAGGCAGCCGTCCGGCGACTCCGAGTCGTGCGGGCGTTTTATGGTGACGAAGCCCGTGGCTGGCCGAGCTAACAGGGATAAATCTAAGGCGCCACCATCAACGGCAATAATAACCCGCGTGCTGTCGAAGAGATCCAATTGCTCCTTGAGGGGCATGTGGTCCAGGATCACTAGATCGGCACCGACGCTCGTCGCCAGAGCCTTCGCGTCCGGGATGACCCTAGAATGCAACCTTTGAATCAGCAACGCTTTTCTAGGACGCGCGCCGTCGTCGGCCGGTAAACCCAGCAGCTGCCGCCCTCGTTTCGCGAAGGCGCGGTGCACCGGCGCGAAGACGTGCGGCTTGTCCCGGTACTGGTTCCAGTCCAGCGACCCGCAGCCGACCACGAAGCGCGGTATCCTACATATAGACCCGCGCGGGCACAGCGTCGTCTCCAAATGGCGTCGATAGAGCGGCTTCTCATTCACTACAGACGCCAGCCAGCCGTCGGTAGCGAAGGCCGGCCGCTTATCCGTTAGGTGGAGACGCCACGGCTCACTTACCAAATTGAGGAGGGACATCGCCCAGTACGCCGCGAGAGCATAGGACGTCAAAACATGACCGGGATGCAACTGGTCGTCACCTACTCTTTCAAGGGCAAACAACAGCTCGACGGACGCGTCCCGCGCCGGAACACCTAGACTTGAACGCATATCATCAAACGCCTGGCGCGCCAGTCGTTTCGGCTCAAAGACAGGAGAATCGGCAGAAGGCGCCAGTCTTAACCGGGGCAGCCACCTTGTTTGATTCATTTCCACGTAGCCGCCGGGCTGGCCCTCGTCGGTGATTTTCGCGATGTGGTCGCCGTCGTCGTGCAGGATCAGGAATTGGCCGTTCAGGACGTACACGTTCTCGAGGATGCAGGTCGTGGTCTCATTCGTACTGGGATCGACGGAAGCGCACTGTTTGAGGGACGTGGCGGGCCAGTCGTTCCTCCGCGGCGGGCTTCGAGCCGACTTGAGCGCCGCGCCGGCCATGGCTAACGCGCGGGCAGCTCCTGCTCCATTACCTTCGACGTCGCCGCGCTCGATAGCTAAAGCAGCAGCAATAGCCGTCTCGACGCGTTTTGTCGAGTCGTCGTGCCGCCGTCGCTCCTGCGCGTGGGGGCAGGCGCCGGCGCAGGGCGGCCGCGCGCCCGCTACTCTGAGAACTTCTCGGAGTCTAGCTGCCAACGCTTTCTCGCACGGGGCTACACCAGCACCAGGTGCTGATATTCGAGCACACTCCAGAGCAGCTAAACTATCAACATCGTCATCGCCATCGAAATACAAGGCCCCAAAGTTGTGCCGCCAGCCGCTCGCCGTGCTCATGGAGATGTCCTGGCGGTGGCAGTGCTCGCTCGTGACCAGCAAATCCATGCGGTACGGCGCGACGTCGCTGTCGCCGAGCGTGAACCTATATCGCCCTCGGAACGCGTCGACGATGGCCGCCTCGTTCTCCTGCAGGTCGCAGTCCTCCGCGAGCTTTTGCGTCGCCCGCACGAACGAGTCGCCGGCGGGGACGCTCAGCGTGAGCACGGAGCTGTCCTGCGCGTGGCGCTCCCACCAGGCCCTAATGGGCGTGAGGGCTGCCAGCAGCAGCCCTAGGCGGGGCATGGCGCCGGGCGTGGCGGCTGCCCCCAATAGGCGTCAAATGCCCGGGCTTGCGTCCGCAGGGCAGCCGGTGGCGCTACTTATTTTTCGCGTGTGACTTATCGCGGCCCGCAGCCTTGCAGCCGGCTGCCGCATCGGTGAGCCATCATTACGCTCATCGGACATCCCACGGCGACGACGAGAGACCGCCCCGTACAGTAGCGAGCCGCTAATTTGAAGTGTGGCGCCGCTCCGCGGGCGAGGGGCCGCCGGGGAGCGGTATTCAGGTCTCGGGAGCTGTCGTGGGAGCGTCACACTACACCACACGGAAAGACGCGCGGCGCGCCGACGATGAACCCAGGAGTAACAGAAATATATATAACGAACCCACGAGGTTTCTCTGGACCGCAAGAGACACGTTCGTTCAATCAACACAGGAAAGTTACAAAAAGGACAACTACTACCGCTGCGGCGGCAGGTGCCGCGCCGTCGCCGTCGGCGAGCCCGGCGACTCCGCCAAATCCGCGACCGTCAGCACGAGGTACGTCGTGCGCTCGAAGGCCGCGAGGCACGCGGCCGAGACCAGCGTCCCCAGCGCCAGCATCAGGAACGAGCCCCACTCAAAAAGCGGCGCCGAGGCGCACCGCGGCGCGCCCCAGGGCAGAAAGGCGACCATGTTCAATACAAACGCGACGACGTGGAAGCCGTACAACGCCAAATACCGCACGACGGACCCGCGGTGCTGCCAGATGTGCATGAGCGTCTCGGAGTACGCGTCCGACCGGACGACGCGTAGCAAAGCGACCTGCAGCGTGAGCCAGACCACAAATATTGGACGTAGTGTATCAGGCTCGCGCCCGCACTGATCCACAAAACCTTGCGTGGCGTACGCCCTTAGCTTAGAACAGGCCACATACACCAGTAAAGCGTCGGCGCAGACCCGCAACACGGCGCGCCGTAGTCTAGGACCGTCGTGCCAGACGCACGCTCCAAATTCCGTCACGTCACAAGGCGTCCGCGTCCCGGCGTCTAAGGCCGTCCCGCACGCCGGGCAGCTTCCGACGTCCTCATCTCTTACATCAGAGCCCAAGACGGGCCTTACGATATTCTTCTCGAGGCACCTTCTATGAGCCGCCGACGCGCGGCCGCAGCGCGCGCACGGCGCGAGCCGGATATCTTCGAGGTTCGCGATCGCGTCGACGTCGCCGCACCGGCAGCATCGTAATAACGGCGCTCCTCTATCCCGCAAGTAGCACGCGAACTTCCAGTCCAGCGTGCCTCTATCTTTATGTCTTCGAGGAGGCAGACCCGCTCGAGGTGACACAATGGCGACGTCCTGCTGCGCACACGGCTCGACGGCGGCCAGCTGTTTTAATCGTTTCCTCCATCTCTGGGGAGTGGTGTAGGCGCTGCACCACTGCGGCGCTTTCGCAGTAGAGGCTAATGCACCTAGATCGCGCGACACGAGATGGCGCTCGATGCGCTGCCAGACGTCCTCCGGGGCATCTAACACAGTACCGGTAGAACGCGTATCAACGGATAACGACTCGAGCTTCCGCAGGTACTTCGACGAGGACCGCTTATGTACTGGAGTACCACCGCCGAGCGCCAAAGCTAACCCTTGCAGGAAGACGCCGACCCAGCCGCAGGCCGCCAAAGGCATACTACCTTCCCGCGGCCTTAACACAGCTAATAACGCCGCTAACACCGCAAACGACCACGCGGCCAGCGACGCCGTGTGCGCGAACGGCTGCGCGCGCTTGTTCATGAATTGTAAGGGTGCGGCGAACAATGTCGATAGTAAGGCACAAACAGCTAAGAGAGGCGCGTAGTGCCCGCGCGTGTGCTCCGCCGCATGTAGTAAGAGCGCTCCTAAGGCTGTTGCGGACGGAGCCGCTACTATCGGTAGTGCTTTCACGAGCAATGCATGACGTTGTTTCCTCCGTCGCATGATACCACCGTCCGCGTCCAAGGAACACCCCAGCGCCACGGGCTCGTCTTCTTCGTCTGTGGTCATCGCCGTCCTTCTTTCCGCTGCGGCACTTTCTAACGCTTGGGCCGCGGCTCTCAGTAGGGCGCGACTGGCGGGCGTCTTCGCCGTCTCCCTTAAAACATACAAGTCTTCCGCGGCAGCATCTAAATCATCAAAGGCAGACGCAGCACACTTAACATGCCAGAGCTCCCGCGGCTGCTCCTCTGACTCATCCTGAGTGTGCTCAAACAACGACACGGAGGCTACTAACACACCAGCAGAGATCACGGCGAGGGGCGAGGCGAAGGTGCCCAGGGCCGTGTTTTTGGTCACGACCGTAGCACCGGAAAACAGCAGAGAAAAGGCGTACATCATCCACCCACAACCTTGCGTGATGACGAAAGTAGAGCCTCCTTCCCCGACCATGAACAGGCGGTAGTGCGCTATATTTCGGGACGCGCCCACATGCGCCAATACGGGAGCCGCATGGGCCAATAGTGTAGCCGTCACATACGCCGCGGGCGCGCCTGTGCCCATGATCCACTCGTCCGGGAAGACGGGCGTGTAGTAGCCTATCAACGCACATAAGATAAACAACCTTGCTACAACTAACGACGACGGCGTTTCCATGCTCGCCTTGACTTGCTGCGACCCATCAAAGTAATCTAACGACGACATCAGGGCCGCATTAGCCACGCCGCCCACACTACACATGGCTAAAGGCCCTCCTTTTACATAGGCCACCGACGTCGGCCCGACCGCCAATAGCACGTCGCAGAGGACACCGACTAAAGTCCAGGCGCAGGCGTGCAGCAAAACGAAGCGCGGGCCGCCTCGAAACGGCATCCACGGCGCGTAGTGTTTTCTCACCAAGGGCCCGTGCACCGCGTGCGTCGTGAGAGCCGCTAGTCCCAGACAGCCGCAGGCCGAAATCACTAATGCTGGTGCTGCTCTTTTACCAAGAGATATAGAGAGCGTCCGGTCCGCCAGAGCTGACAGAGCGACGGCCGCGCCGACGAGCATGCCCGACAGCGCCGACAGTGCCGAGTTCTTCTCGCCATGTGCTAAAGTTTCTTGGGTCGTCGCTCGAAAGCGGTCTATGCTCACATTGAGCGTGAGCTGCGCCGTCGCCGCCGCCGCGCCCAATACGAGCGCGGCGCCCGGCGGCGCCAGCAGAGCCCTGTCGAAGTTCATGAACGACACCAAGAAAGCACACAGCGTCGACGCGTGGAGCATCCAGCCGGCCGCCTGCATGACGACGAAGCCCGCGCCGCCCGCGAAGGGCTGGACGTACTTCCAGTGTAAAGGGTGGGCGTAGTGGCCCGCAACTAACGTAAGCATCGGCGCCCAGGCCGACGCTAATGCGGCCACGGCCAAGCGTAGTCTAGCTGCTTCTCTGTTGTTTCGTGTCACGTCTCGTTCCAGGTCGACGGTGAGGAGGAGGACCAGAGCGCTCAACCCGGCCGCCAAGGTGCGGATCTCGAACGCTTCGCTCCTTCGGTTTTGGGCCGGCGGCGTGGCCTTTCGCGGGCTTGTTCGCGGGCTTGCTGGCGGGCTTGGCATTTTATTTTGTGCGGCCGCGTCGTCTCTTGGTTCGCGCGGCCTGGTTTTTTGCCTTTGCAGAGGCAAGGCGTGTAGAGAGGATTACTCCGCCTCTCTCGGGCAGGGCTCGCCCAAACTGCGGGAGTAGATGGCTCGCAGCCTATTGCCCCCCCTCGCGCCTCGTTTGTGCCTTGGCAATATCTATTGCGGCCGATTTGTGTCCGCAAGCTCGAGCTGCGCGATTAGCTAGCGGCTTGTAAGACACTAGCAATCCAAGTCCAATTGCTGCGCACGGCGCACGTGAGGCCTATCCGACCCGCCCGAGCCGCCAACGCATCTCTTGGAACGTACAGTCGCTGGCGCCGCCATCGATTACAACTCTTAGCTGCGCTAGCTTGCTCCCTTTCAAATTGCCAGCATTGGCAGCGTTCCGCCGCGCGCGCATCAATCGATTCTGCGACCAAGCAGCTATGTCTGGCTGTAAGAAACGCGCCGCCGACGCTGCGGCAGCAGCAGATGCGACCATCGCTGCGTTTGGCGACTCGAAGCGCCCGAGGACCAGCAGCCGACCGACCTTCTTATTTTGTAAGCCTAACCAACAAGTCGTGGAAGTGCTCTCACGTATCGGCCGCGTCGTGACCTTCACGGATTTCAAAACGTGGCCCAACTCCATGCCCAATAACATAAAAAAACTCCAGGCGGCCGCCATAAATGCGTCGACGGAGGGACCAGTCGTGCTCGTCGGCTCGAGCTTCGGCTGCCGCATCGTGGCCGGACTCCTCAAGCAGCGCGGCGCCGCGTGGCGCAACTGCGCAGTCATGGTTTCGTACCCGTTGTATGGCGACAACGCGCGCTCGGACCGCGTCGCGGCGCTGCGAGAGGTAAATGCCGATGCGGCACTGCTCTTCCACAGTGGCTCTAGGGACGAGTACCTCGACCGCCGCGGCTGGCGCGGCCAGGACGTGCCGACGGGCCGGGCCGCCCTCGAGGCTGTGGTCTCGTGCAATGCCACGTACTCCATCGTCGACGGCGTGGGCCATTCGTCGTGCGGGTCACGCAGAGCCAAGGATCAGCTCCAGGCAGCTATAGAGAAGCTTCTCCGCGACGACGACGCCGCGCCGGCCGCGGCGCCCTCGGCCACCGACCGGGAGGCTGAGCGGGCCGCGCGCCTGCGTTTCTTCGAGCCCCGAGGGGCCGCCGCGCCGGCCGCCGCGCCCGCGCCTGCCACCGCTCCGCCAATGGCGCCCGCCGCGCCCGCCCCGCCGCCCTCGATCAAGGAGATGAAGGAAACCATCAGGAAAGCCGGCCTCGCGACGGCCGACCTCCTGGAGCGGCCGCATGTCGAGGAGCGCTACAAGAAGGCGCTCGCGCGGTTGGCGAAAGTCGTCGACCTGACGGTGTGAAGAGTGCACTAAGCTGATTGTGATAAAGTTACTGCTCCTTGTCGAGAACACGTGGATCGTCACGTGGGTCTAGGCGTAGGTAATTTTGCTCCGGTTGCCTAGTGTATTAAGTCACTAGCAAGCAGCTAGCAGCAAAAAAACGCTCGTCTCGGCTGTGTGCCGCGGGCGCCGAGCCCGCAAGGAGGCTAGGATAGAAAAAATGATTTTTAGAAAAAATTCAACAATATGGGCAACACCACACGGGGTAGGCTGTTGCTTTCTGGCGTTCTGCGCGTGTACGCAGCTCCTAGCCAAGCCGCGCGCGCACAGGCGCGTGGCCCGCGTCCTACAGCCAAGGTCGCCTGCTTGCGAAATTTTTAGCCGCGCGCGTCCGCGGACGGCGCTGTTTGCGCTATCAGACTGTTGCTCCTCTGAGCCGCGGCCATACACGAGAGAGGCAGGAGAGAGAGGCCCAGATCACGAACCTACCACGCCCGCAGGTCGCGCGCCGCCGTCGTGGGCCGCGTCGCCCTCTCGACAAGCATATACCAAGACGCGCGCGGACCCGTAAAAAATGGGCGCCATTCAGGGCAAGTTGGTGAAGGTCAGCATACCTGTGTTGAAATAGATTTTCGACGTCGACGACGTGATGATGACGTCCCGCGCAGGTGCCTACTCCCAAGGAGGTAAAATCGGAACTCGAAGGCAAGTTCATCGACGTCGTTCGTTCGCCGTGGCACAAGAAGCGCTACAAGGTCCTGGGCTACGACTCAGACACCGACCTGTACACGTGCGCCCCGACGAAAGTAGAAGGCCCGCTCGAGCACATCAAACTGAAGGCCGAGAACATCACGGTCTATGTGGATGTGATCCCGGTGGAGGAGTCCTCCGAGTCCGAGGGCGATCCCATGTCCGAGGACGAGGAGGACGACGACGACGACGAGGAGGAGGAGGAGGTGTCTGCGCCGTTCACGGCGGAGGACGTCCGAATGATGAAACAGCCTGAATTGCGGGCGCACTGTGTTACTTACGACCTCAAACGGGACACAGTGCCCAAGATGAAGGAAGCGCTGATGAACAAATTTGGACTCAAAGGGTCCAACCTCTCCGATCATCAGCAGAAGGTCGAGGAAAAAAGAAAAGCCACGGCTGCCTTCTTCCAATTACCAATTGTCGTGGCCATCATCTCTACAATTAGCAATTTCAATCCCAAGAACCCACGCCATGCGGAACTCTTCATGAAGGAGTACCGCAAGAAGGAGGGTAAAGGTACGGCTCGGAGCAGAAAATAAACTTGAACGTGATGCGGTCGCCGCGACGCGTCGACGCGGTCTTTGGAGCGTCTGCACGCGTCGTGAGACGCGGTCGTCGCGACGGCCTTCGACGTGGCCGCCGTGATGCCGTCGAGCGGGTCGCGAGAATATTGTGATTCGTGAGACGCGGTCGTCGAGACGCGTCGGCGCGGTCGCGAGAGCGCCCACGCACGTCGCGAGAGCTCCGGCAACGCTTCTTCCGCGCGCAGGTCCTGCCGAGTACGTGGACCCCGTGTCCATCAACGGCCAGTTGTGGAACGTTCGCTTCCATAGTAGAGATAGGAATCTGATTCTAGAGCGGGCCAAGGAGCGGCGCGAGGACATGTCGCCCGAGAAGCGCCAGGCGAAAAGAGACGCCGTCAACAACTATCATGAAAGGGTCACGAAACCGAAGCGGGCCGCCGAGGGCAAGCCTTTACGCAACGACGGTGCTAGTGGTGGAAACAAGGCCTCCCAAGCTTTGAAGTGGCCGTTCCTTATCTACCTTACTGCCATGTGCCAGGCAGGCCAGCATGCCAAAGCCTACGACCATTTGTGGGCCGTCTTCACTCAGGGCGGCCCGTCTACTTTTGATCCAAAGGACCCCGCTCGCTGTGGCTCGCGCAACACGCGGGTCGCGGGCTGGGTGATGCAGCTCGTGGCGGCCTTTACTCAGAACTTGGCTTTAAGTGTTATTGACGGAGAAGGCCCTTCTTTTGGCTTGATTGCTCTTTACTATGAGATTGGTATGTGCTTTGGTCCCGCCCGGGCCTGCTACGACCAGCTCTTCACTAAGCTTTTGTCGTCGCGGGGTCTTCCGAAGTTTTGTCGCTTCGACAATGGCAAGACGCGCAAGTACCGCACTCCCCTAGCAGACAATCGCGCCGACGAACTCCAGAAGTTCTTAGATGAATTAGAGGCCTACCTCAAGCAGAAGGGCGGCTCCATCCTGGGCTACTGGGGCGGTGGAGAGAAACATTTTCTGGACGCTCATCTTGATGACGCTCAGTCTTTTACTGTTATGAATCTTCTGGAAGCGATCCGCTACATGCTCGACCTCGAACTAAATGGCGCCGTCCCGCGGGGCCACCCCCTATTTAATTGCCGCGACGGCGTCTGCCTTTCTACCGAATGCATTGGACCCGTGTTCTGCGGCCACATCAAGCAGACCCCGACTTTCAAGGCGCACCACGGAGGCTATGACTCCGTCGTGACGCGCGAATTTGTTATTGGCCTTTGTGCGGCGGCTGAACGCGCGCGCCTCGGAAAGGCGGACCTCACGTGGAACGGCAAGGTGTTAGATGTGGCGGCGGTGCGCGCGGGCTGGACGGCGGGCGAGGACACGGGCTACAAGCGGGAGGGTGAGCGCAAGAAGCGGGCCCGCCGCGGCAAGTGAGCATCACGGCCCTTCGTTTCTTAATTCGCCGAGCACACGTTGTCATTACATCATTTGAAGCTCTTACATATATATCATCCGCGACGTGCGCTTCACGTCGTCGCGACGGCACAAATAGTAAAGTGCCAGCAGCCCAGCCGTTCGTGCTGCCGCTCATAGCTGCCGCGTCGGGCCTTCGTCGTTGGCGCTGAGCATTACATAGAGCGGAGGATGCCGCGTAACATCTATATTATACATCGTACCTGGTACGCGCCGCGTCGATGGCGTCGTCGCGTCGACGGCGTGGCGTCGGCAACGCGTCCCGTCAAGTTCGTCACGGTCATCTAGTTCGTCGCCGCGACATGCCCACGCGTGTACGGCGGCTGAGATAGTCTGCCGCGGAGCTATCTTAAAATACACTAAGTAGTTTTGGTTTAACTGTGTTTATATTACGCGTGGCGTGTTGAAGGGTGATGTAAGTGTATACTAGAAGTAGGAAGGGTATAGGATAAGGGGGGCGTATTTCGCCCTATTTATCGCTCCTTGTCGAGAACACGTGGATCGTCACGTGGGTCGTCGTTGGGGCTGAACCCGGCGAGTGCTCGGGTGACGATTCGCGTCGTCAGGAAGTGGGCGCGTAGATCTCCCCATGCGGCGCTCATCGCCGGCCGCGTCGTGTCCGACTCGACGTCGACAGGATTTCCATTGCCCACCTTCAGCTTCGCCCATGGCGAGGAGCAGGGCGGCCCGCAGCCGCAGAAACAGAGCCAGTAGAAAAACGAGGCACCGACGCGGACGACGACGAAGCCCAGGATCAACCCTAAAGCAAGCGAGGTAGCTGTTACCTGTGTGGTCGAGCCGACGTCGCGTCGATGGCGTGGAAATTATCGAGCCAACGCGCGTCGATGGCGTGAAAATTGTCGAGCTGACGTCGCGTCGATGGCGTAAAAATGACACGATTAAGTTCCACACGAGCCGGCACCATCAGATCGCTAAACACGTTGTTCTGCAGGACGTAGCTTCCCTCGACGACCGCGAGCTCCGGCGGGTAGATGATGCTGAACCAGAGCTTCGCGATCATCGAGCCCGGCACGAGCTGGTAGACGGCGGGCATGAGCGTCGCCCACACCGACAAGTCCTGGGCGCCGACGATCGCCTCGACTAAGGCACTTTCTTCGCCCTCCTCGAACACTACTTCTGTCGTCGACGTTGTTGGGTCCAAGACGTCGTTGACGCGATCTTTTAGTTTCGCGGCGAGCTGCAGCTTCTTGAGTTCTGTCGCCCGCCCGAGACCGCACACGTGGAAGATCCTCGTGAAGCTCGTCACCAAATTGGCGGCAAAACGGTCGAACGCCGACTCCGCCGTCCCGTCGCTCATCATCCGGTTGTAGTAGGGCCGTCTAAATCCGTTGTCCACCACGTAGGATAACAAGCAGGCCGTGATCACGGACGCGACGGCTCCGGCCACGTTTGCCGTCGCCGAGTCCATGTTGTCCCGCGCGTGGTTCTTCGCGAAGTGCCGAAAGACCTGGTACTGGGCCTCGTAGGCGGCGAGCTGCACCGTGAGGCCCCGCCAGTAGTCCACGACCGGGAACCGGTACTGCATCAACGCCGCCAAGGAACACGCCAGATACAGGGGTACGCGCCACCACTGCTGCTGGAGGTTGATCCTGCCGCAGTGCGCAAAACTTCCATCCCACCTTGCATTAGCGTCCTGGAAGGTTATCACCATGCCGAAGGACGCCCCGAGACACAAGACAAAGGTCTTGACGGAGACGGCGATGAACCGGGTCACTCCAGTTTCTAATTCCCCTGCAATGATCTCCAGCAGACCAATCACAAAAGCCGTCCCGTAGAAGAACCAATACAACGTCCCTAAAAAAATAGACGCCAGGCACAACTCGCCCCCGAAGTGCTGGTACGCCAATCCCCCAATTATGCCCGTCGCCGTGCCGACGACCGTGTCTTTCACCATGCCGCCCATGGGCCCGGCGCTGTCGCAGGCGACCTCGATGAGTCCCGTGACTATGCCGCAGACCGTCGTGACCCAGAAATCGCGCCAGTCGCCGCCAAAGAAAATGACGCAGCACGTGTTCGCGAGGAACGGGTAGATCACGAGTCGTCCCGGCGGCGCGCGGAAGAACCTTCCGGAGCACGCCGTGTGGTCGCCGCGCTTCACCTCGACTTGATATTGTAAGGCTCTTTCAACATCAATGTGCCCCGCCATGAGGGCCTCGGCGATGCGCGTGTACTTGTCCTGGAACTCCGAGTCGTAGTCGTAGGGCACCTTGCGATGCAGCTCGTAATTGCCCTCGTCGAGGCGGAATTCTAAGCGTAACACGCCGAGCTTCCAGGTCAAGCTAAGGTCGAAGCGGTCCTTGAGCTGCTGCATAATTTTCGACGTGAGCAACGTCATGTGCCACCCCCTGTGAAGCTCGACGGCCGTCCGGATCGTGAAGGCAACACATAAAGCGTACTTCCTATCATACTTCTCCGTCAGGTCGGCGACGACTCTCTGTAAATCCAGCGGCAGGTGATTGACGTCGAAGGTCCGGGACGACCGGGCGACCGCGGTGCGGAGCGACGGGAAGGAGTCGAGGCTCGGCGGTTCGCCCTCGGCGCCCGCCGGGCCGCCGCAATACGGCTCCGGGGCCAACTTCGCGACGTTCACCATGGCTTCTGCAAGGGCTGCCCCACCTTGTGGGCAGCAAGCAACCTCCCGCGCGGGCACCGCGGGGCTGCCGCAACGCTGCTAGGCAACGTGTCGGACGGAATGCGAACGACAGCCGTGCGCTGCTACGCAAATGGGGGCTTCGGGCAGCCTGGTTCTGCACCTGGCGCTGAGGGCAAAACCGCTGCAGTCTACAGTCCAGGCTGATTCGAGCGCGGCGGATCCAAAGCGATTACCCCGTCGCGTCGTCGACGCATTCGTGGACCGAGATGCCCCGCATCCGTTGAAAATGGCCACCAACGCGGCGCACGTTCGATAGCTGCCCACCAAACCATCGTCTTACTGGATTGCTACGCGCCGCGGCGACGACGCGCAGTGCAGTCAAGCGGTGGTACCAGCCGCAGGGGTCACCACTGACCTCCAAACGCTCCGCCGCGATCGGCTGGAACCATGCTCTCCCGGCGGAGGCTGCGCCGCGACGCCGCCGTCGCGCCGAGCGCCAGCGACGCGGCCGTCGGCGCGCGGCTCGCGGCGGCGCGCGTGCGCTCCCTGAACCTGGGGATGCCGCGCCGCCGCGACGCACACGCGGTGGTCGCCAGCCGCATCTGGGCCGCCTCCGTCGACGCCGAGGCCGCCGAGGTCGCCCGCGCGCGCCGCGAGGATCTTGAGGAGCGTGTGCGGAACGAGAAGCCCGCGGCGCCGAAAATTGATTGGAAAGCGCTCGAGGCCGCCGCGTCGGCCCGCGGCGACCTCCTGGCGGGCTGCGCGATCTGCCTGGGGCCCTTCTCTGGGTTTGAAGACGGGTCGACAATGTTGCTCGACTGCGCGCACGCGTTCCACGCGAGCTGCCTCGCGGCGCTCGAGCGGCACCTCGGTTTTGAAAATAGGAGGTGCGCGTTGTGCCGCCGACCGAATTACAATAAGCACGTGACGAAGCGGGCGGCGCTCGACCGGCGCGCCGCGGCGGCGACGGTCCTCACGGGCGCCGCGCGGGCCCGGCTCGCGGTCAAGCGGACCGACACGGCCCGCCGGGCCTTCTACGGCGCCGGCCGCGGCGAGGCGCGGGCACGTCTCGCCTTCCTCGCGCGCACCGTGCGCGCCCACAACGACGAGCTCGTGGGCGCGAGCGACGACGCGCTCGACGCGCTGTTCGCCGAGTCCGACGACGCGGTGGCGGCGGCGCGCGCGGTGCTGGCGGCGGCCGTGGCGCCGCCGCCGCGCCGTGATGCTGAGCCGGAACGGCCGTCCGACGCCGTCTGGGCGGCGGCGGAGGCACGCGCTTTGAAGCGCCGCGCCGAGGAGGAGGCGGTCTGCGCCGTGTGCCTCGGGCCCCTGCAGGCCTCGACGCTCCTGCCCTGCTCGCACGAGTTCCACGCGGCCTGCGTCGACGCGATGGAGCGCTTCCGGCCGGGCGATGCCGGCGCGGCGGCGTGTCCGACGTGCCCGGTCTGCCGGGAGCCGTACCGGGAGCGGCGATCTTCGTCGTCGGGGGCTGTTGCTAAAGTTGATGTTTCGTGATACACATTTTCATTTTTACAATCAACGGTGTGCGTGCCGGCTCACAACCCGCGGCGCTCCAGGGCCGCGAGACGTTTCTCCCGCTCGCTCATCCCGCCCGTGTCCTGCGAGGAGCCGAGCGCCTGACCGTCTCCCGCCACGCTCCACTTGTCTCCAGCGTGCTGCTGGATGAGAGCTCTCAGGCCATTCGGGTCGGCGCCTCGGAGCATCCCAACTTCTCGCTTGTCGCGAAAGATCTTAAAGGTAGGCATGGCCGACACCTGGCAGGCCGCCGCCGTTTCCTGATTCTCGTCGACGTCTACTTTAATAAAATCTGCTTGCGGAAATTCCGACGCCAGCTGCGCGAACAACGGAGCGATGCGTTGGCATGGACCGCACCAGGTCGCGGTGAAGTCGACCACGACGGCCTTACCGGCGGCGGCCGCCTCCGCGAGAATGGCGTCAAATTCTGCCTTCGTTGATGGCTGCTTCATGGTTGCTTGCTTGTCTGCAACGACCGGCGCGCGACCGGCGCGCGACGACCGCTTTTGTAACTTGGCTGCTGCCTGGTGAGAGGCGAGGCTGCAGGCTGTGTTGCGGCACTGGCCGCAGGCTTGCTATGCTTGCGCAGCGTCTGATTAGTGATTGGCGGGTGCTGCTTTGACCGGTAGCGGCTAGCGGCGTTTTTGGAGCAGACTCCAAAAAGTGTGAGCAGCCTCTCTGGCGCTGTTTTTGCTCCCCAGTGGCGCGACAGCTCACCACGCGCGAGACAGCGCATCGCAAGGGCTCCTCGCACAGCCTATTCGGAGCACTGTGCAACTCTAATGCACAGCAGCGTACTCGCAGCGCTGCTGGTAACTGCATCAGCGCTGCAGCCCACGAAGAAGATGTGGGGCACCGCTGCGTGGAATTGGGGCTCGGCCGTCGGAGACGCGCACGACGCCGCCGCGGAGCTGCGATCAAGTTTAAGCACCGAGGACGCGCGGCGCGATTATCTGATAGCGCTGCGCACGGGGCGCGTTTCTGAGGCGTCGGCGAAGCTGTGCTTCGCGTTGACGTGCCAACGCAGTGGCAGAGCGCTGCCGGCGCCCTTCAACGACGCCTACTCGGCCCTCGTTCGCGGAGAATACGAGAACGATGCTGGGTTTGCGGACCTCGCGGCGTGCGCCGCGCCCGGCGTCGACCGCTACAATCTCAACGTGCAGCTCTCCGTGAAGCCGCAGCGCTTGACCGAATTTTTGGAGATCATCGAGGCGAACGCGGTAAGTACTCTTCGCGAGCCGCGGAACCTGCGCTACGCCTGGGGCGAAAGCGCCACCGTACCAGGAGTCTACCACTTCCAGGAGAGCTTCGTCGGCAAACAGGGCTTCGACGAGCACTGTGCCGCACCCACGTTCACAGCCTGGGAGGCCTTCGCGGGTTCTGACCCCTTCACGGCCGAGCCGTCGGTGCAGTTCTACGTCCCGACGACGAGCGTCGCAGCAGACCACGCGCCGTGCGTCTGCGTCGCCGCGTTCCTGGCGGCGCTGGACTTCGTGCCGCGCGGGTGCTGAATCGAGCTTGCGACGGCGTTGTAAGTGTGATACTATAGACATCTTCTTGTTACATAGCTAGGGGGACGTGATAGACACAAATCAGAGCGGCCCGGCCACGACGTGCGCGCGGAAGCCGATGCGCTTGCGCGGTTTGTCGAGATCGGGAACCTTGGAGTTGTGCTCGCGGACCGCCTCGATGACGCGCGACAGGCGCGCCGGCGACGACGGCGCCGAGCGCGGACGAGGCGCCTCGATGACGCCATCCAATGAAGCCGCGTCCGGGTAGTACGACGCCAGGCAGACCAGCGTCCGCGCGTGGACCCAGAGCACGTGCTCGCAGACGACGCAGAAGGCCGAGAGCCAGTGAGGGCACCACTTTAACGGAAGCTGCATGCCGGCCACGAGGAAGGGCGCCGTCGCCGCCTCGAGCACGCACAGCGCGAGTCGCGTCCGGGCCAGGCGCGGCGCTTTAGCAAGGCCCAGCTTCTCGCGCTCATCGTCGACGGCGCAGCGGATGCTCTGGCCTAGCAACCAGGCGCCCCCGTACAGACCGCCGAGCACCGAGTGCTCGCGCGGGCAGGACCGGATGTCGAAGACCAGACAAAGAACCATGGAGAGCCAGCCGAATACTAAACCATATAAGGAGTAGACCCAGTACTTGTAGGCTTGTGGTGCCTTTGCTTTGTGTTGCTTGATGCGGTGGAAGAGCCGAGCTTCGAAGAGCGCGTGGCTCAGAATAAACAAGGGCCAGGCCCAGTTCGCCACGGCGGCGCCCGGTGCCGTCGCGACGTAGTCCGAGATCATCTGGTGCGGGAAAGCCACGGCGTCGTAGGCGACGATCACTGTTATAATGTTGGCCACGGAGACGCCGACGGCGCCGCTCAAGAGGAGGGCGCGCCAGGTCCACATTTTTTTTGTGCGGCGGGGTGCGTCGGTGATTTGAGAACGTCTGGTGGGCCTCAGGACGTCTTTTACCGTCGTTAGCGCAGCGGTTCAAAGCAGTTTCACACAATGAACTTTACTTGGTTCTCAGTACGGAGGTCGCTGTTACCGCCACAAAAATTTGTGAGCAGTGGTGCTATCGGGCTGACCCCCGTCGCGCCTTGGTTTGGTCTGAGGCGCGCTGGACGCCGAGTTTGAGGACAGCGGCAAACGAGATGAGTGACCGTGTCCAAGCTCCTCCGTTGAATATTCCGAATGAGAGCCGGTCATTGCGAGCCCACAGAAGCCTCAAACCCCCGTCTGCACACGTTGCTTCGACGAAAGCACCCATCCGAGGCTGCCCCCCCAAGCACCAACCCAATACCAAACAAGCAAGACGGGCCTGCCCCAGGACCTCTGCACGCAGCCGACCGACGCCTCCGACGCGCACAGCAACAAGAGCTAGTAGGAAAACCGTCGCTCTCGATGGGGCTGGAAGGCACAGCAGCAATTAGCAAGCTGCCAACCGAGGCCGCACCGCGGCGCGCCGCACCGGTAAGCACCGCAGCGCGCCCTCCCAGCCCGGCCCTCCCATCCCCCGGACGCGCGGCGGCCAACGCGCGCGCGCGCAGGCACACCCAACACCAGGCTCAGGAGGCACAACAACAGAATGCGCGCGGCGGTGATCCTGGCCCTCGCGGCGCTGCCCCCGGCGCGCGCGTCGGCCGCGACCTGCCACACCTACACGCCGGCGGAACAGGCCGACGCCACGCTCATGTGCGCGTCGGCCGTCGACTACGACTTCGCGGTGCCCGCGGGCTTCCACCCCGACGAGGCCGCCATTGCGTTGGTGAACGGCGACGACGCCGCCGAGAGCGCGCGCCTCCACGCGTCGCTGGATACGCCCTGCAAGGCGGCGCTCAAGAAGCTCGCCTGTCGCTGCCGGCGCCCCTTCTTTTCTTCTCTCCGCGCCGGCCCGCCCACACTCGAACTCGACGCGGTCGCGTCGATGGCGTCTTCAGGAAACCGGGTCGCCTCGACGACGTGCCGTCAGAGCGTCGACGCGTCGCGCGAGAGAGCCGCGGCCGTGTCGCGATGGCCTTGTACAAAACTCACAAACGCCACGCAGGCCTCTCAACCCACGCCACGTGCGGCGCCACATCATCACCCTGCCAGGCGACCTGCGACGCCGTGTCCGCGGCCTGCCCCGCGCACGTGCTGACCGACCTCGGCGTGACCTGCTCCACCGACACGGCGACCTGCGTCAGCGGCCAGGACGTCGTCGTCGGCGCCGTGACCGAGGCCTACGAGGGCACGGCCTGCGCCGGTTTGGTGACTGACATCGCGGTGCCGGCTGGGCCTCTGGTCGGACTCGGAGCAGAAATGAATTTGAGCTTGACGTGGTCGCGTCGATGGCGTCGGCGCGATGCCATGCCGCCCTTGACGCCGTCGACGTGGCCGTCAGAGCGTCTACGCGTCTCGTGAGAGAGCCGCGGCAATTTCGTGACGGCATCGTTCAACACAGGTGGACCCGACAATAGCTCCCCTCCAGCCCCCGTCCGTCGTCCAGGCCCTCGTCGAGGCCCGGGTCCAGGCCCTGCAGGCGCAGATCCCGACCTGGGCGTCGGCCACCTGCCAGCGCGCCGCCCGCGCGGCCGTGTGCGCGCGACACGTTTCTCTACCAATCAACGGCCTCCCGGCCATTTCTGGTATGCGACGGCGTCCTACTTTCGCATTGACGCCGTCGACGGGACTCGCGCGTCCATCGCCGTCGACGCCGTCGCGACGCGAGAGAGCGACGCAATCGCGACTGACGGCGTGGCCTTCGCGTCGACGCCGTCGCGGCGAGAGAGAGAGCGACGGTCGACGCCGTCGATTGACACTCCTTGAAACACAGGCCGCGAGACCTGCGACGACTACCGCCTCGAGTGCGCGGGCATGCTGTCCAGGGCCGACTCCTACTTAGACGATGCTTTGAAGCTGGACTGCGACGAAAGGGGCGACGGGTCGTGGGGCTTGTCCGGTCCTTCATCCCAGTCTCCTGGTACGACGGACGACGCGCTCCTCAACACTTCACTAGTTGTAATCGACTTCGGCACGGCCAACGACCTCGACGCGTCCACCCCCATCTCCTGCGGCCTGGGCATGGCCTTCGTGAAAGATCCGTCGCGGCCGAACCAGAACAAGGTCTCGCACACGGCCTGCGCGATCACGTGTCCTCCTCCTTTATATCCGAGACGCTGGACCTTCACGGGGCCCTACTTGCAATGGCGAGGTTTGATCAGCTGGGTCCTCTGGCACATCACCTTCTTCCTACTCATATGCTTTACGTTCTCCTACAGTTGGATCTTACCGGAACATTTTAAAGATAACTACCACTGGTTCATGTGGTTCTTCTCTTTGTTGTTCACGCTGGAGGTGAACTGGGCGGCGCGCTACATGGCCGTGTCGCGGAACGTCCACGTCGGCGAGATTTTATGTGTTGATCAAACGGCCCCATCAATTCAGGAGGACTGGAACGAGTGCACGTGGCTGGCTATTATTGCGGGCTACTTCTACCGGTTGACGCCCTTCGTCTTCGTCGCGTCGGCCACGGACCTACTACTACGCGTCCGTTACTTGTATTCCCCGAAAGAGGTCTGGCGCTTCTTCAAGCTTTATGGGATGCCCCTGACCTACCTTTTACCGTTCTTCCTCGATACGTTGCCGATGATTTTGGCCGGGAAGGCGGGCTACGACAATAGTCTAGACTTCTACTACACGCACGACGGGTGCCACGGGGCGTCGCGGACGAAGACGCACTCGATCTATGTGGAGGCCGGCTGCTATGTGGTCTACTTCGTCGTCATCTTCACGGCGTTGCGCGATCTCCATAGGAACGTGCGCGCCGTGCGGGCCGGCGTCGAAGTCGTCGCGTCGACCTCGACGCCATCTTCATGATATCTGCTCGATGGCGTGCACCCGACGCACTCCACGCCATCGACGCGCCATCGACGCGACCCCGACGCACTGATTGATTCCCACGCAGGTGCGGGCCATGACCAAAAAGGTCACGGATTTTAAGGTAGCGAGAAGTGACTTACCGAAGTCCGCGACGTCGATGGTGACCATGAAAGCTAAACAGATGGTCTCGAAGTTCGACTTAGATGTCCTGAAGCAGCCCCTGACCTTCAACATCATCATCATGATCATTCCGGTCGGTAGAGTGCAGTACATCTACACGTCACTCACAGCTGCCGGCCGCTATATCGGGAACTGGGAGGACTGGACGAGCTGTGCGCTCGCGCACTGGATGCTGCCCGTCTCGCAGCAGAAAGCTGTTTGTGGCAAGTTTCCCGCCCACCTCATGATGCGCAAGGACGGCCGGACGGCCGACTCGGGGGATCTCTTCGTGTCGATGAATGGTTTAGTGGTCTACCTCATGTTCCTGTTCTGCGTCGTCTGGCTGACCAAGGACTTCACGCTCTCGCAAGAAAACGTCAAGTTGTGCCTCAAGCACTACCCCTGGTCCAAGAAGTACATCCCGCGCTGCTTGATGCAGAAGAAGAAGAAGGCGGGCTTCGCGGACCGGTTGATCTCGTCGATGACGTGGGAGCAAGCGAAGAACTTAAAGACGGAGGATTGGACGGGGGGCGCCTAGTATTGGCCGCGTCTGCATGATCATTTCCTCATGATGTCCCCGCGCAGGTCCTCGGTCGCGGCGATGGACTCGACGGCGTCCACGGACTTCAGCAGCATGGACTCGGCGACGACGGCCGCGTCGACGACCATGCACTCGGCGGCCTAGCTCCGCCGAAACACGTTGCCGCGCCGCGCCTCCCCCCCCAACGGCCGCGGCGCGCCGTGATGTTCCCCCTACCCATCCCGTTGTGGTGTATTAGCATCCGTGTAACGTTGATCCCCTGTATTATCACAACATTCTACTTACTAATCCCTAGGCCGTCACGCGCAGTCCATCTTCGTAGTCGCTGAAGAGGCCCTCGTCCCGCACGAAGCGCAGCAGGTCATCGCGCGTGACCTCGCCCTGGCCGTTCACGTCGGCGAAGCGGTGCACGTATCGCGCGAGGGCCATCTGCGTGCAGTCCGTCGACATGCCCAGGATGCGCGCGAGTGCCGCGTGGATCTCCTCCACACTGATTTGACCGTCGCCATCCAGGTCTAATGCGTCGAGCACGCCGTCCTCGTCATCCGCGTGGATATCCTCCCACATGCGGTGCCACAGGTTCCGGGCGAAGTAGCTCATGAGCAAGCTGTGGATGTTGAGGTAGTTGCCCTTCGGCGGGAGCGCCTCCGGGTGCGACGTATAATAATCGGTGAAGGGCGCCGACTGCCCATTGGTCAGGTCGCCGACCTTGGTGACGATGCGATAGACGGCATCCCGCTCGAGCGGCCGGCCAGCGACCATCGTGATGGCGTCAGCTTCCTCACATTCGTCTATTCCGTCGCCGTATTGAAACCAGCCGGGGATAGGATCTCCGCGGTGAGTGGCCCGCACGCCCTCCGAGAGCAGCCAGCCGGGCATCTCCACAATTCCCACGACCTCCTCCGGCTTCACCTCGGCCTCCAAGGTCTCCAGCGAGAAGAACGACTCGGGAGAATAGTCCGCGCCGCCCCTTATGTTGCCGCCCATGATTATACAGCCGTCGACGTGCTCCCCGCCGAGCGAGCGGTCGGTGTTGACCGCGTTGCGAATCAAAGTACACACGAGCCGGCCCATCGAGCAGACGCGGCCGCGGCTGTTGGACGACGAGAGCGGCCGGAAGTGCGCCGGCACGCGCGCGAGCTCGCTGTTGCGGAGCGGCGCGAGCACCTCGTACGCTTCCGTAGCCGCGGCCGCCATCGCCGCGTCCGCAGCATAGTCGGCGAGGGGTACAAATTCGGCCGCGATCGTCGGTTCCGCCTGTTGTGCGTTGGCCCACTCGATGGTGAGCACCGTCGCGTAGATGGCGTCGAGCCCGGGCTTGAGTAGTCGTGTGCCGGCGACGACCTCATCGACTTTGTGGTGGTCGTGACCGGATAGGACCACGGGAATGTCGAACTCGCGGCAGGTCCTGTGGTCGTCGGGCACGTATGTGTGCTGCAGTGGCACGACCAGGTCGCACCGCTCATCGTCCTCGAGCTTCGACTTCAGCCGACGGAGCGTACCCCACGGGCAGTCAATCGTCGCGCCGCCGAAGGCGCCGGGTGCCTTAAAATTCGCATACAGCGCCGGATCATCTGATAAGCACGCGACGAGACCGATGCGGCGCGTCTGCGTGCCGTCCTCGCTGACAATCGATACCACGTCGTATTCCTGCTGCGCGTCCATCGCTTCGTGATCCAACATATTTGAGTTGAGCCACTTGCCGCGATAGCCCCGAACGTGGCCGCACACCTCCTTGTGGTCGATGTCGGCCTCATGATTGCCCCACGTCAGGTAGTCGATGGGCGTCTCGTTGATCATGCGCATCATGCCATGTCCCTTGTCGATCGAGCTCAACAGATAAGGCGCGAGGAAGTCGCCCGTGAGCATCGAGATCGTCGCTGGATTCGTCGTTCGCACATCGTGCAGCAGCGTCTTGAGCCTCGGAAAATTTTCGAGGGTGTACACGTCCGTGACCTGAACGATGGTCAGGCGCGCTGCCGTCGGTGACGGCGACTGCACGCCGACAGTCAGGCCGCGCGCCAGCGAGCACCACTGCAGCAGCGTCAACGCCGACACCATTGAACGACCCGCACGCACCGCCGTCCGAGCCATGCTGGGCGTTTGAAGCAAGCAGTGCTGCAAAAGTGCAAGTTCACGCTGCCTGAATGCAGTGTTTTGCTTTGAGATGCAAGCCAGCGACCTTTACTGCCACTAATCGATCGATATGCAACCTGTGGTAGTCTGGGGCAGCCGTACAGCCGCGTTTGACGTCATCTGCGCAAAAACTAAAGAGCTAGCGTCCTGTAAGGCACTAGGATGATTTTAGAAGCCTCGGCTCGCTCTCCAACGCTCCCAAACAAGAGACAAAGAAGCTCCTCTCGCGGCCGCGCGAGTGGGAAACCGTCCTGAGTGTTTTGCCCCCAGCCTGGGCTGCCCCTTGTGCGTCCTGGCGCCCCACGTAACGAGGCCCCGCAGGAGCAGCCGAGGCGAGTAGCAGGCGGCTGACATCAACGGACAGCCGTCGCGCAGTGAAAAACCGCGACCGCGCGCGCGCGCGCTGCCAAAAAGCATCCAGGTGGCACATTATGGGCTGCGGCGCCTCTGTTGCGGAAGACGACGGCGGCTGGGGCAAGAGCGACAGCGAGGTAGGTGCCGGCGTCTTTACTGGAAGCACGCCCGCGCGCGCGTCTCGCCGCGGCCCCACCCACAACCCACACGCGCGCCCGCGCCCGACGCGCGTGCCCCCTCGTGCCGCGGCGATGGCGTGCTCACACGACGTCCCACGCCATTGACGCGCCCGCGTCACGCCGTCGACGCGCCACGCCATCGACGCGACCGCACCACCGTCGACACAATCCCCCCATCCGCAGCTCTCGCGCAGCCTCACGCAGAGCTGCGCCGCCGAGTCGCGCAAGATCAAGCTCTTGATTTTAGGAGCCGGCGAGTCCGGCAAGAGCACGCTCTTCAAGCAGATGAAGATCTTGTACGGGACGCCCTTCACGAGCGAAGAGGCGATATACATCAAGGCGGTGATCCACGAGAACGTCCTGGAGGCCATGCAGACGCTCATTACCAACTTAGAAAATTTTGATGAAACGCGCGGCTTAGAAGTTGGTTGTCAAGACGCGTTGGAGTTGGTGCGGGCGGCGGAAGTCGACGAGCCCATCGACGAGGAACTGGGAAACGCGTTGCAAGCGTTGTGGAAGGACCCGGCGATCCAGGCCATGTGGAAGCTAAGGGGGAGGGTGCAGCTCGTGGAGAGCGTGGTCTACTTCTTCAACAAGCTCGACGAGATCGGCAAGGACGACTGGGTGCCTTCCAATCAAGACATCCTCGCGGCGCGCGTGCGCACGCATGGTATTGTGACCACGAAGTACACGATCGAGGATCGGCAGTACGAGATGTACGACGTCGGCGGGCAGAGGAATGAACGTAGGAAGTGGGCCCACTGCTTCGAGGGCGTGACGGGCATCATATTTGTCGCGTCGCTCTCGGACTACGACCAGAAGATGTTCGAGGACGAGACGACGAACCGCATGAAGGATTCCGTGTATCTCTTCAGAGACATCTGCGCGAACCCGGCCTTCGCGGAGACGCCGATCATCCTGTTCCTGAACAAGCGCGACTTGTTCCAGAAGAAGATCCGCGACGTGCGCATCGGCGGCGAGGGCTGCTTCCGCGACTATGACGGTCCGCCGAACGACTACGCGGCGGGCGTCGACTACTTCCTCCGCTACTTCCTCAAGCAGAACCGCGACCCCGACCGCAAGGTCTTCCACCACGTCACCTGCGCGACGGACACGGCCAACGTCCAGGTCGTCATGGACAGCACGCGGGCCATGATCATCCAGGACTCGCTGAACTTCTAGCTTGGAGTCCCTCCCTGTTTCGAGTAGTATCTGTACCCTACCACAACACTAGACTTAGGTGCGTCTCCCCGCGCGCGGCGGCGGCGCGTCGATGGCGTTCGCTTCATACCATCCTAGGCGCGGTGCCGTCGCCTTCACACGTCGACGGCGGCGTTCGCTCCACGCCATCGCAGCGGAGGCACACCGTCGCCATCACGCCGTCGCCGCGGACGCGCACCGTCGACGCCGCCGCCGCGCCCTCAAATCCCCATGCCGCCCGTACATTCCAAAGTAGCGCCCGTGATATAAGAAGCATAGGGCGAGGCCAGCATCAAAACAGCCCCAGCAGCCTCGTCCGGCGTGCCTTTTCTTTGTAGAGGCACGGCCATCTTGAGCATTTTCGGCGAGGACCACATCGCCGCGACGTCGGGCGGCAAGCCTTGCGGCGGCGCGTCGTCGTCCGCTTCAGAATCATCTCCATCATTTGATTGCGTCATCCGCGTGTCGACCATGCCAAAGGCTACACTATTACATCGTACGCCGAAGGGCCCCCACTCCTTGGCGACGGTTTTCGTGAGGCCGAGCACGCCGGCCTTGGCCAACGCATAATTCGCCTGGCCCAGATTGCCGTGGAGGCCCGACGTCGAGGAGACGTTTATTATGCTTCTATCTTGTACTGTAGTACCGTCGAGCACCTCCGCCTTCCCCGCGTCCCTCAACAACGGCGCAAACGCTCTAATAATTCTAAATGGAGCTGTGGCATGAACATCTAATACTTTCTGCCACTGGGCGTCGTCCATCGTGTGGAGCATGCCGTCCCATAACATACCAGCGTTGTTCACGAGGATGTCCGCGCGGCCGAATTTATCTGACGTTTCTTGCGCGAGACGCTCGCCAAAGCCGTCGTCGGCGACCGAGCCTGGTACACTTATAGCTTCGGCGCCGTCTTGCCTCACGGATGCGGCGGCCTGCTCCGCGATACCCGCGTCGAGGTCGTTGACTACAATGGAAGCGCCCTGCCTGGCGAGCAGTTTGGCTATTGACAGACCGATGCCGCGGCCGGCGCCGGTGACGACTGCTACTTTGTGCGCTAGCATGGCGGCGGTGGCGTCTAGCTGAGGTGCAGCGTGCTCGTTGTGCACACGATGGCGCAGCGATTCCAGCGAGCTGTCCAGGACTTCAAAGCTATAGTGGCACGTCTCAGAAATGCCGCGGTGTTGCAAATGGCGAGCTCTGCGACTTTTTGCAGGTCTTGTGAGCTGCTTGCTGGGATGCCTAGTGTCTTACAGGCCGCTAGGTAAGCCGCGCCCGATGCGGCATCCACCTTTATCAAGGTAGCAAAATCCGCACTTTATCAATTCACAGTTCACACACTTATTCAGCGGCAACCACGGCCGCCGCGCGCGCTCGGACACGCTCCCGGACCCAGGGATAGTCGTACGCGGGCCCGAGCGCGAACTCGAGGACGCGCCAGAACAGCGGATCGGGGAGATCCACCCGGCCGCGAATCGTGTATTTGCGGCGCCCGGCGTCCGGCGCGCCGAAGAGCCGCACGAGCACTTCCGGCGTCCGGCCACTAAACGTCGAGCGCTGACGATGGCAGAGGGCGCGCAACACGAGCAGGTCATAGTGTGGCCGGAGCGCATAACGCACCCAGCCGCTGGCGAGGCGGACGTCTCTTAGCAGATCGGCGCACTGTTCGACGTACATACTTCTGCTTGATCGATTAACGCCGCGTCTAGCGTGATCTTCCGCCGTACAACCATAACTGTCGCGAAGCTCAGGATCGGCGCCGGCGCGCAGCAACATCCGCATGGGGTCGACGTTGCCGGGCGCAGCCGTATTATGGAGAGGGCTCCTACCGGCAAATCCAGAGCTTTCATTTAATGCCAAATTAACGTCAGGGCCGCGCGAAAGGAGGAGCCTTAATGCCGGTAGTGATCCGTATGCCGTCCAGTAGTTCAGCATCTGGTACAGGGCCGTCCTCCCATCGCGATCGGTAGCATCGATGTCAGCGCCCCGCGACAGCAAAAGGCTTATTATCTTGGCTCTGCCACGGCGCGCCGCTCGTCGTAGTAGCGACCAGTCCGCTTCATTATCACCAGCAGTAAACATGGCGTTGGGGTCGCCGCCGCTGTCGAGCCAGGCTTCTACCGCGGAGCGGTCGCCATCATCTATGGCTTGCTGAATTTCGTCCGGCGCGGTCCCATTCTCCATGGCTGCGAGCAAATGTGACCAAGTCTTGTTGTGGTCTGCAGCACCTCGTTCGACGGCGCGCGCGCGCAGGGCGCAGCCCAGGCGGCTTTAGTGGTCACAACCACCCGCGCAAGGCCCTGGCAAGGCCCAAATCGACTAGCTCGCAAAAGCTGCAGCTAGCGTCTGTAAGACACTAGCGTGTAGGCGCTTAGCAAAAAAAGCCAAGCTAAGCGCCCGAGTCGATACGGGTGTGGCGACAGGCTCAAAAGGACCACAGCTAGCGCGCAGACAGCGCAAGCTCACCACTGAGGCCACCGCGCGCACAACCCAGTGCTTCAGCTCTCCAGCACCCCCAAAGCTGTGCGCAGCGCGCGACGCCGCGGGACAGCCGAAAAAGCGCAGCACAAGCAAAGATGTCCGACCGCAAAGAAAAAAAACACAAGAAGAAGAAGCACAAGAAGGACAAAAAACCAAGACTCCACGAGCGCGTCGGCTACACCGACGACGACAACCCGTTTGGGGACCGCGATCTGGGGGCGACGTTCGTCTGGAAAAAAAAGGAGGACCAATCGAAAAGAAAGAAGCGGCCCCCGCCGTCGCGCGACGAAGAAGATAGGATCGAGGAGATCGAGAAGGTGCGGAGGCGAAGGGATGCGCGGGAGGCGGAGCTGGCCGAGATGGAGCGGCTCCGGGATGAGGAGAGAAGACTAAGGGACGCGGAGCAGTTCGAGGACTGGCAGGCGAAGGAGGAGGACTTTCATCGCGACCAGACGCGACTTCGAAGTTTGTTGAGGTTAGCTGGTGGTAGAAGTCGGCCGGTCGACCGGCTGGCGAGGAACGTATTGCTGGTCGAGTTGGGCGAGAAGGCCATGAAAGGCGACGAGGAGGACTACTCAGCCGCCCAACGGTGCGAGGGCGACGCGCTGCGGGCGCTGGCTGACTTAGATGTGGAAGTTCAGCCGCCGGCGCGCGTCCTCGAGGGTCTGTCCCGAGGTCAATTGGAGGAGATTAGTACGGACGCGCGCGAGTATGCTGCGAGAGAGGGGAGTGACGGCAAGTGGCGCGACTTCTGGCGCGCTTTACTTGTTCTCATTGATGACGCGCTCGAGGGGAGCGACGGGCGCGCGCTCGGGGCCGTTTCTGGGGATGTCCAGTCGTTGCTGCGCGGGAAGACGCGCGCCGAGCTGGAACAGACTGCGGCATCAGCTAGGCAAAGAGCGGAGGTGGCCCAGGACGACGCGTACTGGCGCGCCGTCGCTAGAGCTGCGGATCGCGCCGCCGCCACGAGAACGCTGGACGACGCTCATTCAGAGCTATTGCAGCGCCAGCTCGTCATCCTGAAGTGGCGCACGGAGAAGTTGCGACAAGACCCGGAAGCTGCCAATAGGCTGAGGACGCAAGAGACGCCAGTCGTCGCGCGAGGCGACGTCGATGTGAACGGCGACGAACTGCGCGCGAGAGAAGTCTCCAGGGGCTTCGCCGACGACGAGGAGCAGATGCTCGCCTCGTCTGAAGTCGAGACCGCGAACGTGCAAGGGCTGCGGAAGCCTAGATACCTCAACCGCATCAAGACGGGCTACGAGTGGAACAAGTACAATCAAGCGCATTATACCCCTGAAGAACCACCTCCAAAAACAGTACAAGGGTACAAGTTCAACATTTTCTACCCCGATCTGGTCGATCCGAGCAAGCCTCCGATCTATAAATTGGAGGCGTGTCCCGGCTCGGATGATTTCGCGATCCTGCGCTTCAAGGCGGGACCGCCCTACCGAGACGTCGCGTTCAAGATCGTGAACCAGCAGTGGGAGTCGCAGCCCAAAAGAGGTTTTCGGTGTGTCTTCGAGCGGGGCATTTTGACGCTCGCGTTCAACTTCAAGCGGTGGCGCTACCGGCGGTGACGCGTCGGCGGCGGCGTGCGAGCTGCACGCCATCGCCGCGGAGCCGTCGGTCGCTGCGGGTGGCGGGCTCCTCACGCCATCGGCGCGGCGCGGCGGCGTCGACAACGTGCCAAATAAAACTACCTTGTGTTTGAAACCTTACGCAACTAGAGCCCGAGCGCCTTCTGGATGTGCTCCTTCTGCGGCCCCTCGAGGAACTTCGGGAACTCGATGTTGAACCTAATGGTGAGATCGCCCCGGTCCTCGCCCTTGACCATGCCCTCTCCCTTTACAACCTTCTCGTAGCCCGGCTGGACGACCTCCGGACAAGACACGTTCAGCGTCCGTCCATCTAAGTGCTTGATGTTCACCGTGTGGCCGCATAACGCGCTCGACAGTGATATAGTGTGGATGTAGAGTAGGTTCAACCCATCCCGCGTGAAGTGGGCATGGGGCAATTCCCGCACCGAAAAGCAAATATCCGCGGGAATGATCCCGGGACCCTCGTCGCCCTCGCCGGGGAACGTGACCTTGGTCTTCGCCCGCCAGCCCGGCTTGATGGCCACCGTCAGCTTCTTCGTCACATCTTCATAGATCGGGTTATCTTCGTCTTCGACCGGTTGGACTAACCTTTTGCGCGTGACGTTGAAGGTCTTGAGGCAGCCGCAGTACAGCTCTTCCAGACTACAATCCATGGGCCGCGCGATGGCCTTCATCTTCGTCGGGCCGGCCTTGGCCATCCGCGACGCGAAGGGCACGTCCGAACCAAAGCCGAAATCAGCGAAGGGATTGTCCGTACCAAAAAACTCCGTGAAGATCTCGCGCGCGTTCTGCGTGTAGGTCCAGCCGCCCTGGTACCCACCCGTGTCGTCGGGCACGCCGTCCCGGAGCGCTTCATAGCCGTACTGGTCGAAGACGGCCTTCTTCTGCTTATCTGTCAAGACCGTGTAGGCCTCGCCGACGTCCTGGAAGACCGCGAGGGCCTCGTCGGCCTTGTCGGGATTTTTGTCGGGGTGCCAGCGCATGGCCAGCTTGCGGTAGGCCTTCTTGATCTCCGCATCGGTGGCCGCTCGGCTGATCCCCAGAATCTGGTAGAAGTCCTTGCCCGTGTCCTCGGGGTTGTCGGCCATGGTCGCTCGTGTCCTTCGCGCCGGCGGCGCGGGCGGCTGCTGTGAGCGTGCTCGGGCGCGCCGCGGGCGGCGGCTTCGAGTGCTTGTGGGGTGGCTGCCCAAGGTCTCGCGCCGGCGGCCGCGGTGGTGCTTCGCGGTGCTGGCTGCGGGTCTGGTGCTCCCGAATGGCCCTGGCGAATGCGTATGTGCCTCAGGGCGGCTTTACGAGGCAGCGGGGCAGGCTTTGCGAGGGCAGCGTTGAGCCCCTCCACTAGCCTGAAACTCCCTAGCGCCCCGCGAGTTAAGGGGCGAGAGCCCTTTCCTACCACTTGCGAGGCCTCCGGCGCCCGCGAACGCCGTCACCGAGGGCTGTCTATCAAGAGTACGGGGGCTTGGCGCGAGACAACGCAAGGGAGACTGCCGCTGAGGCTCGGCCGCGCGCACCCTCGGGACGCGTCCGCCCCATAGAGCCGACGCCGCAAGTCGCCGGCGCCAAGCGCTCCGACGGGGGCAGCCCCGCGGCGAGATTATGGCGCTAGAGTAGTAGAGATGGAGGAGAGCTCAGCGCCGGCGCCCGCCGACGCCGAGGACGCCGCGTCGGTGACGCTCCCCGAGGTTTACGAAGACGCGCCGGAGGACTGGCGCCTGAGCATGGCAGTCGAGGACGGCCCAGAGAAGCCCCGACTGCCCGAGGGCTGGGCTGAACATATTGATGATGCCACCCAGCACCCCTACTACCACCACGAGGCCCTGAACGTGACGCAGTGGGAGTTTCCCTCGTCAGATCAAGCGTACGAAGAGGAGGACGTCTCGCGAGCCGTCGAGGCGCCCGAAGACGATAGTATAGAGTCCTGGGAAGTAGCTGCACCCGCTCCATCAAAGAAGATAAAGCCCCGCAAGCAGAACAAGGACTACATCGCGTTGGCCGACGCTTATAAATTAGAGAAGCAGTACCGCGACCTGACGAGTCTACCGACGTGCGTCATGTGCCATCGCAACCCTTGTCATGATGTGCTCTTCCCCTGCGAGCACAAGTGTGTTTGTCGGTCGTGTCTGCAGACCAATGGTATTGGTGAGAGCAGAGAGGAGGGCAAGTGGCCGCTCTGTCCTCTTTGTTGCCAGGAGATTAAGCGCATCCTGCCTTCTGATGGTCGGGAGGTGGAGAAGTACTGGAATTGGGTGCTGGAGGTCGAGCCGCGGTTGCCTCCCAAATTCGCGCAGCGGTTTGAATTTGCGGGCGCGTATCTACGGAACCACGACGACCCTCCCCAAGAATCGTGCGCGTGCGCGATCTCGTGACACCTGCGTGGTGTCGCGCCGAGCCGCCCTTGGTGGCGCCTCGAAACATGTGTAAAGCTTAGTTATCAACTTTGGACCCGCGGCGCCAATCCGAGTCCACGCTCCAGACCGAAATCTCAGAGTCGCTATCCGACGCCCTACGCTGAAGTCCTCATTCAGGACAAGCAACACGGTGCCGCCCCCGACGGCCTGACTACTCTGTTACACACTACCCTCCGGCTCGCTCCTTTGCGGGCCAAAACGTTCACCGACTGTCGACCTCCTTCTCTTGAACTTAACTCTTCTTAGACCTTCAATGCTAGGTAGCCCTGGGGCGCGCGGCGAGATCTTCGATGTGCAATTTAGTATTTCTCACTTTACGTCAGCGAAACATCAGCAAGGCATCGACCCCGTCGTCGTCCCCGATCACCAGTGGCTCCACCCGCACCTCGTCGTTCTTCACGCGAGCGCGGAACGCCCGCACGTGCCGCCCGACGCGCTCGTGCTCGACGCGGACGCGCGCCGCCGTCATGGCGTCGAGCTGCGACCGCAGCGCCCCCACGATGCCCCGGAGCAGCTGCTCCGCGCGGTCGAAGCGCTCGACGACGGAGCCGAGCCGCCTGACACTGTGCGCCGCGAACTGGACCGTGTGCGGCGCGCGGATGCGCTGCGGCCGCGCGCCGTCGATGGACGCCAGCGGCGTACAGAGCCTCGCCGTGTCCCGGACTTTGTCGCCGATCTCCGGGTCGTCGGCGATGACGACGGCCTCCTCCAAAGCCGCCAGCTGCCGCCCGAGCCGTTTCGCGACGTCGTGCGGAGCCACGCACGCCGCCTCGCCCGCCGAGATCTCCTCGAAGTCGTCGAGCGTCATGCACCCGGACGCGAAGCGCGTCGCCTCGGCCGCGCACAACCGCGACGCGAGGATGCCGAGGAGCTCCACGGCCTTGTTGGCTCGAGCTAACGCCTTTTCGGAGGCGACCCGCGCCTTCTCGTCGAAGGACGCTTTGCGGTCGTCGACAACATCGCCCAGGGCCAGCTCCAGGTCATCCGTCAACTCCAGGCGGACCTCGCGACATCTATCGGTGGACGTGATCTCCCGTTTCAACATCTGGCGCGCCGTCGTTTTGTACAGAGCGTCCCACCGCAAGTCATGTTCCCGCAATGCACTTCTAAATGATTTACGAGCCCAGGCGCAGTGCATCTCGATCAACGCGCGCTGGTCGTCCAAAGCGGTGCAGAACTGCGCGACGCAATCTCTATGAACTTCTAGGTCGTTGTGCCAGCCGTCGATGGACTGCTTCGCCCGCTCGAGGTCCACGTCCCTCACCCCGAGCTCCCGGTCGCGCCAGATGCGCGCCGCCGGGCTGAGGAGAGACACGCGTTCCTCGGCCTTGGCCGCGATCGTGGCTTCCAACCTACCTGCTTCCGTCGCTTCGGCCAACACTGTAGAAATCTGCTTCCTCGCCCTAAACTTCTCGAGGAGCGTCTTATCGCCCTGTTCTACCTCTTCCGCTTCGACGGGCGTGTCCGCCTCGTAGTCCTCGAGGACGCAGACGCAGGCCGCGACGCGCTCCTCTAATCGAATGAGGTGGTCCGGCGCCCAGGTCAATTTGATAGCGGCGTTGGCCGCACTTGCGATCTCGTCCACAACTCTTTCAGCCTCGAGCCGCTCCGCCTCGGCGGCCTCGGCCGCCTGTTGAGCTTCCTCCGCTTCGGCGTCGCCCTCCTGGGGCGCCGGGGCCGGCGCCGCCGCGTCGTCGTCGGCGGGTTCTCGCTTTAGCGTAATGAGACCGTCCCACGTGGGCGACGGCTCGTCCTCCGCCTCGGGACGGAAGGCCTGTTCCAGAAGCTCCGCCTGGGCGAGCGTCCTCGGGTAGCCGCCCACGCAAAAGCCCCGTCCCTGGTCCGCGGCCTCGTGGCAGAACGCGACCACCGTCTCGGCGAGGAGCGCGTCCGGCGCCGCGTCCGCGAGGGCTTTTACTTTCCTCTCGAAGGCCCTTGCTTTTTTGGCCTGGAGCCGCGCTTCGACGACGGCCGGGTCCTCCTCCTCCTCTGGCTCCGGCTCGACGAGCTCGTCGGCCCCTTCTTCTTCCGCCTCCGGTTGCTCCTCTCCTTCCTCCTCCTCGGGCTCCTCGTCCTCGCTCTCGTAATTCACAGCAGCCTCGGGCAGCTGGAGCAGGGCCTCGCCGCGCGCCTGGAGCGGCGGTATTACCGGCTCCTCCGGCTCCTCCTCTTCGGCTTCGCCAGCCTCTTCTTCGCCCTCCTCTCCTTCCGCAGGCGCGGGCGCGGCCGCGGCCGCCAGCTCCTTGAGCTCGGCGCGCCGCGCCTCGGCGCTGGAGAGGTCCTCGACGCCCTTTTCTCGAGCTTGCGCCAATGCATCTTCGAGGACGGCGAGGTCGTCGCCCTCGACGGCCGCATCCAAAGCCTCGGCGGCCTCCTGCTTTGCCGCCAGAGCGGCCTCGGCCTTCCTCAAAGCCGCGGCGACCGCTATCGATGCTGTACAAGTCACGAGGCCCATCACCGACGCGCCGTCCGCGACTAATTCACTGGAGGGCCCCAGCACGCAAATGCGCTTCGTAGAGGGCACTTCTGGTACTGCAGGTCGCAGCGAGGGCGGGTCGTCGCCAATGAGCAGTGACAGCGTCTCCGTCGCCAGATTAACAGGATCGCGACTGTCCCTACCGAAGCGCTCCTCGTGACTGATGCCCCAGCTCCAGTCGCCTTCACCAGCCTCGAAGGCCAATCTTTCAACAACGGCCTTCCTCGCGGAAGCGCTCGCGTCTCCTGGTGGGGGTGGTCCCGGATCGTCGTCGACGAAGTAAGGCTCTGCCGACACGTAAACCTCCTTCAGCGTCCGATACTCAGGAAACGGCATGGGCTTCCGGCCGTTGTCTTCCCGCACTTTCAGGACCACACAGACCATGTCTAAGAACTTGGAGACGGCGTCTCTAGCATACTCACAAGCATGCGCGTGCTTGCGCGCCGCATGCTTGGCCCTTTCTTCATCTATGATTGCCTGAATTGCCGCCAACCGCTCGGGGTCCTTGGCCCGTTCTCGAGCTTCCTCTTTTAACGTCTCAAACGCTTCGTCGGCCTTGGCTACTCTTTCGTCGACCTCCTTCTCGATCCTTGTCAACATTTGTTGTTGAGCTTTTTCTTTCGCCAAGGACTTCTCCCACAGAGCTTCCGAGAGCTTCCGCTGCGCGCGAGCCTTCTCCGCGAAGGCATCTAACCTCGATTGCTCGGCTCGATGCGCCTCTAATTCTTTCTGAGCTCGTCGCTGCTCGACGTGCATCTTCCGCTGCCGTCGCGCCTTCTCGAAGGCGGCGTTCCGGTTCCGGTCGCCCTTGTCTTTCAGAGTGGACATGAGGTCGTACGTCTCTTTTGGATCACCCGTATTTTCAGCGACGTGCTCCTCCATGCGCTTGAGGAAGACCGGGGCCGACTCCGGTGACCGGGGAGCCGTATTTAAATCGGAAGATGGACCGGCAATTCCTAAACGCGTCATGTTCCTTTCAAACCATTCGCATCCGCTCTTCTGGTCGCGCGACGCGTTCGCGTTCCTTTGTTGCTCCTCGACCTTCTTCGTATCTAACAAAGACAGTTCGAACCTCAGATCCCGGCGGACGCGTTGTCGTTCCCGCGTCAGAGCCTTCTTCCAGGTGTCGTAGCCAGTGTTCATCCAAGAAGCCATGAACTGCGCCTTGTCCCGCTCTCTCTCTAGATGAGCTTCCCTTCTTACTCTTCTTCTTTCCAGGAGTTCTTCCCTTTCCCGTTTCTCGTCCTTCTCGGCTTTGTCCATCTGCGAGCGGTGCTCCTTTTCATACCTCAGTAAGTGAATAGCCAGGTCCAAAGCCTGCCTCGAGGCGCGCGTGCCGCCACATCGCGCCACCATCTCCTCGTGGATGTCGCGCCGGACCCCATAATGCTCGCGCTTCCACGGCCGCGGCTTTATGGATTTCACGGCATCGATCTTCACAATGTTCGCCGACTTCGTGCTCTCGTACCAGGGCACGCCGTCGCGCATCCTGGTTTTGGGCGGCTTCGGTGGTACTCGCAACACATCGGTGGCGCCCCGTACGTCGGTCATCTTTGGTTATTCCTTCCGCGAGACCTACGCGGCCGCAGGAGCGCCCTCCGCGGCTGGCTCTGGTGCTTGCCTCCGCACACAAACGCCGAGCGCGAGGCTGCCCGCGTGGCCAAGGAGCGACGGTGGAGCGATGCGAGACGCCCGCTAGCCGAAGCCTGTCCTCCTCCGCGCTGGGCAGCGCTGCTATTGCGAGTTAGCGCCGGCGGCCATGGCAAAGGCGCTAGTATGTTTTCCGCCGTCTCTCGATCCCATGGCTCACGAGGACCGACTCCCACACGGGGTACCTGGCCGCCCGACCGTTCGCGAGGCCGCCGTCGGCGCAAAGCTGCCCATCATGCCCATCTCTTGGCCCTGCTCTCCCAATTTGCGGCAGCTACAGCGGCGCGAGGCCGCAGCCAGGGACCGCGCCGCACCGGCGACGCGACCCTTGGTTCGCCAGCCGGCGGCAGCCGGCGAAAACTGCGCGCTGCCCGGGTTCCGAGACCCTCTCCAGGCTGTGCCAAGTGAGCAAACGCGGAGCCCTCCCGTCGTCGAGCGAAGAAGAGCGCCCGTGCCAGAGAACGAACCAAGGCATGGCCCTGTCGACGCCCGAGTCCGACGTCGAGCTCGCGCGGCGGCAGCGCGAGGGCGTCTTCACGCCGCCGCCGCACTGGAAGCCCCGCCAGGAGGAGGTCGACCTGAAGAAGGACTACGCGTTCAAGCGGGCGCAGCGCGAGGGCGGCGTCTTCGATCCCGTCGAGGTGACGGGCGCCGCAGAGCAGGAACCTGCTTTAACGCGGGACCTGAACCCCTTCACGGAGACGGGCGCGGCGCTGCGGCGCGCGCGCCTGCGGAAGAAGTGGGCGCAGATCGAGGAAATCCGCCGCGACGAGCCCGTGATCTACGGCCCGGTCGCGGGCCAGCAGAACCCGGTCCTCGCGATCAAGGCTGAGGAGGAAGCGGCACCGGAGGAGCCGGAGGAGACGACGGAGTGGTCCGTCGACGACCCCGGTCAAACGTCTCCGCTGCGGGCCGTGCGGGAGGAGTGGCCGGAGGACGCCTAGTGTTTGTAAATTTTGAGTTGTACTTATACACTGACCCACACTAGCCTCCCCTGCTTCCGTTGCCGGAGCCGGTGGGCCGTCCTAGAGAACGACGAGAACCGCCTCCCCCGCCGCGAAGCTGAAGGGCTCCGACGAGAACCTCCAACGGAGAGCTGGCCGAGCGGCGTGCACGACTCCGCCGTCTTCCCCATGCACTTTATTTCGGCCGCGATTATCGCGTCCGCGTTGGCCAGTGCCCACCAGTCAGTCATAGCATGGTCGTCGTCGGCGCCAGCGGTGTGGTAAGACGAGTGCCCGGGCGTGCGCGGCACGTAGCAAGCCGTCACGTTTCTCGCCGAGAGGTGATGCGCCAGCGCATCCCTCGCAGGAGCGTTATCCGAGGCGATGTAAACGTCGCCGCCCCGCTGGCCGCGCCCGTGGGCCTGTTTCGCGAGCCGCGCCCACCCGGCGGCGCTGTTTTCCGCAAGACCGGCCGTCGGCGAGTCGTGCGTCCTATTCACCATATCCGCAGCAACCGTCTCCGGCGGCCGCTCGAAATCATAGCGGATCGATCGGATATGAGCCGCATTCGGAAAGGGATGCGCCGCCCCGGCGGCCTGTCTCGCGGCGGAGTTCGGACCCAGGCATCTCAGTGGCGCAAACCACGCGCCGCCCCGCGCCGGAACGAATACTGAGGGGTCGACGGACGGGTTGGCGTACCTACCTAATGTTTGGACGTAGGCCGAGGACGGCGTCTGCTTCCACGTCATCAGCGGCGGCGGACAGCCGGGGTGACAGGTGTGATTGGCCACGAGGCTGGGGCCCGCGCAGGTGAGCCGCTCGCAGATGCGGCGTAGGCGATCCGACTCATCCCCGACGATCTCGACTCTGCTGTTGCAGCGCCGTGCCCAGTGAAACGCTGCGAAGAGCACATCAAACGCGTTGCCGAACCCGGCGTGGTCGTATGTGACGCGGACCGGGCCGCAGCTGCTGTTCTGCCCCTTCGCCATCGCGCAGAGGGCCGCCGCGAGCAAACGCCTCATCGTCGACACCCCTATAGTATAGTTCAGCCGTTCCGAACCGTTTGAAAGGTCATGTTGGTTGCTCTCACGCGCATTGGACCGCACTGCACCACGGGACGACCGGATGCCGTCGACGCGGCAGCAGCATCTGGGGCAGCCTTTTGGCAAGCCAGCGTCGCCCTTTTCCCACCGTGAGGTTGCCAGAAGCTTTCTGGGGAGTCGTTTGGCCGCACACCAATTCTTGTGCAAGAAAGACTTGGATGGCGCGGCGCTAGAGCGACGGTCTGTGATCTCTCTGCCTCCAGCTTTTACAAAAAGAGCAATGGTTGGGCGCCTAAAAAAGGCACGTAAAGCAGCCCTCGACCGACATTCGTGTCGGACGACTCTCGCAAGTCTCACACGCGGCGCGAGCGGCAGCCCTACCAATGCCGCCGACACCGCTCCGGGATAATCTGAACGACATGGCCGCCCGCACGACGCGCGCCGCCGAGAAGGCGCGCATCGACGCGGCCCGGCGCAAGGCCGACGGGAAGGTCCGCGCGCAGCGGCGCTCGGCCGACGCGCGGTCCGCGGCCTTCGAGGCGCGCCGGGCCGTCGCGACGTTCCGCTGCCGGGGAGATGGTTTGAGGCGCTGCGTCAACGGGCGGTGCGCGTCGTTCGCCATCGACGCGCCGCACAAGAATCTAAAGTTCTTCGCCGCGCTGGAGTCGGCCACGCACCGCTATGAGCTTGATGTGGTGGAGGAGGACGGGACCTACGCGTGCTCCTACCTCGTCGCGGCGCCGCCGGGTCCCTACGAGCTCTCGATTCTGTTGGATGACGAGGTGCCCGTGCCCGGATCACCGTTCACAACAACCGTCGCGGCGGGGGCGCCCTGCGCGCTGGCCGGGCCAAACGAGGCGGCGCCGGGCGAGAAAATTGACATCGACGTGCGCGACGCCTACGGCCATGCGGCGGATTTCGACCTGCGCGTCGAGGGGCCAGCGGCGGCGGCGGGGAACGCCGTCGTGGTCCGAACTGACGCCACTCCCGGCGCCGAGATACTCGTCCACGCGTCCCGCGATGGCCGGCCGATACGCGGCTCGCCGGTCGGCGTCCGCGTGGTGCCCGCGCCGCCGCCGCCGGTTGGCTCACCGGAAGCGCCCGAGCCGCCGCCGCCGACGGGAGTACCACCGCCGCCGCCGGGTCCACCGCCCGGGGCGCCGCCACGAGCGCCGCCCGTGGCGCTCTCGCCATCGACGCCGCGGCGGCCGGTTGGGTCCCGCGCCGCGCTGAGCGCCGTCCGGGGCGACGCCGACGTGCGGGCTACACTCAAGTCCGCCGACGCGGCGCTCCGCGGCCTCTTCGCCGCCTACGCCAAGGCGTCGCCGACGCGCGGCGTCCAAATCCTGACCTTCGAGGACGTCCTGGCGCTCTGCGGCGACTTCGACATCGCACCGAGCCTGGTCGACGCCGACACGCTCCTGGCGTTGTACCGCGTCGTCGAAAAGCAAAAAAAGGCGCGCGGCCTCGCGTACGCCCAATTCCTCGACCTGCTCGCGCTCGTCGCGCGCGCGGCCTTGCTGGACGAATTGGCGACGGATGCGGCCTGCGTCAACGCGCTCCTCTTCCGCTGGGGGCTTGCGGATCCCGTGCGGCTCGAGGGGCTTCGGAGAGGGTAAGTTTTGTTAGCTAGTTAATCCAAGGCACTAGCTTTTGGGGCTGTCTGGCAATGGAGCGCCTTTGAGGCATCCTTTGCCGGCCTGGGCAGCTCCAGCACTGCCCGCGACCTAGAGAACTGCCCGGGGGCAGCCCGCATACCCGTGCGCAGCGGTGCGGGCAGCGATGCCGGTCTGCGAGGAGATCGATGGCGAAGACGAAGAGATTGTGATGACAGTGCTCGGCTCACTGGAGGACCTGCTCTATGAGCCCATAAGCATCGGTGGTGGCGGCGACTCGAGCGACAGCAGCGATGACGACGCCTGGAACTCGTGCGAGTCGAAGGAGGGCCACTCGCTGCGCGACGAGATCGAGACCTTCGCGGATCGTGCGATGGCGGCCGACGACGACGCTGGCGACGGCGAATATCCCTTGGTTTGGACGGAGCTTCACCATGCTTTCAAGAGCCTGGTCGAGGGTCACGTGCAGGGCGTCCTGGAGAGGTCACATCACACGCCGCAGAGCTTTGTGCGCCTCGTCGAAACGATCGAGAAGCGCGAGGGCTGGACCTGGGCGCGCGATGGCTGCCGCGAGGTCGTCTCGCTGCTGCGCGAGGTCGACGACTTTGAAACGTGGGCCCGCGAGCTACGGCGGAAGGCCGCCGCGCGGCGGGAGCGGGCGAGGCATAAGTAGTGTTTACTTTGTACTACGTTTCCTGGGCCTCGTCACGTTCGCAGACCGCGCGCGGAGCACGTTCCTCTTCGCGACGTGCTTCGTCGGCGCATTCGTGGCGATATTTGAGACATCGGCGGCGAAGCGGAGCGTCGCATTTGTCTCCTGAGCCTGGTCGGGCGCCACGTTCGCCACGACGAGGCATTTTCCCGTGCCCGAAAGCGGCCGCTGCAACAGACGAGTGAGCACGGAGTTCCGATAAGGTACGTGGACCGCGTCGTCCGAAGCGCGACCGCGCCGCGCGAGCGCCCGAAAGACGTCGCAGAGACAGAGGAGGCTCCGGTTGATGGCGCACGCTTCCCGGAGGCGCACGTCACATGCTCCTGGTTGCGCCGTGCCTGCCCGATCCGCCCGCTCGGAGCCGGCGAGGTCGACGAGCGTGAGAGAGCCCGTGAGCCGCTCGCGGCCGTCGTCGCCGTCCAACTCGACGCGCACCAGGGCGTGCGACCGCGACGACCGGTCGTTGAGCGCCGTCGCCGCGGTCCGTCGGGCGTCTGAGGCGCGCCGCACCAGGTCCGCCAGATCGTCGTCCGCCGATACCGTGTGAACGCTGGCACCGTCAACGGAGCCGTCGTCGCGGAGCACCAACGGCTCGCGGTCGTCGCCGAGCAGATCAAAGCACTTCTCGGCGTATACTTCCACGGCCGTAGCCCTGACTCGTAGACTCCAACCGCGCCGCTGCCGGTCCCTAGCGGCCGCGGCTATTGCTTTCGCCGCGGAAGGGACGATGCCGTCCTCACCAAGCATCGTATGGGTCTTTCCCGAGCCGGTCGCACCGTAGGCCAATACGCAGACGTCGTAGCCATCCAACGCGCTCCTCACGAGTGCATCCACCTCAGCGTACACCTCGCCCTGCGCCGATTCCGGCCCGAAGACGCGGTCGAGGCGCACGCACCGCGGCTTCGCAGAGGGCGCGGCGCCGCCATCGACCTTCGTCCGCGCCGCGGAGGGCACGACGACGGCGTCAAGGCCCTCGGCGCGGATGGCACCGGCACCTGGTTTCAACCGAGCGCAGACGCGAACGCCACCTCTGAGCGTTTGCAGCGCGTCGTGCAACTGGCGTCGCTGGGCATCACTCTCACGCAGGGCAACGTCAAGCTCCGCGCATCGCAGTAACGCTTTGGCTCCGCGGTCGTGGTGTTCGGCCGCCTCGTCCGATAGATTCTCTAACTCTGCCCGCGCCTGGGCGACCGCCGCGTCCCGTTCGCGCCTCGCCTCCTCAACTGACTCGTCGCGCTCCTCTTGCGCGGCGGCGACAGCCGCGTCGCGTTCCTCTTGTGCCGCGTTGACGGCAGAGTCGCGTTCCGCGCGAGAATCTCGAACACATTCTTCCACCGCGGCCAATTTCTCCTGCGCCTCTCTGACCACATCCCTTGACCTCGCCTCCGCGGCAGCGAGCGCGGCGCGCTGCGTCTCATCCGCCTTGCGGCACCGCGCGGCCTCGGCTTGTGCAAGGTCACGGGCCTTCTCGGCGCCGCTGGCACGCAACTCGGCCGTCGTCGCTGTCGCCTCGGCGGCCGCGGCTGCGGTCGTGGCGCGGTCGACGTCGCGCGCCGCTCTGGTTGCGACTCGCATAGCACAGAGCCTCGCCTTCGAGGCGGCGGTCCGCGCCTGTGCCGCCTCCGCCTGAGCCGCCGCCGCCCGAGCTACAGCGTCGTCCCGCGCCGCCTCGACCGCGGCGGACTGGATTTCGACGCGCGCCGCGCGGCCCTCCGCTTTCGTTCTAGCCGCGGTCGCGACCTTGATCTCCTCTTCCAAACGCTGCTGGGCGTCCTTCGCGTGACTCGCCGCGATCGCCGCTTCGTCCGCCCTGGCGTCAGCTTCAGCGCGCTTCGACCGTTCGGTCACCGCGTTTTGCCGCGCCGCGGCCACGTCGAGCGCGAGTTGCGCGTCTCTGGCGGCGACCCTCGCGTCGCGCCGGTCCATCTCTAAAGCGTCGCTCTGAGCCTTCGCGGCGCGTCGGTCTCGCCGACGCTCCGCCGACGCCTTTGCTTCTCGCAGCGCGGTACAAGCCGCGTCAGCCCGCCGTATCGCCGCGCGCCGCGCAGAGTTTGCAGCTGCAAACGCTGCATCCGCGGCGGCCGCCGCGTCGGCCGCACGGTCGCGGTCGGCCGCGCTCGCGGCGTCGCGATGCTCGAGCGTCTGGCGCAGTGCGTCGCGGACCCGCCTGTCCTCCGCCCGGGCGGCGTCCGCCTCCGCCGCGCGATTTCGCTCCGTTTTGGCGGCGGCGTCGGCCACAGCGACGCGGCGCTCCCATTCCTGGGACTCGGCCGCACGCAATGCCGCCTCCTCGTCGGCGGCCTGTGCTGCGTCGAAGGTGGCCTTGGCGACCTGCGCCGCTAGCTTTGCCTCGAGCTCGGCGATCGTCTCGGCGTGGCGCCGCGCCGTCGACTCCGTCACGCTCGTGGCCGCGAGGGCCGCCGCTCGCAGCACGCCTGCCGTTTCAGAAGCGGTGCGCCAGCGGTGGAAGGTGCGCCGCGCCGCCCGCGTCGTCAGGCGGCGCGCGAGATGCGCCAAGGCACGGCGCTGCGTCGCGCGTCGCCGCCAGGCCGCCCAGGCGTCACGCTTGGCCGCCTTCACGAGAATGGCTCCGGCGCGTCGTAGTGCGCGAGCGATTGCCGCCCGCCGCGCCGCTTCGCACTTCCATATGGCCCAGGCGCCCAAGCGCCGGTCGCCCGCGCGATGCCTGAGCACGAGCCGCGCCGCCCATCTGGCAGCGAGGTCCCGCTGCGACCGCGCCAACGCAAGCTTCGCCGCCAGCGTCCGGCGCCGCTCGTGTTCCAGAGCCCGCTCCAGCCGCGCCTCCTCGGCGGCCGCCGAGCGCTCGCGCGCGGCGGCCTCTTGCTCAGCGATTGAGCGCTCGCGGTTGAGAGCGGCGTAAGTCGCGTCAATCTTCTGCCGGCGCGTCGGCGGCGCCGGCGGCTCATCATAGAGGCTGGTCAGCCGCTCCGCGAGCGGCGGCTTGTATTGCCTTATTGGGTTGTGGGGCAGCTCTGCTCGACTGCCGGGCGCCATGATTCGCAGCCCGTCTGCTGTGATTGCGTCCCGCGGCGCGTCGCAATGACTTCGCTCGATCAATTCGCAGCCCTTCGGCTGCCCAGATTGCCTTCGTGCGCCTCGTTTCGCGGTGTGCAAAAGCTACCGGTCCCTCTAGCTAGAGTCTCTGCACTAGCTCGGCTCTGGGAGGTGTAATTGGAGGCCTAGTCATGCGTTGCCTGCTCCTGAACGAGGTGTCTCACTTTTGCCGTAGCCTAGTATCTTACGGGCCGCTAGCTCATCGAGCTTGGCGCGCCAGCTTAAAAAGCCATTGTGCTTGGCTCTTGTGGCCACACGCAGGCGCAGGGATTCACATCGGCCTTCTAGTCGAAGCAGCAAACTCGCCTGTCCGCCGCGTTGCCTGTGAAACCGATCCAGGGCACAGCCTCTCCCGCGCCAGCGCGCTGGTTTAAGCATACACAGCCAGCGCTGCGTGCTCAAGTGCTTTAAGCATTACAGAGCCACTCACGCCGTCGCTGCGCGCACTAGTCATGTATTCCACAACAACCACGGTCGCGCGCCCGAACTACGGCGCCGGCACGCCGCTCAAGCGCAAATGCGAGGACGGCTTGCCGCCTGCGAAGCGCACGCGCGGCACGGGGTTGACGCCGCTGCTCGCGCGGCGCGCCAAAATCACGTACACGTCGCCGCTCGACCAGCTGCGCTGCAGCGCGGCGCACGTGCTGCCGCCCGCGCCCGCGCCGGCCACCGCGCCGGCCACGTGCACGTCTTGCGCGAAGACCGCGCCGTGCGCCGCCTGCGCGTACTGCGAGCGGCCCGCCTGCGAGGGGTGCGCGCGGCGCTGCGAGGCCTGCGACGGCCTGTTCTGCGCCGTCTGCTCGACCGTCGACTACCAGGCGCGCTACGAGCGCGTCGTCTGCCTGTCGTGCGCCGAGGAGTCCGCACGCAGCAGCGGCGACGCCATGGACATGTGATAATCTGTGTTTAACTAACAAAATTTACCGGCTCGGACAGCAGCTCCGCGGAAGCGCCCGCGATGGCGTCCCTAGCGGCTCGCCCGCAGAGGGGGTGATCATCGTGGACGACCGCGACGGCCTCGTAGAGACTCTCCGTCGCGGGGCGCGGAACGAAGCCGTCGTCGCTCGCGAGGACGACCCTCACGCGCGCTTCGTCGAGGCGCTGCGGCGAGCGCAGCGCGCAGCGAGCCATCGCCACCGTCGTCGGGGCCAACAGCAGCGTCGGCCCTCGCCAGCCCCGCGACGCCAGCAACCGATGCGCGATGCCGCCGCCCCAGCTGAAGCCGACGACCAGGGCCACGCGATGGCGCGCGAGCAGGCGCTTCGCGTTGGCCGCGCCGTGACACTCCGCGAACCGGACGACGCCGGCGACGCAGAGCCGCGCGGCCACGAGGGTTGCCGCGATGATTAAGATGGCGAAGACGACGAAGGGCTCGAGCGTGCATTCGTTCCATGCGTAGATTGCGAGCCAGACGACGCCGGCGAGCAATAACAGAAACGGATTCGCGCACCAATACACGCCACACGGCGGCATCGGCAGCGGCACGCGCACGCATCGCAGGCCGCGCTGGCGGAGGGAGTGTTCGAGGGCGGGCAGCGGGCCGTCGGACCAGCCGGAGAGGATTAGGACTGCTAACTCGTCAGAGTCTCCCATGCTGTTATGCCGAGCTATGCGCCGGCTTTGGCGGCAGTCTGCCAATGTGCTCTCCTGTTTGTGAGATGCTCTCGGGCTTGTACGCGTGCCAGCAGTACTGAACAATAAGCGCCCGGTTCGACGGTTCGCAGACACGACTCCTGCACGACTTTTTGGCTATACTTTGCACGGGAGGACGGCACAAAAACAGATGCCGCGCGCCGAGGCTGAAAGCTAGCGGAGCTAAGGCACTAGCCCCATAGCGCCTCGGCGGATTGCTTATAGGCTAGACCTAACGCACGACGGCGTACCACGAAGACAGACGCGCGCGCGCGACGCCTCGCATCGATAACGGGCAGCCCCCGCGCCATCGCCGCGGCCGGCGCTCCGCAACAGTACAAGAGGTAGGCAGCCCCAAGGCACTCGCAGGGCCGCACGATGGGCAATGGCTCCTCCCTGCCGAGCGAGTACAAACAAAAAATCACAGCCGCCTTCCAGATAAAAAACACGGAGGCATGGCGGAACGCCGACGACTTCGACGATGAATTGGAGATGCGGAATGAATTGATGAACCTGCGAGCGCTCGCCGCGGAGCTCGTCAAGGATGATAGAAGGAAGTCCACGGTGTATGTGCAGCCCACGGAGAAGTCCTTGGCAGTCAAAAAAATGCTCCACGCGGCGATGGCCATGAATCCCTTCTTCAAGCGGTGTCGGACGCCGGAGAAGGAGGAGATGCTCGGAGCTTTCAAGTTTGTCCACTTTGATGCGAAACACGTGATCATACAACAGGGCGATCGGGGCGACGAGTTCTACGTGCTCGAGTCAGGTACTGTCGAATTTCACGTGGAATCGAGGGGCAAGGTCGGCGCGTGCGGCATGGGTCGGGGGTTTGGCGAGTTGGCGTTGATGTACAACACGCCTCGATCGGCTTCCTGCATCGCCGCGACGGAGTGCACGGCCTGGACCCTTGATCGAAGTACGTTTCGCGCGATTCTGGCGAAGCACGCTAAAAAAAGAGCTCTCGCCTACAAGGAGCTTTTGAAGAAAGTAATATTGAACAAGGACAAACACTTCATGGGGCCGACGCGCCCGCTGACGGACTGCATCACGGAGGCGCAGTTGACGAAATTGGCCGGTGCGATGGACGAGGAGTGCGGAGCCGCGTCCGGACGTCGCCTTCAGTCGTGGCCTCGCGTCGATGGCGTGCCAGTGGTCGGAACGCCATCGCCGCGACCCGTAACAACCACGCAGGCACCAATTGGATGGCACGGACATTATTAGGGAGGGCGACGAGGGCAAGACCTTCTACGTCATCTCTTCCGGTACCGTCGAAGTCACGATAAAGGACGTAGGGAAAGTAGCCGAGCTTCATGAGGGAGACTACTTCGGCGAACGAGCCTTGGTGGCCGACGACAAGCGCACGGCGACGTGCACGGCGATCGGGAATGATTGCCGCGTGCTCACGTTGGACCGAGAAGACTTTGTGGCTCTATTGGGAAGCGTCGAGGACCTCGTGCAGCACGGCACCAACGAGGAAGTAGAAGTTGTTGAGCAAGAAGATAGGGTAGCTTTGGACGTCACTCTAGAAGTTCTAGATGTACAACGAACGTTGGGTCATGGGGCCTTCGGGAAAGTACAACTCGTCATGGACCGGAGGAATGGCACGAGCTACGCTCTCAAATATCAGTCGAAGGCCATGATCGTCGAGAACTCGCTCTGCGACCATGTTTTACGAGAGAGAGAAATGCTCATGAAGCTCGACCACCCTTGTATAGTTAAATTATATTGCTCCTTCCAAGACCGGTGTTACATCTACTTTTTGTTGGAGATATTAACGGGTGGCGAGATCTTCGCCTACCTGCGGAAGCAGCAGCGCTTTTCTGAAAGCACTTGTAAATTCTACGCGAACGCCGTGACGCAAGCGCTACAGCACATGCACGAGAAACGAGTAGCCTATAGAGACTTGAAGCCGGAGAACATCTGTTTGGATTCGCGAGGCTATCCTCGACTAGTAGACTTTTCGCTAGCCAAGGTCGTCGACACGCGGACGTGGACGCTCTGCGGCTCGCCGGACTATCTAGCCCCGGAAATCATTTTGAATGAGGGCCACGACCGCGCCGTGGACTACTGGGCGCTAGGAGTGTTGGCCTTCGAGATGGTCGACGGGAAGACACCGTTCTTCGCCGAGCGGCCGATGGACGTCTACGAGAAAATTCTCGAGGGCAAGTACAAGATGCCTCCTCATTGCTCTGGTCATTTGGAAAATATTATACATTTGCTGTTGAGGCCGAACCAAGGTAAGAGGTTAGGTAACGGCAAGGGCGGCGTCGAGGCGATCAACGACCACCGCTTCTTCGCCGGGTATACGTATGTTACTGCTCGCGTGCCTATCAAAATTGAAAAAGCCGAGGACTCCGACGAGAGCGACGTGGAGAACTATTTTGTGGAAGACGAGGAGGAGAAGGGTGACGACGTGGCTCCGGAGCCGTCGGCCTGGACGCCGGCGCTGGACGCGGGGGCGGAGATCCGGCTCTGAGTGGCGCGTCGACGGCGTTGTCCGAGTCCGCCCCCACGCCATCGACGCGAAGTTCTCCCGGTACCGAGGCTGTGATGTGATAAGAATAAAGATTAGTGTACACATCGCGTCACGGAAGAGAACTCGCAACGAATCTAGAAGAGGCCGAAGAACTTCTTCTCCGGCTGCTTCGCCTTGGCCACGTCGATCTTCGGCGCGCCGCCGCGGCCCCACCGGTTCTGCTGGAGCTTCTTCGGGTCCACGGCGCCGGCGTCGCGCCACATCTGCATGTCCGCCGAGATGCCGTTCTTCTGCGCGCGCGCGGTAACGCCATCTTTAAATCCGGCCTCGGCGCCGCCGCCCGACCGCGCGCCGCGGCCCGTCCAGTCCAGCGCACCCGCCTCGCCGAAGATGCCCACGGAGAAGCCGTCGCGCTTGGAACCGGGATTGTACATAGCGTCGAACTTGTTGGCCTTGGCCTTTTTCGCCTTGCCGTCGTTGAAGGCGTACATGCCGAAGCCCGTGTTCATCCAGCCCTTCTTGCCCGTCAGGTCGGAGTTCGTCCAGGAGCCGCCGCGCTGCATGTACGGCACGTCCTTCAGCGGGATCTCGCCCGTCTTTACCTTCTCCGGGTCGACGGGGAACAGGTGCTCGGCCTCGCCCCGCTCCTGGGCGCGCATAAACGACGCCATTGACCGGCTCTCGAAGCCGCGCGCGCCGCCGGCGCCGAAGTTCTTCTTTTTTTTGGCGTCGGCTTCTCTCTTCTTTAATTTGGCGTATTCCTCCGGCGACATGCCGCTCGGCACGTAGGCCGCGAGCTGTGTGGCAGCTTTGGGTGCAGCAGGCTTTAGGAAGGCCTCAGCGCCTAAAGCGAGCGCGACGATTGCTGCGGCCTTCATCATAGCTGCAAAGTAATGCCCTGCAGCGTCGCAACCACGCACGACTTCGCACGTGCCGCGGACAGCGGTGCCACGCGAGAGTCTCCTCGAAGGGTTTGCGGTGGATCGTGCGGGGTGCGGTCGACGCTGCACGCAGTCCAGAAAAACTTAGGTCATCATGCTTCCCCCCTCCTCGAGCTTCTTCTGCTCCGCGAGCGCCTTCTTCTTCGCCCGCGTCGCGCGGCCCCACGAGACGACGACGAGCCGCGTGATCTGGTTCATGAAGCCCTTGCCCAGGTTCTTGCGCCACTCCGGCAGCTCCGAGAGCATTTCCTCGGTGACGGCGATGACTGGTCGCATGAGCGACTCCTCGAGGCCGTTCTCCGTGACCTTGTCGCAGATGACGCGCGCGAAGTGGTTGCAGTTGTGGTCGAAGACGTTGTACGACTCGGGCTGCCACTGGCTTTGCAAAGCGTCCGACGCGATCCACTCCTCGAGCTCCTGCTCCGTGATCGTCGCGGGCCCCAAATCAAAGGACACCTGGGGGAAGTCCTCGAGCATGTCCTGCATCACGGCGACGGGCCGCGACTCGATCACGTCGCTGTAAAAGTATTCCGTGCCGTACAATCTAACACCAACATGGGGAATCATCGGGAGCTGCTTGCTGCACGTCAGCGACAGCACCTGGGTCAGCTCGCCGCCGATGTTATATACCGTACATTTCATCGTATCACTGGACTCGTCGACGTCGTCAAAATTATCCCGGCCCCACAGCGGCTGCGCGAACTCCGCCGTCTGCGCGTGTAGCGCGGTCCTTGGCCTCGTCGTCGGCATCGACGGCGCCACGAGGGCGGAGGCTGCTGCAGCCAATGCGAGATAGCGGCACATCGTCGTGGAGAGAGCTTTGTGCCGCGGCGACAGGCGTTACGATGAATCAGTAGCCGGTGCGTCTGCCTCGTATGCTGCAAGTTTGCGACGCAAGCAGCAATCTCGCAGCAACAAGTTGTTGGATTTATTGACTGCCAGCTAGCGGTTAGACACTAGCGGAACAATAATTCCGCCGACTGGTCCTGGCACCGAACAGAAAAATTCACGAACATCAAGATCACACAATCAACTACATCTTACAGTCGTCGAGGCGGACCGGCACGTCCGCGAGGGGGTACCAGCGGTGGCGGAAGCCGCCTTCGTCCACGCGGACGACGCGCAGCCCCGAGCTTTCCGGCCCGGCGACGACGGATGGACGGCCGACGGTCGTGCGGAAATCTGGTTTGGACATGACAGCTATCTCCGCCGGCGTCAGAGTCCAGTTGACCATGGACCCGACCGCAGAGCTCGTGACGATCTCGAGCCGCCCGTGGCGCGCGACCGCGTTGCCGTGGAGGTGGCCGCAAAGCCAGAGCCGGGCCCCGGCCCGCGTGGCGTGCGCCAGGACTGCCCGCCGCGCGGGCAGCGGCCAGTTGGCCCACCCCTCGGCCTCGTCCGGCGCACCGACATAGGGGCAGATGTGCGAGAGGACAACCACTCGTTCCGCACGCGTCCCAAAGGCCTCCGCGGCCCAGGACGCGTGTGCCGCGCTCCGCGCCGCGACGGCGGCCTTGATGAGCTGCGAGTTCAAACTCACAAACAGCACGCCGCCGACCCAGAACCGCAGGTAGTCGTCGCCGAAGCGTTTCTGGTACTCGCGGACCGCAGCTTCCGTCGGCTTCTGTCCCAGGTCGTGGTTCCCCGGCTCCAGGACGAGCGGTATGGATGGTTCGAGGCGCGCGAGTGCGCGCTCGAACGCCTCCACTTGGTCGGGGACCGCTGGCTTCCCCGGGAAGCCGTTGATGAGGTCGCCCGAGACGACCACGAAGCGTGGCTTGAGTCGGTTTACATGCTCGACGGCCAGCGCGAGCATGGCGAGCTCCTCCCGCCACGACGCGTCGCGATGCAGCATGCCGAGTTGCGGGTCCGCGAGCTGCACGAAATGGAAGCTCCCGCGCCAGGTGCCCTCCTCCGCGGGGCCCAGGCCGGCGATCGTGTGGTTCCGGGTCCGTGCGCGGTGATTGTCCCAATACACGTCGTGCCGAGTCTCCGGCAGCCGGAGCGCCGTGAAGATGACGACGGCCGCGGCGGCCGCGCCAATGATCGCGCGGCGCTTCGTGCTGGACATCTGCGGACGAGGCTGTGCTGCTGCACGAGAAAGCGCTGATGATCCAGCGGTTGCGGCTCTCCGTTTCATCCAGTGATGCACGCCGCGGCAGGTTGCTCTCTGAGTCTCTCACTGCTAAAAATGATCACAGCGATGCAGGATTGACGAATTGAGCTGCGAAAAGAAGTACGCGAAGAGATGTGGCCTCGGAGCCCCTAATTCCGGAGCGATGCGGCTGCAACCTAGCTAGCACGGGAGATCTCACCAAAATGGCCAAAACCGGAGCTAGCGACATGTAAGGCACTAGCAAGAAAGGCTGGATTTGGCTGGCCGGTCATTAAGTGGCCGCCGAAGCCACGCGCAGCGGCTAGAGCTTGCATAACATACGGAGGTTACGTGTGCGAAGCGATTTCCATAAGTGTTGCTGGCGCGCGGAGTTCTCTGCACCACAAGTGCAGCATGGTCCTTCAACGGCTTTCACGCGTCGCATTGATGGTTGTTGCGACGGCGCAGCGGGCGCAAGCGCAGCAGTCGGAGCTGACGCCTATCAAGATCGGCCTGGAGTGGTTTCTCAACCCAGACCACCTCCCGCTCGTGGTGGCGCTGAGAGAGGGCTATTTCAAGGACGCGGGACTTCACGTCACGCTCGTCGAGCCTGCGGACCACTGGGAAGCGGAAGAAGAGATCATCGCGGGACGCCTCGACGTCGCCGTGACGGAGACGTTGCATCTGGCGCAGGACGCGGCGCGCGGCAAGCCGGTCATCGGCTTCTCGCGCTTCCTCCACACCGACGGCGGCGTGATGTACCTCAAGAATCGCGGCATCGAGCGCCCGAGTGACATGTGCGGTAAGAAGATCAGCTATCCGGGCTATCCCGGCCCGGGTGGCCCCGCGATCGTGGGCACGATGGTCAAGGCCGACGGCGGCGAGTGCTCGGAACCATTCGGCAAGCACGACGGCGGCTTCTACCACGTCGACGCGCTCGTCAACGGCGCCGACGTCGCCACGCTGATCTTCAGCAACTTCGAGATGGTCGAAGCGAAGAGCCGAGGCCTCGACGCGGGCTTCTTTAGTCTCAAGGACTGGGGCGTCCCGGACTTTTGCCAGCTGGTTTTATTTACGACGCCGGAGAAGCTCGAGGCTTCCTCGGCGGACCTGAGGACACTAGTCCTCGCCGTGCGCCGCGCCACGGGCCTCATCAAGGGCGACCCAGCACGTGCTCGCGACATCTGGTTCGAACACACGCGTACGAACCGCCCGCTCCTCGCGCGCCTGAACCCGCTGACGGCGCGCGCGCGCATGCGCGAGGCCCGCGTCGCGCGGGACACGTTCGAGGCGACGCTGCCGGCCTTCGTCAACGACAACACGCTTGCGCAGGAGTACTGGTCCGCGCTCGCGGCGTGGCTCGTCGAGACGGGGCAGATCGACGGCGATCCGGTCGCCTCGTCGGGCTACTGGACCAACGGCCTCGCGCTCTAGGATCTGTGCAGATGTGTATCAAGTCTAGGAAAACAAGTTTACGTCCCGCTACCGCAGGGTACAGGTGATCACCGCATTGCGGGGTCGCAGGGCCCGTCGAAGAGGAAGCCCTCGCCGGCGTACTGTTCGTCGCCGCGCGGTGCCGAGAAATCCGGAATTGGGATCGTGACGCCCTGCGCCTGCATCAACGCGAGCACGACGCCGAGCGGTATCCCCCCCGTGCGTGCGACGCGCTCGAGCACCGCCGCGACGCCGCGCAGGAACCGCGCCACGTTCTCGAGCGGCGAGGGCTCGGGCTCCTCGTAGGGGTCGTACGACTCGTCGACCCAGGACGGCGGCATGCCGGAGCGGGGCCGCGGCAGGCCTCTCCTTGCCACAACGCTCGCGACGGTCGGCCGGATGGCCGCAATCTCGGACGCGCGGTAGCCGAGGCTGCGCAGGCGCGCGGCGTCGCTCATCGAGGCGGGGGCGGCCGTCGCGCACGTCGCGGCGACGGCGTAGAGGGCGGTGCGCATCGTTCGCATCGTTCGCCGCAGCGTTCACCGCAGTGTTTTAAACTGATATGAATGCTCTCCTTGCCAAGGGCGGCACGCGGCGTGAAAGCTACTCGAGCTTATGTGCGGCCCACACGATATGAAAGTAGTGATTTTCACGCCTCAGCAGGTGCCAGTGGCTTGACTACACGCAGCAATGCCACGGCGCGCTTAAGTTTTTGTGATTGCTAGTGTCTTACAAGACGCTAGCTTCGCCGGTTTTGCCATTTTTTGGCAAGGTTGGGCACAAGGGCCCCTTGGAGCCCCTGGTGCTGTTCAGCGGTCGCCACTCAAGCGCCTGAGCGGTACGGGAATTGTACAGCAGTCCTCGCGCTCCCCAAAAAAAGGCGGCTTGGATCCCAGTAGAAAAAGCGTCCCGCAAAAATGCCGATAGAGGACCTCGAAGCAAAGATAAAGGCCGTGATGGCGAAGTCCAAGACCGCCCTAGCGGCGCAGCCGGCGCCGGCGCCCGTGCGGGACGCCTTCGCCGCCGCGCCGCCGCCGCCCGTGGCCGCGGCTCCGGCGGCGCCACCCGAGCCCGAGCCCGCGGCGCTGTTAGATGCGGTCTTCGGCGGCGACGGGGACGTGGCCGCGCCAACTCCGCCACCCGAACCGGCACCCGCGGCTTTGTTAGATGCGGTCTTTGGGGGCGACGACGCCGCGGCGTTCGCGCCGCCCGCGCCGCCGAGCGTCGTGGAAGTGACGCCCGCGGCCTCGCCGACGCCCGCGCCGGCCATTGAACAGCCGCCGCCGCCGCCTCCAACGTATAGCCACGACCCCGAGGACCTCAAGCCGACGCCGCCCATGCCGCCCAAACAACCCCTCGGCCGCGTCGTGGCCGACGACCCGCCACCTCCCGTAGTGGAACCCGTACCAGTACCGGAAAAGAGCATCTACGAGCGCGCGATCGCCGCGGCAGCGGCATCTCCTAGAAGAAAGGCGCCGGAGCGCGGGAGACAACGGACGCGGGGAGCGACACCAAAACGAGCGCCGAGCCCCGCTCTGAGACACAAGGTCGACCCGGCAGCCCAGCGCTTGTACGACCGCGCCGCGGAGGTCCGACGGAAGCTCGAAGAAAAAAGAAAACAACGACCGCCGAAGTGCACGTTCCAGCCCAAGATCGACGCCGTCTCGAAGAAGGTCGCGGCGGCGGCGGCGTCGATGGCGCCTAGACATGAGCGCTTACATGGAGACGCGGAGAGACGCAGAGCGGCTTTAAGAGCAAGGATCGAGACGCAACAACGCCGCGAGAAGCAGGCGCACACGCCGCGCATGTTGACAAGGGGCAAGCCGACGAAGTGGAGCGCCAAAAAGCGCTCGGACGCGTTACATGCGCACGCCGCGGCAATTAGGGACCGCCTCGCCGCCCAACGAGCAAGGGAAGCGTCGCAGCCTAGAGGTTGTACCTTCACTCCTGTTACTACCTCAAGAGCGCGGTCTGCAAGTCCTGCGCGGCGCGGCGTCGACGCGTCTACCAGACTACACAACAAGGGCGCGGAGATGCGCGCGAACCGCGTGAGAGAAAGGGACGCTGCTCGCAAGAGAGAGATCGCGGGCTGCTCCTTCACGCCGCGCATGGCTACCAGGGCGCGGTCGGCAAGTCCCGCGCCCCGCGGAAGAGACGTCGCGACGCGGGCGGCGACCTTCGAACGCGAACGGCAGCGACGCTTAAGAGAACTCCGAGCGAAGCGTGACGCTCTGGAGAGGAAGGACTGCTCCTTCCGGCCGCGCTTCCACACGCAACCGCAAGACGATGAGTCCGTGAACACTAGTGATACGCGAACGGTGGCACGAACGACGTCCAGACTGGCGGGAACGGACACGGCGGCTCGAAAAACCGCATTTAGGGAAGCAAAACTCCGGGAGCAGCTCGCGCAACATACGTTCAGCCCGCAGATTCCCAGTAGTAGAAAAGTGAAGACCCCGAAGCGCGACGCGAGCCCGGCGCCGGCCCACGAGCGCTTGCACGCCGAGGGGAGGGATCGCGAAGCGAAACGGCGGGACTTGCGGGAAGCGCAACGCGAGAAGGAGTTAGAAAGTTGCCCCTTTCGCCCGTCGATGCCTCGACGGTTCTCAGAGTCCGACGAAAACGCCTGGGACCGACTGTTGGACGATGGGAGGGATAAAAAAGCCGTGTATGAAGAAGTAAAAAGGCAGCAAGAGCTCGACGGGTGTACGTTTCAACCTACGACTGGAGACAAGTCACACCTACCTTTGCAGACTCATGATGTACCGGTCGAGGAGCGGTTACTAGCTACGGAGAATCAAGTTTATGCTCGTGTTTCACGTCGGGAGGCGATGAAGCGCGACTTGGAGTTGGAGGGCTGCACTTTTCAGCCTGTGGTTGGTCGACCTCCTCGCTCGAGGGGCGAATCCTGGGAGCACGAGTCCGTGGCTTCGTCGCACGTCGAGGACACGGTATCTAGATTGGAGGAGGACGTCTATCGGCGTCGGGCTGCGTCGGTGGAGCGAAGGCGGTCTGCTAGATTGTCTGCGGAGGCTGAAAGGAAAGCAAGAAGTGTACCCGTTTCGCCACGCGTCGATCCCGCGCGTCTAGCAGCATTATCAAAAGCCAAGGGCGGCGTGAATCCCGCGAGAAGGAAGGCCGACCTGCGGCGGCAGCGGGAGATGAACGCGAGGCCGAAGGTCCTGGACCGACCGGCGCCGGACTTTGGGGCCCGCGGGACGCGCGTGACGACGCCGCGCGGCAACCGGGCGCCGTCGCCCCGTAGGACGCCGCGCCGCTCCCCGTCGCCGGGTGGTCGGCGCGCGCCGTCGCCATCCATGAGGCAACGCGCGCCGCCGCCGCCGCCGCCGCCTCCTGAAAGCTCGACGACGGCGAGCTCTTCCCTGGAAGAGGCGCCCTCTCATAGATCGGAGTTCGAGCGGTGGCAGAGCGAGATGGAGGCGAAGCTCGCGGCGCTCTAGTTTTGCCTCCCGGACCCCCCTTAAACGTTTTGACCGTTAGTCTTGTCACTTGCCACGCCTCGCTGCGGCCGCGCGCGGCACGTGTTAGGACCAGACGATGGCCCCCCTAGCAGTGGTCAGTTTCAACTGATTACCCGACGACAGCGACTACGGCGCCGCCGCCGAGGCGAAGAGACAGAGGCGTCTGCTCGATGGCGCGAGACGCCGCCGGCGCCGCCGAGGCGCAGAGACGACAAGCTAGAGGTACTCGTCCTCCTTGTCCTTCTTTTTCCGGGCTTCGTCGCGCTTCATGCGCGCCTGCCTTTCTTCTTCCTCCTTGCGCTTCTGCGCGCGGCGCTTCTCGCGCGCCGCACGCCGCTTGACCCTAGACCAGTAGGCGTCGTATTTCACGCGCATGTCGTCGTTCAAGACCTTGAGCATGGACAGGTCCCACGCGTCCAATGAACGCACGGTGCAGAAGTTGTAGGCGGCGTCGGCGAAGGTATCGTAGTCCGGCAGCCCTTCGGCGGTGGCGCACCGGTTGGCATCCACCAAGAACAGCTTTTCCGGCGACGCGCCGAAGACCGGATCTCTTTTAGCGAAGATTTCGACCTTGCCGCGCATCAAGTCGTGCTCGCCGCCTACTAAGCTGCATAGTGCTGATTTGAAGAATAGTCGAGTCGCGTTCGCAGCCGTCAAATTGTCCTGGACGACCTCCGTCGCGACGGCCTCAAACGCATCCGCCGCGCGCGAGTACAACTTGAGCTGCAAGGCCTCGATGGCCGCCGCCTCGAGCTTGCAGAGGCGCATCTTTGCCGCTTTCGTCTCGTCGTGCAGCCGCCGCGCCGCGGCGCCGTACATGTCCGCCGCGCTCCTCAATAGGAGCACTCTTTCAGACCAGCCCTCCTCGTCGTCCTGCGCGTCTCGTGCTGCTAAGCGGGCCACGCGATGTCGCAGCTCCGCGGCAGTGGCCCAGCTACCTAGGTCGCAGCACTGGTCGCAGGCCTCCGCATAATGATCTCTTGCTCGATCAGGATCATTGGCCTCGCTCAGCTCGCCGCACCGGACATGGTATTCGACGGCCTCGGCGGTCGCACCCCGACTGAGCCTTGCAGACATGTCGGCGCACTTGCCGTAGGCGTCGGCGCAGCGCTCGGGCTTGCCCGCGGCCGCGTAGGCGCGCGCCGCTCGGTCGTAGCGCTCGCGCGCTTCCGCATATTTGAGGGACGGGGCGTTCTCGATGCGGAACCGAGCGAGTAACGACTTGGCCACCTGTTCGTGATGTAAAGCTGCTTTCAGCTGCTTTCTCGCCCCTATCGATGACATTCTATATACCTATCGGCTTCGGCGAGGAAATGCACTTGAGTTTTTCCGACTGGCGCTTTTGTTTTTTGGACTTGGGCTCCTTCTCCGGGCTCTCTTTGCTCTTGGCGGACTGCGCGGACGCGGGCGCGCTGAGGATGATTTCTTCTTCCGAGCGCTTGCGCTGCGACGGCGTCAGGGGCGGCTCCTTCTTCTCCTCGTCGTCGTCCTCGGGCTTCTTCTTGGTAGGTGTGCTCGTCTTTATCTTGGGGCTGTCGCACATCTTCGCATGGGGCCGGCCAGCGGTGGGGTTTCCGGTTTTGATTGTTGCAGAGCTCCTCTCCAGAAGGTTTCTGGGGGCGAGGGCTTGCTATCTCGTGAGATACAGCGCTGCTCCTGACCGATGCGGCTGGATAATGGACCTAGCGGTCATGTTAACACACTAGCTCTCGAGAACTGTCCACGGAACGCTCGCCTACGCGTCGCCTACGTGACACGCCACGCACACATCACTCACTCGAACCCCAAAGGCCGGCGGCCGCGAAGCTTGGGCGCTGCAGCAGACCCGTTGTGCGAGCTTGCAAGCTCTTTTGGGCAGCCTGTGCCACTATCAGTGGACGGGCAGCGCCACACGCACCGCCGGCGCAGCCCCGGTGGAGCAATCGCCCTGCTGCGGACCGATTTTCTGCCTGGAGCTACACCTACGAGCTTGTACACACCATAACAAAATGGTCATCATGCGCCCGCCGCACCGGCGGGCCCCCAAGCCTCCTCCTGTGGCTCTGGGCGTTGCGGGCAGCCGCGTCGCACCCGTGCTGCGATCGCCAGACGTCGAAAACCTGGATCCACAACAACGCCCGAGGAAGCCGCCGCCACGCAAGCGCGACGTCGCCGAGGCCGTCGCCGGTGCGCGCGCGCGGGCGAAGAAGCAAGCAGAGCAGCGTCTGCGTGAGCGAAACAACCTGTGGCTGCACGGCCGGCGGCGGCGACGACGGAAACGCATCGATGCGCCCGTGGTGCCGGCGGTGGCCGAGGGACCTGCCCCGGCGCCGGCGCTCCGTGCAGCACCCGAGGCCCGCGCGCCGCCGCCGAGCCGTCGTTCGTCGCAGTCGTCGCGACTCAAGGACGCGCCAGGGAGATCATCGCAGTCCTCGCGCCTCAAGGACACAGCTCCGCTGCCGCTATCCCCCCAAACGATCAAGAAGCGCCCGTTCACGCCCAAGCCGCCGCCGCCGCCGCCGGAGACCGTGAAGAAGGATACTGCAATGGCGCTGCCCGGCGGCGGTACTAATTGCGCGTACTGGGAGCGCGTCGCCGCCGATTACGACTGCGAAATAATGGATACCCTGACGGAAGACAAGGGCAAGGTGCTGAGGAAGCGCCTCCGCGACTGCTGCCGGAAATTGCGGAAGACGAAAGGCGGTATCCTTGCCCTAGATGCGGGCTGCGGCGCGGGCAAGTGGCTTCCCTTCCTGGGCTCGCTCGTCGACGACCTCTTGGCCATCGACTGCTCACAAAAACTCGTCGAGCGGGCGAAAAGAGTTTACGGCTCGCCCGGCAGGGTGACGGCGACGGGGCGGCCGCGGGCGCCTTGTCGCTTTGGAGTTGTGGACCTCACCAAGGACGAGCCGGGAGAAGTCGAACGCCACGACTTGGTGATCTCGGCGAATGTCCTGATCGCACCCGACCGCGCCGTGTGCGAGGCCATCCTCGCGGCGACGCTCAAACGCGTCGCGAACGGAGGCTATCTGGTGCTCCTCGTGCCGTCCAACGAGTCGGCGCGAGCCGTGGCCAACGCCTACATGCGGCATCGCCTGCCCCAAAAGAAAAAGCTCGGCCGGTCCGACAGGCATCGGGACTTCACGCCTCTGAACGCTCCGGATGTAGATTCTCAGGTGTGGAAGCGCTGGGGCGTCCGTACGCAATGTTATTCGCTGGCCGTGTTGCGCGGATTGCTGAATGTGGAGGGGTACGACGTCGAGCGCATCCAGCGCGTCGAGCACGATTGGGATACCGAACTCGACATAAAAATACCCAAGGCCGCGCGGCCGTTCGACTGGCTCGCCGTTGTGCGACGGCGAGACTCGGACGAGAAATAGTGTAACAATTGTATATTAACAAACAACTTCAGGCCTCGGCCACAGGCGTTCCAGTCCTGTGTGCGCGCTCGGCGAGGTACGCCCGTTGCAACTCGGCGTGGGCGAGGCGCCGCCGGTACCGCAGTTGCGCGCCGCGGCGAATCCCGCGACAGCAACACAGGCCCAGCAGGACGTACAACGCGCCGGTCGCGATGACCGCGGACGCAGCGACGACGCGGTACTTTTCGAGCGCCTTTGCGGCTTCGCCAGGCACGCAGACGAGTTCTCCCTGCTTCATCGTGACCTGTGTGGAAATCAAAATTTTACGGCGCGTTCGCTGAATCATCGCGTCGTCCTCCACGTCATCGACGCGGCACCTGCTCGATGGCGTGGCGATGCCGGTTCCTCACCGCTCGACCGAGCCAGGATGGCCGCGTCATCGCCGTGCACCCGACGCACTGGTTGATTTCCACACAGATCGTGACTCGCGTTTCGTTCGTGGCCGCGTCTGCCGCCGCGCCTGGCAGTGCGATTACTCCGAGGAACGCGTACAGAAGCCCACGGACGGTCCAGTAGCGGCCCGTCCACTGATCGTCGTGTGAAATCACACCCAGCTCAAATCCCACGATACAGAGGCATAGGGCGAATTGATAGCTAATCGACGCCGCAAATATGGCGCCAGGCAGGCCGCCTCTTGGAGCCGGGGCGGCCACAAAGGCCATGAGCTGTATGACGTGGGCTGCGCCGAGCGCACCCGCGGCGCACGCGGTCACGAACGCTACTGCGTCGAAGATGGCCAGCACGCAGCCGCGCGAGACATCCTCGGGCACTACTTCGTCGTCGAGCGTCAACAGCGAGTTCGTGCTGGCGTCGTCGAGCGGCGGTGCGGACGCTATCGGAGTCTGCTCGCTCAATCTCCTCTGAGGAGGCGTGTCTGGTATGCGTTTTGGCGTGCTGCCCTCGGACATGGCTTTTGCGGTCGTCGTCAAAAAGCGTCTCAGGGTGGCGCTGCAAGCCTGTGCTGCTTTTGTCACGCTGCAAGGTGAGCGTCGCAGAAAGCGATGCGGAACTAGTTGCACAGCAAGTCAATGCGTCACCTCAAACCGATTCCGAGCTCCGATACTGGCAGTAGCGTCCAGACAGAGCAAAAAATGCGAAAGGCACCGAAGCCAGCGTACTGACATACTAGGATGGGGCCTCAGAAAAAGTCTGGGACGCAAGGCCTCGTAGTAACGGCACCGGGGAGCAGCCCACGATGGAAAAATCACCGCCGCGAGTCAGCGTGGAGCCGGCGGACCAGCAGCGTGCCCTCGTCTCGGTCACCCCAGACCTCGGGTCAGCCGCACAGCAGACCGGAGCCATGGCCCTCGCGCCACCGGTCAAACTAGCCGGCCCGGCCTACGCGACGGCGTTGGAACAGGCCATGGCCGAGCAGCAGCGGGAAATCGCGCTCTCGCGCAACGAGATCGAGGCCGCGCGCCAGGAGGCGCTCCAAGCGCGCAGAAGCGAGGAGCACACGAAGACCGAGCTGATTAATGCCCGCGCCAAGTTCGCCATGGACGTGGCGGAGATCCGCGAGGGCGCCGCGCGAGAACTCGACGACCGGTGCGAGCGCCGGGCCGCGGACGCGAGAAAACGCGCGGCCGCAGCGGACGCAGCTGCCGCAGCTTCTCGTTGCGCCCTCGAGGCGCATAGAGCGCAGGCGCGGCGCGACGTCGACGCCGCGCGGCAAGAGGCGGCGCGCGCGGACCGGGCCTCGAACCGACTGCTCTTGATATTGGTGCTGGCTGCCGTAGGTATCGCGGCGCTGACGCATCGCGCCGTGGTCACGTTGCCTCGCAAGCTCGAGCGGCGCACGTCGCGCGCGGCGCGGCTACGGGCGGCCCTTTCCGAAGCCGTCGCGTCGAACGAGCGAGCCGCCAACGCCTGCGTTCAGAAGATTGCCGACGCGCACCGCGACGGCGCCCGCACGAAGCGCGACCGCCTCGAGGCCTGCGACGCCGCCGCCGCGGAGACGTCCCGGGCGCTCGCCGACGTCGCCGCAAATCATTATTTTTGTGCGCCGGTCTCGGCCGTCGCGCGCGTCGTCGACGTCGCGGCGGGCGCCCGGGCCGCTTGTGCCGCGCCAGGCCTCGCGGACTCGGAGCCGGCGGCGTCGGCGAAGATCCGCCTGTGATGAATTGTCGTCATCGTTCCCCGGGAGATCCCTGAGATAAGACCAAGAATGTGATTTAAGAAGGCAACGCATCCCTGTTGCGGTGCTAGGGAGACACCGCGCGTCGTCGGCGGGCGGCGCGGGCCGCGTCTTTCATAATAGCATACACCTGAGTAGAGCTCCTCCGGCAATCCCCCCTGAGACGTATCTGCCAAGACCCAACGTTCGATGGTGCGTACGAAGAGCTCTGCGAGCCACGCTTCAGCCTCCCGGCTCGCTCCGCCCCGCCTCGGGTGGTTGGAGCGCCTCGTTTCGCGCAAAGCGTGCGCTCAAGCGCCGGGTTGCTGGCGCTAACGCCAAGAGCACTGCTCGGCGTGGTCGCCAGCGCACGTTGACGCACACAAAACGCTTTTGCCGGCTGCCCAGCCACACATACCAGCCCTAGGGGCAGCCAGCAACGATGAGGCGCAACAACAAGCCCGCCGAGCGCGGCCGCCGCCCGCGGCGGAAGAAGGCGCCGCCGGGCATGCCGAATTTGAGGATGCGTCCTTTACCAGGGCAGCCGGCGAAGCCGCGCGTCAAGAACCACCAGAAGCCGGTCCGCGCTCAAGAGGCGCCGCCCGGGCCCAAGGAGGTCGCCTACCAGCGCAAGGTCGCGGCGGCTAGAGCCGTCGGCTACCGCGAAACTTTACTGATGCAGCTGAACGCCGTCGTGCTGCACTGGCCGCGTAGAGCGTCGGCGCAACGATCGGCCGCGGAGGCCGCGCGCTTACTCAAGAACGTCGCTTCGGAACTGAGGACGGCCGGGCTCAGATGTGTGGAGAAGATCGTGGCCTGGGTGCTCGTCGAGTCGAAGGACTGCGCGCGGCCGCGGCCGTTCCTCTGGAACGGGCGCGACTACCTCCTCAAGATGTCGGACGACCTGGACTTCGTGTCGGAAGCCTTGGGCAGTGAGGCGTGGCGGCTGGCTTGTTTCTGTCGCGGGAACCCGTTGCTCTTGACGCGAGACGAGATCCGGGGCGTGGGCAAGGCCCGAGATGTTGGTAGATTACAAGCAGCTTCTGTGGTCATCCTCGACGTCGTGCGTCGTAAAAAGGCCGACGAGGTCGTCGCGCGGTCCGGACGCAAGCGACGTCAAATCGAGAAGATCGAGGACCGCGAGGAGGATATTGGAGAGAAGTACAAGAGCGCGCGGACCGGCGAGGCGACGCCGTCATCGGTGAAGAAAACACCAATGAGGACGGGCGAGGGTCCGGCGCGCCGCCGCTTGGCCGAGGTCCGGGCGGCGGCCTTGGCCTACGACGAGGAGGTCCAGGCCGCGTCGGTTGCTGAGGAGCCCGCGGCGCCAGTGACGCCGAAGCAGCCGACTCCTAAACAGCCCACACCGCACCAGCCGACGCCAAAAGAACCGACACCTAAGCAGCCGACGCCTCACCAGCCGACGCCGCAACAGCCCACGCCGCAACAGCCAAAAGAACCGACGCCCAAGCCAACACCACTATTCAAAGTCGGCGACCGCGTCGAAGGCGACTTCGAGGGCCTCGGCGAGTTCTACGCTGGACAAATTGGAGCAATGAATGACGACGGCACCTTCCTTATCAAGTACGACGACGGCGACGAGGAGGATAAAGTACCACAAGATAGACTGAGAAAGATCACTGCTACGTCACCAGCTTCGCAGAAGACGGTGGCCATCGCGGAGCCCGACATCTGGCGGGCGGACGACGACCATGAAAGTGTCTCGGACGAGCCGACGCAGGCCCCCGGTGGCGACAGCGCGTCCGGTTTGACCAGTTCGCAGGATTATGACGACGATTTCGACGAAGTTGTAACTGCGGAGGGCGCCGCGAAGTATGTCTTCGAGCCGGGGTTGCTCGGCGAAGGGGCCTACGGTGAGGTGAAACAGGCTCGCCACCGGGAGACGGGCCAGCAGGTCGCCGTCAAAAGGTTGAAAGTTGTGGTCGAGGGCGAAGACGACGACGACGCCGCGCGGTATGCCGTACAAACCGCAGAGAGGGAACGAGATGTCTTATTATTGTTGGGGCGAGACCACAAGAACGTAGCTTGTTTAGTTGATTGGTGGCGCGAGGACGTGAAAATAAAACCACAACAAACAGTAAGTGCACCGGTGCTATGCTTTGAACTAGCTGGTAGCACGTGCTTGGAAGCGTTGGAAGAGTTAGGTCCCCTACCGAAGGGTCTCTGTGTTGGTTTAACCTCAGACTTGTGTGCGGGCTTAGCGCATGCCCACTCCTTGGGCATTGTCCACCGCGACGTCAAGCCTGAGAACGTGCTTTTATCGAGAGATGCGACGAAAGACGATTTACAGCGATCGTGGGACGATCCCCAAAGGCCGCAACTGCGGTTGTGCGACTTCGGGGCCGCGCGGAAGCTCGAGGACGTGTCGGGGAAGAGCTGTCTGGACCTGACGCACTATATTGGGAGTAGGTGGTACCGAGCGCCGGAGATGATGGCCTCCTCGACGAAATACGGCGTGGCCGTGGACGTCTGGGGCGCGGCGTGCATCACGGCTGAACTAGCTACGGGCGAACCACTCTTCCCTGGGGACGACGAGCATGCCGTGTTACGACGGGTGTCAAGAGTACTAGGACCGTTTCCCGAGCAAGTAGGTCAGTACTTGATGGGTTTGGGCGTGCCCCGAAGATGCCTGGACGCGGGGCCGGCGCCGGGTCTGAAAGCTTCGCGACGAGGAGCTTTGGTGAAAGCTTTGTCGGAGCCCGTCGTCGACGTTCTTAAAGATATGCTCCACTGCGACAGTAACTTGCGACCGTCCGCCTCAGAATGTGTTATTAGGTTACAAGCGGCGATGCGGCCCGCGACGGCCAAGGTCGAGGAGGCGCCGCTGAAGTGCTGGTCGGAATGCGAGCGACTTAAACAGACGTGGGAGCCCGTCGTACAAGCGGGCGCCACGGCGTTCAAGACATCTGCGAACCAACCGCATCGCGCCGTGCCCGACGCGCAGCAGTTGTACGCGGCGGCGGCCGATGCCTTGGCCGAGGCCGTATCCGAGAATAGAGAAGGCGTCTCGGCGTGGCTCCGAGAACTCCTTCTGGGGGAGGACACGCCGCCGGGGGCCGCGAGGTCTGTCATAAGGTGTTTGCGGTGGTCCGTGGACGCGGCCGTCGTGCCTCGAGTGGCAAGGTGCCGCGACTGGGTGCTAGCCCAACAGCAGCGCGGCGAATTGACGCTGACGCAAGCCGTGGATGCGGTCGAGGCCCAAGTCGGGCGGGTCGACGCTACTGGATCTAAAAGAGCGTCTGCGGCCGCTCATGCTCTGCAAAGGGCCTACTGTTTACTAGCCGAAGCATCGGTCGAGAATCCGCCGAAAGTCCTGCAAGACCTGAGCGAGCCCGATTCATCAAACCAGGAGGAGAAGAATGATCTGGGGGCCGGGTCCGACGTCGGCTGTGCTGCATTAACAGAAACGCCCGCGTTAGCCCCAGGGGAGAGTTCGTTGGGCGCCGCCGAGGAGCGGTTCCACGTGCGATCGGTGAACGAAGCCTTAGCTGTGGTCACGCCCATGCTCGTCGACTCGGAAGTTGCGAGCGTGGCGAAGGCTCGTGGTTTATTACGGTTGGAGGGGTTATTAGGATTGCCTCGGCTAAGGGACCACGCGGCTTTATTACGGCCGGCCTCGAAGGCCGCGTTACTCTATGTGGCTCTAGCGAGGCGACCGGCGCAGCGCCTGAACCTCGTGACGTCCCGCAAGAGGGCCTGGGAGGACTGCGAAGCTCTATTGGAGAAGCACGCCGGCGCGCTGCAGGAAGCTTCTTCACAGGTTCTGTCCGATGACGCATTTGCCCTCGAGGAGGAGTCGGACGACGAGAGTGTTTCGTTAGAAGACGAGGACGACCCTCCCATTAAAGGAGAAGCTTCATTTGTCGTGTGTCCCTACTACCGGGTGCCCTTCGGCCAAAAGTATGTCGAGGGTAGCGCAGTCGAGGAGGGCGAAGGCCTAGGCCCGCGCAAGGAACTCTTTGCTTTATTAGGTGGTGCCGTCACTAGATCCTGGACGCCTGTTATTGGTGATCCGTTGCGCGTCGAAGCAAGTGAAGGTGCTCGCTCATTACGAGTTACTTGTGACGAAGCGAACCCCCAAGTTGTGAAATCAGGGGACTGTCTCGCGGTGGACTTTGAAGGCGACACGTTAGAACTACAAGTGGAGAAGGTCTCTGATAACGTGGTGAGGGTGTCGACGAACGCGCCCGCCGTGCGCGTCCTCGCGAAGAGGTATGGTGATAGTGAAGACGCAGAAACCAAGTTGTTGGAAGCGTTAACCGGGTCGGTCTGCGAGGCTAGACGCTCAGCAGCACCTCTACTAGCCCATCGGAAGGATTTGGAAGCTCTATGGCCGAATCCGGCCTTGCCTAGGACCGCCGAGAACGCCAAACGGTTAGCCACATTAGGCTTGTTGATCGGTTCGGCGGTCCCGAACCAGTGCCAGCTGCCCCTAGATCTGCCTCCGCTCTTCTTTGAAGTGCTCGGCGTCGCAGAGGACGCACCGAATGATACAGCTACTCATTTAGTAGACCATTTCCTCGCCAAGAGGGGCGACGCGGGCCTAAGGGCCCTGGACGCGTCCTACGACGACGCCTTGCGAGGGCTCCGAGCCTTGGATGCGACGGGCATTCAGAGTGTCGCGGACATGGAAGGGATCACGCTATCGAGTCAGGATCATGCCTTGGAGGTCGCGAGGAAAGCTTCACTGGAAAGATGTCGTGAATTGGAGTGGCAGCTGCGCGCGCTGAGGCGAGGTTTCGAGCGCGCCATGCCGAAGAAGGTGCGGAGGGCGGTGCGGCCGTCGGCGCGGGATTTGCAGCGCGTGGCGTGCGGTGCTCCTGAAGTTCGGGGAGATTTCCGATTCCGAGACGTGTTTCGGGTGGTCATGGATGCTGAATTAAGGGATTGCCGGCCTTTGCATGACGCGCTCTGGGCGGTGGTCGATGGGGAGGACGACGCGCTCAACGACCTCGAGCTGAAGAAGATCGATGACCTGACCGGTGAAGAGGCACCGCGGCGTTGTGAGCCATTAACACCCGCGCAAAGAAGGAAATTACTTGTCTTTGTGACCGGGGTGTCTCGGTTACCGGCGAGGCACGCGGAGTTTTTGACGGTGGAGTTACCCTTTTTACCGTTCGGCGTCGACGAGCAACGGAGGATGCTGGCCATGGTGCCCCAGTCGCATACGTGTGACAACATCCTGGAGCTGCCGAACTACTGGGAAGCTTTGTTAAAAACTAAAACAGATGAAGCCAGGCCACCTAGGAGGGGCTCGCGCGAGTGCAACGCCCTCGAGAGGGAACTGCGAAGAATTGTGAGGGAGAAGCTGCTCGTGGCTTTGGATAACGCCGTCGGCTACGGCTTGGACGCTTTAGAACCTCACGTGACGCACGCCCTAGCTTGCGCGGCGGCCGAGGACGACGCGGCCGCCGCGGCGCTGCTCGCCTCGTCGCGGGCGATGCGCGACGCGCGGGCGTCGGACGACGCGCAGTACGACCCCTTCGACGACGAGGAGTCGATTCCGTCCCTACCGGAGCTCAAGGAGGACGACGACGACCCGATCCCCATGCTGCAGGAGGCCACCGCCGCGACGACGAGGCCGTCCCTGCAGTCGGACGACGACATTCCGGATTTACTCGATGCGCCGAAGCAGGAGGACAATTCCGTGGACCTGGAGATCCTCCACGCCTTGGCGGCGTCACCCATTCGCGACGCTAGACCCGCGTCGCCCGACGCTGAACTGTCAGTGGGTGATTTAGGAGGAGGCGACGACGACCTCGCGGAGGAGGAGCTGGGCGTGACCTTCAAGCCCGTGGAACAGGACCTGCGGGAGAGCCCGGCGCGGCCCAAAGGTCAAAACGAGGACGTGCTCGACGAGGAGGTCTCGGACGACGACGCCGTCGCGCCGTCCCGGCGCAACTCGCTCTCGTCCGCGGGGCGGCCGGCGACGCCCGAGCCCGTCGATCAGCCGACGACGCCGGCCGCCGCGGACGACTTCTCCGACGTCGAGGAGCTCGAGACCGCGCAATTGCCGAAGACTCCCGCGGCGGAGGATTTGTCCGACGCGGAGGAGCTCGAACCGTCCAAGCCGGCGTCGGAGTTCGCCGTGGGCGCGCGCGTCGAGGCCCGCTTCGAGGGCGGCGACAAGTGGTACCCTGGGAAAGTTTTTTCGGTGCACGACGACGGCCATTACGTTATTCACTACGACGACGGCGACGAGGAAGACCGGGTGCCGGCCGCGTTCGTGCGCAAGGCCGAGCCTGTCGCGGAGGAACCCGCCGCCGCTGCCGCGGGCGATGACGACGGCGACGACTTCCTCGCCGGCATCGAGGACGAACTGGGCCTAAACACGACAGCCCAGAAGTCCGAAACGCCGGCGGACGAGCCCTCACAGCCCGCGAATCCGTCGTCGGACGACGACCTGAGCGACGTCCTCGCCGGCTTGGACGACGACCTTCCCGGTCTTGACCTCGAGAAGCCGGTGGAGGCGCCGCGGGAACCCGAGCCCACTCCGGCACCGGAGCCAGAGCGGTTGGCTGAGGCCGCCCCCGAGACGCCAGCTGCGGAGCTCTCCGACGCAGAAGAACCCAAGCAACCAGACCCCGAAACACCGGAGCTACCGACCGAGGAGGCGCCTACGTTCGCGCAACCGCCGACGACGCCCGCGGCGGCGAGCGACTTGTCGGATGTCGAAGAACTTGAGCCCTTCAAGCCAAAGACGCCTGCGGCAGCGGACGACCTCTCGGACGTAGAGGAGCTCGAGCCCGAGCCCGCCAAGCCTGCTCCCGCCAAGCCGGCAACTCCCCCCGCAACGGAGACGTTCGCGATCGGGGCCCGCATCGAGGCAAGGTTTAATGGCTCTGACGCCTGGTACCCCGGGAAAGTCTTCACAGCACACCCCGACGGCACCTACTATATCAGATTTGACGATGGAGATGAGCAGGACAACGTGCCCGCAGCGGACGTGCGAAAGGCCGATGAGCCTGCCGCGGAGGAGCCCGCGGGCGACATCCTCGCCGATCTGGAAGAGGATCTGCCCGGCCTCGACCTCGAGAAGCCGGCGGAGCCAGAGGAGCCGGCCAAGCCGCCGGCCACGGCGGCGGAGCCGGCGTTCGCCATCGGCGCTCGCGTCGAGGCAAGGTATAATGGCGGCGAGTCCTGGTACCCGGGCAAAATATTCACCGTGCACCCCGACGGCACTCATTTCATCAAGTATGATGACGGGGACACTGAGGACAACGTGCCCGCGGCCTACATACGACCGGAGCCCGCGGCCGAGCCGGAGCCCGCCGAGGAGCCCAAGCCCGCCAAGCAGATGGGCAGTATGCTGGCCGACGTCGAGTCGGACTCCAGCGACGGCGAGGTGTCGCTGCGGCAGGTCACGCCCCCGGCCGAGGAGCCCGCCGCCGCGCAGCCTGAACAGGAAGAGGACATCCTCGCCGGCCTCGGCGACCTGGGTTTGGACTCGGCGTCCGTCGCGGAGCCTCCGAAGGCGGCAGACAAGCCAACGGACGAGTTCGACTACGACGAGCTCGAAGCTGACCTTTTCGGAGGAAGCGACGACGCTGTGAAGCCCGGGACGGCCGGCACGCGCCCGACAACCGTGGACAGCCGGGATTACGACGACTCGCGGCCGAGCACCTACGACTCGCGGAGCTACTCCAACCGCGCCGGCACGGCGGGCACGGACGGGTACTCCTACTCGAACTACGACTCGCGGCCGGAGACGCGCGAGCCCGCTGATTCCAAACCCGGGACCGCCGGCACGGCGGGCGGCTACTTCGACTCACGGCCCCAGACGGAGGGGACCGACTACAACTTCGACGACGACTTTTCGGACTTCGAAATTTAAGACTGTTAACCTATAACTAGTAGCGCAGCTCGGTGCTCCGGAACTTTTCCACCGTCCCGTCGTCAAGCTTTACAGAGATCCAGCCGCCCGCGACCTTTGTTACGATGCCTTCCTCGTCGTCGAGCGCGAGCGCCACGTGGTCGCCGACCGCGGGCAGCTCCTTCTTCACGCGGGCTGGCGTCGCCGCCTTTTTTGCTGATTTTTTTGCCGTTCGTGCGGGAGCAGCGGAACGTACGTGTGCCGCTGGTACATTGGCCTCATTGTGACCATCGTCGAATGCGATCTCATAGCCGCCCGGGCCGCCGCCGGAGACGCGCCCTGGGTACCAGTTCCCGTCCTCCCAACGCGCCTCCACCGCAGCACCCACGGCGAATTCAGCGTTGCCACGCCTCAGTATCCATTTGCGGCACGCCATGAACACCGCCCCGACCGGGCACGAGAGAGCGGCGTAGTACGCCACGTGACCGAAAGCGCCGTACCCCAACGCGTCGATGTCGTAGAGCCAGGGGTACACGTAGGCTCCCGTCCACGCGAAGTTTAGGGATGTCAATGCTCCGTAGAAGCCCGTGTAGAGACCTGCTGCCGCGAGAATTGAAACCGGCGACGGTACGTGCCGCACGAGGACGTCGCGCTTCTTCACACCCAGCACGTCCAGCAAGGGGCACAGCCACAGTGGCGTGTGCATCAGGTGCATCCAGCGCTCGTAGGGCACGCCGAGCGACTCGTGGTAGGTCCATTGGTCGCGCCACGTCGGATTACAGCATCTCATGAGCAGGTAAAAGAAAAAGAAGAGGCCGTACACTACAAGACCGAGGCCGAGGCAGGCCGGGGCCGCGGCGTGGGCCTGGGCCTCGTAGTTGCCCGTCGTCGCGGCTACGACGGACAACGTGTGGTACACTAACAACACGAGCAGGATCTGCGCCGTAAGGTAGACCCAGACCCCTAGGTACGCGCGCAGCTCGATCTCGTGCTGGCCCATGTCGCGGCCCGTCTCGTCGTACCACGCCCGCGGCACCGGCTGCGGCAGGTGGTGCTGCATGTAGTTCGCGCAGGCCATGACGGCGAAGAGGAGCGTCGCGAGGGCGGCGCGGGCGGGCTCCGCCGGCGTCGGCTGTTTAGCGGCGCGTTTTGCTGATGACTTTTTAGCTGGTGATTTCGCGCGCGGCTTCGCCGGCGACTTGGCCCGGGGCTTGGCGGCGGCGCGGCGCGGGCGCGCGTCTTCGCTCTCGAGCTGCCGCGCGAGGGCTAGCGAGGCCGCATCGGCCTTGGCGCGCCTCGGGCGCTGCATTGCTGTTGCAAGCGCTGCTGCCTTGGTGGTGAGGACTGCTGCCTAAGGGCTGCCCGTGGAGGTTATATTGCTGCCGACTCGCCGCGGCAGTGTCGCGGTGCTGTTCTGGCCGAGGGGTTGCGCTTGGAGCCTGCAATTGCACCGAATTGGCCCAAGGAGCAAGGCGAAACAGGCGCTCTGCCAGCGAGGGGCCGCCTCAAGGAGGCCTCGGCCGAACCATACCAGGCCTCGAGAGCACGGTATGGAGCCCTATGGCCGATGTTCTTGCTAGGCTCTCGGCGCTTGGCGCTGTGCGCGTTGCATTTGTGCGCGGCGCCAGGCGTCGATTGCCGGGCAGCATCGCGGCCAAGGCTTTCGCAGAGAGGACCCTCCTGCTGCCCGTGCGCGGATCTGCGAGTTTGGCGCTGCCACGAGGCGGTGCCACGACTCTGCAGCTAAGGTGCTGCCATGAGGTCCCCCTATGCAGCAGAACCAGCCGCACCACCGGCGGAGGTCGCCGCCCCGACGCGCACGCCGCAGGGCAAGGTGCGAGAGAAGCTCGACCAAAGCAAGCCCAAGTCCTTCAGGACCTACTCGCGTTTCGGCCGGGACCCCGAGGTCTACTTCTGGACCATCGACCACGTCCTCTACGGCTTGGCTCGCGCCGCCGCGAGTACGACGAAGGTCATCCGCGTCTGGAGCGCGGGCTGCGCCGGCGGCGAGGAGCCCTACTCGCTGGCTATCGCGTGGCGCGCGGTGCTGGCGGAGCGCTTCCCGGCCGTGCGGCTCGAGATTGTTGCGACGGACGTCGATGACATGTCGCTGCGACGAGCTAAGGCCGGCGTCTTCGATGTCCACGCCGTGGCCAATCTGCCGGTGGAATGGGTCGCCGCATGCTTCCAGCTCCTCGACGACGGCCGCTACGAACTCTCGGAGGAGATTAGAAGGAGCGTCTCGTTCTCCAAGGGCGACGCCGTCACCGATTCTCCACCAGAGGGCCCCTTCGACCTCGTGTTGGCGCGCTACTCGCTCTTCCTGTACCTCGCGCCGGAGGACGCGAGGCGAGCCTTGGAGAAGGTCCAGAGGGTACTAAAAGGCACGCTCGTGACGGGCCTCTCCGACTCCTTGCCGCAGGACCACGCTCTACAATGTGTCCAAGGGGCGCCGAACGGCGTCTACCGGTGCTCCGAGGACGAGCCGCCATCACCGAACGACGGCCGCCCGGCGACGCTCACGGAGCTTCTGGGATTGGAGGAGCGGCTCGGGACCAAGCGCGAGCCGCCTCCCAAAAGGGTGACGGTGTCGCGCGGCAGCCGCCGTATTCTGGAGAAGACATCGCGGGGCGAGGACCCCTTCCCGGAACACCGCTTCCCGCGGACGGCGTCGATGGGCGTCGCGCCGGAGCCCGAGAATCTAGAGAGACCGCGGACGGCCGTGGCCTTCGGTAGCACGGGGCCGCTCCCGGCGTCGCCGCCGCGGCGGCCCCGCAGCGCGCGCGTCGCCCCGCCCGAACCGGCGCGGCGGCCGGCGCCGCCGCCCGCGCCCGCGCGGAAGAAGAAGGTCCTGCCCGAGGCGGCGCGGGCGGCGCTCTTCGACCGGCTGCAGCGGCCCGCGAGCGCCCCGGCAAAGCGCCCGGTGAAGTCGCACTCGGGACCGACGTGGATCATCAAGTCGGAGCCGCGGCCGGAGTACGTGGCCCCGGCCCGGAAGAGCCTCAGGTCCGCCGACGCGCGGAAGGTCGTCGAGCGCCTGTACACGGCCGACTGCGCGAGGCGCGAGGAGCGGGTGCAGGCCAACGCGAAGGCCTACTTCCGCCCGGCGAAGCGGCGGCGGCGCCAGAAGGGCAAGAAGGCCGTGCGTTCCTTTCTGTCGAGGCTGCGACGCTCCGACGCGAAGCGCAAGAAGCGACTGAAGGCGATTCGCGACGCAGTTTTTGCCGCCGAGCGCGGCGTCGAGCGGACGGCCGAGGACGCGGTTGGACTGCAGAATCTCTCGCGCCTCGCTGCGGCTCCTAGACCGCCGCCGCCGACGCGGCGCCCACCTCCGCCGCCCGCGTCTCTTTCGGGGTCCTCGGGTTCCTCCGGCGGCGGTAGTAGCGGACGTCTGGCGTTCAGCACGGGCACCGGCGCGTCTGGCAGTCGTGGACAATTTGTTCCCACAAGGCCGCGGACCACCGATCAGGGCTACACGTCGCGATGCGCCCGACCGCGGTCCGCGCGGACCGCACCCGTGGCGCCCACGCGCCCGACGGTGCGGTATCGCATGGCCACCGCGGTCGGGGCCGTCGAAGTCGCGGCCTCGCCGTCCGGAAAATTGCGGCATGGGCCGAAACGCATGGACGTCACATCCCTCCTGCGCCGAGCTTACTGCGAGCCGAAGGTTCTGTTGGCACCGCCTTGATATGTTAACAACAATGGATTACTCCTCAACACCGGGTAGTGGTGGCGGCGGCGACACCGTGCCGCCGCGCGGCTCGGAGACCTCTCCGTCCGACGCCGCGCTCGAAGACGCGTCGGATTCTTTTTTCCGACGCTTCTTCTCCTTCTTTTTCCGTTTCTTCTCTTTCTTCAGAGCCTTCTTCGCTTTTTTCTTCAATTTTTTCTTCTCTTTCTTGCGACGTTTCTTGTCGCCGCTCGACGACGACGACGAGGACGACGACGAATCGTCGTCGCTGCGCGTCATGAGTCCCACGACGCCTCCATGTAAACCGGAGGCCGCCAATCTTTGCCCTTCCTCGCCGAGGCCCTTGCGCTTCCGCTTCAGAGCCTTCTCGCGGTCCTTGGCGGCCGACGCCGCGTACTCGCGCTCGGCCTTCTCGTCGAAGTCTCCGAGGTCCTTTTTTGCTTTGGCGATTTGCGGGGCCACGAGCGCGTCGTACATGCGGTCGAGCGTGCCCGACGCTTGCGCGCCGGCCTCGGCCTGCAGCCGCGCGGCGGAGCGGCCGTGGTCCTGCTTCGGGTGGCGGCGGCACTGGCCGTTGAGGCACTGCTGGCAGGTAGGCACGTCGACGCGTTGCTTCGCGCCGGCGCCCGTCGAGTATTTCGCGTCTAACGCGCCCCACTGCGACATCGCTGCTTGTCGCGGCGCCGCGTCGATGGGCGATGATGATCAGGCCTTAACAGTGGACACGCTCTGCTGAGCCGTACGCGTGCGTCCAGTTGTCCAATGCGATGCTGAGGTGTCCTGGGCGATCGCTTGTGTCTTCCAAGCGTCTTGAGGATCGTGTTGCGCTCGTCTGTGCCCACAGGCCAAGTTTGGCCGATGGGTCGAGCTAGCGGCCGTAAGGCACTAGCAAATTGCGTCCTTAAGTCCAGCCGGACGGGTGGGCCCGGGGGGAGCGAGAGGGGTACGGGGAACCCTGCGACGTAAATAGCCTGAGCCTGAGTTTGCGGCCCGACGCCGCCGCGCCGACGCAGCCGCGACTGCACGGGTTTCGGCTGCGCCAATCGACGCCATCGACGCGAGTTCATACTAGTCCTTACTTCAGCCCTCGTCGCTCCTTCTTCAACAGCTCGAGCGCCGGCCCGACGCTCGGCCGGACCGCCACGACGCCCTCCAACGCCCGGATCGCGTCGTCCAAAGCGCGCGCCCCGGCGGGCTGCGGCTTCGCGCCGCGCAACGCTATCGTTTTCACAACGCCCGCGAGAGTACTTTGGACCTCCTCGTCGAGCCAGGACCACGCGTCGAAACCTTTCGGCGCAACCCCAGTGAGGACGTTACCAGACGCCGTCAGCGAGACCTCGTCCGCGTCGAGCTTGGCCTCATCAAGCGCACGCTGCACCGCGGCCGCATCGCCACCAGAAAAATCCCAGGACATCTCCTCGCGCGGCCCCGCCTTTACGGCCTTGCCGCGCAAATTCAAATCCTTGACGAGGCTTGTGCCCCCGAAGCACGCGTGGAGCTCCTCGTCGAGCCACTCCCACGCGTCGAAATCATCGGGCGCGGTAGCAACCAGCACGAGCTTGCCGCCGCGCCGCTCGCAGGCGAAGGCGACCTCGTCGGCGTCCAAATTGGCCGCCTCGACGGCGTGCAGGATAGCTTCCTCCTGGGCGCCCTCGACGTTGGAATGGCTCGGGCCCGCCGCGAGGTCCCAGACGCGCTCGACGTGCGCCGGCGCCTTCTTTTTTCCCCAAGACATCATTGAGGAAAAAAAGCCCTGCTTCTTCTTCTGCGGTTTTGGCCTAGGTGAGTGGCTCTTCCCGACGTTCCGCATCACAGTCATCGGCAGGCCCACGGGCTTCCGTTCCACATCACCATGGACGCTCTTTACGTGTTGCGCGAGGTACTCCTTGCTCACAAAGCCCTTGCCGCACTGCGCGCAGCCAACAGACGTATCAGTGTACGCCTCGAGCAGCGCCTCGTCGTCGTTCGCCGCCTCGCCGTCCCGCAAGGAATCGATCCAGCGCGCCGTGTCGACGCCGGCGGCGCGCGCCGCGCCCGCGAGCGCCAGTGCTACTTCGCGGAAGTCCACGCACTGCCGCGCCGCGGCCCGTCTTCTCGCTTTCTCGAGGCTCAGCTTGGCCTCGACATCCGAAACCTCGTCCAGCGCCTTCCGGCGGCCGAGCTCCGCTTTTGAGGCATCATTAATCAACGACTCCTGCACGTGCAGCATGTACTCCACGCACAGCTGGAGCAGCCTCACGAGCGACTCCGCCGCGTCGTAGCCGGCGCTTTTGAGTTCTCGTCGACTGATGTTGGCGAAAGTCACGTCATCCACAATGCCTGATAAAGTACTTCCGGCTCCCAAGCCGTCCATGACGCGATCAATATCAATACTGCAGATGCGGTCCCACGACGGCGCGCCCGTGCGCAGGCGGAAGCGGGGCGCGTCTCCCATTGTTGTTGTGTTTACGCCTCGATTGCGTCGAGGGTTGTCTGTTCCACGCTTTGGCTTGTGCCTAGCCAACCTTGGTGGTCAGCAGACAATGCGCGCGCTGGCGCTCGCGCGCAGCCAGCGGTGATCTTCAGTGAACACTGTGGTACCAGCAATCGAAAAGAGCTGCCCGCGTTGCCCGTGCAGAGCAGGGCGTTTGGCAGCTCGACGCCGATGCGCTGCGCGGGGCGGGCTCTAGATTCGGCGACCCCTGCCGCGGGGCGAATGGAGGGCGAGACGTGGAGTACGGATCGTTGACGCTTGTGTACATCAGCCGGGGCACCGCCGACGAGTTGGCCCGCCGCTTTTGGGCTTGGCTTTGCCGTCCCGCAAAGGCCAAATTCACTGGGCCCCGCTCTTTCATCGCCTGCTCCTCTCAGCCGATCCAAAATACAAAGCGGCCAGCAAGAAAAACTGCGAGAACCGACGCGCCACAGCTAGGTTAACCAATACTCGGCACCGAACGAGTTCGCTCCTGCACCGGTACGCGGCCCGCGTCGGTAGATTTTTTTGCTCTCCGCGGCGCTGGATGCCGCGCGCGCGCCCGGTGGGCGGGACCAGCGACTGCGGGCGCGCGACATGAGAAAAATAATTGCGGCGCCCCGTTCACTCATCCTCCCGCAGGCCTAAAACGACGCCCCGCGCGGAGCGCGGACGCCACACAACCATGGCGAACAACAACAACGGCCAGCACGACTTCATCGAGTTCGTCTGCAAGCCCGTCGAGGACCTCTACCTCGCCTCCGGCGAGCGGCGCGCCGTCCGCATCAAGAAGGGGACCGAATATAGGTGCTCGATGCTCCGGGACCAGCACTTCTCGTCATTATTTCGCCACTACGGCAAGCACAACGGCGTCGACAAGGAGACCTTGGTCTTCTTCTTCACGGAGGAGCTCATGCAGGAGCTCGAGGGCTCCGACACGCCGCGGAGCGTCCACCTGCGCAAGAACGACGTCATCGTCATCCGCCACCGGAGGGTGCCCAAGCCGAACGATTTAGTGGTGCGGTTGGATTTGCGGGGCGACGACGCTTTATCATTGATCCACGCCTACCCGAAAGCTAGATCACTGCAGTCCGCGGACGGCCGGACGGCTTTACATCATTTGGCTCATAGAGGAGGCGACACGGCGCTCGCGACGAAGCTATTGTTGCTGGGCTGCAACCCCTGCACGCTCGACAACTACGGCCAGACGGCCGAGGCCATCGCCGTGGAACGGAGACACCCCGACCTGGTCCAGATCCTGAAGCTCCACGAGTTCAAGCGCCAGATGGCCGTTATTAGGGCCCACTTCGTGCGCCAGGCGTCGGGGCCGCAGGCGGGCCAGAAGCGCAAGCGCGAGCTCTTCTCGGCGGCGCGGACCGGCGGCGACGACGGCGAGGCGGCGCGGCACGAGGCGGCCGTGCGCTTCCTCTTCTCGACGCTTGCCAACGGCAACCAGGCGCAAAACTTCATACGTGTCGTGCGCTACCTCTACGCGTGAGCCCGCGCGCGCGTCGCCGTAATTCTCCTTTTACTACATACGTTTAACATACCCTAGCCCCGCGTCGATGGCGTCTTCCTGCAGTGACGCCGTCGGCGCGATCCCGATCACTCCTCGAGCAGCGCCTTGAGCCTCAGCAGCTCGGCGACGGCGGCCTTAACCTCCGGGTCGCTGTTGCCGAGGCCCTGCTCCTCCTTGAGGTCCCGGACCACGGCCGCTTGGGCATCGATCTTCGCCTGAATTTCGGCTGGATCTATCGGAGGTGCTTCGACGACGCCGCCGGGCTTGCAGAGCGCGCCGTCCTCCTCGCGGACCCAAGTAGAAAAGGCGTAGCCGACGCCCTGGTCCTCCGTGACCAATTCGCCGTCGACTACCGCCATCTTGCTGATGGCCCATCGCTTGGCCTTTTGCATCGTGTTACCGTCGAGCTTCTTCTCGTAGCTCGAATCATACCCATCAGCGACGGTCGCCGGCAATGTAGTTGCCGAGCCGATGAGCTCCGTGTGCTTTTTGCCCGCAAATTCGCACGCGGCGTCGTTGGCGTACGCAATCTTTTCATCTGAGACCACCATCACGCAGACGGGCGCCTTGTAGAGCGCCTTCGGCAGGTCGCCCGCGCCGGCCAGCGACGCGTCCAAGGGCTTGCCCGTGCGCGCCTCGAACGCGCCGGCGGCGGCGTCGGCCAACGGCCGAAGCACGGAGCTGTCGAACGGCATAACCTCAAAATCCCGCGCCCAGTCCATGCCTGATTTCTTCTGCAGCTTCGGCTTCTTGCCTTTCTTGCCTTTCTTGCCTTTCGCAGCGACGACCATGGCATGACGCGAAGGAATGCTGGTTCTGAGCACGAACGATGTCGCCGTTCCGCATATTAGCAGCACTGCAAGCCTGCTGCTGCAAGCCATTACGACCTCCTAACCTTGCGCACGGATGCCAAGCTGCTCAGAAATGAATTGGGTGGTGCGTGCGAAGCCTTTGAAGTGACAACTATGAATCGATGATGGCGTGATGGCGTTTTTGTTGCAGGCTGTCAGCTGGTGCTTGCTAGTGTCTTACAGGCGCTAACGAAGTAGGACAGGTTTCAGACAAATATTTTACAATCTAGCCCGCTGGTTCTTCGCGGGGCGTGACGGCGGGCACGGCCTCTGCGGCCGGCGGCGGGGCGTCGGGCCGGTCGTCGTCGGCCGAACCGACCTTGGGCGACATGACCCAGGGCTGCCCGGCCTCGACGTCGGCGTACGCCGCCGCCGCGAAGCCGTCATCCTCGAGACGCGAGGTGGCGGCGACGGGCACTGCTTCCCGGCGCCGCCGCCGCGCCGCCCTAGCTTCAGGATGTACGGCCCGCGCGTCGAAGCCCTTGTGAATATACAACTTGTTGCCCCAGTAGAAGACGACGTAGTGGATCACGCCCTGGACGAAGTAGTACGCCGCCAGCATGGCAAAGTCGCGGCGCTTCTTGCCGCTCTTCGATACGGCATAGACTATACATAAAACACAAGTAATGGCGTCCGCGGCGCACTGGATGCAGCCATACCCACAAAACATGCATAGTAAGCTTCTATCCTTGTTCATGACCCCGAAGATGCCGCACGTCGGGTGCGCGAGCGAGAAGCAGAGCGTGATCAGTATCAGCGCCAGGGGCTCGTCCCTCACGTAGTAGACGACGGCGATGATGGCCTGTAACAAAATCAGCACGACCGAGATCTGCAAGACTCGCTTCGCGAGCTTTGCGGTGGCGGCGTCGGGCGCCGCGCCCACGTTCGCGCCGAAGACGTAGACGCAGGTCTCGTCTTGTTCCGCGACGACGGGCGTCAGCGCGACGGCTTCGGGTCGGGGCTGCTCCGTCGTCGTGTCCAGCATGAAGTCGCGGGGCGGCGAGAGGGCATCGTTTAATGCGGGCTCCGCGGTCAGGGCATCTATGGGCGCGGACTGAGCTTGCGCAGGCGCCGGGTCAGGCGATGCTGTGGACGCCTCCCCATCGCCTCTCCCCGCGTCCGCCATCGGGGGACAGGCCGCGGGCCGCGGGGTGGAGATGTGCTCTGGCTGACCTGAACGATGGGCAGCGCGGGGGCGCAGTGCTGGCGCCGGGGGTGCAATTCTGCTCATGCCAATGATGCCATACAAATTCCTAGTGTCTCAGGCCGCTAAGCGCGCGGACCCCTCGCACGCCACTCGATTGGTCAGCGACATCTGTGCTCGTGTCTAGTACCAATCTGTGGGCCCTAGCCGGGCGGCGGCCGAAGAACCGATTTCCAGCAACCCGCGCGTGAAGAGACGATAAACACAACAACCTCTTACCGGGGCGACCCCACGTGCCGCTCGACGTGCGTCCCGTCCCGCAGGTCGTAGCCCGTATCATCATCACTCTGGTCGAGCGCCGCATAATGATCATGTTCCTTCGCTGCCTTCCAGCCCGCCGACGCCTCGATGCGCTTCAGGTAGTAGTGGTGAGGCGCCGGCGCGGGCGGCGGGAGCGGTTTATAAGTTGGCGGCGAGGGCGCCAGCGCGCCCCGCAACAAGGCGTCGAGGCGGTCCGACGCGGCCTTTGCGTCACTCAACGCCTTGTTCACGCGCGCGCGCTTCGGCGGCGGCGGCTCTGGTGTATTTGCGTACTTTGCGAGCGTCAGCGCGCGCCGCGCGCGTTTTGCTTGAGAGGCGTCGGGCACGCGCACCGGTTCTGGGGCTTGGAGTAGTAACGGCGGCGGTGGCGGTTTTGACGCCTCACCGAGGAAGTTCAAACAGTGGCGCAGGATATCCACCAACTTCGGGTCGCGTGCGCCACCACACGCGGTCGCGCGCGTCTCTGGCGCAAGGGCGGCGACGAGCGGCTCGGGGACCGCGCCGTCGTGTAGGACGCACACCGGTACTGCCCCAGCGTCCGCCGCCGCCGCAGATGCGTTAGAAGCCGCAGCGCGCCCATGCGCGAGCGAACACGCCACCAGTAGTGCACAGCAGCCGACGCCGTCCTTGCGCAGCGCGACAACTGGCGCGTCAGAGCGCCTTCTTTTCTGCGACGCTAATCCTTTTTCTAAACACGCGAGCACCGCCTCATACAACGGATCATCGACGGCGCCGACGACGCCTAAGACGACGCGGCCCGCGCTTCCGGCAAAGGCGCCGCGCACATCCAAAGGTGGCCTTGTCAGCCGCGCGACCTGCTCCGCTAACAAGGACGGCGCCGCGCGCGCAGCCCGCGCCAGCGACGCGAACGAAAGCATAGGCGGGACAGCCGCCGCTTCAGCAATAGGCGCGGGCGCCGCCTCGAGCGACCCCAGCGCCCGGAAGTACCTCTTGCGCGCGCCTCTTCTTTGAGCCGCCGCGCGCCGCCACCTTTTGAGGTACAGCCCCGCCGCGAGGACCTTCGCGCGCGCGCGCGCGGCCTTCCTCAATGCACATCTCCGCTTGAACCGCAGGAACAGCATGCTATATTCATGACGAGCAGCTTTCTCACACCGTACTTGATCGCGCTTCTCCTCCTCGAGCTCCGCGAGCCGCTCCCGCTCCAACCTCAAAGCTTCCTCGCGCCGCTCGCGTTCGAGCCGTTGGCGCCTTTCAATTTCCGCGGCCTCTCTGCGTTTTCGCTCGTCCTCCAACTTCTGCTGCTCCTTCTTCAACCAGGCCTGGCGCTTCGCCTCCTTTTCTGCCGCGATCTTCGCCTCCCGTTCGACGCGCTCCCGTTCTTCTCGCTCGGCCTCGGCCCGGGCTTTTTGTAAGGCCTCGGCCCTTTCCCGCTCTATTCGCTCCGCTTCGGCCTTTTGCTGCGCCTCGCGAGCCGCCCGCTCCTGCTCCCGCTTCTGGGCTTCCTGGGCCGCGCGGCGCCGCTCCTCGGCCAAAGCCTGCCGTTGGCGCTCTTCGGCCTCCCGTTGTAATCGCTCGGCCGCCGCTCGTTCTTCGGCGACGCGCTTTCGCTCCCGCGCGGCTTGTTGAGCCCTCATTAAAGCCTCGGGGTCGCCCCGCACGGCCGTCGTTACAGACTCTTCGCCGAAGAGCGGCTCTACACTTTCATCAGCGAAGGCCGTAGCATCAAAAGCCTCTTCGTCAAAAGACGCCGGCTTTTGAAATAACACGTTGCCCTTATCATCGATGCCGCCGCCCCAGTCGACGACCCGGCGCCGACAGTCCACGACTGACAGTCCTAAACTCAAAGCCAGATCCCTCGCTGCATAGGGCTCCGACCTTTGAATAGACCTTGACAGAACTTGTAACGCGTCGTCTCTCATAGAATCAGCGTATTGGGCCACGATCAAACACCTAATGAGGTAAGGCGCCTCCCGCACCACCGCAAAGAACCGCGCCCAGTTCTTATCCAATCTAGCTTTTCTTATACCAGCCGCCCGCTGGATCTCCTCCGTCATGTACAGCTCGGGCCTTTCCAGCGCGATGCGATTCAGCATGTGCGCTGCCTCACTACCTTCCTCTTGATCGAGAAAATACACGAGCCAGTACTGCGTGAACTCGGCCTCGTTCTCCAGGAGTTCTGTTGAGTTCGGCTTGCAGCGCGCGGCGTCGTAGAAGGCCACGAGTGCCGACAGCGTTTCCGAGAGACTTTCAGCGTTTTGCTTGCCATGGGCTATTCCTTCCCGCCATTCTGCATGATGTTGTAGTTCCTTTTCGATGCCGACCAAGTACCTCGCGACGCCCTCGAAGACCCTGATGGCTTCTAGCCCTACAAGACCACCAGTGGTGTAGTTCTGCAGGATGAAATCTTTCCGGATCGCCCGGAACCGGTCCCAGAGAAATAAGTAGCGGGCCATGGCGTCCTCGAGCGTACCAGTCGCTCGTTCGATCACATTGTCTCTGAGATGCTCGAAGGCTTTTAACAGCACATGTACTGGTCGTACTATTTCCGGTTTCGCTTGGATGGAGCCGGCATCGCTCCGCTTGTACTTCTTGAGGGCCGTGGCCTTACAGGCCTCAATCAGCGTCTCGTTGTCCATTTGTTCAAAACCTTCGGGTTTCTCGAAGGCGTCTAACTCCTTAAACCCGACGCGCTCCTCGATCTCGGCCGTCGGGCAGAACTGCAGGCACGTGCCCACGAGGTCCGTGCCGTCCGGAGCGGGTACGGGCGCGGGTGGTGGTGATCTTGAGGTACGCCTAGGAGGCGCCGCGAACCTTTCCGCATTTCTAGCTGCTAGCGAGGGATTGGGCGTCTTCGGCGGAGCCTTCTTCTTCTTTTGTGGTACTGGTGCTCCTACAGAACACTCAACCGTACCGGCCATGAAGGCGTCGATGCCGTGCAACTGCTCCTGGGCGAGTTTACAACCATCAGCATCTTTGAACACGACCACACCAACGTCACCTTCGATGGAAACGCTTGACACACCCCCGAAGGACTCGCAGACACTTTTGAGGCCAATTTCGTCCTTGGGGCAGCCCTTCGTAACCCTTAACGTCGTGGCCGCCCGGGCTTTGTCGTCGCGCCGCGCCTGCCCGCCGATCTGGCCTTTCACAAAACGAGACGCCGCTCCAGTGTCCAGGCGCGGCTGCGGCGCCGCAGGCGCTCTTGTCCAGACCTTGTCCGCGTGTTGGGCCGGTGCGGGCGCGTCCGCACCTTGTCCTGTGCCGGTGCGGGCGGGCGCGGGCGCCGGGGCCTCTTGTGTTTTGGGCGCCTGTTTCTCCTTGACCGTACAGTACACGGCGCCGGCACCTAAATCCTGGCCGCTCAACGCCTGGCACGCCGCATCCGCATCCCTACGCATCGCGTAGTTGCCGTAGCCGTAGGTGCCGAGGGCCCTCACAGACTGCGGTGCGCATCCCGTGCCCTTGAACAGCTGTTCGAGCTTCGCGTCGTCGACATCTTGGGTGATGGGCTGGACCTTGACGCAGTAGACCCGTTGTGTACCCTTCGCGCCGCCCTTGCCCCGGCCGCGGCCGCGGCCGCGGCCGTCGTCGGGCGACGCGCTCGTTGTCCCTCCTTTGCCCCTGCCGCGGCCCCGGCCGCGGCCGCCGTCGTCCGGGGACGCGCTCGCGCCGCGCCCGCGCCCTCGTCCCTTGCCGCGTTCCGCCGTTCGGCCGCGCGCGGGCGCCGGCGCCGCGGGCGCGAAGGGATTTGTGGCGGCCGCGGCCGGCGCGTTGCCGAAGGTGAAGGCTGGCGCCGGGGCCGCAGCGCCCCCGAAGGTCGATCCACCACCACCTCCGAACGGACTCGGCGCCGGCGCGGCCGCCGCACCTCCGAAGGGCGCACTCCCACCACCGGCCGGCGCGAAGGGGTTCGCCGCCGCGCTGAGCTGTTTTTTCTTGCCCTTTTTGGTTTGTGGCGAGCCGCCGCCGCCGAAGATGCTCGGTTTCGCCGCCGCGGCACCCCCAAAGGGGCTCGGCGCCGGCGCAGCGCCGCCGAAGGTCCCGCCTCCTCCAAAGGCGCTCGCCGAGCCGAAGGCCGGCGCGGGCGCGGGCGAGCCGCCGAAGGCTCCGAACGTCGACGACGCCTTGGCGAAGCCGCTCGATGACGGGCTCGAGCCGCCGCCGCCGAACGGCGTCGTCGCGCCGAACGCGCTGCTGCTGCCGAATGCCGGTGCGGGTGCTGGCGAGCCGCCGAAGGCCGAGCCGCCGCCGAACGCGGTCGACGCGGCCGCAAAACCAGATGGCGACGAGGCGGCGCCACCGCCAAAAGGCGTGGACGACGCGGGGCCGAAGCTGCTCGCCCCGAAGGCTGGCGCGGGCGCGGGCGCGGAGCCGAACGGCGTCGAGGTCCCGAAGGCTGGCGCGCCCTGGCCAAAGGGACTCTGCGGCGGATTATTTTGGCCGAACGGCGACTGGGGTGGGTTCCCACCGCCCGCGAAAGGGTTGTTGCCGCCGCCTCCTCCAAACATTGCTCAGGAGCTGTGATTCAGGCGGTGGCGCCCCGATTTCGTTGGGGTGGCCTACAGCAATAACTTGTAGCTGCTCCGGGCGTCACACATGTGCCTGGCCGCGCGTATGCAGCGTTTACGCGTCGCAAAGCTGGCTAGCGTACTGTAAGACACTAGCAAAGCAAAAGCAGCACTCGCGTAATCGCGGTCGCCGTGCACGCCGCCTTCGGCCTTACAGCAGCTTTGTGAAGGCTTTTTCACTCCTTCGCTGGCCGCCGCAGCGCTGCTGGAGACACGGCTTGCAAGCGCCGCACAGCGGACGCATACAGCCTCGCATTAGCAAGCACGCAATCGCATCAAAAAAATGGACAACACCCAGTCAAGAAAAGCCTTCGACCCCTCGGAACTAATTATCAGGGAGCTCGCCAGTAGATCCGTACTTGGTAAAAGACCGAGAGAGCCCGGAGAGGTCGTATTGCCGGTCAGGGAGGCATTGGGTGCCATGTCGACCCCAAAAGGCACGGCGGATTTACCGCGACAGTTGATCTGCGCTACTATTGCCCACCAGTCCCTGAATAAGGTGCGATTCCCCGTCAACGCGTTATGCTGGGCGCGCGACGGGCGACGCGCCGTCACGGCGAATCAGAACGGCGAATTCACGTTGTGGAACGGCGCCGCGTTTAATTTCGAAGGGTTGATCGCGGCCCATAACTCTGCTGTTAGATCTCTAGCCTGGTCTCGCTCGGGTACCACCATCCTGTCAGGAGATGCGAAAGGAACAATTAAGTACTGGGAGAGTTCGATGACGCCCGTGAAGGAGTTACTGGGCACGCACGGCGGCAATGCCGTTCGTGGTCTCAAATTCGCCCCGTCGGACGCGAAGTTCTGTTCCTGTGCCGACGACGGGACCGTTCGGGTATGGGATTGGGAATTGTTCAAAGAAGAGCGCATCTTGGCAGGACACGGCTGGGACGTGAAGACCTGCGACTGGCATCCTACGTATCAGTTAATTGCTTCAGGATCAAAAGATAACCAGGTCAAGATGTGGGATCCTAGGAAGCGCAGTTGTAGCGCTACATTGTATGGTCACAAGCACACGGTCATGAAGGTGCTCTGGAACCCCATCGACCCGAACTGGTTGTTAACTGCCTCGAGAGATCATACGCTGAAGTTATATGATATACGCGTACTCAAGGGTGCAGAAACGTTTAAAGGACACGACCGCGAAGTTACCAGTTGCGCCTGGCACCCTTTTAACTCTAGAGTGTTTGCTTCGGGTGCCTATGACGGGCGCGTTTCTCACTGGTTGGTGGGTCTGGACCGGCCGATCCACTCGCATCAAGCGCACGAGCAGGCCGTCTGGGACCTCGCGTTCCACCCGGTAGGCCACGTCCTCGCAACAGCGTCAAACGACCACCGCGTCAAGTTCTGGTGCCGCACGCGGCCGGGCGACGACCCGGAGGCCGATCTCGATGATGCGCAGATGGCTTTGGTCCGAGCGCGCGCCGACGCGATCGGGTACGAGCCGCCCCTACCGATCGAGATGGAGGAGGAGGTGTCTGAAGCTCGGTTTGCGACGACGGACCGGACGCGCTTCGGCGCGCCGGGGCGGCCGCCGCCGCCGCCCATGCCCGGGCGCGAGCAAGCTTCGGGCTTCGGGCAGCACGCGGCGACGTCGTACGGGCCCGGAGCGGGTGGTGGGGGGCAGCGGTACTAACACTAGCTTTTTATTCAGATCGGTGTCCGTCTCTCCCCAGGGCTCCGCCGACTAGTCGTAGCACCGTCACAGAATTAATCACACACAACCTCGGGCCGCCCCGCTTCCACAAAAACGCCGTCGACCTGGATGCACGGACACGCTCGCGGCCCGTCCAAGACGGCCGCGAGGTCGTCATCGACTGCTCCCGCGACGCGTGTGGGCATCGATGGTCGGAGCGCGACTCGGCCAGCGGGACCGAGCTTTAGCGGATACCGCAGCAACTCAGGAAATTCTTCGAGCCGGCCTGAGAAGCTCGGGAGGCTTATGCTCGGTCCGTCGTCCGGCGCGCCGCCTTCGCGCCAGCCGCCCCAGCCGTTGATCGCAACATCTGTGTCCGAGGCAAAATCGAAGCCTCGCGTCGTTGGCGCGCGTTCGACGCGCCGTCGCAGCCGCTCCGCGGGCTCCGCGATTCCCGGCTGCGCGGCGCCAATGCCTACTTTGAACGCCACGGCTATGTCTTCCAGTAGGTCTCGCACCCCTGATAACTCTCGGCGCCAGGCTTCGCCGTCCGATTCCTCCGCGGCCTTGAAGTCGACGCTTCCCAGCACGGTCGGGAGGCCGAAGACCGCTCGCCCGCCACCAACGCTGGCCGGCGCCGTCACGACGATGTGCGAGGCCCACGCGCCGATGCTCAAGCCCCGCGCGACCAGCCCGCTCAGCACGGCGACCTCGCGGTACGGTCCGACGGGCGACTCCGTCCAATCGACTACGAAGACGCCTCCTAGCGTGTAACCAAAAAACGACAGCAACATCAGGCCTTCGCGCGGCGTGACCGCTCGTGCCGCTGATGTTCTCACCAGAGTGGGTTGATACATCACTCTTGCGTTACTAAACGACCATGGCGCGGGCGGATACGCGTCGGCGTCGAGCTGTGCAGCACGGAGTCTGCAGGGTCGAGGCTGGTGCGCGGTCTGTGGCGGCGCCCACGCGACGATGCTGCACAGCGTTGCAAGGAAGCATGTATGCCGCAGTATCATCCAGCCCGAGTGCCTCGAGTGCATCGATGCGACTCGTCTTAGCGTTTGGAACCAGTGCGGCAGCTAGCGGCATGTAAGACACTAGCGAGACTCAAAGCAAAATTAAGCAGGCAGCGCGGGGTGAAAACGCTGCCCCCCGCCCTGCAAACGATCTGTTTTGTGACCGCAGACAATCGAGGAAGCTGCTTCTCGACGCTTAAAGGCGTTCCCAAGGCTGTGCAGCTGCCCACTGCATTTCACTGCCCGCCTCTTGCCGCGCGCCTGCGAGAGAATGTCGGCCGAGGCCTGGGAGGACCCCCTCAGAACAACTCGTAAACATCTCGACAAGCTCTCCGCTGACAAGGGCGAGAACGACGAGAGCATCGCGCGCCTCGAGGACGAGAAGGATCTCGTGCTCCGCGCGTTGGGCGGCGCGCTCGCGCGGAAGGGCGCCCAGGAGGCCAAGATCACGGCCCTCTCCGAACACGGCGACGCCTTGGAGCGCGCGGCCGCCGAGACGGAAAAATCCCTCGGGCGCCTCGCGGAGACGCGTCGGGCCATCGACGAGCCGCGGCGATGACGCTGGTAACACTAGTATTTCAACAACATTAGAGGTCGGCTTCGACGCGTTGTGCTGTCACGGCTCCGAAGAGCGGCTCGCCGCCGCTCGAGTCGCTCACGTCCGAGTCCGGCGACGACGCCGCCGCGAAGTCGCTCGGGTCCAGAAAGCCGCCCGCCGCAAAGGCGGACGCCCGAGCGGCCTGGTCTGCGGCCCCGTCCCCGGCCGTTTCGAGCCAGCGGCGGGCGTTCTCCTCGATCTCGCTTTGCGCCGTGGCCCGCCGGGCTTCCGTCCGGAGCTCGCGGATTTGCTCCTCACGCTCGGCATCCGAAAGGACGGCGTCGCGTGCCATCGCCAACACCTCCGCGGCGGCGTCGCCGTCGTCGCCCGCGCGCGGCCGAGGGGGATCGCGGCGGCGGGAGTTCGCCCTGAGAACGCGCCAGAGGCTCTGGACACGCTCGTCGCGCGTCGTTCCTTCGAGCTGCACGGCGGCATAGCGTGCCTCCGTGTAGACCGGCCCCGAGGCCGTCTCCACGGCGTTGACGAGCTGATCCATCTCTCTTCGCCTTCTGGCCCGTTGCTGGACGATCTCATCAGCCTCAGCCAAGACCTCCTCGCGCTCGGCTTCCGAAAGGGCGCGCGCCCGATCGAAGCGGCGGGCCATCTGCGCGGTCGCGTCGTCGCCAGCGCGCGGCGGCGGCGGCGGTGGCGATCCGAATCGCAGCTCCGTGGGGGCGCGAATCGCATTTTCGGCGGAGCTGAGTGCGTCGCGGTCCAAATGGGACTGCGTCGCCAGCGCGAGGCCGCGCGCGCTCCGTCGCGCCAGTCCACGCGCGACGTGCTCGCCGCGCATGCGTAGCGATTCCTCCTCGAGCGGAACCTCCTCAAGGCCTCCGCCGACCCCGACGCGCAGGGTCCGGCCCCGACGCGCCGCCTGCGCCTCCAACAACGTCGGCTCGCGGCGCTCCCACCAGATGCAAGGGTAGTCCGGGTGCGTCGTCGACCAGGTGATCGTGCGGCCGTTGTTGAAGGCCACCAGCGTCTGAACCGTGCCGTCGCCCCACTCGAAGAAATACCGTCCCCCCACGACCTCAATCTCGTAGTCCTGTCCATAAACACTGAAGCACCCGTCGCGAAGCGTGATGGCTTCCGTGGCGCCGGACGCCCAGCGCACCGTCCAATACCCGTCGCGGAAGCCGCCGGCCGACGCCACGGCATCGCCTGCCACGACCTGCCTCATCGTGGCCTCGGGCGCTTCCTGCGGCTGGATCTGCTGGATGATCGAGTCGACCTGCTGGAACACTTGCAGAATGGCCTCCCGTCGCTCGGCGGTGGTCCCTTCCCACGCCTGATCGCCGTGGACCGCCTCAGCCTCGTTCAAATAGTCGCGGAACGCATCTCGCGCCGCCCTCAAATCCCCGCCCACGGACGAGAGATCGTTGACGATTTCGGTCGCTAGCCGCGACCCGTTCCTGGCGTCGTTCGCCACGAGGCCCAGGCCATCTCTAATACGCGCCGCGAGGCTCAAGGCGTCGTGGGCCACGTCCTCGAGCCCGGCGCTCGGTCCCTTTTGGACTGCCTCGACGACCGACGCGTCTTGCTTCTTCCACGGCTCGTAGCACTTGGCCGTCGTTCCTCCATTCTTCAAAACGTGGGCGGCGATCTTGGAAGCATCGGCAGATCCGCGCCGCGCCGCCGTCAGGAGCCAGTGCCGAGACGTGGCCGGATTGCGGGCACAGCCCTTCCCCTCAGCGAAGCAGGCGGCGAGCGCGAGCGCGGCGCGCGCGTGGCCGCGTTTCGCAGCATCTGCCAAATGTTTAAAAGCCTTCGTCGCGTCGCCGACGCAGCCGTCGCCTCGCGCGCGCATCGAGCCCAGTTCGTACAGGGCTTGCGCGACGTGCGGCCCCGTCGGCCGCTTCTCGACGAGGTGCCTCAGTCGCAGATGCCGCGCCGCGCCCGTGACCATCAACCGCGTCCGGCACATCGCACAGGTCGGGAGGCGGCCCTCGCCCTCCGCGTGTCGCATGACGCCCTCGGCGCAGGTTGCGCACGTCGTCGCGCCACAGACGCAGCACAGCTCCGCCGCGAAGGTCGGCTCGAACGCCGCGCCCTTGTGCGCCGAAACTGCGCGGTCCATGCAGATGGGGCAGCGCGCATTCTCCGGCACCTCGTCCTCGGCGGCGGGCGCTCCCGACGACCAGAGCCAATAGCCCAGGCCCGCGGCGCCGGCGACGGCCAGCGCGGCGCAGAGCTTCGGTCTCCGTTCGACGACGCGCCGCAGCCTCTCCATGAGCCGGCTCTGGAACCCCGAGAACGGCGACATCGCTTCCCGCGCGAGCGCCCACTCGAAGGCCTCGCGTTCGCGGAGCATCGCTTCTTCGATCGCGTCTATGTTAGCGTAGAGGACGGCCGCCGGCAGGCCGTCCTCGACGAGCTCGATGCGTATCATTGTTGTTTTGCTGTGCTGTGCTTCGAGCGAGGCCGCCCAGCAACCGATTCGCTGCTCTGTCCGCGCTCGTGCGCTCCCCACTGCTGCCTCCTCTGCTGCCTCTGAGCAGAGTTATGCAGGAAGGTGGGCCGCTCCTCTGGCACACAAGAAAGCGATGTCCCTGGGCCGCACGTTTGACAGGAGTACTAAAACGAATAAAAAACCAGCCCCTCGCCCGCCCGGAGGCCTTTTATGCCGCACAAATCGGCAGCTACAAGCTCGTAAATCGGCTGCTTGCTTGCTCCGCTCTGGGTATAGACACACTAGCAGTTTTAAACCAAACCGACGCAGAGCTCTAGAGCGCCCGTGATCCGTCCAAAGAGGGCCTCGATCGCTCCTTTCGCTTGCCACGTGCGAGCCTCCGCGGACAGCGCCAGACTTAGCGCTGTGCGAAATTCACTGTTCCCGCTGCCAGCGCGGACCAGTTGCCTGCGCGGAGAGGCTGCGTGGAGGCAAACGCCCGCCCGGACAACCGGGCAAGCTGCAGGGGCAGCCCCCACGCCGGAAGATGCGAGCGCCCATCTAGCTTCATAGCCATGCCACGCCTGCGGCCCCGGCCGGGCTATGCGTTCGAGGCGCCCGCCGCCGCGGTCGAGAAGCCCGCCGAGGTCGCGGAGCCCGTCTCGCCGCCGGCGCCGCCATTTGACGCGTGGGATGCGCCCGCCGACGCGTTCGCGGAGCCCGCCGAGGCGGAAGAGCCTGCCGAGAGCAGCGCCGACGATTCTGCCGACGCGTTCGAGAAACTCGCCGATGCCTTCGAGGACCCCGGCACGCCGCCGCCACCTAGGAAAACGCCGCAGGAGCTCGCCGCCGCGCTGGCGGAGGTTTCCGACAAGCTGGAGCCGGCCGCGGCGCCCGAGCCGAAGAGCCCGCGGCCGTGGAGCTTCCGGAGGACGCTGCACAGCCCCAGCCGGACGCCCAAGCGCTTCTTCGGCAGCCCTAAGCCGAACGTCGAGCCAAAGAAGCTCTGGGAGGACGGCGACGCGAGCGACGCCGGCGACGCGCCCCGCGTGTCGCTCGAGGAGCTCGACGAATTTGTGGACGTTGTCGCGCTCAACAAGCGCACCGGAAAACGGTCGATCATCCGATTGGCGCGCGGGACGGTCATGAGCGACGTCTTCGCCGCCTACGCCCAACATACAAAAAGCGACGCGAAGAAGCTCGTCTTCGTCCGCGGCGACGGCACGGAGAAGGGCCGGTCCCTCTCGCCGAAGGCGCGCGTCGCGGACCTGCGGAGCCCCGCCGCCGCGCGGAGCCCCGCGCGGACTCCTCGTAAAAAGCGCGAGCCCAAGAAGTCCTTCGACGAGCAGATCTGGAACCGCGCCGTGGCCATTGGGCACGACGCGTGGGACGAGAAGCACTTCGGGTCGCTCGACGCGGGTGAATCGGTTGCGCTGCCTCTCAATAGGGCCGAGATCCGGCCCGACGTGGAGTACATGGAGCTGTCGATTGACTTAGGAGAAGAGGAGCCGCCGCCCGGAGGCACGCCGCTGCGTTCGCTTAGGAAGCAGGCGTCGCGGGTGACGGGCGTCACGGGGGCGTTTTCCGGGAAGAGTCCACCGCCATCGCCTGGAGGAGAGCGTCCCGGTACGCCCCTGCGAAATCTACGGAAGCAGGCGTCGAAGCTGAGCGGCGTCACGGGCGCCTTCTCGGGCAAGAGCCCGGAGTAGTATGGGGTTGTAAAAATGTTGTGTTCGTCTTCGGTCCTACTTTATTTACTAGTACCGTTAGTCACAACATTACAACTTCGCCCGCGCCGCCGCCACATCACTAGATGGAGCGAGGCCGAGGTAGCCGTCGAGCGCGGCGGACGCGCGCTTCAACATAGAGCCCAGCTCCGTCGTCTCCGCTTTTTCCTCGATGCAGTATTTCACCTCGGCGCGGGCGTCGTCGACGGCCGCCCAGGCGTCGTTCCGATATCCGTACTGTCGCGTTTGCCGCTCCTCCTTCGCGTCCGGCGCTTCGATGCCCGGGCGGCCCGCGCCGTCGAAGCCTTGCGTATAGTAGACGACAAACGCGTTGGAATCTTTGTATTTTTGCTTGTAAGAAACGGGCTCGCTGTACTCGTCGAAGAGCCGCTTGAACGGCTTCTCGGCAACTGGTATCGCGTCCAGTGCTTTTTGTGCGTCTTGTAGCTTTCCCGCCTGTACGGCGCGACTTGCTTGCGCGATGCCGCTGGCGACGCGGACAATCGGTACCAACGCTGTAACCGTCCCGCGCTGGTCGCCTTTTGCGCCATTATCGGACGGCAAATTCGCTCCGACGGCAACACCCGGCACGAATGATGTGGCAGCACCGATGAATCGACGGCGCGCGAGCCGCGGCGGCGCCATGGCTGTCGCAACACAGCTGCATGCCAGCAAAGCTGTCGCATACATGGTCGGAGTGCTACGGGCGCGATGGCACTCTGATTTGGAGTCCCCGGCGCGCCTTTGGACGAAGCTACGGCGTGCCAAGGCTGGATGCGGCACACGCTGTGGCAAAAATAGTCACTGCAAAACCCGTGCTTTGATCACAGACGAGAAATCTAGCCAGCGGATGGACCACAACAACAATAATTACGACCCAATCCCGTTCGCCTGCCCCCGCGCCGCGTTGCTCTTCACGACGCTCTTCGACAGCCACCCCGCGCGGTGCGACGACGTCCGGCGGAGGTCGCCGAGGGGCGGTACTCCTCCCGATGCCGCGAGGCGCTCTATTTCCTCGGGATCGTCCGTGGGCCGGAGCATGAGCGGATACCACTCCCTACGGAGCGCCGTCCGTTCCGACTCGCTCATGTCCCCCACCACCGTATCGTCAATATCCTGCAGACGCTGCAACAAAAGCGCCGCGGCCACCGACAGGTTCAGAGAGTCCGCGAACCCGTGCAGCGGCATGTAGATCCGCCTGTCCGCCGCACTCAGCATCGTCGGCGAGCACCCGGTGGACTCCGTGCCGATCACGACTGCCAACCGCGCCGGGAGCCGCATCTTCGCGTTCGTCAGACACACGGCCGCTTGCGACAGGTCCGTGACCCAAATCTCGCGGCCATCGGCGCGGAGCGCTTCCACGCACGCGTCCGAGTCCGCGAAGAACCGCAGCTGGAGCCACTTGCTCGCCCGCTTCGCGTAGGCCACGTGCTCGCGCAAATCGTCCTCGTCCTGCTTCCAGACGTTCTTCGCCCGCCGCGGCTGGCGCTTCGCGATGGCCGCATCAATATCCAGCGTCGGCGGCGCGACGACCCAGACGTGGTGGTAGCCGAGGGCTTCCGCGGTGCGCAGGACGGCGCTGTCTGTGTGGGAACGGAACCGTCGCGTCGATGGCGTCGCATCGATGGCGTGGAGCTTGACGCCATCGACGCGAGCCCAAAAGATTGCAGGAAGTGACACTGAGCAGCACAGTTGTGGGACTCGTTGCAGCGCTCGACGACGACGACGACGCGGCTGTTGCGGCGGCGGATCACTGCTTCAGTTTTTCTGAACCTTCTCAGCGGGTCATCAGCACTGTCTAGTTCTTCGCTCGCGTGCAGATTCGATCGCTTCTGCGCGCGTAAAAGCAGGGCCGTGGCTGCAGCCCCGGCGGCAGCGCCAAGCGCGGCCTGCAGCCAGCCTTGGCGTGCAGCGCTCATCGCGCGCTGTCGTTGCAATACGCAGTCGCCAATTAGACCGTTTTACAGTGCAAACCACAGCGAAATGAGAGCTACGCGCGGCGCAGCTAGCGCATGTAAGACACTAGAAAGAGGGCTCCTCGACCTCGCGCGCATCCGCCGCATAACGTGCGTACCGATCGCCGGCGCACGCCACCGCACGCCTGCGACGCGCAACAGCCAGCGCGAGCAACACTATAGCGCAGCAAAAAAGCACTGCAGCCAAAGCAGGGAAAAATCAGCATGGCCGCCGCCCAGAAAAAAGCAGTAGACCTCATGGCGAAAGGAGAAAAATGCCTCACGAAGTTCTCGTTCTTTGGAGGCGGTTCCCAGAAGTACGAGGACGCCGCCGAGTGCTTCCAGGACGCGGGGAAGATGTTTGTGCTGGCCAAGTCCTTCGACGAGGCCGGCAAGGCTTATCTAAGAGCTGCCGAGATGTTCGAGAAGACGAAGTCCGACTTTGATACCGGTTCAGTGTTAACAAGAGCGGGAGAAGCGTTCCAGAAGGCGCAGGACACAAGACAGTGCTCTGAAGCTTACAGGCGGGCGGCGGACGTCTTCGCGGGTGCGGGCAAGGGCAACATGGCGGCCAACGCGTCGAAGAAGCTCGCCGAGCTCATCGAGCAGGATGACGACGAGGACCGGTTGCCCGAAGCAGTGGAAGCTTATCAACAAGCTACGGATTTTTACGATGCGGAGAACCAACCTAGAAGAGCGGACGGGTGTCGGGAGAAAGTAGCGACGATTTCCGCGCGGTTAGGTGCGTATGACGACGCTATAACACAGTTCGACGCTTTGGGGCGATCCGCCTTGCAGTCGAACCTCGGCAAATTTAACGCCAAGAAGTGGTTCACGTACTCCGTGCTTTGCTGTTTGGCGCGGGAGGATTTGGTGAAGGCCCAGAAGTTGCTCGGCGCTGTGTGGAAATCGAATTTCGGGCGCCCCACGCCTCCGTAGCTGCGTCTGCGCGATGGCGTGAAGAGTCTACGCCATCGACGCGACGTTGCCCCCGTGGCCGCGTCGGCTCGATGGTGTGATAACCTAACTCACTGGTTGATTTCCACACAGGCTCGGCGAGTACGCGTCATTAGACTACACGCTCGTGGGGACGCGCGAGCACGACTTGCTGGAGGCGTTGTGCGCGGCGTGCGAGAGCCAGGACGAGGAGGCTGTCGCGACGGCGGCGGCGGAATATGATAGAGTGAAGCGCCTCGACCCCTGGACGACCAAATTATTGTTAGCGGTCAAGGACACGTGCGCTTCCGTAGAACTCCCGGAACCCGTCGTCGAGGCCGCCGCGGGTTTGAAATTGGAAGACGCGGACGAGCTCCCCGATCTTACGTAAGCGTTAATTCACATTATTACCTATCCGAGGGCTCGCCGACGCTCTCGTCCTCCGCCGACGTCCCTTCAGCGCTCAACAGACCCTTGAGCTCCACCCCATCCGCCTCCTCGACGTCGCGCGCGGCCACCGTTGGTTTCTTTGCCGCGCGCTTCCCTCCTCGATCGGCGAAGTTGTAGACCATGGCCCCGACCGCCATTGACAGCCCGATGCCCTGCTGCGTGTCGACGGGGTGCTGGTAGATGATGATGGACACGATCAGAGTGACGATCTTCCGCCCCAGCCCGATCAGCGAGCACATCAAGGCGCCAAATTTGGCGATGGTCACGAAAATGAACACCTGGCCCATGGCACCCGTGACCCCCAAAGCCAATAGTACGGGCCCCGTCTCCTGGACCATCTGGAGGAAGTAGTTGACCTCATTGAAAATCACCAGAGATAGGAAGGCCAGAATAGCCTTGCCGAGTTGAATGTTGAACATCAACTCAAAGGGCCCGACGTGGTCGCGCTGCATGATCTTGTCTTCGTAGGCTCCTGTTGCTCCGTCGAAGGATAAGCTCAGAAACAGCATGACGCAGCCCAACAGCATCGTCGTGCCGCCCTTCTCCGCGTCGTCGGCCTTGACGGCGTTCCCACCGAGCATGAACAACGCGATGCCTACCACTATGACGCACACATTTAAGTACTTTTTGAGCGGGTACTTCTTGCCCAAAAAAGCGCCCATGATCATGACCGGGATCGGTTTACAGGACTTGGCTAATACTTGCACCGGGAAGATAACATACCTCAAACTTCGGACGGAGAAGAAGGTCGATCCCATGCTTAGCATGGCGACCACGAATAGTTTATATGTGGGTACAGTAGTTGGTCGCTCTCCCCGGATGGTCTTGCCAACGTAGGCTGTTGTGGTGTAGAGTGAAGACGTGACGAAAATGAGTGATAACTCGTGGAGTTTCCTTCCCCCACTCGTCGCGTACTCCATGACGATCCCATATAAGATGAACGACACCATGATGCCGAAGAAGGAAAAAGCGAGCCACCTCCAATACACTAAGCCGTGGTCCGGCGTGAGCTGCTCGGCGTCGCCGCTAGCGCCCGTCATGGCGCAGCGCTCTCCGCGCGCGCGGTGGCGTCGGCGGCGACGGCGGCGCTGTCAGGCGCGGGCCTTCGCGCGTCGGCACGCGTCGGCCGCGATAGCCTCTGCTGCACAGTGGCCTCGTCGGCTGAGTTATGCACCCGGCGCCGGTGACTGGATGCAGCAGTTGCAAATTCGTCGAGCGCTGCTATGACTCGCTGCGTTGGCTATGCTAACATGCACCGCTAGCCTCTCGCTGGGGCAAAACAGGCAACTTTTGAGGCGCGTCGACGCCGGCGCACCCCGACAATTTTTTTCAGCCGTGCTCGTCTTCCAAACCACTCATGCAAGGGCTCGAATGAGGATTCTGTCTTGGTTTTTGCAAGCGCCAGCCGCGCCGCGGGACACCAAGACAAGAGAGGGCCGCTGCAGAGACACAAATAGCTGCCCAAGCGCGCGGCCGAGAGCGCTGCAGCGCGAGATGCGATTCATGCTGAATCAGAGCCGAATGGCTGCCCGACGACGATAGCAATTCGAACCGATGAAGACCATCCTGCTCCTCACCCTCCTCCGACAAACAACAGCATGGTGCACGGCCGAGGGCTGCCAGAACGAGTTCGAGCGGCCCCTGGCCGACTACACGAAGTATACAGAAGGAGACACCTACGCCTCTGCCTGCTACGCCAAGTTCGAGCTCCACCACACGGAACCGTACTTGTATGTAAGAGGCAATTCCCACTCGTACGACAGCAAACCGACGGACCACTTCGCCGACAGCGGTATTTGTGGAGCGAGAGAGATGGGAGATAGGGTCACCTACTTAAGATTTGATGTCAGGGACCTGTCCGAGGACGCCGTCGCGTCAGCGGAGCTGCGACTCACGCCGGACGGCTTCCCGGCGAACATGGTTGTAATTGTGGAGCCGGGCTGCGATTCTTCACGCCCGGAGGACGCGGTGGCCTGGGACGTCCAACCGACCGGCGGCCACGAGCGGTGTCGGTGGACCGGAGACCCCGACCTCCTGTGGGACGGCAATCCTAGGTCTTGTGACGTTACGCACGACTTGAGGATCGCGGCTCGCGCGGGCGACTATTTTTGTGTACGATTGCGGGGCGACCCGGACGCGAATAGTCGAGGCGATTTGTACGGCGCGGCGCGCTTCTTCTCCAGGGACGCGGACGAGAACTCCATCAAGTCCTGGTGGGCGGACTTCGACCCTTCCAGTGTCTTCACGATGCGCGGGTCGATGATCGGCACGCCGCACGCCCTCGCGCCGCACCTCCGCATCAACGCGACGCAGTGCGGGTCCGTCTACCCGGACAAGCACGGTCCTGGTAATTGCGGCCCGGAGTGGGGCGCGGCCACGGACGAATTGTTTCGGACAGCTAGACCGACGCCGCGGCCCAGCTCGCCGCCGACGATCCGGCCGACGCCCGGGCCTACGACGGCCCAGCCCTCGGAGTCGCCGGTGCCCACGTTCGAGACGTTCGCGCCGACGCCGAAGCCCACATAAAATGACTAATAGCCAAACACATTAAGGAGCCACCCCGCGGTCGCGAGGAAAAGACTGTTGCCGAGCACGTCCTGGACCGCGGTATCCAGCGGCCCGGCATTCGACGCGGGGTCCATGTCCATATACCGGTAGAAGAGCGGCGTCAGGACGCCTAAGAACCCGCCCATGATAGCTGACACGAGTTGTGATAATGCCACAACGAAGCCAAAGCCAAAGTCCAGTTCCGAGGTCTGTATCGATCGCCACGTCGCCGCGATGGCGAAGAGCATCGCGGACAGCGCCGCCGACAAAAACACGACGGCGCTCATCTCGTGCCGTATGGTTGCTGTCGCTTCATCTGCGGATGCAAGGCCGTGCGAGAGCGCGCGCGTCGTGATTGACGACGACTGGAGGCCGATGTTGCCGCCCAGCGCGGAGATCACGGGGATAAATCCGACCAGCAGCGGATATCGCAGCAGCTCGCCGCTGTAGGACATGATGATGGCCGCATTTCCCATTTCAATACACAACGTTAATACCAGAGGCGGCAGGCGCCTTGTTAATCGCGTCTGCACGTCCTCCGTGGCTGCCGCGTAGGCGTCTCTTGCGGTGTCGGGGAGCTCCTTCGCCACAGAGGGCAGGAGCGGCGCGGACGCGGACATGATGTACTATGCTGTTGTGTTCAGACTAGCAGCCACCACAGCTGGAGCCAAAGAGGCAGCCCTTCGTTGCTGGACGGACAGGCACGGATGTCAAAGGTGTGTTTTCGAGCGATGCGCTTCCGTGCACAGCTTGGGATTGGGAGAGTGTGCGGCCCACAGATGCTGCATTTTCGAGTCCCGCACGATACGAAATGGTCTCGCGCGCCGAGACGCGTCCTTGAACGTGTGAGGCAAGGATTGGGTTGATGCATGCAGACCTAGCAGGCTGTAAGACACTAGAGCCAGCCTGCTCGAGCCTCGAGCCGGCAAATGGCTGGCTCGTCTCGCCTGTGCATCCCAGAAATACGAGACGCATTGCTCAACACGCGGCCGCGTCCGATGGCGCAGTCCATCGATGCATTGCGCCAGCAATGGACCGCAGCCGGCCAAGGGCATTGCCTGCAGTACGTCGACGAGCTCGACGCCGCCGCACAAAAGCAACTGCTGGACCAAATTAGTAGCATAGACCCCGCCAAAGCGTCGGCGATGTACAAACGCGCCAAGAACCCACCACCCGATAAGGCAGGGCCACCGGCACCGCTCGACACAAATCAGATCGAGCGCCTCGCGACCGCGCCACGAGCGAAGCGAGAAGGATGGAGAAAAGCCGGCCTCGACGCATGTCGCCGCGGCGAGGTCGCCATTCTACTCCTAGCGGGCGGCCAGGGCACGCGGCTCGGTTTCGACAGGCCCAAGGGCATGTTCGACGTGCGACTCCCATCTAGGAAATCGTTATTCCGTTTGCAAGGTGAGCGGCTGCTGGCGTTGGAGCGCCTAGCGAAGGCTCCACCCGGCTCGATCCCCTGGTACGTCATGACCTCGGCCGCCACCGACGCAGAGACGAGAAATTACTTTAGACAACAACGCTTCTTCGGCCTGAAACCTACCCAAGTCTTCTTCTTCGAGCAGGGCGTCGCGCCGGCCTTTCTCGATGATGGTAGTATAGCGTTGGAGACGAAATGTCGAGTAGCGGTCCCGCCGAACGGGAATGGTGGTGTGTATGACGCGCTCCGCGACTCGGGCGCGTTACAAGACATGCAAGCACGAAACATAAAGCACGTCTACCAGTACTGCGTCGACAACGCCCTCGTCAAGGTCGGAGACCCCGAATTCATCGGCTTCTGTGGCAGTGAAGGCGCCGACTGCGCGAGCAAGGTCGTCCCGAAGGGCCACGCGCACGAAAAAGTGGGAGTCCTGGCGCAATGTGATGGTCGAGTGCGCGTCGTCGAGTACTCGGAGATCTCTCAACAAACGGCGGAGAGCGTCGATGCGCGGGGCCGCCTGCTGTTCGGTTCCTCTCATATTTGCGTGAACTACTTTGCTATCGCATTTCTGGCAAAGTGTATCGAGTTAGTTGATAAACTACCGCTGCACGTCGCGCACAAAAAAATACCAAATGTGCATGACAGTGCGCCTTCCACGCCAAACGGCATCAAGCTCGAGCTGTTCATTTTTGACACTTTTCCGTTCGCGGACAAGTTTCGGGTGCTGGAAGGGACGCGAGGCGACGACTTCGCGCCCGTCAAGAACGCTACTGGTAAAGATTCGCCCGAAAGCGCGCGCGAGTTACTTTTGAAGCGCGACCGGCGGTGGCTCGCGGCCGCGGGCGCTTCGATCAGTCCGGGGCCGGTCGAGGTGGCGTCGGCGTTATCCTACGACGGCGAAGGTCTCGAGGCGTTTGCCGGTGCGACGGTCGCGCCGGGTCTTATCTCCGCGGCGCCGGCGGCGTTTTCTCCCGCTTGTTTAGTCGCGGTCGTTGCGGTGCTCGGGGCGCTGGTGCTGACGTCTTAACTTTAGTTATCTAGCTTATTAGATTTTAGCTCTGGACATGAGGAGGGCACTTGAGGGAGAGTCGAAGCGCAGAGGCAGTTCGGAACTGCGATGAAGAACTTGAATTCTTGACCTTCGTTGAATTGTCGTGCTCACAACGCGAGGAGGAGAACGGTGGTGCCGAGGAGGGTGCCCAGGGCAGCGGTAGTTCGCTGAGCGGCGTCGCTGCCGAGGTTGCCGGAGCAGGATAAGTCGCACGTGAGGCCTAGGAAGCTCTGGGCCATGTCCTCATAATGACACTCGACCCACGCCTGGTACTCCGTTTGGCAGACGGCGGGCCCCTCGCACTCTCCGTTCGAGAGATGTTGCTGTACGTCGGCGCAGGTATTCGGCGAAAAGTTGTCGTCGTTGTCGCCGTCGTCGTCGGCAAAGAAGTCGTCGTCGAGGCTTCGTTGCTTGCTGGCGCAGTCTTGGAAAGCCGTCTCTTCCGCGGGACACGCCGACACGCACTCGTTGGGAAGCGATGCGACGGCGCTCGACGTGATGACGTGATGATCGCTGTCCTCCGTGTCGTCCATGCACTCGCAGGCGTCTTGGCAGTAGCAATCCCCGTCCGGCGTCCAGTCGATGGCCACGAGGTCGGAGCCATACGTATTCTCGCACATTGTCCAGCAGGCGCCGGCATCTGACGTGCTGCCAATCATTTTGTCGAGGTCAGACATGCACCAGCCATTTCCAGTTCCCCAGTCGTTGTTGGTTGGGTCGATGCACGCCGCGAAGCCGCTTCGCGTGCCGACGTCGGCGCACGTGATGCCCAGGCACGCGTACGTCGACTCGATCGCCGACTGGACCGCCGCGAAGCCGCCCGCCATCGGCGTCGCCGCCGCGATGTCGATGTTCGTTTTGATCGTGGCCGCCGCCGTCGAGGAGCACTGGTCGATCCGCGGGAGAATGGCCGCGGCGAAGGCCCAGCCCTCGGCCCACGACTTGACGCAACCGTCGGTAGCGGTCAGGGCGTTCTTGCCGGCATCGCCGGCGCAATCGCCGGCGGAGTTGGCCGGGTCCGCCTGGTACGCGTACTTGAGCGTGCCCTGGATGAGCGGGATCGACATCTGCTTGATGATTTCATCAACGATGGGCTCGGCCTCGAGGCACTGGCCAGCAATGATGCGATCGCGGCCCTCAATAAATTTGGCTAGGAGATTGACATTCACCGTGGCGGGGCCAGTGGCGTATGTGGTGCCGAAATCCTTGCCGCGCTTCTCCGCGAGCTCCCAGATCAGCGTACCGTCGTCCACGACGGAGTCGGCCGCCGTCGCCGCGACCTGAGAGCCGGCGTAGAAGGCCCAGGCCTCGTCCCACGCGTGCGGCGCGCCGCCGGTCGGGGTGCCGTCGTTGGCGGTGATGTCGCCGGCGAAGCAGTCGCCAATGGCGTCCTCGAGCTCGTGGATCACGTACATCCAGACCGCCTGGTAGTTGGCGCCCTTCTTAATCAGCTGGTTCGTCCCGCTGTCCTTGGATATCGCGGAGTAGTCCTTCGTGATGAACGTATCGGCCCAAAAGGCGGCTTCCGTCGCGCTGTAGCCGTTGGCCGCCCAGTACGCCGTGTAGATCGGGGGCAACTGCTCGCCGTACTTGCCACCATCCGCGCCAGTGAGTTTGTCCGTCGAGTAATCCTTGATCGCGAAGCCCTTGAGCGTGCGGATCGAGGTGGCCTTGAGGGAATTGCCCCGGGGCCAACCCACCTCGCAGCCGATGCCGTTCTCGTTGGCGGTCACGCAAAGGCCGTTGCCGCCGTTCTCGTAGATAAACATGGCCTCGGTGATCCAGTTTGCGTTGGTGTCGTACTCGCCGACCTTGTCTTCAAACTCTTGCATGTCGAGGTCGATCTTCGAGTGCTGCTCAACGTCCGAGGCCGACATATAGCCGGCGAGCGTCTGCCACGAGCCGACCTGCGCGGCCGCGCGGCCGAAGAGGGCAGCACCAATGATTCCAGCCCATGCGACCATTTTTTTGCTGCCTGATGTCGACCAATGTTGGCCTTAATACTCGGCTTTGTGAGGCAATGTCCAATTGCAAGCCTGCCCAGAAGGAGGCGGCGGCGCGGCGGCGCACGTGCGGCTGCCCGCACGAAACAGGGAGCTCTCCCACCAGAGGAGGCGATGCGTCAGTTTAGAATCGTTCACTTGCGTTCTCTCTCCATGGCCGACGACTATGCCGAAGCGCGGCCGCGGCCCGCGTTGACTATCTTCGTTCGGTTGCTGCTGAGGCTCCTTGATCCGGTACATGGACCTGTACAGAAGTGCAAGCACGCCTCTTTGCGCGGATTGGCGAGGGTAGCAGTGCCGCCCGCTGGCAATGACGAGGTGCTGCTCTGCTCATCGACAAAATTGCAGTCGTGCAGCATCGGACAATGCGACGCGGCACGATTGCAAGAATAACGATGCTCGCCGGCGTGGCGAGGGCGCTGCTGTCGCGCGGCCGCCCGCGCGTTGCTCGTCCGGCGAGGCAGCTCCGCAGCAGCGCCCCTCTCAGGATGGCTGCATCGACGCTCGAGGGCCTGCGCAACGTCGCGATCGTGGCACACGTGCGACGCAGCGTCCGCAAGCAATGCCAGGCATGAAACGCGTGCATTCTCCACGCCGTCGAGCCAACGCGGCTCCCGACGCCCGCCCACAGCAACGCAATGCGCAACCTCACGCCGTCGAGCATACAACAAGCGTACCACACGCAGGTCGACCACGGCAAGACGACGCTCGTCGACGCCCTGCTCCAGGAGTCGAACGTGTTTAGGGACAACGAGGAGGTCCAGGAGCGCGTCATGGATTCTAATGATCAAGAGAGGGAACGCGGCATCACGATCCTCGCGAAGAACGCCGCTATTGATTACAAAGGAGTCAAGGTCAATTTAGTCGACACCCCGGGCCACGCCGACTTCGGCGGCGAGGTCGAGCGCATTTTGAACATGGTCGACGGCGTTTTACTCGTTGTGGACTCCGTCGAGGGCCCGAAGCCCCAGACGAGATTTGTGCTCAAGAAGGCCTTGGAGCTAGGCCTGAAAGCCGTGCTCGTAGTGAACAAGATCGACCGGCCGCAAGCGCGACCGGACTACGTCGTGGACAAGGCCTTCGACCTGTTCGTCGAGTTGGATGCCACGGACGAGCAGACGGACTTCGACATCGTCTACGCCTCAGCGTTGAACGGCCAGGCCGGCACGGAACCTGATGCATTGAAGGACGACATGACGGCTATCCTGGACGCGATTGTGGACAGTATCCCGGCGCCGGAAGTCGACGCCGACGCCCCGGCCCAGCTCTTAGTAGCGAACATTGATTTTGACGACTTCAAGGGTAAGCTGGGCATTGGCCGGGTCAAGCAGGGTAAACTGAAGGCTGGTGATGCTGGGACGTTCGGGGCCATGAAGGGCCCCGACGACGACTGCCGCGCGATCAAAATTAATGATCTCTTCGTCTATGACAATTTAGGAAGGAAAGCCGTCGACGAAGCCAGTGCGGGAGAGATCGTCATGTTCTCCGGGGTGAGCGACATCCAGATCGGCGAGACCGTGACCGAGAAGGCGGACCCGCAGCCGCTACCTTGCCTCGAGGTCGAGGAGCCGACCGTGTCCATGAGTTTTGCGGTGAACAAGTCGCCGTTGGCTGGCCGGGAAGGCGATAAATTAACGTCTCGGGTTATCCGCGACCGACTGATGAAGGAGCTGGATCGCAATGTGGCATTACAAGTAGAACCGCAAGATAGCGGCGACGCCTTCACCGTGTCTGGTAGAGGTCCGCTCCACTTAACAGTGTTGATAGAAACGATGCGCCGCGAAGGCTTCGAGCTGGAGATCGGGCCGCCCGAGGTGATCATCAAGACGGGTGACGACGGCAAGAAGCAGGAACCGTATGATGCGGTCGAGGTCCAGGTCCCCGACGAGTACGCCTCCAATGTTGTTGATCTTTTGAACCGGAGGAAGGGCGAGATGCAGGACATGGGGAAGACCGACGTCGGCGACTACACGTATGTGAAATATTTATTACCTACTCGTGGGTCCATTGGTTTGAGGACGAACTTGCTGTCGGCTACTCGCGGCACGGCCGTGATTGATTCGAACTTTGATTCTTATAGGGCATTTGCTGGGGACATCGAGGCGCGGGACAAAGGCTCGTTGTTAGCCTTCGAGGACGGCGAGGCGACGTCTCACGGGTTGCTCGGTGCCCAGGATAGAGGTCAATTGTTCGCGACGCCCAAAACGGCCGTCTACAAGGACATGGTTGTTGGGGTCCATCAGCGGCCCGGCGACCTGCGCGTGAACGTCTGCAAGCAGAAGCAGCTGACGAACATGCGGAGCGCGACGAAGGGCATCGTGGAAGGGTTAAGCCCGCCTCTGGAGCTGACCTTAGATTCGGCGGTCGAGTACATCTCCGAGGAGGAGTTGGTGGAGGTGACGCCGGAGTCGATCCGCATGGCCAAGCAGCGGGGCTGGAACGACAAGAAGAAGGGCAAGAAGTAGATCATCGGTCGTCATTCGTGTAAAGTCTAGACATACTATGTAGTTCGCCCCGCCGCCCCGGCGATTGTTCCTTACTACGGCGATGGCGTTAAAGAGCCACCTGCGAGGACAGCGACCGGTGAGCGTCGCGTCGATGGCGTCTCGTCGACACGATCGCAGTGAGTCTCGCGTCGATGGCGTGGCGTGAGTCTCGCGTAGTACCAAGCATGACCAAGCATGGCTCCCCGGGCCCGCTAGGTTCAGAGGTCCTCTACCATCGTAAGCAGACGCGGCGTGCCACCAACACGCCATCGAGGCGACCGCGAGATAACAAACAGCAAAACTTAGGCCCATAAAACGCTCTCGGACGAGAGCAGCCAACCCGACCGCGTGAAGAAGAGCGCGATGCCCGCGACATGTAAAACGCCGAACGCGAGGCGGTAGTCGTACAGAGGACCAGGTCGCAGGCACGCGAACTCGGGTAATCCCAAATAATTGCACAGCACATGAGCGGCGACGGGCGCGCTCAGGCGATGTGTTCGGCAGAAAGCATACGAAGCGAAGGCGCCGAAGAGCGACGTGTAGGCGAACTGGACCGTAGTTTCGACGACAGCGTGGCTGAGGGGCACGCCGTCGTCGACCACGCGCCGCCGGCCGTGGTGCACGTGCGCGAGGCCAAAAACTAAAGGAGCCGTCCGCACGGCCCGCCACCTCGTGATGCCGGCCTCGATTAGTAAGGGCAGCACGCAGGCGCGAAAACACAACTCCTCGGTCACGGGGCCCACGACGAGGTTGCGCCACGCTTGGGGGTTGATTTCCGGGAGCGTGAATGCACCAAGAACTAGACGCTCCGCGAGCGTCCCTAGATATAAAATTGCGACGCAGGCCGCTCCCTTCAAAGCCGCTTGTGTGGAACCATCAAGGCGCAGGCCCAGCGCCGCGGCGACGCCGTCTACACCAAGACAGCGCGGGTCCGCGACGCGCGCGTAGAGCGCGACGGCGAACACTGATGAAAGGGCGACGGCGGCGAAGCGGCCATAAATGTGGCGCGGATGGTCCCGGGGCAGTGTCCGAATTCGTTTCGGGAGGAGGTAGAGCGAGGCGACGTAGGCGGCGCTTATTGTTGTGGCGGTGAGGTAGGCTCCGGTTTCGGTGAGTGTGCACTGCTGCATCGTTTGCGGGTGCGAGTTATATTGCTGCACTACAGCCAAGCTGCTGCTGTGGCTGCACTGTCCCCGCGGCGTCGGCGTTTCGTTCGCAACGATAGCAGCAGAGCTTCACAGGTGTGCGTGGAGTGCCTCACTGCAATAGCACCGCTCGGAGGCCGCCTATCGCGCAGTTCACGCTTCACGCCTTGGCTTCGGACTAGCGTATCGACACACTAGCTCTGTGCTCCAGGCACGGCTCTTCTTATCGGAGGAGCCGCGGCTCTTGTTGGTTTTAAAGTAGTTAGCCCCCGACGCCCCGGAACCGCCTTGCCGCTCACTGGCTCTCCACCTCCACGACCTCGTCGCCCTCCTTCGGCGTGCGCTTCTCGCGCGCCCCGGCGGCGGGCGCGGCGGGCGCGGCCGCGAGCGACGCCGCCAGCGCCGCCTCGAGGGCGGCATCTTCCGAGCGGCCGCCGTTGTCCTGGTAGAGCACGCGGCGGAGGCGCACCTCGGCCGCGGACGCCGGCGCCGGCGCCGCGCCCGGCGCCGCGGCCGGCGGCGCGGCCGGCGCCGCGGCCGGCGGCGCGCCCGGCGGGTTGAGAGCGTACCGGACACTCGCCCTCTGGCCCGGGCGGACCCTCGCGAGGGCCCCTGAAGAGCCAGCTGCTAAAAGCACGGTGTCGCCCTGCGGCTCGAAGTCGGTTTGGACTTCCGGCGGGCCCGGGCCGTCGAGGTTCGTTATTTCGTTGGTGATTTTAAGCCCCGACATGGCGGTGCGGGACAGCGATCGATGCAAACAAAGCTTGCAATCCAATCGATGTCGAGCGGCAAGCCGAGGCTAGTGGGCGCGAGGATTTCTCGCAAAGTACCTGCTAGCACGCCATTCCTCGTTTTAGCACTCAAGCACGACGCACCGGGCGTGCGGGTTGTGTCCAGCCAGTTTTACCGACACCGAGGTGCTTTTACGGCGCGTCCGTACGCGCGTGAACAAATCTGAACTGTTAATAGTGATGCTTTAGTGTTTTGGACTTCTCTCCAACAATGCGTAGCAGCAAACGCCGCTTTGCGCCATGGTGCGCACTGGTACTGCTATTGGCCTTGCTATCGAAGCGTGGATTGGTCAAACGCGGCGTCGGGCTCACCAGAGCTAGCGACGCGCTGTGCAAAGCACCTCTCAGCTTCGAACGGGCACTTAACAGCACAGCCAGTCGCTGTGCTGCAAGACCTAAGCCGAGGCAGCGGCGCCGAGCCGCATCGCCCTCGCTACGGCGCTGGGACGCGGCCGCCGCCTGCACCGCGAGACGGAGAGCTCCTCGTGTCGCGCCGGGACGACGGGCATCGCCGCGCACTGCGCCGCATTGCGGACGCCGCCGCGTTACGAAACCGCCGCGGGCGACGCCGCGACAAAAATCTGCGCCACCGCGCGCAACGCTCGTGCTGAACGCATCCACGCAAGATGTCGCACAACTGGCTCATAATCGTAAACTGGGCCGTCATCATGAACACCCTGACGAAGAAGAAGCGGCTCGTCGTCGTCATCAATTGGGTGTGCTTTGCCACCTTCCACAACTGGTGGAAGGAAGGAAGGGTGCGGCTCAAGGGCTATGTCACGGGCCGCTACTACCGCAAGGTAGGCGCCGCGAGCGCGGACGACGTAGACGTCGCGGTAAAGGTAACGTTCCTGTCGCTGCACTTGGCTGTGTCGAAATCAAATCAAGCGCCTCACGCCATCGACGCAACATTGCGACTTCGTCTGCTCGATGGCGTGGAGATTCTACGTCATCGATGCGACCTAACTCACTGTTTGATTTCCACACAGGTACGAGAAAGGCATCAACGCGATCCTGGCGCTCGTCTCTCTCGACTTACGGGAGAAGTGGGCGCCGACGCCCCGAGAAGTCCTGGAGGAGGCGCGCGACGGCCCGACGGCGCCCGACTCCATAATCGCGGCCGAGTTCGACATCCCGTACTCGGGCCTGCTCGGGTGGTTAGGTGTAGTGTGGTACTTCGGCGTCTATTGGTTGTGGATCTCGACGTACCTGGGCTTCCAAGATGCGTTGTAAGGGCGCGGCGCACAAATCAACCCTTCACGACGGCCGCGGTGCCTTCACGCCATCGACGCGCGTCGTCTCCATCTTCTGATGAAGTCTGATGAAGTGGGTGGTTTCTTTTTCGATTTTGAGGCCATTCGGACCGCGTCGAGCGAACTTGCTACGAACGCGAGAGAGGCTTCACCCGCCTCAGTGTTGATTTCCACACAGGAGGGGCGGCGGGGCGCCCGGCTCTACTGCGGAATTAGTGCTCGCGGCGATGGACCCGGGCAACGGAGGCCGGCCGATCGGCGGCGGCGCCGGTGGTTGGTTGGAGACCAACCTTTTCGCGATCGCGCCCTACCAGCCTTGTTTTGGGCTCTACCGCCTCTCAGAGAAAGTGATGCACGACGTGTGGTCAAAGGTAAGGTCTTCGCGGTGGCGTCTCGTTCCCTTCTTATTGGCTGTGGTGGCGATTTGCGGTGGATTTGCCTATCAATTCCACCTGCCGACAAAAGATGTGGTCGTGGTCTTGTTAGTTGTGGCCGCTGCTGTCGCTTTATTTCGCTTGACGATGCCCATTTACGATTGGACGAGGGCGGAGCGGTCCTCGTATAGTGGGGATGATCTAGGGCATGTCGGAGAGGTGAAGATGGATTCGACTGGTAGTTCAATACTATTAAATGGTGTTGAAGGAAAGGAACGGGAGGCCGAAGCGGACTACATAGCTGTTGGCTACGTGCCCCGAGGGACGCTTCTGGAGCCGCGACCGGCGTGTCCCTTGATGGTTGCGTTATTATTGGTGTTGTTTGGTGCGTTGGGCATCGTTTTGGACTACTTCATCGTCGGTGGTGGCTATAGATGTGGTTTAGCTGGGGCTATTTTTGGAGGAGTCGTGGGTTTTGTTAGATTTGGTCGCAAGCAGTACGGCGTCCCGGAGGTCATCGTCGTGTCGGCAGAGGCCTTGAGAGTTGCAGGTCTCACTGGTATGCTTTTTGCTGCGGGTGGGGTGCATGGGCAACGGTGCTCTACGTTAGAAGTCCGGGACGGGCCGCCAGAAGATTTGAAGACAGGTGAAAGTTGGGAGGGTAAACCGGACATCTTACTTGTTCCCTGCGACCCGACGGCTAGCTCCATAGTTGGTAAGGGTCGAACTATGATTCACGAAACTGGGTGGAAGGTGTACGTGAAACCGTCGCCCTCCAATCAGAATTATCGGCGTTGGCAACTCCTAGCTTCGACTCATGAAATTAAAACCGTCACGGTACCCCAGCTCAACAAGCTCGTGGACCTTGACGCCCTCCCAAAGGGCACGATCGTCCGCGTCCCGGCGACAGATGTTGCTGATGCCGCGCTGAAGGTCGTCGCGGCGGCCAATGCGGTCAAGGAGTTCCCCCCTGGCGTGCCCTGGAAAAAGCGCACGCCGACAACGTTTAGGAACGCGCATTATGAGGTGCGGGACGATCCCAAACGGCAAGTGCATCAGCACGGTGTCGACTTAACTTTGCGGTCGTTACGGAAGGCGGGTGCGCGTGCCGCGTTGTGTCGCCTCATCGGCGTCGCTCTAGCGTTTCTTTGCTCGGCTGCCGTGGCCTCGTGGTGTGGACTGGGATCCGGCGTCCTGACGGCCTGTGTATGCGTCGTCACGCTAGGCCTGTGCCTCCCTAGGATTATGGGGGCGTCGGTGGACATGCTGTCAGAAGCCAAGCACTCGGTGACGGTCAAGTACCGGCGCGGTCCGCGGCTTGCGTTCTACGTGGCCGTGCTCGTCGCTCTCGTTGTAGCTGCTCTATTATTTGTCGGCTTCGATTCATTAGGAATAGCTTCTTCATGTGGGTTGTTTGCCGGCGCCGAGTCGTCGGTCGCCGTTTTAGTTTGTGGTCTACTTGCTGTGGGGGCGGGTATATTCGGAGCGACGCGCAGCGTGTCTGTTATTATTGCTGGGAGGAATTACGGGTTGGGGGTTCAGGCTCCGAAATTTCAAGTTGGAGTTGATGCGGCGAAGGAAAAAGGACAGACGTCTAAAGCGAACACCAAACCGATCGTCATCAACCACGCGTCTTGTACCACGCTCTGTTTCATCCATAGCTGTAAGGTTGGCGATTGCGTCGAAGTCGTGCGACTGGTCGACGGGTGTATCTTCGACGGGCACGTGGTCGCGGTCAACGTCGGCGACGGACGCTCGATTGCTACGACGTACGACGTGTCGTACGAGAACGGCGTCCGTGAGAACGGTGTCGAAAGGCATCGTATCTGGATCAAGGGCGGACGCAACGTCATTTGCTCGGTGGTGCCGACGACGGATGAGATGCTCAACCAGAAGCTATGCGACGGTTTCTTGTGCACGGAGGTCATGGAGGCGGTCTTCGCGGACGTCCACGCGACCACCCAACATAACTACTGGGTCTATCAATGCCGTCTTCCTGAACACTTGCAAAGGGTGATGGACCATTCCTTCTGCACGCTCGACAAGCTGCCCACGAAGATCGCGGAGATGATAGAGCCGCACCTAGAATTAGTGGAGAGCTCCTGCACGGTGTCGGATCCGGTCGTCGCGTTCTTCGCGTTCGCGGTGGCGTGCCTGACGGCGTTGATCGCGCTGCCCGGCGCCGTGCTAGATGACGTCGTCAATGCGGCCACGGCGTGCCGTTTCTGGACGACGCCGCGCCGGAATGTCGGACCGGCGGCGGTGCCGCCGCCTCCTCGACGGCTGGCGCCGGCGCCGGCGCCTTCCCCAGCGCCGGCGCGGGCGCCGCGGCGGGCGCCCGCGCCCGCGCCGGCGCCCGCGCCGGCGCCCACGCCACGCGTGCGGCGGTCCTGCACTCCTGTTTCGTCGTACGTGGAGTCTGACGACGACGAGAACGGGGCCGCGGCGCCGCCGAAAGACAGCCGCGTCGCCGTGCTTTACGCCGGAGGACAGTGGTACGAGGGCACCGTCGTGGACGTGCTGGACGGGAGCCGCGCCTTGGTGCGGTTCGACAACTACGAGACCGCCAATCAGGTAAACTTCGCAAGTGCCCCCTTCCGCATCACGCGCTTCGGACCGGAGCCGGTGCCCCAACGCCGCGGCAAGCGCAAGGCGCCCACCAGCAGCCGGCCTAGCAAGCGGCCGCGCCGGTCCTAGAACGGCGACGCGCCGATGGCCTAGACGCCACGCGCTGGGGGACGGCGCCTTCCCTAGCTGTGCTAATTATGATCAACTATAAAACTCTCACTTAGGATAACAACCTTACACACCACAAGAAACTCATCACACCCACAGCGTCAGCCCGCACCAGTGCCGCCCCAGCGACGCCGGGTCCGTCGCGAGGTCGACGAGGACCTTGACCTGGTCCTCCACATTGAGGGTAGATTGGTGGCGCAAGCCGTGGCGGGCGCTGTTCTCCAACCCCGTGACGACGGTCCGCGCGCGCTGGGCCATGTCCGCCTCGAGCATCGGGTTCCCCGCGACCTCGCGATGTAGCAAGTGGCAGGGGTTCGCCCCGAAGAGCTTCCCTCGAGCCGTCGCGACGCGTCGCTCGGGCGTCGCCGCGGCGCCCGCCTCGATGTCGTCCGCGTCGCGGTCCAACGAAGCGTCGTGCTTAGGCGCGGAGCCTGTGGCGGGACCGATACGAGCGGGCGTGGCGGTTCCGATTGGAACCGGGCACATGCGCGCTGGGCCTGCAACTCGAGCGACCGCTCTCGGCCTACGAGCCCCGCTCGTTCGGACCGGACGCGATCCCCGCATACCATCAAAACGGCCTCCTTGACGTTGGCGTGCTGACCGTGCGCGACATCAAGGGGAAAAACAAAGAGCTTCGCTACTACGTGCATTCGGAGGGCGTGGATTGGGGGCCCGAAGACGTGGACGTAGACGTATGGTTAGAGCACCCCGAAGACGAAGACGAAGATGAGGATTATTACCTCCACGAGGGTATTCTGGATGGTTGCGTCGTGTACGTGTCTTCGTCGGCCGCCGCGCTCTACGATCCCACGCGTCCCGCGGTCGGCCGCCGGGGCATACGGGTCGGGTCCCCGCTTCGACACTTGCTCGAGGGATTCGGCCTCAGCCTCGATGACGTCATCAGCGCGTGCGACTCGAGGTGCGGATCCCAATTTCGGCTCCGCGGCGTCGACAACTTCAGGTTCGGGCTCGGACCCCGCGAGAACGGGTATTCCGCAGAGGACGAGTGGGAGCCGATTCCGCACGCGCCCGAGGTTCCCACGGCTACGCGGGAGGAGAAGCTCAACTGGCCCCTGCAAACCATCCAGATTTGGAGCGGGCGGTAATGCTGAGTAAGAAATTCCATCCTCTCGTTGCTCGAGTAGGTACACTTGTTAATCACTAAGCTCGGTGATCTCCTCACCGAGTTCAGAAAGCCAGCCGCGGACCTGGTCGATGTCCCGCTTCCGCCCGATCGTCACGACGGACGGCTCCGGACCGCTTGCAAGAGCGAGCGGGTCGCGGTCGACGCGGCCGGAGAGGTGCACGAACGTGTCGGCGTTCGCGGGGCCGCCTAGAATCAACACGGCCTCGACGCCCGCTATATCCAAACCGCGGGCCCGGTCCTCCGACGCCACCAGCACCACTGGTGCGTCTGTTGTCGCCCCAATGACATCAGCACGAAGTTGCTCCGCGGCGTCGCGCGTCGCGGCCGCCCGCTTGTCCGCGTCCGTCGCCCTCTCCGCGGCTTCGAGGGCCTTCTTCTCGCCACTAGACTTCGTCGCGTAGTTGCGGCGGCGGCTTCTTGCAGAAGAGGGGAAGAGCGCATCATTTAACACGCGCGCGCCGAGGTCCTCGGCGACGGCACGGACTTTCAGTTTTGAGCTGCCACACACAAAAACGAGCGCGACGCGCGGCTTGAGAGCTGATAGGGCATCGGCCGCGCCCTCTATGAAATCCGCGCGCGTCGCGGATTTGTGGGAGACGCGCCGCGGCGCGATCGTCGTGCGGACGTTGCCCGGCCGGCCGGGCGCGCGCTTCGTCTTGACGACCAAATTCTTCCCGGCGTCGCAGGCGACGACGGGTAGAGGCAGCGCCACCTTCGGCGCGCCTTTCAGCGCCCGCTCGAGCTTGGTCTTGCTCGCGCGGTCGAGCGTCGCCGAGCCGGCGAGCACTTGTAAACTGGAACCGCAGCGCTTCGCGGCGAGCCTCGCGAGGGCCTCGGCCGGGTGGTCGCCCCGGTCCTGCCAGCGCGTGACCTTGGCTCCATTACTTTTACGCGACGGCATGAGGAGGTCGAGCTCGTCGCAGACCAGAGCTTCACAGCGCAATGCGCCGTATAAGGACGGTCGGTGCTCGAGCACCTGACACAGCTCCGCCGGCGTCGCGAGGACGACGGCGCTCGCTTCGATCGCGTCCGCGAGAGCCTCGGCGCCGCCGGGCGCGCCTAGGGTCGCCGACGTGACGACGGCGGTCGCAGCGCCGAGAGCGTTGAGCAAAGTCTCGTGCTGCGCGACCAATTCCCGCGTCGGCACGAGCACGACGACGCGGCCGGGATTGCCCCGGCCCGCCCAGAGCGTCGACGCCACGACGGGCAGCACCATAGCTAAAGTTTTCCCGGAGCCCGTCGGCGCGTGCACGCACGCCGACTTCCCGCCCATCGCTTCCGCCCAGACGGCGGCCTGCACTGGTGCTGCCTCTTGGAGGCCGAGTGCTCTCAACCCGTCGGCCGCGGATGCCGGCAGCGCGACGTATTCACCGATAGCGCTGCGCAGTGTCGCCAGGCTCCTGCCATGCAGGCTGTGGCGGCACACGAGCGGGCGCGCGCGTCGTATAAGTAGGCAGAGCATGAGTCTGCGCATCGCTCCGCGGCGATGCCGCGCTGCACTGCAGGCGCGCTGCACTCAGGCCTGATGCTGCCGCACTGGACGGCGCTGCTGGCAAATTGCACCGCAGGTCAGAAACCACTGCAGCCTGCACTAATGCTGCACTGGGACGCTCTGAAAGGCACAGTTTCACTCTGCTTCAGCCAGCGCCAGCAGGCTAGTGTCTCAGTGCGCTAGCTCGATGTCCAGCATTTGCTTGTCGGCGGCAAAAACGGCCGTTGGTCCGCTCGCCACGGACGAGGACAATTGAGGTGAGTGGCGTCGTAAGGGCAAAGAGTCTGGCGAGCGCCACGTGTCGATTTGATCTCCTTGCAACTTTTTTGCACACAAGCCTAGTGACCATCACGGGGCGAGGCGACGATGCGCCGATTCCTGCTGCTCGTGGCGGCGGCGGCCACCGCCGGCGCGCAACTAACCGAGTTCTCGAGCCACATCGTCCTCGACGGCTTCGACGTCGAGCGGTTTAATCGCCCCGACCGGCTCGCACATATCAATTTGTTTGGAGTCCTCATGCGCGTCTTTTTCGACGATCCGGACTCGACGTACGTCCGATATTTCGACCGAGACGCGTCGCGCTACGCCGAGGCCTACGAGCACGACGGCGCGGCGGGCGGCAAAATCCCCTACATGGTGACGTCGCCGGAGAGCTACGAGGTCCTGAAGGAGCGGATGCGCGTCGCGCTCGAGTCCGGCGAGCTCCAGCGCATCATCGACACGCACAGCGAGAGCAGCATCATCTCGAACGCGCCCGTGAACGTCAAGGCGAGCCTGCACTTCCTCGGCCACTCGCGCCACGAGACGGAGCCCGCGCCCGGGCCCGCGCCGGCGCCCCGGCCGAAGGACGACGACGACGACGACGGGCTGTCGGGACTAGACATATTCCTCATCGTGTTCTTCGTGATCCTCTTCGCCGTCTTCAACGTCATGGCCTTCCTCGTCTACCGGAAGCGCAAGCGCGAGCGCGCGGAGGACGCCATCGCGCTCGTGCCGGCGCCGACGTACCTCCACCCGTCGCTGCACCACAAGACGTTCCCCGGCGCGGGGCCCGCCGCGTCGTACCGCGGCCGGTCGGGCGCCTTCAGCGACGAGCTCCAGCCCACGGAGTCCTTCCGGAACGTGTCGGACCCGCAGTACGAGTTCGGAACGCTCGGCGGCGACGACATGGGGAAGGCGTTCGCTTGATTTTCTAAGTTGAATCTTACCGCGCGGCGGCGGCGGGGGGGAGGGTTACTTTGCTCGCGCCCGGCCGACGCGCGCGCACCGTAAGTAACGCATAGCTCTGCGCGAAGCCAGCCCTACGCATCCAAGGGTCCTTGACGCATCCGAACGCGCCACGGACGCGTGCGGACGGGACTTCAACGTTGCTCGCGTGCGGGTGCACGTCTGGCAAGAAAATTGGGAGCTGCCCGCCCGGTGCGCTCCTGGTCGCAGGAGCACTCGCCCAAAGGCCAGAAGCAAAGGGCAGCACTCCCGAAGGAAAAGAGGCGCCAGCGTAAAGCCTACACGCAGCCCGCGACACCACAAACGCGCAAGGGCAGAGCACAAACAAGCCAAAGCTGCCACAACAAGCACCATGCTCACGCGCGTCATCATCAACGTGCAAAATAGTCTAGCGGCGACGGGCGCCAAGGGCGCCGGCGGCCTCGCGGCCCAGTTCCGGAGCATGGACAAAGATGGAGACGGCGCGCTCACGTCCGCCGAATTCGCCGAGGGCCTCAAGAAGGCCGGCGTCAAAGTAAGACCCGTCGACGTCGCGGCCCTCTTCCAGGCCACGGACGCGAATAAAGACGGCCGCCTGGCCTTCGGCGAGTTCGTCGACAAGTTGTGCGGGCCGCTGTCGCCGCACCGCCGCAGTGTGGTAGAGGGCGTCTGGCGGCGCATCGCCGGTTCCGAGGAAGAGATCACTCTAGCAAGGCTGCTGAGCGCCCATAAACCAGAGAAGCATCCCTTGGTCGAGAAGGGCGCGAAGACGCCTTCACAGATACAAACGGATTTGATGGAGGCCTTACAGCCCTACGTGAAGCATGATAGCGTGTCCAGTGTTGCGTTCGCGGCCTTCCACCGCGTCACCTCTTCATTTGAGTCCGATTACGACTTCGATCAGACCGCGGAGAGCGTCTGGGGCCGCGCTGTTACAAAGGAGAAGGTCGATTCGTCGGAAGACGCTCTATCAGTACTGAGGAAGGCTCTGAACGAGCGGGGCGTGCGCGGCGTCGTGAGTCTCGCGCGCAACTTTCGGTTGGCCGACCGGGACGGCTCCGGATCATTAAGAGAGGGCGAATTCGTACGCAGCTTGCAGCTGTCGCAATGTCAGTTGGAGCCCAAACAAGTATCTTTATTATTCAGATCGTTTGACGCGGACCGCGACGGTGTGATCGATCAAGCCGAGTTTCTGACGAAGTTAAGAGGCCCCATGAACGCTCGTAGAGTCGCCCTCGTGGATCAGGCCTTCGATGTCTTGGATACGGACAAGAACGGTGTGGTGGAGCCCTCTGAAGTGGTAGCGAAGTATGATGCGTCACAACATAAAGATGTCTTAGCAGGCAAGAAGACGGAGCAGGAATGTTTACGGGAGTTCCTGGACACGTTCGATGTGGGCGGTGTCGTCGATGGGAAAGTTACAAGACAAGAATTTAGGAACTACTACCACTCCGTAAGTTCGGGCATTGAGTTGGACGATGAATTTGAGCTTTGCATCCGGAACGCCTGGCATTTAAGTGGTGGTGTCGGATGGTGTGCCAACTCTACCAATCTCAGAGTGTTGGTGACGCATGCGGATGGTACTCAGACAGTCGAGTGCGTCGAGGACGATCTTGGTTTACAGATGCCGCGCGACGCGGTCGAGGTCATCGATCGGTTGAGGAAGCAGGGTCTGGATGTTGTTTCTGTGCAGTCCGGCGCGGGGCCTGTTATCTCAAAGCCCATACCGGTAGTAGAAGTACAACATCAGAGAGTATCAAGCGACGAAGCGCTGGAGACCCTACGTAAAGCCTTGAAGAAGCGAGGGGTAAGAGGCCTCACGAATCTAGGAAGAGCCTTCAGAATCGCCGACGCGGACCACTCCCGCGTCTTATCCAAGGAGGAGCTGCAGAGGTGCCTCCACCGCGCGGACGTGTATTGTGAGGATTTTGATACTGTGTACACAAAATTCGATACAGATGGCAACGGCAAGGTGGACTACGACGAGTTCCTGCGGACGGTGCGAGGTCCCATGGGTGATCGAAGAAGAGCGTTGGTCGACCAGGCCTTTGCGGTACTCGACACTGATGGAAATGGAATTATCGAACCCTCAGAGGTCGTGAGGAAGTACGACGCGTCCCAACATCCCGATGTGCTCAAAGGAGACAAGACCGAAGACGACGTATTGAGAGAATTCTTGGACACGTTCGATGTTGGGGGTATTGTGGACGGGAAAGTGACGAGGTCGGAATTCGAGAATTACTACGAGAACGTGTCCTGTTCGATAGATAACGACGATTACTTCGAGCTTTGTTTGAGAAATGCGTGGCATTTGAGCGGGGGTGAGGGCTGGTGCGCGAACACGGCTAATTTGCGGGTGCTGGTCACGCATGCGGACGGTAGTCAGTCGGTAGAGTGCGTCGAGGACGACCTGGGCTTGCAGATGCCTCGGGACGCTCCCGAGATTCTGCGACGACTCAGGGGGCAGGGCATTGATTGTGTGGCCGTCGACTCGCCGACGGCGCACTACGAGGAACCTTCTACACCCGTAGACAATACGGACGTCACGCCGGCTTGCGTGGAGGCGATGTGTAGGCGGGGCGCGCGCGGCTTCATCGTTCTGAAGAGACGGTTGAGTGCGCGGGCGACCAATGGTGAAGTCAGTCGAGATGGCTTCCTCGCGTCGTGCCGCGACGCCGGTATCAGTACAAGCGACGCGACGGACGCGCAATTGCGGGGCGTCTTCGAGGGTTTGCAAAGCCAGGGCCGCGCGCCGCTAAGAGCTTGCTTGGAGGCGCTGACGCCGCCACTCACTACTCAGAGAAGAAACCTCGCGCAGAGCGCGTTCTCGCGCTTAGATGTTGATAACTTAAACAGAGTGGCCCCGCAGTCGCTCATCGCGGCCTTTGATCCTTCAAGGCATCCCGACGTCATTCGTGGCAAGCAGTCGCCGCAGGACGCGGTCGACGATTTACTAGCTGCGTTCAGTGGAAGTGCGTCCGTGGAAGATTTCTGCGACTACCACTGCGCCGTGGGTGCGATAAGCGACGACGCGACGTTCGAACGGTTCGTCCGCAACGCCTGGCGTACGTCGATGACGGAAAGCAACCGAGCTGCAGGCGCATCATCACCTCAAAGAGGTCGCAAGGTCATTCAAGGAGGCAATGCGACGGGCGGCCCGTCATTACCCGGCAAGTCGACGCCGTTACGAAGGCGGCGCGGCGCGTCGCCGGCGCCGCGCGTCGACACCGGCGTCACGACAGTGGTAGAAAAATTACGGGAAAGTGTATTGTTCAATGGCGCGCGCGGCATTGCCCAATTGGAGCGTAGCTTGCGGGACGAGGCGTCGGATAACTCGCGGGATTTAACGTTTGAGGAGCTCTCTCGAAGCTGTAGATCTCTAGGTTTGTCCTCACAAGAACTACGCTTACTGTTTGACGCCTGCGACACAACAGGCGAGGGCACCTGCGACTACGCTTCTTTTGTGTCCTTGGTGGCACCACCTCTAACAGGATCGAATTTACTCGCGGTCAAGGATACGTGGCGAAGGTGCTTCGGCGACGTCGAGAGCGTACCTCCCGAGCGCGTCGCCCAGGCCTTTGATGCGAGTAGGCACCCCGAGGTCGTGGCCGGTCGTTCCAATGAGAAGAAGCAGTTTGCTGCCTTTTTGGACACGTTCGACGTGCCTGGTTCAGCGGCACAAATGGACGATTTCCTGGCGTATCATCGGGGCGTCTGTGCCGCGGCGCCGAACGGTGAATACTTCCTGGCCGTCGTGAATGATGTTTGGCAAACACCCAATGCCAAACCTTCCGTAGTGAAGCCTCTGGCGTCCTTCGAGCGGAAACCTACGTCACCCGTGAGAAGCGCCGGCGTGCCCTTGAGGAGGGTCGGCGAAGTGAGTTTCGGCGACGATCGACGGGAGAAAGTCGTGAAGCCGAAGCCGCGGTCTACTGTCAGGGAGATGGATCCGGGCGTCGCTCGACTGTTATTTGATCTGCGGACGCAATTGGCATCCCACGGCGCTAGAGGTATTGCGGGCTTAGGCCGAAAATTCAGAATTTGTGATGATGATAACGACGGGAAGTTATCTCACTCAGAATTCAACAAGGCCATCAACGAACTCGGATTAGCGGAGTTAACAGCTCAAGAAAGAAGGGTTCTATTTGATCACTTCGACCGCGACGGCAGCGGGTCATTATCCTATGAAGAATTCCTATCAAATGTGAGGGGCCCACTATCGCAACCAAGAATCGATATCATAGATGCGGCCTTTGACATTCTGGACCTGGACAAGGACGGCTCTATATTACCAGATGAAATCGCGTCCAGATTTGACGCGTCCCAGCATCCTGATGTATTACAAGGCAAGTGCACGCAAGAAGACGTCTATAGGGACTTCCTAGATACCTTCGATGTGGGCGGTACAAAGGATCACCGAGTGACCCGTCAAGAATTCCGGAACTACTACCATAACGTATCCTGTTCTATTGATAGCGATGCCTACTTCGTCCAGATGGTGCGCAACGCCTGGCACATGGGTGCCAAGTCCACGACGGCTTTGAGAGTTTTAGTGACTCATTCCGATAATACTAGATCGGTGGAATGCGTCGAGGACGACCTTGGTTTGCAGATGCCGAGAGACGCTGATATAATTTTGAAGAAGTTACGAGCGCAGGGCATCGATTGCATCAGTGTGGAAGGCCCCGGCGGCAAGTCGGTGGCGAAACTCGCGGACAACAACACCCCAAAGACGTTCCGGGACGTCCGGCGCCACGCGGCGGCCGGCGGGGGGGCTAGACCGAAATCGAGTGGGAGACGGGTCGGCGGCTACCGGACGAACGCCTTCGACTCGAACGTGTCCATCGGCCACGCGCCGCTGCCGCCGCCGCCGCCTCGTTCCACATCAAAACCGCCCTACGTCACTGAGGAACTACCACGTGTGGACATCAATAAAATTCTGCGGAAAGCGAGGTCGAAGCTCAGATTCCTCGGCCCGCGCGGCGTCCACGGCATGGTTAGGAAACTAAGGAGCGGTGGCGACAAGGCGGGCGTCTTGTGTGATACATTAGCTTTACAGCGAGATGATGCGGCGGCTTTAGCCGCGGCGGACGACCTCGTCACGAAGTTGAGGGGAGATCTCTCGGAGACTCGGAAAGTGCTAGTGGATGCCGCTTTCGACGCCCTCGACTACGAAGGTGAGGGCTCCGTCGCGTTGACAGACGTGGTCCAGGCCTACGACGCCGCGAACCACCCCGAGGTCCTGGCCGGGGCGCGGACGCGGGAAGCGGCGAAACGCGAGTTCCTGGAGACCTTCGAGGTCGACGGCGACCGGGCCTCGCTCCAAAACTTCCGCGAGTACTACGCGAACGTGTCTGCGGCCGTCGACGACGATGCTCTGTTCGCGACGCTCGTGCGCAACGCGTGGTCACTGAATGTGGAGAAGCAGAGCCCGCGCGGCGTCCACGCGCTCGTCACACACCGCGACGGCCGCCAGAGCGTCGAGGTCCTGTCCGAGGACGGCGAGGACGCGTTGGAGATGTTGCGTTCTAGGGGCGTCGACGCGATCGACGTCAAGCTCAACGACAAGAACACGCGGACGTTCCGGTCGACGCTCGTGCTCGAGTAGACCATGTCCCTTCCTTTCCCCCTCTGGCTAAGAGCTTTCTGGTTGACTTTACTTTGTCGCGCAGGTCTGTCACCTGAACCCCCTATCTTACTGAGATAGAGGTACTTTTTCGATACGGTATAAATCGTATCCTGACGTGCAGGCAGCAGAAAGCCTGTTTCGCCACCCGAGGTCGCTGGGTGAAGGCAGGAAGCAGTCAGTAGGTCGAATAGAAACCCCCGAAGGCCGCCAGCTGAAAGCCCGGACTCAAACCCAGCCATATTCGGCTCAAAAGAGCTGCCGCCAAAACTCGGCCAAAATGAAATTCGTCGGCGCCCTCGTGGCCATGGTCCCCTTCGCCTCGGCCCTCGTGCCCTTCGGCCAGCCCGCGGCGCACCACCTCGCCGTCGGCGCCGACCGCAAAGGCGCGCCCATCGTCCCGACGTCGTCGGGCCTGCGCCAGCCGCGCAAGGCCTCGCGCGACAAGAAGGGGAACGGAATCGGCGCGAAACTGGCGTCGGCTTTACTACCGAGTCTCTTCGAGGGCGGCGACGAGGCCGAGGAGCTCCCGGACGAGCCTGAACCGTCCGAGGCGATGCGCCGCTCGAACAGCCGCGACGAGCTCATGCACCGCATCTGCGACTGAGTTAATTCGACGCCAATCAAACCGACCGCGTGATCTGAATCGTCGCGCGGCAAAGCCGCACCGTAATCGCGTGCCACACGGCACGCCGGTGCTTTGTCCAGCCTGGAGCCATCCCAGAACGCTCCTTATCTTGTGTAATAGCATTTCTTGCTTGATTTGGTGTTGAAGTGGTCGCGACCCGGCGCGGCCGCGTCGAGAGCCAGAGCACAGGAGCACAGCCTGCCAGGTGAGCAGCAAAAATACTCGCGCGGCCGGCCAAATTGCGCAGCAGCGCGAGCACATGATGCGCAGACATGCGCAGCTTTGGATAGCACTACAGTTCACGTACTGCTTCCATCGATGCGACGCGTTACGCAGCTGTACGCGCACTGCAGCATCAAGCACAGCTGCAAAACCACGCGGCATGCGACGCCGCGGCGTGGCCGCCGCCGCAGCAGCAGCGCTTGTCGCAAGGCCACGCGCCGCGCGAGCGCTCGGCGTCAAGGACGGCCTCCTCGACCGCTGCCCCGAAACGCCGTCGTGCATTTCATCACAAGATGACGCGGCGCGCGGGGGCCGGTCGTTCCGGCCACCGTGGGCCTACGACGATAACGACTGGACGAGCGCGCGCGACAAGCTCTTGGTCGCGCTGCGTAGTGAAGCCGACGCCACCGTCGACGGGAGGTATATCCGCTGCGGCGACCTGGAGTTCTATTTCACAGAAAACGACGCGACCGTCCAATTCCGAGGCGACGGGCGCGACGTCGATAGAAGGTTGGCCAAACTGAGGCAACGATGCGGCTTCGAGGAGATTGTTGTGCTGAGGAATCGGAGACGCGCGTTCGGCGTCGGCGAGTCGGCCTTCGATTCGTATGGGCCGTCGTTCTTCGACCAGAGCGACGCCGCTTTGCTCGCGCCCGACGCGCTGAAGACGCGGGACCTGGATCCGATGGCCCCCGAGGCATTCCCGGCGCCGGATCGCGCCACGCGGAAGTGGCTCCGCGAGAAGCGAGCCGAGGCCATGTAATACTGTTGTCACACACAAAATTATTAGCCGAGCAACGTCGTCTCACAGCACCTCGGCGCCGCGGCCCACCGCCGCCGCCGCCTTCGAGACACATCGTCGGAGTCCTCGCGGGCCACGGCGGGACACCAGACCAGCGCGGGGAACTGCGACGCGTTGCGGCCGGACCGCCAGAGCGCCCCCGTCCGTGTGCGAGGAGACTTCAGCCCGACGCGCACAGCGCTCAGCGCCGCGGCGAGCTCGCAGAAGGTCGACGGCGCGTAGGGGCCCGCGCAGGCCACCGTGCCCGCCGATGAGAGGAGGTAGAGGTCCGCGAGCGCCGCCCAGCGCGGCGCCGCGCCCCAGTCCGCAGGCCGGAGCCCGTCGCCTTGGGAAGTCAGCGCCGCGACGCCGTCGCCAAGAGTTCGGGCGTCGGCTTCGGAATCCAGCGCCACGGCGCCGGGCAGGCGCGCAGCGAGGGCGCGGCTTATGTGAGGCCGGTCCGAGAAGACCCCGAGCCGCGGCGCGTCCCGCAACACACGTCCCGCCGCCAGCAACAACCGGGGCAGCTGCGCTCGACCTAAAGCATCGAACCAGGGCTGGGCCTCGAGCCGCACGAATTCGGTCTCTTGCAAGCGCCGCTGCGGCGTGCGTCGCCGGCGCCGGCCGCGGCGCTGGAGCGGGAGCGTCTTGTTCTCGCGCGCCGAGATGCGGACGTGGACGGCGACGTCGAAGGCTCTGCGCTCCAGCGCCTTGGCGACGTAGGCCCGGATGGGCGCCGCGGGCCGGAAGAACGCGTAGAAGAGGAGCCCGAACGCGTTCGGCGCCCCCACCAACTCGTCGAAGGCCGGCCGCAGCGCCGAGTGGCCCACGCGGCGGCCGCACGTCGTTGCGTCGCCGCCGACGCGTGTAGATGAGAGGCCCGTCGCCGCCCAGCCCAAAACGTCCACTAAACCGGCGCCCTTCGTCGGGTCCGAGGCCGCGAGCGGCAGGCGCTCGTCGAATCCCAAGCCCGGCAGGTGCGCGAGGGCCTGGTGCGGTCGGTCGGTACGTACCGCCGGCGCGCACCGGCACAAGACGTACTTGCGCCGGAGCGCGTCGAGCGTCCAGACGCTCGCGTCGTCGTACCTCAAATGAGGCGTGTTGAGCGCCCGCGTCGCATCATCAAACCCGAGCACGGCGCTCTTGTTTTGCTGGATCGCCACGACCAGCGCGCGCAGCGACGCGAAGACGTGGTTGCCGTAGCCCTTGCGGAACCGCCGGTGGCCCTGGTACGCGAAGCTCGTTTTTGCGCACGTCGCGCAGAAATTGGGGCATGGAGCGCTCCGGAACGCCGCGTGCCAGTCGAGCCAACCCGCCGCGCGGTCCAGAAACGCGCGCTCGGCGCAGGCGACGCGGGCGTCCGGCGCCGTCGCGCGTGTGCAGGCGGCCGCGTCGTGCGGTAATGCCGCGCGCAGTCGCTGGATCGCTGTCGTCGCGTCGGTGGCGAAAAAATGGTCTTCAGCCTGGCTGCCGGCTAGGAGCAGCAGTGCGCAATTGACGGCCCGCATGGATGCGATTTTCGATGGATTACGGCATCGTGCTACTAAAACCAATCTCTGGTCGTCAGGCCCGCATGGCTGGCCGTCGTAAACTCGCCACCGGTTTTGGCAGCAAAAACCCGTTTTGAGACGGTCGAATCAGTCAAGCCCCACGCCGTCGCCGCGACGCGGAAAGAAAACAACAACAATTACTTAAGAGAGCAGTCCGCCCCGCCACATGGCCACGTGCTCGACGTCCGGCCGCCGCCGCAGCGGCGGGCCCTGCTCGACGGATGCATCCACCTTTAGAGCGCTCCGCGTGTCGCGCCAGAGCTCCTGGTAGCCCATGTTGTCGTACAACGCGCCCGCCGCGCGGTTCGCGGCCTCGACCTCGAGGACCACTTCGTCGTAGTTCCAGTCGACGGCCAGATCGGTGCAGGCGCGCATGACGCGGCGTCCGAGGCCGCGCCGCCGGCTCGTCGGCAGCACTGCCACGTTGGACACGAGTGGCACGACTCTTACGTTGCCGTCGAAGAGCGTCCCACAAACTTCTTGGATCGGCGCGCGCAGCAAGATGTTCCGGTCGCGCGTCGTGAGGCGGCCCAGCGCCGCTATAAACTTTCGTTCGGCATCATCGCGCGGGAGCACGGCCCGCGCCACCACATCTACTAATCCAAGTTCTAGCGACGCCATCGCCGCGACGCCCTCGTCGTCGTCGGGCACCACGAGCAGCGAGCCCCGCAGCCGCCGCTTGCCGGAGAAACGCGTCCGAAAATCATCGCTCTGCGTCTTGTGGAGCGCGGCGATCTGGGCGGGCGTGAGCTGCGACGTCGTCCAGAAGCCCTCGCACATCGTGGCGGCGCAGGCGTCGACTTCGTCTCGTGTCGGCGTCTCGAGGACTCGCAGTGGTGGTGGGGCGTACGTTGTGAGAGCTGCTGCTGTGGTGAGCAGCCATGCGACGAGTAGTCGCATGATGCGCTGGCTGCGGCTGGCAAGTTTCACAGCGATGCAGCTCTCTCTACTCCGTGCCAGCCATCATCATGACTGGATGCTTGAGCGTGCTAGTGTCTTACTGCCGCTAGATGTGAACGCGAGGCCAGTATTGCGGTTCAACTTAAGAATCTTACAGAAATAACATGAACTACATCTTGTCGTCGGTACCACCGCTACATCTGGCTCCGCGCCCACCCCGGAACCTCGTCGGACGCGAGCCAGGCGCGCTCCGCGTCAGTGGTGTCGCGGCCGAGCGCCTGATTCCGGTGCGGGTACCTCCCGAATTTCCTCAGCACTTCTGTGTGAGACTCGAGCTGAGGCAGAAGCTTGTCAGCAAGAACTGGCGCGTGGGATTCACCAGTGTGTTCCCGGAGGAATGCGGCGGCGCGGTCGTGGAGCTGTACGTCCTCGGCGTGCAGGAGGCTCGTCGTAAGGAATACGGCCGCCGGCCAGGGCAGGTCGGCGGGCCGCGCGGCGAAGCGGTCGAGGAGCCGCACGGCCACCTCCTGCGCCGCGTTGTCGTAAGCGAACGCTTCCGACGTGCCACGGAAGGCATTGCGCGAGAGCTGATCGAGCAGTACGAGGCGCGCAATCAGTCCAGGCACGTCGTCCCAAGCCTCGCCTCGCAAGCTGCCGGCGCCCGCGGCGCGGATGAGCGGAATGAATTCGCAGCATTCTGCGTCCAGCGAGGGCCCGCCGAAAAACCACCGCTTGATTCCTTGATCAGCATATTCCTTGGCATCCATGCCACCGTCCACCCACTCCTGCCCAAACCAGAAGGTTATCACATCCGACGGCTTGTCGATGCTCGACGAGGCCATGCCTGCTGCCAGCGCCGATCTGATCGAGTGCTGGTGACACGGCTCGAAGTTACAGACGTGCAACGCGAGCGCTGGCAAGCAGTACAGCATCTGCAGAGCTGCAGCAAAAGCGGAGAGCGTTTCTAGTATCTTACTGTCGCTAGATAATGAGCTCCGGCCGCGACGCAAGCGACGCAAGCGAGCCCCAGTTGTGCTCGTCTACTTGATTAAGAGCGTGCGCGCAGTGCGCTGGTACTCGTAAAAGCGCTAAAAGGCTCCAACGGGCCACGCCATCGCGCGGCTTCACGCGAGTACAAAGTCTTGAGGTTAGCAGCATCTACAGCAGCCAATGCCCCCGCGGAAGCGCAAAAAGAAGGCCGCGGCCGCCAAGAAGGAGGAGGGCGAGGAGGAGCCTGTCGAGGAGGCCGAGGCCGAGGAGCCCGCCGCCAAGAAGCAGGAAACCGAGGCCGGCGAGGAGCCCGCATTGGTACATGTAGTGTCGTCGTCGGAGCCCGCGCCCGCCGCGCCGGCGCCGCCGCTCGACGCCGAGGTCGCGAGCCTGCTCGCGTCGGCCCGGGAGGCGGTCGCGCCGCAGCCGTCCGTGGTGTCCGCGCCGCCGCAGCCGTCGGTCGTACAAGCAGCACCGCAGCCGTCGTACCACGCTCAATTAGCACAAGCGCGAGCCGCTCCGCAATCCTCTTACTATCCCCAACAAGTGCAAGGGTCGCCCGATCCTTTACCCGGCGACGACACGAACCCCACGAAACTGTTCGTCGGCGGCCTGAGCATGGTGACGTGCAAGGAAGACTTACAAGAGTACTTCGGGCGCTTCTCGGCGGTCCACGACGCGGTGATCCAGAAGCACCGCATGACCAAGCAATCTAGAGGATTTGGCTTCGTTACGGTGGCGTCGCGGAAAGCCGCAGACAGGATTTTAGGACAAAAACATGTACTGCAAGGAAGGACGCTCAACGTCACAAACTGCAAGGGCGAGAACCAGGGCGCCACGGGCGACGTCACGGGCCTGACAAAATTGTATGTTTCTGACTTGCGGCAGCACCACACGGAGCAGGATTTGGAAGTAGCGTTTTCTCGTTTCGGCGCTTTAAGGGAGGTCGTCGTGATGCGGCACCAGGACACGGGCGAGCCACGAGGGTTCGGCTTCGTGACCTTCGCCGAGCACGAGCAGGCCAAGGCGGCCGTGGCGTCTGGGTTTTGTACGCTAGGAGCCGATCAGGCACGCTGCAAAGTCGTCTTCGCGTCGCCGCGGCCGCCGCCGCGGGGCGGGCCGCGCGGCCCGATGTTTCCGCCCCGCGGACCGCCCGGGCCTGGTTATGGCTATGGATATCCGCCGCCACAGCCTGGGTACGGCTACGGGCCTCCGGGCGGCTACCCGCCGCCTCAACAGGGCTACGCGCCTCCCGGCCAGAGACAGCCGCCGCCGCGCCAGCCGGGCTACTCGTTCGTGCCCCAAGGTCCTCCACAGGGCCCGCCACAGGGCTACGGCGGCGGCGCACCACCGCCTTACCCGCCCTACCCGCAGCAAGGTGGTCAGGCGCCGCCGTACCCGCCGTATCCACAGCAAGGCGGCCAGGCGCCCCCCTACCCGCCTTACCCTCAGCAGCAAGCACCGCAAGGCGCGCCGCCGGGCGCGCCGCCGCAGTACGGGGCACCGCCGCCCCAGGGCCAGTACGGCGGTCCTCCTCAGGGCTACGGAAACGCGCCGCCTCAGCAATACGGCGGTTCGCCTCCTCAGGGCTACGGTGCGCCTCAGGGCCAACCGCAGTACGGCGCCCCGCCGGGACAGCCGTACGGCGGTGCTCCGCCCCAGGGACAACCGTATGGCGCTCCGCCGCCGGCCCAACAACCATCCCCGTACGACGGCGCGCCCGCCTACCCGGCCCGCGCCGACGGCGCACCGCCTCGACCCCCGGGCCCGTCGTACTGAGTTCGCTGAGACTATTATTCCGACGTTCGCCGAGACCTATCGAGATATTATGATGAGACACTAAGAGACGAGAGACGACCCGCCGAGATCGAGACAAGCCTATGAGACAACGAGAAGAATTCCACACGAGACTGATGCAGAGACCGCCGCGACGATCGGTGAGATTGTGAGCAAGAGACGAGCCGAAGAGATGAAGAGATTACCGAGACGACGATCGAGACGCGAGACGAGGGGGGGTGCGTTTCTTCATTCAGGTGCGTTTACTTCATCGGCGGCGTGAGAGACGGCGACGGGCGGGCAGGACGTTCTCTTAATTCACACTCATATAGACCATAACTTAGTTGAGAAGCGGCGCATGGGTGGGGGGCGGGGCGCGTCTAAGTTATACTCATAGACCACTTAGTAGCTCCCACGAGTGATCCCGCGCGAGCTGCGTCGAGTGATCAAGCACTCGCCACGGCCGCGAACGCGATCGCCACGGCGCGCGCGCCCGGGTCGACGACGCCGCGCTGCGTCTCCTCCGCCAGGTAGGCCGACCGGCCGTGCGTCGCGGCGAGCGACGCCGTCGAATCTGCACCGCGGCGCGCGGCGGCCGCCGCCTCGGCCAGCGTGCCGCCCGTCCTGAAGACGTCCGCCGCCGGCAGCGTCGCGTCGCACATGGTCCGCGACCCGATGCCCGCGCCGCCACATTTAGTAATAGCTTCGGCGAAGGCCACGTACGCGTCACACCAGGCCTTGTCGGCCGGGACCCTCGTGCCCGCGGACTGCCGTAACGACGTCTCGGCGGCCTTCAGGCCCAGATTATATAACACGCCGGACGAGCCGCCCATGGAGTCCTCGACGGCGCGCGCGACGGCCGCGGCGACGCCCGACGCGCCCTTGGGCAGGCCCGCGTCGCAGGCCTGGAGCACGGCCTTGGCGCCCGCAGCTAGTGTAGTGCCGGCGTCGCCGTCGCCGACCTTCTCGTCGAGAGCCGTGAGCTCGGCCTCGGCCTTCAAAACCGCCTCGCAGGCCGCCCGGATGGCCTTGACGGCGCGCTCCGTGTCCTCGAGGTCGCCCGGCACCGGTGGCGGCGGCGGGTCGTCCACCACACTCGCCTCGGGCTTGATGAGGGGAGCAGACGCACCGGTCGCGACGCGCCAGGCGCCTGTTGACATGGCCGGCGCGGCGCAGGGCGCGTCGATGAATTTCAAGATTTTGGAGTCGACCGGGGCCACGGACAAAGACACGCCGTGCATGTCCAGCGCCGTCATGAGGCTTCCAGATAAGACACGAACGACGGTAAACCCGCGCGCCTCGACGGCCTTGATGCAGGCGGCCCCAAACACGGCGAGCTCCATCGGCGTCGTCGTGCCCAGGTCGTTGATTATCAAAGCGACGTCGCCCTGCGGCATCTTCGCCGTCGTTCGCTCGGCGAGCGTCGCCGCTAACTGAGAAGCCGTCGGCGTGGCCGTTCTTTCGAACCCGGGCTCGCCGTGGATCCCCAGACCCAACTCGACTTCCCCAGCGCCCAGTCTACCCGACGGCGGCCGGCCCGGCAGCGTGCACACCTCGTAGGCGGCGCCCATGGTCTTGACGCGTTCAGCAGCGTCGCGAGCCGCCTTGGCGACGTCCTGCAACGAATAGCCCGCCGCGGCGGCGGCGCCGGCGGCCTTGTGAACTAACAAAGTGCCGGCCACGCCTCTCGCGTTCGAGCCCGAATCCAAGGCCACATCATCTGCAACATAAACTGTCTCCACGGGGATGCCGTATCTAGATTTCGCCGTCTCGGCCGCGATGCCGAAGTTGAGCCGGTCTCCGGTATAATTCTTCACGATCAACAGACAGCCGGCCCTTGGTGAAGACGTGGCGACGATCGCAGCTAACACGGCCTTGGCCGACGGCGACGCGAAGACGTCGCCGCAGACCGCCGCGGTCAGTAAACCAGCTCCCACGAAGCCCGCGTGCGCCGGCTCGTGGCCGCTGCCGCCGCCCGAGATGACGCTGACATAGCGCGCGTTCTTCACCTGGCGCTCGTAGTCGGCCCGGACTATCACTCTACAGCCCGCCGCGAAGGCCGTGTCGTCTAGGCGTGTGAGCGTGCCTTTGTTCGTCACCAGCAAGGCGTCGAGCAGCTCCTCCGTAAGTTTCGCGCCGTTGTCGGCGTCGAGGATCTTCTTGACGGGCGGTGTTTCAAATAACTTGGCCGTCTCAGGGAAGCTGGTCGCAGACGCGGCTGCGTCGGAGAGGCGCCGACCCACGTCGTTCAGGGCGTCCGTGATCGCGGTGGTGTCGAGGGTGGAGGAGCTCATGGTCACTGTGGCTGCGAATAATGCCGTGGCTTGTGTTTATTATCCGCAGTCGTCTCGGAAAGCAGGATTTCCCGCGGCGCGAGCTAATTATTTTTGGCACCCTAGAGTATAGTAACACACTAGTAATTTCATGCAGGAGCAAAACCAAAAACGCATCCTAAAAGCGGTCAGTGAACCGCCCCTTTGCCAAACCAAGGCCCTCCGAGACTGTAGAGTCGCATCCTGGTCGTACGTAGCCACAAGTGCGCTTGTTGCATACGTACACACACATACACGTAGTGCACCCACCTGCACAGCCCACAGCCATGGCTGACGATGACGAGTGGACAGCCGTCTCCTCGCGTAGCAAGAAGCCGGAGCCGCAGCCCCAGACCACCACTCCACTCACAAAAGCACAACTCAAAAACAAGCGCCGAGCAGCTAAAAGAGCAGCCGAGGCGAGAGCATTGCTCACCGTGGCCGCGACGGACGACTCCCTCGACGCCATCGCGGCGCGGGAGGCGCTGACGGCACGCGCGGCTGCAGCGGCCACCCCACCGAGCACGAGCAGTCGACGCGCCCGACGGCGCTCGGCCTCGTCCGGCGACCTCAGCGAATCGGAAGAAGAGATAACGCCGCCGCCGAGCCCGCACGAGCTCGTCGAGGCGGCGCGACGGCGGCTGCGCAAGGCGACCAAGGCGGAGCGGCAGTGCGACGACGCTGCTCAAAAGTTAGTCCAGACACCGTCGCTCGCAAAGGACCAGGGGCTGGTGGCCAAAGCTGAAAGGCGGGAAGGCGCGGCGGCGGCGGCGGCGGCGGCGCGCGCAGACCTAGCGCTCGCGCAAGCAGCCGTGGACGCGGACAACGCCGTCAAAGGCGCGCGGCGCGCCGCGGCGGTCGCGAGGCATCACGCTGAGGCGTCGCAGATGCTGTCCGTGAAATTCGACGACAAGTACGCTTGTGCGGTATGTACGGAAGTGCTCGAGGCGGCTGTCTCCACGGGCGTCTGCGAGCACGTCTTCTGCCGCGGGTGTCTCGAGGACCACTGCGCCCAGGCCTCGAAGCCGTCGGAATGCGTTTGTCCGCTCTGCCGCAAGCCGCTTGTGAACGGCGAGTCGGGACGGGTCGAGGCGTCCGCGGCGGCGCTGGTGCGGGCGAACATGAAGAAGCTCAAGGGCGAGTGCCACTGCGGCGCGCGCATGCCGCTGTCCCGCCTCCGGGACCACCTCCGCGCCTGCGGGCCGAACGCGCACCTCTACCCGCCGCGGCGCAAGTTCGGCCACGAGTTCCGGCAGCCGTCCTTCGTCGGTGGCGGCGCGTCTGCGCCGTCGATAGACCTCGCCGCGGAGGAGGAGGCAGCTTTACAAGCGGCTATCCTCGCCTCGCTCGAGGGGTGATTGTTTGTCTAACTATCTGTGTCGTGCTCTTAGGCGACATCGATGACGCGGCGCGTCAGTCCTTCTTCTTGCTCTTGCGAGACTTCTTCTCGGGCTGCGACACGACTCTTTTGGGAGGCGCGCGCGACTTCTCGAACGCCTTGTAGGCGAGGAAGGCGGCCACGCCGAGCGGCGCGAATAGCAACGCGGCCAGCGCCCAGAGCGCCGCGTCGACGGCCGCCGGCGCCTTCTCATCCCCCACAGCGCGCGCGAAGAAGCGGTAGCTCGCCACGGCCAGGGCCTTGGGCGGCGCGCCGCCGAACGGCAGCCAGAGCACCGCCGGCAGGATCACGCGGCGCGCGAGCGGGCGCGGCCGGTCGTAGACGCGCAGGGCCAGCACCCAGGCCTCGGCGCCCGACCGCAGCGGCGCGTCGCCGTGCGCCGCCGTCCGATCCAAGGTCCCGTCCTCGAGGGCAGAGTAGAAGATGGCCGCCAGGCCCTTGCGGACGCGCACGCGCACGGCGCCCGGCCGCGCGCGCGCGAAATATAAGGCGCCGCCGTCCTCGTCCTTGACATCGTCCAGATAACAATAAACCGTCATGATCGTGCGCGCGCGCGCGTCCTCGACGCCGCGCCTGTGTGGATATCTCGCGTCGATGGCGTCCTACCCCGATGGCGACGTCTGCTCGATGGCGCGGCGGGGGAAAAAAACGCTGGCAGCAATACGGGTTCAGCGGCAGCAGCGCCCGGTCCTCGCGCAGCGCGTAGGGCTGGCCCGCGCGGCGGCGCTCCAAGATGGGCTCCGAGAGGTGGTCGACGGGGTAGCCGACGATCGACGCGACGCGGTCGTAGAACGCCGTGAGCTGGGCACCCCTCAGAGCGCCGAGCGACCGCGTCGCGCGGTGGATGGGCGCCTCGTTCGACCGGCCCGGCGGGTGCGGTAGTAGATAAGGTGCTAATTTCGCTTTGGCCGCCTCGATCTCGGAATCCATGATCGCGTTATGCACTAAATAGAGCAGGGGCGCGGCATCCGTCACAGACTCGATGAAGGGCCGGTCGCCGCCCGCGAAGATGCGCATGCGCCGCGGCCCGTGCTCCCGTAATTGCTGCCCCGCGGCGTAGGACACCATGAGCGACGGCGTCCGGATTTTGGCGTCCTGGTCGGGATCGGGGCCGTCGTCGGGCCGGTCGACCTCCTCGTCCGCGTCCAGGGACATGGCAAACGCTCTATCAGGAGAGCGGCGGTCGTTGTTCACGACGATCAGCGCCGCGGCGCCGGCCGCCTCGGCGTTTTCGAGCTTCTTGCGGAACGAGCAGCCGCCCCGGTACATGACGACGATCTGCGTCAGCGCCTTCGCCGCGTTCGAGAGCGCCTCGCAGCCCTGGCGCGGCGACGCCGTGACTAAGTCGGCCTCGATGCCTAATTCAAACTCGGGATGCGTGGCCGCGGGGCCGAATCGCGCGACGACGCCGTCGGCGTTGTGGATGATGGCGCTGTTGCCCCATTCGAGTAACGCGCTGTCCGCGCTGCTCCGCTTGGGGTAGCTGGCGGAGCGCTCGACTTGGGGCACGCTTGAGGAGGCTGTTAGGGCCGCTAGGCTTGCGGCGAGCAGTGGAAGTCTTGCCATCGTGTTGTTTGCAGCTCTGTTGCGTGTTTGTTTTTGCAGTGGCTGGTTGCACGGCGCTGCAGCGCTCTGGCGAGGCTGGGGCACTGCTTCAGCTTGTTGAGAATTGCTAGTGTCTTACTGGCCGCTAGCACGGAATCGCTCAGTCGTCTGTGATTCGGGTTGAAGATGTTTCTCTTTGTGGGATGGGTCGCGACATTCCATCTATGCGGGTCTCTCTCGGTGCCTCTGCTGCCAAGCTCAGAGTCAGCACCGCGAGTCACATCGCACGGCGGGCGTAGGCTCTTCCATTGCATCGCATCGGTGCGATTATTCAAGCGCTGGACGAATTCGCAGCTTTTAGAGCGGTGAAACCAGCCTCGCAGCCAGGCTGCCAGCAGCAACAACTTGCACACGCTGACTACGTCGCGACGCGAGACGTCGCAGCGATGCCTTGCCACCGATCATATGCCGCATTACGTCTACTTATCGCAGCATTGCAGCTGCAAGCAATTGTAAAAGCCGCACAACCAACGCGTCGCCGAGCACTCGTCGGCGGCCTCGCGAGCGCTACCGTACCAACGCGTCGACGCGCGCTCGTCAGCGGCATCGCCACAGCGGTCGTACCAGCAATAGCACAAGCGCGCGTGCGCGGCGCCGCCGAGCTCGACGCTGAGTACTATGCGCGCAGGGCGTTTGAGAAGGTGACCAACACGAGCCCAGACGTCTTCGACGCGCGGCGTGCACGCGCGGCGCCCGTCGCCGCGGCGGCGCGACCCGTCGACGCGGCGCTGCTGGCGGCCGTACGAAAGGAAGGCGTATCCGCGCTCGCAGCGGCGAGCGGTGCCAGCGCTCGTACGATCACAGACGCCATCGCCGCGCGCGAGCCCGCAGCTCGTAAGGCGTTTGCGACGAGGGCGGCGCGCGACCTCGACGCTGGCGACGCGACCTCAGATAGTGCTGGTGTTGCGGTGCTCGCATTGTACGAGGAAGCCGCCGAGCGCCTCCTAGACAAGAAGAGCCGCGCCGCCTTTGCGACCGCGTTTGGCGCCGCTCTTATCGCGAATCGCGGGCCGGCGCCTGCCCCCGGAGCGTCGTTCAAGTCGCTGATAAAAGGCGCGGAAGACACGCTCGCCGCGTGGAAAGCTACCGGTTGGACGAAGGACGCGAAGATTACGTTCGAGGGTAGCGCGGATCTCGCGGAGGCTGCCGACGACTTTGCCTCGGGCTACGAGGTCAAAATCTCCGTCGCTCTGGGCGGCGCCGCGTCGTGCCTGGCCGACGCATGCCTCGAGGAACGGGGCATTGCCTGGCACCCGGACCCGTGCTGCCTCGCGCTAGCCTCGTACCTGACCCAGTCAAAGGTCTCATTGACCGCTCCGACGCCCCACAAATTCGACGAGTTCCTGCTCGACGACGTGTATCGCGACGACCCGCGGGCGTTTCTGCCCTCTACGTTATTGGGGTTGTTTGTTGTGGCAAAGTAATTTGTTGTGCACCGAAGTACTTACGAGGAGGGGCGGGAGGGGATGGGGGGTCGGGGGCGGCGTCCTAGCCATCTTGGTTCAAAAGTCATCGTTGCACTGCCACATCTCCAACTGGTCGTTGTAGCCGGCGCCGGCCTCACAGTCGAAGTGGATGCACGAGGCGGCGTAGGGAACGTCGTTGTCACTCGCTTTGAATCTGTATCCTTCGGTGTTTAAGATGATCTTTTTGTCGGAGAGGCCTTGGCAGTACCAGCCTTGTCCCATCGCCCCGTCGTCGTCCCACTTGACTTTCGTGCAATCCTGGGTGATGTACGACGGATCGGCTGCGCCGTAATGGCCGGAAGACGTGGCCCAAGGTTCGATGGTCTTCATCGGGCAATTGTTCAGCACGAGTTCGCCGACGCTCTGCTCGTCAAGGGGCGTGGCGGCGGGCGCGCGCACCGCCGTCACGGCTAATACGCCGAGCGCGAAGGCCGCGAGGGCCGAGCCGGCGACGAGGCCCTTCAAGGACTTGGTCTGCTTGGGCGCGTCGGCCTCGTGCGTTGGTATTGTGTTGTACGATTTAGGCATCGTGCTGTTGTGGTTCAGAGGAGTTACACCTGTGATGTGAGCTAGGTCTCTTGTTTGGCGTACCAGCGCGCGTTTTGGCTTCTGTGCGTGTGTGCAATTGGACGCAGGATCGTGCGTTTATAGCGCTCGCGTTTTGCCGCAATAAAATTCTCACGATTCGGGTTTACTCGCCGATTATAGGGGATGGGATTGAGGGAAATGGGGTCCAGAAAAGCCGACAGGACGAGTACCGTTCGCTAGATTGTAGTTCACACGTTCAAATTAAAACTCACGCCCCGCGGCGAATGTCTGCGCGTCCAGACCGAAAGCGCGGCGCGCAACCGATTGCGGTCGCCTATATCAGCCACAGCCCGCGCCGCCCGCCGACGACTCGCCACGCCCACGATCGCCGAGAGCCCACGCCGCAGCATAGGCTTGCGCCGCGGGTCGTCCCGCGGCGGCGTCAGGCGGTCCTCGTCGACGACGCGCCGTCGTCGCGGAGGCGTCAGAGGAAGGTTCCCGGGAAATATCTCGCGCGCCAGCGGCTGCGTCGGCCGCAGTGCGCTTTCCAGGCGGGAGACAGCTCGTTGCGCGTCCGCGGGCGTCGGGTAGTTCCGTAGCGCTTCAGAAGCTTCCTCCGTCCGCACGGCGAGCTCGCTCCGCTGGACGTCGAGCAGCTCCTTCTCTCTAACTAAATCCCGCCGCACCGACTCGAGCGCCTGCAAGGCTTGCTCCCGTTCCGCCTCGAGGCGCGTTTTCGCGTCGCTGATCTCCCGGCGCACGGTCGCCCGCGCTTCCGACACTTCTCGCGTCGCCGCGTCGAGCTTCGCACGCGCGTCCTGGAGTTGCTCGTCTTTGGTCGCCACTAAGCGAAGCGTGCTTTCTAGCAGCTTGCCGGCGCGCGCGGCGCCCGCCGCGTCGGCCGCGGCCACCGCCTCCTCGAGGTGTTGCCGCTCGCGCTCGGAGGCAGCGCGCACCGCGTCGTCGGCGGCCCGGGCGGCATGCCGCTTCGCCGCCTCGCGCGCGGCGTCGGCCTTGTCAGCCCGGGACTGTGCTGCCTTGGCTTCGTTCTCGGCGTTCTTGGCGGCAGCGCGCAGTGCCTCAGTCATCGCGACGTGCTTATCCCGCTCCGCAAAGGCTCGCGCCGCCTCGTCGGCCCGGTCGCGTGACGAGGCTTCGGCCGCCGCGGCTAAGTCCCGCTGCCGACGAGCATCCGCCTCCGCGGCTTCCGCGCGCCCGAGCGCCGCCGCCGCCGCGGACTCGGCCTTAGCGACCTCCGCCCGCGCCGTGCGCTCGGCGTCGTCGATCTCCCGGCGCGCGCCGCCCGCCAGCGCTCGGGCCTGCTCCGCGGCCAGGTCGGCGGCGGCCGTCTTCTGTGCCGCGCGGTCGATCTCCCGCTTGGCCTCCTCGAGGTACTGCGCCGACCGCGTGTCGAGCTCCGCGCACCGCGCCTCGATGGCGGCCAACCGCGACGCGGCGACGTCGGCCTGCGAACTTGCAGAACGTAATCGCGCCTCCTCGGCGTCGGCGCGCTGCTGCAGATTGTCTGCTTTGTCCCGCGCCTGGCGCCGCGCCGCGTCGAACTCGGCCTCTTTCGCGCGGCGCGTCTCCTCCAACTCCCGAATCTTCGCCTCGAGGTCCCCGACGAGCCGCGCCTCGCGCGCATCCCGCTCCGCATCTTCCAGCGTCCGCTTTTCGGCGAGGGCCCTGGAGTCGCGCGCGGCCGATTCTTCGGCCTCCTTCCTCGTCCGCGCCGCGAAATCGAGGTGGGCTTGAGCCGCCTCGAGCATGGCGTCCCGCGACCTGTGTGGAAATCAACCAGTGTGCCGGGGCCAAAACGCGACGATTCAGCGCGAACGCGCCGTATAATTTTGATTTCCACACAGGCGAGTACGCGCGGTCCGCCTGGGCCGTGTCCGTCGCCTTGATCAGGGCCGTGCTCTGCGCCGCGTTCTGGTCGCGCAGGTCGCTCAGGTCGCGCTCGGCGCGCTCGCACTCCTCGCGGCTCGCCTTGGCGCGGCCTGCCCAGGCCTCGGCGTCCTTCTCGAGCGCCGCCGTCACTCTTCGAGCTTCGGCGACGCGCGCGTCGTGCGTCGACGCCTCGGCGGCGCACTTGGCTCGCAGCGCCGCGACCTCGCCCTCGATCGTGGTCGCTTCCCGTTCCGCCGCCGTCACGCGGCCCTTGGCTTCTTCCAAAATAGTAGAAGCCTCCTGGCGCGCCACGTCGAGAATACTGGAGGCCTCCTTCCGCGCCAGGGCCTCCGCGGTCGACGCCGTCTCGAGCTTGCCCTGCAGCGCGAGCTCGTGCGCGTCGCACTGCTTCTGCGTCGCCAGGGCCTGCTCGGCGTGGTGCTGCGCCTGCTTCGCCTTCAACAGAGCGTCGTCTCTCGCTTGAATAGCGTCGGCGATCGCGGCGTCGGCCTTGGCGAGGCGCTCGTCCGCGGCGCGGCAGCGGTCCTCGACGTGGGCGCGCCGCGCGGCCACGTCGGCCGCCGCCGCGTCCGCTCGCATCGCGGTCGCGCGCGCCGTCCGCCGCGCGTCCGAGTCGGCGCGGAGCGCGTCGTCGTACAGCGACGCGAGGCGGGCCGCCTCAGCTTTCAAAGCGTCGCCGACGGCCGCGTCTGCCGCGGAGCCCTCCTCCAATTGCGATACTTGGGCCCGCGCGGCGCCCTCGGCCGCGACGGCCTCGGCGACGCGCAGGTCGGCCTCGTGAGTACGCGCGGCGACCTGGGCCGCCTCGCCCTTGACGGCTTTCGCGAGGTCCGCCCGCCGTTGCTCGAAGGCGGCTCGATCGCTCTTGAGCGATGCGGCGGCCGCCTCGACTTGGGCGGCCCGGGCCGCGGCGGCGGCCTGCTGCGCCGACGCCTCCGTAGCCGCGCGCGCTGCCTCGTCTACCTCCGCCGCGAGGTCCTCCGTCGCGACCCTCAGCTTCTCGGATTCGGCCTCGAGGGCTCGCTCCCGCTCCACCAGCCTCGACGCCTCGGTCTCGAGGGCCTGGCGCTGCGTCTCCAGACGCTCGGCCTCCTCGACGGACGCCGCCTCGCGCGCCTTCGTCGCTTTGGTTGTTGCTTTGTGCCAGGCGGCGTCGCGCTGGGTTTGTTGGTCGGCCTCGCGGCACCGCGCGGCGAGCGCCTCGCGGTCCGCGTCCAGGGCCTTTCTCGCGACGGCAAGCTCGTCGCGCGCGGCGGCGGCCGTCTCGGCCAGCTCCCGGCGGCTCTGCGCGTCCGCTTCGTCGATGGCGCATTTTTGAGCCGCCAGGGCCGCGTCGACCGCGCGCTGCGCGAGCGCGACGTCGTCCGCATTCTTCCGATCGGCCTCGGCGCTTTTCCGCTGCGTGTGGGCCTCGCGCAGGGCCGCCAGGGTCTCCTCGTCCCGGGCGTCGGCGAGCAGCGCGCGCTCGTCGGACGCGGCCCGAATCTGCGCCGCCGAGGCCTCGAGCCGCCGGCCCTCGGCGAGGGCCGCGTCGCGCGCCGCCGTCGCCGCGGAGGCCGCCGCGAGGCGCAACTCTCTTAAGTCCTTGGCGGCGTCGGCGGCCCGGAGGCTCTCCCGCGTCGTTTCCTCCGCCGCGAAGGTCGCGAAGGTCGCCGCCGCCATGCGCGTCGTGGCTGTCGCGACGGTCGCGGCGGTCGTAGCGACGGCCTCGGCGCGCCGCGCGGCGCCGTGCGCGACGAATAACGCGTCGCCCGCGGCCGCGGCGCGCCGCCGCCGCGCCAAATCATCAGCGAAGTGCTTGAGGGAGCGCGCGGCGTTCTGTTCCCTCGCGAGCAATGACGCCGCCCGCGCCTCCGAAGCCAATGCCGCGGCCTCGGCGCGCGCAGCGCGCTCCTCCGCCGCGATGCGCGCCGCCTCGGCCTCAGTTCGCCGGCGAGCGTTGTCTTCCTCGGCCAGGGCCGCCTGGTCCGCGACGGCCGTCGACCGCGCGGCGGCGTCGGTCGCCCGCGTCGTCTCGTCGAGCGCGTCCCGCGCGCGCGCCTCGGCGGCGGCGGTCGCCGCCGTCAGCTTGGCCAGCGCCCGCTCCTGGCGCGCCTTGACCTCCTCGCGGCGCCGGCGCTCGTTTTCCAAGGCGGCGACCTGCTCCGCGACGACGGCCTTGCGCGCCTCGTCGGCGGCGCACGCACGGCGCGCGGCCGCGGCGCGGCCCCGCCAGTTGTCGACGCCGCCCCGCAGCGCATCCCCTGAAAGTTCGCGCGCGCTCAGCGCCGCCTCGCGCACGTCGAGGTCCGCCAAATCGCGCGCGATCGTCGCGGCCACGCGCCTGAGCGCGTCGCGCGCGGCCCGGACGCGCATATCTAATTCGTCCGTCGAAGCGTCGTCGGCGGGCCGCGACAGCGCGCGCAGCGCCTCGGCCGCGGCGACGCGCAGCTGGCCGAGGCGGCCGCGGCTGACCTCGTCGTCCGCGGCCCGCGCGTCGACGTGCGCCTGGCGCGCGTTCACGGCCGCGTCGGCGTCGGCCGCCGCGTTCACGGCGCGCTCGCGCCGCGCTGTCCAGCGCTTGAGCTCGCGGCGCGCGCGCGCGCCGAGCAGCGTCGCGCGGCGCGCCGTCGGCGCCGAGGGCGTCCGCGGCGGCGTCTCGCGCGCGAAGGGCGAGGGCGTCGCGACGAGGCCGTCTTTGTCTGCCCAGGACTCGTCACTATCAGACCCGAAGTCGTCGTGCGCGCCCGACGCACGGAGCGCCTCCTCGACGAGCTCGACGGCGAGCAAGGCTTCTCGCGCCGCCGCGCGCTCCTCGTCCAGGTCCGCGTCGCACCTTCTCAACAGATCCTCCAGGCGGTCGCGCTCGGCCGCGACCTCGGCCTCCGCCCGTTTGCGCTGCTCCAAATCTGATCGTAGGCCGCTGACCTCGGCCTCGAGCAGCGTCGTCCGCTGGGCGTAGGCGCCGACCAGTTCCTGGGTGACGCTCGTGACGCGGTCCTCGAACGTGGTCAGGGACGGCCGGCTCAGTTGCTGCGGCCGGCTCATGTGCTGCCGCGGCGGCTCGTCGACCGCCTCGTCGCTGCGCCGGCGGCTGACCGGCTGCCGCGGTTGTTTGCGCGAGCACTGCTGGACGACGGCGGCTGTCCGTCTCGCGAAGGACATCTCTTGGTGTCGCGCAGCCGCTACGTTGTAGCCAGTGCGGTGTGAGCTGCTGGACTGCCCTCTTGTGTCCCTAAGGCACGCGCTGAAGCTCGAATTTAAAACTGCTCGCTTGTGAGTCACTCAAGTTGTTCTTGCACCAGCATTCACGGCCAGCAGGCTGGCACAAGGGCAACGACTCGATCAAACCAAACCCTCACCGCAGACCCGTTTAGTGTATTTGATTTTTTTAGCACGGGTAGGATCACTCCAATACGGCTTATTTGACCACGAAACGTCCTGCCAAGACTCGATTAGCGCCCAAGCCGCGACGATTTTAGGCTGAGTTTAGCGCATAGCGCTGGTTTTGTCCGTGCGACGGGCAGCCGTGCGACGGGCAGCCGTCGAGGCACCGCTGTGGCTTGACAGTAAGTCGCACGTCCTCACGCCTGCAGCCGCACACCCACGCGGCGCACGAGCTAGCCGGCAGGGGCAGCCCCCTTTGCTTTGCTTAGAGCTAGGCAGCCTAGCCGCGGAGCCGACGCGCCGTAGCACACAATGTCCAAGGCAAAACGAAAGAGCCGCGGCTCGCGGGGCAGCCTCGTGGACGATGATGAAATCGCCGGCCTGCCGTGGCGGCCCTTCGTGGTCCTGCTGAAACCGACCGACGGCGCCAAGAAGAGCGTCGACGCGGCCCTCGCCACGCTAACGCCTCTGAGTGACCAGGACGTCGCGGGGACGCGCGTCGAACTCGTGGCGAAGAGCCAGTTGAGTAGCGGCGGCAAGCTGAGCAAGGCCCTGGCCGCCAAGATCCAGCGCGACCGGCGCCAGGGCTTGCGGGACCGCCTCGATCAGGAGGCCGAGAGGCTAAAAGCGCTGAAGAAGGCCCGGAAGGAGCGGGAGAAGCGCAAGTCGCGCGGCGACATCCTCGATGACGACTCGGAGCTGTCCTCGGTCAATCCGATCACTCAGGAACGGGAAGCCCGAGGCGCGCCGGACATCGTCTACGTACTAAAGGATTTCCCGGCCTCAAAAGACGAGGCCGACGACCTGATATCAAATGAAAACGTGTTGGATGCAATTGTTACTATTGTTCAGAACGAGGACGGCGGGAGCGGTGGCGGCATCGCGTACCCCCATTCCAAACCCCAATTGGCCTTCGATATTTTACCTCTTGCAAATTTGGATCACGACGCCGAGGCCGAGTCCGCTTCTCAAACAGTTCCGCTCAATGCCACAAAAATCGCCAAGGCCCACAAAGAATCTAGAGATGCGCAGTGCCTGACCGATCCACTAAAGAAGCCGCCTCAACTAGTAAAAGCTTTATATGATGCCCAACGAGAAAAGCAGGACGCCTGGAACGACGTCGCCTTCCTCGAGATCGCGTTAACCCCCGTCGAAGCGGCGAAGAGCCCGCAAGGGGGCGGCGGGTCGTTTGACGACCACAAGAGGAAGGAAGAGGAAGCCGCGAAGAAAGCCCTGGAGGCCGCCAAAAAGTGGCTCTTCGACATCACACAACAATTGGTCGCGTTCGGGTGCGGCCACTGCGCTTTCAAGTCGTATGTGAGACAAGTGGTGAGTGTGGACGTCCCGTCCGAGGACAAGGAGAAGGTGAAAAGCACGCAACGAGCCTGCGACACCGTACTCCAATCGAGGGGTTCTGGATTACAGTCGAGACCGGGCACGGCCTCGTCCTCGTTATCTTTATCTCGTACGAAGACGCCCTGGGAGCTTTGTGGTCGAAGGCAGCGCTACGCCGAACTTGCCTCAAATATCCCCGAGGCGGCGTGCACGGTCGGCGTGCTGCTGTACTGCCTGCTCGAAGCGGTCGTGACGGGCGGCGACGCCCCGCGGAGCGACGACGACCCGCCCGCGGCCTCGCCCCTAGCTGCTTTATTGCCGCACGCCTCTTCGGTACTACCCATCGCTACGACTCCCGAACGGGCCGAGGCGGCCCTGAGCGGCGACTTTGAAGCCTCGGACTTAACGTTCGACGGTCATGATATCCAAGGATTGCGTTTAGCGAGAGCGGAGCAGCGACGTTCTTCGGAAGAATGCCTGGGGAGCCGCCTGCTACTTGCGCTAGATAGGGCCGCGCACGCCCGGATGAATTTGATACAAGGCGGCCGCGACCGCCTCCCCGTCGTCGACGAGGAGGGCGACGAGGGAAGAGCCATCAAGCGCACGGAGCTCCAGGCCTTCACGACTTATTCACCTAATGATGTGGATAATTATAGACAGCGCTGCGTTTTTGATGAATTACTGGAAAATGCGTTTGTGGAAGAGACGGTCGACGGGCGCATCGCTTCGATCCACGACCGGACCGTAGCCGAGAAGATCTCGTCCTACAGTCTGCAGCAGGTGCTGAAGAGTGAACACGCCGACGAGTCGACCTTCCTCCAGAGCTACTACGCGCCCACTGATGAGTTATTATTGATAGCGCACCAGCCCACGGCCCGAGGCAGGTGCGGCCAGGTCGTCTGGGACCCGACACTAGGCGCGCGGCCGTCCTACGCGGGTTGGCACGCCAATGCGAAACGTTCAAATGATAAAATAGATGTACATGATAACGGCTTCCTGACGCCGCGGTCCACGGCAGCTCGGACTGCCCGCGTCGTGCCGCCCGATCTGGCAAAGCTCCAAGAAAGCACTACATTATTGTTCCCGGCGGACCATTCATTAGTTCGACTGCGGACGATGGGCGAGGCCTACGGCTGGCTTTCGGTGCGGAAGAACGGCACCGTGTTTGGCTTACGAGCGCGGGACAACGGCGCGAACGCGGCGCGGCGCGCCAAGGGGCTGTCGGTCCAACAAACCGATACCCAAGGTTTCGCGGCGGACTTCGCTTGTGAGTTTACGGACGGTGCGCGCGTCACGGCCGTCAAGGAGACGAGTGTTGTACTCAGAAGCACGGACGTCTCTGGATTAACGGTGGACGTCGGCTGCGACGGTTCGGTGAGGATGCGCCACGTCGGTGTGGGACCCGGTGCACCGGCTTGCGTCGCCGACGAAAAGGAGCGCGTGGTCTGCGGCGGCGGCGTCGTGGTACGGCGGCTGCGCGACGGTTCTGCCCAATTACTCTTCGCGGACGGGAGCGTGGCTCGACAGGACAGCGACTCGACGTCGTCTGATGACCTCGAGTGGGCGCTCTTGGAAGGCGCCTGCGTCAAGGACGCCGCGACGGGCGCCCGGGTCTGGATGAGAGGCGATACTTCATTAACAATCTTCGAGGACGGCGTTGTGCTCGCCAAGCACGCGGACGGGACGATAATTCGGACGTGCGAGCACCACGTCATCGTCGAATGCCCGGGCCTGGCCGCCGTGGAGATCGATACGGATATCGACGCGACGGCGACGGCCCACGCGCAGGGCCATCAAGTGGCTGTGGCCAAGGGAGGCGAACGGATTAGGTGTAGAGTAGCATTACCAGATGGCTCGCGCGTCGTCGCGACCTACGACACGTCCGTGACGGCTACCGTGCGGGGCCGCCTGGCTTTGTTAAGGCCGGATCGTACCGAGATATTAGCTCAAGACGACGGCCTTATTACCTTGAGACCGCCCGAGCTCTACCAGGGCGGCTCCGTGAAAGCGCGGGGCGAGCACCACCCCTACGGGTTGTTAGCGCCCTGGTGCGAGGCCCACGACGACGACGAGTCTGATGATGAGGCCAAGTCGGAGCCGGACACGGCGGCCGGCGCCTACCGCTTCGACTGCGTTGCTGGTAGTATGTCTTTGGAGGACCCGGAATACAACATATTTAAGGCTCATTTGTGCGGGAAGCAGGCGGGCGACGTCGAAGTGGAATTAGCTGGTGTGTCCGCGGGCGTCAAGGCCGAGGCCGTCGTCAACTCGCCCGTGGCGCCGCGGTGCTTCTGCATCGGGAGGGATGGCTCCGCGGTCGAGCTGCTCCGGGATTCCGACGTGGCTGATTTGACAAGAGACGTTGAGGCCCGCAAAGTGCTACCCGTCGCCTTCGGGCGGTCCGCGGACCCGCATGCCACGGAAGACCACTGCCTCGACGATTGCGATCGGAAGGGCGGCGTCTCGAGTGCGCTTACGTCCTACGAGGTGCTCGCCTCATCAAATCTCTTCGAGAGCACCTTCGGGACGGGGCGGGCGTGGACCGCGTACGCGCCGCCGCCCTCCGCTCTTGTGGATGCGCCTTCACAACCTTTATCGACGGTGAAGCCGACCGTGCGCGTCTCGAGAGTGCTGGTGGAGACGCCGTCACTCAATGAAGAGGACCGCGCCTCCATACAAGATTCGTTGAAGAAATGCGACGAGTGGCGGCGCGAGCGGGAAATTCATATAGATCGCTTCGCCGTCGACGATCCGCGCAACGACGCGACGCTCCAAAACGAGCGCGCCGTCCAGAAGCGGTTGAAGCTAGCCTACAAGGCGGCCCGGCAAGCGCGACGGCGGCGCGCGAAACGCCGCGAGCAGGAGCGCATGTCGCGCGAGAGCCGCGAATCCGTGTCGACGCGCGCGTCGACGCCGGCGTTTTCCAGCGACGGGATGTCCGAGGTCGGCACGGCCACCGAAACGATGACCATCGGGAGCTTCAGCGACTCCGAAGCGCCGCCGCCCGAGGACTCGCCGAACACGGCCTTCGCGCGGGAGGTCTTCGTGGGCCAGGTCCTCGAGGCCATCGAAGAGCAGGAGGAGGCGGCGCGGCTCTACGCCCTGGCGCCGGCACCTGCTGCTATCGCCTGCGCGCCGGCGCCGGCGCTCGCGCCCGCGCCGGCGCCGGCGCCCGCGTCGCTGCTGGAGGACAGCACGGTGTTTTCCGAGACCGAGGGCGATACCAAAACCGTCGAGGCGCCGCCGCCCTTCGACCCGTCGCGGGACGGGTCGCTCGGCGTCGAGCGGTGTCGCCACGCGCTCGTGGAGATTCTGGGGCGGAACGTCACGGAGGAAGCGATCGCCAGTAAGATGGAAGAGGACGAGCGCGACGCGTCGCAAATCTCGTTCGGCGACTTCCGCTGGCTGCTGGCGGAGTGCGAGAACGACTTCGACGCCGCGGACGAGGCCGAGGAGGAGGCTAAGCGCCTACGGGCCCTCGAGGCGGAGCAGCGGCGACAGGACTATGAAGATGAGGTCCAGGAGCGGTCCAAGGAACGGGGCCCCCAGGCCCGCGGTTTGCTGCCCATGGGCGCGTTCTGGGAGACCGAGGACGGCAAGGAGCTCATGGCGACGCTGCCGCCCTACGAGGGGCGGAAGAAGACAAGGGAAGACATGCGCAAGGCGTCCACGGACCCGACACCCATCTCGAAATTAGCCCAACAGCTCGAGGCGGAGATGTACGCGCGGCTGGAAGCGCAGAAGAACGCGCCGGCGCCCGCTCCGGAAATTCCGGACTCGCCGCTGCCCGCTGGTAGCGCCGTCCAGGCCGTAAAAAAGCGCACCAAAAGGCGCGACCCGCCGCCACTGACCGTCCAGCCGCAAGTCTGCGAGATTCCGTCGGCGGCGCTGGGCTGCGTCTACGACATCCCTTTATCAATAACGGTGCGGCCGGGCGGCAAGGTGCGCATCGACGTGTCCTCGAAAAACCTGAGGGTCGTGGAGCGGCCGCGCCATTCCATTAGTCCGGGAGAAACGGAGGAGGCGCTCCTCGAATACACCGCGGGCTCGCAGGGGCCCATCCAGGAGTTCGTCGACGTGCTGGCGCAGTTCGGGACGGTGCGCGTGCCGATCGTGGGGTGGGTGGATGCGCCTCAGGGAGGGCCATGTAGCCCTAGCACCGTAACAGAATCATGATCTACTACCTGATCCGTTTTAGGACGAAGAGTCCCCCCCGACTCCCGCGCGACAGGCGCAGGTCGTCGTCGACGAAGGTCGTGACGATGCGTCCGACGGGTCGCGGCAGAGGAATCGTCGGGAGGCCGCCGAGCTCGAAGCCCTCGAAGCATATCTCGAGCGTGTCGTCGTCGTTTGTGGGTCTCGCGGCGCCGAAGACGCGTATGTCTATTTTTTGTTTGTTGAGCGTCAATGTCACGCGATTGTCGACGGTGCCCGCCGCCACGTCCACGGTTTGTTCGTTCGCCACTGAGAACGCTTTCTGCCGCCGCCGCTCCTGGCCGCCGGCAAGGAAGGGCGCGACCTTGAACAGTACCGAGTAGATGGCGTTCGACACTTCTTGCGGCAGGTCCATGATGCTTTTGGCGGCCGACTCCTTTGGTCTCGCGGTCTGCGTCGAGAACACTAGAGCCCATTTGCCGGAGACGCTGCCGGTGCGGACGTTCAGGTCTTCGAGCGCTGCCGCGGCGTCGAGGATGTCTCGCTCGCTGCGGTCTTCGTTGCCGACCGCTCGCAGGAGTGTTTTTTTCAAGTCTGCCGTAGTAGTGCTCTCGGCGTCGGTGGATACTGCAGCTGCCAGTCGTGTGGGCACGACGTGCCGGCTCAAGACCAAAGCATGAGCACCAGAGATCGCAATGGCTGCCAAAAAGCGCATTTGTCACTATTCTTGGCGCACGGCTGGTGCAACGAGAGGAAACGAAGGCGGGAGGCAATAAACTGGTGCTTCAGAACCAGCAGGCGCCGGAGTGAGTGAAAAAAAGGCCTGGGCCGAGCTAGCGGAGCTAGCGAGAATAACACACTAGAAACCTGTTTTGACGATGCGCGCGCGCGCGGCGTCGAGCGCGAACGAGCGCCGTGAGGGACAGACGATGTTCTCCAAACTGACCTTCGGCGAGCACGCCACCGAGAACGCTCGAAAATTCATGAGAGATGGGGCCCACCCCAGTGTGCATGACATAGCTTTTGTCGACGCCGCGACCGTCGTGACCGCTGGCATGGACGGTAAATGCCGGGTCTGGGACGCGCGCACCGGACGGGAGTGGGAATTTACCCATGTAGCGGGAATGTGGGACGCCGATGGGACGCCGATCATGTCGGTGACCGTCGCGCCCAGGCGCGGGATCGTCGCCCACTGCGGGTTCGACGGCTGCTTGCGCGGCTTTGATTTCCGAAGGTCGGGTCACGTCGCTGTCGCCGACGATGTTGCAGGAGCCGAAGTCTGCTGCGCGTTCTCGCCGGACGAACGATTGGTCGCGTGCGGGCTCTACGAGGGTTTGATTCGCGTGCGCGTGGTGAGGAAGCTCCTTGACGCTCCTGGAGCCGAGGAAAATCTCTTCGAAGGCGAGGAGGTGTATAGTACCGACGAGGACTCCGAGTCCGACGAGGACTACTGGAGCGACCGACCGATGTACTGCGAGCTCACTACTCACGCGGGGAGCGAGCGGTACGAAGGTTCGAAGACGGGTGCCTGCCTGAGTGGGCGCGCCCTCGCGTGGATCGACTCCGCGACGCTTGTCACGGCCGGACGCGACGTGACGGCCGTGTGGGATCTAGACACGTTCAAGGTCGTTGAATTACGCGAAGTCAACTCGAACTTTGTTCAGCCCGAGATCGCGGTCAGCCCGGCGGCCAGCCCGGATGCGCCAATCATCGCCTTCTGTTCCGACCGCGGGGCCTGGCTGTACCGCCTCGTGCGAGACGACGAGGGCCTACTCGCGTGCAGCGGCGGCACGACGGAGGCGTGCAAGACGGTACTACACGAAGTGAATATTTGCCTGTCGCCGACGTTCACCCCGGACGGCCTCAACGTCGCTCTCATCGAAACGAGCAGGTTTCAGGGTCACACGACCTCGTCAGGCGCCGCGGTCACGCTCTATTCTGTTCGGTCGGGCACTCTGGAGCATGTCATCGACGCTCACTCAATCATCGCTCCTGGCTCGTCCCACTGGCTCTCCTGCCTTGCCATCTCGCTGGACGGCCGGCGGATCGCCGTAGCGGACCGCGACGGATTTGCTTATTCATGGGACATGGACACGCCGAAATCCGTCCTCGTTAAGATATTGCTGTTGCGGACGAGGCCTTCGTCTTCGCCTGCCGACGGCTTCGCACGGGCCGCGGGCCGCGCGCTTCGAGTGGAGCCGCGTGTCACCATCGCGGACGAGGCCTTCGCCTGGGCCGACTCGGGCCGCGCGAACTGTATCCTCTTCCGCCTCGTCGATTCCGGTCACGTCGACATCGCGTCGTACGCACTGAAGTTTCTCACTTAGTTAGCGAGTAAAAAAAGTGGGCAACGAGTAGTTACTACCGCTGCGGCGCGAGCGACCGCAGCACCCCGAGCCGCGCCCCCGCCTTCTTGCTGTTGACCTCGTCCCCGACGATGTGGTAGACCTTGGCGAGCGCCTCCCACGCGCTCGGCTCCGTCGGGAGCAGCTGCGTCGCCTCGAGGAAGTGGGGCAGCGCCGCGGCGGGGTCCTCGATCGCGACGGCGCGGCCCCGCAGCTGCAGGACTTGCGCGAGCCGCGTCACGGTCTCCTGCTTCGTGCGCTGGTCGTCGACCAAGTCCATGACCTTCCGCCAAGCGTTATCGGCCTCCCCCAAGGCATGAGACGCCGTCCTACTAATCTCGACGGCGGCTTCTTTGGAGGCGCACTGCGCCAGGCCCTGCACGGTACTAACACCCTGCTTGTGGTACAAGACCGCCAAATTCTGCCACGGCGTCGGAGAGGAAGGATCATAGCGCACCGCCTCGAGGAACTCGACCAGAGCCCCGTCCAGGTCCCCGCTCTCCGCTAAAGCCGCCCCCAGGTTACATCTAGCTTTCCCGAAGGACGGCTGCGCCTTCAGGGCCTTGCGGTACGCTTGTATACCCTCTTCTTTCCTGTTTGCCTCCTCGTACTTCATCGCGAGGTTGTAGAGCAGTTCCACATCGTCGGCGTTCACCGCCGCCGAGGCCTCGTACGCCTCCAAGGCGCCCTTCGAATCGCCCTTCTTCGACAAGACTAATCCGAGGTTGAAGAGAGCATCAGAATCCGAAGGCAACAGGTCCAGCGACCGTCGGATGAACGCCTCTGCCTCCTTGAGATGTTCATTACGTTGCTGGGGCTCCATGTCCGCCAGCGAACTTCTCAATTCGGACAAATCCTTGAGGCACGTCGCGCACTTGCCGTTGATGGCCAGCGCCCACTCGAAGTGCCGGATGGCGCCATTTAAGTCGCCTTTCTGTCGAAGCTTGGCACCGCGATTCTTTAACCGCCTCACGTGCTCGACCCTATCTTCCAGCAGTAAAAATGCCCCAATAATATATCTCTGACCACTCGACACTCTATGGCCGCCGTGCCTGACACTGCCAGGCCGCCACGTCGCGTGCCCCGCGTCCATTTCCACGAGCGCATCTTCGCCGAGGTGCTCGAAGAAGGTACCCCCGCCTTCGTAGTCCGTCTGCGGACTCAGCGCCAACGTCAAAGCCAAGACACCGTTGTCGATATGAACGTCGGTGCGCGGGTGCGTCGCGTTGTACTTGAGCATGGCTACACTATGAGCTCGCAGCGTAGAGACGTTCGTGACGACCTCGGGGAAACTCGCCGCGATGGCCGGGAAGATATTTTCCTCCAGTTGAGTATTGAACCAATTTCTCGTCTTGTCCATCTTCGCGAGCCAGTCGCCTCCGAGTTTATACTTGCCGGACGTGTACTCGTTGATATCAACATTTTCCTCTCTTGCCAACGCGATGGCCCTCGCGGCTTCTTCCTTGGAGACTATCGGCTCCTGTGTCACCTTGATGAGGTCCAGGGGAAACGCGAACTCCTGCGCGAAGTCCTCCGGCGGCACGCTCCCCATGGAGATGCTCCGCGTCTGCCAGGGTTTTGAGGGGGCGGCCCCACAATAAAACTTCTCGCAGGACTTGGCGCAGTCCTTGAGGTGCTCGCGCTCGTTTTCCCGCAGCGCCTCGGCGAAGTCGGGGCCGAGCTTCCGCGTCAGCGCGCCGTAGTCGACCTTGCCGACGTCGCAGCCCTGCTCCGAGCAGTCGGCGCCGCCGCGGTGTCTCAAGATCGGTAGGAGGCGGGCATGCCGCGCGTAGGTGCCCACATCAACATTCTCGGGTAGTGCGTGGATGCCGCGCTGCCAGAGGGCCATGCGGTCGCGTTGTTCTGTTAACGTCAGCGTGCTGAGGCGTTTTGGGACCGCGTCGACGACGCGCCGCCAGAGCGGTGCATCATCTGCAGCCTTGCTGTCCTCAATGCCATCCCCAGCGCATCGCGAGGTTGCCAAAGCGAGCAAGAGACTTCGAAGCATCATTCTGATGAGCACTGCTACGTCCAGCGTGCTCTCATCAGCGTTGATCTTACGTTTTGCTCTCACTCAACCCGATAATACCTAGCGGCGTCGTCAACACACTAGGAATTTTGGGAGCCCTCCAAAAAGCCTCACAGAACCACAAGATCTAGGTAGAAGACACTTACGTCGGACTAGGCGCCGGCCCCTCCGCAACGCCAGCCGGCGCCGGCGCGGAAGCGGCCACCTCGGCGACGACGCGGTCCAAAAGCTCGACCGCACTCGTCGCGGCCGTGAGCACCTTGGGAAAACCCGGCTCCTCGGTCCGCCGGAAGGAGGCTTCGAGCGACGCGCACGCCGCCGCCGAGGCCCGCTTCAGCTCGGCGATGGCGGCGACCCTATCACTTTCATGCTGCGTGAGCTGCTTGACGCGCTCCTTGGCGAGCGACGACCGGCGCGCGCCCTGGAGCTTCGTCGCGGCCAAGTCCGATTCAAGTTGATCCCGCTTCTGTTTTGCGTTTGTGAGAGCGGCGCAGTCGCCGAGGCAGGCCGCCTCCCCTAGCGCCGCGTCGACCGTCGCGACGTCGCCGGACGCCAACGCGTCCAGTAATCCCTTGGACGCCTGGGCCAGCGTCACGGCCTCGTCCTCCGTGAAGCCGTCGGCGGCGGCCTTCTCCAAGGCTTCCGCTAGGCCGGGGTCGCCGCGGGCCGCGAGGTCCCGCAGGAGCGATTCGTGGCCCCGCAGCGCGTCGGACACTTTCTGAGCTTCGGCAAACGCGGCGTCATCTTTTAAACCAGAGGCTTTGGCCTCGGCGGTGCGCGCCTCGAGCACCTTTAACAGGCAGGGCCGCGCCGCCGTGGCTTCGGTTAACGCGCTTTGTGCGGTAACTCGCGCCTCGCACAAATCAGACACCTGTTTATACTCGTCCGAGCTCCGCCGGACGAACGCCGCGTCCGCCGCGGCCAGGGCCTCCCTTAATTCATCGACCGTCGGCGCCTCCTGGGCCGCGAGGATCGTGAGCGCCGCAATGGCCTTGGACCGCGCGGCCTCGTCGGCCTTCCGCTTCGCGCACGCGGCGTCGGCCGCGTCCAGCGCGGCCCGACCCTCCGTCACGTCGACCTTAAGAGCTTCCGCCTGTTCCACGCACTTCCGCAGCGCCGCGGCGTCCTCGTCCGAAGGGTCGTCGGCGGCCTTGGCCATGGCCTCGGTCAAGGCGTCGGACGCCTCTTTCTTGGCCTGTTCCTCGGCGACGATCGCCTCGCGGGCCTTGCCCGCTTCGACGATCTCGTCCGACTCTTTTGAACAGCCAGCAGCCACGGCACTACCAAGCGCCGCGTCGATAGCTTGAATATCCCGCGCCGCCAGTGCCTCCAATAACCTCCCGAGCGCCGCCCGCTTCTCCTCGACTTTCACCGCGAGTTCGTCCCGCTTCTTTTCGGCCTCGAGCAGCTTCTCGTCCGACGGCAGCGCGTCCGGCGAACTGAACCGCAGGAACTCGAGGAGGTGCCCGATGGCTTCCGGATCATCAGAAGTCATCGCGGCATCTAACGCTTCCTCGGCCGACTTCCGCGTGTGCAGTAAATCTCTTTTTGCTTTCGCATCGAGCACTTCGTCACTATCAGGATCAACACCAGATGCTAAAGCCGCGTCCAGGGCCCTTTCTAGGATATCGAGGGCGTCGCCGCCGCGCGCCTCGATGAGCGACGCGGTCGCGGCCGCGCGCGCCTTCGCCTGCGCCTCGAGCGCGTCCTTCTTCGCTTTACACGCCGTCGCAGCAGCACCAGTCATGTCCACGCCGGCCTCCTCGGCCCTCGCGAGGGCCTCATCCACTTGAGCCAGGGAGTCGGAGGCGCTCGCCTGTTGCAAGGCCTCCTCGGCCTCGTCTCTTTTGGCCTTGTCCGCCTGGAGCTGGGCCAGGCGGTCGGCGGCGTCCCGGACCTCGTCCTCGACGAGCGCGAGCTCCGTCGCCGTTGCCAGCGCCGCCTCGAGCTCCTCGATCGTCGACACGCTTGTGCATGCCTCGAGGGCCTGTGCCTTGGTGGCGTTCCGCTCGACGGCGGCGGCGCGCGCCTTCTGGCACAATTGGACGGCGGCGTGGTCGTCCGCGACGCCGGCCTTCGTGGCAGCTTCTAAAGCCACGTCGTAGGCCTCGACCTCATCGCCCTCTTCGGAGCCGACCATCTCGAGGTTCATGACCGCCGCACTGCGCGCCTCGAGCACCTCGACGACCTTCTCCCGCGTCGCCTTAGCCTTCGCTAGAGCGTCCTCGGCCACGCCCGCTTCTGACGCCTTCGCGAGGGCCGCGTCTATAAGATCCAAATCCTCGCCTTCGCAAACCTTCTCCAGCGCCGCTAGAGCTTCCAGTTTGTCAGCTTGGGCTTGTCGTAGTGACTCGAGGCGTTGAGTCCCCTCGCTCGTGTCCACGTCGAGTGTTTTCGCGTGGGCGATCGCCTCTTCCAGCTTCGGAACGTCCTCGCCGGCAATCGCCGCTTGTAGTACGGAGGTAGCCTCGGCCACGGAAGCTTCCCTTTCTTCCAGATCGTCGCGTAAGTTCGCGGCATCGATGTAAGCCTGCGAATACTCCACATCCACACCATCTGTTTCCGCCTGCTGCAGAGCCGCTTTCAACGAAGCCAAATCTTTCTTCTCCAAAGCACGCCTACAAAGGTCCTCGGCGGCCTCGGCCTGGATCTTTTTGTGGTCGAGTTCCTTGCGCGCCGACTCGGCCTTCTCGAGGCTCCCCGTCTCGACGCCTAGGCGTTTCGCCGCTTCCAAGCCGGCGCCCAGGGCCACGAGCGACTTCGCACTCACGCCGGCCTCCAGGATCTCGGCGGCCCGCTTTTTCATGTTTTCATGATGCTCAATCTCGCTCTTGACGAGCTCGACGATCGCAAACGCGGGATGGTCGCCCTCGATGCCCGCGGCCTTGGCGCTCGCCAGGGCCTGGTCGATGGCCGCGAGGTCGGTCGACGCGACGGCCGAGGCGAGCGCCTCCTCGGCCTCTTCCCTCGCACGTTTTTTCGCCGTATCTAGAGGCGGCATGCGTCGGCTCGGCGGCCGCTTGCCCGACGACGGCGTGAAGGGCCGCGCCTCGCCCTCGGCCGGGGCCGGCGCGGGCGCGGCTGCTGCTGATGCCATGGTGCTATGAAATGGCTGCCCCTGTCAGCTAGTCGGTCACGGCAGCGGGAGTGGCGACTGCTGTGGCGCTAGAGACGCGAATTGCTTGCTGTTTAGTGCTGCCGCCGGTCCTCGACGCGGCGGAGAGGCGGCAAGAGAGCCGGCGTTGAGAGGCCAGATGAGAGGCGCCGGCCCGTCGCATGCAAACGGGAGGGATAAATCTCTCTTCGCAGTCCTCTGACGTGTGCCTCGTGGGTTTAGGATGGCTCAAAGGCTTCCGCAACCCGCACCCAACGGGAAGCGCCCGTTTTGCGCGCTGTGGCAGCGCTCGCACGCGGATTGCTGCGAGGTGCACACCATTCTACTCACGGTGCTCCCGCCGTACGCAGCAGCACGACTTCGACGCGGTCGGGCTGCCCTATCAACGACAAATGATGAGCTACAGCCACGACGCGTCGGGCTGCCTTAGGAACGATGACAAACTAACCACACTACCATGAGCAGCAGCCACTACAAGTGGCTCGAGGAGACGCTCGGCGCCCGCCAGACGGGCCTCGGCCAGCGGCCGGCGACGGCCGGGCGGCGCCGCCGGCCCGTGCAGGGCCTGACGATCGGCGAGGCCGCGACCATCATCCAGGCGCGGACGCGGTTGCTGAGGGCGCAGTACAAGAGCGTCTCCGTGGCGGGCATCGGCGCGGCCGAGCTGCGACTGCACGCATTACTTGCGCTACAGCGTTCAAGACGGAGACGCGCGGAGAAAGCGAGACGCGCCGAGGGCTCGGACGGCGGCAAATTGGCGAGGCTCCGCGCCGCGACGCAGAACGTGCAGCATCAGAAGCCGGCGCCGCTCGCGAAGACCCTCTCGTCCGTCCGCGTCGGCGAGGAGCCCGACGGCGCGCTGCGCTTCAAGGGCCGCGTGCTCAGCCCGCCGCCGAAGCGCGCCTCGGCTCAAAATGGCCAGCTGTCCCCGGCGCTCATCGCGCGCCTGCGCCAGCGCATGGCGCCGAAGCTCGACCGGCCGCGGACGGCGCCGGCGCGGCGGCCGCCGTCGCCCCGGGCGGCGGCCGCGGACCGGCTCGCGGCGCAAGCGGCCATCGTCAAGGCGCTCGGCCCGCCGATGCGCCGGCCGCCGGCGCCCGTGCGCGTGCTGACGTTCAACCGCAGCGACCCGGCGCCGGAGCCGCCCCCGGCGCCGCGGGACGCCGACAAGGAGAACGCGGCGCCCGAACCGCCGGAGGTCGACGGGAAGGCCGCCCTCCTCGCCGCGTACCGCAAGGCCGGCGGCCGGCGCGACCTCGATCTGAGCTGGACGCGCCTCCACGAGTTGTTACGTGACGCGGGCCTACCCGCGCGCGGCGCCACGGCCGTCCTCGCGGCGCGGTTCGTCGATGCGGGCCGGCGACTTCTAGCGGCGGACGCGCGACCGTTCCCGCAGGACGCCGCTGAGAAACTCCAGGCGCGGACGCGGGGCCGTGCGGCGCGCAAGGGCCACGAGGAGCGCGTCGCCGACTACCGGCGACGGCTCCGGGCGCGGCGGGCCGCGGAGGAGGCCCGGCGGCGCGACGCGGCCGCGGCCGCCGAGGCCGTGCTGCTGGCGAGTCCGACGGCGGCGCGGCGGGCCCGTGAGAAGGCCTCGGATGCGGCGCAGGCGGCCCGGCGCCGCGAGCGCGCCATGCACGACGAGGATGCGCGCGTCGAGGCAGCGGAGAGGGCGCGCCGCGCGGCCCGCGAGGAGGCCGAGCGGCGCGAGCGCGACGCCGCCGCGGCCGCAGCAGCGGCACACGCAGCTGAGAAGCGCGAACGCGAGGCGGCGCGGCGGGCGCGCGAGCAGCTGGCGCGCGCGGCCGAGGCCGCCCGCGTCGTCCTGGCGCTGAGCCCGCGGGCGGCGAAGCGGGCGAGCCAACGGGCCGCGGCCGCCGCGCGGGAGGCCCGGCGGCGCGCCGAGGAGCTCGAGGCGGCGCGACGGGCCAAGGCGGAGGCCCAGCGCCGCGCGGCGGCGGCGCAGCGGGCCCGCGCCGAGGCGGCGCGCGCCGCCGAGTCCGTGCTACTGGCGAGCCCCAAGGCCGCGCGGCGGGCCCGCGAGAAGGCCTCGGACGCGGCGCGGGCGGCCCGGCGGCACGAGCGCGCCATGCACGACGAGGAGGCGCGCGTCGAGGCCGCGGCGCGCGCACGCACGGTCTTGATGCTGAGTCCGAAGGCCGCGCGGCGCGCCCGCGAGGCGGCCTTCGTCGCCGCGGCCGCGGCCGGGCGGCGCGCCGGCGTCGCGAGACGAAAGGAGGAAGACGCTGCCGCGCGGCTCCAGGCGGCGCTACGATCGAGATGGAGGCGGCGCGCCATCCGACCGGCGGAGACGGTCCAGGCTCTGCTGGAGGCGATTGTTCGGGTCCAAGCTAATCACCGGCGCCGCGCGCGGCGGCACGCGTTGCGGGTCATGCGCCTCGGGCGCGAGCGCGCGGCGCGCCGCTGGCGCGCCGCGGTCGAGATCCAGCGGCGCGAGCGGGGGCGGCATCCTCGTCGTGCGTTTTGTAGAATGCGCCGCTGCGCGATCTGGGCGCAGCGCCGCTTCCGGAAGCGCGCCGCGGCCCGGCGGCTTTATAAACTACTCGCCGCCCGCCTGTCGAAGTGGAAGCGGGCGGCGCTCCACACCCTAAAACGGCACGCCGCCGAGGCCCGGCGGCAAGAGAAACTGAGGAAGCGCCGCGCGGCCACGCAATTCCTGGACATGCACCCCGGCCGCACGGCGAAGCTCGGCAAGGCCCTGACGTTACTCAAGCGCGTCGCGACGAAGCGCGCGGCGTCGGCGCGCCTCGCCCTCGATTTGAGGAGGCAGCACTCTCGGGCCGCGGCCGCCGCGTTCGCCGTGATAAAAACGCGGGCGCGGCGCCTCAAGGCGGCGTCGGCGACGGCGTTACTGGCCTACAAGCACGGCGTACGGGCGGCGCGGACGGCCTTCGCGCGGCTGCGGCGCTACGCGGGCCTCGTCGCGTTGGTCGAGACGCTGGCTCAGTCCCACGCAACCACACTAATTCATGCCGTCGCGCTCTGGAAGCGGCAGGCCACGAAGCTCCGGGCGGCCGCGCGACTCGCGACCTTGTTGCGACGGCAGCACTTGGAAGCGGCCGGCGCCGCGTTCATTGAACTGAAACGCGTCGCGGCCAAGAGGACGGCGGCGGCGACCCTGTTACATTGTCTCCGGAGGCAGCACGCGGCGGCCCTCGCGGCGGCATTGGTTGAACTAAAAGAAGACGCGGCGCGGCGCAAGGCCAAGCGCCTCCGAGACGCCGCGTCGAGAAAAGCGGCCGCGGAGCGCCTCATGGCTTTGGTTCAAAACCGGTACGAAGCTATGTGCAGTAAAGCGCTCGCCGCCCTCCGACGGCACGCCGAGGAAGCGCGGCAGGCGCAGAAGGTGGACGCGGCTTCGAAACTCGCGGCCGTCCTCGCGCGAAGGCTCCACGCCTTGAAAACCAAAGCCCTCCAACGGTTCCGCGACCACATGCTCGCTCAACGCCAACTCCAGAAGCGCCGCGCGGCGTCAACGCTCGTCGAGGTCCTCGCGCGCGCCTACCGGAAGCTCACAAAGAAGGCGCTCGGGCTCTTCGGCGAAAACGTGGCCCGGTCGAAAGCATTTCAGAGGCGCCGGGCCGTCGAGCGCATGGCCCGGGTCCTGAACAGCCACTACGCCTCTGTACAACGAAAAGCCGTAAAGGACTGGCGCTTACAGGTGATTCGCATCCGCGAGGCGCCTCGCCGCCGCGCGGCGAAGCGCGTCGTGGCCTGCCGCCGCGTGAAGCGCGTGCTCGAGCAGATGCTTTGTACACGCCTGCGGCGGGGCTTCCTGGCGCTGCGCGCGCGGATGATGGCAGCGAGGCGTTGGGAGGCGAAACGCACCGCGGCGCAAAGGCTCGCGGCGGTGACGCGGGCGCGGCTCGACGCGGCGACGCGGCGGACGTTGGAGAAATTTTTAGCGAACGTGCGGGCCCGCCGAGAGGCGGACCGGCGGCGGTACGCGGCGGCGTCGGATATGTTCGACGCGCTCGGGCGCCTCCGGGCGCGGCGGCTCCGGGGCGCCGTGGCGGCGCTGCAACTGCACGTATTGAAGATGAGGGACGCGGAACAGCGACGCCTGGACGCCGCGGCGACGGTCGTGGCCGCCCTAAAACGCCAGCACGACTTTGTGTTGAAGGCGGCGTTCGCGCGGCTCGCCGCGCAGTGCCGCCGGGCGGCGGCGGCGGCGCGCCGCCGGGCCGCGCGGCGCGTCGTCGGCGCGCGGCGCTTCCTGGCGGCGTGCGCGAAGCGCGACGCGCGGCTTTCGAGCATCGCGCTCGGGACGGCGGTCGCGACGTGGCGCGCACACGCCTCCAAGGTCCGGGCGGTTTTGAAGATTCGGAGCCTGCTTTTCAAACGCATCAACGCCGCGCTCCAACGGGCCGTGGCGGCGCTGCGGGCCAACCTGCTGCTTCATGTCGCGGCGGCGACGCGCGTCGAAACTGTCGTGCGGCGCGCGCTTGCTCTGAAAACCTTCCAGGCCGCAAAAGACGTGGCGCTTCGCCTGCAGACCCGTGAACGCGGCCGGCGCGATCGCTTGTTAGCTGCGAATCGGCGACGCGCGTTGGCCGCCGTTCGCATCCAGACGAAACTTCGCGGTCGCGCGGCCCGCGCGGCCTACGCCGCCATGCGACGCGGTACGCTTGCGCTGCAGTCTGTCGTGCGGCGGGCCATGGCGACGAGGCGGCTCGTCCGGTGGTGCCGGGCCCGCGCCGCGCGGCGGCGCTTCGCGACGCTCCTTGAGACCGCCACGCGCCTCCAGCACCGGTGGAGAGGCGCTTTGTGGAGGCGGTGCTTCGTCGGGCTGCGGGCCGCGACGATCACGACGCAGACGGCGGCCCGGCGAGGGCATTTTCTGAAGCGGTACGGCGCGTACCGCGTCCGCGCGGTTCGCGTACAAACGGTTTGGCGCGGCGCCCTCTCGAAGCGCCGCTTCCGGGACGCGCGGTCGCGCGTCATAGCGCTCCAGAGCGTCGCGCGGCGCTGGAGCAAGCGGCGGACGCTCTTCGCGCTGCGCTTCGTCCGGGACCGCGCCGGCACGCTGATCCAGAGCGCCTGGCGGCGCGCCCTCGCGATCACGCTCGTCCATCGGTTGCTTGCCGAGCGGCTCAAGCGACGGCGCGCGGCGCGCCGGGCGTCGGCGATCGTGATCCAGGCCCGGACGCGGGGCGCGTTGGAGCGGCGGCGGGCGGCGCGGATGCGTCACGTCGTCATAAAGGTGCAGGCCCATCGAAGGCGGTCCGCGGCGCAACGGCGGTTCCTGTCGTGCCGCGCGGCCGTGATGACGCTGCAGGCGCGCCATCGCGGTGCCGCCGCGCGGCGCGCGTTCCGCCGGACGGTACGCGTGGTCACGGCCGCCCAGGCCCGCGTCCGGCGGCAGCTGGCGCGCACAGCTTTTCTCAAAGGGTGTCGCGGCGTTCTTGCGGTCCAGACTTTTGGGAGATGCGTTGCGGCAAAACGGCGCTTCGCCGACGTGCGCCACTGCGCGATCGTCGCGCAGACCCGGCGTCGCGCGTGGACCGCGCGCCGCGCCTTCGCGCGCGCAAAGAACGCGGTTCGCGTCCTCCAGGGTTTCCTCCGCGACTTCGTGGCGCGGAGGCGGTTCGAGAGGGTGGCAAGGCGCGTCCAGCGCATCGCGCGTCTGGTGCGGACGCTCCAGACGGGCCTGCGCGCGTTTCTTGCGAGGAGGCGCTTCGTCGTGGCGAAGCGCGGGATCGTGCTCTTGCAGGCCGCCTGGCGCGGCCGCACGCAAAGGCGCCGTGCGAAGGCGATCGTGCTCCAAAGCTGGACGCGCATGCTAGCAAAGCGGCGCGCGCTGCGAGATGCCATCGCGGCGGCGACCGTCGTGCAGACGGTAGGTCGCCGGTCGGCGGCACGGAACCGCTTCCGGGCCATCAACGCGGCGATCGTCTTGCAGGCGATGGGCCGCCGCTTTATGGCGAGGAAGCGTTACGACGTCCTGAGGGCGGCGCTAAGACTGCAAGCGGCGGGCCGGCGTATCATCGCGACGCGTCGCCTGGCCGAGCTCAAGGCCGCGGTCGCACTGCAAACCTGCACGCGTCGCTTCGTTGCAGCGACGCGCTTTCAAAGAATCGTCCACGCCGTCACCGCGCTCCAGGCCCGCTGGCGCTGTCGACCGCTACGTGAACGCTACGCCGCGGTCCGAGCAAGCACCGTGATGATCCAGACGAACTGGCGCCGCACGAACATGAAGCGGAAGCTCGGCGACCTGAAGTGGGCCGCACTCTTCGTCCGGGCGGCGCGGCTACGCGTCGCGGCGACGCGGCGCTTCCTGCGGCTGCGCAACGCTGCGACTGCCATCGGAAAAACGGCGCGCGGGTGGCTTGTTCGGCGGCGCTTCCTTACTTTCAAGCGGTGCTGCGTCCGCGTGCAGGCGAACTCGCGTCGCGTCATCCAACGGCGGCGCTTTGTGCGCTTCCGTGAGTCGGTCGTGGCCGTTCAGACCGTCCTGCGAACCTTCTTGGAACGCCGTCGTTTTCTGGCAGCACGCCGTGCCGTCATCAAAATCCAGGCCGTCGTGCGCCGCGGAGTCGGTTGTCGGGGCTTCCGGAGGCTCAAACGCGGTGCTACGCAACTCCAAGCCCTCGCGCGCGCCCAACGGGCGACAAGAGCGTTAGCGCGCGCTAAAAGCGCGGCGACGGTCGTCCAGGCGCGCGTGCGCGGGCGGATTGAAATGAAAAGCTTCGCGGGGCGCCGCCGGGCAGCAGTTCAGGTGCAGGCATGTGTGCGGGGTTGTTTGGCGAAGAGACGCTACCTCGCCATGCGGAGGAAGGCGATCGCCGTCCAGGCTGTCGTGAGACGTAGGCAAGGACAGAGGCGCTTTTCTATTGTGAAGGGCGCCATCATCAAGATCCAGTCCACCGAGCGGCGGCGGCATCAGACGAAGCGACTGCGGACCATGAAGCGGGCGGCGATCACGATCCAATCGCGCCGCCGGGCCGCGACGTGCCGTTCGATCTATGTAAGGAAGCGACGCGTCGCCATCGCGGTGCAGGCTCTCATTCGGCGCCGGCTCGCGCGGCGCCGCTTCTTGCGCGCGAAACGGCTCTGCGCGACGCCGCAGAAACTCGAGCGCGGCCGCGTTTGCCGGCGGCGCTTCACGGAGGTGCGCCGCGCCGCCGGCGTCGCGCAGACCCTGGCACGCGGCGTCTCCGTCAAGCGGCACCTGGCGAAGTATAGGGCCGCCGCTATAGTCGTGCAGTCCCGGGCGCGGCGGCTTGGAGCGCGCGGGCGTTACGTCGCGCTGAAGCGCATGGTCGTCTCGCTGCAGACGGCGTGGCGCGCTCGCTTATCGTTCACAACGTACAAACGACAGAAACTTTGTGCGATCGCGGTGCAGACGTCGGTGCGACGGCGCGCCGCTCGCAAATACCATACGGCCCTCGTTGCCGCCGCTGTACGACTGGCGGCGCGGGCGCGGCGCGATGCAGCCAGGAAGCGTTTCCGTTGTACTGTTGACGCGATCATCAAGATGCAATCCATCGCGCGGCGGCTCCCGCCGCGCCTCTTGACGGAGGCGAGACGGCGCCTGCCGCGCCTCCAGGCGCACGCTCGGCGCCGCGCGCGGCGCTTCGATCTCGGCGAGGCGCGGCGCGCGGCCCTGCTGATACAAGCGGCCGCGCGGCGATCCGCGGCGTTGAAGGCGTTCAGCGTCGCGAAACGCGGCGTCACGCGCCTCGCGGCGCAGAACCGCGGCTTCCTTGCGCGACGGCGCGTCCGGAAGCTCCGAGCAGAGCGCCGCGCGGCCGCTGCGGTTGCGATCCAACGCATGACGCGACGAGCCACCGCGCAAAACCGCTTCGCGCGCACGCGACGCGCCGCCGGCGTCGTCCAGGCGGCGCTCCGGCGTCATGCGGCTCAGAACTGTTATGAGGCGACGCGCGGCGCCGCGGCGCGCGTCTCGGCGCGTGGCCGTGGCACGCTGGCCCGAAGACGCTACATCGCGCTACTCAAGGCGGCGTGCGTGGCCCAGCTCTTGGCCCGACGGCGGTCCGCGCGGACGACGGCGGCGACGCGGCGGCGCCGGCGCGACGCTGCGACGGTCCTCCAGAGTTTGGTGCGCGGCTGGTCACGGAAAGTGTGGTTTCAGGGCGCGCGCACGGCCGCGATCTGTCTGGAGGCGCTCGCGCGCGGTTGGTTTGGGCGGCGGAAGGCGAAGCGGCTCCGCGCGGCGATTGCCATCGAGGCGGCCGGGCGCCACTTCATGGTACGTCAGTGGTATCGCGGGACCAAGCATGCGACGGTGTGTGTCCAGCGCCGCGAACGTGGTGTTCAGGCGCGGCGGCGCTATGCGGAAGCTCAAGGTGCGGCAGTGGCGCTCCAGACGATGGCTCGGCGGCACCTCGCGGCGACATCGTACAGGAACCTTCGCGTCGGCGCGGCCGTGGCGCAGAAGCGCGCCCGGGCCGCCTCCGCAAAAAGAGAAGCGGCGAGACGGCGCGACAGTCGAATTGAGGCTTTGCGAGCTCAGGGCGCGGTGGCGCTCGAGACGACGGTTCGACGGCACCTCGCGGCGACGTCGTACGGGAAGCTTCGCGTCGGCGCGGTCGTGGCGCAGAAGCGCGCCCGGGCCGCCGCTGCCAGACGGGAGGCGGCGAGACGGCGCCGCCGGCGAGTTATGGATTCGCGGGCGGCCGCGGAGGCCGCGGCTGAGGCGCTCCGGTCGCATCGCCGTCTGAGGGCGATCGTTCTCCAAAGCTGGACTCGTATGAGGTTGGCGCGACGCGCGAGGCGAGATGCAATCACAGCGGCCACGGTGCTGCAGACGCGCGGTCGCCGCCTCCTCGCGCGCACAGTCGCGGCGATGCGGTGGCGCGGCGCCCTCGTCGCGCAGAAAGTCTCGAGGCGGTCCGTGGCGCGGCGCCGCTTCCTCGAGAAGCGGCGGGCCGCGGTCCGCGTGCAGGCCGCCGCGCGCCGGTTCCTGGCGCCGCCACCACCCGCGGCGGTGGCCGCGCCGCCCGTTCCGCCGCCTATAGCAGAATGGGCGCCGCCGGCCTGGGCGCGGCGCCCTTCGCCGCCGCCGCCGCCGTCGCCGGTGGCCGTGGGCGTCGACCTCGGGGGCGCGGCGCCGACGGCGCCTCTCGTGGACCTGTTCGGCGCTGCGGCGCCCACGCCGGTCGTCGACCTGCTGGGCGCGGGGCCGCGGACGGTTACTGTGGACCTCGCACGGGAGCGCGTCGCGGCGGTCGTCGATCTAGCTAGGGCGAAGAGTCCGGAGCCGCCCGCGGTCGAGACGCCACGACAAGTGCCGGTCGTTCCACCGCTGAGACTGCCAGCGGTCGAGGACGACGACGCGCCGTCCGTCGAGGTGCCCCCGCCCAAGGAAGCCAAGCCGCGGCCCCTCGTCGTGAGACCAAAGGAAGCCGTCGCCAAGGCGCCTTTGATCGTGAAACGCGTGCGCATGCAGCCGCCCGCCTCAAAGAAGGTTGCGCCCGTCGCTATTGCGCCGCCACCACGGCCGCGCAGCAAATCGCGCAAGCGGCGCACGGCAGCCGGCGCCGCGGCGGCCGCGGCGCAGTTGCTGCGACAACTCAACGATGTAGAGGATACGTTGACGCGAGCGGAGGCGTCGGCCACCTTCGAACCGCCTCCACCGAAGGTTCCGGCCTACCGATTAGCCTGGCGCGAAAGTCAGGCTTATCTCGCCGCGGGCGACGGCGAGGCCGCCGTCGCCGCGGTCCTTGCCGCGAATCACGAGCGGACGACAGCACGGCTCCTCGTCGCTCTCGGCGACGTGCAGCTCTCGGACGCGACGCTCGACGCTCTATTGAGCGAGGTCGCATCGCTGTTGGCTGGCGACTACCGCGCCTACGCGCTGCCCTACGTCGCTGGGGCCGCGAAGGCCGGGGCCCTGAACCGCGTCCATGCTGCAACGCGCGCGGAGCTCGCGGCAGGGCTCGCGGACGCCGCCGCGCGGGGCGACGGCGACGCGGGATACGCCTCGAAGCTGCTCGGCCGCGTCGGGCTGCTGGCTACGTAATGTGTGATTTGTGATCTAGATAAGTACGATACCGCCGCCCCGCGCTCACGCGTTGCCCGGGCTCCCCTCGTGGAGCTCCCGCAGTGCCGTCATGGCGTTGCTGAACGCGACGCAGGCCTCGCTGCCCTCGTCCACGAGGCACGAGTCCAGGAGCTGCATGTCGTCGGGGTTCCAGCTCGCCATGCTCGCGCCCTCGAGCTTCGCGATCATCTCGCCGGCGACCTGCCGCTCGTTGCTTCCGGCGGGGAAGAGCTCCGCGGCCGTCTGGCACTCCTTGAACGCTGCTTGGATGTCGCTCGCGTAACGCACGACGCGCGACGGCGCGGCTGCCCGATGCAGTGGTGCGAACCTGTGCGCAATACAGACGTCGAGCAGGCGTCGCGTCGATGGCGTACAGCTAGATTGATTTGTGCACTGTGCAAAAACGCTGCACTTGCTGAGAGCAAGAGGAAGTTTAGGAGCCGCCGCTGCATGGTGATCGCTGGAGACACGTAATCAGAGCAATGAGTAATCACAAGCGCTTTGGCTCGATTGCTCTGGCTTGCTCTGCGGCTTGCTGGGCACCCTAGTGTCTTACAGGCCGCTAGCGCCTCGTACCCGAGCTGTACGAGTCCGTACACGCGACAACCCGTCATGACCCTCTTTCAGGCGTACGATGCCGCTCTCGTCTTTAGTTTCGGAGAGGGCTGCTCTGCTCACCTGACGCAAAAAGGGCTCCGTGCTGATCGAGAGTTGCTCCAAACCAGCCCCTAAGACTTGCAAAATACATCGCTTAATCCTAGTTTTGCAAGCGCGTGATCGCTGCTGCAAGTCCTGCCCCTGCAGGCTGCCATTGCACTCCCACACACAGCCAGCAGTGCGCCTGTACGCGCAGCCATGGCCCGCGCCCCAGCCTCGCCGCTGCAACTATTGCAAGAAATGCTCTCCCCAGAAAACGACGTGAGACGAGTGGCAGAAGTAAAATACGAAGACTGGCTCGAGCAGGACCCCGACGCCTGCGCCGCGGGCCTCCTCGGGCTCTGCTGCGACGTCAGTGCGGGCGGCGCGCGCCTGCTGGCCTTCACGCTCCTGCGGCGCGTCGTCGCGACGCGCTGGCCCGGCGTCGCCGTCGATATCAGACGCGGCGCGGCCGAAGCGATGCTCGCGCAAGCATTCGGGACGACGGGCCCGTCGTCCAAGGCCGCCGTCGAAAACTGCGCCGCCCTCGTCCAGCAGGGCCTCGGGTTGGACGACGCGGACGAGGACGCGAACACGCTGATCCTCGAACGATGCATCGCAGCGCCGGGCCACGCCGCGGCGCTGCGCATTTTAGAGAGGGCGACCCAGGAGGCGTCTCCGAGAGTATTAGGTGAGCGGTTCCCGCGCGCCTCCACGTGCATCGAGGCGGGCCTCGCGTCCCCGAGTTCGGCCGTCGCCGCGTGCCGCGCGGCGCTGGCCTTGACGGGCGAGGTCGAAAGTGAACCGGCGCGCCAGCACGTCGCGAAGCGCCTCGTGCCGGCCGTGGCCGCGATCCTGACGGCGGCGGCGCTCGCCGGCGGCGACGGGCCCGCGTCCGAGATCCTGACGAGCGCCGCCCTATTGTTCGACGAGCCCCTCGTGTCGTGGACGTCCTTTCTACCCGCGAAGGCGCGGGCGCTCTTCGAGGTCCCCGGCGCCGCGGAGGCGCTCGCCGACGCGTGCGGCCAGTGCGTCTCGAGCGAAACTATGGGAGACGACGTCCGGTCGACGGCGCTCGAGGTGCTGGCCTCACTTCTAGAAGCGGCGGCCTACTGGCGCCGCGACTTTTCGTACACGCTCGCGGAGGCCGTCGCGCCGCTGGCGGCCCGCGCGGCGGCGAAGGGCTTTCGGGACATCGACGAGGACGCGTGGGCGACGCGGCAAGCGACGAGGGCGGACGACGACGATGCGGACGACGACGACGACGACGCGTGCGCCGATTTGGAGGCGTACGCGCCGCTCGCGGCGGCGGCGGCGGCGACTCTAGCTAGAGCGGCGAACGTCGTCGGGAGCGCTCGGTTATTAGGTTCGGCGGTGACGGGCGCCGTCGCCGCCCTGACGGACAAGCCCGTCGAAGAGAAGCGGGCCGCGTGTCTGGTGGTGGAAGTGCTCGCGCGGGACGCGAGTTCCGACGACGTCCTAGACGACGTGGGACGGCGCATCTGCGGGGTGCTCGCCACGGTGGCGGCCCAGGACGTTGATGCGGTGGCGCGGGACCGCGCGTTCCGGTGCTTGTCGCGCTTGTGCTTGGCGGCGCAGCCCGGCGCCGCGCCGCTTGATGACGACGACTACTGGGCGGGCCTCGACGACGATAATGACCGGCTGCTCGGCCCGGTGCAGGGCCGGAGCTTCGCCCAGAGCTTCGGTGGCCGCGTCTTCCCGGCCTGCGGCGCCGCGCTCGACGCTCATCAGAACGTCCGCGTCGCGACGGAGGCGGCTCTATTACTGGCGCGGTGCTGCGAGCCGCGCGTCGGCGCGCCCCCTGTAGAACTGGAGGCGCCCCTCACGACCGCGGCGTCGGCGCTGCTCGCGGCGTGCTTGCCGCCCGCCGACGACTCAAAACTGGCGTGCGGCGCGCGGTGCGCGCTGGCGCTCGGGCGGCTCGCGGCGGTCGTGCGCAGTCCCTCCAACATCTGCGAGGCGCTGGGCGCGGCCCTGCGGACCCTCGACGTGCCGCGGCCCCTGGACCCCGAGGCGGCGCCCGTGCTGTCGAACCTCGTCGGCCGCCTCGTCGAGGCCCACGCGCTGTCCTCCAAAGCGTGCGCCGTGGCGAACGAGAATGTGAAAGGCGCGGTGGAGCTCGGGGGCGGCGTCTGCGCGTCTTTGCTCATAGAACGCGACGACGGCGCGGCGCACCGCGCCTTGCAGCGGCGCGTCCTCGCGGCCGCGGCGCGGTACTGCGACGCGGCGCTGAGCTCCGACGACGACGCGACGCGCGTGGCGCTCGCGGCGCGCGCCGTCGACGCGGCGCTCGCGGATTGCACGAGGGGCGTCGCGTGCGACGTCTTCTCGACGCTGCGCGCGGCGCGGAGCCGCGCGCAGGACCAGGCCGACTTTGAGGTCGTGACCTGCGTGAGCACGAAGGAGGCCGTCAAGTACGTGGTGGTCGACGCCGGCCGGCTCCAGACGCACGAGGTCGCGTTCTGAGCGGTGTACGAGATCGTGAAGCGGCGCCGCAACGCCGCGGGGCTCGACGCGCCGGCGGTGGCGGCGCGCATCTGCCGCGCGCTCGAGCTCGAGTGGGTCCGGTTCGCGCCGACCCTGGTGTCGGTGGCGGCCGGCGCGCTGTCGTGCCTCGCGGCCGTAGCGGACGTCGCGGCGACCGCGGCGCCGTGTCTCTGCGGGCAGGTCGCGTCCCTGAACGACCGCTGCGGCGGCGCCGAGCTCGTCAGCTACGACGCGGACGCCGACGCGAGCGACGCCGGCGCCGACGCGTCGCGCGCCGGCGCCCTGCGGGCCGTCGAGGCGCTGTCGTTGGTCTGCGAGGCGCTGCGCGACGCGCTCAAGGCGACGCGCGCGGCCGACTTCGCGGCGACGGCGGCCCGGGCCCTCGCGAGCGCGGCCCGCGCGTCGTGCGCGCGGCGGCGCGAGCGGCGGGACCTGGCGGGGGAGAGCGACGACGACGAGGAGGACGACGAGGTGGGCTCGGCGACGCAGGCGGAGCGCGACCTGCTGGAGTGCTGCGCGGCGGGGCTCGCGGCCGCGCTCGCGCGCGCGCCGGCCGCCGCCGACGTCGCGGCCTGCATCGTCGGCGTGGCGGGGCCCCATCTAGGCCCGGCGGCGGACGAGGACGCCCTGCACCGCGAGCTCCGGGCCTGGGCCATCTGCCTCGCGGCCGAGGCGGTCAAGGGCGGCCAGGGGGCGCTGTCCGAGCCGCTCGCGCGGGCCTGCGTTGCTGCCTGTGTGGAAATCAACCAGTGTGTCGCGTGCACACGATAATTCTTCATGAAGTCATTTCTCGACGATGAAGCGGCCGTGCTGGCTCCGTCGAGCGGTGAGGAATCGACACCGCCACGCCGTCGAGCAGGCGTCGCGTCGATTGCGTGGAGGTCATGATTGGGCCATGGGAGGAGATGCGCCGCGACATTTGATTTCCACACAGGTCGCGGCTTCCACGTCGCCCCACGCAGCTCTGCGCCAGGCGGGCACCTGGGGCCTCGGGGTCCTCGCCGACGCGGGCGCGGCCGTGCCGGACGCCCCGCGGGCGCTCGTGGCGGCCCTGGCCCAGTACCCGCGCGACGGCGAGTGCGGCGCGTCCGACATGGCCTTCGAGAACGCTGTCGCAGCCTGTGTGGAAATCAAACTTCGGGCGCCCCACGCCATCGACGCATATGTGTGGAACTCACTGGTTGATTTCCACAGGTGGCGGCAGCGTTCCGCGTCTACGCGCGCTGCCAGGACCAGCAGCTCGCGATGGCGGCCATGGGCGGCCTGCCCCTCTATCTCGACGTCGCGGAGGCGCGGCCGGCGCACGCGACGGCCTGGGCGCTCCTGCCCGACGCCGCCGCGCGGCGGGGGCTCCAGGCGGCGCTCGCCCAGGTCGCGGCGGCGCGGCCGCCGCCGGGCTGGGCCGTGGCCGTCCTCTCGGGCGACCGTTCCGCACGCGTCGCGCGGCGGTACGGAAACGACATGGCCGCCGCGCGGGCGGCGGCGCAGAAGGCCGTCGACGAGGCAGCCGTCGTGGACGCGGCGACTCGCAACGCGCTTGCGGCGCTGGTTTAACAGTAGTTTTGTGATTTTTTCTTATCATTCCCGGGTTTTGTTTTTGCCGCGTGTGTTCTGGGGCGCCGCCGACTCGGAGGTTCTGCCGATACCCGAAGGTACCTAGTTGCGGGTGGCGTTCGGGTAGAAGCGGCTCGTGTCGCACGCGGCGAAGCGGTGGGTGTAGTTCGCCGCGACGAGCCTCGCCGCGCGCGCGCGGAACTTCCGGGCCTCCACGGCCGCCGGAGCATGCGACCCCTCGTGGACGCTCACCCGCTGAAAGTCCGGAGCAAACTCGGGCACGACGTCGCGGACGATCTCCGGGAGGTCTCGCATGTCCTCGAAACGCGTCACGAGGACGTCGTGCGCGGCGCCGAGCGCGGCGCCCACGGCATATGCGCGGCGCTTCGTCGGGTCGAAGCGAAGCGCCTCGAGCGGCACGCCCACGAGGCGTGCCAGGTTCGCGAACCAGTGGCACTCCCCCTCGTGGTGAATCCCCCACCGCTCGCGCATGAGGCGCTCGTACGCACGATGCTCCGCGCGGCTCGGCCATCCCGAGAGCCCACGATCTCCTTAATTTTGGCGAATTACTTGGACCTGAGAGCATCAGCCCGTGTACCATTACCATGGACCATGAAGCGATCATTTGTTCCATGATCGACCGACTTGCGCGAGGTCCAGATCAAGATGTTCACGTCCCGAGCGTGGGCAGCCAAAAGTACCCTTCTCGTAGTGTAGATGTCATATACTTGTAATTGACTATCGGTGGGGTAGTATGGGACCCAGCGAGACCGCTACGGCGACTACTGGGGGCCCTCGGGTAATTGACGTTTTTGACGGGAACGGGGCGCGATCGGGCCCGAATTATTTACTTTTTTCGTATGTAGATCGGCTCGCGGACTCCCTCCGGGATAGGTCTGATGTCAGGTAGTCGCCGATACCGCATAATCAGCGTTTGGGGCTCTCCAGAGAGCTCTGGATCGAAATCTTTGGCAGATCATGGCCAATAGAGGTATAGCGCCAAGGACCATGGGAGATGTATCTTACTCTAGAAGCGGCGGCGTAGGCGGCATAGGCGCTTGCGCACGTCTGCTACCGACCAAAAACGACCCCCGGGAGACCTCCGGGCCACGAACCGACAGGATTCCACCGACGCGGCCGTCATGGCGGGACCGTCCATATCGCGAAATTAAAAAATTATTTTTTCGCCCCCCAGTAAGTGTCCCATTGATCTCTTTGGACCATTAGCGAACTGAAGGATACTCAAACAACCGCACCCGCCATTTCCCCTCAACGGACGCATCGCCCCGTGCTTTTGTCGCAGTTTTGGGTTTTGGTCGTCGCTGCCCCTCCAAACGGACGACGCTGCCCCAGCCACGCGCTTGATACGTCGTGCGCGCGCCGCACGAGACGTTACAGCGTTCTGAGACAAAAAAAACGCGGCGAGCGGGCCCGTTAGGCAGTTATTGGAGCCAGATACCGCGCGCGCCCCGCTCTTGAGCTCATTGAACACAAGCAAGCAGCAGCAGAGCTCACTGAACAAACGCAAGCAGCAGCATGGCAGACACGGCCCCCGCCGCCGTCGAGGCGCCGCCGCCGCCGCCCGCGCCCGAGGCGCCCCCCGCTCTGACGGCGGAACAGCAAGCCGTGATGCAGCAGCAGCAGGCGGCCGCGCTCGCGGCGCAGCAGCAGCAGTTCTACTACGCGGCCGACCCGAACATGCCCAATCCCTACTACGCCGGTGGAGTACCGATGTACGCCGCGAACTACGGCTACTACGGGGGCCCGCCGGTCATGTACCCGGGCTACGCCCCGACGCTCCTCCCGCCGGCCGGCGATGCGCCGCAGCGGACGCGGCGGCGGCGGCGCGGTTCCGCGCGCGGGCGGCGCGGCGGCCGGCGCGACGGCGACAACGGCGACGCGGCGGCGGCCGACGAGAACGGCGACGCGTCGCCGCGCGCGGCGCCCGCGGAGACGCCGGCCTTCTCGGCCGCGGACTTCCCGTCTCTGGGGGTGGCGACGGGGATCAAAGAACCGGCGCAGCAGTGGGTGACGCCCGCCGCGCCCGTGACGGCGCAGACCCTAGGCCAAGAGCCGCCCGCCGCCCTCGCGGCGGCCCAAGCGGCGCCGGCCGTGAGCGAGCCGCCGAAGCCGCCGCCGCCTCCCCATAAACCCAAGGACGGCCGCAAGTGCGGCGTCTGCGCCTGGTTCGAGCCCAGCAAAAAAATGGGTTTTATTCGACAGGACGAGGGCGGCGACATTTTTGTTCATGCTTCCGACTTGAGAGATGGTGTGAGTATCGAGGAGGGTGATAGGGTGGAGTACGCCGTGGCCCAGTTCAAGGACCGGAACAAGGCGATCGACGTCGTGCCCATCTCGCAGATCGTCTCCACGACTCCGGAGGAGGATGCCAGTGATGGGACGCAGGAGGAGGAGGTGCCCGTGTTTGATCCTACGGACTTTCCCTCGCTCGGCGGCGCGGCGCGGCCCGCGGCGCCGGCGGCCTGGGGCGCCTCCGCGGTGCCGTCGTCTCTGGTGACTCCGCCCGTCGTCGCGCCCGCGCCCTTGGTCACCAAGAGGCCAGCGCCGCCGCCGTCGCCGCCGCGGCCCGCTCCCACTAATTCAGGTGATGGCGAAAAAAAAGACCAGGGCATTTCACAAAAGCGCAAGACGGGCGTCTGCCTCTGGTACATCCTTAAAAAAAGGCACGGCTTCATCAAGCCCGACGAGGGCGGCGCCTCGGACATCTTTGTGCACGCGTCGGACTTGCGGGACGGCGCGATCGAGGAGGGCGACCGCGTCGAGTACGCGGTGGCCAAGTTCAAGGACCGCGTCAAGGCCGTCGACGTGACGGTTCTATCGCCGGCGCCCGCCGCCGCCGCCTGATTCTCGAAAAATGTGACCCGCACGCCGTGCGAAAGAACGACGAACGAACGACTAGTAGCTAGGAACCTCCCCCCGCCTCCGCCCCCTGATCCCTCCCCCGTTAACCTTTTTTGTGGTCTATCTAGCGTCTCTCTTTCGTGGCCTCGGCCACTGCCTCGGTTTAGTCGATGTTACGGTGCTAGGACTGCCTCGGTCCTTGACGGCCGCGGCCGCCCGCGGTGTGTTTTTTTTTTTTTTTGGTTCTCCGCCCTGTCTGGTCTGCGACAGACGCCTTCTTCTACTGACTCCTGTGTCTTTCGCTCGGAGGCGTCGGGGCGGGAAGGATGCGGCTCAGGCGCAGGTCGACGAGTCGACTCTGCGACTTGCGGCCAAGCGCGCGCGCGACGCGACCAGTGCGCATCTGACACGCCGGACGCTCGTTCGTCCTTGCGCAATAGCGGCGCGCCATTCGCTGCACCGCAGCAGGGAGAACTGGCAAGGCTATATTAGCACAGGACCCAGCCTCTCAATAGCGGCGCCGCGACGCCGCCGCAGCGCCGTGCCTGAGCAATACCGCACGTGCGCCTGACCGACCAAACACGAACATGTCCCTCTATGACCGCCAGAGGTCGTCAGTCGTCGCCCTCAAGGGCCAGGGCGCGCCCGACCACATCTCGCGGACGCCGGGGCAAGAGGTCGCGCAGATCGAGGCCGAGCTGCGGACGCTCGGGGTGCGAAAGGGCCACAAGTGCCCCTTCTGCCGGCTGCCCGTGCCGGACAAGCTGCGGTGGAAGACGCAGGGCGGCGGCAAGGACTGCCCGCTCATGTACCGGGGCAACTGCCCGAACGCCAAGCCCAGGGCGAACGCGTTGGGCCGGCGCCTGCGGACTCTTCGGGAGGCCGCAGAGGCCGAGGCAGTCGCCGACAACCTCGTGAGCGCTTACCGAGGCGTCGCCGAGGCCGAGGTCCAAGACGAGGCCGAGATCGTCTGGAGCGCGCCGGCGGACGCGGAGGACGACGAGGAACCGGCGGCGCGGAAGAAGCGCTGCGCCTGCGTCAAGGACGACGGCACGCGCTGCCGCGAGCTTGTGCTCGGCGCCGACGACTGGGACGCGTCCATGGGCGACTGGGACCCGGAGCGCTACTGCTCGCAGGACTGCGCGCGGGCCGAGGAGCGACGCGCGGCGCGGATCCTCGCGGAGCGCGCGCCGGCGCCCGCGCCGTCGACGAAGCCGAAGCGGCCGCTCCAGCGGTCGCACGACGGCGGCCTCGCGGGCATGATCGCGGCCTGCGCGAAGGCCCCCGAGGAGGCGGCGGCGGAGGAGACGTCCGAGGACGAGGACGAGGACGAGGACGACGACGAGTCCTCCGTCGACGACGACGCGGCGGTGGCGCCGCCGGCGCCGGGCCGCGTCGTCGGGAGAGTGCGCAAGTGGGACGGTCACAAGGGCTGGATTCGCGTCGACGGCGCGCAGCGGCAGAAGGACGCGCCCGACGGCCGGGGCAACCAGGAGGCCTTCCTCGAGCGGAAGCAAGTACGCGGCGGCGTCGCGCTCCGGGACGGCGACCGCGTCGAGTTCACGCTCACGAAGGCGGCCCGGTTCAAGAACTTCACGGCCGTCGACGTCGCCCCCGCGGCGGCGGCCGCGGCGGCGGCCGCGCCGGCGAGGGCGTCGGGCGACGCGTTCGTCGACGCACTCTATGCCTACATCGTCGGCCAGGGCAAAACGCGCATCGAGGGCGGCGCCCTGAGCCTCTTCTGGGAGGCGCACCCCTCTGTGCCGCGGCCGAAGCGGACGGCCGCGCACATCAAGGCGCACGGCGGTGGTTTGCTACGCTTCGTCGAGGACCAGGGGGGGCACAACCACATCGAGATCGTCGGCGAGGGCGCGTCGGCGCCGGCGCCGGCGCCGCGGGCGCCGCCGGGCTCGCGCGCGGCCGGCACGGTCGCGTGGTGGAAGGGGCCGCGCGGCGCCGGCCACGGCTTCATCATCCGCGAGACGGGCCAGGAGGACCTCTTCGTCCACGAGAGCGGCCTCGGGGCGGGCCTCGCGGGCCTGCGGACGGGCGACCGCGTGACGTTCCGCGTCGGCCGCGCCCCGAACGGCCGCGACACGGCGCTGGACGTGGCGCGGACGGCCGCGGCGCCGGCGGCGGTGGCGGCGGCGGTGGCGGCGCGGCCGAACCCGCCGGCGCGCGCGGCCGAGCCCACGGCCGGCGCGACGCACGCCAGCCACCGCGCCACGCAGCACGAGGTCGAGGCGGTCGCAGCTAGAGTTGCGGCGGGTCTCTTCGCCGCCGACGGGCCCCTTCCGATCAACCAGTTCGCCGCACGCTTCAAGCGGCGGCTGCGCGAGAACGAGCGGCGCCTCGACGCGGACTCGCAGCAGCGGGCCTGGGCCTACGCGGAGTCGACGCTCGTCACGCTGGACCGCTCGCGTCGAGTGGTCGGAGTGAGGGATGACGCGGGCGCGGCGGCCGAGGCGCGCGCGCGCCAGCGGGGCCGCGAGCGGCGCGCCTACTACGGGACCGGCGGCGGCCTGTCGGAGGACCAGCTCCTCGCGCGGGCGCTCGAGGCGTCGCGCGCCGAGAACTACGCGCCGCACGTGCAGGGGCCGTCGCCGCTCGACGCGGCCGGCGAGGATGAGGCTCTCATGCGCGCGCTGGAGGCGTCGCGCCAGTCGTACGAGCGCGAGCAGCGCGCGCAGCCGGCCTACGCGCAGCCGACTTATGCGCCGCCGCCCAAGGCCGAGAGCGTCCCGCCGACGTACTCCTCGTCCTTCTTCTCCGCGCCGCCGCCGATGCCGCCGCCGCCGCCCGCGCCGCCGGTGCACAGCGGCGGGTCGTCGGCGTCGGAGTTCGAGGCCCGCATCGTCTCGGCCGGTTTGGCCCGGATCCTTCCCGACCTCAAGAAGGAGGAGATCTGCGACCTCGACACGCTCTCCTCCTTAGAAGAGGACGACCTGAAGGAGCTCGGGCTGGCGGTCGGGGCGCGCGTGAAGCTCATGCGCCTCATCAGAGAGCTGTCTGCGTAAGTTATATGATGTTAGTTTATCGGGTACGGGTACGGGTTTCTTACGTCGCGCCCCCTGAGAGAAAGTACCTTGCGGTCCCTCCTAGGCGCTCCCGCTCCCCTAGCGTCCTGTAAGACACTAGGAGCCAGCATGAAAAAAAGCAGGACAAGTCAACATAGCTCTAACAACGCTCTACTAAGGACTGCGTAATAAGTGGACACCGCTATACCAGGGCGCAGTAAACTTGCACACAACGCAACAGCCCGCGAGAGTGGTTGAAAGGCCCAAGACCCAAAAAGACCCAAAAGTGTGCTGCCAAGCCGCCGCGCGCCCGTAGGACTGCTACACGCGACGCAAAAATGAAGACCGAGCTGCCCATGACGATGCTCGGCATCGAGGCCAGCAAGGGCGGCCGCGGCGACAAGGAGCCCATCTACAAGGTCAAGGCGAGCTTTTGTCGGGGCTACGCGCTCTGCTTGCTCATATCAATCATGCTCGCCGGCGCGTTGTTTTTTTATGAAGATCCCGACGACGCGAACCGCTTCCTCACGGCCTCGGCCGTGCGCGCGCGGCGGGCGGCGCAGCATTTGGGACATTTCCGGGTCACGCGGCTGGGCCAGGAGCTCGAGCGGCATTTGGAACATGATATGGCGGAAAGGGAGTGGGCCTTGTTAGCGAGGGCGCGGCTGACGCGCCTCGAGCAGGGCTGGCGGGACGAGGTGAGCCATGCGGCGGCGAAGGCCGGTGATAGTACTGATGACGACAAGTGCGCGGGCGTCGCCGATGCTGTCCGCGACGACCTCCTGAAAGCCTCGGACCGCATGTGGTCCGAGCTGCGGCAGACCTTGTCTTTATTGGATGCGCTTGTAGATAGGGGCGGCAAGGCCGAGGACCAGCACGACGCCGTCCATCGGGAAGTTGCGGAAGAATTGCGGCGCGACGCCGAGGAGCGGTCACAATTCTCAAAGGACGCGGAAAAACACGGGGAAGACGCCAGGTACGCCGATCTAGATGATGCGGCGCGGACGGAGCTCTTGGACGCGGACGCGTGGCGTCGCGACCTCGTGGACCGCTTCTTGCAGAACTACGATTCATTTAAGGAGGAGAACCCTTCATTAACACTCACGACGCCGTCGCCGCTCACGGACACACTAGACAAGCTCGAGGCGGCTTTGGAAGGAGACGCGGGCGCTGCCACCACGCTCGGCTGGCGCGACGCGGAAAAAAAACTCGCGGCGCTCGCTCCAAAGCTCGCGGCCGCCGGCGCGCCGGCCTACGAGCCGAACGCGCCGTCGACGGACGACGCTTTGGATTATGTCCAGGCGCACAACGTGCTGGCTTACCTCAACGAGGTCTCCTGGCGGGCAAAGCTGACCGCGTCGCGCGCCGAACTGGACGAAGCGCGGCGCGCCTACGAGGGCAAGGAGCTGACGCCGATGGCCTTCGTCGAGACGCTCGAGGAGCTCGAGGGCCGCGGCGCCTTCCCGTCCGACTGGCTCTACTCGTCGGGCGTCGACGACCTCGCGTTCGCGGATAATGTGGAGACATAATAGATCTTTTAGTGCCTTCCCTTCCGCCGCTTACCGAATTTCTTTTGCTTCTTCGCCCGACTCTTCGCGGCGCGCTTGTCCTTCTTCATGCGCGCGTCCACGGACACGACGCGCGAGCCCTTGGTGGCGCCCTTGGGCGCCGACGTGGCCTTGCGCACGCCGCTCTTCGACTTCGACGCGACCACATACACCTTGTCGGGCCGCTTCTGTTTGGAAGCTCGAGCCATGGCTCTTTCAACTTCCTTCAATTTCCGCCCTGCGCTCATGTCCGGGTCGTTGGCCACGGCCTCGGCGCGCTTCTTCGCGGCCTTGAGGCGAGCTTCGGCCCTCGTTCGTTTCCTAGCGCGCGCTTCCGCCACTTTCTTGATCGGTTTAGCAGCTAAAGATTGAAATCTAGCCTTCATCTCCGCTAATAACTCGGGCTTGATGGGCACTTGCGGCCGGTAGTGCCTTTTTTCATCATCAACGAACCAAGCGGGCAGGTCCCGCGGGTCGTTCCAGGCGAAGCGATTGTAGGACGCGTCGACGAGCTTCTTGGCTTTCGAGCGTCGCAACATCATCGACGCCAACGCCAAAGTTTCCGCTTTATCATCGTCGTCCTCGCTATCACTGATATAGGTCTTGAGCTGCTGTTCTCGTCTCGCGAAGGGATCCTCTTCCACAATCTCAAAGCCCTCCTCATCCTTTGACACTTGACCGACGCCGGCCTTGATCAGTTTTCGAGCTTCAGTCTCCTTCTCGCTCCGAGGCTCCTCTACTGTTGAGGTAACAATATCGAGCTGCTCCTCGACATCACCGCGCCGTAAGTCGCGCCGTTCCTTCCGTTGCTTCGCCTTCAAGCGCTTCTCGCGCCGCACCTCCTTCTCGGTGCGGGGCATCTCGTCAAACAATGGGTTCGCGAACCAACGTTTCGAGGACGCCTCTGCCGCCGCATCGACGTCGTCGTCATCCGACGAGCTGTCATGATTGAGGGTCGAGGCGTACTGCTCGACGTCCCCATCGATCAATTCCACGTCATCTTGGACGATGCGAGCCGCGACCGCATCTCTATATTTTTTTGCGCGTTTTTGCTTCTCTACCCGAGGCGCGCCCGTCTTCTCGGCTCGTCGGTCGGCGTAGGCTTCGTAGGCGCTATCCAACTGGTCCTCGATGGCCTCCAATCGGTCTGGTGCTGAAGCGTACTCCTCGTAGTTGGCAGCGTTTTTGGCACCGAGCTCGCCCTTCGACGGCCTCACGTTAACGACGGACTCGTCGTCGGACTCAGGTGCTACTTCGCGTAAAGCGTCAACACCACCAAGCTTATTCGCTTCCGAGAACGAAAACACTTGTTCGCGCGTGGCATCATCAACATTGCTCTCCTCGACGATGCCCGCACCCCTTCTCAACCGCGCCTTCTGCGCTGCTTTAGCTCTACGTTTCTTCTCCCTTCGAGCGTCGCGCTGCACGAGTTCTTTTTGGTGTTGAATCTGCCGCTGGACCTCGGCTTCCTCGGCGTCCGAGTCCATTGATTCATCCTCTTCCGACCTGTGTGGAATTCAACCGGTGCGTCGGGTGCGACCGAATCGAGCGTCGCGTCGATGGCGTGCAGGTCATGGTTCAGCCGTGGTGGATTTATGCACTGCTTCTGACGACGAGGATGCTGCCGATTCATCATCCGACGACTCAACGAGCCCTTCTTTCAGTAATTTATCGCGCCACTTGAGCAGCGACCGGAAGTCGCCCTTGGACAATACACGTAAGTCCTCGCCACAGGCCCTTACCTCTTGATCCGTTAGCACATGATTCCCGATCGCGTCGTCCTCAAAAATTATTTTGGACCGTTCGGCCAAGATCTGGGTCGGATCTTTCGAGAGCAGAAACTCGCGCGCACTCATGCTTGGTTGAGCTAACAACCCAGTGTCGTTGTCGGCATAACCGTCGCGATGTCTCCTTTTTTTGCCAGCTTGGGGGTGCAACACGGCCAACGGCTTCTGCAATGATTCGCCGTTGATGTCCATAAAAACGTGTTTTGGGTCTAGGAGTCGAGGGTCGACCTTATGTGGCGCCAGATACCCCGTACACACCACGAAGATCTCGGCGGATTGAGCTCTCGAACTAGGTGGCTTGTGCGCCCTTACGCGATCAAAGAGCCTTCCAAAACACCAGACCAATGAGTTGTAATCTTGGCCGCGATAGACCTTCGTCACGAAAGAGCCACCCCTCCTCAAGCCACAAGATAAACCACACTTCAGCGCCAGCAAGGAAATCTCGTTCTGGACGAAGGCGTCCTTCGTGTAGGTGGCGCCCACGTTCGGCGCGCCATCACATAGGACGACGTCGACATACCTGCCCGCCCGACCTTCCTCGTCGTCCTGCCGCTGCATCGACTCCTTCGCTTCCTTCCTCACTATCGCATGGGTCCGATCCAAGGTAATGTCTCCCACAATCGTCCGCACGTTGGGGATAGGTCTAATAGGTAAGAGGTCCACAGCTATCACGGCACAGCCGGCCCCCGCTTCCTTGGCGGCTACTTGACTCCAGCCGCCGGGTGCCGCGCACAGATCCAGCACCACGCGCGTCTGTTTCGATATCAAATTGAACTCCTTGTTGATGTGCGACAGCTTGAACGCGGCTCTCGAGCGGTAGCCCTGCTCCTTCGCTAAGACGTACCACTTGTCCGTGCGGTCGACGCGCTTTTGCTTCTTTTGGTTGAAGGGCATATCTATTGGTGGTCCTGCCGCGGGCGCGTCGTCGTGCAGTGCTGCTGCTATGTGCTGCAGGCTGTGTATGTGTGCGCACTGCTTTTGTTGGACTCAACGCTCGATGCGGCGGCCTGGCAGCGATCGATTACAGCGGTGAAAGGCCCTCTTGCTTCCAGGTATGCTCGACGACGGCTGTATGCGGCCACCAATAAAGCTGCTGTCGCCCGCAGAGCCTCGACCCGAGAGGCCGAATCGGTGCCGAAAATCGGAGGAGGTGTGCCGCGACGTGTCCTCTGCCCCCCAAGGAGAGACCTTGGCCGAGGACGGCTGGCTGAAATGGCTCGAAGCAGCGCTGGACTGGGCGAGGGGCACTGAAGGCAAACAGCCTGCGGCGCGGTATAATCGTGCAACATATAAGCGCTGTCGAACCACTCCCAAGCGTCGCGCGCGGCGTTCAATTGATTGACATTGACCAATGAAGCTACTATTGCTGCTGTCCTACACATGCCATGCCCTGGTGCTACCGCCGCGGCGCCTCGCGGTCGGACGACCGCTTGCGCCGCGCTTCGCCCCACCAAACAAGGTGGCCATCCCCCTCGAGGGCACCTACGCCGTCGCGAACGAGCAGAAGGAGGTGCCGTTCCCGCACACGAAGCTCGGCATCGGATTAATTGTGACCGCTTTGGTGCTGCAGTCCGCGGGCGCGTCGCTTTTGGCAAGACGCGTCGCGCTGCGCCATTCCTATGATGGTGCCGTGGCGGGCCTCCTGCAGGAAGCTGTGAAAGTTCCAATCGGCCTGGCGTGGCTCGTTTTCGTGGCGGGCGACGCGCCGCTCCGGGAGCGACTTGGTAGATTCGCGAGAGCTTATACCGAAGCCCCAAAACATGTCCCGCAGCTCGCCGTGCCGGCGGGGTGCTTCGCGGCGCAGAACGTGCTCTTCTACTACGCGCACGCGCGGCTGTCCGCGACGGTCTACTTATCGTTATCACAATCCAAAACGCTCTTCACGGCGCTCTTCTCCGTACCATTGTTAGGTAGAAGACTATCAAAGACGCAGTGGGCGTCGCAACCCTTACTCATGGCCGGCTGCGTGCTGGTCCTCATGCAGAGCATGGCCTCGTCATCAGCATCAAAAGCAGGCGCCGCGGCCGTCGCCGCCGGCGCGGCCGCTTGTTTAGCATCTGGCCTCTTATCGGGCTTCGCGAACGTGTTTTTTGAGAAAATCCTCAAGAAGCGCGCGCAAAAAACGGACGAGGGCTTCTGGGCGCGGCAACTGCAGCTCAGTTTGGTCACGTTCCTGTTCGTCCTGCCCTGCGCGCCGCGGAACTGGGCCGCGCAAGCGATGAAGTTGCCTCCACAAGTATGGGCTGTGGTATTTCTCAAGGCGCTCGGGGGCTTGCTCATCGGCGCGACCATCAAATACGCGTCGGCGATCTCCAAGAACTTCGCCTCGGCGTGCGCCATCGTGTTGACGGCGGCGCTGAGTCGCGAGGCGCGAATATCAACGACGTTCCGGAGCGGCATCCTGGCCGTCGTCGCGAGCATGGTCATGTTCCAGGCGTGTCCTCCGAAGAAACTATCCGAGTCGTCCGTTCCTTAAATAGTCTGTGTCTTATTCTCTCTCGCGTCGCGTCGACGGCGTCGCCGCGTGCCGCCTGAGCGGGGCGCGCGGTTTGTTTTGGCTTTCGTCCGAGGGCCCGGGCGAGCCTTCCGCACGCAGTCCCGGGAGCAGTCGCGGAACGTCGTGCGGGGTGCTCTTGGTAGCGCCGAGAGAGCGCGCTGCCCCACAGCGGCAAAAGGGCTGCCCGCGCGAGCCGGGCTGCGATCTGGGGCACGCAGCGGTGCGCACGGCGCCGGCCTCATAGCAGACGGCGCAGCTGTCGAACCGCTGCACCCAGTGGGGACACACAACAGACAAGCAAGCATGCCCCTCCAGGCCGACTTGGATGGGGACGGCATCGTCACGGCCGACGAGATGGCGCTGGCCTTGAAGCTAGACCACGAGGGCGACGGCGTCATCGACGTCGATCTCGATCTCGATGGCGACGGCATCGTGACGGCGGCCGAAATGAAGCTCGCGCTCAAGGCCGACAAGGACGGCGACGGCCTCATCACAACTGAGGAACTGCTGAAAGCGAGGGACGCGCCCGCCACACCGGCGGACCGGCGTCACGCCGCCCTCCTGGCCGCCCGGGTCGCGTCGTCGCTGAAGAGTACCGAGGCTGAAGAGCAGTCATGGGCCGTGGATGACGTAGCGGAGCCTCTGGCATCCTTATTCTTTAAAAAACGAGACCGCCAACTGCTCGTCTCGCTGCAGCAGCGCGAGGAACGACGAAGGCGGGCCGAGGAGCTCGCGCGCGCCGCGGCCAAGATCATGGAGGACGAGGCCGCGGCGGCACGACAGCAGCGCGAGGCCGCGATGACGTCTGCTGAAAGACTGATGCGCGGCGGCAAGAAGAAGAAGAAGAAGACGTCTATCCGTCGGAAGTCCTCCTCTCGAAAAAAGAAGGGCAGCCCGCCGCGGCCGCCGCCCATCGAGACATCCATACAGCCAGTACAGAAGAAGCTCCCTTCGCCACTGGCACGAGATAGAGCTAGAAAGGCGAAGACCTGGGGCAAGGCCGCGACCACTCTGTTAGAACGCTTCGACTCCGACGTATTGATGGTCGAAGATGAATATGGCGAATTACGACTCACGCCGGAGATGCGTGTCAAAGTCGACGAATTATTTGTCGAGATCGGGGGCGGCCCGGACATCGACGCGAAGTCCTTTCGCGGGGCGTTGGTGCATCTCGGGATCGTCGTGTCGGATGGCGAGGCTGCCTCAATGTTCGAAGCGGCCGATAGCGATGGCGGCGGCACTTTGGATCGCGATGAATTTGCCGATACCATTGCAGGCGTCCTGGCGCCCTTGGTGGAGTTGCGACGCGAGTCGGTGCAGCCTTCCATTGTCCTGCCGGAAATGTCCTCGATATTATCCCTACAATCCTTACAAACAGATATATTACAAGAAGTGTTAGACCGAGATGACAGCGTCGCGCAGTTCGTGCACCATGCGTCGGAGGAGTTCCGACGGGTCGAGAGTGAGAGGCAGGCCGAGTTGTTCGACAAGTTCAAATGGAAGCGGCCGCCGACGCCCGCGCCCGTGCCGGCACCCGTCGTCGTCGAGGAGGCGCCTCCCCCTAAACGGCAAGAAAAAAAGAAGCCCGCGCCTCGACAAAAAAATGACAAGAAGCCGAAGAAGCGTCCGAGGCGGAGCCCCTGGCACCTCTACGAGAAGCTGAGGCCCGTGTTACGGCCCCACGCTTCAGATGAGTTGGGTAAGGCGTACATGGAGCATCATACCCATCTAGATGCCGAGCTGCGCCTGATCCAGGATGAATTGCGATCGAGGCTCGCCCCGGCCACCGAGGACGAGTGGCGCACGGCGTCGGGCTTCCACAACACCGGCGCCGACTTAGCGGCCCTCGGCAAAAAAGCGTCAAAATGGTCCCAGCGCTTCCGGGGCATGGGTTCACTGAGGAGGAACGAGGACGGGACCGTGTCGTCGCATGCCAAGGCCGAGGCCGCCGCGGGCATCGTGAGGGAGCGCTTCCCGTTGCGGCAGGCCTTTTCTCCCAGAAGGTTAGTCCAATCTTCTGAAAGAGATGCATGTTTCCGCAAGTTTAGCTCCATAAATTGCGAGGAACCCTTCACGCGGAACGGGCGCGAGGCTCGGTTGTTGCGACGGTGTGGGAGAATAGACGACCTCGAGAAGGCCCTCCAGGGCTTTGATATCGTCTACCGAGGGCAATTGTCGTCGGTCAAACTCGCTGAAGCTTTAAGAGAAGTCCTGAAGGATGTAGATGACGAGCCGGATCCCTTCTACGACGACATCGAGGGCATACATTTCAAACTCGAGGACGTCGACACAGAAACTGTGGACGGCATCTGCAAGAAACTTAGCGGAGAAGACAAGCCGAAAACGCCATCACTCTACTGGATTTGTGAATGCGGCATGGCGCGCAATTTACAAAACCAAGAAACATGTAGCAAGTGCCACGCGCCGCGGCACTCGCCGCTTTCGGACTTTGTCGACTTAGTACAAAGTACTAAGGCGTTCTACGCCGTGCAACCCCTGAAACAAGCTTTAGATAATGCGCTGCTCGTGCCCATGGACCGCCCGGGGCCCTTGTGCTGGGCGAACCTCACGAGACCCGGCGACGGCCTCTCGCAAAACCCGGGCCCGAAGAACACGTGGCGTAGTAGTGGCAAGAAGAAGAAGAAGCGGCGACGACGGCGATCGAAAGAAAAACTGCCCAAACGACGAGAATTCACATTAGGCGATGAATCGGCGATGAAGCTGCGCGGCGAGTTTTCCGTGGACGGCGCCGATAGTCTGGAGAACCGCATGATGGCCATGGGGCCGGTGGCCTCCGTGGCGGACATGTCGGGGGCGCTGTCGCCCCTGACTCCCTAAGAACTATGCTAAAAATACTAGGCGGTCACGGTGAGGTGCCCAGGAGCACGGCAGTGCTTTGCACTGATTCCCTGCGTGCCAGACCCCGTGGTACTGAAATACGGAGAGGGGTTGTGCTCATACGCGTTCTTACTAAAAGGGTGCTAGCCTGAGGATAGGAATAGGGGTATTTTTCTAGCAAACTCCTTAGGCAGTAGCTTCGTCCTTCTTCAACTCGATCTTCTCCTCGGGCGCGCTCATGGGCGCGTCGTGGGCTTCTTCCCCCGCAGCGACCGCCGAGGCCTTCTTGAGGTTCGCGGCGAAGTCCTCGTTCTTCGGGGCCAGAGTGGCCGCGGCAGTGAAGGCACTGATCGCTTTCTCATAATCAAAGGTCTGGTAGTAGGCAGCACCCAACGAATTCGCAATGTTCGCGTTCTCGGGGTTCGACTCGCGCAGCCGCAGTAATGGCGCGAGCGCGTCGTCCCACTTGCCGGCTTGGCCCAGCCGTTGCGCGTGGAGGTAGACGGTCTCCCCATCAGTAGGATTCAGCTGCTCCAATACACTGCTAAATGCGGCAGCTCTCAATGGTAAACGCTGCGCCGCCGCGATGTCGGACATCAATGCGATGGCGCCCAGCGACACCTGCACCGCTTCTAACAAACACGCCTCGGCCTGGGGGATGTTCTTCTGCAGGATGAGCAGCTGCGCGACCGCGTATCGGTCGTCGTAGCCGCCGCCTCTTACTGGACATACAATGGGGGCAGGCTTCTCGTCGGCCTCAGCCGGGGCAGCCTGGTCCTGGGCCGCCGCGGCGGCGGCGACGAGCGCCAAGGCGATGCGGCGTATTACCGCCATCGATGCTCGTTTGCAAGGCTGCCGCTTGTCAATTGGTGCACAATGAAAAGGCTGCCACGCGGCGTGCGAAGCGGCACTTTGGAGGCCCATGAAAATGGGCTTTGTGGGTGGCCCTAACCAGCGGTGAAAGGTCCGCCCCCCACGCTTCTCGCGCGACGGGGTAGTCGTGTAACTATACCTCGAAACGCTAGTGTGTTTGAGGCACGCTAGGATTCAAGCTTTTCAAGCCGCAGCTTTGGAAATTCGCCATTGCTGAGCAGCGCTGCCGAAGGAGCATTCATTGCGCTGCGCTGCCGAAGTAATCATCGAAGGGGTTCGCTTTACGGCGGCATCCCTTGCGCGCAACCAGCTGCTGCTGGTGACAAGCGTGCGAGCGCTTCAGCTGCCGCGGGCGCGAGCGCAAGCTTCAGGCTGCCGCGGGCACCGCGGCGAACTATGCGCGTCGTAGCGGCGCTGACACTACTGCGCTGCGCCGGCGCGCTGGTAGCGCCGCGCCCGCGCGTGACCATGTCCACCATCCTCCACTCGAGCCGCGACGGCTCACAACCAATCGGCACGAAGCGCCAATTAATAAGAGCGAAGAGTCAAGAAATAGGCAAGACCCTGCTCCAAAAGGCGAAGGAGCGGCGGCCGTCTCTGGTAAGAGGCGTGCGCCGCGCGGTGAGCGACTTTCGAGATGTGACGAACGAGGTCGTCGACTACACGATCGCGAGCGCGCAACTGTCGCGCCAGAATCTATTAGCGTGGGCCCAGGCCTTCGGGGCGCTAGCTGCTTTCGCTGCGGTCGGGGCCGCGACGGCGTCGGGGTCCGCGGCGGCTTTTCCGGAGCTGGTGGGCCGGTTTGGGGCCGCGCGCGCGCTCTCGGCACGCGCGACCATGGCCATTTTCGCCTTGGGTTTCGGGATTGCCTTGCGGCAGAACAAGGCGTTGATCGGGAGGCAGGGGCTCGCGCCCTACCACAAGGTGCTCGAGCGAGTCGAGAGGAATAGGACGTCGACGTGGTCGCGAGTCGAAGCCGTGCCGTCCTTACTCTGGCTCTCCAAGAACAAAACGGACTCGGCATTAACAGTTGTATCAGCGTTGGGTTTGGCTCTTTCATTACCGTGTGCTTTGGGCGGCGCTCTGCACGGCGGCGGTCGACTCGCTCTCATAACATGCTACGCGTTATATGCATCGATATCAAATGTCGGCGGCCCCTTCTACGGCTATGGGTGGGAGTCGCAGCTGCTCGAGACGGCCGCTTTATGTGCCTTGCCCTCGCACCCGGAATGGGGCGGAGTATTGGCCTTGCGCTGGCTCGCCTTCAAAATTATGCTCGGGGCTGGATTAATCAAACTAAGAGCTCGAGGGCGAACGTCGGACGGCTGGCACGACCTCACGGCCATGACGACGTTCTTCGAGACGCAGCCGCTGCCCTCGCCCATGTCCCGCCGCTTGCACTTCGCTCCAAAAGGATTCCACCTGTTTGCTACGGCCTCCAATCACGTCATCGAGCTCTTCGCGCCATTGGGATTGTTGATCGGGTGTGTGTTGCGCATTTTGCCCTTTTCTGGACTGAGGAGTGTAGGAAGATCATTGGTCGTCTTCTACGGTCTCGTGCACGTGCTCTTCCAGGTGGCCTTGATCGGCAGCGGCAACCTGAGCTTCCTCAACTATTTAACAATAATACCTGCACTGGCGTGCTTCGACGACGCGGCGCTCATGTGGCTCTTAGGGATAGCGGCGCCGACGAACACGGGACCGGGCCTGCGGTGGATCTTGAACCTCCCGCTTGCTTTAGGATCGGTGGCCTTCATCGCCTGGCTGAACAAACCGGTATATGAAAATCTAGTAGGGCCCGCGCGGAAGGATAGTACGAGCAAACGGCAGGTGATGAACGGGAGCTTCGACCGCGTCGTCTCGATCCGGCGCCTCTGCGAGAAGCTGCGGATAGCGCCGCCATCGAGGCCGCTCAATTTGAGGAGTTTGCGCCTGGCGAACGCCTTCGGCGCGTTCGGCAGTGTCCAGCGGACGCGCGATTTATTGGTGGTGGAGGGGAGTAGGGGAGAGGCCGACGACTGGAATTGGCGCGAGTTCGACTTCCGGGGCCAGCGCGCGGACCTGAACGCGCGGCCCGTGGTCCTGGCGCCGTGGCACTGGCGCCTGGACTGGCAGCTCTGGATCGCGGCGTGCAAGGGCCCGAACGGGACGAATGATAGGTGGTTCCTCTCCTTGCTGCTCAAGCTCCTCGAGAACGACGCGGCGACGTCGTCGCTGTTGCATGCGAATCCGTTCCTTGATTCTGAACCGCCGACGCACGTGCGCGTGTCGCAGTACCGCTACGCTTTTGTGGCGCCGGACAACGGCACGGAGGCCGTCTGGACGCGCGAGCCGCGGCGCGTTTTGGTCCGGCCCGTCGGCGCGGAGGCGCTGCGCGAGGCGCTGCGGACGTAACAATTCACATACTAGTACATTACACGTGAGCGTCGGCCTCCTCGTTGGGTGTGCGGCTCGCGACTCCAGAACTGTAGAATCGTCGCGGCTGCGGGACCGGACGCCCGCCGAGGAAGGGAACCCTGGCCGTCGGCGGCCGCACCAGTCGGTTCGGGTTTGGGTTTTGGGTAAAGATCTTTCCGCGCGCTGGGTTCGTAGCCTTTGCGGGAGCAGGCGGCGACGCGGCGGCGGGAGTAGGCGGTCGCGGTGGCGCGGCCGCGGTCGCGGCGTTCGCGAGAGCAGGCGGTTGCGGCGACACCGTCGCGGGACGCGTCGCGTTCGGGTCCAGGGCGGCCAGCCGGCCGCGCGCGACCTCGAGGTCCTCTTGGAGCCGCGCGACCTCGAGTACGTCCGGGCCCTGGAGCAAGCGGAAGTCGCGCTGCGCCTTACTGAGCAATTGCTCGAGTGAGGTCACCGCCTGGCGCACAGCCGACAGGGAGGCGGCGGTGCGGATCACCTCGCCGGCGGCGACGCGGCCCTTCTCGAGCCCGGCCGCCTTGGACCACGGGATCCGGACGTCCGGGTCCCGCCGGGGCGTCTGGCACGGCTCGCACATGAATACGTTCCAGTAACCTGTGCGCAAATCAACCGGTGAGTCGGGTGCGGGTGATTTGATTTAGGCACCGCCGGTGGCCCTCGATGGCGCCGCCGCCCCCGTATTTCCGGGGATACGGACACGTAAACGAGCGCTTGTTCCACTGCTCGTGCGGCGCGGGCAGTCTTGGCAGAGGTATCTTATTGTAGACGTCGGCGCAGCGCGCATCCTGGTCCACAATTTCGAAGGCCTGGACGAACCACGACCGCGGCCGGCGACGTATGGACAACCGCGACGCGTAGAACTCGCCGTTCTGGTAGTTTCCGCCGCGGGGCTTGCGCGTTGCGTCCTTGACCGGCACGCCGAGCGCCGACGGCATGCCGCCCGAGAGAGGGACGCGCGTGGCCTCGCGCCGCGTGGTCCCGAAGTACGTCTGCGGCGCGACGCCACTCGCCGCCGTCCAATCCATCGTCCTCACGGCGGCTTCGTAGCCGCCGTGGACGTGGCCGTGGACGAAGAACGTGCCGTCCGCGAGGTTGTCGTAGGATCGCGCGATGTAGTGCAAATACGCCCCGGCCTCGTCCGTACTATAGGCCATGTTCGCCCGACCGCGCGGCCCCGTCGGGTAGCCGCGGCCCGGCTCGATGAGGGGCACCACTCGTACGTCGAGCGCCCGGAGCGCTCTGTCCACGCTCGAGTTCGCCGCCGCGCGCGAGTGTTTCAGTATGGCGCGGCGCACGTCGGTCGATGTGAGCGTCGTATTGGGACCGGTCACGTCGCAGTCCAGCGCCTGGGGCGCGTGTGTGTCCGATTGGTCGTGCGTATACCGGACCTCGTGGCCCCCGGCGCTCGCGTTGTAGACGGCGCACTTTTGATACAAGGTCAACCGCTTCCAAACCTATGCGGAAATCAAATCGTCGCGGCGCGTCACCGCTGAATCATGGCACAGGTCCAGACCTTCTGGGTGCCCGGGCTCCGCGTCATCAGGTCCGCCACCCAGTCGAAGCCGTCACCGCACCACGCGACGACGAAGGCGACGGAGCCCACGTCCGCGGGCGGGAACGCCGCGTCTGCATCGAGCGCCTCATCGTAGCTGAGGCACGACTTGCGTCCCCGCACGTCCATCCCCCAGCACGGCGCCTCGAGGTCCGTGCCGTTGACCGTCCGGTCCATCCGCTCGACCTCCTGCCGCCGCTTCGCGTCGAGGCGCCTCCGCAGGAGCGGTCGCTGCGACTCCTCCAACTCGTTCAGCACGAACCCGAACGTCGCCCTCCGGCCCTTGTGGTCCAGCAGCCGCCCGCGCGCCACGGCGACGGCCGTCTGCGCGGCGCCTCGGGCCTCCACCAGGATAAGGGGGAGGGCCCACCACGCCGTCGCCGCGTCGGTCGCGTGCGGTCTGTTCTGGATCAAATAGCAACGCGTCTGGTCGAGTTGGCAGAGATCCCGGGCCGCCGTCGAGGCGCAGGTGCCGGGATAAGGGCAGCAGCACGCCGGTCCGCTCGAGAAGCGCGTTCGCATCGCCGGGCACGCCGCGCGGCAGGCCTTCTGATGGGGCAAGGAGGGCAGCGCGTTCGAACACGCGGCGACTCTCCGTCTCGCGCCATCCACGGGTTGATTGCCGCACAGGGCAAAGCCCGGGCGGCCCCGGAGGAACGTGGCCATCGGCCCGTCCAGCGCGACGTCCGGGCCGTCGACGAGGTACAACTTGTTCCCGTGGAGCGTGAACTGATGGGGCGTGAAGTCCTTGATGAAATACCCGCCGTAGTCGACCACACTTCTGAATACTTCCAGGAGCGCCCGCGCCGCACCGAGTGGATCGCGCTTCGCGAAGGCGCGCCAGGCGTCCGACGCTATCGGCTGTCTCTTGCGGTCGACCCCCGTGATGCGCGCGCCGCAGTCGTCCACGACGATCGATAAGTCGCCGTTTTCTAGGAAAGCCCCGCGCAGCGTCGGGATGCCCGGCCGGCCCCGCAAGACTTCAAGGAAGTACATCTCCTCGACGAGGTGATGCCTCCGTTTGAGCGCCTCGCCGGCCGCGTGCAGCTCCTTGTAATTATGCCCGGCGAATGCAGAACTGTTCGACACGGGGCAGACCGCGACGACGACGACCTTCCTTGTCCCCAGGCGGCCATGGCGCACGCACTTCGATCGCCCCCGAGCGAGCTCCTTGCCGATCGACACGTCCGCTTTGGTTTTTACCTCCCAGCTCTGCGGCGGCGGTCCGCCCTTGTCGAGCCAAGCCTCGACCGCGCGCACGCGCGTCATGTCCTCGCCATTGATGACACCGGGCGTGCTCCTTGTGGGCGTGGAGGCTGCTCGTGCATTCGTGGCTGCTGCGGCTAGCGCCAGCAGCAGCATCGCTGCCCATCGGTGACGGTACGCCATTAGCACGCCATTTTAGCAGCTAAGGCGCCCCAGCCCACGGCTCGTGCGAGTGCAAATTTGCGCAGCTAGCGGCTGTAACTCACTAGCAAGCTCAATTCCATCGCGGTCTAAGAGACGCCACAGCTCGCCACAGATCGTCAAATAATTTGTGGGGCTGTCATCTTGAGCAGCGAGAAGCGCTGCAGCCTGCGGACGCCGCCGGCGCGACATCCAGCCTCACAGCATCCTCATCCATCAGCTAGCGCCCGTGCAGAAGAAATGAGTGCTGCCTTGACGGCAGCGTGCCTTCACATGGCCCACGCCCTCGCGCTGGGCCTCATGATGAGCGTCGGCTATCGCGTCAAGGTCCTGTGGCTGCCGCGTGACGACTTTAAGGCGCTCCTCGGCTCCAAATCGTTCAAAGTCGCGAGCGCGGTGCAGCTGAACGTCAACGAGTGGAGCCCGTACTTCGTCGCAGGCCTACTGTACTTGCACACACGGGGCGCCGGGTCGAATCTCGTGGCTTGGGGGTCTGTGTTTTCGTCTCTCGCATTCAGCGCCTCCAAGCTCGTCGTGTTCCACGGCCAGCCGGCTCCCGTCGCGTCCACGACTCGCTATCTCGCGCTCGCCGCGCTGATCGTCGAGGTCTACGGGACGCGCTGATAATGTCGAGCTGGGAGGACGCCGCCGACAACGACGATGCCTGGGAGGTCAACGAGCTACCTGCGGACACCGCGGCGCCAGCAGCACCACCAACTGACGACGGCGCCGACTGGACGTCGGCCGTGGCAGCGCCGGCGCCGGCGCCGGCGCCCGCAACTGTCGTCGTCGACGACAAGCCGCTGATCCTTGTGAACTTTACGAAGTTGTCAAAAGGCAGGATACACAACAAATTTGACCCCAACGCGTGCAACGACCCCGAGGCGAAGTCGGCGCTGGCGAAACGGATCGGCGAGGACTACGAGCGATACGCGTCCGACGCGGAGCTGATCGCGTCGGGAGACGTCCGCGCCTCCGGCACCTCGTGCTGGCGAGCGGCGCTCGCCGAGTTACGCAAGGAGCGGCCGGGCCAGTTCTTCGCACCCGTCTTCCCACCACCAAGTTAACGACATTTTACGATAGGACTAATCAGGCGGCGACGCCTCGAGGAACGCGACGCACACGGTCGTGTCGTCGACGACGCGCTCGTGCGCGAGCCACCGCGCCGTGGCCTCTCTGACAAGATGGTCGACGCAGGCGCGCGGCGACCCGCTTTGTGACGAGACCTCGGCGACGCGGGCCACGACCTCGGCGTTTGGCAGAAACTCCCAGAGCCCGTCTGTCGCGGCGACGAGGAAGCGGTCGTTTGGAGAAAGGCGTCGGACGCCGCAGTCCGGCTCCGACGACACGCCGACGGCGTGCGCGACCTGGTCGCCCACGCTCCGCGACATGGCGAGGCCCGGCACGTCCGCGTCGGGCAGCCAGACGCGCGGCGGCCCGATGATGCCATCGTCGTACTCGAGCGCGAAGACGCGGCCGCCGCAGCGCTCGATGCGGTCTTTTTCCTCGGGCGTTTCCGGTTTGTGGTCCGTGGTCAGCGGCTCCGCGCGGACCTGTGCGCAAATAAAGCAGTGTGTCGGGTGCAGCGCGCCACATAGAAACGCCACGAAACTAGGGTTGTGCACTGGCGCGGACGACGCCATCCCTCAAAACGCCTAAGGTGATGCGCGAGTCGCCGACGTTGCACCAGAAGACCTGGTTGCGCCGCACGGCGGCGAAGGCCACTGTGGTCCCGGAGAAGGCGCAGTCTATGCTGCTGTCGGCTAGTATTTCGCCTTCCAGTCGAGCCAACTCTTCCCGACACGCCCTTTCGATGTTCGTCGCCCAGAAGGGGTGCTTTGTCACGGCATCCAAGAATTTATCGGCAAACCTACGCGACACCTCCTCGCCGTACTCGCCGTGGCCGTCGAGCACGAGGATCGCTTGCGTGTCCGTGCGCTCATCTTTCAACACGCGTAGTGCATCCTGATTCCTCTTGCTCCGGTCGTAGGGCGCGTAGCCTCTCCTACTAACGCCGTACAAGCGAGAAACGGCGCCACCGCCCTCGCGGACGTCCGCGACGGGCCGGCCGTCGACGCTCTGCGGCGCGACGCGCGACGAGCGCCATTGCAGCAGCGCGGAGCCCTCGGTCCTCGCGTGCTTTTGCGGCCGCGTCGGCGCCTGCGTCACCGCGGCCGCGGCTGCGGCAGCTGGCAGGCAGCTCCGCAGCCTGGCTACCGCTGCCATGCGGGGCCGTTAGTGCTCTAATTTTCGATGCAGCGTCGACTGCGTGTGCGGGGCGATCGTCTTACGTACTAATTGTGACAGCTAACACCCCATACCAGTTATTTGCCAGGCTGTGAGACATGCCACAAGAGCATCACGCTACGATGATTTCGGGGTTGTGTCTATTTGTGCCGTAGTATTCCTCGAAGCACTATGCATGAGCAATGCAGGCCTGTGCACGGCTGAAGGCTCGAGTGGGGGTTTGTTTTTGTCTTGGGTCCCCTCGGCAGTTTGGACGCCGCGACGGCGCTTGGAGAGGTGGATTGAAGTCTCCCGAGGCCGATCACGGACGGGTCCGCCGTTTTGTGAGGACGGGCTTGCCCCAAGCTATTGATGCGAGCCGAGCAAAAAAGGCACCCATCTGCGCCTATACTTACTTGTTTTACGTTTTCAGCCTGCTGCGGTAGTTCTCCGTGATGCGTCCGAGCAGTGCGCGAAGCATCGCGGCGCCGCGTCGCGACTGTGGCGAGTTAGCTTGCAAGCCAAAGCTTGCGCTGCCAGCCGCTCGCGGAGCGACGGGCGTGGACGTGCCTGCGCATCCGGCACGTTGCGCACGGCCGCCACAGCGCGCGCGGCCTTGCTGCTCGATCGCAAGCCTCAATGCTCTCCGGGCGCGTTGGGTCGCGGAAGCCCGAAAGCAGCACGGAGCGCCACGCCGAGCCGAGCGAGAGGATCGCACGCCGAGCACACGCCGAAGCTGTGCTCACCCGCTCGCCGCCGCAGGTATCAAAAGACGACGATGAAGACCGTCGCGTGCGCGCTCCTCCTCGCCAGCGCGGCGGCGCTCGCGCCGACGCCGGCCAGGACGGCCGTTTCCAAGGCGGCGCCCAAGCCGGCGCTGCACTACCAGGTCGCCGCCGCCGCGACGGCGTTCGCGCCGCTCGCCGCGCTCGCGGGCGGCCAGTCCGAGGGCACGGGCCTCTCGCTCGGCATCGACGACCCGCGCGAGGGCACCGTCTTGTGGGTCATCGGCGGCTTCTTCTTCTTCACGTACTACAACTGGGCCAAGGAGCAGCCCGACTCGGACAGCGACTTCTTCGCGGAGTACGACGAGCGCCGCCTCTAGATTGTCAGTAACAACCCCTCCGCTATAAGGATTGTTGGTGCGTATATATGGCCCGGGCCCTAGAGCCCCCTCGCCGTCGTCGCCTCCGAGCGAACACTCGGGGCGACGGCGTACGGGGACCGGGGGCGCGGGGCGGGCGTGCGGTCAAGCAGGCCTACTAGCTCTAAGCAAGGCAAAGCGCGCACACGTAGGTCCGGACGGAGAAGAAACTACTAGTAGATGCCACTGCTCGTTACACCGGCGCGCGCCGGGGATTTGGGGGGAAAGGGGAAAAACGCGCGCCGCGCTAGAGCAGCTTCTGGATGGCCTCCGCGAGCGCCGTGGACACGTGCGGCACGGCCGTCCGCACCGTTAATCTGAAAGCGCCCGCCGCCTCGTTCATCTCCAAACGAATCAGACACCCTACCGAAATCTTCTCGCCGCCGGCGTTGACCGTGCCCGTGCGCAACGCCGTCGCGCCCGACAGAATCGAGCCGCCGCCGTCGTCGACGCCGTCGACGACCGCCACCCTCACGAGATCGGCCAAGCGCGGCTTCGCGAACGCCGCATTCGCCGAGCCCGCCGTCGCCGCGAAGGTCACCATGTGCTCCAAACCGGGTGCGCCGAGCGTCGCCCAGCGCTGCACGAAGACGTTCGGGCTGAGTTGGACCGGCTCTAAGAATTTCGTGAAGACGCACGGTAGTGCTAACCTCACTTCATAGGGCACACCTTGACTGCGGAAAGACACAACCAACGCCGCGACGGCGTCGAACGGCTTCATGCACTCCAACATGAGTAATTGCGCCGCGGCCTCGCCCGGTTGTAATGAGGTCGAAGAAGGCGCGCCGAACTCGTACCTCAGACCCGTTTCGCCCGCATCCAAGTCCGATCGCAGAGAATCGATGGGCGTGCTACATTTGTTGGCGACCCGAACCGTCACCCTGCCTTCCGACCCTCGATAGTCGTGCTCGATAGCCACCGCCACGTGAGGATCCTCGTACAACACGCCCTTCATCCTATTAGCACCCTCGGCAGCACCCACAGCCAAAGCGTCGAATTTCGCATCGCCCAGGGTCATCTCCTCGACGACATCCGAACGGACGGGAGCCGCACTTGCGGGAGGAAAGCCCGTCTCCATGGACAAGGCAGAAACGTCGTCCGCCAAGTGGTCCGTCGGCGGCTTCGGCGGGAGCGCACCGGGCGCGAATGGATCATTTACCTGGGAAGACGAGGGCGCGGACGGCACCGTAAAGAGGTCCAGTATCCCTTGCGTCGGTGAGGCCGGCTGCTTCTCCAGCAATTGGTCCTCCTGCGTGATCTTCGTCCCCGTCTGATCATCATCATCCTCGCCGCCGAGCGCGAGCATGTCGTCCTCGCCCAATAAGTTGTTCGTGGCCATCTCGCTAGCCCCCATGTTCAGCTCCTGGGAAGTACCACTGTTATCAGTACCTTCTAAATAAAGGTGCATGATGGACATGAACTTTTCGATGTAGAACTCGATAGCAGTAGCTAATTTCACGGCGTCCCGCGTCCGGAAGAGAAATTCGTGCCGGTCCTTCACATCAAAATCAGCCGACGTGAACACGCTGACCTGCAGGCCCGTCTTGCCGGAATGGTGGAGAATGGACCATTTAAAAAAGTCCGTGTAGCACCAGAAGAAACGCTCGACCAACTCGTCGGCGGCCGTCACGGCGCACACACTCACCCCTGACGCCGACACTTTCAGAGCGGTGGAGTACTCGTTCTTCACCAATTGCTGCGAAGGGTCGACGCGCGGCTTCACCGTGAAGACCAACTCATCATCGGGTACGATAGCCGTATCTTCGTCAATAGCTCTGGTCACGATCTGCAGCCAGCGCTGCATGCTCGCCTTGGATTCCGCACTCAAAGTCCACTCCCTTTCTATGGTACAGATGTCGAAGGAATTCGGGGGCACGTCGTCGTGGTTGCTCACTGGACGGACAAAAGTAACTTTACATAGGTCGATGATGCGCCGTTCCCGCTCCTCCTCGTGGTAGAGAGGCGACTTGGCGAAATCCGCGTAATAACACAAAAAGTGGCCCATGGCCGTGCGATATAGTACCGCGTACCTCTTGATCCACGACTTGGCCAACCCACCCTTCTTCAGCAGCCATCCTTGATGCACGACGACCGAATCCCAGTGCTTCCTGACGCGCTCGTTCTCCTGCCATCCTGTTGGTTTTTTTCCTTTCACCATGCTACCGATAATCGTCGACTTCCTCTTGGCGACACCACCATGAGCGGTACCGGAAGACCGCACTAACGTACCGACTTCGTCCGTGATCTCCAGGTCACCCACGGGCTTCGGTGGGGCTTTTATTTCACCATGTAACGTCGTGACCGTGACGATGTCCCGACCATGCGTCGACTGCGGCTTGGGAGGCTGCGGCGCGCGGTGCCGGTTCCAGAAGTGCTCGATGGCGTCCTTCAAGTGTAGCACATCTAGAACGATGAAGAACCAGGTGCCAGACCCCCGAAACGTGATCTCGACCCCACTATTCATCTCGCCCGCGTGGACCTTGTCATGCACGACCCAGCCTTGCACGTCGTCCCAGCCGTGCGACAGCTTGACCTGCTGCCCTTCGGCGTAGACTAATCCTGGTTGCTCGTGCGTGCCACAGCTCAGGGCCAATTTGGACTCAAATTCGTGGAGCTCGCCCTGCTGGTGCTCGGCCGCGGTGCCCTTCTGGTAGGCGTGTAACACCGTAAAGGTGTTGCCGCCCCTGTGGATGTGTTGGAGCGCATGGACGACTCGCTTCGAGCCGTTCGCTCGCGTCGGCGCGCCGGACCCGGTGTGTCGCGCGATCGCTAAGTCGCGCATCAATGCTAGGGGAGGTAGCTTGCCTTGCGGTCTGGTGGATAAATTCGCCCGTTTCCGTTGAAATGGTTTTGGCTTCGTCGGGCCGGCATACGTGCCACAATAAGCGAACGTAAGATTCAACTGTTGGCCGGAGCCTTGCCTCGACAGACCCCGAATTCTCAGCTTGGCCTCGTTTTCTAACTCCAAAGAATTGCCGACCTTGACCACGACGAAGGACTCCTCGCCGGCCGTGTTGGCGGTGATTTTGACCGAGGAACACGAGTGGTCCCATTCCAAGGTCTTGACGCCGGAGTACGGTATGGTCAATAACGTCTTCTGGTTCTCGACGAGCTGGACGGTGTCGAATTTCATCACGAGCTCAACGTACCGCCCGTCGCCCAACAATCGCTTGACCGCGGCCGGCACTTCTTTTCTATCAGTACAAGCTTCGACCATGCCCGCCGACTGGTCGATGAGGATCGCGTCATAGTTGTGGTCGAAGTGGCCGATGGACTGGGCCGCGGCGGCCTCGTCGCGCGCGGTCGACGTGCGGTTGCCCATGGTGTCTTAGCTGTCGTGACGGTCGGCTCACGCAGCGGTCGCGCAGCGGTCGGCTCACGCTGTCGCCTCGTGCGCGCGCGCGCCGGCGTCGATGCGCCTCGATGCGCTCCGCTGTTTAGGTGGTCTCCAGGCAGCCAAGCCCGGTTTCGCCAGCGGCGGCGCTGGGTGTGACCAGTGTGGCTGCGTAACAATACGCCACACGTAATAACCGTCACAATGCCGCAACTAACAGCAAATGCGACGCGCCTCGCGCCTCCTGATTTTTATTGGGGAGACTCGGGTTTTTTCCACCACCCGATGCGTCTCCGCGATCGCTTTGCCCCCGCGCAAGGAATCAAGCACGGCGTTGAAGGCTGGCACGTGCAGTCGCTGTCTGTAGAAACCCGATTTGCGAGGCCTACACACCTCGGCCTGGAGGCTCAAACGCGCACACGCGTGTGCCTCGTGTGCTTAGTGGTTATCGATTGCTGTCGTTTTTTGCAGCGCTCATCGCTGCACGCAGCTGTTCTTCCTGTCTCGCTGCTCCTGAGTGCAGCTCCAGCCACCTCGCTCCTGAGCAGCGCTACGAGTGCGCGGCGCAGCTTTTATTGGTGAAAAAAAATGAACGCCCAGCAAGCCATCGACGCCTTCGACGCGGCCTGCGAGCAGGACACGGCGCAACGCCTCGCGAACGCCGAGGCGCAGCGCTACGGCGAGGCGCCCGTGGTTTTACCGGAGAAGCCGAAGAACCCCTGGGATCAACCGGTAGGCAGCGGCGACGCGATCCAGCAGTGGCGCGACGCCTTCGTGTGTCTGAGGGTAGTAGGTAAAAACGTCTGGCATGACCTGCCGGCGCCGCCCTCGGCGGCGCGCGACGACTTCGCGGCCTTCGCGGCGGCGCCGACGCCGACGCCGCCCGCGGGCCGGCGCCCGCTGCCCGCAACGACGCGCCTGCCGCTAGACATGATGAATCCGCCGTCGAAGAGGACGCCCACGCTCTCTGGATCGTTTGGCGCGGTGCCTTCGAAGAGAAAACAATAATGTTGTATTAGTCCAAAACACAAATAAACTCAGTCCTCCCAGCCGCCCCGCGGCTCCTCGTAGAACAACGCCACGCCCGCGCTCCCGACGCAGCCGAGCGCGCCCAGGAGCAGGCCGTCGCCCGTCGCCCCTCTCAAAAAGAAGGGCGCCAGCGTCAGCGGCCAACTAACGAGCGCCGCGCTCACGACGTGGCGCGCGCGCGTCGCGGCCGCGGCGACGGCGCCCGGCCCGGCGAGCGCGAGGACCAAGGGCACGAGCGCGGCGCCGCGGCCGAGCGCCGTGAGCGCGAGCCACAATGTAGGAGCGAGGACCCAGGCCGCGCCCCGCACGAAATTGACGGCGGCCGTCACGTGGCGCCGCTCGTAGGACCCCGACGAAATAAGCGAGGGCAGCCGCCTCCCCTCCTTCCGGGGCACCCTCAAAAACAACAGCACGGGCGCGGCGCACAATACGACGCCCCAGCCCGCCGCGGCCCGGTGGCGTCTCAATGAAGACGCGTGCGCGGCCGCGGCGGCGTAGCTCGCGAACGCGGCGGCATCCGCGCCGGCGCCGGCCCGGCCGTCCTGGCGCGCGAAGGCGTCGCCGAGGCTCGACGCGTGCTGCGCGCGGAGGCGCCGCGCCGCGTAGGCCGCGGCCGCGGCGAAGAGGGGCAGCGCCGCGGCCGAGTAGTGCGTGAGGACCGTCGCGGCGAGCGCGCCCGCCGCCTGTGTGTCGAGTGTTGAGAAACCGGCATCGCCACGCCATCGAGCACGTGTCGCGTCGATGGCGTGGAGGTGGACCGTAAATTTGATTTCCACACAGGCCACGAACCGCGAGGACGACGGCGCGGTCCGGCCGCGCGGCCACGCGGTCCTCGAAGCGCGACGCGTCGCGGCGCGGCGGCTTTACCTGTGTGAAATCAAATTTTGGCGCCCCTCGAGGCGTGAAGTTTCCAGGCCATCGACGCGACATCATCGCCGTGACCGCTCGATAACCTAACTCACTGGTTGATTTCCACACAGCTCTCGACCGCAGCACCTAACAAAGCCAGGCTCGCCGCGAGGAACGCCGTCGCGAAGATTTTGGGAGCCTCGACCGCCGCCGCGAGCAACGCGCCGGCGACGTGCGCGCGCCCCGCGCTGTTCAGGGCGCCGGCGAGGCACACTAATCTAATTGTCGCCAGCAGCGTCGCGTCGGCGTGGGCCAGGTACAATGCGCCCGCGGCCGCGCCCGCGACGAGGCTCTCGCACGCCTTCCTTGGCAGGATTTGGTCCGGGGGCAGCCAGCACGCCGCGACGCGCGCCGAGAGGGCCCAGGCTGCTATTGATGCGGACTCGAAGAGCGCCGTGCCCTCCGCCGGGAGTCTTGTCAGGACCACGAGGGCGACCGCCGCGAGCCCTAGGGAAGCCAGGGCGCCGGCCATGCTCTTGTGGGCTCGACGGTCGTCGAAGACGGCTTCCGGCGTTGACGAGAGCAGCACGCCGGGCGCCGCGAGCAGCGCCATTATGAGACCGAGCGCCGGTCCCCGCGCGAAGTCTCCGAGGAGCGCGGCGCAGGCGTCGCCCGCGCCCAAACACAAAAGCAGGCCCGTCGCCTTGGCACTCGCGCCGTCGTCGAGCGCCCGGCGCCGCGCGAGGGCCCACGCGGCCTGGAGCATTACTGTCACAAACGTCAGCGCCGCGTCGGACGCCTGATAGCGCGCCCAGCAACTTCCAATCGCGTGGACACTGACGGCGACCGCGGCGGCGCGTCGAGTAGATTTAGACACCACGAAGGCGTCTTCGGTCATTCGCGCCTCGGGCCGCGCGAGGGCCCACGGCAGCGGCGCGAGCGCCGCGAGCGCCGCGAGGGGGCCCGCTTTATTGGAAGAGAAGAGCGCGGCGCCGCCGGCTGCGACCGCGGGCCACGCCGCCACGAGCTCCTTGTTGGAGGCGACGTCGACGGCGGCGAGCGCGAGCCAGGCAAACGCGGGGCCGACGACGAGGCGGCCCGCGGCCGCGGCCGCGACGATTTTCAAAGGCGCCCCCAGCGCGCGCGTCGCGGCGGCGGCGGCGGCCGCCGCCGCGGGCAGCCCGCTCACACTGAGAGAGGCCGGGAAGAGGCGCATTTCGGCGGCCACGAGCACCGCCGTCATTAATAAACGCTTGGCGCGCGCCGAGACGCGCGGCAGGGCGTCCACCGCCCACCAGGGCGTCGCTTCGACGGCGTTGCCCGCGGCCGCCGCGATTAACAACGCGACCGTCACCGGCGCGGCCGCGAGCAAAAGCCCCTCGGCGAGCGCGGCGCGCGGGGCCCAGGACGCGGCGCCGCCGAGCGCCGTCAGGGCCGGCGCCACGCACGCGATCGCGAGCAACGTCGGCGGCGCCGCGGGCGTGCAGGCGACGTCGTTGCGCGAGACGCCGCGCAGCGACTGCAGGTCCGCCTCGGCCACGACGGCGCCCTCGAAGCACGCGGGCGCGTCGACGGGCGGCCGCGGCTTCCGGCGGCGCCGGCGCCGCGGCCGCCGCCGTCCGCGCGCGCGCCGCGGCGGCGCGGCCTCCGCGGCGCCAAAGCTCGCGAGCGCGGCGCCGAGCGCGAGCGCCCAGTGCCGCGCGGCGTCGCCTCCATCACTTCGCGAAGCCAGAGCCGCGAAGAGTGCCGGCGCGGCGCCGGCGCAGAGCGCGAGCGCGAGGCGGCCGTGGCCGTGCGCGTCGGCCGGCGCGGCCGCGTCGTGGACCAGCGCCCACGCGGCGAACGCGACGCCCGCGCAGCCGAGGCAGTGCAGCGCGACCTCCGCCGCGGCCGCGCGCCCTTCGCCCATTGACATTGTGGCGATTACGCGCACGGCGAGCGCGAACGCGGCCGCGAGCGCGCCGAGCAGCGACGTCGTCGCGGCCTCGTCGCTGAGGTCCTGGGCGCTGAAGGCGGAGTAGAGCAGGGCCCAGAAGCCGTAGACGGCCGTGACCGGGCGGCCGCCGCGCTCGCACTGCAGTACTATGACGGCTGCGGCCCACGCGCGGTAGCCCGGCGCGACGGGCGTCCGGTGGCGCACAGCCATTTTGCTGCCGCTGCGGCTGCTCCGATTTTTAGTTCTCACGAACAGACGTCAGCGATCATGAGCGAGATCCTGAGCCAGTGACACGGGCCAAAAAGCGCACAAACAGCTCAAACCACAAAAGCGCGCAAGCCAAAGGGCTAGCGTCTTGTAAGACACTAGCAAGCGCAGCTTTTGTGGGCTCAACTCCGTGGCTCGGCCGTCTGAGGACCAGCAGAACTGCCGAACGGAGCCGTTTGCGGTCGCACGACTGCCACTCTACCACAACAGCGCTTGACCTTACCGTAGAAGCCGGTGCTTTCATATGAGCTCACAAGGCAGGCAGCAGCGCTGCAAATCGATCGACAGCCGCATCGATAACCACCCGTAGCGGGGTGCAACACGATGCGAGCCGTGACGCTGGCCCTGTGCGCTCTGAGCGTGCACGCCTCCTGGACGCGCAAACTACAAAAAAGAGGCGGCGCCGCGCGAGCATGTCAAGAGGAACCATCCTTAACGAGCGTCCCGAAGGCTTTTGATAGAGACGAGTGCGCGCGCATCCTGGCGTTGTTTGAGGAGGCAAAGGAAGAGGTCGATAGGCGGGACGCCATGGGGATATCGAGAAGGAACCGCTGGCTCCCGCGCGACAAGTGGGATTCTGTAAGGTGGGTCGTCGAGCGCATGCTCAAGCGACTGCCCAGTCTTCCGCAGATGGACGCGGAGAACTTCCTCGAGCGCCACGTGGAGTTTGTCTTGCTGCACGAGTTCCGGGAAGGGGACTTTTTTGATTGGCACGTCGACTCGAAGCCCGACGATGGTAAAATGAGGACGCAGAATGTGAACGTGGTGCTGTCCTCAGCGACTGATTTCGAGGGCGGCGCGCTGCAGGTCGGGTCGGCGAACGCTTCTCTACAACTAGGCGACCTGCACGCGTACCCCGCGGCGTTACCGCACAAGGTCCACGACATTACGAAAGGAAGGCGCTACACGCTCGTCGTGGCGACGCGCGGTACGATTGAGGGCTACTGGGCCGCGGCTTTACGGGACTACGAACGACTCGCGCGCGAGTTAGGTGAAGAGCACCCGAAGCTGCACTGGATCCTGGGCGAGCACCTCGAGAGCATTGAAAGACCAGAAGAAGCGAGGCGGGCCTTCGCGGCGTCGTACCGGGCAACTCCACAAAAGCCGCAGTACGCGCGGAAATTCGCGGATGACGCGGCGGAGAAGCATGCTGCTGGCGATTTAAGAGGTGCGGCCGAGGACTTGGGGATGGCCACGCTCGTCGAGCCGGACGACGCGGAGTACCGCGTGGACCTGGGCGTCGTCCTCTGGCGGCTGGGGGACTTTGTGGGGGCGGAGGAGCAGCTGCGCGCGGCGCTCGAGCGCGGGGCCCCAGAGGCGGCGGTCCGCGCGGGGTTATCCCTCGTGCTCGCGGACGCGGGCGACGCGCGCGGCGCGGCGGCCGAGCGGGACCGAGCGATGGCGGCCGGCGCCGACGACGCGGCGGCGGCGTTCGAGGCGCTCGAGGGGCTCCGGGGTGGCGGCGGGACCTAACGATGTGATACGTAACGAGCTAGCGGCTGTAAGACACTAGCAACCCAAGCACAGTCCGCAGTCAAGCTCTATTGCAGCTATTGCGGCGCGCGGAGCACCATAAACGCATAGAGAAGCTTTAAACGACAGCTGTGCTGCTGCGCAAACCGCTCTTGACGCACAGCGCCTAGCAGCAACACCCCCAGCGGTACCGCCTCAGCAGCGCGCACGCCGCGCAGCGCGCACGCCGCCGCAGCGCGCACAAAAACATGGCCGACGCCATGGATGTCGACAGCGCCCAACCCAGACAGTTCCGCTTAATCAAGGCCTCCGGCGACGCCCACGTCGCGCGATTACCGCCGTCGCTCGGCGCGCGGCTCTTCGACGACGCGCGCGCGCAGCTGACGGAGGAACTCGAGTCGGACGTGAGCGAGGACGAGCAGGACCCCGACGCGAAGCCGAACTTTCGGCGGAGACGACGGCGGTTCCGCGGACGAAAGTTGAGACAGCACTCGCGGTGGCGAATCGAGGTGCCGGACGGTTCGGGACCGACGGCGCTAGTCGGCGCTAGGGAAGGCGGCGTCGCTTCCAAATATGCGCTACTCCGAGAGACGGCAGCTGGAGCCGTGGAAGTGCTCAGCGTCAAAGACTGGTTCGCCTTCCGGCCGCCGGTGACGCACGCCACCCTAAACAGCGAAGAAGTCGAGACGGCCATGGCCAAGGATAGTGTGAGGTACGACGTCGCCGCGGCGGCGCGCTTGCAGCCCTGGCGCCGCGACCAGGGTCAACCCTCAGCCAAACCTAAAAAGAAAACGGGCGTTTTTGGAAGGTTAGCAGCAAAACTCGAAGCCGACGACCCCGGTGTGAAGGAGAGAACGACGAAGGGCCGGAAGGGCGGTTCTCGCGCGGCCAAGGACTTGTTCCGGAGCGAAGGCAACGAGGCGCACGGTGATATCGATTTTGGGATGAACGCGGCGGGCGGCGACCGCGACGAGGACATTATTGAGGGGAGAGGCGACGACGGCCTGGACGTCGAGGAGGACTTCCAGGACGACGAGGCCGACGAAGAAAAACACGATTTGGATGGGTTATTTTTCCGAGATGATGCATTGAGTGATGATGAAGTAGCGGACGACGAGGATGATACCTTAACACCGGAGCAGCGCAAGGCCATGAAGGAGCAAGCTCGGAAAGATCGCGAGCAGGCCGCGTTGCTGCGGGGCCAGGCGCCGACGAAGCGCGCGTGGCGCGAGGCCGAGCACGAGGAGGAGAAAAATAAAAGGAGGAAGGTCGAGTCGACGCAGATGGGCCAGCACTCGCAGGCCTGGGACCACACGAAGGCGCAGAAGCCTACCGTCGTGCTATCTTCCTCGTCGAAGAAGCGCCCGAAAGTATCATCTTCGGATGATGCTGCGGAACTTACCGAGGCGGAAGTGCGCGGCGCCTTACAAGCCGCGGGCGGCCGCATGAAGACGAAGGATCTTTTAGTAAGGTTCAAGGCGCGGCTCAAGGCGAACCCGGCGAACAAGGACGCGATCAAGCGCATCTTGCGGGCCGTCGCGGACGTGTCCGACGAGTCGGGCGTGCGCGTGCTCGTGCTGAAGGCGGAGTAAGTCCTTAGTTGCCCATTTGCGGTTGCTTTGCTTGGAGCTAGGCCGCCTAGCCACGGAGCCACCGTGGGGCCTGCTTGACCGAACTCCCCGCCCCCGGCCCCCATACGCAGTCGCCCCGAGTGTTAGCTCGGAGCGACGACGGCGAGGGGGGAGCAGGCCGGACGCCGGAATCCCAAGGCCGCGCGGCCCGCGCCGGACCTTTGTTGCGGCGGTTGCGATGATGAGACGCCATCGGCGGCGACGGCGTAGTCCCCGCCGCCGCGGCGATGGCGTGGAGGTTTGAGCCCATGCAGCAAGCGCGGAGTACGTGTATGGGGGCCGCGGGATGGCCGCGGGCAGGACGAGGGGGGTCGTAAGTCTGGGACCGCACGCCGGAGGTGTATAGTGCTACGATGAGTGGTGTGCGGCCTCTGAGCGGTGCACGCGGGACCGCCGGTCTAGAGGGAAACAGACTAGGGAAACTTGGACGGGCGGCACAGCGCGTCGAGGTCGGCGCGCGGGACGCTGCCCCGGGGACGACGCAGCTCGTGCGAGTCGCTCGGCCCACCGACGCTTCAGTAAGGAACGCCTGGGACCGGCGCCGGAGCCCGAGGCAGCCCTGTAGAGACAACCAGTGGCAGCCAAGATGGCCAAAGCAACACAACAAGTTTTTGCGGAGGACATGTCCGAGGAGAAGGTCGACTTTTGCTTGGAGATCGCCACCGACGCCTTCAACCAGGCCTCCTTCCAGGGGAAAGTATACTCTTATGTGGCGAACTTCATTCGGGCGGCGCTCGAGAAACAATACGGCAAGGGCTGGAATGTGGTGGTGGGCAAGAGTTTTGGCGCCTTCGTGACGCACGAGATCAAGACCTACTTCTACGGGTCCGTCGTGCCCGGCGTCTGCGTGCTGATCTGGCGGTGCGAAGGGGAACCCCCGGAATGCGACCGGGACGGCATGCCGATCAGCGTCGAGACCGAGGACAAGTAGGGTCACTGGTAACACTGGTTAAAAATCACTCTTCCACTCGGGGCGCTGTACTGTTCGTCTTTTTGACGGCGCCGGCGCCGGGGGCGGCGTTTCCTCAATAAAGTCCGAGGCGAACGTCTCGTCCCAGGCGGGCCGCGTGTCGCCGGGGAGCTGTGATGGAGGCGACGGCGTCCGTGCGCTCTCGGGCGTAGACGGCTCAGGCGTTGATGGTGCCGGCGCCGGCGCGAGCGCCCGCGGGGGAATCGGCGCGCGCGCGGCCCGCCGGTCGCGCGCCGCGTCCGAGTCGAGGCCCAGCGCAGCGTCGCGCCGCTCGCGCTTCGACGCGTCCGCGCGGCCGCGCAGCGCCTCGACGGTCCTCAACAGAGACGCCTGGAGTTTTTTAGGAGGCGTCGCCTTGGACTCCTCGGTGTGGTACGGCGCCGCGCCGTCTCCTAACTCCGCGACGCCGCGGAGCGCCCTCGCGAGCCGATCCAGGAGCTCCTCCGTGGCCGCGCCGTCGGCGTCCGTCGCGTCCAGCGCTCTGGCCTGGCGCTCGACGAGCGCCTCGAGCCGCAGGATCGTCGTGCGCTGCTGCTCGAGGCGTTGCCTGATGGGCTCGGCGGCCGAGGAGAGGTCCAGCTGCGCCGCCTCGCAGCGCCGCGCCGGGCCGGCCATGGCCGCGACGGCCTCGAGCTCGGCGACGCGCGCTCTCAATCTAGCGTTCTCCTCGGCGAGCGTCTCGGGCTTCTTCCTCGGCGTCGTTTTCGGCGGCGGCGTCGCTGTGCGAGGACCGAGGTCGGCCCAGAGGCCGGTCTGCACGGTCGGCGGGTTGCTCGCTCTTGCGCCGGCGGGCCGCATCGTCTTTTTGCTCTATGTGTGGTAGTTTTTTCGCAGAGTTTCGCGTCGCGCCGCGTTGTCTGCCAGCAGGCTCACAGCGTGGAGATGAAATGCTTGAGACGCGTGCCAGCGAATATATCCGGCAGGACTTGCACAGCACGTTGATAAGGTGACTTTGCGCTGCCCAAGGCTCAACTCACGCACCGCTTGCACGCTCTGCCTGTTTTTGTCTGCTTTGGGTGCTAGTGTCTTTATGCCGCTAGCTGCTTCTCCAGCTGCAGCTTTGCGGTACGCCAGGCTTGCTGCACGCACTATTGAACGTCACGTCTTAATTATCAAACCTCTCCCGAGCCGCGCTTCATTCGTGCGGCAACGTAGCGCCCGGCACAAGGCGTAGCAGCGACCAGCGACCGACGCTCCGCTGCACTTGCGAGGCGCGGCGACGCAGCGAAACGCCGTCGACGCGGCGCCAATCAATCCACCACCGCGGCGGCGCGACGTAAGAAAGCACCATGTCCTGGTTCCGCGGCGGCTCCAGTACCTCGCCCGCGGCCGACGCGCGCCTCACGGCCGCGAAGATCGAGATGGAGATGATGACCGATTTATTCAACAAGATGTCGAGCGTTTGTCAAAGGAAATGTATTGCCAGTGTCAGGGAGGCCGAGCTCCACGTGGGAGAAATGAGCTGCATCGACCGCTGCGTCGGCAAATATCTCCAGGCGCACGAGGAGGTCGGGCGAGTGCTCAAAAAGGTCGAGGCGGACATGAAGCGGCAACAGGAAGCTCAAGAGACTATTGCTCGATCCATGGGTTCATAATACTAGTATTTAATTCTTCTCGACGGGCTTCTGGAGCTCCTCCCGCAGGTGCCTGCAAAAATCATCATCCACGTCGTCGTCGTCCCAGTCGTCCTGCCACAGCTTGGGGTCCTCGGCGTCCTCGGCGGCCGCGTCCCAGTTGTCCTGGGCGAATTCCTCAAATTCATCATCCTCCTCGTAGACCTCGTAGTCGGGCTTGCGCTTCTCGGCTGGTTTATTTTCCTGCGTGGGGGAGCGGGTCGCCGCCGCGTCGATGTCGCGTCGATCATGCATGGGCGCGCGCGCGTCGGTTTTCGCGCCGCTTTGTACCGCTGGTTTCTTCGCGTCCGCCTTGGCCGCGTCGGCCTTGGGCTTGTCGCTCATGGTGGTCCTCTGCTGGTCCTCTGCTGGACAGTGGTGTTTTGACCAGAGATAGCTTTGGCTTGCAGAGCGGCGCGGGACAGCAAAGAGTTGGCCTGAGTGCGTCAGTAGCAACACAGTTTCTTGTCTCCGCAGCGATTTGCGTGCGCAGTGACGTCTATGGCTTAAGCGCGGCTCGGCGGCCGCGCCTGGCTTGCTAGTGTCTGACAACGCTAGCTAAAATTGCCGGGGACATCACCTATACCGGGCCGCCGGTTTTGACGAAACCCGCATTGTTCATTACCGCCCAAGACGCGCACAAGGAGGCGATTCTACGCAGACGGAAGCACGCGACGACGAAAGACGCGGCGATGATACTACTCGGAGAATTTCTTACGTCGTGAGAGGGGGAGACGAGGGGAGGGGGGGACACACTACGCTCAGTCGAGCTTCTTCAGGTTGTACGCCTTGAACTGGTTCGTGAGGTAGATCCGCCCCTCGTGGAAGAGCGTCAGCGACACGATGGCCTTGGCGATCCCAATACCCTGGCCGCGGAAGATGCCCGACAGCCCGAACTTGGCCATGTCCGCGCCGAGCTCCTGCACCGCCGCGACGGCGCCGATGCTCTTGCCCTTCAGCGAGTTCGTCTGCATGATCACCTCGAGGCGCGAGAGGGGGTTCGTCACGACGACGTAGATGGGCGAGACGACGGCCGACGCGACCAAATTCGTCGCCGTGCCCGATAAACTACCGGAAGCCCCGAGCTCCTTCTGTACGTACTTTTGCAGGCGCGGCTGGCCGACCAAACCGAGCATCGCCGACGCGAGCGAGTGGCCCATGAGCGGGATCGTGCCCCGAAACAGCGGCAGGAAGTTCTTGGCCGCCGACTCCCTCAAAATCTCGCCGACGGGCTTCGCCTGGCCCGTCTGCTTGAAGTAGGCCCGCTGCTGCTTCTCGACGAGTCGCACGGGGTTGATGAACGGCGCACTACAAATAGAGGCGCACGTCGCCGCCGCGAAGCCCGGCGTGCCCTCGCCGACGAAGTGCGAGTAGCCCAGCAGGAAGCCGAACTTGGGGACGCGTTTCAGGAGCACGCCGATCAACCGCGGCCACAGGCCCGACAGCGACGCCCCGATGGGGTTCGCCCGGAACGTCGCGTTCGCCTCGCCCACGGCCACCTTGGGCGCCACCGTGTTCCCGTTGACGTCCTTGGCGTACTGCTGCACGAGCTGGCGGTAGGCCGTCACGGGGTTGTCGCCGACGGTTTGGATGGCGCTCCCGCCGAGGTAGGCGCACATGTTCTGGGCCGGCGATACGCCATTCTTGCCGATCTTATAGTAGCTGTCGTCGAAGAGGAACGACATCCTGGACCGACCTGCGGGGGGGGGCGCGTCAGTGGCCTCTTCGTCGCGCTCGCTTCGTCTCAGCGGCTGTCCGACGCATCGTCCGACGCGACGCGTGCGCCGTCCGGGAGCACGCTGCGCCGGTGCGCGGCGCAGCACGCCGAGCCGACCAAGCCGTAGTCTACTGTCGTAGTCTACTTCGGAACCGACCGCGGAGCCCCCAGTGGAGCCCGCGGCGGAGCAGCGGCCGCGGCGCCTCCGGTTGCCGCGCGCATGCTCACTTCCCATACCAGGTGCGCCCGCGCCGCCGCGCCAATGCCTTCGGCGGCGCTGGGGTGCTCGCTACTCAGGTGATGGGCTTGGCTCGGCGCGGGCAGCCCTCGCGCGACCGGGCCGCGTCTGGAAGCGTGTAGAAGCGACTCCAATGCAAACGGACGCTGCTGTGTACCCGCTCGCGGCACGGGCGTCTTATCGAAAACGTGACAAGGATGCCGCCCGCACGAAAGGCGACTTTTGACGAAAACGAGAAAAGGGAGCGGTCTGCCCGGCGATGTACCACCTCTGGCGGGGTTGTGAGCTCTGTTGGCGATTCGAAGACGATTGGCGCTGCCACTACGAGCATGGAGCCCCCTCGGCGACGCGCGGTGTCTCCCCCCCCAGGGGCTCCGCCCACTAGTCCCAGCTAGAAGTCCCAGCACCGTGGCAATATGCACGGGAGCACTACTAGCCAAAAGAAGCTTACTCAGAAGTCGTACAAGTCGTCGCCGCCCGACGCCTTGTCCTCATTTAATGCATCAAAAGGATCCGCGGCGGCCATCGTCCGTTGTACTTGAAAGCGCACGATCTCGTTCCGCAGTTGCGTGTCCGGCTCCAAATCCTCCAATGACAAGTTGCGACCCGTGATGGGGCAAACACTTCCGCGTGTTTTGAGCCACAACTCGATGGTCTCGCGCTCATAAGAGCACCGATATTTCGCAGGAAACTTCGCACAGAAGACGGGATCCCGCATCAAGTGGCCGTTGATGCAGCAGCACAAATGCTTCGGCACGCGCCCGTCCTCCATGTTCTTACCAGTAGTAGGTGAACTGACCGTCTTGCCGTCATTAATGTACCCCAATCTCCGTTGTCTCTCGCCCGCAGCCGCGTTCTTCGCATGTAACTGCTGGAGGGGCACCTCGAGCTCCAAACTCATGAACGCTTCAAGTTCTTTCTTCGTCGATTTTTTCTTTTTTTTCCTCTTCTTCTTTTTATCCAAGGCAGGCAAGTCGCCGAGCATGGACTTCTTCTCGCCAAAGTCCGGTGGCGGGCAGCGACTCGGCGGCCGCGCCTCGAAGACCACCGGCGACCTTGGTCTCGAGTCCGGGGTCTTGCGCGGGGCGTCGGGTGATACTCTTCCCGGCTTCTTCAGTCTTGGGGTTGGTGGCACCTCATTCAGACACTCAGACAGCTTCATCATGACAGGCTCCCGCGCCGTGAGTTGCAAGCCCAGGTCACCATCGTCATTTGATGGAATGCGATCGTCGTCCTGGTCCCAGAACTTCTCCTCCTCCCGCTCTCGCCCCTCTTGAACCCTTCGTAAAGCGTCGGCCTTCGCCTGCCGCCGCAGGTCCTGGAAGTGCGACGTCTCGCCCAATGGGTCACACTGAGTCATTTCATCCTCCGAATGCCCGGAGTAGTAGGACTCGTCGGAGTCCGTGATGACGTCGTCGAGTTCCGCCTCCATCATCTTCACCTGTGTGGAAATAAACCAATGTGTCGGGTGTGCGGTGAGGAACCGACACCGCCACGCCGTCGAGCAGGCGTCGCGTCGATGGCGTGGAGATGCGCCGCGACATTTGATTTCCACACAGATTTTCACGGCTTGACTATGCGCCTCCCGCAGGTAGTCGAGCTGCCCACCACCGCCGCCCCACAGCAAGTTCGTCAATGCGGTATAAGACGGCGTATCCCTCGCTACCGGCAATGCCCCAGACTGCTCCAACCTTCTGAGCACTTTCCTCTTTCTCTCGTCGTCCATCGATGCATAGATCGAAGCTACTTCCTGTAACAACGTAAAGCCCCGGTAGACATCTTCCACATTCTCGGCCATCGCTTCTCGCGACACGTCGAAGGAGCCCATGTTCACGTTCAGCTGTAGCAATAGTACAAAGACGTACTCGTGTCTAGCGACAAATGTTTTCATCTCCATGAGTGCTGAAGTCGGGTTGAACCTCCGCAAAATTTGGAACATGACCCGCGTGCGCGGCGTTCTAAATGTAGCAATCACCAAGGTCCGCAACGTCGCGGCGATGCCGTGCGTTAATGCGGGATCGTCCATGTCCCGCGCCGTGACGTCGTCGACAATCGACGCGCACTCCGGTCCCAGTATTTTCAAAGCGTCCTTCGACGCGAGATGGCGTCGATGTAAGACCTGGGCGTGGTGGACACATCGCTCCAAGTAAGGTAGCACTAGATGAGGAACAAGCACCGTATCACATATTAAATGGGTCCTATATAATTCAGCCATGACCGTCGTCGAACCTCCATACAAGTATAGATTTTGCAAGAATGTATGAGCCGCGATAATGGCCGCATGTTCCTTATTCGTGAGGATGCGCATCTCCCCCTCGAACAGGGCATCATGCAATGCGTAGGACAGCTTCTCTACTAATCTTTGATTCATGGTCACGGCCAACAACCCCTGCATCTCGACCGTGAACTGCTCCACCGAGTGTTCCGGTAGGTCCACCCCACACTCGAGAAAATAAAAGCCCTCGTCGAGGGCCTTGAAGTACGTCGACGGATGCGTGAACCCTCGCAGCAGCCCACAGGTCTGGGCGATCAGTGACCGCTCCCACTTTTGACTCACGACGACCTTCTCCCAGACCGCCCGCTCATGCTCGGACGCCGCATTCTTCTGAGCTACTCCCGTGGCCAAAGCTTCGCCGTCCTCCAACAGACCCGTGACCGTCTCCAGGGCCAGCTTTCTATGCCCTCGACACAACTCCAGCAAGTCCTCGGTCTTGAGCTTGTAGTCGAAGGCCCGACACAAAAGTACAAGCATGGCTTTATGCAATTCAGGCTCCGGGGTTTCCTCGGTACTGCGATCCATCTCGTTGCCTTCTTCGGCCATATATTCATCAAACCACTCCGTGACGTCCATGAGCGCATCTTGCACGGCGGCTTTCCGCACGGGATCCGTGGTCAGGGCACAATTTGCCATAATCGCAAGTACATCGAGTCGAGCTTGCCTACCGACGCGATTCCTCACTCCAGGACCGTTCAGCACGGTCTTGACCATGCGCTTCAGCAGCCCGGACTCTCCGACGACATCTTCAGGAGCGTCCAGCGACATTGACACGAGAGGCGAGAGGTCCATCGGGCTGCTCAGCATGCTTGCATCAAACAGCCACTTCGCCGACAGCTTCTTGCGCCGCGGCGCCTTCTTCGGCTTGGAATTGATCGGTGCGGTCTTCGTGGGCGCGGGCGTGTGGCAGACTGCCGATTTTTTTATGGGTACGTCTGATGTCCGCGGGCCGCGCGGCACATTAGCTGAAATTTCTTGGAGCGGCATCGTCGGCGCGCCGCCGATCGCGCTTCCTATGCGCGAACTGAGGGACGTCGTGGCGTGACCCGGGGATCGGGTGCTCACGGTTTGATGGGGGCTGCCTCCTCGCAACTGCCTCTTTACGAAGCGCGGCGGCGGTCAAGCGGCGGTGTCGCACGGTCGACGGGAGCTGCCCGACGCTTCTGTGCCGGTCTTAGATTGTCGCAACGGCAGCGCTACCACCAAACGTCGAGGGCTGCCTCAAAATCAGCTAAATCGGTCGGCCGGAACGAAAGCCACTAGGGGGCTGCGCGCCTTTGCACAGGACGTCGTGGGAGGGAGTCCTCGGTAGATCGGTGGTGAAAATGCATTGAGTGATTTCGTGCGGGGTGACCTTTTGACAGAGTCGAAGTTGTGGGCGAGACGCACATATACGGCACGCGCGACTGGCGTTTTGCAGGCTTATCGGCTCTTTTCGAAGCTATCAATCAGTGCTGCAACGCTACATCGTCTAACGAGCAGCTCTGCAACAACTGCAGTGAGAGGCACCCTGCAGCGAGAGCACAGTGCTGTAATGGCCGACCTCCCGCGCTTCGGCGAAGCAAGACAGGCCGGCGCCAAGGCCAAGTTCCTCCTTTTACAAAATGCCGACGCGCCGTCTTTGTTAGCGAGCGCGAGAGCCGCGCTCGACCGGCTGAAAGCCGCGCACCCGCAGCTGGCGCCCCTACTCACGAAGCGCGGCGCCAAATTATTAGATGAAAACGCCTTAGATTTCGAGCGGGCCACGCTCGACGCAGAACAACGCAAAAAGCACGACGGCCGCGTGAACGCCTTCATCCGGACGCTCGCGCCGTGCTGCGCGTCGCAAGACGGCCTTATTATTCTAGAAGCCCTCGTGCAGACGGGCGACGCTACAAGTTGCGCCGGCGACGCTCTGCTGCGCGCCCTGGCGCCGCACTGCCACGTGGCACCCGCGGCGAAGATCGCCTTCAAAGCAGCAGCGACGGCCTCGCACGACTCATTAGCGCAGCGCTGGCGCTGGGCCCGCGACATAAGTACGGAGACGCAAAATGTAGGATTCGCGGCGCATTGCGCGGCCGACACGGCGCTCGCCGAGGACCTCGCGGACAGCACCATCGTTTCTGTAGTACAGGACTGTCGGGACGCTATCTCAGAGGGCGGCGATGCACAAGCCGTCTCCCTGATATATGCCCCAATCGTCGCCTTCGGCGCGGCTTGTTTGTCCACGGCTCTGGCGTCATCTAGGTCAAAAAAGTTGGCAAGGCGTCTTTTACCCGTCCTGTCGAAGGTCTTCGACGACGATGGTGACGTACAAGCGCGCCAGGCGGCGGCCGCGTGTTTACTCGCTGCCGCGACGCACGGCGCCCTGACGTCCTCGGCCATCGACGCCGCCTCGAAAGCTATTTTATTGCGCGTCGACGCGGGTCCACGAGAATTGGGTGTCGCTTTGACGCTGTGCGCGTCGAAGAAGGGCGACGACGGCAAGCTCCCCGACGGCGTGTTGCAGGCTTTTTTACAGACTGAACAAGCTTCTTCGATCATAAACGCGCTCGCTTCCGACAGATTCAGCTGCGCGGCCATGCTGGCGCCGCAATTAGTACCTTTAGCTTGTGGCGGTTCTGACTTAGCCACGTCATTATTGGCTTCTTTTGAAGGACACGCGCCTCGGATCGTCGCGGCGTTGGCACACGAGGCGCCAAGAGCATCGAGGGACGCGTTGCTGGAGGAATACGTGCGAAAATGTGACCCTAATGACGTGCCCGATTCGTTATTGGAAGGCGGCACGACGGCGTCGTTGATAGCGTTGAGGTTGAGTCGAGGCCAGACCCACGCTCTCGACGACGCCGCGAAACTAGCCTCAGCTTCTGCCAGAGATATTGATAGGGACGCGCCGCTGGCTTCTGCTCTCATCAAAGCGCTCCCGGCCTCCCTGGACGCTATATCATCACATGAGAGCCTGCAGGACATCCTCGTCGATGCTGCGGACGCGGACGCCTCCTTGGTCGCCCACGCGTCGTCAAAGGCGGTGCGCGTGGTCTGTGCGCGGCGATCTACCCGTCATTTTCGCGCGGGCGACACGGAACGCGCCTTGGTCTGCGCCGAGGCCTGTCTCAGTGGCGAGGACGCTTCAGAAGTCATGGAGGCCTGCGAGGCGCCGGCGCTCTTTTTATGCGTCGCGCGCGGCGACGCCCAAGGTGCCGCGGGGTTCTTAGATGATCTTGCTTCGCAGTGTGCCTCGCGCCTGGCCGCTTGTACGGTCTGGGCCCCGGCCGTCGCCGCGTACCTCACAACAACTAAAGACGAGGCGACGGCGCGCCATGCAAGTGCCGCTTTATCGAATGGAAGCGCGGACGATTGTCTAGAGGCGGCGCTGCGCGTTCTTAGTAAGGAAGAATCGATACCGTTCTGCCTGGCGCGCCTCGAGGCCGAGAAAGCGACGCCATTAACTGTGATCGAGGTGTGCTTCGCGGACGCGACGGAGGCGGCCCGGGCCGCGGCAGGCGCATGTAAAGGCCTGCGCGGCGCTTTAGATTCGCTGTCCACGATGGATCAGACCGCGGCGGCGCCTTTATTGGTGGGTCTGGCCCACGCCGACGCGCAGACGCGCCTGAGCGCAACTCACAAAGCCGTAGACTGCGCCCCGATTTCATCATTAGTAAAAGGCCGCGAGGCGGCCATCGCGGACGATCGCGAGACGATCCGGCGCGCCGTGGAAGCGGCACTAAAAAACGGTCAACTGGAGGAGATTTTTGATGCGGACATGTTGAGTTGTTGGTCTCGTGACGAGGGCGACCGTCAATTAGCGCTCGCTTTGCTCGAGGCGTTCGCTTCATCAATACCGTGGTCGGCGAGCGCGTCGACCGCTTTAGATGCTGTACTCGGGACCGACGAAGCAAAGCCACCCGCCAAGAAGAAGCGCCGCTCGCTAACGAATAGCCGGACCTCGCCCAAGAAAACACCAGTAGTGAAGACGACCCTTGGTTCTGAAAAATGCGCCACTTATCTATTGGCGACGTTCCTGCAAGCCTGCTGTGATAACGAGGTAGACGACGCTGAGAACGATCGTGTTGAAGGGAGGTGCCTCGCGGCTTTATCAATGGATTGCGCGGCAGTGGCCGTGCGTTTTCTGCCGCGACTGTCCCTTGGTGATGGAGAGCGCTCGCGGTTATTTGCCGCTCTATTAGGTTTGTTGAAGCGCGACGACCTCCAAGTCAAAAGAACCGACGTCCAGGCCGCCTGCGCATCAATAGCCAATAAAAATGATTGGCCGCGCGCGTGGGCGGCGGCTTTACGTAGGTCCGACGTCGCGGGTTTCTGCGGCGACGCCGACGCTTTGCTGGACGCGTCTTCATCTCAATCTTCCTGTCGACCGCTCTGCGCCGCGATCAAGAGGCTCGCGCCCGCCGCGCCGCCGAAAAAACAATACCTGCTGGATCGCATCGCAACTTCCAGCGGTTTTCAAGAGGGCAAAGAGGACACGTCGTTCACGCTGAAGCGCCTACTGAACGCGCTCGAGGACGCTTTGACTTCACATGCGGACGTCGCGGGCGTCGGCGCCGCGGACGCGGACGTCTTGGCTCGCATCGGCACGGACGACGCTTTGAGAGCGTTGGCGGCTCTGCTAGAACGGTGCGCCTGCGACGGCGCCTGGGAGGCCTGGCTGCAGGCCGCTCGAAATGGCGACGCCGCGACGGCATCGCGGATCGCGCGGGCCGCGATCCGAGGCTACGAGCGGCCACCTTTGTTAGTTGTCGCCGCGGCCTCATCGGATAACGACGACGACGGGGCTTTACTCGCAGCCTGCGCGTCTGCTTTAGATGACGAGGGCGACGGGAAAGGCATCGCGGCCGTCGTCCTAGGATTACTGCAAAGGCAGCGCGACCGCGCCGCCGAGAACGTCTTGAGGAGGACCGACCGGGAATCGCAAATCGACGCGCTGGGGCATCTTGCACGCTGTTCAAGACCATTGGTCCAGGCCGCTCTCGACGACGAGTTCATGGAAGAGGCGTGCCTGCCGCTCGTGAGGGTCCGGGACGTCTGCAACCGGAGAGGGGCTTCGTTGGCGCTGGCGGCGGTCGTCGCCGGGTTCTGTCGGCGGCGGGTCTTCGCCTTACAAAAAGAAACGCCCCACGTCGCAACGGGCAAGAAACGCCGTAGGAGACCGGGCCAGGGCAAGAAGAAGCCGCAAATTGTCGAATCGAACCCCCAGCAACAACGTAGAAGGTTGGCGCTCTGCCAGGCGCTCTCCGCAGCGTTGGCGTCATTGCCTTATGGCGTATCACAGGAAGAAGCGCGCCCGCGGGCCTACTCGACCGCGTCGCGATTGGAGGCCGAGGACCAGTCCCCCATCGGTGGAGATGAATGTTCACAACAGTCCTTTGCGGCGTGTGCCCGGGCGTACGCGCGAGCCTTGCGACGATCACTGGGCCTCGTCGACGCGCCGGGGTTATTATCCTTCTTGGAACGAGCGCTTTCAGTAAACCAGCCGCGGCACGTCCGCGAGGCCGCTCTAGAGGCCCTCGCGGAGCGGCTGGACGCCCAACCTCTCTATGATGATCGGTCCGAGCCGTCGGCGCTAGCACGAGTGCTCCTCGAGGAAACTTTACCAAGGGTCGCCCAAGCCATCAGGTCGGACGTCGACGATGCGGACGAGGACTCGAAGCACGCGGCCGTCGTCGCGACGCGCTGTGCGGATGTCCTAGCGAGAGCACTGGCGACGCCTTTGGCCCCGCCGAGCGCGAAAAGGGCGTTCACCTCGGTCCTGGAGTCGGCCTCATTAGCTGCAGAGGCCAACGTCGACACGTCTGAAAGGTGCGCGGCCTGCTTCCGGCTGCTGCAGACGCTGTTTGCGACGCTGCGGGAGGCGTCGTTACCGGCGCTGCCCGCTGCTTTACCTAAGTTCGTGGCGGGCTGTGCATCAGCTTTACGGAAACCTGGTCGAGTGCACGTTGAGTTGAGACGCGCGGCCTTAGATGCCTTAGTCGTGCTCAGTGCGGCGGTGCCGCAGTTTCTACATCCTCATCTCGATTCTATATTGGATATTGTGGTAGACGTCGAGGCGAAGCGGTCTTCGTCCCAGACGAGCGTGGACTTACTCGTACAGCCTGCTCTAGACTCGGACGACGAGGACGACCTCAATGGGGATGAAGCTAGAACTGCGCGTCGCGTCGCGCGGGCGCTTGCGTCCGGCGTCGAGCCGCGACTCCTCGTCCCCGCCTACGTATCATGTACAGGACGGGCCTGGGCTTCTTCGTCGGACGGCGCGCCGGCGGCGGCTTTAAGGCTCACGAAAGTCTGCGTGGACAAATGTGGTAGAGGCGCGGCCAAGGCGCACGCGGCGCAAATAGCGACTCTGGCTTTAGGGTCGCACGACGCCTGTTCAAGGTTGGACGATAGATCAAGTGTGGAATCAGCCTGCGTCGAATTATCGCTCGCGCTCCTCGCGAAGCTGTCCGAGGGCGAGCTCGTCGATTGGCTAAGGGCCGCGGAGCACTGGGCCGCGGCAGCACCGGACGGTAGTCTGCCGTCGAAGGACGGGTCGCTCGTCGCCGCACCTTCCGACGAGGATGCCTCCGCGAGGCGTAAAGCCTACGCGGCGCTCCACCTGGCCACGCTCGCGAAACGGTTCCGCCAGCTCGCGGCGCCGCGCATCGCCGACAGTTCCCTCGAAAGGCTGGCGCGCGACGTCCAGGGTGGTGCTGGCGACGCTTCGACGCAACGCCTGCTGGCAGCTAGGTCGGCAAGCGCGATGGCCGAGGTCGTGGCTCACTTGCCCGAGAAACTCGACGCGGACCGCTGCGACTGTTGTGTGGAGGGCCTCGTCGCGGCGTTGACGCATTCCGCAGACGTCTGGCCGGACCGCGCTTCGTTTTTACGTCACGCCTCGAAGGCTTTATCACCAGCTTGTGCCGCGGTCGCCGAGCGCGTCCAGGACGTGCCCAAACGGCGCGACTTCGCGCTGAAGCTCATGCTGCTCGCGCGCGACGGCACCGTCGGCACGCGGCGCGCGTCCCTGAACGCCGTGCGCGCCATCTGCGACGCGTTGCGGGAGGACGTCGCCGACTTCGCCAATCAATTGGTGCAGGGCGTCGCCGAAGCCCTCGATGATGCCGAGACGGCGGCGGACGCGCGGGCCGTCGTCGTGCTCGTGGAGCAGCACACAGGGATACGGTTGGTTTAATACTCTTGTTTCGGTAGTCCTTGCCTCAGGCGTCCCCGCGTTTTGTCCGCGTATCTCCGTTTTCGCGATAAAAAGCCGCTCAGCGCTACGCCTACCGCCACCTGGACCCGGACCGATCATTGCTGTGCTGCCCCGTGATGCCACGCGGAGGCCATAGCCTGCTGAAGCTGATTTGGCTATGTTGTAGTAGCTCGCCTCGGTGCGGCTATTCACACCACCTCGTTGCTACGACAACGCCGCAGTAGCAGCCATGGCACCCCTGAAAGCATTCGTAGCCGCCACTGCCGTCGCCGCTTTCCAACCAGCCCGCGTGGGCCCGAGCAATATCCAGCCGAGGAGGAGCATTGCCCTGGGCGCCGTCCAGCCGAGCCGCACGGCAAGGATACTTCACAAAGTGACCTTCGGCCTGCTGGGCGAGGAAAAGATTGTGGAAGAGAGACCAGTATTTTTTAACGACTCGCCGTCGGCCGCGCCGGCGCCGCGCAGCAACAACTACGGCGACGAGTTGGAAATGTTCATGGACGACGAGTCGCTGTCGAAGCCCAAACCCACGCGCAAAGTCCTCAAGGCGCCGTCGAAGATCGTGGACGGCGACGAGGGCGACGAGGACGACGACGAGGAGCCGGCGCTCAAGGCTCCGCCGCGACTCGAAACGGCGATGGCGTCCGAAGAGTCGATTGCGAAGCTGAACGCGCTCATGGGGCTGTCGACCGTCGCCGGCTCGGGCGTCGAAGGCGGCAAACCCGAGGAGGAGCCGGAAGTCGCCGCGGCGGACTAGTCGCTCCCCCGCTCCCCGCCTCGCACGAACGTAAACCTCTGTAAGCCTGACAATGAACATGGAGGACATAATAGCAAAATTATAAACACCACTGAGATCACGAAAAACCCAGCAGGTCGCCCGACGCCGACGGCACGGGCGGCAAGGTAGAACGAGGCGGCAGCGCGGGCGCCATCGACGAGTGGATGACGGTCCCGTCGGCGAGCGTCACGGTGCCGCCGCGCGCGACGAGGGGCCGCGGTTGCAGCTCCGGCGACCGCGGCGGGATAGGTGGCGGCGCCGAGATCTGCTTGATCGGCGAGTCGCTCCGGTCGCCCTCCTCGACGAAGGCGTCCTCCCCCAACTGGTCCGGCGTGGCGTCGCGCATCGCCGTGTAGGCTTGCGCCGCCTGCTCGGGGTCGAAATTGCGTTTCGCGAGGAACTTGAGGGCGTTTTCGCGTGTGCACCGCGCGTCGGCGTACATAACGCATTTCGCGAGCTGCTCGAGGTCCTCTTCCGTTGGTGGCGGCGGGGTGGTCGCGGCGGCGGCCATGCGCTGCGCCGTCTCGCTACTACGAGCGTCCAGCCGGTCGGCCTCGGCCGCGGTGCACGTCTGGCGCTGCGGCAGCTGGTGGAACGGGACCGTATCAATCGACAGCTCGAAGCTGTCGTAGACCGCCGCCAGCTTACACGTGTGGGCGCCGTCAATACGCCACTCGTGGTGGAGCTTGTCCTTTGAGGACGTGATGTTCAGGATTTCAACACCATCATACATGAGCAACCGCTTGCCGCTCACGACCGAAATGTACAGCTCCACGACTTTTTCTGACCCGCGGGGCCCCAAGCTAAACCTCCAATCAAACTTGCGCTTCGACGACCGCACGGTGCGGCCCACGTCCCGGGCGCTGTGTGAAATGGCGAAGGCCCGGCTCGCCTGGAGCCGGAAGAACTGGATCGGGTCCCGTCGCTGCAGCTCGCGCCAGGGCGGCCGCGGCCGGGGGCCGCGCACGCCGGCGTACTCGTGCGGGCGGCTGCGCTGGAGGTATTGCATTGCTTGCTTGAGCTGTACCCACTTTTCTTTTGCAGGGAGTGCAGGGCTCGCGCGCCTGACGACGTGAAGCAGACGGTTCCACGCAATTATCGGGAGTCTTTAGGCAGCGTCTGGCTGCGCAGAACTGCTATAGCGCCGCTCGCTCGGGCTGGTTTTTTGGACTGGGGAGGCCTGGCAAAGATAAAAATAAGCTTACTGCTCGAGCGTCATAGCTATTGCAAAGGCGGTGTAATACCACGCGTCTGCGAGGCTGTGCGACGCCGTCGACGCGGCGCGAGTCGAATCCAATCACTCTCTGCAGCAGTAGCCAAGATTCAGAGCTGCAGCGCTCGTGGAACCGGACAGACGCGGCGCCACCGAGCGAACAACTCGTTAAAACAACTCACGCGACGCCGCCGACGCGAAACAGCTGCGTTTACACAAGACTCACGCGACGCCGCCGCCGACGCGCATAATGCCAGAGACCGGCTGGTTAATAGGCGCCGCCGTCGGCGTGATCTGCGCGATTCGGTGGGCATCAGCCGCCGTCTACGATGTATTAATTGTGAAAATGACGACGAGGTGGTACGCGAGTGTGTTGAAGGATTTGGACCGGAGCAGCACTCTCCTGGACGTCGGCATCGGCACCGCGACAGCACTACGGAACAACAAATCGCTCGTCGAGACCAAGGACCTGCGGGTCGCCGGGGTCGACTACGACGCAAGATATATCAAAGCCGCGGAGCGACGCATTGCTGGAGATGCGAAGCTGAAGGGTCGCGTGAGCGTGGTCTGCGCGTCGGTCTACGACGGGCAGGTCCTGGCCGCGCTGCGGCCCAAGGGCGGCTTCGACGCGGCCTACTTCTCGGGGTCATTGACGCTCATGCCCGACCCCGTCGAGGCCTTGCAGGCCGTGGCCGCCGTCGTCCGGCCGGGCGGGCGCATCTACGTGACGCAGACGTACCAGAAGCGGGCCGCGCCGATTATGACTGTGGTCAAACCTTTGCTGAGGTACGTGACGACGGTCGATTTCGGGAAGCTCACGTCGTGCGAGGAGGCGGAGCGCATCTTCCGCGACTCCGAGCTCGAGCTCGTCGAGCACGCGCCCATCGCCGGCTCGGTGGACACGGTGTTCCAGACGGCGTTCCGGACGGTGTTGAGGGTGCCTAAGTAGGCGTGTTTTGTCTTTTGCTTTGCTTAGAGCTAGGCCGCCTAGCCGTGGCCCGCGGACCCGACGCGGGGTCTGCCTCTCCGCACGCCCGCCCCGCCCCCGGCCCTCAGACGTCGTCGCCCCGAGTGTCTTTCACGTCGGGCCCGGCGCAGTGACGGGTCGCGTCGATGGCGTAGCTCCGAGAGCAGCCCGCGTCGCGGCCGGTGGGGCGGGGAAACGCGACCTCACGAACGTCGCCAGCCCTCATTTTGCAACCCCAGCAATGCTATGCGTGTCCGTGAGAAGCGTGAGCGGGAGTGGGGCTCGTCGCCTCTGCTGCTAGCCAAAAAGTAAGCCAGCGATTGTGAGCTATAATCGCTCCCTACGCCGCCGCAGCTTGTCACGTCGCCAGACGTCGCACAGCTGCTTTTAGACGTCTTAGAGCCGCCAGCCAGCTCGAAGACGCACGCTCGCCGCTCACTAGCGACGTAGCAAGACCCACGGTCGCCGACTGCCTAGTTTGAGTTAGAGACAGCCACCGCGCTAACACCGCAACCATGGCGCGCGGTCCCAAGCACCACCTCAAGCGCGTGAACGCGCCGAAGCACTGGATGCTCGGCAAGATGGACGGCGCCTTCGCGCCGCGGCCGTCGACGGGCCCGCACAAGCTCCGCGAGTGCCTGCCCCTCATTTTAATCTTGAGGAACCGCCTGAAGTACGCCATCACGGGCATGGAGGCGAAGCAGATCTGCATGTCGAAACATGTGAAGGTCGACGGGAAGATCCGCACGGACCCGTGCTTCCCGGCGGGGTTCATGGACGTCGTCGAGATGGAGGCGTCGTCGGACAAGTTCCGGTTGCTCTACGACACGAAGGGCCGCTTCCGCTTACATAGGATCTCGGACACGGAGAAGGCGTACAAGCTGTGCCGCGTGCAAGCTGTGTACATCACCGCCAAAAAGATCCCGGTGCTCACGACGCACGACGGCCGCACGATCCGCTACCCGCCGCCGGCGGTCAAGGTCCACGACGTGGTCAAGGTCGACCTGGAGTCGGGCAAGATCGTCGACTCGATCAAGTTCGACGTGGGCATGACGTGCATGATCACGAAGGGCCGCAATACCGGGAGAGTGGGTACGATCGTGAGCGTCGAGAAGCACCCGGGTAGCTTCGACATCGTCGCGGTCCGGGACGCGTCGAACCACCAGTTCGCGACGCGGCTCTCGAACATCTTCATCGTCGGCAAGGATGACGACCTCCAGGTGTCGCTGCCGAAGGGCAAGGGCGTCAAGCTGAGCATCCTCGAGGAGCGGAAGAAGCGGTTCAAGGACAAGTACTGAGCGTAGTAGTGGTGGGGGCGTTTATAGTAACTTTGGTTCCATAAATCCACGACAGGCTTCCCAGAAGCGACTCCTCTCGCCGTCGACGCGCTGGAGCGTGTCCGCGGACTGGATCCGCACCTCCTTGAAAGGCCGCGACGTGAATGAGCCCGTGCTGAAGCGCACGATGACGCGAGTAGGCGAAGATGTAAAAATAAACCAGCTGTTTAGTCTACCCCGACCCCTACTAGGCCGGCATCGTGCCCGACGAGTCGTCGGACGACGACGGGGCGTAGGTTAGTGCGGCGCGGGCGTCTGTAGTTGTGTGCGGATGTCCAGTAAGAACCCTCTATATAATTTGCTTCTTCATCGCGGCGGGTGTGCCATATATCAGGAAACTGAGTGCTTTACCAGTCGAGGGAGGGGCCGGGGGATCATCTAGACGACGCCGCTTCACCAACGCTTCGGACGTCGATTTTGTCCAGGTCGGCTGCCGTGCACGCGTCGCCCTTGGGTGGGGAGGGGGCAGTCGGAGCCCTCTCCCATCGTCAGCCCTCCGAGCGACTTGGCCTTAGCTACCGGCCTGTTAGACACTAGCAAAAAGCAAAAACACTGGCTCTGGCAAAAACGCCAAAAGCGCTGCCAAGGTGTTGGACACAACCGCTAAATTTACCAGAAATCGTACTGGGGCTGCGCCTCCCGCCTAACAGCATTCGTGCTGCCAATCCCAGCAATGCCCAGCACCTGGCTGCTGTTAGGGCTGCTCGTAAAAGCCGCCGGTCGCGCGAGCGATGGTGCTCCAGTCGTTGCGCCGGTCGTCACGTCTCAGGAAGTCGTGCCCGCGACGAGCGCCTACGCCCACGCCTGGACGACCAGCGACGCGCTGCGAGAAGGTCGAGGTAAAGGCTACTGCCTCGCGGCGAAGCGGCCGACGCGCGCGCGCATCAGCATCAAACGACGCGGCGACGTCGTGAAGGGCGGCTGGCTCGGCGGCCCGCGCGACCACTGTTATGTGTTGGCATTCGCGCTGGATGAAAATAGAGCCTTGGCGTTTAAGCGCGACGGCTCCCCATCCATCGCATCTATCCGGAAGCTGCGCCTCGATTCGAGTGATGAGGAATTGGTTTTGGACGACGTCTCCCTCAAGGCGGGCTCGACGGTGCACGTCTACGTGGCCTCCAATAGATTGAGCGGCTCCTGCGCCTTCGACGTGCGCGCGGAGTCCGACGCCGAGCTAGAAGAGTTACCGCAACCGTCCGGCGGCTACCGCGGCGTCGAGCACCCGATCAAAGAGAGGACGTCAGGCGAACGCGTTTTATGTGTGGACGGCGGCGGCGCGCGCGGCGTCGTGCCGCTCGCCGTGCTGGCGGAGTGCGAGCGGGAGACGCGGACCTCTATTAGAGATCAGTTCGACCTGTTTGCGGGCACGTCCACGGGTGCCATCGTGGCCTTCGGTCTCGCGATCGCGGAGCTGCCCGTGGCCGTCTTGCAGAGATTGTATGATGATTTAGTAAGACTGATCTTCGGGTCGAAGAACTTGAACGCCCAGCAGCGCCAGAGACGACTACAGGCCGTGCTCGAGGCGGTGTTTGGCGCGGACAGCACACTCCACGGCCGGAAGCGCTCTCGCAGGGCCTTGGCCGTGGCGACGGACGCGTCGACCGCAAGATTAAGGCCCTTCGTCTTCCGGTCCTTCGCACCTCCGGAGGTCACGGACGACTACCTCGTCGACGCGCGAGCCCACGAGGTGCGAATTGTGGATGCTTTACTAAGTTCGGCAGCAGCGCCCCCCTACTTCCCCATGCGGCGCGTCGACGTCGACGGCGCGCCGCGACGGTTGTTGGACGGCGCGCTCGTGGCGAACAACCCGACGCAATTCGCTTTGGCGGAGGCCGCGTCGTTGCGGCGCCGGAAGAACCGGGCCAAGGCCGTGGGCAAGGAGGACGCGCAGCTCGACTTGGTCGTCTCTCTGGGCACGGGCTCAGCGCCGGCGCGGGCGACGTCGTCGTCGGGCGCGGAGGTGCTGGGGTTGCTGTCGGCGTTCGCGAACCTCGCGGCCGCGCGTGACTTCGTGAGCGGCATTATTGATTTACTGACGGACACGGACGCGACGCACGATTTAGTGAGGAGGCAACTGCGGGACACGTGGCCGTCGTCACAACATCTCCAGGAGCGGTACCACCGCCTGGACGCGGTTATTGATGCGCGGCATCTGGGCCTGGCCGAGGGCGACGCGGAATGTTTAAGGGATCTCCGGGCGATGGCGCTCGACTACATCAAGCGGGAACGAGGGCTCGAGTGGCGCCACCTCGTCGACGCTTTACAAAGGCGGAGCGGCGGCGGCACGCAGCGCGTCTACGCCGTCGTGGACTTGGATGAGGAGTCCATGCAGGTCGCGAAGCCCCACCGCGCGGGGCTCATGCGGCCCGTGCGGAAGAAGTTCGCGCGCGCGACGGGGCTGCACGGCTTCTTCTCGAAGAAGGGCCGTGCATAGCATAAACAACAAATTACTAGGGCCGGGGCGCCGCTCTCGTCGACGCCATCGCCGAACCGGTTGCCAGACAACCCTCACACGACGAGCACGCAGTTCAGCCGCAGCGTCGCCCGCAGCCCGCAGCGGACGAGGAAGTACGTCTCCGCCGGCGCTGGCATGCCTGGGGCCACGCGGTAGTTGGCATCGTGGCCCTCGAGCGCCACGACGCGCGCCTTCCGCACCGTCGCCTTGAGCTTGGACCCGTCCCAGGCCTCGATGGAGAAGGTCTGGCCCTCGTCGTCGTCCAGCTCGATGCGCGACGCCGGCGGCCGCCCGAAGACGTCCCAGCCCTCGGGCACGCCCGTGAGGCCCGGCAGGCCGACGCGCTCGAGCGCGACGTATTTCAGCAGACCTTGGACGGTCTCCAGCGAGTCGTCCTTGGTCAGGGGGCGCTCGAAGCCCAGCCCGAGGCCTTTTAGAGGCCCGGTGAGGGTGTTGTAGAGCGAGGTCGTCCCAGCCCGCGTGAGCCGCGCCGCGCACTCGACGGAGAACTGGCTCTGCTTCGGGCAGGCCTGCCACCAGGCCTCGACGCACTCCTTGGCCTGGGCCTTGGACGCGCGGCGGCCGGCCTCCTCGGCCTCCTTCCGGGCCTTGTAGGCCTGCTCGTCCTCGTCGTCGGAGACGTCGATGTTGTCGAAGCGGCTGTAGTCGATGGGCATAGTGGCGCTGCGTTTTTGCAAGCTACAGCTGTTCTCACAGCCTGCAGCAGACTGTGTTTGCGCTGGCCGTCCTGCACTGCAGCCGCACGCTGTCAGCTCGAACACGTGAGCTCTCTTGCGAGGCAGCGGCGCCGATATAGCTCTCCGTCCGCAAAAATTAAAAAAAGCATATGAAATGCGGAAAACCCGCGAGAAAACAGGGATCTCTTTCGTGTTGTATAGCTATATTATACGCAGTGAAAGGACGTAGAGACCTCGTCATCAGCGCGTGTTTTCGTCTTGGCACAGTAGGGGGATCGGGCAGAAGCGGTGGCTTGGAAGCGCACGCCTCGTGCCTAAACAGCTGGGAGCGCCAACTTTTGTCGTCCTGAGCGTGCGCAGCAGGACCTCCATCTTGCCACCTGGCGGGCTGCCACCGCTGGGCTGCCCCTCCATCCTGAGCACATGGAGGTATCAAACCTATAAGCGCTGGGATGTCGGGCTTTGAACCGCTCATACCTCTCGCCGCATGCGCCGGTGCGAAAGCTGCGAACAAGGCCGTAAAAGAAGTGACCGGTAAGTCGATCGTGTCGCACTGCAAATCCGCAGCGAAGGGGCTCCGCAACATCGTGCTGCAAAAGGCGGTCGAAAAGGCAAGCAAAAAAGCGGAGGAGGTTCTCTTCAACCAAGAAGCGCGGGCCGAGTTCAAGCGACGCCTCGACTCTCTCGAATATCTGCTGGATGACGTGGCGAGTAATTCGGCGATGGTCGCGGATCCGTCCGTGGTTGCGGAGCTTGAAGCTTTATGCTCGGTCCTTAAGAGCGCCGCGAGCGCCAGGCTCGACGCCGACGGGCGGAGCGACGCGCTGACCGCGATTGATCGGCACATGAATAGCCTACACCTGGCTCTCGCCGCCAACACGAACAAAAAAATACAGAACGTTGAGGAAAAGCTCGACGGCGTGGTTGACGGCGTTGTTGAAAAGGTTGGGCAAAGGCTTGACGGCGCACTGGACACAATTGGAGCAAACGTTGACCATAAGCTTGAAGGCGCGGTGAAAAAAATTGGAGCGAACGTTGAGCAGAAGGTTGACGGCGCGGTGGACAGAATCGAGCAAAAAGTTGGAGACGTTGAAGCAAAGATCGGTAGCGATGTAGACATGATTAGTAGACGTCAAGAGAAACAAGAGCAAAAGCTCGACGAAACAAGAGGGCTCCTCACTCAGGGCCTCAGCGTAATGCTGAGCTTTATTTGCCGCGTTGACAAAGGCTTCGAATTTATAGCAGCGCTGGAAAAGGAGTTGCCGCCAGGCTGTGAGATCGCGAACATGTTCGCTGAGGCGAGGGGCACTCGCCAGGTCCACCGAGCGCGCGTCGCCGTGGACGACAAGGCGTCGCTCGACGCTCTGCGCGACCGCGTCGTCCTCAAGACGGAAGATGACTCGTTGGAGAACGCCATCAACAAAGCCCTGCAGACGACCGGCGGGGAGCGGATCAGCGTCAATCGCGGGGCGTTCCTCGAAAGCTACGAGCAGACCGTGATGAGGTTCACCAAGCTCACGGAGCACCAGCGCGAGAAGCTCGAGACCGTCCGACGCGAGCCCGTTGCCGTGCTGCTCGCCCACGCGGGCGCGGGCAAGACGTTCTTTGCAATCCAGCGCATGGCACAGGTCCTCAGCTCTGATCCCAGGGCGATGCTTCTGTTCGTCGCGCGGAATACCGCATTGGCGTTCTTCGTCTGCAAGTGGCTCGTCTACGCATCGCAAGAGTCGGTCGATCGGATCGTCGACCGCGTTCACGTGCTGGTGGCGCCGTTCGAAAACGGGCCGCGGCGCGTGCGCGTCGAAGCGGCGGGTGCGCGGCGGCGACTCTCGCTTGGCGCCGCGCAAAAATGCGAGTATGCGCTCGTCGTGGTGGACGAGGCGCATCATCTCACGGAAGACTTGCAGCTGCGCGAGCAGCTCGCTGGAGTGAACGCAGCGGAGGCGACCCTCGTGTTCCTCAGCGACGCTTCGCAGGCGACGGAGGCAACGCCTGACGCGGAGAAGCTTGCGCGCTCGCTAGTAAACTTGCCTCGGGATCAGGCTGTTGCGGTCGCGACGCTCTCCGAGGTGGTACGGTCGACGAAGCGCATCGTCGCTGGCGCCGCCGCGTTCCAGCTCGATGCCGGCCGAAAAGCCGAGATGTCGACGTACACGGCATCGCCGGGGCCGCCGCTCGTGGCACGGATCTTTCCAGTAGAGGATGATACGGATGATATCTATGCGCGTGAGGTCGTCGAAGCAATTGCGGCCATACGGCGCCAGCTCGCGGACCTTGACGATCTGGATGACCGTGTCGCCGTCGTGGGACCCGACGACGCGTTTGTCGAGCGGCTCCGCGGACCGCTAGACCGCGCTCTCGACTCCTTCGCCCCGATGAGCGCCACCCTCGCGTCGACTTCCGACCAGCCTCCAGCCGCTTGCGGCACCTATGTCCTCGACCGCGAAACGGGTGGGATCGGTGGCGCCGCGTATTATTGCGCCGCGAACGGGCTCTACCTCTACGAGCGTTCATCGGGTTCATGGTGCGTCGGCAAGGCGCATGGCGACAAGTCCTGCAAAGCCTATGCGTCGCACAAGGGCTGGAGCTTCTACCTAAATAAAAATTGGACGCTGCGCAGTGACATCACGCTGACCTTCGCGCGCTTCGAGCTCGTCGACGCGGCGATGGCGAGCGCGGTCTGGCCGCGCGTCGAAACCGAAGCGCGCGACAGCTCGAAGCAGTGGCTCGTCGTCGATACGGTCGACAACATGGACGGTTTGGAACGGCTCGTCGTTATTTGTGTGGGGCTGGACCAAGTCATCGATCGCGGCGCGGGCGTGCTCGAGACGCGGTCGCGTTTGTATCGCGCGATGACTCGCGCGCAGCTCGCGGTTGCTGTTGTGAATGAAGCGGTACCGGGCGGCTGGCTCGAGTTCCTAGGGCACGTAGAGCTCGACGCTGATGAAGAATTTGATGAGGCCGCGGAGCGCGAGAATCGGGCGGAGGCGGCTGCCGATGACGTCGTGGTTGCAGCGACCACTGCGGCCAAATTGAATGCACCGGAGGCGACGAAAAAGAGCGACGAGGGGCATAGCGCGTATCTATCCGAGACTGTAAAGCAGTGGTCGCCCTCGAATTGGACGTGCTCCGTCTGCAAGCGACCTAACGGCGCGCAGACTCAAGAGTGTGGCGTCTGCGGCACGCACAAGGACTACCAGATGCGACGGCGCCGCCGAGCCGAGCCAATCAAGGTCACGCAGTCGATCTGGGACGCGAGCGCGGTCGCGACGGCGTCGCGCGGCAAACTGCGGTTCATGCCGTTCTTCGAAGGCGTGGACCTGTCCAAGCTCGCCGTGCTACGGACGCTGGAAGGGCACTCGAAATCCGTGCGGCGCGCGGTGTCCACTGTACTTTTGTGATGATCTGGCTTCGTCGTAGGTCACGAGCGTTGCCGTGTTTCCGGACGGGCGGCGCGTCGTGTCTGGCTCGTGGGACAACACGCTCAAGGTGTGGGGCATCGAGACGGGCAAATGCGTGGCGACGCTGGAAGGGCACTCGAATTGGGTGCGTTGCGGCGTCCGCTGTACGTTTGTAATGATCTGGCTTCGTCGTAGGTCACGAGCGTTGCGGTGTTTCCGGACGGGCGGCGCGTCGTATCTAGGTCGGGTGACAAGACGCTCAAGGTCTGGGACGTGGCGACCGGCGAATGCGTGGCGACGCTGGAAGGACACTCGAATTGGGTGCGTTGCGCGGCGTCCACTGTACTTTTGTGCTGATGTGTCTTCATCGTAGGTCGAGAGCGTTGCCGTGTTTCCGGACGGGCGGCGCGTCGTGTCTGCGTCGTTGGACAGGACGCTCAAGGTGTGGGACGTGGCGACCGGCGTGTGCCTGGCGACGCTGAAAGGGCACTCGAAGGGCGTGCGTTGCGGCGTCCACTGTGCTTTTGTGATGATCTGGCTTCGTCGTAGGTCTATGGCGTTGCCGTGTTTCCGGACGGGCGGAGCGTCGTGTCTTGTGATGGGGAATGGGAGAAACCAGGAGTGGTCAAGGTGTGGGACGTGGCGACCGGCGAGTGCGTGGCGACGCTGAAAGGGCACTCGGACGGCGTGCGTTGCGGCGTCCACTGTACTTTTGTGATGATCTGGCTTCGTCGTAGGTCAATTGCGTCGCGGTGTTTCCGGACGGGCGGCGCGTCGTGTCCGCGTCGCAGGACAACACGCTCAAGGTGTGGGACGTGGCGACCGGCAAATGCGTGGCGACGCTGAAAGGGCACTCGCGTACCGTGCGTCGCGCGGCGTCCACTGCACTTTTATGATGATCTGGCTTCGTCGTAGGTCGAGTGCGTTGCCGTGTTTCCGGACGGGCGGCGCGTCGTGTCTGGCTCGTGGGACAACACGCTCAAGGTGTGGGACGTGGCGACCGGCGAATGCGTGGCGACGCTGAACGGGCACTCGCGTACCGTGCGTCGCGCGGCGTCCGCTTTTTTTGGTACTTTTGTGATGATCTGGCTTCGTCGTAGGTCCAGGGCGTTGCTATCTCTCCGGACGGGCGGTGCGTCGTGTCTGCGTCGCGCGACCAGACGCTCAAGGTGTGGGAGGTGCCGAAATCCTGAGCTACCTAGGACTAACTACATACCTACTTTAGAAATTCCGCCCCTCGGGGTCCGCGCGCCGCCGCAGCGGCGTGAACTCGAAGGCCGTCGCGTCATCGCAGTCGGCGGCGAGCGTCCAGGGCTCGTCGGCGCGCGGCGTGATGCGGAAGGCGGCCTTGTACCACGACGCGCCGACGCCGTCGGCCTCGTCGTCCAAAATACGCCGCCACGTCTCCCTAGACGCGGCCTGGACGCCCGCGAGCACCGCAGAGCCATAGGGCCCGCCCTGGTTCGCGTCCACGACGCGCCCGGCGTCGCCCGATTCCACCGCTTCCCGTCCCCTTTCCATCTCGCCCGCCATGCGCCGGTCGACCGACGCCTCCGCGAACGCTATATCATCGATCTCGAAGTTTAAAGCCAGCTTGCGGTAGGAATCGTCGTCAAAGAAATGATCGATGTACGAAAACATCCCTACATCCCGGCCCGACGTCTCGACCAACACGTTCGCGTTTATTCTAGATGCTTCTTCGACCAGTAACGCGCCGACCATCTCCGACGTCGTCCGATATCTCGCGAAGATGGCCGCCTTGGCCTTGGCGTACTCACTGACATCCTTGATGGCGTAGAGCTTCTCAAATTGCGTGAGCGCCACGGTCGCCACGACAAAGTCGAGCTGTCGGAAGAACGAGTTCGAACCGGTGGGCAGCTGGACGCGCTTCGGCGCTCCTCTAGAACCATCCGGCCCCACGATGGCCTCGGCCAGAGCTGCTTCGAACCAGGGCTCGTAAATCGCGGTCGTTTTTCGCACACCGTTCAGACCCGTCACTAAAACGACCCAGGGCCGGTCGCGGTCGTTCTTCGACTGCTTCGCGGCGGCGTAGATGGAGGCCGGGGCCCAGTTGCCGCCCTCCAGCACCCGCTTGAACGCGTTGGCGAACTCGATATCACTTACGGGAGGGAGCTCGTTCGCTAAAGATGTGGCTGTGGCGCGCGTCATGTGCCATCGCTTGTAGTCGAGGTGGGCGCTTCTTCCTAGGACCTCCTTGAGGCCCGCGGACCGGTCGTGGTCCAAGCCGAGTCGTTCCAGCGCCGTCGTGACGCTGGCGAGCTCGCCGTCCGTGAAGAAGGCCCGGTCGTCGGCGGCCTGCTGCATCGTCGCGAAGTGCTTGATGGCCTCGGCTTCGGTCATCGGCGCGTTGTCTTCTATTGCTGTGTCGTCGTCGGTCGCCATGACGGGTCGCCGCCGTCGACAGTTTGGTCGCGTGGGCGCCAGCGCCGCGGCGAGCGCGACGCAGCCGAGCACTAGTCGCATCACGCGCCGCTGTTGCAGTGTGACTGCAGCAGAGCTGTGCAAGTTACGAACAATGCGAACGCAGGAACAAGTGGCTAGCAATTGCAAGTATTAGAGCGCACCACGACGCGGCTATCTGATGTGCATGCAGGCAAGCACAGACTGACAACACAGCATGCAACTCAGCCTTAGCTTCAGGCCTTGCGCTGTTGCTAGTGCCTCTCGGTCGCTAGCAATCGTCAGAGCAGCGCTGCGCATGAACACGAGTGGCACCGCCTCGATCGACGGCTCCGACCGGCGCGCGCTCGACGCCAATCTAACCCGTTGTGCGAAGCGCTGGACAACAGCCGCAAAAGGCTGCCCCCAGCGCAACGATGGACAGCGACGACGACCTACCGCCGCTGGAGAGCGACGTGGCTAATGTCCACTACTCCCGCCGCAGCCTGCTGGCGCTGAATTCCCCAGAGGAGCCGGCCGCAGCCAAGCGGCCCGAGCAGCCGAGCGCGCTCGCCGTCGCGGCCGCCAAGCGGTCCCTCGACGCGCCGAAGAACGGCGCCTCCGGAGGCAGCGAAGCGACGACAGGCGGCGCGTCGCCCAAGAAGGAGGCCGCGCTCTGGCAGGCGGCCGACCTCACGTGCCGAACCACCACAAAGGGCGTGCGCCGGCGCAAGCCGCGGCCGCGGCCGCCCGCCACACTCATAAAGAAGGAACGCCACGCCTGCGGCTACGCGTCGGCGCCCGACGAGCCGTCGAATGGCGCCGAACGGCGGCGCCGGTCGCTCGAGTACCAGACGCCTCCCGCGACGCCCATCCAGTACGACTCCGACGAGGAGTTCTTCTCTCCCAAAAAGTTCCGCGAGCCCGAGGAGTTCCTACAAAGTCCATTGTCTGACGACGACGGCGACCGACCGCGGCCGCGGAGCTCCTACGTCCGGTCTTCTTCAACCGCTCTAGAGTACGTCCTGGCGCCGAAGCCCGCCCTGAGCGAAGCGACGCAGAAGCAACGCGCCGCCGTGATGGCCGAGAAACGGCGACAACATCTAAGTAGGTGGCCGACGCGACGCCAACCTGAGTTAGTAGACACCGTGACTGAACTCCGAGAGCACTTTTCTGGAGCGTCGCGCCTCGACGCGTTGCGCACACGCCTCACGGAGGAGATGAAACTAAGAAATATGGGTATAGGAGATATGTTCGCGCTCGTGGACGACGACAAATCGCTGTCGTTAGATGCGAACGAACTCCACGACATGGCCCGGCGGTTGAACACGAATTGTAGATTACAGGACGCCGAGCAGCTGGTTTACGAAAGAGGTGAACGGGGAGAGATTACGATCGAAGCCTTCGTCGAGTGGTTCCACGAGGCGGAGGATCCGCTGGTGAAAGCGCGAAATGAAAGGAAGCGCCGCTGCAAGACGCCCTCCGCCGACCTTAGTAAAAGAAGAGGCTACGGCGTGTACGGCATGGGCCGGGCCCAGGCGAAGCACGAAAGGGCCTTTGATTCGTACGCGTCTCAGAGTATAAATGTCGATTTCAACAGTGCGACGGACGGCCAGCTCTTAGAAGTCGACGCGTGTTTGCTGGATGTGGACGTGCGACGCATCGTGGAGCAGTTCTGGCGCCTCGCGGACCAAGACAAGACGGGAACCCTCGAGTACGAGGAGTACATTGAACTTTCGCTCAATTTACAGAAGGCCCTATGCGTGAGGAACGCCGAGGCCGAGGATCTGCGGGGGACTGTGTGGAAATCAAAATTTACGGCGCGTTCGTGCTGAATCATCGCGTCGTCCTCCACGCCATCGACGCGACGCCTGCTCGACGGCGTGGCGGTGTGAATTCCTCACCGCTCGACCGAGCTAGGACGGCCGCGTCGTCGCCGAGAAACGACTTAGTGAAGAATTGTCGGGTGCACCCGACGCACTGGTTGATTTCCACACAGGCGGGGGACCCCCGACGGCTTCGACGAGAAGCAAGCTAGGGAAATTGCGGAGCGGGACTGGGACCAGGATCGCAGGGTCGACGATGCTGCTAGAAAGCACCGCGCGATGGGCGTCGTTGATTTGAGGCGCTTCGAGCTCAGTTTATTGCAACTAGCGGACGCGTGGGCCGACACGCGGACTTCCATTGAAGTGAAGAAGGCCGCCAGGGACGCGCGGGAGGCGGGGCGGCGCGTCGGGCCCGTTTGTAGAAATGTTGCCGTCGCGACGACGCTCTGGAACCTGCTGGAGGCCGTGTCCGTGGTCGACGACGATGATGTGAGGGTCTGGCGCTGGCGCTTCTATCGAGAGCCTTTGTTAAAGAAGAAGAAGGCTAAGCCGGTGGCGGCACCACAGAAGAAGAGCGTCGTGCCGGCTCCAGTGAAAAAGAAGACCATAACGAGGGCGCCGCTCTGGCTCGCCTCGCACAAGAAGAAGAAGAAGGTCGTCGAGTCTCCCATCAAAAGCCCGCCGCCGCCGCGCGAGTGGTCGCCGATCGCGGGCTTATATACGCCGCCGGAGTCGCCCGCCAAGGTCGTCAAGGAGACCGTGGTTGTCCTCGCGAAACAGCCGCCGCCGCGGCGCCCGAAAACACCACCACCGAAGCAGCCCACGCCGCCGCCGACGCCGCCCGACCCCCACGTGAAGGAGCTGGAGCTCATGGCTTCGTTGAGGCCAAAAACGTACACGGAGCGCGCCGAGGGAGACCTCTGCGTCTACCGCGAGGCGGCGCAGGCCTCGCCCCTCAAAACTCAACAGCTGCCGCGGCTCCGGCCGATGCCGACGCCCCATCATTCTGAAGGGGAGGTCGGAGCGCAACTCGACCGCATGTACGACGCCGTAGTGTCGCCATCCAAGGCGCGGGCCGACCTTGGCGAAGCAAATATGCTCGCCGTCGCCGACGCGCAGAAGACATACGAGGCACCCGCGCCGGCACCAGTCGCCCCAAAGACGCCCGTAGTCGCGGAGGCGCCTGCGCGTCCAAGGGGCCGGGCGTCGAAGGGGATGGTGTTCCACCGCAACATTCACGCCAAGGGCCTGACGGTCTCCTACGACGAGGACGCCTCGTTCCTGGCGCTCATGCGCGGCGCCGCCGCGGCGTCGCCGGCGCCGCGCCGGCGGAAGCCGCCGCGCAAGCGCCGGTCGCGTGACAGAACGCCACTCGTCGACCCGGGCCTCGACGCGATCTTGCGGGAGACGGCGGCGTCGCCGCAGAAGAAGCCTCCCCGCGGCAGCTTCGACTCCAACGACTCGCTGGCGTCGTTCGTGTCGTCCGCGGCTCCGCGGGCGCGGCGGTCGGCGCGGCTGCGGACTGTTGTGTAACTTGTGTTTCATGATACTAGTCCCCAGTCTCGTAGCAGCCTCTTGCCCGCCTGCCGCGCGGGGCGGCCGTCAAGAACGCGTAGAGGTCCCAGGTGCCCACTCTGAGGCCGGCGCGTAATGAGTTCTTCTCCCTAGCCAAAAGTAGTGGTCTCCAAACGTGATCGTCTCCCGGTAGCGTTCGCAGAGCCCTCCAGAAGGCCCTGATACTCCGCGTTGGTAGCGTAAAGGCGCTAGTTGTGTGACAAGCCAACTGATTGCCAAGTGCTGCCGAAGGCCCAGGGACGCCGTGCCGCGCGTCGCGTCAAGGCACGTGGGCGCGAAGCGCTCGTCGCGCATCACTCGAGCGCCCCGAGCAGCCCCGCGGACATCAGTCGGAGCCCCACGCTGCCCACTGCTGCCAGACCATGAGCCGGCCCCCGGACATCGCCTTCGCGTCGCCGGGCGACCTCGCCCAGCATAGACTAAGGAGACGCGTCTCCTTCGACGCGCCGCCTCCCCAACAGCAGGCGCCGGGCGGCCACGAGGCCTCGACGTTCAAGTCGCGCATGCGCGTCCGCGAGACGAGCGAACTCGCGCGGCGCTACGTCGCGCCGGCGCCGTCGCTGCGCATGCATTTTGATGATGCTCCGTCATTGCCCTTCCCGCCGGGCACACCTATCTCGTACGAGCCTCCAAGGACGCCAGCAAACGGTATCCCGCAGACCTTCTCGTCGCGGCGCTTCCGAAGTGAAGGGAGAGGGAAGCGGCGCAATTTAGAAGATCAGAAGCGGGACACGATCCACGCGGGGCCCTTTTGTGGTGCGGCTAGGCCCGGTACGGTCTTCCGGGACGAGGCGTCGCTGGCGCTGCCGCGCAACCGCAGTATGACGCATAAAGCTTCGACGAAGAAGAGTTCCTATGATCACCGAATCGCGATGATGGAGGCGGCTCTCGATGGTCGCTCTACGACGCAGCCTGACGACGACAACGCTTCGTCAATCTCGGCAAACCACCGCGGCGGCGACGCGGCCTGCGCCGTCTGGAAGGCCCTGTGGAAGGCTAGAGAGCGACGCAATAACCAAGAGGCCCAGGAGAAGGGCGGCACGTTACCCGCGTTCGACGGCTTCTGCGTCGCCGACGCGGTGTTGTATAGTGAGGGTACTCCCACGAAGTGGATCTTTTCCGATAATGTAACGGGCAAGCTCCTAAGGAAGGCCCAGCGGAACGTGTCCGTCGAGGCGTTTCGAAACCGGTGCGCCAAGGTCGCTCCTGGGAATGACGTGGCTCTGATTGTCCGGGACGACGACGTCCTCCCCCTGAGCGCGGACCCGAAGAAGTGGGGCGCCATCTCTGGTAAAGCGGTGGTCTGCAACGTGCCGGGGACGCGCCTCAAGCATGCGTTTAGGCACGACACTCCTCTCACGAAAGTGCATGTGGAGCAGAATGGCCTCAGGCAGTACGGCTCGTCGTCCAAGGCGTCGACCTGGGCGCCCCTGAAGTCGTTGCATCTGAAGGAGGCGCTGGATGGTGTTGTTCGTTCATTAGTGAGGGGCATCGAGGCGGGCACGGGTACTCGCGTGCGATCATTAACGTCGGTCTGGGCCTTAGATGAAAAAAAGGCGACGCGCGTCGTCGACAACGGCGTGCCGGACGCGCCGGCCATGACCTTCGAACGGGCGTTGGAGGTCGAGTTCCTGCAGCCCTTGCATCGGGGCGGCTCGGACGCGGGGAGCGTCCTCGGTGATTCATCAGGGAGGGCCCACGGCGCGGCCATCGGGCCCTGCCCCGGGGGTTTTTGTGGATTGGCGCGCATCGACGAAACTGATGGAACGGACGGCGCGCCCGCTCAACAGAGCGAACGTTTGCACCGAGCCATGCGGTCCGCCGTCGAAGAAAGCAAGAGAGAGGCCTGCACGGGCGAAGCTTTAGATTTTTGGCCCGACGAACTCGTGAGGTGGTGCCTCAAGACCACCTCCACGAGGTGCGACCAGCCGCGACCTCTCCTCGATCTCCAGTGGTCGCGGCCCTCGATCTTCCTCGCGCACCCGACGCAGGACACGCAGGCCTGCCCCGGCCAGACCCTCGAAATAAGATGGGTCTGCCGCGGGCCGCCGCCACAAAATTTGAGGATCGACGTCGAATTCGTGCCCACGGCAAGCACGGTCGAGGACGAGTTCCTCGTGACGACGCGGGAGGTCATCAAAAGGATCCCGGGCAGTCAACAATCCATAGATTGGGTCGTGCCGCCGGACCTGAATGGCACGTCGACGAACGGGTGGTGGCGCCTGCACCTGCGCATCGTTTTTGAAGATGATTTTGGGGAGGAGTCGGACGCGGCCATTCTATGCTCCTCCCAACCTTTCAGTGTGCAGAAGACTCATGCTTTATTGAATCACGGGCGGCTGCCTGCCGTCGATCTCCGGGCCGATGCTCATGACGTGCAGAGCGCGATCGGTGCGTTACGCGTCTTAGATGAACGGCGCGCCCAGAAGATCGGCGAAGAGCGCGTGAGAAGGTGGGACAAGTGCGCCGTCTGCCAAAACTGCGCCGAGGTGCACGCGGACTTGTCCGCGCGGCGGGCGCGGTATCTGGCTTCATCAAATGAGCGCAAGGCCCAGAAGGAGGCAGGGCTGTTATTACTAAGGGAGCAGGACGAGAATGACGTGAGTGGGGACCGCAAAGGTTTAAAAGCTGCGGAGCGCCGCCGGCGAAGGCGCAACGTGCTCAAGGCTCTCGCGGAGCCGCGGAACCGGCGAGAAAAGGTCCAGGAGCCCACATATACAACGACGAAGCCCGCCAAGAACCCGACGGCCTTCGACGACAACCTTCCAAGCGTTGCGTCCAGACAGCCACGCGATTCAACGTTCGTGGCGTCCATAAAACAAAAGGCGGCCGTTCTAAGGGAGGAGGCCGCCCAGGCGACGTGGGCCGCCGCCCACTCGAGACCCGCGCCGTCGCCACCGAAGCCGCGGCCGCCGCCGACGCCGACGGCGAAGCTCGGTTCGAGCCTGCTGAACGCGCTCGACGGCGGCGCGTCGCACTTCGAGCCCCAGGACTCGCTCGCGTCCGTCTTCGGCACGGTCCAGCCCGAGCGGGGAGTGGATTCTTTGAGGTCGGTCTTCGGTGGGGCTTCTCCCCGAAAACCGCGGCGCCGCCGCCCGAAGCGCAAGCCCCGGACTTATGCGGATCTGCTACACCCGTGGCAGCGTCTATTGAGAGACCAGATCGACACGGTCGTCTCTCCTGAACCGCCGGCGGCCCCGAACCCGGACGCTCTGCTGGACAGCCTCCTGGACATGGCCGAACAAGGTGATGGGGACGGGTTGAGCTACTTCTAATGTTCGTTATGTTACTCCCTTCTTCTTGAGGTCGAGGCGCTTCAGGAAGTCGATCGCGTCGCCTCGCAAGGACAAATGTCCTTGGAGGATGTTCTTGGCCCACGCGCCGAGTTCTCTAATCGAGCCCGCGTACCTGTGTGTGGACGGCGTCACCCCCACGCCATCGACGCGACCGCTGGTTGATTTAGACGCGGCCACCGTACGGCAGCCCGAGCACGCAGGTCTTCGCCCAGTAGAAGCCCTCGAAGAAGCGGCCGCAGCTCCCGTCATTCCTCTTATCCGGCAACGCGGCGGCGACGTCGACGACGCTATTCGGGAAAGCTCTCTGGAAATAGACGAGGCACCGTCCCAGATGGTACGGCGACGAGACCACGAGGATCGACGTCGCGTCGGGCGCGACGCGGGCCGTCTCGATGGCGTTCTGGAGCGTCGTGCGCGACTTGTCCTCGTAGAGGGTCGGGCCGCCGTACGTGCTGTATTTTTTTGCTGCTCGCGAGTCGCCCAGACCACCCGTGAAGACCAGCGTTGCATTGAATTGTTGTGCGAGCTCGTCGCCGCGGTCGACTCGTCTCGCAAAGGTCGCGCTCAGGGTTTTATTGGGGAGGCGCCATGCGCCCGCCACTACGACATGGGTGTAGTCTGTTCTGTTGAATTTCGGTTCGAATGTCTCGAGGCGGTGCAGTATCGTGGCGACGTATGCGGTGAGCGCTAGGGAGAGGGCTGCAGTCACCATTGCTTTTTGTTGATTGCTCCTGGTTGGAGTGACTCCAGCTGCAATAGATGCACAGTGCTGTTGGTGTGCTGCTTGCGGGCGATCAATGACAAGTGCAGAGATGCCTCAGACACCGTTAGAGCAGGTGATGATGAGCTAAAAAATAATTACCTAGCGTGTCGACACACTAGACTGCATACGTAGAGATGTGTCCCTCCCAGGGGGTCGGCCAAATAGTGTAGTAGTAGCGTAATAGAAATAACCGACCGTCGTGGGCTCTGCCCACTAGTAGACGCGACCGTGATAGACTACGGTGGACCAAGGATTTACTACAAGCCAGACGCCGTCGAGGCGCCGCTACCTGGTCTATGTATAGAGTGCCGTTACACCCCACGACACAATGCCTAGAGGCCCGAGCCCTTCTTCGGCTTCAGCGGGTAGTCCGGCCGGTTCCAGGGCAACAGATCGATGAGCTGGCCGCTCTCCTTCGCGCCGACCTGTGTGGAAATCAACCAGTGCGTCGGGTGTATTTCTCGGCGAACGCGCCGTAAAATTTTGATTTTCACACAGGCGCCGACCTTGTCCGCCACGGCGTCGGGGAGCTCGATCTCGCGCAGGTCGTTGCCGAGCTTCGGGAGCGTAAAGTCCGGCAAGCCCGGGAGCTTCGGCAGCTCGACGCCCTTTTCGCGCGCCGCGCCGTTGAGGTCGAACGGCGCCTCCGGGTCCTCCTCCCTGCGTGGAACATCGACCGGTCTCTCGCGGGCGGCGACGCGTACTTCTACGCCACCAGCACGCCATCGCCGCGTCGAAGGCACTCCAAAGTTTGAGACTCCGAAACGCACAGCGACGACAGCCTGAGCCACGCGAGGAAGGGCAGGCCCCCGATGATGGAGAAGATAAAGAACGCGATGAAGAACGGGCTCGTGAAGGGGAGCTGCGACTCCCTCGGGGCCACGAGCGTCGGCAGCTCGAGCGAGAGGAGCAGGTCGGGCAGCGACGAGGCCCGGACCGCGACGGGCCGCGCGGGCCGCGCGCGGCGCGCCGTCGGCGGCGCGCGCGGCGGCGCGAAGGCCGCAGCCGAGCCCGCGAGTAGGGCGAACGTCACCTTCATGCTGCCTGCGAAGGAGTGCCGCGTCGATGGCGTTCGTGCTACCGCGATCGTGGCGTTCGCTACCGCGATCCCATGGCCCGCTCGTCGCATCGATGCGTCGACCGCGTCCACAATTTTTCAAATTGTGCAGCCAACAAACGAACGGAGCGATGCGCGTTGCGTGTGGTGCCTTGCTGAACGATTATTGAGTTGCGTTCGATGCCCCGTTGGCGCTACCGAAGCGCTAGCTGGGGAGGTCTGGCATTTTGAGGCTCGTTGCGTACCCGTCGAGCGATAAGCAGCAAAATATGCGCTGCCGAAGTACGATATGTGTACTCTTGCATATGACGCTGGATCCAACGCAAAATTAGCAGCAATCAGCCAAGTCGAATGCGCGTCTATGCTGTGTTGGCCATCGAGGAGCGGCGCGTGCCTCTCCCAACGTTTTTGAAACACTCGTCTTCTCGCACCCGTTTGCTCTCAATCCGCGTCCCCGCGACGCCTACGATCCGTCGCTCTGAACCCGCACGATTAGCTCGCAGAGCTTAGCTGGACACACCCCAAAACGCTGGTGTAGCTGTCGTGCTGCTGCAAAAGAGCAAACGCACGACTCACGTTTTCAAAATGCTCAAACATTCTGTAGCAATTGTAGCAATTGCCGCGTCAGCCGCGTTCACTGCACCCCGCAGCCTGCCCATGCGCACAGCAGCAATGAAATTCTCCGCGGCTGACGCGGAACTCGTGCCGCGCGACGTCCTCTTCGGCAACCCCGAGTACTGTGCCGGCGTAGGAATCATTGTATCGGCGACCGCGGCTGGCCGTGACATGCCGTCGACGCGACGCCGTGCACACACAGGTACGCAGCCCCCTCCGTCACGCCGGACGGCTCCAAATTAGCCTACCTGAAGCCCGTCGACGGCGTGCTCAACGCGTGGGTGCGCAGCGCGGCGGGCGGCGACGATAGGGTGGTGACCGAAGACACGTACCGGGGCATCCGCCAGATCTTCTGGGCCGAGGACTCGAAGACGTTGCTGTATCTGCAGGACGACGGCGGCGACGAGAATTTCCATTTGTTCGCGGTCGACGTCAGCAAGGAAGGATCAAAAGCGAGAGACCTGACGCCCTTCGACGGCGCGAAGGCCCAGAACGTCATCACGAACAAGCGCTTCCCCGACGAACTGTTAGTGGCGGTCAATGCTAGAGATAAAGCTCAATTCGACATGTACCGCGTCCAATTAGAGTCGGGGGCCATCGAGCTGGACACGGAGAACCCCGGCGGTATCGTCGGCTGGGGTTCGGAAGACGAGTCCTTCGAGGTGCGCGAGGGCATTCGGGTCAACCCTGACTCGTCCAAGACCGTATTGGTCCGCGACTCTCCCAAAAGTGAGTGGCGCGACCTCGCCGTCTTTCCTTACGGCGAGGAGGGCGGCATGGTCGACTTCTGCGGCGACGGCGAGCACGCGCTCATGACGTCGTCCGTCGGCCGCGAGACGACGGCGCTGACCAAAGTCAAATTGTCCGACGGGTCGACGACGGAGGTCATCGCCTTTAACGATAAGGCGGACTGCGGCGGCATCATGTTAGACGAGGACACGAAGGAGGTCCGGGCCGTGTCGTTCAACTACGCGCGCACGGAGCGGACCTTCTTCGACGAGGAGCTGAAGGGCCACTTCGACCGGCTCGAGGGCATGGGCCCCGACAAAGCGGAAGTTTCATTAGTGTCGAAGACGCGCGACGAGGCGACCTGGGTCGTGTCGTTCCGCAGGGACGACGGGCCGACGGAGTACTCGCTGTACGACACGGCGTCGCACAAGCTGACGCCGCTCTTCGTGAGCCAGCCGGCGCTTTCTGATTACAAGTTCGCGCCTGTGTGGCAATCAAATTTCGGGCGCCCCACGCCATCGACGCGACGTTGTCCCCGTGGCGTGTCGGCCCGATGGCGTGATTTCCACACAGGTTCGCGCACATGGAGGACGTTCGCATACAAGCGCGGGACGGGCTCGAGCTCGTCGCGTACCTGACGCGCGCCAAGGCCGACACGCCGACGCCGCTGGTGCTCTGCGTGCACGGCGGGCCGTGGGCCAGAGATTTTTGGGGCTTCAACAGCGCCGCGCAGTGGTTCGCGAATCGCGGGTATGCCTGTTTACAAGTGAACTACCGGGGGAGCTCGGGCTACGGCAAGTCCTTCCTGCATAAAGGAGACAAGGAGTGGGGCGTGGGTGCGATGCAGCACGACCTGACGGACGCCGTGAAGTGGGCCGTGGACCAGGGCATTGCGGACCCGGAGAACGTGTGCATCTATGGCGGCTCCTACGGCGGCTACGCGTGTCTGGCGGGCTTGACCTTCACCCCCGATCTGTACAAGTGCGGTGTGGACATCGTGGGCCCGTCGAACATCAAGACGTTGTTAGATAGCATACCGCCGTACTGGGGTCCCCTGCGGAACGACATGCTGAAGAAGATCGGCGACGTGGATGAAGATAAGGCCTTCAACGAGAAGATCTCTCCTTTATATCATGTTGACGCCATCAAGGCGCCGTTACTCATCGGCCAGGGCGCGAACGACCCGCGCGTCAAGCAGGCGGAGGCGGACCAGATCGCGTTCTCCATGGCGGACAAGGGCATCCCGGTGGAGTACGTCTTGTATCCGGATGAAGGGCACGGGTGGGCGCGGCCGCCGAACCGCATCGACTTCAACGGGCGGACGGAGCTGTTCCTGAAGGAGCACCTCGGCGGCCGCGCGGAGGCCTTCGTGCCGCCGGAGGGGAACACGGCGTCGTTTCCCTTGAAGGAGCGGAAGTAGTAGGTGGTAATTTGGTTTGTGAACTTGCTTTGAAGCTAGGCCGCCTAGCCACACGGCCGGTCTTACGCGGAGTCGTTCTCGGCCGCGGCGGCGCGTTTTTAGAATTGCGTCAAATTTGCTAGCTCCAAATCAGCCGAACGAACGAGCCCACTCCCGGGCTTGACGAAGAGCCCTCGGGGCGGCGTCACGGCGCGAATCCGTTGGCGTACCCCATTGCGACTTGTGAGCGCGTGCTTGGCAGGCAGGAGGTCTTGGTGAGAGATTTTGGCACCATAGAAGACCGCCGCAGTCAAAACCGCTCATCGAGACCGCCACAGGACCAAAATCTACACCACAAACACGCACCGCAGCAAAAACGATGCGTCTCGCCTCGAGAAATCTGCTCATTTTGCCGGCAGTGAGCTCAGCGCTCAAATTCCAGCAGCAGCAGGCGCCCAAGGCGCCGGCCGCCGCCATGAAAAGAAGGCAGGTCCTAACCCTGCCGGCCGCCGCGTTGGCGCTACCGCAATCAGCGCGCGCCGACCAGGCCTGGGCGGGCCCGCGTTGGGCGGAAGTAGACACGAAATTACCTACAAATGATCAAGCGCGGGTCTTTCGGGATCTGGAGGACGGCTTCGAGGTCGCCTACCCCTCGAACAACTGGATGCGCACGCAGCCGCTCCCCGAACTCCTAGGAGGCGCGCCGCCGCGAGGGACCCGGTTCGCCGCGACGGATCTCGGGCAGGGCGCCGTCATCGCCGTGACGTGCCAGCCCCTGAGTAATGTGGACTGGCCAGCCATCCAGGCCGTCAAGAAGAACGGCGCCAAGTCGCTGGAGGCGGCGGCGGCGAGGTTCGCGCGGAAGCTCCTCGACGATAGAGCTGCCGAGCTCGGCTGGTCGTCAGCTAGATTGGTCTCGTCGGCCGTGAAAGCCCCTGATAGGGTCGAGTTCGAGGGCAAGGCCTACTTCGAGATTCCCAATGATGTTCCCATCGTCCGCAAGGAGGTCTGCGTCTCCTTGCGAAGGGAGGGCAAGGTCCTAACGGCCTGGGCGTCGGCGCCCGTGGACACGCTGTCCCAGAACCCCGAGGTCGCGCGCTACATCCCGGCGATCATCCAGACGTTCCGGGCGGCCTGAGACGCGTAAGCTCCCTTTTGTGTGCATTTTTATTGACTTGAAACGATCTTACAAACGACTTGGGGGCGGGGCACACACGAAAGGGGGACTTCTAGGGCGCCGCGGCGCACTTGATCTGCACGCTGTGCAGGACGCCGCTGTCGATCAGGGGGGCGAGCGCGCCCATGACGCGGCGGTGGCGCTGGAGCGGCCGCACGCCCCGGAACGACGTCGCCTCGACGTAGACTTGGAGCTGCCGCCCGTGCGCCGCGATCGCGCGCCCGTCGGCCGCGCCGACGGCGACGTGGGCCTCGTCCGTCGTGTCCACGAGGCGGAGCTCGACGACGCCCGGCACGGCCCCGCGCACGGCCGCGTCGACGCCGAGCGGGTCGTTCGTCACGATGGGCAGCGCCGGCGGCAGGATGCCGCAGGGCAGGTCCGGGAAGTCCACGACGCTGGACGGCGACGTCGAGAGCTCCGGCTCCGCCTCCATGCAGTCGCAGACGAACTGTTGTCGTCGGAGCGGCGTCGCGGGCGTCGGCTTCGGCGGCAGGCTCGTGCGTAGGACGATCCCTTCATCGTTCACGGCGATGGCTTCGCTGTGGGCCGCCATGTTGTTTGTCAATATCTTCGCGTCGACGGCGTCCTGATTTTAGCCTCTCGATGTCCGTGACACGCGCAATATCTTCGCGTCGGCGGCGTACGGCTGCTTATCTTAGCCTCTCGGTGTCTGTGAGACGCGCAATATCTTCGCGTCGACGGCGTTCGGCTGCTATCTTAGCCTCTCGGTGTCTGTGACAGCCAAAAAAGAGCTCAGTCGATAGCGGTGCGCTGCGAGGGCGACGGTAGGCTTGTCAGCTCGTTGTTTCACGGCGTTTGCGTCGACGACCGGGGGTTTCACCGGCGCTCCGCAACAGCCAGTCCTTGTCATCGGAGAGGCACGCTCTCGATAGCCGCGTAATCGAAACCGAGTCCAGGAGGCGTCACGCGAACGGGAGGCGTATCTGGAGACGTATAAGAGAAAAAAGGGGCGCAAAAGCGTGCGGGTGATTCGGGACGCCGCGAGACCGAGCATCAACAAAAAAAACTACAAAGCCATATTAGAGCCTCCTAATGTCCCCAATCTCCACTTCCTCGTCGTCCGGCGCCTGCGCGGCGATGGCCTGGGCGCGCCGGCACCCCTCCGCGTCGCGTCGAGCTTCCTCGGCGGCGTGGCGCGCCTTCGCCGCGGCCTCCGAGGCCTCGCGCGCCGCCGCGTCCCGCTCGTCAAAAAGCGTCTTGCCCGCGAAGGCGGCCTTCTCGCGCTTCCGGCGCCGCGCGGCCGCCGCTGCCTGGACGCGCCGCTCGCGGACGACGTCGCGCCGGAGCGCCGCCGCCGCGGGCACCTCGTCGACGATGCGCGCCGCGAGCGCGTCGGCCGCGGTCAAATCCTGAGCCGCGGCGTCGGCGTCTCCCAGAAAACCGCGGGCGGCGCCCCGCCGCAGGCGCGCCTTGGCCCTGAGCAACAGAGTTGCCGAAGACATGGCGGCCTCGACCTCGCTCGCCACCGCTTCGTCGACGTCATCACCTAAAACACCTAAGGCACCGTCTAGCACCGCGATTTCATCCCTCCTACCGTTTCGTTTCTTGCAGCAGAGCGCGACGTTCAGCAAACACCGCGCGAGGACGTCTTTGAGTTTCGCGAACGCCTCGTCGTCGTCCTCGTCCAGGGCCTTGAGCTGGGCCTCGGCGCGCCGCGCCGCTCTCGTAAAACACGCCTCGGCCCGTCGACATTCGCCCTCCCCCAAAAGCATCGCGCCGCGCTCCTTGAGGTACGACGCGTCCTCGTCGCCTTCGGTCACGGCATCCAAGCGGACGGCCGCCCGGATCGAGGGCCCTAAACCTACTTTTCTGACGGCATAGCACGGGTCGCCGTAGGCCCCGTCGCATGTGACAATACACCCCTCGCCGGGGCGCATAGCTAAAACAGCGACCTCCAGCCCCTCGCAGACGTCGCCCTGGCCCAGTTTTATATTTTGCGGGTCGACGCCCTCGGAAGCCTTGAATAGAGCATCATCATCCCGATCATCGTCGGCAATCACTAATCTTACAGTAGCGGTCCCGCCGAACCGGGGCCTTTTCCCGCCGGGCTTCGGGGCCTCCATGCGCTTTGTTGAGACGGTGCCGTGGCCCTTGTAGATCTCCGCGTCGACCGGCGCCAGTTGCCGCGACACGCGCACCGCGTGGAGGCAGCAGTCCAGCTTCAATTCATCATCAATGTCCGCTTCAATACGTTCGCCCCGCCTCATATCTAAGACCTCTCGACTCAGCACCTGCTTCCACTTTTCATCATGCTCTTCGCCCGCGACCACCGACACGCGCGTGCCGCCTATTTCGGACTTGCCCCCGTCTCGCGGTTTGCAGACGAAGGACACCAGAGCCTCGGCGCCCTGCTGGGGGCGCACGGACGCACAAAGGCCGCGGTGCTTTGGAGGATGTAAGGTCTTCGAGCTACTTTTGGCCGCTTTGTAGGCCTCGAAGGCCTCGATCGCGTCCCACTTCTCCGCCCGTTCTTGGACGCTCTGGCGCGTGTAGGCCACTTTGGCATCCACAGCGGCATAAGCCTCGTCCTCGGAGCTGCCCGGCTCCGGCTCGTCGCCCGCGTACTGGCGCCACTTGTCCCTTCTGTAACTCATTCCGCGAACCTTCCTACAAACACCACGAGACCAATAACCACTAGCAACAAAGCGACGGATTTAATAATCGTGCAGTCTCCGGAGTTGCCCGCCCGAAAGATGGGCTGCACGTAGCCCAGGTCGTCCAGGAGCTGCTGCCGGCCGCGGTCCGCGCGCGGCATGTCCCGGCGCCGTCTCGGCGGCGGACTGGGAATACTGCGCGGCGGCCGCGTCTCCGTGGGCATGCAGTTGTTTTGCTTGCGGCCAGCGTCGCTGGCGTCGCTGCTGTGGCGCGCTCAGTGTTGCGCTGCGGCTGAGAGCGATGAGCTGTGGCCGCGCGGTACGCAGCGATGGATACAGAGATGCGTCTTGCGCGTACTTATTTCAGGATCGGTGCGCAGGACGCGTAAATGCGTCGACCGGGCACGCAAAAGCGAGCTAGCGTCATGTAAGACTCTAGCGAGGGTACGGGAGGGGTACGGGGAACCCTGCGACGTAACTAGCCTCAGCCTCAGCCTCGGGTAAAAAACCCACCCTAACCCTAGGCCTGTCAGCGCGCGCACTGGCCCGAGCACCAGAAACACTGCCCGGGCGCGCTCGATTCGCTCACCCCGGATTCTTTGGACTGACGGACTGTGCGTGAGAATCCAGTTGTATAAGTTGTCTTAAATCACATTACTTCTCAGTCATCTCCCGCACGAGCGCGTCCACCGCGCCCGCCGCCGCCGCGTACAACTCGTGCGCCCCATCAATCAACGTCCGCGCCCAGGGCGGCGCCGCGGCCGTCGCCGCGGAGCCGTCGAACCAGTCCGGCCGCGGCAGTTTGTAGCCGACCTGGTACATGTAGGCCACCGTCGGGTCGGCGCCGGGCTCGTAGCGCGTCTCGTGGCTCACGTTGTAGAGCCGGATGGACCCCTCGAGCGGCCGGGGGCCGTCCTTGGCGGGCGACAGGTCGAAGCCGCGCCACTCCGCGCGCCAGGCGCATTTCACGTCGATGTCGTAGTACAGACTCCGCTGGCCCCGCTTCCGCGTGACCGACGCGCTGACCGAGGATTCGTTTGATAGACACGTCGTGATGGCCACGCATGCGCCCTGGCCGAGGTCGACCTCGACATTCTCGAGCAGCTCCGCGAGGCGCGCCTCGGCCCAGCGCGAGCGGTCGCTCTCCTCGAGGTAGCCTAGCGTCGAGCCGGGCACCGGCATTGATGATGCCGGTTTACTTGCTAGCCCGACGCCGGCCGTCCGCTGGTGCGCGGCCCGGGCCTCTTCCGCGCGGCGCTTGACTCGAGCCTTCCTTGCTTCATCGGCGTGCTTCGTGAGCTTGAGGAGGCGCCGCGCGTCCCGGTTCAAGAGTTTAAGTTCGGCGGGAGGCGGGTCGAGCTTCTGGGCCTGTGTTGTTCGACGCGTCGACTGCGTGAAGAAGGGAGAGTTCGGACGCAGGCCGCGCGCCTCGAGCACGTCAGAATAGGCCCGCGCGACGTCCCGCCGCTTCTCCCGCGCGAGGGCGCGTCGATACAAAGCGCGCCGCCTCACATTCACGTTCTCCACGACGTCACAGTACGCTACGGCCCTCGAAGCGGCCTGCTCCGCGCGACTCCAATACCCGAGCTTGAGCAAGGCCGCAGCGATGTTGCCGTACAACGCCGCGGCCAGCGCCATGTCGTCAGGGCCATCGTTCTCGCGATCCAACCTTAGTGCTCGCGCCCAGAAGGCCAAAGCACCAGCGCTGTCGCCCGCTGCAAACCGCGCGTTGCCTTCCGCCTTGGCCGTCGCTGAATCTTGACACATTTCTTGCGCGGCGACGACGTCGTCCACTCGTATGGGAGACATCTTCTCGACGTCGCCCGTGCGCTCGGCCTTTTTGATATCTTCACTCTCGACAGTCAAATTCATGCCCGCCCCGGCCATGGAGCACTGCGTCAGGCGCGGGTCGTGCAGCATCAATCTGGTGAGTTCGCCCATGGCTTCCGGCGTCGTCGCGGCCTCGCACTTCTTTTGTAATTCTCGCAGTCGTCTGCAGAACGCCGCGTCGGTCACGTACTCCCTCAGTAAAGGGTGGCGCAGGCAGCGCTGCACGGGGTCCTCGCCAATGAAGAACTTGAGGAGGCCGCCGGCCGGGTCCATTGTATTTGCGTCGCTGGCGTCCGCCATCGCGCTCATTTTGCTATGACAGCTCGAGCTGGGTGGCTCGTTTTGCGGCTTGCCGGTACGCACCGATGCCGAAACTTCGTAGGCCTTCGAAACAGATATCAGATCGATGCCTGAAGCGCACAACTGATGCACAGGCTGTCGCTATGGCGCGATTTACGCCGCAGAGGCCCTTTGTCTCCTCTCTCAAAGGTGGTCGGCCTCTGGAGCTAAGGTATGCCTTTTGGGCACCGGGGAACGATAGCGGAGCCTTCGGAAGCCTCCTTTGTGGCTTTTGGAGACCAAAATTCGTCGCAAGTGGTCTCCAAGCCCATCGCGGCGCAAACACATTTTGCCTGCGCTAGAGGCGAAGAGCTCACCAGGAGCTGCCACAGTCTTCAGGTTGGGCGCCAAGAGGTATCCGGTGATCGCTGCATCGATAAAGACAGCTCCCAGGCCGTAGCAGCAGGAATTGGCGCCAGGCGGCGACCTATTGACCGAAACAGTAGCGCGCCCCAGGTCCACGCGCAGCCTTCTCTCACATCGGATCGCGCCCCTAGACCACCATGGCCGCCTCGAACGGCCGCCGCGTGTCGTACTTCTACGACGCCGAGATCGGGAACTTCCACTACGGCCAGGGCCACCCGATGAAGCCCCACCGCGTGCGCATGACCCATAATCTCGTCGTGAATTATGGCCTCTACCGCATGATGGAGGTTTTCCGGCCGAAGCCCGTGAACGCGGCACTACTCACGAGGTTCCATAGTGACGATTACGTAAATTTTCTCAAGATCATCACGCCGGACAACATGCACGAGTACCTAAGGCAGTTGCAGCGCTTTAACGTCGGCGAGGACTGCCCCGTCTTTGACGGGCTGTTTGAGTTCTGCCAATTGTACACGTCTGGGAGTATTGGCGGTGCTGTTCGGCTCAATCAACAATGGAGTGATGTAGTCATCAACTGGGCCGGGGGTCTACATCATGCCAAAAAGTCGGAAGCGTCGGGGTTCTGCTACGTCAACGACTGTGTGCTTGGTATTCTCGAGTTGCTCAAGCGCCACCAGCGCGTGTTATACATCGACATCGACATCCACCACGGCGACGGCGTCGAAGAGGCCTTCTACACCACCAACCGAGTCATGACGGTGTCCTTCCACAAGTTCGGCGAGTACTTCCCGGGTACCGGGGATGTACACGACGTCGGCTACGACGCGGGCAAGAACTACGCGATCAACTTTCCGTTACATGACGGCATGGACGACGCCTCGTTCAAGTCGGTGTTTGAGCCGGTGATCGGCAAGATCATGGAAAGATTTGCGCCCGGTGCGGTCGTGTTGCAATGTGGTGCCGATAGTTTATCTGGAGATAGGTTGGGCTGCTTCAACCTGTCGCTGAGAGGTCATGCAGATTGTGTCAAGTACGTCATGGGCTTCGGCGTGCCCATGTTAGTCTTGGGTGGCGGTGGCTACACCTTGAGGAACGTCCCGCGCGTCTGGACGTACGAAACGTCGGTGCTCCTCGGAACGGAGATCAAGGACGTCCTGCCGTACAACGATTATTTTGAGTACTACGGGCCCGACTATAGATTACATATGCCGGTGAGCAACATGGAGAATCTTAATTCCAAGGAGTACCTGCAGCACGTCAAGGCGCAGCTCTTCTCGGTCTTGGACGACGTCGAGCCCGTCCCTGGTGTTCAGATCAAGAGTGGTGACGCGAGCGCCATGGACACGTCGGCGGACAACGCTGCTGCTGCGCCCGCGGCCGCGGCGGCGGCGCCCGTCGCCGCGGCGGTCCAGGAGGCGTCCGAGTCCGTGTCGCAGGCCGAGGCCATGGACACGAACCCCGATCAACGAGGCACGACGGACAACAAGGAGCACCCGGCGGAGTTCTTCCCTTCTGGTGCGGAAGGTGGCGGCGCGCCGGCGGCGCCGCCGTCTTAGGTTCCTGCTCCCATGGCGTAACAAGAACTTTTCTACCTCCTTCTTTGGCGTCGCGGCGACGGCGTCTCGCGCTGCCCCGCCGGCAGCTAGCGGCTGTAAGGCACTAGCCTTTACGCAGCTCAAGCTTGTGCAGGGATTTTGCATCGTAGGGCTGCCCCCGAGCGATTTGACCACATATAGGATGATCCTCACGCAGTGCGCCGTCTGCGCCACCGAGCTTGGCCTAACTTTGGGCAAGAAATGCGGCCGCTGCAGCACGCGCTACTGTGGCGCCGAATGCCAGAAAAAACATTGGGAAGAGGGCGGCCACGACAAGCTCTGCAAACAAATAAAAAAGGCAGGCGGCGCCGAGCAATATAATGCCAACAAGAGATACACGGAGGCCGTAGTGGTCGCGGCGGAGGCGTGCGCCGAGGACACGAAGGGCCAGACGTGCTTCATCTGCACGCAGGCCCTCCATTGGAAAACGAAGGAGGGTCTCGTGCGCGGGTGCGCGTGCCGCGGGACGGCGGGCTTCGCGCATGTGTCGTGCTTGGCTGAGCAGGCGAAGATTTTGCTCGCGGAGGCGGAGGAGAACAATTTGGGCGCCAAGGTGTTGGATGAGCGGTACCGCCGGTGGTACGCGTGTAGCATGTGCGAGCAAGAATATCACGGCGTCGTGCGGTGCGCGCTCGGGTGGGCGTGCTGGAAGACGTACTTGGGCCGGCCGGAGACGGATCAGTTTCGGAGTAACGCGATGGGGCTGCTGGGGATGGGTTTAGCCTCTGCAGGACACCTCGCGGACGCGTTGACCGTACAGGAGGCCGAATTGGCTATGACGCGGCGACTTGGCGAATCAGAAGACGCCATCCTCGTCGTGCAGGGCAATCTTGCGAGCACGTATTCAATGCTTGGAAACATAGAAAAGGCCCTAAGCATGGAGCGAGATGTATACTCTGGACGTTTAAAGTTACACGGCGAGGAGGATTCCAACACCCTCCGAGCAGCCGGCAACTACGCGGTGTCCCTTCATGATCTACAGCGCTTCGAAGAAGCCAAGTCACTTTTTCGAAAAACGATACCCGTGGCGCGACGCACTCTCGGAGAAGAAAATGTACTGACGCTCAGGATGAGGTGGACTTACGCGCGGGTGCTCTACTTGGACGAAGGCGCCTCTCTTGATGACCTGCACGAAGCCGTGGCGACGCTTGAATCCGTTGCGCATTTGTGGAAGCGCATTTTCGGACCGGCGCATCCTGAGACGCAGAAGGCCCAGGAAGCGCTGAAAGGGGCGCGCGAGGCGCTGGCCAAGGGAGGTGTCTAGCCCCACTGGCACACCATCGCCGCGACGCTTAGTAATCACTACTTAGTCCGTCGTGTCCATCGCGCCCTCCTTCGGCTCGAACTCGGCGGGATGCTCGGCCTTCTCGGCACCGTCCTTATCAGTCATTTGTCTCACATCAGGATCGGCGGCGTCGGCGGCGGCCCCGGCGTCGCGCGTCGCCCAGTCCGGCGGCACATCTTGTAATGTCAGGGAAGGTGCACCCTTCAGAGCACTCAAATTTTCCAGCACCTCCTGCGTCGTCCGCTCCAGCTCCTCCCGCTCGTTCAGGTTCTCCATGGCCATGGACGGCGTCAAATGCAGCTTGAAATCGGGGGCGTAGTACTCGTAGTAGTCATTATAAGGTATATCTTCTCCCAAGGGAGTGTCTAGTACGACTGACGTCTCGTAGGCCCAGCACCTGGCGACGTTCCTGATGGTGTACCCACCACCTCCTAAAACAAGTAAGGGTACGCCAAAGCCTTTCACGAACCTCACACACTCCCCATGTCCTTTGAGCGTCAGATTGAAACAGCCCAATCTATCCCCAGTCAAGGAATCGGCACCGCACTGCAATACTATAGCGGTAGGTTTATACACCTCCATGATCTTCTCGATGACCGGTTCAAACACAGATTGATAGGATGCATCGTCCATGCCTTCCTTCAGGGGGAAGTTCACGCTGTAGTACTTGCCCTTCTTCGCTCCCAAATCCGTGATGGCCCCCGTGCCCGGGAAGAAGTCGCCGTATTTATGAAAGGAGCACGTCATCACGCGGTCCGTGCAGTAGAACGCCTCTTCCACGCCGTCGCCGTGGTGGATGTCGATGTCGATGTATAGTACCCTTGCGTGGTACTTTAGGAGTTCTAAAATAGCTAGTACAATATCATTGATGTAGCAAAAACCGGAAGCCTCGGCTTTCTTCGCGTGATGCAGGCCACCGCTCCAATTAATCGCCACGTCGCAGGCGCCGTGGTTCAGTTTGACGGCGCCATCAATACTAGCGCCGGACGCTATTTGTTGAAATTCAAAGAGCCCCTCGTAGACGGGACAGTCCGTGCACTCGCCGACGTTGAATTGGGCCATCTGTTGCAAGAATGGTCTCGTCGACTCGGGAGAGACTTTCGAGAGGAACTTGACGTAGTCGTCGGAGTGGAACCGCGTCATCTCTAGAGGCGCCGCGAGGTGGGGCCGGTAGACGTCGAGCTTCCTATACAACCCAGTAGATAATATGAGGTGGTGGGCCATCTTGATGCGGTGGGGCTTCATGGGGTGGCCCGGGCCATAGTAAAAGTGGCCCACGTCCGTGTCGTAGAAGTAGGAGACGCGCTGCTTGACCATCTTGGACGACTTTTTGTGAGGCCGGGCGAAGCCTTTCTCGGGGCGGCTTGAGGTCGTGCGCGGCGCGCCCTGGCGCTTGGGCGGTTCACCGGGGCTCCGCGCTTGGGCTCAGGAGGGGCCCGCGCGCCGGCCGGGCGCGATTCTCGCTGCAGGTCACCCGGGGGCTCTCACGGCTCTGGAGAGCTCGTTTGAAGCGCCAGATTTTTTCAGGCGCCCGCGGGCGGCTGCGGGGTGGTGTGTCGCTTCTCTGGGCGCCTCGCTGGGCAAAATAAGAGGCTATAGGCCGCGAGCGAGGAGAGCGAAGCAAGGACCTCCTAGCGTAAAGACACTAGAGATCGGGTTTTTCACGCGATTTTTGCCAAAAATAGCGCTATAAACAGCACTGCAGGGGGTTGCTAGCAAGGAGAGGTAGCTCAACACGCCAGCGGAGCACCTCAGTGACAGCGAGCGAGTGACAGACGCTTGTCGGCCGCGGCAAGCACCGAGTCCGCTGCACGCCGTCGCCGCGTCGGCGCAGCGGCGACCTCGTGCGTCAATCGCGCGCGCCGGACGCTCGCAAGCACCACCACCAACACAAAGATGGAGCTCCCCCGCCCGCCCGCCTGGTACCGCGACGACGACCTCGTGCCGCCGCGCCCGCCGAAAAATAAGAAATTAAGGAGCTTCGGAAGCCCCGACGAGGACGACAGCTTCTGGGAGGCGGAGCGCCCCGTCGCGGAGCACTGCGCCGTCATCAAGAGGTTGAATCGCGAGGCGGTGCGCTGCTTCTGCGAACTGCTACGGTTGGCCGCGTCGAGCGAGGCCTTCGACGCCGAGCAGCAGGTCGAGTCCAAGGGCGAAGCGCTCCAGAAGCTCTTCGACGAGATGCACTCCGAGGTCGGGAAGCTGCGCATCCCCGAGGCGCGCTCGAATCTAAAGCAGCACCTCGAGGAGGAGGCTAGACAGCGGCGCGCGACGGCAGCTCGATTGAGGGCGGCCGCCGCCGACGCGCGGCAACAGATCAAGGAGATGCTGGCGGGGCCCGACGCGCCGCCGTACACGGACCACGAGGAGAGCGAGGAGGCCGTCGTCGAGCGGGCGGTGCTCATTTCGGATAGGATCCGCGCGCACGAGGCCGCGGAGCACGCGCGCCTTTGTTTGGAGGGCAAGGCGCCGCCCGAGGAGCCCCTCGACGAGCCGGAGTCGCTCGAGGACGGGCTGAAGGAGTTGGTGGATGCCGTCAAGGAGGCGTGCGTGGCCGCCGAGGCGCAGGACGCGGGGCGGCGGGAAAGGGCGGCTCGGAGGTAAAAATGTAGGTGTGTGATTTGCTCGTCGATGGCGTGCACGTCTCCCCAACACTCGCCGCGAGCGGGCACAGGATACTGGTACACGATATTAAAAACAGCGACTATTTGCGCAGGTTGTTCAGCCGCGCCTCGAGGTCGGACACCGTCGTGTCGCCGCCGCCGCCGCCCGGCGGTGGGGGCGGACCACCACCACCACCACCGACCGCATCAGCTACTGCCACCGGCGCCGCCTGCGGCCGCGCCGCCATCGCGTCCGGCGCGTCCGGGATCGTGTCCCCAAACGAGATGCCGATCTCGTCCAAGACGGCCCCGACAATCTTCTCCTCCTCGTCGCTGTCGCCGTCTTCCGCCATGGCATCGTCGAGCATGTCGCCCATGACCTCTTGGGTCATCTCTGCGCGCTCGTTCTCCACTTGAAAATTGACCATGATCTTCTGGATGCTAGGAATATTCACGGTCTTGTTCATCCTAACCATGGCTTCCGTGACGGATTTCATCGCGCGCGCCATGGCCTCCTGGGACTTGACCGTTTGTAATTTGAGGGCGACGGCGTTCAAGTGCGATCTTAACTCTATAAATTTCGTTATATATGTTCTCGTTCGCACGAGATCTTTCGCCATGATCTTGACGGGGCCCATCTGGCCGTCCTTGGCGTACTTCTTGATGTCGGCGACGAGTTTTAGCTCCTGCTTCTCTAGGTTGGCTCGTTCGCGGTCGAGCTCTCTTACCGCTTTATTGATCTCACGCTTGTTCTTGCGCAGCACCTCTTTGAGCGGGACCTTGCGGCCCCAGGTGTTGCCCATGGTTGCCTCGGCTCACGACAAGTCACGCGCTGCTCACGCGCGGCTCGAATTCTACTCCTGCTGTGCTTTGCTGCAGGAATACGGCTGCGGCGTCGTTCGGCGAGCAGTCTTCTGTGTCCGAATCGTTTCAGAGCACGTCTTGCACAGCGTTCGTGTCCACTGGTTACGTCGGCTTGCCTCGCGCGCGGATAATTCGTCTTTTTGGTTGCAAAGCTCCAAAAGTTTCAGCACTCGAGCAAAAGTCAAAGCCTGCAAGACGCGATCCCTGGCGAGCCTGCGTCGATCAAGATGCCTGAAACGCGTCCGCCTCGAAGGGCCTAAACCATCAAAACGGGTTCCCTCGCATTTTGGTCGGCCATTTTTGACCTCCCGCGTGCCCAACGCGCGTTGCTGCGGCGCTATTTGCCTGCTCTATCCTCATCGCTGCGCAAGGTCCAGCTTTCGAGGCACCGCTGCGCGCAACCAGCGCGCCAAGCACCAAAACTGCTGTGAGGCGGCGACCGCACGCGCTGCACGCGTTGCGTAGCTCGGGGGCTCGTGCGGCGCGGGGCGAGCGCGGAGACCACCGGAAATTTGCGCAAGCGGCTGCCGCGCGCCCTGAAACCACAGGGGCGTCGCCGACCCTGACCGCGCGCGAGCAAGGGACGGCACAAAATGAACGCCTCGCAACTCCAAAGAGAAGCGGCGAGCCGCGCCATGAAGATGGCGCGCGCCGCGGGCATGGAGAAGTCCATGGCCCAGGCCATGGGTGCTGCTGGTGTTTCTGCCCCGAACGTCGCCGGCGGCGACGGCCGCTTCTTTTCCAGTACAAAAAAAGGCGAGACGCAGGAAATCAGGTTGGAACTCCAGGCCGCGTCGAAAGATAAAAAAATCAACGCCGTCAAGAAGGTTATTGCTAATATGACGGTGGGCAAGGACGTGTCGGCGTTATTTCCCGACGTCCTAAACTGCATCCAGACGGGCAACATCGAGCTGAAGAAGCTTGTTTACTTATATTTGGTGAACCATGCGAAGACGCATCCGGATCTGGCGCTGTTAGCCGTGAATACGTTCGTGCGCGACGCCGCGGACCCCAATCCGCTCGTGCGAGCGTTAGCTATTCGCACGATGGGCTGCATACGCGTCGAGAGGATCACGGAGTATTTATGTGAGCCTTTGGAACGCGCTCTCAAAGATGAAGATCCCTACGTGCGAAAAACGGCCGCGGTGTGCGTCGCGAAACTGCACGACATCTCGCCTGATCTCGTGAAGGATCGGGGCTTCCTGGATCTGTTGCGAGACTTAGTGGCGGACGCGAACCCGACCGTGGTGGCGAACGCGGTGGCCGCTCTCAGTGAAATCGCCGACGAGGACAAAGGAAGCGACGACGTCATGGGCATGTCGTCCGCGAAACTCCAGAAGCTCTTAGCGGCTTTAAACGAGTGCACGGAGTGGGGGCAAGTTAGTATTTTGGATGCGTTGGCGAAGTACGTCCCGGAAGAGGCGAAGGACGCGGAGCGCATCATCGAGCGCGTCATGCCGCGGCTGCAGCACGCGAATAGTGCCGTGGTGCTGTCGGCGATCAAGGTCATCTTGCAGTACATGCACGAGGCTTTGGATCCAGAATCCGAACTTTGTGTTGGTTATAGGAAGAAATTGAGTCCGCCGCTCGTGACGATGGTCAACACCGCCGAGCCCGAGCTCTGCTACGTGGCGTTGCGGAACGTGAATTTGATCGTGCAGCGAGATCAAAGAATACTAGAGAACGAGATCAAGATCTTCTTTTGTAGATATAATGACCCGCTCTACGTCAAATTGGAAAAGCTGGAAATCATGATCCGGTTGGTTTCGGACCGGACGGTGGATCAAGTGCTCTTGGAGCTCAAGGAGTACTCGCAGGAGGTCGACGTGGACTTTGTGCGCACGGCCATCAAGGCCGTGGGTCGCGTCGCGGTGAAGCTCGAGAATGCCGCCCAACGATGCGTGAACGTGTTGCTGGAGTTGATCAAGGCGCGCGTGCCTTATGTTGTGCAAGCTGCGGTTGTCGTGGTCGCGAATATCTTCCGGAGGTATCCGAACAGATACGAATCCATAATAGGGGCTCTATGCGAAAATCTCGAGTCGTTAGACGAACCGGAAGCCAAAGAAGCGATGATCTGGATCGTCGGGGAATATGCTGATAGTATAGAGAATGCTGATGAACTATTGAGCGGCTTCCTGGAAGATTTCCGCGAGTCCGAGCACGCGGTACGCCTACAGTTACTCACGGCGTGTGTGAAGCTCTTCCTCAAGTCCCCGCAACGAGGCGAGGCGCAGCAGATGGTGCAATCTGTGTTGTCCATGTCCACGGAGTGCACGGACGACCCCGACCTGAGGGATAGAGGCTATATATACTGGAGGTTACTCTCGAATGACCCGGAGGCCGCAAAAGCTATTGTATTAGGACCGAAGCCGCCCGTGGAAGACGACACGGCGAAGTTGGATGAGGCGACGCTGGATTTGTTACTGTCGCAGATCGGTACCCTAGCCTCGGTGTACCACAAGCCGCCCGAAGCGTTCGTGAACGAGAAGACTCTGAAGGAGGAGGAGGAGGAGGAGACCTACGACGACTTCGACGACGCGCCTGCTGACGACGAGGAACCGGCACCAGCACCACAGGGTGGTGGTGGGGACCTGCTGGATCTGCTCGACATGGGCCCCGTCGCCGCGGCCGTGCCCGAACCTCCCAAGTCTGGTGGCGACGCGCTGGTGGCCGACGCCTTGGGCGACATCTTTGGCGGCGACCCCGTCGTGCCGCCGTCGCAACCGTCCGGAGACATCTTCGGCGGTGATCTGATGGCCCCTTCACAAAACGACCCCTTCGGCGGGTCCGCGTTGTTTGGCGCAAATACCCCACCACCAGCACCGGCACCCTTGCGCAAGCCCGTTTCTGTGTTGCAGCCGTCGCAACAATCAGGAGGTGTTGGCATCGCCGCGGCGTTCAACGCTGGCGAGCAGCGGACGATAGCGCTGGACCTCGAGGTGTCGAACGCGGGGCCGCAGCCTGTTCGTTTGTTGCAAATTCAGCTGAACAAGTCGCCCTTTGGGCTGGCGCCGGCGGACGCACCTTCGCTCCAGTTCGACCCTCCTTTGTTGCCAGGAACGACGCGACCGAAACGGGTGAGGCTGAGAGCGGGCGACGCGAAGATGCTGTCGCAGGTGCCGGCCATGACGGCGGGTGCCGGCGTGAACGTGCAAATAGCATTAAAGAACGCGGACACGGGGGCCGTGTTTTACCTGGCCGCGCCGTGCCCGCTGGACGCCGTGTTTGCCGCGGACGCGACGGTGGATCGGTCGGCCTTCATAGCGAGGTGGAAGGCCATCGACGACGCCAATGAGAGTTATGCTACTGTGGCTGATTTACCGACCGGTCCTTCCATAGACGCGGCGGTCGCGAAACTCGCGGCGCGGCGGTGCCACCCCGTCGCGCGGCGGGCCGTCCCGGGCCAGGTCGGATCGGAAGTGGCCTACTTCTCGGTGCAGCTGCTCGGACCGGAGGCGGAGTATTTGGTGGAGCTCACGTTCAAGAGCGGCGTCGCGGCGTGCAAGGTCTGCGTCAAGACGACGGCCCGGTCGCTCGCGCCGCTGGGGCTCGCGGCGATCTGCGCGCTGCTGCGGGCGCCCTGAGTAATGGTTGGGGTGGGTTAATTGCTTAGACCTAGGCCGCCTGGCGGCCCTGACTGGGCCTAGTATTCCTTGGCGACGACGCCCATCACCTCCCCCGCGACGACGACGCCCTCGACGACGACGCCCTGGACGGGTTCGGCCATGGGCGACTCGTACTGCTCCTCCGAGGCGACCGCGGAGCCACCTATTGGCGGGAACGAGCAGCCGAGGCGCAGGTGCGGCGCCGACGCGGGGGCGACGGAGCCGTCGGCGTGGAACTCGAAGTCGAGCGGGCGCTTGCCACCGTGTTTGCGATGTTCCTCGTGTATCCGGGCCGGATGGTTGTGCCGGTTTACTACTAAATCCGTGTGATTGCCCTGATGTATATTCATCATGCTCGGGCAGACGTACCAGCCGGCCTTGTCGACGAAGAACGATCCCTGGCGCGAGGCCACGACCGCCTTACTCGCCGGACCGAGCCCGAGCGCCTTGTAGTGCCACTCGCCGAACGCCTCGCGCGGCTCGTCGAAGACCTGGACGACGGCGAGGCCCGGGTGGCTCGCCAGCGTGAGCGGGACCTGTTGGCCGGCGGCGAGCGCCTTGGCGTGCTGGAAGCGGCAGACGAGCGGCGACCCGGCCGGCACGAAGGAGAAGGTTGGAATGCCGGCGCCCAGGACGAGGTGCTGCGCACACTTCGGGGAGATCGTCCCGTCTGGGTTTACGACAAAGCTGCGGCCGCCGTTGCCGTAGCGCGTATGGCCGGGATGACACGCCGTCGACCTCAGGATACTAAGGTGATTCCCGACCTCGTATTTCCACCACGCGATGTCGAACACGCGCTCGTCGTGCACGCGTACGAGGAACTCCCCGTCCAGCCGGACGCGCATGGCCATGTGGCGTGGGCCCAATCCCAACTCGATGTAGCTCCACTCCATGATCTTGCGCGGATAGTCGTACCGCGGCACGACGGCCATGCCGTTGCGCAGCGTCAGAAGCGCGCCGCCGGGCTGGCGGAGCGCGTGCGCATTCTCGAAGTAGATCGCGTCGGCTGCCCCCTTGGATGTGAGGACCAGGCGTGGGCCGTCTTCGGTGGCGCCGGTGCCCGGCGGCGTGTAGTCTTCGGCAGAGATTACACAGCCCATCGCTTAACTACTCGGCCAATCGGCTCCGGCAGCCTTTTTTTCACACTCCTGGGGCTTTTCCTCTGGCTGTCGAGCTTGCTTGGAAAAATCTCGGGAGGTCGAGGCCTATGAAGCCCATACAACCCTCCTTGTAGACTCTTCATCCAATGAGAGGCTTCCTCGTGTGCGGGTTCGAAGAACTGCCCGGCTTTTTGACAAGGGCAGCCATAGCAGAGCTTACAGGCGGCAGCGCACTCATGGAGAAAGAGTATGTGCAGGCGGAAGCATACGCGGAAGAGTATGCGCGGGGCTTACCGGTCGCCACGGCCGAGCCAATCATGGGGGAGGTCGTGGGGGAGGTGGTGCCCTCGGCGACGGATCATCTCCCGGAAGCGCTCGACGGCGCGCCGCGCCTCGTGTTGGTACCCGCGGGCTCGGCCGACGCGCTGCGCTTCGACCACGCGGGTGTTCTTCGCGAAGGCGGCGAGGCGCCGCTCGGAAAGCACGTCGGGCTCCCGAACCCGAGTAATTTCTCTTTCGAATCCTGTGGCTAAGAGAGAGAGAGAGTCGCTTTATTGAACCCACCACAAGCTAGCGGCTGTAAGACACTAGAACCACTCACGTTTTTTGGCTATCAGGAGCGTGCTGCAGCAAAGCTTGAGCTCCTCGTGCAAAGACTGCCCACCAACGTGAGTGCGTCCTCGGCAGAGATAATCACTTGCTTGCACCAGCCAACTACACCCGCAAACAACAGACAGCGACTGCACCATGAAGCTCTCGCTAGCCCTCCTCGCAGCATGCAGCGACGCCCTCATCGCGCCGCCCGCACCGAAGCCAACGAAAACGCAGCTCCGCGCCGTCGCCGCGCCCCAGGACTCCTACAAGATCACGTTGCTACCGGGCGACGGCATCGGCCCCGAGATCACGACCGCGACGGTCAAAGCTTTAGTGGCGGCGGGCAAGACCAAGGGCGTCACCTTTGACTTCGACGAGCAGTTGTTGGGCGGCTGCGCCATTGATAAGGAGGGCACGCCCTGGCCGGACAAAACCTTGAAGAGTTGCCAGGCGGCGGACTCGATCTTGATGGCGGCGATCGGCGGGCCCAAGTGGGACGGCAACCCGCGCGAATTAAGACCGGAGACTGGACTATTAGCGATGCGCCAGCAGCTCGGGCTGTTCGCCAACCTCAGACCGGCGAAGGCCATCCCGCAGTTGTTGGATGCCTCGTCATTAAAGAGAGAGGTGGTTGAGGGTGTGGACATCATGGTCGTGCGCGAGCTGTGCGGCGATGTGTATTTTGGCAAGCCCGCGGGCATCTACACCGACGATGCTGGTGTGAGATGGGGCCAGAACAACATGATTTACTCCGAGCCCGAAATTGAAAGAATTGCGCGCGTCGCCATGGACGTGGCCCAAAAAAGACAAGGGCGGTGCTGCTCCATCGACAAGGCGAACGTGCTGGACGTGTCGCAGCTCTGGAAGGACGTCGTGATTCGCGTGCATGGGGAGTGCGGGCAAGGCGTCGAGCTTTCTCATATGTATGTAGATAACGCGGCCATGCAATTAGTCAGGTGGCCGAAGCAGTTCGACACGATCGTCTGCGGCAACATCTTCGGGGACATCTTGAGTGATGAGGCGTCGATGCTCGTCGGAAGCTTGGGCATGTTGCCGAGCGCGTCGCTCCCCTCAGAAGGTCCCGGCGTCTTCGAGCCCATCCACGGCTCGGCCCCGGACATCGCGGGCACGGACGCGGCGAACCCGCTGGCCATGATCCTCTCCGCGGCGATGATGTGCCAGTACGATTTGCTGCAACCGGACCTCGCGAAGCTGCTCGAGGACGCCGTCGAGGCGGTGCTCGACGCGGGCTACCGCACGAGGGACATCGTCAACGAGGGCAACGCCGACGAGACGTTGGTCGGCTGCAAGGAGATGGGCGACCTCGTCGCCGCGAAAGTTGCCGAGTTGGCCGCGTAAGAACAACTAGAACTTACCCCTGGTTGGTCGACGGCGTGGACTAGTGCGGGTTCCACGGCACCTCTCCGGGCGCCAAACGCCCGCGCGTCCGCGCGAGCTTGTCCTCCTTGCGCTTTCGCCGCCTGCGGGGGAGTGTCGAGTCGATGGCGTACGAGCGGTCCCCAACTCTACGGAGGGGCACGCCATCGCCACGACAAGTTCAAGGAATAACGACGCCGCCCGCGGACAGGTGCGCCCGCCGCATATCCGTCCAGGCCGCGTGCTGCGCCGTTCCATGGGTTGCGTTGCATCGCCGGCCCCGCTCGTCCTTCGCGATGGGGTCGCAGAGCGCGCACCGCGTCTGGCCGAAGGCGTGGCCGTGGTTCGACGACGTCCAGTTCCTTGTATTAATCGTCGGCTTGTCCTCGAGGGGCTTCGCGCGCGCCGTCTGGTCGTTGACCGGCTTTTTCATGCGCTCGGGCGGCGGTCGTCGAGGCGTCCCGTGGTGCCGCGAGGCGATGGCGGTGGCCCAGGGCTTCGCCGAGGCGCGCGGGTCCTTGGGGTACAACCTAGCTTGGCAGTCGCGCACGACGGCGTCGATGGGCGCGGCGCAGGCCTCGCTGCCCGCGGCGCGCGCCTGCTGCGACGGTCTTGAATACAAGTCGCCGGTCTGGATCGGCGCCGTGAGGTGATCCACCACACCCGGCAGCTGCGACAGGGCCTTGTCGTGGGCGACGTGCTTCGCGAGCAGCGCGACGCACGCGTCTCTCCGTCCTCGGCAGGCGGCATGGAGAGGCGTCTCGCCGGACTTCGACCGCAGCAAAGCGTCGGCGCCGCGCTCCAAGAGCACCTCGACGACGGCCGCGTGTCCAGCAAAGGCCGCGGCGTGCAGAGGAGTGGTATCGCCGGCGGTATCACACACATTCGCGTCCTCGCCCGCCTCCAGTAATAGTTCCGCGCACTTCGGCGCGCCGGCGATGGCCGCCTGGTGCAGCGCCGTCCGCCCTCCTCTCCTCTTCGAGTCCTGGACGAGGGCCGCGCCGCGCTTTAACAAAAGCTCCACGCAGGCCTCGCAGCCCGCCGCCGCGGCCAGATGGAGCGGCGGGCTGAAGTGCGCCAGCAGCGCGGCCCCGTCCGGGTCGCCGCCGGCGTCCAGGGCGCGCTTCAGGTGGTGCGCGTCGGCCGCGTGGGCGTGGAAGTGGATCGCCGTCTCGTTCGCGAGGCGCGTCGGCGCGACGACCCAGCGCGACGCTGTTGCCGGCTTGTGGGCGTTGAGGTGGGCAGCCATTTTTGACCGCCGGTGCGGCAAGCAGCCGGTGGGCGTAAATAGGCAGCCCGAAGCCCCTGTTTTGGTCGCTGCACGCGTGCGAGCTTCGTGTGCGTGCGCCAACCGGCAGCTGCTTTCTAGAGTGTCTGAAGGCCGCTAGCTTTTTTTTCCGAATTCGGTTGAAAAACGGTGTTGGGCAGGTGTTTCGACAACTTCAACAACATTACACAACCATCACGCCAGCCGCCGCCGCCACGCCTCGAGCGTCGCCCGCTCATCATCAGAAAGCGCGGCCTCGGCGGCCGCGTTCGCCGCCGCGTCGAGGGCCAGCGCGTCCTCGACCGCGCCGTCCACCGTAAACGCGTCGCGGAAGGACCGGGCGTAGTCGCCGGCGTGCAGGAGCTTGACCAGCTTATTGGAAGCCGTCCGGTCCGCCAACAGAGGTTTTGTAGATGAAAACCAGAACGACACAAGCGGCCTCGAACCGCGTTTCAGAGGCAGCGTCCGATGTAAAGTTGTGGTAGAAGAAAACAGCACGAGCGTATCCAGCGACGGCGCGACGTCGACGGGCGGGCCGCCCGACGACGGGTAGATTCGGAGCTCGCCGCCCGCCACGTCGGCGGCCGCCAGGTACAAAATACCCGTCACGCAGCGGCCCGTCGCGTCCGTCGTGTCCAGATGCGCGGGAAAGCAGCCGCCGGCGCCGTGCACCGCGGCCTTGACCTCGTCCACTCTTAGTGAAGCGCCGAGTTTTGATGATAGTTTCGAGCCGAGGACCCTTGCTTCGCTGCTCCCAAAGTCTCTGAGCGCCGGGCAGAGGTTCCGGGCGGCAACAACCGCCGCGTCATCTAGAATCGGCGCGCCCCGAATATGGATCTGGAGCTCCTCGACGTTCGTCTTGGCCCTGACTTCCCTTCCGGTCGACGTGCGCAGCGCGTTCGGCGACGCTCTTAGCAAGGAGTGCTCCGCGAGGCTCAGGACTTCCCTCCTCAACGTACGGGCGAGGCCGCGCGTCGCGTTCTCGACGACCGCGTAGCCCTCCGACGCTAGTGATTCAGCCGCTTGCTCGACATCGAAGGCCCAGGGCTCCTCCTCCTCGTCCTCCGACGACTCGAATGAAGGGGGCTCCACCAATGAAAAGTACCACACCCGATCGCCAGCATCTTCCCTCTCGTCATCTGACAAAGCGTCGCGCCTCATCACGAGCCCCTCGTCCGCGAAGGCCTCGAGAACTTCGTTGGCATCGACGTGGCGCCGCGTGTAGGCGATAATCACTTGACCGCCGGGCGCCAGTAACGCGCGGCACGTCCGCGCCAGCGGCGCCACGGCCTCCGCCGTGTAGGCGACGTCGGCGCCGAGGACCAGGGAGAAGCCGGTTTTCGCGTGGGCGAGGACGCGGCGTACATCCTCAGAATCGCCCCAGCGCAGCCGCTCGACCGCGACCTCGCGCCCGCAATTTCTCCTCAATTTATCCAGGGCGCGGTCGTCGCCGTCCGTCGCGACGACGACCGGCGCGACGCCGAGCCGTTTCGCGGCCAGCGCCACGAGGCCCAGCCCGCTGCCGACCTCGACCACGGAGGCCGTCGTCGCGCGGCGCCGCCACAGGTGCCGCGCCAGGAGGTCGCCGCCGCGCCACGTCGTCTCGCCCGTGCACTGCAGCGTCTGGCCGCTGCTCCGCGGGTAGCCGCGCAGCGTTATGGTCAAGTCGCCGATGACGTGGTCCGTCGTTTCTTCCTCCTCCAATTCGAGCAGCGACAGGCCCAGCGGCTCGACGTCGTCGTTGTCGAGGGGCGCTCGGCTGCTGCTGAGTGCTGTCATCGCTGCTGCACGGCTGTGCGCTTGCAAATTCAGGAGTGCCAATGATTTATGCTAGTATGCGTGATAGCGTTCAGCAACTCATCTCCAAAGCCTGCTGGCTTGGCTTGCTAGTGTCTTTCAGGCCGCTAGCAGGTTTCCTTGACTTCTCTCGCCCACTGGTCACGGGCAGTCGTTGCGACGAGTCTTCCTACGGCACAGCTTCTCGGGTATTGGCGTGCCGGAGAAGGCTGTTGGAGAGGCAGAGGCAGGGCTGCCCAGAAGAGCTGCGCGCTGTTCCGCCACGCGCCACGCAACTGTCCATCCGCTGCTGCCATCGATCGTTTTGGTACCATGCCGCACGCTACTGCCTATGGTATAGTCGCGGTCCAAGCCCTTTTTTTCTTTCTTGGAGGTAGATCCAGCAGCGCAGCAATCACTGTTATGCGCTGATTTGCCGACTGTTATATTCACAGGCATCCGCGACAACTTCATGACGGGCAAGGTCATCATGCCAGATGAAGAATATTTGCAATCGTGGTGGTACGGCGTGTGCGTGCCTCGCGTCTCGTCGATGGCGGAAGCAGACTCACCGTTCGCACGCACAGGCCGCTGGGCACGTCGGAGACGCACTCGGACCGCATGGAGTGCACGGCGAACGGCTGGGGCACGTTTATCGGAATTATTGCCCTCACGAAGATAGCCGTGGCTCTCACGGGCGGCAAGACGACACTTGCTAAGACACTCGGAACCCTCTACGTCCTTGGAAACATATGGACTATCAAGGTCTTCCTGCCCATGAACGACCTGATGGAGGCGTACGGGGCTGGGTGGCCATCACTCAGTCAGTCGAAGGCGCCGTGACATTTTGCTGTGTCCGCGCAGGCACTGGACGAACAAGAAGAACAACCCGGCCATGGAGAACAAGGGCTCGGTGACGCCCTTCTGCGCCATGCTCGCCATCGAATCGATCTGCTGGATTGTGGCCCAGGGGCTGGTCACGGAGCCGCCGAAGCCGAAGATTCACTAGGCCCTCGTAGCATAGGCGTAGTAACACACTAACATATGATTACTTGCTCCCCCACTTGAAGCTCTTCTTCTTCTCGGCCTTCTTGAGAAAGCCCAAACCCGAGTGCTCCTTGCCCTGGGACCCGAAGGAGTTCTCGTCCTCTTGGGTCGCGTGCCTAGAAGACATGAGCTCGTCCATCGGCGAGTTCGCCCTTTTTTTGGCGAGCTTGTGCACGTCCGGACTTGATGACCGGCCCCCCATGTCGCCCATGTGTTTCGTAGATTCGCGCCGCTCCGCGGCCGACTGCGTCTTCGACCGCATCGCGTTCAAGCGCTTCATGCGCTCGTCCTTGCTGCCCACGCCTTCGAGCGCCGTCGTGTCCCTCTCGGCCTTCTTCAGGTCGATATCCTGCTGGTCACTGTCGATGCCGAGCTCCTTCTTCGCCGTGATGCCCGACAGGGTGGAACGCATCATGTCCTTGAGCAGGCTCGGCTTCTTCTTCGGTTCACTATCATCATCGGACGACTCGGAGTCGGGCTCGCAGCGCAAAGGCTTCGCCGCGCCGGCTTGTTGGATCGCGAACGTTAATGAGGTATGGCCAATCTTGATAGAGTCCCCGGGTCGCAGCGGCACGCGACCTCGCGCCAGACTGCCGTTCACCAACGTGCCTCGTGACGAGCCGAGATCCACATAAAAACATCGAGCCGTTAACGTTTCTTCAAACTTCGGCTCGCCGTTCTTGATACGACGCCGTTCATAAAGTTTGCGCCGTTGCTGACTCTGGATTGAGGTGGACGCGGCGAGGCAGTGCGCGGACCAGTCGCTACATAATCTCGCAGGCTTCTTACATATAAAACACCGGCACTCGTCGCAGAACTTCCGGCACGCGTCGACGCTCGACCGATCGAACTGACAAGTAGGACAATTTTCTCTTGCATGAGGGTGCGGCTCGACCTCGAACCTCCCATGGACCCTTGAGCACCGCGCGTCCGTGTGCAGCACGACGGCGCAATCCCCGCCTCGACCGATTTCATTCACGCCGTCGCCCAAAGTCACATACACTTCACCCTTGACGACGTTGCCTTTCTTGGGCGTCTGGTGGTCCTTCTTTGATGTGCGCGCGATGGGCGCGCCCTTGTCTGGTTTGGTCAGGGTCCAGGGCACGGGGTTGTACAGTACTAAACGTCTACCCAACGGTAGCGGTTTGCTCCGATCTACCTCCTTTGGTGGTACGACGGGCGGCGCACTCGCTAACGACGATTCCGCTAAAGACTCCTCGTCTTCGGAGGAAGAGTACGACTCCGAATACGACTCCTCCTCCGAGTCGTACGAACTTTCGTCATCTGACGGGAGCGCGTCTCCATGAGCTTGGAGCGCTGTCAGAGCGTCGTCGACGTGACTTATTGGATCGGGGTCCTCTATTTCAGTCAAATTCAAAAACCGCCGCGCCACGTACTCGAACTTCGGCGCGTCGCGGAACGTCTCCAGTTTCGGCACCAAGTATGTATAACACTGCGCCCTTACTTGTGCAAAGAGATCATCATAAGAGGGCTCCACCAAGACATCCTCCACGTCGCGCTCATCCCCATACTGGTCGACAGGACATAACGCCTCCCACGCTTCGCGATGCAAGGGTCCTTTCAGCACTCCCTCAGGTAATGAACCAGCCTTGCTCCACTCGTTCGTCTTGTGGGACCACACGAGTTTCAGCTGGTCTCTTAACTCGTCAACCGTGTCCGCAGCCTTGGCCGAGGCTTCTATCTCTTTATTACCAGCGTGCCTCATGTCAATCCGATGCTTCCGCATGCAATCCAATAAAGCGCCGGCACTTCGCCAAGTGTCCACCACGACATCATTCTCCCCTAGAAAAGAGCGGAACGCGTCCCTCATTTCATTCGATAGTAACACGTCCTCCAACGATACGTCTAACACGTCGTCCGCCGCGTGTAACAACGTAGCCAGCGCCGCGTCGCTCTCGACGGCGCCCTTGCCCATGAGCGGGCCATCCCTCGGTCGGAACTCCATCAATGTTGCGCCCGGGACGTCGTTCGCTCTCGTTGCTTGTGCGAGGACATCCCTCATCGCCGTGAGCCAGGCCTCCAGCGCGACCTTATGTTTCGGCCGGAAGCGCACCTCCCTTAGTCTCGTTTTTAATCGCAACTCCACATGGCCCTTTCTACTCTCAAAGTCTATTTCAAAGGCGCAGTTCCGCAACGACAGCACGATGAGGGGCTCATGAGACCTCGCCTCCGCGGCGTCCGTGCCGATGTGTAAAGCCGCGTCCTCACCGAGCGTCACGAAGGCCCGGAGCCACGTCACCTCAGCTTGTTCCGCTCGTTGCCTTATTTCCGGATCGACGGCCGTCACCGGAGGCAAGTACGCCAGCTCGACAAACCCCTCCTTGACGCGCGTGACGCCTCTTCTATCTAATAAACCCTTCCTTTCCAATTCACCGAACACAGAATCGCGGCGATGCGCCGTCAGCGCCTGGGCCGTGGCCAAATCCTGCAAGAGAGACGCGGCCGCCTGTTCTTTATGTTCTTTACAGTTCAAATTCGCCCGTAGACACGCCTGGCGGATGGCCGCCGCCCAGCTGTCGGAACTTTCGTCGCGCTCCGCTCTGAATAACACTGCGACGTCCTCCTTCTCCTCCCTTCCGTAGACCGTCAACGACAGGGGCGCCTCCGACTCGATACCAGACAGAAACACGGACGCCAATCCATCAGGCTCCTTCGCCTGTTGTCGCGCTCTATGAGGTGCAAAGAAGGCCAAACCAGCGTTCCGGTGTGCGATCTCATCTACTAATTTAGCATGACAAACAGCCCAGCCGCACTCTATTCTTCTCCTTTCAACTCGAGCTTCCTTGGGCCGCCACTGGCGCGGGCCGTCGAAGGCGATCAATGACGTCCCATGTAACTCGTAGAACCGGCGCTTCCAGGCGCCGTGCTTTTCCAGGAACCACAACCACCCTGCCTTCGTTTGTTCATGATCATTGCCTACATGTGACGCCAATGCTCGAACGGCGTTCGCCAGTCTTCTACGTAGACCGCGCGCCCTCAAACCTTGCTGCGCGCCCCACATCTTGTCTTCGTCCGTACTTCCTGGCGGCGCCTGGCGCACGTAGTAGGCGGACCGTCTTGGGAAAAATTCACCGGCCGACGTCGGTCTCACGGGAGACTCTATCTCCATAACTGGTGCTGGTGCCGGCGCCCGGGCCCCTCCCGCGGACATGACCGCTCTCCCCGCGGCACCTGGTAAGGCTACGAGCGACTTTGCTCCAGATTTTGCTCTACTTGTGAAGTCCGATAGCTCAATCTTGCCGTCGCCGTCGGCGTCGAGGCCGTGCGCGAGGCCGCTCTTGATCGAACTTCCGACGCCCTTGACGCCCTTGAACATCGACTTCGCGCCCCCTAATATGTTTTTAGCGGATTGCTTCGCGGCGCCGGCCAAGTCGGCCGCAGACAGGTGGCCGTCGCCGTCCGCGTCCAGGCCGTGTTTCATAGACGAGCCCACTTTGCTGAACGACGAGACGACGGACGACCCCGCCTTGCCTAGCGAAGATTCGACGGAGTCGAAGGACACGCGCTGCACCTTGCCCATCATGTTACTCGCCGCGCCTTTGCCGGACTTCATCACGCCGCCCGCGGAAAAGTTCCGGACGTCGTCGAACAGGTTCGACGCGCCCCTCTTCAACCGGTCGGCAACCGTAGGACTGGGTGCCCCCTCGCCCTTCGGGTAGTGGTGCCTCCCTTTGAAATGTTTGGAGGGCGTTCCCGGTGTTTGCGGTCGGCCCAGCTCGTGGCGCGAGATCGCCTCTGATCTCCTTCTACGACTACCTATTCTCAATATGCCGTCGTGGCCTTTCTCTGTGGGTCTTGTTATGCGTATAGCGGCCTTCCTCAGCTTCTCATTCCTCATTCGATTCGCCTTGTCGATCGCATCTCGGTACCCAATGTGTAGCGCGAAGTCCGGGTCTGGGAGGGGTTTCGGCCGATCCTTCGGGTACGTAAAATGCTTCGTCAAGGGCTCGAACAGCGGCGCATCGACCGTTTCTTCCGAACCGTAGCTGTCGTCATCCTTAGCAAGCTTCTCGAGGCGCCTCGACATCGCATCTTTGACGCTGTACAGCTTGTTGCCCATCCTATCTAACAGTTCATCATAGTCTCCTGACCTCCTAAGTTCATTCCAGGTATTTAACTCATTTCTCGTCGCCTGATACGCCTGGTACGCCTTTTCCTTTTGGATTCGCGCGGCCTCGGCGACTTCTGCTGCGGTGACGACGCCGTCGCCATCGAGGTCCATGCCCGATGCTGACGCCATCGACGACGACACGGCGCTGCCCGCGGACCTCAAAGCTCGACTACCACCAGCCAGCATCTCGGACGCGCTTATTTTCCCGTCGCCATCAGTATCTAATGACGCGAGGAAGCCGACGCTCTTCTTCTCGGGCTCGCTCTTCTCCTCCTCCGTGGCCTTGGCATCATCAAAAGAAGCCCGTTTGGCCCGCTCGACGGCGCGCGCGTCCCTTGCTTTCTCCTCCTCGGCCTTCGTCGCGAATTTAGGTTTGGCCATGGCGTCGACGCGGGCCTGGAGCTCCTCCTCCTTCGTCTTGTACTTGATGACGGGCATCCTTGTCTTTGTCTGCTGTCGTTTGTGTCTTTGTGCGAGCGGTGCCCCGCGTCGGCCGCGTCCGCGCTGGGCGCTCTCACTCACTGCAGCAGCCTGGGGCTGATGCTGGCGGGGTGCCCGTCCCCGGTGCGCCTCGGCGGCGTTATTGGGGTGAAGTGTGCCCTGCGGCTGCCCCGTTTACGACACGTCGCGCGTCTGGGCAGCCTCTTTGGCAGCGCTGGGGCCAGAGAGCCTGTCTCAAGCGCTGGGCCCCGCGGGGTTTTCCTGGACCTCTTCTATGCTTCCCTGGCTTTGATCTCAGGCCTCGTGACTGCTGGGCGGGCCGGGCGAGCCGTTAACTTGCCTGCTAGTGTCTTACACCGCTAGCTAGCTTGGCCGGCAGCGCGGTTTTTCAAGCTCCCGAGCAACAGCGACAGGCTTGGCACGAGCCGGACTGCCCGCAGTCACCAAACGCCGTCGCACAGCCAGCGCTTGCAACGTTTGCGTCCAAAAAGCTCACACAGAGCAATCAAAGCAAAAAGCTGCCAACAGCACATACAGCCACCGCGCGCACGCCCGCCGCCGCGCCGTAACAATAACGAAAACAACGACAAGATGCCCCGCCGCCGCCCCACAATTAAGTTTAGGACGTCCTTCGCCAATACCATTTATGACGTCATGACGGCGCGCGGCTGGAAGGAGACCGACAGTGACACGGACTGGGATTTTCACTGGGCCGAGCGCGAGTGGGTCTACGAGGTGTTCGACACGATGCATCTGGAACCGCACCAGCGGTTGAACCATTTCCGGAACGGGCGGGAGCTGTGCCGGAAGGACTTATTAGTTAAAAATTTAAAAAGGATGAAGCGCGGGTTGCAGAGAGATGGGCAGGTCGACCAGGCGAAAGCCTACGACTTCATGCCTCTGTCCTTCGTGCTGCCGCGGGAGTACGCCATGTTCGTGGAAGAGTTTAAAAGATCGGGAGGTGTGTGGATCATGAAGCCGATTGGGTCAGCACAGGGTCGGGGTATCTTCCTGTTTTCTAGGTTATCCGAAATCTCGGAGTGGCGGACCGATCCTTACAGACACTTAAACAAGGACGACAAGGATCCACCCAGGGCGGAACCGGAGGCGTATATCGTCCAGAGGTATATCGAGAACCCCTATCTCGTCGGTGGGAAGAAGTTCGATATGCGATTATATGTCCTTGTTACATCGTTTTCACCGTTAGTCGCCTACATGTATAGGGGCGGCTTCGCGCGGTTCTCGCACACGCGGTACTCGAGTGACCCTGCGGACATCGCCAATAACTTCGTCCATTTAACTAATGTTGCGATTCAAAAAACGGCGGAGAATTATGATGCGCGAAGCGGCGGGAAGAAGGACCTGCGGTCTGTCAAACTGTTGTTAGCTGCCGAGCACGGGATGGCGGCGGTCGACCGCGTGTTCCTGGCTATTGAAAGAGTTGTAGTACGTTCATTAATAGCGGTGCAGCACGTCATGATCGCGGACAAGCACTGCTTCGAGTTGTACGGATATGATGTGTTGATCGATGACGAGCTCAAGCCGTGGCTCATCGAGGTCAACGCGTCGCCGTCCCTATCAGCAAATACGAAGGAGGACTATCAGTTGAAGTGCGACATGCTGCATGATTGTTTGGACATTGTCGATGTGGAAGGGCGGTTGCGAGGCGACGAGCGGTCGGTCGGGGGCTTTGATCTCGTTTATGACGGCGGGGTCGTGGAGCCGGACCCGCAGGACTGCCCCTGGTCGACTAGATTGGGGACGAAGGTCGAGCGGGAGAACGACGGGGGGGACTGAGTGCTCGTAAGATTTTGGTTTATTACGACTGCTTCTCGCGGGCGCGGAGTTGGGCTCGGGCGCCTCCAAGCGCTTCCTCAATTGCCGAAGTGAGTGGGTGCGCGCCGCCGAGCACGCGCCGCGCGGTCCGTTCCAATTCTTCGAGCGTCGTCACGCTCTCGCGGAGATCGCCGAGCGTGGCGTCGCGGTCCGAGACGTCCACAAGCGCGATCTCCACGAGTCGGTCTGCGTCGAGTGCAAGCTCTACCACACGTTGAGGATGAATGGCGTGGAGGCATGCGCGGGCGTCGCCGACGACTTCATTGCGAGGCAGCACGCTATACGAGACGACGGGTCCGTCGACTTTGATAGGGTCGTCGGCGACGGGTCCCTTGAGGAGCTATTGCGTCGTGAACGGTCTCCTATACGCTTCGAGCACCCCGTTGCTGGGAGATGCGGCGCGACGGCGGCGGAGGTCCTGTCCGCGCGGCGAGCTGCGCGGCGTCCGCGCCACTAATATTTTTTCTGAGTGTTGCCCTGGGGTCAGCAACAGATGGACGGATCCCCGAATGACGAGAGACCCCTCGCGCCACGGAGTCCTCGCGCGCGTTTGAGCCTCGGCTCTAGCTCTCGATGTAGCGCCATCATCTCCCAAAGCAAGCGCTCGGCAGCCGCAGGACGCTGCCCGGACAAGCCGCAGGAGCAACCACACTCGTCGTCGCGGCCGCTGAGGCCGTCACAACAACAAGGCTAGCGCACGCACGCCGTCGCTGCAGCCTAGGGCAGCCCCCGCCACCCATACCTAGGTAGCACGATGGCCGCCGAGGCGCCCCCTCCTTTACACCAAAGCTTCCGCGGCGCCCTCGACGCGACCACGGACCTGGATGACGACCGGCTGGGCACGACGGTCTTCCCGCAGGGCTTCGCGGAGACGGCCCGGACGCATTTCCACACCTTACACGAGCGCAAGACGTCGACCATTTCTTTTGATGATGTCGATGGTGATATTGGAGACATTAAATCTGTGGAGGACGCCTTCGTGCTGTTCGGCCTGAGACCGGACGATAGGACATCGAGAAGAGAGCAGATCAAGATGTGGAAGCATATTGAAAGGGCCATCACGGCGGAGATCAAGCGACTTACCGGAAGTGGCCGCGTCGAGGCCTACGACCGGGCCAAGCAGCTGAACGCGAACTTGGACAACGTGAAGCGCGGCTTCGCGGGTCTTCAGACGAGAGAGATCGAGCACAACCAGGCGCAGCAGCGCCAGATGTTCGAGCAGGCGAAGAAGGGGTTAGCTCGTAGCATTGCCTTAAATGAGAAAGAGCGGAAGCGGGACGAAAAACGCGAGATGAAGGCGCTGCGGGCGCGTCTGGCGAAGCGCCAAGCTATTGAGCATGAGAATCTCGACCATGCTATATTGGTGGCGGTGCCGCCCTTGCAGCGCCACTCTTGTAGAGTACTTGAGCTAAGACGCGCAGAAACTTCACTGGCAGCAATGAAGCAATATGACGATGCGAAGAACGTGCGGAGGATGCTCGACAAGATCGAGGGCCCGGCGCGGCGCAAGTACGACGCGATGATGGCTGCCAGGTTTGACGTCGCCCATGAGAAGTTGAGGTTGAAACACAAGGAGCAGCAAGCAAGGCAACATGAGCACATCGGGACCATCAAGTGGTCGTCCAAACGTAGGGCGGAGAAGCACGCTTCCATCCAGAGGCAAAAGTGCGCGAATCTCGATCTAGACATGCGGCAGGCGAACGCGTTCGACTCGTGCAAGTCGCCGGAGTTAGTGGTGCATCCCTCAGCGAGACACCAGCGTCGTCGCGGATTTGATGCGACGGCGTCGCAGTTGAATGGGCGGAAGCTGCTCGATAGTATTCGAGGCAAGAAGACGGACGAGCACGTCTACGTCGCGCCGGTCTGCGCTACTCATACTTTTGAGAAGCCGCTGCTCGACACGCACGTGTACGATATGAACTCGTCGCACTACATGGCGTCGGAGTAAGTCTCGGTAAGGCTAAGCGGTTTGCTAGTGTCTTACAGCTAGGTTACTGAGAGGGTCAGCCTTGTTTTGCACGCCGTGAGCAGCCCCGGTGGGACCTTGGGGCGTCGCGGGCTGCGCTTCTGGCGCGTCGGTAGTGGGCGGCGACTTCTGTTCCTTTTGCGCGACGCATTCGGGCCTGCTTGCGAAAAGGCACATGGCTCAGGCCGATGCTCAGGCGCAGGAGCTGTCGGCGTTGACGCTACAAAATGACGTCGAAGACCCGGCGGGGACGCTGTTATCGCTGCCGCCAGAGCTCCTACAAAGGGTCATGGAATTCCTTATGGTGGTGGACGACGTTCACGAGGCGGAGCGGGTCACCAAGCTCGTGCGGTCCGCGGCGCGGTTCGTGTTAACGCGCGGGCGGTGGAAACCGGTAAAGTTCGTCGCCGAGCATGGCACGCAATTGATTCTCGCTGCTGGCCGCGTGGCCCAGGACCGCGGCGCGAGCACGCCCGCCGAGCGCGACGTACCAGCCTCGTCACTCGCGCTCTGCCGAGCGGCCTGGGCGGTGGACCCGAACGAGACTCTGAGAATATTATTCACCTATACTGGAGGCGGTGGAAAGCGCGCCGCTTTACTAGAGGGCCGTTTGCTCGCACTCATCGAGCCGTCTCTCGACGGTTTGGAACGCATTGTGAGGCTCTTGGAACCGGCTCATCGCTTCGTCTACGCTAAGACTCAGCTGATACGTTGGGACTTCGACACGGAGTCCCCGAGTAGTCAGGGAGGCAGATCCGTTTCCGGAATTAGGTGGTGGGCGGAGCATATAGGAACTCCTATCACCTGGCCGTGGGTGGAGCACCATGCGGAACGCCGCAATCTCGTGGTTGGCTATGTCTCCGGAGCGTTGGAGTCTTGGACTGACGCGGCGGTGGCGGTGGATTTCTTTCGTTGCTTCTTTGGCAGATATTATAAGGGACCGGTTCCCGACCTGGACGACTTCACGCGGGGCTGGGGCGAACGGGAGGCGTCGGCCTTTGCCGCGGCCTACGCTGCGGATGTGGCGGCAGAAGAACTGAGCGGGATTGCTTTTGATTCTCACGGGTTTGGGGGGGGACAAGATTTCCCTACTTTGCCGGGAAAGGTACGTCAAGTAGAGGAAATCCTTCATTTGGACGATCGAGTGGACCTCGAGCACATGGAGCAGTATGATACGTCTTGGGAGGAGGAATACTTATTGGCGGTCAAGCGAGCGAGCCGCTTCCCCGGAGATTATTACTAGCCCGTATCTAAGTGATTGTCTTCTTGTGCCAGTGTTTGCCGAATTCACAGGTATGTTACGGTGCTAGGACTAGTGGGCGGAGGCTGCGGAGCCCTGGGGCTTTGTGCTAGTGTCTTACGCCGCTAGCTGCCGAGGGCGCGAGGCTGTTGTTGGCCGATAAGGGCAAGGGAGGGGCGCAGGACTGCACCGTGCAGTCGTTACCTACCACTGGTTTCGATCTAGGCCGCCGGCGACGCCGTCGGCGCGCCAGGAAGCGCACACACCAAAAGCAGCACAAAGCACGCTCCTGGCACAGTTAAGGCGCCGGCCGCGAAAGCACCATGAACGTCCTCGCGGCGACGCGCGCCTACGTCGACCGCATCGTGAGCGACCCGAACAACCCGGGCATGAAGGTGTTGTTGTTGGACGCGGAGACGACGAAGACAGTGGCCAACGTCTACAGCCAGACCGAAATTCTAGATCGGGACGTGTTCTTGGTGGAGCGGCTCGACCAGGCGCGCGGCCACGAGCCGATGCGCCACCTGAAGGCGGCGGCGTTCGTGCGGCCGACGGCGGCCAATTTTGCGCTGCTAAGGAGGGAGCTCGCGGACCCGCGCTTCGGCGAGTACCACCTCTACTTCGCGAACGTCGCGCCGCGGGCGCAGCTGCGCGAGCTCGCCGAGTCCGATGATCTGGAAGTTGTGCGGCAGGTCCAGGAGTTCTACGCCGATTTCGTTCCCGTCAATGATGCTTTATTCACCTTGAACCAGCGCCAGGCGCTGCGCCTAAATACGACGCGGCCCACCGCCGATTTGTTGAGGAGGAACGTCGACGGCGTCCTCTCTTCTTTACTGGCGTTGAAGGTCCAGCCGGCGACGATCCGCTACTCGTCGGCCTCGACGGTGGCCAAGGCCATCGCGACGGAGGTCCAGCGCGCCGTCGCCGCGGACGGCATCTTCCACTTTAAAAGGCGGGCGACGGCGTCGGACACGGGCGGGCCCCTCCTGCTGATCCTGGATCGCGCGGACGACTGCGTCACGCCCCTACTCTCGCAGTGGACGTACCAGGCCATGGTCCACGAGTTGTTGGGCGTCAACAACAACCGCGTCCGGCTCAAGGGCACGGCGTCGGCGCGCGGCGACCCGAACCTCGACGAGGTCGTGCTGAGCGCGGCCGCGGACCCGTTCTACGCCCAGCACCAGCACGCGAACTTTGGAGATCTGGGCACGGCCGTCAAGCAGCTCTTGGACGACTACCAGCGCCAAACGAAGCTCAACGAGAACATCAAATCGATCGACGACATGCAGTCGTTTCTAGAGAGGTATCCGGCGTTCCGGTCGAAGTCGCTCAACGTGTCCAAGCACGTGGCGCTGATCTCGGAGCTCTCGCGCCTGGTCGAGACGCACTCGCTCATGGACGTGTCGCAGCTGGAGCAGGAGCTCGCGTGCCACGACGACGGCGCGTCGCAGCGGCGCGAGGTCCTCGCGAGGATAGGCGACGGCCGGATCGGGGGCGAGGACAAGCTGCGCCTCGCGCTGCTCTACGCGTTGCGCTACGAGCAGACGGGAAACGTCGAGGGTCTCAAGCTCGCGCTGGCCGAGCACCGCGTGGCGCCGGACCGGGTGAGCCTCGTCGACGCGCTGCTGCGCTACGGCGGGCGGAGTGCGAGGACCGCCGGCTTGTTCGGCGGCGACACGTCGCTGCTGGCCAAGTTTAGCAAGCAGGTCAAGTCGTCGCTCGAGGGCATCGAGAACGTCTACGCGCAGCATGTGCCGCTCCTGCTGGAAACGCTGGATTTAGTTTCGAAAAACCGCCTGCCCGAGGCGCGGTACCCGTGCGTGACCGGCGCCCCGGTCCAGGCCCTGAGGCCGGCCGAGGTCGTCGTCTACATCGCGGGGGGCGCGACCTACGAGGAGGCGACGAAGGTCGCCGAGCTCAACGCCAGCGGCGGCATCCAGGTCGTGCTCGGCGGGTCGTACGTGCACAACTCGGGGACGTTCCTGGAGGATCTGGACGACGCGTTCGGGCGGGGCGGGGTGTGATAATCTTTTTCTAGTACTGGGTTCTTCTTCTACCGTCTGCGAGACGGCCGTCGCCACCATCGATCTCATTCGTGACCGAAAGCGCTCGCGGCGTAAAGGCAAGATCGGCACGCGCGCGACGAGGCGCCGGGGCTGCCCCTCGCGCCTTGGCGCCCACGTGATCTCTCCGGGGCCGCGCGGGACCCGCGGATACGGGGCCGGTCGGGCCTTTTTTGGGCAAAAAAAAAATCAAACCCACCACCCTCCACCCTCGTCGCCAGCCCGCCACACGCCCCACGCGCCCCCCACCCTGCCCCAAACCCCCACAAACAAACCACCCCCCCCAAAGCCCCACACACGCGCGGGCGCACACGCAAGCCCCAAGGGCCCCAAACGCGCGCGGGCGCGCGCACACACACGCGCGGGGCGCAAAAAGCAAAAAAAAATTCCGCTATCGGGACTCGAACCCGAGTCTCTTGGGTGAAAGCCAAGTATGATAACAGTCGGGTTTTTAGCTATCGCCAAAAACACACCTACACTATAGCGGAACAGCTCTCCATCGGTAAAAACGCGGCGCTCAGTTGTCTGAGACTGGTGAAACGAGCGGCCGATTAGCTACTTTTTTCTGAAGCTGGGTTTGTGAACAGGCCATCGGGGAAACCCGTGATTCAGGGTTTGACCCGCTTGCCTCGAGTCAAATCGCGCTACGCTGGCGCATAAGGGAAGCTCGCGTGCACGAACCGGGCGTCGAGCCACTTCGAATCCTAGCTGCAGAAATCGTGCGGTCGCGTCCTCCCACGGAAGCGCTCGGATCGTCTGACCACGGGCCGAGGCTGGAGGATGCGCACGCGGAGCCGAAGCGGTCTCGTGGTGCTTGAGTGACGCGGCGGGGCTCGGCGGAGGTCGGGCTGCTCAAACCACCTTCTCGTAATATTGATAACATACACTCCCGTTTGAACATCGTTCGGTTCGCTAATAGTCCAATGATATCGATACGACACTTACTGGGGGGCGAAAAAAAAAAATTTTTAATTCGCGATATTGACGGTCCCGCCATGGCGGCCGCGCCGGTGGAATCCTGTCGATTTGCGGTCCGGAGGTCTCCCTGGGGTCGCCTAGGGTCGATACTAGTCACGTGCAAGCGCCTACGCCGCGTGCGTGGGCGGCCTGATCGGTAGATACATATCAGTACAGGTCCTCAGCCACTAATCGGGCTTGAGCACAAGTCCGCCAACTTCTCAATCCAAAGCTCTCTGGGGAGCTCCAAGAACCGGCGTATGCGGTCAAGGCGACTACCCGACCCCAGACCTATCCCGGAGGGCGTCCGCGAGCCGATCTACATCCGAAAAAAGTATGCAATTTGGGCCCGATGGCGCCCCGTCCCCCGTCAAAACGTCAATTACCCGAGGCCCCCCAGGAATCGTAATAGCGGTCTCTCTGGGTCCCATACTACCCCACCGATAGTCAACTACAAGTATATGACATCTACATTATAAGAAGGGTACTTTTGGCTGCCCACGCTTGGGACGTGAACATCTTTATCTGGACCTCGCGTAAGTCGGTCGATCATGGAACAAATGATCGCGTCATGGTCCATGGTGATGTTACACGAGCTGATGGTCGCAGGTCCGATTTTGATGCCAATCTAAGCAAGATCGTGGGGTCCCGAGACCGACGAGCCGCCGGGAGCCTACGGTACAAGTAATCGAATGTAGTGCGTGTTCAGCCCGGTTAGCTGGCCCGTCCCGCAACCGAAGCGCCTGAAACGCAAATTTATTTTACAAACCACCGATCTGGGGCCTTTCCGGTGCTCCGTCAACGTACAGTCGTCCGCGGAGAACGGGCAAGTCGGTCGATTGTGAATAGAACAACGGCGTTATGGTCCATCTGGATGGTGGCGTCGCTGATACTCGCAGTTTTAGGTTTTAAGCCCTGCTTTGTACAAACGCGTGGTACCGAAGTCGTCGAATCCCGCGGCTCGTACGGATCAGGAGACTGGGCTCAGTAAATGTTGAGGCGGGCTGGATGGACTCTACCACTAACAAACGGAAGGAAACGAACATAAACTCGGGAGTTGTCGAGTAGAACTCTTCTCCCGCCCTCCGAGCGCGGGCCGTCGGCTCCGGTTCCGTCGATTGTGGATGAAAACTGGGCTGGAGTTGATATGATGTACCATTTGGACGGTAGAAGGCACTGTCAATCGCTGGTGTATTTTGGCGAGCCGCAAGACCTGGTGACCTAGCGTATCGACACACTAGGAATCCGTATATATATATATATGTGTATATGTATATATACATACATATCGTATACATGTATACAGGCCTAGTCGGATGGCTTTTGAAAACAGACCTCTCCGACTGACCCCCGAATAGTGAAGCCTGAGTTCAGAGCTTAATTCCCGCTCCTGCGCGCGCTCGGCTCGTCGCGCAAGTGCTGAGGACTAGCTAGCCCGCCATACGCTCGACGAAAAAGTGCTGAGGACTAGCTAGCCCGCCACACGGCTTGACGAAAAAGTGCTGAGGACTAGCTAGCCCACCGCGCGCTCGTCGCGCGAGTGCGGAGGACTAGCTAGCCCACCATACGCTCGACGAAAAAGTGCTGAGGACTAGCTAGCCCGCCTTGCAAGCCGCCTGGACGGCGGCTGAGGCCCGCTTTGCGGGCCCACGCCACGCTAAATACACAGGCCATTACTTCTTCTACTTGGCCATGGCGACGAATGCGACAGCCGGATCCGGGTACTTGACGCTCGCCATGATCTTCTCCTCCTCCGCGGCGTCGGTGTTATCGTAGTCCGCCTGCGCCTCGAGGTCCGCCAGCACCTTGGCGATGTGGGCGTTTTTGTCGAAGTCGTCGGAGCCCTCCGACTCGACGACGTACTCGTCGGGGCGGCCCTCGTAATACTGCGGCTCGACGTCGTACGGCGGCGGTTTCCTGTTAATGTCCGACGGCATCTTCTTCTTGGGGCGCAGCCGATTCGCCTTCTTCGCAGCCTTGAGTTGCCTGCGGTGGTCGCGTGTGAGGGGGTGTGGCGGCGCCTCCAGCGGGCGGGACGGACGACCGGTGGCGCCGCGCGCGGTCAGGTGTCTATTGATCCGCTTTTACAGCGGTGGTGTGCGCGGCGTGTAATTCGGGGCCGTGCGGCGGCCGTAACCCAGCCATGCGACCGCGCGTCCAGCCGCAATTGATGTTTTGAAGTTGGACGTGTTAGGCGCCGCGACGCGCGGTCGGTGCACGGCGAGCGCTGTCGACGGTCGTGTGATCGTGGTCGGCGCGAACGCGCCGGCGCCGACAGCCAGCGCCAAGATGGAGACGCTCCGCATTGTCGTCCGCTGCTCCCTGCGGTTCCTCTGGGTGATCAGCGGCCTCGCGCACGCTGTTTTTGTCAGCTGCAAGGAGGTGAGGCACTCGGTCGCCGCACACACTGCAAACACGCGGGCGGCGGCCAGAAACGTCTCGAGGAGCCTTAGGAGACGTATGTGGACTTGCCCGAACGAGAAACCGGGCCGGAAGTCGCCTGGGCCCGCCGCGCGTGGGGATAGCTCAAGGACTACAGCAATGCCTTAGACCAGCGCGTGATTTTACACCCTCCAAACAACGACTCCCGGCATCGTAGCTCGAGCCTCTAAGTTCACGGTATCAAAGGTAAGTCCGGGTGGCGGTGGCGAGACGCGAGGGTCGTCGAAACGGCACGGGCTAGGACACACACTTTCGTGAAGTGGTCATCCTGCGCTGCAGCAGACATTCTTCATCTGGCTCGGTGACGAGACGGAGCCGCGTCGATCGATCATGCGGGCGCGGGCCGCGTCGATGGCGCCTCGGGCGGCGTCACCCTGCACAGCCGATGGCGTCGCCGCGACGCTGTCGACGCGGCTTCGTCCCTGGGCGGGCATCGCGCAAATGTCCCGCGCCCGCTCCCTGACACGCCTGGACTGCTGGAGCTGCAGCGCTGCGGGCTGGGCGGAGACGCGCACCCCTTTACGCCATCGACGCGACACGTCACAAATTCCGCCAGCAGCCCGAGCTCCGCCAAGCCCCGCCTCGTTGCGCAAGCCCCACGAGACCGCTTCGGCTCCGCGTGCGCATCCTCCAGCCTCGGCCCGTGGTCAGACGATCCGAGCGCATCCGTGGGAGGACGCGACCGCACGATTTCTGCAGCTAGGATTCGAAGTGGCTCGATGCCCGGTTCGTGCACGCGAGCTTTCCCTTATTCGCCAGCGTAGCGCGATTTGACGCGAGGCAAGCGGGTCAAACCCTGAATCACGGGTTTCCCCGATGGCCTGTTCACAAACCCAGCTTCAGAAAAAAGTAGCTAATCGGCCGCTCGTTTCACCAGTCTCAGACAACTGAGCGCCGCGTTTTTACCGATGGAGAGCTGTTCCGCTATAGTGTAGGTGTGTTTTTGGCGATAGCTAAAAACCCGACTGTTATCATACTTGGCTTTCACCCAAGAGACTCGGGTTCGAGTCCCGATCGCGGAATTTTTTTTTGCTTTTTGCGCCCCGCGCGTGTGTGTGCGCGCGCCCGCGCGCGTTTGGGGCCCTTGGGGCTTGCGTGTGCGCCCGCGCGTGTGTGGGGCTTTGGGGGGGGTGGTTTGTTTGTGGGGGTTTGGGGCAGGGGGGGCGTGGGGGCGTGGGGCGGGCTGGCGACGAGGGTGGAGGGTGGTGGGTTTGATTTTTTTTTTGCCCAAAAAAGGCCCGACCGGCCCCGTATCCGCGGGTCCCGCGCGGCCCCGGAGAGATCACGTGGGCGCCAAGGCGCGAGGGGCAGCCCCGGCGCCTCGTCGCGCGCGTGCCGATCTTGCCTTTACGCCGCGAGCGCTTTCGGTCACGAATGAGATCGATGGTGGCGACGGCCGTCTCGCAGACGGTAGAAGAAGAACCCAGTACTAGAAAAAGATTATCACACCCCGCCCCGCCCGAACGCGTCGTCCAGATCCTCCAGGAACGTCCCCGAGTTGTGCACGTACGACCCGCCGAGCACGACCTGGATGCCGCCGCTGGCGTTGAGCTCGGCGACCTTCGTCGCCTCCTCGTAGGTCGCGCCCCCCGCGATGTAGACGACGAGTGAGTTGTGAACGTGTATATTACGCACGCGCACGGGGAGAGGGAAAACACACACACAGAGATAAAACGCCGCCATGGTCAACCGCACTTGTAGAGCGCGACGGCCGTCTTGCCGTGGTAGAAGAAGATGAAGTGCTTCGCCTCGTGCGTGCACTGGAGCTTGAAGTCCGAGCCTACTATGCAGTGCCACGTCGGGCCGTACTTCTCGTCGAACTGGGCCTTGATGTGCTTCGAGATCTCCATCTCGGTCACGAACTGCTCGACGGCGTAGGCCGCGAGGTTGTAGGCCTCCTGCTTCATCTCGCCGTGCTCGTCCACTGCGCGGGGGGGGCGCGGTCGCCTCTCGTACTTTCTCTCTCTTGTGTGTGTTGGGCGGCTCGCGCGCCATCGAGCAGACGTAATTACGTCGCGTCGATGGCGTGAAGTGGGGCCCTCGGGTGCTCGCCGCTCGCAGCGCGCGGGCGCCGTTCTCTGGGGAGGGCGTCGAGCGCACGACCAAACGCCGTCGAGCCGACGCGGTCCCGAGGACGGCGTCGCGTCCACCGTTCCGCCGCCGAAGCTTTGGGGGCCCTCCCCCCGGCGCCGCGCCCTCGGCCAGGGGCACCTTCGGCAACTCAGCCCCGACCGTATCTCCGACGTCGAATACAGAGGCGGCCCGTCGCGGCTCCCAGACACGAGGGGGGAAGGAAATCTTGGCCTCTCCGCCGGCCCCGCGGCGCCCGCAGCGCGCGGCGGCTGCCCCGTCCCAAAGCTTGGTTATTCGACGCCGTCCCGTGCTGTCCGTGATGGTGGTCGCATCTCGTCCTTTCGACATGGTGCCCGACGGGCTGCGCGCGCAAAGCGGGCAGCTGTTCGGGGGCCGCGGGCTCCTTTACGGCGGGCGCGGGGCTCGATGGGCTGCTTAGCGCCGATGCTGAAGCTGTTCCCCTAGCTACTTTTACGCCGCGGCGGCGTAATTTTATCCTTTGCTGTCGCGTCGATGGCGTACCGGAGGGGAGCCGTCCAGTCGCATCGCGACGAATGGCGCGCTGAGTTCTACGCCAACTCGCGCCCGTCGACGCGGCGCGTTCCTCCACAGCCACCGCGTAGTATGCAGTTCCAGGTGAGAATAGCGGGCCCGGACATGGGGCGCCGCGTGTGGCCCGGGGACAAGGGATAAGGCTGGCACAACGCCGTCGACGCGACGCGCAGATGATCGAGCAAAAAAATTACCCAGCACCACTACAGGCCCCGACGAGCGGCACACAGGCGCCCGACGCAGCAAACACGAGGCAGTAGTGCGACATGATCAGCGCGAACTGGTCGGGATCGTCGAAGATCTCCAGTGTTGAAATGCGCTTGAGCTCGTCCGGCGCGGCCGCGATCAACGCGTCGTAGACGCGCCGCATGTCTCTCACATTACGAGAAGCGAAGGCGCCGAAGCGTTTCTCCACGTCCTCTAAACTTTCCGCCGCTCCCAGCAAAGGCGCGCCCCGCGCGCGGAAGTTGTCCAGCATCACCTTCGCGAAGGCCTTTGAGGTCTTCACGACATCGTAGCACACGACGAAGACATCCACAAAAGTCGCGCGGGCCCAGGCTATCACAGAATCGCCCCGATCGCTGTCGAGGTACGCGAGGACGCACTCGCACAAAACCAGCGTCGGCTTCGTTGCATCCAAGCCTTCCCGTTCGAGCGCCGAAGCGACCGTACTCATATCCCGCAGATCGCCGCCAATGAGTCGATACGAGCCGCGGTCGTCCTCGGCGCCCGAGACGCCGGCCGCGTACTGCCCGACGGCCTCGATCAAAATAGGGTGGTTTCTTATCAACCGCTGCTTCTCCGCCACTACTAGATCTGAATCTACTTCAAAATAGGCGCATTCACAGCCCGTGGCCTTCAACCTCCAAAAGCTGCCATCCAAACCCGCGCCCAACGCGACGATCTGGCCCCGCGGGTGCAACCTCACAAAGCTTCGCAGCGCCGCGTCGACGGCGCGGTGGCGCGCGTAGTAGCCCCGATGCAGGAGTGGATCTCCGGCGGCGTCGCCCTCGCACAGCAAGGACGCGAAGGGGTCGGCGACGTAGCCCTTGTCGGCGCAGGCCCGTTTGGCCTTCGCGGTGCTGCGGCTGAGCTCCATGTGGTGTCGTCGACGGCGTTTTTTGTTGGTGTAGTTTGGGAGAGCACTGAGAGCAATGAGGGTTGCGGAGCTTGCGCGAGCCTATCACTTTCAGCGCAGTAGGAGGGGACTGCAAACGGATCACAGAGCGATTTTGGCGCTGTGCGGTCGATGGTACGGCCTTTTTTAGCGGTCGCGCTCCGCAAGCAGCTAGCGTCTGTAAGACACTAGGGCACGGCTCGGGGACAAAGATACGGACACACTCTTACGCCAGGAAGTACGCAAAAAGCACGGGCGCCGAAAAACAGGCCGCAAGGAACAGGTACACCGCCGGGAAGATCTCCGGCAGCGTCTGCTGCACCCAGAGCGCGGCGATGTACAAGCCGCCGCCCAACAACCCGGCGAATGATAAATACCCTTTGAGGTCCGTCACGTGGAGCGGGTCCAGCGCCGCCCGCAAGGCTTTAAACGATTCGACGTTGTCTTGCGTCCACAGGCCGCTCTCGTCTCTCCTGGACGCCAATTCACGAAAAACATCTAACCGCTCGGCCTGGCCCAGGAAGCCCGTCTCCGGGTTCACGGCGTCCAAGCTCAAGTCGTCCTTGGGGATGGCGTCGTAGATCCGCGCCATGGCCAATCCCGCGTCCGTCGCGGTCGCGGCCTGGCTGAAGGCCTCGAGGTTGTCGGTGATGATCTTCGCGGCCTCGGCGGCCTCGGCCGTCGCGCGCCTCGGCGCGCAGCGCTGTATCCTGGCCGGCGGCGCGACGAGAGCTGCACAGCAACCTATCGCAATTGCATATCGCAGCAGTCGCTGCGTGGCCATCTGGCTTGTGCTCTGGGTCGTGGCTATGCCAGCTATGTCTGCGACCAGTCCTGTGTGTTGTAAGTGTTCCAGGAGCCTCAAATGAGCCGCTGCGTATGCAACGCAGCTAGCGGCATGTAAGGCACTAGAAAGGAGCAAGCTCGCAACGCGCCCGCAATAACGCCCTCCACACGCAGCCCCAGGGGACGACAGTCATCGTAGCGGCAGCCCTGGGCGCCCAGCGCACGCAGGGACGAGATGGTCCACCGTTGAGCCCCCCCCAACAACCACAACTAGGCAAGGGCAGCCATGGCCGACGAGGGCCTCGCCACGAAGCTCGCGACCGCAGAACGGGTGGAAGTCCAGGGCGACCGACGGGGTAACATCGTCCCGGGCAAGAAGCGCGCCGTCACTCTTGGGGAGCTCATCGACGACATCCGGAACGAGTCGGACCTGGAATGTAACATGCCATCACGACTGAGGCAGATGGCCGACGACCAGTTAGCGATATATATCAATTTCCTGGAAAAAAGAATTCTAGATAAGAAATTGACAAATCAAATGCGCGCGGGCATCAAGGAGATCCTCGACGAAGCCCAGGTCTACAGAAGGGAAAGAAAACTGAAAGAGAAGGACTACGCGCACCTCGAGCAGACCTACTACGCGCGCATTGCTGCTGAAGAGAGAGCTGCCGAGAAGGAGGCCATCGCCAAACAAGAAGTTGTGGACAAAGTGCGAACACATCTGGAAAAAACACAGCGGCACGAGGTGGAGGAGCGGGAGGCCTGGAAGAAGCGGTGCTATAAAAGGACCATGCCGCGACGACTTCGTAGAAGTGTCAAACGTCGTAATAGATTGTGGCGGTACTGTGTGGGGATCGCCGTGGTGGGCTCCTTTGGCATCGTAGCTAATGTATTGTCGAACGCTGCCTTAACGGCGGCGCCGTTTTTTCACCTGGCCGTGTTCTTCTACGTGTGCGCTTTGTTCCTTTGGTTGTATGCGCTCTTCTATGTCGGACCGCGTTCCGTAAGGCCGTGGGAGGCGTCACCGGGTTTTATGTCTCCGGCGAAGATCGACAACGAAGTCCGCGTGCGCGCCGACGACCGCATCACGAAGTGGTCGAACTATCAACGGCAATTGGAAACCGAGGCGCGCATAAAGGAGCAGGACGAGCGCTACGCGAAGCGGCAGGCTCGCCGCGCCGAGCGCGCGCGCCAAAACGACGTGGCCCAGGGCGACCGGGCGGTTCGTGCCGTGATTCAATTGCAGAAGGACGAGGGCGAGCGGCCCGGCACGGCCGAGACGCGGCCGTCGACGGCCGAGACCTACACGACGACCGACGCGTCTGATACGGACCTCGAGGCGTCGCGGCCCTCGACCGCCGCGTCATCGTCACGTCCGTCGTCGCGGCCGTCGTCGCGGCCGTCGACGGCCGTGGAGTCGTCTCGACCGCCGACGGCGGGCGAGTCGTCGCGTCCTTCGACGGCCGTCGCATCCGAAACAGCGGCGCCGTCGCGGCCCTTGACCGCGGCCGACCCGCCCCCCGAATCTCCGGCTCGGGCGTCCGCGGAGGACCTCGAGGCCGGTAAGGAGCCCGCAGCTGAGCCCGCGGGGGAGAAGAAGGTTTCGACGCTGTTCGGAGCCGTCACGTTCAAATCCTAAGTTACTGTGTTAGAAAAGTCTCGCGGCGATGGCGTGACGGCGGACTTTCTCCCAAGCACGCCATCGCCGCGCCCGGGGTAGAAGGGGCAGAGAGGGCAGACGGGGTAGAGCGCCGGGGGTAGGAGGGGCAGAGAGGGTAGAAGGGGCACGAGGTCAAAATAACACAAAATAAACTTAGCTCCGCAGGGCCTTCGTGCAGGGGCACTCGTGGTCCGCCCGGCAGTACACCGACAGGCACGTCGCGCAGACGTAGCCCCGGTCCAGGATCTTCGGCGGCGTGCAGCAGAGGCACGCCGTTCGGAAGTCGGCCTCGTGTAAAGCCGGTAATGACAAAGATTGCCGGCACTCGGCGTCCGCGCCGAACGTCGCCAGCGCCACGGCCACCAACCTATCCCTCAGATGGGGCGGGTTGTGCGTGAACGCGCCTTTCGCCAGATGCGCGCAGAGCTTCGCCAGCGGACTGGGCTTCGCGCCCAGGGACACGGCATCCACGAGAATTTTCCGCCGCCGCGCCGCGAACAGGCAATTCATGACCGCGTGATATTGCGCGGCGTCGTCCTCGCCGCACTTGAACAGCACGCAGCGCGCCGTCGACGTTTTACGTGAAGCGTAGCAGAGGAATCTTCCTAAAGCAGCGGCGACGGCGGCCGGCGTCTTTCGCTCCGAGTCCGCGCGCTCGGCGCACTCTCTCAGTTGTTTCGCGGTCGCGGCGCCGCCGTTCTGTTGGTCGCTCGAGATGAATTGCGTCGCGCCCGGCAGAGCCGCGACAACTAACACCTCGCCGCCGTGGTGGCACAGCAGGTGCGCATTTCTCAAAGCTACAACAGCTTCCACGACCTTGGCGTAGCTCTGGGAAGACGACGACGGCGTCGTGTTGGGCGAGACCTCGACCACTATTCCTAGCAGCGGCGTCGGCGGCGCTAGTGATGGGGGTGGGGCGGCGTCGGTGACGGCCATTGCTTGTGCGCGGCGGCGCGGCGTGCTGCTCGCGGAGCAGTGGGTTGCAGCCTCAGGGGTGTAGGAGCGCACGCAGGGCCCTCGCAGCTGTTCGGTGATGGTTGGCGCAGTGCAGAAACGTCCACCGTGTGATTTATACGTGCTCAGCGGGCACAAACTACGAGCGCGCCGCAGCTCGAGCCAGCTTGCTAGTGTCTTACGCCGCTAGCTGAAACTCACTCGGTCCGTGCAGAGGGGCTAGCTCAATTAGCGACTCTCTCCCCTAGATCGTGATCACAATCACTCCTTACACCGCCCCGTTCGTTGTTCTCATACGCGCTCGTACATGACGTCCGTCCGGATGACGTGCTTGACGCCCACGCGCAGCTTTGGCGACTCGTGGAGCAGGATGTGGTCGTGGACGAGCGCCATGCCCACGCGCGGCGGGACCGGAATGCCGTCCTCGGGCCGCGAGCTCTGGCCGCCGACCCGGTTCCAGATGGTCGTGTGGCCGCCGACGTACCCCTCGTTCAAGTAGAGGAGCAACGTGATGAACGAGCGCTCGCGTCGCCCGCGGGAGAAGTGGCCGTCGGGGTGCTGTAGGAAGTGCATGCCCGGGTTGTACTTCAGGAACCGCAGGCGCTCGTTGAGGCCCACGAGGCGCCACTCGGCACCGTTCCCGTCCCGCTTGCGCGGGGGTAGAAACGGCCGCAACCGATCGAAGATCTGGTCCGCGAGGCGCGGCGCGTTGACCATGCAGCGCAGGCCGTTGCGCTTCTTCAGGGCCTTTTGCCGCGCGGCTTGCGTCCGGTTTTGTCCCTTGATGGTCGCGACCTGGTAACCCTTTTGCGCGGCGAGCCGAATGAGTTCCGCGGCGTCGCCGGCCGTCAGGACGCCGTCGACGATCTTCGTGAAGCCGCGATCGATGCGGCCCGGCACATCGCGGGCGCTCTGCGCCGCCGCGGAGAGCTCGAACGCTTGAATGGAAGTTTGTCGGGGAAGCGCCGGCGGCGCCGGCGCGGGAGCGGGCGGAGGGCCGCGTCTCGCCTCTCGCTCGCGGCGTAGCTGTGCGAGCAAGGCGGTGCCGGACGGCGACGCAGGTGCCGCTTCCTGGCGGCGCCGCGCGTCGTCGTCGTCCGAAGCGTTGGCGCGTTTGGCCGGCGGCTCGCGTTTGCTCCGCAGGATCGCGCGCGCCTTGTCGAGGTCGCCGCCGGCGTCGCGGAGCGCCTGGGAGGCGTCCGCTTTCGCGAGGCCCTCGAACTCGGCGAGGAGAACGTTGCGCGGCCGCGGCGCCTTCTCGTCCGCGAGCGGCGCCGGCTTCGCGCGTTTGGCCGGAGGAGCATTGTCAATTATTTCAGCCATTTGATAAATCTCCAAACCCCAGCGCGAGCGACGCCGCCGGGGACTCAGTATTCAGACTATATCAAGACCTCGCCCCCGCGGCCGCAGGGAAGCGCGCAATTCGTCGCGTCGAGTCCAACTCAAAAATAATCGAGCTAGCTGCTGTAAAGACACTAGCCAGCTAGGTCACAGGCTCTGCCTTCGGCCTGCGAGGCAGCTGGCCACGCTCGTCGTCCACAGAGTATAGGAGCTCGCTGTCGCTTGCCACGATGTGGCGCGTAGCGCTACTGGCGCTTCCGGCGCTCGTCGGGGCCGATTGGCTGGCCAAAGCCGAGTCTGCGCTAGCCGCAGCCAAGCCGCGCGGCGCGCCCGAGACGACCGCCGCGACGGCCACGGCGCCGAACTGGCTCCTCGGCGCGCGCGAGGCGGCGACGCGCCGCCTCGACCAGACCGTCGACTACGACGCGGCGTGCCTGACGGCGTTCGGCCAGTGCGAGGCCGACCTGTCAAGCAGTGGCTGCGCGCCCTGCATCCTGTCACTAGTCACGGAGGAGAACGACGACGATATTGATTTACCGGACGACGCCGAGGACTGGGGATGCGAACAAATAGTAACGTTCATGAAGAGCCGGGACTTCTGTCCTCATATAGATCCTGCATCTCATTCCGCAACTCTATTATGTAGCGTCTGGGCGTCGTGCGCCCAGGCCGTTGACACGGACGGCACGCCCGCGCCCGCCGCGGTCCCGAAGGAGTGCTCCTCCACCAGTTGTGACGTCCCGCACCCGGCGTGGGTCGGAGATGGGAGATGCGACCGGGACGGGTGCTACAATACCGCGGCGTGTAATTGGGACGGCGGCGACTGCTGCAAGGCGACGTGCGAAGGTGAGTGTAACTCGCCGTACAATTGCCGGGATCCGCAAGCGCAGGGTTGTGGGGTCAGGCAGAAGGGGTCGATAAGTGTAGCGAACCCCCACGACACTACATGGGACTACGCTCTGTACTCGGTCATCGCGGGTTCTTACTCCGAGGTCACGACGGGCACCGTAGCGCCAGGAGCGGCAATGAATGAAGACCCGGTCGACGTCTGTTTAGCGGACGGCTGCTACGTGTTTGAAGCGCATTCGGATGCCAAGTTCGAGGGGCAAGGTAGTTGGGTGGTCGAGGCCGCGGATTCAGCTGGGAGGTTGCAGCAGGTCTCTTCCGGTATATCGCCGGCGGTGTGCTCCTTTTCTATTGGGGAATCGGCGTACTGCCCGAACCAGTGCGCCGCGAGGGACACGGGCTGCCACGACCACGCCTACGTCATGGAATTGTTCGACGCGGGCTTCAACGGCTGGGGTTTCGTAGATTATTCGGTCCACAAGCACGACATCAATGGCCACCGAGGCGAGCAGATTCAAACAGGTACCCTAAGTGCTGGACACTTCGGCGTCGATGACGTTTGTATCCGGGATCCCGGATGTTATTCGGTAACCTTAGCCTGGGGCTGGTGGGCTGAAGAAGTTTCTTGGACGTTAGGTGCCAAGGGCGTCGGCCCGGTAGCTACCGGAGGCGCCCCCGCCCAGTGCGACTTCAGTGTTGGCGGCGACTACTGCCCGGCGACGTGTGCGTCCACGCAAATCACGGGCTGCGAGGACGGTAAACTACCGTACGAGCTCGAGCTTTATGACGACGAGGGCGACGGCTGGTCTGGCGCGCAATACACGATCTCGGACAAGGACGACAAAGAAATCACATCCGGTACATTGTTAGGAGGCTTCCAGGGCGAGGACGACCTTTGTCTGGCTGAAGGTTGTTACGCGTTCAAATTTACACCGTCGGGGGCCAACGCGAAGCCCGCGTGGGCCCTCGGCGACCCGACTGAAGGAGGTGTTATTTTTAGTGGCGCCCACGAGGCGGACTGCGCCTTCGCGGTGGGTGGTGCGCAGTGCCCCACTGGAGGATTGGCCAAGCAACAGTGCGGCCTCGAAGGCAAAGTGACACCACCCCCTACCGCAAAGTTCACCTGTCCCGCGAACCAAGCTCTGTTGGTATTACGCCTGACCGACTCCTGGGGCGACGGCTGGAACGGCGCCGACATTTCCGTAGTGAAGGATGGCAACGTCCTCGCGACGGATACGTTACAAGACGGGGCCTACAAGGAGTACAACCACTGCCTGGCGCCGGGCTGCTACTCTATCACCACTACGAGTGGAGAATGGCGGGAAGAGGTCACGTGGCAGGCCATCGAGCAGATGCCCGATATGAGTATCAGAGCTTTGAATTCCGGCGCGGCGCCGGAGACCTGCGGCATCGAGCTTGTTGGTTCCGGTTCCTCTACGAACACGTGCGACGCCGGCTGTAGTACGTTACAAGCGGCCCAGGACGACTGGACCGACCAGGGCGACGACGCCTTTTGGAACGGTGGTGATGATCAAACAACTTACTACTACGCGTATGACGAGTTAGGTGACGACAAGCTCCCGACGCGGTGCACGGGAAATAAACAGTGCAGCGTGAACGAGAACTTCGAGGGCTGGCAGGCCGCGTCGAGCGTCATGACGTGCCTCGACCAGGCGGTGCCGATGCGGGCTGCCGACGACCCCTTCGAGCCGGACTTGTGGCAAAGTCGTCCTGCGTTGTGTCTCGGGACCTACGACTGGAAGGAATTGGACCAATTCGAGGAGTGCGCGCAGGAGTTGGCTGCGACGGAAAGTACTCTACAACAAAAAGATACGAAGGCCAAGGAGTGCATGACCATCCTGGCGGCGGCCGTGCCCGATGAATCCGAAGGGAAAGAAAGCGAGGACGAACTGGTGAAGCGGCTAGCGACTCTAGTCTATTATGACGGCGACGCGGGCTTCTGCGACTGTGCTACTGATGAATTGTCCATTCCTCATTGTGCTGATTTCGACGACTTCCGGTCGGTGGTGCGGGAGGCGCACGAGGCCTGCGACGCCCTGGATCAGATCGACTGCGCCTACCTCGGAGCGTATGCTGATGCTTGTCGCACGGCCGTGGTCGCGCAATTTGGCGTGCTGGACTTCTCTCGGGAGGAGCAGTGCGCCTACGTCGACCGAGAGGGTTGTGGTGGCCTGCCGATTCCGTCGGTAAGAAGGTGGGACTGTTTACTAGATACAAACTACGAGCTCACTGACTCGCAAAGATCTCTAGTCACGGACGTCATTTCCAAGTGCGGCGGTAGTGGTAGTGATGATGTCACTCCCAAGTCTGGGGGTAGGGAGCCGTCTACTGATGATGCTCAGCCGGTGGCGCCCTCGTCCAAGCATGATGATGACGACGACTCAGGGACATCGTCGTCGGCCGCGACGGCCTTGATCGTCGTCGCCTGCCTCGCGTCGGCGGCCGTCGGCCTCGCTTTATTGTACGTCTTCTGGACGAAGCGCCGCGGCGGCTTCCAGAACCTGCGGACGGCCTTCGCGCCGCTGCCCGGGACGCCGTCGGCGTTCGACAGTCCCTTCGGCGGCACGGCCTGGTCGCAGCCGGAGACGCCCGGTGTATCTAACGCGCCGCCGTCCTTCGAGGACCACGTGGCGAACCCGATGCGTGGCGGCTACGAGGCGCCGGGTATCGAGGATCCCGAGGGCGTCTAGGTCATCCTCTCTTCCCTTCTCCCCCTGTGTAACTATATAAATATGACTCGGTATTTGTGCCGTCCGGGGCGCGGCTTCAGGGCTCCCGCGCGTTAGGATCCCATCCGGGCCGTAACACACTAGCAAGCCGGCAAAACCGGGCTTGTCAACAACTCTGCGAATGCTGGCCGCGAGACCGCTCGGACGCGCGTTCACGCTCTCACGGGCGGCTCAAACAGAGACAATGGCTACACGAGAACAGCTCGGTTACAGCTGAGTCATCTCAAAAATCGAAAACTCTGTAGGAAACACCTTGCACTGCAGCTTGCAAGATGCGTCTCGTCCTGCTTATGATAGGCGCGGTCGTTGCGCAAGGCCGGCCCGCAAAATTCGACGAGGACGACCCTCAGTGGAATGAAGACGCTGACGAGCAGTTCTGGCTCGAGAAGGCGCATAAGGCGGCGTTGCACATAGACGACAACTTTGCCGCCAGTTACGACGCCCGCGCTTCGGCGTTATCGCAAGCTGCCTCCGACCGGCGGCGGTGGCGGCGGGCCGGGTCCCCGCCCGGGTGGGGGCGCATCGACGGCATCGTGAAGGTGCCGTTGACATCATCACCGGGGCCGGGGCCGGATGCTACGCCTTCCGGCCCTTCCCCCGAGGGCGACGGTCGACCGCGACCTCATCACCGGCGCCACGCCTCGCGGCAGGCGACGAGGCAAAATTGGCCCTTTGGCGGCGCAGGCCAAGAATTTGTACGCAGAGGTGATGAATTCCATTGGGAGGCCCCTTTCCACTTGAGACGGAGGCGCGCGGCGGCCGCGGACGTCGTCGTCGCGTGCCTCGGCGACAGCATAACGAAAGGCGCGGACGACTTAAATTACCCGCTGCTCATGCAGCGCGACGAGCTCGGCGACGCGTGGCGCGTCGCGAACTACGGCGTCTCCGGCGCGTCGCTGAAACGCGGCGAGACCGGTGTTGGGAAGCCGTACGTCGACGAAGCGGAGTATGCGACTTTCGCGGACGACGGCGCGGACGTCGTGATTATTTTGCTAAGGGATAAGCTAACATGGGCCGGCCGGAGGCGGATGTGTGGCGGCCATTGGCGATTTCCGTACTTGGGAACGGATTATCCGCGGCAAAACACCACGAGGAAGCGTTGACCGTGAAAGAGGCCGAGTTGTCTATGCTGCGGCGCCTTGGCAGACCAGAAAGCAGCATTCTCATCGCACAGACCAATCTTGCGAACACGTATGGAGCGCTGGGACGGCTTGAAGAGGCCTACAGCATGCTACGAGACGTATACTTCGGACATGCGAAGCTCAATGGCGAGGAACATGAGAAAGCCCTCGTGGCTGCCAACAACTGCGCGGCGTCGTTACAATGTCTATCGCGCTTCGAAGAAGCCAAGTCTTTGCTCCGAAGAACGATGCCCGTGGCGCGACGTGTCCTCGGGGATTCGCATGAAAATGCGCTCAGGTCGAGGTGGATCTACGCGCTGGTGCTCTACAAAGACCCCAGCGCCACGCTCGACGATCTCTGCGAGGCCGTGACGACGCTCGAGGATGCGGGACGGATCGCGCGGCAAGTGCTCGGTGGCGCGCACCCGACCACAATGGGGATTGAGGACGATCTGCGAGACGCGCGAGCCGCGCTCCGCGCCCGCGAGACGCCATCGCCGCGAGTCGAATAATACACAAGCTACTTAATACATCCACAATCATGACCCCCCAACCATTCGCGGCTCCAAAAACAGGGTGTCCTCCTTGCCAACGTCGACCCGCTCCAGGGTCGTCTCACTGGCGAACAAATACTGTCCAAAGTATTTGATGCGGAATCGCCAGTCGTCCTCCACCGGTCGCGGTGGGTCCATCGATTCGAGCGCTAAGTGAATGAGCGCCTTCAGCGTAAAGCACGACTCCACCGTGAGATCGAGCGTTCTACCTGTACCTAGGTACTTGACAAAGAGCGTAAATGGCACACCCAGGGGCGGCGTTCGCCTGCGCCGGAGCTCCAGACTCACGTCATTTCGTATCCTCTGGTCGAACAGCGACCGGCCGTCCAGGAGCGCCCTGGAATTATGGAACAACCACGGCCGCTCGACGTCGCACCCGTACTCGCTCTCCAGCCGCTGGAGCAGCGTGTCGACCGTCTCGGACGTCGTCACTGTCAGCTCGACGAGTTCGCCCTGGGCATGCACTTTCAGCCGGATCGAATCCGTTCCGAGAGACGCGACCACGTTTCGCGCGGCCCGCTCGTCCAATCCGATCTCCTGCCAGTCGTCGTTGTCCATGAGTCTTGCGGCCTCGATGTCGACCTCGTTTTCCCGCACGATGGGTATGACGTCCCTCAGCCCTTGCTCGGCGAGCACGGAGGACAGCTGCTTGCAGCCAGTGGTCGTAGTGACCCTCACGACCTCGATGCCGTCGTCTTGCACCGTCGACGCCTCGTTGTCGAGGCGCAGGTCCAGCACGTCCAGTAGTAAATCCTTCGCGTCGGGCCGCGCGGCCGAATTCGAGTCCCAGCACCTCATCAGCGCCTCGCGCAGCCGCGCCGGCGTCGACTTCGGCAGGGCCGGCCGCTCGCCGTCGCGGACGCGCAGCGCGATCGCCACGTCATTTCTTGCGTCCGCGAACGGTTCATCGCCCGTGAGGACTTCGGCGAGGAGAACCGCCACGGCGAAGACGTCAGCCGATGCGCCGTCGCGGTCCAAAGCTCCCGCTTCTCCGAGCTCCGGTGCCATATAACCAGCAGTTCCTCCGTGCGACGACGACGTACGAGTAAATCCCGCAGTGCCGACCACTCGCGCTAATCCAAAGTCCGAGATCTTGGCGACGCCCCCGTTGCCCAGCAATACGTTCGCGGCCTTGACGTCGCCGTGGATGACGCTGCGGCGGTGCAGGAACGCCAGCGCGGCGCAAACATCCACAGCTATGCCCCAAAAGGCGTCGCCGAGCCCCGGTAACGCCTTGGCGTCGCCGAAGCACGCCCGCATGTCGCTCTCCGACGACCGGTGCAGCATGCGGTGCAGCGATCCGTGGGGGGCGAACTCTAATATAGCCCAGAGCAGGCCCTCGTCGTCGTCCGTGAGTGCTCCTAGCAGCGCAACTACATTGGGATGCCGTAGCGCTCGAAGCGCTTTGAGTTCCCGCTGCATGGCTACCGCGGCTTCATCATCATCTAGAGGCACCTGTTTCACTGCGACCGGTTGACTGCGCCAAGTGGCCTTCTTCACGACCCCGTGAGAGCCCCTCCCGAGCGGCCGGCCCTTCGCCACGACGACGTCGTCCCGCTCAACAGCGGCATCGCGGCGGGAGCGCGCGCGGTACGCGCGCAGCGAACTGGCGACCACGGAGGACGGCCGCGAGTTCAGCGCACCGCTGCATTCCGGGCAGCGCGTTTTGCCGGCCGCGCGCCAGCGCCGCAGCGCGTCCTGGTCGAACAAATGGCCGCAGTCTATCAACTCTACTGGCTTCTCCGGCATCTCTCTTGTAATACCGCACACGAATGGCGGCGCTGCCGTCGTCAAGGCATCCATGCTGTCGGTGAGAGATGCCATGTCCTCTCGCGGCAAACGGCGCGCGCTGTCGCAGCAGTAAATCACGAAAGGAATTCAATTCCTATCTCTGAATTGATGGCTCCCAGCAGCAGCAGCGGTATGGCCCCTGAAAATCTGCGCGGGCCGAACCTAGCGTGTCGCATACATACTAGCCTCACGGACTCAGCCCTTGCGTCCTAGTCCAGCCGGACGGGTGGGCCCGGGGGGAGCGGGAGGGGTACGGGGAACCCTGCGACGTAACTAGCCTCAGCCTCAGCCTCACGGCACGCCGTCGCGGACAGGTAAATGGGGCCGTATTCTAGGGCCGTATGCCAGGCACGCCGTCGCAACAAGGAAAGATAGGACCACACAGACTAACTTAGGCCGCCGCCAGCTTCTTCCGCATGTAGTCGTCCGCGAGCCGGTCGATGTGGCGCACGCACTCGGAGTGGAACCGGTCCCACTGGTGCACCACCGCGCTCCGCTCGCCGTTATAGTCCAAGATCCAGCCGTCCTTGTCCTTGATCTTCCAGTGCGTGTCGAGCGGGCCCTTCATGTGCTTCGGGACCCGGAAGCCGTTCATCGCGCCGATGGTGTTCACGATGCCGTGGCCCTGCTCGTGGTGCGTCACGCGGACCCCTGGCAGCTTCGCGAGCTCGCCCGTATCATACAAGTAGTTGTGGTAGCCCTGGTCGGACTCGGTGCGCGCCGGAGTGGCGTGGCACTTCATCTTGTCCATTTCTTGGACCATGCGCTCCGTATATCTCTTGAGCGCGGGCACGGAGCCCATCGTACTTCCGGAACACACGACGCTATTGTTCGCGAATTTTTTAGGCGTTTCTTTGCCCCAACATCTCAACCACCCACTGTTGAAGATGCAGTTGCCCACTCTTTTGACTTGTCTATTTTCAGCGAACAAGTGCAAATTCGGGGCCTTGGCGGATCTATCTACGAGTGTAAAGGGGTCGCGCTGGAAGAACGTATCTCGGAAATCAAACACGATGCCCCACGACGTCGGTTCGTAATACGACAACCAGGTCCGGTACATCTCGTATCTGGAGATAGCTAAAGGTCTCGGTGATCGTTTATCGCCATCCTTGTACCAGTTCGTCAAGATACAGCCCGCCGGCGTCATGAGGAGCCTCCGACCTTTCTTCGCCTTGACGCACTCGTAGGAGAACTGGTAGGCTAATACGCCTTCGCCCCGCAGGTACTCGACCACACCTCTCTTGAACTTCTCGGGAGGGCCCGCCGCTAAGACAATATCACCTTTGTATTCGGTTCTCCGCAGCGTCGAAACAAATCTCGCGAACTCGCGCTGCGAGTAGCCGAAGCCCAGCGCCATGACCACATCCGCCGAAGGATTATGTTTCAGACCCCAGAGCGGCTCCAATTGCGATTTCCAGGGCTCGTCCTCCAATTTTTCTGCTTTCGTCTTCTTGTACTTCTTCTTCGGTAAAGCAGCGAGTAGAGTGGAAGCGGCGGCGGCCTTGCTCGTGTCCATGACGGACTCCGTTTTACCTAACGATGCGATCTCCCTATCTAATTCCGCCCGCAGCGCTTCCAGGTTCGACGGCTCCTTCGGTTGTACCACGCTATGCGTCGCGGGGCCCGTGGGCATGAACAGCACCAAAGCGCCGCCCCCTAAAATGCAGAGCACAAGCCAGAGCGGCACGCTCACGCCGCGGCGGTCGTGGTACTCCTTCGAGCTGCCCATTGGTGTCCTGGTGCTGCGTCTCTCGCGTCCGCGCGCAGCTACAGCGTTGCTGTCGCGTAATGGGCGCTGCAGAGGCACTTTTTGCCTGTATCAATCTGTGCGGAGGCAGCCCGTGAGCGCGCGCCGCGGCGATGCCACCAAATTTTAATGGAAGCGGCCAGCGCACCCGCACCTTTCTCGGCGGCACCGATGTGCGTCCTTCGAGCCTTTCCCGATGCGCGTCCGCGAGGGGCAACCCGTCGCGGACGACTCCACGTGGTTCGGGTTGGAGCCCCATATGCATACCAGTACCATACTAGTACCATACCATTTTGAGCTGCTCAAAACTGGGAGGCCTCGCGGTGCTAAAACAGTGCCGGAGCGCACGCGCATTGATTCTAGCGATCCAAAGACGCACCAGCAGCTTCGTCGAATCGCTCGCAGCGCTTCGACGGCAGCAAAGCCACAAACCACCCAGCAGTAAATGGCAGCCATCGTCGCCGCCGACGCGCCCACGACGACGATGCAGTACGACGGCTCCATCTCGTCGGAGGGCAAGTTCCACGGCAAGGGTTCTATCGTCTACAGCAACGGCGAGAAGTACGCGGGCGACTGGGAGCACGGCCAGCGGCACGGGACCGGCGTGTATACGTACGCGGATGGTGGCTCGTATGACGGCCAGTGGGACCGGGACAAGATTTCTGGTGAAGGTAGGGCGAGGTACGCCGACGGTAATGTTTATGAGGGGAGCTGGGTGAACGGGAAGATCCATGGGACGGGCAAATTGGAAACCTCAAAATTTTCCTATGATGGGGAGTGGCGGGACGGGAAGAAGCACGGCGAAGGGAGCTGTCGGTACCATGATAACGGCGACGACTACGAGGGGAGCTGGGCCGAGGACAAGTGGCACGGGCACGGCGTCTGGACGCTTCGCGGGGAAGACGGGTCGGTGCACGAAAAGTTCGTCGGCGACATGTTAAATGGACAGATGCACGGAAATGGAAGGTACCAGTACGCCGACGGGAGTCACTACGACGGCCAGTGGCAGCACAACAAGATGCGCGTTTTGCGGCGTCCATCTATTACACGCACGATGGCTTCTTACATTCGCGTCGATTGCGTTGTGGCCACCGGCACGCCATCGATGCGACGGCAAACGACGCACGGGTGGCGCCAGAGACGCCGTCGGCGCGCGCAGGCACGGCAGCGGGACCTTCACCTTCGCGAACGGCAACGAGTACGTGGGCGAGTTTGTGGAAGATGCGAAGGAGGGCCGGGGCTCCCTCCAATATATCGACGGCGAGCGGTATGATGGGGAGTGGTACGGCGACAAACAACACGGGCAAGGTACCTTAACGTACGCGTCCGGAGATAGGTATGTGGGTCAGTGGAAGGACGGCAATAAAGATGGAGAGGGCACGCTCCAATACGCGAACGGCGACCGCTATGAAGGGATGTGGCGCAAGGACGCCGCGCACGGCCGCGGCACTTTGCAGTACACGACGGGCGACGTGTACGAGGGCGACTGGAAGGATAACCTGCGGCACGGCTCCGGGACGTTCACTTGTGCCGCGGATGGGAAGGTCTACGCGGGCGAGTTCGCCGACGGCTTAAAGCACGGCCGCGGGACGCTGACGCTGCCCTCGGGCGACTCGATCACGGGCAACTGGGACCGGGGCCACGTTTCTGGAGGGGTCGAGTTCTCGCATGCGCCCGACTCGGCTTGGGGGAATCCAAAATTGTAGCCTTTTGAACAACAACTAGTTAGGCACATAGACGCGGGAGAACCGTTCCCGCGCGTCGTCGAGCCGCGCGCCCGTCGACGCGCCTTCCAGGATACGCCTCGCCTCGGAGGCGTCGAGCGCGCCGGACGCCCGCGCCAGCGCGAACGCGTGGAGCTCGCGTCGCGCTGCTGCGAAATCCGCGAACGCGCGCGGAAGCCGAAGCACGGACGCCTCCAGGGCGGCCCTGGGATTCTCCGGCCCGAACCGTAATACGCTGTCGCGCTCGGCGTCCTGGAGCTCTTTGAGAGCCTGTGACGGCTTGGCGCCCATTTGTCGAACCGCCTCATCTAAACTCCGGGCCAGCCAGGCGTCCGTCGCCGCGGCCTCGCGCTTCGCGTCGCCCTTTCTAGGGGTGTCGCGGAGCGGCACGACCTGGTTCTCGGCGACGCGCCGGTAGCGGCCGACGGCCGCCGCGGGTACCCTCATCCGCCCGAACTCTTCGGTCGCCCGCGAAGCATCAAGAATGCACAGCGTGCCGACGTCCGTTCCTCTCGCTTGGAGCCCTACTACCATGGGACTCCTCTCGTCAGTGGTGTGCTCGGTCAGCGCCTCGAACGCGGCTGCCTCCATGCCGTAACTAATGGTGTCCAGCGGCAAAAGTGGGCGGCCGACCGGAAAGGTTTGTAACGGGTGGAGGGCGTGCGCTCTTAGAACGCATGCGGCCGCGACGAGGCTGTGGATTCGAGGCATTGCTTTTTGAGAGCTATTTCTTGGCACCAGCCGCACGCCAGAGCTCGCCGTTTCAGCGCGGCAGTCCAGTATATGGGAGCTAGTACTATCAATCCGCTCGGCCTCAGGCGATGCGTGCCGGCCGCGTTTGCGGGTGGGGGACGTGTACTCGGTGCCTCGGAGCGTGCAGGTCGCCCGCCGCGTTGTACGCTTGGGCGCGTCCAGAGGAGGCCTCGAACCTGCCATAGTGGCGCCAAGAGCGCTGGGTCGAGCTTGGGTGCTTGGGCCTCAAACTCGAGTTTTCGATTATATCGAGCTGGGCCCCAGTGAACTTTCCTTTGAGTCGTCCTTGGGAGACGTTTGGCGGCGACGACTCCGCGTTTTAGGGGGGTCGCCTCGGCGGCAGAGAGCAACATCTCACATTGTGGCGGGAAACTTTGGAGCTCCGGCGGACGCCATTTTCAGTAGGCCGGCGCCCCGCTGCGCTCAGGAGACTCTCGTACAGCCCTAGGCCGGCTTGCGAAAGCAAGATCCGACGCGCAAGTGCCCTCGGTGAAGAGAACGCAGCGCTTTGCCGTACGTCGCCTTAGCGCCCCAAAATTAGCGGGAGGCGCACACCAAAGTTAACACGCCCTAGGGCGAACCCCAGCCCCCCATCTCCCAAAAAAATACGTCAAATTTACATCCTTTGACAAAAATGTCGAGCGCCGAACCCGCCGGATCCGCCAAGGACACCACCAAGGACGCGGCCAAGGACGCGCCCGCCAAGCCGACGTCGGACAGCGACTCCGCCGAGTCCTCCAGCACACCTTTTGATGCGGCCGTCATCGCCGCGCTCATGGAGCTGCCGACGTCCCCGCCAACGAGCCCCGCCGCGAAGAAGTCCAAGGGACTCCTCTCACCAAGGAGAACACCGGGCGCGCGCTCCCACGACTCGCCCTTCAGCACGATGGCCGCGCGCGTCCACAAGGCGAATCCTTCCGGACCTAGAAGCCCGTTCTTCGACACCGCGTTCAGCCCGCTCGGAGCTCTCCAAGCGGCGTCGTCGCTCGATGAACCCTCGAAAGATAGAGCGGCGGCGGCCGCGGCGGCCAGAAGACCGGGCCGCGGCAAGTCCATCGGGAGTCTGCGGGCGGCGGCCGAAGCTGGTAGGGGCGCCCCATTACTCCCGAGAATAAGGGACGACGACGCGTTGCCGCCAACGACACCCGACCGGCGACCGCAAGGGCGCCAGATGTCTCGAGCACCCTCGGTCCCAGCGGTACCGAAGGGCTGGATCTCGGTGAAGATCATGCCGTCGTCGTGCGAACTGCGAAGAGCGATACGACGCGTGAACCACGTCATGGGCAAAGGAGACGGAGACGACTCCGACAGCGGCGACGAGAACCGGCCGCCCAGAACTCACAGAAGACAACTCAGTCTACAGGACCTGAGAGACGCGGCGGCGGCCGCGGACTACCCGCAGAGTCCGCCACCGACGAACGACGTCGGCATCTCGCTGCTCGGCAGACTAGGTTCACCAAGGAGACTCGTGAACTCGCCCAACCGATCTCCACCACCGGAAGATGATACAGAAGCGGCGGCCCAGGCCGTGAACACGGCCATGTCCGACGATGATGTCTTGCATCTTGTCGAGAAAGACCAGGCCCCCGAGCCCACGAACGTCCAGTTCCGCGTTACTAATAGACGTAGAGCCTTCTCCGCCGCGGAAGAAGCTCCTCGGAAACGCAAAGCGACAGGCCCGCCGCCGCCCAAGAAACGGTTAGCGCAGGGGACCACACCACCCACCAGAAGACCAGCGGCCAAAAGAGCACCAAGTCCAGTATACGACGACGACACGCCCGACAGCAAAGTCAAGCGCCACAAGCCCTGCAACTGCCGCAATTCCAGATGTCTCAAGTTATATTGCGACTGCTTCGCGGCGGGCCGCTGGTGCAAGGGCTGCAACTGCGTCGATTGCCACAACGACCTCGCGCATGCCAAAGAACGCGACGAGGCCATCCGAGCGACGCTGGAAAAGAACCCGAAAGCGTTTAGAGCGAAAGTCAAGGACACGGCCCACGCGTCCGGCTGCCACTGCAAGAAAAGTAAGTGCCTCAAGAAGTACTGCGAGTGCTTCGAGGCCGGCATCCACTGCGGCGCCAAGTGCAAGTGCGCCGACTGCGAGAACTACGAAGGGTCCGTGCAATTGGAAGCGCGGCGGGCGAAGCTCAAGGGGGCGTCGCGGGGCCGGTCCTCGTCGCGGCCTAGAAGTCCAGCGTCGTTGCAGCGGACGTCGTCGTCGCAAAGCTCGTGCTCCGATGGTGTGCCGTCGTCGGACGAGACGACGGCGTCGGCGGCGTTCCTCGACTTGCTGCGGTCGGCCGCGCAGGAGGCGTCGTCCGAGGCCGTCGAGGTCGCGTAGTGAGTTGAGGGAGCACATGGCTAAGACATTCACATATAATTGGCCACGTCGACGGCGTCGGCAGCGACGCGACCACCGCGTGGTCTCATGAATGAAGACGGACTAGAAGACAACGGATAGTTATACGCGCCCTTTCAGCACACCATTAGCGGAGCCGCCGCGCCTCGCGCTCCCACTCGAGCAGGCAGAGGATGTCGCCCTCGCGCACGGGGCCCTTGACGTTGCGGATGATGGAGCGGTTCGGGTCGTCGATGAACTCGACGCGGACCTGGGTCACGTTACCGGTGTTGCCCGTGCGGCCGAGCACGCGGTTGATCTTCGCGAGCTTGATCGGCGCCGTATCCATGGTGGAGCAGGCGACCGACTGTAGATATAGTCTGCGGTGGGGGGCGGAGGGGTTAGCGTATGGCGCGGCGGCGGCGTTTGGGGGAAGGCGGGCCGCGTGCAAGCGACGGGGGAGCGCGCGACCGTTTTAGCACGTCGCTGAGCCGCAGAGACCACGCGTGCGCACTCCGACAAGCGGTGGCGTGCCCTGGGAGCGTGCGCGGGCCAGCGCGGTCGCCGCGCCGCTGAATTGAGCAGGCCTCGAGGACTTGCTTTTATCGGCGACGTACGCCCGCAGCTGCTCAGCGCGCTTGCAGTGGTGTCTGACAGGTCCCAGTGAGTCCGGATACGAGTTCGCTGCGTCTGAGAGGGGTTTTAACTCACGTTTTAGGGTGCTTTTTGTCCGGCGATGGCGATTGCCAAAAATGGCGTGACGGGTTTTCAAAATCCACCATCCTTCTCCGCCGCCGCACCAGCCGTGCGCCAGGCATGCAGGGCTCCAAATCGACGTCTCCGAGGCGCATCTGGTGCCGACGTCTCTCCCAGCCACAAAGTTTGGGGCTGCGGTTTTAGGCTGCGTTACGCGCAAGTTTTGAGCTACAGAGTTGTGCATTGCCCTTGTCTTGAACCACTGCGGCATTGCGCTGCGTTACGCTCGAAAAACTGGGCCCGCAGAGCACCTCTGGGGCAGCATTGCCAGCTGCATTGCCCCACTGACCATGCTCCGGCGGGCCGCAGCCCTCGCGGCGCTGCTGCTCGGCTGCGGAGACGCCGCTGGAGTCGGCGACGCGCGACGCCGCGACACGGACACGACGCGACACGCCGACGCCGGCGACGAGGTCCAGTCCATGCTCGGCGCGCTCCTCGAGAGCATGTCCTTCGCCATTTCGCAGCTCTACGCGGACCGCTACGATTTTCTGCGGACGCGGGCCTGGTACGGCAACTCGCATATAGGGAATCGTCCGGTTCAGGCCAGGGCCTACTACGACCTCGCACGAAGTGTCCAGCCGGGTACGATCTGCGAGGTCGGATTCAATGGCGGCCACTCGGCGGCCGTCTTCCTGAGCGCGGCCGGCCGACGGGCGAAGATGGTCTCGTTCGACCTGGCCGAGTTCGAGTACTCCGAGACGGCGCAGCAACTCGTCGGGGCCCTCTACCCGGACCAGCTCCGGTTGATCGCCGGGCGCTCGGAGACCACCGTGCCTCGGTTTTCCAAAAGGCACGGGCGGGCTTGTGATTTGTTTAGCGTGGACGGCGACCACTCCTACGAAGGGACGTCTCGGGACATCTCGAACGCCGTCGGCGCGACGCGGCCCGGCGGGACGCTCATACTAGACGACATGCAGAATCCTGGCCCGCGCCGTGCCTTCGAGGAGTCCGTGCGCCGGGGCTGGCTCGTCGAGCCGCGCTGCGTCGACGGCGTGCCCATCGACGTGTCCTACGTGCACCGCTTCGACAGCTCGAACGTGCGGCGGCTGAACATGAGCTGGTGCTCGGCCCGCGTCGGCGACGTGCTGCCGCCAGAATTAAGTGTTACTTCATGAACTTAGACACGACGCCCCGCGGCTCCAACGCGATCGCCGCGGGCGCCGACGACGGCGTCGTGTAGACGCTCCCGACGAGGTCGTCCGGCCCGCGCGTCGCGGCGACGCCGTCCTGGTCGAGGCGCGCGGACACGGTCAGCGCCAGGTCCTTGATCTCGGCCGGCAGCGCCGGCGCGTCGGCAAACAATGCAGAGCGCGGGATCGAGAAGTCCACCGGGAATGATTTCCCCTTCATCGGTATGCGAACGGCGGCAAGGGATGGCTCGGGTACCGCCTTGAACTTGGCGAATGCAGCCTGCGGAGCGCCGCCGCGCCGCATGGTTACGTAGAGCGCGGCATCGGGTCCAACGACGGCGTCGGCCGCGTTGACCGTGCCGGAGACGATCACATCATCCGTTGCAGCTCGCGCAGCGACAGGTACGACTGCAAGCGGCAATGCCAGAGCGGTGCGCCGGTCGACCCTCGGGGCAGTCGGCGCCAGCGCTGCCGAGGATGCAAGCACAGCAAGTATAAGTCGTGGCGACTTCATCCTGAGAGTTTTGGCGAGCACGGTGCAGAAATGCGGTAGCTCAAGGCCTCAAAAAATCAATGCGCTGGCACCAAGCTAGTTCATAGATATACTAGGATTTGCTCTCCGCTTTTGGAATCGCACAAGAGGGCGTGGCGACCCTAGGGCAGCCACGACAGGCACGAGACGTTACTGACCATGCCCCCGACCTCGAATACGGCCGGCTCTCCGGCTCTCCGGGAGCGGCTGGCAAAGCTCCAAGCCACAGGCAAGAAAGCCAGACAGAAGACAAAGCCATCGAAGAAAACCGGGCCTCCACAGTTTTCGCCGGTGTTGCCGGCGAAGGCCGCCGTGCCGGCGCCGACGCCAAAATCCGCGCCAGTTCCTGCGCCAGTGCCCGCACCAGCGCCGGCACCGGCGCCGACGCCCACCATAAAGAAGCTGCAAGCGGCCTACGACGCCCCGGCCCCGGACACGCTGGCCTCGACGCCGCCAAGCTCGCCGGCCCGCGCGCGGGCGCACTCGGCGCCCGAATCAGTAAGCAGGTCGTCGTCCCTCGGCAGCATCGCGGATTTGAAGGAAGAGGCCGCGGCTGCGCGGCGGCGCAAGGACCAACTCCAGGCCGAGAACGCGGCCGCGGCCGAGCGCCTCGGCTCGCCGCGGCGGGACCCGCTGGCCGACGCGCGGACGCCCCCCGCGTCGCCCCCGCAGTCGCCGCCTCGATCGCCGCGACGGCCGACGCTCGAGATGGAGGAGCTCGCGGCCACCGAGGCCTCAGTACGGCGGAAAATCGCGGCCGACGCCGAGGCGAAGGCCAAGCGCGAGAAGGAGCTCCGCCGCCGCCGGTCACCGTCGGCTTCGCCGCGGCAGCAAGCCACAAGCCGCAAGCAGCAAGCCGCGCCGGCCGAACCCGCGACCGCCGCCGCAAAGCCGGCGCCGGCAATCCCTGCGATCGCCGCCGCCAAGTCGCCGCCGCCGGTCGCCGGCAAATCGGCCCGGAAGCCGCGCCGGTCGGGACCGCCCAAGCTGCTCCTGGACGCGCCGAAGCTCCACGATTTACCATTAGATGGGCCGCGCACGGCGAGGGCGACGGTCAAGGCGCTCCCGCCCGTGCCCATGCGGGTCTCGCCCCCTTTGGAAGTGCTCCTCGCGGCCTTCGCCTCCGTGCTCTCGCGGCACGCGCGCCAGGACGTGGTGGTCGTGGGCGTCGAGGGCCACCCGGTCGCGCTCGCCTGCGAGAAGAACGACGCCTTCTGCGAGCGGGTCGAGAAGGCGCGCGCTGCACTGCGCGCGGCGAGCTTCACGCTCGAGGACGCAGTGGAGGCGACCTCTACTATATTAGACAGGACGTACCACCCTATCTACCAGGCGTCGATTTCAGCGACACACGAATTCGGCAGCGAGCTCTTGGATCTTGAGCTCGTGCCCACGCACAGCGAGCTCGGTCTGAGGTACCGGAGCGATCTCTTTGCTGAACGAGCCGCGAAGCGCTTCCTCGTCCAGACGAAGTCTTATGTGGATGCCATGCTGGTGGAAGGCAACGCCCTGGCCGTGGACCACCTGGTGATCGAGGACGACGACTACTTGGGTACTGTGGTGAAACCGAACGAGACGCGGCAGCCGTGGCCCGAGGATTCTTGTATTCATGATCTCATGTTCCGCGCGGCGGAGGAGCACCCGGGTGCGACCTGCTTGCAAGGTGCTCAAGAGTACACCTATGATCAATTCAGTAACGCCGTCCGCGCGATCGCCGAGGCGCTTGGGCCGGTCTACCCGGACGACCGCGTCGCGCTGCTGCTGGAGCGGGACGCGTCCATGGTCGCGGCGATTTATGGTGTGCTGAGCGCGGGCGGCTGCTACGTGCCCCTCGAGCCGGACTACCCCCTGGAGCGCCTCAAAACTGTCGTAGAGGACGCGGCGTGCAAGGCGTGCGTGACGCAGGCGCGGCTCCGGGCGGGCGTCCTCGCGACGTTTTTTAGTGATTTGGAGCGGCCCCGGAAGCTGGTCAACGTCGTCGAGCTCGACGTCCTGGACCCCTTCAGTCCACCAGAAAGGGCCATTTCGCCCGACCAGGTCGACGCCGTTGACCTGCGCCCGAGGCCGCTCAAAAGGATAAATGCGCACCATGAGCCTGGGCCCCCGAAACCGGAAAACCTCGCCTACGTCTTCTACACGTCCGGCACCACCGGAAAACCGAAAGGCGTCATGGTCGAGCACCGCGGTTTAGTAAGGAGGATCGCTTGGTTCCAGCGGCGCTACCCCCTCACATCCTCCGATATGATGCTCCTCAAGACGACGTACACATTTGGAATTTCCGAGTGGGAGCTCTTCTGGGCGCCTACTGTCGGCGCCTGTACCCTTGTAAGTGGTGCCCAGGACCACAAGGACGCCTCAGTTATAGCTTCGTTGTTACAAAGGTGCACGGTCTGCTGCTTCGTGCCGTCGGCGCTCGCGGCGATGGCCGAAGCACTCATAGAGCACAGGCGGCGCATCCACCTCAAGTGCTGCGTGTCCTGCGGCGAGGCGCTGTCCGCCGCGACGGCCCGCCTCTTCTTCGAGTGCACTTCTAATAGTAAACTGGTCAACGTCTACGGGCCCACCGAGGCCGACATGACCTTCTTCGAGGTCGACCGGAACTATGCAATGACGATGGTCAGATGTCCCATCGGCGTGCCCATGGACAACGTCACTGCTTATGTGCTAGATGATGATTTATTACCTGTCCCGTGCGGCGCGCCGGGCCAGTTGTATTTTGGGGCCGAGCATGCATGTAGAGGTTATTTAAATCTGCCTCATCTCACCAATAAGTGCTGGGTGGCGAACCCCTTCCTCACACAAGCCTCTCCAAAAACACCCGCGGGCCCTTTGCTGTACGCTACCGGTGATTTAGCAAGGTGGCGGCCCGACGGCCAGCTCGAGTTCCGTGGAAGGGTAAGTGGAGGCCAGATCAAGCTGCGGGGCTTCCGCATCGAGCTCGAGGACGTCGCGGCGGCTTTACGGAGCTGCGCCGACGTCGGTATGTCAACAGCTCAGCTGCTGGACGCCGACAAGCCGACGGCGCGCCTCATAGGTTATGTCGTCGAGGCGGGGCGCAAGACTGTGGACGGCGGCGGCTGCTCCATCGTGGATCGATTCGACTTGGCCGACGACGCGCTCGAGGCCGCGCGAGCCGTACTGCCGGCCTACGCTTTACCTTCTGCAGTTGTCGAACTAGACCGGCTACCCACAACAGCTAGAGGCAAATTGGATCGTGTCCGGCTGCCGCCGCCGCCGCCCCGAGCAAAAGCCAAGGACTTTGTTCCCTGCGCCACGCCGACGGAAAAAATCATAGAGCGCGTCTGGCAGGAGCTTCTGGGCTACGACGACGCGCCGCTCGACGCGCAGGCGGACTTCGTGAGTCTCGGCGGCAATAGCTTGTTGGCGGGCCGCGCGACGACGAAATTGCGACTCGCGCTGAATCTGCGCGCGTTACCGGGAACATCAATGTACTTGTACCCTACGATAAGCGAGCTCGCTTCTTATTTAGATACGCTGCCGAAGGCCGACGTCCAGCTCGAAGAAAAGGCCGTCGACGTCGTCTACAAGGGCCACTCGTCGACGGCGCCCGAGGCCGTCTTCTATCAAGCTCTGGTCGTCGTGGGGTCCCTGCTCCTCGACCAGGCGCCGTCCATCGTCACGCACGCGTCCATTTACGTGACCTGGCGCCAGTTCAACGCCTGCGTCGCCGCGCAAGTCGGCGTGCTCGTGTCGCTGGTCTGCAGTTGCGTGCTGGTCCTCGTCGCCATCTTGGCGAACAGGTGCCTGGCACCCGTCCCCCACGGCATTGTGCGCATCCCGCTCTTCTCTCTGATGTATATGAGGTGGCTGGCGGCGCAGCACGCGACGCGCGCGGCGGCGCAGGCCGTCGCCGCCTACGGCGCGGGCACGCCGCTGCTCGCGGCGTTCTACGGCGCGTGCGGCGCCGCGGTCGGCGACGACGTCGTCCTCGACGCTGGGGTTACCGTGGACGACCCGCAATTCGTCACTCTCGACACCAAGGTCCGCTGCCGCCGCCACGCGAAGGTCAGCGCGCACGTCGTCGAGCGGGGCGAGCTCGTGCTGGCGCCCGTCGTCTTGGAGCGGGGCGCCGAGCTGGGCATACGGTCCGGCGTCGGCGCCGGCGGCGTCGTCGCGGCGGACCACGCCGTCGACGCGCTCGCGCACGTCGAGGGCGGCGCGGAGAGCCCCGACGGCGACGTCGTTGTTCTGGACCAGCCGCGGCCGCCGCCGCCCCAATTTCTGCGCGTCTGCCAGTATTTCATTGGTGTGCCGTTGTTACTGTTGGGGGAATGCTTCGCGACGTACATCGCCCTCCGGGCCGTGGAGCTCTTTCCGAGTGATCATTTGTTAATTGCGGTGTGGCTGTTCCGCTTGGTCCAGTGCGAGGCGTTTTACCTCCTGACGGTGGCCCTCAAACGACTCATTATTGGTAAATTCGCCGCTGGCAAGCGGCCCGGGACGCTCCGCGATGTACTCAGAAGGTGGCTCCTCGACCGCTTCACGAGACATTCATTATTCCTCGGCGCCACGGAGCCCTACGTGAATACAGAGCTCCTATCCTGGAAGTACCGCCTGCTCGGCGCCCGGATCGGTTCGCGAGTGAACGTCGACTTCTTTGACAGCGTCGAGTTTGACTTGCTAGACATCGGCGACGAGGTGGTGTTTGGGTCTTGTGTGGTCTTAGCGCCGTCGGACGACGCAGAGGACCTCCCCATCAGGATTGACGATGGAGCGAACGTTTTGGACCACTCGGTGCTCTTAGGAGGTGTCACCGTCGAGCGGCGCGCCGTGACGGGGACTTGCACGCTGGGTCCCAAGAGGCACGTCTTCCCGGCGACGTCTATCAGTACCGGCCGGGTCCGTGGCGCCCCTGTACTGCTAAAATTCCAGGGCGACGTCGAGGACGGCACCTCGAAGCTTCCGGAGGCCGACAGGGAGCGCGTCCTGGAAGCCTTAGCTGCGCACCGGGACCCCGCCGTCTTCTACGCCTTCAACGCGTTCTGCGCTGCAAGTGCGTTGCTCTTGGAGCCCGCGACGACGGCCCTGGAGCTCCTGCCGGTCTACTTCGCCAGGGAGTCCTACGCGGCGACGTTTATGGCGTGGGTCCTGGCGCAGATCGTGCCGCTGGGCGTCCTCTGCCTGGCGAAGCGGTCCGTTATCGGCGCCTACGCGACCGGCGACGCGCCCTACTACGGCGACTTGCATCACAAATGGGTCTTCATGATGGCGCTCGGGAGCATCGCCGACGACGTGCTCGACGCGGTGCAAGGCACGTGCTTCGCGGCTTATGCTTTGAGAGCCCTCGGCGCGACCGTTGGAGAGGACTGCTGCCTCTTCTACGGCGCCCTCCTCGAGTTCGACCTACTCAGAATCGACTCTTATGCTTCCACTGGCTCCGCATGTGATCTCACGTGCCATACCGTGGAAAACATGGTCGTCAAATTCGCGCCCGTGACGATAAGTTCCGGCGCGTCGATGCGGAGCGGCGCGTTGTGCATGCCCGGCGGCGGTCTCGGGACGATGGCCACGCTGTCGGCGGGGTCGCAGGTCCTAAAAGGCGAAGTGGTCCCGGCCGCCGAGTTCTGGAGCGGGCTGCCGGCGAGCTTCGCCTGTACGGTCGATGACGCGCGGTCCGCCTTCGAGGGCCTGCGCCCGCCGGCGACTGAAGGCGAATTCACGCCCGAGGGGATCGCGAGCGCGCTGGGCCTGTCGCTGCCGGGCGCGTGGAAACTGTTTGCCGCCAAGGCGCGCGGCGACGGCGACGCGCTGAAGCTGTTCGCGTCGCTTTCTCGGGCGCGCAAGGTCGCTTCGACAGGTGGACTCTCGAAGAGACGGACGCTGCCGCCATTCCATCTACGACCTCCGCACTTGCGGCCGCCGAGGATCGCGGCGGCGCTCGAGTGCACCGAATTGAAGGCGCGAGCTATTGTTCAAGGCTGGCGCCGCGGCGACGCGGACGCCGTCGCGGCGGTGCGAAAGGCGCGTGTATTGCTCGTCGCGAAGCATCTGGAGGTCGACGAAGATAATGCGAAGGCGGTCCTGCGCGCGGCGCGCGCCGGCGATGAAAATTCTAGAGCACAGCTCCAGTCGTACCGCGGCGGCCGGGGCCGGGGCCGCGGTCGCGGAGGCCGGGGCCGCGGTCGTGGCAAGGGTCGGAACGTGCGCGCGCTGCGGCGGCCCCGGGCCGGGAACGGCATGCTCGTCGGGGCGCTCGTGGTGTCGCTGGCGGCGAATGTGTATCTCGTTCTGCGTTAAGTTTGTATGATTAGTATGATGATAGAGTATGATGAGTGTCGCGACTCGGAGCCGTGACAAGTGCCGTGTCGTGACGTCCGCGGCCCGCGGGCGGCGATGGGTTTGACATTGGGCCCGGGTCGCATCGTGTTCAGCGCGCGCATACGCCACCGACGCGCGCCAGTGATATTAGACTCGCACTTATTACCATAAAACTACCACTACGCCTTCAGCCGCGCCCGCACGACCGAGAAGTAGGTGGCTTTCAGTTTTGTGACGGGATCGTCGGACCGGAAGTCGAAGTGCTCCCCTAGCACTTCGTAGAAGTAGGCCGCGTGGTCCGGCCACCGACCATCTTTACAAACCAGTCGAATGTCCGTCTTCGCGTGGGCATGCCTTCTCAATGTATCGACGAAGGCGCGCGCGTCGTAGATCGGGGCAACCGCTTCCGCGGCGATTATGACGTCGAATTTTTCATTCAAATCGTCGTCGCCCTCCTTACACGAGGGATGCCAGGCCTCCTCGGACTGGGTGTTACTGTCTCCTTCGTCGGCCTGCCAGACGAGCTTCGCGACGCGCGCCTGCACTCGGTTCCGGTGGCAGTTCTTCCTCAATAAATCTAGAACGCCATCGTCGCCATCGGTCAGCGTCACCTTGGTTGATTCGTGCTCCAGGCCCACAAATATACCTGTCAAGCCGGCACCAGCACCAAGCTCCAGTACGCTACAAGCCTCATTCCTCCTCAGAGCGTCGGGCGGACTCACGACCAACGCCTCCGCCAGCACGTAGGCGCCGTCCCAGAAGTGGCCGCCCTTGCCCACGCCCCGGTTCTGGCCTATCAAGATTTTCCGCGGTCCCAACTCGAACTCGACGAAATCGGCGTTGATAAACTTGAGGTCGTCGCCGTACAGCTGCGTATCTAGCCACGTCGCGTAGCTCACTACACTACATTCTTTTCCATCGATGTCGCGCTTTTCCTCGATGACGGGCTCTTCGTCCGGGGCGCCTCCTAGCTCCGCTGCGAGTTTTGCGGATTCAGGAACAATCAACTCGCGGAACTTGGGCTTGGCGCACTTGATGACATTATCCGAAGTGCACCTTTGGACGACGGCCCCGGGCGGCTCCTCGTCGGACGCGTCGTCGTACTCGTCTCCATAAAGGTCGTCGACCGTCGAACACGGTTCGAGCAATTCGCGCATCACTAAGGGATCTCGTTCAAAGGGAATGGCCACGAACAACGAACCCGTCTTCCGTCGCGCCGGCCGCGCGAAGGCGTGCACGCCGCCCTCGATCGTCAGCGTCTGCGACATGGCCGTGATGTCGTCTATTGGTGGTCTTGGCGGGGCGTCGGCCATTGCTGTCGTCGATCGCTGGCGGCGGCGGCGCACGTCTATGGGTTATAATTAATTGGTCAGGCTACGCTACGACGCGTCGATGGCGTGGAGGCCGTGCAGCCTCGGCACCGCTGATCAAGCCTGTACCACGATCGCCAGCCGATATTGCTGCAGCGCTTCGTTGGGAGCACTCAGGAGATTCTCACGCCGACAGCGAGGCACCAAGAGCCAGCGACGCACTTGTTTTTTTGGTCGCGACGAGTCGCGTGTGCTAGCGGCATGTAAGGCACTAGCGAGCAAGCTTTACGCATCTCTACGCGCAGCCGCAGAGACAGGATGCAAGTCAGTGAGTCTAGGACATAATGAATTAGGGCGCGCGCGCGTAGGCACGCACGCGGGGCCGGCCGGCGCGTCATAGCGACGCGAACCGGGGCCTAGGCGGACGCCGTCGTGACGAGGGCGCCCAGCGCCGAGAGGGCGAAGGAGAGCACGCGGTAGGCGCCCAGCAGCGCCAATAAACCGGCGACGCCGAGCGAGCAGGCGTGGATCGCCTTGCGCTTGAACTCCAACCGCTTTGTTTGGGGCGACTGGTAGCCCTTCCACGGAAATTCAGCAGTAGAACACAGAGCCTCGACGCCGTCGCGCGTGAACACCTCGGCGGACGGCGACACGACCACCAGGGCGGGCAGCTGGCGCACTGAACAAACTTCAAACAGGTTCCAGTTCTGGACCACAGTTTCTGGGGAGTCCACTACTAATATATTGGGGTCGTCGCCTAACAATACTCTGTGCCCTCCTTTGGCCTTGAGGGTCATGTCGACGTCGCCGGGCATCTGCGACGAGAGCTCATATAAAGCTACTCCGAACTTTCTCCCTCCGACCCACCGCCTCAGATTAGCTAATCTTTCGGTGGCCGCCGCCGATGGTCTCGCTTGATCCACAATATATATCCCAATAGCCTCGGCATCACGGAACGCTTCAGATAATTCAACGGTGCGTCCCAACGCGTCGCCCAACTTCGGTGGCAAGAGGTGCGCTAAAGCGTGCGGCTTCGCCGGCCGCGACACGAAGCTCACGTCGCGCGCGAACATGGAGGACACCTGACTCGCGCTTCGCGGTGTCGGCGAGAACTCGACGACGATCTTCTCGCCCGTCTCGTCGACGTCTCTCACCACGGCCCTTCTCGTCTCGTCGCCGTACGTCCCCAACACCCGATCGCCGGCCTCGAGCTTCGCCGGCGTCGCCATCGTCGACGCCGTCGATATGACGCTCGACGGGTCGCTCCGCAGGGAATCGTCCTTCCGCTCCTCGTCGTAGTCGCGGTCGCCCAGCGAAGCGGTGTAGGTCCGCGGCGGCGACTGCGGCGGCGACTGCGGCGGCGAGTACATCGGTCCGGCGGATGTTTTGGCCCGTCGGGCGCTGTCCAGGCGATTCGGGGCGTCTCGCCGGCTGGCCCGGTATTTGGTCCCACTCTGGCGGTCGGGCGCGTTACAGCGGCCGGTCCCAGTAGTCTCCCGCGCTAGCACAGCCCGCTGGGAGGGGCCCGCGGGCGCGAGCAGGGAGGATAAACGCCTGCTGGCTGGCCGGTTATTTCAGTGAACTAATGTGTTCTATACTAGCGTCAGCGGGTCCCTCCGGACCCGTTCATCCAATCCGATAGGCGTCCTGGGGCGCGCCCGGGGCTCGTGCTACACGGGGCAGCACAAAAAGGCGCGCAGAGGCGGCCACAAACGCCGCCCGCGCGCGAGGCAAGGGATACGAGAGATGAATGCTATTCTCTAAGATTAAGGGCGTCCGAGACGAGTAATAAGGGCGGGCGAGACGGGTCATCCGGTGCGTTGGCGCGCCTGGCGGAGGAAGTCGCCCTGCGTCGGCGTTGTACCGGAAGGCGACAGCGACCGCGCGCCCGCGAGAGCCAACCCCTTCATGGAAGATCCGAGCGACGCCACGGACTCATCTTCCTTGGACACGACCTTCTTCGACATCGAGGGCGACCGCTTCAGCTTGAAGGCCTCCCCTTCTTGCCACAACACGCGCTCCATCTCCTGCATGAAGTGCTGTTGGGGACCGATCACGGAACCGGGCCGGCAGATGCGGAACCACGCAATGATTTCCGCCGCCGTGAACTTGTGGTGCTTCATGCAGTAGCAGCCGATGCACGTTCCCGTTCTTCCTAATCCAGCTTTGCAGTGGACCCCGATCGCGCCTGTGGTCTGTTCGCAGACCTCGAGGAACTTCCTCAATATCTTAATCGGTGGATTCGACCCATCCAAGTAGTACATGTCCACATGATCGATGCCGTTCTTCAGAAATTTTTGCCTATCGTAGTAGGGCTTGTTCAATCGTACTATCAATGAAACGTTCCTGGACTTGAAGTAGGGCACGTAGTCCTCGGGCGCTAACGTTTCATACCCGGTGTGGGGGTTCCGGTGCGCGTCGTGCGGGCCCGCGAAGGCAAAAAACCGACCATACACGAGCCAGTTCAAATCGCCGTGCTCCACCGCTTCAAAATGTTCATATTCATTTAAATCGAAGGCGTCGAAGTCGAAAAAATTACAAGCTCGCGCTTTGTGGAGGCCTTTCAGGCAATCGAGCACCGTCACATCATACGTGCAGGCACAAGGTGAGGCATCATGAAACGGCGCGTATCTGCCGTAGGTCGATAAGGGCGCCCAGGCCTCCTCCGGCGTTCGTTGTAAGTATAGGATTTGCCAACAACCGATCAGGACGGCGGCGTTCGATCTCGCTCGAGGATCAGAAGACGAGTAGTAGTAGATCGGCCTCTCACTAAGTTCTGGAGCTCTGAGCTTCTGGTTCAGTAAAGCACAAAAACGATAGAGTTGCCCCAGGTTCAGCGGTCCAAAGTCGAGAAAGAAATTCCAATACACGAGCGCATCATCAATACTAAACCAGTGCGAGCCCTCTCCCGTCGGGGGCTGGTTGTGTCGTACACTACAGTAGTAGAGGCGGCCTTCTATTATAGTAGCGGCCGGCGGCGCCATGCCGGGATCCTCTTCCTCCGAGGGTGTTGCTTGTGGATCCTCGCCGGGGAGCGAGTGGCGCGGTCACCGTTAGTCTCTACCTTGCTGAGAGCTCCGTGCGCACCAGGGGCACCGGGAGTCACTGCGGGTGCTCGGCGGGGCTGCTCTCCCGCAGGACGCCAATCGCCGCGGCGCCTGCGCGCGCGCGCCGGCGCTGCGACCGGGCAGGCAGCGCCGGCTGGAGGCGAGAGTGCCTCCGCAGCACTTTGGGGCAGCCGTCGGCTGCGTCTTGGCCCCGCTCCCAGATGGCTCATGCACTCCCACAAGTGGGAGCTCTGCGAAATGGCTAGTGGGATCATGTGAGGGGGACGCGTGTGGGCGTCGCAGGCGGGTCCCGGGGCGCCCGGGGAGGTCTCGCCGTGGCGGCGAGAACCCGCCGCGATCACCCGCCGCGCCGCCGGCGCGAATAATCACAACTCCGTAGTGAACAAAAGGCAACGATGCGCGGGCGGAGGTCCTGAACCGCGCGACAAGTACGCCCCCCGACGCGGCACTGAAGATAGGATAAAAGACGCGTGAGTACTTAGCGCCGCGTGCGCGCGTCCGGCGACGCGAGGACGTCGTAGTCGTAGAAGCTCGAGAAGGGGTCGACCGACGCGCGCACGGACGACGGCCGCAGTTCCAAGGGGTGCTTCCAGGTCGTCGTTTTGGTCGCGTGGTCGAGGTAGTAGTAGCGGCTCTTGCGCGGGCACCACTTGCGCGACCAGCCGCTCGGGAGGACCGCCGGCGCTTCTCGTCTAGGTGAGGGCGGCGGCTTGACGGGAGCCGTCGACCGGCGCACGGGCGATCCTGTACTGTTTCCGGTGACGTGGAGCGGCTTTCGAGTAATTCGCCGCCGCGGCGAGCGGACCGTCGCGTGGCGCCGCTCGACGCGCCCGCCGGCGATGGTGGAGACGCCGTCGCTGCGCTCGACCGTAACTCTCAGACCGCCGAATTCTAGTGTCAAAGGCCCCTGGCCCGTGGCCGCGGCGCCCGTCTGTCTCAGACAAAGCTCGACGCCCTCGTAGTGCAATTTCATGCCGGGCTCCGCTTGTGTGACTGGTGGCGGCGGCGGCGGCGCGGGCGCCGCCGCCTCCACAACAACTGGCTTCACAGGAGGCGGGGCGCCGTCGAAGGCCGGCGCCTTCTTCTTCACACCCCTCAAACTAATATCTTGGACCAAATCTGAAAGCACCTCCTTCAACTCCTCGTCGAGCCACGTCCAGGCGTCGAACGTTCTAGGAACCGTCGCCGTCAGGATGAAGCCCCGGCCTCTTCGTTCCGCTTTGAGCGTGATGTCGTCGCCCAGATGCGCCGCATCACACGCTCGTTGAATGTGCACAGCACCCATACCCTGATTCACAACCAAGTCCCAGACCTTGGACGTGGTTAGTACCTTGTGCTTCTTCTTCTCTGGTGCGGGAGGCTTACTGGGAGCGACGGCGATGTTCTTCGCCGACCGCTCGGCTAACTCCTTTGTTTCACTCACGTTCTCCCTCAGTAATGCTGGATCATCACATAACCGATCTAAGAAAAAGTGCACCGCCTCATCTAACAGTATCGACCCACCCCCATCCGCATCGACCTTGTCGAAGTCGTCACTGACCAAATCACCTGCTAGACCGTAGGATTTCAGCTCGTTATTCATATGCTCGAGACCCGCGTCCCACTCGTCGCGCGTACATCGGCGATCGCCAGACGTATCCGCGCTCTCAAATAACCGGTAAATCTTCAGCGCCGCCTGGGTCACGACCATGAGACACCTTAATTCATCCCTTGTAACATACTCGTCGCCATCTAACCCAGCTTTATGGGGTGAGGTAGGAGCAACGCCATTCGCTAGCGTAAACGCCCTGATCAACACGGGCCGGGCATACGTAAAAATAGTGGACTTTCCGGCAACCGGCTTGCAGCCGGCCTTCGTCTCGAGCTGGCCCGTGTGTTGATTAAACCACCCGTCGTACTCGGCTAAACTCACATATTTGTTGCCGTTGTTGTCCATGGCCTTCCAGATCGTTTTTCTTGCTTCGGCGCCCTCGTGGTCTTTGGCGGCGGGGAAATACAACTCCAGGGCCTTCGCGTCGAAGTCGTCTCCATTGTCTACCTTCCAGCATTTTGACACTTGGGCCCAGGAGGTCATGGTTGCTCGTTTTGTGTGGTTCGGCTGCCGCGGCGCTGCGGCGGCTGTGCGAGGCGTACGGTGTGCTGCTGTCGCACCGGTTTGGGCAGCTGCACCGGTGCTACGTCCACCGTTTTGGCAGCTCGGTCCTCCAACCGATGGGCCGTCGACGGCCTCGCGAAACGGCCTCATCCACGGCGAGAGCTCTCGCCAGCCTTCCCCGAGAGTCCTCGTGCCATCATCGGTCCCGGAGTTTTTAGTTTTTTTAGAGGCGTCGCGCAAAAAGCGAGCATACAAAGCAGCCGTCTTTGGTGCCGCACAGCGTTGCTACTGCGAATTTCAGAGACTCGAAGCGCTCCGGACGCCGTCGACATACCCCTCGAACACGCCTGTGCACCGCATCGCTGGCCGTGGGCGACACGGCGCATACGGTGTGTTGCTAGGGCTGGACCTCCAGCACCTAAACGCCGCCGACCGGGCAGGCCTGGGGACGCGCCGAGACCGTCGCTCGCTTCATACACAAATACAAAAAATTGTAAAACTCACCTCTTGCCGCGCAGGTACCGCTTGACTACGCACAGACGTCGTCGAGTCCCTCTCGAGGGTGAAAGGTATTTGAGACGAAAAAAATGGCGCTCGCGGGTCTCTCGAAGGCCGAGAAGGACGAGCACTGCGTGTGCTTCGCGGCGCTCGCGCTCCACGACGGCGGCGCGGAGATCAACGCCGACTCGATCAAGGCCATGGTCGAGGCCACGGGGAACGAGGTCGAGGCCTACTGGCCCATGATCGCGGCCAAGTTCTTCACGTCGGGCGACAACTGCAAGAACCTCATCGTCAAGCCGGGCGGCTCCGGCGGCGGCGGCGGCGGCGGCGGCGGCGGCGATGGTGGTGGCGGCGGCGACGCGGAGAAGGAGGAAGAGAAGAAGGAAGAGGAAGAGGAGGAGGAGATTGACATGGCCGGCGGCATGGACATGTTCGGCGGCGAGGGCGGCGGCGACGACTACTAAATTGTTAGACTTCTAGCGCGTTCCACGGCGCGGGGCCACCACCCGCCAATAGCGCCGGCGACCAAATCGGGGGTCTCGTCGTGGGGGCAGTGGCCCGAGATTAATTTCTCGACCGTGATGTCTGGCCGGAGCTTCTCGAGGTCGTCGGCACGCTGAACAGCGCGCTCGGGGCCCGTCACGGCATCCCTAGAACCCTGCGGGACCAAGATCGGGCCCTCATAGATCCCAAAGTCCTCGTTCAGCGACCGCTGGGGGGGCAGCTTCGCACCCGAACCAATAACGTTGGCCGCGCCAGGGTCCCGCGCGTCCCTCGAAATAGCGTTAGCGAGGGCCACGTCCGCGTTTTCCGGCCGCACGTCGTAGTACTTTTTTAGGAGTTCGGGGATCTTCGGTCTTAGACCGGCGATGACGACTTCCCCGAAGGCGTCCAACGCAAATTGCGGCGGTCCAGCATACGGCGCCAAATCAAGGTTCAGCGTCTTCGCAGCGACATCCAAACCGCCCTCTTCCTTGACCTGCTCCGCATCCAACAAGCTTCCCGCCGTGTTGCACAAGATTAATCCGGCTACTTTCTCGGGATGATTCGCGGAGACACCCGCACACAAGCCGCCGCCGATCGAGTTGCCTACCAGCACCACGGGCCCCGGCACACGTCGTAGAGCGTCGCTCACGTAGCGCTCCCAGAGGTGCTGCGTGTAGCTTATACCGGGCTTGGCCGAGAGCCCGAAGCCTAGTAATTCAATGGCGACGACGTGCTCTATATCATGAGGTAACGCTTCCGTGAGCCGCTCCCACTGGTTACATGACGCCCCGAAGCCGTGGACGCAGACCAATGTAGGGGATGATGAGGCTTCGCCCCGCAGCGTCTTCAGTCGCCACAGGTGGCCCTCCCACCTATACCAGCTGTCTCCATTCGATCTAGGCCCCTTTGCCGATGCGAGTAACCGGTGGTACTCGCCGAACTCGACGACATCACCTAACGCCGTCGCCGTCCTCTCGAAGAAGACGGGCCACCCTCGACCCTTCGTCTGCGTTATAGGTAGAGCTCCACCTCGTCGGGCGAGTGAATACGCTTCTCTGACGCTCAGACAGCCTAGCGCCAGCGCCTCCGAGAAGGCTCGTGAAGCGGGTTCCCGGTACGCGAGGCGCGCGCTCGGTGTACCATCGCCGACGACCCAGGCCAGCGACGCGGCGTACAGAGAAGTTGTCTGAGGTTTCGTGAAGTGTCGATCGGTGAAGGGCCCCCGCCCTTCGCTCAGGTAGCTTTCCAGGCCTTCTTTGAGGGACCGGCAGCCGCAGAACTTTGTACTGACGTCTGCCCACGGCGCCTCGTGCGGCGACTGCGGTTTCAATGAATCGACGCCGTCCAGATCGGTGGATGCGAGGGGCGGCATATTGACCGGAGCGGCCTCGGGCTTTATAACGCTACCGAGGCTTGATATGTACGCGTCGAAGTCGCGCTCGGGATCAATTGTCAAATCCCGCAGCGGCGCCGTCCAGGTCTTGAAGTTATCTCCCAGGGCCTCTTTCAGGTCCTCCGTCGCTACCGTAGGGTCGTCGGCGCAGACGTGGACGGCGCCCGCGTTCATGTTTGATGCGACGTCGGCAATTTTTGTCGGGTTTCCCTTGACGACGCGCAGCGGCGCGTCGTATTTCTCCCTAAGTTCGGCGTCGAGCTCGCGCAGAGCTCTTGCGACGCGCGCATCGTCCGCGTCCGTGCCGCAGTAGACTGGAAGCCACGCGTCCGCGTTCGCTGCCGCGCTTAACCCGCCATGATCTTCGACGCGTAAGTCCGTCGTGAACTGCACGATTTCCGTGGCCATGCGCAGCGTCGTGTGCCTTGCGACGCGGCGAGGCGCTTGCAATGCATGGCTGGCGGCAGCCACCAGCAGCAGGGGTGCTAGCATGCATGCCATGGCTAGCTAGCGTGGCACAGCTGCGAAAAGCTGGTTGTTTCGTGAGAGCGATCGGTTTACGCCTAGACAACAACGTCTTTGCATGCGTTGGCACCGTATCGTGTGCGCCGACCGCTGAGCTCATGAGTTGGCCAAGCTTGAGAGATCATTTTTGAGAGTCGTCGGAAAGAAGTTGGAACTCGTCCAAAGGCCGAGGGATGGTTCGCAAGGCACCGTTGCACGAACAAAAAGCGATACGTTCCAACGTGCGGGATCCCGTGATGGGCAGCTTTTCAGCTAATGTGACTGTCCATGCCGCATTGATGGCGTAGGATCCACACACGTCGTATATGGAGCCGGAAGAAAGCATACCCCTCGCGCCTGGCGCCGCGGCTGCCCTGGCGAGAGATGCACTACTCATGGGGCAGGCTGCCCCAACCACTCGGCCGCCCGGCAGCGCCGCGGCTCTCGCTCGCGAAGCGCTTCAACAGGCTGCACCGCCCGGCGCCGCCGCGGCACTCGCCCGCGAAGCGCTGCAGCAACGCGCGGCACCACCCGGCGCCGCCTCCGCGTCGGCGCGGGACCTGCTGCAGAAGCCCCGCCCGGCGAGCGCGCCGCCGCTCCCAACGCTGCCGCCGCTCCAGCAACACTGGCAACCGCCGGAGATCATCGACTTCGAGGACGATGATGACGAGGACGACGAGGATTACGAGCGTCGCCGCTGCTGCTGCTGCTTCACTCGCGGCCACGAGCCGGACGACGTCTTCTCGCGGAAATGGCTCAAGCGGCTCTGCTTCCTGCACGTGGTGCTGGGCTTCGCGCTCTTCTGGCTGCTCGTGCTCGCGGTCGTAATTTTCCCGAGTTCGTCGACGTTTGGTGCGTTACGGGAATTACCTTTAAGAGTCTTGGTGCGGTGCCTGGCGTGCGGCCTCTGCGCGCTGACCGCGTTACGCGTGCCGCTCGACGCGAGGGAGCTGAACGCGACGCTTCCGAAGGCGGCCCTGGCGAAGGTGCTGGACGTCGTCGCGTCGTGCTGGGTGTGGGCGGCGCTCGTGCCGGCCTTCGTGCGGACGTATATCGCGGCGGTGGCGCACGACCAGTCGGCGTGGATGGTCGCCCTCCTATGTGTCGTGAGCTTCGTGACGGACGTGTCCGGGGTGTGTATTACGTGGGTCGCCGTGACGCCGCTCTGCCTGGGCGACCTGCTTCCCATCGCCGCGCGCGAGGAGGCCATGGACGAGTACATTGAAGACGACGACCGCGAGGACATCATCGTGGAGATCGGCAGCCTCCTGGCGACGCCGCGCGGCGCGAGGGACGTGGTGTGAAACTACTAAGTTGTTATTTGTGTTGCCTACTTCAGCATCTCCTGGAGCTTGCCGCTCTTCAGGAGCGGGACCGTGCCTCCGAGTCCCCCGTCGTTGCAGCCGCCGATGAACTGGCCCTTGACGAATACTTGCGGCACGCTCGTCTTGCCCGTCCATGCTTTGAGCTCGGCCTTCTGGGCGTCCGTTACTTCGACGTCTTTGAACTCGATGCCCGCCTCCTTGAGGGCGTCCTTCGCTGACTTGCAGAAGGGGCACCACGACCTGCGAGCGAGTCCTGAGCATAATTGAAACGGTGAAACCGTCGTCAACCTCCATCGCCGTGAATCTGATTTCCACACAGACGACGACGCCGCGAAGACGACGACGGGCGCCGAGGCGATGACCTCGGCGACGGGCGTGTGGCTGGACTGTGTCATGCCCATTAATCAGTGGTCGCGCGCCGACTCTCGCGCCTGCGTGACATCGAGCGATGGGAGTCCGCGCGCTACCGAAACCGCCGTCCTGACTCCCGAACCACGCGCGACTGTCTGTAGCCGCGTCGGGCGCACGCGGACGTGTGGCGTCCCATGCACGGCGTCGCGGCGGCCACGCGAGCCCACACACGTCCATCTCTCGATTGGCCAACTAAGGTGGATGTCAGTGGATTGCATCCAGATGAGCGCACGCGTCGGTTTTGCGCTACGCTCGCTTGTGCGGCCGATAAATGGAGACCATTACGCTTGATACGCTTGCATTCACACGGGCTAACGCGCTTATTTAGGACGGTGGCGGCAGGAGACCAAAAAACCTGTTTTGTCTTGTGGTACCAAACGAAACTAGTCCGTGAAGACAATCGAGTTTTAATTTAAGTAAGTAAGTTATACGACTCGCTAAAAAGCAAGAAGGAGAATGCCAAAGCAGAGAGGCTACCGCGACGTCGGCCGGCGCCCCGGCTGTAACGGTGGCGGGCGCCGTGAGGGCGGTCCCGCGTGTAGCGGACGGGCCACCGCCCGCTGGGCCATGGCGCGCACTCGCAAAGACCCGCCCGGGCCATGGACCGGGGCCTACGGCCGCGAGAGCGCGGAGATGCCACCCATCAGCTGGAGCGTGGTCTCGTCGACGCACTTGAAATGCGCCAGGATCGCCGCCGCGAGCGCCTCGAGGCGCGTCTCCGCGTCGAGGCCGGCGTCGAACGACGCCTCGACGCGGAACACCTCCTCGTAGATGCGCTGCTTGTACAGCTCGTCCTTGGCCTGGCCGTACGTCGCCTTCCAGCCGTCGGCTTCGCCCTTCAACTTTTCCGCCTTCTCCTTCGCCGCGAGCGCCTGGGCCCGCAGCGCCTCGGCCTTCTCGCGCAGCGCGGAGCCGCCGCCCTCCTCCGCGGCACCCGCCGCGTCGCCCGCGCCATTCGCGTCGGCCGCGGCCTTCTGCGCCCGCGCGGCGAGCTCCTGGGCCTCCTTCTGCGCCGTCGCCGCGGCCAGCTCGAGCTTGTCGTCCGCGGCGGCCGCGGCCGCGCCGAGGCCGGCCTCGAGCTTGCCGGCGCCCTCCGTCAAATCCGCGTGCACCTTCCGCAGCTGCTGCGCTTCTTTGAATCCCCCTATCGCGTCCATGAGCTCCTTGCCGAGGTCGATGCCCGGGATCACGGCGACGGGTGTCGGCAGAGCGCACGCGCCGTCGGCGCCGAAATTCAGGGAGAACGTCGGGACCTTGGACGCCGGCGCCGGCGCCGGCGCCTCGTCCTTCTTCGCCCCGGCGGCGGCCCTGGCCGCGCCTTCGACGGCGACCTTGGCGGCCGCGGCCTTGGCCTTCCACTTGTCTACGAGAATCCGGACGGGCGCGAAGACCGCCACCACGGCCGCCTTCGCGGCGTTTATGGTGTCCCGGACCTTTTTCTTGAGCAGCGCCTTGTCGTTGTTGGCGAGCTTGATGGACGTGCGCTCGCCGCTGAGCAGGCCGCCCAGGGAGCATTTATCCGGGCGGAAGAAGGAGCAGGGGTACAGGCAATATACGGAAAACCAACGCGGCGGCGCGAGGCAGCAGCGCGCGGGCCGGCCCACGGCCGCCGTCGCGTCCCCGAGCTTCAGCTCCGCGGGCGTCCTCGTGAAGTACGGGAAGCAGCAGCACCAGCACTCGAGGCGGTCGCCGAGGCGGAACTGGAGCTCCGGCGCGCCCGGCTTCAGGCCGGGCCGCATCTCGCCCGCGCCGAAGTCCAGGGCCACGGGCCGCTTCTCCCGCAGCCCCGGGAGGCGCCACGCGGCGCTCGCCTTCGCCTCGCCGCTCCAAACCGGCGCGAGCGTCACCGGATTGCCCTCCTTATCTTCACCTATCGTCACCGGCTTGCCCTCCTCGTCTAGGAGGTGCACGGAGAACGCCGCCTTGGGCGCCAGCATGGACGCGTACCGCTTGAGCACGAGTTTGAGGGCCGCGAGCGCGGCGAGTATCTTCGCCGTCCCCGGGGCCTCCATCGAGAACTTGGGGAGGCCCGCCACGCCCATGGTGCCGAGGACGCCGGCGCCGGCGAGGAGCCCTGCCACGTAGCCCACGAGCTTCCCGGCCAGCACGATCAGGACGGCGGCCAGGCGCTTGAGCGCGCCGAAGCCCCGCAGCGCGGGGTGGTGCCGCGCCACGCGGACCGACGCGGCCCGGGCCAGCGGCTCGCGGAGCCGATTGCTAGTCTCCGCCGCCGTCCAGGGCGCCTTCTCCTGGCCCTTGCAGCAGCGCGACAAGACCTTGTACCACGTCGCCGCGGCGACGACGAGTCCGAGCACGAAGCCGAGCACGAGGGCGTAGGTGCTCGGGTCCGAGGGCGACATCGCCGCCGTCATCGGGTCTACGGCCGCGTCGTCGTCGAGGCCGGGGTAGCTGGAGACGCCGCCGTCGTCGTCCTTTTGTCCGGACGCGCCACCACCGGCCGTGCCGTTCCCGGAGCACTCGTACCAGTAACTCATGTAGTCGTCGCTCACGACCGTCTCTTGGCTGCATTTGAGCGGGCCGTACGTGATATCGTCCATGTTAAACGTGGAGTAGTAGAGCGTGTAGTTCGCCGCGAGGCCCATGCACTGCGAGCTGTTGAGCGCGGCGCAAGCGGTGGCGCAGCCCACAGAACTCATGTCGCACGTCGCCTCCGCGGCGCAGGCCACGGCGTCGAGGGCCGCGCAGGGGTCGCGCGCGCACCCGTACGAGTTGTTCATCAGGAAAGGATAATTACAAGCGTGGCCCAGAGCCACGGCGGCCGCGAGGTGGGTCCACCGCAGCATGATCCGTCGGCTTGCGTATGAATACTGGCTGGAGGTGATAGAGGAAGGGCTGCCCCGAACTACTACGCTGCTTTGCCGAGCGATATACAAATACCAACGCCGACGCGTAGCCGCTGCTCGAGCTCAGGGCCTTCGGCCCGCTGAGCTTGACCGGTACTCCCAGCAAAACGGCACCAAGCTCACGCGCAGATCTGCAAAATAGCGCTGAGTGCACGGGTTTGGCCGACGTGTGTTAGGGGCTCGGGCATGAACAGAGCTCCACACGGCGCCGCATCGCCACCGGTCCGCGAAGGAGCCATCGGACCCCCAACCAAAAGTGCACCTTCCCCATTTCGATCCACAACCAGGGGCGGGCAGCGTGTAAATCCCCGACGATGCAGCCCAAGCTCGACGACGACGAGGAGGCGAGCACGCCGCGCATGGACGAGGCCTCGCCGCTGCAGGGCGCGCCGCCGCGCGGCGCCAAGCGGGTCTCCTACCTCGTCCCAGCCCTCTGCGCCGCCGCCGCCGTCGGCGCCGTCGCGCGGCGCACGACGGCGTCCGCGGCCCTCTACGGCCAGGCGTCCGCCGCGCCCTGCACCGACGTGGAGAAGCTCGAGATCTCCAAGTACACGATCACGTCGTCTCAACCCACCGCCGACGCCGCGTTCGCGCAGCGCGTGCTCGGTTCGGTGGACCAGAGCTACGGTGGGGACGGTTCGGATGACCCGGCGGTCTATGAAGATTGCCTTGTAGATGGAAAGTACAAGATGCGCATCCGGAAGCAGACGATCGGCGGCGGCGGCCACACGATGGACCTGCACTTCCCCTACTCGCAAGTGACGCCCCACGGGCCTTTAACGGTCCAGTACTGGGACAAGTACCAGGCGAACCTGAACAAGGAGTCGTTCGCGACCGATGTCTTCAACCCGTTCATGCACTATTCTTTGGTCATGTACACGCCGGACCTATCTTATATTGCTCGCAAGTTGACAAATGAGGGGGAGCCCTTCCTCGCGCGGCGCGGCTTTGTTAATGGCCAGGCCTACTATACTTTGGTTGTGGGTTCGCCGACGGGCAAGGTCTACGAGATCACGTCGCCTAGGTTAGACGAGGGCATCGTTTCCGTCAAGGACTGGAGCGCGGCCGAGTGCCCGGCCTGCCACGTGCCGCGCACCTACAACAAGGACCAGCTCGACGCGTGGTGGTACGACAACTTCGGCGGGGACAACTTCGTCGAGCGCGAGGAGACGACGCCGATCCGCGTGTCGATCGCCGTGTCCTCGGTCGACAAGGTGCAGCGCTACTGGGCGACGCACTTCCCCGCGCTCGAGGTAAGTGTGTGGGAGTCCGGCACGGCGAAGGTCGCCTCCGCGAACTTCCACCTCGCGTCGCACGACAAGATGAGCATCGAGCTCGAGTGGGTCGAGAATGGACACGACTTCGGGCCGATGAAGCACACCGTTTCGGACTTCGTGGCCTACCAGGAGTCCGTCAAAGAGGAATATGCGGGGCCAAACATCGGCTGGACGGCGTGGTACGACCGCCACCTCGGCGTCGCGATCACGGCGTGCCCCCTCGACGAGTACATGAAGGCCTGGGACGCGGCGGGCGTCGCGTTCCACGCGCACGCCACGGGAACTTTAGGAGACCACGCCTGGACCGAGGGCGTCGAGTCCTTCGGCATCGAGTTCCAGGGCTGGTTCGACTACTCCTACCAGAGCAACTATGCGGGCTTCGACTTCTGCACCTGGAACACGGACCCGCACGAATTCTACTATACCATCGGCGAGGACCCGCCGGCGAAGCCCGATCCATCGGCGGAGTAAATCTTGTATACATATGCATCGTACCCGTGGGTAGGATGTTGTGGCGACGGCGTGATCGTAGCGGTACCGCCTCGGCGCCGTCGACGCGCAGCCCACGAAGCATATATGATCAGTGCACATGGCGCGGGCGACATGCTGCGACGGGACCGCCTCCAGACGACGGGCTGTCGCAGCTCGCGACGGCGTGAGGGCGGCCCGGGCCACCGCTCGCTCGCGATCGTAGCAGCACCCCCTCGACGCCGTCGACGCGCAAAGCCAAGAGAAGATATCATCATAATTAACGTTACACAATAGCCTAGAGGTCGCCCTTGAGGAAGACGAGGCCCGGCGAGCCGCGCAGCAGCGCCGCGAGCCGCGGCGGCGGCGCGTTCCGCGCGCGGGCCTCGTCGAGCGCGTGCTCGAAGAGGCCCAGCAGGGCCGGCGCCGACGCCGTTGCGGCGGGCGGCTCGCGGAGCTTGAGGACGACGGCCGGCGGCGGCGCCGGCGCCTCGACGTCGACAGATGTAGTATGCATGGGGTTCACGCGCGGCGCCGCGGCGAGGAGGCCGTCCGTGTCCCGGGGCGGCCCTTTCTTGTTCGCCGGGGGCGCGGCGACGGGCGAGGACACGGGCGACGGCGGCGGCGGCGTCGCGGCGAGCGCGGCCGAGTGCGCCGCGCGGTAGGCGGCGCGCGCCGTGGCCGCCTCGGCCGCCGAGCGCTCGAGCAGCTCGCGCGACCGCCGCGGCAGGGACGCCACGCAGGCGAGGAGCCGGTCGCCGTCGGACGACGCGGCCGTCGCGCGGCGCTTCGACCGCGGCTCCAGGGACGCGGCCACGGCGCGCGCGACGGCGTCGGCGTTTTTGGTTAAATCCAGGTGGAGCGGCGCGAGGTCGGCCTCGCGCGCGCGGTGCGCGACGCGGCCCTGCGTTGGATGAGTGACGGCGACCTCTCTCTCTCTCTGCGCATCGATCGAGGCGACTCGGCGCGTCGACGGCGTGGAGCTCGACGCCGTCGAGGCGACACGAAGGACGCAAAAAGGACGCCGCATAAAAACCATGAGCGTCGCGCCCCGGCTCAACGAGTTCTGCCGCACCAGCCCGCGCATCTCGAAGCCCGCGTCGATGCGCGACGCCGCGCACGCCCCGCGGACGCCGCGGCACACGTATCTCAGGATCCGCAGGCCCCGCAGCGCCACGATCGGCGCCGCCGTGAACTCCGCCAGGCACAGCACGAAGGCGCACACAATCACGACCGTGTCAAACACGTTCATCGTGGACGAGAGGAAGTCGCCGCCGGCCGCGACGAAGCGCAGGCCCAGCTCGCAGACAAATAACGCGTTGATCGCTAATTCTAAACCCCGCAGCCACTGCGCCTCCGCCGCGTTCGTGCCCGGCAGCAGCTGCCACGCGAAGAGCACGACGTCCGCGAGCGTTAATAATGCCACGGCCATCCAGCAGGGCACGGAGTCGACGACGTCGGCGACGTCGCGGCGGGAGGCGTCGTCCATCGCGTTCTTTCCTTTGCTGTTGTGGGTCTTACTCTTGCGTGCTCAGCTCGGCCTTTTTTTTTGCCTTATTTTTTTGGGTCCACTTGCAGGGGTGCGTGGGGGCCGGTGCGCCAGCAGAATTGCTGGCGGATCTATGCGCAGCGAATAAACCTATCCTCGCTGCTCGCGAGCCCAAAGCTATACCGCCCTGCACTCGGTCGGCGGCTGCTCCTACGTCGTTTTTGCCGAGGCTTAGTAGGTCTACTTCTAGCATTAAGCCAAGCGCTGGGAGCGTGTGTACCGCGGCTGGTCCTCCGGTCGTCAGCAAGAATGACCGAAGGCCGCTCGCGTGGCGGACGGAGGCCTCAGCAACGCGAGTCGCTCGTGCGACGCGACCCTACACGAAGGACGCGGCGCGCTACGAACCGGGTGGCGAGGAGTGCGGGAGCGTTTTTAGCCGCCGCTATGGTCGCCCTGTGGTCGCCCTCTGTGCTTTGGGGACCGCGCGCGTTGATCTCGCGCGTTGCCCGCAAACAAAAATTGCCGAGGACGCCGCGCCTGCTGCATGCCAGATGCGTACATGGGTCGCTTGGAGCCGTGGCAAGAGGCGTGGTGGCCTCCACGTTGCGCAAACTTCGCCAAGCGCTATCTCAAGGCCGACAGCTAAAAAGGCATCGCCCCGCGTCGCTAAGGACCCGCTGAACACACAGACTCGCGCGAGTGCCTTCTATAAGGCCAAGGAACAACTACGAGGCTTGGCGCGGCCGTTTGCGCGCTCGGCGCGGAGCACAGTCCCGGAGATTTCGGCTGTGGCTCCTGGGGCTTCGCCCGGAGGCCCCGTCGCGGCGCCGCCGCAGCCCTCTGGCGGCCACCGCCGGCGGCGTACAACGCCCCAACCCGATAAACCGCCCAGCAAAAGGGTCGCGCGGCCGCGCTCCCGGAACGCGCGCGAGAGCAAAATTTCAGAGAGCCAACAAAACTCGCACGCAGGCGTCACCCAAGCTCTTCACCTCTCTCTGCGCGCGGAAAAGGGCGCAGAATATCAATTCTCGCGCACCAGCCACGCACAGGACGTGACCAGCACGCAACAATGGGCCAGAAACGCAACAGCTCGACCATGGAGGAGCGCGAGGCGCGCAAGCGCGCGCGCATGGAGCGGAACCGGCTCAGCGCGGCGCGGCACCGGCAGCAGCAGCGGGACCTCATCGCGTCCCTGCAGCAGCAGCTGGCGGCCGCGCTCGCCGAGAACGACCGCCTCCGCCGGGGCCTGCCCGTGCCCGGCTCGCCGATCGTCACGACCGAACCAGCAGTGTTCACCCTATTCTCGACTCCCAGCAGTGGAATCGTTTGCGACGATCGACGAGCCGGCGCGGCGGCCCCTTGCGCCGCGGGCGACCGCGCCCGCGCCCCTCCCCCCGGCCCGCGCGGCCGTATCAACGGTGTCCGTGTCCGACTCGGACTCGGCCGACGACGCGTCGTCGGGCGCGCCCGATGACGCGGCGTCGCTGGACGGCATCGCGGTCGACGACCTCGAGTTCATGAGCGGCTTCCTGCAGCAGGCCCTCGACGGGCCGGCGCCGGAGCCCCTCGCCTCGTGGTAGTCGCGCGGCTTCTTGTTTGGAGTCGCGGCCGGAACCCCTCCCCCCTCCTTGTACTAAGACCATGAGAAGAACGGTTGTTGTCACGGTCGCGTCTCGCGTCGACGGCGTGGAGGGTGTACGTCGGCGCGCGGGTGAAAGAGCTGTTGGGCAGCCCGAAAATGCACCCAATTAACTCCTGGGGAGCCGTGTGCGCGATCGTTTGGGGGGGGGGCGTTTGGGCCTCTCGGGAACCCGGCAGATTGCATGGAGCGGGGTGGGGGCTAAAAACCCGTCGTCGTCATGGAGAGCGCTGCAAGCAGTGATTCACACGCACGAGGCCCAGTATATTTTGCCAGATCACACTCGCGCACGACGAGGCCCCATGATGCAAAGCAGCGTTGCCCCTGACGGCGTTGCCCCTGACGGGGGCAACGCTGCTGCGGTGGACGCGGGCGCCAAAGCGGCGCTGCTAGACAGCTTCGCGAACGCCGGCGGCAGCATCTCGATCGGAACGAGTTGGATGGACTGGGGCCAGCCCTCCGATCGCCTGCCGATGGGAAAACGGTACGGTCGCGAGATGCCGCGGGCGAAGGACTTAGCCGTCTTCGACGCGAACGGGGCCCACATAGCGACCCTGCAGTTCAACTACTCGAATCTCGACTATTCCCTCGGTCACGTCGACTTGGTCAGCGCGAAGGAACCCAACCGCGTCACCCACCGCTTCACGCGCACGAGCAACGCGCGCCTGGGCTTCCTGAGCGGCCAGGAGGGCGCCCGCGGCGCCCCCTTTCACGTAGTGATGGACGATCCGATGACGGCCTTGTGCGACGGTCACTTCTGCATGGGGCGCGGCGCGGGCTTCTACGTGCGCGAGGACGGCCAGACGACCATGCGGCTTCAGTCTCCCGCAAACCCCTTGCTGCCGATCCTCGTGATTGCGACGGCCTGTCTCATAGCGGCCTGTATCCCGTGCTGCCCGTGCTTCAAGAGGAGCGGGCCGACCTGGAACATCTTGAAGGATGGGAAGAAGGTCGGCGGCTGCTACATGGCGACGAATACGTCTGGGATCCGCATCGAGGCGACGGACCCGGACGTCATGCGTGTTGCCCTAGTCATGGCCATTAGCATGCTCTTCCGGCCGCTCGATGGCGGAGGCTGATCTTGTCGTCGCTGTGGAAAGTTGATATGGAAAAAGTCAGAATCGGAATGACTGCCTCGACTTTTTTTTATCTGTCGCGAGGTTGATGGCTCGACCTCGGCGCGACGTCGGTGGCGGCGCGCCGGGATCTCGTGGCCGCCGCGGTCGCGTTGAGATGCACGGACTCGGCAGCGTACGACCCCCCCCGACCTGATCTTGTACACGTCGACGGCATTCGCCCGCGGATTAAATTTGCTAGAAGAACTTAGAAATACTCCTTGGGCAGGATCTTCTTCGAGCCGAAGCCCTTGTCCATGAAGAGCCGCCCCGTCACGGGCATGTGGTCCCAGACGAGGTAGTAATTGATAGACGTGTTCCGCAGCTCGTTCGCCTGGTCGATGAGCGCGTACTTGACGTAGATGTTCCTTTCATCAAGCTTCGCCTGTTCTTCCGTCTCCACGATCCGGTCCCACAGTATGACCTGGTTCAGCTCGTTCTTCGGGGTTTGATATTCGGCCAGCACAAACACAAAAAGCTGCTTGAGGTTCCAGTGGAAGGCCGGCGTGAGGTCGGCCTGGACGTCGAAACTCAGTAGAGCGCGGTCGACGCCGCCGTGCGCTCGTAACGAGAGCAGCTCGTTCACGCGCACCGTGTCGACGACCGGTCGCGGCAGGTCCGAGTGGAAATCGAGGTCCTGCTGCAGGCAGCTCACCCACGCGCAGCAGCTCAAGCCGAGGAGCACGTTGAGACCGTAGAAGAAGACGGCGTTGAGGCGCACCCAGTAGGTGTGCATCGTGGCGCGGCGGCGGCGTGCAGCCCACGCGTCCGCGTACTGCTGCGCCTAGCTTTCCGGTGGCGCTCAGCGACGTGCGAGAAACACGGCGAGCAGTCGTGGTGGATCGGTACGCGCGTCGGCGACGCGGCGGCTCCGGCGACCCCCTGCTGTGCTCTACGGAGGCGCTATTGCCGGCGCCTTTAACCAGCGCTGCAGCAAGTACCGTCGATTATCGTTCTACAAGCGATCGCTTTCTCTCGGCAAGGCGCGTCGCGACGTACAGCAGCGCACAAAAGCTTGCTGCTCGATGCTGCATTGGCATTCGGGTTGCGGCGCAAAACGCCAGCCGCCGTCACCCGCAAGGACGAGTCCTTGGGGCGTTCTTGGGACGAGTGCTGATCCAGCGGGCTCCTCGACTCGACCCCGATTGTTGCAAATGCATCGCCTAGTTTGCCGTTCAGAGCGCGGGCGAATAAAAGCATCAGACACGAGCGCGCAGCTCGATTTAAGAGCTCAGTATCATATAACAGCAGCACGCTGAAGCACGACTCGCAGGAGCAACTCTGCAGTAAAGGAGCGACTCCCCTGCAGCGCCATCACAGCACAACAAGACGCGACTGCAAGCGCGAACGATGCGTCGCATCCTCACGCTCGCAGCCCTCGCAAGCGCCAAGACCCACCTGAGGTTAAGGAGGCCGCGGCGCCACATTTCTGTACGAGGCGGCGGCGCCGCGCTCCAGCCGTGCCGCGAGTTCTGCGCGCCGCCGACCGTGAGTGGCGGCGCCCTCGCCGACTGCCGGTGGTGGCAGTCGCCGCGGGAACGAGCGAGGGCCCTGTCCCTCGCCATTTTGCTGGTCCAGAACTCGGCGCTGACGCTGACGATGCGCTATTCACGAACAAGGGTCATTGAGCACCGCTACCACGCGTCCGAGGCGGTGTGTTTGTCGGAGCTGACGAAGCTGTTCATTTCTTTGGGTCTGGCCGCGAGGGCCGAGCCGGAAGGCGAGTCGTTCTGGCAGCGGCTGAAGGGCGCCGCGGAGGGCGCGTACGCGGACCCGACGTCCTATGTATTAATCGTGCCCGCGACGCTCTATGCGGTGCAGAACAACCTCCAGTATGTTGCTGCCTCAAATTTGGAACCGGCCGTGTTTCAATTGTTATACCAGATGAAGTTGTTAACAACGGCCTTCTTCTCCGTGGCTCTATTGAATCGCAAACTAGCCCCGATGCAGTGGGGCGGCGTCGCCCTCCTTGCTTTAGGTTTGGCTGTGGTCGCCACGTCTGCCAGGGACCCGACGCGCCTCGTCGAGAAACACGCCGTTAATATTGCGGTCGGGAGTTCCGCGGTCCTCGCGGCCTGCTGCACGTCTGGTTTCTCGTCGGTCTATTTCGAGAGGGTCGTGAAGGGAGCACGAGAGAAAAAGATCGGCGAAATAGCACCAAAAAAAACGACGCAAAAACCCATAAGTGTGTGGGCGCGCAACGCGCAGATGGCGACGTTCTCGACGTTTATCGCGCTGTTCGGGTGTCTGTGCAAAGATGGCCGGGTCATCCGGGAACGGGGCGCCCTGGCCGGATTTACGCCCATCGTGTGGAGTGTAGTCGCTTTACAAGCGACGGGCGGCCTGTGCGCCGCGGCGGTGATCGCGTACGCGGACAACCTGCTGAAGGGCTTCGCTACCGGTGGGTCCATGCTGCTCTCGACGTTCATCAGCTGGCTGTGGCTCGGCTTCGAGATCACGCCGGGGTTCGCGCTGGGCGCGTCGATGGTGCTCGGGAGCATGTGGGTCTACGCGTGCGCCGAAACTAATTAGTATGCAAGTTTATTCTCTTCCACTAGTGTCTGTCGAGGAGAAGACGCCGGGCGTCGTGCGGGACCAGTTGCCCAACCCGGCGCCGCTCACGACGTCCTGCGAGGCTTCGCCATATAGTTCCTGGCGTTGTGTTGTTGTAAGCATCGGCACCGGGTCCGCGTCTCTTGTCAGAACGAAGAGCGAGCCGTCGCCGCCCCGCGTGACGCGCAAGGAGTCGTCCAGGTACACCGTGTCGACGGCCGGCCGCGCTAATGATGGGTCGGCCTTGGGCTCGACGACCGTCTTGATCGCCACCGGAGCGTCGATCTCGAACACGACCCTTCGAAAGAAGACGTCGACGCGGTCGCCCCGATCGTTGACCACACCGGCAGCGTTGAGCGTGCCGCGCGCCGCGCGGTCGAAGTCGCCGACGACGCGCGTCGAGCCGTGGATCAAGTGCGTGACGTGCAGGATCTCGCCCTGGTTCTCGAAGGTCTTGGATTGGAGCGAGAAGGGCTGGCGGACCGGACCTAACTGAAAGCCGAGCGGCAGCTTCGCGAGGTTCGTAATTTCTGGCGCGTCACTATAAACAAGGCGCCAGGAGCCGTCCAGTTGCTTATTGGAGGCGGTGTCGCCCATCGCGGCGGCGGCGTCGAGGGTGTCGGCGCACGCGCTTATTTTCTCGGCGACTGTGCGGGGCAGCGTCGCGTTCGTCGCGGGCGCGCCCGTCGCCGTGGCCGGGATCGCGTCGAGCAACGCGGCCTTGGCGGCGGCGACGGTCGTGGCGGCGGCTGCTGGTTTCGGCAAGACAATCGCGGCAGCCGTCGCACGGAAGAGGTCGCGGCGCGCGATTGGCAGTGGCTTTGGGGTTCGCAGAGCAGTCACTGTGCAGCAGCAGCCGCAGAGTAGGGCAAGTTTTTTTTGACAGGCAAGCATGATACTGGAAAAGGCTTGCGGACACTGAGCGTAGGTATATAATGAATGACCTGCTTGCACTGTACGTGCAACGTAGGTCCTGGTGACGAGCACTGCCCGCAAAAACCAACTTTGCTCTGCGTGAAAAGTCCAACCAAAACGGGTTTCGCTCGAAGATACCCAAGAAAATACTAGATAAATACTTACGCTGTCGACGCGGACGACGGCCGCCGCAGCCGCGTCCACGGCCCCGTCCGCGACGCGACCCTCAATAAACCGGCACCGCACTGCACGATAAACAACGCGGCGAAGCCCCTCCACAATTTATCGAGCGACGACGGCGTCGGCCGCGCCAGCACGAGTAGACACGCGATGTTCGACGCCCACATCGTGACCGACGCCGCCGACCAGTCGAGCGCGCCCATCAGCAAGCCGTTGACGGGGTAGGCCAACCCCTTGAGGGCCTGGCAGAGCATTACTAAAGGAAAAACTGCCAGGCACGCGGCCCGCACCTTCGGGTCCGTCGTCAGCCCCGCGACGACGTTGTGGCGGTTCAGATACGTGCCCGTGGCCAGCAGAGACGAGCATCCCAATCCAGTAGCGAGGCCGAGCCTCAATATCCTATGCGACCTTTTGAGATTCGTGGCCTTCTCGGCGTAGAACTCGCGCGCGAGTAGCGTTTGGGTTGCGACGGCCGCGGCCTCGCAGAGCTGCGTCGTGGCGACGCCCAACGCAAAACAAACAGCGTGCGCCGCCGACGACACGGCGCCGAGCTTCGCCGCCTCGCGCGCGCAGACAGAGTAGGCCGATATTTTTCCCAGAGTCCTGACGAGTACTAGAGTGCCAGCTTTCCCGTAATTCCCGAGCTGCTCAATCAACTTCCGTCGGTCGCATTTGAGCAAATTAGCGACGGAGCCGGCTCCTGTCCTCTTGGACAAGGCCCTTAAGAGAGGATACAAAGCTAAAGTTTGAGATAGCGCGGTGCCGGCGGCCGCGCCGGCCGCGCCCAGACCAAGTGGAAAGATGAACAAAGGATCCAAAATAGCGTTCATCGCCGTGAAGGCCAGGGCCCATTTTAACGGAGTCGCCGTGTCCCCTAAGCCGCGGAACACGCCGTTCGCCACGAGCCACACGGTCGCCGTCGGCGCGCCGAGCGCCGCCGTCCTCAAGTACCAGAGCGCGTGGCTCGCCATTGGGCTTGTAGAAGCAACACCAAACGCTTGGAGTAGACGAGGCGCCAGCAGCATAACACCTAAACCTTGGACGGCGCCCACGACGAGCGCGAGGCACAGCGCCGCCGCAATACTACTATCGTTGGCGTCGCCCTCGGCCGCGACCAAGGAAATGGACGTCCGCAACAACGGGTCGTTCGACAGCTTGCCCAGCGCGTACTGCGCGCTCACGGCCGCACCGGCGCCCCCGAGCGCCGTCGCGCCCAGGCGGCCCATGTACGCCGTGTCGACGAGCCGCGCGACGGGCTCGGCGGCGAACTGGACTACCGCCGGCAGGGCTATCGAAAGGAACTCGCGGTTGAGGCCCTTCAGTTCTGCTGCTTCGCCGCTCGCGGCGGCGCGCCGGCCCACTCTGGGCCGCTTGGGCAGGCCCAGCTGCAGCGCGGCCGTCCGCGCCGACGCGACGGCCACGAGCGTGAGCAGCGTTGTGCGCATTGCTTTTGTAATTGCGCTGCCGTGCGACTGCGACAACGAAGGCTGGTGTTGCTACGGGCAGGGCAGTCTGCGTTGGCGAGCAAGGCTTGTGGTGTTATGATGAGGTTGTGCTTGCTACCGGTGGCTCCAAGCGAACAGAAGTGACTCAGCAGCGGCTGATGAAGCCCAGTTGATTGTATGATGGCCGTAACTGCTGGATAGCCGGCGTGCGACGGGCGTTTTTGGGTCGAGCTTGCAATTCCTAGTGTCTTACAGGACGCTAGCTGCCGTCGCCGGCGGCGTGTAAAGCGACGAGCCACGCGTACCTCCACAGCGCCTGGGCATTGCTGTGTATCGCCACTGAACGGTTATCTACTTTGCGTGCGCTCCGGACGTCTTTCTAGCTCTGAGACCAAAAAGCTCTCTGGCACCAAAAAGCTGGCACTGCTCGCGGCGCAAAAAAAACCATGCACGGTGTAAGAAAAGGCCCGCCGCCGCCGCCCGAGAAGGTCGCCGCGCGGCGCAAGAAGGCCGCGACCTACGCGGCCTTACTAAAGCACGCCCTCGCCGCGAAGCAGGCCCACAAGCACGACTCCGAGACTTATGCTGTTGTTGAGAAATTGTTGCTGGCGAGCCCGGACGTGCCCACCCTCTGGAATTATAGGAGGGAGATGTTGCTGAGTAGGGAAGCGAAGACGGACGGCGGCCTTGATGAGAACGAGACACAACTTGAGCTCGCGCTGACGCAGAAGTGCCTCATGAAGCAGCCCAAGTCCTACGCGGCGTGGCACCATCGGTTGTGGATTGTAAGGCGGCGGCCGGCTCTCGCAAAAGATGAATTAGCGCTATGCGCGGAATTTCTCAAACTCGACGAGCGCAATTTTCATTGTTGGAACTATCGGAGGATGGTGGCTGAAATGGCGGACGAGGCCGTCGAGGACACGCGGGCCTTCGCCCGGGATCGGCTCCAGGTGAATTTCAGCAACTACAGCGCGCACCACGCGCTGGCGAAGACGCTGCCTTCACAAATGGACGCGGCGGCGGCGCGCGAGGAATTAGGAATAGCGCGCCAGGCCTTGTTTTGCGAGCCCGACGACCAGTCGACGTGGTGGTTTTCGTTTGATGTGTTGCGGCGGTCGAACTACGCGACGGTCGACGAGGAGGTCGCGGCGCTCGAGGAGCTGCGAAGCTTGGAGCCATCTGCGCGGTGGCCGCAGATGGCGCTCCTGCGGCTGCGCCTCGCGCGCGGCGGGCCCGGAGACGCGGAGGCGGCGGCGGAGCTGCGCGACGCACTTGTTGCTTCGGATCCCGACCACGCGGGGATGTACGGGGAGAAGTTGCCGGAGGAGTTCTTCCGCGCTTCTTCTTCCTAGTAAATGTAGTATCTTTGTCGCGTTTAATGAGGCGTCGCTAGTGTAAGACACTAGCAAACGTTTGCCAGACCCAGACCTGGCTGGGCTGCTTATCTCCGCGTAACACCAGTTTCTAAAGCAGACAAGCAACAGCAGTGCTCAACAGCAGTGCTCATCGAACGGCGCGCGGCAATAATATAGAGAATTGCCGGCTAGAAGCACGCTAAGAGGGAAAAGCCTCTCACAGACTCAGAGAGCATCCATCCACATACGTCGCAACGTTAGAGAATGGCAGCGCAAGTGCGCCCGCCCGTCCCACCGTTCACGAAAGAGACCGCCATCCAGAAGGTCCGCGCCGCCGAGGATGCGTGGAACAACCGCGATCCGACGAAAGTGCCAATGGCCTATACGCCTGACACGAAGTGGCGCAATCGCTCGGAGATCTTCCAAGGCCGAGAAAAAGTAAGGGAGTTCCTCGAGCGCAAGTGGTCGAAGGAGCTCGAGTACCGGCTCATCAAGGAGTACTGGGCGCACGGCGACGACCGCATCGCGGTGCGCTTCGCCTACGAGTACAACACCGCGGATGGTCAGTGGTTTAGAGCCTATGGAAATGAGAACTGGGAGTTCGACGAGAACGGATTGATGAAGACGAGACACGCGTCTATCAACGACCTCCCGATCGAGGAGTCCGAGCGGCTCTACCACTGGCCGCAAGGGCGTAGACCGGACGATCATCCGTCCCTCTCGGAGTTAGGCCTCTAGAGAGAGGACTGCACATATAGGACTGTACATACTATTCTTCTAATTAGGAAACCACTACTGTGAAAGCGCCTCCTCGAGGGGCACCTTCTCCGCCTCCGGTGTGCTCGGCTTCTCAGGGCGCCCGCCGAAACAACTGACGCCACCGCCCCCATCTTCAAGACGAGTCATGCATGGCAAGACCAGCGCGAAGAGCATGAACGGGCCCTGACACTCGAGCAACGGCGTCGAACCGGTCGCGTCCCGCGCCTGCACGTCGGCCCCGGCCCGCAGTAACAGCTTCGCGATCTCGACTTCAGAAGAAGCCACCGCGAAGTGCAGCGGCGTGCGCCTTACGGCAAAACCTGAGAACCGCTCGTCGCCCACTCTCCGAATATCGAAGGCCACCGCCGCGGAGGACCTTGAATCAACAGCCTCGCGGAACGACTTGCGCGCCAGCGCGTCCCGCATGATGTCGACGTGGCCGTTGAGCGCGATATAGTGCAGCGCGGTCAGTCCTCGATGCCGCCAGCCGACGACGCGCTCCAGGACATGCTTCGAAGCGAGCGCGTTCACCACCAGCGTCCAGCAGCGCGCGTTCGCCTTTTCCGAGGCGACGATGGCGAGCAAAACGCCGGGGCTCTTCTTCGGGCGGCAGCGCGGGTCCGCGCCCGCGTCCAGCAACGCCCCGACGATGGCCTCGCAGCCTTTTTGCGCCGCGGCCACCAAGACACCTTCTTCGTCGTCCGTGGCCGCGCCGGCGATGAGTAGCGCGAAGACCGCGGACTCGCGCTCCCGCTTCGCCGCCGCCCAGTTGTCGACGGCCTCCATCAGGAGGGACCGCCCCCGGGCGTCGCGCGCCGGGAAGGCCGCGTCGTTCGCGAGGCGCGGCGCTTCGTTATCGGGCGCATCTCTTGCAACTTCGTAAGCCCAGGACGCGCGCGAATCCAAACCCCGGGCAAACAACGCGCGCCGCACGTGCGTCGTGTACGCCAGCTTCGCCTTGCGCCGCGCCTCCGTATCGACCGCGCAGCGCATCGCGAGGCGCAGCGCGAGCGACGTCGCGCGCGGCGCCTTGAGGCCGCCGGGCAGCGTCCGATCGCCATACATGGCATCCTCCTCGAGCGTCCCGTCGAGGACGCGCGGGTCGAAGGCGTCGCTGTCGTCGGACGCGTCGGGCAGTTCCTGCTTGGTCTCCTCCGTGCCCTCCTTAAATGGGTTGTCAGTGCCTTGCATGGTCCCTGCTACTGCATGGAACTACGAGGCGCTTGGGGGCAGCAATCGGAAAGCCTGCCGCAGCGTGCGTGCCCAGCAAGAGCACCCCAAAAGCACGAGAGCAGCGCAATCTCAGCGGCGCTCGTGAGGGTTGGACGTGGCCCGCCTGGAGCTCTCGGGGGAATCAGGACGATTCCCAGACTGACCGAATACGTCTCGTGGCGAAAAACGGGCACAGGCTCCGTTCGTGCGGGGGCAACATCTGGTCGATGCATCACATCGTTTTGGGGGCGTCGAGCGCCGTAGAGACCACCGAAACAACTGCCCATCGCGGCCCGAGTTGCGCTGCTCCTCAGCAAGACAACGCGCAGACCAGTATCAGGCAAGGGGCAGCCATAGACGTCATCCAGCACAAGCCATCACGCATTTGGCGGGCGCTGAGCGCGGTAAAGCCTCGAGAACCAGGCTCCTGTCGCGGCCCGAGGAGCACGGCTATTCATAAAACACAGCCCGTCGACCGCGCATCGGCTCACGACACACAACAACCAACAATGTACGGCCCGCCGCGCCACACGCCCATCCAGAGCGAGGCCGAGCTGCAGCGCGAGCGCGCCGAGCTCAAGGCCTGGCGCAAGCGCAAGGTCGAGACGCTCGCGGCGCGGCGGCGCGCCGTGCGCGTGTTACGCGGAGATTTAACGAGCCCGCCGAACGCGCGGATCGGGCGGAAGCGGCGCAAAGCATTAGGTGGAAGGGCCCCGCCGCCGACGCCGTCGCAGCCGACGGACGCCACCGTCGAGACGCCGGCCCGCGCGCTGACCTCGCCGCTCACAACCGCGACGGCGGCCGCGTTGAGGCGGCGGCCGTCCGAGGGCCAGCCCCTCGCGACGGAGGACTCGCAGGAGGCGCGCATTTTTGATCATTTTTTAGTGGTCGGGCTACCCAGTCGCTTAGTGGAGCACCCGGACGTTGCGGTGGGAGCGCGCTACTCGCCCAAGGTACTGCACCACCTGTCGCCGACGGGCGCGCCGACGCAAGCCGAGGCGATCGCGGACTTTTGCCTGCCGGCCGGCGCGAAAGTAAGTGCGGCCCAGGCCGGCGAAGGGAGGCGGCCGGGCGCATTAAATGCGGTCCGGGGCGTCAAGGAGGTGATCTTCGTTTTGTCTGGTGGAGGTAGAGACGGGTCTCGCGTGCAGTACGGCGTCTGCGCCCACGCGTCGCGGTTCTACGAGTCCGTGTCTGATGACGCTGATAGACCACCGTTGGTCGAGGTCGACGTCTGCTACTGCATCGTGACGCAGTTTCCCTTTTTACCTTTGCATTTCTCCGTGCTGCGATCAGCGATACGCGCAGAGATCGAGGCCTTCGAGACCAGAAAACACCCGCGGTCGCGACGGTACGCGGCGGCGCACGCGGCTCTGAAGGCGTATAGTCGCGTGCCTCCACCAGGACCGGGCCTCAAGGTCGAGGTGAACATCGGGGAGGTCATCGAGTGGACGCGACCGCGACGACGACGGCCCAAACTATCGCGGGCGCCCCGCGACGAGGCGACGCGCCTCGCGCGCGAGTGGTCGCTGCCCGTGGTGTTGGGGAGGTTATCTCTGGAAAATGTGTTGCGGGTGCTTGCTTGTGCTCTACTAGAGTTGAGGGTCGTCTTCGTGTCGCGGGATTTACAAACATTGTCGGCGTGCGCGTTGGGCGCCGTGTCTCTACTACGACCTCTGAGGTGGGCCGGGCCGCTGATCAGCGCCCTGCCGGCCGATCTACGAGACTACCTGGACAGCCCCGTGCCCCTGATTTTGGGGGTGACCGGCTTGCCTCTGCACTTCGAGCAGGGCGCCGACATGGTCCTCGCCTTCGCCGACGAAGATCGCGTAAGATTGCCGCCGAACAGCGTGATGCTGCCGCGCTACGACGCATTGGTAGAGAAATTGCGGCCACTCGTCGATGTGCTGCGGCACGACCTCAAGGGGCATCAGCTTCCACAGACGCCGAACACGCGCACGTCGGCGGACGCAGCGTCGGCGTTTGGGGACGACGTCGTGCAGGGCGACGACGACGACCGGCTGCAGTCGCCGGGTTGGCGTCGGCCACCATCGGCCGAGGCCCTTAAAGCTTTGGATTCTGTGGTAGACGGCGTGCACGCGCACTTGCGGCTGCTGCTGGCCGGCGCGCGGGCGATCCGCGAGGCGCGCGTCTCTTCGAAGAAGAGGTCGCTCAAGCAGGCCGTTGGAAATGATGTTTGGGAGGGGCTCGGTGGTGAGGAGGGCGAGCAATTCATTGCCAGAGTTGAGCAGACGCAGATGTACAGCAACTACCACCACAGCCAACCGCAGGTCGGCCCAGACGCCGAGGAGCTATTGCGGAGACTAGACGATGGGTTTGATGATGGTGCCGAGTACTCAAGCTCATCAGACGAGTCGCTCGAGGAGGACCTCACGGTGTCGCCGGACGATGCCTTCTGGTGTCGCGGCCGGTGTAACGGCGCCCTCGACACGCCCTTCTGCACGCAGCAATGTATAAGGGAGTGGGAGCGGCGGACACGCCTCGAAAAAGCTCAAGAACTGTCCCGCTATGTAGCTCCCGAGCCGCGTGCGCGGGAACCGCTGAAGCACCGCAACGAGACGCGGTCGCAGTGGGCGCATCGGGCGTCTTTGCACGCGTCGCCGCGATCACCCTCAAAAAAGTTGAATGCGTCGGAGCGACCGCCCTTCGGCTTTCATTGCAGCGTCGACCCGCGTGGGCGGTTCTGTTGTGATAGAAGACGGGGCGGCACCGCCGCGCCGGTGCAGACGAAGGAGAAACGGCGGTCGAAGCCCCCTGCCGAAAGGCCCATGAGACGTGGCGGCTACGCGGGCCGCGGGCCCTCGAACCTCGCGCTCGTCCGAAGATCCGAGGACCGGAAGGACGAGCGACGACACGACGCAGCGCTTGTTCTACAGAGAAAATCACGACGGGACCGGCTATGTCGCGCGCTGGAGGCCGCCGCCGTCGCGGCGCGGAGCAGAATGGACGTCGACGTGTCGAGCGACGAAAGTGTGGAGAGCGCGAAGCTGGGCAGCACGTCGGGCGACTTCGAGGCATTCCTGGTCGACGACTCAGGTGTAAGAGAGAAGACGGAGAACGTGATACAAGTAATGCAATCGACAAGGGCGCGAATCTTGTATGAGGCCTTGGCGGCGTGGCGCGACCGCGTCGACAGCGACGACGAGTACCCACTGTCGGACGAGTCGGACGTGGCGCCGCGCGCGCCTTCGCCCGTCGCCAGCAGAGTGACGTCGCCGGTGAAGCCGTCTCCGATCACGCTCAACGCGGCCGCGTCGTTGATCGAGCTCGCGGCCGACGAGCCGCCGGCTCCGTCGGTGCCTGTGTCCGCTGAGCGCCGAGCGTCTGCGTCGTCTGCCGAGAGCCCCGCCGAGCTCAATCGCCGACGAACGCTGCAACTGCGTGATTCTTTTGGCGTTGAAGAGCTCGAGGACTTTGATGATGATCATAGCGGCGACGCCCGGTCGCGGAGCGACAGTGGGGCGGACCTGTCGTCGCGCGGGAGTGGCGGCGACCTCGCAGGAATGCTTGCGCCGCCCGGCTCGTCGCCTGTCCTCGGCAGCCCCGCCGGATCGTCGCCATCGTCGCCTCCCAGCTCTATCTTTGAGCGGCAGGCGAAGCCACCCTCACCATTACCGCCGCCGCCGCCGCCCTCGCCGCCGCCTCAGCTGATGTCTCCGTCGTCGAAACATCCCGTGCGCTCGCTGAGCTGCTCGAGCGATGATGCCGCCTTCTCATTACGCAAGGCCATCAGCCCTATCGCCCGTCCGCTGGCCGCAGAGGACTACTCGTCGTACGACGATGTCGAATTCAGGGCAGCTTTAAGGCAGGGCTTCGTGGCCGTCAAGCATGGGAGGCGCGGAAGGGCCCATGCACGGCGGTTTAGAGCTTCGGAAGATTTATCGGAGCTCACCTGGGCGGCGGAGGATGAACCACAGTCAGTGGTTCACGCGGGTCTGCGCCGGCTGAAGCGGATGTCGAAGTCTCGACGGGTAGTGAAGATGGCCGACGTGCAGCGGGTTTGTGGAAGGGGAAGTAGTCGTGTCTTGCAGCGCGCACACTCCGCGGGGCGCGTCTTCAGGCCCTTTACCGTGTCGCTCGTCTTAGAAGATGGGAGTTCCGTGGATTTGGAGTTCCAGGACGCGGCAAAACATAGAGCGATGCTGAGAGGATTCACGCGCCTCGCGGCCGCGGCACGGAAGCTGTACGACGAGGACGGCGAGCGGGATCCGTGGGAAGAGGCCGTTGCGGCGCTCGCGGTGAAGGCGGGGCCCGAGTGAGTAATTGGGATATGATTGTATACTTAAACTGAATAAGGGAAATAGCAACTAGGCGAGCAACCGCTCGATGCGGTCCTGGTTCCGGGGATGCGTCCGCAGCCACCCGCCCATCGTGAGTAACCACGAGTCGCGTTCCGGCGGGTTGTCGATGTACGACGCCGCGAAGGCGTTCGCCGCGAGGCCGAGGGACTTCTCGTCTCGTTTCACCGTCGCGTGGGACGCCTCGAGTTTCTCCAGCGCCGACGCGAGGTCGGCTCCCGCGCCGATGCTCTTCGCGAACGCGTCGGCCGCGTACTCCGCCGATCGTGAGTGCATCATTCTGAGGATAGTACCCATGGCTTGCGTGATCGCCCCGGAGGCGTACAAGATGAGCCCGAGCGCTCCGAGCGATGAGTCGCCCTTGTCGTCCTTGCTCTTCTTCCGCCGTCGATCCCGCCGCTCACCCTGCATCAGCATATCTCCAATAGTCATTGCGAACCCTAGCCCGGCCACCATGCATCCCGAAAACAGCGACCGCGCCATATCTCTATTCCGTACGTGCCCGATCTCGTGAGCCAACACGGCTCGTAACTCCTGCGGCGTCAGGAGATCGAGCAGTCCCGTCGTCACGGCGACGACGGACGCCTTGGTCCCAGCAGCGAAGGCATTTGGTTCTTCTGAAGGTATAATATACACTTTCGGAATTTCACCACCAAGACCGCTTCGTGCGTGGACGGCGGCCACCATACCGCGTAACGCCGCGTCGTTGCTCTCGAAGCCGCCCATAGCTTTCGCAATCGCCGCGCTGTCCTTCTGATCGTAGTGAATCATGTTCCAGACGACGGAGCCAATGGCACATAGGGGATAGATCACGGCCGCCCAATCCCACGTCTTCAGCGTTGCGTCGAAGAAGGTGTACGTGCCGGACGTCGTGAGGGCGGCGCCGTGCATGGCCGCCGAGATGGCCGCGAGCGTCGCGGCGAAGCCGACCCACTTGAGGGCGCTCTCATGCGCGGGCTGCGCGCGCGGCTTGAGCTGCGAGTCGGTGAGGCCCGCGTACGAGAGAGAATCAGACAGGCTCTGGGGCCGCTTGTACGAGGCTTTTGGCGCGTCGCGGAGGCGGCAGGCCGCCCACGGCACGACCAGCACGTCGCCGTCGTCGAAGTTGATCTTCACTTTGTCCTTGCTTTTGCTCACGGCGCCGACGCGGCCCGGGTACATATGGCGGTTCTTCCACGGCGCCATGACGCGGATGCCGATTAATGGCTCCGGCATTTCATCAGCGGGGCCGACCGCGCAGTCCTTCCAGGTGACGCCCTCCCGCTGGTCGCCGTCGTCGAATTTTATGGACACCTTGTCGCCCTCGACCGATGTGACTTGGCCCGGATAGAGCTGGCCGTTGGTCCACGGCGCCCTGACACGAACGCCCGGCGCGGCGACCGCGCCGAGCTGCTCGGTCCCCATTCCCCTTAAGACGACGCGCGGCTGGAACCGGCGTCGGACGTTCGTGAAGGCCGTCGCCCGCGGCAGGGCGCTGAGCATGAGCATGTTGTGGCCTGCTCGTCGTTTCATGGCTGTGTTGCTTATGGTGTTTGTGGCTGCTGTCTGCAGCGTTTACGGCTACCCGCGCGCGTTTGCGTCTGCTGTTTGTTTGTGGCTGTGTGTGCTTGCGTTTATATTCATACGGCTGCCCATGAGCTTGGGGCCTCAGGAATGTTGCTCGAGATTGTTGCCCGCGCGCGGCGGCCGACTGACCCCATGGATTTCCCGCCACGCCCTATCGTTCCGTATCGAGCTCTGGGGGGTGGGTTCCTGAACTTGCGAGGCGCGGTCGCGCCGGCCGCGCGGGGCGTCCCAGAGACTCGCGCCAACGCCAAACTTTGGCAAGGCGCAGCACGCCGCCGACGCGACACGGCAAGAAGCGAGATAAGAACCAATCATATATTACGCCTCTTTTCGCCACCACTTTAAGCGGTGCCGCCGCCCGCCGTCACGCGCAGCCGCGCGGCCTGCTTCCGCGACAGCTTGACCGGCGCCGATTCGCCCTTCGCGACGGGCTCCGCCGCCTTGACGAGCACGAGCTCGATGTGCGCCGGCGACGCCATGTACGGGTTGATGCGGCCGTGCGCGCGGTACGTGCGCCGGCGCTGGTAGGGAGCTCTGTTCGCTTGCGAATGTTTCACGATGAGCTCATCAACATCGAGGCCCTTCATCTCCGCGTTCGCCTCGGCGTTCTTCAACAAATCCAAGACGATCTTGGTCGCCTTCTGGGGCCAGCGGCACTTCGAGCCCGCGGCGTTGCGGAGCTTGCCCTGCGCGTGTCTCCCGCAGCCGCCCGTGAACTTCGTGAAGGCGACGGCCTGCTTGAACTGGAGGACGTCTTCGAGGTACGCCTTGGCCTTGGGCAGCTTCATGCCCTTGATGTTGTGGCAGACCTCGCGGCAGTGCTTGAAGTGGGCCCGCAGGGCGGAGCCCCGCGCCTTCGAGGACTCGACGGCCTGGTCGGGGTCGAAGGAGTACTTGCCCATCTTTGCAAGGCCTGTGTGATTGAGGGTTACGGGGCCGTTCATGGATGCTTCTCGTCTCTCTCTGTGCGCGCGGCGGCGGCGTATGGCGTAGGCTTGGCCGTCGCCTCGCCCGACGGGCGGCCGTCACGCCGCGGCGGCGTCTGGCGTAGGCTCGGCCGATGGCTCCGCCGTCGGCCCGGGCGTCGGCTCCGCCGTGGGCTTCGCCGTGGCTCCGCCGTGAGCTCCGCCGTGGGCTCGCCTCTCCTAGCTGGCCGCTGGCACGGCCCGAAGGTCACGTAGTGCCGCGGCGCAGCCGGCGGCCGCTGACAGCGGTGCATGCCATGCGGTGCCTCAATCTCCGCCGCCGCGTCGACGCGCGGCCGTCTCTTTTGCACGCGTCGAAAGCTCGATCGCTAGGTCACTTCTTTGACGTACAGACGCAGTGATTTGCCGGTATCGCTGAGCAGCAGCGGCTCCAATACCACGGCGAGCTATAAATCGCTCGGCGAGTAGGGGGGTCCGGCAGCAAAGTCGACAAACGACCAACACGCTTGCTGGAGAGGTCTTTTCGGACTCGTGGAGCAATGCTTGGGTCGTTTGAGTCGCGTGGCTCGGTCGAGTCCGCCGCCAGAGGCCGGAGGCGACCTGTGGCAAAGCGCTGCCATACGGACCGCAACAGACGAGTAGAACACACCAGCACATCGCAAAATAGCCCCACAGCACGCCGCAGGAGCTTCGCCAAGCGCGAGCATCCATAGCTCGCGGACTGTCCCAAAAACGCCCTGAGACCGCCAAGGAGCGCGAACTCCCTGCGCGCGCAAAGATGGCAAACATGATGGCCCCCGGCGGCTTCGCCACCACCAAGGTCTGCCGCCACGACGACTGCGCCGACGAGCGCTGTCGACGCATGGAGGCGCACGACGCGCTGCTCGACCCGTGCTGTGCTAAAGATCAAAAAGAACGGCGCCAGGCCTCGAAATGGATGGCCCAGCTGCGGGCGGCGGACCCGGCTCGGAAAGCTCTAGATGCTCGTAGGGGCGCCGTCGACGTCGCGCCTTTGCCTGAATATGAACGGCCGCCGCGGCCCTTTCCCGCGGCGCCGTCAAAGAAGCAAGAATCATCAGATGATGAGGAGGACAGCGATTCAGATGCGGAGTTCCTCGACGAATTAGAAAATGACAATGAGTTGATGGAGAAGATGCGTTCTGCGCGTATCAGAGAAAACGAGTGCATGCGCGAGACGACGTCGAGTGAACTGGCTATTGCTTTGACGCGGGGTCCCGTGCTCGTGCATGCGTTTGCGCCTTCTGAGAATTTACAGCATCTCGATGGGGCTTTAGCTGTCGCCGCTCAAGAACGGGGCGTGCGGTTCCTGCGGACGAGGCGGGGCCAGGCTATTGGGGAGAAGGAGTTAATTGACGCTCGATTAACACGGGAGAAGATCAGCGACGGGAAAGGGGCCTTGCTAGCCTTCGTCGGCGGCGTTGTGACCGCGTGTGCGTTAGATCTAAATGAGTTCGCAGATAATGATGCGGTGGCGCACGACCGCGTCGAGCGCTGGCTCGACAACGCGCGGTGCGCTTCGGGCGAAGCTGACGATGATGAGGTGGTGAGCGAGGCCGAGGAACCCGTGATAGAGTACTACGACTGCGGCAAGCCGGGCTGCTGCAAGACGTTCGAGCACAAGCACGTGGGGCTCGAGATGGGTGCCCCGCGCGAGTTCGACGTGGACCACGAGCGGGTCTAGTCTAGGGGTATGTGTGCTAAGTGTGTTGATGCACTTTCTGTGTGGGCGGGGCGCGGCGATGGCGTCGCAACGACCCGTGTTTTTTTTTGCTAGTGCCTCCACAGCCGCTAGTAATCTGCGGCTGCGGTGGTGGACCTTGAGCTGTCTGTAGCCGCTCGTAGGCCGATTTGCTAAGTCTTTGCCTTAAGACTGGCCTTCGATACCGTGGCTTGGAGTCTGAGGAAAACTTTTTGTGTGTACGGCGCGTCCACACACGTATATCCAGCCTAGCCATACTATAGCCATAAGTAGTTGCGAGGCGACATGATGATGCGCGTCGCACTATGCGCCGTTGCGGCGACAGCCTTACAGCTGCCCGTCACGATGCCGCCTTTACCAAAGTGGTCGACGCAGCTCAACGTAGAGAACTTGCCGCAGCCGCCGACGCTCCAGCTCCCCAGCCTCCCCGAAAAGCTGCCGACCGTAGAGCTGCCGGCCATCCAACCACCAGTTCTCCCGCAAGCGCCCGACGGCTCCGTCACGGACCTAGCGACGCGATTACTGAGCGAGGCCCAGCACGCCTTGCAGGGCGACTGGACGCCGTACGCGACCGTCATGGCCGCCTCCTGCGCCGCGACCGTCGCTCTTACACTGCCAGCACTTTTACTCACAGGAGCCGCCGAGCGCAAGCGGCAGGAACGCACAGCAACACAATTACCGGAAGAGGCGGAGGCCCCGTACAAGGGTGGGGCCAACGACTACTCGCCCGCAAAGGCCGAGGCCTTCTACGCCAAGAGGCCTTTGCTCGTTGCGGAGCGGTTGGCCTGGCTGACACAAGCTACATTTGCGTTCAACGTCAAATTGTTAATTGATTACTTACGAGGCTGGCCCGAGGCCTCAGAACCGGAGCGGGCCAAAGAATGTTTGGCGTTATGCGAAGAACTAGGACCGACCTTCATCAAGCTCGGACAAGCTTTGTCTATTAGAACTGATCTCATCAGTGAAGCCTACGCGTTGGAGCTGCGAAAGCTCCAGGACGCGGTGCCTCCGTTTAGTGATGCTCAGGCCACCGCTATTTTACGAAGAGACTTAGGCGTCCGTGATTTATCAGACATCTTTGAAGAGTTAACACCATCGCCCATCGCTTCAGCCTCCATTGGTCAAGTGTACAAGGGGCGACTGAGGGAAGGCAACTACAAGCCTTCAGATGACGACCTTGGGGAGGTGCGCGACGTCGCCGTGAAGGTAAGAAGGCCGGGTGTCCTCGCGGACATTGCTCTAGATCTCTACGTGTTACGACTACTCACGCCACTACAAGTGCGGATCTCGAACGCCGTCAACAAGGTAAAAACGGAACCCGAGGACATCGAAACGGCGCTAGCGCTCGTGGACGAGTGGGGCCGCGGCTTCGTCAATGAGGTCGATTATGTCGCGGAGGCTACCAACACGCAAGAGTTCAGTGAAGCGATGAAGGCGCGCGGGCTGGGTGCGGTCATTTCTCCTCGCGTCGTCACGGATCTATTGCGAGAGAACGTTTTAGTGACGGAGTGGATCGATGGTACGAGACTAGATGTCTCGGCGTCTCCCGACGTGCCGCGCTTGTGCGGTGTTGCGATAAATGCCTACCTGACGATGTTATTGGATACGGGTACCTTGCACTGCGACCCCCACCCCGGCAATCTGTTGAGGACGTACGACGGGAGGCTATGTATCCTGGACTGGGGCATGACGCTCCAGGTACCGAACGACTTACAGTACGCTTTGTTAGAGTTCATCGCGCACGTCAACACCGAAGATCTAGATGCTATTCCAAAAGACTTTGTCAACTTAGGATTCACCCCTCCAGATAAATTAGAACGAGTAGCAAATAGTGGAATCACCGACGGCCTCAGCTTCATGTTACGACAGTTGTCTGGTGGCGGTGGGGCGAAAGCAATGCAGCAACGCGTAAGGAAGGAGTTACAGGACCGCTACGGCACGGAAGATAAGGATGAAATAAGGAAGCTAGCTAGAGCGGAGATGGTGCAGCGCATGGAAGATCAATTGGCGAAGGAAGGCGTGGACGTCCGAGGTGTTTCAAATGTGATGGAGGAGATGTCGCGGCCTGTGTGGAAATCAACCAGTGCGTCGGGTGCACCCGACAATTCTTCACTAAGTCATTTCTCGGCGATGACGCGGCCGTGCTGGCTCGGTCGAGCGGTGAGGAAGCGGCATCGCCACGCCATCGAGCAGGCGTCGCGTCGATGGCGTAGAGGTTGACGCGACGATTCAGCACGAACGCGCCGTAAATTTTGATTTCCACACAGGTCGCGGCGGAACCGGGAGCTCTTTCAATTACCGACGTGGGTGCTGTACGTCGTTAGGGCTTTCTCGACGCTCGAGGGCATTGGGTTGTCGGTGGACGACTCGTACGCGATATTGAAGGAGTGCTACCCGTATTTAGCCCGTCGCCTATTTAAAGATGACTCGCCTAGGGCACGCGCAGCTTTATCTGCGATGATCTACGGCAAGGACCCCAACAATGGAGTGGACGTGGAAAAGTTCTCGGTCCGCGACGGTGTGGAAATCAAAATTTTACGGCGCGTTCGTGCTGAATCGTCGCGTCGTCCTCCACGCCATCGACGCGACGCCTGCTCGATGGCGTGGTGATGCCGGTTCCTCACCGCTCGACAGAGCCAGGGCGGCCGCGTCATCGCCGAGAAATGACTTAGTGCACCCGACGCACTGGTTGATTTCCACGCAGGAGATGATCGACGGCTTCGCGTCGTACACGTCGGCGACGAGCGGCGCGGGTCTATCGGACGCGTCGACGGAGGTCGTCCTGGCGGACTCGGACAAGGCCTCGCAAGAGGCGCAGCGCGAGCTGGTCGCCGACGTGTTGTTCGCCGAGGATAGCAACCTCGTGCAAGAGACGGTCGTCAAGGAGGCGGCGTCCCTGCTAGATGCTTCCGTGCGAGCCGCACTCACGGACGCCATCGACGCGACGCCCTTGTTGCCTCACAAATTATCGGGCGAGGCCGACGACGGGCCGCTACGGTCGGCCATCGCGGGCCTGCGGAACCTGCCTGGGCCCGCGCGCGCCGCTTTGTTACCTCTGACCGGTGGCGTCGAGGCCGCCGCGGCCCTGGCGGAGGCCGTGGCGCCGCTGGTCAAGGCCGACGAGCGCGACCGCAAGGTGCTGGGCGCCGCCGAGAAGATCGGTGGCCTGGTGAGTGGGGATGGAGAGGGCTCTGTCGACCCTCAGAAGGTCGTCGAGGCGCTATCTACGTCGGACGTGGACCTGCGCAGCGTCGCGACGCCGGAGACGGCGCGCCGCGCGGGCCTCGTGGGACGGCGCTTCGCCGCAGCTGTGCTCGACAGAGCGGCGGAGCGCGCGCACGGCGCGGGCGGCGTCGGCGAGACGCTCGCGTCGGCGGCGCGGCAGGCGTCGGACGTCGTGCGGCCGGCGGCGAAGCCGGAGAAGGAAGAGGTAGCTCCCTAACAAGTTGTGATACAATGATAGTTAGTGTTACCCCTGCACCTCCCAGTGCGTGAGGTCCCAGAGGAGCCCCGCCGCGAGCAGGAGCTTGCGGTACTCGCCGCCGACGCCTCCGAGGTCGACGACGAACCGGTTCGTGTGGCCGCAGAGCTCGGCGCAGGTCAGGGGCGGCCGGTTGATCTCTGCCAATTCCGATGCACCGGAAGCGTCGTGCACGGGCACGCGCTCGCCCCAGACGCAGGGGCAGCAGACGGCGCCGGAGCAGTGCTCGACGGGGCCGAGTTGCAAGGCGTACGCGCCCGCGCTATCCAATACAGTAGCCCGGCCCACGCATCGAACGGTCGACGCCGCGTTGTCGCGCACCCTCCCAATCAATTTCTCGCCGTCATACACGGAAAACTCCGCCGCGTCGTCGCGACAGAGACATTGTCTAGGTAAAACATAAAACCAAACCAAGGGGTGCAGCCAGAGCGGCCAGGGGCACTGCGGCCAGTGCCAGTGCTTTACTAATTTGAGGCGCGACGGGCCATTCTTGTCATTGAGCGTGATGTTCATCGTCAGGCCCCGACACAGGCGGCAAAAGATCCGTTCCAAACAATCAGACTCCTCCGCGGCATGTAACATCTGCCTTCCATCGATCGCCGACGTAATAAAGTAGTTGTTCCGGGCCTCCAGGCCGCACAGCTCCTGCGCCGCAAATTCCTGCCTGACTTGCAACAACCGCTCCTCAAAGGGGTCCTGCCGCGCGCGCGGCTGCCGGTCCACCACCACGTTGCCGCCCCCGATGTCGACCATGTTGCAGTCGGCGTGGCCGTCGCCGCCCTTGACTAACGGAGACGCGTGCACGAGCTCCATCTCGGGCCGCGCGACCTGCTCGGTCGACGGCGGCCTTCTTTCCCGTGCTCGGTCGGCGCGGATAAAGGGCGCTCAGGGCTGCCCTCCCCCCAGAAGAGCTATCACTCTGTGCGCGGCGCTGTGGACAATTTTGTCGCAATGCACGCTGCCGGCGCGCGGCTGTGACGCGACTGGACGAGCACTATTGTTGCCGTTGGCTTCGGCGCGCGCACGAACGCGCGGCACGGCGAGGGCAGGGCAAGTGCTTCCAGTCTTGAGGCGCGCGGTCCCCCGCGGACCCGGTCCGTGGACCGGTGAGCTGCTCTTGGAGGAGTCTGTGGGTGGGTACGCGGAATCGCGACGGTCGGGTATCGACGCCGCCGGCGAGCGACGCCATACGCGGGCCGCCGATGAATCGGCGACGCGCGGTGTCTCCCCCCCAGGGGCTCCGCCCACTAGTCCTAGCACCGTAACATCGATTGTTAACGCCAACGCGGGAGCTGCTCTATAGCATACTTACGCGCCCTACGCCGCCTTCGCCTTCGACGACGACAACATGCCCCCGAGCTCCTCCCGCAATTTCAGCACGATCTGCCCGAGCCAGATGACCTGCATCACGCTGAGCGTCAGAAGGCCGCCCATGAAGAGCTTGACCAAAAACCGCGAGTGGATGTCCGGGTCATTATCCAAAATGCGGAAGCCGTCCCGACAGTAAAAGTACGTGAGGTAGGGCCAGATGATCCCGCGTACTATGAAAAATGAGACGGCAAAAACGCCACCAATCACGAGCCGTGTATTGGGAAAGTCCCGCTCGAGCTCCTCGACGCCGTGCTCGGCATCAAATAATGCGACAACAGCCAGCACCGTCGTAGACACCTCGGACACGCCGAAGAAGAAGGACCCATATAAATGCGAGAAGGGGTGTAGCGCAAATAATGACACCACAATGACCACGCTGTGGTGGATCACAAAGATCAACCCGTCGTCGAAATAGACCGAATCCAACAAATTCTTCCACTGGAAGGCGAACATGACCACGGATAACCTTTGGAAGTCGGCGTCGTAGTCATATAACCGCTCGTGCGCCGTCTGGGGCACAAATCTGAGAGGGGCGCAGCCGGTACCATCACTGGACTTCCAGAAGGTCATCCAGTTTCCCTCCGTAGCGGTGCAGCCCACCGTTAATGCGGAGTGGACGTGCTGTAAAGCTGCCGGGATCGAGGGCCACCCCGCTTCGACGTACCAGCCCCGCCACATCATGAGGCCTCGATACCCGCAGGCCGCCAAAAACAGCACGTTCATGACGCCCCTTGACAGGATTTGGCGCTTGTCCGCCGTCTTCGCCGCGGCCCACTTGTCGCGCACGGCGCCGAGTAAATAAAAGGCGCCGAGGTGCGTCGCTAATGCCCTTAACATCTCGTAGGCAATGTAACGCTCGAAGCCCCGCGCGGGCGCGAACATCGTGCCCCAGGTCTCCGCGGGTGGGGCCGCGTCGAAGAGCCGCGACGTGAAGTCTTCGTCGAGGTAGCCTATTTTGATGGCGAGCGGTTCACTCCATATAGCTATCGCGATTATGATAGTGCCGAGGAGGCCCTCCTGCAGGGGCGTCATCTTTGCCTTTTGCAAGGATGCGTTTTGGGTCCTTTTGGGTTGCAGGGTGCCTGAGCGTCTGCGCTTGCAACTTTGACCCGTGCTACTGGTCCTGGAGGCTGCAAGGCTACTTTTAGAGCTTTTCCAGCTTGCAGACGTTCTCCCACGCCCGCGATAACAGCGCGATACGTATGCGTTCAATATCCAAGCTAGCGTCGGTAAGACACTAGCGAAACCCATTATTCCTCCACTCGGGTCGCGTGCGGCTGATAAGCACGAGACAGACAGCACGATGGCGTATTTTGAGAGTAACAACAACTAGCACATTACTATCAACCCCGCGACCCCGACCGGTCGTCCACCGGCGCCAGATCCAAGCGAGGCTCGCGTTCGAGCGCCTCCGCCCAGAGCGTCTCCGCGCGCAGGACCTCGGCAAGCGACCCCTCGAGCGGCGCGACGATCGTCTCGGCCGGGTCGGGCAGCGCGATCGACAGGCAGTGCAGCGCCAGGCGGTCGAGGCCGCGCTCCTGTCGCCACCACCGGTTCACTTTTGAATCCCCATGAGCGCTGTCCCCGATGATCGGCATCGAGAGCGCTTGCGCGTGGCGTCTTATTTGGTGCGGGCGGCCCGTGTGCGGCGTCGCAATAACCAGCGTACACCGCGGCTCTTCCTGGCCCGCCAATTTGCGAAACGTCGTCTTCGCGGGTCGAGGCTCGCCGTCATCGCCCTTGATGGGCTTCTCGACCACCACTTCGCTCCCCACGGCGTCGCGCTCGTCGAAGCCGCGCAGCAGAGCCACGTACTCCTTGACGCCGTCGCGCAGCCGGCCGTGGCACTCGCCCGCTGCCTCGCCGTCGAAGCCGAACAAAATGCAGCCGCTCGTCCGGTGGTCGAGGCGGTGGACCGTGTAGACCTTCCTGCGGAACTGGCGCTGCAGCTGCGTCGTTAATACCCTTCGTCTACCAGTGTCGAACGAGCGGTGCGTCGAGATGCCGGGCGGCTTGTTCACGGCGACGTAGCGGTCTTTGTAGAGCAGCACTGGGATGCGTGCGCCGAGCGCGAGCAGTGTCGATGTGTATAGCAGCATTTTGCCGCCTCGCGTCCCGAGGCTGCCGCACAGCCTGCAGAGCTGATGCTGGATTGTGTGCAATAATACGTCGTCGGTACCGGTTGTCGCGGCGATGGCGTCTCGCACAAGTGTCTAGCTATTGTCTGTGCTACTTCTTAGCTACACATACACAAAGTGCACCCGAGCAGCGCAGCAGCTAGCTAGCGGCGGAAAGACACTAGCGAGAAAGAAGGAATCCGAGCCAGCGCCCCAGGATACACAAATAACGAATTGGGGCAGCCTATATAAAGACAGATGGTCCTCATTAACTGCGCCTGCTGCGCTGCCCCGCTCCCACACCCGGCGAAGCAATGCAGCCGCTGCAAGACGCTCTACTGCTCGCCGACCTGCCAGAAACAGCACTGGGAGCAAGGCGGCCACGACAAGCTCTGTAGGAAGATCAGAAAAGGAGGCGGCGCCGAACAGTATCACGCCGATACCAAATTTAAGGAGGCCGTGACGGTCGCGGCGGAGGCGTGTAAGGAGGACGCGAAGGGCCAGACGTGCTACATCTGTGGCGACGACAAAGAAGGCCTCGTGCGCATGTGCGCGTGCCGCGGGACGGCGGGCTTCGCGCACGTGTCGTGCCTGATGGAGCAAGCGAAGATTTTGATGGACGAGGTCGAGGAGAACAATTTGGACGACAGAGCGTTGGAGAAGAGGTGGGAGCGGTGGCACAAGTGCGGCCAGTGCGAGCAAAATTACCACGGCATCGTGGCATGTGCGCTTGGGTGGGCGTGCTGGAAGACGTACTTGGGGCGGTCGGAGACGGACCAAATCCGGTTGTCCGCAACCCGGCTGCTCGGGAACGTGTTATTCGATGCGGGCGACCACGAGGACGCGCTACTCGCGAGACAAGCCGAGTTGTCTCTGATGAAGCGCGTCGGCGCGCCGGGAGACCACATGCTTAGGGTGCAAACGCGCGTTGGGTACTCGTATAATGCTCTTGGACGGCATGAAGAGGGCCTGCCCCTGCAACGAGACGTGTACTCTGGACGGTTGAAGCTCCACGGCGAGAACCATCAAGAGACCATTTGGTCCGCAGGCTACCTTGCGAATAGCCTGTACAGAACACGGCGCTTCGACGAAGGCAAGGCGCTGCTGCGCAAGGTGATTCCCGTCGCGCGGCGCGTCCTCGGCAAAGGCAACATCGACGTGATCCGGCTGCGGTGGAGCTACGGGCTCTTTCTCTACCGGGCCCCCGACGCCACGCTCGACGACATTCGCGAGGCCGTGGCAACGATGGAGGAGACATATGGGACCGTGCGGCGCGCGTTCGGGGCCGAGCACTCGTACACAAGGGAGATGGACCCGAAAGACATCCGCTTCGCGCAGGCCGAGCTGAGGGCCCGCGAGGGCAAGTGGCGGGGGATCAGTGAGGCGCTGGGGTACGTCATGGACCCGGAGGATCCTGCCGTTCGACGGCGTACGTCGTTCAAGTTCAACTTTAAGCTTCTATAACTTGAACTTGAACAATCTCCCCGCCGCGCGACCGCACACCCTCATACGCCGTCGCCCCTCGGGAGTGTTCTTCGCAAACAAGGTACACAACAAGGAACTTACAATTCTACCTCCTTCGACTCGCTAGCTCCCAGAGGCCGTCGCGGCGGTCGCAGTAGGTTCGCCGCGGGCCGGACGGGCGGCGGCGCGCGCCGCCGCAGCGCGCGCGTGGACGCGAACCGGTCTCGGATGCGCGCCGTCGCGTGGGGCAACCCATAAGATTTGTGCAGGGTCCACTCGACGGCCGGCGCGTCGGCGCCGTCTATAGTTAATGAGGGAGCGTCCCGCACGAAAAAACAAGCCGCGTGCGCGAGCGGCAGGGCGGCCCACAAACGTTCCGCTTCTGCCAACGAGTCGAAGTGGCGCGCACACCACTGAGGATGGTCCCAGACCACCGCCGCCGGCCCGTCGGCGCGCGGCTCGTCCCCACCACCCAAGCCTGTCGTCTCCAGCAGCCGCGAGACCCGGTCATCTAAAGCCGCGGCGCCGTCGCCCAATCGGTGCGTCCACGGCGGCGGCGCGTCGGCGCCCAGCTCGCCGGAAAACAGGATGCAGAACGAGTTGCAGTTCTTCCGCAGCACGTCATACGACTTCCCGAGCCAGAACGGCGCGAGCCGCAGCAGGATATTGAACACGTCGACGGGCGACTTCTTCGTGCGGCCCAACGAGATGGCCTCGCGGTAGCGGTGCGGCTGGGCCGACGCCGGGTCGCAACAAAAAATGCCGCTCGTGTCGTCGTCGTCGTCTGCTGTGGCGCCAAATGACCACTCTAGCCCGTGCACCTCGATGGCCGTATGGAACGCTCCAGACGAGCCATTCAGCAATGAATTGAGCGCTCCCGCACCCCTAAAACTCACGTCGTAGACGCGCAGCGTGACGGGCGCGTCGCCGTCGCTTTCATCAGTATCAGCAGAAGAGTACTCCGCGAAGGCGCACTCGATCGTCCGCGGCCTATACAGAGGTGCATCCTTCGGTGGTTCGCCTCTGAGTCGATCGAAGAGCAGGCCCACCTTCCAGCGCGTGGGGTCGTCCCAGGTCGTCTCGCCCGTCGTCTCGTTGTGATAGTAGAACTCGTCGCTCTCTGGATCGACCCAGCGGACCCAGCCCGCCGGCAGCGGCGCGCCGGTCGTCGTGTCGTAGTTCGGTACCTGGACCTGGTACGACATGACTCTTGTCTTTCAGCTGGAGTTGCTGGGCCTCAGATCTGCTGTCGCCTCCGCCCCTGTGTAATCTGTATAGCTTGCGCGCCGTCGGCGTCGGGCGTCTGAACAGGCTGCAGCCACTGTGCCTCTGGCAGCCGTCCCCAGGGCTCCGCGTGGATGCGAGTGCGTTACGGTGGGTTCTCAGAGATCCAGAGAGCTGCCAACGCCAACGTTTACGCTCTTCGCACAGCGCTGGCACCGATTCCCATAATCAGCCGCAGCTAGCGGCGGTCACATACTAGCAACCAGCCCCTCGAGCCAAAAACCAGCCCTACGAAGGCCATAGCAGAGCGCTGGGACGCAAAAATACGCCAAAAAAGACCACAGCGCTCGCCACGAAGCATTCTCAAAAGACCACAGCGATCGGAAGACGAGAAACCATGGCCACCATGCTCAAAGCCAGTGTGCAGAAGCTGAACCCCGCCACGACCTGCGTGCTCGTCTGCGACGTCCAGCAGCGCTTCACGGAGATCATCTTTGGGTTCCAGGAGCTCGTGAAGTGTTCGTCTTATTTAGTGAAGGTCGCGAACGCGTTAGATCTGCCGGTCGTGTGCACTGAACAATATCCGAAAGCATTCAAACAGACCGTGCCTGAACTTTCTACATTAATCCAGCAGAAGGAAAAAAATCGAACGTTCGAGAAGACCATGTTCTCGATGGCGACGCCGGAGGTCATGTCTCATCTGTCTTCGATGGGTATTGAGTCCTGCGTTTTATGTGGGTTGGAGACGCACGTCTGTGTGCTGCAGACGACGTTGGATTTGTTAGATCAAGGATTACATGTCCACATTGCGTGCGACGCCGTGTCGTCCCAACGGCCGTTCGACCGATCCGTTGCTTTGAAGAGGTTGGCGGGCGCGGGCGCCGTGTTGTCTACCTCGGAGGCGGTGGTCTTCCAATTACTGAAAGACTCGAAGCACCCTCATTTCAAGTCCGTGGCGCCCTTCGTGCGGGAGAACGCGGAGGACGCGAAAAGTAGCCCTCTCCAAGCGCTCTAAAAAGGTTTGTTTTTATACCTATGTTCCCAGGGTTCCCAGGGTTCCGGAGATTTTTTCCAGACACTAGCAGCCACTCTGCTAGGCAGCCCCGGTTGGGAGCACAGCGATTGCCATTGCCAGCGCGCAGCAGGAGGCAGGCAGCCCGCCGCCGGGCGGGGCAGCGCCACCGGTGGGTCCACACCGGTTTTACAAAAACGGATAGACAGGCAGGGCGGCCCGCGGCGATGGCCTCCCCCCTTTTATGCAACCCCTTCAACGAGGGGCTGGCGGCGCCGGCGGCCGGCGGGCACGCGACCAGCCCCTTCACCACTAGGCCCGAGGCCCTGGTGCCCGCGGGGCACCCGAATTTTGTGAGGGCGCTCGCCCAAACCAACGTCAAGGTGACCCCCGAGTCGTCGGACGCCGAGCCGGACCCCGAGGCCGGTCCCGTCGTCAGCGCGAGCCCGTCGCCGCCGACGCACTACGCGGCGCCGCTCCTACACCCGGTGGTCAGCCGCTCTACTTCTTTTGTGGAGCTGCCCGAGCTCTACAAGGTGAGCGGAGACAGCCTCGTGCCCAATCCTGTTTCAAGGTCGACTTCCGACGACACATTAGCCTTGCCGCCACCACCCAGAAAGGTCGTCCAGCCCATGAGGAGGGGCAAGTGGTCCGCTACGGAGGTCGCGCTCGCGGAGTTACTCATCGAGCTCTTCAAGGCCGGGCGCGTCCCGGGCTGCCGCGAAGGGACGACCTTACGAGCTTTTCTGGCTGCGGAGCTGAGATGTGAAAGGATGCGCATCAGTAAAAAGTACGCCGCCGGCCAGTCCATCGGGAAGTTGGTGTTTCGCCGCGTCGAGGAGTGCCCGCCCGATTCATTATTAAGGTTGGAGCGCTGCCGAGCCGCCTTCCGGCGCGAGGCCGCGGCCGAGTCCGGCGTGACGGAGGAGTGCGTCGAGGCGCCTCCCCCCAGACCGAAGCCGCCGCTCTCGACCTCCGTACCGCCATCTCCACCTTCTCTGAAGCGTCCCCTACCTGCTACGGGCGAGAAGAAGAAGCGCCACCGGCCCTCGAGACCTCCTGCGTTGAAAGTCCACGAGTTACGAGCGCAGCTCGCGTCTCGGGGCCTGTCGACGGAGGGCCTCAAGGGCGTGCTCAAGCAGCGGCTGCGGGACGCCCTCGCGAACCCCAACTCATCCTTCGCGGGCGCCTTCCCCGTCTGCTCGACGCAAGCGCCGTCGCTCGACATTAATGACGACGAGCTCGACGGCATCGCCGCGCTGCTGGAGCCCTGGGCCGACCTCTGAAGTTTATTTGACGTAGTGCGACGCCGCGCACTGCATCTTGCGTGTCTCTTTACAGAGGGACACGCTGTCTGTACATATCGCGATCACCACCCAAGACCGATCGTTACCTGTTGCAACCTGCCACTGTTTATCTTGTCCATATTTCTAGTCCCTGTATATAGTTTTACCTAACCTTAAAACATTCTCGTGGGGGCGGGCCTGCTCGGGGACTCGGAGGTCTCGTGAAGTCGTCGGCGTCGGCAGCCCTGGACGCCGTCGGCGCGTCGACAACTTCGATGTACAAGTGGGGTGCCCGAAGACACCGGTGAAAGGAAAAGTGCCGAGCAAAGGCTCAAGGCGGGTCGGTCCAACTGAAGTCCCCGCGATGCGATACCCCCACAACCACCCCCCGCTCTCGCGAACGAACGAAAATCGACGCGTTGCCTGCGTAGGGAAAAACAGAGGACACCAACGCGAGAACTTCACCGGATGCACACGACGCCCTTGCTTAAAGCGGCGGCGCGGCTCTTGCCCTTCTTCGCCGGCGCGGTGCCGAAGCAGTCCCAGAACCGTAAGGTCTCGTCGGCGCCCGCGGATAACACGGTAGAACCATCAGGCGACGTACATAAAGCCAACACTCTTCCAGTATGTCCTTTGAGATCTTTGACGCGCGCCATGGCAGGGTACTTCCAGAGCGACAGCTGGTTCTCGGCGTAGCCGTGTCCAGACAATAACTCCTTCTCCCTAGGGTTCCACGCGAGCGCGCAGACTTGCGAGCCCGTGTCCACACTGTTGAGATTGATTCCGGTAGAAGCGTTCCAGAGCTTGATGCACCGGTCGGCCGTGCCGCCGCCCGACGCCAGTACGTGGCGGTCGTGCGGGCTCCAAGCTAACGCCTTCACGGCCGCCGTGTGGTCCGTCAACGAATGAGCCGGCGCTTGTGACCGCACGCCCGTCTGCGCGGCGCTCCAGAGCATCACACAATTATCGTTCGCGCCGGAAGCTAAGGTAGTGCCATCAGGCGACCAGGACAGCCCGCAGATCTCCTGTTGATGACCAACACACGAACCGGTCGCGTGGTCCCGGATCCTCACGTCGTGGTGGACGATGGTAGCATCTCTACCAGCCGAAGACAGGCAATGCCCGTTCCAGGCCAAGCAAGACACGCGCGCCGCGTGGCCGTCCATGCGCCGCAACGCTCGCGACGCCGCGACGTCCCAGAGCTCCGTGGAACCGGCAGACGTCCCGACGGCCAAGTGGCCGGCGCCCGTCTCGCCCGGCAGCCACGACACGGAGCAGACGTAATCGTCACCTTCGTCTAAGGTCAGTAACTCCGTGATGGCGCCCGTGCCGGCGTTCCAGACGTAGACCGTCGGGCCCAAGGCCACGGCGACGCAGTTGTTCGCGCCCCAGGACGTCAAGTTGAGGTAGTAGTCGTCCAAGAGGTCCGGAGCGTCCAGGACTCGAGAAGGCGCGCTCGGAATGTGTCTTGTGGATTTCGCCTTCCGCACTTGCTGGGAGCCGTGCGCCGTGTACAACACTTTCAACGAGTTCACGTAGCCGGCTTTTGGTGCGGGTGCCTTTTGTTTGTACGCGAGCACGCGACTTTCGGCATCCAAGAGGCCGGCCTTGAGTCTATCAGCGTGTACTTGGCGCGCCTCCTTCGATTCATCGGACTCGCCCTCCGACGAAGACGAGTTCTCCGACGAGGACATGACGTGGCCCGCCTGGTCGAAGTCGATGGCCGACCGCGTCGGGATGAAGCGGTCGTTCGACGTCGAGCTATCAGACCGTTGGAGGGCCTTGCGCTGCCAGCGCGGCATCACGGAACTCTTCACGTCGGTCGGGTTCAGGATCTTCTCGAGGTCGGCGAGGTCGGCGTTCTTGTCGCGTAGCGCTTTCATGGCCGACATTCTGGTGGTGTTCTTCTTGTGGTGTTCGGTTGTGGTGTTTTTTTGTCGAGTTAACGACCTGCGGTGGGGCGACCGGGTGAAACCGTGGCTCGGCGCGCCGCGGGGTTGTGTTTTGTGTGTTTGCGGCGGCGGCGGCGGCCCGCGCAGCGCGTGCACGCCGCCGCGCGCGGCGCGGTGCGCTGCCAGTTGCGGGCGGGCGCGCGGCGCGCGGCGGCGGCACGCCCAACGGGTGGCGTCGGCGCGCGCACGGGTGTTGGAACGCGCGCGCGTGTGTAGGCGGCGGTGGCGGCGCGCCCACGGGGTATCCGGTAGCACTCAATTGCTTGAGGCGGGTTCCCGTGCCCCGCGCGGGCGCGCGCGCCGCACACTGGCCTAAACAGACCACAGCCACGAAATCGTCCAGCGCTGCGCGAAAACGCGCCGCGACGCTGCGCCCAGCGCGCAGTAGTGCCGCGCCAGGTCTGGTACTCTGATGAATGTCGCAGGACGCTGCGCCGCGCGATTTTGTGCTCCGTAGAGCGTTTTTTAGCTTGCGCTTCGCTGGGCAAACGAGACTTTTTTGGCAGGCGAAGTTGAGGGCGCTGCGCGGTACTCCTCCTCACAAAGCTCCCCAGCCGTCCAGAACGCCCCGCTTATGACGAGAGAAGGCCGTCGCAAGGCCAGAGCATTCGATGGACCATACTCGGAGATAACGACTGCTAGGTATCTCCCGCGGACCCTCTCCCCGCCGGCGGGGAAGCGAGGCGTAGTCCCGCAGATTTTCGTTTTTTGCGGGCACGCGGATGATAGGGGGAACATCGTTAGCTAACAGGCTCCCTAAAAAACGCAGCGCAAACGCGCCGTTTCGCCCGCGCGCAGGCATTCGGCCAGCTCCCAGACCCCACCCGGTACTGCAGCGCTGCGCTCCGCTCGCGCAGGCGCCAGAGCGAGCAGCAGCTCCGCAGCTGCTCGCCGCCGCCCCGATTGAAACATGTCCTTCCACGTGACCATGTCCTCCACGCTGCGCGGCCGCAACGTGCAACTCTTTGAAGTCGAGTACCTCGGCGAGGCCATCACATCAGTGGCCGCTGACGTCGTCCGCAGGCTTCACGAGGCCGGTTTCAAGCTCAAAAGCGTCTATTTGGGCGGCTCCAAGCACTGGGTCGCCGCCAAGAGCATCATCGGCGTGCACTCGATGCCCCTCAACAACCTCGGCCTCGAGGGCCTCGAGGACGGCGACGCGCAGATGTTCACGTTCGCCGTCAAGGTCAAGAACCTCCAGGGTTACAAGGCCGACGGCAAGGCGTACGCCGACGGCGTCGGCGCCGAGGAGACCTGGCGCCGGGCCGTCGTGAAGGCGCTGCGCCAGCTCTTCGGCCAGGGCTTTGACGAGCTGAACATCAACCTCTGCGGCGCCAGCGTGCACAAGGACGACGATGGCTCGCTCGTCCTGTACTGCTGCTGCTCGACCGTGCCCGCCGGCACGTTTGACGGCACGCGCGACCTGTACCAGCTGGCCCTGCGAGATGGCACACTTGTGCCTGGCTACACCGGCATCACCAATGTCCGGTGGTCGCTAGAGGCGCAGGACTTCCTCGTTGAGGTCGTCAAGGCGCAGGGCGGCACCGGCTACTGGGATGCCGTCGCCGCGCTCGTTAACGCGCGGTTCCCGGGCGTGGTGCGCTCGCCTAGCGCCTGCGGCAACACTTACGGCGCGCTCGCGCTGCGACGCGCCGACGCGCCGCTCGGCCCCGCGCCGGGCGTCTCCGGCGGCATTGGCGCCGGGCGCGGTCATGGTCTGGCCGTCGTCGACCTCGGCCACTTCCCGCGGGAGGACCGCGACGCGATCGAGAAGGCGTGCGCGGACGCGGCGGCGCTCGCGGCGGCGCGGTCGACGCAAGCTGCGACGCACGTGCGCTACGGCGAGGTGTGGACGGGCGAGCAGGACGCGGCGCTGAGGCGGGCCGTCTTTGTGGCGGGCCCGCCCCCGTCCACATCTGGCCGCCATGGTTATTGGCCGAAGGTCGCCGCGACGATGCCCGATAGAACGGACAAGCAGTGCCGCCGCCGCTGGAAGTACGAGTTGGACCCGAACATGTCGAAGGTGCCGCTCACGAAGGAGGAGCTCAGGATAGTATTATCCGAAGTATCCCGCAAGAAGGGCCCGGGCGCAATTGCCAAGCGACTCCCGGGCCGGACGGACCACTTCATCAAGAACAAGTTGAACGGCGGCCTCAAGAAGCGCTTGGAAGCCTTCCTCAAGAAGCAGCCCTCGCCGGTCCTCGATTTGTCGGGCCCGCTCCTCGAGAAGGCCGTGAAGGAGTGCATGGCACCTCGGCCGCGCAGCCGCCCTCGCAAGAAGACGTCCGTCTCCGTGCCGTCTCCGCCGTCCTCGCCGCCCTCCGTTCTGACGCCGCTCGCCGCCGCTGCTGCCGTCGCTCCTGAACCGCTGCCCGCGCTGCTGCCCGCCGCGCCGTCGCCGTCTACCGCTTCTCCGGACGCCACGCCGTCGCCTTACCGAAAGTGGTTGCCCGACGAGGACGCCCTACTTTGGGAGGCCTACAAAGCGACCAACAACGGCACGATGCACTTATGGACGAACACCGCCGCGAAGCGCGTCGGCACGCGGTCGGCAAAGCAGTGCGCCCAGCGCATGCCGAAGCTGCTCGCGGCGTTTCAGCGCGGCATCGAGGCCGAGGCCGGCGGCGGCGCCCGCGCCGCCGTCACGCTGCCGTCACGCCCCCGCGCGCCGCCGCCGCCGACGGAAGTGCGGCCCTCGTTGCAGGACTTCCGCGACAAGCGCGTCGTGATCTCTGGGGGGGATCTGCCCGCATCGAAGCAGAAGCTGAAAGACGTTCTGGTGGAGCTCCTGCACGTCGAGGCGGTCACACGCGCCACGAGCGGCGACACGCACTACGTCATCGGACGCATTGGCTCGGGCGACGGCAACGTCACGAAGGCCGGCAACCGCCTCGTCGACGTCGACTACTTCATGTCGCTCCTGGAGGAGGGTGCGATCGAGCGGGCGAAGGCGGCGCGCGTGGCGCGCCTGGAAGCGACGCCGATCGTCTGGTGCGATGACCGGTTGACGCCCCAGGCCCTGCGCGGCAAGGGCGTCGCGCGGACGGGCGGCGTGACGGGCCTAACTCTGCACCAGGTCCGCGCGGAGATCCAGCGCCTCGGCGCCACGGTCCACAAGAGCGTCACGAAGAAGACGGACTTTCTCGTCTACGGTCATCTCAGTAAGGAATGCGGCGCGGTCAAGGCCGCGCGGAAGCACCGCGTCCCGTGCATCCCGGAGGCCGTCTTTCGCGACCTCCTCTCGGCGGCTTCTGCTCCGGCTCCGGCGCCGTGCGCCGTCGCCGCGCCGTCGCCGCGGCGGCGCGCGCTGGCCGAGAACGGCCCGCGCGACGAGCCCGCCGCCAAGCGGCATTGCTGATCGGATTGGATTTGGCCTGCGCCCTGTTGGCGTTCGCGCGCCTTCGGGCCGGCGGCGGGTCGATCCAGTCTCTGTCTCCGCAACACGGAGTGCTGTTGTAATAGTTTAAACTATATCTCTCTCATCAGCGACGTGCCGCCGGCAGGTGCTGCCCCCCTCGACGCGGAACCACGATATATAAAACACTTCGACCTTAGCCCACGACTACTCAGGCGTCGTGGTCCTTGTACGCCACCGCCGCCTCGACGGAGTGCACGGACGTCGTGAACGACCGCAATTTCACTTCTTGCGAGTCGGCGATGTACTTCGGGTCCGAGTCCTCCCACGCGCCCGGCACGGCCGCCGTCTTCCGCGTGTACACGAGCAGATCGAAGGCGCAGGCCTCGTCTAGTAAAGGCAGGAACGTCACGCTTGCGGTAATCTGGCGGATGATGGCCTGGATCTGTTTGGTAATGGCCTTGATGTCTCCCGCGGTTGATGGCGCGGCGTTCTCCGTGTCGCAGGCGTTCACGGCGAAGGTCCACCGTTCTAGCGTTTCGTTGGTCTCGACGCCCGTCACGACCTGTGTGGAAATCAAAATTTTACGGCGCGTTCGTCCTGAATCGTCGCGTCGCCCTCCACGCCATCGACGCGACACCTGCTCGACGGCGTGGCGATGCCGGTTCCTCGCCGCTCGACCGAGCCAGGTCGGCCGCGTCATCGCCGAGAAATTACTTAGTGAAGAATTGTCGGGTGCACCCGACATGGTTGATTTCCACACAGGTCACGACGACGACTAATCGCTGGACGTCGCCCTCCTCAAGCCACGTCTTGAGTTGGGCCAAAATCTTCTTCAGGTAGGTCTGGAGGCCGTCATCACTAGCGACCATCATGCTCAGCCCGTACTTTGCCACCCTCCGAAACTCCTCGGGCGGGTAGATGCCGCGCTGGTACAGGATCGAGTTAATCGCGTACTCGAAGAACTCCTGGACGAGGTCGACGCTGCCTCTCAGCGAAATGGTGGACGTGGCGCCGTCGGCCATGGTGTCGTCGGCGCGTCGGCGCGTCGACGGCGTGCCGCGGTAGGTCTACGCGCTGCGCCGGCGGCTTTTGCGCGCTGCTCGTTGTTCGGCTTGTAGCGGTGCCGCTGCGTCTCGAGGGCGCCGGTTGCCGCGGCCGTCCGCTCGCGATGGATCGGCTGGCTCCTCCGAGAGCCGCGGTCGGTAGGTAAGCGCGCTATCTAGCGCACACGAGACGTGAACTGGCGCCTCTGGCTGCGGAGCTAGTATGTTACAGAGCGTTAGGCGGCTGCGATTATTTTTAGCGTCTTTTAGCGTAGCTGGGCGCGCGCGACGCCAGAAAGCAGCGCCAGCACTCGTACATAACCACCCAAGCAGCGCTGTGCGAGTGGTTCGGGCCTAGCAGCCCTGCAAAAGCCAAAACAGCATATCAGCCACTGTTGGCAACGCGCGGCCAGAGATGTCCGTCTTCCAGTACAAGGCCAAGGCCTTCGGCGGCGGAGAAAGCTCGAGCTCAAGCGACGACGACGTCAGCGACGGCGAGTTCGAGCGCGAATTGGAGCGCCAGCGGCGGGCCGAGGCCGAGGCCAAGGAAAAAAAGGGCAAGAAGCCGAAGAAGAGCCCCGCCAAGACCAAGGCACCGACGCGCAAAAAGCAACACGAAACGATAGAGATCGATGACGACGTCGAGGCCTTTGCGCCCGCCATTAACGTGGATGATGATGAGCCTACAAAGCCATCTCCGCCCAAAAAAAAGAAGGCTCGCAAGAAGCAAGAATCGTCTGATGACGACGACGACGCCGACGAGGACACGAAGCGGCGGCTGCGGATGTTGAGGGAGTCGAGAGCTGCGCGGGAAGCGATGAGACAAGCCGAGCGCAAGGTCGAGAATCTGGCCGAGAGCGACGACGAGCCCGTCGTGGCGCAACCGACGAGACGGCGGCGCGTTCAGGTGGAGGCGCCGCCGAAGCCGGCAGCCCCGAAGTACGGCGGCGCTTTGCTCAAGATCAAGATCCGGACCGAGGGCGACGGCAAGCCCCTAGATTACGAGATCCGGGAGGACGAGCCCTTCGCCGAGTTGTTCGAACGGTATGCGTGTGATCGAGGCGTCAACGCTTATGATTGCAAGTTTGTGTTCGATGGGGAGGTCGTCGGCGCCGGTAGCAAACCTCGAGCGTTGGACATGGAGTCCGAGGACATGATCGACTGCAAGGCTCCTCCCAGGGGAAGGAAGCGGCCGCGGCCGGGCGAGGGCCCCGCGCAGCCGTCGCCGGCCAAGAGTCCAGCAGCGGCGCCAGCCAAGAAGAAGCGCGCCTCGCCGAAGGCGCAGGCGAAGCCGGCGGAGAAGGTGAAAGTGATCCTAGTGTTCGATAAGGGCGACGGCTCGAAGCCCAAGAAGTTCAAGATCTGGAACACGGACGAGTTCCGCAAGGTCTTCGACGTGTACCGGAAGGGCGCGAAGGGCGTCGTGTCGTTTTCTTATTTGGGTGCCGCGCTGAACCCGAACGCGACGCCGGGGGACCACGGGATCGAGACGCAGGGGAAGATCGACGTAAGGTCCTCATAGTATGACCGCTACTCGAATCGTCACGTCCACGACTCCACGCCATCGCTACGCGTCGATGGCGTTCGACGGCGACGCCGTCGTCGCTTCGATGGCGTGCAAGTGGTCCGAGTCGACGCGAGTTCACCGGCACGCCATCGCCGCAGCAGCGCCGGGGTTTCGCGTGAATCGTGTCCGTCGTCCTCGGGAGTCACTCGTTGGAATCATTACGCAGGTACGATGCCCCCCTCGCGGAGCGACACCTCCATGCGCTCGATGCGCCGCCGCATCTCCTCCATGCCGCCGTCGAGGGCCAGGTGTCGTCGCTTCTCCGCGACGCCGTGGTTGCACACGTCGTCGAAGAAGCAGGACGCGCCGACCTCCGCATCGTCGACCGCGAAGCTCTCGTCGTCCGTCTCGAAGGCCTCGGAATACTCCGAAGACGCCGCGGGCGACGCGACGGGCGACGCCGCCGTGCCGCGCGCGTCGATGCAGGCGTCGGACGCGGCGTCCTCCGAGGCGTCCTCCGAGGCGTCGGCCGCGTCGGGCGCGGCCGCCGGAACGCGCTCGTCGGCCGTCCAGCAGGTCTCACCCGAGGCGACGTCGTAGAATGCGCGCACGTAGCGCGGCGGCCGCGCCATAGTGAGTGCCTCCCCGTACGGCACCGGTTGTACACCTTCCGGCGCCTGCCACAGCAGTGTTTTTTTCTCGGCGTCGTAGACGACGGCCCGCAGGTCCCGCCTCTGATGAGAGCCCTCGTCGGGCGTCACGGCGCGCGCCTGGGCGGCGCCGCGGACGGGCTGCTCCTCGGGTATCAGTGCCTTCGGCGCCGGCACCGACGCCAGCGCCGGCGCGGGCTGATGCCGCGGCGTGGCGTCGCCCGCGGCGAGGTGGCGCGCGCGCTTGGCCGCGAGCGCCGCGTGGCTCGTGATTGCTGTTTTGGGGGGTGTCACGCGGGGCGTGCGCGACGATTTGGGTGCGTCGACCGCCGGCGTGCGCGCGCGCGGCACCGACGTCTTCTCGCTCGGCGCGGCCGGCGTGCGCGGGCGCGGCGCCGGCCGCTGGCCCGGCGGGTAGGCCACCCGGTCCGCAGCAGCAAGCCGCACCGGCTGTATGTTCCATTTGCGTCGCTGCTTCTTGGGTTTCGCGGCTTCGCGCGCGCGTACGGCGCGTTGCAGCGCCGTCGGCGTGCCGCTCTGCCGCTGGGGCAGCATCGTTGCGGCGTTTTTGGGCTGCCAAAGACCAAACTGATGGACACTGGTCGGGGCTTCGAGCAACTCTAGTGGGTTCCGCCACCTATGCCGCCAGCGCGCAGTTGAGCACATCGTGGCAGCCCACTGTGTCCCTGGCACCTGTCGCGAAAACCCGCCTTTGGGAGATGGCTTGTCATTCATCTCACAATTGGATGCAGGCGAGCTTGCGGCCAATACGACTGCGCTTGCAGTAAACTGGTCGTCTCTGACGCTATCGCGGTCGTCGCTTGCAAACCACTGCATTGCAAGCGCTTTATTGCAGCAGTTTTTGCAATATCCACTCACAGCTTTGCATTTTGCAAGCTAGCAGCAAAATGATTGCAAAACTAGCGCTGCTCGCCGCAACAAGCCACGCCCTGGCGCCCAACGCCGTGACGTCCGTAATAAGAGAGAAGCTCGCGGAGGTCGAGGAGCCGGCGGCCCTCGACCTCGCCGCGAAATATGAGGAAGTGGACCTGCCCTCGTCCCGGACGACGTTCGTGCGCACGAATGCGAAGAGCGCCGCGCCGGCGTTGGTCCTCCTGCACGGCTTCGACTCTTCATTATTCGAGTACCGTAGATTGCTCCCTCAGCTCGAGGCACAGGGTGTCGAGGCCTACGCCCTCGATTTGGTCGGATGGGGCTTAACAACACCAAAGCAAGGCGTTTCTATAGAAGCGAAGCGGAAACAAATAGAGGAGTTCGTCAGAGACGTCGTCCGGGGCCCCTGCGTCCTCGCGGGCGCGTCGCTGGGCGCCGCGGTCGTCGTCGACGCGCTGCGGAACGGTCAGGTGGAGAACGTCGAAAAAGTAGCGTTGATCGGGCCCCAGTGCTTCATCGACGGGGCGCCGCCGGTGCCGGAGTGGGGCGCGCGCCTGGGCGTCCGCGTGTTACGAAGCTGGCCGCTGCGCGCCCTCGCGAACGTCATCGCGTACAAGGACAAAAGGTTGGGCAACTTCGACGCGATCCGCGTCGGGCTCTTGCATTGCGAGCGCGACGCGTGGGAGGACGACGCCGTGGCCTGGCTCCTGGGGGGCGGCTACTCCGTGTCCGATATCGTGGCGCCCGCGCTGCGCGACGAGGACACGCTCATCCTCTGGGGTGATTCTGATGAAATCTTGCCTCCCGCGGATGCTTTGCCCCAGTTCGCGTCCGCCCTGCCCGACGCGGACATCCGCTTCGTCGACGCGTGCGGCCACGTCCCGCACCTCGAGCAGCCCCTGCCCACGGCGATGGCTCTGGCGCGCTTTGTGGGTGGGAATCCAGTGGGTGCTCTGCCGGGGACGCGCGACGCGAGGTAACTCTATTAGCACAATCAGTCTACTTACGAGGGCAGGGGCACGCGGAACTCCTGCCCCGGTGCGACCCCGGCGGGCACGACGACCTTGAATTTTCTGCCCGACTCGGAGTGTTCGAACATCAGAGTCTGCCCGACGCCGACGCCTTCTGGGCACCGGACCATCACGCCGGACGCCGCACCCTCACTCCACACCGCCCCCGAGGTCACCATGCGCGGCTGGGCCGGTGTCACTGGCGCCGCGGGTCGCGGCGGAGGAGCCGGAGCCGGCGTCACGGGCGGCGCAGCGGGCGGAGCCGGCGCCGGCGCCGGCGCTCCCGCGACCTGGATGGCTCGAGGGATGCCAGCGACCTGCAGCGGGCATGTTTCTCCCGCGGTCGGCGCCGACAGCGTCACGGTCGCCTGCCTCGCTTCGCCGCCGACCATTTTCGGCGTCGAGTGTGTCTCCACGGACACAACCGAGCGCATGCCGGCGAAGCGGAACCCCTTGCTACCCGAGCCGCTCGGTAGGAGCTCGAGGCGGCCGCGCGCCGTCTTGAGGCAGACGAACAGAGGGACAGTCCCGCGGCGACGCTGGAGCTCCTGAAACTGGGTCACTTGCTTCCGGCGCTGCGTGCCGCAGGAGATCTCGACGACGGTCGGCAGGCCCGGGTTCGAGTCCTCGGAGAAGCAAAGCGCGTAGATCACGCCCCCTGCCGCGTAGACCGCGGGCACGTGCGAGCCCTGGCCGTTGGGCATGAGCTCCAATATCTGCTTCTTGCTATAAAGCGTGTCCGACAGCTGGCCCTGGACCGTGGCCATGATGCTGTCCGGCGCCGCGGCCGTGGCGCCGGGAGGATCGCGCGCTAGCGGCGCACCGTCCGTCGACACACGCGCCCGCTTCTTCGGCGCCGGCGCGGCGTCCTCGAGCTTCTTGGGGCGTTTCGGCGCGCGCGTGGGCCGCGCGGGCGCGGGCGACGGCGGCGTGTCGTCGTCGGTGCTGTCGCCGCCGGTGGGACCCGGCCACCGGGTGGCCGGTTGCAGGAGCGCGGGATCGAAGGCCATGCCGTCGCCGTCAATGTCTTCGTCTTCAGGCGGCGGCGGCGGCGCCTCCTCGCGCGACATGGCGAGGGCGCGGGCCAGGTCGTCGTCGTCGTCCGTCTCCATCGGCGCCGGTGGCGCGGCGGCGTCGCCGTCAAGCAGCTGCCGGAGGTCGTCGTCGTCCGGGGGCGGCGCGGGCGCGGGCGCGGGCCAGGCCCGGGCCCAGGCGGCCTCGACGTCGGGCAGACGGGCCTCCGTCGCGAGCCACGCGTCGGCCAAGGCAGCGGTGGCGCAGCTGAGGGCGCGGTCCGCGGCTGCGCGGCGGCTCTCGGCCGCGGCGGTCGCGAGCGCGGCCCGGTCGGCGACGGCTGCCGCGAATTGGGCATCCAGTTGCGAGTCGCGGTCGGCGGCGGCCGCGAGCTCTCCCTCGAGCCGCGCGAGCTCCGCTTTGTCGCGCCGCATCTCCCCGAGGCATCTCTCCGCCAACTCTCGCGAGATGGGCGCGTTGCCCCCGGGGACGACGGGCTGCTGCAGCGCTCCCGCGAAGGCATTCTGCACAGCCAGCGGCGCCGCCTCGCCGCCGGGCCAATCCCAGCGCGTTTCACCGGCGTCGTTGAAAAAATAGAGGCGACCGCCCGCATCTCTCGCTTGGTGCCAAACGCCGTGATCCATCGTGCCTTAGAGTTACGACTGATTTGGGGCGTGTCGGAGGCGCGGCTCGGTCCCAGGGCTGACCTGTGGTTAGCTGAGTGCTGCGCGCCACTGTCAACTGCTTCTCTGAGCCCACTGGGGCTTCAAAACAGCCCCAATACTACGGAGAGCAAATAATGCTAGCGGCCTGTAGACACACTAGCAAGACGACCTTTACGCTGCGCTGTACGCTAACGCCGAAAGGGCGAGGTAGAACTCACAGAGAGGACGCAGATCGCAAACGTGCAGCCCCCAATAGCAGCCCCACGCCGTGGTCCCGCTCCCACGCCGATCACAGACGACGGGAGGCAGCCCCATCATGGCCCCCCGGCGCACCACCCTCCTCCTTGTCGCCGCCGGACAAACGCACGCGCGATTAGGCCAGCTCGCCGCCGACGAGCAGCAGATCTGGGCCGACCTGCGCAGACAATTCGAGGCGTCCGCGAACGGCACGCGCTTCCTCTACGAAGAGGACGAACGAGCCTGGGCCCGGGACCACAAGCCGCAGTTCAACGTCTCTAGAATACTACAAGACGAAACGCCCGCCCCGACCGTCAAGGGCAAGGAGGACCACTGCCCTAGATGTTGGTGGAGAAAAAGCCCACCGGACCCGGACCACTGGTGGCCGGCCATGACGACGACGCAACGTAATGGGATTGGGCCCGTCCGCTGGGAGGGCCAGGTCGGCGGCGCGGAGCGAATGTCCTGCCCCGTCGGCTGGGGCCAAGTGAACAAAGATAACATACGGCTGCGAGTCGAGAAGAAGTGGGAGCGCGTCTGTTTTTATTGTTGGAAGGCGAAGCTGAGCGACGCGAGGGACATGGAGCGACTCATCGCCCACACGACCTGGGACGAGCAGCAGTATTACCGGCTGTTCTACATCTGGGGGTGTGGAGGTATGTTCGGCACACCTCGGTTTGCCGCGCCGGGCGGCTGCGAGAAGAAGTCCATCGAGTTCAAGCTCGAGGTCGACTCGAAGGGGAGGAGGGTGCCCGAGGGCCCCGACGGCTTGCACGAGGTCACGATTCCGTTGACGAAGAACACGCGCCCGCCACTAGGGTTCGAGTGCTGCACGCGCAAGCTAGGCTGGGACGCTTGTAGCTCCGCGCTTGATGTTGGTAGAGGTGCGGTGGCGTTCGCTTCGTTTGTGGTCGGGGCGGTGGTATTACTCGCGGGGTAAGAGTCTGTTGCTCAGCTGGGACTCGTCGCCGATTCGTCGATGGCAGCTGGCGTAGACGCCATCGCCGCGGAGGATGTCGCGTCGATGGCGTGCAGCGGCGTAGAAGTCGAGGGAGCCAACGCATCTGCCACCGCGCGTCGCCGCTTCGTAGATCCGCTTCGTCGCGGGCCGCGTCTTCGTAACGGCATACTTCCGTCGAAGCAGACACGCCTCGGCAGATCCCCCCAGACAATGAGCCACGTTCGCCTGTCGATCGGAGACCCCGCACAAAACAGCGCTCTCAGGCCAGCATCGCATAGGCCTCTCGCGCGGCGCGCGGTGGCATTGCTGTTGCGGAGAGTCGCGCGCAGAGCGGCCTCGTCGCAGGACCACAGCGCCGGCTGCCCGCTGCCCAGAGATAGGAGCAAGCCTCTCCACCTCCCCAACTCGGGCTCACCTGCACGCCGTCGCCGCGACAAGCAAACAACTACCATGGGCGGCGAAGGTCGTAGAGCGAGGGGCGAGCCCATCCTCATGACCATGACGCAAGTGAGGCCCCCATTCAAGTGGGGGCCTCCATTGACCACAGCATTGAGAGACCTCGAGTCCGACGGCCTCCAGCAGCTGTCGAACTACGACGGCCGCGACCATAGGAGCTTCCTCAACCCCAAAGAACTAGCCGAGAGCAACATGAACGCGCCCTTCGCGGATTCGGTGAAGCGGTGGCGCTCCCATAAAGTACATAACGCGGACTACCCCGGTCTAGACGTCTTGGAGGCCGAATTTAAGAGTAGAGGCCACGACGCGTCGTTATGTAGTGAGGCGCCCTTCCGAGCGTCCCAGAGGGGTGATCTGCTGGAAGCACCGTGGCCGATGCTCGTCAGTGACAAGATGTGCCTGTATAAGCCGGACCAACACATCTACGAAGAGCCGGGGTTCGAGTATACGGATGAAGCCATGGAGAGGCGGCGCGAGCAGGTGAAGAGGGAAAAGCGGCTCGGCAAAAGCATAGACGAGGAGTACGGGGGATTGCAGTCGCATAGCGTTTTCGCGTCCGAGGTGCCCAGATTTGTGGACCAGCAGCATAGCGTGGAGAGTGCCGAGTTTGCGCGCCTGACGGGTAGGGCGACCTTGCAGGCGGGCCGGCCCAAAACCCCTCCTGATGGAGGGCCTCGTGGGCGGGCAAGATCCCGACTGTCGAAGCGGACACCGTCTCAACGACCGACGTCGTCGCTTGCGTCGACAAGCACGCGAGGCATGTACGACTACTGGCCGACCACTTTAAAGTTGAAGGGCTGGAGGAACGCGCCCGGGCGCTGTGGGAGAGCCCCCGAACCGTCGATGCGGCCCTACACGTCGTTGAATAGCGATTTCAAGCGCATCTCGCCCTGCTTCATGCCTACTAATATTCGATTCCCCGACGACCTCGATCTACTGTACGCGACGATGAAGAAGACGGGGGAGCTCAAGCGCCTCGACGACGACACGTGTTCGACGGACCGGTGGCGGCGGCAGAAGCTGCGCGAGGAGATGGCGGAGGCCGAAAAACGGGAGTTGGAGGAGGTTTCTCGAACTTTTATGACGGAGCCACCGGCGCCGGCTCGACCAAAGCGGGACATCCGCGTGTTTTAAGTTTATACAAGAAGCATTACTAGGCTACAGCAGCACGGGGGGAAAGTGGTAACGTCGAAACTTGCTACGAACATACTTAGGGTAGTGACTAAAATTCACGCAAAACAGGGCTTCAAACGGTAGGGGTTTGGGGTGCGCCGGCCGCGGGCCGGCCGACTTACAACAGCGACACGTCCCTTTGTCTAGATATGTTCGACCGGGCCGGCTCGTGGGACGCCACGGGCACGGCCTCGACGACGACGGCGTCGGCGACCGGCACGGCGACGGCCGGCTGTTGCGCCTGGCGGATGAACGCCTCGGCGCTCGCGACGGCTGCCTCGACGCCGCGATCCGGCTGGGGGGCGGTCGCCCAGTCGCCTCGGCCGCGTTCCCAGGCGGCGTCCGCGCGGGCTCTCGCGACGGCTCCCTCGACGGTCGCCTCCACCGACAGGTAGAACCGCGCCTCGGCCGCCGACAGCGACGGCACGGCGGCGCGCAGACTCGCCATCTGCACCTCCTCGGTCACCGGCTGCGCGGGCCCCGAGCCCGGAATGCGCAGCACGGCGACGCCGCGGAGCGACGAGTTGCCCAGGTCCAGCGACGGGTTCGCCTGCTTGAGCTTGCGCGCTGTTGTTTTGTAGCGGAGGCAGAGGCCCTGCAGCGTGTCGCTCGGCAAGACGACGTGCTCGCGGGGCGCGCTGGGCTCTGGCGCCGGCGCCGGCGCGTCGGCATCGTCCGGCGTGCTGACGAGCTGCCAGTCGTTGTTTACGCGGATCCACTGCTGGCCAGCAGGCGGGTTCGGGAGCGAGCTGCGCGCTCGGCGCATGATCTCGTCGCCAGACACGAGGTGCTGGTTCCTCGGGTCTCCTTGTCTCGGTGGCGGTGAGCTAAGGCTGCCTACGCCGATGTAGCCTGACATGGTGTATTGTAATGTCGTGTAGAGTCGTGTAAGAGTCCAGCAGACTGGAGGTGGTCTCCCAAAAGTGCCGTCTGGATGCCGGTTTTCGCGCTCTCTTCGTGGACGCCACAAAATCGGTGCCTGGGATTGCTGATGAGTTACTCGGCTCCCTCGTTTGCTGCGTTTTGCGCGTCTAGCGCTTGGGGTAGGAGCTAGCGTGGTGTAAGACACACTAGCCGGGGAGCAAAGCTGCCGAATGGGTCGCCAGGCGTCCGACCCGGGCCGAGCAGGACTCTTAGCCACGATTCTGTTGGGCCCTGGGGCCCCACAACCGATTGGCCAAGTCCTTGGCTGCCAGCAGGATTCACCTATTCGCCCGCTGCCACGAGTTTGATGGGCTTGTAGCGCTGCGGGCGACTTGGTGTATAATAATATCCGCTGTCGAGCCAGAAGGGGTCAACTCGGGAGACGAGCGAGCGCTCAAATCCAATCCCGACCTAGACCAGCTCTGCGGGGGCTACGCGCCGCGGCGACGCGAGGACTCTCGCGACCCGTGGCGCAGCCAGCGGAAAGCAAAAGAAGTACACCGCAGCCCGTAACCGCGACCTTTGCGGCCGCACCGCGCCGACCGCCGCCGCGTTAATCCTAGGAAAAGGGCAGAAACCATGCCGGACGTAGCGATGACCGACCGCCCGCCGCCGGCGCCGCCGTCGGAATCGCCGTTACAAGAACGGTTGCGAATATTAAGAGAATCCACGGGCAGCGCCACCCTCACGCCGAACGCCGAGACGTACGTCAAAAGAGCCGCCGAATTGGTCCACAACGAGGAGGGCCCCGTCGGCCAGCGCCATACGATCGCCGGCTGCGCCCTGCGGTGCGCCCTCCAGGAGTGCGAGGCGGCCATGCGGACCGGCGGGGGCGCCAGTGCAAAAGACTCCATCCGATTACTACGCTTCGCGGAAGAACTAAGACAAGCGATCCGCGAGTGCGACGAGGCCGCGTCGTATGCGGGAGTCGTAGATACTCCCACCGTGGACATGGACGAGGCCGACGACCGGCCGGTGCGCGGCTGCGGGGCCTTCTGGGACTTCTCGGAGTTCTGCGGCGGGTTGGACTGCCTCGGGTATGGGCGGGAGTCCGAGAGCTCGTCCATTGATAGCGCCTCACCGATAACGAACAAGCACGAGCCCCAGCGGATGGGGTCGGAAGAGACGTTGCAGCTGGACGGCCACTTCCTCGCGCGAGGCGCGGAGCATTGTAAGCTCGCCGCCGAGGCGTCACTGACGCCAGGGGCGCGCCAATTGCTAGAAAACACGGCCACGGAGCTGTTGGCGGCGGCCGAGGAGGCCGCTTCTCGCAGGGATCGAGGAGCCGCCGCGAGGCAATTCCAGAGAGCTGCTCTGCATCTGGAGATTGTGCGGTTACTAGGCGGCAAACCTCTCGCGCCCGCTCTCGAGGCTTCTAGGAGGTACGCGCGCTGGCGGGCTCGTAGATTGTCGCACCTACTAGAGAACTGCGTGCTAGAGCACTCGCCAGAAGATCCTCGCACGTTCGACGCTGCCTATTCATTAACCGGAGAAATCCTGGGACGGGGCGGTTATGGGGTCGTGTTAGGATGTACCCGTAGAGCGGACCAGGAGGCCTTCGCCTGTAAACGACTAGACTTGAAAAGATTGTCGGCCAAAGGCCTCGCGCGGTTACATGAAGAAATCGCCGCGCTCAAAGCTCTAGATCATCCCCACATTGTGCGATTACGAGAGGTCTTCTACTCTGATACAGGGAGAACTTGTCTACTAGTAACAGATCTCTGCAGTGGAGGCGAGCTCTTCAAAGCAGTCGACAAGAGAGCAAGACCGGGTGTAAGGCCGCCCTTCACGGAATCGCGATCCGCGGAGCTCCTGAGGCAGATGCTCGGCGTCGTCCGCTACATGCACTCCTGCGGCGTCTGCCACAGAGATCTCAAATTGGAAAATTGGCTGTTTGATTCGCCAGATCCCGACACCGCCACTCTCAGATTGGTGGACTTTGGCCTCGCGAGAGTGTTCGGTCCGCTACGACCCGATCTCAGCAAGACGAGAAGCAAGACCAACTTTGATGAAAGGGTAGGCTCAGCATACTATTGCGCGCCTGAGGTGCTCGAGGGCATCTACGATCGTAGATGTGATCTATGGTCGCTGGGCGTCATCGCCTACATGCTCTTCTCGGGGACGCCGCCCTTCTGGGGCCGCTCTGATAAAGAGATCCTCAAGAGGTATGTATGCCTTGTGGTTATGTCGAGGTTTACTTCGCGGCGATGACGCGTCGATGGCGTGGAGGTGTCGCCAGACGCCGTCGACGCGGCCGCGCGAGAGTCTCGGTCGCGCCCGCGACACCGCCGACGGCGAGTCTCAGAGTCATCCCACGCAGGGTCCGAAGTACCGAGGTCAAGTTCCCTCCGGAATTGTTCCGGTCGACGTCGTCCGAGGGTCTATCACTCGTAAGAGGGTTGTTACAAAGAGATGTGGAGCTACGACTCACGGCGGACCAAGCTCTAGAACACCCCTTCTTCTCGCTCTATGCGACGCTCGTGAGATCCGTTTCTGGATTGGTGGAGGGTATCCTTCCCGACCAAGAAGAGGAGCCGCCGCTCTTAGATGCTTTGCGGTCCTTCGCGGCCTTGAACGCCTTCTCCAAGTTGGTCGTCGAGGTCGCGGCGGCTCACTTAGCTCCAGCTAGGTTAGTACAATTACGACAAGATTTCACCAAGGCAGACCTCGATGGAGATGGCGTCCTATCCTTGGCGGAACTGCGTTCATTCTTAGGCGACGCGAAGGTGGACGAGAGGGAACTGGAAGCATTATTCGCAGCCGCGGATGTGGATGCCACTCAGACATTATCTTTTCACGAGTTCGTCGCCGCCGCATTGGTACGAAGAGTAGAATTAGATGACAAGATGCTCCACGTGGCCTTCGAGGCCATCGACTCCGAAGGATTGGGGTACATCACGCGGGAAGCTGTCGTCGCCACGATGGGTCGCGACGCGAAGCGGTACGGTTCTACCGCGGAAGTCGACGCGGCGCTGGCCCACGCCGGCGTCGGCGGGCGCGTCGACTACAACGAGTTCCTGGACTACATCCACGAGCAGCGGCTGTCCGGCATCGGTTCCGTCTCCTCGGAGGAGACCAAGGACGAGCGGACGGGCTCCACGTCGCCCGAGATCCCCTCTGTGATTTATAAGTTCTGATCTGAATGAATCCTGTCGCGTCGATGGCGTATATCGGTTGCTAGTGTCTTAGGCCGCTAGCTAATCTGTGCGGCGGCGTGCACTTGCCTCGCGCGACGGCCTACGTACCCGATTTTATCCACCAGCAGTGCATATCGACGATTCACAATAGCAGCTACTGCGGTGCACTGCGTTCAGACAGCTGATACTACAGTGGTAAAATACAGCACTGCTGCAATTGTTGCACTGCAGAGCGCCGCAACGCCACACGCAGGCAAGACACCATGAGCAGCCATGAATTCGCCGCAATGCGCGTCGCCCAGAGCCGCGAGCGCCACGAGGCGCGCGTCGAAGCGCTGCAGACGCGCGACGCCGACAAAGCCCTCGACTGCGTCGGCGACGGCTCCTTCCGCATCGCCAAGCAGACGATCAGTTTGGTAAGGGAGATCACGCCGCTCGTGACGCCGGACCTGCGCGCCAAGGTCCATTACACCGGTTGGCTCGCGCCGGTGCCGGCGGACAGCGCCGCGCCGCTGATCAATGATGCCTTAATAAAGCAGGCGACGAGCGCGCGACCCTTCGACTCGTCGCGCGGCCGCCAGCCGTTCAGCTTCGTCGTCGGCCACCGCCAGGTGATCGGGGGCTGGGACGCCGCCGTGGCCGCGATGAAGGTCGGCGAGCGCACGCCTGTGTGGGAATCAAATTTCGGGCGCCCTACTACCTCCATAACCTAACTCACTGGGTTGATGGCCACACAGGCGTGCTCGCATCCTGATCGCGCCGGAGCACGGCTACGGCGAGCGCGGCGCGGGCGGCGCGATCCCGCCGGATTCGTGGTTACTCTTCGACGTCGAGGTCCTGAGCGCCGAGGCCGACCCCGAGCCCGCGTTCAGCACGCCTTCTCTCCTCGCGATCATTCCGATCCTCGGCATTCTGATCTACTACCTCGGCTTCCGCGACGACATCTGGGAGGACATGGGGGGCAAGGCCGAGCTCTGACGACGCAAGCCTCTCGCGAAAAGAGGACTGCGCGCATTCTGGGTTCCCGCGGAGCAGTGTTAAGTGTACATAGCAGCAATAAAAGTCACACAAGATTACGAAAGCAAAATCACACGTCAGTCGCCGAGCGGCTCCGTCCCGCGCAGCGCGCACTCGTCCGAGTCGGGGAGCCGCACGAAGCGCAGGGGCCCCGTCACATGCGACGCGCGCGGCGCCGCGCCGCCGCCCGCCGCCGTGCCGATCCCTTCGACGACCTGCGTCGCGCCGTCGAGCACACCAACAACGGGCTTCACGACCACACCGGCGACGCCCCGCGCCACGCCCTTGAAGAACCCACCGACACCGCCCTTTTGGGCACCCCGCACCGGCTGCAAGAACACGCCCGCCACTCCTTCCCCTACACCCCTTACGACGCTCTCCGCACCACCAGCAGCGGAAGAGGCCATATTCTGGCCCTTGGAAGCGCGTCGACGCGCGTCGCGCTGTTGGGAGTACGACGCGTCGCCCGCCAAGAGTGAGGCATTGTTCGCGAGCACATTCCCAACACCACCGATCGAAGTGGCAAACCCACCGACGACAGAAGACGCTAAGGCTGATGTCCCTCGATGCACGCCCTTGGCAAACGCTGTCGGGCTTTCGACAATACCCTTCGACGGCTCGTAGAAGAACTGCTTGACGCCGCCGCCGATGGTCGATACCAGATTCAGGGGCTGGCCGATCGAGGCCAGAGAACCGACCACTTTATGGAGCTGCTGTACTAGTGAGAGGACGTAGTGTCTTCTAATAGTCTTCGCGAGCAACCCGGGCTCCTCCACCGCCTTCTCGACGCAGAAGGACTTGAGCTGGACCTCAGCTCGGTCGATCTCCGCGAGGTTCGCCAACGCGCCGAAGCCCATGCGCTCGACCGCCGCGTCGCCTTCATCATCATCGTTATATACGGGAGAGAATGAGGTCGTAAGTTGGACGGGGTGCAAGACCAACGCGTCCACTACACCTCTTGGTTCGAAGGTCGCCGTTCTAGCTTCTTCGGTCGACTCTGGAGGATCGGTGGAAAAGAGTAGAGCCTCGGCCCACCTGCCTGGATCGGTGGAAACGCGTCGATCCAGCGCTTCGGTCCTCGCGTCAGACAACGTCGTCCATACTCTACCCAAAGCTCGTAAGGAGGTGGTATCCGTGCCCACCTCCAACTGTAAAAGCTTCGCCGCCAGGTATCGGAGAGTAGCGCCCTCCGAGGCCGACGCCGCCTCGAAGACCGGTGTGTCCTTACCTCGTAATAAAACGGGCCACCGCGTCTCCGGAGCGAACTGGTCGACCTGCAGCGCCTTTATGGACACTTCCGTCTCCCTATTTAAGCCTTCGGTGGCCTGGGCGTAGCGCATGTCTCCCACAATGAGTGAGAGGACTTCTGACCGATTCTTGCCCCTACCGTCGACGACGTGGAGTCTCGCCTCTTTGAGCTTGAGCGTCAAGGCGCGTCGTACACTAGATTCTTCATTTAAATCCTTCTCCTCGAAGGCCTCGCCGCCGTCATTTATCACAAGGACCCGCGCGCCGTCCTCGAGCGCGACGCGAGCGTCCAATCCTGACAAGGATAGCGGCCCCGAGACGCAGCCGACGTCGACAGAATCTTTCGACTGGGGGCTGATGACCTCTAAACTACGAGGAGCGTCGACGTCCACGAATCCCACGACTTTACATGAGGAAGGTTCTAGCGAAGCCACCTTTTTGTCCGTGTGCCTCACCTGCAGGTATTGCGACGACTGGTTCCTCACCAGGAACAGGGGCCTCCTGTCAACTCTATCTACAGCACATCTTACAGTGACGGCCTCGTGGGGCGGTTTTGACACGTCATCATTGGCCCTAATTTCGACTCTAATAACAACATCCGCTCTTTCTACAAATAAAGCATGTCCTGCAACGCGATCCAGAGGCACGGGCGCGGACCAGAAGCCGCCGACGCCGAACTGGACCCTTCCAACAACATTTCGTCTGTCAACTAAACTTCCGTCGGCGGGCCAGTGCCAGGCCTGGGCCTGCTTCATTGAAGGTGGTAATTGCATCCAGTTCTCCGCATTTGCATCGTCCTGGCGTCTTACTAATATTTGCACTTTGTCATCCACATTCCTCAGAGCTAACCTCGGCGCGACCTCGACCGAACGACCACCACCTCGTCCGAAGGCCCCACCTAGAGCATGCGATCTGACTTCTAAATCTAACCGTCTCCCATCCCTACAATCCAACAAGATGGGAAACTCCGACGCGCCCACTGAATATCTCGAACTCCAAGCCCCTCGGCACCCGACGGCCAACGAATTGTCTCTAGCCGCGAGCAACCTTCTCCCCGTAATGAGGGGATCGGCCCAGGCGTAGCCCGGCCAATTCATAACCCAGTCGCCCAGTATCACCGTATCTGGTGTTGATGAGGAGGACGCCGTACCTTCTCCAAGAAAAACGAGGTAATGAGTCTTCTGCTCGTTCGGGCCTAGGTCTATGGTTTCGTCTTTGACCAAACGACGCACCCACACATCATATTTGCGTTGGTCAATACCACCAAAATCCAATGCGCCTCGCCTTTTCTCGGCTACGATCGGCTCCGGGCACCTCTCGAAGTGGTCCACGACCCAAGAAGGCGGCCGGTTGATTCGGGAGTCGGTCGCCACATACAGGTCCAATCCCTGACTACCAGCCTCCAAATGTAGAAAGCGCTGTTTGTCTTCATCCCCAAGTAAAAACGAGGCCGTGTTTTCTCCCACAGATCTAGCAGCATGGCCAAATAACTGCGACGCCTGACTCCCAATGGCCTTGTGGGCGTCGTGCGTGATCAACCGCTGGCACGTCGTCAACGGTGGAGGTAAGGCTACGAAGACGTACGCGTCGGCGTCCGCATACAAGCGATCGCCCCTCTTGGCCGGGTTCGCGAGGTAATGCCTTCGCGCGCTCGCCACCGTGACGATCTTGACCAAATTCGACGAGGCGGTCTCCACAATTCTCTCGCCGTCGCCGATAGAACTCTGCTTTGACGATGAAGACGACAGGAGTGCTCTTCTAACTTCGGACGCCTTCCGGGCTAAGCCAGGTGGTAGTAGGGACCCGCCCGGCGCCGCCGCCAGATCTAAATGTAATCCAGTTCGGTCCACGACCCAGAGCGGCGCCTCGATCACTACGAATAAACCTAGACCTCGGTGGCGCCGCTCGGCCCGGATCGCCACGGCCAACACATCTTCACTATTTTCGGACAAGGCCACTTCGTAGAGACCCTTCGCTTCCGTCGCCGTCATGCGCGCGTGGTTCGGCAGGTCCTGCGGTACTAGGCGCTTCCTGAGTCGACCCCGCAGGTTGCCGACCCTTAATGCAAGCCAGCAGCCCTCCTGGACGTCGATGGCGCAACAAGAAGACCGTCGTCCCGGCTCGACGCGGCAGCGCCCCTCTCTAGCTTTCGCCTGGATCCTCACCAGAACGCCGCACGGCAACCGGTTCTCCACCACCACCGGCGCGTGGAGAACAATAGAAGGCTCGCCCCCGTCTTGTTTAGAATGAGCTACGACACAAGCATTGTCGAAATTGACGGCGACCTTGCCGTCTCCAGATACGTGGGGGCGGCCCCACTTGTCTCCGTGGCGCAATCGTAAAGCACCACCGGACAACGACGGAGGCAGGGGCGTCGCGTGTCCTTCGCCGCGCCCCGCTTGAGTTGGGGAGGCCGGCTTCACCGACACAACTTCGAAATCCCCATAGCCCTCGACACTTGATGCGACGTCGAACGTTTCGAGAGTTTTGTTCGTCACAGCCGCTCTGCGAGAAAGCGTCCCAACAATCAACCCTTGGTCCTCGTCGAAGCCGCAGGACCATCTTAAACCGTGCGCCAGGTGCATGGCGGCGGGCCGCTTACACGGCAGCGCCGGTAAAATGCGGCCGCCGGGCAACCGGCATTCTATCTGTGTAGGACTCCTCAGATCTAATGAAGCGCCTGCATCCACGCGCGTCCACTCTCGCGTGCCCGCTCTAACATCTAACACCAGACCGGTCTCGTTCCTTAGGGAGAAGGCCTCCCGTTGCCGAATCGTACGGCTCATTGACAAATCCTTTTGCAGACTCCCCTGGAGCCTTATCAAACGTGCGGCGAAGGCCGTGGATAACACGGCATCTAGGACATCTTCCGATGAAGTCGTGACGTCCCAGCTCTTGTCTGTTGCATTGGCTTTCACGTGACAAGTCATAGAGTAGGGTTCTATGAGAGGTTCAAACCTCAAACTCCTCAAATCAAAGGCTCGCGCCTTCAGCGTCGTCGTCACGTGACCTTCGAGCTCCGTGGACGGGCCGTTGATATTCGTGGAGAGGTCCGTGAGCGAGAGGTCGACGAGCGGCGCGGCTGGGCCCTTCGCGTCGTCCACTAACGCGACGCTAATGCTTGAGACGTCGAATTTGAGCGAGGCCGTGACGACGCGATTCGACTTTGGCTGAGGTTTTGCCTCGGTCTCGACGGCAGTGCTCCCCGCGGACGGCGCCTTTTTGGCTATAGAAGCAACACTTAACACGTCCCGGTAGCTCAACCGCAGATTCAAGGGCGAGACGTCGCCAGTCAAGCGCCAATCATATAACTCGGACGACGCGAAGCGCTTCTCTAGGTTAAGTTGTAACGATGTTGGTTTCAATATACTCTTCTCCACACCATCAATGAGAGCAGCCTCCACATCCCTCACACTTACCTTTAGAAGCTGTTCTGAGAAGCTCTGGTCGTCCTTGCCATCCAAGGAACACAGGACCCCGGTCCTCAAGGAGAGCATGCGCGACGTTTGTGACGACGCGTCCTCGACTAATAACACTTCACAAGCCCGGACCTCGACTCGAACACTCATGGACCCCTCTTGCACGTGTACGGGTGTCTCATCATCAACAGAAGGTGTGGCCACGGCCAAGACCACAATTTGTTTTATGGTAGACAACGCCGCGTCGATCGCGGCGCCGATCGGTTCTAAGAGTAACTGCACCGTAATCGGCTTCGCTGTCAGCGATACGGTCTTCCGGCCACTCACATCACCATAATCGACAGCAAGCATTAGATCGGAAGGGGGCAGCTGCAGCTCCGCCGATCCTTGTAGGAGCCGGTCGAGCGCCGCGCCTCGCGCATCATCTGATGAAATCCAGGGCACGACCATGGACCGGAAATGGTTTGTAGACGTGGCATCGCGTGTGTCCGCCACGTCTACTTTCGCCAGACGCACGTAGGTGGCCTGGGCGTCGCCGTTTTTTGTGTAACATGCTCCTAGTCCGACGATCGCCGCCGTCGCCACATCCCCCTGGTCGTTGCGCAGCGTGCACGCGAGCTCGCCCAGTCGCAACGAGACGCGCAGGCGCTTCGTCGAGACTTCCACCACTTGTTGTTGTTGTACTGTCGTCGCAGGAGCGGAGAAGCCCGCCAATCCACCGCGCACCGCTGTCATGAACGGCTCCAGCGGCTTTAAATCAATAGCGCCCACGGCGAGACGTAACGTGGCGAACTCGACGTCGATATCCGAATGGAAGGCGTCGTCCGAAGGCGTGGGGACGGACCGGAAGCGCACCGCGAGCACCGAATCCGTGCGGTCCACTTTGTCAGAAGGCGGCGCCGGCAGCGCGTCGAAAGCAGTTCGAGCGAGCTGCATGGCGTCGGCGGCGCGCGCGTCGCCCCGCGTCTCGATGAGTGCCACGTTTGATCGAGCGAGTTTGATGCCGCCGAGCAGGGCGTTTATCGTAAGGCCGCTGCCGCCCGACACCAAGGATGCTTTGAGTTCCGTGATCGCGAGGACCATGCACCTCGACCGGTCCGGCTCGAGGATCGCGAGCTCGACGAGCGGCGCCCTCACATGTAAACGGAGGCCCACGACGCCCTGCGGTTGTTGAGGCACCGTAGTAGCATCGTCGGAAGCGACGGCGACGGCATCGGCCTTGCCCAGCGACGCCACGACGCCCAGGACGTCCCTAATATCGTCCGGCGCCATCCCCAAGGAACACTTCGAGAGCGTGATCGAGGCGTCGAGGGGCGCGTCGTTCGCCAAGTCCACCCTGATATCCAATCGCAGCGGCGACAATACGATGTCGCGGTCGCCGACGCGCGCCGTCGCGCCCATCAAGGCGACGTCCCAGCGCTGGCCATTGGCCGCCGCGCCGCCGTCTACATTGACACTACCCGTATCTATCACGAGCAGCCCAGCGTCGCGGTCCCACTGCATCGGTACGAGTATGGTCGGCGCGCCCACGTCTACAGTTATAATCAACGTGCGTTTCGACGGGTCCCAGGCGAAGGATGAAGCCTCGCCCTGGCGCTGGAGCACCCCTTCCGCTGCTTTAGCGACGATGGACCGGTAGCGCCTAGCTTGCTCGGCCGCGGCTCTCGCTGCTTTCGCCGTGGCGTCGGACGTCAACGCTTCCACGACGCGAGAGAGCCAGGGCTTGTGGTAGGCGACGTCGTAGGAGTCGCCCGTGACGGAGATCGACGTCCGATCCTCAACTTTCGCGAACACAACTCGTAAAGGCGCCGCGCCCCGTCTGGTGATGCACGCGCCGCTCGCGACACCGCTTTTCAAAAGCATGCCCGTCGTATCCCCCAAAACGAACTGTGTTAAATCAGCCGTCGCGTCGACCGACGCGAAGCCCGCCGTGGCCTTGGCATTGATGGACCCGCTCATGCTTAAGGATGCGAGGTCGTTCTTGTCATGAGACACCGTGCAGGTGAGCGACGTGGACAGGCGCACCCTCAAAAAGTCGCCTCCTGTAGCACATTCGCCCTCGTCGTCCCGCTCGAGTAGTGCTTCTATGTCATCAGTGGTCACGTCCCCCTCGTCGCTGCCGTCGTCCTCGAAGGCGTCTTCACTCTTGGACGACCGCCTCCAGCTGAACCAGGACGACCGCTGCTGCGTCTCGGCCTTCCTTGCTTCAGCCCGCTCCCGTTCTAGCGTGGCGACGACGTCGTCGCGGCGCCACATGCGCAGCGCCTCGAAGGGCGCTTTTCTTTCAATCCGTCGCATCGTCGCCCGATCCTCATTCCGTAAGGCATCGAGGTACGTCCTTCTATCATTCGCGGACCGCGCGAGGCCGAGCAGCGCCTCGGACGCGCGTTTTTTCGCGTCGAGCGCCGGGCAAGCTAATCTAGCGGCGTAGCGCCACCAGCAGCGCGCGTTACTTGAGGTGATGGGTCTCGCGCGACTCCCCAGGATGTAGTAGGGGTGCTGATCGAGTAATTTCTGGCGCCGCGCCGCGAGGGTCAGCGCGTCGACCAATTTCGTCGACCCTCTCAAAGCCCTCGATTCTATAGATGTGCGCACATCATTCAAGGAGAGCTCGACGTCGTACTGCGGTGTGTCTCCAATGATGCAGCCGGGGTTCCGCGTCAACTTGAGCGTAGACGAGACGGGCGCTAACACGTCCTCGTTGTTGAAGGTCACGCTGAAGCCTTGCAGTGAGACGGCATTTCTCAGCAATTCCTTGGTAGACCCGCGGTCGACGAAACATGGCGTCCAACTTGCGTCGCACGCCTGCAGGCTTAATGATTGACACCACAGCGAGCACGCGCAGTCGGCAGCAGTAATACGCGCGCGGACGTTCGTAATACTAATCTCGAGGTTGTCCACGACCTTGGCTGCTAATCGACGCATGTAGCCCGGGTCCGTCTCGGTTGTTTCCGTCTTCGCTTCGAGCGCGCGTCGACACGCGGCGTCGGCGCGTTCCAACTTCGCCGACAACGCGTCCTCCACGACCTTCTGCAGCGTGTCAGGGTCCGGGTCCGTCTGTGAGGCGAGCGTCACGTCGACGTTTTCGATAGCGATCCTTACTGGCGTCGAGCCCAGCGACGACCACGGAATGGCCACCGACAGCTTCCCGACCGTGCCAGTCTCGATCCGCACGGGCAGACTCAACTCATCGACAGCCTTCGTGTTCACGCGTAGATTTTGCAGTTCTATTTTACCGGACCACAGCCCCAACTTGAGCGACTCGGGCGCGAGGCCCTCGATGTAGTCGCCTAAAGCGTCCTGGAGCACGCCGTAGAGGAGTTTTTTTACCGACATTTTATCTGTGCGGGTCCGTCTGCCTCAGAGAGCACCAGCTGGGAGAGCTGTGCTTTAAAATGTAGCGCGAGGCGCGCAACGCTTTGCGCAGCGATGTGCTGTCGACAGACAGCTCTCGACGAGCAGTTTTATGCGCCGCGAACAGCCCCTGCGGCCAAGTTTTAGAAGAAAAAAGCCGAGTGCTGCAAAACCCGCACGTAAAAGCAGGAAAGCGTGCGTTTCCTGTTGGAGAGTTCTGCGCCTACTTCTCTGGAGCCACGAGGAGGGGCAAGAGTCCCCTCGTGAAATCAACCTAGAGTGTCTTTGCGGCGCAAACACCGTACAAAAGCGCTGCTGTAGCTCGGGGAGGACCGCTCAAATTTAGGCCGTACACTGCCGTTGTGGCCCGAACCATCATTGCTCCCGGTACCGACGTTGGTTTCTAAGCAGATCGACGCGCACGGCGAGATAACAGGCGTGGTGCCGACAGCAACGCTGCCACGCTACGCGCGCGCACGTGACAAAGCAGTGCTTTGACCGCCGCCAGACACGCCATCAACGCGAAACAACGACACCATGGCCTCGCAAGCCACCGCCGGCTTCCAGCTCAAGCGCCTCCGCGGCCTGCTGGAAAAGAAGGGCTCGGACGGCACGTGGCGCACGCAGTACTTCACGGCGCACAAGTCGAAACTCTACTACGTGGACCCCGGCGCCGATCCGGCGTCGGCGCCCCCTAGAGCGGCGATGGACCTGCTCGAGGGCCTCCAGAAGATCGAGCGGCGGGGCGAGAAGCTCGTGCTCTGGGTCGATGCGAAAAGGAGGCACCAACTCAGGGCCGTCGCGAACCCGCGCAAGCAGGACGGGCCCCAGCCGTCGCTGGACGACTGGGAGTTATCACTGAGAGAGAGGAGGTTGGTAGCAAAGGCGCGCCGCGACGAGAAGGCGCGCTCGCCGCGGCGGCGCTCGTCCGCAGAGACGCCGCCGACGCCGCAACGGAGGCAACCGCCGGCGCGCCAGTTCTCCGAGGCGCCGCCGAGCCGACGCCCCTCAGCCGAGCCGAGCCGGTCGCCGCCGCCAGCCGAGCGCAAGCCGACGCCCGCCGAGCAGGCGTCCTGGGACGCCTTCGTTGCACGCCAGGCGGCCGAGACGCCCCCTTATCAGTCGCCGCGGACGACGCCGCTCGCGGCGCGCCGCGAGGTCGCCGTCATGAGCGCGCCGCCTCCTCCTATGGAAGCGGCGCCGGCGCACCACCACCATCACTCGCAATCGCCGCGGCCGCGCGTCGGCGCCGGCGCGCCGCTCCAGGCTCTCGTAAGAGCGTCGTCGCCGCCGCGGTCGCGCGACGAGAGTGCTCTGGATGAGTTTCTCGCGAGCGACGTCGAGCTGCTGTCGACGCCGCAGCTCGAGCGGGGCTTGCGAGCCGCGGGCTGCCGGGCGATCCCGCCCGACGACCTGAGCTTGAGGCAGCGCGCGCGCGAGCTCCAGGCGTCTTTATTAGGACAGCCGCCGCCGCCGGCCGTGACGCCGCGCTACGCCGAGCCGCCGCCGCCGACGCCGCCTTTGTCAAGGTATTCCTCGCCGGCCATCTCGAACAGTTCGTTTCAGTACGGCACGCCGCGCGGCTCGAGCGCGCGCGTCGACGTGGCGCGGTCGGCGTATGACGTGGATGATGATGATGTGGATGATGACCGGGCCGCACGGGCCAAGATCATCGCCTTCTACCGGGAACACAACCCGAGCAAGGTCCAGGACGTCGACGCCTTGATCGCCAAGTACCGCGACGTCGGCGTCGGCGCGTCGGAGCTCCTCATCGCCGTCCAGAAGAAGTACGCCCGCGACCAGCCCCAGCGGCGCGCGAACCAGTTCTCCGTTTGATTGGGTTTTCCGGGGAACCTGTTATGTGTAAGATGCATATTATAGAATGAGAATTCTCTCAGGCTCAGGCTCTCGACCTAGCGGCATGTAAGACACTCTAGAGCAAGCATACGGAGAGCTACTACTACGCAGGCAGTACTCGCGAGTAATCTAGCTACAGGGCGATCCAGCCAGCTCAGATCACGCATTTGATCTACCGTTCGAGCGCTGTAGGGGTTCGCCAGCCAAACGTTGCACAAAAGGCATCCATCCTACAGCAGCACTCTTCATCAAGCAATCGCAGCGGTGCCGCTTGAGCACTGCAGAACCTCATTACGCCATCGCAGCGGTGCCAAACAGTTAACATGTACACCGCACTCCTCGCATTCACCACAGTAACGGCGCTGCAGCACCCATTACCCACGAGACGACAAACAAAACTGCGCGCCGGCTTCGGCGCGCCGAAGCCCAAGCCGCCCCCGAAGAAGGAGTACTCCAAGAAAGCTCTCGAGAAATCCCACGAGCGCTTCGATGAATTGAAAGCAAGGGAACGGGGCACCTTCGTCGTGGACGTCTACTGCGGCGTCCGCGACGCGTCGAAGTTGTGGTTCGTCGGGAAAATCGGCCACGACCTCGCGACGCCGCCGGAAAGCGCCCTTACAGCTCTGAGTCACCTCCTGGAGCCGCATGCCAAATTCCTGCAGCCCGTCCTCGAGAACCGCGACCTGGTCTGGGGTCTGGCGCGGGGCAACTCGGAGGTCGAGGTGGCCAAGGGCGAGGCGCCTTTGGAGCTCGTGGAACCGGCGCGAGCGAAGCCGAACCACAAGCCGGGCTTCGCGCCCGAGTGGTACGAGCCCGGCGAGGAGGGGTTCTACGTAAGACGTGACTAGGTCTGTGAATTACTACGTCTGATAAACGTGTGGTGCCCCGCGTGGAGCCGCTTCTGGTACTCGGCGGCCGTCAGGAACCCGCGCATGTGCGCGTCTTCGATCGTCATCTCCTCGTCGTCGTCGTCCTCCTCTTCGACAGCTTCCGGCGACGTCGGCATCGTCGGCCGGAAGCGTGAATGTTCAACAGGTTCCTCGGACTCCCAGGTCGTCGTGTACTCGCCATCCGATTTGGGCGTGCACTCCTCGTCGTCGCTGTCGAGGCCGTTGACCAGTTGGTTAAACTCCGCCTCTTCGGCTTCCAGAAGCTGCGGCCGTTCAATCCTCCTCTTTAACAAGACAGATCCTTCCGCCGGCGCCGCTTCCAGGCGGTCCAAGATAGATTTTGAGCGCGCGTACGGATTTTGGGACGGCCGCGGCTGGACCCTTCTAGCGTAGGGCGCCGGTTGTTGCGAGAATCTATTTGGCGTGTCCGGCGTGAGTGGAGAGTCGACGCGATCCAGAAAGAAGGGCAATTCCAGCACGTCGCGCGCGAAGGGCCGCTTGTCGGGGTCGGGGTCGCAGCATCTCAAAATAGCCTCCCTCAATTCTGACGACAAATGGGTATAATGATCGAGCGGCGGCGCACTCTTCGCCGCGACGACGTGCAACAACAACTGGGGCACGCCCTGGAAAGACAAGCACTTCCAGGGCGGCTCGCCCGTCGCCATCTGGATCAAGAGCCCACCAAGCGACCAGACGTCGGTCTTGCGCCCGTACGTCTCGCCGGTCATGACCTCCGGCGCCATGAAGTAGGGCGTGCCGCACAACGCCTTGATGTTGTTGTCCTGCGTTTCTCCCGCCATCATGACGCTCGTGCCGAAGTCGGCCAATTTCACGTCGCCCTTGTCCGTGATGAGGACGTTGCCGCCCTTGACGTCGCGGTGGATGATGTTGTTCCGATGTAAATAGTCCAGGGCCTCCAAGGTATGCGACGCATACCTTTTGACGATCACTTCCGACAGTCGCCCGTACTTTCGTAATAGAGCATCCACAGAACCCCCAGGCACCCACTCCTGGTAGATCCGCAAGACACCGAGTTCCTCGTCATGTTTCGCTCCCAGATACAAGACGATGTTTGGGTGGGACAACTGAGCCATGAGCTGGATCTCTTGGATTAATTTCGGGATGTTCTTGTCACCCAAAGCTACTGTAGTTTCCTTGATGGCGACCAAGGATCCGGTCTGCTCGCAGAGGCCCTGGTAGACGGTCCCAAAGGCGCCGCTGCCGATCTTCTCGCCCTTTTTGTACGAGAACTTCGGGTTCGAGTGCGTCGAGAGCGCGGAGGCCAAGGAGGTCGACGACTCGTTGCCCGGCGTGGCGCTCCTCAAACTCCGGTGGGACGGCGACTCCGTCGTGTTCGAGCGCAGGCGCTGGTAGGGGTTCGGCCGGGCCGGCTTCGTGTTGGTGTCGGCGGCGAAGTGGGCCATGCCTCCGCCGGAGGAAGCCACGCCGGGGCCGCAGTGGGCCGAGCGGAGGCGGGCGAGCAGCCGGAGCGACTACGGGGCAGCGGAAGTGGGCAGCAGAGGTGGGCCGAGCGACGCCGCCGGCGGGCAGCGCTGTTCCTCTCCGACTCGGTGCGTCCCGGGCACTCCTTCCTGCAAGCCGCGCGCCGGGGTGCCCGCAACGGACGTACTTTTGCCAGCCGAATTGGCAGGCCACTCTGCCCAAAAATGCCTGCGGCACCGGCGAGCCGGCCGCGAGATACCGCAGGTTGGTTTGGGGCGCGGCGGAGGCGTCGCGTAGGGGTGGCGGCGGCGACGGCTCCTTCGTCGCTTTTCGAGGGGCAGCCCACCGCGCGCGGTCGGCCTTTAACTAAGTTGGACGGCGTTCGGCGGCTTGCCCGACCCGCGGCGAGCCCTTGCCACGTCAACCACGTTGCTGGCATCGCTCGGTAATGTATATGTCATTAGCTAGTAAGAAAGAAGCTACTAGATTTGATTTGGCTCGGTTCACGGAGGGTTTAATCGCACTCTACCGCGTCGGTACCTCAACCAATTAACACAACGAATTGCGAGTGGTTTCTGTTGTGACTCGACACGAGCTGTGCACAAAAATCGCGGCTCTTGCGCATTCGCACAGCCCGATTTTAGCCTGCTCCAGCTGACCAGCTGCCTGCGGTCGCGGCTGGCGCACGGCGCGTCCGGCTGGCTCGGCGCCCGTGTTCCATCGCGGTGCCGCCGCATGGCTGCGCTGGGGCCGCGAAACGGTCCGAGCCGGCTCTTGACACACCCGCATCCGACTCGAGACCTCCGAGAACGCCGCCCCAAAACCACTCGCCACGACGTCGCCGCGCCGCACCCGCCTCACCCTCCCCCGTCAAACACAGGTCACGATGCAGAAGCTCATCGCCGCCCTCGCGCTCAGCGGCGCCGCGGGCCTCGTGGCGCCGTCGGCGCCGGCGCCGAAGGCCGCGCCCCGGCAGGCGCTCGCGGACCTCAAGGAGGGCGCGTCGAACCCCTTCCCCGACGGCTGGGACCCCGCCGGCCTCGCGGACCTCGGCACGCCGGCGACGCTCGCGTGGTTCCGCGCCGCCGAGATCAAGCACTCGCGCGTTGCCATGGCGGCCACGGTCGGCTGGATCATCAACGAGGCGGGCATCACCTTCGACGGCGACATCGCCTCGGGCGTGTCCTTTGCGTCGCTCGGCAAGGGCGTCCAGGCGTGGGAGAACGTGCCCGACGCGGGCAAGCTCCAGATCCTCCTCGCGGCCGGCGCGATCGAGACGGCCTCCGAGTTCCAGTCGCCGCACTACATGAAGGGCGGCAAGCTCGGCTCGATCCCGGGCCCCTTCGGCCTGCGCCTCTGGGACCCCGTCGGCCTCATGGGCGGCCTCTCCGAGGAGGTCAAGGCGAACAAGCGCCAGATGGAGCTCAACAACGGCCGGCTGGCCATGATCGGCGCGGCCTCGATGTTCGCGGCGTCGTACGTCGACGGCTCCGTGCCGGCGCTGCCCGACTCATGGTAGAAAGCTTGTGGTTTGGGGCGCGCGGCGGCGCCGAGGGTGGGGCTTGTGCGGGCGCGGTGGCGGCGGCGGGCGCCCTAGGATCTTTATAGAATTCCGTTCCTGGTAGCTCCTCCTTCTCAGCACCGCTGGCTGATTTCTATATCACGTGAAAAGGCTAGCTGTGAGACACTAGCAAGTAGCAGTGGCTTGATGAGCGCCGTCCTACGTACGCGCTCGCTGCAACCTCGTTAACACACGTGGGAAGGAGCCCTTTCCAGCTCCGGCGTCGCGCGATAGGACGAACCGCGCGTCACACCGCGGACCGCCTCTCCGGCTGCTCCACTGCTACCCAGTGCGTTAACATGGCGCGCTGGGCGGCAGCAGTCCTCGCACTAGTCGGCGCGACGGCCCTCAGCGTGCGGCCCGTGCGGCCCGTGACGCCGCGCCGCACCATCACCTGCGTCGCGCCCGGCAAGGTCGAGCTCAAGCAAAAGGTCTCGCTCAAGACGACGGCGAACCCCGGCGGCGGCGGCACGGACGACGGCGAGCGCGAGCGCGAATTCGAAAGAAAGAACGTCGAGGACCTCGAAGATCCGAAGATGTTCAACGTCATCTTGCTGGGCGACGAGCTGTGTGGAAATCAACCAGTGCGTCGGGTGCACCCGACAATTCTTCATTAAGTCATTTCTCGGCGATGACGCGGCCGTCCTGGCTCGGTCGAGCGGCGAGGAACCGGCATCGCCACGCCATCGAGCAGGCATCGCGTCGATGGCGTGGAGGTCGACGCGACGATTCAGCACGAACGCGCCGTAACATTTTGATTTCCACACAGGCGACGAGGACTACACGCAGGAGCACATCTGCAAGGCCCTATTGGACGTCGTCGAGGACGTCCAGATCAAGCAGGCCGAGGAGATCTTCCTCGAGGCCCAGAAGGGCGGCCAGGCGAACGTCTGCACGACGTCCCAGGAGCTCGCGGAGCACTACGTCCAGCAGCTCGCGCGCAAGGACCCGATGATCTTCTGCGAGATGAAGGAGACGTAGGTCCGTCCCCCGCCCCCCCTGTACTAGAGAATTGATTGGCATGCTCGCGCCGCCCGGACGGACCATGTTGTGGTGGCTAGGCGGCCGAGCTCTAAGCACAGCAAAACTTGAAATGGGATTTTACGCACCGGGCGTTGGGGGTAGAAAGCAAAAGCGGGGCGAAAGAAAAGCCTCAGTAGCCGACCTGGAACTGGCTCCCAGGTCCTGCCCCGGCGGGGACGACGATCTGTACGATCTGGCCGGTCGGCGTTCTGATTTGCAGTGGCATGCCCGGGCCGCAGCCGGGCGGAACCTGGATCATCACCGTCCGCTGCGGTTGCGTCTCCGCCGGCTGGGTTTGTGGCTGTTGGGGTGCTGCCGCCGCCGCCTGCGACGCCTGCTGCTCTTGCGCGCGACGCCGCTCCTGCTCCTGCTGCTCTTGCGCGCGACGCCGCTCCTGCTCCTGCTGCTCTTGCGCGCGACGCCGCTCCTGCTCGAGAGACTGCTCGGAGAGCGCCATAGCTTCTTGCAATTGCCGCGTCTCCTCGTCCACGGCCGCCGCCGCGGGCTGTTCCTCGACCGGCCGTCGTCGCGCAGGAGTATCGGGGCCGCCCCGCAGCGCGGCCTTGATGTCGGCGAAGCAGGGTCGAGCGTCGGGCTCGGGCGCCCAGCAGCGTTCCATGAGCGCTACCAGGTCCGCGGGCGCATCGCCATCAATCTTCGGGCGGTCCTTCTGAATGCACACCTGCATCATGATTTGCATCTGATTGAGGCCGCGCCATGGCATATCTCCGGTCAGTACCTCGAAGACGATCATGCCGTAGGCGTACACGTCGCCCTTTTCTGTGAAGATGTTGTGCTGGAGGAGCTCGGGCGCCATGTACGCAGGCGTGCCCTTGGCGTCGCCCCCGGCCGTCGCCTGCGTCGCCGCCGTGGCCAGCGACTCGGACTTGCTCAAACCGAAGTCCGTTACCTTGCAGCGCCGGTCGCCGTCGAGGAGGATGTTTAACGTCTTGAGGTCGCGATGCTCCACGCCCTTGGAGTAGAGGTATGCCATGCCCAGCGAGATGTCCGATAGCCAGCGCCTCCGCTGCGCTTCGTCAATACTTGCCGCGTCGTCGGCGTCGAGCGCCTCGCGCAGGTCACCGCCGCCGCAGTACTCGACGACCAAGCCCAGCCAACTCGAGTCCGTCGTCACCACCTGTGTGGAAATCAAAATTTTACGGCACGTTCGTGCTGAATCTTCGCGTCGTCCTCCACGCCATCGCGCGCCGCCTGCTCGATGGCGTGGCGATGCCGGTTCCTCATCGCTCGACGGGGCCAGCACGGCCGCGTCATGACTGAGAAATGACTTAGTGAAGAATTATCGGTGCACCCGACACACTGGTTGATTTCCACACAGGTCACCACCCCATACACGGAAACAATGCGCGGGCTCCGAAGCTTGACCATGATGGCCAGCTCCGTCGCAAAGTCCTTCATCATCTTGTTCCGCTTCGTCGCCGTGATGCCGACGAGACCTGCAGGCGCCGATGGAAATCAAAATTTTACGGCGCGTTCGTGCTGAACCATCGCGTCGTCCTCCACGCCATCGACGCGATGTCTGCTCGATGGCGTGGCGATGCCGGTTCCTCACCGCTCGACCGAGCCAGGACGGCCGCGTCATCGCCGAGAAATGACTTAGTGAAGAATTGTCGGGTGCACCCGACACACTGGTTGATTTCCACACAGGACGAGACTCATCTTCTTCAGCGCGACCACGTCGCCTTGGTACGAAGCCTTGTGAACGGCGCCCTGCGAGCCCTTCGCGATGGGCTTCTCTTCGACCGAGTCCAACTCGATCTCCAGCTCCTCGAGCGCCCTATCTTTATCCTGGCGCGCCAGCGCGCGGCCTCGCAGCTTCGAGTTCTTCGTCGCCACCAATTCCTTGATCTCGTCGAGCGACTCCTGCTGCTTCGTGTTCTGGTCCATGACCGTGCTCACGTCCTCGGCGATCCGGTCCAGCTTCAGGCCGAGCGCCGAGAGCTCCTCGTGCTCGACGGCGCTGCCCTTCGGGATGCCGCACAGGATCGCCGCCCGCTGGGCCGCCGCCTGATTGTTCGCATTGACCGTCTGCTGGCCGAGGAGTTGGATCAAGCCTTCGATCTTCTCGAATCGCTGCGCCTGCAGCGCGAGCTGCTGGAGGTCCAACGCCGAGCCGAGCTCCGTGCTGAGCTCGCAGAGCCGCTTGTCGAGGAGACCGAAGCGCCGCGCGTCGAGCGTGCCGGAGCAGAGCTTCGAGAACGCGCCCTTCTTCGAGAACTGCTGGAGAAACTTCGCCGCCTCGTCGAGCGCCTGGCCGATGGCCGTCACCGTCCGAGCGACGGCCTCGACCTGTCCCGTCGGCAGGCCCTGCGTCGCTTTGACGACGTCCTGGAGCTTCTGGGCGATCTCCGTTCCGCGCCGCTGCAGCAGCTCCGCGGCCTCCTTGTTGAAGCGCACCTGGCGCACCGCGAGGCCCAGTTCGGCTAAGGCGTGCGTCAACGGCATCAGACACATGTTGAGCGGCGGCGGCGCAGCCGCGGGAAGCGCCGATAGAATTCCAGAGAGCGGTCCGAGGACGTCGGTCTGCGACGCCGTGAGCGCGGCTCCTCCGGCGCCGGCCGCGGCGCCGACGGCCACCGCGGCCTTCGTGGACGACGATGGCTTCGTTGCGGGCGCGACCTTCGTGCCTCCCGTACCCCTTTTCTTCTTCTTCCAGTATAGGTACGCAGCGACGCCAGCAAGGGCCAGCACGACGAAAACAAGGGCAATGACGACGCCGCCGCCGCCGTCGCCGCCGCCGCCACCGCCGCCGCCGCCGCCGCCACCACCACCACCGCCGCCGCCGCCACCGGGCGTTGTTGTTGGAGCCGCGGTCGGCCGTGACGTCGTAAAGGTAGCTGCCGGCGGCGGGAGGTCCACGACTGCCGCGGCCGCGAAGGCGCCGGCGGCGCCGACGGCGGCCGCGGCGGTCTGGACCTCGGCCCCGAGGGCCGCCGCGGCGCCCGGCTGCAGGACGGCCACCGCCGCGTTGGCCGCCGCCAAGCTGGCTTCCGCGCTCGTGTCGTACAGCACGACGTATTCGACGACGACGGTGTCCGCGAGCCGCCGCCGCGCCGCGGAGTCGGAGGAGACGACGACGCGGCTCGCCGGAATTACGAGGAAGGCGGCGATCGCGAGCTGGAAGACGCGCGCGTGGCTTGCGACGGTGGAGGCGGCGACGCCCTGGAGGCCGATCGTCCCCGCCACGCCGTGCGAGACCTCGGGCGTGGGGTACGGCACGAACTGCGTCGGACTCGGCGTGGGCGCGAGGGTCGTCGAGACGTAGACGGGCCCAAACGTGTCCGACTCCCTGCTACCGTCGATGCACGCGACCGCGATCCAATGCTTGGCGAAGCCCGCGGCGCCCGGGGCGGGCAGGACGACCGGGGCGGCGCCGTTGTTATCCCCGAATGCCACGTCCTGGAGCCACGACCCGTCCTCGTCGTGGAGCCGTATCACGACCTTCGCGCAGTCAGGCCCGCGCGAGGTCCACGCCACGTCGCAATCGGCGCCGGACTGGCAGAAGTTGGTGGTCCCCCCCACACTATCGACGCGCAGGAACGCCGCCGTCGGACTGAGTGAAGGCGCCAGTGACGGCGCCGCCGTCGTCGGCGCGGGCGTCGGTCCAACCGTCGGCGAGGACGAAGGGGCCGGCGTCGGCGGGGGAGGAGGCGGCACCCGGGCAAAGACGATGCTCGCGTGGCCCGTGAAAGACTCGGCGCCGCATCCTTCTCCCGCGCCGGTGCTCGCCTCGTTGTTCCAGTAGCCGATTTCCACCTGCGTCCTCATACTGTAGAGGCTGATGCCATACCCGTTCACGTGCCACGGGAGGTCATCGTAAGTGACCATTCCACGAACTGATCCGCAACTTTGCCCGGCCCACCCCTGGCCCGGCAGCACGTCGTTGCCGTCCGCGTCGCGAAAGCCACCGCCGTAGAAGATCTCCGGGTTTGAGAAGAATGCCGGAGAGGAGCCGCCGTCGTCCTCTCCGAGGCCGTTCGGAAATCCGCAGGCGCCGCTCACCAACGCCACGATCTTTTGATTGTCGGTCAAGTCGTAGCCGCCGGCTCCCGGGCACCACTCGCGCCACCGCTCCTCAACGACGGGGTTGAGCGTCGGTTTCACGCACGACGCGACGCACAGCGGCGTCACGACGGCGCAGATCTCAACGTCGCCCATCAGATTCGTCGCTGCGAGCGCCGCCATCCCCACGAACTTCGACGTGAAGCGGCCGTTATAGACAGAGAAGCCGTCCTGGATCGACCCGACGTCGTTCGGCAGGTCGTCTGCGCCCGGATCGTCCTGGTAGTAGAACGGGTACTGGTACGCGGACTCGTCGTACCAGGCGGGGCACGTCGCGGGGAAGGCCTCGGGTGTGGGGAGAGGCATAGTCGGGCGCTGCGTCGGCTTGGGTGTGGGGTAGACGCAGTAGCCCGCGGAGGTGCCGCCGCAGCCCACCCGCCCACCGCCGGCGCACTCCGCGCACGCCCAGCACCCGTTGCAGGTGTTGCAGTCCGCGTTGCAGCCCGTGGTACACGTCGTCGTGCCCCATTCGGTCGTGCAGCCCGTGTCGCAGCCCGCGTTGCAGGCCGAGGCGCTGTACCTGCCGGATGCGCTGTAATAGCCGCCGGGGCACGCCGTGCCGGCGCCGTCCTGCGTGCACGTGACGAGGCGGCGGCGGCCGCGCTCCGTCAGCTCGCCGAGGCCGATGGTCAGGTGCACGGCCGCGGCGTCGACCGCGACGGCGCCGTGCACGACGCCGCGCGGCAGGAACAGCGCGTCGCCGGGCTCCAGCACGACCGTCTCGCAGGCGAGGTCGTCGAGGGCGGCGTCGGCGTACGTCGCGCACTTCGCTTCGCGCTTCGCGCGGCAGTGGCGCCACTCCTTGGCCCCGCTGAGCTGGAGCACGAGGACGTCCGTCGTGTCCGTGTGGTTGCGCAGCGCCGAGGCGCCCCTCCGGGACGCGTAGACGTGCGCCGTGTGTCCGTCGGCCAGGGGAAAGGGCGCTAACGCCGCTTCGTACATGGTGCCCCGCGCGTCGAAGTCGAGGTGTTCGAGCCGGAGCACCGCCGACTCGACGTCGGCCCACCGCCCCAGGAGCTCTTCCGCGTCGCGGGGCGGGGGCGCGGCCGCGGTCGCGGCGCGCGCCGTCAGCGCGCCGTCGTACCCGACGAACGGGCCGAACGCCGCCTCGGCCGACGCGTCGAGCGGCGCCGCCGCCGCGCGCCAGACCGTCGCCGTCGTTTGGTCGAGCATCGCCGCGACCGGCGCCGGCCACGCGTAAGCGCCCGGCGGCGCGGCCGCCGCCGCGGGCGGCGACACCGGGTGGCGGTAGAGCGCCACGCACCCGTTTCCGTCGACCTGCACGTTCGACAGCGCGTGCCCGACGCTCGCGGAGGCGGCGGCCTGTGTGGAAATCAAAATTTTACGGCGCGTTCGTGCAGAATCGTCTCGTCGCCCTCCACGCCATCGACGCGACGCCTGCTCGAAGTGCACCCGACGCACTGGTTGATTTCCACACAGGCGGCGGCCCATCGCGCCGCCGCCGTCGCGTTCGCGCCGGCGGCCGCGAGGACGGGCGCCAGCGTCTCCGCGGCCGGCGGCCGCGCGAAGTCCATGCCGACCCGGGCGCGGTCCGCGCGCGCCGCCGGCGCCGAGGCGTTCGCGTGGGCGAAGAAGCCTGTCGCGGCCACCTGTGTGGAAATCAACCAGTGCGTCGGGTGCACCCGACAATTCTTCACTAAGTCATGTCTCGGCGATGACGCGGCCGTGCTGGCTCCGTCGAGCGGCAAGGAACCGGCATCGCCACGCCATCGAGCAGGCGTCCCATCGATGGCGTGGAGGTCGACGCGGCGGTTCAGCACGAACGCGCCGTAGAATTTTGATTTCCACACAGGCGGCCACGTCCTCGACCGCGGCGCCGGTCGCGTCCCTCGCGGCCTCGAGCGCCCCCGCGAGCCGGGCGTCGGCGACGGCGCGCAGGCGGTCGCGGTCCGGCCGCGGCGCGCCGGCCGCACCGGCCTGGACGGCGTACTGGCGCAGCGCCGTCGCGTCGCTGCCGACGCGCCACTCGAGCGCGAGCGTGCGCGACCCCTGCGCTACAACCGGCGGCATCGCCTGCGTCGCGGGCAGCGGCGGCAGGGGCGCCCCGGGCCGGGCCTGGACGTAGAGCTTGGCCGCGGCCGCGTCCCGGTCGACGCCGAAGCCAAAGATCGGCGGCGACGCCGCCAGGATCGCCTCCAACCAGTCGTGGACGAGCGGCGGCGCCTCCAGGGCCGCGGCCGTGCGCTCGGCCGCGCGGCGCTGCGCGGCCCGCGGCACGCGACGGAGGGGCGGGCCCCCGTCGCGCGGCGGCTGCGGCTCGAGGGCGACGTGGTAGCGCGCCGTGTGGTCCCGCCCCGGGCAGAACTTGGCCGACACGCCGAGGGCGGCGGCCGGCGGCGCGCTGCCGTGCAGCGCGGCCAGCTCGCGGAAGGGTGCGCCCCAGATCGCCTCCGTGGCGTCGATGCCCGTCGCGCGGCGCAGCGCCGCCGGGCGGTCGGCGCCCCAGATCCCCTCCGTGGCGTCGATGCCCGTCGCGCGGCGCAGCGCCGCCGGGCGATCGCCCGCCGCCCGCCCGGCGAGGACGGCGAACAGGGGGAGCGACCGCATCACTGTGCCGATCCCAGGAGGCCTGCCTCGTGGCGCTGCCCCCGGCCTCGTGCGGGTGGCTGTGAAATGGGGGCTGGCGTGCCCCAACCCCGCAGCAATACAAGCTCGTAGGTCGACCCTGCGTTAATCTAGCAGCGCTGCACCTGGGCATGAGCCATCATCGCGCGCGCACCCCCCGAGATACTTGCCAGGTAATTGCGGCGCAGGGATCTCCGTGCGGCCTAGACTAGACGTCTCAGGACACCTCCCGGGTCTTCGGCTTTATAGTGCGGGTTTTCTCTCTCTGGTCCATCGGGATGGTCGCGCCCGCCCCAACACTCCAGAGCTCGCGGGTTTCCACGTCGACCGCCTAAGCCCCAACACTGGACTATGTCGTTAGGCCGAACCAAGCAGCAAGCAGCGACCTAGAAGAAGCCCCAGAGGTACCGGTCCAGCGCGAGGCCGTTCCACCGCCGCGACACGAGGCACGCCCCGTAGAGGTCCTCGGACGGCAGCGCGTCGAAGGCCCGCAGGACCGCCGGCCGGGCCAGGCCCAGCGCGCCCGGGCCCGCCTCGAGCGCGGCCTGGCGCTGGACGAAGGCCGCGTGCGCGTCGGCGGCGAAGGCCTTCTTCGCCGCGGCGACGGCGCCGGTGGCGCTCCGCAGCGCGGCCTGGGCCTCGGACGCCTGGCGCTGGGCCGGCGTCTTGGCCTTCTTCTTTTTGGGGAGGGGGTCGTGCGCCGCGGCCGCGGTCAGCGCTTCCGCGGCCGAGCGCTTGGCCCGCACGACGGCGCGCGCCGCGGCGAGTCTGGACGCCTGCTCGTTCGTCGGTAGCGGCGGCAGGGCCTGGTCCGGCGTGACGGTCACGCGCGCGGGCTTTTGCGCCGACGACGTCGAGACCCTTCTAGATTTCGAGCCGCGGCCGCGCGACGCCCGCGCCGCGGCCAGCTCCTCGCTCCCGGGGTAGTTCTGGCAGTTCTCGCAGCGGCACGACGCCTCGCAGAGCTCGCCCCGTTCGAAGCACTCGCAGTACTTCTTGAGGCATCTGGATTTTTTGCAGAAGCAGCCGCTCTCCTGCCGCTGCTTCGACTGGGGCTTGCGCTTCTGGGCCGAATGTCTGATGACCTCGGGCGCGGCCTCGACGTCCGTGTGGCGCACGCGGCCGCGCGGGTCCGACGCCGGGTACGGGCTCACGGGCAGCGGCTCGTCCGTCTTGTTGAGGCAGTCGAGGCAGTTGCAGTCCCGGCAGAAGACGCCGGCGGCGTAGCACTCGCAGTACAGTTTGAGGCACTTCGACTTCTTGCAGTTGCACGGCTTGAAGGACGTCGAGGCCAACGCCTTGCCCTCCCTTCCTCTTTTCCGCCGCGACTGCGGCTGCATGTTCGGCGAGGGCGTCGACTGGACGGGCGGCCCCAGTTGTTGAACGCCGCCGGGCGTCGGCGGCATGACTTGTTTGGCAGCGCCGCGCGAGGGGCGCCGGTAGCCGCGCGCGCGGAAGGACGACGGCACGGGCGGCGCGTCGCCCGACCGGACGGGCGACCGCGCGACGCGCGCCGGCGACGCCGCCACCTCCATGAGCGTCCGCGCCGCCGTGTGGTCTAATAACAATTCGTCGTCGACGCGCCGCGGTTGCACGGGCAGTAAATCGGTCATCGTCGCCTCCGACGACGGCGCCCGTCGCGACGAGTGGGGCGGGCTCCGCGCGTCGAGCGGAGACAGGCAGAAGTCCAATCTCAAATCGTCGCGCTGTCTCCCGGGCGTCCGGACGTGCTTCGGCGGCGTCCGCCGCTTGGGCTCGCCGCGCGTCGGCGTCGGCGTGCCTCGCGCCAAGAGCCCGGCCCAGTCGACGCCGCCCGGCGTCGCCGGGCCCGAGCCGCCGCAGAACGAGACGGCCGCGGCGAGGCCGGCGAACGGGCTGTCGCCCTCGGTTTTCGTGCGCGGGCCGCCGCGCTTGGGCGGCGGCGACGCGGCGGCCTCGGCGATGGCCTCGAGGGGCCGGCGCGGCGAGGCGAACTTGATGTAGCCGTCCTTGGCGAACTGGCTGGACGGGTCCGCGTCGTCGCCGGCTTGCGGCGGCGCCGCGGCGGGCTCCGGTTTGACGTCCGGCGCGCCGGCGGGGCGGCGGGCGGGGTCCATGAGCTGTATGCGCCGCGCGCCGCGCCTAGGGGCTGGGCTGGGCTCTCGCGCCAAGGCGCCAAAATCGACTAAAACGCCGCTGGCGTCCGCGTTTTTTGGCTGGTCGCTTGCAAATCGCTGGCGACGGGCCTCGGTCCGCTCGTGGGGCTGATCTGGGCTCTTGGGCGGGCGTGCGATGGCGTTTTTTGGGGCTGAGATGCCACACTTTCAATTTTCTAGTAGGTTGCGGGAGAATTCAGATACGAGAAGCGTGAATGGTCGCCTCGCATGTAAGGCACGGCTCGCTTCCCTCTCCGTTCGCCGCGCAGTGCGAGAGTCAACCCGCGCGCGTCGACGGTACGGTGCGCGCTGCTGTCTTGTCCCGTCCGCGTAGCACGCCGACGCCAACTACCAGTCGTCAGTCGAACCTTGCAAGTCGCACCCGCGCCACCGACGGCCAAAAAATCTAAACAAACCGCGTTATGCAAAGCTAGCGGCCTGTAACACACTAGGCATCCGGCTTCGGGCGTGCGCAAAGGATGCCTGCAGAGGCATTCGCGGTGGCTGGGCAGCCGTGCTTACAGGAAGAAGTTGTACAACCTAACAGGTTGTGGCACCGGGCGGCAGCCCTAATTCATGAGTCGATGGGTCCTATTGCTCCTAAGCACCCGGTGCCGCGCGCGCTACTGGAACGAGAGCCTGGTCGACGGCCTCGGCCGCTTCTGCGCCGAGACCTTCGACGAGGCGCGCTTCGTCGATCGCACGCGGCTGTCGCCCCTCGGACCCCGGACGGGCGTCTTCCTGACCGTCGACGCGGCCACGGACGCGCAGACGCAACGGCGCGTGGTCCTGAAGCGGGCCCCCGGTGGCATGGCGATTCATCTCGCGAACGACCTCCTCCCGAACCTGCTGAACGTGTCCGGCGCGCACGTGATGACCGCGACGGCGTGCTTCGACGGCGGTGCGACCCGCGTCGCGACCTACGAGCGCATGGACGGTTCGCTGGTCCAGCTCCTCCTGGCCACGAACGGCACCGACCCGCTCAGGTTCGTGCCGCCGCGCCGCGACCGGGCGTGCTTCGCTCTGACGGCGGTGCACCAGATGCTGCGGGGCCTGGCGGCGGCGCACGCCGTCGGCATCGTAAACCAGGACGTCCACGCCGGCAACCTGCTGTACAAGGGCGCGGGGCCGGCCATGCGGTGGAAGGTCTCGGACTTCGGGCGGGCCTGCCTGGCCGGCGCGCGGCCGGGAACGGGGGGGTGCCTGGCGACCGCGGGCGCGCTGGCGGCGGCGCCGGAGGCGGGGCGCGTGGCCCTCACGCCCGCGAGCGACGTCTGGGGCGCGGGGCTCGTCTTCCTGCTCCTGCGGTGCGCGCACGGGCCCGACACCGCGCGCCGCCATGGCGTCGAGGAGCGACCGGATCGTCTCGCAGCTCGTTTCCGCGAGCTCGCGCAGCGGCTCAGGCGGCGCCGCGTCGGCGCCACGCTCGCCGCGGCGGCGCTCCCGGCCGAGGCGGCGCGGTGCCGGCTCCGCGCCGAGCCGGCGCGCGAGGGCGAGTTGCTGGAGGCGATGCTGGACCCGCGCTGGGAAAAACGGCCGACCGCGTCGTGGCTCGCGGGCGAATTCGCGGACCTGGTGCGGCGGCGGTGTGCTAGGAGTCGCCTCTAGGAGCCGTCTCCCCCGATTCCGCCGTCGCGTATATGTGAGACTGTACGAGGTAGCATCTAGGCAACGGGTCCGAGCCCGTCAGGCTCGGGCTCAGGCTCTTGGCGGCGCGGGGTCCCCCCGCTTGCAGGGGGTTTATTGCTCTCCGCGGTCTTGGCTCTTCGCGATGGACGTACTACCGCGCCCGATCGCTTCGCAGCAGCAAAATGCTAGCGTCCTGTAAGACACTAGCATATAATTTGCCTCCGAACGCACAAAGGAGCACAGAGGTGGCTGGCACTGGCTGCGTAAGGGTCGAGTAGGCCATCAACAAGGTGGCTGCGTAACAGGAAGCGACAAACAGACCAACAGCCGCAGCGCGCCCCCACCATAATGGCCGCCCGCCGCTGGCTCCTCCTCGCGGCCGGCGCAAGCGCGAGCATCCACGACCTGGTCGTGGACAAGGACCGGCGCGCGCTGTACCGCATCGAGTCCTTCTGCTTCGTCGAGGGCGGCGTGCTCGAGCTGGACGTGAGCGACTTCCGCGTCGACGGCCGCGGCGACCCGCGCGCGGGCTTCGCGATGCGGCGCGCGGCGTCGGAGTCCGCCGCGCAGCAGGAGCTCGAGGAGTCCCTGGAGGCCGAGGCCTGCATCCTGGACTGGACCGAGGGCGCGAGGGGCGACGGCGCCGTCTTCGAGATGGACCTGAGCGACCGGAGCAAGTGGGCGGACACGCAGACGCTGAAACACGTCGTGAAGGCGGGCGAGGAGGGTTTATATTCTCTCGTCTACGCGCGCTGCGCGCCCGACGAATCTAAAGATGGCGCGTCGTCCTTCCACCTCGAGGCCAAGTTCTACAACCCGGGGCCCTCTTATTTATCAGCGTGCGAGGCCGCCCTACCAAAAGTTTTTGCGGCCTTCGCGGGCCTCTTCGGGCTCTGCGCCTGCGTCTGGTGGTTCCTTTTGTGCAGGGGAGGCAAGGAGCGCGTGCACCGCGTGCATCCCCTCATGGGCGTATTACTCATCCTCAAGACGCTCACGCTCGCGGCGCGGGCCGCGCGCTACGCCGCTATTGATAGAACGGGCTCGGGCGGCGGCTGGGCCGACGCCTACTACGTCTTCGCGTCGCTCAAGGGCGTCATGCTGTTCGTGGTGCGCGCGCGGCGCGAGAGTCGCATCGTGGCGGCGCGTCCACGCCATCGACGCGACGCCCGCTCGGCGGGTGACGCACCGGTCGCCGCGCGCGCAGGTCATTTTGCTCGTGGGCACGGGCTGGTCGATCGTCAAGCCCTACCTGAGCGGCCGGGAGCGGCGCATCGTCGTCGTCGTCCTCGTCCTCCAGGTCGTCGACAACCTCGCGCTCGTCGTCTTCGAGGAGGCGGCGCCGGGGTCGCGCGCGTGGCTCACGTGGCGCGACGTGCTGCACCTCGTGGACATCGCCTGCTGCGTGGCCATCCTCATGCCCATCGTGTGGTCGATCCGGCACCTGCGCGAGGCGGCGGCGGCGGACGGCAAGGCCGCGGACACGGTCGGCAAGCTGACGCTCTTCCGCCAGTTCTACGTCATGGTCGTGGCCTACGTCTACTTCACGCGCATCGTCGTCTTCCTGCTGGCGGCGACGCTGCCCTTCGAGTTTTTGTGGCTGCGCTACGTCTTCGCCGAGGGCGCTACTTTATTATTCTACGCGGCGACGGGCTACAAGTTCCGGCCGCGCGAGGACAACCCGTACCTCGCCGTGCGCGCCGAGGAGCTCGAGGAGTTCGGCCTCGGCGGGGGCGACGCGGAGGAGCCGGGGAAGGAGGCGGCGCCGGCCTGACGCGCGCGTAAGAGGCTGGTGCGTAAAGACCCCACCCCTCTTTTACGTCGTCAAAGGGGTACCACCCCTCTCTCCTACGTCGTTCGGGTTACTACCCCTTTTTCCTCTCACTGGCAAAAAAGGCCCCGGGCCTTTGAGAAAACGGGTTTATCGAAAAGTGTGCGGGGTCTTTACCCGCCAGCGTAAGAGGTCGGCATCCAATACTAGCAGTATTTATGAAACACGAAAGAAAGGGGAAATGGGGTGCGCCGTCGGCCTCAGTCGGCCCGAGCGAGCGCGCAAGCAAAGGATTCTAAACGGGGGGGGGGGGATTGTACCTCATCAGACTTGGTCCTCGAGGTCCGGGGCTTGCCTCCGCGGCGCGCCCGAGGGCGGAAAGTGCGTCGCGGCCGCGTCTGTAGGCGTGACCATGGGCAGCACGCGCGGCGAGGCTTTCATCATACAGCGTTCCTCGCGGCGCGCGGTCGCCCAGCGGTCTGTCGTCAGCTCACCGTCCTCGACAGGCGCGACGGCGACGGCCACGGCAGAAATCTTGTTTCCTCGCCGCGTGCTCACGAGGTAGCCGCCGATGCCTGACAGGAGCATCAAAATAACAACTACCAACACCACAATGATGATGATAAGAGTGCCACCGCCCGAGTCGGAGCCCCCGCCGCCAGAGGCGGGGGCGGGGGCGGGGGCGGCGGCGGCACCGCCGTCGTCGGCAGCGCCGTCGTCGTCGCCGGCAGCGCCGCCAGGTGCCCCGCTCGAAGGTGTGGCCGTCGGCCGCGGGGACGGTTTTGGCGTCGGCCGCAGGGACGGCGCCGACGTGGGCCTCGGGCTCGGCGACGTAGTCGGCGCCGGCGTGGTGACGACGAAGACGACCGTGGCCGCCGCAATCGCCGCGTACGTCGCCGTCTCGTCCACGGTCACGGCGGCGAACGCGGAATCCGCGGCCTGCAGCGTGGTCAAGAAACTCCCGTCGTTAATTGCCAACGTCAGGGCGTCCATGGACTGTTCCAGCAATTCCGCCGAGACTTGTTCGCCGTTATCCGTGCCGTCGATGCGGGCGATGCCCGTGTACGAGATCGCGACGCCCGCGCCGTCGTCGAGGCGACGCCGCCCGGCGGCCTCAATGTCTATGATCTCGTCGAAGAGATCGTTGGCGCTGTCCATGATCGACTGCGCGAACGCCGCCTGCCTGCCGGTCTTGTCGGCGTTAAACAGGACGGGGTTGACGCCCTCGAGCGTCACCGACGAAGCGACCTGGACCAGCGTCTGAGCTTGCGTCGGCGCCGGCGTGGGGGCCGGCGTCGGCTGGTGCGTCGGCGACGGCGACGGCGGCTCGGTCGTCGGCATCGGCGTGGGAATGGGAGACGGCGCTCGCGTCGGTCGCGGCGTGGGCGTTGGTGTGGGCCGCTGCGTCGGAGCAAAGACCGGCGCCGCCGTGGGGTGCCCGGGCAGGGGCGTCGGCGCCGGGCTAGATCGCGGCGTCGGTCGCGGCGAGGGGCCCGGCGACGACGTCGTGGGGCTCGACGTCGGTGACGGTGTGGTCGGCGATGGCGTGGGATATCGGACGCTCACGACGACGTCCGCGTCCGGGGCGGTCGTCGAGGCGGCGAAGTCGGTCAGATGCGTACACGCGCACGTCACGCCGGACGCCGTGTTCGCGACGACAGAACAGCCGTCGGAGGACCAGCTTCTCGTCGCATTATCCCAGAACGAGCACGAAGCCGCCTTGGTGGGACAATTCACGGTGACGTCGCGCGGGTCTTCAGACCCGCCGCAGTCGAAGGTCGTGGGCACGTCACAGTTGAAGGTCAGGACCTGAGACTGATCCGAACACACGCCCGTGTCCGTGCCCGGGTCGTAGCCATCCTCGAGCGCCGGGTCGTAGTCGAACGGGATGTCGAACACGATGGGTTCGGCGAGGTTGTCAACCTTGACCGTGGTGCCTTCGCCGCCGAGCTCGATCTGCAGCAGGTCCGAGATGGTCCCGTCTACTTCCGATCCCAGCTGTCCGGCGTGAACACGAGCCGCTTCGTGTAGAACACATTCGTGTCGGCGCAGGCGAGCGACACGAAGACGTTGGCCGTCGGCGGCGCGAAGAGCGTGATCCAGTAGCCGTCGCTGAACGTCGGACCGTTGACGCCGGCCCCGACCGTCAATTGCTTGCCCGAGACCGTCGCGAACGCGACGTCGTCCTCTATCACCTGGCACGTCATCGTAGCCGAGCGAACGCTGTTATAATTAGCATCGTCCGAGCGCGCCACGAACCATACGGAGTAGTTGCGGTCGCCGGAGAGCACGGCGTCGTCGGCGACGCGGAACTCGTACGTCACGGCCGAGGCCCAGTCGGCAGGCTCGACCGTGCGGTTCCCTCCGTCGGCGCCGTCGACGGAGATGCTCGCAAACGCGTCGACGTCGCCCTTGACCTCAAGGTGCACGGCGGAAAACGGCCGGCTCGTCAGCGCTGCCGTGAAGACGAAGGCCGCGGCGTTCTCCTTTGCTTTCGCCGTGAGGGCCGCCGCGTCGGAGGTGACGGGGTCCGTCGTCGCCAGGAATTTGTTCACCGCGATCAGCGACTCGTCGACGTCCAGCACCGTCACGGCGAACGACCCGACAAAGTTTCGCTCGCGGCCGTAGATCGGATCGTCCGAGTCGAGGGAGACCGTGATGGTCTGCACGACGCTCTGGCCGTTATTGACGCGGTCCCGGAGCGCGCCGGCGGCGAGGGTAAGAATGGTGTCGCCAGCGGGGATACTTTCTGTGACGAAGGCTGTTCCGCGGTCGGAGACGAGCGCGTAGCCCGGGTTATCTGGGTCCTCGGCGTAGAAGCGGAGGGCGCCGCCGCCCTTCCTCCGCCTGCCGCGAAAACCTCCGCCGCCCTGCTCCCACGCGCTCAGCGACACGTGAACGGGCTCGGTCGCCGGGACCGTGAGGTTGACGACCAGGTGCTCTACCTTGAGAGCCGTCCCCGTAAAGGCCGCCTCGGCCAGCTCCGCGGGCGCCGTCGCCGAGAAGTCCGCGAGGCGGTAATTTATGGTCGTCGGCGCGAGCGACGGCACCGGCGACGGCACCGCAGTTGTCGGCGCGGGGCTCGGCGGAGACGTCGGCGAGGACGTTGGTGCCACCGTCGGCACGCGGCTCGGCGCGGGGCTCGGCGGTAACGTCGGCACGGACGTTGGCGCCGTCGTCGGCAGGCGGCTCGGCGCGGGGCTCGGCGGTAACGTCGGCACGGACGTTGGCGCCGTCGTCGGCAGGCGGCTCGGCGCGGGGCTCGGCGATGGCGTCGGCACGGACGTTGGCGCCGCCGTCGGCAGGGCCGTCGGACCGCAATAGATCGTGACGGTCTGGTCCTCGCCCGCCCCGTCCGCGCCGCACCGCAAGCTAGGTCCAGGCCCTCGATCACGACGGTGCCGCTAGTGCTGATGCAGAAGAGGCGTCGACCGTTCTGCCCGTCAAGGATCGCGCCCCTTGGGTTCAGCGCACGAACTGTGATGTCTTTGCTGATGGATAGAAAATTTGGGCTCTGTCCGCTGGTATACGTCCCGTCCGCGAGTACGATCTCGCTGCCATCGGGCGCCGAATCAAGCACAGTCTGCAGATTGTCACCTGGCGCCGCAAAATATTCAATCGTGGGCGACGGCGACGGCTCGCTTGGCGTCGGAAACGCGCTTGGCGTCGCCGTCGGCTCGGGCGTCGGCGGCGTCGTCGGCGTCGACGTCGGAACGCTCGTTGGGGTTTCGGTTTTGGGCTCGAGCGACGGCTGCGCGGTGGGCACTTTCGTCGGCGCTGACGTCGGCGACGTCGGCACGTGCGTCGGCGTCGACGTCGGCCGATTTGTCGCCGTCGTCGGCTCGCGAGACGGCATCGACGTCGGCGTCGACGTCGGGACTTTCGTCGGCGCTGACGTCGGCGACGTCGGCACGTGCGTCGGCGTCGACGTCGGCCGATTTGTCGCCGTCGTCGGCTCGCGAGACGGCATCGACGTCGGCACCGGCGTCGGGACTTTCGTCGGCGCCACCGTCGGCTGGAACGTGGGCGTTGGCGCCGACGTCGGCACGGACGTCGGCATGGCCGTCGGCATAGGCGTGTCCTCGACCCGGCACCAGCACAGAGTGTGGGACGGATACGTCAAACCCGAATCACGAATGCCCTGATCGCACGAGAGCTCGTACTCCTCGTGGACGTCCGACCCGCAGTGATCGTTGCTCATGTACGCCGCGCGCTCGCACCACCCGCCGACTCGCCCGCACAAGTCGTCGCAGCTCCAAAGATCGTAATCCCACGTCTCTCGCGGGACGTTCACGATCGGGCAGCCGTGCGCCTCTCCGTGCGCCGAGCTGCAGGCCACGCCGTAATGCACGTGAATGCTGTCGCACGCGCCGTCCACGGGTTCGGGAGAGCCGCCACAGCGGAACCGGTAGCCGCAATCGTCGGAGTCGGACGTGCACGACCCAGTACCGTCTGCGGTAGCTCCTGAGACTTGACACAGAATGGTGTGATCGTCTGCTCTTGTGCCACCGTCGATATTACTGTTGAATTGGAAGTGCACGGTGGTGCCGGTCACATCGGACTGGGCGTGGCAACCGCGTGGCCCTCCCCACGCAACATTCTCGAGCGAGCTTGCTGCCATGGAGACGCCCTGTTGCGCAAACCATTCGACTGCCGCTAGGCACCCTTCATATGTATCGATGATATCAGAATCCGCAGGGCAATCCGCGCCACCAGAGTCGCCCCAGACGTACAAAGCTTGAGGGAGGACGTGATTGCAACAATAAGCCTCACCCTGGCAGCAGTGGTCCGCGGAGTCCGCGTCCACGACATTTCCGCTAGAGTCGAGCGCGTCGCATTCCGAGCCGCGGCTCTTGTCCTCGTAGAGGGACACGCTGCCAGCAGACGTCGAGCCTTTGCGCACGCTGCACTCGAAGTCCGGCAGCGCGCCATCGTGGCCCGTCGGCCCGACGCCGCAGTGCTCGTCGTCGTTGCCCGTCCGCCACGCGCCGTCGCACGCACAGTCGCTGTTCCAGTCGCAGCAGTCGTGATGGCCGCAGTCGTGGTAGCCCACGGGGCACCATCCCGCGGGCTTGGCGTCGCCGTCGTACGCGAGGGAGCAGTCCGCGTTCGCGCCCCACTCGCAATGGTCGTCGCAGCCGCAGTCCGCGTCGCGGTCGCAGCAATCGCGGCACTCGTAATAGCCTTCGGGGCACTTGGGCGTGCGCCAGTCGTGCTCGTAGGCGTCACCGCCGTGCCCGTCGCACGAGCAGTCCGCGTCCTGGTCGCAGCAGCTGGCGCAGCTGTAGTAGCCGGCGGCGCATACCGCATTGATCGTGGGCGCCGGCGACAAGGACGGCTTCAGCGTCGCAGTCGGCGCGGGCGACGGCGCGGCCCTGGCGTAGATCCGCGTGACGGTCGCTTTGGTGTCGCAGGTCCCACCGCCATCGCCGTTGTAGTGACATTTCGAGCCCGACGAAAACTCGGCAGCGCCGATGCCCAGGAAGCTGTCTGACGAATGACATTCATCCTCGTTGTTGAACCAGATGCCCAACCGCAGGCGGCAGTGCGACATGCCCACGTGGCAGCCATCTGATTCGGTGTTGAAGCCTTGCCGGTTGCAGTTGTTTGCATAGCCCGCGTCCGGAACAAGGGAGCGCCACGCGTCGACGCTGGCGTCCGTGGCGGTATAGTCGCCGGAGAAAAGCTCCTGCAGGCTTTTCTCCTGATCCAGCTCGATAGTGAGCGAGCGTTCCTCGGAGCCGTATTCCATCACGACGGTGAATTCGCTCGTCGGCTCGAAGAAGGCGCGCGCCTTGAGCTCGCCGGCGCGGTTGTAGAGCTGGTCGTTCGTCCAGAGAGGCGAGTCGTAGTAAAACGTGTCTTTGGATCCGTCGATCACGAGCGCGAGACCGTCGATCGTGGGCGCAGCCGTCACCGTCGGCGCGGCCGTCGTCGGCGCGGGCGACGGAGCGGCCTTGGCCACGTTCGTGGAGCACAGGTACGACGATTGGCAGGTGTGGCAGCGGTCAGTAGCAGGGTAGAGTCCCTCCGAATCCAAGGGGTAATCGAGCCCGAGCCAGCAGCCAGCTTCGTACTCGTCCCAGTGATCCAAGCCGCCCGTCGACCGCAGGAACCAGCCGACGGGCTGCCGCGGACGACCGTCGTCTCGGAGCGCATCATGAGCTCCGCCGGTGGCGCCGGCCACACGTAGGGTGCCACGCCGCGCGGCGCAGCTGGTTGCGCGTGTAGCGCGGGCGCGGCGCCGTCGAAGAAGTCGAAGCGCGTCGGGTGGCGGTAGACCGCGACGGCGCCGCGCCCGACCTCCACGTTTGTGATCGAGTGTCCTATGTCCGCCGAATCTCGCACCCAGCGCGCCGCCAAGCTCGCATCGACGTCAAAGGCCTTGAAGACCGGCGTCAGCGCTTCGATGTCTGGCTGCCGAACGAACGAGAGACCGGCCTTGGCGCGTTCGGCGCGCGCGGGCGGCGCCGGGCCGTCTGCCTGGAAGAAGCCGGTCGCGGCCACGTCGTAGACCAATGCCGCGTGCGCGTCGGCCGCCGCCTCGAGCGCGTCAGCCAGCTGGCCGCCGCCGACTGCGAGGAAGCTGTCGCGCGCCGCCCGCGGCGGGCCGTCCGGTGTGGCCCCGACGGCGTACCGACGCAGCGCCGTCGTCGGTTCGCCGACGTGCCATTCGAGCGACAGCACTTGCCGCGGCTCCCGCGTGCCGTTGCTAAATACTGGCGGCATCGCCGCCTGTGCGGCCGCCGGTAGCTGGGGCAGGGCCGCGCCGTCGCGGTTCTGGACGTAGAGCTTCGCGGCGCCGGCGTCCGCGTCAACGCCGAAGCCGTAGACGGGCGGCGGCGCCTCCGCGGCGAGCACGGCGAGCCAGGCGTCGACGAGCGGCGGCGCCTTGAGCGCGGCGGCCGTGCGCGCGGCCGCGCGGCGCTGGGCGTCGCGCGGCAGGTGCCCGCCGGAGCCCGGGAGCTCCAGCGCGACGTAGTACCGCGCGGTGGCGGCTTTCCCGTTCGAGAATTTGGCCGACACGCCAAAAGTCTCGAGCGGCGGGTCGGCGCCGTCGTACAGCGCGGCCATCTCGCGGAAGGGCGCGCCCCAGACCGGAGCCGCGGGGTCGATGCCCGTCGCCTCGAGCAGCGCCGCGGCGGCTGCGCCCGCCCCGGGGTCGACCGGCCCGCGGTCTCGTCTGCCGCCGGCCCTTGGTTGGGACCAGAGGATGACGGCCAGAGCCGCCGCCAGGGCCGCCGCCGGCCAGGCGCGCATCTCGAATGGCTGCCGCTGGACCTCACTACGCCTCTCACTCCAGGCTATCTCGAATTGTTGTTGGCTGCCCCTGGACCTCAAAACGCCTCGGGGCTGCTAAAACGCCTCTACTCCCGGCTCAGTATTGCGCAGCAGCATGATAAGTGAAGCTTTAGCTACTAGCCAGATCTACTAGCCGAAGCCTTGGCCGCGAGATACAAGCTCGTAGCTTCGTGCGCCTGCGGAGCACTAGGGACAGGCTGAGAGTTACAATGCCAAGACATGTTAGAGTGCGGGTTCCGTGTAGATCATGGCTTGCGCACTGCGCAGTGCTTTTTCTCTGCGTCAAAGGTTTAGATAATTCAGGGGGCGCCCCGATCCGGCCCTTTGACACTCGCGGCTTGCGAGCCCTGACTGCGGTGATCGATCGGGCAAAGCTACCGTCTACTTTTGGCTACTGTGGCTACTGCCATATGGCCATGGCTGCCCCTGGTCGATGAAGCCACGGCCGTCGGCAGCCGGGCCATGCCTCATCATGCACACGCTGCCGGCGCTGATGGCGGCTCTCGGCGCCGGCGGCGACGGCATGTCGGTGACGAGCTTCGGCGCGCGGCGGCCATCGCGCGTGGCGCGCGCGTCGAACTGGACGGACGCCGCCCGGCTCCTCGCGCAGCACCCGCGCGCGACGCTCTTTGTCACCGGCCATTCGATGCGCTGGACGGACGCGGACGTGGTCGTGGCGCTGGCGCCGATCGCGAGCGCGGCGGGCGTGCTGCACGCGGACGACCGGCAGGTCACCGTCGACGCGCGGATCACGACCGCCGCGCTCCTCGACGTCGCGCTCGCGCGGGGGCGCTACATCGGAGGGTTCCCGGACGCGAGCGACCTCTCGGTCGGCGGCGTCGTGCGCATCGGGGGCGTCGGGCCCAGCAGCGCCTCGCGCGGCCTGTTCGCGGACAACGCCCGCGCGTTCTACGGATTCCGACGAGGATCGACCAAAATAGAGGCCCTGGACCAGGCGGAGCTCGGCGAGAGCGTCCTCACGCGCGTCGTTTTTGATTGGTACCGCGTCGGCGGGATGAAATTCACGCGCCGCTTCCACGACGGAAGATACGGCGCTCGCCGCGTCGCGGACCTCGCGCCGGACGTCCTCTTCTTCGAGCAGGACTCGGACGCCTTCGGCAGAGGCACCATCAAGACGGCCGTCGCCGACGCGTCCGCTTCCGTTCCCGCTACGCTCCGTCGCATCCGTCTGCTGCACAACGAGGCGCTCGAATATACGAACGAGCACGTCGCGGCGGGGCGCGTGCCGCGGTGGATTTGCCGCTGGTTCGCGTCATCCGCTGCCGCCGACGGCTTCATTCGAGCGGCGCGGAGCTGCGTGGCGAATGACACGGCGTTCCATGTGCGACGAGATCGCAGTCGGCGCCTCGGGGTCTGCATCTTCTCGTGGGGACGTACGCACGCCGAGGCGGAGCCGCGCGGGCCTTTGCTGGAGGCGGTGCGCCACTGCTACCCGCGGCTGCTCGTCGAGAGCGCTGAGTACCCCATTTAAGACATCCTAGGAAACTCTAGACACTTTAGACAGTCGCGGACGCGAGACTCCACACGCAACCACCGTAACATGGAGTGAACTCTTGATTACAACTAGTGCTAGTATAAACACGGGGATTCACCTATGGCGTCCGTCGCCAATACCGCTACCTTGGCCACACCGGCTGTACACACATCGCAGCCCCGTATTTTCTACAACAGCCGCAGGTGTGCCCCCCTGTACCGTCAACGGTACGGGGCAGCTATCAATTGGGGAGGCGCTACAGTAGCCGAATTAGTCAGTTCCGCCCCCTTCCAGACGTCACGGTCACGACGACGACGCCTATCTAGAAACGCCCGCCCGGGTCGTCCTAAACGAAGCAAGCTTAACAGGTGGGCGCGTCAGACGCCGAGCACGAGGAGCGCCACGACCGCCACGCACGCCACGGACCCCGCGACGACGAGGGAGCACGCGCCGCCGTCGGCGCGCCGCTCCGGCGCCGGCGCCGGCGCCGCGGCGGCCGCCGCGGCCGCCGCGCCGGCCGGGGGCGCCGCCGCGGCCGCCGCCTCGCGGCGCGCGTCGTGCTCCGCGACGAGCTCCGGGAAGAGGCGGCGGAACTGGTCGTCGCGGACGTTGAACGCGAGGCTCCGCGCCGCGAGCTCGCGGCGCTGCGCGGCCGTCGCGTCGACGGAGCCGAGCGTCGGCGCGTCCTCGAGCATGAAGCTGTAGAGGCCCGTCAGGATCGTGGCTACCGACCACATGGGGTTCCAGCTCTCCGGGTGGAAGTCGCTCATCGAGAGGCAGAGCCGCCGGTTCGTCTTGAAGCGGCCCGACGGCGTGAGCATGAGCACGGCCGGCGGCCGCAGCGGGTAGTCCGCCGGGAAGCGCAGCCGGCCGTGGTAGTGGCCGCCGGCGTAGGGCGTGTCCGCCGCGGCGGCGATGACGTAGTGCCACTCCAGAATATTGTCCTCGAGGGGGCGGGCGACGATGTGCGGCACGGGCTCGCGCGCGAGGGCCGCGAGCTCGCGCTGGAGGCGCCGCGCGGCTATGGGCGTGGCCATCGTTTGCGCGTGCGGTGGCGGCGGCGGCGCTGGGTGCTGGGTGCGCGCGTGCGGTGGCGGCTGCGCGGCGACGAGCGCTGGGTGCGCGCGTGCGGTGTCGGCGCCGCGGAGACGAGCGCTGGCTCACTGGTGGCTGGAAGCTTGAGGCCGGGCAGCGGGCGGGGCGAGCGTCTGCGCCTTCCCGGGGCGCTGGGGCGCTTGCGGAGCCGGGGGGCGTGTCTTCAAAGGAAATCTAGGTGGCAGGGCGCCAGCTGGGCACTACTATATTGTGTGCGGCGCAACTCTGCTAGCGGCACTAACATACTAGCAAACACACAACAAAAAGGCTTGCGCGGCAGTTTCGAGACGCCGGAGTACTAACTTAGGTGTAGCCAACTTAAGTGTAGCTGGAAGGAATAGCGGCTGTTGCTTCTGGCGTCGCCGAGCATCTGGTGCCCCGGCTGCGCGAAAAAAGAGAGCAGCAGCCAGTTGGAGGCTCAAAATCGACGCGCGTCCCGGATAGCAACATGATGTCGAATGTCGACGAGAAGTACCTCTTCGCCGTCTCCGACGACGAGGACGACGCCGCGCCGGGCGCCGTGTCGTCGCTCTCGTCCGAGGACGAGGCGCGGAGCCCCGTCGACTGGCGGGCCGTCGTCCACCGCACGGCGCGCGAGCAGCTCGGCGCGGGCGCGGGCGGCGGCCCGTCCGACGCCGCCGCCCGGCTCCGGCGCGCGGCGCCGGCCGTCGTCGCGGTCGCGCGCGGCGCGGCGCGCTGGTCGGCGCAGCTCGGCGTCGAGTGCCGCGCGGGCGGCGGCGGGCGCGAGCAGAAGACCTGGGCGCGGACCTTCCCCATCTTCGGCGGCTGCGGCGTCGGGAGCGAGCCCCCGGGCGTCGCGGCCGTCGCCGACGCGCTCGCCGAGGCGCTCGCGCCCGGCGCGGCGCCGCGCGCGCGCGCCGCGACGCTCGTCCTCTGCGTCGGCGACGCGGGCACCTGCGAGGCCCTCCAGCGCGAGGCCGTCGCCGCGGCGGCGTGCGCGGCGGCGGCGCGCGTCGGGGGCCGGGGCGCCGGCGCCGCCGCGGCGCCGCCGCTCCTCCTGCGGCTGCGCCGCGTCGACGCCGCCGGCGCGGCCTGCGACCTGCTCCGGAGCGAGCAGCGGCCCGTCGGCGGCGGCGGCGACGCGGCCGCGACGACGCGGCTCGTGCACCGCCTCTTCGACGCCGCGCACCTCGCGGCGGCGGCGCAGCCGGGCCCCGGCCACGTCGTCGCCACGCTCGACGCGGCGCCGGGCCTCGCCGCGGCGGGCCGCGCGGCGCACGTCGTCCGCGTCGCCCAGGCCGGCGACGGGCCGGCCGGCGGCGCGGCGCAGCTCGACGCCTGCGTCGCCCTCGTCCGCGGCGCCTGCGGCGTGGACCCGCCGCCGCCCGGCGCGGCGTTCCTCGCCGCGGAGGCCCGGCCCGTCGTCGCCGTCTGCGTCGGCGGCCGCGCGCCGGAGCCGCTCGCGTTCGCGCTGCCCGCGCTCCACTGGGCCGCGGCGGCGGCCAAGGGCGACGGCGGCGGCGCGCTCGCGCGCGACGCGGGCGCGCGCGCCCTGCAGAGGGCCGCGGCGGACGCGCGGGCCCTCGAGGCCGTCGCCGCGGACGCGCGGCCGCTCTCCGTGTCGCAGCTCGCGGCGCGGGACCCGCCGTCGCCGCGGCCGGGCGCCACCGGCACCACGCCGACGGCGGCGGCCGCGGCCGTCGAGGCGCTCGTCGAGCGCGAGCGCGACCTGTCGGCGCGGGCGCTCGCGCGCGCCGTCGAGGAGACGCGCGCGCAGCGCGACGCCGAGGGCGCGCTGCGCGACCTGCGGGAGCAGCTCCGCCAGGCGGAGGTCGACCGGGACGCGGCGCTCGCGCGGGCCTCGGAGGCCTCGGAGAGCTCCAAGGCCGAGGCGCGGCGGCGCCTCGAGGCCGAGGCCGCGGCGCTCGAGGCCGCGTCCCGGTGCTCGGCCGTGGAGCGCAAGCTCGAGGGCGCCGCGTCCGTCGCCGTCGAGGCCGCGGCGGAGCTCGAGCAGACGGCGACGGCGCGCGACGCCGCCGACGCGGCGACGGCCGCGATGCGGTCGCTGCTCGAGGCGACGCCGGCGCCGCCGGAGCGGCCGGAGCTCGAGGCGCCGCCGTCGCCGCTGACGCAGTCGCTGGACCGGCCCGCGACGCCGGCGTCGCTCGCCTCCGGGAGCCGCGACGACATGGGCCTCGTGAACGACCTCGTGTCGACGTCGCTGTCGTCGATGGAGCGGCGCGCGCAGCTCCTCGAGGAGGAGCTCGCGCGGTCGCGGCGCGAGGCCGAGGCGCGGGAGCGCGAGCTGCGCGAGGCCAAGGCGAAGCGCGACGACGAGCGGCGCGAGGTCGACGCCGCGCTGGAGCGCGAGCGCGCGCGCCACGCCGAGGAGCTCGACGCGCTGCGGGCCACGGCGCAGCGCGACCTGGAGCAGTCGCTGCGGAGCGTGCACGCGTCCGTGTCGCGGCAGGCCGAGGCCGCGCGCGCGGCGCTCCGGGACCTCGCGGACGAGCGGGACGCCGTCGTCGAGGAGCGCGCCGCAGCGGCGTCGGCCGCGGCGGCGGAGCGCGAGGCGCTGCGGCGCGAGCTGAGCGCGGCGCACGACGCGGTCGACCGGGCCGGCCGCGTCGCGGAGGCGGCGCGCGCGGACGCGGCGGCCGTCGCCTACGGCGAGAAGCTGCGCGCGGCGGCCGCGGCGGCGCCCGCGGCGCCCGCGCCGGCGCCCGCGGAGGACGCGCCGCGGGCCGAGCCGCCGCCGCCGCCGACGCCGCCGGGCGCCGGGCACACGGCGCGCGAGGTCCAGGCCCTCGAGGCGGCGCTCAAGTCGCGGGAGTCGGAGATCTCGGAGCTCCGGGCGTCGTCGCGGCGCGAGGCCGCAGCCCTGTGGCTGGCCGTGGGCCGCGCGGAGGACGCGCTCGCGGCGTCGTCGCGGTCCCTGGTCCAGCACGGCGCGCTCGTCGCGGCGTCCTGGGACTCGGACGACGCCGGGCCGCCGCCGCCGCCGCCGCCGCGGGACCGCCCCCACCAACCCAGCGCCGACGACGACTCGGCGCTCGACTCGGTCGTGTCGGACCTCGACGACCTCGACGCGCGCCTCGCGCGGCTCCGGGGCCGGCGCGCCGCCGCCGCGCGGGCGCCGCCCGTCGTCGAGACGGCGCGGCCGCCGCAGCCGCCCTCGTCGAACCCCGTGCCCAAGATCGAGCGGACGAACCGCGACGTCCTCGACTTCCTCGAGACGTCCTCCGGGCCGTCGCGCACGCCGAAGCAGCAGCCGGCGTCGCCGGCGCGTCGCGTCGTTGCGACGGAGAAAATTCTCGGCGAAGCGCCCGCGCGGCGCCGCCGCAAGCCCATGGCCGTCGGCTCGGCGCCGCCGTCGACGGCGCCCGTGCCCGCGCCGTCGGCGCGATCCGTGGACCGCGACCGGCGCCAGCGCATCGCCAAGCTCCGGCGCGACCGCGCGGAGCTGTCGCCCGCGGGCTTCCCCGCGACGCTCCGCGGCTAGTTTTCCTCCGGTCTAAAGATCATCCTTAGACTTCTTCTTCCGAGTCCGCCGACGTTTCTTCTTGCGACGAACCGGCGGCGCCTTCGGCTTGCCCGGCGCCGTCCCACCTTCCGGCTCGGGCGTTTGCTCAGCGTTCTCGTTCAGGTAGTCGACCGAGTCCCAGGTCACCTTCATGACGGAGGGCTGCTCCGTCAGGAACTCGACCTGTGTGGAAATCAACCAGTGCGTTGGGTGCACCCGACAATTCTTCACTAAGTCGTTTCTCGGCGACGACGCGGCCGTCCTGGCTCGGTCGAGCGGTGAGGAATTCACACCGCCACGCCGTCGAGCAGGCGTCGCGTCGATGGCGTGGAGGACGACGCGATGATTCAGCACGAACGCGCCGTAAATTTTGATTTCCACACAGAACTCGACGACGTCGCGGCCGTACCAGCCCGTCATCGTCGACAACAGCAGCTTCCGCTCGCCGATCCGGTACGCCTGGACGTTCAGCCCCCCGGTCTTCAGCAACGCCGTCAGGATGCCGGCGAACTGCTGCTCGGCCTTCTCGCTCCAGGCGTCGCCCTTGTTGGCGCCGGTCATCTGCTTGTCGGTCAGTGTCACGAAGAGCATCGCGGCGCCCGTGTCCGACTGCTGGTGCGCCATCTGCTCGGTGAGTTTTTTGGGGTCGAGCTTCGTGATCTGAGCGGGGTCCATCCAGCCGCCGTCCTCGCTCGCGGCGCGCCGCCGTTCGATCATCTCCTCGTAGACCTGGGACTCGGTCTTGAGCTCGTCGGCCTCGTCGCCGCTCTCCCATTCCCGGCCGACGGCGTCCAAATCGACCTTGCTCCAGTCCTTGCTCGCGCGTTTCTTCTTCTTTTTGGTTGTGGCGTCGTCGCTGCGCGCACAGCCGACGAGCAGCGCGCAGAGCACGAACGCTGCTTGGCGCGGCATTTTTATCTCTCTCTGGAAGTGCTGCCACACCAAGGGCGGAGAGGTGAGTGCTGGGCTGGAGGTGCCACAGGCCCGGAGCAGCGACACGTGCAAAAAAAGCAAGCGAACCAAGCGCAGCTGTCGTCTCTCGATGCCTGCGCACCTTTTCGGCGAGGCGAGCGCACTGGTGGCCGATTAAGAGGAGTTTTTGTGCCGGCAAGCTAGTGTCTTACCGCTAGCTAGAGCTTGCGCGCGGGGCAGCCGACAGCGTTTGGGGCAGCCACCTGGTCCCGCTTCGTACCTGGTCCGGTCATTTCTGGGCCGTCACGGAACGCCAGGCATCGCGCGCACCCACGCCTGCCGCCACGGTACCTGCTCCGGTCATTTCTGGGCCGTCCCGGAAGGCCAGGCACCCACGCCGGCCGCCGCGGCAGCCTCCCGACACCCAGGACAAGGGGCAGCCACGGGAGTGGAACACGGGGCAGCGTAAGCATGTCGCGCGACATCCTCAGCGGCCTGCCCGACGCGACGCGCGGCGAGATTATCAGTTTCATGACCTTTTTTAAAGGAGAGCGCGCGCGGACGCTCGAGGCCCTCGACGGCGACTTCGAGGACTGCCTCGAGGACAGAATTAGAGGGGTGGACCCGCCGTTTAGCCTCGAGGACGTCACGAGTGCCGTGGACCACCTCCAGGTCGTGGTCAAGGACGGGGTCGAGAGAGATCTGAAGAAGATCGTGAACATGAACGTGTTGTTGCTCAAGAACCTGCTGGCGACGGCGCAGCAGCGCGGCGTCCGGTTGCGGGTCGACACGTCCGTGATCGAGGACGAAGCCTTGCTGAGGCAGGTCGACGCCCTGAAGCTGACGGGCGGGTCTTTCAGTCCCGCGGAGCCCAAGGGGCCGTCCGCGAGCTTCGATGATTTGACGTCGAAAGAGGAGCAGAAAGCGCTCGAGCGGACGAACGATAGACTGGTCCAGGACAATACCACGCTCCAGAAGGATTTAAGACGGCTCCAGGCCCAGAGCGAGCAGGCGGCGCGCGACCAGGCGGACCTCGCGGACGAGGTACGGCGCCTGCGAAAGGAGCTGCGCGCGTCGTCGCCTGTGTGGAAATCAACCACTGAGTTAGTTGCGTGTGGACCTTCGTGAGCCTCCACGCCATCGAGCCGACGTGGCCACGGGGACAATGTCGCGTCGATGGCGTGGAATCGCCACGCCATCGCGCAGACGCAGCTACGGAAAGCACGTCGCGTCGATGGCGTGGGGCGCCCGAAATTTGATTTCCACACAGGTCGTCGCGGAGCCAGGCCGAGGCCAAGGACGACGAGGTCGAGCGGCTCTCGTCGCGGCTGCGCGACGCCGAGGACGGCCTCGAGGCGAAGCTGACGTCGTCGCGGCAGTTCTCGGACCTCAAGCGCCAGCTCCAGAAGAAGAACGAGCTCGTCAGCGACCTCCGCGCGCGGCTCCGGCGGGCGGGGTTGGACGACGACGCGCTCACGGCCGACGACCGGGTGCGCCGCTAAGTCTTACTCTTGTACAGGCTCGACGGTGAGCCCTAGGAACGTCTGCTGCGGCGCGAGTGCCTGGGAGTCGACCAGCGCCTTGAGCGTCCCCACGTCTAGCTCCGCGTCGGCGCCGTAGACCGCCGAGAGCACGACGTAGGCCGGGCGCGTCACTAATCTCCACGCGTCCTCCTCCGTGCGATTCTCCTCGAGCCACTCGCGTGCGCGGATGGGCCCCGGCAGCGGCGGCTCGGCCACGTTGCGACCCCGCCGGCTCGCGACGGCCTCGACGAAGCTCCGCGCCCACGGCGCCGGGACCGCGTGCGTTGCGGGGCCGCCCCAGGCCACCAAAATATTCCGTGTGACGCGCATGTCCTCGCCTGTGCAGAAACCGACCAGTGAGTGCGCCATCGAAGCGCCGAGACAAATGATAACCACGCATGTCCTCGCGGTGCAGCCGCAGTAAAAGTTCGGCGTCCAAATCCACGAAGGCCAGCAACTCAGGATCATAGAGCCGCCGCGCGCGGAACCAGTCAACCGCTTGCCCAACCCACGCCCGAAGCCGTCTCCGCGCGTCGCGCCGCGGCGACGCCGCCGTCGAGTTCCGGCCCTTGGGCGTCACGAGGGCCTCGAAGAAGCCGGCGGGGCGGTCCTTGTCGCCCGGCTCAGCGATCGAGTGCGGCAGCGGCGGCAGCGCGCTCGCGCACGCCGGGGCGCGGCGCTGCAGCGACGCGTGCAGGGCCCGGAACTCGCGCAGCGTCCGCGTCAAGACAAAGCGCGTCGTCGAGAACTTGACGCCTAGTTCGAACGAATCGCCCGCGCCGCTGTCGCGGACGTCGACCTGGAGCATCGCCGACACGGGCGGCCGGTCGTCGTCGACGGTGCGCCCGCCGTCCGTCGAGCACCGCAGCTGCGGCAGGAAGTCGTCGGGCTGGAAGCCCGGCGGTGCGTCCCGCGTGGCCCGCAGGCCCTCGAAGGCCGCGGCCACGTCCGCGAACGACTGCGCGCCCCGCCGCTCGAAGCCGCGCTTCTCGCGCCACGGGGCGACCGGCCCGACCAGGCGCGAGAAGACCAGGGCTGCTCTGATGTACGCTTTCCGGCGGTCCATGTAGGAGGCTTCCGGCGACGCCAGCCCGAGCACTTCCGCGCAGCGGTCCGGCAGCAGCGGCTGCACGTCTTCATCACCGTCGACGAAGCGAGCAGCTTCGCGGTCCTCATAAACATCAGCACTGCAGCAGCCCACGGCGTCGAAGAGCTGCTCCATTTTTATGCTTCTTGCCCGAGTCGGGCAGCCTTGCGTCGCGTGTATCCTCGCCTGGGCGCCGAAAAGTGCTCGAGCTCGGATGAGGTTCGGGTTTTTTATCTCGTCTCCCAGGGAGTTTTTTATGCGTGTGGAGGCTTCTGAGATGGGTGTATGAGTTCAAAGTTTGCCCTTCCCATACCCATCTCCCATACCCCCTCCCCTCAGAAGCTCTGCGCTAAAAAAAGTAGTAAATTGCTCTCCCAAAGTTTTGGCTGCCCCAGCCTCGCAACTAACCGCAACACACCGCAAAACACCTCCGCAGCCTCCAGCTGCACTTCACAAGCAACCACAGCACCGAGCGCCGGATTTCGGCGCACAAAAAAAACAACACAGAAAAAAACATGGGCTGCTCCTCGTCCCTCCCGAGCGAAGTGATCCCGGACCCCGGGCCCACCGAGCAATGTACGTTCACCGTGAAGAGCGCCGGCATGTTCAAGGGCGACGATTGCTTCGCCTACCGTGGCGACCAGCGCATAAAATCAAATTGTCGCGGCGCGTCCGAATCATGGACCTCCACGCCATCGACGCGACGCCAGCTCGATGGCGTGGCGTTGTGGTCTATTACTTCCATCCAACGAGCACCCGACTCACTGTTTGATTTGCGCACAGGCGGCGACTCGACGGACAAGGACGACAAGTGGATGATCCTGGACAAGTCCAAGCCCACGGGCGACCCGCGCGTGAACGTCGCCGCGGGCCAGCGGCTGCTGGAACTAGAGAATTTTAATCGCGCCGAGGGCTCGAAGAAGGGCGAGATTTTACTCAGCGCCGTCTTCGACTCGAAGCCGGCGTTCACCGTCATGTCTAAATCTGAGTTCTCCCAAACCCAGCTCCGCCCGGCCTGGGCCATGCAATTCAGCAAGGCCGTGCCCGTTCAAATTCCGCAGTGCGCCGGCTTCTTCGACGTCACGATGCCATCAGGCGTCATGGTCCGCGCCGTGCCTCCGCCCGGCTCGCAGCCGGGGCAAGTCATGCAGATCTGCGATCCCGGCGCCAAGACGCCTGACTCCGTCTACATCGACAAGGCCTATAAAATGATGCAGCAAGGTAGCTTCCGCTACGCCAAGCTCAAGAAGTTCAGCTCCAAGACGGGCTGCTCGATCATGCCGGGCACACGCTGCCAGCAGTTCCCGGCCGGCTTCCACCTGAATGTCTTCATAGAAGGCACGACCGTGGCGCGTTACTGCTGGGTTGAGGGTCACCGTGATGATGATGGCCACTGGCACGAAGGCCATTACACCAAGTCCGAAAAAGCCTTCATCGATCAGACGTGCTTCCAGCTCCTGCAGAAGCCGAACGAAGGTGGCGGCGAGCCTACGGAAATTGCTTCGTGGTCGTGCCCTGGAGAGCTAGAGGGAGGTGATATCACGACGGAGAACGCGTTGTTCTCGACGCTACAGGAGGGTGGCTGGGCCTCGTCGAAGCTCCGCGTGCAGACGAAGGAGTTCTGGGACCCCTGCCTCAGCCTCATCATCAGCTACCTGACGTCGAAGGAGTATTGCCCCAAGGAATTGAAAGGCGATTTCTCCAAGACGTTCACGTGGCCGAGCGGACCGAGCGGGCACCGAGAGCACCGCCGCCGCCACCACCGCCGCGGCAACCACTGGGACGACTACGACGACTACGATTCCGACCGCGAGGGCCATAGTCCGGCGGGCGTCCGCGTCGGCTTCAGCTGGGGCGGCTGACCACTTCACGAACCATTCAAGTCCCTGTACCATGTTTTCCCCTTTTTGACTCCCACCTCATTCCTGCCCCAAGTAAGTCCCCAAGTAAGTTTGACAACAAAATTACTAGTTCTCACCGGTAGATCCGCCCCGCCTCGTACGCGGCGATCGCGGCACGGATCGGCGCGCGTGCGGCGTCGTTCGGCGCGCGTGCGAGCGCCGCGCGGTACTTGCGCAGCTCCGCTTGGACGGGCACGGCGCCGCAAAACTGTTTGGTGAACTTCATGTGCGGGCGCTTCGCCTCGGCCTCGCACGCGGGCCAGCGGCTTCCGCGGGCTCGCCGCTCGAGCTCGCGCACCAGAACCTTCGTCGCGCCGCCGTCGGGGAAGCGTCCCTGCACGAGCGGGTCGTGCTCGTAGGCGCCGGGCGCGTAGTAGCCTGTGTGGAAATCAACCAGTGAGTTATCGCGTCGATGGCGTGGAGCGCCCGAAATTTGATTTCCTCACGGATAATAGCGGTAGGCCCACGCCGCCTTCGAGCCGTGCGAACGCAGCGCGTCGAGTCGACTCCGCGCGGCGTCGACCGCCTCGAGCAGCGACGCGTTGCGCTGCGCCAGGCCCGCCTCAGGCACATGTAAAGCAAACTCCGACGGGTCCAGGGGCCCGTCGAGGCCCGCCTCGTTGCTGAACGCCCAGAGCGCGTCGTCCGACGCGACGACGGGCACGCAGCCCGCTATTACGGCGTCGTACTGGCGCTTCGCCGACGGCGAGTCGCCCTCGGGGCACGGACAAAAATCCGCCAGGAACATGGCGGCCTGGCGCGGCAGGGCCGCGACGCGTCTCCTGAAAGTGTCTTCGTCCTTGATCTTGACCGGCCGGTCCCGTAGGACGAAGGCCTGGTCGCCGACGCCGCCGCGGCTCCGCGCCGCGTTTTTGAACTCGCGCTTGATGGCCTTGCGCACGGGCACGCAGCCGTGGTCGCCCGCGCGGAAGTACGTGGTTAACGGTCTTCCATCACCGCTCGGCAGGTGCGGATCCAACAACCGTTTTTGGGCCGTCGCCGCGACGTTCCCCCACTCGCCGTTGTGCCAGCCCCGACCCGGGATCGGGTACGGCGCCACGATATTTTTTTGGGCGCAGGCGGGGTACTCGCCCGCGAAGGACTTGGACAACTCCAGCGAGATCCAGACGGGCGCCGTCAATTGCTGGAGGTAGTGGCCCCATCCTCTAACACCTTTGGGGTGCCTGAGCCCGGTCACGGGCGCCGGCTGGACGAGAATATGGTCCGCGCCGTGCCGTCTCTGCCAGTATTTCGCCGACGTGTTGAAGGTGCGCTCCCAGGCCCTTGGATCGTTCTTCTCGACGAGGTCGAGCAAGGCCTGCTCCCAGGGCGACGGGTCGTTTTTCCTTCCCGTAGCTCTATATAATATATCCCCGAAGTGGGTCACGAAGAACAGGTCCGCTTCGTCGGGATTCCTCGTCCGCACACAGCTCTGCCGGAAGAAGTCGTACAAAACATGTTCTAGCGTGAACTGGGCCAATAAATGCTCTCCATTAAAGTGCGTCCGGCACGGGCCCTGCGCGCACTGCCGTCTTTGCTCCTCGGCGTGCCGGTGCCAGACCATGTCCCGCATGCCGGGGTACTCGTAGACATACACCTTCAGCGACGACGGGCAGCGCGCGTTCGACGCGTGGAGGTCCCAGCTTTCCAGGGAGTCCTCGGCGTTGCCGGACTCGGTGTCGTCGTCGACTTGTGCTTTGAGCGGTGGCGGTTGCGGTGTCGTCGTCGGCTTGCGTGGCTCCTCTTTTGTCTCCTTACGTACGACACGCTTCACGGACGTGTAGGGTCTCGGCTGCTTCGGCGGGTAGTAGGGCGCCAGCGGCGCCGGCGCGTACGGGCTCTCGTGGAACTCCGTCGACGGCCGCGCCGCGCTGAGGCTGTAGAAGTTATTCGTCGTTGCGACGCCGATGAGGATGCCTACGCCTAGCGCGGCGGCGACGTGACGCCACGTCGGGCCTCCATTCGTGCGCATCGTCCTAGCGGTGTCTGCTGCCGCCAGCGGGCGCGCCCGAAGCGTAGTGGTGCCGGGGAGTGCAGAATTTCAGCTCGAGAAGCTTTCAAAAACGAGGCATCGTGCCGTTTTTAGCTCCCGCAGCTGATGAAACGCCCGAGGCAAAAAATCGGCTAGCGGCATGTAACACACTAGCAGCGGTGGCCAGGTGCTGCTTACGGCCGCAAACTTCGCACTTGTCGGTTTCAGGTTCAGGTTCGAACTACTGGGCTATCCAGAACCATATCCAGATCAGCGCTTTGCAAAGCTGCACTCCTAGCGATTCACAACAGCGATCCCTGTCAGAGAGCACTGGCACCTCAACATCGCTACAGCGCCGTAACGATCGCTATTCATCGCAACCATGGCGCGAATTCTCCTTCCCTTACTATTGACTAACGCTGCCGCGCTCAAGCCGACGCGGCGCCTCTTTTTCAGCAACGCGGCCGCCGCCGCGTGCGGCGCCGCGCTGCCCGCGCGGGCCGACTCGGGCGTCCCAATGGACCTGGGCCCGCTCGGTCTGCGCAACGGCGGGTCAGGGAAGCTCAATAGCTGTCCGCCGCAGGGCATCAAGCGCGCGTGCATCAGCACGAGCAAGTTCGACACGGACCTCTACGTGCCGCCCTGGACGTACCAGTCCGCGAAACCGGACGGCCAGGGGGGCTATGCCATGACCGGCGGAGACAGCAAATCCGTCGAGCAGGCGTTTTCGGAACTTGTCAACGCCGTCGCCGCGCAGCCCGGTGCGAACATCGTCGAGAAGGGCACCAAGGCCGACGGGCGCTACCTGCGCGCCGAGTTTGTTGTCCCGAAGAGCCTGCCCTTCGGCAGCGACGAGATCGACGACGTCGAGTTTTTGATCGCGGCGCCGGGCCAGAGCGACCCCCCGAGCCTTGTGGACTACCACTCCGTGACGCGGGCCGGCGGCACGGCGGACAACAAGCGCCATCGCGAGCGCATCAAGGCCATCCGCACGGACCTGCAGGACAAGGGCTGGAAGAGCGTCGGACGGCTCTTGCTTTGAGCCGACGTGTGACTAATGTGTTTAGTTTCAAGCTGGGGGGGGGAGGGGAGTGCGCCGACTAGGGGTACTTGTCGTCAACGGGGTAGCTTTTGCCGCGCCGCCCGCGGAGCACGTGGACGATCGCGCCGGCGGCCGCAACCGCCACGGCGACGTGAGCCGCGACCTCCTGGGAGGACATCTTCGGCCACAGATTCCGCTTTCTGAGGCTCTTCTTGAAGAGGCGATAGCGCCTCACCCACGTCTTGGGTCCTTGGAGGCGGTACCGGTACTTTTCCCCATTGTTATGTTTGTGTTGCCTTCCAATGTGCGCGTGTGCACGGGCCGCCGTCAAAGAAGTTGCCGTGACGGTCCTGATCACGCTCTCGGCCTCTTGCAATCTCGCCGTCGACGAGCGCCTCGCCGCCCGGAGGCGCGATCGCGTGAGCCAGTGCTAGGCACGCGAGCGCCGCGGCATGGCGGCCCTTCATCCGATTTTTATTGATGTTTTTGCTGCAAATTTGCCACAAGACGCGGCCACGGATAAGCTGGAATGTCTCTCTGGCACCACACGTGTGCAAAATCCCCTGGCCCCTGATTCTTCGCCCACGCGACGAGTCCTTTTGCCGCAATAATTCGCAGCATTGTGTATAGCTAGCGACACTACTACTAGCGAACTGGAGGCGTACTGCAGTATACATGCGCTACGTTCTCATAAGGCAAAAACCTAGATACCCGCGGGCGCGCGACAAGCTGGTTTAACTAGACCTATTATTCCCGCGCCGCCCGCCGCGCCGGTTCCGATGATGACCGTTCAACGACGACGACCGACCAAAGGACTGCGGCGACGACGCGAGCGCTGGCGGCGGCGGCGGCGCCAGGAGCTGCGGCGGCGGCGGCGCCGCGTAGTAGCCGCCGTACTGGGGGGCGACCGGGTAGTAGGCCTGGCGCTGGTGCATGCCCGGCGAGTTCGGGTGGTGCCGCGCGCGCGCGCGGCCGCCGACCGCGGGCGGCGACCGCGGCGCGAAGGCCGGCGAGCCGGGATTCAAGCGCGGCGGCGGCGGCGTCCGCGACGGATCCAAGGACACGCTCCGCCGCAGCTGATAGGGCGCCGCGTAGCCCGGCTGCTGCTGCTGCACGGCGGGCCGTTGTAATGCATGACCAAAATCATAACTTTCAGCCGTGGCGGCCTGGTGGGGCCGGTAGCCCGCGGTGTACGAGGACACTTGGACCGGTGCGGCTCTTGAAGCTTCCCACTGGGCGTGGGCCATCTGGGCCTGGGTCATCGTGGCATTCCTCCGTAATGGAGCGAAATCACCAGATGGAGGCAGCTGGCCGGGCCAGTAGCCCGGCGCGTACGTCTGCTGGGGGCCGACCATGCCGCCGATGCCGCCCGAGGATAACGGAGGCGGCGTCCGGAAGGGCGGCCCGCCGCTCGAGGCCGAGGAGTCGGAGGCGTCCATGCGGTTCGGCCTCCTGCCCGGTTCGGTCCGGTCCATCGCGTTCGACGGGAGCACGCGCGCGCCGGATCTATACCCAGGAGCGGACGAGTCCATGGCGTTCGTCCTCAACGCGGGTCCCGGTCGCTGCGGCGGCCGCCGGCGCTGGAGTAACCTCCTCTCGTCCGCCCGGGGGTCCCTACAAGGCGTCCAGCCCTCGACCTCGTCGCCGCCGGACAGGAACGGGTGCTTCGACGCCTGTAAGGGCGTCCACCTCCTATGAGGCAATTGGTCGAGCATACCAGTAACAAAGTGGGCGAAGGTCGCCCGCGTTCGTCTCTCTTTTTCCGTGTCCGATGGAGACAATCCTGAACGCACGGGATAGTGCGCGACGATATCCTTCAGGACTTTGTACTGGAAGTACTTTTTGGTTTTGGGAGGTGCGCTGTTCCCCTTCTCGCGCGCGTACTGCTCCGCTGATTTGAGGGAGTAGAAGGGCTCCGATTCCTCCTCGCACGCGTCCGTGCCGTCGTCGTCAAAGTCGAGGGCGTGCAGGCTTTCGACAGATTCATCTAAAGACGCGTTCGTCCACTGGGGTCTTCTGGGAGGCGGCCCCGGCGACGGCGGCGGGCCCGGCCGCTTGGGCGTGAAGTACTTCAAAGTGTCGTCTCCTCTTGCCAACAACTCATCAGGGTGGGGCCCGAGCATGTCCGCGATCCTGCTTATCTGATCATGTGTCGACACGCCGGGGAATAAAGGTAAGCCTAAGAAGAGTTCAGCGAAGACACACGCCGCGCTCCACACGTCGACGGCGCCGTCGTAGGGCGCCGCCACGAGCACTTCAGGTGCTCGGTAGAATCTGGATTGGACGTACTGCTGCGCCGTGCGACCTTCGACGCACGCACTACCAAGATCGATGATCTTCACCCGCGTCGGTTCGTTGTCCACGCGCTGCGCCACCAGGATATTTTCGGGCTTGAGGTCGCAGTGCACGATGCGCGCCGCCGCCAACCTGTCTAAAGCCGCGACGACTTGCGTCGACGCCAAGCGTACGGACGCTAGCGGTAATCCTCTAAATTGATTTTGTTTGAGCAATTCATATAAATTCATGCCCAACAGTTCAAACACGAGACAGACGTGACCTCGATGCGCAAAGTCGCCGAAGAGGTGCACGACGTTCGGATGCGGATCGCGCGCGTGTAAGGCTCTAGCCATCTGCGACTCCACATAGGCCTGGGCGGCGTAACTTCTACAGTTCTTCACGACCTTGATCGCCACCAATCGGCCCGTCTTTCGCGAACGACACCGAAAGACCTGGCCGAAGCTACCCCGTCCCAGTTTATCAAGCACCTCGAAGGCCGGGCCCTCGCCGCCCGGTCCTAGCACGTCGCCCGCATAAGTAACGAGCTCGGCCTCGGCGTTGTCCGCGCCGTCGTTCGTTACTCCCTCCGCGGGCTGCGTCAAAGCGCGGCGCGGCGCTTTCGGTTTCGCGCCGTTCTCTCGCGGTGTCGTCGCGGCGGCCCGCCAGGTCTGGATGGGTTTACTGGAAGGGTTCGTCTTGAGGTAGGACTCGACGAGTTCCAGCGTGAGCCGCTTGACGCACGAGGGACTCGAACTCGCGGCGCCGTTCGCGGGCGGCTCGTTGGGCGGCTGGCGCACGGCGCTGGTCGGGAGGTAGGGTTCCATCTGCGCCGCGCCGCGGGGTTAGACTACCGCGATGGCAGTCCCGCGGCTCCCTCGCCGCGTCGCGGCTGGAGGGCTGGAGGGCAGGCAGCAGGGCTCACGAACGCTGGCGGCAGCGCGGCAGGCCGCTTGCACGATCACTTCGGAGCGATTCCCATGTCTTTCTCATATGATTTCCAGCTCTTTGGCCCGCGACGCTCCCAATATATTAGCTTCACTCTCGTCTAATCTTGCCACCCGAGCTACCATAATCCCACTAGACGGCTTCAACCCGAGTCGTGCTGTTGTTTATCCTTCTGGTTGAGGGTCCGAGCACTCGTGGGCAGGAGGAGTCCTCGCGAAGGGCGTCACGACTCGCCTCAACACAGATGGGACGAGACGACGCCTCCCATCACCTTGACGAGCGCGCGGAGGGGCGACGTCGGGCGGAGCTGAGCCAGGAGCGAGAGCCGAGGCGTCTCGTCACACGCACGCGACCAGCCCAAAACGCTGCGGCGTCGGCGCTTGAGCGCGCGCGGCGAATAGTGAGCTGCCAAAAAGTCCAGAGGTTCGCCGGGCGAATTAGCGCCCGCGACGGCGTCACCCACGGCTGCGCCTGTACATCGCCTGTACATAGTAGTGTAAGATAGGGCCCGCACGCGCGCCGTCGATGGCGGCCGCCGTCACGATGCCGCGCTCGAGCCTCGCGCCGTTCCCCGAGCTCGAGGGCTTGGCCGCGCGGCCCTTCTCCGCGCCGCCGCCGCTGGATGGCGACGACGAGGCCCTCGGCGAGTTGCAGCGGCGGCAGATTGAAGATTTATTGAAGGGGGCCTCTTCTCTTCGCTTAGATGCTGAAGGGCTGGACCGGGCCTCTTCCTCGGATTACTGGGCTAGGGCGCGGAGGGCTGGCGACGCCATTCAGCGGCCCGCGTCGACGATTGATGGGAGAGCTTTGACGGCGGACGACGATCGCACGCGCGAGACCCTCGAGAGCCTCTCGGCGTCCATAGCTGCATTATCAGCCAAGACGACTTTTGATGATGAAGAACCGGGCTTGCGACGGACGCCGCCGCCGCCTCGCATTCCTACGCCGGAAGCGCCGCGGCCGCCGTCGCCACCGAGATCCTCGGGCATCGGACAATCGATCGGCGCGCAACAGCCCCAGTACCAGCGCCAGTCCTTCTACCCGGCGGGTGCTTATGCCCCTGCCGATTACGGAAGGGCCATGGTCGTGCCCGTGGTCGCCGAGGACGGGCGCGTCTACTATCGACCGGCGGACCCGTACGGCGGCGCGCACTACGCGCCGCCGCCGCCGACGCACCACGTGGCGCCGCCCCAGATGTACCCCGCGCCCTACGCCGGGAGTCCGCCCTTCTACGGGTCGCCGCCTACCTATGGCACGCCGCCCTACGGGTATTATGCTGCTGCTCCTCCTCTGGCCTCATCGCCGCCTCTCTACGTGCAGCCCCAGCCTCAGCAACGTCGAAGCCCTTCTAATCGCAGAAAGAACTCGCCGGACAACCCTCTGCCGATCTTTCCGGCGGCCGACTTGAAAGGTAGAGTAGCATCTCTGTGCCGAGACCAGCACGGCTCAAGATTCCTGCAAGCTCATCTCGAGGACCCGAAGGGCGATTCCGCCGAACGCGACCTCATCTTCGCGGAAGTCTTACCTAGGTCCAGGGAACTCGCGACGGACGTTTTCGGTAATTACGTCGTGCAAAAAGTTCTGGCGAGAGGGGCCGCGGAGGCGCGACGAGCGGTGTTTCGCCAGTTGGACCAGCACGCCGTCGAGCTGGGGACGCACGTCTACGGGTGTCGGGTGGTGCAGAAGGCCCTTGAAATGTTGGCACCGGGCGACGCGGCTTCATTAGTGGAAGAACTGCGGAAGGACGCGTTGCGCTGTGTCCACGACCAACATGGGAATCATGTGATCCAGAAGTGCGTCGAGGTGACCGCTCGAGCGGCTTGCGAGGAGTCTAGTGACAAGGATGTGACCAAATTAGCAGTCTTAGGTGAGCAGCTCCTCGGGGAGTTCGCTACCAGAGCTAGAAGCTTAGCGGCGCATCCGTTCGGGTGTCGGGTCCTTCAAAGAGTCCTGGAGCACTGGGGCCGGGCTTTACGCGATCCGGCAGCTCGGGGCCACAAGGCGGTCGCTCGCTTGGTCGACGAGCTCGTGAACCAAGGGAGAGATGTCGCACCCTTACTGGAACACCAGTACGCGAACTACGTGATGCAGCACTGCATCCAGTTTGGGCGGCCGCAGGATCGCTCGGCGACGATCCGCGAAGTCAAGAACCACTTGGTGGACTTCTCTAGACACAAGTTCGCTTCGAACGTGGTGGAGAAGTGCCTGGAATTTGGCGACGATTCAGACAGGAAGGATCTGGTGGCTCGCGTTGTCGGTGACGCGGCGGCTCCGCAGAATCTCAAATTACTATTGGTGGACCCCTTCGCGAACTACGTGGTGCAGAAAGTAGTAGATTTAGCTGACAGAGATCAAGTGATGACCATCGCGGCGGCTTTACGTCCTGTGGCTGCTCAAGTGAGACACACGCCCGGCAAGCACATTATTACCAGACTGGAGAAGAAGGTGCCGGGCCTCAAACTCTGAACGTTGGTGCCACAACGCTAAAAACGGCCGCCCCCCTGGCGACGGGGTACTTGTACATACGCTCAAGAGAAAATCAGACGCCCGCCCCCCCTCACCCCCCTGTACATACCTTGTATATAGTAACGTAACGACAATAATAACTTACAAGAGGGAGGGCTAGCCGCCGCCGCCCCACCATCGACGCGGCATCCTCGCGTCGATGGCGTCTACGCAAGCTGCACGCCATCGCCGCGGCGTCCCTGCGTCGATGGCGTCACAGGAACCTCAGACATTCAGGGCCGCGTAGACGGCGAGCAGCACGCTCCCGCCCGCCGCCGCGAAGAGCACATACGCCACGGCGAGCGCTCCTTTTCCGAGGACGCGGCGGCCGCCGAACCTCCGGATTTGATCGTCGTCGGCGTCGTCGCCCGTGTCGAAGACGACGGCGTCCTTGCCCGTGCCAAAACTCGCACCGACGGCGATGCGCCGCCAGAACTCCCACGTCGCCCATAGGAACGGGATACAACCAATCACAAACACGCCCGTATCGAGGGGTGTCACACCACGCGGCTCGAACGTGCGCCCATCAAGAGTGTCGATGGCGTTCGCCGGTGGTACGTCCATGTTCACCGCGAAAAATGCCGCGAGCAATGCGACGAGGAGCGCTGACGCGCCGCCGGCGAGCTTCAAAGTCGGCGTGAGCATGTCCTTATCGCCGTCGTCCGCAGTGGGCTTCGACGTTATCATTCCTTTGTAGTAGTCCAGCGGTTTCGCGTCGTCGCCGTCTCTGGCGGCCGCTGGTGGGCGCACGGCTCGTCTGCTGCATAGCGGGCGCGTGAGGCGTTGGAATCCTGCAGTGCTGCTGATCACGAGAGCTGTGCGCAGTACGTGTCGTCGAGCCATATCGATCTCGGCACCGATGCGTGCGTCTAGGCGGCAGCACAAAGCTGCTCCAGCCAGCTCTGCGGCACAGTGGGAGTCGTGTCAGCCTTGTGCGACGTGCATTACCCCACGAAACACCATAGCTAGCCAATTGGTGCTCCGGAGGGCTGCAGCGGTCGGCAGACGTTCGCGGCACGCATTCATGGGCCTGTCCTCGTCCAGCATGCCACCAAGCTCATACAACCCAGAGACCTTGGTACGAGATAAAATGGCGCTACGCGACACCGCCGTCGTCTTCTCGAAGTCCTACTGACCCTATGCCCAGAACACGCTGCGAATGCTACGCCAGATACGAGGCCTCCGCATGGACGTGACCGAGCTCGACGTGATCGGCGAACCGCGCAACGGCCCCGTCCAGCAGCTTCTGAAGAAGACGTCCGGGCGGACCACCGTGCCGCAGGTCTTCATCAATTCCAAGTTCATCGGAGGCGACGACGACATGAAACGCCTCGCGTCGGCGGGCGCGCTCGAGTCGGCCTTGACGGCCGCAATCAACTGACGACGACCGAACTCCCGACACCAATGACGGCCGGCGCGAGGTACGTTTGACCTCCGCCGGCCCGACGAAGACGGGACTCCGGGAAGCTAGCTCCCCCTTTTGTTGCGTATAACGTCTGTGAATAGTACCCAGTCGCGTATCTACAGGTCGGAGACGGGGTGGCCCGGCGGAGTGGTCCTCATCGAGGCGTTGGCCGGTCGTAGGGATAGGTAAATTGGAGTTTGAAAACCCGTGAATCGATTTTTAGGCTTTAGGCCTCTTTTGACCAGCAGGAGGCCCGCCAGACGACGCCACGCGACGCGCAATCAGCGCGCGCGCGGTCAGCCCACAGCGCTCTAGAGGCCGCTCGACGCCGGAGAGCGCGCGCTGCGAGCAAGCGCCGCCCTAGCCGCCAAGGCGCAGCGACCCGCGAGGGTGACCAGATACAAAACAAAAGCGCCGCGCCGACGCCTCCACGATGTTGAGCCCCAAGATCATCGCCCTCGAGGAGGGCTGGAACAATGAAATTAAAGCCAAGGCCATCGACGTGCTCGCCAGCGCATAAATCTACCGCCGCGGCTTCTCCGCCCACGGCTAGAACACGACCCCCACGCCATCGACGCGACGCCTTCGCCCACGGCTCAATCATACGCCATCGACGCGACACGCCAGCTCGATGGCGTGGCGGTGTGGGTCTCTCGCCGCTCGATTCGGTCGGCACGGCCCCGTCTTCACTGGTTGATTCGCGCGCAGGTGCTCGAGGACATGCTCAACACCGGTCTAGATAAAAACAAGCCCCGCTTATTTGACCCCAAGGAGTACGTCCAGACGTATACTACTTGTTACAATATGTGTACTCAAAGAAGCCCGTACAACTGGTCGGAGCAACTCTACCAGCGCCATGGAGAAACCATCTGCGACTACCTCTCAAAAACCGTCCTACCGGCCCTCAAGCAAAAATCCGGCAACGCCTTACTAACAGAGCTCACCGTGCGGTGGTCGAACCACAAGATCATGAACAAGTGGATGCGGCTCTTCTTCATGTATTTGGATCGGTATTATGTCAAGCACCACTCCTTGCCTACGTTAGATGTTGCTGGATTGAAACATTTCAAGACCCTAGTCTACAACGAGGTCAAAAAAGATGTAGTTAATGCGATGATCGCGCTCATCGACGCGGAACGGGACCAGGCCCTCATCGATCGGGCTTTGGTCAAAAACACGGTGGAGCTGCTCGAAGCCATGGGCATGGGGTCCTTGGATGCGTATGTCACGGACTTCGAGGACCAGCTCCTCGCTTCTACCAAAGAGTACTACGCGCGCAAATCCCAAGAGTGGGTCGAGTCGGACGACGCACCGGCCTATCTCGCGAAGGCCGAGGTGGCCCTCGAGGCGGAAGCGGCTAGAGTGGCCCACTACCTCAACGGCGCCTCGGAGCCCAAGTTGTTGCGAGTCTGCGAGCACGAGATCCTGGAGTTGCGAGAGACCGTACTCCTCGAGAAGGAAGGTTCCGGCTGTAGAGCGCTGCTAGCGAACGACAGGAAAGCCGACCTCGCGCGGATGTACCGCCTCTTCGGTAGGGTGCCCAACACGCCCACTCATGGGTTACCGCCCATGGCCGCGCTCGTGCGAGCCCACATCGAGCAGATGGGCAACGACATCATTGACCGGAGGGAGGCGCGACTGTCCGAGGGCGCCAAGGACTCGAACCAAGACCCCGCCTTCGTCAAGGAGTTGTTGGCCTTGCACGACAAGTACCTCGCGGTAGTCAGTGAACAGTTCGGGGGCAACGCGCTCTTCCAGAAAGCGCTCAAGGAGGCCTTCGTCGAATTTGCGAACCGAGATGTCGGGAAGCACACGAATGCCGAACTGATGTCTTCTTTTTGTGACCGGATCCTCAAGTCGGGAGGCGAAAAGCTCGGTGACGAAGACGTGGAGGCCTTCCTCGAGAAGACGGTGCAGCTGTTCTCGTACCTGACCGATAAGGATCTCTTCGCGGAGATCTATCGGAACCAGCTCGCGAAGCGACTGCTGAACCAGCGCTCGGCGTCGGACGACGCGGAACGCCTGATGATCGGCAAGTTGAAATTGAGATGCGGGTCCCAGTTCACGGGCAAGATGGTGCGTGCGCGGCGTCCCTTCCTTTGACTCGACGCCGTCGTCGCGACGCATCGAGCGGGCGTCTCTGCGAAGCGCGCTGCCCCTCCGTAGAGTATGGTACAGCCCGTACGCCATCGACGCGGCGAGAGCGTCGCGGCGATGGCGTATGGGCGGCCCCCGACGCCATCGACGCGACATCTCAACACACACGAGCGCAAGCGGACGTCGCGTCGATCGCGAGGCGCTCACCATTTTTGTATCAACGCAGGAGGGCATGCTAAATGATTTAGCGATCGGCCACGACCACCAGGCCGACTTCGAGAGCTACGTCAAGGCCGACTCTTCAAGATCGACCGGTAAATTGGACTTCAGCGTCCAGGTGCTCACGACGGGCTACTGGCCGACGTTCGCGTCCATCGACGCCCACCTCCCGCCGGAGATCGTCCAGTGCACCAAGGTCTTCAAGGACTATTATGATGAGAAGAATAGTAAGAGAAGGGTCACGTGGATGTGGTCGCTCGGGAACGCTTCGGTGAAGGCGTTTTTCGGGAAGAAGGCCTATGACCTGCAGGTGGCTACGTTGCAGGCTATTGTACTGCTTACGTTCAATCCCGTGGACGGTGCTTCCCAGACACTTACTTATGCCCAGGTAGCTGAGCGAGTGAACCTGCCGGACGAGCACCTGAAACGCGTCTTACACTCATTGGCTTGTGGCAAGTACAAGGTCCTGGCCAAGACGCCCATGTCGTCTCGAGTGGCTCTTACTGATTCGTTTGCGGTGAACACGAAGTTCTCGTGTCCCATGCGGAAGATAAGAGTGCCGATGGCGTCGCTGGACGAGTCGCACAACCCGAAGCGCGTGGAAGAAGATAGGACCGTGGCGATCGAGGCCGCCGTCGTGCGCATCATGAAAGCTAGAAAGGCGCTGTCGCACCAGTCTTTACTGGCCGAGGTCCTCAGCCAATTGGCCTTCTTCCGCCCGAACCCGAAGGTCATCAAGCGCCGCATCGAGGCCCTCATCGACCGCGAGTACCTCGAGCGCGACCCGGAGGTGGCGAACGCGTACCGCTACCTCGCCTAGGTGCTGGTGTCCTCTCCCGGGTAAACACGATGTGTACTTATCGTCCTGGCCCCGCGGCGACGGTCCTACAAGTAGTAGCAGTACAGGTTACATTCCCTCGTCGACGGCGTCAAGCCGACGTCAGGGCGTCTCGGAGAGATCGTCCGAGGGGCTTCATTACATCACACAGGGAACTCGCGCGCGACGGCCGCTCCATACTCCTCCGCCGACGCGAGGGCTGTGCCGCCGTCGAGGCGGTCCAGGAGTCGACAGATGCGGGGCTCGAGGTCGTTGCCCCACCAGCCCCAGCCGCTCATCCACCGGCCGAGGTCCGCGTAGGCCAGTTGGAGCGTCTCGAGGAACTCGTCGACGGGTGGCGGCTCTTCACCGCGCGACGCCAGCGCGGTGGACAGATCCCGATGGTAGCCGCGCGCCAGTTCGTCCGCCGCGTCCCACGCCGACGACCCGCAGCACAAGCAGTAGGCCACGTCCTTCGCGGGACAGGCCTTGCCGCAGTACTGAAAATCGTAGAGCTGCGGCGTGCCGTCCGCCGCGAAGTAAAAGTTCGCGTCTTTGGGGTCGCCGTGGACGACGCTCTGCATCGGATCGGCTTTGAGTCGCGCGTCGATGGCTTTGGCCGCTAATCTTAACCGCCCCTCCCACCCCTTTGTCGGCATTGACGCGAACTCGTCGGCTCTCGTGTCCAAGTACCTGCGTGGAAGTGACCATCGAGAAGGGACATCGACGTTTCTGACTCGTGAACGCACCACATCGTGCCCTGTTCCTGGAGTCCCCCAGCGACCGCCTCGTCGGCCCTTGGCCCCCAGAAGCACGCATGGAGCCGGGCTAACGCAGCAAGCGCCGTCTCCGTCCCGCGCCGGTCGAACGCTCCCGGTCTGCCGTCGAGGCGCGACATGACTATGGTGACGCCATCGCTGCGTGCCTCGACGTGCAGCGGCCTCGGGACCACGACGCCGGCGTCCAGCAGCTGTGCGGCATAGCCGTCCCGGTAGAATGCTGCTTCGCACTCGTACGATTTCGCCTTGCGCCGGTCGCCGACGCTGTCGCAGCGCTTTGGCAGCTTTACGACTTTGGCAATGATGCGCTCGTCGCCGCACGACAGCTCATAGATCGTTCCCATTCCTGCCCACAATCTTTGAATGGATTTCGCCTTCCATGCGTCGCCTTCACAGTCTGCGAGAGCTGCGAGGCGCTTTGCCTCTGCGGGCTTCATACTGCCTCTGGCAACCTGAGCTTTCGAATTCGTCAACTGTACCACAAATTATTGATGCTGCGAGCGCAGATCAAGGCGGCAGGCCGTGGAATTTGGTTTAGCCACTTTTTGTGGGCATTTTGGGCGCAAAACCCGCCACCTACGCAAACATACTGCCGAGCAGAGCTCCCTCCCTCCCATTCCGACTACCTCTCCTTGCCTTTTACCAGAGCTTCCGGCGCTTTTGTTAGCCACCCACATCCGCGAGGAGGTGCGCAAGGGAAAGGTCCCCGGCTGCTCTAAACAGCCGCGCGCAGCTAAAAATACACAGCGCGGCTAGCGCACGTATCAAAGCATACACACGAGAAGCACTACTGAGCTTGGCGCGCGTCACCAGCGTCTGTAGCAGCTGTAAACAGCGGAACACGCGAGGGGGTGCGGTTACGAGGCGGGCGCGGCGCGCGCCTCCCGCGGCGGCTCGCGCGCGCTCGTAGCATACGCCGCGCCGCTGCGCACGCGAATCACTGCGCCGCCGGTCGCGCGGCGACGCCCTGGGTGGTTTCGTCTCGGACGCGGCGGCGGCAGCGCTTTAACCCGACGCCGCGCGCAGGCCGTCACAGCGCACACACCGATACAATGTCGGGCGCCGCCCTCTTCAACCTCGCGCAGACCGCGCTCACCTCCGACGCCGGCAACATCAGCAGCAGCAGCTCGCGGGACGGGCTCGCGCGCGCCGCGTCGATGCCGCTCCAGCGCCAGCGCAACGGCGCCGCCGCCAAGCCGCCGCTCGAGTGGCGCCGGTTCCTCACGGTCGAGGAGCGGACGGGCGTGCGCTCCAAGCTCCGCGCGGCCTACGCCGACCAGTGCAAGACCTACGAGGAGCTGCTCGACACCGTGACGGCCATCGAGGAGGAGTTATTGCACATGGCCGCCCCCTCGCGCCTCGACTACTTCAAGGCGGGCGTCCAGTTCGACCGCCGCGTCGCCGACAAGCGCAAGCAGCTCGCCGCGCCGGCGGCCGGCGAGGGCGCCGCGGAAGCGCCGCGGAAGCGCGCGCGGCCGGAGGACTCGAGCCCGCCGCAAGTGTCGCAGGACTGGGAAGCCACGCAGGAGACCTGAGGAGCAAGCTTGTGTAAGACCGAATCCCCCACGTTTACTAGTAGGCACCGCGTCGATGGCGTCTTCTCACGGAAGTTCCGTCGAGCCGCTGTCCAACTCCCAGAAGGCGTTAGCCGGCTTGCAATAAAAATCGGAGCTAGCGTAATCGACACACTAGCTATTTTAAAGATACGCTTCGATAGCGTCAAAAGAATGGCCCAAATTCAGAATACATCCTGGTCGTTCGCCGAGACCAAATATTTCAGAGTAGCGGCCCGGGAACATACCCTCGCGCCTCCCGGAAGGCACCGCCCGCGACATTCACGGATGAGTCTTACGAGTTTTCAAAACACACCAGCGTTTGGTGGCGCCATCTACCGTCCAAATGGGACATTATATCAACTCCAGTCCAGTTTTCATCCACAATCGACGGAACCGGAGCCGACGGCCCGCGCTCGGAGGGCGGGAAAAGAATTCTACTAGACAACTCCCGAGTTTATGTTCGTTTCATTCCGTTTGGTGGGGGTAGATTCCATCCAGCCCGCCTCAATATTTATTGAGCCCAGTCTCTTGATCCGTATGAGCCGCGGGATTCGTCGACTTCGCGACCTCGCCTTCATGTAAAGACGGGCAAATTAGTAGACCCAGACAATATCAGCGACGCCACCATCCAGATGGATCATAACGCCGTTGTTCTATTCACAATCGACCGACTTGCCCGTTCTCCGCGGACGACGGTACGTACGCGAGGCACCGGAAAGGCCCCAGACCGGTGAGTTGTGAAATAAATTCGCGTTTTAGGCGTTTCGGTTGTGGGACGGGCCATATAACCGGCCTGGATGACTACCACATTGAATGACCGGTCCCGTTTCCAACTCGCGCCTTGTCGGACTCGGAGCCCCACGATCTGGCTTAAATGGGCACGCAGCCTGAATCTGCGACCATCAGCCCGTGTACCATCACCATGGACCATAACGCGATCATTTGTTTCATGACTGACCGACTTGCGCGAGGTCCAGATGCAGATGTTCACGTCCCGAGCGTGGGCAGCCAAAAGTACCCTTCTCGGCGTGTAGATGTCATATACTCGTAATTGACTATCGGTGGGGTAGTATGGGACCCGACGAGACCGCTATTACGATTCCTGGGGCCCTAGAAAAATTGACGTTTTTTACGGGGACGGGGCGCCATCGGGTCCTAATTATTTACTTTTTTCGGATGCAGGTCGGCTCCAGAACTCCCTCTGAGGTAGGTCTAGTAGTGGGTAAGCGCCTGTACCGCATACGCCATCGACGCGGCGGCCTAGTGCTCTCGGAGGGCTATAAAAGCAAACTAGCCCTAAAAATGCTATAGCGCCGCGGGCTGCTGAGAGAAATCGACCAAAAATGCTTGAAGCGGCGGCGTACGCGACGTAGGCGCTTGCACGTGTATAGTACCGACCCTAGGCGACCCCAGGGAGACCTGTTTGGCAGGGATTGACAGGATTCCACTGGTGCAGCCGCCATAGACCGTGGGGCACCGTCACCGCGAATTAAAAATATTTCCTTTTTCGGCCCCCAGTACGTGTCCCATTGATCTCTTTGGACCAGTAGCGAACGGAACGATACTCGAACAGCTGCACAGGCAAGGTCGCGCATGCTAGTGTCTTACGGACGCTAGCTTGTCCGTGCGCATGCGAGCGCGTGGCTGCCGACAGAGTGCTTACCGAGACACGTACGCACTGTCTAACGCATGCTGTAGCACCACTCTCGCATCGCAGCTCGTCGCCGGCGTTACGAGTCCACCGGTGCGCTTGCTAAGGTGCCTCTGCACCACCAGCTAGGAGAGCTCAGGCCGCGGCATCGCTACCCACCGTAAGACCAAGCCCAAAAGGACGTGGACATGTCGCAACCGCCGCAACCAACACCCGGCGAGCCGAAGAAGCGGCGCCCGGCAGAGCCGAAGAAGATGCGGAGGCGCTTCACGGGGGGCCCGCCCGTCATCAAGAAGTTTTCGGCGCGGGCCGGCCCGCGGCGCATCCCCGATTCTGCTGAGCTGGGCGCGATGCACGTTGTGATGAAGAGCGGGGCGATTTTGCCCCAAGGCCCGCAGCACAAGGACTTCTACAAGACCGTCAATTTGTTGCTTACTTGTTCTGCGGAGTTGGAAGTTGTTGCTGTGGAGGTCGACAACCTGGAAGAAAGGCGACCGTTGCTCGACGGCGTCGCGGCGGCACTCGATCAAGCGTTGCCTTTATTACGACCGTCGTCGTCAACCGATTGCGATGACGAGGACCCCTGGGCCTGGAAGTTAACTGCTGTAAATGTGGATCTCAAAGCGAGGAAGGCGGAATCAAGGTTAGCTCGGGCGTTGTTGGCCATTTTAAGGAATCTCGCGCAAGTGCCAGTCAATCGAGGCGCGATCGCGAACCACCCCGTGCTGCTGCATCACGTGCTGGATTTGTTAGAACCCGAGTTATTAGGCTTGGAGAGTGCCGCCTTCGCGATTGATATACTCGTGTCTGTGGTCAAGCACGTCGAGATTGGCGGCGCTTTTTTGGAACAGCCGATCCTGAGGCATTACTTGTTGCGGGGTTTTGATGGTGATGTCGCGACACAAAGAGTATTACGGGCGGCGGCGGGTCTACCGGGCCTCGCGCCGCCGATCCACCGCTGTAGACGGGTGGAAGGCGGGTTATGCGGCGACGAACCTCGACTCAAGGCGAGGCTAGCTAGGAGAGTCTTCCGCGTCATCCGCGCCGGTCTACACTTCGGCGCGGCGCGGGACGCGTCTACTTTATTATTACCTCATCAGAATGACGTCTCAAAAGTATCTGTCAGATTGGCGGACGCACTCAGGCAGCCCGGGGCGCTGGCGCGCCTGAAAATGCACCAGCGCCACATGGCTTTGAGGAGCCTCGAGGCGTTGGGCCAACTCCGAAGCTCGGAGTGGAACAACGTCGCGTTCGCGAAGACGCCGCAAGACGTCGCGAAGCTCTGCCGGGACCGCCTCGCTTTTCATGATTTAGATGATATGAGAATAGTGGACTCGGAGTGCCGCCTCGCGGCGTTGGAAGCACTATTGCTCCTCGTGGACGCGGGACCGCTGTCCGCGGCGACGGTGGCAGCTCGGCGCAACGTCGTCGATTTAGCTGCCGCTGTAATAGCCGCGGCCCACGCGCGCTACGCCGAGCCGCCGGCGCTGGCGAGCGGTCCGGCAGAACCGCCCGCGGCCCGACCGCCCGTTTACGAGCACGCGCGCGGCGGTTTGTGTTGTGTCGGACGCTTACCTTCTGATATTGCGGCGCCGCCCCTCCCGCCGACGGACGACACGGGGGATCGACTGGCACCGCCTCGATCGGTGCGGGCCGAGACGGTGCGCATCGCGGCGGCGCTGCTGGCGGCGTTGGCCCACGCGGACATCGACGCCCGGGCGCGCGTGAAGGCGCTGGCGCCTTTACTAGTGCCGGTGGCGGCGACGGACGAGGCCGTCGCGGACCTGCTCTTCACGAAGCTGCGGGCGGCGCTGGGCGACGGCGAGAACCCGCGGAGTCGGCGGAAGGTTAATTGAAGTTGCTTATATTGATGATCCCGCGGCGATGGCGTGTTCTCCCCGCCCCTAGGGTCCTAGTAGGGATCCATCTGGCTCGATGGTATATGCTTCTCTTAATTCATATATCCCGTCACGCGAGCGGCGGCGGCGGCGGGAGCCCGCCGCCGCCCGCGAGGTACATCGTGTTCACCTCCAGCGGGAAGGGCGGCATCTGTGCCTCGGATTCCAGGGCCTCGAGCGTCTCGAAGGTCGCGCGGACGTTCGCGTCGAAGCGCCGCATGAGCGGGATGTTGTCCATCAGCTGGATTTTGTGCAAGTTCTCGCGCATCTCGCTGACGACGGCGACGTTTTGTTGGAGGAGGTCGCGGCACTGCTTCTCGAGCGCCGCGTGGCGCGCCGTGCCGGGCCGCGCGGGCTGCGCCGTCGCGAGCGGGTCCAGCGCGAGCAGCCGTAGGCGCGCGCCGACGTCTCGAATAGATTTGCGCGGGAGCCCCGCGGCGATCTTGGCGCACTGCGTCACGAGCGAGTGCTCGGACGAGGGGTAGCGCCGCGCGAGCGTTTCGAGCTGCTTTTGCTCCGCCTCGGTCCAGGCCGCGGGGCGCGTGAGGCTAGCCATGGGAGGCTACCTACTCGGCTCGAGCCGTCTTTTTGCTGGCTTTTGGAATTGGCAGCCAGGGCGGCACTCGGAGGCGCTGGAGGCGAGTGCACGCTGCGGCGTCGTATCGATGTGTATCGAGAGACCTCCTTAAGAGTGTGTAGATCTGCTGGCCGCTGGCGCTCCCGTAAGCTAGCCAAAAAAAGGGCGCCGTAAAAATTTAATGCTAGCGGCCTGTAAGACACTAGCAAGCTCAAAAGCCGCGCGCGCGCAAAAGCCCATAGGCGTCGATATCGCAGCGTAAGGCGGCTCATCGCTGCTCAGAACTTCTGCGCTTGGCGTTCCGCGCCGAAAAAAAGCGTTAGCGACGACCTCCGCTCAGGACCATTCTTGCCAGACGGTCCGCGCGCCACCGCCGCGACAATGACCACGCAGCCGCACGCCATCGACAGCCCCGAGGTGCTCCGAGTACGCTGCGAGTGGGACCGCTTCGAGCGCGGCGACGCGATCCCCTGCCTCGACAGCGACGCCGAGATCGTCAACCTGTACTTCGAGCCGTGGTTTCAGGATGCCGGTGCCGAATTCCTGAGGGATCACACGGGCGGCGACCTGATCGTGGAATACGCGCGATTCGTGGAAGTCCTCGGCGAACTAGTCGGCGACATCGGACCATGTCTCGCAAACACACCGGATAAGGTGCTGCGGCAGTTGGGCGTGGCGGCCGATCTGGTGCTCAAGGAGTTTCTACCGAGGGAGCAGAAGCGGCCGCCTCCGACAATTTTGAGGTTGCGGAACGCCACGCCGGAAACGCCCTTAGCGGCTTTACGTTCAGATGTCGTGGATAGATTAGTGTCCATCAGAGCCACGGTCACACGTGTCGGTCCGGTAAAACCCCTCGTGACGGAAGCGTCCTTCTCTTGTGCTCAGTGCTTCCTCGGGGCGTCGGATCCGCAGTTCGCGATGCGAATGAGATTCAGGCGGGGCGAGTACCGCGCACCCAGTCGTTGTGATGGTGGCGATTGTAAGTCGCGGAAATTTGATTTATTAAGAGACACCGCCAAAACAGTAGACGTCCAGAAGATAAGGGTCCAGCAGCAGTTAGATGATGCGAAGACGCTCGATGATGATGCTGGTAGAATACCTCGTTCATTAGATGTCGAGTGCGTCGGGACTGGCTTGGTGGACAAATGCGCTCCCGGGGACGTTGTTGTCGTGGCTGGAATAGTGAGAGTGGTCAACGCGGCCGTCGCGGCGGGCCGGAAGGATAGGAGAGCTCTACAGCAAGCTACGTCCGTCATGTATCTGGCTGCCAATTCCATCGTCAATGCTTCGAGAGAAGCGGAGGCCGGCTCCTCCCAACAAAAGAGCGAGTACGACTGCCAAGAGGAGGAGGACGACCAAGAGGAAAGGGCATTGGTCGAGGGCGTTTGTCGGCACGAAGACCCCCTCTCGTTGATCGTGGCGTCGTTCGCGCCGCGCATCTACGGCCACGAGTTAGTCAAGTTAGGATTATTGCTAGGGCTGTTCGGCGGCACGGACGAGCGAGCAGCAGTGTCCGACGACGCGGACGCCGACGGCTCGGCGAAAAGACGAAGAGAAAACGATGCTGCAAAGGAGAGCATCCAGGTAAGATGTAACTCCCACGTGTTGGTGGTCGGCGACCCTGGATTAGGCAAGTCGCAGATGTTAAGAGCCGCGGCAGCCGTCGCGCCGCGCGCCGTTTATGTGTGCGGGAACACTACTACAACAACAGGCTTGACCGTCTCACTCACAAGGGAAGGCAAGTCCGGCGCACCCGCGTTAGAGGCCGGGGCGGTGGTCCTGGGCGATCGGGGCGCGTGCTGCATCGACGAGTTCGACAAGATGGATAGCGGGCAACATGCGGGTCTGCTGGAGGCCATGGAGCAGCAGCAGATTTCGATAGCGAAGGCCGGCGTCGTCGCGACGCTCCAAGCGCGGACGGCGATCCTCGCCGCGGCGAACCCGGCGGGCGGGAGTTACGATCGCGCGCGCACGGTCGCGGAGAACGTGCGGCTGTCGGCGCCCTTGCTGTCGAGATTTGACTTGGTGTTTTTGTTGGTCGACGACCCGGACGAAGGGCGCGATGAACTCTTATCCAGACACGTGTTGGACGCGCATCGGGGCAAGAACGCGGGCCCGCGGCCATCTTTTCGTAAACGTAGGTCGTCGGGCTGCTCGCCTGGCTCGAGCATGCCCACGTCCGATGCCAAGACCCTCGAAGCGAAATTGCGAGAAGGTGCGAACGCCCTGGACGAGGTCTTGTCCACGCGCGAGTTGCGGACGTACTGCTCGTATGTCAGGAGACGGTGCCACCCGCGCCTGGACACGAAGGCCGCTGTTTTATTGCAGAAGACCTACCTGGAATTAAGGAGGGAGGCGTCTTTAGCTGCTCCGGGCCGCGCCATGCCGATTACCACTCGCCAATTGGAGTCCCTGGTGCGCTTGGCGCAAGCTAGGGCAAAGATCGAGAACCGGTCCGTCGTGACGGAGGACGACGCCCGGGACGTCGTCGCGCTCATGAAGGATTCCGTGCGGGACGCCTGCACGGGGGCGGACGGGAATGTGGACTTTAGTCGCCAGACGTCGGGCATGTCCGCCGCAAAAGCCGTGAAGAAGTTGAGGGATCTCCTCCACGCCGAGTCTGAGAGACTACGGTCGCCGTGGTTTCGATTGGACGACATCATGGAGGTCGCGCGCCGCGGCGGCGTCGGGGGCGCGGTCGACGAGCTCGTGGACGTGTTACGGGATCAAAGCTACCTCATGCACCAGCGCGACGACGAGGGCAACTGGGGCTACAAGCTGACGTCGTGCCGCTTTGGGAGCGGGAGCACGACGCAGGGGTCTTTGGCGCGGTCGACGCAGCGGAGTTTGGCGGAGCGGCTCCGTTGACGCCGTCTTCGTCGACCCGGTGGTGTAAGAACATTGTGTCTGTTAACCGGAGGCATTAGCGGCGGGTTTTTCAAGCCTTTGTGCTCTCCACTGAAGCCCGCCACCGTGCGTACAGTTTGGGGATAACTCACGGATCAATCATTTCCTGTCTCAACTCGCTGTTGCGAAAGCTCGGAGCTTTTTTAAAGCCATCTGCTGCAACATCAAAATTGTTTTCAAGAGGGGTTTTTGAGAGAAGCTAAGCGGTCACGGACGCTAGACTAACCCCTGCGATGGACATCCCCAGGAGCTTGCAAGACTTCCTAGGCTCGGGCGCCGGCGACTCGGCGCCGTGCACAATCATCGACGGCCCGGTACGCACGCGCTCGGGCGGTACGGTCTTGCAACGCGAGGACGACGACGGCGGCCCGGCCGACGAGGCCGTGAACCAGGAGGACGGGGCACCGTTACTACGCGTCGGCGCCGTCGTCGACGCGGCGGCCGTCGCGTTCGGCGAGACCTACGTCGAACAAGCGAGAAACGGCAGCGGCCCGCAAAAGTTCCGAGGCACGATTGTGGCCGCGACGGTGAATGACGATTACTGGAACGTCAAGTACGCGGACGGTAAGGTCTATGCGACGGAGGCGCAGCACCTCACGCTCGTCGTCGAGGAGGCGCCGCAGCCGTATCCGGTCGGCACGTCCGTGGAAGCCCTGTGGAACGGCGGTGCACGCTTCTACCCGGCGCTCGTCGTGGCCGCGCGCGAGGGCGCCGTCGACCTCAGATATACGGACAGCGACGAAGAGTTTGACGTGCCGTTGGACCGCGTCCAGCCGTTAGCGCGCCGCCGCCGCTCAGTCTACGCCGGTGAAGCGCCGGTCGCGTTACCACCGCCCGTGACTCCTGTTGCAGCGACGCCGCGCCGAGCGACGGCGCCGGCCATGGACGCGTTCGAGATCAATTCCGCCAACGACGGCTCCGGCCTGGCCGTCGGCGACCGCGTGTTCGCGGCCTTTGATGGAGAGGCCCAGGTCTGGTGGGGCGGGACGATCGTGGAGAGCACCTTGTACTGCGACGGCGAAGACCTCCACATCGTCTTCGACGACGCGTCGGACCACCACATGTGGGCGTCCACCGTCGCGCGGGCGCTTCCGCCCTCGATCACCCTGAACGTCGACCGGCCCTCTCGCGCGGCGCTGGAGAAGATAGAACGTCTGAAGGCTTCGGGCGAAGGCCGGAAGCGCAAAGCACCCGACAAGATCGACCCCGAGTTCCTCGCGGCATCCCCCTACGGCGAGCGCGCGCCGCGCAAGCCCAAGCCGCCCCCGAAAAGACAAGTGATGGCGAGCGTCGAACTCTACGCCGGATCAGGAGAAACCTCGGCCTGGTTGAGGGACATTGGCTTCGCGACCACGACCGTCGACGTAGATCCGCGCTGCCAAGTCGACGTCGTCGACGACGTTTTGAACCTGCCGAGGACCTTCTGCGACCGCGCAAATGTCGTCGTCGCGGGCGTGGAGTGCGGAACGTACACGTACCTCCAGGGCGGCGCGCACCGCTCGCTCGAGCAACCGGAGGGGTTTTCTCCCCAGGCGTTGCAGGCCAACCGCGAGGCCGAGCACCTCCTCGCCATGTTCCGCTCGGCCAAGCGCGCGAATTCGAAGACGATCTTTCTCGTCGAAAACCCTGCTGCATATATGCAGCACACTGAATTCGCGCGGCGCATGGAGATGGAGCTGGGCCTCACGCGCCTGCGGGTGACGTTCTGCTCGTTCACGGTCGGCCCCGAGCGCGTGCGAAAGCCCACGCACCTCTGGACGAACTCGCGCGTGCTCATCGGCATGTTCAAGGACGACATATTCTACTGCACGCCGGACAAGCCCTGTGGTTGCGCCAAGCACATATCGGTCCGCCCCGCGCCCGGGGCCGGCTACCGTTCGCGCGACGCGGCGTGGTGGCCGGTCGAGTTCGCGGCCTTCGTCGCGCGGATCCTCGCCAACGAGGCGCGCTCGCTCGCCGCCTAGAGCCATGGACGCCGTCGACGACGCGAAGCCTAAACTCGAGTCTTACTCCACCACCTAGCCGTCGGTCCGCCGGAGCACGTACTTCAGCGGCACGGGCCGGTCGGGCGTAATACCAGTCTCATCCGCGTCGTCCTGGAACTGGCAGTGGCACGTGCCGCCCTGCGAGCCCGAACGCCGCGCCGGGATGGTCACGACGCACTGGTAGAAACTGGTAGTGTCCGGGTAGATGCCGAAGACCTCGTCGCCCTTCTGGAGCCGGTTCGCCTCGTCGTGCGCGTCCACGAGGCAGGACTGCGCCCCGCAGAGCACGTGGGCCGGTGGCACGCCGCGACCGGTATCTGTCAGGGGAATGACTCGTGTCGCGCCGAGCTCGAAAACTTTCCTATCGTCGTCGGCGTCGGCGACCTCGTACAGATCTTCATCAGATCGATAGCGCACGACCCTACCCAAAACCCACGCCTCTTTGTCGTAGTCGTCGAGCCGCACCGCGACCTCGTCGCCCGGCCGCGCCGCGCCGGCGTTCTCGAACTCGCCCGTCGCGTGCAGATGCTGGCTCAAATTCGCGAGCTCGCCGTCGATGTGGTCGATGTGGCGAGCCACGGCGACCTCCGTCTGCCGCGCGACCTCGATGGCCTCCTCGAACAAGCCGTCGCACCTTCTTCGTTTCTCGGCTCTCTCTTCAAAGTCTTTTTTGTCGCCGATGACCTCTTCCAATTTCTTCGCGGGCTTCGCGGCCGCCGCGCGCTTGTCGAGCTCCTCGATGACGTCCTTCTCGACCTTGGCCTCCTCCTTCTCGACGGCCTCGAGCTCCGACGTCGCCGTCGCGCCGAGCTGTCTTATTAAATCCAGGTTCCGCTTGACGAGGCCGCTCACGGGCGTGATGACCTCGAGCAAGTCCTCGATGACCGTCGCCTCGGCGCAGGACCGGAGGCCGATCTCGCCGCCGCCGCGGGTGGTGGTCATTCTTGTTTTTTGAGACTAGCGGCCCTCTTCGCCGGCGCTTTGTGGCCAAATGTGGCTTGGTGCCACTGCGAGGCTGCGGTGCCTTGGCGCGGCCAGCGAAGTGGCAGAGGTTCGTCAGTTCACCTTTGATGACAGAGTTGGACTACGCAGAGGCTCGAATAGCCCCGCGCAGAGCAGCAAGCGCCCCAAAACCAGGCTTGGCAAGCTTTCTAGTGTCTTACTGCCGCTAGCTGCGGTTTTGCTCGGCCAATTTTTGCGCAGTTTTTGCGCAGACCTCTGCAGCTGCATCGTTGCGGTGCTCATAGCTTGCGCACAACACTGCGCGCCGTCGCCGCTACCAGCTCACATTGCACGCCGTCGCCGCTACAAGCAAAAAACAACCATGCCAGGCATGAACGTCATGGTCCCGCTCGGCGGCATCGGCAGCCGCTTCCAGAAGGAGGGCTACAAGTACCCCAAGCCCTTTGTTAGAGTGCTCGGCAAGGAGATGATCCTGTGGGTCGTCGACTCGCTGAAGCTAAGGAAGGAGGACTCGCTGGTGGTCGTATACAATCCGGCGTTCCTCGACATGAGGGAATTGATGGAGATGGTCGTGCAGCACGTGCCGGGCACGATCCTCGTCGAGCTCCCGGGTCCGACGCGCGGCGCGGCCGAGACGGTGCGGATCGGGCTCGAGGGCTTAAGTGCGTCACAGCGATCGCGGCCGACGATGCTCGTCGACGGCGACGCGTTCTACACTGTTGATATTGTCAGCATGTACCGGGCCATCTCCACCAAAGCTGGAGGCTCCTTCTGCTTCCGGGACACGCAGCCCAAGCCCATTTACTCCTACGTCACGTGCGTACGCGGCGTCCGAACCATCGCTTCGATTGATGCGTCGCGGCGATGGCGTGCTGGTGGGGTGGACGTACGCCCGCCACGACGCCATCGCCGCGACCGCGTGACGAGGAGCAAGCCTTCGCCGCGACCGCGTATCACACACAGGGTGGGCGCCGACGGCAAGCAGATCACGTCCATCAAAGAAAAGGTCAAGATCAGCGACTGGGCGAACACGGGCTGCTACTGTTTTAGGGACGGGCAGCAGTTACTCAAGTACTGCGCCCAGATCATCGAGCGGGGCGAGACGCAACTTTCTCAGGACATGAAGGGCGAGTTCTACACGTCGGGCGTCATCAAGGCCATGCTCGATGATGGGGAGCGCTTCGAAGCTTTGGTGTTGGACAAGGAGGCCATGCACGTCTTGGGCACGCCGGCGCAGCTCAAGGACTTCTGCCGCACATGGCCGAAGCCCACGGCGTATCGAGTTTGCTTCGACCTGGACAATACGCTCTTCGGGCCGCCCGAGGTGTCGGGCGACTATTCTACTTGTAGACCGATCCCGAGAGCCGTCCGCATGTGCCGCCACCTGAAAACAATGGGCCACCATATCATATTACACACGGCGCGGCGCATGCGCACGCACGGCGCGAACGTGGGCGCGGTCGTGGCCGACGTCGGCGCCGTGACGATCCAATCGCTGCAGGATGCGGGGATTGAGTACGACGAGCTCCACTTCGGCAAGCCCTGGGCCCAGTTCTACATCGACGACTGCGGCGTGAACGCGTACGCGGACCTCGAGAAGGAGCTGGGCTACTACCCGCCGACGGCGGCCGCCGTGGCCTCGAAGTACGTGCCGTCGCCCGTCGCCTCGACGCCGCCGTCCGTGGTCGGGCGGGCGCGGCACTCGTCCACGACGGTCGCCCTCGCGGCGGCGTTGGGGGTGGCGGTCGGGGTGCTGGCGGCGCGGAAGTAATCATCTCATGTCGTGGGTAGTAACGTGTTTACTCGGTCCGCGACGGGGCGGGTGCGAGCTGATCGCGCGATCCCGTCCAGACTAGCGGCCTGTAAGACACTAGCGTTTACAAGGTAAAACCGGTTTTACGCACCTAGATATATTGGAGCGTGAGGCCCGCGCCGGCGCTACGGGCCCGCCGCTACTCTCTCCAAACCTCTCAGTTCTCGCCTGGCCCCTCCCCTTGCGCGACATCGGTCTGAAGCGCCGGGCAAGAGACCTCAAACAGTGACTCCACAAATTTCCAGCGCGCGAACGCGCGGTGGCGGACTCGCGGTAACCATGAATCTGCGCTCGATCCTCTTCGCATGCCTCGCGGCGCAAGGCGTGCGGGCCGCGGCCGTCAAGGTCGCCTGCTTCGGTGACTCCGTCACCGCGGGCTCGAAGGCCAAGGGTAAGGGCAGCCCTCTGATCGTGCGCCTCACGGCCGACATAGGCGTACTGGCAATAGCGGTGCTTTTGGGAGAGTGGGTGCACGAGCCGAGTGCCCGCCTCGCGGGCGCGGCGTCTGCCTAGAAGCATCTGTGCGCCCAAGTCCGTTATCAATTCTAGAGTGGGGTTGCTGGGTTGTTGGGTTTACGTTCGTTTTACCAGCAGCTGTCAAAACCGAAAAGTGGCACAGGCAAAACGGGTTTCGAAATCTTCATCCGAGATTCACTAGCAGCGGCCGCAGTCGCCCCCCGACCGCTTGCTCGTCGTTTCCTACCTGCGTTGTTAGGCCCTTCGCATCTTCTACCCGCGGCCGGCGGCGAGCGGCGGACGAGCGAGGTGGTGCTCGAAGGTGGTGCCCGGCCGATTGCTCCGCCGCCCTCCCTCCCTCGAGTATAGAGTCATAAACGCACACTTCTTAGAACGGAGAACGCGACGCGGCGACGGCTGCGCTGGCAGCTAATCGAGGCCTCGCGCGTGCAACGCTGCATACATGGCAGTCGCGAAGGCGGCCCGCAGCGAGACGATCTGAATGAGCCGCGCGCCGTAGTAGCGCCGCCACTCGGGACGGAAGGCGCCGTACTTCCAGCGGCTGGCGAACGTCGTCGGCCGAAGGACGACGCCCTCCGGCACGGCGATGGAGAGATTCTCTTCGCCGCCGTCGTCGAAGTCAATAAGAACGTCGATACAGAAGCAATCCTCCACGGCCGCGTACTGGGGCTGTGTCAAGCGCGCGCCGATAAATAGTTCGATGGCTTCTTTCATGAAGCCAGTTTCCCGCGCGCGGGCATTCAAAGCGTCCTTGAACGAGTCGAACCCCCTCCGATCCCCGGCAACGGCGGCGCCGTGCTCCGCCTCCACTTCAACAAAGAGCTTGCGCGACCTATCTTTCGTTTGCCGGCCCGCCCCGAGGAGCTCCTGCGGCCTGGCCGGCGCAGCAGAACAAACTATCGGCGCGTCGACTCCTAGCGCATCCAACAGCTCCGTGAGGTCTCGATCCGTCGGGCGTGTCAGCTCGTCGAAGCAGGTCTTCGTCGGTCGGTCGGCGGCCGGCGTTTTCTGACCGCTCGCGCGCACGTGCGCCTCCCAATCCGTCATGTCCCGGTCATCGGGCGCGCCCCAGAGTCCGAGGCGCCGTGCCGCCGCCGCCGCCTCGTAGGCCGCCCCTATGGACTGCGCCACATCTCTATCCACTTTGCCAGTCCGCTGCGCCCGGAGAAATGTCTGCTGCTGCTGCGGCGGCGCATCCACCCTCCAGGACGGGGCCGGCGCGTCGTCGCCCAACGCTTCCTGCTGCTCGGGCGACACGAAGGTGATGCCCTGCTCGACGACCTTCTGCTGCAGAGTCGTCACACCGGAAGCGAGGTCGGCGTCGGCCTCTTTCCTCGCGGCGCGGCGCCCCAGCTCCTCCGATTGCGTCTCCTCGACCATCCGCTTGATCTCCTTGAGGCCCTCCTCCGTGTCCTCGCGCTGCTTGCCGAAGTGCTGGCCCTTGACAACGACCTCGAGGAGGTCGGGCATGCCCGGGGCGGTCTTAATGCGCCTGACGCCATCGATGTCGGACGTACTCCAGCCGTCGTCGACCTTGAGGATCGTCTGGTCGTCCCACTTCTCGCGGTATTTCACGACCGCGGCGTACCTCGTCGCGTTCGCGCGCTCGAGCTCCTCTAATTGCTTGCGGCCGTGGGCCTCGTGGTACGACAGCACCGCTAAGGCCGCGTGGAGCGCTTCCGTGGTCGCCTCCTCGACGTCTTTGGCGCTGCCGCCGTTCTTGATCCTCACGTAGACCGGGCCCAAAGCCGCGTCTCGCGGGTGCTTGTTCGATCCTAGCCCACTTCTGCAATCCAAACCATGGTTCGCGACGATGAAGTCGCCCTTGCGCGCCGTCACGTCCTTGGCCTCAATCTCGGCGAGTTTGAGCTTCGCGTGGGCGGCGACTCGCAACCCGCGTGGGTCCTTGTGTTCTTGGGATACAAGCTGCCACTTGCTGATCATCGATTGGATGGCCCCTTGCTTCTTCTTCTGGAAGAATTTCAGGCGCACCGCCTTGGCCGCAAGCTGCGTGGCCGTCCGCGCGCCGTCCGGTTTCTTGAGCTCGCCGTCGCGTAACTCCTCGAGAATTTTCTTGTTGTCGTCCGTGACCTTCCAGGGCTTCGCCGTTCGCTCGATAGTCTCCGGTAAGGCCTCTTCTACTTCATATAATTCGAAGTCTTCTTCTTCGCCCGCGAGCTCGCCTTCCGTGTACTCGACGTGGAAGAGCGCGGCGGGCAGGCCGTCGCCGTCGACGAAGTCGGACTCCGCCGCCGAGAGCCAGCCGACGACGGTGCCCTTCGAATCGCTGCGGATGACCTCGCGGCCGATGAGGGGGTGGCCCTCCGTTTTAAACTCGGCATCGCAGTCCATGGCCTCCTCCGCGCATTGAGCCATGGCCGATCTTCGTATTGCTGCGGCTGCAGCGTTCTGAGCAGGAATGTCGATCTCTAGATCTAGCACTGCAAACTGCAAACTTTGCGCAAGCAATCCTTAGGCGGCGGCCGGGAGATTGAAGCTAGTGTAGACAGACACTAGGGTTTTCACGAGTATCGCTTCAACCTGATAATTCCTCATAAATTGGCCTTCTTCCAGTTTTCACAGCACTAAATCAACAGTGCCAACCACCGCAAGCAAGTGCACAGCTCACCCAGACTGCTGCTGGCTTGCTGCAGCCAGCAGCACAAAAGAGCAAATGAGCTGCCTCGGCATCGACGTCTCGAGCACGGTGCAGGGCTCGGAGCTGGACCACATTACGGTCGAAGGCATCGAGGCGACGGACGCGCTGGGGCGGGCCATCTGCCAGAGCCAGCTCACCGTGCGCTGCGAAGGCGTCGCTCCCTTGAATTTGGACCTCAAGCTCTCGCCGGACGACCTGGAGCCGGTGTTTAGTGGCGCGGCCTGGGCCGGCACGGTTTTGTGGCGCGCGGCGGCTGTCTTAGTCGATCGAGCGTTTCTGGGGGCGGATGCGGTGCAAATAAAGGGCCGGACGTGCATCGAGCTGGGCTGCGGGTTAGGTGTCCCGGGCATGGCCTGCGCCCGCCTGGGCGCGAGGAACGTCGCTCTCACCGAGCAGCAGTTAGATCTGTGTGGAAATCAATGGCGTGGAATCTACACGCCATCGAGCAGATGCAGTTGCGGGGCGTCCAAAATTTTGATTTCCACACAGGTCGCTCGTCGACCTCCTCACAAGGAACGTGGCGGCCAACTTTTCCGCGGGGGAAGACGTGCGGGCGGTCTCGTTCCCCTGGTCGCGCGCCGGCGCCGAGGCGCTGAAGCACGACTTCTGTGACGGTGGGTGTTTCGACGTGATCGTCTGCTGCGACTGCGTCTACATGCCCCTCTACGGCGACTCGTGGAAGGCTTTGCTCGAAGCCATCGACGCTTTAGCTGGGCCCGCGACGGACGTCCTCATCTCGCTGGAGCGACGCCACGTCAAGGACGGCGACGACGGCGTCGACCCGTTCCTGGAGGGCATGCGCGCGAACGGCTTCGCGCGGACTTCGTACCCGGCGGCCATGCCCGTCGAGGTGTTCCGCTTCCGGCGTGAGGCGTGACGCGTCGTCGACGGCGTCAGGGGCTTTGTTTGTTTTAATCGTGTCGAGTTTCTTCTTGTCATGTCGAAGGCGGCGCGATGCGTCTCGTGGTCACGCCGGCTAGGGATAGGTCGGGCTAGGAGACGCCGCGCGTCGCCGATTCACCGGCGGAGGCCCGGGCCGCGCCTCGCATAACAGGATACTTCCACCTAAGCAGAACCGCCTCGGCAACCCGCCCCGGACAGTGAGCAGTGCGCCGCGACGTGCGGGTATCACCATCACATGGAGATGAGAGCAAAAAAGCTTGGGAGAAGCATTGGAAGGCTGCCCTTCCACGCGCAGAGCGGCCTCCTTACGAAAGGCATCTTTCGACAAAACAGCAGACGGCGTCGCGAGGGAGCCCCCACCTCCTACTGCCTCCACCTCCTACTGCTGGGGAGAGCAGCACTGATCTGCGGCGCGAGACGGCCCTCGGCAGTCGTCGTGGAACGCACCGAACAGTCGCGGAACGATGACCACCTACGAGGAGGTGATGAACTCGTCGCGGACGCACTTCGCGGAACGGCGGCGGCGCGCGCGAAACGCGGCGCCCGCGCCCGCGCCGGCGGCGACGAGCTACTTCGGCCTCGACTTTGGGATCTACGACCTCTTCTGCTGCGCGCCGCAGCAGCAGGACTCCGCCGCACCCAGTTCAATGCCGGGCGACGTCGAGACGGTACTCGAGGTCGACGTGAGCCCGCGAAGACCAGCCCGCACGATAGATATCGTGGCCACCCCAGACGAGGAGGAGCTCGTTTGGGAGCGGCTCGCGCCGCCGACGCGCGACGACACGCGGCGGCCCCACGAGGTGTCGATGGACGTCGACGACGCGCCGTTGCCGCTACCGCCGCCCCGGCCACCCGCATCGCCTGCGCGGTCGCCGGGCGCCGCCGCGCGCCGCGCAGGCCTACGCCCGCGGCGCGCAACCGACAAAAAAACCCCGGCGAGTAACAACACGAGCTAATTTAATCACACAGGGCGCCACCATTCCCGGACGCGACGCCGCCCGACCCGTCGGTTTCACGCCTCGACCGCGTCCGCGGGCGCGGGCGCCGCCGCCCCCGCGGGCCGCGGCGCGTGCGCGAGATGAAGGATATCACGGATCTGTCCCAGCAGCGCGCCGTGGCGCTTCCGGGGGCTCTGGCGCGCGATACTGACATTCCCCGACGGCGTCTTCGGCGGCGTCGTCTGCGGCACCGGCGGCCGCCGGGGCGCGGGGCCCACGAGTTGAGCCTTAAGTGCGGCGATCTGGGCGTCCTTCTGCTTCAGCAGGGCGCGCAGGGCGGCGTTCGTGTTGGCCGGCACGGCTGACGTCGAGGGGCTGCCGCCGTCCGCGGCCGTCAAACCCGTCGACTGGGGCTCCGGCGCGGGCGGCGGCGTCTCCGGTCGCGTGATCTCGTCGAGCAAGGCCAGGCGCGCGTCAACAGGCGTTCGTCGTGGGCACGGCGACGGCGTGCGGGGAGGACTCGGCTCGCTGGCCCTTTTCGCGTCGAGAAAAGACGGCGGCCGCGGCGGCCGCGGGGCCCGCTCCGGCGACCTCGACGTCACGCGCCACTCCCGCGCGGGCTTCCGAGGCGGCGTGCGCCAGCCGATCGCCCGCGCCGACGCAATAAATACCGCCGGAATTGGTCAAACAAATTCATGATGAAATTCCCCACTTCAACAAGAACGCTTAAGCCTAGAATCAAGATGACCACCTTCATCGGAAATATCGTTGCCTGTACCACAGTTAACACAAGAGATCCAACGCTGTTGACGATTCCTTTGGTAAACTCCGCGGCGTAGGAGAAGATGGTCGTCCGCCGAACACTGACCGCGAAGACCATAGGGTCCGCGACGGTGTCATAGGCGTAGTTGACGGCCGCAGTAGTGCAGCCGACGCCGTTTGCGGTCGCCGACTGTGAAAAGTCGAACGAATCTGTTCGCGCCGCGCCCGTCTTCTTCACCGACGGCGGGATGAGAGCCAATCTGGCGCCGAACGCCTCCTGGCCGATCTCCGGGCGTCGGCGGTTAATGTCCAAGATCGTCACGTCTCCAAGCCGCACATCGTGCGCTCGACTCGTTCCGGTGCCTGTGCAGATCAACCAGTGAGTCGGGTGCACCGCGACGCCATCGAGCAGGCGTCGCCTCGATGGTGTGTGTAGGGTCCATGATAAGCCGCCGTGGGCGATCCGCAACTCCTCGCGCCCGGCGATCGGGTCCGTGCGAAAACGAAAAAAGCTAGGGGGTATGACTTTATACATAGGATGACTACACACAACGCCATCGACGCGGCCGCGGCCGCGCCGCCGCGTCCAGCTAGTCTTCTTTGGAGCCGGCGACGTACTCGCTCGTCGCCGCCAGTGCGACGAGGTTGTCGCGCGCGCGCTGGTGTTCCTTGTCACCGAGGCGCGCGAGGTGGCGCCGCTGGTACTCGCGGCCCGCGTCGTCCTTCGGCTGGAAGCGCGGGTTCTTCATCAAAGAAAGAACCGCCTCGTCGACCTCGTCGAAGTACGGCAGGACCAGCTTGGCGATCGTAGCCTTCACCTGCGCGCGGACGTAGCGCAGCAACGTCTGTACCGACTCCGTCGCGTAGTCGGTAGCCAGGTCCGCCGACGGTTGCGACTCGTCCTTGTGGCGCGTTCCGGTCTCGAATTTCGAGGCCGCTCTCTTACCGTAGCCGCTCGGGAGGCGGCACCACGCCTCGAGAGAGTCGCGCAGCGAGACCCGAACGCCCCCCCTCCGTGCATATAACAACCGCGCCGTCGCGTCGAGCGCCAGGCCGCAGTTGTCGAGCACCCACTCGTCCTCGTCCCGCAGCACGGCTTCGACCGTCTTTTCGGTAAGCCTCTCATATAATAAGAGGCGCAGGTGCGAGTTCTCCGTGCACACGACGTCGTCCTTGTCCACGTCGAGGAAGGGCCAGTCGCGCTCGTTCCGCGGCTTCACTAACTGCTGGACGAGGAGCCGACCGTACGGCGCCGAGTTCAGGCCTATCAGTAGGTTTTTGTAGTCGTTCTCCCCGGGGTTAATAGCGCTTCCGGGCGGGAAGTAGAAGTAGTTGTAGAAGTAGTTCACGTACTGCTCGACCAGCACTCGCTCCGACGCGTTCGGATGGATGCCGATGTCGTTGAGGTCCATGAGCGTCCTCCACGACCATGGATCCAGCTCGTCCATGGTCGTCAATCGCCGGTGTTGTACCCGGAAGTCGAAGCGGTCGAGGTCGCGCGTGCACTGGACGCCCGTCATGCGCGTCAACGCCCGCACTTCACAGGCGATTCCGCACGCAGAAAACGCCATCGACGCCACATCAGCAGCTCCTTTCAACGAGGCGAGCGCCCCGGAGCCGCTTCCGACCGCTTGCGAACCGGCGTCGGCCGCGGCCGCGAGCGCGCCGACGCCGAACGAGCCAGCAGCGAGGGCTCGAGCCACCGCACCAGCGACGCCGCCACCACGGCCAGCTAACACTACAGTTTGAGCAGCCCGCACGGCCGCGACCCTCGCCCAACCGGGTGCGCACCTGTTCAGAGCCTTCCGCGCGAGGCTCGTCGTGCGCGCGGCTAACTGGTGCGTCGCGGCGACGCGGCGCGGAGAAACTGGCACCGCCGCCGCCACCAGCGACACGCCGCGCCGCGTCATCTGCGCTAACGCGCGCGCGTCGGCGCGGGCCACCGCCGTCCGCGCGCGGCTCGCCGCGTTGAACGCGTTGCTCGTCGCCACGCAGACGCCGCTGCTCGGGTCCAGCAGCTCCATGGCCTCGTGCGTCAGGAGCCGCTTCCAGCGGTCGTCGCCCTCCAGGAGTCTCTGGACGCCGCCCGACGACCCTTGCGTCAAGAGCTTGTACGTCGGACCGCGATTCAGCAACGCCATCATGGCCAGGCCGACGGCGCCGCCGACGCCGAGGACGCAGGCCACGCAGCAGCACGAGCAGCAGAGGGCGCCCGTCCCGCCGTTCGTGATGCCGCGCCCGAAGAGCGTCACGTAGGGGCCCGACGCGTCGTAGAACCGCTCCAAGAACTCGGCGCGGTCCATCTGCCACGCCGAGATGGCCTTCGGCGCCCGGAGCGAGACGTTGTGGCGCAGCTGGAGCTGGACGATGTCGCTGCCGACGTTGCTCATCCGCGCGTTATCGACCGCGTCTTCCGTCGTCGCCGCCGCGACCGCGCGCCTGGTGTGGATATCAACCAGTGAGTCGAGACGTCGCATCGATGGCGTGGAACCTCCACGTCATCGAGCAGCTGTGACCACAAAGAGAAGGACGCGTCGATGGCGTGGGGCACCTCGAAATTTGATTTCCACACCTTCGCGCACAGGGCCGACGCGGGCACGCTCGCCTTGTAGTTCATCCTATTATAATAAAACATGATGAGCGCGGCGAGCAAGCGCAGCTCCTCGATCCCTTCCGCGCGCGCCTCGGCGTCGTCGCCCATGACCATGGCGAAAGCATGGAGCCCGCCGCCGCCGTGCCCCGCCTCGCACACGCAGTGCGTGTTGCCACCCAGCATCATCGCGCGGCTCGGCACCCCCAAAAAGCCGGCCGCCTTGCGCTGGACGGCGGTCCACTCCTCCGGCGGGATCTTCGTCGGCGACTGGCCCGCCTTCACGAAGCCGAGCTGCTCGACCTTCGCCGCGAGCGCGTCAATCACTGCCTTATCGTCCTCGCGCGCGGTGAACCGCGCGTCCGTGTCGTTCTGCGGGGCGGCCCGCCGGACGAGCGTCACCAGCTCGTCGTACGCCGCCTTCTCGGCGTTGCGCGTAGCGATGTAGTTGTCCTTGCGCGCGCGCAGCACTCTGTTGAACGCGTCGTGCCCCGCGTCGACGCTGCGCGTCGTCAGGCGGATGTAGTTTGAACCGGAGAAGTACTGGCTTCCGTCGCGGCGTTCATCACTCGTGGCGTAACTGCCCAGTTCGGAAGGAAACATGTAGGGTTCGGCCCAATCAAAGGCGCGCGGCAGGTTAAAGTTTCCTGGTAGCGCGCCGTGCTCGCGGTGGTGTGCAAGCGCGTCGCGGTACTCCGTGGGGTAGTTGTTTAATAGGTCCTCGACGTCGTCGCCGTAAGCCATCGTATCAACTGCAGCGGTATCGAGGCCGCCGAGCCGGGACAGCAAATCCAGCGGCTGTTGACTTACGTCGACAGATATGGGTCGGCTGCGCAGCGCGTGCGCGCTCGCGCGCGTGAGGAGGGTTGCGGCCAAGGGCGCGGCAGGTCGTCTGGCAGCAAGAGGAACTGAGAGGAGAGGTGCAGTGCGTTTTCTGAGTAATGCGGCGGCGTATCGATGCATAAAGCAGCGATGCTGCAGATTTAGTGCTGTTCCGCAATCTGTGCGGCAGTGTTAGACGTGTGACAAGGTTGTGTTCAACGCTCTCTTCAGCAGCCGGCGTGCTGGCTAGTGTCTTACTGGACGCTAGCCGACGCGAGCTGTGCAAAAAGCAGCGCGACGCTGCGGTACTGGGGCCGTCTGAGCGCGTGGCGTACGGAGCACAACGCATACAAGACGGACTGACCAGCGCTGCGCTGCCGCACGCCGCCACAGCTCCACACCTGCACACGCTGCAGCCAGCCTCAAAGTACTTGCAGAGAGGCGCATTCGACAGCATCGATGCGAGCGATACGAAAAATAGCGCTTGGCCGCGCGCCGAGGACGCCTGCATCACTGTCATCATCTGCAAGCGCCACGCGCGGAGCTACGCGCGGAGCCGCGTCAGGCGCAAGCGATGCCGACCGCCACCGCAGCACGATCTTCGACCGGCGCAACGTCGAGTTTTTGTTGTGGGAGCAGCCCGCCTTCGCGCGTGGCGGTACGTGCTCGCGGACACGTCGGCGAAGCTCTAATTTCTTTCTTGTGTATCTAGTATACCGAGGGGCCAACCGTTATGGGGGGTACCTAGATCAGACAAAAAGAGGTCTTAGGAAAAGGGGAAAAAGGTCAGGAGATGCCCGCGAGCGTCTCGAGCATCCACACGACCAGAATCGTCGCGGGGTAGATGGCCAGCACTGCTAAAGCCGTCTTCATCGTGTGGACCTTGAATTGCGTGGCCACCACAAAAACGCAGAGCTCCGCCAGTAATATGGCGATGACCTCGGCCGTGTAGTTCCAGTACAGGCCCTGCGTCGCGATGAGTATGAGGAAGATGAACAAGCAGTACGTGTTGTTCATGACCGCCGCGCCGAGCAACTGCTCGTACGCGACCGTCATGCTCTTCATCGTCTTCTTCTGCGCGAAGGTGTAGGACGCCATCAATTCGCTTCCATTCGTGATGAGGGGTGCCACGACAAACGCCACGTAGAAGGCGTTCACGCCGATGCGTTCTCCTATGGCCGTGAGCACGTCACTGATCGGATCACTGAAAATGAGCACCACAATCGTGCCGACGCCACACAGGTAAGCCGCAGATCGTTTGATGGCGGCCTGCTGCTCCTCAATCGTCTTGAATTTTTCCTGGGCGAACTCGTCGGGGCACTCCTCCTCCTCGCTTTCGTCGCCGTCGTCTTCTTTCGACTCCTCCTCCACTCTACTACTTGTTCTATCTACCGCAGCGGATTCGTTGGCCTTCTTCTTCCCGATGTAAGAACGAACGCCGTCGCAGAACTCCACAAAGGAGATCTCGCCCGACTGGTCGGTATCAAAATTTTTGAACAGGGCCTCGAGCTCATGGGCACTTTTCGGTTCGTTCAGGTCCATGAAGACTCGGCCGAGCTCCGACGTTTCTAGCGTACCCGAGCCGTCCACATCGTATTTCGAGAAGAAGGGTCGCAGGACGTTTTGCAGCATCGTCATGCTCCTCTTGCTCTCGGCTTGTATTAACGACTGCGACGCGCCTGTCTGGGACATTTCTTGCTCCTGCTTCTCCATCGCTTCCAGCAACGGTCGCACCGCGGCAACCAAGCCCTGACCACCACTCACAGTATTCTGTACCGCTCTGACTTGCTTGGACGCGACCGAGGGTGATGACGTGCGGTCGTTCTGGTATTTCAAGTAAGCCAGGAAGAAGCCGATGGTCATCAGCGTCCCCACGATGGCATAGACGCGTTCGGGCGAGCCCTCCGACTCCAGCGTGACGTCGTCCAGGTTCTGCTGGTTGAGGATGCCGCCGTTCTCCGCTTCGGCTATCAAAGCACCCACCTCAATCACCAAGTAAGGAATGGAAGTAATCGCCATCCAGTAGGCCATGTTCCTCACTACAATGCTACCAGTCTCGCCCGTACAGACGCCGGCGTCCCAGAGGTTGCCCTCGGTCAGTCGCTTCTTCTTTGTCGCGTACTTCGGTTGACCATTACTATCAAGATCGACGCGGCCGCCGTAGATCGCGAGGAACCAGGGGATCGTGATGAGCATCACTGTACTACCAGCTAAGGCACCCACACCGACATCCAAGTTCGTCTGCGCGTCCGGCCCGATGCCCGAGAAGAGCACGATAGCACCATCTGGTACCGCACCCAATATAGGTAAAATAACAGCTCCCACAAGCTTGGAGTAGGGCGTGAGCATCAATAACTCGGCGCCGTCCGAAATCATGTTGCACCCAAAGTAGAGGATCACGCAATAGGCCAAAAACAGCTGCGTCAATTGCAAGCCGCCGTACCAGTCGTCGGGGAAGGAGTCGGGGTCGATGAAGATGCTGTCGGTCGCGTCGTCGTCCGTTTCGTCCGCCCTGATGCGCGTGGCGAGGAGGGCCAGGCCCAGCACTGTGTGTGCGGGCGCCATCGCGGCCTAGGGGCTGCCCCCGCCGCGGTCGCGTCGACGGGCGTCGCGGTGGGCTGCTTCGAGCCCACTGGCTGCTTCCCGGGGCCCTTAGGTACGCCGCTCCCGGCGTCCGAGCCGCCTGCGGATCCAGGGCTCGGCGTGAATTTGCCTTTTCCAGTGCGCCTCGATCCGGGTCCGAAGACTCGTCCGCGGCCCCGGAGGGCCTCGGCCGTGGGCTCGGACGCGTTCATTTGTTGATTGCCGAGAAAACCCGAGACTTTCATGCAAAACACAGCGCTCGGCGCGCGCGGCAACGCAGTAGCCGCCATAACTGGCCCGAGGGAGGTCATTTCTTCCGCCCCACGCCACCGCCGCAAGGGCAGCCAAGATGAGCCATGGCGGCGTCACCGCCTCGACGCGCAGTGATTTAGATGACATCTCCGCTGTGGAACGAGACCTTAAAGACAGACAGGAGCAGTTCATAAGAAGGGAGCGCGTCTACAAGATGCGGCTGGAAGAACTGCGGAAGGAGCTTGGACAACTAAAAAACGACAAAATCAGCTGGATGAAGAGCGACCCGAACATGGTCAAAATTAGGGAGGCGCAGGCGGAAGTGCTCAAGAACGTGGGGTTGGTCCAGGGCGAGACGGCTTCAGCCGTGCAGGCCCAGGAGACGGATTTACTGAAGCGGTTCCGCGGGAGGCTGCAAGTGGTCCAAGACGAGCTAGCTGCGGAGCGAAGAAAGGCCGGCGAAGGCGCCAAAGAATGGATCGCTCGAGCCACGGCCTTGGAGCACGAAGCGAAGACGGCGAAACAACGAGCTGAAGTGTTAGACAAGGCGAACCAGCGGCTAGGTAGGGAGAACGGCTTTCTCACGAGACAATTCGAGAGCCAGGAAGACGACCGAGCCTTGCTCGTGAAGCAGTTGGTGAGTGTCAAGGAGGAGAATGCATCTCTAAGGAGCGAGGTCGACGAGAAGGAGGCCCTGGCGAAGGCAAGGGGCGACGCATTACCTCCGTTACTAGCTCCCGCGCCGGCACCTGTAATCGAGGAAAAGAAAGCCCCGGACGCCGATACGACCTTCAAGGAGGCCACGCGGAAGCTCAAGAAATTGTTGGAGGTGGAGAAGCGGCATCTCGCGGAAGTGACCGAGGCGCACGAGAAATGGAAGGCTTCGAGGACACCTTTAGAGCTCGCTCTACGGGATGCGGTGGCCGTCGAGGCGGAAAGTGTCGCAGCGAGACTGGGAGGGAAGGCGCGGACATCAAACGCGCCCGGCGCGCCGCTGGACTCGGCGACGCTCGCGGGCTTCGACGCGGATGATCGGGCGCGGGCTATTGAAAGGTGGCTCTCGGCCGACGGCGTCCTCGACTCCTTGTATCCCGAGGAGGTCGGCGGGCCGGCGCCGGCGGAGCATAAGTAGCTTGTCCTGACCCCGCACGAATCGATTTGGCTGCTCGTTCCCATCGATTTTGCACCCCGCTGTCGCACGCCCTGGTCCACCGCCTCGCCTGTGTGACCGCTGCGCACTGCCAGTGACTCAGCTGCGTCCTGCCTGCCAGCGCGCGGCTGTGCTCGAGCCGTTCCCATCGAGTTCTACTGAGAGCACCGGCAGTCAAATCAAATTCACCAGCCGCGCGCGCGCTATCAAGAGTCGCCGCAAATCTAGACGACCATGGATGGACCCTGGGACATCGACCCGGACGAGGAGGAAGCGATGATCGCCGAGCAGGCCGAGCACGACCAGGCGGCCGCCGACGCCGCCGCCGCCGAGTACGAAGCCCAAGACTCCAAGAAGCGCCCCGCGCCCAAGACCTTCACGCGATCCGACGATGAAACGCCGGTCGAAGGTGTGGAAGAGGCGACGAGCAAGTGCTTCCGCTGCGGCGGCATCGGCCACTGGGCGAGGGACTGCCCCAAGAAGGCCAAGACCGCGCCGGCTGTCGACGCGGCGCCGGCCGAGGCGCCCATGTGCCCCGACAATCCGCACAAGAAGTGCGGCCGCATGAACCAGTTGACGTCGCACTCGGAGCGCAACCCGAACCGCGACTATTATAAATGTCCGGTCTGCTCCTGCTTCAAGTGGGTCGACGAGTGGTCGGGCAAGTCGTCCGCCGAGGAGTGGGGGCGGGACGACGAGGTCAAAAAGCCCCTGTCGGACGCGAACTGCTTCAAGTGCGGCGCCGCTGGTCACTGGGCGCGCGTACAACTCCCGTGTCTCTTGATCCTTCGCGGCGATGGCGTGGCGGGGGCGTCAGATCTCAACAACACGCCATCGACGCGACGTGTTCCGCGCAGGACTGCCCCACCAACAACAAGCCCGAAGCGGACAAGCCCGAGGAGGAGGAATTTCCTCAGCGGGATTGCGAGAAGGGCTGCGGCCCGCTGAGCATCCGCACGGCGCGCTCGGAGCAGAACTCGGGCCGCAAGTACTACAAGTCGGCGCGCGGCGTCCTTCTTCACCTTCGACTCGCAAGCGTCGCGGCGATGGCGTCTCGTACGCCGTCGACGCGACTCGACGCGACTCGATTCGCGCAGGTGCGACTCGTGCGACTTCTTCAAGTGGTGCAACCAGATGCCGGCCCAGGGCGGCGGCACGGCTTCCGCGCGGCCGGCTGGCACGTCCAAGGCCGGCTCCGGCGGCGGCAAAGACACGTGCTTCATCTGCGGGCAAGAGGGCCACTGGTCGAGAGACTGCCCCAACAAGGGCAAGGGCAAGCGCGGCTCCTACGGGGGCGGTTCCAGTGGATACGGCGGCGGCGCGCGCAAGACGTCGGGCGGCGGCGGCGGCGGCGGCAACTGCTTCAAGTGCGGCCAGAGCGGCCACTGGTCGAGGGACTGCCCGAACGGGAACAGCGGTGGCGGGTACCGCTCGCGCTACTAGATGCGGCCCCCCGAACGGGGCCGTAGTATACTAAAACATCTCGTGTTAACACATAATAGCGACTCAGAGCTCGGCCGTTTCCAGCAATGACCGCGACCCCTTCCGCAGCAGCGTGGACCAGAGCTCGTCGGAGCTCCGTGCCTTGCCCGAGTCGATCACGGTATGGTCGTAGGGCTTGGCCGGGTCCGCGATCCAGATGACGGCGGGTATGCCGTCCTTGAGGAGCCCTTTGTACTTCATCGCGAGGGGCGGGCCGCCGCTCTCGTCCATGTTGATGCGGCCGACGGCGACCTTCGTATTCTGCAAGACCTTCGCCTCGACGCCGTGCCAGATGTCCGCGTAGGCCTTGCACGACGCGCACATGCCGCTGTAGATCTCGATGAGCCAGGGCGTGCCGACCTCCTGCAATGCTACTTCGTAGACGTCCTTTTGCAGCTCTACCACTGGTAACGCACTTGCAGTGCCCAGGGCGAGCACGAGGAGAGCGGTGCTGCGCATTGTGTGCTGAGAAGGCTATTGCGCAATTTTTTAGGCGGTGGCTTGCAGCAAACGCGTGTCGCAGCAGTGCAAGAGATGATATTATTGCGCTTCGTCCACCTGCGAAGCACGCGCAGACAGCGTATACGCCGCTGGCCGATTTTTTTTGGCTCGAAAAACCCGTTTTGGAATCAAAGACCAGAATTTTTTAGCCGTTTTAGCTGGCCATCTGGCCCCAAGTCGCTTGCTGACCCGCAGCGCTCTGATTTATACTGTAGCAGCAGCCTTTTCAGCGCTGGGACCAAGCGCCAAAAGTTTAGCGCGCCAGACGTGACACAGTTAAAGCTTGCCCGGAAGCCGCCGCGCACGCCAAAAAAAGCAGCGCCGCGCGGGACCGTCGGCGAAGGAGAACCCTACCGACAACACCGCCGTCCGTACAACACACGATGACGAGCTACGCAACACCGCGCAGCCCCTTGCGCCACATCACCACGCCGCCGCTCACAAGCCCGACCTCCGCGCGGCGCCACAAGGAGGAGGTCGAGGAACTGAGGACCCTCCAAAAGAAAAACTCCGAATTGAGACGGGCGCTCGAGCAGCGCAAGGCCTACCCTTGGCCGTCGAGCGAGGCGCGGCAGCGCGCGACGGAGTTCGCCGCCGCCGCGCGGCCGACGCCGCCCGCCGCCGTGCGGCCGACGCCGCAGCAGCGCCCGCCGAGTGCGGCGCACATCTCCGGCCGGTCCGACGCGCCGGTCAGCCGGTCGCACTACTCCCCTCAGCCGCCACAGCGCCAGTCACTCGGGCGACGCAATCTTGATTTCGACGAGGACAGCGCCGAAGCCAGGAAGCTCGTGGAGAGCGCCGCGGCGACGGTCAGCGCCGAGCGCCAAGAAGCGCGCGTGGCCGAGGCGACGCAGCGGGCCCTGACGCGCCTCAACGAGCTCGAATCCGCGGCGGCGGCGGCCGAGCGGCGCGTCCGCGGTGCCGAGGAGCGCGAGGCGACGCTGCGGCGCGTCGTCGACGCGGCCAAGGCCGACGTCCGGAGCCGCTCGCGACCGGAACCTTGTATTGGTTGGTTCTCGACGCTCGCGATGCTGTTCCTCGCCTTCGGAGCTGGAATGATGGTGCAGACGCCCTATCCAACATACGCTGTGACACACTAAACTTGAATGTTAACGAGATAAACCCTTCTCGATGCGCTTCTTGACGTCGCCGAGCATGCCCGCGTGCGCGTCGAAGACCTTGCCGACGCACGTGTTGAAGACGTTCTGCGCGCGGTTCTGGTCGGAGTAGCCGCCTGTGGTGTGATGCGACCGTTCGCACGCCAGCGACGCGACCCCCGGGATATCTCTGCTCGATGGCGTAAGGAGATCTGATCGGACGCCGCGCGCGAACCGTCCTTGACGTCGTCCTGGCACGTCGCGATCGCGCGCTGGAGCCGGCTCTGGAAGTCGTTTAACTCCCCTTGTACTACTTGCGAAGCGCGCTGCTCGGGCAGCTGCGCCTTCTGGAGGCACTGCTGGTACGCCGTCGGGTCGGACAGGTCGCAGCACTTCGCCATCGCGAGGAAGCCCTGCTTGCGCATGGGCCGCAGCCGCTCGTCTTCCACGGAGGCCAGCATGGCCTCCAATTTGGATTGCAGCTCGCGCTGCTTCGCCTGCACTTGCTGAGCCATGTAGACTGGTTGCTGTGTATAAGGTTCGCGGCGTAAGGCGCGCAAGCAGTCGAGTTTCGATTGATGTGGATGCGTTTGACGTATTCCACGAGTGCTTTTGCTTCGCGTGCGGCTACGCTGCGTGGCGACCTGGTTTGATGCAAAACACCTCGCTGTGCGGCTGCGAGAGCAGTGCTCTTTGAGCAGTGCTAGCAGCCCGCACACGCGTCGCTAGACCACAGCACTCGGTGTGTAGGCGCACAAGTCACAAAGCGACGCAGCAATGCTCTCCCGCCGCGCCCTGCTCTGCCTCACGCCGGCGCTGGCCCTGCAGGCGCCGTCAGCGCGGCGCCTCACCACGAGAATGAGCGCCGCGCCGCCCTACACGTTGTACGACCTGCCCGTCTCGAACAACGGCGCGCGCGTGCGCATGCTGCTCTACTACAAAGATGTCAAAGATGTGGAGATCGTCTCGCCGATGGAGCTCGGCGGCTTGCGGAGCGAGGACTACCTGAAGGTGAACCCCCAGGGCAAGATGCCCGCTCTGTCGTGCAGAGACGAGAATGAATTGGTGCCCGAGTCCGATACCATTGCAAGGTTCCTCGGGGGCAAGTTTGATGCCGGCGGCGCGTTCTCACCACCGGCCGGCTCAATAGAAGCGTTGAAGGCCGACCGTTTATGCAGACACCACGATGTTTATCTAGCACCAATACAAGGATGCCTCTACAAGGCCTCGCCCCAAGGCCAGGCGTACGGCGCGTTTCCCACACGTGATGCTGCTTTAGATGAGTTCCAGAAACAGTTGAAATTGATCGAGAGATATGCTGACGAAACGGGACCGTACCTGTGTGGCGCGGCGCCGTCGCAGGCGGACTGCGCCCTGTTTCCTACGTTGATATTTGCCGACACGATGCTGCCGAAGTTCGACCGCGAGTTTACCGTCGGTCCGAACACGCAAAAGTGGTTCGACATGCTTAAGTCAACAGATCCAGTAGGTCAGCGCATCTATGACGAGGTCCACTCGGCGCTGGAGGGCTGGGCAGGTAAAGGGAGATGGGATACCATACACGGTGCCGGTCTTAGGGACACAGAGGAGACGATCTTCGACAAGATCGTGGCCGGGGATATTCCCTCCGAAAAAGTCTACGAAGACGACCTATGTTTGGCGTTCAAAGATGTAGCCCCTTGTGCGCCCGTCCACGTGCTCCTCATCCCTAAACACAGAAACGACCTATCACAGTTACGGAAGGCGCAGCCGGAGCACGTCGGCTTGCTGGGCCACCTGATGTCGAAGGTCGGCGCCGTGGCGGAAGCGGCCGGTTTAGATGATTATCGGGTCGTGGTCAACGACGGCGCGGGCGCGGGGCAGACCGTCTTCCACCTGCACGTCCACGTGATTGGGGGCCGGGAGCTGGCGTGGCCTCCTGGTTAATGGGGCCTCTTTAAGAATATATCTGTTTTTTTCGGACCCGCACCGACCCCGCACACCACCCCTCCTAATCGGCCAGGCTCGGAGCGATGGTCCAGAACCACTGCATTCCGACGGCCGAACCCCCAGACGCCATCGACGCGGCGCGGCCGATGTGACGCTACGGTAACAATATCATTAGACACCTAGGGGCACGCCGTCAGGACGCCGTCGAGGCCCTTCTTGCGCGGCGGCGCCTTCGCGTCCTCCGCCAAATCCTTCGCCGGGTAGCCGTACCAGATCGCGCCCATGAGCTTCTCGCCCGCGGGCGCGCCGACGGCCGCCATGACGTCCTCCGGCGCGGCGCCGAGCGCGCCCGTCATCCACTTGCTGCCGATGCCCTCGCCGGCGAGCGAGAGCATGAAGTTCTGGATGGCGCAGGCGCAGGCGGCGTGGTCCTCGAGGCCGAGCTTCTCCGACAAATCGTGCTCGGAAGCGCAGGTGACGACGAGCCACTCCGGCACGCCCTCGGCGGCCTTGCGTTTCTCCTCGTTGAGACCGCACAACTTGGCTTTGGTCTCCGGGCCTGTGCGTAAAGCAACCAGTGAGACAACCACGCCGTCGAGCAGACGTCGCGTCGATGGCGTGCAGGACACTGCATCTGACCGGCGGTGTAGAAGCGCCACGGCTCCGACAAGAAGTGGTTCGGCGCCTGGATCGCTGCCTCCAGCGCTTTGGTCGTCGCGTCCGCGGGAACCGCTTTGTCCGAGTACTTGGCTACGCTGCGGCGTGCCTTGAGGGGGTTGAGAGCCCCGACGCCAGCAAAAACAAGTGCCAAAGCGGTGGTCTTCATCGTTTATGCAAGTGTGCAAGCTATTATATGTACAGGTTGCAATTTGAGAGCGTGTGGCAAGTTGATTATTGCCCTTGCTGGCACTGTCATTTTATGCTCCTAACGGTGCTCCTCGAAAGCTCCCGACAGGAGTACCGGAACGCTCTCATCGGTCGTCCGTTGCCCGGCGACGCGTCTATCGGGCTGTCTGTGGCCCTGTCCCAGCCTGCAGTGGGCCCATGGGCACAGTGCTTCACACGCGACAGCCAGCACGCGAGCGCAAGTATCGGTTTAGAGTGCTAATTGGATCCACAATTGACTGCGCGAGCGAAGCGCACGTTTAACAGCACTGACAAGGAGAGCATTTGAGTGCTCTCACTGCCTCTCTCAGGGTGCAAACCGCCGCGCGCGCGGCGGGACAGCGCAATGCGATCGCGATACGTATCTCTCGCATGGCTCGCCGCAGCAAGTGCACTCATCGTGCCGCGTCAACGACTGCCGAGAGTCGCGACGCGAAGTGCGGTGGACGAGGTGCCGCGCGGCGGCGCCGTGCCGCCTCTGTTACGAAACAAGACGCCCGTCGAGGCCGTCTGGACCGTGGCCTGGCCGTCGGTAGCCATCGGTTTACTGAGGACGGCGCTGGGCCAGACTGATGCGTGGTATATTGGCCGATTGGGAAAGAAGGAGCTCGAGGCCATGGGGGCGGCGTCGTTCGGCGTCTGGCTCGTTTACTTGTTGGGCGAGGTGGGGGCCGTCGGCGTGCAGGCGCTGGCGTCGGAGAGCGAAGGGGCTGGCGATCGAAAAGGCGTGGGTAGGGCGGTCGTGCAGGGCCTGTATTTTTGCCTCATCTCCGCATTTGTATCCTCATTATTTTCGAGCAAAGCAGCTCTGGACGCGTATTTCGACGTACTGAAAGTGACAGACGCCACAGTAAGACGACACGCGGCGTCGTATCTGCGAGCAACAGCGCGGTACGGCGTCTTGCCGCTGTGCGCCGACGCGGTCGCGTTCGCGGGCTTCAAGGGGTTGGGCGAGACGCGGGCGGCGCTGCAGATCTCCGCGTTTACTGTATTGTTAAATATAGTGCTGAACGGGCCCTTCATCAAGCGTTTTGGCGTGGCCGGCGCGGCGCGTGCCGGTGTCCCATCGACGCGACGTTGTCTTCGTAACTGCGTCTGCTCGATGGCGTGAAGGTTCCACGCCGTCGACGCGACGGTGTCCCCGTGGTCGCGTCGGCTCGATGGTGTGATTTCCGCGCAGGCGCACGCTACCTCGATCTCCGCCCTGGCGGCGACGCTCGTCGCGCTCTGGCGGTTGAGTTTGAGGCGCGTCCGACTCTCAAGGACTCCGAAGCCCGATGTGAAAACGATCAGGCAGATTACGAGAGTCGGGGGGCCGATAGGAGTGTCGGGCACGATATTCACACTCATCTACGTGATTCTGGGCCGCCAGCTTTCCGCATTGCAGGGCGGCGCCGCGCTGGCCGCGCTGGCGGTGGGGCACCGCATCGAGGCCGTCTCATATACCATAACGGAGGGCTACGCCGTCGGCGTCGCGACGGTCGTCGGCCAGTGGCGCGGCGCCGGGAATAATGAGCGAGCGGCCGAGTCCGCGTTCCAGGCCTCGCGGTACGGCGCCCTGTCCATGGTGCCCCTCTCGCTGCTCGCGTTCGCGTTCGCGCCCGCGGCATCAAGCTTCTTCGCGCCGGACCCGGCCGTGTCGCAAGCCGCCGCGAATTATTTAAGGGCCGTGGCGTGGTGCTTCCCCTTCTGCGCCGTCGAGGCGTGTTTTGATGGCGGGTGCATCGGCGCGCAGCGCACTGTTTTATCGATGGTGCTCGGTGTGCTAGGGAATGGGTTGAGGATCCCGCTTGCGGCTTTATTCGCCTCCAAATATGGAGTCGACGGCGTCTGGTGGGCCATCACGCTGTCGACCATATTGAAAGCACCTCTCAAAAGGTGGTGCTTCCGGCGAGCTATTAAGAATTGTGATTAGTTACTTCTTGGCGAAGAAGGAAGAGAGGCTGGTCTGGCCCTTCTTGAGCTTCTTCTTGGGCGCGGGCTTCGGCTTCGGCAAACCCTTGGGCTTCGGCGCGGCGGGCTTCGCCTTCGGCGCACTGATCTCCATCTTCGTAGCCGCACTCTCGTCCTTGACCCAGACCTGCTGCGTGCAGAAGTAGCCGTTCGGGTCGACGTACGTTTTTTCTACCAATTTCATGCCCGGCTTGGCCTCTTCCTTCGGCGGCGGAGGGGCTTCTTCCTCCTGCGGGGGGCGCGACCGGTGAGCGACGCTGTCGAGCTGGCGTCGCTGCGACGGCGTGGAAGGGACGCCGCGACGCGCCTCCTCCATGGGCGGCCGCTCGTCCTCCTCGGGCGACGCGACCTCCACAGAATCGCCGTCCTCCTCGTCGTCATCATCATCCGATTCGACGATGCGCCGCTTCTTTTTATTGACAACGGGCGCGGGCTTCTTCTTCTTGCTCGAGGAAGTTTTCTTCGAACCACCAAAGAGCGCCGCGTGGCCCTTCTTCTTCGATCCGAAGCCAATGGGTAAAGCTGAAGACTTCTTCCGCCGCGCTTCCGCGGCTTCGCGCTCGGCCTTCGCCTCGGCCTCGGCCTTCGCGGCCTTCTCGCCCGTGGGATCGGCCCAGTCCGTTTTTGATGAGATCTGGACGTCGCATCGGATGCGCGCCGCCCGCGCTTCGCGGAAGGCAATTCCCGCGTCGGACTCGTCTTCTAGGAGCCGGGCGGCCTCCGCGGCGTCCTTGCGCCACAACTCGGGCCATGCTTCACTGGAAGGAGCGACGGCGTACAATGGTGCGGTGTTGTCCTTCTGGCGCCGCACTAGTCTGATGGTCCGGCCGGCGATGGACGTCCCAAGCTTTGATTTTGTCCGTTCCGGCGTCACGACGACCACGGCGCGCTGGCAGTCGGGGTGCGCCTTCTCCAATTGATCAAGGGCGGTCTGCGCGTCCGAGGCGGGGCACGCGTTCCTTAATTGGGAGGTCGAGACGCCCTCGCGGCCGGCCCAGCGCGCCGCGGCGACGGCGTCGGCCGTCGGCGGGGCGTTGACGGATGATTGGCCGAAGGGCATGGTTTGCTTTGCGCGTTTTTTGTGCGCGCGGCGCTCTGTACCGGTCTCAGGCTGTGGCGCCGCTAGACGGTCCGCGCGCCAGGCGGCTGAAGGTGCTAAATGGCGGGGGCGGTTTTTGCGGCGCGCGGCGGGCGAACAGCTGTAGTGCTGTAGCGCGCGCCTATCCCTGCAGTACGATGGCGCTGCGTAGCCGGCCCAGTTGTCGCAAAGCGGTCTGAGCGGCTCTATTGACGGCCCTGAAAATCAAACTCGAGACTAAGCTAGCGGCAGTAAAGACACTAGCAAGCGCAAGCTAAACGTCTGGAGCCCCACCAGACCTCTCCCAAGCCTTCAGAACCGAAGCCGCGCGCCCCCGGTTCCTCGCCCACGCCACGAGAAGCTTTGAGCGCACGTTGACCCGCCCACTCACGGACGCGGTAGCCGCGCCACGACCGACTCGGATGATACTACTGTTTATAAACCGCACCTTACGCCGCCGCCAGTAAGTGCCGGGGTAACCAAGTTTTTGTGCGCGACGCCTGCGCTCCCACACTCACAGGCCAAACATCTAGGAGAAGATGGAGAAGTCGCCGGAGAACGGGATCATGACGTTGCCGTCGTACGGCGGGATCATGTCCTTGAGCGCCGGGACGGAGCCCGGGACCGTCGCCTCGGAGATGATCGAGAAGATGCCGAGCATGGCGAGGCGGCCGTTGTTGACCTCGGTGAGGCGCCCGCGCGCCTGTGGAGACGATCGACGGTGAGCGGCCGGTCGCGCGGACGAAGCAAGGAAGCGAAGCAAGGAAGCACAATGGGACGCTGGCGCGGACCTTCTTCTCGGCGGAGTCGCCCTCGAAGAAGTTGAAGGGGTCGTAGAGGTTGAAGATGAGCTCCGGGCGCTTGCCCTTGATCGGGGGGTAGTAGCCCGGGAGGCCGCCCTTGGTGTAGTGGGGCGCGAGGATCTCGCCGTACGACTCGAGCATGCCGACGATCACGAGGATCTGGAGCTTGCCGTAGAGGGGGATGGCGTCCCACTGCTCCGGGGGGGTGAGCCCGGGCTCGAAGCCGCGGTACGGCAGGATCTTGTGCGGGCCCGAGACGAGCTCCGTCGCGCCGGCCATGTAGCCGAGGAACGCGGCCATCGCAACGCGGCCGTGCTTGATCTCCGCGTGGCGGAGGTAGCCGATCGTGCCCTCGTTGCCGAGGCCCCAGAAGTTCGAGTCCAGGGCGCCGAGGGGGTCCCAGAAGCCGATGGCCTTGCCGAGGAAATCGGGGTTGGCCTCCGCGAGCGCGATCACCTCGTCCTTGGACGCGGCGAGCGACGACGTCGCCTTCGGCGCGACGGGCGCGACGTACGCCGCGGCGCCGGAGAGCGCGAGGGCGGCGATGATCTTCTGCATCTTGACCTGCGGAGCGGACCGGGTGACACACCGCTGCGGCGTGCGCGCGTCGAAGGCGTGCGCTCGTGGGGAACCGACGGGTGAGCGCCGCCGGCACCGCGAGGCGGGCCATGGCATGGAGTGTGTGAGCCGCGCTGCGACGGCGGGGCACCGCTGTGGCGCGCGCGCGTCGACGGACGGGCGCTCGCTTCGACGAGCGCGCCCTCGCTGCTTGGTTTGAATATCGGATATGACGGAAGTCCGAGCGCTACCGGCGCCAAGCAGCACAGGGGCCGGCGCTTTTGCCTCGCAGCGACCCGCGGTGCAGGCGTCGTGGCCTGGCGCGGCTGGCTGTGGCCACAACGCGCGGGCGGCGCCGCTCGCGCAGCGCTTCCACACCGTGGCGATGTGGCGGATTTGGCCCGCTCACGCCACCGACGGCGCCGCGATTTCGCAAAATGCCTCAGCGCAGCTCAGACACGACGTCTACCCATGCGTTTTGCAGTGCGCGGTGGCGGACGCTGCTATTTACGGCAAGTTAGGTGTTTGCTGAAGGTCGAGGGATTGGATAAGGGCTAGTAGCTCCTAGTAGGTGGCCCCCTGTGGCCCCCTCCCTGAAACCCGGGATTGAGACATATCAACCCTCTACTTGATGAATCCCAGGCCTCAGATGGCCGCGCGCGTCGGATAATCCCATTTCTGTCGGGTTTCAGCCAGCGCCTTGGTCCAAGTGCCAAGGGCAGCCCAGCCCAGGCCCACGGGCAGCCACAGGCACTCCAGAAGTCGCAACGATGGGCGCCTGCCTCCGCAAGCCCCCGTCGGCACCGGTAGTCATAGAACCGGAGGACGCCCCAGCAGTAGCATTGGCCCCAGACGACCTGTCCAAGCCGCCGAACGCGCTGCACGTGCGCATTATACGAGCGAGAGACCTGCCGGCCGTCGACACGAACCTCCTCACCAAAAACAGCAGCGACCCCTATGTTTTGTTGGAATGTTGCGGCGAACGGGCCCGCACCACCACGAAGAAGAGGAACCTGAATCCAGATTATGGAGAGGCCTTCCTCCTTTCTAGGGATGAGGACGAACCGCTCTCACTCGTCGTGATGGACGCCGACGTGCTCAGTGCCGACGACGTCATGTGCTCGTGTACTGTACAGATACAAGGTAGGGAACCGAGGAAAGCATGGTACGACCTCACTCACAATGGGGAACAGAAAGGTAGGATTCAAGTGGTGACGCATCTTGTATATGACGCCGTCGAGTTCAGCGAGCGCGCCAGGCTGCCGGAAACGGACGACGGTTCACGAAGAGCCAACGAGCTCTGCGTCGTTTTAAGAAGGGCCAAGAACTTAAGAATAGCGGACCACTCACTCATTGGACAGGGCTCGTCCGACCCCTTCGTCGTGGTAAGGTGCGACGGCGCGTCCGCGCAAAGTCGCGTGGTGAGCAAGAATCTGCATCCCGTGTTCGACGAACTCCTGTCTTTGAGGGTTGAAGATGGGACGGCACCGATCAGCATTGAGGTACGGGACAAGGACATGGTAGGAAGCGATTTACTAGGTAGGGTCGAGCTCGGCGCGGTCGGTTCGCTAGACGCTTCTACCGACACCTGGTATCAACTGGATCAGCAAGGAGCGATAAGACTATCATTAAGGTGGCGCTTTAATGATCAGAGAGAGCCGTGCTGGATCGAGCGGGAAGAGCAGCGGGACCGCTCAGTGAAACTGAACGAACTGGCCGTGTTCCTGCGAGGTGCTACTGGTCCCAAGATAGGCGACCCCCGGTCCAACAAGGGCGTCTTCGCCGTGCTAAAATGCGACGGCGCGTCGGGCCGCACGTCCGGGAAAACCTGGGATAACGAGGGGAGGTGGAACGAGGAGGTCCGTCTGCACGTCGAGGACGACCACGCCGAGTTATTGGTGGAGGTGCGCGACAAGGGTGTGCTCGGGTCGTCGTTGCTCGGTTCCTTGGTGCTGGAGCACTCCGTGGAGGCCTGCGTGGAAACCAACCAGCGCGTCGGGTGCACGATGACGTGGCCGCGCTGGTTCCGTCGAGCGGTGAGGAACCGGCATCGCCACGCCATCGAGCAGGCGTCGCGTCGATGGCGTGCAGGTAGATGCGACGATTCAGCACGAACGCGCCGTAAAATTTGATTTCCACACAGGCGGAGGCCATCACCTTCGGCGAGCGCGTTTTGCAGAACGAGGATCTGAGGGTGCAGCTCTGCGTGAGCTGGCGCCAGAACCCGGCGCTCGTGTTCGGCATCGAGGAGGATACTCTTATAGAAGCATGGTCAGACGCACCAGAGCAAAACCCGCCCAACGTCCTGCACGTCCGCATAATCCGCGCCAAGGAGGTCAAGGCCATGGACTGGGCGTTGCTGTCCACGCCGAAGTCGGACCCCGTCTGTCGTTTGACACTAAATGATCAAACGCAATCGACGAAAGTCGTTCGCTCGTCGGTCAACCCGGTCTGGGATCAAAGTTTTGTATTCAACTGCCACAAGGCCTCTGATATGCTAGAATTACTTGTGCAGGACGAAGATCGGTTCCTGCTGGGCGCGGTCAAGTCGCATGATTTCATTGGCAAGGTGCAAATAAGAATCGGGGAACTACGACGGGGGCCGCATCGTAGATGGTTCGAGCTGCAGGCGAAAGATAAAGCGTCCATGATGAGCAAATTCGCCGGCGATTTGAATATTTGTGAGCGGGGCCTGGTCGAGGTGTTCCTAGATTGGAAATTCGACCCGTCGCGGCCCGCCGATGGATACTTCGAGGCTCCACGACCTGTTGTTGTGGAAGCACCTACTAAGAAGCCGTCTAAGAGAATACTAAGTAAGCCGACGGAAGCCGACTTCAAACTGGGCAAGCAGAGCGTGTTTCAAGTGGCTTCGCTGCGAGGCGTGCCGAACCGACTAGAAGTAGTAGTAGTACGGGCGGAAATCATGGCGGACCCCGAAGATCTGAAGGCCTATGAAGGTGCATCTAGAGACGCCTACTGTCGGTTGAGTGCGGGGGAAGAACGGTCGTTGCCTCCCACGGAACCGGGAGCGAAGCGGCAAAAAACTTTTGTGCTCACCGGCGACGTCTGGCAGTCCGAGACCATTAAAAGATCGTTGACACCTTCGTGGCATGAAGAAGCCTCGTTGCAGCTCGACTCGTCGCCGAAGGCAGCGTTGAAAGTACAAGTCTACGACGACACGTGCGCGGCGAACGACGAGCAGGATCAATTGATAGGGTCTCATACCATTTTGCTCAAGGACTTGTTGGGGGTGGCGAAGGACGGCCTCGACTACACTGAAACGTGGGTGGCCCTGAAGTCGCCGGCCGCCGGGGCGAAGAGGGGCTGGGGACACGTCGACGACCAGCTGGAGGTCGTCGCGGCGTTCAAGGCCGCTGCTCAGGAGGAGGGGTCGCCCGGCAAGGCGCCATCGACGAAGAAGAAGACGCCCGTGCGCCGGAAGAAGAAGCGCCCGGCCCTCCACGTCCTCACGTCCGGTTTAGTGGTGACGAAGCGCCGGGCCAAGCAGCTGAACCACGCGCCGTTTTCCGCCTCGCACCCCGCTGATTCTGTACAGGCCAAGAGCCCCGGCAATCTGGCGCGGGACATCGCTAAAGCCAAGGTCAAGGCCGTTTCTCCAATGCTCAAGCGATTGAAGGCCGCGCGCGTCGCGGCCTCTCCGAAAAGCTCCTTCGACCGTGGTTCAAAAGTCGCTTTCTCCGAAGAACCGGCATCGGTAAATGCGTCGGCTGGCGGCGCCGCAACCGGCGACGACGGCAGCGGCGCCCGGACTGGCGGCGACGGCGGCGGCGGCGCGGGAGGCGGGAAGCTCCAGAAGACTGGCAACAAGGTCGTCGCAGCGAATCGCCTCGCGGCAAAGCCAGGGATCGGCGACGGCCGCGTCCTTTTACGACTCAAGTGGTTTTTTGATCCGCGCCTGAATCCGCGCGAGATGGGTTTAGATGAAGAGGCCGAGTGGGCAAAGAGACTAGGTGTGAGCGGCGAGCCGCCGACGGGCAAGGAGGCCATGTTACGGCGCAAAGCTTTAGCGTCGCAGGCGCCGCCGAATGCACTACATATCACGGTCGTACGAGCGGCGCGCGTGCGAGCGCCCCCGAGCCTCGCCAAGGAGGGCGGCTTTACGTTACTAGCTGAGGTTAGGGTCGCCCACCGCCTCTTCCTGACCACGGATACGGTGAGTGCCTCGGGAGGCTCTAGGCCGGACGAAGCTGCCGAGGTCGTGTGGAAGGCCAAGGGGCGCAAACAAATACGAGAGCGGGAGATCTCGCCGAAGGCCACGCTTGAAATTGCCATCCTGGCCGTGGACAAGAAGGGTGAAAAACATGTGGTGGGCAAGAGCGTGGTCAGGATCGCGCAGTACCGCGACGGCTATCCGAGGCGGGCGTGGCTGAAGCTCGGGGAACGGGCCACGGGGCAGGTCGACTCGTGGCGCGGCGCCGTCGACGTGTTTGTGGTGTGGGCCCACGAAGATAATGAAGCCTGGGACGCGGAGCGCCAGCAGGTCAGGGCCAAGGAGGCCGCGAAGCAGTGGCGCGACGCGAACGTCGAGGACCGGTCGCACATCACGTCGGCTCTTTCATTACTGGAGGAATCGATCAAGACGCTCGAGCGGCCGGCGAAGCAGGCGAAGCTGCGGATATCGACGGAGTCCGTCGCCGAGGAGTTGTTTGATGACGCGTCGCACGCGACGACGCACACGTATCTGCCGGACGGGTTGCCTGTCCTGACGGATGTTTAATTTTGTTTGTTCCTTGTAGACGCTGTCCCGTAGCATTCCCGTTGTTGCCTGACGTTTAGTACGGGGCTAGAGTACGGGGGGAGGGGTGCCGTCGCCGCTCGGTTGCTACGTGTTCCCCTCGCGGGAAGGAGGGGTGTTCGATGCGCGTTTTCGAATAACTATATTTAATCAGATTTCTCGGGGAGCAAAGCGCTTGGGAGGCCTCGACGCGTTGCTTGCTAGTGTGTTACTGGCCTAGCTCACGCACGAGCTCGGTGCCTTCGAAAGAGCATTGCGCAGCACTAAGCGCGCTTTCCGTCGTCCAGGCATCGCCTGCATACCCCAGCGCTCGCAAGCTTTAAGCAGAATGCTTAAAGGCCTCGCTCTGGCATGCGTCACAGCAGTCACAGCCGTCAGTGCCGAAAAAATTCCCGTCGTGCTCGTCGCCGACGTCGGCATCGACGACGCCGCGGCATTGCTGTGGCTGCTGCGCTCGCCGTCGATCGAGCTGCTGGGCATCGCCTCGTCCTTCGGCTGCCACGGCGACGTCAGGCAGACCGCAGCGAACGCGAAGCGATTATTAAGGGCGGCGGGCGCGCCGTGCGTGCCCGTGCACGTTGGTAGTAGAGTCGCGTTCGGGAATTGGGCGCCGAACGACGACGATGGCAAGTACATCCACGGCGCGGACGGCCTCGGGGACGTCCCACCTCTTGATGGAGAGGCGGATGTAGTGACGTGCGACCGAGACGTCGACGAAAGCCTGAGTTCCGCGGAGTTCATCGCGCAGACAGTTAGAGAGAGACCGGGCGAGGTCACGATCATCGTCACGTCGCCGGCCACGAATCTAGCATTAGCCGTTGTCTTGGAGCCTCAACTCCCAGAACTAGTGAAACAAGTACTAATTATGGGCGGCGCCGTCGACCACCCGGGCAACGTCTCGCCGTTAGCCGAGGCGAACTTCGCCCACGATTCAAGAGCGGCCAAGGTCGTCGTCGACGCCTTCTCGTCGGAGGATGGAGAGCGATTGGTCATAGCGCCGCTCGACGTGACGATGCGGGCCATGGCCACGGTGCAACAGATGCAACAGTTGACAAAGGCTGGCATTGGCGGTTCCTTGCTAGCAGAGGCCTGGCGCCGGTACACGACGAACTACTGCCAGGTTTTGAAGTTCTGCGGCGCTCATGCTGCGGTGCACGACGCGCACCCCGTCGCGTATCTGCTGCATCCTTCTTTGTATGCGAACGGCACGCGTGTTGAGCCTGTGGAGATCATGGTCACGGAGCCCCTGCATCCCTCGAACGGCCACTCACTTGTGGATAGGAGACAATTAGCGAAGGAGGGCATCGTCGACGACCGCACGGGCGACGTGACCGGTTTCCAAAAGCCGCGGGCGACGGTGCTCGTGGACGTCGACGGCGACGCGTTCCTGAGGGCGTTCTTCGACACCGTACTGGGGCGCGCGTGAGTTGGCGTCAGGCGCCGTCGACGCGGCGTGGAGGTTGGGCCCGGCCATCGCGACACCGCGAGCGTGTCATTCCCCACGCCGTCGACGCGACGCGATATGTGTTAATCTTGTCTATAGTAGTATATTAGTACCCCAACGCCATCGACGCGACGATATCTTGATAGTTACGCGCAGCAAGCCTAGGCGCAGAGCGACTCGTCGTCGCGCGTCGGGTCGGCGTGGCCCTTGACGGGGTCGTGGATGTCCGCCGTGAAGGACGTGTTCTTGCCGAAGGAGCCCGACGCCGAATCCAGGTGGCCCGCACCCACAAAGTGGTGCGCTTTCCCGAGCTCCACTGCATCTTCATAGATCGTCGTCGCGACGTCATCAAACACGCTCTTGGCCGCGAACTCCTCCCAGGGCAAGCCTGGCGCTTTGGCCTTCTTCGGTCGCACCGCATTCCGCGCGTCGATGTAGGTCTGGGTCGAAGCCTTCTGGTACGAGGCCTGGGCCACCGTTTCCATGCCAGCAAAGGAGTCCCTTCGCCTCGTTTCTTCCATTTCTTCGGCGGCCATCTCCTCCTCGACGCGCTTCGCGACGGCCTGTCGTCGCAAGGCTTCCCTTTGTCCATGGTCGGGCATCGGCCGGTAGTTGTCGCGGCCCGTGTGATCAATAAATCCCGCCTGGTAGTCCGACTGCCAGTCCTTCGGGTGCGTGGCGCCGGGCGCGCCGATGACTCTCTCGGGGTTATCGATGCCGAAGTCCGGTTCGCCGGGGCGCGGGCCTCTATTATGCCCCGTGGCCTCGAGCAGAGCGGCCTCGTCGACCCAGTTGCCGATGCGCACGCCCTTGAGCTCGTACTGGTTGTAGCCGGCGTACATCCTTTGTGGCTGGTGTGGTGGCTGGGGCGGCTTTTGCGGCTGCCCTCTGCGAGGCGCTATGTCTGCGGGCTCCACTAGCCTGGCGCGCTAGTGTCCGTCTTTTTGCAGGCCTCGGGAGCGTTCCTCGGAGCCCTCGGCGCCGGGAATGGTCGGCCGGGAGGGGGTTCTGGTGGAGGTTTTCTTTGCTTTGGCGGATTTTGGACTGATATGGGAAACGTGGTCGAATCGAGCTGTCCAACAAAGGAAGAGCGGTGCGGACCGGGTGCGACGATGACTGAGGTCGCCCAAAGGGTTTCTGTCGAACGGGGGAATTGCGCGGTCCGTTAGCTCACCAGCTTGATCGCATTAGCAAGGTAGCAAATTGGTCAGCAAAACCGCGTCTAAGCAAGCCGACAGCGTTACGACAGCCTGACGAGGAGGATTGACGACGCCGCCATGGCTGGAGCGAGTTCTGCGATGCGAAGCCGCGCGCCGTAGCTGTAGATTGGCTATGCCGCAACTCGCCGAGCTTTGACTTGCCGCGCCGAGCCGTGGGCTAAGCGCGCAAGGACTTGCCGCCGAGAGGCCGCCGCCGAGACCTAGCAACAGCCGGCACGGACGCTGACCCGCCGCTCCGCCAGCTGGCTTATCCGCCGCCAGCTGCCGATCGACCGTCGAGCCGCCAGGCAGAAATTCACCGCCTCCTCCACACAGGTAAGAAAGGATGAAGCCCGCCACCCTCGTCGCCGCCGCGCTGTGCGTCGCGTCGGTCGCGGCGTTCGCGCCGAAGGCCTCGGGCGCCGCGCTCATGTCGGCGCGCAGCCAAAGGGTCGCGCCGCCGGCCATGTCGATGGAGGTCTGGTCCGAGAAGAACATCCGGCTGACGCTGCCGCTCGGCGTCGCGCTGCCGCTCGCGGGCCTCGTGACGCCCCCTGATTCGTTCGGCGCGTCGGTGCTCCCCGTCGCGATCGCCGCGCTGTGGATCTTCATCTTCGTCGACCTGCTCAAGGCCGCCGTGCCGCAGGACGACTTCGACTTCTAGATGCTCATCTGAGATTGTGTGGTCCTCGCCGGCCTTTCCGTTAGTGGGGTTGTCCGCCGCAGCGCGCGTCGGGCCCCCGCGGCGTAAATACGTTGGTTCCTAGTCGTGGTGTAGCTAGTCCTTCGTCCCCGAGGCCGTGCTTTGCCGTACGCAAAGGCCGCCTGATCAGCTGACCAGCCGAGCCTCTGGCACTCAGCCTCAGGCGACGCCCACGGCCTGGGCACTGTGCATCGGCATCTGTCGATAGAAGCGCTTCGGAGTGGTGCAAACACATCATTGCACTAGCTGTAGGCAAAACCGGCTGCGCGCAGTCGCCGCAGAAGAGAGTTGTGCACACAGCACAGGAGAGTAGCAGCACTGCTCACGCCGCGGCCGCGCGAAGCTGACCGCACCGACAGCGCCACGCTGCCGCCGCAACGGTAGCTGACGCCTGATCACACAAATAGCAAGCGCACTGCTCAGCCGCCCGCAGCCTCAGCAGCCGACGCCCGCTCACAAAGCAAGCGCACAACTCTCATCAGCCGCCGCCGCCCGCCCACAGCAAGCGATGGCCAAGAAGCAGAAGCAACCAAAAAAGGCGAAGAAACGTAGGATAGTAGAAGTCATCCCCGGCGCCTCCGACGCCGACGCGCGCGCGGCCCTGCGCGAGGAGCTCGAGGCCCACGCGGCGCGCTACCGGGACCCGGCCGACTTCGCCGCGGAGACGGAGCAGACGCTGCTGGCCCTGGAGTCCCGGGCCGACGCGGAAGCGAAGGCGCGCCAGGCGCAGCGCGAGGCCGGCGCCGACGCCGACGGCTGGCAGGTCGTGACCTACAAGCGCAAGGCCGTTTCCGATCAACCAAGAGAGCCCGCTTCGCGCGCCAAGAAGCAAAAGAAGCATGAAGAGTTCGAAAAGAGCGCGGACTTCTACAAATTTCAAGTGAAGCAGAAGCGGCTGGGAGAGATGCGCGCGGAGCTCGACGCGAAGCGGGACCATCGGAAGCGGGGTCCGCGGCGCAAGTTTAATTCATAGTTTGTTATACATATTACATGTCCCCGCGGCGATGGCGTACTGACAACCGCGGGCACGCGGCGATGGCGTCCTGGGGCACGCCGCGGGTCCTAGAACTCCTCGCCGTTCGGCCCGAGCCGCGTCGTCAACTCGGTGTCAGGCAGCCCCCCCACGGCGAGCCGCGCGGCCCAGCCGTAGATGGCGCTTTCCAAATCTCGGGGCAGGCTCATGGCGCCGTTGAGCCACTTACCTTTCTGGAGGCAGGCGAAGGCCAGCTTCGGGCCACCGTCGGACACGACGACGCGGCCGTGTTGCCGCGCGCGTTCGGGCCAGACGCGCGCGTTGTGCGCTCCGACGGCGACGGCCGTCCCGTGCTTTTCTCTAAATTGCGCCGCCAGTCTCAATACGGACGCCTTGGCGGCGCGGTCGCGCTTACTTCGATCAGAGTAGAAGAAGACGACCCAGAGCCGGTCGTCGGCGCCGTTGGCGATCGCTTCCAACGCGCCGCCGTCGAGCTCGTACACCGGAGGGTCATTTTTTTGATATCCCAGGCGCAGCGACCACTCGCCCCACGCATCATAAGCGCTGAAGAGGCCCGGCCGGAACCCCAGCCGCTCATCTTGTACGGGGTCCCTCCCTTGTACGAGTCTCCTCAGCCACCATACCATATCGTCGTACGCCCTACCTCCAAGGTAGACGTCCCACCGTCGCCCTTGGATTGTCGTCGACACGTTCGAGGTCTGACCTTTGATTTGGGGGCCATACACGAGCAGGAACTCCGCATCAAACTCGCGCACGGCGTCGATGTCGCGCGTCGCCGCGGCGACGCCCACGCCCTCGATGTCGATCGCGTCGAGCGCGGCGTCGCTCGCGCATCGCTCGGCGCACACTTTGAGCAGTGTTACTGTGTACTGTTCGATGAATGCGCCGTGGGTCTTGTTCTCTAATTTTATGAGAGCATGGGTGCTGGCTGCCAGGAGCAGCCAGGCGTGGCGCATCGGTGCTTTGCGCGTGCGGTGGGGAGTTGGGCCGTGCGAATTTGATTGTTGGGCAGCATGCGCAGCTGGCGTGATTGCTAGTGTCTTACCAGACCAGATCATTATGTACAAGATATTCGAATTGGACAAGGAAATCAACCCGAACTCCGATATAAACCTAGATTTGAGGTTGGGCGAGTATGAACCGTATGATGGTGATTACGATGACATGCTCGAGGAAATCAAGGGTTCGTTCGTAGCCGTGCGCGGGTATAACCGGTTGCAACACGCGCGGGACCGGGCAGCATCCTACGAGGTCGACGTCTCGGGCATCGAATTGTACGGAAGAAATCTAGAGAACGAGATCTATAAACGCGTGGCCATGCATGCAGCGAAACTCAAGCGGCGGCTCCCGCCTGTGTTGGCTGCGGTCTGGGCCGAGCGGTACTGTGAATCTGAAGATGACCGCCCGCCTTAGACGTGATTCACGTGAACCCCCTTAGTGTCCCCCCCCCCCTCGAATCCTCCCCTCCCCCCCCCCCAAAAAAAAAAAACACCACAAAAATCGTATCGTATCGAAAATCGTATCGTATCGACGCTCTGGTTGTGCCCATCACAAGTCAAAAGCAGAGTGGGGCGGCGGCTACCGACGGGCAGCCGGCGAAGCCTAATGCTACCACAACCAGCTAACCTGAGCCAATGAAAGAGTGTATGTAGTAATTTGTTTCTCTAAGTCTGCGACTAAGACGCGGGAGGGTAGGCTACGCGTACAACGACCGCGCCGTCCCCGCGGCACCGCGACGCGCGACCGTAGCCCAGTTCGCCCAGTTCGCCCAGTTTACCCAGTTTCGAGATTCCAGTTTGACGAGTTCTCCGAGTTTCCAGTTTTCAGTTTCCAGTTTTCAGTTTCCAGTTTTGCGTGTGGGTTTTGCCGCCCATACTTACAGGCCGCTAGCTCTCGGCTTCGGCGCTTTTTCTGGGGTCCTAGAGACGGTTTTTAGGCTGCCTTATCCATCAATATAATGACCCCAGGAATCCTCACGACCTGCGCCGCGTGCGCTGTTCCCATTCCATACACTGCCCCGCGATGCAGCAAGTGCCACACGCGCTACTGCGGGCAGGCGTGCCAGACGCAGCACTGGAACACGGGCGGTCACAATCGGCCCCTGTGCAAGCGCATCAAGCGCGCCGGCGGCGCTGAGAAGTTTCACGCGAACCAAAAATACGACGAGGCCGTCGCGGAGGCCGTCGAAAAATGCGCCTTCCACGGCGCGCTCGTCGCCCAGGCTACGGGATACGTTCCGGAGGGCGCGACGTGCTACATCTGCACGGAAGCTGTCGTGCAACGCACGGGAGAGGGCTTAGTTAACGGATTCTGCGCGTGTGGAGACCGCGATGGCGTCGATGCCGGGGCGATGGGCGTCGCGCACGTCTCATGCCTGGTGCGCCAAGCGGAAGTGGCAATGGATGACGAGATGTCGAGGTCGTGGGCGTCGACCCAAGATAGATTCCGCCTATGGGAGTCGTGCCGGCTTTGTGGGAAGCGATACCACGGAGACGTGCAACGCGCCATGGGCTGGGCGTGCTGGCGGGCACATCTTAGTAAGCAGCCGGCAGATCACTTCGTTCGCCGAGCCGCCATGGATATGCTCGCGGGCAGCTTAGCTGAAAATGGTTTTCATCAAGAAGCGCTCGACATTTACGGGGCTTCCTTAGCCATAGTTAATCACCACAACCCTAGTCTTCTCACAGATCGCCCGGCAATCTCGTTTGACCTCGCACAAAGTTGCATGGCTCTTCAGACCAACATTGCAAACACCTTGATGCTCCTTGGGCGGCAGGACGAGGCCATTAGCCGCCACCGCAGGGTTCTTGCGGGAAAGGAATTCATGTTCAGAGAGGACGGAATGCGCGGAGTTTTTACGCCCATCGTCGCGCAGACCTGCGCAGAAGATAAGCTTATCTCAATCCTCAACTTGTGTACCGCGTTGATCGAACGCGAGCCGACGAGTGGGGCAATGCTCCGCGAGGCAAGGTCGTTGCTGCGGGCGAATATGGCCGACGCACAACGCGTACTCGGGCCCAACTCCAAGTACCACGAGTACTCGTTTTCGTGGCGCGGGAACTATGCGAGATCCATATTTTTCGACGAGGATGCCGACGAAGCCGACCTGCGCGAGGCGGGAGAGGTGGCGGACGCAGCCTATGAGGCGGCGCGCCAGACCTTCGGCGAAGATCACCCGCTTACGGAGAAGCTCGAGGGGTTAGTGTACGACTCCGAGCACTCGGACTCCGAGTCCACGGCCGACGGCGGCGCGCCCCCTGAGCCCGATGCTGATCATGATGTGGCCAGAACCATGCAAGATGAAATCAATGTAGACGATGCTCGAGGGCGCCCGGAGTTCAACTAGTAAGCGCCGCGTCTCCAAGTTTAGGCTTGTCGCTGACGAGGCGGCCTAGAGGGCCCACGCCATCGCCGCGATAGACTACTTTTATTTTTTACACTGGCTTGAGGTCCTTCTCGGCGTCCAACGCGGGGTCGAAGAGAAAGACCCCCGCGTCCGGCCCGTAGGTAATTTGTCGTGACGACGGCTTTTCGACGGGCGCCGCCTCGATCACTAAAGGAGCGGTCAGGTCCGCGGCGATCGACGCGTCCAAGGCTAGAGACACGAGGGCCGACTGCGTCCGGTTCTCGCGCTTGAACTTGTTCTTGAGCTGGCGTTGCGTCCGCCCGGGAAACGCCGTCAGCATCATCGTGAAGTCCGTGCCGAAGCGTCTAAGAGCGTCGTAGAACCTTCTTGTCTCCTCGAGCCCCCATCGTTCGGATGGGACTCGATTACTATACGAGGCAGAAGTAGCACCCGGGGCATCGTCGCCCCTCACTTCGATCAGACCTTCTTCCTCGACCTCCGGAGCTGATTCTTCAGGGGCCTGCGGCTCGGCCACGACCAACTGCCCATCGACAATCCGCACCTGGGCCCGCTGCGCCGCCGGCGGCGCCTGTTTTTTGGGAGGGGGCTGGATGAGCGGCGGCCGCGGCGGCTTCTCCTGTTTTGGTCTTTTGGTCATGCCCTTGGCGCCGGCCTTCTTCTTGTAGGTCGTGCAGAACTCGGACAGGCGCTGGCCGTCGTCGTTGGCCGGTTGTTGCGTGAGCACCAGAGCCAACGCGTCGGCGCCGGGCGCCCTTGGTCGTTTGCCGAGGCTCGGTCGATAGGGGTCGTTGAGCGACAGGGTCGTGCTCGGCCTTCTTGTAGCGCCGGCGATGCTCGTGCCGCCGAGCTTTGGTGAGGTGCGGCCCGCGGTGATCGACGTGCCGCCCAGTGGAGAGCGTCGTCCTGCGGTTATGCTCGTGCCGCCCAGCGGGCTCGCGCGGCCCGGCCGCGCTATACTGGTGCCTCCTAGTGGACTCGCTCTTCCAGTAGGGGCGGGCGCGGGCGCGGGCGCGTCGCCGTCCGAGGCCGGCGTCTCTTCGGCGGCGGCTTTTCGTCGGTCGCGCGCGGCGGCGGCTTTTGGTCGCGTCATCGTTTTTGCCGCTAAGCGCGCACGTGTGTTATGCGCCGCTACTGCCGGGTGGCGCGCGGTTATCGGCGTTAGCGTTAGGGTAGCAGCACAGCGCCTTTAGCTGGGGCGGCTCGGCGGGTAGTTTTTGCGGCTCTACCGCTTCGCGCTGGCACAAGCTGTCAAACGACAGCGCGTGATGACTGGCGGGCGTGTGTGCACTCGGTGCGGCGCTTTTGCTCCTGTAACTTGCGTTAAGTGTGTTTACCGACCGCTAGCTAGAAAATATAATGCAGCGCCTCGAGCTGCAGCTGAGAATCAGCGCTCAGACAGCCTCCAGGAGCATAGTAAAGCAGCTCAACAGCTTCTGTTGAGCGCTCGTACCCCTCAGAGCGAACCTCGGCGCTCTGCATACACAGAGCTCAGCACTTGCTCTCGCAGAGCAAGATGCTCCCAGCCGGCCTGAAACTCCTCCGACGCCTCGTGCCGCCCCCGACGCGACCCCTCGCGTCGCAGTACGACTACGTCATCGTCGGCGCGGGCTCGGCCGGCTGCGTGCTTGCGAACGAACTCAGCCAGGACGCCTCGGCCTCGGTGCTGCTGATCGAGGCCGGCACGTTATCAGTGTCTTCCGTACGCCATCGACGCGAAATTCACCCGTCGACGTCCACGCAGGCGGCTGGGACACCAATCCATTAATTCACATCCCCGCCGGCGTCTACAGCGTCTTCAAGGACCCCAGTGTCAACTGGAACTGGGAGTCCGAGCCCGAAGCCGGCTGCGGCGGGCGCCGCATCGAGCTGCCGCGGGGCAAAGTGGTCGGCGGCAGTTCGTCGATCAACGCGATGGTTTATATGAGAGGCCACCCCCTGGACTACGACGGCTGGGCCGACGCCGACGCGTCGCTGGAGCCGTGGCGCTTCGAGCGCGTGCTGCCGTACTTCAAGGCCTGCGAGCGCAGCGACCGCGGCGCGTCGGCCTACCGCGGCGGTTCTGGACGTTTAGAAGTTACTCGAGGGGCGACGGAGAACGTGTTGTATGATGCCTTCCTCGCGGCGGGCGAACAGGCCGGCCAAGGGACGTCGGACGACCTGAACGGGTTCAAGCCCGAGGGCGTGGCGCGGCTGGACCGCACGGTGTCGCGCGACGGTCGGCGGGCCTCGGCGGCCACTGCACACCTCGAGCCCGCGCTCTCGCGAGAGAACCTACAGCTCCTGCGGAACGCAGCAGTTGACAAGGTTGAAATCGACGGTCGGAGGGCCACCGGCGTGCGGCTCAACGGCGGCGAGCTCATCAGCGCGAGGCGCGAGGTCTTGCTGTGCGCGGGCGCCATCAAGTCGCCGCAGCTCCTGATGTTGTCCGGTATTGGAGGCAAGGACCAGCTCGAATCGATCGGCGTCGACGTCGTCGCGGACCTCCAAGGCGTCGGCCAGAACTTGATGGACCACGCCTGCGTCAACGTCGCCGCCGGATGCACCACGAACGATGCCATAGATGGGCTGGCACGGCCGCTGCAAAAGGCCGCCGTCGGCGCCCGCTGGCTCGTGGACGGCAAGGGCTGGGCGGCGTCGAACGCGTGGGAGGCAGGCGGCCTCGTGTTTGGGTCTGATGCCTACGCGTACCCAAACCTGCAGTATCATTTCTGCCCCGTGCACGCCGACTACCGCGCGGGCGGCGGCCTCACGCTGCGGCCCGGTTTTCAGATCCAGGTCGACCAGTTACGGCCGTTCTCACGGGGCCGCGTCGCGATCACGTCGCGAGATCCTGCGGCGGACCCGTCGGTGCGGTTCAATTATTTGAGCGACCCGCGGGACGCCCAGGAACTCGTCGAGGGCGTGCGCCGGGCGCTAGATATCGTATACGCGCCGGCATTTGACCCGTTCCGGGCTGAATTGCGGTTACCGGAGTCACGAAATGCCTCAGATGACGAGCTGGAGGCGTTTGTCCGGGCGACGTGTGGCACAGACTATCACCCCAGCGGCACGGCGAAGATGGGCTCTGGGAGCGATGCGGTGGTGGACGCCGAGCTGAGGGTCCACGGCGTCGAGGGCTTGCGAGTGGTGGACGCGTCGGTGCTGCCGTCGATCGTCAGCGGCAACCTCAACGCGCCCGTCCAGATGATCGCGCGGAAGGCGGCCGACGTCATCCGCGGCGTCGAGGGGCTGCCCGCCGAACGGCCCGAGTTCCACTTCGACGCGTACTACGACGTCGCCGTGGCGGCGTAGGGTACTGTTAATACTTACTGTCATGACTCGGAATTTGGCTCGGACATGGCTTTCCGCGCTGCGTCGACGAGCGAGAGTGCTCGGAGCGTTTCGTCTAGCGTGTACTGTGGGCACTCCTGTGTGGAAATCAAACAGTGAGTCAAGTGCAAGATTCAGCCGTATGCGAGAAGCGCCGCGAAACTTGATTTTCACACAGGGGCACACCGTCAGGCCGGCATTGAGGCATCGCGTCACGGCCGCGGCCTCGTACGCAAACCCGTGCGAGTTCGGGTAAAAGAAAACATCGTCTTCGCCGCCGCCGGGGACGGGCGCGAAGGGCCGTTTCGGCTCTGGAAAGGGAAATTCAAATTCTGTCACCCTCGCGTTTCCCCTGCCCTTGCCTTTGAGCTCGACGCGTAGTTTTGTCGGACAATGCGCGGGAGGCAGTACCGTGATGCGACCCTTCTGCCCAATGTAGGTCGTTGTCTCCGCCGATTCGGCGTCGATCGCTGTGTACAAGCTAACGGTCGCGCCGCGCGGCGGGCAAGTGCCAGCCTTCTGGGGCACCGGGACGCCGCCCGGCGCGGCGTACGATAAGGTGAGGCCGCACGATAGGTCCACACCCGTTGGATCGACGACGCCAGCAGCAGCGACGCTCCGCGGTTCCGTTGCGCCAAAGGGAAGTAGACCAGCCGCAATGGGATACGGCCCCGCCCAGAGCAATGCAGAACCGCCAAGTTTTGAAAAGTAGATTGGGTCTCCAGTTGACGGATCGTTCATATCTGTGGGGTATACGCCTGAATCGGCTGCATCGAACCCAAAATCGGAGATCACGGCGGTGACGGCGCCAATCGTGCCGTCATTTATTAACCGTCGCGCGTGTTCGACGGCCGGAAAGCAGCGGGTCCACATTCCTTCCATCATGAATACGTTCTTCGACCGTGCCAGCTCGACGAGCCGCCTGCCGTCAGCGCCGTTGCACGCAAGCGGCTTCTCGACGACGCAGTGCTTGCCACATTCAAGGATGGCAGTGACATGCTCAACGCGCGCCGAATGCAGCGATGAGAGGTAGACCACATCCACGTTCGGGTCCAAGAGTGCTTCGGAGTACGTCCCGACCGCCTTTTCGAAACCATGCCTGTCCCGGAACGCCTCCGCTCGCGGCAGGTCGTCTGCAGACCGCGTTGCCACGACGTATGGCTTGGCGCCGTCGACGCATCGGAGCGCATTCGCATAGTCGTGAGCCACACGACCGCAGCTCAGGAACGCCCAATTGACTGGTTTTTGCGCGCCAGCTTCCTCGGCATAAAGCACGCCGGTCGAACCCTTGCGAATGTCCAGTTGCCAGGGCGTAGAAAAGTCCTCGAGCACACGTCGGCCGCGTGCACGATTCCTACTTCGTTTCAGCAGTCCTGTGAGAGACAGCGCATCACTCAGCAAGGGCAAGGTTAAGCATGCAGCATTGATGAGCAGCCTTCGCGGCATCCTTTCTCGCGACCGCGCGGTGACGAGGCGACGCAGTGATGTCCAAATGAATGCGACAACACCTTGAAACAGCTATAAACTGCCAGGCGCAGCGATACGGATGAAAACCAAGCGTGAGCTAGCGTATCAACGCACTAGTTTTGGCTTGGCTTGCCTGTTTTAGCTCCATACCGCAGCGAATACTGGCCAAATTAACAACTGAGAACACGCATCGCGTCGCCCAACAGCGGGCAAGAACGCCTAACTCGCTGCCGGCGCGACAGCGCCCTGCACAGACGCTGCACAGACCTCCACAGCTGCACCCTCTTCTGAGGGCTATCACAGCGCAACAGCGGGAACGCGATGGCAAGCCACCTCAACGTCATCGTCGAGGGCTGCTGTCACGGCGAACTGGATAACATCTACGCATCGATCGCAGAGGTCGAGAGAAGACGAGGAGTGAAAGTCGACCTATTATTATGTTGCGGGGACTTCCAGAGCCTAAGGGCCGAGCAGGACTACGACGCGCTCGCGGTGCCGCCGAAATACCGCGAACTGAAAGATTTCAAAAAGTACTGGTCCGGCGAAAAAAAGGCACCGGTACTGACCGTGTTCGTCGGCGGCAACCACGAAGCCTCGAATTTCCTCGGATCACTGTTCTACGGCGGCTGGGTCGCGCCGAACATCTACTATATGGGGGCGGCTGGTTGTATAAACGTGGGCGGGTGGCGGCTCGTGGGGGCCTCCGGGATTTGGCACAAGCGGCACTACCAGCTCAATCATTACGAGTTACGAGCCGAAAGAGTAGATGTCAGAGACGTTATTAGATCGGCCTACCATGTGCGGGAGGTCGACGTGTTTCGCCTCGCGTTGTTAGGCGAGCGATCCGTGGACGCGGTCGTCAGCCACGACTGGCCGCGGGGCGTGGAGCGCCACGGCGACGCCGCGGGGTTGGCGCGGCGGAAGCCCCATTTTAGGGACGAAATGCAGCGCAACGACCTGGGCAGCCCGGCGAACGAGATTCTGTTGAACGCCCTCAAGCCGGCGCACTGGTTCTCGGCGCACCTGCACTGCAAGTTTGCTGCTTTGGTGAACCACGGGGACGGCGGGAAGCCCACTCGCTTTTTAGCTTTGGACAAGTGCCTCCCGCGCCGGGATTTCCTGCAGCTCATCACGGTCGAGCGGTCTAAAAGTGGCCCAGTAGAACTCGAGTACGACGCCGAGTGGCTCGCGATCCTCATCAAGACGCACTCTTTATTGGGTTTTGAGCCGCCGCCGGCGCGGGCGCCGCCGATCCCCGAGGAATTTCAAAGACCGTCGTCGGCGGACATCGCGGGCGCGCGCGCGCGGGCCGAGAAGTACTGTAGGAGGGCGGGCGCGCCGGCCGAGGCGCCCCTGCGCGTGCCGCCTTTATCAGGTCCGCCCTGGCACCCGCCGCGGCACCGCTTCAATCCCCTGCAGGAGGCGAACCCGCAGACTGACGCGTTCCTCAAGATGCTCGGGTTGGAGCACGTCGTGACCGTGCCCGTGACGGCGCAGATGCGACCTTGTCCGCCGTGCAAGCCGCTCGCGTCGACCACGGCGCACGATGCCGTGTTCGCCAACGCGGCGCCGCCGCCTGTGCCACCGCCTACTACGGAGGCCTCCGGCGTCTCGACGCCTCCGCCGCCGTCACCACCGAAACGATCGGAGCTTGTGCTGCCGCCCCCTGTGAATGATTAATCGCCTCGTTTTGTGATTGCTCCTACGGCTCCTACGTAGTCCCAGTGACACACAAATTGTTATATTCGCGGCGATGGCGTGTCCATGCCGTAAGCACACCATCACTGCGACTCAACAACATCAGTAGCTTCCTTCAAGACTCGGACCATACGTGCTTTGACCATGATGATCGTGTCCACCCCGCGCCGCATCGACAGCATGCGCTCGCCGGACCCTGGCCCTTGTGGTCGAGGACTTCCCCGTCGGCATCGTCCGACAGGCATACGTCCATCGTCACGTCCGCGCACCCGGTGACGCCGAGCGTCCGGAGCCACTCCGGCGCGATCCATGGCATATCATGGCACTCGGGTGCTACGAGCACATGCATCCTAGTAGACGCATGCCATGGGTCTAGGAGCATCGGCACCAAATCACCGCTCGCGTCGAGCACGTACTTGAGATGCTCCTGGTTGTAGCACGCGTCGGTGGCGAAGACCCGCGCGCCAAGTCGTAATGATGCCGCGATGGCAGGTGCCATCGACAAGGCATAACAGCTCTCGAGGACGACGACCGCGCGCTCCGTGAGGCGCGAACTCAATAACGCCAGGAAGCCTTTATTGTCGGGCCAGAGGCCACATGTCCGATCGCTCTCGTGGCACCTGCCGTCGCCCCACATTATTCGAGTGGAATTGCCGTGCCCACCCAAGGAGACGTGTCGGAGCGAATTCGGCGATGCGTGTGCTAGCCAGCGCTTGGCAGCGCCGACGCGTCCCACGCGTACTACCGTCGCGGCTAACTCCAGGGCGCGCTGCCTTGCGTGGCCATCTAATTTGTACGCACCATTGTGGTCCGCAGAATCATATGGGTAGAAGACCAGCGCTGCACCGCGTGTCGCACCGGTTGGCGGCCTTGAAACCACTGTCCATGCATTGTGCTGCCAGGAGGTGATGGCATTCCGTGCGGCTACCGCAAGCGCTGCCACTGCAAAACATCGATACAGGGCGCTTCTTTCTTGCATAATTAAGCCAGGATTTGCATCAATGTGTACGCAGCGTTTTTTGGCTTGCTGCTAGTGTCTTACAGGACGCTAGCACCACCAAACGCGCGGTGCGGACGTCCACAGCTGAATTAAGCAAAGCAGCGCATGATCTAGCACCGCTGAAATTTCATTTCTGAAGCCACAATACTTTGGACGCGCGTACGGACTTCTACAACTCGTAACCATGCTCATAGCCACTCTGCTCCTGCTCTGCTGGCTGCACACTGCGACAGCACTCAAAGCACCACAACTGGACACCGTCGCGACATCACTACGGGAGCAGATACGAGTACGAACAACCGACCTGACCGCGAGCAACATGCCGCCGACTTGGACGCTCGACGAGCTGCGTGCGCCCGTCTCGGGCCTGTCGGGGGCGCTCTTCGCGCTGCCCGCGGCGTGCACGCCGGACCCGACCGAGCAGGCGCTCTGGGTCTTTCAGGCGCTCGTGTCGGTGCTCGCGGACTACGTCTACATCGGCGGGCCCAGCCCCGCGCACGGCGTCGACCGCGTCCTCGCGTCCTTTAATTTCCTGCGACTGGCTTTCCTTCTGAGCCAAGAGGCGCCCGAGCTCTTCGCGCTCGGCCTCGTTCCCGCGGCCCTGTTTGTCTACGCGCAGCGCATGAAAGATTTAGACAGACCAGAAGACTGGCAGCTCGCGCACGGCCTCTGGCACGCGTCGGGCGCGGCCGTCGCGTGCGCCGCGACATATTCAATAAGTTGACGAAAATTACACAATTGTCGAACGCGACCTCCTAGCCCTCCTGGCCGAACTCCTCGGCCCACTCCTCGAAGTGCGTGAGCTCCTCCTCGGCCACCGTCCTTTTGATCCGCTCGAGACTCGACTCGAAGTCCTTGACGGACACGACCGGCGGCAGCATGAGCGAGGGGTCGGGCATGTCGTACATGGTCATGCGCACGGCGCCGCAGTACTGGCACGGGTCCTTCGACGCCGGCGCATCGCTCAAGTCGATCGGACAATACGCGCACGACGGGTACGTCTCGCACGGCGACAGCATCTCCTGATGATCTACCACAACCGGTCGGAACTGTCTAGCTTTCTGGCACGTCCGCATGGGCTCCATGATCGCCTCGCGACACACAATCGACAGATCGGACCCGGACATCCCATCGGCCTGCATGCCCAGCCGATCGAAGTCCGGTTGGGTGAGTTGGTTGGGAGTGTTCCCGAGGTGGATCTTCAGCATCGTCGCCCGCGCGGGACCTTCGGGCAAAGGGATGTAGATTCTTTTTTCAAAACGTCTTCTGATGGCGGGATCCAGGTCCCAGGGAATATTCGTGGCGCCCAATACGAGTAATCCATCTTTTGCGGAAGCGACGCCCTGCATCTGCACGAGGAACTCGGTCTTGATTCTTCTCGTGGCGTCGGACTCGCCCTCGCTTCTAGACCCGCAGAGCGAGTCGATCTCGTCCACGAAGATGATCGCGTGCTCCTCCTGCCGCGCCATGCTGAACAGATTCTTCACTAATCTCTCAGACTCGCCCTGCCACTTCGACACGAGGTCTGAGGAAGAAACGGCAAAAAATTTCGCGTCGGCTTCCGTGGCCACGGCCTTGGCTAAATACGACTTACCGGTACCAGGGGGCCCGAACAATAAAATCCCCCGCCACGGTCGCCTTTTGCCAACAAACAACTGCGGGAACCGTCGCGGGAGAATCACAGCTTCCTTGAGAGCCTCCTTCGCACCTTCCAGACCGGCGACGTCGTCCCACTTGACGTTGGGCTTGTCCGTAACGATGGCCGAACTGAGTTGTTCTTGGAGCTTCGACTGCTCATTGTCAGGCTCGCCCTTGCCCTTGTCCAAGGTACCCGTACCGCCCTTGGTCGGTCCTTGGCGCTGCTGGTTCACGACCTCCTTCAGGTCCTCCGCGCGCTTCATGTAGCCCTCGACGCGCTTCAAAATCATGTTTTTTGCGGTGTCATTTTTTTCGTATTTGACACCAGTGAGTAAAACTTCGATGCCGCGCTTGTACAACATTAAAGCTTTCGCATAGTCCTGCTCGTTGTCGGCCTGGATGGCCTCCTTGACCACCGCTATGCCTTGTTCCGTGAAGTTGTTGCTCATCTTGTCTTGGGTCTGCTTCGGCTGCTGGAGAGCCGGCTGATTTGTGGCTTGGCGGCGGCGGCGCTGCGTCGACGGCGTCGAGGCGCTGTCAGGCGAGTTGTGCAGCGAGCTCTTTGGACGTGTGCTGCGTCCTGGGGCACCGGTCCCTCGGCCGCAGAGATTTTTTTGCTTGCTCTAGTGTCTTACAGCGCTAGCGACCCGCACGCGGCGCAGCCCCTTGCTCGATGCTACGGATAGCATACGTCGTTAGAAGACGTTTGTTTTCGAAGGAAGCATGCCTGTTTTTGTGCGCAATTCGGGTTTTGATCGCGCCGCGCCGCCTTTATCTGCGTTTTTAGGGCCGCCGAGACAATATCCGGCGCCGCAGCTGCAGCTGTGGACCGTTTCCAGCAGCATCTTGAGTGCTGTGCAGTCGCGGCTTCTTCCGCGCCGCCTACGACGAGTTTGAAACCAGCTGTGTCTGGCCACCTTTGAAATCAGCAGCGGCATTTGAGCCCAGGTGATACCAGCACCATGTCCGCCGACGACGTAGCAAAAGCATTCATCCCGCACTACTACAATCTCTTCGATACCAATAGAGAAGGCCTCGCAGCATTATTCCGAAATGAGTCCCAGTTCACCTTTGAAGGCGACGGCCCGAAGGCGGGCGCGCCGGCCATCATGGAAAAACTACGGACCTTGCCGCCGGTGCAGCACCAGCCCCAGACCATCGAGACGCAGCCGTCGACGAACCCGAACGCCATCCTCGTCTTTTGCACGGGAAACATCCTCGTGGAGCAGGGCAAGCCGCTCAAATACTCCGAGGTGTTCCAGCTCGTCGCGTCGGCACCGGGCCAGTACTACCTGCACAACGTCATCTTCCGATTCAACTACGCGTAGTTGTGGTCGGGCCTGTTCTAGTTAGGAGCCGGGCGTAATTTAGCGTCTTGTAGTCGATACTTAGACGGGCACCTAGCGGCCGTAGCCCTGCGGCGGATAGCCCGGCGGCGGTCCACCCGGTGGCGGCGGGCCACCCTGTGGCGGCGGCGGCGGCCCGCGCCCGGGCGGACCAGGCGGTGGCGGCGGCCCGCCGCGGCCAGGAGGCGGGCCAAAACCTGGCGGCGGCCCGCCCGGCGGCGGAGGCGCCCCAAATCCAGGCGGAGGACCGCCAGGACCGCCTGGCGGCGGCGGAGGCGCCCCACCGAAGCCCGGAGGAGGAGGGCCGCCCGGAGGCGGCGGCGCGCCAAAGCCCGGAGGACCACCACCAGGCGCGCCAGGATAACCGCCCTGCTGCGGCGGGTAGCCGCTCTGCTGGCCCGGCCACGCCTCGGCCTGTTGCGGCCTTGCCATCGCGCCCTTCACTTTGGAGAGCAGACCTCCCACACCAGTGGCGGCGCCTATGCCCGCCGACGCGACCGTCGCGCCGAGGCCACCGCCGCCGTTCCCGCGCCGCGTCACGAGCATCTGCTGCTGGTAGTAGATGCCCGACACGTCGTTGCCTCCCTGAGGACCCCGCGGCGGTCCACCCTGCCCTTGGCCCCAGGGCACGATCTCTCCCGGTCGGCCCGGCGGCGCGCCAGGCGGCCCACCGGGCGGTCCTTGTCGTCCCGGAGGCGCGCCCGGCGGTCCTTGACCAGGCGGCGCGCCCCACGGCGGCGCGGCCGCGCCCGGCGGCGCGCCGTAGGGGTCCTGGCCGAAGCCCTGGTTCTGGTTCTGGTTGTTTCGGTTCCCCCGAAAGATACGACCCATCAGGCCGGGCCCGCGCGGCTGCTCCTGCTGCGGCGCGCCGCTCGCCCACGGCGGCAGGTCTGAGGAGGCCGGGCCCGGGGCCGCGCCCCACGGCGGTTGCTCTTGCGGAGGCGCGCCCCACGGCGGCTGCTGAGGCGGCGGCGCGCCCGGAGGTGCGCCCCACGGTGGCGGCGCGCCGCCAGGAGGGCCCGGAGGGGGTCCACTCGAACCCGGCGGCGGCGCGCCACCGTGCTCGCCCCACGCAGGCGGCGGTGGCGGCGGCGGGGCGCCCGGCGGCGCCCCAAAGCCCGGAGGCGGTCCGCCCGGCGGCGGCGCACCAAAGCCGGGCGGACCGGGCGGTGGCGGGGCGCCCCATTGTGGTGGAGGCGGCGGCGGCGCCTCGCCAGAACTTTCGCCGGCCGGAGGCACAGCCTCGCCACCTGTAGGCGCCTCGGGCTCGCTCTCGGGCTCCGAAGGAGAGGGCGCCTGGTACTCGGCCCGCACCTCGCCGTAGTACGCCGACGTGCCGCGGCCGTCGTCGTACGCGTACTCGGCGACCTCGACTTCCGGCTCGGTGCTCGGCGCCTCGTCGTCCGCGTCGGCGGCCTCGACAGCAGTCTCGTTGGCCGGCTCCGCAACGACGTCGGCCTCGACCGCCTCGGCGTCGGCGTCGGCGTCGTCGTCAGCGGTGGCGGGCTCCACCGCCTCGGAGCCGTACTGCGGTTGTTCGCCGTACTGCTGGTAGCCGCCCCATTGCTGCGGCGGCTGCTCTTGTTGGGGCGGCGGGTAGTTGTTGTAGCCCCAACCGCCGCCGGGCGGCTGGGAGGCGCTTGCTAGGCTGACTAGCGCCGCAACAGCGCTCGCCGCATATCGCGCTCTCATCGTGCTCTGCAGCAACTTGCCAGCGACGGGCGATTGCTGGCACGCAACGCACCGTGGGCTGCGGTGGGTGTTAGCACGCAATGAGACAACGTGTTAAAAACTCGCGCCGGCCTCGTGGTGTCTCACAGCGCAGCCTGAGCCACCCTCCACTTGGAGCAACCTTCAATAAAGAGCTAGATGTGCTAACACACTAGAAAAAAAACGGCTCGCGACAGGATGAATCGGGGCGTGCGGTGTCCCCCGCCCTAGGGGCTCCGCCCACTTGTCCTAGCACCGTTTACAACAGGGCAACGTATTAACAAAAACACGACTCTTACAACATCACGACGTCGACGCGCAGGCCGAAGTGGTCCGACGCGAACAGCCCGTCCCCGGCGGGCGTCGTCCCGAGGCGCTCCGCGGCGACGGGTCGCCCGAGGCTTCGTCGAACCATAACGCGGTCGTAACGCATCCGCTCGCCGCGGTCGCGGACCCACGGGTTCAGCTCGCCGTCGAACGTGAAGCCGCGGTTGTTTGGAAACACGGCCGCCCAGGCGTCCACGAAGTCGGGCAGCGCCCGCGCGAGCACGTTGTTCTCCAGCGCTGACGCAGGCCGTTTTCGTTCTGGCTGGCGCCACTCGCCCCACGTAGAGACTTCGTCGAAGTTAAAGTCCCCACACAGGACATCGAGGCCCTCGACGGCGCTGATCTGCCGCAGCTGGGCCGCGCGCGTCCGTTCCGTATCGAGCGATTCTAAATGGACTGTGCCGACGACGCGGCGCCGCGTTCCCGCGTGGCCGTACGTATCGAGCTCCGCCGCGACGAGCGAGCGGCCCATGGTGGTTGGGAGCTGCAGTTCCGCAAAAGCTGGGTTCAGCTCCCTTCTGACGAGTAGCAGGCACCCATACGCGCTAATGTCGTTCTCCGAGATGTCGTACCTCGCCGTGACGCCGGCGTGCTGCCGTATTCTCGCTGCTACCTCCGTCGTTACTTCCTGAAGGCCGATGCAGTCTGCGTTCTCCTTCGCGAGCAGGGCGAGAAGTAATTTGAGGCGCTCCTTCTGTCGCCGGTGGTCGAACCACACGTTCCAGGTGATGATGCGGAGAGGTGGTCTGCCGCGGAGTTCGCGGGGCTGGGTCCACGCCTCAGTCCCGTCCGGCGTATGCGGTTCGTCGTCGGGTGTCGCGAACGAGGCCATCGCGAGCAGGAGGAGGCGTTTCATGCAACAGTGCGGAACACCAGCCTTTAGGAGCCGCGTCGAAGGCGTGCGCTCGCGCACGCGTGTGGCAGCCGCAAACCTGGCTGGGCCCTTGATGAAGCTCTCCGGTTCACGGCGGAAGCAGGAGTGCGCAGACCTGCTTGCCTCGTTCGTCAACGTATATTTTCTAGCACTTTTAAGCCGCGAGACGACAAATAGGCTTGAAATAGCTCACAGTTTTGCTACTTCCTAGTGTCTTACTGACCGCTAGCTAATATTGCCGGGTCGCTCGAGCCATCCGCCTGCCGTGACAGTGCTGCACGCGCACAGCTGTGATTTTGAACCCACGTATCGTAATTGTCGCGAAACCCCAGCGCGGAAAAGCCCACGCTTCAGTGCTGGGTCATGATGAGGCCATTGGTGCTCGTGCTGGCAGCCGCCGCGGCCACGGCCGTCGACGTCGACGCGGTCTCGATGGACGGCGAGGCCGCGGCGGTGCAGGGCCAGTCCGCGGCCGCGCCGCCGCCGCGGATGAACCCGCGCCACAATAACCCGAAGGACTGGGCGCAGCAGGCGGACGCCTCCGCCGCAGCGCTGGGCGCTTTGGAAGCAAAAGACCAAAATAAGGTCGTGCCGTCCGCGGCGACGGGCGACAGCGGCGCCGCGGCCCCGAAGGAGGCTTCCGAGCCCGCCTCTGAGAAAGAGCCGCTTGTCGAGTCCGGCGAGGACGCCGCCGCAGCCTTCCGCGGCGCGGTGGCGGCCTTCCTGTCAGAGAAGGGCCTCGCGCCGGACGAGGCCATGGCCGCCTCGGAGCTGCGGGAGGCCCAGTACGAGGCGGCGGCGGCCGTATTGCGCCGGGCCGCCGCCACCGCACCGTCTCTGCTGAGAACGCTCGCGGACGAGGCCGAGCGACTGCAGAAGAACAACGCCCAGGCCATCGCCGACATGATCACAAAAGCGGAGGCCGCGGTCGACAAAAACGCCAAGGACAAAGCGAAAGCGCTCTTGGAGGTCTGGAAGGGCCAGGTCCTGTGTGGAAATCAAGCAGTGTGTCGGGTGCACCCGATTTTTCTTCACGAAGTCATTTCTCGGTGATGACGCGGCCGCGCGGGCTCAGTCGAGCGCCGAGGGACCCGCAGCGCCACGCCATCGAGCAGGCGTCGCGTCGATGGCGTGCAGGTCGACGCGACGATTCAGCACGAACGCGCCGTAAAATTTGATTTCCACACAGGCCAGGTCGCCGCGAAGGCGGGTGCGGAACCCGACGCCGCGGAGATTGCCAGAGCTAGCGAAGCGTTTTCCGCACACGTCGCGCTCGAAGCGAGGGAGGAAATCGCGATCGAGAAGGCCCAAGTAGCCGTGGGGGAAATAGTTGGCGGATTGATGCTGCCCGCGGAGAAGTCTGCCATCGACGCGATGTTGATAGAGGCGGAGAAGGAAGGCGTTGTTCAGTGCAGAAATCAAATATCACGGCGTGTGTCCGTCCACGGCTCAGTCATGACCTTCACGCCATCGACGCGACGCCAGCTCAATGGCGTGGCGGTGTGGGTCTCTCGCCGCTCTAGCACCCGACTCACTGGTTGATGTGCGCACAGGTGTCATCGCGGCCCAGGCGGAGTTCGAGAAAGATGGCAATGCTGCGGTGAAGGCCGCCGCCATTGAACGCGCAAAGGCCGTCGCGAAGCAGGCCGTGGCCGAGGTGGCTGGGAGCGTGCGCGGCAAGAACGGCCGCGCGGAGGCGGACCTGTCGTCGTCGGAACTCTACGCGGCGAAGCGGGCGCTGATATCGTGTTTGCAGGGGCTCCCCGACGACGAACGTTTGGCGAAAGTGGACCAGCATGGGGTCCGTGGCTGTGAGTTCGAAGCGTCGATGGACTGGTTGAGTCGGGAGGAAGGCGCGCCAGTCTTATCGGGATTTCGGGACCGCCATCGCGTCGAGCTTCAAGAAACTGTGGATCAATTCCGCATGACGGCCTCGAAGATGGGCAAGGCGGTCCTCATAGCCAATGCCACGCTCAAGGCGAAGACGGCATTCGACCGCACGTGCGTCGGATTTCCCGCCAGCGACCCGCCGGAGCCGTGTATTGCGGCGGCGGAGCGCGCCGCCGACGGCGCGGCTGTTGAGGCTGAGGCCGCTGTTATTGAGGCCGCGGAGGGCGACGACGCGTCGTTCACGAGATCACATATCGCGGCGTTGACTGATGAGACTAAAGCTGCGATCCGCGAGTGGGCGCGTTTACGCTTATCGCGCGGGAGCTCCGAATCGAATGACTGCGGGGCGCGGCGTCCCTACGGTGCCTTCTGCTCGACGCCATCTCCGCGACCCGCCCATGATGAGATCGACGCTCGATGGCGTGGCGGTGCTCACCGGTCGCGCGCGCAGGCCACGGGCGCGCCGTCCAGACCTTCGAGGCGAAATGTGCGGAGGCGGAGAGAGCTTGGAACAGACCGGCCTGGGAGCGACTATTTGTGGAGGCGCCGGCTGTGTCGACGAAGGAGCCGCCTCAGTTAGATAACCGAGCGTGTCCTGGGCGGCCGTCGACCGAGCTCTCAGACCGCGCCGACGCGCGTCGGGCGCGGCTACGAAGGGTTGCGCGGGCCGCGGACGCTGCCACCGAGGCGACGTATGTTGCGTTCATGGGAGTTTCTGCCGCTCTGGCATTACTGACGATCGTCCTGCGGTGTTGCTGCCGGTGCTCGTCGTCGATATGTCTACTATTGCTGATAGTCGCGTTGACTGGACAAGTCCGCGTGTTCCAGTTGATCGGTGAGGACATCGGTGAAAGTTACGGCGCCTTACAGATGCAGCAGATCTTCGCGGGGTGGCTGGTGATTTCACTCATCTTCGCTTGTTGGCCGAAGCGGCGGTCGAAGAAAAACATCGGGCGTGTTGGATTCTTGTACGGGAAGGATGATGAGCACATCCTGTAGTAATGTTATTTCCAGTAGTCTTAGTCTTGACCGCGAAGACGCCAAGGACTTAATATAATAACGTATACTTATGCGTCGCGCCCTCAATGCGACTTGCCGCACGCAGTGTGCGGAAGTATATCGCCCGGCTCTTAACCTTGCATCCTCGTGTCGCGAATTGCCGCGATCTGGTGGAACTGCATAGCGCGAAAATTGGGGACGTTCTTTATATGCGCGTGCCGCGCCCGCGCGTACGTCGCTCCAGGAGACTAGGTTCCTGCGGTTGCGTAGGTCAGTAGGAAGGAGGAGAGAAGCACAAAGATAGTTACCGCCACAAAAAAAAGATCAGAACGCCCACCCCCTCTCGTAGTCCCGCGCCGCCTGCTCGCGGTGCAGCTCGCGCGACTTCTCCCAGGGCCACGTCTCCGGCTTCAGGTCGACCGCGGCCTTGTCGTGCGCCACGTGGATCAGGAACCGCGCCCACTCGTCGACGCTCTCATTGCTCATAAAAAGCAGCTTCTTCCGCGTACAAATCGTCTGGCGCATGTGCTGCCGGAAGTAGTTGTCCGTGCCGAGCCGCGCCGCAATAGCGCCAAACTGGTCGACGTCGCGCGCCGCGAGGTCCCGCTCCAGCCCGATCGTTCTTAAATGACCCAGGCCGAGCTGGAGGATCGTCGTCTTCCGCGGCAGGACGACGACGGGCGTGCACATCGCTAGGGACTCGAGCACCGTGACCCCTCCGCCCCAGGGGTACGTGTCCAGAAACGCGTCGCATTGGGATACGACCTGCAAGACTCGCTCGCGGCTCATGCGCGGCAGGAAGATCAACTGCTCGAGCGCGTCCTCGCCTAGTGATTGATTGAAGCGCGGCACATGCGTCCGCGCGCCCTCCAACAACAAGATGAACGCCTCGGGGGCCTTTTCTAGTACCGATGCGAGGGCCGCATCAAAGTCGGGATGCAGCTTCTTCGAGTGCTGCAGCACGCAGAAGACCGGGGCGTTTTCTGGCAGATCGAGGTCAGCACGTGTTGAATAGGGCGGTGCTGGCGGCTCGTCGAAGCCAATGGACGAGTGCTCGAACAACACGAGTTGCTCTTCATATTTCTGGGCGCCGTCGCCGCGCGGCGCCGCGGCGTCGAGCCTTAGGGTAGCGCCCGTTGCGCCATAATCAGGTGCTAAGCCCGCCGCTTTTCTAGCCGCGTCGTCGGCGTCACTCGAGGCGCCGAGCACCATAGAATCATCGTCGAAAAATACGGCCGCCTCCGCATTAATGGCGTGTCTACTGGAAGCGCCGCGGTTCGGCCACGTCGGGTCCCGCTCGTACGACTCTGACGAGACGAAGTAGTCCACCGTATCCAAACCAGAGGTCAGCGGGTGGCCGTGGCCGAAGACCAGAACGACGCGAGCCAGGCGCCGCCGCGCCAGCGCGTAGGTCTGGTGGGCCAAACCGAGCGCGAGATACACCAAAACGTCGGGCCGGGCCTGCTCGATGACGTTGGCCGCCTCGACCATGTCGTCGGACGGGATGTAGACCACAAAAGCCGCGGCGTCTATGGCAGAAGCGGTGAAGTCCGTGTCCAGGCCCTCCGGCACGACGATGCCCAGCTCCAGGCGATCTGAATATTTCTCCCGCAGGCCCCTGAAGACGTTGACGAAGAGCAAGCCGGGCGACGTGTTGCCGCCGAATTCAGCAACGACCGCGACGCGCGGCTTCGTCCGCGGCTCCTTTGCACAGTACGGCGCGACGCCGGCCGGCTGCACGCCGGCCGCGGCGTACAATCTCCCTAGCCTCTTCGCGAGGGGATAGAATGCGTAGCCCAGATAGGGCCAGGCGATGGGCATGTTGCCCACTAGGCTTCGCGCGTCCCCCTGTATGTCTTGCTGCTCCAGGTCGACGGCGAGGTCCTCGAGCCTCCTTAATAATCGCGCGTAGCGCGCCGGCGCGTCCTGGGCCCGCCGCACGTGCGGCTGGCAGAGCGACGCGGCCATGACCCGAATGCCCGCCGCGCCGTAGGCGTCGCCGTCCGCTTCTGATGCCTCGGCGCCCCGCCGCAGCACGCGGGCCGCGCCGAGCGGGTCGTCGCGTTGCTCCAGGAAGTAGGCGTAATTCAGCGTCACGCCGGCGAGGCCCGGCGCCGCGTCGTGCGCCCGCTCGTACATCTCCCCGCGGTCGCAGGACGCGTCGCCGCCGTAGATCTCGCCGCACAGCAGCGCCACGTTGTTGAAGAGCGCCGCGGCGGCGTGGGGCAGGCCCGCCCGGCGCGCGCGGTCCGCGCACAGCGCGGCGTCGTTCGGCGCGATGCGACCGCTGTTTGCGAGCATTCCGACGTGCGCGCTGGCCGCAGCCGCGGCGTCGACCTCGAGCAGGCCGTCTGCGGGCTCCGTGCCATTGATGAGGTAGGCGAATGCGGTGCGTTCCGCGTCGTTGGTGGGAAATGCGTGCGCTGCGGCGGCGAGTAGGACGCACCAGAGGTGCCGCGACATGGCGCGCGGCATCTATGGCTGCTTTTCCATGGCGTAAGGCTGCCCGCGGCCCCGGCGCCCACAAAAGCTAGCGAATGTAAGGCACTAGCAAGCACAAGCACAGACCAGCAACGAGTGAGCGTGAGTAGTTGTGGCCGTGTGGCGCCCTATAGAGAGGCTCGCAAGGCCAAGCCGTCGACCACGTACAGCAGCGTTCGAGGATCTCAGGCGGGCGAGGCCTGTCCAGCCAGCAGTGCTGGCTCAGTCTCAGTAGAGCCAAGGTGGGCGCAGACGTGGGCGCAGACGTGATTCGTCACAGTAGTACCAGACGTGGGCGCAGACGTGATTCGTCACAGTAGTCATGGGCCGCAAAAAAGGCAAGCAGAGCCAAGGCGCCGGTTCCAAGCGCGGCCGCGCCGCGCAAGACCGCATGCGTGCGCGGGACACGCGTGACGACCTGAAACGCCTCCTCCCGCGGCCGGAGCGACCACGGACCACACAGCCCACGCTCTCGGTGCGCGAACTGCTCGCCGCGCTGCCGCGCGCGCCGAAGCGACCGCGGACGACCGCCGCGCCAGCGGCGCTCGGCCTGAGAGCACCGGCGCCGACGGGCACCCTCTTGGATGCCTGCTCACGCGTCATCGGTGCTCACTTAGACAGATATCCTCCGGACGCCGCCGCGCCTGTGTTCTCGCTGCTACCTGGCCGCGCGCTCGAGACCATCGCGGCGGTTGCGTCGGAACGACGGCTCTTCGACGACGCTCTGATTGGACTCGTGGTGGGCTCCGACGTCGAGCGTTTGGCCATCGCTGGCGAAAGCGTGACCGACGCCGGCCTCAATCAGATCGTGCCGTCGTCCGCCGGTGCTGTCGCCGCGTCAGCCTGGGATAGTGCGCCGGTTCAACAGTTCTCCGGCTGCCTTCGCCTCAGAGCGCTGGCGCTCGACGTCCCACACGCGACGGCGGCGTTCGTGCGGCGGCTCATTGCTGCGGCGCCGGATCTCGAGGAGCTGACGCTCGCGCCGCGGGCGCTGAGCACGCCGGGTCAGGCGCCGCGCGCCGCCGCCGACGCGGTGGACGCGCTCGATGGCCTACGCCTTCTCGACGTGCGGGGCTGCTCGTGGGCCGACGGACCGACTCTCGGACGCGTGCTGGCGAGCCGGGCAGTCGCGCCGGCTGTTGTGCTGCCCTGTTGGGGCGCCGGCGCGGATCCGTTCGATGACATGGACACGGACGAGCCGACGCCGCGGGCGCGGCCCCAGCTCGAGGTCCGCTGCGACGTCGACGACCTCACGCGGCGGCGGCTCCAGGCGCGGTTCCGCGACGGCGTTAAAGTCGTTTCCGCGCTTGCCGAGGCGGAGCGGGCGAAACGAGCTGCCCAGATTCCTCCTCCACCGGCGAGCAGACTCTCGCGCTCGCTCGCGGCAACGGCGACAAGCATGGCGATACCTGGGCACATGAACCCCCGCATGACGCAGCCGCTCCGGAGCCCCCGCTGACTCGCGATCCGGCGCGGCGGCGTTTCTAACTTGTGACTTTGTGGTAACTTAGAATGTTGTACGATGGCCGCGGGGCGCGCGGCGCGGGAATTAATTGCTGCAGTCCTTGACGCCATGGACTAGGCTTCGTGCTTGTGGTCGTCCGGTGCCGGCGCCGGGTCGGGCGGCGCCGCGGGCGAAGCATGATGATCGTGCTTGTTGTGGTGCTTGTGGTGCTTGGAGGAAGCGCTGAGATCCGGCGAGGAGTGCTCCTTGACCTCGCGGGCGTGTTCTGAGGAGATCGCTCTTTTACAAACGAACTCGTAGATGAAGTCCACCGTCATGAACGAGCAGACGTAGATGAGCACCCACAGGTTGTCGTGGTCCTTGATCTGGATGCCCGAGATCATGATGACCGAGAGCGCCATGCGCACGAAGATCCGGGTGTACTTCTTCGTCCACCAGTGCTTGCGGTCGTTGTGCAGGCGGCCGTGGAGGAGCATGATGAGCGACAGCGAGAAGAGGAGCAGGCACGTGAACCCCAGAAACAGGTTGCGCTCGTCGATCTGCCACCGGTTCTCCTGCGGGTCGATGGCCGCCCAGTGCAAGACCGCCCCGGCTCCGGCCGAGCACACGAAGACCGGCAGATGGGCCAGCGTCCACAGCACCCCATTTATTTGACTAATGTCCATGGCGTGCTCGCTCACGTGGCCCTGCAGCTCGAAATACAGTAACTTGACCAGGAGAGCGAAATAGACACATAACCCGGCCATCAACAAACTCAGCATGCTCCTCGACGACGCGACGATGGCCGCGCCGGCAAATAACGACTCGCCGCACGTGATGATGATCAATAACCCAAATCTTTCCGAGACGTACTCGACGTTCACCGGCACGATCCCATCATGGTTCACGTAGTAGTCGTGGCCCCGCTCCTCGTCGTGGTGGTGCTCGTGCTCGCCGATCGCGATGCCGGCGCCGGGCAGCATCCAGGACCCGCAGAACATGAAGGGCGTGTAGAGGCCCCAGATGAGGAAAGCGATGTCGGCCGCCGTGTTCCGCACCTTATCTTCGTGGTCCTCGGTGTGCCGCGTCATCATGTCGCCGATCTGGGGGCAGAAGAGGCAGGCGTAAATGAGCGAGAAGACGATGTTCAGCGTCAGGTTGATGGCTTCCGTTTTTAATGTTCTCCAGCGCTTGGGCCGCGACCATAACGAATCTAACACTGATATCAGACCAATACCATTAGCCACAACAGCAAACGCGTGGAAGCGCCAGATGCCCTCCTCCGCATCAATGGCGCAGGCGGCCATCCCCAACACGCAGACGGCCCGAGCTAGGAGTAGTACGCTACCGACGAGGTCGTTGCGGCGCCACTGGCTCCTATGACCGTCCGTGAAGCGTCTTACCGCAATGACGGCCGACGTCTCAAGACAATAAAGGATGATGGCGTTGTGGAAGGAAGTGGGCACGAGCTCAAAGCCGCCCGATAAGCGGCGATGGTCCTCGTGGTCGTCGTGGTGCTCGTCCTCGCCGTGGTCGTGCGGGCTCTTGTGGCCGCCCGCCCTCAAAATGTTCGCGAGCATGCCGAAGGCCGCCACTAATGCTAAATCGAAAAACAACTCGTCCCACGACGACTTGTACTCCTCGCCATCGAGTTCCTCCTCGTACTCGTCGAGCGTCATGGGGGGCGTGTAGGGCCCATCAATAATTTCGAAGACGCCCACATCCCTCTGCGACGCGTCGAACATCGTCGCGTCGGTGTCAAAAATGGCGTCGTGGTGCTCCTGCACGCGGCGGGCTAGTTCTTGTCTCCTAGAAGGCGTCTCGCCGCCCCAGTTCTTCTGCTTGTGGAAGGAGTGGACGCCGGGGCTGCCCGTGATGCCCTTGACGCGCCGCGCGCGCGCCGCCTTGCGCACCTGGACGGCCTCCTCCTCGTCGGAGGTGATCCCCGCCGCCGGCGGCGTCTCGGCCGGCGCCGGGGGCGCCGCATCGTCGGGCGGCTCCTCCTCCTTGCTGCGGCCGAGGCCCATCTTACTACTTTATACCGGTTTGCGGCGCGGGGGCTGCTTCTGCGCCCTGCCTCGCTGTGTGCTGTTATGACAGAACCGCCGCGCTGGCCTGCCTTTTTGCGATGCGGGCTGCTTCTGCCGAAGGCAAAAGGGCCGCGCGCGCCGTGGGGCTGCTGCGCGTGGCGGTAGGGGCGGCGCGCCGCAATAAACGTCGCTGTCCAGAAGCGCGCCCCGCGCCGGGCTGAAAACGCGCTAGGGTGAAGCTCGCTGGCGGAGGTCTCTGCATCCCCTCCCAGCTCGGACGGAGTCTTCTGGATCTTCTTGAAAAGACCGCTCGCATCGCGCTGGTACACTGGTGCGGCCTGACGCCCGACGCGCGGTGGCTCCCCCCCTAGAAGCTCCGCCCATAGACCCTGCCGGCTGGCACTAGCACCGTCACAGAAATCCGGCCGAACGCCCGTCGGCGCGTCGAGGCTTCAAGATACATCCTACAAGTCGATTACTCTGGCGCCGGCCGTCGCCGCTTCTTCTTCGCTGCCGGGCGCCGGTCGCGATTCCGGTCGAAGAGCGACGTCTCCCCGAAGTTTATGTGTTCTCGGAACCAGGGGCGCGCGAACAACAGGTAGAGGATGGGCCGCTCGTCCTTCGTCCGGTTCGGGACGCCGCGGTGCACCGTCCGCTGGTCGTAGACCAAAACGTCGCCGACGGAGAGCTCCGGGCTGAAGACGTCGGCCGGCTCGCGGCCCCGCTGCAGCGCGGCTTCCAGCGCGCGCGCCACGGGGCCCGGCTTGTGCGACGCGGGCACGAACTCGGTCGGGCCCATTCGTCTCGAAACATTCACGATCGGCGCGAAGCAGTTCAAAGCGTGCGCCGGCAGGTCGTTGCTGCCGGGGAAGAGCGGCACGCCGTCGGCGTGCCACGGCTGCGCGACCGAGCCGGGGCCCGACGACACGAGGCCCACGTAGGCCAACTTCGCGTCGTCGCCCAGGACGCGATCGATCAACGGCCGGAGCACGTCGCTGAGGTGTGCGGCGTAGTCGCGGAGGGCCTTCGTGGCCATGGACCACGGTTCCACGTCGCTCGCGTCGAGCCGCGCGTCGATGCGGCCCTTGCAGCGCCGCGCCGCCTCCTTGAACGAGAAATGCGCGTCGTCGCCGTACTGGTCGCGCGTGGCGGCCCGGACGAGATCCAACGTGATGTATGCACTCTGCATCATGCCGCCGGCCTCCGTGACGTGCACGCATTCCTCCAGCAGACAAACGCCGCCGGCCGCCAGCGCGGTCGCCGCGTCGTCGAGATCTTCGATATTCGTGCGCAGGTCCGGCAGAGCTTCGGTGGGCGCGTCGTGCTGCTCGACCCGGGTCAACAGGTCCTCGGCGAGCGCGGCGGCGGAGGCGACACCGCTCGTGCAGGCGGCGGCGGCTTGCTTCACGGCCTTGCGGTAGCGCTTCTTGGCCTTCTTCTCGTCGCCGGTCGCTCGCGCCGTGGCACCGGCCTCGGCCAGCCGCACGGCTGCCACGAGGCGTGCTGAGGCCTCATCCTCGTCGTCCGAGCTCATTTGTGCCCGCTATGAGCACGTTTTGAGCACGTTTGAGCCCTGCACTCTTGTGAGAGCAGTGCACTGCTGGGAGCCACCAGTGGCACCACGCGCAAAACTGCCAGTCGTGTCTTTGCACGTATCGATTGTGGCAATGCTAATGTGTCCAGACCGTCCCTGCTTGCTCCTGTTTGCCCTAATTGCCCAAGCGCGCAGCCTGCGCAGCTAGCGTCGGTAAGACACTAGCGCAAAGCCAGCTGCCGCGGCGCTGCTGGATTGGCAGGCGAATTACAGCCCCAGGCCTTCATATAAGTGCTTCCCATCATTTCCCATGCTGCGTAGTGCGACCACAAGGGCGCTGCGCCCACGCACGCCGCGGCGCACGCTCAAGCTCCTCGTCGGCGCCCACCTCGTGCCCCACCCGGATAAAAAGGACGGCGAGGACGCCTTCTACGCGTCGTCGCGGCAGGCGGCGTTGGGCGTCGCCGACGGCGTCGGCGGGTCGAAGCGCGAGGGCGTCGACCCTGGGGCGTTCAGCCGACGTTTATTGGCGCACGCGGTGACCGAGAGGCGACCCGCGGACGAGGCCGTCGCGAAAGCAAGGGAGGCGGTCAAGGACGACGTCTTGTGCAAAAAGGGCGGCTCGTCGACTCTGTTGGTCGCCACTCTTGACGACGCGACGCTTTCTGTCTCGAACCTCGGCGACTCCGCCTTGATCGTGCTGAGGCCGACGCCGCGCAAACGAGGCGACGTTGTACAATTGTGGCCGCGGATACTACTAAGGACCCACGACCAAACCCATTATTTCAATTGTCCTTACCAGGCCTCGGCGTCGGACGAGGCGCCCGCCGATGCTGATTTGGGCGCCTGCGGCGCGGACACCATCGCCGCGCATGTGAGGAGCGGCGACCTGGTGATTGCGGCGACGGACGGCTACTGGGACAACGTCTTCGATAGTACGACCCTGGCAACTATCGCTCCCCGATTACCGGCGCTCTGGGCCGCGGCGGCGCACCAGAACGCCTTTGGTGGTTTATCAAAACGCGTCCAGCGCATGACGGACGACGCCGCGGGCCGGGACCCCGCGCGCGAAGCGTTGGACGCGCTCGCGGAGACGTTGGCAGGGGTCGCAGTCTCAATAGCGGGAGAGGACGCGGCCGTGACGCCCTTCGCGGCGTCGGCGCGCGACGACGGCTTGAGCTTCGAGGGCGGCAAGGAGGACGACGTCGCGGTCGTCTGCGGTTTGGTCGTGGAGGATGATGTCGAGCTCTCGGCGGTCGACGAGGCGCCGCGGCACAACTTCGAGTCCGTGCTGACGGCGCGGGAGCGGATCGCGCTGGCGTGATCCATCCTTTGGTGTGCCGTTTTTATTGTCGTTTCTTCTAAGTCGAATTTATCGTATCTTTTCTCCTGGTTGAGTCTACACGCACTCGCACGCCTCCGGACAGTGCTAGTGTGTCTCGACACGCTAGCTCCTCCCGGTCGCGGTGCAGAGTGCTGCGGAGGCCCTGCGGGCGAGTGTCTCAAATCTGTGGTTGCCGTGGTGACAAGGACGGCATCACAGTTACTGCTGCAAAGCAACAGCTCCCAGCGGCACGCAGAAGTGTTAGACCAGACAACTGCTCTCAGCAGAGTGTCGCACCGCGCCGCGCGCGCCGTGCACCAATAATATCAGAGCCACCAGCGCATGCGCCGAAGCGCCAGCGACCTCGCATTTTTGTACATAAGAGACGCGGCGCAAGAGAAAAAAATGGAGACGAGTCCGGAACAGAAGCCGGCCGAGGAACCACAAACCAGTACGGTCAAGGTCTTCGTCCACGACTCGTCGTTTAGCAGCGAAGAGTTATTAGTCTCGCCAACAGCTTTTCCAGATGTAAAAGACGGAGGTGTCGTCTTCGTCGACTTCAGCACGAAGAACAACGAGTCCGCGCGCGTCGTTTTGAGGGCCACGCTCATGAAGGACGAGGACGAGACCACAAAGTCGAAAAGATTCGCTTTGTCACTCCTGAAACCGGTGGCCGAGGCCTTCGACGTCGCGCCCTGGGCCGACGCTTCTGTAGAACCGTGCAACGACCCCGCCAATGAAGCTGCGGCCGAGTACGTGGAATTCATGTTCAAGGACCAGTTCGTGTCGCGGGCGGACCTGTGGCGCTTCAAGCGGTTGGTGATTGGCAGGACGTTGCATGTCGGGCAACATGTCGCGGTCGGCGGCATGCGCGCGTCGACGAACGTCCTGAGAGCGAAAGAATCTTGTGGCGTGCTCGCGTCGGGGTGTGTTGTTGCGTCGACGCGATTGACATTCAGAACAAGATCTTCACGCATTTTTTGGTTGGTGCAATTGTCCTACGAGTCCTGGGAGCCCACCGGTGGGGCGGACGGCGCGACGCATGTGGAGCGACTCGTCGACGGTTTCGCGGCACCCTTGCTCCAGAGGTGGAGGAAATTAGACGTGAACCACTCCCTGTCCGTGGTGTTGTTTGCGCGAGTCTCGGGCGGCGGCATCGAGCGACACAGAGACGTCTACCGAGTAGTGCTAGAAAACGAGGCCGCTTCGAAGGCGGAACCAGCTACACTCGTATCAGCCCTGAAACGAGAATTAGTGGCCTTCGCCGCATCCCTAGCATCAGTAGTGCCGCCGAATGAATTGCGAGTCTGCCGCGCCGCCGACGGCAACGTGCTGGAGGCCATCAACCTCACCCTAAACGTACTGGAGAAGCACTACATGGATAGAGACGTCCAAAGAACAGGAAATTCGATAGTCTTGATCTCCGCCGGGAGTGGCGTCTTCGCCGTCGACGCGCGACTCGCGAGAGTTACGAAGCAGCGCATGATGGATAATGGGATTGGCATGGACATGTTGTCGCTAGCGGTGCCCCCTCTCCACACGGCGCCCATCTTCATGCATAGAGGGATCAACAACACGAAAGCTACGGCCTACGAGGTTCCTCATTGGATCAATTTGTCGTTCGTCGACCCCGAGCGAGCGGCCGACGCGCTCGCTTGGGTCGCTGCCGCGGCGCCTCGACGCGCTCGCGACGGCTGGCGCATGGCGCGCTTGGATCTGCTTACGACGGAACCGGAGGAGGAGGAGTTGAAGCCCGTTGTGGATCAGGAGCAACAAGTGAGGTTACGAGCATTAGCTCAGCGACGAAGGCGTGTCCCGGATTTGCTCGCTCACTTGGTGGGGGCGGAGCTAGACACGTCGCAACCGCCTCTCCAACGACCTCGACGCTTCATCCAGCAGAAAAAGTCCTCGAGAGATAGGCAAGAGTCCGTATCGTTCGGGAGTCCGGGGAACCTGGCCCAGTCTCTAGGGCATGCGTCCAATGAGGACGCGTCGTCGCTCGCGTCGTCGGCCGGCGCGCCCTGGCGGCCCTGGCTCCACCTCGGAAGCCCGTCGGATAGTGGAGTATCTCTGTCTTGGAGGGACAAGTCGACACCAGACGATACGCCTGACCAGACTCATCGACGGACGCCGTCGATGCTGAGTGAAGAGGACGACGAGGCCTTACCCTATGCCTACGACGTCGCGGCGTCCTTCGCCGGAAGTCTCTCCACGACGGCCTCGAAATCGCCTCCCGTCTCGAGAAGAACGCTATCAGGCAGTCAACAGCGACCGCGACAACTCGCGACGCGCCCGCGACCACCTCCCACACCGGCGCCGGAGGACCTCGCGGCCAAGTTCGACGCCCACGACATGATGGCCTACTACGGCGACCCGGCCGACGAGACTCCTCACATCAAACCTTCAAGGACAATAACCGGTGAGTTCGGGAGCCCGCCCCAGGAGAGCTCTTTCTTGGCCCGGAGCCAGCCCCCGATGCGTCGGAGAAGAGGGGCTTCTTTTGGCGATCCGATCACGAAGGGCCAATCACCACCGAGACCCATCCCGGGCGCTGGTTTACTTGGGGGTTCTCAAGCGATAGCGGCAGCCAGGCCGCCACCGCCGAGACCGACGAAACAGCGCCGACCCTCCGACGAGACGAGACTAGTGAACAAGAAGGCCTCGCCGCCGCGCCAAGGCGCGTCGTTACTCCACAACGAGCTCGCGTCCCAGGAGAAGCGCCAGCAAACCTCCAAAGCGTCGCGGGTCCACCAGGAGGACCCCGACCGGCTCGCCGACGCGCCCGCGCACCTGCGGTTTGTGAATCCGTTCCGTAAGGACGACGAATTTGATGTCCTCCAGCGACTCAGTCACAATAGGAGGAGGTGGTCCCACGTCTTCCCGGACGGCGAGGACGAGTTTCAGTTGGCCGAGGCTGGCAGGGTGCCGGGCCCCAATTGGCGTTCACTGAGTACACCAGCAGTACTACCCGTCGAGACCGACGTATTGCCGGAGGATTTTGGGAGAGCCAACGCCTTCGAGGAGGCGAACCATTCGATTGTCTTTACGGTGAGTACGGACGAAGCGGCGGCCGAGACGGTCGCGCAGATGGTCGCGCAAAGGATCGCGGGCGATTATCAGCTCGTCGAAGATGCCCAAGAAAGGCCACCCTCGCTCAGAAGGGACGCGTCGCAGCCCACGCTCGAGGGCCGCGTCGCGCAACAGATGGACCGGTCCCTGCACAACGCGCGCGACTTGTTTCCCCCGTCGCAACGGCGGCGGTCGAGAACCCAGAAGCCGTCGATCTACACGTTGTCGATGGGCCATCGCATACAAGTATTAGCTTATAATCGCGTCGAGCGACGAGTGGATGTAAGGGCCTACCGGTCAAGATTCGGTTCAAATGCGGACCCGGCCAACAGGTTCGATTACCAGTATGGACTGTGGTGCGGCGAGACGGGGACCTTCGAGACGAAGAAACAGACGTTTCTGAAATATCCCGCGCCGGAGACGAACTGGAACACTTTAGATCAGGTCTTGGCGGGCTATCTGCCGCCGTCTGTCACTCTGGAGTCGGTCAAACTAAGAAGGGTACTGTTAGCGGTCGTGCCGCCTCGACTCCAAGACGATCTGGAGGGCGACGACTACGCGACGCGCTTTTCTAAATTCGAGGCGTTCCTAAATGGTAAAAGACGCCAGGGTGAAGCTCCACTAGATGTGGGTCGGGTCGAAGGTAGCACTTCGCTATACCGAAGACCTCGGTTACTAGGACTAGGATTAGAAAGCGACGGCGGCTGGCGCGACGAGTGGCTCGCTCTTGAATGTGACTCTGTGGTCGCTAGAGACCGGTGTTATCGATTAGCATTACATTGGTTACTCTGCTCGGGGCATGTGGTGGGAGACTTTCTCCAAGCTGTCAGAAGGCGAGCGACGCAGCTGCGCTTGACACTAGTACAAGTGCCGGAGTACACGGTCCGGGTCAATATCCATCCCTTCATCGCGCACGTGCCCATCCTGAACGGCGCTCTTAAGTCTCAAAAGGTGTCGGCGGCCGTCGAGCGGGCGCTGACGGCTCGGCTAGATTTCGTGCGGGATTCCGCATCAGCAGTGGCAGCCTCGTCGGCGGCGCAGCGGACGCCTCGAAATGGCACAAAGGGGGTCGTGACGCGGCAGTACGTGCACCGAGGCGGCGCGGCCTTCGTGCGGGCGGACGACGGCGGTGGGTTGCTGTGGATCCGCAATCGACTTAGGAGGGAGACGGGGCCCGCGGCGGAATTACTCAAGAGTTTGAGGGCCCACGCCGCCGTCTTACGAGCGCTGGTGTCCGTCGTCGATTCAATAGGCCTGCCCGAGGAGAAGACCTCTACAATTGTGGACCGCGTCGCGGACTATTTAGTAGCGGCGCCGGACGAGGACGCGCCCGTGCCCTCGTCGCGCCTCGCCTCGGACACGCCCATGCGCCGGCCCGACTCGCCGGGCGTCTTGGAGCGCGTCGCGTCGATGCAGACGCCGGCGAAGGACTCGCGGCCGCCGACGCCGGTACCTCCATCCGCTGGTGGCTCTCCGCTCGGTGGGTCGTCGAGTGGGAGAAAACCTAGCTCTCCCGTCGGCATCGGGTCGAGCGGCCGGAAGCTGGACCTATTGTAGAGTAATCTGTTGGTGTATATTATTCGCTTACTGATGGCGTCTCGTCGTCACGGGTCAGTGGATCACTCAATTGCTACCAGTTACGCAACCCCCGGCGACGGCGTCTCGCGGGTGCGGAGCGCGGCTCGCGCGACTTCAAGCTCTATATCAATCGCCGCTACGATCGGGTGCGCGCCGCCGAGCAAGCGCTGCGCGGTCCTTCTCGTCTCCTCGAACGTCGTCTTGGCTTCGCGGAGATCGTCGAGCGTGGCATTGGCGTCCAGGGAGAACGTCGACGCGTAAATCGTCCTCATCCTAAGCGTGTGATCATGACCCGCACCGAGAATGCGTCGTGCCACGGGCATATATTCGCGCAGCAGCGACCTGGCCTCTTCGAAGCGCTCTGTTTGAACAAGGGACGACGCGTAGTTGAGGGCTGCTATGAGGCTGTCTCTATGTTCCTGGCCGAGGAGCTTCAAACGCCCGAAGTATACGTCTCGCGACATCCGCATGGCGTCTTGATGACGTCCTAGAGCATCATATGTACTCGCAAGATTGCTCTGGGTGAGGAGAATGTTTAGTTCTCCTGCGCCAAGTCGCCGCAGCATAGACAACTCGGCCTCTCTCACGGACAACGCGTCCTCGTAGTGGCCTGTCGCGAGAGAGAACGCTCGACGATCTCCGCGAGGCCGTGACGACGCTGGAGGATTTAGAACGGACCGCGCGGCGTGTGCTCGGTGGCGCGCACCCGCTTGTACGGGTGATTGAACGAAACCAGCGAGAGTCGCGAGACGCGCTCCGTGAGCGTGAGGCGTCGTCGGGGGTGGCCACGAGGACTCGCGCCGCTCGGACGGACGCGCTCGGGCGCGTCCGTCCGAGGAGGAGTAATAGCTGGCCTCATAGTATTACCGGACTAGCTAGTCCACAGCACGCCCCGACGTGGCCCCGCAAGTTCACACAAATCCAAGTTACTAAGGGTCCTCCGGCGGCTCCCAGTACAGGAAGTCCGACACGCCGATGTGCACCACCGCGTCGCCCGCGCGGGGCGTGCCGCCGGCGGGCGGGCCGAGCACCGAGAAGGTCCGGTCCCAGACCGCGCGCACCAGCGCCCACGTATCGTCGCGCGCGTCGCGCGGGTCCGTCGTGCAGACGCGGTAGAGAGTGGTCGCGCGCACGGCGACGTCGACGCGGGCGCGGCCCGCGCGCCGCCGCGGCTTCACCGCGAGGTCCTCGTCGTCGGAACTCGACGAGTCGTCGCGCGGCACGTCTGTTGTGGAAGCGCGGCCGCTCGGCGGCGACGACGACGGCGACGACGGCCGGTCGGCGAAATTCTGGGAAGAGGCCTCGCCGCTCGGCGACGTTAAGGACGAGAAGAGCTTGTGCGCGAATAACAAAGCAGGTGGCGACCGAGTGGGTGGTGGCGGCGGCGGCGGGACCGGTTCCTGCACCACGCCCTTCGTGAGGCGCACGCGGACGTCCAACGGCGACGCGCGCGCGTTCAAGGGACACACGACGACGTGGTCGACTCCTGGTGGCGCGCACAATCGTCGCACGCACGCGTAGGCGTCGCCGCCCGAGACAGTCCTAGTGCACTCTACCAGTATATGGGCGGCGTGCGTGAGGGCACCACTCTCGGTGAGCTCCGCGAGGGGACCCTTGGTCAAGCGTCTTGATTCCTCGAGGATTCTCGCAGCTAAAGCAGCGGCGATCGTCTCCGGCGCGTCGACGTTCGACGACCGACAGACCTCGCCGTCCACCGCGACGCGGTCCCTCCGCATGTCCTTGCGCATCTGCTCGAAGCGCCGCTCAAAAGGCTCCTCGGTTCCTAAATCGTCGTCCTGTTTGACACGCCTTACATCTGCGACGAAGGACGCACACGCCGCGGGAAACGCGTCGCGCTTCGTGTGGATCTGCACGGAAGGTCCCAGAGAGGCTACACTTCTCAAAGCGTCGACGTACGTCTCGCGATCCGTCGCGCGAGCCGCCCGCGCGGCCGCGGCGTCGAACATGGCTGAAGCGTCGTCGTTGCTGATCGGCGCCGGCTCATCATCTAAAGACGCCTGGAGGCACCTCAACCAATCATCGCGCTCTCTCGTGGAAGCGCACAACCAGACCGTCCGCTCGCCGTCCTTCGAGACCGAAAACGCCTCGCCTCTTTTCCCGACCTGGGCGACGGCGATCACGCAGCGGCCTCGCAACAACTGAACGGTGCGTTCCTTGCCGTCGGCCGTCGACGGCGCCGAGGCGAGCACGGCGACGGCGCCGGGTCTTCTCCTAATTTCAATGCGGTGGAAGCGATACGGCGGCTTCTTCCGCCGCGCCACGCGCCGCAAATATCCAACCCTAATGATGCCGGTCCGGGGCTCGTCGAGTCGCGCCTCGGCGAGCTGCAGCGCCGCGCGCGCGAGCACGACCGCCGGCTTCGCGTCCGGCAAGGTGATGGGCGCGTCGTCGTCGCGCGGGCCCGGCGGCAGCGGCGGCGCGGCGGCCGACGCGAAGCCGCCGACGGCCGCGGAGACGGCGAGGGCCACGTCGCGCCGCGCCGCGTGCTCGTCGCGCTTGACTTCCTCCTCGGCGGACTCCAGCGACTTCTCGTGGCGCTCTAATTCTGCCTCAAAGTCGGCGCGCGCCGTCACGAGGGCGTCGAGAAACATCGCCTTGCGCTGCCAGCGCGGCCGAGGACGATGCCCTAGGCCGTCCCGGTCCGGGGGCAGCCCTGCGGCGGCGTTGAGATGCGGAGATGCTTTGCCAGAGACCAGTGATCTCTGCCAGAGACAGCCCAAAAAGAGGCCTACAAACCCCAGCGCTCCGAATACGTGAGCGCACGCGCGCGTTATAATATGATCCTCACGCAGTGCGCCGTCTGCGCCACCGAGCTTGGCTTATCCTTGGGCAAGAAATGCGGCCGCTGCAGCACGCGCTACTGCGGCGCCGAGTGCCAGAAACAACACTGGGAAGAGGGTGGTCACGACAAGCTCTGCAAGAAAATCAAAAAGGCTGGTGGCGCGGAACAATTTCATGCCAATAAGAGATACACGGAGACCGTCGCGGTCGCGGTCGAGAAATGCGCGGACGATACGAAGGGGCAGACGTGCTACATCTGCACGCAAGCCTTGCATTGGAAAACGAAGGAGGGCCTCGTGCGCGGGTGTTCGTGCCGCGGGACGGCGGGCTTCGCGCATGTGTCGTGTTTGGCGGAGCAGGCGAAGATTTTGCTCGCGGAGGCGTTGGAGAACAATTTGGGCGACAAGACGCTCGACGAGAGATGGTGCCGGTGGCACTCGTGTAGCCTGTGCGAGCAAAATTACCATGGCGTCGTGACGTGTGCCCTCGGGTGGGCGTGCTGGAAGACGTACCTGGGTCGGCCGGAGGATGACTGGGCTCGGGGCGCGGCGATGACGCGTCTCGGGAACGGTTTACACGACGCAGAACACCACGAGGACGCGTTGGCCGTGAGAGAGGCCGAGTTCTCTATCACGCGGCGCGTTGGCGCATCAGGAATTGATATTCTTGTCTCGCAGACAAATCTTGCGAACTCGTATCATGCGCTAGGGCGGATGGAACAGGCCCTACAGCTCGAACGGGGCGTATACTATGATTCATTGAGGCTATTGGGCGAAGAAGATGGTGATACAATCCGATCAGCCAACAACTACGCATCGAGCCTTGTTGATCTACAACGCTTCGAAGAGGCCAAGTCGCTGCTGCGCAAGACGATACCCGTGGCCCGACGCGTTCTCGGAGATGATAATATCCTCACACTCAAGATGAGGTGGTATTACGCGGGAGCGCTCTACACTGACCCCGGCGCCACGCTCGACGATCTCCGCGAGGCCGTGACGACGCTCGAGGACACGGAACGGACCGCGCGTCGCGTGCTTGGCGGCGCGCACCCGACCACAAGTGAGATCGAGATGTCCCTGCGGCATGCGCGAGCCGCGCTCCGCGCCCACGAAACGCCGCCGCCGCGCGCCGACGCCACCGACGCAAGGGGCGATTGATTTTAGTTAACAACACTACCGATCCGGCCTCGGCCTACTACTCGACCCGCCCTCCAACGCCACGAGCACGACGTTGTCGCCGCGCACGAGCACCTGGGCGAGGTGCCGCGTCCGCGGCCGCGCGCGCGCAGGGTTGCGCATTTTCGGCGTCGTCGTCTCGGCCGCGTCGACGAGCAGCAGGTTCATGTGTCGGTCAAATGCTTTCAAGTGCCCGACAACCACCCCTCTAATGGAGTTGATGCGCCGCAGCGTCACGCGCACTCTAACTCTATCCCGCAACGCTCTCCATAATAACGAGTGGGGCCCCTCTCTTAATGTATCAGTGACCTGGGACAGGAGCGCCACGCCTCTATTCGTCGAGGTAGCAGACGGCTCCCTCACGACGTGGTGCGCGCCCTGCTTCACTCGCGTATCATGATATTCCGATGAATGCGGTAAAAAAGGCCGGAATTTCGATAAATTGTCCAAAGGTGGGGCGTTCGGCACCGGCGGTCTCAGACCGGGCTCACATAAAGCAGCGCGCGCGTCGAACGCGCGACTCCGAAAGTCTAATCGATCATCACGTGACGTCGCCGTCCCGGGATACTTCTTCTCGAGCTTGGCCCAGAGCTTGTCCTGTTGATTGCGGTATTTCGACACGATCTCGGGCACGAGGTCGAGACGCTCGGGGTTGTGGGCCTCGTAGAAGGCACGTACGCGCCGCGCGAAGGCGTCTTCGTCGGCCATCGGCAAATGCTAGCTGCTTTGCATCGCTGCGCAGCACATTTGTGTGCAGTGGTGGCTGCAAAAAGCCTGTGACCAACTAGTTTCAGCTGGTGCTGGCAGCAAACTTCGCAAAATTTGGTGCGTTTTGCAAAACGCAATCGATCAGTGTGATTTAGCCTCCCTCAAGCAGAGATGCCAACGCTATGGCCTTGCGCTTGTCGCGCGGGAGATGGACGAGCTAGCGCACAAAGCCACTAGAGTCATTGGAGCTATCGCGATTCTCCCCGATGGCTCCGTTTCTGCCCATCTCGGGACGATTCTGGAGCAACATACTGCCTCCTAACCGTGCGGGTTCGGCGGACTCTGTGCTAACGCGAAGCTTGGTGCTGGGGAGCGCGCTGCCCCACGCGCCTGCGCGGCTGCCCGGAGAGGCGCCCGGCCCGCCGGCGGTTCCCGCGGCCGCGTTATGGCCCGCGGCAAGCCCAAGACCAAGGGCCATGGGGGCCCCTCACTCATAGTGCAGCGCATGCGGGAAAGTGGCTGGACGGACACGGCGCCGAACATCACGCTGGAGGGCTTAAGTCCGTACGACGCGTTTCATGATCCGCGCTGCCCCCGCGCATTACGTCTCATCTTCAACGAGCAGCAGAAGGCGAAGACACGCGTCAAGAATAAACCAATCGCCATCAAACAACCTCGTAATGAGGCCGAGAAACAGGCGAGTCCGTCGACGCGGCCGATCGTCGACCCCGTGCCGCTCGAGGCTCCAGGACTGCCTCTACTCGTCTCTAGTACCACAAAGCAGCACGGCGGGCCCGGTGTCACGTACGAGAAGATTGGGGCTGGTTATGCGACGGAGCTCGATGTGGTTCGACTGGCCTTGCGGCGGAATGACTGCTTAAGGCGGGCCCACGAGATCGTGGAAAGGCGAGAAAAGAGGAAGAAGAAGGTCCAGGAGACAACTCTCGATGAAGACGACGAGCTCGTACGCGCGATCAAAGAGCGGGACGGCAAGGTGAAGAAGGGCCCGCCGAAAGGCCTCAAAAAAGTCGTGGAGGAGCTCCGAGTGCTCACGAGGAAGGTAGCCGGTTTGCTGGCTCAGCGAAGATCATTACTAGGTGATGCCGCACCTAGCTTCGACCTGGGGGGCCAGCCCTACGTCCTGACCATGTTAAGTGATGTCGAGTTTTTGGAGGACTACGGTAGATATTTGGACTACGAGACGGCCCGAAGGAACCCCTTACTGTTACCTCATGCGCATCCCGGCTTTGATGACTTGCGAGGGGACGACTTCGTGCCTTCTGTCTTACAATCAAAAAGGGCGGTCGTGCAATTGCCGCACTACTACGGCGCGAACACCGACGCCGAGAAGCAACTGCTCACCGAACTAAGGGCGATGCCTCGAGGTACTATTCATCAATACATCGACGAGGAACAAGCGAGGACCAAGACGATCGCTTATGAGCCGCCCCCACAAACAGTCGAGAAGATCGAGGAGGCGCCCGTCACCGTCACGCAAGCGTCCTTCTTCCAGTCGACCGCGTCGGACCGAACTACCTCTGCGCAACGCCATCTCGAGTTCACGCGGGCCGAACAACGGAGAGGTAGACGTAGACAGCGCGAGTCCGAGAAGCTACTCAGAGAGTTCGAGGAGAAACTCAAGACGCTGAAGGGGAAGAAGAACGACTTACAATCGTCGATAAGCGGCCCGCCGTCCTTCAAGCAGTCCGTCCGCGTCGCGAAGCTCGACGCAGCTATTTCTGATTTGGATAAGAAGCGCCGGGAGAAGGCGAAGACGATCTACTTCGAACGGGAGGCTCTCGTGAGACGAGATCGAAGGATACGAGAGCTAGAAAGAGATGTGCAAAGGGAGGAGGAGGAACGGGCTGAAAGAAGAGCGGAGCGCTTGCAACTAGAGGCCGCGAAAAGTCCAGTGGTGGCGGCGCCGGCGCCTTCCCTGGAAATGTTCTCTCCCACCATCTTGAGGCAGTCCGTCAGCCTGGAACCGTCGGCTCTGTTGACAGCATCGCTCGACGTGCAGCCCGAGCCCTCGGCACTAACTGGCTCTGTGGACGAGGCGCCCTCTCGGTTACTACGCTTCGAGGACTCCGATTTTGCGGAACAACCCCTCAAGGCGCGCTTCGCTCCTGTCAGTGCGGAGCCCTCGGCTTTGTTTACCGCTTCATTGGACCCCGCGGCGATGCCGTCTGCGCTCACGTCGTCTCTGCAAGAAACCACAGACGACAGCGCATCAGAAGTGGAACGGCTACGAGCCCAACTCGCGGAGTCCACTTCATTCAGAGACGACTCCGAGGCGGCCCACGCCGCTGAGGTCGCGCGCTTGTCAGAGATGCTCGCGCAGCGCGACCGCGCCTTGCGCGACGAGTCCGTGACGCTGCACGGTGCCGAAATTTCAAGGTTGCAGGAGGAATTGTCCCATTTCCAGGACCAACTCGCCGAGCGCGAGGCGTCGGAAGCGCAGCGTTTACAACATCAGCTCGACGAGCGCGCGTCCGAGAGCGAGGCGGATTCTAGTAAGGCGCACGCGGCCGAGATTGAATCACTCAAGGCGGCCCTGAAGGAGCGCGAGGACGCCGCGCGGCGCGAGGCCGAGCGGCTGAGGAGGGAGAAGGCCGAGCTTGAAGATAAGACTCTGAAGCTGCGCACGACGCTGGCCCAGCAGGAGCGCGAGGCGCGCATGGCCTGCGAGGAGCGCGACGCCGCCAAACGTTTGCTGGCCGAGAAGCAGCGCGCGGCCTTATCCCCGGAGCCCTCGGCGTTATCTCTGAACCCGGAGGACTCGGAGCTCGAGGGCGGCGCGACGGTCGGGCCCCAGGCCACGGTCTACACGCAGACGGCGCAGTTCGAGCCGCTTGAGGCCGTGGCCGACGAGGGCTCTACCGCCTCGTCGACCATCGTGCGGGCCGTGCACCCGGAGCGCGCCGTGTCGTCGCCGCCGCCCGGGACGCCCATGTTGTTGGATGAGGACCCGGACGTGGAGGCTCAATTGCTGGCCTATGGGCTCGTGCCGCCGGGCCGGACGCGGCCGCGACCGTCGGCCGTGTCTTTCGCCGAGGACGACGAGACGTCCGCGTCGACCTCGACCGGGCGCCCGCCCCTGGCGCGGTCGCAGACGTGGTCGGTCGCGTCGGCGCCGCCACCGGCTTCGTGGGAATTAGGGAGTATGACGCCGCTTGGAAGGTAATACATGTTTAAATCACTACACTACAGATCGAAAAGTCAAATTCAGCCGCCCGGCACGCATCCCCAGCGCGGCGGGCGCAGTCCCCGCCTTGACGCGCTCGACGCCATGATAGACGAGCCGCGAGGGCCCACCAAAAATAAGCGCGTCGCCGGACCGCAGCGTCGTTCGCGTCCGCTCGGCGTCCCGCGACGGCGCGAGAGCGAACACACACTCGTCGCCGAACGACAGCGACACGACGGGACTTCCCCGCGCGAGCGCCTCCGACGACTCCGCGTCGTCGCGGTGGAGGCCCATGCGGCCCGCTTCTTCATAAAAATTGCACACGACGACGTCGGGAACGTCGAAGGCCGGTAAGGCTCCATCGGCCGCCGCCGCCGCCGCGTGGGCGTCGCGCGCGACCGTCTCCAGTAAAGGCGGCACGGCGCCGTCCGTCGCAACGTAGGCATTCGATGCGTGGTCCCAGTCTTGACCCCCGAGACACACCGTCCGGCACTTCAGCGCGCCGCCGCCGTCGTAGGCGCGCGCCGCGAAGGCCCGGCCGGCAATTGATGAGACGACGTTGCGCTGTTTAGTTACATCTAAAAATCCTCGCACGAGCACGCAGCCCGGCGCGAGCCGCTCGATCGTCGGCGTAGGAGACGGCGGCGCCGGCAGGTCCCCTTTGCATGCCTCTAGCACGAAGGGCGGCAGCGGCGGCTTCGGTACTGGTGGAGCGACGGTCAGCGGCGTGAACCAGACCAGCGAGAAGCGCTCGCCCTTAAATGGTAGAGTCCAGTGGCGCTCGCGCCAGCCGTCGAATTGTAGAGGCGCGTAGCGTATATTTTTTTCGACGCGTTCCACGACCAAACCGCCTCCAGTATAGTCGCCCAACCCCACAATGAGCGACGTGCGCTGGCCGAAGCCCGCGCCGGCGTCGAGGTGCGGCCGGAACCGCGCCGAGCGGTTGATCGCGCACATCGTCGACGGTTGTCTGGATGGGAAGTGGCGCTTTATTAACTCTCTTTCCAGCGCGAAGACCGCGGCGACGACGTCGCTTTCCGCGTTGTTGTTCGGCTGGTGGGCCGTGGGCGTGGCGCCGACGGAGAAGGAGCCGCCCTCATCAGAAGAAACGAGGAGCTTCGACCGAGCTGTTGATGAAGACGGCCAGCCGCGGTCCGTCAGCGCTCTTAGTGCTGTTAGAGCGGCTTCATAAGGTTCGGGCGGCGGTTCCAGTCGCGGCTCCGGTAAGACGCAGGTTTCAGAACGACGACCGCGCCAGTACGCCTCCGCGGCGGCCCAGGACGCTTCCACCTCAATACAAGCGCCGTGCCTGCGACACGTCTCCCGGAAAGCCAGGGTCCGGGCGCCGTCGCCCGCGCGGACGGCGTCGACCGACGCGTTGGCCACGCGCTCGCAGGCCGCGAACTTGCAGCAGGCCAGGCCTTCAGAACGAGGATCAATAGCGGGCCCCAGCGCCTCGAGCACGTCCGAGGCCCACGGCCGTACGAAGGCGGCCTCATCATGTAAAGCGACGTCCGCGATGACGCCCGCGTGCGCGAACACCGCGAGGCTCACCGCTTTACGAGCCATGCCCCGCAGGAAGCGGTCCGCCTCGAGCGCGACGACGACCCACTTGTCGTCATACGTCTTGACGTGCACTTTCTTGACTGTACACGACGACGCCTGGTCGCCGGGGCAGCAGCGACGCGTCGTCGATGGCAGGTCGTCGTCGCAGAACGCGTGCCACGACCGCGCGACGCTGCGGGCGCCGCGCTTCTCGATCAATAAAGCTGTGGCGGCGTCGCGGAAGGCCTTGAGCTCACCGATGTATTTCGAGGGAACCAGCACCTCCACCCGCTGCGACGAACAGGCGTCGGCCTTGAAGTTTTGTAGGAGGGGTGCTCGTCGCAGGATCTCCACGGCACCACCGGCTCGCGCGTTCGCGGCGTCGACCCATTTATCGTCATCCTCGCAGGGCGGCAGACAGCACGCGCAGACGTCGCCCCACGCCGACGCGCCGGGCGCCAAAGCGAGGTGCGCCCGCGTGGTCGACGAGGCGCCGGTCCGGCCCTTGACCGCGCCCGCCGCGCCGACGGCGCGGCGCAGCGCGGCCTCGACGGCGTCCGGTGTACTGCTGTGGTAGCCGATTTGGAGGATCGCGTTCGCTTTGGTCGGCGCTTGCGCGAGGCGCGCGTCGCAGGCGCCACTTCTTAAGTGTTTGAACAACGCGCTGCGGCTCGGGAAGGTGGTCTTGCAGATGCTGCATTGTTTTGTTGGTGTATTAGTGTCCGAAGCGGTGCCGTTCGCAGCAGGTGCCGGCTTGCACATCTTGTGAGAGCACTGTGGACGTGCCCAAGCGTTTTGAGCACAAATGCTATCGCTCACGATGCGCTGAGGTCGATTGCAGGCTGCTGCAGCCCTCAGCGCCGTGGGCGACAGTGCTCTCTGCGGGCGACCTAGCGGCATCTACCACGATCCTTCGATCGTGTGCGATCTATGCTCGCGATTTGAAGCGCTGGGCAGAGTGATAGCCAGAGTTACGCCGTCGCGCAAGCAGCAGCCTGTGCAGGCATACACAGCACTTTCGCATCGCTCCGGCCCGCGGCGCGGCTCGACGCGTCGTAAGACCTCGTTCAGAGCTTCACCGCAGCGCCGCTCGCGGACTGCGGCACAGCGCTTCACCGCAGCGCTCGCGGAGACTGCGACACGACGCAACGCGCGCCGTAACGCCATGGCGTCGGCGAAGCGCCCCATGCCGGTGGGCCCGCGCGGCGGCAAGCTCGACTTCGACTACCTGACGCGCAAGGCGCACAACCCCGGCCGCCGGAAGAAGCAGCGCGAGTTCTACAAAAACGCCAAGCTCATCCGCAGCTACGAGAAGCTCCGCAAGCGCGACGGCGACGTCGGCACGGAGCGCGACTTCACGAAGCCCCAGAAGCGCGCCCGCGCCGAGGCCGAGGCGAAGGGTGAACCCGCGCCGAAGAAACGAGAGAAGCGGCGAAAGCGCGACCCCTTCGCGAAGGTCCGCGCCGCGCGCGACGCGGCCGCCGCCGAGCGCCAGCAGCGGCGCGACGACGCCGAGAAGGCGAAGGCGAAGGCGCTCGCGCGCCGCAAGAAGAAGGCCGCCCAGATGCGCTCGGCGCCCGGGCGATTGCGGGGGCAGCTCGACGACGTCCTGGCGAAGCTCGAGGGAGAGCGGTGGTGAGTTGTTGTAATTTGTTTGCTTCCATACGACTTGCTCTCTCACTCGCGCGTCTCGAAACCTGTTTTGTGGGGGTCCAAAACTTGCCGCAAACAAGAGGTATTTCGCCTCTGTAGCACGAAAAAGGTAGCAATACAGTGTACGAGTCGTCTGCGCGTCCCTCAAACGAGCCGCAGTCGTGAAATGGGTTACAGATTATCATTGAACCCAATCACCCTCATTGGCTTTGCAGCCCTCGCGCGCGCGTTGACCGCTTCACGTCTCGATGCGACCCACCGGAGCGCCGTGGCGACGTCGTCTCGCCGGGCGCATCGTCGCAAACCCAACCTGCGCCGTCGCGACCGCGAGCGCCACCCGCGCCGTCGCGAGCGCGAGCGCCACCCTCAACCACGAGCGCCACCCGCCGTCGCGACGCGAGCGGTCGACGCCATCGCAGGTAGCCATGAACGCTAAACTGCTCCTCTGTCTCGCGGCGCTGCCGGCGGCCGTCGACGCCCTCGGCGAGTTCCATGCGGAAGAGCTGAAGACGACGTGTCCGACGCTCGTTCCGCTCCGGCTCAACCAGACGAACACCGCCGGTTCGCTCATGAGCACCGGCACGGTAGCGGTGCTGGACTCGGATTACCAGGGGAGCGAGAAGCCCGCCGTGATCGTGGTCCAGGAGTGGTGGGGGCTCAACGAAGAACACATCAAGAAGGCGCAGAAGCTAGCGGGGGCCGGCTACCGAGCGCTCGTTCCCGACCTCTACAAAGGTAAGTTAGGCGTCGAGGCCGAGGAGGCGAATCACTTGATGAGTGAGCTTGATTTTCCGACGGCCGTCCAGGAGATCTGCACGATCGCGAAGTGGGCAAAGGACACCGGCGCTTCCACGGTCGGCGTGACGGGCTTCTGCATGGGCAGCGCGCTCGCGCTGTGCGCGCTCCAGGCCTGCGACGACATCGCCGCGGGCGCGCCGTTCTACGGCTACGCACCTCAGCCTGCTGGCTGCTTCGACACCACGACGTCGACGAAAAAGCCCGTGCTCTGGTCGAGCGGCGAACTAGACCTGTTCGGGGGCTTCTCGGACCCGGCCACGGCCGCGAAGCTCGAGCAGGAGCTTGCGGACGCGGGCAACAAGGACTATACAGTCAAGGTGTACAAAGGAGAGATCGGCCACGGGTTCATGAACGAGTCGCCCGAGCCCTACGCCAACGAGACGGCGAAAGACGAGGGCTTCGAGGCGATCGGCTTCGACAAGACGTTCTACCCGTACGACGCCGACGTCGCGAACGCGGCGTGGGGCAGCCTCTTTGATTTCTTCGAGAAGTACCTCTGAGCACGCTCCTCTGCATTGCTCGCCACTCGCCGCCCCCATCCCTGAACATATCCCCTCTGGCGGCCAGGCTTAAGATTCTAGCGTAACCGTCCCCGGACGGGAGGCCAGTGGTCTCGGTCTAGTCTGTCTAAGAAGGTGAGATGTGTCATTGGATTGCTTGTTGTGGTGGTCCGAGGGCGTGCACTTGTCTTCAGATTGGCGACAGCCCGGCAGAACTCTAGTGGAACTTGCTAGGAGCTCTCAGGCAGCCATCTCGCAACCACTCAAATCGATCACATCGCTGCAGCAACACATCGCTGCAACGCCCGCAACACAACCATAGGTTCGTGTAGCTCCAAAAACAAGACCGCCACCGCGCAGCCAACAAAAATGTCGTGCTGCCCTCCCTCAGCTCTGCCATACTTGGCTGCAAAGCCAGCCACCAAGGGCTCCAAGAAGGCCGTCGACGGCGTCGAATTCTACGAGACCGGCGCCCAGTCCAAGGCCGCGGTCATCCTTTTCCCGGACGTGTGGGGCTGGGACAGCGGCCGCACGCGCGCGCTCGCCGACGCGTTCGCCGAGCAGGGCTACCGCACGTACGTGCCGAAAGTTCTCCAGCCGGCGTTCCAGGGCGGCACGGACGGCGACGGCCTGCCGCCGGACTTCGACCTTGGCTCGCGTATGGATGAGTTCATGGGGTGGGTGAAGACCGTCAAATGGGACGGCATCGATTCCAAGGTGAACGCTCTCCTGGCGTACGCCAAGGCCGAGGGCGCGACGTCCCTCGGCGTCGTCGGCTGCTGCTGGGGCGGCTGGGCCTGCTTTGAGACGTCGGCCATGACGACGGGTCCGTGTCCGGCGTCCGTCGCGAAGCCTTCGACTTGCGACGGCGTGGGCTCGTACGCCACCGACGCGACGCGTCACTCACCGCCCAAATCCCCACGCAGACGTCAAGGTCGGCGTGATCTTCCACCCGTCCTGCCACATCGTGGCCGCTCACGGCGGTGAGGTCCACGCCCTCGCCAAGAAGGTATCGAAGCGGCGTCCTAGGTACAATCACGCAGACGTAGCGTCGATGGTGGACGCGCACAATCACTCATCTGTCGACGTCCGCACAGGTCCAGGCCCCGCACTACATCATGCCCGCCAAGTCCGACGACCCCGCCCTCTACGGCCCCGAGGGCTCGGTGATCAAGGAGCTGCCCGCCGGCTCGAAGCAGAAGACCTTCCCGGAGCAGGAGCACGGCTGGACGTCGCGCGGCGACGCGTCCGACCCGGCGGTCGCCGCGGCGATCAAGGACGCGATGACCGAGGCGGTCGGCTACCTCAAGGAGCACCTGCCTCTGGCCTAGGCGTTCCCCCAAGATGTGTAGTAAGTGATAAACAACACCACAATAGTTAGGAACGACGGCCGCGCCGGCCGCGCCGCTCGCGCGACCGCGACCGCGACCGGCTGCTGCTGCGGCGGCGCGGCGGCGTCGGCCGCGGGACTTGAAACCCGTAGTTGGTTTCCCAGTGCTCGCCCGACGACTTGGGCGTGCCGCACCGGCGACACTCACGGCGCCGGGCGAAGTTGTCGCCGCCGCAAGCACCACAAATCCACTCGTCGGGGCCCAGACCGCGGCGCTGGTCCGGTCGGGGATAGTCGGGCCGCGGCGCCATGTTGCCCCGCGCGCTCGGCGGCGGTAGGCGCTGGAGGCTGTCGAGCGGGACGCGCGGTGGTTCCCGCCCGCCCGCCGCCGTAGATCGACCATCGGCACAGTGTCTCGCGATGTCGGCTCCCGCGAAGCCTCCGCGGCAGCGGTCGAATACCGGCCAACCCACGCGGAGCTTTCTTCCCTGGAACTCCGCGTTATTCATCGTGGCGATGGCCCGGCTCGCGGCTTCCGCAGACGCGAACGTGATGAAGCAGTGGCCTCTGCACAATTGCACATCGGTCATTTCCCCCGCGGCTGCGAAGAAGGCTTTGATCTCTGGCTCACTCGCAGTAAAGGTGATATTCTTCACGCGGACTTTCCTGGGGTTCGCGCCGTCCGGAAGAGGCGGCACAACGCCCGGCCGCGCAAAGCCGTCACGCCTGTCGCGGAGTATCGTTTTGACCGCCTGGCACACAAAGGCCGACGGGTTGAGCACCTCCGCCCCCTTCTGCGTGAGGCGCTGGACGACGGCGTCGGCGTCGGCCGTCTCGAGCTCGGCGAGCGCACGCAGCGCGTCGGCGTGGAGGCGGCGACGCACGGCCTCGCTGAGTGCTGTCGGCCCGAAGCGGCGTGGCGGGAAATCATGCGGCGGTGCCGGCCCGCGCGGCTCGCGGTGGCCGTCGCCCGGCGCCGCAGATCGAGCATCGGCGCAGTGTCTCGCGAGGACGGTTCCCGCGAAGCCGCCGCGACCGCGACCCTGAGGCCCATCGTGCGAGAACTGGCAGCGGTCGAACTGCGGCCAACCCACGCGGAGCTTTCTTCCCCCAAACTCCGCGTTATTCATCGTGGCGATGGCCCGGCTCGCAGCTTCGGCAGACGCAAACGTGATGAAGCAGATGCCTTTGGGGCGGCCGGTCGCATCTAGTGGATATTGCACATCGGTCATTTCCCCCACGGCTGCGAAGAAGGCCTTGATCTCTGACTCGCTCGCCTCGTATATGATATTCCCCACGGAAACTTTCCTGGGGTTTGCGCCGTCCGGAAGAGGCCCCACCCCCCAGGCGGCGTATCGTTCAACCTTGGTGACGTCGACGGCCTTCTCCCTGCCTTGATAGTCCGCGGTCCCAAACTCGACGGCGTCGCCTTCCGTGATCTCCGTGCCGGCCCGCAGGTCCATCTGGTGCACGAAGAGGTCGGCGCCGCCGCCGTCGGGCTTGATGAAGCCGTGCTTTCTTTCGGGGTCGAACCACTGGCAGACGCCTCTCCTTCTAGGGGGCGGGCCCGGGGGCTTTTGGTGAGGCGGCCGCCTGGCAGCGTAGGCGCGGAGTAGCGTTTTGGCCGCCTGGCATACCCAGGTCGACGGATTGCGCACGGTCGAGCCGGCCTTCTCGAGCCGCTGCAAGACTGCGTCGGCGTCGGCCGTCTCGAGCTCGGCGAGCGCACGCAGCGCGTCGGCGTTGAGGCGGTGGCTCAAGGCCTCGCTGAGTGCCGTCGGCCCGAAGCCGTGTGGCGCTTCCGGCCCGCGCGGCCCGCGGTGGCCACCGCCCGCGTCGCCCGCTCGGGGACTCGGTGGAGGGCTAAAGCGCGCCGCGCGGTCCGCCAGGCGCGCCTCGAAGGGAGACGGGCCGGGCGGAGGCCCGAAGCGCGCCGCGCGGGCCGCTTTTTTCTCGCCAAAGTTGCCGCGGGGACTCGGCGGAGGGCTAAAGCGCGCCGCCCGGTCGGCCAGGCGAGCCTCGAACGGGGGCGGACCGGGCGGCGGCCCGAAGCGCGCCGCGCGGTCCGCCAGGCGCTCGCCGAAGTTGGCGCGGGGACTCGTCGACGGCCCGCGGCGATCGCGATCGCCCTCGTGCGGCGCCCGCCCGCGCCAGTCGCCGCGCCGGTCGTGTGACGGCGGCGGCGGCACGGCCGCGAGCGACTCGGGCCGCACCCGCTTCGGGATCGGCGGCGCGTCCGGCTTCTTCGGGATGGGCGCCCCGCGCTTCGCGCCGCTCGACCCGATCTCGGCCAGCCGCGGCCACGTGTCTCCGGCCGGCCGCGGCAGCCCGTCCTCGCTGCGCCGGAGGACGTAGCGGTAGGGCGACAGACCGAAGCGGAGGACGCTCCCCTCGCGGAGCCGCGACGTCGTGACGCGCTCATCGGCCTCGCCCGGCGCCGTGACGACGAAGGTGCCGTTGTTCGACTTCATGTCCGCGATGTAGGTCACGTCGCCCTCGAAGCGGATCGTCGCGTGGTGGCGCGAGATGGACACGTGGTCGAGCGGCACGTCGACGTGCTCCCCGTCGCGGCCGAACGTGAGCCGCTCGGCGCCGGACAGGTCCAGGCGCCCGAAGAGCTGCGTGCCGCCGAGGCCGTCAATCGTGTAGACGTCGAAGTAGATAGGCGGATGCGGCGGCGGCGACGGCGGAAACGTTGGCGGCGGCGGCGGCGCGGACGGCGCGGTCAGGCCGGCCCAGACGGCCTCCGCCCGCGCCTGCGCGGCCTCGGCGCCCGACAGCTGCTTCGCGCGCTTCCGCGGGTCCGTCGCGAGGGGCGAGGCCTTCTTCTCCGTCGCGAGGGGCGACGGCTTCTTGCGCTTCGGTATCGGCGCGGGCGACATCGGCGGCGCTTTCTTGGGCGACGGCAGCGCGCGCGACGCCAGCGATGCCTCGAGGCTCCGGACGTGTTTGACCCTACCCCCCGTTTGGCCACAGTGCTCCTTGAGAAGTCTCACACAGTCGGCATCCAAGGACCACGTCGGCGCGTCCGGGCAGATGGCGCACTGGACGTGAGTCGCGGTTACTTTGAACTGGCACCGCGCCGTGCCGTCGGCGGCCGTGTAGCAATTCTTGTAGTCTCGGCCGCCGCAGCGGGTTTCGATGGTTCCGTCGATGCGCGCCTGCACGTAGTCCTTCATGGATGTCGGGCGCACAGCCCGCGCGACCTCGTCGTCCGTCAACGTCGTCTGTATGATCTCAGTGGTCTTCAGTATGACAACGGTGCCCGTCGTCGTCGTCACTTCCCGGGTTGATGTGCTGGGACAGCTCGTGATGATGCCGCGGACCGTCGGATCGTTGGCGTCCTCGGTGTGCGCTCCGACGCAGCGCCAGCTGTGCGCGTTGATGGTCACCGGTTCCGGCGCCATCGACGCGTCGCGCGGTTTATTCGTCGGCTTGGCTTTGCGCAATGTGGCCAAGTCCTCGTCCTCGCTTGACTGCTCAGCGGGCGCCGCCTCCGCCGCGGCGACCAAGTGCCGGCGCGTCGGCCGCTGCTCCGCACCCCACTCGTCGTCCAACTCGTCATTCTCGGACTCCGCGCATGCGGACTGGACGTCCTCCGAGTCATCGTCGTCGGACTCAAGCGACTGCTCGGCGCCCGCGCCCACAGACTGGTCGAGGCGGTCGAGGTGCTGCTGCACACAGAGGAGATTGCTTTTTGTCTGGCCACAGTGCTGCTTGAGAGAATTCAAGAGAACTAGGGAGTCGGTTTCCAAGGACCACGTATGCGCATCACCACAGAGGGCACACCGAACATGAGTAGCCTTGACCTCGAATTGCCGCCGCTCCGTGCCGTCCGCGCACGTGTAGCAGTTCTTAAATTCTCGACCGTTCTCGCCGTGGCTCACCCGTATCGTGCCGTCAATCCGTGCTTGCACGTAGTCCTTCAGTGACGTTGGGCGCGCGCAGAGCGCAACTTCCTCGTCCGTCAGCGTCGTTCGCGTCAATTTTGAGCGTCGCATCATCACCACGGAGCCAGTCGTCGTCGTTACTTCCTTGAAAGCGTGGGTGCAATCGGTCACGACGCCGCGCACCGTCGCATCGTCGGAATCTTGTACATGCGCGCCAATGATGCGCCAGTCGCCGGCCGCGGGCGTGGCACGATGGAGCGGCGGTGCCGCCGCGAGCTCAACAACGGCCGGCGGCGGCGGTGGCGGCGGCACGGCCTTCCTCTGCCGTGGGGGTGCCGCCGCGACCCCGCCAACGGCTGGAGGCGGCGGCGCGGTCTTCCTCTGCCGAGCGACCTGCTTCACTCGGAGCGGCGACGCCTTCGTCGTCTCCCGCGGCGGCGAGGCCGGCGGCGAGGGCGGCGTCACCTTCGGGGCCGGCTCCAGCGACGGCGACGACGACGGCAGCGACGGCGACGACGCCGGCGACGCGGGCGGCTCCTCGTCCTCCTCTGACGACCAGGACGGCGCGGGCGAGGGCGACCGCGACCGCGACCGCGGCGGGAGGCCGACGGCGTCGAGCAGCTCCGATTCCTCCGCGACGACCTCCACCTCCACGGCCGCCGGCGCCTCCGCTTCATCCTCGCCCTGCAGCGCGGCGAGCGCCCGGCGGAAGCGCGCGCGCTCCGGCGCCGACCACGTATCGTCGAAGGCGAGCTCCTCGGTCCCGTCCGCGTTCGGCACCCACTCGCCCGACGCCGCGTCGAAGACCGTCGGTTCCACCCTCAAAACATCGTCTAGAGTGCACCCATGCGCGCCCAGCAGCGCCTCAATCTCCGCTTGCGGATGCGACGGGGCCTTGCTATCCACGGTCGTGTCGAACTCGTCCTCGCGCTCGTTATAAGTAATGTTCTCGTGTAATTCTTCAAAGTTCGGCGCGTAGGCCCGCCAACTAAAACCGTCGGGCGCCGCCCAGACGCGGATCGCGTGCTGGGACGCGTGCGCGGCCGCCGTGCAGATCACGGCCCCGTTCGCGTGGCACGCGAGTGCTTGAATTGGCCCGCGGTCCTGCGAGTCCTTGTCGTCGTCGCGCGGCCGCGCCAGACAGTGGCCGCTCTGGACCTCCCACACGTAAAATTGGACCTGCGACCCGACGTGCGCCGCTGCTACCAAATGCTCGCCGCCGGCGCCGAAACTTGGTGAAGAGAACTGGACCTTGTCGATGGGGTTCCTCAGGGAATGTAACAATATGATAGATGTATCCACCTTGAGGATGCGCACGGCGCCGTCACTGCAGGCACAAGCGACATGTTTTGACGCAGAAGCGACGGCTTTTACTTTACCATGCAATTTTAGAGTTGCCTCGCCGCACCAGCAGTCCTCGCCCTTGGCCGCGAAGACGCCGTCGTTCGCAAAACAGGCCACGTCGCAGAGGGCGCCGACGTCGCGCCCCTCTAGTACTGTGGAACAGGTCGGCGGCGCGGCATCGGGCGTCGGGTACCGGGGCGGGTCCGGCAGGCGCGACGCGCGAATTAATGACAAGTCCACATCATCCTCGTGGTCGCCGTCGTCGTAGTCAATAGCGTAGGGATTTACGGACGTAAGCGTCCCGACATACCATGTGGGCTCCCCATTCCACCGCGCCTGGACGCGGTCGCCGACCTCAAATTCAGTTTCATTTCCGAGCGGCAGGTCGCGGCAGGCAAAGACGCGCGGCGGGACTTGTGTAGATACGGCCAACAACGAGCGATCATATGAATCCAACGAAACGCCGTCAAAGGCCGCGCGCGCGCGACAGAACAGCCGGCCTCGTCCCAAATGCAGGCGCCAGACCGTTATGCTCTGATCGCCGCCGCTCGTCGCGAGGCTCGTCGAGGAGAGCCACGTCACGGCGCGCACGCCAGCCGCGTGCGCCGCGACCGCCGCGCGCGCCGGCGCCGCGTCCCGCACGCTGAGATCCCAGACGAACAGCGCGCCGCGCTCGTAGCCGGCGGCGACGTGGCGGCCGCTCTTATCTAATGAGAGCGCCGTGCAGGGGCCGTAGCCGTTGGCTACGAGGCCGTAGGGCTCGACGCGGTCGGCGACGGCGCAGTGGGCCGTGGGCGGTAATAGGGCGAGGTTTGACATTGCTCTCGTCGCGCACGTGGCTGTTTTGCAGCAAGCTTTTTGCGCAGTCGACGCGTCGCCCAAGGTCGCGTCTTCGGCGCGATCAGAGCCTCCCTATCGCGCGCGCGTCCCCGATTGGCGTCGCGGCAGCCGGCTGCAGCTTTGCAAGGCTTGGACGTCTCTGGGGTCAAGCTGTAGGGCTGGCTCCGCGCAGCAGTAGGAGACGTGCTGGAGGCGCTCACGCTGGCCGGACTGACCGTATGCCCGGTTCGCAGCGTTTTGCGCTCTAGCTCTCCCTAAGGACCTAAGTGTGTCTTTGAACGCTAGCCCTGCCGCCTGCGCCGCCGTGGTTTTGCCAGCGCTGTACGCGTTGTCACACCGCTGCGAGCTAGAAATAGCTCTAAGACGCCGGCGAAACGTACGCGAAGCTGTCAAGCCGTACCCGCCAGCACTTTCGACGCCAGCCCCCTCCAGCGAGCGAGAGGCACAAGCACTCTCCAGCGAGCGCTGCCGCCGCGGACGCGCGCGCCTAGCCAACCATGGGCGCGAAAGCGTCCCGATGCCTCGAATTAGCTCCGGCGGAGGACGACACGCAGGGCCCGAAGAACCCGGGCCCGTTCGAGCGGCTCCACGACGACTGCCGGAGGGTCGTCCACTGCAACACCTTTGAGGGCGTGAAGTTCGACGTGAGCAAGCCGCTCACGCCGACCTTCGCCGTGAACCATAATTTCTGGTTGGGCGGGAGCCACTACCCGTCGGCGAACCAGCATTACAAGTTCGGCGCGACGCTCGGCGACAACGAGCGCGTGTGCTTCGGGTCCGTCGACCAGTACGGGACCGTGGAGGGCCAGATCGTCGGGGCCGTCGCCGGCCCCTTGCAGGGCAAGCTCATTTTTAATTTGCCCAACGACCCCCAGGCCTTTGTGGGCATTTGCGATTTGGACTACATTGGCACGACGTCGTCGTCGCAGCTCAAGGTCGCGCGGAACATTCATGGGGTGAACGGGACGCACCTCGGCTGCAGCTACGTCCAGGCCATCACGAAGCGACTAGCTTTAGGTGGCGAGGGCATCCTCCAGGCGGCGGCGCCCGCGGCGACGTTCACGTCGGCCCTCAAGTGGACGGGCGACAAGTGGTCGGGCGTCGCGTCCTGGAGCGCGGGGCCGCCGGCGCAGCCCGGCCAGTTGGCGCTGGGCTACGCGCGAACCGTCAGTCCGAACCGCGTCACGCTGGGCACGGAGCTGAACGTGGCGCCCGCGACGGGCGACGCGTCGTTCAGTGCTGGTGCGGAATTTGCGTTGAAGCAGTCGAGGGTCAACCTCGCGGTCGACGGCAGCGGGCGGATGCAGTCCTGCGTCGAGGCGGTCCTGTCGCCGGCGGCCAAGTTGCTGTTCAGCGCGGAGATGACGCTGGGCTGGGCGGCGGAGCCGGGCAAGCCGCGGGACTCGTTCAAGTTCGGCTACGGTTTGCAGATTGGCTCCTAGATTCGTGCTTGCTTCTCGTGTATAACAGTTACGTTTATTGCTTACGTCGCTTATCGTAGCTAGCCTCTGCAGACGCATGCGTCCGCGCGAAAACCCGTTTTGACTGTGGTTACTTTGCCAAAAAGCACTCGCCGCCGCGCGAACCTCATATACGCCAAACCAACGCAAAATGATCCTCATAAATTGCGCCGCCTGCGCCGCCCCACTGGCCCACGACGCGCCGCGATGTGAGAGGTGCCAAGTGAGGTATTGTGATATGCCCTGCCGCTTAGACCACTGGCGCCGCGGCCACAAGCAGATCTGCAAGAAAATACACCGCGGCGGAGGCGCGGAACAATATCATGCCGACAAAAAATATAAGGAGGCCGTCGCGTTCGCGGTCGAGGCTTGCGCCGAATACATACCGGAGGACGCGACCTGCTACATATGCTTGGAGGATACCGGAGAGGGCCTCGTGTGCGGATGCGAATGCGCATATAGCGGTGCGACTGACACGAGCTTTGTGCACTTGTCGTGCCTTGTGCGACGCGCGCGTATGGTGGTAGAGGACGACTACGACTATAACTCGGACGCGGACCCAGTTCTGAGCTTAAATTCAAGGTGGACTCGATGGAGATCGTGCGGTGTTTGCAAGTGTGTTTTCGATAACGATTTATACCCTGCACTGGGCTGGGCGTGTTGGAAGACTTACTTGAGCCGACCAGAGGACGATCAGCTTCGGATCTTTGCAATTACTGGGTTGGGAATCTGTCTAGGGCATTTAGACCGCGTGGAAGAAGCATTTCCTGTCCTGGAGGCGGCACTAGGCTGCTTCCAACGTAACTTGGCTCGACCCGAAGCGATTCTCTGGTGTCGGGCGCAAATCGCCAAGTGCCATTATAGGCTCGGCCGGAAGGAGGAAGCGCTGCAACGGTCGATCGATATCTTCGTCGACACCTTGGATTTGTACGGAGAGGGGAACGAACGTACAATTGTCGCGGTCAATAATTTGACGAGTGTGCTTTGTGGACTCAGACGCTACGACGAGGCTATGCGGTTTTTGCTACGCAGCGGCGGGTGCGGCCCCGAAGTGAGCCAACGCCACGCCCTCAAATTTCGCGCTCGTTTCCTGCGAGTCGACAGCTTTGGCGAAGAAAGGACAGCTTGGCAGGTCTACTCGAATCTCATGGGTGCCGATGGACTCGATAGTCTAGAGACGAAGGTAGAGAATCTCTTCGGTGCCGAGGCAGAAATTACAGGCGCGGTGCGCTACGAGGCAGAAGTTACAGGAGCACTTGCGTATGCGAACGTTTGGACTGGATTTGCTTGCATTTTTGGTGCGGTCCCTGCTCTGATTTCGTTGTACTGCTCTGGAGCGGCGCGTGCATGTTGTTATGCCCTGGTCGTGGCGGTGTTCGCTGTTTGGTGGTTCATCGCGGTAGACTGCGTGAACTACCTTCTGGGGGGAAAATCGTATACTTGCAGGGGCGGGCCGTTACGGAGACCGCCTCTTTGTGCCGACGACAAACAAGTGCCCAAGGTGAGAAGTGATAGTTATCTGGTCGTTGCGTTCTTTTTGATGGTCTTCGCGTATCGCCAGCCCGACTTTTATAACTCGTATCTCGCGAGGACGCTCGGCGCTTTTTCCACTATCTCCTGCGTGCAGGCATACAGGTATGCTTAATTTTGAATGTTGATAGAATAAACTTAGCACACTACTCCTCTCATCGCGCGCCCGCCGCGTTGGCTCGCGTCCACCTCCACGCCATCGACGCGTCGTGTGGTCGACGCCGTCGAAGCGAGGCGACTACTCCGCCTTCCCGAACACGTCCAGCAGCCAGGCGTAGTCGAAGGCCAGCTCGCGCAGGTAGCGGTAGCGGTCCGCCGCACTAAAGTGACCAGCGCTCATATCCATCTTCACGAGCGTCTCGTCGCCGTTCGCGATTTCGTGCCTTAATACTTGAGCCCACTTCGCCGGCTCCCAGTAGGCGACGCGCGGGTCGTTTAGGCCACTCACCAACAACATCTGGGGGTACGTCACGCCCGCCTGCACGTTGTCAATCGGAGAATACGAGAGCATGTAGTCGTGATACTTCGCCTCATTAGGATTGCCCCACTCCTCCCACTCCTCCGTCGTTAGTGGTATGGACGGGTCGCACATCGTCGTCATCAAGTCCACGAAAGGGACGCCGGCGATGCAGGCGTTGAAGGCCTCCGGGGCGAGGTTGACCGCGTTGCCGACTAACAGTCCACCGGCGCTTCGGCCTTCGCAGGACATGTCGCCACTGATGCCTTTCTCTTTGAGGTATCGCGCACAGTCCACAAAATCATGGAACGTGTTCTTCTTCGCCAGATATTTACCTTGTTTTTCGTACCACTCGTGATGACCTGTGTGGAAATCAAAATTTTACGTCGCGTTCGTGCTGAATCATCGCGTCGTCCTCCACGACGTCGACGCGACGCCTGCTCGATGGCGTGGCGATGCCGGTTCCTCGCCGCTCGACCGAGCCAGGTCGGCCGCGTCATCGCCGAGAAATGACTTAGTGAAGATTGTCGGGGCACCCGACAGACTGGTTGATTTCCACACAGGTGGTGGCCCATCTCGCCGCCTCCTCTGATATGGGCGATGGCGTAGCAGATGCCGCGGTCCACTAAGGCTAGCCGCGACGCGGAGAAGGAGGGATCCATGGAAATCCCATAAGAACCATACCCATACAAGTGCGTGGGCATCTTCGGCTTTTTCTGGTCCTTGCGCCAAAACAACGTCACCGGGATCTTCACGCCGTCGCGCGCCGGCACTTCCAGGCGCTCCGTATCATACAAGGTAGCGTCGTAGTTGGGGACGGGCGCGACCTTGAGGACCTCGTAACCCTTAGTGGCGATGTCGTACTGCATCGTCGAGCCGGGCGCGACGGTCGAGGAATAGGTGACGCGCAGCTGTTGCTGGGGGTCAAACTCCGCGTTGGCGCCTAAGCGAGCCGTGAACGCGTCGGCCTCGAACTGCATTCGGTGCGCCTGCGCCGCGACGGGCGCGGAACACTCCTGGTCGCCGGACGCCGTAAGCGGCGCGACCCAGATCTGCGTGAAGCCATCTTCCCTCCCAGTAACGACGACGAAGTCCTTAAAAGCGCGCGGGTTGTCCAGCGACCGGCCCTCGTCGTGGGGCAGCACGGCGGCGCCTTCAGAATCCATGAGCGGCGTCCAGTCCGCCGGTGCCGAAACGGGTGCCGTAAATAAAGCACGGTTGCGCAGGCCGCCGATGTTCGACGTGAGGATCAGCGAAGACGAGGGTGCATGAGAAGCGGCGTCGTAGCGCACGCCCGGCTCGCGCTTTCTCACTAAGACCGGCTCCGTCCCGCTTTGTGGGATGAATCTCAATTCCGTCGTTTCCTTGGACTCGGCCTCGATGAAGATCAGCGACCCATCTAAAGATCGCCAACACGCAACGTTGTACAGATCGTCGAGCTCCTCATAGACGAGCTGGTCTTGATCTTGGGCTTCGCCCAAAACGTGCCGCCACACTTGATAAGGGCGGTGGCTCTTGTCCTCCACCACGTAATAAAAGGTCTTTTCATCCTTCCACGCGACGCCGCCCATGGTCTTCGTGATCGTTTCGTCCGGCTTCGAACCATCTAAGTACTTGACGACGATGTCGTAAGTCTCATATCCGGTCCCGTCGACGGCGTAGGCGATCTTGCTCCCGTCCGGCGACGCCTCGACCTGGTTCACGACGCACTGTTTTGGATTGGGTAAGGTCTTGCTGACCTCATTGACGTCTAGGTATATTACTTCATCTTCGGTCCCGACGCGCTTGCGGAGGTACTGTCTGTACGAGAGCCCCTTGACGGTCCGCGACCAGTACATGTAGTCCCCATCTTTGTACGGCACCGTATCGTCGTCTTCTTTGACGTGAGACAACATCTCCTGATAGAGCGACTCGCGGAACTGTTCCAGATGCGCCGTCTGCGCCTGGGAGTAGGCGTTCTCCGCGTCGAGGTGCGCGAGGATGTCCTTGTCCTTGCGCGTGTCGTCCCTTAACCAAAAGTAGGGGTCCTGGCGGACGATGGGCGGGTCCATGGGGTTCGGGCCGCGGTCCTCGCCGGCGACCTTGCCGAAGAGGATGTCCTTCGGTCGGCGAGGGGCCACGGGCGGCACGGCCTTCGATTTGGCAGCGGCGCTGAGCGCTTGCACGCGCTCGTTGAATAAGGACGTGGCTGCCGCTGCTCCTAGGGCGAGGCGGCGGGCGATCATTGCCATTTTTGATCTGTACGGCTGGGGAGCTTTGGGAGAGCTGACTACGTGTTTGCAGGGATTCCACGTGCGCGGTGCAAGGACTGCTGCGGCGGCGAAACGGGTCTGGCTGCAATTGCAGGCGCGAAGCTTGCAAGATGCGACCTGGACGCGTGCACGCGCTTGGTCGGCGTCGAAGATTAGCTAGCGGGCGGTAAGACACTAGGAATGATTAATTAATTTTATTGGCTCTGGCTGCCTCTGATGCACATCCGTCGCCAAGCGGACTTTTGGGAGACGATTTATACCTCCTGAGTATCGCGAGGCAGCAGCGTCGAAGGGCAGCCCAGCGATGCGACCATGATCCTCCTCCTGCTCACTGTGGTGCCAGTAGCCGCCTTCACACCCTGGGCGCGCAACGACTCGGCCGCGTACGTCTTTCGAGACCACGTTACTGGCGTTTTGGAGAAGCGGCGTCGCAAACTCGACGCGCTGCGGCGGAAGGGCGGCGACGCGATCATCCGCGACGCCGTCGGCCGCGGCTTGCACTGGAACGCGCTGGGCGTGGCGTTCCCCCGCGATGCACGAGACGACGCGTTCGAGAAGTTCGCCCAGACGGTCGTTGCGCACCAGCCGGTGGACCGGGCCATGCTGCGGCACGACACTTTGGCGGGGCGGCGCCTTACAGCGGCTGACCACGACGCCATGCGTTCAGAGAGGCGGCGCCTCGCAACGGTCGACGCGGACCAGATCGGTGCGACCGGTGACGATGCGAGAAACTCGAGGCGGCGCCTCGCGGCCCACGACGCGGGCCGCCTCGACGCGACGGGCGCTGCAATTATTGACGACTGGGGGTTGTCGTTCGAAAATGTGACGCGGATCTCGCTAAAAGCCCACGCGGCGCTCGGCAGAGAAGCACGCAAGCAGAACCTGACGGCCGGCGTCGTCGAGGCGACGCTGCTCCCCGGCGACGTGGCGGCCTGGCTCGCGTCGCCGCGGCTCCGGGCGGCCCTCGACGCCTACCTCGGGGCCAAGGCCTACGTACGCACAAGAATCGGGGCGCTGCGCCTGACGAATCGGCTCACGGCGCCCTACTCCGGGGCGGAGCCGAACCTGCTTGGGTACCCTTCCGGTTTTTGGCACCATGATAGGTGTGGAAGGCGGGTTAAAGCCTTCTTGTTCTTGCACGATGTCAAGGCCGACGGACGGCCGACCTTAATTGCTGAGGCGTCGCACCGGACGCATTACTACGAATACAAAGATCTTTTACAGAGCCGCTTCTCGGACGAGTATATTTCTAGCAATTACGACGTCGTGCAGCTGGTCGGGCCACGCGGCGGAGGCTTCCTGTTCGATACCAACACGATCCATAAAGGTCGGAGCGATGGAAAGCGCGGGCGGACGGTGATCATCGCCGACTTCATGGATACGCGCAAGCTCTACACGTTCAAGAAGCTGCGCTACCGCGGGCCCTGCGGGCAGCACCGGACGGTGAAGATGGGGGGTGAAGACATTGCGTGCCAATCTTGGTGCCGCCGGTAGAAACCTCTACTTGTAAAAAATCGTTAAATCTGTAAGGATCGCGCGGCGCCACGACGAGCAGTGTCACCCCGATAGCACGTTCGAGGACCCTTAGCCAAAATCGCCCCCGGCCAAGTGGCTGGGAACTCGAATCTCAAATTTGGGGTCCGCCCCCGTGCTAGCTGTCCAGTTTACTTGCACGAGGCGTCCGGGAGACACCGCTTCTCGCTGCCGTGGCCGCGGCATATATAGCCCGGACGCTGCCCGCAGTAGGTAGCCCCGGAGTCCGGGAGAGGAGCTATTTTCCGTCGCCGCCGCGCCCACCGTCGAAACGCTCCACCGGCGTCGTTATTGGCCTTCCGCCGGAGCTTGACCGACGCCGGTTCCGGCGGCGGCGTCATGTAGTGCGCGAGGAGCCGCGAGTCCGCCGGCGGGGTGGAGCCTGTGTGGAAATCAACTAGTGTCCGACAAGTCTCGGCGACGACACGGCCGACCTGGCTCGGCGCCATCCTTCCCACTGAAATTTCCAGGTTGCAATTTGCAGCTGTCGGACGGACAATTTTGTGCGCTGGTGTGAAAATCAATAATAAGTGCGACGTGTAACACCGCGTAGACCCGCGTATTTGCCACGGCTAGCGACTTAGCGTCGACTCGCTGTGCTGTGAAATAATCAGCTAGCGGCATATAAGACACTAGCACCAAGCAAACCGGGCGCGGCAAATTGCGCGTAATCCTGCAGGTGCAGCCACTGGACGCCATACGCATTGTCTAAGGTCGTTAACTGAACGACTGGTGGCGACAATCCAGGCGTGGTGTCGTTTGACGCGCAGCAAATTTGGATCCAGGGCCAACCACCCCCCGCCATGGCTGCTTATTTCGAAGGCAGCGGCACCTGGGTCAAACTCCTGGAACGCAAGCAGGGCAAGCTCGAACTCCACGCCGACGGCGCGGCACTCCTAAAAAGCGACGAGGGCCACGCCTCCATAGCCCTGGGCCTCGGCGCGTCGCCCCTCCGCGCGACTTTGACTGAGCCGCCGACCGATGATAGTGTAGTGGCCTGGGCGCACGCGCGGCCGCTCGCGACGGCGCGCGGCTGCCGCGCGACGTACGTCGAGCTTCTCGATTGGACGAGCGACGACAACGCCGACGCGCTCTGCTGTTTGTTACTGAGTGCTTCCGTCGTGGCGTATAAAGCGGAGGGCGACGCCGTCCAGCAGCTCGCGCCCTGGGAGTGCCTCGGCAAGGCGTTGCAGGCCGCGCGGTACCACACCGACCGGGACGCGTCGCTCGAACCCGAACGAGAAGGCTTGAGGGAGGCCATGCCCGTGCTGCTGTGGTGCTTTTCCGGAGATTCTGAGGAGGGCACGGCCCAGCGGCAGCTCGAAAAGACGGTCCTCGCGTCCGAAAAAGGTTTCGGGGAGGCGGAATCCAGAAGGAACAACGCGCGACTCTTGATCACGTCCATGTTTGTAAGAAGGGAGGCGGCCCGCGACGCCTTTTTGGAGCGAGCTGCCGACGCGGCGCGGCCCAAACCTTGCTTAGGACGAGCCCCTACGGGAAACATGGTAAGAAGGGAGGTCGAGGTTTTACTGGATGGATTAGCGGACTGCCGGAAAGCGTCCTTAGTGGACGCCTGGACTGCTGCTGTTGAAGAATTACATGAAACAGCTTTGAGTGAGGCAACGAGCGCACATGCCAAGGATATAAATGAGGCCGAGCGCATGGACTTAAGAGGTTCTAGTCTAGAAGCGGCCCTGAAGAAAGCGGCGGACGACGCCCTCACGAAATTTTCTGAGAGAACTACAGCCGTCGCGCCTCCGCCCAAGCAAGCTCGGAAAGCACCTCCGGTGCCGACGACTCAACTAAGGGAGACGATGCGTCAAGCGGCGCAATCCTGTATCCAACGCGCCTCCCAGAAGGCTTCCGAAAGGTCCGAGAAGCTCGCGGATCAAGCGTTAGATGCACTCGCGACGCAAGCCGACGGCGCCATCAATGAGGATGACGAGGAAGGAGCACCTATCTCACGACGGGCGGAGCTGTGGTTGCAGGCGTATCGCGGGAGGCTGGGTCCTACTTTGTCTGATTGTTTAGAGAAGGAGCCTACAAGTGGTGATGCTCTAGGCCGGGCCGTCTCGACGAAGGCGCCCGAAGCCGTGGAGGAGCGCTGTAAAGCGTGTCTGGATACGTTGACCGAGGAGCGTTCCTCACTACTCGAGGACGAGGCCAAACACAGATTAGCGGCGAAGCGCGACGAGGAGCGGCTGAGCGAAGCCAATGCTTCGGCGAAGCGCGACGCCGACGGCGCCCGCCAAGCGGTCGCCTTGCGCATGAACGCTATTGAGTCAAAAAAAGTAGCCGCCGAGAGTCTGTTGCACGAGTTGGACCAGCAGGTCGAGTCGGTGGTGCGGGGGCAGGAGCGCGTCGACGCGCGGTTACGAGAAAAGCTAGATGGTGCCGTGGCGCGAGCCGCGGCTCGAGCGGACGACGTCTCTAGATTGCAATCTAGATGTGTCGCGGAGGCTTCTGAAGCGGTCGACGCCTGTGCGGGGGCCCAGCTGAAATTAGCGGACGCGCGGCTCGACACGCTACGTGTCAGATGCGTCACGCTCGGCCACGAAAAGGCGAATTTGTCCGAACACATGGAGCTACTGGAAGAACACTTGGAGCGGCTGAAGGCCGACCTCGACCACAAGCACGCGGAAGTTAATGAAGTAGAGCACCAGTGGTCCCAAACAAAAGCGAAATTGCCCTCCCTCAAGGCGAAGTTCGGGGAGGCGGACCGGAGGAGGGCTACTCTCGCGGATCTCGCGCGCCGCCTGAAGGCGCACATCCGCGACGCGACGCGCGGCGGCCAGTTGCCGCGGTTATTGCTCAATCATTTGGACCCGATGGAGCGGCAGGCGCTCGAGGACCTCTAGTCTTCCTGGGTAATCATTTTGGGATAACGTTTACATTCCTTACTTTTTTTGTTGGTTGGGGGAAGGGGAGCGCAATCTCGTGCGCTAGTTCAGGTGGGCGAGGTGCGCCGCGCCGCGCACCCAGGCGTCCCAGTAGCCCAGCGTCACGGCCGACACGGCGACGTTGAACGTCGCCGAGACCATGGCGTGCGTCAGCGGCCGGACGCGCGGCGGCACGAAGGAGAAGGCGAGCGTGTTGTACGGGATGAACATGCAGACCTCGAGCTTGGTCAACGTGATAAATTCGGGCACCGTCCAGCCCTCGACGCCCTCCGTGATCGGTAATCCCGAGGAATAGATGTCCGTGAGGGCAGGCACGCCGGCGAGGTACGCGCTGTTGATAATCGACGCGAGGATGACGGCGTGGATCATCGTCTTTTTAAATATCGCGTCGGTCTCGCGGCCCGGATACTTATCCTCGAGCATGCGGAGCCAGACGGCGTTCGCACCACCGGACATTGTGGACGCGACGGTGGACATGGCTGCCACATGAGAGTAATCTAAAGCTTGCGCATGCTCGAGGGTTTGGGTGGCGATGTCGGCGCCGCCCGCTAGCACCGCGGCTTGTAAACAGGCCATCGGCACGTAGTGATCCTTAACGAGCTGCTGGTACCGCGCGCCAAGATCGCCGATGAAATCTCGCTGCGGGAACGTGATGGCGTCCGCCGAGCGGCGCGTGTACGTTGAGCGGCGCCCATTGGGCCGCAGCGCTGTCACTGGCAGGAGAAACGCCAGTAGAGTAAAAACATGCATCTTTAATGAACAAAGGGCAATATGTATAGAGCAGGCAAAGGAGTATGGGCACAAAAGGGATCTAGTCCATTAGATGCTGTCCAAGGATGCTTTCTGAAGCGAGTTACGCTGCGCCGTTGCACACGCTAGCTGTCAAGTACTGTGGGGTCCCGGAGCCGAGCCTCACCCTTTGCGAAAGGGTCTCCCGGGGGCGTACGATTGCCAAGATTGCGCAGTGCAGGCATGAGGTCACCGCGTCAAGCGGATCAAAAACTCGGCGCAAAGCTTGTCTACACGTCTCCATGGCCTCCTCGAGATGTCCCTGATGTAGGATCGTCGCAAATTTTGCTTCCCGCCTTTCGCTCATGACCCCGCACGCAAGGCATCTGCGGCGCGGCGCCCGGCGCTTAAAATAGACCGTGCGAGGTCGACAGATGGTACGCAACATGTGCTAGCAGCCATGCAAGTAATGCGCCCCCGTTAGAGGCTGCCCCAGCATGCTGCACTACACAATAGCACTCCTGCTGCTGGCAAGCACAAGCGCTCGGGACTGGCGCACGGCCGCGTTCTGGCCCGAAGTGCTCGAGAGCCTCGACCACAAGCCAGCACAAAGACCACAAAAAAGTAAATGCGTCGTCGGCGCCGATTGTAGAGCCGCTATACTGGTCCCAGCGGCATACCGCGAATCAAGGGAAGGCCTGGAGACGATACAAACCCTGGCCCAATCATTAACACGAGTTTTACAAAAGCCGACGCCCGTGTTCATCACGACGGAGCCGCCTTATGATGGGACAAAAATCCGCCAGACTCTCACGAACGTACATATACGAGAACTCACAGAGCGAGAGATGAATGCCCAGAAGCGCTTGCCGTTCTGGTTGCGGCAGTGGTACAAGCACGCTTTAGTGTTGAAACAGGTCGACCATAATGAAAAAAGGCACGGCCACGCCTTCGATGTGCTGGTCAAAATCCGCTTCGACGCGAAACTAAAATTCCGGGACGACGCGTCCCTTACAAAATTCCTCGAAACGATCACGAGTCAGAGAGACGCGGTCTGGGCCTGGTTCGAGATGACCTGGGTTGGATCATCTGAAGCGCTGCGGCCGTTGCTCAGTGCCCTAACGACGGACGCGGCCGCGCCCGAGGCCTTCGATTTGACACTCGACGGCGCGCACTTAACGAGGTGGGACCCCTGCCCGGCGGACCACTGGTTCGCGATGATGGCCGGGTCTGATCTGATGTTCCCGGGCTATAATGAAAAGACTCTGTCAGAGTTGAAAACGTCCAAAGAAACAAAAGTCTGGCGCCGAAACAAGCCGCGCTTCTGGCCCGGCGTCTCGTCCGAGGAGCTCTTCGTCGCGTCGCTACTGAGACGGAGCCTCGTGCGTCGGCGGTGTACTAGCTTTCAATGTGTTTTGGCACGGCGACAGCGTGGCGGGGAGATCTTGTTCCCACCAGCACGCCATCGCCGATGTCACGGTCACAACGCACACAGGTACTAAAGGATCTAGGCCAAGTCCCAGGCATCACCGATAATGGCTGGGCCACGGACTGGGAGCGCTGGGTATCAGCTGCAGGTTGTAAATTAGGCAACGTCGTGAAGTTGGACGGTCCCGCGGACGCGCAAACCTACGGCCCCGCGGCGCTGGACGTGAAGATCTACCCGGATGGTGTGAACGCGTCCAAAGGAAGGTTCAACGCCTACTTCGCGCGGAACTTCTCCGACGCGCAACTCAAAGACTTGATGATGAGACGCATCAAGAAAGAGAACCCGACGTGCGGCCCGACGTCGTACCTCTTCGGCCACGGCATGCTCGAGCGCATCTACCCCGGTTTTTTTGGCAAGGAGTTCTCCGAGCGACGGTTACAGGACGCCGTTCGCAAGGGCCGATGTTGACCTAGCGCCAGTCCCCACGCCTTCGACGCGCCACCTTGAACTGTTAACCATGTTATGTACTTACTCGTCTCCGACCCTTCTGCTTCTTCCAGACGAAGCCCAGTTGGTCCAACCGGCGCCGCCGTTCCTCCTTCAGTTCACCTTTCATATATTGGCCCCGCGAGCGCACGGCCGCGACGCGCGTGCCCAGCGGGTAGCCCGCCTTCGTTTTGTAATTTTGTGGTACGTCCGCGTTCCCAAATTCCGCCACATATCTTTCTAACTCGACAAGAAACTGCGAGAAGGCGCCCTCCCTACTCTTCGCGAGGGGCCGTCGATACGCCGCGACGCGCGCCCCGAGCTGCAAGCCGCGGCACTCGCGCGGGTACCTCGTATCGTCCTCCCCAATGACAAAGTTTCGGGGAACCTTCGCGGCGTTCCAGTCGATGTCTTCCTTGCTCAGTATTTCCTCGTAATCTGATAATGGTGCTTCCGGGTTCATTTTTAGCTCCTCATAGCGTCTAAATGCCCTTGCTACCACACTTCGTTTGGTCCTTTTCGGCTCCCAGCAGAAGCCGAGCTCGTCCAAGCTTCTCCACCGCGCGGGATCGTTCCCCAGATAGTCGTTGCGCCGCCGAATCTGCCTCACACGCCTCCCGAGGGGCATGCCCCTCGTCGAGTCGGGCCACCTCTCATCGTCGCGCGGTACGATGTAGGTCGAGGGGACCAGTAAATCCCCATTCAGCTCTTTGTAGACGATAAATGCCTCAATGACCAGATTGAACTCGGGCTGCAGCCGGCCCCAGCAAAAACCCAATTCTCGTAGTACCGACTGCCGCTCCGGTCGACCCGCCAGAAACGTCCGGTAGAAGGAAAGGTCGTAGACCGCCCTGTCGAGGTCCACGCCCGCGAGAGCTGCGGGGTAGGGCGGTCTTGATGGTACCCTAAATGATCGCGGTAATAAGAGATCGGCGTGTTCCTCCTCGTAGGCTTTTAAGGCGCTGACGATCCGTGCGAAATGTTTCTCGTCTCCCACACTATACGAAGGATTCCACTCGAAGCCGATCTCCGTGAGCTTGCGGCCCCAGCCCGTTTTTGATGGGCGTGGTGAGGAGGCATCTCTCCTTAACTCTTCCCCCGAGTACTTGTGCGTGAGCGGGCGTCGTTTTCTTCTATCAAGATTGGCCGAGGCTTCTAGACGTCTTAGAGAGGCCACTGCAGCACCTAACTCCAAGCCTCGTAAAGGTTGGGGCCACGTCTCCGGCACGACAAAGTCCTCGTCGACGTCCGTGCTGTTGTACACTTGCGCGTGCGTGACGATGGCTAATCGTAGTCTTGAAAGCGGGTCCGTCGCCTCTTCGAACCTCATCTTCGTGAGCTCCTCTTGGCTGAGGGGGTCCGTGGCTTTGAGGGGTGCTGGTCGTTTTGGTGGCGGGGCCAGCGCTGCTGCAGTGAGCAGGAGGCAGCAGCAGCGCATTGTGGTCATTGCAGTGCTATGCAACCATGTTTAAGCGAGCGGTAGAGCAGCAGCCGTCGAAGGCGTGGTTGATCTGTCACAAGACCTAGTATTGCATCACTCATACGTCGAGCATTGGTGCCATCAGCCGGCTGCCGTCATCACCCTCCCCGGGCTGATTTGCTAGTGCCTTACATGCCGCTAGCACTCGAGGTAGCTGTGGTACTATAAGAGACACAGCTACAGTTAAATCATCACAATAGCCGCGCTCGCGGCGTCCCGGGCGGTAGCGTCTCGTAGTCCGCGTCGCGCTCGAGCCGGCGCGTATATAATTCGTCGGCCTGCACGACGAGGAAGCCCATCGTGAGCGCACAGACATGCGCTATGTCCGTGATCGCCTCGGCAACCATGGCGTAGTAGATGAGCGACGCGACGACCGCCGCGGAGACGACGCGGAACGCGACGAGTCTTCGGCCGCTGTGGTGGTCCAAGGCACCGCCGCCCGCGCACGCACACCATATCATCGATACTCCAGCACATCCAATAACATAGCATAAGCCGAGCTGAAACGCGGCGAAGAACGCGAGGATCGCCGCACGCCGTTTCGGCGGACCGCCAAAAATGAACAGCGCAGCCGTGGCGAACAGCAGCGTGTAGTTGATCGCTATGTCCAATTTCGCGTCCGCCGCGGAGCCATCGCCGTAGGTCAGCACGCAGAGCAGGTCTCCCGTGCAGGACATTGTCGAGTTGTCCTCGCCTCGCAGCGATCGCGCCACCGCAGCGGTTGCCTCGGCGCTAGAATATGCGTTGAAATCGCAGCCCAGCGAGCTGGCGCGACTCGTTTGGCGCGCAGCAGCGCGTGCTAGCGGCTGTAGAGACACTAGCGGCCTTGTAAAAAAGCGGCACCAGTTTGCACCTTGCACGCACTGGTGAGCCGCATCAGTGGACAGAATTGCAGATATATAAACCAGGGACCGTCCTGTTGCTTCTCGTGAAGCGTAACTTGCTTCCACCGCTACTACAGCCCACTGCACACTCAGCACTGCTCTGCACGGACTCAGATGCGAGTTCTAGGCCCACTCTTGCTGCTTAGCACCACCGCTGCACTCGTGCCATGTCGCAGGCCACGGCTGCCGGTTGCCCAAGCGGCGCGCCGTGTGACGCGCGGCGGCGCGCTGCAAGCGACCCCAGTCGGCGCGGGCGGCGGCGGCGGTCGCGCCCTGCTCGCGCTCACGATCGCGCTCGAGGTCTTCGCGACCACGAGCATGAAACTCGCGTCGACGCGGCCGATCTGGCACCTCGGTACTGTGGTTGGCTACGGCTCGTGCTTTTCCGTTTTTCCCCTCGTGCTGCGGAAGATGCCGCTCGGCGTCGCCTACGCGATCTGGTCGGGCGTCGGCACCGCGTTGACCGCTTTGATCGGCGCCGCGATGTTCGGTGAGGCGCTGTCGACGCAGAAAGTAGGGGCCCTCGCGGTCATCGTCGCGGGCGTCGTGCTGCTGGAGCTCGCCCACTAGATGGGCGGTCGCGGCGATGGCGCTGCCCTAGATATAGTAAGGTGACTTATGTGAGGCACCATACTACACGGGCACGTCGGCCACGCACGTCGGCGACTCCACTTCCGAAGGAGGTGCCTTCGCCGGCGTCTGGATCGCCTCGGGCGCGACGACGGCCAGGACCTCGTCGAGCTCGGCCGGCGTCGGCTTGCGGCCCTCGGCCTTCTCGAAGGCCGCGGAGGCCTTCTCGCGCGCCTCGCGGTTGGCCGCGCGGCGCTCCTTGCCCGTCTGCGAGCCCGTCGTGAAGCCTTGCAATTTGGCCTCGGCGGCGGCCGCGATGGCCGCCTGCTCCTGTTGGGTCGGGTCGCGGCCGTGCTTCTGGGCGAAGGCTTGAGTTACTTTCTCCAGCACGAGCTGCTTGGCCTGTTCTAACTCTTTCTCCTCGTCGACTTCTTCTTCCTCTTCCACGGGAGGCTTCGGCGGCATCGCGAGCGCCAGAGAGATAACTTCAAAACCTTCGAGGTCCGGGTCGAAGCCACAAACCTCAACCATGGACTCGTCGGGCGCGAAGGCGCCCTTCTTGAGCTTTGATAAGAACGCTCTCGTATTCTCGTCGCCCATCATGCACATGGTCGACACGCGCGACATGTTCGTCTTGCGGGCCACCATCTCCATCAGAGTCATTAAATGACGACCTAAACCTTTTCTTTGGCATTCATCAACCACATGGAGGTCGTGGACCATGAGCACCGTGTCGCCCCGCATCTGATCCACGACGTCGCCCTGGACCGTGAATCGAAAATGGGCGAACGCAATGCGCTCTCCCGACTTATTGCGAGCTACTAAGAATCTAGTCCCGTCCTCGCTGAGCTCAGATAACTTGTCCTGGTCGTCCCAGCCGTAGCCCGCCTCGTCGTACAGCTCCTCCATGTTGGTCTTCACGAGCTCAAAGGCCCAGAGCTTCGCGTCCGCCGGGAGTTTCGAGTAGAAATCAATCGTGCAATCCAAACCGTTGCGGTCGTACTTCATGAACGGCGCTAAGGGCGCGCAGACGTTGCGGTCCTTGCCATCCGGCTCGAAGACCGCGGCCCGGAGCGTGACGAGCTTCTCCTCGAGCACGCGCGCCTCCATCTTGCGCATCTTCTTGTCGGATAGCTTTTGGCTGGAGGAGCCGCCCTTGCTCGACGAGCCCTTCTTCATGGAGCCGCCCTGGACCATGGTTTTGAGTTTCGCGCTTTACAGAGGCTGGTTGGCGCTCCGCGTTTAGGAGCAGCTGGATGTCAATTAGGCACGCCTTTTGACAGCTTGTGGCTGTAAAACTCGCGGGCGTTGCACCGTTTTAGTGAAGAGAGCGCGGCTGTTTGAATTGAGTTATTAGCTGAGACATACTAGCTTTTGCAACGGAAGCCTACTCCTTGTGCTGAGTCCCCTCGTGATGCCTCTCGAAGCCTGACCACACAAGGAGGACGTTTCAAACTCCTCCTGCGGCGGGAGCGAAAGACGCGGCCCACTAGTCCCAACAGAACGACGTACTCAAAGACCGCCTTAGGACACCCCAGCTCCTCAGCGCCGCCCGCGCGCCCGGACCACCAGATCCAATAACGTCCCCGACGCGACGTTGAAGTGCGCGAGCGACAACGCATCTTTGAGGAAGCCCAACCGAGAGTGCTTGAGCTGCTGCTTGTTCTCGGGCATCCCCAACTGGGCCTTGAGCCGCGACTTGACCTCCTTGATCGTACAGTCGCAGTCGACCTCGACGGACACCTCCTGGCCCAATAAAGACCACGCGGCGTTCGAGTCGTCGAGGGGGCACTTGACGCGCACCGTGACCGTCCGGTTGGCTCCCAACGACTCGGCGAAGTCCGCAGCAGACATGAGGCCCGTACTCGGGTCGACGCGCGGCCGCTTCGGTTGCGGCGCTTCGGGCGGCGGCGGCGGCGGCGGCGGCGGCGCGGCGGCGCGCGCGGCCGCCGCGGCGGCGCCGTGGACGAGCATGCCGCCCACTAACACCGGTCCTGTGGGCGGCGGCGGTGGTGGAGGCGGCGGCGGCGGCGGTGGAGGCGGCGGCGCGCTCGGCGGCGCGCTCATCGGCGGCGGCGGTGGAGGAGGTGGTGGGGGCGGCGGCGGCGGCGGCGGCGCGCTCGTGTCCATCGGCTGCGCCGCCCGCATGCCCGGCGGCGCCCCGGCCAGAGGCGGCGCGTAGCCCGGGACCGTCGGCGCGGCACTACCGGTAGACTGCTGCAACGTACCCTGACCAGCGTTCTGTTCGTTGAGAATGTCCAACACGCGCGCCTGCACCCTATTGATACTGCCACCGTGGCCGTCCCAGATGATGCCGCCACTATTGGAAGGCTCGTCCTTCTGTTTGGCCTCCAGTATCTCGGCCTCCTCGGCCTCGGTGCTCCCGAAGATGTCGTTGCGCTTCGCCGCGAAGGATGCCAAGGATTGGGCGATCTCCTCGCCGCCGGCGCGGTCGCCGCGGTCGTCCTCGCCTCGGCGTGCCGCGAGTTTGCGCTGCTCTTCCCGCCATCGCGGGTCCAACAACTGGATGCGCATGTGTTCCGTCATGCGTTCGATGGGTACCTCGTCGCCCGTCAACGGATCCTTCATCGTCCGCGGCGCCTCGACGCCACCGGACGCGACCCGAGGAACATAATCTTGCACCACTTGAATATCCGCGGCCGGGGGTAGCGGGGGCGGCGGCGGCGGCACGGCCGTGCCCTGCATGCCCGGCGCGCCCGGCTCCTCCACACTGACGCCACCTTGTGCCGGCAGCGCGAGCTCGTCCTTGGGAAAGTCGATGACCTCCACAACTACAAAATCGTGCCAATCTACTGCCTGGAACGACGCCCGGTCCGCGTCCCGCAGCGCCTTCTCGCGTCGCTCCTTCTCGTCGACTCTTCTACTCCAGTCCCACCGTCGCGCGCATCGTTTGAGGGCGTGTTCGGGGTCCTCGACGCGCTTGACCTCGGCCCGTAACTCCGGTGGAGGTGCCAAGGCACGCGTGTAGGCGTCTACTAACTGCGTGAAATAGGAGAATAACACATGCGTCGGCTTCAGGAAGTCGAACTGCGGGTTCCGCTGTTCTCTCTGAGCTAATCCGGCCAAGAACTGTCGGCCGGACGCGGCCGTATATTGTGCCGTGAGCTTGATGATCTCCGCATCTAACGGTGTGACACTGGATGGAGTCGTGAGTTGCGCCGTCAACGGTACGGGAGGTGTCGTTTCTTCACCTAGACCTTGCAGGGCCCGTTGGACGGGAGCGGCGACCGTGGCTCGCTTCGACACGGTCGACGCCGCGGCTTTCACTTCGGTCGTCACAGGTGCTTCTACCTTAGGCTTTTCGACAACTTTCAGCTCCCCATCATTTTCTTCCACCTCCCGGATCTTGAACTCGTAGTACGCGTTATAGGGGTCGTTGGGTCTCATAAAGGCAAATTTTTGCGACTGGCCCTCCGCCGACGCTTGTATTCTAGCCTCGAATTGTTTCCCATTTCTGGCCACAAACAGCGCGGTCTTGTCGACGATGGCCCTGATATCAGGCGGCGGGCGGATGACTCCCGTGACTTCCCCGGATGAGGGAGCGGCCTCCTGGAGGTCATTTGCTAGGTCGCTGGGCGGGTCGACGGCCATGGCGGTGCTCATCTTTTTTTCCTCTGCGCGACGCGCGCGTCGCCTGCGCTGTTTACTCCTTTGTGTCGCTGCCCACAAGCGGCGGCGCGGGGAGCAAGGCAAGTGCACGGAGCGCGTCTAAACGCCGGCGCGAGCGCTTCTCACGAGTGCTTTCGACCTCAAGCTGCCGCACAGGCCGTCGGCGGCGCTTGGGCGACTCGGCAAAGGACCGAGCTAGCGTGCCGTAAGATACTAGCGGATTACATATATATCCTCACATGTTCAGGGGGGGTTGCCGACGCGGTTCTGCTTAGAAGGAGGTATGCTCTTATGAAAGACGGGGCCCGGGCCCGCCGCCGATGAATCGGCGACGCGCGGCGGGCCACGCCGGCCGGCGCCTGGGCTCCACGCTGAGTTCACAGGTCCGGCTAGCACGACGTTCCCCAGCGCCATCGACGCAAAGCCCCAAACAACCAACGTAGTATGGATGAGTGACCTTACGTCGGAGGGGTACGGGAGAGAAGGGCTGGGGCGGCGTCGGCGACCGGCCGGCGGCGCGAAACGGGGACGTTCGGCGGGGCACGTCTTACAACGAAACCTGCGTGCTCTTTGCGCCAAGAAAATTGTCCTCTGTCGCGCCGACGACCGGCGGGCAACACCGCCCAGCGCTCATCTACGTCTTCTTCTTGCCGAAGCTAAAGCTCGGCTTCGGCAGCGAACTCGGCTCGGGGCTGATCTGGAACGCGCTGAACGCGTAGTGCGGCGGCGAGCTCGGCTCGGCCGCCTCCTTCTGCTCTTCGCTCTTGGGCGAGGCTTTCGGCTCCTTCTTGGGAGCCGGTTTCTTCTTTTTTTGCTGCTTTTCCTTCTTGTCCTTGCGCGCCATGGCCGGCTCGGGTGCCACGGCGTCGCCGACGGGGACCGTCGTGCGTTCGGGGTCGGGCTGCTTGGCCTTCTGGGGCTTCTTCTTTTTCTGTGCTGATTTCGGGGCCGGCGGCTTCGTCGGGCCCGTCGGGGCCGGCGCCAGGATCGAGGGTGGGCCCTGGTTCAGGATGGACGGCGGCTGCGCCTTTTGCGAGGGCGCGAGGATGGACGGCGCGTTTTGCGAGGGCGCGAGGATCGACGGCGGGCCGGCGTCGGCGCCGCCGAAGGCGCCTGGGGTCAACAAGGACGCCATCTCGGCGCTCGCGGGCGGCGCTGTGGCCTCACGCGGAGCTCAAGTCGGCGCGGCGGCGCTCGGATGCGCTCAGGTCGGCCGAAGACGCCGGAGGAGCCTACTCGCTATTGGGCGCCGCGGGGACGCCGGCGAGCCAAGCAAGCTACCCCGCTGGACAGCGTGGGTACTATGAACAGGCGACAGGCCTCGGGCCGTGCGGGGAGCTATTACGCGGGCCGTGAGGCTGCGAATGTTACAGGTGGCAAAACTAGAGTCCATGTGACGCTAGCTCACGGCTTTTGTCGTAGGCTTTTGCGCAGCCTAAACGGGCTCAGGGAGACCAAGGAGCGTCCCCAGAGGTCGCATTTGTCGAGCCCATCGCACGCCTCAGCGAACAAACCAAGCGCTGAACGCCTCCCGACGCGCTGCAGCCCAGCATAGCACAACACCATGTCCGGCCGCCTAATAATCCTCCCCAAAAAATCATGGAACGTCTGGGACCCGAAGAACATCGAGCGCGTCCGCCGCGACGAGGCCGCGGCGGCCGAGCGCGAGGCACAAGAAGAGGAAAAAGAGCGCCAGGACGCGGCCGTCGAAAGAGTCAAAGAGATGAAGCGCCGGGCGACGGGCGAGAACGACGAAGCGCTCGTCGTCGCCGCGCCGGCGCCCGAACCAACGCCCGTGCGCCTCTTCGCGCGGGAGGAGCGCGCGGCGGCCGCGGCCCTCGGCGGCAAGACCGAGGAGGAGTTCGAGCGGGAGCAGCGCCGCGAGGAGCGAGAACGGAAACGGCTCGGGATGTTTGCCGCGCCAGTCGCACTCAAACCGCAAGGGCCGGCGCCCTGGTACGCGTCGGCGCCGTCCGCGGAGGTCGACGCGGGCGCCGAGGCCGAAGCCGCGCCACCACCATTGAAGGGCGGCGCGGCGCGCCAGGCGCGCGACGACCGGCGGCGGCGCGAGCAGGACCCGATGCGCGGGCTCGTGCACATCCCGCGGCGCGGCGCGCAGCCTCCTGCTTTGCCGGCGCCCGAGCGCGAGCGGCGGCGGCGTTCACGATCGCGGGACCGGTCACGGCGAAGGCGTGACCGGGACCGGTCGCGGCGGCGGCGCGGCCGCGACGACGAGTTCGCGGCGCTCCGGAAGCGGCGCCTCGAGCGCGAGGCGTCGGAGCGGCGCAAGGCCGTGCGGTTGCTCGCGGCGCGGGACAGTGGCGGGGAGATTGGTGGTGTGTAATTGTTTTGGTACCGGTGATGAGCAGGGAGGAGGTTTTTCGTGGGCTAGAGGGGCTACCTAGGGTAGCTTCAGAGAGCAGCCGGCCGCAATCGCCGCAAGAAAGGCCAAAAAAAGAGCAGCGTCGGTCAAGTTCTGTTACAATTTGTCACAAAGTCGTGCCCACAACCACTGCTTGCAACGTCAGGCTGAGCCACTGCATTGCAACAGCCCACCCCTGCAACAAGCAGCAATTCAGCCACTGCCTGCAACTAATAGGCAGCATGTCTGCCCAAGCCATGGCCGCCCTGACCCTCGCAGCAGCCCCATTAAAAAAGGGACGCACGACCACAGTCCAAATCCCGGACGACGAGCGGCCGCGCTACGCCATCAAAACGCTGGACGTTGCCGAGGAGGCGCAGACGCCGTGCGCGTGCTTTGTCGTGCCGCGCGGCCGGGAGCACGAGTTCGTCTTCAGCAGCGATGAAGGTTTAAAGCAAGTGGCCGGATCCGCGAAATGCGCTCGACTACTTGTCGTGAACCTGGACCCGCAACGCGCGGGCCACAGCTATGGGGATGTGCGGGCCGTGCAGCGGGAGCTCGAACCGCTGATCAAGGACCTGGCGCCACCTGGTGCGGGAACGGTACCAGTCATGACCGCAGGCAATGACCTCGGCAGACGAGACGTCGTCGCGACAGGCGCGATGGACTCGGGCGACGCCTACGTCGTCGAGCAAGTCTTGGACGGGTCGCGGACGCTGCGGCGCCTGCTCTTCAGGAGCAACCCGCGGAGCATCCAGACCGAGGTCGCCGTATCAAAAGTCAAGCCGCCCAAAACGTCGAACGGCAAGAAGAAGAAGTCCAAGGCCAAGGCGCAGTGGCGCGTCGACGGCGCCGACGTGCGTTCGGCGTATCATCGGGCCATCCTCGCGGCGGTCGCGACGTCGCGACTCGATACAGCGGTGGAAGACGTCGTGCTGGTCGGCCTCGGCGGCGGCGCGCTGGCGACAGCTTTACAAGCGCTCCTGCCAGCCGTGAAGATCCGGGTCGTGGAGCTAGATGAAGCGGTCGTCGACGTCGCCGAGCGCTGGTTCGGCTTCAGTCGCGCCGGCGTCGACGTGACCGTCGGCGACGGGCTGACTGCGTTCGATGACGTATCGGAAGCGGACGTCGTGGTAATCGATGTAGACGCGAAGGACGCGAGCCTGGGCATGTCCTGCCCGCCGTCCGCGTTCCTGGAACCGGCCTACCTGCGAAAGGTGAAGCGAGTCCTCCGGCCCGGCGGCGTGTGCATTGTCAACATCGTCGCGCGCTCGGAGAAGGCGTTTTCAAAGGCGATGGTAGATTTGCGCGCTGTCTTCGACGACATCCGTATTTGTGATCCGACCGATGACGACATCAATAGGGTTGTGGTCGCACGGATGGGTTCTCCGCCCGACCGGGACGCATGGCGCGCGAGGTTGCGGAACTGGTGCGCCGCCGGCGACCCGTTGGGTCTCGAGGTGCTCCTCGACCGCTTCGACCAGGCCGTGTTCAACGTCGACACGGAGGCGCTGGATGCTTGCGATTAGATAGCTAACTTGTTGTGTTTTTTTCTTCTGATACCTAGGATGTTCCTTCCCTTGGTTTTGTTATTTATGTTATTGTAATAGTGCGCATTGGCTAGAACGTTGGCTAGCGCGGCGACGGCGTCTCACGGGCGCGAAGCGAGCGCGGCTCGTGCGTCCGGAAATTCCTCCTCAATCCAATTTGTGAGCGGGTGCGCGCCCCCAAACACGCGCCGCGCGATCCCTGCCGTCTCCTCGAGCGTCGTCACGGCCTCGCGGAGATCGTCGAGCGTGGCGCCGGGGGCCCTGTAGAGCACCCGCCCGTAAAGCCACCGCATTTTGAGCGTATTTTCATTCCTTGCGCCAAGAACCCGTCGCGCCACGGGCATCACTTTGCGCAAGAGTGATTTAGCCTCTTCAAATCGCTTTAGTTGACCTAGCGAGAACCCGTAGTTGATGGCTACTTCAAGTGTCTCTTGGTGTTCCTCGCCATAGAGCTTCAAATTTCCGGCGTATACGTCTCGCATCATGCGGTTGGCTTCCTCAAACCGTCCAACGCTTTGATACGTGTTTGCAAGATTGCTCTGTGCGGCGAGCGTGTTGCGTTTCGAGTCGCCAAGGCGCCGCAGCATACGACTGGCGCGGACTCAACGCGAAACTAGACATTGGAGCTCTCTACGGCGCATCGGTCTTCTGCCCCTGCCCGCGCGGCGACTCCGCGCACACGAAGCGTTTTGTTTCAGTGCATAAATCAAATTGTCGCGGCGCGTCCGTGTGGTCTCACCGATCGTTTCAGCCAACACTGCGCGTCACCGTACCCGACGCACTGGTTGATTTGTGCACAGGTTTGTTTTCTACGCTCGCGGCGGGCTGCATACCTATAATCATCTCGGACAAAATGGTCCTGCCCTTCGCGGGCCACGTCGACGTCGAGTCCGCAGTGCTACGAATCCCCGAGAAGGCATTCGCGTCGCGCTGGCGGCGGCGCCACTTCTCGCTCCTAGACTTCCTGCGGAACGCGACCGGCGCGACGCCCGAGCGTCCGTCCACGCCGGCCGTCGAGCGGCTCCAGCGCGCCGGCGCGCGCGCCGTCGGGGCGCTGACCTTCGGCCACGCGTGCCGGGCACCCAGAGGGCAGTGTGCGGCCGCACCGCCCGACGCTATCGATTTCCTTCTCCGGAGTACCTTCGACGCGCTCGCCGCGCGAGTCCCGTCTTTTGAGGTCGCGTCGCCGGATTCCCTCCGGCGGCCCCCGCATCGGTGCGCTGAACTACCCGGACCTCCGAGCTAACACTCGGGGCGACGGCGTATGAGGGCCGGGGGCGGGGGCGGGCATGCGTTCACGCAGACCCGCGGCGGCTGGTGGCTAGGCGGCCTAGCTCTAAACAAAGCAACTAGAATCAGATATACACACACATCGCCGCGCCCGCCGCCGAGAGCGCGAACCACGTCGCGGCGTAGCCCGCGTGCGTCTGCGGCGTCACGGCCGCCGTGACGAGGTGCTCGGGCGCGCGCGGTTTAGGCCATTCCTCTCTACTGTCGCTCGGGCAGGCGCACAGCAATAAAGCGTCGTCGGCAACCTTTAAACGCTTCCGCAGAAACGGCAGGTCGACCCAGAGGCAGTGTTTATCGGTGTTCTCGGGCGAGAAGGTGCCCTTCGTCTCGCCGGGCGAGTTCACAGCGACTACCTCACACGTAGTAGTGGGACACGCCGTTTCCATACCTCTAGGAGACCATCCCCTATCCACGAGCACCTCGGAGCCGTCTTTTCGTCGCAGGACCGTGATGTTCGTGAAGCCCTGCGGACCCGTTCCTAAACCAGGCGCGCGCTCGAAGAGGCCGGGCGGCGGCGACCGCGGCCCGACCTTCACGGTCCTTTCTGCTAGATACGAGCCAGACACGACGACGCGGCGGCCGCGCTCCGCGAGGTCCGGGGGGAGCGATGACGTTGTCGCGCCCGCCGGCAGCGGCAGCGGCGCCTTCAACAGGTTCTCGCGCCGCTTTTCCAGTAATTCCGTCTTCCAGCCGTAGCGCTGCGTCTGCCAGCAGCCGAGCGAGAACGTGCCACCGACCAAACCGCCGAAGAGCGTCGTCTTGGCGGCCTTCTGGGCGAAGGTCGCTTGGGCCATGGCTTATCGCAGCGACGACGTATGCGACGCCAGCTCAATGCAGTGTGCAGGCTCTGCACTGCCTTATTCTTGCCCGAGCGTTCAAAGCACTCGAAGCAGGCACGTACAGGAATGATTTGCCGCTCTCAGAGTGATAAATGAAGACGGTTACGCCGTGCCAGCCTGAGTTTTTGCTCGAGCCGGGCTAGTCGAGCTAGCGGCCTGTAAGACACTAGCAAGTGGCCTCCGGAACCCGTTTCTCACTACAGGCATCCATAGGCAAGAGCAGACGGAGTCGGAGAGCGGCTCCCGCGGTGGCTCGCGGCCCCCTCTAGGACCAACGCCCTGTTGGGAGAGGGAGCAATAGCGCCGCCTGGGGCCCAACCGGGGAGCTGCCGGAAGCGAAAAAGCCGCGCCCCAGCTCGAACTATAACGCGTCCAAGCAGCGGGCAGCCGTTTCGCCCGGGGAGGGGCACCCACGGGCTGCCCAGGAGCCATGGCAGACCAGCAGCGCTCGAGCCGCCGGGGCCTGGACTACGAACCGAACGAGACGCCGTCGCGCATGGCGTCCGTCGACGACTTCCTCGACAGCGTCGACGACGCTTTGTTGTTGGCACCGGTCTCTCAGCATGCGAGGGGAGCGCAGCCCCACGTCGTCCGAACCTTACGGGACTTTAATCGCATGCCGCCACCAGCAAGAGACCGGGAAGTCAAAAGAGAAATGGAGACGGCGCAGGTGGAACGGGAAGAAAAGCTCCAGGGTATGATGATGCAGGAGCAACTCGATTTGTTCGGCGAGATGGCGCGGCGCATCCAGGGCATGGCGCGCATGGTTTCGGGGAAGCGGGAGGCGAACGAGGCGCGGGAGCGGTTTGAGAGGGTCGTCGAGGAGGCGAAGGCGGCATTGCGTATACAAAGGGCCATCCGCGGCGCGCTCGGGAGGCGGTTCGTGCGCATGTTTCATGAGCTCGAGACTAGGAATCTGGTGCTTGGGGCTTCTGCCACACATATCCAGCGCATTGTAAGAGGCATGTTCGGCCGGGAGATCGCGAGGATAAAACGCGAACGCGCCGCGATCGCGCTGATGCAGCGGTGGTATCGGGGCTGTCGGGGACGGCACGTCGCAAGCATGGAACGGGCGCGCCTCGAACACTTGCGATTAAGAGCTGAAAGCGCTTGTAAAATACAAGCTGCTTGGCGCATGAAGGTCACGAGGGAGGAGTTCCAGTTATTAAGGGTGCACATGGTCGCGGCTCTCGAGATTGAGAGGGTGTACCGAGGCCATCTGGGACGACGACGAACACATAGACGACGAGACTGGGAAAATGCCGAGCCGGGTCCCGAGAGGTTAAAACTGGGACTGCGACTCATCGAGGAATCTAAAGTAGCGTTTGAAAGGCAGCAGGAGGAGATTGACGCCTTGCACCGGTCCCAGGAGAAGGCCGAGAATCGCGTGTCGCATATCCATGCGGAACTACGAGAATCAGAGAAGGAACTAGCTGTGTTAGAGCGGGAACTCCAAGAAATCGACCAGATCGAGCGGGATTTGCATGAACTGACGCATGAACGAGAAGTGTTGCAGCTCAAAATCACGGGTGCGGCGGGCATCGCGTCGACCGGAGAACCGCCGCGCATGGGCTCGGGCAAGCCTCCTGACGTGTTGGCTCTGTTGCCGGAAGGGCACCCGTCCATGGATGACGATGCTCTGTTGGCACCGTCGCAGGACGTCGACGACGAGCCGGGCACGTCGACTGCTGAGAGACGATTGCAGGCGGACGCGCATGCGTTGGAGGTGGCTATTCACAGAAAGCGAGCCGAGAGGGAAAGGAAGCGCCAGGAGCTCGAAGCGGAGTTCGCCGCCGTGTTCCAGGAGGTGTCGCGCAAGAAACATGCTCTGGAGCGGCTGGAAGTGTCAATCGCCGACATGGATGCTACACGAGTGAGGAAAGATAGGGAGTTTTCAAGACTGCAAAGGAACCTCATGGAGTTACTCCAAGAGCAGAAATATGAGCTGGATACGCTACGAGAAAAAGGTATTGAGCTAGAAACGGCGACGGCGACGTCAGCCGCCGCGGCCACAGCGACCGCCTTACGGGCAAAGGAGCACGAAAAACGCGCCGCGACCATGTTCAACCAGACGGAAGAATTGATGAAGTTCCAGTTCATGTCCATGTCCTTGTCCTATTTCTCTTCGTTAAATATGCTCCAGCAGCTGCGCGAGATGAACGCTGATACCACCACTGCCGCAGTGGCCTCATCAGCGGACGCCGCCGCGGCAGCAGCAGCCGCGGCAACGGCGGCGAACGTCCCTAGCATAAAACACATGAAGCTGGGGGCCGAGGACGTGGCCATGGGCACGCTCAAGAAGAAGCAGGCTGAATTAGCAGCTGCTCGGTTGGCCGAGCAGGAGGCTAAACGGTCGAAGGCCGAGCCCTTCCCTCCCGAGATGCGGCTGTGGTCTGTGTCGGACGTTGCCAGATGGTTGGATACGTTATCTTTGGGCCAGTACAAGGACGCGTTCCGAGAAGCTTCGGTCGACGGCGACTTCTTGCTCGAGTTACGCGAGGAGGACTTGGTGCAAGTCTTGGGCATGGAGCACAAGCTGCACGTGCGGAAGGTCATCCTGGGACGAGATAAACTGCGACCGCTGTCCGAGACGGACCACGTCAAAAAGGCCCTCGTCTTGCGGGAGGAGCACGCGGAACGGGAGCGGGACGGCGTGGCCATGCCTGCCACGGACGTGGTGTTCAGTCAATGTAGGAACGGCCGCGTGAAGCGCCTCGGCGAGTCGCTGAACCTCGGGTTCCCGGTGGACAAAGAAGACGAAAAGGGCAACACTTTACTCATGTGCGCCGCGCAAAACTTAAATCTGAAGATGTGCGAGATGCTGATTAATCGGAACTGCGACGTGAACCACCGGAACTCGTCGGGCAACACCGCGCTGCACTTCGCCATGGCGTACGACTCCGAGGGGACATTGGCCGAATATTTGATTCAGCAAGGGGCTGATGATACCATCGAAAACGCGGTCGGCTGTACGTGCTACGACGGGCTCGGGCAATAACACTTACTTATAGTACTTCTATAGGCTCGCGTTGCGCGTGCTCTTCGACTTGGAGACCTGGCCCTTGTTGATGAGGTCGAACTTGACCTGTGTCGCGTCGATGGCGTGGGGGTGAGCGCGCCATAAATTTCCGCACAGAATTTCACCTTGAGATGAGTGACCGCGGCCTGGAGCCGCTCCAGTTCCTCGACTTCCTCGGCCGTCATGCGTCTTCCGGAGGGGCTCATGTTTTGTCGCGGGACCACGGACCAGTGCGTGTCCTCGAATTGTATGTCGTAGAAGTCCGTCTCTTCCGAGCAGAAGGAGCACTGGAACTGGCCAATTTGCTTTTCGAGGCGGACGCTGCTGCCGCGCTTCTCGATGCTATATTCGTCGAAGGACTCGGACTCCTTCGCGAGGGCCATAAATTTGTCCGCCTGCGCGTTACGCGGCGTCGTTGTCGTGTATCCAAGTTTTGCCGGACGGTGGCGGGGCGGGGCGGCGACGCGATCGTTTGGTGGAGCGTAAACTCGGACGCCGTTTTATGACAGTGCTCCCGAAAATTCCGAGCCTGAGCGGCATCGTCTCTCACACCGGCGCGATCGCTGCAGTCGACCAAAGTCCTAAACTAGCCTCCCAGGAATCCTGAGTCAATGTTATTTAATTCAGAGAGCAGTGGCACGGTTTTAGCTTCACTCCGATAGAAACCCCGCCAGTGAGTATGGCTGAACGTACGCGCGTTACGGTCTCGTGCGAAACCTGAAAAACAGTGCGAGAGCTAGCGGACTGTAAGACACTAGGAATGCAGCAGCATCGGCAGCGGCGCATGCACGATGATGAGGCGCTGTCTGCTGCTCAGCTTGGGCGTCAGAGCGCTCAGGGTGCAGCGTGTGCCAGCACGACCAGTACTTAGCCATGAATGCATTCATGCGGCACATGCAGCCGCGCCAGCACTGTGCACTCAGCACCCTTCAACAACGCGCACCGATCGAAAATGCATCGCAAAAGCAGCACTGCTAGCCGGCATTCTCTCAGCAACGGCAGTGCCAGCTTATGCCATCGATCCGTCGCCAGCAGCGCTGCAAATAGTGCAGAGCGCGCTGGAGTCGTCATCTCAGCAGAAGCCCGACGCCGTCGCAAAGCTCGACAAGGCCATCACCACCTGGAAGAGCGAGAAACTGCCGGACGATGAATTAGCTGGTTTGTATCGGCTGCGTGCCGACGCCCGCAATCGCTTGGGCGCCCCGGACAAAGCAGAGGCGGACTTGACGGAGGTAGTGCGGCTGCTCCGCGGCCCGGGCGCCGCCGCGGCCGACCCGGCTGAACTACCCCGGGCGCTGCTGTTCCGAGCGAGGCTCGAATTCGCGCGCAGCGCCTGGTCGGCGGCCCGCGAGGACGCCGCCGCGGCACTGGCACTGGACGACAACTTGGAGAACCTTGAGCAGAAGAACCCGTTTACCTACGAGCTGCTCGGGCGAGCGGCTCTGCGCGAAGGAGATTATGCGGCAGCGGCCGCTGCGTTCGGAAGTGCTGAAAAGGCCCACGATCGCGTTGGAGACGCTATAAGAGCACGAAACGCTGGTGCGGACCGAGCGCTCGCTTTGCTCGGTGCCGGAGACGAGGCGGGATCTACGGAGAGCCGTCGTATATTTGCGCAGAAGAGCAATCCGCGCACGAACAACCCCGACGACATCCCGTTGCTCCAGGAGTTAAGCCGCAAGGATGCCGAGCTCCACCTGGCGCTTGCTGCCAAACTGGCCTCTAAGGGTCAGGCCGTAGATGCGTCTGCCCTGTGGGAGACGGGCTGCGTTCGCTTGAGGACCTACGTCGACGACGCGACGGCACGGATCGTCGCCGACGACGTCCGCGGCAGTGCACGAATCAAATTTTTGACGCGACGCACACCCGACTCACTGGTTGATTTGCGCACAGGCCAAGACGGATAACTTGGCCAAGGACCGGGCGGCGGCGGCCCGCGGCCTCGCAGCGTTTTCCGTGGGCCTGGACCCAAAGAACCCTTATGTAACTCAACAGACGAATACGCAATTCCTCTGGTACGAGCTCGACGTAGAATCAAATTTATATCGTTAACCTGACTCACTGGTCCTCACAGGTACGAGTTGGAATCCGACGGGGCCGGCGCCGCGGACGAGGACTATTCGTTTGCAGGCGATGCCAAAGTTAAGCGGCGCCGTGTTGGTGCGCGCGGCGATGATGGTTTTGCTCGTTTAGCAAAGGTTGATGCGAAACTTTCCTGTGACGCGTTCACCGATCGCTCGTGGTTGGACGCGAATCGCGCTGACTGGTCGCCGTCGCTACGCGCCGAGGCCACCGCCTTTCGAGCGCCGAAAGCGAAGGATGCGGTCGCTCTGCCAGATCTTACCATGCCGCGGAGGATGTGGTCTCCTGAGTAAGTATTGTTGTTTTTGCTAGCGGCACGTAAGACACTAGGGATGCCTGGCAAGCAAGCGCACCTCTGCAAGCCGGCTAGTCCAATTGCTCGGCGCGAGGCGATTTGTGCCGGCGCTGTTGCCAGCGACACTGCTCGCATGGCGGACGATACGCAGAACCGGCCCGCGGGCACGCCCGACGCCGTGGATGGTGCGGCTGCTCAGCTGCACCGCAGCATGTCCGTGTCGCCAACCGCGAAGGACAGGGCGCCCAAGCGAGTTATCACCCCGGAGGACGGCAGCAGCTTGAAGCGCGTAGATAGCAAGCGGACGCCGCAAAAGCAGCGCCAGCTCCGCGCCGAGATGCAGCTCGTGACGCCCCAGGGTGAAGAGGACGACGTCGTCGCGCGTGGCCTGTGGGTCCAGCGCGACCTCGCCCCGCCGCCCGCGGCAGCCGTAGATATACGCGAGGCGGAACGCGAGGCGCGATTATTGAGGGAGAAGGAGGAGGCCGAGTACGTGGCTGAGTGCGCGATGCTTGAACTACCGGTAGTCGCGGCGCCACCTCTGCCCGAGGGCGCGACCGAAGCGGACCGCGAGCGGCTCGAGGACGAGGACCTCGACGCGCTCTACGGAGTCTAGGCGCGCGACCGCCCCTCGCCTGGGGTGGGTTTGTGTAAGTGACTTGTGTACTCTTCTTCTACCAACACCAGTCCCCACGGCGACGACGACACGACGACGGACGACGACTACAGGAACCACGATACTCGACATCGAGCGATGCGCATGCAAGAGCTAGCGTACTAAGGCACTAGCAAACTCAGCCCTGGAACGCGTTGCCCTCCTGTTTGCCGTACAGGCGCGCATTGACACGCGCCCGTCCTCACAGCAGCGCAGACCGACCGCGACGCACCGCGCGCCGCTTGGAACGAGTCTAAACGTTGCGCGGGCGGCCGCGCACTGCCAATCAACTGCCTGCTGCGCGCAGCGCCACTTCTGCGCCCGCGCGAGTGCCGGAGGCACGCGCGCACGCAAGAAGGTAGCGCCCGATCACCCAGCTCTCACCTCATTAGCCTAAGACGCCGCGCGCTTCTACGTCGAAGATGGCGGAGGTAGTTATGGCCGCGAATCCGCAGAAGAGACCGCTGGGCGACGAGAACGCCGGCGGCGCCAACGCGCAGGACGCGTCCAAGAAGCCGCGCGGCGCGGCGCCGGCCGAGGCGCCGACGGCCGAGCTCACCGAACAAGCCAAGGAAGCCGCAAAAGCGTTCCGAAAGCACGCCGACAAACACGCCAGCGGGTGGGAGCCACAAGAAAGAGAGAACGCGGCCGAACTCGTGGAGCGAGTCGCCAAGGAGAACAAGGGTTACAATCACATTGCGATACCGGTCGTGAAAGCTATACTTGCAACTTTACCCTCCAAGCAGCAGCCAAAAAAGCTCAACGCTGCCAAGGTGCGCGGCGCCCTCACGAAGCACCTGGCGAGCGTGTCCGCCGCCGCGTTCGTCGTCGCGGGCGCGCCGCCGAAGAAGAAGGAAGAGGAGGGCTACGTCGAGGGCAGCGTCGACATCCGGTCCGTCAAGGGCGACGGCGACGGCGAGTGGCTCCGCTACGACAATCCAACGAAAATGTCTAAGGACAAGGGCCCTTGGGGAGAGTCCGGTCCGAGCCTTCAGCAGATCCAGGAGGCGCTCAAACGGCTCTCGGACCCCAAGAGCATGTACGCAGAGAGGCGGGGCTTCGAGGTGCGGTACGTGACGGATGAGTTGCGGTGCGCGACGGCCACGAACAAGGTCGTGCGCGGGTGGCATGCGCCGCATTCTACGAATACCTGTGGGAAAAATGACGACGTTGTAGGCGATGCCAAGAAGAAGGAGGAGGAGCGCGCGGAGATGGCGGCGGACGCGGTCGCGGACAAGGAGAGGCGGGAGATCGACTGCGTGATTCGGTGCGCGGAGTTCGGCTTAGCGGTCGTCGCGGCGCCGCCTCTGCCCGACGGCGCGACAGACGAGGACCGCGAGCGGCTCGAGGACGAGGACCTCGACGCGCTCTACGGACTCTCCTAGGCGCGCGCGTCTCTCCGGGCGGGAGTTGTGTAAGATGTAAATTATATACTACGGCCGAGACAGCTCGGTGGCGGGGCGCGATATAACTCGCCGCCGCCGCGCGCCGCCGGCAGCACAGGACGCTCTGGTCGCATGGACGCCCTGTATGTCTTGTATCGCACACCATCGGCAAGTCGTCAACTGTCAACGCGCTGGGCCGGTCGGGCTGCTGGTACGGGGCCTCCGACGCATTTGGCAGGCTTCGACGCGAAACGAATGAAATTGTGGGGGCCTTCCAACGCCTCCGCGCGTTCACAGACAATCGAGCTAGCGTTCGTACAGTCCGATGAACGTTTTTTTCGATGGCGTCGAAGCGCTACGCGCCCGCTATGCGTATCTCTCCGGTGGCGGATGCACGGCGATTTGTGGGGGTCGTCGCGGCGCATTTCGCGATGTTGCCAGAGTGTTCTTATCGGCGTGTGCGTAAATATGTCATGGGTTTCTCACGTACTGATTGTGGCACTTGAATTTGCTGCGGCATCCAAAATAACGTGTCAGGGACATCCGCATCAGGTAGTTGGTAGTCGACCTTCACCCGGCGGCGGTATTCAACATTGCGACGGGCTTCGCCGCGCGAATAGCGTTTCCCTCGATCGCCAGGTCCACGGACACGGCGTTCTGCCGAAGAGAAGTCATCTACATATGGCATTGATGATCCTCCGATGTCATGGAACTTGGGATGCGAGCGCGGCGACGTCCGTGCGGGGCGCGACGCGGTGCGCGCGCGCGGCGTCGGCGACCGCGCGCTCGAGGCGATCGGCGCCGCGCGTTTTCTGGCCGTGGCGATTTTGTGAGGTGCGCGCGCGGGGGTTATTTGGGGTGTATCTACACTGGTCGACCAAGCTCAAGTGGTGAGTTTTCTGCTCGGCGGCCGCGCGCGCTTGAAGTTTCGGGGGAGTGGTGATCGGTACTCGCCTTATGAGCTTCCGACCTACTATCGAACGGCGGGTGAGGGACGCGTCTTTGGTCTGTCAGCTGACCTAGCGGCCTGTAAAGACACTAGCCATCGGCGGCGCGACCGATTGCGCACCACGGCTTTCGGCGACGACGTAGCCGGGGGGCAGGGCTCCCAAAGAGATCGAGTAGATGCCCCGGGAACCGGTCGAGGACTTCAAGCGCGGGCTGCGGAGGCAGCAGCTGTCCCGTTAGTGTAACTATATGTGATTTAGACTTCATCCGGCCCCAGCAGCTCGCAGAGCAGCGCCCCGCGGTCCCACGGCGACCCGACGAGCGCGCGCGTCCCGACGAGCGCGCCGCCCGAGACCTGGCCGCCGTCCGTGCGCACGATATCCCTAAAAGTCCAGCGCGAATCACCATAGCCTCGCACGCCGACGGCGCGGTCGTCCTTCGGAGACGGCGGCCGAGGCACGGCGAGCGTCAGCGCGCCGGCGACGGGCGGCTTTTGCGCGAGCGGGTCGAGGCACTGGTGTAATTTCGGCATCGAACCCAACAATAAAGACCCATCAGATAGCGCATACACGTTGTCCGCCGCGTGCGGCAATGATATGGTGTCGTTGACCACGAGCGAGCCGTCGCGCCGCCGCTCGTAGACCGTGACCGAAAAGCGCAGCACGTCCACCACGTAAATCATATTGCCGCGGAGCGCGATGCCGTTCGCCATGGCGTGGCGCGCCCCCACCGGCGAGCACGACGTCGCCTCGTCGTTAAAGACGCAGCGGTAGACGCGCGTCACGGGCAGGCGCAGCACGCTCGCGGCGAACTGGAGCGAGAGCTGGAGGCGCTCGAGGATTGACGCGCGCGCGACGCCCCGGACCGGCAGTGACCAGTAACGCCAGGTCGTCACGTAGACCTCATCACTGGCAACGGCCACGACCGAATTAGGCAGGCCGTGGCCATTGATGAATGGGTGCTCGACGCTTCTCAACCACTTCGCCCCCACCAACGTCCCATTATCAATACCTTCAAAAACTTCCAGCGAGCTCCCTTGCTCGACGCCGTGGTTCACGACAAAAATCTGCGGCTTGCGCACGTAAATCCCGTGGGGCCGGAACTTCTTGTCCGACGGCCAGTCCTCCACCACCAACCGCCGCGCGCGCGGCTCGACGTCGTAGGTCGGCACCAGTCCAATATATTGGAGCGACTGGACGAAGGTCGACGTCTCGTCCGCGAGCGTCACCGCAAACAACGCTCCTTCATCATTACCGCCCTCGTAGAAGGCCGACCGCAGGCCGCCGGCCGTGACCACAGCTTCCGACGGCCGCCAGAGCGCGGCGTCCTCCGACGAACTGAACGAAGCGCTCCCCGCGAGCTGGCGGCAGTTTTTTGAGGTGGGCGCTTCCCCTAAAAAGTAGCCGAGGTCGCTCGCTGTTTGATAGGCGCCCGCGACCATGACCATGAGGACGGCCAGCGAGGCGAGGCCGCGCACCAGCCCGAGGGCCTTCTCGCGGCGCGCGCGGCCCGGCGACGGCGCCGGCCGGCCGCGCCAGCGCGAGAAGGCCCCCCGCGTCGACCGCTTCGCGGGCAGGCGCGCCAGTAAACGCGCCGCGGCCTTCTTCGCGCGGTCGCGGCCCGCTTCTAATCGAGCTTTGGTCTCCTTGAGATCGGACGCCGCTCTTTCCCTCGCCTCGCGGATGCTCTGCAAATCTTCCCGGTGCCGCCGCCGCGTCGCCGAGGCCTCCTCCTCAAGGGCCTTCACGCGCGCGTCGGCGTGGAGCTGCGACCGCCGCCTTCTCCACCCCTGCGGCGACCCGGGGCTCCTCCTTTTTAACGGCTCGGAATCCAGGGACGAGGCCGGGCTCGGCCGCGTCGCGTCGCTCGACGTCACGACAGGAGGTTTCGTGAGAGGCTTCTCGGGCGGCCACTCTTTTGCTGGAGGCGCCGTCGGCGGGCTCTGCGACCGCGAGGGCGGCGGCGAGATGCGCCGCGCCCGATCTAGGAGAGAGGGCCGCGGCGAGCCCGCGCGCGGACTCCCGGAAGACGGCTTCGAACCGAGCGCCGTGGCGAGGGGCCCGACGGGCGTCCAGACCTCGGACGGCGCGTCGTGCGACTCGCTCGCGCGGCGCTCGTCGTCGTTGTTCTCGCGCGGGTCCTCGGTCATGGAACTCTCGGAGCTCTCGTCGTCGTCGAGGGACCCCGACGTGACGGGCGCGCGGTGCGCGCGGTGCGTCGGCGGCCGCGCGCCCGGCGGCGTCGTCCGCGGCATGGGCGGCGGCGGCCGCCGCGGCCGGCGCCGCTGCTCCGCGGCCTTGATGGCCTCGAGGGCCGTGGGCGAGAGGTTCTCATCCACCGGAGCGCGCGGCGCCTTCTGCGGCGTCGGCAGGCGGCTCGCGACGTCCTGCTCGTCGTCCGTGAGGGACATCATGTCGGGGTCGCGTTCTAGGACCATTTTTTCTCGATTTGTGCGTTTCGAGGCTGCGTTTCAACGCTGCGTTCGCGCGCGACGCGGCGACGAATTCCAATTGTTTCGCCTGCCACTGGGCCTTCGTTTTTAGGCTGCTGTCGCTCTTGCGGTTGTACTTTTTGTCGGGCGAGCGACACTTGGCCGAGAGGATTGTGTCTCGGTATAGTATCGGTAAGCAGACACGTATGTACTCGGCTGTCAGGACGCGCGGCCGGCCAAGCAGTTGAGATTATGTAGCGTGTGTCGACACTCTAGCACGGTTCTGAAAGGGGCTTTAGCCCTGTCTGGCTGCCCGCCGTGCCCGGGGACGATGCGGTTGACGTCTTTAGCAATCGCAGCAATCGTAGCAAGGGAACCCGCACGTCCTCGGTTTAGTCCACTTGTGGCTGGCATTTCGCGCTGAACGCGGACTCATTTGCACGCAGCGACCGGACGCGGCGCCAGCGACCGCGTACGCACGATCTGAAGCAGCCCCACGCCGCACAATGGCCGCCGCGGTGGAGACTGAGGCCCAAAAATACATCCGAGAGAATGGTTTGGCACCTCGCGCCGTCCCGGAGCTCGACGAGGCGCTGAAGGAAGCCCTACGAGGCCCCAAAGTGACCCAGTGCCAGGGCTGGGACGGCCAGGGCCGCCTCGCGCCCTACGCCGAGCTCAAAGAAACGATGACGCAGACGTATCGATTGTTGGGCGAGGAGTGCGTCGTGCAGGGATGCACGAACAAGGTCGACGCCCCGAAGTACGTCATGGAGCTCGTGGGCGGGCCGGTCTGCATGGCCTGCGGCCAGAAGATCGTGCTCCAGGAGTTCCGCGGGAAGAGCAGTAAGCCGTTCGAACCGGAGTTCGAGCAGCCGACGCACGAGGACATCGTCCGCGCCAAGGAGGCGGGGCTGAAGCTGCCGGCCTGGGCCGAGGAGGCGCTCGCGGCCGAGGGCGGGTGAGGGCGCGCGCGTAAGTTCTTGGGTCTGTGTCGGATCGTTCCATCGGTACTGCGACGCGTCGGCGCCGGACGGGTGGGTGCTCGTGAGGCCTCTCGTTCGTCTCGTTCGTCGGGACTCGGGAGTAGGGGGATGAGCGGGCAGCCTGCCAACTTTTTATTGGACACCGGCAGCGCCGTGCATACGAAGGCAGTGAAAAGGCAGTGCTCTATCCAAGGCGAGGGGAGGAGTACCTTCATCAAAGGGCAGCCTCGCACCAGGACTTGGGCACGGCTAACTCATGGGCCTCTGCCTAAACCGACCCGCGGCCGCCGTCGCGCACCAGGACGACAGCGACTCGGACCTCGACGAGGCCGAGGCCGACTACTGGCTGCCCCGGGGGTCTGTCTACGGGAGCTGGCGCCTGCGCGAGAAGCCGGACCTCGCGAGTGAGGTCATAGGCGTCGTGAGCGAGGGCGAGCGCTTCCGCGCGGTGCCCGCGGAGGTCGGCGGCTGGCTCGAGGTCCGGCGCGAGCCGCCGTGCTACGCGCGGCGGCGCGATCGAGGCGAACGGCGGCTGCGGCTCGTGGCCTGCGCGAGGCCGGCCCGCCTGCGGCCGCGCGTGCTGGAGGAGGACGTCGCGCCGCCGGCGCCGCCCGCGAGTCCCGGGACCGACGGCGGAGATGATGATGACGCCGCCGCGCCGGCGCCCGCCGCCGCCGATGATAAGGACGGCGCCGCCGTCGCATCATTATTACAGGCGCGGAAGGTGGCCTTCGAGGCGGCGACCGGCGCCACGCGCGTGCGCCTGGGATTTAGGCTGGAGGCGACGCGGCGCCAGCTCGCGGGCGTCGCGGGCTTCTCTGAAGAACAAATAGACCGCGCCTTCGAGGACGGCACGGCGCCGGGAAGACCAAAAGCATGTAGGGAGACGCCGCCAGGCTTCCCCCGGGGCTTCGCGAACGCGCGCGCGCGGACCTGCTGGTTGTCTGCTTTAGCTCAAGCGCTCTGGCACGACCCCGGCTTCCGCGCCGCCTTCGACGCGGCGCTCGCGACGACCGAGACGCGGGAGGCGACAAAGCCGCCGCCGCCGCGGTCGCCGGCCGCGAAGGTTGATGCATTGAGACGCTGCTGGGCCGCCTTCCATCAAAATGAAGGCATTTTGAAGGCGGACGCGCTCGCCGAGGCGTTTGGGGACGTCGCGGACCCGGCCAACGGCTACGGCGACGCCTCCGAGGCCTACTGCGCGCTGCGGTCGGCCTTGGATGTGAGCGACTCGCCGGCCATGAGGGAGTGCGGGGCGGGGTTGAGGTATGCGCCGTTGATGGCTTCCAAGCAGGCGCCGGCGTTCGCGGACGTCTGGAGCGAGCTCGGGCCGGTCTTCGATCTGGAGGGAGGCACGCTCGTCGCCTTCGACCTCCCGTGGCCGCCCTTGGACGTGCCCTCCGTGCGCGCGTTGGTGCTTGCCTGCGGCGAGGCGCCGGACGGCTACGCGCTCTCGTCGCTGATCTGCTACCACCACTCGACGCGGCACTACGTCGTCTTCGTCCGCGTGGACGGGAGCTTCCTCTACTTCAACGACCTCCACCACGACGCGGCGCACCAGCACCTCTCTCTTGAAGCGGTGAGCGCGCTGTGCGGGGACCGGTTCCTGCAGCCGCGGCTGGCGCTGCACGGGAGGGCTGTGTAATACATATGTTTGTTGTACACTTCTTACACACAGCTCTTCGGAGGACAGGCTCGGCGCACTTCGCGGCGCGAACCAGAGAGTTCAAGACGCCGTCATCGCGTGAGGACGTATGCACCGGGCCCCCACGGCGAGCAGGCGCGGCGCGGGTCGGCGCCCAGCGCGTCGAGGCCGAGAAATCCGCCGCCCCGCGTCCAGCAGGAGAGCTCCAAGGTAGTTTGGTTGACGACCGCCGGATTGCCCGCGTATCCGACAACCACAAAAATTCCTCCTGGCCTAATGAGTGCGGAGGCGCGCTCGAGATATATTTCCATCACTTGTCTCGCGGCGGAACGCGCCGCGGGATCGATGCCCGGGCCCGCCTGGAGGACATCTAGGACTCCTTCGTCCAGCACAAGCGACGCGTCCCTTCGGAATTGTCCCGGTCGCGTCAAATCCGCTCTCACGTACCGAACGATGTCCCATCCGCGACCGCCGTGGTCGAGCGCTTTCGCGTAGCGGCTCATCGCCCTCACGGCCGAAATTGAGCTATCAATCCCGTAGACGCGTCGGAACGCTCCGGTGCGCGCCAACCAATAAGGCGTCTTCGAAAAGCCGCTGCCGAGCACCACGGCGTCGCCGAGCGCGCAGCTTCGAGTGTAGTTCTTCGCGATGTCCTGGGCGATCGCGCGGCCGATGGGGCCGAACCAGCTCGTCCCGGGCTGCAGCTTGGCCAGTTGATGGTGCGCCTCCCACCACTCGGGGCTGCTCATCGCTGCCTCGCGTACGGTCGCTTCGAGGAGGCGGTCCGCACTGGCCAGCCCGACTGCTAGATACAAGGCAATCCCGGCACGCATGACGCACCCCGATATGTCGTGTTGTAGACCGCACTGGCGCGTTGGCGACTCAGGTCGAAGTAGCGTTGTCTATCATTCGAACTGCGCGATAGTTCCATCAATTTCCGGCGCTCCGCCAGCTTGGCTTGCAATGCTGCTGCGCGGGCGGCCTCGTCGTCCTCGGCAAGCGCTGGCAGTGCGACTGCAGCCCCAGCACTACTACCAAGCAGGAGCTTGCGGCGCGTTGGAGACCCTGATAGTGACCGTACCGATGCCAAAATAGCTATGAAGACTGAAAATTGCATGAATGCGACAAATGACGGCGAATCGACGGCTTTGGAGATGGGCAGAGCTAGCGTCAGTAATACACACTAGAAACAGAGCAGATTTTTGCTGTGGGGCTGCCCCGCGGTGAACGAAGTGCGCTGCTCGCAAATTCATTCGACGGCGCTGCCCCGCGGTGTCAAATGAGTGCCCTCACCGAAGTCTCCGAGGCCGATGAGCTGAAGGCAGCCGTGGCGGCCACCGGCGAGCCGCGCTTGATCGCGCTGCTGGAGCGCCTAGCAATCGTCGAAGGCAAACTCGCGGACGGCGGCGGAGACCTGCGGGCCGCCATCGATGCGTGGACTCCGCCGACGACCAGCGGGCAAGCCGCCAAGACGCGCCTCGCGGAGCTGCTGACGCGGCTCGAGGCTGTCGAGGGACGCGAGGCCGCGCCGAGCAAGGTTGACCCCGCGGTCATCGCCGCGCTGAAAAAGGAGCTTGAGAACGCGTGCATGGCCCACAACTTCTCGCCCAAAAGGGCGGGCCGGCCCTCGAACATCGAGAAGGACTTCCAGGCGTTCAAGGAACGCCTCAACACCAAAGCCGTGGCGCGCAGTGCATATAAATCAAATTGTCGCGGCGCGTCTCGGCCACTGCTGAATCATGACCTTCACGCCATCGACGCGACGCCAGCTCGATGGCGTGGTGGTGTGGTCTTACGCCACTCGATTCAGATATATCACGGAGCACCCGACTCACTGTTTGATTTGTGCGCAGGTCGCGCCGCTCAACGCGATCAAGAACCAGGGCAAGGAGGAGGGCACCGTAGATAGACCCTTCGACCCCGAAGAGCTGCCCGAGGTCGCCGCGGCGGACAAGGCCTGCCGGACGGCGATGCGCTTCATGCGGAAATTAGATAGGCTCCGGGGCAACTTCGATCCTAGGGATAGCGAGGCCGACGCCACGGCGGCCTCAACCAAAAATGCCGCGACGGCGGCCCTCGAGGCCTGCGCCGCGGGCGCGCCCCTCGACGCGGCGCGGGCCGCCGTCGACGCGGCGCGGTCGGCCTACGGCCTGGCCGCGCAGGCCGCGACCGCGAACTCGGTGGCGCGCAAGTCCGCGGAGCGCGACGCGTGCGAGGAATTGAATTCGGCCATCGAGGCCGCTGTGGCGGCTGTCGCGACCGCGCTCGCGGCGCACAAGAAGGCGTCGAGCGCGCCGCCCGTTCCGCCGCCAGCTGCGGCGCCGGCCCCGGTCCCGCCGCCCGCCGCGGCGAAGCCTCCCGCGCGAAAGCTGGACGTCCAGCTCTCGACGCGCAGCACGGCGCTGGCGAACGCCCTCGACGACGAATCCACGAAGGGGATGTCAGCGGTGCAACGGCGGATCAAGGCGATCGAGGACAAAATGAAGGGGAAGAAGTAGAGAGGGGTAACGTGAGTGAAGAGAAAATAAACTTTAAAGATGGGTGTGCGCAGCGTCGCCGTCGCCGGGCGCGCGCGCGGGCAATGGTTCAGATCTTGGGCAGCGGCGGGTTCGCCGCCAGACTGGCCCGTTTTGGTGGCGGCGCCGCGGCCGGCGCGCGGTCCGCTTCCGACGCCTCCGGCAGGTTCAGTCGAGCTAATGCGTCTCGTATAGCTGTCACGACGACCTGTGTGGAAATCAAAATTTTACGGCGCGTTCGTGCTGAGTCATCGCGTCGTCCTCCACGCCATCGACGCGACGCCTGCTCGATGGCGTGGCGATGCCGGTTCCTCACCGCTCGACTGAGCCAGGACGGCCGCGTCATCCGACGCACTGGTTGATTTCCACACAGACGACGACCTTGTCCTTCTGCGCGAGCGCGCACTCGCCCACCAGCTTCGACCGCGACCACACGCGGAACGCGTCGTCGGCGGCCTTGGCCTTGTCGCGATCGGAGACCGTCGTCAGCCGGCCCACCGCTGATAAAGATGCCCGGTAGAAGGGGAACGGCAGCTTCTCGAGGATCTTCGCGTCGTGGCCGTGTCTAGCTGCTAATTCCGAGAACTTCGTCGTCCAGCGCTCGTAGGCCACGGACTCATAATGTAACACTACCGCGATGGACGGCGGCAGGTCGCGCGTCGCGCCATTTAATGAATCTCCCCTGAAATGGTGCGGGCCGTGGGCCCGCAGACCGGGAGCACCCACCCTTCCAAAGCTCTTGCCGTTCGTGTACGACGCGAATTTCGAGGTGGACGCGACAAAAGTGACGCACTCCTCAAAAGGTTTAGTACATGAAGGCGCCGGCGCGAGCGCTTCCAAATTCTTGATGTGCGCGTCGCAGCATTGTGTAGGTAACGCTGACAACGCGGCGTGCATAGCACCAGCACCGGCCGGGCAGTGCAGCATCTCGTCGTCGTCCACATGGAGCAGCCATTCAATCCCGTGCGCTTTTGCCCTTTCGACCGCACACGCGACATTCACGGCCTGGCGGTCCATCTGCACGAAGTAATCTCTATGGGTTTTGGCGACGAAGGTCGCATCCACACAACCGTTCCAGGGCGGTCTCAAGAGTAGAGCAGCTAATTCGGGAGTATCCTCAATTTGTAAAAAAAACTTCTCGACGCCCACTACTCTTCTGTGATACGCGAGCCACTGTTCCAGGTCCGCCGGCCGCTTCGTCATGGAAACAATACCTAACCGCACCTTCTGGGCGTCGTCGACCGGTCTCGCGCCTTCTAAGCTCACGACCTTGGCCTCGCTCGGCCGCATGTAGTAGGCTTGTTGTGATGTTGTGTGGTAGAACTTCTTGGCTCCGCTCTTCGAGGACGCCATCTTTGTTGGGTTGTGTCGACGGCGTTTGCGTTTTGCGAATCCGCGCGGTGAGGTTTTTTATGTGTCGGTTCGCCTCAACGACAGTACAGGGTGAGCGCTGTGAAAATCGCTGGGGCGCGTTGCGCGTGCCTCTACAGGACTCCCTAGGAGTGGGCTCGATCCTGCCAACGGCCGCTGCCGCCCGGCTCGCGCTGGCCTAGACCAATTCAGACGGCTGCCGCCGCCGTCGGCAGTCGTACCAAGGGCACAGCGGCACGTTTTACCGCTCAGCGGCCGAGGCGTGAGCAGCTACCTGTAACATACTAGGGATACCCCCCGGGGAACCTGCGACGTAACAAGCCTGAGCCTGAGCCTACCGGCACCGTCCACGCCGTCTCCACCCAGGGGCTCCGCCAACTAGTCCTTCACCGTAACAATATATATCCGTCCACGCCGTCGCAGCGCGCCCCTGTGCCGCCGCCGCGCCGCCCGTAGTGTACAGTACGGGGCAGATCGGGACTAGTGGGGCACCGGAAGGAAGGAAGAAGGAAGAATGGTGTGTAGAAAGAAGCTTAGCCCCCAGTTGATCACGCGTAGGCCGAGAACGTGAAGATGTTCTTGTCGGCCGCGGGCAGGTTGTGGCGGAAGCGCGCGTTCGAGTAGAGGATCTTGCGCACGGACGACTTCCAGACCGGCGTCTTTCTCAAATCACTTTCGAGCTTCCAGTTCAGCTGCTCGAAGAAGTCCTGCTCGATGACCTTGCAGATGTCCTTGAAGTCGCCGTGCTCGTCGGGCAGCTTCTTGAGGGCGTGGGCGATCATGTCGGAGTAGGTCGCGCCGCCGGGCCGCGCGGCGACGTCGGCGTCGGCCGGGGCGCCTCCACTTGCCTTGTCGGCCCAGGCCTGGCCCTGGGGCGGCCGCGGCGTCGGCAGGGCCGCCGTGGCCGGCTGGGGCTCCGTGTTCTTGGGCTGCGGCGGCGGGCGCGGTCTGGGGGGAGGCCGCGGCGCCTTGGCTTGGGGCCGCTCTCGCAACACATAGCGCAATGACACTCTTCTATGAGGCGTCCTTCCACTGTCGTCCTCGTCGTCCTCGAATTTCAGGACGACTTCCCTAGGTGGTGAACCGCCCGGCCCGCGCTTGGGGGCCTTCGAGACCATCGCGCGGTAGAACGACGTCGTCTCGGGGAAGATTGCTACCACTCTCTCACCCTTCTGCAATTCATCTAAGTTGTCATCCGCAACGCCCAGTCTGCGGATGCGCGACGCCGGCAGCTCCAAGATCTTCTGGTCGTCCTCGTCCTGCACCGCGTAGGCGTCGGAAGTAGCGTCATAACGCACGACGCTCGCTAGAATCCAGGACCCGTTCTCGTCCGTCGTACTGACCTTGGCCGCGACCTGCTCGTGGACGCGCGCGACGCCCGTGTCGTTCTCGCCCGCCCTGGCCGCGTCGACGTCATCAAGATGCTCGAAAAACCGGGCCACGATGGCCTCCTCGTCGACGGGCGTCGCCTCGAAGTGCTTGGCTACTACTTTTGCTAGCTCGCTGTCGGGCGCGTCCGGGGCGGCATCCAAGCGGTAGCGGTTCACGTACGTCCTTAAAGCTTCGGGGCCGAGCTTGCGGAAGTCGATGCCTAGCGTGCTTGGATACCTGTGTGGTGTCGATTCGGTGACGGCGTTGCGTCGATTCGGTGCCGGCAGGCCTCGATCGGTGCCGGCGGGCGCCCCGTTTCTTGTGTTTCTTTTAGCGGTGCGGTGTCGGACGACTTCGTTTTTTTGGGCCATCCGGGCCGCGGATTTGGGCCAGCGGCCCAGCGGGCCTGGAAGAACCAAATACAGCTCTATGGGCCCTTGCGCAATTGCGGCGCGCGAATTGTGCCCGATTTACTTTAATCTTGACGTCTCTGCTCTCGTTTACAGAGGGGATTGCAACCTCCGTTCTCCTTTGCGATTGAATCTACACTGCAACACGAGCCTCTCATGGCGAGTGCCCAGTAAATTGCTCGCCATGGCACGAGCACGGGCACAGCGACGGCGGGCTGATCACAGTGCCTGTTTTTGGCTCACACAGCGTCTGCTCTAAAAACGCCTCTATCACTCGTCTACGGCCGTCCTTTAGCCTGCGTCGACGGCTCAGAGAGGTACTCGCGCCGAAAACCAAGCCGAAAAACCCGCACCACATTCGATGCACGGAATAGGCGCCGCGGCGATCATGTTGCGGTCCTCCGAGTCGCCGCGGCAGTCTTGAGCACAAGAGCGTGGTTATTGCGACCGTCGCGTCCGGACTCGCGGGCTCTGCGCAACCCCATCGACGCCATCGAGGCGACGCAAGGCAACGCGTCCGGACTCGCGGGCTCTACGCAGGCCGATCGACGCCATCGCGGCGACGCAAGAGGCAAAAACAAGTAGACTATAACTTCAAGTTCAGTTAGACACGCGCCGGACCTACTGCCGCCACCCGTCCATCGCATGCGCACTACTTCCATCAAGGTAGTCCGACACGAAGCGCGCCTCGAACTTTAGAGAGGTCATCTCCGGGTACAGGTCCCCCACTAAACCAGTGGCGTAGGCCTCGACGCCGACGCGGTTCCGCGCGGGGCCCATGTACTTGATTCTAACAATACCATCGGCCGCCTCCAATAAAGAACAGCCCGACAGGATGTCCATGGCCGGTCTGATGCGCTCCACCACGTCCAGATCCAACTTCCCGTACGTAAACTCCAACGTAGGTTCAAAAAGACCCTCGGGCACGGAGTAGCCCCGATGATCAAACCGCTCCCAGCCCTCCTCGGTCTTCAGCCTTTCGCCGTCCTCGAACTGCCACCAGTCCGACTTTATGTGGATGCGCGACCACGTCGCGCCGCGCGACGCGGGCGGGTTTCGGAAGTCGACATCGGCGGGATCGACCTCGTCCCACCTCGGCTTGAGGAACTCGGGCTCGTCGTCGACGACCGGTTCGGGCTGGAGTTGGTCGAGATCGTCCGCCAGGTATTCATCACCACCGGCTAAGGCCTGGCGCTCCTCCTCCGCGGCCGCCGCTCGTGCCTCCTCGTCGTCCGCTTCGATCCTCGCGAGGTGGGCGTCCCAGTCGAACTCCTTCAAAGGGCCATCTTCGTCGCGCGCCGCGCGCTCCTCCGGCGTCTCGACGGGCGCCGCGACCATCTGCGGCTCTACCACCGCCTCTTCGACGACCGTCTCGGCCTCGGGCGGCGTGGCGTCGCTGAAACGGACCGTCCGGCGCCGCGGCGGCTGCGGGCACTGCAGCGCGCTTGCGCTGGATAAGACTGCTAGCGCCCGCCGTCGTGCTCCGCGGCGATGGCGTGCCATTGTGAAGTTGTGTTGGCGAGACCGCTGCACACAAAAGTAAGCGAGTCGCGGCGCGCAGCGCGATCAATAAGACAGCAGTACGACTCGCGGGCGTCTGCCACGCGTGAGTACGTGAAGTACTGGCTGGCTGGCGCTCCGGGCCTCAACGATCACTAGCGTCTTAGACGCACTAGCTTTCTAGCTCGGCTTGGCATCGGCACGGATATAGATGGCCTTGCGTACAGCATGCACGCGTAAACACGCTAAGTGTAAGCTCTGACGGTGCACGCAGCACTGCGCCAAATTTGAACCAACAGCGAGCGCTGGAACCTGCTCTCTGGACACCACAAAAATGAGCAGCTACTTCGACCTCAGCAAGCTCACCGACGAGCTCACCGAGCAGACCACTCAAACCTTCCCGGCGACCGCCGCGGCGCTGGGCTACCCGACGCCGCTGCGGCGGACCTTCTCCGAGGACGACTTGACGGAGGAGAGCGACGAGCAGCCGCCGGCGCCGCGGCGCTTCGAGCGGCCGAGCGAGAGCGAGGGCTGGACGGCCGACGAAGGGACGCAGCGCGACGCGCTCTGGAAGGTTTTGAGTGATACGGCGAAGACGGAGCTGAGGCGGGACGACCTCCTCTTCCTGCGGTTGGTGAGGGGCTTTCGAAGAGCCGACGGCGAGCGCAAGCGATGTATTATAGAGGAGGTCACGACGCTAAGGGCCAGATATAGAACGACGCCCGAGCCGCCGCTCGGCGGGTCCCTGTCGCCCACGGACTTTCACAGAGCGATCTGGCCGACGGAGATCGTGGGACGGGACCCGTGGGGCCACCTGATTGTGGTCGAGCGGGTCAAGGACGTGGACTTTGACCGATTGCTGGAGATGCCGATCGATGCTGTACTAAGGCTGCGCGTGCAAGCATTGGACGCGCTCCAGCGCCTGTCCGCGTGTCAGAGGAAGCGGGGCCCGCACCGCGTCTACAAGTGCGTCTTCGTCTGCGACTGCGAGGACGCGTCCTATGCTGCTCTTGCAAGGAGAGAAACGGTGTCGCTGGCCTCGGCCTACGCGCGCCTCACGGAACGGATGTACGCGGACGCCGTCTGGCGCAACGTCGTCATCGACGCTCCTTTGGTCGCGAGAGCAGCGTGGCGCGTCGTCGAGCCCATCCTCGACGCGGAGACGAGGGAATTGCTGCAGTTTGTCGTGTGCGGCGGCGCCGACCCAGCCGCGGCGCTCGAAGAAGTCGGCGTGCCGCGGCGCGCGTTTCCTCGCACCGCCCGGGGCATCGCTCTCGCCGACGTGATTGCTGGCGGCGAACAGGATGCTTCTGAGAAATTAGACGCCATGGACGCGCGCGCCGCGCCGCCGCCGCCGCCAGAACCTGCCAAATCGTTCCGCTGGTGGCCCGTGCAACTGTTCCTCGCGCTCCTGCTCGCTGTGGACTTGTACCTCGTCGCGTCGCGGCGGTCCCTCGCGACGACCGAGGTCGCCGCGGTCGACGCGCTGGACGCGGGGGCGCTGGCCGAGGTCGAGGTCGATTCTTCTCCAGCGGAGGAGTTTTAATAATATGATTGTGATGAATCCTGGTGTGTTGCTACATTTGTCTCGTCGTAGAGCCGTACGACCCGCACATTAGTCTGAGAGCTTGCAAGCTTGTCGAGTGCAGCCGGGCTGCACCTCGGAGCGAGCGGTTCCAATCTCGCATCGCTGCTCAGAAACTCAAGCGATCAACTATCAATCGGTTCGCGCTGTTTCGCCGCATCGATTCCTCAAACTTGCCACCTTGGGTGGTGCACTGGCTGCAAGCTGCCCTCAAGGGCGCATCAATGGATGACGCGCTAGCTGCCGCGGCCGCGCCTCTCGGCGGGAGCTGGGTGCCTCCGCCAGTAAAACGGAAAGCAAAAAAACACAAGAAAGCAGGCAAAAAACGGCGGCGCGACGATGTAGACGGCTCATGCATCGCCGCGCGCGCGCTCGCCGGCGGGTTCGTGCGCATTTCTGGACTCCTGCCACCGGAGGCGGCCGCTGCCGCCGCGGACCTCGTCAGGCAAGCGCCAGAGGAGGCCTGGCGCCGCTCGTCGGCCAAGACAGACGCAAAGGCCCACGGCAAAAAAACGAATACGACGCGGCACAGCTACGCCGTCGGCGACGGAGGCGTCGACGCGCCGGACGCCGACGTCGAGGCGCTAATACAGAGCGTGCTCGAGAGCGTGGCCCCGAGCGAGTGGCTGCGGGCGCGTCGGCTAGTCCCGCGGCTGCAGCTCGGGCGCTACGGCCGAGGCGACCACATCGTCAAACACGACGACGCCGCCGTAGTTGAGATAGACGGCGTGCCGCACGAGCGCCGAATAGCGCTCGTGTACTACCTGACGGGCGAGCCGACCTGGGACGCCTCGCTCGGCGGGCTCTTCGTGGACCACGCGACGGGTCGGCGCCTCGCGCCGGTCCACAACACGCTCGTCGCGTTTCGCGTGAGAGCTGTGTGGAAGTCAACCAGTGAGTTAGATTATCCTGAGAAATATTGCGTGGACCTTTGTGACGCTCCACGCCATCGAGCCGACGCGATCGGCGACAACGTCGCGTCGATGGCCTGGAAACTTCACGCCATCGAGCAGACGGAGCTACGGAGAAAATATCGCGCCGATGGCGTGGGGCGCCCGAAATTTGATTTCCACACAGGTGCCGCGCCTCCACGAGGTCACGAAAGTGACGGGAGACCGGTCGCGCTACTCCATCTTCGGGTGGCTCTACGCGCCGCGTAGTAGTAGATAACATATCCCGCCGACGGGATATGTTAATCGACGGGTCATGTTATAGATAATTCAATTAAAGCACAGCCCCAGGCCCTCAGTGTCGCAGTTCACGACTGCGACACCGGAGGCGGCGGGTGCGCGTCCCGCACATCCACCAGATCGTGCAAGGCGTCGAAGTCCACTTGACAGCTTCCATTGGGAAGCCTCGTGACGCACGGCGCGAAGGCAGCGTCCCAGGCGATGTCGCTCTGCGCGAAGTCGTCCCAGGCGTTTAAGGGAGGCGCCTGGTACGAGTGGAGCCCGCGGACGCACGTCGACATGATCGAGTCCTCGCCCTCCACCAAGCAGATGATCTCGACGCGCGACTCGGACATGTAGGCCTGCGATGGCGGCACGCGTCGACGGCGTCGAGGCGGTCCCCAATAGTATGTACGACGCCGCACGACGACCTTGATCACCTCAGGGTCATGCGTCGACGGCTTCGGGCAGTCGAGCGGCTCGTTCGGATGCTCGTCGGCGTGGTGGAGCCGCAGGTCCCGAATCGTTTCAAAACCTTGCCCACAGATCTTGCACCGCCGCGACGTCCTATACCCCGCCTCCGCGTCGGACGCGCGCCGCAGCGGCGCCGGGTACCGATACGCGTACTCGGCGAAGTCCGCGAACGAGGCCGCGTCGTCGACGACCGACGTCTTGCGCGGCGCGTCCCCTCGTTTACGGCGGTAGTAGGCCTCGACCCACCAATCCGGGGGGACCAGTGGAGACCACGCATCCAACCGGTGCACGACGAGCGACGGCAGCGACAGGAAGAGCATCGCGCCCATCTCGTCGTCCGGCTTCTCGAGGCGCATGGCGCAGGGCTGGAACTCGACCCGTCTACCCCAGGCGTCCGTCTCGTCGCGCACGGCGTAGCACCGCACATGGGCTTCCACCAATGGATGTTTTTTTTGTTCTACCACTTGAAAGGCAAGGAAGAGCTCGCCGTGGACGCGGTGGATGACCGCGCGGTCCGAGAACAGAATTGACGTCGCGCGCCGCCGCCCAGAGGAAATGTGGCTGTAGACGATGCCCAGACTAATACAATCGAGGAGGATCGAGACGATGGACTCCAGGAAGATCAAGACCGAGGCCTCCCAGCAGTTGTCGAAGAACACGTCGCGCGTCCCGTAGCCGATCGTCATTATGGTGAACGTAGAGAAGATGAACGCGTTGTTAAAGTTCCGGATGCCGACGTCGCAATTCTTGCTCGCCGCCCACCAGAGCAGCGCGAAGAATATGCAGTTGACGAGGTACAGTAATGTAAGTCCGGGGATGATCTTGCGCAGAGGGGCTTCCACAATCGAATGGAACACGTCGCGGTACGCAAGCCGGTTCGACACGTGCTGCCGCACGATGCGGATCTTGCCGCGCGACTGCGCGAAGGCGTCGAGGCGGTCCACAAGCCGGTTCTGCTTGTCCTTGCACCGCATGATCTGTTTGTCCTTTACGCTTGCCGTCCGCGTACAGTCCGGGTCCAGCGTGCTGGAACTGCGCGTGAAATTGTCGAGGAAGCGCATCGTCGTTGATCGTACTTTTTCGATCGGCCGCGTCTGCGGCGGCGTTGCGCGGCGGGACCAGTGCGGCGGCAGCTGGGACTCCGAGCGCTGGCGCGCCACCGGTCGGAACCCGATGTTCGAGTCGCTCATGCTGGACATGTTGGACTCCAGGTCGTAGCTCGGCGGGGGCGGCGGCTCGTCGCGCTTGGCCTCTTGCGCCATGATTCGCTCAGTTAGCCCGTGACAGTCTTGGTGCAAAATGCGGTCGCGCGTCTGATATATAGTTCAGATGCAGCGATTCGCGCGCCAACGCTCCTGCAGTTGCTGTGTGAGGCGCTCTGAGTGGCCCTTGTTTTAAAGAGGCAATAGATGCGCTGTGAGGTGAGCGCAATCGATGCGCACACTATTGATTGGTAAGACTGCTGCCTTCCGACCAGCGACAGCGAGAGAAGCGCAGCGGTACGCGCGCTTGGCGCTCTGCGCTTTACGTAAAGTTACGGTGGGCTAGCGGCATGTAAGACACTAGCAAACGGACAAGTCCGTATTCGACGCCATGGGCGCGACTACGAGCCTCGAGAGAGACGACTACGAAGAAGTTACGACCTTCGGCCGGAGCGCCTCGTAGAGGAAGAACTGCGACGCGCAGACGAGCGCGCACATACATGCCCGCGGGTAGAGGCCGACGAAGAGCTGTGCCGGGTTTGTAATCGACGACAGCACCGCGCCGACCGACGCGTCCTCCAAAGCACACACACCGGTCAGCCGCGCCTGGGCCGAGCCGCCGCAGAGCCGCGCGAGGACGACGTCGCCGGGCTGCGACACGACGGCCGCCGCGCTGCCCGCCAAGACACCGGCGGCCAGCGGATTCCGCAAATGCTGGGAGATGACCTCGTAGCCCGCGAGCTTGGCTACCGTGTATGGTACTTGTCGTACCAAAATGGGCGCGACGCCCTGCCACAGCGACGTGACGCCGTTCTCGGAAATGACCCGTCGGAGCGCGCCGAGCGTCGACGAGGCGTAGAGCGGGTCCGTCACGAGGCGAATTTTGGTGGCTTCCATGGGGCACAGGGCCAGACAGGCCACGACCTCGGCGCAGGCCGACGACGCGACCCAGACCGGCACGCGGTGCCGCGTCCGCCCGTCGACGCCCCGCGCCTCGAGCTCGCGGAAGATCCGCCGCTTGCACGCCTCGTACAGCCCGAATTTGATGGCGCCCTGCATGAAGTAGCCGCAGCCGTTCGCCGTGAAGCCCGCGAGCAGCGCGCGGGGGCCCTCCGCCGCGACGATGCGCCGGCAGACCGCCGCGAGGCTCATGCCCGCCAGCGCCGCGTCGCTCTGGATCCGCGTCTTGAGCACGTCGAGCGGCAGGGTCAGCGTGTGGCTCACGCACGTCGACAGCGCGCCGGCCGCGGCGCAGCCGAGCACGTACGGCTTTACTTTACGTCGCCGCGGCGCGAGCGCGACGGACGGGCTGAGCGCGGGGCCGCGCATCGGCGCGACGTTGGTTGCTATCAACGCGGCGAGCAGGCATCGTATCCGTGTCTTCATCGCTGCGAGCTGTGGCGAGGCTCCCGCCTTTCACTGTGCCTCGGCGAGGTGCACAAAACTGGCGCGCAGGCAGCAAATGCAAGACAGGGGCTCAAAAGCAGTCGTGGACGGCTCTATTCGCTGTGCAGTTCCACCAGGCAAGCAATATCGCGCGCAAATGACTTGGATTGCTGGCTGCCTCGATGATGGGGCGGTTTCAGCAGGACCTGTGATCCGAGCCACGTCACGTGTATGCGGGGGGTGAGGGAGTCTTCGAAGATATCAAACGTCCAGATCGCGCACGGGCGCGCTAGCGGCAGTAAGACACTAGGCGTCCAATAAGACTTAGTTGAGTCAATATTTTTGTTGGCATAGCCGTGCCGAGAGCTCGCCTCGTTGAGATGACATTCTCTCATCGAGTCATTCTGCTGCTCGCGCTGGTTCTAAAAATCTCCGGCGGCCTGCGCAGACGACCACTGAGGAGAGCACTCAGTGTGACACGCGGCAGCGGCGCCGATGCTGACGACGGCGAGCCCCGACCACAGGCGCTGCGAGCACTCGGCGTGCCACGCGGCGGCAATGATGATGAAAACGACGAGCCCTACGACGACGTCGACGACGAGCCGGATGACGACGACGACGACGAGGCTAGAGCCGCTAAAGCAGCACAAAGGTGGACGCGGCGCGCCTTCGAGGCCGCGCAACGCGGCCGCCCCCGCGCCGCGGCGCACGCCTTCGAGAAAGCCTTGGAGCTGACGCCCGACGACGCACCGTATAGAGCAGCATTATTAATCAACGCGGGGTCTTATTTAGCTTTCAGTGGACGGAGCGCGGACGCGTTGGGTCCGCTCAAGGAGGCGGCTCGATTGGCGCCGGACGACGCTAGAGCTTTACACGCGCTGGGCAACGCCCTGCACCAGTGCGACGCGGCGGGCGACGCGTTGGAGGTCTACGCGCGAGCTTTACACGCGGCGCCCTCTCCCGACTTCCCGCCGAACGCGCCGCTGCTGAACAACGTCGCTACTATTTTACTGGCCAGAGGCGAGCGTTCTCTCGCGAGAGGGGCGCTCGAGAAGTCGCTGGAGATCGAGCCCCACGCGCCGGGCACTTTGTTCAATCTCGCGACGGCGCGGTATTCCGATGCCTTAGAAACGCGGTCGCGGAAGCGGACGACGTCTCAGGCGTCGCGTATCGTCGTCGAGGCCTCTTTTTCTCCAGGAAAGGCGGACGACGACAACGACGACGGCGGCGCGCTCGACGACGTATTACGGTTGCTCGACGCGGCGGAGCCGCACGCGCCGCCCGGCAGTCCGCTGCGCGAGCGCGTGCTGGCTTTACGTGCGTGCGCGGCGAACCGCGTGCCTGGTAGAGCAGCATTAGCCGCGGCGGACCTGCGCGACGTCCTCGAGCACGGCGCCGAGCACGCGCGCGACGCGCGGCGGCGCGGTGCGGCTCTATTGGAGCTGTCGCGCGCGCTCCAGGACGACGCCGCGGCGCGGCGCGACGCGCTCGCCGAGGCCGTGGCGGTGCTCGACGCGGCGGCGCTCGCGGCGCCCGACGGCCGCGACGAGTACTCGCCGCTCGAGGCGCGGGGCGACGCGCCGCGCGCGCTGCGCGCGCGGGCGCGGCTCGAGCTCGGCCTGTCGCCGGCGTGCGACGACGCGGCCGAGGCGTTCGGCCACCTCGAGGCGGCGGCGGCGCTGGGCGCCGGCGGCGCGCGGCACGCGCGGCGCGCGGGCGCGCGCCTCGCCGCGCGCGACGCGAAGCGCTTCGACGCGATCCTCGCGTCGCTGGCCGCGAACGACGCCCGCGCGGCCGTCGACGCGCTCGCGCGCGCCGTGCGCGGGGCGGCCGAGCGGGCGGCTTTTGGCGAGCGGGAGGATTCTGAGGAGGATAACGATGTGTCTTGAGTATATCTTTGTTTTCCAAGCAGCAACGAGCAGACCCCGCGGCGGCTGGTGGCTAGCAGCCTAGCTCTAAGCAAAGCAACGAGCGCCGCGAACGTCGACGGGGACGTCGTCGCAAAACGGCCCTACACTGAAGATACCACGTACCTGTCACATCAAAACGAACCCACGGAGACTTCATCGATCGATTTGATCCCTCCGGAGCGCGCCGCGCGCAAGCGAGGCTAAAAAAAAATAGGACACAACGTGGCACCCGCAAAACGGCTGCGCTCTCGCTGGTTTTACGACATTTGGGTGTTTGCAGCCCTGCGCGGAGTCGCTCATAATCTCTGCTGGCTGCAGCGATAGTCCATAAAGTGCGGTTGCACAAATAGCCAGTCATCCCAATAATCTTACAAGAAATCGGATTACGGTGCGACGCTGCGACGCTGCGTTTTGTGCATTTGCATCGTTTGGGAAGACGCACTGATAGCCGACGTCGACATAAACAAAACAAAACGACAAAAAAATGTCGAGCGAACCCGGCGCCGAGAAGGCGTTAGACAAGCTCAAGAAGCTCCCGCACAACCTGAAGTGCGCGAACTGCCAGGCCTTCGCGCAGCACGGGCATGGAGCTGTCGTCATGAAGTACGGCATCTTCGTGTGTCATACGTGCAAGTCCGCGCACCAGTCCTATTCGCATCTGTGCAAGTCCGTGACGATGAGCTTCTGGACGCACAAGGAGGTCGACCAGCTGCGGAAGGGTGGGAACAAGCGCGCCCGCGCTACTTTTTTGGCCAATATGGACCCCTCGAACGCGATCAAGCCCGGGGTTAGTTTACAAGCAGCGAAGACCTTCGTGGCCCTCGCGTACAACGAGAAGCTGTGGTACCAGGAGGGCGCCGTCGTGTCTAATAAAGAGGAGGACGTGCCGAAGCCGCGCAAGGCCGTGAAGCCGAAGCTGCGCAAAGCACCGCAGGTGCGCCAGGTCACGCCGGCCGTCGACCTGCTCTGCCTCGACGACCCGGCGCCGGCGCCACCGGCCGCGGCGGCGTCGTCGTCGGGCTTCGCCTTCATCGCGCCGCCGCCCGGGGAGCCCAAGGCGGCGCCGGCCGGCTTCGCGGCCTTCGAGTCCGCGCCGGCCGCGCCCGCCGATTTGTTCGCGGCCGCGCCGGCGGCGCCGCCCGCGGCGCCGTTCGCCGCCTTCGGCGGCGCCAAGGTCGTGTCGCCGGCGCCGGCGCCCGCCGCGGATGCCTCCTTCGACCCCTTCGGCGACAGCGGCGTCCTGAAGCCGACGCCCGCGACGAACGGCCACGCGAACGGCCACGCGGCGCCGGCGTCGAACGGCCACGCGGCGCCAATGATGAACGGCGCCGCGCCGATGATGAATGGGTCGAGAATGAACGGCGCGCCCATGAACGGCGCCGCCTTCACGCCGCAGCCCATGGCCCTCGGCGTCGCGCGGCCCGACGCGGCGCACGCGATCTCGTCCATGGGCCGCCTCGCGATGGCGCCGCCGCCCGCGCGCGCGCCGTCGGCGCCGGCCTTCGCCGCGTTCGGGCTCCCGCCGCCGGCGGTGCCGCTCTCGCGCGGCGCCTCGGCGCCGCAGCCGCCTCACAACGGCGGCTGGGCGGCGTCGTTCCCGCCGCCGCCGCCGCCTCCGCCGCCGGCCAGCTGCTCTTCACCGCCCATGAAGCACAACATCTTACAGCCGAGCGGAGCGAATATCTCGAACATGTTCAACTTCTAGGGTGAGGATGATCGCAGAAGTAACTTATTTCAAGTGTGAATTGACTGTCGTCGTCCGCGTTAGGCGTTGCGGTTGAATAACTTTCGGAGGCGCCTTAGTGATGCGAGGGTTCTTTCTTCGGCCCCAACAAACGATTTTCTACCGGTGACTTCATTTCAGCAGGTAAGGAGGTATACATATATGTATAAAGTCTTAGCGTGAGTTATAGCATTTATACCTAAAAAGTATACGTATTTATCGTCCAAATTTTTGTCTATATTTTTAGACCGTAGGTGCGTTAATTTAGGAGGCAAAAAATAAAGCCTAGGCTAGGGGTAGGGTTATGTGGTACTTTTAGCACATCCCAAGACCAGTGAAAAGGCTACCGCCTTGGGGGCCAAAATGTGGCGCTTGGTCCTCTTGAAGGCTTCCCTCCCCCCGCCGCGGGGACCGAAACATGGCATCGGTCTCTTGCGAGCGTCCCCCTCCCGTGAATCTAAACACAGTTCACACATAGCTTATACACCTCACCGGCGCCGACTCGTCGTCGCCGAGAGGTTGAACGGGTTCTTGTCGTGCTCGTTCTCGAACTCCGCGAACGCGTCGTTGAGGTCGCCGTCGCCGAGGAGCGCGTCGTCTGACCCGTCGGAGCGCACTTTCGAGAGCTCGACCTTGGTCGGGGGACGCGGCGGCCGCGACTCGGCGATGCCGTCGCCGAACGAGAAGCAGAGGCCGCAGGCGCCGACGACGCCGGCGCGCATGCACACGAACAGCTGGTAGAACGGCCAGCGCAGGATCTTCAGGGCCGGATGCGTCGGCTCCGGCAGCGCCGCCGCCAGGGCCGCCAGACCCATCAGTACCGCGACGAGCCGGACGTAGAGGAAGATCCGGGGCGGCGGCGGCGGGGGCACGGGCGCGAACGTCGGCCGCGGCGTCCACCAGTAGGCGTGCCGCGGCGTCCGGCGTCCGACGGAGGGCGCCGGCGTCGACGCGCGCAGGTGCTTCGCTGCCGGCTCCTCGTTCGCGGCCTCCTCCTTGTCCTCGTCCTCGTCGTCGGGCACGTCGCCGCAGCAGCCGCAGGACGCGCTGGGCCCGCAACCGACGGCGTCGAAGGTGCCGCCCAGCGCCTCGCATTCGCGCGCCGTCGCCACACAGTAGCCGCCCGTCTTGATGCACGTGCGCAGCGAGCTCGGCGAGACCTCAGTGAGCTCGCAAGCGCTGTCTGAGCTCGGCGCGGGCGAGAGCGTCGGCCGCGGTGATGGTGGCTCGGTTGGGATGGCCTCGCAGCAGGCGCACTCGTCGCCGCCGCCGCAGCCCCGCGCATCGTAGCGCCCGCCGAGCTCGGTGCACTCGTCGGGACTTCCTACACAGAAGCCATTTGCGAGTACGCACGCGGACAACGACTTCCGCGGTACCCGCTGAAGCGGACATTCATTGCGTGTCGGCCTCGGAACTGTGGGCGCCGGCGTCGGCTTCGGAGTAGGCTCCTCGGGTATCCCCTCGCAGCACGCGCAGTCGCCGCCGCCGCCGCACCCTTTCGAGTCATAGCGGCCACCGAGCTCGGTGCACTCGGTCTGTGACGCGACGCAGAAGCCGTTCGCCAGGACGCACGCGGACAGCTCCTTGCGCGGGACGCTCGCGAGCAAACACTCGGCCTTTGGCGTTGGCGGCTCGGCCTTCGGCTTCGGTGGCTCGGCGTCTTCGTCTTGCCTTTCGGTCGGCGCCGGTGCCGGCGGTTGGAGGGTTTGCCGGAGCTTTTCGTTCTCGCGCTCCAGATCTGCGACCCGCTCCTCCATCGGTCGACCCGTAGGTGGGCGCGTTGGCGTTGGCCGCGGCCTCGGCCGCGGTTTCGGCCTCGGGCGCGCCGTCTGCGGCGTCGGGCGCGACTGCGGCGCCGGAGTTGCAGCCGAGTCGACCGCAGATGCGACGCCGAGGACCAGCGCTGTGAACCATATTGTTCGCATCGTTGCTCCGCGTCCGCCGCGCGCGAGCCAAGGCGCTGTGAATGCAAAGCGCTGATTATAATAGGTTGGGCCGGTCGCGCTGCGACAAGTTCACGTAGCCGCTGCGGCTATAAATTAACGCCGCGCAGCCGCTGTGGTCGCTTGATTGCGGCGTCGCGCGCCGCCGACGTTCCACGTGACGCGATTATGCGCCAGCAGCCTCAGCGGCGTAAGACACTAGCCACGATCGTACCGTAAAAGCTTAGTTACACCATCCTGTCCTCGTGCAACAGGTGCGCCCGGCCCACGTGCAGGAGCGGCGCCGGTGCTGGCCGTCCGAGCGGCGGGCTGTCCGACCGGCCGCGCCGCCGCATGTACTCCGGCGTCGGCGGCACGTACTCCATGTCGCGCGAGTCCGTGGAGCGCGCGCGCGTCGCCGGCTCGGGGTCGTCGCGCGAGCCGCGCGACGCCGTCGAGAAGGGCGAGACCGTCTCGTCGTCGACCAGCGTCTCGTAGAGGCCTCCGCCGTCGTTTTTGGACGGCGTCCCCACGACGGACTTGACGGACTGGACCACGGAGTCGATGACGGCCTGGCGGTCGAGGTCCGCCTCGAGGGCCGCGAGCGCCTCGGCGTAGGCGTCGCGGCCGCCGATCGCCGCGGCGGCCTCGAAGCATTCTCTAGCTTTCGTCACGTCCGCGGCGCGCGACGGCGTCCCGTCGCGGTGGTACTTGCCGAGCTGATACAACGCCTCCGGGTCGCGCCGGATGAGCGCGGCCTTTTCGTACCACCGGAAGGCCTCGTCGTCGTTCTTCGCGACGGAGCTCGAGCCCTGCCGGTACAAATGGCCGAGCGCCACCTGGGCCTTGACAACATCCAAAAACGCCGCCTTCCGCAGCAGCTGGACCGCCGCGATCGGGTCCTTGGGCCCGCCGATGCCGTTCGCTTTGAGCATGGCAGCGTTGTACGCCGCTTCGCCGTCGTCGTCCTTCGCCTCGAATGCTTTCAAAGCCGCCGTCGTCCGCAGCCGCCGGTCCCTCATAACTTGCTTCTTCTGCGCCGCGCCGCGCCCCGCGCCGGGCGCGAAGGTCAGCACGAGGGGCCGCGGCCGTTTCCGTAGCTTGGCGATCCAGGCGTCGAAGGCGTCGGGCCGCGGCACGGTGACCTTCCCGCCATCCACCGCGACGAGGACGTCTCTCGGGCAGAGGCCTTCCGGGCCGACGCCGGCGACGACCTCCTCCACGACGATGTCCGTGCGGCCCTCGGCCAGCGCCAGCACGAGCTTGATTCCGAGCCGCGACCCGAAGAAGGTCGTTTCGAGGAGCACGTCGCTGTCGCGCCCCGTGGTGACGGTGAGCCGCGGCGGGGGCGGCGGCGGCTTACTCTTGCCGCCGGACAGCATCGACTTGGCGCTCTCGAGCGCTTTGAGGGATTTCTGCTTTACGAGCGTGAGAGCAGCCATGGTGAACGGGTTCTATATCGTCGTGGGCACCCTGCACACGTTCTCTACCGTTCTATATTGTCGTGGGCACCTTGTACACTTCTCGTTCGAGCAATAAGGGACGCGTTCGAGAACTTTGAAAAAAGTCTGTGCTGTTGTTTAGCACTCAATCTCTTGTTGCTGGGCGCTTTCGATACTGTAAACCGGCGATCAGCGCACCATGCAAGATCTGCGACCTCTTGATCCACAGCGTTCCAAGTGTCCTAGGCGCTGCAACCAGGCCGCACCTTTGCCAGACAGAGCTGCTCAAAAAAGTGAAAAATCGAGCCCGCAGCAACGCATGCGAAAAGGTACAGCAGAGGTCGCGATCACCGGAGGACGTATCGCGCTGTCCTGCGGCAACAAAGCGGACGATTTTTTTCCGCCGCGCCGGGACGCCCAACGCCGCCGGAGAGTGAATCACACAGAATATAAATTAGATAGGTCAACGCCGCCGCCGATAGTCCCGCCGCCCCCTTGAGCGCGACCGCGACGACGAGGACGACGGGCTCCGGCGCCTCCGCGACCGCCGGCGGGACCGAGAGCGCGAGCGCGACCGCGACCGACCGCGGCGGCGCTCGCGGGACCGGCTCCGGCCGCGCTCCGAGGGCGAAGAACGTTGCGCGTGGGCGGCGGCGGCGCGCGCGGCGATCGCCGCGACAGCCGGCGGGGGCGCGGGCGGCGCCGCCACCGGCACCACCGGGGCAACAGGAGGAACATTGACGGGGAACGGCGCGAACGCCGGCGCCGGCGCCGGCACCGGGGCGACCGGAGGCGCGACGACCGGAAACGGCGCGAACGCCGGCGCCTCGGCGACGTCCGCCAATAAATCATCGACGTCGTCGCACGCCTCGCCGTCGACGTCCTCGTCGTCCGATTCTGGTGGAACCGGCGCCGGGACCGCCATGGAAGCGACCCGGGCGTCGTGCTCGCGCGCCGCCTCGCGGTACGCTTCCGAAGGCGGGAGCCCGATCGTCCGATGTCTAATGTAGTAGCGCAGCCGCGCGAGCGACGCTTTGAGTTCGGAGGGCGCGGCGCCGTCGTACAACCCGGCGATGCGCGCGTCCCGTCGCAACGCTTCCTCATCAATCTCTTCGTCCGTCGCGGGCGCGGTCGACCGCTCGCGCCGCTCGAAGAACGCGCTCTCCAAACCAAACGTCCAGTTCGCGGGGAAGACCTGGGCCCAGCGGCCCCAGACTTGTAATAAAGCGGCGACCTTGTCGATGATCGAGTTCGTCTTCGCGAGCTCTAATGTTGAACCTTTTTGCCCGAGTAATCGGGTTCCTAGATGGTGCAGCGCCGCCGCCAGGTAGGGCCTCAACAGCGAACGCATCATGCGCGCGCCGCGGCCGCACGCCGCCGCATTATGCAAAATATCCGACGCGACGTAGAGTCGCGCGAGGCGCGTTTCGTCCGACGCATTAGATTGGGCCGGCTCCGTCAGCGCGTTGCCTAGTAGTTCCGAGAGCTCCCTAGCTGCATCAGCTCTATCCAGAGCGAAGCACATGGCGTCTCTCACCTCAGCGCGCGACGGCTTGATCGAGGCCAGCGTTTCGGTGAACTGCAGCGCGTCACTAATCTTGAGCTTCGCGTCGCCCCGTCTCGCACCTCTTTTCTCGTACAACTGCGCCTCGTTCTCGCGCGACCGTTCCATCAAATCGTGTTCGGCCTTCCGTTGCGCGTCGGCCCGCGTCAGAGCGGGCATGCTCTTCACGGCATCCAACGGTTGTGCGGTAGTAGCCACGTCGGGAGCGACCCAGAAGGGCCCGCCGCACTGGATGCGGTGGGCCTTGACGCGCCGTCCCTCGAAGTCGTACTCGCGGAACGGCTCGGGCGACGCCTGGGCCATGGCCGCCTCCCAAGCTCTATAGCGGTAGTAGCGGCCCGCTTGGGACGACACGTCCAGTAGTTGGGAGAAGTCGCCGTGGTCCCGTTCTCGCAACCTTATAAAGTCCTCGAACGTCCGCCCGTCAGCGGCGACAAATCTCGCCGTCAAATCAGCCAATCGTCTTAAAGTATCATCTTGTGGAGCTACGACCACAACTTTATGCGCCTGGTCGAAGTCTTGTTGAGACAAACCGTCCCCACTTTGCGTGTGCACCTGATCCCAGCGCGACCGTCTCATAGATAATGCAGCTCCTTGGAAGGCAGAAGCGCCGCCCGCCGCGCTCGCGACGCGCTTTGGGGGTTGGGCGGCCAGCATCCGGGCCTTTTCTAACGCAGCAGCGACCGTAGGATTCGCCGGCGGCTTCGGTGGCTGCGTTCGGCCGTACGCGCTCCGCGACGCGGCCGTCGAGCCCACACCACCCGCACCGGGCTGGTCCTTCAAGGCCCGGCCCCAGGCCACGGAGATGCGCACGCCCTCCAACAACGAGTCGTCCATGGCCTGCAACGCGTCGTCGGCGTCCTCCCTGCTTCTAAAGCTCACGAAGCCCCGGTTCCGGCCTCTTCTTCTCTCATCTTCAGAACGGGGCCACATCACTTTCACAGAGTAGACATCGCCGTACTGGCCGAAGGCCTTCGTGAGCGTTTCTTCGGTCACGGTAGGAGCCATGTTGTTTATCACGAGGTTCGTCGTACCTTGGTACGTCTCCCTTTCTGCTGGAGGAGGATTGTAGGTCGCCCGGCCGCGATCCAGCGTAAAGCCCCGATCCCGCAAACCGTCCCGTGCTTTCAGCTCTTCCAGAAACTCGTCCATCGCGCGCTTACCCTTCTTCTGCGCCCGGTGGGGCTGCACGGGCCGGGCCGGCTCCGTCGGCTGGTAGCTGCCCCCGCCCGCCGCGACGAAGGCCTTGGACGCGCCGCCATCGAAGGACGTCTCGAAGGCCGCCAGTACTTCATTCGTGCGCTTCTGGTCCTCGGCGGTCGGCCGCCGCGGCTCGCGCCAGAACGCCATGGCTGTGACCTCTGTGACCTACGGGGCTTTGGACGCGCGGTGAATGTTTCGCGCGCATGGTGTCATTTGGGGACGCGCGGGCGCGACGAGTTGTTTTGGCGACGAGTTGTTTTGGCTGCTTGTCTCTTGGGGCTGCAGCTTGCTATCACTCTGCTTGGCTGCTATGAGTTCGCGCAGTCAGAACTGCTGCGAGTTATTATTGTGCTCGGCGAGTAGAGCTTGAAACCAGTGATCCGCGAGAGCCAGCGCCTCTATCCGCTCTGCTTTTTACCTGGTGCTGCTTGGGACTGCTGTCTTTGCTGCTTGCTCGCCCGGCGGACACAAGTACTCCATCATGTCCTCACCGTTCCGGAACTCCTTGAACTTGTCGTAAGGCTCTGCTTTTTTTGTTTGCTAGTGTCTTACAGGCCGCTAGCTATCACCAGGTCGACTCGACAGCTGGAGCATAGACAGCGCCGCTGGCCCGCAGGGTTCGCCGGCGGCCTTTCTACGCGTCAGAAAACCACTTCTGCGAGTTGTGGTGCACGCGCGCTCACGCTAGACCCCTAGTTTCCGCCTAGCGACTCGAGGAGCTGACCCTTGTGCATACGCGCGCCGCGGCAAACCCATCACTTCCCGAGCTAGCGAGCTGACCCTTTTGCGCCATGGCTGATCCACTCGGCGCCGACGCCCTCGCCGCCTTGGTGAATGAGCTGAACATCACCAAACACGAGCCCAAGCTCCAGGCCGCCAACATCACGACGCTGCGCCAGCTCAAGGCCTTGGACGACGACGGCCTCTCGGCGCTCGGGTTGCCCAAGGGCCCGACGGTGCGCCTCCGCGAGAAGCTCAAGGCCGTCGCCGCCGTCCCCGTCGTGACGCCCCCGCAAACGGCGTCGCCGCCGACGCGCCAGGCGCCCTCGCCGTCGGGCGACAACGACTGCCCGATCTGCTGCGACCGGCCCTGCGACCGTAGGGCCGACTGCTCGGGCCAGCACGAGTTCTGCTCGGTTTGTATTCAACAGTGGCGCGCCCAAACCGTCATGAAGGCCCAGCAGGGCACGACCTGCCCCTGTTGTAGGGAGCCCATCACGTCCGTGACGAACCTGACGACGGGCCAGAAGGCGGCGCCCGTCTCGGCCGCGCCCTGGGGCTCGGCGGCGGCGGCGCCGGTCCAGCGCGCGCAGCCGCGGCCGCTCCAGCGGGTCCCGCCGCGGCCGCTCGTGCAGCCGCCCCAGCCTAGACCGATGGCAAACCCCTTCAACCACGCGGGCAACGCGCCGCCCCAGCCGTCTTCAAGGGCCGCGGCCCTCGCGCCGCGGCCGCCTCCACAACCCGAGGAGCGCAAGGACGAGTCGAACTCTAGGTGGCGGTCCTCGGCCTTGGAACAGCGGCGCCAGGAGGCCTCTTCGCGCGAGACGCAACTCAAGCGGGACCTGGAGCGCACGCGCGCCGAGCTGGAGGGCGCGAAGCGCGACTTGGATGCCGCGCGCCGCGACGCCCAGGCGGCGGCGCAGCAGGCGTACAGCGCGAAGACCGCGCAGGAGACGGCCGAGCGGCGCGCCACCGAGGCGGAGGGGCGCGCGCGGTCCGCGGCCCAGGACGCCGAGCAGCGCGCGAGAGCGGAGAGCTCGCGGGCTCTCGCCGAGGCCGCGCGCGACCGCCAGCGCATGGCGTCGGAGATCGAGTCGCTGAAGGCGCGGCTGCAGGCGGCGAACACGGCGGCCTCGGGCTACCAGCGCGCGCAGCGCGACGCCGAGGACGCCCGGGATCGCGTCCAGCGCGAGCTCGCCGCTTTACGGTCGCGCCAGTCGCAGCAACTCAACGCCCAGTGGAACCAGCGCCAGGCGCTCGCGCACCAGCAGCAGCAGCGGCCGCCTCCGCAACAGCAGTACCAGGCGCCGCCGCCGCCGCGCGCGCGGGCCGCGGCGCCGCCGCCCTCCTCGGATGTGGCCGTGGCGCGCGTCATCCCGGGCGCGACGCCGGCGCAGTGGGCCTGCCCGCACTGCACCTTCGCGAACCTGCTGCACCGCACGCAGACGACGGCGGCGGGCCTCTCGATCTGCGAGCTCTGCACGCGCACGGCGCGCGTGCAATAGACGTAGTCCCCCTTATGTGTAAAATTGACTACTTCAACAAAATTCAGTACGGCTTCGATAAATCGAGAGAAGCGACGGCGCCCGCGACGACGGAAACGAGCTGCTGCGCTCTTACGGGATTTGAGAACGCCGACCCGTAGTAGCTCCGCCCCTGCCACCGCGCCAAATTGTGGAAGTGGCGGTTCGCCGAACTTCCATCGATAAACAGCTCCACGAGCGCGGCCCGGTCCGGCATGAAGATGTTGTGCAGCAACCCGGCGCCGTGCGGCCCGACCATGACGTCCGTGTCCAGATTGGCCGCTATTTGTTCTTCGAAGCTCAGCTTCGAATAATCTAAATCGCGGAATTCGACGTGTGCGCCATTCGCGAACGACCGCTGCTCGAGGCCTTTTAACGCGTCAACAACGGCCTTGTCGTTCTTGATGGTCCGCCCGAGCGGCCGCGTCCCCAGGTGCTGCACGAACTCACACAAAAAGAAGGACGTCTGTGAATCGCAGAACCGCTTCTCGGGCCACATGCCCGAACTTCGCCGGGCCATGAAGGTGACGACGACCCGTTGCGGATTCGGCTTCGTGTGGTACCTTGTACGTAGTTGCAATCCGAGCGCTCGGATGACAAAGTCCGAATACGCCCTCACGATGGACGAGCGCGCACATTTCGTGTTGAACGAGGCCACGGTGATGGGAGCGGCGGCTCCCAAAATAGCGATCGCCGCATTATCAAAACACACATTCTTCGTGCCGTACTTCTGCTTGATGTCCCACGACGTGAGTGGTTTTCGAGAACCAAAGAAGACCCGGTCCCAGATGGGCCAGAACGGGCCCTTGGGGTAGAGGTCCGTGATCAGGATTTGTAGATCCTTCACATTCCACTCGAGGATAGCTAACGCGATCAACGTATTGACAAAGTCCTCAGAATCATGAAAGAAGTTCGCGAACGTGTCCCGCTCAATTATTAAAGTTGGGGCGCTTTCCCTTACCTCACATTGCAGGTCGTCAACTGACTGAAAGCCGTGGTACCAGTTCACGTTCCAGCCCGGGAAGAAGCGCGCCTGCCACTCTTGTGTGGTGGCGCAGGTGCCGGCCCAGGTGCCCTTGCTATATTTTATTTTCGAGTGCTGCTGCTGGTGCCGGCTGTCGACGTAGCGTTTGACATACGTCCGCGGCAAGTCCCCGGCGAAGTCCCGGAAGTTCATACGTATGTTCTTTCCTAAGCACAAGTTGTCGCCCGCGCCCGCGTGGTTCGACTGCTTCACCAAAAAACAGTCGACCTGCGAGCCTCCCGTTGCCTTGGGCGCGCAGTAGGTCTTCCGTTCGCCGCGCCACCGGTTGATGAGGCCGTTCCCGAAGTCGCGCTCGCACGTGCCGCCGCCCAGCGTCGGCGCGTAGGCTTTTAGTAATTCTGCGACGCTCGTCGCGCGGAACGTCGCCTCGTCCAACCCCAGGATCGAGTGGTCCCGGACGCCGGAGAGGTCCGCGGCGCCCGTCGCGCTCGGCGCGGCGGGTTGAGATGGTGGCGGTCGGTCGGCCAGCGTCGTGGTCGCGCCGGCAATTGAGGCGCGCTCCGCGACCGCGCGCGCGGCGGCGCCGCGCAGCGCGGCGATCGTGCGGTTCTGGGCGTCGATGAGTTTCATGATTTCACCTTCGTGCGCGGCGGCGTGTTGCGTCGGATGCGCGCGTGTCGCGTAATAGACGGCGCCGAGCAGCGCGGCGATGATGACGATTGGCGTGCCGCCGCCCGCGCTCTTTTTCTTGTCCTCGCCGCGGAACGCGCGCGGAATTGCTTCTCCTCTCTTATGATGGGTGCGGCGCATTGTGATGCCTCTCTCTTGTACGGGCCGTAGCTTGTGCGAGGCCTACCGCTGCCCAACCGCTGCCCCAACCGCTGCCCCACCGCTGCCAACCGCGGCCTGCCGACGGATCGAAGCTATACTCGCTCTTCACGGTCACGGCCGCGATAGCGTGCTTGTATATTGCAAAACCGACGCGCTTGGAAGCGGCACACAATAATTAGCTAGCGGCATGTAAGACACTAGCAAGTGAGCAGCCCAAGGCGCAAAGCGCGCTCGCGCTGGCCCTTACCGATCCTTCTGTGACTGGCAATTCATGCCATTAATCGGCCCTTCGCTGACCGCAGCACTGTAGCATCAATGATGATGCTGGCGAGGCGTTTAGCCGCATTGCCAGCGCGGCGAGCACCGCTGAACGCGCGGCAAGCGCCACCGCTGGCGCGCGCGATGACTCACTACGCGCCGCCACCGCGTCCGACGGCGACGTCCTACAAGCACGAGCGCGTCCGCCACTCGCCGCGCAAGCTCAACCTCATCGCGAAATTAGTAAGGAGGCTCTGGGTGCCCGACGCGCTGGCGCAGCTGCAGTTCACGCCGAAACGATTCGCGCCAACGGTCGCCGCGGCCATCGAGCGCTGCGCCCAGCGCGCGGCGGCGCAGCACGAGCTGGTGCCCGAGGAATTGGAAATCGAGCGATGCTTCGTGACGCCGGCGCCCTTCATGAAGCGGCTCAAGATCATGGGCCGCGGGCGCTCCGGCACTATAAGAAAACGGTCGGGCCACCTCAACGTGACCGTCGCGGCCGTGGACTTCGAGGCCAAAATCCGCGACGCGCACAACCCGCGCCAGCGCCGGAAGTGGGAGGAGCGGCGCGCCGTCGCGCGGGCGGCGCGGGAGCGGGTGCTCGGGGAGTTCGCGTTTCCCGACGAGGCCGCGGCGACGGACGAGGAGGCGCCCTCAGAGGCGCCCGAGGGACTGAAGCCTGCGACCTAATTGTTTTAACCTTATCGGAGGTGCCTCGGGGCAACCGAGGGGCTCCGGAAGCTGCCCGCGCCCTCCGGCAGATTGAGGCACTCGACCTCGCCGCCGCGAGTTGCAGCGAGGAGGTCCTCGAAGCTCTCGCCCGGCCACTCATCGGCCGGGCCGAAGAGCAGGCAGTGGCGGAAGTGGTCGTAGAGTTCCTGCGCCGCGGCGCCGTGGTAATGGACCTTGTCGCGGACCATAAACCAACCCGGCACCTTGTCCGCGGACCATAACTTTTCGTACTTTGCCTTTGGCCAGTCCGCGATCCAACACCGGAGACGGGTTACATCGAAGGGGTCGCCGCCGTGTTTCAACGGCGAGCTGAACCGGGCGGCGCAGGGCCATGTGCACACGGCGTTGCCGTGGTAGCGCGTACTCTGGCCGCAGAGCAGCGTGTCACAGCATTTTGCCGTCATGTTGATGGTCATCGCGTCGTCCCGCAGCTTGCTGAATTTGAGATGTTCTTTCCCCGTGACGTGCATGCGGTTCATGAAGTACCTGCGTCGGAGGCGTCGGGCGGTCGCGGCGATGGCGTCAGGGGGGCGACGAGGCGTGGGGCACGGCGTTGGACAGGATCTCGACCGGTTGCTCGCGCTTCTTCACCGCAGGCGAATTGAAGCCCTTCGACCGAGTGACCTTCTGGTAACAGTCGACGCAGCAGCACTCGTTGCGCCACTTACTCGTCGCGGCCTCGCCGTACCCGATCGCGGGCACGAATATAACTCTCACCTTGCCGCAGGAGCAGGCGACGCTCGTGTGCTTTTGTTCGACCGCCACGAGACGGGTCTTCTTCCTCGCCGGCGCTTCCTCCATCGCACGTGTGCGCTATCCGCGCGTCGATGGCGTGCTGCGTGTCGTGTGCGGTGGGCTAACCCTGCTCAGGGCTGAGGGCTGCAGCTTGTGTGGCGCTATGGGGGCCAATGAACGACGGGCAGCGACGCAGGACGCCCGGGGCAGCCGCAAGTATGTGTCCTCAGCTTCCGCGCAGGAATGGCAGCTCTTTCGAGCAGGCTCTCGCAGAGCTTGCTCTCTTCCTCCAAGCTTGGCTTGCAAAAGCTGTTAACCAAAACACAGAGAAAAAGACGCAAGAGATCTACCCACGACGGAACATACCTGCGACAGCTAAATTCGGTGTAGCATTCTCCCTTTTCCAACTCAATTCGGGTTCCGACGTTTGGCGTTGCCTGTCAATGCCTGATCACGCGACGCCTTCGCGCGTCAAAAGACGGCGCATTTTCGCCACGGAAACAGGCACAGTAGCGCCTAGCAACATGGCCGCCCGCCTGGCGCGCTGGGAGGAGTCGCGGCGGCGCAACGCCCTCAAGCAGCAGCGGCAGCCCCAGCTTGCCACGCCGGACGCCGGCCGCCACGACCTCTTCGCGCAGCCGCACAAGCAGTCGTCGCCCATCAAAGACCCCTTCGCCCGGCCGCCGCTGCAATTGGAGCCCACCGACGAGCAATTGGGGCAGCCCCGCCTCCGGCGCCCCGAGATCAAGGTCTCGGCGCCGCCCGGCGGCGAGACGTCCTGGGCCATCGCCGACGCCGGCGCGCCGGAGCCGCGCTACCAGCGGCCAGCTCACGCCCGCGCGTCGATGGAAGACATGAACTCGAAGGAGCGGTACCGCCGTGACATCGAGGCGCAGATCCGGGCGAACGAGGAACGCAAGGCGAACGAGCGCCATTCTAGGCGTCGCGCGGATGCGGAGGACGACGCCCGCGTCGCACGGGAGAGCGCCGCGCTGCGGCGCGAAGTCGAGGACGAGATCATGCAGCAGCGGCGCCGTGAGCAGGTCGTGCAGGACCGCGCGGACCACCTCGAGGCGTACCTCGGGCAGCCGCGGCGCCCGGACACCAACGCGCGCGAGGCCTACGCGAACCGGTCCCTCGCGCGGGCGCCGACCTCGGGCGTCGCGTCGTACGGCGGGGCGAACGGCAACGGCGGCCAGAACGTGGGCAACTGCATTTCCGACCGGCCGTCGTGCCGCGTGCTCGCGCCGCCCGGGGGACGGTCGTCGATCACCTTCGGGTGAACTACGTAGCTCCGGCTCCTAACTTATTTCTCGACCGACTCGCCTTGTATCTTTCCTGGCCTCACCGCACTAACTACGTGCTAGCACTAGTGGACTGGCCTCACCGCACTAACTACGCGTAGCGCGCGCCCCCGCTAGCGGTCGCGGCTCTAGCGGTCGAGGCAGTGATGTGTATGTCGCCGCGCGCCCCGCTGTGCAAGCAATTGCACGCAGCCCGGTTACTACGCCGCATCGCAGCCATCGAAACGCAGCAAAAAGGAGTGCCGCCCCGCGGCCAAAAAAAGAGCCCACCAACGGTGCATGTGCAAAAGCCCCCCCACAACAATAATGGACAGTGACCTCGCCGACGCTCAGGAGGTCAAGGCCGCGGAAGAGTCGGCATGGGAGATCCTCACCGGGTTCTCGTTGCCGAAGTACGCCGTCGACTCCCTCACGCACTACAAGAACAATCCCGAATCGTTCAAGAACGAGGTGCTCAGCGGCATCACCGTGGCGGTCATGCAGGTGCCCGAGTCGGTCGCGTTTAGCTTTGTGGCGGGCGTTCCTCCTTTAGTCGGTTTGTACTCGACGTTCTTCCTGGGGTTCATCACGGCCGTGATTGGGGGCAAGGAAGGCATGATCTCCGGCGCGGCGGGCGCCATGGCCGTCGTGATTAAAGACCTCATGGCCGACTCCGGTCCCTTATCCGATTACTCGAAGGGCGACCGTTTCAACCACCTGCTGATGACGGTGCTGGTGTGCGGCATCTTACAAACGCTATGCGGCCTGTTTCAGCTGGCCAAATTGGTCAAGCTCATCTCCAAACCTTGTATGGTCGGCTTCATGAATGGCTTAGGTATCGTCATTTTCTACGCGCAGTTCGGAGCTTTTAAGAAGTGTCCCTACGCCAAGGCGACCGCGCCATCGTCGCCGGACTACTTCTCGGACTGCAAGGAGAACGAGCGGCGGTGGATGGAATTGGGCGGCGAGGACGCGGCGAAGACCTGGCTCACGTTGTTGTCTGTGTGGAAGTCAACCAGCGAGTTAGGTTATCATTGCGGAGACAGAATGGCGTCGACGGCGTGGCGCGCCCGAAATTTGATTTCCACACAGGCTGCTGTTGGTCGCGTTCACGATGGCCATCATGGTCGGCTGGCCCAAGGTCATCCCCCAGAAGTACCAACGGTTGTTACCGTCGTCGCTGGTCGCCATCATCTTCGGCACGCTCTGGGAGCACTACGTGAACCGCGAGGGGTTTGGGGTCTCGACGCGGACCGTCGGCGGCACGGAGCAGCTCAAGGGCGCGTTCCCGCGCTACCACCTGCCCCAGGTACCCTCGAACGGGAACGGCGAGTGGGGCGTCATCTTCCAGTACGGCATTTCCCTGACGTTCGTCGGTTTGATTGAGTCCGTGATGACGCTGCAGGCCTGCGACGAGATCACGGAGACCCTACCGTCCGTCTTCCGCTCGAACCAAGAATGCGTGGCGCAAGGCGTCGCGAACGCCGTCTCCGGCTTGTTCGGGGCCATGGGCGGCGACGCCATGATCGGCCAGTCGACGATCAACATTTCCGTGAACGGCGCCCGTGGAAGGCTGTCGGGCGCGACGGCGGGCATCCTCATGCTGTTCTTTGTGGTGGCGCTGTCGCCGGTCATCTCGACGGTGCCCATTGGCACCCTGACAGGCGTGCTGTTTATGGTCGTACTCTCAACATTCAACTGGCAGACGTTCCCGATGCTGGCGTCGCACGTGTTGCCCGAAAGCCTACTCAAGTGCGTGGAGCGCGTCGCGGGGCCCTTGCCGCGGATCCCGAAGGCCGACGCGTTCGTCATCGTGCTGACGACGGTGCTCGCGGTGTATTTCAATCTGGCCGTGGGTGTGGTGGTGGGCACGGTCGTCCTGTCGACGTTCGACGCCTGGAACCGCGGCGCGCGGTTCCAGGTGGTCAAGGGCACGAATGGCCCGGGCTGCGTCGTGTACCAACCATTACAACCCCTCTTCTTCGGCACGTCGAAGGACTTCGCGCGGGCGTTCACGCCGGGCGCGGACCCCCAGAAGTGCGTCGTGGATTTATCAAGAAGCGCGGTGGCGGACTACACGGCCGTCGACGCGCTCGCCGACGTCGCGGCGCGCTACGAGAAGGTCGAGAAGTCCTTCGAGATCATCGGCGTGTCGGCCGACGACAAGAAGTTCATCCAGCTGGCGGGGCCGGCGGTCAAGGGCGCCGCGGACGCGCTCGACGGCGGCGTGACGCGCGTGTCGTCGAAGACGGCGCTCGTCGACGACATCGAAGCGAATCCGAAGGATGTGGAATTGCGCCAGCGCGCCGGCTCGCACTCTTGAACATAGGCTCTTCGTCGTCGCATAAGTTGCCAAAGTTTATTACTTCTTCGTGGGGGGTTTCCGCTTCACGGGCGCGTCGAGCGACAAATCTAAGGGCGGCCGGACGTGGGGCCTAGCGCGCCGCCGCGCGGACCGCGCGTCGTAGCGCTTCAGCGCGAGCGACGCGGCCTCGACCTCCTTCATCGCCGCGACGAGCGCGCGGTTCGTCGCCCGCTTGGCCACGCCGGCCGCGTCGGCCTCGCGGCCCGCGCGCGCGAGGAGGCGCCGGTACGCCGCCTCCGCGCGGCCGACGGCCGCTCTTAAACCCGCGCGCTCCTGGATGCGGTCGCGCTGCAAATCTACCAAAGACTGGGCCACGCGGCGCCGCCGCGGCGGCGCGGGCGGCGGCGCGACGACGGCCTTCGACGTCGCCGGCGCGGGCGGCGGCGGCGACTTGCGGGCGCTCTTATCCAGCGAGTCGACGGACCGGCGCCGCGCGATCTCGCCCGCGGCGTCGGCCGAGAGGAGCGCCGCGATCTCGAGCGCCGCGTCCACCGAGGCTTGCGGAGTGGGTGGCGGGGCCTCCTTACCTCCCACGCAGTCCTCGAGGACGCGCGTCAGCAGTTCCGCGTGGCGCGGGTCCTCGGCGAGCGCGAGCGCATCCGCCAGCGCCGCCCCGAAATCTCTAGGAGACGCCTCGTCCGCCAGGTCGTCGTCGTCGTCCTCGACGTCCGTGCCCTGCTCGCCCGGCGGCCGCCGCGTCGTCAGCGTCGAGACCGTGTCGTCGTCGGGCCCGCGCGGCCGGCTCCGGCAGACGGCCGCGTCCGTCGCCGCGTCCGCGGTCTCGGCGTCCTGGGCCGCGGCGACGACGAGCGCCACGGCCGCGGCCGCGTCCGTCTCGGCGTCGTCCTCCTCGCTCGAGACGCGCGTCGGCGTCGGCCGCGGCACGTGGACGCGGCGCCGCCTCGGTTTGGGCGGCGCGGCGCGGGGCCGGATCTCGGCGCGCGCCATGTCCCGGGCGTCGACGCGGATGCGGGGCTCCCAGGGCATGCGCCGGCCCGGCCTCGATTGGTTTTTTTGGGATGGTTTTGGGGGCATCATCATGTTCCGCGGGGCAGCAGCCTCGGCCCGTCGATGGCGTCCTGTTGGCAGTGTGTATTGTCGCGCGACACCGCGTTTGCGCGTGGAGCGTGGTCTGTTTTGGTATGATCTTCTCGCCGGCCGTCTCCTGGCCGGCGGGCGACGCCTCGCCCAGGGCCTGGCGCCGTCTTTGAGTCGCTGTTTATCCTCCTTGTACAAGAAGCTTCCAAAGTTCGGGTTTGGGCTAGTGTCTCACAGAGTACGCTAGGTCTGATGATCATGAGGCTCTGCCGGCGCTGCGGAGGCATTCCGGCTACCGGTGGACCACTGTGTTACTCGCATTGATGGGCGGCAAGCCCAGCCTCCTGCTGCCCGGCACGGCTGGCACGAAGAGCGCCCTCTGGCAGGGCGGCAAGCAGCCGCTAAGCGACGCGGAGGGCGGCTTCTTCGACGAGTGGCGCATCGGCGCGGCGGTGTCGCTGGGCGTCGCGTGCGTCGACCAGCAGAAGCACCCCTCGGTCGGGAAGCGGCTGCGGCTGCCCGTGGCCGACGAGCCCGGCGCCGCCGACGCGCTGCGGGACCGCCTCGACGTCGCCGTGCGCTTCCTGCACGCCGCACGGCTCGACGGGTTGAACTGCTACGTGCACTGTGCGCGGGGCGTGTCGCGGTCGTCGGCCGTGTCGCTCGCCTACGCGCTCGCGTACCTGCCCGAGGCGCTCGCAACGCCGGCCGCGGCCACGACATGGCTCGAGGCGCGGCGGCCGCAGGCGCTGCCGAACGCTGGCTTCGCGCGCATGCTCGAGGACTGGGTCCGGGGCGGCGGCCGCGACGGCTGCGCGGCGGCGCTGCGCGCGCTCGACGCGGCGCAGCCCGCGGCCGCGGCGAGGCTGCGCGACGCCGACGCCGCCGCCGTCGCGGCCGCGCTCGCCGCCGCGGCCGGCGCGGCGCCGGGCTCGCCCGGCGCCGCGCGGACGCGGAAGTGGATGTCTGTGGTCAAGACTGCGCGCGGCCTCGAGCCGCGCGCGACAAATAACAAGGTCGAGGTCGTGCTCGACTCACGGAAGGGCCTGGACGACGTTGCGGCGCAGGCGAGGCGCGACGCGGAGGACCTGTGGATCGACCGGACCGTGCGACGGGTGGACTTGGAGGACCTGTCGCCCTACTGCTTCCTGAGGGACTACGTCGCGGCGTCGCGGCCGGTGATCCTGCGCCTGGCCGACGGCGGCGACGCGGCGGCCGTCGAGGCGTTCTTCGAGGCCGAAGACGTCCGCGTCTCGGCGACGCCAGATGGCCGCGCGGACGCCATCCATCGTGCGCATAACGACGGCCGGCCGCGGCTCGCGTGCCCGGAGGTGCGCCGCGGGAAGCCGACCGCCGTCGACGAAGAGGGCGAGGACGTGCTCTACGTCTCGGACCAGGACGGCTCGCTGAGCCAATTCCCCGAACTGGCGAGGAGGGTCGCGGCGCGGAAGGACTGGCCGCTGCCGCCGGCGTATCTGCGGGCCTTCGCCGAGAGCGGCCGGGCCAAGGCGGACGCGGTGAATGTGTGGTATGGAGGCGCCGCGAGCGTGACAAGCGCGCACCGCGACCGCGCGTTCGAGAACTTGTACCTGGTCTTGAAAGGTGCGAAGCGGTTCCTCCTCTTGCCGCCGACTGCGCCCGCTTGGCTACCGGTCGCGTCGTGCGTGTCGGCGCGGTGGACTAAGGCCGACGGGTCGTGGCGACTGGTCGACGATCAACCGGAGCAGCTCGTCGACTGGCTCGACGTGCCGTCGCTCGCAGCGACGGAGCCGGCGCCGGCCGTGGCCGACGTGCGGCCGGGCGACCTGCTCTACCTCCCGGCCGGCTGGGTGCACGAAGTTCATCAGGCACCAAGAACGCTCGCTGTCAACTGGTGGTTCGGGGCCCGCTGCGACGGGCCGCGCTGGGCGGGCGCAGAACTGGCTCGGCGCGTCGGCGAGCTGCGGAGCGCTGCGCCGTCCTAGATGTCTAAAGCTGTTGTGTTTTGCAATCATGTTACGCCCCGCTGCCCAAAAACGCCCCAACTCTCATCCGGAGGCTTTTTATATTGGCACTCCAGAAAGTGCCCCAGCCCTTCAAGCCCAGTGCGATTGAAGGAAACGTCGAGTCGCGCCGCGAATAACCGCGACGGAGGAACGCAGTCTCGGACGAGTCGGGAGTGCGCCTCGCACGCCGCCACGAATCGAGGCACCAGCCGCGTGTCGCCGCCGCACACGTCGCGCTGTGACCGGCAGGCGTCGTCGATTAAGCCGCTCGCCAGCCGCTCGAAGTGATGGAACGTGACTTGATACCCGAACCTGGTCGTGCTCGCGTTGAACCCGCCAGAAACGCAGCCGCCGCGAAGCCATCGACAAAAAAGCTGATGGATGGCCGACGCCGCCCAGGCGCTGCAGTTTCGCTCCATCACGACGAAGCGAGCGGTGGTCGTCTTCGCGAACGCGCACGGCGCGGCGTACCACGGATAATCGTCGTAAAATGTCTTGTTTTTCAGGACGACGCTGTCGCTTCTCCGTCCCTCGACGACGAGCGGGATGAAGTCGCGCTCAAAGTCGAGGCCGCCGGCGAATTTATAGGTCTCGTAGCCGAGCGCCTGCTGCATGTAGTGCGCCAGCGACCGCGTGCCCGCTTTCGGCAGCCCAGTGCCAATGACTGGTGGGCAGTGCGCCGCCGCCGCACCGGCCATCACGACGAGCAGCGCTCGCATGCTGTTTACATGCAGCCCCGGGAGGCATACATGCTGCCCCCTCGCACTTAATTCGCACAGCGCCGCTTGCTAGCGGGGTAAGACACTAGTTCGTTCGGCGCTGTTGCGCAGCGCGACATCCGCGGCGCTGCGCACGCCGTCACATCGACGGGGGGAGGAGACCACGCGCACGAAAAGCCCGCGGTTCCGCCGCGTGCTGCGCCGTTTCATCGCCGGCTGCCCCACATTCGGCTCCAACAAGCAACCCACCGTTACGGCCGCCGCGTCCTTTAACGCGCCCAGAAAATGACAGTAGCCCCGCGCCTGCCGCCCCAGCGGCTCCCCGCCGACGTGCGTAACGAGCGGTCCCTGGCGGCGCACCGCGCCTGGGCCGACGCGCAGCACACGTTCTCGCCGGCGCCGGACCGCGAGGCCCGGGCGGAGTCGCGCGCGATGAAGGAAGCGAACGACGCCTGGCGCGGCCTGCTGCGCGACCAGGCGGAGCCGCTCCCGCGCCGGTCGCGGACGCCGCCGCGCCGGCCGCGGCCGCGGAGGCGCGCGCCGACGGTGCCGGCCGCGCCGGCGTTCCGCACGGCGTCGCGCGCGGCGCGCGCCCGTGCCAAGCCCGCGCCCGAGCCGCCGAAGCCCAAGCCGCGCGCGCGGCCGACGACGCGGCCGCGGCGGCACAAGCCGCCGCCGCCGCCGCCGACGGAGAAGCCCTGGTGGGCCCGGGCGCGCGACCTCTGCGTCAACGTCGCGCCGCCGCCACCACCTCCGCCGGACGAGACGCCCGAGCACCACTTGGACAAAGCGCTCTCGGTCGTCGAGGCGGCCAAGGCCGAGGTGCGGCGCCGCGACGCCGAGGCCCAGAAGGCCGCCGAGCGGGACCTCGACAACGCCGCCGAGGCCGTGTCGGCGGCGGCGGCCGCCTCGAACGTGATTCTGGGCCGAGGCGCCCCGGCGGCGCGGGCGGGCCGAGGCGCCCCGGCGGCGCGGGCGGGCCGAGGCGCCCCGGCGGCGCGGGCGGGCGCGGCCCGCGGCAAGGGCAAGAAGCCAACCGCGGCGGCGCCGCCGTCGCCGCCGGGCCCGGACCCGTGGGTCGTGTCCGCCATGAGCACGCGCTACGCCGACGCGCGCCGCGCCGCGGCCCGGGCGCGCGACGACGACTTCCTCGACCGCCGGCCGGGCGAGTCGCCGAGCGACGCGGCGCGGCGCTTCGTCCACGACGCGTCGACGTCGCCGCCCCGCGCCCGGCCCGGCCAGGCCGCCTCGACGGCGCCCGACGCGCCGCCGCGCGCATCCGGCGTCGACGCCGAGGTCGACGCGACGCCGTCGTACATGAAGCCGACGCACCGGAGCGGCTACCGCTACAAGATCGACAAAACGGACGGCAACTGGTACCGCTCCGACGATCCAAGAATGAGGCCCCTCGACCCGCGGGAGCGCGTCGCCGTCGCGGCGGCCGGCGACGCGTACGCCGCGGCCTGTCGGGCGCGCGCGCACTACCACGAGATAGAACAGTACGGCACCTTCGCCCGGTCCGTGGCGCTGCTGACTCGGCGAGCGGCGGCGACGCTCGAACAAGAGGCCCGCGCGTCAAGCTTCCGCGACGCGGCCCTCGCGGCCCACGAGGCCGCGGGCCGCGCCACCCAGGCGTGGCGCGACGCGGCGCGGAGCTTTCCTCCGCCGAGTGTTAAATGAATCATTTTACGAACCTCCCCTGAGCGCCTGGGGCAGCAAGGACTTCGGTAGGATGTCCATCTGGGGTGGCTTGTCTTCGCCGTATTCCACAGTGTTGCCAGCTCGCGCGTAGCTCGTCCAGCCGACCTCGCCGCCCTCGCTCGAGACGGACCCGGACAGGCCGTCCTTGCCTGCACGGAAATCGACGTGATCTACGTCGCCTAGTTTCCTTCGCTGGGTTCCTTGCGGTCGTCCTGGGCGCAGTAGTCCTCGCATTGGACCGCGCAGTACGCCTTGTTGCCGGGCGCGACGCGGTTGCAGTTTGAAACGCAGTCTTTGATGCAGTCCTTCTTGAGGTCGGCTGCAAACGCTGTCTGGCTCGGCAACGCGACGAGTGCCGGCAGCAGACCGCCAAGGCTGCGTCGCGTCATGCGCGGCTGCACTGTGAGAGAGCAAGCTGCAATCACCAGTGTTGGGGCAAGCAGAGAGCGCATCGCTCCTGAAGTCGGTTTCGCACTGATTTGCAGAGCTGAGTGCGAAGCTGAGTGGATGCAAAGCACGCAAGTGCGGGGATCACGGGTGTTCTCACTCCCGTGCTCGGCGCAACCCCCCCATTTCGGTCACGATAAAAATACCGATACAGGTACTGGGAGCACCCGGGCCGTATGGCGCCGCAGGCGGCTCTCCGGCGAAATCCTTACAGGGGCGTCCTCTCGGGCTATATGTGAGGCCGCCACGTCAAAATTTCCGCCGCCGCGGGCCGGCGCGCCAGCGAAATCACGATTTTGCTCTGCGACGATTTCACGTCGGGCGGCCCTGCGCCGCGCTAAGCGGCCGGCCGGGGAAACGAGTTAAATTTGTTGGGAGTACACCTGCCAAGCGAGCGACGAGGGAAGCATGAAAAAAATCGACTCCAGGCATTCGATTTTTTTTAATCCGCAAAGTTCGGCGCGTTCTCGGCGACGTGCCCAAAAACGCCCTTAGCACTGCTTGGGCGCCGCGTGGTTGAAACGGCAGACGTAGTGGTTCCTTCGCGGCGCTCTCGTGGGCGGCGCTCTCGGGAGAGGATTCTGGCTCCGCGGTCGAGGCGCGCGGGACGCCCCGAGACCGCCCGACGGGGCGCGCCGGGCGCGTAGACGGCGTCTGGACGGCGAGCGCCGTCGGACTCGGCCGTGGGGCGGGTGCGGACGTTTGGTGCCGCGGAACCCTTCAGGCGTTAGCTTGAGTGTCCTTCGCGCGCCTATTTGTGCCGTCATATGAATTTTAATTAATAGCTAAAAATGCCTTTGTAGCGAATGCGCTGCAAAGATGTTGAGGAGACATCCGACGTACCCCTAGTGTACTGCGCGAGAGTTACTACCCCCCAAAAGCGATCAGGAGGCCCGGCGTGGGGGCCCGGCACGGCGTCTACGGCCGGTGCACGAAAGCCCGGTGCGGCCTCCCCGGCCGGTGGGAGCCCGCAGTAGAGCCCGAGGCGTCTCGAAACACAACGCGGGAGCCGACTGTGCCGCTCCGAGGCCCTTAGAAGGTCAATCCTGGTCATTTTGTAGATCGGGCGAGACACAAGACGAAATTTGAAGCGCGACCGATGGCAGATCTCGTTCATACTCGATCAGTCGTTTAGACGCATGTCGATGCCGTTTCCACAAATCGCGCTACTAGCTGCGACGACCTCATGAATCGTACCGGCACCGACCTCGAAATCTCCTCGTCGCGGCTTTATCACCTCGAAATGGCCTCCTCAGCCAGCAATGAGGCACCGCGGCGTCCGTCTGACACCCCTAAATGTTTCTGCGGCCCGAATCTCGCTCAAGGCTGGCACCGCATCCGTTCCCAGCAAAATGCCCCGATCGCGGCGACGCCCGCCGCGCCAAGACCGCCGGCCCAATCGTCGCTCCGACCGGCCGCAGCGCCATCATATCTCCCGAGACGACTTCCACAGGCCGCACACCGCCGCGCGTTGAGATTTTCTCCAAGGATTCCTCGCGATTAGCCGCCGTCACAAAAACGCCACTTGCGAGCGCCGCGGCGCCCCGCCGACCCAAATAAGTGGCCTCGGGGCGAGGTCGAGGACCGGCCCGAAGGCGCCTAACGCCGCGTTGCTGGGTGATACCCGAGTGGCCCGTACGCCGCCGCGCAAAAGCCGGAAAAACCCGCTTTCTAGCTTTAGGGAATTGATTTAATTTCGTGACCGAAATGGGGGGGTTGCTCGGCGGGCAATCACAACGTGCTAGCGGCGGTAAAGATACTAGCATCGGCAAGCCGGCTTTTGAGACCCCGCATTGCGCGCATAGCTCGAAATCGCTGCTGTTCTGCATCGTTTCCACTCTGTGAGCAACCATAGACATCAACCAAGCTCGCGCTTGCAACCATGGGGCGCCGCTCCCCCTCATCTTCCAGCTCCAGCTCCAGCTCCTCCAGCTCGTCGTCGTCGAGCGATTCGTCGCGCAGCCGCCGGCGCCCGTCGCGCAGCCGCTCGCGTTCGCCACGACGGCGCGAGCGCAGCCGTTCGCCGCGGCGCCGCGACGACCGCAGACGTTCGCCTCCGCGCCGCCGGAGTCGTTCGCCGCCGCGGCGCCGCCCTCCCAGCAGCTCGCCGCCGCGGCGCCGGCCGCCGAGCCGCTCCCCGCCGCGGCGCCGCGACGACCGCGGTCGCTCGCCGCGGCGTGACGATCGCGGCCCACCTCCGCGCCGCGACGACCGCGGACGCTCGCCGCGGCGTGACGATCGCGGCCCACCTCCGCGCCGCGACGACCGCGGACGCTCGCCGCCGCGTAACGACGCGCCGCCGCCGCGGCGTCCGCCACCGCGGCGCCTGCCGGAGCTGCGGTCAATACACCGTGGCACCGTCGCTCGTATCCAGCCGTTCGGCGCCTTCGTTCGGATTGATAACTGCTCGCGGCCAGAGTCATTCGATTTGCCTTTGTTAGGTCGCCGACGCCATCGACGTTTCGTGCCACGCAGACGCCGACGGCCTCGTGCACATCTCACAGTTGCGGGACGAGCGCGTCGAGAGTGTCGCCGACGCTGTAAGAGAAGGAGAATATGTTTGGGTCGTCGTCACGGACATCAAGGAAGGGAACAAGGTGTCGCTGTCGATGCGGCTCGTCGACCAGGAGACTGGCGAACTAAAAGAACCCCTGAACGACGTCGACGCCGCGACGCCGTCCGCGCGCCGGACCGGCGAGCTGCCGCAATTGTACTCCGTGCACAAGGGAACGGTGGCGCGGATACAGAATTTTGGAGCCTTCGTTCGGATAGATAATTACGGCGATGGCCTCGTGCACGTGTCGCAGCTCTGCGCGTACCGGGTCGAGGACCCGAACGACGTCGTCGACGTGGGCCAGAAGGTGCGTCGTCCTCTCCACGCCGTTGACGCGAGGATAACCGGGTGTCCGCGCGCAGGTGTACGTTAAGGTCGTCGAGCATCGCGAGATGGACAAGGTCTCGCTGTCCATGAAGGTCGTGGACCAGGCGACGGGCGAGGACCTGGACCCGGCGAACCGCGACTACCAGGCCCGCGGCGAGGGCGGCGGCGGCCGCCGGGGCAACGCGCCAATCCGCGCGGGCGACGAGGTCGACCCCGTCGAAGCCATGCGCAAGGGCACGGCGGACCCGCGGAACCAGCGTTTTGCGTCGGGCGGCGACTACGAGCTCGTCGAGGACGACGAGCCGGCGCCGCCGCCCGCGGAGCCAATAGGGCGCGGCCGCGGTGCGACGATGCCGGCCTGGATGCAGACCCTCAAGGACGACGTCGGGAAGGACCTCCGCCGCAAGGAGAAGAAACGAGAACGCAAGGAGGCCAAGAAACGACGTAAAAAAGAGAAGAAGGCCGCGAAGAAAGCTAAAAAGCGGGAAAAGAAGTCGAAGAAGGCGCGGTGGCCGCGTCCTACGCCACCGACGCGTCCCCGTCGCTTACCCGTCGCCGTCCGCGCAGGAAAAAAAATCAAAGAAGCGCAAGCGCGACTCGTCCGCCGACGCTCGCAAGGAAAAGAAGTCGAAGAAGGAGCGCTACGCCGACGCCGACTAGTTTTGTGATAATCGTTCGCATGTAGTACCTAAACATCATTACCGTTCCGCGACGCACCGGAACCCGTTGTTCGACGTCGCCGAGTCGGGCGTGTTCCGGTGGCGCGCGGCGACGCGGTAGCGGAAGCAGTAGGACCGGTGGCAGAGGAAGCTCCCGCCCTTTTTTAGTTTTTCCGTGCCGGTCGCCGGCCCGCGCGGGTCGACGTCGACGGCGTCCCAGGCTGGCGCCGGCCGCGCGCCCGGCGCGTGCCAGTCGGAGACCCACTCCCAGACGTTGCCGATGAGGTCGTGGAGGCCGGACGCCGTCTGCGGCGCGTAGGATCCCACCGGCGCCGTAAACGCAAAGCCGTCGTCATTGATTGGTTCGTCGGGAAAGGACCCCTGCCAGAGGTTCGCGCGGTGCGTATTATTATCGGGCATCATCAGCGCGTCGCCCCAGGGGTAGATCGCGCGCCGCGGCGCCGCGCCGCGCGCCGCGTACTCCCACTCGGCCTCGGTCGGCAGCCGCGCGCCTCTCCATTTACAGTAGGCCGCCGCGTCGCGCCAGGACACGTGGACCACGGGATGCCGGCCGCGGCCTCCCTCAAAGACGTCCGAGCCCGGCCCCGTCGGCTCGCGCCACCACGAGCCGTTCACCGGCAGCCACCACTCGACGCCTTTCACTGCTGTCGTGGCGCCGGCCCGCGCCGCGGCGTCGAGCTCGAGGTGGAACACGAAGGACCACCCGAACTTCTCCGAGTCCGTCTCGTAGGCCGTCGCGGCGACGAACTTCGCAAAATCCTCGTTCGTGCACTCGTGGACGTCAACTTCCAATGTTTTCGTGATGCGCACGCGCCGCGCCGGCCCCTCGCCGTCCTCGAAGATCTTCGGCCGGTCCGTGCCGACGAAGGTCTCGCCCGGCTCGAGGAGGACCGTCTCGACGATTGGGCGGTCCTTTCCGGCGGCGGGTCGCATCTCGACGACGTCGCTGCCGCACGACTCCTCGGTGGCGTCGCGCGTGAGGGCGTCACTTCCGCACGAGCAGCCCTCCTCAGCCGCAGCCATGGCTAAGCATGGCAGCAGGATGCGCCAGCGCATTTATGGTCTTCGGGCGATCACTAGCTACGCTTGAATCGACAGATTTCGATTACCTCGACAACTGCGGGCATCTGCGGGCTCCAGAGCTGTGCCCAGCATTCCTAGTGTCTTACAGCGCTAGCTGGAGAGAGTGCACGCTGCTTTGCAAGTGCGTCAGCGCTTTTTTACGTGAGCGTAGCGTAACTCTGCCAGCAGCAACGCGGTCTCCAGAGTCACAAGTGTCTCTCTCAAAAGTAATAAGCGAAAACGAGGCAACAATGCTGGCAGACACTAAGCTGCTGCTCATCATTGTGTGTGCCATACGCGCGACTGCATTCGTCGCGCCAAGGCAGCGACGAGGAGTTGTGCTCGCGATCAGGCACGCCTCGGAGGATGCATCAGTGCACGCCTCGGAGGATGCATCAGTCAATGCCGAAGAGGACGTGGATGACGCCGCGCTGGCCGCGTCGCTGCAAGTCGCTGCCAAGCGGACGAGCTCGGCGCGCGACGCGCTCGAGAAGCGACGTCGACGCGAGGCGCAGCCACGGCGCGCCGTCGACACGCCGCAGAAGCCGACGCTGGCGATGCGGGACAGCCGAGTGAAGTCTTCGATGGAGCCGCAGCAAGAACTGCGCGAATTGTTTGACGAGGGCTCGTGGGGCGCACTCCCCGAGAGCGAGCTGCTGACGCGGCTTGGGTACCTCTTCGCGGCTTCGTTTCTTGTAGCAGTGGGTCTGATTGACTTCGACCCGCCCGACGAGCTATCTGATCCGCCGTCGCTCGCCGACCGCGTTTTCCAGCCCCTTGCGCTCGGGTCGCTGCCGCCGCTCGTCGCCGTGGGTCGCGCGCTCGTGCGGTGGCAGTACGTCGACAGTCGCCTCGCGGAAGACACACTCTATTTCGAACGCACCGGTTGGAACGACGGGTTCATGGCAAAGAAGGATCCCGACGCCGCCAAGCGGGACGCGCAGGCGCGAGCCGCCCAGACGGGCCCGCAGCTCGCCATCCTTCGGCGGTGTACCGCGTACGCCGCCGGGATTACCGTTTTGTCGACGGCTGGCTTTGTCTTCTTGTAGTAACTAACACATGTTTAAACACAGACTAGGTCAGGAGATTCTGCACGAGCGCCCGCCACCATGTCGTCGGGTCCTCGAGAAAAGCCCGCAACAAGGCATTCTCTGTCACGAGCCCGCCGAGAATGGCGGCGAGGGCGACGGCCACCGAAAAGCGCCGCGCGATGACGACGCGCTGTCGTCGCGCCGGCACAATAGCAAGAGGCTGGTCGTCGCGGCGGCGCCGGCGCCGATTGCGGCGTCTCGGCGGCGCGGCGTCCGGCGCCGATGAGGCAACGCTGAGCAACACGGGTCCGTCGGGCGCCGCGCGCCCGAAGTACGGAGTCCGGACGACGTCGCGGACCGGTATAAGGTAACTGCGAAGGCGCCGCGGTGCCCGCGCGACCGCGCGTGCCGGCGGCGTCGTGGAGAGGAGCCGTCGCGCGGACGTGGCGATGGCGTCCCACGCCGCAGGCCCTGACGTCAAGCCAGGCAGCTTCGACAGCGCGCCGTGGAGAAACGGCGCGGCGTCGTCTTCCATCGCGGTCGCGATGAGTGACTCGCGATTGTGTGCCACGAGCGCTGCGCCTACGTAGAGCGAAAAGCACGGCGGCGCCGCAAGCAAGCGGTCCCAGAGCACGAACAGGGAAGCGCGATCGTCGACGTTGTGCGCGAAGAGCGTCACGGCCCACGACAGCGCCCAGAGCGGTTCGAGGAGCAGCGCGAACTCGGGATCGTGAGGGCGGAATAGTATTTGCCCCAGCTCACCGTCGAGTGCATGGATCAAGGGAGGTAGTAGCTTGAGCGCCGTCGACACGTCGGCGAAGTCTTTCTTGCACGCATCAGAGAGTCTTCTGCGAGCGAGCGCCCTGCAGATAGCGAGGGCTCTCCGCTCACCAGCCGGATGGAAACCCGAGACGTCCAGGACGACCGCCGCGACGTCGTGGAATCCCTGGTAGTAGTGCTGCGACTCATCAAAAGTCGCATTAACCACCCGAGCTAGCGCCCTTCGCCGCTTATTGCGCACCTTCTCGCTCCAGCCGCGGCGCTCGCCCGCCGCCCAGAGGCTGCGATTCACGTCCTTGGCCACAGTGCTGCGATCACCGTGCGACGAGGTCTCCGCGGCTGACGCGACGTCGAGCGGCGGGAGCGATTCGAAATCGACGCCGACGAGCGCGCCCCAGCAGTGCAGCCTTAAACCATCGTCTTGTCCATAGCCACCGGGCTGGAAGGCGAGGTCTCGCAGCGCTCCGAGGTCGCGCACGGCCAAAGCTTGCTCGATTGCTTCTGTTTCAGCCATAACCGATTCATGCGCTTGAGGCCGTCAAAGCCGGCTTTTGTGGCCAGTGTCTTACAGGCTAGCGCAGCTCGTCCCGCGCCATGCCCGCGTAGGAATCGAGGCTAGCGGCCTGTAAGACACTAGCAAGCAAACGCGACGTCTACTTGTAGTAATTCACAGGTTTTGTGACAAGTAATCGCTCGCTGCCTATCTCTAGCATCGACAACGCGACTACAGCCTCTAAAAAATTGACCCGCATCTACGTTTCTTTAGTGGTATCTGGGAAATGTAATTAAGAGATTACGCGTAAAGGGGGGATGCATGCAGGGGGGGGGGCTCGCGAACTTGGGGGCGAGGTATGAGGGGCGAGGCGGCGCCGGGCGTGTCCGGCGCGCCGTCGGAGGGCCGCGGTGCTGCCCAGCGCGGGCGCACGAGCCTAGAACACGACGGCAGCCGCGGCAATAGCGAGGAGGGTGGCGGCCGCGGTGGCCTTTGGGGCAGCCCCGTCGATGACGGAGGTCGGGCCCGTAACTTTTTCGATACGACCGCTCTTGTCAATACAAATCTCGTGGTCGAGGCCGACAAATTCGCCGGTGATTTTCGGGCATGAGAGCCCTGTGCACACGGGGTCGACTTTCCACACGATCTTGGACAAAATATCCGCCTTCGCATTGTTCTTTCCCGTGGCAGTAAATATGTAGCAGACATTGAGAGCTTTCGTATCATATTCAGCTTGTGCAATTATACCGGTCTTTCCAATTCCCGAATCCAAGGGGAACTGCGTCCAAGTGTGTGATGTGACGATTGCGCTGGGCGTGTTTGGCTTGATGTGCACACTCAACCACGCGTCCTCGTCGTCGTCGTCCCAATTCTCCTCCACGAGGTACTTGTCGGCCCAGGCGTCTGTGTCGTCGTCCTCGTCATCGCCACTCCATAAATCGATTTGATTGGTCGTCGGCTTCCACAGGTCGTCGTCGTCGTCATAATCGCCACCTGTGCGCAAAAAGATACACACTGCGACACGATCATCATGCCCCAAAAAGGAAAAAGGACCGATTCGCTCTGGTCCTCGCAATTTGGATTGCAATGAAGGCTCGCCGGGGCCTCGTACCGTTCCTTCCACTCACCATCCTCGTAGTGACCATGCTGCAGGGTGTTGCCACTGCATATGAAACAATATCCGTTGCAGCCGTACCCCCCATCGCTCGCCAAAATGTAGTGCCTGAGCGAATCGATATCGCTGGCCTTATAACGAGCAGTGCAACTGTTACAACTGGAGCTGCAAGCACCCCCATGCCAAACCTCGTTATCTTGACAGTACCACGTGTGGTAGTTCACGTCGGTGCAGCCGTCGTCGTCGTCGTCGTCGTCGTCGTCGTCGCCCCAAGCACTCCAGCTCGTGGCTGACCACTCATTGAACCTGCGGGCGCCCGGGGCCAGAGATCCGCCTAAAATAAATTTACGCGCCGCGCACCGCCACGTACCTTGTCGTGCCCTTGATGGAGTCGATGTTGCCATTACTGTCAAGGCATATTTCAACACCTCCGCCCAAGGGAACCCATGCCCCGTTGTTGTCCTTGATTTTTATTCCCATGTCCACGCCGTCCCAGACGTGCACGTCCACGCCCTGAATAAGGAAGAGGTAGGACCGTGGCGCGGGCGCGCGATGCGCCCTTTCAGACCACTTCTCTCAGACGATCGACGGGTGACGTGAAACCCCCTTCAGAAAGCTTTTTCCGCGCTGCGCGGCGCGTAGCAGGCGTTGCTGTCACTGACCGTAATTTCGGCCGCTTTTAGCTGAACCGGCACGCCCACAACCTGCGCGGGCGGCGGGCGCTGGAAGCTGGGCTCTGGACTTCAACTATCCCACTCGCTGCCCACCTTGTGTGAAATAGCGATGGAGTACTCGTTGGCGTACGTTAGCCGCTTCACATCGCATGAGGTGAGCACCAGCGCAAGTTTCAGCGCACGTTTTAGCATTTTGCGCCGGCTCTTTTTGGGATTCGCTGCCTGTGGCTTGTAGTGAAGCCTACCTCTCGACAGCGGGCAGCACTGAGTAAGAGAGAGCATGCAAGTGAAGTAAAATCTACTAGTGCCAGGGACGAACCCGAACTTTAGTCTGAGGTTTCGCTCGGACCCGGGGAGAACTCAGACCCGGGGAGAACTCAAACTCGACTAGAACTCAAACCGGACTAGAACTGCAAACTATATAGTACGGTGAATACACCTATTCTCCTTACTTACCCTACACACAACGAATCGCCACCGCCAGTCTAAATTCACTATGTTATTATCACTAAATTACATTAAGGCGGCGACGGCGTCCCAGGGGACGGAGACGCCTTCCGCGCCGGGCGCCGCCCGCCGTCGTGATATTACGAACACTATTGTTAATCATCACGCATGCGTGCCGCCTCAAAGTGCAATACAGAAACTTAGAGAAACCCGCCGCAGGGCGTGATGCCGTCGGGCTCGTGCTGGAGGTGCGCCGGCGCGGACCGGAAGAGCGTCGAGAGGATGTAGGCCTCGGACAGGAGCGTCTCGACCTCGTCGTCGGCCCAGTTCGACGTCGGCAGCGACGTGAGGAAGAGGTGCACGTCCTCGGTGGGCTTCGCCTTGAGCGCGTCCGAGAAGTGGCAGAGGAACGCCGCGCAGACGTAGGGAAAGAACGTCCGGAAGCCGCGCTCCTCGGCGAGGCACGTGTCCCACAGCCGGATCGCGCAGCGCATCGGCAGCTCCCGCACCAGGAGGCAGTTGATCCACCGGAACGTCACCTGGAGCAGCAGCACGCCGACCTCGTCTAGGTGTTTGTGCAGGTCCGCGTCGACCCTTCTCAAGAGCCCGTCGACCTCCTCGATCGTCCTTTGGAGCCCCGGCTGCCGGTGAACGTAGTGGTCATCTAAACTCTCGAGGACGCCGTTCAGCAGCCCGTACGCGTCCGCGGCCACGTCGTCCAACACGTCATCAGACAGCGTCGCCACGTCCACATGATCGCCCTCCGACACCTCATCCACCAAGACCACGAGGAAGACGGCTAATAGGTCGTTCATGCCCTGGACGTAGCCGCTCGCCGGGTGTTTCACCTGTGCGTAAATCAACCAGTGAGTCGGGTGCTCGAGCGGTGAGAGACCCCCCGGGGCACGCCATCGAGCTGGCGTCGCGTCGATGGCGGCGTCGCGACAATTTGATTTTTATGCACTGTGCCGCACGGCCCACACGTAGAGCACGTTCACGACCAGCGCCTGCACGCGGTCGTGCGCGAACAACGGCGACCCGGGGCAGGTCCGCGGCGCGTCCACCAGAATCTGGCGCAGCATCTGCGCGTCGCCCGGGTCGCGCTCGCTCGCCGGCACGTCCAATAAGGCCGCCGCGACGGCCTCGTGGAACGCCGCGCGCCGCGCCGCCGCGTGCTCCCGACGCTCGGCGCGTTTTGATGCCTCGCACCGCAGGAGGCAGCGCCACACCTGCGCCCTCCTCCGTTTGTTCGGGATGCCGTTCCACGCGAGGCGCCGCAGCGCGGCGACGTCGAGCGCGTCCGCGTCGAGGCAGGCCGCGAACTCGCCGTCGGAGCGCCGCTGCTGGCGCTCGCGCGCGGCCTGGGGCGACGACGCGACGTAGTCCCTTCTCAATTTCGGCTGGGCCGGCGGCGTCGGCGGCCGCGCGGCCGGCTCCAGGTCCTCGCGCGCGATCGCCGCGTCGGCGAAGACGTCGGTGACGGACGACGCGTCGGGCGGCGGGCTCCGGCGGCCTCGTAAGCGCGCCCAGAGGCCGGCCATGGCTCTGCTCTGAGGGCTATTTTTCGGGAGGGTGGTGGTGCAGCTTCCTTGAACAGTATTTCTTGTCACACAAGCTGGGAAACGGACGCTACAGCACCCGCGCTATCGTCTTCTCCTTCTTTCTAGCTTAAGCCAGGGCGGCGCACGCGCGGCTGCCGGCTCCAGCTTGCTAGTGTCTTACTGCCGCTAGCATTCGTGCGGAAACCGCACACGCTCCAGTAGGTATCCTGGATGACTATGATGAGCGTGCAGGGATTCGCTCCAATGCCAGCCCGCGCGCCTCCTCCAGACCCAGCGCTGGGCAGCCCAGACAGCCCAGACAGCCCAAAAAGAGCTGGGAGCAGGGACTTACGGGGAACGAGAACTACTGAAAATATGCTGCGTGCCGCCCTGGTGCTGCTCGTGAGCAGCGCCGCGCTGCGGGCCCCCGCGCGCGGCCCCAGCAGGCTGAGCACATGCAACAAGCCCTGGAGGGGCTGCCCCAAGGAGGGCGGCTCCCGGCTCGGCGAGAAACTAGCTGCTTTCTCCGAGGCCATGGCCATGTACGACAGCAGAAAGTCCGACGAAAGCGGCAGCACGTTTGCGCGGGCCGGCGGGGAGGGCCTCGACCGCGCTGCCTCCAAGGGCGTGGCGACGAGCGTCGCCGCGAGGAACACGTGGCTCCAGCTCTACAAGAACTCCGGGGCGGACGGCAGCAAGTCCGACAACAGCGCCAGCACGTCCGCGCCGGCCGGCGAGAACGGCCTCGACCGCGCTGCCTCCAAGGTATTCGCGACGAGCGTCGCCGAGACGATGGCGCGGCTCCAGCTCTACCAAAACCACGTGTCCGCCGAATTGATGTTGGCGGCCCCGGACGCGACCAAGGGCGGCGTCGACGAAGAAGAAGGGCGGGCTTCCTCGTGCCTCTTCAAGTTTCTTGCGATTTCGATCGAAATTGTTTTGGGACTCTTTGTGTTCGGAAGGGTTATTCCGCGGTGCAGTAGCTCGGCGAAGGGCGCGGCCTGGCGCTCGACCTTCGTCGGCTACCTGCTTCTTTGGCCAGAGATCGCCCTCGTGGCGGCGGCGGCGACTTCGGTCCGCGGCAGCGACTACGCCATTACGAAGAGTTCCAAGATCAAGACCAATGAGTCTCCGAGCTCGTCAGTCCAAAGCCTTGGGCAGCGGCGCGTGCTCTCGGGCGGCAGCAGCGACTACGCCATTACGAAGAGTTCGAAGATCAAGACCAACGAGTCTCCGAGCTCGTCAGTCCAAAGCCTTGAGCAGCGGCGCGTGCTCTCGGGCGGCAGCAGCGACTACGCCATTACGAAGAGTTCGAAGATCAAGACCAATGAGTCTCCGAGCTCGTCAGTCCAAAGCCTTGAGCAGCGGCGCGTGCTCTCGGGCTACGTGATGACCGACAGCAACATAGAAACTGCCGTCGAGGCGTGGCTCGCGAACAGCGCATCCGCAGAGACGACGTACGGCCACATTTCGACGTGGGACGTATCGGGGGTGACGGACATGGAGGGGTTGTTCGAAGACTCGTCCTTTAACGAGGACATCGGCGCGTGGGACACCTCCGGCGTCACGTCGATGGAGGGCATGTTCGGCGAAGCCTCGGCCTTTAACCAGGACATTAGCAGCTGGGACGTTTCCAACGTCAGGGACATGAGCTCTTTGTTCGCCGAAGCCACGTCTTTTAACCAAGACATCGGCGCGTGGGACACCTCCGGCGTCACTGACATGAGCGGGATGTTCTACAAAGCCCCGGCCTTCGACCAGGACCTCGGCTGGTGCATGGACGACGACGCACAAGGGGTGGTGGGGGTCCCGGGGTCGGCATTCCACGGCACCCTGTGCGCGTCGACGTTATGCGGCGTCTTGTGGGGCGACTGCGACCTCCCGAGCACGGGCAACGTCATGGCCAACGGGAAGATCAGAGTTGCAGTTGCAGCGTGGGTCTCGGACGCGACGGCCGCCGAGTCGACGTACGGCCACATCTCCACTTGGGACACATCGGGGGTGACGGACATGGCGTGGTTGTTCCGCGACTCGTCCTTCAACGAGGACATTAGCGCGTGGGACACCTCCGGCGTCACTACGATGTACGCGATGTTCCACGAAGCCTCGGCCTTTAACCAGGACATCGGCGGTTGGGCGGTCCACAGCGTCACGACGATGACCATGATGTTCGGCGACGCCTCGTCTTTTAACCAAGACATCGGCGGTTGGGCGGTCCAGAGCGTCACGAACATGGCGATCATCTTCGGCGGCGCCTCGGCATTCAATCAGGACCTCGGCTGGTGCGTGCGCGACGACGTGGACCTGTGGCACGCCTTTGGCCTTGACGCGGGGGACGCACCCCTGTGCGCGTCGACGTCGTGCGGCATCGCCTGGGAGGCTGCAGTCAGGTGTGGTGGCAGTGGCGGGACCATGACCGACGGCACAATCAAAACGGCCGTTGATCATTGGTTCTCTTACCCGGCGACCGCAGCGGCGACGTACGGCCACATTTCGACTTGGGACACATCGGGTGTGACGAAAATGAAGTGGTTGTTCGAAGCTAAATCGTCCTTTAACGAAGACATTAGCTCGTGGGATACCTCCGGAGTCACGAGCATGAAGGGGATGTTCGCCGAGGCCTCGGCCTTCGACCAAGACATCGGCTCGTGGGATACCTCGGGCGTCACGACGATGGAGGACATGTTCGCCGAAGCCTCCGCCTTTAACCAGGACATCGGTGATTGGGCGGTCCAAAGCGTCACGGATATGAGCGGGATGTTCGAAGGGGCCTCGGCCTTCGACCAGGACCTCGGCTGGTGCGTTGGTATTAACCAAGATATTGATGACGCATTCGAAGACACCCTGTGCGCGTCGACGTCGTGTGGCGTCACGCAAGGCCAGTTTAAAACTGAGGACGGCAGCTGCGAGTCGACGCCTGCGCCGACGCCGGCTCCGACCCCTACTCCCATTGTCGACGCTGCCCACCGCCTCTCAGGCGTCAGCGCCGCGCTCCTCGTGCTCGCGCTCGCCGCGTGAGCCCTCCCTTCCTCGCGCAAGAACGTCCCCGTCCCCGGACGAGGTCGCCTCGAGGAACTGGCGCTGCTGAAGCATGTACAAGGCCTACGGATAGCCCCCCGCCCTTGCCTGACCCCCGTGCCCTAGAGGACAAGTACATAAGTGAGGGGGCACATTAAATCACGACATGTCACGATGGATCAGGGACGACGCCAAGTCCTCGATGGTGGACGGCGGCGGTCTGAACGGCGCCGGCAGGAACTCGCGCTGGAACGCGTTGAACGCGTAGCGCCGCCTACCAGTATTCTTCTCGCATATCAGAATGCGTGTGCCGTGGGCGCGCAAAAGGTTCGCCGTCGCGAGGACGATCTGCTCGTTGTCCCGGCCGAACTCGCCGCAGAAGGCGGCCGCCGCGAGCGTCGCCGCCATGCCCGTGCGGTCCTTGCCGCTCTTGCAGAACACGGCGAGCGGGAGGTCGAGGCGCCGCGCGAGGCGCTCGGCCTCGACGATGATCGTCCAGTGCTTCTCGAACGCGCCCGACGCGAGCGCGGCGCTCTCGCGCTCGACAGCTGCGGCATAGTGACGGCTCGCGCCGCCGTCCCCTAGCAACTCCGCGCGCGCCGCGAGGCGCTGCGCCGCCGCGCGGTTGAGCGTGTTCTGGAGCCGCCGCGCGTCGTCGTCCGACGGCGGCGGAGGCGCGCCTGGCGCCGCCACGGGGCCGTTGGCGCTGCTGCCGCCGATTTTTTGGCGCACGTCTTGCGCCGCGGTCTTCGCCGTCGCGAGGAACGAGCTCATGGCGTCCTTCGCCGTCTGTTGCGAGTGCGCGAGCGACTGGCGGACGTCGAGGCCCTGCGCCACGAGCACGACCGACGCGCGAAACGTCTCGAGCCCGAGGCCGTCGACACCCGTCATACCAAGGCCCAGCGTCCTTGTACTAGGGTCGTAGCCGAAGCCGCCGGAAATTTCAACGTTGACGTCCTGCAGCGCGTCGACGATGCCGGCGACGTCCTCTAGCATCGCGAGCTCGCGGCCCGCCGTCGATATCAGGGAAAGGAAGACGACATCCGTGCCCGTTTCGCGCCAGCTTTTGCAGACCTCTTTCGCAGTGCTCGGGCTTGCGAGAAGCGCGGCGACCTTGGCGCGCAGCGCCTGGGCGAGGACCTGCAAGGCTTGCGCGAGGACTAGCGCTCTACGCGTCGCGTAGGCCGCCGCCGTCTCGTCGCCCCCGGAGGCTCCCCGCTGCAGGCGCAGGAGGCCGCCGCCGTCGGAGCCCAGCGTGGCGGCGGCGGCGGGCGCGCCAGCCGTACACATGGCGAGGAGCGCCGCGCCGCCCTCGACGCCCCGCACCGACGCCAGATAGGCGTGCACGTTAGTAGCATGAGCGGCCACGCCGGCGTCGCCCTTACGTGTCGACGACTTGAAGCAGCTCCGCCCGGCCAGCGCCTGCGCTTCGGCCTCGGCCGCGAGCCTGCGGAGCCGCGCGCCCGTCGCCGCGAGCGCCTCGCCGTGGCGGCGCATCCAGCCGTGGTCCCGGGCCGCCGCGGGCGCGTGGCTCGGCGCGGCGGCGCCGAGCCACGCGCGCAGGTCGTCCTCATCCCCGCCGTCCGGGAGCGCCGCCGCCGCCGCGCCTTCGAGCGCCACGACGTGGACGGCCACGAAGACCTCGGCGCCGGAGCCGCCGACGGGCACCCACGCCGGCGCCGGCGGCCCCGCGCTCGGGGCGGGCAGTTCAACGAGCGCCTCGCCAATAACTTCGCCGACGACGCCGCGCTCGACGGAGTAGCGCTCGTCGAGCAGGGTCAGGACCAGCGATGCGCCCGCGCCCGCCGCGGGCGCGTAGGCCTCGAGGACCGGCGCGACGCCCAGCGGCGACAGGTCCGAGCCGGCGACGAGCCGTGCCGCGCCCTCCTCCGCCTCGAAGGCCGTCCGCGGCGCCGCGTGGGGGCAGCTCCGCTCCGCGCGCGCATTGGCTCCGAACGACGGCGCTACCGACGCGTACTCCGTGTTCGTGCGGCCCAGGCGCGTCCGCGCGCCGTCCCGCTCCACCTCGACGCGCACGAAGGGCGCCGGCGCCGCCGCGTCCTCGGCGCCGAGCGGGTTCGGCAGGTCGCCGCTCCGCAGCCGCCGCGCGAACCCGAAGGCCGACCGCCCGAGCCGCGCGAGGTTCGCCTTGACGTCGGCCGGCGGCGCGCCGCCGCCGGCGGCCGCCGCCGCGCGCGTCACGCCGCGCGCGCCCAAGACGGCCACGCGCAGCTTGCGCGCGCCGTGCGCCCTCGCGTCGTCGTCGTCGGCGAACGCGCAGCGGACGACGCGCTCGCGCTCCGCCCGCGCGAGCCACGCCGCCGCCGCGCGCGTCGCGCCGTCGGCGACGGGCTTGAGCACGTCCCGGACGATCTCGTGCGCGCCGACGCTCTCGCAGCATGCCTCGCTCAGGACGCGGCCGTCGTCCAGCAGGAACGCCTGGCGCAGGCAGGCCGTGCCCGCGCGGCGCGCCGCCGCGTCCAGGACCTCGTCGGGGCCGAGCGGCGTCGCGCGGCAGAAGGCGCCCGCGCCCGGCGCGAGCGGGGCCACCACCGGGTCGCGCGCCCGTACTAGATCGTCGCGCGAGAACTCGGCCGCGCCGATCGACGCGTCGTCGCCGCCCGGCGCCTTGGCGCGCACCTCCACCCGCAGCCGCTCGTCGCCGCCGCCGTCCGATCTTACATAAGCGCACGTCTTGAAGCTCGCGTCGAGGGACCCCTCGGCGCCGAGGGCGACCCGCGGGTGCGTCTCGGACGCCCAGGGCGCCTCGCCGTCCATGAGCGCCCGCACGTCGCGCGCCTCGGGCGCCTTGCGCGCGAACGCCGCCATGGCGCCCTGCTGCTTCGCGGCGTACGCGTTGGCTACGCTGAACGCGACCCACTGGCCGCGGCCCGCGAGCGGTTCCGTGTCGCCGGCGGCGGCGTCTTGGGGCGGTGGTGGCGGCTTGGCCGCGGGTGGCGCGGCGGTCTCTGGCGCGGGCATCGCGAGGAGCGCGTCGAGCTCCGCCGTGAGGACGTCCGTGGAGTCTGTGCGCTGCGGCGCGGCCGCTGCCACCGCGGCGTCGAGCTCCGCCGTGAGCAGGTCCGTCACGTCCGCGTCCGCGCGCTGCGGTGCCTCCTGAGTGGTGGCGGCATCGGTGGCAGCGGCCGGCGCGGCGGCTTCGCTGCTGGCAGCATCGTCCATGTTAAAGAGTCTCTTCGCTGCCGCTGCTCGTTGCGCAGCAAAGAGCGCCGTGAGTGCTTTGACTGGCCTCTCAGCTTTACTAGTGTCTTACAGCCGCTAGCGTACTGCGACAATTATGTCATCGGCGGCGAGGAGGGGGGGGTTGCGGGAGGTAACCGCTTCACGCCGTCGTCGCCGCGGCGGGCGCCTCCGCGGCGGGCGTGGCCTCGGTGGCGGCGCCCGAGGTCGGCGTCTCCGACGCGCTCGCGAAGAGGCCCATGAGGCGCGACGAGCCCATGCGCTTCGTCGCGATGACGGCGTCGACGACGCCCTTCAGGTGGCGACGCAGCACGTACTTGTGCATGTTGTCGCAGAAGTGGGGGATGTGGCAGTCCATGGCCTCGGTGTCGTCGCGGAGCCACTCGGGCGCGCCGCTGCGGTCGTGGCGGTGCTCGTGGTCCTCGAAGCACTCCTCCGCCGTCAGGCGCTTCTCGACGTCGAGGGTCATGAGCTGCGAGATGAGCTCCTTGGCCGACGGCGAGATGTCCTTCCAGGCCGGTTCGTCGAACTCGTACTCGGCGCGCTTGATCTTCGCCTCGATGACGCGCTCGCGGTTGCGCGGGTCCCAGAAGGGCGGGTAACCCGCCAGCAGGACGTAGAGGATGACTCCACAGGTCCACATATCAACTTCTTTACCGTAGCCCTGGCGCGTCAGGATCTCGGGCGCCAGATAACCGGGGCTCCCGCAGATCGACTTCAGGTGCTGGTCCTCGTGGATGATCGACCTGTGTGGAAATCAGCCAGTGAGTTAGGGTACTTCGTGAGCCTCCACGCCATCGCGTCGATGGCGTGGGGCGCCCGAAATTTGATTTCCACACAGGCGTCGACGCCAATCCAAAGTCCGCGAGCTTGATCACTTCGCCGTTCGGCGTGCCCTCGACGTCCGCATATAATAGGTTCTCAGGCTTGAGGTCGCGGTGGACAATTTCGTGCGCGTGGCAATGCCCAATCGCCTCGACCATCTGGGCGAAGCACTTCCGCGCCTCGCGCTCCGAGTAGTGCTGCTTCGCCACAATACGATCAAAGAGCTCGCCGCCACGGCAGAGCTCGAGCGCCATCACAAAATGGTCGCCGTGCAAATAACAATCATATAACTTGACGATGTTGTGGTGGTGCGACACGCGACGCATCGTATTAATCTCGTCGTCGACGCCCGTCGCCTTCAGCGCGGCGACGCCGAGGAACTTGATCGCGCGCTCGCACTTCTCCTCGGGGCACGGCGACTCTCCGCCCTCGGTTGTAGAAATAGGGGCCTTCTCGGACTCGCTGCGCTTCAGCGTGCCCGCGTGGACCTTGCCGAAGGCGCCCTCGCCGAGCAGCTTCCCCAGGTCGTAGTCCTGCCGCACGTCGTGGCGCTTGATCTTGCGGTCCGTTATTACGGACGACCCGCGCCGCTTGCACATCTGCTCGGCGGATCCCTCCTTCGCCCGCTGCTCGCGCACGGCGCCGCTCGAGCCCGCGCCGCAGGCGTTGCCCATGACCTGCGATGGCGTCACGTCTCCGGTCCGACGAGTCGACAACAAATCACATGGCGACGATAGAAGCGCGTCAGTCGCGCCGAAACCGCCTCAGCAAGTGTGGCAACCAAGCTTTACATTGCTTAAAAACTCGCTAGACGTCCGAATCGCGTTGGGCTCTCTTGGATATATCGACGCCGTCTTAAAACTTCGCAAACGTTACCGATTGTATCCGTCGTGGCTCGTGGCTGGCCGATTTTCGATGCACGCTTGTCTGGTGGCCGTCTGTGGGTTAAAGCTCGTTTTGTTGCGACCGCTCTGATGGGAGTCTTCTTGACGGGCGGGATACGAGTCAGGTAGGTTGGTGCAAAACTCCTAATCTAGCGTCTGTTAGACACTAGCAAGCGCTGGTGGCAAGGCAAGCGCAGTGTCATTGCCTATCTGTTTGGTGTGGTCACAGATCGGTGGTTTGCATTCTACTGCCTGTGAGCGTGCGATCACTACGACGCTATACAGTTCATCGCTTGCATTGCTTTCGGTGCATTTGCTGCTGTTGCACACACTGACACATCACTGCACACTGAGACCATCCACTGCACACTGACACCCGCACTGACGATGATGCGGCGCTTGCTCTTCCTCGCGGCAGCCGTGCAAACCACTGCTCTCGCACCCGCAGCACGGCGCCCCGAGCCGTCCCGCCTCGAGAACACGCAGAACTACCGCGACGCGACGGCGGCGTCGGCGCGCTTCAATAATGAGCTGCAAGCGAAGGACAAGAAGAAAACGGTCGCGATCATTGGAGGCGGTCTGAGCGGACTGAGCTGCGCCAAGTACTTGAGCGATGCCGGCCACGCCGCGACGGTCTACGAGGCGAGGGACGTGCTCGGAGGCAAGGTCTCCGCGTGGCAGGACGCGGACGGCGACTGGATCGAGACCGGTTTACATATTTTCTTCGGCGCCTACCCGAACATGATGAATCTACTGAAGGAATTGAAGATCAGGGACCGGCTCCAGTGGAAGCCGCACCGCATGTCCTTCGCGATGCGCCAGCGGCCGGGCGAGTTCACGAACTTCGAGTTCCCGGCGAACGTGCCCGCGCCGTTCAACATGGCCGCGGCGATCCTGACGAACCGCGAGATGCTCTCGTTGGTGGACAAAATTAAGATGGTGCCCGGCCTGCTGCCGATGCTCATCGAAGGGCAAGACTTCATCGACGCCCAGGACGAGCTCTCGGTCCTCGAGTTCATGGAGAAGTACGGCATGCCCGACACGGTCAACGAGGAGATCTTCATCGCGAGGGCCCGTGCATACATCTCTGCTGGCTATGACTCACTGGTTTTGCGCACAGGCCATGGCCAAGGCACTCGATTTCACCGATCCGGACCGCATGTCCATGACGGTCATATTAACAGCGATGAACCGTTTCATTAACGAAGCCGACGGCAGCCAGACGGCGTTCCTCGACGGCAACCAGCCGGACCGCGTCTGCGCGCCGATCGCGGAGCACGTCCGCGCGGCAGGCGGCGACGTGCTCGTGGAGAAGCCGTTGGAGCGCATCGACGTGAACGACGACGGCAGTATCGCCAGGGTCGTCTTGAGGGGCGGCGAGGAAGTTTTGGCGGACGAATACGTCTCCGCGCTGCCCGTCGACGTGCTGAAGCGCGTCGTGCCCGAAGCGTGGTCGACGCTGCCCTACTTTCGGCAATTGGACGAGCTGGAGGGCATCCCGGTAGCGCGCCGGTGTCCTGCGAACTCGCGCCGACCTCGCGGCGATGGCGTGCCGGTGGGATCTACGCGGCCGTGACGTCGTCGACGCGGCACACGGACGAGAATAGTTCACCGTTCCGCCCCGCGCAGGTCATGAACCTGCAGCTCTGGTTCGACACGAAGTTCGAGAGCTCGCTGGACGGCCTGGCCTTTTCTCGAAGCCCTCTACTCTCGGTCTATGCGGACATGTCGATCTGCTGCGAGGAGTACGCCTCGGACGAGACGATGCTGGAACTAGTCTTCGCTCCGGTGACACCCGAGACCGGCGCGAGTCGTAACTGGCTCGCGGCCTCTGACGAGGAGGTGGTAGAGGCGACGCTCGACGAGCTGAGGCAGTTGTTCCCCGACGACCTGAAAACAGCAAAACTGCGCAAGTCGACTGTGGTCCGCGTGCCGCGCTCCGTCTACGCGGCCGTGCCGGGCCGCAACAAGTACCGCCCGTCGCAGAAGACGCCGATCCCGAACCTGACGCTCTGCGGCTGCTTCACGAGCCAGAAATACCTCGGCTCGATGGAGGGCGCCGTTTTAGCTGGGAAATTAGCCGCGGAGGTCGTCGCGGCGCGGGCCGTCGGCGCGCCGACGCAGGACCTGAAGGAGGTCCAGCGCCACGTCGTCGACGCCGCGGCGACGGCGGCGCCGAAGAAGCCGGTCGGCTGCGGCGGCGGCGACTCGCCGATCGCGTTCGGGGGCGGCGAGGTCGTCGCGGCTCGGGCCTCGAGGTAATTGTTTGTTCGTACAATAATCTTAACAACTCCTCGCCGGCACGGCATCACAAACCTCCTTCCCCAGCCGCTCGGCGCAGCGCCGATCGTGCACGGCGACGGCCGCGGCGTAGACCTTCCGCTCGTAGGCGACCGTGCGGTTCAGCGCCCGCCGCGCGTCGGCGCCGAGGGCGTTCAAGACGGCGCAGGTCGAGTGCTTGCATTTGTTCCCGTTCTCGCGCCGGCCGGCCTCGTCGCGCCAGAACGTCTTGGCGTCGGGCGTCGGCAGCAGCTTCTTTAACATCTCGATGAAGAGACCGTACTTCTCCGTCAGTCCGACGACGGCAAAGGATTCGTCCAGGACGCGCGCCGCGCGCCGCGCCGACTCGGACGCGACGGCGCCGCTCACCTGCGCGGAAATCGACTATCGAGTGCGGCAGTTTGCTCAGTCCAGAGGCGAGAGATCCGCACCGTCACGCCATCGAGCAGACGTCGCGTCTTGAAATGTTGATATCTGCACAGGCTCTGACGTAAGACCCGTAGCGGCTCATGGGCTCCGCAGCACCCAGGCGTTTTATGGAGTTCGCATAGAAGGGCTTCTCTTTGTTCGCCTTCTTTACGTAGTCTGCCGCGACGTCCGCGGCCACCTCTGCGAGCGATAGCTTGTCGTAGCGCCTGATTCTCAGATACAAGGCAGCAGAAATTCGGAGGACGACTGGGTCCCGCAGGCACGTCACGTAGATCGCGGGCCGGCTCGCTGGGAGCGTCCCGAACCAGAGGTGCCCGGCGACGACGTCGACGTCGGGCCGCGGCACGGCCACGCGCGCGCCGCTCGTGCAGAGCGCGTTTGCAGAGCCCAGCCGGCGTCGCCGCGGCCGGAGGAGCTGCGCAAAGGTCGCGAACGTGAGGCGCCGCCGCGCCATGCCGCCGCCGCAGCGGCCCGCGCTCACGAAGCGACACGTGGTTGTCGGGCTCGCCCGCCGCTGGCTCCACTGTTTCAGGGTCTCCCGCGTCGTGGTGCCGGCAGACTTAAATACGTGCACGAAGACGAGAATCGGGCGCGCGGCCCGCGGCACGCCGCCGTCGCAGATTTTCTTTGCATTTTTCCACGCGTCGTTGCTACCAAGGACGTGCGGTTTGATGAGTTGTGGCAGCGTCGCGTTCCGCCCTCGTTTCTTGATGATCCTGTGCATAGCTCTAAGCCTGGCTTTACCTTCCTTCTTGGCTGCCGCACAACCGCTCAGGAAGAGCACCAGCGCAAAGCCACGATTCATGGCTCTGCACAGCTCGTCAATTTCACTCAATGCGGATCTGTAGCACCCAGTCGAGTCCCAAGCCCTGGGGGCTGCATTGCTAGTGTCTTACAATCGCTAGCTCGATTATTTTTCTCGGCATCCTCCGAGAGCTGCCCTCGAGGCTGCCCCGGTCGGAGTCGCCGCAGTGTTGCGGCGGGACAAGTCACGGGAGCCTCCCGAGGCCGCCCCGGTCGGCTGGAGAGCAGCCAGCAGAGAGCGTGCTTCCTCCTCCGAGATCTCAGGGCTGCCCCGGCTGGAGCCCAGCCGACAAGTCAAAGCATTTGTGGATCCGATGGCGTCGTGGTTCCGGAAACGCAAAAAGAAGGCGCCGGAGCCTATTGCTCTGGTGGGCCTAGAATGCGGCGTGGACGACGAGGGCGACGACGAGGAACGCGTGCCGCTGAAGACGTTCTCGCATAGAATGGGGCCTGACGCGGCCTGGGAGCCGTACCCGGCGCACCAGTGCCTCGTCATCGAGGAGGCGATGCGGGCGCGGCCGAGCGGCGGGTGCGTACGACTCTCCGACCACCTGCCGTTCGAGATTCGCTGGGGCATGAAGGCCACGTCGAGCCGCCTGCGCTGCACTGTGTGGAAATCAACCCGTGTGTCAGGTGCATCTTGACTGGAGAGGAATCGGCATCGCCACGCCATCGAGCAGGTGTCGCGTCGATGGCGTGGATGAGAACGCGCCGTAAATTTGATTTCCACACAGGCGCGGCATCCCGACGACGCGCATGATCCAGGTGAACCTGCGCTCGACAAACACGCGCGTCGTGCGCGCCGACCCACCGCCGCTGCCCCCCAAAAGCTCGTGGACCGGCGGCGAGCCTGTCGACGCTGACCCGAATTGGCCCACGCGCCGCGGCAACGCGACGCGAGTGCTGCGGAACCAGTGGGGCAGCACGCGGCGGCGGCGGCGGCGGCACTTCGTGCTGGGGCCGATCCCGGGCGAGGACGAGCAGACGCGGTGGACTTTAAGGTGGTACAACAGAGAAAACGACCCCCAACCCTGCGGCGCCGTCTCGCTGCGGCACGGCGACGTCTCGATTCATAATGGAGGCGATAGAGTCATAGACGTGCGCGTCGCGGGGAGCGCCACGGGCGGCTTCCAGATGGTCTGCGACGACGCCGCGGCGCGGGACGGATGGTGGCGGGCGCTGGCGGCCTGCGTGGCCGCGACGCGCGCCCTGGCCCGGAAGAGAACTATTGTTTCGGGCTACGTCGTCAAGGACCTGGACGACGGCGCGACGCTCACGGAGCAGTTCGCGGACGCCGCGACGACGACGGTCGCCGGCCGTGTGGAAATCAACCAGTGTGTCGGGTACGAACCGGCATCGCCACGCCGTCGAGCAGGCGCCGCGTCGATGGCGTGGAGGACGACGCGATGATTCAGCACGCGCAGGTCTTTGGCAAACCGAGGACGCCGGACGGCCGCGTGCTCGAGCGGGCGCTGTCGGCGCGGTCGAGCAAGTCGGGCAAGGCCTACCGTGAAGTTGTGAAACTCATAATCCGGCCGCCGCGCGCCGAATACGACGTCAAGAAGCTGGGACCGACGCCGTTCACGTACGTGCGGCGGTTCCGGGGCGGCAAGCAGACCGTCATGCGCACGGAGTTCGCTGTAGTCAACCAGCGCCAAGACGTCGAACTGAAGTGCAGCCAGTGGAAGCCCGTCGGCGCGCACCTACATGAGCTTCCCTGTGTTCTGTATCTCCACGGCAACGCCTCGTGCCGCCTAGAGGCGCTCCAAGTTCTGAAAGTCGTGCTCGAGCTCGGCTGCACGCTCTGCTGCGTGGACATGGCGGGGAGCGGGCTCTCGGAGGGCGAGTTCGTGTCCCTGGGCCACTTCGAGAAGTTCGACGCGGAGGCCGTGTTGCATGAGCTCCGGAGCGGCGGCCGGTCGAATGGTAAGGTCGCGTTGTGGGGGCGGTCGATGGGCGCGGCGACGGCGCTGATGTGTACGGCAAAACTGGACCCCCTCGTGTCGTGCGTGATCGCGGACTCGGCCTTCGCCTCGCTCCCAATGCTCGTCCACGACCTACTGGACGAGAAGGTCGGGTCGGTGCTCGTCGACGCCTGTGTGGAAATCAACCAGTGTGTCGGGTGCTCACTAAGTCATCTCGCGGCGACGACGCGGCCGTCCTGGCTCCGTCGAGCGGCGAGGAACCGGCATCGCCACGCCATCGAGCAGGCGTCGCGTCGATGGCGTGGAGGACGACGCGGCGATTCAGCACGAACGCGCAGTAAAATTTTTATTTCCACACAGGTCGACGCCGCGATGGGGGTTGTGAGTCGGTCCGTCGCCTACCGCGCGGGCTTCAAGATTTCTGACATGCGCGTCGACGCGGTGGCCCCGGTCTGTCCGATTCTGTTAGTGCATGGATCTAAGGACACGTTCGTCGGCCTCAAGCACTCGGAAAAGCTCCAGGAGGCATTTAAGAGTACCGCGACGCTTCGGGTCGACGAGGGTGGCAAGCACGATTCGCGGCGACCTGATGACGTCCTGGTCGACTGCGCCGCGTTCCTCCTCGACAAGCTAGTCGGCGAGCCGGCGGCGGTCCCCGAACTCCGGGCCGCGCTGACGCTGACGAGGGGCCTCGGCCGGCCGCCCTTCGCGTCGTCCACAAACTTCACGTCCGGCGCCGACGCGAACCGCCAGAAGGCCGTGCGGGCGACGCTCACACGGGGCGGAGCGATAAACACACGTTAAACTTAGGAATATCTAGTCCGGCGCCATGAAGTCCCGCGAGGCCGCCGCATCGGCAGCCATGCGCACGTCCCCGTCACCCGAGTGCGACAAACAACGAGCGCGCGACGCGTCCATCATCACGAACCGCCAACAAACGAAACCCGCGCCCGCCGCGCCCGAGTAGTTGTCGAGGCACCGCTGCAAGTCCCGCTTTCTATCAACATAGTAGTCGAGGACGTTCCTGGCGACCTCGGATTTCGACAAGGAATCGGCGAGCACGGACTGCTCGATGCCATAAGGCCCGAAGCCATCCAAGTCGCGCGATGATGAAGGATCCGCGTCATACAAAACGAAGCCCGCCTCGTCGACGACGTAGCGCGCGTCCTGGGCGAGCGGCGACGTAGATACTTCAAATCCGTTAAATTGGTCCTTCGTGCCTATAAGATACACGCCCCGTCGCAGAGCGAGCAACGAGTACTGCGGGTTCTGCCTTAATAAATTGGCCTCTACCTTAACATTCATCGCACCACCGGCATCGTCCTCCTCCTGGGCATCATTTGAATTGATACACTTCCAGAACCATTGTCTCACATCAGGTTGTCGCAAGCCACTTTTAACGGCACTTCGCAACGCTTCATCCACATACTGGGGTTTTATATGATGGGAATACACAAATTGCACCGTCGGAAACAAACGTATCGTGCGCCTCCTACCCATCGTAGTGTAGGCCACGCGAAAACAAGCTTTGGGGATCGGTAAAGCCAGACAATGTGACACACGGTCCTCTCCCCTCTTCGAGGCTTGGTAGTAGTCACTCTCCTCGAAAGCCAAAGGTAGCTGGTGCCGCTTATCCCACGACTCCATCGTGTCGCTGTCCATGTTCTTATTTTGCTGTTTCTGCTTTTGTTTTTGCTGCTGCTTCGTGTAGGATATCTCCTGGCCCTCGTCGTTCGCGTCGCCGGACAGGAACGCTACTACCAGATCATAAACGTCGTTCGAGGTACTACGAACTTCGTGCTTCGCTCTAGACAACTCCACTAACAACCTTTTGACGACATCTTCGGACGGCGCCACGTTCCGCACGTGTTCGGACGTCGATACGGCGAATTTCGACCGCAGGATGTTGCAGACGATGCCCGCACATACCCTACTCCCAAAGATCTCGGCAGCGAACTTCCGAGCTAGTTGGTCCACTTTATCAGGTAACAAACCAGACATCCTCTCCAGGAAATCATTCACAATGTCGTCTTCGTGGTAGAATCGTTTATTCGCCAAATTGGTGACTGCGATGAGCGTCTGGTAGATCGACGACAGATTACCCGCGGTCCGCATGTCGCAGTTCTTTATATATAAATCCCTTGTGAGTCGCCAGCTACACACATCGGTAGCCTCGCGCCCATATTCCATGGAGTAGCCCGCTAGGTAGATCGTGAAACAGGTATCATTCATGGTACGAGACCTACCTAGAGCCTGCCATATTCTACTAAAATCGTCGACGTCGTGAGCTAATACGACGCTTTCCGCAAATAAAGGTTTGGAGAACTTTTCCCGGTAGGCTAGCTGGAAGGGCACGTCTTTTCCGATCACGTTGCGATTATCGACGAAGAAGAACACGACTTCCGGCAGTCTCTCCTGGTATTCCGTCACGAGATATTTATAAAATTCTTCATCAAAGGGCACGTCTGTTGACGTGGAGCAGCATAGAATCCGATCGCCCCCGTCGGTCGGGTCGACGTGGTATACATATTTATAAGATGTTTCTGCGACGATCACATCCCTCACGTCTCGTACTGATGAACGTTTGAAGACGCCACAGAGATCCACCAACACATTTGGGATGGTATGGTCCTCGTCCGACATACTGTTACCTCGCAATATTGACTTGAGCACCTCCAGTTCATTGCCGTCGTCCACGAAATCCGACAGCGCGTAGCGCACGGTCACATTGTTGTTCGTGCCTTGGAACATTCTGAATCGAGTCTCAAAATCCTGTTGCGAGAGCTTCTCCACACTATGCGCGTAGAAGCCCCGGTCGATCAGATCCGGAATTTGTTCAGTACTCTCCTTCCTGATATACGACGACGTAGGGTAATTGTCGATGAACGGCGTGCCCGTGAAGCCGACACAATCAAAATTGAAGACCACATCAACACTATTCACGCTTCGAGCCCGATCCCGGATCTCCATGCGCTTGAGCACAATCTCGTACAGAAAACGAGTTAATCCATCTTTCGTAGCCGGATGCAACTCGATGATGTGGCTGAGGGGGTCGTGGCCGTACACTAAGTCGTCATACTCGACCCCACTCTTCCTCAAGAACTTCGAGTAGTACTCGAACGACAGAAACTTCCGCTCCTCCTTGAACAACGCGTCGTACTTCTGCACGTCTTCCAGCAGGACGTAGTAGGTCAAATATATCGTTCTTTCGACATCCGAGTAGTAGGAACCGGGCATCGCCCTATTGACGCTTTCGTACGGCCTCGCGATTAATGAGCGGTAGCCATCTAAATCTTGCGCGATGTTCGACGAACAATGGCGTAACGTCGCTTCGTTGAAGATGCCGAAGGACTTATTTAGGGACCGAGACGCGTCCTGGACCTCCTTATGTATGGCTAAAAATTTCTGATATAAAGTAGACCAGTATGAGCCTTGTTCAGGGCAAGGTTCATTTAAATAAGCTGCTCTAGCCGTCTCGAGATACCTCTGCAAAGTCTCCCTGGAAAAGTTGTTGGCCTTGTTCTGGCAGATGTTGAACACCAATTTATCTCTGTCGAGGAAATCATCAACTTCATCCACCAAAACTAACACCCGGTCGCGGTTCGGGTAGACCTTCCGGCAAATGGCGTCGTAGGTCAACGCCTTCTTGAACTGGTTGAAGCTAGTGACGAAGATCTGTTTCTTTGGGGGTTGTCCCGTAGACAGCGATCGAGAATACGCGGACGTCCGTCGCAGACCCTCATCGAGTCGCACATCATCATGTAACAACGCGAAGATGTCGTCGTAGATCCTATAATCTTGTCTAAAATTCAACGATAAACAGTAGCGGTAGACTTGCGCGCGAGCGTCCGGGACGAGGTGCTCCGGCACCAGAACCACCAAACAGCGCTTCTCGCGGCCACCCCGCGCCAAGGCATCGCGGACCGCCTTGTTCGACGAGAGGAACGCCATGCAAAACAACGGCAGGATGACCTTGGTCTTGCCCTGCGCGGACCCACAGTGTCACGGCTCCCGCGCGAGGCCGCCTCGACGGCGTCGCTCCCGCACGAGACGCGTCGACTCTCTCGCGGCCACGTCGACGCCGACGCCGACGTCTCAAGTTGAAGCTCCCTTCTCGCGCCGCGTCCGTGCCGAGCCGACCTCGGAAAAGTGGAAGCACTCCTTCGCCTCGATGATCTTCCGCAAAAATGATCTTTGCTTCGGTCGCGGCACGATCGATCGGTCTCTGTGATACTTGACGAAGACGTCGCATAGAGCATCGACAAATACGTCCAACGAGTCATCTTGGAACTGGTCGAGGTCGTGGAACTGCTTCGAGAAGAGAGCGTCGTACTCCTTATTTTGTGACGAGCCGAGCACATATCTGATGGCCTCCTGCCACGGACCGGAAATTTTGGTCACTTTGCCGTCCCGGAACTTGTAGTCGAGTTTTACACTGGCCCTTCTTAGCTGAAACAGCACCAAGATAAATAATGAAACGTTCCGCAGATGCGCCGCTAGATCCAACAAGTTAATCAAGTGCTGCCGCGAAGGTACTTGTAACACGTAGTCCGGGTGGTAGAACGTAACCTTACTTTCCGTCACGAGATCATTCAGATGCGACGTCTGGAAGGCGTGCTCGTCGTTCAGATCCACGAAACACTCGTCGCTATCAATACACTCGACCACCTCGTGCTTCATGCCTGTGTGGAACGGATTGATTCACGACGCGCGTAGGCTCTCTGTGTGATCATGAAGACGGCGTCGACGCAGCTTGAAGTTCGGAAACAGACGCTGAGTCAGCACCGTAGTAGTCGACGTGGTGCTGGCCGCCGCCATCCACATGGTACGTAATGTGTCTCGACGCTAATAAAACAGCGTCTTCCGAGTCGGCGTACGTGAAACAAGGGACAAAGGAGACGGCATCATTAAAAAAGGCGGCACAGACCTCTACGCGCGTCTGGTTGACGCGTACCTCCACGCCCGTGGGCGTCGCGTCGACCCGCAACGCCGCGTCCGCGACGAACAGTAGATATTTATCTGATGTTGACCGAAACACGTTCCGGATCTCCACGTACCTCACCACACTTTCTACACCAGGTCGGCGAGGATCGACCCGCACCTTGTAGAGCTGGACGTCCGGTTGCTGCGTTCCGTCCCCAAGGTCGAACAAGGGCAGCTCGTCGTACTTTATCAATCCGTTAGATTCCGTGAAGGTGTGCCGTCTCGTGATCAAATCTAAATAATCGGACGTGGCCACGGAGAACTGCCTCGGGACCACGATCCGAAACGCGCCGTCAACCTTGAGTTTATAAGAATCGACCTCCGCGGACTTGTTGATCTGGCACAAGGAGACGTAGATCTTCACTAGTAACACGTAGTCCCGGTATTCGGGGTCCGCTTGTAAGGCTCGTATGACCTTGTTCGCGTAACCGCGCGCGTCGACCCGTCGATTCACCAGGAACTTGTGGGCGACCTCAAACAGTAAATCTTCCACCCTTAAACGCGTGACGCCGTCCTGCGTCGTTTTCTTATCTCGTTCGTGGATGGAATCGGAGACCTCGACTTGGAGCTGCCTCAAATCTCCTCGGCCCGCGGCTGGTAGCGACGGCAATCGCAGCAAAGAAGCGTATCTAAATAACCCAAAGTCCAACAGCAACGACAACAAAGCTAGGTTGATCTCCGCGTCGTCGGTCCGGATCTCGCCGTCCACCCTACTACATAATCCTTCCAAGGCCCTTTGTAAGTAACTCCGTTCGAAGACCCGATCGACGGCAATGACATTCGTAGCATCGCCTCGACCCGACGTGCAACCGGGTACCACCTGAGCATGGTCCGCGGCAACGGCCAGATCCAACTCACCATGCGTGTTCATTTGTATCGGACCGTAGGCATATGACGAATGACTAGAATCGTCGACGAGTTTCTGGCACGAGATAGCTAACAAAGAGCGAACATCTTTCCCGAACAACTGTAGACCCGTGAGATCAGGATTCCGCCAGTACCGCTCGACCACGCTCAGAAAATGCAGAGGTCTATTGTACTTCGTCCAGGCGAAGCCCTGACCGATCCTGAGATGGACGATGGTCCTCTCTTTGGCTTGGGGTGTATTACCCATCGTGCCTTCGTACCGCCTCAGGCCATTGCGCGCCATCTGATTGATCGCCTCCTTCGCGAAATCATATTCCATCCTTCCCGACGACCGAGACATGAGCTTCGTCGTGTAGAACGCAGCTCGACTGAGAGTATTGATGTCCTTGGTCCTCAGGTCCTCGTCGGGAAATCCCAATGAAACATATTCCCCGAAAAACGCATGACTAGGAAAGTGGTCCAGGAATAGTTGGCGGTGGTTCGATCTCCGGAACTCGTCCTCATCTAACAATTCGTCGTAGTCCGCCGCGCGCGACGTCGAGAACCTCGCACTTTCAGCCAGAATATGGTTCGCGGCTCGGATTCGCGTCTCGAGGTCCCGGTCCGTTTTTCTTTCTTGTTTGAGTAGAGCTAACAGGTCCACAGCGTACAGGTAGTGGTGCGCATCTCTCAACTCCTTCTGGCCGTTCTCGTACTGGCCGTAGAAGTAGTAGTCTCTGTGTAGACCCCTCTGGAGCAACGGCGCTTCCAATATTGAAGAGAGAATCGGTTGCAGGTCCGCGTAGTGATCTAGCAAGCAGTTCTTTCGCAGCGAGTGGAAGCCCGCGAAGTCTCTCAATCTAAGGACAATTTGCGCGTGGAAGCCGAACGCGAGGGACGTCGCTCGGTACTTGTAGAAGTGCGCTCGTGCTAACTGAGATACCGCATCGTCGTTCGCGTGGCCTATTCGCTGTAGTTGTTTCGTATTCGGGGCTGATGATACTGCCCCGACTAACGAGAAGTCGGCGTAGCGGTGTAAGATACGAGTACGACATAAGTAGGAGTGGACCTCGCTGATCTGCCGGGCGTAGTTTACGGTCGTCGAATACTTTGCGAGGTACTTGACGCAGAGGTCGAAGTAGGGCGCCGCCTTGTACCTTGAAAAGTCTAGGAGTACATTCGCGTTCGTGAGGGGCCGCAAGCACCCGTCGGGGCCCCGCCAGAACTCCAATAAGAAGCGAGCTACAGCCACGGAGCACCGTTCCAGGCGAGCTGGATCGGGAACATGTAACGTCGAACCCTGGATAGTCAACGGCCCGCCCGCGCGACACAGCAACGCGAATAAAAACGTCTGGAAGTAGCACGTGTTTCCTGTTCTTTGGGCGTCCATTTCCGATGGATTCGAGGCCCTATTCACCAAGTACCACTCCTGTAAGTCCAGCCTTATCGGTTTTTCGAAGCCAGCGCCACTCCTCCCGTACCTCCGGTTCAGGTCCCGGTACATCTTGAAGATTTTTCTACGTACAGAAGGTGCATGAAAGCTAGTATAATATTCTTCAGGATTTTCCTGGATGTGTTGGCTGTTGCCGTAGCCACATTTCAGCAAGTGCCACAGGACGTGCGACTGGGCGCCGTCTCCTGTTAGGAGTTTCTGGCCGCCTCCAGCGGGATCGTAATGTACCACCGCACCTCGTTCCAGACACTGGAAGGCCGTAAAATGAGCGTCGATGCAGCACGTCACGAGCATCTGCTGGGACTGGACATATTCCAACAGTTCCTCGTAGAGCATGTTTTTTCGGTCTGCTAGTACGTTCGTGAGCATATCAACCTCCAACACTCCCGAGAAGAACTGCGCGACCGCGTGGTAATTACTATAACCTCGGTCGAAGTATGCGCTCGGCGCGAAGAGTAATAATGGCGAGAAAGCATAAGGGTAGCAGTCCACGAGCTGGTCCGTGTCCTCGCTCGCGACGCGCTTCCTCTTTTGTAGTTCTCGCAGCGCCGCGGCCGTCGGCGGCGCGGGCGGTTGCAAGGGCGACGTGGGTGGAGACGCGAGGTGGCCGCTGGCGCCGCCGCCCATGGTGTCACCGTTCATTTACTGGTTTGATTCGTCGCTGGGTCGACCCCACGCCGCGCCGGCGATGTGGCCTCGCTTGCTGCCCTCGCTGGCAGGCGTGCTTTCGTGCCTTCAGCGCTTGCAGCGGTCCTCTGCTGGATCGCTGCGAACTAAAGCGCTGCTGCTCCCACTCAGCTGGCAGCGATATGGCACGACTGAGGAGTTGAGCGGGGGCCCTGCAAAAGATTAGCTAGCGGTACGTAAGACACTAGCAAGCAGATACCTCTAACTTGATATAATTTTATATACACCAGGGGGGAAAGGTCGTTCGCGGGTTCACGGCGACGCCTCACGTAGACGAGAGCCACACCTTCATCTCCGCGACCCAGGCCGAGAGAAGCATGAAGACGACGACGAACGTCACGAGGAGCGGTCCCTGGGGGTCGCCCCACTCGGGCTGATCTTTGGCGAGGATGTGTCTGGCGCGCCAGCGGTACGTCAGCAACGCGTAGCAAGCTAAAACGGACGCGCCGACGCAGAGCATGCCCCCGTAGCACGCGGCCCGGAAGCGCGCCGCCGGCGAGATGAACCGGGCGCCGGCGTCGGCGAAGGCGAAGGCCGTGGAGCCGAAGGATACGAGAATAACAGCCATATGTAGCCAATGGATGAACGTGCGCTCGTTCGCGAACAAATCTTTGGGCATCAACAGTCCGGCAGCCGGCTCGCGCTCCGTCTCACAGCAGCCGCCCTCGAGGACGCGCCCGGGCTCCAGGGGACCGGCTTCAGCGACGGTCTGAAAACATCCCGGTTCCTCGCGCCGTTGGATCGACGCTTGCGTGCGCCGCTCGCCGTCGTGCCACTCGCGGGCGACCGGTCGCAACGCCGCCGCCCCGACGGCTCGGTTCCCAAACGACTCGGGCGACTTCAGCGCGGCCTTGACGGGCGTCTGGAAGCTCGCCTCTTGCTTGAGCGCCGGCTCGTCGGTCCAGTAGGGCACGGCCTGGACCTCGTCCGGGAGTAAGGTTGCGGCCCCATGTATATACCTGTGTGGAAATCAAACTTCAGGCGCCCCACGCCATCGACGCGGCGTTGAGGCTCACGAACACAGGCATATACTTCGAGAACTTGTGCACCGGCACGAGGTCGTCGACGATGGGCTTGACCCATCCCGGTAAATCGTCGGCGTCGTCGAGCGCGAGCTTGATCTCGAGCACGGCGAAGGGGAACCTCGCGACGCTGGTACCGCGGTAGTTGCCAAACCACCTCTGGAGAGCGCTCTCGTCGACCTCCTCACTTGCAACCTCGCTCACCAAACAAAGATTCGTGTCGATGGCGGCGCGCACCGCCGTCGATGGCCGCAACGCAGAGGCGCTTGCGCGACATAAATTGTCGAACGAGATATATACTGGTGAAGGCATCCCCGAGAGGCCGTACCGTTGCCGGCGGCCCGGCGGCGTCGAGGCGTTCATTGAACTGCTAACGGCGGTGCGCGCGGCGGGAAGCTGGAAGCGCTACGCGGCGGAGCCTCGCGTCCAGCTCGTCGTTCTGCGCAAGCTCGCGGAGAGCGGTCGCGCGGTCGCGACGCGGGGGGTCCTGACGCGCCTCTTTGCGCCGCGGCGTCGGCTGCAGTCGATTGGCAGCCCACTCCCCGACGTCCTGTTCTGGAAGATCCTCGAGTTCTGGCGCACGGACCGCGACCCCTAGGCTCTAATGATGTGTTAGACGGGATCAGGAGCGGTACTCGTCCGGGTAGGCCGAGTGGCAGAGCGGGCAGCAGTTCGCCCCGTCGAGCGCGCTCTCGATCGCGTGGTGCCGGCACGTCTTGCATTTTATGGTGCGGCCATCTAGTACAGCTCTTCCAGTCTTGGTACACGCGGCATACCCAACGCCCATGTTCAGGCACTCGAAGTAGCACGGGTCTAAATTATTGGGACTCTTGTCGCCGGGCGCGTGGTCCGTAAAGATATCAATAGCTAATTTCTGAATTTCCTCCAGATAATCCTCCTTCTCATCATCACACTGTGGAGGATCATCTAAAGTTTCGAGCTTAATAAAAGCTTTAGAACAAACATACCAGTCCTTGGCATGGTACGCCGACAATGCCACCAGGCTATATATATCGACCTTGGGCAGGATGTCCTCGTACTCCGAGAGTCTAATACTAGTTTTCATGGCGTCGACGTACTGCGCATCATACAATTGTCTATGAGCTAAACAGTAGTAGTGGTAGCAGGCCGCGCCGCGCCACGCGTTGTCCATTATTTTTCTACCGGCGCCCGTGCCGCTGTCGGCGTCCTGCGTCATCAACGTGTCTAGCGTGGCCGCCGTCGTTTGCGCAATATCCCCATTCGTCGTCGTTAGATCCAGCGCCTTCTTCCGGAAGCGTTCGACCTCGAGTGCCGCCAAAACATGTAATTTCTTCGCGCGCACCGGACAGGCGTTCTTGACGCCGACTTCTTCCGCTATTGTGGCCAGTAACTTGGCGGCGTCCGTGGGCCGGTTGGCCCTCCGATATAACTCGACAGCCAACAGTTTCTGGCCCTCCCTTAGTAGCTGCCCGGATCGCTTCGCTAGCAACCCCTCGATCTGCTGGTACCCGTGGTCCTCGGCTATTTCTGCCGCGCGTTCCCACTGGTTCAACAAAACACAGCAGTCCACGGCTTGTTTAGGTTCGTTGGCTCTGAGATATGCGTCGACCGCCGGAGTGTGCAGTCCTACAGACTCGAACATGCGACCCAGTTCCCCGAGCAACGGATGCCTTTCAGGTAAATTCGAGAGCAACTTCTCGAGGGCGTCAAAGTCCTCCAGTCTATAATAACAGGAAGCTCTTTTTTCAACATCCCCAGCGAGGTCGTAAAATTCTCTAGCACGAGACCATCTACTTCTCCCCGCGTAGTGGTCTCCTAATTTCAAGTAAGACGCTTGGAGCGTTTTATCATCGCCCGCACCAGATCGAACCAACTCGGCGACGCGCTGCCAGTCGCCCAACCGCGTCCTCAGATCAATGGCCAAGTCCTTGCGGTCGATATCCCTATAAATTTGTTCGGCCTCCTCGAAGCGCCCGAAAAACGCAGCAACTTCCGCTTTCCTCTTCATGCGGTCCGACAACGCTCGTAACCTTTTCACGAATTGGATGCCCTGGTAGTCGCTGCACCGCACAAAAGCTTTATCCGCACATTGCAAGTCAAGAGCTTCTAAAGCAGCTTCCGCTAAATGCCGCCACAGTCGAGGATGGGGGTTCGCGTCCACAAAGTTATACGCGTCGGACGCGCCCGTCTGGGCTATTTTGTCCTTCAATTCCCTCAGTCGAGCCGTGTCATTGCTAACGACGGAGTCTTTTTGCACTTTATCTGGCGACTGGACGACGTGCTCCAAGACCACAGAAGTGACCTGCAAGTCCTTGAACGATGCGAGATACCCAGAACACACGACGGGCTCCTCCGGCTCGAGATTCTTGTAGACGCAGAGCCGCGTCTTCTCCATGGCCGCAAAACTGTCAGCATCGTCCTCGGCCCACAAGACGTCCCAGCAGTCCTTCCTCTCCAATTTCATGACCGGTTGGACGTCCTCTGAATCCTTCTTTTCCTCCTTTTCTTCCGAGAACTCGTCTCTGACGACTTTACGGCGCTCGGGGTCTGCAGCTGACAGATCCAGGACACCCAGTCGACCGTGCGCGTCGACGACAGCGATCTTGGAAGCGTCGCAGTTCACCCGCAACAACCACGGCGCCGAGTGGTATCTATGGATACATTTCTGCCTGAGCGTCGGTAGCGCGAACTCGTGGACGTCGCCGTTCCTTCTACCGACGAACAATGCTTTTTCGGAAGCCGTTATTGCTGTTATGGGGTCCCTCATGCGCTCATCATCCTCGCGGAACTCATTCAGAGGTAGGGAAGAACCATCTTCGACGTCCAGGACCTTCTCCCGACCACCGGCCTCCCTCAGACTTATCAATTCCTTCTGCATCTTCTGCTCGCGGCCTTTTACCGATTGTTGTCTGGCAAATTGCCACACATAAACATAGCGCTCGGAAGCCACTAAGCAGAAGTGTTCGGTCAGAGAACAGAACTTGGGGTCCAGTGGACTTGAACGTTCCTCCACGACGACACCTATAGCGTCTCGTAACTTAATAGCATGTGTCGTTTTCTTGGACTGGATATCTACTTCATCGCAGATGGTCACGCAGTGGTCGCCGACGGCCTTGACATGTCTTAAACCGTTTGCACGTTTTTTAACTTTGTCGCCGGTTCTCAAATCCCAAAAAACTAAAGCCGTACCAGATCGCTCAGGAGGCTGGTAGGCCGCGACGATCACCTCCCCGGCAAACAGGCCCCACTTGTGCTCGGGTCGCGCATTGGCAAAGTAGATGTAGGCGTCGACCGCTAATGCGATGCGCAAGCCACCGCCTTCCCAGGATAAGGCGTTGATGCCGCCGCCTGGCACTTTTAACGAGCGTAATTTGACGCCCTTCGGGGAGTAGAACCGCACGACAGCGTCCTTCTTCTCCTCGGACGTGCCGGCCAAGGCTAGCGTCGTGCCCCGCGTGTCCCACTTGCACTCCCTCAATCTCAACCCAGAATCGATGATGATGGGGTCCGCATCATCTGAGCCTCTAGCGAGCTGCACGCGACCATCGGCGTACGCCACGGCCAGCGTCGGTGCCGTACTGTCCGCATACCCTTCCATGCCGTCGTACCAGTCGATGGCGACTATCAATGCGTTGCCGGCGCGCTTCTTTTTGGATTCACTTCTATCACTCAGCGAGGGGATTGATTTCACCTTCGTACCTTGCGAATCATATATATGGAGTTCACTATCCGTAGTCACGAATAAGATATACGACGCGTCCGGCGACCACTCCACATTAGTTAAACCGGTCTCCATCTCCTTGCCCCACAACCGATTCCCATCGACAGAACCGACGATGACCGCCCCGTCCTCATAGACGATACAAATCTTCTGGCCGTCCGGAGTCCATTTCATCGCTTTGACTACTGACCTATTGCGGTTGTTGATCATCTCCTCGAACCAGACGCCTTTATGTAACATCCAGACTATTATTAAACCATTTTGATCTGAAGTGGTGAGTTTGCGGTAATTCGCGTTCCACGTCGAACACACGACGGCGCCCTGGTGGCCCTCTAATGTTTGGTTCATCGATAAATTAGAAGGTGCTTGTGTGGCACCGGCAGGCCGCGGCGCATCGAGTTTAAGTACCTTAAGTAAACCATCAGCCCCACCAGCCGCGAGCCAGCCGTGGTCGGGGTTCCACGCCAAGCTGTGGAGCTTGACGCCGTTGGGGATGGCGATCTTCTTACTGAGGTAGACGAACATCTTGTCCCTCCTTCGTCGTCCTCAGGCTCAGGCTAATTACGTCGCGGTCCTCGGCCGCTCCGGCAGCCCCAATCCGGGCTTGGGTGCCACTCCCTCCGGGCGGCACGGGCGCGCCCGCGGGCAACCCAAGATTTGGACGGGAGGCAAGTCCCTGCTGGCTCGAGCCGGCGCCCAGTGCTGCGGTCCTCGCAGTCCGCGCGTTTCCCTCCGCCCAGCACGCGATTTGTAAATGTTGGGTACGGGGTTCGAGGCTACCGTCCGACAAAAATGTACATTCAGCACCTCTCAGAGGACTCTTTGGACGCGCAGCGGACGAGTCGTCGTGCGTTCTAAAATTTTATGCTCCTGGCAAAAGCACAGCACAAAGCAAATAGACGACGCTGTTTTTATATTCTAGATTGTTATCGATCATCAGTGATCGAAATCAGAGAGCTGTCATACATACCGAGTGAATCCTAGCTTGTATTACGCCTTCGACGCGCACAACAAGTAGACACAAAGCGCGCTCTCCAGACAACACAAAAAAAAAATGGGCTGCGTCGCCTCGCTCGCCTGCTGCGCGGCCTGCGCCTGCTGCGAGGGCGTTTGTAGAGCGTGCTGCGCCTGCGGCACTAAGACTAAAGAAGGCCACGTGAACCCCGACGCGGGCCGCGTCGGCAGCATGTGGGTCATGATCCTGGCTATCGTGTTCTCGCTCATAGGGCAGTATTATCTACCGGTGCGCCATTTAGATTATTATGCCTTCAACCAAGGCTGCGACACAAATGCCTGCAAAGGCGCCGCCGCGGTGTACAGAGTCTCATGTTGTACAGCTTTTTTCTTCATCAGCAACGCTACGGTGTCGTGGCTGGACCCGTCGTTTCACGATCGGAGGTGGGTCGCGAAGCTCTTCGGATGGATCTTACTACTCTGTATTTCATTACTAATTCCGAACCCGGTGTTTGGTCTGGAGGGATATGTGTGGGTCGCGCGGTTCGGGGGCTTCATCTTTGTGATCCTGCAGCAGATTCTACTTATTGATCTTGCTTACTGGGCGAATGATTCACTAGTGGCGATAGCGGAGGAAGATGTTGATTTGTGGTGCGGCTACCCGTCGCCCCTAGTAGCGTTACTTGTCGGAGCACTGATACTATACGTGGCGGCTATTGTCGGAATAGCTTTGTTATTCACCTATTTCTCCTCCCCAGCTGTCCGTGGAGACTGCCCCGCCCCGGACACCATACTGTCGATAACTTTGATACTGGTGGTGTTCGCTACTTTATCACAACTATTCGTCAGTAAAGATGCCAACCTACTGACATCATCAGTGGTCGCGGTCTATCTCGTCTACCTCGCATCCTCAGCCGTCGCAGCAAATCCAGTAGAAAGGTGCAACGCCTTCCATCGAAAGGGCGACGACTGGGTGTCCGTGTTTGTGGGGTTGTTCGTGACGTTGATAGCGTTAGCATACTCTGTGTACTCCGCGTCGGCCAGTGTCAAGTACCTCCAGGACGGCCGTAGTACATCAGATAATGCCCCTGGCGGCGACACGATGCAGAAGATGCTTACTGGTCAATTAGACCAAAGAGGAAAACCGACCGCAGAAGCTACGGATGACTACGACGCCACGCGGACGGCGGAGAGCGTCGAGAGCCAGTCGGACGACGACACGCCCATCAGTCAAAAAACGCCGGCCGAGGTCCTGTCCTTTAATGTGGTGATGGCGCTGATGTCCATGTACCTCGCGATGGTCCTGACAAACTGGGGCTCGCTCGAGAAGGCGGGAAATGCAGCCGCGCCGTCCGCCGGCCAGGTCGCGATGTGGATCATTGCGGCGTCGCAGTGGGTCGCCGGGTTGCTCTATATCTGGACGTGCGTGGCGCCGTCGCTGTTCCCGGGCCGGGAGTTCTCCTGATCATGCTTGTTGTCGTCGTTTCCCCCTACCACTAAGTTTTCTGATTTCGAATGTTACCTCCGAGGAATCTATCGTCAGGGGGGTATACCTCCGCGGCGGGCGGCGCGTGACGCGCCCGAGCGCGGAGGGGCTAAGAGTGAGTGTGCGTCGCACCGTCAGGAGGATCTAGAAGTGCGTGTGCGTCGCGCAGTGCACCGTGAGCAAAAAGTACGCGAGGAGCGGCTGCGGCGTGATCAGCGGGTGGTCCCAACCCATGCCCTTGGCCCGGAACGACGGCTTGAGCTGGCGCTCGATGCGGTAGTTGTCGTCGCGCGTCGCCGCGCACTCCGCGTAGCCGTTGCTCCGGCCGTGGTGGCGCGAATTAAATAACACGTCCCACAGGCCGCCCAGCGACGCGAACGTATAATTCGACCCGCAGTGGCCTTCGTGGTGCCAGTCGTGGTGGTGCGGCATCTGGGCGAAGGGGAGTAGTCGTTGGGCCGTGTGCACGATATTAAAACCGCCCGCGAGACCCGAGTGCTTCTCCAACGATTCGCAGATGCGGAACAGCCGCGACGCGACGAGCACGGGAAACGGCAGCGGCACGATGATAGGGGCACACACTTCACATATAAAAGCGTTAAAGAAGTTGTCGGCCCAGTGGTCCATGTAGGTCGTCCTCGCTAAAGGCGTCTTCGCGAAATGATGTAACGAATGGACGTGGCGCCAGAGGAATTTATTGACGTGTAAGTAGCGGTGCGCCCAGTACATCCCGAACGAAAAACAATAATGATGCGCTATGGTCCGTACGAACCAATACACATAAGGACGGTCCGCGTACTGCTCCGGCACGGTGACGGTCGGGTAGAGCAAATGCCCACCGTACACGTAGCACCCCACCAACAAACAGAACGTGGACAGCCCCGTGAGGCGGTCGTGCCACTCGATCAAGGCCAATTCATCTTCGGTGCGCTGCGTCTCGTCCCGGTACTGTGATGGGCGCGAGTCCTTCTGGATGCGTCTTTCTGGGTACGTGTGATAGGCCCACTCGAGGTAAGGGTTGTAGATGCTCCTCACAATATACGACAGGAGGTACAGTATCCCAATGTCCCGCAGGCGGACCGTCGTATTTACTGAATCGAAGCGCGTCGTGGCGAAGCCCGCTATTAGTAAACCGACGAGCAGGATGAGCCCCTGCTGCTCCTCCGTAACTCCAAAGTGCTTGTTGTGCTCCGTGCGGGCGTAGGGGAGCGGCTCCTCCTTTATTGTGGTGGCGGCGTCCTTGGCGGCGGTCGCGGGCGCGGCGGCGTCCCTGGCGGCGTCGGCGACCAGCTCACTGGGCTGGGGCGGGCGGCACATGGCTAGATCTCCGGTCGCAGCGGCTCGTTACGCCCCAAATTGCGCAGGCTTGTAGATCAGTCGTGTGTTGCCACGTCCCGAGAGCACGGCTGTCCGGGGCGCCGCTGGTGCCGTGCTTTAACCGTTACACGTATGACGTTTTTCTATGCTTTCTAGTGCCTTACACCGCTAGCTAATGATTTCCGGCGCCGCCCACTAGTCCTAGCACCGTAACAATATCAACCAGCACCGTCACAGAAATAAGCGCAAACACCCTTAGTCATCACCCAGCGGCAGGAACTTCCCCTTCGGCGGCACCTTCCGATTCCCTAATTCAGGAACGTAGTCGTAGTTCCGCCGCACGGCCGAGTCGATCGCGTCGTCCTCCCGTAAAAACATAGGGACGCCGTCGTCGGAATCGTCGTCCGAGTCGTCCCTCAAAAACACGGGCGCGTCGTCTTCGCTTTCTTCAGACTCCCAGCTCCCGGGCGTCGCGGGCCGGACCGCGGCCACCTTTTTGGTCGCAGGCGCCTTCTTCGCCGACGCCTTCTTCACGGACCGGGGCGGCTCGGGCGACGCCCGGGACACGACCTTGGCCGCGCGCTTCGGCAGCACCGACCCCTTGGCGCGCTGGGCCCGATGTCTTTCGAAGCGCACGGCGCTCTTGGCTCTCTCCAAACTCCCTTGGAGTTCATCGCGCGCCTTCTCGGCGTCATTACATTGCTCTCGCACTTTCGCGAGTTGGGAGTGCAAGACGTCGGCGCGTCTCTTCTCCTCGCGCCACCGCCGCTTCCAGTCCGACGCCGTCACGGCCTGGGGCGTCACTTGATCGGACGGTGCGCCGTCGGGCTTGTTGCCCGGCCTTTTCACGGCCGTCTTCTTATAGCCGAAGCCGCCCACTACCCTCGGCGCCTGCTTCGGCGGCTCTGCCCTTTGTACGACGGACGGCGGCACGAAGTCCGGGGCGAAGTCCTCCTCGTCGTCCTCTTGATCGAGTGGTTGCTGGGCCTTAAGATCGTCTAATTCAGCTTGAGCCGCCTCGCGCCACTCGCGCTCCGTGGCCACGTCCTCGGCCAACTGATTATTCTCGTCCCGCAACCGCAGTTTCTCGCCCTCGAAGGCCTCGTGGATCTCGACGAGCTGCCGCTCCGCGTGGTCGGCGCGCTTGTTCTCGTTCTCGGCTTGAACACGAGCGTTGTTCTCCGCGACCCTCAGCTGCTCGATGACCTCCTCGGACCGTTGATTCCGCTCCGTCAGATCGGCCACTTCCCGTCTTAATTCTTCCGCCTCATTCACGGCGACCTTCTCACTATCGCGGCACCGTCGAGCTTCGCGCTCTCGCTCTTCTGCATCATGTTCCGCCTTCTCGAAGTCGCGCCTCCCGTCGCGCAACTCGAGCTCGAGCCTCCGCACCTTCTTTTCGGTGGCTTGTTGTTGCGAGACGGCCTCGGACTTCTCAATTTCTAAAGTTTGGTTTAGCTCTTCCAGCTTGATGAGGTCCTCTTGCAGCTTTGCGTTCAGCGCCTCGAGCGCCCGCAGCTCGGCCTGGGCCATAAACACATCGTCGCCCCGTCGATTTTCCTTCTCGGGCGGCGTCGCCTGGCGCGAGTCGCCGCGGCCATGCGCGAACAAACCGTTGATGACCGGCGCGTCCGCGGCTTCTAATGGGCGGCCACTCCTCGGCCTCGGCCGTGGCCGCGGGCCGCGCTTCCTCTGGGCGGCCGCCGTGGGCTTGGAGTAGGCCGGGGCTGCCCGCATCTGTCCTGTTCAGCACCGCACGCGACGGTTCGCGCGCGGCGCGCAGCGTCCGGGTGCGACGCCGGGCAGCAATGACCCCGCTCGGACGGCGTCGACGGTCGCCTCTTTGCGCAACGCTGCCGAGCGCCCGTTGCCAGGCCAGCCCCGCGACGAGTGAAAGGGGGGGATAATAGGCAGCTCTGCATTGCGAGCGTTCGATGACACGAGGGATCTTAAGGATAGTCGTAGGCGCGGAGAAACCCGCACTCAACTTCTAGGGAGCCTCGCGACACACCCAAGGTCTAGTCTAATCTTACGCCTTGTTCGCGGCCTCGTAGAGCTTCTTCTGCTTGGCCCACTCCTTCTTGCACTTCTTGATCAATGACTTGGACAACGGCTCGCCAGCCTTATTGTGCGTCGGAATGCCGTCCGCGTCCCACGCATTATACTCATCGGTCCGAAATAAATCTTGAGGTTTCACCTTCTTCAGGGCCTCCTTCTTCAGGCGATCCGCTTCCTGCTGCGCTTTCCGAGAAACGCCCGCTTCTTTTTTGACGGGCGCGCCTGACTTCAGAGGTACTGTGAGGTTGAAGACTAACCTATCAGTGGTAGCGTCGGGGTCCACGGCGTAGAAGCCCAGTCGCTCGAACTGGAAGGCCGTCCCATCACTAGGCCGTTCTAGGCGCTCGACGAGCGCCTTGTCACGCACGACGAGTGACGTCTCTGAAAGTTGCGACTCCCACTTCTCATCATCGACTTTTCCTACCGTGAATAGGTGGTCGTAGTCCCGCAACTCACACTGCATAGCATCAGACGACACCCAGTGCAGTTTACCCCTAGGGTCCTTCTCGACCTTGTCAGAAATTTCGCACGTGATGCCGTCCTTCTCCACAGAAATGCATTTGAGGCAGACGCAATAACGCAAGCGAGCCCACTTGTTCAGTGCCAAACCGTAAAAGTCCTTACTATCAACTTCGCGGAAGTCCGAGGCTTCGATGTATACTACTTTGGTAAGTGTCAGCGGTCTCGTCCCTCGTGACGCATCGGTCGGGTGGTTCGGCGCGTCATACGTCCTGAATAACGACGCATCGCCAACCAGAGTAACCTTCAGCGGCTCGCGCACCGCCATCCTCCGATCGGCGCGTTCCTCGAGGTCTTGCCTCGCGAAGTGTTGCAGCCTCGAGTACTCGATGAAGTTCTCATTACGAGTAACCCCAACGTCCCGACAGAACGCGTTGACGGCCGCCGGCGAGTAGCCCCGCCGCCGCAGACCAGAGATCGTCGGCATCCTCGGATCGTCCCATCCTCTTACCTTACCGGTATCTACGAGTTTCGTGAGTTTTCTCTTCGAGAGGACCACATGGGACACGTTCAGCCGCGACATCTCGAAGACCTTGGGCCGATACAGGTCCAGGGCGTCGAGCACCCAATAATATGATTCGCGTCGCGTCTCAAATTCTAAGGTACAGATGGAGTAATCCACATGTTCTAAAGCATCCACGATGCAGTGCGTGTAGTCATAAGTAGGATACATGCACCACGCGTCGCCCGCGTGGGGGTGCGCGCGATGTTTGACCCTATAAGCCACTTGGTCGAACATGTTGAAATTACTCCCGCCCTCCTCGTACATTTTCAGTCGCAACGTGCACTCGCCTTCCGCTGTCGTGCCGTTGCGCATCTTCTCGAACAAGGCGTGGTTTTCTGCTACACTTCGATTCCTATAAGGTGACTCGTGCGCCGACGGTTCGTGTAATTTCGCTTCGGCTACGAGTTCCGCAGGAGGATCCTGCATGGCCTTCAACGCCACTCGAGCTTTGGCTACACTGCGACACGCCTCGATCTCCGACGACGACTGGTGGCAGACATACGCCTTGCCCTTGTCGATGAGCTCCAGCGCCATGGCGTAGAAGACGGGAAAATAGTCGGACGTATGCGTCGTTACGACGGGCGTCCAGCCCATCCACTGCACGTCCGTCGCGAGCGACTCGATGAACTCCTTGGTCTCAGCTTCGGGATTCGTGTCGTCGTACCGGAACACCGTTTCGCGCTTGCAGGTAACGCCGGCGCCCTCTAGCCTTTCGAAAGCTAGCGAAAAGTTCATGTTCATGGACTTGGCATGTCCTAAGTGTAAGTACCCGTTGGGCTCCGGTGGGAACCTTGTCCTTATTGCTTTGCCGTTGAGCGCTTGGTGCTCCTTGAGTAATGCCTCGGTGTTGTTGCAGGTCTGGGGGCCTCCACTTTGTGATGCTTCGGGCCAGTGCGTGAGCGTGCGGCCTAACAACGGGTCGGTCCGCCGGTCGAGCGCCCACTGTGCGCGCGAGCCGTCCTTTTCTTCCGGTTTCTCGGTACCCACCCATTTGGATGATGGGCTTTTCGCCCACCAGGCGCGCTTGAGCATGCTGCTTCTGGGCACGTTGCTCGCCGGGCGGTCGTTTTTTGCAGCAAAATCCTCTCTGTGCTGCTGTGGCGGCGATGGATCAATGCCGTCGCAGCGATGGCGTCAGGCGGTGAGCGGCTGGCTCAGCTATTTCTATAAGTAGCAACTGCTCTTCCTTGCGAGCTCTGCTCTGCACCAGCTCGCTACTCGCGAAGCTCGACGACAAGAGTGGCTAGCGGTCTGTAACACACTAGGAAACAAGGTACGAGCTTGTACGCCTCTGTAGCACGGTAACAGGATTAATCCTAGCATCGTCGTACAGAGAACGAGGTGCAGCTGCTTTTTCGCCGCCACTTCTAGGAGCGGACGGACTAACTCTAGGAGCGGACCGGCGCGACGCGACGCGCAACCTAGTCTAGAGAGTCTTAGGTTAAGAACACATTCAGCCGAGCGCGCAACGCCGCCCGGATCACCGCTATCGCTCGCCGCCGCCGCGGGACCTGCCAGAAGGAACGCCGGAAAGGGTAAGAGAAAACGCCCGCGAAAATATTTTTCACGCAGAGGGGCGCTGCGCCGCCTTCGCCGCGTGGAACAATAGGACGCGCCACAGCTTGACGACCATGGTCTGCGCGTCTTCGTCCAAGACCAGTGCGAGCTCGTCGCGGATTTCTTCTGGTTTGGCCCTTCGCCCTAAGCAGGAACAGATGTAATTGATCAGTGTGGGCTCCTCTTCCCCCAGATACTCGGCGATTTTTTTGGCGACCCACGGTCGTAACTTGGCCTGGACGACGCCCGCGCGCTCCACCTATATGTTGCAATGATACAAGTTGATACAGAGGACACCGGTGAACGTACGGCGGCCCAATCCACGGTGGCCTTGAAGAGCTGGTCGGCGTCGGTCGGGATGGCCTCGGCGATGGCGCGGTCGCGCTTTTTGGCATCCTCGTCTGTGGCCGCGCGCGCGGATGATTGATTATCAGATAAAGAGGGCGCTGGCGCCGCGGACTCGTCGTCGTCGAGTTTCTGGAGCACGCGCGGCTTAGAAGCCTCCTCGGCGCCAAACGCAGAGGTAGCCAGCCCGGGCTTGAAGCCCCGCGGCGGCGCCGGCGCGCCGCCAAGCGAGAAGCCGAGCTTGGGCGCGTTCGGCGCGAGCGCGGTCTGCGACGGGGGCGTAGCGTGAGCACGGCTTGGCTCTCGCGCGGCGCGGCCCCGCGGCGACGGCGATGGCGGCGGCGGCGCCCTCCACGCCGTCGACGCGATGGCGGGAGCAGGGGAAATACGTACCGCCGCCGGCGTCTCGAGCTTCGGCCGCTTTTCGGGACCACCCTTCATGCCCAGCGTGCGCTTCTTCGCCGAATCCAATGATGCACTTATGGTCTTCTCCAACGCTTGAGCTTCCTGGACCTTGGCCTGGAGCTTCCGTCGGCGCTCGTCCTCGAGCTCCTTGTCGCGTTGCGCTTGTTTCTCGCGGAACTTCTCCATCTCCTCGGCGATCATTTGTTCTTTGGAGCCCGGTGCGGGCGCGTTCGGCATTAATGACGCGAGGGCAGCCGCAGGCACGGGCTTCGTCGTATCTATAGTCGATACAAAAGTACGCAGCCTTGATAATTTCTCCTCGTCGGCGGGAGTCCGTTGGACCCCCCCAGGAGGCGATGAATACGTCTGCGTGGCCGCCGACGTCAAAGCGCGCCGCTTCGTGATCAAGTCATCAAGGATAGCCTGCTCCTTCTGGCCCGTCTTCACTTGTATTTTTTGCCCTTTCAAGTCGAATTCATTCAGCAGCTCCACGGCAGCTAGAGCGCCTTGCGCATCGCTAAAGGTGCAAAACCCAAACGCCTTGGGAACATTATTATCACCGACCGATCGCTTCCACTTGAGCACGCCGCCGCACTGCTTGAGTAGCGCTTCGACACACGATTCGTGGACGTCTAACGGTAATTTGCCCACAAACACGTTCATGGGGGCTTTGGCTCCCTCTGGTAATTCCACAGCTACTGGTGCTGGGGCAGGCGCGGGTGGCGCCGGCGGCGCGGCGACCGGTGCTGCTGGTACCACGGGCTGCGGGTAATAAGCAGGGGCGGCCCCATACGTCTGCTGCGGCGGATAGGCATACCCGGGCTGCGCGTAGGGGTACTGCGGCTGCGGCGGGTAGCCCGGGACTGGTTGATACTGCGGCTGCGCTTGGTACTGCTGCTGCGGGTAGGCGCCGTAGGCCGCTTGTTGTTGTTGCTGGTAGTAGGCGGCCATGGCCGGGTTGTAGGGTTGCTGGGGCTGGCCCCATGGGTTCATGGTGTCGCCGCGTTGTCAAGCGCCCGCGCTAATTTTTTTTTCAGGAGCGGCGCGGCGCGTTGCTTTGTGCGGCGCCGGGCGTCTCGCGGCGGCCACGCGCGGCGGCGGTCCGCGGCGTCGCGGCGCGTCGCGTAAGCGCACGCGTGAACAGGCGGTGGCCGAAATAGCCTACCGGAGCCGCGCCGAGCGCCTCGTCACGTCGCAGGCGTTGCTACACGTGTATCGCCAGTACGGCCAGCGTCCCGCAATTACCAGCGCGACAGCGCGCAAGCGCGAGCGTCCGGCGTTTTGGTGAGTCGAGATTAGCTAGCGGCGTGTAAAGACACTAGACGGCCCGGACGCGTCGCGCCGTCGCCTTCCACGCCCTCGAAGGCGTCACTCCACGGCTGCTGGTGTGCTTTTGGACATGGCTTGCGACCTCCATCTATGAGGCCTCCAGCCTCGGCATTTGTTGTTGTTGGTCCCAGCGCTTAAAACGAGGCGGGCGGAAGCGTACGCACGTGTTCCTGCCGACTGCACCGCGTTTGATTGCAGCGCTTCGACCGCGGACGCAGCGGCGCGGCAGCCAGCCAACACTGAACACTGAGTGCTGCACACATTATTATTTAGCAGCGCGACGCCGCGTGCCGCACACGTGAAGCTTATATTTGGCAGCGCGACGCCGCGTGCCGCATTAGTGAAGCGATGCTGCGCGGCTTCGGCACCGCCACGAATGCAACCCTGAAAGAACTGCTCGCGTCGGACACCGATCAAGCTGAGGACCCCGGCGCGGACGGCGACGACGTCGACGCGTTCGTGAGGGCCGCGTCGCCGCTCTTCGGTGCGAGTGACGAGCCGTGGACGCACGAGTCCATCAAGCCGCCGGCGACGCCGCCGCGGAGTCCTGAGGGAGACGGCACCGACACGGACCCCTTCCCGCCGACGCCGCCGAGCTTTCAAGAGCGCGCCGCGACGGCGACGGCGGCGCTGCAGCGTATGTTGGATGCGTCGCCTCAAAGCCCGCCGTCGCCCCTCATGAACTGCACGGCTGCAACCAGATTACATGCGCGCGACGCGGCGGCCGGCGTAGGGGCGGACGCGAAGAAGCGCTTGGCGGAGCTGCTGCGGGACTCGTCGTCGGATAGTGAGGACGAGGCGCCCGCGCCGGCCGCCGCGCCTTCTCCGTCGGAGCCTATAGCCGAGAAGAGCGATGCAGAAATCATGGAGTCGATCGAGGACCTCATCGACGACCCGCGGCCGCCTTCGGTCATCGAGGAGGCCGCCGCGAAAGTAAATCAAGCTGTTTCTCAGGTTGTGGACGCTCTTTCTCCTGCAAAAACCGCGCGCGCGCCGTCGCCGCCGGCCTTTGACGAAGAGGGCGACGACAGCGACGGCGACGCCCCGGCGCCGTCGCCGAAGGATGCGCCGTCGCCGCCGCCCGCGCAAGCGCGCGCCCCGTCGCCGGCGCCCGCGAAAGCCGCCGCTACACCCGACGACGACGACGCGGCCCTGAACCGGGCCGAGGCCGACGCTAGAGATCAAGAAGGCGACGGTCACAGCGATGATGGTGAAGACCACAAGGCCCCCCTCGTCTTGCGGGAGGAGGTCACACCTCCAACATCTTCCGTTGTACAACCCGTCTCCGCATTATCAGCAACATCGAGCAAATGGGAGACGGAAGACGAGGCTAGGTCTCCTGATAGACCCGCGCCCAAGCGCAAGTCGCTCAAGAAGATGTTCGCGAGCGGCGCCAAGGGCATCAAGAAGCGCCTCATGGGCCGGCCGAAAGTGGTGGATGAAGGTAGTGATGAGGACAAACGGTCCTCCTCATCGTCCGCGAGGCGGCCCGAGGAGATTTCGGAGTACGCCGCGGACCTCGAGAAGAAGCTGGCGTTGTTGCAGGCACATGCGGGCTTGAACGACGACGAGCTCGAGTGGAAGCTCGCGTCGACCGAGACGGCAGATCCATATGGTTTAGCGAAGGCGGAACGCGAAAAGGCCGAGGGCGACTACGATCGATTGATGTGGGACGAGTCGCGGTGCGACCAGGTCGCTAAACTAGCTGATGATGTAGCTGTTTTGAGGGCTTTGGAGGACGTGGTCGAGGCGTCTTCCGTAACACGAGGTACTGCTGCTCAGGAGTTTTCGCGTGAATCGGCGGCGCACGCCGCTCAGCGCGCTCTGGCGACGTCTCCTGTGAAAGAAAAACAAAGCATGGCGCGCGAGGACTCGGTTCGAAGTGTTGGTGACCACGAAGCTTTTGATGTTGACGACGATTCACAAGAGCGCGACGCGGCGGCGACGCTCCCGCGCGACGCGGAAGATACTAGTGACGCGCCTGATGCCGCCCAGCCGGTCCGCCTCGGCGTCCTGATATTGCCTTCAGTCTGAGACGGTTCCTGCGCGCCGATCTAATCCACCTCGACGCCATCGACGCGACACGCTGTCCACACAGGTTGATCCCTCGAAGCGCCGCTTCTCGGAGCAAGGCGAGGAGCCGGCGCGGCCGCCGAATCCCTTTGGCAAAGGCAAGGGCAAGGGCAATCCCATGGCGGGCGGCCTGCTGGCGGCGATCGCCGGCCGCGGCCGCGGCGGCCCTCCGGGCCGCGGCCGCGGCGCGGCGCCGCCCGGCGGCCTGCTCGCGGCCATCGCGGGCCGCGGGCGGGGCCGCGGCGGCCTCGGGGCCGCGCTGTCCGCGCCGCGCAAGAAGAAGCCCAAGACCCTCGCTTCCGCGAAAGCGGCGCTCGTGAAAGCGCGAAGTCGGGCCGCCGCGGACGCTGCACGCTTGCCCGTCCAGCTGCCCGAGTTTGGGATTGTTGAGACGTGCACGGCGCCCGTCGTCGACGCGTTGCAGGACGAAAACGACGACGACCAGTCGCACGCTGGTAAAGCTCGCAGGGCCTCCGCGACGATCCTGAAATGCGACGCCGCCGCCGCGGCCGCCTCGGCCGCTTTAGCTCTGCTACGAGAGACAGCCAAAGAAGCAAGGCGGGAAGGCGATCGACTCAGGACGAATTTGCGGGATGTCGAAGGCGCGCTGGACGTGTGGAGGGCCCGCGAACGCGACGCGCCGAATCGCGCCGCCAAGCTAGCTGAAGAAGAAAGGGAGTGGAGTCGGAGAGAAGAAGCTGCAAATGCGGCGGCCCTGGCATTAATAAGGACGCTCGTCCCACCGGACATCAAGGGCGACACCGTGGAAGGCCTGCGGCACCGCGCGGCGCGCGTCGTCGCCCAGGCGGCGGCCCAGGCGAAGCGGCGGAAGCGCGAGGCCGAGGGCGACACCACGGAGGAGCCCCCCGTCTCCGACAAGAAGGCTCTCGCGATTGCGGCGGCCTGGGGCGGCTGCTACACGTATGCTCTCGCCGAGAGGTTGAAGAACGCGCGGCCGCTCCACTGGGTCCAGGCGCACCCTGACGACGTCGCCACCCAGAACTTTCTGGCCGGCGCCGGCGCGGACTCGTTCCGCAATTTGGGCGATTACGACGTCGTCGAGCTTAGGGCGATCTACGCGGCGTGTCCCGAGCTGTGTGGAAATCAACCAGTGCGTCGGGTGCACCGTGCTGGCTCCGTCGAGCGGCGAGGAACCGGCATCGCCACGCCATCGAGCTGGCGTGAACGCGCCGTGAAATTTTGATCTCCACGCAGGTCCCGAGAAGTTCCAACTGGACTCGTCCGGCGCGAAGGCGGCGTGGCGGCGGCAGTTGGTTGAGAGACTGAGAGAATTAGTAGCTCGCGAACGGGGCGACCGCGTCAACGCCGGCTGGGACGGCGCCACGGGTCAAAGGAGGACGCAGCAATTACCACCCTTACCAGCGAAGCAGCGGCGCCACCCGGCGTACTACTACCCGTCCAAGGCTCAATTGGAGGAGACGGCGCAGAAGCACAAGACCCTCAAGAAACGTCGGGACGAGCGCAAGAAGAAAGTCGCTACATTAGAGGCTGCCTTGGAGGAAAGACGGGACGAGCGCGACGCCGCGTTCGCGGACTCTCGCTCCGAGTACCTCCAGCAGCAGTACGGGCGGCAATTGCTGAGAGATCTAGCGCGCGAGGCCGACGACGCCTACAAGGCCACCTCGAAGGAACTCGGTAATGACGTCCAAGGTGCGAGAGCTGATTATTTACGAGCTGCCAAGGCCGTGGACAACGCCCATCCTACGGAGAGTGAAGATGCGGCTCTGCGCAAGTTAGTAGAGCGGCATTCCTTGTGTGATGGCGACGCCTTAGCAGACGCGCGCGACGTCGCGGCTTTGCGCAAGCGCGCTCTCGCGAAGGCCGGCATCTATGATGATGAGGAAGACGACGTCACTGAAGATGATGAACGCGTCCTGAAGCATGTGTTCGCCGAGGAGCCGCGCGGGCGGTTGGTGCGGGGTCCGTTCGATCCCTGGCCCGCGATCGAGCGCGCCGAACGCGCGCCGGTGCTCAAGAAGTTGTCGGACGAGGAGGAAGCGCGGCTGCGGCGCGAGGAGCTGCGGCAGCACGGTTTATCAAGGCGCAAGTCGCTGTCCACCAAAGAAGTGGCCAAGACGTTGTCTGCTTCCGCGGCCGCGGCGTCTTCCTCGCGGCCTACGGTCCGCCGCGTCGCGTCGGCGAAGCCGGTTACGAGTGGTGGCTTGGCTCCCGTGGCGCCGCGGAGTCGGCGGTTGGCGGAGCTGGCGCGGAAGAGTGCTGGTGGGGATAGTGGTCGTGATTCTACGGGGTCTACATAGTAATAAGTGTGTTGGTATTGATTCGTTTGTTGAAAGGGGTTTGAAAACGGGTAGGAGTTGTGATCTATTTATATTTGTGGCATTGCTTCGTGTGGAGGGGTGGTTTTTGGAAAAACCGGGTAGGATGATCGACTGGACTCTGACGTGTGCAAGCACACTGGTCCAGCCTTGTGATCGTTTAGTTGGACGAGGCGGACTCGAACTTGGTGACAGCCTTGGTGCCCTCGGAGACAGCGTGTTTGCTTAACTCGCCGGGGAGCATGAGGCGGACAGACGTTTGGATCTCGCGGGACGAGAGCGTCTTCTTCTTACGTACATCTACCGAGTCCTCAAGCAAGTCCACCCCGACACGGGCATCTCCAAGAAGGGCATGAGCATCATGAACTCGTTCATTAACGACATATTCGAGCGCATCGCGCTCGAGGCGTCCAAGCTCTGCCGCTACAGCAAGAAGAAGACGCTCTCGTCCCGCGAGATCCATACACGGACCCCGCCGCCACGCTCAACGATCTCCGCGAGGCCGTGACGACGCTCGACGGGGTCGAACGGACCGCGCGACGCGTGTTCGGGAGTGCGCACCCGCACACAGTGGACATTGAGCTATCCCTGCGAGACGCGCGAGCCGCGCTCGGCGCCCGCGAAACGCCGCCGCCATCCGATCCATGCCGGACTCCGCCCCGTCGCTAGCCGACGCGGTGTCGGACGGCAAGTATCGAGCCTAAGAAAGCGAAACATAATTTACCCGAAGCGCCACGACTACGCGAACATCGCGTCCATGAACTTCTTGTAGATCACCATGAACTTGGCCACGAAGGCCTCGAGGTGGAAGATCTCCTTGGAGCCCTGCTGGACGCGGTGCTCGTAGAAGGCCGCGCAGGCCATGACCTGGGGCTTGAGCTCGTCATCTAATTTCGAGACGAGCTCCGCGCAGAGCTCCTTGAGGATGACGTCCGCGGGGATGCACTTGGCCAATAACTCATACAACTTGTCGCGCGTCGCGACGAGGCGCGCCGGCGACTGCTCCCTACATATATCCTGGGCGATGGCCTTGATGTAGACCTCCCAGTCGGGCTGGGGCACCGGCATTGATGGATTGAATGGGTATTGGGCCACCTTGCACTCCTCTAAGGCTAGAATCGCCCTTCTCAGGTTCCGGCCCGAGGACTTGGCGATGCGCGCGGCGAGCTCGTCGGGCAACGTGAGGCGCTCCTTCTCGCAGACCTCGTGTAAGACACCTACGATCTCCTCCTCGGAGGGAGCCGCGATGCGAATGCCCAGGCATCTCGATCTTATAGGATCAATAACTTTGGAAGGGTTCGTGCAGATCATCACGAGTCTACAAGCCGACGACGATTTCTCCATGGTCCTCCTTAAGCCGGCCTGCGCTTGTCTCGAGAGCCGGTCCACTTCCACCATCAGAATAACCTTGAACGCGGGGCCCTTCTTCTGCGCGCCCGTCTTGGCGAGCACCGAACCGGACTGCGCGATCTCCTTGATGACCTCCTGCACGACGAAGCGGTCGTTGTTGCCCGCGTCCGAAGGGTTCATCTCGATGTGGTAGTTCGAAGCTACGGTAGTGACCTCGATCGTTTTGTTCGTCGGCGTTTTGAACTCCCTATGTTCGAGGCGCTGCTTCTCGGCACCGGCACCATATAAAGCCTTCAGCAAACATTGGACGCGCGTCTTCTTGCCCGCGCCCGACGGCCCGTAAAACAACAGATGAGGAATGTCCCCGTCCTCGGCCATAGAACCCAACCGCTCGCCGAGCTCCGCATGGTAGCTCAACTTCTCCAAGGCCGTCGGCCGGTGCTTGTCGACCCAGAGCATCGTGGACGGCCTGCGGGCGGCGGCTCGCGTGTGTGCGGTGGCACGGTGGCGCGGCGATGGCGCGCGTCTGTATTTTGCGCGGCGATGGCGTCGTCTGTATTTTGCGCGCGCGCGGCGATGGCGTAATACTCCTGCGTTGTTTCGTGCGCCGCGCGGCGAGCGGGCTGGCACTCCTCGAGTCGAATTTGAGTGCTGAGGCAATTTGCGCGCGTCTCGGGCGCTGGATTTTACGCGCACGGCTACAGAAGGCAAATTGACCAGTGCTGTCCAAGTGACGTGCTGTGGCAGTCCCGCGTTGCCCAGTAATTTCAAAATCGGTGGGGCGCGGCGGAGATGCAGCTAGCGGTGGAGAGGCACTAGCATTTGAATTTTGCTTCCCGAACGAGTGGTCTGGGTCCTCACACCCGTCCGAACCTCCGCAAGGGACCAGTAGGACCCAAGCCAGGGCTCTGCGAGCTCAGCCTCAGGCTGCTGCAGCAGCACCAAGCGCTGAGTGCCACGCCCGCAGACCGTCCACACGAGCGTATTGATAGGAATCAATCATAACTGAAACAGCACCAACGCCGTCGAAGCGTTGAAGCCAAAAGCACAACACACACTGTGCACAAAACACAGAGAGAGAGCAGCCTGCAGCCTCCTCCAGCACAGCGGCGCGATCGACGAAACGCGTGATAAAAAATGAAACTCGTAGCGCTCGCAGTAGCAGCGACCGCCCTGCGGCCACTCAGCACGCGCCTGCACGCCAAAAGAAGCGAGGACGACATCGGCAAGCAGGCGAAGGGCTTTTACATACGACCGAGCGCGGCCATCGAGCGGGGCGGCGGCTTCTTCATTCCCGGCCTCGAGGGCGCGAAGCTGCGCATCGCGCTGGGGGGCGGGTTGCTCGTGCTCTCGGGCCTCTCGATCGCGACCTCCGGAGACGCGCCGCTGGCCGTGCGCGTGTCCGAGTGCGTCGCGGCCTTCGCGAGCGCGGGCGTCGTTTTGCCGTATGTGCTGCCCGCCAGCAAGGCGGAGGACGAGCTTTCGGCCTACCGCGGCGGCGCGCCCGTCGTCGCCGAAGGCGCGCCGGCCGACGCGGCGTGGGCCTGCGGCGCCGTGCGCGCGGCCTTTCCCGACGCGGCCTTCGTCGCGTTGGTTGATGGTGACGGGAGAGTCCTGTGTGCGGAGCGCACGCCGCCCTCATCTAGTTTCGGACGCATAGCCGGCGACACGGTGCGGCGGCGGGACGCGCCGGACCTCTTCGACGCGCTTGGTGGTGCCGATACGGCCGCGGCCGTCGCATCGAACGACCTGGTCTGGCTCGTCGCGTCGGACGAGCTCCGGGACGACGACCGCGCGTGGGTCGCGGCCTTGTTGGAGAGCTAGTATAAACATGGGATTTATCCGGGCGCGGCCGGCGCGGGCGCGGGCGCAGCGGGCAATGCCGACCGGACGAGGTAGCGCGTGATGCGCACGGTGTCGCCGCGCGCCGTCGTGAGCACGAGCTCCATCTTGATCGTGTCGCCGTCGACGTAGGTCCGCTCGAGGGTCCGCGTGTCGACGAGCTGGCGCCGCTGCCCCAAATCGGTCGAGATGGTGACGGCGTCGGCCGTGCGCCTCGCGAGGAAGACCTTGGTCAGCTTCGACGCGCCGGGCTCCGTCAGGGGCCGGTCGAACTCGAGGAGGCGCGACGACTCGCCGAACCAGTTGATCTTGCGCTGGCTCAGCGTCGTCGTCGTCTGGCGGATGTCGTAGAATGTGGGGGTGGTTTCCTCCTTCTGGCGATTACCCGCCTGTGCGCAAATCAACCAGTGAGTCGAGTGCCCACGTCGACGTGACGTCGTCGAGCAGAGGTCGCGTCGATGGCGTGCTGGTCCTGATTCGAGAAGCGCCGCGAAATTTGATTTGTGCACGGTTGCCGGCGACGGCCATGTCGGCGAGGCCCATGGCCCTTAAGTAGGGATCGAGGGGCTCGGATCGCGTCATGTCGAGCTTCCACGTTCCCGTCAGATCAATGCCCGAGGTCACGGGCTCGCCGAGGCTCACGGGCGGCGCCGGCGCCGCGGCGGGCTCCGGCGCGGCCGCCTCGGCCGCCTGCCGTCGCGCTGCTTGCCGCGCCGAGCCGCGCGTGGCTCGGCTCATTTCTCTCTTGCGCGGTCGTTTGTCGTTGTCGCGTCGTTTCGTGCAATTGTGGAGGCTCACTCGCGCGGCGTTTGTCGCGTTCGTGTCGCGCGTTTGTGGCTAATTGCCCTTGCTTTGCAACAGAGTCGTGTGTTGTGCTCAGAATCGGGGGCTTTTTCGCCAGGCGACGCGACGTATCTTGACTTGTTAGCTTGCGACGTTGCCAGAGAACGCGCGCTGGTACGAATTTACATACCTGAGCGTTTTTGCGGTGTCCAGTGGATTGGACCAACGCAATGAATGGCTGAGACAATGGCTCCGGAGCTCCACGACAGGAAGCCTCGAAGGAAGCCTCGCGTGAGTATCGCATTCTTCTTTCCTTACTCGCATAATTTCCCGTCACTAGCGGTTGTAAGACACTAGGCAAGCAGCCCTCACTTTTGTGTATGCTGGTGTGCTGCCCTTTTAGCTCCGGTTGCAGCCTAACTGGCAGCATAAGTGGAAGCTGCCCGCTTCTGGCAAGCATGGGCAGCATATGCTGGCTCCTGCTCGCGCTCGCAGCAGCCGACGTGCTGGAGCTCAAGGTCGACGACGAGCTCGCCGTGCAGGCGCGCGCCGAGTTCGCGAAATTCGAACAAGTCATTGCGCCGGCCGACGCCGTGCTCGACTGGGCCGAGCGCAGCGCATATAGAGAACAGGTCACCGACGAGGAGTTCGCGGCGTCGTGGGTCTACGCGACCGAGAACAGTGAAGAGGAGGGCCTCGACGCGGCGCGCTTCGAGCGCTTCGTGAGCGCCGTCGACGCCTTCGCGCGCGAGCGTTTGACGAAGGAGCCGCCGTCGCTCGGCCAGCTCGCGCGGGGCATGCTCAAGTCGCCGGCGATGCGCAAGATGGTCACGTCGCTCGCCGTCGGCGCGGAGGGCTCGGGCGGCTTGCTGGGGATGGACGAGAAGCTGCGCCTCGGCGACGGCACCACGGACGACGAGGAGCTGTCCGCGCAGCTCGACGACATGCTGCAGTCGGAAGGCTTCGCGGATCTGGTCGACCGCGTCGTGAACACGCCGTCGATCCTCGCGGCGGTCGACGACGCGGCGCACAAGGGCACGGCTCCGAACGCGGCGGATTTACTGCCCGCGATCACGGAGGCGGTCTGCGCCGGCTCGGGCCTCTCGGAGAGGGAATGCGCCGAGGTCGAGAAGTCGGCGGCGGAGCGCCTCAACCGCCTCGGTTTTCTTGATGGTGATGGCTCGGGCGGCCTTCTGTGGCGGACGGTCGAACGCCTCGCCTACTTCGCGACGCGGCTCGGCGCGAGCGGGCTCGGCGGAGCGCTCGTGCTGGCGCCAGTCGTCGCGCTTTTCCTCGCGCTCTTCCTGGCGTTTGCCGTGAAGGCGCTGGCGCACAACCTGCAACGTCTCTTCGGCCGCAAGAAGAAGAGGCGCAAGCGCGACTAGCTTATCTAATTGTGTTGTGAATCCGATATTTATCGCACGCCCGCGCCGCGCCGGTACGCGTCGCCGAACATCCTCGAGAGCGAAAAGCGCCGGCGTCGCGGCGGCGTAGACGGCGGGTCCGGCTCGGCGCGCGGCGTCGACGGCGCCTCTGGCTCGCCGCGTGGTAGCGGCGCCGGCGGCGGGGGCGACGCGACGACGACGCCCCGCGGCATCGCGTCGAGCAGCGCGTCGAGGTCGACGTCGCCGTCGCCGCGGCGGACGGCGCGCCGCAGGTCGTCGACGGACCGCAGCGCGCGCTCGAGGTCGTCCCGCCGGCGCGCGCTTTTCAGGTCCGGCGACGGCGGCGCCGCGCCCGCGAGGACCGCGGCGAGCTTTTGCTGGACGTCGGCCGGCGTCGCGCGGCCGTCCAAACCAGCGACCGTGCGTGCGATCTCGGTCGTGACGTCGCGCAGCGTGTCGATGTGCTCGCGCGCCGTGGCGTCGTCGAGCAGGGCGTCGGGGTCCGCCGGCGCGGCGCAGGGGATGACCCGGTGCTTGCCCATGGTGGTACCGTGCGTTGACGAGGGGCTGCCTCGCGGTCGGAGCGCGTCGCCGGCGCTCGGACGGTCGTTCGACGGGAGGGCTGCCTCGCGGTTCGATGCAGGAGGTCCCACGCCTTAACAGATTGTTGCACAAGCAAGCAGAGCGCTCTTTTTTTTTTGGCGCTGCAGGGAGAGCGAAATCCGGAGGAATCCGCGGGAATTGTGCGTCTCCCGAGGAGGTCGGTCCCGCTGTAGCGATGCCATCGAGGCGAAAACCCGTCACTCTGAGCTATCATCGAGCTGCCTGGCCGCTGTTCGCGGCGCACGACCGTATATAGAACACGACGAGTGGTTTCGCATCATTTTGTTCGCATAGATCGAAGCTAGCAGTTCCACACTTGACGTTTGCGTTAAAGCTGCACTCTCACTAGAGGCTCACTCACTGCGAGCTCCAGAGCCGTACGACCGCCCACAGAACTCCTCATCGATCGCAGCGATGCTCCGCGCCGCCGCCGCGACGCACCTGCGGCGCCACATCATAACGCAAAGGCGGCGCATCGCGACGCCGGAATCGATCCGCGCCGTGGCCGTCGACCCGAGCGGGTCGCTGACGCCCCGAGCCGTCGACCTCGCGACGCTGCGGAAGACGACGGGCGCGCCGCTGCGCGACCTCTTGAATTTGGATATTGGGGAGCGGACACGACGGCAGCGCCGGGCCTGCGTGCTGCCGCGCGACAAGGCCGTGCTCCTCCAGCTCGGCGGCCTGACAGCCGTCATAAATGCCGACGAGGCGCTCTTCTTCGACAATGGGGGCGAGGAGCGGCCGCGGGCCGCGTTGCGGCGGATCGGGGCCTCCGTCGAGTTCGCGTTTCAACATTATAAGGCGCCGGCGTTCGAGCTTGCGGTGCTCGAGGCCGTGCTCGCCGAGGTGTCGTCGTCCTTCCAGCGGAGGCGGGACCTCTACGAGCCCGTGGTCCAGAAGCAGCTGCGCGAGGCGTCGTGCGAGTTCGACGGGTTCGGCGTCGACGGCCTGCACCGGTTGTCGGCGTTCGACGGGGCGCTCATGTCCTTCGAGGCCGAGACGAGGCAGGCTTTGCAGGTCCTGGACGAGTTGTTAGCTTCCGATGAAGATATGCTCGGGCTGCTCCTGAGCGAGCGGCGGGCCGGGACGAGTGTGGATCCGGAGCGCCACGGCGTCGTCGAGCTGCTGCTGGAGGCCTACCACCGGCGGCTGTCGGCCGTCGCCGGCGACGTGGCCGAGCTGCGGGGCAAGGTCCAGGCGGCGACGGAGCTGGGGCGGGTGACGATCGATTTGAACCGGAACAATATTATCAAGCGCGATGCGGTGTGGAAATCATTACGGAGGCCTTCGCGAACCTCGTCGATGGCGTAGAACCGCTACGCCATCGAGCAGACGCTCGGAGCCAACGTCGCGTCGATGGCGCGGGGCGCCTGACATCTGATTTCCACACAACACGCCATCGAGCAGACGCAGTTACAGAGCCAACGTCGCGTCGATGGCGTGGGGCGCCTGACATTTTATTTTCCACACATATTCAATCTTTACTTGTCAATGTCCGCTGTCGGCCTCGCGGCCACGACGTCGATCGCGGGCATCTTCGGGATGAACCTGGTGTCGGGCATCGAGGAGGCGCCGCTGGCGTTTGGGGCTGTCACGGCGGGCTCGGGCCTCGTCGGCGCTGCCGTCATCGCCTGTGTGAAGAATTATCTGGTGCCCGGCGCACTGGTTGATTTCCACACAGGTCGTCGCCGGCTTCCACGCGGCAATGCGCTCCCAAAAAAGCATCGAGCAGCGTGCACGGCACGCAGCCGACGACCGCGAGGCCCTCACCTCCCTACTCGCGAACATGGCGACGGTCGAGAACGTCTTCGACGACGCCTGCCGCGACCTCACGCGGCCGGCCATCGCCGCGCGGCTCGAGGCGGCGACGGGAAAAAAACCTTCAGAACGGGAAGTCGAGATCCTCTTCGATATCTTTGACGCGTCGCACAATGATAAGATTTCGCTGCGCGAGGCGAGGTCGGCGCTGCACCGCGGGGACGCGCACCCGCTTATTACGTAAAATCGGATATTTAGACTGCCGTGCGATACTCGGTAGGGGGGAGGCTTATGCGAGGAAGTAACGACGGAGCCCTCCGCGCGGTGGCGCGCCACCTGCGCGTCGAACCGGGGGGGGGTCTCTCGATCAGTCGATCCAAGCGGCACACTCTGGCACCGCTGCGGCGCACTTTTCATCGCGAGTGAGGAATCGAACTGCCGCAGGGCTGCCCCTGTCATCGCGAGAGGGTGTGTGCGCATTGTGCGCCGAAATCGAGACCGTGCCGTCCAGGAGCATGGTGGTATCAAACTCCTAAGGCGACGCCGCGATGTCAGGGGTGTTCGAGTTGCCCGTTTTAATCGCGGCCGGCAGCGCCGCTGCTCCGTACTGCAAGAAACTTGCTGAAAAGATACAAGAGTTCGTCTTGAAGCGGGCCGGAGAGGAGGTAGACGAGCGCGTCTTCCGCAAGGGCGAGCGAGCCGAATTCGAGAACGGACTCGAAGACCTCGCAGTACTCCTGGAGAGCGTGGCGCTGAATCCGGCGGTCGACGACCAGTTTGTCAGGAACACGCTGGATGGACTCGGAAAGTCGATCGAGGTCGCCGCGGACGCGAAATACACGAACGAACGCGAAGCGGCGCGGAACGTTATTAACGATCGCAAGAATAATTTGATACTGGCGCTTGTCAACGTGACGTCCGCGAGGGAGTACACCAGGTCCGCTGGCGGAGAAAGACAAACAGGACAGGGCGGAATCGAAACGCTTTATACGTATGAACCGAGCAAGAAAGAGTCGCTCCTCGGTACTGGCGCCTTTGCTAACGTGTACAAGATGCGAAATAAGGGCGACAAGCTGATCTACGCGGTGAAGCTTACCATGATCGAGGGGGCAAGGCAGAACGGCATTAGTAGTAGCGCAGCGTAGGCGTAGCGCGCGCGCGCGCAGCGTGCGCGCGCGTGTGCAAACCGTCCCCGACGCCGCATCGTCGGCCTGGGCCGCGGCCACGGCGGCCCGGAGCGCCGCGAGCCAGTCGTCCCGGAGCGCCGTCGACGCGGCCGCGCTGCCCGCGTCGAACTGGAGCGTGAGGGGCCGGTCCTCGCCGGCCGGGATCAGCGTCAGCGCGCAGCTGTCGAGCGCGCCGCCCATGGACGACCGCCGGCTGCGGCGCACGTCGCCTCCCGCCTCGACGTCCGCGTAGTCGGCCAGCCGCGCGGACCCGGACGCGTCGCCGTCGCCGTCGCCGCCGTCGCCGAGGCGGCGCCAGCGCAGGACGCGCTCGGCCGAGACCCAGGCGAAGCGCGGCTGCACGCTCTGGAGGCCCGTGCGGCCGTGCTTGAGGACGACGGCGCCGCGGCTCAGGAGGTCCCGCGGGTTCGGCGGCGGTTGGGACGGAGACGGCGCGCTCGCGCGCGGCGGCGGCGCGTCGGAGTCGGAGGTCGACGCGGCGCGGTGGCCGCGCGGGCCGTCGAGGGCCTGCTGGAGGTCGCGCGCCTTCGCCTCGGCGGCGGCCGCCCTTCTTAAAGCGCGGTCGGCGTCGTCGGCGGCCTTGGTCAGGGCGCCGTCGGCCTCGCGCAGGGCCGCGCGCAGCGTGCGGTTCTCCTCGCGCAGGCGCGCCACCAATTGTTCTCCGGGATCCAAATCCAGGTTCCGCTGCACGGCCACGGCCTTGACGGCGCCGCAGCGCCGCGCGAACCTCAAGGTCGCCGCCGACTCGCGCGCGTGCTCCGCGTCCGCCGCTAATGTAGCAACTAAGGCCGTCCGGCAGTTCCCGCCGAGCGAGTCCCGGAGCATCGACGTGAGCACCGAGTTGCGGTACGGGACATGTTTTCTGGGAGACAGCGCCGGCGACGTCTCGCAGAGCGTGCGCACGACGTGCTCCAGGTGGTGGAGGCTGAGGTTGATGTTCCGGCTCTCGAAGGACGCCACGTCCTTCGTGCGATACGAGAAGCGCTCCGAGCCCGCGAGGTCGACCAAGTGGAGCTTGGCCCTTGTGCGCGCTTCTTCATCAAACACGTACAACGTGAAGACCGCGTGAGATCTAGAAGAGAGGTCGTTGGCCTTCGTCCGGCCCGTCTTCCGCCGCTCGGAGCCGAGCCATAACAACCTTAAAGCGTCCGCCTCGGAGGCCGCCTCGTACTCGGCCAAGCCGTCAAATTTCAATGAACCGTTGTCCTCCAATACCCGAGCCTTGACCCAGTCGTCGACATTCTCTCCCGAGTTCCGCGGGTCCAGGAGGTCGTATAAAACATCATCGTAGACCTGCGCGAACGTCGCCGACACGGAAACCTTGGCCGGCTGGCGCTTCGAGGCATACCTGAAGATCTGGGAGATGGCTCTAGGGACCAGTCCCCTTTCCCGAAAGGAGTCGCCGCCCACGACCGTGTGGGTCTTCCCAGAGCCGGTCTGCCCGTAGGCAAAGACGCAGCCGTTGCGGCCTTTGGTGGCGCCCGTCACGACGGGTTTCAACAACCCATAGACTTCTTCTTGCGGCGCCTCGGGGCCGCAGACCTTGTCGAGGGCGAAGGCGGCCGTCCCGCCCGGCGCGTCCTCCTCATCATCATCAGCGACCTCCGTCGGATCGCGGTGGACGACGACGCTCGAATCGTCGGCCTTGATGACGGACGCCGTGGCGCCCTCTTGGAGCGGTTTGATTCGGGCTACGGTCAGTAATTTCCAGGTCTGCGCGGCGCTGCCCGGCGAGACGGGGTCCGGCGGCGCGGCCATATTTTGCTGCCCTTGCTTGCGATGTCGAAGCTAGAGTATCCCCGTCGCACGGACGTGGGACGCAAATCGCTGCCCTTCCTTCGGCGTCGGCTGCAGCGGCTCAAAACCGGAACGTCACACGGAACCCGTCGTGCTAATGATCCCAAACCGGGCGGCTTCGGCTCGGCTGCTTTAAATGTTTGCTAGTGACTTACGACCGCTAGGTAAAGCTTTTTGGGCAAAAAAAAAGTACAAAATCGCTGCATTTTGGCTGAGCTACGCACGTACAGAGAATACGCACGTATTCGCACTTGCACGGCTGTGAACTCCTTCAGCAAGTTTGACCGCTGCCGGTGCATAGATGGCTCGCAGGCGTCAAGCACCGGAGGGCCTGCCGCGCCTGCCCACGGGCAAGGCCGGCGGCATCGCCCTCATGGCCTCGTTGGCGGTGACGATCGCGCTGCTCGTCCTCGGCGGCGCGGCGTACGTCGTCATGAGACTTGCCCCGGAAGACCAGCCGCGCGTCGCCTTCCTCGTCGTCGCGCACGACGCGCCGACGCTGCACAGCGCCTCCCTTTTATTGGGTGCGATCTACGACCCGGAGCACCACTATTTTGTCCACGTGGACAAGAAGTACAAGTGGCCCACGGACCGAACGCCGGACGAAACGATGGCGCCCGTCATGAAAGGAAGAACAAACGTCAAGTGGGCCCAGGTCGCCGACGTGGCCTGGGGCCGCTGGTCCATGAACGAGCCGACGCTCTGGGGCATGGCGCAGATGCTCGGCACTGATGCGGATGTTTTTATTAACTTGAGTGGAGACGCGTGGCCTGTATTAACACCATCAGCACTGCGCACTACTCTACAGGAACTGAAAGGCCTGAACTTCGTCACGTCGGGCCCGTCCTGCGATACCGGATTGAGACCGACGGGTAGGAACGAGTTCGGCGACGGGTGGCACAAGAAGCAGGCCTACCCGCACCCCATGTTGAACAGTGAACCGACACTGGAAGCCTTTTATGGGAGCCAGTGGATGGTCGTCACGCGGGAGTTTTGTGACCATGTTATATCGGAGTTAGAACGCCCTGGATCGATCGCACACAAGCTGCGCGAGTGGTTCGTCAACGGGACTGTTGTGGTGGAAGGTGTTGGAAGAGTCAAACCACATATTCCGGACGAGACCTTCTTCCCCACCGTGCTCATGCGGAGTGGGTTGCGCGTGCCGAAGCCCGTCGAGGTTGTGGCGGACGTGACCGGTTCGGGCAAAAAAGTTCCACTCCGAAGCGTCTGGTACGTGCGCATGGACGAGCACTACCCCTGGTCCTCGCACAAGCAGCGCTACGAGGCGCCTTCTCACCTTAGTACGGGCCGGCCCTGGGGCCCTTATTATGTTGGGTCCTACGATCTGGGAGATATCAAGGCGCACCGGGCACTCTTCGTGCGCAAGGCGTCGCGCCACGTCGACGGCAACATCTTTCGGGTGCTGCCCGTGGATGACTACGCAAAAATTCCCGATTTACGCTGGCCGGCGACGGCCGTGACGCTGTCCACAACCAAAACCTACGAGACGGTAACTCGCGGCTCCGAGACGGGCTGCGTCCGCGTCGCCGAGTCGATCCACTGCCCGCCCGTGCACAACCTTGGGGGTGACGTGGCCGCCTCCGCGAAGCGCGCGAGGCGCTATTCCAGCGGGGAGTTATAATTTTAAACAAGTGTAGTCTTACGCACGAAGCAGGGCTCGAGCTCCTCCTCCTCGTCGTCCTCGTCGTAGCGCACCACAATCATGGGCATGCCCTCCCGGTCGAGCGTGGACAGCACCGTCGCGGGGTACCAGACCGAGCCGCTGCCGAAGCATGCCTCGACGGCGTCGCCGGCCGCGAAAGAAGCGGTCGCCGCGGCGCGCTGTTTTAGGAAGGGCGGTCCATTGATCTGCGCCGCGAGCACCGCCGGACCTTCCTCGAAGGCGAACGTGCCGTCTCGCCGGATCCGCTCGCGGAACGCGGCGCAGAAGCGCCCGTCGATCCTAATTGAGACCTGGCCCTCGTCGTCGACGGGGAAGATGCCGTGCTTGAGCCTATCATCGAACCACAACACTCGACACGACGGCGGCACCTCGCACTTCTTGCCACGACTATCCACGACATAGAACCGCTTCGTCGACCGCGGCGGCCGCACCCACACGAACTCGGAGACCAGATCCTGCAGCGCGTGGTCGGCGTGCTCGACGCCGGCGTCGTTCCGCCCATTCAAGATTACGGCAATTTTCCCGACGCGACCGGCAAAGCACGGCAGGCGCCGCGCGAAGGCGGAGACGGCCGGGAGCGCCGTCGCGTTCGCATTCGGGCGCCAGGTCCTCGGATCACCTCTATGAGCGCGGCACAACTTAAAATCGTCCGCCTGCGATGGTGACGACGCGTCGACGGCGTCGACGGCGTCGACGCGTCACGTCGAAGACGGACGCCGGTTCCGCACTGGCCCGCGGCTCACGAACGCGTCGGCGCACCAGCACGACGTGTCGCGGTCGGCCAGCTCCAGCGCGTCGCCGTACTTCTGGCTCTCGGCCGCAAATACACTGACGTCGACGTCCTCGCCCAACTCGCTCCCAAACACGCCGAGCGCCCCGAGCTCTTCCGAGACTGCGGCGAGGTCCTCCTCCGAGACACAATCCGTGAGGTCGACGAATGGTGGTCGTCTCGTGAACGACATGAGACATCGGTGCCACAGCATCGACGGCTCGTCCTGGCGCTCCTCGAAAATGTCCTCGTAGGCACCGTCCGTGCACGGCGCGGGCGCCCCATCGAAGCCAAACGCGGCGAAAGCGTCGATGAGGACCTGGAGGTCGACACCGCGGCGCTCGAACGCAACAAGAACCACGCCGCCGTCGGCTAATAGCGAGTCGCACGACTTCGCGAGGGCATTTGATGATTCTAGCGCTACGTCCGGGTCGTACAGGACCTCCGCGGCCAGGACGACGTCGAAGCGCCCGAGGTCGTGCGGCTCGCCCCAGCGGTGCTCGACGCAGGACACGGGCGCCGTGTGGCCCCGAGCGTTGTTCGCCGACGCGCGCGCCCTGGCGACCACGCCGGCGTCGCCGTCCGTAAGTACGCACTCGCTGCCCTTGGTCGCGCCGAGCATCGTCGCCGCGACCAAACCGGCCAGACCGAGGCCGCAGCCGAGCTCGACGACGCGTCGCGGCCTACCATCTTTCAACAATTCACAGTCCCGCACGAGGTGGTCCATCAGTAAGCGACTCGCCGGCCAGAAGGCCTCGCCCGTCGCCTTGCCGTGTGCGGAGAGGTTGCCGCCGCGCGGGTCCTGGCGGTAGGCGTAGCCGTCGACGGACAGCGTCACGCCGTTGACTTCGTAGCACGTCTTTTGCGGCCGCAGCGGTTCCGGAGGCTCGTCATCTACGATCGCTGCGCAGGTTGCAGCCATCCGTGTCACTTGCGGCTCCGCCTCGTCTTCGTCCGTGGTCGCTCCGCAGGCTGCACGCTGCAGCTACTGCTGCTGCTGCCGCCGTCGCCCGAGCAGCAAAGGCCGGCAGCCGTATTTTCGCGACGAATGAGGAGCGATGCGGTGGTGTATCACTTCTCCCTGCTCTACGCGATCGCCGCATTGAGCTGCTGCACAAAGCAGAGCTGAGCTGAGAGCAAAACTGCAATAGCTCTCTCGCGTAATTGGCGCAGGAAGCGCGCTTGCAGTCGTTTGCTATTCAATCGCTGCCTACGTTGCGGGTGCACCGCCGCAAGCATGAAGCGCCTCTCATTGGCTTTGCTCTGCACTGTTGCTGCTGCCTTGCGTGCACCGCCTCGCGTCACGAGATGTACCCGTCGCCAGGCAACGGACGACGCCGCAGAAGTGCCGGCCGTCATCGACGACGAAACGCTGGAGCGAGAACTGCCCATCGACTTCGGCTCGTCGGACACGCAATGGACGTTCGAGTGGCCGGCCGTCGGCGACGAGCCGTGGAGCGTCCGGGACGTGGCCGGCGGCGGCGCCATGTTCGCGGCGTGTCATATTGCATCAGGCGCGCTCGGCGCGCCCATCGCCGTGCGGCTCGCGGGCACGGGCGCGTTCCTCGCGACGCAGGCGACGCTGCCGCTGCCGAAGGGCGTCTCGCCAGCAGATGTCAGTGACGCCTTCGACGCGTCCCAGACGATCCCCGTCGCCAAGATCGGCGACACGCCGTGGTGGGGTGTCGCGCTCGGCGCGAGCGTGCCGACGATCCAAATCGTGCTCGTGCCTCTGCTACTCTCGGCGCCGGAAGGCGCGTTTTCCTGTTCCGCCTCGCAGTTACCGAATCTTTCGGACGCCGCCGAGAAGTTGGCCGTGGCGCCGCTCACGGAGGGCCTGATCTTCCAGTTCTGGGCGCTCGAGGCCTGTCGAAGGGCGGGGCTGCCCTACGCGCCGAGCGTGCTAGGCGCGGGCCTCGCCTTCGGCGCCTGGCACGGAGTCTCTCCGAATAGTCTCTTCCTCGCGGCGCTCGGCGCGTACTGGGGCCACCTGTACGCGCAGACGCGGAACGTGTTGGTGCCCGTGTCGATGCACGCGGTCTGGAACGCGTTCACGCTCGGGGTCGGGGCATGCGTCGTAAGTGGTGGGGGGTAGTATTCTTCACAATGTTTCTGGCAACGATTATATACACATAAACACTATGCTCAGGCCGACAACGCCTCGGCGGTCTTCTTCTGCCAGCTCGCCTGGCGAGGGAAGCGAGTGTTGAGCTCGACGCCGTCGCCGAGGCCCGAGGCGACGACTCCGCCGACGACGTAGGAGTGGTTCGACGCGCCGGGCCGGTCGCGGTCTCGAGTGAGTCGCATCGTCCTTTTTCCTACCTTTTTGTTTGCACCTGCTTGTCTAAGATACTGTTTGCCAAAACATCACGGGCTAGCGGCCTGTAAGACACTAGCAAACAAAAAAAAACGGAGGGGAACCAAAGGCGCGAGTCAACAATGCTGACCCTGCGGGCGCCATCGTGGCCGAGACGCAAGACATCGCCCTCGTCGAAAGAGAACCGCTCAGAGGGAAGTGATGACAAAAACAAAAAGCCTTCCCCTCCCGAGCCCTCAGTTTCGCCTGGGACGGGGCGCCGCGGCGGCGCTCGACGCCGGCGGCGACCCGGCCGAGACAGCGACGGTCCTGCGCCCGCTCGTCGATCTTGCGAGGCGCGAGTTCGGCGCCGAGCACGAGGTGACGGCGCGGCTGGCGGCGGACCTCACGCGCAGGCCAGTGTGGAAATCAACCAGACACGAACGGGCGCCTGAAGTTTGAATTCCACACAGGCGCGCGCTCTACCTCGCGGGCGCGTCTGCGGACGACCTGTTGGAGGCGGAGGCGCTCCGGCGCGAAAGTCTGACGGGCGGCGTGGCTGTATTGGATGCGTCGCACGAGGAGTACGTCCGGCGCGAGGAGCTCGTGGCGGCCGCGCGGGAAGTCGGCTGGGAGCCCTTCTCCTGCGAGGAGATCCGTGCCGTAACACTAGAGAGATAGTTACCGTTTCTTCTTGCCGCCCCCGAAGCCCCCGAAGCCCGCCGTCGCGGGCTTCTTCTTCTTTTTTTTGGGCGCCGCCGCTTCAACCGCGGGCGGCATCCTCGACGCTGTCAGGGGCGGCTGGAGCGCCGCCTTCTTTTCGTCGGACAGCTCCAGCACGCCGCCCGGCCCGTGCGCCTCGAGCAACATGTCTAAAGTCGGCTGGATGCGCGCGCGATCTTTCTCCGAGAAGCGGTCGAAGTGCAGCACGCCCTCGATGTGGTCGTACTCGTGCTGGAAGACCCGCGCTTCGAAGCCCTTCAGTTTCTTCCGTTTTTGCCGGCCTTCTTCGTCCTGGTATTCGACCCAGATCCAACTCGACCGCGTCACTCGACCCGCGCACTCCTCCGACCTTGACGACAGACAGCCTTCTTCGTCGGTCTCCGTCTGCTCTGAATATTCAAAAATATTCGGGTTTGCCACAATCACTTCGAAGTCCTTCCGTGAGCGATCTCCGGTGGGGTTGTAGACGAAGAACCGCTTGTCAATACCCACTTGTGTGGAGGCGAGGCCGACACCATCCGCTTGATACATGACGTCCATCATCTCGCTGCAGAGACTTCTGAATTCGTCGTCGAAATCCTCCACGGGGTTGTTCGTGTTGCGTAAAACGGGCAGCGGCCATTCGGTGATCGTGAGGTCACTTCTTTCAAATTTCTCGGGGTTGCGACCGCCGGGCTGGCGGGCAAAGAGGCGCGTCGCGCGACAGCGCGTTGGCGCTTGCAGCAGCGCGCGCGCGGGCCGCAATGCGCTTGCGAAGAGTGCGATCATCGTCAGCATTCTTATATGTCTCAGTGAGCGTCGCGCGCGCGGCGACAGCGTGCAGCGTGTGACTAGCAGCGGTGCACTGGTGCAGCGCGTGCCTCGCCTACAACCGTGCCGATACAGCAGGGATTCACAAGGCCTCACAAGCGCCCCTCCGGAGACGCTATCGATGCGTGTTGGCCGCTGCTTCGCTCGCGGCGCTTGTGCAAGGTGGCTAGCGTCACGTAAACGCACTAGGATTGACAGCTTCCAGCGTGCAGCGCTAGCTCTCACAGCTCTTTTGGCCTGTGCTGGATACCCAGAGAGCTGCAAAGTAGCCAGGCGATTTATTTGCATCGCTGCTGTCACGTCTTAGCCCTTGGCACGATGCAATCGTTGCTGCGCGCTGCGCTGCTCCTACCAGCTTGCATTGCGCTGCGTCGCACCGCGCCAGTCATCTCGCGGCGCACATTTGGCAGTACCATCGCGGTCGCCGCATCGCTCGCGCTTGGAACTGTGCCGGCGTCCGCCGCGCCGGCCGTGCAGGCGGGTCCCACCGTCGACGCCGCCGCGCCGCCGCGACCGGAACTGCCCTCGGCGCGCTTGCCGTCGTGGACCTTGCTGATCCCGATGATCGAGATCGACGACGCCGTGAACGCGTGGGCCGACGATGCGAAAAAAGGCTTCGGCCTCAGCGCCAAGGCCGGCCTCGAGGCGCTAAACAAAGGGGGGCAATAGCCCCGAGTGGAAATCGATATTCAACGTGACGCGGTCGCCGCGATGGCGCCGACGACGAGAATCCCCCGTACCTTAGGTTACTCTCGGCAAAGAACTTCTACCTGGGCGTCGGCACGAAATACGCAACGTCGATAGCGTATGATGATCTTGACAAAAAGCTTGTGGAGGATGATAAAAATGCGAGAATAGGCGCGGTAGTCTTCGGTGGGCAGGCCATCGACGCCGCGCGCAAGGCCCTGAAAGCCGACGACGGCTTTGCGGCGGCGGAGGCCCTGCGCACAGCATCAAAACGCTTCGGCGATTTTTTCGCGCGCGTCCCGGCGGCCGACGTCGCGAAAGCGCGCAACGCATTGGCACACTTGAAAGCGGCGGATGCTTCGAAGGACGGGGTCATCGACGACGCGGAGTTCTACAAAGCCTCGCTCAGCGACGAGGAGCGACTCGCGGCGACGTGGGGCGTCTGGGGCACGACGCTCTACTCCGCCGACCTGCGCGCGGCCGTCGGCTCGCCGTTCATCTTGCAAATCAAGAAGCCACCTGACGTGCCCGACGAGCTCAAGAAGGTCATCGCGAGCTCGGAGTTCTAGGCTAAGACTACTGTGACAACCTACATTACCCACTAGAGGCCGAACGGCTTCGCGCCGTTCGCCAGACCCGCGACCATGATCGCCACGGGGAACAGCCCGAGGAGCGCGAAGAAGATCGACACGGACGGCTTCTCGAGCGCGTCGGCGGGCGGCGCGTCCTCCGCCTTCGCCGCGGCGCGGGCCGCGAGCTCCTCGCTCGTCAGACCGCTCTTCATGTCGGCTTCGGAGAGCGGGCTCACGCCGACCATCGAGTCGAGGGCGTCTAGTATTTCATCGAACGGATTCGCGCTGGGCGCGACTACTCGTCGCATGTGTGCGCGCGGCGGCAGCAGCGCGTGGGTTACAATAAATAACGGCAGCAATGCGCGCATGACATTGTGCCACATGGCTGCAGCCTCTTTGTGCTGATGAGTGTATTATCGTAGCAGCCTTGCAATTTTGGCGGTCGTGCCTGTCACAAGTGTTCGAAATGATGACTCGTTTCAACAGCTACTACGATCTAGCTGCGGACGATACGTATACGACACGAGAGCGGCGTGTGCCAGGCTTGCCAGCAGTGCTAGTGTCTTAAGCCGCTAGCTTAAACGCCCCGCACGCCGTCGCCCCGACCCTGATCACGAAAAAAAATAAAGAGTTTTGACATATATAACCTACCCCGACAGCAGCGCGTTGATGGCCTCCGTCTCGTCGCCGTTCGCGTCCTGGAGCGCCTTCACGCACGCGTCCCGCCCGAAGCCCATCTCCATGAGCTTCGTGACGGCCTGGGAGTCGCTCTCGTCGCCGGGCGGCCGCGCGTAGGTCTCCGTCCAGAAGGTGGCCGTTTGTTTGAACTGCTCCGGGTCCCGCTGATACATTTGCGCGACCTGGGCGTCCTGCGGGTCGTCGGGCTCCGGGGCGCAGAGCAATGCTTGTAGGGATAACAGTGCGGTCTTGATCGTCAAGGCCGGGCTCCATTGATCTTTCAAGATGTCGAGACAGATCGCACCGGTCTGCGAACTAATGTTAGGGTGCCAGACCTTGGTGAGGAACTTCATTTTGGGAGGTTCGAAGGGGTATCCTGAAGGAATACTGATGGAGATCCGATAAAACCCGCCGGCGTAGGGCGTGTCGTCCGGGCCCGTGATCGTGCCCTCGAGCTCGGTCAATTGGTCGCCCTTGGGCGTCACGGTGACGCCGGCGTTCGTATCCTTTTGTAATTCACTTAATTCTTTCTTGAGGCGGCCGCGGTCCGCCATGGCTCGGTGGGGCCGCGCGGCGGTCGCGGCGACCGCTGGACTGGCTTGTGACTCTTGTGCCTCTTGTGGCTTGCAAGGGACCGCGGCGACAGCGAGCTGGGGCGGCCGGCGAGAGCTGTGCGTTGGGCACTAATGAATGAAATATGCAGGTTGTCGGCGCAACAGCTAGCGCGATTGGCTCCTCGACGCAAGTTTGCCGGCCTTGTATGACTTGCTAGAGTGTCTTAGGCCGCTAGGTCCATTTTGGAATTTGACACGTCCAAACCGCCATGGAAACCCTCCGTCCCGCGCAAGCACGTCGTCCGAGGGAGAAAAAACTTAGGGATAGTGCACAAAGACACTAGCCAATGAGGAGAAGCAGCAAGCGAGGCCTGCAAAAAGCACCGCAGCGATGCGCAGGGATGCGGTAGCGTCATCGTAATAAGTTAACTGCAGCGCAAAAGCGTGCTGCAGCAAACGTCGCAACAATAGCACAGTAGCAAGCACTGCAGCAGAGGCAAGACCATGAGCGCAGCACCGCCAGCCGGCGCGCGCCCGCGGCTCGTCGAGCCGAACTCCAGCGGTGGTAAAAGAATAAAAGAGGTCCGCTTCGGCTTACTATCAACGGACGAGATGGAGAAGCTAGCCGAGTTCGAGTGCGACAACCGCGAGTTATATACTCCAGCACCGGATAGAAGGCCGGCGACAAATGGTTGCCTCGACCCGAGATTAGGAGCCGCGTCCAAAACCTCTCCACCCTGTCCTACGTGTGGAAAGAAAATAGACCAGTGCGCGGGCCATTACGGGATCGTGAAGTTCGCGCTACCGGTGTTCCATGCGGGCTACTTCAAACACGTACTAGCTCTACTGCAGTGCGTCTGCAAGAAGTGCTCGCGAGCCCTCCTAAAACCGGAGGAACGGGCAAAACAACTACGAGCGATGCGCAACGCGAGGGACGTGCTCCAGAAGCAGGGCATCCACAAGCGAGTTTTGGACCGATGCAAAGCAGCAACTAGGTGCCCCCACTGCGGCGCAAGAAACGGACCCGTTAGAAGAGTAGCCGGCGCCGGCGCGCTGCGCGTGGCCCACGACATCTGGAAGGGCGCGAAGCGCGACGAGCTCGAGGTCGACGACGAATTTACAGCGTTTGCTCATTCACTGAAGGCAGCGGCCGAGAAGAACGCGGATTTAAGAGCTACATTGGGTGTTTCTGCCGCGCAAAATAGCGATATAAAACCAAAAGCGTCCAAAGCACCAGCATCAATATTGTCGCCGGCTGACGTGAGGGAGGTCTTCTGCGGCATCACGGACGACGACTGCGAACTCTTGTGGCTCGATCCGGTGATTGGGCGGCCCGAGAATCTCGTGTTGAACGCTTTACTCGTGCCGCCGACGCCTATCAGACCATCTGTTGCTGTAGAAGCTCCGGGAGGTGCCGGGACCAATGAAGACGACCTCACAATAAAATTGCAAGAAATCATCGACGTCAATGAGTCCCTGAAGAAAGCTTTGAGGGAAGGGGCCGCGACCAAGATCCTCGTGGAGTGCTGGTCCTTTTTACAGACCCAGGTCGCGTTGTATATCAACGGCGAAGTACCAGGTATGCTACCCAGACAACAGCACCAGAAGCCGATGCGCGGTTTATGTCAAAGACTCAAAGGTAAAAGTGGGCGATTTCGCGGGAATTTGTCCGGCAAACGCGTCGACTTCTCGGCGCGAACGGTCATATCACCGGATCCCAATTTGAGAATAGATCAAGTCGGCGTGCCCACGGAAGTAGCGAGGACGATGACTTATCCTGAGAGAGTCTCGAGGCACAACCTGCAGCACTTACGATCACTCATAGTGAACGGGCCGAAGCAGTGGCCCGGAGCGAACTACGTCGAGAAGCGTTCAGCGGATTTGGCTGATGGTGATAGAGTGGTAGTCGGTGCCGTCGGTGGCGGCCACAAGAAGTCGCTGAACTACGGGGACCGTAATGCCGTAGCTCGCGACTTGAAGGTTGGTGATGTTGTGGAAAGACACATGCGCGACGGCGACGTCGTGCTGTTCAACCGGCAACCGTCTCTACACAAACTGTCGATCATGTGCCACAGTGTGAAAGTCATGCAGGACAGAACGTTCAAGCTCAACGAGTGCGTCTGCGCGCCGTACAACGCGCGCGGCGGCGTCCTCGACTCAAAATCGCAAGAAAGGCCACCCGGCGCCTTCTCTGACGGAGACGAATCGCGTCGATGGCGTGAAGGCGCCGCAGTGACACCGGACCACACAGGCCGACTTCGACGGCGACGAGATGAATCTGCACCTCCCGCAGACCGAAGAAGCGCGCGCCGAAGCTTTGAGTTTGATGTCCGTCCCGCAGAACATCTGCACGCCGAGGAATGGCGAACCGTTAGTTGCTGCTACCCAAGATTTCGTGACTGCTGCCTTCCTATTAACGCAGCCGGACGTCTTCTTTTCTAGGGACCAGTTCTGCCAGCTCGCTGTGTATGCCGGCGACGCCTCCGAGCACGTTAGTTTACCTCCTCCAGCAATACTGAAACCTGTGATGTTGTGGACCGGCAAACAGGTCTTCTCCCTCATCATACGGCCGAACAATAGAGATAAGTTATGTGTCTCGTTCGAGTGCGAAGAAAAAGCCTACAATCCAGGTACAGATAAGTACCTCTGCCCCAACGACGGTTATGTGGTTGTGCGACGGTCTCAGTTACTTAGTGGAAGCGCCGCGAAGAGGACGGTCGGCGACGGGTGCAAGACTGGTTTGATCTATGCTCTGTATCGAGACCACGGCGCTCATAGAGCGGCATCATTTATGAACCGCTTGGCGAAGCTAGCTTCACGATACTTGGGCAGCCATCGAGGGTTTAGTATTGGTCTGGATGACGTGACACCGTCAACCGAAGTCAAAGAGCTCAAGGCTAAGTTACTGGCCGAGGGCTTCGCCGAGGCTGATAGACGAATTGCGGCCTTTAAGGCAGGCAAGTTAGATCTGAAGCCCGGTTGTGATGCGGCGCAATCTCTCGAGACGGAGCTCACTGGTTTACTAGGAAGGGTCCGGGAGGCGGCCGGGCAGCGATTGATGGGTGATTTACCTCGCACGAATAGTCCACGGATCATGGCCGAGTGCGGCTCCAAGGGTTCGGCATTGAACGTGTCGCAGATGATCGCTTGTTTAGGCCAGCAAGCGGTGGATGGGAAACGCATCCAGAACGGATTCGTTCGCAGGACGCTGCCGCACTTCGAAGTGGACTCCTTAGACCCAGCGGCCCGAGGCTTCGTGTCCAATAGTTTCTACTCCGGTTTGACCGCGACGGAGTTCTTCTTTCACACGATGGGTGGTCGGGAGGGTTTAGTCGATACGGCCGTCAAGACCGCGCAGACCGGGTATATGGCTCGACGGCTCATGAAAGCTTTGGAAGATCTCAGTGTGTCCTACGACGGCACCGTGCGTAATTCCGAACGAGCGGTGGTCCAATTTAACTATGGTGATGACAGTCTCGACCCCAAACACATGGAGACGTCTGACGGTAAACCTGTTGATTTTGCTAGGTTGCTGCATCGTGTCCGCCATGACGAAGCCTTTGACGACGACGCGGCGATGACGCCCGAGATGTTAGCCAAGGAATGTAGTAAAATCAACTTAGCTCTGACGGATACGGAGTCGTCAAAATTCGTACTAGACGCTTTGTCGTTTACGAAAGGCGTAGCCGAGACCTGTTCCCGGACGAGGGACGCCCTCATCGAACAGAAGAAGAAGAAGGCGGCGAACGAACATATCAAGTCCTTCGACAGTTCTCTCTCAAAACGGCAACTCGCTAGATTCGTGGACCTAGCCCGGGAAAAGTATCTCCGATCAAAACAAGAGCCGGGCGAGGCCGTCGGCGCCATCGGCGCCCAGTGCATCAGTGAACCGGGGACCCAGATGACGCTGAAGACGTTCCATTTCGCTGGGGTGGCGTCGATGAACGTTACATTGGGCGTGCCTCGGTTGACGGAGATCATTAACGCCTCCAAGAAGATTTCTACACCTATCATCACCGCAAAACTCAAAAATGATAGCGACGCGGAGGCGGCTCGCGTGGTCAAGGCTGGCCTGGAAAAGACGACCCTAGGCGAAGTGTGCTCGAAGATCGAGGAGGTCTACGCGTCGTCCAAGTGCTATTTGTCTGTGCAACTGGATACGGACTTGATTGGAAGATTGCACCTGAGTGTCGACGCGGCGTCGGCGAGGCAGGCTGTGCTGCGAGGTACGGTTGCAAACAACAAGCGCGCGCCGCCCGTCATCCGCGCGCTCAAAGTAGAGCATTTAACCTTAAACCCAACCACTCCGAACGAGTTCCGCGTGGAGCTGCCGGACGACCCCGCTACGAGTACTTTCTCGGGCGGCGGCGGGGCCCTGCGCGGGCAGCGGAAAGCTGTGGAGAAGCCGGCGACGAATCGAGGTCGCAAGAAGAAGGGCGAGAAGAAAAGGCGCAAGAAGGAGAACAACTTGCCGAACGACGACGACGACGTTATTGATAATGTGGATCAACGGGACAAGTTATCTGATGATAGGACCTACTTCGCGATGCAAGCGCTGAAGAACGCGTTACCGGAGATCGTGGTCAGTGGCTACCCGTCCATCAATAGAGCGGTCGTGAGCGAATCCGACGGAAAGTATTCGTTGCTCGTCGAAGGGTACGGGCTAGGCGAGGTCATCGGCGCGCCGGGCGTCGACGGCGTGAACACGACGACGAACCATGTGGCCGAGGTCGAAAGTGTCTTGGGCATCGAGGCGGCTCGAGCTACGATCTGCAGTGAAGTATCCTATATTATGCAGGCCTACGGCATCGCGATCGACGCGCGCCACTTGCTACTATTGGCGGACGTGATGACGTTTAAGGGCATGGTCCTCGGCATTACACGGTTCGGCGTCTCGAAGATGCGTGAATCGGTCTTGATGCTGGCGTCCTTCGAAAGGACGACGGACCACCTCTTCGACGCGGCGGTCCACGGCCGCACGGACGCCATCGTCGGCGTGAGTGAGTGTATCATTATGGGCATCCCCGTGCCATTGGGGTGCGGCTCGTTCAAGCTCCTGCTCGACTCTGAGTACGCGGAGAAGGCTGCCGACGAGAAGAAGAAACCGCTGCTCCTTGGGTCGGCGTCGCCAACGCCAAGGTGATATATCTAAGTTGTAGTACTACTAAATCGTGAATGCTCGTCTTAGTGAGCGGGGGAGGATGGGGAGAAAGGATCACTCGTCGACGCCGCCGTCGAATTCCCAGGCGTCGTCCGGTTCGTCGCGCGCGCGCTTCGGCGAGGACGGCTCCTCGTCGGCGTCTCGCGCGCGCTTCTTCTTGCGCGCCGCCGCCGGCTTCTTCGCCTTCGCCTTCTTTTTCTTCGCGAGCGCGCCCTGGACGTCCGGAATCTCCTTGCGCTTCCGCGGCGCCTCCTCGGCGTTGTCGAGGGGCGCCAGCGCGCCATTGCGGGCGGCCTTCTTCGCGCGCTTGTCGTCCTCGAGGCGCGCGAGCTCGGCCCGCGCGGCCGCGAGCCGCGCCTCGACGTCCGACGCCGGGGGCTCGGCCACATCAGCGTACGCCTCGAAGTCGGCCTCGGCGCGGTCCTCGGCGGCCCGGGCGTCGCGCAGCCGCTTTTCGGCGGCCTCGAGCTGGCCGTCGCCCGGGCTCGCGAAGACGAAGGGCGGCGGCCGCGCGTCCACGCCGATGGTGATCTGGCCCTTGGTCTTCGCTACAATGGCCGGGCTCTCGCGCGACACGCGCTTGAAAGGGGCCACGCCCCGCGCTTTGTCCGCGGCCGTGAGCCGTTCGTCGTCCGGGAAGATGATCGCCTGCCCAATTTGCCTTCGGAAGACCTGTTCGAGGTCGCAGCGCTGCGCTGATAAACGCAGGATTGCGGACACGGCCCCGAAGCCCGCGTCGCTCGCGTCGACGGGCGCGTGGCGCTCGGCGTTCCAGCTCTCCGTGGGGCCCGCGAGCGACAGGTCGACGACGCTGATGGCGCCGTACTTCCCGCTCTTCGCGAGCTTTTGCGCGATGACCCGCGCGTCGCTCGACCCGACATAGAGCTTGTTCGCGCCAGCGAGATGGGCGCAGCAGTCCGCGTCCGAGTCGTCCTCGACCGTCGCGAGCTCGCTCGTGAAGCCGCGGAGCTCCGACGGCGCGCGGCCGGCCCGGTGCAGCTGCCGCACGAGCTCGGCGCGGAAAGTCCTCAGCTTCTCGTGCATCTGCGGGTCCGAGCTGAACCGGTGCTCGCGGGCGAGCGGGGCGTCGTCCGCGTCCTCGACGGCCTTGCGGGCGGCCTCGGCGGCGGCCGTCGCCTGGCGCGCGGCCTCGTGTGCCCGCCGCGCATCCTCCTTGCTCGCGGCGCGCTCGACCGCGCGCTGGTAGTCCCGCTGCTCGTCGACGAGCCCCTCGACAACTTGCCTCTGCGCGGTCACAGCGGCGCGCGCCCGGTCGTACTCGACCTGGGCCGCGCGCTCGCCCTCCGTCTTGGCCTCGCGCGCCGCGCGGCCGAGCTCGTTCTCGAGGCGCAGCTCCACCGTCCGCGCCACGTTGAGCTGGCCATCGACGTCGTCCTCGCCGTTCTGCGGGTAGATTTTCATGGCCAGCGAGACGCGGAGGTCCTCGATCGGCTGCTTGTTGCCCGTCGCGTCGACGAGCCGCACTTCGATGAACGTTGCGTCCGTCTCCTCGAGGGCCACGGCCACGTCGTTCGCACCGTCGGAGAGGCTCAGGAGGTCGACCGTCGCGTCGGCCGGGTCCGAGCCCTTGACCCACCGCCGCACCTCGAGCTGGCACAGGTTCGCGAGGTCGTCGTCGGCGTCGTTCGTCGTGCTCGTCGTGAGGCGCGCAGCGCAGGCGCAGCGGTGCGCCGAGTTCGCCAGGGAGTCGCAGGCCTCGGCCTCGTAGCGAGCCGAGGACCCGCGCTCGCCGTCGTCCGTGTCGTCCGTGTCGGCCTCCTTGAAGGTGATGCGCTGCGCCTGGCCCGCGACGCGCTTCAGGATCAGGGTCGTGTGGCTCTCGACGTTTTTCGTGTCCTGGTCGATGATGCCAAAGCGGATGGGCCGCGTCTCGTCGGGCATGAGCTTGCAGAACCACGAGGGGTCGACCTGGGCGAGCTTGTCGATCTTCTTCCAGCCCTTGGGGTTGGGGTCGTTCTCGCCCTGGTGCCACCGCAGGTCGCCCCGGAAGTTCTCGCGCCGCTCCTCGTCGCGCGTCGCGAGCTGGCCGTCCTCGCACATGCCCGAGAGCTGGAGCACGTCGAGGACGCTCCGGCCCGTGGGCACTTCTAAGGTGTCGCCATCCGACAGCCGATCTAAACCCATCGCCTCGGGGTCCGCACCCACGGCGGGCACCTCGCCGTCCTCGGCGCCAATCTGGTCCTTCTCCCTTTTAAAAATCTCGAGGGTCCGGACCTTGGACGAGGGCGCGACGCGGACCGGGATGAAGTCGAGCTGCAGCGCGGCCGCGTCGGCGGGGCACTCGGCGCGGGCGCGCAGGACGAGCTTCGCCTCGACCACTTGACTCAACTCGCCGCCGGCGACGGCGACGCGGCACTCGGGGATGGTCAGCGTCTCCAGCGCCGCGCCGACGGGAACGACGACGGCGCCGGCGGTCTCCGGCTCCGGCGCGTCCGTCGCCGGGGCCTTCTTCTTCTTGCCCTTGCCCTTCTTCGGCTTCTTCGTGCCCACGCGCTGCAGCTCGAGGTCGAGGCCCGGCGCGTCGCACTCGATCGCCACGTCGAACATGGGCCCGCGCGGCGCGTCGGCGTCGGCCGTCGGGTCGTCCCGGAACGGGTTGCCCGACTCGTCCTTGAGGCTGAAGAAGTCATCGCCCTGGAAGATCTCGCCGACCTCGACGCTCAGCACGCCGCCGGGCAGCGCCGCGGCCTGGACCTCGGCGAGCGGCCCGTTGCGGAACCGGAGCTCGAACGACGTCTCGAGCCGCGCGTCGCCGCCCGCCAGCGCCAGGCGGAACTTGATCGGCCAGCCCCGGGCGCCCTCCTCGACCTCCGGCGGCGCGTCCCAGCCCGAGAGCACGCTCCAGCCGCCGGGCAGGGCGCCGGGCTCGGCGTCCGTCATCGAACTACCGTCGATGGGCGCGTCCGTCGGCGCCTCGCGGAGCGTGTGGCAGGCGTCGGCGCAGGTCAGCGTCGCCGTCAGGCCCGCGAGCTGGTCGCTCTCGAGGCGCGTCCCCGCCTCGTCCCGGACGACGAGGCAGAGGTAGGGCGCGGGCTTGCCGAGCGTCAGGAGGCCGCGGTCGTCGCCCGCGTCGAGCAGCGCCTGGAACGCCTCGTCGTCGACGTCCACCGAGTCCGGCGCGCCGGCCTTGAGCGGTAGCGAGATGCCCCGCGACGTCAGCACGTCCTTGTTTTCGGAGTTCTTGAAGACGATCTGGAAGCTGAACTTCCCCGCCTCGCGCTGCTCCTTGATGCCCCTGGACGTCGACGACGCCAGCCGCCCGAGCTCGAGGACGGCGACGCCGTCGAGGACGGGCGCGCACACCTTCGTCTTGTGCTTGGCGCCGTCGGGACTGTTGAGGACCAGCCACGCCTGGCTCGCGCCGCAGGCCCGCGCGTCGACGGCGCCGGCCCCGTCGACGACCTCCACGCGGAGGTGCGTCGCCCCGACCTCCGCGAGGTCCAGCGCGCCCAGCGCGACGCGGTGGCGCGCGTCCTCGGCGCAGGCGACCCAGCCCGGCGATGCCGCGTCGACCTCCTCCTCGACGGCGTCGCCCGTCTGCGTCAGCACCGACACGCGGACATTCTTGTCGCCCGTCGACGCCTCCGCCGTGAGGAACAGCGTGTCGTCGACGTCGAAGCGGACCTGGCCGCTCCAGCCGAGGTCCGCGCCGTCGATCAGGTAGCTCTGCGTGACGGAGCCGTCGTCGTTGTTCTCGGCTGCGCCGTGGTGGGTTATATTGACGGAGCCGTCGCCCACGACCGCGGCGCCCATAGGCACCGCCTTCGCGTCGATAAAGTGCCCCGACGCCGTCACGAGCTCAAAGACGCACGTCGCGATGAAGGGCCGCTCGAGGTCCATCAATGCCCGCTCGTCGCGCAGGCTCAGCTTCGCCGGCGCGCTCGTCAGCGTCAGGGCGAGCGGTGCGACGGTCCGCGGGACGAGCCACTTGTTGTCCTGCATGTTGACGTGCTGCTCGAGCTCGACGAGGCTCTGGAACGTCTTGTCCAGCGCTCGGAAGACGCGGCGCGGCGACGCCTGCGTCCGGCCGGCCACGACGTCTGCGACGTACGTCACGTACTCGTACTCGCCGTCGACGACGGGGTGCAGCTCCAGGTGCAGCTCGGCCGCGGCCGGGAGCAGGACGTCAGCGGGCACGGCCTCGGCCGGCACGACGAGGTTGTCCAGGGTCAGCGCGCCGTCGCCGCGGCACCGCGCGAGCCGGCACGCCGAGAGGTCCAGGGCGAAGGGCTCCCGCCCGTCCACCTCGATCCACGCGCGCGAGTGCTCGCCCGTGACGTCGTAGTCCTTGGGCGAGACGCGCTGCTGGGCGTCGGCGGCCGTCTGATCCAACGAATCCTGGAACGTGACGGTCAGGTCGGCCACGGCCGCGTCCAGGTGCACCTCCGACCGTTTGGGCAGCGAGCACGTCAGCTGGACGGGCTCCGACGGGTTCAGCTTGCACTCGACCGCGCGCGAGAACGGCGGCTCGGACCCCTGGAGGCCGGCGAGCGCGTCGTCGTCGCGCCGCGCGAGCGTGTCCAGCGAGAACTTCGGCCGGTCCTTCTTCTTGACCTGCTTCTGCTCCTCGCGAGGCGCGCGCTCCCAGTTCGCGAGGGCGGTCCAGACGGCGTTCGGCGTCTCGCGGAGCCGCGCGCGGAACTGCCACTCGCCCATCTCGTCGAGCGGCTCCGGCTTGGCCAGGCGGAAGACGCCGCCCGCGTCGCAGCCGCCCGTCGCGACGACGACGGCGTCGCTCCAGTCCTCCGCGCCGCTGGGCGGCCGCGCGACGAGCTCGAGCTCGATGTCGGCGCACGCCTTGGCGTCCAAATGTTTCGTCTTCGCGTTGAAGGCCAGGAGCGTAAAGGCGAACTCGGGCACCGGCGTCGACGTGTAGAGCGTGCGATCGAAGCGGGTGAAGGGCTCCGCGGCGAGCTTCGTCTCCGCCGGCTTCAGCTTCGTCGTGCCGCACTCGACGAGCTGGACCTTCGCGGGGAACTGCTTCTTCGCGTCGTCGAGGGCAGCCTTGAGCTCGTCCGCGCCGAGCTTGGCGCCGCGTAATCTATTAGACGGGCACGCGACGTAGAGGTCGCGGCTCCAGCGGGCCGGCCCCGCCGCCTCGAGCGCCGCGAGGTCCGCGCCGCGCTGGCTGAAGCCCATGACGAAGGTCTGGCCGGCGGCATCGTCGCGCGGCGCGAGGACGCTCGAGCAGATGAAGAAGCCGCTCGTGTTCGTCTGCTCGGCGTCGCAGATGAAGGCGACGATGCGGCCCGCGCCGAGGCTCTGGTCCTCCCTCCTCTTCTCATCCGTCAGGGCGAAGCGCACGATGTCGCCGACCTGGTAGCGGTCGCTGCGGTACAGGAGGCTCTTGCCGACGCGCCGGTAGGTCACGTTCTGGCCGGCCCCGTACTGCACGAAGTCGTACGAGCCCGCCTCCATCGGATAGCGCTCCTCCTCGTCGAACTCCTCGGTCCACCGCCGGAGCCGGTCGCGGTGCGCGTTTCGTAAATCGCGCGTGAAGTCGTCGCCGGCGGGCGGCTCGTCCGCGAGGCGCTTGTAGGCGGCGTCGTGCGGCCGGAGGTGGCGCTTGTGGATCTCCGGCGCGAAGAGCCGCGTCGACTCGAGGTAGAGCACCGTGACGCAGCGCTTGTCGAGCTTGGCGTCGCCCGGCGCGACCTGGCCGCGGTGGTTCCGCGGCGCCGCGTAGGGCCACGCCGCGATGGCCTCGTCGCGGAGGAAGAGCCCGTTCCATAATACCAGAGTGCGGTGCTCGCGCACGCCCTCGGGCATCGTGTCCATGCCGTTCTCCTGGGGGAAGTAGACCGAGAGCGCCGCGAGGTCGGCGCGCGCCGTGCTGTGGCCCTCCTCGCGCAGCACCCACCTATCTAAATGCCGCTTCTGCTCGAAGGCCTCGCGCAGGTCGGCGAGGCGCGCCAGGTCCGCGAAGCGGTTCGCGACGCCCACGTCGCGCTCGCTCATCTCGCCCGACTCGCCGAGGTCGACGCCGTCGACCTTCAGCTTCACGATGCGGGCGTTGGCGTCCTCGGCGGGCAGCACGCCGCAGGCGCGCAGCCAGCTCCGCGAGGCCTCGCCGGCGTTGCCGTCCAGGTGCAGGACGTACTTCTCCGCGAGCAGCGCGAGGTTCTCGGCGCGGTTCGCCGCCCAGTCGTCGAAGAAGCCCGCGTCGACCTTGTCGATCGTGAGGCACGTGAAGGACTTGTTGCCGACGCCCGACGTGCGCAGCGTCCGGTCGAGCACGTCCGGGTCGTCGGCGGCCGGCGGCGTGCCATTCCGGTCGTCGTACACGAGCTTGTTGACCCCGGCGATCTCCCGCGCGCACTCGCGCGTGCCGTGGTCGTAGACGTGGTAGTCGTAGGTGATCGTCTTCTGGTGCGCCATCTCGGCCATGTCCTGCTCGAAGACGATGAGCTTGGTCACGCCCTTGGCGACGCTCACGAAGCGCACCTTGGTCTCGGTGCCGTTGAGCTGCGCGTACCTCCCAACTCCGTAGCGCCCCCACTCGGCCCGCAGGCGGCCGAACTCGCGGTGGCTGTAGGCGCTGCTGCGGCTCCCCTGGCTCCGCCCGCCGCGGCCGCCGCCGGCCTCGTGCGCCAGGAGCGCGCCGCGCACGGGCGCCTGGATCTCGTCGTCGCGCACCGTCGACGCGCCGGCCTTGGCGAGGACGTCGATGTGCTCCGGTCTTATTCCATCGCCGTTGTCGAAGACGACGATGCGCCGCGCCGCCTGCGTGGGGTGACGCCGTCACGGAACCGTTTCACACGGCATCGCCGCGCACGTCCGGGAGGTCGTCAAAGTTTACCAGGTAGGCAAGGTATTCAAGGAAAAAAAGGAGAGACAGGAAACCAAGGAAAGCAAGGAGAAAAAAAGGAGACGCTGCGCGCGCACGGGGTCGATGAAAATCTTGACGAGCGTCGCGCCGTGCTGCACCGAGTTCTCTATACTTTCACTGAGCAGCGTCGTCGTGTCCATGCCGGCGTTGATCGTGTTCGCCACGAGGCCCACGTGCGCCGGCGCCACGACGCCGCGCCGCTCGAAGACGCCGTCCGCGTCGACGCCGCGGCGCTTCACCACCGCGCGCCGGTAGGGCCGGCCCTGCTGGTCGGCGCGGATCCACGCGAGCGGCGTCTGCGCGCCGAGCCGGCCGCCGTCCTCGTCCTCGAGCGCGAAGTCGGCGTGGCCCGACCGCTGCTGCGCGAACTTCTTGACGTCGGGCCACGTCGACTTTGCATCGACGCGGAGGCGCTCGGCTTGGACTTCGCCGTCGGCGGCGTCGGCGGCGTGGTAGAGGAGCTCGATCTGGTACTCCTTGTCCATGTCCTCGTCGCTGTCGGAGTCGCCGCCGGTCGGGGCTCGACTCATGGTTGCTATTTTTCGCTGCGCGTCGCGTATATAGCGCTGTTCGTGTGCTGGAGAGATCGGCTCACTGAGCGCGCGGCGCGTTCTGGCGTCCGCCGCGGCGCCGCTCACGGCGAGCTGTGTTACCGGGCGCTGTGTTCGAGCAGTTTGCCGTGCTGCGGCCAGCTCTTCGGCGCGCGCAGGAGCCCTTTTAGCAGCAAAGCGAATCGCACCGCGGACCGACGCCGGTGAGCCTCAATCCTATTGGCCAAGGACTCCTCTTTACAACTCCAAAGGCAAAACATCCTCCAAACTACCCTTCGCGGCACCTATACCGCGCTCCGGATAACTGATGTCGCCACCGGCAGGGGAAAACACGATCGTCGCGGCCACGACGCACGTTGCTTTGCTTAGAGCTAGGCCGCCTAGCCACCACGACCGCCGCAGGGCCTGCTACGTTAACTTGACAAACCCTCGCTGCAAATCAAACGACTATACTTACCCCGGTACAACAGCGTCCGACGCCGGCGCGGCGAGCTTAGAGCGTACGCGCGCCGAATACTTCCTTTGCGTAGCGTCGCGCGACTTGTCCGCGGCCGCGAGCGCCGTAGACAGCGCCGAGCGCAGCGGCTCCACCTCGAGGACGCGGCGCACGGCGCTCCAGGCCGCCAATGTGCCCAAAGAAAACAGCGCGATGCGCCGAGGACCGGCCGCGGCGTCCTCGCGCGCCGCGGCGACGAGCGCCCGGGGGGCACCGGCGGCGACGAGCGCCGCGGCCAGGCCGCCGCCGTTGCGCGCGAGGTTGCCCAGCGCGCCCGCGGCATTCGCCCGAGCCTTCTCGTCGCTGTCGTTCGCGAGGCAACTGCAGAGCGGCGGCGCGCCCGGTTCCAATGCAGCATACAAATCCGACGAGTGGAACGCCGCGTTGCCCAGGGCGAAGCAGGCAAACTTTCGGGTGGCCCCGTCGTCGTCCGAGGCGCAGCGTATCACGCAAGATAGAGCGCTCTCCTCGCCGTGCCGCGCCTCGATTAAAGCCGGGTAGAACGCGGCCGAGTGGCGACACAAATTACCCACGAGGTTGCAGGCCTTGGCGCGCGTCTGCGCGTCCTCGGATCTCAAAAGCCGAGGCAGGTAGCGCTCGAGCGTCGCCCGTTTCAGCGCCTTCTCGCACGCCGCGCCGTCGCCCGAGCCGGGAGACGCCGTCCGGGCGAGCTGCGACGCCACGAGCAGCGCGTTGACGACGGCCTTGGGCGGCGACGACGCGTCGAAGGCGCCCGCCGTCGCGAGGGCCTTGGGCGCGTCCGCGCGCGCGCAGCCGCCCGTGACCGGCGCTCCCACCAAAGCGAGCCTAGATAACAACTCCGCCGCGGCGCAGAGCGCGGCGCCGTCCAGCCGCTTGACCACGACCAACAGATTGTTGTCCTTGGATGCGGCGCCGGTCCGATGGAGCGTGGACGCCACGGCGTTCGCAATACGAGCATCATCAACAGCTATCCGTAGTTGCTCGGCCTCCGTTTTTGGGGTCGGTTCCGCGGCGACGTCGGGCGACGGGCCCGCGGGCGGCGTCGCGCCGGCCTGCGCGGCGGCGGCGCCCTCCCGCGCCAAGGTTGCTCGCAGCAGCTGGGCCACGGCCTGCAAGCACGCCCCGACGCCGGACGCGCCGCCGTCGGCGTTTTCGGGCCATCTCGCCACCCTACCTAAATAAGGCGGCGAGCAACACGTCGCGCAGACGCGCGCGAGCGCCCCATTATTCTCGGAGATGAGCGCGGGCCGGTCGCGCGCCGGCGCCGCGTCGAGCATCGCCTTGACGCAGCCCAGGCCCGCCACCACCCCTCCGGGGCTCAGCTCGTTCGCGCCGCCTCGGGACAGTTGGTCGATCAGGGGCCTCCATAACTTAGCTGCCGTCAGGCGCGCGCCGATCAACGGCACCAGCGCCGCCGAGTGCGTCAACAGGCGCAGCGGCGCGTCCAACAACCCGTAGCGCCGCGCACCTAATCGTCCGCCGTCCAGCAGTGTTGCTGAAGCGAGCTCGCGCGAGCCCCGCCCGTCGTCGTCCGAGTCTCCATCAGAATCGGTCTCGTGCTCTATGCGTGGACTTTCGTAGGTCAAGACGCGCCAGACGGCCTGCAGGGCCTTCGGCGCCGCGGCGGCTTTGAGAACAGCGGTAGCGACGGCGTTCGGGCCCTTCAGCGCGTCCTCGTCCTCGTTCTTCGCCTTGGCGTGGGCGTCGGCTCGGGAACGAGCGGCCCGCAACGCCCCATCCAATAAACCGGTCGCCGCGCTCAGGACGCGCGCGTCGTCGGAGCCGCCGTTTAGCACCTGCTTCGCCGCCTCGACCGCTTGTAGAGTTGCGTCTGGACTTAATGCGTCGGCCTTCGCCATGGCTCCCAGAGCAGCGAGGCTCAATCCAGAGGCATAAGGAGTATCGCTCGTCGCAATATCACAACACGTGGACCAGACGCCACAAGCAGCCAATGCTCGAGCGGAATTTGTGGATGCGGCGGCGCAGCGCGCGATGGTCCTCAACACCAATCTTCGGGAAGCGTCGTCGCTAGTCGCCTCCAGCAAGGCGGAGAGGCCGCGCGCGGACTCGGACTGCGCATCATCTCCAACCGCCTCCGCGACGGCCTTCTCCACGCGTCGTCTTAATGCAAAACGCTCCCGCACGGACGTGGAGACGCCGTCGGCGCTCCTTAATGCAGAATCATCATCTTCGTCACCGACAATAGACAAGGGAAAGGGCGACGGCGGTTTCCAGTGGCCGTTGTAGGGCGGCTCCAGGAACAAGGCCAAAGCTTTGGCAGCTGATAGGGCGTCGTCGCCCGTGATCCGAGCTGCCAATGCTCGAGGGAGCTGGTGGGCCAGCAAGACGTCGAGCGTCGCGGGCGTCGCTCGTTTTAAAGCAGAGATGGCGCACCTTAAAGCGGCTTGCCTTATGATAGGGTCGGACCCGTTTTCCTCTTCCAGAAGAGCTTTGCGGAGCGACGCCGCGAGGGCCCAGCGCGCGGACGTGGCGACGAAGGGCTTCGAGGAATCGCCTTCTCTATCCCTCAACCACGGCGGCGCTCGTACGAGTTGCGAAGCTAAATCTAACGTAGCTTGGCAAGCATTGGCGGCTTTGTGTTGCAACGCCTTCTCGAGGACGCGGCAGCAGCCCCCCAGTAATTTTGCGGGAGGGTCTCGCTTTTCCCGCGGCCCGCGCCGACATGCAGTCGCCATTTCAACCGCCTTCTGGCACACGTCTTCTACCGTGTCACTCCAGTCATCTGTAAAATCAGCGTCGGCGCACGCCGAGAGCGCGTCTCTCAGTGAGGATATAGTACCTTTCCGGAGGGCCGATCGCGCCGCGTCCAAACCCTGAGTGTGCGCGGGCGGCGGCGCCGGCGGCCGCGCCTCCCTTTGTCGTACTTCGCGGGGCGGCGGCGGCGGCATGGGGTCCTCCGTCGTATCCATCGGCGTCGTCTCCAATCGCGCGACGAACCTTTCCAGTCGACCGCGCGGCGGGCCCGCGCCCCCACAGCCCTCGTAGAACCTCGTTTCCTCTTCTTGTTTCTGTCTATCCTCATCAGTATCCTGGACCAGCGGATGCTCCAGAAGCTCGGGCCACGCGAGTCGCCGGCGGGGGTCCTTCCTTAGCAGACCGCTCAGAAATGATTCAAATCTTTCAGAAACATGACTAGGAAAGACCACGGGGTCCTTCACGATGTGGTTTATGAGCGAGTAGATCGAGTTCGTATAGAACGGCGGCTGGCCCACCAGTAACTCAAATAAGATAACTCCGAGGGACCACAGATCGACCGTGTGGTCGTAGGGCTGCTCCTTGACGAGCTCCGGAGCCATGTACAGGGGTGTACCTTTTATAGATGTCAATACTATGGTATCCATACTCATCGCTCTAGCGAAGCCGAAGTCGCATAGCTTGACCCGGCCATTCGCTCCTAGTAAAACGTTCTGCGGCTTCAGGTCCCGATGGATGATGCGCTGCGAGTGCAAGTAGTGCAGCGCCTTCACTAGCTGACGAGCAATATCTCGAACCGCCTCTTCCGGCAAGGTCCCGTCCTCCTCGAGGATCTCGAACAGCTCCCCTCTAGCAAACTCCGTCACGACACAAAATTCTCTTTCAGTTTCAAAATAGTCGAACATCTTCACGACGTTCTCATGATCTAAAGCGCTGAGGATGGCGATCTCCTGGCGCAAGTTCCTTAAATCTCTTTCCGATTTGCCGTGCTTGCCGATGAACTTCAACGCGACGGTCTGGCCCGTGTGTTTTCGTCGTCCTTTGTAGACCTTGCCGAAACTACCTTCACCAATTCGTTCCAGTACAATATAGTTGTCGTGCGAGCCGCTCGCGAACGCCGGCGGCACCTCCGCGGCGCGCGGCATTGCTTGTGTGTAGCGCTGCCCCGGCGCGGCCGCTCTTGTAGCCGTCTGGTGGGCCTGTGGAAGCGGCGCGCGCAGTGATGGCTGCCCGACGCGTCGCCCGTGCCGGAGTGCCGCCGCGGGGCTGCCGCGGGACTGCCCGTGGCACAGAGGTGTGGCTGGCGCGCGTGCGGAACGGCGCGGCCGACGGCGCACTCAAAACTTTGTTTTGCAAAGCGGGTTCTAGTGATTTCCCCGTGGAGCGACTGTGAGAGCGGCGTAGCCATTTTATGAGGATGCTCGGACGCTTGCATGAAGTCCCGAAAAAAACTTGCTAGTGTCTTACCGCTAGCCCGATGGCGAGGCTTGCGCAAAAATCCGCGTGTTTGCATCGCTTCCGAGCATAGATCGCTGTCTGGGACACGGCACGTGGTCTTGAAGCACAGCGATACCCGCTCACCGCACGCCAGTCGCTGCGCGAGCGTTGAACTGCGAGCAAGCAGCAGCACACGGAGAGCACTGCAAAACCGAGACGCGTGCGACGATGGCGACCCCACCGGCCCCACCCAAATCTAACACGCGCAGAGATGCCCTCCTCAAGCTGGAAGCCCAGGTCCAGCGGCAGTGGGAGACCGAAGGCACGTTCGAGGCCGACGCCGAACAGGGCAAGCCCAAGTTCTTCGTGACCTTCCCGTCCTGACGCAGCGTCCAACAACACAAGAGAAGAGAGGAGGCGAGGGATGACGCGCGAGAAGACAGGGAACGGCCCGCGGTTGTCCCGGGCCCCGCGAGTACGCGGAACGAACCTGCCCGGGAGCCCGCGTGCGCCCATGCCCGCGGCTCGCATTTTACAAATGCTGTCTGACGCCTCCTCGTCGTACCGTACCGAGAGAGTGTACCGTATGAACGTAACTATGCACGTACAGGTACCCCTACATGAACGGGAGATTACATTTGGGACATGCCTTCTCACTCACGAAAGCGGAGTTCGCCGCTGGTTTCAAAAGATTGAGAGGATATAATGTCTTATTCCCCTTCGGCTTCCACTGCACGGGCATGCCGATTCAAGCAGCAGCCAATAAACTAAAAAACGAGATCGCAACCTATGGCAATCCTCCGCAGTTCCCGGAAGACAAGCCGCCCGCACCGACGAAAGAAGTGGACTCCCTCGCGAAGGAGATGGCCGCCCTCGGCAAGAAGGGCAAGGCCAAAAAAGCGAAGACGGGCCAGAAGGCCGCGGGTACTTCCTACCAGTGGCAAGCTCTGGAGAAGATGGGTATCCCTGCCAATGAAATTGCTGCGTTTGCGGAACCGTACCGGTGGCTGGACTACTTCCCGCCCTATGGTGTGTCGGATTTGAAGAAGTTCGGGGCGTCCATCGACTGGCGGCGGTCATTTGTCACTACGGATAAAAACCCGTACTACGATTCGTTTGTGAGATGGCAGTTCTTGAAATTGAAAGAAGGTGACCGCATCGCGTATGGTAAAAGAGCTAATGTGTACGCCGTGAAAGACGCGCAGTGCTGCGCCGACCACGATCGTAGTTCAGGGGAAGGAGTGGGCCCGCAAGAGTACTCTCTTATTAAATTGAAAGTTGCTGATAGCAATTGGCCTTGTTTAAAAGCGTGTGGCGACAGTGAGGTGTTTTTGGTGCCCGCGACGCTGCGACCGGAAACGATGTACGGGCAAACGAATTGCTATGTGTTGCCGTCGGGCGACTACGGCGCCTTCCGGCAGGCGAACGGCCAGATCTTCGTCATGTCTCACAGAGCGGCCGTCGGCCTGAGCCACCAGGGCGCCTTCACGCCGAATCCGAACGGCCCCGACGACTTCCATGGCTATTCAAAGGAGTGGGGCAAGCCCGAGTTGGTCGGAGCGCTGTTCAAGGGTAGCGAACTACTCGGATGTCCGCTCAAGGCCCCGCTCGCGAAGTACGATATAGTCTACACTCTACCCCTTACGACCATCAGTATGGTCAAAGGTACCGGAGTAGTTACCAGTGTACCCTCGGACGCGCCGGACGACTGGATCGCGCTCCATGAATTGAAGACTGACGAGAAGTTACGTACTAAGTACGGCATCGAAGAGAAGCATGTAGCGTTTGATGTGGTACCTATAATAAACATCAGCGTCGAAAAGTCGGGCGAGGGCAAGACGGCGAAGAAGGCCTGGTCGTCGGACAAGTCCGCCGAGTACTGGTGCGAGGAGCTCAAGATCACGTCTCAGAAGGATGCGGCCAAGCTCAAAATTGCGAAGGGCGAGACTTATTTGAATGGGTTTAATTATGGGATCATGTTAGTCGGGCCTCATAAAGGTGAAAAAGTGTCGGACGCGAAGCAGAAGGTCAAGGACGAGTTAATTGCTTCCGGTGATGCTCTGCTGTATTTTGAACCGGAAAGTCAGGTGATGTCCCGGTCGGGCGAAGAGTGCATCGTAGCGCATACGGAGCAGTGGTACCTGAAGTACGGGGAAGAGGCCTGGCGCAACGGTGTCATGAAGCACGTCGACGAAAGTTTCGAGGCCTACAACGCGGAGTGTCTCGCGCGGTTCAAGTACACGCTCGGGTGGATGCGCGAGTGGGCGTGCTCTCGTTTATTTGGCTTGGGCACGAAGATCCCCTGGGACGACGGCTGGGTCATCGAATCCTTGTCGGATAGTACCATTTATATGGCCTATTACACCGTATGTCATGTGTTACAGGGTAGTGGTTCCACGAATCTCGATGGTTCTCAAGAAGCGAACTTCCCCGCCTCGGCGCTCACCCCAGAAGTCTGGGACTACATCTACCAATCAAACGCGCCGAAGCCCTCCACCACTATCCCTGACGCACTCCTCGAGAAGATGCGCAGCGAGTTCCAGTACTGGTACCCCATGGACCTGCGAGTGTCCGGTAAAGATTTGATCGGCAACCACCTGACGATGTGCCTGTATAATCACGCGGCGATCTGGCCGAACGAGTCGGAGACGCGGTGGCCCCGGAGCATGTACACGAACGGTTTTGTACTACTCAACGGGGCCAAGATGTCCAAGTCGGACGGCAACTTCTTGATGCTCGACGAGGCCATCGACTTGTACTCGGCGGACGCGGTTCGCTTTGCCTGTGCGGACGCGGGCGACACGTTGGAGGATGCTAATTTTGAGCAGAAGCGGGCCGATAGTGCGGTGACGATGTTATATGTCGAAGAAATCTTCGCGCGGGCGGCCATGCGCGATCCTACGGTAGGAAAAAAGGACCAGCTGCTCTTGAGAGATGGAGAATTGTCTTATTTCGTCGACCGCGCGTTCAAGAACGAGCTCGGTGCTATGATAGCCGAAACTCTATCATGCTACGAGACCATGCGGTGGCGCGACGGCATCCAGGCCGGCGCCTTTGGGTTGCAGTTACTGAGAGATGCCTATAGAGACTGGTGCGCGAAATCGGGCGTGCCGATGCACCAAGGTTTGTTAGTTGATTATGCTCGGGTGCAGGCAGCTTTACTCGCGCCGGTGTGCCCGCACTTTAGCCATCACGTCTGGTTCGACGTGCTCAAGGAGAAAGCAGCGATTAGTTGGCCGGCTGAAAGGCCAGTTGATAAAGCTCTTTCGAGGTCCTACGGCTTTCTGCGGTCGGCCGCGCGGCAGCTTAGGCTCGACTCCGCGAAGGAGCTCAAATCGCTCAAGGGCAAGAAGCCGGCCGGCGCCTACGTTTACGTGGCCACGACCTACCCGGACTGGCGCAAGGCCGTGCTCAAGACCGCACGCGCCGTCTGCAACGGGTCGCTGGTCGAGAAGAAGGAGCTGCTCGGGGCGCTGAAGAAGGACCCGGCGTTCGCCAAGGACGGGCCCTTCGCGAAGCAGGCCAAATTGGCCATGCAGTTCGGGAGCTTCCAGCACGTGCTTTTTCTGCGTCCTTTACGCCGTCGTCGCGTCGATGGCGTGGAGGTTACGCCGTCGCCGTGACCGCCGCGTAACCCTTTACATCGACGCAGGACTACGCGGCGGAGGTCGGGTTGGGCGCGTTCGACGACGTCCTGCCCTTCTCCCAGGTCCAGATTCTGGAAGAGTCGAAGACGTACGTCCAGAAGAACATCTGCGGCGGCGACTTAGATATTACGATCGTCGACCTCGACGCCACGCAGGACGCGCCGGGGCCGGAGAAGAAGAGGGCGAACGCGTCGCCGGGCAAGGTGGCGCTGCACGTCTTTGCGGCCGAGGCGTGAGGCGGCGACGGCGTCGTTGGGGGAGTAAGTTCTCGCAGCCACAGCCTAGTAAACCCGTTTTGATTGGTGCCGCAGGCGCGCGGCCGTAATCTGGGCGGGACGCCAGCGTTTCGCGTGGCTACAAACGCGTGCGTTGATTCCAAGCTCGTCCCAGCTATGCCGCTCTTCCCTCCTCCTCAGGATGATAGCCTCTGGCAAAAAATGTGTAAGCTGGTGGGCGAGGGCGACGTCGCGGGCATGAAAGCCTGGGTGAAAGCGGGCGGCGATGTGAACCAAGAATTTTTCGACAGTTTCGGCACACCGCATCGCCTTTTGACGTTGGCGGCCACGGACGGAGACGCCGACATGGTCCGCGTTCTACTCGCTCAAGGTGCAGAAATCGACGGCCTTGAGGAGGGTCGCACGGCATTGGCTACGGCCGTAGTCGCGTGCATACATCCGGCGTACGACACGACAGAAATTGTCAAAGTCCTGATTGAGGCGGGCGCGAGCGTTGACGAGATAGTCCATCAGCATCCTTTTACACGTCGGGGCCAGGGTGAAAAGCCGCTGCTCTGCTCTGCTACTCATCAGCCTGGGGTTCTGTGTGCCCTTCTGCGGGCGGGCGCGGACTCTCCGTCGCTCCACACGCGAGGGGGCGGCAACATTGAAAAGTATGTCAAGGATGAATTCGACGATGCGATAAAGTGGATGACGTCGGGCGAGGGCGACGTTGACGCGCGCGCGGAAACTGCTAGGAATTTAGAAAAGTCGGGGCACATCCTCGCGGCCGTGCGCACCGGAGGGTCATACACTCATAGCCGCAGTGGCACGCAGTACGTCATCGACGGCATCGTCCAGGACGTCTAGATAAGTACAGACATTATTATACAACTCTCTAGCTCACGACGCGCCCGACCGCCTCCGCGACCGAAGGATGCGACAGCCGATGCGACGCGTACAACAGGTAGCGGAAGCCCGTAGAGCGCCCCAGCGAGGCCGCCTGGGTCACGGCCCAGAGCCCCCAGAACAGGTGGTCCAGCGGTGCGAACGCGTCGACCGCGCGGCAGAAGCGATCGACGGCCGCCGGCTCCGCGCCCGCGAGCAGCGCCTCGACCCAGTCGCGCCGCGTCGCCTCGGACGGATACCGCTCGAAGCGCGGCGTCGCCGAGTCGTCGAGCCCGCCGCACCACTCCCAGAAGTGATTCGCGACGTCGAAAGCCGCGTAGTTCGGCCCGCCGTACCTGTGCGGATGTAGAAAGCGATCAATACCGGAGCGCGCATGGTACGGCCCCAGTTCAGAGACGCTCATATCTATCTCCCACCCGTTTCTAAACCGACCATCCTATGCGTCTCCACTCCGGCCGGCCTTGTTGCGTGTGGTCTATACGTAAATACGCAAATGATACAGACGCCGGCGCCCGCTCGAGGTCCACCAGTCGTACCGTACCGTCGGGCCCGACCATCACATTATCCAGCGTGAGGTCGTTGTGCGCGAAAACTAACGAAGCGTCGAGGTCGTCTCCGCGGGACAGTCGCGCCTCAGCCGCGTCAATGACCGCGCCGAACGCGTCAAAGTCGCGGAAGCAGGCGTACTCGCTCCAGAGCTTCGCATCGTCGGCGTCGCGAGAAATTGCCGTCGCGGTCGCGTCCGTCGCCGAGGCCGCGAGCCAGCCCCGCAGCGTGGGCCATAAACCTGGCGCGTCGAGGTCGTGCCCAGACGGACCGCACAACTCCGGCGGCGGAACGAACGTGTGGAGCGTCGCGACGGCCCGGGCGATCTCGCGGTAGACCGTCGGATTGCTCACGTCCTCGTACGTCGTGTTGCGGTGGCCCTCGAGAAATTCTTCGACGCGACCGTTGGCGAAATGCCCCAGGCACCGCGGCCGCCCGAGGTGGCGGCCCGCCGCTTCAAACGTGGCCCCCTCCAGGTCGCGGTCAATCCCTAGGTCGTCCCCTCCACCGTAGACGCGGACGAGGACCGAGACGCCCTCGTCGTCGACGACGCGGAACATGTCGTTCGTGCGGCCTCCCACGATCCGTTCGACGCTCGTCGGCGCGCGCCCCCGCAACTCTTCCACCAGTGACAGGGCCGCCTCTGCACTATTGACGTGGCGCTGGACCCGCGGCGCTTTCGGCTCGACGGCGCGGCAGAGGCCGAAGCGCGTCTGCGGGTGGGTGACCGCGACGCGTTCGCCGCCGATGGACACCGTTCCCGCACTCGTGTCGCCCTCGTAGGACGCCCGCAGCTCGTCGAGCGACGGCAGCGCGAAGCCCTGTGGTGTGGGCACCGCGCAGCGGGGCAGCACCTCCTCGACCAGCGCCAGCGCCCGCTCGCCGATGGCCAGCGACGCCGTCAGGCCCGTCGACCGGATGCCCGCCACGGTGACGCGCGCGCCGTCCCTTTTAATAATATAGTCGCTCTGGTCCCTGGCGCCCGGGCGCAGGCCGACGTAGCGGCCTCGAATCGCGTCGAAGCTCGAGACGCCGAGCGCCCGTTTCGCCGCTCGCAAGAGGGTCGCTTCGGCTTCTGAAGAATGATCGTCGGCGGGCACCGTCCTTTCCGAGTAGGGCTCGGCCGTCGGACCGACGACCACGTCGCCGTGGACCGTGCGCCACGCGTAGGCGCCTCGGCCTAACTCACCGAGCGGTACGCCGCCGACGGGCCGCGCGAGAGCGCCTAACGACGCGAGCGGGCCCCGCGCGTCCAGGATCACGTAGTCGCCCCGCCGCGGCGCCACGGCGAACGTAGGGCGGCCCGCGCGCAGCGTCGCGTCGACGGCGTCCGCGTAGAGCCCGCCGCAGTTCACGAGGACGCGCGCTCGCAACGCCGACGCGGCGCCGGCCCGCTCGCCGCGGCGCTGCCTCAACTCGAGCGTCCACATTTGTTGGTCAAAGGCCGCGCCGATGACCTCTTGGCCCAACAGGAGCTCGGCGCCGTTCGCGCGCGCGTGGAGGGCCCAGGCGACGGGCACGCACCACGGCTCGACCGTGACCTCGCGCCGCACGTGCAGCCCCCGCGTCGCGCCGCGCGCCGCGAGCCCCGGCAATCGACACCGCGCCTCGACGGCGGCGCCCGAGTTTAGAGAGTCGGCCGCGGCGCGGTGCGCATCGGCCAGCCGTTCGAGCGCCTCCTCCTCTTCCGCGCCGTAGGCGACGTAGACGGCGCCCGTCGCCGCGTAGAGCACGTTGCACGCGTCGTAGGCGTCGCGGTTCAGCTCCGCCGCGCGCTCGAGGCATGCGTGCTCTACCGTGCCCTCGTCGCAGTCGGCCGCCGTGCAGGCGATGCCCGTGTTGCCGCCGCTCGCATGCGACGAGGCCAACGCCGCCTCGCGCTCGATCAGGACCGTCTTGCGGCCGGCCAGCGCACAGGCGCGCGCGACGCCGCAACCTACTACTCCGCCGCCTATCACTGCGACGTCGTAAATGCTAGCCATTTCAGCCATTTTAGGCCATTTGCCTCGCTGCTGTGCAGCCTGTGCAGCGGCAAGCTGCAGCGAGTTGCTGTGCCGCGGCGTTCTCTCGCAGCACAAAGAGCGATGATCTGTCGTCACCGCAGCTAATGCTGCTATGCAGCGTCGCCGACGCGTGCATGCAGGGCCGCGCTTGCAGTGCTGAGCGGCACCGCGGCCGTGTTAGCTAGCTCTGTAAGACACTAGGAATCAGCGCACGCATCAACGCGACAGCTTGGGGACAAGTGGGGCTGTTGGAATGCGGCTCTTTAGACATACTTCGAAGTTACACAAAACGGCGGGAGGGCTTCGCGCGGGCCGATGCCCGCGCCCTGAGCCCGGGGAGACGTCTACTGGTGGAACTCCTGGAAGAGCGCCGGGATCTCGTACGTCGCTACCTTCTCGAGGAGCGTGAACATGACGGGCTGACCATGCTGCACGAGCTCCTGGGCCCAGAGGCCGATGCAGGCGAGCATCGCGAGGCGGCCGTTGTTCAGCTCGACGACCTCTTTCCGTAAGTACTCCTCGGGCGAGAGCTTGTCCTTCGTCCACGGCGAGAGGCCCTCGATGTTCGCGTACCTGCGATGCATCAACCGGTGAGCCGGGCAAGCGCCGCGAAATTTGTTTTGTGCGCTGTCGCTCACGAGCCGGGCACGTAGCCATCCTTCATCTTGAAATCCGTCGGCTCCCACCCAGGGAACGACGCCGTTTCGACCGCACCAATAGCTAAGAGCACAGGAGCGAGGATGGAGCTCTGCTGGAGCGTGCCCTGGAACCTGTGTGTGGAGCACGTCAAATCCCGACGCGTACGCACGTCAACCCTACGCCATCGACGCGACATCTTCAGGACGCTGGGTCCGCACGCGAAGATCGCCGGCACGTTCGACGGGGCATACAACATGGGATGCCACACCTCGGCGAAGAGCATGCCCGTGATCGCGAGCATCGCTACGCGGCCGTGCTTGAGCTCCGCCTCGCGGTACTTGACCATCTCGGCCGGCGACGCGCGCTCGGCGAAGCCGAGGGGGTCGAAGTCGAAGCGCGAGCTCGGGACGCCAGGGATCTCGTTGCCCGGGAGGCCGTAGGCGAACTCGGTGGAGGACGGGTTCTTCAGCGTCGCGACGTCGAGCTTGGTGGAGGCCTTCGGCGCGGCCGGCGCGACGAGCGCGGCCGCGGAGGTAGCGAGAGCGAGAGTAGAAATGAGCTGCATTGTGTTGGTGCCTGCGTGGCGAGGTCAAGTTCGCGGTGGCGGCGGTCGGTACGCGTTCTCCCCTCAAACGCGGCGCGCCGGCGCTCTGATGCAGCGCCACGCCTCGTGCGGTGCGCGCGGCGACCGCGTACTGCGTCGGCACCCGCACTTCGCTTGCAATCGCATCGATGCGATTGCGCAAGGCTGTGAGAGGCCAAAACGCAGCGTGTGCGCTCCAGACTTCGAGGATTGCCGCATCACTGCACCAGAAGCGTGATGCGCGAGTTTCGAACAAGACGAAGGCTACTGCGGCCCGTGGTGCGCTCACCTTATGAATGCGATGTGTTCGTGGGCTGTGAGCGCCTTCCATTTCGGTCTGAGGTGGGCTGCAAGTTTGAGAAACAAAAATTACACGACGGAAAGTCTCGAGTCGCTTCTCGAGCTGTGTTTCGATGCTTTGAGCGGTGAAAGAGGTGCCCGCTCATAGCGTAAACTCTCTAGCCTGAGGGAGCAGGGGCTGGGCCCACAGTGTGAGCACAGCGCTGGGGATAGGAGACCGTGTCCGATTCTGCGCATTTGGACAACTGCCCTAAGGCTGCGGCAACGCCGGCGACGCGTCGCCTGCGCCCAACAACGGGAGCACCATACTGAGAGCATTTTGCAACAGGAGAGCTGCTTGGCGCCAATCGCCGCATCCAAAAAATGGCCAGCGAGGCAGCGACAACCCAAAAACTCTTGGACAAAGAACGCGAAAAGCACCGCGCCAGCAAACGCGCCGCGAAGCTCGCCGCCGACCAGGCCAAAGGCCTCAAACAAGCGCTAGACACCGAAAAGCAAAGGACCGCCGCGGCGGAGGAGCGCGCGCGCCAGTTCGAGGTGGCCCTCTTCGAGGAGAGAGCGAGGAGCGCGAAGGCGCTCGCCGAGCAGCGCGCGGAATGCCTAGAGGCGGCCGTCGAGGTCGCGCGGGAAATTGCAGAACGCCAGCCTCCACAGCAACTCACGCCGGGCCCGGGCCCGCCCGCGCGGCGCGCGTCGACTCAGGCAACGGAATTGGCAAGAGGCGCGCCGTCGACGTCTGTGTGGAAATCAATGAGTTAGGTTATCCTGAGATTTGTTGCGGAGACCTTCGTCCACCTAAACGCCATCGAGCAGACGCAGGAATGGAGGCAACCTCGTGTCGATGGCGTTAGCTCTACACGCCATCGAGCAGATGCAGTTACAGGGACGACGTCGCGTCGATGGCGTGGGGCGCCCGAAATTTGATTTCCACACAGGTCGACGTGGTCCGAGGCCTCGCAACGGGCGTCCGTGCTCGGCGTCGGTATTTTGTTCAAGGCGCGGCAACTGCGGGCGCACCACGGCCCCTGCCTTGAAGGAGACGGCGAGCCGCTCAAGGAGACGCTCACGGCCATCGCGCACCCGTACGGGGGCGCGCCGCCCTTATCGCCCGCCGAGGCGCTGCCCGCGGCGTTGGCGTGCGTCGACTTTTGTGTGGTGGCGCTGCCCGCATTGCTCGACTCCGCGTCCACTACTGATGAAGGCGTCCTCGCGACGCTCAAGTCGGCGGCGTCGACAGCCGCGTCGAAGGTCGCGTCGACGGTGGACCAGGTCCTCTGGGAGGAGGAGAACGTCGACATCGCGACGCTGTCGCGGCCAGCTTTAAAAAGCCAGGTCGACTCGATGCTCGCGCAGGGGCCGCTGACCCCTCATAAAAGCGAGGAGCGCGACGGGACGAGCCTGTAGTAACTTGTGATTTGTTATTTTTCGTCGCGGCGATGGCGTCTAGACTAGACGGACGCGCCGCCCCCACGCCATCGCCGCGAGTAATTAAAGCAAGTTAGAACAGGGCCTCTAGGGCGGAGACGGCGACAGCGTCCGCACGAACAGCTCGTACGTCGTCCAAACGATGGCCACCGACGGCGCCTGCGCGAGCGCCCGCACGGCCGCCCCTCGATAAAAGCCGACCGCGCCGTCGGCGCGCCAGATGTGCGAGGCCGCGTCGGCGAATCCCGAGAACATCACTCGGGGCGGCCGCGCGGCCGTCGAGAGGCTCCTGGTGCCGAAGTCGTGCGTTGCTGATGCGGCGCCCAGCGAGCACGTTAAGTGTTGTGTTTGTAGTCTAGTTTTCACCACGTCCAATGGTGTTGTCGCCAATGAGGCGACCGCGCCAGCTAAACCACCACAAGCGAGTAACGACCCGACGCCCAGCTTGTCTCCGGAATTACGCTTCATCTTGGCCTTGAGGGCCTCGTTGGCGGCCACGGACACGCAGCCGTAGGGAATGTTCATCGCTAGAGTTGTGGGTAACGAACGATACAGCCCCGCCAGCCCCCCGTGCTTCAGCGAGCAGGTCCAGGCGTCCCAGAGGCCCCGGTGGTGCCCCAGCTGCAACCGCTGCTTGAGGACGTCGGCGGGCGTCATCAGCGCGTCGTGGCCTACTACGGCGACGGCCCCTGCTAGGGCGTTCGTGGCATGCGAAGGTTGGGCCTCCATGCTCCTGACCGCTTCGAAGGCGCCGAAGTAGAGGGCGTGGGCCGGGGCGCAGGCTAATGATACCGCCGAAACGCCCCGCCAGAGTCTCCTAGCGCCGGTGCCCGTCGTGAGGCCGTCATTTACTAATTGGCGGGCGTGCTTCAGGCAGAAGATGTCCGCGACCTGCGTTCTTCCACAAGACCCCACACACTGGGCGTGCGTTTTGACGGTGTCCAGCGGGAAGACGAAGAGGTGCTCGGCGAGGCCGGCGCCGCTGCCCGCGATTAAATGAGTGGAGAAGGGGATGCCCCGGTCGGGATCGTACTCGTCGAGGTAGTCGAGGTCGGCGTCGGAGGCGTCGGCCATTGTTTTTTAGGGCCCGGCGCCTCGCGCGCGCGCTGCGGCGAGAGCTTGCTTGGCGCGCGCTCTCCGGAGTTGCCGGCGTGCGCGCTCGCGCTGGCAGCGCGTTTCACGGCTTCAGCGCCTCGTGTAGGGTGGCGAGGCCTGTCGGCCTGTCCAGCGATCGCTGCTAGGGCTGGTGCTCTGCTAATTGCGGCTCCTGCCAAGCACCTTCGACACTCTAGAGTCTATAGCTAGAGAGACCAACGAGAAGCGTCGCGACGGAGCGCGTTCGCCTGCCCTCGTGGCGGGGGGACGACTCGAAAGAGGCGTGCTTGGCCGGGCCTCAACAAAAACAGAGGCGTGCTGGCAAGCTAAAGGTCTCCCAGTGAACTCGTCTCTCCCTCCACGGGTATTGCTGTTTGAGCCAAGCCGGCGCGGGAGAGACCTAGCAGTGGTACTACCGGTCGGCCCCGAACGCTCGGAATCCAGCCAGGGCACCCAGGGCGCTCCAAACAGGCCGGTTTCCATATCAGCGTAACAGGGGCTGGATATAGCCCGCGAGACGCTGCAGTTTCAACCCCGTGGCCCCGCCCAGTCATTTTCCTGGCCCTCCATCCTTACAAAAACACCAGCTCCCTGGAAACAAGATGGCCCTACTAGCCGACACGCCCGTCGCGCTGCCGGTCTCCGCGCCGCAGGACGCGTACAACAACTACGAGCAGCGGCCGCTCCACAGCCCGCCCCAGGCCACGCCGTCGTCCTACGGCAACGCCATGCCGAAGCGGGCGCGCGCCGGCTCCGTGTCGCGCTCGAGGACGAACTCCGTCGACCTCTCTCTTAGTTCTCGGCTGCGGTCCGCGTCGGAACTCGAGAAGGCCGGCTTGGTGTCCTCGACGCAGAAGGGCGCCCTCAAGGACCTGATCATTTTTGGAGATGAAGCACTCAGGGGTGCCCTCGACGACTACCATCAGGGCGACGCGGAAAGACTCGAGAGGCTGGTCAAGCAGGGCTATTTGGATCGTTCTAGAGGTGTGAATGTCTCTACAGTGGAATCCCGACCGAGGGAGGGCTCCATCGACTTGCTCGCGGAGCTCGACCTCGACTCCACCGCAGAAGTGTTGTTTGCCGCTAGGCGGCCTCCCCCCTCAGCCGAGCTCTTTTCTACTGATGATCAATTGATGGGCTTCGACATGGAGATGCCGACGCTGTCCAGCGGTTCGCCTCCTGCGCGGAAATCAGATTTCAGGCTCGCGTCTGCTCGATGGCGTGGAGGTTCCGTACGCTGTCGCGGCGATGGCGTGTTGGTGATTTCTACACCACTTCCATGCCGTCGCGGCGGGCACGCACGAGAGAGGAAACTACGCCTGCTCGACGGCGCGGAGGTTCACTTGATACACACACAGGTCTCTTGGGCGAGGACGACTTATTCTCAGAAAGGAAGCGGCGCGCGCGGCTCGGTTCCGTAGGAAGCTTCGGAAGCGCCAGATCGGACGACGGCGGCCGGCCGCGGCCGCGCTGCGACTCCCTCGCCTCTGAACCGGAGGTTGAAGAACCACCACCGCAACAACGGACGCAGCGCACGGCGGCGCGCCACGCTTTGAGTGGTGCGCCGAAGAGGAGATCGAGACGCGACGACCGCCCGCGCGCGAGCGACGCGCATCCGGGCCCCGACCAGCCCGTCGCGCGCTTCCGGGGCACGGTCGCGGCGACGGTGGCCGACCCGCCGGGAGCGCGCTTGTTGGACCCGGGCCCGGCGCCGGCCTACGAGCTCTTAGTGAACTTCCCCAGAGCCAAGTCGCGGACGCAACTCCACTGCGTCATGTGCGGCCGCCGCCCGCGCGACGCGAACCCGCGCGAGCCCCTGCCCGAGCGGGCGCCGCCGCAGCCGCGGAACCCGCGGCTGGACGGGATGGGAGACGACCGGGACGACGTGCAGCCGGGCGCCGAACGGACGCTCGGAGGGTCGGTGATCATCCCGCGCCAGAACAAGGACGTCTGCCGCGAGTGCGACAAGGCTTTGTGGCGCCACTGCGCGTCGGACATCCACTTCAAGTGGTGCAAGGGCTGCAAGCGCTTCCGCAACCTGGTGGCCTTCGCGGAGAAGCTCGCCGCGTCGAAGTGCGACCGCTGCCGCGAGCGCGGCCGCCAGGGCTACATGCGCCGCAAGGGCGGCGGGCCGTCGCCGCCGACCTCGCCGCGCCACTGAATTCCCGCTCATCACCTTGAACCCCCTATCCCATACCTATCCCAGAAAGAAAAAAGACTCCTCCTGCGCGCGCTGCGCTAGGAGATGCCCACTCTCGCCTAACAATTAATCGTATTTCCGGGTCGCAGTGCCCCTTCTACCTACTCCCCGAGGGTCTCGAGGTCCGTGAGATGGAACTTAGATACGAATCCCCCCTCGACGAAAGCCGCCGCGCGCGCGCGCGCCGGCACACAGAACACAACGAACTACCTGAACCGCAGATACCTATGGACCTGTTTGTCCGTCGTGTCGACGCCCGTCGTGTACCACCAGGCCATGAGCGACCACGCCAATACGCAGATGATCGCGAAGGTGATGAACGCGGCCTTCTCGCCGTCCTCGACGTGCGAGCACGTGTCTCGTAGCTTAAAGTCGGCCTGCTTCGTGCCCTGCGAGTCGTGCATGGCCGAGCCGCGGTGCTTGGCTCAGACCGGTTCTCTCCCTTTGGGCTGTGGTGCCCTGTGCGGCAGGGGCAGCCCTCGGGCGCGTGCACGGTCTCAGGTGCGGTCCCTGGTGCTGCCTGAGGTCCTGTCCGGCGCGACTAGTTCGTCGGCGGCAGTGTTTGTCTGGCCGGCGCGCCGCCGCTTTGCTTTCGTGCGGGGCGCAGGCGCGCACCTCCGCGGAGGCTTCGGAGAGATCAAGAGGATCGGTCAGACGACGCATTACTAGTACATTTCCGATGGAACTCCCATACGGCCAAGGAGGACGCGCACGCGACTGCGCACGCATCGACGTCGAGGCGGTGCCCTATCCCACCAGCACGCCGCCGCCGCAACCCCTACACACAAGGCAGTAAAGGATAGTTACCCGTACTCGACCGCGAGCATCGCGTCCACGAGCGACGCCGTCGAGAACGGAGCGGGCGTGCGCTTGTTGCGGCCGTAGCGGTCCCGGCCCAATTCGCCCGCCCTCGCATAGACGGCCTCCTCGAGCGACTCGCCGGCGTCCGCCCTGGAAGGTGGTGCGTACGTGCCGTACGAGGCCAGAGATTTCGCGTCGAGCCCCCGCGGCCTCACGTTGCGCGCGGCATCTCTCAGTCGCACGTCTTGCGACGTGTTCGGGTCGGGGATGCCCTTCATCTGCGTCTTGATCGTTTCCCGCAACGCCTTTGTCGTGCGGCCGTCGGGTCTCGTGAAGTCCTCCTCGTGTTCGCCGATGTCCACGGTCCTCATCCCCGTATGGGTCAAATCCGGCACGACCGGGAATTTGCGCGCCATATTCCGCCAGACGGCCGCGTCGGCGTGCGGGCTGTGCATGCTCGACACGAGCTTGTCGAGGTAGGGCCCTCGCACCTTCCTTACCGTAACGGCCGGCGAGGACATGGTCCTGGGATCAAAGATGAGGGGTTTAGCATAGGGCGGCGGGTCCTTGGGGCCGCCGGGGGCCATTTTTGTTGTGCTGTCTCTTTGCTGTGGCTCTGCCTCTTGGTGCGGCTGTCTCCTGGGAGGCGGTTTCCTCGTCGGCGTCTTGAGGCTCCTTGGTCGCGGATGGGCCTACTTGGGCAGCGTCGGAGCCTTGTGTGCTGCCCCGCGGCGACACAGCTCTCCCTTGGCGCTGCTCAGTTTAGCATGGTGGACGCCGCGACGAGCCGTCAAAGTAGCCATACGTGCGCACGCAGTCTGACGGAGTGCTCTCTTGGAGTAGTGATCGTTTTTCACAGCGGCACCCCCTACTGCAGCAGCGCTTGGCCACGCTCAGTCTGGGACGGCCCGTCGCGCGCACGTGCCCTTGCAACCAGCTTAGAAGTGGCCGCCAGTGTCCCAAAACGACCGATCATGCACCAAAAAGCGTCGTGCTTTACGTTATTGCACCGGTGCTCTGCGAGTGCGCTAAAGTTCAATCTGCTCGGCGAGTGAGGCGACGGGTCCTATACGTCGTGAAGAGCTGCGTAAGGCGCATGACAGAAGCAGTGGACTCAACCTGCGGCCCGGTAGCCGTGGAGAACTGCAGTGAAACTGCAACCGCGGGCGCCGACATCGGACCCGCAGTTCCGCTGCTGCATAGCTGTCAACGACGCGCCGAAACCGACGCGAGACGCACGCGTGTGCGCCGTCGACGCCGTCGACGCGGTCGCGAGCGATCTTACACCTCATGGGCCGCGACGCCATCGACGAGAGAGCCAACACTCGCTACGCAGGCCCACGATGCTCTTCAAGAGCGCGATCAAGAGCGCCTTCGCGGCGCACGCGCCGCTTACGCGCACGAACTTGGCGGTCGGCGACAGCATCCCGGCCGGCACGACGCTCGTCAAGGAGTTCCCGAACGAGTTGGTGGACGTGCCCGCGCGCCTCGCCGGCAAGAAGACCATTGTGGTCGGCTTGCCCGGGGCGTTCACGCCGACCTGATCCGGGCTCCAGGTCCCCGGCTACTACTCGAAAGAAGAAGAGTTGAAAGCAAAGGGGATCGATGAGGTGCTGGTCTACTGCGTGAACGACATGGCCGTGATGCAGGCCTGGTTCGACGACATGATGATCAAGCCCTCGTCCATCGTGACGCCGCTCGCGGACCCGACGCGGGCCTTCACGGCGGCGCTGGACCTCGAGATGGAGGGCACGCCGCCGCAGCTCGGCTACGTGCGGTCGAAGCGCTTTGCGGCTGTCTTCGACGACGGCAAGTGCACGAACTTGTTCGTGAGCGCGGCGCCGGGCGACCCGGCGGGCGACGACGACCCGTCGGCGTCGCTCGTCGAGAACGTGCTCAAGAGCCTCTAGACAGCTGTCTCAAAACCAGGCGACCCGATCGACCTTGCGTCGCGATTATGACGCCCCGCGCCTCTATGATTGGTGCGGGGCCGAACCCACCGGCACGCGAAGACCTCCTGCCGCGCGCGCGAGTTCGTTCGGGGTAGTCTGGAGCTTAAGATGGCACCCCTATTTAGTTCGATCGATTTGGCGGTCGGGCGCGTTCGCCGGGGCGCGAGCCGCAGCTTGCGGCGCGGCGGCGCGGCGACGCCGTGAGCCGTACTTTTACTCCTCTAGAAAGCTCCAAAGGGTTCCGGCACGGCCCCGCAAGTGTGGGGCTAGTGTGTCGTCTGTGATGCAGGGCATTTGCCCGGGCGCCGCGTCGAGCTCCGAATAGGTGGAGACGTCGGCGAGGGCTCTAGACTGACCTCTCAATCATCTAGCCGCGAGGCCGCGGCGCGGCGTGAGCGCTATCGGGTGGTGGCAAATAATCTGAGAACAAAGATGAGAGGGCGCCTTCCAGACCGACGGCGAGGAACATGAGGTGTGCCAGTGGTTCTGGCAGATGGTCCGCGCGTGGTCACCCGAAAGAAGGGCCCAGCTGCTGCAGTGGACGACCGGGCATGCGCGCGTCCCTGTTCAAGGCTTTTCTCATCTCATGGGCCGGGACGGCGTCTTGCGCAAATTTACTCTGACCTCTCTGGAGTTGAGCCAGGCCGTCTACCCGCGTGCACATACGTGTTTCAACCGCATCGATGTCCCGCTCTACCGGACGAAGGACGAACTAGTGGCCGGGTTTGAGTTCGTGCTCGAGCTAGGCGATCAAACCTTCACGATGGACTAAGTATCTTATCATACAATCAATTTCTATACACCACACACTAATCATCCTGGTCAAACGACGCGGCAGACGACCGCCCCCGCAGCAAGCCGCTCACGAGTTTCGTCGCAGTAGTAAACGAGGGAAGCCGCTGGGCCCGCGCCTCTCCCACAACATCGCGCGCCGCCGACGCGACCTCGTTGCCCCGCGAAGCCACAGAGGCGGCGAAGCGCATGACTTGGGACGCCCGTCGCGACGCGGCCGCGACGACGCCCGTCGCGCGCTGGGACCGCCGTTCGGCCCAGGCCTCGGAACCGGCGAGGACGCGCAAGGCTACAAGACCATCGTCAAACGCCGCGACCGCGGCACACGGCGCCAGCGGGTCCGGCGCGAACGTTAACAAGGAGAGCGTCGGCGCCTCGCCCGGCGGCGCGAAAAGCTTCGAGTCCACCTTCTTCGTTAGTTGTAAAGACGGCAGGGCCCGCAGCTCGACACTATGTGACGTCACCACAACAAGCACGTCGCCGAGCGGCCCGCAGACGTGCGCCGAGCAGACCTTCGAGGCGACGCACGCTTCACCGATGCAGCCGCCGTTCACGTCGTGCACATCGAGGAGTGTGGAGGGCCCGACCGGCCGCGCCAAGGCAACCAACGCCAGCGGGCCGCTCAGCCCCACGGCAATAGCGGGCGACGTCGACGGCCGCGAGGCGACGAGCTCCCGTAACAAAGCACCGTCTCGTAACGAATGGACTAATGTGCGGCCATCCACAGCGTTCGTCACGCAGACGCCCAGCTCCCTCGATAGCACCCCGGCGACGACGGCCGCGTCGTGGCCGCGGAAGACGACGTCCGCCCGGCGACGTAGCCGCGCCCTCCGCGGCCAGGGCCGCGACGCGCGGTCCACGCGCCAGACGCCGGCGCGGCCGTCCGCGGCACCTACCAGTATAGACACATCTAGAGCTGGTGGCGCCCCAGCAGCAGGGTCCGCGCCGATCCGCTCGCCGTCGCCCTCGCCGCACTTTACGAGCGTTAAGTCGCAATCAAAGCACACCACAGAAGCCTCGCCGCAGGGCCTTGCTCGGACGTCGACGGCCTCCTGGCCGTCGTCGCCTAGATCCAGCTGCGTCACTCGCAAGGCTCCAACGTAATCTACATCAATTGATGCAATGAGTGCACCATCGACCGAGATGGAACATTCAGCAGATGAGGACACGCCGAGCTGCGACGCGTCCCGGCACACGACTCTTTCCACCGCCTGCTCGCCCGTCGACGGGCCTTTTACTAACTCGTCTGGTGCCGCGAGGGGCCGCAGCGAGCACCGCCTCCTTCCAACGTCAGTCTCTTCCTCGACGAGGTCGTCGGCCCAGCCCAGGACGCAGATGTCGCCGCCGCCGTCGATGATGACAACTCTACCCGCGGTCGCCCTTATGGCCAACGGTGAACTACTTCGAAAGCCGTGGAAGAGCCCCGCCGCGCGCGCGACGGCCAGCGACTCGTTGGCCGGTTCCCTTGGCACGAAGCACTGCAACCGCGGGTCGTCCTGCACTTGTGAGGTTAACACGCGGGGCCGCCAGCGCGGCGGCGGCCCGCGGCAGGGCCACGGCCGCGTCGAGTGGAGCTGGAGCGGGCACTGGCCGAAGTGCGACGCTTGGAGTACAGTGGCCGCTCGTAGTTTCGGGTTCTCGATCGCATCTAGATCAACTTGATCCCCGTAGCACAGGTAGAAGAACACGTTGGCCGACTCTACCGCAAGCGGTCCCCGCTGCTTCCGCCCAAAGATCAAATCTAACCAGTCGTGTAAATGCAAGGACGTGTAGGAATGTTCTAAAGCTGAACGCATGCCGGCCACGAACTTCGAAGGTGAGTTTTCAGCCCAGGGCGGCAAGGCCACGTCCTTGACCTCGCGCCCGTCCTGCGCGGCACCGAGCGGGAGCCTGCCTCTATTGACCAGAAACGCCGACGACGAGTACCACTCCGGCGTCAGCTCCTTCACCTCGTTGCCGGCCTTCTCGCCGCGGGCACCGCTGTTCGCGTCCCAGGCATCTGAGACCGAAGCAAATAACCTATCGGCGACGTCAAACCGGCCACCCTGCAAATCGCAATGTAATTCACTCCAGGGCCGGCATCTTACTAAGTAGTGCACCACGACACCGGCAGCGGTAGAATAATGCGACCCGTAGTGGAATTTCGGCATGTGCGTATCATCAAAGGCGTCGTGGCGCTTGACCGTCTCCCTTAACCTATCTTCGTTGATGGCCCCCATCGGCTTCCGGAGGTCTCGGTAGGTCTGGGGTCGATCTAAATATAGAGTATGACTCTTGAAGTCGCAGATGACCCAGGGCATGACCGGGTATTGACAGGGATCTTCGAAGGACCGGCCAGCTAAAGCATTTACTATCAGTAAATAGTCGAAGTTCGACAACTGCCGCTCCTGCCAGCACCGCGTGGCTCTCCTCAATAGTCGCCTAGGATGTGTTTTAGGCGCCTGCAACAGGGGAAACAAGCCCGGCGGGCCGCGATCGCCGTTCCCGCCACCTCGAGCTCGAGCCGTTCTTACACTGGAGATGAGCTTCCGCACCAATTCGTCCCTTCTTTTACCATCTTTCACGGCTTGGTCGAGAGAAGGCGGCTCCAGGCTCGACCGTCGGTCCCCGAACGGCGTTGGTGAACCCGGCTCGTCGTTGTCTGAAGCATCGTCGTCGGAAAACGTCTCCGTGATGTCTCTGGGTACTAACCGTTCCGCCGTGCAATCTAGGAACAAGGACTCACCACTTGAAGCGTAGATCTCGACGCCGGCATCTCTCAACCTATATCGTCTCAGAAGCACGGCGGAGACGTCGTTCAGTCTACCGTCGTACGACTCGCCCCCTCTCCACTTGAAGGACTGCTCCGTGAGCACGAAGCGACCCCGTACTAAACCTTTCCGCGTCACGCGGGCCACGTCATCTAATTCGAGAACAACATCGTCGTGCTCTTCCTCATCATCATCCTGAACTGGCTGTTGCTGTTTCTGGGGCGACGGCTTCACCTCCTCTTCTTCATCATCATCGGAAACCTCCTGCGACCGCGACTGCTTCGCGTTCAGCGCCTGTGCCACCTCTTCACGCTTGCGGATGACGGCGTCGTGGGCGGCCTGGGCTCTCCTAATCTGCGCCTCGACCTCGCGCGGGTCGTCGTGCGCCTTCAGCTCGACCGCAGCGTCTTCCCTAGGTGCTACCACAGAAGCGTTCCTGAGACCGTCGCCGAAAGACGACGCTAATGACCAGTTCGTCTGTCCTTCGACCTGTACAGAACAGCCGAGCACCGCCCGTACATCCCGCGTCTTGCGCTTGCCTTCGGTAGCATCCATCAGCCGCCTTCTCGCATCCCGATTATCCGCCGCCTCCCTCCTCTTGGAAGCTGTGGCACGAGCGAGTGCACAATGGGCAAACGCGGATGCCGCTCGTCTCGACAAGTCGGTGTCGTCCGGCCGTAGCCATCTCGAACTATCAATCTCCTCGAAGGCGTCGTCGCCCGCGAACGACGCTATTTGTAATTCAACATCGTCGCGGTCTCTTCGGGACGCTTCATCTAACCTTTCAGCTAATAAAGCGAAGCACTGCGTCGCGTCCTTCCCATTTATACAGGGCGCGATCGCATCGGCGGCCTTTTTTGCTGCTATGCCACCGTGCACCGACTGGCGCCGCTGGGGCGAGCCTGGTGTTAAGAAATTGCCGTGCGCGTAGAGGTTCTTGACGAGCTGTAAGGTACAAGGGGAAGCGTCTCCATCTCTACGAGAAAACTCGCGCAGACAGACCAAGGCGTGCAGCGCGTCGTCCCGGGCGGCCACGGCCAAGCCGAGCGACGTCTCGGACTCGTTCGTGTCCGCCAGTGCGATCGACGTCAGCACAGACAATCGCAATTCATCAGCAATAGAAGCATCGTTCGCCCAGAACAGAGCATGACCCAGCGTGCGAGCGCAGCGCCGACAGGCCAGTAAACAGGCGTCGGCGTCTCGCTTCCGGTCCCGCTCTCGGCCCTGATCGGAGACCATCTTCTTCGCCATTGTACGCGCCGCGCCGTACCAGCCCTTCGCATCGTCTTTCGAGGGCGGCGCCGTGAGTGACTGGGAGACCATGCGCACGGATCTAGAAGCATCAACAATAGCAGAAGCTAACTGGAGGACGTCCTGCGCATCTTCAATAGACTTGGCTTGGTCGTTCGCCGCGTCTCTGGCGTCCTGGTCGATCTTCACGGGTTCGACGATGCCGTCCGTGAACAGCAAGACTTCCCCATTCCGCTGTCTAGCTTCGCCCCGGATGTACGGTCCCGGCCACAAGGATTCTACAACATATGCAAGCAATTGTGATAGGGCGACGCAGGCGTCCCGCGGACTTTTTGAACACTCCGCGGCCAGTCGCCGGCAGCACTGCGACGCTATTGAGGCAAACGCCGCGCGCGCTCGGACATCTATTAATGCAGGTGCGTGCGCCGGTCCTGATCTAGCGTTCAAACACCTACATAACGAGCGCCACACGCTTGGTGCTAGCTCCATGCCTTCTTCGGCATGCGACGCGTCGGGGTTCAAGGCTTTGGCTCTGACACAGATGTGTCCTAGAGCATCTAAGGATAATAACCGCACGGTAGTATTTCCGGAGGAAGCTAATTTCACAAAAGCACCAACAGAATACCACGCCTCCAAAGAACAGACCTCTTTGAGATCCGTGGACTTGGCCCTAGCGCACGCCGCGCCGACGGCTCGGGCAGAGATATCAGACGACGCCTCGCTAATAACAGCCGCTAATAAAGGTAAAGCTAACCACAAAGGCGGAGCCAACCAGGACTCGTCGTCCAAAACGCCGAGCGTCCTGATGATTTCCTCGATTTCATTTTGTGATGCTTGCCACGCCTTCGACTCGAGGGCGTCACTCACGGCCAAGGCTAGCGTCGCGGCACTTCGTAGCGCGCTTCGACGCGCGTCCCGTTGCGCTCTTAATACTTCAGATAATCTACGCGCACTTCCGAGAGGGTCCTCGTCGTCTGAATGGTCATTGGCACTTTCTTGTCGCGTAGCTTCCACGAGTTTGGCTAAATGTCTATCAACCCAGGCGTGCTGCCACAGGGCTAGTCCTAATACCGCCCTTTTCAGTAACGGCTTCGTCTTCGCTTCGTCCGCTAATATTGCTAGGGCCGTCGTCTCCGCGAAACGTACTGAACGCAACCCCTCGGCGCACCTCCTCCGACACATATCGTCGGCTCCAGACAACGCGCGGCCCAGCGCCGCCACGAAGGCCCCTCTCACAGACCCGTCGGCGTCTCCATTTGTATCGTGGACGCACCGGCAGCACGCTCGAGCACCGTCAAGGCCGTCCGACTCTTTGCCCGGCCGTCGCATCTCGTCGACCAACGCGGCCGTGGCTAAATGTCGAGCTGCGGCGGCGCCTCTCGCTTTTTTACTAGGATCGTCCACGTCCCTCAGTAGTGATCGCGCTACCCTAAACAGCTTCTCGACGCCGACACCTCGTCTCAATGCCGACGCGAATAGCCGTGCGGACCTCCGTCGCCGCGGCGGCGCTCGAGCGGCAGCCGAACACCGTAAAGCCGCCTGCTCGAGCCAAGCTACTCTACGATCATCTGACCTGTCTCGTGCCCAGGTCGAGGACGCCCATAAATCACCCAACGACCGCGCGTGGAGCTGCGAGCCGGCTCCGAGCGCGTAGGCAGCGGCATCCAACGCGGCCCAGGCGCTCCTTGCACTTTCACCTTTTGTAACTTTCGTGGCCAGCAACGCGAAGACGTTCTCTTCCAGGGCGCGCTCCGCGTGCGCGGCGCCGCACCTTCTTAGTGATGCGGCAACTATCAACAGCAGGGCCGACTCGCAGCCCGGCGCACAACTTGACACGACGGCCGCGCAGCCGCCGTTCGCGACGACGGCGTCTCGACATCGCGCCGCGGCGCCTCTTTCACTAGACGCGTTCCGCAGGATGATGCGCGTGGGCTTCGCGCCGCCTAGGGCCACATCTACTCCTCTACCGGACGTCTCGCCGCCGCCGCGCGGCGTCCAAGCTCCCTGGCCGGCGCGGCCTGCGTTTTTTTATTTTTGTTGTTGTTTCCCCCACGCGCTCACTCTCGCCCCGACGCCATCGCATGAAATTCGACGCCGCACAAGGACCGGGCTCCAAGGCACAAGCAACTCGCAGTTTGGCCAGGGACGCCTGGGTCTCGTCCTCGTCGTCACTCTCCCCATGTTGCTCGCCCCTTCTAAAGGCGCCCGCCGCGGCGCCCGGCCCGCCGCGCGGCCCGCGCCAGAACGCGCCCCGTAAGGCTTTTAATGACGCGGCGCCCTCTAACAAAGCTATAGAGGCGGCAACCCCATCAAAACCATCCAACACGGAAATGCGTATTGATGAATCCGCAATGGGAAGTTGCGCCGCGACGGGGCCGCCCACGGCCAGCCCGTCGACACTTACTTGGACCTCGGCCGGACTTAGATACTTTTGCGCATGAGACACGGCTAACAACCGCCAGCGCGGCGCGAGATCTTCTTTCTCGTTTGAATGACCAGCGCCGCCGTCATCTCTATCATTAGCTCCTCCATCGTCTACACTGCGGCCGCCGGCCGTCTTTCTTCTTCCATCGCCCAGATTCACTTCCGCGCGCCATTCCAATGAGCCTGATTCCCGGACAGGCGTAACAACAACGTGGCAGCGGCCGATCTTCGCGGCCGTGAATTCCGTACAGCTCCGCGCCTCGCGCACCCAGCAGAGGACCGTGTAGCCCCGGGCGCGCTGGGCCCTTCTTAAAAACGCTAATGATGCCCCTCCTGGTAATAAATCAACACCAGCTTGAGAGCCTCGCAGTCGGAGGCAGCCTCGGGACGCCTCGGAGTCTCCACTCAACATTGTTGCGAGCGCCTCGGCCACGGCGGCTCGCGTTTTACTCGGTCGTTTGGCGTCGGCGAGCACCGTGAGCGCTCTTTTGACGCGTCGCGCGCCGGCCGCGGCGTCCTCATCGTCGAATCTGATGGCTGTGACGGCGTCGTCGTCTTCTTTTACGATAGGCGGCTTCTGGGGCCGCGGCGGCGGCGCCGGCATCGGTTGCGCTTTCGGAGTCAATGTGCTCTCTATCTCCCTGCCTTTCAGCTCGATCGGTGGCGAGCCGGGATGGCTCTTTTTCCGCATTGCTTCAGCTCTCCGCTCCTCGGGGGATGATGGGGCATCCATGCTGCTCTCCGGCCGCTCAGGCCGCTATCGCGCGGAGGCTCCTCTCGGCCTCGCAGCGCTGGTTTGTACTGCTCTGGCAGAGCTCTCAGCTCTAACCGCGCGCGTTTTATTATTGTTTACAGCGCGCGCTCTGAGTGGCAAGCTTGCAAGCCCAACCGAGCTAGCGTCAGTAAGACACTAGCTCTAGACTCAAGCAACTCCGCACGACATGCTAACGCCGATAGTGAGTGGTCTGCGCGTTCAGGGGATTGATTCGGTCACATTGGTGCACTGCGGGGCGCCTGAACGTGCAAGACTAATCTGTTTCCTGCAAATTGAATCAACTTTTTGCCTTCTATCATCAAAACATCATCATTAAAATCTGAGCCATGCACCATCCGACGTGGCTATTTTCCGCCTTGGTCGTCGGCACGCAAGGCTTCCGCAGGTCGAGATGCGAAGAGGCCTCGTCGCGTTGCGTCACGACGGTCGTCGTGTGTTATCTGATTGTGTGTAGTGCTTGGTGTACGTGTGCTCCCTGCGTCATCAACCCGTGACACGTCGGCCACTCTTCATTTCCACACAGGTGCCTCTGCGCCTACGGCTTCGTCGAAGTTTGCCGCTTATTCCGCAGGCGGCGGAAGACGATCCCATACACAGACGATGCCGTGGTACAAACGGGCGCCGTCGAAGCCGCTACCCCCGCGAATTAGACCGCGTGTGTGAGGGACATAACTTAGACGGGGGGGAATGCTAAAGATGGCCCAGGACCGGTGGCTTGAGGGCTCCGGGCGAGGAATCGCTAGCGGCCAGTAAGACACTAGGGATTGCCTAGCAAGACAAGCGAAACAACACAGCGGGCAGTAACTCCCCAGCGGCTCATTGTGGAGTTACGTCGGTCTTCGAGTCCTGAGTCCTGAGCCGCATACCTCAGAACTGCAAATGAACAAGTTTGCCTCTGGACTGAGTAGAGAGTTTCATTCAGCGGCTCGCGCGGTCCTAACTGGCCAAACGCTACGACGACGCGACGTGTGGAAACCTCGCGTCTGAACCCTGAGCCATGCTCCGCCCCTCGCTGCGCCTACTCGTGTTCGCGCTGGCCGTCGTCGCCCACGGCGGTCCCGCCCTCAACCTAGACGACTGGTCGTATGACGCTCTGCCCTGGCGCGCGTGGTCGAACGACCAAGCTCACATCAACGTTGAATCATTTTACGTCACGGGCGCCAATAGAGAGCTCTTTGTCAAAGGACAGCTTGATGCCGCCGTCGGCGCATCCTATGGAGTCGTCGGTCTGGAACGGACACTGGACGACGTCGATCTCTCGCCGTACGCCGCCATCGAGGTAAACTATGATTCCCTCGATGGCGAGATTCCGCTCGCCATGGAATTGCGCCTGCAGAGCCCGGCGGGCGATTACAGAGGACCCGGTCCCGGGCACGGTCGGCGACGCGGCTGCTCCCCCGGACGCCGTCGAGAACGCTGGCGCCGCTGACGATGCTTGAGTATAATCGATCGAGAACGTATAATCATCGCGCAGAATCATCGCGCGACGCCAAGACTAGCGGCCTCTAAGACACTTTGTCCCGTGCGACGCCGATGATGATCTAAAATCAAAAAAGTGGTGTAAAAAGTCACTCAACTTATATCATCATCTACTGCACCTGCCCCGCGCACGCAAACCAATTCGTAGAATCCGCATAAGAACAACATTACAATTCCCCCCGCCGCGCCGCGCCGCCGCACCGGAACTGCGCCCTAACATTATCGTCATCAAGCGCCGGGCGCAGCGCCGGCGTCAGCAGCCGCGCGCAGAACTCCGCGTCGGCCTCGTCGGCGTCGCAATCCAGGTCCTCGTCGACGGCCTCCAGATGATCACAGAAAGCGCGGTCGACGTCGTCCTTTAGCGACACGGGCGCCGCGGGCCGCGGGCAGAGCCAGGGCCACGTCCGCACCTCCTCCATCCCCACGCTCACGTTGTAGCCGCGGTCCCTTTGCCAGCCCGCGAGCTGGGACGCGCCCGCGGCCTGCTCGACGGTCGCCGAACTGAACCACGGCCTCGTTTCCTTCGGCTTCAGGTAGCACCAGGGCCCCCGCCGCAGAGCCAGGCCCGACGCCGCGGCCGCGTGTGCCGCGCAACTGTGGGCCCAGTCGCCCGTCGAGCCCGCGACCCAGCAATTGTCTAACACCGCGCGGAAGCACGACAAGATCGCGGCAGGAAAGGCCCAGGCGTAGCCGTGGCCGACGCCCGCGATTTCATCATTATCGGCGTCGAGGTAGTCCGTCGGCGCATCTCCAAATTTTTTTGGAGGCGCTGATAATGGAGCGAGCGGCGCGACGTCGATGCGCCAAATGAGGATGGAGCGGTAGATTTCTGTTTGGGATACGCGCAACGCGGCGTCGACCGCCTCTATCAAATGGTTCCGGTGACCGACGCCGTCCAACAGAACCGCCTCCTTCAGATTCGAGCCGTACCACCTTTGCAAATCGGCCCACCATCTTTTTTTCATTTTGTCGGAGACCGGCGCATTTGAACAACCGGGAGACGCCACAATGATGTCGACGGCCATGTCGCGTTTTTCAAGCGGTTTCACAATGCGCTCCATCTGCGCTTTCGAGACGGCCTCTTGTAGTTTATATGAGTGTGGCGTGCACACCAGACCCCGCCTCAGCTCCGCCGTTCTGACGGATACGCCCTCGTCCAGGACCTCGACGCCGTGGTGCAGGCCCCGAAAGGCCTCGCCCCGCAACACAAGCAAGATGCGGCCACCTCTAGCTTGCGTCGTCCCCATGAAGGCCGCCGACAGGCCGGCGGTGTCGCAGGCTTTCGGTGTTTTCGTGAGATTGACCATCGGCGGGGGAGACACCCTTGATTTTTTTTCGAAGGCTGCCAGGGCCTTCCCGGCTTTGATGGAAGCTTGTGATTTCTCGACATTTGGCGGTAAGGGAGGCGTATCTTTATAGAGTTTCGTGCCCGGCGGCGCCGGCACCGTGAAGTTCTCGTCGCGGAATTCAACGACAAAATCAATGATAGGTTCTCCCGTCGACTGTTTCCTAGCTCTGAAACGACTCCCAACTAACGCCTTGAATTGGACCGCGGGCGCCTCCTCGTTTAATAGAGCTACTTGGCCTTCCTTCTTGTCTTCTCGGGTGGACACCCAGGTAATAACAATCGGCGCGCCGGCCTCCTCGACAGAGTCGGCTCGTCTTTCTAACGAAAAGCTCACGCTCGCACGCGCTCCTTTTGGCACAGTGCCCTCCTTGCGCCTCCTCGCCTGCTTCTTGGCCTTGGCCTCCTCGCCGCGGATCGCTTGTTTGAGCAGCTCGACGTCGCCGCTCTTCGCGGCCTTCTCGGTCGCCGATTCCTCCTCCTCCTGAGGCTTTTGGAGCTCCTGAACGAGCTGCGCCGCCGCGGGCGTCGCCGCTTCGCTTGATGCCTGCATCTCCTTCATAAGAGCGGCTGCGTCGGGCGCGGCGCCCGTGACTCGTGATTGAGCCTCTTGTTGGCGAATCGCTGCCATCAGCGCGGCGGCGTCGTCGCCACCCGGCATCACTGCGGCACCCTTCTTCGCCTCGTCCGCGCGGATCTTGGCCATGAGCTGAGCCGCGTCGTCGGCGCCGGCGACGCCCGCACCGCCCTTCTGGGCCTCCTGCCGTCGGATCTGGGCCATGAGCGCCGCCGCATCATGACCAACTTCCACGCCCTGCGACGGGCCGCGGGCCTTCTCCGCTCCAAAAGACGCGGCGAGCGCCGCGAGGTCATTTTGAGGCTTGCTGTTTCGGGCCTCGAAGGCCCGGATCTTGGCGAGGACGTCGCCGGCGTCCGGCAGCTGTTGCTGCTTCGTCGCCTCCTGCGCGCGGATCTGCGCCATGAGGGCTGCCGTTTGCGGGTCCGCAGATCCCGTCTGCTGTGGAGCGGCCTCGGCGGCCTCGGCCCGTCTTTGTAAATGGACGGCGGCGGCGTAGTGCTGCTCAAATTCATCCTCCTTCCCCTCCTGCTCCGCGAGGCGCCGTCGCACGTCCTCTACCAAATCGTGCTGGCCTCTCTCCTCCATGCGCCTGATGGCTGCTTCTACTAGCTCGGGGTCGGCGCACGCGTGATAGCTGCTCGCGAGGAGCAGCCATAGCAGCCTCATTGCCGCAGAGGCTGCCCTTGGTCCATGCAATGCCCTCGCGAGGCGAATTTCTCGTGGATGCCTAGTATGTTTCTGAACGCTAGCTGCGATTTTGCGCCGAGCCAAAACGCACAAACGCGCGCCATCGGTGCTCGTTAGACACTCAAGTGGTAGCATATTACTTTTTCAAACTTGCCCGGACCGCGCGCCAGGCGCCGAAGAGCTCTAAGCGACCCTACAGCCGATAGCGCTGCGCTGCTCCAAAACACGCCGCCGCAGCGGTCATCACGCCGCCGCAGAAATAACAACAAACAATGCAGGCCGCGACGCTCGTCGCGCTGCTCATTCCCGTCGTCGCCATCTGGATCACGGTCGTGGTGCGCTACGGCCGGTCCATCGAAGAGATAGTGGTCGCAACAGTCGAGAAGGAGCAATGAGGCGCGTCCTCGTTGTAGCCGCGACGGCGGCAGCTATTCGACTCGGCCGGCCGACGGCGCCGCGGACCTTTTTAAGAAGGCAGGGGCAGTGCACGCGGCGCCAGAAGGCCGCGCTCCGCGATTTGTGGCCGCGCTACGGCGTCGACGTGGCCTGGAACGAGACATTGACCTTCGAAGGTGCCGGGCCTTGTGTCCTTGATGTTGGGTTTGGCCACGGCGAGAGTCTCGCCAGCATGGCCGCGGCGCGACCAGACACGCGATTCATCGGGGTAGAAGTGCACAGGCCGGGAGTGGCGGCAACGTTGCTGCGTCTGGCCGAGGCCGACGCCAAAAACGTCAAGATCTGCCGCATGGACGCCGTCGCCCTCCTGGAGGCGCATGTAGAACCAGAACCGTGTTTCGACGAGGTCTGCGTCTTCTTCCCGGACCCGTGGACGAAGAGCGGCTCGAACAAAGACGCGCCCGCGACGGGTGGCTCCGGTAAGGACGAGCATCGCCGCATAATACGGCCGCACACGCTGGACTTGCTCAGCGCGCGCCTGCGACCCGGCGGGTTCTTGCATGTCGCCACTGATGTCGACGAGTACGCGGAGCACGTCCGAAATGTAGTCGCTTCCGACGCGCGATGGATGTGCTCCGTCGACGTCGACGCGCGGCCCTCGTGGAGGCCGGAGACCATGTACGAGCGCCGCGGCCTTGACCGCGGGCGGACGATCACGGACTTGTCGTTCGTGCTTCGAGAGCCTAAGTAGTGATGTTCATTCAGGTGCAACTTCCAGGGCTCCCGCGCTTAGGTAATCCCGCGTGAGAAAGTCACTTATTGTGCCCACCCCAGGTATGACCCCGAGCGCTTCTGCCCGAGCGCTTCCGGTAATCGAGGGCTAGCGGCCTGTAAGACACTAGCAAGCATGATGCTTTCCCGGTGAGCACCCGGCACAAACCGGGCCCTCGCTATTGACTCGCCACAAGACAAAAACATCTCGACTGTTCGGCGCTGTGTGATCAATCACGGCGCGCCCCGGTGGCCCCCCGCCCAAACAATGGCTTACTGCTCCTTCAATGTTGCGCCCTGACAATGATGAACTTCATGTTCCAAAGCGCCTCGTCGTTTAACCAAGACATCGGTGATTGGGCGGTCGACAGCGTCGAGTACATGCAGTACATGTTCTACGAAGCTTCGTCTTTTGACCAGGACATCGGTAATTGGGCGGTCCACAGCGTCACGAACATGAGATACATGTTCCGCGGCGCCAAGAAATTCAACCAGCCGCTAAACGACTGGCGGGTCGACAAGGTCACGCGTATGGACCGGATGTTCTCCGGCGCCAAGGCCTTCGACCAGGACCTCGGCTGGTGCGTGGACGACGACGTGGACCTGGACGACGACGTGGTGGAGCTGCCCGGCGCGTTCGACGAGACCAAGTGCGCGTCGACGTTGTGCGGCGTCGTGCAAGTTGCGGACGCCGCCGACTGCCCGACGCCCGCGCGGAAGTACCACCACCCCCGCCGCGACGACTGGCTCCTCTGGCTCCTCCGGGCGTTTTGACGCCGTCGCTCCCCCTCCTCCTGGACCCCTCACCTTAATAGTTAAACCACTTCTGCCAATTCATCTTCTCCGAGGCGCCAACTCGGGCCTCCTGTTCATGAGCTCGGCGATGCTGTGCCGCGAGTCACCTAGCGGTCGTAAGACACTAGGCGACTAGGAGCAAGCCACAGTGTGGCCAGCGCAGCGTGTGCGGCTGCAATCGGTCACGCTACCGCTGCATTCAAGTCGCACGTATACAGAATCGATCGCGCGGGATCGCTTTTGTAAATCAAATTGTCTCCGAGAAGCTGCAGTTGTGTGCCAGCACTGCGTGCAGCAGCCTGTGGTGCAGCCTGCAAGGCTCGCGAGCACCAGCTCTATCAATGATGATTGCACGTCGCCTCGTCGCCGTCGTCGCGACAGCGGCATCAATCAGCCTGCAAGGCATCAAGAATTTCCGAAGACTGCGCGGCGCGGCGTCATCCTTACCAGTGTACCGGTGTGCGGCCCTCGACGGCGCGACGCCAGCCGACGTGATCGCGCTGGCATCGATCGAAGGCAAACGCCTCGGTCGTGTTATTGATTTGCGCAATGACGACGAGATAGGAAAGGGCCGTGCGAACCGGACAGCCGCAGCGACGGACTTCTACCGATCGATAGCGGCCGAGGAGCTCCTGATCAACCGGCCGCTCCTGGGTGATATCACTGGATTCTGGGGTGCGGTCGCCGATCAGGCACCGCCCCTGCCCATTCTTCCGCAAATAGCGATGCTGTGGTCCTCGAGGCCGCTCGACGAGGCGCTCTCGCGGGCCCTCGAGGACGGGGGACTGGCGATGCTCTACACGTGCATCTTGGCGAGTGCTCCTGAAGAGGTGGGCCGCGCCGTCGACGACGTCATCGCGTGCGCGCTCAGGGACGAAGCTGTCGTCTTCCATTGCGCCAAGGGGAAGGACCGGACGGGGCTCGTCGCGGCGCTCGTCGAGTCTATTTGCGAGGTCCCGCGTGCGGAGATTGTCAACGGCTACGCGGCGTCGGGCGCCTTGCTCGGCGGCGACGACGCGCCGGGGGTCGCCGACGAGCCGCGGCCTCCTTCGAGCGGCGGAGTGGACTGGGGCCGCTTCCGCGGGAGTCCCGCGGCTGCCATCGAGGCCGCCCTGGACTGGATCGATAAAAACCACGGCTCGCCCGCGGCCTACCTTGAGACGTGCGGCGTGGACGCGGCGCGGCAGAAGCAGCTCCGTGACGCGGTGCTTTGATTAATGTTGTGTTGTTTTACAAGGGAGTCAGGGGGTTCTTCGTCGCTCACGCTCACGCGTGGACGTGGTGCTCGATGTGCTCGTCTTTGACCTGCGTCGATGGCGTGGATTTGGTGCGATATCTTCCCGGGGGTTCGACGCGGCATTCCTTGATAGCGAGGACGCCGGTTTCGTACCTGGGCGTGCATCGCGTCGCGCTGGATCGTGTTGCGGCGGCGCATCTTGATGGCCTCGGAGACGGCTTCGGCGTGTTTGCCCGAGCACGCGACCGGGAGCTTGGACAGATCAACGTTGAGGCCCGTCGCATCGATGCGCGCGGCGAGGTCCTTGCACATCTGCGACGTCACGGGTCCGGTGTGCTGGCCGTTCTGGAGGCGCGTGAGCGTCTCGTCGTGGCGGATCGTCTCGATGAAGTGTTCGATATCGTTCTCCGCCATCCTCCTGATTGCTACGCTAAGGTGATCGATTGTCGACGACGATACGTTCGCGACGACAGGCGTAGGCGTTAATGACCTGTGGATTTGTTAACATTGTAAATGATTGATTCAGGGCGGTTTTTCGGTCTCGACTCGCGCGTTTCTGCGACTGGCCGAGTATGTCGGTCTCATGCGATGAACCGGCGAGATGAGACACTGTGGTTGTGCTTCCTTGCGTCTCTGGCAAACTTTTTTTGTCGATTCTGTTTTAATCTACTAAACGGGTTTCGCGGGCTAATATGATGCAAGCTGATAGATAGTGTTCATTAACAGAAAAAAAGACGCAGGACATAGTTCTACGAATTACCAACCACCTCCCCCCGCACCAGCAAGGGCTCTACCCAGTCGAGCCCGGCGGGATATAGGTCGTCGTCCGAGTCCGGGGCGGCGAGAGTGACCGCTGCGACAGGCCGAACGCGTACCGCGTCCCGCAGTGCCGCAACGCCGCGACGGGCTGCGTCGAGATCCGCACGTTGCTCGTCGAGCGCCGACGGCGCCGCGACCTTTGCGCGGAGGCGCTCGACGGCGGCCCTTTCGCGCGCGACGCGTTCCTCGAGGTCCCGGACTTGGGACGGCCGACGCGCAGGTGGCGTCGCAGTAGCGGACAGGCGGCGCGCCGACGCGCGGCGCCTCGCGGCCGACTTGTGCACACAACCACGCCTCCGCGCCGCGGCTTCCTCCGCGGCGGCCCGCCGCGCCAGTTTGGCGGACTCCCGCGACTCGCGGCGCGCTGAACGCGACGCGTCTCGCGGCGACGTCGGCGCGGGCTTCGCTGAGAAAGAAGCGCGCGGCGCCGCGGGCACGGAGCTTCGGCGCCCGCCCATCGCGGTCGGCGACGGCGGCGCCGGCTTGGCGCGGAACATTGCGGTGCCGCTTTGGCGGCGCGGTGTCGTCGGGCTCCTGGGCGGCGACCGCAATGTGCTGCTTTGGCGGCGCCGCGGCGTCGTCGGCGCGCTCCGTGGCGGCGACCGCGGCGGCAGCGCGACGGGCGGCGCGCGCGCGGGCGGCGGCGACCGCGGGTAGACGGACAGCGGCGGCTGCGCTTTACCCACGTCGTAGGCCGCCAGCGGCGGCGTTGGCGGCTCGATGGGCGGTGGCGGAGGCGGCGCCGCGTCGACGACGGCGTCGGGCGGCGGTTGCGGTCGTGCAGGCGGTGGCGGCGGAGGCGGCGCCGCGTCGACGACGGCGTCGGGCGGCGATTGCGATTGTGCTGGCGGTGGCGGCGGCGCGACGACAACGGCAGGCTGCAGTGCGACGGGCGGCGGCGGCGGTGGCGCCTGCCGGCGCGCGACGGGCGGCGAGCGCGGCGCCGGCGCCGTGGCCGAGGCGTGGAACTGCTCGAGCGTCGCCAGGAACGGCGACGCCGCCACGTCGGGCGGGCTCGCGGGCTCCGCGGCGTCGAGCGGCGTCGTTCCCCGGGCCGGGGACGCGTCATCATCATCTACAGTGGCGGCGGGGAAGAGGGCAGCCGCGGCGGACTTCTTCTTGGGGCTTTTCTCTGCGCCGGCCTGTGCGGCCGCGGCGCGCCGTTTCTCGTCCGCGATCGCCGCCTCGCGCTGGCGCTTCCTCTCAGCTGCGGCGGCGGCGCGCTGGCGCTTCCCCTCAGCTTCGGCGGCTGCGCGGCGCTCCGCCTCAGCGGTGGCCTCCCGTTGCCGCTTCTCCTCGGCGGCGGCGGCCGCGCGCCTCCGCTCGGTCTCTGCGGCCTCGCGTTGTTGCCTCTCCTCGGCGGCCTTCGCTTCGGCCGCCTCGCGTTCGGCGTTGGCGGCAGCCTCGCGTTGCCGCTTCTCCTCAGCGGCGGCGACGGCGGCGGCGCGTCTCCGCTCCGCTTCGGCGGCGGCCTCACGCTGGCGCTTCTCCTCAGTGGTCTTCGCTTCGGCGGCCTCGCGTTCGGCCTTGGCTGTGGCAGCTGCTTTGACGCTCGGTCGCTTGCGATGCGGCGACGTCCGCGGCGGCGGCATCGTCGTCGGGCAGACATGGCGCTTCGAACCCCGCTTCTTCCGCCGCGGCTGTGCCACCGCCTCGCTCGCCTCGGTGGCCCAGGACTCGTCGGACGCCGCCGAGCGCGCGTCGTCGTCGTGAGCAGTGCTGTCGACGAGGGGCGGCACGTCGTCCGCCTTCCGCGCGGCGACCCTCAGTCGCCACTTGCGCACGACGCGCTTTATTCTGTCATGGATGGAGTCCTGGTAACTCTGGACGAAGTCGCGGCCCGCTCTCGTCCGGAACGTGAGTGTGACGGGCCTAGGCCGAGCTCGCACGTAGCGCTTGACGAGCGGAAAGTCCACGGGCAGCTCCAAACCGACCTCCCGCAGCAAATCCGTGAGCGGGACGCCGTTGATCCTAGCGAGCACATCGGTGGCCTTGACAATACCATGGCCCTCGGACACGGGCCAGACCGTGGCCACGGTCAGCACCGCCGTCTTGTTGTCTTGCAGCTCGACGGCCATTTCCATACCGGTCGCGGGCCGTGTTATAATAGCGTCCACGTATTCGAAGGCGTGGCCCTCGGCGTCCTGGCGCGGCGGCGGCGCGTCTTCGGCGACGGCCATGGCCGCGGCCAGGAACTTCTCGGTCGGGGAGGGCCCTGGCATGATGGCTCTGTGTGATTTGGCAGCCTCCCACGCGCAGCACCGGTCTCACGCGCTTCTAGTGATCATGTGTCGAGCCGTTCGACTCCTGCGCGCCCCAGCTGGGCGCTGGCCGGTTGTAAATGGCGCCGTGCAGGCTGCCCATGAACGTCGAGTTTTGATGTTGCTTTGCCTAGCGCCGGCGAAAGCCGCGAAAGCGGAGGCCTCTTGGTCGATCTGGAAGGGTGAATAGACGTACTTGGGGGCGCTCATGCTTCGCGCCGCAAAACCCGAGTGCTCATGAGCTCGGGCCCGGGCGCAGCTGCGCTGTGCGGCGCGCCGAGCGCGAGCAGCGATCGCGAGCCAGCACAGCGACTCAGAAGAGGGCTTTGAGTCCCAACAGCTCGGTCGCGTTGCAAGACTGAGCCATAACTCACCAGGAGGCCCCGGAGAGCGAAACAGTCTCGGAGAGCGCTGCACGTAAAGATGGCTACGCCCGTCCCAACATCACCAATCACAGTAAAAAAACGAACCACCGCGCGCCGCGGCCTCTTCCAATCCGACGGCGACGCCTCGGACGCGACGACGTCGTCGTCGGAGCGCTCACTCTCGGAGGAGGAAGAGGAAGAACCGACGACGCCGCTGGCGCCGTCGGAGCCGTCGTCCGCGCCGACGAGCCCGCGCGACGAGGACCTCGCGCGCGCCGAGATAAACGCTAGAGACGCCGCCGACGCCGAGGCGAAGTCGGACGCGCGCCTCGCGGCGCTCGACGAGTCCTGGGCGGCCCAGGAGGCGACGATCCAGCTCCTCGAGGCCCGGGCGACGCGGCGCTGGAAGGACGCGCGCGCCGCGAACGAGCGCAAGCAGGCGGCGATGGAGCACCTCGCGGCGAACGAAGCGCGGCGCGACCTCGCGCAGGCACGCGCCGCCGACGCGCGCGAGGCGGCGCAGGCCGCGCGCCTCGAGGCCGCCGAGGCGGCGGCGGCGAGCGCCGACGCCAAAGTACAAACGGCGCGCCTCGAGGAGCGCGTCGCCGCCGCCGCCGCAAAGCCGGAGGCGGTGCCGGCACCACCGCCGCCAGTACCACCGGACGCGACCGTCCAAAAGCAGCGCGCCCGCGCTTTGGCCGACGCGCGGGTCCTGGCCGAGGAGCACGACCGGCTGCGCTTCGCCGTCGAGAAGGCCGAGGCGCGTCTAGCCGCCGCCACGGAGGCGGCCGACGTGCGAGAAAAGATCGGCGCCATGGCGACGGCGCAGAGCGACGCGAAGGCCCGGGAGGCGATCGCGGCCGTGCGCCAGCTCCGCGACGTCGTCCGGGACGGCGACCCACGCGCGCTGGCGGCGAAACTGGCGGCGGTTCGGCGGCGGCCGCGGCGTACTGCGCCGCCCGCGTCGCCGGTGACCGCTCCTGCTTCCGCTCCTGTCGCGGCGCCTGCGCCTGCGCCTGCGCCGGCGCCACCTGACACGACGGTGTCCGGAGACGACGGCTCGGCAACGCTCAACCAGACGGACGACGCGACGGCCGGCTCGGCGACGCTCGCAGAGGTCTACGAGGAGCTCGGCGAGACGGACTTCGACGCGCTCGAGACGGCGCTGAGGAAGTGCGATGCTGACGAGGAGGACATCGCCGCCGTGCACGCGGTGCTCGACCGTGCCGGGCGGAAGGAGGAGGTCGGGGACTAGTCGTTTGTAACAAAAGTGGTTCTTACTTCTTCCAAGGGCCGGGCCGAGAGCGCGGCTCGTAGACGGGCTCGTCTTTCAAAATGCCACTGCTGAGCTTTTCCAGGATGTCAGCTTCGCAGCCGGCCTTCTCCAGGGCCGCCAGGGCTTCCACGAAAGAATGTTCGCTCGAATGCGTGTGCGGGTGATCTGGGCCGAGGACTTTTCGGAACCGCAGAATTACATCACGAAGAATGGCGCCGGCGGCAAGGAAATCCCCTAGGTCTGCCCCACGCCGCAGGTGCGCCGACCCGAGAAGGCCAGCCAGCGAGATGCAAAGATGGTGGTCCTCCCCCAACGCTCGGCACGCGGCTGGTCGTTCCCTGCTGAGCAGCGCGATCGCCTCCGCGTAGCGCCCCGCACAAGAATGGCTTGCCGAAATATTGAGGAGTGTCATCACGCTATCCTCGTTTTCCGAGCCACGCAACCGCTTCAACTTTTCCGCCCGCACCCGCTGCAACACAGAAATAGCTTCATCGTAACATCTCAAGCCCTTGTACACGAGTGCGAGATTTTCATCGGCAGTCATGATATTGGCCGGGTCGAACCGACAACACCACTCGCGGTAGGCCATGGCGGCGCGTAGCGCTTCTTCATTATTCATGCCCTTCGTGATTCCCATGATATTCAGCGCATACCCCCGAATCGCATCCCCCTCAGGTCGACTCAAGTATGTCTTCCAGCCACCCCACGCCATGGCACGCGCTACGGGGCCATGATATCTTTGGCGACATAGACTACACTCTGCCCACTTGGTCCAAAGCTTATTGCGGTTGTGCTGCTGCAACTCGTCCTCGCCCACAACCTGCGCCTCGCGAACCAGGCACGACAAGTGCGCGAAGCCCTCGGTCGTATGGCACGCGCAGCCGCGGACTAATCCCTCGGTGGACCGTTCATCTCGGCAGATGTAGCACGTCTGGCCTTTTGTTGCCTCCGCGCATTCCTCAATCGCCTCATCGACGGCCTCCTTGTATTTCTTGTCCGCGTGATACTGTTCGGCGCCACCACCGCGCTTGATGCGTTTACAGAGGTCCTTGTGCCCGCCTTCCTTCCAGTGCTGCGTCTGGCACGCGACGCTGCAGTACGTCGTCTTACAGCGCCCGCAGTCTTTCTTGGCGCCCGACGCGCCGCACGCTGCGCAGGTGCTCGAGAGCATTATATCCGTGCGCGCGGGACCGCTTTGTCCAGAGCACCCGAAAGTAGCAAAGTAGCGGTTTTGCAATTGTTTCGCAACGCGAAGCCACCAGCTCTTCGCAGATGGCTGCCTGTGGTACTGCGGCGGTATACTGATATGCAGTGAGTGACTGGTACCGTTTCCGTGGCGTTCAGGCGTGTTTTTTCGAGGGCCTGCAAGTTAGCTAGCGTCAGTAGCATACTAGTTCCAGCCGATCTCCAGCTTGCAGCTCTCTATACGACGGCAGCAAACAATTGTCAGCAACTTTTCGCAGTGATTTGTATTGCTGCGAACCGTCGCTACTGCTGGAGAGGGACGAAAAATCCGACCGATGGCCGCCAAGGCCTTCAAGGCCCTGATCCTCGGCCCGCCCGGCGGCGGCAAGGGCACGCTATCCAAGCGGCTCGTGCGGGACTTTGGATTTTGCCACTTTTCGGCGGGCGACGCGTTGCGGGCCGAGATAGCAGCGGGCTCGGCCATCGGAAACAAAGCGAAGGACTACATCGGCCGCGGCGCGCTCGTGCCCGACGAATTGGTGACGGATCTCGTGCTGGGACAGCTCGAGAATCTGAAGAATGAGCCGCGGTGGCTCTTGGATGGGTTCCCTAGGCATGCCGCGCAGGCCGTAGCTTTGGATGCGAAGCACGACGTGGACCTTGTGTTAGATCTAGACATCCCCGAGGCCGAGATCCTGAGCCGGCTGGGCGGCCGCCGCGTGCACGTCGCGTCCGGTCGTTCGTATCATGTCGAGTGGAACCCGCCGAAGCGAGAAGGTATCGATGATGAGACCGGAGAACCTCTGGTAATAAGGCCCGACGACACGGAGGAGGCCATCAAAAAACGCCTGCAGCAGTACCACGACCTCGCGAAGCCGCTCATAGCACACTATGGGGAGAAGGTCGCGACCTTCGCCGGGACGGAGTCGGACGTGATCTATCCGGTCATGAAGAAGCGCGTCGAAGACATCCTAAATTAGTCCGTTCTCCTAGATTTCCCGCCGCCCCCGCCCGACGGCACGGCCGCTTCCAGCGGTGCCACGTCGTCGACGACGTCGAAGGGCAGGTTCGGCATCGCACTTCTCAATTCAGCATCCTTGGCCGCCTCGACCCCCCCGAATTGCGCAGCGTCGACTGGTACAGCACAACACTGCTTGCCGTTTTGGGTGACTAATACCTGACCCGCGCCGTAATCCAGCGTGATGGGCTTCGTTCGGTCGACGCCTCCCCCCAAAACACCTTCTGCGATGACGTCTTCGACGAAGCGCTGGACCGCTCTCCTCAGTGGTCGCGCGCCGAATCTAGCGTCCGCAGCCCCGGCCTGGATGATCTCCGCCTTCAATCCATCAGTCAAAGCTATCCTCAGATCTTCCTTCTCGGCTCGCTCGTAAACCTCCCGCAGCATCGTCTCGAGCACATCACTCAGTTGCTCCTTATCGAGCGGGTCGAACACGACGATCTCGTCCAATCGGTTCAGGAACTCCGGTCTAAAATTCTCGGACAAAGCACCAGTAACTTTACCTCGGATCAAATCCGCACTCCCACCTTGATCGAACGCCTCCAGGATGTCCTGACTACCCACATTGGACGTGAACACGACCACAGCATTCGAAAAGTCCACAGTTCTACCTTGCGCGTCGGTCAACCGCCCGTCGTCCAGGATCTGCAGCATCAGGTTGTAGACATCCCCATGAGCCTTTTCGATCTCGTCGAAAAGCAAGACGCAGTGCGGCGTCCGTCGCACGGCGTTCGTGAGTTGCCCGCCATCATCAAAACCGACGTAGCCCGGTGGTGAGCCCACCAACCTTGAAACAGTATGCCTCTCCATGTACTCGGACATGTCGAATCGGACCATCGTCTTCTCGTCGCCGAAGTAGGTTTTGGCCAGCGTCTTGGCGACGAAGGTCTTGCCGACGCCCGTCGGGCCGGCGAAGATGAAACTCGCAACAGGTTTCTGTGGTGAGCGCATGCCGACTCTCGCGCGCCTGATGGCTCTGGCTACTGCCGTCACCGCGGAGTCTTGTCCTATCAAATCCTCATGGAGCTCCTTCTCGAGGTCCATCAGTCGCAACTGTTCGGGCCTCGACAACCGCTGGACCGGAATACCCGTCCACGTGGACACGACGGACGCGACGTCGTCTTCCGTTACATGAGATTCGCCCTGGTTGTTCTCGACCCTCACTTGCGCCGCGGCGCCGGCCTCATCTAGTAAGTCGATAGCTTTATCAGGTAAGAATCGATCGTTTACGTACCTATCACCATATGCTGCGGCGGCGGCAACGGCCTCCGTAGAATAAGTGACCTCGTGGTGCTCTTCATAATCCTTCTGCAATCCCGTCAAGATCTCGACGGTCTCCTCGACGGACGGCTCATCCACACTTACAGGTTGGAACCGTCGCTCGAGCGCGGGATCCTTCTCGACGTATTTTCTGTACTCCGCAACAGTAGTAGCGCCGATGCACCGCAACCCGCCCCTAGCCAGAGCCGGTTTCAGGATGTTCCCCGCGTCGATGGCGCCGTCGGCCGCACCCGCACCGACCAACGTGTGGAGTTCATCAATAAACAGGATGGTATTCGTATCACTAGAAGCCTCGGCGACGACGTCCCTTAACCTCTCCTCGAACTCTCCCCGATACTTCGTACCGGCAACTAACAAGGCCATCTCGAGCGTATGCACTCGAGCACCCTTCAACTTCTTGGGCACGTCGCCCTCCGCGATCTTCTGGGCCAGACCTTCGGCGATGGCCGTCTTCCCGACGCCCGCGTCGCCGACGAGACACGGGTTCGACTTCCGTCTTCTTAATAAGATCTGGACTGCTCTGGCGATTTCCTCACTCCTCCCTACACATGGATCCAGTTCCCCGTCTAGAGCTAACGCCGTGAGATCAACACCGACCGAAGCTAACGTCGTCTCCCGCTCGTCGCCGTCGCCGCCCACGCCCACGAGCGAACCCTTGGCCTTCCGCGCGTCCTTGGCCACGGCGTCACACAGGGCGTCGACCTCGACGCCCAACTTCTCTAGAGCGGATCTAGCCTCCGACTGGTCGTCTCTCGCCACGGCCAAGAACAGGTGCTCGGGCCGCACCTCCTCGCAGGCCATGGCCTCGCTTTCCGAGACGGCGCGCTTGAAGCAGGCCTTCGACCGCGCCGTAAAAGGCAACGGTTCCTTTTCCCTCCGAAACAGCTCCGCGGCCTTATCTCCCAAAGACTTTTTCACTCCGATGGTATCGCGCATCGCATCTAACGTGACGCCGAACCTGTCTAAAGCTTTCTTCGCGTTCTCGGGGCACTGCAAGACGCCTAGCAACACTTGCTCGGTGCCGACCTCGCCGAGCTTCGCGGATCTCGTTTCCTGCTGGGCGTACATGAGCACGTTGACCGCTTCGGCGTCGAACTTGTCGAAGAGCATGCGGCATGTTTGTGCGCGCTGTGGCCGTCGCGCCGTGGGGAAGCCGTGGCGCGGCGCGATGAGCCCGCGCGTGGCCGCGGCGCAGAACAGGAGCGTGACGCCGCGCAGCATTTTGATTCCTAGCGTGTCGCGTCGATGGCGTGCTGCTGTGAGCAGTCCCAGGGCTTTGTGTTGCTGCAGCTCGTCTGGCCTCTCGAGCGCAGCAAATTCGAATGCCCTTGCACAGTGGTTGTTCGACCACTATTTCTAGCTTAGCAAATGTGCCGATGGCTGTCGGATTGCGCTGGGCACGCTGCACGCATCCACCTCATGCGCTCGAGCCTCTGGCTGTGGAGGCGGCGCGTCCCTCCGAAGGCCCATTCTAGCAGTACACAGTAGCGGGCAAGGGTCCGCGGGGCCTGCAACGCCTCCAAAAAGGCGTTTCTAGTACGGCCCGATTTCCGATGACTCGATGCGCTTGGCTGGGATTGACACAGCCTGCAAATTCGCAAAACCGCACTGCACGTCACGCACACCTTGCGAGACAGCAGCTCTCTACCCACTTTCTTCATCCGCAACGCATCTCTGCTTTTCAGCACACTCACAGCAACAATGATTGCCTCTAAGCCCCTCATCGCCTTAGCATTGCTCTCCGGCGCGAACGCGCTCGTTGCGCCGCAGCAGCGCGCGCTCAAGACGATCAGCATGGCATCGACGCCGGTCGACACACCGGAAACCGCTGAATCGGCTGCCGCGCCGGCGGCGCCGATGACGACTCTCGAGGCTGCCGTCCTGGAGGCCACTGGCACGGAGCCGGCCGCCGTCGCGCCGGCGCCGGTGGCCGCCCCGCCGGTCGCACCCGCCGCGCCGCCGCCCACGCCGAAGGGCCGCGTCGCCCAGAAGCGCACGGAGAACTGGTCCGATTTAGCATTACCGTTCTCGGGCCGCCCGGCGATCCTCGACCGCGCGCTCGCCGCGGACTCGGGCTTCGACCCGCTCTCGCTCGCCGACTCGAAGGTGCAGCTCTACGTCTACCGCGAGGCGGAGCTCAAGCACGCGCGCCTCGCAATGCTTGCGGCGGCGGGCTGGCCGCTCGCGGAGCTCTGGGACACGGGCATCGCCAAGACCTTCGGCCTCGAGCCCATCATCGAGGAGAACGGCGGCCGCGCCGTCTCCGTGCTCAACGGCGGCATGGGCATGATCTCGCCGGTTTATTGGGTGTCTGTCGTCTTATTCGCTGGCGCGGTCGAGGCGCTGAGCGAGTACAAGAAGGGCCAGGCCAAGGCGGCCGACAGCCAGTGGATGCTCACCGGTAGCTACGTGCCGGGCGACCTCGGCTTCGACCCGCTTGGGCTCTACACGATCTTCGGCAAATCGGAGTCGGGGAAGATGCTCATGGAGACGGCGGAGATCAAGAACGGGAGGTTGGCTATGTTGGCCATTACCATATATGCGTTAGAGGAGGCCATCACGAAAAATCCCGTCGTGCAGAACAGTGCCTTCTTGTTCGAGCCTTTTTGGAAGACTGTCGAAAATATCATGATGTACAGCCCGGCGCCCTACTCCCAGTAAGTTTGAATGTCTAAAATCACAACAAGTACTCCCCCCTAGACGGCCGCTCGTCGTCGTCGTCAGCGGCGCCGCCAGAAGTTCACAACATGTCTTTGTACCCCGAGTGCAGGAGTGGTCGCCCGTCGCTCCCAAATCCATGGCCGAAGTGGCCCTGGGATCGAGCCGCCGCCTTCTCGGCGCGAACACGCGGCCCATGTTCCTTCTCCCACGCGTCACGCTCGGCCTGGCGTTTCTTCGCGCGCGCCTCGATTTTCGCTTGCTCCCGCTTCTCGACGTGCTCGGCAAGCTTCTCGTAGGCCTCGCGCCGGTCCTCGGCGCGCGACGTCCGCGGCCGCGCCGCGTTCACGACCAGGCGTTCGCCGAACCACGTGTCGCCATCTAACTTATCCAGCAGCCGCCGCGCCGTCCCCGCATCCTTGCACTCGACGAAGGCGAAGCGCCGTGCCTTTTCCACGACGCGGCAGTCCGTCACATTGGCCTCGTCGTCGCCGAGCGTCTCGACACAGTGCTGGCGCAGGAGCCCCGCCGTGGCGCGCGTCGGCAGGTTCGCGACGTGTAAGGTGTCGACGCCGTCGTCTGGCGCCGAGGGCTGCGGTACTGCCGCTGGTGGCGCCGGTGGCTTCTCCTTCGGCCTAGCGCGTGGCCGGCGCGTCGATTCTTCGAGTGGACGGCTACCGACCCATGACGCCGCGACGGCGTCGACCGCGCGCTGGCGCTTCGCGGGCGGCTCTGCTGGCACACTACAGAGCGGTATCTCGTCGTCTGATGAGTCGTCGGACATGGCTGTGATGGCTGCAGGTGGCAGCTGATTTTGTGCAGCAGCGCAGGGATGCCGAGAGCTGGCGGGAGGCTGCGAGATGAGTATGAACAACGTTTGCGGCCGCACAGGCAGCGTCTAGCGCCCGTGCAACGCTGAAATTGACGAGCAGCCCCGTTTGCTAGTGTCTTTATACCGCGCTAGCTAATCTCAATCTGAGGTCAGCGGCCAAAGCGCGGCTCATACGAACGTGGTGAGCTGTTAGGTACTCGCTGCGACCACTATATACGTCAAGGAAGAGGTGCAGACAAAAAAAAAAGCGGCTCCACGACTGCTCCAAGTAGGATAAGCCACCATGGTGTCCAGGCTGCTTTTCATCCTCGCACTACTACACGCAAAGACCGACGCGGTGCTGGAAATAGCAAGGCCACGCCAGCCGCAGCCAAAAGCGATCAGGATCGCACCACCCGACCGCCCGACAACAGACAGCCGGGGCGGCGCCGTCGCCGCCTGGCACGCGGAACGAAAGAATGCGATCACGAAGAAGCTCGGCGCCGAGGTCATCGCAAAGCTCGAGGCCCCGACGCCCGGGCGGACCCTCGGCTGTCTCGTCGCCGCCGACGCGCTCCTTATTGGTCTAGCTACATACACCCCACATTTGGATGGCTTGTGGTGGCTTGGATTCGCCTCAACTCTGGGCGCCTACTGCTCGCTCGCGCAGTTCGCGCTGCTGCACGACGTCGTGCACGGGGGCGCCGACGACCTGAGCCAGCCGATCGGTGAAAGGCGAGAACGACGGGAACAGATTCTGAAATGCGGCTCGCAGCCGTCCGTGTTCGGGTACTGGCTGTATCTGGCGCTGGGCCATCTCAACCACCACGCCGCCACGGGCGACTATTCCGCAAAAGAATTGTTTGCGAGCGACCAATTGGCCTTCGAGGACGGCGACCTCTTCTTCGCGTCACACAGACAAGAATCCACGAACGGCGCCGCGGACGACGGCGGTGGAATAATAGGAGACATGACAATATCGATCTCGCGCTTCGCCTACCGGTATCTGTGGCGCTTCGACCAGGACGACGACATCGGCCTGTCCCGGAACGCCCTGGCCTACGCCTGGTCCATGGCGTTCGAGCGCTTCGCCCTTTGCTGCAATGACAAATATGTGGCTTTGTCGGGATCGAACGCGTTCTTCTTCCCGAACAAGCCCCAAGCCTTCCACGACCTGTGCGCCGACTACGCGCGCTTTTCCGCTCTCTGTCAATTGGCCGTTTTCGCGCTGTCCGGCTTCGATGGGAGGTCTCTACTATTTTTGCTAGTCGCGGAGACCATTTGGCAGGTGCCGCCGCTCCCGACAGCGGCCCTCTTCGTGTCGAACCATGGTGTGGATGATGAAGGCTACGGCGTCGGCGGCGCGGCTCCGGACCGGCCGACGCACAGCGTGTATGGGGGGCCCTGGTTCGATGTTCTGTGCGTCGCCGCGAACTACCACTGCGAGCACCACGACTTCCCGAAGGTGCCTCTCTGGAACCTGCCGGAGCTCAAACGACGAGCGGGCGCCGAGTTCTACCCCGCGAGTCCGCCTTGGTATGATGTGCTGCGGGGCGCGTTCTCTTCCAAGATCACGTACCCGCGCTGGGAGCGCGTCTGATTGTGTGTGTGTGTTAATAATACTTATGTTTTTATGAATTACTAGGCCGCCAGCCACCGCCCCGGCCGGCGTGTTTTCGTGCGACGGCCTCGGCCGCCGCGCGGATGTGCGCGAGAGCCTCTCCCCGGGGGAGGTAGGCGGCTGCGGGGTGCTTGGCGCCGCCGGCGAATGTGTGCACCCCTGGCGACGGCCTGTTCTTGACCCGCGCCAGCGACTTCTGACGGGCGGCCGCGATCCTTTCCCGGCGCGCCTTCGCCGAGTCCGCGGCAATCATGACCGGCGTCTCGCACGGCGTCGTTCGGAGGCAGTCGACGAAGTCCGGCGTGCCGAAGTCGAGCGTGAGGCAGTCCGGCGGCAGGTGCGCGCCGGCCTTGACGTGACTTTCGCCTCCATACAAGGCCATCGCCGCCCGCAGCTCCCGCTTTAATTTCGAGACGACTTTTGTGGAAGTGGACGCGTAGACGTCCGTCGCTTCGCGCGGGTCGCGTTCTAAGTCGTAAAGTGCAAAAATTTGGGCGGCCGCGCCGCTCCTCCGGAATCCGGGGCTACACCGCAGGCCGTCAAAAAGAATAAGCTTCCATCGTGTTGTTCGAATGCCGACGTGCGACGGCGGCGCCGGCGGCGTCGCCCTTGCTTTCATGGCCTCGTCGTAGTAGCGGTAGTACAAAGTGGTCCCCGTCGTCGCCTTCTTGTCCGCGAGCGCGGCCCTTAGTGACACGCCGTCGAGGGAGCGCTTCCCTAGCAGGCCGGCGAAGTCGAGGAGGGTCGGTGCGACGTCGACGGAGCGCGCCAGGAAGTTCGTATGACGAGGTTTGAGGACGGCCGGGTACCGAATGATCCAAGGCACACGGATCGCCTCGTCGAGCATCAAGCGTTTATCATAGCAGCCGTGCTCGCCTGTGCGCAAATCAACTATGTGAGAACCGCCGCTATTTGATTGTGCGCTGTTGCTCGCCGAGGAAGTAGCCGTGGTCGCTAGTGTAGAGGACGAGCGTTTTCTCGTCGTCGACGCGTCGCAGCACGCGGCCGACGCCGTCGTCCAGCGCCTTCAGGGTCCTCAAATAGTCCGCGACGAGCTGGGCGTAGGTCCGGCGCCGCGTCGCGTTGGCGAGGCTCCGGTTCGCGAAGACGTCGATGCCGCGGCAGCGCGTCGGGCGTTGCATTAGCGTCGGCGGCTCGGCGACGTCGAAGCCCCGCAGCGTCCAGACGCCCCGCGACGCATCAAAAACAGGTGCCCCCGTGAGCGCCTCGTAGCGTGGAGGATAGTGGAAGGGCTCGTGGGGCTCCTTGAAGTGTGCTTCAATTAACCACGGCTTTGCTAACGAAGCGACGGCTTCCGCCGCTTTCGCACTGATAACGTCCGAGGTGTGGCCCGCCGCGCGCGCGCCTCCGTTGTCGGAGCGCTTCCGCGTCCAGAGCTTCATGCGCGCCTTCCACCTCTTTGCAGAGAGGGTGTGGTTCAGTAATAGAGGGTCCTCGTAGGAGCCCTGGTGGAGGAGGACCTCGTACGTGTCGAAGCCCCGCGGCCGCGACATGAGGTGGTACTTGCCGTACAGGGCAGTGGCATAGCCGTGCCTTTGTAATACCTCGGGGTAGGTTTCGATGTAGTCATGGACGCCCGAGGCGTTGCCCTTGCTCACCGGTTTTAAGTGTGTGGCGCCGTGCTTGTTAGGGTAGAAACCTGTCAGCAATGATGCGCGGCTCGGCGTACATAAGGCGTTGATCGTGTAGGCGTTGTCCGTTGTAATGCCTTCTTTTGATAATCGATCTAAATGCGGCGTCACGTTGAGCTGCTTGATGAGCGGGCTTAATCTAGCTTTGCCGCGGTAGCCGAGGGCCTCGGCGGAGTGGTCGTCGGCGAGGAGCACGAGGATATTTGGTTTTGTTCTTTGCTTCGGTTGTTGTTTTTTTGTGGTGAACCAGGAGCTCGCGTGTGTGGTGCAGAGGAGGAGGGCTGCCCGAGGCAGCATTGCTCCAATGCAGATGGGGTTCACAGACGTGCTATTCCGCTGCCCTCCTGGTGTTATGAGTTGATCGTGTCATTTTGCGAACCGAGATAGGAACGCACAGCCATTTATGCGGTTGCGGGCAGCCAGCAAAGCTTGGTCGAATCCCTGCCCACTCGCATGCGCTCTAGTCGCAAATCTGCTCAAAATGTGTGGGAAGGAGTTGCGGAGGGACTGTAGGACTCTGTTCCGAGCCCTCGGAGAAATTCTTGGCAAGTGATTTTCGTTCGGGTCTATACAGTTCGTTTTCACGCGAAGGTCGCATACGGCGCGCCTCTGCGTTGCTGTGACTAGACAGCGCCTTCACAAGCACAGCGCCAGCGTCGCGGGCCGCGGAGCACTTCACGCCGCGCAAAACGGCCGTGTGTACGCCGAGATAGCCGTTTCACGCCGGACGACGTCGCAGCCAAAAAACGAGCGAGAAAGCCGCGCGCCGCGCCCTCAGCGCGCAGCACGAGACCGCCGCAGCAACGCCGCGCTACGCCACAACGCGCCGACGCCCGAAACCGCGCCCTAACCGCCCCGCCGCCCGCGCAGGCCGCCGGCGACAAAAACGCAGAGAAGAAACCATGGCGACGACCGCCACCCCCAGCGCGAGCCGCCTCCGCGCCCTCACGGACGTGACGAACATCGAGAAGAACGCCGCGCCGCAGCAGGCGAAGCCGAGCCGGACGCCCGCGCCCAAGGTGTCGCTGGGCGGCAACGACAGCGTCGAGCTCTTCTTCGACGCCGCCGAGACGCCGCGCGTGACGCAGACCGAAGTGAAGGAGTTCGCCTGCACGCCGCACGCGCCGCGCGTGTCGACGACGCCTATTTTGGCCACACCCGACGAGCGTTTATTGACGAACGCGGCCGCGGAAGAAGCTTTGACGGCGGCCTGGATCGCGGCGCAGACGGCGGAGATCGAGGCGCTGCGGGCGCTCGTGAGAAGGCAGCGCCACGAAAAAGAAGCGCTCATCGCGAACGGCGCCGGGCCCTACGCGACGAGCGTCCAGCGCGCGGCGCGCGGGCGGTTGGCGCGGAACCGCGCGGCCGCGCTCTGGCGAGCTTTAGCTACGGCACAGACGCGGCGGCGCGGCGCCGTGCCCCGGCGCGCGTTCCTCGAGCTGCGGGCCGCGACGATCGTGGTGCAGAACCGCTGCGCGCGCGGGGTTCAAGCGCGCACGGCCTTCCAGACGGCGCTGGGCGCTTCCATTACACTCCAGACGGCGGCGCGGGCCCGGCGGGCGCACAAGGCGTTCACGGAGCTCAAGGCCGCGTCACTGGTCGCGGCGACGCGGGCGCGCGGTGCCTTGGCGCGGCGCCAGAAGGCGCGGCAAGTGGCCGCCGCCTCGGCGATCCAGCGCGTCTACGCGCGGCACAAGGCGCGCGTCGGCGACGACGTCCGCCCCGGCGTCCCGAATCGTCGCCCACGCCATCGACGCGACCGCTCGATCCGCGCACAGGCCGGCAAGTTCGCCAGAGCGTGGCGTCTGGCCGAGCAGCAGCGCTTCGTGCTGAGCCTGGTGCTGAACCCGCCGAAGGGCACGACGGTTCTGAGAATTCGCGACTTCTCGAGGAGAGGCGCGCGCCAGGTCCACGAGGCGACGCTGCGCAACGGTCAGCCCTTCGCGTTGCGGCTCGTGTTGGATCGGGACCGCCTCGGCTGCTACTTCGTGTCCAATCCTCGAGGAGGATTTCGTCAGGTGCTCGCGCCCTGGGCGCCCGAGGCGGACGTGACGGTGACGCTCGTGAACCAGACCAAGACGCGGGACCGCGAGTTCGTCGTGACGCGCGAGGAGCTCGCCGCGCGCGCGTCGGCCGAGTCGACGCCGGTGCGAAAATCAAAGTTTCGCGGCGGCGGCCTCCACGCCATCGACGCGGCGTCTGCTGCACCCGACTCACTTGTTTATTTGCACACAGGTCGACGTACGGCTCGCTGCTGTCGTTTGGAAAGAGCGGCACGGCCGTGGGCGTGGCGGATTTGGTCGATCGGGCCACGTTAGACCGGGAGTTCTTAGGTGATAATGACGTGCTCGTCGTGGCCGTGACGTGCGACGAGCCCGAGGCCGAGCCGATGGCGCCGCCGACGCCGGGCGCGGCGTTGCGGTGCGTGCCGGCGATGAACGTCAGCCCTGGGCTATCGGCGTTCAGCGTCTGATCCGATCGTTGTGTCCTCTCCCTCCCCGGTCGGCGTTGCGTCTTGCGCGGCCACGAGCCGCTGCGACCGCGTCGACCCTCCCCCCTCCCTCGCCAGACTGGTGTAAACAACGTACTTTATACTCACTGCTGGGGGAGCCCCTCGCCATCACCCAGCTCCGCGAACGGCGAACGGCACGGCGCCCGGGACGCGTCCGCCGCCTGGAGGAGTTGTGACGTGAGCTCCCGGGAGCCAATAAAGCCCTCGCCACGGAGCAATTCGTCAACCGCAGCATCGATCTCCTCCTCAGATGGCTTCGTCGGCGTAGTACCGCCGATCGGGTACGTGATGCGGGGCGGCGACACTGCCGGCGACGAATCCCGGGTGGTCGGCGTCGCGTCGCCCATGGCCTCGCGCGCGTCCGCCAAAGCGTCGTCCTCGTCCTGTTCCTCGGGCGGTTCTTCGTCGTCGCCCTCCTCGTCGAAGGCCTCGTGGTCGGCCAGCGGCGAGGCCTTGGGCGGCGAGGGCGCGGGCGGCGGTGGATCTGACTCTTTGGCGGTCACGCGCTCCACAGCGGCTTCAGCCGCCCGTCGCACGCGCGCGGTTACGTCGGCGACGCCCTCGCGTAGCGCCTCGATACCATCCAACAACGCTTCCTTGTTGTCGCCGTCGCGCGAGAGGACGTAGAACGCCACCGCGCCGGCGGCGGCTCCTAGGCCCAGCGCGACCGCGCTGCGTTTGGAACTCATTGTTGCAATTATATGGGGTCGGTTTCGATCTGTGTCTCGGTCTAGAGCGTCCAAAAATTGGACCAACAAAATATATGGCTTTCAAAGTGACCTAATTCGCCGCGAAACCTGGGTCTTTTTGAGGGTCTCGCCGTTGGTGGGAGCGAGGTGTCGTATCTGTTCGCTCAGGCACGGTCGGGGTGCGCGCGGCTAAGATAGAGCGAAAGCAAAATTGCTGGGAAACCCGTGCCCTAATACGTCCAGAGGAGCGGGAGCGCTGAGGGGGGCGCGCGACTTACTAAGAAACCCGAATACGTGTATGTATCCGCACTCACTACTTAGCCAACTCGAGCAGCTTCGCCTTCTTCGCTTCGAGCGCCGCGTCGACGGGAGGCAGGGTCGGCGAGAAGGGCACCGGACTCTTCGGCCCGTTCTTCTTCCGCGCGCGGCGCCGCTTCGGGGACTTCTTTTCCTCGACGGCGGGCGCGGGCGCCGGTGCGGCGGTGTCGTTCGGGCCGCCCTTCACGGCCGGCGTCGTTTTTGTGCGGCGTCGAACCGGTGCCGGCGCCGCCGCGGCACCGCCGGCCGCCTTCCGGGGGCGCTTGCGGCTGCTCTTCGACCCCTTGCGCACCTCGCTCACGGAGGGCGACGAAATGGGACTCAGCGGCGGCGCCGGCGCCCGCCGCTTGGGCGCCGGCAGCGCCGCGTCGCTCGCGCTGCGGCTCCGCGTGCGCCCGGCGACCGAGCTCGCCGGCGGCGCTTGGGCTTCCTCGAGGGCCTCCGGCTCCGCGAGGGCGGCCGAGTCTTGCGAATCGGCGACGACGCGCCGCAGCTCGCGCAGCTCGCGCTGGGGGATCTCGAGCGGCGAGCCTTCGTTCATCTCGAGCGTGAGCTCGCCGCCCTGCGACCGGGACACGCGCGCGCGCTTCGGCGGGCTGAGCGCGGGCGTCCAGTTCTCGCCCCACGTCGCCAGCTTGAACTCGACGACCTCGCCGCGCTTCAGGGCCTCGCCCTCCGCGACCGCGACCGTATCTGTTGAGGGAGGCGCGGGCGCCGGCGACGGCGCGAGCTGCGGCTCGTAGGCGTGCCCGCCGTGGCGGAAAGACGGCCCGTCTTCCTCCGGCACGGCTGGTGGCGGTCGGTTCGCGGGCGGCGGCGGCGGCGCACAGGGCGTGCCGCGGCCGCGGCCCTGGGTTGGCGGCGACGGCGCCGTGTCCTCGTCCTCGGAGGAGGAAGACTCGGAGCTAGACGACGAGTCCGCGGCGCGGGCGTGGCGTTTGGCAGCAGGCGTGGCGGGCGCGGCCGGCGCCGGCGCGGCCGACTCTTCCTCGTCCGAGCTCGAATCCGAGTCCGACTCGTCTGAGCCCGAGCCCGAGTCCGAGTCCGAGCCGGACGACGAGGACGATGACGACTCCGCGGCGGCGGCCGGCGTCGCTGCCGGCGCCGGCGCAGCGGCCTCGTCGTCCGAGCTCGATTCGTCGTCGGAACTGCCCGAGGAGGACTCGCCTGAGGAGGAAGATTCGCCCGAGGATGACTCGGCGGCGGCGGCGGCGGCGGCCGGCGCCGCGACAGCCGCGCCGTCCTCGTCCTCGTCCTCATCCTCGGACGAGTCCGACTCCGCAGGGGGCGGCAGCGGCGGCAGCGTGTCCGGAGGCGGCGCGTCGCCATCGTCCGAGCTCGAGGCGTCGTCGTCGGAGCCGCTGCTCGCCGAGGACCCACTCGCAGAGGAGCTCTCGGCGGAGGAGCTCTCGGCGGCCGCCGCTGCTGGCGCGGCGGCCGCAGCTGGCGCCGGCGCCGCGGCCTCGTCGTCGGAGTCCGAGTCGGAGTCCGAACCAGAGCTAGAACCGGAATCTGAGCTAGAGCTGCCCGCAGAGGAGCTCTCCGCGGCCACCGCTGCCGGCGCCGGCGCCGCAGCCTCGTCGGAATCGGAGTTCGATTCCGAGCCCGAGCCCGACGACGAGCTCGAGGACTCCGCCGCCACCGCTGCCGGCGCGGGCGCGGGCACCGGCGCGGGCGCAGGCACCGGCGCGGGCGCGGGCACCGGCGCGGCCACAGGCGCGGCGGCGGGCTTGCGCTGGTGCTTCTTGCCGCCGCGCTGCTTCCGCCGCGGCTCGGCGGGGACCGGCGCGGCGGGCGCGACCGCTGCCTCGTCATCAACGGACAACGTCGCCGCCAGGGCGCGCACGGCCTTCAGCATCTGGTTCCGCTGGCCCGCGGGCACGCCGACCTCGACGAGCGTCTCCTTGACGACGTCCTCGTCCTGCGCGCACGCGAGGAGCGAGGACATTTCCCCATAGGCCGCAACAAAACGACACGTCATCGGCTCGGAGAAGCGCTGCGCGCGGCACCATTTCCACAGCTCGTCGGCCATGACGGCTGCGCGTCTGTCGCACGAGACAGCGCCAGCAGTGTGTGTTGGCGGCAGGCGCTGGATAAGCGCTGCGGCGGCGCGCAGTGACTTGTAAGAGCGACTCGGATCTATAAACTATCCGCACAAGCCACCGACGGCGATATATTTCAAACTCCGCTCGTTCGCGCTGATTTTAGGTGGCGCCACTCTCAGCTGTCGCCCACTCCATTGAGAGCAGTGTCACACAGCACGCGTGAGGCCACAGAACTGGAACGAGGCGTTCCAGGCCACTCACACAGCCCTAATTGATCACTTAAGGCCGCAGATTCCAGCCTCGACGCGAGGACGGCACGGGCAGCCACACCTGACGTTGGCCACCACTTTGCACTGCTATATAGACGCGCGCGTCAGTAGAACAATCGAAGCGTACAGCCATGTTACGCATTGCTCTCCGCCGCGCTACTCGCGTGCCGGTGCGGCACTCGTCCAAGACCGCGTCGACACCGGCGCCGGCACCGACGGATAGCATTCACTCGTCGGACATCGCCTTCAAGCCGAACAACGACGGCTGGGGCGGAGGCAACCCGCAATATGCTTCGAATTACGATCGCATCTTCGGGAACAAAAACGGCTCGGCGAAAAAAGCTGCGCCGGAAGCAACCGCGCCGCAGCCGGCGGCCCAGGCCTTGGACGCCCGCGACGCCCTCGCGCTGCGGCGCATCTTGCGCGAAAGTGGGGAGTCGAGCGCCCTCGCGGAGATCTTGGAAGAGTCCGGCTGGCGGCGAGGCGGGTGAACGCGGCGTCGGGAATGACGCCATGAACGCGCGTCCAAATGTATTAATAAGCTCTGTCAATTTTTTGGCGGCGAGGTGGATGACGCCCGAGCAGGCACGGAGCGCCGGGGGGCGTCGCAACGCCGGAATGTAGTACTAGTAAGCTCTGTCAATTTACGGGCGCGGGAGGGAGGGAAAGGGGGGAAAGGGAACCGCACCCATCTACTTTTCAGAAGTCCTCCTGCAAGTCTTCCTCCTCCTCGGTGAGCCGCGGCGACATCGGCGCTTCGCTCGTGCCCTTATCGTCGACGACGCGCGACCGCGCCGGACACAACCACGCGCCTCGTTCCACCAGCGCCGCGGGCAGCAGACCCCCGACGACGGGCTCCGGGACCGTGACCACGGTATGCTCGAAGTCCGTCTCGTCCTCGAGCTTCGCCAACAACGCTTCTTTTTCATCGAGCGGATCGGCCGAGTGGCCTCCGAGCTCGCCCCGGTTGTGCAATCTAACCACAGCCCTAAGCCCATCCGCGAAGTCCTCGGCCTCCCGCTCGTTCTCGAAGGTCAGCGTGTGCTGCTTGAGCCGGTGGGCCTTCGCGGAGCCCTCCTCGCGGTGCGAGAACGTGACGGTCTTGGGCCTGGCCGGGTCGTTCGGGGCCACGCTCACGATGTCCGCGAACGACGTCTCGCGCACGTGCGACGTCGTCTTGATGCCCTTGGGGTCGAACTCCGTGGGCGTCGCGTTCGGCTTGGACATCTTGAAGCCATTGGGCGTCTTTTCTAGCAATCTAGTGGCCTCGCCGACGTACTCGCCTATACCCAACTCGTTGGCTAGTTTGTGCGGCTTTCTCGGTGTTAACTGTTTTGCGAGCGTCGCGTCGAGCTTCATGAGGGCGGCCGCGTCGTGCTGCGCGATCTCTGCCTCCGTCCTACTCTTGATGATCTCCTCGGCCGTCTGCAGGCCCTTGGCGTGCATCTTCGCCGTCAACTTATCTCTCCGGATCTGAAGCTTCCTCGCTTTCTCGAGAGCGGCTTCCTTGGCTTCGCGCGCCTTCTCGGCGTCCTTGACTCGTTTGTGGTGCGCGCGCCACGTCTTTTGTATGAGATAAGCGAAGCGGTTCCTGCCATCGATGAGTATGAGAGCTTCCCTGGCTTGCGCGGCCCGTTTCTTGGCTTTCTTCGAGCGTACCAGCAGAAAGTTCTGGGGCCCGAAGAGAGCGATGCCGATCGCTCGTACCAATGCATATTTCAACGCAGCTAGATAATGAGCCACATGATGATGAATAAGCTCAGACCAGACAAACAGTAGTCCAGCAATGAGAAAGCAGACCCCGGCACACGTCGAGACAAACACCGGATCGTCGCGTCCCGTAAGCGCGTTCTGCAGCGGCCGGATCTTCCGCACGTTCTTCAGCAACGCCTTCTGGATGGGTCGCAAGAGAGGCGCCAAGGGATTCAGGGACCAGGTCTTGTACACCTCTGTGGTGGGTTCCGGTTCCTTGGGAGGGGGTTTTAAGTGTTTTCTACGCCAGTCCTCCATTTTTAGTTCTTCTGAGACGATGGCGGCGCGCACGATGGCCTTCTTCTCCGCGAGCCAGGCGTCCTCCTTCGTCGTCGGTTTCAATGGAGTTAATTGTTTACCAAAAACAGCCAGCTTGACCCAGTCGAGAAACGTGAACTGCGCTTGCTGGAGCTGGCTGTCGCCGCCGCCGTACAGCGAATCTCTGAAAGCTAACGCCGTGAGGACCCACAACCACGCCCACGCCCTTTGAGGGTTCTGGCACGTCGTCCACCACGCCGCGAAGGCCAGTAGTGATCGTAGAGGTCGCTCGTACCTAGATAACCTACCGATGTAAGCCGGTAAGGCACCCTTGAGCGACGCCCACGCATCCAGTAAATCCGACAGGTGGTCCATGACGCGATGCGTCGCGACGGGCTCGACACAGGGGTCGCCGTGGTCGCCGGCCTCTCCCCACAACGCGAATCTCGCAACATCTCGTTGCTTGCGTCCGGAAATCGTCTCCGGCAAGACGACGTGCTTCGTGAGCACGGGCCCGCCCATCAAGACCGATCGCGCGGCGGCCACACCTCCGTCTTCCCAGTCCATCCGGAGTCGCAATCTCACAGACCCGCGGGACATCTTCTGCGTCGGGTCGAGAGCTGCCGCATCTTTCAGTCTTCGACCTTTCACTAAATGTCTCGCGTCGATGGCGTTTTCCTCGTCTCGCGTCCCTTCCAAGCGTAGTGGCAACCAAGCGTCGTACGTCGTCGACGGTCGCAGCGCTCGTAACGGTAGAGCGCATCGGCCGATGTAGGCGTCCATCTCCATCGGGGCATCATCTTCATCAGCTACGGCGACGAACAGCGTCGCGCGCGCGTCTCTGACTTCCAATTCGAAGGCGCGTCTTTCCTTGGCGTGCCACGTAGGAGCTCTAGCATCATTCCGCGTGTTCGTGCGAGCCACCAACCCATCCACCGTCAGGAGTACATAAACATCCTCCGCACTCAAAACGTCGCCAATCCCGGCGCTACTCCAGCCGCCCGCTTGGAGCACTTCACATCTCAAACAGCCAAGCCTCTTCCCGAGCTTCTCGTCGTCGCCCTCTTCGTACGAGATGACATGGAACCGCTCCGACGGCCCCAGGTCGACCTCCCTTGTTTTATTAGCCCGTCTCAGACCAAGAGTGTACGAGTCGAGGATTTTGTCGGCCGACTTCTTTTTCGGTTTCTTCTGTAATTTCCCAATCTTCTTCTGGGCCGTCTTGTTGTCCTTGTGGCCCGCCGCGATGCCGTCGACGGCGCCTAGTAACTCGGACGCCGCATTGGTGGTGCCGCGGTGCCAGCCGCCACCAGGTGTTTGGGTATTGTTTACGGGGGACGTGGCGGGCATGGTTCTTGGCTGCCCCTGGCTCCTAGGATGGGTTCAGGCTGCCCTCCCGTGCGGCGGGTGCTCGCGTCTGCTTGTACAGGCGCGCAACAGCGATCTCTGTTTGGTGCTCTGTTTCCAGCTCGCCCCGCACGTTAGGGAGGCGTCTTCCGGCTGGTTGTATGGGTGCCGCCGGAGGCTTCGGCGTTGTACGAGACGCGAAGGGGTCCGATAATCTCAAAACTAGTGGGCACTTGAGCTAGCTAATATTGAGCTCTGCCTTGGCCGAATTAAAGGCCTTAAACGTCGATGCTATTGACCGCGAGGGGCTAAAAACATCTGCAAAAGCCAACCGCAGCCCAGCCAAATCATCCATGCTGTGGATCTAGCCTACGCATAAGCAGTAACCAAGATACCGAAGAAGCCCTGCCAAAGGCACGATGCACCGCGCCTTCGGCGGCGACCGCCCGGCGCCGCCCGCCGAGGGCTACGTGTCCATCAGCCTGACGGCGCCCGAGGCGTCGCAGCGGTTGCTGCGGGAGTGCGCGACGAGCCGGATGGTCCACGTGACGCGGTTATTAGCCATCGAGGGCATCGATGTGAACGTCAAGGACGCGCGAGGGCGGCCCGCGTTGGTCGTCGCGGCGACGCATGGTGTGGATGCCGTCGTTACAGCATTGATAGAAGCCGGCGCGGAGATCGACGCGACGGCGCCCGACGGTACGTCGGCGGCGTTTGCGGCCTCCTCCTTCGGACATGCCGACGCTTTAAAGGCTTTGGTGTCGGCCGCTTGCGACGTCGACAAGGCGAGGAACGATGGGCAGACCCCGGCCTACGCCGCCGCGGGCGCCGGCCACGGCGAAGCTTTAGATTTACTCTTGGAGGCCGGTTGTGATATAGATAGAGCATTACCAGGCAAGGCAGCGACACCTCTACTCGCGGCGGCGTTCAACGGCCGAGCTCGTGTCGCACGAGCACTCCTCCAAGCCGGCGCCGACCCTAATAAATGCGCCTCCGACGGCACGTCGGCATTGATGGTGGCCTCGTGGCACGGCGACGCGGCGGTTGTCAGAGCTTTGTTGGACGTCGGTGCTGATGCTTCTAGAGTTAGACAGATTGACGGCGCCACAGCACTCTATTTAGCTGCTCAGGCGAACCACGTGCCCGTCGTCGAACTACTTCTTGAGAGAGGCAGAGCCGACCCGTCGGCGCCGGGCGGGCCCTGCCGCAGTACGCCATTGATCGTCGCGGCCGAACGCGGACATGTAGCTTCCGTACGAACGCTACTCACGGCGGGAGCGAACCCGAATGCCGCGGACGCGACGGGCTGGACCGCCGGCCACGCGGCGTGCCAGGGCGGCCACGTCGCCGCTCTGAACGCTTTGTTGAGCGCGAGGGCGGATCCCAATGCGCGAGCGGCGCCCGACGGCTGCACTCCTGCTTTGATTGCTGCCCAACAAAACCACGCCGGGTGCTTGGATGCTCTTGCTGCTCGGGGCGCGGATTTAGATGCACCTTACTTGACGGGGCACCAGTCGACGCCCTTCATTATGTCCGCGCATAATGATGCTGCCGACGCCGCGCGGGCGCTGGCGGCTCGAGGCGCGGACGTGCGACGGACGAACGCCTATGGTGCGACCTCTGTGGCCGTCGCGGCGGCACTAGGTCACGCGGACGTGCTCCAGGTTCTATTGAGGGTCGATCCGCGGGGCGCCCAAACGGTGGATCAAAACGGTGCGGCGCCGCTGCACGTGGCGGCGGCGCGCGGGCGGACGTCGTCCGTCGCGGCGTTGTTGAGGGCTGGGGCGCCCGCCGATGCGACCTGGCGCGGGCTCACACCAATAGACATCGCGCGGCGGAACGGCCACGGCCACGTCGTGCGGTTGCTCGCAACTAGAGCCATCGACGCGGGGGTCAGTGCGAACGAGGTCACGCCCGACGACGCGCCGCGGCACCTGCGGTCGCCGATGCCGTCGCCCTGCGCCGCGGGAAACGCGCTTCCGCCGAGCTGAGTGCCCTTCCCGCTCCGGTCTATAGCTGTGTTCTCTCTTTCTCTTGTAGCTATCCCCCCTGGTACGGCCTCGGTTCTGTTATGGTGCTCGGACTAGTGGACAGCCCCTGGGGGGGGAGACACGCGCGAAGACGTAGAAAACTCGTAAGGCTAGTGTGTATCTACGCTATGTCAGTTCGCATAACTCGCAACCTCAGTCGTCAAGCCAGCGTAGGGCATCCCCCGCTGCGACATCGCGCGTGCAGAGGTATCCGGGTTGTCATTTTGCACAGCCAAGAGCCGTCAGTCAGTTCCCCGGGCGACCAGGCGTGACAAAGACTGCAATCAGCCATGCGGCTCTCCCTCTGCTGCCTCTTGGCCACCGCAGCCGCGCTGCGCCAAACACCCGTGACGCCGGCTAAACTCCTGAGGAGAGCTGGCGCCGCCTGCCTCGGCGCCGCGATTACCGCGGCGCCCCTCGCTTGCCTGGCCGACGGCCAGACGGACAAGTTCAAGCTGCCGCCGATAAACTTCAAGGACACGACGCGCTGCGTCTTCAAGTCGAGCGCCATGGGCCAGGCGAATGGTGCGAGAGACACTTTAGCTGATTTTAGGCAGTGCTCCATGAACGGCAAGTCCGCCGACGGCTTCGACCTCGCCGGCGCGATCATGTCCGAGGCCGACTTCACCTCTGCTTCATTCCGGGAGACGGTCATGAGCAAAGCGTACGCGCGCGACTCGAAGTTCACGAACGCGGACTTCAGCAACGGCGTCGTCGACCGCGTGTCGTTCGACGGAAGTGATTTACGAGGCGCCATCTTCGCGAACGCGGTGCTCACGGGCACGTCGTTCACGAACGCGAACTTGGAGGGCGCGGACTTCAGCGAGGCGTTCATCGGCGACTTCGAGCTGCGCAACATCTGCAAGAACCCGACGCTGTCTGGGGAGAACGCCAAGACCGGGGCCCCCACGAGAGCCTCGGCGGGGTGCAGGCAATAAGCTTACCTTTCGAACACTAGCCACGTCGTCAGGACGCCGTCGCTGCTGCGCGGCGGCGGGTCGGGCTCCGCGTCATCGAAAGGTCGTCGGCACGCGTAGCCCCGCCGGTGGCCGGCCGCGGACCATGCTCTCACCACAGTTTGTTCGCGGTCGGCGATGTCGCGGCCCTGGGGCTCGGCGAGCGTCAGCGTGAACCCAACCGCAAATGCCGGCGGCAGCTCGACGCCACTATCAAGATATGCAGCGCATTCAACGAGGGGCTCCGGCGCGCCTGAACAGCCGTCCAGGTAGATCGCGCCAAAGGGTACGTCGGCCGTCGGCATGTAGTCCTCCGCTCTCGCCTCGACGACGGTCGCGCCGCGTTGGCGTAGAGCTGCCGCCGTCGCGGGGAACGGGTTCGCGACGTAGACGTCGACACCGGCGTCCGCCAGCGCGCGCGTCGACGCCGCGTCGGCGCCGTCGAGAGCAAACGCCGCCGCGCCGTACCGTCGCGCGAACCGCGCCAGCACGTCGTTGTGGCTCGCCTTGAAGGCCCGGTGCGCCCCACTAAAGTCCGTCGCGTCCCAGGGGTCGCCCTTGGCGAGCAGCCGCGCGCGCAAGTCGCCGTCGCTGGAGAAGGTCCGTTCCGCCCGCTTCTGCGCCTTGAAGCGCCGCGTCCGCCGTTTGGCCTCACCCCGAGCGTCGAGGCGGTGGTTGACGAGCGTGAGGCACTGCGACGCCAGGAGCGGCCGGTCCCCGAGGCTGCACGTGCGCGCGCCCGCGGCGACCAAGCCTTCCAGGGCGCCCGGCGCCCAGCCCAATTGGTCGGCGACGACAACGACCACATCGCCGCTCGGCGGCTCGAACGGCGCGCCGCCCTCGTCGAGCACGACGACATTCGTGTTGTTAGAGAGGCGTCGCACGAGCTCCGGGAGCGACTCGCCGCGCCGGACCGCGAAGCCGGCCGGGAATGGCGGCCGCTTGGCGGCGGCGCGCGCGACGCGGCGGGCGAGGTTCCGCGGGGACTTCTGCGCAAAGAGTTGCCGCCGCGCCTCCCGCCGCTCGAAGCCCTCTTGCGCCGCCTCCGCCTTGCAGTCGTCCTCCAGCGCTCTTTGCAGCTGCAGTGCGAAGGTCTTTTCATCGGGGGCCAGGCCTCGGACCTCAGCTCCCGCGACGCTCGCGGTCGTGTCGTTGAGGGATAAGTGCAGCGACGCGTCCGTACGGATCCAGTTGCTGTACCACAGTGCCGACGTCGCGCAGCGGCACAGCACGTCAACGCGGCCCTGCAGAAGATTGTTGACGGAGAACCGACCGTTCGCGACGGCCGACGACGCGTTTGATGCGGCGACGACGAAGTGTCTATGTGCTGTGAGTCGTGACGAGCGTCGCGTGGCGGCGTTCGGCGGTTGCAGTGCAGCAACAATTTGCAATCCTACCAGCACGAAGTGGAACGCCATCGATGCAACACGCTGCACAGCGTCTACAAGCTACAGAGAGCACAGAGTGCCAGGCAGCGCTTTTGCCCTACAGGCGCTCATTGCTGCCCAGCGATGGATGGCTTGTCGGCAGCACCCGTGGCGTCCACAGAAATGCCGAATTTGACGCTCAGCAGCCTCAGGCGCCGCGCTGTCGCGGTTGCAGTGGCTGCACCCGCTTTTGCAAAACGGGTTTTCGAGGCAACACTATAAATCATCGATATTTAGTCCTAGCGGCAGCCGGTGCCGGTGCCGGTGCCGGTGCCGGCGCGCCAGACAACTGCAATTCCAGAGCATCGACCTCGCGGGTCCGCCGCGACCGCCGGCGGCTCGCCCGCGCGGTCGCGCGAACGTCGAACCCCAACCCGCGGGACTCGCGGCCGGCGAAGGCCAGCTTCTGCGTGTAGGCCATCTCCAGGGCCCGTCCCCGGTCAAACTTCGCCTGTTGCGTCAGCCTATCTTTTTGATCCTGGGAGTCGAAGAGCGGCGGGTCGTAGGGCGTGTCGCCGCGGCTCAACGCGCTCAGGCGCTCGCGCGTCGCCGGCCGGTCGGTCGTGCACCGCTTGAACGCCGTGCCCACCCACGACCCTTGCGACTCGATCGAGTCCACTGAGCCGGCCTCTTCCAACGCCGAGCCCCAGGGCGAGTCGAGCGGCTGGTGCGCGAGTTCGAAGCGAGAAGCCGGCGTCCCGGGCGGCTTGTACATAACGTACGGCGCCCGCACGAACTCGTCGAACATCTTATATTCGTCCGCCGGCGTGCGAGGCGGCGTCCGCGCGGGCCCGGGCAGCTTGATGAACCTCGAAGGAGAAGGAGCCCGGACGGCCATCGACGACAGCACGGACGGTTGCGAGAGCAGCGATTCTGAATCGAGGACGTGCGACGGCGCCGTGGCTTGTGATGCGAGGTCGTCGATGGTTGCCGGAACGACGGTCATGGGCTGTTTCGCGAGACCGCCAAGTGCGAAGAGCGTCGCGCGGTCCCGCGCGAGGGAGCAGACGTGCGGGTCGCGGACCATCGCGTCCCGCAGCTCGAGCACCGCCGCGCACCAGACCCGGCACGCAGCGGCCGCAAAGGACTTGTCCATGCCTGTGTGAAAATCAAAATTTTACGGCGCGTTCGTGCTGAATCATCGCGTCGTCCTCCACGCCATCGACGCGACGCCTGCTCGATGGCGTGGAGGTGCCGGTTCCTCACCGCTCGACGAGCACCCGACGCACTGGTTGATTTCCACACAGGTCCATGCGGTACAGGCTTGTTAAAGACGCCTTGTTCGTCGAGAGCCCCTTCTCGTTGACGAGCTCCTCGCCCAGAGCATTTCTAGCTGCCTCGAAGTCGTTGTTCCGGGCGGCGACGTTGCCCCTATCTACACAAAGCATAACATCCAACATTGTGCGCGAGTTATTGGCGCAGGCATCGGCCGCTTTACGAAGCCGGTGCCAGCTCGCGCCCTTCGTCGTGTCGAAGGGTTTGAGTAAAGCGCGGAGCGCCCGCGGCACTGGGCCCTGTTTCCCTCCGGGCCGCCGCTCTAGGTTTGCGATGGCTGCGGCGGTCGGTAATGTCCGCGTCGCCTTTTTCAAGGCATCACGCTTTCTACCAACAACGCCGAGCGGCGGCCGTAGCGCCAAGGACAGAAAAGTAATACGCTCGCGGAAGGCGCGGCTCGTCGCCCGCAGCGCCAGCGCGTCCTTCGCCGGCAACCGTTGCAACGCCATGCAGCAGCAGTAGAGGGGCATGCCCGTCAGCGACGGGTCGTGGACCACCACAAACCCGTCGCCTGGCGCCGCCTGGCCGGGCAGGAGGCCGTCGTCGTCATCGTCGTCGGACAGCGCCGCGCCCTCGTGGACGCGGGCCGGCGCCGGGCCCGCGGCGACGTCCTGCGTCTGCAGCCGCACGGCCGGCGGCGGCATGAGCGGCGGCAGGCCGGGCAGGAACTTCGGGGCCGGCGGCAGCACCTTCCGCGCGTGCTCGCATGCTCTGCTGAAGGCCTGAGATTCTAACAAGTCCACGGGGCAGGGGCGCGGCGGGAACTCGTGCTCGGTCCGCCTCCGCTGCACCATTGTGCTACACAAAGGGCAGTTTTTGTGCTGCCCCCCACTGCCTGCCTTGGCACAGCAGCCCCTTGATCGCGTGTGCGTTGCCTCGGTGGCTTGGCAGTAACCAGACGACGCTGGGGCGGCGTCCGAATGCGGATCACGCAATTTGGTGTCGTTTGTGCGGCTCTCGCGGCGCGGCGTTGTTGGCTCTCAGACGGGCTAGAGGGGCCATAGCGCTAGGGGAAAAATCCTTTCGGCACGTCGCGGACCCCCACGGAGGACGCGGCGCGACGTAGAGACACAGATTAGACAACCTACTTCTTCGGCACCTCCTGGATCCAGAGCGACTGGACGAGCTCCAAGTCCGAAGACGCCTCGGGGTGCGCCTCGGCGTACCGATCCAAAAGCCAGAGCTGCCGGCCCACGGCGGAGTGGCGGTTCTGGAAGCATCTTCCCCCGATCGACGCGCGGACCGCGCCCTTCGCGCCGGTCTTGGCCCGGTCCGGGCCGACGCGCCGGTCGCATCTCCCATCCCGGACCGGCTGCCTCCGTTCCGAAGGTAAAGGGTCGCGGCCCTTCGTGGGATCCACCGCGTTCGGGTCCTTGCGCGCGTACTTCTGGGCCTGCGTCTCGCCCCTCCTTGTTTTATCCTTGTCGGCCCTCCGCCAGCAGCCCGGCGACTCGCAGATGCACCGGCTCGCGCCGGCGGTGCTGGTTGGGGAGCTCTGAGTAGTTTGGTTCTTTCGACTGTGTGTCTAGCGGAGCGAGCCGGTAAAAAACCGCGCGCTAGGCCCGCCAGCGCCTCCAGGGCTCCCGCGCGTTTAGGAAATCGCTGCTAGCGAACGGTAAGACACTAGCAAGCAAGCGCTGCTCAGCGGTCTACCCCCTAGCAGCCACTCGCACTAGGCCGCCCCAGCCACTTGCAGGAAACATTGACCAGCGGCGACAAAAACGCTGCCCATGGGCACCATCGGGGCCTAACGAGGCTCGCGCGGGGGGCTGCCGACCGCCGTCGAACCCTGCTGCTTGTTTTTTTTTGCGAGCAAGGACCTGGACTTGTTTGATTCAAATATGGGCACTCGACACCGTAGCTTACGCGTACCACGGCGGCCGCTCGCTCGCGCCCAGCCACCACGGGTCCCTACCGACGCCCTGCCAAGCGTTTGAGGAAGTACATCGGGACTTTATCCCTTCGCCGACGACGCCGTCGGAATCGGTTGCCGCAACCGATTCAGCAACCATCCTCCACCGACAGCCCGAGAAGCGGTATGTTCGGATAGACGTTTTACTCGGGCGGATGAGTCGTGGTGCGACGCGCTCAGATCCCTTCGCCGACGACGCCGTCGACGCGACCATGTCGAAAACGTGTCCACCGGCTGTCCGACATAGCCGCCGCTGTCCGCGTGACCGACGGGTGTGTCGTGGCCGAGGTCGACCGTCGAAGCGCTTTAGGCTCCGAAAACGTAAGTTAGGCTCCGAAAACGTAAGTTTTTTGTGAACCAGTTTAGTGACTTTAGCCGGAATCGGCTGTCTACGGGCTATCTACCCTATTCCAACGAGCCATGGCCGCGGCCACCGGTAAGCACAACCAGTGGCAAAATCAGTTAGGTCGTGAAGACCGGGTCCCTTCGGCGTCGGACCCAACGCAGTGGGCGCGGTTGCCGCCAGGACCGGATCTGTTCAGAGACCGTCGCGTGCGAGCTCGTCGACGCCGCCGCGCCGGCGCCGCGAGGACGCTCTGCCGCGGTCGCCGTCGCCGCCGCCACCGCGCCGCCGCCGCGAGGATGTCCAGGCCGCCGTCGCCCCGGCGTCGCCGCCGTCGCCGCGCCGCGAGCCCGAGGTCGCCCCGCCGTCGCCGCCGTCGCCGAGTCGCCAGACGAGTCTGGGCCCCCCGCGTTTATGCGAAAACGAGCACAATACCTAGAAGTACGAGTATCAGCGACGACTCCACCCAGATGGACCATAACGACATAACGCCGTTGTTCTATTCACGATCGACCGACTTGCCCGTTCTCCGCGGACGACGCCGCGTAGACGGAGACGACACGCGTAGACGGACCGAACTTCACTATTCGGGGTCAGTCGGAGAGGTATTTTTTCAAAAGCCATCCGCCTAGGCCTATACATGTATATTATATGTATGTATATATAAATATATATATATTATATATATACGGATTCCTAGTATGTCGATACGCTAGATCACCAGGTCTTACGGCTCGCCAAAATACACCAGCGATTGACGGTGCCTTCTACCGTCCAAATGGTACATCATATCAACTCGAGTCCAGTTTTCATACATAATCGACGGAACCGGAGCCGACGGCCCGCGCTCGGAGGGCGGGAGAAGAATTCTACTAGACAACTCTCGCGTTTATGTTCGTTTCCTTCCGTTTGTTATCGGTAGAGTCCATCCAGACCGCTAGAACACCCCACTAGAATGATCATGTACTCCGTTATAGCCTCGCCGCGAAGCGACTTCGCGCCCCCCACGTTTTCATGAAGATCGACCTAGATCCTGCACCCGCGAGTATCAGCGACGACACCATCCAGATGGACCATAACGCCGTTGTTCTATTCACAATCGACCGACTTGCCAGTTCTCCGCGGACGACGGTGCGTACGCGGGGCACTGAATTGGCCCCAGACCGGTGGTTTATAAAATAAATTCGCGTTTGAGGCGCTTTGGGTATGGGACGGGCCAGATAACCGGCCTGAACACCTACTACATTAGATTTCCTATTGCCAAATGCTCCCGCGCCTCGTCTGACTTGCGCGACCAAGATCTAGCGAAGGTGGGCGAATTACTTGGACCTGCGACCATCAGCCCGTGTACCATCACCATGGACCATGACGCGACCATTTGTTCCATGAACGACCGACTTGCGCGAGGTCCAGATCAAGATGTTCACGTCCCGAGCGTGTGCAGTCCAAAGTACCCTTCTCGTGGTGTAGATGTCATATACTTGTAATTGACTATCGCTGGGGTAGTATGGGGTCCAACGAGACCGCTACGGCGACTACTGGGGGCCCTCGGGTAATTGCCGTATTTGACGGGAACGGGGCGCCATCGGGTCCAAATTACACACTTTTTTCGGGGGCAGATCGGCTCCTGGAGGCCTCTCGGGGTAGGTCTGGTAGTGGGTAGTCGCCTGTACCGCATACGCCATCGATGCAGCCGCCTAGTGGTCTCGGAGAGCCCTGGAAGCCATTGCCAAGTAATTCATGCTTGAGTGGCTTGGAGTGTTGAGAGAATTGGCCGATAATCCCTCGAAGCGGCGGCGCATGCGGTGTGGGCGACTAACCATCTATAGACCGACCCTAAGCGACCCCAGGGAGACCTCGGGACCGCGAATCGACAGGATTCCATCGACGCGGCCGTCATGGCGGGACCGTCAATATCGCGAATTAAAAAAAATATTTTTTTCGCCGCCCAGTAAGTGCACCATTGATCTCTTTGGACCATTAGCGAACCGAACGGTACTTAAACGACTGCACACATGTCGAAGCCAAAAAGCAACAAAACGGTTGGTTCGGCGGCCGCAGCCGATTCCGCAACTCAACCGCCGACAGGCCCGAGGAGCGGTATGTTCGGATAGACGTTTTTACTCGGGCGGAGGAGTCGTGGTGCGATGCGACGCGCACAGGAGCAATAGTAGAACAGCTGCTGGCGGCATCCGGACGCCCACGCGCCCGCTGCATGACTATCCGGTTGATACAACATGTAGCGAAAGAACCCGCGCTCCATAATGTACCGGAGCCATTCTTGTGGCTCTGTTGCCGTGGCTACTTCGGGCCTCCCGTGGACGTCGAGGAGCCTGTCTACGTCCGCGCCGTAGCACCCCATTGCCACTGATGATGCTTTGCCATCGGAGAGCAGGACGGGACATCTCTCGCTCTGCTAACAATTCCGCTGGCGTCTGCGCCACCCAAAGCAGCATCTCGTGCGTTTGCCCATGGCGGCCAAAGTCCCGGGCGTGGTCATCTAAACCCTCTAAACGAGAATTCGACTTTGTCGAGCGTCGGACCGATCTTCTCGTGGTAGACAGCGCCCCGGTACATTTGAATGGTGCGGCCCCCCAGGCGCCGGCGACTGCGCGGCGCGGCGGCGCGTGCAGGTCGGCCCTTCCCCCCTAGGGCGGGGGCGGGTGCTGTTGCAGAGATGGGGCGCGCGGCCACCGGGCCGTCCAAGGCCCGCGGGCTCCATCGCACCCGCTTGGGAGAGTACCCAGAAATGGCTTGCCATTTGAATTCTGGATCCTCTCAGGCAGCCCGGGGCCGCCAGGCAGCACGTGTGAGTACGTCCTCTCGTTTCCGCACGCAAACAGCCGCGTCCCTGCCGATTTTCGAGCCCTCGGGTCGAAGTTGCCTGCAAGTGGCTGGGGCGGCGGGTGCAAGTGGCTAGTATGTCTTTCACCGAGCGCTGCAGCAGCTTTTGCAGACACGCCACGCGGCGGTATAGGTTTGAAGGCTGGCAGGGCGATATTTCTGCAGAATATTTGGCTTGCACGCATCGGATCCACGCGTTCGCGCTAGGAAGCCTTCAAAAACAAGGGAGAGCAGACAGTAGCATCTGCGCGCATATCGCGCGCGAACAGCTGCTCGCAAGATTCAATAGCGATCGCGTTGGTGCTTCAAGATCGCATTAGCGCTTCAAGAGTGCAAAGCAACGCTATCATGGCGCCCGGTGGATCGCGTCGCACTGCACGCTCAACACTCATCAAGCTGCTCAATTACCACTGGGTGCTGCTGGGTCCCGCCAACATTTTCAAGGTAAGCTACGTGAATAAGCCAAGCCCCGCCGCGAAATTCGTCGTCGTGCCGCCGGCGGAGACGTGCCAGGCGGATTGCAAGATCGCGCGCATGTGGGCGTGCTTGTTCTGGGGCCTGCAGACGCTCGTGGTAGCCCGTGCACAATCCAAATCATTGCGTCGACCTCACGCTATCGACGCGTCTCTCACCACTCGACTCTATTCCCGCGCAGGTCGCCGCGGCGATCGTGCAAAATAAAATATCCGACGAAGCCGCGGCGGCGGCGAAGCTCTACGTCGGGGTGGCGCTCGTCGTAGCCTTTGCGTCGGACGTTGTTCGCGAGCCGGTCGCGTGCGCCGGCGGCATCGAAATCGTATGCGGGGTGCTGCTGCTCCTGCGGGCACGGGAGGCGCGTGAGTGGGCGGAGACGCGCCGTCGACTCGTCCGGGAGGGAACCCTCGCGAAGGATAAGTAATGTGTCTTACTCACACCATACTCGACGAGCCCGACATCTCGAAGCCCTCGTCGTCCGGGTCGTCGCTGACCGAGATGATCGTGTCGCTCCCCACGCCGCCATAACGCACCGGAGTCCTGCAAAACGTACTCTTGCACTGTATGCCGCACAACACGAGCATCGCGAGCGACGCTCCCAAAAGGAAGAACACGTACCCCGTCGGCAGCATGCGCGCCGACGGGTCCTCGCGCGCCTTGCGCTCTGACGCAACAGGAGCCGGCGTCGGCGTCGCGCACATGCCGCACGCCGCCTTGCAGGCCTCGATGGCGTTTCTGCCGTCGGCGCCTTCGGTGTCGCACCGCGAGAACTTCTCGGCGACCCACGCGCACGCTTTCGTCTTGCTCCCAAGTTTCTGCCACTGCGGGTCGTCGGCGCACGACGCCGCGTCGGCTTCGTCGTCGTCGTCGTCATTTTCCACGCCGTTGTCGTCGACCTCGTCGTCGTTGTTGAACGCGGTCGGGCCGTCGTCGCCCGCGGCGCCCTCCGCCGGGAAGGGGTCGACGTCGTCCATGATGGGACCGTCGGGTCCCTCGGAATGCGGCCACGACGGCGCTCCCACGCAAAAGCCGCAGGCCGCTTCACAAGCCTCACCGGATCGGCGGCCGTCGGCGCCCATCTCGAAGCACCGGTTCCGCGGCTCCTCCGCCGCCCAGGCGCAGCCGTGGGGCCCGTCCGCGGCCTCGTGCTTCCGTAGCCAAGTGTCGTCGTCGCGCTCGTCGTTCTGGCAGACGCCCAAGCATTTCCCGCAGGCCGCCGGGCAATTGAGGAAGCGCCCATCGTTATTACAGCGCGTGTCGGGGTCGAGGCGCAGCCACGCGCAGTCGTGGACCTTCCCGCTCGACGTCGTCGTGTACCAGTTCAGGTCGTCTTTCACGCCGGCGGGGCACGGTGGTATTTGCGCGTCTCCGCCGATGCACGCGGCGGCGAGGAGCAGGAAGGCGGCGCGCGGCATGATATACGACGACGCGTCACGCCGAGCGAGCGTCGGGTCAAACAGGTTAAAGTTTGATCGATAATTAGAAGAGGTCGTTTGGCCCACAGACGTCGCGCGAGAGAAGCAGAGCTCCGTAACTGTAACGCTTCGTCTCTGTGACCGTGAGAATACCCCGTACCGCGATGCCGGCCGAAATCGGTTTTGCTAGTCCCAGGGGCAAAGACACACTAGGAAGTGAAAGACGATTTTCGCAGAGCTTGCAGAGGCAGCCCCCCAAGCGCCACGGGGCAGCAAATGCAAAAGGAATGCAGCACTAGTCGCCGCTGAAGCTCCACGCACACGCCGTCGAGCAACAGCTCCACCAGGAGCAAAAAGCCTCTCTTGGCAGAGCATATCATGCAGGACGTCGCCCCGCGCTGGTTGGGTGACGACGAGACGGCGGTCTGCCTCGGCTGCCACGCGCCCTTCGACGGCTGGAACTGGCGGCACCACTGCCGGAAGTGCGGCGGCATTTTTTGTGATGCGTGCTCGCCCTACAAGTGCTTGATTCATCCGGCGGACGTCGTCTACCCGCCGGACTGGGACTCGCTGCTGTCTACTTTTGATCCCCGGGAACCATTAAGGACCTGCGCCGCGTGCCGCGAGGCCCTGCTGCCGTACCAGGACGACTTGAGGAAGACGTGCTCGAACGCGTCGCAGACCACCGAGGTCGACCGCGCGGACGTGGCACGGTACCTCAACGTGCCGCTCCAGTTCGACATGCGGTCCGAGATCCAGAAGGCGACGCACACGCTCCTAAACTTCTGCGCCGACAACGCGCTCGAGGGCGCATCCGACCAAGTCCCGGCCGACCTCATCGCGTCGGCCTGGGGCCTCGCCTTCCTCACGACGATGCAGGCGGGCTTCTTCTTCTCGGCGCGCGTCGGGAGCGGTCTGGTGATAGCGCGGACGCGGGACGGCGGCTGGAGCGCGCCGTCGGCCGTCTGCACGGCCGGCGCGGGCTGGGGCCTGCAGATCGGCGGCGAGGTGACGGACATGCTCGTTGTCCTGAACTCGCAGGACGCCGTCGACGCCTTCGCGTCGACGGCGCAGATGTCGCTGGGCACCGAGATCGGCATGGCAGTGGGCCCGTTCGGGCGGTCTGCCGAGACTGCGGTGACGGCTGGCGACGGCGGCGCGTCGGCGGTCTTCTCCTACGCCCACTCCAAGGGCCTGTTCGCGGGCGTCGCGCTCCACGCTTGTGTCGTGCTCGCGCGACCGGACTGCAACGAGAGTTTTTATGGTGCGGACCACGCCGTCGACGCGATCTTGTCCGGCGCCGTCGAGCGGCCGCGCGCGGCGCAGCCGCTCTACGACGCGCTCGACGAGGTCCTGGCCGGCGAGCGGCCCTTCGGCGAGCACGGCGAGGGCCGCGGCGAGTGGCTGGCCGAAGCGGCGGCGACGCGCGACGAGTACGGCGACGCCTCCGACGACCCTTTCGCGCCGCGCGTCGACTGCCCTTCCCAGGTCGCCGCCGACGAGGCGCTCGCGCGGCGCCTCGCCGCCGAGGACGAGCGGCCCGCGGACGCCTGGGCCGACGCGCCGGCGCCGCCGAAGGACGACGGCTGGGCGCGCGAGCGCGAGCGGCGGCGGCGGCGCGCCGACGACGACGGGCCGAGCGAGGAGCTGCGCGAGTTCTCGGGCGAGCGGAAGGGAGACGACCTCGACGAGATAGACATCTAAATTGTGTACTACTTACCTATGCGGCCGCCTGGGCGCGGATCTCGACGAGCCAGGAGTGGCCGAGCTTGGCCTGCACGCAGGCGCGCGTCGGCTTGTCTGTTCCAAGCCATGCGTCATATACCCCATTCATGCCCTCAAAGTCCCGCTCGATGTCTCGCAGATATATGGTCACCGACAGCAGCTTGTCGCGCGACGAGCCCGCCTCCGTCAGAATGGCGTCGAGCTTGGCGAGTGCTTGCGCAGTTTGCTCGGCGATCGACGACGCGGCGTCCGTGCCCACGAGCCCTTGCGTCTCGATGCGGCCGGCGTGCTTGACCCATTTGCTCATGCGCCACGCCTTGAAGCCCGGTGCGCGCTCGATGAGTGCATACGACCGTCGGGCACGTATGCGCTCCAGAACGACGCCGACGATTGCCGCGGCGGCGACCGACGCGAAGTGGGAGAGAGCTTTTAATTGCATCTTTAGCTCTTGCGCAGAGGACTGCCACGGCAAAAATGATGATGTGCAATGCAGCTCTCAGCTCTCACTCTCTGCTCTCTGCTCTCAGCGATGCACAGCGTGCACAGCAATGAGCAAAGGCGTCGTAGGGATGCGCGGCGCGTCGCTGTGCGGATGCAGCTGATGCAACTGGGTCTGAGCTTGCTTGCCGGGCTGCACACAAGCTGAAAGCTGCAATGCTAGCTGATCTCGAGTCTCGATACTCGAGTGTGAGGGCTTGGGTTCGGGTTTTTTTCTCAGGGAAGCGGAGCCATATCTCGGACCGACACCTCCTCAATTTGCACCCGCAGGATTCCCTTGAAGCGCGACTAAAACTAGCGCGCTGAGATCCAATGCAGCGCATGCACAAAGCGTAGCTGCATATTGCAATATCGCTGCGAGATCACGGCAGCCTAAGCTGCGATTTTGGGCACAACAGGCGGTGCCCCACCAGATTAAGGGCTGCCCTTTCCGCAACATGGCGAGGGTCGCGCCCGCAACGAAGGCATCGTCATCCACTAAGGCCGCGGTGGCCGTCGGCGCAGCGGCCGGCGCCGGCGCCACACTCACGGCGTCGCAGACCGACGTCCTCGGACCGCTCTCTGGAATTCTGGCGGCACTCCCAGCGGTCGCGCCGCCGCCGCTCAACATGTGTCTGATGCCGTTTGCGCATGGATTAGCCGAACTCGGCCTCGCGGTGCGCCAGGTGCGCTTCAACAAGGAGGCCGCGGCGCTGCTGCAGCGCCGCGGAGTTGAGATCGCCCAGAAGCTCCAGGACGTCGTCAAAGCGACGCAGGGCCTGCCGACGGGACAGGTCGAGGCCGTCGCTCGGACGGTGACGGCCATCGGCCAGGCGCTCGACGAGGCGGCGAAATTTATTCAACAATTCTCGAAGAAGGGCGCGTTCGCGAAGCTCTGCTCCGGCTCGCTCGACGCGCGGCGCTTCGGCCTCCTCGACAAGCGGCTCTGTGAGCTCAGCAACGAGCTCGGCTCGGCGTTGGACCTCCAACAGCTCGCGCTGCAGGCGCAGCGCTTCGAGAAGATCGAGGGCTTGATCCAGCTTCTGGGCCAGCAGACGGTCGACGCGAACAACCAGGCGGCGGCGCAGCGGGCAGCGATCATGTGCGGCATCCCGAAGGGCAGCGCCGTCGAGCGCGAGGAGCTCTCGGCGCTCGGGCTCAAGCTGGACCGGATCGCCGAGGACGTGAGCACAGTCATCGACCAGAACGCGCGCCAGCAGGATTCGCTCGACGAGCTCAAGGCCGGGGTCCAGCAACTGCTCGCGAACGAAGCCGCGGCGCAGGAGCGCTTCATGTACGATCCGTACGACTCGGACGACTCGGACCAGGAGGCGTCGCTCCTGGGCGAGGGCTCCTTCGGCACGACGCACAGGATGAAGAACAAGGACGACGGTCGCCTGTACGCCGTCAAGCTCATGAAGATCAAAAAGACGGGCGTCGGCGTCAAAAAGCTACGGGAAGAGGCGGCACGGCTCTCGATGCTGAACCATCCGAACATCGTCCGCTACTTCACAGCCTTTCGCTTCAAGAAGGACAAGTTTTATGCGATTGCCATGGAGTTTCTGGCCGGGGGCTCGCTACTCGCCCGCATCGAGCGGGAGCGCGGGCCTCTCACGTGCGGTCAGCGAGAGCGCGAGGAGCAGACCTCGCAGTGGGCGCGGCAGGTCGCTTCGGCGCTCGCGTACATGCATGGCCTGCGGATGCAACATCGCGATCTGAAACCGGACAACGTGCTCTTCGACGAGCACCAAAACGCGCGAATCATCGACCTGGGGCTCGCCGAAGTCGTCCTCGCCAAGAGCAAGGTCTCTTCGGCGGGCGGCGCCAACAAGGTCGGCGCTGACATGTACCGATCCCCGGAGAAGGCGATGGGCAGGGCCTACGACGGCAAGGACGACGTCTGGGCCCTGGGGTGCATGCTCGGCGGCGCGGTCACGGGAAAGCTTGTAGAGGCTCGCAGCACGGGTGTTTTCGCGCTCGACCCCAAGGCCGTGAAGGCGCTGATCGACGAGACCAACGCCGCGTCGGCCAGGTTCGGCTGCCTTGTCGCCGCGATGCTCGAGCATAATCCGATGAAGCGACCCGCGGCGCAGGGCGTCGAGTGGGCACTCGCAACCGGCGCATCGGTATTCGCGGGTGGCGCCACGATCGTCGAGGAGGAGGAGGAGGACGAGGAGGACGAGGCCGAGGCCGAGCAGCGGCGCCGCGCAGCCGAAGCCGAGGCCGCCAGGGAAAGGCGGCAACGCCTCGCCGCCGAAGCAGAGGCGAAGGCCGCTGAGGAGAGGCGGCAGCGTCTCGCCGCCGAAGCACAGGCCGCCGAGGCAGAGCGGAAGCTTCGCGCCGCTGAAGCGGCCGCCGAGGAGAAAAAGCGGCGCGAAGCCGCCGCCGCCGCCAAGGCCGAGGAGGAGAAGCGAAAGCGCGGCACGATAGAGGATCTCGGGTGCTTTACCGGTGGACCACGTCTCAACCACGGCAGTGCCGCACTGGGGTGGAAGTATCATTCAAACGATGAGATCGCTCGCTGCTTCCAAGATCGCTTCTTACCGGAGCTCCAACGCAACGGCGGCGTGGGGTACTTCGGCATTGAGTGCGGAGGCGAAATATTCTGGTGCTTTGAGAAGGACCGTCATCGACTCTCGGAGGGTGGTCGTCACAGGAAAGGCGATCACGGTTATCACCACACCGGGCGCAACCACCAGAACATTAGAATTCCCGGTTTCTCAGGCGCAATTAACCACATCGGTGGAGACGGTGAGCTCCAGATACACAAGGTCACGCTCGGCGGCTCCGGGCAGGCGTGCCACGGCGGCAAGGAGCACTACAGCAGGGCCGCGAAGAAGCTGGAAGACGCGCAAAAGCTGGACCAGTTCGCCCATCACATGCAGACGGTCCAGACCGTCGGGCTTTTCAACCGCGCCACCGGCCGTTGGGTGCGCGTCACCGACCACGGCGGTGCCGACAGCCCGGCGATTGGCGGGTTTAATCAGGGCTGGATGTGGGAGCGCTTCGAGATGCATAACGTCGGTCACGGGCAGATCGGGCTCTACAACTACAAGACTGACCGCTGGCTGCGTGTCAACGACCATGGCGGCGCCGACTCACCGGCCAAGGGCCAAGCGTTTAATCAGGGCTGGCAGTGGGAGCGCTTCGTCGTGAGGCATAATCGCGACGGCACCGTGGGCTTGCACAATCCGGCGACCAACCGCTGGCTGCGCGTCACCGACCAGGGCGGCGTGGACAGCCCTGCGATGGGGCATTGGCAGCACCAGTGGCAGTGGGAGCGCTTCGAGCTGCGCCCGGTGCCGCCGCTTCGCACCGTCCAGGACGTGCGTGGGCAGGCCAATGAGGCGGCCCACGAGGCGCAGCGCGAGGCGGACCGCGGGTTGGACGCGGTCGGCGGCGGCGTACCCACGGCGAATGCGACGCTCGAGTACATGGGCCTGTGGCGCGACGATTGGGGACGCACCTTTCCACCGATGCCGAGCCCGCTGCCAGGCTGCAAGCCCCAGGAAGGTGGCAAGTTCTACTGGTCTCGCGACGTTGCGGCGTCAGTACAGCAGCTCGTCGATCGCATCGCGCGCGAGGGCCACACCGTCGGCTATCTTGCCCTGCAGTATCCATGTGGTGAAGGCGTCGCTGTCTTTGAGTCGGTGGGTCCTGCTGAGCATTTCCGTCGGGTGGGTGCGGGGGGCTCGGCCGGCCGGAGCACCCGTGTGCGTGTGCCAGGCGTGGTGGGTGTAATCGAAGCGCAGGGTGGCGGGTTGACCAATGCCGTGTACAAGATCACGTTGTCCGGCAGCCCAGCCCGCGGCCGGGGCGCCGCGCATGTTTTCCAAGGTAAATGGAAACCAATCTGGGTGGAACATTGGGGTCATCCGGGGGGCCGTGACTCGCGCACGCATGAGACGTGGTTTGCGGACGGCACTGGCACATGGCAGACCCAAGGCTGGTCTGGTACGTTTGCGAAGGCTGAGCCCATTGCGGGCGAGAAGGGAGCCTACTTGGTGACACTTGGACCTGGTGATTATGCGGGAAGTCAGATCAAGCGCCTTACGCTTGATGATAATACGTGCCATTGGCCTGAACCAAATGAGTACTTTACGCGCGTGGAGGCCGTACCGCAGGGGACCGGTGGAGAGGTATGGGAATCGCCGCCGGACAGCTGCGCTTGTAGTATTCAATAGCGCCGAGGCGGAGCGAAGACGCCGTGCCGCCGCCGCCAAGGCCGAGGAGGAGAAGCGACGGCGCGAAGCCGAGAAAATAGACCTGTCGAAGCTCGCAGAGCTGCGGACGCTGAGAGCGCACTCGAAGACCTTGTGGCGCGTCGTCGAGGGGGAAACTAATAACTGTGTGAAGTTACCACTCCTACTACGCCGTCGGCAGCAGGAACTTCGCCCGCGTCGAGAGCGCGTCGCCGAACGCCCGCCCCGCGTCGTCGTCGCGCACGGCGACGAGCGTCTCGACGGAGAAGGCCCGCAGCGACTCGGTGGTCGACATCGTGCCCATGGCCGACGACCGTCGCCCCGAGAAGGGGAAGACGTCGGGCCCCCGCGCGCACTGCATGTTCACGTTGACCCGGCCGACGATGGTAGACAGCGCGTCGACGAGCGGCGCCGCCTTGGCCGCGTCCGACGTGAACACCGCGGCCTGCTGGCCGTTCCACGACGCCTTGACGACGTCAATGACTTCACTCACCTGCTCGAACTCGGCGACGGGCACGACGGGTCCGAACTGCTCCTCGTGGAAGAGGCGCATCGACGGGGTCACCGGATACACCAGAGCGGGGTGGTAGAGCTGGCCGTTCGTCGCGCCGCCCCGCGCGTTTTTTATAAGAGCGCCCTGGCTCGTCGCGTCCTCCACCAGCTCGGCGAGGTACTGGGGCTTGTTCGGCTCCGGGAGGGGGGTGATCTCGACGCCGGCGTCCCACGGCAGGCCCCTTGGTAACTCTTCGATGGCCTTGGACAACTTGTCGACCAAGACCGGCGCGATACTTTTCTCGGCAATCACCAACTTGATGGCCGTGCACCGCTGGCCGTTGTACGACAGCGCGCCCAACAAAATCTGGCGCACCGCCTCGTCCAGGTCCGCGTCCGCGAAGACAATCCCCAGGTTCTTCCCCTCCAACTGGGAAAACACCTTCAATCGATGCGGGTGCGGGTGCTGCTTGATGAGCGCGTCGGCGCCCTTCGACCCGCCGATGAACCCGAGGCAGTCCACCAGCCCGCCCTGCATCACGCTCGGTAGCGTTTCCCGCCCCGAACCACTGACAAAGTTCACCACACCTTTCGGTAAACATTTCTGCAGGGCGTCAATCGTCAAAACGTGCGCTAACGCCCCGATCGCCGGCAATTTCAAAATCACGGGGTTTCCCATCAGTAACGCGGGCATCATCATCGCGTACATTTCATTTAAGGGGTAATTGTAGGGCGCCAGCATCAACGTCACGCCTACCGGGCCCCGTCGGACTCGTGCCCTTACGCCCGAGACGCCGGTCCATCTTCCAAATTGCTCCGTCGCGTCGGTTTGTAAAGCTTGATCTACGACGGTCCGCGCGAAGGCCACGGTCCTATCAAATTCTTTTGTCGCGTCCTGCTTGGTCTTGGCGATCTCCCACATGAGGACCTCGATGATTTCGTCGCGCTTCGTTTTTTCGAGCTCGTCGAGGAACGCGCGGATCGCTGCCGCTCGTTCCTTGAGCGACGCCTGGGGCCAGGGCCCCTGGCCCCGGTCCCAGGCCTCGCTCGCCGCGTCGGCGGCCCAGCTCGCCGCCGTCGCGTCCATCTGCGCGAGGCGGCCCAGGACCGCCTTCGCGCCGGTCGCCTCGTCAAACACCGGGCTCGTCACCTCGGCGACGCGGCCGTCCCAGGGCTTTCTCGCTCCACCAATGAACAGGTTCGAGCCGCCGTCGACGGAGGGCTTCGTTCGCGTGGTTGTTAAAGGCGGCAGCGCCTCGCAGGCGCGCTCCGCCGCCGCGGCCGCGCTGCATGCGAGGAGTGCGAGGGTGAGGCGCATCTGTGCAGAGTGGCAAGGGACGCAGCGATGCGCCGCGCGCAGCCGCTTGTAATCCTCGCAAAGTGCTGCTGCTGCTGCTCGGCTTGCTAGTGTCTTACAGACGCTAGCTAGCCCACACCCAAAACCGGTTTTGAGAGGCGCTAAAAGCAACGAGAAGAGCCCATCGATCGCAAACGTAGAGAAATCACTTGCTCATCCACGCTGTAGCGACTGTGGCCCTGAACACTCACAGCAGTGGTTGATCTCAAAAGCCACCTCATTGAGCCCTCCAGCACAGCTGCCGCACGGCTGCCTCTCGGCTCACGCAGCGCAGCCAAAGACGCGCACACGCATCAGAAATCAACAGCTGTAAGATGGCCTGGCGCCGCTTCGCCGCCGCGGGTCTCGTGCCGGGCTCGCTCGTCGGCTGGGAGCTCTTTGCCTACGGCAAGCAGAGGCAGAAGTTCGACGACGCCAAGAAGACACGGCCGAAGCCCCTCGTCGAGGGCTCGACGGCGTGGCTCATCGAGCGCGACGCGCGGACGCTGGACCTCGTCTGCGTGCGGCACAAGGCGCTCGACCGCGGCCCGGCGGCGGCCCTCGCCGACGCCGCCGCCCGCGTCGACGAGGCCTACCCCTACGACGGAGTCGGCGTCGTCGTCGTCGAGCGCGACGGCGTGAGCCGCGTCCTGCGCGCGGACCTCAACGGCACGGTCACGGCGACGCCGCTCGCGAGCCTCCTGCGCGACCACGCCGCGTTCGCGGAGGTCGCGCTCGTGCCGCTCGTCTGGAACGAAGACGACCGCGAGGCGATCGCGACGCCGGCGCGCCGCTTCTTCGCCGAGGCGCTGCTGCGGTGCGGGAGCGGCGGCGCGCCGCGCTTTGCGCCCTGGGCCGCGCTGCGCGACGCACGCGTCGCGCCGCTATTGCTCCCGCGCGCGAGCTGGCCCCGGCTCCCGCGCGCGGCGCCGCTCGACGCGCGCCTCCGCGACGCCGTCTCGCCGGGCGCGACGCTCGCGCTGGAAGCGCTTGCGGCCTGCGACGTCGTCCGAACGGACTACGTCGACGGCTGCGCGTCCGTGCCGGCCGACCTGTTGACGGGGCGCGTGCCGCTGCGGCGGGGCGCGCGCTACGCGCCGGAGCGGCGCGTGGATGTTGTTGTTGGGAACGCGGCTTCTTCCGACACCTAATAGATACGTTATACTTAGTTCATACACAGGTCAACAAGCATACATGTCGCCTTCAGAGCTCTTGCGGGGGGCATTCTGGTTGACACCACTTGCGAATCAGAGCTCGCCCCGGGCCGCGGTGGGCTTGGGCGACGCCTCCTCGGCCTCGTGGGGAATATGGAAGGAGCGTGTGCGGCGGCCCTCGAAGAATGACGTCAGTTCCGCGGCGACCTCGTCAGGCTTCTGCGCCTGGAGGAAATGGCCACAGTCGAGCGCCACGCTCCGCGACCCGTCGGTCCGCTCGCGGAGCTCGGCGAGGAAGCGGTCCGTGTGGAACATCATCCTCTTCCGCGTGCCGTAGATGAACAGCGTCGGCATGCTTGGCATCGCCGGCAGCCAGGCCCGGCCCAACAAAAGGTCCGTCCAGAGTACGAAATAAGGGTAGCAAGTGCGGAAGTCCGGCTTGGCCATCCACTCCATAACGCCGGTGGGCAAAACCGTTTCGTGATTGCATGGCCCGATGGTCTGCCAGGGAAACAGCGCGTTCGCGAGCCAGGCGACGGGCCGGAGACCAATCGCGTCCATCACAAAGCACCAGGCCAAGAAGAGCTGGTAGGTCGGTCCTACCACGTACTCCGCGAGCGACTGTTTATCACTCATCTTCTGATGGCCGATGTCCAGTAAGGCCAGTTTCGCGACCTCGGTCGGGTGTTTGTCCGCGTAGAGCAGACCTAAATATGCGCCCCAATCGTGTGCCACGAGAAACAGGTCGCCGTGCGGCTGGGCTTCCACTGCGTCGTGCATTTTCTCAATGAGCACCTTGAACGACAGGCCCCACTTCTCGGAGACCGGCGCGCCCTCGTAGCCGGGCAGCGCCAGCTTGAGGACAGCGTGCGTGCCTTCGAACGCCGGCGCGACGCTGTCAAAGGAACGCGTGTCGTCCGGAAACCCGGCCAGGAAGACGACCATCGGCGTCGTCGGCGACGGCGCCAGGCCTGAGAGCCGGGCGGGGAACGCGTCCGAGCTTTGCGCGCCGGCGGCGTCCGGACTTTGCGCGCCGACGAGCGTGAGAGCGAGCAGGCCGACGAGGCTGCGCATGATGCTCGGCTGGCGAGTGCTGGCACGCTGCAGCTGTGCCTTGTAAATGTGGCCCCTGTGCTCTCCGTGCGCCTCACGATCACTGATGATTCGGCGCGCAAGCTTGTCGCCGTATAAGAAGAAGATAATTTGACCTTGCAACGAAGCTCAGACGTGCCCGCCTGGCTACAAAGCGAATGGCAGCCGAGCCTTGCTGCTTGCTAGTGTCTTACCGGCCGCTAGCGTTACCCGTCGCCGCCGTAAAAGAGAGCACAACTTAGTCCGAGCCCAACACTACTCCGCCGCCGCCGCTTCGCCCTCCTCCGCGACCTCCTCGACCGGTGGCTTCTGCATGACGCAGAGCGTGTAGTTGCCGACCTGCGAGATGATCATCTCGTAGTTGTCCGTCTTCAATCGCACGCTCTCCAATTCATTCTCCGGCGCTTCAAACAACGTCCGGATGTGGTCCCGCGCCTTGTTCATCAGGTCGAGGGCGTGATATGCATGATGAATACCTGTGCGGAAATCAAAATTTGACGGCGCGTTCGTGCTGAATCGCCGCGTCGTCCTCCACGCCGTCGACGCGACGCCTGCTCGATGGCGTGGCGATGCCGATTCCTCGCCGCTCGCCGGAGCCAGCGCGGCCACGTCGTCGCCGAGAAATGACTTAGTGAAGATTTGTCGGGTGCACCCGACTCACTGGTTGATTTCCACACAGATGAATACCTAGCTTGTCCGCCGCTCCCAGGTTCTCGTGCCGCAACACGACGCCATCATTATTGCAGATGACAAACCCCCCAAAGCCCTCGACCTCCTTCATCTTGTTGATGACCTCGTCCACGGGGTGGACCGTGTCCTTCATGGTGTCGTTTCAGCCTCACGACGCCGCAGAGAGGCTGCCCCAACTAGGTATGTAGCGCTGCGCGACGACGACGTTACGTACTGCTCACACGGTGTGCTGCGAGGCGTCGCGTACGACGTAACGCGTCTGCTGGCTTCGTGCCTCGCGTAACAGCGCGGGCCGCGGGGCGCCGGGCAGGGCAGCTGGCGCTATAGCCAGTGTTTACCCCAACCCGAACCGCGGTCGACGCCGCCGCGGCCTCATTGTACGAATCCCGGAGACGTCTCCTAGCCCTCTTGGAGACCATGGACGCATGCGCGCGCCGCCAAGGCGCGGCCGATGCCAGATTTTGGCCGCGCTAGACGCTCCCAAAAGGGCTGCCCCACACGCCCGCCTGTGTGTCGCACAGCTCGACGAACGCGACCAATAAAAGCCACCGCCGCGAAGTGCAGTCGTTCGATTCTCGGCGCCACCACAGCCCCCTCACCACAGACGAGCCGCTTGAGTGATGGGCCTCTTCGGCACCGGCTGGAAGCGGTATGGGGGCTGCCCGCGGACCGAACCCGTAAGGAAAGAAAAGTACAACTACGCGCTGTCGCAGTTCGAGATCTTCGAGACCCTGGGCACCGGTACTTTCGGTAGGGTACGATTAGTTAGATGTATGGAAGAGGACTCGTACTACGCCCTGAAAATGGTAAAAAAGGAATATATCCTCAAGATGGACCAGTTAGATCATATGTGTAATGAAGTAAGGTTGTTAAGGATCCTGCAGCATCCCTTCATCGTCGACTTGCGAGCGCACTTCCAGGATGAATTAAGGTTGTACTTGCTGATGGAATTAGTTATAGGGGGCGAGCTCTACGCATTGTTGCGCAATTCCGGCAAACTGTCGAACGATAGGGCCAAGTTCTACGCCGCCGAAGTTGTCTTAGCGTTTCAATATTTACATGGCATGTACATTGCCTATCGAGGCTTGAAGCCGGAGAACATCCTCATCGACATCAACGGCAACATTAAGCTGTGCGATTTTGGATTTGCCAAGGTCGTCGAGGAAAGAACTTTCACGAACTGCGGAACTCCGGAATACACGGCACCAGAAGTCATCAACGGGTTAGGACATGGTAGATCCGTGGACTGGTGGGGCCTCGGGATTCTGATTTTCGAAATGACGGCCGGGCACCCGCCCTTCTTCGACCAGTCGCCCTTTGGGGTTTACGAAAAGATCCTCGCGGGCAAGTTCCAGGTCCCGCCGCACGTCGATGACAAGGCTTCTTCTATCTTGAAGAAGTTGATTGTGCGGGACCGGACGAAGAGGCTAGGCTGCCGAGATAGAGGGGCCGATGAACTGAAGGCGCACTCGTGGTTCGCCAAGGTCAACTGGGACGCCTTGTACTACGAGCAGGTCAAGGCGCCGTACGTGCCGGAGATCGGCGCGCCGAACGACACGCGCCACTTCGACCGGTATCCCGACTCGGAGCCGGGCATCGAGGAGCCTCTCGATGGGAAGGGCCAGGAGAAGTTCCACCAGTTCGACACGTTCTGATGGGCTTTCGTCGTGCGTGTTCCTTCGCGCAGAGTCTTCCACGCCATCGCCGCGACGGCGCACCAGGACTAAGTATGTTTGTGAATGACAACAGAAAACTTAAACTAGCTCTTCTCGAGCGCCGCGATCTCGCGCCGCAACTCCGCGACGCGCGCGGCGTCGCCGGCCTGCTGAGACTGCGCCAGCTGCCGCCGCTTGAACGCGAGGCGCGTCGGCGCGTCGAGCGCGCGACGTCTCTCCTCGCGCTGCTTACGAATCGCGTCACGCCGTTCGGCCTCGCGCGCCTCCTCGTCGGCATTTCTTGCGTCGGTCTGGTCGGCGTAGTAGTTCGCAACACAAACAGCCCCCAACGCCGCGACGCCGCCGCCGAGCCACATGTCGCGCCCGAACAAGAACGCGAACGGGTCCGCCGACCGTGGCGGCTCCTCCGGCGGCTTCCGTGGTGCGCCGAAGCGTCGGTTTTGCGGCGCCCGCCGCATGGGCTGTGGCCTGAGGATGCGTCGTGTCCTGGCGAGCATCTGTGCGGCGCGAATTGCAGTCGTCTTGGTGCTGCACAGAGAGTGCACTGCAGCAATACCGCGCCGATCGCCCGAAGCGATTGAGAATCCGCTTGGGATCTATGAGCAGGGTCGATGGCGTGCTGGAGAGCGCGCTTGCACTGCGCAGATGATGACTATAGCCGGAGCGTGTCGACGTCTCATGTGATCAGGCTGAGAGGGGGTTTTGCTGAGTATGTCTAGCTGGCCAAAATGCTGACCTCGCCGTCGCAGGGCTTGTCAGCCCGGCGCATTATGGCCTAGCATTATTGCCATCGCAGCGAATCCACGCAACACTACGGATGGCAGAGCACGCTGAAGCGCAGGAGCGCCGAGCAGCCGAGCTGGACGCCATCGCAGCGATCTACGGGGATGACGTGTGCTCGCGTTCCGAGAACAGCATCTCCGTGCGCGTCGACGGCCTTGTTGTGAATGTTGTTCTGCCCGACGGCTACCCGGGCCGCGCAGCGCCGATCGTGGACGTCGACGCGGCACAATTGCCGCGATCGGTGCGCGAGGACGTCGCGAGCCGGCTGAGCTCCTTTTGCGACAATGAGGAGTGCGTTCTCGCGGTGCTGCAGGAAGCGGGGCCCTGCTACGCGGCGGCCACCGAGTCCGCCTCTGTCGTCAGCGAGCCCACGGCGCCGCCGATGTACTGTGTTATTGTGATTGACCACATGAACGACGCGCGACCGTACGCCGAGCGCCTGAAACGATGGGCGGGCGGCCTGCGAGCCGTTTTGTTTTCGCGCCTGGCGCCGACGGCCGTGGTTCCCGGCCGCCGCGAGGGCGCAGCGCTCGTGCTCCAGGGAGACGATGCTTTGATTGGTGGTCTCCTCACGAGTCTGCGCAGCGAGGCCGTCGACCGCGACCGCAGAGGCCGGCCGTGCAAGGAGCGACAGGCGAAGGTGCTCCGCCGGTCGGCGATGACTCCGGCGGACGTGGCGCTCGTCGAGCCGTGGCGCGAGGTGACGTACGACGGGGGCCGCGCGGCCGGCGACGCGCTCGTCGAGCGGTGCCTGGACGGGGATTGTAGTTAAGTTGTTGTGTTTTCGGACGGTACTTCTTAGGTGTTCGCGCGGCGACGGCCCTCCACTACAAGCGGCGGCGCGCGGCGCGGTCTTGGGCGCGAGCCCTGTGCTCACGCCTTGGGCTCCTCGGCCTTGGCCGGCTCCGCGACGGGCTCCGCGGCGGGCTCCTTGGCGGGCTCGGCGGCCTTGGGCTCCTCGGCGGGCGCCGCGGCGGCCTCCTTGGGCGCCTCGACGGCGGCCTCCTTGGCGGGCTCCTCGGCGGGCTTGGCGGCCTCGGGCTTGGCGGGCTCCGCGGCGGCGGCCTGTGTGCAAACCGGTCGACCGCTGGGCCAGCGCAAAGCTCGATGGCGTGGAGCAAACGTTGACGACGCGGGACCGGGACCTCCTTGGCGGGCTCGGCCGCGGGCTCGGCCGGCTTCTCGGCGACGGCGCCCTCGCCCGACTCCTTGCGCTTGGGCTCCTCCGTCGAGGCGGGCGCCTCGACGACCTTCGTCGGCGAGGCCTTGCCCTCGACGGAGGTCTTGGCCTTCTTGGCGGCGACGACCGGCTCGGCGGCGGCCGGCGCGGCGTTGGTGTTCTCGGCGAGGGCGGGGGACGACATGGTTGGGCTGCGCGCGTGGAGGGCGTGGTGGCGATGGCGTAGACGGGGCGAATTGATTTTGCGCTGGCGCGTACGGTGTGCGGCGGCGGGAAGAAGATTTGTTACCTGCGCGGGAAACGAGGTCAAAAAGCAGCGCAGCGCTGCGCTGCGGCTGCGGCGGCGCGTGTGTGAGCGCGCGCGCTGCGGCATCGCGCCGGCGCCGCGCGCCTTTGAATGAATTCTTGGCGCCTCCTGCTTTCGCAGCGCGGCAGACGCGGCGCCACGGCGCCAAAGGCGTGGGGGGCTTCTCATGTGTCTGAGAGTCGCGCGCAGCGGGCGCTGTGTGTTGCGGAGTATTTATGTGCTTATACGCCGCGCGAGACACAAGGCGCCGCGGACGAGTCGAGGGACCGTCTCGTCTCGACCGCCCACACGAAAGTCCGCAGAAGACCGACACCACACCTCTCCAGGACGCACTAAGGGCCCTCGAGACCCGTGTCGGCCCGAGAGCCGGTTGGTCGCCGCACGTCGCACCAACAAAGCCAAGACTCACAACAAAGAAACCTACTCCCCCCCACCACCACCGACCCCATCCAGCAGCCTCCGCATCTCCTCCACGAGAGCCGGCGGGCAGGCCGGCTCGCGCGCCTCGAGGAACCGCAAGACCACCCGGAACTGCTCCCGCGCGCCCTGCTTGTCGTCCAGCAACGCCAGCGTCCCGCCGAGGGCCCGTCGCGCCGCCAGGGCCAAAGCGTGGTCCTTCGATAAGCCCGTCGCGGCGCGGTGCACGGCGCGCTTCTGGACCTCGGACGCAGTTTTTAACGTGTACTCGCGGCCCTCGGCGACGTCGCGGAGCATGGCGCCGATCTTGAGGAGCGCCGTCGCCGCGGCGACGTCGTTCGGGTGTTCTTGGGCGATGGACTCTTTATAAGCTTGCAGAGCCGGCTCTAGGCCGCAGTCATCTAGCCTCAACTCGCTATCCTGGAGTAAGGCGTCAATATACAAAGCGTCCTCGCTGATGGCTTTGTCTGGTGGATGATACACACCAGTGACGCGAGAAGTATTCCTAGAAGCCGCCTGGCGCCGCTTCAGCTCCGAGACTCGAGCCTCCAAGGTCCGTATCTCGTCCTCCATGTCGGCGTAATCCCGCTCGACAAACGAAGAGGGCCGCTTCAGCACCGGTGCCGGTTCAGTAATCGTGGAGATTTCCTCGTCCAGGATCTTTTGAGCGGCGCTCAGACTCCCAAGATGCTGTTTCCCGCGTTTCTGGTCCAAATTTTCTGAAGACAAATCGGGATCGGCAGCCCGTTCCCCCCAAGCTAATTTACCTTCCATCCCCAATTCCTTCGCCTTCGCGGCCGTCTCAGCAGCGTCGGCATAGAACGTCACCATGCCAAATTGCACAAAGTCCGCCAGTTCCCCGACATTTACTACTTTATCCCCATCATCGTCGATGGCGCGCATGAAGGCCTGGATCATGTCATTCGGTAAGTCATTTTCCGAGACCTTGAGTTCGAGTCTGATGAGGCGCGTCAATTCTCCTTCGTCCAGATCACCGCTCCCATCCTTGTCGAACTTCTGGAAGATCTCCAGAGGGTCTGCGCCGAAGGTCGCGGCCTGCAATTTACCTTGTAGTTTCTTCATGAGATCCTCATCAAAATCGGGCCGCCTTTTCTTCGCCAACCGCGCCTTCCTATCCTCCTTAGCAGCTGCTGATTCCTCAGCTCTTTCCCCCCATTTCAAGCGCTGTCGGTCCGGCGATAACGATCTAGAACGTTCCGAAGCGGTCTCGCTATCGGCGTAAAACGTCGCGGTGCCAAACTCGACGAAGTCGGCCAATTCCTCTAAACCCAGCGTGCCGGACTTGTCGTCGTCGACGGCGCTCACGAACTGCTTGATGTCGTCATCTGTCAACTCGGAGGAGGCTATCTTCAATTCTTTGCGTACTAATGACGTTAACTCCGAGGCATCGAGTAACCCATCTCCCGATTTATCAAATGATTTAAATAACTCTGACGGTGAAGAACCAAAAGTAGCGGCCTGCAGCTTGGTCCGGAACTTCTCCATGAGGTCTTCGTCCAATTTTTTTCTTTTCTTCGCCCTAGATTTCCTTTTTATCGACTTCATGGCCTCGGAGTCTCCCTTGGACTCGCCCCATTTTGTTGTACTGCCGTCTCGCGTGACCTCATTCCCGTAAAACGTCGCAGCACCGAACTCGACGAAGTCCCCGAGCTCCTCGATACTAATACTCCCGGAATCGTCATCATCGAGAGCCTGCACTAACGCAGATATATCTTTCTCACTCAGTTCTTTCTTCGTGATCTTGAGGGACGTCCGTATCAACTTCTCGAGTTCTTTGACCGAGAGGTCGCCGCTCTTATCTTTGTCGAACTTGCTGAAGAACTTGCTCGGCTTCGTGTCCATGCATGCTGCTCTTAGTTTGGCTTGGAGCTTATCAATAATTTTTTGATCAGGTAACTTCCTGCGCTTCTTCTTGAGTTTCGGTTTATTCTCGGTGTCCTGGACTCTGTTGGCGGCCACTACTTTTTTGCCGGCATCCTTCAGCTTGTTGGGTTTCGCGAAGGCGTCGGCCATCCTAGCTGTGTCGCGGCGGCGGGCGGGCTTGCGCTGCCCCCCTTGGGTTGTATGTAGCTGCCCCGGAGAGCTACTCGCCGCTGGCGCTGCTGCCCCCTTGGCTGCGCTGTCTCCGACGTGACCGAACAAGCGTCCTCGTGGGCGTCGGCCGCACAGGAGTCGTACGCTACGGCGGGATGCTAGCGCTCCTGCGCGTCCAGAGATGCGGACCCGCACGATTGACGAGGCGGCTATGACGTCCCGACGGGTCCTGGCGCCCGCCGGAGGCTTCTCCAGAGGGCTAAGGACGCGGCGCCTCGCGCTAGTACTCGGAGCGGCTCGCGCGGTCGCGGTGGCTACACACACAAGACACTTAAAGTCACGGCGGCTCCCACGACGTCTCGCCACTCGCCGTGTGGTACCAGAACTCGTAGCCCTCGGCCGTCCTGCTGAGCGCCCAGGCTTTGTCGGTGCGGGTCGGGTCCGTCCAGGAGCTCTCCCGCGTCGCCGTGTGGTACCAGTAGCGTTCGCCGCCTTGCGTCGTCGCCTCCGTCCACGCACCGCTGGCGCGAAGCGCCGCATCGGGATCCTCCCACCGCACCTCTCCGGTCGCCGCGTCGCAGAAATACGATCGCCCGTCGGCCGTCCGGAGCTCCCTCCAATTGCTCGACGGCGGCGCCGCGGGCGCGTCCCCGTCGCCTCCGAAGACCGCGTCGAGCAGGGCCGCGGGCTCCGGCTCGGGTGGTGGCGCGTCGCGGGGCGCGTCGTGGGCCTCAGGCGTGGGAGTGTCCTCGACGCGCGCGAAGAGTTTGGATGCCGGCGTCGAGAATGCAGGCGACACGCTCGAGCGTCGGGGAACAATGTGCGAGGGCACGCGCGGGCGCCGCGGCGGCGCGGGCGACGGCGTGGGTGCGGTTGGCGGCGAGTCCGGCCGCAGGCTCGCGGTCCAGCTCGTGAGCGTCTCTTTCTCGAGCTTGCCGCGGAAGCTCTCCCTCTTCGCAGGACTGCGTGCCATGATGGTGACCCGGGTCAGCCAGAACCTATAGCCAGAACCTAGATCGCTGCCCAAAACGACTTGCAGCTAAAGCGCCGGCTGCCCCAGCGGTCTACTACGGAAGGGTCGTGCGTGTACACGTGTCGCAGGCCCAGTTTACAAGACCAACGAGCGCGCCCCGATTAGCTAGCGTTGGTAAGACACTAGCAAAAAGGCAGCCAAACCGCTCCCCCGCGCCGCGCGCAGCCACGCCATTGAAGGCCAGACAAGCTGCCCCGCGAGACAGCAGGCGCCACCGAACGGGCGGCAAACAAGCGCGCCGGCCCGCCGGGGCTGCCCCGCGACACAAAAGATGCTCTACACCCAGCTCGTCCCCTGGCGCTTCGGTTTATTGACGCTCCACACGATCTCACTGTGCTGCTACTACCAGGTCAAGTTCGAGGCCATTCAAGTAACTTTACCAGCCAAATATGGGAGAGAATTATATGGGGAGCGGCACTATACGACCGACGCCGACGTAAACCAAATGTACCGGGAAGCTCAATACAGGTTAGATATAGTATTGTGGTGGGGCTACGTCTGTTTATTGTGCGACTATGTTGGGTTGATGGCCGCTCTGACGCTAGATTGGCCGCGCGTCACGCTATTTCACTTGTGGAGCCACGCCGTCGGCTCCGTGTGGACGATCTGGGCCCAGTTGGATGGGTGGCAGTTCGAGGCCATGGAGTGGCAGTTCGTTCTATGTGTCTTAATACCGACCTCGATAGAGGTAGGTGTCGGTGGTCTCCAGCTCAAAAAATACCTCGACGAAAAGATGCGGCCTAGGGCCGATGCGTCGGCGGGGCCGCCATCGTTGAGAACGCTGGCGATGCTGCGCTTCTTACTCATTTTAATAGGAGTCGTCATTTTCTTAGCTGGGTTATTTGTGATGGCCCCCCATGCGCATAAGGACCGCATCAAACACGACCGGGACGGCGACAAGTGGGAGACGCCGGCGGAGGCTCTGTCGTTTGGCTTCTGGCTCGGCTTGGCGATTATGGTCGTCGGGTTGGTATTTGGTGGTTTTGCAATGTATGTGCACAAAGCCTGGATGGCCAATCACCCTGAATTACCGGACCCCTCCACCCTACCGCCGCGACGAAGGAGGGAGTCGTCCTTCAAGGCGCCGCGCTTACCGAAGATGCTGCGGCGCAAGGACAAGCCTGCCAAGGACGGGTCTGACGACGACGACGACGTCCCGTTGCTGCTGGACCGCCAAGCTTCGGATGATGATAGCGACAAGGGCGTCGAGCTCACGGACCGTGGTAAGCCCGAGTCAAAGGCGCCGGACTCGGACCTGTCCGATAGCGAGGACGAGGCCAAGGAGTCGACGCCGTTAAGGAGAGACGAGGACTCGGGCCCGCGGCGGCGCGCGGCGCGGCGGCGCGGCGACGACGACTCCTCGATCAGCTCCTGAATCATCCCGGGCGCGTAAGTATCGGTCCGCAGCACTACCGTACGGGTACAGCTCGTACTGTGGCGCATTTTTCTCGTTTGAGCTCGTTTTGCTCGACACAGCGTGCGCTAGGCCGCTGACGCCACGCAGGGGCCACGATCAGGCTGCCCCACGCCGTAGTGAGGCTCGAAAACTCCTGAACGAACGCCAGGGGCAGCACACCAGGGCCGCTCAGTAGCAGCTCCAGTCAAGCTGTACTCCTAGCTAGACGCCCACGACCCAGCGCCAGGCTGCCAAAAGCACATAGCGCCATGGAAGGGCAGGCTGCACCGGTCGAGGATCGCCGGAGCGCGCTCGGCCTCGCGAGCCGCCACGCGCTCGACGCGGCGCGCGTCGACAAGCGGGGCCGCAAAGCCTTGCACCGCTTCGCCGCCTCGTGTGATGCGGCGCCGGAGCACCTGAAGCGCGTCGTCGACGCGCACCCCGAGGCCTGCGGTGAAGCGGACGACAGCGGCATGTACCCGCTGCACCACTACTGCAAAAGCCTCTCGGGCCAGTACGACGACGACGACGATGACTTCGAGCGGCATCTGGGTATGTTGGATACGCCGTCGAAGCCACGCGCTCAGCACCCGCCCGAGAACAACAGGCGCCGCGACCGCCCGGGCGACCCGGTCTTCTTCAGGGACGCGACCAGTCTGGAAGACGTCCGCAAGGAGTACCGGGCCGCTTTGTTACGATACCACCCGGACAAAAATTTGAACGGAGACGTCGAGGAGAACTGCCGCCAGATGCAGCGCCTCCAGGACGCGTACCAGCGGACTCTGCGCAAGTTCCACAAGAAGCAGCCCATCGAGGAGGCCCTCGCGTGCGGCGACGTGGAGAAGGTCCTCGCGTCGCTCTCCGAGCCGGACGCTGTGGATGGAGAGGGCTCGACGATACTCCACCGCGTCTGCGGCTCGTGCGCGCGGCGGTGCTCACCCGCTCAACTAGCGGCGGTCGTCTGCGCCTATCCCGAGGCCTTGACGCGCCAGAATGATCTTGGGGATACGCCCCTCCACGAGTTGTGTGGCCGGTTCCGCGGGGACGCGGCCGATTTAGATGCATTAGTTGGTGTGTTGCTGGGTGGCTGGCGGTCGTTCGGCGGCGTCGGTGACGTTGATGACGTGGCCCATCTCACGAACAACGAGGGCCGGACGCCGCTCCACGCCTTGTGTCGCGGGCAGCGCAAGGTGCATCGAAATGTGTTGGCGCGCCTTGTGATGGCGTGGCCCGAGGCCGCCTCGATCACGGATGCGGAGGGCTATACAGCTTTGCACATTTTTTGCCAGTACCAGCTCGAGCTCAATCATCGCGCGCTGAAGCTCCTATTGCGCGCCGCGCCGCGCGCCGCGTCCTTGCGCACGCTGCAGGACGGCGACTCACCTCTCCATCTAGCGTGCTACGCCCAGAGAAGGACCATCGCGGACGACGCCGACCGCGCCTTCGGGCTCCTCGCGGCGTTCGCGCCCGTCGCGGCGCTCAGCGCGTGCGCCAAGGGCCGGCGCTGCTGGAGCCACCTGCCGTCCGACGACGAGAACTACGCGATGTGTGTTGCGGCTATCGTCGAGAATGCGGTGAGCGGCCTCGACGACGTCAAACTCGACGTCGACGACGAGCTGCGGCATCGCGATAGAGTAAAGAGGGCCATCACGCAGTGCGTCGACGGCCGGGGCGGGACCTTGTTACATGTTTGTGCTTCTTGCGGCGCGGTTGATGTTAAGACGCTCACCAAGGTCTTTGAGATATGTGCGGCTTCAGACGTGGACAAGGACGGCCGCACGCCGCTGCATCGCTTCTCCGCCTGTCCTGCGCGCGAGGGCGACGATATAGATGGTCGGATGTACCTCTTCGAGCGGTTGCTAAGCGAATCAATGACGCAAGACGCCCGGGGCGCCACGCCGCTACACCTCGCCTGCGCGATCGCCGATGATGATGAAGCGGCAATCACCAAAATAGAAAAGCTCCTCGCCGTGGCGCCCGAATCAGCTTCACTAACGACGAAGGACGGCCGCACGGCGGCGCACGAGTGCTGCGCGTCGTGTGCCAGCGAGATCGGGGAGACCGTCCCGGCGATCCTCGAGCAACTGGCCGAGGCGGCGCCGCGCGCCGCCTGCGCCGTCGACGGCCGCAAGAAGCGCGCCTGGGACTACCTGCCGCGCCACGACGCGTTATTTGAAAGGTGCTTCCACGCGCTCTTGGGCGCGCTCGTCGAAGAACCGGAGAAGCTCGCCGCCTCGGACACGTCGGAAACTATATTACATTTGGTCTGCGCACACCACGCGCCGGCCATCACGCGCGTCCTCAACGACCGCGACGTTCGTGTGCAGGATAACGCGGGCAACACGCCGCTGCACTGCTACTGCGAGCACCAGGGCCTGACGGACGTGAGCGACGTGCCCGAGGAGCTCGAGGCCCTGCTCGGCGCCTATGCGGGTGCATTGAGTGTTGCGAACAAGGCCGGGCACACTCCTTTACATGTCCTCGCGCGCGCGCAGAAGCCGGCGCCTTCCACGTCTATCGTGGAGCGGTTCCTTTGTTGTGAATGTGTTTTGGTGGGCGTGCCGCATCTCCTACTTGCGTCGCGGCCGAAGATCGCGCCGCGCGCGTGCGAGCTGCTGCGCCGCCTCGTCGCCGCGAGCGCCGACCCGGCGGGGCTGTTCGCGCGGGAGAACGGGAAGCGGCCCTGGGATTTGCTGGACGCCGACGACGTCCGCTTCGCCGAGGTCTGCGCTATTTGTCTGCGGGCGGTCCTGACGGCCTCCGCGGGCCCTCTGGACGCGCAGGACCGCACACCACTCCATTTGCTGTGCTCGCGGCACGGGCGGCTGCTGCGGCTCGACGCGGAGTATGTGGAGCCGTTCCTTGGTAGGGAAGAAGCGGCGTTGGCGCTTGACGCCTCCGGCGGCACGCCACTACATAGTGCCTGCCGAGACGTGCCCTGCGACGGAGACCTGGACGTTGCGTTCTTGACGCGCGTCGCGGGTCTCGGAGGCGCTCGTGTCCAAAACGCTTCGGGCTGGACGCCGCTGCACATCTTCATGCAGAAGCACGCGCTGGTCTTGGGCGTCCGGGACGAGGACGCGCCGGCGTGGCGCGCGCTGCGCGTGTTGATCGACGCCCACCCGGCGGCGGCGGGGATCGCGAACGCGGCGGGCGACACGTGTCTCCATCTGGTCTGCGCCGCACATAAACGGGGTGCGTCCCAAAACCTCGCGAGGTTGTTGGACGTGCTCCTCGAAGCGGCCGGGCCCGCCGCCGAGCGCGCGGCGACGACGCGGGGCAAGGGCGACCGCACGCCGCTCGAATGGCTCCCGCGCAAGGGCGAGTTCTACGCCGCCTGCGAGGAGGTGCTCGTGAAGCGACGCGCTAGATGTCTCGAGCTATTGCTAGACCACTGCCCGGCCGCCGCCTTGGCCTCGCTGCCGGAGAGCGGCGACCTCGCGCTGCACCAGCTGTGCGGGAGCGGGGTCGCGTCCGTTCCCATGCTCGAGGCGTTGCTGAAACGCCACCCCGACGCCGCGACGACTCGGAACGCCCAGGGGAAGACGCCTCTCGATTTATTATGTGGAGTGTGCGTTCAAGACGGCGCCATCGTTGCGAACGCCGCCGCGTTGATCAAGGTGCTTCTCGCCGCGGCGCCTGGCGCTGTTGGCGACGCGCTCGACTGCTTTCCGACGGACGACCGGCGGTTTGAGGAGATAAATGCGCTCTTCGACGCGTGTCTGCCGGAACCGCCGCGGCGCCTGTCGCCGAACGAGCCGAATAGGGGCGATCGCGTCGTCGAGCCGCCCGCGGCGCCGAAGAGGCGGATGACGCTATCGCCTGGCAACGACGACGAGCTCGACTTTCGGGGTTCTTAATGATGTTTTGTGTGACGTGCTTAAGAGCGCGGGCGCCGCCCCGGGAGGGGGCAGGGATGTCAGGGGATATGAGCATATGGGGCGTGTCGTTGGCGTCGCGCGGGTCGGGGACCCTCACGAGAGCTGGAGCGAGTAGTCGCGCGACCGGAGCTGCGCGTTCTCCATCTCCAATTGCGAGAGTCTACGCTCGAGCTCCGTGATACGCGAGCGAAGACTCGCGACCTCCGCCTCGCGGTCGTCGTCGCGCTGGGTGTCCTTGAACGACTTGCGCTTGCGGCGTTGAACGAGGTAGAGCTCTCCTTGGCCACCGCGGCCTGTGTGGAAATCAACCAGTTAGTTAGGTTGCGTCGATGGCGTGGGGCGCCCGAAATTTGATTTCCACGCCGACCACTGCGGAAGCTGTCGTGTTCGAACACCATCGGCGCGAGGCCGGCCCGCGCAGGCGCGGCTCCGCTGCGCGGCGTCGATGAGACCTTGCGGAAGTCGTACATGTTGAGCATGCGCGAGAACGACGTCCACTTGGAGTGCCGGAATATCTGAGGGCACACGGTCTCGGCGAACTGCGCCGGGTCCGGGAAGACGATGCGACGGCCGTTCTCGGACCACTCGCCTGTGTGGAAATCAAAATTTTACGGCGCGTTCGTGCTGAATCATCACGTTGTCCTCCACGCCATCGACGCGACGCCTACGCACTGGTTGATTTTCCACACAGCCACTCGCAGAGCGTCTCGTCGTAGGGACCTTCCAATAACGAGTAGAGCGCTCTGACGAACGGCGCGACCGGCCGCTCGGGCTGCGCGTTCGCCGCCGGCGTCACCACGGGCTCGGGCGCCGGCAGCGGCGCGGCGCCGGGCGCGAAGAGGTCCGGGCGGAGTTCGTCGCTCTCGGACGAGTCTTGGTGCGTCATGGGCGTGCCCGGATCATCGTCCGGCCCGAACGGCGAGGCCGGGCCCCAGTCGATGCCGAGCTCCTCGAAGCCTGCGCGCGGCGGAGGAGTCGTTGTGTGGGCACGCACGCGCGCGCGTCGCGCCGCGAGGGAGGCGGCAAATTTGCTGTGGCAAGCAATTGAAGCTTTTTTCAATAGGATAAAGCATCTATTTCAGCACGGTTTTGCACCTGGGGCATCGCGGCCGAACATAGTACTGTGAGCTTGCGCGCTTTAACAAAAGGACGGGCGGGGGGTCAATACTGCAGCCGCTGAGGTTTTCACTCCACTTTCCAAGCTTGCATCCTTCAATCGTCATCGGTCGCAAGCCGCGTTAGCTTTCCGGGACTGTACGCCGAGGCTTACCTTTGTCCTGTCATCGTTGAAAAACCCGTTTTGCGAGCTTAAAAAATTAAATGAAAGCCAGAGCACTCATAGTTGCTGCTGCGCGGCGTGCGCAGTACATGGGCCTTGAGTGCGTCATTACTTGATCCTGGTCCACAGCGCAGCCACTCTCTACAAAGACGCCATCGCCGCGAGCATCAATGCCGCTCATCAGGGTCGGCCTCTGCTGGCTGTGCACCGCTGCGGTCGCGGCGGCGCGCCCGCTCCCACTCCGGTTTCGCGGCGGGTCAGCTGCAGCCCTGACCAATGCCTCCGCCCTCAACGCCACCGGCGAAGCCTTGGATTTAAATGATGTGCACGACAACGCGACGGCGACGGCGAACGCGACGACCACCAACAGAACCGACGAGGGCTTGAGGGCATCAATAAAAGCGTACTTTCGCGGCGCCAAGGAGCTCTGGGGCGACGTCAAGACCTGGCGGCGTTTGAGGAGAGAGGCGAAGAACGGAACTAATATGATTTTGAGTTGGCACGAGCGGAGGGTCAAGAGCAAGACGATCCCGCACTCGCTGCGCATGCTGCCCATCTTGGCGAACCCGCTGCCGCCGCCCTTCGGCCTGGTGCTCGTCGGCATCGCTTCATTGGTACCTAGAACTTTATTAACGCCCGAATTCTGGACCGACAATCAAGCACTCACCTTCGCGACGGAGGACGGCGCCGACGTCAAGAGAAGGCACGCCAAATTATTGGACGCGCTCGCGGCGGCGGCCGGCGGCGACGGCAAGACTGGGAGTGATGGAGGGCTCGACGCGCTCGGTGATGTGGGCGGCGCGTTCGGCGCGGGCGCGTCCTTAGAGTTATCGCGGCTGCGGCGGAAGCACCTGATTCGATTAGCGAGGTGCATCCGGCCGCACCCGCCGTCGCGGTGGTCGCTCCATTTTCTACGGACGGCGTCGATCCGCGAGCGGCTCGCGGACGCCGCGCGCGCGATGAGCGAGGAGGACGAGGCCCTCGCGCGCGACGTCTCCCTGTTCCAAAACGCGTCGGCGCCGCTCTCGCCGCGTGAGGTGCTCGAGGTCTGCGCGGAGCGCGGCCTCGCCGTCGGCGGCGACCACGCGCGGCGCCTCGCGCGGCTCGAGCGCTGGTGCGAGGCGCGCGCGACGCTGCTGAGCGCGCTGGGGGCGGGGCCCGACGACGACTCCGCGTCGCTGGTCCTGCACATGCCGGCGCTCCTGTCGGCGCTGCTGGAGAAGGCCGAGGAGGCCGTCGATGGTGATGAGTTAGTTGTGGCGTAAAATTGAAATTATGACGGTCGGCCCCGTGCAGGGGCGTCATGGCGTCAAGTTTTCCGTGGCGGATCCACCCCTAATGTCAGCCCCGCGCGTGCTGGTGCGAACACTGGTGGAGGCGCCGCTTCGTGGCGATGTCTTGCTCCTCGACGGGGTCCGCGCCGTACGAGTAGAGGACCCAGTACGACGCCGGCAAGGCGAGTACGAGCGCGTACAGGACCATGTCAAGGCCTGTTGCCGCGCCGCTAAATGGTGTTTCCGCCGGCGCGCCGCAGAGCGCGTCCGTGCCGTCGGCGGCGATGCCCCGCAGGAGGAACAATCCGAGGACGGCCACAACAATACCAAACAGCGCCGAGCCCCGGTTACTCCGGAACTGGAGCCGCGCCACAGTCAGGTCGCGCAGCGTCGTCTCGCGATGGAACGCGTAGACGAGCGCGAACTGGTAGAGCAGGTAGCGCGCGAAGAGCGTCCCTAGCAATCGGATTGTGAGGAAACTCAGGACGATCCGCACCGCGTAGCCGAACGCGCAGCTCTTCGCGACCATCGGCCGCAGCAACGCGAAGAGCGCGACGAGGCAGCACGCCCACGCGACGGCGTGGACCAGGGCCGCCAGCGGTTCCCTGAAAATCCAGGCGCAGAGCCGCGGCAGCCGTCTGTATAAAGGTGGAGCTTCCGGCAGCAGCGCGGGATCCGGGAGATTCGTGTCTATCGGCACGTCGGGCCGAGACGACTCGTCGGGCGCGTCCTTGCGCAGCCAGGCGTTGACCGATTCGATGTCATTATTCTTGTCGTCGCAGCATTTCGTCATTTTCTTTGACGATTGCGCAATGGATTTGTGTGGTCTGGCACAACACTGGCAGCTCAAGACTGGCAAAACAGCGGTGCCGAAGAATTGGGCGAGCTGTCTCCAGCGCTCTCGCGTACGACCACTGCTCAATGCACCACCGGAGAGCCTCCGCCGCACGGGAAGCAGCGTTTTTCGGCCGCGGCAGCGCTTGCTTGCCTGCTAGTGTCTTTCTGCTGCTAGCCAGGGGCGTCTTCGCGGGGAAGTATACGACACCACCAACGCTATCGACGCGGCACAAGCAAAAGAAAAACACAAAGGACGTTATGGCGGCAACTCGTCAAGCGCCACCTCGACGCGCCGCAGCGCGTCCTCGACGACCGCGTCCGCGTCGGCTGGGTCACCCCGGAGGCGCAGCGTCGGCGCGTGCAGCAGCCGTCTCATTACAAGCCGCGCCTTCGGATGCGTAGAGCGAGCCACCAACGCGTCGGCGCGGGCGCGGAAGGCGCGGATTATTGGTGCTGCGCGCCGCTCGAGTCGGCTCTCCAGCAGCTGCGCGTGCTCCGCGTCCACCACAGCCCGCGCGTGATCCAAGACAGCAGAAGCCTCGTCCGCGCTCATCGTGTCCTCGCGCGACGGGAAGCGCGCTATTGATAAATCACCTAAGGTCTCGTCCCTGGTTTTCCGGCCCGCCGCGCGCGCGGCGTCGATCAACGGCAGGAGGGCGCCTCTCCTGGGCGTCGCGCCGCTCTTCAGCGTCTCGTCCCGCAATTCCAGCAGCTGCCGCGGGATGGTCAGGTCGCCCACAATCGTGGATTCAAGACCGGCGCCGAGCCGCAGCGCGAAGCGCTCGCACTGTTCCTTCTCTTTCGCGAAGCCGAGCTCCTTGAAGAGCTCGGCCTTCTTCAGGAGCTTGGCCTCTTCTCGTGCTGCCCTTTTCTGGGCGCGCTCCTCGAGTCGCGCTTCCTGTTGAGCGGTGAGCGTCGTGTCTTCGCGCGTCGGCCGCGCCTTCGTCGTGACCTCGCAGACTTGGCGCCGCCTCGCGGTCTCGGGCTCCTCGACCAATGCGGCAGCCAACGCGTCGACGTCGCCCTGGAAGTGGTCCGCGTGATTCGCGACCTGGGCCGCAAAAACATCGCCCGCGGCAGCGCGCCGCGCCCGGACCTGCTCGAAGGCGTCCGCGAGCATGTTCTGCGTCGCAGTGTCGTCGAGCGCGCCGGCGACGGCCTGCTGCGGGAGCTCGGGCGCCGCAATCGCTTGGGGACCGCCCTCGGCGTGTGGCAGCAGGAGCTGCCTTCCAGTCCGCCCGGCGCGCACGGCGATCTCGCGCGACACGACGGTCTCGACGTCGCGCAGCGCCTCGGTCAGGTTCTTCTTCGTGGCAACAAACACGCAATACCTATCACAGGTCGACAGTACTGCCGCCTCGTCAATCGAATCGACCCGATCCAGGATCTCGTCGGTATTCAAAAACTCCGTCTGGTCGTAGGCGTGCCTCCCGGGCAGCGCGTTGAGCTCCGGTACTAATAACATCCAGCAGCCGACGTCGAGCTGCTGCGTCGCTTGGAGGCGTCGTGTGCGCACATGCCGCGCGGGCGGCGCCTGCAGAGCTACGGCCGCCGCCGCGAGAAATTGCACAAGAAGGCGCATGGCTCGACAAGCCGCCGCACTACCCGTCACGGTTCCGGACAGCTTTGAGCACAGCTGTAAAACGCCACGCAGCTTGGCACCCCACAGCGTGCTGTGTACCGCTGCACGCCTGCTCAAATTTCCCACAGGCGGGCCCACAGCCACCACAGCTCTACGACGCTAGTCCACAGCCCACGCGAGGCCCCACCGTCGCCTCGCAAGCACGAAGCCGCGCTGCAACGAGCTAGCGTACTGTAAGACACTAGCAAGCTCCACAAGCTCCACTTGGAGCCAAGCTCTCCGACGCCTCGCTGGACACACGCAACAGAACGCTGCCTCGCGCAACGCCTACGCACGCCGACAGTCGGTCTCCAACTGTGCTGGAACGGTGGAGCGAGTTCGGTACGCCTAGGCCTCGGAGAGCCACTGCCAGCCGGAGAGCAGGCTGGATACGCGCGGCCGCTGCCCGGAAAAAGCCTACCGTCAACACTTGGATACGCGCTGCCCGCTGCCCGGAAGAAAAAATGGCACACTTTCAATCGGGTCAGATGTTCGGCGCCCACGCCCGCGACGAGATGGACAAGGCGGAGAAGTTCGTAGACCGATACGCCCAATTCTTAACGCCGGCGAACGCGGAGATCTCGTGGTTCGGCAAAAACATGCTGCTGAGGTACTACCGGACTAAGCAGCTGGGCCCGCTCGAGGTGTGCGCCCTGGCGCTGGCCGTGGCGCCGGACGCGCGCGAAGGCAGCGCGGTGCTGGCAGCGATGGTGGCGCCGGACGCGCCCGTTGCCTACGTCGTCGACGCGGTCCGAGAGCTCTGGCTCAAGCCGAAGCAAAACGAAATGGCGGCGGGTACGACCGCCTACGCATACCCCGAAAGCAACCCCGCGGCGGGCCAGCGCGTCCATATGGCGCAGGGCGGCACCTATACTGTGATCAAACCTGAGACGATGCTGGGGCAGTACCGCTTCTTCTCGAAGCTCGGACGGATGCCGCGAGAAGAATGGCCGAAGACGCCGGAAGCGCGCGAGGCGCTGTACGCATCAACGCAATCGGATTTGCTCGGCGTCGTCCCGGGCGACGTTGACGGACCCACGGATGACGACATCACTGCGGCGAGCCGAAAACGCGGGCGTGCCGCATCGGAATTAGCGCCGCTACTCGTCCCGCTCAGCGGCGCGTGCCGGCCGCTGGCGCTGCGGCGGTCGCATTTCGCGCGGGCGGAGGAGCTGGCGCTCGCGGTCGCGACGCTTGGGAGCGACCCGTCGGCGTCGGGGGTCATCCGCAACCAGCCCGGCATCAACCGCCCGCGCTTCGAGACCTGCACACAGACTGGATACCTCGGTCTCCCGTGGGCCCACGAGGAGCCGTCGAAGCTCAGCGAGCTTCGCAAGGCGATCGAGAGCGCCGGGCTGTCGACGCGCGGCTTCGCGGAGAAGTCCGAGTTCCGGAGCGCGGCGCGGCGCGTCGACAAATTTACCGTCGCCGATTGGCGCGTCGAGACGGAGGAAGGCCGCCGCGAGGTGCTGGACGAGGTCTTCGCGATGTTCCGCGCGGGAGATTTCGAGCGCTTCAAGGAGGCGCGGCGCGCCGAGGTCTGGGACGCGCTGCTGCGGCCCGACAATCAGCTCGGGGGCGTTAAGTTCGAGGGCGGTCGGGCCGAGGATTTGCTGGTTCTCGCCGCCGCGGCCGAGCTCGACGTGGGGCTCGGATGGGAGGACGGCGCGGTTCTGCAGGCGGCGAAGATGCGCGCGAGCGAAAAATTGGCTGCCGACGGTAAATACTGGGGTAAGGAGCTGGCGCTCGTCGCCGCGGCGCACGCCCACGAGAAGTGCACGGAGGCCCTCGACCGCATCCCGCGCCCGACGCGACTGGCACTTCTGCAATGGTGCCTGGCGCCCGCGCTGCGCGATATTGTGAGGCTTCGCAATACGTGTTGTTTGGCGGATGACGGGGGGCTGGACTTCTCGGGCTTCGCGCGGGCGCACCAGCTCGCCTTGCGCGTCTTCCTGTGCGTCGCGGCGCTCGGTCGAATCGATTGGGAGGCTGCTGGCGACGAACAAATCACGGCAGCCGTCTCGTTGCTCCACTACAATCGAGAAGCCGTCGGCGGCGGCGACGACCACGAGGTCGTGGAAATTCCCGGAGCGACGTCGTGGCCCATCGACGCGTGGTGGTCCCCGACGACGCCGCGCCATCGCATGGGCGCGTACGTGACTCCCGTCGGCGCGGAGGTGCTGCGAGAGGATTTACCGCCGGCATTAATTCTCCAGCTCACGATGGAGATCGCGTCGGTGGCCGCGGTCGCGGAGATCGCGCTGACGGCCGTCGTGCTTCGCGAGGTCGCGGAGGTGGCGCATCCGGGAGAGTTTTGGACGAAGCGCCTGATAGCGGGGAGCACGAACGGCATCGAGAACCGTCCGTTCCCGACCTTCGCGGAGCGGCTCGACCGGCTCATCTTGGAGCGGGCGCTCGATGGCTTCTTAGTGTCGAAGGTGGCGACGGCGGACGGCGTACTATCGATGCGCTTTGTCTGGTCCGGCTGTCCGCTCAACGAGATGGAACCGCAGCCCCTCGAGATGCCGGACGGCGTCCCCGAGGACCACAAGCGACGCTTCGTCCGGGACGCGGCGCGCTTTTTCGCGTCGAATTGCGCCGTGACGATTCGCAAGGCTCGCGAAGCGGGCTGTGCCGACTGTCCGGCCGTCGAGAGCGTCTCCATCGTCTACTCGGGCGTCGGGCAGCTATTCCGCGGCGTCGCACCCGTCGCGACGGCCCTCGTCATCGACATGATGGGGGAAGAGGCCATTCAGAAGGCGGTTCTTAGCGAGGATCCGGCGTTTTATAGGGGTCTGGACTCGCTCGGCATCTGCGTTTTCGACATGAACGCGGACGACGACGCGGCCACCGCGGGGCCCGATGCGGGTTCGTAAGAGTAGTTCGTGAGAATCATACGCCTGTTCTGCCGGCGACAGCTAGCGGTGTGTAACACACTAGGCATCCCTAGTATGTCCAAGCTAGCAAATATCCAAGCCGCGTGTTCGTCTGGCCAATTTGCGGCACATACAGCGGTCTACAGATCCGTGATTTCTTCCTTGGCGCTCAACCATCCGCAGCTTGCCCTGCATCGAAAGACCGGGCCCAAAAAGCCGTAAACGGCCCGTTCAGCGGGTCAGTGCTAGTCACTTTAAACTCAACGTACGAGGCTGTGCACGCTAAGATGGTACGAGGCTGCCACATCTGCGAGGCCGACGCTACGTCCGACAGCGGCACCATCGACGACCCGATCGCCGTGACCCCCGACCAGGACCAACGCATCGACCTCGGCGCCTCGATCGCGTCCCTAAGAGACGTGCCCATCGTCGACACGGACCCGAGCGAGGACGGCTGGGGTATTGATGATGACCTCGGCGCCTCCGAAGACGAGGAGAGCGCCAAAAGCGTGGTCGAGGCCGTGGCACGCGCCATCACGAACTACGGGCGGCGCTGCCGCGCCGAGCACCTGCCGGACCATGATGGATGGGCCTCGGACCTCCGGGCGCGCTGCGCCGAAACGCTCAACGTCAGCGACCGGAGTCGAGGCGACGGCGCGGACGGCGACTACGTCCTGCTGGATGAGACGCCGTGTGTGAGGCGGCACGACGTCGATCCCGACGCCGCCCAACATTTGCTAGGTTCTTTAGTGAGAGCGGAGTCGTCGAGGCCGAGCTACGACGCGCGAGTCCGAGCCGTCCTGAAAGAGGCTTCGCAAGTCTGCCGCGCGTCCTGGACCATGGTCTCGCAATCAGAGCGACTGGAGCAGAGACACGTGTCCTTCGACGAGCCGCCCAGACGACGATCTTCTGTATCGGTGCAAGATGCCACCAAGGTCGCGGCCACGGCGGTGGGCGGTGGCGCGTTACTCGCCGGCGCTGGAGCGTTAACCGCCGCGGCTGCACCGGTCGCCGTCGTGGGCCTCGTGGCCGGTTCCTTAGGCTGCGCGGGCGCCGGCGTCGCCGGGCTGAAGGCGAGGAGGCGCTTCGTCTCCGACGACGACTTCCGGACCGTCGAACGCTCGAGGGGAGCCGGCGCGCCTCGATTGTTCTTGGTGCCGGGCTGGCTCGCGGAAGGTAGAGATGATGACGACGCCTTCTCCTCCTCAGCAGGGGCGCCCGTCGTCGAGGAATCAAATGAGGAGGACCCGTCGTGGGCCGACCTCGTGCGGGAGGACGCGCTAGAACTAGAATCCTGCGACTGGGTGCGCCACATGTTTCCCCGCTCTGATGGAGCGGTCGTCGTCTGGGAGAAGAAGTGCCTGAGAAGACTGAAAAAGGCCATGGCCGACTGTACCGTCTACGCTACAGCTCGAGATAAAGTCAGCAAAGTAGTCATAGACGAGACGATCAAGCGGAGCGCCTTGGGTGGTCTAGCTGCGACGGCCCAACTGCCGCTCTCGGCCTTGTCTTATGTCCGCCGCGTGGATGACCCCTGGGCCGTCGCCGTCCAGCGCGCAAAGGGCGCGGGGAGGCGCCTCGCCGAGGCCTTACTTGATGGAACGAGGGGCACGGCGCCGGCGATGCTCGTGGGCTACGGTGTTGGGGCCCGTGTTGTGATGGAGGCGCTTGAATATTTAGCGGCCATCGCTGGAGATGCACGAAGGCAGTCTCCCCAAAGACGGCAAAAGGCGGCGTCGCGCGTCGAGTGCGCCGTGTTGCTGGGGGCGCCGGTGTCCGCGACCTCAGAACGCTGGCGGGCGGCTCGGGGAGTCGTTTCCGGACGACTCATCAACGGCTACTCGACGCGGGACTGGATGCTGCGCCTCGTCTACCGCGCGAAGGCCTGGTCCATCGCCGGCGTGGCCGGAACTACGCCGGTCGTCCCGGAGCACGCGGGCCAGGACGCTCCTATGATCGAGAACGTGGACCTGTCGGACCTGGTGAACGGCCACCTGTCCTACGCGCACGTCATGGAGCCCATCTTCGCGCGGCTGAAGCTCGAGGGGTGAGCCTGAGTAAATTTGTCTGTTCACTTTAGGGGCTCAAAGGTCAGCGGCGGCTCGACTTCTGTTTGGGCGAGGCGCGCGATCCGGGCCATGAGGTCCTCGCCCGACGACGACGACTCGGCTGGGACGGGCGCCGGCGGCGGCGCCGCGGCGGCGGCGAGCATGGCCCGCGCCCTCTGCAGCACCGGGTCGTCGAGGAGCTCGGCCGGGAGATTTTGTGAAGGCGGCGGCGCGGCCGCCGGTTGTTGAGAGAGCATTGCCCTCGCGCGCCGCAGCACGGGGTCGTTGAGCGGATCCTGAACAACGACTGGCGCGTCATCCACAACCCGGACGCCCGCAAGGTCGCCCGGAACGGCCCCGTGGAGCGCCGCGCGCGCCCGTCGCAAGACCGGGTCCGGCGCGAGGTCGCCCTCGGCGCGCTGGCGCAGCTCGTCGATCCTCTTGTCGATCTCGGCTGGGGTGGGAGACGCCGGCGCCGCCAACCACAAATCCTTCTTCGTCTCCTTTGTAGTTTTGGCGGGCTTCCGCAGCTGCCGCAGCGCCGCGTCCGCCGCGCGCGCGGCGTCCTTGGACGAGCGCAGCGCGGCCTCGCGGCTCGCGACGACCTCGCGCGCGTCGGCGGCGGCGCGCGCCGCCTGTCCCGCCTTCTCCTGCGACGCGAGCTCGCGCGGCCGGTCGTGGAAGTAGGCCTCGTCGTAGCCGCAGTAGGCGCGCGAGACGTCGCTCAGGAGACTTTCGTAGCCGTACTTCGGCGGCTCCGGCGCCTTCGCCGGCTCCCGCGCGGCGCGGGCGGCCGGCTTCGGCGGCTCCGCCGACGGCGCGGGCTTCGGCGCCGGCGTGTTGCGCGCTGCCCTGACATCGGCCTCGACGGCCTCGAGGAGACCCGACCGGGCCGCTTTCTTCGCCGGTGGGGCTTTCTTGCTCCGTTGGACGTGCTTGCTCGGCTTCTTCGCCGGCGGCACCTTCTCAACGACTGGCTCCGTGGCTTTGGCGGGCATGGGCTCCGGCTCCGGCGCCTTCATCAATGGAGCCGGCGTGAGCGAGCCCGGCGTGGAAGGCGCCGACGAGACCTTCGAGTCGCGCGACGCGCGCAGCCGCAAGTACTGCGCGGTCTGGCGCTGGGCGGCCCGCGCCGCCGACGACACGCGGTTGAACATGGACAGGGGTTTGGCTTGGACGGCACCGCTCGTGTCCTCGCCCAATAGCTTTAGAGCTGCCATTTCAGCCTCCTGCGCCTGGCGCCTCATGGCGTTGATCTCGGCCTGGTCCTTCGCCGGGAGCACGGGCAGGCCGTCGGCGCCGAGCTCCATGGTCTTTTTGCAACACAAGTGCTCGCAGGGCAGCCCTTTGTGGCAGCCCTTTTCATGTGCGGACTGCGAACTGCCAAGAGGTAACGTACTAGGATTCGTGCCTCCATTCATTGTCCGGAGGCGTCTCGTCTTCATGAGCGACCCCTGGGACGCCCTGGGAGCACGCATGCTGGGGCCGCCTCACGATGATAACCGCCAACAGCGCTCTCCCGGCGGCAGGCGTAAAGCGCGAGCTTGCGCGGGACAGACGTGGGAAACGACGCCGGACGAGGCAGCCAGGACGCCTGTCGCCGCGACTGAGGCCCTCGGGGCAGCCACAAGTGAAGCAATGGCAGCCAATGTCCAGGTGCTGCGCAACCCCGCCGTGAGCGCCGCCGCTTCGAGACCGGGCGTCTGCTGCGTCTCGATCATCGACCACGAGGGCAAACGATTAGTAGCAACCGGTTCCAGTGATGGCCAAATCATGGTCGTGGACGGGGCGCCGCGACCCGCCTCGCGCATGCGGAATAAAAGGAGACCGAAGACCGCAGCTACCGCTCGTACAAGGCTCTTCAAGGGCATCCACCGCAAGACCATCACGGGTATAGCCTTTCATCGATCGGAAGACTTAGTGGTAGTGAGCTGTAGCAACGACTCGACGTGCGAAGTGTATGATGTGTTTGATGGCGAGGAGGTGGCGAACATGACGTACCACGCCGGGTGTGTGAACTGCCTCGAGGTCTCAGTTATTTCTTCAGAAGAATTGGTGGGCGAGGCGGGCGGGCCGGACGTGTTACTGACTGGGGGAGCCGACGGAACGGCCAAGCTCTGGGGTCTCGGCGAGGACAACCTGTGTTTGCGTTCGTATGAAGGCCATCGTGGTGGTGTTTGTGGGGTGTGCGTTGGTGGTTGTCAAGGGAGGGACTTTGTGGTGACCTGCTCGTTGGATAAAAAAGTAAGGGTCTTCTCGGCTCTGTCAGAAGAAATAATATACGACCTGCCGGGCGCGTCGTGCTGCGTCTACGCGCCGACGTTGAGAAACGGCTTCCGGCCCGTTTTATTAACGGGAGGTTCTGATGGTGCAAAAGCCTACAGCGTACCTGATCATTGTGATGACAAGGAGGCCTGGGCTCTGTCGGACCAGACGGACGCCTTCCACCCTCGGTTATTGAGGCACTTCGCTCTGACATCGAGAGTGGAGGTCATCCGCCAATGTACTTTATTTGATGAGAGACGCGTGGTGTTAACGGCCTCGAAAAAATTAGTGGAGCTCTGGACGCCGCGCCTAGAACCGGGTGGCATCCGGGAGCCTTTGGTCATGGATTTGCTGTACACGTTCCAGGCCTCCGGGCCCGTCCGCGACGCGAATTTACGGCCCCACGCGTTCCTCAAGGCGGATACCGCGTTTACGGAACCTGTTGTGTCTTCTAGAAGAGATTTGACGCTAGACGTGACGGTCTATTTGGTATGTTGCCGCGACCTGAAGCAGATCGACCCCGCGAAATTGCTAGAGCCCTATGTGGTCGCGAAATCTTGCAGGTCGGACGCCAAGCCCGTGGAAATCGTGCGGACGAAGAATGTGAGAGGTGCGGATTGTGAGTTTTCCCAGAAAGACGAAGATTTCCGGTTTACTGTGAAAATTCCAGTCTACGACGAGGGCTATGAATTGGTCTGTGCGATCTACGACTTCAACCGCGCGAAAAACAAACATTTCGCGTGCGGGGCGGCGAAGTTCTCCGCGAAGGATTTGTTACATGGCTCAGAGGAACTGACGGAGCACCTCCAACCGGCGACCTCGAAACAACTAACGGCTCATGGGTCACTCACAATAAAATTGGACCGCGGCGACGGCGCCGTGCCGTTCTGTGCTTGTGAGTTGGTTGCTTGTACCTTACAAGGCCATGTCGATCATGCTTTGTTGTACGGGTTCGAAGAGATACCGCCACCGCCGCCGGTCACTCCGCCGGGGCAAGAAATTGTACTGGAGACGGCTATCGTGCAGTTCAACTACGCTCCTCAATCTTCCGACGAGATAGGTTTGACTTATCGTGAGAACGTGCAAGTACTCAAGAAGGGGAAGGATGGGTGGTGGTACGGGCGCCGGACGGCCTGGAACGCGCGTCGTGATAACTGCTGGGACGAGGAGGGTTGGTTTCCTTCCGCTTACGTTGATGGTGATTTATATGCACAGAAGAATCCCTCAAATAGATGGACCGGTGGGAAAGCGGGGGAGGACGACTGGGAGACGGTGCACACTTCTTCGTCGGACGACTCGGCGAGCGAGGACGAGGCGCCTTCCCGAATTGTGTAAGCTCTATTTGTTGTTGATCGTGTGTGTGTTAGTCTTACAGGCCGCCCACGCGTGATTTCCTAAGCGCGGGAGCCCTGGAGCTATGAGTAGGAATGGGCGGGTTTTTCCCCGATTTGCGAGCGCATTTTTCACCGACTCAGGCTCTAAACCATGAAACTCATCGTCGCTCTTGCACTGTCTGTCAACGCGTTCACGCCGTCGGCGCCTGGCGGCGCAAAACCGGCGTGAAAAGTCATAATTTCCGTCATCGGCCGCCAAGCCGATCCTACAGCGACGCGCGCGAGCCCGGCGCGGGCGCATCGTATCGTTGGACTCACGCAGGCGCCCGCGGCGCGGCGCTCCGGGCCGACCGCGTTTTCTCGGCCGCCGAGGCGAAGGGCGGCGCGGCCATCGACGCTGCCAAGACGGCGCTGCTCCTCGTCGAGTACCAGAACGAATTTACGACCGAGGGCGGCAAGCTCCACGACGCCGTGAAGGAATCGATGGCGGCCACGGGTATGCTCGAGCGCTCGGCCAAGCTCGCCGACGAGGCCCGGAACAAGGGCGTGACCATTATTCATGCTCCCATCACCTTCAAGGAGGACGCTTCGGATAATCCGAACAAAGGCCTCGGCATCCTCGCCGGCTGCGCGGCGGACCGTCTGTTCACGGAAGGCACCTGGAACGCCGATTTCGAGGAGTCGATGATCCCCCAGGCCGGTGACCTCGTCGTGGAGGGCAAGAAGGGCCTCGACGCGTTCCCGGGCACCAATCTGGAGGCGCTCCTCAAGGAGAACGGCATCGAGACGCTTGCGTTATGCGGTTTCCTGACGAACTGCTGCGTCGAGTCTTCGATGAGAACGGCCTACGAGAAGGGCTTCAACACCGTTACGCTCACGGATTGTTGCGCGACGACGAGCGCCGAGGGCCAGGCGGGGGCGACGGGTGGCACCTTCGGGATGTTTTCTGACCCCATGACGGCCGACGACTTCGTCGCCAAGCTCTAGATAACGACCCGCTCTCCGTGGTTACTAAGTTAGTGGATTATAAAGCGAACGAAGGAATACAGCGGCTTGTCCAAGCGCATGTTCAGGTGCCTTCTACAGGCAATTCGAGCTGCGACATGTCTGCGGTCGGCGGCCCGTACCGGTCGTCGCGGAGCAGGCGACGCGCGCGGTCCGGGTTCATTGAAGCCATGTCGGCGCGCGCTGTTTCCAGCGCCGCGCCGCGCTTCACGAGTATAGCCTCCAGATCTAAAATCTCGTCGGGCATTAATGGTGGAGGTGGCGGCACTGCAGCCGCGACGGCCGCCGCTTCCGACGCGCGTTTTGCATCACCTGAATCAACAATAAAGCAGCGCATCGTCGCGAAGTCGATGACCTCCGATAAGGTAGCGGTAGCCAACCGGCAGCCGGCCTCGTCGCGCAACTCTCTCCTGGCCGCATCCCACGACGACTCTCCTAACCGACGCTTGCCGCCGGGCAGTTCCAGACGCCACCGCTTTTGAACCTTGGAAGCCAACAACACCAAGAAACGAGAGCCAGGGACATGTTGTTGTCTTTGATCCATGCGAGCTTGGTTGTTATCTAAAAAAGCGTTCAAGTGGTGGTCTGCCTTCAATTCGTCGGCGGTCACGGTGAGCATGGCGCGCTCCTGATCCCCGAGGAAGGCGCATAGCGACGCCCGCGCCTGCTTGGCGCCGCGCTGCTCCTCTGCTTTATTATATCGTGCAGCTCCTTGTAGAGGGCTGAAAGCTCTTCTGAGTAGTGAGATGGGCGCCGCCACGACGAATGACGGCATCTCTCCGGATCGCGCTTTTCTTGGCTCCATCTCACATAACGCCTCCTCTTCGGAATCGGCGATGAAGGCCACGGCGCCGTTCGGCATCGATTCTAGTAAGCAGGCCGCACAGGACACTCGTAAGATAACTCCATCTACCGGCACGTCGGGAAAGAGTAAATTTTTGAGTCTTGCCTCGAGGGAGTGCCGCGTGTCGCCTTCCGCTTCCGCTACTCGTAGAGCTGCTCTAGCGCCTCGACTATCAGGTATCGCCAGCATCCCATCCCCACAAGTCTCCCGAAAGGCCGCGGCCCGTTCGCAAGCACATCCTCCCACATGCACTTTCACCCGAAACGCGTCGGCGCCGTTCGCCGCCAACGCAGCTAGTAGATCAGATCGAGTGCGCACGACGCGAGGCGTACTGACAGCTCGCTCGGCCGCTCGGAACGCCGCCCCCGCGCTCCCTCTTCGAGGTCGCGATGCTCTAGATCTCGCTGGTGGCTGCGTAGTAGGCACGTGCCGTCGGCGCGGCACGAAGCTCGCCGAGTCCGGGTTCCGGCCCTCGCTAGACAGCCACTCCGCGTGGTGCGCACGTTGGGAAGGCACGAAGCTCGTACTGGACGGGTCGAGGCCGCGGTGGCGTTCCGTCCATTGTGTTTCGTCGGCCATTCTTTACTTGTCGCGGCGATGGCGTGCTGGTTGCGGTCTAGCGGGGCCTCATTTTGCGGTCTTGCCCCTGCCTTGCTGCAAGAAGCTTTTGCTCGGCCGCGGCCTGGGCAATTTATGGCGCTGCGCTGGCGCTCAGGTCAGAGCCAGCCGAGGTGCTCCCAATTCTGGCTGGGCGTCCGCTCCCTGCCCTGGCCCGCAGCTGGCCCGGCTCTGCACCCTGGAGTAATTATTAGCTTATAGACATACTAGCATTTTTAGGTAGAGCTATGAGGAACAGGGGCGTAGTGCACGCGACCGATCTTTTCGCCCGCCGGAATAAGTAAGGAGGGATTATGCCGAGCCGGTCTCTACTCACGGAAGCATGCTGTCATGAAAGACGCGGCTCACCCCTACGCCCACGAGTCCTAAACGCAATCGCTGCGAGAGCACACTAAAAATAAGGTTACTACTACAAAGGTCGCATGCCCGCGGCGTCCCGCAGCCGCTCCCAGCAGAAGTACTGGACGAGCGCGTAGGGCCCGAACCGCGCCCACTGCGCGCCGAAGCCGCGGAACAGTCCCAGAAAACCGCGTTGTTGCACGATAGCTATCAACGCTTTGCCAACGTGGCCGTACTGGCCCGGGGGGTGCGCCATGATGAAAGTTCTCGCATTTGTCGCTGGCGACGTCGCGATCGTTATAGCCAGACCCGTCGCGACCGCAGCACTCCCCTGGAGCTTGTACCGCTCCATGGGCACGCTGTCGCGCCAGCCGCACTTGACGCGGAGCCACGTTTTTGTTTGATCATAAGTAGCCATCTTCGTCGCGCCGAGACACGACGCCCGGACAATGGTCGCCGAGACGCCTCTATAAAAGTTGAGGGGCCAGGGCTTCGAGGGGCCGTTCGCGATATGTTTCGCATGATTAGCGATTGATTCCCTTGGTCCTGTTGCGGCTTGCGCTCGGATTTTCAACAAATCCGTCGGAGACGCGACGGCAGAAGCGAACGCACCAGCCAACAACCCGGCCAACACTTTCTTGTAGAAGGGCGTCGTGGCGGGATCTTTGGCGCCCAGTACTTTTTTTATCGGCTCGTACAAGCCAAAGCGCAATGAAGAATACGACAGCTCCCGCATCGCGGCGGCGGAGAAGCCTCGGTACAATGCCGGCGCGCCCTCCGTCTTCACAATATTAGAAATCGTCGCGACCATGTTCTGCTGGACAGAAGCGAGCTGCTGGCGCACCATGGTGGTCTCGACCCAGTGCACGGCGCCCTGCGCGACGGTGCACGCGGCTCCGGCTAAGCCGAGCTGCCAGGCTAATGAATCTTCGCGGCCGCTGGACATAATTTGCTTTTGCGAGCCGGTGTCACTGATGGTCGTATATCGCCGGCTTTTTTGCTGCAGCTGCAGTGTGCTCGCTATGCGTGCCTAGCGATGGTCGCGCTGCGACAGCGTGTTGTTAGGCAAAGCAGTGGTTGTGCTGCGCCAATTTTTTGCTGGCGTACGCTGTCGGATGGGGCAAACGCGCGCCGACAAAGTAAGCAGCTAGCGTGACTGTAACACCACTAGGAATCATCAGTCGTCATCGATTTGCCGCGCATATCGCCCGAAGCGCGTACGCATAAGGGTAATAGAGCGCAGCATTGCTGCAGAGACAGCGCGCGCAGCGCAGCGAGACCGCTGCTGCGCCCTGCGAAGTCAAGGTTAGCCTGGCGAAAAAAGGCGCCAGCACGCGAACAGGCCGCGCAACACGCACGCCGACGCCAGAATGCCTAACGACCTCGAAGCCGAACGCAAGGCCCTCGCGAAACAACGACGAGAAATCGAACGCGAGCGCGAAGCCCTGAAGAGGGAGCGCCGCGACCTCGATCGAGACAAGGACAAAAAGAAGAAGAAAAAGCGCAGCCGTCATGATGATGATGAACCAAGGAAACGCCACCGCTCCGAAGCGGCACCGTTACCTTCATTAGCAACGTACGCGCCGCCTCAGCTATATAGAGATCAAGTCCAAAGCACGAACTTCCAGCAAGCATTGCAGCGGTTCACACAGCCACCACCCGTAGCACAAAAGTTCGGCGGCCACGAGCAAGCCAATTATTTAAGATGCGGCGTCTGCGGCGCCGACTGCTCCGGAGAAGCTGCGTTCAAGCAACACATCGCGTCCAAGAAACACCGGAACCGTTCGCGAGGTCTGGGCTTCGCGGGCCTGGCGCCGAACGCGGCGGGCGCGATCCCTCCGCTCAAGGATCCCGAATTACGCAGAGCTGCTTTGCAGTACGGGCACGATCCGGATTCCAGTAAAGCTCCTAGCGTGTCTGCACCTACATCTACGAAAAAAAATGTAGTAAGTGGACCCTGGGCGCCGCCCACAACCTTTGTGCGGGTCGAAGGGAGTGCTCTACTGAGAGCCAAGGCGGCCGTCGAGTCGATAGGTGATGATGTTGGCTCGTCTTCTGGTGATGAACAAGTGCGCCAGCGCTCCCACCAGAAGAACGTGGCGAAGGTTCCGGCGAAAGCTTTGAGCGAGCCCCTGAGAGATGTTAGACGCTCCTTGCCGGTCTTCGAGCACCGGAGCGGTTTACTGGAGGCTCTTGCCTCATTGACGTCCGAAGCGCCTTGTTTAGTCGTAGAAGGCGAGACGGGCAGCGGCAAGTCCACGCAGGTGCCCCAGTACATCCTCGAGGAGGCTTGTGCTACCGGCAAAGCTGTGGATGTAGTGGTAACTCAACCTAGACGCATAGCAGCAATAGGTGTGGCTGATAGAATAGCTAACGAGAGAGGAGAGCAGTGCGGCGACGTCGTTGGTTATGCCATCAAGGGCGAAGCGCGACTCTCCCCCAGAACAGCGTTGACGCTATGCACGACGGGCGTCGCGCTCCGAAGACTCCAAGAAGATGGCTTAGAAGGCGTCACTCACGTTATTGTAGATGAGGTCCACGAACGGTCGCTGGAGTCCGACTTTTTACTGTTAGCTCTCGCGCAATTACTCAAAACGAGAACAGACTTACGAATCGTATTGATGAGCGCGACGATGCCGGGGGAAGCCGTGCAGAAGTACTTTGGGTCCAAGTGCCCCTCGGTCCGGTTTCCTGGTAGAGCTTATCCGGTCCACGCTCTTTACTTGGAAGAGGCTTTATCTGTTACGAGACATGTGGTGCACCCTGCTAGAGACTGGCATAAATCATCAGCTAAATCAGAAAGAATCCAGAAACGGTTAGCTGATGTGGAACGGAACGGCGGCCTCAAGAACCTCCAGTTGCTCCCGAGAGATCCGCACGAGTGTCGGAGACGAGGCCTACCCGTCGATCTGGATGAGAACATCCTGAACGTTGATTTAGTCTGCGACCTCGTCGAGTGGTTCTCGCTGAAATGTTCTGGAGACGTCGACGTGGCCATAGCTGATAGTGAAAGGAGGCAGCCGCCTCGCGCTTCCTCGACGCCGTTGGCTACGTTGGTCTTTGTGGCGGGCGTGCAGGACATTGACGACGTGTTGCAAGGGTTGAGGAGGTCGGGCCGGTTCGATCCGAACTGGTTACGGCCTTTACATGGTTCTTTACCGCCCGATGATCAAAGACGGGTCTTCGAGGTCCCGCCTCCCGGTATTTGTAAGGTAGTAGTCGCGACAAATGTGGCCGAGACGTCCATCACGATCCCTGACGTTGGGTTTGTCGTGGATGCTGGAAGAGTCAAAGAAGAACGGTACGACCCCCAAAGACACATGGCGTCGCTCGATGACGTCTACGTAAGTCGTTCTTCGGCGAAACAGCGACGAGGCCGCGCGGGACGTGTCAGAGATGGTCTTTGTGTTCATTTGATGCCGCGTGTCGCCGTGGAACGGGCCGGGGAGGAAGGTTGTCTCGAGACGCACAGCCAACCGGAGGTCCGGAGAGTGGCGTTGGATCAATTAGTATTGAGATTGAAAGCCTTGCCGGAAGGCGTCGTGCCAGGAAAGACCGCCGCGGAGGCGTGTGCCGCGTTACCCGAACCCCCTGATCCTGAAAGTGTCCAAATCGCCGCGACGTCGTTGATGAGTATCGGAGCCTTGGAGAAACTTCCAGATAAAGAGGACGAAGTGTTAACTGATTTGGGGGCTGTTTTAGCTCGGTTGCCGGTGGACGCTAGACTAGGGAAGTTGTGTGTGCTCGGGTGCGTATTTGACGGGTGTCTCGACGCGGCTCTGACCGTTGCGGCCGCTCTAGGTAACAGGTCACCGTTCCTCTCACCGTTGGAACGACGAGAACAGGCCGACGCGTCGAAGCGAGCCTTTTGTGCCTACGACGGCGGTCCCTCCGACTGCGGCCATTCTGATCTGTTGTGTATTCGCAACGCCTATGATGCGTACGAGGACGCGGGTCGTAATAAATATGATTTTGCTCGTGAGAGGTTCCTGGGCATCAAGACGCTCCAATTGATTGGGTTGTTGAAAAGACAATTACTGGAAGCTCTGGCGCAAGCTGGGTTAGTTAGGAACGCTCCCAGAACGTTACGAGCGAGAGATGTCGAATACTTAGGAAAGAGTTATGGAGACACGGACGGTGTTAGAGCTGCATTGGCATCGTATAGAAGATCACAGCCGCCGCCACCTCCCTCGGATGCTGTGGTAGCCTCATTAGTATCGGCGGCGCTGTTCCCGCAAGTCGCCTACGTGAAAGCTCCCCTCTCAAAGAAGACGAAGAACCCGTGTTCTCCCGAGAATTTGAAATTGGAGATCCGCGACCCGCGCGGCGTCGAATCGGAACCGCAGTCGGCGAGCGTGCATCCTTCTAGTGTTCGTGGTCGGTTGAACGGTTCGCACTGGCCGTCGCCGTACTGTTGTTTCCACGAGAAGGTGCGGACCACGAAAGTCTATGTGCGGGACGCGACGCCGACGCCGCCGCTCGCGCCCTTCTTGCTCACGGGAAACAACCTGGAGGGCGAGACGACGCTAGTCTTAGATGGGTGGCTCAAATGCGTCGTGGAAGGAGGTAGTGTTGTCAGAGACTTCCGCGACGTCGTGTCGAGAAAGGTGTCGGACCTACTCAGTGGGAAAGACCTCGGCAACGACGGCACCGCGTTACTCTCGGGCCTCGAGGCGCTATCGGCTCTCGAGGCTTCATCGTTACCGGAGAAGTACAAGCGCCAGCCGCCGCCGCCCAAGAAGAAGGTCGCTCGGAAGAGCGTGAACTCCAAGTGGCGCACGAAGCAGCGCCAGGCGCGGCGCCGGTCGCACTACGTGAGCGGTGGTTCGCACTACGGGCCGTGGTAATGATCTGACACGACGCGCCCGCGCCCGGTGTATGGAATGTAGATAAGTACTCAAGTTTACAAGTACACAGTTACCGCATCGGCGTACAAGAACTCTAGTTAATACGATCACAGCCCTTCCAGGGGGCACTCGAACGGCTGGCGCCGCAGCGGTGCGGGGCGCGACGGCGCGCGGTCGACGACGCGACCGGCCTTGATCAGACCATCGAAGAACTTGCTGCCGACGTTCTTCCCAGCCGTCCCGGTGCCCCCATCGTGTGTAATTACAGGCTTCTTCAAGTCCGAGGCCCACCTATGCGTAGAAATATCAGTGACGCCAGTAACAGGTTGTGTTGGGACACCGTGCTGGACTCGGGCCGCAGCGCGTAGTCGTCCTCCTTGGCCTGGTGGCGAAACACGATCGGCGACCCAGCCGGCGAGGGTATCGCCACCGACGTCGCGACGACGCGGCCAATGCGCTCGACGCGCGCGTCTTTACCGGAGACGGCGTCCGGCGACGCCGCCGCGTAGACGTCGTAGAGAACGGTCTCCGGCGCGATCGTCGCTAGCAATGCATCCACAAATGCGGTGTTTGGGGCTCCATCGGGTAGCGGCGGCGACGCCACGCGTGGATGGAGGTGCAAGGCCCACGGAAACGTCGCGCCGAGCTCCTCGCAGCCGCCCGACAAATCGCAGCCGTCCTCGTCCAGAGACGCAAACTCGGACAGACCCAACGCGAGGGGATATTTCGAGTACTTCTCGAAGGCGCGCAGGGCGGGCTGCGCCGCCGTCGGGACTTTCCGCGTGAGCTGCGTGCAGAGGCCGTGGGAGAAGAAGTCGCGTTCCGCCTGGCCCGTCTTGGCGCCGGCAAATAGCAAATTGCCCGACGGCCCGTTGGCGCGCATGCATTTGATCGCCACGAGCGGGAAGAGCTTACTGTGCTTGGCCTTGCCCAGTACTAATGACGCGGCGCCCGTCGGCGGCGCGACCGCGGTACTGAACCGAATCAAGCCCGTCCGCGCGCCTTGCCGGAACAAGCCCGTGTAGTCGCTCGCGAAGAACTCGATCCTACACCGCGCGAGGGCGCCCGTCGCGGCGAGCTTCCGCTCGCCCTTCTGGCCGTAGGGATGTTCAGAACGGTCGTCGAGCGGGCATTTCAATAAAGTCGAGTAGTCTGCACCATGGATGTCCTTCAGCACGGCGACGTGTGTTGGTATTTTCTGGTCCCGCGGGCTCGTGCCTGCATGCTCCAGGCAGCGCGTCCACAGGGCCGTCGCGGCGGCGGCGCGGGCGGCTTCGTTGTCGTTTCTATCGTCGGCGGCGACGGTCGCGGCGTCATCGTCGTCGTCGGCTGGCGCGTCTGCTTTATCTTCTACTGGGCCGCTGGTCGACATTTTAACGGATTGTCACAACAAATTCCACAGCTACGTTATGCCGTGCCGCAGGCGCCGCAGGCCAGGTGCACTCACTGCGTACGCGACGCGTAGCGATCCGCAGCGATGCGCAACCGCTTCGCCAATTGAAACCAAAGCAACAACACGTGCTTTGAGCACACAGCGGCCACCTATTCGGGCACGCAGCGTGATTTTAATGCGGCTCCGGAGACAAGACAAACTCTAGAGTCTCACAGCTAGGGTTTCACGCAACCAACTGACCGGTCGTCTTGTGTGCTTTTACCCAGTCGTCAAACGACTCCGGCGATGGTTCACGCGTCCGTCCGATACGTACGATGCGGACCCAAACAAAGACAAAACCACTCGCGGCCGTGCTCGGGCGCCGGTTACGCCTGGTCTGAGCGCACCGGTGCAAGTTAGAGGTGGTCAGGGATCGCCGCGCAGCGCTCTGGTGCTGCGGCGAGCGGCGCCGCGTAATCTGGCCGCTGCAGAGCGTTGAACCCAGCAAGGCCACCAGTTTCTACGCGCGGCGCGGCGCACAGAGCCATGTACCTGCCAACTCTACGAGCGCAATCGCTGCGCCTCGCGCGCCGCAGCGCCTCGACGGGCCTGAAATACGAGGCCCTGGCCGTCGGCGTCCCGAAGGAGACGTTTCCACTCGAAAAGCGCTGCGCCGCATCTCCCACCAGTGTAGCGCTCCTGAAGAAGAATGGTATTGGAGAAGTGCTCATCGAGGACGGCGCCGGCATGGGCGCGTCCTACTCGAACGCGGCCTACGAGGCGGCGGGCGCAAAAATCGTAAGCGCCCAAGATGCCTACAACGCCGACGTCGTTTTGAAACTGAGACCGCCCTCGCTCGAAGAAGCTGGAAGTCTGAAACCGAAGAACACGCTGATCAGCTTCATCCAGCCCGGCCAGAACGAGGACCTCGTCAAAACGTTAGCCAAAGATAACCATACGGTGCTCGCGATGGACTGCATCCCCCGCACACTGTCGAGAGGCCAGACGTATGACGCTCTCAGCTCCCAGGCGAACATTGCTGGGTATAGAGCCGTGATCGAAGCTTCAAATGAATTCGGGCGGTTCTTCGCCGGCCAGATGACGGCCGCGGGCAAGGTCCCGCCCGCCAAAGTCCTGGTGCTTGGAGGTGGTGTTGCGGGACTAGCCGCGATACAAACGGCGAAGAACATGGGCGCTATTGTAAGAGGCTTTGACGTGAGAGCCGCGGCCGCCGAACAGATTGAAGCGATGGGCGCGCAATTTCTCAAAGTCGACTTCGAGGAGGACGGCAGCGGTGCGGGCGGCTACGCCAAGGAGATGTCCGCGGAGTGGCATGCCGCTGCTAGGGAAATGCTCCTCAAGCAGTGTTCCGAGGTGGACGTCATCGTCACGACGGCCCTGATTCCCGGCCGGAAGGCCCCCGTCATGATCGACGCGGAGATGGTCAAGGCCATGGGTTCTGGTTCGGTCACTGTGGACTTAGCTGCGGAGGCGGGAGGCAACGTGGCCACGACGGTCGCGGATCAGAAAATAATCACGGAGAACGGCGTCATCTGCTTAGGCTACACGGACCTGCCGTCTAGACTAGCTCGCACGTCCACCGACCTCTACGCGAACAACATCACGAAGTTCTTCCTGTCTGCGGGGCCCTTCACCACTAAGGTTGCTGATGAGTTCCTTATTGATCATGAGGACGAGGCCGTGCGGCCCATGTTGGTCCTCGACCAGGGCAAGTCGACGTGGCCCTACACGCCGCCGCCGCCGCCCGTCGTCGAGGCCGCTGCCAGCGAAGTGGTAGAAGAAGTGGTCGAAGAGGCGCCCCCTCCGGACCCGTACCAGGAGTACATGCTGGCGGCGCGGAACGCGTCCATCGGTTCGGCCGTCTTCATGGGTCTTGGGAGTGGTGTCCAGCCCCCGATCCTCGCGACGTTCTGCCTCTCGACGGTCATCGGCTACTACACCGTGTTTGGCGTCGCGCCGGCGCTCCACAGTCCTCTGATGGCCGTCACCAATGCGATTAGTGGCATGACTGCGGTTGGCGGTCTCTCGTTAGTTGGTGGTGGTGTCGTGCCTTCTACTTCTGCTCAAGTACTGGGTGCGACGGCGACGGCTATTTCTACCGTCAATATTGTCGGAGGGTTCTTAGTGACCAAGAAGATGCTCGATCTCTTCAAGCGAGAAGGCGACCCGGACGAGCACCCCGAGCTCTATGCGATTCCCGTGGTCGGCACTTTGGGTGCCTATGGTATTGCTGGTATGTCCGGGTTAGGTGATCTCGCGCCCGTCGTCTCCCTAGCTTCGGGCTTATGCTGCATCGGCGGCATCGCGGGCTTAGCCGAGCAACACACCGCGAGACTAGGCAACACGTTAGGCCAGGCGGGCGTGACGTTAGGCATGGGCGTCACGCTCGGCGCGATGCACCCGGATCCCGCTACTGCCTTACAAATAGCCGGGCTGCTGGGCGTCGGCGGCGGCGCGGGCTATGCGATCGCGTCGAAAGTCGGACCGACGGAACTGCCCCAGACCGTGGCGGCGTTCCACTCGTTGGTCGGTGTCGCGGCCGCGGCCACCGCCGTCGGCGAGTACGTCCATCTCACCGAACACGGCCCGGCGTCCATCGATGCCGTGACCAATACCTCGTTGTATTTAGCGACGTGGATCGGGGGCATCACGGCGACTGGGTCAGTCGTGGCCTTTGGGAAATTGAACGGTAATCTGGGGAGTGCGCCTTTACAACTCGCGGGACGGGACCAGATGAACATGGCCATGGGTGCCGCTTCCTTAGGAGCGTTCGGTTTATTCCTGACGAACCCATCGCCCGAGACTGGTCTGTTATGCCTCGGAGCCGCGACTGGTCTGTCGGGCGCTCTCGGTGTGCACATGACGGCGTCGATCGGTGGCGCGGACATGCCCGTCGTTATTACCGTACTTAACAGCTATTCAGGATGGGCGTTATGTGCGGAAGGATTCATGTTGGATAACCCTCTGCTCACGGTAGTAGGTGCCTTAATCGGCTCGTCAGGCGCCATTTTAACGCACATCATGTGCGAGGCCATGAATAGAGATATCGCCTCCGTGATCCTAGGAGGCTTCGGCGAGGAGGCGAAGGGTCCCGCCATGGAGATCACCGGTACTCATTCCGAGATTGATGTGGAAGAATGTGCCACCATGCTCAAGGAAGCTTCTTCGGTCATCATCGTGCCGGGCTATGGGTTAGCTGTTGCGAAGGCGCAGTACGCCGTCGCGGAGATCGCCAAGCTGCTGAACGATAGCGGCGTGCAGACGCGCTTCGCGGTGCATCCCGTCGCTGGGAGGATGCCCGGGCAGTTGAACGTTCTACTCGCGGAGGCGGGCGTGCCCTACGATATTGTGGAAGAGATGGAGGAGATCAACCCGGACCTTCCGGAGACGGACGTTTGTTATCCGTGTGGAACTCAACCCGCACATCATTTCTCGGCGACACAACGCGCCATACTGGCTCATTGGGTGGTGAGAGAGCCAGTCCGCCACGCCATCGAGCTGGCGTCGCGTCGATGGCGTGGTTGTCGTGATTCGGCCGTGGGCGAGACGCGCCGTGAAATTTTATTTCCACACAGGTTGCCATTGTGATTGGGGCGAACGACACCGTGAACTCGGGCGCGCAGGAGGACCCGAACAGCGCCATCGCGGGCATGCCCGTCATCGAGGTGTGGAAGGCGAAGCAGTCGGTCGTCCTGAAGCGCACGATGGGCGTCGGGTACGCGGGCGCCGACAACCCAGTCTTCTACAAGCCCAACAACGCCATGCTCCTGGGCGACGCCAAGGCGACGTGCGACGCCCTGCGCAACAAGCTGGCGGAGTGAGCTGTGGGCGTCCTCGGGGGTAAGTTATACGTTCTAGTCACCCTTACTCACCGCGCCACTTACCGCGCCACTTGCCAGAACTCGAGGATTTTCCACACGATGCCGTTGTCCCCGAGCTTGCACAGGAAGACAATCGACCGATAGGCGGCCGCCGCGCGTTTTTCGAGTATGTCTCTTTCGAGTATGGGTTCGCGTCTTGGACGCGCGCGGCCGCGCGAGAGGAGCGATCGGAGGCGGAGAATCTGCTTGTGCGGCAGCCTACAGTAGGACTTCCAGCTACCGCCGCACGCGCGCACGCCGGAGATCAGCGCTTTTGCTTCGACGAAAGCCTCGTTTTGAGCTAATCCGGGAAATTTCGTTTCGCCTTCCCTCATTGATGCGTCGGCCGAAAACCGCGGTCTATCTCCCGAGTAGTTGGGGTAATCGTCCAGTGGCGCTCCGTGGCGCAGCAACAGCTTGATAACTTCCACTGCGTCCCTTTCCCTATGAATATCGAATTCTCCGTCAGTGGCGAATCCTTGGACGATAGGCGCGCGGAGTGGAGTCATCCCACCAGAGATTTGGCTGGAAAGCGGAGCCGCCTCGAGAAGTGTCGACACGATATCGACCGTGTGTTCACCTTGGCTAGAACATGCTGAGGCTATATACAACGCAGTCAACCCCGGCGCATGACATACGGACGGGTCGGCGCCGTTCGCGAGGAGCAAACGGACTAGCGAGAGCTTTGTTTCGTCGCGCCTGCCGGTGACGGCGATAGAGAGCAGCGTAAATTTCATCTCGGAGCCAGGAAAGGTGGCGAAATCGTTCACGCGCGATTGATCTGCGGCAATCCACGCCTTCACCGCGTCGATATTGCCCGTAATCACAGCCTCTACAATATCTTCATCAAGCACCATTTTTTATGTCTGGCCTGGCTCCCCAAGGCGCCTCTGCGTTTGCGCGTATGAGAGAGTATGTCGTAAGGAAGAAACTTCGGCGAGGTACAGACCAGCACTAGTTAGCTAGCGGCCTGTAAGACACTAGCTGCAAGCACTCCAACATTGTGTGCCGCAGCGCAGCAGCAGAGCTAGCCATTTGCAGCACGCATCGCTGCCGCATCACTGCTATCGCAGCGCTGCACTGCACCTCTGCTGAACCGCTAGCGAGCTGAGAGCATCGATGCGCCTCCTCCGCCGCGCCGCAGCCGCTATGTCTGCTGGGGTGGCACGCGCTCTGACTACGTCGCGCGTCACCGGGCTAGCTCCAGGACCGTACGCAGTTGGCGTGCGCACGATTCAATTGACAGACGAATCAAGGCAAGAGGACGGCGCGCCGCGCAAGCTGCAGACCGAGGTCTGGTACCCAGCCGCGCAGACCGATGCCAAGCCGAGCGCCTTCTCGGACTTCCTCTGCGGCGTTGCTGCTCCCCCCAAGGAAATTATACAAGCGGCCGAGAAGCCGGACGCCATCGGCGGCTACGCCGACGGCCTCACCATCGACAAAATCGATGCGGCCTGGCCCTGCGTCGCCGTACGAGGCGCCGAGATAAATAAAGAGGAAAGGTGGCCCGTCGTCGCGTTCTCGCACGGCTCCGGCGCCTATAGGGCATCGTACGCTTTTTGGACGGAACATTTGGCGAGCCATGGTTATGTTGTTTGCGCCTGCGACCACCCGGGGAGCGCGCGCTTCACCGTGGTGGATGGTCAAGTCATCACGCCGGGCGGCGAGCGGTCGAAGCGGTCGAGGATGGAGAGCGATCGCGTCGCCGACGTCAAGGTCGTCCTCGACGGCGTCATCGACGACTTAGGAGACGCCGTCGATGCGGACAAGTGCGCCGTGACGGGCATGTCCTTCGGCGGCTGGACGACGGCCGCCTACTGTGAGCGGAACGACCCGCGGATCAAGGCTGCGGTCCTCATGTGTCCTTCCCTAGCGATGTCCGATGCAGGCAAACTATCCAAGGGCCACACTTCTACGGTACCTGCGTTGGTCATGGTCGGCCGCGAGGACACGGTCATCGGTGTCGAAGGCAACGCCGCGGCCCAGGACTACGCTACCCAACATCAGGGCCCGGCGGCCTACCTCGAGATCGTGAGGGGCGGCCACTGCTCGTTCACGTCCTGCGATTTGTACAACGCCGCGTACGGCAACGGCATCGGCCCCTCCAAGAGTCTGGACGGGGGCACCTACGAGCCTTTAGATATCGCGGAGCAGCACGCCGTCTGCAACGAGTACGGCCGCGCGTTCCTCGACGCGCACCTGAAAAAGAAGGGTGACGTGCCGAAGGAGAACCGCTTCGACGCGTCCGAGGTGGTATGGGAAGCTTATTAACAACACAAAACTAGTCTATTAACGAGGGCTCGCCGAAGGCGAAGACGATCGAGATGCGCTCCCGGTTCCGTTTCATTGGGCGGGCCGGCGCGCCCCACCAGTCGTAGAGGACGTCGCCGTCAACGTCAACGCCGGCCTCCGAAAGCTGCCGCCGCGAGACGCCCAGCCGGATGCCGTGGTGGAGCTCCATCCGCGCCTTGCCCGACAAGTGGACGAGAGTCCCGATTGTTGCGAGGACGTCTACATCGGCCGCGTCCCAGGAATTCATAGATACCGCCTCCTGGTCGCACGTCGTCGAGTCCGGCGGGCCGACCGGCGACAGCGTCAGCACCGTGTCCGAGAGCAGGCCGACAATACACACATTGGGCCCGTCTTTCGCTGGATCAAGATGTGGGTCCAACCGAAAGTAGCCGTCGCGCCGCCGGTTGATCGTCACGTCGCGCAGCGGACCGAGCGCGAGCGGCGACGCGCGCGCGCGCTCGGCGAGCTTCCTCAAGACCGCGGGCAGCGCTTCTACATCAAACTCGTCGCCGTGGCCCCAGGGTGCCAGCGGCTGGTCCGGGCGCTCGAACCGGCCCGTGACGCGCTCCGCGTTTACGAATGGTCGTTCGCTCTTCGTGAGATGAGCCATCTGTCCTTCGAAATACGCCTTATCTCTCGGCCGCAACATTTGGCGTCCATAGCGGTCGAGGCACTCACGCGCACAGGACGCCACCTCGTCCAACTCGTCCGCTGCCACGAAGCCCGGAATCACGCGCAGGCCCGGGTTTGCCGCCGCGGCAACATTAGCGCCGTTGCTGACGCGGCGGATGTGCGCCTCGTCGACGTCGTTGAATGGGCGGTGCTGGTAGAGGGTGCGGCCGAGGAATGTGAGGAGTGTTGCCATTATTTAACTACTTGCGCGCGGCAGCAATGCAGCAGCCAGTGAGTAGTGCGGCAGCAATGCAGCAGCCAGTGAGTAGTGAGCCACAGCTGCAGCCTGTAGAGCGATGCAAGGCTTTGCGATGCTATCCAGTGCAGGAATGAACCGAACGTCGTTACGCAACGAATGGCTTATCCACGCCCGTCAGCGGTCGAGTGCTTTGCCAAGTCGAGTCCCAGCGGCTAGCGGTCTGTAACACACTAGCGGGCATTTTTCAAGTGAGTCTTGGCCGCCTTGACTCGTATCCTTGCTCTCTGTGCAGCGCAGCGCACGCAGACCGCACGCGTGAACAGCAGAAGTCTCACGCGCAGCCGCGCTGGCCATCTCGCAGCCGCCTGGACCCTCAGAACACCCGCTTGGCGATTTGATTACAGTTGGCGGCGGATCCCGCCGAAGCGCGACGACACTGAGCGAACGCCGCTGCCCGCGGCCTCCTCCAAAGGCCCCAGAGATCGTACACCATGGCTCGAGCCACCGACGACACCCACTGCTTCAGCTTCTTCCGCAACGAGCCGCAGACCCCGACGACACCGAAAGGGAATGACCCCACGGCCATCCTGGACCGCGCGCTGGCCGAGGCGGAACGAAGAGATTCGGCGCGGAGCAGCATCACGTCTTCGTCGTCGGGCCGCGCCTCCACGCCGCGCGTGGCCGCAACGCCGCCGTGGGACGCGCCCGAGACGCCTGTGGCCTCATCACAAGCTCCCGGCTCCCTCATCACCGGTGTCAACCTAGCGCTCGAGGCGTTCGCGCTGGAATCGCCGTCGCCGGTGCGGCCACAAGCAGCACAACCGCCGACGCCCGACCGCGGACTCCGCGACCGCACGAACACGCCGCCGCGGCGGGCCCACTTCGCGCCAAGGCCGAAAAGAAAACGCGTGCCGCTCCCAGCGCTCTAGCTCATCCCCATTATTTAAGAAAGACTGTGCACAAACAATTACATCAACAACTACCCGCGTCGTCCTTGGCCTCGGCGGCGGCCTGGACGACGTGTGGACCGACGCGATGCGCTGCCGGGGGCATCGCGTCGACGTCCATCCTTCCGTCCGGCGCGGGCGGCGCCGCTTCGACGTCCATCGGCGCCGGCGCCGCTGGGGGAGGCGGTGCGGGATTAACAGGCGCCGGGATCGGCGGCGGCGCACACGCGTTCTCGCGCGCCCGGTCCGCGAGCAGCTCCCGCAGCCGCCGCTCATCCACAAGAATCTGCTTCAAATCCCTATCGTCTACCGGCTGCGCCATGCGCCTCAAAAAGCCGCGCACGGCGCCCAGCGCGTTACTTGTACTGAGGTCGAGCTGCGCATCACTCAGAAACTGGCGCACCCAGCCCGGCAGCTTGCTCCGCTTATCTTTTCTTCCAAATCTATCGTCTGCTAACACAACAACTCCATAGTCCGTCTTCGAACGGACCACCCTCCCGACGCATTGGGCGGTCTGTCGTAATGCGTCGAACGTCAGGAACGTGCCCTCCTGGATGTTATGTTTCGAGCGGAGGAATTCTAATCTAGTCCGCAACACATGAGACTGCGTGTACTGGAAGGGCACGCCGATATTCAATACACAGCGGCCGTAGTGTCGATCGAAGTCAATGCCCTCCGCGACCTTGCCGCGAGCAATCGAGAAGAACACAGCCCCTCTACCACTATCACAAGCTCTTCGGTAATTCTCCAAGGCTAGCGTCGTCTCGAGCACATCTTTGGTCTCGACGAAGATGAGCTTCCTCGTTAAGATACGTTGTAAGGTACCATCATGGTCCCACTGCTGGACGACCCGTTCCATATAAGAATAAGAAGTGAAGAACACGGCCAACCCGTCCGGCACGACCTCACAAAGCTGCACGAGCAAGCCGCCGTAGTTCCTCACGACGTCCGTGCCATCTCTGCTTTCGAACCGCGTCGAGACCTTCCGTTGGTCGTCACCTTTGCTCACAACTAACGGTAAGATACAAGGTCGGAAGGTCGACATCGGCAGCGACGCCCGCACAACCGGCGCGAAGTTCAGCAGCTTGGGGTACAAGTCTAACGGAGATAATGTTCCAGACGTCAACACGACAGACCGGAACCGTTCGACGACCGGTTTTAACGCTAGAGATGCATCGAGACACGCCAGATCCAGTTGCGGCTCGGGCACGCCGGACGACCCCCTCCGCAACGGATCGACGACGATCGAAAAGCCTTCCGCGTACGTACTGACCGTGGCGGCGAACTGGGCGACTCTACCAAGAGCTCGCGCGTCCTCTACTTCCACACATCGTAACGTTCGGAGGAGTTGCTGTAACCGCGCGTGGAAGAACTTCAAAGGCTTCGCTTGGAGCGTCGTCCTTTGTTCTAAACCGGCTAAAAAAGCCGTCGTGCTCTCGACCTCCACGCGTTGTGAGGATAATCGTCGCAGTAAATGCTGCGCGAGCAACCTCAACATCTGGAGGAACTGCTCGGCCCTTCTTACCGAGCCGGGCACGGCCTCTCTCAATAATTCGTCGGGCAAAGGCGCCGCGGGCCCACCCGGCGCATCATCTGTTCTAGGTGCTGCCTGGTTCAAGCCTAGACCCCTCACCAAATTGTCGTACTCCTGGCGCACGCGCTGCGCGTCGCTTTCTTTCAATTGGTCGACTTTCCTACCAAGTCTCTTCGCGCACCGCTCCGCCGCTCGTAAAGACTTGTCGTCTAGCTCCACACTCAAAGCTTCGATACAAATGTTGTCGATATTGTGGCCCTCGTCGAAGACCACAATCGACTCCTTCTCCAACTCCCTCGTGACTAGACCGGCCACCCGAGGATCGAGCATGTACTGATAGTTGTACACGACGACATTCGCGTGCTGGATCGCGTGTCTCGCGACGAAGTAGGGGCACCAGCCAGTACGTCTACCTAACCTTCGTAAGTCTTCGGCGTCGTAGACGCCGTCGGGAATTTGCGCATCAGTACCCAATGCTGCCCACGTATCATGAAACGAGCAGCACGGTCCGCTTCCGGTTTGTGCCCTCGCTTCGCGCACCCACGACGCCGTGCGTTTGCGACATTCGGCGTCGACGCTTTCTCTGTCGGTCCTATTGACGACTTCATCTAGCACACACAAATTCCTCCTCGAACTGAGACATAAAGCTAGAAAGGGCGCCTTCGGTGCATTTGCCCCGCGTACTTCATCCCTATATTTCCTCAGTCGCTTCAGCTCGGCCAGACACTTCTCCATCTCCGGGACCGTTCGCGTGCAGTAAATCAACTTCCCGGCCTCCGGGTGGGCGTGCTGGAAGGCCGTCACTAATGCCAAGAGACAAGCGGTTTTTCCCGTGCCCGTCGGCATCTCGAGCAAAGCATGGCCCTCCGCATCCAACGCTTTTTTTAGTTCGCACATGTACGCGAACTGCTCGGGGTACAACGAGGGGTAGGGGAAGAAGACGTCGAGGTCGTCGAGCGTGAAGCGGACCATCTTCCTCTCTGAGAGCTTTTTGCTGCAAACGTGTAGCCCGCGGCGACAGGCGTGCCGGTGGCCTCGCGCTGCGGTGGCACTCACCGGAGAGCAGCTCTCTGACAACGCGTTATTCGCGGCGACCGGTGATCTCGCGCTGCGGCAATTGTAATAGAGGAAGAAACCACTATGCCACGCGTGTTCAAGCCCGCTCCGGAGCCTCACACAGCGCCAAGCTGGCGCTCTTCCTGGCTTTGAGGCTAGTGTACTAACATACTAGCTTTTTAGATTTTTTTTTACTTTCTATCTGGGAGCAGCCCTCAAAAACGCAGTGGCCAGCGATCGACACGGTCTTGCCTTGCATTGGTTTACGTATCGAGTCGCAGCGCTGCGCGATTTGTAGTGGAAAAGAGGCACTCCTTCACGCCTGGGAGAGCTTGGGGAAATTGCGAAGGGCAGCCCTTTTTGGCGTCCGTGAGCTTCGAGATCATGCATCAGTTTGGTGAATGCCATCGTCATGCACCAGCCGGCATTACGCGCAGCGATGCGCGCCCTTCCGCCGCTTTTGTGGTCGCGTTCGGCATGGGCCGTGCCTCGCGGCGCAGAAGAAGCGGCGCGCGCGGCCTCAACGGCGCCGCTGTGGGGGTTACATGTACTGACGTGCTGAACGCGTCCTCGGCATTCGTCGCGTTGCGGCGATGACTTGTAGCAGTACTTGGCGGCGCCTGCGCCCCCTCAATCTCCGACTCCTGGTCCCACGATCAGGGCGTGTTCGTCGCCCTGGGCGATGTCGATGGTCCCGACGTTGAGCCGACGTCTGGGTCCCATCACGCCACACGGTAGCGTTGAGGCGGCCGCGAGCGCACCGAGCGCGTCGACGAAAGGCCATCGCCGGCGCGGCGACGATACCCCCACGCCGTTGGCGTCCCTGGGCCGGGTTCGCGGCGCTGCGACGGCGCCTCGGGGCACGTCTCGCCGGGCTGCGTGCCGTCGCGATCGGGGGCTGTCCCCGGTAACCTAAGTTTTAACGCGGCGAAGGACCCGGCGGCCGACGACGCGGAATGCTATAGTAAGTAGCCGAAATCAGTTGCGCTTTCCTAAGGGGTGGCGTCTCGCGGGACGATGGGCACTCTACTCTACCATCATCCGGTGGGAAAATCGCGCCGCGACGGACCATTCATCTTTCTTCGGGGACCCGTCCCCGACTCCTCCCCGGCTTATTATTACGCCGCTGTCGCGGCGCGGCGGCCGCCGCGAGAGACAATCTCCTTTGCCCAAAATCTGCCAAGACGGTCGCTGGTGGACGTCCTCAGGGCGCAGCCGCGGCGCTGCGGCACAGTCGGTCCATCTGGCGACCCGCGGCAGCGAGGCGACCGGCGGAGCCGGGGGCTGCGGGATTGCTTGGGCAGCTGCCCCACTCTCCAGCCACCCTGCTCCTAGGCGTCGGTAGCCGGACGCCCAGACGCAGCCGCCCGCCGGCGAGGCGCGCCGCCAGTATCTACACGTGGGTCGACGAAAAGTGGTTCTTAGGCAACCCATGTTGGGGCGGCGAAGCGGGACGCGCGCGCGCGCTCACGGCCTACTGCCACCAGTAGCTTCTAGAGATCCGCACGCGCGCGAGCTCGCGGCGGACCGGCTCGGGCAGGGGCATCCCCCAGCCCTCCGAGTGCTTCATGATGGCGATCTGCGTCTTCTCGGAGGCGCCCTGCATGGCCTGGTAGACGAGCGGGCCCTTGAGGCGCCCCTGGTGGCCCTCGAGGTTGATGCCGTGGACCTTCAGCAACTCGATGGCCGCGGCGCGATCCACGCCGTTCGCCAACATGGCCGCGAAGTCCTCCAGGTGCTTCGAGGCAGCTTCATTGGCTCTCTCGAGGTGGATCATGCTGCCGGCCCGCGCCGTGGCGAGCGCCTCCTCGTTGTGGGTGGGCACCATGGAGAGGAGGCGGTGGTAGATACACTTGAGGTGCTCGCGCGCGGTGATGGCCGCCCCCAGGCCGCCCGGGAACGAGTACTGGGTCATGCTTCCCATATAATTGGGCGCGTAGTAGTGAGAAGTCGCGATCATGGCCCGGAAGTTTGTTAAGGAAGCGATGCAGATGTCCACGTCCGGGGCCTCGCACTTCTCGCTCCAGAAGTACCTTGTCATATCCGCGCTGATCATGCGGACGTTTTGACCAGAGAGGCACTCCTTCAACACCGTCCGGCAGGACTCGTCGTCGCGGATCAACCCATACACTTCAGCGGACTTGCGGCCGCAGACTTGCGAGAGCGCCTCGAAATCCCACTCATCATTGGTCAGTGTTATTTGACAGCTGGAGGGGGGGGCGAGCGTCGTGCAGACCCTGACGAGGGCTTGCGTGGGCGTCGACGAGGCCATGTTGAACGTCTTTGTGAAGGTTTGAGGGTCGTACGGGCGGTAATCAGGTCGCTTTTTGCCAAAGAGCAATCGCCTGTATAATTTTTTTTTAGCATAAAAAACAACAAAACTAACCTGGGGATCCATTGTACGTCTACTTCCACAGATCTACAGTTCTGTATGTGCGCTCGGGTGCCGGATGCCTCTCCCAAGCCAGTGTGCTGGAGGCGGCGCAATTGCGTGATACGTACGCGCATAAATCGACAAACTTCACCAGCGCTGGGAAACGCGCGGACTCGACACAGTTGCATCCATTGCAGAACTTAGCGAGGCAAGAGATAACCTACAAAGAGCAGCACACTACCTATAGCAAGTGAGACATCATCACGCCGCGCGTCCTCTTTATTTCCTGCGATGCGGTGGTCTTCACGACGCAGCCGCGAAGCACCGCGAGCGCTGTCGCTGCGCGCCGGCGAAGCGTCGGACGCAAAACGCTGTTCGCGCTAGGGCAACGCCATCAACGCGCTGATCCACCAACAAACCAACAACGCGGCGTCGGCGATCGATGACGAGAAGGCGCGCGGCGCCGAGGCCGTGGCCGCGACCGCCGCGGTCGAGGGCGTGGAACAGACAAGGTCTGGCTCGGTGATCGATCATGTCAAGGAGGGCGTCGGGCTGTTCCCGACGGCTGGCCTCGAAGGTGTCCGTACACTACGTCGACACGCTCATCGACGGGACGGCCTTCGATAGCTCTCGGCCGCGGGGAGAACCGGCGCAGTTCGTCGTCAAGCAGGTCACCGCGGGCTGGTAGGAAGCGCTCTAGCTCATGCAACGAGGCTGTGTGGAAATCAAAGATCAGCGCCCTACTTGTTTCCGTAATGCACCTGCTCGAGGAGGCCACGCCATCGACACGACCTTCTCTCCGTAATCACGGTCCGATCGATGGAGGTTTACGCCGTCGACGCGACGTTGTCTATGCAACTGCGCCTGCTCGATGGCGTGGAGGATCGCGATGGTCTCCACACAGGCAAGAAGGCGGCACTGCCGAGCTGACGATCCCGGCCGCCATCGCCTACGGCGACGACAGATCGCCGCTGTACATCGCGGCGGCGGGACGATCTGCTTCGAGGTGGAGCCGCTCCAGGTCCGGCCTGATCCTGTAACCCTAGGTAATAATCACAACTTTTCTTATTTAAAACTTACCCTGCACTCCTACAGCGCGGCGGCGGCGTTCACCACTTGAGACGCTACGTGGAGCATCACCCGAGACCGTACCAAGGCATGCCCAACCCCCTCTACGGTTGGGTGCGCGACGCCGAGCACGCGCCGCGCAATTCGACTCGTCTCCTCGAGCGTCTCCACGCTCTCGCGCAGATCGTCGAGCGTGGCGCCGTCGTCCATGTAGAGCGCCTCCGCATAAATCCACCTAGGTCATGGCGGGCCTCACGGCCGAGGCGTCGGCGTGAGGCGTCGCTGGCTTATGATCGCGTGCTGGTCCCGCTCACTCCCTCCCCACGTATAACATCATGAGTCGTCGGCTCGGCTAAGTGCCCTGGCTCTAGAAGCTTGCAGCTAGAATAGTCAACGCAAAATGACCCTCACGAAACTACACCGCCTGCGCCGCCCCGCTACCCGACGACGCGCCGCGATGTTCTACGGCTGCGCCGCGGCGCCGGCCGGCCTGCTAGGCCTCAAGTTGGCCCGGGCCCTTAGCCAAGCGACGCTTACCTCAACGCTGCCCCGGGGTTGGTATTATTTAGACAACATTAAACGCCGACGAGCCGGTGCGAGAAATCCCGGAGTTCCGCCTTGGTCGCCACCACAGGGGCGACGCGGGCCCGCTTGCGCTCGTCGTCGCTCTTCCGGCGCGCGAGGACCGCATTGCGGAGCGGGCCGGTCCGAGCGAGCTCGACCACCCGGTTGGAGACGGGCGCGCCGGCGTCGAGCAGCACGCGGGCGACGTCGTAATGGCGCCGCGAAATCGCGACCTCGAGCGGATTTTCTGCGCTCGAGAGGCGCCCGGTGCGCGAACATAATGACTTGACAACGTTCACGTGTCCGTTCGCCGCCGCGTGCCAGAGGGGCACTCTCCCGCGGTCGTCGCGTGCGTCTATCCTGGCGCCACTTTCCACCATGAACTCGACGACATCAGTTCCGGCCGCGGCCGCGGCATGCAGGGCCGTGAAACCCCGAGTGTCGGTGGTCGTCGCACCGGCTGGCCACGCCTCGAATATCAAGTCAAAAAGGGCTGAGCAGTGAACTGCTCCAAACAGCGGTGGTCGACCAACGCGGTCGAGGCGAGCGGCCGCAGTTTTGTCCTTGGCGATGATCAGCCTCGCGATCGACACCGCCGCGTCGACGTCGTCCAAGCCGCATACTTCATGGAGCAGCGTGTCGCCGACGGGCGCGCCGCGCTCCAGTAAATTCTCGACGGCTTTTGCGTCGCCGCGCCGGCACGCCTTTGCTAGGTTACTAGCAGACGCTCGTCCCGTCGCGGTTTTGGTGCGAGGCGGCGCCGTCTCGACAGGCGGCGGCGGCGGCGCCGTCTCAGCGGGCGGCTTGGGCGGCGTCGCTTCGGCGGGCGGCGCAGGCGCTGTCTCGACTGGTGCGACATCCGTTATCAGTGCATCCGTCGCCGGCGCATCATCTGCCGACGATTCCGTGGAGCCCTCCATCCGCATAAACGCCGCGGCTATGCCGATCTCGCGGTCGCCGTCGTCGTATAAAACGTTGAAGGTGTCTCCGTCCACAGCTTCTACCACGCCCGCGTACCACTCGTCGCCACCTTCGAACTGCGCTTCGATGCGCGCGCCGACGGCGAACAGGGGCTCCGGTGCCGGCGGCGCGGCGGGCGTGGGCGGAGCTTCCGTCGGCGCCGTCTCGGCGGGCGGCGGAGGCGGCGGTACTTCGCTGGTCGGCGTTGGTTCGGGCACCTGCTCCTCTGGAGGCGGCGGCGGCCGAGGCTTCCGCCGCTTGCCGGTCGCGCCGGCCGCGTGGCGTCGGAGCACGCCGACGACTTGGATCTGCCGCGCGTCGCACGCAATCTTGACGACGTCGGCGCCCGTCGCCGTGCGCAGGGCGGGCGAGGCGCCGACGGTCAGGAGCCGGGATACAGCGTCGGCGTTACCGACAGCAGCGGCAGCGTGGAGAGACGTCCAGCGGTTGCCGTCGGTGAACGCAATGGCGGCTCGGCGGACGAGAGTCGGGGCGCGTTCGACGGCGCCGAGGAGCCGATCCGTTGTGGCAGTGCCTTCCGTCGATATAGCACGGAAGAGCTTGCGTCCCAACAGGCGCCCACGGGCGTGCGCGGCGCCGACCGTCAGCGGCGCCTTCGGAACCGGCGGCGGCGCGTCCTCGTCTTGCGGCGGTATGGGCGTCTCCAGTAGCGCGGCGACAGCGTCATTACCGACGCGGCGCGCAGAGGCGACGGCGTCCTTCGACGCGCAAGTGTATCGAAGGAGCAAAGCACAGCATTCGACGGCTGCCTCTTCGCCCTCTTCGTGTGCCGCGGCCGCGAGTTCGAGCGGCGTCGATGACGTGAACGAACTCCCGACGCGGGCCCGCGACCCGGCCAGCCTCCGGCGTGCCGCTGGATCGGCCTCGCGTAGCAGTCCCGCGACCGCCGTGTGGTCGCCTCGCTGCGCGGCGTCGAGGAGCTTGACGAGTGTACCGTAGACCGGGTCGCCGACCGCAATAGGCTCAGTGCCACCGTCGGTGCCGTCGTACGAGTCGGCCTTGGCGCCGTCGTACTTGGAGCCGTCGTATTTGGCACCGTCGGCCTTAGCTCCGCTGGTGGCAGTAGGCTCGGCCTTGGGCTCCGCAGTATGTTCGACCGCCGGCTCCGCAGTAGGCTCGGCCGTCACGGCGTCGTCGCTCCCGTCGCTGGCGTTGTCTGTCTCAGAAGACCCCGGCAGCAGCTCTGCGGCGTCGGCGCTATCCTGTGCGAATATCGAGCGGTGGTGACTTCGGGTAGGAAACGCGTCGCGTGCGGCCGTGGCAGCGTCCCCGCGTCGCGTAGCATGCGAGTGCAGACGAAGCGACACTTTTACCCGCTCCAGAAGGAGTCTTCCAGTAAGGCGCGCACGTACACATCACTCGCACCCACGTAACGCGGCAACGCCACCAAAGCTTCGAAGGCTCCACGGGACGCCGCTCCAGCACGGCGTCGGCGCCAATCGCCGCGAGCGCTTCGTCGGCATCACGAATCGCCGCGTCGATCGCGCGGCCCAGATCAGAATCAGGACGCCCGACAGGGCTCGGGAGCGACCCCGCGGGGCTCAGTGGGGCATCTTCCTCCGCTGCCGCCCGCGCCGCGCGCGCAGCTGCTAACGCTTCGACGCCCTCGCCCCGCGCTCTTGCCTCCCAATCAGCATATGGATCGACATCGGAGACGACAGTCCCGTCGGCCAACTGCCAGGCTGATGACTCCATCGGCAGCCCCAGCGGTTCTGAAACTACTTGCGGCATCTCGGTCCGGTACTTCGCCTCGAGCGCGTCGAGCTCGGCCTCCGTCGGTCGTCGAGGCAGTCCCAAGCCGTCTTCGCCGTTCTCTTCCAGCTCACCGCGAAATTGCGACAGGAGGCGCGGTCGCGCGTATCCGTCTTCCCGCCGCGCCGTGCGCGCGGCGTGGCATTCATTCAGGACCTGGTTCATGTCAGCATGGGCTTTGCACGCTGCTCAAACTGGCTCGCAGGTGCGTACCGAGCCGTGGACGGTGGGCGGGCAGCAGTGCTTCGCCCTATACGTGCCCGCTTACCATTTGGGCTGCATACCGAGCGGCGGACTCGCAATTAACGGATGCACCGTTTGCGGGCAACAAAACCCAACGCCCCCTGCCGTCACGTCTTCTACGCGTTGGCGCAACCCTAGGAAGCCTAGTGCACGGGTGTAACTGCGATTTGGCGCACTCAGTGTGTGGCTCCTCTCCGGCGTGAGGCAGAGTGCAGCCTCAAACACGCCCCACACGCCGTACGGATCATCATCCAGCAACGAGCAGATGTCTATCGAGTGGATCAATGACGACGACGGCGCGTTGGGCCTCACGAAGCTGTTCAGGGAGGCCAAAAAGCGCGGTGCAACAAGCACTGATGGGGACTCGGACGACGCGGGCGCGTTCACGGAGGCGTCGCTGCCGGACGGCATGACGCCGCTGCTCAAGCAGGCCCTGCTGCCGCCGCTGCGAAAGAAGAAAAAAGCGCGACGCGCGTTGTGGAGTCCGCGGCTCGGCAAGAGCTACCACGAGTCGTGGGCGTTCCACGATAGACTCAGAGCGACCCTAGCCATCTTACTGCAGCGCGCCAAGCACAAGGGCGAGCCGCACGTCGTCGCCACGCAAGCGCTCTTCGACCGGCTCGAGGCGCTGAACGGGGCCATGGCCGACTACACGGAGGCCACCTCTCCGGAGGTGAACGCCATCGTCCAGGCGGGCAAGGAAGTCTGCCTGGCGGCCAAGGCCTGCGCGGACGGCACGTCCACGAAGGGCCAGTTCCGCCGGCTCATCGCCACGATGGTGATGTCGTCGTCGAGGGGCGTCGAGCCCAAGGACGTGCTCAAGGAGGTGGTACACCACGTTGGTCGGCTCGTGGAGTACCACGGCAACCACAACGGCTGGGAAGAGCAGATCTTGATAGACGGTGCGCTGTACCGCACCCCCCAGGGCGGCTTCGAACACAGGACCCCTCCAAAGATCCTCAAGCGCCGGGAGGATGACAAGAAAAGAAGGAAAGACACGAGGGAAGGGAAACGAAAGCCCAAAAACGCGAACCATACGACGGCTGGGCACGAGATAGCATTCAAGGCAGAGAGCAAGAAAGCCGCAGCAAGGCGCGAAAAAACCACACGCGCCAAACGAGGTGTAAAAATCCCCACGCCTCAGTACTGCATGAAGGTTGCTCGAGTAAACGAGGGCGTCACGGTGGTGAAGTTCATAGTCAATCCAGATCACGTGCCGGACGGCTTCGACAACAAGCCGACGTCTCCCGAGCAGGCCTACAAGAACGCACTCGAGTGCCTGCGGCGTACGGGAAAGAAGACGGTGGAAGAACGAGCGGCGGAGAAGGAACTGCCCGAGAAGGTCCGGCGTTCAAGAGCGAAATCCCGGAGAGGAAAGTACATCGTTCAAATGAATGCCGACAAGGCACATCATTCCGGGAAAATTCGAAAAAAATTCAAGTGTTTTTGCGTCGTCAAGCCGGGGACGGACGGATATTATTCGGAGAGCGGTGCAGTGGAAGTGCGGGACGATTTCATCAAGGCGAAGTGCCCGTTCGACTGGTGTTCGAAACCCCTCAAGTAAGTCCATGTGGGCCCCTAGTTTAAGATTTGTTACATTATCGGCGCGCTCCGCCGCACGAGCGCCGCGAGGACCGTCCCGACGTGGAGTGCGGCGAGCGTCCCTTGCAAAGTGGCGACGTTGAACGGCATCGAGAGGTCCATCTCCGGCGTCTGCACGAGCAACGCGTTCGAAAAGGCCAGCGCGCCGTCGCCCGCCGCGTCGTCGTAGGCGATGAAGCCGGCGGGCACGTCCGCGCCCCGGTACACGTCGGGCGGCCACTCGTCGAACGCGAGGTAGCGCGCCCGGTACGCTAGTTTGACGACGGCCCGCGCCTCAACTGTAAATGTCGCCGAGATCCGGAAGGCCGTGACGTCGTCGCGGAAGTCAACGTCGACGAGCGGCGTCGAGACGCCATCCACCAAAACCGTCGACTCCCAGAGCAGCGGCTCGAGCGCGCCGGGCACCGTCATGTGGAGCGTGAGGGCGGTCGCGCGGTCGCTCGCCACGTGGTAGACGAGCGCGCCGCCGGTCCGGTCGCGGATCGCCGCGTGCAGGGTCACGCGGACCGGCGCGGGCCGCCGCGTTTCTGTGTCGTTCACGACCGCCGCGACGGCCTCGCGCAGGGGCGTGTCTAGGAAAGCGGCGCGCTTTGCGACGATAGTCGCCGTGCGCGCTTCCGCGCCGGCTTTCCGCGCCGCCAGGAGCGACGCGTAGCGCGCGCCGAGCACGACGCCGTCGCCGAGCCTTGAGAAGGCCGAGTTCGGCGGGCAGCGCAGCCGGAAGGCGGCGAGGTCGGCCACCGAGAGGGGTGTGGTTGGGTCGACGAGATGCCAGGCGCCCTCTTCATCAATCCCGTCGGCAAACGAGCCCTGAGCAAAGCCTCCTGCTCCCCAGCGCACGTCCCAGCGGCCGCGCGTCGTGACGACGCGGTCAGTGTTATTCGTGTCATGCGGAACGCGCGTCGTCGCGCCGACCACGACCTCGACGAGATCCTGCGGCAGCGCTCGCACGCGCACCTCCGCTGCTGCATGCGCGGCGAGGCCAATTAGCAGTGCTCGCCGCAGCATAGCTCTTGACCCTCAGCGATCAAAAGCGAGCGAGGGCAGCGGTCACGGTGAGCAATAGCGGCTTGTGAACACAGCCAATGGTCGCTCGCTAACCTGGCTTGGGCAAAATCAGGTGGTGCCGGGGGCGGTTCCTAGTGTCTTACATGCCGCTAGCCCCGCTTGCGGCGCGCGGTCGTATAACTCGCGCATACGCGCGCGCGAGCAAGAGGCGCACGCAGCACGCACCGCTGGAGCACCGCTGGAGCACCGCTGGAGCACCGCTGGAGCACCGCTGGAGCACCGCTGTACGCTGGAGGCCCGGCTGTACGCTGAAAGCATCGCTGCGTGCACCGCTGCATCTCTGCAAGCATACTGAAAAGCAATGGCAGCGCAGCGCTGGCCGCTGGCAAGGCGCAAGCTGCACGATGAATGCATGTCAAGCTTTTTAATAGGCAATACGCATGCGCGCCCGCTGCCCCAGACGAATGGAGGACGACGCGTCCTCTACGCCTGCAGCGGCGACTGCCGCAACGCGTTGGCGACTGCTGCCGCATGGGGCGGCGACGTCGAAATAACCCTAAACGACGCGAACCCCTGCGTCGCCACGCGCAACGTCATATTATTACGCCTGCTGCGAAAAGGCGAGACCGAGGCTGCGCGGCAGCTGTGGTCGGATGCGTGGCTCGACGGCAAGAGCGCCGCGCTCGTCACGCGGGAGCTGCAGGCGATCGCCCTGGGCGTGAACGACGACGCCGGCGTGCGCGTCCGCAAGGGCTCGCGCGCCGAAATTCAACGCTGTGCCTCCGCCTGGCTCGACGAGCGCCTGGATGCGACAGAGCACGAGCACGCCCGCGCCGCTGCGTTGGCCGTCGAAGGCGCCGGCGTCGGCCGCGGCGGGAGCAAAGCATCTCAGGCTTGGTTCGCCTACGGCGTCGTGGGACCCGGCGGCAAGAAGCGGCGCAAGGGCGGCCGCCCGAATACGACGCTGCTCGACGAGTCGGTGGTCGACGCGTCGTTGGCCTACCGCGAGACGCAGGGCCCCGCGCACGCCTTCGCGCGCTGCGCCGGGCTCGCGATCGAGTCCGAGGCGTTCCTGAGCGTGTGCGTCGACGAGTTTGCGAAACTCGGCGCCGCGGCAGCGCGTGCTTCGTTTGTGATCTCCTCCGTGGACGCGCTCAGGCGCCCTCCCGCGTTCCGGCGGCGCGGCTACGATGCTGTCGACGCCTCGAATACCGCGGACTACGCCGGTCTCTGGAACGTTTTATTAGCGCTCGCGCCGTGCGTCGCTCCGGGCGGCCGGCTGCTAACCGAGCACGCGCTCACGCGGTGCGGCTCGCTGGACGCGCTCCTCGCTGAGGAGTGGCCGTTTGATGGATGGGCGCAGCGCAAATTGTTGCGTGCCGTGGGGTGGGTCGGGATCCCGGTCGCGGCGGAAGCCGGCGAGGAGGTGCTGCGGGTGGCGTGGGCGCGCGGCGCCCCTGAGTTCACGCCGGCGCCAGCAGCTCGCTTCCGCGCCAAGCGTGCGCGCCGCGACCGTCGCGACGACTTTCGTCGGATTTTGGGGCAGCTGCTCGTGCGCTCTTTCCCTCTCCCGATGGACCCGGAGCTTCGGGCGACTGCCGCGGCGCCGGTCGACGCGGGATACGCCTTTCCGAAGACCACGATCGCGACAGTCGTGGCCCTTGTCGCTGCGGCCGGCGATGCCGCTGCCGGCGCGCTCGACGCCGTTGTGAGCGAGATGGCGGAGCACCCGATAGTGCGGAATATGGCGGCGCAGTTGCTGGTTGAGCTCGTTTTACAGCGCGGCTGGTGCAAGGCGGCGCCGCGCCTCGCGTTCGCAAGGTCGCTGCCGCCGGTAAGGTGCGTGCGATGGAATGTAGCTCCGAAAGCAGACTTGGCGGCGCCGCGCGGCGGCGTCCACGAGCCGGCGTTGGGCGCGCTGTTGCTCCGCGACGCGGCCGCCCTCGCCGCCGCTCAAAAGGCCGACGGCGCCTGGGAAGTCGACGAAGAGGGCGCGCGCGTGAGCTTGCTCTACGAGTTCTGCGAAGAGGCCGACGGCGCGGAGGTCCAGGTTCTAGATCGGGTCTGCTTCCACGTTCCGTCGCGCACGCTCGAGCTCGCCCTGCCGGGCGGCCTACCTTTTCGCCATGTGCTCTTGATCGATGTGCAGACGTTTGCCTCCGTTGCGGAGCCGCTCGACCTCGACGACGCCGCGGTTTAATTATTATCTATAGTTAGTACTTCGGTTAGATAGCGCCCACGCGGTTCGGGTAGTCGTCTAGGATCTTCTTCGTCTCGGCTGCGGCGAGGCGCTCCCAGCCGAGGCCCGCCATGAGGTCGCGCCGGAGCTCGCGCAGCGCCGCGACCTCCGCCGCGGCGGCGGCCCCGCTCTTCTTCTTCGCGTCTGCGTCCAGCCAGACGCCGAGGTCGCGCACGGCGAGGCCCGGCTGGCCGCGCAGGCCGAAGCGATGCGCGCGTAAACGGGCGTCGGCCGCGGTCGACTTGGCCGTGTCGACCCACTCGTCCAGCGACCGCATCGCGGCCTCGAAGGCGGCCGCGTCGCCCTTCGCGAGGGCAGCTTCGGCGGTCCAGCGCTTCGCGGCGAGGAGCGCGGCGTAGTCTTCGTTCGCCTTCTTGCGTAAAGCTTGCGCGGCGTCCTTCGCCGCCGTGTCGTTGCCGAAGGACGTGTCGTCGATGTCCCGCGTCGCCCGCGCGGCCTTGATAGCGTCTACGTCCAAAACTTTCACCAAATCGGCCGCCGCCGCCTCGACTGGGCCGGCCGCGGTCGCGTTCGCGATCGCCGCCGTGCCGTTCTTGCCTTCCCAGCCCGGCGCCGCGGCCGAGGCCGCCCGCGAGAGCGCCGCTTGCGCACATGCCGTAGTACGGTTAGAGTCATACTTCACCACGGCTTCCCGGAGCGCCGCGGCCGCAGCGTCCTCCATCGAGCCCTTCTCGAGCTGCGCGACGTAATTCGCTGCGGCTTTGTCTGCGAGCGCGATGGCCGCTTTGTCGTCGAGCGCGGCCCCCGCGGCTCCCAACAAGTCGCGGGCGCGCGCCGCCGCCTCGGGCGTCGGCGCGGCCTTCGCCGGCGCCGTCGCCTTCTTCGAATCCTTCTTCGCGGTCTTGTTGGAGCGCGGCGGCACAGTGTAGAGCAGGCCCGCAGCAGGTCTTCTAGACGGTCCCTCGGAGTTGGCGGCCGAGCGGCAGAGGCCGGCGGTTCCTGTCAAAATATCGCCGGGCGCCGCCTCGCTCGGTAATTTACTTTCGTCCGGCGGCGCCGCGAAAGCCACCTTGGCATCGCCGGGCGCGAGCCGAACGTCCTTAAACGAGGAGCTGTTGTCGCGGGCGTAGGCGGCCTGCGCCGTGCCGTAGACCGGCACGTCGATGGCCTTGCTCAGCTCCGAGTCGAGCCAGCACTCGCCGTCCCGAATACTTTCTAAGCGAGCAGGATCCTCGTGCTGCACCAGGAAGTTGACGACGTACTTCGCGCCCGGCTTCAGAGGGCCTATCTTGCCGGAGACGCGGCAGTCGCGTGCGCCGATGATCTTGCCCGTATCTTTCTCAATGACCTCGGCGAAGGCTCCATCAAACGCCGCATCATAAACGTTCTCGTCGCCCGCGAAGAGGAAGCGCGTGCCGCCAGCAGTGGCGCCGGATTTCGGCGCCGTGAACTCGTACTCGAGCTTAAGGGCGTAGCACGGCTTGCCGGTGTCGGGCCAGGCGTCGCGGGCACCAGTCAACGCCGTCACCTCGGACTTCGTGGGCCGCAGCGCGCGGCGCCAGCGCGTCAGCTTGAGCTTGGGCGAGGCGACGACGGGGCCGCGCGCCCAGGCCGGCGCCTCGAGCGGGATCGTGGTCACAGAGCGCGTGCCCCTCAAAGCCACGGACTCGAGCGAAGAGCAGCCCGGCTGGAACTTGACCGTCGCGTCAAGCTTCGCGCCTTCCAGCGAGCCCCAGTCCTGGGCGACGCAGACCTCCATCGTCCGCCCCGGCGTCACGCGGCCGGCGTCGTACACGCAGCTCTCTCCATCGTTAGCCTGTGCGCAAATCAACCAGTGAGTTGGGTACATCGCGTCGATGGCGTGGAGGTCATGATTGAGCCGTGGTGGGGACGCGTCGCGACAATTTGATTTATGCACTGTCGTGGACATAAGCGCGGCGCTTGCTCCAGCCCGCCTCCATGGCCTCCTGCGGTAATAATTGCACGGTCTGCACGTGGACCAGCCTCCGCCCCAAACCGTCGCCATCGCACGTCACCTCAACCGTCGCCGACGCCGCGCCGTCGGGAGGCGTCACAAAATTCCTAGAGATGTCGCCCGCCTGGAAAGAAGGCGGCAGCGTCAGCGCAACCGAATCGCCCTCGACGGCCTTGGGCCGCACGACCGCCACGGGCACGCGGAAGAGCGGCGGCGCCCCAGGCGCGGCGTCGTCGAAGCCCAGCACCTCCCCACAAAAGGGCCCCGCGCCCTCCGGACCGGCAGCACAAGGGTCGATCCGGATCGTGAACGCCTTGCCGCCTCTTGTAACAACGACTCCTTTCCCCACAGACAACCACGGCGCCGTCGCTTCTAATCGCACATCCCTCCTAAACAAGCCCTTGCGCTCCGCGGCCACGTCGTCGTCGCCCTGGAATTTGGGGGTCACCGTCACGGCGACCTCGCGCGGCGCCGTCGTCTCCCAGCGCTCCCGCAGATAAATGCCGCGCGCGCCCGGCGCGCCGGCGCCCGCCGCCCGCGACGGCACGCGCACCTCGAAGCGCACGTCAAGCTCATCGATCTCGCCCAAGCTCGTCATCGCCGCGTCGACGTCGACCAGGCCTTGACCCTGGTTACACTGCGCCACGCCGGGCAGCGGCTTCGCCGTCGCCTCGAGGACGCGCTTGACGGCGTCGGGCGCCGGGTTTTTACCGGCCGCCTTCGCCGCGCTCAAGAGACACGCGACGGCGCCGGCGGCGTTCGGCGCCGCCATCGACGTGCCGTGCATGAGCCGCTGGGGCTGGAGCGAGTATCTAGGTACAGACGCGACGGCGCCGCCCGGCGCCGCGACGTTGACGCCGCAGCCGCCGTCCGTCGCGGGGCCCCGCGACGAGAACGAGTACATGACGCCGCCGTGCGTCGCGCTCTCGGGCCCGCCGGCGTTCGCCGCCGGCGCGCGCATGCCGTAGAGATTATCACACATGTTCCCGTTGACGTAGGCTCCGACCGAGATCAACGCATCTACCGACGCGCCGGGCGCACCCACTGTCGTGAGAGCCGGCCCGTTGTTCCCCGCGCTCGAGATAAATATGGTGCCGTGGTCCGCGTGGCCTCTCACCAATCTTTCGCTGAGCTCGGCGAAGCGCCCCGTGTTGCAGAGCCGCGCGGCCTCGCCATACGACAGATTCACGACGTCTACTTTCAACCGCCGCGCCGCGACGAGCGCGCGCCGCAGCGACGACCCCGTCTCCATGGTGCCGACGCGCGAGTCGCCGATCTTGATCGAGACGAGCTGGCAGCCCGGCGCGACGCCGTCGTCGCGGTCCCGGCCGTTGTGCGCGCCGACGATGCCCGCGACGTGCGTGCCGTGGTCGCCGCCCGCGACGACGAGCGAGCACGTGTTCTCCTCGGAGAAGGCGTCCGGGGACGAGGCTGAAAGTGTCAATTGCATGTCGTCGGCGCCGAAGCACGTGTACCGGGAGCTCGTCTCGCCGGCCTTCGTCGCTTCACCGAAGTCGCCGAGGACGCGCGGCGGGTGCGCGACCAAATCGTTTTGCGCGGAGCCGTCGACGGCCACGCAGCGCCACGCGTCCGTGGCGCCGTCGCGCCACGTGATCACATCTAATAAAGGCGCGACGCTGCTGTCCGTCGGCTTGAGGGCCTTGCGCGCGGCGTCGAAGGCCTCGAGGCGCGCGGCGGCCTCGTCGCCTTCCGAGGCCTGCGCCGCGAGCGCGGCCCGGAGCGGTTCATAATTCTCATCATCCAAGCGCTGGGCCTCGGCCTTGAGCCGCCTTAGTAACGGCGCGGGGAACAATGAAGCTGTGCGCTTGCCGCCGACGCGGTAGGCGCCGTCCTTTGGCCCTTCGCACCGCTTGCCATCGACCTGCGTAGAGATCGACCGTTGAGTCTAAGCCGAGCACAGCGCCACGCCATCGAGCAGAAGGCTCCCTTGGGTGAAATTCTGCACGGCTCTAGACGGTCCAGGCCGTCGCGTCGACGCGGAGCTTGCGGCCCGTCGCCGGGTTCGTGAGCCAGCCGTCGGCGTCGGGCGTCACCGTCGCGTTCACGTCCACGTCTCCCGCGCCCGTCGCGTCGAGGACGTCGAGCATCTTCGGCGCGCCGGTCGTCGTCGTCTGGAGGCCCGCCGCCGCGGGGTCGACGCCCGTGTCGAGAATGGCCACCACAATGCCCCGGCCGTCGCCCTCGGGCACGCGCTGCTTCAGCGCGGCCGCGCCCGTAGTTTTTGTGTCGAGAACGCCCGCCCAGGCGCCGTCTTCTGCCTCGTCGCCGAGGGCGTACGCCGCGCTGGCCGCGAAGCAGCCGACGGCCGCCGCCGCCGTGCCAGCCGAACTTTTACCGCCGCTCTGGTAGTGGAAGCGGCGGTAGCGGAGCCGCCGCGCCGCCGGGCGCAGTGCGCGCGCGGAAGTGGTGAGCAGGAGCATTGTGGTGGCTGCTTTCATGCGCCGAGCGCCCTATCCAGCTGCTCCCCTGGTCGAGGTGTAGGCGTCTTCCCCTGCAATAATGCAAGCAGACGCCACAAGCGCTGTACAGCGGGCTACTGGTACACGCGCTATCAGCACGCCTAAGCGTGTGCAGTGCGCAGGCCCAGAGAGCGCGCGGCAGGACCGCGATAAGAGCAGCTTGCTAGTGTCTTACACCGCTAGCTACGCTTCCTACAACTAGCGCGGGAGGTTCGCATCGGGCAAAAACGGGTTTTGTCGATTTTCGCCGACAGCTTCCGTAGCCACCATGAGAGACCTACCTGTATTTACTACCCCGCGATCATCCCGGGCGGCGACGAGCGCGACGAGGTTTCTGGAGGCAGTGCGGCTCCGCGCAGGCGACGCAGTTGACCCGATACGCGGTCCGCGCAGGAGGTGCCGGTCGCATCGATGGCCACGCGGGAACGAGGCCGGCGGGCGGCAACCGATCCTGAGCGTCGATTCCCACGGAGAACCAGTAGCCCTCGTGACGCGGCGTCGCCGGTGGATTCGCGAGGTCGTAGCCGAAGGTACGTCTAACGAAGGCGGCGCCCTCTACGGCGGCGAAGGTGGTACCGTTGGCGTAGGCGTAGGCGCGCTCGGGATCGACCTTTGACCCGTGAATTCGTAAGCGCCGCCGCCCGGGCGCGGCGAGTAACACGTCTTCCATGCGCTGTAGCCCCCAGCGCTCCAACGACAGCGCCGCTCTGAAGGCGTCGAGCCAAACGTCGAGCCAGAAGCGCAACGTGTCTGCCTCCGCCGGTGACGTGCGCCGCCCGCGCCATCGACGCGCCGCGCCGCCGAAGGGTGGGGAGGCGCCGGATTGCTCGCTTTGGTACGTAGGCGCCCACCTACGTGGAAATCAAATCTCGGGCACCCACGCCATCGACGCGATGTTGTCTCCACACCGGAGCCACGGGTGCCGCATCACGAGCACCGTCGTCGTCCGCACACCGTTCGCGCCGAGCACGCGCGGGAGGAACGCGACCGTGTCGATGCGCGGGTCCTTGGCGACCCACGTCGCGCACTCTCTTGGGCGCGTTGCGTGGGACCGCCACCTATCGAGGAGCGCGCGGCCGACGAGGGCGGCTTTTCGAGCCGTCGAGGCGAGCTCGTTGATCGCGTCGCGTTTTGCAGTCGGGCTCGTCGCACGCGCCCATGCGGTATGGTTCGCGCACGTACGCGCGTTGAGCGGGCCGTCGCGCGGTCGCCACGCCGGATAGACGTCCTGGCACCACTGCGCCTCGTGGAAAAAGCTTCGGCCGACCCAGCACGCCTTGTGCGCCTCTTTAAGCGTCTTGCCGACGATTGTCGTTCCCGAGTGGGCGAGGCCGTGGATCGAGAGGATCTCGGTCGGGTCGGTACGCGCCGCCGTTGCCGCGGCCGCGACCAGCGCTAGTGTCGCGTGCAACATCGCCTCGATTCAGCGGCCGAGGGCCCACTGCGCTAACGGGTACACGACGAAGACGACCGCGACGAGGGCGAAGAGGATGCCGTGGACGTCTACGTTGGGGAGTTTGAGCGGCGATTCATAACGTTCCGGTCGTTTCCTTTTTCTAAGCTCCATCTGAACTACCTGTTTCTCTCCTTAGGGATGACAGGCGCTTGGTTGACTTAGCCATTTTTGTTGTAGGGCCTCTGAAACTGTGTGCGAGCGCGAGAAATTGGAAGTACAGTGAGGAGGCAATATGACACCGCGCGCCGTTGAGAATAGCGCGTCTGATGATAACTAGAGCCGGCGTGATCGTGAAAAGCCAAGCTAGCGTCCTGTAAGACACTAGCAAGCCATTGTGCTGCAGAGCGAGCTCGGCGTTTATAAGTGCTATAAGTGCTCATAGCAGTCGCCAGCAGCTGTGCGCGCTGCTGCAACACATCGCTCACGCGCTCAACGCGTACGCGCTGAGACATCGCTCAACACGCTCAGTGCGTGCGACACAACGATGGCGAAGCGACCGCGCGCGGAGCGCCGCCGCATGCAGCAGGAGGATGACAGCGGCGACGAGTTCTCTGACGTCGATGAGGAGCTGGAAGCGTCAGACGTGGACGACGAGGCGTTGTCGTCGGACGATGACGACGCGGGCGAGTACGCCGCCGCGCTCGCCGAGCTCGGCGCGGCGCGGCGCAAGGCCGGTGTGGACGGCGGCGACGACGACGACGACGACGAAGACGTCAATGAAGACGCGTCGGACTCGGACGATGAGGCCTTCGAGGCCGTCGTGGAGCGGACCACAAAGAAGGGCGCGACCGTCTACCAGGTGACCTTGTGCCCGGAAACGGCACCATTTACTACGCGCACGGCGGCCGACGAGTTCATGCGCGGGAAGGCCTACCAAAAGGCCGTCAAAAGAGAACTCCGCGCGATCAAGGCGGCGCGCAAGGGCCTCCGCGAGGCCGAGTTGACGGACGCGCAGAAGGCGCGGCGCGACGCCAAGGCCGCGCGCGCGAAGGAGCGCCGGCGCGCCCAGGCCAAGGCCCGCAAAAAGGCCAAGCCCCTGTCGGACGCGCAGATCGCGGCGCGCAAGGAGAAGTTCCAGCGCAAGAAGAAGCGACGGGAAGAACGGCGCGCCGCCGCCGCTTCTGCGTAAGCTTTAAATTACTCGCTAGCCGGGCATGAGCCCGGACGCGCGCCGCCGCGACGCAAAGGAGCAGTCGAGGAGCGCGGTCGGCGTCTCAGTAAAAAAACGGGTTTTCCGGGACTTCTCTCTACGCGCTTAGACGCCGTCCTAGCTCCGCCACGCCATCGCAGCGGCACCAAAAAAGTCAACAATGGCCCTCTTACGCAAAAGATCTATCAAAAAAGACGGGCGCGCGCACCTCTGTGGGCGGCGCGGGCGGGGCAGCTGTGTCCAGGCTTCTCAGGGGGGGATCAATCATCAGTCAGCGGGAGAGGCGCTTCGGCTCATCTATCCCGGAGCCGAGCATGCGGCCGGTGGCATCCTGGTTCACGGTCGACGCGACCTTGCGCGCGTTGAGCACGACGGCCGCGCGCGCTGGCCCGGCGACGCGGACACGATCTTCCACGTAATCGACGAGCACCTCGAGCTCGCGCTGCTTCTTCTCCTTGATCTCGAGCGCGGAGTAGAGGTCGGCGTCCGCAGCCAACGCGGCCGCCTGCGCTGCCTCAGCAGCAGCCGCGGCGGCGCGCGCCGGCGTCTCCCGGGCCCCCTGCCGCCCGCGCTCCAGGGCGTCCTTCATCGCGTCGCCGGCCTCGTCCCAGGCCGCGCGGACCCAGGCCCACGCCTTTCTGGGCATTCCAGCGTCGAACTCCCAGCCGCCGGCCTTGGCCGAGGCGAACATGTCGCCGCCCGCCGTGATGGCGCGGCGGCCCGCCCAGCGCGCCAAAACGGCGCCGTCGGCGGCCGCGTCGAGCAACCCGTGCGCGAGGACGACGCCGCCGAAGAGCAGCGAGAGCGCGCCGCCGCAGCCGCAGACCGCCGCCGCGCACGCCGCGACGGCGCTGCCCGCGACGAGCGCCTCGAGCTTGTCGCCAGATCCAGAATAGCTCGCCGCGCGCTCGCGCTCGCGCGGGCCCGCCGCGGCCGCCTTGAGCGCCGACGCGGCCGCGCCGGTGGCGAGCGCGAAGGCCGCGAGCGCGACCTCCTTCCCCTCCTTCGGGAGCTGCACGTCGACCTTCGGCAGCGTTGGAGTATCGGGGAGCTTCAGCTTCGGCAGCGTTGGTGTTGAGACGGCCTTGGCGGGCGCCGCGACGACGGCCTCGAGCGGCGGCGCCTTGGCGGGCGCGACGCGGAGGCCGAAGTCCGCGTAGCTCGTGACCTCGGCGTCGCACGCGGCGCGCCACTGGGCCACAAGCTCCGCGCGGGTCGCGGGCACGCTCGCGGGTGGTGCGGGTGGCGCGCGGACGCTCTGGGTCTTCAGTGAGGAGAGGTAGTCCAGCGCCGACGCGGCGGTGGCCGTCAGGAGTAGTGTGGGGACCTTCATTCTTCTTTGGGGGTCCCGCAGGAGCTACTTTCTCTGCCCCCCAAGGACGAAGGTCTAGGCCGCGGGGCTATTCACGCAGAGTCTTCGGCCGATGCCGTTAACAGGGACCGTAGAACGCTTCTAAAAGGTTTCTGCGTGAAGCAGGCCCGTGCGGTGCGTGCTCCCAGCCGTTTTTGAGCCACTGCAAAATCGGCTCTTGACTAGTGACTCTACAAACCGCTAGCAGCCGCGCCCGCGGACCCGCATTAGCTACAAAACGGGGCTCTACCGCATCACGTAGAAACGTCGTTCCTCCTACGTTCCTCGAATCCCAACAAGACGCCGCGGCGACGGGGGGTCCGTGCCAGAGGGGCTAGCCACAATGACGCCGCCGCAGCGGGCCCAGGAGACGTGTACTATCTATCTATAACCGGCGGGGGGGAGGATATACTATCTAGTGAAGCTTCGACGGGTCGTGGAAGTGGAACTTCTTGGCGCCCGTCATGCCCATGATGATGTCGAAGATGCCGAACTGGCCCGCCGTCAGCGTGCCGATCATGACGCAGCGCGCGCCGAGGCCCTGCGTGCAGAGCGTAACGAGGCCCGTCTCCGCCACAATTCTACCCATGCGCGTGAACATGCCGCCCTCGCCGCCGGCGCCCTTCTTGTTGATTTTCGAGAGGAGCGTGTCCGCCGGGTGGGAGATGATGGCCGCTGCGACGCCCGCCACGACGCCGGAAGCCAGCGAGACGCCCAGGTTGCCGATCGCCGGCGGCTTGTCCGGCGACGACCCGAGCGCCGTGTAGATGTTCTCGGCGGCCTTGCCCTGGACGGCGAACTTGGCCATGGTGTAGGGGATCTGCTTGCAGAGGATGGGCACGAACCCGGAGTAGAAGGCGCCGACGAAGCCCTGCTCGGCCATCATCTTCGACGCGCAGCCGACCATGGAGTCGGCGTAGGCCGGGTCGCTGACCAGCCGGATGCGGCACGCCTCGTAGGGGCAGAGGAAAATGTCCGCGATGAACTCGGCCATGGCACTGGACGCTAAGTAGATCGAGTTGCGGTTGTCCCAGGCCTTCTGCTCGCCGACGCTCTTCGTGATGTTGATCTTGAAGAACTCGACGCCGCCGAACTTGAACCAGCCCTGGATGAAGTAGCCCTGGGCCGTCGGGCCGAGGCCGGTCAGGAGGCCGTTCATGCCCTCGGCCTCGATGACCTGGCCGAAGCCCCCGATGAAGCCCTTATTATAAACATCCGGCTGCAGCTGGATCTTCGTCTTGACGACGTCGACGGGCACCAGACCGCCGTGCGTGATCGAGCAGCAGATGCCGCCCGCGAGTGCACCGGACAAAAAGTACTTCATGTCAAAGGGCCCCTGGCCCATGACCTGGTCGGACGCCATGGTGGTCCCGACCGCGTTCGCCTGCGTGATGGTTGCGTTAGGTGTGGTGCTCTCTCCGCTCTCTCCGCCGTTACGGCGTCGACGTCGCACGCCTTCTAGCCGCAGGGACGGCGTCGGCGGGTCGGGACGAGCGTCCGCTTGTGCTGATGGCGTGAACCACGCACGCCAGCGAGCAGGCGCAGTCCCAGGGACGGCGTCGCATCGATGGCGTCGAGGTATATGCCATAACCGCCCGGCGCGGCGCATAATAGAAGGGTTAGGAGGGCTTGTGCCTCCTAAGGTCGCTCAAGCCCAGCCAGCACCAAAGCTTAAAAACTCTTCGATCGATGCAGCGTCCGCACGTCTACCGAGGTTCCGACGCTGCAGCTTGCACTCTCGAGCGACCTTAGCCTATTGCGCGATGCCGTCCACGCCACCGCCGATTTTGGAGGAGGGCTGCCGAAGTCGCCCCTGCCAGCCCTCGAGGCGCCAAACGTCATTGCTAAGACTCCTGAGAAACATAGAGGAGGGAGGAAGTCCGTCAATTTCGCGCGGGTTTTGTGCCCGACTTTTGGGACGATCTATCGTCGTGTCCTGAGCGCTGGAGAAGCAACACTTGACACGCAGCGAGCCTTCTTAAAAGCCGCGAGCAGCAGCAGCAAGAAATTTAACGGCGGCAGCCGTAGAGCAAAAAAAACAGAGGTGCTCTCAATTTGCTAAATTCAAATTAAGAGCGCGCGAGCGCACCAATTCAAATCAAGCCGTCCAGGCGTGGCGCGCAAAGACGAAATACAACTGCCAGCGATGGACGCCGACGAGCATGCACCGCCGCCCTACGACGGCACCATGAGCGACCCGCTCGCGTCGCCGTCGCAATCACAGACGCTGAACGCCGCGCGGCTCGCGCGGCTGCGGACGGCGGGCCGGCGCACCGCGGCAGAAGCCGAGCCGGCGGCGCCCGCCGCGGCGCCCGTCGCGGACGTCGCCGCGCTCGACGCGCGCGCGGAGGAGCTGCTGAGGCGCTGCGACTCGCTGCTCGCGCGCACGCAGCCGCCCGCGCCGCCGGAGCCGGAGCCCGAGCCCGAGCCCGAGCCGCCCGCGGCCGTCGACCCCATCGCGTCCGACGCGGCGGCCGTCGTCGACCTGATTTCCGAGGTCGTCATCGGCGGCTTCTCGCCGCGCGCGTCGGCGTATAGCAGCCCGCCCCCGTCGCCGCAGCGCCTGCCCGCGCGGTCGCCGGCGCGCACGCCGCCCGCATCACCGTTGCGGTCGCCGCCGCGGTCGCCGGCGCGCGCACCGGCGTCGCCACCGCGGCAGTTGCCGCCGCGCGTCCCGCCCGGCGAGGTGGAGGCGCTGAGGCGGCGCGCGGCGCCGTACGCCGGCGACGATGTCGTGAAGACGCTACTCGCGCGCATCGCCGCCGTCGAGGGAAAGCTCGGCGGCGTCGACGCCGGCGCCGCGCGGAGGCCTCTCATCGAGGACCGGTTCGTCTTCTAAGTGAGTCGATCTATCTTACGCACGGGGCCCGCCGCGGAGGCGCAGCACCATCGAAAGCGAGTCGCCCTCGTTGATGCCGCACTCCTGGAGCGTCTTCTGGCCGTCGAGCTGCTTGCCCGCGAAGATGAGGCGCTGCTGGTCGACGGGCACGCCCTCCTTCTCCTCGATCTTGGCCTTGACGTCCTCGATCTTGTCGCTCTCCTCGCACTCGATGGAGACCGTCTTGCCGGACAGCGTCTTGACGAAGAGCTGCTGGCCGCCACGCGGGATCCGGCGAAGCGCGGCGAGGCCCGATGAGGGCGCGCGCGTCCGCGGCGCGACCGCACCGCAGGCGACGACTAGTGCTGCTGCGAGTATCCGTCTCATGATCGCTGCGATGGCGTCGAGCTTGTAGCTGCTACAATGCTGCTACTCACTGTGGCGACGTTGATTAACCGCGTCCTTCACAACAGCGCAGCGCGACGATTAAGAGAGTCAGTTAAAGCAGTGCACGCAGCTATATCCGTGTTCAGGCGATGTGCGAGCGACCCTGTTACGTGTCCTCTGCAGCAATTTGCTCCGGGTTTTTGAGAGCAGATTCCTCCAGGGAGAACGTGGGACACGGTGGAGCCTGCAAAGCGGTCTTCTCAGATCTTCGCAAGGGTCTTTGACTCGCTTCCTAGTGTCTTACAGGCCGCTAGCTAGCTCCGCGGTGCTGATCACTTTTCACGCGATTGCTGCAACATCCGTGCCATTCGACTGCAGCGCAACTGTCTGGCATACGTACTGTCCGCGCTGCGCGGTGTGCAGTGGTAGCGATACACGTAGACGCGTGGCCTGTGAGCGCATCGCGACCCGAAGACGAGTAGCAGTGCGCAGCGCGAAGGAATAAGCCATGGCCGAAGCCAACGACGCGAGCGACGGCGAGCCGATAGCATCGGTCTTCGCGTCCCTAAAAAAAGGCGCAGAACGAGCGGGCCCGGCGCCGCCGCTCGTCGCGCAACCGACCTACGCGCCGCCCGCAATCAAGGCGCTCTACCCGAGACTGGACGAAACGACTTCACTGGAAGACGCGAGACGGCGAGAGAAGGAGCGGAACGCTGATCTCATAAAGCCGAACCGCCGCGCGATGCGCGCACCAAAAGGTTGGCCTGCACTCGCCTTCCCGAAGCTCAAGAAGACGATAGAACCCCACGTACCCCTGCCCAAAGCTTTAGCGTGGACCGGATTAAGAACAAACCGCTACGCGCGCGACGACCCGGTCTTGAGATACGTTCCTTACTTCGGAGACGACGATACCACCGGTGTGGACGTGGCGGCCTACGACGAGGGCGTCCAGGCGCCGCGGCCCTCCGAGGGTTTGTGCTGGGCCGCGGCCGCGTCATCCGAGCTCCAAACGTGTAGAGAGGACCCGCGCGCCGTTTCCGCCGCGCTGGACGCGGCGAGGAATCCGCGTCAGAAGAAGGCACAAGTCAAGATAGACGCCATGAATCTACGCCAGTGCAATGACTACGCGTCGCTCGCGAACTCGTACCAGTCGCTCTTCTGTCGGCGGTGCTTTGTTTATGACTGTGCGAACCACGGGGTCGGCCAACCTTTGTCACGAGAAAGGGTCGACCCGGACGTCGCGGAGGACGACGCCGCGAGGGAGCTCGCCGAGTCGTCCATAGACCTGCGGGAGGCGTATCGCCGCGAGCAGCGGCGGAACGACCTGCCGCGGGGCGACCACGCCATTTTGGTGAGGAAGGCCTCGGCGGTCTTCCGGGACGACGCGTCGTTGCGACGAGCTTTGGGCTTCGTTGCTGAGAGAGCGGGCCCGATCCCCTTATTACCCCAAAAGAAGCGGAAGCTGGATCGCTGTATGTTGTTCAAGCGCCAACGGCTACTCTTGGAACATGGAGGTAAAAGGGGCAAGAAGGAGAAGTACGTGTGTTGTGATCATGACGGTCCTTGCGACGACCCGAAGATTTGTCCGTGCGTCGCGAGGAACGGCTTTTGCGAGAAGTACTGCGCGTGTGCCTCTGATTGTCGAGCAAGGTACCCCGGCTGCGACGGTTTGCACTGCGGCACGGAGCGGAACGACTGCTTCTTGCTGGGGCGCGAGTGCGACCCGGACGTGTGTGCGTGTAGGGGTGAATGCGCTGCCAATGCATTGAGGACCAATAGGCACGCGCGCGTGGTGCTGGGGCGGTCCCAGGTCCACGGCTGGGGGGCTTTTGCATTGAAACCCGTGAAGAAGGGCGATTTGGTGGGCGAGTATCGGGGCGAGCTGGTGTCGCAGGACGAGGCCGACAGAAGGGGAAAGATCTACGACAAGCTCTCGTGTTCGTTTTTGTTCGATCTGGACGACGAGCTCGTGGTCGACGCGACGCGGAAGGGCGCCAAACTCAAGTTCGCGAACCACCACCCGCAGCCGAACTTAATCCCGCGCGTCATGTTTGTTGATGGCGACCACCGCGTCGGCCTCTACGCGGCGCGGTCCATCGAATCGAACGAGGAGCTGTGCTTCGACTACTCGGCGGAGTTCTGGTCGGCGGCGGCGCGGGAGGCGTCCTGTCCGGGGGCGGGGGCCTAGTGTTCTAAATTGTGATGAGATCTGAAGGCTGAGGCTAGTTACGTCGCAGGGTTCCCCGTAGTCGATGTTACGGTGCTAGGACTAGTGGGCGGAGCCCCTGGGGGGGAGACACCGCGCGTCGCCGATTCATCGGCGGCGGGCGCGGGCCGCTTCTTTCATAACAGCGTACCTCCTTCTAAGCAGAACCGCCTCGGCAAACCCCCCCGTACCTGAAATGCTAGTGTATCTATCATTAGCTCGTTCTGCTAAAAAAAATCTCCTGCTCCATTGTTACGCGACTGCGTGTGCTGAGAACTGTTGGAACAGTCCGTACGAAGTAATGACCGAGAAGTAAAACATGGAAGCTAAGCTCGAGCGCGCAAAGGCGGACCTTAAGCTGCTGAAGCGTGCCGTGCGCGAGCGCGAGGAGCGCGCGACGCAAGCCGAGGCAGCGCTCAAAGAGGGCGAGGCCACATTGGCCGCGGCGCGAGAAGAACTCGCGCAAGCCGCCAGCGACCGAAAACTCCTCCGGAGACACGCGAGACAGCTCGAGGAGGCGCTGGCCGCGGCGCGCGCTGCGCCTGCGAGCTCTACGTCCGGCGCCGACGCGGGCGAGCGCGTCGCCGCGGCCGAGAAGTCGGCGCTGGACGCGAATGCGGCGCGCATCGTCGCGGAGCAGGCGGCGACGACCGCGCGCGACGAGGCCGCGTCTCTGAAGACGGCGCTCGACTCCGAGCGCACCGCGGCGGCGGCGGGCCGCACCGAGGTCGCCGGTCTCAAGCAGCAGCTCGCCACCGCTGGTAGCGGCAGTCGCCAGGAGGTCGAGGCCCTGAAAAAGGAACTCGCCGCGGCGCGCGCTTCTGAGGACGCCGCGACCGCCACGGCGCGCCAGGAGATCGACTCCCTGAAGGGCGCTCTCGACGCCGCACGAGCATCCAGCGGCGATGCGGTCGCGGCTGCGCACCAGGAGGTCGCCGGCCTCAAGAAGGAGCTGGCTGCTGCGCGCGCCGATGCCTCCGCGCAACAAGAAATCGACGCGCTGAAAAGCGCGCTCACGGAAACGCGCATGTCCAGAGACGACGCTCAAGCCGCAGCGCGCCAGGAAGCCGACGCGCTGCGCGGCGAAACCCAAGCGGCTCGCTTGGAGACCGAGACGTTGAAAGAAGCCCTGGAGGCTGCGCGCTCGAATGCGCACCGCGCGGCGAAGCAAGAAGCGGAGGCTTTGCGGGGCGAGGCGGCCGCGGCGCGCGGCGAGTGCGAAAAACTCAAGAGCGTGCTCGAGGCTGAGCGCAAGAGTGCCCGCGAGGCGAGCGCGGCGGCGGCCAAGGAGGTTGAGGCACTCCGGGGCGAACTCGAGGCCGCGCGCCAGAGCTCGGGCGATGCGCAGGAACAGACGTCAGCGGCGCTCGAGGCCGCGCGCCGCGAAGCCGACGGCTTGCGCGGCGAGGTCACGGCGGCGCGCGGCGAGTGCGACCAGCTGAAACAAGCGCTCGCCGCGGCCCGCGAGAGCGCTGACGAGGCCTCGGCGGCAGCAGCGAAGGAGCTGTCGACGCTCAAGAGCAAGAACCAGGCCGCGGGAGACCGGGCGGCAGCGATTGCACGCGAGGCGGCCGCATCTCTCAAGACAGCGCTCGACGAGGCACGCGCCGAGGCCGCCAGTGCGAAGCAGGCGCTCGACTCCGAACGGACCGCGACGGCGGTGGGCCAAACCGAACTTCGAGCCGAGCTGGCGACCGCGACAAAAGCGCTCGATGCCGCACGCACGGAGACCGCGGCGGCGCGGGCCGAGGCGGAGACTTCCAAATCGGCGCTCGCGACGTCGAACGCTGAAGCGGCGTCGCTCCGCGGCGAGCGCGACGCCGCGCGGGAGCAGCTCGCGACGGCGACCGCTTCGCTCGCGACCGTGCGCCAAAGCTCCGACGACGCGGCCGAGCGTTCGGCGGCGGACGTGAAGGCGGCGCGCGCCGACGCGCAACAAGAAATCGACGCCCTGAAGGGCGCGCTCGCGGATACGCGCGCTTCTAGCAACGACGCCGTGGCGGCGGCGCGCCAGGAGGCCGACGCGCTGCGCGGCGAAGTCCAGGCGGCTCGCGCGGAGACCGAGACCTTGAAGACTGCTCTGGAGGCCGCGCGGTCGAACGCGGACAAGGCCGCGAAGCAAGAAGCAGACGCTCTGCGGGGCGAAGCCACGGCAGCGCGCGCCGAGTGCGACAAGCTCAAGAATGTGCTCGAGGCCGAACGCAAGAGCGCCCTCGAGGCGAGCCTGGCAGCGACTCAGGAGCTGGCGGCGCTCAAGGACGAGGCCGAAAAGTCCCAGGAGGCGCTCGCCGCCGCCCGCCAAAGCTCCGACGACGCGGCCAAGCAAACATCCGCGGACGTCGAGGCCGCGCGAGCGGAAGCCAAAAAGGCCCTCGAGACGGCAAAGGCGGACACCAAGCTCCTGAAGCGCGCCGTGCGCGAGCGGGACGAGCGGGCGACGAAAGCCGAGGCCGAGCTCGCGACGGCGCGGTCCGAGGCGGCCGACGCCGCGCAGACGCTGGCCGCGGCGCTCGAGGAAGCCACCAGCGCCCGCGAGGCGGCCGCCACGGCGACGGCGGCCCTCGACGCCTCCAAGGCAGAGACCGCGGAGGCGCGCGAGGCCGCCTCGAGGCTCGAGGCCGACCTCGCCGCCGCGCGCCAAAGCTCGGACGCCGCCGCCGACGCACGGCGCACGTCGGACGCCGCCGCAGCTTTGGCCTTCGAGCAGGCCGACGCGATAGCACAACTCGAGGCCCGCGTCGCCGACGCGACGGCCACCGCGAGCGACGCGCGCGAGGACGCCGCGGCGAGCGCGGCGGCAACGGCGCGGGAGCGCGCCCGAGCCGAAGCCGCGGAAGACGCGGCGGCGGCGGCCGTGGCGGCGGGCCACGCGCTGGCGGCGCGCGGCGACGCCGCGGCCGCGGCCGCGGCGCGCGCGAGCCGCGAGTGCGACACGGCGCTGGCCGCCGGCGAGCGCGCCATCCGCGACGCCGCCGCCTGGGAGGCCGACGCGGCCGCGGCGCTCGCGCGCGCCGACGACGCGGAGCGGCGGCGCGCCGCCGCCGCTGCTACCCTCGACGAAAACAGTGACACGGCGACCGCTTCTCGCATCGCCGCGACGGCCGCGCGCGAGGAGGCCGCCGCCGCCAAGGGCGAGGCGGCACGGCTCCGGGCGAAGCTCGACGCGTCGGACGCGGCGGCCAACCAGCTGCGCGGCGACGCGCAGGCCGCGCGCCGCGACGCCGAGTCGCGGCTCGCCGAGCTCTCCCGGGCGGCGACCGCCACGGCCGCGGCGACGGCCGACGCCGAGGCCGCGCGCGAGCGCGCCGAGACGCTCGCGGCCGCGCTCGACGCCGAGCGCGCCGCGCGCCGCGCGGCCGAGCAGGACGCGGCGGCCCAGCTCCAGCGCCTCCGCGAGGCGGCGGAGGCCGCGTCGCCCGCGCGGCGCGAGAGCAAGCCGGCGCCGCGGCGCGCCGCGCTGACGCCGGCGACGCGGGCGCGCGCGGCGGCGACGGCGGCGGCGACGCTCACGCCGCCGCCGCGCGCGGCCGTGCCCGCGCCGGCGGCCGCCCGGACGCCGCCGTCCTCGCGCGCCGCCGCGCCGGCGCCCTCGCCGAGGACGCCCGCGCCGGCTCCCTCGCCGAAGACGCCGCCCGCGCCGGCGCCTGCGCCGCGGACGCCGCCGGCGAGGACGCCGCCCGCGGCCGCGCCGCCGTCGTACAGCGAGCACACCGAAAAGGCCCGCTCGCCGGCGCCGGCGGCCCGCGAGCGCTTCCACGCCGTGTTTGGCGCGGGCCCGCTCGGCGTGCTCGTGAAGCTGCAGGAAAGCGGCGATTTAAAAGTAGTGGGCGCGCGGGGCGCCGCCGAGGCGCGCGGCGTGCTCGTCGACGATATAGTCGCGGCCGTCGACGGTGTACCAGTAGAGACAGGGACCACGGAGGCGGCCTTCGCCGCGACGATACAGAAAGCACCTAGGCCCGTGACGATCACCTTCGTGCGCAAGAGTGGTGTCAATGTACCTATCGTGGATGATGACGGATGGCGCGACGAGGCCCAGACCTACCCCGTGCCGAAGTTTGGTCTCGAGTCGGAGGAGGTCGACGCGCTACTAAGGCAGTGGTCCGCCGATGAACAAAAAAGAAAGTACGTGCGGCTATGGCTCGACGTCGTCGCGACGTCCCCGACCATCCCGCACAAGTTCCCGGCGGGCCTGACGCTGGCGTCGCTGGAGCCGGCGGTCAAGGCCGGTTTCGCGCAATTGATTGTGCCTCTCTTACGCGCTCGCGGCGACGTCGTCCTGGAGGTCAAGTCGCGGCCGTCGCCCGACCGGCCAGGGCGGGTCGATTTGGAACTGCGTCTCGCGCGCGCGCCGCGGCCGGTCCGGTCCGCGGCCGCGCCGCCGTCGCCGAAACCGGCCTTGCCCGACGCCTGGTCGCGCTTCTCCGCTTTGACAAAAGCGAAGACGGACCAGATCAAGGCGACGACAACCGGCCTCGTGGCCAAGACCGGCGAGCTCGTCTCGAACGGAATCGCGAAGGTGAAGCGGCGGTCGAAGACGCCGCCGCGGTCGCCGCCCGCGCCGCCGACGCCGGAAGAATCGGAGCGGCGGCGGAGCATGTTCGAGGCGCAGCTCGCCGGGCTTAGGTCGCAGGTATAGTTGTTTTGCCTTTGCTTAGAGCTAGGACCTAGCCACGTCGCCCTCCGATTGTTTTACGACGGGGGGGGGGGGGGGGGATGTTCAGGGGCTAGTTGTGCATGGACGCCTCGACCTTGGCGGAGCGAGGAAGGGAGGGGGATCACGGCGCTGACGCCTGAGAGGCGGTGGGCGGCGTCTTTCGCAGTTCTCTTGGGATTTCATTGAAAGGGTCGTTACGTGATGTGCCCCCCCTCAGTCCTCGATTTCTAATTTATATATTTATTACAGTAGATGTGGAAAACGGTAGGCCGACAGCGCGAAGCTGCCAGCCACCCAGCGGGTATGGCGACTAAGGAGTTTGACATGCTCCCGTAAGGGGATAGCCCTGAATTTGAGGTAATATGAGTTCTTATCATGATTACGCTTGAATGTAGTGAGAACAAGATAGGATGAAGGAAGGGGGGGAGGATATCCTACTAGCGTGCTAGGGTATGGTAAGATTTCCCGCAGTAGAAGCCGAGGTGCGGGCGTTCGGATCACTTCGCAGGAGTATCGGGGCCGCCGCGGAGCTCGGCTTTGATGTCGGCGAAGCAGGGTCGAGCGTCGGGCTCGGGCGCCCAGCACCTCTGCATCAACGCGACGAGGTCCGCGGGCGCGTCGCCGTCGATCTTCGGGCGGTCCTTCTGAATGCACACCTGCATCATGATTTGCATCTGATTGAGGCCCGACCATGGCGTATCTCCGGTAAGTACCTCGAAGACGATCATGCGAGGCGGTGGGCGGCGTCTTTCGCAGTTCTCTTGGGATTTCATTGAAAGGGTCGTTACGTGATGTGCCCCCCCTCAGTCCTCGATTTCTAATTTATATATTTATTACAGTAGATGTGGAAAACGGTAGGCCGACAGCGCGAAGCTGCCAGCCACCCAGCGGGTATGGCGACTAAGGAGTTTGACATGCTCCCGTAAGGGGATAGCCCTGAATTTGAGGTAATATGAGTTCTTATCATGATTACGCTTGAATGTAGTGAGAACAAGATAGGATGAAGGAAGGGGGGGAGGATATCCTACTAGCGTGCTAGGGTATGGTAAGATTTCCCGCAGTAGAAGCCGAGGTGCGGGCGTTCGGATCACTTCGCAGGAGTATCGGGGCCGCCGCGGAGCTCGGCTTTGATGTCGGCGAAGCAGGGTCGAGCGTCGGGCTCGGGCGCCCAGCACCTCTGCATCAACGCGACGAGGTCCGCGGGCGCGTCGCCGTCGATCTTCGGGCGGTCCTTCTGAATGCACACCTGCATCATGATTTGCATCTGATTGAGGCCCGACCATGGCGTATCTCCGGTAAGTACCTCGAAGACGATCATGCCGTAGGCGTACACGTCGCCCTTTTCCGTGAAAATGTTGTGCTGGAGTAATTCGGGCGCCATGTACGCAGGCGTGCCCTTCGCATCCCCCCCGGCCGTCGCCTGCGTCGCCGCCGTGGCAAGAGACTCGGATTTGCTCAAACCGAAGTCCGTTACCTTGCAGCGCCGGTCGCCGTCGAGGAGGATGTTTAACGTCTTGAGGTCGCGATGCTCCACGCCCTTGGAGTAGAGGTACGCCATGCCGAGCGCGATGTCTGATAGCCAGCTCCGCCGCTGCGCTTCGTCAATACTTGCCGCGTCGTCGGCGTCGAGCGCCTCGCGCAGGTCACCGCCGCCGCAGTACTCGACGACGAGGCCCAGCCAAGTCGTGTCCGTCGTCACCACCCCATACACGGCGACGATGCGCGGACTCCGAAGCTTCACCATGATGGCCAGCTCCGTCGAAAAGTCCCGCATCATCTTGTTCCGCTTCGTCGCCGTGATGCCGATAAGACCTGTGTTCGTGCTGAATCATCGCGTCGTCCTCCACGCCATCGACGCGATGTCTGCTCGATGGCGTGGCGATGCCGGTTCCTCACCGCTTGACCGAGCCAGGACGGCCGCGTCATCGCCGAGAAATGACTTAGTGAAGAATTGTCGGTGCACCCGATGCACTGGTTGATTTCCACACAGGACGAGACTCATCTTCTTCAGCGCGACCACGTCGCCTTGGTACGAAGCCTTGTGAACGGCGCCCTGAGAGCCCTTCGCGATGGGCTTCTCTTCGACCGAGTCCAACTCGATCTCCAGCTCCTCGAGCGCCCTATCTTTATCCTGGCGCGCCAGCGCCCGACCCCGCAGCTTCGAGTTCTTCGCCGCCACCATCTCCTTCACTTCGTCGAGCGACTCCTGCTGCTTCGTGTTCTGGTCGATGACCGTGCTCACGTCCGCGGCGATCTGGTCCAGCTTCAGGCCGAGCGCCGAGAGCTCCTCGCTCTCGACGGCGCTGCCCTTCTGGATGCCGCACATGATCGCCGCCCGCTGCGCCGCCGCCTGGTTGTTCGCGTCGACCGTCTGCTGGCCCAGAAGCTGGATCAAGCCCTCGATCTTCTCGAACCGCTGCGCCTGGAGCGCGAGCTGTTGGAGGTCCAACGCCGAGCCGAGCTCGTTGCTGAGCTCGCAGAGCCGCTTGTCGAGGAGCCCGAACTGCCGCGCGTCGAGCGAGCCGGAGCAGAGCTTCTTAAACGCGCCCTTCTTCGAGAACTGCTGGAGGAACTTGGCCGCCTCGTCGAGCGCCTGGCCGATGGCCGTCACCGTCCGAGCGACGGCCTCGACCTGTCCCGTCGGCAGGCCCTGCGTCGCTTTGACGACGTCCTGGAGCTTCTGGGCGATCTCCGTTCCGCGCCGCTGCAGCATGGCCGCAGCTTCCTTGTTGAAGCGCACCTGGCGCACCGCGATGCCGAGCTCGGCTAAGGCGCTCGTGAACGGCATCAGACACATATTGAGCGGCGGCGGCGCGGCCGCGGGGAGCGCCGCCAGAACCCCGGAGAGCGGCCCGAGGATGTCCATCTGCGACGTCGTGAGCGCGGCGCCGGCCGCGGCGCCGGCCGCGGCGCCGGCCGCTGCGCCACCGAAGGCGAGCTTGTTGCCCGTGGCGGACGCTGCCGCCGGTTGCCGCACCGGTTGAGGCGCCGGCACCGGCACCTGGAGCTGGGTCCCGGGTCCAGCGCCGGGCGGGACGACGATGTCTATGGGTTGTCCCGATGGCGTCATAACCCGGAGCGATGCGCCAGGCGCCGCGCCCGGTGGAATCGTGATGGTCATGGTCTGCTGCTGCGTCGGCGCGACCTTCGTGCCCTCGTCCTTTTTCTTGCACATCATCTTGCGGCAGAGGTAAACGATGCCACAGAGGCAGCATAATGGTAACATGACGCAGACTATGAGGAGGAAGGCGATGCAACCGCCGTCGCACTCGTCGTCATCGTCGTCGTCGTCGTAGGTGGTCGAGACCGTCTGCGCTGCAACGGGCGGGGCCACAGCCTCGACGGTGGCTCCGGCGAAAACGCCGGAGACACCCGCGTCGGCCGCGGCGGTCTGAACGGCAGCGTCGAAGACGGTGGCTGTGGGAACCAATGCAACTGCGGCCGTCGCGTCCGCCATGGTTGCGTAGAGAATTGTGTAGTCGACGACGACACTGCCGCTCTGGAGACGCCTTCGGCCAGATGAAAACGTCACGGTAACCCTGTTGGCTTGGACGTCGTATACGTCGGCGACTGCCGACGCGTAGACGCCCGCGTTCGACTCTGCGTCCGCCAGCGAGATGCCCGCGCAAGTCATCGATCCCTCGAGGGTGGCGCGAGAGTTGGTGGGCAATACTTGCGGCGTTGGCGGGGGCGTCGCGCAGGTGTCCATTTGCACGACGCCGCAGGACGTCGACTCGCATGGGGTCCTGTAGAACGCGTCTTGAATGTCCTTGCCCTCGTTGTGGGGGTCAAAGACAACGTTGTCGTCCATGCACCAGCCGAGGTCCTGGTTAAAGGCCAAGGCTTCGTAGAACATGTCCACCATGTTCCTGACGCCCGAGGTGTCCCACGCGCCGATGTCCTGGTTAAAGGCCGATGCTTCGCAGAACATTTCCGCCATCGACGTGACGCCGGAGGTGTCCCACGCGCCGATGTCCTGGTTGAAGGCCCAGGCACGGCCGAACATTTCGTCCATGGCCGTGACGCCCGAGGTGTCCCAATCGCCGATGTCCTGGTCGAAGGCGTAGGCGCGGTAGAACATGTAGCGCATGTCCTTGACGTCAGAGGTGTCCCACGCGCCGATGTCCTCGTTGAAGGACGACGTCGATAAGACGCAATCGTCCCACCACGAATCGCCTTCCATCCAATCCTGCCGCACGCAAAACAACCTCGACATGTCCGTCACCCCTTCAGTCTCCCAAGTAGAAATGTGGCCGTACGTATCCATGGCGGCAGTCGCGTCCGAGGTCCACGCCGCGACGGCCGTTCTGATGGTGTCATCGGTCATTGCATAGCCTGGGCATTTGTCGGGAAGCGCTGCGATATAGTCGCGCGTGACAAGATAGGTTCCCGCGTCTTGTAAGTCCTCCATGCACTGACAGTCGTTCTGGCAGTAGCACTCGCCGTTGTCGGCGGACCAGTCGATGGCCACGAGGCCGGAGCCGTACTCATCCTCGCACATCGTCCAGCAGGCGTTGGCATCGGACGTCATGCCAATCAATTCGTCGAGCCCGGACATGCACCAGCCATTCCCATTTCCCCAGTACTTCGACGTCGGCGCGGGCGTCGGCGCGCAGGCGGCGCCCTGCAGGACGCCGCAGGACGTCGACGCGCACTGGGTGCCGTCGAACGCGTCTTGAAAAGTTTTTCCATTGTCGTCAAAATCAACATTGTCGTCCACGCACCAGCCGAGGTCCTGGTTAAAGGACGAGGCGCGCTCGAATATGGATTGCATGTTCCTGACGCCCGAGGTGTCCCACGCGCCGATGTCCTGGTTAAAGGCCGAGGCTTCGTAGAACATTTCCGCCATCGACGTGACGCCGGAGGTGTCCCACGCGCCGATGTCCTGGTTGAAGGCCAAGGCGACGTGGAACATCTGGACCATGACCGTGACGCCAGAGGTGTCCCACGCGCCGATGTCCTGGTTAAAGGCCGAGGCTTCCAGGAACATTTCCGCCATCGACGTGACGCCGGAGGTGTCCCACGCGCCGATGTCCTGGTTGAAGGCGTAGGCGCCGTGGAACATGGAGATCATCGTTGTGACACCCGAGGTGTCCCACGCGCCGATGTCCTGGTTGAAGGCCAAGGCGCGGTAGAACATGTAGCGCATGTCCTTGACGTTGTAGGTTTCCCACGCGCCGATGTCTTCGATGAAGGACGACGTCGATAAGACGCAGTTGTCCGCCCATGACTCGCCTTCCATCCAATTCTCCCGCACGCAAAACAACCACGACATGTCCGTCACCCCTTCAGTATTCCAAGTAGAAATGTGGCCGTACGTATCCATGGCGGCAGTCGCGTCCGAGGTCCACGCCGCGACGGCCGTTCTGATGGTGTCATCGGTCATTGCATAGCCTGGGCAATTGTCGGGAAGCGTTGCGAAATAGTCGCGCGTGACAAGGTAGGTTTCTGCGTCGTAGTGGTCCTCCATGCACTGACAGTCGTTCTGGCAGTAGCACTCGCCGTCGGCGGCGGACCAGTCGATGGCCACGAGGCCGGAGCCGTACTCATCCTCGCACATCGTCCAGCAGGCGTTGGCATCGGACACTCCCCTGCCAATCTCTTCATCGAGCCCGGACATGCACCAGCCATTCCCATTTCCCCAGTCCACATAGCCCGAGAGCACGCGCCGCTGCTCAAGGCTTTGGACTGACGAGCTCGGAGACTCATTGGTCTTGATCTTGGTCTTCGTAATGGTGTAGTCGCTGCCGCGGACCGAAGTCGCCGCCGCCGCCACGAGGGCGATCTCTGGCCAAAAGAGCAGGTAGCCGACGATACACGAGCGCCAGGCCGCGCCCTTCGCCAAGCTACTGCGCCGCGGAATAATCCTTCCGAACACGAAGAGTCCCAAAACAAGTTCTAGCAAAATTGCAAGTAACTTGACGAGAGCCCGCCCGAGGTAGCCCTGGGCCGCTTCTTCTTCGTCGACGCCGCCGTTGGCCGCGTCGTTTTGGTAGAGCTGGAGCCGCGCCATCGTCACGGCGACGCTCGTCGCGAATACCTTGGAGGCAGCGCGGTCGAGGCCGTTCTCGCCGAGCTCGGCCTTCGCCGCGGTTTTTATAGTCTCGGAGTCGAACGCGTCGGCGTAGAGGCCGTCCGCCCCGTGGTTCTTGTAGAGCTGGCGCAGCGCCGTCGCAGCGGCGCTCGTCGCCAAGCCCTTGGAGGCAGCGCGGTCGAGGCCGTTCTCGCCGGTCCAGGCGGACGCGCTGCCGCTTTGGTCGTCGTCGTACATGGCCATGGCCTCGGAGAAGCCTGTTAATTTCTCGCCGAGGTCGCCGCCCTCCTCGGGGCAGCCCCTCCAGGGCTTGTTGCATGTGCGCAGCCTGGGGCCGCGCGCGGGAGCCCGGAGCGGCAGCGCGGCGCTGCCCATGAGCAACAGGGCGGCCCGCAGCATTTCAGTTCTCGTTCCCCGTAAGTCCCTGCTCCCAGCTCAATTTGGCTGTCTGGGCGTTGTCTCATTTCCGCGCCGCGCGCGCGCGGAAACCCTGCACGCTCAAGCAAGGGCTACCAGATAGGGCTACCGGAGCGTGTGCCGTGACGATTGAATGAATGCCGCTCGCGAAACCCGCGCGTAGAACCCGGTACACAAACACAACTTACTCGCCGCCCAACCCCAACGCCGCCGACACCTGCGCGTACTGGTAGAGGTAGTAGGCGTCGGAGTCCGTCGACACCGTCAGCTCGGCGATAGGGTCCGTCTCCGCCGCGAAGACCGCGTTCTGCGCCATGGACTTGTCCACCAGCAGGCACGCGACGACGGCGTCCTGCGCGTTGCACTCGGGCCGGCAGCAGAGCCGCGCGTGGGCCTGGGCCAATCGGACGAGACTCTCGAGCATGCGGATCGTCGCCCGTCCCGAGGCCGCCGCCGCGCCGCGCCGCTGCCGCGCGTAGTAGGCCTCCACGACGCGCGCGGCGTCGTCGCCGAGCGTCGGCTTGAACTGCTCCCGGACGTAGGCGACGTAGCGCCGCAGGCGATCCAGGGACCAGGCCTTGGGCCGCGGGGCGACGCGCTTGCGCTTCGCCGGTCGCTCGTCGCCATCATCTAGTGGATCCAAGGAACCGCAGCCCGGCCGTATGGACGAATTTAAAATTTGAGCGCTCACAGCTCGGTCCCAGGACGCGTCCGGCGCATCCACAACCACCAGAATGACGTCGAACCTCGACAGCAACGACGGGGGCAGCGACGTGTTCACGGACAGATCCGCGCGACTATCAAACACGCCGCCCTTCGGGTTCGCGCAGGCCATGACCGCGCAGCGCGCCGCGAGCGTGCAGACCAAGCCCGCCTTGGCCACGGACAGCGTCTGCTGCTCCATGGCCTCGTGGATCGCGGCCCTATCGCCGGCCTTGATCGCGCCGAACTCGTCGATGCAGCACACACCTTTATCCGCCAAAACCAACGCGCCGGCCTCGAGGGTCCACTCTCCATTATCTTTGACCGCGCTGCACGTGAGGCCCGCCGACGTCGTGCCGCAGCCGGTCGTGAGGATCGACCGCGGCGCCAACTTGGCCATAAACCTCAAAAATTGGGACTTGCCCGTGCCCGGGTCGCCCACCAGCAGCAAATGGGGCGTGCCCCGCGTGCGCGTCACGTGTTCTTCCTCATCCTGGTCGCGTTCGTCGGAACCGACGCCGCCGACCGCCGTCAGTAGCACGGCTAGCTTCAGCGTCCGCCGCCCAAATATCCGAGGACACACGGAATCGATCAACACGTCGCGCGCGGCCAGGGGCGCCTGGCTCCGCGCCGCCCTTCTCCATAAGGCCCGGAACGCGGCGACGTCCTCCTCCGTCGCTCGTGCGGCGCCCGGCGCGTGCGCCGCGGCGACGGGCCGCACGTCGCACGCCCTTAGTACAAGATCCACGTCGACCCGCACGTCCTTGTAGTGGGGCTGCCACCTTCTCTCGAGATAACCGGTGACAGCAACCGCGTCGCCGGCCGTCGACGCGTCCGCCAAGTCGTACGTCACGACGACGGTCAAACTCCGTGGGATGGCGCCGACGCCCAAGCGCTCGACGTGCTCCTGGACGCGCAACTCCTGGTAGTCCGCGTTTTCCCGCTCGACCTCGACGAAGCGCCGGCTCCCGCAGGACCCGTCCTGGCCGGGGCATCTTTTGGGCGCTTCAAACACGTTACCCTGGGCCGCGTCGGGCTTCACGGGGAAGACGTGCTCGCACCGCTGGTCCAGGCAGCGGTACCACCTTTGTGCTTCCAAGACTCGGACGGCGCCCGTTCGTACGACCGTCCCTTCGATTTGCACTAAAGGCCCGACGTCTCCACACCGTAGAGCGGAGACGTTGGGCTTGCGGTGGGCAGATAACGGCGGGCAGTGGCGTAACCGCGCTCGGGCCTTGCGCTCGCGCCAGTCCGGGTGCCGCGAGGCCGTCTGCGACGAGAGGAGCGCCTTGACGCCGTCGTTCAGCGCCTCGTCGAAGACCGGGAGGAGTTTCTCGGGCCACCGCAGTAAGCCCTGTGCCGCGCCGGCATCAAATCTAGCGAGCTCGCACAGATCCACGGGCACGCCGACGCCCCTCGCGTCGCCCGCCGCGTCCTCGCCGCTCACGACGGCTTGGAGCGCTCTCCTTCCATCTCGCGGGCGTCGCACGAACGCCGCGAATTTCTCCTTCCACGCGTCTTTCGAGAGTCGCCGCCAGCCCTCTGACTCATTCGGCGGCGGGCGCGGCGCGTGTGGCGCGCGCTGCTGCGTGCGCTGCTGCGTGCGGGCCGGCGTCGGCGTGGCGCGCGGGGTTCTGGCCATTTTTAGCACTGCGTTTGTGCTTCTCGCGCCAATTTCGATCAATGGGACCGGTTCCCGCGCAAGTTCGTCGCGCGCGGATTACTAGCGGCATGTAAGACACTAGCGGCCATGGCGCCCGCAAAACGCAGCCATAGTAACATAAAAAATATTCACTGGGATAAATAGTCCGCCACCGGCAGCGCAGGAGGCTCCTCGCTCCACCCCGGCCGCGCGTCGTCCTCGTCGTCGCCGTCGCCGGGCGTCGGCGACCGGTCGGGCGTCGCGTCGTCCGCGCGCCGGCGGCCCTCCCACGCCTCGAGCGCCCCGTCGCGGAAGCAGCTCCGCAGGACGGCCTCGAAGACGACGCGCGGCCCGTCGCGCCATCCCAAAAAAGACCCGCCGAGCTCCGTGATCTCGCCCGTGGTCAAACGCCAGCCGTTCTCATCCCACCACACGAAGGCGTCTATCCTATAGAACGGCTGCGGCTCGGCATCCAAAGCCAGGAGCCACGTCCCCCACGTCGCGCAGAGGCCCCGTAGTGCCGTGTCCAACGCCTGCAACCTCTCGGGACTATTCTCGCACCAGCCCTCCAAGATTGTTGAACGGGGAACCTCCTTGAAGGTGCAGAAGCGGCCGGCGTCGTCGCCCTCGTCGTCGGGCGGCTCGAAGCGCGTAAATAAAATCTTCGCGACGCGGCCATCCACCACATAGCACCGCGCCTCCCCCAGATGCCGCACGTACTCTTGGACGAAGACATGTCTCGCGCGACAGCCCGGCTGGTGCAGGACGTCGACCAGCGCGCCCGCCAAATCACTCACGCCGCGCCACGCGCGCACATCGAGCGCCTCCCACGAGTACCCGAGCTTGACGACGCCGCGATCACATTCGTCACCTTTGATGGCCCGCAGCGCGTCGACGGCGCGCTTCGCGGCGGAGAACGGCACGCGCGCGACACTCGACGCCGAGACGCGCGTCGTCGCCGGCACTCTCATTTGCGAAGGACCGCAACCGCTTACCGCCGTCGTCCACTCCTTCGCGAGTAGAGCTCGATAGACATGCGCAGAATGCGGAAATCTCGTAGGAACGCCCGCTGACTCAACACGACGCATGAGCTCCAGCAACGAGTCCGCGGGCACCATGCCAGGTCTACCCGCAGTCCCATCATCAAAGCGCGCCGGCCACAACAGATAAAAAGCGGCGACGTGTTTTCCTTTCAACATTTGCGTGATGCGTCGCTCGCAGAGGCGCTCCAGGTCTGAACCAGACGTCACGTAGGCCGTACAAGCACCATAATCACACCCGAGCTTCCAGTGCACAAAGTCCAGCAACCCACTCGCGAAGCGATCGCTCACGACGGCACCTGCCGAGCCCCAACTTCCACTATATTGCCCCGCACAAGCGTCGGGGTCCTCCTTGCCGCCCCATCTCACCAATAAAATATCCAGGGACGGTTTTTCAGGTTTTTCAGATCGCGGCCGCACGCGATAGGGAGCGAACCGCTGCACCGCGTTCCGATCGTCACTCATGTCCAGGGGCCGCCCGCCCGGCTCGCGCCAGTGCGGCCACGCGTGCCTTACCAGAACCTGCTCGCCGTCCCAGCCGTGGTGCGCGCGCTCGACGACGGCCGGCACCCAGCCGTCGCTCCGCGCGAGCCTCGGACCGCACAGGTTGTCCGTGCTGTCCGCACAGGGGAAGTAGCCGCCCGTGTCGTCTTCCAACGCTCGATAAAACACGTCGACCTCCTCGCCCTCGCGATACGTTCTCGGTTCTTCCGTAGCGTTCTCTACACCCGTTCCAAAGGACTCGGCGCAGGTGCCCGGCGCCGGGTCGGGCCAGCGCTTCGGCTCGGGCTCGTCGCCGGCCGCGTCGGCGTCGGCGTGCGCCGGGGGCGCCGGCGGCGGGGCGGCGTCGTAGGTGTCGTCCTGCATTTGTAACGTGTGGTTCGGCATTTCGCAGTCGCTTTTACAGTGCTGCGCTATAATGCGCAGCGCGGCCGCGTAATGAATGCGCGCGCGGCTGTGGTGCAGCGAACTGGGCCGTAGTAGGCTAGGTTTTTGGGAATTTGCGCGGCGTCCGCCGGCTTCGTTGCCGAAGTCCTGGTCGCAGCGATCCCTGGCCGACGTATGCAACGCGTTGCGCGTCGCTTGAACCGGGGACAAGCGAGTCTGCAGTCGTTCACAGGGGCAGAGCTGCAGGACCTGGGCGATGCAGCCAGCGTTCAGCAGCGGTAATTGCTCACACCGCGTGCCTATCGGTGCGACACGGGGGCGATTGAGCATTGCACTCTGACCCAGAACTGACTGCGCGCGCAACCTCGCTGCAACGCGCTGCGCAGGAAGCAAAACAGCTCTCCCTGAACAGAGAGCAAGCAGCGGACGCCATCGACGCACAAAGCCATGGCCAAGAAGCGCCCCCAGTCCAAGGGCGGCAACACGCAGCAAAAGAAACAAAAAAAGGCCCCGACCGGCCAGCGCCCTAGTCTGGCGCCGCGCGCGACCGGCGTCGTCACCACCGGCAAGGCCAAGCGTAAAAAGAAGGACGACAAGCCCCCGCCGGCGCAAGGTAGGAAAGCGCTCGTCGTGAAGCCCGCGCGCGGCGTCGCCGTCGCCGAGACCGTGCAATTGTGGAACGTCTTTCGCAAGAAGGCTATAGACGAAGCCACGCGGAAGAAGACCGTCGACGCGGCTCTGTCGGCGCTGACGGGCAAGCTCTACGAGGCTTCTCTCAAACACGACTCGGCTCGAGTTGTCCAGGCGCTGCACAAGTTCGGCGATAGTAATCAAAGAGCGAAGATCGAGGCCGAGCTCGTCCCACGCTTGGGGGAACTGGCCATCCGCCCCTACGCTAGACATGTGGCTTTGGCATTAGTGAAAAGGGCGGCTGATTCATCTCAGAGATCTGCAAGGTGCCGCGCCGTGCGGGGCAAGTTCCGGCAGATCGCGGTCCACGCCGTGGGCGCCAAGGTCGCCGACGCGCTGCTGCAGACGGCGCCGAAGCGGGACGCTATTTCATTGAGACGCGAGCTCTACGCCGTGCCCGACGCCGATCTCCTGAAGGCCGAGACGTTATCAGGCATATTGAACGAGGTCGAGGAGCGGCGGCGCGCGCCTATTTTGTTGGGTGTCGACGCCACGCTCTCAAAGCTCTGCGACAAGGGCCTCGCGCATTATGCTTTTGCCCACGATCTACTATTTGAGAGGTGCTCGTCTCTACATAATCTAAGGGAACTCGCGTCGAGGACGGCCGAAGCGCACCCCCACTTCGTGTCCACGCGCAGCGGCGCGCGCGCGTCCTCCATACTAGCCACGGCGGCCGACGCCAAGACGCGCAAGGGATTACTCAAAAAGTGCTGGCGGAGCCGCGCGGCACAAGCATCACTACATGCAAGGGCCCACGTCGCGCTCATTCGCTTTTTAGATGTCGTCGACGACACGAAGCAGACCGGCTCCCTAATTAGTGGAGAGCTCGGGCCCGCGTGCGCGGAACTGGCTCTGGATGTGTGCGGCGCCCAAGTTTTATTATCGCTGCTCGTGGACGCTTCGTCCAAGTACTTGTCGGCGGACGTCAAGGATGTATTAAGGGAGGATCCGTCCTCTGTCACGATAGAGGGCGCGCCGGCGTCGCGGAAACCTAGGGCTCAAAGAAGAGGCGAGCTCGCCGCGCACGTCGCGCCGGGCCTCAAAAAAGCGTTAGAGACGCGCGCGCCGGTGTTACTCGCGTCGCGCAGCGCGGCGCCCGTCGTCATTGCGGCTCTCTCCGTGAAGCCTTTGATTGGTGACGCGGAGCTGGTCGAGCGCGTCGCGCGAGCGTGCCTCGCGCCGGCCGCCGCTTTCAGCGTTCCGGATGATGATGTGGAGGCGAAGAACCCGCACTTCGGCGGCGGTCGCGGCGCCGCGTCGACTTTGCCTTCGCCTATCGTTCTCCGTCCGAAACCCGCCTCGCTCACCGGTCGACGTCCGCAGGCGACGAGGACGACGACGAGGACGACGAGGACGCCTCGGCGGGCTCCGGCGGCGGCGACGAGGACGGCTCCGGCAGCGACGACGAGGAAGAGGACTCCGACTCGGACGACTCCTCCGAGGACGCGCGCGGCGCCTTCTTCGAGAAGAGCGACGACGACGACAGCTCCGCCGGTGATGTTGCGGCGGCGGCCGACGCCACCGGGGACTGGGGCGTCGCAGACTCATCAATACCGCCGCCGGTCCTCGACGACGACGTCGCGCATCGCACGCTGCTTTCATTATTGCAGGCCGGGACCGAGGGGTTTGCGGAGGCCTTTTCAAGCGCTGCGAAGGAGGCGGGCGGTTTTGAGAGATGGGCCGGGTCGAATCGGGGCGCTTTAGTATTAGCGGCGCTCGTGCGCGCGCGGCCGGCGACGCGGAAGGAGCTCGCAAAGGTGCGGAAGGGGCTGGCCAAGGCGAAGACGAAGGGTGCTCAGGCGCTCCTTGAAGCTTTGGATGAGTAAGACTAATTATTGAGCTCCTCCCCCCGATTGGATCGCGGCGAGCGGCGGCCGGCCGTACTTCTTCCGGATCGCTTCCAACAAGGCGGGCTCGTCGACGCCGGCGGCCTTGTACTTCGTGATGATGTCGTTGCAGCCCTTCAGTTTCTCGGGGTTGTGTTTTCTGTAGAACGCGAAGATGTCCTCGCGCGCTCGCAAGCACTCGGCCTCCCGTTTTTTCGCGGCGTCGGAGGGCCCGAAGAAGGTCCGAGATAGCGACTTCCTAGCCCTCCTCATCCTGGAAGGGTTTTGCTTCGCGAGCCAACGCTGACGAGCCCCGTTCTCCCGCGCCCGATCGACGAACGCGCGGAACGCCGTCTCCCACTTCTCCAGGGGCGGCTGGTCCGGGCCGAAGAACGACTTTTTCGGCGCGGCCCGCAGCTCGACGGGCCGTCGCCGCGACGGCGACTGTGAGACCCAGAGCTTTATTTTTTTTTGGCCATCTTTGCCGACCTTCGTTTCGATGCTCTCCACCGACAGAAGGTTGAGGGAGGCGTGGGGGCCGTCCTCGACGCCGTCCTGGCCTTCCAGGTAGTAGCACAGCACCGTACCATGGACATAGAAAGCCTTGGGCTTCCACGTGCCGTCCCGACTCCGCTTCTCGAGGACGCCCGTGAAGATCTTGTCCTCTTTCGTGGGGCTGAGGGCGTTCAGCAAGTTCGTGAGCATGGGGCTCGTGCTGCCCTTGCGCTTCGGCGGCGGCGGGGTGCGCGCCTTGGTGGCGCCCATGGTGGCTTGTGTGTCTTCTGTGTACAGCTACCGCACAGCTACCGCGTCGAAGGGCCAGCGAATTCGCGTTGTCCCAAGCACTCGTTGGCGTGCTGCCCTCGCGCGGCAGACAGAAAGCGATGGCCCAGCTCCACACACCAACCGTGTGTGTCGAGAAGTTGATGGAAAGGCGCCGCGGAGCGATCGATCTCGCGAGGGAGGGCTCGGAGCCGGGGCCTAGCGCTCCGGAGAGGCATTCCGCGCGGCCTCCGTGTTCCTAGTATGTCTCACCTAGAGCACCCATCGAATCGCCTCCTCCGCCGACGCTGCGGGAGTGCTGTGCAACATACACGTCATCGCGGGCACCAGTAGTGGTCGCGGCATCGCTAAGACGACGTGTGAGAACTCGCGCTGCTGACGCAGCGAGTACACAAGCAAGCGACCCGAAAGAGGTCTCTCTGCACAGCGTACGCGTCGGCGCGTCACAAGCAAAAGCCGTCGGCGCGTCGCAAGGAAATGGCGCACAGCCGGCTCGCCGTCGCCGCGCTGCTCCTCGCCACGACCCAAGCTGTAGATAGGAGCAAGTTCCGCACGTGCCAGGACACGCGCTTCTGCAGGGTGCACCGGAAACCCCCGGTGCCGCCGCCCTCATATAAAGTGGATGCGGCCGGCGTTGCCTTGGTCGACGGCATCCTACGGTTGGAGGTATCTGATCAAGTCCAGCCTCCTCTTTTGGTGAGTGTCGCGCCGCACGCTGATAATGGTGTAGTACGAACCAGAGTCGTCGAGAAGGATAAAGTCCGATGGGAGGCGCCCGACGTGTTACTTAGCGATACATTTGAGTTGGATACGAAGGCAGCTCTGTCAAAAACGACCGATAAGGCTACGCTCAAGCTGAGCTCGGGCCATACTGTAGACGTAACGTACGAGCCCTTCTCCGTTCAATTAACGCCACCATCAGCCAAGGAGCCGTCCGTCGTCCTCAACCAGCGGTCATTGCTCCATTTCGAACGAGGGACGACGGTCGGAGCCGAGGCGACGCAAGAGGTCGCATCAAAATGTGAGAAGGACTACGCGTGGGACGGGAATGAGTGTAAAAAAATTGCCGGCTACTGGGAGGATGGGTTGGCTCGGTTTGAAGATGGTACCAAAGAAGTGAAGGAGTACGTCAAGTCGACGTCGGAAGACGGATTGGAAGAAACGTTCTCGGGCCACACGGACCGCCCGAAGCACGGCCCGACGTCCGTCGGAATTGACGTATCATTCCCAGGCAGCAAGGCGGCTTTTGGGTTGGCGGAGCACGCTTCGTCGTTCGCCCTCAAACCCACCACGGGCTCTCAGTACAATGAACCTTATAGATTCTACAACTTGGACGTCTTCGAGTACGACCTAGATGTCCCGATGGCTTTATATGGTGCTATACCTTTAGCATGGGCCGTCGATCCGTCTCGAACGTCTCATAACACGGCCGGCGTCTTCTACAACAACCCCTCGGAGACGTTCGTCGACGTCTCTGATGATTACTCATTGCACTTCGTGAGTGAGTCCGGTGTACTGGAGCTCTTCCTCTTCGCTCCATCGACACCGGCGGAAGGCTTCTCCCAATATGCTTCGTTGACGGGAGCGCAGGAATTACCTCCACTCTTCGCTCTAGGATACCACCAGTGCCGCTGGAACTACAAGGACGAAGCTGACGTACGAGCCGTGCACGGCCGCTTCGAGGAGGAGGACATACCTTATGATGTGCTTTGGCTCGACATCGAGCACACGGACGGCAAGCGCTACTTTACGTGGGACTCGAACCTGTTCCCTGATCCGGTCACGATGCAGGAGGACCTGTGGTCTACCGGAAGACGCATGGTGACCATCGTCGATCCGCATATTAAGAGAGACAACGGGTATGTGGTCCATAAAGAGGCTGAGAGTAAAGGACTGTACCTGAAGGACGGCTCAAATGACTTCGACGGCTGGTGCTGGCCCGGTTCTTCATCATATCCCGACTTTACGAATGCGAAAGTGCGGCAGTGGTGGGCCGAGCGGTTTAGTCTGGAGAACTACCAAGGTAGTACCTCGTCTCTGTACATCTGGAACGACATGAACGAGATGAGCGTTTTTAATGGGCCCGAGGTGACGATGCACAAGTCCGTAGTGAACTTGGATGGGGTCGAGCATCGGGAGTGGCACAACCTGTACGGCATGTACTTCCAGCGAGCTACGGCGGAGGGCCTGATGCTGCGCGATGCGAACAAGCGGCCCTTCGTGCTATCTAGATCATTCTACGCTGGTAGCCAGCGCTGGGGCGCCGTCTGGACGGGCGACAACGCGGCGCAGTGGTCGCATCTGAAACAGGCCGCTCCCATGTTACTGTCCATGTCCGTGTGTGGCTTGATCTTTGTCGGCGCCGACGCGGGCGGCTTCTTCGGCGACCCCGACGCGGAGCTCATGGCGCGCTGGATCCAGGCCGCGGCCTACACGCCGTTCTTCCGCGGGCACGCGCATCATGATGCCAAAAGGAGAGAACCATGGTCTTTCGGTCAGCCCACGACTTCGTACATTCGCAGGGCGATCGCGGACAGGTACGCGTTGTTACCTTACTGGTATTCGGTCGAGAGCTGTGTGGAAATCAACCAGTGAGTTAAAATTTCTGCAATTTTCACGCCATCGAGCAGACGCAGCTACTGAGAAAATATCGCGTCGATGGCGTTGGGCGCCCGAAATTTGATTTCCACACAGGTGTTTGCCGAGTCGCGCTTCTCTGGCTTGCCGGTCATGCGGCCGCTCTGGGCCGAGTTTCCTTCTGATAGTGGTGCGTTGCTTTTGGACGACCAGTGGATGGTGGGCTCGGCGTTACTGGTCAAGCCCGTCACGGAGCAGGGGGCGTCTCACGTCGACGCGTATTTGCCGCCTGGCCGTTGGTACGAAGTACACGGCGCCGCTCCGCTCACGCACGATTCGCGGGGTCAGCGTGTCAGGGCGAAGGCGCCGATCGAGGGAACGGCTCCGTTGTTTCAGCGCGGCAACACGATAATCGCGCGCCAGCGGCGCCTGCGCCGCAGCACCGTGGCCATGGCTACGGACCCCTACGAGCTCACGGTCGCGCTCGACGCGAACGGTGCCGCGGCCGGCGAGGTGTTCCTCGACGACGGCGTGTCGTTTGACTTTGTCCGCGGCGGCTTCGCAAGGACTGCGTTTTCCTATGCCAATGGCAAGCTATCCGCGGCGCCGGCGCACGAGTGCGACGCGCGGGCCCGCGCGCTCGGCGTCGAGGCGGCCGACGGAGGCGGCTTCGCGCCGGCGAACGTCGTCGAGCGCATCGTCGTGCTCGGCCTGCCGGCGTCGCCGAAGGCCGTGGCCGTCGCGGGCCGCGCCGTCGACTTCTCCTGGACGGCCGGGGCGCTGACGATCCGCCGGCCGGATCTGCCCATGGCGGGGGCGTGGGCTGTCGACTTTACCTTCTAAGTTTAGTTATATAAAGATCTTACGCCTGAATTTGTTGCTAGCGAGCTGTAACACACTAGCACAAGTGCAGCGCATCGAGTTGTAGCGCTGCCAGGCCACCCCTGGACTGGCTACGCAAGCAAGGGCTCACTTGTGGTGCACGTTGGCCGACATCCCGGGCCGCGAGTCTGTGGCGCTGGCAAGGGCTGCCCTCGCAGCTAGCTACCCAAGAGCTGGGCTGCCCTCTGCGCTGCACGCCATCGAAGAAAAGATGGAAGGACCAAAACCACTAAAGCCAACGCCCAATTGACGATGGCGCCGCCGCTCGCCCTCGGCGAGGTGCCCGAGGAGGTTCGCATGAACAAGCTCCTCGGAATGAATGCACCACCAGCCGCAAAAGTTTACAACGAAAAGGAACGCTACCACGTCGAGTGCTGTGTGGAAATCAACCAGTGCGTCGGGTGCGCAATGACGCGGCCGTCCTGGCTCGGTCGAGCGGCGAGGAACCGGCATGGCCACGCCATCGAGCAGGCGTCGCGTCGATGGCGTGGAGGACGACGCGATGATTCAGCACGAACGCGCCGTAAATTTTTGATTTCCACACAGGTCGAGTGGAAGGACCTCCACATGACCCAGGAGGAGCAAGATAGGATAGCCTATTTGCGGGAGCGAGGTGCGAAACACGTGTTCACGCCCTATGAGCTCGAAGTGCGAGCATTACGCTCGCGAGATTTGGAAGCTTACAAGAAGCCGACGCCGCTAACGCAGCAGTTCGACAGAGAGTGCAAATACGACTACAAGGAAGAAGGCCTTAGCTTCGATCCGCGCGTCTCTACGAAACAAAGCTTTTGCAGCAAGCTGTGTGGAAATCAACCAGTGCGACGGGTGCACCCGACAATTCTTCACTAAGTCATTTCTCGGCGATGACGCGGCCGTCCTGGCTCGGTCGAGCGGCGAGGAACCGGCATCGCCACGCCATCGAGCAGGCGTCGCGTCGATGGCGTGGAGGACGACGCGATGATTCAGCACGAACGCGCCGTAAAATTTTGATTTCCACACAGGCAGCAAGGTGTTCGATTGGTGCTGCTGCTGCTGCATCTGCTGTTGTTGCCGTGAATATAGAAGGAGGCGGAAGCGCCAAAAAGCAAGGGAGAAGGAGATGCGGCGCAAGTCGATGGACGAGCGGGCCTCGCGGGGCAGCCGGGGCTCGATGGACGAGGAACCGCGTCATAAAAAGAAGACGAAGAAGAAGCGGTGCTGTCTCGTCAGATGCGTCAGATGGCTCTGTTGTTGCTGGTGCGGGGAGGATTGCGAAAAGAAAAAGCGAGCCAAATTTCCGAAGGGGACGAAGGTCGAGTGCCGCTACCGGGCAGGGAAGACCTTCTACCCGGGTCGCATAACCGATTTCACGGAGGAAGGTCTCTACGTCATCGAGTACGAGGAAGGCGGCATCGAGCGCGGCATCAAGGAGGAGTTCATTCGCATGCCGAAGCGCGCTGCCCCCGTGGAGGAAACTAAGCAGGAGGCCCCGAAGACCCCCGAGAAAAAAGCAACCGTTCCGGAAAAGAAGGAGGAGCCCGCCGGGCCGCCCGAGCCCTGGGAGACGCACGAAACACATGACGGCAACACCTACTACTGGAACCGCCTCACGGGCGAGACGTCGTGGACGCTGCCCGAGGCGCCGAAGCTGAAGGCCGCGGCGGCCCCGGCGCCGAAGAAGCCGAAGAAGAAGCGGTCGTGGTGCTTCGGCCGGCGCAAGCCGGCGGCGAAGACGCTCGTCGTCGCGGCGGAACATCATTCCCATTCCACCTTTGAACATCCGGAGGCGGCGACTCAGGATGACTTTGAGTTTCCCGCCCGCCTAGGCTCTGGAGCGGAGTTCCCCGCCCCTCTCAAGGACGACATGGTTGTGGAGGACCTCGAGGACGACTACCCCTTGGAGAACCACATGGACAAACTCAAGGGGCCTCTCGTAGTGAACGATTAAAATTTGTGAGTGATTTAAAACAACTACAGGGGTGACCATGCGGCCCAGGCCTCGAGCGCGCGGATCCACTCGCCGGCGCGCTTGCGCTCCTTGAACGTGAACGAGTCGTCGACGCCGTTCCGCGTCAGGATCAGCGTTTTGCTGTCGAACGGGTCGAGGCGCCAGGCTAGGTGCCTTACCTCTTCTCGGAGGAACACGCTATTCCGTTTGCCTCCCCGCGCGACGACGTTCATCTCGACGACGTAGGGGCTGTGCCTCGCGGTAATCTCGAGGTTGCACGGCTGGGCCGGATACTCGTAAATCTCCGCGCCTGGCTCCAATTCCGGGTCGGTAGTTACATCGACTCTGGGCAGTATCTCGTCGTCGGGCCTGTGTGAATGAGACGCGTCGCATCGATGGCGTGGAAATGGTGTCGTACTTCGAACGGACGCCGAGGCAGCACCAGGGCCAGAACGGCTCCTCCTCGCGCGATTGGATCCGGCACGGCTCCGAGAGAAGCGCCGGCGTTCTCGCGAGGTGGTCTGCTCGTCTACAGACATGGCAGTCGTTGCACGCGACGCGCAGCGTGACGTCCTGTTCTGGCGTCGAGGCGAACGGCTTGGCAATGGCGTCAGGGTCCCCGGTCCAACGATACGTCTCCAGAGCTTCCGGATCGCCGCCCCATCGATAGACAGCGCCCGCGTCGCTCGCCGCCATGCTATGAAAAGCACCGGCGGCGACGGCGACGACGGCGACCTCCGCTAGGGCCTCGACGCGCCGCACGATGAGGCTATCGGCGTTCGAATCTTGTCCGTTCCGCGCCCCGCAGCCGCACGACAGCAGCGCGCCGCGCGCGTTGATTAGCAGCGTAAACTGCCTGCCCAACGCCGCGGACACGACGACGGTGCCGACGTCGACGCGCGTCGGCGTCAGGCACTCGTAGCGATCGCCCGTTCCGAGTTGGCCCCGCGCGTTGCCGCCGAACAAGTAGACCTCGGACCCCTCAATGCCGCCCGCGTCGGCGCAGAGGACGCACGAATGGTCGTCTCCAGCAGCGACCGCAACGGCACGTTCTACTTGAAGAACTCGTGGCCTCGCCACGTCGCGCTCCGAGTCGTGCCCGAGCCGGCCGTCGGCGCCGCGGCCCCAGCTATACGCAATGCCGTCGAAGGTCGCGACGAGGTAGTGCTCCTCGCCGCACGCAACGGATCGGCACCGAGCTTGGGCCAGAGCCTCGATCGGACGCGGCTCCTCGTCATCAAACAAGCCCTCGTACACTTGACCCGTCTCGGCGAGCAGAAGGTATGATTCTTTGCTGGCAGCGACCGCACGGATCCGCGTCGGGGCGGGCAAGAGCAGCCGAGTTATTGTGGGAGGCTCGTCGATCTCCCGGCCGTGATACAGGCAATATACGCATGCATCGGCGTCGCCCGAGACAACGATCGAGTGGTATGACCCAGTTGCAAGGATATGCGAGTGCGGTAGATCAGAGTACTCATACGTCCGAACGCGGCGCGTGCAGTGGAAGTACTCTGCCCGCAAATCGAGCTCCTCGGCGAAGGGGTCGGGATGCTCCTCCTGATATCGTTCCGGCTCCCAGCCGAACGGCGTCCGGCCGTGGAGCTGCAGGTACCCTTCGTCGTCGATTATCAAAAAGAAGCCGCCGTCCCGCGACGTGCGGGGCACGCCAAGCACACGACGCCCACCATAGAGTTTCTCGTCTTTCCATCGCACTCGTAAGTTATCAAGGCCTACGCCGCACGAGGGCCGCGGTGGCTCCTCATCGTCTATTCTCGTTTTGCTGCTCTGATACGTTCGCTGCGTTCTCCTTGTGGTGCCGCTACGTATGGTCCCACTACGTAGAGTGGTACCAGTAGCGCTGGTGGCGAAGCTAGCCTTGGAGCGTTGGGAGCCGACCGAGTGCTGGGAGGCAATCGAGAGCTCCGAGAGCTGCCCCAGCTGCGTCATGGTGATTGCGGCTCACTGATGGGACTACTCCACTGACGATATAGCTACGAGAGGCAGCCCGACGCACGATGCGCACGCCGAGGCGTGCAGTGCTCTCCCAATATAGCTACTAGAGGCAGCCGACGCGCGATGCGTACGCCCGTGCAGCGAGATGCAGCGCTCTCCCGCGCTGTTTGCAGCATCTCACGGGTTTCGGCGCAGGTGATGAGTGATAGAACTCAACTGTCCCTTCACAGCTCCCGGAGCCCTGCTCAGGGCTGGGGAAAATCAGCCCCGCATTTCTCATTTCCCCGTTGCTGCAAAAGCGCCGGCGCTGCCTTCGCAAAGCTGCCGGGCGCGTCGAGGCTGCCCCGTGCCATCAATGCGCCGCCCGATGCAGCCAGAGAACAATGGCGGCGCGCAGAAGAAGTCATCGATGCTGCGCAAGCTAAAGAAGGCCAGCTCGAAGCTCTGGAAGAGCGCCACCGGCCAGACGGACGACAGGGGCCGCTTCGTGGCCGAGCCGCCCCCGCCTCCGCTGCCCCCGCGGGCACCGCCTCCTGCGGCCGCGCCGCCACCGCCGCCACCAGTCGCAACTGCAGCCGCACCGACTGCCGACGAGAAAGCACGACGGACTGCTGCGCGCCTCGAGAAGAAACGGCGTCGCAACGCAGCGCGCCAACGGCAAAAAGCGAAAGAAGCAGCCGTTCCGGGCGCGCCCCCCGCGCCGACGCGGCAGGCCCCTCGACCGCCACCAACGCGGGATGTGCCGTCGCGGCCGCCGCCACCGCCGCGAGCTGCGCCAACAGCGCCCAACCCGTGCGACCTGGGCATTCCAGGCGCGGCGGCGAAGGCCAAGGCCGACGGTGATAGCCAATTCCGAGCGAATAATGTCGTGGCGGCGCGTGAGTCGTATACGCGTGCGCTCGACCGCCTCGGGGCTACGGACGATGCCGCCGACGCGACGCGGCGGTCGTTTCGCGCTGCCCTGTTGTCGAATCGAGCTGCATGCGACATGGCGATGGCGCGGCAGCACGGGGCCTCGAAGGCACGGGTATGCTACCACAGGGCGATACGCGACTGCACACTCGCATTTGAGGCCGCGCCCGTACGAATGCGGCGTCTGCGCGACAGAATATTTGATCCGATCGTGATTCATACCGGTTTGTTTCATGCAGGCGCCCTACGCGCGCGCCATGCTGCGCCGCGGCCAAGCGAAATTGGCCGTCGGAAATTCAGCGGGAGCGATCGAGGACGCGTTTTCTGTACGCCTTGTGTGGAAATCAAACGTCAACGCCCCACGCCATCGACGCGATGTTGATTTCTACACAGGTCGAGGCGGCCGTCGTGGAGATGAGCGCGGCCGACGGCGAGGTCGGCCAACGCGGCCAGGCCGAGATTAAGGAAGCGCGCGAGCTGGTCGCGAAAGCGAGGCATTTCGAGACACAACGGCGTAGGCTCGCTGGAGCCGCACGACCGCGCGGCGGGGCTGGACGCGTTGTTATTGACGTGGCCGCCGTCAGCGGTGCTCGAAAAGCATTCGTCGACGCGGTGCCGTCGGCTCCAGCGGGACCACTCGCGGACGCGTGCGCGGCGCTGGCTGCTGGCGACGGCGCCGCGGCCGGGCCGCGTCTCGATGAGTGCCTCGGCAGCGCCAATGCTCGCGGCGCGCCGCCGGGCGGGGGGCCACCGCCGCGGGCAGCCCTCCTCGTGCTGAAAGCTCGCGCCTCGCTACTCCAGGCGGGCGACGCGAAACAAACCAAACGGGTCCGCAACCGCATGCTCATGGCCGCCGCCACGCACCTCGGCCTCGCAAAGACCGCGGCTCCAGGTCAGGCCGACGCGGCCGTCTTCGAACGCCTCACCCGGCGCCACGCCCTCCTCGAGATTATTCTCACGGACGGCGTGACGCACGCGAGGCTGCGGGCAATCGAGGACGCGCTCGCGGGGCTCCGAAGCGCGCCAAAGCCGTGCACGTTGGACGAGGACTTGAGGCATTGCTCCGAAGAGGCGGCTGATAGAGCCGCCGGCATGGCGGCGCGGGATGATGTTGCCATGCGGCTGGCGCGGGGCGAGAGGGACGCACCACCTCCGCCGCCGCCTTCCGGACGACGGCCGCCGCCGCCGCGGTCGGCCTCGGCGAATCAGCCGCCGCCGCCGCCGATGGGGGGAGGCCGGCCGCCGCCACCACCTCAGATGGGACGGCGATCGACGCCACCGCGACAATCCCAAAGCGCCGCCGCGCACGAGCGAGCCTTCAAGCTGTTCGAGCGTCGGCTCGCCGCGGCGCAAGAGGGGTCGCTCCGCCTCGCGGACGTGCCTTTGCCGCCGCCCGGCGCCGTGTGCTCCGCGAGGACGGCGTCAGCGCGAAAAAAAGCCGTCCGCGCGGCCCTCCTGCGTTGGCATCCCGACAAGTTCGACCTCTCGAAGTTTACCACAGAGGATCGGGACGCCGTCGCCGACGCTGTTGCTGATGTCACGCGGCGCGTCGTGAAGGAGAAGAAGAGGCTCGCCCGGTGAGGCGACTCATATTATTATACAGCGCCGCGTTGGGTAAACTATGTGAATTCGCGACTCCTCTTTGACAGAAAACCCGTGCGTCCATTTTTTTGCAGCACACGACGGCACTCAGCAGCCAGCCATATACGCGCGAGCACTGCGATATATGCACGTACGGCTGGTGGCGAGGGCAGATTCAAGTGAGGGGCAGCCTCAGATGGAGCTTGGAGCAGATCCATGAGCTCTGATGGCTTTGCTGCTACCTAGGTAATACAGCCTGCTATGCTCATGCTAAGGACTAGGAGGATGTCCCTCTGCCTGCAATTACTGGTTGTATTACATGCATTCGGAGGGGCAGCCGGCGCCGGCCACAAGGCGAATTGGAGTGCTGTGTGCGAGCTCGAAACCACGCGGGGAGCGGTGGAGAAGGCAGCGCGCACGAGCAGACTTGCGAGAACCGCTCCAATACAAACGCCGACGCTCAGGCTCTCGGTCGAAGGCGGGAGCTCAAACGACGGAGTGCCGCTCACGGTCGCGGCGGGCCGAGTTGTGCACGCCACCTACGTAGGCGGCGGCAAGCGGCACCTTACGACTGCCATCTCGGTCAACGGCGTACCAAGCTGTCCTGGTACGGATCATCAGTCCACGGTTGCGGTCGAGATGTCTGTGCCGAGGCGTGCTCTGAGAAAGCGCGGCCACCACCACCGGCACCGGTTCAAAAGGCACACAAGCCACGAACACGAATCCAAGTATAGCGCGCTGCGCCCCAGCGAACGAGTCGTGATTGACGCGGTCCTATGCGACGGCAGAAAGAAAATTGCCAAACAGCGTGCCGTCACTCGCGTCGTGGAAGCCAAATCATTGGGCCTGTGTCGTTCGAGCGTGCCGTCGCCGCGAAAGCCGCCGCGTCCACAACCGCTCGCACTGCTCGCGCTGCTCGAAGGGCGCAAAAGCGAAGCGCGGAGCCTCCTGTCAAACGCAGCCGAAACGCTCGTGAGGCGCTTGGAGAGGCGCGGCGCGCTCTGCGATAAAACAAGGCTATGCGACGCGCGCGTGCTGCCGAGTTGCCCCGCCGGGTGTAAAGCTCGTGACGCGAACGCGAGCTGTGTCTTCGCGCACCTCGTAGACGATTGGAAGGAATATAAGCACGTGCCGAAAACGTGTGTCGAAGTATGCTTCTCGAAGCTTGCCATCAAATACGTCTGGCGTGCTGACGTGTCGCGGGGCGGCGATGCGCGCGACAAGTTGGCCCTCGAACGTTGCCGAATTCTACATATTCACAAGCTCGCTGCGTGGTGGTCGCGGCATCGCGAGGCCGCACCATTTTCCGCCGCGGCAGAGGGTGGGCATTCAGTTCCGGTTCCTGGCGCGCAATCGCTCGACCGCTGTGCCGTCGTGGGATCTGGTCACTCGCTCCGCTGCGGATCGCCGTGGGGCGGCACGATCGACAGTTACGACGCAGTGTTCCGTGTGAACAAGGTGCAGCTACAAACGGAAAATCGCAATGCCTACTCGTGCAAGGTCGGAGCTCGGGTAGATTTTGCCATCAACGCCCTGACCATCAGCCAATTTGAAGAGCTCGTCAATAATTCGATTGCCGAAAAGTTTCTGTCTCAGCACAAGGATGTGTTAAACAGTTTGTCAGGTCTCGGCAGCGCGGTCGTCACGAAGGACCGAGACACCTACAAAGCCGCTGTCCGCGCCGCGCGAGTGCAGAATGCGTCCGATGGATGGCGCGTATTCCTGCCGTCGAACGCCGTCCTCCATGGCCGCGGCCTCGGATCCGGCTCGGGATCAACTGCCGTTGCGCTTGCGATGTCGCTCTGTCGGAGCGTCGACGCCTACGGGTTCGGAGTCTTCCGAGACGACGTCGACGCCGCTGACTATCGCTACCTACACTTCTACCAAGACGTGCCCCGCCAGGGTCACGTGGGAGGCGCTGACGGGGTGACTGGCGGCGCCCAGGTCCTGAATTCGGAGCTCAGAAACGCCGTTTGGGACGCTTTCGGGCTCGTGAACTTCGTGTGGTGGTAACATCCTAATTAGTGTTAACAAACAGCTACTTTAGCGATGCCGCCGCACACAATCCTCGAAGCGCTTCCATCTTCCCGTCGGCGACGCCGAGGACGCGTCCGAGGCGCAGTCCGCAGGCCTGGAGCTCGGCAAGGCGCTGCGACGCGTCGGCGTCGACGCGTTTTGTGGCGCGCGCGTCTTCGGCCAGGGCGGCGACCGCGCGTGCGCGCAGCGACGACAGGAGCGCGGCGGCGCCGTCGAGCGCGTCGGCGCTTTCGCACGTCGCGGGCCGCCGCATTGCGGACACGACGGCGGGCGGCGGCTCCGTGCCGAGCCTCCTTCCAATGGAGCGCGCGACGGCGGCGTCGGCGGCGGCCTCTTGCGCCGCGCGCCGCGCCGCCGACACGCTCGTGGAACGCTTCCGGAGCCATGTCCGCGGAATGTCCGAGGCGTTGGCCACGCCCGCGCCCGCGTCGGCGGCGCGGAGCCAGAGGTCGTAGTCCTCGGCAGGCTCGGCCGCGCTCGCGTAGCCATCTAGGTTCAGCACAGCGCGTCGGTCCAGCAGCACGGTCGGGTGCGCCACGCAACAGGAGAAGAGCAGCGACCACTCGGCGTCACCCGAGCGCGAACGAAGCAGCGGCGCCCGTGCGCCGTCGGGCCACCAACTCACGGCTGCGCCCCCACACGCGGCGACCCGCCCTCTTCGCCTCAAATCCGCGAACCTCGCAACATGGCGGTTGAGTTGGCCGGCCGCGAAGACGTCGTCGGCGTCGAGCCGCGCCACGACATCGCACGAGCACATTTTCAGCCCGAAATTTAAAGCTTCGGCGAGTCCGTGGCCCGAACTTTCTAGGACCCGGACGCGTGCATCATCGATCGCTGCCACGGCAGCGCGCGTGCCATCCGTCGAGTGGTCGTCAATTACCACGACCTCCTCGACTATGTCCCCCTCGTCCAGCGCCGATCTCACCGCATCTACGATCGTCGCTTCCTCGTTCTTCGCGGCGATGAGCACGGAGACGCGCGGCGGCTTTGACGGTCGTTCTTGAGGCGAAGGAAACCAGTCTCCGACGTGCGCCGAGTCGTGGCTCGTCTTGGCGTACATGGCAACGTCCAGATCGGCCGCCGCGTCGTCGACGAGGGCGTCGAGCGCGTCGAGCGACGGCGCTGGTGTCGCGTCATAGACGGGCGCCGAGTAGACGTCTTGGACACGGTTCACCGTGACGATGACCAGCGCCTTGACCGCAGGACAGGCGCTCCTCGGGCGTTGCGAGGTGAGCCCGAGACGCCGCAACGCAGCGTTGCCATTTGCCTCGAGGCGGTTCGGATGCGCCGCGGCGTCGTTTCCTGGGCCTGGGCGCACGATGTCTCGGACGACGGCGCTCGCATCGGTGCCGCGATACAGCCCACCGGCTAAATCCCAAGCGTACGACCAGTCGCCCGACAACCCACTCCGGTCGAACGCGAGGAGCGCGGGCGCCTTGCCGACGTCCCCGCCGACGACGTCGAACACCGCCGGCGGGGCGCAGGGCGCATCCTGGGGATGACACCACGTCACGCCGGGATGGAGTCTAGCATGCACTGCGAGCAGGCAATCGTCGCGTCGCAGCGCAGTCGCCGCCGCCACGACATCAAAGCTTTCGACGACGAGCGCATCGTCGACGAGAAACCATACGAACTCGGCGTCGGCGAGCGCGATCGCGAGGTTCGCCGCCGGCCCAGCATCGCCGTCGCAGAGGAATCGGTGCGACGGGAACTCGGCTTGCACAGTGGCGTACGCTTTCGCCGAGGTATCTCCTTCCGCGCGCCAGAGCACGAAGACCTCGGTGGGCTGGGCGCGCGCTAGCGAGCGCAGGTGGCACCGCAGCTGGAACGCGCGGTCTTTCGAGAAGACGACGGCGCGGACGCGCGGCGGCGCTTTTGCTTCTTCGAGGGCTGGCAGCAGCGGTGCGGCCCTCGCCGCTGCTTGCGGCCGCGGCGGTGCGGCCGGCGCGGCTGCGCGCCGCGCGGGAGCGGGCGGCAGTGCCGCGTTTGGGCCCAAAAAGCTTGCTATGTTCGCGAACGCGTCGTCCATTGATGCGTGATCGCTTCTGGTCTATGTGAGGAGTATTCTCTAGCTTGTGCGTAGCTTGTGTCAATTGCTGCAGCGCGATATGCGCTTTTTGCCACGAGTGCTAGTGTCTTACAGGCCGCTAGCTAATCGTCGGGTCGACTTCCAGTCTCTTGCGAGTTGCGCGCTATATAGCGTGCGTTTGAGCATCGTCGGCGGTGCTGGACCTCGGCGCGCACCGCGACGGGCAGCCCCTAACCCTCTCGTGACAAGCAGCGCGCGGTGAGCCATGGGTCAGCTAGGGTCACGGGAGGCACAGGCGCCGCGCGCCGACTGCCGCCAAGAAGAAGCGCACAGCGCGCCGCGGCAGAGCATGGACGAGAGCACCGCGGCGCTCCCGAAGGTGACGACGAGTTATGGAGTCGCCGACAAGGTCGTTACGGCCGTGGCCGTGGCCGCGATGGTCTGCGGCATCATCTCCGTAGGCGGCCCGTTGTACGTCGGGCACGTCTTAGCCGTGGCCTCTGTGACGTTCCCTGCTGCCTTCGCGGTGCCCGAAGTCGTTATTAAGGCCTTCGTCGGCCCCAAGCCCCTTAAGGTGAGGTTTTGGCCCGATCACCACTGGGTGACATGCGCGCTCGGAACCGGAGTCGGTTTCGTTTGGGGTGTCGTGCTCGGAATCAAACTCGCCCACATGAAAGGTATCAAGTTCCAGTTCAAGGTGTGAACAATAGCGTCCCCCCGTCAAGTCCCCCGTCCCCAACGTGTAATTTACTTTACGAGAAACTCCAACACATAACCACACCCGGAGGGCAAGGTATACCTAGCTCGGCGCCGGATGCTTCACGAGCCCAGGAAACGACGTATCCTCCGGCGGCGGGCAGTCCGGGGACCGCGTCCGCGCCCAGAGGAGCTCGAACGCGCGGCCGGCGGCGGTGCGCGCAACGTCGACGGCGTGGCGGCCGCCGTCGGCGCCACCTCCCGGTACACCAGTGATGACGAGGCCGTCGGCGTCCTCCGTACACCTTAATTTTGCCAGATCGCGCGCGGCGGCGCCATTGGGCGCCGCAACGAGTCGCCAGGCGGTCGTCCCATTGAGTGCCGTGCGGCACGCAGATCTCGCAACGCGGAGAGCTCTCTCTGGTGGTTCAACCAACGTCGTGATATGAGCGGCGTGCAAAACAACGAATCCACCACGTACAGCGGCAGCCGATTCCTGTGCAGCGGACACGTCCCAGGCCGCCGGCAAGCGGCCGAGCTGCCACGCGGGCGGCTTCTTTGTTCGAGTGGCGTTCGGACCACACGCCCTCGCGAGCAGCGCTATTAAGGCCGGCGCCGAGCGGCCGACGTCCTGCGGCCGTCGGGGTTTCGGCGCGCTGCCGTCCAAGAGCGCCCCTAACCAGTCCTTTGCGAATGCCGCGGTCCCTTCCGTACGCCTCGCGAATATTGCGCCCGTTCGCGGCGCCGCAGATAGGCCCGCGCATCTGTCGCGGGCGGCGGCTCGAGCGGCGAGCTGGCACGCGTCGCAGGCGCCGGGGGCGTCGCGGTCGAAACCACCGTCGTCCCCATCATCTCCGAAGTCATTAGCCCCGCACACAGAGGCGCAGCGCGCCGCCGCGGCAGCTGCAGCGGAGGACGCGGCCGCACCGGCTCCGCCAGCGCCGAACGCGCCTCGCGCGTGGGCGCCCGAAGCGAGGGCCACGTCGACATCGGCTTGGGCCGCGGCCTTGCTCATCTGCCTGAGCGTTTCGCTCGCGTGTCTGGCGCAGGGAAGCGCGTCGTCATCCAGAAATAGCGTAGAGCCGAACGGCGGCGCCGCCATTGCGAGGATCCGGCTCGCGCGAGAGGCGAGTCGACGGCCCGCGTCCTCGTCGAAGGCAGCAATTGCGGCGGCGAGGCGCTTGGCCGAGAGCCTCGGCGCGGGCAGTACGCGCGGTACGAGATTCGGCTTCTCGCCCAGCCGTTTCGCGAGCGCGTCCAGCGCATTTCGCGCTGTGTCCGCGTCGATGTCGACGTAGAGGCAGCGCGCCATCGACGCGTCGTAGCGCCGCAGCGTGGCCGCCGCGACGGCGACGGCGGACAGCTCGTGCGCAGCGTTGCTGGCGTTGATCCCAGTCCTCAGCCAGCAGATTCCGATATCGCCAGCAGCTCCACCGGCCCCGGCGCCGCCGGCACTCTGCCCCGCCAGCCATATGACTCCTGCGACGAGAGCGAGCGCGCCGACCACGAGTTTTGGCTGTTTCTTGTAAATAGGTTCGACATTGCTTTTCGTTCGCGACACGATAGCCCTCGCGACGGCGCGCATTGCTGCTGGGGCAGCCTCGTATGCGAGTGACGGGCCCTACTGCATGGTATGCTGGGCGAACGGCAGCGTTAAGGCTGTAGGTTGCGAGCACAAAACCTTGCCATGCATGCCAATAGCTGCCCCCGCACGACGACCTCGGGCGCCGCGGACCCGTGCCAAACACAAGCACCGCATACGGAAGCGTCGGACGCCGTGGAGGCATCAATGCTCTCCGACGAGCGACGCGGCTGCTCAACTTGCATTGATGACTCTGACTGCCAAAACGGCTGCAACAACGAGCGAAAAAAAGCAAGACCAAGCTGTCAGGGAGTTGTCGTTGCACGAGTAAAGTGCTGCGCACCGTCTTGCATTGAGACGACCGCGTTAAACTCGCTTCAGCTGTGAGAGCATGGCGATGAGCGCTCGCAAGCAGCGCCAAGCGATGGGCACTGCACGCAAACAGCGCGCCAGCGACGGCGACAGCTCGCGGCTACACTCGCTCTTCTTATTTGGCGCACTGCTAGCGATCCTCTTCGTCGACGACGGGTTAGGAGTCGACGCGCTGCAACACACACCACAAACGCGCCGCAACGTGGGAGAGCGCATCGCCGCGACGCTCGCGTCGCTGACTGTAATAAAACCACGACCAGCAGTCGCCCGCCCGGAAGGCGTGAACAAGCCCGAGCTCCTGCCGAGCGGTCCCGTAAGAAACGTGATTGATGTGAAGGTCAACTTCCTGACACCAGGAGAACAAAAACGCATCCAGAAGCTCACGGAACAAATAGAAAAGACGAGCGGCTTCAAGCTCCGCGTGCTCTGCCAGAGCTACCCCGAGACCCCAGGACTGGCCATAAAAGACTACTGGAAGGTCGACGACAAGACCATCGTACTCGTCGCGGACAAGGGCCTCAAGGGCACGTCGAACATCCTCAATTTCAACGTCGGCGACGGCCTCGCTGATATTTTACCGACGCCCTTTTGGTCGCGGCTCCAGGGCCGCTTCGGGACGTCGCGCTACTGGCGCGACGAGGGCGAGGACGTCGCCATCACGAACGCCGTCGAGGCCATCGCGTATTGTTTGCAGCGGGACGCGGACGGCGACGTGACCGGGTGCACGGACCCGCCGTCGCGGCAGATGATCGACGCGAAGTTGTAGACACCCGTAGTATTAACATGTGCACTATCTAAAAGTCCGAGTCGTCGTCTCCGGGCCCCGCAAAAAGAGCCGCGTCGAGGGGCTCCCGCGGGCGCCGCGGCGGCGGCGACGGCTCCTTCGCCGTCATCGGCGGCGCCGTTGTCGACGTTCGTCGCGGCGCCGCGCGGGCCCGGACGTTCTCCTTGTCCTTCTGGGCGAGGCGCTCGAGGTTCGCGGTGCAGGCCGCGGCGAGGTCTTCGATGCCGTAGAAGTCGGCCTCGATGCGCAGCCGCCCGAGGACGTCGGGCGAGGCTCGCGCTACTACTTCCGCGTCGCCGGCGGTGCGAAGCCAGTCGAGCACGAACACGAAGAGCTCGCCGTTTCTATCGATGAAGTAGCGACCCTGCTCGTCGAGCGTCGACGGGAGCTCGCCCGACACGAGCCGGTCCAGAAACGAATCTGGCACCATCGACAGCGTGTCGCGCGTCGTGGCGTGCTCGCGGCCGCCGACGAGCAGACGTATGATTCGTCCGCGCCGCGGCACCGTGTCGGGCGTGCGCGCCTTCTTGCGCGCGCTTTGCGCCGCCGCGGCGTCGGGACTCCGTCTCTTCTTGTCGCCGTCGTTTGGGCGCGGGCTGGCCGTCTCGGGCTGTTGCGGCGTTTGGTCACTCATAGCAGTCAGAGCTCTTGTTGGCAGCAGCTTAAACGAGCTTTGTTAAGGGCGCCGTTGTCTCCGGTCGTTCGAAGCGCGTGCACGACCAAAAATCTCGGGCTCACGTCTTCAATGAGAACCACGGGGCTGTGTAAATGCGACTAAACGGGGCGCGCGCAGCCCGTTTGAGCTAGCGTGTGCAGACCTACTAGCGCAAAAAAAAATAGAGCGACTCTGTCTCAGTCATGAAGTAATTACGCGAGGGAACGGACAATCACTGCGCCGGCACGGCCGGCGGCGCGACGGGCGGCGCGACGGGCACGGCCGGCGGCGCCTCGACGGGCGCGGCCGTCCCGGGCCGCTCCTTCTCCCACGCGGCCGCGTCGACGACGTCGAGCACGCGGATCGCGGCGTCGCCGCCGGCCACGGCCAACCGCTTCCCGCCCGGCGCGAAGTCCACCGTGAAGACGCCGCGGTCCAAGCCCGCGACGACGCCCACGAGCGCGTTCCCGCGCTCGCAGTCGAAGACGCGCGCCTCGTTCGCGCCGGACCCGCCGGCCGCCACCAAAGGCATGTGCTTCGAGAACTGCGCCGCGTAGACCATGCAGGGGTCCCGGTGGTGGATGAGCGACGACGCCCACGGCACGGTTTCGAGCAACTTTCCAGTGTTGAAATCCCACAATTGCACTTGATCCTCGGGGCGCCAGCTTCCTGTAAGTACTTTGGAGCCGTCCGGCGAGATGTCCAGCGAATCCCCACATAAGTGAGGCCCATAGAAGCTTCTCACGGCACCCCCATCCTTGCGCGCATCCCAGATCTGGATCGTGTTGTCCCAGCCACCACTTACAAGGCAGTTCGGCTCCGTAGGATGCCACTTCAGCGCGAAGATTCTGTTACTGTGTCCTGCAGCCACATGGGAACCATACCCCTGGCCGCCCTTGAGCGTCACGAGTAGTTTCTTGCTATCCTCATCATAAATACGCACGGCGCAGTCCTTGCCTCCGGTAGCGAACCTATCCCCGTTCTGGTCGTAGTCCAAGGCATAGACTTGATTGGAGTCGTCTTTCACCGGGAAGGCGTGTAGCAGTTTACCAGAACTAACGTGCCAGTGCTCGACGCCGCCGTTCGCGTTCGCCGCCAGCAGCACGTTCTTCGTGCGGTCGCCGCCGTGGGGTCTAAATCTAATGACGGTGGTAGGTAGCCCGTTCGAGCTGTTAGAAGTGAGATTGGCGCTTTCCGTTCCAGTGGACGCGTTGAAGACGCGGATGGCGCCGTCGCCGCAGCCCGCCGCGAGGTAGCGGCCGTCGGGGCTGAAGCGTACCGAGAAGACCTCGGCGGCGAGGTTGGAGATCGTGAGGCCCGGTTTTAGCTTCCGCTGGGACGTGGGCAGCTTGGGCGCCTCGGCTACGGGCTCCGGCGCGAGCTGCGCTTCGATGTTGCCGAAAGTCGCCATGGTTGTGTCTGGGGCAGCCCCCTGTCTCGGCTGTTGGCTCCCAAAATCCGAACTTGGCAGCCACACCGGTTTTGCAGCCCCGAATTTTATTTTAGGCGGCCCTCGTCTTGGGAGCTTTTTGGCGTTGTGGAGCACGGCTTCCGGACGGCTCGCTCCTGGCTTGGACTCCTCTTCGTGCGGGTATTTGAGGCACACGCTTTTGGCCAGGTTGCACAAAACAGCACTTACGCCGCACTAACAACCGCCCTGCGCCGCAGTCGTGATTCATTTACAGTGTAGTGCATGCCTACGCAGTTATAGCTGCTGACTCGCACGAACGAGCGAGATATCTATCAGTACAGATAGTGGCTCTCCAGCACGCCGTCACCGCAGCGGTGCCAAAAGCAAACATGTTCGCCGCCAGGAAGGACTACGACCTGATCTTATTCGGCGTCACGGGATTTACGGGAAGATTAGCCGCCGAGCACTTAACAAAGACGGAACCGAACCTGCGGTGGGCCGCGTGCGCTAGAAACGAGGCCAAGGCGAAGAAGGTGTTGGAAGAAGTCAAAGCAACCCCAAGTATTGAAATCGCTGACTTAATCTGCGAGAACGAAGAGCAAGAAACGAAACTGCGAAACGTCGTAAAAAAAACAAAAGTTTGCGCGACGTGCGCCGGGCCCTTCGAGAAGTACGGCAAGACCCTTGCTAAATTATGCGCGGAGGAGGGCGTGCACTACTGCGACATTACGGGCGAATCGGACTTCGTGCGCCACCTGATCAAGGAGCACGACGCGACCGCGCGGAAGACCGGAGCTTGCATCGTCGCGCACTGCGGCAACGACTGCGTGCCCTGGGACCTGACTGTATTGAAATTGCACGAGGAGGCCGTCAAGCGCAACCTCAAGCTCACGCAAGTGGACACTTATACCGAACTGCCGCCGTCGTTTGCGGCGTCGGGCGGTACGGTGGCCACGGCCCAGTTTCAATTAGGCAAGGCTCGGTCATCGTCGAAGCCGGACTTCGATCCATTGGTTACGGATGCGAAGGGCGCCAAAAGTACCTATAGCACGACGAATAAGAGCCCAAAGGCCGACGCGCCCTGCGCCGAGTTTAACGGGCGGAGCGCGGGCCCCTGGATCATGGGTCCCGTCATGGCCAACTGCGTGCGGCGGTCGAACGCTTTGCTGGGCTACGCGTCGTCCTTCACCTACTCCGAACGAGCTCTGCGCGAGGAGAAGTTTTCGGACCGCATGTCGCAAAAACTTTTTACCTATAAAGTCGGGGCGGCGATTCTGTCCCCAACGTTGTTTGGGGGCCTCGTACCGAAGCCCGGCGAGGGCCCGTCGCGCGAAAACATGGAGGCGGGCTGGCTGCGCGTGCACGGTCGGGCGTCGTGCGACGACGGTACTTATTTGGAATCGACGTATTTTGTGGACGAGGACACGGGCTACCTGGGCACGGCGAAGATGCTCGTCGCCTGCGCCGTCTTGCTGGCCAAGGGCGCCAACAAGACTTCTGGTGTTGTGACGCCTGCCGTCGGTCTCGGGAGTGCGCTGCTCGAGCGCCTCGAGAAGACGACGCCCGCGTCCTTTGAAATTTCTGAAGGAACTGCGCCTGTGAGGGGCTCCACGCCGCCGTCGGGCAAGTTCTGCCTCTTTTGAGCTTTGAGCTCTCGCTCGCGAAACACGGCATCACGTCCCCTTTCCCTTCTTCCACCCCCTGATTTCACCGGACATGATGTTTGCTCTAGCCGAGCGAGCGGCACACTGTGGGGAGTAATGTGAAACGATTCGAGTTACTCGCCCTCCTCACGACTACATCGTCCTCCCCGAGGCACACCTGCTCGTGGAACGTGACAGGCCGCGTGCTCGTCTCGGCTAACGCTTTTGGGATCTTGCTAATTACACGGACACTCTTGTTCGTCATAAGCGCTTCGAAGAAGCCAAGTCGGTGCTGCGTAAAATGATGCCCGTGGCGCGACGTGTCCTCGGAGAGAATAATGCGATCACGCTCAAGACGCGGGCAATTTACGCGAGGTCGCTCCACGAGGACCCCGCCGCCACGCTCGACGATCTCCGAAAGGCTGTGACGACGCTAGAGGAAATTCAACGGACCGCGCGGCGCGTGCTCGGTGGCGCGCACCCATTAACGGTACGGGGCATTGAGGTCGAACTACGAAAGTCGCAAGCAGCGCTCCGCGCCCGCGAGGCGCCGTCGCCGGGGAGGGCGTAAGAAAGACTAGCCCGCGAGACGCCGTCGCCGGGGAGCGCGTAAGAAAGACAAACACAGTGTTTTTATATCCACAGTACTACGTTCGACGGCACGCCCCCGTAGGACTTGTCGAAGAACGCGAGGACCTCCTCCTTCGAGTAGCGCAGCGACCAATGCACCAAAACGAACGTGGTATGGGGGAAGGCCGCGATCCAGGGGTGAAGCTGCGCGTAGTGCGTGTGCCCCTTGGCCCGCGTCGCCTTATCCAAGTCCTCGGAAGGCTCGCCGAGGAACGTGACCTCGTGGATGACGGTCTCATATTTGGGCAGGATCTCCTGGTGCCGTTCGCGGAGGAGGTCGATGGTCGTATCGCCCGAGAAGAAGAGGACGCCCTGGTCGTACGGCTCCGTTATCGCGACGTCCTCCCTTACTAACGCTCCCAGCTTGCGCTTGTCGAGGCCTTGGTATTCCGATTTCAGACGACTCTTGCGCCGGAAGAGGCCGTACGAACAAGATGGCACGCCTTTCTTATGCGGTGCCGTGAAAACCTGGAGACCGAGAGGCGTGGGCGAGCCCTGGTAATGGTCCGGCTCGAGCAGGAACGCCTCGCCGTCGTCCACCGGCCTAAGGTCCAAGCCGAGAAACGCCTCCGTCTCAGCGTCGGATTGCTCTTGCCCATAATTAAGTTGCGCCTCGGCAATCAAGAAGCGCCGCACGAGCGGGTCGATGGCTCGAGGTACAAAAACGCGCGCCTTTCGGGCGAGCACAGGTAAAGCTGCCGTATGGTCCCGATGGCCGTGCGTCAGGAAAACGGAGCGCGGCGCGAGCGACGCCACGGACAGGCCCGCGTCGAAACAGACGCCCAGCTCGGGCACGAAGTACGCCGACGCGTCCGCCGATCGGCCGATGCCCACAATCGAGAACCCGTCGCACTGGACGGTCCGCAGCGTATGATCATCGCCCGGCACGCCGATGTGCCACTCCTGGGACTTATCTGCCGCGGAAGCGGCGGCGGCCGACTCCGAGGGCGGCAGGAGCTGCAGCGAGCCCGCGAGTGCCCGGAGCGGCTGCGGGAACGTCTCGGCGTCCGGCGCCGAACGCACTTGGTCAAAGAGGCCCGCGAACTCGGGCAGCGACACGCGGCCGTCCTCGTCACTGTCGGCGAGGAGGTACAGTTTCGTCGCGACGCGCTTGATGGTTCCGCGCACGTCATCTTCAAGTACTCGTTTCGCATGCTTCTGCGTGAGCTCCGAGGCGCCGCCCTTGCCGTCCGCGAGCTCGGCGACGATGCAGTGCGCGAGTCGCGCGAACAGCGCCTCGGCCTCGTCGCGCGACAGCCAGCCGTCCCTCGACACGTCGAAGCCGTCCAGCGCCGTGACGACGGCGGCTCGCCGCGCCGCCTTGTCCGCGAAGAGGCTATCCGCCGCGGCATCGTCGCCGGCGAGCAGCGAGAGCGTCACGTCGGCCAGCGACCGTACGGCAGTCTCGACTGGGGACGGCTCCACCGCGGTGGCGTGGCGCCTCGATGCTGGTCGTGGGGCCGCCGGTCGCCGCGGTACCAGGCCGCGGCTGGCGCCGAGGAGCACGACGAGTAGAACCGCTGCCCGCATTGCTGGATGTGCTCTCCTTTTTGAGAGGTCGTATGCCCCTACACGGCTGGCTCACACCGCGCAGCGTTGCTTCTCCTAGTCACGTGTATGTATTGCGCACTTATATGGGCCGCAAGCCGCACAGATTTGTCTCGCAGCGCAGCAAGCACTGGGCTCGCTAGTGTCTTACAGACGCTAGCTCGCGACTAGCGCGCCGAACCCTTTACGGGTTTTCGGTGCTCCGGAAAAACTTATTGCCTCGTCAGAGAGCAGGAATCGGACAGGAGGATGGGGGGAGGGTGGGATGGTCTCTCCGAGTCAGCCGCGGAGACATCCGTACCCGACGGTCGCGCGGCAGAACTCGCGCCCGAGCGAAAAGTTCGCCAGTGACAACGAGAGGACGCATGCGACGAAGGCGAAGGACGCGAGCGCGAGCTTGCATCCGTAGGGCATGGCGACGCGCCCGAGCGTCGCCGTGATCTTCGCGTGGCCGGCGAAGGCTAGTGGCATCACGATAAACACGCCGGTGACCGTCGTGATCGCGTGGCTGACGTCGTGTGGGTTGTGCGCGTGGAGCCCGAGGCCCAGGAACAGCACGCCGAGCGTTGCGACAACGACGTCGAAATAGCGTAACAGCCCGTAGCGCCCGACCGCCCGTTGCAAAGCGTCGTAGATGGGACCGGACCGGACGCTCCGCTCGAAGCCGGCGACGCCGCCCCGCTTCGCCCAGCACTTTTCGATCACGCGCTCGACGTGTTGTCGGTCACGCTCGTCCGAGCACTCCGCCCTCGCAAGCGAGAAGTGTCGCAGGTCGTGCTCGATGCGCTTTACTTGATCCAGAAACGCCAGCTGCGTGTGGCAGGCGTAGACGACGACCGCGGTCATGTTCAGCCCGTAGAATACGCCCGCGAAGGAGACCTGCGCGCGAGTCGCGTCGATGGCGTACAGCGGGGAAAGGGACGCCAGCGTGAACGTGAGCGACTCGGCGAGACTACTGGTCCGCCCCGTCGCCTCGCTCGCGAGGCTCTCGCGCCCGTCGCCGCCGCCGTCCGAGACGTGCGAGAACACGCGCGCGTGCGTCGGTCGCCGCATCTCCACGGCTGCTCAAGATTTGAAGATCTGTTGAATGATTGATTTAGGAGCGCTAGCTTCGCAACGCCTGGACTGAGCGGTGCTGTCGCGTTAGTGGTGATCTTGGCTCGTCCTTAGGCCCGAGGAGTCCGCGCCGCGCGGGATCTACTGCAAAATCGCGGGCTGGCCAGCCTGAAAAACCCGTGCCCAACATGATATCTCACACTCTTACTCCCCGGCCGCCTTCGCGAGCCCGCGCCCGATCTTCTCGGCCTTCCCGACGATGACCTGAATCTCGTCGCCCGAAAACGACTCGTCGGCGTAATAGCCCGCGTCGGCGTCATCCGTCCAAGCGCTCAGCACGGCGACGTCATACACTACAGCCGCGCCCGGCTTCCCCGCCATGTCATCTAGAGCCCTGTCCAACGTCCGGCGCCCGCCGGCGGACTCGGGCATCGGTCCTAATCCTGGCGCCGTGTAGCCCAGATTGGGCGGCACCTCCACACGCCTAGTCCCTCCGACCCGCATGGTATGTATGCCCTCATCCAAGCCGCGCACGTCCCGCCCGTTGCCGTGCCTCACTAGATACGCGTCAGAAGCGTCGTAGCGCTTCAGGGGCGCGTCGCCACTCTCCCGCGTGTAGGCTACGTACTTGATCTTCACGACCTGGCCCCAGCGCAATTTTTCACCAGGCCCCACTGTACCGTCTGTGAACTTCAGGCCGTTCTTGAGCTTCAGGCCCCGCGGCTGCTGCGGCAGCTCCGGGACCGCGACGCGGTCGGTGTCGACCGGCGGCGGGTTCGCGCGCGCGGGACAGGCGATCGCCGCGGCGGCGCCGGCGAGCGCGGGCCGCCGGCCGACGACGCGTGTGGGCCGCGCGGCATGTGTCAGCGCGCCGAGCGCGCAGAGACGGACGAGCATCGATGCTGCAGCAGTGTAGCACTCGTATTGGTGCGAAGCGATGCGATTTCTGCGTGCAGCACTGTTGTCGAGCTTCGCAGTGATGCGGTGGAGCGTAGTTTCGTACAGCGCTTGCCGCCCAGCGCCAAAATTGCTTGTTGCAGATGCTCGCTAGTGTCTTACATGCCGCTAGCGCGCGATTGCAACCCGGCCAAAAACGGAGCGCGACGACCCGTTTCGCGACCGCCCCGGCTATAGATATTAGTTATCGCTGCCCTACTGCAAATTGCCCCACCTTGATGCATCCAACGCCGAGGTAGCCTCGCCACAAAACTCCCTGCCACAGCACGCTGCAACAGCGGCGCTCGGCTGCAACAGCGGCGCTCGGCTGCAACAGCGGCTCTCGGCTGCAACAGCGGCGGCCCGGGAGTAATGTCGTGGGCTGGAGGCGGCCCGGGCAGTCCCGGCTGGGCGGCGCTGGCCCCACACTTGCGCCCAGGCGCCGCGGCACAGCAGCAGCCGAGCGCCGCCGCGGCCGCCGCGCTGCAACAGCTGCAGCAGCCGGCACCCGCAGCGCCTCCGGCGCCGGCGCCGGCGCCGTCGGACCAAGACGTCGACGCCGCTTGGGCCGCCTACTACGCCGCGGCCCAGCAGCCGCAGCAGCAACAGCCGACCGCCAGCGCCGCGCCGCCGGGCGGCTACAGTGCCGCGGGCTACGACGCACCGGGCACCGCGCATCCGAGCTACGCCTACGCCGCACCGCAGCAGCAACAGCAGCCTCAGTACGGGGAGCCGACGCCGCCGGGCTACGCTGCCCAACCCGCCGCCGCGCCCGCGCCCTACTATGCACCGCCGCCGCTGCTCACGCCGTCGCAAGTGAACCCCTGGGCCGCGTCGGCGGTGCAGCCCCAACAGCAGCAGTGGCCGGCACAACAGCAGCAGCAGCCGCCGCAGCCTCAGCAGCAGTGGCCGGCACAACAAGCGCAACAGCAGCAGCAGTGGCCCCAACAGCAGCAGCAGCAGCAGTGGCAGGCGCCGCCGCCCGGATACCAGGCGCCGGGGCAGTGGCCGGGGCAGCCGCCGCCCCGGGGCAGGGGCTCGCCGCGGAACGCTCCGTGGCCGCCGCAGGCGCCGAACGCGCAGTGGCCGGCGCCCGTGTGGCCCGCCGGCGCCGTGAGCTGGCCGCCCGGGGCGCCGCCGCCCCGGGGTGGTTATCCAGGGCCGCCGCGGCCGTCGCCGCTCGGCGAGCTCCCGAACTCGCGGTCGCAGCTGTGCCGCCACGGGACGAAGTGCCGGTCGTCGGTCTGCGTGTTCTTCCACCCCGACGGTTCCATCGGGCTCGGCAAGCCGCGGCAGCGCGCGCAGCGGCCCCAGGCGCCGCGCGGGCCGCCGGCGCCGACGCCCGAGGACTTCGAGCCCCTCTTCCCGGGCCCGCTGCCCGACGACGACGACTCGGCGCGCGTGCGGCGCGAGTGGCGCGACGGCACGAACCGCGAGCGGCTCACGCGGAAGCGGGCCGCGCCGCCGTCGCCCGGCAACGTCTCGGCGTCCGGCGGCAGCGCCGGAAAGAAGAAGCGGAAGCGGAACCGTGGCGGCCGGAAGAAGCGACGAAAAACGAACGAGACGGACACTTCGGCGCCGCCATCGCCGGCGGCGATCCCCGGAGCTGCAGCGCCGGCGCCGGCGACGGCAGTACCGGCGCCGGCGCCACCGACGGCGGCGGCGCCCCGGAGATCGGCGGCGGACTTCATGGACGAGGCAATCCCGGGCGACGCGTCCGCCCCGGTCGCGGCGCCGGTCGCGGCGCCGGCGCCCGCGCCGGAGCCCGCACCGGCGCCCGCGGCGGCGCCGATTCCAGCGATCGCCTTCCGGCCCGGTGGTAGGTATGCGCCTATCCCCGCGGGGATGCCCCCGGAGATGGCGGCGGCGATGGCGGCGGAGATGGCAGGCGCCGCTCCAGAGCCCGCGGTAGTGCCGGTGCCAGCGGCGCCGTCCGCGCCCGCGGCAGTATCCGCGCCCGCGCCAGAGCCCGCACCGGCCGCAGTGCCCGCACCAGCGGCGCCGGCCGAGCCCGCACAGGAATTCGACGGCGCCGCCGCGACGCGCAAAGCCAAGCGATTGAAGGTCGCGGAACTGCGAGCCGCCCTCGAGGCCGCGGGCGCGTCGACGGAGGGCACGAAGCCGGTCCTCGTCGAGCGGCTCGTCGCCGCGCAACGCGCCGTATCGCTACTCTAAGATTCTTAGGAAGCTGTCCCCGCACGGGCGGACAGCAAATCACGGCACCTCCTCGAGGAACTCATTCAACTTCTTTCGCAAGGAAGCCGAGATGGCCTCTTCCGAAGCGCCCTCCCCCACGTCCTTGAGCACCGCCGCGGCGAGGCGCTGCGCCGCGCGGCGCTGGCCGAGCACCGCGCGGTCGCTCATGGTCAGCGTGTAGCGGTAGGGCGACGGGATGTAGTTCACCGTGGCTTCTCTTCCTTCTAGCAACACAACTAAACCGTCGTCGCCCATTTTCTTGGCCGCCGCGGCGGCGAAGGTCACGACCTCGCCCTGGGTCCTTTCCGCAACGGTGGGGATGTTCTTGGCCACCAAAGGAGCTTTTAGCGTGGTATTCTTCACCTTCGAGACTAACGCGTCGACGCCCAAACCGCGCACTCTAATGTCCCAGGAGCCCTCGAATTTCCCGAACTCGAGCATGCCCATGAACTCCGCGACGCGTGTGGGGGTCAACGCCTTGTCCCAGGCCGGGTTGTAGTTTTTTTCGCGCCAGGTAGCTGCCAGTAGAGTTAACGATCGAAACACGTCGCCGTTCGACCAGGTCTTCGTCTTGCCCGGGCCTAATCGAGCTTGTAAGCGCGCGACCGTCGTGCCCTTGCCCGTGCCGCTCAAACCACATAACACGACGACGCCGCCCTTGTTCGCGGCGTCTCCCATGTGCTTCAAAATCGCATCACACACGTCATCCGGCGTCTTGCCCAGCACATCGATCACCTGATAGGTGGGCGGCGGATTTAACTTGGGCAACACGCCCGCGGCAACAGACGCATCAACACCCTTTTGCAGCTTCTCGGCGTCCTCCTCGTCTCTCTGGACGATCGCGTCGCCCTCAAATGTGCTTAGTTTGCCGAAGCCCGCGTCTCCTTTCAACGCGTCGATGATGGCGCCCGACGTGCTCGCGTCCTGGCACTCGAGCGTCGCGGCGTCGAGCTTCGTGGGCTTGCGGAAGCAGTTGAGGATGAAGTCCATGTTGTGCGATCGCGAGCGCTGCAATCTACGGCTGCACACGTGTGCCTGGTGGATTGCAAAGCTACAGCGCAAGCGTGTGTTGCACTGGAGGATGCGCGGCGTGAATTATAGGAATAAATGCAACTGACAGCGAAACACAATGAAGGCTTGAGCGCGTGCGGTCCTGGGATTTTGCCCACCTCAAAAAATTTTCACGGCTTGCTAGTGTCTTACATACGCTAGCTCGGCTGGGTCCGCTGGTTTTTGCACGGCATTGCTCTAACTACGTGCCACCAATGGGTCTCAAAGTGTCGAAGAGCACTAGCGCTAAGCCACGCAGCAATGCGCCGGCGGACAGTCTGAATGCGGACACGCTCGACGTGATCTGCTCCTTTTGTGATGAGCAGACGCTGGTCTCCAATTACGCTCATGCGTCGAAGACGATAGCGTCCGCAGTAGATGCTCACGCGGCGGCGCGGGCGCGAGCTTATTGGACCACAAGTGCGGAGCTCGAGCGGCGCGGTGTACGTCTCGGTGCGGCGTTCCTCGCGCGGCGGTCACGGCCGCCGCGCAGGGCGGCGGACGGGTCGCGCATCACATTGGCCTCGCGGCCGCTGGCGCTTACGCCGGAAGAAGCGCTTGCGCGCGAGTTACACTTCGAGGAGAGCTGGAGCCCAGAGTGGTGGGCCGCCAAAAAGCAGACGCTGTCGCCGGAGGCCCTGGCGCGCTGCGAGCCAATCTTTGGGCACAAGCTCGACGACGACGCGATCGATGAAATTAAATATGACCAGGATGAGGCAGCTCGTCGGCCGTCGGCCCTGCGGCTTCCGGGCCGCGTCTTGCTAGTCGATGTGATCGTCCGTGACATTAATGACGCCGTCGTCGGCCGCCGGAGCGTCTTAGTTGACGGCGCGGAGCCTTTTCTCGCGCCCGGCCGCGTTGAAAACGAGCAAACCTCCTGGGCCGACGAACTGAGATTCGCGGACAGCCTACGCATCGCGAGCGGCCTCGAGCCGGATTGGTTCTTTCGCGAAGTTTGGGAGGTGAATGAAACCCACCATACCAATCGCCTGGACAACGCGTGGCTCGCTGAAGTCGCAAACGTCGTCGGGTGCCACCAAGTGGCTCATGCAGCTACTGGTAATATCTATGGATTCTCTGAGATCAATCACGACTGGCCGGACCAGCTGCTGGAGCACGGTCATGTCGACGAACACCGCTCGTCGCAGCTCCCGAAAAATCGCCGCTTTGTCTCGGTCCGCGTGGACCTCTTCCGGCTCTCTGACGGGAAGTCGATGTGCCTCGGGGAGCACGAGGTCGGTGTCCAGGGTTTGCGGGACTGGCCTGGCGACGTTCACATTAATGGCCAGGTGATTGGGACGAATCCGATCTTACCGTTCATTCCCCTGACTGCATCGGATGATCTTTTGGAGAAGGAGAGCATGCTTGAACGGCCATACGACCCGGAATTGCGGGAGCGATGCGCTGACGAAATCTTCGCCCCCCAGTGTCACGCCATCGCGGACTATCCCGACGCCACGGCTGAGCTCCATATCAGGGGAGTTCGCCTCGGCTTTTGTTGCCCGGCGCACCCCGGCGAAAGCGGTATGCCAGAACATGGAGACTACCAAAACAACCCTCACCTCGGCGGCAGGGTCACTCGCGCGCTCCTCACGCTCGACGCGTGGACCTAGTATGTGTAACAACTTCTTATACTCTAGGCGTCCCCGAACAAGCTCCCGAACTTGTTCGCCAGCGCGTCCGTATCCGCCGGAGCGGCAGCCGAGGCGTCGTCCCCGAAGAGCCCGCCGCCCGAGAAGAGGTCCGCGTTGTCGGCCACGGCCGACGCCGCCGCGCCGAGCATTTCGCGGTTCTCGTAGGCCGCGGCCGCGCCGGCTTTGACGAGCTCGGGGTTCTCCGCCGCGGTCTGCAGCCCCGCTCTTACCAAATCGGGATTCACGGCGGGCGGCGGCGGCGGCGAGGGCCTCGATGGCTCGACGTAGGCCGGCGGCGGCGGCCTCGTTGGTTCCTCATAAGGCGGCGGCGGCGGGCGCGACGCCGCGGGCGGCGGCGGCGGCGCGCCCCGCTCTACGGAGGACGCCCGCCGAGGCGGCAATGTCGTCAGCGTCGCGTTCGACGCTTCCCGGTCCGACGTCACAAAGCCAGCCGCCAACGCCTTCGGAGCCTCGACCTTCACGGAGTTCGCCCGCTCCGCCACGACGCGCAGCCCCGACTCGCCCAGAGCGTCCAGCGCCGCCTCCATCCGACCCTTCTTCTCCAGAGCAGCTTTTCTCTGTTGAACCACTCGGGGATCTTGCAAGAACAACCTCTCAAGTAAATCCGTCTTCTCCGGAACACCAGCGTCCGCCGCAAAGAGAAAACACGACTCCTCCAGTTTCTTAAGGGAGAAATTCGCAAAATCATGCTCGAGGGTCATGCACACGTTGTCGACCAGTCGTTTCGTGGCCACGTCCCAGTAGGCCTCTAATAAAGTACACATGTCTTCCACTTTGGAGGCGGTGTTGACGCCGTGGGTGGCCATGTACCACTGGCCTAATTTGCGTTTGACATGTGCGGCAGCAGCTGCACTTTTTTTCTCCTCGTTGTCTCCCACAAGTGCGGACGGCGGCACTGAGTCTAACACAGAGCGTAGAGCGATGTCGAAGTTCTTCATGCGGATCTGGTTCACCAATTCAAGCATGGACTCGTTGGTCGTGTAGGGATCGCTTTCTTTCGCGAAGACGTCGTCAAGCTTGCGCTGCACGCGATCCCCGGCCTCCTCCAGGATCGTCGTGACCAATTGTCGTATTTCTGACACTAGTGAGGGATACGTCGGCGCCAGCGCCTCGAGCAACTCGTCAGAGACCCGAATAGTCGTAGCGACATATTGCGCGCGGCAATCCTCCACGAACGGCCGCCACTCTTCTATATTTTTCACCATGAACCCATAGAAAACTTGACTATTGGTGAAACCAGGTAACTCCCGCCCGCGAAAGGCGTGCATCTCCCGCGCGAGGTGCTTCGTAAATCGCTCGTCGTCGAACGCGGGCTGCGTGTCTCCGACGGAGTCCTTGAGGTCCTTGAAGACGACCTGATGGCGGCCGAAGAGTCTCAGGTTCGGATTTTGGGCTAGGAGCGTGTGGCCGTAGTTGCCCCTCGCGGATTGTCTCATCAATGCGGCGTAGCGCGTGACGACGTCCACGAGAGCGGCTCGCATCTTGATGGGGTCGTCTGGCGCGTTGTCGCCACCCAATCTTTTATACTCCTGTTCGGCCTCCTTTTTCTGATTCTGGAGCTCGTACTTGATAGCTGGTAGGGCCTTTCGTATTCTTGTTACCAGTAGTGATGATAGCCTCCCAGTCAAGGCATCAACACCGAGCAAAGTATACCTCTGTTCCCTAGGAACATGCAATGCATCACTGCCCCAAAAAGCATGAGCGTCGAAGAAGGCCTTCTCCCGCTCGCGCGCAGTAGTCATCGAGATCTGCGCCTCGTTCTCGCGCTGGTTCCTACAGCGCACCATGGCGTAGCCCAGCTTCAGCGGGGCGCGCTTGTTGAGTAATGTTTCTAGCACTTCCTTTTCCGCGCCCTGGTCGATGAGGTCTGGCTTAGTTAGGACCGCGATGGTCCTCGCGCCTTCCGGATCGGCACCTTTCGCCTTCTGGAGGATGTCGATGGTCGCCACGTCCTGGTTCGCGGGGATGACGGCCAATACGACGGTCCGTTCCTGTTTCAGGTACGTTTCTATCAATGAATTGACATCACCGATGACCGACTGACTTTGGCCGGCGACGGCGGTTCGCACGATGCCCGGTAAGTCCAACAGAGTGAGGTCCGGGACGTCCGGCGAACGCAATTTGATCACCACCGCAGCAGTAGTGGAGAACGCACCACCTTCCCGCTCACACAATTTAGCAGTCAACTTTTCGATCACGTCGGCGACGTCCTCCGCTTTTTCTAACTTGATAGGTGCGGCGCCATCATTGGGCTCGACGCAGGCACTCGCGGTCCAAGCTGCGCCGGGCGGGGCCCGGCTCATGATCAATTGCGTCGCGCACCGCGTCACGAGTCCCGTGCCTCGCGGGAAGGGCACGCCGGAAATGGCTTCTAATACAGACGACTTGCCGGCGCTTTGGTCGCCCATGACCGCGATTTGGGGGAGCGGTAAATCCTGCTGGACGCCGTGGGACCGCAGCGTGTCTATCAAATCGATGAGCGGCCGCGCGGCGTCACTCAGGGTATCGGTGTTCATCTTGCTCGGGCTCGGCGGGTCGGCCATGGCTGCGCTTTGCGGCGCGGCGCTCAGCGACCCGAGCTCTTATGTGGCGCGGCGCGCGCGTCGCACGCTCAGCGACCCGAGAGCTCTAGTGAGCACAGCCGCGAGCGGCGGCGGGCGATGGCGATTGCCGCAAGCGACGCTGTAGCGCTGCGGTCGTGCGCTGCGTCGCTCTGTCGAGCGCTGGCTCCTTTTGCAGGCCTGCTCAGCTCTGCTGAAAACGCTGCTTCCCCGAGCTAGCGGGCCTGTAAGACACTAGCAATTATGCTTTTTGGGCAGCCCTTGGTTATCTGATGCTAGGCTAGGCAGCGGCTGGCATTAAAGAACCTTGTTACATCGATCGCGACCAGTCTGAATCCCCCATACACACGGCCATACAAATGGCTCCTCAGATGCCTGAGCGGGAGCTTGCCTGTCTACTGCAGGCCTTGGAGGATCTCAGGGGGGCAGCCCCGGTTCTAGGCGAAGCGGAGGACTACCAATTTGCGCGCGCTGGTCTCGACACCACATTATCTCCGCTCGCACTGCGTATGCTGGAAGCGTTCGAGGACTATACGTTGCCGCCACCTGTTGTCGCCGCGGCCTCGCGCGCCTCCTGTGACATCGAGCGCTTTCCCGAGGACGTGCTCGGGGCGCTCCTAGCGTTCGTCGACCTGCCCATGCGGTTCACCTGCGTCGTAGCGAGTCGCACCCTTCGCGACGCGTGCATGCGCCTCTCGCCGCGGCTTGAACATGACCTCTTATTGAAACGCTTTCCGCTGCTCACCGGCCTACCGGTCACCGGTACATCGCTCGCCGGCGTACCGGCGCCGGGGGAGCTCTTCCGCATGTATCAAGACAAGTTTAACGGCGAGCGTTTTGAGTCCCAGCAACCGTGGCCCTCTATCTCCCTCGTCGAGTACACGCTGGCGGGAGTTCCAGCGTATTATACGCTGGCGCTGGAACTCCGGTTGCGGGAAGCGGAAGGGCCTTGGGAAAGCGCATATGTTGGCAGTAGGGTAATCTCTCCACAGGGTGCGGATGGGGCCCTAGGTGTTGGCGCGAGCTTTAGCATACCAGAGGGTTTGTATGAGCGCGCTCTTGACCACCCGCACGTCCGGTTCAGCGCAAATGTGATGGTCTCGCGCAGAAACCAGACTGGGCGAGTACGATTTGCAAGGATATATTCTGGTGTGATCGATCACATTTCTGGCCATGGAATCGATTTCGAGATCGATAATATGCCTTATGCTCCTGTGAGCGAGAATAAAGCGTTGCATTTCATTAGATACAGGGCCGATCATACTCATAATTGGATGGACCCAACTCTCCGTGTCCGTTGGGAGCCGATACACGGGGCTGCCGGGGCTTCCGAACTTCTTGTGAGCTTTAAGTGGATCACGGCAGATTTCGACGAGAACATGTCAGAGAGAGACGTCGCCAACTGCCTCGAGCATTACGTCGACTGGTCCGAGTAAACAGAATAATATCCATAGGAAAAATTACGCCCTCACGACGCGCCCCGCCGCTAAATCGGCCTTCGCCGCCTCGCGGTACGCGAGTTTTTGTTCCTTCGCCGTGGGCATCTCCCCGTAGCAGCCGACGGGCTCGTACTTCTCGACGAGGTCGCCCGACTTCGCCGCGGCCGCCCGTTCGACGCTGTTCGCGAATATTCTATTTTCCTCGGTGCATAACTCGAGCCGCCGATACAGCGCGTACGGGCAATCTAAAAAAGGTCGGCACACGGCACCCAAAATAGGAAAGAAGGTCCTACCAGGAGGCACCACCAACGAGAAATGAAAGCACTCCCGGAACTCGTCGACAAAGTCCAGGCGATCGGCCCGTCCCCGATACGACATGACGCCCGCACTCGACTGGACGTCGCCCATCCTACCGTTGATCAAGATCACAGGCCTCCCCTTAGCGGCTTCGACCATCTCCTGCAGCAGGGGCACGATGCTATTCCCCACGATGGACTGCGGCGCGAGCACCACAAAGACCTCGTCGTCGGCGTCGACCCACTCGCTGCCCACGGCGCCAAACCGGATGAACTTCTTCTGCTGGAGTTCGGCACCTTGCGACCCCCAGTCCATCATCTCCAGGAGCTTGCGCACGCCGTTCAGCGATAGAGGTAGACCGCTGAAGATGCCCTCGCCCATCGGCGCCTGCACGCATATCCTCACTTTTCGGCCCGTGCCCTCGATAACCCTAAAAGCCAGGTGGCGGGCGAGCTCCAGTAACGTGCCTATTCTATAAGTGTCCATCTCCGGGTCGAGCCTGCGTGGAAATCAAATTTCGCGGCGCTCACGCCATCGACGCGAAAAGCTCCCGACTCACAGGTTGATTGCCACGCAGGGCCGCGCTCGGGCGGCTTCACCGTGACTTGGAGCGTCGGCGCGTCCTCGAGGATCGCTTGTACGACAGCGTCGCAGACCGCATCTCCCAAGTGACTTCGTGCTTCCTTCGACGCGGGAATGTTGTTCAACCACAGGTTGTCCGGGAGCGCGCCCGCGTCGCCCAACCCGCCCGGAAATTCCGTCGAGAGCAACCTAGCGGCATCCCCATTCAACCCCAGAGAACAGGCGACCTGCATCAATCTCCTTTGCGCCGTCGCGCCGTCGGGATCGACCTCGCACTGGTCCGCCTCCCAGCCGCATTCTAGTAAGTCGCCCCAATTCGCGGTGGTCGTTTCGTCTTCTGTACTAAACCCCCCGCCGAAGCCGCCCGCTCTTCTTTTCACGGAGCACGTGAACGCGAGGCCATTTCCATCGATCTTGTCGAGCGTCACGTGCTCTAGTTTTACAGATCCGCCCGTGCGCGCGTTGTTCCGCCGCGCGTCCTCGCCCAAACTTGTTCTTTTCATGACGATCTCCTTGAGGAGGTCCGGGGCGTTTTCTGTGACAAAGGCCTCGGCCTTCGCTCGTAGCGCGGTCGGTGGTCTCCGTTGCGTCGGCGGGACCAGCGCCGAGGCGCCGAGGCAGAGCAGCGCGAGCTGCATGGCTGAGGGTCGCATCGATGGCGTCGGGCTCGCAGCAGCAAGCAGCAGTGAGAACAATCTTTCTCTTGACTATTATCCAAGATCTGCTCGTTCAACGTGCACTTCTTTTCACCTCGTTGCTCTGCAAATCTGCTATCATAATGATCTAGCGTGACACACTAGAAATAAGGGATCCAGTCCTTACGGCTCGAATCGCTGTAGAGAATCGCTTCTCTTAAACCGCAAATGACGAAAACAACTTACGCCGGCAACCGCGGCCCGCCCTCCCCGCGAAACCAACTCGGCTCCGGGTCGTCCGCCGGCGCCGCGGCCCCAATCACGAAAAAGTCGCGGTCGCGCCAGGCAATATCAACGTGCTCGAAGCCGCAGTCCTCCAGTAATTTACATTGGTTGTACACCGACGGGTGGCCCGCCGCGACCTGGTCTCCAATCAACAACGTGCCGCCCGGCCGCAGCGAGCAGAAGATTGTCGTCAGAGCGGCGCGATAGCTCTCCTCGACGGTGCCCGTATGTAATGGCAATCCTAGCCTTTCGGCGTAGTGCGGCGCCGGTCTTGTCGAATGCCTCAGCGCTAACACTAAAGTGACGCAGTCGTAGGGCGCCCCCGGTAAGGATGGTGCTCCGACCACGAACGGCTCCACTATCACCTCTACCGGTTCTGCCACTCTGTTTTTGGCTGTCTCGACCCTGTCCTTATCCGCATCCAATAAACACAAGGTACAGCGGAGATAGGCCTTCCTGATCTCAACGGCGCACCGTCCAGTGCCGCATCCCACATCACAGACCCGGCCATTTCCGAGAGGAGGCAGCGCGCAGACCACTTCATTCAACATGGGTCCGACGAGAGGCAGCCTCCTTTCGAGTTGCAAATCGTACCACTCGCTATCGCCCCAGTGGCCCGCCGGCCGCGCGCACGCGTTGACGGCCCAGCAGTCCTTGGGCATCGGGCGCTGCATGGCCTGGCGCGGCGCCTCCTCGTACCTCAATTCGGCTCCCGGCCCGGCCATGGCGGCGACGGCTTCTCTTAATGATTTCGAGGGCTCCATTCTCGCGTCGATGGCGTCTGTTGGGCAGCCTCCCAATCGCGCAGAGCTTGCTAGTGCCTTACACGACGCTAGCTCTGCTCTTCCCAACTTTGGGGGTTTGAGCTGCCGGCTGAACACGTAGCGTCCTCGGACGTGAAACACATCTCTAGACAGCAGCTCACCGCTGCGCAGCGTTGGTCCTTGCGTTGCTGCCAGTTTAGAAACTGATCCACAGATTGGAGCGCTCGACGCTGCCGCGTCGTCGCATAAATGCTCACGACATCGCGTCGGCGCGCGCACGCGGCCCTCCTCGCCGCTGCACTGATTTACAGCGGCTACAATGTGCTCTTGGCCCGAGCGCTCGCGTCGCTAAGCCCCGTCGCGTTCAGTCTGTGTCGAGAGCTGGCGGCGATCCCGCTGACGTACGCGTGGGCTGCTCACCTCGAAGGTGGGATTCGGCTGCCCTCGACAAAACACGAGCGGGCTCGATTGGTCGCGCTCGGGTTGGTCCTCGGCGCGTATCAGCTCTGTTTCGCGACGGGCGTGGCGCTCACCTCGGCGACGACGGCTGGCATCTTCCAGGCCGTCGAGCCGACCACCGCAGCGATTATGGGTGCCGCGCTGGGCCTCGAGCCCATGACGCGGCGCCGCGCCGCCGCCGCGCTCCTCGCGGGCGCCGGCGTTCTGCTTCTCGAAGCGAGCGGTGGCGTGCGGCCAAATCTGCTGGGCTGCGCGCTCCTTTTCTGCCAGGGCGTCGGCATCGCCGCTTACTGCCTCCTGCAGCGGACGCTCGTGCGCGGCGGCGACGCCTCGGACGAACCGCCGTTCCTCGACGAACGACGTTCCCGAGACGAACCGTGGGGCCCGATCACGGTCACCGCACACGCGCTTCCCGTCGCCGCGAGCGTCCTCGCAGTCGCGGCGGTGGTCGACACATTACTTGGCGTCGAAAAGCCGTTCGGGGCGGCGCAGCGGCGGCGCCTGTCGCGGCCGGACGCGCTAGCTGCGTTGGCGTACGCTACTATACTCAGCTCGACGGTGGGCTACTCACTGCGCGCGTATGCGAACCGCTTCGTCGACTCGGCGACGCTGGTGCTATACAACGCCGTCCAGCCGCCCCTCACCGCGCTGATCGCCGTTTGCTTCGGGCTGGGCGGGTTCGGCTGGCGGGAAGCCGGCGCCACCGTGCTCGTCGGAGCGGCGGTCGTCGTCGCCTCGCGCGAGACGACGACGCGGAGGCCTCACGTTCCCGTCGGCGCGGAGGGCGGGGAGGTTGTGTGATATGTATGTAAGTACTGAAACAGCACCAAAAAAATCGGAATTCAAAAGTCGCGCGCACGGACGACTAAAACCCGCACCCGCCCCTGCAGATTCAGCGCAGCATTAAGCTGCGCGCGCGTACGCATTGATCGTCAGCTACGGTCAGAAGTTCGGCAGTACACCAATCTTTGCCCGTGCTCAGCCAGAGCCGCTAACTCTGCGAATCCGCGACGTATTTTGAATTTTACAGCTGAGCTTGTTTTGCAGCAGCAAAAAGCGCCGCGCTCACGCCATCGCTGCAATGGTTGCCACCCGCAGCGCGCGGCGCGCAACTGCTAGCCAAAAGAGCCAAATCTCGCGCGCCAAAGTCGTCCTCGCAGTCCTGGCCGCCGTCGCGTTTCAACTTTTGCTCACGTCGCTGGACCTGCCCCTACTTAAAGTAGGCCGCAACCTCTTTTCCTCAAGCACGCCGGCCCCGCTGCCGCCGAAGTACGCCTGCGACGATTTAGCAGAAAAACTAACAGTAGTAGTGACCGTCAAGGACGCGTGTAGCCAGATGCCGGGCTTCGTGAAAGCATTGGAGCCCGTCGTCGGTACTAGTACATCATTAATACTGACTTATCCAAACCTGACGGCCTGCGATCCTTCTGGTTTGCAGGTGGATTTGGCGCCGTGGCGCGACGTCACGACGGTACCCTTACCGCCTTCGTCATCACCGATGCGCGGCTGGTCCGATTCGGTCGGTCTCATCAAGACGGAGTTCGCGTTGCTTTTGCGTCGCTTGTCGGCGTCCGATTTCTGCGTCGCGGCGATGGCGTGGGGGGGCACGAACTCGTCACCGCGTCGCGGCGAGAGCGCCTCTGACGCCATCGACGCGTTCCCGCAATAATAGTACTCCCGCGCAGACAACGACGGCTACGCCCTCGACCCGCACTTCGCTTGTGAACTCGTGGGAGCGCTCCAAGCGCGAGATTCTACGTACGTCGTCGCCGCGCCGATGCTCTACGAATCTAAATCAGACGGCTCCCTAGCAGCACACGCCACGCAAACGAAACTCAGGTGGCAGGACGGGTACGTGCGGCACGACCATTCTATTGCGAGAGCACTAAACAGAGGACGAGACTTCCCGGAAGGCGATCAAACTGATTTCCTGGAAGACCACGGCTTTGTGGTGCGAACGGCCGCGATCGGCGATCTGGTCGATCCCCACGCTGCTTATACCTTGGAGTACCTGGACATGATCCTATCGCTGAAAGCTCAAAATAGAAGGGTCGTCTTCGTGCCGACGGCGCGCCTCGAGTTCAGAATAGCCGAGTTCTCGTGGCGCGACGTGCCCTACTTCATGTATAAAAGATCGGAGGCGACTTGTCATGGTACTAGAGACTACTTATCCCGAAAATGGCGCGCGCAGTTCCCGAACACGGGCTTCTGGACCTACATCAAGTATACGATCGTCGAGAGCCATACCTATTCTCACTTAGAAAAGTTACCTATGAAGTACCAGCTGCAGTTATTTTTAGCTTTCTTCCAGATGGCCGGCTACAATAGGTATGATGATAGAGCCTATGTCGAGGTATTGGAGGCCATCGACGGAGGGACGCTCACTACACTGGAGGTGAACGCGACGCGTCTCACGGCGAGGAACGCCGTATTAGACACGGTGCGGAAGAACGCGACGGCCTCCGACCTGTTACCTCAGGTAGGAAAGAGCTGGCTGCCGGCGCTCGAGGCCGATCTACCTTTGGAGTACATGCCCTTCGCCACGATGGTGTTCGCGTCGCCGTTCACGTGCGACGTCGTCCTGGGCGACGGGCCGGGCCAGTTCCCGCGGGATTTGTGCGGCGTCGCGGTCGAGAAAGGTTCAGGCGAGCACTGCCACGACGGCGACTGCCACTCGCACCACGAGCACGGCGAGGCACACGCGCACGACCATGGCGCGAGTGAGGCCCATGCGCACGACCACGGCCACGGCCACGGCCACGGCGGCCACGGCGGCTGCGAGTGCTACGTCAACCTGCCGACCTTCAAGTCGCGCAACTGGGTGGGAGATGTGCTCGCGAAAATGGCGTCTCTACTGAAGGTGCCGAGCCGCGTCACGACGTATTTAGAGCTGTTCCTCGGGTCGGACCACGCCGCCGCGGCACACGTCGCGCCCCTCATCGCCGGCGTCGAGCCCGTCGTCCGACAGTGGGCGCTCGAGGAGCGAGACGTCTTCACCGATATTCGTTTATATACGTGTGGCGGGGCCGCGACGGCGACGAGTCCTATTCTAGAACCCTGCCCCGCGGTGCCCGTCGCCTTCGGAGTTGGTGATAGGGTCGTCCACTTCAGCGGGCGGCCGGCGGCGCCGGGCGAGGTGGTGGAGGCGCTGGCGGCGCTCTAAGTATGTGTTTATACATCACCCTAGCTCTTGTATGGCCTAGCTCGGAGGGCGGGAGCTCAATAGCTCACTTCAGCCCTGAGATCCGGTTCGATTCCTTGAATGTAAAGGTACTAGCATCACGAGCTCGGGCGGAACCACATTTGCATCTCGCAATACGCGCGTGTTGCGCCAGCGCTCGGTTTCGGCTGCTCGTCTGACTTCGACAGCCGTCTCGCTCGCTGCGGCAGCCCGAAAGTTCGCAGCGATAGCGCATAACCGCTCCAACTCTGAGAGTGACCACACTCAGTGTGAGTCGTCGAGCGCAACGCCATGGACGCAACGCAACGCCGCGTCTTAGTGGCCGTCCCCTCGACGACCGACGTCGTCGGCGCCGGCGGCGTCGCGCCGCGCTGGGCGAACTACGTCAACGAATTGCGAAGGAGCGGCTGGCTCGTCGACGTGTGGACCGTCGACGCGCAAGACGAAGGCCAGCGCATCCCGCGCGTCGTCCACCCCTTCTTCCCGCGGACACTTACCGACGCGCCGTCATCGCTGTGGACGATGCGGCTCTGGCGGCGGCTGCGGTCGGAGAAGAGGCCGCGCTGCGTCGTCGTGACGGATTTATTTAACGATGTTAATATTGCGCTGCTATGCCGGGCGGCGCGCGTGCCTTTACTGTATTCGATTCATACGGACGGTTCCAAATTACCAGGAGGGGTGCCTTCCTTAGCTTCCGCGTCCCAGGCGTGCACGGCCTATTTATCGGCGGCCTGCGCGACGACGTCGCCGTCCTTCGCTCGAATTCTAGCTGATCGCGGCGTTATTAGAGCCGCCAAGAACGTGTGGACGTACCGGCCTCCTCATACTTCCGACCTGCGCATCGATTTAACGGAGGACGAGATCGCGGCTGAAAGGCGGCGCCTCACGGACGGTCACGGTGCCACAGTGTTGTTATTGTACGCGGGCCGCTGGTCCGCCGAGAAGCGCATTGGGTTGCTCGTACGATGCGTGAGACAACTGCCCGACGTGTCGTTATCATTGATAGGAGACGCCGCCGACGAGTCCATAGCGAGGGAAATACAACAGTGGCACGACCCCCATAAAGGTGTGCATGTGGTGCGGGGCATGAGAAGACGGGGAAGGGAATTAGCGTGCTCGTATGCCGCGGCAGATTTCCTGGCCTCGGCTTCTGATTTTGAAACGTTCGGGAACACCTGCGCCGAGGCGGCGGCCGTCGGCACGCCGGCCCTGGTCCAGCGCGGGCCGGGCTTCGTCGATCAGGTCTCGGCGAGCCCGCGCTGGTCTTCTTTATCTGGAGAAGATTCGAAGGAGGAAGATAGTCCAGCGTTGTACTGTTCGGACCGGGGCGCGTTATTGGATTACGCCTCCAATGATGCTGCGGCGTTAGTTCAGACGGCGGTCAGAGCATTGGAGCCGCTGCGGCGCGACCCCGAGCGAGTTAGGAGGGCAGCTCTCGACGCTGAAAGACAGGGTGCGACGATTTCCGAGCTCGTCGAGACCGTCTCGTGCGACGATGGGAGAAGGCCTTCCTATATACTGTTGCTGCTGGCTCTTTTCGTGGGGTGCGTGCTCCGTTTATTTGTTGAGGTCTACGCTCTTTATTTACGGGGTCTGTCGAACATCGTAAAGTGCTCGTCGGGACGGTTGATGTCGTGGCTGAGACCACCCGCGCGGCGCGTGCGCTGGGCCGGCTCGCTCGTGGGACGCGGGTGCATTGTTTTTCGCCAGAACCTCGCATCCATAAGACGCTTCGACCTGGCCGAGGTCGACCCGCTGCCCATCAACCTCGTCCCCTCCAACCCTTTCGAGGACTACGTCGAGTGCGACGTGGTTAAATTAGAGGGCCTGCGCGAGACGGCGGCGACGCTCACGCTGCCGGCGACGTCCGCGGCGCGCTTCCGGCGGCGGCTCTCCGAGAACTCCTGACTTTGCATACTTCTCCCTCCTCCCTAGTGACCTAAATTTATTGTAAATACAAGCACACTACATTTAGCTTTCCCGAGGCGGCCCCCGATGCGCCACCGGCGCGGCCTTGGGGTGATTTTCGGCGTCCTGCCTGCTCCCCCCTCGCCGTCGTCGCCTCCGAGCTAACACTCGGGGCGACGGCGTATGAGGGGCGGGGGCGGGGCGGGCGTGCGGTCACGCAGGGGAGGCGTCGGCTCCGCGGCTAGGCGGCCTAGCTCTAAGCAAAGCAACGATCGCAGCGATGGCGTGCTCTACGAGTCGTCGTCGCTCCGGAACTTGCCGCCGTGCCGCAGGAGCAGGTAGAACAGGAACACGTCGACCGTAAACAGTATCGCGATCGTCGTCGACAAGCACAGCTTCTCGCGAAGCAGTCTGCAATACAACGCTCGCAAACTCTTTTTTGCGTCTTGCGTGATGCGCCGCGTGTCGTCGGAGCGTCGCGCGGCATAACCAATTGTCTCGTGCTGCCGCCGGATCTTCCCCAGCGTCGTATGTCCCAACGCCTCCGTTCGCTCAATGCCCGAGACGGCGTCGCCCAGGAGTCGTTCGTACTCGGCTGTATTCACTGGTCGCGTGTCGGTTGATGTCGCGCCGTAGCTTCGCGGCGGCGACGCCATCGCTGCGGTTGCGTATCCCTGCTGCGGCCGCCGGCGCGACAGGAGCAGTGGCTGTGTTAGAGAGCTCTAGAGTGTGGCAGTGCCGCACGCGTGGCGCTCCACTGCTGCCACTCCTTTAGGTCTTGAACGCAGCGCTTGTGGGCGATCCAAGGTGCCCCTAGACGGCCGTGGGTCCAGCTTGCTTGCTTGCAAGCCGATTAATAGTGAGGCGCTTGCTAGTGTGTTACAGGACGCTAGCCCCGTTTTTGCGCGTCTTTGCACCGGTGCGGCGAGCAAGCAAAGCTATTTTTTTGCCGCTGTGTCAAGCTCACTGCTGCCGGCCTGGACAATCGAGCAAGCAAAGCTGCTTTTTACCGCTGTGTCAAGCTCACTGCCGATCTGGACTATGTCGCAGCCTGACGTTCCCTCAAATGTTGTGGATTACTTGAAATATGGGGGCCCTGAGCATGTCGAGGAAGCCCGCCAGTGGCTCGCGTCCAAGCATCACTCTCAAAAGAGCTTGATTGTGGTGATGTGGTACGCTGCGACATGCATTCGCCCATCCAATGCCGAGTCAATGCTTCGCTTTCTCCGCCTGGCCCTGGCTAGCGGCGCGAACCCAGATCAGTTGTTCCATGTGGGGCATGACCCACAGATCCCGGCGAACACTATGTCAAGCGGCGTACTGTCCGCGGTCTCGTTGGAAGCTCCCTATTCAGCCCCCCGCGTAATCGACCTGCTGATAAGATGGGGCGCAGGGGCAACCCCAATACGACGTCAATCTCTAGTGACTCAATCGCTATCAGACGGCCGAAAGAAAATTCAGTGCTACTCTCATCTTGCTTATATGATTCTCAATGCCGAGTGTGGGCCCCACATCTTCACAAAACAACACCTGGAGGTCGCCCATGCACTGTTGCGCAATGGAGAGAGTCTGGACTCGGCCTACTCGTCAGTGGTCAGAGATGCGCAGGGAGACGCGCAATCAACTGGTCGATCCGAGCCGATCGAATGGGTCCTGGGCGAGAAAGAACGGCTGGAGCCTTCGCTGGCCAACAACGCGAACTACCTAGCGTTCAAGGCCCTCGTGCGCCAGGTCCGCGCGGCCGGCAGCTACCGCAGCTACGTGATCGAGCAGCGCCGCACGTGCGCGTTGGTGCGACATCTGGCGATTCACGACCGCGCGACGACGCGCGACGGCGTCTTAAATTTCCTCGCCCGTACTGGTGAACGCGGCCTGTTCCGACGCGTCATGTCGTACCTGCCGCCGCCTCCTGTGCCGCCGCGCGGCACACCACTCAACATTTGCGTTCGACGGGCGGAAGACGGCACCAATGCATTATATTACAAGGTTCTCTCCACAACGATTCTCATGAAGGTATTTAGGAACTACGCGAAACACAGAGGAGGTTCTCAGCGCCCCTACATCACCCAGTGGGCGTTCAGTCTGCCCGGTTCTCCAGAGGTACTGATCGAGGGTGATCAGTCGTGCGACGATATAGGTCTCAAAGACGGTGGGGTGATCGATGTCATGCCCTACGACGAGCACCCTGTGGGCCTCCGGGCGCAAGCCGCCGCGGCCGCGACGGCGGCGGCGGCTGCGAAGCAGTTCATCGAGGACCAGCAGGTCCTCCGCGCCGAGGAAGCCGAGGAAGCCGTCGCGCACGCGGCCGCCGCGGAGGCAGCACGTCGCATCGCGGCGAGTGAATGAACTATGTAAGTATGTGCTATGTAATATGAACACTTCTTAAAAACACATACCCCCAGCCTGAGAGGAGGACGAGACGCCGCCCGCGTAGAAGCACCGGTCGCAGACGCGCCGCGGCGACAGCAGGCCTATCTGCGGCAGCGCCAGGCGGTGCCGCGAGCACGGGTCGCAGACGAGCGCGCCGCACGCTCTACAATGATGCTTCTCGCGGTACGCCGTCGTCTCGCTCCGCGACGTGCAGTGCCACGTAAAACGCGAGTGGCAGCAGGCGCACGTCTCCGACGCGCCGAAGGGCTGCCACGGCGGCGGGTCCTCCGTTGATGCGTTGACGGCGCGCACCTCGCCCAGGGCCTCGAAGTACGGCCGCATGCCGTGGTCCGACAGCATCGCCGCGCTCACGACGACGTCACTTAAAACGGCGTGCTTCCGGTCGATGCGCGCCGCTCGGTGCGTGCCGCGCCACCGGTACAGGTGCACCACCGCCCCAGGCACGAACAACTCGGGCAGATCTATACTATCAGTGAGGTCGTAGGACTCCTCGGGCGAGCTTTGTTGCTGGGGAGGCGGCGGCGGCGGCGCGGGCTCGCGCGGCTCGGCGACGACGACGACGACTTTCGGCGGCGGCTCCTCGGCCTCGGACGCCGACGAGAGGAGGATGCTCGACTCGCCGCCCCAGCCGTCTCCCTCGTTGGCGCCGGACGACGCGTCGTCGTCGTCTTCATCATTGCCAGACGAGGACGCGGTCGCGGTCGCGTCGCCCGCGTCGCCGTCAGCGCCGTTGAGGCAGTCGTAGAACGACGCCGACGACGTCGACGCGGCGTCGTCGTCGCTATCGGTGCTCGCCTCGGAGGCGGCGGCCTCAGAAGCAGTGACGGCGACGCCCGCCAGCCGCGCGGCGGAGAGCGCGGCGCGGCGGACGCGCCGCGCGGCGCGGGCCTCGGCCTCGGCGCGCGCGGCCGCGTCGTCGTCGTCGTCGTTCTCATCGCTCTCGGAGTCGTCGTCGCTATCGACGTCGGAGTCGTCATCGGAGTCGGCCACGGGCGGCTCAGGCGCGGGCGGCGGCGCCACGACGGGTTCCGGCGCCGGTGCCGGCGCCACGACGGGCGCCGGCGGCGCCGTCAGGGCCGGCGGCGCGCCGGCCGCGCGCACGAGCGAGTCGCGGACGCGCGGCGCCCAGAGGCCGTCGCGCAGCCGCCCCCAGGCCGCGTCCAAATCCGCGCGCCAGTGCGTCATGCACGACTGGCGCTCGTGTAACAACTTTTGAACTAAACGCCGCAGCGCTCTAGCTGTCAAACGAGGCACGACGTCGTCACCCAAGACTACGGAAGTGACAAAGGGCCTCATCGCCGCCGCCAAACGCCCATCCACACAAGCCGGCGCCGCGAACGCGACGCAATGTATTCTCTCCAGACTCCTTTTCAAGAGTACTGCCGTTAACGAAGCGACGCCGGCACCAAGCGAGTGGCCCGTGAGCACTATCGAGAATCCAGCATCGTGCAGCGCTTTGAGAGCGTCGTACGACTCCCGATACACATACTCCGCAGCTCGAGCCATGCCCGCAAACGCGAAGGCGTCGCCGTCGAGGACCCACTCCTCATCGGACGAGGGCGGAAACGGGGCCGGCGCCGCTCGAACGTCCGTGGCGACGTCCTGGACCGTCGACGTGCCTCTGACAGCTAGGACGACCTCCTTCTGAACGGATGACGCAGCACAAAAGAAGGCCGGCTCGTCTACAACTGGTTCTCTGGCATCCGGGCCTTCCGGGAAGCCCCTCGCGAACAACAGTGTGAGGCCCTGCTGCTTCGCGACGAGTTGCACGCACGTCGGCGACGCTTCGTAGCACCACAAAGCGCATCTAGCCGCCGCTACGAGCTTTTTCAAATCGGCATCATCGACTGACGGTTCGTCGCGGAACTCCCTTAATACAGAATCGGGGTCGTTGCCCCGCTCACCCCTGTTGAGAGCCAGTAGATAATAAATGGCCGCCGTCAATTCGTGGGCCGACCGCGGCCAGCCCTCGTCGACGCCCGCGACCTTCCTTAGCAATTCTGCCGCTTCCACAAACTCGCGCCTCAGGACCAACGTAGCTAAACCGGCGGGGCCGTACCTGCACAGTATCTCGAGGACCTCGACGGCCACGTATAACGTCGCCGGTGCCACCAGTGGGCAACTCCTCGCTAGAGTCTGGGCTGCGGTCAAACACCGTCGCGCTTTTGACGTTGCACTGAGCCCTTTCGGGAGATCGAAGTACGCCACGACTCGCTCATCGCCCAAGAATCGCTGCGCGCGGTACGTGCGCCACTCCGAACGTTCTCTCCTCTCGAGTTCGTCGAGCTCCGCGTCACACGCGTCGCAGACCCGCAAAGGATCTCCTCCTAAGTGAGCGGCGAGCGCCGGTAATGGTCTTTTTTTAGAGCCGTGGTGGCGGCATATAGATCTACCGCAAAGTCTACAGTGGTGACGTCGTAGGGCCGCGTGGAACTTCTCGTCACACAATGCGCAGGAATCTGAAAGTTGCCACGGCTGCGGCGCCTTGGCGGCCAGCCTAGCGGCAGCATAGGCGGCCTCGTCGCCATTTAATACATTATCATTTTTTTTGTCCTCCTCGACCAATGCTTTTTCGTACCAGGTCAGCGTGAGCCACCGCTCGCCTCTTGTAATAGCGTCGGCGTGGCGCCACCTATCTTCGTCGTCTCCTCTAGAAAGCTTAACGAGGGCCGTCCTTGCCCTATCCCCGCAGTGCCGCGCCGCCTCGGCCGCGGCGCCTCCGAGGAACCGGCCGGCCGGCGACCGCGCGGCCGCGGCGGCCGTTGTTTGTAACCGCTGCGCCATGGTCCTTAACGACTCGTGGGCGTGCTGGGCCATCTCTTGCGCGGTCATCGGTTTGGCCTTGACGTCGACCTCTTCGTTCTGCGCCTCCAGGGCCAGCTCGGACGCCATTGTGCCAGCGTCGTCTGCCGAACCAGTGTCGTCTCGACTGTGTCTCTTGTTATCTAATGGCTCACGTAGCGCTGCGTTTTGTTCTTCGGCTTAGGCTGATTTTTAATTTGTGCCCCAGAGATGGCTTGCGTTACTGGCTCGGCGGCGTGCCAGCGTTGTATGGCGTGCCAGCGTCGCTCGAGGCTGTTTCTTGTTATCAAATGGCTCACGCAGCGCCGTTTTGTTCTCGGCTCCGGTGCGGCTTTAGCTAGCGGGCCGTAAGACACTAGCATGCCAGAGCTCGCATTTTATATCGGCAAAGCTCTCGTATCTCGCTAGTCTCCGCTCATTCTCGACTCGTACCTGACTCGTCGGAACCACCCGACAGAGCGCCGAGCTCCCGACTCGCGCGCGGAGGCTTAGATTTTGGCATTTGGAAATATTTTGTATCAGAGCTGGCAAGACCGCGCGCCGCGATGTCAACCACCCTTCCCAACCCGCCTTCATTAATCGCCAGCCGGACGCAAACGATGTCGAGCGTAAGCTTTGAAGATGAAGCGCCGGCGACGCCGCCGACGCGCGGCGAGCCCGCGAACAAGGCCTTCGCCACGCCCGCGCACCGCAAAGTGCCCGAGACGCCGCTCGGCCCGACGCCGCCGAAGCCCACCGAGCAAGCCCTTTCACACCTCGACGTCAAGACGCCGCCGCGCGTCAAGGCGAAGAACGTCACGCCGTCGCCCGACTGCCCGGCGCCGCCCGCTTTGAAGCGAGGCAACTCCATCCGGTCTTCTAGTGTTGCGCGGCTCCCGGAGGGGCGCGTGTGCTTGGTCGTCGGCGGCAATGCCGTGGCGCGGCGCGTTGTGGAACTCTTGGCGAGGGAGCCGGACACGGCGGTCGTGCTCACGACGTCGGGGGGCGAGAGTGTGTTGGACGCGTCCGAGGTCATCGGCGTTCAAGGGTTCGATCTCGGGCTGCTCGCGGAGATGCGCCGCCTCGCGAAGGACATCCGGAGCCGCTTCGGGCGGTTGGACGTCTTGGTGAACTGCGGGGCCTGCGAGCGGCTCGCGACGGAGACGACGGGCGAGGGGCTCGACCGGCGGCTGGTTGTCGCGCACCTCGCGCCGCACTTGCTCGCGAGGGAGCTCGCGCCTTTGCTCGAGCGGACCGCGGGCCGGTGCGTCCACGCGTGCGTCGACGACCGCGCGTCAAAGGACGACGTCCGCGCGTCGGTCCTCCAGCCGCTTGACGCGCGGGGGCTTGCGGACTTTGCCTTGGAGCACGCGTCGGCCGTGGCCGTCGTCGTGTCGCTCGAGACGCGCTCAAAAAAGGGTTGGGGCCTCTGCCGCGGGCCGCCGCCGGAGTCTGCAGAGGAGCGGGCCGCGGAGCTCATCGTCCTCGCGGCGCGCCAGCCGACCACGAAACTACCGAGCGGGTCCCTCGTGCGGCGCGGCTCGCGGAAGTCGCGCCTCGACGTCGACGCGAACGACATGAATCAAGAGGCCGCGCGCCGGTCGTGGGACGCGGCGGAGGCGCTCTGCGCTGTTGCGGACGCGGCCTCGTCGCCTGAATCCTAAGCTTCAATTTCTTCTTACACGTCTTACGCGGTAAGCGCATGACCTTTTTGGAGATTCCTCCCGGTCGCGTCGACGGCGTCGCGGGGGGACCGCGGACGCATGGTCATGAGCTAGCGCTGTAAGACACTAGAGGCAAAAAAAGCAAGCAGGCGCGACACGATTTTGGCCGCATTGATCGCGGCGCCGCGCCATCGCACATATAATTATTCATCGCTGCGACCGCTGCTGCCATCATCGCTGTCACCGCAACATCTGCGCCTCTCGATAGCATCACACTGCCGCACGAGCAAGCCGTAGACATGAGCCGCGCCTCCGAACACTTGGCGGAGCTGCGCGCGGCCCAGCGCGCCGCGGCCCTCGACGCCGCGACGCGCAGCCGGCCCCCGCCGCCGCCGGTGCCGACGCCGAATCTCGCTTTTGCCGCAGCCGCCGCGCGCCTGCCGCCGCCGGCGTTCCCGCTCGCGCCGCCGCCGGGCTTCGCGCCGCCGCCGGGCTTCCCCGCGCTGCCGCTGCCGGACCCGCGCGTCCTCGCCGCCATGGCGGCGCAGGCGGCGGCGGCCTCGGGCGCGCCCGTGCTCGCGCCGCTCCACCAGTCGCCTCATTTAAACCTGCCGCCGGGTTTGGCAGCTGTTCTTTGGACGGAGTCCAGGTACCGGCCTTCTTTCTCGTACTCTTCGTGACATTTTGTATCATGTAGGTCCCCGGCGCGCGCGAGAACTACGCGCGCGCGCTGGCCGAGGGCGCCGCCGCGTCTACACAAAGATCGGCGGAGGACTACTCGCTCTCGCCCAAGCTCCCGACGCACGGCTCGGAGACGTTCAACCTCAACCCGCTGCTGGCGCGTTTTCAGCGTCTATACTGCGTCTTGATAACACGCAACGCATAGGCGAACTGCGTCCTGAACCACGAGTACTCCAGGATATTGTGGGAGATGGGCGAGGCCTTTGGGCCCTTGCTGCAGGAGGCTAGAGAGAAGATAAAACATGTCGAGCCGTGGCAGCGCGGCACGCAGCGTACGCCGTCGACCGCGTTCTGTATCCTCGTTAGATTATTTCAGCTCGGCCTGACCGAAGCGCACATGACCAAACTCCTCGCGCAGAAGGACCGGCCCCTCGTCAGGGCGGTAGGATTCTTGTACTTACGATACGTTTTGAAACCGGAATTGCTATGGAGGTACTGCGAGGACGTCTTCATCGATGACGGAAGGGCAATTCTAGAAGAAGGGCGAAAAGAAACATTAGGAGAATGGTTACGAGGCGTCCTCACGTCGCAGCAGTACCACGGGACGCAACTACCGCGCATCCCGACGAAGATCGATCGAGACATACGAGCGCGCGTCGCTCTGGTCGACGAAAGTCGAGAGCGGGCCTCGGACAACGCGAGGTACTTGGACCGCTTCGAGCCGGGGTGTCAAGTCAGAGCGATCTACGGCGACAGTAAAAACGAGCCGGCCTGGTACGACGCGGTCGTCGAGTCCATCGAGAAGGACACGGACGATGCGGGGAAAGAAAGGGTGCGGTTCCAGGTCCAATTTCCGGACTACGGGCATGGGGCCCTGGTGCGGCTCGGCGACCTCGACACTCGAAATAATGATTCGAACGGCGAGTCGCTCCTAAAGGGCAAAAAACTGAAAGTGGCCCAGTCGCAGCAGTCGCAGGCGGCGCCGGACAAGTTCACTTATTCTAGGCCGAAAGGATACAAAGAAACTTTAGCGTTGAAGATGGACCACGCGTCTGATAGATTGGAGCGCGAGCGCGCGCGGCACGGCGAGGAGAAGCCATCGCGGGCTAGGTATACCCGCGAGGGGCGCCGCGACGACGACGATTCTAGGCCGCGGAGCCGGCGCGATGACGACGCGCGCTACGAGCGGAGCCGGCGCGACGACTACGATCGTAGCCGGCGCGACCGGCGGGACCGCTCGCGCTCGCGGGAGCGGCGGCGCGGGGGCGGCCGGCGCCGCCGCGACGACGACGCCTACGACGCGCGGCGCGAGCGGCGGCGGCGCTCACGGTCGCGCGAGCGGTCGTACGAGCGGCCCCGCGACTACGACCGGCGACCGGCTCGCGACTACGACGACGAGGACGAGGAGGGCGCCATCCAGGACCGCGGCGGCTACGACGCTTAAACTTAACATATATGCTTAGGCAGCGACCTGTTGCCGCTTCCAGGCCTTCGGCTTGTCGGCACCGCCGTAGGAAGTCCCGAAGTGGCCGTTCGTCGAGCCCGTGAAGCCGTCCATGGCGAAGCTCGACGACCGCTTCGACCGGAGGAGGCCCACGGCGTGCCGCGCGTATTTTATGTCCTCGTCGTCGCCGACGCACGCCCGCCGTAACAGCACGCCGGCGGCGCCGGCGTCGCGGCACGCTCGGCCCGCCTCGACCTCGGCCTCGTCCTCCTGCATCGCATTCAGTGACGCGACGGCGACGGCCTTGGCCGGCAGCGCGGCGACGACGGCGGCCGTCGCGTCGGCGTCGAACAGGAACGCGTCTCCCTCACCCGCGGCGGCGGCCGCGCCGGCAGCATTATCGGCGGTGACGCGCCAGATCACCGGAGCGACGCTCACGTCCTCGCCCGCGTCGGCGACCACCGCCGCGGCGCCGGCATCCGTGGCGGCTTGTCGGTCCGCGCCGGTGTACACGACTGGCAGCGGGCCCGGGAAATCACCCTTGGCCGTCGCCTGCTCATTGGCGAAGCATTTCACCGCATCAACGTCGTCGCACCAGATGGCCGCGGCTTTTGCTTTTCGCAGCTCCTGCGACAGCTCGTCGATGGCGTCCGCAGCACCGCTGTACTCAATTGATACCGACACAGCCTTGCCCGGCGACACCAGCGCGGCGCGCAGGAGACTTTCTGCAGTGTGTGCAGCGGCGAGGAGCAGTATAGCGTGAAACCGCATGGTGTGAGCAGTGCTACACTGTTTGCAACGCAAGCCTCTCGCACAACATCAAACTGCTCTCGATGGCTGGCGCGGGCGCACGGAGCGTGATTTCTTAAAAACGCCTGCGAGTTGCACGCAAGAGCTCCTTTATAGATCGAAGAAGCATTTGCGTGCAGCCTGACGCGCGTCGCAGCAAACCACTGCTGCACATTGGCCCCAAAGCCCTGCCGCAGCATCACAGCGATGCAGCTGCTCCGCGCGGTCCTCGTCACGACGTCTATTGCGGACTGGACGCCGTCGCTCGACCCCATCCGCGCGACGCTCCAGTCGCTGGAGTGCCTCGACGCCGCGGAGACGCTCGTCGTTGCCGACGCGTTGCCATCAGAACGGGAAGCGGAGGCGCTGTCGCCGCTAGATGGAGACAAGTGGCGCCAACTATATGAAGAGAAGGCGGAGGCCTACGATACTTATTTACACGACCTGCAAACACTGTGCGACGCGCGGCCCGCTACCAGATTGCTCCGTCAGGCGACGTTCGGGCACCTCGTGGGCTCCGTGCGCGCGGGCTTCGACAATCTAAAATGCGATGCGGACGACGTTGTGTTAATAACGCAGCACGACCTGGCGCTGTCGAGGGCGCCGCCCGTCGAGGACGTCTGCGAGCTACTCAAACAAAAGGATGTGGACTACGTGCTTCTTTCCAGAGACGCCGACGGCGCGCCGCGCTTCGTGGACTGGTTCTATGCCTCTCCACGAGAGTTTGACGGGGCGCAGCGTTTGCAACGGGGCCTCGCGGCCGCCGTGTCTCTCGACGGGGGCTACGCCGACCAGACGCACTTTAGTACAAGAAGATGGTACGACGAGTCCGTGTTCCCCCACCTACCAGAAGGGGGCACATGCATGGAGCACGTGTTGCATCCGGCGCCTGTTGCTGTGTGGAAATCAAAAGTTCACGGCGCCTTGCCATCGACTCCTGCTCGATGGCGTGGCGGTGCCGGTTGCTCATTGCTCGACAGAATTATCGGTTGCACCCGACACACTTGTTGATTTCCACACAGGCCGGCGTCGCGCGGCGGGGCGTCAATTTTGACGAAAGGCACGTACGCCCTCGAGCACGGCCCCCACCTGCGCGACGCGGTCCACGGCCTCATCACGAAACGTACAGAAAAGTACCTGCCCGGTTTGACATGGCAGCCCGTTTCGGAACCAGTGAAGAAGCCGGGCGCGTGGTCCCAGGTCTTCTGGCGCTCCAATCGGTGGGCCGGCGCGGCGAACCGGGAAGACGGCGACTATTCATCAAGGGCGGACCTCGTGGCCTTTGTCGATGAGGTGTGTAGGTGGCGTGTCGTCGACGAGCAGTCGAGAAGCGTACGCGCCGTCTCCATTTTAGGTGATGACGTCTGCGCCTCCTTCGAGTCAAGCGTAGAGGCCTTTTCCGTGAAAGACGGGCGGCCCACGCGCCTGCCGTGGGATTGTGCGTCGCCGGTGCTGGCGCTCGCGGCGGATGACGTTCATGTCTACGCGGGTTGCTTCGACCGGCGGGTGCGCTGTGAGGACTGGACGGGGCCGCCGCTGTCGGGCTGGGCGCGCGCCCTGACCGTGCTGAATGGTGCTTTAGTTCAGGTAGCGTGCGAGGCCGCCGTGCTCGTAAAAGACGGCGTCGTCGTCAGAACGCTCGACGCGGGTCCGACGACGAGCGACGAGGAAGAGTGGAGACGGCACGACATCTGCGCGCTGGGTTCTTCCTCCACTTATGTGGTCGCTGGTTTGGTTGACGGCAGTCTGAGGCGCTGGTCGACCGAAGACTGGGCGATGGACGTATTACCAAATGCTCTAGTAAATAGGGCCGTCGGCGTCGCCGTGTTCGAGGACGGTGCGGTCGTGGCCTGCGACGCGGCAGCCGTCAAGCGCTTTTGGACGTCAGACGCGGCCGAGTGGCGCGCGCCGGCCAAAATAGCGGCCTTCGCCTCCTTCGAAGCAACGGTCGCCGTCGGGTTGACCAACGGCGAGGTGTGGCTCCTGGACGCGGCGACGCTCGCGCCGCTCCGAAGCGTCGAGGCGTCCGAAGCTGGCGTCGCATCCGTCGCGCTTTCTAGTGACGTGCTCGTCGTCGGGGACGCGGAGGGGGTTGTCGTGGCGTTTGATTTGTAAGTGTTGTTTTTGTACTGCGTACTAGTACAGGACGACGCGATTGATCCTGGGAAAACCCGTTTTGGCCACGTTTGTGGCCGCGAGAGACACTCGGCGGCGACGCGGCACGGCGCGACCAATGAAGCATAGAACGGGTTGACTAATCTTGACTCGCAGTGGGAGTTGATCATGGCCACAACGACGACAAACACGACCCTGAGCGAGGTCCTGAGCGCTATTGACGATGGAGACGTCGATTGCGTCCAACGCTGGATCGACGGCGGCGGCGACCCGAATTCAGCATGCAGAGGGACCGTGAGGACTCCGTCGGGTGCTGACTACCACGAAGGCGAGACGCCACTCATGGTCGCAGCGATGGCGGGAAGATTAGACGTGATCCGGATGCTAGTCCAGGCGGGTGCCGATGTCAACATCACTCGGCCCCCAGTATTAGACTCTGATTTACACGAAAGTGTCGGCGAGACTCAAAGCGCTCTATCGTTGTCTTTGACACACGGCCGCCCAGAAACGGCTCAATTATTACTCGATCTCGGCGCCGACAAGAATACATTCCAATGGATGACGCCATCTCAGAGCACGGGTCCCTTAACTGATCATCGCATCCTTCGCATGTTCTATATCGCCGGCGTCGACCTCGCGGCTAAAGAAGTTCGGGGTGAAACTTTCGAGGTCAGGGCGCGGGACTGTGCCGAGAGGTATAGAGAGTACGAGCTACGATGGGCGAAATGGGCGAAACTGGCCAAATTGTGGAAGTCAATTGTGGAAGTCATTGATGGCGTGCGCGCTGCTGGAAGACGTACTTGGGGAGGCCGGAGACTGACTGGATTCGGAGAGAGTCAATGACCGTACTAGGGAACGGTTTAACCGTTGTAGACCACCACGAGGAAGCGTTGTCCGTAAAAGAGGCCGAGTTGTCTGTGAAGCGGCGCGTTGGCGCATCAAGAGGAGATTTGCTCGTCGTGCAGGGCAATATTGCGAATACGTATGATATGCTCGGGCGGAAGGAAGAGGCCCTGCGATTGAATCGAGACGTATACTCCGGGCGGGTGAAGCTCAACGGCGAAGAACATGAACATACCCTCGTGGCGGCCAACAACTACGCTGCGTCCCTTATTGGTCTACAGCGCTTCGAAGAAGTCAAGGTAATTATGCGCAAAACGATTCCCGCGGTGCGGCGCGTTCTCGGAGACTCGCATGGGTCCGCGCTCGGTATGAGGAGGCTTTACGCGACCGCGCTCTACAGAGACCCCGCCGCCACCCTCGATGACCTCCACGAGGCCGTGATGACGCTCGAAGAGACGGCACGGACCGCACGGCGCGTGCTCGGTGGCGCGCACCCGCTCACCGCGAGAATTGAGGACGCACTGCAAAAAGCGCGAGCAGCGCGCGACTCCAAAGAAACGCCGCCGGGGAGCGTCTAAGTCCTAAAGACTATCTTAAACGCGCTCTCAAAAGACTAGAACGGCCGGAATGCCGGCGCCCCGAACCCGCCGCCCGCGGGCGGCCCGTAGTGGCCACCTAATCCACCACCGGCGGGCGGCACGGATGGGAGAGGAGGCGGCTGCGCGCCGCCCTCGTTCGGGCCCGGCTGCGCTTGTTTGCAGTCGACGAACTTGCCATGTAATTCATGCCTCGTGGCCGCGCACGCCCTGGCGCTCGATTCCTCCACGAACGTCACGAAGCCAAAACCTCTAGATCGTTGGGTCGACCGGTCGACCATGACGACCGCGTCACTGACAGGACCGAATCTTTCAAAATGCGCGCGGAAGTCCGCATCCCCCAAAGACGAGGGCAGGCCGCCGACGAAGAACTTCCGCGAGACCCTACCTCCCCCACCATACTCGGCGCCCGGCGCCTTGGGTGCTCCACCGACGGGTAGAGGCAGGGGCTGGTTCGGTAGTGTTGGTGGGCCTCTCCCATCAATCGCGCCGTCCGCCGTATTTACCAAGGGCGGCGGCGCGTTGCCCTGGGGCACTGCTGGTTTGATATCTACCCTTCTGCCATCAATCGTGTGGATGCCCGCGACCACACTGTCGGCCGTCGCCGCATCCCTAAAAGTAACGAAGCCGAAACCCCGCGACACTCCCGTAGTTTTATTGCGCATGACCGCGGCATCAGTGACTTCGCCAAATCTACCAAAGTACTCCCTAATAGCATCTTCATCGGTAGCCCACGTGATGCCCCCCAGGAACAACTTGCCTTCGCGCCCGTCTTGCACGACTGGAGCTCTTGGATCTACGGGCCTTTGTTGCGTGCCGAACGTCACTTGCGACTGCCACGCCGCGCCGCCGACGGCCGCCGTGCCCCTCCCAATAGCGTTGACGATGGGCACGCCGCTCGAGACGGCCCCCGGGACGGGCGCGGGCTCGTTCGCAACGGCTGTCGTCGACGTCACCAACGTCTCCCAGTCGAGCTCCGATTCCCTATCGACGACGGTGTCCTCGAAGGCGATCATGGTGGTTGTGTCGTCGAGCGACGTGCGTTGCTGCTCGGCGAGCACTTGGTAGCCGCGGCGCCTCGACGGCGCGTTCGGGTGGCGAGGCGCGTGCGCTCAAGGGAGCTCTTTTGTCAGGTGCACTAGCGGCGCGCTTTGAGCTGGCCCTTTAGCCTTGGCGCAGCGCAGAGCAGATAACGAATCGCTCGCTGTCGGATAAATGCGTAGGCAGCAGCGTCGCGCGAGCTCGCGGCGCCGCGGCACAAGGCTAGAGTGTCTCCCGGGGTTTTCGTGGTCTCTCCCGGGGTTTTGGAGAATACGTGGTCGTCCTCGCTAGGTATTGCCCGCAGGAGGTCCGCACGACGTCCACAGGCTGCCCCGAGCCCGCGGACGACATTATTTTTGATCCGCGCCGCATCCGCAGCCTTAAAATACTGGCCACCATGCTCGTCGACTAGATTACGCGCCGCTACGGCGGCCGCCGGCGCGCGCCGAGCTACCACGGGTACCGCGGGTCCCTACCGACTTCCTGACAAGCCGTGGTGGAAAGTACATCGGGACTTCATCCCTTGGACGACGACGCCGTCGACGCGACCATGTCGAAAATGTGACAACCGGCTGCCCGACGTAGCCACCGCCGTCCGCGTGGGCGACGGGTATGTCGTGGACGAGGATCGACCGTCGAAGCGCTTCCTAGGCTGCGAAAACGTAAGTTATGGCCAATTATGGCCAATTAATCAATTCTACTAAACGGGTTTTACGTAAAACCCGTTTAGTGGCTTTAGCAGGAAGGAGCTGTCTACGGGCTGTTTACCCAAACCCCCACCCTACCCCCGGTCTAACCCTGTTGACGCGTCCCTAACCCGGTCATGCGGCACGAGGGACCGTGCCGTGGGGCCTTTCCAGGGCCCGGCCCGCGGCATTGAAAGGTGCCACGGGACGGGATAGGTAAGATTCCGACCTATGTAAAGCGGTCGCGGGCATTGAAAAGTGCCCGCTCCTTCTCGCCCAAATTTCGTGCGCCGTCCGCCGTCTTTCTCCCGGCAACTTTAGTTCGCGTCCGTCGCGGCGCGGGCGCATGTGCATAAACGGTCACCACAACAAGGTGGGCGGCTCGGAAGCGTCGACGGGCATGGCGTGGACGCCGCCGAAGCGCCGCGGGCGTACGCAGCGCCGGGTATCGTGCGAAACGCGATCGTGCGGGGGCTGCTGGATTTTGGGGCTATGTCCGGCGCCGCGACGAAATTGCCAACGAAAAAATTGCTGCAGCGGCAGGCCGGACCATGCGAGAGGTCATCCCAACAGCTTTTGTGGCGGTGCGCACCATAGGGGCTGCGTAAAACCCCAAAACCCCGGGAGAGACCATGAAAACCCCGTGAGGTACTAGAGCCCGCGCACAAGCTAGCTAGCGGCCTGTAACACACTAGCAATCGCAGCCTCGGTCAAGCACAGCCGCAGCGTTGTCCACGCTGCACGTCTCCAGCGTCCGAGTTGTCAATTTGCCCTCGCGCGCGCTGCCGAGGCGACAGCGCGAGCAACTGGGCGAGTCCTGCAGTCATTTGAGCAAACCCCTCAGAGAGCCTCTCTCAGCCAGCCAGCTCTCATCCGCGGAAAAAGCGCGTCGCGCCGCGGCGACGGCTTGCCCCTTGGCCTTCGCGTCGTCTGCATGTCCACGTGTTCTTTGGCCTTGGCCAAGTCCTCGTCCGTGAAGCGTAGCTCGAGGACGCGCATCAGGCTCTCAGCCTCCTCGCAGCTGTGGATGCACAGTAAAGCGCCCTCGGGGCGTGGAGGCGGAGACAGATGCCACCGGCACGCCATCGCCGCGACCGTCAAACATCGGTATCAAAAACCAACGCCGTTCGATGCATCACAACTCGCACAACAACGCAGGCCCCGATGCTCCTCAAGAACCTGGTGCGGACCGGCACGCTGCTCGCCGGCGCCCGAGCCTTCGCCCCGCTCGCCGTCCAGCGAAGAGCCTTCACCAAAATGAGCGCCGCGCCGATCGGTGTCATGGTCACCGTCGAGATCGAAGAGAGTAGGGTGCCCGCCTTCCTCGAAGCTTTAAAAGTGGACGCGGCCGGTAGCAGGGAGGAGGAGGGCTGTTTGAGGTTCGATCTCCTCAAGGACTCGGAACAGGCGAACACGTGGCACTTCTACGAGATCTACAAAGATAACGACGCCATGGCCGTGCACAAGACGCTGCCCCATTATAAAGCGTGGGCGGACTTCAAGGCCGGCGGCGGCGTGGTCTCGCAGAAGGTGGCCAAGTTCACGGCCGACGACTTCACGGCCTGATTCTGTCCCCCTGTGTCCGTTTTCTCCCGTCGTCGTCGTGTCGTCGTCGACGGCGTCAAGGGGACGGCTTCTCGGAACTGACTTAATTCTCCAACTTGATTCCAGATTCCCGCGCCGCGGGCTGCCCGAAGCAGCCAAGTCATCGGCAACGGGCGCGCGGGCGGGTATTTTGCCATCGGTGCGGGTAGATGAAGCCCGTCTAGTCGCCGTTTCGACTTTGTACTCTCAACCTGCTGGCTAGTGTCTCTATGCCTCGCTAGCAAGTCTCGACCTCCGACGCTGCCTTATTTTGCTCCGCCACGCGCTGCGCAAGCACCAGCGAATTGTCAGAGCGTCGCCGCAGCGCACCGAAACCACACGCGCTGCCGCGTTGCATTACGCCGCCGACGTAACGCAAAAAAACTAAACATCCTTAGAAGGCTATCAGAGCAGCACGCGCCGCCGATAAGATGGCCTTCTCCCTCGCCTTCAGCCAGGCGCCGCCGGACCACCCTTTTGTGGGAGAGTTCTTCCCCGTGCAACTCACGCTCATCGACGGCGACCACGAAATCCACGGAGGCATCGAGCTGCCCCTGTCGCTAGAATTGTACTACGAGGAAAAGGATAAACAGGTCAGCAAGGGCGTGTTTGAAGTGGAAGGTTCCAAGAGTCCAAAGATCACGAAGAACGGCATGTGCACTTGTAAGCTCCATATCACGAAGTCGAGCATGGAGTTGGATAATCGGAGATTCGTGCTGAAAGCCAGTGCGAAGATGAAGAACGGCAGTAAGCTCGAAGTCTGGTCCGAGCCTTTGAGGGTGATGCGCTACCGCCTCGTGATAGACGAAGGAGGTATCTTAGAGCACGACGAGGCCGAGACGAAGAAGATGAAGGACGCGGCGGCGGCGCGTCTTCCGGCGTCTTTCACTTCATTGAAACGACTCGGCTCCGTCTCAGGATGGCGTGGGTGGTTTTTCTTTCGAATTCGGGGCCGTTCGGACCGCGTCGATGGCGTCGCGGAGCACTGGAGCGTCTCCCGGGAACGGCGCCGTTGCGTGTCGTTCGCCCTTGTGGCGCGGCCGCGGCACGCCAGTCGACGCGACGGCACCGTCAACGCGCCGCCGCGACGCCATCGACGCGGCGCCGCGACGACACCGAGAGACGCCATCGACGCCATCGACGCTTCATACAAACGCAGGTCTGGTACAAGGACGAGGGCGGCCGCGAGAAGTGCATCCTGTTGAACGTGTCGTTGGAGGACGGGTCGGGCTCCAAGATCAAGGACCGGCCCGTGCAACTGAAGTGTTTGTTGAGATATGCCGAGAGCGGCATGCCCGTCACCAATCAAAACGTGTTGCGCATCTGGACGGATTCTCATGATAAAAAACCGTCCATCAAGCTCTACAAAGGGTCTCTGGCTATAAAAGCTCGAGTGGAGGACGTGTCGAAGAACCACCAGGGCCAGTCGTTCAAGATCGAGGTGATGGCTGATATTGACGAGTCGCCGACCGATTGTGATGTCGCGCCCGTGTTTAGTAGGGCAGTGAACGTGCGATCCAAAAGAAATAAGAGAAGAAGGCAGCCTACCTCGCCGGCTCGGTCTCGCACTCCTCCGCCCGTGACGACTACCAATTCATTTGCACATGCTCCCGGCGTCGCGGGCTGGATCGAGAGCGTCATTTGTCTGTGTGGAAATCAAAATTTTACGGCGCGTTCCGCACTCGACGCACTGGTTGATTTCCACACAGGTCATGGAGGGTCTGGACCAGATGAAGTGGGCGCCGGACATGCAGCAGCTTATTAATCCAAACGCTTTGATCGCGAAGCTCGAGCGGCGCTACGAGAGCGACGTGGTTCGTGTTTCGGCGTCCTTCTTTTTTTCTTCGTTCCTGTCCGAGTGGATGCTTGCCGCGTTGGTGGCGTCGAGGTGGCCCGCGTTTCCTTCGCGTCGATGGCGTGAGTCCACGCGATGCTGTCGACGCGACGCCAACAACGCGCGCAGGCCCCGCACCTCGGCCCCGGCGCCGCCGGGCGCAAGAAGCGCAAGGTCTCGCTCCAGGCGCCGGCCGGCCACGTCGCGAAGCCGCCCATGTCGCGCGCGCGTGCGCGTCCCGCGTCTTGGTTCATGGCGCCCGCAGCGCCCGTGTCCGCGCCGCGCTGCCGAAGCGAAGCAGCCGCTCGCGCGCGCGATCCCGTCGCGGCGCTCGCTGCTCGTGGCGCTACCGGACGAAGGCCACGCCGCCATCGGCACGACGTCGACGCCGTCGCCGCGCGCAGGCACGTCGGCCGGTTTGACGCTGGATGCCTTAGATGCTGCCGAGAGAGGTGTGGTCGCGCCGTTCCCGGGCGCGGACGAGCTCGGGTCGGTGGCTCGGAGCAGAAGATGAACTTGAACGTGACGTGGTCGCGTCGATGGCGTCTTCATGAGACCACGCCGCCTCGACGCCGTCGACGTGGCTGTCAGACGTCGCCCCCACGCCGTCGACGTGACTGTCAGACGTCGCCTCGACGCCATCGACGTGGCGGCCAGAGAGTCTCGTAACGCGACGGCGTCGTTCGACGCAGGTTGAGCGCCGGCTTACAACCGCCCGTCGTCCAGCGAGGCGTCTCGTCGCTCTACACGGGCGGGCCCACGGGCGACGGTTCTGGTTTCGAGGACTCCGGCGTGCTGCCGCCCTTTTCGGCGACGCCCGAGTCACTCGCCGAGGAGCCAAAAGTCCGCGTCATCCTCGCGAAGCGCTTCCGGCCGGCGCGCGGCACGACGTCACTCGGTTATCCGGCCTACGACGGCGCCAAGAACTTGGTGGGTCTCTATAGGGACAACGGCACCGGCGCGCCCGTCTTCGTCCCGGCCGGACACCCGGCCTCGCTATTGGAGGAGGCGGACTTCCCGGCCGCTTCCAAAGCTTACGACCGCGAGATCGAAAACAAGTCGGCCTGCGTCCACGACCTCGAGAAGTTCTCGTCGCTGGACGCGCTCAAGGAGGCGGCGTTCCTGTACTGCTACTCGAAGGAGCCGTGGGCGGAGCTGGACTTCTCCTGATTTCTAGCGCGCCGTTTGGCCTTCCCTTCGCCTTCCGTGTTGGTGGGGGTACTAAGAGTGATATATATATGACATTGTGACAAACATGTTTACACTTATCTCCGTACCCTTTTCCCCCCGACACTGTACGGGATGCAGATCTCGGGCACCTCCTCGTCTGACGCCGGCTCGGACGACGGCGCCGCCGCGGGCGCCGGCGGCGCGACGGGCTCCGGCGTGACCACGCGCCGCGCGCGCTCCGGCGCCGCGGCGACGACGGGGACGGCCGGCGGCTTCATACCCTCGGCCCTCATGAACGCGAGGAGCTGCGTCTCGAAGGCGTCTTCTGGGGGTCTTGACCCTCTCTCGAGGTGGAAGAACTTGCGCTTGCGCATATTCCTAAACCAGTGGTCCACGGAACCGCGCTCGAGGCCGCACTGTTCCGCGAGGTTCTGCTTTTCTTGCGACGTCGGATACGGTTTTGACGCATGTTCCAAGGTCCACTTTTCTAGTATACTGAATTTGTCCGAGGCGAGGCACTCCGCTAAGGAATGGACGGGGAAGGTCCGGCCGCGCCGCGCCGCGCCTCGGACAAGAGGGCTCCCGTACTGGGAGGCGATGCGGCTGCGCTTCGGCACGGGCGGCGCCACCTCGTCATCCTCCTCCTCCTCCGCCGGTGTGGCGGGCGCCGGCGCCGGCGGCGCTGCGGGGACCGGCGCGCGGACCGACTCGACGAGCGTCGGGTCCTTCTCCACCATGTTGCGCCACTTGTCGCGGATGTCGCCGTCCGAGCGCCCGCTCTCCTTGAGCGTGGGACAGTTGTCGCGGATCACGGCCCACTCGCGGCCGTAGCGCCGGACGCCGCGCTTGACGGCCTGCTCCTCGTCGGCCGTCCAGAACTGGCGCGTCTTATATACCGAGTCCTTGGCAGCCCGGCTTCGGCGCCTTCGACGTCTGCGGCCGCCGCCCGAACCTCTACATTTGAACCGGTGCATCCCGCGCGGATACCAGGGTATCGTTTTAGATCTACTATAAAGAATCCACTCCAGAGCGCTCCAGCCCTCAAAGCTCGTCGGCTGCTCCCCAAAATGCACTTCCCGCCACGCTAATGTGGCTGCGTCCAGCACGTGAGGGCTGAAGTTGATCACCAAACCATCCGGTGGTTTTTCCGGCTCTATGCAGTCGCGGCTCAGGAGGTCGGAAACGGTTGTATCGACGTTGCGTTTTTCGAGGTCAAATGCTAAGTAGTTGAGTATTTTGTGCGTGTCCGCATCGAAAGGAGCCCCTTGGACCACAGCAACCAAAGCTTCGCCTAGATTGTACAACATAGACACGGGGTCCTGCACTAGGAGCGACCTTTTCTTCCGCTTGCCCACGTCGATGGCCCTCGGCGCATCGTCCTCGTCGTCGGCGTCGTAGCCCGCGTTGATGGCCATCGGTGCGATGGCCTTCGGCACGTCGTCCTCGTCGTCGGCGTCGTAGCCGCCCGTGTCGATGGCCGTCGGTGCGTCGTCCTCGTCGTCGGCCTCGTCGGCGGCATCATCGGCCTCGTCGTCCTCGTCGCTGTCTTCTACCGAGAAGTCATCGTCCGAGTCGTCTTCCTCGGCAACTGCCTCGTCAATGACGGCCTCGGCGTCCTCGTCGCTGTCGCTGTCGTGGAGCTGCGTGACCCGCTCCGTCAGCCTATCTTCGGTCGACTCCGCCTGGATCGGCGCGGGCGCGGCCGTGGCCATGGGCGCGTGCAAGGCGTCGGGAGCTCGCGACGACGGCGACGCGTGCGACTTAGCGTCTACGTGTGGTGCCGCTACTACGGCGGCAGCGCTGTTGCTCCGCGGAGGCTTTCAACAGCACGCCTGGGCAAAGCAGCCTAGACAGTGCGGCAGTGAGATGGCGCAGTAGCGCTGCCGAGAGACGGCGTCGTTGTTTCCAGAGTGAGTTCACAGTCGTGCTAGAGCACTGATCAATTATTACAGCCTGGCGTTGCGCACACGGCCCGTTTTAAGCTCTCAAAAACCAAAATGCGGCGTTGCTCATTTTGGTTTCTCCCACTCCGCTAGGCACAGGCTGAGGTCCACCAGCGCGTGGCCGGCCCGAGCGAAGGGTCGTCGTCGGAAACCGAGCTCTATATGGCGGGTTTCCAACGTTGTGCGCGGGTTTCGACAAGCAGGCTAGTGAGGTGTGAGCATCATTCTAAACTCCACTCTCCAACTCCACACTTAAAACAAAACACCTAACTTACTCGACAAACTTCCAGTCGATCACGATGGACCAATGGCACCCGACGGTCGGGTTGACCCGGTGCGCCACGGCGAGGAAGCGGCCGATGGCCCAGCCGCCCATGGCATAGACGTCGCCGCCGTACGTCTCGCCATGGTGCACCACGATGTCGCCCAGGTAATCCCAGGCAGCCTTCATCCCCTCCAAACCATGGAAAGAGCCGCGGCCCAAGCCCCGCGTTTCCCACTCCCTGTCACGGACCAGCCCAAAAGAGACGCACTTCGGCACGTATGCGGGCGTCCCGTATGCCAACATGAGACATGTGATCGTCCGCAAATCGAAGCGCGCCCCGTCGCCGTGCAGGGCGGTATCGCCGTCGTTGAGCGTGCTGATCGCAGTCGCGCCACTGACCTCGACCTCGCGGCCGCAGCGCCGCGAGATGTAAGCCCGGAGCTCTTCGACAAAAGCGACGAGCTTCTGAGCATTACCATCTGTTTTGGCGAGCTCCTGGACCGCTTCCCAACAGCACTGCCGTCTTCCGAGGCCCGGCCTGGGTTTGCCGCCGCCGCCGATGTCGTAAATAGTTCGCAAACTCCGTCCAAAGATACCATGGTCCATACGCTGGGCCACTTTATTCCTATCACGCTTGAACACGCTATCCCCCGATACAATATCGGGCATGGCTTCATGCAGCAACAGTGACCTTTCGAGTACCTCCATAAGCTGCGTGTAAGTCAGATCGAGCCTCGGCGCAGGATTGACCTTATTTAAAACGCGAAGCCCCGCAACACCCAGAAGAGACGCCACTCCGGCAGCCATGAACGAGCCAGCAAGCCACCGCAGCAAGACGAGGCAGAAAAGGAACTTGGGCCCAGTGCGGCGGATCGACTTCGGCGGGAACATCGCGGCTTGGACGCTGTACGGATGGAGGAGCTCGTAGACGCCCTCCGCCCACCGATTGTCGTCGCTTAACACGCGCGGGCGCGCCGAGCAGGCCTCGTTGGCTGCCGACGCCGGCGGCGCGGCGGGCGCCGGCGGCGCGGCGGGCGCCGCGGCGACGCCGTTCGCGTGGTGCTGCTGAGGCTGGGCAGACCTGCAGTAGCAAGGAGATCAGAGCCGTGGCTAGGGCGCGCGCGTAAGCGGTTGACGAGCTTGGTCTGTTGGCGCGGCGGAGGCTTGCGCGCTGTGCGCGTGGCCTCGCCGGCCGCTGGGGGCCGGTCTGGCACCGCGCTGGGGCGGCGCTCTCATTTGTTTTGTGGCGAGCCGCTATTTTGATGAGCGCTCTCGAGTAGTTTGGATACGGACGCGGCCTGCGCGCATCTTGACCTCCGCTTGGCTTGGCTCGTTGGTCGCGTGTAGTCGAGCGCGCGTTTGGTTTTTCCAAAAACTTTGCTAGTGGCCTTACGACACTAGCAACCTCTATACGCCCTTGACCCTCCGGCGCTCGTCTCGTAATGGTTCCTCTGAACTTCTCTAGTTTCCCGCCCGAAACCCCGAATTGACATACTACTACAGATTTATAAACGCTCACAAGACAAGGCGCCGCGGGACGTCCGCGCCGGCCAGGATTGGAACCCTGGCGGTCGAACCTCCCGGACGTCCTGTTCTGGAAGATCCTCGAGCTCTGGCGCACGGACCGCGATCCCTAGTTTGTGTAGTTGTATCGAAGCTAGCTCTATGTACGCGTACATTACTTACCCCCCTTTTTCCGAAAAGCAACCATCTCCGCGGAGAACTCCGGCGCCGGCCGTGCCGAAAACGAGTCGACGGCTTTGCAGAGAGCGGGCTCGGCCACCCGCCACCGCGCGGCCGTGCTCCCGGCGACCAAGATGAAGACGTCGTCGCCGCCGACCTGGATCGCGCGCGCGCGTACCCGTCGTGCGACCTCGCGCATCGCCTGCGTCGTATTCGCGGTCTTCTCGCGTTTCTCGTCTCGACGCCGTCGACGCGACGCGGCCCCGCCTCGACGCCATCGACGCGATGCGGCACCGCCTCGACGCCGTCGACGCGACGGCCGCGTCGCGTTCAAGTGCGGACGCCGCGCCGCGCCGGCGTCAGCGCCACGAAGGTGTACTCGAAGACCTCGTCGCCGTCGCCGCGGTTTTCGGACTTCGCGAGGCGCACGTCGGCCGGCGCCCCGTAGGAGCCGTACTTGCCGTCGGCGGCGAAGATTTTGTCCGAGACGACCTTCTTGAGCGGACCCTTCGCGGCAGCGACGAGGACGTAGGCGCCGTCGCCGGTTTGGTAGTCGCGCGAGACCTGCGTCATCGCCGCGTCGACGGCGTGCGGACGAGACGATCCAACCCCCTACGCCATCGCCGCCTGGGCTGTCCCAACTCTCCCCGCGGACGCCATCGCCGCCACGCAAGCTGAACGCCATCGCCGCGACAGACACGGCGCGACACCAGACCGGGCGTCGTGGGAAAGGGCGCGTCGAAGGCCACGTCGACGGGCAGGCCCTTGCGCCCCGCGAGGCGCGCCGCGACGGGGCCCGCGGGCGTCGTCTTCGGTCGCTCGTCGTCGACGGCGCCGGCCGCGGTTTTGACGCCCGTGTTTGGCTTCGTTTTCGTAAGGCCGCCGGCGCCGCCCTCGAAGACCAGACCGCTCTGGTAGGACTTGGCATTGGCCGGCGCGGCGAGCGACGCGAGCGCGGCGAGGGCGCTCCTCCGCTCGACGGTTTTTGGGGCGAGGCTGGCGCAGCGCTGCAAGACTGCTGCGATGATGATGCAGACGTGGCGAATCATTCCAGGCGTAATGCGATCTTTGATGGCAGTGTGGCAGTGCCTTTGTGTGGGCTGGGCTTTGGCGGCGAACTGCTGCTGTAGCTCGATGCGTGCGATCTGTTTGGAGATTATATCGAGCGCTGCGGTTGTTAAATGATCGGTTTGGCCCGCTGGACTCTAATAGCGCGAACCCGTCGGGTGTCTGCACTCACAGTGCTCAGGCTAAAGCAGCTGAGCGCACAGCCGTAAAGACCACACGCGTGCCGCGGCCGCGTCATTTTGTATCGCGATGATCCCGCTACGCCCAGAGCTATTCGAGTTTGCGGAGCCCCAATCGGTGTGCCGATTGAGCTGCACCTGCAAGACCCTGCGCAGCGACGTGCGGGACGCCAAGCCGTGGGGGCTGCTCGCGCGAGCACAGCTGCAGCCGCCGAAACCGCGCGACGAGGCTGACGCGCTCGCGCGCGTCCGGTCGCACGCCCGCCGGCGCTTGCTCGCGAAGGCTGAGCCGTCGACGCGACGCGTCCTCGAGGGCGTGACGCTGCTGGAAGCTCTATCGCGGCCGGCGCCGGCGCCCGTCGCGTATACTCCAAATGAACTATCTGATTTCACGTTCTTCCTGCGCTTCACGGACGGCGAGCGTTTGATTTTCGAGGGTGACTTCGGTGTGAGCCACGTGAGCCACCAATCTGATGAAGAGGGACTAGTGTTGCATCTTTCTCCGCGCCACGCGAACTTGAAATGGATGGGCAGGGCTGATGAGCTGCAGCAAGAGCATGTCAAAATTGCCCTGGTCGCGGTTCGAGACCACGACCAGGCGATGGTCTCACTCAGCCACTTGAACATATGCTATGCTGCCCACGGTCGAGAAAGAATATACGGTTTCAGTGTTTTCGGTGTAATAAGGGGGTTGGCTGCATCCGCACGGTCTAACTTGCAATTGGATGCGCTTCTCTCTGTCACACAAGACGGATATGTGAATGGACTCGAGCTCAGACCAGAGCATCATGTTGACACGCACGGAGCGATGGAGGCCGACGACATCGGCCCCTGCGATGAGTCTCTATTTCAATACTTGCTCACCTATCTCGCCGGGATTCACAACCCCACCGCGCGCGCATTTGTCTTGGCGAGAATCGAGAGCTTGCTCGTGGAGGCCGAGCGGGAAATGGGCTGGGGCGATTTGCAGAGGCTGGCGGCGGACCTTGCGGAGATGGAGGAGAAAATTGGCGAGGGGTACTCGGGCTACGTTTCCCAGGCGAAAGCCCTGCGCGTGGAGCTGGGTATGGACGTCACCAGTGACGAGGAGTAAATTTTTGTTCACGTTCACTTAACACAAGCTAGAGCAGGTCGTCGTCGGACACGTCGTCGTCGGCCGGCGCGGTCCGCGTTGTATCAGCCGCCGGCGCCGGCATAAGCCGCAGCGCGCGCCGCCTCGCTCCGGCGCGGAACGCCGCTCGCGCGTCTCGCAATTCGTCCTCAATCTTCATTGTGATTCGGTGCGAACAACCGAAAACGCGCCGTGTCTCTAGTAACGAACCCTCGATACATAAGGTAGCCTCGTAGAGATCGTCCAGCGTGGTGCCGGGGTCCCGACGCCGCTGTCGATGTCGCTCCATCGAGCAATAGAGGAAGTCTAATAATTGGCCCCGCTTGTCTCGCGCCTGTTTCTCCTGCAGTTCGGCATCAGCCGCAGCGCGCGCCGCCTCGCTCCGGGCATCAGCCGCAGCGCGCGCCGCCTCGCTCCGCGCGCGGCGCGCTGGCGCAAGCTGGGCATCGCGGGCACGCTTGGCAGATGACTCCAGTGCTGCGGTTGTGAGGGCGCGACCCGGGAATAGCCGTTGGAGCTCGAGCGCGTCGTGAGATAAGCTTTCCGTCAGGGCCGCGCGCACGTCCATCATACGTGCCTCGGCGTCGTAGCGCTCCACGAGGACGCCGTAGAGCCGCGTCCGCACGTCTTCTTCGCTGTGCAGCGCGATGCGAGCGAGCCACCGCGCCGCCGTTCCTCGGACGCCTTGCGACGAGTCCTCGCGTAGAGCGAGCAACAGGTAGGGCTCCGCGGCGCTGCCGAGCAATCGCGCCTGCAGCTCCAACGCCGCGAGTCGTCGCTTGCCCTTCTTGTTATATTTCGGGATGCTCCGCAGCAAGCCGACCGTCACGCCCGCCTTCTGCACGAAGGTTCGACCGACCGCCTTCAGTGAAGGGTAGTCCCCGGGCGTCAAAAAAGCGCCGGCGTGTTCGAGCGCGTGGTGGGTGCTTGCTAGGGTTGTGTGCTTCATGAGTGGATTGGGCTCAAATGACCTTGTCCAAAGCCCGCGACGCAGCAGTCTGCTCACGGCGCTGTGACGTGTCGTCGTGACGACTGCTGCGACGTCCAGAAATGCCGCAGAGATTGTTACAGGCTCCGCTCACCGCTCCCCAGCCTGGATGCCTGCCTGCCAGCCCCAGCCCAGCCCTGGCAGAGAGCCTCTCGCCGGGCTTCGCTCAGCCAGGAAATGCGGAATGCCGTGGGACCTGTGGACGCGTCCTATTTCGGCTCACTTAACAACACAAGCTAGAGTAGGTCGTCGTCGGACACGTCGTCGTGGGCCGGCGCGGTCCGCGTTGTATCAGCCGCCGGCACCGGCTCGGCCGCAGCGACCGGCGGTTCCGACGACGGCGCGGCGACGTCGACGGCGAACACGTCCGGTCCGAAGTCGTCGTCGACGGGTTTGGGCGGCGCGGGCGCGGGCGCGGGCGCGGCGGGCGGCGCCGGCGCGGGCGTCGCGGCGAGCGTGGGGATCATCGGCGCGACGGCGGGGCCCAGGTCCTGCTCTGATTTCGGAGGGTCCCAGTCGTGGAGCTTGCGGCGCCACGCGCGGACGATCCCGTCAAATTGGCGCTTCGAGTACTTGCGCGTCGGGTCGGGCGTCGGCGGGTGGTCGCGGGGGTGGCGCCGCTTCTCTTTCGGCACCAGTCGTAGGTAGCGCTCGTAGCCTAGCGTGTTTTTTCCGTAGGCTATTTCTTTTCGCCGCTGGGAGAGGCGGCGCGGGTCCGTCTCTCTTTCATTGTGCTGCATGCGCGGGCCGCGCGGCTGCGGCGGCTGTTCGTGGCGGCTGCGGGCGGCGCCGCGCGGTGATGCCGCGCTGCGCTCGCGCGAGCGCGAGCGGCTGCGGGAGCGCCTTTGCATGGGCTGGCGGTCGAGGTAGTAGGGCTCCATTTGGATGCGGTGGAGGGTTCAGGTCTGGTTAGTTTTTGAAATTATGCTGCTTTGCGCTTTTTTTGTGGAGGTGTTAGGTCATGGGCCGACAGCGGGTCACTTCGGCTGGGTCAATTCGCGAAAGCGGGTTTTTCCTCTAGAGTGTACTTCTGCAACAAATCACCGATCTCGTCCCATCGATGTCTATCGATAAAATTCCGATGTGGTGAACGGTAAAGTCTTACTTGCCGTCCATAATAGGTGTAAAATCGTGAAAACCCGATTTTACTGCTGTTAGCATTGGTGCCTCAGAATTTTAAAAAATTCGGCTCTTCACGCACTAGACCGGGGTTCGAGTCCCCGCTTCGGAATTTTTTTTGCTGTTTTTTTGGGCCTCGTCGCCATTTGCTAACGACAGGGGGTTTTGGGGGGCACGGGACAGGGTCGCGTACGCGGTGGCCTCGAAACCGGCACGAGCACAGTGTTCGAGCGTGCCTCGGCTATCTACGAGCACCCAACTGGCAAGCATCGATATCCAACGCCACGAGGCGCCTCACGTCCTTGTCCGCCCTCTTGCGCTTCTCGCGCCGTCGCTCAAGACACGGCCCGCGCGCAACGTCGCCTCTTGCGCGTCGCTAAAGTCAGCTGCGGTCTTCGACGCCACCGTGCAGCTCCATCATCACACCATCGAGCAGGCAACGTCGCGCGACGACGACGGGCAGCCTGCAGCCCAGGCTCAGCAGCAGCAGAGCAGCAAAAGAGCAGGGCAGCCAGACACGGCAGATCACCTGACGCTGCTTTTCGGGCAGCACGACGGGCCTGCCACTTTGAGTAGCCTGCGGTACGTTGCTTTTTCGGCAGGACAAAAAGTCGGCCGCAGCTTCCTACAAAAAATAATGTAAAGAAGTAAGATTAGTAGTAAAATTCGATCTTAATCGGGCAGAATCGTACCTGTGCGGCCACGCCGAGGTGCTGGGAGGCTGGGGACGGTCAAGGCGGAGAGGTGGCGCTTGGTTGTTGGCTTCGAGCGCCCGGAGAAGCCTGGCTTTGCTTTCGATTCCGCCGAGCGGCCGACCCGAGCCCGCCGACTCCAACGTCGTCCGCCGTACGGACACGTGATGCGCGCCGATGCTGCCGAGGTGTGCGGGCTATGAGCGGCGGCCCTCCCCGCGCACCATCGACGCGGCGCCGCCCAGCGTCGTCCCTATTCGCCGGCGCAGTCGAGACGACCGCCCGGCGTCGTTAAACGGTACGCCTTGGCAGCGTCATCTTGCCTAGTAGTAGTCCAGGTCCCGATCAAAGGTGCCTCAAAGCGGAATAAGGAGAGAACTCGAAACGCCTCCAACGTTGGCCCGGTTCCGTACGCGACGTCGAGACGACCCCGCGGCGTCGCGACCTAGTACGCGTTGGCCGCGTAACCTCGCCAGAGGCGTACTTCGGGCCTCCCTGGAAAGCGGCGTAAAGCGGCGCACCGCGTCGAGGCGAAACTGCCTTGACGTTGGCCCGTGGTTCCGTACTCGACGCGACGTCGAGACTGCAGCGCGGCCTCTGGAGCGTCGACTGAAGTGCCGTCGAGCAAACGGAGCAGCACCGGCTGTCGGCTGCACGTCAATGGCAGCGAGAACCAGGCGCTCGCGAGCACGACGGCACGTACGCGAGCTGCACCTTACGTGCCATAATCGCCGCCTGCGCGCTCGGTGCCACGCGCTGCGCCTTCGAGAGCGGAAACAGACCCTTCCAGGTGTGCCACTCGGTGCGTCAGAGCCTCGCTAGTGCGGGCGACCCTCCTGCCCTTCGGCGCTGATCGGTTTGGCCGTACGGCGCCATAATCGCCGCCGGCGCGCTCGCCTCGACGGCGTCGTCGATAACAGGCCACGTTGACTTCGTTTCGCGTTCCCGCTCCTTATAGTTGCTCACTGCATGCGGGAGCAGCCTAGGGCGAAGTTACGCCACCAACGAGTACTGTTCCATGAAACAAAGCGGTCGTCACTACGTCGCGCACTGAACGGGGCCAACGTCAAGGCCGTTTCGCATCGACGCGGTTCCCTGCTCTATTCCGCTTTCCAGGGAGGCCCGAAGGACGCCTCAGGCGAGGTCACGAGTCCAACGCGTACTATATCACGACGCAGCGGGTCGTCTCGACGTCGCGCACTGAACGGGGCCAAGGCGAACGCAGCTGCGACAGTGCCAACGTGACATCGTTTCGTCACCTACAGCACCGCTACTAATAGTGCAGCATATCCTGATCCTTCGTCGGCGGCCAAACGGATTCATTGGTGCCTTCCGATCGCGCGCGGGCGCCGTCCGGCGAACGCCGCCGCGACGGTGCTGACGTGACGATGCGGTGGGACTTACGACCCCGCAACAGGTTGTGCGGCATGCCTAGATCCTTCTGCACTACTCAAACATGTTTATCGGAACACTTGGACCACCCACCGATGCCGACCGGCGGACCTCGGGTCGCGCCGATCGGGCCGAGGCGACGTCGTGATCGTTGGACCGTGTTTCTCGCATATCTCAAGCCTTCCTCGTGCCTCGTACAAGTTCATCAGTACACGTAGACCGCCCGGCGTCGCGAGAGCGGTCGACGGTCGCCCGCGAGATCCGGATTGGCGCCGATGCGACAAGTTAATAGGGTTTCAGTACGTGACAAGCGTTGTGATGATCGTCTAAATTCGTGAAACGCGCCTTGTCGGTCGCAGCCAAAGACCACCGTGGCAGCCAGTCGTTCCGCAAGACCTCGCTCTGCTGCACCGCATCACATTTGTCCAAATCCGCGGCTGCAGGCGCTAGGGTGCACAGGAAGCTCAGCCGCCAAGGCTCAGGCGACAACTTCTCTTCGTCGGCGCGCACAGGCACAATAATGCTCTCAGCCCCGAACTCAAGCATTGCTAGTGTCTTACGCCACGGTAGCGCAGCATAATAGACGCAAAAAGCTCGGCTGCAGCCCGCTCCCGTCGACACCACTGGTCCTCGCGCAACTGTATGATCGTGAAGCCGTGTGCTCGTTGACAGCGCGCAGCCGTCTGCACCAGTAGCTCAGCGTCTGGCACCAGTAGCCACCGGAGAGCCACAGGCGGCGCAAAGCCACAGCGACCAAAGAAACCAAATATGGCAGCCATGACAACGAGCCAGCCGACCAACCCTCTGGTCGGCCCGCTCCTGACGGACTTTTACCAGATCAGTATGGCCTATTCGTACTGGCGGCATAAGAGACATGAAGTGGAAGGTGTCTTCGAGCTCTACTTCCGGCAGAACCCGTTTGGGGGCGAGTTCACGGTTTTTGCTGGCCTCGACGAGTGCATTCGTTATCTAGAGTCGTTCAGAGTAACAGACACTGATATCGCGTACCTCCGAACACTATTACCGAGAGCGGAGCCCGGCTTCTTCGACTGGCTCCGCGCGTTAGATGCGTCGGACGTGACCGTGCACGCGGTCCGCGAGGGCACCGTCGTCTTCCCGAAGTGCCCCTTGCTGCGCGTGCACGGGCCTATTGGTCTTGCGCAGCTGCTCGAGACTTCCCTACTAAATCTCGTGAACTTCGCTTCCTTGGTGACGACGAACGCTGCTAGAATGAGATTGGCCGCGGGGCCCGACTGCAGACTGCTGGAGTTCGGTTTACGACGGGCCCAGGGGCCGGACGGCGGCGTGTCCGTGCGGCTTCCGTGTCATAGTGGAATCGCGGCGATGGCGTCATGACGCGACGCGCGCGCAGGCCTCGAGATATGCATTTGTGGGCGGCTTCGACGGGACCTCCAACGTCCTCGCGGGCAAGATTTTTAGGGATCTCCCGGTCTCGGGCACGCACGGCCACAGCTACGTCCAGGCGCACCGATCGCGCGAGGACCTCCCCGCAATTGCTGTGTGGAAATCAACCAGTGCGACGGGTGCACCCGACAATTCTTCACTAAGTCATTTCTCGGCGATGACGTGGCCGCGCTGGCTCCGTCGAGCGGTGAGGAACGAGGACCACCACGTCATCGAGCAGGCGTCGCGTCGATGGCGTGGAGGACGACGCGACGATTCAGCACGAACGCGTCGTAAAATTTGATGTCCACACAGGCCGACTGTATCTTAAATGGCGTCGACATCGCGGAAGCGGCGCTCCAGTGGCGCGGCGAGCTCGGCTACGAGGAGGGCGCGGCTCTGCACGAGGGCGAGTTCGCGGCCTTCGTGTCCTACGCGCTCGCGAACCCCACAACGTTTGTCGCGTTGGTCGATACGTATAGCGTGCTCGATACCGGTCTCAGGAACTTCGTGACCGTGGCACTGGCCCTGGCGGTGCGGACTCGGCGTGAAATTGCGCGCGACGAACCTCGGGGACACGCCATCGAACCGACGCGAGCACCCGAGAGATAAACGCACGGATGCAAAACTCACAAAAAAACACACAGGAGGCGGGCTTCGAGGCCAAGGGTGTCAGAATAGACTCGGGCGACCTCGCCTACCTCTCGAAGGAGGCTCGACAACTTTTTGACCGGACCGCCGACGACCTCGACGCGGGGACGTACGGCGCCGGCCGCGGCTCATTAGCCGAAAGCCTGCGGAAGTGCTATGTGGTCGCGTCGAACGACATCAACGAACGCGTCTTGTTATCGTTGCGGGACCAGGGCGCGAAGGTCGACGCGTACGGCATCGGCACCCACCTCGTGACGTGCCAGGCGCAGCCCGCCTTGGGCTGCGTCTACAAGCTCGTGGAGATCTCGGGCGAGCCATGCCTCAAGCTCAGCCAGGAGCCCGGCAAGACGACGATCCCCGGCGCTAAGGCCTGCTACCGCCTCGTCGGCGCGCGGGGCCAGATGCTCCTCGACTTGCTCGTGCCGGCGGCCCACGCAGCTCCGGAAGTCGGCGAGCGCGTGCTCTGCCGCCACCCCTTCGACTCGTCGAAGCGCGCGTACGTGACGCCGAGCCGCGTCCTCGAGCTCCACGCGCCCGTCTTCGAGGGCGGGCGCCGCGTCGGCGCGTCGGAAAATTTACGGGAGCTGCGGGCCTACTGCCAGCGCCAGCTCGGCGAGGTCCGCGAGGACGTGCTCCGGCCGCTGAACCCGACGCCGTACAAGACGTCGGTGTCCGCGGAGCTGTTCTCCTTTCTGCAGGACGCGCTCCAGCGGCACCAGCCCATCACGGAACTAACGTAGGATGTGTTACTAGCTCGTGTGTACTGCGAGGCCACACGGGCCGAGTGGAGCGATTCCCGCGCGAGGCGGGAGGTTATCGTCCCGCGGCCGCGTCTACTCCTTAGGGGCCGCCGCGACCGGCGTCACCATGAAGAAGCGTTCCAGCAGCAAGGGAGCGGGCTCCGCTTCGGTCGCGCGCTCGCGCCGGAGCTCCTCGCGGCGGAACGACGGCGCGCGGGATCGGAAGGCCGGCACGGGCTTGGCATCAATCTCCGCATCCGCCCTCGCGTCGTCGCGCAGCTTTTGGCGTTCCCAGCCGAGGTTAAAGCCCAAACCCATGGCGGACCTGCGAGGCGGCTCTGGCGTGAGTACGTCGCGTCGTTGCGCGAGGTTGTGCCCGTCGATTTATGATGGAAAGCGGCGCCCGAGGAGTGAGGGCGCCGCCGCGCGTGGCCCGGGATCCGCGATTAAATCCGCGATTCTGTACCAGGCACTCAAGTTTTTCAGGTCTAGGCCGCTCGCGTGCAATTCTCTTGTGCGCTCGCCTCATTATATCTCTTGATAGACTCTCAGACGCAGGTTAAGTGCAGAATTTGAGATAAGCACAGGCGCAACTCAATTCTGCCTGTGAAACCTGTTTTGGGGCACGGACATCGAGCCTGCCGCCGCCACTTTTCCCGCGCGAGACTCAAACTCTGGACCGTTAATTGCGCGGAGACCAGGCCCCAGTGAGTTTTGCGCCATCGCGGCGCGGCCGGGGCCGGCGCGTCTCGCGATCGCAGGTCGGGGTCCAAACACGGCGGATCACCGCTCCGGCACCCCGTCCTAGGATATTCAAGGCTGCGCGTCGGCGACATGCGCAGAACATTCTCCAACCCCGCACGCCAAAATGATCCCTGCGAGCTGCTGCTGGGAGAGGGGCTGCCATACAATCGCACGCCAAGCGCCAAAAATTCTTCTGCGGCGTGCAATCGGCTTCCAAGCTCCGGCGCTCGCTGCCTCCCAGCCAAAAGACGGTGAACGGGCACTACGATGCCGAAGAAAGGTGATACCATTAACAGGAATAGCAAAAAATCGCAAAAGAAACAACAGAAGAAATATAACGTATACTCACAAAAAACCGTGCGAATAAAAGAAGCGTTGCGTGAGACAAAGTAGCCATGGCGACGTCGCTGCCCGCCGCGCGCCACCTGGCCCGCCTCGTCGGCACGTCCGACAGCCGCAAGGCGCTGCGCGTCGGCGCGCAGATCTACATCAACTTCATGAGCCTCACGCGGCGCTCGGGCTGGCTCCAGGGCCACATCTCGAAGCAGGCCGCGCGCGACCCGATCAAAGCCGACCAAGCGCGCCGCGCGCTGCTGACGGCCGCCGAGCGGCACCTCACGTTCGCCGACCTGTTTTCGGGGAAGGGGGCGCTGCGCCGCGACGTGCCGCGGGCGGTGCCGACGCGCGACACCTCCGTCGTGTGGTGCGCGGACCTGCTGCGGCCGCAGGGTTCGATCGCCGGCCGCCTGGAGGACCCCAGCTTGCACCATCGCGGCGCGCCCTACTCCCCCAGCACTCTTGACCAGCGTCCTTTCTGCCTTCGCGGCGACGGCGTGGTGGGGTAGAGAGAAAGAAACCGCAACAACGCCAGGCCAAGAACGCCACAAAAAACGCAGGCACGGCGTGGTACGACCACCAGCAGCACCGGCTACTGCAGAGCGGCGCGCGGTTCGAGCAGGCGACGAAGGCGCGAGGCTGGCTGCGGACGCCGGAGCAGGGCGCGCGGGCGACGACGGCCCTCCGCCGCTTCGACGCCGACGGCTCGGGCATCGTGACGGCGGGCGAGCGCGACCTCGCGCTGTCCAGCTGGCAGGCGGACTACGACGCGACGGCGCGCGCATTTGAACGAAGCACGGGCACGAGGTACAGACATCCGCCGGGTACGTTGCCCACCGAACCCGAGCGGCTCCACTCGTGGGCGACCTGGTGGGCCGACCTGCAAGCCCGGGTCGGCATCACGCCGCCGCAAAAGCAGACCGCCGACCGCCCGGCGAAGGCGGCGAAGCTGGCGGACGCGGTGGCGTCGCAGGCGAGCTTCGTCGGGCGCGTCCTCGCCCTCGGCCCGCGCATCATTACGGACGCCTGGATCGACCGGGCCATCACGCGCTACGGACAGTTCCTCGAGCTCGCGCGCAAGGACCCCGGCGCGACGCTCGTGCCGACGCTCGACATTGATTTAATCTGGCACGTGCACATGCTCTCGCCGCGCGACTACCGCGACGATTGTGAGCAGATGCTGGGGCGGCTGCTGACGCACGACGATCAAAAAAGTGATAAGGAGCTCGCCGGCGCCTTCGAGGCGACGTCGGGGAAGTGGGCCGAGATGCACGCCACGCCCTACGTGTGGCGCGCCAACCACGTGGACCATCGCTACTACGCGTTCTGCGGCTCGTGCGGCTCTGTGTGGAAATCAACCAGTGCGTCGGGTGCACGGTCGAGCGGCGAGGAACCGGCATCGCCACGCCATCGAGCAGACGTCGCGTCGATGGCGTGGAGGACGACGCGACGATTCGGCACGAACGCGACGTAAAATTTTGATTTCCACACAGGTGCGGCTGGGGCGAGGAACTTTTTCATAGCAATCTCGGGCACCGCGAGGTCGAAGCGACGCAGGTCGAGGCCATCTACGGACACTCCGACGCCGACGGCGGGCTAGTGTCCGACGCCGACGGCGGGCTGGCCGAGCCCGAGCTGTGGGCGACGGACGCGCCGGCCGCCGACGCCGCGGAGGACCCGTGGGCGGCGCCGGCCTCCGCGACGGACTCGGAGGACTACTGGTACAGTTCGTCGGACACCGGCGGCTCGGGCAGCTCGTGGGGCTGGGGCTCGTCGGACTCGTCGGACTCGTCGTGCTCGTCGTGCGGGGGTGGGTGTGGCGGCGACTAGGAATATAGGATTTTAAGCAGTTAGTGTGCTAGTTCGCCGACGAGACGATCAATTCTCAAGTCCGTACATGTAAGTCGTGTCATCTGGGCCAACGCTCCGCCCCCCGCTTCGCGGCAACTTCTTGGGCATCATAAACTCCTTGGTGTAAATCCATATATTCCGTGCCACTCCGAACGCCCGAGGCCCCCCGTTTCGCCCGAGGCCGTATTTCCGGTAGTACGACGTCTCCTTGTCCCACCACAGGGGCTGGGCGACCCAATGAACAAGGCTGAAGACGATCAGCGGCGGCATCAGGCCAAACGTGACGTGCAGGCCCAGCACGACCGCGATCTTGAAGAGCGACTTTCGCATTCTATCCTCCATGAAGCTGATGTCCTGCACCACGACGGGCGACGTCGGCAGCCTTCGGGCGTACCGGAGCGCGGACGCGTACAGCGCGATCAGAATTGAATTTGCGACGGCGAAGAAGAGCCGGGCGGCGAGGACCACGCGAAGGCCGCAGTCCCGCGCGCGGATGCACCCGACGCGGCGGAACAATCCCAGCGTCGCGGCGACGACGCCGACGTCGACGGCGAGCTCGACCGCGAGCGGTTTAGGCTTCGTCGGCGGGAGGTCGACAGAGCCGCCGCGTGTCACGACGAGTCCTCGCGCCCTTCGAGGCGTCGCGAACGCGTCCGTCGTCGACCCTGTAGCTAGGACTCCTAGGAGGACCAGACTTGCAATTTTGATGAGAGCCATCGGTTTCGTGGGCGCCGAGCGTCGCGAGTCGACGAATGCGTGTCAATAAGTGCAATTACTACCGTTGATAACGGCTCAGCACGATCGGAGATAATGCTTAGCATTCCTAGTGTCTTACATGCCGCTAGCCTGGCCGGTATAGCCCAAATTCACAACGCCGTCCGTACATCGGCCTAAACGCCACAACGGCAGCCAAATATCGGCGCAAGCAGTACGTCTGCCGACGAATAGATCGGTTCGAAGGCTGAGGCCACGCGCTTTCGACGCTGCAGCGCGCTGGCCCTTTAAACCACCAGGCAGCGCCGCACAAAGACGATGCCCGGCAAAACTTTAAACGAGCGGGAACAGGCCGAGCTCAAGGAGGCCTTTGACTTGTTCGACCACGAGAAGTCCGGTAAATTAAACATTCATGAATTAAAAGTGTTGATGCGCGCATTGGGATTCCAAGTAAAAAAGCGCGACGTGGTCAAGTGCATCCACGACATTGAGCCGCAGAACGAGGGCCACGTCGACTTCTCGCTGTACGCGCAGATCATGGCCGAGAAGTATGCCTTAAGGGACCCGGAAGAGGAGATCCTGAAGGCGTTCCAGTTGTTCGACCACGACGGCTCCGGGAAAATTTCCCTCAAAAACATGCGCCACGTCGCCGCGGAGCTCGGGGAGGACCTCGCGGACGAGGAGCTGCAGGCGATGATCGAAGAATTTGATAGGGATCAGGACGGCGAGATCAGCCAGGAGGAGTTCCTGACGATCATGCGGAGCGCCTAAGTTTTTACTGTACTTTCTCTTTGTGGGGGGGCGCGGCGGCGGCGTGCCGGTGGTTGCGTTCTGTTCGGTGCTAGGACTAGTGGGCGGAGCCCGGGACGCGGGGGCGCGTCGCCGATTCATCCGCGGACCCTGTCTTTCATGGGCACTCACGTCTCTAAGCAGAGCCTCCCGAACAGTGCCAGTGGGCAATGTTCGCCCTGTCGATCAATGCTGGTGGGGCAGCAGCACGGGACCCAAACCCGGCGGACGCCATCGCCGCGACACCACACAAGCAAGAAGAAAAAACTTAGAGCCGCTGCGACGCCAATCTCGAACGTGGCCGCGTCGTACCCGCGGAAGAAGCCGTCCGCCGCCGCGGAATCGGCGACCGCACCAACGACCGCAGCGTCTCCGGCGGCAGCGCCTCGCCCAGCACGGACCGCTGGCCCGCCGCGATGAGATCCGACTCCCTAGCTATGAGCGAGCCGAACACGTCCGTACCTCTCGTACTTCCAGTGGAATGCGCCCGCAGGATATCCAGCGGCGCCGCTTGTTTATAAGACAACTCGGAAGGATCCTTCAACCCCATGGACGCGTTCATCTCGTACTTCTTGACACTGAAGGACTCGGCCGTAGGCGCTCGCGAGGTAGGCCTTCCCCTGATGGAACCAACAAGACTACCAGTATCTTCCACAACCTTCTTCGGCCGGATGATGATGGGCTCCACCGGTTCTATTTCTGGTAGTGGAGTATCTGCACCCACACCTATCTGAGTAAACCCATCACTCGAACCAGCACTCCAGATCGCGGCTTTTATGGCTCGATCAATATCTTTCACATCTTGCCTGAGGTTCTTCGCCTTCAACTCCAGATCAGTTAAAGCTACATTCTTGATGTTCTCGTTCTCGCTGCGCATGACCTCCAGCTCCTCGGCCTCCTTCTCCCGAGCCTGTACTGATTTTTTCACTTCTTTTTTAATAGCATTGACTCGAGCCTCCATCTGACTCATGTCGCGCTCGATGGCACTTAGTTCCGTGTTCTTGTCCTTCAATTTTTCGCTGATCTTCGCGATCCTCAAAGAACAAGCGTCCCTCCGGAAGAACGCGGCCATCTGCTGCGCCTCGATCTGCTCCATGGCCTTCACGATCGCGGCCTTCTGGGCCTCGTCGATCTTTTCCCCATCTTCTCCTTTGATGCCCGCGGCGAGTTTTTTTATGTTGGTAGGTTGCATGCCCTCCGGTCGCTTTTGTTTCGCGGCTCGTCGCCCGGCGTTCTGTGCTCTATCGGCGACCGGGTCGATGTTTCCCAGGCTCGACACGTAGGCGAGGTCGTGGACGTTCGTGATCTGCCCTCTCAATGGATGAGGGGGCATGCCCGGGGGGATTTCATTGGACATGGCTTTGATTGCTGCAGCCTTTTACTGGTGGTGATGGGGAGGCAGCCTCGCGGCGACGGCGTGGTTGGGAGGCAGCCTCGCGGCGACGGCGTGAATTTCCTGTGGTCGTACGCAGCCCAGAGGTGCTGTGGAGGAGGCTCCGCGGGCAGCACGGGCGCGCGCTGCAAAGGACAAGAGCTGCCTCTCGCAAGCGAGCCGATCGGGAGCTTAAATTGAAGCGCGCATGCAACCGAGCGAATACGCCACGCAGGAGTCCTCCCCGAGCGATCGAAAACGACGGACAAGAAACAGCTTACACGACGGGCTCCGCGGCCTGCGCCGCGGCGGCGACGGGTCCGGGCAGCGGGACGGCCATCGCGTACGGCTGGAAGTTTTCCTGCACGAAGGCGTCGACATCCTCGAGGTCGAACTCGTAATTTTTGGTACCATAACAATTGTCCCGGGCGCTCGTCTCCATGCGAAACCTCCGACCCGGGCCCGCCGTCACGATGCCGGCGCGCACGACGTCCGCGATGGCGAGCTGCCAGGCATCATTTAAGCCGGACGAAATCATGAACGCCTTCGCGGTGCGCTCGACACGCGTCACGGTGGCGGACGCAATTCCTATGAGTACGAAGGGAGCCCAGATGAAAATGAGGGGCCAGTACGTGCGGAGCAGGTAGACCAGCAGCGCGATGATGACGCCTGTGGCCAACGCTAAGCCTAACAGCACTGACGGCCGCCAAAACGTCTCCCGCAATTTGTATTCGCGTTGCACGCCCTCGACCACGACGAACGCGCCGCCCTCGACGTCCATCGGCACCGTTTCCCATCTATGACACAGGCCGTCTGCCATTGCTCGGTCTCCCTGCTGCACCAATCAATTTGGGCTCTCCGAAAACGCGCAAGCGCGCTAATTCTTCTCACGGCCTTATTCCGCTTTTGATGTACGTCAAACAAAGTCCTTAACTCCGGAAAACGACGAAAGCTTCCAGAGCTCCCGGATAATCCGCCCTAGCGGCCTGTAACACACTAGAAGCATGCAAAGCAGCACGAGACCACGGGCGTAAAAGTTACGCTGGGTTGCTCTGAGCACGGCGTAAGCTCCTCAAACACTGTCATCGCTCGTCGCACTGCTCAGTTTGCACCGCAAACGAGCACAGAGCGCGTAAAATACTGAGAGCACCAAGTTGAATACGCGCTGACAGCGTGCGCACACGCGCGCACCGTTGCTCCAATCGTACACAAAAGGCCGCCAGCTGCTGCGCATCGATCGAGCGAGCGCATTTCGCACCGCAAGCACTACAAAAAAAAAGAAAATGGCACAAAAACCAAACGTACTGATGCTCGGCACGGGTGAGTACACGACGGGCTGGGTCGGCAAAGCTTCCGATAGTGACAAGTCGACGGGCGTCGTCGCGTTGGTCATGTTGGATCTGAAACGCCGCAACAAAATAAATAACCTAGCGATGTGCGGCACGAGCGGCCCGAAGCTCCCGCAGATTCGAGAACACATGCGGAAGATGCTTGGAGCGTATGAAGGCATCGATCCCGGTGTAGTAAAGACGTTCCCCGCCGACGACGTGGTAGACCGCGAGGCCTACAAAGGAGCCATCAGTACGCTAAAGAAGGGCGACTGCGCCATCATCTTCACGCCCGACGACACCCACTTCCAGATTGCGGAGCACTGCATCAAAAACGGCATTCATGTCATGATAACGAAGCCTCCCGTCAAAACTTTAGAGGAACATAATAAACTCGCAGCATTGGCGAAAGAGCAGGGGGTGTTATGCTGCATCGAGGTCCATAAAAGGTACGATCCGATATATCGGGACGCGCGCGACCGGATCCAGCAGCTCGGCGCGTTTAGCTTCTTCCAGGCTTATATGTCGCAGCCGAAGCACCAGCTCGAGACGTTCAAGGTATGATGCGGCGTCCGGTTCCGCGCGTCGCGTCGACGGCGTCGGGGCGCGCGCGAGACAAAAAAACGACGCAGGCCTGGGCCGGCAAGTCTTCGGACATTTCTTATTATCTAAACTCGCACCACGTCGACTTCCACGAGTGGTGCTGTTCCGGGAACGCGCGACCGGAACGAGTGGTAGCCCTATCGTCAACAGGTGTCGCCCAAGCAAAATTAGGCCGGCCCTGCGAGGACACGATCACCTTGAGCGTCCAGTGGCGCACGCTAGCCACGAACGCCCTCGGCCACGCGTTGTACACGTCGAGCTGGGTCGCGCCCAAGGCCGACGTCCACAGCCAACAGCGGTGGTTCTACATGGGCCAGTCTGGGGAAGTGACCGTCGACCAGGCCCATAGGGGATATACGGTATGTACCGATTCCGGTGGATATGGGAGCGTGAACCCGCTCTTCTGGAAGCCGACGCCGTCCGACGGCAAATTCGTCGGCCAGGCCTGCTACGGTTATGTCTCGTTTGAGGCTTTCGTGGATGCGGCTACGTCGGTGAATTCTGGTGAGTTAACTCTCGACAGGTGCGACCGGGACCTGCCGACGATGGCGTCGACGGCCGGCGCGACGGCTATTTTGGAAGCGGGGAGGAGGTCCCTGGATGCCAATGGTGCGCCCTTCGACCTCATTTATCAGGACGACGCGTCTTGCACGCCCATTGATATGAAGCCTAGCGCGTTCTAAGTTCACAACAAGTTACTTATCGAACGCGATCCAGGACATGATAAAGTCCCAGCACGCGCCGAAGCCGTACATGTACGGCACCTGGAAGCGCAGGGGCACGTAGCGGAACATGACGAGCGACGCGGGCCCCCACATGGCGACGTCGACCGCGAGCGCCGTCGGGAAGTCCCGCCGGAGTTGGGATAGGGCCTCGTCGAGCGTCTGTCGCCGCCCTAAGATACCGGTCCAGGTCATGAGCGCCGGGATCTCGAAGCCCGGCGTCACCACGAAACAGTCGAGCGCCGCCTTCTGCACGTAGGCGCTCGGCGGGAGCCGCCGCGCGAGAAACGCGTACCAGTAGTGATAAATAATCGCCGACCAGCTGCCGTAGCTCATCATCGCCCCGAGGCGCCTCCCATCAAACGTGTCGGTGAAGGCGTACTGTGCGGCGCCGTCACCAACCGTGCACAGCGTACCTCCCACGGCGATGTTGCGGCCCAGCTCCAGCGCTTTGCGTCGCGCTGTCATCTTTTATGCCTTCAGAGCAGTGTCCTGTATGCGAGGCGCCGGCGCAGTGCTGGTCCGAGGAAGCCAGGAGCGCTTAGGCATGCTGTCAAAATGGCTGTAGCAAATCTTCTGGGCTACTGATATGAGCTATGCGCTGCGACAGGCCTGCCAAAAGGAGAAGCGCTGCGCGTAGCTAGCGGCCTGTAACACACTAGCAAGAGCGCTGTGCTCGGCGTTTTGGTTAAGCGAGGCTAGGCTAGGCTAGGCGTGTTCTCGGGCAGCCTGCAGTCCCCCCGAGGCAGCCCATAGAGCGATGCCCAGCACGTGACGCCATCGACACATAGGCTAGTTCCACAAAGGGCAGCCTCAGACGCGATCGACGCGGCAGCAAGGAGAGACCATGTTCGCGCGGGACTGGCGCGGCGTGGCCTCGGCGCCCGCAAATGTCGTAGCCGACCCCGTCAGATGCGTCTCGAACGCCGCGGGCGCCGCCGACGACGGCAGCGGCGTCGTCGCGGTCGTCGGTAAAGATAAGATAGGCCGATTAGTCGATTTGAGCGGCCTGAACGATGAGTTAGACGAGACCTTCGGCCACGACTTGCCCGAAGAACATACCTTCCATGAACCTTCAGCTGTCTGCCTCAGACAACTAAGAGAAGATCCAAACAAAGAACCCAAAGAAGAAGTGCAAGAACTGGATCTGTTCGCCAAGGCCAAGGGCAAGTACGGTTCACGAGCCCATTTAACCGCGAAGATGCCCGAGAGGTGCTGCGTCTCGGACGCGGGCCATCACGCCTGTTTCCTATTTGAACGTAAAAACGATAACTGGATTTACAAAGACACATTAGGAAGGATGGAGAGCGGCCACGAGCCCTACGAGCTCTGTCTACCGCGAGGCTGCGCCTGGGATAGTGATGATCAGGTCTATGTTTCCGATTGGGGCAACAACCGCATCCAAGTTTTTGATCTACCTAGCATGTCCACAAAGGAAGCCGAGGACTACTCGACCATGTCCCTGGCGCAGCTCAAACGGGCCGCCCGTCTCTCTAGTCGCGACTTTACGGGATGTGTAGAGAAGCAAGAATTTGTGGACATACTATCAGCACCATCATACAACGAGGCCTTCACTCTCAACACACAAGAACCGTACCAGCGAGGCTACGTCGTGAAGCACGACGACCGGAGCGACGAGCAGAAAGCTCAAGACGCGGCCGAGGAAGCTGAGAGGAAAAAGGCGGCGGCGGCGGCAGAAGCGGAACAAGAACGGAAGGAGCTCGCGCGCCTGCAGGAGATCGCGGATTATGGGGAACCAGGTTCTTCGGAAGAAGATTCGGAAGAAGATTCTGACGACGAGACGACGGCGGGGTCGCCCACGAAATCCAAGGCGTCGCCGGAGAAGCCCGTGGCTGGCCGTGTGGGAATCAATCGCGTCGATGGCGTGGAGGTCGACGCGAGCGTCGATGGCGTGGAGGGCGACGCAACGATTTGACACACACACAGGTCACGGGCCCCTGGCTCCTCAACAAGCCGAACGACGTCGCTGTCCGCCACCAGCCTGTTGGGTTGAGGAAGATGGGTCTCTCGGAGCGGGGCCGGTGTAAAAGGGCCTGGGAGCGCGACGCGCCGTTCTGGTACCTTGGAAGTATGTCTAGGAAGGAGGCGAATGACATCTTGATGAGTTTGAAACCGGGCGCGTGGCGTATTAGGGTAGAAGAACGTCGTACAGTGGAATTGGTGTTGTGTCACAAGAGCCCGGAAGGCGACACGATCTTACAGCATTCGATATTACCGGTAAACCCCCACAAATGGGTCGATGGACCGTTCCGGTCCATGGTCAACGGCAAACTAGCTTTGTTATACTACAAAGCTAGGGCACAACCAGGTGAAAGACCTCCTAATATTGATGCCAACGGTGATTATCTGTTGGAAGTCGTGGACTTGGATGAGATCCTCGAAGTGCTGTGCAGACAACACAACCTGTCCTATCCGTTGCGGGGCGATCCCTGGGGGGCTAGGCCTTACAGGACCATCGCCGTCGCTGACACCGGGAATAACCGAATAGCCCTCTTCCAGTACGCCTGCAAGCGCTTCGCTCTATGGAGAGCGAACTACCGCTACGCCCAGGAAGTCAAGGCGTCGAACGGGATCGTACTGAAGGAGCCCGGATCCGTGGCGTTCTCGCGCGACGGAGATTTAGTAGTAGGGGACGTCAAGGATGATGTCGACTGGACCGAGGCGGTAGGTGGTGATGTAAGGGCAGCAATAGAACAAAGGAAGAAGATTCCCGGGCGAGCTGTCGTACTGGGAGCGCCGTCGTACAAAGTTACTTGCGTGATCATATTACGGGCGGAACCGGTGCCGCCCCTGCCGCCACCGCCCTTAAAGGGGTGTGATGACTCGTTTGACCCTCGTCTCGCGAAGGACAACGACGTTTGTGTTGCGGGTGCGATCGGTGGAGCCGCCCCCATCGTGACGTTTTGGGGTGAGGGCGAGGACGTGACTGGACTCGCAAGGCCGCCGCGACTAGGTGTGGTCTGCCGAGGCAGTACGAAGTGGGGGCCTTGCGGGGCCTTGCAAGGGTGTATTATTCGAAGAGCTGGTGCCTTAGCTCGATTGCCCCAGGAGATCCTATACAAAGCCATAGAATACCAAGGGTTAATAGATGCGATGGGCTCCGTATCCTTGTGCAACTGGGCCTTGCGCAACGCCGCGCAGGAGTTGCGGAACGACTGGAAATTGGAACCACTCACTTCTACAGAGCTCAAAAAATGTAAAAGACTGTTCGCGAAATATGCTCGTCGTAAAGACGGGAAACTAGCGGTCTCGACGCGAGTAGAACCGTGGCTCCCGCCCGGCGTCATCGAGGTGAAGCGCTTGCAGAAATCACTGGAGCTGAACCAGAACACGTCGTACGCTTTACGAGAAATAGAAGAGAAAAGAAAGAATTTCCTCGAGCGAGGCGGCGATCTGGATTCACTAGATATGTTACAACGAAAGCAATGGAAGGCTAGAGCATTCGAGGGCGACCTGTCGGATGACGACGATACGGATACGAAGATAGGGTATGTGGACTTTTCACGAGGCACGTTCTGCGCCGTGGCCGAGGCGTACGGGTCCCAGTTCTGGTTTACGAGAAGAGGCGCCATCGCCGAGAATTTCTGCGAGATGGCTCGTGAGGTCGAGATCGAGGAACGGATTGATGCTGTCAGTAGGTGGGGCGAACGGGCCCGGTATCGCGATTCTGAGATTATTTTATCAAGATGTCTCGATGGGGACCAGTTCCTGGAGTTCTGGACGAGACTGCAAGAGAGTATCCATGGTGTTAGACCTTGGTACGAAAGCTCGAAGGATTCGCCGGGCGGGTTGCTGCTACGAGCGTTAGATGACGACACGGAGGCGGCCAACGTCGCGTTGGCGTCGACGTCGCCACATGCTTCCGATAAACAGTTAGTAGACGCCCACGTGGATGGCTATGATTTCCAAGCGTTAAATGGCGTCCAGGCCATCGACCGGTTGTTTCAAAGGGAGCTGCCTGTATCTGGCCCGGGGTCGTCGATTCCGACGCTACCTCTGCTCGAAGAGGCCGTGCCCGACGACATTGAAGCGTTGGCGCCGGCGCCGGCGCCGGCGCCTTCACGTAAACCGGGCGAGCGCCTCGCGGCGATGTCAGGACGGAAGGGCTTCGGGGCCGACTTCTTCGCGGCGGCCGGTCAAACTGTGAGAGATGAGTCCCCTCGATCACTATTGAAGAAACATAACGCGCAGCTGGCGAAGAAAGGGCTGGTGTGGCGCCTGTCCCAAGCGAAGACTGCGTCGGAAGCCGAACCACCGGCGCCGGCGCCGGCGCCCGCGGCCGAAGCGCCGCCGCCGCCGCCCGGTAAAACATCGTGGGACCGGCTCTTCGCGGCGACCGGGGCCTACGACGATGAACTCACGCCGAGGACCTTGTTGAAACAACACAACAGCACGCGCGGCTTCTCGTACGACTTTCCCGACGATATTTACAGTGACTACGAGGAGGATGAGATGTGGGTCGAGGGCGGAGGAACCGTGGGCGGAGAAACCGTGGGCAGCCGACAGACCATGGGCAGCCGAGGGAGCCTGGGCTCGCGAGGGAGCCTGGGCAGTCGCCGGAGCGGCAAGAGCCGCGCGGAGCGAATCGCCGAGCAGAAGGCCGAGCTCGAGCGCCAGCGCGCCGAGGCCAAGGCGAAGGCAGAACAAGCGCGCGTTGATCGTGAACTCATGCGCCAGCGCGTAGCAGAAGCCGGGGGGAAATGGCACGCGTTCAGAGAGGAGAACGGCTTCTTACGTAACGAAGAGAACTGGCGCGAGTTTATGTAGTAATGACAACAATATATTACAGTGCTAATTTCGTCTTGAGGTAGGCCTCCCGCGTCTCTTTGGAGGAGCGGACCTCGTTCCACTCGAAGTAGGGGATACTGATGACCTCCCAGCCTAGTATCTTCAGAAGCCTTCTTTTGAACGCCGTCGCGCCGTTGCATTGTATAGAACCAGTGGCGCCGCCCAGTAAGTAGTGGGTGGGGCCGTCGAACTCGACCGCGACCTTCATCGATGGTCTAGCCATGTCCAAGGACAAACCTTCGTCGGTGCGGTGCTCCTCGTCGTGATTCCAGCCTAAACCTGTCAACACGCGAGAAACTTCGTTTTGCGTCTGCGACGGCTCGACATCTTGGGAAACGAAGGCCTCCTTCAACTGTTGAGAGTGCTCCCCGAGCACGGGCACCAGCAACGAATCAGGTAATTCTCGAGACAGGTAGAGGTAGACCTGGTAGAGCTGCGCCCGGCCTTCCATGGATAGATCATCTAAATAAGAAGGTAGAACACCGGCAATGGCGCCGAATAATCTCGCATCTAAAGCGCCAGCAACACAAAAAGACCACGCGATGATATGTAAATCTACTGAACCAAAGGAACCGATCTTCCTTGCTGCCGCACGCGCCACAGCCTCATACAACAAGGGAGCATCGACACCGGCCGAAGCGTAGGAATAGGCCGTCGAGGCGAGTTCTTGCGGCGCCTGGTCCGGGATGCGTCGCAAGCCAGCTCGGACCAGAGACTCATATAAGGCAGGTTGGTACCGACCCTTGTAGGACCAAGCTATATTGGCCAATGCTTGTGCACTGAGAGCCCCAACCCGTTTCCGATCCGCAAGAGCGTCGGCCAAAGCGTCCAACAGAGCATTCCGCTCTTCGTCATCCGTCTCTGTTGATTTCGCGAGCGACCAGGCCACGTTAGAAAACGCCCGCGGCCCGAACTCATCTAGTCTAGAGCGCGCCGTCCTCCACAACGCACTTAAGGCAGGAGGATCAGGCTGGATGCCCGCGACAGCCCCCGCCCAGCAGACCATCGAGATCTGCTGGGCCGTCATCTTTGGGACGTTTCTTTCCAGAGATGAGGAGACGGCAGAGACATCCAAGTCTTGGGCCGCATCGCAGGTCGCCGCGGCCCACAGTAAATTGGCACAAGCCTGGGGCCCGAACTCGTGCAACCTCGTAGATGAGGCTTGCGTCACTTTTGAAACTAACCGTTCAGCCTCGGGGCCCCGCCGCGGCGTCCGCGCGCAGGACCACGCCAGGTTCGCCAGACCCTGGTCCGTGAACTCGGAAAGCCCAAGCTCCATAGCAGCCGCCGCTACTGAATCAAGGACGTCCTCGCAGCGCGCCGCGTTGTGCTCCGGCTTCGCGAACGACCACGCTATATTTGATAAAGACTGCGCCGAGAAACTGCGTGAGATACACCGCTCGTTGACTTGTTGTACGAGAGCTGTCCGTAGGGGCTCCCTGTCCAAGCGGCCGGCCCGCGCGTAGGCCCACGCTAACGTACTGATCTGCTTCGCGTCGAAGTCGTTTAATCTAGAAGCGCAAGACAGCGCAAGGGCGTCGTACAGCTGCGGCGCCCTGAAACCAGCTTTAGAAAAAGACCACGCCAGCGACGCGGAATGTCTAGGTTCAAAGCTCTTCAATTTCGAAGGCGCTTCTCGCGCCACGGCCGCAAACAGGATGGGGTCCCTTCTTCGCACGGTGGCGTAGGCGAAGGCCGCGTTCGACAGCCCCTGCGGGTTCAGTTCGTCCGTCTTGGCCGCGATGCCATCTGCTATCGCATCAAAAAGTACAGAGTCGACGGTGCGTTTCTTGGAGGCCGCGAAGGCGATGGTCACGAGTTGCTTGCCCGTGAAGTCGTTCGCGCGTTGGGCGACGCGCTTCGTACATTCATTAAATAGTACTGAGGCGTCCTCGCCCTCGAGAGCGGCAGAAGCCCAGCAGCACCGCGACAAGGCATCCAGTGATAGAGTGCCACCATTGATGACGGCTTGTCTCGCATTACGCGCAGCTGTTGAGGCGCCTTCACCTCTTTTGATACCTTTCCGCGCGAACGCGTAGCACAGCCGCGCCAATGCCTCCGCCGACGTTGCTGTCGTGTTCGCATGAGCAGAGACGTCATTTAACAACTCGTCGGAGACGCACCTCGCTCTACTTAACGCGAAGGCCACGTCGCAGGCGTCGTCCGCAGTAAAGGACGACAGACGCTCCCGTAGAGCGCTTGCGACGGTCTCGAACAGATCGGGCGCCTTGACGCCCGCCTCGGCGTAGGCATTCACGACGTCCGCCAATTCATTTGGAGTGAAGCGCGTGCGTATCTTCTTCAAAGCCGCGTTCCGGATCGGGTCGTATTTCTTCAAAGGACCGTCGATGCCGGCGGCGAGGGCGACGGCGGACTGGGACAGCTCCCGCGCGAGCGAAGGTTCTTCTTCGCTGGCGTGACGTATCGTACGCCGCAGCGCCGGCGTTCGGGAGTGGAGCAGAGCAGTGGTTTGAACTGTGAGGAGCAGCAGCCGACGCGGCATGCTTGAAGGTCCGCGTTGCTCTGCGACCTTCGAAATCAATTGCTCTCTATGATGTAACAATCTCTGGGTTTAGCGCGCTGTCGGCGCGTCGCCTTCAAACAGCGGCGAATGCAGCCTGCAGCCTCCAAGTTGATTGCCTAAATACGCGCGTTAGCCCACAACTATCAGAAAGGAAACCTGCAGCAATCGTTTCGCAGCTAAATACGCTCCTGCACGAGCTGTGATTGGCATTTGTCACGCCGCTGCAGAGTCTGCCACACAGCTCTGTTGTACTGCATGCGCTGAAGGCGAGCGATGGCCACCTGGGCGAGCGACGCGCTGCCACCCTGCGACGACGACGCCGCAGCAGAATATGACGACGATTCCATCCCGGCGGACGGCGTCCTGCTGCAGCGCGGCGGCACGGGCCCCGCCGGCGAGTCTATAGTGATGGAAACGGGACAGGCACCTTCATTATATGTGGTCATCCACAACATCAAGAGCTCCGATAATGTTGGACAATTAATACGGACAGCCGGCGCGTTCGGCGCGAAAGAAGTCCTTGTCGTCTCTGCGGAACGAACCGCGAGACGCATGCGGAAAAATCTCAGAACCTTCGGCGCCCACGGCTCGGACAAGCGCGTGCCCATGCGGGCCTTCGCTTCATTAGCTCAGTTGATAGCGTGGGTTAAATCCCAAGGTTGTCGCGTCGTGGGCGTCGAGATTGATGATAGTGCGGTGAGCTGCTTCTCCCCCGAAGCCTGGCCGGTGCGACCGACCTGCCTATTGCCAGGAAACGAGGGCGACGGCCTCAGTCAAGCGCAGATTGAGTTGTGCGATGCTCTCGTTTACGTCCCGCAGTATGCGGCCGCCACGGCGTCCCTAAACGTGAACGCGGCGACGGCGTGCGTGTTGTCGTGCTTCGCGCACGCCGTCGGCTATGCCGAGGAGCGAAGGAGTGGGGCGAAGTTCGCGGTCCGGGACCCGCTCCACGCGCTGTGGCGGCCTAAGAGCTAGTGCTGTGTGCGGCGTTCTCTTCTTTTCTGTTGTTAGGTGCTCTTGGCTAGGAATAGTGGGTGCAGACCGCGCCTGTAAAACTTGCTAGTGTCTTACTGGCCGCTAGCTCCGACCGGTTCGCGGCGTTTTACAAAATCTAGGGCAGTCCCCGCAATAGCCAGCACCCGTTGCTTGCGCAGGGCGATCGTTATCGCGCGCTCGTAGCCTCCGCAGCAACAAGCAGTGCAATAAGCTAGCGCAAGCGTGCAAAAAAACAGCCTAGCTCGTATCGAGGCCGAATCGACAGCAGCTAGACCAGCACCCCCATAGCTGCTCAGCCTAAGCAAGCTGCAGCCCATACGCCGCCGCCGCGCGTTTAGCAGTACTTACGCCGCCGCCGCGCGCCTAGACAGATAACCCGCAAAGATGGACCTCGGTTTTGGACAACAAAACCAGCAGATGGGCAACCAGGCCCTGGAGGCGGTCGGCATGATCGCCGAGATGCAGGAGAACATGCTCGACGCGGAAATCCACAAATTAGATAACCTTGATGGAAAGGACCTCGCGAAGATTCGGGAAGAGCGGGTCAAGCAGCTCAAAGAACGGAAACTCGAGGAGGCCGAGTGGTCGCGCCATGGGCATGGGCATCTCACGCAGCTCACGGAGACGAAGGAGTTCTTCGCTGCGTCGAAGAACTCAAAAAGATTAGTCTGCCACTTCATGCGGCCTACCTCTCACCATTGCGTCGCGCTGAACGGTCATTTAGCTAAAATGGCTTCCTTGCATCGGGAAACGAGATTTTGTACGTTTGATGCTGAGAAGAGTCCGTATCTATGTGATAAGATCCTCGCCGACCCCGAGGGCAACGTCGTCATTCCGACACTACTCTTGGTCAAGGAAGGGAAAGTCACGTACCACATCCGCGGTCTCGCGGAATTAGGCGGCGAACAGTGCAACTGCGAGATCATGGCCGCCGTTTTACAAATTCACGGCCTCATCGAAGGCGAGGCGGCCAAGCACGAGTACGACGACGGCCAGCCTACTTATGGTTCGGTTGAGGAGTACCGTGCGGCTAAAATCCGGGAGGGCTTTTTTGACGAGGCGATGAACGAGGGCGACGACTTTTCGGACGACGACTACACGGGCCTGGCCGAGGACGCCTAGTGAGTGCCTAACTTTTTTACAGTAGAGCCTTGCGCGCCATCGCTAATGCGCCTTCCCTCGTCTTGTGCCCCCCAATAAAGCCCGTGGCGTGGCAAAAACCACAACCTTCGATGCCCGCGACCGCATCCAAGTCGGAACCTCGCAACCCGCGCCACGGCTCCGGCAAAGACAGTCTATTCTGGAACAAGGTCCCTTCGACCGTCACCGCCTGGACGCGCCACAGGCCCTTGCCGTCCGGATACAGTACGAACTTCGTGCGATCACCAATACCTGCCTCTTTCTCGAGCTCGTACAAGTGCGTGCGCCAGGGGCAGCCGCCACTCTCGAGGGCGATGATCTTCATCGATGCGTCGACCTGACCACAATCGCTCAGCGCCTTCTGTACTAACGCTCTCGCCGGCCACTCGACCGTGATGGTATGAGCGAGGGCGTCGCCGAACTCGATGCCGCACAGCATGACCGCTCCTTCGAACCGCGCGTTTTCATCATTTTGTTCCACGTCGGGCGGCGCGTTCCACGGTCTATTTAAACGGTGGACGCGCGCTGGTAGGGAGGAGCCGTCGCTATACAACGTCTCGGGTGCGATTTCAATGCCGTTGTCGATCGCATCCAGCGCCTCCATGAAGGTCTTGTAGTGCTGGCCGTAGCACCACTCTAACGCATTTTGCTCAATACTAGGATGCAAGACCTTGATGATGTCCCGGCCGTAGTGCTTGTAGACGAGACCAGAAGCCGACAGCTTCGTCTTGAAGCGCCCCGTCGCTTCCGAGGGCCCCTGGGCCTCGCCAACTTTCCCGTCGATGGTCTCGAAGAAGCCCCGCTGGTGGTGGTCATATCTTAGCTTCGCGTGATCATATGAACCTCCCACGTCGATGACAATCGTCAAGGCGTCGAGCGTTGATTGGTCCCTGCTTCTCGTTAACGGTGCGGTCGCGTACTGCGGCAGCTGGCGTAGGAGCCACACACCTAACGCCTCGTCGGCCTGGAAGGTGCCCGAGTGCGTGCCTATCGTTACTGTGAGGGCGCTCATCTTTCTTTTTAGCTGCGCCGTTGGTGCAACGAAAGCGCTTGCGAGCGCTGGCAGGGCTGCTCTGGCGACGCGTCGCATGCACGCAGCGACGAAGCGACGATGGCGATGATGGCGTGCAGCTGTCTCAGCGATGCACAGCCGTGGATTCAAGCGACTCGCAGTGCGGCGACGGCTTCCAGAGCAGTCGTGCGGCAATTTGCAAACCTCCGGTGCACTGCGTGAGCAGCGCTTTGGCTTCCTAGCTTTTGTAGCATGCCTTGGTGCTTGCTAGTGCCTTACTGCCGCTAGCTAACTCACCGGAAGCTTCCTGAGATTCAGGGCGTGCTGTGGCCTTCGGGTGCATCAAGCATCGCCCCGAGACTGTTATTTGTCGTCAACTATTGGGCGCTGCAACGAAAAGTTGCTCGCGGCACCTGGTTCGGGCGCACACACAGCTCTGAAAGCAGTGCAGTGCTTGTGATCCGCGCGGACAAGAAGTACGACTCGTCGGCCTCCACGCCATCGAGCAGACGCAGCTCCAAGGAAAGTCTCCGTGAAGCAATGACCTCTCTCTACGAAGAAGAACTCGCCTTGGCCTCGGACGGCGGTGGGTTCCAAGTGTATCCCAAGAAGAGCACGCCGCACCTCGACTGCATCAGCACGGATCCGCTCGACGGCGCCAAGGCATTGTCGGCAGTCTGCGCCCGTTGTGGCGAGGACGAGGTCTGGATCTGCCTCCAGTGCCACGCGCCCCTCTGCTCGCGCTACAAGAACGGTTGTGCGAAAAAGCACGCAGAGGAGAGCAATCATCACATCGCGGTTTCGCTCTCCGACCTGTCGGTGTGGGATTTTGGGCAGGACTGCTACCTCGACGTCTACGCGATCCCCAAACTGCGCGCGCCCTACGCGTCATTACACCTCGCGAAGTTCGGCGAGCCCCCAAGTTTCCCGGGCGCGCCGGTGCTCGAGCTCGGCACCGCGCCGACGGCAGAAAATGATTTCCTGAAAGCCACCGACGCGGTAACGACCGCGGTGAAGGCGTACAAGGAGCTTTGGGGTGACGATACGCGCTTCCCGGCTGCCCGCGAGCTTCTGATGGCGATACTCGAATCAAAGACATGAGTAGGACGTGCGTGCGTCCATGTCGCGGCGATGGCGTGTTGACGGCGGGAGTGGTTCTGCCCCACCCTTATATCGCGGCGATGGCGCTCGTGGCGGGAGCTCTACCCACTGGCCGCGATGGCGTCGTGGCGGGCGAACGCCATCGCCGCGACGCAAGAACCACCAGATGCTGTATGTGTAAGAAAAGTTATCCCCAAAAAACTAGCGCCCGTCCAGCAGCTGCTCCAACAGCGCCTTCTGGTCCCGCGGCAGGCCCCGCGCGACGTCCGCCGGGAAGCGACCACTTCGTGAAGCGTCGGCCAGGTGCTTGTGCATCTGCAACACTAAACCGCGCAGAACAGCCACCTCCTCCTCGACGACCATCAATTCGCCTTCCGAGGCCGCGACGTTCGCCTTGGCCACGCCCCACTGGTACTCATACTCCCTTAGCTCATGATCTTTATCCGCGAGCAGCATCTTCTTCACTTTCGCATGTTCGATGGTCAACGCGGCGTGCTCGTGCATCAACTCCAACTCCTTCTCGTCCTCGGCTATCCTGTCCCGCAACGCATCTAAGCGCAACGGCGCGAACTCCGCGAGCTCGTCACGCTCGAACCCGAGGTCGTGGGCGTCCCAGGCCTCCGCGGCGTCGTTCTCCGAGGCCGCATTCGCCGAGTCCTCGATGGCCGCCCTACTTTTGGTTCTTACGGTCGTCAGGCCCTCCTTCGCCTGTTCTCCAATACTGTTCACGGCGTCCGCTTGACCGTCGAGGCACGATGATGCATATTGATAGGCCTCCTCCAATCTCTTGGAAGCGGCTTCGTGGCGTGCTAGTTCACTTCTTCGAGAGTCAGCTAATCGTTCCAAAGCAGTAAGTGCCCCTTTGCCTTCAAGCTCAGCAGCATCCGCGGCTCGATCTAAAGCGTCTCGCTCGCGCACAGCGGCGGTCTTGGACGCCGCTAACCTCCCACGCGCCGCCTGGGCCTGCTCCTCGGCCTTCGACGCGTCCGCTCTTGCTAATTTTTGTACGGCGCGATGCTCGACACCGAGGGTCGTCGCCCAAGTAGAAATAGTAGCTAACAATCGTGGAGCCACGATACTACAATAGACGTCGCCGGAACAGGGCCCTCTCGCTTCCTTGAAATATTGTTTTGACGCTTTCTCGGCACTAGGACGCCACGTCCGCAGGAACGCTTTCCTCGCGTCCAGGTCCTTCATGAACGCATTTCGATCTTGCAGGGTCTCCTCCCTTACCACTTCACCGTAGGACGCGCCTTTTGCTGAACGACCAGGCGTCTGGATCAATTTACTCATATCAGACTCAAATTGTTTTGATATCGAATCAGCGAGTTCATCGCACTGTTGCTGCGACGCCGCTCGGTTGAGATCCAGCACACGCTTCAAGCGAGAGTCAAGAGCATCATCGAGAGCGGATAATTGGTCCTGCTCGGGGTTTTGAGAGGAGTCGGCCCAGACCGCCTTCGCATACTTTTTTTCGCTCTTCAGCACGCGGTCCTGATGGGCTTTTCTGACTTCATCGTTCGACAGCGGGAGTTTGGACTGCGACACTATGGTAGAAATGGCGTCCTCATCGTACGACTTCGCGGACAGCACGGAAGCATCAGGCAGCTCATGCGTCGAACAGGCACTCTTATCGTAGTCCTCGAGGCACTTACCGACCGCTTCCGCCGCTTGGGATTGGAGGACGCGGTCCCAGGCCGTCGAGATCGTAGGGACACCTCCGGCATTTAACGCATCAGCATAAGTTTTCGCCAGCGTCGCGAGCATCGCGCCACTGAGAGCTCTTCCATTGACAGACTTCGCTCTAGTTTGAGCATACACCTTGTCCTTGAGGTTGGCCAATCCTCTTTGAAACTCCGGCCGTAATGAACTGACGGGTACTTGAGACAACTTTTTTAAGGTAGCTTCGTCCTCGGCCGGCCGCACGAGCGTCACACAGTCGCGCTCTCTGAAAAATGACCCGAGCAACGTCCGGATCTGATTCCGACTCGCCGCCTCGCTCGTGAAGGACCGCTGGGGCTTTAGCGCGTTTTCTAGGTACTGCCGGTCGTTGATCCTCCGCCCGTTGTCTTCGAGTTTCAAAGTGAAGTCGCGGACGACCCAGAGGAAGCCGGGAAAGTGCTGCGCCAGCTCGTCGAGCTCGTGGCCCGCGGACCCCGCGCCCGCCGACGCGCCCGCGCTCAAGCCGCCGCCACTATGCACGAAGTGCTTCTCGGCACCTTTAGCATCATGAGCCTCGAGGGCTTTCTTCGCCGCTTCTGATCTCACGTGGATGTGCTTCGTTAAGTTGACTACTAGCGCAAAATCTTCGAGGGCGTTGCCGTCGATGACGCCTCGGCTGTTCCAGACGAATAATGAGGATAATAGTAAAGCTAGGGAAAAGATCTGCGAGTCCTCCGTCTGTGTTCTCGAGGTCGATCCCAGACCCTCCGTGTCGATGAACAGCACCGTCAGCCCGTCCGGCAGCCGCACGGGCTCGCCCCAGAGCCACAAACCTTTGGTACAGGCATTTACCGACGCGCCGACCTGGAAGCCGGTTTTGTCATTATCACAGGTGGCGCCGCTCAGTTGATTCAGTAAGTAACTCTTGCCCGTGCGCCACAGCCCCGCGATGGAGACGACGGCGAGGGGCGCCGGTAAATCATCTAGGAGCTTCGTGGCCTCTTCGCTCACCTCGTAGCGGCCCTCGTTTTCTAGGATCAAGGGAATGGCCTTGTTCGTCTTGCCGTTCTGCTGGTCGCGCATCGTCGTCATCGTTTCGGCCCCCGCAGTGCTCGTGATGCGCGCGCGCACCAAGGGATTTTAAGCTGCTCCCAACTGGGGTGCCTCCACAACTCTACAGGCGGCTCTCTGCGGCTGCGTTTCGACCAATTGCTGATGACTCACGAATAAATGTGGTGCGCCGAGCAGTTCTGCGCACTGGTTCGGCAGCAGGAGGTCGAGCTGTGATGCGGCGCCGCGCAAAGCTTGCTCGAAATGTGAGGGACCCGCGAGCGACGCGTCGGAGGTCTTGGTCACAGCGGACTAAGAAAAGAGACGTCGTTTTGCGTTTGGAGAGCCCTCCGTTGCCGTTTAGCTAGCGGCTGTAAGACACTAGCAAGCGGCAAGCCTACTTTGGACGGGCAATTTGTGAAGCCGCTGTGTACTGCATTGCTCTGTAAATTAAACAGAAAAAGGCCACAGTCGACCAGATTCGGCCCCGCGCTCGAAAAAGGCGCGCGTCGCACCGCTAGCCCTGTTTGCAGCCTGTGCTGCCACCGCACGCAGTCGCAGCGATGGCGTCGCGCGCGAGCAGACTCGCTTCCTTCCTCGAACAGAAGCCCCTGCGGAGCTACCCCTGGGCCCGGCCCAAGAAGAGCAAGCAGCCGCCACAAATCAACCGGTGGAACATCTTGCGGGGAGACAAAGTGGTGGTCGTGAACGGGAGGCACCGGGGCCAGTCGGGTATCGTACAGAAAGTGCTGCGATCGACCAATAGGTTGATCGTCGAAGATGTCAATGTGGGCGATCGCATGCTCTACTCGAAGGGTGATGAAGATAAGGTAAAAACACCCACGAAAGCGCCCCGGTCGATTCACTACTCGAACGTCAATCTCGTCTGCCCCGTCACGAACTTGCCGACACGGGTCGCTAGGCGCTTTCTAGATGACGGCACGCGCGTCCGCGTCGCGGTGCGGTCCGGCGCTATTATTGAAAAGCCGGCCATTCTTACAGAGAGGCATAAACCGCGGTCGACGCAAGCGGGGCCCCGCGACACGCCCGAGGACCATGTGCTCGAGGTCACGTACGATCCTGTTGTCGACGCGGAGCAGTGGCGGCGGCGCGAGTTGGATGAAGACGGGAAACGCGTGCTGCTTAAGGACTAGTAGTGTGTTTTAGACAACAACAGACGTGGTAGTGGCCTCGTCGGGCGGCCTTGCCTCGACGTGCACCGAAATCGCGGCGAGCGCGAGCGCGCAAGCACCAAAAATAAAGCCCGGCAGGTACGTCTCGTACGCATCGTAGAACGCGCCCGCAATCACAGGGCCCAGCGTCCCGCCTATACCCAAAAACGCGCAGATGAGGCCCGAGGCGCGAGCCAGCGCGTCCGGGTCGCTGACTTCGGCCACGTCGACGACGAGCGTCGCCGAGAGCGACAGCAACGAGCCGATGCAGGAGCCGCAGAGGAACGAAAAGACGGCGAGCCCCTCGTAGGAGCGCTCCCAGACCGGCGTGAGCGCGAGGGCCACGGCGTACGTGAGGCAGACCGCGCTGTAGACGCGGCTCCTGCCACATCGGTCCGCCAGCGCGCCGACGGGGACCCGCATCGTCAGCGCGCCGGCGCCCAGGTACAACAAAAGGCTCTCCGCGCGCCGCCGCGACAGGTCGCGGTCCAGGCCGTAGCGCACGATGTGGACCGCGGGAATCCAGAAGCCGAACCCGAAAATAAAGGTCGTGCGCATGAGCCGCCGGACGCCCGGCACGGCGCTCACCGCGATGGGAGAGACGGGCGCGCGCTTCTCCGACGATGGCGGCGGCGGCGCGAGGCCCAGCGCGCCGGCGAAGAGCACGGCGAAGACCATGGCCCCGAGCGCCGCCAGCGCCCCGCGCCAACCACCCGTCTCTCTTTTAAGCGCGGCCCACAGAAACGGGATCGCGAAGGGCCCGACGCCCGCTCCACTATTAGCGAAGCCGGACGCGAGCGCCGTGTTCTCGGGGAACCACTTGTTGCACGCAATCACGCCGCTGTAGAGCCCTAGGGACTGGCCCACGCCCAGAACAATCCCGTACGTCACGTACAGCTGCCAGAGCGTTTGACACTGGCTCGACGCGATCAACCCGAGGCCGGACAGGAGCGCGCCGAGTGAACCGCAGACGACCTCGCCGCGGCGCGCGATGGCCCTCCCTGAGATCACGCCGAAGCCGTCCATCAAGCCCGCGCTGAGGCTACCGACCGCCGCGGTGGCCGCTCTTGTGGAATCGAAGGCCACGAGCAGGTCGACGAAGATGACGCTGAAGGAGTACTGCATCGCGAGGCTTCCGACGCTTGTCAGCCAGTAGGCGCCGAGCTTCTGGGCGTGGACGCGGCCCATGTTAGGTGCTGCCCTTACTTACCAAGTGCTTGCGTCGGGCGCCCTTTGGAAACGATCAATACTAATGGCCCCTGCGTACCGTTTTCGGCATTTGTGCACGAGCAGAGCGCGATTCTCAGCTCGACTCCATTTTGCTAGTGTCTTACGCACGCTAGCCCGGCTTTTTTCCACTTGTGTATGTCGTGTCGGGGAGCAGGCTCGGCTGGTGGATTCCCAGAGTAGCCTTTGAGTCCCCGCGCATAACGACGGGCATGAGTTTTGGCGTCACGAGAGTGAATTCCCAAAAGCTGCAATTGGGGTTAAATTGCCCTGTGACGCCGCGGTGATTTTACGCGCCTCCTCCAGGACCGTCGCTCGTAGACTGGCTCCCATCTGAGTTTCAAAAAGCATGAGACCTCTGCTCAAACTCGTGATCCTCGGCACCGCGATCACGGCGGCCCGAGGACGCGTGACCGCCGTGACGCCGGGCCTCTGCTTCGAACTCCGGCTCTCAACCGGCGGCCGCTACCAAAAGAATTTGGCTCATCAGCTCGAAGCCATCGGCCCGTTGCTGGCGGCGGGCGTGCGCCAGCAGCCGGCGGCCATCGTCGCGACGCATGCGGACTGTCAGGCCGCTCCACCCGTCAACGTACAACGTTAACGTTACGGGGCACACGCGTTTCCCGCGTTTCAAGCATCTGTTAGAAAGCAACGGAAAGATCAGGATCCAGGGGCGGTTCTCTCCCGACCCCTGGACGATCGACCTGAACCACCTCGCGGCCGTGGCGGCGAAGGCGAAGGGACGCCTTGCGGGCGCCGAGCGGGCGGCGGCGGCGTCACGAGCGGCGGTGGCCGCCGCGCTAGAGAAAAGGGCGGCGCTGCGTCAAAACCCGACATGTATCGAGCTCGACGAGTCCGTCCGCGCGGGCAAGGGGACGTGCAAACCGGGGAAGGGCATCTTCTGCAACGCGCGCCACCGGTGCTACGGGAACAGCGCGTGTGCGCTCTGTGAGCCCTAGAAGAAGCGCCCGCGCCCGCCGCCGATGAATCAGCCCTGGGCAGGGGCCCCGACTAGTCCTAGCACCGTAACGATCGACCCGACCTAGTAGTAGCTAGATATACGTCTTAGGAAAGGACCAGCTCACGCCTGCTCCATGTTCTCCCCGTCGAAGCCCGGGTACTCCGCGTCGTAGACGGAGTACGTCCGCGACGTCACCACGACGTCGTCGCCCTCGGCCCGCTCCAGACCCCAGTCGTCCAATAAATCTAGGAGCGACCCGCGCGCGTCGTCGCTACGCTCGTTCTCGTAGTCGCGCGGGTCCACCACCAACGTGTCGTAGGGGCAGCGCCCGTCGTCGGCGACGGCGACGTGCTTGCAGGCCGCATCCTGGACATCCATTGTTGAGGTTGTGATGTCGAAGCACGAGGCCTGCCCGGTCCCCGTCACGACATGATCAAAAGTCGCGGCGACGCAGTCCCCGCCTAATAAATTGGCGAGGAGCTGCTCCAGTCGATCATCAAAATGATCTGTGGCCGCTACTATGCGGGGCCCGCCGTAGTCGCGCCACTGCCTCAGGGCACTCAACAATCGGGGCGCGTCCGGGTCGACGACCCAGGCCTCATCACTCAGGGTGAGGTCGTCGTGTAAGCTCCTAAAGATGTCGTCGAAGGCAGATTCGTATAGAGCGAGCTCGTCGGCGTCGTAGACGACCGGCTCGGCGGTGAGCACACCATCATACGTCGCCTTGGTGACCTTCTTCCACCAGGCCTCGGCGCCCTCGGAATTCGTGCCGAAGCGCGGCCCGGCGGCCGCGTAGGCTTGCTCGTAGACGCCCTGAAAAATGTCGGGTCGCGGGAGCATGAGGCCCGTCGCGGCGAGTAGCGCGTCTCGGTACAGTAAGCCTTCCGGTCCTGCTCTTCGGACTAACGTGCCAATCGGATCAATCGTGATGACCTGGGGCGCCGCCTTGACGACGCCGGCGGCCGCGCTCATGCTAATATGCCGCCTTGGCCTCGAGACAGTCGGCGCCTGGAGCGCTTGCGCGCTCAGGAGAGTGGCGACCAGCGCCTGGCATTGCCTCCGCCGAGCCAACGCCATCGTGTGTGTGCCAAAGAGCTATGTGCAAGTGCTAGGCTCGCCGCGGCAGCTTGCTAAAAGAGATCCTCTCACGGTCCTTGAGGGTTGGTGGTCACTGTAGAGTCGTGACGCTTGATGGCAGCTGCTGCGTGTGGCTGTCTACAGCACAATGCCAAGCTCGCTGGAGCACTCGATAATCCGATAGCGTCTACAGACACACTAGCAGGATGGGTACGGACACCTGCCTGAGCCTGAGCCTGAGGAGAGGTATGAGGTTATGAAATACGCGGCACGCCCCCGCCGCCGACGAATCGACGACGCGCGGTGTCTCCCCCCAACCTGGGCAAGGGCGCCGCCGCCCACTAGTCCTAGCACCGTAACAGCAAATCCGCCCGCGCACGAAAAAAACACATAACTAGCCTTATGCTTGAATAGCGTTCCACGGCGCGACGCCCGCCTGCGGCACCTCCTCGGGCTCAAAGCCCACCTCGTAGTGCGGGACGACTTGCGCGACCGGGTCGCTCTGCACGGCGTAGATCTTATTGAGCGAGGTGTCATCGGCTTCCCACGGCGAGAACATCCCGCCCCAGTTCTCCTGCGGGAGCGGCGGCAGGTTGACCGGATCGCGCTGCACAGCGTAGATTTTCTCTAGGCTCGTGTCTTCTGCTGCTGTTTCTTGCGAAGCGTCCCACGGCGTGAAGAGGCCCGCCCACTTTTCGGCCGGGTCTTCGTCGATGGCGCCCGCCGCTGTTGCCATCGACCGCCAGTCGTCCTCGCTGGCGCCCTGCGACTCCGCGTTGTAGTCGTAGGCGTTGTAATGGGCGGCGTGCGAGATCTCGTCGGGCGTCGTCGCGAGGTTTCGTCGTGTCTGCGTCCTCGTCACAGTCTGCGGCGCCAGCAGAGCCCTTGCTGGGCTTGCTGCTGCCAGCAAGAGGGCTGCTCTCCTCCCACGCGGCATCGTGGCGCGTCTCGTTGCAACGGCGGCGAGGACTGATCGATTGAAAGCCGCCGCGGGTATTCTGCTTGCCCTGCGCTCGAGTTGAGGCGAGCTCTATTGGCGGCGCAACGTAGCAGCCAGGTGCGCTTTTTGCTAGTAGCAACTCGCCAGACGCCCTCGAAGGATGGCGAGCTCAAGAGCCGTTTGATGACACTGCCCTCACCCTTAAGCCGGGCGCGCAGCGCGATTCCCCCTCGTGGCGCAGCGCGAACGGCGGCGGCGCGTCGCCAGCGACTAGTCGCCGGCGACTAGAGCCGGCGACAGGCGGCGACGGCGTCGGGGCGAGTGCACACGCCATCGACGCGACCCCCCACGACCCTCACAAGTGCAACACACACGCTCCTTAGATCAAGTCGTCGAGCGAACTAGCGAAGTCCGCCGTCTTCCGCCGCTTCTTCTTCTTCTTGTTCGTGTCGATCCGCCGGAAGGCGTCCTCCTCGTAGGCCTCCTGCTCCCGCTGCTCCTTCCGCCGCCGCTCCCTGCGGGCCGCGCGCTGCCCAGTACCCAAAGACTCGTCGTGGCCGCCGGAGCCGATCTCGACGGGCGCGTCGGACCGCTCCTTTAACAAGAAGTCGATCTCCGCGCGTCTTGCCCTTGTAGACCGCTCCTGGCGTTCCTTGACCGGCGCCCGCGGCGCCTCGTCGTCGTCGTCGTCGTCGTCCGACGAGGCCTCGTCCTGCTCCTGGTACGCCACCGTCGACCGCGGCGCCTTATAGGTCCCCTCCTCCTTGTCAATTTCAACGGATTCCAGATTCGCGACCGGCGCGACGTCAGCCGCGTCGGCTCTAGCAAGCACCTTGTCGAGCTGGTGCCGCAGTTTGGCATCTAACAACCGGAGCTTCTCGAACGTGAGGCGGAGCTCGTAGAGCCTCCGGACCACGGGATGGTTCTCGATTGATTCCCCTCTAGCCTTCCGACACAAGTAGTACGAGAGCATGCCGCAGTACGTCGTCAGCAGCTCCTGCTTCATCTTGAAGTACGACGCGTCGTCTTCTTCCTCGTCTTCCTCAAATTCATCACTAGCTTTATTCGCGCGGCTGCTCACGCGGCCTGCCAATGCTTCGGCCTTCTCGGCCAGCTCCTCCAAGGCTGCGGCCGACATGCTGTGCGGCGACTGGCGTGCACTGCACGGCCCACTGCTCTGTGTAGCAACGCGCGCCGAGCTGCAAGCGCTGCTCACTGCTGCACACTGCTGCACGGTGCACAGCTGATCTGAGAGTGGTAAGGTCTCGCTGCGCGTTGCAGCCGCACTCGCAGCTATCGAAGCGCTGCACGCGCGTGTTCCGCGAGCGTTTGAGGCTATGCGCGTCCTCAAAAGCAGCACCTCGCCCGCCTTTGTGTGCAGCCAGCCTCGAGGCCGAGATCACAGCTCCGAAAAGATACATACCGCGCCGAGCCGTCGCGAGAACGGCCTCGAAGCGACGAATGCGCGCCTCCGGACGTGCGGGTATGCGCCACTAGGACGTAACTCCCCATGCGCTAAAAGCAAAGCGCCGTACGCGCAAAGGCGCTATACCGGGGTATCTGGCTGCCCGCGGGGGCCGAGAGGCTTTGTATTGATCCACAGAAGAGAAGGCCCCACGGGCGCAGCGCTCGCTCGCGGCAGAGGCACTGGCATAGAGCCCTGTTGGGGGCAGCCCAAGATGACCTCTTTACTAGTAGAATGGGTCAACGACGAGCTCCAGCTCGAGCCGCCCTTGACGGAGGAAACGCTGGCCGAGGAACTAGGTTCAGGCTTCATCCTTGGGGCTTTGCTCCATCGACATAACCAGCTCGCCGAGCATGAAAGGCTGAGGAGGAGAGACACGGCCGACGCGAGGATCGAGAATTTTTGTGTTTTAGAGCCGACCCTAGCGTCACTCGGTGTCCGCTTCGACGCGAATGCCGCTCTTGGTATCATGAACGCGAAACCCGGCGCCGCAGCCATGGTGCTCTACCAATTGAAAGTGCAACTAGAAAAATTAACGAAGGAGGCCCAGCCCGTGTCGCTACGTGAACGTAGGGACGGCGTGCGACCGCTGCCGAACATGCCCAAGAAGCTTAAGAAGGCACAATTTGATCAAGCACGAGCGCAGCTCTTCGAGGCTCAAATAAGGAGTAAAGCCGAGAACCCGAACATCACGATGGAGCGCAAAGTTTTAGCTAGATTTGGTGAACTAGCGGAAAGAGAGGCTCAGAAGAGGGTGCGCGAGCAGGAACGCTCCTTCGCACTGCTAGATCAGCACCGCGAAGCCACGCGCACCAAAAGAATCTACGAGCGCCAGCAGGAGGCGGCCTTCCTCCAGGCCTGGGAAGCTAGAGGATTGGAGCACTGGGCCGCGAACCGACGTGAGAGGAAACACAACGAGAAAAGGGACGAGATTTTCGAGGAAAAAGAGTTAAGAAAAGCCGTTTCCAGAGTCGAAAAGCGCATTCATCGCGAAGCGACCTACGCCTTTAATGAATTAGATAACTTCGAGCGGCGCTTGCAGGAGCAGAAGGCCCTGGAAGTGTCAGTGGCACCGAAGGCTGTAAGGGATGTTGTGGATCGGCGGGATCCTCTAGCGGAATCCGCTCGAGCTACGGCGGCCGTCGTGGACATTGGGATTGGTGTCGGGTCGGAGGAGATGGAGCGAGATGTGGTCTTAGATGCTCGCGCGTTACGAGCTGAGCGCGACGCGCAAGATGCGGATAGGAGAACCGCTCTAGCTGAACGACAACGCAGGGAAGACCAACGGTCCCAGCGAAGGATGCGCTTCGTCACGGAGCGGGAGGCGGCTCAGGTCCAGGAGTACCACGCGCACCGAGCCGCGCACTTGCAAGCGCAGCTCACGAAGACCTGCGATGCTGATAAAAAGCAGGAAGAGCATTTGGCATTAGTAGCGAAGCACAAAGCGAGGATGGCTGAAAGTAGAGCTTTCCGGGAGGCCCAATACAAGACGCGACGAGACTTGGACACCGAGGATTTTTTGCGGAGGGACCAGGAGCGATTGGACGAGGACATCCGCGCTTATAATGTAGATGTGGAGAGTAGTGCTTTAACGGCGAAGGCCTTCGTCGACGCATCGACGGCTGCTTCCGACAAGTCCGTTCATGAGTTGTGCTCGCACTTGGTGCATCGCATCGCGCGGGGCGCTCTTGAAATAGCTTCGTTGCGAGATGAAGAGAGAGCCGGTGTCCCGGAACAGCAGCAACAATCCTTCGAGGCGACGCATTCGTTGCTCGAGAACGACGGGGACCCTTGTGACCCGGCTACGTTCCGGGACCATGCGCGAGTCATCTGTAGAATAGACGGCGCCATGCTCGGCTTTGAGTACACCGAAGATGACGACATGGATCCCTTAGAAAGGGCCTTCACCGATCAAACGACCCAATCTCTATGTGCGCCGGAGACGTACGACCGAGCCTCGGTACCGCCGCGGTGGGACGCTGGCGATAAGTTGGAGGAGAAAGAGTCAGTCCAAGACGTCTCGGATAAGTTAGATACGTGGGACGCCCAAGATTATATCGGTAATGCACCGCCGTTCCACTTTTCTCCTGCGATTGCCGAGGCCGAAGTGAGGGGCATCACCGGCGAGCTAACGGGGGCCGCGAAGCGGTGGAAGGGTACGGACGAGGACGAGGAGGAGGCCGATGATAGTTTCGGGGCCCTGCGGCGCAAGCAGCAGGCACTGCTGGAAGCGGCGGACGCGGCCGCGGCCACAAAAACGGAAGCCTTAGCTACGATGGGCGAGAAGCGCACGGCCGAACATTCACTAGGTGAAGCCATTTTAGATTGTCGGTTCGCGGCGGTTCATGAGGAAGCGGAAGAGGAAGCATTTGTTGCGCCTCCGGAGTTCCCGCTGCGCATCTGTCTGGCCGGCAGAACTTTTGCGGGCAAGTCGGAACAAGCTTCTAGACTCGCAGATCGCTTTAGATTGAAGGTCCTGAGTGCCGGTGGGTTGCTAGAGAGAGCTTTGCAACTCGCGGAGGACGTGACGCTCGGGAAAGCACAAGGGTCTGAACTAGCTACATTGGGCCGGCAAGCTACGCAATTGTTGAAAGAGGGCCAAGCATGCGATGAAGCAACATACGCGGCACTCATCGTGGCGGGCATCAAAGAAATCGCCGAGGAGAATCAACAAATAGAAGAGGCAAACGCCAAGGCCCAGGAAAAAGACGCCAACACCCTAGCCCTCGAAGAATACTTGCGGGAGGTTTTTGACAGGTGCGACAGCGATGGCGGCGGCGACATTTCCATTGCCGAGTGCATAGCAGCTTTGAAGGGTGACGAGGACTTTGCCGAGATATTGGGAGTGGACAGGGAGTCGTTCCTGGACGTGATTTGGTCCATGGATGCCGACGGGGACGGCACGATTAGTTGGGACGAATTTAGATCATGTGTACTCAATGAACCTGATGTGATAGAGCCCTACAATGGCTGGGTCCTGGAGGACTATCCTGAGACCGTGGCGCAGTGTTCTGCGCTGGAAAAAGCTTTGACGGGCTATGATTCAGCTAAGATCATCCATACGAGGTGGGACCACCCTTCTGAACTCGCTTCCATTGCGCCTCCACCGGTCGCGAAGTACTCCGGGTTCCTACCCGACGAGTGCCCTTCACAGATTGCATCGGGCGTCGACCTCGTGTTCCACCTCCCCGTTGATCAAGATCAGGTCTACAGGAGGTGTCTGGGAAGAAGGATAGACGACCAGGTGCCTGACGCTGAGTCGACGGTTGACGAATACGCCGGTGCTGCCGTCAAGGACGAGCGCGCCATGCGGGGCGAATACCATCTTGATTCTAATTTACCGGACTACGGGGCTCCTTGTAAAGCTAGGTTGCGGAAAGTCGAAGATCCGCAGAATCCTACAGCCAGTCTGCCTTTCCAGCTGGAGTCGCATGATTCTCACTGGAAGTCGTTGTCAGAGTTCCTGGAGCGGTTTGGCAATTTAAGGGAGGTTTCGGCGTCGGGACTGACGGAGGAGGGCGCCTTCGGGCAAATAGTTCCTGTGGTGGACGAGATGCTTTCGGTGCGCTCGGCAGCGGCCAAGGAGAAGAAGGCTCTGAGAGATGCGCAGGTCGAGGCTTATAATAAAGTAGTGGCCGACTTGACGGCTGCGAAAGAGGCGGCAGAGGCCGTATTGGCGGAAGCGGTCGCGGCGGCACCCGCGCCGGCCGAGGAGGCGGAGGCGACGGAGCCTGCTGATGAAGCGGTCGCTGAAGCGGAGACCGCCGTCCAGGAGGCCGCTTCCAAGCTCGCAGACGTGGAAGAGAAGGGCCCGTTTTACGAGGAACCTGTCGAAGAGTCAGTAGTAGAGGACCCGGACGCGCTGACGCCCCTGTCGAAGGAGGCGGGTTCCGTACTGAGTGAGATGTGGGACGGCGCGGAGCAGCAGTTCTTTGACGGTGCGAAGAAGGCCTTCCGCTCGCTGAGAGAAATGCGTGCTCAGACACGAAGGCAGCATTATGTGTTGCGCCAGGACTTCGTGCGGTATTTGGCGCGGCCCGACGACCGCCAGGACCTCCTCAAAGCGTTCGTCGAGGATTTCAACTCCAGTATACCGATGGACATGCGCGTGCAGGACGAGACCAAGGCGGAATTGCACTTGAGAGCGGTCGAGTTACATGAAAAATTGAATGAAGTGCAAGCGGCGCGGGAGACGCAAGCGAAGTCTCTGTGGGCCAAAATAAGATTAGATGGGTCCCTGCAAAGCAGACAGGCTTGTCTCAGTAAGTCTTATGCCTGTTTGGCGCAGTGCGAGGTCGACCGGACGCACGCGTCATTGTGTCTACTGAAGGACTACTACGCGGCGTCCTATCCCGTCGGGGAGTTCTCTCCAGAAGGGGAGGACGACGAGCCGGCCGAACGACAAAAATTGAACGACGGCTGCGGCGCGCTCGCGAAGCGCACGGCCGACTTCGTTGAAGACGAGGAAGGGAATAAGGCGCTGGAGGCTTCCGAGGACGCCCTGCCGCCGAACATCCTCGAATCACTATTTGGAGACCCGTTTGTTGAGCAGACTGAGCCCGAAGAGGAACCTGAGGAAGAGACAGAGCCCCCGCCCGAGATCACTCATGAAAATATGAATGATGAATTAACAGAAGCGGAGGACTGTCTCGGACCGGCGCTAGAAAGGGCGAGGACGTGGGCCCTGTCGTTTGCGGCTCCTGACAGCGCAGGTAAGGATCCCAGTGGACAGCCTGGACTGAGGGAGGCCCTCTGGCAGCAGGCTGAACTGTTACTGGCGAGGTGTAAACGCATCGAAGATTCATGTAGGAGAGATAGGCAAGCCCTGGCGAAGAGGAGGGACCAAATTCTACAGGAGTTAAAAGATTGGACTGCTCAGAGGATAGAGGCTGAACTCACTGTCAATGAAGGTCTGGTGGAGTTGATCCGGCAACACATCGAGGAGGAACGACCGATAGAAGACACGTGGGAGGTTTTAGGTATAGTTTTAGTCGTGGATGAGAACACGAAAATAATCCCGCTCCAAGACACGCTGTATTGGAGAACGCACCCGCAAGCGGCTCAATTGGTACAACACCCCGAGTACTGCGAGAACCTGCCGGAGCCGCCTCCATTGCCCGTGCCTCCGGATCTACCGGAAGATCGTTTCTCGACGGCCCAGAAGAAGTTTTTGCGGGCGCAGCTCGAGGATGCGTACTTAGCGTGTAGTCAGCAGGACATCCCGCCGCCGCCCGGCTATGGGTTGGATGGACTGCCTTTACTACCTCCTGGTCCTTCCCTGAAACTCTGGGTCGACTCTTGTTCAGGGGCTGCTCATGTGCGCGTCACTTTATTACGGGATGGGTTAGTGGTACCAGAAGGAGATAGGTACTACTACGAGCCCTACGAGATTGAGTGTGGCTCGAAAGCCATGGTCGCGTCCTACAAAATCCAGACCGCTGCCCAAGATCTGATCTCGGTCAGACTGGAGCTGCTGGGGGAGAAGCCTGAGGCTCCGGAGGCTACTGAAGGCGAGGAACCCGTCGTGGTTGAGGCGCCTGTGTTATCTACAATAACGCAGCCGCTCGTGTTCGAAGGAGGTTCGTTAACGCTACCTTTTGAGGTTGAGGAAGCACCGGAGGAGGAGGCAGAACGCCCCGCGTCCCGGGCCAGCCGCTCCTCGAAGGCCTCTGAACCAGCTGAGGAGGACGAGGACGAGGAGGAACCAGAGCCGAAGGAGATTGTCCTGAGGTGGAACTTTAGAGAACCGGAGGAGCCCCCAGCACCGGCGCCGGCGCCCGCGGACGCCAACTTCCTGGCGCTCGAGGAGTACCTCAAATCAATTTTTGAGAGAGTCGACGCGGACGGTACTGGAGAAATTAGTATCGCGGAGGCCGTACGGGCGTTGGGGGATGACGAGGAGTTCGCCGACATCATTGGAGCTGATTCGTCCGACAACATCTTGCAAGCGGTCCGACTGATGGACGAGGACGGCGACTCGAAGCTGACCTGGGACGAGTTCAAGTCTGCGACGCTCGGAGAACCGATGGCCGAGGGCGAGCCTCCTCAGAAGAAGTGGGTTACTAGGGATGCATTAGTGCACATTCTTGCGAACGCGGCTTTACATACGGATAAGTTACCCGGACAGTGGCAGCAGAAGACGCGCTACTTTTTTGAAGATGCCTTTTTGGCCCCTCAGGGTCCGTTGGACGAGGACCAGACCGGTATCGTTTATATTGAGGATGTTCTGTCTTTGGTCGAGTCTTGGGAGGTGTTGCCGGAGGTGCGCGAGATGCCTCTCAATGATTACGTCGCTTGGACCGATCCCATCGCCGCGAATCCCGCGGCGCACCCGCAGCTCGGCGCGGCGGGCATCACCGTCGGTAGTACTGAAGAAGGCGGCGAAGTGACGTACGCGGAACGGGAGGAGGGCGCGGAAGAAGGTGCTGATGGTGGATACGTCGCATCCGACGCCGAGGGCGGGTAAGGAGTCAAAATACTAGGGTACTCAATTCTTAGCCGCTCTAGACGGACACACACAGGCAGGGGGTATGGACAGCTCCTAGACGAACTGCACGTCCTCGTGGAACATGGCCACGTTGTCGAAGCCCGGCCACCTCATTTTTATACCGATGAGGTGGTAGGAGGCGTAGACGCCCGGCAATAACGTCAGCGCCGCGAGCACAAAGAGCTCCACGGCCGCGGACCCGCCGTTGGCGCCGAAGGACGCGACGCACCCGGCAACGAAAAGGCAGGTGCCCAGCGTCGTGAGCGCCACGGCCAGGCAGCACGTGCGCGGCGGCAGGCGCCGCCGCTGCGTCGACGGCCGCCGGCCGGGCGGGTAGCGGAGGCCGCCGAATTCCTCACCGGGCGATTCCGGCGCGCGCGCGGCCGACATCTCCATGTCCCTCGATTCCTGTTGGATGGGGTTCATGGTTGCTTGTTCCTCTGACCAGCCGCGGGTCAGCTTGGGTTACGGCTCTCTGTCCGGATCGGGCGGGCGGGCCGAGCGCGAGCAGTGTCGGGCTATGAGCACTGGTGCCCCTGGCACCTGCGCACACCACTGACTGCCAGCACCGAGGGCGTAATGAGCAGCAAATTGCGTTCCTCTGGCTTTATTTTTTCTGGATAGCGTCGATTAAGACACTAGCAATCATAGCATCACCAAATTGAAGCTGATTTGCAGCTGCCTCAGTGCTGCAATTGCAGCAAAGACCTCGGCATTCAATCAATCTTGATCGCTATCAGTAGCGGTGAACGCATAAGCACCATCTCGCGAGTACAAGCAAGTTGCAGACACCGCACTGCAAGCACTGCAATCGCCCTGACGCCGTCGCGGTGAGCTTGCAACCAAGAGACCGCGCTTCGAACAGCAGTAAACGATGCTCCTCCGCGCCACCTCGCGCCGCCTCACGCATGTAACAAGACGCACGATATCCTCGACGCGGGGCGAAGGCGTCGCCGGCTTCAAGGTCATGGAGGTCCTGCACGCCGCGAACACCATGGAGGCGAGCGGCGCCGACGTCCTGCACATGGAGGTCGGCCAGCCCTCAACACCAGCACCACCAACAGCTAGAAGAGTCGCGGAGGCCGCCCTGTCACGAGACGAAGCCCTGGGGTACACGTCGGCGAACGGCCTACCCCAAGTCAAGGAGAGAATTGCGCAGTGGTATCTGGAGAGACATAACTCAGTCGTAGACCCCGACCGCATCGTGGTCACGACGGGTTCTTCGGCGGGCTTCATCCTGAGCTTTCTCGCGTTATTCGACGCCGGCGACAGGGTCGGCGTGCCTTCGACGGCCTATCCGTGCTACCGCAACGTCCTGAGAGTGCTGGGCGTCGAGCCCGTTTCTCTAGCTGGAGACGCGTCGAACCCTCGGTCGGGCTTCGGCTTCCCGCAGCCGTCCGACATTACTTCAGACCTCAAAGGGCTGATCTTATCTTCGCCCTCGAACCCCACTGGTGCTACTCTCTCTGCCGATGAATTACAAAAGCTAGCAGAGACCTGTTCAAGTAAGGGCGTCAAGTTCATTAGTGACGAGATCTACCACCACATCGTCTACGGGGATGAAAAAAGTGCTTCGGCGGTCGACCTAGATGGCGCCCTCGTGATCAACAGCTTCAGCAAGTACTTTTCCATGACGGGCTGGCGGATCGGGTGGTTGGTGTTGCCGAAGAACGACCCTTCGTTGTCCGGTGCCATTGAACGGTTACAACAAAATCTGTTCATCAACGCGCCTCATGTCTCACAGATCGCCGCGGCGGCGTCCTTTGATGATGTCGAGTCGACTCTAGAAGGTCATGTTGCTGTGTATGATCAAAATAGAAAAACTGTTTTGAATGCGTTGGCCAAGATGGGCGTCTCGCCCGATCATATCGCGCCTTGTAGAGGCGCGTTCTACGTCTATGTGGACCTGGGCGCCCACGGCGTGACCGACGCTCCGGCTCTCTGCCATAAATTACTGAAGGACACGGGCGTCGCGATCACGCCGGGCGTGGACTTTGAATTTGATGAAGCGATCGGGAAGCGGCGCGTGCGCGTCTCGTACTGCGGCGCGCCTGCGGACGTGGAGAGGGCGATGGGGAAATTGGTCGAGTGGTGGGCCGCGGGCAAGTACAAGTGAGTATCATCGTTCCCGACTAACTAGACAATTATTCCACGCGCGCGTAACATATCCCGTCGACGGGATATGTCATTAGCACCCACCGTCGCCGAGCCAGAACCTCCCGTCCTTCTTCACGGACTTCACGGCCCAGTCCGAGTCGTCCCCGGCGCCGTTCGACGGCAGGGGCCAGGGGTCGCACCCGTAACTCTCGTCGTCGAAGCGATGCGACAGGGCGCAGGCGCTCTCGTTATTCGGACGGTGCAGCTTCTCCCAGGCCCGCATCTGGGGCCGGTTCTTCGGATTGTTGGGTCCGTGCCACTCGACGGCGTAGTGCGTGACCGCGCAGTCGACGCCTTCGTCAAGAATTCGGCGGAAGAGCGCGTACTCCATGCCCTCGACGTCGACCTTGGCCACGACCGCCCGTAGCGAATCATGGAAAAAGTATCGCTTCAGAAGGTCTGCCACGTCCCATACCGGCGTGGCGACCATGCCGCGGCCGCACCGGCCCTCGTCGGTGTATCTATGGATGTGGCCCGTCCTGCGTCCGCCCGCGAAGCAGGCGGTGCCGTTGGCGACGCCGATACCCCCGAGCACAAACGTAGTCCGCATGCCTCGATTTGTCAACCGCGTGGCGAGCTCCCGCAGTCGTTGCCAGTATTCGCGCGCGGGCTCGACGCCGACGGCGCAGCGCACCGCGCCGTCTTTGTAGAAGCCCGCCTTCTGAAAGAGTGGTACGAACGACGACCGGGCGTAGAGCTTGGGTTGGTGCAGCTTCCTCGTCTGGACGCCAGCGTTGGCGCCCAGGTCCAAAAACGCGTGCGTGCAGCCGTCCAGGAGCGGAGTCGCGGCGTGACCCACGAGCTCCGGCGGAGGGCCCGCCGCTGCAGCCGCTTGGGCAGCCCCTCCCGCGGCGAACGCGGCCGCCACCAGGCGTCGCATGCTCGCCGGTGCGGTCGCGCGGCGATGGCGTATACTGTGGCAGCGTACTCCGCTTTTGCGGTGCTTTTGCAGTGCTCCAGCTGCTGCAATCGTCGCAAGTTCAGGCACCGCGTGCAAGATCAGGCGCCGTGGGCTACTGCAGGCTACGGGGCAGCGTCTGGTGCAGCACCGCGTCACAACGATGTGCTGCACAAAAACAAAGGCAGGCTGGTCCACACCCGTCCACACCATCTCCACACAGGTTTTTCGGCCAAAAAAAAAACTATCCCGTCGACGGCGTGGGGGGCCACGGACTACAAAAAACAGCGGTTAGTCAGCTAAATCCCGCGCGTTCGCGTCGATGACGTCGAGGTGGACTCGACGCCGTCGCCACGGCAGCGCGCTCGCGTCGGTGGCGTGGCGGTGGACGCCACTACTACCAGAGGTCGTCGTCGTTGTCGGAATCCGAGTCCATGACCTTGCGCGCGAGCTGCACTTTCCGCGCCTTGTTCTCCTGGCCCGCCTCCTCGAGCATATTGACGATGACCTCGTCGCTCAGCTGCTTCTGGATCTCGCCGCGCATGGCCATCTGGATCAGTTTCATCTCGAGCGCCTCGACCTTGTCGCGCTTGACGAGCTTGACGCGTCCGAGTCGATTCAAAGCTTCCGGCGCCAGGATCTGTTTGAGCACCGCGGCCTTTTGGCCCTCCTGCTGCTCCTTGGCGGCCTGCTCGTTCGGGTCCTGCGTGAAGCCCTTGAGTCCTCCCAGGTCGCTGGCACTTGCGGCGCTCACGCCGGGCGGTAAACCTTGCATGGTTGGCTGGCTGCTAAATCTGCTATTGCTACAACTCTCCCGCTGAGGCGACAGCGATGCTCGCCGTGCAACAGTGAGTTGGTACTAACCCGCAGACGCTCGCACGCAATCTAGGCTGCGTTGGCGGCGCGATGCGCACGTCCGGTGCCGGTTTTTGTAAGCTGCCAAAATAATCACCTAGCTGATCGACATACTAGCCTTAGCTCGTTTCGACACTCGTCCTACGCGAGCCCTCCCTACCGCTAGCTCCCGTCCTGGACGGGTCCGCATCAACGCACGGCAGGCTCGGGCAGCCTTCGAAGGACATCGGCGCACAGCGCACCGGAATCCGCCTTACGCGTGCCGACGCGCGGCAGCACTCCATCACAAGCGCACCAACACACAACAGGGCAGCCACCATGGCCACCTTCGGCTCCAAGAGCCAGCACATGCAAACAAACACCGAGAAATTTGTGTGGGGCGCCGCGTCGCGCACGGACGCCCTCGGCTCCAACCAATTGTGGGGCTGGTCGCCGGCCAAAGATTTATTAGATCCAGTACCCGAGACGACGGGTGACATCTCTATACTGTTAGCATCACCAGGAGACCTCCGCTCGGTACTGCGGACTATCTCGGGGAGACGTAGTGCTGAGAGAAAGATGGGTCCCATCACGCTATATGTCTATGAACGGACGCCCGAGCAATTAGCGCGACATCTACTACTGTTGAGGATCGCCTTCGACTGGGAGCTGCCGCTACGGCAGCGCTGCGCCGCGTGGCTCGAGGTCTACGGCAACGCCCTCGTGCAGGGCCGCACGGAACAGTATGTAGGTAGATTAGCGGACGAGTTGGTCGACTTCGTGGGCGGCGATGATGAAAACCCGTTGGCCGATGTGGTAGACCTATCTTCCTTAAAATACAAGGAGCGGGACCTGCTGTCGGCGGCCTTTGTGTCGTGGAAGCCCACGCAGCCCTTTGACATCAACGATTTGTGGGAGCGGAGGTTGAGGCACCAGCTCGGGAACAGATACGATGCGAAAGGGGGGGTATTTGACTGGGATTACCGATATGGCTTGATCGCTGGGAAAGGAGACGCTGATCTAGTCCATCTCAAACAGTATAAGCGATGGCGCGAGACGGGCGTGGCCTTCGAGTTCGGGGACTGTACGTACGACGCGCCGAACCGAACTCTAGGTTCATATGTCGAAGGTTTATTGAAACAAGGCGTCAACCGAGGTTTGAGGCGAGAGGTCAAGGGCTTCTGGGGCGACATGAGCGTCGGGCCGTATTGTGGGTTGGGGATTGATGTTCGTAATAGAAGTGAAAATGCGGGTCTCTTTGAGATCCATGATAGGGGCCACGCGACGGAGCGACGACGTCATAACGCGACGGAGATCGCCATGTTCAATCTACTGGCTGACTTGTACGCGACGGAGAAGGGCGAACAGTACGTATTGGATAGAAAGAATGATGTGTTCTCGGGCCTCGGGTCGTACCTGAGGAAAGACAGGGATGCGTTGGAACAGGCCGAGAACATCGTCGAGTCCTTGGATGGGATCTCTATAATACCATTATGTGGTAACTTGGAGAAGGAGCTTCATAAAGTGCCTCTGCTCGATGTGGTGGATCTGTCGGTCATGAGTGTCGACAAGATCAAGCTGCTGCAGGGGAAACTGAAGCCGGGTGCTAGGATATATGCCGAGACGGGCCAGTTCCTCGTGCCGCTCAAAAAAGAGGAGAAGGCGACCTTTGTGGACAGAGTGAAGGAGCTGGCCGCGGGGTTCACGCCGGCCAAGTGTGAGGTTGCCGCGACATTAGCATTCACTAACTAGACTTCTTACTAGGCTTCTTCTTGGCGGGCTTCGGCTCGGGCGGGTCGTCGGGGTTGTCGCCCGGCTTTCGCAGCAGCGACGCGGCGAAGTCGTCCTCGAGGACGTCCTCGCCGCCGCGGCCGACCTCCTCCACACTTACTCTCTTGAGTTTGCCACCCTCGAAAACTAATCTTTCAACCTTGTCCCGCTGCTCTTCAATATCATAGCTCCGCCACGCGCCGCCGTCCCACGTCTTCTCGAAGCGGTACTCTATCGTCGCATCGCCGAGCTGCCACGGCTCCTCGACCATCTCATGCTTTAGGTTCGGGCGCTCCTTGAAAAAATCCTCGAGGCCCGGCTTGATCTTGTCGCCCGTCAATCCATAAATCTCGGCCTTCGGGGCGAGGTCTTTCACTATCGAAGCGATTTCGCCTTTGTTGCGTTTCTGCATGAAATCGGCGGCGAGCTTTTTTAGCGCGTTGTAGGACTCGACGCCCGGCTCCTTTGCCTCCGCGTCGGCGTTCGCTTTTACCCGCCGCCGCCGCGCGAGCCCGCGCTGCACCGCGCGCTGCGGGATGCAGCGCTGCAGCGCCCTCGCTGCGTGCAGCATGAGTAGCGTTGCTGCGGTGCGTCGCATCGATGGCGTCGCGGTGGAGTCGCTGCACTTGCTTGCCTGAAGTGCAGTGGCAAAATGGGCGCACGGCTGCACGCGCAATTCGAAAAGCGGCGCCTAGCGCAGCAACGCAACAAACTGAACGGCTCTCGCTGGTATGGGTGCACCGTTACTTGCTTGTTGTCTCGTGCGACGCGCAAAAGCCGCTGCTTGTACAATGCTAGTGCCTTACGCTAGCCCGGCCCCGCCCGAGCCGTACGAAGCATGGCGCAGTAACTATCCCGACCCCCCGGGCCCGACACGATTTGGTTTGCTACGCTTACTAGTGAGTGAGTGTGAGTCATATTCAGATTAATAGTCATTGACGTTGTCGACGCCGTCTACGTTGTCGTGGTAATCTAAGTCAATCTCGTCGCTAACGTCCTCCAACGTACCCGCGGCGATGTGCTCTTTCGCGGTCAATGGATTCGCCGCCGCGGCACGGAGAGAGGATGGGATTGGAGGAGTCGCGCACGAGAGGACGAGAGGCACGACTCGGTCGCCCGCTACGGGAAGGCGATCGACCGAGATCCGGGCCTTCCGTACATAGTCAGGAAATTTCATGCACGGTCCATCTAACCCATTCAGACGATACGTCACGCAGCCTCTGACCATATCGACAAGGACGCCAAACACTACCGGATCCTTGTTCCACGTCCAACTGTTGGCACCGAATGATTTGACCTGCAAGCAGTCGCCGGACTCTTCATATGAATGTATGAAGCACGCACATCTCGAGCCTTCCTCAGCCCTAATGTCGCAGTCGAGCTGGATCCCGAAATTGTACCCCCACGGCCCCATCCCGTCAAACATGAGGCGCGTGCCATAGCCCGCGCTCGTTGTCGTGACTTCGACGTAGTGCACGCCCGAACGTAGAGGTCGGGCCATGTGTAGTCTCGCCGAGCTCGCTGTAGAGCCCTGGCAAGTGTCGGCCTCGTCGACAAGTCTACTGATGTCCATCTCCGTCGGGGCGTCCTCTACAGGTCCTGTCATGGCCCAGTAGGCGAGATAAGTATCACGGTGCGCGAATCGCGCGATGCGGTCAATAATCTCGCGCGGCAGGAGGCGCAGCGGATTGGCTTGTGTTTGAAATCTCGGTAGCGTCGCCAGGCCCAGGAAAGCGTATATCCCGGGTGTGGTATGCGTTTGCTCTTCTGACAGAATTTCCGCCATGCTGTGCTGTTTTTAGCCAACAAGCGGCAAAATCTGCAAAAATTCGTAGGCAAAACCCGCCACCCAGCGCGAAAAACTCTCTCACGCCGCACACACGCGCAAAGCCACCGCCCAGACCAAAATGATCCTCACAACATGCGCCGCCTGCGCCGCCCCACTGGCCCACACCGCGCCGCGTTGTGTACGCTGTAAGACAAGATATTTAGTGTTTTAATAGCCAGTTTCTTGGGAGGAAGTGAATCCCCTAGCGCCAACTATAGCTATTGATTTAGTTGATTATGCCCGTGTACTCTTCAGGAAGCCGCCGGCCTGGTCGTCCTAGCCGTGCGTTTCGCCTTGCTTACTTCGACGCGCGACCCAGGGCCGGTATTTAGGCGGTGTACGATGGGCGCTGCACGAGGGACGAGGCAGCACAGGAGGAAAGAGGAGGCAGCTGCGGCATGCTAAGACAAGATATTGTAACGAGACTTGCCAGCATGACCACTGGCGCCGCGGCCACAAGCAGATTTGTAAAAGGATTCACCGCGGCGGCAACGCAGAACAATACTACGCCGACAAAAAATACAAGGAGGCCGTCGCGGAGGCCGTCGAGAAATGCGCCGACGACACGAAGGGCCAGACGTGCTACATCTGCACGCAGGCCCTCCACTGGAAAACGAAGGAGGGTCTTGTGCGCGGGTGCTCGTGCCGCGGGACGGCGGGCTTCGCACACGTGTCGTGCTTGGCGGAGCAGGCGAAGATTTTATTCGCGGAGGCCGAGGAGAACAATTTGGAGAGGCAGCCGAGGTGGAACCGGTGGCACACGTGCACTCTGTGCGAACAAAATCACCATGGCGTCGTGCGGTGCGCGCTCGGGTGGGCGTGCTGGAAGACATACTTGGGGCGGCCAGAGACGGACAGGGCTCGGTGTTTTGCGATGACGCAGCTTGGGAACGGTTTATCCGCTGCAGGACACCACGAGGACGCTTTGTCCGTGAACGAGGCCGAGTTGTCTATGATGCGGCGCGTTGGCGCACCAGAAGAAGTCATTCTCGGCACGCTGGGCAATCTTGCGGGCACATATTGTGACCTTGGACGGCAAGAATGTGCCCTGCGTATAACACGAGATATATATCAAGGATTCTTGAAGCTCAACGGCGAAGAAAGTGGAGACACCATCTTGGCATCCATCAACTACGCGGCGTCGTTGGGCAACCTAAATCGGTTCAACGAAGCCAAGTCGTCGCTGCGCAAAACGATACCCGTGGCACGACGCGTTCTTGGCGAGAGTCATCAACAAACACTCAGGATGAGGAAAACTTACGCGAAGGCGCTTTTCCTAGACGACGGCGCGACGCTCGGTGATCTCCGCAAGGCCGTAATGACGCTCGCGGAGATCGAACGGACCTCGCGGCGCGTGCTCGGTGGCGCGCACCCGCTCACAGTGGACATTGAGGACCTCCTTCGAGACGCGAGAGTCATCCTCCGCGCCCGCGAAACGCCGCCGACCAGTGCGTAAGATATAACACACACACTTTACGACGCTATCGCCCGCCGCGTCCCCGGCACATCCTTCTTCCCGCCGCCGCTCTCCACGGGGCAGAACGAGACACCACAAGAAGGCTAAAAACCCCGTCATCTAGCCCTAGGGTCACGATAAAACGCGATTTATTATACCGGCGCGGGCACGACTGGCGCAGGAACGGGCGGCGCCTCGGCCATCACCACGTCCTGCGGCGCGGGAGCCGCGGCGGCCGCCGCCTCCTCGGCGTCCAACCGTGCCAAGATAGCCTTCCGCGCCGCATCGACGGCGGCGTCGGCCGCAGCTTTATCAATAAGCCGCAATCTTTCAGCCTCTTTCTCATCTAAAACCTTCTTCGCCGCCGCGACCGCGTTGTCCGCTTGTAATTGATCAAACCGCTGCAACGGCGTCTGCACGTTGCGCGACGCGAAAAACGCCTCGAGGTCGTCGTCGTCCTCGAAGGGTGGTTCTTCTGGTATGGCCGGCGCCGGCGCGTTGGCCCATGCTTTTTCATGTTCTTCCTTCTTCTTCTTGGCCTCTTCTTCATGCGCTCTTACCACTTGCACGAACCTCGCGAGTTGCGCGCGTCGGTCCGGCCTACTCTCGAGCGTGTCTTCACTATCCGGCGCACCCAAGGCACCCTCCTCGATCGCAGGGTATTCCCCGGGCGGCCGCGCCACATTCTCGGGAACTTGCCCGGAAAATTGCCCCAGATAGGCCAAATAAGATCGAGAATCTTGCGGCCGCGCGTCCCGCGGCTTCCCGGAATTGACCTCCGGTAGTCTAGAGGCCCACTGCTCCGCTCTAGGCCAGACCTTTTGTAGGCAGCGCGAGTAGTCCAGGTAGCCTCTGACGTCGTCCGGCCGTAATCTTCGCAGGTTTTCGAACGGGTCCGTACTTTCCTTCTTGGGCGTCGCTTGGCCCGCTAAACTATACGAGCGTGCTTTCGTCGAAGCGGACTGCGGGTGGTTCGATGGCGCCGGTGCCGGCGCCGGTGCCGGGGCTGGTGGCGGCGGCGGCGGTAGGGGCGGTATCCTAATCTCGGGCGGCTTCTCCTTCGGATCACCACCTAAGCCGCGCGCCCCTAGTTGGGGCGCGTGGGCCCAGTGCCGCGGCTTCGTGGCATCGCGAGCTGCTCGCCAGGGCGGTGGATCTTGCCTCCGGTACTTTCGTTGATGTCTTCGGCCCATCGCCGCCGATCCTGACGCCGCAAATCTCACTCTACGATTCAAAGTCTCTACACGACTTGCTCGTAACCAGTCCGGTCGATGCAACACGGTCCGAGCTTCGCGCAGCGGCAATCGCGCGATGCCCAGGTCGTAACTGTCAGGAGGGTCTTGGCCCGTCAGCGACGGAGCCGTGAAAACACCGGTCTGACCGTCGACGGCGTCGTAGAACAACCTATTCTCATTCTTGATGTCCGCGTCGGCCTCGTACACAATGTCGGAGGGCGCCCGTCGTCCGTGTCTCCTCATTAATCTATCTAACTCGGCTCGTCGCGTGGCCTTGTCGATCTTCGACGCGGCTCGACGTCGCGCGGGCGCATCTAGTAGAGGTCCGCCAAACACTCTCAAACTTTCTTCTTCGGGCGCGACCGCGCTACCAGCTAACAACGTCAATCCGTCAGGAATGATCGTTCGTTGATCGCAAATGGCAATGGCCCGCAGCTTCCCATCTGTCAAAGTACTCCGGATGTCCTCCAGCACTGAGTTATCAGGCGGCTTGTGATCGCAGAGCCGGAACGTCGCCGCCTCGAGGGAATCAACTAAAACTAACCGATAGGCCTCGACACTCGACGACGAGTCCTTCTTGCGCTTCTTCGTCGTCGATAGTTCCGCAGAAGCCTGCTGCAGGCGCGCGAGCCAGTCGCAGGGGCACCGCTTTGACGAGCGCAGCCAGTCGTCGTCGTAAATGATGAGTAGGTCGGCCTTCGGCGGCGCGCGCGGCTCGTACGCAGCATAAGCTCTTGTGGAGAGTAAGCATACTTGCGCTTTTGTGTCTGAATCGAACCTTTGGACTACTTGGTCATGGTCCTCGGGTGTTTTGGAGACATGCAGTGCATGGTCCCTCAGAGCCTCTTCACAGAGATCCAGGGCTTCCGGTTGGGCCGCTAGAACCACAATACGTTTCTTCGGCGAGGACTTGATGATAGACCGCAATGCCTCAAGTTTCGTAGAGGTCTCCAGCAATGCCGCTAGCTCGCGTTTGGGATATTGTAAGAAGCGGTCCTCGCTCCCATCCAGAGCGGCCTCACAGCTCCTAACGTCGCCGTTCGTCGCTAGTCGCAACACCCGTAACGCCGCGGCGACAGCCTTGGCCTCGTCGCCTCGCGTCGCGCGCCGAGCCAACGCTCGTCGCACGTCGGGCCGGCCCATGGCCCTTGCGTACAACCGCCGTTGCTTATCCCCCGCAGCACAGGCGACCCAGGTCTGGGGATGTGTTGCTTTTACTTGGGCGACCGATGCTTGATGTGCTTTCAATACCGAAGCTTCCAGTTTGGACCGAGCGAGCGAGGGTTCCGTGCCACAGTCCTTCAGCACTGCATCGAGATCCTTTCTCTTGAGAAACGCTTCCAGTCGAGCCCAGTCTCGCACCTCGTCCGCACCGGACGGCGCATCGGACACCACAACACTCATGAATGAAGTCGCCTTGTACTGCTGCAGGTACGATGTAGGTACACTTTCAGAAAGACCGCGCGCGTCCTTCTTCGGGATGCGCACGTCGATCACGTCCATGGTCCACTCCTGCGACGCGCGAGAAGCTACTACTCGTTTATCAGGAGCATCACCATCGGGATAAACGGGCGGCGGCCGTTCGTTGGCCTCCGCATCATCTCGGGCCTTCTGGCGTATGATTTCCCGGTCTGAGTGTACTCTAGCGTCGTCACCTCTAGCTAGCACAACTCGAGGCCGGCCATCTCTAGGTGCTTGATCCAGTGAAGAACAAACATCCGCGCCATGTGCCCTAATACATTGGGTCCACCTCCGCTCCGACTCGTCGCCGAAGCACACGACGCGTCGTAGACCATCAGACCGGGCTAACGCAGCAGCGAGATCGCTCGTCACTTGGGCCTGGCCGAAGCGGCGCGCGAAGACGACCCGACCCTTGTGTTTTGAGGCTAATGAACTAAGTGTAGACTGGAACGCTTCCACATCTCTATCGCGAGACTGCAACCGACCTTCGGGATCCTTCCACTCACCAGAACTGACGCTGTGACACGCCTCGTCGGCCAACACTTTCGCGACGCTCACCTTCCACTTCCGCTCCTCATGCACGTCCTGCGACGCCCAGCGCATCTCGTCGACGCAGAAGTCGACGTGGGCCTTGAACCGCGGGGCGAGGTTCGTTGTGGGGAGTGCACCTCTATACGATCCAGCTCTCCGCAACCTCCTTAGTTTCCCAAGCGCCGTGTTCCATCTGAGCTGCAGCGCCTTCATCTGGCGCTGGACTTCGGAAGGCGCCGGTAGCCCGGGCTTCGCGGGAGCCGGCGCGGGAGCAGGTCTCACGGCAGCATTCACGACCGCAGCCATGCGAGGCGTCACGTTCTTCAGGTCCTGGTTCCGCGTGTTCGCCGTCGCGATGTCGACGGGCGGCGGCGCCGGTAAGGCCGACGCGCCCGTCGTCTGAGCTACTACCGCAGCCATGCGCGGCGTCGGCCGCGGCTCGTCGCCGCGCGGCGGGCCCACGGTGGCCGTGGACACGGGCGGCGGCCGCGGCACGACCGGTTTCGGCTTTGGTGGCGCTGGCGGGGGCGCCGGCGGCGGTGCGGGCGGCGCCACGGGTGCCGGCGGCGGCGGCGGCGGCGGCGCGACTGGTGGCGGCGCCGGCTTTGGAGGTGGAGGCGGCGGCGGCGCGGGCGGCGGCGCAGGTGCGACGGGTGGAGGCGGCGGCGGCGGCGCCTTGGGCGGCGAGCGCTGTTGAGGCGGCGGCTTCGGCGACGGCTTCGGCGTCGGCTGCGGCGTGGCCTGGGGCGTCGCCCGCGTCGCGCCGCGCGTCCGGCGCGTCGTCACCGGCGCCGGCGGCGGCGCGGGGGCTGGTGCAGGCTCCTCTTCAGGCTCCTCGGCCTCCTCCTCCTCCTCCTCTTCTTCCTCCTCTTCTTCCTCGGGCTCGGGCTCGGGCTCCGGCGCCTTCTCCTCCTCCTCCTTCTGGCCGCGCGTGCGCTTGCGCGTCGAGGCGCGCGTCGGCGCCGCCGCGGGCTTGGGCTTGGGCTTCGGCGCCGGTTTGGCCGCCTTCGCGGGCGCCTTCGCGGGCTTGGCGGCGGGCTTTTTCGGCGCCGGCTTCGGTTTAGGTGGGGGCTTCTCCTCCTTCTCCTCCTTCTTTTTACCGCCTCTCGTTTGCCGTTTCGGCGCCGGCGCCGGCGCGGCGGCGGCGGCTTTGCGCTTCGAGGACCGCGTCATGCGTCTATACAATACACGTTAAGGTTTAAAAATATAATGCAGCAATTCCAATGCAATTGCAAGCTCGCGCGCCGAGTTGTTTGCACGGGCCAGGGCCGTGTATGGCGGGCCTATACAATCTTGCGGCGCGCGGCAGCGCTCAGCCCAAGAGTTGCAGCAATTCTTTGTATCTTAATATAAAAAAATTTGCACTCCTCAGAATTGCAGAATTATGCGCGCGCGGCGCGCGCTAGGGCCCAATGCCAAAGACACACGGTCGAGCGCTAGCTAAGGGCTCTAGCGACGGGTTTTTGCCCTGCACACCGCAACAGATAAGCCGAAGCCCTCCACGCCGTCGACGCGACCGCGAGGCATACTACGAAACCCTAAGTTAGAGGAACCCCAGCCGCAGCGGCCGCGCCTTGAGCGTCTCGCGCACGTCCAAGGAGTCCTGGACCTCCTCGTCGAGGAGCATATCTAAGTAAACCTTGACGTAGTCCATGATGTCGTCCGTGCCCTTCTTCACGGCGTCCTCCTCGAAGGGCGGCACGACCAGCACGTTATGCGGTAGTTCCCGCATCTTCCGCAACGTGTCGTCGATGACCACGGTATTCTCTGCCGTGAAGCCCCTTGCAGAACCAGGCTTCACGGAAGACCAAACCGAAGGTAAATCGCGCATCGTGTCGTAGTCGTTCGCTCCAGTGGGGTCCGCTTTGTTGAACTTTCTCTCATATATATCTACGCGCCGACCACCGGTCAAGTAATCGGCTATGGGTCGCGCGTTGGCCTCCCGCATCGACGTATAAAAGGCGAACACGACTCGTCGCCGACCTTCCTCCGTCGTCCGCGCCGCGTGCAGCAGGAACTGGATGAGATCTTTGGCACCGGGCCGCGCATAGTAAAACGTCTTGTTCGCCTCGCAGGCCGGTTCCGCTTTACAGGTTAATCGCGTCTTGGACCGATGGACTAGCGTCCCGTTCATGTCCGCCAATACCAGGACGGGGTTGCCCTGCCTTATGGGTACTGGAGGTGGTTTTGGCACGGCCCGCGGCTTCGGTTGTGGCGGCGGGCTCGGCTGCGGAGGTGGTGTGGGCTTCGGAGGTGTCGGCGTCGGCTTCGGCGGCGGCGAGGGCTTGGGCTTCTGCAGCACGCGCGGCGGCGGCGGCACTGCGTGCGGCGGCGGCTTCGGCGCCGGCGCCGGCGCCGCACCGGAAGGGTCCTTGCTGAACCTTTCTCTCAACTCCTCGGCCGTCTCCTCGCCCTCGAAGCCCGGGCCCGGCACGAAGTAGTCGGGCACGGGCCCGCCCGGCAGGCTTTCCGGTAATTGGGCTAGGCGCTCCATGAGCGTCTGGGGCCTACTACCCGTCTGCGCGAGCCAGGTCCAGGAGCCGCCCTGCCACGAGTCCTCGCCACCTACTACGGTCGCGGCTTTCTGGTGGGCCGGTAGGATCTTCGCGTTCTTCAGGGGCTTGGCCTTTGGGAGGGAAACGCCGTCGTCGGTGTCGTCCTCGTCGTCGACCTTCGTGCGCATCCAGGCCGGCGTCAAATCCAAGCCTTCGTTCATGGCGTCGGCCGCGCCGGCGGACACCGGTGCTTTCGTCAGAGGCGACGTCGGCGGCGGCGGCGGCGCGGCGAGGTCGGCGCCCGTCGAGGCCGCCTGTCTAGCTTTCGCGAGGGCCGCGGCCCAGGGGTCCTTCTTTTTTTGTGGTGCTTTTTTTCGCCGGTTCTGTTGTGCGGGCGGCGCCGCATCGCCGGCCGCCTGGGCGGCGGCCTTCTGCTCGCGCTTAGCGCGGTTGGCCCGGGCGAACTTGCCTCCTGGCATCTTGGCTTTGTTATGCTGCTCGCTGCTTTGTGGTGTGAGGCGCCGCTGCTGCTTTTGCGCAGGTTGCTGCCTCGCTGCTTTCGTGTGGGTGTGAGGCCCGGTGCTGCTTTTTTGCAGCCCGGACGCAGTCGGCGCTCTCCCTGGGGCAATAAGCGATACGTCAGCAAACCCTCGCTGTCGGAGTAGCTTGCTTTGGGCTGTTTTTGTGAGCGAGGGGCAAAGCCAGGCTAGCATCGTTAAGACACTAGCACGATTTTCACCTAATTAATTGACGCTTGTTACGCGGCGCCTGGACGACGCGAGATCAAACGTGGGCCTTCTGGACTGTACTCTGGCGGCCCTTCGATTGGTGAGACGTTCAATCACGACCTCATCATTGAGTCATCAAAAAAGTGAAACCACTCGAGGAGAGCGGCCGGAAGGAATGGGTCGAGTATGTCCTCTGCCCGTCACTATTTAAACGAGGACCCCTATAAAAGAAAGCGCAAGGAGCGGATCGATAACGAGCCGTACAAACTAAACGTCGACGTCCACGGCATCCTCTTCGCCGTCCTCGACGACGGCCCGCGCGTGGGGACTCGACGTCGAGCGCGCCTCGAAACGCGCGCGGCCGGACTTCGACGGGCTCGTTTAGTAGGCCGGCGGCCGCGGCGATGGCGTACCGGGGGTAGCAGTACGCGGGTAACAACTCAGACCACCCCCACGCCGACGACGCCGTCGCCGCGTAGTAACTAACCTACGCATTACTCTCCTCTACCCAGTCGCCATCGAAACTCTTTTTGGGGGGTGAAATCTCCTCGAAACTAGCTCTAGCAGCAACCGCCTTGTCCCGCCGCTCCAACCATTCAGAATCTTGCCGCGCAATCTCCGCGTCCGAGGGCCTTCCAGAACACTCCAACCGATGCCGCGGCCAGTCCGCCGACTCGCAGGGCACGCCGCAGTAGGCCACGTTCCCACAGCACTTGCATAACCTTTTATCGATCGCTTGTTTCGTCGGGTCCAAGTACTTGAGGCATGTGGCACAATGTTCCAGCGACGACAACCGCTCCAGACACCCGCAGGGGAGCTTTTTATTGAGATAATTGGCGCAGGCCCAATCAGTAACTGTACTACGACAGGCTCGCATCAATTGCTCCTCGTCGTCGGGGTGTTCTACCCAAGCACCGAGGCGCGCGAGGAACCGCGCGTCTGAACCATAGGCGAGGTGGATGGAATCGGCAGCACAAGCGTACAAACATTTCAGGGCGCCCGGCGTCGCCAGTAGTCGCCTCCTGTCGTCATCAGACCAGAACGCGGCGACGGCTTTTAGTTCTGTCCTAGCGACCAAGTCCGTGTCGTCCTCCACACCTTTCATGCCCCCCTTGTATTGCTTCGTCACAAACAGCTTGCGCACGGCCTCGCCCGCGTCCCTTTTGCACGCGTGGGCGGCCCGCAGAAAGTCCTCTATCTTCTCATTTGGTGCGGGGCCGCCGTGCCGGCACTCGGGCTTGAAGCAGAGGGGCGGGTGCTGGTAGGGCGGCACGTGCTCCGTTTGGGGAGGGATGAATTGGGTCATTGCTGTGATTATTGTCGAGCAGTCCGCCTCGCAATGCTGCTGTTTTTATGCAGTCAGCACAGGAGAGTGCTGTGCTTTCAGAGGGCGGCGTTCGCCGAGACCGCAGCGATCGCGTGCTGTCGTCGCGCCGATGGCGTGGGCGAGCTGCCGTCACCAATAGCTGCAGCGCGTCGCGCCACGATGTGTTTTTTTGCCACTGCTTTGCGCTGCCTTTGGTTGTGCTAGTGTGTCTTACATGCCGCTAGCTTTTAAGTCCTTACCACGCATGGAGCGAGGACTAGATCCCGCCCGCCGATTCGAACGTGACACCGTCGGCCGCGAACGCGTATCTCGACCCCGCCGTGCGGTTCCACCCGCGCCGGACGGTCTCGGTCGGGTCGGTAGGGGCCGCGTCCGGCACCGGCGGTACGAGGCTGTCGCAGTCGTAGGCCTTGTATCGTTTCTGCAGGTGCTCGGGTAGCGTGCCCCACGAGTAGTCCGGCACGACTTTGTGGTCCGCGCGCCACCGCGCGCATTGCCGCTCCTTCGCCGTCGGCTTCGCGGCCGGTAGCGCGTATACGCGGCGCGCGAGGTCGGCCCGGCACCGGTCCGCGTAGGCGTGGTCGTGAATCACGCTCGAGAAGCGGCCGTCGACGCGGCAGTGCGGGCCGGGACCCTTTGCGTTCGGCAGCAAAGCGTACCGCCCCGACGCAATCACTCGCTCGAACGCTGCCGTCGCAGATTTCTCGGCGTTGCACTTTTGTTCTTTGAACCAGGCGTCCCGGCCGCCGCAGTCCGTCGTGTGGCCCGCCGGCAGACGGAACGCGCCCGCCGGAATCTTGGCCGGGCGCCAGGCCGTAAAGTCGGTCATGACCCTGATACCGTTCGGGCGAATCGGGCCCTTGTTGCAGTTCGCGAGGACGGCGTCGACGTCGTCGCGCGCCATTTGTGTGCGCAGGAAGCTGTCGTCGCGTACCTGTGTGGAAATCAACCAGTGAGTTAAGGTACGTGGACCTTCGTGAGCCTCCACGCCATCGAGCCACGGGGACAACGTCGCGTCGATGGCGTGGGATCGCCACGCCATCGCGCAGACGTACTTCTGACGAAGCTACGAAAGCACGTCGCGTCGATGGCGTGGGGCGCTCGAAATTTGATTTCCACTCAGTCGCGGACAATGACATCGGGATTCAATCGAATGACCCAGTCGTAGCCCGACCACCACCCTTCGCGCTCGGCCGTGTCGAGGCCGAGCATCGCGCCCGTCTGCCGCAGCATCACATTACCGCCTTGCACGCGAGGCATCTTCGACGCGCGTCTATACGATACCTTGCGGTCGACGGGCGGAAACGCGACCGCGAGCGCCCGCGTCGCGTTCTTCGTGAGGTGGCCGCTTATGTAGACCATGACGTCGGCCTCGCGGAGGAGCGACGACTTGTGCGTCGCCGGCGGCCAGCACTTGCGGAGGAAGGCGATGTGTTCCAAGCTTAGATGCGTGGTGATTAGAAGTAGGACGCGCATCGTGTTTTAGAGACTGAGGGCCCACTGTGCTAACGGGTAGACGACAAAAACGATCGCGACCTGTGCGGGCGTCGCGTCGATGGCGTGGAGGTCATGATTCAGCAGTGGGCGCGCCGCGAAATTTGATTTATAAATGCACAGACCGCGACGACTGCGAAGAGGATGCCGTGGACGTCTACGTTTAGTGTGGACGGCGGCTGATTGATCCGCTCCTTGCGCTTTCGTTTCCAATAGTCGCTCTCTTTGCCAAGGCTCTGCCCAAGTTCGCGCTGTGTTATACACTTCTGTTTTTGACTCCCCGCTCTACCCATCTAGAATACGACCCTGGGTCGTTAATCCGCCCGGTCGCGCGTAGTTGAGTTGTCGTAACTCCGTTCCTAAACTTCGCGAGCTAGCGGCCTGTAAGACACTAGCAAGCCAGGCGCTGTGATTGCTTGCAGCTGTAGAAAGGCAGTAGAAGCGGAGAATCGGCACGAAACGCCATCATTCGTCATCATCGATCACTAGCATCGCAACCGCGCAAGCATCCGCACAACAATCGACGACTAGCAGCGCATGCACTGCCTCACAGCGATGTTGCTGCTCGGAGCGCCCGCCGCGCGCGCCCTGCTGCGCGGCGCAAGAGTCAGCAAAAGTGCACCGTTGCGACGAGCAGCACTGTTCGCGACCGCAACAAGAGAAGGAACGGTCTTGATCCGCAACACGCAGCGCTCGCACGCCGTCGACGTCGACCGCCTCGAGAAGCTGACGCGCCACCTCCTCGCAACATTAAATTGTGGCGCCTTCGACGTGGGGCTCTGGCTGACGACGGACGCGACCGTGCGCAAACTGAACACGCAGTTCCGAGGGGTTCGACGGAGCACGGACATCCTGAGCTTTCCTTTTCATGACGAATTGAGCCCCGGCACCGCACCTACAGAAGTCGACGCGAGCGACGAGGACGAGCTCAATCTGGGCGACATGGTCGTCTCCGTGGCCTACGTCGCGCGCAAAGCTGCCAAGGCCGGTTCACGGAATGAGGGCCCGGGCGTCGCGCACGCCATGGAGCACCTGACAGCTATCGACGACCGCATTCAGTTATTAGTGATCCACGGGCTCTGCCATCTGCTGAACTACGACCACGAGACGGAAGACGAGTTCGCCGAGATGGCCGCGGTCGAGGATCGACTACTGAGAGCTCGGGACCGGTGGCTAACAGACAACACTTAGTAATATCTATCCCTCCTCTCAATGATGATGTTCCCGTCCTCATCGAACTCGTGGGGCGGCTCCATGAGCACGCCGCGCTGGGCCACGTGCAGCTTCCTTTCGAGCGCGAGCGTCTCATCTCTGGAAGCGCACGCGGCCGCCGCGTCTAACAAAGCGGCGTCGAGGCGCTTGGCCTGCAAAGCGCCTATATACCTCTTTCGTAGATCAGGCACCTCCATTCCACTTTGTGTAGATGCGAGGACGCGCGGCAGGTCGAGCTCGCAGCCGTCCGCGGCAGCGTCCAAAGCAGCAGCAATTAAATCGGGCCGCACCGTCGCGCGCTCAGAAAAGGCCACCAGCGCCTCCTCGGACGATGCGGCGTGCCGCGCCGCGCCGTCGAGGTCGTTATGTTTGAGTAGCAGTGAGATGGCGTCGTCCTCGCGGTTCAAACATCCTAGTAAATAGGCGGCGTCCCTCCACTTTTGTAGTTGCATACATCTCTGAAGAGCTTTTTCTTTATCATACAACGACGACGCCCTCAAAAAATCTGACAGGTCCGTGTGGAGCTCGACATACATATCGTGCCACCTCGATAGCTCCGGAGCATCCAACAGTTTGTGCTCGAAGCACAGCTGTAGGTACCAGGCCAGGTCTTCCCCGTCGAGCTGTTCGCCCATCTCGTCGATAGGTAGGACATCAACATGAGACACGAACAGTAGAGAAGCCGCAGAACGCGCCGCCCGGACGAACCGCGAAGCATTACGAGCAACCTCATCAAACAAGCCGTGGTCCGCGACTAATCTCTGGATGGCGTCCGGTGCGATGGACGTGCCTTGGACGTCTAACAGGCAGTCTAGAGCTTTTTCCGGCCGCTTGGCCAAAACGAACAACTCGGCCCGCGCTTCCACGTGTTCTGTAGGAATGCGGTCGGCTACGTTCGAAGCGTCGTACAACGGCGGTTCATGGGTCCCCCAGGTCCTTATTACAGTTAATAAAGCGGCTCCATTCTTTGCTGAGAGTCGCGTAAGGACGTCCTCGTACACGTCAGGTGCGAGTTTTTTCTTGGTCGGGAGGAGCAAGGCCAACGAGAGTAACTGGTCGTGGTCGTCAAACGTAGAAATCCATTCTGTCAAAGGCAGGAACCTGTGGCAGACACTTGCGGCCTTCTCCGGTGAGCTCGTCAGTAAGTGCTCGACGTGTTGGGATGCGACGTTCTGCACGTCGTGCCTCCCTAACATTGTCGAAGACGCCACCCTCAAAGCGTTCGCCGTGTCGCCTTTCTCCAAACAGACATCTACGAGGTCGTCGCCGTCTCTGACTCTACACGTGACCACCGCCTCGCCGTACAGGTACAGCGTGGGCGGCGTGCCCTCGAGCTTCGACCCGAGCGTGCGCCACTGTTCACGGGACCAGTTTTCTGCAGATGTTGATACTAAATGGTCGCACGGCACCGGTAATGTATCAGCACTCTCTACTTCACCAGAGTGATCCACTATTAGTAATTCCTCGTCGGACAGAATGGCGACGTGCTCGGGGCCGTGCGGCACGATTTGTAGAGCGAGGACGTCGATATGGAAAGTACTGGTCACGCTAGCTGAGGTGACGGGCAAGCCCTCGTCGTCCCAACCGTCCACTTGTACAGATATCCGTCGTATCGTCTCTCCGCGCGCCACCCACAAATCTCCCGAAGCATCCCAGGCCAACGAAGTGCTACCTTCGCCCTCGCACGCCAGAAAAGCTGCCGGTGTCGCGGTGTCACCGTGAGCGAGCTTGACGCCCGTCGCGCAGCGCCAGGCCACGAAGGCGTCGCCCCAACTTAGTAACGTACATTCGACGTCGTCGCCGTCGTCCACCGTTTGTCTTGTTGTTGAGACTAATCCTTTGCTACGTCTTTCGACGCGTCCCGTGCTGTCGCCGCAGAACAATGCTTTGGAAGGAGCACCATATAACGGTTCCAGAGTGATGGAAGAGACCCCGACGCAGCTCGATTCGTCAATCTTCTCCCAGCTGCTCGCGTCCAGATCGTCGGCGTGTTTGCGGCCGTGCACACTTATACTATTCCCGCCGCAGCTCCCTAGGAACATGCCAGCAGCGTCCCAGGCGACATCTCTTATAGAACCAGTGTGGGCCTCGATCCTCACACCTGGACTCAAAGCGCCGGCCAATTCATCTAAGATCCAGACCGTGCCGCGCGCAGTGCCGAGCGCGACTTTTTTGTCGTGCGGCGCGAGGGCGGTGACTTCTTCGTCGGGCGGCGTGGCGAGGCGGCAGTACTGGAGCATTGTTATGTTTCACGCCGCTGCTGCACACTGTGTTTAGTTGTGGCAGCCGCTATTGAGCAGTGGAGCGCGGCACTTTCTCTTTCGTCGTGGGCTGGCCATCGTCTCGATCGATAGCTTGTCAACGCGCGTGTTGACACCTCTTTGCCGCGTTTACGCACGTTTTGGCTGAAAAAAAAAGCTTGCTAGTGTGTTACGCGACGCTAGTTCACGCACGAGAGGCGCCTGGCTATTTTGGCCGCCCCTGGGGAGCAGGAGAGCTTCTCGGCAGCGTTAGCACTCCACCAGTGGTCGGTCGAAGCCATACAGCATATCCGAACGAGCGCCGGTGCCGCGAGCCAGCAGTGCAGTCCTATGGCCCCGGCAGCACCGAGCCGAGCGCGGCGCGCGGGCGCTGCACCAGCACCCGCGGCATCATCAACACGACGACGCGCTGGGCGAGCGGCGGCGCCGGCGCCCGCGGCAGCGACGACACGACGGCGCGCTCCAGCGCCAGCACCAGCGGCGACCACGACGAGGCGACGAGCACCGGCACCAGCACCACCTGCCACGCCGTCGACGCCATTAACGCCGCCGACGCCCTCGACGGCCGGCTTCTCGGAAACCGGGGACGATGAGCCGCCGCCGCCGCCGACACCTCCACCACCAGCACCCGCGCCGCGGCGCCGCGCGACGGCGCCGGCGGCCGTCGGCGACGCCTACGCGACGCCGTTCCTCCGCCAGCTCGCGGGCCGGACGTGGGTCGAGCGCGTGGCGACGCCCGAGCGCCCCGGCCGGTTGGAGTCCGTCGACGAGCTGTCTCCGATCCTATCGCGGCACACGGAAAACAATGTGTCCGAGGACCCGCACGCCGGTTTGGATGAAGATCAGCTCGCGGCGGCCGTCGCGGGCCTCGCCGCGCCCTCACTCAGACCGCGGCGCGCGGCGAGCTGGTCCGCCGGCGACCTCTCGATGACGTTCAACGAGCAGCGACGGCGCTGGGAGGGCGGGCCGCAGGTGGACCTGAGCGGGTTCGGGGCCGACGACGTCAACCCGCGGCGGACCTCGAGAAGTGCCGACGACGCGAAGGAGGACGCCATCGCCCAGGAGGAGCTCGAGGCTACATTACTCGAAGCGGAGAAGCGGCGCGACGGTGAGTTGCAACGGTTCTGGGGCGGCGCTCCTCCTGAGAATGGTGAGAACGACGCCGCGGCGTGGTTGAGGAGCGGCGACGCGGCGCGGGCGCTCGGCACCCTGCCGGAGGAGTCACCTGCGCCGGCGCCGGCGCGCCGCAAATCGCCCGCAAAAGGTGCTGCCGCTCGTCGGGCGCCGGCGCCGGCGCCCGCACGTCGGAAGCCTGCCGCCGCGCCCGCGCCCGCAAGGGCAAAAGCGCCTGCGAAGGCGCGATCCCGGGGGTCCAAGAAACCGGGCACGTAATAATGCGGTCTATGTACTATTCTCTACGATGATCGTCCTTACTTCGGGAGGGATATCACAGGGATAGGATAGATACAAAGGGCGGCCGCGTTGACGCCGTCGACTAGAGCCCGTCCGGCGAGTTCCCGCCGTCGAGCAGCTCGTAGGCCGGCCCCTCGCCCGCGTCCTCCTGCCCCATCAACGCCGCCCAGCGCTCCTGGACGAAGGCCACCACGTCCGACGCGACGTTCGAGTAGCGCCGGTAGCAGTCCCTGGCTTCCGCTTCCATGGCATCAATCACCGGTTGGGACTGCGATCTTTCATACACGAAATAGCACCGCACCAGCAGCCACGCACCGATGAGGACGAGGAAGAGGATCAGGAAGACGCGGCCCGCCGACGGGCCCTCGTTTGTCTTCTTGGCGTGGTGGTGATGAGACTGCGAAGTAGTACAGTTCGGAAAGACCTGGACGCCGCAACTTGTAGATTCGCAGGGCGCCATCGAGAAGGCCAGGCCTAAGTTTACACCTGAAGCGAGGCACCATCCCAAGTCCTGGTCAAACGAAGCCGCATCCCGAAAGATGCCCGCCGCGTTCGTCACAAGAGAAACGTCCCAGGGCAACGGCTGATTAAAAGACACGGCATCTTTAAAGGTCTCCTGCAATGAAGTCACGGACGACGTGCTCCACTTGTTAAGGGGCTGGTTGAACACGGCCGCGTCCTTGAACATGCGCTCCATCGTCTTTACATGGGAGACGTCCCAATTCTCTATGGGCTGGTTGAAGCCCGTCGCCTCCTGATCACTCACTTTGCCACTGAACATCTCGTCCATGTCCGTCACGCTGGATGTGCGCCAATTATTGAGAGGTTGATTAAACCCTTGGGCGAACGAGAACGTGCCGCGCATGGACGTGACGCGCGACGTGTCCCATCTGCTTAGATCAAAGTCGAAGGTTCTGGCGTAAACAGGTAAGACGCAGTGCTTGTAGTGCTTGTCGCCCTCCATCTCCTTCTGGCGCACGCAGAACAAGTACGACAGATCCGTGACTTGCGAGACGTCCCAGTCCTCGATGTTCCCGTACTTGTGCAACGCGGCCTCGTTGTCTTCGAGCCAGAGCTTGACGGCCGGTCGTATCGTAGAATCGGTCTGGTGGACTCCATCGAAATGGGCCGTCGGGAGGAGCGTCGGGCCGGGCGTCTTGACCGTCGGCTTGGCGGTCTGAACTGGTCTAGGCGTCGGCCGCGCGGTTTCCTTGGCCGTCGGCTTGATCGTGGGGCGCAGCGTCGTCGGCGCCGCCACGGGCCGCGGCGTCGTCGGCGGCGGAACCGGGCGCGGCGTAGCTTTGACTGTCGGCCGCGCCGTCGTCGGAGGTGCTGAGGGTTTTAACGTCGTCGGCGCGGCGACCGGACGCGGCGTCGCTTTCACGGTCGGCCGCGCCGTTACGGTCGGCCGCGCCGTTGTGGGAGGCGCGACAGGGCGGGGGGTCGCTTTCACGGTCGGCCGCGCCGTTACGGTCGGCCGCGCCGTTGTGGGAGGCGCGACAGGGCGCGGCGTCGTAGGAGCCGCAACCGGGCGTGGCGTCGCCTTTATGGTCGGCCGCACGGTCGGCGAGGGGTCGCCCGCAGCCAGCGCAAGGAACAGTAGCGCTCTGGTGGCGGCCATGCTGACCCGGTAGGTAAAATCGATGTGTTCGAAGGCCGCAGGTGTGCGGAAACGGCAGAAGAGCAAGGACTGTAGCCTGCTAGTCCCGCTTTGAGTGCTGCGGCGGTGCGCGCGCTGTGGTTCGGCGCAGGAAGCACCGGGAGCGATTAACTAGCGGCATGTAAGACACTAGCAATTCACCAAGCAATTCACTATCGACCCAACGCGACCCTCATCCGCATCACGCCAACGCAAAATGATCCTCACAACATGCGCCGCCTGCGCCGCCCCACTGGCCCACAACGCGCCGCGTTGTGTTAGATGTTGGACCCGCTACTGTGACTCGACTTGCCAACATGACCACTGGCGACGCGGCCACAAGCAGATTTGTAAACGGATCCACCGCGGCGGCAACGCGGAAAAATACCACGCCGACAAAAAATACAAGGAGGCCGTCGCGGTCGCGGTCGAGGCGTGCGCGGACGACACGAAGGGCCAGACATGCTTCATCTGCACGCAAGCGTTGCATTGGAAAACAAAGGAGGGCCTCGTGCGCGGGTGTTCTTGTCGTGGAACGGCGGGCTTCGCGCACGTGTCGTGTCTGGCGGAGCAGGCGAAGATTTTGTTCGCGGAGGCCGAGGAGAATAATTTGGGCGTCGAGGCGGCGAATACGAGGTGGAGGCGGTGGGATACGTGCAGCTTGTGCGAGCAGGATTACCACGGCGTCGTGTGCTGTGCGCTCGGGTGGGCGTGCTGGAAGACGTACGTGGGGCGGCAGGAGACGGACCGAGAACTTCTCAGCTTGGCGATGAGTGTTCTTGGGAATGGTCTATTGGAAGCAAGGCGCCTCGAGGAAGCGTTGTCCGTGCAAGAGGCCGAGTTGTCATTGAAGCGGCGATTTGGCGCACCAGAAGAAAGCATGCTCGGCTCACAAGAGAACAATTTGGACGACAAGGATTTCAATACTAAGTGGCGACGGTGGGACAAATGCAGCATGTGCGAGCAATGGTACCACAGCGCCGTGGCGTGCGCGCTCGGATGGGCGTGCTGGAAGACGTACGTGGGGCGGCCGGAGGCGGACTGGCCTCGGCGCTTGGCGATAGAGGTGCTTGGGAACGGTCTAAGCGCCGCGGCACACTATGATGACGCGTTGCCCGTGAGGGAGGCCGAGTTGGCTATGAGGCGGCGCCTTGACACGACAGAAGAAAACATTCTCAACACGCAGAGCAATCTTGCGACTACATATGCAAGGCATGGACGGATGGAACAGGCCCTGCGCCTGCGAGAAGACGTATATTCTGGAACTTTGAAACTCCACGGCGATGAGCACAGAGATAGCCTCATTGAAGCCAACAACTACGCGTATTCCCTTCTTAGTCTCAAGCGCTTCGCAGAAGCCAAGACACTGTTGCGCAAAACACAACCGGTGGCGCGACGCATTCTTGGAGATAGTAATGAAACCACGCTCAGGATGAGGTGGAATTGCGCGGAGGCGCTCTACAAGGCCGACGGCGCCACGCTCGATGATCTCCGCGAGGCCGTGAAAACGCTCGAGGAAACGGAACGGACCGCGCGGCGCGTGCTCGGCGGCGTGCATCCACTCACGACGGGGATTGAGCAGTGTTTGCGAGCCGCGCGAGCCGCGCTCCGCGCCCGCGAGACGCCGGAGCCATGAGCACGCCATCGCCGCGAGTAACTAAACTACTTACTTCTGCGCCCCGATGCGCCCGCCGGCCTTGATGGCCTTGAAGAAGGACGTGTGCTTCTTGTTCGTCTTCGCGTTCTTCAGGGACAGTCGTAATCTAGCGGCCTCGCGCGACGGTTCAGAAGCTGATGAATCGTCGGCCACCGCCCGATCGTCCGCAGGCGAGCCAGGGATATCCGTATCCGGATGCCGCGCCAGCAGACGCGCGTCAGCGTACGACGAGCCGTCCAATCGCGACGCGGGCACAGCGCCATGATTCAACAAGACATCGGCAGTAGTAGTCACGCCGATGTTGTAGGGCACGGTGACGGCGTCGCCTTCAGCCAGAGCCTTCTGGGCCTTCAACACAAACGTCGAGTCGTCCTTCTTCGGGTCCTTGACCTCGACCTTGCACGAGGGAGAAGATGCGCGCGCCGCGCTGTCGAAGAAGGGTAGGAGCAACCGGATGACCTTTGTGGACATCTGGGCCGCGCCCTCGACTTCTTTCCGTTCTTCTTCGGTCAAGTCGGCCTTCTTGTCCAAATGAATTTCGTACGCGCGCGACGCCGCGATCGCGGCGAGGCGCTCTACCTTATCTGCGGGAAGCGACGCTTCTGATGCCACCTCATCAACTCGTTTCTTCCGCGCCTGGACCTCCTCAATCAAAGGCGGCCACTTCAAGGCTTCGACCTCGTCGGCGGACCACGCTACTGGTGAAGGCGGCGCGTCCGGCAACGTGGCCACGTAGTCGCCGAACTGGTCCTCGTACTTAAACTCGTAGAAATTCTTGGCACAGGCCGCGTGGTCCGCCTCGTCCTCGTCGGGGTCGCATAACGCTAAGGCTAGGTCCGACGGCAGAGTCGCTAGGACGCCGTTCTTTTTGACATCTTTCGTCGCCACTAAGGCGCCGTTGCTCTCGCGCACGCCGTCGAGCGTCGCGCCTCCATCGATGGCCCACTTTCTCAGCTTCGCGTAGGCTTCCGACTCTTCCACTAAGGGTGTGGTGTTTTTCTTCTTCTTTTTCGTCTTCGCGGCGCCGCCGAAGCCGCCACTTAAGGCTGTCGTGGTGCTCGCGAGGAGGAGTGGAGCGTACAGGCGCATGGCTGCGCGTCCGCGTAATCAAGTGATGCTGAGGCTGCAGTGCTTGTGCAAGAGCTGCTGACGCGTTGCTATGCGCGCAGAAATGCTCCGTCGGCGTCGCAGCACTATCGAGTCTTCGCGAACCTTGGTCTAGGGTGTGGCGTCAATCGCTGTGGCCCGCTCTGCAAACTGCAAACACAGCCTCCGTGAATTGAGCTAGTGTCTTACCGCTAGCCCGCGACACCCTGTCGCCGGAGAAGCCCCGTTCGCCTCTCGCATGTCCCATAAGATGGATCCTCTGGGTTCTCGTACGCCTGCGGGATGGGTGTCTGTTCCCCTGTTCTCCGCGACGTGCAAGTCCCGCGGGTGCTGGAATGCAAGGAACCCGCGAGTGACCTGTCTGGTGGTGTCTGACACGCCTCTGCCGCGGCTGTCACGGCTCAGGAACGCGCCAAGAGGGTGCAGGCAAAATGCGCATAATGAGGCATTTCCCTCGAAACACGTTCGATACAGAGGCGAAAAACGCCACAGATCTCGCCGCGCGCCGGCGCGTGGTCTCCTTATACATAAAGCGATAGCGCGCGGCGATTCCGGCGCCGCGCCGCGCCCCACCGGCGGTGAATTAGACGTAAAGCTGTCTGCAAGAGGCGTGCGCCGAGGACACGAAGGGCCAGACTTGCTTCATCTGCACGCAAGCCCTCCACTGGAAGACAAAGGAGGGCCTCGTACGTGGGTGTGCGTGCCGCGGAACGGCGGGTTTCGCGCATGTGTCGTGCTTGGCGGAGCAGGCGAAGATTCTGCTCGCGGAGGCCGAGGAGAACAATTTGGGCGAGAAGGTGGTGAATGCGAGGTGGATGAGGTGGTCCGAGTGCAGCCTGTGCGAGCAGAAGTATCACGGCGTCGTGCGGTGCGCGCTCGGGTGGGCCTGCTGGAAGACGTACGTGGACCGGCCAGAGACAGATAAGCTACGGCAAGTTGCGATGAACCAGCTTGGGCTCGGTTTATCTAGTGCAGAACACCACGCGGACGCATTGTCCGTGAATGAGGCCCAGTTGTCTATGGGGCGGCGACTTGGCTATGCAGAGTACAACATGCTCGCCATGCAGAGCAATCTTGCGTTGACGTATGAAGTACTTGGACGGCTTGATGAAGGCCTGCGCTTGCGGCAAGACGTATACTCTCGAACTTTGAAACTCCTTGGAAAAGAACATAGCGACACTCTTTTAGAAGCCAACAACTACGCGGGCTTCCTTATTACTCTAGAGCGCTGCGAGGAAGCCAAGTCACTATTGCTAAAAGTGATGCCCGTGGCGCGACGCGTCCTCGGGGAGAATAATGAGGTCACGCTCAGGCTGAGGTGGACTTACGCGAAGGCGCTCTACAAGGACCCCGACGCCACGCTCGACGATCTCCGCGAGGTCGTGGCGACACTCGAGGATACGTTGCGGACCGCGCGGCGCGTGCTCGGTGGCGCGCACCCAGCCGCGCGGGCGATTGAACGCTGCTTGGAAGAGTCGCGAGCCGCGCTCCGCGCCCGCGAAGCGCCGCTGCCGGGCAGCGCCTAACTAAGACAAAGAACTACACATACCGAGCTACTTAGATCTGCTCGATCTCCTCCATGGACAACCCCTCGTAGCACGTCAGGCCGTCCGCGTTCTTCGGGCGATCGTCGGCGCCCTTCGACTTCAAGTATTCGGCCAGATCCTCGAACCCATACGCGTAGGCGTAGTGCAATACTGTTTGCCCCGTGTTGTTCGGCAGGTTGACGTTCGCGCCTCTCCTGAGACATAGTTTTGCGATGCGCTTGTTGCCGTTCTGTACCGCGATACTGAGTAGAGTATTGCCCAGCTCGTCCTGGTAGTCAATCGGTAACATCCAGTCGGGCTGGTTCATGGCATTTTCTATATCCCTGTATCTGGAATGGCGGGCCCAGGAAGCGACCTGCTCGAAGTCGTCACTCAACTTGTTCTGTTGCGCGGCCTCGGCCTCTTGCGCCGCCATGCCTTGTCTATCGGTCACATCGATGAAGCTTTCTTCGATCTTCTGCGGCGCCTGCTCCAAGACCTGCTCGGCCTTCGCAGCCAATGACCCAATAAATTCTATTGATAAAGGATCCTTGCCCGCAGACCAAGGGTCGAAGCCGACGGCGAGCCAATCCTCGGCGGCGGGCCGCGGCTTGATGCGACCGATCGGTCTAGCCTGGGGCAGGTTCGGGATCCAGGGTAGATAGTCGACTTGAGCCGTCCCGACGTGCGTGGCGTGGATCGCCTGGAAGAACCCTTCCGGTAGCGGTTCCGCGGCTCTCCTCAGCAAAGTATCCTTGTGGATTTCAGACGAAATGTACTTCTGGCCCTCGCCCACCCCATCGTTAACGAAGGACGTCCCGAGCCCGGCCACGTCGTGCGTACTGAAACCTCGCGCCAACGCCTCCCGCTCCAAGTGTTGATCAGGGTAAACAACTACAGGAGCCGTCCCCTCGATGTCCTTCTTTCTATCACCAAGGAACACGATCGGCGGCGGCAGCTCCTCGTCGGGCGGCGCACTCAACTCAACCTTGGTCACGCCTTGAAACACGTCCGTCGTCGTGAGTTCGTCCGTGCCTTCCTTCTCGTAGTACGCTCGTTGCGCCTCTTCGTCGTCGTGGGGCAGCTCGTCCATTTCTGGATTTTGGAGCGTGCTACCGGGTACGCCGATCGGGACGCCTAGTTTCTGAGCATTATCACGTCGCTGCGCCGCATCTTTGAGGTGCTCCGGGTCCATGCGACCCTCCGGGCCCAGTTCCTCGCCCACAATGCCTACTGAGCCTTCGTCCGACGAAATACTATTGGACCGTCGCCTCGCCGCCGACGTAAGCGGATCAGATGAAGGCGGCTGGAAGGCCGCACTATTGGTCGCACCGAGGCCCATGCCCAGGCCCAAGCCGAGTTTCAACAGATCTAACGGATTCGTGGTGCCTTGCTGGATGGCCGGGAGCAACGCAGCCGCGATCTCGCTCGAGATCTTATCCGCAGCGGAGAGTTGGGCCGGCGTCGTCGTGGCCGCCGTCGACGGCGGCGTCGCTGCCGCCGTACTTGGGCGAGAAGGAAAGGTCCCGGCCGTGCCCGGCCGATCGGTCGGTGGCGGCGTCTCATCTTTACCTACTACAGCGCGAGCAGGTGTCGCATCCTTCCCGAGTTGAGCAGCCGCCAACCCAGCAGAGGGCGGCTTCGCGTCCCTATTTCGTCTACTTAACTCCTCAAGAGTCGGTCGAGTCCGCACCTGCACCGGGTCAGCATTTTCTTTAGGCGGCAACGTACCGTTGTCCCGTCGAGCATTAATGTCCCGATTCACAGCGTCTCGCCTCTCTTTGACCTCCTCGGGCTCCTCGTGGTGCTTGTTTATGAGCGTCCGGACCTGATGCGTGGGCCGCTGTTTTACGGGTATCTTCGGATCCCGATAATCGTCCTCGTAATCTACTCTAACCCCGCCATCCATGACGCCCAGCTGCTCACAATCGGCAAGTGGCCGCTCCCAGTGCGTTTCGCCCGTCCGCCGATTGTACCAGTAGGCAATCCCATCGTCCGTGCGGTACTCTTCGAAGAGCGATCTTTGTACAAAGGCCCAGGATCTATAAATCAAAGATACGAACTGCCCCAGCGGTCTCGATGGGTCCGCCCGGTGCATGAACTCGCCGCACTGCTGCACGCCCAAATTCGTAAATATTTGCTCTTTATTGGCCGAGGCATGATCAACTAACAGTAAGTGATAAAAGTCGAGCGTCGTGTTGTTTCTGGAGCTGGGTTCGCAGAAGGGGTAGGTGTGGTCGACTTTCGTCGTGTTCGTCTCGTTGGCTCCCGGGGCGTTGGGCTCTGCAATTTCGTCGGACGGGAGGAACGTCCGCAAGTGCGTTTCCGTAATCACGATGTGTTCGAAGCCCGCCGCGTGGCAGGACGTCCTGAAACCAACGTCTGACGATTCACCGGTCTGGAACTCCCTATTTTTCCCAAAATAATGCCGCTGGAATCGCAACACCACCGTAGCGATACATATCGTCGGCACTTTGCGGTAGTTCAGGATGTGTTCGAGAGCCCGCGACACAAAGACTTGCGCGATCGGTAGTACCGCATAGGTCGGAAAGGCCGCCGTAATTTCCGCGGAGATCTCGGACACGATCGCCTGGCGCTCCATTACCGAAAAGTTGCCGAATTGCGGGGGTACGACGGCCTGCACGAGTTGGTAGAGTGTCAGTTCCGCCGCTAGACCACCGACAGCTCTGTTTCCTGGAGTAGGCTTCCTCGCAAAAGTGGCGAATTTCACGGTATGTGGACTGGGGTACTTCGTCCTTCGCAACAAAGCCATGCCCGCGACCGGTGACAATGTCCTAACCGTCGACATGGCGGCATTCACGCTGTCGCGCGTCATCGCCGCGGCAAAGCGCTCGAACCAGGCCACGGCGTGATTTTCCTCCACAAAACGGTTCCTCGCGAGTGGTGCCGCATCGTGACTGTAAGTAGGTTCGGGCATGGGGATGGTCCGAGGCGCCGGCAATGGATACACTTGGGGCTGGTACAATTTATCAGGATACGGTAGCGGTGGACTCAAGATAAACGCATATTCCGTCTGGTTATACTTCTCAGGAAAATCCGGACCTGCACCTCTCCACACAGGATGCCACTTGAGTATCTGTTTTCCGGGCGTGTCGTACTCCAATAAATAAGTCTGTCGACCCGTAACTTCGGGGAAGGACGTACCCGTTACTGGTGCGAGTGGCCGTCGATGTCTTGTTTTCCGCGTAAAACCACGCACAAAAATGCCGTTCATTAACGTATTCCTCAGTCGCAGCATGTTACCGCTATCCTTCGCGCCGGGTACTTTTATTTTACCGCATCTTAACTCCTCGACGAGTGAGGCGATCCAGACCCGCGTGTGGAGCTTCCGCCGCATCGTAAAGTTGCATTTGCCGACTTGCGCGAACAACAATCTATAAATAGGATGCTTCTGCTCGACCGTCGCGATGAAGCATTTTCTTTCTTGACAGTAGCGCAACGAGGACACGGATTTCTGGAACAGCTCCTGGATCTCCTCGGAGCGATACCGCCGCTCCAGATCTTCCAGATTCCAGTTCTGGCACATGAGCATGCTCTTGGACGCGTCCGTGAAGTCCTCCTCGATCGCGTGGATTTTACAATTCCTCCTTCCACTACTCCAGCAGTTGAAGCAGATCTTCTGGGGCTTGTCCGACGAGAAGTCGGGGACCTCCTCACCCAATAACAGGGCAGGATCGGGCTTCGGCGGCGCGTCAGAATCAGGCGGCGCGCCGAAGCCGTCGTGCTCGACGTGCCGCAGCGCCATGGTCTTGTCCTTCCACTTGTACTGGTCGAGGCGCGCTTGCTGTTTTTTCGCTGCTATTTCGGAATTCTTCATTAAAACACTGACAGCGGACATCCGCGGCCGGTCGTCCCCGAAAATCTTCTCTCTGCTATCCGTATCCACGATGCCTTCCGATACGGCATACTCGAGCATCGACGCCTCTCTCCTCAGTTGGTCGCGATGGCTGTTCATGAGCGTTTCGACGCTATCGAATTTTTTGGTCTGGAGCGTTTCCGCGACCGCGGCCTTGAGGGCCTCCTTTCGCGCTCGGCCGTTCGGTAGGAACAAAGGACCTTCCCCACCTCGAGACTGTTGGCGCGGCTCTCGCAGGGGATGCTCCTCGCCCTCGTACAACGCACTCCCGGGCTCCGGCGGCCGTGCTTGCGGCGAAGGTATGCGAGCCGGCGCTTCGGAACCCGTAGACGTATGTAGCGCTTCCAAGGACGGGATGTACTTCTTTTTTCGTTCGACCGAGTGGCGAACGGGGTCTTGGATAGGATCGGCCGGCAGTTCGAGCGACGCTCGTGCTAATTCTCTTTGTTCAGACAAAGATGACGATGTGGATGGTCTCTCAACATCTTGAGGGATAACAGGTTTCAAGGGTGGTAGTGTCACCGTTTCATCAGTGGTAGGCACGACCCCAGTCATACTCGTAGGAGCGTCCCATTGTGATTGTTGGGTCATCGTATTAAAATACCAGGACTCGCCCGTGTCGCGGTCGCAGACCTCGACCCATCTTTTTTCAATTTGCTCGTGTAAGTGCCGTTCCTCGCGCTCGAGGTCGTACGCTCTCTTACCAAGTTTGCCTCGGTAGTTGCGCTGGACCATCAAAGCGGCCTCATCTTCCGCTAGTCTATGAGATCGAGCTTTCCTCTCCGTGGAAGCGTAGGCGCGCTGCACGGCGCGCTCGGCGTTCGCCCGTGCGATGACCGCGAGTCGTTTTCGTTCATCCGCGAGGTGCTGCAGCCTGACACCCACATCGGGGATGTAACTATCAGCACCTTCATGAACTTCGGAAGCCTGCTGCGTGAACTCGATGTTGGCCCTTTCAATCTCGGTCCGAGACGGCGCGGTAGGCGGCTCCTCGGGCGGCGGCGTGACGCGCTTGACGCGCTTCTTCTTTTTTGGTGTTTTGCGCTTCGTCACGACGGGCTGGCTGTCTAGTTTATCTTTCGCTGCTCTGGATGTGTCCTTTCGTGGCCGCTTGTCGCCTCGCACGTCCGCGAGCAACCGCGTCGTCTCCGCATCGAGCGAGGCCAGCTCCTCGGTCCAGCCCGGGATGACCGTCGCCGCCAACAAGGGGTCGGCCTTCGACTTGCGGAAGTAGTCCTTCATCTTTAGGGCAGCGCTGCGGCTTGCCCTGGCGGGGCAGCCGGCGCGCGCCTCTACTACGGCTCGTTCGCCTGGAGCCGGGCGCAGCGCTTCGGGGAGGCGCCGCGCGGACGCTTGAGGCTGCCCGGGGCTGCGTCTTGGGCGAGTCCCGGGCGCAAATGCCAAGCCCTGCCTCTCGTCGTTATAGCTACTAGCCCGGCCTAGTGGGCTTTGGGAAACGCCGGACGGCTCCTCGGAGGGCTCCGGGGCACCGTGGTCGGCACCCTTAGGCCTAGAGGCCGAGAGCTCCTAGGCTAGTGTGTCGGTACGCTAGGTCGGGCAGCTGCCTTGCCCAAACGGCGGTTGTGCAAGCATTCGTGCCGCCAATAGGCCCAAGTGCCCTGAGACCGCAAATCTCGACGCCAACAGCTGCTGTCGCAGGTGCAAGCATGCAACAGCACATAAGCTCATAGCTGCCATGGCTGCTCCACCGCCGCCCGCGGAGTCCGTAGCCCAAATAAGGATGGATCTGGAGCGCGAGAGCTGCTCCCTGGCCGCCGCCGTCGACCGCTTGACACCGCTACTCCTTGCGCTCCCAACACTAACGGCGGACGACGCGCACAAGCTCGCGACGCTGCTCATAGCGAAATCTACACAAGAGGGCCCGCGCCACGCGTCGGCCGCGCAAGCCTTGGACGCGGCGTTGATTTTGGGAGGGGTGGCGGGCGTCCAGCTCCGGACCAAGGGCCCTGACAGTGACGCGCTGGCGGCCGCGGTGTGTCGCGCCGCGCGGCGGCCTCCCGCAACAAGTTGTCGCGACGCGTTCGTCGTCGGAAAAGAGTTAACTCAACAGGGCGGGCGCGCCGCGGACCGCTTGGCGGCGTCCACGGAACTGGTGACAAGGGCGGCGGCGGCGTTTGCCAAGGCGGCTTCCATGAAAGTCACGCAACCCGAGGTGAAACAGAAGCGGCGCCTCGGCCCGCAGCGCCAGAAGCCCGCTGCTTCCAGTACGTCATCGCCGTGCGAAGCCTTATCAGCTCTAGACTTTGTGAAAGCCATTGCGAGGCACGCGCCCGACGCGTTGCTGCGAAGGTGGCCCGACCTCCTCCCGCCCTCGAGGACGGGTTCTGGACCGTTAATTGAACTGACGTCCCATGCATCATTACGACCGAAGGCCTACGCCTGCTTGGCTGCTCTAGTAAGAGGCCCGGCGGGCGTGCGCGTCGTCTGCGGCGCCGAAGCGTCGAGCCCGTCGAAGTTCGCGGCCAGAGGCTTCGGCCCCGCGATCCGAGATGCGATAGGTGCTCTGTATGATTTCTGCGCGTCGCAGGATCACGACGACGTCGGCGTGCTCGTCGCGGCGTTGTGTAGTAATGCGCCGCCGGTCGACGCGACTTCTGAAGCGTCGCTCCGCTCTTCATTGATAAATTTATTTAAGACGGCGCGCGATACTAAAAGAAGTATTTCGGCGAGGCGCAACGCCTGGAGCGCTCTTAAATCAGCAGCATCATCAAAAAGTACATCTACGAAAAAAGTCGTCGCGTCTTTACTCCCGGACCTGGGCAAGGAGTTGTTCGAAGCACAAGCTATTGACGTGGTTGCGCGATTGTGGGCGAACCATGCGAAAAAGATGCAGGCCATCGACGCCGTCTTCGTGGTGCGGCCAGCTCTAACACTGGCATTGAGCAAGGAGGGAAAAAAGGCCGCTTGTGATGTGTTAGAATCAATCTTCACGCAAGCACCGGTCGCCTACGCGTCGTCGTGCCTACCGAACGTCTACGATTGCCTCGCACCGCTCATCAGGGACGACTCGTCGACCGTGCGGCAAGCCGCGTGTAAAGCAGCTGCAGCTTCACTTGATAAGGAGGGCGGTTCCGTAGCTTCCTTGTTGAACGCACTGCGTGAGTTAGTACAAACAGAAAGCGACCCCGAGGTCGCGTCGATTGCTTGTCGAGCTTTGGGGGTGGCTTGTATGCACATTGTCAAAAAGGAAGACGCGCAGACGTGTTGCGAAGTTTTGGGTCAGAGGGCCTCCTCATCCAAAGATAGTGTAGCGGTGCGGGCCCAAGCGGCCTTCGCGCTGGGTAGTATCGCCAAGGCCCTCGTCGACAACCACTCATCAGAATACGTTGGGACCGACGACGCGTTACGCATCTTAGAAGCGCCGGAGACGCGCGTGCGAGCGTCGGCGTTACGGGCGGCGGGCTACCTCGTCGCGTTGCGAGGCTTCGACAAGGCGTCCCGGCTGAGCGACGCGTTAGTTGATTGTTGTGCCGACGCCTTGACCTCGAAGGAATCTTCAACAAAACAAGCCCCTCCTAAGGTTCGGAGAAATGCTTGTATCGCTCTCTCGGTAGCCGTCTCCGCAACGGGCGAGAGCGTGACGCGGCGCCAGTGCCTTGAGTTATTAGTAGATGCGCTCCGGATCTTCTCGACGGAAGTCGACGACGACCAGGACCGCAAGGCACTCGCGCGGGCCGCGGCCGCTCTGTCGAAAGCCGTGCCGTCCCAGTGTACGTCGGACGACGCGTTGGTCGGTGAGGCGTTACGAGGCGCCCTCGCCGGCTTAGTGCGGTGCGACGGCGAGGGGGCCTTTCCTTCTTCTTCCGACAAAATTGTCCAGGAGGAGCGCGGGCCGAGGTTAGGCGACGCGCAACAACGACGCGCGGACCTCTTTGAGGCGCTCGGGGCGCTTGCTATTGCGTTACTCGCGCACGGGTCGGCTCAACAGTTGCGAGCCTCGGATCTAGGCGCGCGTTTGGATTTTGCCTACGTCTGGCTGTCGCGGTCGGACGGCGACGCTGATTTATTCGAGAAGATCGCGGCGGCGTTAGGGGCGGACCCGCCGCTCGCGCCCGCTTCGGCTTTGGAAAGGTGCCGCGCGCGCGCGCGGCTCCTGCGAGGTCGCGCCGAGGAGAGCGACGACGAGGATGAACTCTAGATTCTAAGTTTTGTGGAAAATTAGCCCTGCTCCCGTCGCGGCAAGGCGAAGACCGAGATCTTGTCCGAATCCACCCTACACCCGCAGTTGACGCGCGGCCAGCGCGGCCCCAGCGGCACGAGGCCCGCCGCGGCGAGGGCCCAGCCGTAGAACGACGCACCGGGCTTGTCGACGCCGTGCGTGTCGTCGCGCCGCGCGCCGTGGTGGCACTGCCAATTACTTCTAGCGACCGGCGCGAGCCATCGAGAGCGTTGTAAGAGGTACCAGTCCAGAATGACGGCCTGGTGCCCATCTAGTCCATCATCGGTACCTTTCGACACCGGTCTATGGTCCGTCTGTCTTGTTAAATGCACGGGTGCCATGTCCATGCACGCGATTTGGTGGGACGAGTTCCTTGCTAGCAACGCGGCGCGGGCAGCATTACAAAGACCCTTCGTGTCCGTCGCCAGGAAGGAAGATGTTATCGAAGTAACCCCGACGTGCTCCGCGTGCGTACGCGCGGACGCCGCGGAGCAGCTCCAGAGCTTCGTGGACGGCCTTCGGAAGTCCTTCGGCAGCGGGTCGACGAACGACGCGTTCGTGAGGCGCTGGATGAACGTATCGAAGTCCGCATCATTTTGATGTCCTTCGAGCTTCGGGGGCTGGAGTCGCACGTGCAAACCTCCCTCCCATCTCGTGTCCATGTCCTCTCGGAGCGGCGGGTCGTAAAACACCAAATCACCATGGGACCAGTCCCTCGGCGCCGTCACTTGCTGGAACTCTTCGATCGAGCCGCGCCACCGCCTCCGAGCTTCGACCAACGCCGCACTCGAAAACTCCGGTCTCAACCGTGAACCAGGTAAGAGCAACTGCATCGCCCTCACCATTAAACAAGACTCCCCGTCGAGCTTCCGCGAGGGGCACCGCAGCGCCTGGCCGTAGCACTGCACGATCCTTCTTCTGTCAGTACCTTTGCCTCCTCTTTTTGTCGAGGTAGACGCGCCCATGTAGCGGTACCAGACCAACGGGCCTTGGTGCACGATATGCTCCGACGGCGTCCAGTCGCCGTCGATGCCGCGGTGGCTTTGAGAAGTGACCCAGCCGTTTGATCTATAGGGTATGCCACAAATGAAGGCGCCGTGCGTCCCGCAGAGCAATTCCGGGCCCGCGCCCTTGCCGGCGACCGGTTGCCGCCCCGACGCCAACGCGTAGAGGAAGATATGCATCCAGCCGTTCAACGCATTACCTAATGCCGACGAGCTCGCCCAGTACGCGTAGCGGTCCTGTCGTACTTCCGGCGTCGTGCCGTTCATGCATGTTCGGAAGGATAACTGGGCGTCGCGCCACGAGAAGCGGCTCCGGTTTGTTGATCGTGGTGGCGTCGCCGCCGGCCGCGCGGGCGGTGGTGGCGCTTGCGGCGCGGGCGGTGGTCGTCGCTCGGCCGCCGCTGCGGCGTGGCCGGCGGCGCGCCGCGCGGCGTCGACGAGGGCGGCCGCCTTGGCCGGCGCGCGCCGGAAGAGGCCCGTCAGGGCAACGAGCGCCTCCGCGTCGGAGACGGGCTTTGTATGCTGGGCCGCCGCCGCCGCGGCCAGGAGCCAAAGCCATGGCTTGCGCATCCTATGGCTTTTTAGCAAAGCTGTGCAAATTATGCTGACATTGGCAATTCCACGGGCAGCCGTCACCCGGGGCAGCGTTTGTCACGCGACGAGAAGACGTACCGGGCTGCCCTCTCTGCGACGAATGCAGCCTGCACGTCGTCGCGCAATGCGTTCGAGATCCACGCCGCTGGAATCCTAGTGTCGGTACACCCTAGCTCTTTCCACCTGGGGGTGGGTTCAATAAGCGACTCTCTCTCTCTCTCTCTTTCCCCGGGGAAGATCCTCTAGCACGTAACCCATAGACATTTGGCCCCCACGGCGATCTCGCCACACGCGCAAAGAAACCCACGCGGTAGGCAACGACACCCCCTCCACGCCGTCGCCGAAAAGGACAAGCAAAGGATTTTACTCAGTGCGACGCGATCTCCAGCTCGAAGAACTCCGCGAAGACCGACGAATTGTGCGCCTCGAACACCAAATCGTGCAGGAACCGCTCGAGCAGGAAGCACTTCAGTGCCAAATAATCGCGGTCCAAACATCTAAACCACCGTTGCCTACGTCTCAAACACCGCCAGGACCAGTGCGTATTCGAATAGTCCTCCCTTCGGAAATTCCTGGTCACTTTCTCATTTAATGCTTCGAAATGCGAGTACCGCCGCCACAAACCGAACGTCACCGCACCCAATCTAGCAACAACTAAGAACTCCGCATGCGGTCTTTCTTTCCCTCGCTGCACGATCTGGTACTTCGGAATCCTCACCATGATACTGGTAAGTTCGCCGCAGCACTCGCACCGCCAGCTCTTCGTCACACTCGTACCGAACGGAGACGCGTCCCGCGCCAGGATCTTCACGTCCTTCTCGTTCGACAGGATCTGAGGACTCTCCTTGAAGTCCTTGCAGGCCTGGCTTTCCGCGATTTGTTTACTCCAGATCTCTTCCATGCGTTTGCGCTCGTGAGCGGGCTGGGCCGGGCGCGTGCCCGCCGTGGCGTGCCAGAGCGCTTGCATCTCCAGCGTGTCTTCTAAGACATAGTCGGGCGTTTCCCGCTTCTCGAGAGCCGCGGCATCTAAGCGGTACGCACTATCACCGGGCGTCCCCTCGCAGTCCTTGTAGAAGCCCCAGCCGCCCGCGTCGCTGGTCTCCGAGGCGGACTTCGATAAGCCTCCTCCAGAATGGCCTCTGTGTATAGATCTAGTAGGCGATTGTTGGGCTTCTCGCAGGGCATAATCGAGGGCCTTGGGGCAGACGCCGGCGCCTTTTTTATCTCGTTGGGCCCAGCCCGCGCCCGGCGCCTCGCCACTGTCGTGCTTCTTCCGCCGCTCCTCCTCGTCGTTTGTTAACGTGAGGCCGTGCGTTTTTGTTAGAGTTCGTTTCATGCCGCCGCTCTTGGGCGGGGACGGCGGTTGATCATTCTTCTCCTCCGCGGCGCCCTTGTCCGCCGCGGGCTTGTCCTCCTCCGTGTTTTCTTGCGTGAAGAGCGGGTCGCTGCCCCACCGTAGCTTGTGGAGCGCGCACGCGGGGGCCGCGGGGAGGCCGCCGACCTTGAAGGGGGCGACCATCGTTTCCCGAGGTTGTCAGGTGTAGCGTCGATGGCGTTGGGGGCGCTGAGCGCGTGGGGGGTGCTTCGCGCGGCCGCGGCGGCCGTTTTACCGCAAGCTGCTTATCCGGGCTGTACTTAGCCTCGGCGGCACGGAGCTTGCGGATACTTCTCAGCACGGTGGTCCGAGGCACAGTGACTGAGTTGCGCAGGTTTATCCTGTTCAGGAACGCGCAGTAGCTTCACCAGCGCGATTTCTAGCGCGTAGAATCGTTAGCTAGCGCTCGTAAGGTACTAGCAAAACCACTGCCAAGTTCAGCTGGCGATATAACGCTGCGCGGATCGTCATAAGAGACGACTCGCGTGGAAAAGTAGGCTATCCACGCTTCTTGATAGCATCTGCCCTCAAAACTGCAAGGCTCGGGCCCTAGAGCGAGAGCTGCAGGCACCGTGCAGTGTGCAGCAAGCAGCACGCCACCGCCGCGAGGCAAAAAGCGAGAGCTGCAGGCACCGTGCAGTGTGCAGCAAGCAGCACGCCACCGCCGCGAGGCAAAAAATGGCCAAGAAGAAGAAAGGCCCCGTGCCCCCCGACGAGGCCGCGCGCCGCGCGAAGCAGCGCGAGGCCCAGGCCGCCGCGCGCAAGCGCCAGGCCGAGGGCGCGCCCACCAAAAAACAGCGCAAGAAGCACAAGAAAGAAGGCACGACCTACGAGAAACCCACGAAAAGCGCTGATGGAAGCGGCGCCGCCTGGCGCCGACGCGAGTTCAAAGATAAAGGAAGGAACGACTTTAATAAACAGCGAAATGCAAGAGACGCGGAAGCCGCGAGTCGACGGGCCCACGACGTCGTGATAGTGCCCATCTTCTGGCGGCAGCGGCCGGGCGAAGAAGCGGCGGTGGTCGGCGAGGCCGAGCGCATCAAGCGGCTGTTGGCTGCCGCCAAGCTCGACATCTGGGTCGACCGGACCCACACAAAGTCGCCGGGCCAGAAACTGGCCTTCTGGGAGGAGGTCGGCGTGAAGTGGCGCATTGAATTGGGTCCCGATGACGTCCGCAAGAAGAAATGTGTCGTGTCGCGGGCGGGGGAGGGCCGGTCCTCGGCTGAAGCCGCGCTCAAAATCCGCGACGTGTCGTCGGTGACGCGGGGCGATTTACTGAGGGCGCTGCGCGACCGCTTGAATTGCGCGAAGGTGCCTTTGTTGGACGTCGACGATGCATTGGACGCAGAGCACGCCAAAGAAGCGGACGCGGCGCTGCGGAAGTGGCGCGAGGCCGCCGGCGCTTTACCGGCGCCCGTGCGCCCGCGGCCCAAACAACAAAAGCTCAAGATCGATATAGATAGGAAGGCCACGAGCCACGTCGTCTTCGGCGGCGACGACGACGAGGACGAGGTCTATGCGGATGACTCGTCGTCGGGCGGGTCGTCCGAGTCGGGCGGGTAAGTTGTGTTGATGATTCCTGTGCGCTAGCGACCTGTACAGGTAAGACACGTGCGGGGTTGCGTATTCCGACAGTTTCCGACAGACCACCCTGGGGCGGTGGAATTGGTAAGGCGTGGTAAGGCGTGGTGGCGTGGTAAGGCGTGGTGGCGTGGTAAGGCGGCGTGGTAAGGCGGCGTGGTGCTCGGCTCGGGAGTCGCCGCTAACGTCCAGTAACATACTAGCAAATCGGGGCAAGACACGCTTCGCTTGGTGTGCCGCATTGCTCGCACACCCATTGTCGTTACACCCCACCGACCGGCTCTGCTTCGCCGTCGCCTCGGGCGCAGCAGTCCGTCGGTGTCCATCCCTTGCCAGAAAGCTCCGCAACAACTTGCACTCAGTGGCTGTCAGAGCTCTGCAACATGCGCGGCGCCGCCTGGGCGCTGTGCACGGCGCACGTAGCGACGGCCCTGCTGGCGCCACCGAGCCCGGCGCCGAAACTCACTCAACGCAAAGCCGTCCTCACCGTGGGCACGCCGCTAAACTGGCCCGATGCTCTCGACCGGTTAGCGTACGTCCGCGAACATGGCATCGACCAGTTCATCGAGATGTGGCGCCGGAGCCAGACGCTGACAAGAGACGACGACTTGCTCTGGGGCGATGAAGTGGAGTACGCGATCCTCCGAGTTACGGATAAGCAAGCGAAGATCAGTTTGCGAGGCCCGGAGATCCGCGACGCCCTCGCGACGAAGGAGGAGGCGCATTCGTATCGCACGGAAGGCTGCGCCTGGCATCCCGAGTACGGGCGGTGGATGGTCGAGGGGACGCCGTCGCGGCCGTACGGCGGGTACGCCGCCGACCTGTGTCGGGTCGAACGGAACATGCGCCTGCGACGGAGGAGACTACTGTCGGAGTTGGCCGAGGACGAGATCTGCCCGACGCTCGTGACGTTTCCGGGGTTCGGCGTCGGCGACTTCGCGACGGGGTGTGCGGACCTGGCGCCGAACGGGCCCGTGGCGCGGTCTGAATCGGTGCCGGACGCCGTCATCCACCCCCATCCCCGATTCGCGACGTTAACGAAGAACATAAGGGCGCGGCGAGGAGGAGAAAATGTACGAGCTAGGCCGCCGCGGTTTGTGGATACGAAGACGCCGCGCGACGCACCCACAACCATAGAAGGCCTGGACGCCATGGCCTACGGCATGGGCGCCTGCTGCGTGCAAGTTACGTTCCAGGCGCGAGACTCGACAGAGGCTAGATATTGTTATGACCAACTCGCGGCACTAGCTCCCGTCATGCTCGCGTTGACGGCGGCGTCGCCGTGCTGGCGGGGCGTCCTAGCAGCTACCGATGCGAGGTGGGACATCATTTCCGCGTCGGTGGACGACCGCACGCCGGCGGAAGACGGACGCGGGCTCTCCGACAGTGATGATAGACTAGCCGGCTCAGGTGTCAGACAACTCCCGCGATCAAGATATTCCTCTATAAGCAGATATGCCTTCGAGTGCGACGGCCCTGCGGGCCAGGTCCGGCGCTTCTGCGACGTCGACGCGCCGATTGATGAACAAGCATATAACAAACTCAAGGCCGCCGGCGTCGACGAAGCGTTATCACGGCACGTGGCCCACCTCTTCGTGCGAGATCCGTTGGTGTTGTTTGAGGGTCTGATCGAGGAGGTAGATGATACCACAGCCACGGACCACTTCGACAACCTCCAGAGTACGAACTGGAACACCGTGCGACTCAAGCCGCCCACCGGTCTAGGAATAGGCGGTATTGATTCCAATCCAGCGGAACGGGAGCCGGGCTGGCGCACGGAATTTCGGCCGATGGAGGTGCAACTGACGGACTTTGAAAATGCCGCGTTCTCCGTTTTTACGGTTTTGGTGACGCGAGTGATTTTAGCGTTTGATCTGTCGTTATATGTACCTCTTAGTAGAGTGGATGCCAATATGCGAAGAGCACAACGCATGAACGCAGCAACATCGGAGAAATTCTACTTCCGGAGGCAACTCGCCCCGAACGAAGTGAGTGAAGCGCAAAAGTTCGTCAACTGCTGCGGCGGCGACGACGATGATGTGTTTGAGGAGATGACCTGCTTGGAAATTATCGACGGGAAGGGGGACTATTTTCCCGGCTTGGCACCATTAGCTTATGCGTATCTGGATCACATTGGCTGCGACGGTGATACCCTTGCAAGGTTGTCGACGTATATCGAGTTAGTCCGGAAGAAGGCCTCGGGCGAGGCCGTGACGGGGGCTTCTTGGATCAGAAAGTTTATCACGGAACATCCTGAGTATCAGCAGGACTCGATTGTCTCGCCCAAGATCGCGCGGGATCTGGCCGTCGCGGCGCACGACGTGGGCCTGGGGCTGCGACCGGCTCCGGAATTGACGGGCGGTCAAGTGATCCGGCCGATCACGCGGTCGGGGGCCTGGGACACGCGTCTTTCCGCCGATAAAATCCCCACCAAGGAAGAACGGCGGGAATTGCTCGCTAGGTACGCGCGGCGCGGGCCCTTCCGGGGCGCCCAGGGGTAATGAAAGTATTGTGACTTACGTTTCGCCCTCGGCCACCCGCGTGTCGTAGGCGCCCCAGGTCTCGGGTTCAGGCTCCGCGACGGCCCGGTCGACGGCGACGGCGGGCTCGCCGGGCGTGCCCCGGAGGTCCGCTAACGCTCCCTTCGGAACCTGTGTGACGGTATATTTCTATCCCCGCACGCCATCGCCGCGACGCCACCCATGGTAGAAGGACGCCGCGCGCGCACCGTGCCGCCCACGGACACGTTCTTCGGCAACGGCGCCTCCCCGCCCAAATCAACGGGTATCGTCGCCAGGGGCATGACCTCGAGCAGCGCCTTCAGGTGATCGTCGGACGCCCCAAAAACTTGCACCTTCGCCGCCGTGCCCGGATTCAAAAAACCCTTGACCATGCCGTACAACCAGGAGAAGACCGCCGGCGCGTTCACGATGTACGTCGCGCTCAGTCGTTCCGGGAAGTTCGGCTCGGTCACGTCGAGCATCGCCTTAAACAACGGCACGCCCCAGGCGTGGTGCGTACCTAAATCTCTCATGTCCATGATGAGCGGTGCGGAGGTCTCGAAGGTGTTCTGTGCGAGGCAGCGCCTTCTTATTTCTTCGAACAGGGCCTCGTTCTTCAGGCAGCAGTACTCGATCCATTTTTTTCTTCCTACTTCTCTTTCTATTCCTGGTAAGTCGGCCTTGCCTAGTCGTATGAGTTGTACTGGTCTGCCCTTCAAGTCCGAACCCTCCAACAACCCATCCGGCCACCATCTCTCTATAAAGGCGTCCTCCGGCGTCTTCCCAGCAGCCAATAACTCTCCAAACCCATACTCGTCGCGCCACTGCCCGTGGTCCCTGAGCATCTTCTCCGCTTTATTCACATTCCCATCTCTCGCTCTTACGAATCGTACGAGATTCGCATCTTCCAACAAGTGGTCCCTCTGCAATGAAGGGTCGTCCTTGCACCTTACCCGTAAAGCCTCGACCTTCGCCCGTTCCGACGCATCTAGATAGTCCTCCTCGCTCAGTACCTCGTGCCGGTCCCTTCGTCGCTTTTCCACAGCTCCTCTGATGGCGGCCATCCAGTCATCAGCTATTGTTACGGAAGACGCTCGGAGCGTCAATTCATTTCCCCTTGCGGATGTGACGACGAAACTATCAGCATCGTGCCACGCGGCGACGGACGTGACGTTCTCCAAGGGTAAGGCGAAGCGCGTCCGCTTCCTTTGCTTCTTCGAGGCCGCATACACCAAATGAGTTGACGACAGAGCCACGTATCGAGTTTGCCACTGGCCCTTCGTGCTGCGCTTCGCGAGCTGCCCTTCTTTGGTTGCGGCCGTCGCGCCGCAGGCCTCGCCCAGCTTGAGCTGGTCGCCGTGGATTTGCGCCTTTTGCACCACCTGGTCGATGGCGACGGCCGGCAGCTCCTCGGCGAGGGCGTGGACCGTGTCCACTGTTCTCAAAGAAGCGTGCTCCAATTGTGATAAAGGTACGGACTCCCTTCGTCCTAACGGTTTATCTCTGTTCTGGTAGTGGACGAGGCGGTAGGCGCAATAACAAAGGCTGACGAGGAGTAACGCCCAGGCGGCGGCGCTCGTCGACGCGATCATTGTTTGCAGCGGCCGCGTCTCGCGGCGGTGAGCGTGCTCGGACCGCGCGCTTCGCGGCGATTGGTGCAAAACGCCTGCAAGCCCTTGGTGCTGCAGGCGTTGTTTCCAGCGCACGCGTCGCTGCCGAGCCCAGAAACGTCCGAATGATCAATATGTGTTGCTGCGACTGCGTTCCGCTCGCCGAGCACTGAAACGCGTTGGCTGAACGCTGCGACGCGACGCCCGCATGCCAAGCCTGCCTCTCTCGCAAAGTCGCAAAGCGGGAGAGCGCGTTTGCCAGACCCGCTCCCAGAAGTCCTTCGGAATCTTGGAACGATCTGCCTGTGGCCTCCAAATCCAAATTTTAGCCCCGCGTTCATGTCGAAAGCGCTGGGCAGGCAGGTCCGGCGCCGCACTCTGTGAGCGCCGCATTCGTCGAAAGGGCAGCCTAGAGATGGTCCACAGACGACGATAGCACCGATGGCACGCCGCCGCCGCCGCCGCAGGCTTGGAACGGCAGCGCTCGTCGCGTCCGCCGCCGCGAGGCCCTGCCCCCTGGCCACCCGAGAGGCCAGGTCCGCTACCGATTTGTGCGACCCGCCAGAAATGGTCCAGATCTGGAACGACGGCTCGCTACCAGTGCAGACCTACCGTCTGTCGTCGAGCGGTGAAGAAATAAAACACGCGGCGCCGATCTCGAAGGGAGCGGCTATTTTAGCTGAGGGCTGCTCCAAGACGGTCTGGCGCGCAAGACTGGACCAGGGGCGGCTCGTCGACGAGTTCACGCAGGGCTCGTCTTCCGCACCCGTAGAAACGACTGCTGTTTCCATCTCGGCGTCGTCCCTCACGGAAGACGTCGCGTCGGAGCGGTGGCGCATCCAGGACTGCCAGCCCCAACCGCAGTTTCCCGTACGAGCGCGCTTTTCGGAATTAAGGGATGTCGGGGCGTCGTTCGACCTGCAAGTCACGCGAGGTAATGTAAGAAGTCGGACCGAGGTCTCTCCAGCGAACAAGGTCCCGGGCCCCGAGATTTTTGCGGACGTCACGTTGGACTTACTGGAAGCGTATAAGGGAGGCAAGCTCGTCAAGTTCGCCGTGAAAAGACGTATAAAATGTCCGGTGTGTGGTGGTCTCGGCGCGCCTGCAGCGAAAATCATCCAGTGCGACCGGTGCTTCGGCACGGGTTTGAGGCACGCGACGTGGCGGCCCCACAATGAGTCAATCGGCGAAAGTCGCAGGACGAAGTGCGGCAAGTGTGGGGGGTGGGGCGAGACGTGGCTCCCAGAACATGCTTGTGTTGGATGTGGCGGTGCTCGGTTACAATCCGAGGAACGCTGGTTCTCCATCGCTCTACCTGAGGGTGTCCAAGACGGCTGGACCTTGCGACGAGAAGGTCTAGGTGAAACTAAACTAGAACCGGAACGCGGGCAACTCCGGGCGCAGCTCGAGCCCGGTCCACTTGTTTTGCGAGTGCATGTTGAGGAACACGAGAACTTCACGCGTACGGGAGATGATTTAGTTGTTGTGGAAAAAGTAGACGCGGCTGAGATGGTCTTCGGCTTTCAGCGCGTCGTGGAGCACTTAGATGGGTCGTTAATTGTCTTCAACCGGACGGAACCCTCTCCCCCAGGAACGGAGCTGCGCGTGTCGCAAAGGGGCTTCCGGCACTTTGATGTCGAGGATTCAGGACCGTCGGACGAGCGGGGGGACTTCGTCGTGAAAGTGGAGCTGGCCGTGCCTTCCACGGACTCGGGCGAGAAGCAGGAGTTTTACGAGGGAATGGTGGGTAAGATATAAGTTTTGTATATGGCGCGTCGATGGCGTATTCTAGACGGGCGCCGGGCGCGGACCGCGCGGCGTCTGTGTTTCTTAATTTCGGGAGTTCGGCTGTTGCTTACCCGTACGACGGACCTGCCAAGGTCCCCGAAGACCTCGCAACGGGTGCGTTGAGGTCTCTTCGAAACGCTAAATCCATTAATTAATTGCTGGATTTGATCAGACTCTCCGCCTCATAAAGCCCGACCACGAGGCAGGAATCCAGCGCCAGAAGCAAATTCAGCCTCGGACGCATTGCCTAGACATGTGTGCTGGCCCTCGCGCGGCGGCAGTGCTCAGCGATGCTATGCGAGCGAGCTGGAGGGCAGCTGCTGCCTTGGCGCCATCTCAGGAGCCGCGGCTAGGGCGTAGCCGATTAAACCGCGCCGCCGACCCGCCGTCTGGCAGCAGCCAACACACATCGAGTCATAGTCACTGGGCGAAACGCCGGCCCGCGCCGCGGACGCAGACGCCGGGACGAGACGCATTGCCCGGCAGCAGCAGACACACAACTACGCCGCGAACGCGTCGCGCCGCTCGACGCCAGACGCTGAAAAGGATCGCGCGCGCAGGTCTAGCACATAGCGCCAAAGACAGACGATGTGGTCGAAGCTCGCCCTCGTCGGCACCGCCGCGGCCTTCGTCGGCCCGCGCCCGACGCGCCTCGCCCCTCTGGCCAACAACCCCCTCGACAAGCTCGGGTTGGAGAAGCCCGAGGACGTCGCCAAACTCGTCCAGGAGAAGGTCGGCGACCTGGACCTCGACAGCGCCAAGGCCTTCGGCTCGAAGAACCTGGACGTCCTCAAGGACAACCAGGAGCGCGCGCTCATCGACGTCGCCGCCGCGGCCTTCTGCGGCTTGCTGTTCGCGGGCGTCTACGGGGCTGTGGTCTTCGCGCTGGGCTGGTTCGCCGCGGCGCCGTCGACGGACGCGTACTCGCGGCCGGCGGACTCGTACGGCGCCTGCATCGAGACGGCGCTGCCGGGCGCGGCCGTGGGCGCCTTGGTGGGCATGCTCCTCACGTTCAAGATCTTTTCCATCCCGACGGACATCTTCGCCGTGCTCATCTCCGTGGTCGTCATCTCGGGCGCGCGCGCGGGCAAGCTGTACTTGGACACGAAGCAGACGCCCTCCGCTTCCGATTTGCAGTCCGTCGACGTCGGGTCGCTCAAGTGGCCCAGCCTCTGAGGATCCGAGCCCCGATCTAGAGCGGTGGCGTACTAATTTCTAGACAACCACAACAGTTATGTGCCCCGTCGACGGCGTTCGCCGCCGCATCAACGGCCTTTTTTTCGGCGCCTCGCGTCGACGGCGTCGCTTCATACATCCTTCTTGGGCCGCCAGCCGAGCTTCCGCGCGATGTACGGCGTCGCCGCGATGGTGAGAAACGTCCGCGGGATGCCCGTCAGCGCCACCGTGAGCGCGTAGGCCACTCCAAGGGTCCCGGCGCCGGAAGACACGACTGTAGACATGTCTGTGCCCGTCATCGATTCAACCACCCGCAGGAGCGCGCCCACGTCCAGGCCGTGGTCCACGGCTAAATAGAAGAGGCCACAAACAACAACCTCGGTAGTGACGTGGAAGCCGAGCGCCAAGGGCCCGTAAGCCGACACGAGCCGCTTCATGCGCTCGCTCATGGACAGCTCCGAGCCCTTGCCGGCCTCTCGGACGTAGGCCGCGTGGACCTTGCGTTTCTCGTTCAGTCGCTCGAGGCGCTCGACGCGCTCGGGGCCGAGCCGCTCCTTGCCGCGTTCTACGAAAGCATCAAACTTCTGCCGTCTCATTGATTTCGCGTCGTCGTCGTCGTCGTCGTCGCGCGGTCGGCCGCCGATGCTTCCCGCGCCGAACGAGCGGCGCGATGCGGAGGCGTCCGTGTGTGCGCCGGGCGGTCCGCTGCCGCTGAGGCCGCCAGCGCCGAATGCGCGCCGCGTCGGCGTGCAAAACCGCTGGGTGATGCCACCTGTGGTGCTGGTGGCACTCCTCGTTACACGTGGAAGCTGTGCAATTACGCTCGAGCTACGTTGTCGAGCATGCCTCGTGAGCACTCTTGTGGCACGGAACGCCATCACGCGCGGATTATAGGCCTGAAATGCGGACGAGCACTACGCGGAGCTAGCGGTATAAGACACTAGAAAGCCAGCAAAACTTGTCTGCTGGCTTTGGCAGCTCTGTAGTGCCTTAGAAGCGCTCGAAGTATTGTGGAAATCTCGCAGAGAGGCCACAGAACACGTAGAGCTGCGCCACAGCTTCAACGAGCACGGCTATCTCACGCCACAGTCTAGCTCTCCAAACCCACTGGCTGAGAGATCGTCACGGCTAGCGGCGGATGGCCGCCTACGACGCGGCCGCGGCCGAGCCCCGCACGCTGCGCTACTTCGTCTCCGACCGCGAGCCCCTCGCCGCCAAACGCATCGGCGGCGCTCTGAACGCGCTCGAAAACGCCTCGAACGGTACGTTAGTCGTCCAGCGCGAGCGCCGCGCCGCCAACGCGGACTTCATCTGGTTGAATACGCCGAGCAAGGCCCACAAGGCCGCCTGCGCTTCTGTAGCATCGTACAACCACGTCGTCGGCGCCCGGCAGGCCCTCGAGCACAAGGGCCGGTTCTCGGACCTCGCGGAGCGCTGCGGCGAAGCGGTGCTGTGGTCTCGAAGTTTTTCGAACGTGAAGGAGCTGCGGGCGTTCATCGAGCAGGAAGATCTGCGAGGCGCCTGGGTCGTCAAGGACGCGACCGCGAATAGCGGTGTCGGATTGTGGTTCGCATCATGCGCGGAAGATTTACTTCATATGACTATCGACGCGCGGCACGAAGTCGTGCTGCAGTCTTATCTTCATAATCCGTTGTTGTGGCGAGGTAGGAAGCTCCAGTACCGGTGTTATTGCGTGTGGCGCGGTCGAAGGTGCTACCTCTATACAGGAGCCATGGCCCAGGTCTGCGCCTTGCCATATGCACCGCCTTCCGGTGATATGGCTCCGGAACAACATGTGACAAATGTGTCCTGCAACGTCGACTCATCAAATTTCGTGCCGGAGCGGCCCGTCCCAGATCTTCGACAGTCACATCCGGAGGCCTTTGAGGCTGTCGTAACAGCTCTAAGGTCGCTCTCGCGGGCCTGCGCGCCGGCGCTGGCTCCATCTTCCAACAGATTTGAATTGGTCGGCGTCGATGTGCTGCTCGAGGAGCGAGATAACGAGCTGAAGGCGCACCTCATCGAGTGCAACTGCCCGCCGAACGCCTATGGCTCTTCTGATCATGGACCGGTGGAGGCGTTCCACCACGGCGTCGTGACTTCCCTATTGGCCTTTTGCGTCCTCGACGCACCGTCTGAAACATGGGTCTGTGTAGATGCGCAAAAACCGTGCGACACGGCGTTTAGTACGGCCCTGGGGCCGGCGCTAGCTTGGAGGCGGTTCCGGGCCGCGTCCAAGCTCTTAGATGCGGTCTCTGAAAGGCCACCTTCTGTTTCAACGGCGATCGCATTACAAGCGAGACGTAGATTTGCCTTCTTTGATGACGATAATAGATGGGCCTTTTTAGAGAACGGCGGCGGCACGCAGGTGCCTCGTTGCGTGATCGAGGCGTCGCAGAACGCTCTGCAAGCGCGCTGGCGCGATATCCACGGCGCTGCCGCCAGGGAAGCGTGTCGAAGCTTTGCGTGTAGGTGGCTGCAGAAGGATACGGTCTTCCTCGCCGCGAACGCGTCGAACGCTTTGGACCAGGTGGCGTCCCTCACGGACGGTCCTGTCATTCTGACGGACGCGGCGCATGATGCTTTACTAAGGCCCTGGATGCAGCGTTCAGTAAGATGGTGGCGCTGCGGCCAGGACGGTTCTCTAGACCTTGAGACGTTGACACCGCTGCTCGACGCTTCCATCAAAGTCGTCTGTGTGCCCGCGGCGTCGAACGTTTCTGGAAGGGTCTACGACGTTCCTACGATCATACAATGTATCAGGGAGGCGTGCCCCCATTCAATGATCGTGGTCGACGCCGTGGCCTACGCGCCGCACCGGCGGCCCGTGTTTGCCGATGCTGACGCGGTCGTCGTGGCATATCATAAATGTTTTGGCCCGCACCTGGCCTGTTGCGGGTTGTCGCAGCGGTTTGTGGATGGAGTGGCTTCCAGTGGATTGCCGGCTCCCCAGTACTACCCATCTGGTAGGGCTTTTGAGCGCGGTACGCTGTCTCATGAGGCTTGCGCCGGTGCTGCCGCACTCGAGAGTTATTTCCTCGAGTACGGTTCCGTTGACGCGTTCTATGAGCATTGTTCAATAGCGGAGGCGGCACCATTTAGAAGGTTAATCGGCTTTCTGAGATCACAGCCGCGCGTTTCAGTTATGGAGGCCTTCGGGGAGACCCTGCCTTTACCGACGGTCGCGTTCGTCCATGCGACGATAACGCCGGAGGCTATTGTTGAACGGTGCCGCTCCCTGGACATTGCCGTGCGCTGCGGCGAGTTCCTCTCGCCCGGCTTGGTCGCGGCGGCCGGTTTCCAAAGTGTCGTGCGCGCGTCGCTCGTGCACTACAATACGGTTGAGGAGGTGGACCGGCTCTGTGCTTGTCTGGAGCGGATGGGGGAGTGGTAGTAATTTTCTGGTTTTGCTATTTACGCGCTGCCCTGCGTTTCGCGGGCGCGGAGGGCGGCTCGCGATTCTCGCACACCCTCCTCATTGGCCACAGTGAGCGGATGCGTGTTGCCGAACACGCGCCGGACGGTCCGTTCCGTGTCCTCGAGCGTCGCCACGGCCTCGCGGAGATCGTCGAGGGTGGCGCCGGGGTTCGTGTAGAGCGCCTCCCCGTAACAATACCTCGTCGTGAGCGTGATTCGATGGACCTCTCCGAGAACGCGACGCGACACGGGTATCATCTTGCGCATCAATGACCTGGATTCTTCGAAGTGCTTTAGTTTTGTCAGCGTCGTCGCGTAGCAGGTGGCTGTGTGGAGGGTGAGTTCATGTTCTTCGCCAAGAAGCGTCGAAAACCCCCAGTGTACGACTCGCCGTATGTGCATGTTCTCTTCGTGCCGCCCCAGCGAATGATACGTGTTCGAAATATTGCTCTGAGCGATGAGGATCTCGTGTTCTGGTGCGTCAAGGCGCTGCAGCATAGCCAACTCGGCGCGTCTCACGGACAACGCGCCCTCATGGTGACTTGCAAAGGCCAAACCGTTCCCAAGCTGGTTTATTGCCATGCCCCGAGCCCAGTCTCCCTCCGGCCGTCCCACGTACGATTTCCTGGTTTAGCTTATACCCAGGTCCAGTTGGCGCTCACCTCATTGATAATAGGAGGCACCTGGGCCCTGGTGACGGACTGGACGCCCATCACAACCAAAGGTTTGTGGTACGGGTTCGACTACAAGGCTTGTATTGCGGCCGTGAATAGTGCCGCGGGCGGCCTCACCGTGGCCGCGGTCCTCAAGTACGCCGACGCGGTGCTCAAGGGCTACGCGACGGCCATCTCCGTCCTCCTGACGGGCGTGTTGTCCATGGTCCTCTTCGGCACGGAACTGAGCGTCGAGTACGCTTTGGGGATGACGAACGTCCTCGCGGCGGTCTTCCTGTACAACGCCCAGGACCTCGAGAAGCACGCGTGGTAGGTCCTCCTTACCTTCGTGCCTGCTAACTATACGGTCGTTACACAATGATAAAGCTAGCGCTTCGTCCTCCTCCACGCCATCGGGCAGACGCAGCGATAGACCGAATACGCCATCGCCGCGACACCGCGACGACGTGCGCGTAGGCAACAAGCTCCCCGAGATCACGAGCTCTTCATCAGCGCCTCGAACTCGACCAAGAACGACGCGGCCTCCTCCGAGAGCGGGTCCGTCGTCGACCGGAAGGAAGGCGCGTCCCGAGACGGGGCGTAGGACCCGTAGGGCGCGAGCGGGCTTGCCCGCTGCCGCTCGAACTCGAGCTGGCCGGCCTTGCGCCAGTGGACGGCGTCGGGGCCATCGGCCAACCGGAGACCGCGGCCCGTCGCCCAGATGTGCGTCAATGGTGTATCTCCCGACACGCCCGCGCCCCCATGTAATTGCATGGCTCTATCAGCAATAGACTGTAGGGTATGAGGCACCAGAGCTTTGACTAAGGATAACCGCTGCCGCGTTTCCAAATCAGTGTTGCCCTTGCGGTCCATGAGTGATGCAGCTTCTCTCACCAAATGTCGACAGCCATCTATCTCACACCGAATGCGCGCGACGTCCTCCAATACGGAATCACGAGCAGCCAAAGGCTTGCCGAAGGCTACTCTCTTCATAGCTCTTTGCGCCATGGTCGCTAAAGCACGCTCCATCTGCCCGATGCAGCGCATGCAGTGGTGGATGCGGCCCGGACCGAGTCTACGTTGCGCAATTTCGAAGCCCTTGCCCCGCTGCCACAGTACATTTGATTTGGGAATACGTACATCAGTAAATGAAAGCTCGAAGTGCCCTTTTGGGGCATCGTCATCCCCAAATACTGTGAGAGGTCGCACCAACTCAATCCCATCAGTATTGGCAAGGTCAACTAACAACATACTCTGCTGCGCGAACGCTTTGGCGTCAGGGTCGGTCTTGCCCATCAAAATCATGACCTTACAATGTAAACTTCCGGCGCCCGTGCACCACCACTTCCGCCCGTTCACCACAAAGTCATCCCCATCGTCTCGTATATCAATACTGATATTTGTAGCATCAGAACTAGCGACGTCGGGCTCCGTCATCGCGAAGCACGACCGGATCGATCCATCTAGTAATGGGGAGAGCCACTTTTCCTTCTGTTGCTCATTACCGAACCTTGCGATGGTCTCCATATTTCCCGTATCGGGCGACGCGCAATTACAAGCTGTGGCGGCAAACTCGAAATGGACCGACGTGCCCATCAGTTCACACAGATCCGCATACTGCAGATTCGTCAGGCCTCTCCCCAAATGCGTTCCCTTCGGTGCGAGTTGTGCGCTGTCTGCCGGTAAAAATAAATTCCAGAGGCCTCGCTGTTTGGCTTCTTGCATCAAATCTACGATGAGAGGGGGATGAGTCCACTCTTTGCCATTGGTCCAGCGGCTCTCGTGGCTCTGTTTCAGGAAGAGCTGCTCGTTCGGGTAAATGCGGTCGTGCATGAAGGACGTGAGCTCGTCCTTTATTTTGTTGAATTCGTCGTCGGAGACCGTCTGTGGCACCGCTGCGAGCTGGCGGCGCGGCGTCCGCAGAGCAAGCCGGGTGGTGCAGCGGAGCAGAGCCATGCTTTGCAATCGCTGCTTTTGCCGCTGAAAGCTGGGAGTGTTAGGGTCTCCAGACGATGCACAAACGATGCGTCGACGCCGTGCGCGCAGCGACCACGGCGTCCAAAGTCTCAAGCTGTGAGAGTGGGTTCGGGTTTTGTCGCAGGCGAAAAAACCGCGCTTGGACGTGTCGAGGCTCCTTCTTGCTCCTCGCGAAGTTTGAGACGAGTTCGTGAGGTTCGCCTCGGGAGAGGCTGGATTTTGGAGGTCCAGCAGAGGAGCCGCTGAGCAGCTCCAAGCTCCGCGACGACGAGGTCATAGGCTACGCGCGCGCGTCGGCAGCCCGTCGCCAACCCGCCAGACAACTCGCGCACAAGACACAGCTCGGGGGAGGCCCAGCTGTGCCAGGACAGCTTTTTGGCTGCAGCAGAAACAGAGCTCGGCGCGGCAAGACGCGTTAATTAGGGCTCGCGCCACGCTCCAGAGACCCCTCGGAGCGCTCTAGCTGCGAAACCAACAAATTCAGGCGCGCACCACTCGCGCGCGAGCCCGCTGAGCGGTCCTGCCACGAAACGCGGACAAGCATGGGCAAAACTGACATCCTCATCGGCAAGAAGGCCACCTGGGGCAGCGACGACGAAAGTGAAGACGACGACCGCCCGCGCCGGAGAGCGGAAGCGGGCGAGTTCTCCGAGTCCGGCGAAGACGAAGCCCCGCCGCCCACCCAAACCTACGTGCCGCCCCATCTGCGCGGGAGGAGCGCGTCGTCCGACAACGAAGGGCAGAAGCTCGCGGTGCTCAATCCTAAGGAACCGAGCGAGGAGCCGCCCAAGGAAGAAACCCAGAGCGACAAGCCTGCGGCCTGGTCGTCCCTCGTGAAGGACGGCGCCACTCCTGTCAAAGAGCTAGAAAAAAAGGAGGAGAAGAAGAAGGAGCTAGTCGTGGAAAAGGCGGATGATGCGAGGGTGTTTCGTAGACTAGCGAAGGGCGAGGGCAAGCTGTCGGGCTTGTTCGGGCGGAAGCGGGAGTTAAGGCAATTGAAGGCGCAGCCACCTTTAGCTGAACTAGCCGTGGACGCGGCCCAAGCTGCCGACGCCGCCGTCGCGGCGCAGGAAGCCCTCCAAGAGGAAGAAGAGGCGTCCATCACTACTGAAAGCACCGAGGACAACTCGCCGCTAGCACTGGCTGCCGCCGCGGCTTTGGCCAATGCGGGCGACCGTCCCCCGACACCGGTAGACGACACGCCGCCGCAGAAGCGCAAGCCGAGGAAGTGGGATCAACATGACGATAGGCGGGGCGGCAAGGTCGATAGGAAGGGCTCGACGCGAAGGGAGGTCCGCGACCGGTTATCAGGCAAGGTCGAGAAGCGTTCATCGGTAGATGACGGGGAGCGGTGGGGCCACGACAAGGCTCCCTCTTCAGGAGGCTTTCGGGTGATCGCGCCGGCGGGCGGGTTTCGCGTGCTCGCGCCGCCGCCGGCGTCGCCGCAGTCACCGCAGCGAAAACCGGAGATCGACCTCACGCGCTCGCGCAAGGCGCCTCCCCAAAAGAAGTCCTTCCCGAAGAAAACCGAACGACCGAAGTCGAACGGCATCGTCGTCGACGTCGTCAACGGCAGAGCCGAAAAGGGCCCGCCGGACGGCTACGTCTGCAAGAAGTGCGGCGTGCCCGGCCACTTCCTCAAGCAGTGTCCGCAGTTCGAGGAGCGAAAGCCGAGAGCGCCGAAGGGGCCGCCGGACGGCTACGTCTGCCACAAGTGCGGTGTGAGTGGCCACTGGATCAAGGACTGCCCTCAGGCTGCTGTGAGGAGCCCCGCGCCGGCGGCGCCCTCACTCCGGCGCGCGAAGGTCAGCGAGGAATCGAGACGCGCGGCGAGCGCGCGGACCTTCGTGGCGAATCGACCGCGCACGGCGTCGTGGTCGTCGAAACCCTTGAATGCCGCTGCTGCTGCTCGGGATGTGAGCGGCGCGCCGGTCTACGAGCCGTCGGCGGGCTACGGCGTGCTGCAGCCCGAGGAGCCCCTCTTCGTTCCGGTGCCCGCGCGGCCGGAGTACGCCGTCGCGGCGCCGCCGGAGCACTCCTACGCCGCGGCGCGGTCGGCGCTCTACGGCGCGTGAGCGCGGGTCCCTTTTCCCCTTGTTGTCAAGTATACAATACTACCATCTACCTAGTCTCCTAGCATCGACAGCAGCACATCGTGCACATTCGCCCTGTGTACCGCGATCGATACTAGGCGCTCGCCGAGCAGTTTATCCTTCTCATGATTTCCATCCTCGTCGTACTCGATCTCCCCAGCTACCCCAAACCTCAATCCTTGGACGCCTCGGAGCACGAATGTGGGCCCAAATCTATCGGAGGGGAGATATGTCACGTCGTCGGCGCCGAGCCCGTAGGCTTGGAGCAACTCGGAGACGGGGGAGCCGACGCGGATCCGGCGTCGGCCGACCTCCGGGCGCTCGGGGTCGTGCAAAACGCCATCGCTGGTGTGCACGCGGATGCAAGTGATGTCGCTCTCATCTGAGAGCCTGAGGGATACGTCCATCTCGCCGCGGTCGGGCCCAATATCGGCATGTGCTTCCACAAAATAGCGAATCGGCCTCGATGTGTGGCCTGAGTCCCTCACCGTCACCAGTCCATGACGGGGGCCCGGTGGTCCCCGTATAAGGTAGTTGTCGTCCTCTTCGTCCTCCTGCCACAACTCCACCTCTCGCGAAAGTCGTGAGAGGCCATTCGCACCGTCGGGCGTCTCAGCCATCCAGGACGCCGCGGTGGTAGGAGGGGACATTTCGCGGGGGGCGTACGAGCCCAGCATATTGCCGAGCCGGAGCCCCATCGCGCATGTATCTCCCTCGATCCGCCGGGCCCGACGTCGCTCTCGCCACCGTTGTATGTACATGTTTTGCCATATGTGATATGATGCCGACGGGGAAGGACGAAGAGGAGGGAAGACCGCCAAGTAGCGCGGCTTCCAATACAAGTCGTCGAGGGGTGCGTCGCACCGACCGCGCGAGCACATCGAAAGGACCACCATGTCTGCCGGCCTCAGGTGCGAAAAAAGACTCCGCACAGCTCCCGTGGCAGACGTTCCAGCGTCATCGTGGCTGCCCGCGGCATCGACGCCGGCTTGCTACTGCGGCACCCCCAAAAATATTGCTAGTGTCTTACAGGCCGCTAGCTTTAGCAGCGCTGTGAGTTTTCGGCGCGTGCGAGGCGCGTGCGGTGGCCTGAGCACCTGCAATTTAGGCACACGATACCCAGGCAACTACCGCGACGCTTGCAGCGCTCGGCACAAGCGGCAGCAAGCAGAAGACACGAGAGAGCAAAACACAGGAGCTGCCATTTAACCAGCAGCAGCATCGCGATGGACGACAAAAGCCTCCTCCAGATCGCAGCCATGGGCGGCGTCATGGGCCTCGGCCACGTGCTGAGCCCGGACCATCTCAGCGCGCTCGCGACGCTCTCCGCGGGGGGCGGCGTCGAGGCGTTCCGGCTTGGGGTAAGGTGGGGCCTCGGGCACTCGATCGGCATGGTCGGCGCGGCAATGATACTGCTGACGGTGACCTGGTCCGTGGCGCACACGGCCCGCGCGACAAGCGGCAAAGACGCCGCGAAACAACTCGCTGGGAGCATCGCGGAGTTTTCGGAGGCGATGGTTGGATTAGTCATGGTCGCCGTGGGTCTGTACGGCGGTTTCCGCGCGACGAGGGAACGACGACGACGAGCCAAGGAGTCGAAGGACGCGGGGCATTCTCATCACGACCACTCGCACTGCCACGCCCACAATATGCCGATCCACAACACGCGCGACGCCGCGCTGGCATTAGGTGTGGGCGTCGTCCACGGCCTGACGCACATCGTGTGGGTCCTACCGGTGTTGCAGATGCCTCGGTTGCGAGACGCGTCGGCCTACCTGCTCGCATTCTCGCTGTGCTCGACGGGCCTCATGGGCCTCTTCGCGGCGCTGTGGGGCGTCGTGACGCGACATACGAACTCGGAACGCGTCACTTGCGCATTGGAAATCGCATCTTCGGCATTATCGCTGGCCGTGGGGTTGGCGTGGCTGGCATTGTTGGCGACGGGGCGCCTCGACGACTCGGTCTTCGGGGACCATGGCCACGACCACGGCCATGGCCACGATCACGACCACGTGTACCTGCACCACGGCGATCCGACGGAGGAAGAGCGACGGTTGTACCACGACCTCCGGGGGCATCAGCGACATCGTCACCATAGATTAAGGTCGATGCTCTAGTGCAATGTAAATAAGATATAAAAGAGAATACCTGTTGTGTACATGGTGCGCGGCTTCCAGGGCTCCCGCGCTTATGGCGCTTCGGAAACGCGTGCGCGGCTAGCGGCCTGTGAGACACTAGCATGAGCAACAAGCAAAGCATCAGCAAAAATCACTACAAATAAGACAAAACTACAACGATCGAAAGATGAACAAGGCCGCATCTAAGTTCGCGCAAGTGACTGCCTTGAACGGCGTTCGCATCTGTCACCGTTCGCTCGGGGAGACATCTAAGCCAGCAGTCTTGATGATTATGGGTTTGCCGCAGCGTATAAATCGACGCGACGCGACCGACGCCGGCTAATTGCGTGCACACAGGCCACGGCACCTCCATGACGAAGTGGGGCGGCCTCGACGAGCGCCTCGCCGGCGCGGGCTACCGCGTCATCACGCTCGACAACCGAGGCTCGGGCCTGACGCGGGACGAGGCCGGCGAAGCCACGACGCCGGACCCGGTGCCCCTCACGGGTCCCGGCGCGAACCCCGACAACGTTTTCGCATGGTGCGTCGACGACATGGCGGACGACGCGGTCGCCGTCCTCGACCACTACGGCGTCGACAAGGCGCACGTCGTGGGCGTGTCCATGGGCGGGCTCATCGCGCAGAACGTGGCGGTTCGCCACGCGGACCGCTGCCGGACGGTCGTCCCTATCATGACGTCGTTCGACCTCAACGGCGCCGTGGCGACCGCCATGCAAAAGAATCCCGAGTGGTGGGGCAAGCTCATGGAGGCGGCTGCTGCGGGCGGGCTGACGGAGGGCATGTCTCAGCAGGAGGTCCTCGAGAAGTCGCTACCAATCATGAAGCTATGTGCTACCGACAAGGCGTTCCCGGATTGGACGCCCAGGCTCCAGAGCGTCATCGAGGAGGCCGTGGCGATCGATTATGCGAGGGGCGGGATCGACTGGGGCGGCAAGGGCGCGGCGCGGCAGAGCCTCGCCATCAACGCCTGGACCGCCTCCAAGCTCGCGGCCCACAAGGAGGGCCTCAAGAAGCTTACGGTGCCGGCGCTCGTGCTGCACGGTCGGTACGATCCTCTTATTCCAATCCAGGCCGGACGGGCCCTCCACGAACTGATCCCCGGCGCGCGCCTCGTCGAGTACGACGGCGGGCACAACCTCGGCAACGACGACACCGTCCGCGGGCTGATCGAGGCCGCCATCGTCGGGCACATTGCCCTCAACAACTAGTAACTTACAAATATTAATCACGAACAAGGGTCCGCCTCGGGCAGCACGGCTAGCCACGCGGCCCGCTCCTCGGCCGTCTCGACGCACACATAAAAGGTCCGCCCCGAGTCCGTCGCCATCGTGAACGCGGCCTTGCCGGGCATGTCCTCCGGCGCGATCGACGCACTCAGCACGCGCACGACGCCCTGCGGCGAGACGGCTTGTTGGGCGGGCGGCCGCCGGTAGTAGAAGAGCTGGTTGCCCCTTAGTATTGCATACCGCCGCCGATAGGCCGACGACGTGCCGCCGCCGCCCCGTTTGTAGATCCAGCCCTGGCGCCCGACTTTTGGACTTAAATCACCGGAAAACACGCGAGACAGGCGCGTGATCCAGGCATCTGCCGAATCGTCGCCGTCGCCTTTTGCCGCCAGGTGATAATCGCGACCAGCAACACAAACATCAAATCTACTTGGAGACCGTCGCCGTATTTTGGGAGGCGCGTCCGCGGGCCATTCCACACAACCTTTACGCTCTGGCACCTTCTTGGAGGCGTCATAATACACCAACCGCGGCGCCGACGTCAATAAAAACACGCGCTCCCTCCAGAACAGGCCCTTGCGCTTCCACAGTATACCCTTCGCCACGACGCGTTCCGAACTTAATGAAGCGTCCCAGTCGTAGTCCGTCAGGGCCCGTCTCGAGGACGCGGACCCGACGAGTTTTTTTGTACTTGCCACTGATGTTTCCGACTCCCGCAGTGTAGGGACCTGTGCACAACTCTGAGGAACCGCACGCTATCGAGCAGGCGTCGCGTCGATGGCGTGGCGGTCGACGCGACGATTCAGCACGAACGCGCCGTGAAAATTTGATTTATGCACAGGTCGGGACGTTGTCCCCGTAGCTCCCGGCCTCCAGATCCAGCATATACTCCACGCTAAACGACGCTTCACAGGTGTGGGAGCACGGCTCCGGCGTCCACGGCACACAAGCTCGGGACGCGCGAATGTCCGCGACCGGACACACAAAAAACGCGTGCGCCTCGAGTTCCTCCCCACACAACCTCGATGACGGGTCCCTCCTACATAATCTACGTACCAGATCCTCCACATCTTCAGATACAGACGTAAAGTCGACCTCGTCTCGGTTACCGTCGGCGAAGGCCACAATTTTTTCCCAGACCAGAAAATCGGTAGCGCCCGTGAACGGCAACCGTCCCGTCGATAACTGAAACACCAAACAACCTAAAGCCCACAAGTCGCACTTTGTAGTCGTACTCTCCCCTTCCAGCACCTCGGGCGACACGTACTCGGCCGTGCCTGCGCGTGTACGAATTACTCGTGATGACGGCGCGCTCATGACGACGGCGTCGAGTGGACGCGGCGACGCACCGTCGAAGCTCCCCGCTCTCTGACCGCTTGTGAGATCCAGCACGGCCCCGAAGTCGCCGAGCTTGCACCTCCCTTTATTATCGATGAGCACGTTCTCCGGTTTTAGGTCTCTATGAGCAATGTCCAACGAATGGAGGAATTGTAAGCCTAGTAGGACATCTCCGGCGTAGAAGCTTGAGGCGTACTTTGTTAAACCGTGTTCTCCTCGTATCGACGGGATATTGGCGTCGAGGAGTCGTCGCAGATCGCCTCCACTACAAAACTCGAGCACAAAGAACAGGTAGTCGCGGTCCTGGAACGTTTCGATCAGGCGCACAATGTGGTCACTCCGCGCTCGTGCCAGCGCTTCCCTTTCCGCGTGCACAGCTCTTACTTTCCCTTCGCGCTCCACATGGCGCTTCAGCATGATCTTGACGGCCACCGTCGTTTTTGTGGAGCGCTGCTTCGCGAGCACGCAATGCGCGAACGCGCCTTCACCTAAGACGCGGCCGAAGGCGTAGTTCGCGGGCGAGGACTCCTTGCGCCGTTCGGAAGCTTGCGTCTGCGCCGCCATCGTATCGGCTTCGTATCGTGCGCCGGCGCGTTAGCCCTCGGCACGGCGGTGGCGTTTGGTGGGAAACAGTCCCTGTGCCGCGGTTTCGCGCTGTCTGAGCCCACGCAGCGCAGCAGTACAGCACCCGGCGAGTGTGCGACGTTCGCTTATGATCGCTGCGCCTCTGTACGCCTCGATTCAGTCGAGTGCACTTCCGTGCCGCTTGCTCGCTAGTGTCTTACATACGCTAGCTATTGCTACCACGGCCGGGGCAGCCTTTTGTGCTACGTAGCGGTCGCTGGACTCGCGCTCCGATACCTTTGGGACTCCACTTTGACGCGTAGCAGCTGTACGCCATCGACGCGAGGGCTGCCTCACCCTGCGACCTCCTCTCATCATCCCACGCGCACGCCGTCGACGACCAGGATGCGCGAGCTCTCCCCCGCCGCCCGGCTCAAGCTCCAGGAGCTCGCAGATCGGCCTGCTGCGACCTTCAAACAGCGCCTCGCCTTACTGCAATTCCAAATCGTCGTCCTGCTGATACTGTACGTCGTCGTGCGAATCATGCTGAAAATCCCGTGGCTCGGCCGCGGCCTGAGCAAGGTCGTGAAGCTGTCGCGGCAGGGGCCGTTGTACAAACTCGGCGTGTGGCTCTGCCGGCGGCTCGCTCGGGTCACAATGGGACGGCACGCCTACGCGAAGCCGTCGATCGCGCCCGCAATCCGGGTCAAGAAGCGCACGGCGACGACCATCGAGGTGAAAGTGGTGGCCTGTGTGGAAATCAACCAGTGTGCCGGGTGCACCAAGTCATTTCTCGGCGACGACGCGGTCGTCCTGGCTCCGTCGAGCGGTGAGGAACCGACATCGCCACGCCATCGAACATGTGTCGCGTCGATGGTGTGGAGATCGACGCAGGAACGCGCCGTAAATTTGATTTCCACATAGGTGGTGGCAGTGCGGGGCCGCTTCGGCAACGCAGATGACGTGATCGTGGAGAGCCGTGCTGACGACGGCGCGTGGACGCCACTGACCTACAATGCCACCGAGAAGACGGCCACGGCCGCGACGACGCCCGGCGCCTCGCTGGACATTCGCGCCCGGGCGTCGAACGTGCGGGGCGCCGGGCCCTGGTCGGCTCCACTCCAAGCTACGGCTTTACTCAAGCCAAACGCTTTTCATGGAGGCGACTGCGGCGAATTTTCGTGGCGCCAGACGCCCGAGACGGTCACGTGCGTCATTGAATTGCCGAGAGGTCGGAAGGACGTCGTCGTCGAGGCGACGCGCGAAACGCTAACCGCGGGCCTCAAGGACGTCGCGTTCTTCGACGGGGCGAGGCTCCTGCGGCCCGTCGGCGAGGCGCGGTGGGAGATCGTTGATGGTGTGTTGATGATCACGCTGGAGAAGGCGGTGCCAACCTTTCGGAGAGGCGACCACTGGGACCGCCTCTTCGCGACGGGGCCCCGCGTGGACACGGCGCTGCTGCCGCTGTCGCTGCCGTCGATTGCTAGTGGCTAACGTAGTACGTTTTCTTACTCGGTCGCGCGCCAGAACGAGAGAATGTTCCAGACGACTCCATTGTCGCCCTGGCGCGCGAGGAAGGCGACGGCCGCCTCCCATTGTTGAGTCCTTCGCGTGCGACGCGTCCCCCTCGGCGTAAGGTGACCCCGCATCGCAAGACCTCGAAGCGCAAGCACCTCGCGGTGCGGCTCGCGCAAATACCTCTTGAGGGATCCATGCCGTCGGACGCCGGCTACGAGGGTTTGGATGGCGGGCAATTCCTCAGAGCCATCCTCCCCGGTTTCCGCAAAGGTATCAAGAGTAATGTCCAATAATTCCTCAAGAGTAATGTCCCTAAAGCAACGGTCAAGCAAAGCACCGTATCTCAGCAGCGCGGTGACAACCGCCAGGCGGGGACTTCGGGAGAACCTGATGTAAGCACCGAGAGGTGTTCGGGAGTACCTGTTCCTCGCGTTCGCGTCGGCGCCCGCTGAAAGCAACAGCTCTACCATCTCTAAAACCGCCACCGCGCCAGTCCCACAGTAGCAAGCCCTCATCAGCGCGGTATTTCCGCATGAATTGCGAAGATCGATTGACGCACCGCGCGACAGGAGGTATCGTGCCAAGTTAACGTGCGCTAAAGTCATGCGATCATGATTAATATCGCCCCCTGCACAATTGAGCAGAAGCGTCTCGTCATTATCATCACCTTCATCACCTAAGGAATCGTCTACATTCCGCGCGACGCCGTCGCTGTCGTCCTCAAAATAGGCCCTGATGGTCTCTAGGTCTCCTCGAGCCGCTGCGGCAAAAAGATGCTCTGGGATCATCGCCGCGACAGTGGACAGTGGCGCTTTATATCTCGCGCGTGAGTTGCCGGTAGGTCGATTCTAGTGTGTTACAAGACGCTAGCTCCACTCGGTTTGCAGCGGCAAACAGGCGTGACACTGCGCGGCTCCGAGCAGAGGCCTCGTGTAACGCTGCTCTACAGGCTGTATCACACATTGCAGAGCAATGGCTCGAGTTATGCTGCTTCCACTAGTGCTGCACCACAGTGCTGCCTTCTCCCTGCTTGTGCAGCAGCGCACAAATGCCGCCACAGCGATGCGCGGAAGCGATGATGACGCCATCGACGCGTCCTCACCGGACGCGTTCATCGCGGGACTAATGAATCGAGTCGGTGATCTGAAGAGCCGCCAGCTCGAGCTACCTATAGTTGTATTGGATGCGACGCTGCCGAACCAGCGACTCGCCATCAGCACGTCGGACCAGGCGTTCCGCGAAATGGTCGAATATTGTGGCGTCAAAGCGGTCGAGGAGGCGGGCGACGAGCAGTTCGACGATCAGCGGCACGGTCGCTTCCTGCGTGGAAATCAACCATTGAGCTATGTCGTCGAGAAATATTGCGTGGACCTTCCGTGAACCTCCACGCCATCGAGCCGACGCGGCCACGACGACAACGTCGCGTCGACGGCTTGGAATCTCCACGCCGTCGAGCAGACGCTACGGAGACAACATCGCGTCCATGGCATGGGGCGCCCGAAATTTGATTTCCACACAGGTCGCTTCGGCATCGTAGGTGTGGATAGGCAAACCGGCAGCGCGTTCCCGTTCGGCGTCGAGGCGATCATTCTGAAGGCATCGGTCGCCAGCGAGACGTGTTCCGTCGAACTGAAAGGGGGCCGGCGCTTCACCGTCGACGAAACCCAGGACGAAGCCCCGGCCGGCGCCGTGCAGCCGCGCAAGGTGACGCTCGCGCCAGAATTAGATGATGACGACGAAGCGGCGGCCGTCGCGGCGGCGCAGCGGCTGCCCGCGCTCGTCGAGCAGTGAGAGACTGTGAGGAAATCAACCAAGATCGAGCAGACGTAGTCACGGAGAGTGGGGCGCCTGAAATTTGATTTCCACACAGGTGGGAGAAGCTCGTGGTCGACGGCGGCCACGAACGGCAGCCGGACCACCTTGGTTTAGTCCGAAAGCATTTGGGGCCGATGCCGCCGCCCGAGCGACCAACCGACCTGGCGTTGTGGGTCGGCGCGTATGTGAACCCACTGCCGGCGCTCGGTGTTGCCCTGGAGATCAGGCCGCTCCTCCTTAGAGCGACGACAGCTAAAGAACGCGTCGACGCAGCGGTTGCAGGTATTGCGTCGTCGATCGCGCACCTAGACGGGTCCCGTAGATTGTGGTAACTAACTTAGTAAACTAGTCCTTCTTGTTGCGTCCCTTCGGTGACGAAGCGGCGAGCAGTTCCACGGCGAGCACGACAGCAAGTGTCTCCACCGCGAGCACAACTACCCCGACAAAAGAGCTGCCGGAGCGCGCCTTGAGCTCGGCGAACGCTTGCGACCAGAACCCGAGCGAAAACACGCGACACACCACAATCGCGCGGGCGAACTCCAGAGACTGCGGCTGGCCCGCGCGCGCCGCGACGAGCGCCGGGATCAAGGCCAAGACTTCTAGGTAGGCAGCGACGGCCCAGAGGGTATCAGATATAGCGTCTTTGTTGAGGTCGGCGTGGAACGCCATGCCCATAAGAAATGCGCCCGACGTGATGATGAGGAAGTCGCCCGGCGGCGGAGCAAATTTTTCTTGGCGCGAGGCAAAGGCCGCGTACAGGGCCCCTGCGATGCCGCTGCCCTCGACGAGGACGAAGGCCCAGTCGCCCGAGGGGTCGTACGGCACGTAGCCCTGGCGCCGCCAGTACGAGTAGGCGCGGCATAAGCCGACGACGCACAGGCAGCGGATCGTGTCCGGCGCGACCGGCGTGGCGCTCTTGTGAAACGCGTACGCCACAGACATTAACGCGAAGCTTCGCGCCATCGCCGAGAGCGTGAGGAGGTAGCCGACGTCGCCGTCGCTGAAAAAAAAGTACCCCGCCAACGCGACGACGCCGAAGAGGGACCAGCGCACGGTCGCCGCGGACGTAGTAGAGGGGGTGGGCTCTGCACGCATGGCACTGCAATGTGTTGAAATCAATGCTGAGTCCCTAAATTGCACCGTGGTCTGTCTGAGGAGCAAGATCTGGCCACGCGAAAGCCCGCTCGCGCTTTCTTGTGAACGCTTTGACGGCGTATAGCGCCAAAAAGCAGGCAAGCAAGACCTGTAAAACCTGTTTTGATTGATCGTGTCTGAGCGCGGCGAGCGTAAGCGCCGTGATTAAGTAACAGTTCGCACCACCGGTGGCCTCCTTTTACGCCGGGCACAACCGCGAGAAAGAGTGGCCATCCACAAAAGAGACCTACAAGCCTGAACAGCCCAGCGTCGATGTCTCCGCGTCGCGCGGCAATGGCGACTGCTTTGGGTAGGTCCATTTTTCAGACACGGTGACTTGGCGTCTATTGCAGGACGCGCGCAAGTCGCCTAATCGAGAGGTCGCGCGCCGCGCGCAGCGCTAAAAAAATCGATGAAAACCCCCCCCTCCAAGCTCTAAACCCGTTTTGATCAGCACCAATCACGGACGCGACGGCCGCGAAACGACGCCTACCCGAGAAAGAAAGACACAAATCACTAGTTACACAATCATCAGATGCCGTCGTCCTCGGCGATCTTATGGGCGTCCTTCGCGCTCATCTCCGCGTTGCGCCACTGGTCCGTCGTTCCGGAAGTATCATTGGTACCGACCGCATTTTTAACATCTTCCGGACTAAAATTCTTGTCCAGCGCTTTCCCCGTCTGCTCGATATTCCTGAGATTCCGCGCGATCCTTCGGTTTTGCGCCGCCATGTCCTCGGTAATGAACTCGCTCTCGAACTCGTCGTAGTAGTCATTGGCATACTGGGACATGTCGTCCGTATAATTCCAGTCGTAGGGGAACAACTCGTACAGTATTTGCGTCTGGGTCTTCGTCTGGACGACGCCCGGCGGGAGGTTCGGGTCGGGCTTGAAGATCTGCGCGGGGTCCGGCTTGAGCTGCTTGATCCACGACGGGAGCGTTTCGATCTCCTGGCCCGCCCGGATACCTCGCCCGTACCTGTTATAGAACACCTCGTAGTCCTCACCATCATCCCCGTCCCACGGCCGGCGATACCCGTACTCGACCGCATCTCGTCTAGCTTCATCTACTATTTCCTCCCAGCGCATCACACAATACTTGCGCTTGATATCTTCGAGACAGATGTTCATGGCTACTTTAGGCGGCATCTTCGCGTGCGTCTTCGCTACAGCTAGTTGCGACTCGAACTGCCGCACTTCCAGTTTTTTATCATCTAGGGCTTTCGTGGCCTCCTGCTCCAGTTCTTCAGCCTCTTCCGACGAAGCGATGCGGTGAAAATTGAACGCATCGCCAGCTTCAAAGTTTTCGATGCGCCGCTTCACGATCTCCAACTTGTCCAAGAGCATCTTGACGTCGTTCTTCGCCTTATCCAGGGCTTCCTTGGCCTTCTTGATTTTTGTTTGCACGTTGCGCTTCCTTCGATGGACCTCGTTGTTCATAATTAACTTGCCGTGCCGCTGCCTGATCTTCTGCTCGATGTCCTTCCACAGGTTGCGCCACGTCGCGGCGATCTTGTCGTCCTCCTGGACGCGGCCTGCGTGGGTGTGGCGCGGTGATGGCGTGCCGGGTGGCGCTCTCGGGGGGCCCACGGTGACGGGACGTCGCGTCGACGGCGTAAAAACAGACGCTGAATACGCACGCGTCGCCTCGCCCTGCGTATATATAACTTTCTTGATGCAGACCGCCGGCAGCACACATTTCCGGTGGTTGATCGGCCGGCCATTCTTGTCGATGCATTCACATCTATCAAATTCGACCTTGTCGAGCTGCGACACGTGCCCATACGGGTCCTGGTACTTCATGATCGCATCTTTTAGAACCTCTAATGTGTAATCAAATAGACTGGGAGGGAGTTTGACCTTGAGGATGTCGAAGAGGGCCGGTCTCGTGGTCCGTCGGAACCGATCCGGCTTCGCCTCTCGTACCAACGCGTCCAGCGCGATAGCATACGACCCACAGTACCCGCCGTCCTTGTCCCACGGCCGCTGCTCGACGACCAGCACACCGCCGCCGAACCGACGCTTACCGGAACCAGTAACTCTCTTCAACTCGTCTTCAATCACGTCGATTAAGGTCGTCAACAACGTATGATAGAACGTATGTTCTCTTTCATGGCGTAAGTTATCTACCCTCTCCAATATTTCTAGATCCGTCGACGGACACGAGTAGTATTGCCCATTCAGATACGTATCCGCCTGCTTGTCGAACGCAGCCAAATCCTCTGGTGTTAAAAAACCAGTTCGTCCCGTAAGAACGCCAAAGGCTTCCGGAGCCATGTGCGCTTCCGAGTAGTCGAACTGGAACTCGCTCATCAGTTCCTTGAACTTGTCGAAGCGCTTCTCTCGCACTCGACAGTACTGTAATAAAATTTCCACACCCTCTGATAATATTTCTGCTGGTGGATTGCGCATGGGATTGTACTCGACTTGACATATTTTCAAAGCGGTACACGCGGGGATGCAGGCCGGCAGCTCCAGTAAGTTGTTCGATGCTACACCCAGTACTTCTAGGGTCTCCTCGACCTTGCCTTGCAACGTGTCGTCATATATTCGTTCTAGGCGATTATGCGAAGCTCGTAAGTACTTGAGGGGCAACTCCCCTAAGCGAGGTGGTAGCAAGTGCAAATTATTCGCATCTAAATTAAGTGCGGTCAGGTGCTCGAGGTGAGGCGCTATCTCCGGTAGTTTATACAAATCATTCTTCGCTACACTTAACTCTTCTAGGTAGTGTAGATTCGTTATCGAGTCGGGTAGGAACTCGAGCTGGTTCATCGACAGGTCTAGCGTAACTAAGGCTGTTAAATTACCCAGGTCCTCCGGTAGGTGGTAGATGTTATTTCGCGCGCAGTTGAACAGCTGCAGCTGCCTTAGTCGCGGGAACGTGCGCGGTAATTCTGTCAATTCATTTTCTTCCAAAATTAACTCGCGCAGCTTCTGCAGGTTGTCGACGTCCTCATTTAGTTGCTTGATCTCGCAGGCCTTCAACCATAAAACTCGCAAATTGCCCAAAGACTCGGTCAACAACGGCGCCTGCTTGAAATGGTTCATCGACATCTTTAAGACACGTAAACCTTCGAGGTGCGGGTGCGCCCACTTGTCGTCTCCCTTAGCGTTTCGTTCGATGCACTTCGCGCCTGGTATCTCGTAGACGCCCTGGAGCTGTAGTTCTAAGCGTCCAGTCGCTGCCGCTTCCTCAACTTTCCTAGCCATGCGGATCTTATAGGCAGGCTCAGGCTCATAAACTTCGTCGCCCGCACCCGTCTGATGGGCCGTCACGACGGGCACGGGGCCGTTCAATATGGCCCAGTACTTCTGGCGGCAGGCCCACATCATGGCTGGTAAATCAGATATCGTTTCGTAGGGCGGATCTATCAAAGGATTATTGAACACCTGCAGCTCCTGGAGCGAGGTTAAAAAGCCAATTTCATACGGTAATGTTTCGAGGGCGTTATTACCGAGCATCAATCGCTTCAAACCGGTAAGTTTACCGATCAGAGGCGGTAGTTTCTCGAATCTGTTCGATTGCAGAGACATGGACTGTAGTCTTTGTAGTTTCCCACAGGATGCCGGTAGATGGCTCATTTCATTTTGGGTACAATCTAAAGTACGTAGACTTTGTAATTTGCCCGTGTCCGGCATCAACCGGCGGATGTAGTTTCCTCGACATCTGAACAGCCGCAGATTTTTTAAATTAGCTAATGAGGGTGGTAAATCTCGCAACTGATTATTGTCGCATCTCAGATCAATGAGTGACCGTAACTGGCCCAATCTATCGAGAGAAGAAGGCATCTCTATAGTACGTTCAGAGTTAACAGCAGACTCATAGACCATGGCACCGTCCGCATCACTCCAGTCCACCGTCCACTCATCAACTCCAAAAGACGCGATCAACATCTTCCGGTGGTTGTAGGATACGGTGGACGTGATGAGGGAAGGATCCGGCGGCGGCACCTCGCCAGCAGGAGGCTTGTCACTGCGCGAATTCCGGCCCAACTTCAACTGTCCTAATTCCCTTTGAGTTAAGGACAGCATGTGGGGCATGGTCTTCTGGACCTTGCCCGTCCTCGTGTTGACATAGTACGCAACATTTCTGAGGGGAATTTTTCTGAAATCCCAATCAGACTCACCGGCCGTGAACTTCCGCGCGACTTCCGCGAGTGGCGCAAAGGTACAAAGATGCGCGAGACCGTTGCCCGAGATGTCCAGGTACTGCAGCTCGTGTAAGCGAGGTAGTGTTGCCGGTAATCTTTGCAGGATGTTGTCCGCACATAGGAACGTCTGCAGGGCCTTGAGCTCGCCAATATCGTCCGGTAGTCTTTTAAAGTTATTACGAGTGACGTCTAGGAACGTCAACGTCTCTCCAAGCTCCATGAACGACTGGGGTAGGTGCGTCAGGGAGTTTCTTCCTAGATCTGCATATGTTAATTGTCTCAGTAGGCCAATGTCGTCCGGTAGATACCTCAAACCATTCCCGGGCATCCTCAACTCCTTAAGCATGATTAACGAGCGACACCCGACCGCAGGGGCGAGTTCAAAGCAGTGCAGCTCCCGTATGCGGTTGCGCGGCATGCTTATCTTCGTAACACCTAGTTGCTGCATCAACGTCGACCCCAGAAACAACGGTAAATACTGGAGACCTCGCTCCACGACGATCAATTCGTGGCGCTGCACCGCGAGGTAGCCTTCTCGTTTCGCTCCGTCTTCGGGTAGAGGTGGGGCTTCTACCGGTGAACCCCAGGCGCCGCCGTCGTCGCGCCACGCCGGCGGCGGCGGCGCCTTGACCAGCTTCATGAACTCAAAGGGCTTGTACTGGAGCGTCGGCCGCCTTAGTTCTCTTTGTATGGGATCCAAATCTTCTTCAGCGACCTCTTCGGCGTCGAAGTCCTCGGCCTCCATCAACAACGATTCGCGATAAGCGACGATCTTGTTCCTTTGTTTTCTGTCCTCATCCAATGCAGCATATATTCGCTCGGGTAGCGCGTTGACCGCTTCCCCAATCCCGATCCTCCCGGCCTTGTAGACGTCCGTCGCGGCCCACCACTCGTCGGCTCGTACTCTGAATACAGATTGAGAAGGTACTCCTTCATCCTTATCCGGTGGTCGCGCACCGAGACCCAAGCTCTCAAGCAGCTCCTCGAAGTCATTCTTACTAAGAGTACCCGAGCCATCGTCCACGGCCTCGAAGGCGCGCTGCACCTCCTGCTGCCGCTGTAAGTCACGAGCCAACGCTGCGGCTTGCTCTTTTTGTAAGCCTTTCATCCTCGACGCTTGTAAGACTGCCTTCTCGTCGTCCGTCATCTCGGCGATGGTCTTGGAGCGGGGATTCTCCCGCGAGTTCGGCTTGGGCGGGGGCGGCGGGGGCTTGTTCTTCTTCTTCCGCGTCGCGATCTGCTTGCTGATCGGATTCGTCAACGTAGGATGGCCCGTGGTGTTCGACAACTTGATGACCTGCTGCACCTCGATGACCTTCTGCCTTTCAGATTCGGCCTTGGCCAACCGTTTCATCTTGTCCGTGTATTGCTGCTGTCTCGCTTGACGTAAAGCGCTTCTAGCTTTCGCGTAGGACCCGTGCCTGATCAGCAAGTACTTAAAATCACAATTCAGCGCCGCCTCATCACTCGGCCGCTTCCGCCCGATGTGCCGGTGCTGCGGCAGCGGTGGGAGGAACGGGTTCTCGTCCTCGTCGCTCTTGTGGACAACTCTAGAATCTCTTGTAGACATGTCCTCGTTCCGCTTCCGCAGGGCCGCATGGAACAAGGCGTTGCCGTCCGACGACTGGGGCCGGCGGCCCATCATGGTCGCGGCGGCGCGCCCTGCTGCCCTGTGGAGGCACTGCTGCCTGGAGGCAAGTCCCAGGGGTGCGGCTGCGCCGCTGCGCGGCCTGCACGCGTCGAGGCCGCGTCCAAAGGCCTCTCTTGATCGATTCGGGCTGCCCCTCGCGTATGTATGCGGCCGAGACGCGCCTAGCGCTGCCTGTCCAAAGCAAAAAGCTGCCTTGGCACCGCGCGAGCCTCGCTCGCCGAGGCCTCCCGCCGCGAGCTGAAGGCTCGGGCGGTCGCGGAGAGGTGGCTGTGGGTTTGGAACCCGCACGTCTTAACGCGAGGTTGTTGTGAGAGGCCATCGCAATAACGCCCAGCAGGGGCTGCCCTGGACCCCCAAAACAAAGCCGCAACCACCGCACCGCTTGCGCGCCGCGTGCGCTCGCGCGCGGACGCCGGCGCGGGGCCGCACTCCTCCCAAGGGCAGCAGCATCGGCGCCATGGGTTTTGGTGATGGCTTAGGCCGCGATGCGGAGCTCCAGGCCGCCTATGCGGATAGAGCGACGGTGAAGGCGCGGCGCATGGCCTCCATTTACAGGACAAGGCGGCCCGGCTACGAGGACACGCGCAAGTGGCGCTCGACAAAACTACCAGATGCGGTCCTCGCCGTCGGCGCGCGCATGGCCGCGTCGCGCTACGCGTCGCCGACACCATTAACGGTCATCAAGCCCGACGTCCCGCCGACGATGCGCCGGTCGATCGTGCCGCGGCGGACGTCCATCCAACCGCCGTTGCAGCAGAAGAAGGTGCGCTTCGCCGCGCCGTCTCCCCTAGAAATGTTTCCTGTCACGCGCGACACGACGATCACGGACGTCTGGGCGCCGCGCGCCGTCGAGAAGAAGGCGGCCTGGCTGTTTGGTGATTCTGATGACGACTTTGGGTTAGCGCGCGAAGATAGTCTGGGGAGGGACTTCCGGCGCTTCGAGGGCGGCGGGCTCTTTAATACATTAGGCCAGGAAAAAGAAACGGCCCAAAAGGCGTCGCGGGCCTTCCTCATGACGCCCGTGTCAGGAATGAGAGATGAGGGCTACGCCATCGTGCCCCGGTCGGAACTGCGGGAGCTCGCCTCGCTCGAAGGCAACCTGCGGAGGGAGCGGCGGTCCTTCGTCCAGGACTGCGAGCACCTCGTCGCGAAGAAGGCCATGCTGCCCTCGCAAAAGTACTCGCTGAGCGAACCGTCGCCCGTGGCGACGTATGTGCTCGTGGCGACGTGCGATCGAGAAATCAGACGGTGCGAGGCCACGGTCAGGGCCATGTACGACGCGCGGCGGAAGGAGGCCGCCAGAGAAAGAGCGGCTAGACCCTGGCGTAAAACGGTGGATGCGAAGGAGCTGCCGCCGTTGGGCGGTGGGCTGTCGGGCAAATTACGGCCGGAGACCGACCTAGTGATGGCGAAACTCGCCCTCAAGACGGGGAGCTGGGATGCTTACTTAAAAAGAAGACTGTGGCACAGAAGGATGGCCGAGACCGAGGCCATGGCCTTTGAAGATGGTTATAGTAGGTGCGCGTTCCGGGCTCATGACGCGCGTGTGCAGCGGGCGGACTACCAGGTCTATGTGGAGCTGGTGGCGAGGTACGGCGTGCCCTTTTCAGAAGATGAATTTAATGCCCTGGGCCCAAAGGCGGGCAGCACGTTCCGGGACCTTTGTAACGATGCTGCGATAAAATGGCAGCGCATGTGGTGGTTCTACGCGCCCGTTTATAGACTACGACGCGACCGCGCTTCTACGATAATACAAAAACATATGAGGGGCGTCAATACCAGGAGGAGATGGGCGCCCATCGTCCAGCTCCGGCTCGAGTCGGGAAGGCAACGGCCTCTACGCATGGCCCTGGGCCACTGGCACCGGTGCATCTTGAGAACTATAAGAGCTCGCCATTTGGTGTTTCGCATCAAGCACCACAAATCGAAACGCATGTTGAAGGCCTGGCGTTCCTTGGTTGGAGACGAGCTCGCGTCGATCGTCGTGGATCAAGTCCTGGACGAATTTGCGGATGAAAAGATGCAGCAGCACGTCAACCGCTACTTCGGCGACTACGTGAAGTCGACGGGTCTGCGCTTCGAAATGCTCGCGAACGACGGCGTCGAGAAGTGCGTCGAGCCCATCGTCGAGCTCACGGTCGAAGGCATCATCGACGAGTTTTGTGAATACGACACCTTACCGGCCTGGATGGACCAGAACTGGTTCCTCCAGAAGTGCTCCTACGAGAACCATGTGTCGCTGGTGCGGGCGGGCGTCTTACCTTCCGACTTGTTCGCGGAATCCAAAAGGGACTACATCTGGGCGCAGAACGCAACCATCATCCAAAGAGCGTGTCGAGGAAGGATGGGCCGCGACCGCGTGCGCCAGAAGCTGGCGCGGACTTATAGAAAACGCTGGGACGGCCGGCGCTTCTACTACGTCAATTTGAAGACTGACGAGCGGCTGGACCGGCGCCCGCGGCTCATCGGGATGCTGTTCCCGCGGAGCGTGTTTTAAGGAGAATGTTGTTTACTACATATACTTATCGCACGCGGCGGCGCTCTAGCGCCTCGGACATCGCGCGCGTCACAGCAGCAGGTGCGCGCCGGACAGCGCGTCGCCGGTCGGCGCGTGCCCGCCGGGCTGGACGTCGAGCCAGAGTGGCCGCGACGCCCTGGACGCGGCCAACCGGATCTCGGCCGCGTCGAGGCCCTCGAGGCGCGTGCCGTCGATCGCGATCAAACGCGCGCCGGCCTGAACGCCGCACTGGTGCGCCCACTGGCCACGCAGCGCGTCGGTGACGAGCAACCCCTTTGGTCCACATGTTTTGCCGTCGGCAGGCAACCGCACGCTCAAACCAGCTATTTCGCCGTACGAAAAGATAGGTACCCGTTTCGCCGACGGCCGCCGCGTCAAACTCGGCCGCCGCGGCGTCGAGCCGCTCGCCAGGCGGCCGTAGGCCGCTGAGGTCCCTTGTCGGACCCGCGAGGTGGTCAGCGACATCTCCTTCAGGATCCCGCTGATGGTCGACGCGTCGCGTTCGGCAGCCTTCGCGTCGCGGGCGGCTTGCAGGCGCGACTGCGCGATGGCGGCTGCGCCCGTGGCGACGCCGACGGCGATCCCGACTGAGACTGGGTCCGGCATGCTTGCTGAAGTTGCTGAAAGGACAAAGGCTGCCAAATACGGTCTGCGCGGCGTACGGATTTGCCGCAAGCGGCTGCAGCCAAGTACAGACGTCTGTGCCGGTGCGATAGGACGGCGAGGCGCCAATCTACTGCCCTGAACGCCTCGCAATAGGCCTTTTTTTCGAGATCAAAAATAAAGCTCCTGAAGCACCCGCACGTTCACCGCATGCCCAAAGGTAAATCTACCATTCAAAAGGCCCCTTCTACGATTCCCTCGAAGGCCGAAGAGGAGGAATCACAGGGACGCGCGGAGGCCTGGTTGCTGCAGCAGCATCACAACAAGGCAGGCGAGGCCATCAAAACGCAAGCCATTTATGATGCGGACAGCCTCATTATGTCTTCTCACGATCGCTGCGGCGGCCGCTGCTAGAACGAAGCCAGCGCTGCACGTGAGGCCAAGCAAGCTCACCTCCTGCATGCTCTCCCTGCGCGGCGGCGCCGGTGCCAAAGTCCTGAGCCCGAAGCGGTCGCTGCTCGGCAAGATCATGGATTTCATCGCATCATTCTTCGACCCGGCGTTCGGCGGTAACTACGGCGTCGCATCGGCCGCGGCCCAGGCGTCGGCCGCGGCGCCCGCGGCGGCCCCGGCGAAGAAGGCGTCGCGCATGAATAGAGGTAGAGGCGGCCGCACGATCAGCGTCGACGACCTCAAGCAGATGGAGGGCGGCCGCGTCAAGCCCATCAAGACGGCGGCCGAGATGAAGAGAGCTATTGCATCCTCGAAGCTGACCGTCGTGGACTTCTGGGCGTCGTGGTGCGGGCCCTGCATGCAGATCAAGCCCAAGTTCGCGAAGATTTCCGACCGCTACGGCGGCGTCGGCTTCTACGCCGTCGACGTCGACGCCGCGAAGCCCGTGTCGCAGGCGCACGGCGTCTCGTCGATGCCCACCTTCGTGTTCTTCAAGGGCGGGAAGGAGATCGAGCGCTTCTCGGGCGCGGACGAGAACAAGCTGAGCCAGCTCATCGAGCGGCTGAAGTAGTCTCCTAAGTCTATGTTTCGAGCCTGAGTGTCTGCGGCGATGGCGAGTGGCCTCAACTAGAAGTTAGAGCCCTAGCACGCGAACAGCTTGAGCGTGCTGTCGCGCGACGCAGACACGAGGCGCCGCCCGTCCGGAAACACGGCAACGCCATAGACCTACGCCGAAGCCAGATCATCACAAAAGTACAGCGGACGCCGCAACGTACGTCCAACGAGTGCCCTTCCAGCGTCGCCACGCATTTGCCGGTCTCGACGTCCCAGACCTTCAGCGTCTCGTCCTCCGACCCAGACACGACGCGCCGCCCGTCCGGAAACACGGCAACGCCGCGGACCTACGACGAAGGCACATCATCACAAAAGTACAGCGGACGCCGCAACGCACAAAATCCGAGTGCCCTTGCAGCGTCGCCAGGCATTCGCCCGTCGCCACGTCCCACACCTTGAGCGTCTCGTCGCCCGACGCAGACACGACGCGCCGCCCGTCCGGAAACACCGCAACGTCAAAGACCTACGACGAACACAAATCAACACAAAAGTACAGCGGACGCCGCAACGCACTCCGTCAGAGTGCCCTTCCAACGTCGCCACGCATTCGCCGGTCTCGACGTCCCAGACCTTGAGCTCTTTCCACGACCCAGACACGACGCGCCGCCCGTCCGGAAACACGGCAACGCACTTGACCTACGACGAAGCCAGATCATCACAAAAGTACAGTGGACGCCGCAACGCACGTTGTCCGAGTGCCCTTGCAGCGTCGCCAGGCATTCGCCGGTCTCGACGTCCCAGACCTTGAGCGTCTCGTCGTCCGACCCAGACACGACGCGCCGCCCGTCCGGAAACACGGCAACGCTATGGACCTACGACGAAGACACATCATCGCAAAAGTACAGTGGACTCCGCAACGCACGAAACGCGAGTGCCCTTCCAGCGTCGCCACGCACTCGCCGGTCGCCAGGTCCCACACCTTGAGCCTTCCTGGCGTATTACCACCCCCATCACAAGAAACGACCCGCCGCCCGTCCGGAAACACGGCAACGCCAAGGACCTGCAACGACGACAGATTATCACAAAAGTACAGTGGACGCCGCAATGCACGATCTTAGATCGCCCTTTCAGCGTCGCCACGCATTTCCCCGTCGCCACGTCCCACACCTTGAGCGTGCGGTCCGTCGACCCAGACACGACGCGCCGCCCGTCCGGAGAGACCGCAACGCAATTGACCTACGACGAAGACGCATCATCACAAAAGTACAGTGGACGCCGCAACGCACGACATGTGAGTGCCCTTCCAGCGTCCGCACTAAGGCGAGCTTGGACAGGTCGATTTTTTCGGCGCGGCGCTGTCGCTTCTCCTCTTCATCCTTGGCGGCTTTGACTCTCGCCCGGCGTTGCCGTTCCGCTTCGTCTTCGGCTGCACGTTGCCGCCGCTCCTCGGCGGCCCTCGCTTCGGCGACGCGAAGCTTTCGTTCCGCCTCCGCGGCCCTGGCCTCGGCAACGAGCCGCTGCCGCTTCTCTTCGTTGGTCTCCGCTTCGGCGGCGCGGCGCCTCCGCTCGGCCTCGGCGGCGGCAGCGCGTCTCCGTTCCGCTTCGGCGGCCGCCGCCGCCTCGCGAAGCCGTCCTTCCCTGGTGGCTTTTGCTTCGGCGTCGCGAAGCTTTCGTTCCGCCTCGGCGGCCTTGGCTTCGGCGGCAGCGCGTCTCCGTTTCGCTTCGGCAGTCGCCGCCGCCTCGCGCTGCGTTTTCTCCTTGCCGGCTTTCGCTTCGGCGAGCGCGGACTGGTCAGCCAGACAGCATCCAAAGATTCGCTTAACGATGCTATTCGTCGACTTGGGCGTGTCGCGCGTCTCCTCGACCGTAACATCGTCGGGCGAAAGCGGCTTCCCGAGCCGGAGCGACTCTTCAACGCTTGCGGCCGTGGGCCGCGCCCTCGGATTCCACTTGAGCATCTCGGCGACGAGGCCGCCGAATTTGGGCGACACTCTTTTAGATTCGCGGACTAGCTCCTTTACTTTGGTTTCGTCCTTTGAGAGGAGGCCGGCCCCTTTGTCATCGCGTGCCTCGAGCGACCGGCCCGTCACCGCTCCCGCGAGCATGCAACCCAGGGCCCAGACGTCATCCTTCTCGTCGTAAGCGCCGCCGCGCGCTTTCTCCGGCGACTGGTAGAGCAGCGCGCCGACGGCGTTGGCGCCGCCCCTAGACGACACCCTAGACTTCTTCTTGAGAACAATAGCGAGCCCGAGGTCGATGACTTTCGCGTCGCCGGCCCCATTGAAGAGCACGTTGTCGGGCTTGAGGTCGCGGTGCTGCATTCGTTGCGCGTGCATGTGCGCGAGGGCCGACGCGACCTGGCGAGCCCATTTCGCGGTGTCGGGGGCCTCGTCGCTCGTGAGCGCGCCGGTGGTCTTCTCTAGACGATCTAGCAGCGAGCCACCGGTCAAGTGCTCCATTACTATCGCGAAGTAGTCGAAGTCGTCCTTGAAGGTGAAGGCCGCGTAGTAGCGGACGATGTTAAAATGGTTCAGCGAGTGAAGCCGCACGGCCTCCTCCCGGAGCTTCTCCACGGTAATGCCCTTCTGCGTTGCCCCCTTAATCATGGTCAGCTTCACCGCGTAGATCAGCTTGTCGCCCGCATTTCGCATCGTGTGCACCGTAGCAAAGGCGCCACCACCGAGGAAAGACGCGCTCTTGCTCGGGGGAATCCCGGTATACGTGTAAAGCGTTTCAATTCCGCCCTGTCCATCTCTGCCAGCGGACGTCAGCACCCTCGCGGACGTCACGTTGAGAAGTGCCAGCATCAAATTATTCTTGCGCTGGTCAATAATTTTTAGCGCATCTTCGCGTCCCTCTGTGTATTTCGCGTCCGCGGCGACCTTGATCGACTTTCCGAGTCCATCCAGCATGTCCCTGACAGATGGGTCGTCGACCGCCGGATTCGACACCACGCTCTCCAGAAGGCCTGCGAGGTCTCTGAGCCCGCTCTCGAACTCGGCTTTCTCGCCCTTGCGGAAGACGCGCTCGTCTACCTCCTTTTCAGCCCGCTTCAAGACGAACTCTTGTATTTTTTCAGCAAGTTTTTTGCAGTACGGTTTGGCGGCGCTGGCAGCGGCGCTGCCGGCCGCGATTAAAACGGGCAGCTCGAACCCTGACATCGCTCCCAGCGCTTATGATACCTCCATGTGCTCAGATGAAAGGGCAGCCCAGCGATCCCAGCGGTGGCAGGCGGCTGCCCACGCAAGTGGTACTCGCGAGAGGAGCGTTACTGAGTTCTATGGCAGCCACTGGGGCCCCGCGGAGATGCGAGACACGAGGCGTTCCGCGCACTCTTATCGAAAATCCTGCGGGGCCCCGCACGCGCGCTCGCGCGCTCGACGGAGTAGGCACTCCTCCAACTCCCTTTCACCGCGTAGTGTAAAGCTCTTCCGCGCGCGCATCTACGACGTACGTTCTAGATTAAATTACACACCGAGGAAGCCCGTACTGTCTGGCCGCTCGGGCGACGACGCCGACGTGGCCGGCCGCTCGGGAGGAGCCGCGACCGGCCGCTCCCACTGCGTCGCCTCCGAGGCCTCGTGGAAGTAGAAGTACTGGCCCGACTCGGGGTCGAAGACCTCCTCCCAGCCGTCGGGCAGCTCCTGGCGCGCGGCGGCGGCGCGCGCCTTGTGCTCCATGATGAGCTCGACGATCTCCGCGTGGCCCTCGCTCTCGGCGTCCTGCAAGGGCGTGTCGCCGTCCTCGTCCTCGATGAGCATGGCCCCAAACGCCAGCAGCATCTTGCACAGCTCGAGGTGCCCGCCGTAGCACGCCTCGTGGAGCGGCGTTCTTCCGGAAGCGCTGGCCCCTTCGTCGACGTCGGCGCCGCAGTCCCGCACCAAAAACAGCGCGACGTCGAAGTGGCCGTTCTCGCAGGCCAAAAACAAGGGCGTGAAGCCGTGCTCGTTCGGCCGGTCCGGGTCCGCGCCATATTTCACGCAGCGCCGCGCCACGGCGAACTCGCCGCGCTGGCACGCTATGTATAACTTCGCCTGGCTGTCCTCGATGACGTTCTCGTCCTCCTCGGCCGCGCGGCGTCTGCTTGAAGACGACCGGCGGAGGTCGTCCTGCGGCAGCGGCGCCAGGACGTCCGAGCGCTCGTCGGCGTCCTCGTCGGGCGACGGCGGCGCGAAGAAGGGCGCCGCCGTCGTGGGAGGCGTTTTTGGCGGAGGCGGCGTCTTCGGGGGCGTCGGCGGCGTCCGCGCGCGGTCGAAGTCGCGGCGGCGCGACCCGGGCGACGGCGGCGTCCGCGCCCGGTCGAAGTCGCGCTTCCGCGGCGCCGGTACGGGCGCCTCGGCCGCGTCGTCGACGATGATGAGGTAGTTGCGGGGCACGTAGCCCGCCTTGCCGCGCATCGCGGCGAAGATCCAGCCCGGCGACGGGTGGTGCTCCGCGTAGCGGATGAGGACGCGGTCGCCGTCGGCGAGCGGGAGCTCCTGCTCCGACTCGGCCTCGAAGGCCCGCCGCGCCCTCGCGATGCACAGGCCGCGGCCCGGCGGCTTCGGCACGGGCACGTCGCCCTCGGCCACCCTTCTTGATCTCCAATAAAACTCGGGCGCCGCGTCGCGCTCGACCTCCGGCGAGAAGGACACCGTGCCGCGCGACGTCGGGCGCTGCAGCGACCGCTCCTTCGCCTCGAACTCGCGGCGCCGGGCTTCGTCGGCCGCGCGCCGCTCCTTCTCGACGCGCTCTCTCTCTTGGTCCTCCTCGCGCCGGCGCGCCTCGGCCGCCTCGCGGGCCTTCCGGAGCTCGGCCTCGGCCTCGGCCTGGCGCAGCTCCTCCTGGCGCTCGAACTCGCGGCGGCGCGCGTCGGCCTCGGCCTTGGCCGCCTCGGCGCGCCGCGCCGCCTCGGCCTCGGCGGCCGCGTCGTCGCGCGCTTGGCGCCGTTGCGACAGCTCCTGCTTGGCGTTGCGCCGTCGGACCGAGCCCTGGAGCATCGTGGCCGCGCCGTCGTCGCGGACCTTACGCCGTTGCGACAGCTCTTGCTTCGCGTTGCGTCTCCGTACCGAGCCCTGGAGCATGGTCGCCGCGCCGTCGTCCCGCACCTGGCGCCGTTGCGACAGCTCCTGCTTCGCGTTGCGCCGGCGAACCGAGCCCTGGAGCATCGTGGCCGCGCCGTCGTCCCGCACCTGGCGCCGTTGCGACAGCTCTTGCTTCGCGTTGCGGCGTCGGACGGAGCCTTGCAACTTCGTAGCCGCGCCGTCGTCCCGAACCTGGCGTCTCTGCGACAGCTCTTGCTTCGCATTGCGGCGCCGCACCGAACCTTGCAGCATCGTCGCCGCGGAGTCGTCGCGGGCGGCCTCCTCCTGGCTGCGCCGCGCGTCGGCCTCGGCGCGCAGCCTCGCGGCCTCGCGCTCCTCGTGCGCGGCCCGCCGCCGCCGGTCGACCTCCTGCGTCGCGTTGCGCCGTCGGATGGAACCCTGGAGCCGCGTCGCGGCGCCGTCGTCGCGGCGCCGGCGCCGCTGCGACACCTCCTGCTTGGCGTTGCGCCGTCGCACGGAGCCCTGGAGCATCGTCGCCGCACCGTCGTCCCGCACGCGCCGCCGCTGCTGCACCTCCCGCCGCGCCGTCCGCCGCCTTTGAGACGACTGCAGCAGCGTCGCCGCCGCGTCCTCCTTGATTGGCTCCTGGAAGGCCGTGAACGAGACGAGCGACGAGTCGTCGTCGCGCGGCGTCGCCAGCGTCGCCGACGGCGTCGCCTGGCGCCGATACAAAATGTCCGCGCTGTCGTAGAGGTGCCACTCGGGATCCGCCGACGCGTACTTCGAGTATTGGATGCAAATGCCGTCCCGCCCGGAATGGTCCTCCATCGCGGCCTCGACGGCCACGACGACCGCGTCGAGCCAGGCCCCGGCCACGTGGACCTGCACGTGGGCCCCGACCAAGCTCGCGCCGAACGCCGGCCGCGGGTTCGCCCGCGCGGCCTTGACGACGACCACCTCGTCCGACCCGTGCGCGTGCCACTCCTCGCTCTCCGTGTGCTCGTCGTTATCGGTAAAGCGAATACAAACGCCGTTCGCGCCCTCGAGCTCGGCCAGCGCCGCGCCGACCTCCACGACTTCCGCGCGGAGCCAGGCGCCCGCGACGTTGACCTTGACCTTTGCACCGAGCAAGTCCTGGCCGAAGGCGGGCCACTCGCGTTGTTCCGGCGCGGGCGCCAGGCGCAGGGGCGTCGCAGGCCTCTCCTCCTCCCGGGGTTCCAGGGATGGCGCCGTGAGCAGCGACGAGTCGTCGTCGCGCGCCTGGCGTCTGTATAAAATATCCTCGCTCTCATACAAGTGCCACTCGGGATCCGCCGACGGGTAGGCGGCGTACTGGATGCAAATACCGTCCCTGTGGTCGTGGTCCGCCATCGCGGCCTCGACGGCGACGACCACGGCGTCGAGCCAGGCCCCCGCGACGTGGACCTGCACGTAGGTGCCTACTAAACTCGCGCCGAAGGCCGGGCGCGTGTTTTCGGCCGCGGCTTCGATGATCCTGATCTCGTCGCTGCCGAACTCGTGCCACTCCTCTGTAATTGTATGGGTCTCATCACTAAAGCGCACACAAACACCGTTCGCGCCGTCCAAGTCGGCCAGCGCCGCGCCCACTTCCACAATCTCGGCCGGGAGCCACATTCCGTCGACGTTGACCTCGACCGCCGCGCCTATCAAGCTCTGGCCGAACGCGGGCCACTCTTTGTGCTCCGTCGTCGCGGCGCGCCGGCGCTCCACTTCGGCGCGGGCGTTGCGCCGTCGCACAGACCCCTGCAGTAACGTAGCCGCGCCGTCGTCCCGTTTGCGTCTTCGCTGCGAGATCTCCTGCTTGGCGTTGCGCCTCCGCACCGAACCTTGGAGCATCGTCGCCGCACTATCATCGCGTTTCTGCCGCTTCTGCGCCACTTCCAGGCGAGCCGTCCGCCTCCTCTCGGAATTCTGCAGCAACGTCGCCGCGGAATTGATCTGGCGCTTCTGCGCCACTTCGAGCCGCGCCGTCCGCCGTCGCTGCGAGTTCTGGAGTAGCGTCGCCGCCGCGTCCAGGTCGTCTTCGACGAAGCGCACCTTGCGCAGCTCCGCGGGCATGGCTCCGTCGTCATCTGATTCCGACATGTCTTCGAAACCTCCGTCTTGCACGGCGTCCAGAATTTCTTGGGGCGGCTGCGTGTAGACCGTCTGGTCTTTGAGTTCGACGTCGTCGAATTTGGGTGTCGTAGACGCGTACCAGGCCGGCTTCGCGCGCTTGTTGGCCTCCTTGATCTTACGGGCCTTCGCGGCGCGTTGCTGTTGGATGGCCAAGTCTTCGCGAGCCCCGACGTAGAACCGCGACATCTGCCTCGAATTCGCTCTCGTAGATGTCCGTTTGTCGAAGTCGCGGTCCACATCTGTCAAAGTAGCTTCGATGATGGCATCTAAACACCTCTTGCGCGCCCTTTCTTCCATCGCCCGATACAGCTCGTGGCCGACGCCGTCCGCGACGTCCTGCGCGACCTTCGCTTTGCGCGCCTTGCGCTCCTTCAACCGTTGCTTGTCGTCGCGCCGCTTCATGTCATCATTTTTCTTCTTGAGTTCGAGCTGTTGCTTTCTCAGTACCTTACGTCTCTCGATGGAGTTCCGCAGGCGCCGTTCTTCTTCATCCTTCCACTTCTGGCGCGTCGCGTCCGCCTCCCTTTTTGCTTGCTCGATTTGCGCGGACGTCGCCGCGAGCGCCGCCTCCGACGCGTCCCTCTCACCGGCCCGCCGCCGCTTGATCTCCATCATCAACCGGTATTTGGGATGTAGTATTTCTTTGTCGACCAACTCGCCCCTTTTGGCCACCTTCGTCCACTCTCGCAAGTCTAGTTCGCCCGAGCCGTCTTCGTCAGCAATTTCAAATAATTTCTGGATGGCCTCTTTGGCCGGCCTTCTCCCTAAAACCATGTGTAGCGCACCACCGAGCTCCTGCACGTCGATGGTACCCGAATTATCTTTGTCGAAGTGGGCAAACGCTTTTCTTATGGTCTCGTCGTCCGCCGTCCTCGGGGCCGCTCCACCCGTGCGCGGGTTCGCGGCTAAGCGAGCGGCGGACTTCCGAGCCCTACCAGCCAAGGTCTTGTTGTGCGTATCCAAGGCGTCGCGCATCTCGTTCCGCAGGCGCTTCTTGGCTCTCTGCGCCTTCACGTGGGCATCATACCGCGCCATGCGCGCGGCCTGCGCCTCCTCGGCCTGGCGCGCGCGCGTGGCCTCGAGGAAGGCCTTGCTGGACATCGGCATGGTTGTCTGTGGCGGGCTGCCCCGCAGCACCCGGGCAGTGGCGCGATGAGCGGAGCGGTCCAGCCCGGCGGCTGTTGGGAGGCACGAGTGGCGTCCGCTGGCTTGCGCCGGGTGCGTATGGTGCTTCCCCGCCTGCTCCCGCGCAAAAAAGCGCCTCGCAGAGCAAGCGCGTTGTTAGCGCGGGTTTGGTCTCCGCGAGCGCAAGGGCCGTCTATAAGTCTAGGAAGGCATTGCTGGGCCGTGGGAGACGTGGTCGGGGGGTTTACTTCACGGTGCACCTCTGCTAAACTCACTCACGAGAGGCCGAGGTCAATCACCCATCGCGACGCGCACGAGCCAGATACGCGTGCGCAAAGGGATCAGGCGAACTGGTTGAATTGATCGCTCACGGTTTCCGGCGCCGCCGCGAGCTCTGGCGCTTGAATTCTGTGGTCGGCCAAAATCTGCCCCAAGTCGGTTTCACAACGCGCGGGGGCACGCGCGGACTAGACAGGCCGCCGGAGGCACACATATAGCCCAAACCAACGGCCGGGGCCACGCCTCCGACGCGACGATGTACACGCGCCCCGGCACCGGCGCCGGTTTTAATGATGGCTCGTCGTACGCGTCGTCGAGCCACTACTCGGGCCTCCCGCCGGGCCACGGTGGACTCCCCCACGGCCTGCCCGTTACTTTATCTGCTCATTCCTCCATCTCTGGCGCAAATAGAGTAGTAGATGCCCTCGCGAGTGGAACGGTCAAGGAGCAGCGCCTCAAGTCCGCGCGCGGCCAGGACATAGCTATCTTCGTCGAGATGGACGACGGCGGCGGCGACGTCTTCCTGAGCGGCCGCGTCTCGCCCCGGTTACCCGCGTCTGGTGCGCGCGTGACCTTCCGCCTGTCGCTCACAGAGGAACATAGATGGGTCGCGAAGAACGGCGAGTGGCTCTACGAGAGTATGGCCTGGCCCGAGCCGGCCGACCCGCGGTTGGCGCCGCCGCGGCGCCGCCCGGGCAAGCGCGTCGACGGCGTCGTGTCCACGCGGAAGCCGTCGTCGGCGTGCTGCTGGATCACCACTGGTGATTTGAACGGTGGAGTGTATTGCTTGAGCAAGTGGTGCCCCGGCGGCCAGAGCCCGCCGCTCGGCGCCATCGTGACCTTCGAGCTCAAGCAAGGTAAATATGGGGACTGGCGCGTCCGTCCGCGGCGCGGATATCAATTTTTCTGCTCTACGCGTGGGTGGTGTGAAGGCTGCTTACAGCAATTTTCCTTCTTGCCAGAAAACTGCAGCCTGTCCCGCACCACACCTCGACGAGCAAGTTTAACTCGCATCGGGGGGCTTAGAACTCACCGGTCGATCTCCCCACAGGTCGCCCACCCGCCGGGCCTGGCCGTCGTCGGCCACGAGTCGATCCTACTCGAGCGGACGCTGCTCGACCGGGGCACGCCGGAGATGATCAGCGGGCCTCAACGACCGGAACCGTTCTCGCCGCCGCCGTTGATGACGCCGTCGATGGCGTCGCGGTCCGTGGCGTCGCGCGACAGCCGGCGCTCGCACCACTCGTCGCGCTCCGTGCGCTCGTCGCCGGCGCCCGCCGTCTCGCTGTCGTCGCGGTCGCTGACGGCGCCGCCGCCGGTCCCCAACACCTGGAGGGGGCCGCCGCCGGCCAAGACCAGCGGCTACCTCAACAACATCCAGGCGAACCTGGCCCAGTTGATGGGGCGGGTCCGCGTCACCGACGCAGCGCCCGCGCCCGCCCTGGCGCCGCGCGGCCCGGCGCTCATCGACGACGCGCCGCCGCAGCCGCGCGGGCGCCTCGGCTCGATCGCCGCGCCGCCTGGACCCGGCTGGCTCGAACAGCCGCGGCCGCCGTCGCCGGCGCCGGCGCCCGGGTACGACACTTGGACGCCGTCGGCCTACGCGTCCGAGTGGCAGCCCGGCGAGCCGCCGCGACGCGCTTCGTGACCTCTCACTACCATCCCACAACCCCTCTTCCACCCGGTCGAAGACGCCGGAAGTCGGTTCGCATACAATATCTTAACCAGTCATCTAGACCCCGCGCCACGGTTGCGTGCTCATCTCGAACTTGAAATAGTCGCCAGAGGGCATCCACGGTTGTGGAATGGGGGGATTGGCGCGCCGGAGCCGCGCGCGCACGACCTCGCGCCACCCGCGGAGCTTGTCGTGCAGCGTCTCCAGCGACGCGCACGACGCCAGGTCGACGCGCGTCGAGACCTCGTCCACGACGCGGCGGAGGAGGCCGTGGGCCGACTCGTGGCGATACGAGAACTCGTGGTCCGCCGCGCGCGACGAGCCGTTCATGTCGCGACTGCCTCCTCCGGGTACCCGGTAGAAGAGGTCCTTGCCCTCCGGGTAATAGACGGTCCCGTCCCACTTCTCGCTTTTTCCCGTGTCCCGCTCGAAGCGGGGGAAATCGTCACAGAACTCGGAATAGCGTAGGCGCTCAGAACGACGGGAGGGTGGGGCGTAGTGCTTCGACGAGCGTTCGAGGTGCTCCCACTGGTCGTCGGCGCGGCCGCGCAGGTTCGCCACGAGCGCCACGGCCTTGATTACATGACCGAGGTCAAAGTAAGACACGCCGAGGAGCTCGGCCACGTCCTCGCAAGTCTCGTGTGTCGCGGTGTGGAGGTATTCGTGGTCGTCGCCGTTGTCAAAGTTCCGGTCTTCTTGCGGCCAGAACGTGTGGACGAGCCGGACGAGCCGCGAGCATGGCCGCATCGGGCTAGGGGCAGCGGGATCGGACGAGCGCTCGACGGAGAGCGTCTCCCCGGCAGTCCACACGTCGAGCCGCCGCTCGAAGGCCTCGTCGTCGTTCTCGGGGCACTCGGCGTAATACGTCTGGAACTCGCGCCGCGAGACGTGGCCCGCGCGGTCGAGTCCCGCGTGGCGCTTGCACCACACCCGCAACGCTTTTTCCTGCCTTTCCTTTTGCCATTCATTAACTTCGCCATCTTCACATACGCGAGGATGGCGTGACGCGTCGTGCGCGTCAGAGAACGCTGCCAGCTCGACGAAGCCCGTCCCTTCGGGATCCAAAAGCTCCCATGCCGCGTCGACCAACGCCGCGCGCCGCTCGTTTCCCCCGGCGCCCAGCACCGCATACACGCCAAGGCTCTCGTAAACTTGCCCGTCCCCGCAACCCTTCCCTGTCGTGGCCTCTGCCGAGCTGACGACGAAGAGGACGCGCGGCGCCTCGGCGGCCTCCGGCGAGCACCGCGCAGCCGGCCGCGCGACGGAGACCAGGGCGACGGTCTCGTGGCCATCGACGTCCCTGTTCGTGCCCTCGATCGACGCGACGCCGTGGTAGACCGCCGTCTCGAGCACGAGGCGGATCGCGGCCGCGCGGCGGCCGGCGAACGACTCGCCGTCCTCCGGCCAATGAGACTCCTCCTCTCGCTCGAGAGCCTCGGCAGATAATCGGAGGTACGCGAACGAACCTTCGGAGGCCCAGGGGATGCACCATTTACGTCTGGACGGCGTGGCCCTGTGATGGTCGTCGTCCGTGTATTGCATCTGTACTTCTCGCGCATCGCTGAACAGAGCCGACGGCCTTGAGGGGTCGTTGCGCATAATGCCCTTGAGGGTGGCGGCCGCGCGGCGCCGCGAGTGGCCCATGACGACGATGAGGCCGTGGAACGTCGACAGCTCGCCGAACAGTGCGCAGCGCCAGAGCGCCGAGACGGGCAGGTCGACGAGAGGACTTACCGGAAGCGTCCCGCGCCGGCGCCAAGCCGCCGGCTCCACGGGCGGCGGCGGCGACGGCTTTCTGAGGCCGCAAGCCCGCAGGATCAAATTCATATCGTATACATGCTTCTCAGGTCACAGTGTGTGATAGCTCGCAAATTGCGCAGCGATGCTCACCGGGAATTTTGCAGCGCGTGCCGCTTAGAATGTGATAGAATGAGCTTTTGTGTTGGTTGTATGGGCCTGATGTAATCTCTGTGCCGAGCACAGCGTGAAAAACACGTGTGAGAGCCAGGCTAGCGGCGCAAGACACTAGGGATGCTAGCAAGCCAGGAAGGCGGCGGAACGCGTGCGCAGAACAACACCAACAACAAGAGAAGATACTAGCAACATAAATTAAGACAGAGACTATCGCTTCTTGCGCCGCGACGCCGGCTTCTTCTTCGCCGGCCGCGCGGTCGACGACGCGCCGACCCAGCGCTCGAGGACGTTGCGCGGCTTTGTTCGTCGCGGCGCGGGCGCCGCCGCCGGCGCCGGCGCGGGAACGACCTCGCCGCGCGCCGCCGCCACGATGGCGCGCCCTTCCGGGCTGCCGACGGGCATGAACGCCGCGCCGCCGCGGAACCCGACCATCTTCTGGCGACACATCGGGCATTCACCGAGCTTCTTCGCGCAGCCGTCGCAGACGCGGTGGGCGCACGGGTTCAGGACTTGAGACCCGACGTTGTCCATGCAAACCTGTGTAGAAATCAAAATTTCCCGGCGCCTTCGTGCGTTGATTTCCACACAAATACACACCACACACTCCTCAGCTTTGTCTAACGAGGTCCGAGGTTTTCCAACAATGACGTGGGACGGGGGCGGCGGCGCGCCCTCGGCCGCGAGTGATTGATCCAGTACCAACATGCCGTGCGACGCTTCGTAGGCCAGAAAGGCAGCGCATTGGGGACAGTGCTCCGTCGCTAGCTTGCCGTGCCCGCATCGTGGACCCTCTTCTTCTGCCGGCACCGGAGCCGGCGCCGGAACCGGTGCTGGAACCGGTTCTGGCGCTTGCGCGGCGCCGTTGCTGCCGAGGAAGACCACAGAGTCGTCGTCGGAGGCGTCTGGCTCCGGCGCCGCCGCCGCCGCGCCGTCATCGGAAGCATTCCGCGCCGCCGCGCCGTCATCATCGGAGGCCTCGTCGAATCGCAACGGCGAAGCCGGTGGTGGCACCGGCTCGCGCGCCGCAGCGGGCGGCGACGGCGGCGACTCTGTGACGGCTCGTGGCGGCGCGGGAGGCGCCGCCGGCGTTTCGGCCGCCGCTAACTCGGAAGCTAACACCCACGCCATGGCGCCGCTCGACGGCGTCGCCGCGACGCCGCCGGCCGGCGGCGGAACTGCAGGAGCAGGCGCTGGGACACTCGCAGCGGCGGGCGATGGATGCGGGGCCGCCGGCGCCGGCGGAGCCGCGGCAGGCTCGTCTTCGGCCTCGGCTGAAAAGCGGCGGACCGGCACGCTCCGCCTTCTCGCATGCAGCGGAGCTTCCCGAAGGCCCACACCATTATGCGCACGCAGGCCGCGCGGGACCTCCGGTGCCGGCGCCGGGGCGGCGGCCTGTTCCTGTTCCTCGTGGCGCGCGCGCTTCGCCTCGCGCTCGGCCTCCTTCTGACGCTTGCGATCCAGAGCGTCCTGCTTCTTCTTCGCGATCCTCGCTTGCTGAGCGAGCGTGAGCGGCATCGTTTCGCGCGTTCACTCGCGTCCAGGCGCCTGGCTCGCAAGGCGCGTGACGGTTACGGTTCGCAGCGGCTGCGCAAGCGCAGAGCAGTCGCGGGGAGCGGTTACGCGCGACGTACGCAACCGCGCGCGCGGCAACAGCGCAGACGGTCGTGGAGCGGTTCCTGGCTTGTAGAGGCGTCTGGCAGAGAGACGGCTCGACGCGACCAAATCGCAGCGGTCTGCGCCAGTTGTACAGCGCTCTATCGAGGCCGGAAGGTCCACCACGCTGTGGCTTTGAGCGCGCGTCGATAGCTAGCGGCACTAACATACTAGTAAGCAGCGGCCGATGCTCTGAAACCTCGTCTGACGGCTCTATACGTGGTGCGCTTGAAGCGGTAGCATCGTCGTATTCTCCAGGACTCGTACGGGCAGCGGCTGGCTCATCTGTGCAGTCACAGCTGTGCAACACGCAACCTTGCTGGGTGCAGCCCATTAAAGTTGCCGCCAATCCGCGCATCAATCGTTTCACAACGCTAGCGCTCGCGAATAGGCGTGCAGGATGCTGTACGATGCCGCGTCCAAAAAATCAAAAAAACCGTCGACCGGAGCTGATGCACAACAGCCAAAGCCGAGGGCGCGCAGCATCGCATCAGGCGCTGCGCCCGGTGACTCGGAGAAAGATTATATATAGTTTTCAAGCTGATCCGCGAGAGAAGCTTCGCATTGAACGGCTGCCATTCTATCGCCGCCGACGCGTCCACGCGCAGGCGCTACTTGTTCCTGGCGACTCTCACAAACGCGTGGCTCCTCGAGTCGTTCCGCCAGGCGCCGCCGCCACAGGCTATTGTCGATGCGCGGGCGATCCGCGACGCTCTACGCAACGCGGGCTACACGTCGCGGGCGCTCGGCGCTCGCGTCCTAGGCGGCACGCCCGTCGCCGCGGCCGCCGCGCCGACCCAGGTCTTGAGGCGCACACCGGAAGGTAGGGCGCCGCCGCGCGACGACGAAGTCGACGCGTTGATCGCGTTGTTCGCGCTGGGGCTAAGCGTGGAGAAGGGAGAGCTCTCGGCGGCGACGTACGACGCCGTGGCGCCCCTGCTCGCCGAGGACATGACGGCGCGGTGCATGGTCGCGCCGGTAGGTGCGCTGCGCGACACGGGCGACGACTTATATATACTGACCGACTGGCCGCCCGAGAAGCGCCTCATCACGGACGAGGAGCCGTGCATGTACCTGGGCCCCGACTCGCTCGCGCTCGCGGACCTCGCGTCGTCTCTGGCCAAAGGCAAGCGCGTCGCGGACGTGTGCGCCGGCTCCGGGATCCAGGGCCTCGTCGCGACGCGCGCTGGCGCCGCATCCATCAGATGGGTCGAGGCCGAGGCCCGGGCCGCGGCGTTCTGCCGGCTCAACGGCGCGCTGAATTGTGTGGAGGGCGACGTGGTCGTGGACCGCGTCAATGATGTTGCTGATGGGACCTACGACCTCATACTCGCGAACCCGCCCTACGTCGCCACGCCTTCATCGTTGTCGTACGACGCCTTCGCGGCCGGCGGGCCCGACGGCTACGCCGTTCTTTGTGATGTCGTCACGTACGCTTCAAAGCATCTCGCGGAGGACGGTTTGTTAGCTTGCGTCTTCGAGCTGAACGGCCCTCCAGAAACACTCTTCGCGAAGGTCGCCCTGGCCTGGGCGAGCGGCGGCGCCATGCATGCGCGGTGTTGTGTCGTCCACGATGTGTTGACGGAGCGGACGTCACCAAAAGCCGTCGCGGAAAGGAGAGGAGGCGCCCAATCGGAAGCGTGGCTCGCGAACTACCGCGAGCAAAACATCAATTGCGTCGCGAACGCCGTGCTGCTGCTCGGTCGTACAAGTGGAGGGGGCTTCGACTGGGCCGAGGGCGCGTGCGGCCGCGCGTGGGCGCCGCCTCCCTCCAATGTCGAGGCGCGGCAGGCCGTGGACCAGGCTTTGAGGTGGGTGAGGGATGTGTAATGTGTGTGTGTGTCTGAGTACGGACCTCGCGTCGATGGCGTGCTGTGGGGGTAGAACGCCCCTCGGAGGACGCGGCGTCAATACGAACCACCGAATAAGCCACCGCAGGCCTACGTGCCGCGACCGCTAGTACTCGACTCCAGTCCGCGGGAGGACTGCGGGGAGAGGTATGCCCCCTCCTCTGGTTCAACTTCCTCAGTTTTCCCGAGGAGGCAGCCTGCAGCCTCTCCCTTGCGAGGGCAGCATTTACGCGCATCGGAGCCCGCGAACACACTTCGCAACGGCATCCTAGCGCGGCATCATCATTCTCTGCGGCCTGCGACCTGCCGTTTCGCTGCCGGGCAGCCCACAAGACAAGGACAACACAATGGAGCTAGACCGGCTCGAGAGAAACCAAGCCAGCGATGCCGCCGAGCTGACGCGCCTCGACGACGCTGACTTTAAAGAAGCCTACTGCCTCGACACCGCCACGGAGGCGCGCGTGTCCACGGGCCGGTTGTGTGGAGACGCGCGTTATTTTGTGGTCCGTTGCGCAAGACCCGGGCGGCTGCGCGCGACGCAGCAGATGCCCTTCGCGGCGTTCCAGGAGCTGCGGCGGCAGTTGGGAGAGCAGGCGGCTTTGGTGAAGAGCCCGTTCCCTTGCGCGCCGCCGTCGCCGGCGCGCCGCCTCGCGGCGAAGTTCTTTCGTACACCGGTCGACGCGGCGGCCGCGGACCGCGCCCGCGCGCGGGCCCTCGACGCCTGGCTCGGCGAGGTCGTCCAGCTGGCGGCGTGGGGCACGCTGGCGCCGCGCGCGTGCTGGGCAGTGCGCGACGCGCTGCTCTACGACGAGTGTGTTGTGGTTGAGCCGTCGCCGGCGAAGGCCGCGTCGGGGCGCATGAGCCCCGTGCCCGCGGCGCCCGTGACGCCTCCGGCGGTGCCGTCGCCGCCGAAGAGTCCGCCGCGGGAGCTCCTGGAAGACCAGCCGCCACGGCCGCCGGGCGACGACACCAGAAACGAGCTCGACTTCGACGACTGTGGTCGCGACCCGGGGCCGTGCGCCATCGCGCGCGCGCTGTCCCAGCTGCAGTCGAGCGTGGCGCCGCGGCGGATGGTTATGGTGTAATTTTGCGGTTGCGCATATAGAAATCCTGAGCTCTAGCGGTATTCTTGGGCTTAACCGTTCTCTAGACTGGCAGGACGACGATCTGGACGAGATCCGCGAAAACCCGCGCGCACAGCCAAATCCGGTTTTTTGTCCGCATACGTCATTCGGGGCTCCAAAGGCGTCTTTTGATTGCTCTGGAGAACCACTCAGGCTCCCAAGGACGTCCTCTGCAGTCACCATCCGGCGAGGCTAAGTCTCGTGCGGCTCTCCGCGTCCGTCGCTCCGCTGACCAGATTGGTGCCTTCGCGTGTGTCTGTAGCCGCTGCTACGACAACGCTCAGAACGATTCCGCTCAGTTTGCTCGCGAAGCGCGTCAGCAAGAGCTGCTGCTTTTGTTTAAACAATTGCGGCATACGAAAGCTCGCACGGCGGCGCGCATCGCAGTGACTCCGAGAGTTGCCGGTCGCGATAAAACGGCAGCAACAAGATTTTCTCTAACCATCTCCCCAACACAGGTTGTTCGAGGAGCAGTTGCCGGTCGGCGTGTTATTTAGCAAAAATCAACCATGGGTGACGCCGACGAGACGTTCGAGAACGCCGACGCCGGCGCGTCGGAGGTCATCCCGATGGAGGCCGGCCAGATCCGCAAGGGCGGCTACATCGTCATCAAGAACCGCCCCTGCAAGGTCGTCTCCGTCTCGACGTCCAAGACGGGCAAGCACGGCCACGCCAAGTCGGACGCCGGCGTCCTCTATCCGCTTTGCATGCGAAAGCCCAGGATACATCTCACAGGTGCAACTTCGTCGCGACCGACATCTTCACGGGCAAGAAGCTCGAGGACATCGTGCCCTCGACGCACGGCACGACGGTGCCCAACGTCTTCCGCTCGGAGTACACGCTCCTCGACATCACGGACGAGGACTACCTCTCGCTCATGGACGAGGGCGGCGAGACGCGCGAGGACCTGAAGATGCCCGAGCGCCCGGAAGAGCTCGTCAAGTCGATCCGCGAGGGCTTCGACGCCGGCGACTCGCTCATCCTCGCCGTCGTGAAGGCCATGGGCGAGGAGCACGTCATGGCCTGCAAGAAGGACACGTCCTAAATGGGCAGTTCCGCCCGGTGCCGCGCGTGTTGAACGGTGTGGCGGCGCCTAGACCTAATATTTCCGTCTACTAGTGACTTCTCGCGGCGACGGCGTATGGTCGGCACGCGACATTCTGTTACGGTGGTGCTAGGATTCATCGGCGGCGCCGCGCGTCTAAGCGGCGCCCGTCTCTCAGAGCACCCCGGGCTCGTCCAGGCGACGACTCGCGTGGCGGCGCGCGAGATGCGGCAATGTTCATCACGGCAGCGTTCAAAAAAAGTTTCACATTCGTTACTACTAGCTCCCCAGCTCCATGCCGTCCTCTTCCGACGAAGACGCCTCGGACGAGTCCAGGTCGTCGCGCTGGCGCAGCGCCGACCGGAGCCGCGCGTGCGACGCCGTTAAGGACTTGGGCTTCGCCGCCGCGGCGCGCGCCGCGGCGAGCTCCTCGCGTAATCTAATCAATTTCTCGGCCGCCGCGGCCTTCTTCAACGCGCGAGCCTTCCGCTTCTCGTCGACGTGGGCCTGCAGGATGCGCCGGTGCTCCGCGACTTCTGCGGCGTGGTCCTCGACGGCCTGGCGCGCGGACTCAGCGGCCCGGCGGTCGCCGCGCCGCTCCGCGTCCTCGAGCGCGTCGAGCGCCGCCTCGCCCTTTTCCCGCGTCTGGGCCGCCTTGTGGACGACGGGGTGCCAGTTGGGATTCGGCGGCTTGCGCGGCGACTTGCGCGGCGAGCGCGGCCGCCGCGCATATTCATATTGGGGGGGCTCCAGTTCCTTGGGCTCGTCGCGGCGGTGGTGCTTCACCTTCTTCGCTTCGGCCGGGGGCGCCGCTTTAGCTAGAGCAGCCTCTCTCCGCTTGGGCGGCGGCGGGAGCGGCGCCTCCTCGTCGTCGTCGGCCTCTAAACTCAAAGCCACGTGCGCCGCGTCCGCCTCGTCAGCATTATCTTTGAGTGGATTGGGCTTCCGCCGTCGTTGCATGTAGTAACACCCACCAACGCAAGCGAAGATGGCGAAGACCGCGAGGACGCCCGCGGCAGCCTGGCCGCCGCTCGCCGCGTCGGCTTGCGGGGCGTTCTTGTTGGAGGATGACAGGGGCAGTGTCGGTTTGAGCGACGGCGCGGCGGTCACGGTGGGCGCCGCCGACGGCGTGGCTGTCGTCGGCCTTGACGTCGTCGGCGCGGAGGACGGCCTCGGCGTCGGCGCGGGCGTCGGCCGTGGCGTCGGGGCGAAGACCGGGGCCGCCGTCGGGCTGCCGGGCGTGGCGCTCGGCGCCGGCGTCGGGCGCCGCGTCGGCGACCGCGTGGGTGCTTCTGAGGGCCGTGGACTCGGCACTGGAGTCGGCTTGGCGCTGGGTGCCGGCGACGGCGCCGGATTCGTCGGTTTTGCGCTCGGGGCCGGATAAGGCGCTGGCGTGGGCCGGGAAGTTGGTTGAGAGCTGGGCCGTGGCGTCGGGCTGGGAACGGGCTGCAGCGTCGGCTCGTCAGGCGCGGCGCTCGGCGACGGCGATGGCCGCGGCGTCGGCGCCGGCGCGGGCCTAGCAGATGGCAGCGCCGTCGGCTTCGCCGAGGGCGCGGTCGGTGCCGGCGTAGGTGGCCACCAAGTATCCTCGCGGGCGACGATACTGACACTGGCGAACGTATGGCCCACGCCCGCGCCGGCGATGCCGACCGCGCCGATCTCGTAAGCACCATCTTTGTCGTCGACCGAAAAGCGCGCGCCCGACGGCAGCGTGACTTGGCAGCCGAGCTCATCTTCGACGGCGAATGCGTAGAGCTTCCAGAGCTCCGGCGATGCGGCCTCGTCTGCGCAATCAGTGATTTCTGTGGAAGCGAGGACAAAGCGGCCTTCCTCCGATGTGAGGCCCACACCCGACGTGAGGCCTCCCGACAGTGTCAGCGTGCAGTCGAAAGTGTTCACCGTGCACGCGTAGGCCTCGTAAGATGGGCATGACGCTCCGAAGCACGAGACACCACACACACAATCAGGGTCCCAGCCGTGCGCACGCAGCAACACCGCCCACCCGCCGGCCTCCCCGGTGATCTCCGGTCTACCAGTAACCTCCACAGAGTAGTCTGAGTATTCCTCTTCGCCATCCTCTTCTTCATCTTCCAGCTCCTGGTCGTCAGTGAGCCAGATCGCGTTCCCGTCCGCCGTCGTCGTGCTCGCGCGGCACCCAGCCCCTGTTATCGGGTCCGTCGCCGCAAATTGGAAGCCGCCTTCGTCCGGCGGCACGCCATTAAAATTCGTCCACTCGGAAAAGGCATACGTGCCGCAGAAGTCGAAGTCCCGCGCGTCTTGCGCCGTCGCCGCGACGGCGAAGAGCACGGCCCACCGCGGCGCCGCGGCCGCCCGCCATGGCATCGTGGTGTGTGGGGCTGCCTAGCCCCCACGAATGGCAGCCCGCGCGAGGCAGCGCAACCAGTCGCAACGCAGGACCGCCTTCCTGGCGTGCACGACTGCAGCCACGTCCCGACGCGTACGGATTCGACCGTGCTGCGCGCACAGCGGTTGTCTGTCAAATATTGATGATGGCTAACCCGCGCGTCTTCCCGGCGCGACCTGTCGTGGTGCGACCTGTCGAGGACGGCTGTCACTATCTGACCTTAGCGGCCTGTAAAGACACTAGGAAAGCCACAGCCTCGCCTCGCCCGATAACCAAGGCGTCACCGCTGCGACATTTGTGCAGCATACGCATCGTCACGCAGCGAAACAGCAGCGCAGCGATCGCTTCGTGCAGCGCACGAGCGCTTGCCGCAACAGCGACGCACAAACAGCAAAGACCATGGGCCGCCAGGGCGGCGGCGGCGACAAAAAGGCCCAGCTGTTTGGAGCGATCCTCAACCAGAAGCTGCCGACGGTGCGCTGGGGTTTGGCCAATGCCGGAGTGGCCCCCGCGACGAGAGACGACGAGGGCAAGACGACGTTCATGATCGCCTGCGCTGCAGGACGGGACAAATCCCTGGGCGAGATGATCCGCTGGTACGAGCGTAGGTTAGCCCAATTAAGAGAGTGCTTAGAGTTAACGGACGACGACACGGGCGAGACGTGCTTCCACATGGCCGCGCAGGCGCCGAACGGCCAGAAATGCGTCTCTCAGCTCCTAGATGCGTGGTTAAGTGTAGACAAGCAAAGAAAAGATGCTGGTATCAAGAAGAAGGACCATAAGGGAAGAACGGTGTATGACGTCGCCACGCCAAAGGCCAAAGCGATCATCGACGAGTGGATGGTCGAGCCCGAAACTGAAAGTGAAGATGAGGAGGAGCTCGTCGATGGCTTGACGAAGACGCAGCGGTCCAAGCTCAAGAAGCGAGAATTGGAGGCGAAGGAGCGGGCCGGGAGCGTCATGCCGCCTCCTCCGCCTTCTCAGGAAGAGGAAGAACAAGGTGTGGAAAGGGGCGAATTCAAGGAGGGTAGACCTGACGAAACGTGGCCCGAGGTGGGCAAGTGGGCCCAGTCGGTCCGTGACTTGAAACCGATCTGCGAGTTGACCATTTCGAGGGAGTCTGATGATGACTTACCACTGTTACCTTGTGCCGGGCCAGATGAACCTCAGACTGTTGTGGATCCTGCGTTATATTGGTGCGACACGGTGAATCGGTTATCTCTCAAACTGGGGCCACGATTAACATATCTCTCACCGACTGGCTTGGCCCGCATGTCGAATCTAACTCACTTAATTGTTCCTGGCCACGCGTTGACGGCACTGCCTGATTCAATAGGATCATTGCCCCTCAAGTCGCTCGACGCTTCTAGAAATAAGTTGGAAGCGCTTCCATCAAGTATGCCTGTCAAAATCGAGGCCGTCGACGTCTCCGGGAACCAACTTACGTCCATCCAATCGTTGGACAAATGCGTGGACCTCGTAACATTACAATTCGACGCGAACCAAGTTACTTCCATCGAATTACCGTTTGCATCGTTCAAACGCTTAGTTACATTATCCTGCGGCTCGAACTTGTTGACCGAGCTACCCGACGCCATCGGCGACGCCGCGAAGCTCGAAGCGTTGACCGTGAACGAGAACAAGGAGTTGACATCACTACCAGCAACCTTAGCCAAGTGCAAGAAGCTCAAGTCGATAAAATGCGACGGCTGTCCCATCAAGGACAACAAGGTCCTTGGGTATATTTCGAAGGGCGAGTACAAACAATTGGGGAAGTACCTCGAGAAGACGGCGAAGAGCGGTGGGCGGGGCGGCGGGAAGGGTAAGAAGAAGAAATAGTTACTACAACTTACCCCGGCACGCGATCAGGACCCAGCCGTCCACCTCTCGGTCGACCGCCGCCGTCTCGAAGGACGAAGCGTAGGCCCCTAGCACGTCGTCGACCTGGTCGACGCGCACGCCGGACATGGCCAGGGCGCCGCCCGGCCGCACTTTAGCTAAAATGGTGTCGCGCAGCGCCAGGAGCGGCCGCAACAGGATGTTCGCCACGACGACGTCGCAGGGCAGCTCGCCCTCCGGGAACGGCGCCACGCCCTCCGGCGCCGACGTGAAGCGCTTGTTCACGTACGCTATCGACGACGCGTCGCCGCCCGCATCTAATGATGGTAAATAGAACCGCGCCTCATTGACCCCGAAGCCGTTCGACGCCCGGTTGCGCTCCGCCGCCTTGACGCAATCGGGATCGATGTCAATACCCACGGCACACGCGGCCCCGAACCGCAGCGCCGTCAAGGCCAAAATACCGGAACCGCAGCCGTAGTCGCACATCGTATAAAACGCCGGGAACTTCGTTTCTTGCAGCCACTCGCAGCACATCCTTGTGGTTTGATGCTCGCCGGTCCCGAAGGCGGCGCCGCCCTCGACCCTCAATTGCCTCGAGGCCACTGATGGGTCGGACGACGTCTCGTGCCAGGGCAGCAGAATCTCGAGCTCGCCGACCGTGACGACCGGTCTTGCAGCTTCCTGCACGGCGAGCCAGTCGACATCCTTCGCGAGGTCGTCTATCTTTGAACCGGCGACGGCTTCTGCGCCAAGTGTGTTCTCGACGAATCGTAGCGCCGCTTGCGCATCACTTTCAGACGCGAACAACGCCCGCACCTCCGCGCTTTGCCAGTACGCCTCGGACCGCCATCGATCTTCATCCAAAAAAACGTCTAGATCCGTCGGTGGTTCCCCGAAGATGGCTTCCTCGTCGGCCGTGCCGGCGTTCGCGTCGGAGGCGCTCACGGACAGCGCTCCGGCACACTCCATGAGCAGCTCGCTGAGCGACTCCGCGCTCACGTCGGCGTCGCGGTTCGTCTTGAGGACGAGTTCCGCGTAGGCGGCTTCGGCGCTCAGCGTCGTGCGCAGCCGTCGCGGCGTCGTGTGCTGCAGCGCGCGTGCCAGGCCTAGCATGGAGAGGCGCCATCGCGGCATTGCTGCTATATGGTTTCCCGCAGCGATGCAACTATGCAGCGATCTTGCGATCTGCGATGAATTATGACTAATGCCTCTGCGACGCGCGTGATTCAACACGCAATCGATGCTTGCCTGCAAGTGTAGCCGGAGCACTCGGATGCCTAGTGTCTTACATGACGCTAGCCCGATTCTCCTATGTCGATTTTCCTGTACGGCGCCTGGTACGGCGCCGGGCTGGTTGCGGGACGTCCAGTCGTGTGTCTGTTCTAAGCGGCCGGTGTGATCGGTGCGGGCGCCACGGGCCCAAGAGAGTGGCAATCAATTTGACCCTGAGTATAAATTACTATAAATTGATATTGAGCCTCATTTGCGGCGCTAAAAGTCACCGCCTCGTCGCGAATGGTCCTTCCGAATGCAATCGGCGACGCCGCCCAAAATGCAGAAAAAGACAGAGTTATGGCGTGGCTCGACGCGGGCGGGTCAATAGACGACTTCGATGAATTCGGCTTTACGCTACTTCATTGTTGCGCCTGCGGAAACATGGAACACCGTACCCTAGGTGGCGGGCATGTCGCCCTGGCGCGGCATCTCATTGCTCTCGGTGCGGACGTCACCCTCGTGACCCGCTCCGACAGCGGAAGAGAGACAGTGATTCATGAAATTGTTAGGGGGTACGGGGAACGTCAATCTATTTTGGAAATACTGTCTCTTTTGCTCGGAGCTGGGGCGAATGTAAACGCTAGGGACTCCGACGGCGACACGCCGCTCTACCTTGCAATCATGCGGCGCGTTGGACCGTCCGAGTCAATAATCACAGAGCTTCTACGAGCCGGTGCTTCACTGGACGCGTGTCATCGCAACAAAAAAAGCGCCGAGGATGTCATTCAAAGAAAAGAACGTATCCTGCCTGAAGTCGCTAGGAACGAGCACTGGTGCGCGATCAAACGCCTCGTCGCCGGCTGTGCGAAAATCACAAACTTCAGGCGCCCGCCTCACGCCATCGACGCGATGTTGTCTCGGTTTCCACACAGATCGCCGGCGTCCGCCAACACGGAAGCTACAAGCGCTACGCACGGAGCTTCCACCGGGACGTGTTAACCGTCCGCGGCCTCGCCCAGCGCGGCAAGCTGTCGACGGACGACTCCGTCCTGAACTTCCTCGCGCGGCTCGGCGACAACGGAGTCGTGTGGCACGTCCTCTCGTACTGGCGCGCGACGAACTAGTTAGCATATAAACAACACTTACTCCACCGCAAGCCACTGCTTGACCTGGGACTGGATGGCCGCCTTCGCGTCCGCGACCGACTTCTGAACAATCGTATCCGCGGGGTGCGTCCAGGCGTGGTGCGACGCGCCAACGACCAACATGACCGGCTCCGTCGGCGCGGGGCTTCTGAGCACGCCGAGGCCCGTCCACGGGTCCACATCACCATTTGGGAAGAGTATGCGCGAGCCCTGGGGTCGAGCGCCGCCATAAACTTGATTGGAGAACGCGACGTTGGCCGCCACGACGTCGGCCGTGAGGCCGAACTGCGAACAGATCGAGATCTCGTCAGCCACCGACACGTAGCCGCGCGCGAACGGGCATTGAGAACCCACTTCGCACGTCTGATAGAACCCGAACTCGGCGCACGTCTGCCACGGCCATGACAAGGCATCGCTGCCGTCGTCCTCGAAGTTCCGGGACAGGCTGGCGTCGACGCAGCGGCCGCCGCGCTGCCGCGCCGAGAGCGTGGCGAGCGCGTCGACGGACGAGGACGCGTTCGCCGCGAGGAGCACGGAGCAGAGCGCCCCTATCGACTGCCCTGGATCCGTCGAGGCCGGTTCATTGCTCTGGGCGGGCACGGACACCACGCCATAGCCAGCCCAAGCGCGGCGCGTCTGCGCATTTTCGAGGGCCAGTGGGTTGCAGAAGTTGAATAATTTGGCGAGCGAGAGGCGTTGGAGCCGCGAGGACTCGAGGAGCGACTTGATCCTCGCGTGACCGTCAACCACAATCTTCTGGCACTGTTCCGAGCCGCCGACGGCGCCGTTCGCCAGCGCGGCGCCGACGCGATCGTTGTACTCCGTCATGTCGACCTTCGCGTGCCACGGCGCAGACGACGACACGGCGGCGTGGATGAGGTGCGGCAGGCGTAATCTTGAGAAGCCAGCAACCATGCCCGGGTAACTGCCTCCAAACGCGATCCATTTTGTGGTCGACGGAAGCTTGAACTCGTCGCTAATGTGCTTGTGGAAGCCCGCGATGTCGGCGACGGCCTGATGCGACGTGAGGTGCCGCAATCGCTGAGCGCCGCGCTCTGACGAGGGCGGCACGCTCTTGCCGTAGTAGCGGTGCTCGAGCGCGACGATCAGAGCGCCGACCTGTGGCGCCAGCTCGGTCGCGTCCGAGCAGTGCACAGACCGGCTGACCACTGATTCATCCAATGCTGGCCCTTCGCCGCCCACGCACAAAAATACCGGGCCCGTCCCCTTGTACCAGGTACTATTCACAAAATACCGCTGCTGGAAGGACGCGTTCTTCAGCGACGCGTCGTAGTGGTCGAGGCGCTGCGTAAGGTAGCGTTCTGACGCCACGGCGGCGTTATTGTGAGTTTTGCGCGCCGTGGCGGCGTTCTTGTGAGTTGTGCGCTGCAGCGTGGCGTCGCGCAGCGCCTGCCGTATACCACCTTGCGGGAGGGCATCGGTCGCCACGGCGCAGAATACGGCTGTGAGTAGTTTGGAGGCCATGACAGCTTGCCTAAATTCGAGCGGTAAGCCCCTGCGGAGCCGGCGCGTTCCCGAGTAGCAGCCCAGCTAGCGGCTGTAAGACACTAGCAAGCTGCATTAGTATGTAAAAACATATATCTGAATAAGCGTAAAAAAAAATATAATACACAGGAAGGAAGAAGATCAATACCCCATACTCCCCCTATATATAAATATACCATCGCGGCGAGTAGTAGATATGTATAGGTACTTGTACCCCACAGGCCCTCGCCAGGTATCGGTCTCAAAAAAATAGTTGTACAGAAAATTTACTACCGAATCATCGCGCGAAACTCCGCCTCCGAGATGATCGCCGTGCCGAGCGTCACGGCCTTCTTGTACTTCCCCGACTCTGCGACCGGTCGACCGTCGTCCAGCACCTCTCCCGCGATGAGATGCGTCGTCTTCGACGAAACCGCGCCGGTGCACCTCCCACCGTGCTTCGTCGCGATCGCCTTGATCTGATCCCGATCGAGCGTCGGGAGGACGCCTGTCGTCACAAAGACCTTGCCCGCCAGGCAATTGGGCGCGCCCGTCGGGAGCGTCGCCGCGCGGTTCGGCGGCGGGCGCCGACCGTCCGCGTAGTTCCAGCCGCCGCTCGCCGGCGCAGGAGCCGGCGCGCTGTCCGCGGTGAGGTCTACGACGTCGTCTTCATCCTCAGCAGGCGCCGCGCCGCCGCGTCGCAGCCGCTGGTCGAACGCCAGACACTTCGCCGAAGCTTTTACGACGCGTGGCGAGAAATTGCGCACGACCAGGTTCTCCATATCAGAAGCCCTAGAAACCGCGGTGTAGGCCTGGCCATCTTCAAAACAACCCTGTAAGTCGCAATCTAACAAATCGATCGTCTGGCCCTGGCTCTTGTGAATCGACAGGGCCCACGCGAGACGCAGCGGGAACTGCGACCGCGACGCCAGCACCTTACCAGCTTCTTCCACGGTCGCTTCATCGCGCTTGACGTTCCACTCACCGGCGTTTTTGAACTGACACTTAATGCTGTCGATCTGGCCATCTTTGCGCTGTATCGCCAACACTTTGCCTCTTGAGCCGTTGATGAGCTTTTTCTCGACGTCTATATTTTTGAGGAGCATGATCTGCGCGCCGATGCGGAGATGGAGCTCCGCGGGGTACGAGCACTGCTCGATGCGCCGGACGTCGCCCTCGTCCTGCGCCCGCAGTGTCGTCGTGGCGCCGGCGAGCTCCAATAGCCTCTGCTTATTGATGGCGTCCACCTGTACGTTTCGCGCAAAGAGCTTCGTCGGCTCGATGCCGTCGACCGCTCCGAGGCCGCGCGCCACCGTCGCCTGGAGCGTCGCGCACGTGGCAGGGGACGCCCTCCCAACACGCAGCTCGTTCAATAGGCTTACGAACGACTGATCGCGCTGCCGGAACACGCGCGTCAGGCAGAACTGATTCGAGCCGAACGCCGTCGGCCAGACATCGGCCTCAAACGCGAACCGGGACACCTTGACGGGCGGCAGCTGCATAAAGTCGCCGCTGACGATTACCTGGACGCCGCCGAAGGGCCTCGAGCTGCCGCGTGCCGCGCGCCCGACGGCGTCGATCTTGTCAAGGAGCGTCCCGTCGATCATCGATATTTCGTCGATGACTAGCGTCGAAGCCTGACCCCACCGCTTTCGCGCGGCCTTCGACAGCTTTTTTATCAGAAGTCCAGTGCTCTCCTTTCCAAGCCCAATTCCCGCGAAACTATGGAGCGTCGTACCTCTACATAACACGGCGGCCGCACCTGTGGAGGCCGTTACGAACACCTTGCCGCTGCCTCGCTGAGGCAGCCGCGTGATCAGCTCTCTCATAGTTGTAGTCTTGCCGGTGCCGGCGTTGCCCGTGAAGAAGAGGGACTCGCCTCTCATCGCTGCCGCGCACACGCTCTCCTGTTCCTCCGTCAGTTCGTGCCGCTCGTCGGCCCCGTCATCGGCTGGCCGCGTCGGCGTCGTAACGCTGCCGCGCATCGGCGGCGGCCGCGGATTCGAGGGGCGGACCGGCACCGCTGCCGCACGCGCCGCCGCCGCGACCGGGTCCTCCGGCGGAGAACTGGCCGCCCCCCGGGGCACGAATGCGGGCGCCGCCGGCCGTGCCGCGGCGAGAGCCTGCCGGTAGCGCTCGACGACGTCCGACTTCTCCACGAGGTCCGCGACGCCGAGGCCCGCCTGGAGGATCGCCGCCTTCATGTCCCTGATCGACGGCGTCAACGGCGGCGGCGGTGGAACGGGTACGAACGCCGGCGCGGATGCCGGTACAAACGCCGGCGGCGGCGGCACGGATGCAAACGTGGGCGCCGCCGGCGCGCCCGCGGCCGTCGCGAACGAAGGTGCCGCCGCCTGGTTCGCCTGCCAAGCCTGTTCCGCGTCGTCGCGCGAGGAGTAGCCTTGATACTTCGCACGCTTAAATCCTTTCACCAGTGGCTCGACCTCGTCCCACGTGTCGAAGACGCCCGTCTGTCGCCCGTTCATCACGACATATGCGCGCTTTTTCCCCATTGCTTGGCTGCTGCTGGAGAGAGCGGATTTGACTTTGGCTGTGCGGAGCTCTCTGAGAGAAGCCGCGAAGGTTCGCACCGATCACCACTTGACAAATGCCGCCCGAAGAATTCGTTAATGCGCAGGAAACGAGCTCTTGCGCTGCCGCGGCTCGAAACCCCAAATCGTTACCTAGCGTACCAACATACTAGCTCTACGATCTCTCGCTCCCCTACCCAGCTTGATTTCGGCCTCGTCGATAAAGAGGGGCCAGCGGCCAGTTCCACATCCTGATGGGGGGCGTCCCAAAAAGAGGGGGGGCGTGCGAGTCCATGCGACTCAGCCCTTGCGTCCTAGTCCAGCCGGACGGGTGGGCCCGGGGGGAGCGGGAGGGGTACGGGGAACCCCGCGACGTAACTAGCCTCAGCCTCACGATCGACGCGAAGGAGCTAGTGCTAGCACCGTAACATGAAAAAAGAACCTAATAATAAACTTAAAACCAAAAAAACAACAAACATCACTGCACGTCCTGCAGATCGAAGAGCACGGCGTCGGGGTCATTTCGCGGGTCCGACCAGGCGCATAACTCAAGAGCCGCGTGCATCCAGTAGGTCCGGGCCCCGTCGACGACGGGCACCCAGTCTTCTGGTGCGTCGCCCGCTTCGTCCATGGGCACGGCGACGACGGGCGCCGGCGCCGACGGCGACGAGAGCGTGCGGCGGACGGCGCCGAGGACGCGCGAGCCCACGCTCGCGATGCGCTTCGCGACGGAAGACCGTTCCCGCCCCGCGTAGACGGGCTCCTCGGCGAAGTCCACGCCATCTTCCAGCATGCGGTCCACGGTCTCCTCCACGGGCCGCCGCGCGTCCGCATAAGCCGCCGCGACGGACGCCGCGAAGCCCAAATCTCGCAGCATCGCCACCTGCCGCTGCCACGCGCCAAAGTCGGCCCGCGCGCCGAAGCTCTGCTGCCGTTGGAGGAACGCGGCGCGCGCCGGCGTGAGCGCCGCGTCGCTCTCATTTGATCTTGCTAAAAAGGCGGCGCGCGGCGACGTGAGCGCCGCGTCGAGCGATTGTTGAGGCCGCTCGACGCGCGTCTCGAGCAGCGGCTGTGCGGCATCTGACTCAGGCCGTCGTGGCGCAGAAGCACGCGGCCGCGCGACGCGCCCGTCGACGGCGGCGTCGAGCTCCGCGAGGAACCCGAGCCCGGGCCGCCGTGGCGACGGCGCCGGCGGTGCCTCTCCGCCCTCCGCGAGCGACAGCGCCAGGGCCGCCTCCAGGTCCGCCTGCTCCTTGCGCTCGCGCTCCGCCGCCCGCGAGAGCCGCAGGGCCCGCGCGAGCTCGTCCGCCTCCTGGCGGTCCCGCTCCGCGGCGCGGCTCTGCGCGAGCGCCCGGGCCAGCTCCTCATCCTCCTGCGTCTCCGCGATCACCATGTCCAGCTGCGCGCGGTCGTTCTCCTCGCGCGCGCGCCGCAGCGCGTCGTCCTGCGAGGACTGCCGGACGGCCTCGACGACCTCGGCCTCGTCGGCCGCACGCCGCGCCGCCTCGTCCTGCGTCGACAGCCGGACGGCCTCGAGGACCATGGCCTCCTCGCGCGCGGCGTCGTGGTCGTTGTTGAATTGTGCGTGGAGGTCTTCCTGCTCCTGGAGCTGCGCGGCCTGTGTTTGTATTCACGATGAGTGACGCGGCGCGTCGATGGCGTACGAGCTGGACCAGACTCCCCGGCCAAAGGCGCTCGGGCCCCACGCCATCGCCGCGACGCGACGCGAGGGACGAGTCACAGCGAGGCGCAACGCCATCGCCGCGGCAAAATAACAGGACGCCGGCCGCGGACCACCGCCGAGTTCTCCCTATTCGCCGCCGCCGCGGTGCGCGCCTCCTCGCGCCGCCGCGCCGCCTCGGCCTTGCGGCGCCGCTCGACCTTCGCCGGGTCGGGCGGCGGGCCGTGCCCGCAGACGTGGCAGACGTCGCCCGGGCCCCGGGCGCCGCAGCGGGCGCAGACCTCGTCGTCATCATTCTTCGTGGCGCCACCTCGAGCTCTCGCCTCCGCCGAACGCCGCCGGTCGAAGGCTTCGAAGCCGCCGTTGGTCGCGCGGCCCGGCCGCTGCCGGCGCGGCCGCGGCGCCGGCTCGTCGTCGTCGCTCTCGTCCTTTTTGGGGGCTGCTCCTCGGGCCCTCGCCTCGGCGCGGCGGCGCGCCGCGTCGTCGTCCTCGTCCTTCATGTGCTCCACCGAGTGCGCGCGCAAGGCCAGGTGCGAGGAGAAGCGCTTGCCGCAGGTCGCGCAGCGGAACCGCTTCGATGGCTTGGCCTTGGGCGGCGCTCGCGTTGGCCTGTCCGGCCGCGGCGAACTGGCCGGAGAACTTTCCTTCGCCTCCTCACTGCCACCGCCGTCGCGCAGCGCCTCGTAGGCCTCCTGCAGTATCCTAAATTCGTCGACGTCGCCGCCCTTGTCCGGGTGCTTCTTGAGGGCTAATCGTAAGTAGGCCTTGCGGACTTGCGCTTCGGTGGCGTCCTTCGGGACGCCGAGGATTTCGTGGGGTTCTTGCTTCGGCATCGTTAGGGTGGCATTTTTAAGGCGTTTGGGCTGCCTTTTGGCAGCCTCATCAGAGGCTCTGCAGCGCGGAGAGACAAAGGGGTGTCGGGTTTACGGCGCTAGCGTTTCGCATCAGGGAGCGATAAGAATGTCGTGTGGAGCTCTTGCCGCGGTTTCAGTACCGGTAGTGCACGCATTGTGCTGGTTTGGGCTCGCGCGGGTGCTGTTTTGATTTCAAACTGCTATAGAATGATGTCCGCGAGCTCCTGCCACGAGGCAGCAAGGTGTTTGTTTCCTTTGGAAGTCTTCGCGCGCTAGTAGGATTATCGCCGCAGTCTGAATGAGCTCAACGCGTACACCGCGAACGAATTATTGTTGAGCGCCTGTGCTCAGCGCGAACGAACTCGCTGGACTCAACGCTTTGGCATCGGGCCCAGCTTGGTTCGAACTCGGCCTACTGTGAATATCAGCCCGCTGCGCTCGCTGCGAGACTCAAAAAAGGGGCCTAAAAAGCCACGTCGCATCTTTGACTTCGTCTGCGGCCCGTGTCCTTAATCCAGCCACCACACGCCGCCGACATCATCTGACAGCCCCCGGCGCTGGGCCCGGGGCCCACCGACGCCCGTCCGATGGGAATATCCACTCATGCTCTGTTCAGAGCGTCGTATTGAAAAAAATCTGTTCTTCGCCGAACACGACGAGCGGCCACGAAGCAGCCGAAGATATCGTCGACGCGCTCACCAACAACCTCCGAACGCCCCGCAGGCGCCCGAAACCGATCGAAAGACCATGTCGCGCAACGCCAGCATCCTCGTCGACATCAGCGACGTCCCCGACTCGGCCCTCGAGAGTGTCGAGGACGGCCTCACCTACGACGCCGTCACGAATTACGCGAGAGCGGCCAAGGGCACGGCCCAGTCCTGCGTCATGTGCGGCTGCGGCGCAAGCAAGGGCGTCGTCATCCCGCGCCAGAACAAGGACGTCTGCCGCGACTGCGACAAGGCCATGTGGCGCCACCGGTCGTCGGGCTGCTTCTTCAAGTGGTGCAAGGGCTGCAAGAACTTTCTGCACGTCGGCACCTTCTCGCAAAAATTGGACGCAGCGAAGTGCGACCGCTGCCGCGAGCGCGGCCGCACGTCCTACCTCCTCAAGAAGCGCACGGCCTCCGGCACGACGAAGGCCCCCTCCTCCCGAAGTTCGTCGAGGCCCGTCAAGGTCGACGCGACGGCGGCGTCTTCCTTAGTGGCTCTGGCGCGCACAGCTCCGGCGTCGGAGTCGAGTAGCGACGACGACGACGACGACCGCATGAGCGCCAACTTCGGCTCCACATTACAAGAGTACCAGCGCAAGCGGTCGCGGTCCGAATCTCTAGGTTCTGAGGCCGAGTCGTCGTCGCCCGAGCCGCCCGCCGAGGACGAGTCGTCGGGCATGCTCTTTGAGTTGGCGAACATCCACGCGCGCATCTTGGCGGTCGAGAGCCGCGCGGCGTTGGTGGAGCCCCTCGAGAAGCGCGTGGCGGAGCTGGAGCGCGAGCTCGCGGCGGCGACGGCGGCGCGCGCGCGGCTCGCGGCGAAGCTCGGCGAGGCCGACGACGAATCTTCAGAGGGCTCGCGGCCGCGCCTCATCTCCTTCGACACGGAGAGATCCTCCTGAGCATAGTCTGGTGTGTTCATTTCCCCCCTTCTCCCCCGGTGCTTGTAAAACTTGGAATCTTAGACACTTCACTCGTGAGTCGTGGCGCGTCGATGGCGTCGACCCGCCGCCGACATCTCCGCCGACGGAAATGCCGACGGACCCTAGCTTGCATGCCGCGTCGATGGCGTCGCCGCCGGCGGATCTACACGCAGCCGTCCCACGACGACATGTCGTTGCCCGTGGCCGTGGACCGGTGGCCGTGCGCGAGCTTCCAGGCGCCGCCGACCTTCTTCCAGACCGTCGACACGGTGAAGGACGGGTCGTCGTTCGGCGTGCCCTTGTACGTGAACTTCGCGGACTCGCTCGCCGTCGCGTAGGCCATGTCCGCGCCGACGTCGAGCTTCTGGATCTTCAGGAGGGCCTTCTCCGTGATCTCGACGTCGCCGCCGAAGAACGTGACGAACTCGGCGGCCTTGAAGGGGTTGCCGCTCGGGCGGATGAATAGGGCGTCCGGCAGACAGTTCGCCGCGATCCACTCGCCGGTCTTGTCCTCCGCCATGGATTTGATCATCCCTTTAAGTTCCTGCTCGTCGGCGGCCTGTGAGGGGACGCGGTCGCGGCGCCGGCGCGTCGATGGCGTTCGGACTGCCCGGACGTACACACCCCCACGCCATCGAGCGAGGCGCAGCCACTGGAGCTACGGGAGCATGGCGCGTCGATGGCGTGGAGGTTGACGAGCCGTACGGGAGCGCATGTGCCGGACACTGGGGGCTGCAGTGCTCTGGAGGGCCCCCATGTTGCGCCTGAATGCGTTGGGCTGCCGGCGCTGAGTAGCGAGTGTAAAGGACGATGCGCGCAGGCCAACGGAGGCAAGCGCAACCAGCACACGAGGCATGAGAGCAATTTTTTCTGGATGGCCAGCCTCGGAAGAAATGACAGCGACCGCCGAGCCAGCCTTCCGCTGATGCAGTCGTCGAGATGGGAGGAATGCAGAGGTAGGTGGAAGGACTAGTGGGCGACGATTTGGTCGTGCTAGTGTCTTACTGCCCGCTAGCAAGTGTGCCGAGCTGTCGAAAAAAAACCAGTGGAGCGGCGCGAGGCGGCTCAAAACAACGTGTTCGTAAAGCATCGCTGCATAAGTCGCGGTAGCTGTCAAAATTTGCAGATCTGCGGCCAGTAAACGCCTGCACAGACCCCCACCCTGCAGTGGCCTCGGCACCACAGACGGTAGTGGTGCAAGAACGCCAAAAAAATGGCCGCACGACGAACGGCCATCGTCTTCGGCGCCAACACCGAGGTCGGCAAGACGTTGTGCTCCGCTGCACTCATAAAAGCGGGCCTCCGGAGGTTCGGCCGCGCGGCGTACCTGAAGCCCCTGCAGACGGGCGTCGACGACGACCACGCCGGCGACGCAGCTTTGGTCAAACGCTACGCCGCCGCCGGCCTCGGCCGCTGCGACACGCTGCACGCGTGGCGGGCGTACGCGAGCCCGCACGTCGCCGCGCGGCAGGAAGGTGGACAAATACCGAGCGACGCGGAGCTCGCCCGAGCCGTTTCAGGGTGGATGCGCGCGGGCGACGAGCCCTTCGGCGTCGTCGAGACCGCCGGCGGCTGCCTGTCGCCGACGGCGACGGGGCGGCCCCAGGCCGACGCCTACGCGGGGCTGGACGTGCCGGCTTTATTAGTAGGCGACGCGCGGCTCGGCGGCATTTCTTGTTCGTTATGCGCCTGGGAGGCGCTCGTGCGGCGGGGCTTCGACGTGCGCTCTATAATTTTTGTCGGCGACGACGCGGCGCTCGGGAACGCGGAGGCGGTGCGCGCCGTGACGGGGCTCGGCGACGGCGTCTTGTCTACGGTGGCGCCGCCGCCGCTGCCCGAGCCGCTCGGCGGCTGGCTGAGCGAGACGGCGGAGTGCTTCGACGCGGTCTGCGCTAGTGTGTTGTAACGGGTATTTTGTCTCGAGGACACGTCCTCCCGGAAGTTCTGGGGAGCCGCTGGCCAATTTCCTCAGTTGCCGACGCGCCGAAACTATAGAAAGAGCAAAGCCAGGCGCGCAAAACAATGAGAGCAAGCTAGCGTAGCGACTTACTAGTAAATTTAAAGATACGCCTCGATAGCGTCCAAAGAATGACCCAAATTCAGAATACATCCTGGTCGTTCGCCGCGCCCAAATATTTCAGAGTAGCGGCCCGGGAACATACCCTGACGCTTCCAGTCGTGACGGCGTCCGCAATGCCGTCGCCGTCGCCTACGGAAGAGCGGCGCCGCGGTAGTTGGCGCTGGTGGGACGGGCACTTCGGATCGTAGCGCGCGCGGCGGTCGGCGAATTTATCCATCCAGTTCGCGTGCTGCATGCGGACCTGCGACAGAAGCAACCAGTGAGTCGCTCGAGGCTCAAGAAGCGCCGCGAGATTTGATTTTTGCGCTGATGCACGCGTAGCGATAGTGGCCGTAGACGAAGACGCAGAAAATCACGAGCTTCGCTCTGGGATTGAGCAGGTAGAACCAGCCGGCGAAAGACGCGAGCACGCACGCCGTCACGAACAGATGCCCGATTGACGCGACGATCTTGTAGCTGAGAGTAACTTCGACGACGGACTTCTTTCCCGCTGGCGGCGTCGCTTGGGGGGCGTCGCTGCTCGCGGGCGGCGCCTTTTTCGCTGGAATTTTGGACGTCTCCCTTTGCGCCATGGCGACTTTTAATTTTCGCGGAGATCGTTTGAGAGCTTTTTTTACAGTGAGATAGCTTGAGCCCCGCCGCGTCCTGACGCCAAACCCTCCTGTTTACGAATTTTGACGGCAAGATGACCTAAAACTTGATTTGTCTCATCATAAGCATACCCCCCTCAACGGACCCGACCCCGCAACACACATCCGCACTCTACTCCGCGCGCGCACACGCCTCCAGATCGACGCCACTCGATATGCCTTGCCTAGCTCTACTCCGGCAGCGCACGCACCTTGGCATATATATTACCCTCAAGTTACACATTGATACTCTTCTTCTCCTCGACGCCCCCGTCGTCCTCCTCCTCCTCGAGCCCGCACGACGTGCCCTCGCCGTCTTCGTCCACAGCAGACGCGGGCACGGGCTCGGGCTCCTCGCCGAGCTTCACGCCGCCGTCTATTAGGTTATCGAACTCGCGGCCCTGCCACCAGGCGACGTAGATGAGGAACGACGCGACGCTCATGCCCACGAACGCGCCGTAAGATAACAAATCGGCGGCGCTATCGGAAAAAGCATTGGTCACGACGGATCCAAGCGCCTTGGACCCGCGGGCCCCAAACACGTCGATCCAGCTCTTGGCCTTGAACTTGACATTTGATGATGTTGGTTGATACAAGATCTCCTTGCAGGGGTTGTTCAAGCAGTAGGAAAACCCCTTCAGCAGCAGCATGGCCAGGAACACCGCCTCCAAAGTTGGAGTAGTATACACGAAGCATATCGCACCCAAGCATAAAGTAGGGAATAATAATAAAGTCCGGTTCAGCCCGAGGCGCCGGATGACCATGGAGGTCCCCAGCAGCGAAAAGCAAAACGACAACCCATTGGCGGCCTGGCCGAAGACGCCCATGAAGGACGCGAAGGCGCGCGTCGCGGCGTGGGGGTCGCCGGGGTGCTCGCTGTCGAACTTCGCCTTCGCTAAAACTTTCATCGAGTAATCTAGAATAGTAACTTCGACCATGAATAAACAGGACAGCGCGAAGATGCCCTTCACGTAGTGGTACTTCCAGAAGAGCACCAAGCCTTCGGTCATGCCGGCGCTAGACTTCTTCTTCGTCGACGCCCGGGGGCTGTCGGGCTGCTGGGGGAAGCGCAGGTTGTAGCCGTAGATGGAGACGACCTGCGTGGCATAACGCCATCGACGCGCGCGTCGCGGCGGCGGCGCGGGGTGTGGTGCCGTCTGTGAGAGCGCCTCCGTAGAGTTTGGGAGGCGTTCACGCCATCGACGCGCATCCACGCGACCGCGCAGACATGGGAACGCCGTCGTGCGGCGCGCGCGACGCGCTGTGACCTCCGCGGCCGATGGCCGGACCCAGTCGCGTCGCGACGGCGTCGGGTCGCGGTACGTCGACTCCCCAGCACGCCCTCGCCGCGACGGGCGGGGAGGCAGTGTAGAAGTCACCGGCACGCCATCGACGCGACCGATGGAAAGAAATCGAGCGGCGAGCCGCAGCGCCACCACGCCATCGAGCAGATGCGCCGTGAAAGAAAAGACAAGGGACGCCGCCTCAAAACCATCGCGACCATGCACAACGCGCCACAAAAGTAGATCGTCGGCACGCCGTAGGCCTCCGTGCCCACGCTCACTAATGTAGGACCGGCGATCGAACCGAGTTGCGCGCACGCGACCATGAGGCCGTACGCCTTTTTTGCGCCCTCCAAGTTATAGGTAGAGTTCGTGAAGGCCCAGAATAATGAAACACCAATAGAACCGAACGATTCGATGCTACAGTAGGAGATCCAGCCTATGAGTCTGTATGGAGACGCGTTCGTATTATATATAGACGTTTGGGCCGTGGCCGGCGCCGCCAACAAGCAAGCTATCAAGGTGAACAACCCGGCATAGAAGCCGCCGACAATATAAAATAATTGGTGCTTCGGGAACATATCTATCAATTTATTGTAGACGAAGACCAGTACCAAGACCACCAACACCGAAAGCATCTTGGCCTTCGGGATGTACTCGACCCCACAGATCGTCGCGATGACCGGATCCTTCAAGCTTCGCAATAACCAGTAGCCTCCAATAATAAAAAACAGCGTCCCGGCCAGCCAGATCAACCGTAATTTCTCCTCGAAGGTCATCTTGCCGTACAACCGCTCAAAGACCCGCTCGAACGCCGAGTCGGCGGCGACGTCTTTGGTGGAGGTGCCGCTCTCGAGCTCCATGCCGCTCCAGCCCTTTCCTTTCAACTCCTCGGGCTCGTCGATTTTTACCGGAGGGGGCTTCGCGGGCGCGGGCGCGGCAGAGGCCATCGTTGTTGTGCTGCTGCGCTGCGGCGGCGCTATCTACGGCTCGGGCGCGCGCAGTTTTTTTGCAAGGCCACCCCACTGCTGTGCAGTTTTGACGCTGCGCGTAGCGGTATTGCACCGCTGTTGCAACCGTCGACCGATGTGGTGCAGTAAGGGCTCTACAACGGTGCGATCACCAGCTATCGCCCTTGCGTGGATGCCGATGTCGGGCCGATGTGCGCGACGTCGTGCCGACTGAAAAAAACAGGTTCGATTGTCTGATGCAGTCCAAGCTATCCGAAGCGGTCCCAATCGGCAAGGAGGAGACGCCTCGCGCTTCGTTTTGCCGCAAATTTTGCGTGCTTGCGCACGGGTTTGCACCCTTTTGAGGCCCAGCTTTTTTGCCCGTGAGTGCGAGCCAGCGGTGGCATTTGCACTGTGCGTGGTGTTTCTCATCCACTCGTGCACTGCCCTGTGATTTTCGAGGCGTAACGCGAGCTAGCGCCGCTACTGCAGGCCGCAGCAGCACGCTCGCTGCGCACACAAATCGCATCGATGGCCGACGCCAGCGACAACGCTTCGGACGACGATGGTCTACTAAAAAACGAACTCTACCCGGACTTTAACGTACGATGCGCGTTATTTGAAGGCGTCACGAACGCCACCGAACTTGTAGCGCAGTGCGTGCAGGGCGACATGACCGGAGACCTCGCATTAATCGACGCGGACCGCGTCGTTAGCGTAAGAGTGCTGCGGCAGGCGGCGACGAACTGCGCGCGGCGCGCGGAAAACAAGGCCGCGGGGCGCGACTACGCGGTCAAATCCCACGACCTGCCGCGGGGGCGGACGACGGGCGCGGACCTGGTGTACGCGCTCGCGCCCTCCACGTCGATGGGCGGCGCCTTCCGCGACGTCGGCGCGTCGGACGCGACGACGCGATTGCTGGTGTGCGCGGTCTCTTCCTCAGTTGAAGAGTTCCGGGAGTTGGTAGGGCGCGTCGACGGGCGGCGCGTGCCCCTCGATGCGCTGGATGCGCGGTCCGATTCGGCACATGAGGCGCTCGTGTCTCGGTTCGGGCTCTCGGCCGACGAGCGCGGCGACGTCGAGCGCGCCGTGCTGACGAAGCTGGCGACGAAGGACCTGCTGAAAGGCGGTGGGGGGTAAGATGCGTGTTGGATAGCTCCGCGGAAAACCGTGCCCTAGCGTCGTGGCCTACTAGCGTCGTGGCCTAGCAGTGAGCCAAACTGGATATCAACGCGATATAGCTGTGTAGTAGTCGCAGGAACATCTGGCAGTAACGCCAACCAACATCCTGCACCAGTAGCCAAGCTCTGCTGCATCGAGAGCGAGTAAAATACACCGGGATCACAAAGATGCTGCTGCTCAGGCTGCTGCTAAGCATCACAGCGGCGACGGCCCTCGTCTGCACGCCCGCGCAGCCTCGACCGCGGCACGTCCTGCACGCGGCAGCGACGGACGCCGACGCCGCGCGCCTCACGGCGACGCTCGCCTCGAGCACGGTGGGCCGGTCGTTCAACTTCGAGTGCCAGAAGCAGTGCTGGTTCATCCGGCGCCTCCCGGGCGCGTACCAGGTCACGGCCGACGGCGTCGAGATCGTCGCCGAGGGCCCGCGATCAAAACTGGAAGCGTTTGAAAGGTGGCTCGTCAAGGCGACGACGGACACGGAGTCCTTCGCGGCGGAGTCCGGCGACGGCGCGGGGCCCAAGAGCGTCAGCTACGGCGCCGCGACGGGCGACTTGGAGGGCTGGACGTCGCGGGGCGCCGCGCTCGACGCGCTGAAGAGCGCCGAGGGCCCGGGCTTCCTCGGCGCGCCGAGCGGCGCCGACGAGTCCACGAACGACGCCGAGCTCGCGGACGCGATGGCGGAACAGGCTGTCGTGGAGATCGACTACGAGGCCGCCGCCGCGGTCGCGGCGACGAAGGGCGTCGTTGGGACCGTTCCTCAGAGCGTCCGCGAGGATTTAGTAGGACGCCAGTTCGGCAGCGCCGTGCTCGACGCGCCGGAGCCGAAGCTACGGGACCTTGACGACGATCTCGACTTCCTCGACTTGACGGAAGATGAGTTGGAGGCCTTCGCCAAGGAGCTGGCGGGCGTGTAAATTATGCGCTTATTCATCAAAAAACAAAATCTTAGTCTCATACTAGGCCTCCGGAGCCTATCTCGGCGGGACCAGAAAAGAGGTGATCCGGGGCACGATGTCGCGACGGCGCTCGCGACGCCCCAACACATCTAAAGTGACGTGCACCGCGTAGTACTGACGAAGCATGTCCAGGATGGCTCTACGTACTTGCCGTCCGCGCGTACGGTCGGCCAGGACAGCCGTCGCCGGCCGCGCGCCGCGTTGCAGGAGCAGCCGCACGAGGCCCACTTTGCCCGTGAGGCACGCGAGGAATAGGGGGGTGGAACCGCCGAGGGAGACTGTGCCTCCGTCGACAGTCGATGGTACCTGTACGCTCGGCGAATTCACATGTCTATCGCAGGCCCAGTCGATACTCGAGCTCGAGCAGTCCAGAAGTAGTCGTGCCATGGCAAGGCGACCATTATAAACCGCTTTCCACAGGGGTGTGACGCCCCGCGGCCCCTTAAAGTCGACTCGAGCGCCAGCTTCGATGAGCGCGCGCGCGATCTCGATGCGATCGCCGTTGACAGCTAACCACAGCGCAGACGCCCCAGCTTCAAAGCCTCTATCTTTTGTGGTGTTGGGACTTGCGCCACGAGCCAGAAGGACGCGGACGACCTCCAACTGCCCAGAGAAGGCATTAGAGACAATCGCTGCCATCAGCGGCAGTAGCTCGGCTCCGAGCGGTCCGGTCCGGGAACGCTCGTCATCGACCGCGACTCCGTAGTCGTCGATGAGTAGGCGGACAACATCCGCATGGCCCTTCCGGATAGCTTCCCCGAGAAGCGTACTGAAGTGCGCCATATAACCGGGATCGGCACTGTGCGCGAGAAGCAGCCGGACGACTTCTGTATGGCCGTTCTCAGACGCTATGAAGATTAAAGTGTCGTCGTTGACGTTGCTGCCGTGGATCTGCCTTCGCACCTCGTCGACGTCACCGCTTGCACACGCGTCGTATATCTTCCTCCGTGGGTCGTGTTCGTGCAATCCCCACATTATGAACGAGCTACTTGCTTGGCGATCCACCCATTAGCGCTTTCCGCGGATCTGCGAGGGTGGCCCGCGATCCGTTCCCCGCGGCCTGGAGCTCGGGGCGCGCGGGGGGCTAGGTCGCGCCCTGCCGGGTCGATCGACAGGGGTGCTCTCGCACGGCCGTGGCCGCGCCGACGGCTTCTCGGGGCCGCCGGCGGGCGCCGCGCCGCGAAACGAGGGGTTGCTCGTGTTCGTCCGCGGGCGCGACACTGTTTGTGCTTCTGATGTATAGTCTGGGACGCTGCGTTTGCACGTGTTGTGCTTGCGGCTGTGTGCAGGTCTGATGCGCTAAATTTTTGCGCACGAGACAGATCAGGCAAAATGCGTTGCGGGGCACAGCTGCGGTGCGCTTTTGCCCTGGTGCCAGGAAGCTAGCGTCTGTAAGACACTAGAGCAAGTTTCTAGGCATCAGACCACTACGAACCGAACCATTGACTACACAATGTACACTTATACACACCAACTAGTGGTCCACACGATGCGCGAACTCGTCACGATTGATAGTCCCCGAGTGGTCCGCGTCGAGCGCCTCCATCACGTTGTCGAGCAGGATCTTCGGCGGTGCCACGCCCCGTCGCCGTTTTAACGCCTCGACGACCTCGTCACGTGTAATCACGCCGTCGTGATTCGTGTCGATGTCGTCGAACTCGCCGAGGCGCCGCCACAGCGCGTAGCTGTGGCGCAAGAGCACGCAGTTCATGGCCGGGACGAAGTCGTCCTCGGCCGGCAGATCGGTGGCTTCCGCCCAGGTCACGAGCGGCTTGATGTTGAAGAGGCCCTTGCAGAGGTTCCGCGGTAACGCCACATGATACAGTTTCTCGGGATCGAGCGGCTCACCACGTACAGAAATGACGCGGTCGCGCTCGTCCACGTCCACGGCATCGCAGACCTGCAGGAAGGCCCGCCGCTCGTCGTCGGGCTCGCCCTTCCGGGAATGCGCGACGGCCGCCCTCAACACGGATCCAGGCATGTCCAGCACGACCATTTTCGTCGGGAAGGGCAGCTCCCGCCGCAGGTCGAGCAGCGACAGCGCCGGCGTCGCGTACGTCGTGCCTCCTTTTATCGTGCCGCCGTTGATCATCGCGGCGTCGCAGCCGAACCAGTCGCGCACGGCACTACACAGCAGTCGACCCACCGTGGTTTGGCGGAAGCGTGTTTTTTCCGACGAGAGCACCTCGGAGGATGCGCAGGAGAGGATCTTCTCGTTGTCGAGGCTCGTCAGGAACGCCTTCTGCTCGGCGGCGGCCGCGGCGGCGCCGGCGTGCGGTGCCAACCGCGTCACGTCCTCGAATTTGACTGAGGTCACGACGATGGCGCCGGAGACGTCGAGGTCGATCACAGCGGCCCTCACGGCATCCTGGCCCGTCTTGACGACCCTACAGGCTTCGCCCTCGAGATATGGTTCGTGCTCGTGGCCGCCCACTACCAAATCAACGCAGCCGGCGCGTGATAGCTCGAGGTCCGCGTCGATCGATTGGTGCGTCAGGGCGACGACCGCGGACGCGCCGTCGGCGCGGAGCTCGGCCGACAATGTCTGCGCCGTGGCGAGCGCGTCCTCAATTACGAGGCCGCGGAAGACGTCCTTCCGGAAGACCCCCGGCTCCGACGTCAGCAGGCCCAGCAGGCCGACGCGCTTGCCGCCCGGTAACGATACGACGGCGGTCGCGGGCGCGCCGTCGACGGCGCCCGGGACGTTGCTGTTGATCAGCGTCGCAGAGAACTCGCCGATGCGCTTCCTGAGCGCTTTGAGCCCCACATCGGCCTCGTGATTCCCGAAACAGGCGTAGTCCACGCCGACGGCGTTGAGCACCTGGACCATGCCACGGCCTCGGTCTAATGACGAGAGCACCGACGGCGACAGGAAGTCACCAGCCAAAGTCGTGATCACCGTGCCGCCCGCACGCTCCGCCTTGACGGTATCGACGAGCGTGCGCAGCTTCGGCAGGTGCTCGAGGTCGTAGACGTCGTTCACGGCTACCAGGGTGAGCGTGTTTGATGGCGCGGTGGCGGCGTATCGCCTGACCACTCGTGCGCCGCGGCGCCGCAGGAAGGTGGAGAGCATCACTGCTGGGCTATCACGCCTGCCAGCTGTGAGACGCAGCCTGTAGGGCCAGAGATGCACAGTAGCGCTTTAGCGAGGCTGGGTAAGTGGCTGGAGAATCTGCTGAGCATCAATGCGACGCAAAAACTGGTGCAGCCGTCTTAGCAAGATGCTAGAGTCCTGTAACACACTAGCAAGCCCTGGGCGCTGCGGCAGCCGCTCACGCAGCCCTCACGCTGCCCCCGTACTCCAGACGGCTTCGTACGGTTTCGCAGCGTCGCCCTACGCCGCCCAGCCCGCGCTGTACCCGTGCCTTTGGCGCGCTGAGACCGCCCACTCACAAGCATGTGGGAGTGCGTCGGCTACGGCCCCGCCACGAATAGGGTAGCGGTCCAGGACCGGGGGAAAGGCTGGTCCAAGCTGCCCACCTCTACACAACGTAGAGACGTCTTTCGGGGCAAGGACTGCGGCGTCGTCCATTCGCAGTATAACACGACGGCGCAACTCTGGAAGGGTTTACCGGGAGATACACGTGCGAGGCAAATCACAAACTTTGGACTTGAGCCTAGGCATTCCAAGATCAACACGTGGCAGGCGTCGGGGTTTGAACGTTCGAAATATTTTGGTGAAGTAGGGCCAAGCTACGTTTCAGACTTGCGACGAAAAAGGCCAGAAGAACTAGCTCTATCACCAAGGACGATGGTAAGTGAAGCGATCCTCGAGAAGGATGAGTGGTGGGACGTCGACCCGCGGTCGAATCGCTTCATGTCCAAGGTGGTTCCTGTTCCTGGTTCCAAGGGAGCGCCCAAAATTGACAAACGAAAGCTGCCCAAAGCATACGTGCCGGATCCCGTCGACTCGGAACGAGCCTACCGTGGAATAGGTAGGAAGGAGTCGACGCACTGTGTCGGTGATGATATTTTTAGGGTTTCTAGGGATGAGGTCGACGATGCGGTGGAAGAGTGGCTACGCTCTCATAACCGTGCAGGCTACGTGCGGCCTTATAGGACCGTGCGCGCGCGGTCCAACAAACCGGTGGACTGGTCGGACATGGAGGACCTGGTCTTCGCGCTGCGGGCTTTACCAGAACAGCCCGAGGAGCAAACGTCAAAACGCGACGACTTACTTGTGGAGCGCATGCTCGTGACGCTTAACATGATCGGATGATGACTTTCTAGTCCCCCCCGCGCCATCGCTAACGGCGACGAGTCCCGCCCCCGACGCCGTCGACGCGACGTGTTAGTCACAACTTGTTACGTTAAGATCACCCCATCCGCCGCATAAATAGTTCGGCGTCGTGCGCGGAGAGTTCAAATCTCGGGTCGGCCGCGCGCATTTCAAACACACCAATCAGGTCGCCGCGGAAATCGATGAGTGAGTACCACTTGCGTTCCTCGGCGCTAAACATCACTTCGTACGCCTCTTCGACGGCCAGCGGGAAGCGATCCCGAGGCGTGGCGTCCGGTGTGACGACCCGTGGCGCTAACATGTCGTCGCCCGAGTCCTTGGCGAGGACGATGAGTCGGCAGCGTGGGGTCAGCGCGACGACCTCGATAATTCGCCAGGCGCCGCCAAAGATCCGCCGCAGCTCGTCTTCCGTCCGGAAGGACGCGATCGCGTAGGAACCGCCCGGCCTCAGCATCGTGTAGACACCCCTCAAATAACATCCCACGCCGTCCGAGCACAGAATGCAATCGAGCGCGGACTTGTCGACCACTAAATCTACCGAGCCTGGCGCGACGACAGCGTCGGGATCATTAGCGACGTCGCATACCCTCGCATTCACGCCTTCGCGCCGCAGGAATTCAATCGCCGCGGCTTCTTTGTCGAGGCAGAGGACAGCTCGTGCTCCGAGGTCCTCGCGCAGCGCCGCCGCCATGCCCGACGAGGTGCCACACCCGACATCGACAGCGAGTCCTGCGTCGCAGCCGATGCGCAGCTCCCGCAGCGCCCGGGTCATCACGGACGGCTCGCACAACCAGTCGAATTCGCGCTGTTGGGCGGCGTAGCCGTCCATTGATGTGGTGTGGGAATGCAATTGTTGGGTGTACAGCTCTAATGCGTCGCAAAGCGTTCGTGTACCGTAGCAGTGCGTCGCGATGCGTCACTACAACTGGTGTGACGACCAAGCAGCTACGAGCAGTGGGGCGCGTATGCCTGCATTTACATCGCCATGACCATCCAATCACATGTCTCGGTCCCCGGACGAACGCATCTTGCGGTGGTGACAAGGGTGGGGACGGGCTCGCTTGTTTAGAACTATACAGTTATACGTACGTACGACCACCGCCCCGCTCGACGCGGCCGGCGCGGCGGCGGCCGGCAAGACGGCGCGACTAATGGTGGTCGCCGTGGTCCTTCTTCAGCAGCTTCGACGCGACCATGTAGGCCGTGAATATACCGGTTGCGTATACCAAACCGGGCCACGGGCCAAACCCCTTCCAGCAGCCCGAGAGCATGGGGAAGCGGCGCCACGCGTCGCCCGCGCCTTTCGAGCGCGATGCGAACGACATATTCTTTGCGCGGCTGTGTCGCGCGGCTTCTTTGCAGACGGCTGCGCGCGCGCGCGGCTCGGGCGCGGCGGCTGAAAGGCTGGTGTGAGAGAGGGCAAGCTCGCGGCAGGCGCGGCGCGCGGCAAGGGCTCGCGGCGCGGCCTTGGTAGCAGCGAAACGGTGCTAAGTAACCGGTACCGCGGTCCCCGACGCTGTTTGTGGCCTCCCAGCCGTAATCAAGTACCGTGGACCGTCGAAGCTAGTGTGTCTTTATGCCGCTAGCTGGCGCGCCTCGAGTTTCGCTGGCAGGGCGGCGCAGCAGGCCCACAAGCGATCGCTGCTGCTGCTGACGTGCATCGCTGCTGCGCGTCGCTCCTGACGCCATCGCTGCCGCGCGTCAATTGGTACTCGACAGCACCCTTCTAACAAAATGTCCTGGCCCTACGCCGCCGGCGCCTACGCGGCCTACTACGGCGCGCCCGCCGCGCCGCCGCCGCCGCCGCCGCCGACGCAGAGAACCTGGAAAGAATATAAGACGCCGGAAGGCAAGCCCTACTGGAGCGACGGCGCCACCAGTGTCTGGGAGGAGCCCGCCGCGTATAAAGAGGCGCGGGAGAAGGCCGCGGCGCTCATCGAGGCGAACAAGAGGGCTAAAGAGGCACCACCAGTCGTTGCAAAGGAACCGGAGCCGGAGCCGAACATCAAGCCCCTGGAACCTGTGTTAGATCCAAAGCAGAAGGTCGAGGCCTTCAAGCAGTTGCTGAGTGATAGCGACATCAAGTCCACGGCGACGTTCCCCGAAGTCTCGGCCAAGTTAGGACAGCACCCGACCTTTATGTCTTTGCCGAAGGGCGAACGCAAACAAGCTCTGGCCGAATATAAAACGAAGCGCGCGAAGGTCGAGAAGGAGATCGAAAGAAAACGAAGCAGGGAGGCGAGAGCCGGCTTCCTCCGGTTATTGGCCGAGGCCGAGGAGATTTCCGTGGACACGCCCTGGTCCCGGGCCGACGAGTTGCTGGCCGCGACGTGCGATGAAAGGTATCAGGCCGTCGCCACCTCGACAGAAAGAAAGGGATTGTTCGACGAGTTTTTGGATGCGCTCCGCGAGAAGGACGCCTCCGAGAAAAGGCAGTCGACGGAAAAGGCGCGCGAGGCCTTCCGCAAAGCATTGGTACAATTAGCGAGGGAGCACCCGGCCGCCTCGCACGAGGACGACGACGCGGCGCTACTTATCGGCGTCTTCGGACGAACTCGGTTTTCCGATGTGGAAAGTGCCATGCAGAAGAAGAACCCGAACCTATTGCTGTCGTTGCCCGTGTGGAAATCAACCGGTGTCGCGTCGATGGCGTGGAGGTCGACGCGCCGATTCAGCACCACGCGTCTGCCGAAGCATAACGCCATCGACGCGACGCCATCGACGTGTCTCTCCGCACAGGTCGCCGGACGACCGGAGGAGGGAGTACCAGCGGTTTGTGGATGACTGCCACGAGACGGTGCGGAGGCGCGACGATACGAAGAGAAGGGCTTTTGTGGATGCGGCTTTAGCTGCTATACTAAGAGGCTTACTCCCGAGGGAACTGCCCTTCGCCGAGCTCGACACGGTGTTAGCCGCAAGACAAAGGGGCGGCGCGAAGGCGGTCGCCCAGATGTCTGCAGCATTTGCCGCGGAAGAGGGCCAGCTCCCTTCTGATAACGAGGAGGAGGAGGACAATGACACTGAAGTCGTTATTGCGAGGGTCAAGGAGGCCATGGCTGATTTAGCAGCTTGTTCCTCAAGACTAGGCGGCGACTGTTGCGTCCGGGCTTTTGGGCGGGCCAAGGATTTAGCTTATAGATCCTTCAAGATTGATAGACGTCAGTGCCGCGACCTCACGAGGCGGTGTGATGTTTCTCTGAGTTCCTTTGGTGCTTGGTTGACGGCGCTGAAAAAAGTGGACCGACGGTCGCCGCCGCGCGATGCGGACGTGCGGCACGAGCGCCGTCTCGAGGGATGGACCTTGAGTGAGGCCTGTGAGTTACGACGGCCGCAGCTCGCGCGCGTGTTTGTCGATCTCAGAGATGAGGCGGCGCAAGAGGCACGGGATCAACAAAGGAGGCGGGAAAGAAGGGAGCGAAGGTTTCGGGAATTGCTCGAGGATTATTTGAGGTGGCCGGATGATAAAAACGCGACGTACGAGGACTTGGAGCCGTCGCTGGCGCGACACTCGGCCTACGACGGCGTGCCGCGCGGGCGCCGGCGCGAGTTGTTTGAAGAGGTGCTGGGGGCGTTGAAGGAGCGGGCGACGGCGTCTCAACCGGACCGCTGGACGAGCGCCGTCTCGGACAACGACCGCTGGTCGCCGGGCGTCGCCGTCGAAGAGGGGCCGGAGGCGCCGCCGCCGAAGAAGGCGCGAGAGGGTTAAGTAGGTATTCTTGTGGTATATATTTACGAGGCGGGAGGGACCGAGGGAGAGCCTGTCCCGGCACCGCCACTAGCGGCGCCCCGACTTGCGGCCTGCGCGCTCTGCCAGAGCGCTGCTTTTCCACAGCTTTTGGGCACCTTGCGCCTATCACCACAACTCGTCCGCACCAGCGTCCAATACAGGCAACCAGCGCTGTGGCTGCGCGAAAGACCAGCTCCTCTGCGCCGCCGTGGCCAGAGATATCAGCCAGATCCCTGCTATCGAGACAGCGCTGCAAGCGACAGACATTGCGCGCAGGTAACAAAATGCTCGCGACGCGCGCCCTCCGCCCCCTCGCCTCCTTAACAGCCCGCCGGCCTCTGAGCCAGCTCGTCGTGAGCGTCGTCGGCCCGGACCGCGGCGGCCTCGTCTCGTCCGTGACGCGGGCCATCGCCCAACACGATGGCAACGTCGTCGAGAGCTCATCCTTCTCCATCGGGCCCGTCTTCTCCATGGCGATGTTGGTGGAGGCCGGCGCGGACCAGCACGCCGCATTGACCAATGCCGTGCAGAGCGCGGTGCCCGGCCACTCGGTCAGCGCGCACGAGGCCGAGGAGTGCGTGGAAGCTCCCGCCTTCGCCGCTGCTCTCGATGTCTCCTGCGCCGACGGCGTTGGGTTGATCGCGCGCGTCACGGAATTTGTGGCCAACGAGGGGCTGTCGCTGTCCAAGCTCGAGACGAAGACCGAGGGCGCGCCCCACGGCGGCACGCAGTTGTTCAGTCTGTCGGGCGTCATGCTCTCCAAGGACCGTAGTGATCGGTGTCTGAATCCGACGTCACGGCGATGGCGTCGTGGGTCGCTCGCCGCTCGTCGCGTCGATGGCGTGGCGGCGCGGGTCTCTCGCCGCCCGTCGCGTCGATGGCGTGGCGGCGCGGATTTACTCACCGCCCCTCGCGTCGATGGCGTCGTGGGGTCTCTCGCCGCTCGGCACGACTCACCGGTCGCTTTCGCAGGCGTCAACGAGGCCAAGCTCGCGCGCGGCTTCAAGGACCTCGAGCTCGAGATGGGCGTGAACATCGACATGTGCGTCTACGACGATGCCGAGGCCGTGAAGATGGCCGCCTAGGTGCCCGGCCGCCCCTGTCCCGCGGCCGGCGCGGGTCAACGCCCCACCCCTAACCTGAAAGTGCTTTTAGGCCCACGTCGGCGCCGCCGAGGGGGTGGGAGAATGCTTGCGCTACGGACTTGTAAGGGATCTTGACCCCCTCGCGAGCGGCGGAGCGAGCCGACCGGATCGCCGGCGCAGCGTCTGGAGAGAGTGACGAGAGGCTCGCGACGGAGCCAGTCGGGGATCGTCGCCGGCGCGGCACCGTCTCGGGGGAGCGACTACGACACAATCTTAGGCCACGGGCTGCGCGAACACCGCGCGCGCGAGCGTCGGCGACCAGCACCACGTCCGGATGCTGGCCGCGTCATATAACGCGCGCACGGTCTCGAGGCTTCCTAGACCGCGACGCCCTCCGCGTCGACGAGCGAGATGCCCGCCGCCCGCAGCACGTCCGCGATGGCCGGGTGGTCGCCGGGGAACTTATCCGCATGCGCGAAGCGGACCGTATCATCATCAACCACAAAAGTCCCGCCCAGCCGTAGCACGCCCTCGGGCACCTCGCCGAATTTCAAACCGTCGGGCACCGGGGAGAGCGAGGCCACGTTCGTGAGGTAGCGCCACCAGGCTCCTGCAGACAAGCGAGGGGCCGTGAGCTTCGTGGCATCCGCCAAGGACGTCTTCTGGTCCTCTCCAATGTTCTTGAAACCCGCGGAAGCGTAGGCCGCGAAGGTCGGCGAGTCGTCCACGAACAACCGTTCCCGCGGCACCATCGGATTAATGTCCAGAAATTTGTTCATCTTCTCGGCCGCGGTCTCGCGCGGCGCGACGGAGATGAACACCGGGCCCGCGACGCCCGCCCTATCTAAACTCCGCAAATAAGCTGGGCTGCTCCACGCGTTCGCGTAGTCCCAGCAGTAGGGTCATCCCAGGTGGCGGAGGAAGACCACGACGGACGCTTTCCTCCCCATCAGGTCGTCTAACCGCACGCGATTTCCGTTGGCCGACACGACGTCAATGTCTCGCAGCGTCTTCGACGTGACCTTCGTGTCGCCCACAAACACGGACCGCCCGTCGGCGCAGGGCCGGCAGCCGTCCGAGAACGGGCTCATCGGGTCGCACTCTCCACAAATTTCATCTGCCGCGCGGAGAGGCTGCATCGCGTGGCGGCGCGTCGGCAGCGTGAAGGCGGCGCCGGCCGCGAGGGCCAGCGCGACGACGACACGGCGGAGCTGCATCCTGTTTTTTTGAGCAGTTGTTCGGCGTGCGAGCGTCTGTGCAGCTGTTCGAATTGGGTGTAGCCGTTTGGAGTATTGACGCGCAGCGACACCAGCTGTGAGTGTGAGCTCCGGTGGAGTGCGCTCTCCGACACGCACAACGCCTCACGGACAAGTCGCCCGCCGCAAGACGCGAGCAGAGCACTCTCTGATGCACGCCTAGCACCACCTGCAAGGCTAAGACAGCCGACGCACAGCAATCACGTGGCCCGCCACTTTGTTGATCTTGCTAGTGTCTTACAGTCCGCTAGGAGCGATCGGCGAACGCGGTCGGCGAACGCGGTGCCTTCAGCAACGACACATCGACAGTAAAATAGGGACGGACTCTTACTCCGCATCATCAGAAGAAGCAGCGCGGGCGGCAGCAGCCGCCTCCCGATCCGCCCGCGCCCCTTCGCGCGCGTCCTCCTGCGCCGACGCCAGCAAACGAGCTATAGCACGCGCGTCGCCGCGCGGCGCCAACGCAGCCGTGAGCGAGGGCGTGTCGCTCCAGGACTGATCCGAGGCCGCCGCGCGCTTCGCCGCCAAATCGTAAAAGCAAGTGCGCTTGCAGTCCGGCGGCACCACTAGATCGTTGCCCAGCGCTTGGCGCCACGTCTGCTCGTCGGCCGCGAAGGCCGCCGCCCAGACCTTCGCCGTGTCCCGCGTCTCGAGGGCCAACGCGTCGAGGGCCGTCTCGAGGAGCGCCAGGCGGTCGTCTCCAGATGATGTCGGTACTTTTTCCAAAGCAGCTCGCACAATATCAGGGCACGGCGCATCATCTGACGAGACAACAGCAGCCAGCTTCCTCGCCTTCAGCGCCGCTTCGCATCTCAGTTGGCGCGTCCGGTCGCCGGCGGCGATCGAGGCTATAGATGCTATCGAGGTCAAGGTCGTACCACAGGCCGCCGACGGCGACTTCGACGCCAGCGTGACGAGGTCGTCCGCGTTTGACGCGTAATCGGCGGCGCAGAGCCAGCGCAGGCCGTGGACGCCGTCGCTCATGACCCGTTCGGTCGAGCAGACGTGGCTCAGGTCCGCGACGTCGCCGAAGAGGCCGCGCCGGCCCAAAATACACAAGGCCTCGTCCGCGAACTCCGATGAGGAAGCACACCGCCGCGCGATTCTCGCTCGGCCCGCCGCCGCGTGTCGAGAAGAAGCGACGCCGTCGGGCGTCCGGTCCTCGGCGCCGCACGCGATGTCGTCGGCCCGCAGGCACGCGTCCAAGAAAACGGCGTGCGCCCGGCTCGCCTCGGCGATCGCTAAAGCAGGCGCGGCGTCCGAGGCCCACTGCGACGCGCGCTGCGCGGCGGTGCCGCCCTTCTTGCCGCGGAGCGCCGCGTCCGCCGCCGCCACGAGACACGTCGCGGCCAGCGTCGCGTCGTCGCGGCCGTCTCTATCTACAGGCGCCTGAGCACCCACCAGCAGGTCCGCGAGGTCCAAGGCTAGACGCCTTAATTCCGCCGGCGGCGCCCGCGCGTCGCACCGCGGAAATCCATCATTCTCCAGCGCCTCCAATGCACTTCTCAAGGACTCGCGCGCGTCGCGAAAAGGCCCATCAACCTGGAGCCGCAGCCGTTTAGCAGCATCATTACGCGCGTCGCGGCCCGCTGCCGCCGCCGCCCTAATTAACGCGCAGACGTCTTTCACGGACGCGGCGTCCTCGCAACTTCGTAACGACCGCCGCGCGGCCCGTAGTGAATCATTAGGTGCTTCACCATACAACGCGTCGACGGCCCCCAGGCCCGCGGCGCGCCTTCTCGCATCGAACGCGGCGTCCTCGCTAACTTCGTCGCCGCAGGCGCGCGAGAGTAACTGGCCCGCGCGGTGCTTTCTTAACATTAATTTGGCGTGGACGCGCGCCGCCGCCGCGGCGCACGCTGATCTGCCGTGCGCGTCCGCGAGCTTTGACGCGCTATCTCCATCCAAGCAGCGCGCGGCGCCGGACAGGGCTTCAATTAGTAAAGAGTGGCGCCGTTCCCTTTGTTCCACGAACCGCAAAGCCAAAGTAGCGCTCGCATCCACATCATCGGCCCCGAAGCCATGTAAAGGTGTTTTTTCCAGTAATTGCGTCGACGCATCAACCGCGGCGCGGCCCAACTCTTGCGAGGGCGCGTCGTAGGCTCGGGCAGCACTCCCTAAAGCTTCGAGCGCGTCCACATTTTCATTTTCGACGTCGAGCGCTTGGACTAACGACGACCAGTCGATATTGGTGGAACGCTTCTTGTGCGCAGAGGGCTGTTGCGGGGCGTCCGCGGCGACGCCCAGGACGCCGCCGTCGTTTAGGAGAGCCGCGAGGCCCGTGCTGCCCAAGAGAGCGCGCCTCGCTCTCAACGAAGAATCGTCTCTTTCAGCTTCGAAGGGCGCGCCGAAGGCGACGCAAGATAGTGGTAGAGCCGCCAACGACCCTCCCTCAATGTTGGCCACGCGCCACTCGTCCGCTCCCCTAGGCCGCCAGCAGGCCCAGGCCGCTTCGTCATTTGAGATGATCGAGGGCGAGTCGATGGCGTCTAAACTATCGAGGACTACCTTCGTCGTAAAGCACGGCCGTCTCAGCTCGCCGTCATCATGATAACTCAAAATGACGATGCGCGACAGTTCGCCCGCGTGTTGAGAAGCCACGATGCTACCAGCAACGCAGGCCGCTCCATGAGTGACCCAGGGCTTCTTCACTGCACCTTGGGGAGGGGGCGAGAAGAAGCCCGCGAAACTATTGGACTCGTCGGCGAAGCAGGCCTCGTGGGCACACACAAACGAAGCGGTGGCTCCTAACCTCCATCTTTGACAGGCGCCCGTCGCGAGGAAGGCAAACACATCACCCTCTTCGGTACAGGAGAGGGCCGTCACGGCCCCGTCGTCAATGTCATAGCCCGCCGGGTCCTCCTCGTCGCCTAGTAAACCCACGACCGACGAGGCGAAGCCACCTAAAGCGCCGAGGGACTTGCGCACTAAACCTTTTTGGGCCCCTTGTGACGCTTGCGCGCTGACCTGGGCGGCCCTTTGTCTCATCTCTGCACCACCTAATACAGCGAAGCCGTTCGCGTCGAGGCGATGCAGTTTGCCGGAAGCGTCGCCCACGATCAGTACGCGGCCCATCGAGGTGCATGCAGACGCCCTTCCGTCAAAGTCGTGTACTACAGGAGGCGCGCCGGGCGCCTCACTAAGTTTATGTATGGAACAGGCATTGCCCTGCAGGAAGGCGACGCTCTCCACTCGATTTGGTGTTCCCAGCGCACAAACGAGGGGCCGCTCGTCGGCCGCGAGGTTCAGTCCGAGCTGCAAAATGCGGTGCGCGCCGCCGCCGTCGCCGCGCGGGCGCCAGGCGACGCATTCGTCGCCGACACCCAATAAAGCGAGGCCGCGCGCGTCCGCGAGGCCGTACGTCGCGGCGGGGCCGAGGGCCAGCTGCTCCTTCAGTAGAGGGGGGCTCGGGCACAGCTCGTCCGCTACTAACGACCCGTCTACTCTACGTTTTTGCGGTGTCATGGTTTTTGGCGCTCGCGCCGCGGCGAAAGTGCTCAGGCTGCGTGTGGCGGCCTGTGAAAGATATTTCACAAGTCTGCCGCACCCTTGCACGGCCTTTGTGGAGCTCTTTGTGGCCGCGCGGCCTTGGAGCTTGTGCTCTGCTAGTGTCTTACTACCGCTAGCTCGGCTGGGGTCTTGTGTTTTTTTGCCCGCGCGCGGCTCCAACCGACCAGCACAGCCTTTCATATTGCTCGGAGAGTCGCCTACTACTGGGCCATGGTTCGCACAGCCAAGGAGCCCGCGAAAAAGTCCACCGTGTCGAAGGCCCAAGCCAAGGAGCCGCAGGAGGCTGAGACTGCTCCGCGGACGGATGAGATTGCGGCGCCAAAGGCGGATGCGGAGGAAATCAACGACTTCGCTTCGCGCGCGGACCGCTGCCCAGTTTATCCAGGCGACGTGTCGCGCCTCGTCGTCGCGCCGCGCCGCATCGACGCCGCGGCGCTCGTCTATGACGAGGGCGCATCTTCGTGGGACGGCGGCCATAGCAGGGACTGCGAAAGCCACATCGCGGTGACCACCGCTGGTATCGTCATGGATAATGCGGGGCAGCGCTCGATCGCCGAGCACGTCGCGCAGCTCCGCGAGGCGAACAAGCGACAGAGATATGGAGTGCCTGGATGTTACAGCGACACGGGCACCGAGGCGCAGGGCGCGATGCGGTTTCTCGAGGAGCTCGTCAAGCGCCCGGATGCCGAAGTCATGCTCGGCGGGCGCGGGCGCTGGCATATCGGCAAGGACTCGACCGGCTCGCACCACGGGTTCGGCGCCGAGGAGGGATACGTCTCCACCAAGGCTTCGTTGGCGTGGATCGTCCACGACCTCAAGAACAGCGACTCGTTTTACCGCAGCGTGGACGCCGCCGAGCTTGTTCAAAGCCCTCACTACGGCGTCACGCGCGAGACGCTGCGCGCCGTTTTCTGCGACGACGCGTTTGCGGCCGACGGCAACCTCGTGAAGGCCCTCGCCGAGAAGCTGAAGACGTGGTCGATCTACGTGACGCCGCCCGGAATGGCCGCGTACAACGTAGACAACCCTTCGAGGACTGAACCCGGATCCCACGGCCTGACGACGCAGTTCTTCCCCGGGCAGCAGTTCAACGGCGACCAGGTCGGCGAGGGCAGCATCTTGGTCTGTCTCGAGCACGACGTGAGCGCGGCCCGGAGCGCGGCCGCGCTGAGCGGCCTCCCGAGCGATCTCGTGGGGGAAGTTGCGCAATTCACCGACCTACTCGCCTCGCCGGTCAAGTCCCTCGTCGTCCTCGCCGAGCGGAACGGCTTCTATACGGTTCCGGACAGACCCGAACGAGAACAAGATTCGGACGGCTACGAGTTGGAAGATTACTGATTCGAGTGCATGTGACATCATGTGTAAGACTCTTTGTTACGAATGGCTTTCTAGTGTGTTACAGGTCGCTAGCTGCGTGGTGTCACGCGTGTCATCATCGCCAGCTGCCGCGTCATCTGCAGTTCTGCCTGCAAATTTGCAATCGCAGTTCCTCAGCACATCACTGCACCGGCCGAAGTCGCAAACCTCATCAATTCGCATCAATAATGGCAGCAAAGGCACTCCTCCTGCTCAGCAGTGCTGCAGCATTGCAAGCACCATGCAAGCGGCGGTCAGCGACGCATCTCGCAGCCCAAAGCCTCGCAGAGCTAGCCGAGCAGTCATCGCTGCCTCCTGCAGACAAATCACGGATAACCGTGCTTTCGGACGCCGATGCGGTCGGCGCGGAAGTGTGGAAACGCATCGACGAGGCGGGGAAGCGCGCCGTTGAGGAGCGCGGCACCTTCACGCTGGCCATCCCGGGTGGCAGCGTGCTCAAGATGCTCGCTGGTAGCTCGCCGAGTTGGGCGGAGGACTGCCTGCTGGCCTACGTCAATCACAAGGCCGTGGACGACGACGCCGACGCTACGCTCAGCACGCACGCCAAGGCGCGGGCGGGCTTCCTGGACGCCGGGTGGGATGGCGTGGACGTGCTCAATCTGGGCGGGTCCTCGGACGCGGTGGCGGAGGCGTGCCGCTACGCCGAATTGTTGGAACTTGCGACGCAGCAAAACTTATTGCCGGTCGCGGCGACGGCGAGTGGAGAAAGCATCCCAGTATTCGATATGATGGTCATCGGCGTCGGCGACGACGGCCACGTCGGCACCTGTGTGGAAATCAAACTTTTACGGCACGTGCTATGCCGGTTCCTCACCTCTCCACAGAGCCAGCGCGGCCGCGTCATCGCCGAGAAATGACTTAGTGAAAAGTTATCGGGTGCACCCGACACACTGCTTGATTTCCACACAGGTCGGGTCGCTCTACCCGAACCGCGACGAGTGCACGGACGACTACAGCTGGTGCCTGCCCGTCGAGATGAAGGACCCCGGCTCCATCTCCCTGTCGCTCCCGGTGATGAGGGCAGCTAGAGAGGTCCTCGTCGCGGCGTGCGGCGTCTCGGAAAAGTACCCGCAGGGGAAATCCGACGCCATGAAGCGCGCAATCGAAACGCCGGAAGCGGTCCGTGACTTCCCGGCGGCGGGTTTTCGCGATGTCGCACAGTATGTGTTCGACACCGCCGCCGCGTCTAAGCTAACGCTCTAACTTACGCTCTCCTCGTCGTCCGACAGGCCGTTGCTGAACGGGTTGAAGCAGCCCGAGTGGCTCGGCGCGGCCGGGGCGCCCCAGAAGTAGGTGCAGTCGTTCGACGACGTCGCGGCGCCGCCCCCCAGGAAGAAGCCGCAGAAGAGCGGCTCCGGCGCATCCTCTCGGGGGCTGTCGACGGCCGGCGCGGCGTTCAGCAACGATGCGCGTTCCAACGGCGACGCCGGCGAGCCGGGCGCCGGCGGCGGCGATGGGGCGCGCCGCCGTCTCTGGGAAGACGGCCAGCACCGCTCCTCGAGGCGTACTCGCGCGGGCGACGGCGGCGCGTCGTAGCGCTCGGGCTCCGCGAGTTCCGCGTACCGCTTCTCCATCGGCGAGGGCTTCTGGACCGACGCCGGCTTGTCCGGCTTGTCCGGCGTCAGCGCCGGTATGGGTGGCGGCGCCTTCTCCGGCGTCGCGATTTGTTTTTTATCCGCGGGCACGACGGGCGAGTGCCGGCTGCCGGGCGAGTTGCCGAGCTTTTCTTCTATGATCTCGATGCGCTGCGGCACGCCCGGGAAGACCTGGTCGAGGTAGAGGCCCTCGCGGCTCGTGCCCCGTTTGGCTACGGGCGGCGCGTCGCGCTCCGTCGGCCGGTCCACATTCATGGTCCGGCCGCGCGCCGGCGCGGCGTCGCGGCGGCTTCTGTCCGATTTTCGCGCCATGAGTTATGCGCGCGCGGCGACGGCGTTTACTGAGGAATAGTTTACAAGTGGCAGCCCTTTGCAGCAGTCAGAAATAGTAACAAGGGCAGCCCTTGCAGTTCCGCAACGCACACAACGCACACGTGACAACCGGCCTGTTCGCGGCGATGCGTGTCTCCCCGAGAGCGCGCCGCGGCACAAATGGCAGCACCTTCGCGAGGAGCAACATTCGGGCCTAAAAAACAACTCCGCGACAGCTCCCTCTATGCTTCGCGAGGCTTCGCCACCCTTGCGTTGCGTAGGAGATTGCTGTTTCAGAAAAACCCTCTCCGGCCAAGCCGGCCGCAGCGCCCTCTCTCGCGCCCAGCAGCCTCCATCGTGCCTGCGACCGCGAGGCAGCATCCGTGCTGTCGCAGCCCTTCTATCGGCATCGGAATTGACGTGTCGTAGCGTACTCCACCAGCTGCAACGGCCGCGCGGCAGCATCTGGGGCAGCATCTCGGCAGCCTACTGGGCAGCCACTCCCACTGCGCGCATCCGTACGACGCCATTCGTCGTGCAAAAGGACCATGTTCGAGGTCCAGCTCGAGACCTACCATAAACCGCTCTGCCTCGCGCCAACACTCAGACCCGCGCGCGCCGTGCTTGATGTGGACAGTGATTGGCAGGTCCTGCGTTTGAAGCAGGAGATCCAGGCCCTCTGCCGCACGGTGTCGGGCCAGTCCATGCTCGCTCCATCACGGCAGATGCTGTCCGTGAAGCAAGTCGACGAGGATTCAGGTGAATTGAGAAATGTCGGTATTGATGATGACAGTGCCCTGCTCGGCGTCGTCGGCCTCGAAGCAGATAGCAAGATCTACCTCAAGGTGCGGCCCTACGTCCACCGGCCAAAGGAGGGCAAGCCGCCGTGGTGCGGGGACTTCACGCACGGGAGCCTCTAAACTATGTTTTAAAGTACGCAAGCAGGGGAACCGGCTTCGCCCCGACGCGTCTCTCGCCCCGATGGCTTCGAACAGATGCATCGCGAACCGCGTAAAACCCGTCGCGTAGGTGCGCGCAGAGGCTTGCCAGGCCGCGTAAGGAGCAAGCAGCGGCGTCTCGTGCGCCGCCAGCGTGATTTTGGCATTGCTTCACAGTTGTGGTCGCTGTCGCTGTGCGTGGCTGCAGCGTGATCGGCGCCGGTGCTGTTTAGCTCTCTATAGCAGTGAGAGGGGCCTCCTTGCGCAGCACCCGTGCGATGCGGCCAGCCCGCACAATGGATGCGATCATCAAGCTCGGCGAGCGGCTAAAAAATCTGAAATCTCAGACGAAGGAAGCGGGCTTCGGCGGGGAGGGCACGGGTGCGCCGCCGTACGAGCTGACATTTGGAGGAGTGGAAAGGGCCATGATTCAAATTCCGGGCGCATATATTGAGCATGGTCCGTCTGAGAATTTCTTGGCCTCCATCACGGCGATGCCCGCCTACGAGGGCAAGTCCTTCGAGGAGCTGCGGCTCGAGGACTACGCAAAGGGTGTAGGCCCCGCGCCGGTCGGCACGCCTAGCAAGCCCAAGAAGAAGAGCTTGATTCCACGTGCTGCCGCACTCTTCGCCAAGACGGTCCGCCGCAGTCCGTCCAAGGGCGGCAGCGACGCGAATCTGGCGCCCCAGCGTGGCTGGGGCGCCGTCGACGCGACCTTACCTCCGGGACCGCCGGCCGCCGCGCCGCCGCCACCGGTGGACGCCGCGGCGCTCGCGCGCGACGCGGCGGCGCGCCGCATCGAGGCCGCGTTATCACGCGCGCGCGCGGCCGGCGTCCCGGTCACCGTTAACGGGGCAGAGGCGTACGGCCCCGCCTGGGTCGCGAAGTCGGTACGGCAGGCGGCGTTCCCCGAGACGTTCGCGGACCGCGTCGAGAGCGCCATGGCCAAGCGCGTCGATGCCGTGCTGTCGGTGCCGTGTCCGCCGATGCGGCCGGTGCGTAGGAAGGTCACTGCCAGGGCGACGCGGCGATGGGCGAGTGAGCGGGTCATGCTCCGGTGCCGCCGCGTCTACTTCGGCACGAAACTGCAGCGCGACGTCACGGTCGTCTTCACGCCGTCCTGCCTCACGCTGGAGTGGCGAGGCAACGACGCTTCGGGATCATACATTGAGGCAAGAATCGCGCCGTCCCACATGACCTCGTTCGACATGCACTACGGCCCGGTGCCTGGCGCGGACGACGACGAAATGGCGCCGGTTGCGATCCGCGATTTTTTTGCCATCGGCCTGCGCCAGAAGCCACCGCACCTCCGCTCCGTGGAGGGCTGGGAGCCCACCGACGACTGGGGGCCGCGCAAGTACGTCGTCGTCGTCCTCGAGGGCGAGGCCCTCGCCACCGTTAAGCGCGAGGCGGTGCCGGCCGTCGTCTGGGGCGGTCGCCTCGGCTGGCCCGCCGCGCCCGTCCTCGGCACGGCGGCGGCGGCGCGGGAGTTCCTCGAGGGTGTCTCCGTCGTCGATGCGGCGCTGCGCGGCGCGGCGCTGCGGAATAGTCTCTGCGAAGCTCCGTCTGCGCGCGGGAATATGCTTCTCAAGAGTCAGGCCGCGCGAGCGATCATGGACGACCCATTACTCCGGGAGGCGGCCATCGCCGGGACGCTGACGCGCAAGATGGTGCGGAAGGCGCTCATCGCGCGATCTGACACCTGCGCCACGGAAATCGAGGTGATGATACTGAAGATGAGAAGGAGTTTCAAGGACGACATCAAGGCGGGGATCCGGACAGCCGCGAAGATACTGCGCACGCAGGCCCGCCAGGCGCGGCGTCTCTGCGACGTCTGCGGCGGGCGGGGCCCGTTGGACCGGGAGGCCTTCCCCTCATGCGGCGGGTGCGGCGCGCGGCGCTATTGTTCCGGCGTCTGCCAGCGGGATGACTGGGTCGCGGGCGGGCACTCGAGCGTGTGCCCGTGGTGCCCCAACGAGTTGTAAGTTTTGAATGTACGATTCACAAAAAGGGGAATTACACGAGGCGGAGCTCTACGCCGCCGCCAGCACGGCGATCGGGATCGCCACCGACGCCGTCACGAGCGTGCCGACCGCGACGCCCCACTTGACCTGATTCATCAAGTGCCACCGCTTGAGCTTGCGCGCTTGCTGTCTGAATGCTTTCGTAGCACCATGTAATTCGTCAGCCTTGTCGTTGAGAGCATCGAGCTTTTCACCCCTATCCAGCAGCATTTCAACATTCCGCTCCATGATCTCGCGGACCGCCTCGACCTGGTTCGCGACTTGTTGCAACTGCGAGGAGGAATTCGCATCTCTAAGTTCTCGTTCGAGGACTTCCCGTAAACGAGTGGCGCCGTCCGGCGTGCACCTAGTCCGGCCTTGGGACTTGGCTTCCTCCAAATCCAAATCGACCATGGGCCCGAGCATGAGCGCCAGTCTCTCGCAGAGCGCCTGGGCCTTCTCCACGGGATAGCCCATGCCGAAGGCGACGACGTAGGACGTCGTGCCATCCAAATCGCAGACCGGCAGCTTGATAGCTCGTAGGCCTTCTCCCTTTCTAGTAGTATCGGCGACGTCGTCCCAGCCCGGCGGGTCCGCTCGTTGTGTGATCTTCCTCGCTAGGGACGCCGTGCGCTCGCCTATTCTTGGGTCTTCGTCGTCTTGGGCGTGAGCGACGAGCTTGCGGTCCCTGCTGACGCCCACGAAGCCGACCCTAGCCGGCGCGCTCGGGTCTAATTTTGCACCGGTTATCGAGTGGCGCGCGTCGCGCGCTTTTTGGCTAGCGGTCGCCGACAGGCGTCGCGCCTTGTCTGCAGTTGCTGTCGCCGCGGCCTTGGCCTTGGCGCTCATGGATTGCTTGGGCTCGTCGGCGGCGTCCGCGCTGCCCGACGACTTGAAGGGGTTCCTCCCTAACTTGCGCGAGAAGATGCTCATCTTTTAGGGATGCGGACGCGTCGACGGCGTCGCTGCGACCGGTGTGCTGGTAAGCTGCTTTTTTGGCCACCCACTTGAGACCGGCTTAGTGGTCTTCGTTTCCGCGTCGGAACCAAGCGATACTGCGAGCCACCGGTATTTTCTCGTCTGTAAGTCAGCTCTTAGTCCTCATCTGTCGCGCAGGGACGAGCAGTCCGTAAAAAGCACCGGCCAAAATCTCGGTGCTAGCGTCCTGTAAGACACTAGCAAGCAAGCCGGAGCTCTCGTGAACGCGAAACCAGGGATGCATAGGAGCCACGTAGGCGTACGGACCCTTCTCACCGCGTCTGTCGTCTCCACCCAGCCCTGGCCATCTCCCTGCAGCGCCGCATTTTGCAGGAGAGCGAAGCGCGCGAGCGCCGCCCGCAGGCGTGCCGCAGCAGCTCACGAGAGAGCAGCAGGAGTGCCGCAAAAGGGAGAGGCTGCCCGCACCGGTCAAGGCGCGGCAAGCAGACAGCACCAAGGCAGTATGGCCTCCGCCGCGGCCATTCTAGCGGATGCGCGAAAAGAGGAACTGGAGTTCGTGCGGCCCTTCCATCCAGTACTCAGAAGACCCGAGGCCGCTTTCAGTAAACAATACCGGCAGCTCGACGACCTCCAGGTCGACGTGAGCTATACAGGCTTCAAAAAAGACGACCGGGACTTCCTGTACAAGCTGTTCGCTATTTTGGGGGATGAAACTAGAAAAGATTACATCAGCTGGTGTCCTGAGGGGCGGTTGTTGATCGTGAAGAAGTGGCGGGTACTTGTGAGTGATGGCCACTTGACGGCCCATGACATCGACGACACGCAGTTCATGGCCCATCTGCGGGTCTATAATTTTAGGCAGCTGGACAAGAACCAGCAGCGGCGGTTTTTGCCGAATGGCGATAGTAAGTGGCTATTGTTCCTGAACCCAGTGGTCAACTTGGACCAGGGCGATGGAGTACTGAAGAAATACATAAGGTACTGCCAGGTCCATCGGTTGAAGGCCTTGGTCGAGAAGCAGTCGCCCGAGGCAGGGTTCATCCAGGCGTGTCGCCAGGTGCTGTTGCAGACGGCTCCTAAATCCGTAGCGTCACTGTCGAACGAGGAGATAGCCGATGTCCTATCGGATGGCGAATTGCGGATCTATGATAAGAATCGATGTGTGTTCAGAGAAGGCGATCCCCCGGACGGCTATTATATATGTCTGTTCGGTGTAGTATCAGTACACAAGTTCGCGGGGGATGATGATAGGAGCAAGTTCGGCCGGAAGTTAGTGGAACTAAGGGACGGTGCGGGCTTCGGCGAAGTGGCCTTTTCTGAGTCCTGTCCCAATAGAAACGCTTCTGTGGTCGCGGTCGGTGACGAAGACCTGGCCACCGTCGCGGAGACGTCCGCACCAGGCTTATCCCAAACGATCTGTTTCGTGGCATCACCTAGAGCTTTTGCTTCTGTCTATGCGGAACGGAACAAGTTATTTGACACGAAGATCGCTCTGCTGAGACGGTCGCCTTTGTACCGCCACTGGCGCGTCGAAGATCTATACAAATTAGCTTCGGTCATGAAACGGCGCATCGTGCAGCGCGGCGACGTCGCGAAGCGCGCGACGTCGGAGGAGGTCGTGTTTGTGCAAAAGGGTGCATTAAAAATATTCCGTACTAGAGAAAGTGGTGCGGGCGAAATAGAAGTTGCGCTGTTGGGACCGGACGACGCCTTTGGGCTCGTGGAGATGCTCGGTCAAAGTGGTACTGCTCGACGGGCCGTCGCGGCGCAGACCACTGAATTGTTTGCGGCTCCCGTGTATATCTGTCGGGATTTGTCGCTGGCGAACGCCAAGACGAAGCGGGAGTTGGATAAGATCGTCGCGGCGCGTGTCCGGTGGGAAGGGGTGTGCGAGGAGGCCTACCGGCAGGAAAAGGTATCCATAACGCCTGGCATGATGGCCTACGCCGAGTACCAAGTGAACGAGCACGGTGTTACCTTAGTGCAGAACAGCAACAAGGAGAAGCGTCGCAACGCCATGTACGAGGTCCAAAGCGATTTACAATCTATCGTGTTAAGTACGCAGTCGTTAATCGAGGAGTCCGAGGAGCTTATGGAAACTGATTTAGACAGAGCAGAAGCATCATGTAGGAATGCCCACGACTTGTGCAAGGAGACGCTCAAGAAGGTCGAAGTGTTATCGAGGAGGAAGAGAGTAACAGATGTGCAGCGCGCGACGTTCAGGCAGGAGCTCCAGGACTCTCTACTTACATCGGAAGAACGCTTGAACAAGATCGAGGAGGTCCGGGCTCGACAGATCATGGCCGCGAATCGGGAAAAAACAGGAACGTTCCTGACTGACGTCGACGAGCACACCGTCGTGACGTGTACTTCCACAGCAACGCCCTGCCCGACGCTGGACTCGAATATCACTCGCAAGTTGAGAAAGGGTATTGGGAGGAAGGGCGTCGAGGCCTTCGCCGCTTTGAATGAGGCGCTCATGAATTCTGATACATCTACAATTAAAGTAGAGCCGTCGATGCTGACGGATGATGAGTCTGATGGTGAAGAGTCAAGCAGTGAAGAGGAGGAGGTGGAGACGACGACGACTGTTCGGAGAAGGAGAGAATTGGGTGAATGTTTAGTACATAGTAGATCATTACATGAACACCCTACCGCGAGCGACTATCAAAGCAAACTAGACGAGGACCTCGAGCTGCGGATGGGCCCCTACGGCCTGCCGCCGAACGGCCTGAAGCGGACGGGCATTCCACGCAAGAAGAAGCGGACGTTCTTCATCCCGGGCCAGAAGGGGAAACAGCCGACTTTTGGGAGAGAAGAGACGCCGATCTATGCCAAAAGACCAAAGGCGAAGAAGAAACCGGCAGTTGTTCCGGAGAACCCGTTTAAGAGGCCGCCGAAAGTTGTTGCAGAGGAGTTACCGTTGATAAGACCGGCCCGGAAGGAGGTCGCGCAGCTGCTGGCGGGCCACACCGAGCACGAGAAGAAGGCTCAGGCGGTGCTCGCTCGACGGCAAAAGTTATACGAGGACGCCATTTCAGTCACTAGTAGTAATTGTTAATAACTAGCGACGGGGTGTAGCCACTTTGTAGTCCGCGTGATCATCTACGTGGTGCGGAGGATGTACCTTGTGGTACAGAGCCATCCCCGTCCCCTTGACCTTGTCCTCGACGAAGTGGAGGCCGTGGACCACGGCCTTGACGTCATCATCTAATGTAGCGCCCACATCGGCCAAGTGATGGACCCACTTCGGGATCGGCCCGACGCCTAGAGCCTGGGCGAAGGCGTCGGAGAAGGAGCAGCAGTTCTTCCTGAGTAAATCATAGGTGGGGCCCATCCAGTCGCCTTTCATGCCGTCGAGAATGCGTTGGACCTCAGCAAGATCTTTCCCGCAGTCTCCTAAATAGATACTTTCCCGATAGGTATGCATGGGGCACTTCGTCGGCTTGCAGGCGAAGATGCCGCACTTGTTCCTTCTACAACCTCCAAACGAGAACTCCTGGCCGAAGACCTCGATCGCGCCGTGGAACACGCCGCCCTCGTGCAAGAAGTTCTCGACGACGTAATTGATCTCCTGGATGGCCTTGGCGTGGCCCACGGCGTAGACGTGGAGCGTCACCGGCGTTTTGGCGTCCTTCATGAGGTCGCGGATGTCTTCCGGGGACGCGCCCCCTGAACAAGTCATGTACTCTAGAATCGTCTCGCCCCAGCCCTTGTCGAAGGCCGGGCCCAGCGACAGCGTCTGCTTCGGCGCGGCCCAGGAGGTCCTGCGCGCTTTGGTTGTAGCCATGGCTGCGCTGCCTCGGCTGCGTCGGCGGCGTCCGGGTGCTGTGTTTAGGCTGCCCTGTTTCTGGAGAGGCGAGGCGGCTCGAGAACTTGGGAAGGAATTGGGGCTTTTGCCGCGAACTGTCTGGTGCGGGTCCTCTTCGTCATTATACCGGTCGTTGTAGGACGGATGAACAGTCTATTATAACGTGCGGGTATACTGAAAATCGAGGCCCAACTTTTGCTGGTAATTGCACGCGGCGACGCTCGACCCAGCGCTGCGGCTTGCAGCCAGTGACGCCTGAAAGAGCGGCGACACACTGGCTAAACTGCCAGAACTGCAAGAGTGCTGCAGCGCTACGTGTGCATCTCATTAGTGAGGCCAGCACGAGCGACGCCGCCGACGCCGGCGCAGCGGTGGCCAAGCGATGCCCGGATCACCCCCGCCCACGACCGAGCAGCGCCGCGCCGTCAAAGATGTATTAGATGGACCCGAGCGTCAAAGGTTAGGCGACGTCTACTATGTGCTTTCACAAAAGTGGTGGGCCGCGTGGCGCCAGCACGTCGCCTACGAGAAAAGTGATTCTTCTTCATCCTTGGATCTTGCGGGGTTGTCGTTGACACGAACCAGTAGTGTGGAGGAGGGCCCTGGACCGATAACCAACGAACCGCTCGGCGTCTCCGCGGGCAGCGAATTCATCCTGCGAGAAGGACTGGTAGAGCGGGACGACTACGCCTTATTGCCGGAACGGGCCTGGGACCTTCTGACGAGGTGGTACGGCCGCGATTATGAATTCAAGGCCCTAGTGGTCCAAGGCGCCTCATCGTCGGATTTGACCCTGGAGGTCTTCCCGTTGCGATTTGATGTTAGAATCGTGTCCGAGGACGGTGCCGCGTCTGGCCCTTCGAACAGTGTACAGTTATCGAGGTCGGACAAGGTAAGCAGCGCCAGACGCGCACTCGAGGACGCTGTAACAGGAAGAGGAGAACGACGAGTGTGGGTCAAGCCCGCTTCTGATGAATCTTTTGAAGGTGAAAAAACAGGAGCGCCGCGATCCTTGAAAGCTGACTTCTGGGGCGACAGCGACTGGAGATTGTTGGAAGGTGATCGGGACGCGATGGTCGGTGGGATTCCCTCGATCCACGAAGATCGCGAATGTCCGCGCTGGGGCGCCCTGGTCGAATCTCGAACCTCGGGTGAGTGGCCCCGAGATCTGCAGCGGGAGAAGTGGCGCGCGCACATCCGCGTGGGCGACGTCATCGACGCCAAAGATAGCGAAGGCAGGTGGTTCGATTCGAGGATCGTGGAGGTGGACCGCGACCGGGTCAAGGTCCACTACAACGGCTGGTCTTCAAGATGGGACTCGTGGGTCGACCGCAAGGACGAGTCGATCCAGCCGCATTTGACGCACACGGACGACTGGCGCCGGTTGAAGGTCGGCGACGCCCTGGAAATGCGGGGACCGGGGGAGAAGGCCCTGTGGTACAAGGGCTTCGTGAAGGAGGTCGACGGGTCTCGAGTCCTGGTGTCCTCGCACACGCCGAACGTCGACAGGCAGTGGCTCGAGACGTCGTCGGAGCACATCTGTAAACTAGGCACCCATATAAAAGCGGAGCGCGACCCGAAGCCCTTTGCACGATCTTATTCGTCGAGCGCGAGGCCTGGTCGCTCACATGTCCGCGGCCAGCCGCCGGCGCGAGGCGCCGTCGGTCTCCAGAATCTAGGTAATACGTGCTTCATGAATTCGATGTTGCAGTGTCTGTCGCATACGAGGCCGCTCACCGATTACTTTTTACGGGATGAGGAGGGCGAGCCGTTCTACGTCCGACAAATCAACGAGAAGAACCCGCTCGGGTCTGGCGGCGACCTCGCGAGGGCCTACGCTTCGTTCATCCGAGACGCTTGGAGTGGTAGCTACTCTACGGTAACACCCTCAGCATTAAAAAGAGCTGTGTCAGGATGGAAGTCCCAATTCAGCGGCTACCAGCAGCAGGATTCCCAGGAGCTCATGATGGCCTTGTTGGATGGCTTGCACGAGGACCTGAACGAGATCATCCAGAAGCCGTACGTCGAGCAACTCGAGAGCAAGGGCGAACCGGATCATGAGCTCGCGAAGGAATCGTGGCGGCGTTTTGGATTAAGGAACAAGTCGGTGGTCATGGACCACTGCATGGGCCAATTGAAGTCCCACATCACGTGCGACAAGTGCGGCCACGAGTCCATTTTATTTGACCCGTACAATCATATTTCTCTGCCGTTACCGGCCGCGGGCGCGCGACGCGTCACGTGTACGCTGTTCAAGAAGCACTCCTCGCAACGACCGCTGAAGGTCATTGTGGCCGTGCAGTCGAAAGACACGGTTGGTGCTCTCAAACAAGCATTGGCCAAGGTCGCTTCACTGGATGGCTCCGCCCTCGACTTATGTGACGTGTGGGGCCATCGAGTGTACCGGACCTTTTCCGATAATTTTTCCGTGGAGCACATCAAGGCGAATGACGAATTAGTTGCGTTTGAGCTTGGGGAGAGAGATAGGGCTATTGATGTGCTTTGTGGTCGGGTGTCGCGGTATGCCTCGGCGGATAGGCAGTCTCCTTACGAGTTGTTCGGGAGGCCTCTCCGCATAGCTGTGACATCCACCACAACTTGTGGAGAGGTAAGAAACGTAGTGCGACAGTGCACGAAGCGTTTTTGCGACGAGGCGTCTTATTCCCTGAAAATCTCAACCGCCGCCGGGACGCGCTTCGAGTCCGACTTAGGGAAGGATGACGAGCTCCTGCCAAAAGAAGTCGCGACGTTAACGCTCGAGTTCAAGAGCGACGAGGGTTACGACGAAGATGAGAGCGATAAGGTCGAGGAGCATGCGTCGTGTGCGGAAAACGGTCATAGAGATATCAACTTGGTGGACTGTTTCCGGAAATTCGCGGAAAAGGAACAACTGGGCGAGACGGAGATGTGGTACTGCGGCAAGTGTAAAGAGCACCAGAGAGCGTATAAGAAGCTGGATTTGTGGTCGGCGCCGGAGATACTCATATTGCATTTGAAGCGGTTCCAGTACGCGCAGAACACGTACTTCGTGCATCGCCAGAAGTTGGATGATAGAGTAGCGTTTCCAGTCGAGAATCTGGACCTGTCGCCGTGTGTGTTGGATCCCGAATCGCGACGGTCAGCACAGTACGACTTGTATGCTGTTTCCGAGCATTCAGGCGGGTTGGGCGGAGGACACTATACGGCCACGGCCAAAGACGACAACACTGGTGTGTGGTACCACTACAACGACTCCGTCGTGTCGCGCGCGGACGGCGTCGTGCCGTCGGACCCGAAGGCCTACGTCTTGTTCTACAAGCGGCGGCCGGGTAAGAGTAGCTAGCATTTATCGTTTTGTGTTGCGTCTGCGGTCGGGGCTTAGTACAGAATACTTACTTGTGTCACATGCCTCCCGTGGTGCCCTCCGCCCACGTCGATGGCTGTCAAGCGCCCCCTTACCACGTCGTGAACGCGACGTAGCAGAGCTTGAAGACGGCGATTTGCAAAGGGAGGTCGCCGAGGTGCGAGATCAGGCTTCCGATCAACCGGCCGTCCGGGCCCTTTGTTTTGTAGCCGTATCCATATAAAATGCGGCCCACGCTCCAGAGGCCGCCGCAGCTCGCGGCGAAGAGCGGGTAGAACAATCCCACGAGGACGAGCTTCACTAAAAATAGAGGCATGCTCTCCACCGTGTTCTGGTGCGCCCGCTGGGCGCAGTTGAACGCCTCTTCGTTCTTGTGGCCCGGCGGCGCGTAGAGGTTCGGGTACTTGATGCCGTACTTCTTGCGCGCCTGCATGACGCCGACGACGAGGTACTGGTTGGCGAAGAAGACGCCTGTGCGTGCGTGGTGAGCCATGCGAGCGACGCGCGAGCGCCAGCGATCGATGCGCGCGACGCGCGAGTGCTACGCTGGCTGCATGCCAACTAGGGCCAGCAACACCCACTTGTAGTCAGCAGGGACATCGATAGAAATGAGAGCGGCATTGGCCGAGACCTCTTCGGCAGCGCTAGTTCCAAGCGGCCACATTGCAGCAGTGCTAGGTGTTAAATGCTTGCCAAGTGGCAGTCTCAGCTGCGCGCTAGCTAAGAGCTCTAGGCTCGATATTTCGTGAAGCGTCGGCCAAACCCCCGCACCCCGTACGCCCACGACTCCCCGCGGCGCCGCGCGCCGAGCCGTGCTGAGGAAAAACCCTCGTTCTCCTCGACTGGGACTGGTGCTGTCTCTCTGCACGCCGCACAGATCCAAATCCCGGGGGGGGCAGCCGCATAACACGCTGCCGCCGCGACCCTTCTCCCGCTGCTGAGCCCGCTGCTGTCTCGGCACCTGCGCAGTTCCGTTTGTTTGCCTTCCCCAGCCTGGACCCCAGGTAGCTCTCAAGGGCTCCGTGCGGTAGCGCCTCCGCGCCGCTCCACCGCCCGGGGCCAAACGAACGCAGCCCGCGCTGCATGATCGCGTGCGTCGCCCTCGGCGTCGTCGCCGCGCACGAGCCGACGCGCGACGACACCATGGAGTACTTCGGGTTAGGTGAAGCTGAGCCGCCGTATGACTGTACCGGTGCTACCGTCGCCGAAGTGGTTGTTGCGTTTAGTGAACACAGACCCTTGGTTTATGGTCCCTGCCCCTTCTACGTGTCGTCTACCGTCATACGAGACGGGAAACGCGACGTCTCGCCGCCTGCCGTGGAGAGGACGCCGGCCGATTTACAAGCATTAGCGCATGCTCTGTCCGTACATTATCCAGGAGCTGTCGTACCACCAGTAGGCGACGCGTCGGATGCGGGCCGAGGAGCCCAGGCAGCAAAGACGTTCATCGAACGGTGTTTGCAACATGAAGAACTGGGGCCCTCTCAACTACTCGTGGAATTTTTACTACAGCGAGAGATCACACGGTCAGTAAGAAACGCGTCGCATATTGGGAGCGACGTCGCGGTACGAGCCACGACGACGGCGACCTTCTACGGGAGCGACGTCAAAAAAGACGTTGAGGACGCGCGGCGCTGGTGCCTCAGCAAGGAAAAGATGTTAGATGACGCAATAGCTAGAGCGACGAAGGCCGAAAGAGCCATTCGGAAAGCGACGAAGGAGACGGCGCACTTGCTAGCTACCGGTGGTGTCTTGCTGAACCCTAGAGACGACGACGCCGCGGCCGGCGTCGTGTCCGCGTCGTGGGCCTTTCGCGACCTAAAACATCAAGTGGGTTCACTAAGAGACGCGGCGGCCACGGTCCAGACGTTGCGGGATCGCCTGGCCGCCGCCGAGGGCATCCTGGAAGCTTCCAGAGAATCTTTTGCATCCTCGAAAGAGAAGTCGACGGCCGCGCGGGCCTTCTCGAAGTCGCAGCGCGACGTCGATAGTGATACAGCTAGACGCAACGCCATCGAAAGTGTCGTGGACAACGCGTCGCGGCGCTTCGCGCACGACGCGTCTGCGTTCGTGGCCTCGTTTCCGGACAAGTGGTCGACGCTCGTCGCGGCGCTCGTCGCGGACCAGGCCCGCGCCGCGCGGGACGGGGCGGACCTGTTAGAGCAGGCGCATGCCTCCGGCGCGGCCAAGGCGGCACCGGCATCGCCGGCCGCCAGCGACATGTGGCCGCCGCCGCCGCCGGGCTCGCGCAAGCTGATCGACACGTGGCGCAAAAACGGCGAAGCACCTGCGTCGCCCGAGTCGCCTGCCACCGTCCCCGAGTCCGACTCGGACGCGCCGCTGGAGGCCGCCGAGGCGCCGGACCCCGTGCCGGCGCCGGCACCGACGCCGACACGGCCGCAGGGCATCTCCAACAACGACGACGCGCCGGCGTGGGCGCACTCGCCTACCGGCGACCACTCGCCGCGCGCGCGGCGGAACGCCTGGGGCGGCGCCGCGTCGACCAGCGGGCTGCCCTCCTGGGCGTCGACGCCCCCCACGGAGCCGGAGCCGTCCTGGGCCGAGGACGGGATCCGGCCGCCTAAAGTTTAGTGATCATTCATGAATTTTATCCCTCCCCAGGTCTACCGGTCGGGATCGCTCACTTCTTCGCCTTCTTCGCCTTGGGCATTCCGGCGTCCGCGCGGCGCTTCCGCGTCGCTAGCGAGAACTTGTAGTCGGTGTCCGGATGGGCCTCGATGCGCGTCTTGAACCAATTGAGCAACCGAACAAGGGCTTTCTTGGACGCGGCCGGCGTGTGGGCCGCGCCGGCGCCGTCGAGGCCTAGACCCAGCGCCGCTTCATCCTTCTTGAGGTGCTCGCGCCACTTTGCCGCGAGTTTTTTGCAGAAATCGGAGATTTCCTCCCAGCACTCGTTGTCGTACATCCAGTGGTCCGAGGCGCACATCGCGTGCGTGAGCGCCAGTAAGCCGCAGAAGTACTTCTGCTCGCGGTCGGCGTCGCCCTTGAAGCGTTTCTGCAGCCAGTCCCACTCCGCCTCGACAATACCAAATTTGACGTTGCCCGTGTCCGTGTTGCCCTTCTGCAATCTTTGCTTAATACTGGTCGTCTCGCCCGCGCCGCGGTGCACGTGAGCGAACATTCTTTTGCGCTCGCCGTCGTAAAATTTGGGCAGCCATAGGGCCTGCACCGGCGGCTTGCTCATCTCGTCCGCGGCGTCCTCGGACTCGTCGGAGGAATCCGAGTCTGGCCACTCCGCTTTAGGCTCCGCGGTGTCGGACTTGTTCCCCTTGTCCTTGGGGTCGGCGCCCATCGTCAGGACCGTCTTGTCCGCGTGCGCCTGCCCGAGGGCCTTGCAGTCGTCGTGAAACTTCATCTCGTGCGGCTTCTTCGATTCGCTCTCGCCCGTCGAGATTTGCAGCTCCAACGCGACGCAGCACTTGCCCCGCTTGTCGACGTAGAACACGTGCTCGCCGACTTTTTCCACGCCGTCGCCCGCGTTGTGGACGATGATCGACCAGTCCGACGTGATAGCCGGCGCCATGACACCTCCGTACAGGCCGGCGTCCCGCATTAACCCCCTGATGGCGCTTTCCGCGCAGTCTCCTTTGGCGACAGTTGTCGCCGCGACGACCACGTCGTCGAACGGCTCGCGGCCGACGTGGGAGTGGAGCAGCGGGACAGGTTTCGGATCAGTCTTCGAGCGCATCTCGCAACTAGGGGCACCGTTCTCATCCGCGAGCCACTCGACGTATGCGGCAAGGCCTTTTTCCGTAGATCTGGCTTTATTGAGGATGCGCTGCCGCAGCGGTTCGCCGCGCACGCGCTCGGCCGACGCCATGAATTTGGCCTTCGACTCATCGTCGATCTTGTTCAACAGGGACGCTTCGCCCCGCTTAATGATGAGCTGTAGCTCCACGCTGTCGTCGCACGCGTCGAGGAGAACAGCTGGCACATACTCTGGTGGCTCGGGTGCTCCCGCCATGAAATCATCCCAGGCGGAGTCGTTGAACGAGTGGTACCACTTTAGCTTGTCGTCGAAGCTCGCGTCGCGGCCGGGGAACGACGCCGAAGCCTTGGCTTTCCATTCGTCGATGCGCGCTGCATCTTGTGCCAGCTCGCCGACGGACGAGACGAGCGGTGTATTTTCAGGTGGGCATTGGTCCCGCGTCACCAGCACCCAGCGAGACATGGGTGCAGCTAGGCTGTTTGCGGCGCGGGCAGCACAAATACGTGCGCGTAGGCTCGGACTTGCAATTAGCAGCAGTACTTGCGTGCCAGAGCTGCCGATTTTGAGTTGTTCCAGATTGTTTGAATAGCGTGCCGTGCGGGTCAAGCGGAAGCGTGACACGGATAAGAAAGGCAAGGATACAACCAAAACAACACTTAACTATCAAGCCGCCACGCGCACGCGCCCGTCCTCGCACCCGAGCAGCACGACGCGCCGCGCCGGCAGCGACGCGCACGCCTCCACGTTCAGGTGCCCGCGAGGGATCCTCTGGCCGTGGACGTCGACGAAGAGGCGCCGCGAGCAGTCGATCGGATTCAAAGGCGTCGACTTGCCCAGGGGCAGCGCCAGGGACACCGCCTTGTGGCCGCGCGCGACCAGAACTTGCAGCGCTGGCTTGGGCTTCATGCATGCATTAATGGATACGTTTGAGGATCGCAAGCCGCTTCCGTAGTTTGGGAGCCCGCGCAGGACGCAGACCGGCTTAGGTATTGAACCAGTGAGGCGCCAGAGGGCCGCGGAGCCGTCGGACGCCACCGTGAAGATCTCGTGGCGAGACGCCGCTTTGACGCACACGACGCCCGCGCCGTGGGCTCGGAACGACGTCCTGTATCTACCCGCCCTTCTATCAGTCACGACAATGTGCCCTTGGTCGCTCGCAGTGGCGACCCAGGCGCCGTCTGGAGAACAACAGCAGCTCGTCGCGCGCGCGTTCACGGGCGAGACGACGCGCTCGCCGAGCGGCGAACTCGATTCCACGACCTCGCGGTCTCCAGAGAAAGATAAAGGCCACTCCGCCGCGGTTAATGTAGGTGGACCCCGCGCGTCGACGACCGAGAGCACGCGCTCGCCTGTGCGCAAATCAATCAGTGAGTCGGGTGAGCCGCGAAAATTCGATTCATGCTCTGGCCCTCGCCCAGCACCACTAGCTGCCTCGCGCATCTTCCGGCCTCAAAGGCGCCGCCCGGCCCATATCCGAGAGCGACCGGACAAAGGTCGACAATCGACCGCTTCTCAAAGGCCCTTCTCTCAATCGTCGCGGCGCGCCCGACGTCCCAGTAATCCACTTGGAGGCCATCGGAAGACACGGCTTTTAGAGAAGAACCGTCCCCGTCCAGACAACACAGGGAGCGTATTGAGCCGCCGGACTTGTGCCCCCCCTCCAATTTGGGCGGGTGCTGCCGCAGCGACCACACCCTCACGATGCCGTCGCGGCCGCCGCATAGTACGGTCGATTCCAGAGGATCCACACACAGTACTGATGATGACGTCGCAGCCGTATCCATCAACGGCGTTGCTGCTAACCGAAAACCAAACTTGTAAGGCTCGTCCACACCCTCCCACGGCCTCTCATCTAATAAAGGTCGGCCCCTCGGTAACAACCACAACCGGTCGTCGGTGATCGACCCCGACGTCATGGGACTCGCCGGCACATCTTCATCAGACGACTCCTCGCGCGCGTCGCGTAGCGCCGAGAGCTCCATGCCCTTCGTCCGCGATAACACAGGTGAGCCCTGCTTTGTTGGGGGCTGCGGCGTCCGCAAATGTTCGCCCTGGCGCTGGAGCCAGTCGGCGCCCGCGTTTAAGGCGTCTGCTACCAGATTCGACTCCCTTCTTCTAGGTGGCGGCGGCGGCGTCGGGGGCATTACAGTGTCCTTGGCCAGCCGCTGGTAGGACGGGCATCTCAATCGAGCTTCCTCGACGCCACATAAAGCGGATAAGGGCGCATACAAACCGGCGGCGACGTCCGACGCCAGGGCTGCCGCGGCTGCAGAAGGGGCCCTTCGTAGAGGTACGAGCTGGGCAAAAAACCGATCCACATCAGGTAATAACTTTTCACAGGTTAGTTGCGCACCAAGAGCCATCGCTATTAACGCAATGAGCTCCGCGACGTCGTCCAAGCAGCGCCGTGCTTCCGCCGCGACGGCGAACGGGTCGTCAGAAGAAACAATGGCGTCCGGCGACGGCGTCAGGCAGCTTAACAATGACGGTAGAGGCGACGGAGGCAGGTCCACATAAAATCTGGTAACGGTCTCCTGCGCGACGCGGCCCACCAGTGCTTTCAACACAGATACAACTTCTGTCAGCGCGCGCCGCGACTGCGTCGACGCGCCGCCTATTTCACCTTCGAGCTGCGCGAGGCGGCCGCGCGGGTTCAACAAAGGATCTAGAATCAAAGGCGCCGCGGCCTCGGGAGTGAGCGTCTCGCAGAGCGACACGATGGCCTTCGCGCGGCCGTCGTTCGCGTCGAGCTCGGGCCTTTCGATATCGGCGACGAGCGCCGGGAGCACGAATCGAGCCGTCAAACAGGGCCCGAGGGCGTCGATGAGACGCGTGAGGAGCGTCGTCGCTTCCATGGACCTTCGCGACGCGTCGAGGAGCGACGGCAGCACGAGTGCGATGGACCGCGGCCCCGCGCGCTTGTGTAGAGACGCCACGACTTGAGATGCGTCCTTGAGGAAGGCCGCGTCGGCCTTCCTTCTTTCAATAAATGACGCGACGCGCGGCGCGAGCACGTCGTAAGCGATCGACGCGCCGACCTTGCTTCCCATCACGTCGACGACCGTGGCTAGATTTGAGGCGCTCATGTTGGTTTCGAGACCTTGGAGCATCTGCGGCAGCACGAGCAACGCCCCGGCGAATTCTAGGTTCGAGAACGCGTCCAGAGAAGATAATGTCGCACGGCCTTTGTCGCAAGCGCCTTCGATGGCAGCACCGACGGCGTGGGCCTCATTAAACGAAGCGGGGAAGAAGTCCGTATCTTGTAACGCTTCACCAACGTCCATGCTATTGGTGGCGAGCGCGGCCGCGATTCGTAATGCGGAAGACGGCGCCGGCGCTAACACGGCCTGCTCGTCGCCGAAGCCGTAGACGCTTCGTAGGAGGGCGGCGCACTTCTCCGGAGTAGTTGTTGGAGAAGAACACTCCGTGAGGCAGGCGTCTACACTTTCAATTGCGTCTCTATCCGAAAACTGTCTCAATGACGTATGCGCTTTCCCGGACGTCGCCGTTCCATCCAAGTACGTTTCGAGGATGGACACGCCCTCGAGCTTCTCCGGTTGTGATACGGCCCGTCGAGGATGCGGCACGGAAAATAAACGAGCCGCGCCCGGCGACGACGTAGACACTTTGGAACCGCGGTAGGCGTCGCCCTTGACGACGAGGGGGCAGTTCCGCTCGCGGATGGACGCCGGGCCCGTCGCATTGATGCCGAACGTGAGGTCGATCCAGAGGTGTATGTGTTTCGACACTTCTTGACTTTCTAGCAACTCCCGATGGTACCTCACGAAATCTTCTGGAGATGCACACCACGAGGGCACCTCGAGGTCCTTCAATTCGTTGGAAGAGGCGAAGACGCTCGCGTCGCAATAGAACTCGGGAATACATTCGTCGGGCGACCACGCGTACAGTCGTTCGACGGTCGCAGGGTAGTGCTCCGGGACAAAATTGGTACGAACAACGCTTTTGAGGACCGACAAGGGTGCTCTACGAGCCAGGTAGATGCACAGTGCTAAATCCGAGAGGCCCGGGTCGCTCACGTGATGCTTGCTTACTTGATAAGTTCTATCCAATAACTCGTCGCCCTTGGCTATTCTGAACTTCGTCTTTGATAAATCACGCCAGCCACCATGCTTCACGGAAAAGTCCGAGACCCAGGGGAAGACGTAGTGGTCATTGGTTAACGCGGTACTTCGGCCGGCGGCCCGGTTTAGTATGAGTAAATAGTCGAAGGTCGACAAGCTTCCGTCGACCCATCGTGATGTCGGCGACGCCGTCGTGGGCGGTCGCGGCATGGCTATGGTCGGGAGGACGCGGCACCAGGCGTCGTCCGTCACGAAGACCGTTCTGGCCGAGAGCTCGCCTATCTGTCCCAGTTTCTGGACGGCCTTGAAGACCTGATATACCAAAAAGCGCAGTCTCAGGTCCAGAGCGGCGCGCGGGCCGCCGCATCGGACCGCCAAAGCCGCCGACCGCAGGCACCCGGCCTTGGCCCTTAGTATACGTCTTAAGGACGTGAGCTGCGGGTGTGTTGTTGTGGTGCCCTTTCTCGCGAGGCAGGGCAGCACGTTTGGATCATCAATACAGGCCCTCGCTATCATTGACGCGTCGGCGCCGCGGTGCGTGGCGACGATCGCTAGTTGGTTGTTGTTCAGGCGGCCGCTGCCGCCGGTGCCGTCTTCGCTCTCATTTGACGTGTTAGTGAGGAATGCGCCTTGCAGAGAGAGGCTGTCCGCGTCGCCGTCTGGCTCTTTTGCCACTATTGTGTATTCCGCCATCGCACAGATCGCACAGATCGCACGGCTGTCTTCGGCACGTGTGGTGGAGTCCTACGATGGTTGTCAGCGCTCGAGCCTAGTTATGCCGCCCCACAAGCTGATTTTCAGCTGCGTCGCTTGCTAGTGTCTTACATGCGCTAGCTCCAGCGCAGCACAAGTTTTTTGCCCTATGCTCGCCTCCCTCACACGTCGTGCACCAACTGTCCATCGCATCTCTTCTCGCACCATGCCGACCATACCTGGTACAATTTGCAGCGTCTCATTGATACGTATATTCGAGTTTGGAAGTGGTGGCCTTTAGTCCACTCCTTCTCCGCGACGCGCGCGCGTTACTGGTGGCTGGGCCGCGCGCGCCGGCTTGTGGACCTAAAACTATTGACCACCGAACCACAGGTTGCAACATCACCTTCGACAAGGTCGCCCGCGAGTGGCGCTGCAAATACGCCGCCGACGGCGAAGGCGGCCCCGCCAACTCGGCCTCGCTCAAAGCGGCCGAAGAACTGCTCCAGTCTTATCTGCCCACGCTCAAGGCCTTACCGAACGCGGAGGTGACGCGCGTGATGTGCGGTGGCTGCCACGATTTCAAGATCGTGGTCAATCAACCCTGCGCCGACCACGACGCGTGGAAAGCGTCGGACTACGCGCCGGAGCAGGAGTTCATCTCCAAGCTCTCGGCCATCGAGGGCATATCGGCCGTCGAGACGCAGGAGTACACGTGCCAGCCCCTTTGAGACTGCTAAAACTTTGTATTTTACTATCAGTCACACCGGTACCGTCCTGCGCGGAGCCCGAACGGCCTCAAGTACTAGAGCGGCGACAGGCCGAGGAGCCGCAGGACCAGGAAGCCAAACATGGCCTTGCGCATCGGGTCGAGGGCCATGAAGTTCCTCTGAGCGACCTGCGGGTTCCACGGGCTCCCGCCGAGCTGGTGGACCTGCTTGCCGAAGAAGAAGAGTGGCAGGCCCTTGCTCAGCAGCGCCGAACCCATGCCACCCGACGGCTCGTGGCCCGCCTCGGGCTCATCGTCGTACGCCTCGCCGCCGGCGTCCGCGTCGTATTTTCGGCCCGCCGTGGCGTCGTCGAAGCCCCGCCGGTAGGCGTCGGCGCACGATGAGCCCCCGGACGGCTCGTAGGCGCTCCGCGGTGGCTTGTAGGTAGACCGCCGCGGCGCCGCCTTGCCTCCGAACTGGTACGCCAGCAATACTAACAAGGCCAGGCCTACCCATGCCTGCTTCGAGGTGATGGGCCGGCCCGCCCGCCGCGACACCTCCTTCGCCGCGAAGGTGCCGGCCGCGTCAAAACCGGCCCTGGCGCCCTTGACGCCGCCGCCGGCTTTGGCGTAGGCCTCCCGCGCGCCGGAGAAGAGAGCTAAGACCGTGACGAGCAATACAGCCGCAGCACGCACCAGGCCCGCCGTTCGCCAGAGCAGCGCGAAGCCCACGATGGCGAAGAGGGCGTCGCGGGGGGCGAAGCCGGGAGGCAGCACGTCTTTTAAACGACTCATGAATTCGTCGGCGTACTGCTCGGCCTGGTCCCTGACGTCCGCAAAGCTCGAGGGCGCGCCCGTCTCCGGCACGGGGAGCAGGTTGCTCGGTTTGAGGTACATGTCGCTGCCGCGGACGCGGACGCGGTACCTCCCTTTGTCCGTGTCGAAACTGATAGCGGTGCCGCGCTTGCCATTCAGGTCGGCGCGGCTCGTGCCCGTGATTTCTACTCTTCTGCCGACGAAGGGCTCCGACATCTTCTCTCGAGGGCGCCTTCGCTGTGTGTGCTGCTGAAATGATGAGCAGCAGGGATGAGGGCTGAAAAACGTATGCAGTCGCAGCGTTTCAGGAGTTGAAACGGCGACTCGTGTGGGAGTGATGCGCTAAAGCAGCACAGAGCGAGGCTTCGCAGATCCGCAAGCAGGCGCGCGCGGCGTCGGTGTTGTCGAGCCCATAGCTCCAGTAAGACACTAGCAATCAACGAAGCGCTCCCGCCAGCCATGCCTGCGGCCGACGAGCCGTTCGGCAGCGAGCAACGAAATGCCCACGGCCGGCTCGCTCGCGCGCCGCACCAGCTTGCTGCCCCGGCAAGTTCGTAAACGTTGGTGCGACGGGCAGCCCACGGACGGCTTCATCCGCCGTCGCGCGCCGCCGAGAGTACGCCCGCAGCCCCCAGACCGCCGGGAGCGAGCTGCGCCGCGCCCGGAGCCGTGGGTGTGGCGCAAACGACGGTCAACCGCAAGCAACAAACATGCGGCTCAAGGCGCACGCGCTGCCGCCGCCGCCGCGGCGCCGCCGCGCTGCCGTCGCCGCCGCCGCCGCGGCGCCGCCGACGCCCCAAAATAAAGAACCGGAGCCGCGGCCGTCGCTCGTGATGCGCCCGACGCCGGGCCTCCGGAAGCACGATGTGGTGGTTGAGGACCGCACGCGCCACACGACCTACACGCGCGACCTGGGCAACGGCCTGACATTAGGCGGGAGCTGGGCGGCCAAAGAAGCTCGATTGTTGGAGCTCGAGCAGGCGAATGCTAACCTACAAGTGCGGTGCGCGCACGCCGAAGCTCGGGCCGAGGCGCCGTCGGCGCAGAACGAGCGCCTGAGGATGCGGAGCCAGCTCCGCGCGGCCCAGGAGAATTCTAGAATGGCGACCGAGGACGCCCTCGCGGCGCACTTTATGAAAAATGTGTCGAGACACGAGGCGCGCATCGCCAACGCGTGCAGCGACCAGTGCACGCGGCGCCTCGCCGAGACGGCGGCGCGGTTGGCGCCTGTGCGAAAATTTTGACGTTCGTGCTGAATCGTCGCGTCGACCTCCACGCCATCTTCATGATATCTGCTCGATGGCGTGGCGCTGTCGGTTCCTCACCGCTGGACGGAGTCGTCTCGACACACTGATTGATTTCCACACAGGCTGACGCACTCCGAACACGAGGTCGTCGACTTGCTCAAGGCGAAGACGGCCCTCGAGACGAAGTGCGGCCGCCTCGAGAAGCTCTGGGAGACGGAGCGGAAGGGAAGGGACGTGCTCGACCACGCGCGGGCCCAGAAGGAGAAGCACGTCTGTGTGCTGTTGAAGGAGCGGGATCGTCTAGAAAGGGAGGTCAAGGCCCTGCGGCGGAAGTCCGAGACGCCCACACCGCGCAAGACCGCCGCGCCGGTGACGCCTACCGATTTACCGTCGCCGGTCAAGATGGCCGCGCTGTCGCCACCGCGGCCGCTGCGCGTGGCGACGCCGTCGCCCCAGAAGGACGCGCTGGAGCTGTTGGAGGGCGAAGGCACGCCCGCGAAACAACAAACGCCGCGGCCGGCGCGGGCCCTCGACCTCCAGGCCGCGGCGCTCCGCAAGTACCGGACCCGCGACGTCGAGCGCAAGAAGGAGCTCGCGAAGCTCCAGGCCCAGCTCAAGCGCGCCGAGGCGAAGAACAAGGAGCTCCAGGTGCGCTACGGGAACCGCCCGGCGGCGAGGCGGCCGCGGACGGCCGTGTACTAGGTTCCCCCGACTAAGACGTTTCTGCCTACTCCTCTGGTGCCTCGGACTCCGGGCCTCGGATATTCCCCGTCGTGCGGGTCTGCCAGATGTCTGCCAAGATCCTGCGCCTGCAGCGCCGCTATGCTGGAGACTGCATTAGAGCTGGGTCTTTGATATAATTAGGGCAACAGCCAGCTGCCCGACGCTCGCAAAAGCATCCCGGCTGCCCCGCTAGATCTCTAACGATGGGTTGTACATCATCCTCTGCGGAGCCGGCGCGCGAACCCGTCACGGAACGCGTGGTGGTGGAGAGCGAGGTCGTCCCGGAAACGGACATGGAGGACTGGCCGCTCGCCAAGCTAAGAGAGCGGCTCGCCGCTGCGCCTGCGGAGGCGCCGCTAGCGGCGGTGGTCACGACTGGCGCCATGAACCCGCCGCACGCCGGCCACGCCCAGATGCTGCACCAAGCGGCGGCGCGTCTGCAGGAGGACGGCTTTGAAGTGGTGGGCGCGTGGGTCTCGCCGAGCCACGACGGCTACGTGCAGCCCAAGGCGTGGAGCCTGCGCACCGTCGGGCTCAGCGCGGCGTTCCGGCTCAAGCTCGCGGATCATGCCACAGAGGACGACCGGCTCGTGGCCGTGGGTGCGTGGGAGGCGCAGCAGCCGGGCGATTGGCCGGACTACCCCTTGGTGGCCAAGGCGCTGCGCGAGCGGCTGCATGCGCTCGCCGTCCTCGAGGATGGCGCGCTCTCGCGACTGCGCGACGCGCGAGTCTTCTACGTCTGCGGCACCGACCACGCGCAAAAATGCGGCCTGTACGGCGGCGGGCTGAAGCACGCCGCCGGCGTCGGCACCGTCGTCGTGCCGCGCGCGGGCGACATGCCGTCCGCCGCGCGCGCCGTCGCCGGCTGGGGACCTTACATTGCCCAGCCGGCGGCGGGCGACGTCGCCAGCTTCTCGTCCACCAGAGTGCGCTCCGCCATCGCGGCGAAAGACGCTGACGCGGTGCGCACAATGCTGTCGGCAAGCGCAGCGCGCTTCCTGCTGCAGCCAACGGCGGAGGAGCACGAGTGCTACAGCGCCGACTACGAGAAGCTCGGCGTGTCACCGCCGCCACCGACGAGTACGGAAGGCGTGGTGGTGGAGGGCGAGGCCGTCCTGGAAGCGGAGGTCGATCGGGCGAATGATGACGGCACGACGCCGCTGTACGCCGCCTGTGAGAAGGGTCACGTCGACGCGGCGCGGCTGCTGCTGGACAAAGGCGCGGACGTTAATCGGGCGAACAAGGACGGCTGGACGCCGCTGTACGTCGCCTGCCTTCAGGGCCACGTCGACGCGGCGCGGCTGCTGCTGGACAACGGTGCGGACGTTAATCGGGCGAACAAGGACGGCTGGACGCCGCTGTACGTCGCCTGCCTTCAGGGCCACGTCGACGCGGCGCGGCTGCTGCTGGACAACGGTGCGGACGTTAATCGGGCGAATAAGTACGGTGCGACGCCGCTGTTCTCCGCCTGCTACAACGGCCACGTCGATGCGGCGCGGCTGCTGCTGGACAAAGGCGCGGAGGTCGATCGGGGCGGCGCGCTGTACATCGCCTGCCAGAACGGCCACGTCTACCTGGCGCGGCTGCTGCTGGACGAAAGGGCGGACATCAATCGGGCGAATGAGGATGGCGCGACGCCGCTGTTCATCGCCTGTCAGCAGGGCAAAACCTACGCGGCGCGGCTGCTGCTGGAGAAAGGCGCGGAGGTCGACCGGGCAAAGGAGAGCGGTCAGACGCCGCTATGGATCGCCTGCGAGGGCGGCCGCGTCGACGTGGCGCGGCTGCTGCTGGAAAAAGGCGCGGAGGTCGATCGGGCGAACAATGACGATGAGACGCCGCTATTCATGGCCTGCCGGGCGGGCTACGTCGACGTGGTGCGGTTATTGTTAGATAAGGGCGCGGACGTTAATAAGGCGGACAAGCTCGGTACGACGCCGCTGGACGCCGCAAAAGAAGAGGGCGACTCGGCTGTATACAACAGTAATAAGAAAAAGGTCGTCGCGCTCCTCGCGGAACATCATCGGAGGCTCCTCGAAGCGCGTATGATGGAGGCCGAGCCCTGGGCGCCGGAGGGCGAGACGTAGGAACACCTAAGTATGACTACGCAAGGAACATGAGTGGCCGTTACGCGAGTCCCCCCGAGACCAGGGATCACTCTTTGGGCCGCCCCCGCGCGGACGCGTCGCTCCGAGGCGTGAACGCCGACCGCGGACTATAGAGAGAGGACACGGACTTGGCCGGGTCCGGGCTGAAGGCCTGCAAGTCGCCCGAGGATCGCGGTGACCGTAGAGCTTCGAGCCGAATTCTAGGCACGAACTCCGGCGGCGGTCGATACGTAAACTCGACGTGGTTCGGCGACCGCGGCGAGGCGCAGCTCCACGTCGTGTAGTCACTGACCGACGATATCACGGTTTCCGGGGAGGTCGAAGCAAACGATCGGAAGGAGGGCGGCCGCCGCCAGCCGTCCAGCGACCGTCGCGGCGGGTTCACGTCAATATGAGGTGGTCTCGGCCGTTCCTGGATGCCCGTTCGCTCTTCCAGATCATCTAGTACCCGAAAAGATAGTGGAGCGTATTCATCCTCCGTACTAACCCCAAGTCCAAAGGTCTCGTGGACCGGCGGCTGCCGACCGGAAGCCTCCTTCTTGGTAGGTCTACTTTTAGCTACCCAAGCTCCATAGGCCGACGAGAACATCTTGTCGTTGGGCGCGACCGGTCGGTCGCTATCGGACTCGCCGGTAGGGGCACTTGTATGTACAATTTCGTCCCTTTTTGACTGGAGGATCGACTCCGTGAACGCGTCGACTTGCGTGTCCGATGATGGTTGGCCACTCGAAGAGATGCTCCCGCCGTAGACGTGCTTCGGTCCGCTCACGATGGACGCGACCTCCTCGTCCTCCGCGGCCTCGAGCGCCGCGTCATGGGCCGCATCCGCATCAGCTTGGTCCACGTTCTTCGACGCGTCGGCTAAGCGTCGCGACATCTCCGTCAGTCGGCCTAATGCGCTTCGAGCCACCTCCTCGTCATCTTTTTTCTCGTCCTCTTCATGGGGAGTCGGTGATGGGTCGGCGCTCCGCAGGAGTTGCGACTTCTTCTGATCTAGTAAATTTTGGAGTTGTTCGATTTCCTCGAGCGACTGCTTCGTGGTAAACGGAGCCATCTCCTCGGCAGCTAACACACGTTTCAGGGACGCCCTCAGAGGCGCCTCGGAGGTAGGCGACTTTTGTCGAGGCGACGGCGCGCGCTTCTTCGGCTTTGAACCGGGCGCGGGTGAGGCCGGCGACCGCGCACCTCGTCTAGAAGAAGGCGACGAGGCCTGCTTCGGCGGCGGCGGCGGCTTCGCCCGCGTCGGCACGACCTGGTGGCGGCCGGGAGCCAAGCCCGCGGTGATGGATCGCAGCTCGCCATCATCGTCGGTCGAGTCGCCCTCCTCATTCTTGGCCGGGTCCTCCTCGACGACCTCGAGGGACGAAGCTCGTCCCCGTCGGCCCGGCAACGGCGCCCTAGGCGCTCTAGGCAAAGGCGCCTTCCGCGGCTGCTGGCTATAGGGCGACGGCTTCTTCGAGGGCGCCTTCTTCTTCTTCGCCTGGGCGTCGGGCGGGCGGAAGGCCGACTGCGCGGACTTGATGCTAGTCTGCGCGCTCTTCTTCCGCGCGGCGGCCTGGCGCTCCTTCTCGAAGCAGGGGCTCGGCGTGCGCGAGGAGGTCGGCGTCTTGCGGCCGTGGGGCGACTTGCGGCCGGCGGCGGCCTGCGTCGGTGGCGGTTATTGGCTTCTTCCGCGGGTGTCGCGCGGCGGGCGCCGGCGAGGTGGTCTGGCTTTTGTTGGTGGATTTTGGGGGTCGGCAGGGGTGGAGGGGTCGATTTCTGGGCCCGCCGGAGGGACGACTCCAGCGTTGGCTGTGGGAGTTTCCCATGCGGGCGCAATCGGGATTGCCGACGCGGTCGGCGGCGCGAGGGCACTTTCCCCCCGTTTCTCGCAGCCCGGCCGGGTTGTTATAAGACTCTGCAAGGGCACGGCGCTGGAAGAGGCATTGGACGGGCTCTTGGTCCTCGAGACCTTCTCTGAAGCTCCCGCCGGATGTTCAGCGACTTTGCTCTCTAACGCATCGCTCTTCGCCCCGCTTGCGCGGGGCATCGTTGGAGGCTCGTCAAATCGGTATTCTCCAGGCTGCCACCGGGGCCTAGGGCTGGTCGAGGGGGCTCCCAGGCTGTGATTTTGCCGTGGCGACGGAGGCGCTGCTAAAATCACTAAACTTTAGCAACTTTAGTGCCTATCCGCTTCGCACGACGCCCGTGCTCACTAGTTCCCAAACAAAACCCACGTAGAGTATTCGGTGTGTTTCTTAGAAGCGTATGAACCCTCTAGCAACGGCTGAAGACGAATGGCAAGCTTCACAAGCCAAAAATGCACCAGAATGAAAAGTCCTTCTCCCACTGCTTTGTGTATTTTTTTGGACTCTTACGGGATGGTAGAGAAGCCTGGGGGTGCAAAAACCGCGCATGGTACGGATCAAATTCATCTGCAAAATTAAAACGGGTTCAGACAAGGAGAGCGTGCCATGAAAAACCGGCTCAAAATGCGTTAAAACCTAACCAGATTTCACATCATTTGCGTCAGAGTTTCCAGGCAGTGCGCCGGTGCTCTGTAGAAAGTTTCACGGGCTGGCGGGCTTCTACAATGTCGCTGCCGCCGCCGGCCCTTGGACCAAAACAAGCGGTCGACGACGTGCCGCAGCACAGACGCGGCCGCTGGCACGGCCTGGTCTACGTCGCCGTGCCGCGCTCGCGGCGCCTCGTCGCCATCGCTGCAAAAGCGACGTCGAGGCCGCCGCGCGATCTGTGCCGAAACGCGCACGTCTCGGCCTCGCGCCCGTTCGGCCTCTACGCGCACGAGATCGACCCGTTCGTCAAGAAATTGACATCCGCGCTGGCGGCGCGCTGCTGCCGGCCGTTTTGCATCGCCATCGACGGCACATTGCTCAAGCTCCAGAGCGAGGACGGCGCGCGGACCTTCGACGCGCTCGCGGTCCGGCCGTCGAGCGCGCTCGCGGCCGTCGTCGACGCGGCGGACGAGGCGCTCGGCGCTTTCGGTCGCGAGCCCTATTTCGCCGAGCGGCGCTTCCACCTTTCCGTCGCGGAGGGCGACGACGACGACGACGACGAACGTTCGCGGTCGCGCGACGGCTCGGACGCGTCCTCGGACTCGGACTCGGACGCCGGCGGCGACGTCGTCGACGTGGACGTCGATTCTGTGATTGTAAAAGCGGGCCACCGGCGCTTCGAGATTCCTCTCGAGCCCGTCTGAAAACCCGCGCTCTGTTTGGTAATGTGATTGTCCTTATCCTGCATGAGTACTGGAGCGCTGCGAAGAGTGCTGGGAGCGCTAGCCCGCTCGTCCATTTTGGGCAGGCTTGGCAGGCGCACAGCGGCGCCGCGTCTTTGGGCTGCCAAGGCGCGCACCACGCGATCGGACACACTACGATCGACGAGGCAGCATCTTCGCCGACACAGCAACTCGCAGCACAAGAGGACACAGCGGCTGCCAGCACGCACGAGGACCGAGCGCGGCGTCGAGTAAAGGCAGGACACACCGGGCGCGGCGTCGACGCCACACCAACCAGAGATAAAGCCATGGAGGTGGGGTCCGACGGGAGGCCGTCCATCCTGCGGAACAAGATGGGCAAGTTCGTGACGCCGACGCCCAAGTCCGTGGGCATCACGATGCTGGACAACTTCCCCAACCTGGAACCGCGGTACAAGCTCTCGGAGAAGAGCACGTACCTGCACGTGAATTTGCTCCACGTGCTGAAGATCCCGGACTGCGTCTTCACCATGAACCACCTGACGCGCCTCGACTTTGGCCTGAACGAGATCGCGCTGCTGAGCCCGGCGGTGGGCCAGCTCCAGAATCTGGAGCAGCTGTGGCTGAACAACAACCCGCTCACGAGCCTGCCGCCGGAGCTCCACCTGTGCAAGAAGCTGCGGGTCCTGGACGTGCGGGAGACGAAGATGGTCGCGCTGCCGCGGGAGCTGGGCCGCCTGGAGGAGTGGCACGAGATCGACCTGACGGACACGCCGCTGATGGAGGACCTCAAAAAGGCCGACATCTACGCGGACCCGTGGGACACGCCGAAGCTCGTCGCGCACCTGGACCTGATGGACAAGCGGGCAACGCTTCGCGAGGCCTTGTTCGAGAAGGCCTGCGCCGGCGTGTACCTGGAGATCGCGGACGACCCGGCCCACCGCGACCGCATTTCCATGTTAGTCGACGCGATTGCCGACGCGTTCCCCCTGCCGGCGGAGATGAAAAACGTCGTGCGGCACTGCGACCGGTTGATGCCGAAGGACCCGTCCTCGGATTTCCCGAAGAACCACGCGGCCCGCATCCGAGCCAAGTTCGTCGCGCTGCGGCGAGACAACGAAAAGAAAAAGTTACAGGCCGAGCTCGAACTCAAGATGCGCGCGCTGTACTACGACGTCATCGACCCGACGCACGTCGAGAAGTACATCAAGGCCATCTACCAGGACCCGCGCAAGCTCGAGGAGCGGCCCGAGGACGCATCTGGGGACGAGTTGCCGCTGGAACTCGAGGACATCCAATTCTTGATCAAGAACGCGCCGCGGCTGCTGCCGAAGACGCCGAAGGAGATCACGGGCCACGGCGTCCGGGCCGCGGTCTGGCGACTGCAGCAGGAGCTGCGGGACGAGCGCGAAAAGTGCGTCCGGGCCGTTTGCGGAGCGTTGAAAACCTTGTACGCGGACACGGAACCGCCCCTCGTGCTCAAGCTCGGCCGGGACACGTGCAAGCTCTTCGAGCGCGACCGCTTCGCGACGAAGAAGGAACTCGCGGAACTGAAAAAATTGGCCGCGGACGCGTCGGCGCTCTTCCCTACAGATTTCCACGACGCGAAGCCAAAGCGGGTGAAGAAGAAATTCGTCGAGCAGAAGCGGGCGGAGACGGCGGGGACGACGCAGTAATATGGATTAGTCTAGCCACCACTCACGCCGCCCACGTATCAAGCGGGCGAATCCCCGTAATATGCGTGTAGTGCGCGTAGCCGAGGGGCGGGAACGCCCGCCCGCCCATCGGCGCGGCGCGCGGGCCGCACCACGCGTGCGGCCCGCGCGGGGGGTACTGCGTCGCGCACATTTTGACAGTGTGCTTCTGGAGGGCGTCGCCCAGACCGTTGATGCGGTCGCCCCGCTCCCGGACGAGCTCCATGGCGCGGCGCGTCACTTCGAGGCCCGCGCGGCGGCCCTGGGCTAAATCATCAAGTGCCGTCGACGGGCCCGAGCTGAACTCGCGGTCGAAGCCACCGACCGGTCGCGGCGTGTGGCCCGCGGAGACGTCATAGGTCGGTCGCGACCGCCGCGCGGAGCGGTGGTTCCGGGGTGTCGTCGTCGAGGACGCCACCTGGATGGGCGACGTCATCGGTCGGCTCGACGGCGGCGGGTCGCGGCCCGCCCGCGTGAACGCGGCGTCGTACGTCGTCGACAGGCCAAGGGGACGAGGCGCGCGCGCCCCAAAGTCGAAGCGACAGATGCGGTGGTCCGCGCAGAAGCGCCCCAGGTTCCCCAGCTCCAAGCGCACCTGGTGCTTCGAGCACGCGACGCCCAACCGTTCGCAGAAAACGTGTGTAACTCGCGCGACCTGGTCCCGGTCCAGGCCACAGCTGCGGGCGAGGGCCGAGTAGTTCACGCGGGCCGCCGGCGCCACGAGCTCGTGCGGCGCCGGCGCCGCGGCCAGGCTGTGCGCGCGCAGAAACGTCGGGTCCGCCTCGAAAGCGAAGCCGATGAACCACGCGGCCCGTAAGTCCTCGTCGATGTCCATGCCGACGGCGCTACCCTTCTGACGCTGCGAGTTCGCCAAGAAGGACCACCTCCCCAAACCGGGGCAGCGGGCGCCTTTCCCTTGCCGCATGAGGTGCTCGAGCTGCTGGACGAGCGCGTGGTAGAAGCGCTTCGCCTCGGACTTGCGCAGGGAGCACGCGTAGGCTATTTCCGTGACTAAATCGTCGAGGCCGTAGAGCATGGTTGCGTCGCGGCGGTGTGGAGGTTGTCTGTCCCTGAGGGTTGCTAGAGCTGGGCCGGGGCAGCGCGCCGATGGAAGCAGTGCTCTCAATTGGTCCGGATCAGGCTGCCGCTGTCGAGTTAGCTCAAGTGTACGGTGTTTTGTGCCGGTGCAGGAGACGCACAACAAGCGGCAGGGAGAGCTTGCTACCTACCTAACGACCTACGCAACCGCAGGAACCTAGCCCGGGGGGGGTACTCCTCGAGTCCAGTTCCAGACTTGCAAGGGCAAGCCCGGCTCCGGCACTCCTTTCGCGAGTTTCTCTTCCGCGGGTGGCGACGAGCTCGCACGACGGGGGGGGAGCGACAGGGGATGGGAAGTCGCTTGGGGCCCGCCGTGCTCGACTCAACCAGTTGAAGGCCGACCCGTTGCCCTCCGCAAGGCCCCCGCCGAAGGAGACCGTGTTTGGTACAGGCCGCCCGGCACCGCGCCTCAGGGGACGCGCCGTGTCAGTTGTCACGGTCGTCACGGTCTCGTGCCGTCGCTGTATCGCGCGGCCTTCCGCCCGCGCGCGTCGCACTTGCCCTAGGCGACGCCGCGGACGAGGGCCGCGCGGTCTGCGACCGCCGGTTGCGATCGCCTCGTGTCGGCTCAAGGGCCGGCGTTAGGTTGGGAGAGGAGAACGAACGCGTCGAGTCGAGCGGCGCCCGACGCAACCTCAGGTCAACGCCAATCCGTCGAGGACTACGGGGCCGACGTCTCGACGGCAGGGCGCCGGATGCCGAGAAGCTCGTCCGGGCACGAAACCCGTCAGGTAAACCCCGCACGGCGTGAGCCGCCGCCGTTGAGCCCCTCGCCGATCTCCCCTGGATTGGGCGCGCGCCAGGGCCGCGGACGATCACGTTGATGCCGCCGACACGCCTAGCGCGCCCATCGAGGGTGGGCTTTGATCTCAGGGGGGCGGCGGTAGGCCGCCGGGTCCCACGTCACCTCTGCGGCGTCGCGAGTCGATTTGCGACCGCCCACCGGCCGCGACGCGTCGAGCTCAGTCCAGGCGACGCCGCAGATACAACGCCCGCTCGCGGTAGCGGCCGGCTTCCAGCGAGCCATGGTAGCGGCCACTGGAAATCAAGTAACAGGCGGGTCGCCGAGGCCACGGCCGCGTCCCCCTGAAATTAGCACGCGTCGTGGACTCAGTAGACCGAGGCGACGCCGTAGGCCGCCGGGCGTAGAATTCGTGGTCGTTCTTTACAAGGCCGCCTATCATCGTGTCAGTTGTCACGGTCGTCACGGTCTCGTGCCGTCGCTGTATCGCGCGGCCTTGCTGCGGTTTCGCGCGGCGCGGCGCGAGCCGTCACGAGGGGGAGAGAGGTTTCCGGGGGCGCAGTAGAGATGTACTAGTCCGGACTGCTTAGCCGCACCTTCACGGAAAGGCTCTTCACCCACGGCGACGTGTGCTCGGGGTCCACGCGCAGGGAGTCATCCGAGTCCGGGTCCTCGTAGGGGAGCGGCCGCCGCCGCGACGGCGCCGACGCCGGCCGGGGCCGCGGCCTCGCAGGCGACCGCGGCCCACGGACGTACTCCATCGGCGCCTGGCGCGTCGCCGGCTTTCTTCGGAACCCGAGGCCGTGGAGCTTCGGGGGCACGCTGTCCGTGTCGACGTGGTAGGCCCCGTACGGCGTCTCGCGCGCCGCCGACGCCCGGTGGCTCCTGTTAATAGACCGCCGCCGGCCGTCGACGACGCTCGTGCCGCGGCCCTTCTTGAGGTACGCCCAGGTCGTGTCGCGGTTGTAGATCGCCGTGCTCGCCGAGGATGGCCGTCGTCGTACCGGAACCGGTTGAGGTTGCGGCGCGGGCTCCGGCTTCGGCAGCCGTTCCTCCATCCGCCGCCGCGCGTAGGCCTCGGCGGCGGCCGCCGCGGTCCTTGCCTGCTCCAGGGCCTCCGTGGCGTCGGCCGCGCGCGCCCGCATCCCGAGCAGCTCGTACGTGAGCGCGTGGATCTCGCCCTTGGCTTTCACGAGGAGCTGCTCGCGGCGCTTCGCTTCGGCTTCGCGCGCGTCCAGATCTCGCTCGAGGCTGGCGATTGCCCGCTTGAGTCGCGCGCGGTCGTCGGCGGGCGTCTGCGTGGCGGTCGTTGCCTGCGGCGGCGGCGACGGCGGACGCGGCCGCGCCGGCGCCGGCGCCTCGCGCGCGAGGGGTAGCTTCGCCGGGCTCGCGAGCGGCCTCGGAGGCGCGGGCGCCTCGGCGCGCGGCGGCGCCGGCGCCGGGGCTGGCGCGGGCGGCTCGGAGACCGCCTCTTCCACTTGCCGCTCGAGCGCGTCGGCGCGGAGCCGTTGCGCCGCCGCGTCCGCCGTCGCCGCCGCCGCGACGCGATCAGCAGCCGCGGCGACCGCCTGCCAGGCCGCCGCGGCCGCCTCCGCACGAAGGCGCGGGCCGTCGTCCGGCGCCGGTGTGCACACCGACGACGCGTCGTCCTCGTCGCGAAACGCGTCGCGGCCGCGGAGCTGCTCGACGACGGCGCCGCGCGATATCGCCTCGGCCACCGACGGGGAGAGCGCGATCTGGGCGCTGTCCATCGCGTCGCGCAGCTGCTGCCCCGCTGCTGCTGCTGCCTTGACGATGCACGCGTCGCGGCGATGGCGTGAGCTGCTGCCCCACGCTGCTGCTGCCCTCACGAATGCGTGCGGCAGCCTTAGTTAGCTAACGCACCAGCACGAGCGTCAAGCACCGATGTTCGTACCTTCCACACCGCGTAAGCAGGCACAGATGGCGCGAGCACGGCAGCCCATTGCTATGCTCTCCTGCAGCGCTTTTTTGTGAGGGGCTGGCAAAAGTTGCTGGCCAGCCTTCCGCGGCGAGACGCTGTGAGGGCTGCGAGCCCTCGTGGGATTTCACACGCCTTCGTGCTGCAACCCCAGGACCGTGCGGGTGCGCTCGTTGGTTTGCTCGCATTTGGACTGGAATAAGCAAGCGGCGCCGCCATGGAGGCCCCGACGCTCGTCGAGGTCGACGACCTCAGCCCGGCAGGCTCCCTCGAGACGGGCAGCCCGTCCGTCTACTCCGACATGGGCAGCCCCTCCACCGATGGCAGCCCCATGGAGGCAGCTCCGGCCGAGAAGCCGGTGCTCCTGCGCGCGTCTCAAGAGATTCCCTACGTCGGCTTGGGTGCTTACGCGAAGCGCGCCGCCGAGGCCGCCGCGCGCCGGCGGCACCAGCAGCGGCGGCCGCGCTACCGCACCGCGCGGCCCGACGCCGCGGACGACGCGTTGAGGGCGTTTGCCGGCCGGGCGAAGCGAGCCGCTTCATCAGACAAGCCCCAGCAACTGGACGTGCTCAAGGTCGGCGCCTTGACGCAGCAAAACCTCCACGTCTCGGTCGCGCTGCCGACGCGGACGCCGTCGTCCGGCCTGCCCACGGGCTTTTCCGCGACGTCGAGCGAGGAGGAGAGCGTCGCTCCCGTCCCGACGAAGGTGAAGCGCTCCGTGGACTCGACGACATCCCCGGCGCCGATGAAATCGGTGGACACCGCGTCATCCCCAGCGCCCTGGCGGAGCCCCCAAACATCAACCCTGAAGTCGCCCGGCTTCGCGTCGCCTCCATCGCTCAAGTCGCCGGCGGTCACGAAGCAGCAGAAGCTCGTCGAGGACACGAAGAAATCCATAAAAGAGGCCATCGCGCTCGGCGACGCGGACGCGTTGAAAGCAAGGACGCCCACCGACGGGCCCTCGAATTTGATCCGGGACGTGGAAGAAGCCGAGGAGCGCTACCGCGCCAAGGAGTGGGAGTTCGAGATGAAGCGCGCGGAATTCAACCTCGACCTGCCGCCGGGCGCGCTGGCCGGGAATTCGGAGCCCGCCGAGCCGAGCGCCCCGCCGACGACGCGGTCGCCGGCGCCCACAACAAGGTCGCCGCGGCCGGCGAGCCCGAAGCGCGCGGCGAGCCCGCGGCCGCGGGAGGCGCGCGTCTCGACGCAGAGCTTCGGCTGCCAGGCGGACGAGGAGAACGTGCCCTACGGTCAAGTAATCGTGCCGACGGCCGACAAGCTGCCCGCGTCGAAGCGGCGCGCGCGCGACCTGCTGGCGCGCCAGGAGCACGCGGCCAAGGCGCTGCGGGCCCTCGCCGACCTGGAGAACGTCGACGACGATAGTGATGATGGCATGGGCGACGAGGGGCTGATCTTCGACGAGAACGTGGGTATGGCGTTCCTGCACGTGTCGGACGTGACGGGCGTGCGACCCGCGGCGGACGTCGCGGCGTCGGCCGCGGAGCACGACTTGATCCGACGAGCACAACAGGGCCCGGAGACGCGCTCGCCGAAGCTACGCGGCGACGACGCGTCGCCAATGGAATCATTTAAGATGATCACGCCGCGGGGGACCTTGAGGGAGCGCCTCGAGCAGATGGAGGCCTTCGCCGACAAGCTCGAGGTCGAGTTGGACCAGGGTAGGGAAAGGATCGAGGGCTTCGTCGAGCAGATGCGGCAGGAGTCGCCCCATCGAGGTGAGCTCAACCCCATGGTCCTCCCGTCCCCCAGAAGTCCGCCGCCGCCGCCGCCGCCCAAATCGCTCTCGTCGCTGGCATCACGGTCGCCGCCGCCGCCGCCCCTGGAAACGGCGTCGGTCGAGCGCCACGCGCTGTCGAACGTCCAGGGCGCCTGGGGCGCCTACGAGGAGCTCGCGGCCGCGCTGGACTCTCCCCCGCCGCCGAAGGGCCCCGCGCACCGGACCGGGACGGCGACGGCTCGCGCCGGGAGGCGCGGCGGCCCTCGCGCGCGGCGGCCACCCGCGGCGAAACGCATCGGGCGGGACATCTGGTAAAGTTTAAACTCAAGGCGCCTCTGGGAAGTGTGCTGAGCGTCTAGACGGCGGGAAGGGCGTCCCCTCGTCGGCCTGCCAGGTGTCGACGCCCTTGGCTGTGCCTTCTTGGCGGCGCCGCTCGATGCGTACAGCCCGTCTGGGGCCCTAGACACCACAGCAACGCAGCCGACGGCGCCAGGGGTGCGCCGCGAGCCGCCTCGGCCCGGAGACGCGGCGGCGGCGGCCAGCGCGCGACGCCAAGGGCAGCCCCATTAGCCTCTTGCGCAAATGGCTAATCTAGGAGCGCTGTCCAACGTTTTGGACGACGTCAAGTACAACAACGGACTCCAGGACGCGGAGGCGCCGGACCCGAAGCGCAAGTTCAGTGCGGTGACCGACGCGGAGCGCGGCGCGCAGCTCGCGCACCTCGAAACGTCTGGCGCCTTCGGCGTCGCGACCATCTGTGCCGGGCCGCTCGGCTTGTACGAGTTCACGCGGTTCCTCGGGGGCAGGGACGACTCGGCGCGCGCGCTTGGAAGTCTGTTGCTCGAGTGCGCCCGCTACCGCGCGTCGCTCGCGACGGCGACGCGCGTCTCATTAAGAAAGCGCATCGAGGACGTCTACCTGACCGGCTCTTGCCCTTCGATCGATTCCATCGCCTTCCCGCACCCTCATCTGAAAAGGACGCCCTTGCCGGACGAATTGAAACCGGACTCGCCCACGTCGACCAAACGCCTGAAAACCACCTCGGCCTCGTTAAAGGGCACGCAGTGGCCCTTCACCTCCACAAAATGCCACGCGTTGAAACCGTCGAGCGACGACCAGGACGCGCTCGACGCCGTCGACCGCGCGACGGTGCGGGCTCTGAGTGTGTACCTGCCCTCGTTCAAGCGGTCGGACGAGTGCCGCGAGCTGCTCGATTTTTATGTAAGGCAGAAGCGCCCGCCCGTGACGGAAGAGTTCGACAAGTTCCGCGTGCTCGGCAAGGGCGGCTTCGGCATGGTCTACGGCTGCAAGTCGCGGACGACGGGCAAGATGTACGCCATGAAGGAGATCTGCATGAAGCCGTGCATCTATCACATTGTCGCGACCGTCGCCACCACGGCCCGACCATGATCTCCACGCCATGGACGCGACGCCGGCTCGATTCGGTCAGCACGGTCGTGCGCCCGACTCACTCGTTGATTTACGCACAGGCATGAAGCGCATCAAGAAGCGGCGGGCGTTCGAGCTCTGCTGGAACGAGCGGCGGGCCCTCGCCGTCGTCGACAGCCCCTTCGCCGTGGGTTTGAAATATGCCTTCCACGACGCGGAGTCGTCGCGATTAGTATTGGTCATCGACCTCATGATGGGCGGCGATTTGAAGTACTGGCTGTCGCAGCACAAGTGCTTTGGGTTCGAGGCGTCGCGCTACTACGCGGCACGAACCCTACTAGGCTTGAAAGCCTTACACGACCGGGACTTTGTCTACCGCGACGTCAAGCCCGAGAACATGTTAGTTGATGAGCACGGGCGCGTTAGATTGTCGGATCTAGGCTTGGCGTGCCGCGTGCGGTCTCGTGCGGAAATCAACCAGTGAGGAACCGGCATCGCCACGCCGTCGAACCACGCAGGTGCACTCCGAGCTCAAGGGCGCGAGCGGCACGCCGGGCTACATGGCGCCCGAGATGCTGCGGCGGGAGGTCTACGACCACCGCGTCGACTACTTCTCGCTGGGGTGCATGGTCGTCGAGTTCATCGTGGGCGTGTGTCCGTTCCGGACGCGCGACGCGGCGCACTGGGGCGGCCGCAAGAAGAAGAAGAAAAAGAAGAAGCAAGATACGGAGGATCGTGCCTTACGCAAGCAGGCCAAGAAGGAGGACGCACGAGCGAGAATAGGTGTAGAAATCAAACCTCCACGTGCACCCGACTCACAATTCGATTTCCACACAGGCGAACATGGCGCGGGCCGCGCTCGAGATGGCGCCGGACTTGACCCAGGACGTCTGGAAGGAGGGCCTCGGTCCCGCGGCGAAGGCCTTCTGCAAGGCCCTGTTGCACAAGGACCCGTCGAAGCGATTAGGTTCGAACGGTGTGAAGGACATTTTGGACCACGCCTTCTTCGGCGGCTTGGATCTGGACGAGGTCCTGGCCGACGCCGTGGAGCCGCCCTTCGCGCCGGGCAAGGCTATTAATGCGAAGGACGCCGAGAGCATCGGCGACTTCGCGTCGCTCGGAGACGACGTGCCCTTGTCGGACGGCGACTTCGATACGGAACGGTGGAACTACGTGTCCCCCGACGCCTACCAGGCCGAGGTCGTGTGGCTCTTGCAGTGGGAGGAAGAGAAGCGGGGGCCGCGCACGAGGGTCGAGGCCGTCGCCGAGAAGGCCTCATCGGCGTGTGTCCTGTCCTGATCGTCCCCGTCCCCGCTTAACGACATGTTGCTTTGCTTAGAGCTAGGCCGTCACGGTCACGGTCTACTAGTAGCTACCTGGCATGTTACCCCGTAGTACTAGTAATACACACCACACAAACCTTAGCCCCACATCCACTTGTTGCCCGACCGCACGGGCTGCGTCACCGGCCGCGGCTCCCTCGACGCGTCCGTGACCCGCGCGTCCGCGAGCCGGTGCCCCACGGGCAGTAGCGAAGGCCGCTCGCCGACCCATGGGCAGAGTGCCTCGGCCAGTTCCTCTTCTTTGTAGACGGTCTTCGAGCCGTCGGGCAGGCTCCACTTGGATAAGAACAGCTCGCGCGCCTCGTCGTCGCGCTTGCGGCGCTCGGCCTTGGTCATGCGCGCACGCCGCGAGGGGTCGGTGGCCCGCGAGGCCTCTCCAAATGACAACTTGCGAGACCGCCCCTCGCGCGTCTTCAGGTCTCTTTCTTTCCTCGTCTGCCGGTTGAGGTGGTCCCGTTCCTTCTGTTCCCGCGCCGCGCGGCGCTCGGCCTTGGTCCGCGGGCGCGACGCCGTCGACGCCGTCGTCCCCGGCCGGTCCGACGCGGTCGTTGCAGGCCGGTCCGCCGACTCCTCGACGGTCGCCCCCTCGATGACCGCCGGTTCCTCGAACTCCTCGTCGTCGTCTGACGAGCTCTCCGTGACATATTCCTCTTCGTTGGGATCCGGCAAACGATGCTTCTCGGCCTGCCAGAACGCGTCCACGTGGGGGCACCCGTCGACGTTGTGTTGCTTGAGGTCGTCGAGCAGCGCGAAGGGCATGCCGCACTTGGCGCAGGCGTGGCGCGGCGGGTTTACTTCCCGGAACTCCGCTAAAGCCTCCTTGTACTTGGCATCTCGCGCATCCATTCTTACCTTATATCTGGCAGCAGCATTTACTATTCCAGAGAAGCGCGTGCGGTTTTCAAAGCGGAACCGGGGGTGGTAGGGCCTAGCTTCTGCTGCGACATCTGCGAGCCAATGGGTCGCCTCCTCCGTACCTAATAGCTTTTCTCTTCGGACGGTCCGCGGACGAGGCGGCTCGTTGTGCGCGTAGGGCTTGACCTTCGACGTCGGTCCCCTCACCTTCTGCAAACCAGCACAGGCCAAACGCAAGCGTTCTTCGGTCAAGCCCCCGTTCCTCGTGAAGAGTGCTACGGCGAAGGCCGCGTCCGCGTGGACTTTCGGCCAATTCTTCTGATTCCTAGATGTCCTCTTAATGTCATTCTTGACCCGGTTAATGGCCCGCTTCCTCCGCTTCAGTTCATATGCGCGAGCGCGCTTCGACTCCCGTATCAGGCGTTTATCGCGCGCCCGTTCTCTCTTACTGATTAATCGATCTTCCTTTTTCCTCTGCTTCTTCTGCTCCTCGTGGTGCTCCGGGGCCCACTCGCCGACCTTGCCGAGCTTGAGCAGATGCGCGTCGTATGCGGCTCGTTCCTCCTTGCTCATGCGCTTCAGAATTTGACGTTTGGCGCGTCGCGCGACCTTCGTCGCGAGCTTGCGATCAGCACTGATAGCCCGCAGCTCCTTCTCCTCGGGTGTGAGGTTCGGCCGCCAGCGCGGCGTCGACGGCGCGACAGGTGGCGGCGCGGCCATCTTCGCCGCGTTGGCCGGCTGGGGCGACGACGGCTCCTCGGGCGCGACGCGGCGCGAACACCACCCCGGCTTCTGGTTCGGAGGCACGTGGATGGGAGGTAAAGGTTCCGTGAACACGGGCACTTCTTGGGCGGCCTCATCATCCCAGGGCGACGGGCCCGCCTGGATCTGCGTACTCTTCGCCCGAGCAACCAACTCCTTCGAAGCCTCCTTCAGCAACTTCCTCACGTCCTTCGCTTTCTTATTCAATTTAGCGTCGATCTCCGCGAGAGCCTTGTCGGCTTCCTGTTGAGCGAACTCCTCCTCCTTGCCGCAACGCTGCCGCTCGAACGCCACGACGGCCCGCTTCCGGTCCTTCATCTTGTTCATGCCCAGGACCATGCGCGGGAAGGTCTGCATGACAGAAGCCGCCAGGCGCTGCCTTCTTATTTTTTTAAGCATCCAGCAGGCCCGGAAGAACTTTTGCATCGCGTAGACACAAGGGAAGTAGATGTACTGCGCGTAGTTGCGCCACGCTCGTTGGAACCGAGCTGCCGCTCCATAACTCTTCATTTTATTGGTCAACAGTCGCGCCTTCGTCTCGGACCGCATCTCCTGGAACTCCTTCGATTGTAGGCGGGTGCGCCATTTTTGCGAGATGACGATCTGGGCTCGTCCCAGCGTCGCCTCCTGGCGCTTCTTGAGCCAGTACCGTCGTCGACACGCTCGGACGAACAAGACTATGCTACTACCGGCCCACTCCCTCTTCTCCCGCTGCAACCGCTTCCAGTTCCTATGACTAACCTTCCGCAGCCAGTAGAACCGCAACGTGCGACTCAGCATCATCGCCAGCTTCTTCCTCGTACTAATCTTCAGTCGCGTTTGACGGATCACCTCCTTGACAAACACCTGGATCTTTTTGGCAGCGGCGATCTCCGCCTTGCGCATTTCCCTATGAGTGTACCGCGCGTCGTGATACAAGTACCACCTTGCTATTTTTATGGCGAGCGCGTTCCGCCGCTCCGCGCGTTTCCGGTAGAAGCACTGCAGCGTGTAGACGGAGGCATGCTCTTCTAAACCGTGATGGGCATCAAACCTCGAAGTAGATTGGAAGCCCTTCCGTTCCCGCCCATACGCCTTCAGATCCAACAGAGACGCTCCTTCCGCCGCGTCCGCGCCCGGTGCTGAAGAACCAAATAACTTCTTGCCTTCTCCAGCGGTACCGTCATGTAACCTCGGCTGCAGAACCACCCCATCGCGCTTATGCGCCGCGTGGCGCGCCGCGCGTCGCGCCGCGGCGTCGATGTCGGCCTTCGACGACAATGTCTCCAGTTCCTCCCTACACACGACTTTGCGGTCTTCGACAGGTGCGCGGTCCCTTAGAGCTTCTACCGACAATCCCGCGCCGCCACCCGAGCCTTCCACCAAACTAAAAGTATGTAGAGCTAGTCCAAAGGCGATCGCGTCCGGCGCCGTCGCCGGGTTCGCCGTCCAGAAGTCGCGCGCGAAGTCCGGCACCCTTCTGGGATTGCCCGCTCTGTTGACCTTACAAGCCCCGGGCCCGTCGATGAGTCCACCGTCACGGTCCAAATCGGGGATCGCCTTGGCTCTATCATAAAACGCGTCCCGCAGGTCCTGTTCTCTCCTTCGCTTCCGCGCCTCCTCCCTCGTTTTGGGAGGATCTGTTCTTTTAGCGCCTTTGCGATTGCGTGTCTTGGGCGACGACGCCTCATCCCCAAAAGGAATGACCTGCAGCGTCAGGCCCTTCCTCTTAGATGCTCTTAAAATAGAGTTGGCCTCGGACGACGCCGGTCGCTTCTTCTTCAGCGCGAGGGCGGCTTCTATTTTGTGGTAGGAGGGCTTCGTCGAGGCCCGCGTCCGCCGCGGCGCGCCGAAGCTCTCCGCGAATTTTATGGATGCGTTCGTCAGCGGCGCTTCTATTGACGGCTGGGGCGGCTCGGCGAAGCGGCTGAGCTCGAAGTCTATTGTGGATGTAGGAGCGGTCTTTACTGATAATGCAGTGGCCAGCGTCGCGTCGAGCGCGCCGCTCGCGGTCGCGAGCTCGGCTCTCGCTTGAGCGAGCTCCTGGGTCAGGGCGCTCGGCGCCGCGCCGGCGGGCGTCGGCGCGGCCGCGGCCGGCTCCGCCGCTGGCTCTGCCGCGGGCTCGGCCGCGGTCGGCTCCGCCGCTGGCTCTGCCGCGGGCTCAACCGTCGGCTCTCCGCCTGCTTTCAGCAACGCCGCGTCGATGCGATTCTCGACGACGTCCGCGAAGGCGCTGTCGTCGGAGAGCTTGGCCAATTCCCACTCCGACGACGACGCGGCCAAGGACCCGGCCGTCTCGGCCAGGGTCAGCACGCTCTCCAAAAACTCGGCGTCGGGCTCCGTGACCTCCGTCAGGTCGCGCTGCCAGCCCTTGTAGAGCGCTCTCGCCTTGCGCGATTGTTTCTTGAGCGCTTGCAGCTCCCGCTCCGCGACGGCGGCCCGGCCGACCTTCGGCGGGCTCGCCTTGCGCTTGAGCGCCGGGGGCGCGACGCGCTGGGCGTAGGGGTTGCCCATCGTGGTTACGTCGCCATCGATGCGGCTGGGGCAGCCTCGTTATCGTCGAGAGCTGGGCAGCGTTGGTCGCGGCCGCCCGCGGTTGTGGGTTCGCCCCGGGATGCTTCATTGCCTTGAATCGTTGGCAGAGAGCTCCCTCGAGACGACTCGCGACATCCCTCGCTAGCGGCCTGTAAAGACACTAGCAAGCTGCTGCTTCCAGAGTTTGGGAGCTGCCTCTGTTCCTGCCGCGGGAACTGCTCATCGGCCATCAAAAACGTAGGGAACTGGCGCATTTGTGCGAGTAGGCGGCTCCCCGTCGCTGCGTCAGCTTGAAACTGCCCCGAGGACGCAAATTCACACGTTCTCGACGCTGCCGCCGCGACGCCTGCGAGACGCCTGCGCGACGCGGCTACCCCCGCGCGCCACGGACCGCGCGGCTAGCGCACCGCCGCCATGGGTATCTGCCAATCCTTCTTCAGCGGCGGAGAAAAGCACGAGCACCCCGGCGAGCACCCGGGCCACGAGGTTGATGATCACCACGCCGGCGAGCACCTGGACCAGGTCGAGATCGTGGGGCTGTTGGGCCACGGCGGCGCGACCATCAAGAAGATCGAGCGCGACTCCGGCGCGCGCATCCAGATCGATCGGAAGCGGGGGTCCGTGAGTTATGAGGGAACGGAGACGCAAGTGAACAACGCCAAGGCTCTTGTTGCTGCCGCGGCGTTAAAAGCCCACGAAGCACCGGACTACTGTGGCGAGGACGGCGGCAAGAAGCGCGCAAAAGCTCTACGGGTGCAGAAACGGTCGCGGGAAGCCAAGAGGCAGGCCCACGACTTGTGGGAGAAGGGGGACAAGGCCGGCGCGAAGACCATGTCCGAGCGCGGCAAGGAGTTGGATGCGCAGGCGAAGAAGCTCCACGACCAGGCGGCGCACGCCATCTACTTGCATCGGAACGGCGGGCGGCCCGACAATTACATCGACCTGCACGGCCTGTTTGTTGAGGAGGCCCTCCGGTTCCTGAAGGAGCGGCTGAAGACCTTCGCGCCGGGCGAGAAGCTCGAGGTCGTGACGGGCGCGGGCCACCACTCGGAGGACCACCAAGCCAAAATCAAGCCCGCGGTGATCGAGTATTTGGGAAAGAAGAAGCTGCGCTGGGAGGAGCTCAACGCCGGGGACCTGCTCGTGTACACGTAGCTGGGGGGTGTTTTCTTAATTCATAGTCCTTCGTTTTGGGTGGAGGGCTCGAGGGGTCAAGTGCCCCTCGTTATACGACGGCGTCTTCCGGTCCTTGCCGTCCTTAGGTTATCTTTCGCGTCGTTATCCAGCTAAAGTCGATGTTACGGTGCTAGGACTAGTGGGCGGAGCCCCTGGGGGGAGACACCGCGCGCCGCCGAGTGCGGTGGCTTGTTGCAACACACTAGATTTGAGCAATTTTGAGCCAGGAGTTTTTTTTGGAGGCAGGAAGGGGTCGTGGCTAGGCAGCCTAGCTCTAAGCAAAGCAAGGTTTTCTTTTTTGGAAGAGGATGGGCTGCGGTGCCTCTGCCGAAAACTACACGCCGCCGGGCACCGGCGCCACCGAGGACGGCCCCCGCCTGGTCCTCACATCCAAGGGGGCAGCCGACGCAATCTACTTCGAGAATGCGCACGCGCTCCGCCAGTCCGGCGCGCCGAGGCTTCTGACGCTGCGCAACGGCATGGCCGTCGTGCCGCGGTACGACTATCCGCGCAAGCACGAGGAGTGGAGCTATTGAGTTGGGATTGGGCCCACGCCACATGGCCATGCGCGTCCGGCTCGACGGGGAGTTCCTCGTGCGCGAGCACGACGAGCGCGTGCTCGACATCGCGTGGTGGAAATACGAGGCCGGGAACCATCTCAGTATCCTAAGGTCGACGGCGTGTCATCCCGGCCACACGCGCTACGGCAACGGCGGCCGCAGCTTCGTCATCAATTCAGACGGGACGATCTCCCCGAAGCTTGCGCAGCACCTCGTCCTGGGCGCCGGTAAGCCGACCTTCTCCTTCGTGCCTGCCGGGTCGCCGCTTGTCTGCCGCTTCCAGCAGGCCGCGGCCCTCGCCGCCGGCCAGCAGGTCCCGCTCACGCTGGCGAGCCACCCGGGCCTCGCCGTCGTCCAACTCCATGAGCCGCGCGAGGCATACCACGAGTGGCACTACAAGGCGCTCGGCATCGGTCCGGACAGGAACGCGGTCGTGGCCTCGCGCCAGGGATCGATGTTCGTCGACAGGGCTGGCTGGTACGTCTGCCCGAGCCATCTGAATATACACCAGGGCAACCACACAGATCTAGTAGTAAACCGGTTCAACCACCCGGCCCGGCTTCACGAGGAGCACCGGAAGCACGGCGGCAAGCGCCCACTCGACTTCGTGTTCCACGCCGACGGCTCCGTCGCCCCCGCGTCGGCGCCGTACCTGCGCCTCGGGTGCTCGTTCCCGCCATTAGGCGGCGCGCGCCCGGCGGCCGCCGCGCCCGCGGGGCGAACGCTGCGCGGCCTGAAGATCGAAAGCGTGGCGCAGACGGAGGTCACGCTCGCGTGGGAGCAGGGCTCCGCGCAGAGCTTCGAAGTGCAGTGGCGCAAGACCGGGGGCGCCTGGCAAAACTTCGCGACCGTCCGGAGGAGCAAGGCGCGCGTGAGCGGGCTGGACGCCGGCGGCGCGTACTCGTTTCGCGTGAGGGCCACGGGCGGCGAGTGGTCGCAGGGGGTCTCGGCGCAGCTGTCCGCACCGGCGCCGACGCCGGGGCGCCGGGCCGAGCTGAGGAATAGCGCCGCGCAGCCTGAGCGCGATTCCCAGCCGGAGCCTGGCATAGACGCGGCGCTCGGTGGCGCTTTCAACACGTCCGGCAGAAGCAACTTGCCGCCGCAGGCCGAGCCCGCGCCAGAGCGTTCGAGCGGAACAGACGAGTGCCCCGTCTGCCTCGACCGGGCGCGCGATACCGCGTTCATTCCGTGCGGGCACCAGACCTGCGCCGAGTGCGCCGGCCGGATCTCCTCCGCGCGTTCCTACCGGTGCCCCGTCTGCCGCCAGCCGTCCAGCGGAACTCTCCGGGTCTTTTGATCCCTACACCTCCGACCTCCGTTTTGTCGGAATATGTCTCCTACAAGAAATCTCATCATCAGATAGACACTCTAGGTTTTATCTTCTTGGCAATCCAGCAGCAGGTGCCAATCCTGTCCAAGTTCTGAGACGAGCAAGGAGTCTGTGGCCACCCTGGCATTGTGCAGCCGCAGCTGAAGACATTCTGCGGCTCTGAGACACCAGCACCGTCCGGCGGGGCAGCAAACTACGCTGCCCGTATGAAGAACGCATTGGTGGCGGTCGCGCTGCTGCGCGGCGTCACCGCCCTCGACGCTAAGGCGTGCTTAGAGTGGGGGTATCCGAAGGAGGGTAAGTGGCAGCACGACGACGATTGTCCGTGTGCGGCGCGGAGATCACGCGGTCCTTTCCTTCGCGAGGCGCGATGGCAGTTCACCGGTCGACACACAGGCTGCGCTGGGGTTGAGCAGGCGGCGTGCGCGGCCGGGTACAGATATGTGAAGGGTGACGTCTGCCACGAAGAGGTCGAATGCAAGGCGTTCAGCTACGAATGCATTCTCTGCCAGCCGGGCGAGGACTGCGACAGCAACTACAACGTCGAGACCGAGAAGGGCGAGGACTACGACTGCAAACCAAATCTCTGGTCGGGGTGTTACTTCCTCTGGCCGATCGCGTGGATCTTCTTTTATCTTGCGATTCGGCAGGTCAACAAACTGATCGCGGAAGAAAAACAGTCGGAGGCCAAGTACGTGTGGATTAAGCGCAAGTGGTACTGGGCTGTGTGGAAATCAATCAGTGCGATCAGGCGTGCAGGTAGACGCGACGAGTCAGCACGAACGCGCCGTAAAATTTGATTTCCACACAGGGGGGCGTGTGGCATCTTCCTCGCCTGCGCCTTCTTTCATTCGATCGCGGTCTTGTGGATGGGCATGTATGGTTGGAACTTGCTTTTCCCGTATTGCTTCTTCGCCGGTTTGCTCATCCCCCTCGCCTGCTGCTACTACGGCGACAGGGTGGTCGGGATCCCGTTCAAGGTAGGATTTGCCCTGGAATTGCCCTCATCATACAGGGAAAATGAGCCGGCGCCACCTACTATCGAGACCACGAGTGCTCCGTTCAAGGAATACGACGAAGCGCCGGTCGTCACGCGCCTCGCGAGCGAGAGTAACATAACTAAAACTTACCTACTTGTCCCCGTCGAAGAACTTGTCGTCCGACGGGTCTTCACCATCATCATCGTCGTCTGCCGGCTTGGTCGCCTCGTAGCACTTCGCGATGACCGGGTGGACGATCGCGTCGAAGGCCTGCTGGCGCTTGCGCACGGCGTCGGCGTCGGCATCATTATTCTCGTTCAACCACCTCAACGCATCGTCTACTTCCGCTTGGGCCGCCGAAACATCTAGATCGCTCGCGTGCTTCGATAACGTCGACCGCGCGCTGTAGCAGGCACCTTCCAAGTCGTTGCGCGCCCGCGCTTTATCTAAAGCAGCCGCGTCGTCGGACGCGTGCGCCTCCGCGTCCGCGATCATGCGCTCGACGTCCCTCCTGCTCAACTTGCCGGCCTTGTCCGCCGTGATCGTGATGGACTGCGACCGGCCCGACGCCTCGTCCGAAGCGTTGACCGATAGTATACCGTTGGCGTCGACGTCAAAAGTCACGTTGACGCGCGGCACGCCTCTCGGAGCGGGCGCGATGCCTCCTAATGAAAAGTCTCCTAACAACCGATTGTGCGCCGTCAACGCCCTTTCCCCTTCGAAGACCTTGACGTCGACGCCGGGCTGGTTGTCTTGGTGGGTCGTGAAGACCTTTGCTGCCTTGGCCGGGATCGTCGTGTTCCGCTCGATCAATCTCGTCATCACTCCACCAGCGGTCTCGATGCCTAATGACAACGGTGCGACATCCAACAACACCAAGCCGCCCTCGGACTCGCCGGCCAAGGAAGCCGCATGGACCGCGGCGCCATATGCAACAGCCTCGTCAGGGTTCAGGGAACAATTCAGCGTCGCTTTCTGCGCGTTGTTGAAGAACGCCAGCAGCTTCTCTCGGACGCGCGGCACGCGCGTCGAGCCGCCGACGAGCACGATTTCGTCGACGTCCTTCGCGTCGACTTTTGCGTCCTTGAGGACCCGCTTGACAGATCTTATGGACCGGTCAAACAATGGATCGCACAAGCTCTCGAATTTCGATCGCGTGATGTCCAGGGCGAAGTCCTCGCCTTTGTACAAGGCATCGACATCTATACTCGTTTTCGTCGCCGCCGACAGCTCCCTCTTCGCGCGGTCGCAGGCGAGGTAGAGGCGCCTCCTTGCTTTTGCGTCGAGCCAGGACGCGTCTGGGCTACCTTTTTTGTCATCAAATAACTGGGGGTGCTGCTCGCAGAAGTGCTTGGCCTGCGTGGCGACGACGCGTCGATACGCCGTCGAAGCGGATAGGACGCTGGTGTCGCGCGGCGAAGTCCGTCAGCGCGTTGCTAAAGTCCTCTCCACCGAGATGCGTGTCGCCCGCCGTCGCCTTGACTTCCAGCACGCCGCTCTCCATCTCTAACAGAGTGGCGTCGAAGGTGCCACCCCCGAGGTCGTAGACTAAAACAGTAACGGGCCTCGCAGAGGTCGCGTCGGCGTCGTTGCCCCTCGAATCCTTCCCGCCGAGCCCGTAGGCTAGGGCCGCCGCCGTCGGTTCGTTGATGATCCGCAACACCTCAAGACCGGCAATCGCGCCAGCGTCTTTCGTGGCCTGGCGCTGCGCATCATTAAAATACGCCGGTACGGTGATCACGGCTCGATCCACACTTTTACCCAACGCGCTCTCGGCGTCCTTCTTGAGCTTCGACAACACAGCCGCGGAGACCTCCTCGGGGTGTAACGTAGATGTTTGGCCGTCGGGACTCGTCGCCCGGATCATGGCCTTGCCGCCCTCGCCGGCGACGACGTCGAAGGGCCACCTCTTTAGATCAGCTTTTACCGTGGAATCGGAGGCCAATCGGCCAATCAAGCGTTTCGCATCATAAATCGTGCCTCTGGCGTTTCGCGCGGCCTGGTTCTTCGCCGCGTCGCCGACCAGTCGCTCGTGGCCCGTTGATAAAGCCACATAGGACGGCGTCGTCCTCATACCCTCGGCGTTCGCCAATATTTCAACCTTGCCGTTGCGGAAGCTTCCCACGCAGCTGTACGTCGTGCCGAGGTCGATGCCGACGGCCGCGCCTTTCTTCTCGTCGCATTTCGTGAGCTGCAGCGTCGTTAATGATGCGGCGGCGACGTTGAGCGGTCGGAGGGCGCGGCGGAGGGCGAACATGGTTGTTGTTGCGTCGGCGGCGGCACCGCTGCGTGTGGCTCCTGGCCCTTGCTTTGTTTTTGCGTGTGCGACGCGGGCAGCGCTCCCGTTTCGCACTTGCAACGCTGCAGCAACGTTTGATGTCGAGTCCTGCCCGTCAAGAGCACCGCTACGTCGCTTGTGCGCCCTTGTTTTAGCAATGCAATTGCCCAAGCGACTGAGAGGCCTCTCGCAGACGCCCGCCAAGAGTAAGGCAAGCAAAGCTCCGGCCACGTAAAGGAGGAGTCGGCGAACGTCTGAAGGCGATCCTGGCTCTTTTGGGGCTGATTTCTGACAGCTTGGCGAGACAGGACTGAGCAGCCTACGCTGTCAAGTAAATCGTGCCTGACGCAACGCACGGATCAGAAACGCAACGTCAAACGACTCGGAAGGCAAACATTTGTGCAGCATCAACGACTGCACGACTCATTTTGCATCGCTGCCTGCAATTGACAGCTTTCAGCCACACTGACGAATACCTCGCATCTTGCTGGCACTGCTCGTCGCGAGCTCAACTATGCGTGTGCTGCAGCTTACGATGATCGTGACGGCAGTGCGCGCCCTCGTCGCGCCGCCGACAAGAAACAGCAGGTTGCTGCGTCCGCTGCAAGCTGCCGCCGTCGCCGAGCGTGTCGGCAAGCTGCGGCTGGACGCATTGCTGCTGCAACGCGGCTTCGCGGCTTCTAGATCGCAGGCCACGGCACTCATCCGCGAAGGCGCGGTCACGGTAGACGGTGAAACGAAGGCCAAACCTGGCGCCAAGATCTCCGTCGATGCGTCGATCAAAGTCGCCTCGGAGAAGAACGTTCGCTACGTTTCAAGAGGCGGAGAGAAGCTCCATGCGGCGTTCGAAGCCTGGCCGGACATCGTGCCGAGGGACCGCACGGTACTAGACATCGGAGCTTCCACTGGCGGGTTTTCGCATTGCTCGTTGCACCACGGCGCGGCCGCGGTGGACGCCGTCGACGTGGGCAGCGGCCAGTTCCACGCGTCTTTGCTCGAGGACGACCGCGTGCGGTCCTTCGAGAACGTGAATTGCCGCTACGACGACGAGCTCGCGGCCATCCCGCTGCGCGCGGCCTACGACCTCGTGGTCACGGACTGTAGCTTTATCAGTCTGACGAAGCTCCTGCCGGCGATCTGGCGCAAGGTCGACGCGGGAGGAAATTTAATGTGTCTCGTGAAGCCGCAGTTCGAGTGCGGGCCGGATATTGTCCGTCGCGGTCGAGGCGTCGTGCGGGACCCGGCGGATCGGCAGAGTGCCGTCGACGCGATCATCGCGTTCGCGCGGGAGCTGCCGGATTGTACAGTCGTCGACGACGCCGTTGAGTCACCAGTGCACGATAAGCTCGGCAATAGAGAATTTTTATTGCGGCTACGAAGGCGCAACACCGGCCAGGTTGCTGCGCTGGAAGCCGCGATTGCGGCGCCGTCCGCGATGCCCGGTGTCGCCGCCGCCCTGGCCGCGGCGGCGCCTGGCTTAGCGGCCGCTGCTGATGGCGGCAATCCCGACCAAGGAGCGATCGTCGCCTACGCCTGGTTTGCTATTTCGGCGGCCGCGGGCGTCAAGGGCGTGGCGGACAAGCTTCGCAGCGACTAATGTGTTCATAGTGTCACCTGGATTATATACACACGATTAGTCCGCGGCGCAGGATATCTTCAAGGATGAGGGGGGTATGGTGATATCCAGAGTAGAGACGTGAACTCACACGGGCGTCTGCGTCTGCATCTCGTCGGCCGGGCGCCAGTGCCCCGGCGCCGGCTCCGGCTTGCCGAGCTCGACGGACGGCGGCGGCGCCTGCCAGTTCGTCGAGCCGCGGGCTCGGGCCTCCTGCTGGGCCTTGCGGCACTTGAGGAAGAGGCAGATGGCCACGAGGATGATGACGAGGGCCTGCGCGGAATCATCGCGTCAACCCCACGCCGTCGACGCGTCAATTGATGTCTGCACGGGCCCGTACGATGACGGCGAAGATCACGGCCCACGTGATGCGCGACTCGCGCTTCTTGCGCGGGTGGCCGCCGCCCTTCTTGCCCCCGCCCGTGTTCTCGTCGGGCGTGGGGTCCGGTCCTTCGCCGACCCACAGGCGCCAGGCCGTCTCGCGCACGGGGTAGCACGCGCTGTTGCTCAGGCAGTTCTGCGTCGCCTCGTCCTGGCCGCCGAAGATGTAGAGCCAGCCCTCGACGACGACGGCCGCGTTGCGGAAGCGCTCGTCCGGCAGATCCGAAATGACCGCCCAGCCGTCGCTCTCCGGGTGCACGCCCAGCCTGCGGAAATCAACCGGTGAGTTACGTTATCGAGCCGACGCGGCCACGGGGACAACGTCGCGTCGATGGCGTGGAATCCAGGCCATCGCGCAGGCACAGCTACGGGGACAATATCGCGTCGATGGGGCGCCCGAAATTTGATTTCCACACAGCGCCCAGCTTCTCGACGTCGTCCTGCGGCGCGCTGCCCGAGCACTGCGGGTTGCGCTCGCCGCCGACGGCGAACAGGGCGTCCTCGCCGTAGGCCACGGCCTTGTCAGCCCGCCCCACCAACCTGTGTGGAAATCAACCAGTGCGTCGGGTGCACCCGACAATTCTTCACGAAGTCATTTCTCGGCGATGACGCGACCGACCTGGCTCGGTCGAGCGGCGAAGAACCGGCATCGCCACGCCATCGAGCAGGCGTCGCGTCGATGGCGTGGAGGACGACACGATGATTCAGCACGAACGCGCCATAAAATTTTGATTTCCACACAGCCACCAACAAAGGCTTCGACGGCGCGAAGTCGGGCCAGTTGCTGTTCAGGTCGAGCGTCTCCACCGACGCCAACGGCGTGCAGAAGTCGTCCGAGTTGAAGCCGCCGACGGCGTAGGCGCGGGCGTTGGCCCCCGTGCTCACGAAGCCGAAGTCGCCCCGGCCCGTGAGTAGGTTCGCGCCCGGCGAGGTCTCCCCGGTCTCCGGGTTGATTTTGAGAGTGTCGGCGAAGGCGACGGAGTAGTCCGCGTTGTAGCCGCCGGCCACGAAGATGTGGGGACCCAGCAATCCCAAATCCCCGGCGTCGTTCCAGATCGCGCCCAAATCGGACCGCGGCACCTCGGCGGCGATCGTGGCCCACTTGCCGGTCTGCGTATCATAAACGTCCGTCTGCGGCACGAGGTTCTCCGCGACGTCGCGGCCGCCGAGCACGTAGAGCTTGCGACCGTCGGTGGCCGCCGCGTGGCGGTAGCGCTCCCGCGGTGCGTCGAGGCCGCGCGACCACGTGTCCGCCGCGTAGTCGTAGAGGAGCACTTTCTTGGAGATGGACGGGCAGAAGGTCCATTCATCCTCCGCCACTTGATCTTCATCGCAGCCGCCGACGATAACAATGCGGCCGCGGTTCGGGACCAGCGTGGCCGTGAAATCGGACAGGGCGAACGGGAGGTCGGCGACGCGGCGCCAAGGCATGGACATCGTCAAGGAGATCGAGGGCGTCCCGACGGACGGCCGGGACAAACCCATTGATGCCGTGCGCGTCGAGACGATCACGATCGAGGAGTAGGTGCCTAAGACCCGTCCTTACCCACCACGCGGAAGCAGCACTGCTTCGACAGGAGCGACGCCGCCACCACTTCCACCGCGAGGCCGTTCTCCTCGATGGCCTCGTCCCACGCCCTCTTCTCGTCGTCGCGCCACGTCTCGTGCGCGAGAAAGTCGTCGAAGAGCACGACCGAGCCCCGTTGGAGCAGGGGCGCCAATGCACTAAGACAGTCGCGCGCCGACGAGTACAAGTCGCAGTCGACGTGGAGCAGCGCCAACGCGTCGCCGTCTTCAATAACACGGCGCGCGAAGGGCCCCGCCGTCTCGTTGAACCAGCCCGCGTGGAGCTCCGCGCGCGCCGGGAAGCAGCCCGTCGCCGAGCCGCGGTCGCCCGTCACGCTGTAGCTGCCGGCCGGCTCGTGGCGCCATTGCTCCGGCAGGCCCACAAAGGAGTCGAAGCCGTGCAGCTGCCAATTGTGAGGGAGGCGCTGATCCAGCACTCGTAAGCTTCGACCATGATAGGTGCCAAACTCGGCGCAGATGTTCTCCTCGTCGTCTCCAAACGCTTCAATAGCGAATTGCGCGGCCTGCTCTAGGATACTACGAGTCGGTTCCAATGCTTTACTGGAGTCGAAGTTGTGCTCGTGGAGCCACAGGAGACTCTCGGCGAGACACCGCGTCTCGGGGCTCGAGGCTAACAAACCGTCCAGTATCTCAAGCTGCTCGGCGTCGTTATTTGATGACGCCGCTCGTATTAATGCAGTTCTCGCGTCGCGCGGTTGCAGCGCCTGCGCCTCGTTTAATGCTTCGGCGCGCTCCGTCGCGTTCGTCGTCGTCATGCCTAGGCCCGCGCGCGCCACGGCCGACGCCGGGTCCAGTTCGATCGCCGACCGCCACGCTTGGGCCGCCGCCGCGCGGTCGCCGAGCCCGTCGAAGGCGCAGTGCGCGACGCGCGCGTAGCAGTAGGCTTTCTCGACTGGATTTGTGAGGTGCTCGAGGCACCGCTGGAACTGCCTTTTCGCAGACCCGTCGTGGCCAAAACGCTCGAGCCGCTCCGCCGCGCGGAACCGCGGCGACTCCCTTAGTGAAGTCGCCTCGTCGCTCCGCCGCGTGCGCAGCCAGCCGACGACGGCGACGCGGCCGCGCTCCGGCGCCTCCTCGACGGCGTGCGGGATGCAGTCCGAGTGAAAAATGACGAGCCGCCCGCCGCGCGGCGAGACGCCGACCTTGTCCTCGCCGATCTCCGCGCGCAACGCGCCGCCGTGGTCGCGGTGGCTCCAGTCCTGGGCATTTAGATACAGTAAAATGGAGTATTCCCGGCGCTCCTGCAAGCTATAGTCCGTGGCGCCGTTCCGGCCCAGCATGTAGTATACGGACCGGGGCACGTCGATGTGCCTCCGGTAATAGCCGCCGACCGGGTATTTCGCGTACGAGAGCTCCATCGTCCGGAGCAAGGGTGCGCCCGAGTTCTCGATCAGTTTCTCTCTCAATGACTCGAGCTGTCCGTCGAGCTTCCGCCTGGCGTCCACGTCGCCCACGGACGGGTCCGGGGGCGGCCGCAGCCACGCCGTCTGCGCGCGGCGCGTCTCCTCCTCGAGCGTCTTGCTGTCGGTGATCGAGCCGTCGGCGCTCACCGAGCGCGAGCCGACCTTGGACGCGATGAACTTGCCGGCGTCCCAGAGCTGGTCGACGTCTCGTCGTAATGCTTGGACGTCGGCTTGCGGCGCCCAGTTGTCCACGACACACAAGCCTTCGGCCTCGAGCGTCGCGAGCGCACTTTCAGGGACTTCGTAGGGCGTCGGCGCGCGGTGGTAGATCGATGGCTTGCCCGCTTGGGGAGGCGTGATGGTTTTTGGTGCTTTCAGTGTTGCGACGAGGGGCACGCATGGTCTTGCGGCCAGCAGCAGCAGCACTTGCTGCAAGAGGGCAGTCATTGTGCCATACACGTTGTAATGGCAATGTGTAAGCGCTCGTTTAAGGCCGATTTGAGGTCGTGCGTGAGCCCCTGCTAGTGTGTTACCGGACGCTAGCCCAGTTTTGCACGCCAAGCAAAAAGAGGCAACAACAAGCACGAGCGAGCTTGCACAGTTGAGCAGCCAGCTTCTCGTTCAAGCACACATCGATCACTCGACCATCGCCAGCAGCGCGGCCGGCCGGACACCCCAGATAGCAAATCAGCACCATGGCCAGCAGCGACGGCGCGCCGGACGCCGTCGCCGCGAAACTCCAAAAGCAACTGGAGTACTATTTCAGCGACGCCAACTTGAGAAGGGACGCACACCTGAAGGGCCTGGCGGGCGCCGACGACGATAGCACGCTTCGGCAATGGGTCGATTTGGAGCACGTGCTGGCCTTCTCGCGTGCGCGCACGATTCTCGACGAGCTGCCTAGTACTACTGACGGAGAGCCAGCGAAGAAACGGGCCAAGACGATCCCAAGCGTCGCATTAACCGCTACGCGTGCGTCGAGCGCGCTGGAGCTCTCCGACGACGGCACGAAAATCCGCCGCGCTCAACCCTACGTCGAGGTCGACGCGAAGGAGCTCGCCGCGCGGACGGTGTATGTGGAGCCCGTCGCCGACGACGCCTCGATCGACAGTATTCAGGCGCGCTTTGCCCCGCACGGAACCGTGGCAAATGTATCGCTCCCGCGGGGCCGTGGTTTTGGCTTCGTAGAGTTCGAGGCGCGCGAGTCCGCGCAAAAGGCCGTCGCGGCGTTGGACGGCGTCGACGGCGTCGCCGTGCTCACAAAAGGCGAGTGGGAGCGCATCGACCGGCGGTGGAAGGACCTCTCGCGGTCGCCGGCGGTGGCGCAAGCGCGGCGGCGGCGGCGGAACGTCGCGGAGGCCGCTGCTCCGAAGCTTGGGGGCTCGAAGATTCGGCCCGGGAGCTTTGCTGGAAAGGGGGGCAAGAAGTAATCTGTGTGTTGCATCTTAACAATTATGTCGCGGGAGGGAAGCGGTGGTACTGGGTTATTTGTCCTACTTCAAGGGGAGTGTGCGAACGCACTATATGACGAACGGGAGCAAGCGGAGAATTATATGGTGCGGCACTTCCCCTCGTTCTTCCTCGCATTGAACGAGGCGGAGCGCGTGCCGTTTGCTCGACACGCGAAACGCATGTTCCGGTACTTCGTGATCTACCACAAGCGATTGGGGGAGACTCAGCGCCACACACATAGTCATGATTATGATTCGGATGACCAAGAGTTTATTTCTGGGATTGACGAGCATCTGACGCGCGCCACGGATGATCTCCACAAAGTCACGGAGTACCTCCTCACTAAACCCTAGTCAGTAAAAACTCTGGATGCATACAATCTACAACATATCCACGCCCCCTAGGAGGGCAAGGGATTCAAAACGGCCACGCGAACAGGGGCTTCTCTCCCGACACGACCTGGAAGCTCCCGTATACCGCGTCCCAGTGGTCGACGCAGAACGCGACGACGGCCGCAAGCAAAGCGAGCGAGAGCGCCTGCCGCGCGACCTTCTCCACGGGAGCGAACAGTTCGCGGAGTGCCGCGAGCGCCACAGCCAACACCGCGAGGCCGGCGGCATAGGGAGCAAGGGCGCGACCTAGCGATGAGCCGAACGCGTCGGCGACGTTCGCCGCGCCGCTTCGTGGTGCGGGCGGCGCAACGTCTCCGCCACCGTCGAGCACCTTCGCTGCGCCGCGGAGTAGTGACCCAACGCCGCGGGCAGCCGCTTGCTCAGCACCGCGTCCGCTCTCCGCCAGGGCGGCGCGCGTCCCTTCGCTCAGCGATTGTTTGTCCAACAGATCGTTTGCGGCGCGCCCGACGAGCCGCGCAGAAGGCTCAACGTACGGCACGGCCGCGTCGACGACGCCTTTGCCAGCTTTGAGGGCGCCGCGACCCACGAAACCCGCAACGTCGCCGACCTGTCCCGCGACCTGCCCAGCTTTGGCGAGCTGTCTGATCTGCTCCTCGGTCAACGCCGCCCGCTCGGCCGCCGACAATCCGCTGGCCGCCGCCTCGGCCGTCTTCGAGAGACCCTGTTTGACCACCGGCGCCGCAGCGTCGGCGCCTGCCTTGACGATAGGCGCCGCCGCGTCGACGCCCGACTTGACGAGAGGTGCCGCGACGTCCGCGGCATCTTGGATCGCGCGGACCGCGTCCATTACGTAATCATCGATCGCACGCGCGACCGGCCGCCTTCGCACCGGTGATCTAGGCGCCGGCGCCAGGGCGCAGACCACGGAGACCATTGCTGCGAGCCTCAGGGATGCCATGATTTGCTTTGCTGTGTGGGAAGCCGCTGCCGCTACCGCCGCGCTCCCACCGTGTTCGCGTACTTTCGGTGATACCGTAGAGAGAGTGACGAGTTCGCCACGACTGATCTCGCCGTTAGCAGCGCTTTACAAGCCCATTGCCACGGAGGGCTTGTGTACAGCCTCAGTCGCAAAAGAGCGTCTAATCGCCCCTATTTCTGGATTCCACGCATCGCACAACGCCAGCAGCATACTTTATCACTGCTCATCGCTGTAAGGGCGGAAAAACGCATCTCTTGAGCGCTGCAGCTTGTCCATCAGTGTTGCCTCACAACTGCAGGGCAAACGCCGCCGCGCATGAATGCGTGCGAGTAAAGGGTTCAGTCTCTGAAGCATGCGGCTGAAGCTCGCATTCATCCTCGCGAGCAGTGCCGCACTGCAGCCGCCGCACGTCGTGGTTGTCGGCGGTGGCGTCGGCGGCCTCGCAACCGCCGGTAGACTCGCACGCCGCGGCGCACGAGTCACGGTGCTGGAGAAAAACGATAAAGTCGGCGGCCGCGTCGGCGAATACCGCTGGCAGCAACATCGATGGGAGACCGGCGCGTCTCTATTATTACTACCGGACGTCTATCGCGACGCTCTGGAAGCCGCCGGCGCCGAGCAGCTCGACATCAAACGAGTCGCACCGGCTTACGCCGTCTGGTACGAGCAGCACGCGGACCGCGGCCCCGTGATTCTGGGAGGCGACCGACAGGACCTGCGACAACGCCTCGACCTTGAAGCCCCAGGCGGCTTTGATCGTTTCGAGGAGTACCGAGCGACGGCGCGCGAGTACCTGCGGGCGGGCTGGCCGATCTTCATCGAGGAGGATATTTCTCCCGCATCCCTGGTCAAATTGGTACCGCGGTTCCTCGCCACGGCTGTGAGCGCTGTGTGGAAGTGGCCGCTGTTCGGCCACGACGCGCAGTTACGGAGACTGTTCCCGGACTCGCCACGCTTACGGGCGCTCTGCTCCTTCGAAGACCTCTACGTGGGCCTGTCACCCGTGGAAGCGCCCGCGGTCTTCTCGCTGCTCGCGGCGATCGAACTCGATAACGTCGCGGAGAATCCTGATGCGGGACGGCCCGACGTCGGCGTCTTCTATCCGCTGGGTGGCTTCGGGCAGTTCCCCCAACTCCTCGCCGACGCGGCGACGGCGAGCGGTGTCGATATACGGACCGTTACAAGTGTCGAGGAGGTCCTGGTGGACGAGGGCCGCGCGACGGGAGTGCGGACGGCGAGCGGCGAGACCATCGACGCTGACGCCGTCGTGGTCAACGCCGACCTGGCCGCCGCGGAGCCAAAGCTCTTGGGTAGTGAGTCTCGCTCGGACTACGCCAAAGGTCGCTTCTCGACGTCGTCGATCACGTTTCTGTGGGCGCTGGACCGGCGCTTTGAGCAGCTGCAGCACCACAACGTTTTCCTGTCGGAGGACGACGACGACGACGATCCCTTCCTCGCGGCGTGGGACGACCAGCTGCCGCCTAGGGGCGCATCGACGGCGTTCCCGGCCAACGGATTTCATTTCTACCTGTGTTGTAATAGTAGGACGGACGCGACCGCGGCGCCGGCCGACGGCGACTCGCTCATGGTCCTATGCCCGACGCCGCCCCTAGACGACAACGCCGACGACGCGCTCGTGGACGCCTGGATCGCGAAGGCGCGAACTGCTGTTTACGAGCGGCTCAATAAATCTGCGGGAGCAGACATCGAGTCCCACGTTATTCACGAGCGCGTCATCGATCCTCGAGAATGGCGGGACGGCCTCGGGCTGCGCCGCGGCTCCGTCTTCGGCCTCGCGCACGGGCTCGACCAGCTCGCTCTGTTTAGGCCATCGCGCCAGTCGAGCCGTGTCGACGGCCTCTCATTCGTCGGCGCGTCGACGCGGCCGGGGAATGGCGTGCCCCTCGTGCTCACGTCTGCGCGGCTTCTGTGTGATGAACTTAGTGGGGAGCTTGGGATTAAGGATAGCTAGTAGATCGCACTACGGGGAGAGCAATTCCGACGGTTCGAGCGTCGCGAACGATGCTAGGGCGACGAGCAATGGGAACGCGACGAAGAAGACCTGCCCTTTCTTCCCAACTCCGACGGTTTCAGCGTCGCCCGAGAGCGCAAACCGGAGAGCGTTGAGCGCCGCCGCGACGAACGTGTAGCCGAAGGCGTCCTGCCGCGAAGCGCCGAGGATGAGGCTTCCCATGTAAATGCCGCGGAGAACTATACTCCAGCCGATTATAGCGGCCAACAACTACGCGTCGTCCCTTGTTGATCTACAGCGCTTCGGACAAGCCAAGAAACTGTTGCGCAAAAATATTCCCGTGGCCCGACGCGTTCTCGGAGATAGTTCTGATGTGACGCTCGATTTGAGGTGCAATTACGCGCTTGCGTTGGGCAGGGACCCCGGAGCCACGCTCAACGATCTTCACGAGGCCGTGACAACGCTCGAGGAGACGGATCTGATAGCACGGCGCGTGCTTGGTGGCGCACACCCGCTCACTACGGCGATTGAGCACCAATTGCGAAACGTGCGAGCCTTGCTCCGCGCCCGCGAAACTAGTGTGTAAGCATCTCACAAAAATTACACAGATGACACATCACTCCTCGTCGTCCACGAACAGCGCGTCCAGCACGCGCCGGTTGCGCGCCAGGAGCGCGTCCCGCAATCTATCGTGCGCGCGAGAAAAGAGCGCCAGCACGTCCTTGCCGCGGAACGCCGCCCGCGCGACGTTGTTCGACACATCTAATGGATCCTCGACGAACAGGCCGCCCAACGAGTCCCCGTGGGCCAGGCGCCGCCCACCGTCGCGCACCGAAACCGAGATCTGGCTCTCCCGGCCAAATAAGCGGAAGAAGTTGAGGAGCGTTGACGCTAACGCAGCGTCGTCGCCCTTTAGAATAGGCCCGCTCGCCAAGAGCTGCTTCGCGACCTCGCGCCCAATAGATGCTGGAGGCGCGCTCCGGCGCGGCGGCGGCGTGGGGGCTTGTCTAGGGGCGGACCGCGCATACGTCGGCCTCAGACTCTCGGAGGCCGTCGACTTCTTGCGGTGCGGTGTTGTAGGAGTGGCTCTCAACAGATGCTCGGCGGGCGAGGCTTGCACCCACGACGCGTCCGCGAGCGCATCCACGGGCTTCTTCCTGGCACTTCTAGGCTCGTCGCCATTGAGAGTCGCGTAGTAGAGCATCAGCAGTACGGCGTAGGACGGTAGGCCGCCCGTGTAGGCGTCGTTCAGGCCCGCCTTTCTGAGTAGAGCGCGGACGGCCACCGCCGCCGGAGCGAGCTGCGACACCTCGTCCACCAAGCTTCTCCCAAGTTCGGCCGCAGCCAATCCAGTATGAGACGCACATTCGAGCGAGACGTCAACGGGCACGGAGCCGTCGTCGACGTAAATAGTGGCTCGGATGACGGGAACGCGCGCGCGATCCAGCACTCTGTCGACAACGACGGAAGGCTCCGCTCTTAAATGCTGCGCGAACCGCAACAGCACATAAGCGACGTACGGCCGGTCCTCAATTAACTCACCGTCGCACCAATTCGTAATGACGAGGTCGACGTCGGACGACGCCGCATCGAGCCCATAAGCACAGGACCCAAACACCTTGGCCTCGCAGTTCGTCGACGAGAACGCTCTTTGCGCGACGGCGGCGATGACTTGGATCGCCGCTCTTCTTGCATTGCCCCTCGCTGCCGCTGCCGCCGCGGCCGCCGCGGCTGTCTCCCGCAGCTCCGCGCCCAGTCGCCGTAAACCCGTATTCTGCACCTCGTCCGTCACGAGCTTCGCCGTCTGGATCGTCACCTCCGCTTGAGGCGCCAGGCCCTTCTTGCGAGCGACGCGCGCCGCCGCCCGCGCCAGCGCGATGCCGCTCTCGTCCCTCAACCGTCGAGCTCGCTCCTGCTCGGCGCTCTTTTGAGCTTTTAGTTGCGCGTCCGTCCGTTGCGACCTTTCGGACGCGCGCGACGTGTCGGAATACGTACAAGTTTGTAGGTGCGCCGCGAGTTGCGATAGGGGAAACGTACACGAACAGCCCATGAACGAGTTCGGACACACGATATCATAATCCTTCTGGAGCTTGTCCGGCGATGAGCTCTCCTGGGGCCGCGCGGGGCACGTCTCCAGATGTTGACTGATCGTCGACCGCGGCCCACAGTGGCGGCACCCGAAGGCCGCGTAGGGACACGCGACCTCATAATCTTCATTCTTCCGCTCGATGAGACCCTCGAACCAGCGCGTGCCTTGTGTTTCGCGCGCGAAGCCTTCTCTGATTCTCCTCCGTTGCTCCCTTTGGGCCGCTTCGGCGGCCCACTTCTGGCGCCGTTCTCGTTCGAGCTGGTTCGCCCAGTCCAATTCGTCGTTGACCGCAATCCGCCTCGCTCGTTCGGCCTCGGCCGCGGCGACGACGTAGGACGCCCACGCACTTCGAGTGTCGAGGGCCTCGGCTCTTGTGCGAGATGCTTCGGCCCGGTCGAGCGCGTCGGCGGCCCTTCTTCTAGTCGCCACGAGCTCGGGCTCCTGGCCCCAGGCCGGCCAGGCCGCGTCGAGGGCGTCCAAGCTCGTGCCGCGTTTTAATGGAGTCGCCGGCGGCGGCGCGCGCGGCGGCGACAGCGCGGCGACGACGTCGGCTGCCTCGGCCGTCCGCAGCGCGCGCGGCGTGGTCGGCGCCGCCGCGGCGCGCGACAGCTTGGACAGCTTGGCAGCGCGGATCTCGTCCATGAGCGGGCCACTGGATAGCCGCCCGAGGGCCCTGTTGGCCCTGCGCTGCGCCTTGCGCCGCGCCGCGCGGCTCTGTTTCCGCGCCGACGCCGACGCGTACGTCCTTGGTACGAGGTCCTGGGCGAGCCGCCGCCGTAGCATCGCGGCGCTGTCGTCTCCATCAAAGGCCACGCCGCGCTTCGCGCACTCGCAGGCCAGGTTCATGCGGTCGTCCGTCTCCAATCGGTCGCGGAGCTGGCGGACGGTCTCCAGGCGCGCCCGGAAGTCATCTTCCGATTCGTCGGGGTGTTGTCGAGGTGTTGTGGGCGCCGCGGGCGGCGGCGGCAGCGGCGGCGCTGGCCTCGCGTCCCAGAGCGCGGTGCGCGGCGGCGTCTCTTCGAGCGCCTTCGCGCAGACTGTCGAGGCTCGTCGGTGCTCGGCCATGCGTTTTCTCCTGTCGGCGCCGGAGCTCGTGCGCTTGCGCCGTCGCGGCGGTGGTGGAGTCATGTTTTAGCTCTTGTGAGAGTCTATGTGCTCTCCAGGTTTTTGTGGGCCATGCTGCTCATTATGAGTGGACGTGCAGCTTGTGCGGCACTGCTGGTATGTCCTCTAGACTGCTGAGGTCACGCAATCGTCCAGGACAGCGGCAAACTGCAGGCTCGATCGATTGCTCTGGCTGGCACGGGTTTTGCGGCCTGGTGCTGGACAGCCTGCTTAAGGCCTGCACGGGGACGTTGTTCGGCGCCGGAGGCATCCTCGCCGCAACGGATGGCCTCTTGTTAGTGAACTTACATACTAGAGGTGCTTGCTTTTGCTCAGGACGCAATCTTGGCTAGGACGCGCGTGGTGCAGCATAGAACGTGCCACTGAGCAGCTAAAGTGTCTTGAAAGTCACAGTAGCCACGCTAGCACTTTCTGCTCGACGGAGAGCCGCCGCGGATAGCTCTAACACGTGGTAGAGGGCATCCCTGCAGACAGCTCTTAGCAGCTCCTAGACCGCGATAACATGCGCGTCCTCTCCTTAATCCCGGCCGCCGCGGCGCTCGTGCCGAGCAGCCAGCCCAAGGCGCCCCAGGCCCAACGAGCGGCCACGCTCGAAGCCGCGCCCGTCGCGACGGAGGCGCGCGACCTCACGGGCAACATCCCCGACTGCCCGGCGACGATCTGGGACGCCGACAACGTCAACATTGTCGAGGCCAGGCAGAACCAGCAACCGCTCCCGGAGCAGTGCCCCTCGGAAAGAATCAGCAATGGTAACGAGGGCGTCGAGTACTTCCGCGAACACAGCGAGGACATCCTGGCGGAACTCGAGAAGACGGGCTGCATCTGGTTCCGTGGTTTTGATCTGATGAAGACCGAACAAGGTTTCAGGCAGTTCTACGAGGCCGTCGGGCTCGACCCTTGTTTAGATCCGATCCACACCTCCGGCTTGCGGTCTTTCGCGTCCCAGGAGGACGCGATCTACGAGGAGGTCAACAAGGAGTCCCTGTCGAGGCACTACATCGGCCTCCACCAAGAGAGTACCCATAAGAAAACAGCGACCTATGGAGCTTTTGTGTGCTTCAAACCGGCGACGGTCGAGGGCGGCGAGTTCTTCATCGCCGACGCGGCGAAGATCGCGCGCGATTTGGATGCGGACGTAGCGCAACGGATCTACGACCGGAAGATCCGCATCTCGGTCTCGAACCTGGATATGGACTTCCTCGAGGGCGCCGACTTTGATATCAATTTACCTGATGTTATTGTTGACAAGACGGGCCTGCCGAAGAAGACGGAGGTGCGACTCAAGGAGCCCATCATGGAAGGAGCTAGAGTCTTAGTGGACAAGTTAGTGGCCCCGAAATTCGATATGGATTTGGAAATGAAGTACGGCGCCGACGGCAAGCCGATGCGCATGCAAGCCATCGAGCAGATTGCCTCGCCCTTCAACCGCCACCCCGTGACGGGCGAGTTGCTCTGGTTCTGCAACATCCACAACCACGCGCGCTACTTACGTGATAGGCGGCCTTGTACGGTCCCCGAGGTCGGGATGACGGAGGTCTTTTACGGGGATTTATCTCCCATTCCTTCTGCCGACTTGGACCACATCAACGAGGTCTCGCAGAAGAACATCCGGGACATCCCCATGCAGCCCGGCGACGTGCTGTTGTGCGACAACTACCGTGTCTTGCATGGTAGGAACGTGTTCAAGGGCGACCGGTACCACGCGGTGTCCTGGTTCGGCGGTCTTGTTAAAGATAGACCGGCGGACTTCGACGACTCGAACGAGAACTCCAAGCCCGGCGACCTGCTGAACAAGTTCGTCAACAAGTTCCTCGTGGATTCGTTCTAGGCTGGGTTCCTTTTGCGTAAGGTTGGGGTTTGCGCGAGTCTTTGTCTCTGGGGCGCGTCGATGGCGTAAGGCGATGGTTCGGCGCGTCGATGGCGTAAGGCGATGGCGTATATCTAGGAGAGAAGTCAAGTCAATTTACCCAACCGCACCGCCGTGCCACACGGCCGGTGCGGAGCGCTGCGCCGCCGCGCCGTCGCCGCCGCGCTGTCGCCACGGACACGGCAATTAATCGTCGTCGCCCATCTTGCGGCTGAGTTCTGCCCAGTCCAGGTCCTCGAGGACCCACTGCGGGTACTTCGCCCTCAACGTCGCCGCCATCTGCTCGGGGCTCCGGTTCGGCGTCTCCGCCTTGATCACGTTCAGCGCATCGATCACCTCGTCGCTGGTCGGCTTGTGCTTGCCCGAGGAGAGGAAGCTCTGGAAGAGCGAGGACTCCGTGTTGTAGATCATAGCGTCGCTCTGGACCACAGCGGGCACCAACGCCGACAACCTTGTACAGGAGCAGTGGGTTTGGGCCGCGTCAGGCGTGCCGGGCTGCGCGCGCGGCGGATTTAGCGGCTTGTTTAGCCTTTCAATCACCTCGGCTTTTCGCTAGTGTGTTACAGGACGCTAGCGCGATTTTTTTGTGGCCTCGCACCTTTGCCACTCAGCGGTTACGCGCCAAAGACATACCTCAAAGACACGCATCGATCCCATCGATCCGGCACCCGGCGTTGAAGCGCCTGCCACCCGGCCAGGAGCCTGCCACAGGAGGATGCTGCGGAGAGGACGCTCCCGCACCGCGCTCGCAGCCGCCGCGGCGTTGCTGCCGCTCACCGGAGCCGTCGAGGTCACGGCAGCGCTGGCGCTGCTCCCACTCGCGACAGCCTTCGAAGTAACAGAAGTCAAAGTCCTCGCGTCCCAGCTCCTCCCCGTCGGCTACAATCTGAGGGACGGCCAGACCCTCAGCGAGCTGTCGGCCTGCCGCTTCGTCGATACAGATACGGCGCTCTTCGTCGACGACAAGGGTGCATTGGTAGAGGCCGACGTTGTACTAGACCCGTTCGAGATTAATCCAATACGGAGGACCGCGCTGCAGCCTTCTGCGGACTCCGAGGGCATCGCGATCGAAAGGGACGGCACCGTGCTCGTCTCCACGGAGGCGCACCAGCACAAAGGAAGTGAGCTAAGCGTGATTGAAGTGGATCCGATCACGGGGAGCGTTCTGGGCGCGCCCTTCGCGCCGCCGCAAGATGCAATAACAAGGGTCCTCGACAACAAGGGCTTCGAGGCCCTGACGCTCGCTTCTGGTAGAGCTTTGGGCCTCGACGACCAGACTTACGTGGCGACGACGCCGGAGTACGCGCTTAATGGTGATGATGAGACACACCACGACGTCTACGCGTGGTCACTCGATGAAGGGTCGCTCACGAACCCGCCGCTCCCGTCTTCTACAATCAGCTACACCGCGTCGGTGCTCGACGGCACGCCTCTGGGAGTCGTCGAGTTCGAGGCCCTCGCCGCGTCGTTGTTGGTGCTGGAACGGACCTTTCAGACGACGAATACCATCAGACTGTACGAGGCTGCTGTATCAGACGGTGTCTTCGACAAAAAACTGTTAATAGAGTGGGATGTGAATGGCATGAGGACCGGTGACGGGAAGACGATCAGTTCTTTAGCGGTGGACAACTACGAGGGCATGTGCCTCTGCCCCGACATTCATGGTAGCGAGAGGCGGCTTATACTCGTCAACGACGACAATGATAATATGGACCAAATCGGGACGCAGTTCGTGCTGCTGGCGCTGGCCACCGGTTCAGACACGGTCATAGATAGTAACCGGGGCTACGCGTCGTTCCGCCTCTTCCTGATCGTGGTGGCGATTGGAAGTTCAATAGCGGTCTGCTGCGCGGGCATCCGGTATGAAGTAAGGCGGCGCAAGACGCCGCACATCTCGGGCGACCCGGGCGTCATGCTCTCGAATTTGCGATTTGACGCCGATTTGGTGATTCCGCCGCGGTTGACCGTGCCGGCGCGGTCGATGGCTCGCGTTCCCAAAAAGAAGGGCTACGAGAAGATCGGCCGCCAGGAGTCGGGGGAGAGGGAGCCGGCGATGGTGTAGTACGCCAGTGTTGTGTAAGTTATACAGTGTGTTACAGGAGTGATATTCGCGGCGATGGCGTGGGAGTGATAGCCGCGGCGATTGCGTGGCAGTGGCGTCGGCCGTCATTGGTCAGAGGAGAGGTCCCAGGCGTGCAGGCTCCGGTCGTAGCCGCCCGCCAGGAGCCGCTTCCCGTCGCGCGCGAGCGCGCACGCGTTGACCACCGTCCCGGCGCTGCAGACGGGGCACCCCTGCTGGACGCTGCCGTCCCAGACGAGTGCGGGCGTGCCGCACCCATCACAATTCGCGCCACCCATCGGCTTTCGCGCCGGCGGCGCGAGCGCGACCCGGTCCGCGAATGCGCCAGATATGTAGACCGGCGCCGCCGCCGCGCCAACACCAATAGGCACGATAACGACCCTGCCCGCGGCGAGCGCCAGCGCCTGGACGCTCGCGCCGACGGAGCCGCGCCACCGGACCTCGAAGGTCGCGGCGTCCCAGGCCGCGACCGAGCCGTCGGACGCCCCGGCGACGAGCATAGTACTAGAACGCGCGACCGCGTGCACGTCGACGGTTTCGGAAGTGGGGTTCACGACCAGGCGCTGTGTTAGTGAAGGGTGCCACGGATCAAACTCGTCGCCGTCGTCGCTCGCGTCGCCGTCCTCCTCTTCGTCCGAGGACCAGGACACCTCCGGGGGCGTGTCGTCGTGCAAGCCCCAGGCCGACAAGAGAGGCACTTGCGTCGCGCCGAGCGCCGAGCGGGCCACGACCAACGAGGTTTGCTCCAGTGCGAGGGCCTCGACGGCGCAGGTCCGGTCCTTCGCTGCCCTTAACGAGAATAGCGGCTGCGTGCCTGCCTCGCCGACGTACCACACGCAGACCCGCCCCGCGGCGTCGCCGGCCGCGAGGCGGCTTTCAAATGCTGCGATTGCGCGGACGCCCGCGCGGTCGGCACCGGCCGGCGCGAGGGCAAGCTCGTCGCTGCCACAGCTGCAGCGCCCGTCCCACGTTTCATGGTCGCACATCTTTCTTAATGAAACGACGCCGCGCAGCGTCCCCGCCGCGACGCGGTCTCCCACAAAACAGACGCTCAGCACCGTGCCCACTTCTTCGAAACGCCTTATACTGTGATCGGTTCTCGCGTCGACGACGGTGAGGGCCTCGTCGTCGCCGACGGCGTACATTTCGTCATGAAAGGCGATGGCGTGGATGATCGCGTCGCGCCGCAGCTTGATGCGCGTGGGAGGTTGCTGCTGGAAGTCGGCCATTGGTTAAACACGGCTGCGAGGACTGCACGTGTCTCCCACGTGGGAGAAGGCTGCAGCGATGGATTGGCGTTTTCGATGCTCGAATGCGCTTGAAGGCGGCTGCAACAGCGAAGAATGATGCCTTTGGTCGCGGTTCTGGCCGGATTCGAGAGCTTTATGGCACTCAAAGTGAGGTGCCGCATCCGCACGTAGCTAGCGGCATGAGACGTACTAGGAAGCACCGCAAAAACGCGCATACGTCGTGAAAAAGGCAGTAGGCATGATGCATTTGCGACTCTGGTCATTGATGATGACTGCTGCCAGCGCTCTCAAAGCCTCCTGGACAAAAGCGCCCTCTGGCCCAAGTGCGAGGTCAGGTGCCTGTGCGGCAGCCGACGGCGCCGGCGCTTACCTATTCGGTGGCTATGTAGAGCAGGCTGACACGAGTCGATCGGTCACGAACGACCTGTGGCGCTTCTACGGCGGCGAGTGGCGCCTCGTCGCGCCGGCGGGCGCCGACGCGCCGCCGCCGCGTTTATGCGCGACGCTGGCGCACACCGGTGACGCTCTCGTGCTCATGGGCGGCTGGGACGGTGCTGACGGCTTCTTCGACGACGTCTGGACGTTTCGCGAGGGCGCATGGGCGCGGGAAGCAGCCACGCTGCCCGGCCCGCGGAGCCGCCACGCGGCCTGCACGCTTCCGGATGGTCGAGTCGTGGCCGTGACGCATCGCGAGGTATTCGTCTACGACCCGTCGGACGGCTCCGTTACCACACAACCGACGACGGGTCCGCCACCGTCGGCCAGAGGCCTCCACGCGATGGCTCGCGTCGGTGCTCATTCGGTGGTCGTGACCTGCGGCGCCGCCCAGTCGGGAGAGATGACGGGCGACGCGTACGTGCTCGATTGTGATACGTGGGAGTGGCGCGCGCTCTCCGCGACCGGGCCGGAGCCGCGCGCCGCTGGCGCCGCAGCGCCGCTCGATGACAACCGCGTCCTCCTCGTCGGTGGCGCGGCGCGTCTCGCACCACCGCTGGCTGGTCTCGCACCGCTGGACGACGTCTGGTGCCTCGACGTCGTGGCGGATGCGTGGACGCGCGTGGAGACGAATGCGGGCTTCGGGCCGCGCAACGCCCACGTGCTCTGCCGCCTCGGCGACGGCGGCTTCGTGGTCAACGGTGGTTGGGTGCCGTTCGTGCGCACCTACGACGACACCTTGCGGCTCGAGGTGGATTCATCCTGATTATTTGTTTTGTCCAGTAAGATTGTACATATGTCTTCGAGTAGATCTTCGAGGACGCGTACTTTGGAGACTGTGTGCTCAGGCTCAGGCTAGTTACGTCGCAGGGTCCCCCGTACCCCTCCCGTTCCCCCAGGGCCCACCCGTCCGGCTGGACTAGGACGTGTGCTAATTGCTAGTGTCTTACAAACGCTAGATAATCACCACAGCCGCAGCAAAAATTGCGCCTGGCTCATAACAAGGCTAAACGCTGCATCCGGTAGTACTTGGAGTCCACAGATCACCAGCGAACCGCGCCGCAGACGTGTGGCAAAGCTTCTTGCTCCGAGGCCTCCACTCTGTTGCCTCGCTGCCGCCGACGCCGCCGGCGCGACACACCACCATGGCCCAGTTCGAGAAGCTCTCCTTCCAGGAGTTAGCAAGATTCGCCCAACTCCCGCAGGACGAGTACGCGCGCCAGATCTGCGCCCAGCGCAAGGTCGAGGAGTCGAGTGTTTTCGGCATGTGCCTCCACGACGACGTCCTGGCCATGGGCACGACCTTCGACCAAATTTTTAGGTTGGACATGCACGGTAGAGCTATAGGCGAGCCCCAACCGTCGCAACTAGGACGCGTCTACGCGCTCGCCGTAGCAGGTGACAGAACGAAACCGATCCTCTGTGCTGGTGGCGATAAAGGCATAGCCTTCTCGAACTGGTCTGATGGAACGCATTGCCGACTCCACCAGTCACCAGCAACACAATATCCGGACGGGAGCTTTCCCCCTCCGCCCGAGTGCAATGCATTGGTCGTGGAGGCGGGCGGCACTTCGGTGTTGTGCGGTGACGGCGACGGTAGAATCAGAAGAAGAGATATAGAAACAGGCAAAATTACAGATGAAGTCCAGGCCCACTCGGACATGATCCTGGCGTTATGTCACGCGTCCGAAGCCCACGTGACCGCCTCGTGCTCCGAAGATGGTACTTGCAAGTTACTCGATCTAAGAGACAGCGCAAAGGTCGTCAAGGAGGTCCCCGGGATTGATGACGCTTTCCGGAAAGCGTGTAACCTGCCGGACGAAAAACACTGGTGTGGCGCCGTACATATCGATGCGCATTGCAATTGGATTTCTCTGGCTGGTGGTTTTGCAGAATGCGAAAGTGGAGGCTGGTTCTGCACGCGGTATGCGCAGACCGGGGAAATCGTCCGAAGTTACAAGTCTTCTGCATCTATCAGATGCCTCGAAGCGGATGAGCGAAATAATGAACTACTCATGGCGTCGGACTGCGCCTTCGTGACGGGCTGGAACCTGCGGGACCCCCATGCTGATAAAAATAAACCTCGTTTCCGAAGGAAGATCGACGGGCTGCCTGCGGTTTATACGCTGATCGCGGCGGACGCTCCATCAGCTTTGGCGCAGAATGCAGACAACGATTTAGCGATGAGTGACGACGACTTCGGCGCCGACCGCATACTTATCAGTGCGGGCGCGGCGCCCCACGCCGTCGTGACGGCCAAGGACCGCGTGCTCGCGTATTTGCAGCTGCCGGTTCCCGACATCAAACCTCCCGTGTAACTTTATGGGTCTTTATTTGTGTGGTGGTAATAATAAGTTACGGGTCGCGCGGCGGCGGGCTATGCGCATGTGTTGATTTCAGACGATCAAACATGTCCTTCTCCTCGAGCATCCAGGCGTGCCTCGAATTCGCCAGCGCTTTTCGAACTTCGTCCGGATTCGCGACGGAGTCGAGCGGAGGCCGTTTCCCGCGGATGATCGTGAAGTTCGCACTCGTCGTAGTAGAGATAGGTGACGTTCGTAGCTGCTTCAGAACGAGGGCCCACGCCTTATCAGAGCCGGGCGCGCCGTCAACTAAGTCCTCGTAGTAGTGGATTCTACTCCTTGCATCCTCGGCGCCGCAGTAGCTTGCGAACGCCTTTTCCGCTTTTTGGCGGGCTGTGATCTCCAAACCAATATAGTGGCTGATGCCGCTCGCGTTCAGGTGCGGTTTTGTGGACCGCTGCTGGTTCGCCTCCGTTTCAGACGTCGGATGCGCGTGGTGGCCGTTCCTAACCTATTGTGTCGAGTGAGCAACGCGCGTATGAGGACCCGCGCCGGGGGCAAGGACGCGGGTCGCGGCGGTCGCCGCGGTCGGAAGGCGGCGCCTGCCAAGTCTAGCTCAAAAAAAGAGTCAAAATCAAAGCAGAAGCCAATCAGCGCCGGTCGACGGGCGCCTGATTGGCACTGCGACTGGTGCGGGTGTTCGCAAGGGAAGACCTGCAAATTGCGCTGGGGGCCGAAGGGTGCGAAGACGTTGTGCGACAAGTGCGGACAACGCTTCCGCAGAGGCGAGGAGGGCCCGCAACCTACGGACTGGAAGTGCGATTCGTGCGGGCGCCCGCAAGAAGATCGGCGTGGCGGACGGTGCAGGGGTCCGAAGGGCCCCGGTACTTTATGCGCTTCGTGCGGCTCGCGCTACGGGAAGTCACGTCGCGCGACTCCCGCGTCGCGCGCGCAATCGCAATCAGGTTGTCCGGCGTGCCAGGGCAAGCATCGCGCGCACACGTGCGGTCGCGTGAAGGCGCCCAGCGTCGGCGAGCTCAAGGTCGCACTCGCGAAGGTGACGCGCGAGCGCGACGACGCGATGCGCGAGCGCGACGAGGCGCAGGACCGAAACGAGTGCATCGTGTGCATGGAGCGCCCGCGCGCCGTCCTACTCGTGTGTGAACCTCCTCGTGTATGCAACCACCTCCTCGTGTGCTCGACGTGCGCCGCCGCGCTCGCCGAGTGCCCCAACTGTCGCGCGACGATCACTACGCGCATCACGGTCGCCAACTCGAGCTAGAATAGACTACTAAACTTACTGATCAAGAAACGGAGTAGTACACGGTCGTGCACGCCTTCTGCCGATAGCGAAGAGTAACGCCCAGCACCATCATGCCGTCCTTGATGGCCGTGCAATATAAGTGATTCAAAGCGACATGCTGGGGCACGGGCAGAGCATTCGGATCCCCAGAAGGTGGTGCTTTGTTCAGGATGATATGTCTCAAATGCGGTGGCAGCGGTGGAGGATCCTTCGTGTACTCGTCCAAGTCCGGAATTTCGCGAGTATACTTCTCGTCGTCATCTTTCACGGCGCCTCGCCGCTCCAAAAAGTTCTCATCACCAGTGTACGCGTCGAAATCCGTCACGTCAATAAAATTGTTGATGCGGCCTTCTATATCTGCTACTGTAGGTTGATCGGGAGCGAAGCGCCACTCGTCGTCGACGACGAACTTGAAGGCATGTTTACCCTTCTTCAGATTGTGGATATACGTGAAATCGTTGCCGCTCCGATGCATCGGGATTTGTGCGGTCCAGTCGTTGAACGTGCCCGTCACAAAAACCTGTCTCCCGCCGTGCTCCCACCTAAATACGGTCGGGACTTCTTCCTCGTCGTCGTTTGTACTTGACTGGTCGACGTCCATCGGTTGTCCTCTGTTGGGTGGGGTTGGTGCCTCGGGTGGTCTTGGACTTGTAGCGGGCCCCGGCGCGACAGCTCTAGGTCGGTCCGATACGGGCCGCTGCCCCGTCGGCGGGATGGGCGCGTTCTCGGGGCGCGGCCGCGAGCCGGGCGGCAGCTCGCCGCCGACCTCCTTGGCCCACTGGTTGCCCATGGCCTACGTCGTGCTTTTAGGGTCGCGGCGACGGTGTCGGGCCGGCGCGCGGGGAAAACAGATGGTCTAGGCTTGCCCGAAGGACCGTTTTAGGGCCTCGGCGACGGCGTATCGGCGGCACGCGGGCAAAGCAACGCCCCAGTGCACCGACCTTGGAGTACAGCTGTACGCGTCGGCGCGGAACGTAAGGGCACGGCGGCAGCTTCTACGTCCTCCGCTGTATATATGCGACTTCTGGGGCCGCCGTAAGGTCGCTCGGGAAGCCTGTACGGGCCTCTGCACCGAGTTGCTGCTGCTTGCTAGTGGTCTTATGCGCTAGCAACGGCGATGAGTTTTTGGGCTCTAGTTCGTCTGTAGCTTGTTATTGCTCCCCCAAAGCTCCGTGGTGATCGGTATCAAGCATCATTTGCTGGCCTGCAAGCGACAGCGTCACGCATTACGCCTCCGCCGCGCAAGGCACCCTGCAGCAACTACAATGTCCAGCAGCAGCACGAGACCGCCCCTCCGATTAGCAGGCGCGCGCGACCTGCGCAGTAGGCTAGTACTCGCCACGTTAGCACGAAGACCGGTCGAGATACGACGGCTCCGGGCCGACGCGGAGCGGCCGGGCCTGCGCGGCGACGAAGCGAGCTTCGTGCGCCTCTTGGACAAGCTCACGAGCGGGTCTCGTATAAGTATAGACGAGACGGGCACCACGCTAAGATACAGCCCAGGAACCTTGTGCGGTGGTTCCATTGAACACGACTGCGGTCCGTCCGGACGACCCATCGGCTGGTTCCTGTCGGCTCTTCTCCCGCTCGCGCCCTTCGGCGCGAAACCGCTTCGCTTGACGCTGAAGGGTGTGACTTGTGGCAACGACAAAGCGCGGTCCGCCGACGCGTTGTCGAAGATCGCGGCGCCTCTACTAGACAAATTTGGCTGTAAAGGCTGCGCCATCGACGTGGAGAGGAGGGAAGCCGTGACACGGGACAAGAAGCGGGACTGGACGAAGCAGGCCGGGTCCGTCGTACTCAGGTGTCCCTGCGTGAGGACGCTGGACCCGGTCGACTTGGACGCGCCCTCACAAACGAAACGAGTCCGGGGCGTGGCCTACGCGACCAGATGCGCGCCGGCGTTAGCAAACAGGTGCGCGGCAGCAGCTCGAGAGTTCCTCGAGCCCCTGCACGTCGACGTGCGCGTCGCGACGGACGCGTCGGCGCAGCGCGACTGTGCCCCCGTCGCGGGCGTCGGCATCGTATTGATCGCGGAGAACGATGCTTTGGCGAGAGGGGCGGAGCGCGACGCCGCCAGCATGGAAGGCGACGCGTCGCCCGAGGCTTTAGGTGAGGGCGCGGCACGCGCTTTAGTTGCGGAGGTGAAGAGCGGCGGCTGCGTCGACGCCGCCACCCAACCGTTACTACTAACGCTGATGGCCTGCGGCGCCGACGACGCCTCGAGCTGTGTGCTCGGGCCGCTGACGGCGCGCGCGATTTCTCAACTCCGCCTGGTCAAGAAGTTTTTAGGGGTGACGTTCCGATTGGCGCAGGAGGAGGGAGTGGTCCGGGCGACGTGCCTCGGTGCCGGGTTGAGGAATGCGTCGAAGGGGGTTTCATAGGTGCTTACACATTGCTAGTCTCGCGGCGGCGGAGCACGGCTCGCGCGATTTGCAACTTCCCCTCCATCGTCCGTAACAGCGGATGCGATATTCCAAGCACGCGCCGCGCGGTCCGTACCGTGTCCTCAAGTGCCGTCACGGCCTCGCGGAGATCATCGAGCGTGGCGGCGGGGTCCGGAAAGAGCGCCACCGCGTATAAGCATCTCATCTTGAGCGTACACTCATGACTCTCTCCGAGAACGCGCCGTGTCACGGGCACAATCTTGCGCAGCAGTAGCTTAGCTTCTGCGTAGCGCTGTAGATCCAGAAGGGACGTCGCGTAGTTGTTGGCTGCAGTAAGGGTTCGTGGATGTTGTTCGCCGTGAAGCTTCAACCGTCCAGAGTATACGTCTCGATGCATCGGCGCGGCATCTTCGAGCCGTCCAAGCGCTCCATACGTGATCGCAAGATTGTTCTGCACGGTGATTATTCTTTCTGCTGATCGGGCGGGTCGGGCCCGACGGAGATCGAGCTCACGCGCTCGGGCTCGGACTCGAAGGCGCGGAGCCCGTTCTGGGGCGGGGCGTCGCCCTGACTCGTTTTCCGGTATTGTTACGATTGATAGATATAGTTAACTAATGGCCCAGCCCTACTTTTAGGCGTTGGTTCACCGCGGCCATAGATAATGATAGATTATAGATAATATACGAAGTTAAGATAAACCTACTTGAGCACGGGACAGCACCCGAACATGTAGCCGTCCGCCTGCGGGCAGCAGAATCCGCTCAGGCCCAAAGCCGCACACGCCAGGTTGCCGTCGCACGTCTGGTCGGCCACGTCAGAAGCGTTCCAGGGCAGCTCCGTCGCGTTCGACGCTTCGACGTCGCCGCAGGCCGGCGCCGGGCCCATGGCCTTTGAGGCGGCGACCCAGTGCAGTAAGTTAGCTTTGGACGCGCCGTCGTCGAACTTGGCCTCGTCGAGTTCGACGGCTTCGGCCCAGGCCTCGTCGGGCGACGCGGCGGCTAGTGAGGCGACGGCGAAGCCGCGCCACGCGGGCTCCACGGGCTTGTGTTTCCGCGCCAAAGCTTGGGTCAAAATCGGCGCCTCGGCACACGCGTCCTCGCCGTCAATCAGCAAATCCGTCAAACCGGTAAGTACCGGCAAACAATTGATGCCGTGGACGTACTCCGGGTTGCTCCCGAACCACGTCGTCGCTACCGCCGCGCCGCCGGCCACGCCGCCCGCTACCCGGTTGACGGCGAAGGCGGGATCATACACGTCCGAAGAAGGGTCCATGCGCCAGTACGTCTGCGCGCCCCTCACTTCCGTCGCCAGGCACAGTCGACCCCACGCCGCCAAGGAAGCGTCGTGGATCGCTTCGCCATACAGGGCCGCACCTAAGTAGCCGTGCGCCGCCTCCGAAGAACTTTCTTGGGATTTCCCGGTCGGGTAAGCTACGAGACCCGTCGCCCAGGAGTGGCCGTCGTACCAGTCCTTGTGGCGCCCGTGCTCCGGAAACGCCCGAGCGTATGATTGATAGCCTCGCGGCGGGTTCGCGTAATCAAGCACCAAAGCGTCCAAACGCGGCCGCCACTCGTCGATGAGGCGTGCACCATCTACGTGTAATGCTTTGACCACAGCGGCAGCATAGGCGTAGTAGCCAAATTGAAAATGATGGTCGCTGAAAAGGGCATTGCCAAAGTCCGCGAAGGAGTCGCCCGTCGCGCCTACTGTGCTATTTATAGGATATCCGGATCGAGCGACGGTGCCGCCCCAGGTCTTGTCTCTCCCCACGACATCATCCCTCGCGAGCCACCTTGATAAACGCGTCGCGAGGTCATTTGTCGCTTTTTGGGAGGCCTCGTCACTTCCCGCGTCGGCGCAGACCAGGGCTAGTCTCGCTAGTCTTCCAAGTTCCTTGCCCTCGAAGTACAACGCGCCGTAGGCTCCTCTACCAGAAGATCTCGTCCGGTGCGGCCTTCTCACATCTCTCTCGCACTGCTGCTTGATGGTTGTCAGCGTGTCTCGATCGACGCGTCCGTCCCGGAACGACGCCGAAGCTAGCGACACGTCCGGTAGGGCTTCTCGTAATTTCCATCCATCACCCTTGAACCAATGCATCGTGCCCTTGGCTCCCGTTAAGTAGCTCCGCCCTTCGTCCACAGATGAATCTACTAATGTAGAGACGTGGTGCGGCGCCGCGAGCATGTACAAGTCACCGTCGCCTCGCTTGTCCCACCTCAAGTGGTACGTGCCCGGGTCCGGGCCGTTCAAATCAAAAGCCGGCGCGCCGCCGACACTATACGTCGTTGCGGCTTTCCGTAACATGGACCAGTCCTCCTTTGATGAAGGGGCGATCCCAATACGCACGACACAAGCACTCGAAGATGCGGTGACGCCGAAGGCCTCGCCCTTTGACGATAATGAGACGTCGCAGCCGAGCGACACCAAGACCCACTGTGACGAGTCCTTGAGCGTGACGAGTCGGATATCGTCCTTCATCTCGACACTCGTGATGCGGCCGGCTTGACCGCCGCCCGCGCCGCCCGGCGCTAGTACCACACTTTTACCTTTGTCGAGCTCGACCGCTACCAGGGGAGAGCCCTTGCATAATACCACACCAACGCCACCGTAGTCCGCAGTAGCACCAAGAGCGGACCGCCTTTCTAGAGTCGCGTTCTGCGTTCGATTCGAGTAGCCGTACAACGCATCCCCAGAAGCCACGAAAAAACCGCCCGCCTCGGCCTCGACTTTCTTGACCCTCGATGCGGCCTCAGAAGCGACCGTCGCCGCGTCCCCACCATCTGAAACGGGCTGCAGGAACCAGTCGACCCCGAACGGGTCGAGCTGCGCTTCAGATGTTGCCCGCCGTCGCTTAAACCCGTAGGAGAGCTGCGCGCCCTTTGGGGTAATTGCGACTTGATACGGTGTGGCCGGCACGGGCACGTCCCCGAGCGCGGCGTTGAGCCAGTAGGCGCCCGTCGGGTACGGCGCTCTCGAACCGCGGCCCCACCTCGTTTTTTCTGGTGGGGCGAAGTGGGCTGGTAACGTGGAAAAGGGCGGGATCCTCGTGGTGGTTGCTTTTCGTTTCGCATTGGTATACCTCGCCCAGCCCGCGACGATCGTCAGGACGGCGAGGCCTGCTAGCATCAGGCGGCCGAGCGCGCTTTGCTGGCGCGTCGGCATCGCTTGCACTGCTGCTGCTAATCCAGAACTGTATTGCGAGCTGCTCGCGCGATTGCGTGGGTGTGACACGGCTGCCTTGTCTTGGATGCTAGTTGTACGCAACGATGGCGCTTGCTTGTTGCAAAAAGCAGTTGCGTGCCAGTAGCGCAGCACGGTAGCGTCACTACCAACTCGTTTACGCAGCAAGCCACTGCAATCAATGCGCGAAAACGGCCTCCGCGAGGCAGTGACGACGCTATCGTGCGGGGTCGGGTTTTCGCTTTGCACGAGTCCTCCGAAAGATCCTACAGGAGTCCTCTCTTTGTAACGGCTGGCGGCCGGAAGCGTGGCGCCGGCTCAGCAACTCCCGGACCTGGGCAGAGGCGCAACGCGGGACAGAGGCGCAAGCCGGACGCCTACGAAACGACGAGGGGCAGCCCCACGCCGCCGCCCAAGTGCTCCACAGTTTCCTACGAACACCACGAGCGCCTCTCGGACGTAGCGCCGCGCAAGACCAGCCAGGGAGCAAGGGCAGCCCCACCCCAGAGCAGCCTCCCGCGAGCAACGAGCCACCATGTCGCGCTCCGTCGCCACGGAGCAGAGCGACTTCGAGTCGAAGATGCTCCTCGTCAAACAGAAGAAGAAGCAGGCCGAGCACGACAAGCGCTTGTTGGTCAATCGCATCGCGCTCCTGAAAAAAGAGGAGCGCAAGGCCTACAAGAAGATCGAGAAGACCAAGGAGCGGGCCCAGGAGGTGCTGACCGTGCGCATCGAGCACGAGCGCCACCATTCTGAAAGGGTGGCTCGTCATGCACGGAACGAGCGGCGACGAAAACTCGAGGCCGAAGCAAATAAAGCAAGTGAAGCGGAAGCGCGTAGAAACAGGCAACTCGCCATGCAGCACGTGCAGCAGCTCAAGTTCGCCAAGGTCCGAGAAGCTCGCTCCGAAGCCGCACAGGCTCGGGATGAAATAAGGGCAGAACAGCTCGCTGACGTCGTCGAGAAGCAACGGAAACGCGCGGAAGTGAAGGAACACGAAGCGAAATTGCGAGAGAGAAAACAACAAGAGATGCAGGGCATTCTGAAAAGAAACAGAAAAGCTTACGAACGGAAAGTGAAGGAGGAGGAAAAGGCAACTCTGTTACGAGAGAAGGAGGTCGCGCGCATGGAGCGCGAGGAGATGAAGCTGATCCAGAAACTGAAAAAAACTCAGGTCATGCAGCAGCAGGCGTTCGAAGATCTCGAGAACGCGTTGAACGGGGATTTGAGCCATCTGACGCAGGTCGAGGAGCCGTCGCCGGTGAAGCGACGGCCCGCGACGCCGCCTCTCCGTGAGGAGTCGAAGGACCCCGAGCCGACGCCGGAGCCCGAGCCCGAAGAGCAGTAATACCTAAATTTCAAGAAATCCACTCCGAGTCAGGCTGGCAGGCTTCGAAACCCACCGCGATACCACGACTGCCAGTCAGTGGCAGGCTCTCTAGGCAGGCTCGACGACTCGGAAGACCAACCAGTTTAAGCGACCTAGCGCCTGGGACCTAGGCCGACTCCTCCTCCTTCTCGCCCGACTCGAGGACCCGCGCGGCCTTGGCGGCCTCGCCCTCCTCCAATCCCTCCTTGAACTCCTTGGGCACGTCCTTGAGCTCGCCGGCCACCTTCCCGAAGTCCTTCGCCATGCTCGCGAGCTTGTCCGGGCCGAGCACGAAGGCGCCCAACCCAAGAATGACGACGAGCTCCGGCGCGCCGAGGCCGAAGAGGCTGTTCGTGACGACGGACCTGCGCGTTTTGTGCGCGTGACGCTCGCGCCGACGGCGCGTCTGTCGCGTGCGTCGCTCGTTCCGCCTGCTCTTGTGTTTTTGGACGATCTCGCGTTGATGGCGTGCCCGCGGGCGTCTTGCTCTCGGACGCGGGCGCATACCGCCGCGGCGGCGGCACGGAGTTGGGCCTCCTGGCAGTAACAAGCGGTGTAGGCCTCGTCACGAAAGCCGAGCAAGCGCCAACCGTAACCGCAAGCACAGATAAGCAACGCATAATCTCTTTCCAGCCGCTGAGTCGCCTGCGGGTCCGTTCTACGGGGCTAACACTGCGGCGCTCTGTCCTCAATAACGCTAGCGGCGGTAAGACACTAGAAAGCCAAGCAGCCAAGTTTTAGCCACCGTAAAGCACGTAAAAGCACGCAAGCCCGCGTCCGCTCCAGCCGCCTCTACTCGTATTCATCCAGCGGTTGACTTGAGCAAAAAAACGGCGCCCCGCGGCGACCCCTTAAGGGCTCTGGTCAAGCCGGCGCTCAAATTGCGCTGCGAGGGGAAGCCGTCGCGGCGCCACCCGCGCCGCCGCACCGCTCATTGCGCTCAAATTGCCCGCGCGCACGCCGCACCGCGCGCCGCACCCAAAGCGGGGGCACGCCCGTCACCGCGAGAGGCCGCCGCCGCGCACACATCACCGCCCGCCGCCGCAGGTCCCAAAAACAAAATGGACCGGGCCCCGAGAGCGTAAGAGCCGTCCAGGCCGCCCAGGGCGCCGCGGCCGCCGCGGCCCTCGTCCAGCAGCAGGACCCGAGCTCGCAGATCGAGCTCGAGCTGCCGATCGACGCTTTTGCGGGAGACGCCGACCACCAGAAGCAGATCCACCAGGACTTCTGGCAGGGGTTCGATCCGAAGGACCTCGGCGAGTCGAACGATTGATTATGAGGCGCCTCGTCGCACTACGACCACGACCACGACCACGACCACCACCGCGCCGCGCGCTGTCGGCGCGGGGTAACAAGGGACCGCCGCGACCGCGACCGCGCCGCTCGCCCCTGCATGACGCGGTTCGCTGGACGGAGCGGCAGCAGGGCTTCCGCTGGTCGCGCCTGAACGCCGGCCAGGGTGTGCACGTGGCGGGGACCTGGGTCCTGCTCGGCGTCTTCGGTGCCGTGTGTGTCTATTCCGTCTTCGTCGTAGTTACCGGCGTCCCTCGACGCGTCTACGAAATCGTCGATCACACGCTGCGCGAGCCTGACTGGATGGAGGTCGCCGACATTTTGATTCGTGCCGAGGGCGAGGATCTTGCCGAGCTGGTCCGGAACCCGCTCTATCGGGATGTCGGGTTCGGCGACGACCAGCTCTATCGGCGACGCCGGCCCGGCGGCGACTGGCGCTACCGGTTCATGGACGACGAGCTCGAGGAGCTGGGGCGCATGGGCGTGGACGTCGACTCTCGATATAACGGGCCGACGAAGGACCAGAGGCATGCCATCCTCACGGCGCGGCGCTTCCGGGGGCTGCGGAAGCTTGTTGACTCCGGCCGGCTCTCCGATGACGACAAGCGGGAGCTCAGGAAGCAGTTCGCGCGGAGCCGCAGCGACGACGACGTCGAGAAGATACGCGAGCTGAGCAAGAACCGGGACCAGCTGGACGCGCCGACCCGGGAGTTGGTCGACCTGTGGAATAGCCTCTCCCGGGTCGCGGATGGCGGCTCCGGGGGGAAGTCCGAAGAGTAATGTGCAATCAAGTTAATTGTACGTAGATTGTTACGGTGCAGGACAGTGGGCAGAGAGCCCCTGGGGGGGAGACACTGCGCGTCGCCGATTCATCGGCGGCGGGCGCGTGCCGCTTGCCGCTTCTTTCACAACAGCGTACCTCCTTCTAAGCTGAACCGCCTCGACACCCCGCCCTCCCCCCCCCGAGCATGTACAACGTCAACCCCGGGCAAACAGCTAGCGGCTGTGAGACACTAGAAACATGATAATGCCATGTTGGGCAGCCCAATCCGACGCTGTGCTGCTGTGCTTTCGCTAAGGGCCAGGGACTAGAGCCCCCCCGGTGCCGCAAGTCGTCCGGAGCCGTCCCCGGCGCGGCCCAATCCAATCCAATCCAGTGCTGCGTGCTGTGCTTAAGGACTAGGGATCGACTGGCGGTCTCCGGGCCTGTCCACAGCGACTGACGAGGCCATATGGCGCTGCTCCGAGGCCTGCGCGCCGCCGCCGCGCGCCTCCCACGACGACCACCGCCGTCGACGCGACGCCGCGCGCTGACGTCGACCAAGGAGCGGTCCAAGGCGAGCCGCGAGGACGACCAGCGTCTGTATCACCGGGCGAAGTTGGCTGGGGCCTTGAATGACGAGCCAACAAAAAACCCGATGATCGACGCCGTCCTGGGCGCGGCCGTGGCCCTGTTCTTCGGCGGCGGGATCTACGCCCTGTTCCTCCGCTCCTCGGGGCGGCTGTCCGTCCCGGCCGATCCGACGGACCGCCAGTTCTTCGAAAACCCGAGGTACAAAGGATGGCGGAAGAAGTTTACGGACGAGGAGCTTGAGTGGCTGGGGGATAACCGACCGACCAAAGCGCAGGAGGCGGCCATCCTCGCGGCGCGGCGGCGAGCCTATATATATATACGCCCGTCGCCGAAATAATTGAGGCGGCGCCCGTCGTCGTGTTTTCAGCCCCTGATTGCCCGTACTGCGACGAGGCGAAAGCCGCCCTCCGCGACGCCGGCGTGGCGTTCACGGAGGTCGCCGCGAGCGACTGGCAGCGGGTGCAGCTGACGAAGCGGACGGGCTCGCGGACCGTGCCCCAGGTCTTCGCGGGCGGCGAGTTCGTCGGCGGCTGCCACGACGGCGGGCTTGGTGGCACGGTTCCGCTCCTCCGCATGGGGTTGCTCCAGGAGATGGCCGCGCGGGCCGCCGGCGAGCGGGACCGCGAGAAGCAGGCCGTCGAACGCCAGCTCGCCCGTCGCGACGGCCGCCTGCACGTCGTCGGCGTCGAGCCAGCCGACGCCGTCGTCGTCGGCCGCGTCCATCCCGCGCACGCGGCCGCCGGCGACGAGCTCGCGCGGCTGCGGCGGCAGCTCGCCGCCGAGAAGAAAGACTAATGTGCAAACTTAAACAGGCGACTCCTAGTCCGGGTCCTCCATGAACCGCGCGGGATCGGCGAGCACGTCCCGCAGGCCGACGTCGTCCTTCCTCCTTTTCAGGACGAACAACGACGGCGTGTCCATGATTCTCAAATCCTCGTCGACGTACCGCAGCTTCCAGGCGCCGCCGCCCTTCATATCCTTCTCGAAGAGCTTCACGCCAAAAAGCTCGACCCCCAAACTCTCGAAGTCCACGCGGTAGGTCTGGCCGTCCTTCGGCGTCCGTTTAGCCTGCAGCGCCAGGCGCAGCGGCCCCAGCTCGACCGAATTCTCGAATTTCACGTCATCAATAAAAGTTTGCGTGACGGCGCCGACGAAGGGCCCAATCTTGCCGGAGGAGCCGCCTTGGACGGTCGTGAAGACCAATGAATGCTCTCCTGTTAATGGAGCGAAGAGCTGCTTGTCCTGGCGCGCTTCGAGCTCGTCGCATAAAGCGGCAACAGTGGCGCGCTTGCGCTCGTCGGCGTCGACGCCGTTGCGCGTGCCCTTCGCCGCTTTGATGATCTGCGTCTTGAGCGCGGCCGTCGTCTCGCCGGTCAGCGCGAGCTGGCTCCGCACTTGCGTCGGCGTCAGCGCGCGCGTCGTCGCGGCGGCGACGGCGAGGGTGAGCCAACGCATCCGTCGAAGAGCTTTCGCTGCGCCTGTGGTCTCTGTCAGTCTCCGCGCGCCTCCGGCCGAAGATCTTGTCTGTGCTGCTCTCTTGTGGTGCGGCTCCTAGCCGTCTAAACTCGCCGCGATTTCGCTGCCGCCGACTTGCGCTGTCAAAGTCGGCAATGTTTAAGCAGCGAATTGGCTCGAAACGACGTCTTATGCGCACGATGTGCAATGCGACCAAGCAGGCCTCCAAGCTGGCACGAGCTGCCAAGTCACGGGTTTTTCAGACCTCCGAGAAAGAGGTCCGCCAGGCCTGCGACGGGTCCCCGAGGCGACGCGGGACCGCGTCGCGGCCGGCGCACCCGCCCGAAGCTCTAGGGCGGGTGGCGCCCAGCCTTTACAAAACGGCATCGCTTTGCGGCCATTCCAGCCGGACCGACCCGCCGAGCCGAACGCGGTGAACTGTTTGCGTGAAGGACCATAGAACCAGGCGGGAACGATGGGGCTCCTCGTGCGCCCTCCGTGTCGAAAGCAAGGCAGCCCACCGATTAGCCTGCCCCATGAATCCCCGCGCGGCGCGCGCGGCGCGGCGCTGCCCGGGGGACGCGGTCGACACGACGTCCGAGCGGCCGAGCTCCGCGCCGCGCGGGCGGCTCGGCCGACGTGGCCATCAGATTCGAGTTGCCGAGTCGCCGCGTCGCCGCCGAGAGGACTCCTCCTCGCCCCCCGGTACGACGTCGCGCCTACTCCGGACCCACGCCCACGGGACGCGGTCAATACGCGGGCGTTGCGACCGAGCTCCGCGCGAGGCGCGGCCGGCTCGGACCCGTGAGACTCGCGCCGTCGCGTCGCCGCCGTCGAGAGGACGCCCATTCACGCCATCGCCGCGACCCCACCCCCGCGCGCAGACGCTCCTCCGCAAGCTCAAGCGCTCGGACAACGAAGCTAGAATCCTGGTCTTGGGCCTGGACAACTCCGGGAAAACGACGATCCTCAAGAAGTTGAGCGAGGAGGATATTAGTCATATCATGCCCACCCAAGGCTTCAACATCAAGTCCCTCATGCAGGACGGCTTCAAGTTAAATGTGTGGGACATCGGGGGCCAGAAGAGCATCCGACCGTACTGGCGGAACTACTTCGACCAGACCGATGCCTTAGTGTATGTCATCGACGCCGCGGACCACCGTAGGATGGAAGAGACGTCCATGGAGCTCGGACAGCTCGTGGATGAGGCGAAGCTGGCGGACATCCCCGTGTTGGTGTACGGCAACAAGTCTGATCTGATGAACGCGATGGAGCAGTGCGAGATCGAGGAGTCCGTGGCGCCCGTGCTCAAGGGGCGCAACTACTTCGTCGTCGAGTGCTCGGCGAAGACGGGCAAGGGGTTACAAGACGGCATGGAGTGGCTCGTCGACCAGATCAACAAGGGCGAGTAGGGTCGTTGGGGGTGCCCTGTTTAACGTTCCCTCCTCTTAGTACCCTGCCTCTCTCTTACTACTCGGGGATACGCCTCGATGGCGTATAAAAAACGAGCTCCGCTCATACGCCATCGCCGCGACCGCCGACATAGGCGCCGCGCCGACGCCGAAAACCACCGATATTCAATAGTTACACGTACGGGAATCAGCCCCCCATCTCCTCGGGCGTCGGCCGCGCGGGCCCCTTCACGACCGGGTTGAAGAGCGGGTCCGAGAACCGCTTGAGATATTTGTGCACCGAACTCAAGTTGTCCCAGACCGTGTCGAAGTGGATGTACTGGCCGCCCTTCGCCGTGACGAAGGGCCGGACCTTCTTCGAGATGTGCGGATAATGCGAGTGCGCGATCCGCGGAAAGAGGTGGTGCTCGATCTGGTAGTTCAGGCCGCCGTTCAAGACACAGAGCTTCTCGCCGCCGACGTTCGACGACGACGCGGCCTGCTGCTTGAGGAACCCCGAATCGGCCTCGTACAAACAGTCGCCGCCGGCGTTCGCACCCTCGGTAAAATGGACCCCGTCGAAGTTGTGGCTCAAGAAGAAGAAGAACGCCAGGTAAAAACCACCGACCGTCGACATCCACAGCGACACGGCCAGTTCTCTTCCTACAGCTGAGAACACCTCGTCCGGTGTCGCGGCCCGAATCGCCACCAGTGAAGGCAGAATGATGTGCCGGACGTAGTACAGGAGATGCAACAAAGTAGACTGCGTCCGCCAGCACGGCATCGCCAACCTCGACAGGGGGTACTCAAATTTATGAGACCAAGCTAACACCTCGAAGAAGTGCCCGATGTTCGGCACGACCCAGTAGCCTAACTCGAGCAACAGAAAGTAGTAGTGCTGCAGCACCATCCAGGGCAGGTACATGCTCCCGGAGTAGCCCCGCATCGCCGGCGCCATCTGCGCGTCGGGATCCATGTGGACATCTCCCGTATGCATGTGGTGCAGCACGACATGTTCTTGCAACCACATGACTTGCGAGCCGCCGATCCACTGCTGCGAAAGGCCCCAGGCCATGTTCTTCAGGCCGTCCTTGAACATGGCCCCATGGTTCGCGTCGTGCTGGATGTTCAACCCGATCATCGCATATAAAAAGCCCAGGACCGTCGCGAGGGCCCAGGACCGCTTCACCGTCAAAGCGTAGGCCTCCAATGCGAAAGCTAAAACCCAGATGAACGCGGCCTTGTACTGCTGGTGCCGCGGCGCGAAGTAGGGCGCCGCGCCGCCCAGCTTCTTCGACAGCTCGAGGTGGTCCTGATCGAACCTTGTAATTGTTTCGCCGGGCGCCAATCGACCCCGCAGGTACGGCCGCAGCTTCTCGTGCGGGAAGTTGCGCATGTGGTAGGACTGGAACGCGAGGGTCCCGTCGCGGCCGCCGAACATGGCCACGAACAGGCTTCCTCCAGGGTGCGCCCATTGGAAGCGGTCCGCGTCGTAGACGCGGTCCTCAATAATAACAAGGTCGTGCCGCTGGCTCTCGATCTCGCGCCGCGTGAACGTCGTCTTCTCGTGGTCTATTTCCCTCAGCGCTTTATCCGCGGCGGCCGCGGAGTCCGCGTGCGCGGCGGCCTCCTTCACGAGGTTGGACGCGAGGCACATCTCGCGTCCGGTTTGTTGCGCGCCCTTCCCTATCTTTGCTTTTGGCTCTTGGCTCTGGCGCAGCGCCTCGCTCGTCGGCGCTCGTCGCGCGTCAGTATCGCCTGGCGCTGCTGCTGCTTTTCTCTGGCCCACCTGAGTTGGCGGCTCCGGGAGCAGTGTCGAGGGCTGAAGCGCTGTTCGCGTATGGTACAGTAGCGTTCGTTCGCTCGTCCTGAGCTGTAATGCTGTGTCGCGGCCGTTCGACGGAGGACCAGCGGCTGAGGCGTGGCGTGAAATGAGGCTGCGAGAAAAGCCGACGCACATCTCCAAAGGCCTGTCAGTGAGCCATACACGAGTCCTGGAGCACGCAGATGCAAAACGACTGGTGCTGGACACCTAGCGTGCATTGACACACTAGGATTGCAGGCACCGGAGCCAAAGCGGACAAGACAGGCCAGAAGCGGGCGCGTTACGGACCCCTTGAGGCTAGGAGAGCCTCAGCTGTCGCGCCAGCTGCTTGCGTGCAGCGGCAGATGCGAGCAATAAGGGCCGCTCTGTCGCAAAACCGCGCTAACCAGACAGATCAAGCTCAAGGCGCCGCAGCGCTCAAACCCATCGTCCGCCGGCCGCCGGCGCCGCGCGCACTGACGGGCATGTTCGACCCCTCGAAAGTTGGACAACGGCAGAACGCCTCCGCGCGAGTAGTAGCGTGGGCGAAAGAGCTCCTGCCAGACACGGTCAAGGCCGCGATCCGAGCCGTGCCCGACACGGTGTTGATAAATGCGCGAGAAGTGCAATGTGGCGACCCGAATTGTAGTCCAGTAGATGTGGCCATCGCCATCGTCTTCAAAAATGGCCGAAGGGCCATGTGCGGCATCCCGATGGCGATGAATGAGGTAAGGCAGGAGGACGTCGCGCTATGTATCAATGAGATCCATGATGAGTTATTAGCTTGCCATGCGGACATCCCCTGGACGGAGACGCGGCCGCGGCCGCGATTGACTCAACAGGGGGACCGCGCGCTCGAAGCCATTGCGAGGGCCATCACCGAGAACGTGGTGAATCTGGACGCGCGGGATGTCGCTGGTGTCTGTACGATGGCCATTGAGTTGCTAGAACAACTCGAGGACGACGCCGCTCGATCTCTCGCGCCGCCGCCGTTCCAGGCGCGGCCGCCGCCGCCGTCGCTCGATCCATCCACCAAGCTCTTAGCTGCCGCCCAAAGAGATGATGCCAATGCCATCAAAGCGTGCTTGGCCGAGGGCTTGGATCCTTCGTACGGGAACTCGCTGGGCCAGACGGCTTTACATATTGCAGCGATGTGGGGCAACGCTAATGCATTAGATGCTCTGATAGCTGCTGGTGCAAATGTCAACGCGCAGAACCAACTCTCAGCCGCGTCGCCCCTGCACATCGCGGCGTCCTCCATCAAGGCCGCGCCCGGGCGCTTGGCCTGCGCGGCGCGGCTCTTAGAAGCGGGCGCCGACGCGCGGTTATTGGACGAGGACGGCGACGCGCCCTACGAGAAGGTGCTCGGCGGCGACGACTTCGCGCGCGAGCTGCGGGCGTTGTTGCAGACCGCGTTCGAGCGGGCCGCCCGGTGATTTGTCTGTCCGCGACGGCGTAATGTGGCGCCGCCGCCAGTTGTTGTTTTGGCTTTTGTCTTCTTTCTTGGGGTGGTGGCAGCTGCACGACGTCGTAGAACGACGCGCGCGTCCTTCTGCCGCACGGGTTTTGTGGTCACGCGAATCGGCTCTAGCTCCGCGCATTTGTCTCTGCTGGCACCCAAAATTTGGCAGGGTAGCCTCAGGTACGCTACGCGTCTCTCCAGAGCTTTTGGGCTCCAGCGGTGCGGCGCGCGCTGCGCATCGATCGGTGCGCCTCGTGCAGGGCCTACTGCTGGCTGCGTACTATAAGCGCACGACAGCGCGGCGCTGCCTGGGCATCGCTGCGACACAATGGCGTCCCTGGCGGCAGCAATCGATGTGGATGCCGACGACACACCCACACCACGCGTCGTCCGTGGCACGGGCAGCTCGGCTGCGCCGCTGGAGCTCGAGTCTTCGGATTCTGAAAACGACGCGCCGCGCGCGAAACGGCGGCGCTCGGACGCGCCGCCGCCGCCCGCGCAAGCCGCGGTGGCTCCTGCCCTCCTGCCGACTGCGGAGCACGTCTTGCCTCCCGATCCCGTGGACGGCGCCCGGAATTCCTTCGAGTCCTTCCTGTCCGAAGGCCACCATAACGGGAATCGGAAGCCAGAGTGCCTCGTCTACCTGTGCTGCCGCGAATCGACCGAAGGCTTCAGAGCCGGCCTGGCGCGGTGCAAGGAGAGCTGCGACGAGTGGCCGCACATCCAGGACAAATGCATGCAGCGGGACGGATCGCGGCACATCTCGTTCCACAAGGGCCGGCTGAGCGCCGGCCAGGTGCGGGAGATAGCCGAGCGCTGCAGAGGGCTATCGCCCCCGACGGAGGTGGCGTTCGGGCCAGGATTTAATAACTGGTCCGCGGGCAACTATATTGGCCTGGCGAAATCATCGAGAGACGCGCTGCGCGCCCTCAAGGAGGAAATTATGGGCCCAATCAAAGGCGGCAAGGCCAACTGCGACCACTTATCCCTGTACCGCAAGAGGGGATTGAAGGGCCCGGACGTGGATGCCGCGTTCGCAAGTGTACGCCGGGCCATGGCCGGGCACGACTGGGGCTCGCTACCCGTCCATAGCATCCGAATCAAGATCATGCGCAAGGGGTACGACGAGTGCAAGGTGCTGCTGTCTGTGTAAGTTTGGTTGTACTACTACTACTCTTACACACACACGAAACTGACGACGCGAGGCCGTGATCACTAGACCCACGAATCCTCGCCTGGGCAATCGTCAGGAGGGTCGAGCCGCGCCGAAATCTGCTCCGCCAGCAAAGACGCGAGCTCGAAGTCGCCGTTCGACAGCGCGGCGTCGAGCGAGTTCACGTCGCCGGCGGCGACGCGGCCGCGGTCCGCGCGTGCCCGCTCGAGCACGGCTACGGCGTCTTTCGGCGGCGGCTTCTTCGTACAGACCCGTTCGGCCGCCCGCAAAACGCGTCGACAGGCCACGCGCGCGCGGCCCCAGTCCTGCGCCGCCCACGCGTGCTCCGCCAGGCAGAGGTCGACGGCGTACGCGTCGTGGCGGCGGTGCTCCGGCAGCGCGCGCGCCGCGGCGATGGCGCGCGCCACGTCGGCCGGTGGCGCGCCGTCGTCGTTCGTCGGACCGGCGAAGACGTCCTCGTCCTCGTCCCCTCGATTCCGCGACGCGCGCATCGCGTCGGCCTCGGCGAGCAGCCGTTTCGTCGCGCCGAGGAGCGGAACCTTGGCGTCGCCGAGCGCCGCCGCGCGCAGCTCCGCCGCGTGGCGCTGCTCTTGCGCCGCGAGCTGCGCCTCGAACGCGCGCCGCAGCGCCTCGACGTCGCCGGTCGCCGCCGCGGCGGCGAGGTCCACAGCTGGAGGTTCCTCCGGGCGTTTTGCGGCGCCAGGCGGGTCGTCAAATTCGCTGATTAATGTTGCCATTTGCTGCTCGGCGGCGTGGGAGGGATGTGTGCTGTCCCTGCTCCAGGGCTGAGGCTGTTGCGAGTGAGCTGCTCGCGAGCGTGGGAGGCTGTATGACAGCGTGGGAGGCTGTATGTCCTGCAGAGGTCGTTGCGCGAGCCGAAAAATGACTGCAGCCGCAGCAACTGCAAGAATCGATGATAGATCGATGATAAATGCTTAAATGGGTCTTATTTGCGAGTTGCGCGTGTTGGGCCTTCAGCCGTCCTAGTGTACTTAAGTACGCTAGCAAGCCGCACCGACAAGACGACAGAGTGATCAGCATTGGTGACAGCTGTTGAAAGATATGCTTCGCGTTGCCGCCTTGCTCACGGTGACGCGCCGCTACGCGAAGCCGTTCGCCGCCGGCATCGCTGCAGCGTCGCCGAGCCGCCTCGTATCCGGAGTAGCTGCGATTTGCAGCGCCGGCGCTGCTGCGAACTGCGCCGACAAGCAGCCGAGCATACCGCTCGTCCCCGACGGCACCGTCCGTTTATTGAACGCCACCGATGGCGCCAGCGTCGCGAAAAGCATCGTGGCGAGCTTCGGGCCCGGAGGAGCAGACGTCGCGGTCAAGCAATTAGATTCGACGGTCCACGCCGCGTTCTCGCCGCGATGCGGCGGCGGCAAGCCGTCGAAGAAGGATGCGGCCGACGCAAAGCCCGCGGGCCTCGACGACAAGGTCGTCGCGCCCGCTCCAGCCCCGGCGCCCGCCCCGGCGACCGCCCCGGCGACCACCCCGGCGGCCGCCCCGGCGACCGCCCCGGCGACCGCCTCGGCGCCCGCCCCGGGGGTCCTCAAAATAGAGCCGGCGGCGAAGGGCGTGAAGCAGGAGCCCGCCGCCCCGGAGGCCCCAAAAAAGGAGCCGTCGGCGGCGAAGGACGAGAAGAAGTCCTCGTGGAGCGGGCCATCGACCTGCCCCGGCATCCGGCCCGCGTTCGCTGAACTGGCCGGTCCAGTTGGCTTTATAGCCGCCGCGTTGGAATCGACCTGCGCGGCCCTCCAGACTTCTGGAGAGATGAACGAGAAGCAAGCGGTCGAGGTGCGTGCGCCCTGCGTCCCTGAGCAATCGCGCGCGCGCGCCAACGCGTTGTCCCCTCGCAGTTCTGCGTGAAGAACGCGCCGAGCGCGTGCGAGCGGTCGGAGTGGGCGGCGGAATTGGCGCGCTTACTCCATTTCGCGAGTCCGGAGAGGCGCGAGGCGCGCAAGGCGAATGAACAGGCGGCGCGCGACGCTGCGAAGACGGACGAGGCGGCGTTCCGCGCCGCGCTCGTGTCCGTCGCGACGGAGTGCTGCGGGCTAGAGGCCGGCGCCGTCACGGCCGCGGCGTCGACCAGCGGGTCGGACGCGACGCGCCCAGGATTGGTTCGGCTCGCGACGAAGGTCTTAAGGGCGAGACTCGCTGGTGGTCCGCTCAACGGCGTGTTCACGCCGGCTGCGCGGACCAAATGGCGGTCGCGCACGCATCTGGACGACGCCAAGGCGCGACCACATGCTAGCAGAGCGGATTACAGGAAAGGGCTGGGCGAGGCCTACGACGACCTCGCGGCCGCCCTGGCGTCCTTCTTCCCGGCCGACGTGCTGCCCAAGCCGTCGAAGAAGGCCGAGGGCTTTACCGAATTGACGGGCCCCAAACTGTTCGCGCCCGCGACGCGCGTCCTCGACGAGATCGTGGCGGCGGCGACGGCCGCTGCGGGGCCGACGCCGGCGCCGGCGCCGGACGCGACGCATCCCATGGACGTGGACAACGCGGGCGCCGACGCTGCGTCGCCCGAAGCGCTGCGCACGGAGTCGGGTGACGCCCCGGCGCCGACGCCGGCGCCGTCGCAGGGCGAGCGGCCCATCGCCTCGCGCGACGACGCGGCCCAGCTCAAGGCGCGGCGAAGGATGATAGCGTCGGCGGGTGCGCACGGGGACGGTGCCGTGGCGTCGCTAGTGGAGTTGTTTGGGCCGCTCGGTCTGGGCGCGGAGCTGGCTGAAGAGCTCGTGCGCGGCCTCGACCGCGACGACGCCAAGGCCCACGAGAAGTCGAAGCCGAAGGAGGCGGTCGCCGCGCCCCGAACAGCGCGGCGGGCGCCCGTCGCACCGTATGTCGCGCGGCGGGCGTCCGTCGCGCGGCGGCTGACGCGCGACCACGCTCGGCTGGACGCCGTCTTCGCGACGGCCGAGCCAACGCGCCGGTCGATCCGCGCGCCGCAGCCGCGGCAGAACGTTGCGGACGTCGGTGGTCGCCCACACAAGCGGTCCAAGGTCCCGAAGCGAGTGGCCGTCGGCGCCCGCGTCGTCTGGAAGGGGTACAAGGGCGTCGTCGAGGCCGAGGTCACGCCGGGCGTGTTCAGGGTCTTGTTCGACAAGTGCGGCTTCAGGGAGACTGTCCGGGCGGAGGAGCTGTGCCTCTTGTAGACAGACCAGGAGTCATCGCGCGGCGTCGCGGCCGTTATTCCTCCCATGGCGCTAATTCACAGAACTACGTACCATAATGCAGCCGCCTCGTGCGCCGGTTAGAAGTCCGAGTAATGCAGAGTTCGAATATATAGAGAGGGCCAAGTCGTCCCGTCCGACCGAAATACCCGCGCGTTTGTGTGCGTTGGCTTCGCGGCGTTGCGAAGCGTCGGGGGAGCGCCTGCGACAGCCAGCACGCGTCTCCTAACGTTCCGCGCCGCGGGTTTCTGTATCCATTGGCCTGCAAAATTGCCTGGTTGGGGCATGCAAAATCAGGAGGCTCCCGTCGCCTTCACGACCGCACGCGTGCCGAACGGCCCGCTCCAGAAGGTCTTCGAGCAAGACGGTTACCGCTGGACGGAAGGCGGCGGCCGCGCACGACACTTTAGGAGGAGTGACTGTGACATTGTCCCAGGCCGCAAAGCCGTCCACTTCGTGCCGCAACGAGCCGTATTGCTCGGCGCGTATCCAGGCGTGAAAGCAGACGCCTCGTGCGTCCTCGCCACCTGCGAAGAGCCTCTGGCCCTGGAGGTTTGGGTCGCCGACCGGGCGAAACCGGATTTTGCGACGGCCGACACCAAGTTTTTCGAGGAGGTAAAGCGGGCGCTAGAACTGCGGTGCAAGGCGCCGGTATTCCCGCGGCATATTATTGCCGTCGTCGACGGCTTCCTGCCGGACGGTGACGAGATGTGGACCGGGGCTGGTGGCGGCTGTGTAATTTCGCCCACGCGCGCGTTTATATCGCGGCGCAGGTTGGGAATCGACCCCGCTCTCGGAGGCCGAGGCGAAATCGCTCCCGCCGCCCGTGTGGGCGGCGTGGGAGATTGTCGCGATGGCCGTCGCTTTCGGGGCACGAACACGCCGCGTCCAAAATCAAATTCGTTGCGGCGTCTTCGTCTCGTGGATCGGTCCGCTCACTGGTCGGTTTATGCGCAGGTCAAGAAGGTCACGATCCAGGCGCACGGCAAGTACGCGAAGCTGGGCGGCCGCGCGGACCTGCTCGTCGCGATGGTCCAGAAGCGGTTCCGCGAGGTGGGCAAGGCCATCGCGACCGAGCTTAAATCTCCGGGAGATTAAGTATTATATTGGAATAACTACCCGCCGCGCGGCCCCGGGCAGGACGCAAGACAGAAGGCGGTCTCCCGCGCGGCCAGCCACACCGAGGAGTCCTCGGGAGAGCTCCGTGTGGGCACGACTCCGTGGACATTACTTGCTCGACGGACGGCTCGTCGCATTCACAGGCACGAGCGCAAGCTGCCTGCAAATCAGGCTGCCGTGGCCGCAGCGATTGCGCAACGGAAAGTTGGCAGTCGTAAGCGTCGTTGCAAGGACCGCCTCCGACGATCTGGAGGATCCATGGCGCTTCGCAAGGTAGCCGTGATCAGCGCTGTCGCATCGGTGGCAGGATTCGTACCGAGAGCGCCGCGGACATTTGCGACGGCTCCGCTCCGCGCCGCCGAAGAAGATGAGGAGCCAGCCTTCCCGCCGCTCGCGGACGCCGAAGTGGTTATATTGCACCGGAGCCGCTCGTCGCTCGCAGCCGTCGCCTACGAGCTCGCGAGTTCCCTAAGAGAGCTCGAAGGCGTGGGCGTGGGCGTCGCGACCGACGGCGACGGCGCCGACGCGAAGGCCCTCCAAGCGCTCAAGTGCGTGCGCACGTTAACGCCGGCCGACGGCATGAGCGGCTATGATGAGGCCCTCACCTCGCTGTTCGCGCAGGGGGATTCTACAAGACGAAAGATTCTGGTCGACGCGTCGTCATTAACGGCCGACGCGGCGGCCGAGCGCGCGCAGACGGCCAAATCCCTCAAAGTGGACGCGTTGTGCATAATAGGAGACGCCCTCACGGCGGACGACGGCTCCGGGAAGAGAGGTGAATTGAGCAACAAGGACGAAGCATTGGCGCCCGGCCTGGAGACCGCGGCGCGCAACCACTTCCCGGGCGGCACCTCCGTCGTACGCTGCGAGCTGGTGCTCGGCGCGAGGGGCTGCGACGAGGCATTTCAATATAGAAACCACCCCCTCGCTTACTTCTTCGAAAGGTTCGCGCGGAACCGCATGGCGCCGATACCAGGCCCGGGCCCGCGCGCCGGCGGCCCGCCCATGCTCGTCGGCGCGGCCCGCGCGGCCGACGTCGCGCGCCTCGTCGAGGCCGTCGTCGCCAGCGACACGCCGCTCGGCGTCGTCACGGCGGGCCCCGTGCGGCCGCACGACCTCGGGCCGGCGACGTACGCGCAGCTCGCGCGCGCGGCGGCCTTCGCCTGCGGCGTCGAGCGCGCGCGGCTCCCTTTGTACGCGCCGGGCCAGGGCTGGCGGGAAAAGGTCGGCTTTCCTTTAGCGGATGCGCCGCGCCACCTCGACGCGTCGACGACGGCCGCGGCCTTCGAGCACCTGCCGGCGGTGCCCGACGCGCGGCGCGACGCCGCCGTCGCGGCGTCGGCGCCCCCGAAACGCTACGGCGCGAAGAAGCTCACCTTCGACGCCGACGCCGCGGCCCTCTCGACGGCCGAGCACGTCCTCTTCGCGGCCGTCGGCGACTGCTACGACGCCTGGCGGCGCGTCAACGGCGACGCGAAGGAGGGCGACGGCGAGTCGTTCGCGGCCGACGAGGACCTCGTCAAGGACGGCGACGCGCTCCTCGGGTCGCTCGTCTTCACGCGCGACGCCAAGTACCACGAGCCCCTCGGGCCGCTCGTGGCCAAGTAAAACACAAGTATTAGTTAGTTCGGAGCACCGTTCCCCGGCCACGCCGTCGCCGCTAGGAGGAGTCGATCCGCCGCGCCAGCGCGTCGAGTGGCACGTCGCGCTCGGTGGCGACCTCCGTGAGTGCTCGAAGCACGTCTGCCAGCTCAGATTCGACGTCGTCGTCGCGCCGCGCCGCGTCGCAGAGCCGGCCCGTCGCGGCCACGAGGCCCAGCAGCGCCTCCTTGCGCGCGCGCGCCTTCACCCGGTCCTGGAAGTAGGCGAGCGTGTACGCCTTCTGCGGCTTCGTCGGTGATGGGGGCGCCACTGCCGCCTCTTCTTCGTCCGCGGTCCAGTCGCTCTCGCGCTTCCAGTGCGGCCAGCTCGTGCGTTTTCGCGCCTCGTCCTCGGTGATGCGGCCGGTCGACGCGCCGGGAAGCAGCATTAGGCTTGGGCGCAGGGCGTGCGCCGTTGCGAGCGTCAGGAGGCAGCGGCGCATGGTTGCTGTCAGTGCCACTTGTTAGCGATGCAGTATCGATCTCTGCAACCCGAAATTTGTGCAGCACTGCGTCGCACTCGTGCTGCGCGACTCCTTCCAGATTTGTGGCAACAAATTGAGCCTCACAGCCGCATAAAGTTCACCCTGCCCAGCTTGCTAGTGTCTTACATGCCGCTAGCTGAAAACGGGCTGCAAGCAAAAGCGGGAGCGATCACCGCGTGGGGTACCCGCCGCAACGGATCAACTCACACGCAGCGCCCGCGGCAGCCTCCGGAGGCTGCCAAGACATCTGCATTGCTACGCTGCCCCAAAGGGTGTCGTGGGCAGCCTCGTGAAGCATGGGCGCGGGCGTGTCGACGGAAGACAGCGATGAGGAACAGCCGCATCTGTCCCCCAAAGGCGTCAAAAATCCACCGACGGCAAGCAAACCGTGGGTGGAGTTGAACGATCCGGGCAACGTGATGATGACGCTCGGGCGCCGGCGCGTCGAATGGTCCGTCCGCATGGGCGTCATCTACTGCGCCACGATGCTCTACGCCGTCTCGGATCACGTTTCATCAACAACCGTGTTCGGCACGTGGCCCATCCTGGCGAACTTTTACGGTACGTTCGCCATCGCCTCGAGCGTGGGCGGCGCGGTGACCGGCTGCATTGAGATGGCGCGCGGCTGCACTATCGGCACGTTGCTCGCCATCGCGACGGTAGAGGTCACTGTCGCGGCGGATGCTGACCTGAACAACTTGGCGCAATCGACGGGACTCCTCTCGGGTATCCTCGGCGCGCTCTTCGTCGCGGTGACGATCACGCCTATTTTGACGAAATCTGAGAAGCAGATGTTGCTCGACGCTGTGTCGAAATCAACCTCCACGCCATCGACGCGACGTTTTCTTTCGAGATTTCACCTTTGATTTATATATAGGCTGTTCTGCCTCGTATCCGGCAGCTACAACGGCCTCGCGCGGTTGCGCAGCCGCCATGAACCAGTCGCAGGGACGCTCGCCGCGCGCTACGACGTATGGTACCATCCGTTTCTGGAGCTCGTCTCGTCGCTGATGGGCATGGCCATCGGCCTCGTTTTTGTTATACTTCCGTACGGCATGTACGCGGTCCACGAGCTCCGAGCGCGCATGGCCTACCAGGCTCGCGCCATATCCGTGCTCGCGCGCACGCAACACGTCATTGCGCAAACGAACAGCGACGCCGCGATCGCGCAGTCCGCGCAAATCACCGAGACGTTGCGCAGCAACGCGCTGCACATGCACGATCTGCGGCGCAACGCGATGCTCGAGGTTTTCTGGTCCCCGACGCAAATTCATCTCCTACGTAACACCTTTGAACACCTCGACCGCCAACTGCCGATGCTTCTTTCGAAGAGCATAGCCGTCGACAAAAGTCGGGGGGGGCAAAGCGTCGACGACCAACCGGACCAGGTTGCCTTTCTGGAGCTCATGGACCCAAGCTGGGACGCCCTGGAGCTAGCAGTTACCTCGGTGAACGACGAGATGATCCTTTCGGAGATGGAGCGCCGCGAACCGAGCGACGCATGCTGGAGCGAGCTTGATAGTTGCATCCAGAACTTCGGCGAAAAAGTCCAGCTTGCGCGCCGTCAGGTGTGCTACACGCAGGACTGTGGACCACCGACCGCCGAATCCATCGAGCGCCACACGCGTCGCATGGCCCATCTCTTCTTCGTGGAGCAGCACGCGCGCACGGTGCTGGCGCAGCGTCCGGTACACCGGCAGCCCGTCCTCGAGTGGACGTGTGCGGGTGTCGCCACGTTCATTGTCCAGACGGTGTGCACCCTCGATACGGGCGGCGGCCGCGCGTGGCGCCGGCCCAACGCGTCAGAGGTCGTCCGCGCGGTCAAGCTGAGCATGGCGCTGATCGTGTGCATGCTTTTCGAGGTGGTCGACGAGCTGCGCGACTCACATCTGATGGAGAGGCAGGGCGCGACGATGCTCTTCACCGTCATCTTCGTGCAGTGCAACTCGGTGGGCTCGTCAAAGCGTATCACGTCGCAGCGTGTCTACGGCACGTTGCTCGGCGCCGTGTACGCCATGATGCTGTTGGGTCTCATTGCCGACGTCTGCGACACAGAAATGTGTAGTAACACGATCCTCGTCGTCGGCCTGACCGTTTGGGGTGCCATCTGCGGGCCGTTCCTCATCGCGAGTGCGACCTCGGCCGACTACCAGTCGTACGTCGCGTGTTTGTTCGCGCCTGTGTGGAAATCAAATTTCGGCCACCCCATCGGCTCGATGGCGTGGAGGACAACCTAACTCACTGGTTAATTTCCACACAGCACCGCGCCGATCATCGCGCACGGGTTCGGGCCCGAGCAGCGCCACAGCTCCGTCGCCAACCGCGCGCTTGCGTCCGTCCTCGGTGTGTGCGTCTTTTACGTATGTGAAAATTCATTTGGGCGAACTTCCGCTCGTGTCAACGAGTGGGTCGCACAGCGTTCGATCCTGCACCACTTGCGCGACGCGCTGGAGTACGTGACCAAGCCAATGAATGAGACCGACGTCACCAGCGACCAGCTCGGCGCTCCAGGAAGCCGTGGGATCTCCCAGCGGTGGTGGCAACGGCCTACGCCACTGACGGAGCGTCGGCGGCTCGACGTCCAGCCCTATGCCGACGGTGCGAAGCCTGGCCTGGACGCCGTCGCATATCAGTTGAGCATGCTGTCGATCGCCAACGCGGAACAAGACCTCGACAAGCCACCCTTCCCGCTGTACGCATACCGCGAAATTTTACTGATCGAGCGGCGTGTTCTAGAAATGTGTGTTTCGCTACGCATCGCGTGGGCGACGGCGCGTCATGCGCGCTTGGACATTGGCGCAGCTGGCCGGCGCGCGACGGTCCTCAAGCGCGTCGCGGCCATGATGCGGCGGGAGGCGGCGCGGGCCGGGCTGCGGGCCTGGCGCGAGAAGGCACTACAAAGCGTTCGCATCGAGGACCGGGCCTCGGCGCTGCGGCGGCGTGGGGTCGCTCGCACAATCAGCCAAGGAACATCGCAAAGTCCGGAATCCAAGTCCTTGATGGACACATTGACGAAGGCAGCAAAGGGCAACCCTGACCAACTTAAGGCCTGGCTTCCCACCTTTGAATCGGCGATCGTGACCGCCCTGCACGAATGGGCGAAGAAAACAAGTGAGGTCGGCGACAATTGGGGTGGATTCGTCTTCGCGAAAACACACGACGCAGAGGACGACTGCAGCAACGTCGTGCTGCCGCTGCTTGCTGAGCACCGCGCCCACGAGACGGACGGTCAGATGGTGACCATCGCCTGGCAAAAAGAGCTGCACCGGCTGTTTACGTGCGAGTCGACGGAGCAGCTAGAATTGCCACCAGCCATCGCCGCAGGTGCGTCGACGCTCAAGCTCGTGCACGATAAGATGACCCCTCAACTCTATCAGTTGGGTGTGCGCCTACGTGATCTGCGCTTCAGGACTGGCCCTACCATGGCTCGCGTTGCCAGGATCAGTGACTTTGCGTAATGGCGTACAATACGGCGGCGCACACGTGCCGCCCCCCTGTTCCACTGTTTGCGCGGAATGAATCAAACCACGAATCTTAGCCGGGCGGGGGGGGTGCGGCGCATATCATCATGGGTTGTGGCCGGCGCCATGGTCATGGCGCCGATCTGTGGGCAACGCTCAGCACGCGCGGCAGCACCCGATCTCGATGGCGCCTCCGCGGCGACGTCCGATTTGGCCGCGTTTCCAATTTTTTCGACGACGTGTTCATTCTCGACGAGATTTGGCCCGCCGCCCAACCGCGCGACGGCGGTAGCCAAGATGATGAGCCAGCGGATCATACCCCTTTGCGCAAAAAAAATGGGGCGCCGCGAATCGACGAGGGCTCCGACCTCGTCGCGTCTGTATCAGAGATACTTGAGAGAAGCGGCAGTGCTCGCCACGTACGTGTAGGCCTCACAGAGCGGCGCAGGAAAGTTTCTCGAGCCCGCGGACGCCTGCTTGGCTGCTGGAACCAAAAACCAAATTCGCAGAGCAATTTTTGTGTCCCTTGTTACGAGTGCGTTTTGCTTGCCGAGATTCTAGTTCTCCTTGTTGGCGTACGCTTCGCCCAATTTGGAGACTTGAAGTGCAATATCGAAGCGGTGTGAGGGCATCAAAAACAGATCGCCTGAGAGCTGTTTCGATTTGCAGATGGAAAACCTAATTTTTTTAGCGGCGCCAAGAGGTATCTGGTTCGTCTCTCCTATGCCTCTGATGCGGAAACTCGCGTTTCCAGAGGTTTTGGGGAAAACACAAAAAACATAAATCACAACAACCCCCCCAAAACCCCCACCCGCCCCTCCACGTCCACCGCCTCCGCCACCCCAAGACTACAAGCAAGCGAAGCGAGCCCAAGCTGTGCGCCGACGTCGCTCCCCGATTTGCGCCCCGTCAGGAGCCGGCGCGCCGGCGCGAGGAAGGCGCCACGCTTCGATAGCCCCAGCTGCTCCATGGCTTCGTCGGCGTAGGCCCGCCACGACGCCGCGTCGACGACGGCGCCCAGCGCCGCCCGGTCCGCCACCAACCGCCGCGCGATTGTCCCGTGCGCGGCGGCCGCCTCGACCATGCCGTCGCGGTCCGGCGTTAAAGCTTCATTCAATGCACTCACGACACCGATTGCGTTCAGCTTGTCCTCGGCGAAGGCCGCGCAGGCCGCACCGGCCAGCTCATCCAACGCCGCGGGCGACCCGTTTACTGAAAGTCGCGCGCGGACAGCTACAGCTAGCTGGGCCGCGCCGAGCTTGGAAGTGAAGGCGACGGCCGCGTCGCGCTCGTCGAGCTGCTTGCGGTCGAAGGTCGACGGCGCCGCCGACAGGCCCTCGAGCTCGAAACTCCGCGCGAGGTCGTCGAGCGACTTTATTGATTGCGGCGCCCGGCCGCCGAGCCCCGCGAGGTAGGCGCACACGCCGAGCGGCGTGCAGCCGTCTTTTCGTAAGGCGGCGACGGTGGCAACCGACGCGGACCGCTTCGAGAGCTTCCGGCCGTCTGCGCGCGGGGTCGCGTCGACGGCGTACGAGCGGCGATCGCGCGCGTCGAAGGAGGGACGCCGCGGGACGCACCGGAATCAACGACGAGCGAGCAGTGCGCGTAGCGCGGCCGCGGCGCGCCGAGCGCGTCGAGCAGCAGCGTCTGGGGCAGCGCGTTCGACGCGTGCTCCGCCGCGCGGACGACGTGCGTGATGCCGTCGCGCGCGTCGTCGGCGGCCTGCGCGTGGTGATGTTTCGCGCCGTCGAGCAGGCGCGCGCGTCGACGGCGCGGCGCGCTTGAACACGCCGTCGAGCAGGCGCGGGGACGGCGCGGGCGCTTGAATACCGCACAGGCCACAAACAGCACAGAGCGCGTAGAGCGGCGCGCCGTCGCGCCGCACGAGTACAAAGTCCTCGCGCAGCGTCCGGCGCACGTCGGCCCAGCGCAGGTCGCGCACGGCGTCCTCCACCACATGCGGCACGGGATGGTCCGGTCGCGGCACGCGGAAGCGCACCGCGTGCGGCACGCCGTCGTTGAGCAGCGGCCGGACCTCCGCGTCGCTCGCGTCGCGCCAGTTCGTGGCGCCGCCAAAATCGCGGTAAGCATGACCCAGCGCGAGCAGCTGATCGACGGTAGAAGCGTAGGCTCTATCGGAACAGCGCGCCGGTGCGCCGAACCTCAGGCCGAGCCACGCCAGGTCGCTCAGGATCGCCTCTTCCGCGCCCGGAACCGTGCGGCTGCTATCGGAATCATCAATGCGCACCAGGAACGAAGCGTCGCCACCCTGGAGCTCGCACTTCCGCGCGAACAAGTAATTGAACAGCGCAGTGCGCGCGCCGCCGACGTGCAGCGCGCCCGTCGGCGAGGGAGCGAAGCGGAGCCGTACTGCTTTGGTTGTTGTTGTGAGGGTGCGGCGCATCTGTTTTTTGAGCTGTGCCGCTTGGAGAGCTGTGTTGCGGCGGCAGCGTCAGGGCAGCCTTGTGGTGATGGTGGCAAATCACACCGTAGCTGTCGCAAATGGCAGCGGCAATTTACAGGGGGCACTATCAGCGTTTCGAATTGATGCGAAACAAGTCTTTTTGACTGCTACTGCCTTCAGCGCCCTACTTTGGTGCTTGCTAGATGCCTAGTGTCTTACATGCCGCTAGCTCCACCTTTCAAGGTTTTGCGCGGCCGGCTTGCAGAGCTACGCGCATAGATACGCGTCCTCGCACCAGCTTTGGGCCCTCAGCGCCTAGAGTGACCGCTGCTGGCAGCGATACACCGGCACTTTACAAGCTTTGGGCTGAGAGGGAGGTAATCGTGCGCACGGAAGCATCGCACATCAGTTGTTGGGCAAAACAGCGAGGAGTACGCACGCATATCAGTTGTTGCGCAAAACGACCAACGAGTACACGAACTGAGCCGTCAAATGTCTGGCTACCAGAGCTTGGCCGACGCCGGCCGCGAGTCGCCGCAGCCGGTGGCCGCGCCGCTCCCCGCCCCGATCGGCGACGGCGACCCGCTCGACGCGCCGTGGCGGAAGCACCTCGCGACGCGCGGCCTGACGCGCGTGCCCGACGGGTCGACGCCGGCGTGCATGATCTGCGGCAAGCACTTCAATTTTCTGCTGCGACGGCGGCATCATTGCCGGCGCTGCGGCGCCTGCGTCTGCGACGGCTGCTCGAATCATCGGCTGCCCCTGCGGTTCTGCCAGGGCCACGACGGCCCCGATTCAGTACAGCGCGCGGCGGCGTCGCTCGACCGCGAGGCCGTGGAGGGCTACGTGCGCGCGTGCTCGCGCTGCGCGGCCGTCGTGGATGCGCGCATACGAGGTCGCGTCGCGCGGCGGACGAGTGCACCGCCGCCGGCGACGACAAACGTGGGCGTGGTCGACGCGTGGCCTAGTTGATAATCGTACTGTGGAATGTTACTAGTGTTCGTCAGGGGCAGTGGTCGGGCGTGCAGACCATTCTCTCCGGCTGCCAGGCCGCGAGGGACGCCTTGAACCAGTCCATTTCCGCCGGGTCGCAGACGCAGATGATTTCCTTCATGACAACCTGTGTGTAGAGTAACGTTGAGACGCGAGAAGCGACCAAGAACACGGACGCCGCCTCTTGCGCCACAACCGAGCATTTGAGCGTAGTGCGGCAAGCAGTTGCCGATGTGGTTGCTCATCGCATCCTTCCCAGTGATAGTCTCGATGCAGATCACCTCGCGCGTCTCCTCGTTGTACGAGTGCGAGACGTTGACGTGGCCCTTCGAGGCCTTGGCGCCTTTTGTGTAATTTAGGTAGTGATCCTTCCATTCAGCCTTGGCGTCGTCGTTAACTTTCAGGGAGTAGAACATGGACACCCGCGACGCCCCGTCCTTGAAGCCGTCACCGTCGCTCGCGATGGCCGCGTCGGCCACTTCCTCCGGCAGGCCGAGGCTCATCAATAGCGACTTTTTGTCTTCGGCCGGCGGCGCCGCCGTGGCGTCGGCGCCTTCCGACACGGTGGTGACCTTGGCCCCTTCGTCCGTTGCTTCCTTCGTGGATTCGGCCACTTCGTGGATTTGGACCATGGTGCTGGCGCCTGCGTCGCGCGGAAATGATCGCTGCGCGCAATGCGGACCGCACTAAAAATTTCGGCTGGCAAAGGGCAGCCTGCAAACCGCGGCGAACAATGCAAAAGCGACTATTCGTACGTGATGATAGGGAGAACTACGTGGCAAAAACACGTGACACTGCCTTGCACGATGGAGCTGCGCGCTGCTAAAATTTCCTTCCGAGGATGGTGTGTTCCTCCGCGGGGCGCAGGCACGGGCAGCTGGGCGTTTGCGAGACGTCTCCTCCACCTTCCGACGAGTGCGAAGACGCCTCGAGGGTTGGTCGATGGCACTCTCCCTTTCACTTTTGAGTGGGCAAAGCAGCACTGCCATTCACATTGCTGCTGCAGAGCCGCGGGTGCATCGCTGCGACAGCGAACTCATCGTTTCGTTTGGTTTTCAAGTTGCTTGTCGCTCATCTCTGAAAACGCCGCGCGCGCAGCGCACACAAAGCCACTCACCATGATGCTCAGCAGGCTGGCCAGCCGCGCCGCGGCGAGCGGCACGCGTGCGCTACTCGCCCGCGCGTCGCAGCGCAGCGCTCAGCGCGCACCGCGGCGCTTACTATCAGAGAAGCCGGCCGAGAAGGCTGCGGAGAAGGCCGCCGCGCCGGAGGCGAAACCGGGCTGGTGGTCGAGCGCGGAATTCTGGGGCGGCCTCGGCGCGCTCGCGGGCTGGGGCATGACGGGCGCGGCGATTTATGACGCCCAGTTCTCCTCGCCGGAAAAAATCTCGATGACGATGACACCCGTCATGATCATCTACTCGTCCCTGTTCTGCCGGTGGGCCATCATCGTCAAGCCCCAGAACCTCCTGTTAGCTGCATGCCACGGCTCAAACGTCGTCGCCCAGTTCAACCAGATGCGGAGAGCCGTGGAGTACAAGACGTCGCAGGGCAAGGACGAGGAGGTCCAGGACATTCTCATGAAGTCCGGGGTGGGCGCCGCGGCGCTGGGTGGCATGGTCGTCGCCGGGCCGACGCTGCAGTCGGCGCTCGTCGCCGCAAACCTCGGCCCGGTCTCGACGTTCGCGGGCGCGGCCGCCGGGCCCTTCACGGTCCACTTCTGGGCGCCCATGAGCAAGTGGCTCATCTCCGGCGCGTCGATGATGGAGCTGGATCGGCCCGTCGAGAAGATCTCGCTCGCGCAGTACACGGCGCTGACGCTCACCGGAGCGTTCTTCTCGAGGTACGCGCTCCTCGTGAACCCGATCAACTACATGCTCTGCTCCGTGAACGTCGCGCTCTTCTCGTCGAGCGCGTGGCACCTCGGGCGCAAGGTCAAGGCGGACTACGTCGACTAGTCGGTTCGCTCTCCCGTCGCTTAACATGCTAGTGTCTCTCTTCGACGCGTCGCGGCGACGTCGTGCTGACTAGTACACGTTTCTCTAGTTACTCAGAAGAAGTCGTCGTACTGGTCCTCGTAGTGGTCGTACTCGCCGGCCTCGGCGACGCCGAACAAGTCGTCGACCTTCTTCTTCTGCTCGAGTTTTTCTTTCTTGGACTTCTTCTTGGACTTTTTTTTGGCGTTCGACTCGGTGGGCTTGTCGATGGCCTGCTGCTTCGTCTTTTGGTAGTTCCCTGCCATAATAGCCAAGTCCCCACACTCGGCGGCCGAGAACCGTGATTCGGTCTTCTTGAGGAGCTCCTTGACGAACATGAAGACGTGGCTGTCCTTGGACTTTTTGGCTTCGAAGCGCTCGAGTAACAAGGGTACGAGTTTGAGGTGGTCGTTCATGTTGTCCAACTTGATGACGACGGCGTCGGGGTCCTTCTCGGCGACGACTTTTTTCTCGCTGGCCGGCGCCGGCGGCGGCTTCGGGGGCGGGTCGTTGTTCGCGAGGTCCTCCTCTTCCTCCTCGTCGTCCCACGCGGCCGGCGGCGCGGCGGCGCCGGGCAGCGTGACGTCGGCGTCGTCGTCCTCCCAGCTGTCCGCCATGGTGTTCGAGACCTGCGTGGTTGTTTGCGTGATCGATGCGCGTCGGCGTCGCGCTGACGGCAAGCGCGCGGAGAGGCTCTCCAAAGCTTTGTTTTGAGGCGCTGCTGCATGCGGAGCCAAGTTATTCAGTAATGTGTCGCTATGGGCTATCAGTTATCCTGCGAAGGTTGTTTGAGCACTGTCGTCGTCGTATTTGCATTTATTTAGCCTCCCTTGCTGCTTGTACAATCGACAGCGGGGGAGGAGTCGATGTAAAAGAATTGTGAAGGTAGCCGCTTACACTACTCCCAACGACTAGGATAGATTCATTGAGACTCTTTGACTTTTGATCTAGCGGCTGTAAGACACTAGCAAACACACAAAGCCGGCGCCGTCCGTGAGCGCGCAACGCGGAGCAGCTCGCCGTTAGTGAAAAATACATATCACGCCAACGCCGGAGCAGCCGCGCTGGACGCTCGCCGCTCCGCCGCGCTCAAAAGCCCTGCCCAACACACTGCTGCCAAAAAATAGCACGCCAGCCGCCGCGCAAAATAGCACGCAACACACGTAGCGCAAAGGAGAATGGGCGCCGCAACGTCAAAAGACGAGGACCTCGAGTCCGACTCCTTCTCCGAGGTCGACGGCGACGACTGCGGCGACGAGGACCTCATGCCGCGCAACGAGGAGCTCGAGGAGGCCATCCTCAGCGAGTTCGTCGAAGCTTTGATTGACGTCGCGCCGCCGACGTGGCCGCCGCCCTCATGAGATTTCTTGTCATTAGCGCCGTCGCGGCGCTCGCGCCGTCGGAGCTCGGCCCGGCGCTTCACAAGGTCGGCTTACAGGAGGAGGCGGCTGCGTTACTACTCGACGCCGCCCCGGGCTGCGAATTAACTCCAGACGACGCCGCGCGCAAATTATCTTCCCAAATCCGCTCGCAAGCGGCACGCCGCGACCGCCACGACGCGGTCTGCCGCCGCGTCGCCGCGGCCTGCCGCGCACTACATAGCGACGTGCGCCGCGACGCGCCCTTGTGGCGCCTCGGCCTCGACCTGAAGGGCCCCGGCCGCCGCGCCGTCGACGTCTCCATCTGCGTTGATGACGAGTGGTCCTTCGTCGAAGTGACGGTCCGGGCCTTCGCCGGCGACGTTTCTGTAGCCGAAGCGGCTATCGACGAGAAGCGCGCGAAGTACGCTGATTTACAGAGGGTTCACGTGCTCGCGCTCGACGCGGTCACGGGCCGCGCGTATGATGATGTCTTTGCTGATCTCGAGGCCGCGGGCTTGGTTGATGACGGTGATGAACTGGCCGACGCCTGTGCGGCCGCCGTCGTTACGCGTTGCGCTGCGCCGTTGCTGCCGCGGAAACGGCGGCGGAAGCCGGTACCGATAACTGTAGAGCCGGGCCTGCCGCGGCCGAGGACTCGGCGCGAGCGGCGGGCGGCGCGCGCTGGCGGCGAAGGGTAAGGTAACTTAGACATCTAGTGACACGTGACACTCATCAAGCGTCGCCGGCCCAAAAACCCAATGGCGACGCCGCCGACCCCCGACTAATTTGGCCTCCCGGGCCAGCATTCTGTTGGTCGTAGTACTCCAGGATACGCGCATATGTCCAGTCGGACCCGATCCCGCTGACGAAAAAGCCATATCTCAAATGTGAGTACTTGAGCAGAAACGCCTCGCCGGCGCCCGCGTCGAGGTTTCGAGCCGCGTCGATGCGCTGGCCCAACTCGCGGGCGTCGGCGAGCGCGCGATCGTACATGTCCCGCGCCGCGTTCACGACGGCCTCGAGGGCTTCGGGGGAGTTGGCGCGCACGAGGGGATCGACAAGCGCGGGCTCGGCGGGCGCCTCGACCGCGTGCTGCCAGGCGCCCTGCGCGATGTTCCGGCGGTCATCAGCTGGCGGCCGTCCCATCAGCTCGATGAACGCTTGCTTGAGCCGTTTCGGGGACGCCCGCCTCGTGTACTTGATGCTCGCCAGCTGACGGGACATCCGCCGTGCGTCGCAAACGACCGGCTGGTTGTACAGCCGCAGCACCATCGCCTCGCGGAGGCGGCCGGCCGCCGCCAGATCGAGCACCTCTCGCGACGCGTAGCGCAGGAAGTCGGCGGGCGCGAACTCAGCCACGGGCTCGGGGTAGCCGCGCATAGTGAGCGCCTTCTTCAGCACGGCGTCGCGTAGGTTGCTCTCGTCGAGGAACGAAAAATCCCCGAGCGCCGCGTCCGCAGCAGCATAAGCGTCCCGCACGTCGTCGACAATGGCACGCAGCTTTGCCGGCGACGCCTTCGACGGCGCGAGGTACAGCGGGTCGAGCTGCTCCACGAGTGCGCGGCAGCCAGCGACGCCTTGGACTTCTCCAGCCAGTCGCTTCACCGTAGCGTCGATCGCTGCAATTTTCTGGTCCTTCGAGGCCTTCTTCTTCTGTCGCGCGTCGGCTTTCACGGCCGCCGCGGCGCTCATGCGCTCACGGCCCTCGCGATCGAGGCGCTGGAACAGCTGGACGAGGGTCGGGTCGGGAGTGCTGCCGTCGTGCGGCGATGTAGCGGTAGTGATGGGGCCTATCTTCTCGCCGTCGGCTGCTGTCATGGGCTTCTTCCAGAGGAACGTCTTGTTGGACATGGAGTGTTGACACGTCCGGGGGTCGCCAACGGTGGCGCCCCACGTCTTGAGGGACTTCTTCGAGAGCGAGATCTCGGCCGAACCGCCGACGGTGTGCGGCCAGCAGCAGAACAGGCCCCAGTCCGGTCTGGTTTTGACGACCTTGCGCGCCTCGGGCGTGTCGCACGGCGGGCCCATTTCGCACCGCTTGCCATTGGCCAGGCGCAGCAGGCGCATCGGCGAGGGCTTGTGGATCTTCCCCTTCTCGTACAGATCCATGACGTTGCGGATGGTGGCTTTGGCGTTCTTGCCGAACTTGTCGTCCGCATTCAAGAGGACGGCGGTCAGCGAGTGCTCGTGCGTGAGGCGCGACCGCATCTCCTTCGTCGTCTTCACGAGCGAGAAGAGATCCATGTAGGACAAGCACGGCGCGACGTGCGTCATGAGGACGTCCTCGTTCGTGAGCGCGCCCTTGCTTTTCTTCGTTCCCGCGGCGGCGGGCGGCTGCTTCTCAGCCATCAGTGCAGTGCCAACTTAGGGAGCGCGCGGCGGGGAACTCGCTACGTGGGTCTCAGGGCTGGGGCAAGGGCTCTTTAGAGCGCTTGTTGGTTTATTCCGGCCGTGGGCTGAGCAGCGGGCGGGGATGTCGACTTGGCTCTCGCTGGCTTGGAGAGCAGCACACCTTTAGGCCTGTAGCTCGCCACACGCGGCCGCAGCGATTCAAGAAGACTGCTTGCGCGCACAAACAGGACCCCTGGGGACCGCCAAACAAAAGTGCGCAATCGTTGCGACGGCACTGATGTCAAAAGCAAAAGCACACACAGCAGCCCAAAGCACAGCCCAAAAAAGGAGTGATTGATCGGTAAAGGATGGCGGCGCGCCAGATCATCCCACAAACGCACGACCCCTGCGCCCTGTGCCACAAGCCCGCCGCAACAAAGCGCTGCGGCCGCTGCCGCGCCGTCGTCTACTGCAGCCGCGATTGTCAAGCAACGCACTGGAAGCAAGCGCACAAGCTGACCTGCGGCGCAGCACCACCACCAGCCCCGCCGCGGCCGCAGACGCCGGGCGAGCTCGCCGAGGACTGCGCGCGCCAGCTCGCGGAGCGGGGCTTCGCGGCGCTGGGCCCACTCGTCGACCGCGACCGGAGAAACGCGCTGCGGACGCACGCGCGGCACGAGGTCGAGCGCCTGCTCAAGCTGCCGCTCGCCGCCGCGAACGCCCGCTTCGCGAAGATCCGGAGCCCCGAGCACCGCCACGCCGTCGCGCTCGACCTCACGCCGGCCGTGCGCGACGTCGTCGGCGAATTAGCGGTGGCCTACGACGCGTGCCGCGCCGCGTTTGCCGGCGACGAGCCGGAGATCGTCGAGCTCGGCTGCCTCGTCTCGGACGCGGGCGCCGCGGCACAGCCCTGGCACGCCGACGCCGACGCGAACCGGCCGAACACGCGCCAGCTCGTGCTGCTGGTGAACCTCGACGAGCGCGCCGTCGCGGCGACGGAGCTGCTGCCCGGGACGCACGCGCCCACCTTCCACGCGCACGTGCGCGACGCGTTCGGCGGGCGCCTTCCCGACCCGCCGGGGATGCCCGCGCTGCGCGCCTACGACGCCGCTGGTGCCGCGGTCCTGTACGACGCGGCGCTGTTCCACCGCGCGCCGGCGAACGACGTCGGCCCGCGCCACGTGTTCTACCTGGGCCTCGTGGGCCGCGGCGCGCACGCGACGCAAGGCGCCACGCGCGGCGCGACGAACGCGCTCCTGCCCGAGCTGGCGGGGACGCTGCTGCGGGACCTCATCGTCGGCGTGCGCTACCTCGGCGCCGCGAGCGGGTCGCGGCACGTGGGGTTTGCGGACCGCGTGGCGAAGATTAGAGGGTAAGTTTTGTGTTGTACTAGGGTTTTTGTTTGTCGTTTTTACTACGCGTCGCCCGGCGTCATCTTTTCCACCGCGTCGCAGACGGAGCTCACGTCGTCTCCTTCGCGGGCGCGGAGCACGGCTCGCGCCTTTCGCAGGCCGCGCTCAAGGTTCTGTGTGAGCGGGTGCGCGCCACCAAACACGCGCCGCCTCATCTGTCCTGTCTCTTCGAGCGTCGTCACGGCTTCGCGGAGATCGTCGAGCGTGGCGCCATCGTCCATGTAGAGCGCCATCGCATAATTCTGCATCATGCCGAGCGTGATCTCATGAGCCTCTCCGAGAACGCCTCGCGCCTTGGGAACCGTTTTGCGCATCAGCGACTTGGCTTCTTCGAAGCGCTTTAGCGCAGCAAGGGACGTCGCGTAGTTGTTGGCTGCGTTGAGGATATCTTCCTCGCCGTCGAGCTTCAAACGTCCAGAGTATACATCTTTTCGCAGGGACAGGGCCTCGTTACTTCGTCCAATCAGTTCATACGTGCACGCAAGATTGCTCATCACGGAAAGAATGTTGTCTGGTGTACCGCCAAGGCGCCGCAGCGTAGACAACTCGGCCTCTCCCACGGACAACGCATCCTCGTGCTGGTATACGGCGGATAGACCGAGTCCCAGCTCCGTCATCGCGGCTCCCCGAGCCCAGTCCGCCTCCGGCCGACCAACGTACGTCTTCCAGCACGCCCACCCGAGTGCGCACCGCACGACGCCGTGGTAATCTTGCTCGCACAAGCTACACGAGTACCACCGTTTCCACCTCTCATTCTGCACCTTAAAGGTCAAATTGTTCTCCTCGGACTCCGCGTACAAAATCTTCGCCTGCTCCGCCAAGCACGAAACATGCGCGAGGCCCGCCGTCCCGCGGCACGCGCACCCGCGTACGAGGCCCTCCTTCGTTTTCCAGTGGAGGGCCTGCGTGCAGATGAAGCAAGTCTGGCCCTTCGTATCGTCCGCGCACTTCTCGACCGCGACCGTGACCGCCTCCGAGTACTTCTTATTTGCGTTGTACGGCTCAGCGCCGCCTGTTTTTTTTATTTTTTTGCAGAGGTCTTTGTGCCCGCCGTCCCAGTGCTGCTTTTGGCAAGCTGGACCGCAGTAGAGGGTCTTGCAGCGGCTGCATTGCTTCGCCGGGTGTGGGAGCGGGGCAGCGCAGGCGGCGCAGTTTGTGAGGATCATTCTACTTGTCGCTGGAGCGTTTTGAGCTCGCGCGGCTTTGTTTTAGCTATGTGCCTAGGCGCCTTTGTCTTGCTAGTGTCTACATGCCGCTAGCTAATCGCGGCGCGTCAACTACGGCCACGTCGCGAGCTTAAGCCTGCACATAATTGCGTGCAGACGTGCGCGTAGCAGTGCAACGTGTGTGCTGCGCAAACTGTGCGAGCAGGCAGCCATGCGTTCCGCAATCACTGCACTGCTGTGCAGCACTGGAGCAGCGCTCGTCGTCCCGTTGCAACCGGCGCGACCCGCGCAAGCGCTCGATATCACGCTGCCGCGCGTCAGCGACGGCGCCTCGGTGCACCTCGGCAACGCGCTCGCGGCGACGACGGACCGGACGTTGCTGTGCTTCGGGACGCACGCGGCTGCTCGCGCCAGTGCACGTGAATCAAATGTCGCGACAGGTCTCCGCGCACGACTCAATCGACTTGACTCTCAATGGTTGATTTTTGCACAGGATTTCAACGCCATCGAGTACTTACAAAAGGTACGCTTCTACCTCCCGCGGCTGCGCGACGCGGGAGTAAGCAGAGTCGCCTGCGTCCTCAACGCGGACGCGGCGCAGTGCCGGATGCTCGCCGAGTTATTAGACGTGCCGGACGACGTGGAACTCTTCTCCGACCCCACGGGCGAGGCCGGGCGCAAGTTCGGCGTGAGCCGCGGCTTCCGGCCCGACGACGACGCACTGAGCCCCTACGTGAAGCTCTTCGTCGTCGGCATCGGCCTCGGTCCGCCGTGGGGCACGCTCCTACCCGTGCTCCGCGGCTACGTGGGAGCTCCGAGCGGGAAGCGGGATTGGATTGAGGCGTGTATGCAGCAGGCGCAACGCGCGGGCCGTTTTCCCCAACCGCTCGAGCTCGCCGCCGACGGCTCCATCGCGAAGAACCGGTTCGACGACACGCCACTCGCCAGTGACTGGGGCGTGCGGCCCTTCGAGTTGGCGACGATGCGCCTGCAGAACCTGATCATGCAGATCTCACGGTATGGCGAACTGGGACCGAAGGACCCGCGGTGCCTCACGCAGCTCGGAGGCATGGTCGTCGTCGGCGCCGGCGGCGAGCCCGAGTACGCGTGGCTCGACCGAGGGTTGTGCGACCTGCCCGACTTCGAGGATGTGTTGGGGGCGCTGTCATAAGATGTGGACTGTAAATCTACCCGACTTCGAGGGTATGCTGGGGGCGCTGTCATAAGATGTGGACTGTAAATCTACTTAGTATGTCACCTCGCCCGCAGCACGCCGCTCCGCGTCGTCGACGACAACGTTTTAGCCAATTCGAGATTGAGCCGGTCCGCGTCCGCGCGCGCGGCCACGACGTCGCCGACCGAGCCCTGCGCGGCCTGTGCCGCCAGCAATTTAGTCTGATTCATCTGAGCGGTCGCGCGCCAGGCGGCGCCGTCGGCGTCTCCGGCGCGCCGCTCGACGGCATCTCTCTCCGCGAGCGCCTCGCGCGCTCGAGCCGCCGCGGCTCTCATCCTATTAAGATCCGCCGCCTGCTGCTCCAACAGAGCGTCGCGTAACGCTCTAGCGGCCTCGGCAGCCGACCCGCCCTCCTCAAGCTCCGCCAGTTGCGTCGCCAATTCTTCGACCCGCAAGTCCCGCTCCTGAAGCTGCTCCGCCCACTGCTCGTCTCGCAACGCCGAAGCCTCCGCTTCACGTTGAGCGGCATTCAACGCCGCGTCGCGCTCCTGGACGAGCTGGGCCCAGTTCCTTTCACTGTTTTCGGCCCGCTCCCGCCATATATCAATTTCGTGCTCAAGTTTCGTAAGCGCTTCCCTCTGCTTCTCGGCGTAGTTATTGACGGCGTCGGCGCCCTTCGCATTCCGAGCTAATGACCGCACGGCCCTATCGCGCTCCGCGTCGCTCCGTACCAATTGCCTCCGCAACGAGCGTATTAACGCTCGGTCCCGTTCCGGATCCGTGTCGTCGCGCGCCATGTCGTCACCGATCACCGACGTTTGCTTCAGGCGCTCGACCTCTTTTCTTAGGTCGGCGAGCTCGTCCCGCCGACCGATGGACGTCAGCCTTCTGAGAGCGTCTGTTCGCGGCGTGTCCTCTTCATCAGACCTCGGCGTGAAGACCGCCTGATTCAAAGTTTGTACCTGATCTAAGACGGCGTCCAACAGTTCGCTGTTCTCTGCCTTGTCGCTCAACCGTCGCAATGCATCTCTTTCGAGCCGATCCGCTCGCATGGAACCGCGCTGCGCCGCCTCCGCGAGTTCTCGCAGCCGCCGTCGCACCGCATCGAGATTCGCGTTCTCGAAAGCCCTATCACCCTGCCTCGCGATGGAATCGAGGTCGGCCGGCGCCGGCGCCTCGGCGACGGCGGTGCCGTCCAAATGCCGTTCGATCTGGTCGATGGCCCTCCTCGAAATGTCGGCGTCGCGCTTTTGAGCTTCTCTCAACTCCGCTAAATCACGTCGCAAGGACGGCGCCGGCGCCGGCGCGCCCGACAGACTTCGGGCGATCTCGTTCAAAGCGCTTTGAGCTGCCCGCGCGTCCGCCGCCCTTACTCTTCGCAAATCATCCAGGTCCCTTCTTAACCTCCTCGCATCTCTTCTAGATGCTCGAGCCAACTGGCGTCGCAACGCGAACAGCGCCCCCCGGTCGCGCGGCGTGCTCAGATCGTCCTCCGACAACTGCTTCCTGAGCGACTCGATCTCCGCGTCCCTCTGTTTGACCGACTGTTCCAAAGCTAATTTCTCGGCCCTTTGGGCCGCTTGCGCTTCGTTTTCTTTCGCGCGTCGCAACTCGGAAAGCTCCTTCGACAGCTTTTCGATGCTCTTGTCCTTCGCCTCAAAACGTTCTTTGACGTCATTCAACTGCTTCTGCGTCTCGAGGAACTGGGCCTGGGCCGAATTCCCGTCGATCTGCCGTTGCAGCGTTTGGAACCTGTCCTCACGGACACGCGCGGCGTCGGCCCTCACGGCTTCGACCTCCCTTCTTAAAGTCGTGAGATCCGTGTCCTGCAATGCTTTGGAATGGCCGCTGAGCTGCTTCTCTAGCGAAGATAACGCCGCCGCTACTTTATCACCACCGCTCTCGAGGGACGAGATCTTCGCGGCCAGGCTCTTCAACTCAGTGGACGTGTTGTTCGCCGCTCCGGACAATGCATGCTGGAGCTCCTCCCGCAGACGTGAAGCGTGCTCCGCAAGCTTCGCTTCGACGGACTCGTCCCGCCGCGCCGACAGCTGGCGCTTGACTTCTTCCCTCAACTGATCCAACTGGGTGTTCTGTACGACGTGAGAAGAGTCCGCCGCCCTCAATCGCTCCTCGAGCCGCTGCAGCTTCAAATCGTCCGCGGACGACCGCTGTTTCAGGTCGCGGACCGTCTCGTTCAGCGCCCGCACTTCGTCGGACGCAGCATCCCGCGCGAAGGAGTCGCGCATGCGCGTGATGTCTTCTTTGAGAGCTGAGGTCTTCTCCTCGATGAGCGACGAGATGTCCTCTTTTTTGGGCGTTCGGGCGATGATCAGTTCGAGGTCCCGCTTCGACGCTTCCCGCAGCTCGAGCAATTGCCTCTGGAGGTCCCTCAACTCCGAACCACCTTGCCCAGACAAAATAGCCTCCTTCAATGATTGCGTATGACTCCCGAGCTCGGACGATAACCGTTCCATGAGGCCGTGCTCGCCGCGGTGCCGGAGCTCCTCGACTTGAGATTTCAGGGCGTTGATTGTGTCATTATTCACTTTCAGCGACCGCAATTCCTCCCTCAGTAACTGCGCGTTCGCTTCGACATTTTGCTGTAGAGACTCTCTGGTTTGCGCGGCGTTTCTAACAGCTTCGATGCGCTCCCCCAGAGCCTTCAGTTCACTTTTCACCTCTCTGTCAGCTGTTTCTTGAGCTCTCTCAACTCTAGAAGCGTGCTGGGCCAGTTGTCGCTCCAGGTTCCGGACGACGTCGTCATTCGTCGTCTCGCGCACCTTGTCCCTCAAAGCCCTCAATTCGTCACCCGCACGACCACGAGCACCACTACTTTCACGTAGATGGCGCATCTCGTCGCGCAAGGCCACGGCGTGCTGCTGGATGGCTTGTTCTAAGTTTCTCTGAGTAGACCCGCATAACTCGCGGACCGCTTGCAACTCCTTCCTTAACTCACTAAACTCTGTCTTACCTTGAATGACCTCCGAGTGCTGCTGTAATTCTCTTCGTAATGTATCGGGCATCTCCTTGCGATAGGAACTTAGTTCGGCACAAGTATCCCGCAGACCCTGGATCTCGAGTTGCGTCCGTTGCGACACGCCGTCCTCCCGCAACCGCCGGAAATCATCTCTGAGAGCGGTAGCGTGGGCCTCCATCCTCTGCTCGAGTTTATTCATGCGATGATCGTCGACCGGTCTTTTCAGTTGCTCCCGCAACTCCTTCAGCTCCACTTTCAGTTGTTGTAAATCAGAATCATGGTTCCGCCGCAGCGCCTCCGATACTTGCTGGTAGTGCTCTCTCAACTGAACTTCCAGTGTCGAAGGCACAGAGTCGACCTTCGACAGGCGATCCTTCAGCAGCCGCACCTCGTCCGCCGCCTCCCGCGCGTTGTTCTGATTCAGCTCGCTTCGTAGTTGGGACGCATGCCTAGCGATAGATTGTTCCAAGGAATTGGTCGACGCGAGGGCTTGGACCGACTTCAGCTCCGATCGCACTTCGTGCAGGTGCCCGCGCGTCTCCTGGTTCTGCGTTCGTGCTAACTTATCGGCGATCTGCTCGACATGATCCGACAACTGCTTCTTGAAGTCCCTTAACAACGTAGACGCATCTCGAGGGTTCATTTGCAATGCCGACACTTGTGCTTTCAACTCTTTCAGTTCATTCTGTACTCTTTCCTTGTGGCGCGCGTTCCTTATGGTCTGGGCCATCTCCTCGCGCAACGCTTGGGCGTGTCTACTAATTTGTCTTTCTGTCGCTTCGCCCACATGGCTCCGAGCCGCGTCCACCAAATGTCGTAGATCATCTAGCTCTCTACGAGAGTGGACGTCGTTCAAGGGGACTTGGGCCCTCTCCAATCGCTCGGCGTGCTTCGCTAGGGCCGCGTCCACCGCTCGCACAGTACGTTCACTGGTCTCGGAGTGCGAATGCGCCAGGACCCCTACTTTCGAATTCAAGGCGCGCAACTCGTCGGCCGCCGTGTCTCGCGCCGTACTTTCTCGTAGATAGCCCATGGCTTCCGACAAGTTCCCCTGGTGCTGCTTGAGCTGTTGGTGCAAGGCGCGTTCCGACGGCGACGGGGTCGCTTGCAGACTTCGCAATTGTTGTATCACTAAATTCTCAAGGGTCCTCAACCCTTCCCTATATTCATCTTCTTCGGCTGACGACGAGTGCTGGAGTTCTTCCCGGATAAAGTCCGCATGATCCCGTAACTGAGCCGCGAGATCACGCAAGGAATGAGGCGCCTTCAATTGGTCGACCAAGTCGTGTAAACCTCGTATAACATCAATCGCCGTGGCACAGTTGTCCTCCCGGACATGGGCCAGCTCCTCCTGTAATAAGCGCGCCTGGCCCTCGATGTCCTCCGTGAGCCGTTGTTGCCGTTCCGAGCGGTCCTGCCTGAATCTATCATCGCGGAAGGTCACGGACAGTTCCGAGCGTGTAGGAGATTGCGGCGGACTCGTCTCGAAGGAGCGTCTACGTGATGGCGAGTGGGGCGGAGTGAGGTCGTCCTGAGAAAACCGGATCGCCGGCACCGGCCGCTTGACGGACTTGCGGATTTGATCGACGAACGCATCGACTTGGGAACACAGGTGGTCGTACTGTTCGATGCCCGTCGAGACCCTTCGCAGCTCTTCGGACCGCTGGCGCAACAACCGCAGCTCGGCTCGCGCCTTCGTTCGATCTTGAACCGCTCGTAACGCACGCAGGGCTTCTACTAAGGAAGATAGGGGTTGTTCCGTCGAGGTGCCGTAGTCCTCGTCCAGCAGTCGCAGACATTGTTCCTCCAGCTCGTTAAGATCGTCTTGTGGCGCGCCCCAGGCCTGCCTCCGGGGTTTGTCTGAGAAGGAGCCTCGTTTCGAAGAACGGTCCTGGCGGATCTCGTTCGTCAGCTGGGACAGGGCCTGGGCCTGCGCTAACAATGCACTTTTCAGGCCGTCCGACTTGGCCACCGACGCGTCGTCGGCGGGAGCCGCGTCCTGGTTATTCTGTAAAGCAGCCGACAGCACGCGCCGCACGGGCGATGCAAGTGGAGGCGGCGCGGGCGCCTCGACGACGGGCCGAGCACTCCTTAGCTCCGCCTGCACCGCCTGGATCTTCGCGTCCAAGGCATCCAGGGTCTTCGCGTCCTCCTTGGCCTTCGTCGGTTTGCGCTTCTTCCCGAAGCCGAACTTCGCCAGCGTGCGTGCCGCCTTCAACTCGCGGACTTGAGTTCGCAGCGCGTCGAGCTCGGACTCGTCGCGCTCCGGTTGGACGTCATCCGCCCTTAAGGATACGAAGTAGGTTTGTAATCGAGACTCCAACGCTCGCACCGCTTCCGAAACAGCTTCATCGGATCTCGTTTTACTGGACACTTCCCGCCGCAACGTCTCCAGATCATCAAAGACCTTGGCATACGTCGTTTCTCTTTCTAAAGCGGGCGCCGGCGCCTCGGCGATGGCGTCGAACTCATCTAAAGCAGCAGAAATGGCCGCGACGGGCGCCTCGGCCTCGGCGCATTGCGCGACCTGCCTTTTTATTTGAGCTAGCTCCCGCTCGACCTCGTCGCGGTGCGCCAGTCTAGCTCTCTTGGCGTAGGCCCGGAACTTGCGCTTTACTTTAGACGCATCTGCACCGTTGGCGACTGCGGCCATCTCATTCTGGAGGTCGGCCAGCGCGTCGAGCCTCCGGGATTCCGGGGCGGCTGCTGGTGCCGCTACTTCTGAACAGTCCTCTAACAGTAAAGATAAACCTTCTCGGACGTCTCCCGTCGCCACTTCGATCAGGGAATTAACTTCAGTGCGGATCTTTTCTCGCAGTTCCGGAGGCGCGTCGACCAGCTGGACGTGGGCCTCCTTCGCGTAGAGCTTGAGGCCGCGGGCCGCCCTCCTCTTGGCATCATCATTGTCCTCGCGGAGGTCCGCCTTCAACGCGGCACAGAGCGACCGCCGCCGGTCCTGCGCTATTTGTGGCGCCCGGACCATTTCTCGGAGGATAGGATCATTTAAACTTTCAACTTGCTGGCGCACCTCGTTAATGTCCGTCGCCGGATCCTTCAATGCATCAGACAAAGCTCCCTTGTAGGCTTCCACGTCATTCCCGTCGCACGCGTCAAAAGCGAGTTGGAGCGCCGCGCGCTTCGTCGGCGTGGCAATGGCGGCCTGCTCCGTCTTCCTCAATTCCTCGTCCAACCTTTGGAGATGAGGGTCGTTGTCCGACTCGAGGCGTTTGTCCAATGCAGCGCGCTGCTTCTGTAGTTCTTTTTGTACTTCCTGACCCGAAGCCTTGCCCAAGCGGACGTTCGCGCGGAGCTTCGACCAGTAGGACGTCGCCGCTTGGCCGTGCGATACGGGGTCCTGCAGCACGACTGACATGGACGGCGCCGGCACGGGCGCCTGGTACGCATACAAGTTCTCGTGGCGCTGCTCCATGGTATGAGTACCGGTCTCGAGCACCTTCTTCACGGCGTCGACATCCTCCACAGAAACGCCGGGGATGTTCTGGAGATGGTCCACGGCGTGTTGATGCGCTTTCTGCACGCCGGCGTTCAGACCGGATACGTCAATGGGCTGATTGGCCGTCAGAGCTTTCAATAACGAATCGTGGCGCTGTTCCGCCTCCCGATGAGACTTCTCCAGGTCGCTCTTCATCCTCTCGAAAGCCTGGGGGTCGACTTGGGCTATTCTTTCATGCGCCGCGTCGACCTCGCGCCTGACAGCAGCTAGATCCCGCCGGTAGTCGTCGCCCGCCTGCGAGCGCCGCCCGAAGGCGCCCAAGCCGCGCGCGACGCCTCTTAAACTTCGTCGCGGCTTCGCGGGACTCATGATCGCGTCGGGCTGGAACCTGGGAGCTGGAGCTTCTACCACAGCCGTGCGATACGGCGTGGGAGGCGATACATCCTCCTCCCGCAAGAGGCGGACCTCCTCCTCGAGCGCGCGCATGCGGTGGATCAGCTCGTCATTGGGCGCCGACGACGGCGCCTTCGACGCCAATTCAGCAACAGCTTTTTTATAGGCCGAGAGCTCGCCCTGTAACTTCTTCGGGGTCCCATTCTTCAGGGACTTGACATCCGTAGATAGCGCGTCCAACCTTTGGAGGAGGTCGATCATGGGCTGCTCGAGGTTGGCCTGGAGCTCCTCGAGGTTCACGCCACCTCCGATCATGGGCCGCGTTCCACCGCCGATCTGCTGCCTCAGGAGCACCTCGTTCACTTTTTCTTTGAGGGCGTTGTGGTCGTCGCGCTTGCGCTCGCGCCGCCGCTCCTTGCGGTCGCGGTCCATGGACGCTTTCATCTCTCTGAGTTGCGCGGCCGTCGACGGCTCGTCCTCTTCGACGCGCGCCTTCTCCTTCTTGAGCATCTGGCGCACGTCATCCCGCAGAGCCGCACAGAGCTCCTCCCTGAGTGATTCCATGCGCTCCTGAACATCGACGCCGGTACCCTCCTTGGCCACGAGCCCGTCGACCTTCGGGGCGAGGGCGGAAATCTGCTCCTGCAACGCCTTCAATTCTTCACGAGATGATTCGTCCATGCCGTTGGTCAGCTGCTGGACTTTACTACGGAGCTCCTCGATCTCGTCACCGGCGGCGGGCGCCGGGCCCGGTACGAGGTCGCTCTGCAGGTCGCTGAACGGTCTCACACCGGCCAACGCTTGGTTCAAGCGCCGCATCGACGCCGCGGCGCGTTCCCTCGCTTCCAGGACGGCGTTTTGCTCTTTCGGCGGTAGCGCCGGTGGCTGTTCTTCCTCGACTACCAAAACGGAGCCTTGATGGACAACCGCAGGGAGTCGCGGCGACTCGAACCGTTCTGCCAGAGAAGGTAGCGAGGGCGGGTCCGGCAGCGGTGGCGAGAACGGCGCGTCGTCTACTTCCTGTACTTGCGACGGCCGCTCCGGGGCCTCGTCTTCTAGATCCTCATATCTTATAGAATGTTTCAGTGGAGCTCCTCGAGGTGACAACGATTCGTTAACAGGTTTGCGCTTCTCCCGCAACTGCGCTAATTTATTCTCGTTGTCGCGCTGCCGTTTTTCTTCTTCTAACCTCAACCGCTCCTTCTCGAGCTCCTGGCGCTTCTGTTCTCGCAGAGGTAGGTCATCATCATACGACGTGTTGATTCTATTACGCCCGATCAAATTGTTATTCTGGTCGTCGACGCGAATGCCGTCCGCGACCTGGTAGGACACAGATACAGGAACATCTGTTTTTGATCTACGACCGGCAGCCGGCACCTCGTCCTTGACAGCTCTTTCTTTTGGTGAGCCATTACGCTCCCGCAGCGCCCGTTTGGCCGCGTTCTGGAGCGTCTCGGGCTCCGTAATAAATTGTTCTGGTCTAGGAGGCGGTGGGAGTGGCGCGCCCTCCGACTCTTCATAGCGGAACGCGACGCCGTGCTGCAAGGTGCCCAACCGGATGATGTCGCCGTGGCACACCTCCCGCCAGCCGCCCGTGAAGTGGTCGTCACCGACGAAAGACCCGAATCTAGATCCAGAACCGTCCGCGCCCCGATCATGGAGCACGGCGCCGCCTCCATCGAGCAGCTCGACCTCGGCGTGGTAGCCCGAGACACTTCTCGGTAAAGCTTGCACGTCGTTGTCCTCGGCCCGTCCCAGCGACGTCGTCCGCTTCCGTAGCGTCAGCGGCTGGCCGGCGTTGTCGCCGAGTGGGCGCAGGAAGCTCGGCATCGTCTCCGGCTGCCCACGGGCTGCCTACGGGCTGCCCACGGGCTGGTTTTTGGCTGCCCACTGGCTGCCTAGGGCGACGTTGCACTGCGTGCACGCTGCCGCGCTGTTATGGGTGCCGAGGCACTACTGTAGCAGTGCTCGTCGCGCCCGACGGCCGCCGGCACGGCTTCTTGCGCCGTGCGGCTGGCCCAACTGCGACCGGTGCCCAGCTCCCAAACTCGAACGAGGCTAGTACTGGCTAGTACCTTTTGCGCGCGGCGCACGTCTCCGGACGCCCGGAGATGTCCACGGAGTCGCCGGGGCCGGCCAGAGACGGCTATCAGCGGCCAAGGACCCCGCCGCTGGACAGACCCCCGCGCGCGGCGGCGCGGCCGCCTATCCTATCCCGAGACCTACGCAACCGCAGGAGCAAATTCCGTGGCTGGTACTTGTGAGAGGTCCTTTCTATGTGCTTCGCCGCGACGCCGCCGCCGCGACGCCGCCGACGAGTCGTTCGACACCGTTTGCTAGAGACACCTTGGAGGGCTACGCTCCCCAGACTAATTGGTTGCCCCACTTAGCCGACGCGCGGGAAGGCGCGCGACCTCCTAAGCGATTCTAAAGGAATCCACCGTCACCTTCTTGTCGAGCGAGTAGCCGATGGACCCGTGGCCCTCCGTGCTCTCGACGCTGCTGATAGGCACGTCGTAGTAGAGGGACTTGGACCGGAAGGAGACCTCGATGGGGAAGAACGCGCCCTCGTCCTTCTGCGCGATGTTGAATTCGAGCGTACCAGTAGGGTTCCCGGAATCAATACAGTCGAGCTGCCAGTCCAAGATCTCCGATCGAGCATCGTGCTGGTGCGTGCCATCTACCGAGACGATCTCCGGGTTCGAAGCACACCCGGGAATCTTAATCGAGACATCATACAACTCCATACCACTACGAGCAGCCGTGTACTCGATGTTCACGTTCATCTGGCCGTCGCCCTCGTCTTCCGGCCAGCAGTTGATCGTTAGAGGTACCTGTTGTTCATCTGTGGTAGATAAAGCCCATCGCACCACACCCACGGCCCGACCGACGGGGAAGCCCTTCGCGTTGCCCTTCATCTGCACGATGCCGTCGCTCTCCCAGGCCTTCTTGTCCACTTTCGGGTGAGTCGCGAACGTCGTGCCCGCAGCTGCCGTCTTATGAGCGACCGTTAATCTGCAAGCTGCGGCGACGTCATCGTTCGCCGTGAGAGATAGAGTACCCTTCAAATCAAAGGCCTCCAAGGCGCCCTCCTGCGACAGGGAGATAGTTAATTTCTCTTCAACACTCAAAGCGATGGGTTGGGACGTCGCAGCGGCAGGCGGCGGCGGCGGCGCGTCCGCAATCTCTTCCTGAGGCATGGAAGCGCGCACATCTAACCCGTCCTCCGCGGCCATCTTCGACATGAGATCCACTTTCCCCTTCTTCTTCTTGCCCAGCTTCATGCCCTGGACTTGAATAATCGGTTCCGGTTCGGGAGGTGGCGCCGGATTCGCGTAGGCATCCATGAAATCGCTATCGCCGTTCTGCTGGCCGCCGAAGGGACTGCCACCGTTATACTCGTCGTCTTCATCCATATCTCCACCGCCCATCCCGGCCATGGGACCGCCGCCGCCCATCCCGGTCTTCATCGCATCCCTTTGTCTCTGCTTGATGACCTGGGACATGTGCTTGGCCTGGTCCTTCGCCGCGTCGAGTTTCGACTTCTTGACCATATTGGCGAGTTTTTCCTCGTGCGAGTCCATGTCGAGGTTTTGCCGGATGGTCCTCATATCAATAGTTTCGCGGTAGCCGCCCGTCGTGATGACCTCGTCAAACGCAAAAACTAGCTCGAAGGCGTGGTCGCTCACCTTGTCTTCACTGGTCCCTCCGGCGATCTCGGGGACGACCTTGCTTAACAATCGTAGCGTCTCCAAGTCCTCGACGATGTTCGACGCCTTGTTCGTGATGAGCAACAAGAATATACTTTCGACGGGCTGGTAGACGTATCGTACGCTATCCGTCTCTACGAAGGTGTGCTGCTTGTTGCCTGTGTTTCGACCGGTGAGTTGGGTGCTCGTGGCTCAATCAACGGACGCGCCGCCGCCGGTACGCCATCGCGCAGGCGCGTCGATGGCGTCGCCATCGCGCAGGCGCGTCGATGGCGTGGCGGTCAGCAGCAAATGAAGGCACCGTGGTCTTGATTTGGGCGCCGCGCGGCGCCTGTCCCTTGGAGCTTGGGAAACGCGGCCAGCAAGCCCTCCACCCGCAACCGGTTCATGTCGACGAATTGCCGCGACAGCAGGGCGCGGCCGTTCTTCGTCGTCACGGCGGCCGAGAGGATCACCATGATTTAATTACAAACGACTCGAAAAAAACAAATAAGGTAGGCGGCGCGGTCGGCTTCCTGTCGCACGCCCGAAATCCCCTGGCTTACCACTCAGATTATTTCGGTGCGTGCGCCGTCGAAGCAGACGCTGCGCCACGGCCCTCCTGCGCTGCCGCGCGGCCGGGGACCCCCGGGGTCCAAGCGCCGCGTGCGGCGGCGTTTCACGCGCGCGCGGCGGATTTAGCACTGCTGGGCGCGCGCAAAAAAAGCGCAGCAGGCCCGGCAACTGCGCTCGTCGGCGCTCCTTGCAACAGGCGCGTTTTGCGAGGCTGGAGCCGGCTTTTTGTTGCTAGTGTCTTACCGCTAGCTCGGTGGCGCGGCACGCCGTCGAGCAGTCTTGCGCGCCATCAACGAGCGGGAAACGGATCCTTCCAGCTCATTCCACGATAGTTTGACAACAAAGCATGCTCCAGCTTGGCACAGCAAAAAGTGCGTACCGTGCTGCGCTTGAAGGTACGACGGCCACAGAACTGTGCGCTTGCTTCATCAAATTACCAAAGGCGACGCGCCCACGCCCCACGACCGGTAGCGGTGCTGAGTTCACAGCACTGTCAGTGCCTCCCTGCCAGCTCGAAGCACATTCGGCCATGCTCGCAGCGCGGCGCCTGGCGGCCCGCGTGGCGCCCGCAAGACAAACGCAAGCCATCCAGCGCCGCCGCTTCTTCCTCTTCGGGAGCGGCAACAACGCGCCGAAGGGCTTCGGACATTTTTACCCGAAAGGCAAAACGACGACCAAAGGCACCGGTAGCAAAAAGACAAGCGGGGGCGCCAAGGCCTCGTCCACGAAGAAGAGTAGTTCAGGTGGAGGTGGTGATCCAGGTGGCGGCCTGCCTCCAGACGGGATTCCGAGGATCGTCTCCGCGCTAGCAGCAATAGGCCTGGGGGTCGTCTGGCTCTCGAGCCGCGAGAACCAGGGCACGGAGATCAACTGGCAGGAGTTCGCCACCGTGTTGTTGGAGTCCGGAGAAGTGGACAGGATCATCGTGACGAACAGCAAGGTAGCAGAAGTTTTGCTGCGGCCCAACGCATCTGTTTCGTTATCTAAGAGGGAGGAGAAGACCGATGAATTGAGGGATCCCTACGCCTGGGATTCCCAGCAGCAACCGCCCCAAGAGCAGCCGAAGACGCGGTACCCGCGCATCGGGTCGAGCGGTCCGCAGCAGGCGCCTTCCTATCATTTTGCGATCGGGTCCGTGGAAATTTTTGAGAGGAAGCTCGAGGCGGCCCAACGGCAGTTGGGCATCGAGCCGCGGGATTTTGTTCCGGTCCAGTACGTCTCGGAGACGAACTGGGCCGCGGAAGGGGCGAAATTCTTACCTACTCTGCTCATTATCGGGGCCTGGTTGTATGTGATGAGATCAGTAGGCGGCGGCGGTGGATCGGGTGGAGGTGGCGGCATGTCGAACATCTTCCGCATCGGCCAGAGCAAGGCCAAGAAGATCAAGAAGGAAGACGTGAACGTCACCTACGCCGACGTCGCGGGCTGCGACGAGGCGAAGAAGGAAGTGATGGAATTTGTGGAGTTTTTGAAGGAACCAGATAGATTTACGAAGCTCGGCGCGAAGATCCCGAAGGGCGCTCTGTTGTGCGGTCCTCCTGGGACCGGTAAAACATTACTCGCGAAGGCCACGGCGGGCGAGGCGAACGTGCCCTTCTACTCCATTTCCGGCTCGGAATTTGTGGAGATGTTCGTGGGCGTGGGTCCGTCGCGCGTCCGCGACTTATTCAAGGAGGCGCGCCAGAACCAGCCCTGCATGATCTTTATCGATGAGATCGATGCGGTGGGACGGCAGCGGGGGCGCGGTGGGTTCGCGGGCGGCAACGACGAGCGGGAAAATACGTTAAATCAGTTGTTGGTCGAGATGGACGGCTTCACGGAGAGTGGAGGCGACAATAAGGTCGTTGTCTTGGCGGGTACGAACCGAGCCGATGTCTTAGACAAAGCGCTCACAAGACCAGGCAGATTTGATCGACAGATAACCGTGGGAGTCCCGGACATCAAGGGCCGAAAAGAAATATTCTTAGTACATCTGAAGGGTTTAAATTTAGATGGACCGGGCGAGGAGTTCGCCGGGAGACTGGCCGGCCTGACGCCCGGGTTCGCGGGCGCCGAGATCCAGAACGTATGTAACGAAGCCGCGATCGTCGCGGCCCGACGAGCGGCCGACGCCATCTCCTACAAGGACTTCGAGGTGGCCGCCGATCGGGTGTTGGCGGGTCTCGAGTCGAATAAGATCATGACGCCGGAGGAGAAGAGAATTGTCGCGTTCCACGAGGCCGGTCACGCGGTGAGTGGGTGGTTCCTGGAGCACGCCGATCCTCTTCTTAAAGTCACCATAGTACCGAGAGGGAGTGGTGCTCTGGGATTCGCCCAGTACCTGCCCAAGGAAGTTGCGTTACGAAACCGAGCGCAGATCGTCGACGTGATCTGCATGGCTCTCGGGGGACGGGCCGCCGAGCAATTGACCTTCGGTTCCGTCACAAACGGTGCGTCGGATGATCTGCGACGCGTGACGCAGATGGCCTACGGGATGATTCGGGATTACGGTATGAGCGACAACGAGCGCATCGGGCAATTGGCCTTTCCGAAGTCCGACGAGCCCTTCGAGCAGCGACCATACTCGGAAGCGACGGCGCAGGCCATGGACGAGGAGGCGAAGAAGATCGTGGATGATGCCTACGCTCGGGTGCTGTCATTGCTGGGCGAGAAGCAGGCGCAACTGCAAGCTCTGGCTGAACTACTCGTCGAGAAGGAGACGATCAACCACGACGACATCGTCGAGTGCCTCGGCAAGCGGCCCTTCGAGACGAACAAACAGTACGAGGAGTTCATCACGGCGCGCGCGGAGACCGCTGTTGCGCCGGAGGACGCCGCCGAGGAGGCGCCCGAGGGGGAGAAGGTGGACAAGGTGCCCCCGCTGTCGCCCGCATAACTACTTTCGCTTGTGAATTACTCGGTGTATTGGGCGAGGAGGTCGACGACGGCCGCGTGGCCCTGGGACTCCGCGTTGGCCTTCGGCGTGTCGCCGCCTTCGTCTGCTACGTCCAGGTCAGCGACAGCCCCGTTATCTAACAAAAGCCGAACGATCTCGATGTGACCTTCGCAGCAGGCGGTATTCAGGCAAGTGTGACCTGAATCGGCCCTGTGGTGAACGTCGGCGCCGCGGTCCAACAATAGCCGCGCCGCGTCTACGTGGCCGTTGTAGCACGCGATCAACAGGGGCGTATCGCCGCCCTCCATCGCCCTGTTGATATCTGCACCTTTCTCCAGCAACAGCCGCGCCGCGTCGACGCGGCCGTGTTCGCAGGCGACGAGCAACGGCGTCCAGCCGTCCTCGTCCGCCCGGTCGACCTCAGCGCCGTTGTCCAGCAGCAGTTGCACCGCGTCGACGTGGCCCTTCTGGCAAGCGATGTACAGCGGCGTCGCACCCTTCTCCGTCGCCCGGTCGACCTCGGCGCCTTTGTCCAGCACCAGCCGCGCCGCGTCGACGTGACCCTTGAAGCAGGCGATGAATAGCGGCGTTGCGCCCTTTTTCGTCGCGCGATCGACCTCCGCGTCTTTCTCCAGCAACAGCCGCGCCGCGTCGGTGTGGCCCTTCTGGCAGGCGAGATATAGCGACGTCGCGCCGTCCCCTCTAGCTTGGTCGACAGCGGCGCCGCCGTCCAGAACCTGGGTCATCGCGTCGACGTCGCCTTTCGCCGCCGCGGCGTGCAGCAGGGAAGCGAGCTCCTTCCGGAAATCGACCGTCTCGGAATGATCTGGTCCGTACGTTCTCTCATTGATCGCGAGTCCGCGCTTTAAACTTTCCTGCTGCTTGGCTGTGTCGCCGAGGGCGCCGTACGAATCGGCAAGATTCCAGAGAGTGTTGGCTAGCTCAACGTGATCGGGTCCGTACGCCCGCTCCTTGATCGCAAGCGCGCGCTCCAGCATGTCTCGCTCCTTGGCGTCGTCTCCAAGCATGCGGTACACGTCCCCGAGGTTCGTCAGCGTGCGGGCCACTTCCGCGTGGTCGCGGCCATACGCCCGCTCCTTGATCGCGAGCGCGCGCTCCAGCATGTCTCGACCCTTCGCGTGGTCGCCTAATGAGCCGTACGCGTTCCCGAGACTATTCAACACGCTGGCCACTGACGGGTGGTCGCGGCCGTACGCCCGCTCGTTGATCGCGAGCGCGCGCTCCAGCATGTCTTGCTCCTTAGCGTGGTCGCCTAATTCGCCGTACGCGTTCCCGAGGTTCCCCAGCGTGAGGGCCACGCTCGTGTGTTCGCGGCCGTACGACCGCTCCTTGATCGCGAGCGCGCGCTCCAGCACGTCTCGCTTCTTCGCCTGGTCGCCTAATTTGCCGTACGCGTTCGCGAGGTTCATCAGCGTCTTGGCCACTTCCGGGTGGTCGCGACCGTACGCCCGCTCCTTGATCGCGAGCGCGCGCTCCAGCACGTCTCGCTTCTTCGCGTGGTCGCCTAAAGAGCCGTACGCGTTCCCGAGGTTGTTCAGCGTGGGGGCCACTTCCGGGTGGTCGCGGCCATACGCCCGCTCCTTGATCGCGAGCGCGCGCTCCAGCATGTCTCGACCCTTCGCGTGGTCGCCTAATGAGCCGTACGCGTTCCCGAGACTATTCAACACGCTGGCCACCTCCGCGTGGTCGCTACCGTACTCGCGCTCGTAGATCGGGAGCGCCCGCTCCAAGACCTCAAGCCTCTTGGCATTGTCGCCAAGATCCCCGTACGCGAGCCCAAGATCCCACAGCGCCTCACCCACCTCCTTGCTCCTCGCACCGAACGCGCGCTCCTTCTCAGCCAAGATGCCTTGCCGGACCTTCACGACGCCCGCGGACTCCTGGATCGACTCGAGCAACTCGCAGAGCCCCTCGAGCAAATTCGCGTCCGCGTCGGACCCGAGCACATGGTCCACCAACTCATCCACATCGGAAGCGTCGTCGACGGGTAACTCGCACAACATCTCGAGCCGCTGCGCGACGGCGTCTGAATTGCCCAAGAAAAACGACCGGAAATACTCGTAGACCGTGTGGCTCTGGTGCAGCGCCTCCGACTCTTTGATCGGCATGAGATGGATCTGGAGCTCGCACAAGTGCTTCACGTTCTCGACTTTCACGGCGACGTTCATCAGAATGTCCTGGTAGCCGTTGAAGAGCGGCGGCGCGAACCTGTTCTTCGTCCGCACGATATCCACACGGTCGTCCGCTTCGAGCGCCTTGTACAAACTGACCAGGGCGTCCTCCGTCTGGCACAGCGCAGCACCGCGCGTAATGTCGAAGAGCCACGAGTAGCACGGAGCCGTCTTATCGGCGTACTCGTCGCGCGCCTTGGCACCGGCGCGGTCGCGGCCCTTCAGCGGCGCAAACATCAGCTTTACGCCGCTTTCAGGGCACGCGGCCGTCATAATCTCCTCGAACTGCACCCTCGCCAGCGCGGCGACCTCGTACAGCGCGTCGAGCGACGCGGCCGGCTCGCCGTCGAGGCCGCACTGCCGACATTCGTCTCCGAGAGATTTGCCCACCCACGGGATCTCGCGCACCGCGCCCTTGATGTGCACGCGCGCGATCTCGTCGATCTGCTCCCGCGCGGCCTTGAAGGCCTTCAGGTTGTGAAACATGCATTTCCGCGGGTCGAGCGCGCGCTCGTCGTGCTCCTTGGCGTGGGCTTCTATCGTGGGCCACGGCACCGTGCGCGTGCCGTCCGGGTCCTCAGTGGCGGCGGCATCGAAGGCTCGCTTCGCCTTGTCGTCGAAGAGGACGCCGACCTCGCTTTTCAGCCTTACTTCGGTGAGCGGTTTCTTGTCGGTCGACGCGCCTGAGCCCATCGCGGGCTGTTCTCGCAGCGCTACGATCTAGATGCTCTGGGCTTTGCCTGAAGTGCAGGGCTGCCCCAAATGCCAATCCGCTGTGTATTGGCACCTCCCGTTTTTAGCTTTGGCTTGTGTGTTAGCGGCGGCACTTGTGATTTAGGGCAGCTGCTGGGCAGACAAAAGCAAGCAGGCGCTACGAGCTTGTAGCCTCAATGTAGGCCAAAGTCTGGCAGTGGCAAAGACTGGGCCATGCCTGACTCTCGTCGACGCGCGCGTTGTACTAAATTAAAATTACACTAGAGGTCCTTGAGCCCCGGCAGGAGCTCCGCCGCGAGCGCGCCGACGACGTCCCGCGCGAAGGTCCCGGTCGCGCCCGCCTCGACGGCGCCCGTGTGCCCCAGCGCGCCGCGGACGGCGTCGCAGACGTGCGCCGGGACGCGCGCCGCGTCGGAGAACTTCACCTCGACGTCCACGGGTTCGGTGGCTGCGTCCGCCGAGTAGTCCTTCAGCGTCAGCGTGCCCTTGTAGGCCTGGTCGTCGCCGCCGACGCGGACCCGGAAGGCCACTTCGATCTTCACGTCGAGGAACTGGCGCGCCTTGCCGCGAATGACGCCGACCGACGCGTCGCCGGTCACGCTCTTCACCCGATCCACACTGATCACGCCGGACCCAAAGTCCCGGTCTGGCACGCGCTTGACCACAGTTTCAATGCGCTCGCGCACCTTCGGCAGGGCGTCGCGCTCCTCCCACGTGCCCGCCGCGTTCCACGCACTTCCGGCCGAGTCCTTCCTGTTCAGAGACTCTTCCGAAGGCGTCGACGGCAGCTTGACGTGTTGCACGTTCGAGTCTGGGAGTTTGGTCTCGCGGTGCTTGTACCACGTCAGGGGCTCGTCGTCGTCGTCATCCGACGATTCCACCTTTGCAGGTGTGGTCTTCTTCGGCGGCTTCGGCTTTGTGGGAGGTTCCTTCTTTTTCGCGTCTTTGGGCGGGCAGCACACGCGCTTGTGGAAGCGCCAGTCGTCCCTTTGACATCGGGCGCCGCAGTAGGCGACCTTCTTGCAGCGCTGGCAGGCCTTGAGCACGGCCTCGGTGTCGCCGCAGTTCGCGCATTTTACGTGTTTGATCGGTGTCGAGGCGGCCTTTTTGATCTTCTTGTCGTCCTTTGTATCTTTCTCTTCATCACTATCTTCGATGGCGTCGAACTTGGAGTAGTCTACCGGCATGGTTTTGCGTCGCCGTCCGCGTTTTGAAACTGCTCTCAGCAGCCCAGGTGTCAAATAAGAGCCCTGGGGGCTTGGTTGGCGCTTTTCTCGGCAGCAGTCTGTGATATGGTAGGTGGCAGGTCGCGCGATCGTGCGTGTTCCAGCAATGCGTGCCTGGTGCCGGCGTTTGAGGCGTTTTGCGGTCGCGTCGAACTCGTAGCTGATGGACAGCTCGGACCCGCACCGCAGACATTGATCCTTCCAAAGGCTGCCAGAGTACTACACGGGAGCAGTGTCATCGGCCGGCAGAGCTTGGTTTTGCGCACTCGATCGACGAGGGCCTCGACGATGAGCGTCGAGCGCGACGCAATTGCTCGAACCGCTGGCCGTAGGAGGTTAGTGCTCGTTGGCACAGTCTGTTCGATCGGTGCAGCATCACTGAGCGACGACAGCGGCTGACGAGCACTGCTTGCGCCGCACAGCCTACAGCCTGAGGCAGCCAGACCTCACGGCGTCGCGCATTCATCATGCGCCGCCTGCACGCCATCATGCTGCTCGTCGCAGCCCTGGCCAAAGAACCAGAAACGCTGGAGATGAAGTACGAGGACCCGGTCGACGGTCCTTTAAGGGACATGGACCTCGACCTCACGATGGTCATCGACGAAGAGATCAAGAAGCTCATGACGCCGGAGCAGCTGGAAGATTTGGAGAATGCCGCGTTTCAAGAAACTATTAAGCAGTCGAGAGGTGAGAGAGAGAGCCAAGGTGTCCGGGACCAGTGGGAGAGTAAAGATGGCATCGGACGTAAAGAGGATTTGCGGAGGAAGATGACGAAGAAGACGCGACGACGGTTGGAGGACCACGGCTTGGACTGCAAGGGCTGCACGAATGCGGAGGCGATTGATGTGATTAACGACTTTGTACGCAGAGAACAGAAGCGGATCAAGTCCGAGGAGTACTACGCCGAGCGGCGGAGGAAGATCATGGGGTTTTTGGTGCCCTTTGGTTCCCTGGTATTGTTGTTAATGATAGGGTTCCTGGTCTTGCAGGCGTCGGCGGCGGCCGTGGATAGACCGCGAAAAGTGGACGACGAAATCCGCGAGGCCATCCGCCAGACGCAGTTCTACGCCGAGGCGATGGCGGCAGCAAAAGCCGAGTCGCTCGCAAAGCCGGCGCCGACGTGGCGCGACAACGAGGAGCTCGAGGAGTGGACGCCGCGTCAAGAAAAGCAGTTCCGGAAGGCGCTCGGGCCGCTCCTGGGTCTCCCTCCAAAAGAGCGATGGCGCCTCGTCGCCGAAAAGGTCGAGGGCAAGGACCACAAGGAGTGCGCGGCGCACTATAAATTGCAGCAGATCCTGGAGAAAGAGGCGGCCGAGGGGAAGAAGGACGCATAGAGTAACGTGTTATTTGTTATATACGTTCATTCGTCGTCGTCGTAGTCCTCGTCGCTGTCTGGGACATACTGGGGGTCGCTAGGGCGGCTGCCGCGGCCTCGGCGCGGCGCCCGTGGCGCGCGCGTCGCCCGCGGCGGCGGCGGCGCTCGCGGCGGTGGCGCCTGCGCGAGCCGGGGCACGGCACCGCGGACGGAGCGGCAGTACTCGTAATACGGGTGCGCCTGAGGGCCGCAGACGCAGACGTGCGCGGCATCGGGGGCTTTGCAGGGAGCGGTGTGGCTTCTCGAGTCCAGCCAGGCGCCTTTGACAAGCGCCTCGCACGTGCACGCATGCACGACGTCGTCGCCGCCGCGGCACGTCTTCACGCCGCCGGCAAGGCAGGTGCACTCGTGGTCGTCGGCCCGGCAATTTGCGGTCCCGCGTCCCCAGCCCCCGGCGTGGTTTGGACACGTGCAGTCGTGCGTCGCCGCGAGGCACGAGGCGGGCTTGCCGGTCTCCTTACATGAGCACGCGTGCCGCGTCGCCCTACAAATGCCCGGATTCTTCGTCTCGACGCAACGGCACTTGTGCTTTCGCGCCTGAGCCTTGCAATTGTGCGGCGACGCTTCGCACGTGCAAACGTGGGCGGCGTCCGTCGCGCGGCAACTCAACGGACCCATGCCGGCGCACGAGCACTCGTGAGTCGCCGCGCGGCAGGCGCCGATACTAGAAAAAGCCGCGCCCATGCTTTCCGCGTGGGTGTTGCAAACGCAGAGGTGGTCGTCGCCGCGGCACGCCACCGTGCCGTCCCAGGTCTGCCGCGCGTCGACGCAGGAACACTCGTGCGGCCCGACGTCGCCCGCGTTGCAATGCTGGGCGAGCCGCGCTTTGCAAGACAACGGCCAGTTGCTCTGCGTGAGGACCTTGCACGTACAGCTACCCATGTAGGGTCGCGGCGCGGCGGCGGGCGCGGCGGCGGGCGCCGGCGACGGCGCCTCGGCCTCGGCCTTGCGGCCACGCTTGGGCTTCGGCGCGGGCTCGTCGTCGTCCTCCGGCGCGGCGCGCTTCGGCGACGCCGAGCGGGCCTTGGGCGGCGCGCGGGGCTTCGGCGCCGCTTTAGGTTTCGCGGCCGGCTTCGCTTTTGGCTTGGCCTTCGGCTTCTTGGGCGGCTCGCGCTGCTCGCGCTGCTCGCGGAGCTCGAGGTCATAGGCAGCTCTCGAGTCCGGGTCCTTGAGCACGTCGTAGGCCTCGTTGACGCGCTTCGTCGCCTCCAGGCCGGCGTTGCCGCACTTGTCCGGATGAATCTTGCGCAGCATATCTCGCATCGTCGTCCGAATGGTCTTGGCGTCCGCGTCATCAGGGAGCTGGAACACGTCGTAGTGCGTCTTGGCGCGCTCGATCGTACGGATCATGTATTGCCCTTCCTCTTTCTCCGCGCGCGACATCGTGGACTACTGTTTCCGTCGATAGGTTTCGCACGTGTGGCTCCGCCTGGGCACGGGTGGCTCGCGGCGCGTTCCTGGGCACGGATGGCCCTGTCTGGGCCGCGTTTGTCCGGATATGGGCCTTGTGACCACAGCAATGTACGCCGTGCAACGGATCACTTTCGGCCGAGCCGAGCGCCTCGCAGCGCGCAGGCGCTGCGACTTGAGCACTGCGTAGCTTGCCAGCGGCCAGATGCCTCCGAGGACCGCACCAGGACGATGAAACTCGACGACCCACCCGACAGCTAGCGTCTGTAAGACACTAGCAAGTTTTTCACAGGACCCGTGCTAGCACCGTAACATGATTAGAAATCACGCAGAACCCGTCTCGAAAAGGAACGCCGGACGCGGTGGAGTCATGCAACTTACACGCCAAGGCCTACGAGAAAAGCGAACACCGCTCCGCGACCATGAGCTTGTACCCCGCCCATCCCAAGATCGTCTCCCGCGCTTCCAACCAGTCGACCCACGCCGAGGGGCGTTGCCCTTTCCGCGCGCAGAGCAGCTGGCGGACGCGCTTTCCATCAGACGTCCACTCGCGCAGCGCGTAGATGAGCGCGTAGTGGTTCTTGAGGTGGAAGATCAATGAAGCGTCGGGCCGGTTGAAGGCCGCCGAGAGCTTGCCCCACTGCCTCTCGATAACCTCGTCACTATCATCTCTTTTGAGGGGGATGGGGATCTTCGCCCGGCCGCCGCCCGCGAGTAAACTGATGACGACATGGGTGGGTGGCGCCTTCGGGCAGCCGAACAACGTGTCTTGGGGAAGGCCGAGGAATCCTAGAGAAGTCCGCGTGGGCAGCTGCCGCTCGTCTTCGTTCGAGGAGACGGGCGCCGTCGCGTCGTCAGCATCCTCGATTAGCGCCTGAACCTCAGCCTCCCGCGCGGCGCGTCGCGCATCCTCCCGCAACCGCTGGGCGCCCTTGATGAGGCCCCAATTTCCAAAGGGGGCCGTCGACGGCCTGGACGCGCAGGTCTTGGCGACGCCGTCGGCCTTGCGCAGGATCTCGCCCAATTCATTCTTCCAGTTCCAGGGCTTGGCCGCCTTGCGCGCCGCCGCGATGCGTTGCCTCGGCCGCGCGGGCTTCGTCTTCTTTGGGAGATCCTCGTCGGGCTCCTCGTCTTCGTCAGACTCGTCGGAGGACTCATCATCTTCACCGGCTTCTTCGGCCAGCTTGCGCTTCTTCTCGTTCAATTCTTCGTACAGCTCCCATAACCTACAGAAGGCTAATGCAGGTGCTTCTTCCTCCTCCTCGCTTACTTCTTCACCGAGCTCCAGAGCCCGCTGTCTCTGAACTGCCCTCCGACACGCCTCGGCACGCGCCTCGACCTCCAATCGAACACAAGCGAGGAGGTACTTGCCGTCCACACCCGTCTCCTTGTCTTTTTTTAGTGAAATGCCGAACTTCCGCCCGTCGCTTGATACACGACTAGCGACCGCGTCGAGCACCGGTGCTAAATCGGCCCCGAGCTTCCGTTCGAAGGACGCAATCTTGGATTCCACCAAATCCCTCAGCACGCCGCGCATCGCCGCGAGCACGTCGAGCGGGCCCAACGCGTTGTCGTCGTGCCGATGCAGCCCGCTCAAGCCATTGATCGCGCCCGCCACGGCAGCAGCGGCGCAGCACGGCGACGGCTGCTTGACCCAGGCATCTAATAAAGCCCCATCGTACGAACAGCCGAATTGGTGGACGCCGTCCTCTTTCGTCGGCAGGCGCCCATTCCACGGTCCCAGCAATGTGGCAGTGATGTCCAGATCCTCACATGCCGCCGTGTCGCACTCGACGCCGTCCGCGTCGAAGGCCGGCTGCATACAGACCGTCGTGAACGGGTCCGGTACCGCGGGTGCCGGCGCGGGCGCCGCATGATCTACGGGCGGCCACCAGTCCGGCGTCGCCTCGGGCGGCGCGGCGGCCGGCAGGCTCGGCGCCGGCGCGGCCGCGGCGGCGCGCACCGCGTCCTCAGTAGACGGTTGTGGTTTGAGCACCGCGGCCGCTGCGGCCTCCGTCGTCTCCGAAGCCATGGCGTTCGTGGCGGCGTCGCGAGACGCTGTTACGTCGCCCAGAGGGGCGGGGGCAGCCATAGCACGGGCAGCCAGTGCCAGAGCCAAACCGTGCTGGGGCAGCCAGCGCCAGGGGCAGGCTTTGGATGATGATGGCGCCCCCCGCCGCACCGATACCTAGCCGATAGTGCCCCCGCCCGAGACGACTCCAAGAGCCGCACCGCTGCTGCCCAGCCGATCGTGCCCTCGACGACTCCAAGCAGAGACAGCCGCAGGGCAGCCGCGACGATGTCCGACGGCAGCCGCAGCCCCAGCCCGACGCGCAAGGCCACGCGCAAGAAGGAGTGGCGCGAAGAGGCCTGGCGCAAGGGCCGCGTCACCGTCGAAGTGCTAGGCGCAAGAAATCTACCCGCCGACGAGGACGTCGCCGACCCGTTCGTGGCTTTGCGATTGGTGGACGTGGCCGAACGAAACCCGTTGCCCTTCCCCTTCGATAGATGTGTGAAAACATCAGTAGTCAAGGGCACTCTGGAACCGGAATGGAACGATGAACGATTCCATTTTGATGATGTGGGGCCAGCTCTACCCTACGTCCGTATCCAAGTCATGGACTACAACGGCCCGATCCACAGACCTCGACTGCTCGGCGAGGTCGACGTCTCGCTCGAAGCGCTGCAGAGATTGGGCGGCGCGCACGGTAGTGTAGCGGCTCAATGGTATCCCATCAAAAGTAGGGATAGGGAACCGGCCGGCGAGGTCGAGCTCAAGGTCGACTTGCTACCTTCTTCCGACATCGATGAAAAACAACTAGCCATCAAAGACGCTGCTGAATCGCGGTGGTTCCCTGATGTGATTGCGGACGATGTGGTAGATTTAACGGAGGGCGCACCGAACTGTTTGAAAGTGGCGGTGATTCGCGCGAAAGATCTGCGGGCCGTCGACGACGGTACGATCGGTCGCAAGCAGTCGAATCCTCTGGTGGTCGTTGATGTGATCGCTCCTGGCCAGCTATGTGACGAGGTCGAGACAACAACAATAGAAGATGACCTGGATCCCGTCTGGTGCCAATCTCTCAATGCACCATTACCTGAGAGTATCGATGTGCGTACGCTAGCTCTTAGAGTGAGAGTCTTGGATTACGATGAGGACCGCATCACGAAACGTAGATTGATGGGTCAAACGGCCTTTAGACTAGACAGACTACCGAAGCAACTCGAGGAGGACGGTTCTTCAGTAGCAAAGTGGTACGCGCTGGGGCCGGGGCCCGACGACATCGACGACGACGACCGGGGCGAGATCCTACTCGCTTGTAGATTGGTACATGAGCCGTCGTTCATCAAAGTCGGGGAGTCGGCCTTCTTCTCCGAGGAAGCCATTGATGAAGAGATGCTTCAAACGCCAAACGAGGTGCGAGTGGCCGTGTTGAGATGCGAAAACTTACGACCCAAAATTTCAGCGGCGTGGCGCCAGCTGCAACGCACGGTCCCGCAAGCGAACCCCTACGTGTCTGTAAGTGTCGAGCCAGGCGACGGCTTCGTGCAACGCACGCGCACGAAATTTGCTGAATTGAATCCCATTTACAACGAAGCGTTCGCGTTTGAAATTGACGGTGCGACAGTCGCGGAGGCCGAGGATCATGCGAATACGGTCGTGGTGGCTTCTTGCTACGCGCGGGACGGCGTGGATGGTGATGATGCGTTCATAGGGCGGGCCCTGATGCCTTTAGGTGCATTAGCTCGAGAGCCGGGGCAAGTCGGCCGGGCCTGGGTGCCCCTGTTGGATGAGTCTGACAATATTGTTGGGAGGTGCCTCATGGAGGCCCAGTGCGTGTATGATGCCTCACATGTGTTTGTACCGTTTGACGTGTCTGGGGATAGAGATCTGGGGCCGTTTCCTCCCAATCAATTATCCGTCGCTGTTTTTCGCGCTAGAGGAGTACCACCGCCCCCACCAAAGTCCTACGACCGCTTGGCACCAGCAACAGATGTATCGATAGAGCTCATCATTCCTGGCGGCGAACCGCTCCGGATCGGGTCGCGACAAAGAACGGGCGCTCCCTTATGGCGCGCCGTCAAGACCGTTGAGTTATCTGCACCGACCGAGTACGACGGCGAGAACCCGCAGAACAACTGGGAGACGCTGCAAGACTATGAAATTGAAGTCGTGTTACGAGATAATGATGTTTTGGGGCGGGGCGCCGTGCCATTGGCGAATCTCTGTGATTCTAGACCCAGACGAACCTTCCAAGGCTGGGTGGCGTTGCGGGCGCCTCCGAACTCCGAAGCCGAGAACCACCTAGATAAGTGGCGGTGCGGTGTTTTCGTCGCGCTCCACTGGTCCCATAATCCCGTGTTGCATTACGAGCCCTTCTCGCTCTCAAAGAGTGAGAACACGAAGCAGTACCCGAACGAGCTGTGTATAGCTGTCGTGCGCGCGAGAGGTTTACACGCGCCCGACGGTGAAAGTAACGCTTCTGTGTTACTAGCGGTACCAACCGCCGATGGGGAAGACATAGAACACGAGGTCGAGACGAAAGCAAGAGCCGGTAGCGAGCCGGCCTGGAAGGAGGCCTTCTTTCTGGGATTGGAGGACCCCTTTCTGCGGAAGCACCCTCCAGTGGTTCAGCTCGGGGTCCGTTCGCGAGGCATGTCCCTTGGACGGGGTGACCTACCGCTACGACTGGGATTGGACCGCAGGGTGCACACGGAGTGGGTCTCGTTGCAGGACGAAGGGTACGCGGAGGAGTTTGCGGGTGGTGCGGTCGAGGTGCGGTTTATGCTGCGGTACAACGAGGAGCTAGATCGCTTCTTCGACCCCCACTCCAAAGATCGATTGGCAGCCGCGCAAGCCGCGAAGAACGCGCAACAATATTTGATGCAGCTGGCCGAGGATCGAGATAGGAGGATGAGGATCGCCGAGGCATTGGCGCGCGACGCGCGCATGGCGGCGGCGGCTGCCGAGAGGGCTCGGGTGTATCTCGAGGAATTGGTTGAGAAGCGGAAGGAGACGCTACCTGAGATTCTGAAGGAAAGTGAGGCCGACGACGGTTTGGAGCGGCGTCTTTTTTTTTTGCGACTCGTCCCTGTGGCTGCGTCTGCTCGATGGCGTGGGATTGCGAGAGTATACGCACGCGGTGACGCCATCGCCGCGGCGCCGCGCCGGCGACGACGCTATATCACGCAGGCATCTACCGCGAGTGCGCCGCGGGCCTCGCGGACCAGGTCCGAAATTACTTGGAGAAGGCGGAGCGCGAAGGGAGACTCCGGCAGGCCCTGAACGAGCGCGGGTCTTCAAGAGGCCGCGGATTGCTCCATGTCGCCGCGCTGAACAATCAGCTCGAGTGCTTGGATGTCTTGTTGCACGACTTTGGGGCGCCGTGCAACCCGCGCTCGTTATTGGGGAGGGACACGCCGCTGCATTTGGCCGCACAACAAGGTCATAGGAAGGCGTGTTTCCTGTTGTGCCAGGCCGGTCCGTAGAACCGCGTCCGTTTAGGCCACCTCCACGCCATCGCCGCGTCTCCACGCCATCGTCTCCACGCCGCGTCTCATCCTCCACACACAGGCGCGGACGCGACGATCCAGAACAAATTTGGGGCCACACCTTTACATTATACTACGAAACGATCTATCTGTAGAATGCTCCTAAGGCACGGCGCCAATATCTTAGTAAGAGATTGCAACGGGAGGACGGTTTTGGAAGCAGCGGAGGCCAATAACGCCCCGGAGGAGACGCTCAAGGAGATCCACAGTGTCAAGATGGACCAGGAACGAGAACGGTACGCGGCGAACATGGAGCTGGACCAAAAAAGAAGAGACCTATTCAACGCCAACATGGCGGCTCGGGAAGAACGAGCGACGAGGGCGAAGCGCGAAGCTGCCATCAAAGCGCAGCGCGACGACTACATGAACTGGAAACATGGTCGCATCACGGGCAACCAGGTCCTGGCGGAGCGACTCCAGCGCCAGCAGACGGAGGAGCGGTGGGCGCGGATGACGAAGGTTAAAGAAATTGATCCGGAGCAGGAGCGGAGAATCGAAGCGTCGCGAAGCATGTCCTCTGTATCTGGTGGCGGTTTCGCCAAGGGCATGCGAATGTTCACGAAGGGCGCCTGGAGCGGCAACGACGACGAGGCGCAGCGCGGCCGGAAGCGCATGGGCGAGGGCGGTGCTAGTGGTACGGTCGGGGCGCTCGCGGCGCGGAAGCTTGGGTCTAAGTTCTAGTTATGTGTAGCCGCTTTTTTCCTGTCGGCTAGTGTCTTACATGCCGCTAGCATTATTGAAAAGCAAGCGCGGCGCGACGTACGAGGCCGCAGTTGCGCCAAAGTAGCAGCTGCCGCCTAAATACACGCTGTTCGCAGTGTGTTGCGCTGCCCTTTGATCGATTCCGCACGAAAGAGGCTCGCAGCTGTGCTATTTTGATATCGCCGCGCTGACCCTTGCCGAACTGTCGTTGCTCCCTACGAAAAATGGCCGAGATCATCGATTGCACCATCAGCAGCGACGACGAGGCGCCCGCCGCGCCGGCGCCGAAGCGCCGCGTCAAGCAGCAGACGATCGGGCCCAGCGGCCCGGCGGAGGCTGCGGCGCACGTAGACAAGAAGCCGCGCATCGAGCCGGCCGACGACGACGACGACGACGTGGAATTTCTCGACGAGAATCCGTTCGCGCCGCCCGCGCCGCTGCCCGAGCCCGAGGCGGACGATGAGGACGACGACGGCGAGGACGTCGCGATCACGGGTTCCAAGGGCCAGAACGCGCTCCAGCACTTCCCGCACTGCCGCGAGAACTGCGTCGTGCACCTGTTCGCGACGGATCCGACGAAGCATTGCGCGAACTGCTTCTGCGTCGTCTGCGACGTGCCGGCCTCGCGGTGTGCGGCGTGGCCGCAGCACTGCCGCCTGAAGTATGCCGACCCGTCGACGCAAAGCCTCCGCAAACAAGCGCGTGCCGCGGCGCTGCTGCAACAGGCGGGCGGCGCGCCCGCGCCGACGCCGACGCCGACGGCGACGGCGGGGGCCGTCGCCCAGCCGGCCCGCTTCACGATCACGAGGGAGCTCCACCAGCCCGACGCCGCGACGAGCATGGGCGCTTTGCTGCGCGCCGTGACGCAGGTGTGGCCCGTCGAAGCGCCGGCGCCGCACGGGCTCAGGACGGGCACCGTCTTGCGGCCCTACCAGCGGCAATCACTTGCATTTATGCTCGACATCGAGAACGCGCCGGACAGCGACTCGCGCGTCTTCCGAAGCACGAGGTGGGGCGGTGCCCGGACGCTGCGCGGCGGCTGGTTATGTGATGAAGTTGGGATGGGCAAGACGCTGTCCGTGATCTCGCTGATATTGAGCCGGCCCCGCGCGGCGAACGAGCTTCCGACGGACGCCCAGTGGCGGGCGCTGCAGCGGCGGCACCCCTACGCCGCGACGGTAGAAGGCCCGCCGGAGACCCTCCACCAGCACCTCTATAAGGGCAAGGAGGTCCCGTACGACGTCTGGTGGAAGAAGATGCGGGACTCGAATCCGAAGATCTCAGCGCTCTGCACGGAGCGCGAAGTCCTGAACCCGGAGCGCGTGGGCTTCAGGGCGGCGCCCAAGTTGCCGGACGGCGCCAGGACGCTCACGCTCAAGGCGACCGTCATCTCGTGCCCGGTCACTTTGATCGGCCAGTGGCAGGACGAGATCCGCCGGTGGGCGCCGGAACTCCGAATTCTGGTGAACCACGGCTCGAGCAAGGACCGCAACAACCTCAACAGGGGCAAGCTCGACGCGAGCCTCCGTGACTACGACGTAATCATCTGTTCGCCGAACACGCGGCTCAGCGGCGACTCGTTGCTTGTCCACCGGGAGCTGCGCTTTCATAGATTGATCGTCGACGAGGCTCACGCGACGCGCGGCGCGACCGAGCGATTCCTGAGGGAGAGCGCTCTCGTCGACCCCCCGCCGTCCGGCAACACTTACTCGCGCCGCACGTTCACGCCGCGCTTCGATTCTTGTTGGCTCGTGACCGGTACGCCCTTCACGACGGGCCTTAGCCAGATGAAGACCGGCGCCCAAGCGCTCGGGTGCTGGAGCGGCAAGCTGGCGACCTTCGACGGCCGGACGCAGCGGCCTAAGATCTTCGCCGCGGCCGCGGACGCGCTCCGCGCGCTCATGATCCGCCACACGAAGGACCAGGTTATTAACGGCGGGCGCGCCCTATCGCTCCCGAAGCTGGACGCGCGCACCGTGCGCATCGACCTTCCTCAGGCGGCACGCGCGGGCTACGAGCAGCTCCGCGCGAGTTGCGCGGACAAGGTCCGCCGCCGCGTCGGCATGGTCAAGCAATTGCAGCTCGACATGGACTTGGCAAAAGTTAGAAGGGCGTGCGCCGACGCGCACGTGGACGACAAGCCGAAGGCGAGGTTCGCCTGGATGCCGACGCCGTTCACTAATCAGATCCACTGCGCGACGACCGCGAAGCTCGACGCGCTCCGCGACGACCTGCGGTCGGTCCGCCAGCGCGAGCCGCACGCGCACTGCATCGTGTTTACGGAGCACTCGGGCGCGCACGCCAAGATCGTGGCGATGCTCGAGGCCGAGAACGACTGGGAGGTGACGGGCCTGGACGGGAGCACGTCCATCACGAAGCGCCACCGCTGTATTAGGGAATTCCAGAAATTCGAGCCGAAGGCCAAGGTGTTTGTTTTGACGCTCAAGGCCGGCGCGTGCGGCGTCACGCTCACCGCGGCGACGCGGCTCTACCTGTTCGAGCCCTGCCTGGACCCGTCCCACGAGATCCAAGCCGCCGGCCGTGTGCACCGCCTGGGCCAGCTCAAGGACGTGCACATCGTCCGCTTCGTACGGACCCGCGTCGCGTCAAATCTTCTCGTCCACCGCCACGCCCGTCGACGCGACGTCGGCTCGATGGTGCTCACACGACGACGCACGCCGAGAGTCGCGCCCGCTACGCCATCGACGCGACGTCCACGCAGGTCTACAAGCAGACCATCGAGGACGCGATCTGCGAGCTCCACGACAAGGTCCGGTCGAACCAGATCCAGATCATCGACGGGACCTACTCGACGCGCGCGCTGCGCTTGCTCCTCTCCAAGTAAGACACGTGATTTGTTATATATGTACATTAACTCACAAAAACGGCGTACGAGCCGCCCCAGACGCCATCAGCGCAATGCTCAGTCGTACTTCGGCACGTCCGCCGCGGCCCGGCCGTTCGAGAAGTTCTCGAGGTCGTCGGCGCCTCCATACACGGTCGTCGTCGGCCGTCTTGCTTTGCGAGCGCGCGCGATCTCCCGATCCAGCACCTTCGTCGACAGGTAGACGCCCTCGCGCTCGCGCGGCTTGGAGTAGACGCCCTTCGCGTCCACCAAGATCTTGAACGCATCATCTTGATTGGTCAAGACGACGCCCTCGATGAAACAGTCCGGGTACCGGTCCTGGATGACGCGCTTCGTCCTTAGAAAGGTCCGCTCGTGGTTCGTCTGGTCCTTCTCGTCGCCAACGGTGTACAGAATCTGCACCCTGACCCTTTTCGACTGCATCGTGTCCCACTTTTCTAATGAGAGCGGTGGCGCGAAATTGAAGCCTCTTGCGTACGGTGGGAGCACTGGTGGTGGCTTGGCGGTGCGCCGCGGCGCCATGGAGCTCGTGGTCGCGGTCAGTATTGCTAGTATTGTGAGCGGGCGGTGCATCTTGTTTTTTGTCGATGGCGTTATTGTTGCTGTGAGGTTGCTGCACTGCTCTGCTGTGGCTTCGCGTCGATGGCGTGATCGGTGCGGCGCCGCGTGAGGTTGCTGCTGCACTGCACTCGCACTGCACTCTGAGCTCTGCTTGTGTGATTTTGCTGGCGCTTCTGGGCGGTGCTCGTTCACTGTCCCAGCAAGATATGTCGAAACGAAAAAACGTTTTGCCTTATTCGTGTTCACAGGGAGCTCCACGCTTGTTTTGCTTTGCTCGGGCAAGCCGAGCTAGCGGCATGTAAAGACACTAGCACATCCCCAAATCGCCTCAACCCGCGACACTCGTGCTCGCCACCGCCTTGAGGACTCGGAGACGCCTCCTCGTTGGTGTCTTTGCAGCTTCATTGCCGGTTTACAGGAGTGTGTCGTCCGTCTCATCCGGCCGCTATCTCTTCGCACCGTGTATTTGTGTGACTCAAGGCGCGGCATTCGCCGTCAAATAAGCATAGTACCGCACAGAAAAGAGTTTGAACACCAAAGCCTATCGCTGCGAGAGGCCAGACCTTGCACCTTTCCAGGTTTCCAACCTGATCTACGGGCTCGCTCGGCGCCGACGCCACGCGCGGTTTGGTTCTGCGTCGAATTCTTTCTTTGGCGACAGAGTGCCGTCGGGCGTCGAGCAAGACGCGCCGCGTCGATGGCGTGGGCGTGGCCGTGGGGCGTCGACGCCGCCGATGCGCCATCGACGCGCGTCACGCGATGACCGCGCAGGCACCGCCGCCGCCGCTCCCCCAAGTCTCCGCGAACCCGGCGGCCGCCTTCCAGCCGCTCTATTCTGGCCAGGTTCGCCTCGTCGACGTGCCCCAGATGTCGCTTGCCGAGCTCCGTGCTCTTTGGGCGCCGGTCCCCGACTTGCAGCGATCTGCGTCGGCCCCGATCCCGCCGCCGCCGGCGATGCCGCGCGACTTTAACTTCGACGCGCCCGTGACCGGTGGGTGGGAGTTGCCGCCCGGTCCCGGAGCTCCGCCGGGCTCGTACTGAAGAAGCTTGCACGCGGGCATGCATCGCCATCTCCGTGACATGAAATCAAACGCGCCGGCGCACCCTTGCCTCCCCCCTCCCCTCGCCGCGCTCAGCTTGCCTAGCAGCTGCACCCTCCCCCCGTATTTGGTCCGCGTAAACCAAGCGTAGCTAAAGCAATTTGCAGATAAAAAGAGCCCCCCACCAAAAAAAAAAAAAATTTGCAAACGTCGCAGGGGTCTCCTTCCAGGCGTCCGGGGCGGGCGTCCCAGCACCCGTGGACGCGTTTGGACGGCCGCGAGGCACCTCCAGCCTGCAAGACCGCTCTGTCTGCTGCAGCGCACTCTGGCCGCCCGGATGCACCGCTACGGGACGCGCGCGTCGAAGACGACTGAAGGCGAGGGTAATATGGCTAGAACCAAGCCCACGGACCGCAGACCACCCGCGGCGAGGGCCGCCGCGGCGCCAAAACGGGCTAGAACGATCACCGACACCGAAGACTGCGCGGGCGAGTTCGACGACGGCTACGGCGACGACTCAAGCGCCGCTGGCGACGACGCTGCGGCGGAGCCCCTCGAAGAGGAGGCGTCCGACGCCGAGGCGTCCGACGCCGAGGCGCTCGACGACCCCCGCGCCTTGGCGGCGGCCAAGAAGAAGGCCGAGGCGGCGGCCAAGGCGCTGGAGAAGCGGACGAAGGGGTGCGCCGTCGTCGTGAAGTGCACGATGGCGCGCGGCGGGAATAGCTGGACGCTAGCGCCGCTGGACCCCCCCCGGACGCGCTCGATCCCCTGGACGTGCGTCGTCCTCGACGAGCAGAGCGGCGTACGATCTGTGAGGCTCGAGGACCTGATGAAAGCGGCGGATGTGGCCGGAGACACTTTGGGTCTCGTCGCCGGCGCGACGAAGAAGCAGCTGAGCCTCGTGCGCGTGCGGGTGGTCGGACGGAGCGCCGATCTCGTGGAGCTCGACCGGAAGGAGGGCAAGGTGGTCTGGGTCGCGACGCCCGCGACGGCGGTGGCGGCCTTTGTGGACGAGACGGGCCTGACCAGCGCCGGCGCCGTCGCCGCGCCGACGCTGGCCGCGGCGCTGGCGCCGAAGCCCGTCGCGAAGACGGGGGAAGAGAAGCGGGCGGAGCGGAAGGAGCGGACGGACTGGGTCCTCGCACTCTCGGAGGCGTCGAAGGACTCGGAAAGGTGGGCCGCGGCGGACCTGCCGTCGATCGACCCGGCCGCGGCCTTCCGGATTAGGGAGCTGCTCGAGAAGGACGACGCGCGGGCCGACGTGTTCGAGGATCTGCTGGAGAGGGACGTCGCGACGGACGGCTTCGTGCTGAGGCCGGGGGCGCCGCTGCCCACGGTCGACGACTTGGCGGCGCTCGGGATCAAGGGCAGCGCGACGAAGAAGAAGAAGGGCGTCGGCGGCGCGTCGCATGCGACCGACCAGATGCAGGGGCTCGCGACGGCGATCGTCAAGGCCCAGGCCCAGGCCCAGCAGCAGGCGCCGGGCGGCCCGCCGCCGTTCCACGCCGTCGCGCCTCCGGGCTACCCGCCGTACGGCTACGCGCCGCCCTTCGGCGGGGCCTACGGCGGCTACGGCTACGGCCCGCCGCTGGGCTACCCGCCCGCGCACTACGCCTACGCGCCGCCGCCGCCGCCGCACGCGCTACCGCCGGGCGCCGGCGCCGCTGGCACGCCGCCGGGCGCGCACGGCGCGGCGCCCGGCACGCCGGCGCTGACCGCGGCGACCGCGACGCCGCCGCCGCCGCCGCACGCCGCGGCCGGCGCGCCGCCCGGCGGCCTGTCGCCCTACGGCGGCCCGCACCCGCACGCGACGCCGCCGCACTGGACGGCCGGGGGCTACGGCTACGGCGCGCCGCCGGGCTACAGCCCGTTCGCGCCGCCGCCGGGGGCGTTCGGGGGCTACCCGCCGCAGGGGAGCCCGTGGCCGCCCTCGCCGTACCCTGGCGCGCCGCCGCCCTACATCTGCGCCGCGCCGCCTCGACCGCCGCCGCCGCCCACGCCCGCGACCACGACGGCGGCTCCGGCCGTCGCCGCTACGGACACGGCCGCGGGCGCCACTACGACCCCCGGCGGCCCGCCCCCCGCGACCGACGGCGCGACGGCTCCGGCGCCGGCGCGGCGCACGAGCCTCACCGGGGTGGCGTCGCCGACGCACAACGTGGCGGCGGCACAGCCCCCCGCCGTCGGGACGGAGAAGCCGCCCCTGGGCGCGCCCGCGGCCGGCGCCGAGAACACGGCGCCGCCGGCGACGCCTGGGGGCTCCGGCTTCTGGCCGGCGGCGCCCTACTCGGCCGCGACGACGCCCTTCGCCTTCCCGCCGCAGCACTACTACGGCTCGAGCGGCCACTACGCCGCCGGCGGCGCGCTGCCGGCGCCGGCGCCGCCGGCCGCGGCGCCGCCTCCGGCGCCGCCGACCGACGCCGACGCGGCCGCGGCCGCGGAGGTCGCCGCGGCCGACGCTTAGGGCGCGGCCGGCCGAGGGCGTCGTCGGCGGAGACGCTCGTTACCGCCACAAGGGCGGCGAGGGGAGCCAAAAGGGCCTTCGGCGGCGACAAGCGCCCGCCCCTCTCTCACCTGACTGTATAACAACGTTCATGTTCGACTCCTGAGGGGCACCGCGTCCCGCGGTAGACCGCCGCGCCCAAGTCGGAAACAGACAAAAATGCTTACATATAGACCTCGTCGAGGAGCCCCGGGAGGAAGGGCGTCGCGCGCCAGCCGCAGTGGCGCATGTAGGCGGCGGCGTTCTCGGAGTCGATCGAGAGAAGCGCCTGCCTAAGGGCCTCCTCAGGCATGGCCTCGAGGTAGGCGCGGTCGGTGCCGTGGAGGCGCTCGAGCGTGGCCTTGGCCTCGTTGAAGGCCATCTCGATGGGGTTGAAGTCGTACGAGTAGGCGGGCAGGTAGAGGAGGATCGCGCCCTCGCCCTCGATGAGGCGCCGGACGCGGTCGTCCCAGTGCACCGAGGCGTTGTCCAGGACAACGACCGACCGGTCTCCGGGGAACGGGTTCAGGTGCCTGCGCGGGACGCGCACCGTGAGACTGCGAGGCGGCTACGAGGACGCCGCGCGACGCGCGGCACGACGTGTTCGGCGAGATGCCGGATGAACGTCTCGGCGTCGACGCCGCGTGCGTCCGTCACAGCGCAGTCAATCATGCCCCGGACCGTGAGCACGCCGAGCGCGGAGTAGCCGCTCGCGTGGCGCGTGAACGGGAGGCTGTGCAGCGCCCGGGCTCTTGCCCGGCCGTAGCGCCGATTGAGCGTCCGCGGCTCCTTGCGCGTCTCGTCGATGAAGACGAGCTGGTGCGGGCCGTATTTGGCCATGTTCGCCTTGAAGACCGCGCGCTCCAAAACGTTGCGCCGCGCCGCAATGACGCTGATCTTCTTGCGAGTGATCTTGCGCCGCAGCAGCGCGCGGCAGACCGACCACGTGCTGTACGTCGTGCCGAACTGGTCCCGCAGCTGCTCCACCATCTCATCCAGGTACAGCGTGCAGTCCCGCTCCTTGAGAAAGGCGACGAGCCAATCGACGCGATCGCTGGGAATGAGGCCGGCGCGTCGACGCCGGCTGTTGGCAGGCGTATCGTAGTCACCGTACCGCCGAAACCGTCGGATGATCCGCCGGACCGTGGAGTAGGACACGGGCGGAACAGTGAGCTGCGCGAGCTTCTTGCAGCCTAGGCCGCTCTGGTAGTAGTGCAGCACCAGTATCCGACGGTAGTGGCGCCCAAACGTCATCGTTCCGCTGCATCCGTAGAGTACGTGCGGCGCACTGCATCAAGCAGGACCAGCGTTATCCGCGCGCTTGGACGCGTAAACGCGTTCACGCCGCGGCCCAGATCGTCTCGGCATCGAGTCTAGCCGAACATCACACCGGGGCCGCTCCACGCGTGCACGGCGTCTCTGGGGCCGTTTTCAGGAATGAGTCGAAAAAAAAAACTTTTTTTTTGAGGCACCAAGCCGTCGCAGGCGTCCGTCGGGCATCCCTCCTGAATAGTAGTACAGTCGGCGTTGCTCCACGTGTCAAGGCACGCGCACGGCTCCGGCCGCGTAGCCACGTTCGTATCGTCGCACTCTATGTAATGATAGTCACCATGCTCCTTCGCCGAGGAGCATTCCGACGGATCCACCTCGCACCAGCGGTACCCCCAAACCGTCTCGCACTCTGAGCCTTCCGCCGGGCATCCCTCCTGAATAGTAGAACAGTCGGTGTTGCTCCACGTGTCAAGGCACGCGCACGGCTCCGGCCGCTTAGCCACCGTCGGAGACGTCGTCGGCGGCTGCGACGGCTTGGGCGTCGGCGCGGGCGTCGGCGCGGCCGTCGGCTCCGGCGTAGCTACGTTCGTCTCGTCGCACTCTATGTAATAGTAGTCACCATACGGAAGCGCCGTGGAGCACTCCGACGGATCCACCTCGCACCAGCGGTAGGGGCTGCCGTCGCAGGCGTCCGTCGGGCATCCCTCCTGAATGGTAGAACAGTCGGCGTTGCTCCACGTGTCAAGGCACACGCAATGCTCCGGCGGCGCCACGTTCGTATCGTCGCACTCTATGTAATAGTAGTCACCATACGGAAGCGCCGTGGAGCACTCCGACGGATCCACCTCGCACCAGCGGTAGGGGCTGCCGTCGCAGGCGTCCGTCGGGCATCCCTCCTGAATAGTAGTACAGTCGGCGGTGCTCCACGTGTCAAGGCACGCGCGCGGCTCCGGCCGCGTAGCCACGTTCGTATCGTCGCACTCTATGTAATGATAGTCACCATGCTCCTTCGCCGAGGAGCATTCCGACGGATCCACCTCGCACCAGCGGTACCCCCAAACCGTCTCGCACTCTGAGCCTTCCGCCGGGCATCCCTCCTGAATAGTAGAACAGTCGGTGTTGCTCCACGTGTCAAGGCACGCGCACGGCTCCGGCCGCTTAGCCACCGTCGGAGACGTCGTCGGCGGCTGCGACGGCTTGGGCGTCGGCGCGGGCGTCGGCGCGGCCGTCGGCTCCGGCGTAGCTACGTTCGTCTCGTCGCACTCTATGTAATAGTAGTCACCATACGGAAGCGCCGTGGAGCACTCCGACGGATCCACCTCGCACCAGCGGTAGGGGCTGCCGTCGCAGGCGTCCGTCGGGCATCCCTCCTGAATGGTAGAACAGTCGGCGTTGCTCCACGTCAAGGCACACGCAATGCCGGCGGCGCCACGTTCGTATCGTCGCACTCTATGTGGCAGTAGTCACCATACGGAAGCGCCGTGAGCACCCGACGGATCCACCTCGCACCAGCGGTAGGGGCTGCCGTCGCAGCGCGCGCCGTCGGGCATCCCTCCTGAATAGTAGTACAGTCGGCGTTGCTCCACGCTGTCAAGGCACGCGCACGGCTCCGGCCGCGTAGCCACGTTCGTATCGTCACTCTATGTAATGATAGTCACCATGCTCCTTCGCCGAGGCATTCCTGACGGATCCACCTCGCACCAGCGGTACCCCCAAACCGTCTCGCACTCTGAGCCTTCCGCCGGGCATCCCTCCTGAATAGTAGAACAGTCGGTGTTGCTCCACGTCAAGGCACGCGCGCGGCCGGGCGCTTAGCCACCGTCGGAGGCGTGTCGGCGGCTGCACGGCTTGGGCGTCGGGCGCGGGCGTCGGCGCGGCCGTCGGCTCGGCTCCGGCGTAGCTACGTTCGTCTCGTCGCACTCTATGTAATAGTAGTCACCATACGGAAGCGCCGTGGAGCACCGACGGATCCACCTCGCACCAGCGGTAGGGGCTGCCGTCGCAGGCGTCCGTCGGGCATCCCTCCTGAATGGTAGAACAGTCGGCGTTGCTCCACGTGTCAAGGCACACGCAATGCTCCGGCGGCGCCACGTTCGTATCGTCGCACTCTATGTAAGTAGTCACCATACGGAAGCGCCGTGGAGCACTCCGACGGATCCACCTCGCACCAGCGGTAGGGGCTGCCGTCGCAGGCGTCCGTCGGGCATCCCTCCTGAATAGTAGTACAGTCGGCGTTGCTCCACGTGTCAAGGCACGCGCACGGCTCCGGCCGCGTAGCCACGTTCGTATCGTCGCACTCTATGTAATGATAGTCACCATGCTCCTTCGCCGAGGAGCATTCCGACGGATCCACCTCGCACCAGCGGTACCCCCAAACCGTCTCGCACTCTGAGCCTTCCGCCGGGCATCCCTCCTGAATAGTAGAACAGTCGGTGTTGCTCCACGTGTCAAGGCACGCGCACGGCCGCCGCTTAGCCACCGTCGAGGCGTGCCGTAAGCGGCTGCAGCGGCTTGGGCGTCGGGCGCGGGCGTCGGCGCGGCCGTCGGCTCCGGCGTAGCTACGTTCGTCTCGTCGCACTCTATGTAATAGTAGTCACCATACGGAAGCGCCGTGGAGCACTCCGACGGATCCACCTCGCACCAGCGGTAGGGGCTGCCGTCGCAGGCGTCCGTCGGGCATCCCTCCTGAATGGTAGAACAGTCGGCGTTGCTCCACGTCAAGGCACACGCAATGCCCGGCGGCGCCACGTTCGTATCGTCGCACTCTATGTGCGTAGTCACCATACGGAAGCGCCGTGGAGCACTCCGACGGATCCACCTCGCACCAGCGGTAGGGGCTGCCGTCGCAGGCGTCCGTCGGGCATCCCTCCTGAATAGTAGTACAGTCGGCGTTGCTCCACGTGTCAAGGCACGCGCACGGCTCCGGCCGCGTAGCCACGTTCGTATCGTCGCACTCTATGTAATGATAGTCACCATGCTCCTTCGCCGAGGCATTCCGACGGATCCACCTCGCACCAGCGGTACCCCCAAACCGTCTCGCACTCTGAGCCTTCCGCCGGGCATCCCTCCTGAATAGTAGAACAGTCGGTGTTGCTCCACGTGTCAAGGCACGCGCACGGCCGGCCGCTTAGCCACCGTCGGAGCACGTAAGCCGGCGGCTGCGACGGCTTGGCGTCGGCGCGGGCGTCGGCGCGGCCGTCGGCTCCGGCGTAGCTACGTTCGTCTCGTCGCACTCGCGTAATGATAGTCACCATACGGAAGCGCCGAGGCCACCCGACGGATCCACCTCGCACCAGCGGTAGGGGCTGCCGTCGCAGGCGTCCGTCGGGCATCCCTCCTGAATGGTAGAACAGTCGGCGTTGCTCCACGTCAAGGCACACGCAATGCCGGCGGCGCCACGTTCGTATCGTCGCACTCTATGTGGCGTAGTCACCATACGGAAGCGCCGTGGAGCACCCGACGGATCCACCTCGCACCAGCGGTAGGGGCTGCCGTCGCAGGCGTCCGTCGGGCATCCCTCCTGAATAGTAGTACAGTCGGCGTTGCTCCACGTGTCAAGGCACGCGCACGGCTCCGGCCGCGTAGCCACGTTCGTATCGTCGCACTCTATGTAATGATAGTCACCATGCTCCTTCGCCGAGGCATTCCGACGGATCCACCTCGCACCAGCGGTACCCCCAAACCGTCTCGCACTCTGAGCCTTCCGCCGGGCATCCCTCCTGAATAGTAGAACAGTCGGTGTTGCTCCACGTGTCAAGGCACGCGCACGGCCGCCGCTTAGCCACCGTCGGGCACGCCGTCGGCGGCTGCGACGGCTTGGGCGTCGGGCGCGGCGTCGGGCGCGGCCGTCGGCTCCGGCGTAGCTACGTTCGTCTCGTCGCACTCTATGTAATAGTAGTCACCATACGGAAGCGCCGTGGAGCACCCGACGGATCCACCTCGCACCAGCGGTAGGGGCTGCTGTCGCGCGCGCCGTCGTCGGCATCCCTCCTGAATGGTAGAACAGTCGGCGTTGCTCCACGTGTCAAGGCACACGCAATGCCCGGCGGCGCCACGTTCGTATCGTCGCACTCTATGTAAGTAGTCACCATACGGAAGCGCCGTGGAGCACCCGACGGATCCACCTCGCACCAGCGGTAGGGGCTGCCGTCGCGGCGCCCGTCGGGCATCCCTCCTGAATAGTAGTACAGTCGGCGTTGCTCCACGTGTCAAGGCACGCGCGCACGGCCCGGCCGCGTAGCCACGTTCGTATCGTCGCACTCTATGTAATGATAGTCACCATGCTCCTTCGCCGAGGAGCATTCCGACGGATCCACCTCGCACCAGCGGTACCCCCAAACCGTCTCGCACTCTGAGCCTTCCGCCGGGCATCCCTCCTGAATAGTAGAACAGTCGGTGTTGCTCCACGAAGCCTTGCACACGCACGGCTCCGGCCGCGTAGCCACCGTCGGCTCGGCAGTCGGGAAAGGTGTTGGCAGCGGGCCGCAATCCCCGCCGTCGTTATCCTCGCATCTGAAGTCGCAACCGGAATTGCCATCATCGCAGACACCGTCGCCGATCCAACTCGCTGGGCAGCAGACGCCGGAGCAGTCCGGGACTTGGCCGGAGTCGCAGGTCTGAAGACGCCGTTGTGATGCAGATCCGGCGTCGTGTCGCGCAGTGTAGGCCGGCCGCGTCGTCTGCGTCGCCAGCCTGCTCTTGACCATCTCGGCCGCGGCGTTGCGCGCCGTCGAACCAGAGAGCGCCTCGCCCTCGCCGGCGACGCCCTCGATGTCTTCAGTGTCGAAGGCCGCGGCCTCCGACGTAATAGTTTGGGGCGCGTCCTCGACATGCGAGAGCGTGCCCTTGATGGACGCGGCCGGGTCGCCATCCCCGTGCGCCGCCGCGTCGATGGCGTCTCCGCCCTTGTTGTGCGCGTCCGCGAGCTCGGCGAGCGCGGCGTCGGCGCCTTGAGTTTCGTGCTGCGAGACCGTGTCCTGGTCCCGCGGCGAGACCTCCGTCTCGAGCACGGGCCGCGCGTGGCCGCCCGTAGCGTAGGCCGTCTCGGCCTTTGACTTGATGTCTTTTGACGCGCCCTCGTGGGAGAGCGTGCCCTTGATGGACGCGAGGCCGAAGAGGCGGCGCAGCCCGAGGCGGCCGCCCCTCCTCCAAGTTCGTTGCCGAGATCTCATCGGAGGACGCGTCGGTGTTCGCGTAGTGGTTCTTGGCGTCTTCGGGGACGCTCAGGTCGCGGTCGCGCAGGTGGTCCTTGACGCGGCCGCGGAGGTGCGCTTCTGGGAGCGCGTTCGCAGAGACAACGAGGCAGAAGAGGACGACACGCATTATTTTTTCTTTTTTGTTTTGTTTTTGGTATGCGTGCCTTCTTCCTGTGCCTGCGCGCGACGGCAACTTTCGATGGCCCGGCGCTGTCAACGGGTCACGAGCGCCGAGCGGCCGGGTACCTCAAAAAGGCTCTCGTTCGACCGATGCGACCTCTCGCGGCGACGGCGACCGAGAGTCTCGACGTCCGCGGCCGTCGCCTCGCAAGGCCGCTCGAGGAAAGGTAGAGGGCGCGTGCGCGTCTCAGAGCGGCGAAGGCCTCCTCAATAAAGATAATTGACGACGTCGATTTTGTACCCGGTGCTTCGACGAGCAGCTGCAGCGACTCAAGAGTTGCTGCAGCGCCGCCCGTCTCGTGGTCGCTTGTGTGCTTCTTCTGTACCTGTGCGCGAAACCGTCGCGCCGATGCGGCGAAGGAGGCGCGAGGGTCGCTCCGCTCTCACGACAGTTCGACGCGCGACCGTTTCAGCTCTCGCGTCGACGGCCACGGGCGCACGGGCGCGGCTCGGCCGCTACAGCGTCGCGCGGCGCCGGCGACCGGCCGAGCTCGCTCTCACGGCGGTTTCGTAGACTCTCGCGCTGTCAGGCGTCGGAAAGGTGTGTCATGAAGACCTCGTGAAGCGCGCGCCTCGCGAGGCTGGGGCGACGCGCAATACGTGTCACTTTTTCCAAGTCGCCCAGCTCCGCGCTCGCGCGGGCGACGTCTTCAAGGTGAGCTCTCTCGAACGTTTTTATGCGAGTCCTGCGGTTTGTTCAAAGCTTGAATTTGAGGACGCCGGTCCCCACTGCTAGCTCACAAAGGTTGTCCTTGCCCTCTGTGCTAAACTTTGGCTCACGACTGTGCCGTACCCGAAATCGGCGCAAATGTCTTCCGGCGCCCAGGACAGGTAGGTAGAGGTCCCCGGCTTGCTGGGACCCAAGTTTGTCGCGGGCCGCGACTTCGCGCAGAAAGCCGCCGTCCCGGGGCATGGCTCGCAGATCCGACTATTTAAGTCACCTCGCGTTCACGGCCTGCCGGTGATCATTTGCCAGAGCGGCTTCGCGAACATTTGGTGTGCTCATCGCGTTCGGCGGCCTCGTCGCGTAGATGCATATCGGCGAGAGGCGGAGGGCGTGGTGCGTGAGGCGCCGTCGCGACGATGGCATGGCCTTGGTCGTCTTCGAGCGCCCTTCTACCCCGCCAGTAGGCCTCGCCGTAACTGCGGTACCGCGCGATTATATAAAGAAAAGAGTTTTTTGTGATGTAGATCGGCGGCTCCTGAACTTTCTTTCGAGTGGTTCTGATGGCGCTTACTACTTCCCAGTTCAAGTCTTGCATGAATTATTTTTCATGATGTATCGAGAGCCGTTGGAAGACTTTCGGCGGTGGTATTTGTTTCTATATTGTCGATTGAAGCTGCGTGATGGAAGCTCGCGTCTCGGGCGGACAGAACGCGCCAGCGCTCGCCGTCATCGAGTAGGAGACGTCCTCCATCTCTCAAAAACGCAATAGAGGTGACTGCTCTTTGAACCAGGCGCGGATCCAACCCTTGAAACCGCAACACCCGGATGAGCGATTTCGCTCGCCAGCGAGCGCGATTTCAGTGGCGGGGGTCAACGGCTGACGAGGTGTGACCCTCGAGAGCCCGCTTGGCCGCAGTCAGCTCGCGTCATTTTTTAGAGAGTGGTGGTGTCCTGCATCGTTTCTTGGCTTCACTTTGCGTACGGAGCAGCAATCAATCGCCGCAGCAGCGTAATGCATCGCTTGCCGTTTGGCGCTTGGCAAGGCGTCATGGTGCCCCATGTTATGTGGTGCGCTGGGCATCGGCCCCGGGCAACTGATGGGGCTGCCTCGCGGCCCTGTTCGATCGGTTGGGCTGCCTCGCGGCCCTATTCGATCAATGCCGCAGTTTGGACGGCCTTTGTGGCCGTGAACGGTGTTTGCATGCACTGCGGAACCTGTTTTTGAAGATTCAAGAAACGCGGCATGCAATTGTTTGAGTATCGTTCGGATCGCTAATGGTCCATAGACATCAATGGGACTCTTCCTGGGGGGCGAAAAAATTTAATTTTTTAATTCGCGATATTGACGACGCCACCAGGGCGGGCGCGTCGATGGAATCCTGTCGATTCTGTGGTCCCGAGGTCTCCCTGGGGTCGCCTAGGATCTGTCCTGGGCACGCAAATCGCGCGCCCGCATGCGCGGGCGCTTCGATCGTGGATACAAATCAAGACAGGTCCTCAGCAGTGCGCGGACAGCGCCATGATCCCCAAAGTTTTCGATCCAGGCCTCTGGGGAGCCCCAAGAATCGGCGCATGCGGTCTAGGGGACCACCCGACCCCAGACCTATCCCGGCAGTCCGAGGGCCGATCTGCATCCACAAAAAGTAAATACTTTGGGCCCGATGGCGCCCCGTCACCGTCAAATACGCAATTACCCGAGGGCCACCAGTAGTCGCCGTAGCGGTCTCGTTGGACCCCATACTACCCCACCGATAGTCAATTACAAGTATATGACATCTACATTATAAGAAGGGTACTTTTGGCTGCCCACGCTCGGGACGTGAACATCTTTATCTGGACCTCGCGTAAGTCCGTCGATCATGAAACAAATGATCGCGTCATGGTCCATGGGGAAGGTACACGGGCTGATGGCCGCAGATCCAGGTGTGGTGCCCATCTAAGCCAGATGGTGGGCTCGCGAGACCGACAAGGCGCGAGTTGTAAACGGGACAGGTAATCCAATGTAGTAGACGATCAGGCCGGTTACCTGGCCCGTCCCACTACTAAAGCGCCTGAAACGCGAGTTTATTTCATAACTCACGGGTCTGGGGCCAATTCAGTGCCCCGCGTACGCACCGTCGTCCGCGGAGAACGGGCAAGTCGGTCGATCGTGAATAGAACAACGGTGTTATGGTCCATCTGGATGGTGTCGTCGCTGATACTCGCGGGTCTAGGTATTAAGCCCATTTTTGCACAAACGCGTGGTCGCCAAGACGACGAATCGCGAGGCTCTAACGGAATATCTAAAATAGCTCAGTGGTCGCCGAGGCGGGCTGGATGGAATCTACCACTAACAAACGGAAGGAAACGAACATAAACGCGAGAGTTGTCTAGTAGAATTCTTCTCCCGCCCTCCGAGCGCGGGCCGTCGGCTCCGGTTCCGTCGATTTTGTGTGAAAACTGGGCTGGAGTTGATATGATGTACCATTTGGACGGTAGAAGGCACCGTCAATCGCTGGTGTATTTTGGCGAGCCGCAAGACCTAGTGATCTAGCGTATCAACATACTAGGATTCGTATATACGCCATGTATGCGCGTCCGCGTGTATGTACACGCGCATATATAGCGCTTAAGGCGCCTAGGGATGGATGGCTTTTGAAAACAGACCTCTCCGACTGACCCCCGACTCGTCGATGAGGTCTCTATCACGCCATCAACGCGTCTAGTGAAACTGCGGGAATTGGCATATTACTCAGGTTCTTCGTCATAGATCGCTGGCCGCTGCGCCGGCGGCTCCTGCTCAGCCTCCACCTTTCTCTTCAGGAAATTCATCGTCGCCTCCTCCTTGTTCGACGTGATCTTGCCGCCGGGGTGGGCGAACGTCCGCTTCGGCGGCGGCGGTGGCGGCCGCGCCGCGTCGGCGGCGAACCGGCCCGCCCGCTTTGCGCGCCGCGCGAGCTCCTCCTCGGACAGCTCCAGGCCCGCGATGGCGGGGGGTTTCTCGGCGCGCTCGCGCTTCCGCCGCGCCTTCACGCGCAGCCCGTCGGCCGTCAGGTCCAGCTGGCTTGACTTGCGGACCGCCGCCGCGAGCACGCGCCGGTCGTCGTCCGCCGTCTTCGCCGCGTCGACCGTCGTCGGGAGGAGCGCCTATATAGAAATAATTTCTCGGCGATAACCCGACCGGCATCGGCACGAATACGCCGTGCAGTTTTGATTTCCACACAGAGCAGCGCCGCGATGCGCGGGAACGTGAAGAAGGCCTCCAGCGCGACCGCGCCGTCCTCGTCCGCCAGGCTCTTGAGAAACGCGTCCTGGCCCCAATTCCTCGGCGAGAAGTAGTACTCGAGCTGCTGCCGCACGCTGACCCCGCCGTCGGACGGAGGCGGCTTCGTCCGAGTCGGCTCGTTCTGCGCCGACAGCTTCGCGGCGCAGTCGACGCACGTCGGCCGGGGCTTCTTCCATTGCTTCTCGACGAACATGCTCTGCGACCGTGCCTGGCCGCAGTGCTTGCACGTCTTCTGCGTCCCTGGCTCATCCGCCGGCGCCGCGGCGGGCGTCGGCGCGGCCGCGGGACCACCCAATGCTGTCGGCAGGCCCATCGCCGCCATCAGGTCGCGCTCGCTCGGCGCGCCCGCGGCCTCGACTGGCTCGGGCCCGGCCGCGGCGGCCCGCCGGGCGCGAAGGGCCCGTGCGGCTTGGACCTGTGCAGAAACCGGCGGCGCGGGCTCCTCGTTCGAGGCCGGCTCGGGCGGCGGCGGCGCGGCGGCCGCCGGCTCGGCTGCGGGCTCAGGCGCGGGCGACGGTGCCCCGAGGCCGAACTCCTCCTCGTCCAGCGCCGCCTGGAGGCGGTCGACGAGCACGGCCTTGAGGCCGTCCGCGGCCAGGCCCCGCCTTCTCAGTTCGGCGCGCAGCTCGACGACCTTCAGTTTCTTTGGCTCCACCATTGCTTGTGTTGGGGCCGCGTCCATGGGTGCTTGCGTTGCGTCTCTCGGGCCGCCCGCGGCAAGCTCTGCACACAGGCTGCACTGCTCCGATGCTTGTGCTACACGCCAGACGTCTTAACTAGTGCGGGTTCTTACCGGACCAAAGAGTGGTGCAGCTCCTGCGTCGAAAATCAGTCAAAGCGAATCTCGTGCGTGCCCGCCCGCCCGCCTGCGCAGCACAGCCCTCGGCTCCAGCCCATTTGCTAGTGTCTTACAGCCGCTAGCGCGTAATGTCGCACGTTTCGCGCGAGCGGCGACGCGGGGGCGGTGCTCTCTTCCAGACTTCGCCGACAAGCAAGACAGGTCGCCAGGCTCCGAGCCTAGGATGGCGCGCGCGCTAGCCTCCTCGCGGTCGCTTCCGTGGCGTACGCCTTCACGCACGACGAGTCGCCCGCCTGCTACGCGTCGCGGTACCCGGACCTCCACGCAAGATTCTGCACGACCGACCGCTGCGATCGGCGACCGAAGAAACCGCGGCGAGAAGAATCCACAGAACAGCCATATTACGCCACGCGATTCTTCACGTCGCCGAAGATGCGCCGGGCCCCGGGCCGCGGCGGAGGACGTTTGCCGCGCCGCCGCTCGCGCCGCTCGATCTCGGCTTGCAGCGCACGCATGGACGCCTCGAGGGTCTCGACGTCGGGCTCGGGCATGCGAGCCATGTCGACCTCGCGGCGCGCGGGCACGTCCTCGACGCGGGGGCTCGCCGGCGACCCGAGGTCCACGGCTTCAGCGTGCGGCGCGCGGCACGGCGAGCACGCCTCGGCGCCGGCGCCGGCCCAGACGCGCGGCGGCGCGCCCGCGTCGACGTCCGCGGCCGCGTAGGCCCGCGCCGCGGCGTCGTCGCGCGGCAGCGGCGGCGGCAGGCGCGCCATGACCTGGTCGTAGGTCAGGACGTCGTCGCCCGCGCCCGCGAACCACTCGCGCATCGACATGCGCTGGGCCTCCTCCTCCTCCGCGGCCCGGCCGTCGATCGCGAACTCGATCCGCTTCATCGGTTTCGGCTGCGGCTCCGCCAGCACCTCGAACACGACGCGGTGCTGCGTAGGCGCCCGGGTCGCATCCGTGCGGTCCCCCGCGGCCCCGGGCTGCCCCGGCGGCGTCGCGGGGCGTGGCTCCCTCGCGGGCTCCCGGGACGCATCCGTGCTCGCGGCCCCGGGCTGCCCCTCCGGCACGGGGTCTCGGGGCTCCCTCGCGGGATCCATGCGGTCCTTCGCGGCCCGATTACAAGCGCTTAAGCTCGTACTGGCGCCAACCAAACCAAACCCGCCCGGTGCGCGCGCGCCCAGGGCTCAACAAACGAGGCGTCCTCCGACTGCTCCTCGGCGCCCCTCGACGCCTGGCTAGCGGGCAGCGTTTGAGAAAACCCGTCCGGCGGTTATTTGGCTGCCAAGGCCGAGCTGCCAAAATCCGCTTCTCGACGACCGCAGCGCTCGCGCGGTGACGGCTTCTGGCGCTGGACCACACCGACGCGCCCGCGAGCCGTGCGAGGGGCAGCCCCACGCCGCCGTACAAGGATGGCCCTGGCCCAGGACCTCGACCCCAACCGGCTCCTCCCGTCCCCACCCGGTGTTGGGGACGCGGCGCCGGCGGCGGTCTTCGCGACCATGGGCGTCTTCACGGGATTCTCGCCGGAGGTGCCCGGCGCCAAGGATCCCATTCCCATCGTGCCGTGGGACGACGATGGAGACTCCGGGAGCGACGACGCCATGGACGATTTTGATGAGGACCCGCGCGAGCTCTTCGCCGAGGATGAGGAGGAGGCCGACGCGCAGCGGCACGGCTTCGACGCGTCGGAGCGGCACCAGCAGTACCTCCAGAAGGTGCAGCTCGAGAAGCAGCGCGCGCAGCAGGAGGAGCTCCTGCGGGCCAAGAAGGAGGCTAGAAGGCGGAAGAAGAAGCAGGCGAAGTTATTAGCGGCGGCGGAAGCGCGCAAGGCCATGCGGAGGTGCCGCCGCCGGCCCGCAAGAAGAGGTAGAAGAGGCGGACCCGGAGGAGGAGCAGCTCGCGAAGGAGGCGCGGGTGCGCGAGACGCGGCGGCGCCAGAAGCAGCAGTACAAACGCTTGATGAAGACGCTGGCTCTTAAAAGACGGCAGGATTTGGCGTCCGCCGAGGGCGACAAGGCGAAGGAGGACGAGTTCAAGCGCAAAGTGCGCGAGAACGGCCTGCGGCGCGCGCGGCAGCGCCGCGAGGAGGCGCTGAAGCGGAAGGAGGAACTGGGCGAGGTGGTGGCGGACGTCGTCCAGGGCTCGGCGGCGAAGGCCGCCTCTTTATTGAAGCAGGCCGAGCGGAACGTGCTCGAGAAGCAGAACGTGCTGACCGACGAGGACTTCCTGAACGCCGAGGAGGCCAAGGAGGCGCTCAAGCGGAAGCGCGCCGAGCAGGCGAGGCTCCGCCAGGAGCGGACGCGGCTCCAGCTCGAGAAGATCGCCGCGGACAAGCGCGCGAAGGTCGAGGCCGAGCAGAAAAAGGCCCAGAGATTACTACGACGCCAGGAATTAGTCAGGGAGCGCGTCCTGAACCGCGAGCGCCCAAGGAACTCGTTGACAGGGGCGAGGACAAGGAGAACGAGCCCGTGCGCAAGGTCGCGGCCAAGGAAGAAGCGCCCGCGAAGCCCGTGCTGACCGAGGAGGAGAAAGAACGAAGACGACTAAGAAGAGAGCAGCAGGCCGAGGCCATAGCTAGACTCAACAAGGTGTCCGAGAAGGACCAGCCCACCGGTGCTGTGGGAAGGGACTTCAAGGACTACAAGCGCAAGTTAGGGTTATCGAAGGACACGAAGGTTTTTTGCATGACGGGCTGGTACCCTTGTGTGAAAGACGCGTTGCTCGAGCGCGGCTGGCACTTCAATGACGACCGCGAGTCGACGTTCTACGACCTGAAGTGGACGCTGCGGAGCAACGACATCGACAAAGGCATCAAGCCGAACCAGCTCACGAACCACTTCCTCAAAAACACGGCGATTACGACGAAGGCGGGCCTGACGCGTAGCTTGTGTGAGTTGCACTGGCACTGCGACGACCACAGCGACCACGTCTACCCGCGGGCCTACGACCTGTCGTCCCCGCATGCGCCCGGGCTTCCTCGACGACTTTCGCGGATTGGAAGCGGAGAAGTGCCTCAAGAACGTGATCAGGAGCCTGGCGGGGGCCTCGTCCAGCGACGAGTCGTCCTCGGAGGACTCGTCCGAGTCAGATTCGGAGGTGACGGACCCCGCCGCGTCCGCCGACGAAATGAACATGGAGTCGACCGACGACGTCGCGGAGGCGCCGGCGCCGGCGCCCGTCGCCGAGGCGCCCGCGCCGGCCGACGACGCGTCGGACATTGATAGTCTGGAGATGGACGAACTCGACGGTGTCTTAGGAGACAAGGAGGCGCCCTTGTTGTTCAACGAGGAATTGCTGCGGATCGCGCTGCGGGTCTGCCGGAAGAAGCTGCGGGTGCTAGTTGATGACGACACGGAGCTGGACGGGGTTCGGGCTACTCTGATAGGTTAGTCACGGACCTCGAGTGGGAAGCTATGAGGCACGCCCAGGGTCGGGTGGATTGCTCCCTGGCCCTGCCGAAGGACATGCCCCCGACCTTGGATGATCTGTTGCATTTGAAAGACGTACCCGACGAAGAAGAGACGCGGAGCTCGTTGGACCAGGCCGGGTCCATCCTCGCGCGCGCGCGGGAAGACAAGTTGGAGAGAATCCGGAAGGCCGAGCTCACCGAGAGACGCAAGGAGGCGCGCCGCAACTTGATGCGCGCGCCCTCCCCGTTGAAAGATGATCTGAGGAAGGAGATCGAGGCGGTCCTGGCGCAGTTGAGTTCCCTCGACCCGCAGCACCAGCTTAATGGTGGCCCCGCCTCGACGCGAAATACCTGGATCGCCAAGCCCGCCGCGAAATCAAGGGGGAGAGGCATCGCGACCTTTGATGATTTGGATAGACTACTGGACCACTGCGACGCGAAGACGGGCGGCTCGGGCGCGCTCTGGATCGTCCAGAAGTACATGGAGTCGCAGTTGTTAATTGCGGAGCGGAAGTTCGACCTGAGGCAGTGGGTCCTCGTGACGGACTGGAACCCCCTCACGATCTATTTCTATGACGAGTGCTACGCGCGGTTCACGTCCCATAAGTTCACGGACGCGCGGGAATCCTTGGAAAATCCCTTCGTGCACCTGGTGAATAATAGTATACAAAAGGATGGGGAGAACTTCCATGATGACATCGAAGCGGAGAACGGTGTGAGCATCGAGGACTGCATGTGGACGCAAGAGGACTTTGCCGGTTTTCTGGACTGGAAGATGGCGCGGACGGACGCGACGACGGATAGGTTACGCAAGTGTAAAGACTCTGATGACGTCTTCACTGATGTGGTGCAACCGGAGATGCGCAAAATTGCCGTCGAGGTGCTCCAGGCCGCGCGCGATTCGATAGAGCACCGGAAGAACTCCTGGGAGCTGTATGGCTACGACTTCATGGTCGACGCGGAGCTGCGGCCCTGGTTGATTGAAGTGAACTCGAGCCCGGCGTGCGACTACTCGGCGGCCGTGGACGGAGCGGTGCGTGAAGAAGGCTTTGTGGACATTCTGAAGGTTACGATCGACAAGCGCGAGTGGGAGCGGACGCCCGTCGGCGACGAGCCGGACACGGGCGGCTGGCAGCTCGCGCACAAGGGGCCCTTCGTCGAGACGCCGATCGTGCCGCTGACGGGCGGCGCGCGCCGAGGGCAAAAGGTGGAGGCGCCGCGGGCGATCCGGGCGCGCGCCCGCGCCGCGGCGAAGGCCGCGGCCGCCGCGGCGGCTGCGCGAGGAGCGGAAGCGCGCGAGGTCGCGAACGCCACGCGGGCGGCGCGGCCGCCCCCTCGCCGGCACGACGACATGGCCGAGCTCGACGGCTTCGAGGACGGCGCGACGGCGAAGCCGCCGGCCGTCGTCGCGCCGTCGCCGCCGCTGCGCGCCGGTCGTCAGCGCCGCCGCCGGCGGCCTCGCCAGGCCGCGTCGTCGCCGTGCCGGTGAAGACGTTCGACCCGTTCGCGATGTGATACCCTAACTTTTCGTTTCTCTAGCCGTGCCCCGGTCTACGCCACTCTGCCCCGACCGCAGATGCTCCGCGCCGGCGCGCAGCTAGCGCTTGTAAGACACTAGAATTGCAGTGGTCTCCGGATCCGGTGCCGCGCGAGCGAAAGCGCTGCCCCGCAGCCCGCGCCGCAACGCTCTTGGAGCTGTTTGATCGACGAACCGGTGCTCACCCAAGTCCGCCCGGCTCCTCGGTCGATTGGGGTGCCGACAGGCTCACGCCCGAACGAGCAGTCCCGGCGCCGCGTGCGGGATTGCCAGCCGCGCGACCGCGACTCGCGCGCGCAATGGCGGCGCCGGCCCAAGCGCCGGCCGCCGCGCGCGCCGCGATCACTGTCCATGCCTGCGACCAGCAGGGGAAGAAGCAAACGTTTAAGGTCAACTCGACGACCAAGATGCAAGCGCTCTTCGACGCCTACGCGAAGAGCGAGGACGTAGACTCGCGCTGCTTCCTATTTAAAGGCTCGCGCGTCCACGCCGAGCAGACGGCCGCGGACCTGGGGCTGGTGGAGGGTGACCAGCTCGACGTCGAGCTCGTCACCGGCGAGGAAGCGGAAGCGGCGGGGGACGATCCGGACCTTCTTGGCAATTTCTATTTGGATCGGCTGCGAGGCGACGCGGCGACGCGGCCGATCTGGGCTCTCTCGCGAGGTCTGGCGGGGGTTGTGGACGAGGCTTCGGGAAATTACGAAAATGAATGCTCCATGGCAAGACCGCTCGCCGCGCTGGCAGCGACCTGCAAACGGGCGCGGGACCTCTGTACGCCGGGCCTGCGCGCGTGGACACGAAGCACGTTTGGCGGTGCGATGGACGTTGTAGCCATACCGCCAGAAGGCCACTCTCGCGGAACGGCCGACGAACGCGAAGCGGACCACGATGCTACGTTCGAAGCTCTTATGTTCCTGCGCGCGGCAATTATACACCGCGCCCCGTCCGTGCTCCACCTGCGCGAGGGATTAGCGACACATTGCCTCGCGCTCATACGCGACGCCAGTCGCTGCGCCGCCTGCCGCCTCGCGGCGTGCCACGCGCTCGCGGGCTTGTACGCCAGTCTCCAGGAAAAGGATACGGCGGAGAGCAAACGTCTGCGCCTGATGATCGCGGCGGGCGTCTGCGAAGGTCTGAACGCGGATGCAAAGGTGGCGCCCGAGCTGAACGCCGACGGCTTCGAGCTCTTCGACCGCGCCGACGGCCGCCGCGCGTGGCCGGAGCTGTGGGACGCGGCACTGCAGTGCGTCGACCTCGAGCCGTGTTATGTGCATGAAAACGTCAGAAACGACGACTGCGGCGCTCGGACCATCGCCATTGCACGGATCGCACGCCGGGTCGACGATAGCGTAGACGCACCGATAGCCTGGGACACTGACGACGAAGACGACGTCGAGCTCGACCTGGGGCTGAGCGTGGCCGGCGGCCGGCGGCGGCAGGCGCGCGGCGAGTTGGCGGACGAGTTTGTGCGCCGAAGTGCCGGCCGCCTGAGGCGAGAGCTCCGGGAGTGCGTGGGAAGCGTGATCGCGCTGGCAGGCATCGCCCTCCGTACCGCGACATGCGACCTCGATGACCAAATGCAGCGCTGTCTCTGCGCCCTTCTCGCGGCCGCGCTGCGCACCGACGGGCAGGACGACGACGAGGACTGCGATTCCTCGCAACGCATCGCCTACACCGCCGCCACCGTCGCGGCCCGGCTCCTTTCAAATGCACAAGCCTGGAATCTGCGTCCGGTGCGGGCGAGCGGGCTGCCTCGCGCCCTTGCCGCTAGATGTAGGCGGTCCAATTTGCCCCCTGTCGGCCCAGATGACATAGATGAACTCACCTCGCTAAGAGATGAGTTCAGGAACCTGAACGATGCCTCGGCATTGCCGGAGATGGTGCTGGCGTATGATCTTTTTTTCGGCGACGGGGACATGGCGATTGACAGTGTTATAGCATCCGTCGCGATGGTGGCGCTCGTCAACTACGTCCCAAAGGCGCCGACCGACGGCTGTGCGCTAGTCTTGACAACCTCTTGTCCGGAGGCGCAGGATCTGAAGGATTTAATAAATTCAATGACTGCCAAGTTCTCGCTCTCGGCGGTCGACGCCGCGATCATGCGCGTCGCCGCCCGCGACGCGGACGGCGCCGACGACGAGGCCTACCACTCGGCGGTCGCTGTGCTCGTCGAACATGTTGTATCCGCTGGCAGCACGTGGGTGGACCTGACGGACCGTGGTACCATTGACGCGCTAGTCGATGTGATCGTGCGCGAGAGCACGAGGCCCGCCATGCTTGGTGCGGTTCCGGGAACGTTTTCTCATTTGTTACGCGTGTCGACGGATACCCCGCGCACGGACGCGGGGCTTCTGAGGAATCTTATACGTGTGGCCGTTGCCCTCTGCCGGCTCGCCGCCGACAGTGATGAGGCGAGCACAAATCTGATCACCGATTCTCTTTTGGCGCTTCTGACAGCCGCGCCGCCTTCGCGCGACGTGGTCTACGTCATGGCGCGGGCCCTCGCCCGCGGTGGCGCGTTCTTGAAGGGGGGTACCAGAGCCGGTGTCCTCGTCGCTTCGCTAATCAAGCACACGACGCACTCTCCACCAGGAAGGCTGGGCCTTGTGCCACTGCTCATTTGCGACGAAACCGTAGAGGTCCTGTTGCCGCTCTTGAGCTGTGCCGATTGGATCCAAATTCCGACGGACGTTGGTATTTTCGAAGTCTTTACTGCTTACCCGTCCCCCGGCTTCTATGACAAACATGACGGCCGCCTGCAGGTGAGGGACGTGGCCGCCCTGCTGCTGTGCGTTAGGTCGCTGCGGTTGCCTGACGACTTCATGGCAAAGTTCGACGATGACAATTGCTGGGACTTTGGCGCGGGACTCGATAGCGCGGACGGCTACGACTACGATGACCACCGATGGGAACACGTCGGAAAACTCACGCTTGAACACTTTCGGGCGCTGCTCGACATTGTCAAGGACAGTGCATAAATCTCCGCCACTGCTGAATTATGACATCCACGCCATCGACGCGACGCCAGCTCGACCCGACTCACCGGTTGATTTATGCACAGGCCAAGGACGCGGGCCGGCCGTCCGCGCGGATCGTCTACGAGTTTCTGCGCTACCTATCGCAATCGATGATGCGAAAGGACTCGCCCGAATTTAGCAAGGCCTTGTTCGTGCCGGTGGCGATGGCGCTCAAGGAACACGGCCACCTCGCGAAGTGGGGTAAAAAGGGCCACAAGACGGCCGAGAAGCTGCTCAAGACGCTCATGAAGCTGGGCGACGACTGCGTCGTGGTCGCGCTCGACGCCTTCGCGGAGGCGGCGATAGGAGTCCAGAAGCGCATCGCGAAGCGGCGCGCCGCGCGCGGAGGCGGCACTGGCGGAGGCGGCGCTGGTGATGGTGCGGCTGAGGACACGGCCGCGCGCCAGGCGGCGGCGGACCAGGCGGCGGCAGATCTCCTCGCGTCGCTTGAGGCCGAGGAGCACAGGCCGGGGACCACGAAGAAGTCCAGAAAAAAAGGCAAGAAAGCGTCGGTGCCCGCGCCCGCGCCCGCGCCCGCGCCGGCCTCCGCCGCGGAGGTGTCGTCTTCGTCTTCGTCTGAGGACGACGACGACGACGATTTGCTGCTCCTGGCGAAACAACAAGCTTCGCGGTCGGCGCCGGCGCCGCGCGCCCGCGCCCGAACGAAGGCGCCCCCTGCTGCGGCGCCGCGCGCCCGCGAAGTTAATCCCGCCATGGCCTTCGCGAGCGCGCTCCGCGGCTGGATCGTTTCCCGGGGCGGCCGCATCGTCGGTACGGATCTCGCGCAGTTCTACAAAAGCCCGGCGGCGCGTGGACTTTCAGTGCCGAAGGGCGGCGCCCTTAAGCTACTGCGGACGGTGGCCGCTCCTGCCGGCCTGCGTATCTCTCAGGACGGTCCGCGCATTGTTATCTCCAGCGTCGGGGCCGTAGCGATGCCTCCGCCGCCACCGCCGCAGCCGAAGCCTCCCGCCGCCCCCACCGCCCCCCGCCGGGCCCTTTCTGACCTCGCCGTCGATGATGATGATGAGGACGACGCGACGCCGGCGCGGAGGACACGACACGAAAACGCGGATGTCCCGAGGCACGCCGTTGAGGATTTACTGAAGCTGGAATCAAACGCCGGGTCAATAACGGAAGAAGCTTTGAGAAAACTGGGCCGCCTCGCCGGACGCACGGCCGGTAGCCGCGCCGTGCCGGCCGACGAGGAGAAGGCGCCCGACGCCGGCCCCGCGCCGTCGCTCCTGCCGCTACTTACCGCGCCGGCGGCGGACGCCGGCGCGTCGTATGCGCTCGACGCCCCGCTCGCCGCCCTCCTGGCGCGCCTCGACCTGAATCACATAGCCGGAGCGCTGGCAGCGGAGGAGATTGATATCGAGGCCCTTCCGCTTTTGTCGATCAGTGACCTCGTGGACATTGCGATCAAACCAGAAGATGCTGAGAAGCTTCTGGTGGCGGCCGTGGCGCCGCCGCCCGCAGCGCCGCCGCCGCCGCCGATCGCGACGCCGTCGACGCAAGAGTGCCCGCTGTGCATGGACGGCGACCGCGAGATCGCGCTGGTCCCGTGCGGACACGTCCTCTGCGCCGGGTGCGCGGGCCGGCACGCGACGGAGAGCTGCCCGATGTGCCGGCAGGATGTGGCGTCGACGATGAGGGTGTATTTCTAAGTTCTGTTATGTGCAATTGGACAGGCCTAGGCTAGTTACGTAACTATGAGGCTTCCCCGGACTTGCTAGTGTCTTACGGCCGCTAGCTGCCCCTTCCTCTGCGCTTTTTGCGCTTGGCTGCCTAGCCACCAGCCGCCGCGGGTCTACTTGTGCTTGCAAGGGCTAGACTAGACCCGTTGCACTGCGTGCTGTAACGGTTATCCATCCTAATCTATTGAGTGTCACCGGAGACAATGCCGCAGCCTCGACGCCATCGATGCGGCACGCTACTCCTTCTGCTGGCCGGCAGCAGCACAGCTGCAGCATCCGAAACTCTCCGCGGCACGCTGCTCGTAAGCCATCAGGCCTTCGTCGAGCGCCTCTACATTTCCAGGAGGTACGAGCGCTGGTTCGGCGGCGTCGCCTACCTCGTGCTGCCGGGCACGGCGGGCCGGCGGCGCTCGCACGAAGCGACGGGCGCGACGGCGACCGTGCCCTCGCAGGACGCCTGCGACCGGTATGGGGTCGCCTGCTTCTTGGCCCGCCGCGGCGCCGGCCGGGACCCCTACGTCGCGGCCTACGCGCAGCTCTTCGGGCAGCTCGCGACGTTTTCGAGGCGCGACGAGCCGCCGCCGTGGCTGCGGCCCCACTGGCGCGGGACGGGGGGCGTCACCGGCGCGGTCGTGGCGCACCTAGATTTCTGGCTGGACCCGCCGTCGTTCGCGCACCGCGTCGACGCCTGTGTGGAATCAAATTTACGGCGCGTTCGCGGCCACGTCATCGCCGAGAAACGACTTTGTGAAGTCCACCCGACACACTGGTTGATTTCCACACAGGTCGACGCGGGCGCGTTGGATCTCAAGCGGCCGTGGACGCTCGCGGCGGGTTTGAATCGCCCGCCCGACGACGCCGTCCGCGAGTTCCGGGTCTTCGGGCGGTACTGCCTGGGCGGCGAGGCGCTCGACGTCGATAGAGAATGGACGTGGGGCCACGACGCGAAGGACCAGGCGCGCCGCGCGTGGGCCGCGAGCGCGCCGACACGTGCGAAGGAGCCCGAGGCCTGCGCCGCCTGGGCCGACCTCTTCTACCTGCCGTCTCCCATCTTCGCGGACTTTGCGCAACTCTGCGGGACGCAGTTTAAATTCCACCACGAGGTGAGCGTGCCGACGGCGCTGCGCTTCCTCGAAGTGGAAGGCCGGGCGCCCGCGCCGCAGTTCTTGGATTGCTGGGGCTGCTCGCAGGCCTGGGCCAAGGACCCCGCCGTCATCGACCAGCACGCGTGCGGCCACCGCCTCGACCTCGGCCAGCGCCACGTGCGCGACGCCTTCCGCCACCGGCTCGACCGGCGGCCCTTCGCGCGCGACGCCGTGCTCGAGAGCCAGATTTATGAATTGGACGCGGAGCAGGGCGGCGCCTGGGACGGCAAATCGCTATACTGGGAGACGGAGCGCAATCTAGATAGGTGGACGAACGGCTGCTGCCGGCTGCCCTCCGCGAACCAGACGGCCTGCGGCTGCGTCGGGCGCGACCCGCCGCGGACGGACGCGGCCGCGGCCGTGCCCTGCCACGGGGCCTACGTCCCGTCGACGGTCGTCGGGTGACGGCGTCCATGTATGTGTTGTTACTAAGAATCTTAAAACTAGCCGGCCGTGATATCCCGCTTGATGCCCGGATCAGACTCGTCTAAGGGAGTGTCGCGGACGACGCACTTCTCGTAGAGGGCCTTGTACGCCGCGATGGCCTCGGGCGTCGTGAGCGCGTCGAGCCTGGAAAAGTCGTCCGCGTCGAGCGCCGCCGCCAGGTCAAAAACGTCCGCGTTCTCGACCATGCGCTCCCGCCGCGTCGACTTGGGCATGTAGATGGCGCCCTTGGCGACGCACCAGGCGCCCAGTACCTGGGCCGGCGTCGCGCCGTGCCTACTCGCGACGGCGTTGATCGTCGGGTCGTCGAATGCCTTGCCGTCGCGCAGCGCCCGGTACGCTTGGATTTTGATGCCCTTCTTCGTGAGGTAGTCCAGCGTCTTCCTTCTATACAAAAAGGGGTTGAACTCGATCTGGTTCACGGCCGGGACGACCGACGCCTCCCTGAGGAGCTCTTCGATGTCCTCGACGGCGTAGTTGGAGACGCCGATGGACTTCACGAGGCCTTCCGCTTGGCATTTCTCGAGCTCGAGGTAGGCGGCGACGTGCTTCCCCGGCACGGGCCAGTGGACCAGGTACAAATCGAGATACTCCGTGTTTAAATCACGCAGCGACCGCTCGACTTGCGCTCGGACGGCGGCCGGCCCGTCATATATCGCATCGGACCAGCACTTCGAGGCTAAGTATAAGTCCGACCGGGGAATTTTTGATGTTTTAATCGCCTCGCCGACCTGGACCTCGTTCCCGTAGAACTGCGCGCAGTCCAGAAACCTATACCCGACGTCCAGCGCGTCCCCGACGATGTCCGTGGCAGTGGCGACCTCGCCGCCGCTCTCCTCGGCGCCGGCGACGGCCGCCGAGGCGGAGGCGGGGATGAAGCCGACCTTGTACGTCCCGAAGCCGATCTGCGGGTGGCTCGTGCCGTCGTTGAGCGCGACGGTCGGGGCGCTGCTGAGCGAACTCATGCGCGGCGACGACCGGGACAGGCCGCGGGCCGCCCCTATCATTGCCGTCGCGAGGCGCGAGGCGAGCCGCATTGTGTTTCACGGGAGCGACAGCGCCAGTTGTCAAACAGATGCGAGCGGTCGAAATATCGAACTGTGGAGCTCTTGCGCCGGCGTGCGGCTGAGCTGCGACCAGGCTCTCCCAGCTTGCTAGTGTCTTACTGGACGCTAGCTCGCCATATTCCCAGCGCGCTGATCTCGGTTGATCGGGCGCGCCGAGTTCCTTGCTCATCAAAGAGGCCCCTCTGAGTGCGCGCATCCAGCGGAAAAACGGAAACCTGTGCTCCTGTCGCGGTTTAGGCGCCATTGAAGCCAATCTGAGCCATCGCCATCGGCTTGTTCCTGTGGGGCTTCGGAGTCTGGGTGTATTTTCTGGCCTCGTCCACGTCCTTCCACCACTCGTCGCTGAGCAGCCGCCTCGGCCTCGGCGGCGGCACGGGCATTCCCTTCGCTCCGAACTGGTGGGGCGTCGTGTTTCCGATGGTGACGCTGACGATGTCGACGTACCAGATCCATACGGACACGGGCGTGGCGCTTCTTCAAGGTCGTCGGGCGCATCCTCGCCGCCGTCCTGACGCTGACGGCGTGCTACATCCACGCGCTGACGATCAAGCACGCGGTCACCCCCAAATTCTGGCACGGCTTCCACCCGAAGCAGACCTAGTCGACGCGCCGTCGACACGTCGCCGTCGTCGCACAACTTATCGATTAACTAACGCTATTAAACACTTAAGACTACCGGAGCCGCCAGGACCGCACCTGCTCGTAGGGCGGCACCCTGGACAGGTCCTCGCCGTGCGCCGCCATGGATGGAGGCGCCGCGCACATGTATTGCCCTATCCTCAAGATATCTTCCTCCGTGACGGCGTCGACGGCCGCCGTCATCTCCTGCAAAGTTTGGCGCCTCCCAAAAGTCGCGACCTGCCGCGCAATATCTTCGAATAACACCAGTCTAGACTCGAGCTGCGTCAACACGTTGACCTTGAGCATGTTCTTGGCCCGGTCCAATTCTGATCTCTCAACAGGCTGCTGGCCCAACCGCAACAGATTGGACATGAGCACCTCGGTCAAGTGATGCGCACTTGCAGGAGCACACGCCCCCACAATACCTAATAACCCCTCCCGATCGTGGATGGACACGAAGGCCTCGCAGGCCTCGACCCAGTGGTACCGGTTGAGCACCTCTCTGTATAAGCGAGAGTACATTCCCTTGCCGGGTCCACCGGCGGAGAAGGAATCGCCACCCCCCAACAGAGTTTGGAGCACACAACAAGCGATCAAATCCTTCGAATGCCACCCTCCTTCGGGCGCGCGCATGGCGCAGGCAATCCTCACTTGAGGTGTGGCTTCAACAGCATAACCAGACGGCGTCGGGGCCCGCTCCTCGGCCAGGACGCACCCGCCCACGTAAGGCGACTGTGTGATCGCCAGTGGCGCTGTTGATGGAGGCAGGTGCGGCTCGAAGTGTTTTTCGGCCAATGCAATAAGTTCGTCGTGGCCGACACCCGCCCCGACGACCAGCGATTGGGGCTGCGTGATCAAGGCGCGGAAGTCCGCGAGCGTTTTTGGGGACAAAGTGTGCAGCTGGGACGGCGGGCAGAGGAGCGGCGCGCCCAACGGCGATGAACCGTACGCGGCGGCGTGGATGTTTTCCCGGACGCGCGCGTCCTGCGTCGCGTCCAGAAAAGCTAGCTCCATACCCTCGCGCACCTCGTCCATGGCGCCCGGCGCCTCGAGGTCCGGACCCAGCAGGCACGCCTCCGCAAGTAATTGCGTCGCGTCCTCGAGCTTATCTCGCAAAGCATCAATACAGTAGAGCGTCTGCTCGCGCTGCGCGTTCGCGTGCAGGTACGCCCCGCACGCCTCCGCGCGCTTCAGCACGTCGGCCGTCGACGAGTTCCTCGTCCCTCGCCACGCGCACACTTCCGCGAGCTGCGCGCCGCCCACAGTCCCGAGGTGGGCCTTCTCGTCGGCCGCTCCACCACAAATCACGACGCCGATAGCTGACATATAGGTGTGCGTCTCCTGGGAGACGACCCGCAAGCCGCTCGGCAGCGTCGTCAATTGGGTCGTTGGTGCAATCTCCGGAAAGGGCGGCTGGTGCGCGTTCCAGCCGCCGCGGGGAAAGGGCGGGACCATGGCGTAGTCCGCGGGCATGCCGCTCTTGTGGCGCCGCCGCCGCGCCGCCGTCGCGCGGCGCAGGGCGGACCGCATGGTGCAACGTCGCGTCTCCGGGCGTCGAAATCGCTGGGCCAGAGGCAGGGAGAGGCCCGGGCCAGAGGCTGGGCGCCTGTCGAAATCGCTGGCGCGGCGCAGTTATACGTTGCAAGAGAACTCCTCGCCGTCAAATGAGGGCACGTATGCTGCGCAGCGGCTGCGCTTGGCCCCTGCAAAAGCGAAGGCAGCTAGCGGCATGTATAGACACTAGCAAGCCATTTTTGTCGGCTCTCTTTGGCGGCTCCAACAGCTCATCCAGCAGCGCGAGACGTTCTGGCCGTCTCATACTGCCGCCGCACGCATAACAAGCGTACAGAAACGCCCCGCTTCCGGCTAGGCCCCGAAAGGCCCCACCGCCGTGCGCAGCGCCGCGCGTTCCGCCAGCGCCGCAGCGTCAATCCGCCGCCCGCAAGCGGCCCAGGGCTTCGCCAAAGCCGCCCTTGCGCCGCCGACACGCCGACGCCGCCGCGGCGCGCCCGCCGCCCACGCTCGACGCTCGACGCCGCGGTGCCCGACAAAGAAAGATGCCCGTCCCACGAAATTACTCGGACAACTACCTCTCCGGCATGGACCCGGACCCGAAGCGAAATGTGGCGGTGGAGTGCTTCCAGATCGATACCACAAGGTTCGCGGCGACCTACGTCATGCTCATTCTGATCGTCTACGGCGCGATCCACGGCTCGGGCTACACGTCCGAGCAGTCCCTGTCGGCGACGAACGTGGCACACGCGCTCGTGACCTTCGTCTTCTTCCACTGGGCCAAGGGCTCGCCGGACACGCACGCGCAGGGCGATTACGATGATTTGACGGTCTGGGAGCAGCTCGACGGCGGCGCGTCGTGGTCCGCCACCAAAAAAGTCTTCCTCATCGTGCCGACGCTCGTCCTGCTGGCTTATTTAAATGCGGCGGACTTTTCGCGACAAGCACTGACCATACATGTCCCCATCTACGCGCTCCTCTGCATCCTGCCCAAACTGCCGGGCATGCATCGGGTGCGGATCCTGGGCATCAACCGGACCGTGGGCTTCGAGTCCTTCGACGACGAGACCAAGAAGGGGTCGTGAGGTTGCTTCCTTTCTCCTCCTCCTACATACATGTAACTAGTGGTTCTTATACTTCCTTTTGGGACGACGTAGGATTGATCGCGTGCAAGAGCGCGCAAACTTGGCTTCTAGTGTGTCTTCTTAGCGATCTGACAATAAATCGAGGGTACGTGGTGAGTGGGTGTTTGGTTCGGCAGTAGCACCTTTGCGAACGCCTCTCGGATCGATACGCGACCACCGTGCTGTGTTGCATCTGACGCGAGCATTTCTACGTGCAATTTGACGCCGTAGACACCTCTGAAGCAGCTTGCATCCATCTGCACTGCAGCAAATTTCACGTTGTAGACAAGAGGAGCTTCATCAGCAGCGCAGTAAAATGATTCTCCTATGGTGGGTGCTGCCCGTACCTTGCCAAGCGATCGCATTCCTGGCAGTGCTTATCGCCGCGAGCGCCCTGCAAACGCAGCCGATGCAGCTTCACGAGCGACGGCGCGTCGTCGCATCAGTCGCGCGGGTCGAAGTATGCACGAAAAAGCACTGCAAGAAAAAAGGTAGCTTGAAAACGCTACGCATCTTCGAGGCGTTGGCGCCGGACGGCGTCGAGGTGCTCACCGCCGACATGTCGCACACGGAGCACGGCTGCTTCGACGAGTGCACGATGGGCCCGAACGTCCGCGTCGACGGCGCCGGCCCCAAAGCCGACGGCGGGCCGATCGTCAACGGCGTGCGGGGCGCCGCGGGCGCCGCGGAGGTCCTCGGCATCGACGTCCCCGAGGGCTGGGAGCTGCCTAACTGACACAACTGTTTACTCGAACCACCGGCCCTCGCCCGCGACGACGGCCTTCTTCAGCGACGCGAGGTAGGCCGGCTGCGGCGCCTTGTAGGCGTACTCGACGTCCTGCTCCGGCGCCTTCTTCTTCCTCCGCTTCTTGTCGCGCTTGCGCTCGGCGGCGTCGAAGACCTGCTCGACGGCGCGGTCGTCCGCGCGGTCGCGCATCAACCCGTCGTCCACGACCTTCCTCGGAGCCTTCGGAACTTCTTCCGCGCCCTTCCGGGCCCGCTTCTTCTCCAGCCGGTTCGCGATGCGCTTCTCCCGCCGCCGCTCCTTGCGCGACGGCCCGTCCAACGGCGCCGTCGCCTTCGCCTTCGCGTCGTCCTCCCGTTTCTGGCGCAGGGCCACCTTCCGGTGGTCCTCGACGACAAAGGCCACGATCGGCCGCGGCACCTCACTCCCCATTTTTTTGCCGCGGGGCACGCAGTAACTCGCTAATTCCGGGTTGTTGTTCGCAAACCGCAAGACCCGCATGGCGCACGCATGACTTGAAAACTCGGCAAACGCATAACCCTTGGACTTGCCGGGTTTGGGCTTTTTACCGGGCACCGTCGGCACCTTGTCCCGGGCCACGTGCACCGCGCCCACATCCTTCGGAGAGACGCCGGCCGCCTCGATCAACTCCTTCAGGAGGGCCGCGTCGACGTGCGGCGCGAGGTTTCTTATGGATAACCGCTGCGGGTTCACGTGGAATAATGGATTTCTCAATTTTGTGGCCGCCTCCTGGCGCGCCCGTTCTCTCTTCTTAAGATCGTTTTCCGGAACACCAATGGCCGCGGGGTCGCCCTTCTGGATGAGACCCTCTCTACTCAGAGCCACGTGGCGCCGGTCGCCTCCGACCAACGCGTGCTCGAGCTTGCGTTTTTTCGCGGGGCCGACTTCGTCTCTCAGCTTCGATGCTGTCGACTGATCAACCGCTAGAGCCACAATCAAGGGCCGCGCGTCGAGGGCCCACGCCTCCATCGTCGCGTTCGTCGCGCTGTCCGCCGAAGAATAGCGTACGAAGCACGAGCCTTTCCCCAGGCCCGTGGCCTTGTCCTTGACGACGTGGACGCTTTCTATACTACCACTCTTCGCGAAGAGCTCGGCCAGGGCTTTTCGGGTGGCGCCGTAGGGCACGTTCCTGACGAACAGCGTCCGGCCCTCGGCGACGTCGTCGGGCTTCTTGTCTTCCGAGGCCTCCTCGTCGTCCGATTCCTCGTCGTCGTCGTCCTCGGCGGCGTCAGACTCCTCGCCACCCGCGTCTTCGTTGTCCTCCTCGGCGGCGTCCGACGCCTCGGCAGCCTCGGACTCGTCGCCCGACGCCGAGGCGCCGTCTTCGGACGCCTGGGCGGGCTCGGGCGCCGCCACGACATGGTCGGACTTCGGCGTCGCCTGGTCCACGGCCACGGGCCGCCCCTTCACCGCAAATTTACCAGAAGACGCGGCCTTCAAAGCGCGCCGCGCGTCGCTCTCGCAGAAGAACTCGACGAAGCCAAATCCCCGCGACTTTTCGCCGACGCGCGGCACGCGCGCCTCGCGCAGCGGGCCGTACGCCATGAACGCATCCAACAGGTCCTCTTCCAACGCCCTAAAATGCAAATTGCGCACGACTAACCTACCTTTCTGTTCATTTGATCTATCGACGTGCGCCTCGAGGCGGCACGCGAGCTTCGACCCCCCTTAACGTAGCACCATCGAGCCGCTGGCACGCTTGCGACGCCTTTTGTAAAGATGAAAATGTGGCCACTGCTAAGGCGCCCGCCGGCCGCATTGCTGCTCCTTCGACACTCGTCACTTTCTCAAAACCTTCTAGCTTCCTCAACCGCTTATAAACAGCCTTGTCCGACGCGCCCACTCCAAAGACGGGCAACAACCGTGTGGAAAAACAGGTTTTAGGCCACAGCCACTCGGCTACAGCTCGAGCTTCACGCCCTGTGCGGGAGCTCTGAGGCGATTTAACAGTACTGTATCATCGTCGGAATACTACGGGCACGAATTTCGGCGCTCGTCGCGCGGCAGGACAAAAAACAGCCACATCCTGGAGGAAGCCTGTTTTCCCATCGCGGCGCACGCGTCGCGCGACCGACGAGAAAGGAGTGGAGGGACACGACAACCGGCCGCTGATTCATGACGAGCGAAACCGCCGCGCAGGTCTCGGGACTCGGGACGCGATGGCCGACACCGCCATGGGCCCGGCGCCGCTGGAGCGCCAGGAGAGCGTGCCGATGGAGATCATGAACAAGTGCGCCTACGGCGAGCCCTCGACGAAGACGATCATGGTCATGGGCGCCGTCGCCGCGGTACTGGCCTCGATCACCGTCTACTGCATCGTCTCCTGGGCGCGGCGCTCCGCGCGGGCCAAGTTCAAGGCCATGATCAAGAGCGTCTTCGAGGAGGTCGACCACGACCACGGCGGCACCGTCGACAGCGACGAGCTCTACACGGCCGTCTTGCTCGTCTACCTCCAGGTGAGGGAGAGTACTTAAGCGGTCACGAACGCTAGACTAACTCGTGCGCCGGCGCAGGTGAATAAGGCCATCCGCGTCATCGGCGCGGTCAAGCCCCCGAAGCGCCATTCGGTGGATGAGGTCCTCGCGCAGTACGCGAAAGACAACAAGTCGGGCAAGGAGCTCAACCAGGACCAGTTCGAGGACGTCATGAAGATCCTGTCCAAGGACGTCGCCGGCCGCGTGACGGTGACGTGCGGCATCATGGTCGGCTGCCCGATGCTCGGCGGCATTCTGGTGAATATGGCGCTCGCCAAGTTCGGCCGCCCGTCGGCGGCGCGCCCCTGCGGCAGCCTCCTGTTTACCTTACTCGAGCCCCAGTTCCCGACGATCGTCTCCCTCGTCCTCATGCTCGTGCTCCTTCCGTTATTGCTGGACGCGCTCGACAGCTACCTCGAGAACCGCCAGTCGAAGCTCGGGGCCATGAAGGAGCTCGTGCGCGCCGACTCGACGCCGAAGGCGACAGCGGCCGAGTCTTCCGTGCGCAAGGAGGCCGACAAGCTCGCCCAAGCCGTCGAGACGGCCGCCGAGGAAGTCAAGCCCGTCGCGGAGGCCGCGCCCAAGAAGAAGAAGGGCTTCTCGCCGTTCAAGGGCTTCGGCAAGAAGAAGGAGGCCTGAGCGGCGCGCCGGAGGCCTCTCGCGGCGGCCGCGCCGCCGCCCGCTCCCGGAGGCCTAAGCCTAGATCACAGAATTACGGAACTCTACAAAAACAAAACAGTTAGTACCCGAACACGCGCAGCCCGACCGTGTCCTCCTTGCCCCCCTTGCCCGTGCCGACGAGGAGCTTGTACTTGCCCCGTCCCACGATCTTGTCCCGGTCCCAGACGCCCTCGTAGCGGTTCCCGTTCAGGTACGTCAGCTCGCCGGGCCCGTGCCGCATGTTCCGCCAGTACTGGCCCCTAAAAACCGTGCCGGATGCGCTCAACTCGGTACCTTCGCCGTGGCGCTGGTTGTCCTTCCACTGGCCCTCGTACTGCGAGCCGTCGGGCCAGACATATAAACCGCGGCCCGTCATCCGCTCCCGCAAGAAGTCGCCCTTGTAGTAGCCGCCGTCCTTGTATATTAATTTGCCCGTGCCGTGCCTTAGGTTATCGCACCATTCGCCCTCGTAGGATTCGATGGGGTCCTGGAATTTATATGTGTACAACCCAATACCGTGCCGCCTTCCTTCGACCCAGTCGCCGTCGTAGCTCTCCTCCAAAATATTGCCCGGTGAATAGGTCAATTTGCCCTTGCCGTGCTGGATGTCGTCGCAATACTCGCCCTCGTACGTGTTGCCATCGACAAACCGGAAGAACCCATGACCATGCTTCTTATTGTCCCGCCACCACCCTTTATAATAATGATTTGTGGTCGCATAGACCATCTCGCCCTCGCCCTGCATGCGATCTTCCCGGAACCCGCCCTTGTAGACATTGCCGGTCGACCACTTGTAGATGCCCTGGCCATGTTTGCGATTGCGCCGGAACTCGCCCCGATACGAGTCGCCCTGCCTGTACTGAAAAATGCCCTTCCCGTCGATATCATTTTCCCGCCACCAGCCGTCATATCTCGAACCAGTACCGAAGACATAAGTGCCCTTGCCTGATTTCTTGTCGTCGACCCAGTTTCCACTATAGGCGTTGCCCCAGTTTCTGTACCAGTAGACGCCGTGGCCTTGCGCTAGTCCTTTCACGAAGGTCCCATCAAAAAAGTCCCCGTTCTTGAAGAAATATCTACCTCTTCCGTTTTTCTGGGAATCCTCCCATTCCCCGCAGTACTTCTCACCGTCCGGGGACACGAAGACGCCGTACCCCTCGTGGTGGCCCTTGACCCATTTCCCTGCGTACCTCGCACCGTCCGCATATCTACATGCGCCCCTACCGTGCCTCAGATCATCGTAGAACTCGCCTCGGTACACCTCGCCCGTCGCGAAAGAAAGTATACCTCGGCCATTCGCCATGCCCCTCCTAATCTCCCCAAGTAGGCGTCGCCATTCATCTTCGAGAACCGACCCACGCCTTCCGGCTTGTTCTCCACAAAAGTCCCCTCGTAGGCGTCGCCGTTGAGCGACGTCAATCTTCCGACACCGTGCATGCGCCCCGCGCGCCACTCGCCCTCGTACATCTCGCCGCAGGGATGGAAGAGGCAGCCCCAGCCGTCCCTCCGCCCTTCCTTCCACTCTCCCACATACTCCGTCCCATCGGGCTTCGTGTAGATCCCTTCTCCATGCCTCTTACCATTCTTCCAGTCGCCCGTGTACCTCCCTCGATCCGCCGGCCAGACACAGGTCCCGAAGCCCTCAAACAAACCATCTTTCATGTACCCCTCGGCGCGCGTCCCGCCCTGGAAGAGCTTCAAAGATAAACCCTTCCTCTTTGGATATATTCTTTTAATAAAATCATCCAAGTTGTCTCCCACCGGTTCTCTACTAATCCCCATGTCGCCCCGCAGCTTCTTGACGCGCTTTTCCTCCTTCTCGAGGGCCTTGGCTAATCGACGAGCTTCGGGCGACGCGAACTCCTTCGCTTTTTTTTGTTTGCCTCCCACATCCTTGCCCATCTGGTCCTCCGGAATGTCCGTGGGACCGTCGGGGCCGTCGCCTCCGGAACTCTTCGCCTTGGCCGCCATCTTCGCCGTCCTCCTCTTTACTGTCGTTTCATCGTCCAGATCTTCGTCCGAGGAAAACTCGCTGATGTCGTCGTCATCGGAAATCTCCAGCACCAACCCGCTCTCCGTGATCACGATGCCTTTATCTTCTTCCTCCTCTTCTTTCTTCCTTGACAGATAAAAGCCCTTGTGCCACGTCGCCTCGGGCGGTCCGACTAATAATTCATCCCGTTCTCGTTTCCGTTGCGCGTCGTAGATGCGCTCCCTCCTCCTAAGACCAAAATCTAGGTCTTCGGGCCGGCCCCAGGTACTCCTATACGTATCGGTCTCGAGGTACCACAGAGCCCGCGTCTCCGGGTCGTAGTACTCGACCCACCCGCCTTGCGAATGGGTGACCTCCGACCGCTCTTGTAGTCGTTCCAAAGCGGGCATGGACTTGACCACTGAAGCCTTCTGCCATCTTTTGTACTTGGCCGCTTGTCGCCCGAGGTAGCCTCTGTACAATCGTTGTGCCAATAATCCCGCCCAGATCTGCTTCCTAAGAAATCTCGTCTCGTAGCGCCCGCGAAAGCCGCGAAGCCCCGCTTGGATCGTCGTCGTCGCCTGGCGCCGCTGCTCCTTCGAGTTCGCCGCCTTTTCGTTCTTGGCCTTTTCGGCGCCGGCGGCCTGCTCGGCGATCCATTTCTGCGTCTCGGTGGCGCGGAGCCGGGCGAGGCGATCTTCCCGCGTGCGGCCCACGGCGACGCGCATCGTTTAGGGTGGGGCTGCCTCTTCAGCCAACACGAGGAGGGCAGTCTTGCGGCGCGGCCCCGGTTCTAGGGTGGGGCTGCCTCTTCGCTTGCGGCGGCCGGCGCGCCCGGGGCTCAGGTGCGGGCAGCCTTATACCGGGGGCCCCGGTTCTATTTGTCTTGCCTTGCCCAGTCCGCGGCGACCGGCGTGACCGGGTCTGTGTACGGCAGCCTCTTTCCCGGCCCTCGGCCCGCTTTGACAAACGCTGCGCGGCGGCGCTGGGCTGGAAAATCTAGTGTGTTACACAGTAGTCAAGTTCATGAAGCTTACGACGCCACATCAGACCCAGGAACCGTGTAATTGTGCTTGAACGGCATCGGCTCCGTGCGCGTCGTCTTGTTCCACGCGCCGAGCTTCAACGGGGCCGCGACGCGATGATTTCGGGGCCGCGACGCCGGCGGCGGCGGCGGCCGAGGCGTCCCGTGGCGGCCGCGAGCGCGCGTCGAGGCGCGCGTCGGCGGCGGCGGAGGCGCCCGGCGCGGCGGCGGTGGCGGGAGGGCGGCGTCCGATGGCGCCGGCGCCGCCGGCGCCGCCGCGTAGGCGCCCTCGCGCCGCCGCGGCCGCCGGTCGATGCGCGCGGCCTCTTGCTGGTAGAGGACGTCGACCGCCGCCGCGGCCTCGGCGAGCGAGTCGCGGGCGCGCTCCGCCGCGACCTGTGTGGAAATCAAAATTTTACGGCGCGTTCGTGCTGAATCATCGCGTCGTCCTCCACGCCATCGACGCGACGCCTGCTCGATGGCTTGGCGATGCCGATTCCTCGCCGCTCGACGGAACCAGCGCGGCCACGCCATCGCCGAGACATGACTTAGTGAAGAATTGTCGCACCCGACGCACTGGTTGATTTCCACACAGGCCGCGACGTGCTGCGGCCCCTTGGCGCGCTGCTTCGCGCCGCGCAGCGAGGCCGCGAGCGCGACGTCGCGGCGGCGGCGCTGGTCCAGCGCCTCGGCGTGGCGCGCCTCGCAGGCGGCGATGGCGTCGGCCAGAGCCTGGCGGTGACGCTGTTGCTGTGCCGTCGCCGCGTCCTCGAGGGCCAGCGCGTGCGCCGAGAAGGCCCGGTCCTCGGTCTCGCGCACGGCCTTGGCCACGCGCCGCGCGGTCAGGCGGCTCGATGCCGACGCCGCCGCGGCCAGCGCGGCCTCCCGCGCGGTGTCCGTCTTCGCGCGATCGGCGCGCTCCTTCCGCAGCGAGTCGACCGCGCGCGCGCGCGTCGTCCGCAGGTCGGCGAGTTCCGCGTCGACGGCGCGGCGCTGCGCGCGGAACTCGCTCACGGCCGCGGTCCGTCTCGACTCCTTCTCGTCCGCGATGGTTTGTTGAATGTCGGGGTGTGCGATGGCGCCGACGGCGCCGGACGCGCCGGCCGCGGCCCGCTCCGCGGCCGTCGCCAGCGCCTCAAGCCGCTGCTGCGCCTGTATTAACCGCGCCTCGTTGCGCTGCGCGGCGACGGCCATGACAGCACCCAATGCGGCGTCGCAGCCCGTCGTCGCCCGGGCGTCGCGCTCCTCGACAAGGGGCGCGATCGTCGGGAGGAGCTGCTGGCGCCGCGTGGCGACGTCGAGGATGCGCCGGACGGGCTCATTTATATCGACGGCGGGCTCCTCGACGCTTTTCCCGGAGAACGGCCGCCGACGCGCCGCGTAGATCGCGGCCGTCTCGAGGAGGGGCTGCCGGTTGTCGCGGAGCCACGCGTCCAGGCCTCCCGCGACGTCGTCGTGCGCTTTTAACAGAACCTTCCGGCAGAAGTCGTCGCACTTGGCGTTGAGCGCCACGACGGCCTTTTGGGCCCGCAACGCGACGGCTGCAGCCGCCCGCTCGCGCCGAGGAGCGTTCTCAGCGCGGCGCTTCTCGATGGCCAATTTCCGGCGGCAGTCGTTGAGCTGGCGCTTCGCCTCGACGGTCTCGGCCGTGAGCCGGTCGAGCTCCGCCGCGAGCTTCGACTCCGCCTCGACGTGGTCCATGGCGAGCTTCCGGCGGCACTCTGCGAGTTCCTGCGTCGCCGCGGCGTTTTCGGCCGCGAGGCGCTCGTTCTTCGCCTCGGCCGCGCGCAGCGCGTCCAGCGTGCCGCGGCGCAGCTCGTCGAGGCGCTCCTTCAATATCCGCTCGCCCTCGGCCGTGTCGTAGGCCGGCGGTGCCTCGATGAGCCGCGCGGCCTTGGCCTCGGCCTCCGTCGCGCGCGCGGTCTGCCGCGCCGCGTGCAACTCCGCCTGGCGCACGGCCTCCTCCAAAGCTGCCACGCGCGCTCTTAACGCGGTGGCCTCGCTTGGGTCTTCCCGCGGCATGTTTTTCAACCGCTTCTCGAGCACGGCGGCGCGCGTCCTCGCTTGAAGCCACCAGAGGATCGGGAGGCTGACGCGCGGCACGCGCTTGCCGAGCACGGTGACGGCGGCGCTTCCACGCGGCGTCGTCGGCGGCGACCGGTACGGGCTCCTGGCGGGAGACGCGTAGGGGCTCCGCTTCCCAGCGCGCGTGCGCGGCGGCGTCGTGAGGCGCACGGGCGACCGCGTCGGCGACGCGCTCGATATGCGCACACGCCGCGTCGGCGTCGATGGGTTGCGCTCGGCCATTCTGGTTGTGTCTATAGGCTGCCTGCTCTCGTTTTTGTTTGCCTAGGGCTGCCCGTCGTTCGCTGTTTTTGGGCAGCCGAGTCTGTGGTGCGTTGATGGCGCACGACTATGCGTGCACGACGTCGCGCGCCCTGTTTTTAATTGGGCTCGCAGCCGAATCGAGTTTGAGCCCGCACGCCGGCGGAGAGATGCCGGGGCCGGCTGATTGAGACGGTTGGCGCTGCTTATCATTCGGAGGACTAGTGCTTCCCTAAGTCTTGTTTGCTAGTGTCTTACAGGCCGCTAGCTCGACTTTCACGCAGCCGCGATTTTGGCGCTTGTAATGCACTAGTGGATGCAAATAAGGCTCGCAAGCCGCATCGATTCGCTGCAACAACGCTAGCATCGTTCGCAGCTTCCGCCTTTGGGAAAAGCACCAGCAGCCTTGCGGTAATCATCTCCGAGTCGCCGACAGCTTACGCAGCGAAACAATGCAAGCCGACACGGAAGAATACCTGCGCGAGGCCGCCGGCCGCGGCCACGAGATGGTGCAGCAAATGGTCCAGAAGCTGAGCGGCGCGCTCATCTACCCCGACGCCGGCAACGTGCAGACGAACGAGAAGCTCTGGGACGTCTACGCGAGCGAGTGGGGCGCCGAGGCAGGCTGGGTCGCCGGCATGGCGGCCTCGAACCGTGAAGCCAAAGAAACATTGGAAAACGTCGGCGACGAGTGGGCCCCGGCGGCCCATACAAAACGCGTCGTCGACGAGTGGATCCTCAGCGAAGTTTCACTGAAGACGCATTGCTGCGAGATCGGCAGCGGCGGCGGCCGCATCGGTAGAATGGTCGCGCCTCGCGTATCGAAGCTCCAGTGCTTCGACGTGAGTGCCAAGATGCTCGCGGCCGCGAAACAGGCTCTCGCGTCCCAGGAAAATGTGACCTTCGCGCAAATCCACGGCGACGCCAGCGGCGCCGACGCCGGGTTTTCCGACAAGCCGCGGCACTACGCTCCGCAACATAAACACCGCATTTCGACTTCGTACTGTTTTGACGTCATGGTGCACATGGACGCGCACGCCATGTTCCGGTGTCTGAAGCGGATCCGAGCTTTAGTAAAGGATGAGGGGAAAGCGTTCATTTCGACGTCGAATCTCCTGGCGCCGGACGGCTTCCGGCGCTTCGAGGCCCAGGAGAAGTACTCGGTCGGCGGGTTTTACTTCGTCACGCCCGAGACCGTGCGGTGCTTGGTCTCGCGCGCGGGCTTGCGCGTCGTCCGCGAGTTATCAGCGCCGGACGCGTCGAACACGTACTACAACGCGACTACCTCGCGCTGCTCGCTCCCGTTGTCGAGGCGCCTGCCATCGCGCCGGTTGTGGCCGTCAGCCCCACGGTCAACACGGCCTCGTCGCCGGTCAGCCAGGACGCCGCGGCAGTCGCCGCCATGGACGAGGACGAGATCGTCGACGCAGTCGAGGCGGCCGAGAGCTCGGGCGACTGCGCGGCCGTCGTCCGCCTGCTCGGGAGCGCGCTCGCGCTGGAAGAGCCGGAGACCGCGGTCGAGGCCGTCGCGGACGCTCTGCTGCGACTGGGCAGTGCGCACGCGGCGGCGCTCGGCGAGGCCGGCGCGTGCGAGCGCGTCGCCGCGGCCCTCGCGCTGCCGTGCTGCGGCGACGACGCCTCGCTCGCCGGGTGCTCGGGTGCTGCCGCGTGCTCGCGAAGAGCGGCGCGAACGCGGCGAAGCTGCTCGCGAACGACGGCGCGGCGCGGCTCGTTTCTGCCATGGAGGCACACGTCGCGTCGGGCGAGCCCACGCTCCAGGAGCAGGGGGTGCCTCGCGATCGAGGCGCTTCGCCGTGGCGGGGCGCCGCGCGCCCGTGAAGCCGGCGCGGAGGCCGCGATCGAGGGCGCGCGCGGCGACATCGTGAACGAGCGGAACAAGACGTACCCCGACCGCGCGCTGGCCGCGCTCGCCGGTTCCTAGCAAGCACCCTTCTGTGAGAAATTTTAGTATGACAAATTAGATTAGGGGTTCGGAGGGGGTCTTCGGTCTTCGGTCTCGAGCGTGGTGATGATCGATCAGAGGTCCCAGAGCGCGGCAGCGAAGGCGGACCGCGCCTCGTCCTCGAAAAGCTCGCCGTCGGACGATTCGGACTCGGACTCGTCGTCGGACGGCGCGAGGCGGTTCAGGCCCGTGCGGTAGCTTCTCGCCATGCGCAGCGCCGACGACAGCGCGCGTGTGGCGCCGCGTGACGCGCGCCGCGCGTCAGCCCGCCGCGTCCGAGCGGCTTCGGCGTCGCCCCAGCTCGCCGTGCGGGGCCGGCAGCGCGCCTGGCGAAGGTTATCCTCGATGCGCACTCGCTTCCCGCTCTGCGCCCGCGGCGCGAGGCGCCGGAGGTGGCGCAGCGGCGAGGCGTGCTCCGTCTCGGAGTCGCGCTCGTCGTCCGCGTCCGAGTCCATCGTCGGCGGCACATCGCGGCGGATCTGACTGCGGCTGCGCGACCGCGACTGCGACCGCCCGCGGTCGCGGCGCGCGGCGCGGCGGCCCCGCGCGGCGCAGGCGCGCGCTAATCTTAGCACGCGCGCCTCGAGCTCGGCCGTCTCGTCGTCGCGCTGCAGCGGTGAGATGGACAGCGTCCGCGGCGGCGGCGCGCTCGGCGTGCCGTTGCTCTCGCTGCCTGATGACACGGTATGCGTCGCGCTGCTGGGCGGTTTTTGCGCCACTTGCAATTTTTGCATCATCCCAGCTACCCTTGATGCTGTTGGACTTGGCGGCGGGGCAGGGGGGATTCCAGAAGTGTTGCACATCGTTGGATTGCAATTTCGCTGCGCGCAGCGGCGACCACGGCGGCAGAGCGCCGCTTCCAACGTGGCACCTACGGCACCCAAGCTGAAAGTCGCCGCCTGATTCGTCCTCGGCGTTTTGGAGTGGTCGCCATTGTTCTTTTCTTCCAGCTTGGGCTTCCTTTTGTGCTCGAGAGTCTGCGAGAGCCCGAGCCCCCATCATCGATGCAAAACTTGGGCAGCCCCAGAGTTCGAACGCCAATCGACGCTCCCCGTGAACCGTGGGGTGGATCGAGCGTGCCGGCGCGTTGAAGCAGCCCTGGACACAGCAGCAGTTATTCCCACACAATATAGCAGCACAAATGGCTGCCCTCGCCGCCCTGTACCCCGCGAAACTGCAGAAAGTCGCCAGCTTTGACCGCTTTGGGCACTACCGCCTCGAGACGGGCGAGCAGCTCCTGGTCTGGACACCAATCTATCCGGCCGGACCGCTGCCTCTGATAATTTACCTGCACGGTGCGTCGTCCAGGGGAGACGACATCCAACAGATTTTTGAAAAAGGGCCAAACTGCCCTCCAGCACTCTTACGCGCCGGAGACATCGCCCCGCGCGCCGTCGTCGTGGCCCCGCTCCTCGCAGCAAAAAGGGAGTGGTGCAAGACGTCGCGCGAGGCCGGCACGACCTTGAAAATCATCGACGCGTACTTTGCGGAGGAGGCAAGAGGTGCCATGGCAGCGGTTGATCGGGACCGCGTCTACGTCACGGGCCCGTCGTGCGGCGGTTTAGGGGCCTACACGCTCGCGGCGCGCCTCGCGCGCCGCGGCGACGGCTTCAGCGACCGCTGCCCGCCGGCCGCCGCCGTGGTTCCCGTGTGCGGTGGCGGGAGCGTGGTCTTCGCGCCGCTCCTCGCGAAGACGCCCTGCTGGTTCTGGCATTCGGAATCGGACAGCGCCGTACCATGTAGCGACACCGAGGCCCTGGTGGCCGCGCTGGAGAAGCTCGACGCGCCGGTGCGCTTCACGAAGCTGACGGACGAGGAGACGCCCGAGAGCCCGCCATACGTCGCGTACATGGAGCACCACAACGCCTGGACGCCGGCGTACAAGGTCGACTCGCCGATGTGGGCCTGGTTGTTCGCCCAGAGTCGTGGGGAGGGGGCATAAGTACACTGTTTGTCACAACAAGAACATTAGGCGGTGATCTTCAGGTGGTGCGTCACGTTCATCTCCTTGAGCACCTCCGCGTACGACATCCGCGCGCCCGGCCGGTGCCAGTGGCCGCCGCACCCATCAAAACGGAACGCCAGGGGCGTATTTTCGGCGTAGGTCCCGGCCCAGTCCGCCTTCGGGTCCCGATCCCCATCCTTCATGCCGGTGAAGAACGGGCCCTCGCAGAAGGCGGCGACACTTCTGGCGCCCTCGTGGCCGTCGCGCGCGTGCCCGGCCCCGAGCAGCTCCGCCGCCGGCGCGTGGCGGAAGGGGTCGCAGATCGTCCGGCCCAGCGTGAAGGGCCCCGTGACGTGCAGCGTCCGCGGCTGCTTCTTGGGCGGCAGGCGCTTCGCTTCAAAAATGTTCGAGATCTGGCGCCGGAGCGTCGCCTTGAGCAGCGGGTGCGCCCTTCCTCCAATCACCATGAAGCGCACGTGGCCCTTCCGTGGCTCGCGCACCGCAAACATGTCCAGCGACGCGGCGCTCTGCAGATCGCAGGCCTTGGCGATGGGACCCGGTTTGAGATCTGAATCGAACCACCAGCCGCCTTCATAAATGAGCCACGCCACCCTAAACAGGTCCGCGCGCCCGGCGCCGCTGTTGAGCTTGCGGTAGGCCTCGATGCAGCCTTTAACTTCGCAGCGCGCCGCCATCCACGCCGCCTGGGCCGCGTCGTCGAAGTACGTAAACTCCATCTCTGGGTTGAGCGTCCGCCATTCCTCAATGTTCCGCTTCAGCGCCGCCGGCGTCTCGTCCAGGGGCAGCTTGTGCGACGTGATCAGGCGCTTCGGGATGTCGGCCCAGGCCGCTGCTGCCCAAAGGACTGCGTATTTCATCGCAGCGATGGCGTTTGCGGCTGCCCCCTTTGTGCCGCGGTGCTGTGGTTGATATGTTGCGCTCGAATGCAACGAATTAAGACAGAATTACAGCAATCCTACTGGTTTGCTCGACTGAATTCGAGGTCGAAGGCTAGTATGTCGAGACACTAGCACTTCCTAGCGCTCGGGGTCCGTACTACCTGGGGGTGGGTTCAATAAGTGGCTCTCTCTCTCTCTCTTTTCCCCGTTTTGGGTAAGAAAGGCTAGGCTTGGCTCTATAGGAAGGTAGTCCACTCAACCAGCCGCCGCGCAACCCTGACTCGACCACAGAGCAAACGCACGGACGAGTCCAGGACCGAAAGGAGAGAGTCATGGAGTTACAAGGGGATGAAGGGGGAAAGGGCTCACTCCTCCTCTTCCTCTTCCTCCTCCTCCTCCGCGGCCGGCTCGGCCGCGCCGGCGTCGGAGAGGACCTCCTCGTCGTCGTCCACGACGTGGTCGCCCTTGAGGCGGAAGTGGAGGATGCCCACCTGGTTCTTGCCGTCGATCACGACCTGGTTCTTGATGTTGCCCTTGACGATCGCCTCGAGCGTCTTCTTGAACGCCTTGGACTCCCTGGACTTGGGGCGCTTGAACGCCTCGCGCAGCGCGCCCGCGTGCGCCGCCGGCAGCGCCGTCGACGACGCGAACGCGTCGCGGACCGTCGAGATGTGCACCTTGGCGTCGGGCTCGGCCACGAGGCGCTTGCGGCACCACTCGGCGCAGACGGGGACCCACGCGTCCGCCGGCACGCGCGGCGCCGGCGGCGCGGCGGGCGCGGGCGCCGCGGCCGGCGGCGGCGGCGCGGCGGCCGGCGCCGGCGCCGGCGCGGCGCCGCCGGACGAGCGGCGGCGCTTCGGCGCGGGCGCCGGCGCCGCCGCCTCCTCCTCGTCCTCGTCGTCCTCGTCGTCGGTGCGGCCGTCGGCCGGCGCGCGCTTGGGCGGCCCGGCGAGCGCCGGGTCCTTCTTCACGAGGTTGCGGAACTTGTCGCGGACGTCGGCGCTCGTGCGGCCGCCCTTTCTGAGCACGGAGAACTCGCGCAGGATCTTGGCCCACTTGTCGCCGTACATCTGGTAGCCGTCCTTGACGGCCGTCTCCTCGTCGGCCGTCCAGCGCCGGCGCTTCCGCGAGCCCTTGGCGTTCTTGCCGCGCACGGGCGCGCCGGGCAGCAGGCCCGTGAGGTCCTCGGCCGCGGCCTGCGACTCCGAGACCGGCGCCGGCTCGCTGATCTCGTCGTCGTCGTCCGAGCCGAAGCCGAAGGACCGCGCGGGGCTGCCGCCGCCGGCCGTCGCGCGCGCGCCCGTGTCCGGCGTCGCCGCGCGGCGCGGCGGCGGCGGCGGCGGCGGCGGCGGCGACCGCGGCGCCGCGGGCGACCGCCGCGCGGGCGGCGGCGGCGCGGGCGACCGGCGCGGCGGCGGCGGCGGCGCGCGCCGCGCGGGCGACGCCGGCGGGAAGCGCGGCTGGGGCGGCAACGCCGGCGGCGGCGGCGCGAAGCGCGGCGGCGGCGGCGGCTGCGGCGCGAACGCGGGCTCGGGCGCCGCCGCGCCCGCGGCCTCGACGAAGCCGGGCGCCGCGCCCGCCGCCGCGTCGCCCCTGATGATCTTGGCGAACTTGGGCTCGGGACAGTACTGGTTCTCGATGTCGAGCAGCATGCGCTCGACGCCGGCCAGCGCGGCGCGCGCGGCCGTCGCCGCGTCGCCGTCGCCGAGCGCCCGGCGCCGCGCGTAGGGGTCGGCCGCGCGCAGCCGCGCGCGCCCGCGCGGGCCAGCTCCGCGCAGTAGTCGAAGGAGTCCGGGCCGCGGTCGGCGGGCGACGCCAGGCCCGCTGGGCGCCTGCTCGAAGGCCTGAGGGCCCTCGCCCTCGGCGAAGAGCATGGCCGCCCTCCTCAAATCCGCGAGCGCGCGCTTCGCGTGCACGTTCCAGGGCTTGACGTGGATGTGTGTGAGGATGTTGAGCGTCATCTCGAGGCAGAGCACGCACTCGCCGACGAGCTCACGCCTTCGTGGTGGAAGCGCGCCGCCTGCGCGATGGCCACGCGCAGGCCCAGCGGCGAATTGGAATCGACGGCCAGCTCGCGGTCCGCGACGGCGGCCTTGAGGTGCTCGATCTGGGGGTAGCTGCGCCGCCAGCACGCGAGGTCGAGCTGCGCCTCGACGTAGAGCTGCTCGCCGCGTGCGCAGAACTCGCGGTCTGGTGGGGTTGTGTCCATGATTATCTTTTTGTCTTTTGCCGGCGCGCGCGCGAGGCGGGAGTGGCTCCAACAGTTGATTTGTTTTTTAGGCTTGCCAACAAAGCGGCGGCTCTGACGCTGCGGCCACGACAGCTGCGGTATGAGGAGCGCTGGAAAAGGTGCTCAGTGTGTCCGCGGCTCTTGCGCGCGGCTTGTTTGAGGCGCGGCGCCGTTCCTTGTCCTTTAGCAAAAAAATAGGCTAAAAGACGCTAAATCTGTGCCTCCGTTTCTTCGCCCACCTCGTCGCGCACGTCCCGTGGGACGCCGTCCGGCCGAGAGGGGTGAGGGTATCCTGCTCAGAGCGAAAGTCTTCGTCACGGTGCGTACCTTGGCCCCATTTTGGATGCAAGCTCCGTGGCAAAGTCCATCCAGAGAGCTGAAAGTGGCTCTGGAGCTTCGTCTTGGTCTGCATACTTGAGTGGCAGCAAAATCGGCGCTGGAAAACACCCCTGTGGGGCAAAAAAAGGCAAAAAGAGCATTGCATTGCTGTATCTGGCGCCGCCGCGACGCGCAACGCCGGAATGATGGAGGTGGAGCCGCAACAACAAGCGCCGCGACGCGTCACGCCGGAGCTCCAGCTCCGCGACCTGCCAGCGCGAAAAGAGCCGCACGCGCTCTGGCGCGCGCGCGGCCGGCGACGTCGACGCCGTACGCGAGGCGGTGTCGGCGGGGCTCTCGCTGGACGCGCGCGACGGTTTAGGAAGGACGCCCTTAGTCGTGGCGGTGGTTCACGGCCGCAAAGATGCGTCGACGCCCTCCTCGACGGCGGCGCTGACCCCGAGACGCCGTCGGGCCACCGGAGCCGGCCGCTCGCGTACGCTGCCTTTCGGGGCGACGCGGCGCTCTGCGCGCGGCTCCTGGGCGCCGGGGCGGATCCCAACAAGAAGGCCGCCGATGGGTGGACGGCCCTACACGTCGCCGCGCGCCAGGGCGCCGCCGACGTCGTCCGACTACTCTTGGCGCGGGGCGCGACGCGCGACGCGCGCACGGGCACGGGCCGCACCGCGCTTGTCGTCGCGACGGCCTTCGGGGAGCTGCAAACCGTGCGCGCGCTGCTGCGAGCCGGCGCGCGGCCCGACCTGAACTTGCTGGCGATGGACCCGGCCGAGGCCGAACAGAGTCTGTTCCCGCTCCTGCAGACGGTCCGGTCAGAATCCGAAGCGCGCGCGCGAGTGCGGCGGGGCCTCGACACGCTCCGGGCCGTGAGGGCTGCCGGTTCCTGGAGACGCCATCTGGCCGGCCCGAGACGCGACCTTGTGGTCATCCGGGCCCTCCAGACGCGCTATGCCGCGCGGGGCCGCGCCGCGGGCGGCCTACCGCTTGATGAATTGCCGGACCCGCTCTTCCGCCACGTCGCTTGCTACTTCTGGGGCGGCTGATTGCTTGTGTAATTACCATTGATCGCATGACAACAGATTATGTATACAACATCCCCGCAATCAATCGCGGGTCGGGGTACTCCAGTCGCGCCCGGTCGCGCTGCGCGGCGGAGACGACGCCGGGCATGTCGTGCGTCGCCGGCGGAATGAGTGAGACCTGGAAGTGCACGTGCGGCGCCCAACCTCCGTTCTCGTGCGATGCGCCGAACGCTCCGATGCGCTCGCCGCGCTCCACCACCTGGCCCACGCGTTTGAACGCCACCGACGCGGAGTCGAGGTGTCCGAAGAGCATCCAGCACCGCACGCCTTCTATCACGTGTTCCGTAACGATAACGTGGCCGTAGTCGCCCGCGTCGGGGTTGTAGCCGAAGCTTTGAATGACGCCCTGGGCCGGCGCGTAGACCGGCGTGCCCGCGGGCCCGCCGATATCAAGACCGATGTGCACGTCGCGGATGCCCGCGTAGCCATCGATAGTTTTCGTCGCGTTCTCGAACATCTCTGTCGTATACATGTTCCGCCGCACCTCGTCGTAGCGGCCCACGTACCAGCGCGCGCACCGGCTGTTTGCCGGTCTGCGGGCCAAGCGGCGCAAAACGCAAGGCACGCCGCGTTTCGCGGAGATGGCAGCTTCGATTCCCCTGGAGAAGTCCATGACATGAACGTATTTCGCCGCCGGCAAATCGACGAGCGCGTGGAAATCAGTTGCATTGCAGGCCGCCGCGAACGTTTCTGCGAGTTGAGCCGTCACGGCGACGGCGGCGGTGGCGTCGTCGCCGGAACAGCAGTGCACAAGCAGCAGTGCGCCGACGAGTCGTCGGCGCATGGTCAACGCCTCGCGGCCTAGCTCGCGCGCTTTGCAGGCTGAGAGGATGCACCCTGCAGCAGTCCAAAGTTTTTGCGAGGTCACGGCGCCGGCAAATTTGTCCTAGCTACAGCCAGCTGATAGTGCTGCACTGTTGCGCGAGGCCTCTGTCGCACGCGTGCGCGTACGCTCCGAGATTACGAGCAGAGAGCACCTCACAAAGCTGACAACAAAGCTGTGTGACCAAGCTCACAGAGCTAGCGCGGCCGTGCAGTGCACTGGTGGGCGCAGTGGTGCGCATTGGGTCGCACTAACGCTACGCAACGTCGTGGAACGAGAAACGCGGGTACGCCACCTCTGGGCAGGAGCCAGCTCACACTACAAGTTTGCATTTGAGGGCTAAGCGAGCTCGACGCGGGCGACGCTCGCATCACTCGCACGAATTCGCAGCCATGCGACTCTTCATCTGCTCGTTTTTGCTGCACGCCGCCACCGCGTTCATCGCGCCGCGGCCGCCGCGACCGACCCCGCTGCGGTCAAGCAACGACTTCGAGAATCCGAACCCGTTCATGAAGGACGTCATCGACGCCGTGCCGACGCTGCGGGAGGGTCGCACGATGCAGTTGGTGCTGGGCAGCGAGGAGCCGACGCCGCCGTCCGACGCCGAGCAACAGAAACTTAGAGAGGCGGCCGCCGACGAGCTGCGCAATATTGATGGAGCCGAGCGAGCTAGACGGCTCGCCGCGGGGCGCGTCCTCGCCGTGGTGACGCTCCTGCAGTCCGCGTTCCTGTGCGCGCCCCACGCGGGCGTTCGTCCCCAGCGGCTCGCTGCTTCCTGGTTTATTTCTGTCGCTCGGGTTATATGATTCGGCGAAGACGGGCCTGTGAAACATCGCCCAGTCCGGCCTCTGGGACGTGGCCGGCACTGGGCTTGAGCGCCGCACCGGATGGTGTGGCGAAGCAAATCTTAGATCGAGTGAACTCGATGAACGTCTCGACGTCGCTCAAGGCGCTCGCCGTCACGGTCCTGTTCGCGAGCGCGGCGTTCCTCGACCCGCTCGCGCGCGCTAGGATTGTTTCTGCGAGACGGCAGGCCACCCGCCTTATGACGCGGCGGCCGTGGCGGCTTCTGGCCGCGCGACCGTCGCCGACGCGGGTGGTCGTGCCTCTCTAACGTGGTACCTTGTGAGTTCGGCGTGGCGATATCGATGTTACGGTGCTAGGACTACATTAATCGCGCTAGCGGCCGTAAGACACTAGCCAGCAGTCGTTTTTGCTCTGAAAAACGAACGGCTTACAGCTCTTGACGCGCCGATAGGTTGCACGTTTTGACTACCAGTACTGCTCACTCTTGCCTCCTTGCGCGGCTCAGCCTCTCGGTCACCTCTGCGGCCACGTCATCACACAGATCCACAACTGGCTCATCAGCCGTTATTCGCCATGCTGCGTACCCCCGCGAGCCTGCGGCGCCTCAGCCTCGCCGTGTCGAGCAAGGCCTTCGACCCGCAAGCCGGCCTGGCCTCCGTCGGAACGGCGGCCCTGCTGCGCAGCGCTACCGTCAGTCTCTGTGCAGAAATCAAATTTCGCGGCGCTTCTCCGCTTACGGCTGAATCATAACTTCCACGCCATCGACGCGACGCCTGCTCGATGGACACAGGTCATGAGCGCGCTCCGGCTCCCGGGCGGCACCGCCATCGCGCAGTCCACCCTCCAGGCCGCGACGACCTCGAGCGTGGCTGCCTCGCTGGTCGGCGCCGCGGCGGAGGGCCGGTTTGTGGGTGGCGCGACGCTGGAAGACGCGAAGCGGACGGCCGCGGCCCTCGCCGAGGACGGCATCGCCACGATCGTCGATCACGGGGTGGAAGAAGCCGATGATGTCCAGCTCGAACTCGCGCGGAAGCGCCAGCTCGTCGCCGCCGCTGGTGGCCTTACCGTGCCGATCAAGCCCACTGCCGTCGCCGACGGAGCGATGCTCCGCGCGCTCGCGGACTTGATACAGCAGGCGCCGGAGCCCGACGCCGCGCGCCTCGACGGCGAGCTGGTGACGCAGCTGAGTGAGGAGCATCGGAAGCACTTCGACGACGCCGTCGAGGGCCTGGTGCGCCTCGCGCGCGACGCGGAGGCCGCGGGCGGCGCGCTTTTGCTCGACGCCGAAATGACCGACCTGCAGCCGGCCGTCGACCGCCTGTTCCTGAGCGCGCTCGAGGCGTGGGCCGCCGACGCGGACCGCGCGTTCGCGACGTACGCGGCTGTGTGGAAATCAACCAGTGAGTTCTGTTACCGTGATCCTCCATCGAGAGCAGAAGCTGTTACGAGGACAACGTCGCGTCGATGGCGGTAGAATCGCCACGCCGTCGAGCAGACGCCGCTACGGAAGCACGTCGCGTCGATGGCGTGGGGCGCCCGAAATTTGATTTCCACGCAGGTACGCTGGGCCGGCCGGCGCGCCCCGGGCCGCCGCTCTACAACACGTACCAGTGCTACCTCGCCGGCTCGGAGGCGCGCCTGGCCCTCGACGCCGCATTCGCCAAGGACCTCGGGGTCGCGTTCGGGCCAAACTCGTGCGCGCGCGCCTCGTGGCTGAAGCTAAGGCGGCCGGCCGGCTCCGCGGGTCCAAGGCCGAGACGGACGCGGCCTACGACGCAGCCGTCTCCCAATTAATAGAGGCCGCGGCGGCGGGCGACGACGCTCACGCGTTCCTCTGCACGCACAACGCCGGCGAGCTGCGAAAGGCTTTGTCGAAGGCGGACGCGCTGCACCTCGAGCGGGGCGACGACCGCCTCAAGTTCGCGCAGATCCTGGGCCTCTGCGACGGCCTGACGCGGTCGCTCGCCGCTGCGGGCTGCCGCGCGCACAAGCTCGTGCTCTTCGGGGCGACGCGCGACCTCGCGCCCTGGATCGGGCGGCGCCTCGCGGAGAACGCCGACGCGCTCGGGCGCCGGCGGCCGAGGCTCCCGCCTTATGGCGAAATTGGCGCGGCGCGTGGTCGGATGATCTCGCTCCTGTTTAAACTTAGTTCCTATCCCATCCGTCCGTCGTTCAACGGGTTAGTCAGAGGGGAGGGATGGGATGGGCTTTGGGATGGGCGCCGCCGAGTTAATCGGGGCGCGGGCAAAACGCCGGGCGCCTCGGCGACCCGCTCGTTGACGGGGTTGTGGACGGGCGCGAAGACGGGCTTGCCCTCCTTCTCCTTCTTCGCCATGGCTCCGATGCAGCAGAGCGCGGCGATCGCAATGACGGCCGCGGCGATGAGGCCGCCGACGAGCCCGGCGTCGTCGTAGGCGCGGCGTCGCGTCGCCGGTTCGCAAGGGGCGATTTACGCGCGCTCTCATCAATGGCGTGGCGTCAACGTTATCTGGAGTGCCTAAGACGAAGGTAACGAAGCGAGGCGCGCGCGCGTGCGCCACTTTGCCTGCAAAGTTTCACTGCACCAAAATCAGAATTCGCTGATAGCGATGCTTTTGCAAAAAAAAGTATAGGGCGTGTCGTTTAAGGATCCCTACGCCGCCTTGCTTACGTTTTTGAGGTCTGTACGTGCCCACAAGGGGCAAACAAAGCTTGACTATCTTGATTCGGAGGGCGTCTAGTATGCTTAACGCTAGTCTGTCTTTTCGATTGGTTTAAATCACTTACATGCACACTAGAAGAGCTCAAGCGCTGCTCGGTTCCGCCACAACCCCCGCAAACACGACGCGCCCCGTCGCCGCGTGCTCGATCGCGAACACGAAGGGGCGATCAAACTTGAGCACGCGCGGCGGCCGGGGCATGGCCCGTTGCGCCACTATGACGGCCGTCGCCGCGGCCGCTTCCGTACCCTCCTCGTCGACGGAGATGACCGCGCGGTGCAGCACGGAGTCGACGTGGAGGTCCGGCCGGTCCGCGATGCCTAGGAAGCCCCCGCCCTCGCGCTTGATGAGGCCCAGGCCAAACGAGGCGTCCAGCACGTCCATCAATTCAACAACGCCCGAGTCGATCTTAAAGCGAGGCAGCACCACCACAACCTTGTCCTCGGCGAGGGGCCGGAGCTCCGCCCAGCGCGCCGGCAGCGCCGCCGCCGTCGCACGCGCGCCCGCGAGTCCGTCCGACTCGGGCAGAATCAGCACCATGCGGAGGTCGTCTTTTGCATACGGAAGAGCCACGGCCTGACCGACGCCAGCGGCGTTATGAACAGCATAGCGCTGCTCCTGCCGCATGAAGTCGACCTGCTTCTCGCCACTTGGTGCCTGGAAGGCGCCCGGCCGGGAGTTACCCTTCTCGAACTTCTTGAGCCACGTACCCTTGAAGTACACGGCGTTTAGGAGAATAGCCGTCGTCATCGGGTCCCGGACCGTGCCGTCGTCAATAAGGTTGGTGATCAGTCCCTTCGTAGCCTTGGCCACAAACTCGTTGATGGGCGCCGCCGACGCCGGCATCGGCGCCGCGGCGGCGTTGAAGAGCCGCTTCAGTTTGTCGGCGAACGACGCCTTCACATCGGCACGCGCGTACAACGCGTTCGCCGCGTCGACGCCGGCCACCTGGACGTCGATGCCCCCGACCGCCTTCCGGAGAGCCGCCTCGTGGCGGCTCCCGGGCGTCGCGCCGGCGAGCGCCATCTTCAGGGCCGTCGCGATGGACAGGGGGCTCACAAAGACATTCTCGCGATCAGAGGACAGGGCTTTGAGGAGCTCGAGCGCGAACGCCGGCGTCGCGCCGTCGCCCTCAGCCCGCGGCGGCGCGCCGCCGACGAGGTCCTTCGGTGAGTACGACGGCGGCGGGTCGTCTCGGAGGCCCGGAAGGGTGCGATACGCGTTCTGGCGCGTGAGCTGCGGGCGGCCGTCGCGCGGCGTCGGCGTGCGTAAGGCGCGGCGGCAGAGCGCGACGACCGCGATGGCGCACGCACCGACGCCGAGCATCGTTTTCGTGGTTGGCATTCCGCACAGTGTGTGCGCGCGTTCTTTTCTTAGTGCGTCGACAGCGCAGAGAACGCAGAGGACAAGAATGCGTCCGCCGTTCGCGCTCGGATGCCTGCTGGGATAAAGCTCCGGGTGTGTTTTACGTGTGCTGGGGCTTAGAGCTCAGAGTTTTCAACTCGGTTGCTGAGAACAGGTACTGACGGCTCTACTTTCACGGCTTGGCAGCAGCGCTTGGTCTTTAGCGGGCACTATCAGGCCCACAAAAAGCTTGTCTGAGGGCTGCCAACACAGGTTCCTACGCGTGGCGCACGGAGACATCCATGCCATCCCAGGATACTGGTAGTAGCAAAACCCCTTACGGGTATCGGCGAGTAGCGGCGGCACGGCGTGTTCGTCGACAAAAAAGCGCGCCGCGCCACGAAAAAACAACAAAAAGACTAAACCCGCTCCTTACGCAGCTTCCGCAGCCCCCGCCTCCGCGAAAACGCGTTCTCGACCGTGTCGCCGCGCTCGAGCGCCGCCACGAGGTCCGTATTGGAAAGAATCGACGAACGAGACGGCACTAGCAGCGGCGCCGCGCGCGCCGCCCTCCCAACACGGTGCAGGTGGCTGACGGCGTCCGTCGCGTCGTCGTACTGCACCACCCGACTTCCGGCAGGTCCAGCCCGCGCGCGGCCAGGTCCGTGCATACGAGGACATTAATCTTGGCCGAGGCAAACAAATCCAAAGTGGCCAGGCGCCGCTCCGGGTCGACGTCCTTCGTGTAGGGCGCCGCCGCAATACCACCCAAAGCGAGCCGCTCTGAAACTGCAGAAGCGCGGTTCGCCGTCTTGCAGAAGACCATCGTCCGTTCCGTGCTCTCGAGCAAGTCATTCAATTTCGCGTCGCGCTCGTCATCACTTTGTACACTTTCAAACACATGTTCTAGGGTCGAGACGACGCCGTGCATCGGCAAATCCGCGCATCGCGTCGCGTTCGCTGGCACTTTGTCACCAGGCCGTCGACGCTTCGCAGCCCCTGGTTGGGCAGCGTCGCGGCGACGACGACGCGGCGGCACCGCTCCGGCACGTCCTCCACGAGATCGTCATTGCCTTCCCTCCTCCGCTCGACGCGTTTCAGTGCCACTAAACACCGGTCCAGCTGCTTCTTGAAGCCACCGTCCAAGAGCATGTCCGCCTCGTCCAGCACCAAGGGTCGACAGGCCCTCCCACAGGTCCAGATCTCGATCAAAGGCCGCGGCGAAGGACGGCGTCGCGACCAGAACGTCGGGCGCCTTGCCCGGCGCGTAGGGCCAGCGCGCCAGCGCGCCGCCGTGGCGCGCCTCGAGCGAGAAGAGCTTGCTTTCGTCGGTGAACGGCGGCTGCGTGTCCGCGCCGAGTCGCGCCGCCACCCGCCGCAACTGCGTCCCGAGCTCGCGGTTCGGCACGAGCACCAGCGCCGCGGGGTAGGGCGTGTGCTTCCGTCGATTCGCGACGGCGCTGCGCCGCCGGTAATAGATAGGCCAGGGTCTTGCCGCTCCCGGTCTCGGCACCCACGACGGCGTCGTCTTCCTGCTTTAAAAGAGCGGGCAGCGCCCGCTGGACTGGACGGCGTTCGCTCGGGCCACTGTTTTGAAACGAGATCGCTCATATCGCTGTTGAGGCCCAGGGCTTCCCACGCCGCAGCGCTCATCAGGCGCGTCGTCGGCGCGCGCACCGCGGCGCGTGCAGCAAAGCCTCGCGCGCGCGCGATTGTCAGGAGCATCATCGCCTTATGCAGTAGGGACATTTGTTGCAGGTGTGAGCAAGCGTGAGTGATGCAGCTACGACGCAGACCAATGCTAATGATTTAATGTCGCATCGATGGCGTCTGCAGCGTCTTATATCGCTGCGCGCGCGAGTTGAGGCCGGAATTAGCGTGTGTAGACATACTAGCTTATTCCCGACGTCAAAGAATTTACAAGTGCGAGGGGCTGCCGCATATATGGCGCACGATACATTCTGTACCACGGCATGATGGTAGAGCAGCCCCACGGCATGACTAGACCATAGCAGCAAATGCTCCGCATCCTCCTCCTCGCCACCGCCGCGGTCGCCTCAACCAAGCGCGGCCACAAACACAAAAAACCAGCAGCCGCCGCGCCGCCGAAGCTGGCCTACATGGCGATCCCGGGAGCAAAAGACGAGACGAGCGCGCCGCGCGCGTGCTGGGCCGCGCCCAAGAGTTGGAGAGAGGGCCTGGTGGATGCCTACGGATCCTCAGTTGTTGTGTGCTCGCCCGAGGCCCTGCGTTCAAATAAAATGTGCGCGTGCCGCCTGTGCCCTGTGGATGAATGCGTGTCCAGGAATGCGCTCGCTCAACTAAACCTCGACCACGCGCTGGGCGTCGGCTCCGGGAGGGACAGCGACGCCCTGCGCGAGTTCTACCGTCTCACGGCGAACGCGAGCCTCGTCACCAACGTGCCCATCAGCGAGGGTCATACGACGAAGCGCGAAGAGATGTGGGGGTCACTCGTGGACGTGGTCATGTCCTTCCTCAAAACAGTGAAGCCTCCTTTAAAAATGAAGCCCTGCGCGCGGCCGCCTTCCTCAAAATGCGCTGCGGCGCTGGCGGCGCCACCATACCAATACGCGGGCGCGCCCGCGTGCCGCGCGGCGTTCGTGGGCTCCGTGCAGCCCACGAAGGTACCTTTATCGTTCTTCCAGAAGTTCGACAAGGCCGCGGGGTTGGATTTTGTGCGGCGCTTCTCGTGGCACTTCTACGGCGCGGACCGCGGCAACTACTCGGCGCGCCTCCGAGGCGTGCTCGACGCGATGAACCTCTCATCTACATTCCACGGCCGCGTCGACGACGTCCAGGGGGCCTACTGCGCGGCCGACGTCGCCGTCGCCTTCCCGCTCCACGACCGGAACCCGCGCGTTCCCACCGAAGCTTTGAGGGCGGGGCGGCCAGTCTTCGCGTCGCTCGAGGCGAACCTGGCAGGAGCGGTCGCTTGCCAGCCATTTGTGGGTGCGGTCTCGTGGCGGGATTCGCGCCGAAACCTGATCGCCGCCTTTCAATCGTGGGCGCTCAACGCGACGGCGGCGGCGCCGGCGGTCTTCGACGCCTTCGCGGCGAACTGCCTCGACCGCACGGCGCTCTTCGACCGCGTCTGGCGCGTGCTGGAGCGCGTCAAGGACGAGAGGCAGGGCGCGCGGCGCGCCGTCGCGTGCGAGGCGCCGGGCGCGTGTCTCAGGCCGACGTGCGGCGACGGGCCGACCGTCGAGGTCGCGGCGCGGGCGTGCCTCGGGGTCTCTCGTGATGATTTAAGTTAGTGGAATGTGTTAGTCAGAAGTAGCTCGCGCTCTCCTCCTTGGGTTCCGGCGCCGGCGAAACGAGGCCAGTGGCTTCGAGCACGGCTCGTGTCCGGGACTTTGGCTCGGGCTCAGGCTCGGGCGCGGCCAGGCCCACGGCTTCAAGAACGCATTGCGTTGTCGATTTTTGTTTGGGCGGCGGGACGTTCTGTGGTGCGGTCGACGTCGCAAACCAAGGCTTTGCCGCGGGCTCCTTGGCGTCTGCGTCGCTGGCGAAGAGGCTCCGGCGGGGCGTCGCGGCCGGCGTGCCGCCGCCGCCGAAGACGTAGTCGGAGAGCGCGCCGGGCGACCGTGCGCCCGGCGTCGCCGGCTCGTCGGCGCTCTCGCCTCGGAAGAGGAGACTAAAGGAGTACTCGGAGCCGCGCGGCGACGTCGCCTCCTCGCTGTCCGATTGCTCCTCGCTTTGGCAAGCGTCGAAAAAGGGGCAGAGCAGGTCGCTCATCGCCTCGGCAGCAAGGGTTTGGCCGGGAGCAGAGGTTTTGGCAGCCTGGTCCAGCGGGAGGGCGGGGGCAGCCTTGAAATCTGAGCTGCCACAGAGCATCACATTGGCGGAGAGCCCGTACGGGTGCACGGATTCAAAACTCGAGGTGGCCTACATGAAAGATGGGCGCTTTTGCGTATTCGCGCGACGCATCCTGACGCTGCTAGTGTCTTACAGCCTCTAGCTAGCTATTGCTTGCGAAATCGTGCCGCGCTCGGGCCGCGTGCTCACGCAATTGTGGGCCATAGACGTGCTCAGGCTGTTTAACGCATCGCTGCGACTGTCCACGCGAGCTCACGCAAGTTTCGAGCATCGCTGCCGGCTCAAATTTGCTCTCTGTATAGAGCTCACTGCCGTGCAAGAGATGTCGCGCCTCGCGGACTACAGCAAATTTGATAATCTGGACGACAGCGACGACGACGCGCCGGCACCCGCACCGCCACAACAGAAGCTCGACCCCCAAGGCATCCCCGAGGGCGCGCAGTACACGAAGCCGACGATGACGAATGAAGTCAAGGGCGGCAACGTCGCGCGCACGCGCGAGGCCGCCGGGCCCGACGGCCACGTCATGGACGCCAAGGGCGGCGTCCGGTCGGTGGGCTCGCTGACGCCCAAGGGCAGCGAGGTCGGCCGCTACCAGTTCAAGCACGAAGGTCGATTGATTTATGAATGGGACCAGAGCTTGGAGGATGTCAACATCTATGTGAAGCCGCCTCCTGGAGTAACGCCGGACATGATCGACTGCAAGCTGACGCCGTCGCATTTACGACTTGGGTTAAGGGGCAACCCGCCGTTCCTGGACGAGCCGACGGGCGGGCCCATCGTCGCCAAAGAGTCGCACTTCTACATGGTCGACGGCGAGATCACGGTGGCCATGTCGAAAATGAGAAAAGGAGAAACGTGGGGCACGGCCTTAGGTGGAAGGGGCCAGGTCGACCCCTTCACGCGCCAGGAGATCCAGCGCGAGCTCATGATCGAAAGGTTTCAGGAGGAGCATCCCGGCTTCGACTTTAGGTCTGCCGAATTCAACGGGCAAGTCCCCGACCCGCGCGCGTTCATGGGGGGGGTCAAGTACACCTAGTTAGTAGTCCACACACTTATCACCGTAGTATAACGCCCGTCGCTGCTAGCGGGAGAGGCGCCGCGCGACGACCACCACCGCGGCGGCGCGGAAGAAGAGGATGAATCCGGCCAGGATGCCGATGTTCACCCAGTAGTTCTTCTTCCAGCTGCCCGTGTAGTCGGGCAGCTTCAACCTCGTTTTGAGGACCTGCTCGCCCGTGTCCAAACCCGCGCCCGGCGGCGCGTTGTAGGTTCGATCCTGCAACCCGGCGATCGCGAGCGCCTGCCAGACGTAGTTCAGGTAGTCGATATAAGTCGCCCATCTAAATACCCACGTCATGTCGCGCTGGTTCACGAAAAATCCCGACAGCAGCATCATGGGCATGATCGAACCGGGAGCACTCAGCACCGCCAATTGCATCGTCGGCGCGACGCTGGACAGGAGGAATGACCACGAATTCGTGCATACCACCGTCGCGAGGCACGCGAGGTAGACCCGTATAAACCGCGCACCGTTGTTGCCGCGCGTGAGGCCCGTCACGTTGCCCACGATGGCCAGGTAGAGCAAAGGCGGTATGACGAGTAGGGGCGTCTCGACAATGAACTTCGCGGGAGTGTAACTGGTGGGCCGGTACCAGCAGTTCCGCACCTCCTTCTGGGTCACGTGGATCTCCGGCAGCACGCTCAGCACGACGGGCAGCGCGCTCGTCAGGGCGAGGAAGACCATCGTAAATAAAAGCAGACTGATCGTGCTGTTGATGCCTTCGAAATTTGAGTCCAATTCGCCATACAGAATCGACAACACGATCGAGACGCCCACCGCGGAGCCGATGCGCATGCGCGCTAAGATCGGTTCCCTGACCATCGCGCGCGCGTTCCGCACGCAGTGGGCCCGGATCTGGCCCGGCAGCGAGAGCGCGTAGCGCGGGCCCGACGTTGAAATAGGCGGCGGCGGTGGCGGCAGCGGCGGTGCTTCGGGAGCCGCCTTCGTGAGCGCGTCGGGATCCTCCGTAAGAGCGTCGAACATCGCGTCCGCCGGGTTTGCGAGCTCGTGGACCGGCCGCCCGATGTCCGCGAGCATCTTCGCGGGCTGGGCGCCCGGGGCGACGGGTCCTTCGTAGACCAGCGACCCGCCCGCCCGTAGCAGCAGCAAGCGATCGAACGCGAAGAACGCCGCCGCCGAGGGCTGGTGGATCACCGCGACGCAACACACGCCGCGCCTCGCGAGCGCTTGCAGCGACCGCACGAGCGACATCGTCGCGACGGCGTCCAGGCCACTGGTGGGCTCGTCCAGAAACAACGAGGGGTCGCCGCAGAGCTCCAGCGCGACGGACAGGCGAAAAAAAAAAAAAAAAAAAAAAAAAAAAAAAAAAAAAAAAAAAGCAAAAGGGGGTCAAAACGGGTGCAAATTGCTTTATCGTATTCCCGGATTCCCGGATTCATTCAAAAAGAGGATTATGGTCGATACCTTGGGGTGGGGGGAGGTGATTCCCGGATCGTAGGGCAGTAGGGCACGAGGGGTAGGCGATGGCAACACGGATCGTTCAGCACGCGATCGGCGCCGCGGAGAGGCTCATCAGCGACGCGGCGGCGGCGTTGAACGAGGGCGACTTGGGCAGGTTCTTCGGCGCGTCCGGCGACGGCTCCCACGCGACGGGTGCCACGGTGACGGCGCGCGCCCGCGGCGCCGTGAAGCAGCCGGCGTCGTTCGGCGAGCGCTTGCTGAAGTCGAGCACCAAGCCGTCTCCGGACGACACGCAGCGCGCGCGGCTCGCGAGGACGCAGACGAGGCACGGCTCCTCGCGAGTAGTAGCGCACCCCCGGGGCCGCGCCCATGGGCAGAGGGCGCGGTGCGAGAGCACGCTTCGCACGGCGTCGATGTCGGAGACCGAGACAGAGGCCGTCACGGTGCGCGTCGCAAGGCACGTCAACGCGGCCCGGGCCTTGGCGCAGCCGGCGACGCCGCAGCCGTTGTCGGGGCACCGCGTCGCGTGCTCGACGACCCAGACGGCCTCGGCGGTCTTCTTGGCGGCCTCCACTTGTTTGGCCGACGTGCTCATGATCTCAGGAGAGTCGTTAAGCGGTCACGGATCTCGTAGCTTGCGGCGTCACGAGTTTTTTCCTGCGCGGCAACAGGCCGACTTTTCGTGTTGCTCTTGACGGGCTCCCTGCGCCACCAAACTTCGAGCGTGAAGTAATGCGAGAGTGAAGTACCTCGCGATAGCACCAATCGGTAAAATGTCTGACTGGGCGATGAGTGCAGAGTGTTTGGCAACTCCAGAGCGCAGATATAACTCAAAGCTGAGGCCGACGAACCAGACGAGCCACCGGTCTCGCGTTATGACGGAGACGCCTCTTCTCATTGATAGAAGCGCTGGAATCCGCCGCCCGAAAAACCCGTGTTCGAATGAGCTCTCGAGTGGATCAGACTCTGCAGCGCCTCGACGACAGGGAACGCTGCCCGTGGGGCGCCAAACCACGTAAGCGAACGCGACGAACACGGCATACCAACAGTGACCGCGAACGGACGCGGAGCCAGCACAGGCTGCCCTCCAGGGCTGCCCAAGCATGGACCCCATTGTCGATGAAGATGACAAGACGCAGGAAGCAGTAGAGCAAACAAAGCATGAATACGACTCCGTCGCGGCACAATACAGCAAAATGAACCGCCACGCGAGCGCCGAGCACGTCGAGCTGCTGCTGGCGGCGATGCCGCGCGGCGTGGCGGAGGATCGAAGAAGGCGTGAGGCCGAGGAGCTGATACCAACGATAAATGTGCACATCAAGAAACTAGAAGATGCTGGACTCGACGAAGAGGACGAGAACATGGTCGAGGCACGAAATGCGCTCGCGGCGGCGCGGCGGGACGCGCGGCGACGAGTCGTCGATCTAGGCTGCGGCGCCGGCCGCGATTATCCAGCCTTCGACGAGCGGGGTATTGAGTACCTCGGCGTCGACGCGTCCGAGGGCATGCTGACGGTGGCGCGGGAGCGCTTTCCCGAGGCGGCCTTCGAGGCGCAGGACTTGTGCGCCTTAGACTTGCCTGAGCGCGCTTTTGACGGCGCCTTCGCCAATGCTTCTCTCCACCACGTCCCGACGCCTGCCCTGCCGAACGCGCTCACAAACATCTACGCGTGCCTCCGGCCGGGCGGAGTCCTACTCATTTCCGCGCCGCTCGGCAAGGACGCCGAGGGCTGGTCCCAGGCCCGCTCGAAGGAAACGAGAGCCTGGGTCGCCTGGCGGTCCCAGGAGACGCTCGAACGCCACTGCGGCGCCGCGGGCTTCGAATCAGTCACGGTGCCCACGGTCCAGTCCTACGAGGGGAGCAGCTTCCAGGTGTTTGTCTGGAGGCGGCCAGCCGATGACTCGGGTGAGTAAAACGTAGAGTTAAAGAACACAGCACAGATCGACGCGGCGTCGTCGGGGAAACATCGCGTCGATGGCGTGGGGTATCTCAACCTCCACGCCATGCCGCGGCAACACAAGAGGAAGCTACAAAACGGCCGCCTGCAGTTCGAGTGGGGCTTGCCCCGCGGGCGGCGGCGCGGCGACCTCGCGGCGGCTCAGCATACGACCAAGCAGCCCCGGCGCGGGCGGCGGCGGCGCCTCGTCGACCTTGACCGCAACTTTCGCCGGACTCTCGTCCGCACCGCCCAGAAACGCGTTGTCCCGCGCCCGAGCTTCCCCCCGCTTCACGAGCTCCGCCCGCCTCAGGCAGTCGTGGCAGACGTACATCGGCGTCTTGTTGCCGAACGTCGGCACCTTCGTCCGCTTCTGGCAGCAGTCCCGGCAGTAGACTCTCAAACAAAGCCGGCAGTGGTGCTTCCACCTTGACATGTCGGAAAAGCGCGCGTTGCACCGCGTGCACGCCCGGGCGTCCTCCTTGGGCTGCCATAAAGCGGCACGGGGATTGGCGCGCGCGTGGCGCCGCCACTCCTCGGCCCGCGTCGATCTTCGATAATGATCATCGTCAAGTAACGCGTGGGACCGCTTCTGCGGCTCCGGGAAGGTACGTCTATCTAGATATAATGGCGTGACGACGACGTGGACGCGTCCTGATCTAGCGTTCTGCAGCGGCAGCCATCTATCCCCAAAGTCCGAGGATAGGGAAATGACCAAGTCACCTAAGACAACATCCTTGGACAGGCGCGCGTGCGCGCCCGCGGCGTAGTCCGCCGCCCGGGCCGCCGTCTGGATCAGCCGGGTGGCTTGGTTCGTCGCGGCATCCACCCCCGCCTCCTTCACCGTGAGTCGCAGCGACGGCGTCTCGAGGTCGGCCACGAAGAACGTTGCAGCCTCGTCCCACCGCGGATGGTTCGCGTTTTTGGTGGTTTCCGTCTGGTACTTCTGGCGGCCGACCTCAATATCTACAAAGGCGCTGCGCGCGCGCTTCTTGCCCTTGTGCCCCGCGAGCTCGGCGGCTTCCAAGACTTCCACGTACACGGCCGCGAGGAACGAGTGCTCCGACTCTTCTCGTGAAAAGTCCCTGTAGACCAGTCGCGTCCTCAGTTTGCCTTTTTTCACGCCCTGGAGTCTTAACCAAACATCTAAGGGCTCGTTCGTGGACACGTCGGTCTCTACTATGTTACCGTCGTCATCACATTTCCGCGCGCGCCGCTGGTTCAGCACCAGCAGAGCGAGCTGCTCCGGCGTGTCGACCGTCGGCCTTTCTAGGAGCTTGATAGGACCGCTCCCGGCACGCTTAAGGGTCTTCAGGATGGAATGTTCACGTGATGGCGTCCGCTTCGGCGTCCGCCGCGGCGTCGAGGGTTCCTTCGTCTCCTCCTGGCTCCGCAAGACGTGGCTCCGACAGAAGGCGGCGAGCTTCTCCCGACCTTTGAGCAGCGTCCGGTTACTATGCTCGACCCTCGACACGGGTTGTTCGCTCCGTACCAGAGCTCGCGGCGCCGTCAGGTGCTTCGCCGAGAACTCGAAGCTCCCCAATTTGTCGTTTATACCTAACACTTGATCATCAACAACTTTCACCCGTATCCTAGCGTCGTGGTGCGGCACCAGCAAATGCAATAGAGTTTCCCAGCGCGGGTTTTGCGACTTTCTGATGACCGTGGTTCTTTTTGATATACCGTCCACATCACATCTTACGTAGGGGTCGGCAGACCCGACGCCGACCTTCCGACCAGCGCCCGCCTTCATGAGCTCCTTGGCTTCCACTATTTCAATGTGAAAGACACCCAGCGCAGGTGGTTTTTTTGGTTTTGAACCTTCGAACTCCAGGGCGTTGGGCCCCCACCACTCGTCGAAGGGTAATGATTTTTTGGTGGGCCAGGTCATCGTGTCGTGCAGCGCTCTGCTCACGACTTTCTTCAGGTCGAACGGTAATGTGACGGAGCCCTTGAGCACCTCGATGTCGAAGTCTACTTTCGGCGTTTCTACGAATGACAAATGGAGCTGGCCGGCCCAGGGCCGCTGGTCCACGAACGTCGTGCCTATCCTCAGGGTCCCTTCGAAGGACGCGTTCGTGATGTAGCACGTGAAGACGCCACCACCCGTCAGAGCGTGCAACTCGAAGGCCACTTTCGCTCGGCACTCCGAGAACCATTTTAACTGTAAGTCAAGATAGAGCTCCTCCGGCCTATCTACCCGAAACGGTGTCGTGCGGTGGCAGACGAGTCGACTTTCGCCCATGCTGAACCGCGGGATGGTCACGCCCGAGATGACGCCTCCGAGCAGCTCGCGGTTCTGCAGGGACCGTTCTACGGTTAAACGGATCCAATTCGCCAGTAGGAGCTCGTCCGTGCAGTAGCGGTTGTAGAAGACCTCCAAGGCGTGGTCGAACCACCGCAGCTCGTCCTTGCCCGCGCCTCTGAAGGCCTTGAAGCCTCTTGTGAATCCCTTCCGTTCCGCTTGATCGAGCTCCCGGTCCCTTTGTCGCTGCGACGCTCGTCTTGCGCCCGCGACGGCGACGATCGTGAGTATGAGCGTGATTATAATAGCGTGCCAGGACCAGTCCCTCAATCTGGTGGTTGTGGCGACCTCCGCGAGTGCCACACCTAACACGAAGAGGACGAGGTCGTACATTGTCTTTCGGGCCTTCCGTGCGGTGCGGTGTGCCCTGCTTTCGCCTGGGGTCCCGGAGCGGGGCAGCCGCCGCGCAGGACGTGTGGTCGTACCGCTGCGTGCGGTGGGCGGCCCGGGGCTGCGCTGGCGCCCTGTGCGATCCGCGGGAGTGTGCGCCTTCGAGATTATCTAGCGGCTTGTAAGACACTAGCAAGCACCAGCAAGCGGCGTTTTGCTCCATAGCGCATTGCAGACACTTTCGCGCGCTGTCCGCGCGTGCCAGTGATCGCACGAATCGTTTAAAAGGCGCTGGAGCATCGCTTCGGATACCTGTCGCGTGACAGCCAGACAGCCAGCCAGGGCCTCACGCAGCGGCAAAAGCGCCAAACCGCAGCGCACGCCCGCCGCCGCGGCGCATCGCTCGCGCAGATTCACGAGGACGTCTCTGGCAGCGGTCATCGCCGTGAACGCACATATAACTGCGCAAAAATGGACGACTCGAGCGACGACGGCGCCGCCGTCCTCGCGCACGCGACGCCCGGGCGACGCCACAGCTGGGCGAGCGTGCACACGCCCATCGACTGGTCGAGCGCCGCGTCGCTGCGCGCGGAGCTGGCCCGCGTCGACGCGAGGAGGGCCACTTTACTCAATGCGCTCGCGGCGCTCGAGGACGGCGTCGAGGCGCTCCAGAACTCGTCGTCGGACGAGGAGTCCTGCTGCGACCTGACGCAGGCGACCGCGGAGGGCGGCGATCGCACGCCGCCGCCTCCATCCGAGTCGTCCGACGAGGACCTCGTCGACCTGACCCAGTCCCGGGTCCGGGCGCGCGACGCGCCGACGCCGGCGCGCGACGGGGCCAGCTCCTCGTCCGACGACGACGACGGGAATCGTGAGGCGGACGTGCGCGTGGCGATCGCGCAAAGAATCAAGGCGTCGCCGGAGCTCTACGAGCCCATTTTATTGAGGAAGAAGGTCGACGTCAACGCCATTGCTTCCGTTTGTGGGGCGGACGCGAAGACGGTGAAGGCCTATTTAGATGATGAGGGCGTGCCGAACGTCCGGCGCAGGGCGGCGCCGAAGCGGACGCGCGTGCGGTCGCCGCAGACCTCGTGAGGGCCTTCCTTCCTTTCTTGTTTTGTTCGTAATACTGTAGCTTGTATCGAGCGGCATTTGCAGCAGGTTTGGATCGCAAGCTAGCGGCCTAAGTCACTAGCAAGCCAAAACACCCGGGACGCGTCCTTTTGCCGCGCGCATCTCGATTACGGCCCGCCCTACGTACGCGGGAGACCGCCTGGCGAGTGACGACGCCGCTTGTTCGATCCGACGACCGCTGGACATCGCCCCTCGAAAATTTGAACTAGTGCTCTGAGACCGCCTTTTTTGACTAGGGCGCCGGCCGGTCCTCTCTCTCCGGTCCTCGCTTGTGGCGCAAACACAATGGAACACTGCTCAATTTGTCTCGAGGGGCTGGACAACGGCGTGGCATTGGCCTGCGGCCACCGCTTTCACGCCGCCTGCCTCGCGCAGATGGCCAGCGCCGTCGGCACCGCCGCGACGCGACGCGGCGCGCTCACGGCGTGTCCGAACTGCCGCGCGGTCTCGCGCGTGGCTCTAGTATCGACGCCTGTCGCGGCGTTTTCCGTCGGCGACCGCGTCAGCGCATTGTGGGGCGACCGCTGGTACCCGGGCGTCGTCGACGGCGTGATCGACGGCGGCGGCTACGAAATTAGGTGGGACGACGGGGACGAAGGAGACGTTCTCGCTGCGCACGTCCGGGCCGAGGCGCCGGGGCCGGCGCGACCTCCGCCGCGGCGGCCTGCAGCGGCGCCGGCAGTAGCGCCGGTTCTACCCGCGCCGCGGCGCCCCCCGATCGCGCCGGCGGCGTCCACCGCGGCGCCGGAGGAGGCGCCCGCGGCGCCGTCAATCGCGGCGCCGCGGCGCCCCCCGGTCGCGCCGGCGGCGTCCGCCGCGGCGCCGGAGGAGGCGCCCGCGGCGCCGTCAACCGCGGCGCCGACGCCCTTGCGGGGTACACGCTGCGGCAATTGCAAGGCTTGCCGCGCGCGCAAGGGTCAACCCTGTCGTGCGCCGGTCCCGTTTGTTCCGTCTGCTTCGGGCAAGAAGAGTCGGTTTACGGGCGTTTCTAGGAGGCCGCGGCGCACGCGTACAACGCGGCGATCCGCGCGCTTCCTCCCGACGTCCAAGCTCGGCGCCAGACGAACCCGATCGTCGACGGGCGGCTCGTGCCGAGGCCGCCCAGAAAGCGCCGCCGCGAAGAGCCCGCCGCGCCTCCGCCGGCTCCGTCTCGCCGGCGCGTGGTGTCGGCGCCGCCGCCGCCCGCGCGCGACGACGTGGCCCTCGACCGCACGGCCGCCTACCTCCTGACGGCCGCCACGCCGGACGACGCGGAGGGCTTCCGCGCGGCCGCGGGCCTCGCCCTGGCATGCCTCGACGCCATCGAACAAGACTAAGAAGACTAAGACACGAAGCACAATAATAGCTGCTGTTATAAAACGGGGAGGGGGTCCTGCCAGAATCACGTCATCAAGCCCCACTACAATAGGAGAGTAGTGCGGCCGTCACGGAGACGCGAATCCAGCAGTCAATCAGAAAAAGCGGCCGCCAGCCGCCTAGCCTCAGCCGACCTTCTTGAAGTTCGCCATGTTCGTCGATTCGCGCGTCTTGCCGTTGATCTTGATCGAGCTTATCGAAGTAACATCTCCACCCTGATTCGTGTCGACGAAGATGGAGAGAACATTCACGTAGTTGAACTTGGCCATCTTCAGTTCACACACTCTATCTGCGAGTAAATCTTCCGCCGTCAACGTCAACTTCGCCGCGCAGGGCCCGTCGTCGCAATCGCTAAACCCGAGCGAAGGCATGTTCGTAAAAAGTTTAACGTCTTCCGGCGCCTCCTCGCCCTCCATGGCGCTGATGTTGATGCTGTGGATCATGACCGCTTCACTGAACGGGATGTTGATGATCATCTGCTCGTCTTCCGCCGACTGGCACACGAGCCGCTCGTCGCCCTGGAACAAGTTGACGATCGGTTTTTGTGCACTTATGTTGAGGCCGTAGCACGCTGACGGTTTTATTTGATCTGATAAATCACCAATGCCCATCAACGCCATGCGCTCCTCCATGTTCATCGCGGCCATGGCGTCCGCGCGCGCTGGAACAGGACCCGCTGGTCTCAGCCGCGTTGGGTTGGGCGCGGCGCGGCCGCGAGCGGTCCTGGGCCGGCACGGAGGCTGAGGGCGGCTATTGCACGCCCCTCGCAGTGGACAGTGTGTGTCCACGCGGCGTTTGCGCGTCCTTAAAGTCCGGCGGCGGTTTGGTCAAGCTAGCGGCAGTAAGACACTAGCAAGCAAGCCGAGCCTTCGCAGCAGTGGCTGTTACGCCAATACAGACTGCCTGGCTGCATGCATCACTCTCGCAGCATCATCACGCAGCCTTGATAGGCGCGCTTGCAAATTTTGGTGGCGCCTCGTGATAAATTGGCTGCGTTGTGCTGCACACAAGCCTCATACCCATGGCGGACACCTCAAGCCTGAGCCCGCAATACCTGAAACAGCTCCGAGAAGAACGAGAGGCGCGCCTGGCGGCGAAGAAGGGAGCCTCGGCACCGGCGCCTGCACCGCCGCAGCGCCCGCCCGCGCCGCCGAAACGCGACGACATCGTCGAGATCGAATCTAGCGACGACGAAGTACAGATCATCGCCTCGGCGCCGAAGCGCAAGCGCGCCGACGACGATGATGAGGTCCAGTTCCTCCCGTCGCCGCCGAAACGCGGGTCGACCGGCGGCACGTTCTCCTGCATCATCTGCATGGACGACGTCGAGCGGTCGCAGCGCCTGAAGCTGCGGAACTGCGGCCACGCGTTCTGCGGCGAGTGCGTCGCGGGCACGCTGAAGGCGGCCCTCGACGACAAGAAGGTTGACGACCGGCTCCGCTGCCCGGACACAACGTGCCGCAAACCGCTAGACGTGTTGGATGTAAGAGCCTGCACCTACGACCGCGGCGACAAGGCGACGTGGGCCAAGTACCAGGAGGTCGCCACGGAGGCGCTGCTCGACCAGGCAAATGCAGATGAAGGCAACGAGAAGGGCCTGCGCCGCTGCCCGGGCGACAAGTGCAACCACACGTTCTACTACGAGCCGCACGCCACCAGTGGAACGCTCCACATCTGCCAGAAGTGCCACGGTGCATTTTGTCTGGGCTGTCCCCTCGTGGGGGGCAAGGTCGGCCCGGCGCACGACGGCAATTGCGCCTACGTCATGCAGCAGGAGGCGGCGCGGAAGGCGCACCAGGAGAAGTACGACAAGTGGTCGATCGAGAACGCGCAAGCCGACGAGAAATTCAACGAAATGATGCGCAAGGAGCGCCAAAAGGGCGCTACAAAACCGTGCCCCAAGTGCAAGCAGGCGATCACGAAGAACCACGGCTGCGACCACATGACGTGTGTCCGGCGTCCGATTTTGTGTTCTCGGGCGCGTCGCGGCGACGGCGACGGCGTCGTCACGCGACCGCGCGCAGGTGTCCCTGCGGCCACGAGTTCTACTGGTCGACGGGGAAGCCCTACCGCACGGGCCTGGGCGGCATGTTCGGGGGCTGGGGCGGCGGCGGTGGCGCGGACTACTGACTCGCGAGTAAAGTGTATGTGTCACATGGAATACTTAGTTAGCACAGCGCGACCGCCCTTCGTGGCGCGCGCTTTAAGACGACTTCGCCTCGCGCTTCTTCTCGATCTCTAGATAAGCCTTGGGCGCCCGCAAGCGCATGTTCGAGTAGCAGACCGCCGCGTGCACGGCGAAGCGCCACGGCACGCCCAGGGAGGCCATGCGCTCCAGCAGCACCGAAAAGCCGAGGAAGTAGACTGTGAGGATCGCCGCGAGGCCGAGGTGGAACGCGTAGGCTCTTTTCGTTGGGAGTGAGTAATCCAGGAAGAAGTAGGGGACCTGGCCGTTGATAAACCGGCAGCGCGCCCACGCGAACGCCGCGTAGTAGGAAGCATACGACAAGGCCAGGCCCCAGTGACCCAGGACGAGGCGCTGGCCCGATAAAAAAGCATCGATATGGAGCGACACGATATTAAAGTTGTGCACGGTGAGCTGGTCCACACCTAACAAAGGGATCTCCGACACCTTGATGCCGCCGAAATCGCCCTTGAGCCACTGCTTGCACATTGTGGGGACCAAGACATACGAAGTGACGCAGGACACCAAATGAGACGTCGCAAACAACAACTCGAAGAGGTACGAGATCTGTCGGTATGGTTGTATGTATCCAAGGGTCGCTAACGTAACTAGGCCGAAATAGATCGTCTGCAGCGTCCAGGTCTGGATCGTAAATGTTGCTAATCTACCAACACCAGCTAAAACTTGCGAACCCATGCTCTTTAGTTGAGACCCGGGCTGGTAGTCGATCTTGATGTCGATCGGCGGCCGCACGAATAAGATGAGGAAGATGCGGTGCGCCAGGATGAGGAATAGTATGAAACGCGCTATTCCCAGAGATTGTATCTCCAGTAGAGGCGCCGGTGCTAGCAACGCGGCGCCGTCGTCTTCTGTATCGTATAGTAAGAAGGAGCACGATACTATAGCGGCCGTGCCGAGGACGGCTAGCAATATAAGTTGCGGCCACGGGACGGGAGGACCGGTCTCGCGCGCCACATAGATGCGACCGCTTACGGACTGGAGCCGAGGCTTGATGGTCAGGCGCTCCTTGTGCATGGTTGATTGGTGGCTTGCAGTGATTTGGGCACTGACACGTGAATATGTCCGGAAACTTTGAGTTCACAGCGCAGCGATGGCGTAAGAGACTCGCGCACTGACGCGCCGCGTAAAACTACAGGGCAATGGCAGCTTTCCAGGCTGAGACGCGCCGCGATGCCCAAGATTATCTAGCGGCTTGTAAGATACTAGCAATGCAGGCATTGCCAGGCATTGCCGCTCCGCCCACTAGTTCTAGCACCGTAACAAGACAGGCGCCGGACGCCCGTCGAGTGCTGCCTAGGTCACGGGTTTTCGCCGCGTAAGAACGGGGTTAAAAACGAGCCCGCGGCACGCCGCCGACGCGAGGGACGGATATAGACACCGATACTATAACTTTTACACCCGCCGCCGCGGCAATAACCTCAACGTCGCGGCCGTGACGCCGTGGTCCGACGGGAACTTGAGGGTGGGGAACATCATGTCCTCGGTATACGTCCGCTCGCCCGTGTTGTCTCGTCCGGTGTCCACTAATTCAAAGTCCCGAGGTGTATAGAGGATGAAGTCCTTCGGGTTCCGGTCGACGTTGATATTTGTATAACGCTCGTCGAAGGCCACGGCCTTGTTGAGCTGCGGTTGCAGATATGTTCGAGCGTTGAACGTCGTATACCTCTTCACATCCATAGAACTATCAACACCGTGCTGGGACCCGAGACCCTTGTCGACGATAAAGGCCTGGTACTTGGCTGCGCCCTGGTAGCCCTCCCTCTCGTTCTCGTAGGTGTTCGCGTCGAGGCCGAACAAGAGCTTGTGGTTCTCTGGTATCTTCTCTAGTAGAGCATCGGTAACAGGAATAGTAGCTAGGCCGTTCGTGTCCCCATGAAAAGAAGCGACGACGAAGGGCCGGTTCGAAGAATCAAACACAGTAGCGGCGTACAAGTCGCCGTTCGCGACCGGAGCCTTACTAAGTGAAGAAAGTACTTCATCGGTGAACTCGGACGCCGTCGAGGGGAAGCGCTTCTTGCAGAGGAAGACCAAGGAGTTCTGGTCGCGCTTCGGGTCCATGCTCGCCGGCGCGAGGATGTGGTACTTGCTTCCCAATGACGCTGAAGCCGTCTTCACAAAGGCCGACGCGGCTTCCTGGACGAACAGGACGTCGGCGTCGCCGTACGTTCTCTCCAGAATTTCTAGGGTCCTCGAGTCTTTTTGCGAGTTCAGGGCGGCGCACAGCTCGCTTCGTAAAGGCTGCCACGTCGTCGGCGCGATGCTGTTCATCATATGCACGAGAATAGCATCAAAAATAGCCCCACAGAGCGTCTGGAGGGGAATCGATAACCTTTCTTCGTCTTCAGACAGCGCGGGGTACTTGCTCCTTTTTATAGGTAACAACGTCTCGTAGACCATCTGGTCCTTGACGCGCGTCTCGAACATGAACTCCATCCACTCCTTGAACCTGTGTGGAAATCAACCAGTGAGTCCTTTCTCGAGCGGTGAGGAACCGGCACCGCCACGCCATCGAGCTGACATCGCGTCGATGGCATTGGAAGCGCCGCGACAATTTGATTTCCACACAGCCTCGAACCACTTCTCCTGCGTGCCCAGGTCGCCGCTAAAACAATTGATGACCGTCGGCCGCATCACATTCCCATTTTCCGTCCGGATCGTGTTCGTGACCCTGTCCGGCATACTTGCCAGGCGTTTCTTGCCAAGCGTCGCATCCGTCAGGAAGCCTCCTACTATTTTTCTCGACCGAAAATCGTCCTTCCACATCTTGTCGACTTCGTCGACGCCGGCCCATCCTACGTCCTTCATTTTCTTTGATAACGAGTCCCACATCTGATCACTAAAAACCTCTTCGACTATCACGTCTCGCTCGCCCGGATTTGACACAAATTCTTGCACGTCGCTCATCAGCTTGTTGTAGGCCTTGTCGTCGTGCGTGATCCAGTACTCGAAGGGGTTGTTGTTGATGGCCGCGACGTTCCAGGTGGCTACTCTCAGGACGTTGGCGGAGGAACCTCTTACGCTGGAGACGCCGTAGTCTGTTGAGACTCCTGTTACTACTCCGACGCCGACGTATAAGAGCAATAGAGCACATGCCGCGAGCGTCGGCACGAAGACGTAGGCCGCGCCGGGCTCTCTCGGTGGCTTCGTCTCTGGCATGTTAGCGTCGCTGGATATGTACGGATTAGCTCCTCCCTTGCGCGAGCGGATGGGGAAGTCAGACATGCAGCCGCGCTCGGCGGCGGCGTTGATGGCGCTGCGCTCGGCGGCGGCGTCGACGTGCTCGCGGCGGCGTCGATGTCGGGTCGGTCGGATGCTGTGAACCGACGGCGCTTGTGGATGCGTTTTTGGACTCGGGTATGCTGCGTCGCACTTTTGTACGACCGATGCCTTAACCAGAGAGTGCGCAAGTGCTCCAGGTCCCTGAAACTCGAGCCGCGGCCGCAATTTTGCTAGCGGCCTGTAACACACTAGCAATAAAGCCTGAGCCTAAAACGGATCGCTCCATGACGCCCCGTCGCCGCGAACGTAAAAGAACGTATACGGTTGTTAAGAACGACTAAGGAGGCAGCCCCGACGTCGCCTTCCACGCGTCGGGCAAATATAGGAACTTCTCGAGCTTCGACACGTAGGCCCTTTTGCGAAAGTTGTCGTAGTCGTTCTCCTCGAGCTTGTCCAGGATGCCCCGGTAGACGCGCAGCGCCATGGCGACGCCCACCCTAGCTTCCGGCGCGAGCATGGGAATCCCCGCCTCGGCCTCGACGTAGTAGTCTCGCGCTCTTTGTATTTCAAACTTCATGAGGTCCTTGTAGTTCTCATCGAGGACTCCTTTGATGATCTGCTCCTCCGTGACGCCAAATTTTGCCATATCTTCTCTGGGTAAGTATATCCTTCCCCGAAGCGCGTCCTCGCCAACGTCTCTGAGGATGTTCGTGATCTGGAAGGCTATGCCTAAGCTGAGTCCTGGTGGTATCGCCTCCTCCAAAGTGTGTGTTGTGGAAGTACCGAGTACCGGCAAGACCATCAGCCCGACCGTACCCGCAACCCGGTAACAATAAGTATACAATTCATCCCAGGTCTCATATCGATCTTGGAATAATTGATGACCGGGCGTGTCCATGAGCATGCCGTCGATCATGTCGTTATAAGGCTCGATGTCCATCGACGGGTAGTTCTTCTTCGCATCTGATAAAGCCATATCTAGGGCATCCGTCGGCTCCTGGACCCAGATGCGGTCCAGGCGCTCCTTCCACAAGCGTAGGTCTTCCTCCATGCGCTCGGGCCCGAGCATGGCCGCGAGCGGCGAGTCGACGATATCGTCCGTCCGCCGGCACCACACGTAGATGGCCCAGACCGCCTGCTTCTTTTCTTGGGAGAAGAAAGTGGTACCAAAATAAAATGTTTTGCTGAAGATCTTCGTAATCTCGCCGCACCGCTTATAGGCGTTCGCGAGCTCGGCGCCGTACGACTTGCCGTCGACGGATGGTCTGCTGGGCAGGTCGTCGCCTACCACCGACGCGGCTATCCGTCGTCTTGCTCGCGTCGCGGGCACGCGCGGCGTCGGCGCGACGAGGGCGCTCGCGCTCGCTGCGCAGAGGGCTGCTGCGATAATGGATCCTCGCCACGTCCTCGGCGGCGCGCGGCGCTGCATAGTTTGCGGCCTCGCCGGCTCTTCTGCTTGCTCCCTACTGCTCGCGGTGGCTGGATCCATGCAGCTCAGCTTATGCGCAGACGAGCAGCTACGATGCGCCTGCGCCTGCAACCAAGTAAAAACTTTTGGCCTGCTACTACGCTCCGGTATCCGTCTGCAGAGCAACAAGAGGGGTCTGTAGGGTTACAAGAGTGTGAATTTGCGTCGTGAGCTAGCGTTGTAGGACACTAGCAAGCACAGCCAAAGACGGCCTTGCAAAAAGCTTGCTGCATCCCTCTACCTGCGGATAAATTTGGCCAGCATTCATCGTTATTGCTCGATACCTCGGCGCACAGCCAGCTCTTACCTCGCCACCAACCGCCGCACAGCCCTAGCAGCATGCTGCGCCTCCTCACCACCTGCGCACTGGCAGCGGCCAAGACGTCGCCCTACTCCTTCTCGCTCTCGACCTTCAGCCCGGAAGGGAGGATCCAACAGATCGAGTTCGCGGGCAAAGCGGTAGATAATGGCCCGCCCTGCGCCGCGATCACGACGCGCGACGGTGTCGTACTGGCGAAAGCGTATAAGAAGAGCGACAAAGCACTCGTAGTCGAGGGCCACAGCTTGCACATTTTGCGGGTGACGGAGACGACAATAGCAACCTATGCGGGTCTACCAGCCGACTTCCGCTCCCTAGTGGATGCAGCGCGAACGATAGCCATAGAGCTCGAGAAGACCAACGGCTTCCCGCCGTCGGCATCGATGTTAGCGACCGAGGTCGGCCGCCGCGTGCAGGAGCGCACGCAGCGCGGCGGCTTCCGGCCCTACGGCTGCTCCCTTATACTCGCGTCGCCTTCTTCTTTATTTCGTGTCGACCCGTCGGGCTGGGTCGCTCCATTGAAAGCGTGCGCCGCGGGCGCGGGCTCGGCGTCGATCCAAGCCGACCTGGCGGCCATTCTGGAAAGTGACGAGGACGGGACGACGGCTAAGCGGCGCCTCGTCGGGCTGCTTACTGCGGACGGCCGCGGCGTCGCCGTGGCGACTGTTTCGTCTGATCCGATAGAGATCGACGTGGACGCGTCGACTGGCGAGGCGGGCGAGGAAGCCGTGGCGCCGGCTGGCTAATTGTTGTGTGAAAAACCAAGGGGTATACCTACCGCAAACTTAGGAACTTTCCGAGGGCGACGGCGACGACGCCTCACGCTCACGGAGCGCGGCTCGCGCGTCTTGTAGAGCGTCCGCAATGCCCTCTGTGGTCGGGTACGCGCTACCGAACACGCGCCGCGCGGTCCGTTCCGTCTCCTCGAGCGTCGTTACGGCCTCGCGGACATCGTCGAGCGTGGCTCCGTCGTCTTTGTAGAGCGACTGCGCGTAATTCCACCGCGTCTTGAGCGTGAGTCCATCACTTTCTCCAAGAATGCGTCGCGCCACGGGCATCACTTTTAGCAACAGTGCCTTGGTTTCTTCGAAGCGCTCTAGCTCACGAAGGCCTGTTGCGTAGTTGTTGGCCGCCATGAGGGTTCTCTCATGTTCCTCGCCGTCGAGTTTCAAACGTCCGTAGTATATATCTCGCTCCATGCTTAGGGCCTTCTCAAGGCGTCCAAGCGAAGCATACGTCATCGCGAGATTGCTCTGCACGACGAGAATGCTATCTTCTGAGTCACCAAGGCGCCGCATCATAGCCAAGTCTGCCTCTTGCACGGGCAACGCGTCCTCGTCATGTCCTGCCGCGGCTAAACCGTTCGCAAGCAGGCTCATCGCCAAGCTCAGAACCTCGTCCCCCTCCGGCCGCCCCACGTACGTCTTCCAGCACGCCCACCCGAGCGCACACCTCACGACGCCGTGGTAGTCTTGTTCGCACAGACGGCACGTATCCCACCGCCGCCACCTCGCATCGAACGCGTCGTCGTCCAAATCCCTCTCCTCGGCTTCCGCGACCAAAATCTTCGCCTGCCGCGCCAGGCACGAAATGTGCGCGAAGCCAGACGCCCCGCGGCACGAGCACCCGCGCACGAGACCTTCCTCCGAGCCGTCCTCCAGACAGATGTAGCACGTCTGGCCGTCCGTGTCCTCCGCGCACTCCTCGACCGCGTCCGCGACGGCCTCCTCGTATTTTTTGTCGGCGTGGTATTGTTCGGCACCGCCGCCGCTTGCTACAGCTCCGCAGATCTTCCCGTGGCCGCCGCGGCGCCGGTCGTAGCGCTCGCAGCGCTCCGAGCAGTAGCCGGTGGCGCATGCGGCGCAGCGCACGGTCTCCTCAGGCAGTGTCGCGGCGCAGGCGTTACACAGTGTGAGAATCATCTTGACTTTGCTGCGGACGCTCAGAGAGCCTGTGTGGCTGGTGCCTTCCACAGCGACTCCGGCGCAGCTCGCAGCGCAAGCCGCGAGATATTCAAATTTCAATTATTTCTACGCGCGCAGGGCCGGCTAGTTCGATGCGTCAAAGCAGCCTGCGCTGCTCAAAACGCTAGTGGGGGTATAACGCTAGTTAATATGTGGCCGGCCCGCGCGCGCAGCACGCGTGAGGCGCCATTCAAGCAGCGCTGCGCAGGAGCTTTGCTTGATCTTTCATCTGCGCGAAACTGGACGCAGCATCGCTGCGCGCGCCGTCGCTGCACACAATACAATAGACTGGCAGCGAGGCGGCGAGGCCGCACACCACATAAAAGATGCGCCTCCTCTTCGTCGGCCATCTAGGAAGGGCCCACGACGACGAGATTTTGTTCGCGAAGCCGGTGCGCGTCCAGCGCTTTTCGGTTGTGCCGCACTCGACGCTCGCGCACGACGTCGTCGCGACGACCCAACAGGAACCCTTTGAATTAGAATTGAGTTTTCAGAAGAAGGACGCCAAGGAACTCAGTCAAATACACAAGGGCCCCGTGTCAAGAGGCGGCACGTGCGACGTGAAGGAGCGCGTCGTCACCTCGAAGCTCGCCTTTAGAGGCGACTACTACCGCGTCTGCGTGGCGGTCTACGGCGAGTTAGCTGACTTGAAAGAGGAAGCTCGCTTAGAACGGGAGGCGCTGGCGGCGGAAAAGGCCAAAAATGCCAAACCCAAGCCACCCCCCGAGTTCTACGAAACGCCGTCGCGCGACGGCGCTCGGTTGCTCCTGGATCCCGTTGTGGATCGACTATTGCGAGGTGAGCAGCAGGACGCTACTACGATACCTTCATCCTTGGAAGATGAGGCCGAGGACGAATGGCCCTCGGACGTGACGCCGCAGCAAGCGCTCGAGAAGCTGCCCTCCGCCAATTGGGAGGCTCTCATACAATGCTGCTCGTCAAACATCGCTTCGGACGACTACGAGACGCAAGTGGCCGCCTTCCAGTTGATCGATCAGGCGTGTAGTGCTGGAGACGCGTCCCTCGCGTCGATGGCGTTACTAGATACGGTGCAGGCTTCATCCAGTAGTATCCTCGACGAGGAGTACGCGCCGCCAAGACTAGTGGAAAGTGTAGCGGGCGCGTTGCGAAGTCTCGCGGAGGCGTCGCCCGACGCGGCATCAAAACTGGACACGGCGCCCGTCGTCCGTAGACTACTGAGAGATTCACCGATCATGCGCCCCTCATTCGTAAAGGATGCGAACCGTTTCTTGAGAAGATGCGGTCTCGTACGAGCGCTCGCTTCTCTGAGAGACGCGGCGGCTTCATGTCTAGCGACGCCGACGTGGCCTAGATTACGCGATGCGACGGGCGCCTGCGACGCCGTGCGCGCTTTACTAGAAAGAGCTTGTCGCGACGCGGCGGCCCGATCTGTGACTGAACAATGGGGCGCCTCGGAACCTGTGGTAGATGCGCGGTTGCTGGACGTCTTATTGCGAGGCAGGTTGGCGGCGTCCTGCGCCGCGCTAGCCGCCGCGACGAGTGATTGCGTAGCCAAGGATTTTATGGATGCGGCGACGCGGCGCGACGCATCTGCGTCGGTGGCACCCTGTAACGAAGCATTGGGCGCTCTCGTCCACTTACTGAATGATGTAGAAGGCGGCGGCGCACTCTGGGCGCTCTGCCCAAGAGCAGCAGACGCCTTCGTCGAGTGCTGCTCCATCTCAGATCTTGCGGATATTGTACAGACGCAGCGGCTGACCTATACGCTAGCTCGGAGTCTCCCCGACGCTCCTGTCAAAAGACCTGAAGCCTTCGAGATGAGCGCGCCGCTGCCGGGCATATCCTCCACACAAGATAAGGACGCGGGCCCGCCGACGCGCGCCGAATTGTTGAGTGCTATTAGATTCGTCGCCGAGTCGAATGATTGTAGTAGTATGACTCGCGCCGTCTGCGAGACGGAAGGTGCGTTCGATTGCATCTTACAAGCGTCGTCGGACCCGGCCTCCGCCGAACATGCTTTAGCTTTGCTGTCATTATTCGGCGAGGCGGCGCCGTCATCCGCGTGCCGCTTATTAACCCTGAAACGAAGTGAAGTACGAAGCAAACTATGTGGCGACGGCGACCCGGCCCCGGCCTCGGCTGCGGCGCGCGCGTTGCTGAAAGAGGAATCAAGGGAGGTGACTTGCGCGTCGGTGCAAGACGTCGCGCGACGACTGCGGATTCTAGCAAGGACCACGGAGACCGTCTTCTCGCTAGAGGAGGACGATGATGCGCTAGTGACGACCTGTTGCAACACGGCCGCGTGTGTCGCGAAGGATATAGGTGAGGTTGACAAGGACGAGGACTACGAGGGCTTGAGTTATGGAAGGGAGGCGCTGGACCACGAAGCTTCATTAAGAGTGGCTACCTGCGGTTTATCGGCACTGAACGCTCGTTTAAGAGCTCGTAGAATCGTCGCGGCGAACACGAATGACACGGAGTCGTTCCGATCCTTATTGAGTGCGGCCATCAAGCGACGGTTATTATCACCTTCAGATCCTTCCGGCGTGTTTCGCGTGCTAGACGCCGTCGCAGCGAGAGTCGTACTACTGCGAGGCGACGTGCCGCCGCCTCTACTTGGAGACGTCAATGACCAAGTAAATACGGCGGCCAACAGGGTCTCGGCTCTCGGTGTGGACGGCGAGGAAGACTATGATGAGGACGTCGAACCGGTCCACACGGAGGAGGGGTTTTCAGCTTTACAAAGGTGTCTAGATACGGGCTTAGCTGCCTGTGCGTTAGCTGATACGTTGTTAGCATCCATAAGATGTTCTGAACAATGGCGCGACGAGGCGGACGTCTTGGATGTGTTGCTCAAGTGTATCTCGTCGCTATGTATTACGTTCGGTCCCCTGCTCCACGAGCGAGCCTGTGACGACGGCATGGAGGACGAGGACGAATTAAGACCGGTCGAGACGCCTCTGTATAACCAAGCTAAGTCATTAGCTGAGCATTTAGTACTCTTGTTGCGGAAGTACTGGTCTCAAACGTGGTCGCCTTCGTCACTATGTAAAGCGGTCGCGAAACTCGCCCGGTCGTCCCCAGCGGCGTGGCTCGGCTGCGCGTCCGCCCTAGAACGGTGTTTACCGCGACGGGCGCCGTGCCTCCCTTCCTCGTCACAAGATGTGGCGGATCTAGACGATGGAGGATATGTGGGCTACTCGCTCGGGCTGCGCGACTCATTGGAGGACGATCGAGCGGATGCTAGACGAGCAGCATTGCAGGCGTGTTTGGATGGGAGAAGAGGCGCGCGGAACCACGCGCGTGCGTTACAAGAAACGGCCCAAAGAGCCCAGAGATCAAGATGGGACGATGCCGTCACGAATGAAGTGATTCAGTTCGCCGTGAAGTGCCTGGAGAGCGCGGCCAAGGCCTTGCAAGGCGTCGGGTCGGAGCTCGTGGCTGGCTTAGTCGATCTCGGGCCTGTCAGTGGAGCAAAGACCGCTTCGTACTTACTCCTAGAAGCGAGAGCGGCGGTCCAGTGCGGCAAGGCCAAAGATGCGAAAGCATACGCTGCAAGGGCCGAGACGGTTCGCGCCCGCGTCCCTTTCCGATGCCATCGACGCGACTACGCCACGCCATCGACGCGACCGCTTCGGTCACGCACAGGACCACGAAAAACGGGCGGCGATGTTCGGGGAGCTCGAAAATTTCGAGGCCTGGCACCGCGCGGCGCGATTGCTCACGGGCGTCCGGGAGGCGTGTTGCTCGTCGTCCGGTAGGACGGCCCTGTTCGCCTGCGGCGCGCCGTTGGTGTTGGTCGACGCTTTGTCATTACCGAAGCCGGAGTTGCTACGACTCGCGTTGGAGTCTCTCGCGGCCCTGACGCACGACGCCCAGGAGCGGACGGCTTCTGATGATATCGAGAAATCGAGGATCGCATTGGACGCTCTCTTGGCGGGCTATCCTCCGCCCGAACGCAACGAAGTGTATGGCTCAGGCATCTCGACGACGTTTCTGACGGCCTTCGCTCGAGCCCTAGCCAAAGTTTTGGCCAAGTACCACAAGGCCGACGCGCACGTCCACGCGTCGACGGCGCGCTGCTTGGCCATTTTAGCGCGGGAAAGAAGGAACGCGCCGCGCGTCTTAAGGGCGCTGGGGGCTGCTTCCTCTTCCTCAGGTGGCTCATCTTTATTAACGAGGGCCGTAACCGGATTGACGACCTCTCTCGAAGCGCTGCGGGAGGGCGGGCCCGGGCACGCGCCCGACGCGCCCGAAGAGGACACTACCGAAGAGTTCAAAAGCAAAATCTTATCTGAAAGACGCGAGGTCTTTGAAGGATTGGCGTCACGAGCCGCGAAACTACTGCGGGCGGCGGCGTACTGCGCGAGAGCTCCAGTAGCATTAGCTTGGGACGCGCGCTGTGATCCGGTGGAAGTTAACGCTTTATTGAAGGGCGACGTCGCTGAGGGACTACAGCGGGCCGTGGGGTTGTTTGCTGATGAAAATGAGGACGCCTGGAGTGTGTTGGAAGCGGAGCACCCCGGCGACGCCACGGATGTGTTGAAAGCTTATGCCCGCGTCGCGAAACGCGCGTCGCGCGACCTCATCGACGCGTCGCAAGCGCCCGCGACGAACGAAGCGATTGTGGATGAGGACGAGAGTCTGGCGAAGCAGAGCGACGGCGACGTCGCCAAGCGCTGCCGCGAGGCGGCCTCCGAAATTGTGGGGGAAACGGACCGCCAGACGGCAACCTTACAAAAGTGGCACTCTGACCTACAATGCGTCGCGAAGCACGACGACGACGACGAGCCGCCCATGCGGCTTGGCGGGGATAGGGCTCATGCGTTGGGGCGCCACCAGGGTCTCGGCGGGTTGAATCGTGCTGGCCAAGGCTACGGCGAGCGGCTCGTCTGGGACGGCGAGGATGCTTCCCGATCTTTGCTGCGGGTCGCTGCGAAGAACGTGCCCCTGAAGCACGTGCGGAAAGCCGTCGCGGAGGCCGTCGGCGAGGAGGAGGCCGGGGCCCTGGCGTCGGACGAGGCGATCCGTGTGTCGGGTCTGTCGCGGTGTGGAAATCAATTTTTCAGGCGCCCCACGCCGATTCCCTAACTCATCTGTTGATTTCCACACAGGTCTCTCGCAGGGCGGCTGGGGCTCGCGGAAACGCGGGCGGCTCGCGCTCGGCAAGGTGCGCGCGGCCGCCGCCGCGGCACCCGTCGCGCCCGCCGCCACGAGCGGGGCCGCCGATCCTCGCGCTAGGCGTGCTGCGCGTGGCGCGGCTGCCGCCGGTATGCTCCCTGGGTCCCCTCGCGCCGCGCCCGCCATTTCCACGGGCTTCTCTGCTGACCCGACGGCGCCGCCACCGGTCGCGCCGCCGGCGGATCCGCGTGCGCGGAAGCGACGCGCGAAGGTCGTCGAGGCGCCGACTCCGGTGGACGGTGGGGTGGGGGAGGGCTTCTCGCCGCCGCCGCCGGCGACGGATCCGCGAGGCGCGCGCGACCCGCGGCGCAAGCGGCGGAAAGGGTGATCTAAATTTATGAATGACGTAGCCTAACTTACTCCTTCCGCGGGAATCTCCGCGGTCGCGTCGTCATCTCCTCCGCCGCCGCCGCCGCCGCCGCCGCTGACCTGACGATATGCTAACGCTAAAGCGAGCGTGCTGTTCTCGCGCTCCAATTGTTCACACCGTTGTCGCAGGCGAGTACACGTCGCCTCGAGGTCTTTGTTCGCGGCGAGATGCGGCTCCACGACCGCGCCGGACTCGTGCTCCGCGACGGCGCGTTCGAGTTCTTCTATTCGTCGTTTCAATGCGGCGACCTCGTCGGTTTGAGCCGCCATCGTGAGGCTGTGAGGAGGCTGTTTTTGACCAGGGTGTTGCAAAATGCTTCTAAGGAGCGCCGTCGGCTTGTAAGCTCTGCAAGTTGGGTGCGCAGCGCTTGTAGAGCACCAATGCGAGTGTTTGCGCGAAGCTTAACCTATGCAACGCGACGCTGCAACAAAAAGCCGGAGCTTGCTAGTGTCTTACATGCCGCTAGCACCGGTAAGCAGCGGTCTGCGGCAGAGAATTGCTGCCAGGCTGCATTCTAGGATTTCCAAGACGAACAGGCCACTGCTCGATTGCACGGCTGCAACTGCACGCCAGCACGCCATCGATGCGATCCATGGCTGCCATACGAGCGCTCCTGCTGCTGCTCTGCGCGGCAGCCTTCGACTACAAATCCATCTCCGTCAACGCGCCACGGCGCATCGTCACGCAAGACGACATCGACGCGAAGTTCGAGGAGGTCGATAAGCCGTATGCGTTGTATCCCGTCGACGGGCCGGCCGAGGAAGGATTATGCGTCCTCGCCGAGATATCACTGAGCTCGCCCGGCTTCGAATGGAAACGGGATAATTACATTGTGGAGCTCCTCGACGACCAGGCCGAACCGTTTGCCGCAGTGTCGCTGGGGATCTGTAGGGCCGCTGTTTGTGCCGGAGAAAAGATTGATTTCTCCTTTGCGGTGGATATCGACATGCGAGCCGCCCTGCTGCCCGAATTTGGCGAATTAGAACAGGGCACGACGTGCGCCTGCCGCGTCGCGGTGCGGCGAGTAGTAGACAAACAATTAGACTATCGAACACCCGACGAAAAGAAGGCAATAATTGCCGACCGCATGCGGGCGCGAGCTGTCAAGGACTCCGAGGCTGTCGCCGTCGCGCTTCTGCGAACCGCTGCCCAGGACGCGCTCGGGCCGGACTGGGCGCGCGACGAGAATCTTGCGGAGGACGCCGTCCCCGCGTTTCTCCTGGGAAACTGTGACTTGCGATGGGTCGACGCGTGATTTATAGTTTACAAAACGGTCTTATTACAGGGTGTCGCACACGGGAGGGGAAGAGTGTGGGGGGGGGCATCCGCGACCGGGGAGCGCTGCGTCTAGGACTCCGAGTCGAAATCGAACTCGGGCTCGACGGCGTTCTGCGAGGGCGGCACCGGCGCCGGCGCCGGCGACGGCGACGGCGCCGCGGGCACCTCAGCAGCTTCGCCCGGGGCCGGAGCCGCGACCGGAGCGGCGGACGGCGGTGCGTCTCCGTGGCCGCCAACAATGGTCATCGCCATGGCCTGGGCGCTGCTCATGGTCATATAATCCACCGGAGCCGACGGAACCGGAGCCGGCGGAGGAGGCTCGATGATTTCGCAGTCGTCGCTCGACGACGCATCCGGTTCCTTCTTCTCCTGACCATCATCTAAGTCGCTCGGCGCCGGCGCCGGGGCCGAATCTAAGGTCTGCTCCGCCTTCGAAGACGGATACACAGCATTCAGGAAGTCCAAATCGTTCGCGTCATCACTATCTAAGTCGCTCGGCGCTGGCGCCGGGGCCGAACCGGAGATCTGCTCCGCCGTCGCAGACCCCTCCAGAGCATCATCATCTTCAACACCTTCTTCATCAACACCAACACCAACACCAACACCACCAGCCTTAGCATCAACATCTTCGAGGATGCCCTCAAGGTACCGCTTGACCGCCAACACAGACTGCATGCTTTTCTTCGGATTCTTCGGCCAGTGCTTGGGGGTTTTGATGTAAGCTTGAACGGGCCATGGCGCCTTCGGCCCAGTGAACCCGTACTTCGTCAGCGTCTCCCGCACGTCCTCCAGGTTCAATTTGGAGTTTTGCTTCCGCTCTTTTTGCTTGTTGATCGTCTCTAAACATGACTCCGCGTCCCTCGCCCAGTTTTCGTCCAACGCCTCGGCGGGCGCGGGCGTTGCTACTCCAAATCTAACTCTAGCCCCCTTCTTAGAAATGGCGTTGCCGTCTTCATCCAAAAAGCCCTTTTTGTGTCCAGAGGACCCACGTTCGACACCCCATTCCCGCGACACAAGCTCGACGTCTTCATCCGAAGCACCTAAGGAACGCAACTCCGCCACGAATTCCTCTTTGAACTGCTCGTCCGACACTAGGGAATCAGGGTGCTTTCCAGCTAGCCTCGTCGTGAGTTCATCTTTCGTAGGTGGTTTCAAGGTTCCCTCCGGGTCTGTGAAAATCAGGGACATTTGATTATACTGTTTCTGCCGGGAAGGATCAATATATAGAGGTCTAGCATTTGCACTTGCGAGAGATGGCGGTTTGTAACTAATCACATCCCAATCCTTCACCTTCTCCGATTCGTGCACAGGTAAACCGTTCTTTATCGCTACATTCCTGAGATGTAGCAGCTTGTGAGCTTCCTCGTCTATCGTATATCTTCCAAAGTTCAAGTTCTTCATGAGCTCGTCGTCGCTAACGGGAGACCAATCATCATCAAGCCCCTTTTTGCAAGTTAAAGCCGCGCGATGGATTTGGCTGGCAATTTGAAATCCCCGAGGGACGCCTCCTACCAGTGCATCGTAGTTTCTATCAGCCAGGGCGGCCAGTCGTTTTACGAGCGGTTTGTGATCAAGAATCATGTAGTTGACAGTACAGGCGTAATTCCTAGCAACATTTCGGCACCAGATCCCCAGAGAATAGCCTCCCACGAGGACGGTCCTCAAACCAGTAGCTTCACCCGGTAAAGTGCCGGAGTCCACAATCTCCTCACATTTGGACACGCGCGCTTCCAGCTCCAGTGCATAACCCTCTTCGCCGCCGTGGAATTGGGAAATATTACCTTTTCGTGCCCATTTGGAAAGATCTCGTGTTCTTTGTTCTAACCATTCCTTGTGGGCGTCAGCGTCTCGCTCTTTGAAACGTCTCTGCCACTCGCGCGAAAAAGTCGAAAAACCAGTTTTTTTTCTCTCACCGAAGCCGCGCGCCAGCCGCTGGAGATCGAATCCCGCGCGGCGCACGTCCGAGGTGTCGAGGTCGTCCGCGCGCTTGCGGAAGAGGCTCTCGGTCTTGCGACATAATGATACAGAAACGGCGGCGTCGCGCGCCGACGGCGCGACGCCGCGCTTGGCTAAATTACCGAAGAAGGGGACAGCAGCGTTCTCGATGCGCGACGAGACCGCGGCCTTGATCTCCTCTATTTTCTCGTCCAGCGCGCGTTGCTCGCCGTCGTTTTTTGGGAGGGGGAGTCGAAGGCATTCCTTCTGAGACGCCACCTTGAGAAATTGCACCGCGCGCAGCGGGCCGATGCACGGCGACTCCGTGTCAATGCCGTCGCCGTCCGCCCGGCGCCCGACTTCAGCCAAAGTGAAGACCACTTGTTTGTCCTCCGTGTCTATAATGATCTCCTCCTCCTCATCATCGTTCGTGTTCTGCGCCGTCGTGGGCGCGGGCTGCTCCATCGGTACTACCGCGGGCTGCACGCCGTCTGCGCCGCGGCAATTAGCAGTGGCCTCCTCTGCAGGCATGAGCTTGCGCAACCCGAACGCTTGCGGTCCATCATTCAACGGGGCGACGGCAGTGGTAGAACGGCTTAGGGATAGACTTCGGACCGCTTTGGTCGAACGTGCGGGACCCTCACTTTTGTGAGAGCTTTACCACAACGAGCTATAGCGCTGCCAATCGAGGCCATATTTACTTCCCTGCTGCTATAACAGAACGACGCATACATGTTCTCAGCAACCATGCCGAAAAAAACTGCCTGCGGCATCGCTACGGCGCGAGGTATGGCGTTTTGCTCTGCTTCAGGGCAGCGCGTCCGCGTCACGCGAACGCGCGGCCCTGGACGCGATACGTTATGACTCGCGGGTCGCGCGTCTACTGTCGATAGGCCAGCGGTAGCAGCACGTGGCGTGCGGTGGCGCTTTATGGCCGCTCGGTCGCACCCACGGACTCGTCGGCGTCCAGCGAAGCGACGACCACCACCTAACCGTGCGAGCGGGGCCTGGCGTCCGCTCGGTAAGTGCGGTCAGTCGGGCCGCTGTCAGCGACACGCGGACAGCTTGGTTGTGGGGCGTTGGGAATCCGGTCTTCGGGCTCCGAGCGCTTGTTGGAGGCGTCGTCGACGAATCCTCAACCAGAGATCCGCTTGCAACAGCAGCACACGACCTGACGCTGGGACGCTTGGACGCGCGGTAGTACGAGGCGCCCGCCATTCCAGCGCTGAAACACTAGATGACTAGCCGTCGCGGCCGGCCCCGCGGCGTTGGGGCGGAGGCTTCCGCGCCGGCGAGCTCTCGCACGAGCGCCGTTTCGCCGCGAGACGCGGCGCCGGGCGCCCCGCGGCAGGGCCGTGCCGCGACGCCGTCGGACGCCCGCGAACAGCCGGGGCGGCCGGCCCCGCGGCGTGGGGCGGAGGCTTCCGCGCCGGCGAGCTCTCGCACGAGCGCCGTTTCGCCGCGGAAGGCGGCGTCGGGCGCCCCGCGGCAGGGCCGTGCCGCGACGCCGTCGGACGCCAGCGAACAGCCGGTGCGGCCAGCCCCGCGGCGTGGGGCGGAGGCTTCTGCGACCAGTTAGCTCTCGCACGAGCGCTGTATTGCTGCGGAAGGCGGCGTCGAGGCTTCGGTAATGAATCAGCGGTTGGCAGTATCGACGCCTCGACCGCCAGACGAGACGAACGTTTGCGACGGTGTCACCGACCGAGTTGCACGTGGATCATGCGCGTCGGTGCGCGACATCGAACGCGGAGCGCGTCGGCACCTCGTCTGGCCGGCCGCCGGCCGACACCGCTCCGCGCCCAGGACGCCGCGCCGCCGAGCCATACGCTCGAGTCGGCGTTCGGTCGCGCGAGGCGTCACTCTGCGACCACCGAGGACGGGCGCCGCCGCCGTCGTGGGGACTTTAAGTTATTGGTGTGTGTAGCATGCCCGGCCGGCCAGGCGGCGGATGCATCACCGTCTCTGGCTGCCCCACGAGGCATAGTAGGGCGTCCTAGCCTTCGCTTGAGACCTAAGTTCACAGTCTCCGCGTCCGCCTGTGACCCCGCGCGCTCAAGTTTTGGCAGTCCCCTCTTTTGCAAAAACGCTGCTGTTCATAGCATATTAGATCATTTACCGCAATAATGCCCCACTATGGTGCCGACGACTTCGAAATTGACCAGGCGGAGCTCGACCGCCACCTGGCGGACCTCGAGAAGTACAAGGCAGATGGCATTAGCAACGAGGCGCGCGACTATTTCAAGAGCGCATTGTGGTCCAAGATGCGGCAGCCCTTAATAGACTGGTGGGGCCCGAAACGGGACGCGATTTCGAGGGAAATGGGCGCGATTAGGATGCAGCAGCACTGCCAGTATCTGCTCGGCGCGTGGAAGAAGAAGACCAAGGAGCTGTACGCCGAGGCGTGCAAAGCCATCAAGCTGCCGGAGGAGTTCCGCCACGGGTTCTCTATTATCCCGGAAACCAACTACATCTACAAACCCCCGTCGCACGTCGAGAAGAAGGGCACGGTCATGATCGTGCTGTCGTCGGGCTTCAACAAGGGCTGGGACAAGCACGGCAATTTTGATCTCAAGCTCGGCGAGAAGATCTATACCATGAAGTTCCTCTTATCTGCGGTCGATACCTACAACGTCACGGACCCGGACATCGCTGTCAAGGAGTGCCCGTATTCATTTTGCTTTGTCGAGGCCGACGCGTTCCAAGGCTGTGCCCTCACGAACTCCAAGCCCTGGTCCACCCCCAAGCCCGGCTCTCGATGTGATATGTTCGCCAAAATCGTCGTCAAACTGCAGATCGCGGCGACGCAGCCCGTCGTCCTGTGCTTGCACTCCCAGCCCGCGCGCAAGCTCTTCTACTTCAAGGAGGGCGAGATCGGTTTCTCGGGCCAGAAGGACCACCGCGCCAAGTTCCAGGACGACAAGAGCAACGACCTGGTCCCCTTCAACATCTTCATCGAGGCGTTCAACCATCCGGCGAGCGCGCGGTTCGTCCGAGCCTTCTGGCAGTGGGCGCGCGAGGCGAAGGCGCTCCGAGAGCTCCTCGGGGCGTAGGCAGGCTGCGCCGAACCGGGTAAGATTTCAAAGTATACGGGTGTAATCGTTCGATAACTTACTCACACACCGGGGATCGTGTACGTGCACTGCTCGTACGTCACGCAGCACTCGTCGCGGCACAGGTTGAGGCACTCGCCGCGTGTCAGCTGGCGCCCACTCTTCGCCTTTTCGCAGCGCGCCGCACAGCCGGCGAGGCATTGAAGATACGAGCCGTCCTTCTTAGTGCCCTTCGTGTCACCCTTCTCGCGCGGCCCGTCCGGGTTCTTGCCGCTCACGTAGGTTTTGGCGGCGAACGCCGGCGTCGTCGCGGCGGCCGTCGCGGCGGCTGTCGCGCGTCCAACGAAACGTCGTCGTGTCGTCATGTCGACGCAGCCCGCGGTGGCGATCATTGCTGACAGTAGGACTCGATGCATCATGTATGCTTCGTAAGGCTACGTCTATGCCAGCAATCTGGCGAAGCGGCGGCTGCGTCTAAGCTTGCGCCGAGCGGTTGTTGCTGCAAATATGAGTGCAGCAATACAACTCGTTTTTTTAACTCTTCTGCTTGCAACCGTGCAAGCTTGTTGTGCAGCTGATGAGATCGTCAATCGATGCGACTTATCCAGTGCGCTCAAGGCCTCCTATCGCGATACTGCGGAGATTAGCGGCCGCAACCAAGTTGCAGCTTGCTGGCTAGTGTCTTACGCCGCTAGATTGCTGGCCTTATCGAGCGCCGTCGCAGCACGCCATGCTACGCATTCAATCAAAAACTTGTATTACGGGCATCCTGCCGCCGGAGTTGGTCGAGCGGTGCCTCGAGTTCTTGCCATTCGAGGAGGTTCACACCAATGTAAAACAAGTCTCAAAAGTGTTGCGATCGGCGGCGCGCCGAAGCCTGACGCGCGGGCGCTGGCGGCCAATTAAGTACGTCCTCGAGAACGCCATAGTCACGAATGCGCTGGAACGGCCGTCATCCGCCGCGGAGACCGCGCAGTTCCGGGAGGCGTGGGCGTTAGACCCCGGACAGGTGTTGTTGGAGCTCGTCGTGCTGTGGAACAATAAAAGGGAGAGTCACGCGGAGGGCCCTAACGGGATCGCTTCGGCCACTTTCTGGATTTGGGACCGTGGTGCGTGGGACCGTGGTGGCGTGGGCGCGGTGTTCAGGCCAAGCGTGGCGCGTTTCCTGGCACTCGTCGAGCCGTCTATAGACGGTCTCGGACGTCTCACGATGGCCCTCGAACGCGTCGAACGCTACCTCGTAAAAAAGGGACCAGGGCGCTTTGAGACAGTGATGCCCATTAAATTCTTGAGTTTATGGACGGAACGACTGGGAGAATCCGCGCTCGTTACTAGGTGGCTCCCAGGGTACGCAGGGAATGAGAACCTCATGATGAACCTCGACGAGCTCTTGAATCCCGAGTCGCTTGTGGGCTCGGGACTGGAATCCTGGGCGGAACCGAGCGATATGATGAGTTTCATAATTTGGCTCAGCCCTGAGGTCCGGAGCTGGCACCTCGGTGAAGTTCACAGGTTGAACGACATAGCGCGAGCCTTGTCGAGGAATTGGCAAGACCGGCAGAAAGCAGACGCGTTCGTTGCTGACGTTGAGAGCAAAGTCCAGCAAGGCCACACTGCCAGTGGTTTATTACATCATTTGGCGACTACTGTGTTTGCCCACCGCTAGACCCACCGCCTAAGGCCTAACTGTAAGTAAACCTATCCCGGCGGCTCCCGATCATGCCGTCAACGAAGTCTTCGACGCACGGCGTCGACGCGCCACGCAAGGCATCATCGGACGAACCACACTTGCCGCAATGAATATCTCGGACGAATCATATTACTCACTATGCACATCACTTTTCAATCGGGATACGCGGCTCCTACAAGTCCAAGTCCCACTCCCCGACCGCTGCCTCCGACGCCGCCCACAGCGCGTCGCGGTCCGCCTCGAGGCACACTTTCTCGAGCGGGTCCTTCAGGACGGGCGGGCCCGTGACGCCTTTCGGCTCCCAGAGCTCTCCGCTCGAAACAGCGCTTGACAAACAACAGTGGAGGAGCGGCACCGCGCCGTCTTCCGGGCTCTGCGACCACCTCATGAACCACGTGCCGCTCCCCATGCCCCCGTCACGGGCGGTCGTCGCCTGGAGCTCTGTCGCCACGAGGCCGGGAGCCGCGCACAAGGCTTTCACGCCGGAGTCGCCGAGCTTGTCGTGTAACGCAAGAGTAAAGCAGACGTTGGCAAGCTTGGTGTACGCGTATCGTACCCATCGCGCACCACCGCAGATCATGGAGGCTCCATCGCCGCCGAGATCACCGCCATTCTTCCCCAGGTATAACTTACAATTCTCAGCCGTGAGTTTTGTGCCCGGCGGCCCGTTGCGCGCAAAGGACGAATGATTCACGATGCGAGCTTCTCCTCGGAGCTCGACGGCCTTTTGCAATGCCGGATGCAACTCCCTCGTGAGCAGGAAGTGCGACAGGTGATTCGTCTGCATCTGTATGTCGTAGCCATCCTTCGTTGCCCTATCCGCCAATGCCATGACGCCTGCGTTATTGGCGAGGACGTCCAGGCCCGACTCCTTCGTTTCGGCTGCCACCTGTGCTGCAGCTTGTCGCACCGAGTCGAAGTCAGCCAAATCGCAATCGACGTGCGTCACGATGCATTCCTCGGCAGCAACAGCCTGCACCGCAGCGAGAGCCGCCTCGGCGCGCGGCGACGGCCGATTGAGCAGGAAGACACGCGCAGCGCCTTTCTTCGCGAAGAGCTTGGCAACAACTAAACCGGTCCCAGTGGTGCAGCCGGTCACCGCGTATGCCTTGCCGGCAAGGCTGCCCTGCTCGGCCTCAAATGTGGGATAGATGATGGATTCCTTCACCGGTGGTACATATGCAGAGTTGCCCATTGGATTGGTTCGTTCGGGGGCTGTCTTTTTGGAGCTTTTGAGATATTGAGGGCAGCGCTGGCGCTCAATCTCTTGCCCAAGCTAAAACACGGTGCTAGCGTAGCCTACACACTAGTTTGCCCCTGCGTCCTAGCCGGACGGGTGGGCCCGGGGGGAGCGGGGGGGGTACGGGGGACCCTGCGACGTAACTAGCCTGAGCCTGAGCCCCAGGCAAAACTTAAGCTTAAGCACAAAAAAAGTTGACCCGCGGTGGGCTGCCCGAACCCACTCACGTCGCAGTGGTGCATGAGCTGCAAGAATGGGTGCCTTCCAGTCGGTTCCGGACGACGTGCTCACCGTCAAGCTGGCCCCCTACTTGATTGGGGGGCCGATAGTCTCACTAGAACCGGAGCAGTTGCTTGTCGTGCGCGAAACCTGCAAGAGCGGACGCGACCTGGTGCAACTCGCATTTAACAATACCGCTTTGCACATGCCCGTGAATTTTAAGCCACCGCCGACACCTGATGGTTTGTATCCCCCAGAGCCGCTGGAGATGCGAGCGTCGGCTCAAGTCGTGGAGGCCATGGGCCGCGTTTTCGGCCTCGCCTGCACGGCCCTTTATACCTGCGGTCGCTCACCGGAGAGAATCGCAGCGCTCGAAGTGTTCGTGTCCAGAGCGAGCCGTTTGAGTGTGCTCGTCCTGTACGACGCAGCGGTGTCGGAGGAAGTGCTCGTGCGGATGTGCCGCGAGTCGCCAACGCTAGAAATCCTCCGCGGCCCAAGATACATGGAGACGTCAGATGAGACCATCCGAGCCATCAGTATAGCTTGTCCCCATCTACAAAATGTCAGCTTCTCGCGCTTGGGGAGGGATTCGGGTGACTTGAGCCCAGTCGAAAGTTACGCCCGCCTCTTTCCTCAGCTCAGAGATTTCGAACTTCACGGAGGCGAGTGGATCAGTTATACGCCGACACACGTCGAGGCCATACGCGAGTGCGCGCTCAACTCGAAAGCAATCGATCTAGAGCTAGAGGGGTGCCACATCACCGCCGACGTCATCCGGGCCATCGTCGGCACGCCCCTCGGCGATCGTATCCACTCGTTAGGTTTTATCGAGCCTGATGATGATAATACATATCCTAGGGGCACAATCATTGAGCCGGATGCTTTTCTCGCGGCGGCGCACGGTTTCCCGAAGTTGAGGAATTTGTGCGTACCGATGGGGTCATCGACGGCGGGACCTGGATTCTATGTTGACCTATCGAGGGCGACTAGTCGCATCATCAACCTCGAAATTTGCGCCGTCGACACGACTGACGCCTGTGTCGCCGCTGCGTGTGCCCATCTGCGCTTGGTGCGGCTCACGCTTACTGGACTTGATGACTTAACCTCAAGCATCGTCGAGGGAATCAGTGCTGGCAGGAGCGCGAGGACGCTGAAAGGCCTCTGTATCCGAGACTCTGCCATTGAAACGGATAGTCCCCTGCGCGCCGCTGATATGCTACGCTTGCTGCAAGGCTGCCCGAATCTTTACGATCTCACCTGGTATATCGGCGAGGCGCATCAGGCGCGCGCCGAGCTAGACGACGCGCCGTGCGAAGCCATCATGGAGCTCATGGAGAGCCGCGGTGGTGATGTTTTGTGCTACGCGGGCGGGAGAGAATACCCCGAATTTGAGCCGCCGGAGCCGGGCTGTATTTTCGATTAAGTATGCGAGTTGTTTTAGGTGCGGGTCGCTTCTTCATTGTTTTTTCTAAGTACAGTAACACACTAGTATCCCAGGATGCGAGCTCGACTTTAACGGGCCTTCGCGACGTCTCTGGGACACTGATTTCATAATGTATGCTCTTAAAAGATGCCTCGCATTCTTACTGCTCTCCGGGAGTAGTTCCCTCGCGCCCGCGCCGCGGCCCAGCGGCAGGTCTGCTGCCATGGAAGGCGCAGATCTAAAGGCTAAAGCGAACGCACAGAACGCTCCGAGCTTAGCCAGGCGGCCCAGCGGCCGCGCGCCCTCGTTCTCGAGCCAGGACCTCACCCACCTCGTCCAGAACGAGCTTGCCCCGAAGCCCCCGAAGCCGTGGCTGCCGCCGCAGCTGTCATTCCGCACGGGCTTCCCAAAAACCAGCCAGGCTGTCAATGAGCTGAAAGGCTCCGTGAAGGCGTCCGTCGCCGCCGTGGACGAGCTGAAAAGCTCGTTAAAACAGTCCGTGGAGGCAATTCCGATCTACCGGAGCATACAATCGAAAGCGCGGCGAGCGCGGGACAAGGTCGTGGAGCAGAGGCGACCAGCTTCGCCGAGCCGCGCGCCCGGGCTGACGAGCCAGGACGTCGCTACGTTCGTGCAGCGCGAGCTGCCATCGGCGAAGGCTAAGGATTGACTTGTATACTATATCCCTACTTAGACTTCAGGTCGATCACCTGCGTGTACGGCGTCGGCACGGTCCACGGCTTCGCACCCGCCAGGCAGCAGTTGGCCTGGTTGTGATCAAACGTCGAGTTCCCGTGGTCCCTATGCCCTTTCCATGAGTCCTGGTCACACTTCGGTTCTAAGAACCACAAGGCCATGTTCTTCAAATACCGCAGCTTGTCCGTCCGCCCGGCCGTCCAGCACATGTGGAAGACGTAGGGCCGCTCCGTGCCGTCGACGAACGACTGCATGATCGCCTTCTTTCTGTGGAAGATCTGTCCTTGCGGGAACAGCAGGGGGTCCAGCACGCCCACCGTCAGGCCGTGCCGCGCCATGTGTTCTAACCTGTGTGAAAATCAAATTTTACGGCGCGTTCGGTCCTGAATCGTCGCGTCAACCTCTACGCCATCGACGCGCCGCCCTGCTCGATGGCGTGGCGATGCCGGTTCCTCACCGCTCGACCGACCCAGGAGGGCCGCGTCATCGCCGAGAAATGACTTAGTGCACCCGACGCGCTGATTGATTTCCACACAGGTTCTAACAGCAGCATGATCAAGGCGTGTTGATGAGATCGAACAGCTAAGACGGTATCATAAGCCATCAGCATGCGGTGCATGAAGAACTGCGTCCGCATGTTATTTCTGATGAAGTAGAACCCCGAATTGGTGTAGAGCGGCGTATATCTAGCACTTCGCGCCCCGTCGTCCATGAAGAAGCAATCAACCTGGTCGTCGGCTTGCGTAAAAAAGTACTCGATCGGGTCCCGCAACCACACGACGTCCGCGTCCTGGAAGAGCGCGTGGCGGCCCGTCGCGACGACACTGTAGACGGACGTGATCTTGAGCCACCTGCGGGGACCGACGCGTCGACGGCGTCGCGGCGGTGGCGTCGCGTCGACGGCGTGTGCGATGAGCCTCGACGCCATCGACGCGAAGGAACCGCCTCGACGAAGCACGTAGAAAAGGACGCCGGCGCAAACATCATCCTTACAAACGCATAATCACCATACGCTTTAGCAGCACCTTCCGGTAAATCACCCAAGGCGCTATCATGGAACGACGCCAGCCCGAACAGCTCGACCTGCTTTGAGGTTTCCGAATCACCGGTAAACACGAGCGTCGACGCCAGCGCCCGCTGGACCTCCGGCGGGCCCGCTCTGCAACTACAAGCGAAGTTCGCCACGAGGTCTAGAGTGCCTTGGTTCGTCGCCATGACCACAACTGTTTTTCGATTCGCGTCGAGCTTTCTCCTTCTTATCAATTCGTCTATGCGTTTGATGACGCCTTGCGCCGTCGCGCCGAATTTCGCGGTGGTCGTCAGCGCCTCCATGAAGGAGTGTTTCTTCGGCAGCGTCTCCTGCTGGGCTATTATGAGCGATCGCTTCGCGAGGCGTTCAGGAGTATAAGCAGCAGCACCAGCGTGCTTGTGGAGGCGAGGGGCCTGTTCCAGCCGCTGCTTCTCCAGGACCTTGCCCCCCGACCTGTGTGGAAATCAAAATTTTATGGCGCGTTCGCGCTGAATCGTCGCGTTGTCCGCCACGCCATCGATGCGACGCCTGCTCGATGGCGTGGCGATGCCGGTTCCTCACCGCTCGACCGAGCCAGGATGCACCCGACGCACTGTTGATTTCCACACAGGCAGGGACGCGTCCGTCCGCAGCATCGTGTAGATCGGCAGTCGCGAATCGAAGACCGCGAGACAAACATCGGGCTTGCTATCGGCAACGACGACATCAATCTCGCTACACGTGGCCTTCGCCGCCGCCAAGGAAGCATTCACGGGTTTTCTCTTCGTAAACAACAACCCACCCCGGCTGATGGTCGTCCCCTGGACATACGGTAGCGACGCGAGCGTCTCCCTCCATAAGCGAGCCCTATCGAAGGCCCGCACGGAAGCCCACTGGGTCATGTCCAGAGAAGCCTCTCCACCAGAAGATTCATGAGAAGACGTGAGGTCCCGCACCTGGTTCTCGAGCTCCTCGATCTGGGAAATGGCCTCCGAGGCCGATTGACACTTCGGACATTTTGTAGTCGATCGCTCGAGTTTGCTGAGGCGTATCAGTGCATCATCTAGCGCGTGCCGCGTCCGGTTCGCCTCCTGGTGGATTAAATGTGTCCTAGGTTGCGGCGAGCAGGGTCTGATGATCTTGCCGTGGCCGAGCGCATTGGAATCGCACGCGTGGAGGCCGTGCACGTGGCCGAAGCTCCAACCTCCCACAAAACCGAGGGCTGCGCAGGCCGCCGCTAGTAATAGGTTCGATTGACCGCTCTGCTGCCGCGTCGCGCGCGCCATGTGGCTGCGGTTTCCTGCTTTTGACGACGTCGAGCTAACGATCCCCGGCACACGGCGCGAGGTCGATATGGCTGCGGTTTCCTGCTTTTGGTGGGTGTAGCAAGCCGCAGCAGTGAAACCGCTGCGGTTTCGGCAGCAGCGCGACTTGGTGCCACCTGTGGAGAGTGTCAGCAGTGCTCAGATGCAACTATGCGGCGTCGCGCAGCGCTGGCCAAAACTTTGGCCCCAAAGCTGTGTGCGTCGGACTAGCGCCGAATCTACATAAAGAGTCGTCTCCCGGGCCAGATAAGTCGTCGTGTCGAGAAACCGCCAGCCTGCGGACGTTTCTACTTTGGTGCTAGTGTCTTACAGACCGCTAGCCTTCGGTGCGCGGCGCTTTGCTATCTAAAGCGCATCTAGGGGCCTAGAGCACGAGCTCGGACGCAGCAAGCCGCCTGTGTTCACCACAGATTGGTATCTTCGAGCACTGAGAGTGGCGCTTCGCAGTGATCCCCCTAGAAGCAACACCCAGAGTCAAGAGCACTCCGCCGCGCTGCGCGAATCTGTGGTTGTAGCGCACGGATCGCAAGGATGTCGGACGCGGTCGACGCCGCCGCGGACGGCGCCGCCGAAGCGATGGAAACGGTCGCCACGACCACAACAACGCTGGCGACGAGCGCCCTCGCCACAATATCAACCTACGTAAGCGCCCACGTGGCCGCGACGCGCGACGAGGCTGTAAGGTTCTGCTCCGATGTCACGGAAAAGGCCCTCGCGTCCCTAGAACCGGAAACTTCATTGTATGTGCAAGACGTCGCGCAAGCCCTAAAGGAGGTCTGGCAATCTCTACTACTACTTATCAAGGCGTTGTACGCCTTTCTCAAACTCGTAGGAGAACCTTTACTACGAAAACTAGCCCAAGCAATACAAAAACAACCAACAAACGTAAAAGCGGCAGAAGTAGCGTTACTCTTGACGATCTTCGTGTTATGGCGCGTAGAAGCATACCCGCGCGGCCGGAAGATGCTGAAACGGTGGCACCGGGCCTTTGTCATCAGACGCGTTTCTTTTGATGCTAAACGAAATAAAATAAAAAGGGCCTACCGCCGCGCTCTAGAACATATGGATTCGAAGTCGCGGGCTTGTATGTCGGTGGCCCCTCACGTCGCGTTCTTCGCGGTGATATTGCTCGTGCGACATGTCAACCCTACACTATCGACAGGCTTCTGGACGTCTCCTTATATAGTGTTCGTGTGCTTATCATTACGATTAGTCAACACCGATGCGGCGCTGAAGAAAGCCGCTGCTTTAGATAAAGTCGAGGACATCGTCAGTGCGAACCGGAGGCGCTACTCGGAAGATCCGCGGGCGGCGTCGGCGCGAGCTGCTGTTACTGAACAATTAAAATTCTGGAGTATCGTCGGTTTTCTAGCGGGCATCCGGGGCGGCCTTCGAGCTTTGCCTTATGCGATCAACTTGTTTGAGGATGATATAGCTGTCCTAGAGGAAGTGAGAGGCGTGTTCCTGGTTTGGTTGCTGTACATGGGCACTGATTTAGCACATACTATAATAGGACGACTACTACGATCATATACCACACCTCCTGTCCCGCAACCATCGTATAGAGACCAGCGGGACCCGTGGTGGGTGAACGAGGCCATCCGACGATCATTACCTGGATTCATAGCGAAGCGCATCGGCGACGGGAGTCGCATCCGAGCCAAAACGCTGGAGATCTGGTTCGACGTGGACGGGTGGCGGGCCCTAGCGGTTGGTACCGTAACCCTAATAACGGTCGGTCCCGTCTGTCGGGCCGGCGCCGCGTGCGTGGGCTTCGTATTACCCACGATCGCCGCTTTGAGGTGTGGGAGAGCACCTCCTTCCCGACCGTGCTACCGGGATCTCGCCGCGGCGACCGATGCGCGCGCTCGTAGATATTTGGCTTATGGTGCGGTGCTAGGTGTCAGGGAGGTTTTATTGCTGCACGATTCCGTGCGGCAGGTGTATTCGTATATGCCTTTTCGCAACCACGCCGACATCGTGGTTTTTCTCTGGCTGCAGCTGCCGGTGTTTCAGGGTGCCGTGGCCTTGCACGCGCGGTGGACGCGGCGTTATATGGCGATCGTGGAGAAGTTCCGCGACAAGGATTAAGTTCTGTTTCTTTGTCTCGTCGGCGGCGTCGACGGCGGAGGATGTTGTTACGGTGCTCGGACTAGTGGGCGTCGCGTCACCGCGGGGCGAGCTCGTTCGCGCTGAAGCGCACGCCGTGTTATAGGGTAGTACTAGGGCGCCCGAAAGCAAAGGTGGGGAGGTCTTCTAGAGACTGATGCGGGTGTTCCCGAACCCGCACCCTTGGTTCTGGGACTTTGCTGTGCGGCACGCAATACGAGGTTGTAACGAGCCCTCCCGCGTTAAGGGGAGCTGGTAGTAGTTTGCGCACCGCCTCACCGATCGGGGGCTACCCCTCCACCAAGCCTATCGCCTGGCCAGACCGGGGCTGCCCCTCCACCAAGCCTGGCTCCAGAGTAACAAAAGGACAGACAGCCAAGGACAAACAGAGCATCAGACTATGAGGCCGTCAACGAGCGCGGCGGTCGCCCTGGGCCTGACCTACCTCGCGCTTGGCATCGAGGCCGAGTGCAACAAGAACAAGCACTGTGAGACCGGCTCGTTCTGCGCCTGTAACACTGGCTCGGGCGAGTGCACGGACAAGGACTCGGTCTGTCAGACGTGTGCGAGTATCGGGTGGCCGACCTTCGAGCCCGGCACGGTCGCCTGCGAGAGATATGAAAGGGGCTGCGGCCTCACGTGCGACGGGAGCAACTACGAGGCGAGCCAGGCGTGCGCGGGCGATAGGGTTTGGTTGGATTGTGGCACTGCTTGTGAAAAGGTCTGCGGCGAGAAGTCCGACGACGTCTGTACGGAGCAGTGTGTACCGGCGTGCCAATGCCCGAAATACACGGTCCTCGAGAGCGCGGACGGTGACGTTTGTTTGAGAATGAAGGAGTGCCGGAAGCGGCGGAAAAGTGATGACGACATGACCTTCTGGGGCTTCGACGACGACGCCGAGGACTGGTACGCCGACGGCGCCAAGAAAAAAGCGGACGACGACGGCGAAGCCGCAGCGGCGTCGTCGTCCAACTCTCGAGGAGCCTCGGATGGGCTCCAGGTCGACGGTGCTGGTTTGACGGTTGGATGTGTGTTCACCGCCGGCATTCTCATTGGTGCCGCCGCGATGCGCTTCCGGCAATCATCAAAGAGGCGACCACCAACCGTCGAGCTGGGCCAGGTCATCGTCGCCGAGGAGGTCCTCAAGGACCTCGAGCCGCGACACCTCGAGGAGCCGTCCCCGGAGGTCCACTCCGTCGACGCCTCGACGCCGACCGCGAGACCCGTGTAAACAGAACCCTTGTGTAACACTATGACCCTACGACGCGGCACGCCCGCAACGCCGCCGCGAGGCGGTCCCGGTCGATATTTCCGGAATCCGACGCCGGCACGTGGCACTTCGAGACGCGCTCCGCCGCGAAGCGCGGCACGCTCTGGCGGTGCGCGTGCCATTTTGACGGGTATACGACGACCCCTTGCGACAGCGCGATGGCCGCGTAGGAGAACTGGGACCGCGCCGCGACGAGCACGTCGGCGCGCGCGAGGTGCGCTAGAGCTTCCAAAGGGTCGCCGTCCAACACGACCTTCGCGTCGGGCACCTCCACGGGGATGCGCGACACGTTCCCGTGAGCGTCTAATAACTGGGAAGACTTCTTCGCCGCGACGCTGGCGCCGAAGGCCACGACGTCCACCGAGGATATACTTTGAAGCGCCTTCACGACCCCGAGGTAGTAGTCGTCCCCCAAATTCAGACGGGCGTGCTTCGCGTACCGTTTTCCGGGCAGGCGGTCGCCGTTGCGCACGTGCAAAGCGACATTAATACCTCCGGAGAAATGTTGCAAAGGCAGGTACGCCTTTGATGCTAAGAAACGCTGTCGAAGCCACGCCGCCGTCTCGCGGTAGTCGTGCGACAGGAAGGGCGCGTCGCCGTGGCGCCGCTCCGACGATCGCGCCTTGAGCTCGAGGACGCCCGTTCCGGGCAACGACGACGGCGCCGACCACGCGTCGAAGTCCGCGCGGGCTTGTTGAGGCCCCTCCACCGCAATCCGCTCGCCACACTCGTCCCGCGGCAGCGCGTCGGCAAGTCTCAAAAGTTTATCGGACTTTTCCGAGATGCCGTAGCCCTGGCCCCGCCGATAGAGGTCGGGCGTGTAGAGGAGCGTCGCATTCAACGCAGCAGCGGCCCGTAGGCAGCCATTCAAGACACCCAACCGAAAGCCGAAGCCCGCGTAGATTCGCAGCGAGCACGCCAGGAGCCTTTGCGAGCAGGCCGCGAGCCTTCTATGCGTCTTCATGGCGACGGCGGCGGCCTCGCTTTCGGTCAAAAAACCGTGCTTCCCCCACTTGCCCCTCATGAGCGTGTGGGGGTCCACGAGAAAGGCCGCCTCGCCCGGCCGCGCGCATGGTACTTTTTTCTCCTCCTGCCCTAGTAACGAAAAGCCCTTCCGGATCCAGAACTCGTCGACGTGGCCCCGCGTGACCCGGATGCGATGCGCCAGCGTATAACCGAGCTTCTCCAGATAGTACGGCGCGCCGGAATGCAAATTCGACTCGATCGAGACGACGTCGATAGTTGTAGTCTCGAAGTCAATACCTTTAAGCACCTCGAGCTCGTGGCCCTCGACGTCGACCTGGAGCCAGTCCACGTGCTTTATTTGTTCCTTCTGTAAGATATGACGACCGGTAGTGCACGTCCGATTCGTTACCGTCGCGTGGTCCCTTCGAATGCGTGCTTTCCAGCTTTTGTTGGTCGTCAACACACCAGACCTCGTGGAGCCGGAGCCCTTGCCGTACTCGACCCATTCTATCGTCTGCGGCGTAGCACCCAAACAGTCGTTGTAGACTTTGCAGGTCCTCCCGTAGTCCTCATAATCCTTGATGTACGCCTGTGACGCCTCGACGCAGACACCTCTGGCTTGGGCACAGGCATCCAAGAAATACGACTCCGACGTATGCAAAAAATCGTTCGACCCGATGTCCACATAAACAATCTCTCTTTTCAAATGACGGAGGTGCCTTCTCCAGAGCCACGCGTCCTGGCCCGCCTCGGACGGGAAGATGGCCGCGCCGTCACTCGAGGTCGCCCCTCGTCGCAGCTTCTCGGCCAGGGTGTAGGCCCGGTGCGTACCCGACCTTCTTTTCAATTCAGGCGCGCCCCAGCACGGCTGCCTCGCCAAAGGAGGGTGGCGCTTCAGGGCGCTGCACCACGCTTCCAACTCCTTCGGGCGCTTCGTGTCGTCGTCGTCCGTCGTCCTCAAAGTCATCCAGTTGTCGAGGGCGCTCGTCGTCGCCGCGACGACGACGAGGGCGGTGCGTGTTTTCATGGTGGGGGCTGCTTTAATTTTGCTCAGACAGTCGCATGCATGCTCACTTACTCAGCATGCGGCCCGCGGCACCACGCACGGTCGCAAAAAATGCGTTCTCGGTGCGGAGGCAGCCCGGTCTGCCTTGCGCATGCCGGTTGGCTGCCTAGCCTAGCCTCTGCTTAACCGACGGGTTTTTGCGCGCGGTCTTGCGGGACCCCTCCCCGCCCCAGGGGACTCGTCGCAGAGGTCGTGCAGCGATGTGCGGGAAAAAAAAGGGAACCGCCGCCACACAACCTTGATCTGCTGAACGCGGACGCGAAGGCGCTTTGCTTGAGACCCGACCCAGAGCTAGTCAAGGTATTCGGGATCCCGCCGCGCCGCCGCTCCGTGGAGTCGTGCCCGAGTGCCGCCGCCAAGGCCGCCCCCGAAGTCTAGGTATCCTCGTCGCCGCGCGCACGGGGACCTGATGGGGAGTCGCGAAAAACACACCCACCAAGTATCCCGCACGACGCAACAACGGACCCGGGCGGGCCGACACATGGAAGCAGCTTGAATTGCTGGGGTGAGTCAACATCGCCAATGAAGGCCCGTCGACCCGTTGAATTGCGAGGAAGCCGAGGATGAATCGCCTACTAGCCCAACATGTCGCGCTGCGCCGAACGCCGCCATGACGCCTCCGCGAGGCCCTCGCGCACGCCCGGCTGGACTTAGAGATCAGAAATCCCGTGGAGATCAGATGTCGTCGTCCTCCTCCCCATCAGAACCAGATTCGGAGTCAGACGCGGTCGTGCGATACATGCGAGGAACGACATGCTCGCGTTCCTTCGCCGCCCAGGCACCCAACGTCTCCGTGAATATGAAAGGCAACTCGCGGTCCAGGTCACAATCTTTGCTATTGCCCCCATTTCCGAGGCAGAGCGCCACGATCTCAATCGAGGGCGTCCACGAGAGCCAATCAACCGCTCCTCGCCGCGAGAGCGCGGCGCCGACGCGGTCCCGCCATTCGTCGCGCGCGTCGGCCGCCGCGGGGCACTGTATGCCGCTCGAGTCGGCACCGAGAATAAAATGCGTCGTAAGCTCGTCTGGCCCGGCCTCATAACCGCATACGCAGGCCCGAATCGTGCCGCTCCTTCGCAAGCCGCCGCACGGCCACCAACACCCGCACATGACCGCGAAAAAGGAAAGCCCGGCCTCGTTCGCTAGTAGCGACCGACGCAGGTGCCGAGCTAGCTAGTGTCTTACAACCGCTAGCTGCGCAAAAGCGGAGCTTTGCCGATTTGCTAACGTGGGCCTTACAGGAGCCGCTGAACTGCATCCAGCATCCCTGCGCCTCACATTCTTGCGACGGTACAGCTGTGCGCTATTTCTGCGGCCTCCGACGCCCACCTCTCCACTCCCCTCGGGCCCGCTGCACGCCATCGCCACCTGCACGCCGTCGCCGCGCGCCGAAGCAAACAACGCGCTCGCCGCGCACAATTAACAAAACAAGCAGTCATGGAATGCGTGCGCCGCTCGGTGCCCAACGACAATTCCTGCCTCTTTTACGCCGTCGCCTACTTGGTTGACGGCCCCGACGCCGTCTCGGACGCGACGCAGAAGGAGCTGCGCCGCGTCTGCGCCGAGGCAGCGACGGCCGACCCGGACCCCGAGGCGCGCGCGGTCTTGCTGGGCTCGCCCGTCGACGAGTACGCCGAATGGATCCAGAAGCCGCACAACTGGGGCGGCGAGCACGAAATCATCGCGCTCGCGAACCATTTCCGGCGGTGCATTTGTGTCGTGTCGGCGGACGCGACCCTGAACTATGGAGACAAAGGTCCCACGATCTACGTCCTGTACACGGGGACGCACTACGACCCGCTCGTGGGGCTGAGCGACGGCGCCGAGACGCCGCAGTTCCTCGACGGCGCGGGCGCGGCGTTCGAGGCCGCGGCGCGGGACATCGCCGTGCGGCACCGCGAGAAGGTCGCGCGGCGCGACGCGTCGGAGAAGATCTACCGCATCCGGTGCTGCGGCTGCGGCGCGAAGCTCGTCGACTCCGACGCGTTCCAGGCGCACTGCGGCGAGGTCGAGCACGGCGACGACTTCGCGTACGAGTGCGAGGACATCTTCGAGGCGACGTACGATGAAGAAGCGTAATTTTGTTGTTGTTTTCTTCACGTCTTCCGATTCTTTGTTACGGTGCTAGGACTAGTGGGCGGAGCCCCTGGGCTGGGTGGGAGACACCGCGCGTCGCCGATTCACCGGCGGCGGGCGTGCCGCTTCTGTCATAACAACGTACCTTCTTCTAAGCAGAGCCGCCTCGGCAACCCCCCCCGAACAGTGTGCAACGTTCGCGGAGCTAGCGGTCTAAAAGACACTAGGAAGCCAAGCCCTGGCATTTGTGCGTGGCGATACCGGCGCTAACGAACGCGCTTGACTCGCAGCACTGCAACCGGAGCGAGTCACTGCCATTAGGCACTCATCTGTGACCTGTCACAAGAAATCGAGCTCTCGGGCGACGCCTGTGATTAGTTGCAGCACTGCTGCACGCAGGCTGACAGCACTGAAGCACAACTAGACGCCAGCCGCCGCTTCCAGCACTGCACAGCAACGATGAGCGCCGTCGAGGCCAAGACCATCGGCGAGAGCGCCGAGCAGGCCGAGGTCGACCTCACGCTCGACAACATTAGTATAGTACCCGACTCGCTGTGCATGGCCTGCGGCGGGAGTGGCGAGACGCGCATCATGCTCACGAAGATCCCCTTATTTCGCGAAGTGTTATTGTCGAGCTTCGCGTGTCCCCACTGCGGCGAGCGGAACACGGAGGTGCAATTCGGCGGCGAGACGCAACCGAAAGGGTGTCGCATGGCCGTGACATGTTCTTCCAGGGAGGATCTAGATAGGCAGGTCGTCAAGAGCGAGTCGTGCAAAGTACTGGTCCCGGACCTGGAGTTGGAGATCCCGGCGGCGACGCAGCGCGGGGTCGTGACCACCGTTGAGGGCGTGTTAACCAGAGCCGCCGACGAGCTCGCGGCCCTGCAGCCGCAGCGGCTCGTGGCCGACGTTGAAGTAGGCCGCAAGGTTCAGAGGGTGATCGATGCGCTGCGAGACCGCGCGGCCGGCGACTTTGATGAATTCCAGCTGATTGTGGACGACCCGGCGGGCAACTCCTTCGTGCAGCCCCTTTCTCAGCCGGACAGTGCTCTTACAACGACGCACTACGAGCGCACGGACGCCGACGCCATCGCCCTGGGATTTCGGCCGGGCGAGTCGAGCACGTCGAAGACCGTGGAGGGTGTCGACGATATGCTGGCGAAGCCGTCGGAAGAAAGAGAAGTGATGACCTTCGGCGTGGACTGCCCCCACTGCAGAGCGCCGGGCGAGGAGCAGATGTGCGTGGCCAAGATTCCGTACTTCAAGGAGTGCGTCATCATGTCCTTTTCGTGCGCGGCGTGCGGGTATCGGAATGCGGAGGTGAAGGGCGGCGGCGCCGTGCCGCTCAAGGGCTGCCGAGCTACATTAAAGTGCGTCGACGAGGGCGACTTGCTTAGAGATGTTTTGAAGTCCGATACCGCGGCGGTGACGATCCCGGAGCTGGATTTGGAGCTCGTCCACGGCACGTTGGGCTCGGTCTACACCACTCTGGAAGGCTGCCTCGACAAGATCGTGGACGCGTTGTTACGGGGCAACCCCTTTGGTGATAGCGCGGAGACCGAGAACCGCCGGAAGTTCGAGGCCTTCTTGGATCGAGTAAGGGCGCTGCGCGACGGCAAGGTCTTTCCGTTCACTGTGATTATGCAGGATGCAGTGCATACAACTTGTCGCGGCGCGCACCCGACTCACTCTTTGATTTTTGCACAGGCAGGATCCCCTCGCGAATAGCTTCATCGGGCCGCGGCGGGACGCCGCGTCCTTCTCGCCCATCTCCGAGGCGGGCGAGGCGCCTCCCGACCCCAATTTGACCGTGGAAGATTATGACAGAACCTTCGACGAGGACGAGGAGCTAGGCTTGAACGATATTAATGACGGGACCCTGGACGCGGTCGCGGAGGAGGGTTCCGACGATGATCTGCCGGCTGTGGATGGCCTTGAGGTAGGTCCGAAGCGCGTCGTCGGCGTCGCCGATCACGTCCGGCCAGCTCCACGAACGACGGTCGACCACCCGAACCCGGAGTTCGCGCGGGGCTGCGACGACGCGCTGCCGGCGGGGAGTGGGTTCCGGGTGCGGGGGCCTCGTAATTCATAACGTTGTGTACGCACGAAATCTTTACGCGCCTCCTCCGTCCGGGAGTGGCATGCGCGAGCAGAATGGGGGAAGGGGACCGGCGAGCGCGCTTTGTCGCTGCTTCGAGCCGGCGGTGGGTCCGCGGCCTAGGACCGCGGGACCTTAGCACGCGGAGGGCAGCGCGTCGACCGCCGAGTCGCGCGTGATGGTGGTCGCATCACCGCCGACGTCCAGCATGCACGCGCAGTCGTCCTGGCAGTAGCAATCACCGTTGGGGTACCAGTCGATGGCCACGAGGTCGACGTTGTAGATAGCTAAGCAGATTTCAAAGCAGAACTCCGGCGTATCGATGATGCTGCTATCTAACGGGACGTTCAGCCCGCTATGGCGAGGAGGAGGACGGTCGAGAAGCGCGTCATCGTGAATTGTTGGTTTCTGCGGGGGGCGCGGACTCGGGAGCCGCGCGGGGTCCGCGAAAGCTTCTGCCGTCCCCGGGGCGGCGCGTGCGGCGCCTGCAGTCTGAACAGTGGCTACAGACGATTGAGGTATTAGTCCTACGGCTTGCGCAGGACGCGGCGTCGCGCGTGGGGGGTTGAGCAACCAAAAAGGCGTACTTCGAACGCGCTGGATTTCTTTGGGACGTTGCGCGCGACTTGGTGTTCTGCGCGGTCGAGCTTTGTGAGCCAAGGCCATCGAGCACGCCCGGGCAGTTGCCCGAGAGGTGTCCAGAGAGGCCTCAAGACACCTCCGGACAAAAGAAAGGACAGTTCGACTATACAATTTAGACCCCGCGCGGGCGGCAGGGGCCCGCGCCGGGCACTGGCAAGCACTTTATACCTACCCCACATCCACCTCGTACAACGGCAGCCCCGCACCAATAAGCGATTCGCGGAGGTCTCTCAGAAAACACGCGCTCCCCGCGAGCCCCTCGAAGAGCGAGAACGGGTTGTCCGGCGTCCGCTGCCGGGCGCAGACGCCGTCGTCCCCTATGCACGTCCCAAAAACGACGGCGCGGTGCAACCATCTGGGGTCGCGCGAGACGCGATACGCGGCAAGTAGCGCATACCCATTGCCCGCGACGCCGTGGCAGAGCCCAGGGCCCTTGGTCAGGAGTCCGAAGTGCCACACAGTCTCGGCCCCGCGCAGGCACGCGTCCCGGAAGGACTCGTCGCCATAGACGCGGTGCGCCTCGGCCATCGCGAATACAACGCTTCTGCGCGCCGTGACAAAAATGCACGAGTCGCGCCTCGCGCGTCGCAGGCAGCGACGACGGCCAGTTGCCCTCGCGCGTCTCGAGGTCCCGCAGCCAATCTGCCAGCGCGCGCAGGGCCGGGTCGCGGCAGCCGGCCTTCAGCAGGAGGTACAAAATACCGGCGTAGCCGTGGGCCGCGCCGACATACTCCTTGCCATGCCACGCGTAGCGCAGGCCGTCGCCATGGCGCCCGGACGCTAGCGTCGCGGCGACGACGCGTTGAATTGCGTCGTCCAGGCCCGGCACCGCGCGCCCTTCCCGCCGCAGTTCCAAGAGCGCGCGCAGGAATCCGACGCGGCCGTAGAGCCACTCGTCGGCCTCCAGGAGCTCCGAACACGCCACATCCGTCCGCGCGACGATCGCCGCCGCGCGCTGCAGAAACGCGTCGTCCCGGGGCGCGCACAACGCCGCGACGAGGTCCACACCCGTCCGTCCGCACATGATAGAGCAGTCCTTCGCCTTCGCGGGGCGCGGCCTCGACGGCGGTCCAACCAGCTCGCGGGCCGCGTCGACGTCGCCCCGTCGCATCAGGTAGTACGCCACGCCGGGGTCTCCTACATAGACGCTGTCGTCGCCGGTCCGCCTCCAGCCGCGCGCGATCGCGTCGTCGACGCGCCGCAAAACGTCGTCCAGCGCTCGTGTAGCCGTGGCCGATAGCTCACCGTTTTCGACGTAGTTCGGAGCGCTCGGCACGCCGTAGTCGAGCTGGGTCTGGCATGGAATGCAGCGCGTTTCCATTATTGCTCGTTGTCTGATGTACTGAGAGCGGGCAGCACGACTCGCAATTCAGGGCAGCTGCGGCCGGTGAAGACACCAGCAAGCAGCAGGCGTCGTTGAAAACCTGTGTCAGCTGTGTCGTGCTTCAGCGGAGACCCTCAATTAGGCCGGGAGAGCCAGCAGAGCTAGCGGCAGTAAGACACTAGCAATGCAATTTTTTTTTTTGGCAGCCAAGCGACTGTCACGCGCTTACGCAACCCACACGCGACCTAAGGTTGGGAATTGAGGGCTCGCAAGGCTGCCCTTGACTCACCACAAAGGAATCCGCTGCCCCCCAGGCAGCCATGTCGAATGTCAGGCTGGCCACCGGCGGCACCTGGAAGACGGACACCAAGGAGTGGCGCCCGAAAGGAGGCCGCGGCTTCTACGAGAAGCAGCGCCGGCCCATCTGGCGCCTCGTCCCCGTCTGTGTACTAATAGCCGTCGCCGTCGCGTCCCTGACGATCAAACGGCGCGAGCCCAAACACAAAGCACCGAAGCTGCACCACCTCGCGCCACCCATAGCTGACCAATTGGTCCGGGCCACGCTGGACCTACAAGCCGGCGCCGACGCGCGGCTCGTCTTGACGAATCTACTATCAGAAGAGGACCGCAGCTACGTAAACGAGACGCCGACGGATATGAGAGGTCGCGCCAAGGGCCGCATGAGCGCCGCGGACCGGGCGCTTGTGTTGGCACTACTAAGTCGGCCGGGCGGGAGCTACCACCCCGGCAAGGTCCGGGGCGTGCGCCGCACGGGCCGGAGCATCGTGAAGAAGAACTGTCTCGTGTTCGGCCTGCCGGGCGACGGGAAGCGCTGGACGGACGCGGGCCATCGTTTAGTGTTCCTGGACCATCGGGAAGACGCCGTGAGGGCCGCGCGCGACGAGGGCCTCAACGCCTACGTCGTGCGCTACGCGTCGGCCCCGAAGAGCTCCTGGGAGGCGAGCCCGTATGCGACGGACCCAAAGAAACTGATAATCGACGCGCCGTCGTACGACTTCCGCGACGAGGCGCACATCTTCTGGGACTTGGTTATCGTCGACGGGCCGGACTCCGTCCAGAAGGATTCCAGTGGACGCGCCGCGCCCGTCGCCCGCGCGGCCGAGATTGTGAGGCGCCAGGCCGCGAGCCACCCGGATCGGAGGGTGGACGTGCTCGTGCACGACGCGCACCGGTCGCACGAGCTCGAGCTCGGCCTGGCCTACTTGAGTCCGCTCGCGGCCTTCGCGAACTACCGGTCGCTGCGCGCGTCGCGCGCGCCGAACTCTACTTCGGAGGTGCGGTTCGCCTGGTTCGCGCGGGCGCCGCCGTAAGTATGTGGTTTGGATAACACTTGGGGCGGCGGCGTACGAGGGCCGGGGGCGAGACGGGTTCCGTGACGAGTCGCGTCGATGGCGTGGGGTGCCTCCACACACCGACGACGGCGTTTTCAATCCTCTATAGAGAAATCACGAGGGCCGGGGGCTGGCGTACTGTCACGCGTCGGTGCCGCGGCTAGGCGGCCTAGCTCGAAGCAAAGCAACCCAGACGCCAAACCCGACCGCGGCCGCGGCGGTCGTGCCAGTGACAGACGCCGCAGGACGAAAAAATAAACACTACGAATTTATAGGCGCCCCCCGCCGCCGCCCTCTCCGCCCCACTCGCCCCAGCCGCCACTGCCGCCCCCACCAAATCCCGAATAGCCGCCGCCGCCGTGCTCGCCGCCCCAGCCGCCGCCGCCGCCGCCGTCGACCTCGCGCACAACGAACGTGTTGATCGAATGCGGCCCGATCGACCTTAAAACCAAATCGCCGTCGACCTCGAGCTCGAACTGGGCTGCACTACCGGCCTCGTTCACGACCACCACGGCCACGGCGCCGTCCGGTCGCTCGAACGCCGCGCCCTGGAAGAACGGCCAGCCCGCCGTCACGCATCTGCCATCCGTCATTATTGAACCGTGCGCCATCGTAAAGGAGGGCGCTTCGTCGCAGGCTCCCAATGCCAGAGGCGCGCCGTCCATTGTTAGATCGGAAGCATATGTTAAACACGTGTCCGAGTCCGTCTCGCGCAGCTTCCCTCCGTCGAATGCAAATTTGCCCGTGGCCGCCCCGGCGTGCTCGCGGCCCCACTGGCAGCTTACTAACGATAGAGTCTTGAGATTGGGGTCGTTCGATTCCCCAACACAGTACTGCTTCCACTTGTTGTCCTTTTGCGTGTGGTCGATCATCTCGAGGAAGGTCTCATTGGTCAACCGCCAGTTCTGGCGCGGTGTCGGAGATGAGGGTGGCCCCTCGCAGGGCCACATGGTCAGTTCAAACCCGACGGACGCTCGAGCCTCTGTGACTTGGGCGCCTCGGTCGAAGGCGCCTCTCACATCAGTCTGTACTCGTCTACTACCAGGTAGGATGTGCTTCGAGAAATGCGAGATGACATCCAAGTACGACTGGACCACGACCCCATCGAAATTACGTTTAGCATGGATCGGCGCGTCGCAGTCATTACCTAGATGGTTCGGCCCGCCCGTATAATCTAACAGTAAATTCCAGTCGACCCAGCCGCAGGCTCCACTCTTCAAAACGCGAAGCATGTCGTGCGCGTACCTTTCGGAACGTAAGAGATCCGAGTCCTTGACGCCCGGGCAATTGCAACCCTCGGACGGTAACAACTTAGCGTCTGGAAACTTCTCATAAGCGCTATCGACGGCATAATGCGCAACAGCACCATCTAGGTCTCTATTGAGTCCACCAGCGTACCAGTGGAAGGCCAGGCCGTCCACGTACTTGGACGCGTCTTTGTCTCCATATACAGTATCGCCCCACGCCACGAGGTGGTCCCGGTTGTGGTCGAAGACGAATAGGAGTAGCGAGGGGTGGTCCTTTTCCAGCCGCGGCCCTAAGTAATCTCTGACGAAATCTGTTGTGGAAGAAGCGTTCCAGCGACAGGCCTCCCACCTGTGTGTTTTTTTTCTGTGGTGTTTTTGCGACGTGTACTCGTGTGTGTGTTCTATACTCTGTGCGTTTGTGCTCCCTCGACGCCATCGACGCGACGGCGTACTCGCGAAACTGGCTGTTAGTGTGACGAGACGCCGTCGCGATGGCGTGGCACTCGACGCCATCGACGCGAGGTCGCATCTCGGCGGCCGCGCGGAAATACAAAGGACGCCGCGTCGCACGGCGCCGAGAACTCGGGCTCGTTCTGCACCGTGAAGCCCCACAACGTCAAGTTTTGTTTATTATAAGCATCAGCGAACTTCGAATAATAAAGCGCCCACGCGGCAAACGCTTCCGGAGAATTCCGCAGCCCGAGCGGGTGCGCCGACCCGAGCATGCTTCTATTGTGATCAAAGGTTATCGTCGGACGCATCGGAGGAATAGAATTAGGTGCCTTGAGCCAAGCTGGTGGCGACCACGGTGAGGCGAACAATTTGAAATCTTGGCCTCGCTTGTTAACAGCTTGCTTCGCCGCCCGCATCAGGGGAATCATCTCCGCCTGGTCGTGTTTCACCGAACCATCGAAATGCTTCAGCTCATAGTCGTCATCCACGGGAGCGAAATCGTACGATTCTACGCAAAAGTCGCACGAGTTCATATGTACTCGTCCTACCGTATAACCAGCACCATTCTCACCGAAATACAGGTCGATGACGCGCTTCCTTTCGTGAAGCGGTAAGCGCATCCAGGTCTTGGCGGAAGCCTCCGTAAAAGCTCCTCCAAACCCTTCTATCGTTTGGTACTTTTTGGACGTGTCCACTTGCACATAGCCAATACCGTTCGCGATCGTTGCGTCGAGCTGCATCGGTTTCTTCTGTAAATGCAGGCCGCAGTTCCGCAGCCAATGCGTCTGGAGCGTGCGGCCGCCCCTCTTCTTGTCCTCGAGCCTCGTCTCGTAGAGGACCGCTCGTTTCGGTGCTTCGCCGTTGAGGCAGGCCTGGAGGTAGTCCGGCGTTGACGTGTTGCGTCGCCATTGTATCGCGAGTACGATGGAGGCGACGGCTGCTGTGCCCAGCGCCAGTCGTGCCCAGCGCGGCAGCGGCGCGCGCCGCGACGCCGCTTGCTGTTGCATCGCGTCTGAATGGATACGTAGGCTTCCTCGCACGTTTCCAAATGACAGCTAGTGCCACAATTGGCGAAGGCCGCCGCGTTTTCTGCCGAGGAGCTAGCGGCGTAAGACACTAGCTAAGCAGCAGGCTTTTACAGATTGTAGGCCCGCGCGGCACGTATCCCGACCGGTGTACGCATAGAATTCGTCCCCAGTACCACTTGTAACCGTTGCCATGCTTGGCCACCGGTGGTATGCAGCGCTGGCACTGCTGATTGCCCAGACTGGGCTCGTGCTCGCTTTCGGGCCGCGCCGAACCCTCGCGCCCGCGCCCAACGCCCTCGCGCAGTCAAGAACAGCAGCGCTGTGCCTCCGCGGCGGCGGCGAGGTCGCGACGCCCATCGACGACGACGAAGACGATGAGGAGTTAGACGACGACGGCGACGAGGACGACATGGAGGACGACGACGGCGACGACGATGGCGACGACGGCGACGGCGACGACGATGATGAAGAGGAGGAGGAGGCCGTCGAGGAGAGCGCGAACGACTTGGACACCGGCGCGCTCAAGCGCTTGATGATCATGGGCTCCATCACCGTGGCCATGCACCTGTTCCTGCCCAAGGTGCCGGACGCACCGGCCGAGGAGGAGGCCGCTTCACAGGAGGAGGAGGAGCCCGCGGCCGAGGAGGCCGCGCCCTCTTCTGAAGAGGAGGAGGCCGCCGACTATGTGGAGGAGGAGGACGTCGAGGTCTATGAAGAAGAAGAAGCAGCAGCGGAAGAGGCCTAACTAACTAGACTTTCAAAATTACCTCCCGAGGCGGTGTCTCAATAAAACGCCGGCTACGAGGGCCGACGCGGCGCCGAGCGCATATATCATATAGTGCCGCTGGCGCCGGTCGCGCGCGCGCTCCGCGACGGCCGGCGTCGCGGCTAACGCATGTAACGCAATGGCGCAGGCCGTCGCGACGTTGACCGAGTCCACCTGCGCGCGTCGTGGTGTTTTTTTTTTTTTTCCTTTTCCCCCCCCCGGTGTTTCATCGGCGTGTGTGCGACTCGCGCCGGCGGTCGTGCAAACTCCACGCCATCGACGCGATGCTATCTCCGTGAGTGGGTCTGCTGGCGTGGAACCTCCACGCCATCGACGCGATGTTGTCCACAGAACTGCGTCTGCTTGATGGCGTGGAGGTTGACGAAGGTCTCAGCAATAGTTCTCAGGATAATCGCGTTTCGGACGCCGCAAGGCACCATGCCGTCCATCGGTATACATAAACGCACGTCCGCGAGGCGCTGCGCTGCTTCTGTTAAACCCGGCCCCTCGGCGCCGACCAACACCGCCAGACGCTCTGGCCGGTGGCCCGGCCGCCAGGCGTCCAATGGTATCGGTTCACCAATATCAGCGTCGACGGCGTTCTCCCGATCGGATGTTGAAGGTGTCACCAATGCCACGACAACATGACCCGTCGCCTTCGCGGCACTGATGACGTCCCCAATGCTACCGATCCGCGAAAAGGGAACATTCAAAGCGTGGCCGCCCGACACGCGGCACGCCTTTCTGTATAGAGGGTCCGCGGACTTGTCATCCAGTAAAACCGCGCCGCAACCAAAAGCAGCGGCATTCCTAAATAAGCCTCCGACATTGTCCAAGTTGTTGATCGTCTCGCCCAGGATGATGGTGGAGTGGCCCTCGCCCGGTAGTTGACGAGCGACCTCGGGCGGCTCCAACAGTCGGGGCCGCTTGCCGCACGCGAGGACGCCGCGATGGAAGTTAAACCCGACAATAGAAGAAAACGCGTCTGACTTCAGGACGTAGACCGGCACGTTATGTCTTGATAGAGCTTCAATCAGTGGCGCCATCGGCCTGAGACGCCGCTCCGACAGACAGACCGAGACGAGGGGCATCCTCCCGTTCCGCACGAGGTTGCGCACGGAATTCTCGCCCTCCAGAATGAACACGTCGCCTCGCCCCGTCACGTCGCGCTCCTTCAGATTGCGGTAGACCTCGACCCGCCGATCGCCGTACTCGACGCGGATGTAGGAAGAGGGCGGCGGCAGCGGGCCTTCCGCCTTCTTCGGCGACGGCGAGAGCGCGCCGTTGCTGTCGCCCTTCCTTTGCGACCGCGGCGGCGACGCGAGGCTGCTCACGTCCGATTTCACGCTGCCTGGCATCTTGCTTGTTTTGCGGCTTTGGAGGCCTGAAACTGTCCTCTCGTTGCTGCGTCGCGTGCGGACTACTATGAGACCGAGTAATGCCGATCTACAGGGCGGCCTAGGCCGCGCACTGTCCAAAAAGCGAAAAGCGAAGCCTGAGGGACATGCGGCTAGAGACTTACTGGTCGCTAGCTAATGGCAGCCCCAAGCCACCACGCAAGCTCCCTGTGGCCCAGAAGTCATCACCGGCGCTGTACGCCATCGCTGCGTTCGTACGCGGTCGGCCCGCAGCGTAAATTTGAACCGCGGTCGGCCCGCACCCGACAAGTGCCCGGAGAGCTGCCACACACTCCAATGGCCAGCTTCACCCAGAAGACGAACCCCTACAAGCACCTCAGCGGAAGGGAAACCACGCTCTTAACCCACCTCCAGCCGGCCACACCAAGTATAGCCGCGTCCGACGCCTTCTACGCGGTACCCTATCGGAGCGGCGGCGGCGGCCCAGTGTACATTGGGCGGCTCGATCAAACAAGTAAAGTAGAGCCGGCGGAGGCCCTCTCAAACTGCGTCCAGGGCCACAAGGCCGAAGTCAAAGCCGTCGCCTTCTCGCCCTTCCATTCCGCTCTATTAGCGACGGGCGGCGAGGACTGTAGGGTGAGAATCGCGGCGAATGTCGAGGACCCGTCGAAGGAATCGCTGGAGGTCGGCGCCCACGGCTCCGGCGTCCGCTGTTTACAGTTCCATCCCGCCGCGGAGCACGTCTTGCTCTCGGCTTCAAATGATGGAAGCTGGGCGACGTGGGACGTCGCTTCGGAACTGAATCGGGCCGCTTCCATTCATACCGGTAAGCTTGATGCTGCTGTCACGCACGTGGACTGGAATCGGTCGACGTTCGCGGCGTCGTGTCGGGATCGAACGCTCCGATGTGTGGATGTGCGGACGGGGGCGGTGGCGTGGTCGTCCGTGCCGCACGGCGGCGCGCGGGCGTTCCGCGCGGTCTTCGCCTCTAGAATCGAGCATTGCGTATTGTCCGTCGGCTCCGCGACGTCGGGCGGCCGCGAGGTGTCGCTAATTGACGTGAGGAAGCCCGACGCCGTCGTCGCTCGAGCGGTGATTGACGCGCAATCTGGTGATGTTTTATCTCACTGGGACGAGGATTCTGGATTATTATGGTGCGTCGGCCGCGGCGATAGGGTTATGAGACGCTTCGAGTGCACCTCCTCTGCCATAACTCAAGGCGCGACGTGGCGGTCGGAGCAGGCCGCCTGTACCTCATTCTGCGCGCTGCCCCACAAGCTGAGGGACGTCATGGACCTCGAGGTCTTCAAGTGCTTAAGATTGACCACTTCCACAGTAGATACGGCCTCGTTTCGGGTCGTAAGGACCGAGGACCACAAAGCCTTCTTCAACGACGACATTTTTGGAGAGACGCGCTCTAGGTTCCCTTCCACCACAGCCAAGCGCTGGGCCGCCGGCGAGTGCCCTCCGTCATTGACGGAGTCGTGCCAGCCTTTGGGCACGAAGTTGTTGTCGGAGCGCGTGGTCGAGAGGAAGGTCTTGAACACGGTCGTCGTCAACGAGCGCCGGGCCTCGGAGAAGGAAGATCGCGCCAAGGACGACGCGGCGATTGATAGATTGGCGCAGCTCGCCGACCAGTTTGCGAACGCGAACGTGAACCTGTCCATGGGTGGCAATGGTGTGGATGCCCAGGTGCAGGATACTGGTGATGTGGAGAGCGACGAGTGGGACGACTCCGATTGATTCTCTTGCCCCCGCTCCTGCTCCTGCTCCTTTGCTCTTGCTGCGCTTGTTAACGCGCGCGGGGGCCTGAGACGGGGCCTGCAGGGCCGCAAGACGGTGCGGGCACTTGTCCTCGAGGGAAAAGTGTGGTGCGTGTCAGCACGCCACCGCCGCGACTAAGTGAATGTGAAAATTAACTCCCCGCCCCCTGCGCGACGACCTCCACGAAGACCCCCTCGAAGGACAAAATCCCCCCTTCGTTGTGCGTCTTCGTCAGTCTGAAACGAATTAACGTCCCGACCTCGACCTTTTGCTCATTGTTCCGCCAGCACGCCCCACCCGAATCAAAATTCAACGGTCGTAGATCCGAGGCCGCAATGCTCGCGTTGAAGTAGCCGTGCACGAGGAGCCCAACGTAGTTCGGCGCGATCGCGTTGACGCGCCCCGGCAGGACGCAGTCGGTCTGCGGCGCGAAGACCGTGCACCGCAGGCGCACGGCGACCCGTATACGGGGATCCGTGCCCTGGACCCTTCCTAAAGTTTGACCAGGCGCCAGTTTCACGTCGCGGACGGCGAGCGGCACGCCGCTCAATGCCGACGAGTGTCGCATCAATAAAGCGTGGAGCCTTCGCAGGATGTGGCCCTTGACGTCGTCGAGGCAGTGTGGGAGTAGTGCAAACGTGCCCCTTACGGCGACGTCGCGGAACGGCGAGTCCTTCTTGGCCTTCTTGCGTTTCTTGGTCGAGTCGTGGCCGTCGCCGGCGGCGCGCTTCTTGGCCATGGCTGCTTTTGTTGCGTTGTGCAGTGATGCGACGCGGCGACGGGCGTGCGATGCAACTGGGTGCGTGCTCTGAAGCAGCTCGCCGCGGCGTGAGCGCTGCTCGTTCGCTGTCGTCCGGTGACTCGTTCGCCTTGCACCGATTTACGGCGACGCGGCGGCGGCGTGAGGTGATTGCACCCTTGTGTGTGTGCTGAAGCAACGCCGCGGCGTTAGCGCTCCTTGCTGATGTCCGGCGACTCGTGCGAAAGCTGCAGCTATTCGTGCAGCGCACGAGTGGGCACGGAGCGATGCGTTTGCGCGCTTTACAATCAGCTCTGCAGGCTGCAGCGAGCGAGGAGTCGAGCTGCTTGGAGCTGGGAGCACGCCTAGCGCAGCAAACAGCTGCAAGCGCGCATAGATCGTCGCAGCACTGCAATAGCAACCACTACAACGGGCGTTAACGTCGTCGCCGCAGCGCTACCTGGGTAGCAAAGCTGTCCACAGCACTTGCGCCCAACCAAAACGCCGCCGCCGCAGCGTGAGACGCGATGCAGCCGCGTTACAAACTTGCAGGAGCCGCCGCCGCCGCCGCCGTCGCAGCGTTAATACTAGAACGATGGAGGAGAAAACGCCGCGGCTGGCGCCTCGAGGACAAGGTGACCGTAGTATTGTGCACGTCGCCCGTTAAAAGTAATCCTTCAACCAAGTTAATACAAGAAACGCACGGGTCCATGTGCCACTACGCTCCCTGTTTAAAAGCGTGTCGGTTGATTATTTGTTGCGACGGTGCGTGTCCCGCGTCCTCCGTGTCTTCGGCCTGGTCCTTCTATGTCTTCGTCGTCGCTCGCGGCCTCCTGTCGATGGCGTCGGCAGTGCTTTACGCGCGGCCCGGCACGCCATCGACGCGTCCCCGCGCAGGCTACAAAACGCGGGACAAACCAAAGTACCGGAGCGGCCAGGTCACGGAAGAGGGCGGCCTGGCCTACGAGGAGTTCCTTCAACGCCTCAAGAAGCTCAATTTAGGAGAGATCGTGCGGTGTCAAGAACGGCAGGGGTTTGGCTTCGCGCTCAAAAACGCGTTGACAAGAGTTAGGACGCCCTACGTCATCGTCGTGCAGCACGACCGCAATTTTGTCAGGGAGGCGCCCATTGTAGATATTGTGAAATGTTTAGAAAAGAACGACGCTTGGTTGAAGTACGTACTGTTGCCTACTACTACCGTCCTGAACTATCCTCGCTACGTCCAGTCCAAATATCAGTTGAGGATAGCCCCGCAACCGACGGACTTCGGGTTCGCTTTGACACCATTGCTACAATGGTACGATAGCACGCACATCTGTTCGATGAGGCACTATCGCGACTTCGTGTATAGAGGCGGGTTGGTCGCTCGAGGTGGTTTTGTGGAGGACAAGCTCGGCCAGTATCAACTGAAAAGGATTAAGGAACGGGGGTTATCTGCTCATGCGGAGTTCGCGCAGTACGTGCTGGACGATGGGGTTGAAAAGCCGATGGTGTCGCACCTGGACGGGCACGACTCGCGGGTGCTGGAGAAGATGAGGTTTGTGTAATTGTGTTTTGTTATGCTTGTTCTTAGCTCCTCCTAGCCAGGCCGCGGCGGCGGCGTCTCGCGGGCGCGGAGCGCGGCTCGCGCACGTTGCAGAGCTCGCTCCATCTTCGCAACGGTCGGGTGCGCGCTTCCAAGCACGCGGCGCGCAATCCGTCTCGTCTCCTCGAGCGTCTCCACGGCCTCGTGGAGATCGTCGAGCGTGGCGCCGAGGTCGACGTCGTGCCGTGCTGGGTAGCGTATGTGGTCCGCTGGCGCGTCATGCCGCCGCTCGCTCCCGATTTATTACCGTTGACTGTCTGGATGCCCTTCCGTAAAGTCTACTTACCTTGGGCCGCGGTGCATCTGACGATCCTGCTGGTTAAGCCTTACTCGCCGCTATCAAAATACGAGATGCTCTTCGACTGGTATACTGGCAGTGTCGCTAGCGTCGACGGCACGGGAGGCCGAGGCCAGGCCCAGAAGCGGCACGCGCCGCCCTTCGCGTCGTACGCCTGGAAGCCAGTGGCGTACATCCTGGCGCACGCACTTTTCTCGCTCGAGGGCTACTGCGCGGCCGCGCTGAGCCTGCGCTACGAGGCGGTGATGTTGGTCTGGGTCTCGCTGATCTTCATCTCAAATATCAACTCGGCGTTCAACTTCTACCGGGCGTCCGTCGACGAGTCCTACAGCCCGGGCAACAAGCTCATCTCTGGCCTCCGCGACTCGGCCGTGTCGTGGGCGATTATCCTCCCGCTCTACTACTATTGCGAGAAGGGAGTGGCGGCCGCGTGATTGTGTCGTGTCCAACCCACCCCGATTTGTAAGACATCTCGAACCGGTTCCCTAGCGGTGTAAGACACTAGCAAGCTGGCTGGAGCAAGTTTTTATCATAAGACTGCTGCTCTCCGCCGGTTTCGCGCGCCAGAGCACATCGTGTGTTGCGTCGTAGCCGTCTGCTGCTCGCGCACAACCGCTGCGACCGAGCAGTGCGAGCCACCACAAACTAGCTTGCAGAGCCACTCGCTGCCGCTACCCCTCACGCCGCCGACGCGAGCGCTCAGCAATAAAGATGGCGACGAGCGCGGAACTGTACGCCAGCGCCCAGATCCTGGGCACCGAATGCGCCGCAGCGAACATGGCCTTTTTGAAGTGCAAGGCCGAGGCTCAGCATCCGCGCCACTGCCTAGAGGCCGGCACGGCCGTCACGTCCTGTGCTGTGCGAAAATCAACCAGTGAGTTAGGATATCCTGAGAATTATTGCGTGAACCTCCACGCCATCGAGCTGCCGCAGTTGCGGGGACATACGTCGTCGCGTCGATGGCGTAGAATCTCCGCGCCATCGAGCAGATGCAGTTACGGGGACGACGCCGGGTCGATGACGTGGGGCGTCCGAAATTTGATTTCCACACAGGTCCTGCGGCGACGGCCTCATCGCTTCTCTCAAAGCGAAGAGTGGCGCGGAATTCGAGGCATTCCGCGCCTGCCTTGCGGACACGAACAACGCGTTTGACAAGTGCCGCGCGCAGAAGGAGGCGCTGCACGCGGCGTTCTCGGCGGCGCGGTGAGTTGTTCGCTGCTCGCGGCGGCGCGGCTCCGCGGGGTTTATCTATAGAGGTGTTATTATATTTAGGTCGTTGCGGGTGCCGGGGTACTGGCTTGCTCCATGCCTCGGAGAAGTTTCGCCCTTGGAAGCTTGGGTGCGCGGGGCGCGGAGTCTGCGCCGCGTCTCGTCCGCCAGGGCTTCGCTCCTGCGCTCGAGGCTTTGTGCATAGCTCCTGCACAGATCACAGTCCGTAGGGAGACGTCCCGGGAGGTCGGCCTCGCGGTCGGGCAGTGTCAGAGCTGCAATCAAAGCAAAGTACCGTGCTCCTCCGCGCGCGAACAATACGAGCGAACTTAAAACTCTCAGAGCGAGCTCCGCCGACCCGCGAGGCCCACCTACGCTCAAAGAGAGCGCTTCAAAACCTGTCGGGATCCCCTAAAACGCGTTGCAGTCGAGCTTGCAACCCACTTGCAGCAAGCGCGCGCCACGCGAGCATACACCTCAATAAAAGCGTCCCGAGACGACGGCAGAACCGCCGGCTACGCGGGGCGCGCCTGCGACGGCCGCGACTTGCTTTTTCTCGGCGCCACACGTACCGCCCGCCGTCGAACCGAACGCGCCCCTCGTTCATGATCAAACGCACAGGTGGTCTCGGGGCCGAGTCCAATCATCAAACGCTCTCGCGTCGCCGACGCGATGGCGACGGATCATCAAACTCTTCCGCGTCGCCGACGCGATGGCGGCGGTCACCCTTCACGATCGAATCCCACGCGCAGGGTCACGGACAAGCCGATGACGCGCAAGCTCAAGTTTGGGGCGCGCAGACTCCGCGGCTCCGAGGACAACTAGGTGCGCACGCGCCACGTGGCTTGCGGCGGCGACGCCGCGAGAGGTCCCCCTTTGATATCTGCGCGCCGAGCTTGTTCTTTCCTTTCCCCGCCCAGCGCGCCGCTGTGCCGGCGGTGCCAGTGTACATATCATGATTACAACTACACTACTCAACCACCCCGCCGCGGCGAGGACAGAACGCCGCCGGCACCTCTCCCCCCAGCACCGCGTCCGCCACGACCTCCCCGAGCTGCGCGTGCCGCAGGAACCCCCGCGCGCCGAGCCCGCCCGCGACCCACAATCCTTCTTCGTGGCGGAAGGCGAAGGGCAAGCGGCCGAGGTGCGTCCGCGGGCCGTTCAGGCGCACGCCCGCCGTCGCGCCTTTCGGTGACGCGCCTGGCGCCGCCAGCAGATCCGCGGCCTCCCGTAAGCCGCCGGCGCGGAGCTCTTCTGGTGCTCGCGGCGGCGCGTCGACGGCAGCCTTTGAATCGTCAAAGTGCTCGTGCGTCGCTCCCAATATCAAACCGTTCGCGCCGGGGCAGAGGTACGAGCCCCGCAAGAGCGCCGGTCCATTCGTAGTAGACGCGTCGTAGACGAGGCTCTCGCCGCGCGTGAGCGTGAGCCCGCCCGGAAACAGCTCCGGGAATTTTCTGAACGCGTCGGCGCCGCCGCACAGTATGGTCTCCATATGGTCTAACTCGCGCGGGTCCACGGCCTCTTCCACAACAGAAAACTCACCCGCATTTTCGTTCAAGACCCGCAGCGCGTCCAGGTAGCCCCGCGGGTCGACGCACCTCCCTCCTATGTAACGGACGCCGCCATTGTTGAGATCGGCGCGGCCCGAAGCTTCGACAAAGGCTTCTGAATCAAGCCACTCGAGCCACTCGGGGCGGTCCGCGGCGGCGGCTTGTAATGTGATAGCGTCATCATCATCAATCGCCGGCCGAAGCACGACATCCGTCGTGACGAGGCTCGTCTTCGCCGCTCGCTCGGCTTCGCGGACCAGCTCATCAGCCTTGCGCAATGCCTCGGTCGCCTCCCAGGCCGGCTTCAGGCGCGGCGTCAGCGGGTGCAGCAAACCACCAGCGACGGACGACGCGCACGCGCTGTAGCCCGTGACGGGTCGGCGCAGCGACGCGTCGTAGAGGGTCACGCGGCAGCGACCGCTCCGCAGCAGGAAGTAAGAAGTGGCCATGCCCATGAGGCCGCCGCCCACGACGCCGACTTCAAGCATCGTGGAGGTGTAACCAGAGGGCTGCTCTCTCAGTGCGTTGCGGGCGTTCGTTCGGAACTGGCGGCTGGCGGCTCGCACACGTCCAAACGTATCGATGCGCAACTTACAGCAAGGGACGGGCGCTTGGCGGTCCGCTGCAGCACCTCACTGATCGTGTGCTCTCTGGCAGTGCAGCTTTTTGAGCAGGCCTGCTGATCGCAATACTCACTAGGCGTGCTATAGCGGTGGATAATAGACGCTACACGCCCCTGCCGCAGCGATTGACGCGTCAAGGCCAGCTTTAATAGTGTGGAGCGGCTCTTGTGCAGAGCTTGTGCAGTGGTGCTGCTGCACGGCTGCTCGAGGCAACAGCCTTGACCCCAACGATGCGCAGACACGCGGCGCTGATCGCCATCCTTCTAGCATTGATGCAAAATCTAGTGCGTCCAGCCTTGGTGTCTCCGACGACGCGCGGTCGCACGGCGCTCACGGCAGTCTCGCCGCAGCCGACCCGACGGCGGCAGGCGCGACCAGGGCGCGCGAGAACGCCGCCCGGTCGCCGCGCTTCACTATGCTACGCAAGCCTCGCCGACTTCGACGAGTTCGAAGTCGTCGAATACTCACGCAACGAGACGGGGCCGGTAGAGCTAGGCGTCATACGCGACGGCCGCCTGCAACCGCTCTGCTGCTGGCAAGAAGCGGATCCCGTCGAACTGGTGTGGGACGAGGACGAGGAGCCGCTCGAGAGCGTCTACGACGTGTATAACGCCGTCGACGCGTTCCCGCAGCAGCGTTTGATCGACGGCGGCCTCGGGCCGAACAACCCACACGGCGAGGAGTCCGAGGACGTCTACTTCGTCGACCGCTCGGACCTGAGCGAGGGGACCGTGGTCGCGCTCCGCGAGGACCGGGAGGTCTGGTGGTAGTAGCGGCGATGGCGTCGAGGCTGTAAACGTCGACGATGGCGCCGTCTGTCCGCGAAGGGACATTGTTGTATGCGTAATATTCGGTTTTTTTTGCTAGCGGCTTGTAAGACACTAGCAACCAAGCTCTGAGAGCAGCAATCGCCTGTGTGTCGCACGATAGCTCAAAGTGACGTTGCGCGGTCGCAGAAGTACAGTGGTTACTAGCCTCGACGATTTGCGCTGTTATAAGTGTCACGAGCGGCTTGAAAATAGCAATATTTAGCCACAGAGCTCAGGGTCAATTATAGTCGCCTCAAAGAATCCTGGCCTCGGATAGGCGTCGGGCTGGAGACCTGGGCAGACCAGCAGCTAGCGGCGACATTTACGCGGGATTGCCTTTATTATTCAACCAGCCTTAATGCTCGCGTCGATACCAATTTGCTTGAACTCTACGCGCGAGCCTGGTCGGCCCGTTGGGAGGACCGCACGAAGGCGGACGCGTTCGTGGCGGCAATGGGCCGGATTCGGGAGGAGATGGTGCGGCAGTACGAGGATGATCTCAGGGATGATCTGGAGCGGCGGATTCGGGAGCGGCAGAATCGGGGGGAATACGGCAGTGACTATGTGACTATGACGAGGAGGAGTCGGACTACTAGCCTCTGCGTAAGTCATCTAGAACGTAACGTAAGAACTCTCATCGACAGCGACCCCCATGACGACTACTGCGCCTTGCCCCCGAGCGACCCGCGGCGCGTCTTCTTCTTCTTCATCTCCGCCGTGCCCTCCTCGATGGCGACCTCCTCGACGCCGACGCCGTGGTCGCGCTTGGCCCCGGACTGCTCGATGAAGCCCACGATGATCGTGATGTCGTCGGTCCGGTCCTCGCGCTCGATCCAGAGCTTGTACGACTCGCCGACTAGCGCGAGGCAGGCCTCGAGCGGGTTGTTGTAGAGCAACGCCATGTCCAAACACCCTCTGGTCGTAATGAACTCAAATATACCATCGGAAGCCACGATGAGGACTTTATCATTCGGCTTGATCTGGTGATGGTCGAGCTCCGGCTCGGCCATGACGCCCAGCGACTCGGCCAGGCTGTCGCCGATGGACCGCGTGAAGGCCGTGCCCGGGTACTCCTGGTCCTGGGCCCAGATCCGCGGCGGGTCGCCGCCGTCGTCGATCTCATCACCTAACGCGCAGTCCCAGTCCTGCGTGTGAACGAAACACTCGAGGGGCCGTCGCGGCGATGGCGTGGCGGGAACGAGAGCCGGGGGCAAGACGCGCAGACTCTCTCGCGGCCGCGTCGACGGCGTCGAGGCGGCGCGGCATCGCGTCGACGCCATCGACGCGACGCCATCGCGAGGACACCAGATCAAGTTCAAGACCATTCACAACACTGACACGAACCTCGTGGATCGGCTCGACGCCGTCAATCTGGTCCGCCGTCATCACGCGCGCGCCGCACGCCTTGACTCTTTCCCTTTCGTCTCTTCGGTAAGGCGTTTGATCCGTCGACAGGGCCTTGTGTATCAACTTGCCCTGGGCATCCACGGACCCGAGCATGACCCTACTATCCCCAACGTTCGAGACCAGTAGATCGAGACCGTCGAAGTAGGCCGTCACCGCAGTAGTCCCCGACTGCTGGTCATCAATGGCCGACTGAGCCAAGGCCGTGTTCGTCGACGTATGCGCCCGGCTCATGGCCTGCTCCTTCGTCGCGCCGGACCGCAATTGCTTGCAGAACTCCATGGCCACGTGCTCGCACGCGAAGCGCGAGCACTTCTCGCCGACGGGACCGTGCCCATCATACACGGCGAACCAGTGCTTCTTGGGGCCCTCCATATCTTCTTCTACTCGGAAGGCATCTTGGTTCGCTTTATCGGCTTGCGACGGGTAGTAGCCCCTTTGCGAAGCGGCCGCCCATCGTAACGTGAAGCCCTGGCCCAGATCCACGGTGTGTTCGGGTTGCGTCTTGAGCCTTGCTCGGACTTGCCTTTCCGTGAGGTACCCCACATGCTCGGCGCCGCTCGGCCAGTCGAACGGGAACCTTTCTTGAGCTGGCGTCCTCACTTCCGTGGCTCCGTTGTCCTCGGTTTGTTTAGGGTCGGCGGCGCCGGCCGCGCTCGAGCTCGAGCAGCCCATCTTTATCCGCCGCGCTGTTTAAGTCGCCGCGGTCCGAGCTTCGCGCTCGTCGCAGGCTCGCGCGCGTCGATGGCGTGGAGCCGCGATGCGACTGGGTGCCGCGCGCGCCGGGAACCTCCCGCGTCGCAGGCTGGGCGGCTTGGGTGGCTGGCCGCGCCGCGCGCCCTAAATCCAAGCCTTCTAGATTTCCGCAGCGGCACGTGCGCCTGCGCTCGCTCTGCGCCAGCGGGACGCGTCGGAAACACAGTGATCCGCTGGAATCGCTGTCTTGCAGCGCCGCGTGCTGGCACCCCCAAATCGCGCAATGTTGGGGCGGCCGCGCAAGGCTAGAGCCCGTAAACGCTAGCGCGATTCCAAGTTACGAGTTCTCCGACCGTCCAGGCGGTCGACGAGGGCTAGAACACGTCGGATGCGAGGGTTCCAAACACACGCGGACGCCATCAGCACAGGGATGCCAAAAAGCAGCACAGGGCACACCAAAGGCCAAACCCAAGCAGAAGCCTATAGATCGATGCAACGCAGTGCAGCGCATGCCTTCCACTCATAAATCACTGCTGCAGAAAGCCTAGGATCGATGCGACGACGGCTGCTGAGTGCAGCAGGCTGGAGTACTGCCACTGCCATGCGCAGCCGACGTGCGTCGTGGCGCGCAGCCGGTGGGTGCAGGCCTGCCGCTGCGACGCCGTCCCGGGGACGTGATATGCACTCGTCGTCGCGTCGCGCAGCCAGGGCGATGCAGCCATCGATGCAAGCGAGCCGGGGACGACTCTCGTCGTCCTGCCGCGCTGCCGACGAGTGCAGCCCGCACTACGTCACGCCAGTCACAACACTCGCCGACGCGTCCCAGGACACGGCGTGCGACGTCCTGTACGTGGTCGGCGGCCTCTACGGCAACATCAAAGCATTGGAAGCGCTGGAGGAAGGCATGGAACGAGAAAGACGACACGGACTTAGAATAGAAGTCTGCTTCAACGGAGACTTCAACTTCTTCAATGCTACCTCAAAAACCTGGGCGCGTATCAATCAAGGCGTGCGGGCGCTAGGACATGCGACGGCGGGCAACGTCGAGCGGGAATCTCTCAATAGCGATGGTGGCTGCGGCTGCGCGTACCCGGACTACGTCGACGCGGCCTTCGCGGACCGCGCGTCTGCTATTGTCCAGAGGCTGCGGACCGTATATACTGATCCGGACATCGCCGCGTGGCTCTCAACTTTACCTTTCGCGAAGACGTACGCCGTCGGCGGCGCCCGCGTCTGCTGCGTCCACGGTTTGTTACGCAGCGTGGAAATCAAACTTGACACGCGTCGATGGCGTCGAGGAGGGGTCATTTACAACTCACAAAACACAGGCGACCCAGCCTGCGCGAACGGCTGGGCCTTCGACGCGGCCCACCTGCCGGGCGGGTCGCGACCGGACCACGCGACGGACGTCACAAATATAGAACGGTGGTTCGAGGAAGCGCGAGCCGACGTCTTCGCGTGCGCGCACACGTGCCGGCCCGTGTTCCAGCGGTTCGGGAACGGCCTCGTCGCGAACAACGGCGCCGCGGGCCTCGGCAACTTTCGTGACGATCCGCGCGGCCTCGTGACGCGCGTGGCTTGTGTAGATGTCGCATCGGCGCTCGGCGCACCTTTATATAGTGCGGACGTCGGTCGCGCGCGCATCGAGGCCGTGCCGCTGGCCTTTGACCTGAACGCGGCGCTCGCCGCGTTCGACGGGGTCTGGCCCTCTGGGAGCGCCGCGGCCGTCTCGTACCGCGAGCGGCTTGCGAACGGCGACGAGGGGTGGAGCCCGGGCGCGGCGGACCGGGCCGGCGTGATGTGCCCGCACCTGCACGCGCTGGTCGAGCGCCAGACCACGCTGATGCCGCGCATCGTCGAGGAACTCGAGGCCCACGGCGAGAAGCGGTCCCACTGGGCCTGGTGGGCCTTCCCTGCGGACATGTGCGGCAACAGCGAGCCGCCTCCGAAGACGAAGCTGTCGTCGCCGGCCGCGGCGGCGGAACTGCTGGCGCGGGGCCCGGTCGCCGACTGGCGAAAAGCCCTCGAGTTGATATGTGAGTTGTCGGAGGCGCGCGGCCAACTGGTGCTGCCGGCCGCCGACCACGGCCGCGTCGCCTCCTTCATACCTTTCTGGGAGGGCCTCGAGTTCACGCCGGCCTGGCTCGGCATTGTCCTGAGGCGGCTCGAGGCCCTCCTGCCGCCGCGCGCCCGGCGCTCGCTCGCCGAGGCGCGGGGAAGGGACTAGCGGCGCGCGCCGCCGGACTGGCTCGCGGCCGTCCTCAAAGGCTCAGTAAATTTTGTGATACCTACTTAGCGACGCGCCGCGACGAGGTCCTCCAAACCTTCGAACTCGTCGTCGTCGACCGTGTCGTGCGACGCGGTCTCGAAGTCGACGTCCTCGTCGTCGTCGTAGGGCGAGCCTGGTGAGGAGGGGGGCGACCCGGCCTCGTCGTCATCCGACTGGTACGACGCGTCGTCCGGGATGTTCGTCAGCGGCGGCGCTTCATATGAAGTACCGTCAAGATTCTTCCTGACATGAATAAACACGGTAGCCGGCCCCCAGCTCATCTTGTAGCGCTTGCGCTCGATGACGTCGAAGGCGTCGGAGCCCAAGCCTTTGGTAAAAGTGATGAAATACGTCCCCGGCTTGAGCCGTTCCGCCTGCCGCGCCATGCTCCCCATCAAATCGTCTTCGAAGCATGTGGAGTTCGCGAAGACGACGTCGCCATCGGACCAGTCCACATCCAACATCGAATTGCACTGGACTTCGATTTTCTTCGAGGTCCGAGCGTCGAGCACGTCCGAAGCCAGGACCTCGAACCTTTTGCAGATGATCTGGGCGGCGCCGTTTAAGTTCTCAAGCACCTCGATGCCCTTGCAGACATCAAAGTCATGGAGCAGACGAGCTATGACCAAAGCTCTTCCCGAACCGGACCCAAGGTCATAAAAAACACCACCGTTTCTCGGAGCAATTTTCCTCAACACCCGCGCAAAGTAGCCGAACTCCACCTCGCCATAAATGAGCGACTTCTCCCCGTCCAATTGCTTGGCACTGCGCTCCCGTTTCGACAACGCTTTCGCGACTTCGAGGGGACACTCGTCGAAGACGTCGGCATGTAACGCCAACGCTTCCGACTCCACTAAGGCATTCACCCGCTCCACGAAGGCCTCGTCCGCTTCTGAATCGTGGAAGCCCTTCATGATCGCTGTTAGTCTCGGATCTCTTCTTAATATACATTCCTTCAGTAAAGCTCGCCCGTGCCTTGTGATCGCGCCGTCTCGCGTCAAGAGAGCAGCAAGTAAGTAGAGCTGGGCCGGGTCGCCCTCGAACTCGGGCAGCGAGGCGGGGAGCGTCATTTGTTGTTTGGTGTTAGTGTGCGCGGGCAGCCCTCGGTGCAGCTGCTCGGTGCTGGTGCTGTTGCGGCGGGGGCGAGGGCAGCCGTGCGTTGCGCGCGCGTCGTCGGCGTGCGATCAGTGGCGTGTGGCGAGCTGCTTTGAAAACTTTCGCGTGCTCTAGTGTCTTACACGACGCTAGCGGGATTTCCTGAACGGCCGCGCCCTCCGCGAAACTGGTCCATTGCTGCTGCCGAATGAATATCACCTGCCCGACCGGTCAAAGCAAATCGAAGTACACCCCGACGCCGTCGACGCGACGCGATGCCCGCCGCGCCGTCGACGAGGCTAGTTAGTTAACACCGCCCTTACCCACAACTCTACTCCGACTTGGCCTCGGCCGACGCGGCAGCGGCTTCGGCCTTCTCCTGGGCGGCCTTGGCCTTCTCCTCCAATGCATCGGCCATGCGTTTTTTCTCGCGGATCTCCATGGCCTTCATCATCTGCATGGCATTGGCTATCTTGTCGCGGTACTCCTTGAGGAGGCCCGACATGTTCTCGAGCGGCCGCGTGCGGTAGCCGAAGGGCTCCGCCCACCGCTCGATGCCGGCCTTGTCCGTCGGCACGTTGACGGCGTCCATGATGTTCAGCAATCCGACGGAGCCGGGCCGCGTGTGGAAGTAGGGGCTGCGGCTCTTGATCTCGGCGACGCAGGAGCCGATCGCTCCACTTCCCGACGCTGCCGCCGCTAACAAATCGGCCTCCGTCGAGCCCTCGACGGCGGCCTTGATCGCGGCGCTGTCCGACCTAACTTGTTGGGGATCGAAGTCTAAGGCAGAAATAAGAGCGTCCGTGATCTTGTCGCCCTCGCCGGCGACCGGGTACGTGCCCATGATCAGGTCCATGAGCGTCAGGAAGCCGTACCCAAACAACGCGTCGTACTTGAAATCCTGGTTCACGACACTTAAGTGCGTCGTCTGGAGCATGTCGTTGATCGGTGACCGCCACAGCGTCGCGACGGGCTTCGGGTAGTTCGACTCGAAGGCGGCGATCGTCGCTGAGACGGTTTTGATGCCACCGCCCACCTCGACGCCCATGGACAGCGGGGCCGCCGGCGCGGCCCGGGGCACGGTCGGCGCGAGCAATGCGCTGGCTGCCGCAATGCAAAAGAGATGCCTAATCATGGTCAATAAGAGCGCTCGCTGCAGCGATTTGGCGCCCAGACGTACTTGATCCCTGTGACTCCAGCGCAGAGGCCTAGTGTCTTACAAGCCGCTAGGTCGACACCTTTGGATCCCTTCGGGCATCTATCGAACGCGCCTGCAGACGGGGTGGACGGCCCGAGTTGGCTAGCATGCCGCACTGCTTGCCAGAGGCAAGCACTTTGCAGAGGCATTTTGGCACAGGCATTGCATTGGCGCTGCACGGCGTCTTGACCAAAGATAAACTCTGCATTATTGCCAAAAATCTCAGCACAGATCGAAAAAAGCAGCAATAAGCAGTGCTCTCACTGCCAGGCTGCTCATTGCTGCACAAGCACTCGAAGCAGCAGTCGTCCGCGAGGCAAGAGAATGCAAATACGAACCCTAATAACCCTGCACGCCGCCGCCGCGACCAAGACGCCGGAACGCCTGCCGCCGGACGTCAGAGCGCGAGAAGCTCTGAAGCTCGTCGACTCCTTTGGTGAGTGCGACGAAAAAACGCGCCGTCAAGCGGCCTACTACGCGCTGCACCCCGAGCAGTTCTGGGGCGACGCCCACTGCGAGCAGGTGCTGGACGTCGTGGCACAGCACTGTGTCAACGGATTAGGACTAGACATCGGCGCGAACGTAGGGGCAACTTTAGACGCAGTACGGCGCTGCGCCGGTGGTGCTAACTGCGCAGGCATCATCGCCTTCGAGCCGAACCCCGCGAACCTGCCCCTGCTCCGTGACGCGGCTGAGGATGATGTGATTATTGTGGAACGCGCCGCAAGTGATGTTGCTGATGTAACAGTGGCGTTCAACCTGCCGACGGGCACGGACCAGGTACGTCCTTGTTGTTTTTTCGCGTGATGGCGTCCCCGCAGGCGGGCCAGTTCTTCGCTGCAGAAACGCCGGGCAACCCCTTCGGCGGCATCGCCTCTTCAGACGATGAGAACACCTTCGACGTCCTCACGACGACCGTGGATCATGAAGTCAAAGGTAGGGTAGCCTTCGCGAAGATCGACGTCGAGGGCCACGAGAGTTCTGTGCTGCGCGGCATGGACGCGACGCTGCGACAGACGGATTGTTTATTAGTCGAGTGCTCGGACTTAGCGACGGACTCGAAGGAGCCCGTGCTGAAACTCGCGGCGTTTTTTGACGAGCGAGGCTTCGACGCCTATCGCGTCGGGGCCGAATGCTTATTACCGTTGTGGGGCCGCCACTACCACCCTTTGTACGACGAGTGGCGCTACTGGTCGAACGTGATTGCGGTGCGGCGGGACTGCGCGGGGCTCGCCGAGGCGCTCGCTGGTTTGGCAGATGTGGTCGGGCGGGACGCGGCGCTGGAAGAGGCGCTTGCTGGTGGTGGGGGGGGGTAATCTTTGTGTTGTGATCACTGGGGTCCGAGGCGTGGGTTGCGCGTCGTCTGGCGTGCGGTGGGGGCTGGGATTTTAAACGCGGGCGCGAACGGCGGCCCCGCGCGGCGGCGAACTGCAGTTTCGCCCAGGATCGGTCCCAAACGTCGCCGCAGGGGTGAAGGCGTCCCTGAAGCTTGCGGAATGGCCTCAGTTCCGACCCCCCACTAGCCGGATGCTTAGGTTGCTGCTGGCGTCTCCTACGCATTCAGTCACTCACAGTGCGCAACCGCGTCGGTAAAGCAACGCGCTGCACAACACACAAGCGCAGCGGTCCAACGGGCCCCTCGAGCACCGCTGAAGCGCGCGCGCGCCGCCGCGGCGCATCGTTGCGGCCAAAAATGGCTGTCAGTCGCTGACGGCAAATCCACGCCGCCGCCGCCCCACTGGCGCACGCATGAGGAGAGCTGTTGCCCCGGTGGCGCCGCGGACGCCGCCCGCACTCCCGCCCGCCGTTATCCTGCAAAAAACGCCCATTCACATTGCCACATCACGTCGACGCGCAACTCACCATCCAATCCCCCGCAGACAAACTCCAAAACAATCAAGATGCAGTTCGCCAAGGTCCTCGTTGCCCTCGCCGCCGGCGCCGCCGCCTTCACGGCCCCGACCGCCTCCAAGGTCTCCAAGGTCGTCGTCCGCGGCGAGAACCCGAACGAGGACGGCAAGCTCGGCGCCGGCGGCATGGCCGACACGCGCGACCCGGAGCCTTTCGTCAACGAGACGGACAAGCGCCAGTCGATCTCCCAGGCGCCCTCGTTCGAGGAGTACCTCAAGTCGCGCCAGTAGACGCGTCCTTGAAAAAGGATCCCCCGGCGGCGGGGTCGGGGCGTGCACACTGCAGTCTCCGGTCACGTCGTTTCCCCCGTTAATTATGAACTGATGGAACTATTGTCTCTTCGTGGGTGCCGCGGTGGGCGCCAGAGTGGGCGCCAGAGCGGACGCCGTCGCCGCTCGCTCGCTACGACCAATCAACATGAGAGATACTTAGGACACGAGCTCCCGGTCCGCTAACAGGCTCGCCCGCGCGCCCGCGGCGTCGTCGGCCTGGAGCGCCTTCCAGACCGCCCGCATGTCAGGGGAATCGGGCGCGCCCCGGAGCAGTAGCGGCGCCGAGACGCGCTCGCGGTCCGCCCGCCGGACCATGTGCACCGCTGCACGGTACGCGGGGTCGTGCGCCTCGAGCAGGAGCCCGGTCCAGACGAGCAACGACCCCTCGCGCCTGTGTGCAAATCAACCGTCGCGTCGATGGCGTCGAGGTCGGCGCGATGCTTCGGCACGGCTTCGCGCCCGCGTTCCGGCTCGACCCAGGCCCCCCGCGCGGCGTCGTAAAAGGCAAGCCCCGGCACGTCGCCGATCGGAGCGAGCGCCAGCCAGGCCGCGTCGGCGTGGGGCCGGCACGTTGACCATGGCGCCTCGCCGGCGTCGTCGCCGGTTTCCGGCGCGTAGCGGCAGAGGCGCAGCGACGCCGACGAGACGTCTGCGCGTCCGGGCCGCGCCGCGCCCGGGCCGTCGACGACGCCGCGCGGCACGCGCGCCGCGTCCAGGAGCCGCGTCGCGAGGCGCTCCGCGGCAACGCAGCCCTCGAGGGCCGGCGCCGCTGCCCCGCAGTCGCGCGGCAGAGTCCTTCCGTGCTCATCCCAGCGTATGTCGACGTAGACCGCGGTCCGGCCGCCGTAGCCGCCGTAGAGCGTGTCAGGCCTTCCCGCAGCAGCGGTCGAGCCCCAGACACCCTGGAGCTGGTCGTCGGCCGTCAGCGCCCGCGCCCCGTCAAGCCAGAGTCCGCGAGCCCGTTACTTTCGACGATCGCATAGCCATGCATCCGCAGGCTCGCCAGCGCCGCGTCGGCGTCCGCGGCGTCCGCCAGCACGGGCGCGGCGCACGGCACGAACGTATCGCACGCGTCCGCCGTGACCTGAGCCGCGCGCACGCGGTCGACGACCGCCGGGACGGTTCGCGCGTAGTGGTCGAGTGCGGTTGTTGTTGCTGTGGTGAGTAGGAGCATGGCAGATAGCTTCATCCTTTGATCACCCACTGCTAGGTGCAGCCTGCTTCAGTGCTTACTGGACAGCTGCAGGAATTCACACGTTTGCGTTCCTGTCGCCACGAGACGGTAATTACCTTCGTCTCGGACACGGCACCACGCCACCACTCACCCCCGTCTACTCGTTTGGGCTCGGTTTCATTGCCTCTTGTCAGGGGAGAGCTGCCTCTCCCACATTTTCTACACTCACCGCCCGAGGCCTCCCTTCAGGCGACGATGCAGACTCCCAATCGCCGAATTTATCCCTCCTGGCTGCTGAAGCTAGCGTCGTAAGACACTAGGCCATGCAAGCCTCGTAGCTCGTGACGACGTGTGCCCCTAGCAGTTCGAATTGAAGGCACAGCGCACCGGTGGGCGCAGTGGAGGCTCGACACACTTACAAACTGATCCAACTCGCACAACGCTGCAGGCGGTGGACTGCGACGAACTGCGATTGCATCCTTGCAACCTTGGCAACCAAGCTCCAAAGAGCAGGCACTGCGATTGCAACCCTTGGCAACCAAGCTCCAAGAGCCAACAGCAAGCTCGACAGCCGTGACGGACAAGATGCGAGGCCTCCTCGCGCTCGTCATCCTCCCAATCGGCGCGCTGCGACCATCATCGACACCGCGTCCACCGACTACAAGGCGAAACACCGCGACGCTCGACGCCGTCGACGAGTTCCGCGCCGCCGCCGGCTTCCACCGCCCGAAGGACGTCTACTGGAATAATTTGGAGCTCGTCGACGCGTTGTCCACGAAGACCTTCGCGAAGATGCCTGCTTTTGTATCCGAAAAGACAATAAAAGAGTGCTCGAAAGGCGCCATGGAGGCCTTCGAGAACCAAGGCGGCCACGACGGCATGTACCTCAATAAACCGTGGAAGAACTCGCGGATCTATTACGACGCGCGGCGCGTCTGGACGCCCGAGGACGCGTCGTTCTGGGAGCCCTTGGTGAAGGAAGTGCGCCAGAACATCGCGCAAGCCTTTGGGCTGGGCAGCGACCTCGAAAGGGCCCTCCCGCTCGAGGCGGCCTTCGTGAACTATTACGTGGGCCTGCCGGGCCAGCCGCGCGACATGGAGCGCCACGTCGACTGCGACCCCGACGGCGTGCCCGTGCCGCTGTCGGTCGTCGTACAGGGCATCTACGAAAATGGGGAGTGGGGCGACGTCCTCGGCACGCTCGACTGCCAGAAGACGTTCGAGTCCGACGTCGAGGCCGTCGAGCTCAGAGCGGGCGACGCGGCCGTGCTCGCGCGGGCCGTGCACCGGCCGCGGCCCGTGCCCGAGAATGAAAAAAGGATGGCCTTCGTGCTCTTCTTCTCCGAGCTCAACCCGACGAGCTGACACGTCTAAGGAGCCTAGCCTATAGACTCCTGATCTATGGTTACGGTGCTAGGACCGCCCGGGGCCGCGAGCCGCGTCTTTCATCATTCCAGTAGCCAGCCGACGCCGAAGTGTTGTTGCTAGTGCCTTTTCAGTTAGCTTTTATTTTCGGCAGAGCAACACACACGCACTTGATTGCGCTGCAAGATCAATACAAAGTGTTTCCTCAATAGCGTCGGTCACAGTCGAAGCACATCCTAGACGATACTTGCTGCATTCAGTGCACATAATACTAGTTTGGCCTGTGCAAATGCGTCACACATGATCCTCGGAGTCTACTAGCTGTACGTTGCACTGCATTACGCCAGCCACAGCGCGTGCACACGTCGGGGGTGATGGCTGCCGCAACCGTGTTGCTCGTCGCGCTCGTCGCGCCCGGCAGCGCCATGGCGCCCGCCGCGACCGCGACCCTGCGCGAACCAGGCTCGCTCGCCGACCGCGGCATCGCCGCGACGCGGTGGGCGGCGCACGCCAAAGCAGCGCAAACGACGCTCGCGCCGCTCCGGCGACTGCTCAACGAAATAGGGGAGACGCCGTCCCTGCGCGCGGGTCGTACGGGAAGCGGCGCGCGGCGCGTTTACCTCGCCGGAAAACACCACCGCCCCACCTTCCTCGGCGTCCAGGACGCTGCCATCGGCGCCTCCACGGAGGTGCCCAACCGCTGGTGGTACGCCGCGGACGCGCGGACGCTCGCGCTCTTCCGGCCTCTCGCCGGGTTAGTGCGGGGGCCGTTGGACGCGCTGCCGCCCCGCGGCGCCCGGTGCGGCAGCGCGTCCAGCGGTCCGCCGACGCTCACGTCCGCCTGCTTCATCGTGGTCGCGTCGGCCGTCGCCCCCGCGGCGTCGCTGTGGCACTTGGACTGGGGCGCCTGCGCGCGACGCGGCGCGGCGTTCACGGCCCTCACGCCGCTATCCGGACCGCAGATGACCAGTGAGAGGTGCGCGGCGCACGGGCTCGAGTACGAGCCGTGGGACGCCGCGCCCGGCGACCTCGCGCGAGTGTATGACTACGCGAGGGGGGACGCCGTCGTCTTCGACGGCCGGCTGCCGCACCGCACCGCGCCTTTCACCGCGAAGGCGCTCGCGCAAGTCTCCGGCGGCCGGCGTCTGATCGTGAGCTTGTCTTTTGCGGCGCGCGGTGGCGGCGCCACCGAGCGCGCCGCGCAGATTCGCGTGCTCGAGGGCCAGACCGGGGGGTATTACGAGCTCGACGGCGCCTGACAGAAGGGGTGCTCTAAGCAGGACAGAAACATCGTTAGTCGAAGGGCTCGAAGCCGTACGCCTCGACGAAGGCCCCGTGGTCCTTGGCGTCGTAGCCGTACCAGAGCCACAGCTCTTGCGACGCGGGCGTCGCGAACGCCGACGGCGCGTCCACCAGCACTCGCGTCCGGTCGTCTGAGAGGTACCACTTCACGCAGGAGTCGAAGACGGACGCCTTGCCGACGCGCTCCCGGGCGCCCGACGCCTCGAGGGCGCCCAGCGACGGGTGGTTGAACAAGTCGAGGAACGGCACCATCGCGTGCAACCGTTCCGCATCCTCGGCGCTCGTGCCCAGATCCAGGCCGCGGCTCCGGCTCAGCTGGACGGCTCTAGCTGCGTCGTCGTCAGCGACGCCGGCCCGGTCCGCGATTCTCATTATCGTCGGCCGCCACGCGTCCTTTAGTTTGACGTCTTCGACGCCGTCCCAGGGCAGCGAGTCGACATAGGCCTTCTGGGCGGCGCACGTCTCATTCGTACCACCAAATCTCAAATACGCGAGCAGCGCCCGCGTGAGCTCGCGCTGCGCCGCGTAGCTCTCTGCTTCTTCACCGCCGAGGACGGCCCGGGCCGCGTCCGCCGTCAAGCAGGCCGCGACGGGGATCTCCGCGAGGCGCGCGCCCGGCGGCACCTCTCTGACCGCGAAGACGCCGAGCCCGCCGCCGCAGGCCTTGGACGGCCGCGGCTCGACGAGGGCCGCGTCGTACGACGCGCCGTGGTAGTCTTTGGCGTTTTGGAGCGCGGTTGCGGCAGCGACGAGGAGCAATGCGCGCATCGATTGACTTGGTGTGTGGCTCGGCATTCGCATGCGTGCGTCCTGCGGGAGAGCTTTCAGAGAGCAGCCACCTGTAGACAGCTGTGCAGGCAATGCGGCGTCCGGTGGGAGAGAGCCTTCAGAGAGCACTCAGCTGTAGAGGCCTTTACGTGTGGAATTGAGCCGAGCAAAGCTGTCAGCGCGCTGTGACGTGTATACAGTGAGACCGTTGAGCGTGAATGAAGCCTATAAGATGTATAGCTAGCTTGTGTTGAGGCTGCACTGCTCTTCTAGTGCCTTACAAGCCGCTAGCTAGCTCGGCGCGACGTGGACTCAACTCGTCCATACTAAGCCGCTGGTGGCCAAATGACGAACAGGAATTGATCACAAAGTTGCGTGCCAGCGATGCATAGCTCCTAACGACTCGAACGCGTATCGTGGCCGCGGGTCATACTGAGAGCAACACTGCTGCCAGCTGCATCATGCGCGCGTGGTGCCTCCTAGCAGCGCTGCCGCTGGCCCACGCTCTGGCGGCCCTCAAGACGCAGAAGACCGCGTCCTACGAGGACACGTGGCAGGCGACGTGGCGCTCGCCCAAGTTCTGGGACGCGTTCGCGCAGAGCACGCCGGACCTCGCGCGGCCCGAGCTCGAGCGCTTCCGCGGCCTCTGCACCAATTTAAGAGAGCGGGACAACGTCGGCCGTCTGACGCGCGAGACCAACGGCCAGACCATCGACGAGCAGTACCGCTTCCCCGGCGTGTCGGGGGGCCGGCGCGCCAACGGCGCGAACCTCGCGGGCACGCCCCGCATGGAGTGGTTCGATGACGGCGGCCTGCGCGAGGCCGCCGCGGCGGCCTGCGGGGAATTGGAAGCGGCCCTCTCCACGGAAGCGCCGCTGGCGGCGGATCATGGAGAGGGATTCGCCGAGGAGCGGAAAGCGGGCGCGTCGGCGTGGAACCGCATGTCCTGGAAGGGGTCGCAGTACCTGCCGCTGCGGTCGGCATCAAATGCTTGGACGGAAACTACAAAAGCGCTGCGCCGGCACGCCGTGCCGGCGGCCCATAGATTTTGCGGCATCTCGCGCCAGGCCGCGGGCTGCCGCGGCAAGGTCCACTCGGACCACCACAACTTTGTCTTGTCGACGCTGACGCCACTGCGCGGCTGTACGAAGGCGACGGGCATCGTCTTGGACGGCGTGGAGACGCCGTTGATTGATGGTGACGGTGGAGACCCGGGCGCGACGGTCTTGGTGGATAACACGTTCGACCACCAGGTGTACAATGATTTGACGGAATCTGCAGAAGACCGCTACGTGTTGATCGTCGAGACGTGGCACCCGGCCCTCACACTGTATGAGAGGCGGGCCATGTCGGACCTTTTTGCGCTGCGGGACTTGTTTGGATTGTTGGAGCACAAGCGCGCGCCCTTCGGCGTGTCCGACGCCGCGGCGGCGTCGTTGCTGGAATCCGGCGGGGGCGTCCGCCTCGACGACTGGAGGCTTCTCTAGTTCGCATTGTTCGCTTCCGACGACGCCGCTACACTGGCGCCTGCTAGGCGATCGCTCGCACCGTTCGTTTCCGACGACGCCGCTCGCACAGAGCGCTCCGTTGCCGATGACGTCCCGTTCGTTTCGAGACCGCTGCTCAGAGTAAATCCAGCGAACTTTCTGATACTGTTACGGTGCTAGGACCAGTGGACGAGCCCCTACATGAGCTAGTGTAGTGGCACACTAGGCTGCCGCCAGGGCACATTGCAAAGTGCCATTTGATGCTGTGGCTCTCTCATTGTGCTGTGGGCTTGGCCGTATAATAGTTTGATAGATCGCTGCGGAAAGACGAGCGCGCAGTCGAATTGCATTGCTGCGAAGGACTAATTTTGGTCATACACAAGAGCTCTGGCTCTGCAAGCAGCAGCAATGCAACCTTGCAGCACGGCAGTACTGCTGCTGCAACTGCTCGCCGCCACGAGCACGAGTCATGCACTCGATGCAGACGCCGCGGCCGCCGCGTGGTCCACGCAAAGAGGAGTACACGCCCCGAAGCTCGCCATCCGCACGACGACTGACAGTGTAGGCGGCCGCGGGCTCTTCGCGACGGATGCCGTACGCAAGGGCGAGGTCGTGGCATCAATCCCGAAGGACCTGGTCTGGCGCGCGCCGGCCCCGGCGGACCTGCCGCCCGAGGGCCGCGCCTGGCAGACGCAGCTCGCCACTCAACTTTTACTGGCGGCGGCCGCCGGCGAGGAGGCGTGGGCGCCGTGGCTCGATGCTTTGCCGACGGACTTCGACGCCTTCGCGTACCTGGACTGCGAGGACGTGGACGGCTGGGTCCAAGAGACGGCGCAACGATGGGGCCTGCCCGCGGACCGGCTCGCGGAGACGCTCGGCGAGCGCCGCGGCGCCTACGCGCGGCGGGCCGCCTGGTTCTTTTCTGCAGAGGGCCCGGCGGCGCTGTGCGGGGCGTCTCCACAAAGTTTCCGCCTGGCCTACTGCCGCGTGCTCTCGCGCGCCGTGACCGTCGACGGGAAGGGGTGCATCGGCCTCGTGCCGTTCTACGACTTCCTGAACCACGGCCGCTTAGGCAGCGAGGCGAACGTCGAGCTTCTGACGTACGGCCAGGCCGTGCGCCGCGCCGGCGACGCGTCGGGCGCCGAGGGCTCGTTCCTCGACCTCGACGACATGTTGCTGGTTGCGACGGCCGACATCGAAACGGGGGCCGAGCTGCTGACGGGATACGCCGACGCGGGCGCCGACGAGGACGGCTACCGCGTCAAGCTGCTGCTCCAGTACGGCATCTGCCTGCCTCCGGCCTAACTTTATTGTGTGACACGCCGCCGCCGCTCCCCAACACACAAAAAGGAGAATCCCGCTATACCGCTCTATTACCCATGAAAGGGGGCGGAAAAGCGAAGGTCATGTTCAGGGTATTGCGCGGCCCCCCGGCGAGCGAGTAGAGGCCGAGCCATTTTTTTCATCATCGGGACGAGGTGCTTCAGCACCGCATCGCCTCCGGCGCGTCCAGGTTCGGGAGCGTCGGCGTGCGCGGCCGCGTCGCGCACGAGTCGCTGCGGTCCTTCGTCTCGCCGGCGACGGCGTCCGGCGGCGGCGGCGGCGGCGCGTCGGCGGCCTCGGGCCCGCCGTCGGAGCGCGCGCGCGCCCGCGGCGGCGACGACGGCGTCGACGACGGCGCCAGTCGGGAAGGCGACCGCGGCGCCGACGCCGCCGCGGCCTCGGGCCCGCTCGCCGAGCAGCGCTCGCGCACCGCGACGAAGAAGTCCAGCAATAACTGCGAGTCCTGGGGGTCCGGCGCGACGCGCGACGCGTCGTCGCGCGCGCGCTTGAGCGACGACGGCCCCCGCGCGCGCTGGAGCAGCCGCCCGTCGTGGTCGACGGCGACGGCGCGGTGCGCGTCGAAGCGCGGCCGCCGGTGCAGCGCGGAGAGCGACCCGGCGCGGCCCCTTCCTTTCAGAGCGGACGACGCCGCGTAGGCCAGCGACGCGTGCTGGAGGTGCGCCGCGAAGCGCCGCTCCATGTCCCGGAGCTCGGCTCGCACCCTGCGAGCTTCCTCCTGGAGCTCGGGCGTCTGCTTGCAGGGCGTGAAGACGCGCTTGCCGATCGACGCGTCGCCCGCGAACTTCTTCGTGATGCGCATCGGGTCGCAGTGCAATTTCTCCGAGAGGTAGCTGCGCAGCGTCGTCCCGGCGGGGCAGGCGAGCATGCCCCGCTCGAATTCGCGAATGACCGCCGCCGTGAACAGCTCCTCCTCCTGCGTCCACTTGCCTTTTCGTAAGGGCGCCTTCTCGCGCTGGGCCGCGACGCGCGCGGCCGCGGTCGTAGCCTTGCCGCGCGGCTTCGAGGGGACGATCGGTCGTTCGCCGCGCGCCGCCGCCGCAGCGGCTGACGCTTCGGCCGCGGTCGTCGGATTCTCCTCGATGCGGGACATCTCCGCCGCGGCGCGCGCCGCGTCGATGATCGTCGGCGCCGGGCCCTGCAAGTCCCAGGCGCGCGTCGCCCAGACGGGCAACGAGGGCTCGCCGCCGCGCGGCGCGCTGCGAGTGCGCGCCGGCGGCGTCTCGGTCTCGTCCGGTGCCGGTCTTTCTACACTCGGCAAACGGGCGGGCGAGTTCGCGCCGCTGGTCGATTGCGGGCTCGAGTTGCCTGTGCGGTTGAAAGTTGAGTTCTGGGTGCCGCGGGCGGTTCTCGGATCTCGGGCGCGACTCGTCGAGCCGGGCCCGGCGGGAGATATGCGTGCCGCGGGGGAGTCGCGGCGGTCCCCGGGTCCGCCTCAGGCGTTTTGGCCGGTTTTGGTGCGGTTGAATTTTAAGTCGCGGCGTCAACGTTCAGAGCGCCAGAGCGCGGAACGTTTTTATGCCGCTGCGTTCCGCGGCTCGTACCGGCTGAAGGGGCGCGGAGTCATGATTTCGGCACGGGCGACTGACCTTCCGTCACCACGGCGGAGATGCGCTCCTCGCCGTTCGAACTCGAAGTCGACGCGCCCGCGGAGCCTTTATCCATGGTGGCGCGCGGGGCCGCGGAGCTGCGCTGAGCGACGGAACGCTGGCGCAGTGATGCGGGGCCGCGCTCGCGTGCGCGTGCGTCGTCTCGTGGCTTCAAGCCTCAAGCTTGCTTTGAGAGCCGCCCTCAGATCCTGCCGGTTTGCGGCGCCGTGCTGCGTCCGCTGGTGCTGAACCGCTGTCCCGTCGGTCGCTGGCAGCTGTGGTACGCTTCCCTGCCGCGTACGAGCACGCGCCGCGAATTTGAGCCTCGGCGTCCAAGGTGCTATAGCAGCGTGCGGCAGGCGCGATGACGTCGGCACCAATTGGGGCTCAAGCCACAAAAAAAAATCGCACGCGTCAGTCTCAGAACCGTGCGAACTACCCCTCAGACGACGCCTGAGCAACAGAAGGCTGGAAGAATCCAAAAAAATCTGCTACACACTGCACACAGGAAAGATCTCCAGTTTGAGGGCCCATTCCTCTTGCACGATGCCGTCGGGCCTGCAGACGCACGGTTCCGACCGCGCCGCCGTGCGCCGCGCGCCTACTAGCAGCCACTAGCCTGCTCCTGCAGCGGCCGCCTGCCCCCAGCGTCGCACAAGACGAGACGCACACCGAAGAAGCACCAGGAGAGGCTGCCTCCAGCACGATCCAACCATAAAATGGCCGACGCCGAAGCAGCGCCCGAAGAAACGGGCCGCCAGCCCCTGAGCGCCATGTGGCGGAGCCAGGGCCCGTCCCCGAGCCGCGTCAAAGTATATAATGAGGAAGCCTTGCTGGACCTCATCCAGCCCGAGCCGGCCCAGGGCAGCCGCGTGTCCCAGACGTCGTCGTTTTTGAGTAGAAGGAAGGCCCAGCAGCGCGCCGAGAAAAAAAGGCAAGCGAGGGAGGCCGAACAAAAGAGAGTAAGGCGCTACAACCAGCAGAAGGAGGACTCTAGGATGAAGCAGGCCGCCGACGAGCGGAAGGCGCGGGAGCGCGTCGCCGAGAACGCGAACCGGAGGGAAAGGCGCTTCGAGTTCCTGCGGAGCGACATCGTCGAAGGTCATAAATTAGCTGATGAGGTCCAAAAACATTTGCAGCTCGAGGACATGAACAAGCAGACGAAGCTCAAGCGCCAGTTCGACGAGTGGAACTCGGAAGTTTATGGCAAGATCCAGGACCAGATAAATGAGCGACTAGATAGTACGACGGCGGCGCAGATCAACGCCAGGAGGCGCCGAGAATACCAGAAGTTCCTGGATGCCACGAACGCGAAAGGAGCGATATTTCGGGACATTATCATCGAAAGTGAATACGACCCCTTGGAGCCAAACCGGCACTGTATCAAGGTTGATACCTATGGGTTGCGCGACCCCATGAAGCGCGTCTTGGATCGGCAGTACGAGGAGCAGGGCATGTTGGATGCATCATCAGATGAAGAGGACAAGAAGCGCAAGCCGCGGCGCCCGCGCCCTCATACAAGAGAGGTGTTAGATGTCAGAGAATGGGCGACGGGCAAGATCGAGGACACGCCCCACGGCTTCTTCGCGAAGATGATGGACGCGACGCCTCGCGCGCCCGGCGAGAAGAAGACGTCGAAGACGTATGATTCAAAAGTGCCGTTCGACCATTTTCAGGTGCAGAAGTCGCTGGACGGCGAGTTCCCGCGGGGAAAGAAGCCCCATTTAGTCCCGACGACGATTAAGCTGGCCTAGTTTTATTTTACTTGTCGCGGCGACGGCGTTGGGGGGAGGCTTCCGAGTTCACTCTGCGCGGCGCACACGCGGGCGAGGTGTATCGTACGCGCGGACGGGAGGTGGCTACCACGGGCGGCCCAAAAATCGGAGTTACTCCTGTGTCTAGATTTTTACGGTGCAGGGATCTCTTGTACGGACTAGTGTGTCGATACACTAGACATTATTGGCTGCATGCGTAGTTGTGCAGGCTTGCACGGCTGCTCTGCCAGCACCGCTGCTCTGCCAATTCAGTCCGTTTGACTATCGTTGTATCGTGACCGGTTTCGTTACTTGTGCATTAGTACGCAACACCTACAGAGAGCATCAGCCTTAGCTCTAAGTAGAGAGCATCACACTCATACGGCACTAAATCGACTGCAAGAGATAGAGATGGGGAATATGCCGCGCCGCAACCACCTCACACTAGCAGCGCTGGCGCTTCCAATAATCTGCGCACTGCGGCCGCCGGCACCAACGACCGCCACGACGTGCCGGCGGTCCACCACCGTCACAGAGACGGAGCGAAGGATGGGGGAGTCCGCCACCGTCGCCGGAGACACAATACAAACAATGGAGCGCGACGGCTTCGCCGTGCTCGAGACGACGCTCCTCGCGCCACACATTTTAAATGAGGCGCGCGACTTCGTCCTCGCGCGCCATTCTACGTTGATCGAGGCTGCATCGAAGCGCGGCGCCGATCTCGACCGCCTCGACTTCTACGAGATTGCCAGTAGGAATCCCGGTCGCTTCGACCTGCGGTTGGATGAAGAGAAGCCCGCGGTCTGGACGACGCTCGAGGAAGCGGTCCTCGACGCTGCCTACAAGCTGCCGCGCGCCGGCACGCGCCCGCCGCGCGTCGAGTACGCCGGCGCCGTCGTGAGCGAGCCCGGCGCGACGGCGCAGAAGCTCCATGCCGACGGCCCGCCGTCCTCGCAAGGTCTGTACACGGTCTTCGTGCCGCTCGTGGACGTGCCGCAAGATGGCGACGGCACGGCCTTCTGGCCGGGGTCCCACGCGTCGCCCGAGAAGCTGCGCGCCGCGGCGGCGTTCAACGCGGCGCGGTTCGACGACCTGCCTCCGGATTTTGAACTGGTGGCGCCGGGCGTGGCGCGCGGGTCGCTCCTCGCCTTCGACTACCGCGTCCTGCACGCGGGCAACCCGTGCGCGCGCCACCGGCCCGTGGCGTACTTCGTCGTCAACACGCGCGACGACGCCGTCGACGACGCGTGGAACTGGGCGTCGGAGCGGCTGTTGCCGCCCGAGGGGGAGTAATTTTGTGGTTGTTGATTGTCGTGTTCGGGGCGACGGCGTATTCTATTACGGGAGGACTAGTGGGCGGAGACACCGCGCGTCGCCGATTCATCGGCGGCGGACGCGTGCCGCGTTTTTAATAACAGCATACTCTTGTCTGGCCTCATCATACACACCCATCAAAACCACCTGAGGCTTGTAGTGACACACTAGGTTTCTGCCTCACTCGAGCTCATTCGCGGGGTCGCGTTGGAGCACTTACAACCACAAGCAGTCCATAAGAATTGCACAATAAAAGCGCAACCATCCACAGAAGCTGCAAAAGCCGCTAGGCCCGCGAGGGGCAGCGATGCGCGCCCTCCAGTGCAGCCTCGCGCTGGTCCTGTGCAGCCTCACAGCGCTGGTGGCTGCCCAAGAGGTGTACCGCTTCGATTTCTCGCTGGACGACCAACCATTGAGCGGCGAGTTCACGTCCGATCAAGACCTGTGGCAACTCGCGGCCGACTTCGTCGCCGGCCGGGGCTGGCGATTGGAAGAAGAGTCACGAGCGTGCCGCGACGCGAGCACGGAGTTGGAAAGGGACAACTGCGCCGTCGCGCTGCTCGTCGAGCTCTGGAGCCAGGCCCTGCCCCAGTCGCCGGAGGGCTGCCCGACGGCGGGCTACGGGTCGCGCGTGCGGCTCTTCGTGGCGGTCCCGTCCGCGGCCCACTACACGTCGAGAAGACAAGCCATCCGCGCGACGTGGTGCGCACGAGCAAAACAAGCTTTGGTCACGTCGGGCGGCCAGGACTCGGCGATTGTGGCGTTTTTTGTGGGGAGCTCGGAGCACGACACCGCCATCCGCGCCGAGAACGCGACGCACGGCGATCTGGTGATGGTTCCTGTGAAAGATGCGGCGACGAACGTCACCGCGAAATTGTTGTACTCGCTCCACTACTTTTCCGAGCGGGACTTCACGCATTACATACGAGTGGAGGACGACGTCTACCTGTTCGCGGATCGCTTGATGGCCAATTTAAGGGCCGTCGACGCGTCGCGACATGGTGGGCGGTGGGCGTTGGCAAGGTACGCGACGAACGAGTCCCTACTGCCGGGCATGTCGTACCCGCGCGGCTTTGCCGTGTTGCTTCCTCATCGAGTAGCGCATGGACTGGCGTTACTAGACGAGACGATGGGTCTCAGTGTAGCGTCGCGAGCAACAGGACAATATGGAATCGCAGCTACAGGAGCCAAGGGCGGCTGGGTGCGCAACCGCTTCTGGTGCGACGATCAACATCTCGGGTTGTTGCTACACCCCACGCAAACGCATCTCGAGGACGAGCCGCGCTTCCACGACCTGCCCGGGCGTGGGCCCCACGCGCAAAGAGTTTCCCATGCCTCCATGGCCGTCAACGCCGTGCAGACGGACGCCGAGTTCCGAGCCTTGCACGCCGGGGCGGCTCTAGGCGGCAACGCTTATATTGCGGAGGAGGCCTGGACGCGCGAAGGCGAGGAGATCGTGGTCCGGGCCGATCTTGACGGCACGGCGAACGTCCTGCGCATCGCGGACCCCGCGCGGGCCGGCGCGGCGGCCTGCGACGCGTCGGCGCGGCGGGCCGCCGACGCGGCCCGGGACGCGTATCCCCACGTCCAACAGCTGGACACGGCGCTGCGGGCCGCGCTTTTGGCCGTCTGCGACGCCGCGGCGGCGGGCGAGACGGACTGGACGCTCGGCTACCGGCCCGCGTATCGCGGCACGGAGCCGCCGTCGGCATTCGTCGCGCTGCCGGTGGTCGCGTTCCGGTCGGGGTAGTTAGGATGTTTTATACTTGTCTAAAAGTTAGATCAACCACGCGGCGATTTGGGGTGCAAGGTGCTTCAGACGATTTCGCGACGGGTGCTCGGCGTTCCCGCCGATGACATGCTTCCGAACAATTATGGCGCAGTGTTTTCGTAGTAGCGCTCTCATGCGGGGGTGGCTGTTCGCCAACTCGAGCGGCGTCCTTCCTCTATGGCTTATTCCATTGGCATCTGCGCCATATTCCAATAGGAGTCGCACGAGACGAAGCTGGTCGTCACAACCCGGACTGAAAAAAACCACCGCTTCATGAAGTGCCGTACCCCAACTGCGCCCCACCAGGTTGGGATTGGCGCCGTGGTCCAGTAAAAACTTTGTCTCCTCGATTAATGGATGTCGTTTGCTACATAACTCCATGAGCGGCGTAGTTCCTTCTTCACCCTCCGAAAGGTCGACCTCAGCACCGCGGCTTAGCAAAAGCTGCAAGAGTTCGATCTTTACCTGGCTCGAACTGCATGCCGAACGTAGTGGCGTTTCGAGGTCCCCCCTGCCGCCTGCGAGTTTATTCACGTCCGCGCCGCGATCGAGTAGCAGCGCGGCCGTGGCGAGACACCTTTCGTTCGAATTCGGAAGGTTGCCCCAAAGCGCATCATAGCAGACATGCGTCAGGGGAATGCTGAACTCCCCTGGGCGCATGTGTTTGTTAGTAAACTCTTCGTTTGGTGATAATACAGGTCCCTGATACACGTTGTCCAGGCACTTGCGAACTTCTTCGACATCACACCAGTTGCAGCAACCTCGGAAGTACTCTTGGAGAGTCATTTCTATAGCGCGCGTCTCCGTGGCTACAAACAATAGTTATTGCCCTAGAAAACCCGTTTTTTTCTCAGTCCCTCTCTGCGCGCTGCTAACTGCGCTACTTCGCGAGCTAGTAATAAAACACAATTTGTCTTACTACCCCTTGTACACCGGCGCGTTCTCCACCGCCTGGTGCGGGTCATTCTTCAGGAGCATCGGCCCCGTCATCCCCAGCTTCTCCTCCTCCGCCGTCAGAGCGCGCATGGGCCCGTCCGGTTCCGGCTCGGGTTCTGGGGGAGGGGCGTTCTGTTCCGCTTCTATCGCCGCCAACGTCTTCCCGGCGCCCTCTTCACCCTCTGCACCACCAGCAACGGGGTCGACGCACGTCAATCTACCATCCATGACGTTGTAGAAGAAGTTGCACTCAAACCTAGGATCCCAGTACTGCTCCCAGCCTTGTTTTTCTCCGACGAATTCGGACCGCTCGATGCGCTGCCTGTAAGCCACTTCCCAGTTCGGCTCCGCCCAAGACGCCCTTTTCGTGATGGGGTTGAGCCAGAAGTAAAACGCGGACTTGGGCTTCAGGACGTTCTCATGACTATAACGGCCCCACTCGCCCCACTCGGGCCGCTCCTCGACCTGTGCGCCAAGCGACCGGTGACTCGTTCTCGGTCGCGGCGATGGCGCACAAACGACGCGCCGCGCCATCGAGCGGACGCCGCGGCGATGGCGTATGAACGACGCACCGCGCCCTCGAGCAGACGCCGCGGCGATGGCGCACAAACGACGCGCCACGCCATGGTTTGAAGTGTGAAATTGATTCGCGCGCCGTTCCCCACGAGTTCGCTGTTCCGCACGACCGTGTTGCTCGGAGTAGGCGTATGGAATTCCCCGCCCGGCAATCTCTCCAGCTCGAACAATTCAAAGTTCTCGATGACCGCCGGCCGCGCCGGATCCGGCGCGTCCTGCGTATCCTTCAAAGCGGAGATGGCCCGGTGGAAGAACCGCTCCGCCCGCGGGATGTCCTTCACGAGGTACTGTTGCAGCAAAGCGTAGTTCAGTAACGCCAGAGGGTTCTCGCGCTGCGCGACGCAATTCCAGTGGTACATGGACTCCTCGGCGATTTCAAATCTTTCTCTACCAGGATCTCGCAACTCCGCGTTCTTGAAGTAGTCCAGGGCCTTCCTAAAAATTCGCTCCCGCGGCGCTTCGAGCGTCGCGAGCATGAATATGCCGTAGGCCCTTAATAGTACAGGATTCTCGGGACTTATTTCCATCGCATCTTTGTAGAGTTTCTTCGCACCAATTAAGTCAAACCTTTGCGTAGCTAACAGTAGGGCGTAGTTGACCATCGACGACAACCGGTCGGGGTGCTCCTCGTACTTCTGCTCCACCTCTCGTATCATGCGTAAAGCCCTCACAATATCCGCGAACGTCGGCGCGCCAAAATCAGCGGCTTGTTTGGCCCGATAGGCCTTCTGCAGATTACGAGCCGCGTCCTCGACCGACATCCACGACGTCTGGCCCGTGTAGGGATTCATGTAAAACACGTCGCCGTTCTCGTCGTACATCGTCCGCCACTCGTCGGGCGGGTCGGGAAGATCGCCACCCCCCAAGAGTCGCGGCGGGTCCCAGCCCATCTCGTTCGTCTTCAAGTTGACGTAGAACCAGCCCTGAAAATCTCTATCCCAGCGCTTCTCCCAGTTCGCGCAGAGCATCAGTCGGATGCGTTTGATGCTCTGCATCATCTTCCAGAGTCCTTGTAACGACATTGCTGCTTTCTCGACGGCGACCTCTTCCAATTCATACTCCAGGATCAATCGATGACGTTCCCTATCTTCTCCGGCTCGTCGGTACTCCACTATTCGCAAACGATCGATGAGCCACTGTAGCAACAACAGCAAGTTCTCCTTCATCAGGAGAGGATGGACGAGTCGAGGCGCCCCGGGCACGGCCCCTTCCCGCTTAATAGACTCGTCCGTCCGAGCCCGTCCCACGCCTTCGTCCGCGACCGCATCGACGGTACTAGGTCTAGAAGTGCCTGGAGCCGGGGCCGGCAGCGCCTCGCCCTCCGCGATGGCCTCCTGGTCCTCCTTCTTCTGCTCGAGGTTGTGCTGATCCACTAACTTCTGGGCCTCCCTCAGATCGTCCTCGTCCTGCTCGATGCCCGTCGCGTGCAGCCGGAGCGTCTTTCTCGCGTCCGCGACTCGCTTGAGGAACTCGCTTCTCTCTTTAGCCTGCTTCCTTTCTTCATCTTGCTCGATCCAGGCTTTTATAAATCTTGTGGTTATCGAAGTACGTAAAGTCTCGCAGTTCCTATTATTATAGGCATGAAAAACAATCTCGTCGTCGCTGTGGAAACAGGTCACAACATACTGCGTGCCCTTCTTCACCGCCGCCTTCTCGAGGTCTTCTGAATCTTTCACCTCGCCGTCCTCGCCCGGCGCGCCGATACCGATGAACTTGCCTACCTTATGAACTTGCTTGCCGCGCTCGGCGCGGCCTCGTCGCGAGAAAATGACCACTGGTTTCCCATTGATCACTCGCACCAGCAACCGGTCGGCGATGGCCATGATGTTGTCCGGATCTAATATTTCCGCTCCGGATAGGCCATCCCTACCCACATGCCCTTCGATGGCTAACCGAACCTCCAAGTCATCAAGGATGAACGTATACGTCTTCTGCGACTGCGGCACGAAGACCTTCAGCTTCATGCCGTAGTCGATGCACGCGTTCATCCTAGATGGATCGAGTCTTTCAATTCTTAAACAAACCATCACTCCGGCCATCCTCTTGGTCCGCCGGAACACGGTGGCTCGGTCTCTCGTTAATCTTCTTTCATGTTGTTCCTTCCGTCTAGCAATGGCCCGTTCCCGTTTATCTCTCCGCTCCTCCGCGACCCGTACTTTGTACTCCCTACTAATTTGAGTGTATCTCAACCACGACTGTAGACGATAAGATGATAATATGCGATACCGATACAACTGACTAAGGTCCATCTGCCTCCTCCTCACTAAGTAAAACCGATGGTACATGTATCTCCGACCATAAGCTTGTATACATACGACCGCCCCGAGCTTGCAGAGATACAACGCCCTGTACCATCTCATCCGGTGCCGAGCTTGCACTCTAATTGACGCACATTGCCGCAAGCCCTCCTCCTTGATCGCCAGTATTTTCGCCTCGCGCCACGCTCGCTTGTTCATCTCCGGGATCATGACGGTCTTTTCAAATAACAGATGTTTTAGGGTGTCCATTTTGAACCACTCCCAGTCCTCTGCAGTGACTTCGTTCTCCTCCTCCTCAGAACTCTCAGAAGGTGTCCTGAGGGCCTTGTTCTCCCTACCGACAAATTTGAACGCCGCGATGATGTTCTGTTCGGGCGCGGCCTCGCGAGCACCCAACTTGCCCGTCATGGCCGCACTCTCCTTGAACCGATCCAGTAACGAACCGCCTCTCCCCCCAACAACGATCTCGTGCTTCCGCAGCGTCTCGTGGTCCACCCGACCCGCCAGGTTCTTGAGCCTTGAAGCCTCGGCAGCTTCTTCTCTTTGCTGCTTCTCGAGCTTCTCCTTGTCCGGATCGACAAACACCGGAAACTTCGTAAAGGCTACCTCAGTAAGTGCTTGCCTCAGCTGCGCCCTGGTCATCTTACCTCCTCGGTCGAACGTACCATCTTTTTTCTTGAACTGCCTACGCATGGCCAGGTCCACTTGCGCGACCCTCATGGGGTCCTGCATGCCCGGGATGAGTTCATAGTCCTTCGCGAACTTCGACCACTTCTGACTGTCCACATTTTCCGTCTGCGGGTACCACGAGCACAGCATCGAGTGTAATTGATCGACTAGATGATTGGGATCTATATCTTCAAAATAATGGAGTCGTTGTTCGTGGATCTGTGCATTTCTGGAGCGGACATCCACTACTAACGTTTCTATATGTTCATATGTTAAAGGTACCCTGAAATGATTTAAACTCATTGGAGAATTGATGAAGTCGCGGACGGGTACGACCCTACCCTCATCAAAGGCCCGCCGCCACTCCGGCCGCAGGTCCAAAGCTCTAGGAATAAGTTTGTAGACAGGTAGGTTCGACAAGCGCGTGCCGTGCGGGACCACGTCTTCTGGATCGACGTCAGGGAGCTCGTCGGCCTTCTTCTCCGTCTCTTCCCGCTCCAAGCCCGTTTCGCTATCTAAGGACAATCGCGTGTTCCTCGACACGCGACCTTCCTTCGCCGAAATACGCGCGCGCTGCATCTTGCGCTCGGCCTCGACCGGTGCGGACAGGAAGTAGTCGTACTCGCGTCCGATAACGACCTCCGTGCCGCGCATGGCCAACAGTGTACTGTGGTAAGCATCATCTAGATACGGTGGAGCTTCCGGGTCCGGCTCGAGCGGGTAAAATCTTTTCCGGAGGTGCGTCATCGGGTTCTGGTCACACGGGCAAAAAGCGAACTTGATCTGATCATTTGGTAGGATATGCTTCCATTCGTGCGTTTTCGCAATTCGGTACGACGCGCCATCGATGGAGCCTACTCGCAACACATCTGCCGAAGTGACGTCAAATAGCGCCAAGTCATCTTGTAAAGTGATCCTTCTGGAACCTTGTGTAGTGGAGGCCGTCGTCTCGAGGGGAATAGCGACGACATCCAAGGGAGGTGCAGGACCGTCGATGAGCTCCGGGTCCGCAGCGGGTTTCTCGGCGTCGGACCGCGCGTCCTCGTTCTCGACCCGCAGAGCTTTTCCCGCTCGTACCGCATGTCTGCGTTTCCGTCGTCGTCGCCGTCGTTTCTTCTGTTCTTCCTCAAATTCTTCCACAGCTTCTGGTCCGGCATTAACAGCTCTTAATCTACGGATCTCGTCCCGCAATCTTCGAGCGTCATCATCCGCCTGCGTCGTCCAGGCGTAGCCCGCGCCCTCCTGCTTGTTAGGTAAAGTTAAGTCGCCCCGCCTGACGTTCTTCAGCTTCCGGTCCTTTTCCGGTGGTTTGCTAGGAAACGTCACGTCGACGCGGCCGCTCTTCCGTATGCGCTCGATCGTGCCGGGCGTGCCGTCGACCATTACTTTTGTCCCTACTTTTAGCTTCCCTTCTACCGGCTTTACGGCTAGGATGAGGCAAGGCTTGCATTCCACGGCGAAGCGATACGGTTCTTGCTTCCGCGGACACGGCGCGCCCCGGTAGACAAACCGAAAGTCCTCGGGCACGTCCACGTCGTCGAACTCCAGGTGGATCAGCTTTCGAGCTTCTTCTAGCGTTGTACTATCGTCGACAGCCAAGGAACCAAGTAAGTGCCGCTTCTTCGAGCCACCGACGCCGACAGATAACGTATGCTTTTCGTGCACGAGCATGGTTTCCAAGGTGTATCTATCATTTGTGGTGGCTTGTAATGAAGCGTCGTCGCCCGGTTTCCTACTCTTTCCACTAGTTTTCACTAATTTCAACTTGGGCGCCAATACGGCCGCCAAAGCACCTCTGTAATAAGGATGTAGTAACCCTTCCCGGTCTTTGAGCTCACCCTGCACGAGCAACCGCATCTCCTTCTCGTCGACGACCCTTGACAAGTCGAAGGACGGGCTCACGGACGGCACTTGGAGCGGCTTCGATTTTAACGAAGGTTTATCCTCGTCTTCCGACGCGTCGGAGTCGGTGGGCAACACCACCTCGGTGTCATTCTTCGCGAGCTCCACGCCCTCGTCGATAGGTGGCGGCCCGACGGTGCACGCGCGGAAGAGGAGTGAAGTGCCGCGTACCAATGCTTGCAGGTGCACAGAAACACCACTGATACGGCGCACCTCGCGGTGGACCACCCTATCTAGATGGAGTACGGCCTCACCCTTTGTACTGGGTATATCTCCGAAGGACTTGCGCGGACCCACTTGGGTAGGACGGGGAGCTCGTAACCACTCGACGGCGACGCGCTGCCTCAGCGATGCGAGCGCCGCCAGTCGCGATTCGCCCTTCGGGGCGTAGCGCGGCGGCTTGGTCAACGCTCGCAACTCATCGATAGTGACATCTTGCTCCACCAACGCCGAGGCTCGCTGATCGGCCGCGCCGGAATTATCCGTAGGCTTCAGCCGTAGAACCAGAACATCGTCTCGCTGGACCGCGTCGAAAATACACTTTTGGGGTAACGACGGCGCCCGCGCGACTTGCGGCGGTAGCGGTACGGAGCGATCCAGGTACAAACGACTCACAAGGTTCGGGTCCGGCGCGTCGCCCGGATTGTGCGCATCGGCGCGGTGCCGCCGCTCGAAACGCAGACGACTGGCGATCCACTGCGCCACGGAATCCAAAGCGCGCCACTTCTGTCGCGCGCGCTCGTACAACCCTTCTTGGTGGACTAACAATAACTGTAGTTCAGCATCATCAACCGTCAAATGCATAACATCAATAGGATCGTGGCCCTGGGCCGCGATCTGCTCCCGTTCCCAGGGGGTTGGTTTGGCGGTAATTTTCAGGGAGATGGTCGGTGTGTTTCTACAGCTCTTGGGCGCGACGGTCGCGTCGTTGTGGGCCCGTTCGGGCTTCGAGACGGTCACATCCAACTGCACGCTGTTCAGGACTTTCTCGAGGCGATGCAACACGTCTACCGTAGGCACGCCCACATTTTTGTCGGACGTGACCATGAGAGCTGCGAGTAAGGGCTTCAGTGTTTTTTTACGGTCGTCCAGAGGTAAGGTAACTAATTCCGACGGGAGCTTGCCCGTTAGTCTATCAACATCGACGGCTGGTAAGGCCCGAACGGGCCAGGGCTCGATGCACGTCGGCTCCTGCACTATGATGAGTAAGTGTTCCGTGCCATTTATACCAAGCTTGTACTCCTGCTTCGTCGCGTCCACATAGACACTCTGCAGTCGTAAGGACACACTTTTACCACCAAGAATGACGTCACCGGCGTAGATCTCCTCCTTCGTCGTCTTCGACTGGGGATCGTGCATGCTGACGCGTCTCGTCGTCGGGTCCACGAAACTTGATACCGGCTTCATCTGCTTCGTGCCCCGCAGTTCATCTCTCAACTGAGCCACCTCGGTCCACAGATTGTGGACTAATGACCTAACCTCCGACGTGTCCTTGACCTCGCCGTCAGCGATGTTCGGCATCGATCTCCTTTCCGTCCTCGTCCGGAGGACCGTGGCGGCTCGTTGAGCCCGCGTCTGGCGAGGCGGTAGTTTGCCATCGTCTACGATACGATCGTCATCACTCGAAGATTCGACGTCCGCCACTAAACCAGTGACCGCCTCCTCGACCCGGTCGTCGTACTGCTCCCTGGTTTTGGACTGGACTTCTTCTTCCCCTATTTTGGTGCCCTGCACAACAACAACTTCTCTCAGCCACGCAAACACGGCGCCGGCGGCTGCGGAGAGCGCCGTGACTTCCGCTGCCGTGAATCGTTCCGCCGTGAGGACGGGCCACAGGAGCTGCAGGACTTCCCTCGGCAAGCGTCGCGACGCGTCGAAGGCTTGCAGTTGCGTCGCTAGTTTACGAGGTGCTTTCAAGAGTGTGTGCCTCAAGGGCCGCGACTGCAGAACTTGCGCATCTGGTAATCCTCTCCCGTGCGTCTTGACCGCTTCGGGATTCAACACTAGATGCAAACAAGTGAACGTCGCCACGATCGGTAGGGGCGGCATGGAGTCGTAGCCGAGCAGTTCCAGTTCAGGCGGGTCCAAGGCGGGCGGCTTTACTCTCTCCAACTCCGACGCTGATAGTGCCAATCGTGTCGGTAGCTCCGTTTGAGGTTTAGGCCCGGGCGCGACGTGGTCCCGCACGCGTTTGATGGCCTCTGCCCTCTCTTCGGCAACGAGCGCTCGCGCGACGCGCCTCCTTCGCAGAAACGCCAGTCGATCAGACGTCGCTGTACTTCGTTTGACGACGGCGTCGGCGGGCAGGTCGCCCTCATCCTTTGTTGATGCCAATGTATCAATATCTACTTCAGTAAGTAGAGGATTCCGCGACACGGGACCCTTGATTCGACATTCCGATGGAGTCGCCTGCAGCAACTGCTTGACATCGTCCCCGGAAGCTAGCGTGACGAGGTAGTTCGCCCCCTCCCACAGAAAGGGCGGCGGCGCGGTCTGCACGTTTTGGACGTCATCTAGCGCGGCGACTTTCTGGCGCCACTCGACGATGGCCTCGACGGCTTCTAACGTGCGCTCCCGGAGCTCATCTATCAATTGCCGCGCTTGCTGCTGCTTTTCTGCTAGTCTTTGGGAGTCCTCGAGCTGCGTTCGTTGTAGCAACGTAACAAGGTCGGCCTTGTGGACGCACCCCTGGTAGTCCACGCCGCGCTCATCAAGGCGCCTTTTGAGCTCCTCTATACTAGCATCGGTCGACTCGATGACAACCTCGGACAGACCAGGCAGCGCGTTAAGCATCGCATCTAATGCTGCTTCCCTTCGAGTAGCGCTCCTAGCAGCTGCATCGTACGCTTCTAACGCCTCCGTACGCGCGTCCAACGCTCGTTGCTCGAGGGACATGGGGAAGCCGTGCGCGTCCAGGTCCTTGCGCTTGGCATGGCGCTTGGGCGTCGGCCTTGCAGCTAATTTCGCGAGCTCCCTCTTGGCTGCAAGTTGAGCCATCTTGCCGTAGGGCGACTGCTTATAGGTCAGCGTCCGGTGGAAGGCCTCGTCGGGCTTGTATGCCGGTATGCCCGGTTTGCTGTTTAGCGTCTGGTCGTACCCCTGTTCCAACTGCAGCGTGCGCAGGGCGCTGTGTTCGGGGGTGCGTTTGACGCCGCGCGGTGGTGTCCTTGCACGCGAGGCGCCGCCGCTCAGCGCTATCGAGTGCATCGCCGAGCCAGTGGCCAATTCCGCTCTTGCTAGTGAAGCGACGGACGGCGGCGTGCGGACGCTCGACCAGTCATTGGCTAGTCGTTTCGGCGTCGACGGTCGCGTCGGCTCCCAGGCCTTCGGTGGGGGGGAGCGGGCCGCCATCCTTGCTGTTTTTGTGTTATGAGTGCCTCTTTGATACGGTGGTTCTGGCCTCGCGGGCTGCTTGGCCCGAGTGCTGTGGTGTCGCTGGCTTGCTTAGCTGCTGCCCATCCCGTCCCGCAGGGCGTGCAGCGGCCCTTTTGCCAAGCGCTGCCCAGCCCTGCCGAGCGGCGCTGATGAGCCTAGTAGGGTGATGCGCGCGGGACACCAGCTGTGTTCCGGGCTCCGATACCTCTCTCGGAGAAGGCTCCCAGCCTTGCCGGTGATTGTGCGGGTTTCGTGCGCCGGGTCGTCCCTAGACTACATTACGAGCTTGTAAACTGCGGCGCCGCAAACAACGCGCACGCGCGCCAATCGCCCGTCAGACACCGTCGGCGCGCGCGCGTCGCTTGAACGCGCGACGCCACCTCAATTTCTTTTAGGTCAATTACATAAAATTAACACAATGGTGAGACATCGCGTCCGCGGTCCGCCGGGCGGGCGTCACGGACGCCGTATGTACCCACGCGGCCGCGGCGGCCGGGCCCGGCCGCCGCCCACGGCTTCTTCGTCGAAAAAAATCTCGCGCCGGCCGCTGGTCGCCGACTCGCCACCGGACGCCGCCGCGCCGCGCAGGGCTCCGCCGCCTCCACCTCCGCCAAGCCCGCCAAGGACGTCGTGCTCGCCAAGCCGCTTATCCGCCACGAGCGCGCGGCCGTGCTCCGCGAGATCTTCGACTCGCTCGACGACGGCGGGCGCCCGCGTCGTAGGATCAACAACAACAACAACAACAACAACCAATCCCACGCGCCGCCTCTCTCCTGAGAGAACCGCCGGGGCCGGACCGCTCGAGACCATCGCGGTCCGGCCGCCGACGGCACGTGGACTCCCGTGCCGTGGGCCCCCGCTTCACTGCGCGACCACGCGCAGGCGACTTCCAGATCTCGCGCGCCGAGTACGTCCGCCTCATGGGCACGCGCGGTGTCGCCGCTGGAGAGGCCAACGCCACCTGTCGGAGACCAGCGCGGAAATCAACCAGTGCGTCAGACCGGCCTGGACTTACTCACCCGAACGTTTGATTTCCGCACAGTCTTCGACATGGACCACTCGGGCAGCAACCTCATGTGCCATACCCGCGTCGGAATCATCACGCCATCGCCGTGACGTAATTGACGCGATCGCGACGCAGGACCGTAGCGAAGTTACCTGTGTGGAAATCAAAATTTACGGCGCGTTCGCGCTGAAACGCTGCGTCGACCTCACGCCATCGACGCGACGCCTGCTCGACGGCGTGGCGATGCCGGTTCATCACCGTTCGACGGAACCAGCGCGGCCACGTTATCGCCGAGAAATGATTTAGTGAAGAATTATCGGGTGCACCCGACACACTGGTTGATTTCCACACAGGAAGTTACAACACTACGCCTATACCAAATCCATCGAGCTCATCGCCGACAGCTTCAAAGAAATAGACCTCCAGGACGGCGCGCGCCGGCGCGAATTTGAACGGTACCAGTCGCCTTCGCGTACGAGCTTGCCTACACAGGCACGCGCGACCGCCAGCTGACGGGCAAGGACGTCCGCTTCTACTTATTGGGCGCCGGTCTGTCGAAGGACCAGGCGGTCCGCGTCTGGGAGCAGCTCGACGAAAACGGCAACGGCAAGGTGTCGTATCCCGAGCCCTTCCCGGTGCGGAAATCAACCAGTGCGTCAGGCCGGCCTGGCCGCCTCGACGAGCTCGGCGTCCTCGCACGAGGCGTCTTAGGCTTACTCACCCGAGCGTTTGATTTCCGCACAGGTTCAAGGCGTGGGCCCAGGACAGACTCGCCGACGTCGCCGTCGACGACATCAACTACACCACGCGCTCGAACGTGAACGTCGGCCAGATCCAGAAGGCCGCGGCCGCGAAGATCGGCGCCTGAGCGCGGCGCGCGTAGTAGACGACCTCCCCCATCCCCCTGTGTATACCTACCTGTTCACAAAACACTACTAGTATTCCCACACACCGCCGGCCGCAGGAGAGTTATCATTTCATAGTACTCAGGCTTATCACATGCGCCCCCCGAGCGTCGGCATCGCCTCGGGCGCCGGCGCGGCCACGGCAGCAACTCTAGGCCTGGAAACGGCCTTTCAAGATCAATGCGCGTGCCCGCAGTAGACGGGCGCGTTTCTTCGCCTCGGGGTCGAGCTCGGCGATGGACTCGGCGATGGACTCGGCGACGGGCTCGGCGACGGGCTCGGCCGCGGCCTCCTCGGCCTCATTGGCCTTCGCCGCGCCGCGCGCCCAGTAAGACACAATAATACGAACGGCCTCCCACGGGAGCCGGAGCCCCGGCGCGAGTATCGCCACGAGCGGCTCGTTGTGCCGCTGCTCCTCGCGGGCCTCGGCCGCCGCGAGCGTCGCCCTCTCCGCGAGCGTCATGCATGAGTCGGCGCCCGGCCAGCTCCAGTGCGGTGGCCGCAGGCCGCCATCAATAGGAAATTGAGCCCGCCAGTCGACGGCGCGGTACTTGCAGGCCTTGGAGTGGTTGAAGGCGGCGATCGCGTGGCTGAAGACTCGGCCACACTTGTGCTTGCAGGGATAGGTCCGCGGCCCGGTCCTGGAATGCATTACCGACCAGTGTTGAATAACAGCTCCTTCGGACCGACCGGTCCCGAGGCGCCCGGCGATCTGCTCCCACGTCATCGTCTCGCCCTTCTTCTTCTCTTCGACGAGCGCCCGCAGCGCGTCCTCCTCCGCCGGGCTCCATGGAAGCCCGGTGCGGTCGCCGAAGGGTAGGCTCTCGGAGATGGCCGGAGACGCGTCCTCCGGGGCCGCGCAGCTCCCCAGCGCCGAGACGAACCCCGACCTCGCGTCCGCTCCGACGCACGTCATCAACAACGAGGCCGCCGCCGCCGCTGGCGGCGCGGCGGCGGCGCTGGCCGCGGCTTCGATAGGCAGTGGTGGTGCGGGCAACGGTGCGGCGGCCGGCGCCGCGTCACCCTTCGTGCAATCCATAGTACGGTAACGGTACGGTGCTTTGCCCTTCGTGATCTGTTCCGGCGCGGGCGGCGGCGCGACAATCAGAGCAAAGTCTCGCCCCTCGTCACTCCGATTGATGCGATCATTTGCTATTTTTCTTGCCTCGAACCGGCGCGACCTCTCCGACGCCCTCCGGTTCCGGATGAGGATCTGGACCTCGCTCAGGTCGACGCCGAACGCCCTCGCCGCATCAGTCTGAGAATTGAAGCTGCGCCACGACGCGTCGCCGACGTGGCGCATCTCAACGGTCGGCCGCCAACGGCTTCCCATCTCCTCGGACTTGACCCAGGCCTCCCACTGCGATAGAACCGGCCAAAATCTATTGATGTCCTCGTCGGCAGCAAGCGCGACGATCATCACCGCAGCGGCCTCCGGGGACGCGTCGCGGCAGGCTACTGCGACCCCTAGCGTCGTCTCCGGCTGAACTATCATCTGTGTGGAAATCAACCAGTGAGTTAGGTTGTCGAACTTTGATTTCCACACAGGTACCGACACTCAGCGCAAGCTCGCTGGTGCACGCTCTTAGGCGCACCGTGCTCTGGATTCTACTCAACAGCTCGATGTCTCGTCGGCCGTACCCAGTAACGCGCGCTTGGGCCGCTTTGATGGCTTCCTCGACAGGAACCCGCGGGCCGCGCTCCTTGATGTCCTCGCGCGCCGCCCGCAGCATCCTGACGTACTCTCTCTTCACAGCCGAAGGCAAATAACTATCGTACCTCCATCTCCTCCATAACTCCTCCAAGCAGGCCTCGTCCGGCACGAACGGCCCGTCGTTCGTCTCGAACCACGACCTGCAATAGTCTTTGAGAGCGTCGGCAGCTGGGAGGGAGACGGCGGTCATCTTTCCTCCTCGACATAACTCTATCGCATCAGCCTTCGCAGAGCTACCCATCGCACAAGCCCACGTCATCGCCTCGATATTACCCAGGGAGTCGACCTCCTCTCTGCTGAGCTGGCCGCCCCGCAGCACGCGCGCTTGCACAGCCTGCCGGCGCGCCATGTCCGGCGTCCAGTCGCGCGTCTCACTCTTCTTCTTCTTCTCGACTGGAGTCGCCTCGCGTTTCTTCTTCTTCTCGAGGTTGACCCACTTGGCCCGGACGTCCTCGGGCGTGCGGCCGCCCTTCTTCAAGACGGAGGACTCGCGCAGGATCTTGGCCCACTTTTCGCCGTGGAGCTTGTAGCCGTCCTTGAGGGCCTGCGTCTCGTCGGCCGTCCAGTACCGGGGCTTCCGCCGCGTCGATGACCCTTTCGCAAGCTTCTTCAGGTACTTCTGGTTGTGCGTGTGCACTTGTGAATACGTTCTAGATTGCACGAAGTCGGCGACCTTGCTCAAATTCTTGCCGAACAATTCCAGACCTCTCAAAAAGCGCGCGTGCTCGTCCTCGGTCCACCGGCCCGTGTTCTTGTTCTTCTTCACCGTGGGCTCGTCATCCTCAGACATCTTCTTGGGCGCCGCTTCGACGTCCTCCTCCGACTCGGACTCGGACTCCGACGACTCCGACTCCTCGTCCGATGAGGACGCGTCGTCGTCGTCGTCGTCGTCGTTGCTGCTCTCGACGACGGCGCGCTTCGAGGCCGCGCGCCGCGGCCGCGTCGGCTTGGAACCCGCCCCGGCCGCGGACAGGAATGACGACGACGCGTCGTCCTCGGACTCGTCGTCGTCGGAGACAGCTATCTGGCGACGCTTGCGCGCATGCTGAGCGTGCGTGTCGCGTGCGCGGCCGTCGGCGCCGAAGGTCACCTCGTCGAGTCTCGAACGCCGCTTGACGGGCGTCTGCGGCGAGGCTCCTCCCCGCCGATCCATGAGTGATGCTCCTGGGGGCAGCCCAATGAACCCGCGCTGCGAATGCCGAACTCGCGCCGCGGCAGGGCTTTAGCTCACGACGCTCTCGATGCGGGAGACGACCCGGCGAACCCGCACAATCACCGCGCAAGGCTGGGAGGCGTCTCCTAGAGAGGTATCGGAGCCCCGGACACAGCTGGTGTCTCGCGCATCAACCTCAAGCAAACCACGGCACTGGAGGCTGAACGCGCCGCACGCCACGCGCCGCATAAATCGATTACGACTGCAGAGATGCGCGCATCGCTGCTCATTTTCACCGTCTATCACTCTGCCGGCGCTTACTTGCAGCCGCGCCGCCCACAGAGACCGCTAAGCCGCCTTGCTCTCACACCACTCGAGAGAGCAATCGCTGGCAACGACGTCGACGCCGTCGTGGACGTGCTCGAAGACGACGTACCATGCGACCGCGCGCTGGCAATAGCAGCACTCGACAAAGCCGCAGCGGTGACTCCCGACAGCAGCGACGGCGAACAGTTCGCGGCAGCGTTCGAGGAAGCGAGGCTCGTTCGTGCGTACCAGGCGCTGCGGCGGCGTGGACTGGCGCCGTCCTTCGGGATAGCGATCGACGAGCCCTTTCCGCTGTCGCAAGGCGCGTCCGAGGAAGAGATCGCGCGGGAGGCCGGTGACCTCACGCTCGCCGCGTTCAGACCAAAGGACGGCGCGGGACGGATGTTCGCGATCCTTGGTGTCATCGTCTGCGGAGCCGAGATTGCCGCGGCGAAGGCGCTCGGCCTCGACTCGCCGCAGCCGTTGTTTCTCGCCACCGCGGGACTCGCCGCCGTCGATACCTTTGCCCTCAAAGGCGCACTCGCGGAGACGCTGGCATCTGCGGCAGACAATACGTACTCCGAGCGAATTGTCCGCCACGAAGCGGGCCACTTGCTATTGGCATATCTCTGCGGCCTTCCGGTGCAGGGCTGCGTCCTCTCTGCGAGAGAGGCGCTCGCCGGGGAAGGCTCCGGCGCCGCGTCATTGAACGGTGCGGCCGGTACGGCGTTCTTCGACCCGGAGCTCAACGCCGCCGCGCGCCGCGGCCGCATCACGCGGTCCGTGATCGACCGCTACTGTATTGTAGTTATGGGCGGCATCGCCGCGGAAGCCGTCTCGTACGGCTCGGCCGAAGGCGGCAAGGACGACGAGTCCGCCCTAATCAGCTTCCTTCAGGACACGGTCGGATTTACTGGTGACGTACTCGTGCAAGCGCGGATGTCCGCTTTGAATGGAGTGATCCTCCTGCGGCGGTACCGGGCCGAATTCGAGCGGCTCGTGAAGGTCCTCGAACGCGACCGCGCGACGTCCATTGGCGCCGCGGTGCTGAGCATCGACGACGCCGCCGCGTGAAGGCAGTTTGGTAGTTGTTGTGGTAACTTGTTGGTTTCCTTGAACAGTTTCTTCTCGGCCCCGGCTCTCAAAACCCGCTGCTTGTCCGAATTCGTGAGCGAGGCGATGCCAAACGTCTAGTAGTCGTCTAACGCCGTCTATGACGACTCGTTGACACATATCGCCGAAATAAGCCGCCGGGGACCCTGGTCTCTAGAGCTGGTCACCGAGCCCTTTGTGTCTCCGCCGCGGCACCCACAGCCGCCCGTCAACGCGCCGCGTCCTAGAGTAGCTCGCGGGCATACACATCACGCGAGTCAACACCTTTCGCGCATTCATAAGCCCACTCGCACGATAAAAAAAAGCTGTGACCCACGTGCCCTACGTGTGGAAGAAGAGCCGCAAGTGCCGCGTCTGCAAGGTCTACCCCCTGTACTACATGAAGTTCCCGGCCACGCCGGGCTACCCTGAGGGCTCGCGCTGGGTCTGCGCGTGCGAGGACGACTACTGCCCCTCGGTCTGAGCGCGGCGCGCGTAGTAGACGACCTCCCCCTCCATTCCCGTGTATACCTACCTGTTCACAAAACACTACTATTATTCCGAGCTGGAGCTGGAGCTGGGGGCCGCGCAGGAAGAAGAAAGTTGCGCCACGTCGCGGTCAAACCTATCCGTGGCGGCGCGCCACACTGCGTCGTCGGTCCGCGTGAGGTCGCGGACGATGGCGACCGTCGCGGCGCTCATCTCGGCGTGGCGTTTTACGCCATGTTGCTTGTGCTGGCCGAACGCGCTCACCGGCGCGCCGCAGGAGCACTGCTTCAGCCGCACGCCGAGGCGCAGCCCCAGCACACAAAGACTCTGGTCGTATTTCTCCAGGGGCGCGATGTGCCACACGGCCGCGACCTCCTCCAATGCTTTCTCCAAACAAGACGTCTCGGACCAGCCATGTTTCGGCTTCAAACCATTATGGTTGTAGCCGCCGCAGAGCTTCGTCGTCATCATATTTAATGGATTAAAGTGGCAGAGCTTGAACGCGGACGCGACCGCCGATTTGTCGCCGTTCACCGCGTCGCGCCACCGCGTGACCCAGTCATGGAGACCAGCTTTGTCGAGGTGCCATTTTGCCCGGTTCCCGGGCGTCTGGCAGTGCGCGAACTGCGAGCGCACGTGCGACTCAGGATTTCGCACCAGGATGGCGACGCGCGGCGGCCGCGGGAAATGCCGGACCATGCCTCCGTGTTCACCCAGCCACTGCTCCGTGTTCACGAAGTTGCAGCGGCCCCGCTCCATCGCGTGCGTCCAGTTCTCGCCCTTGGCGACGACGGCCTTGCGCCCGAAGCAGCTCGTGAGGTGGAGCCGCCCGACCAGGTCGGCGACGAAGGACACGCCGCCGCATTTCGGGATGTGCCCGAAGAGGTAGAGCGGTTTCTCTCGATCGGGCGCCGCCGCGGCCGGCGCGACGAGCAGTTTATTTTTATCGGTCGCCGCCGCGGCCAGCGTGAGGAGCGGCCAGAGAGGCCGCATCATATGGCTTGGCGTACTACAAGGCTGGGGGCCGCCGCATCGCTGGGAAATCAATTCGTCTGCATCCGGCCTTGCGGTAAAGGCACCGATGCTGCCCTGGACGGTGTCAAAATGCGGCCGGGGCAGCCTATCGACCCTAGCGGCATGTAAGACTCTAGCCAAAAGAGCCGGCAGCCCATCGCGTTGCGCCTTTATACGCGCCCTGAGAGCGGGACGGCGACTCCGGGGGCAGCCATCGGACGCCATCGGTGCGCCAGGGCAGCCCACCGATGCGCCGCCCACCAGCAATACGATGGCTGCTCTACACAGCGCTACTCTCCGGACACGAGGCACACGAGGGCGCCCACTGCTCGGGCCACGGCGTGACGAGCAAGGAGAACAACTTCGAGTGCACGTGCTTCAGCGGGTGGAAGGGCCCGAATTGTGGGGTCAAGGCGTGTCCGCGCGGTAGAGCGTGGGCCGACTACGCGTCTGATACGGATGAAGCCCACGCCTACGACGTGGAATGTAGTGGGGTAGGCTACTGCAACGAGGACGGGCAGTGTGAATGTCGGGAAGGGGTCTTCGAGGGGCCCGCGTGTGAGAAACTCGCTTGCCCTACGTCGCTGGACGGCACGATCTGCTCAGGACACGGGCAGTGCGTCACCTCCGGATGGGCCGCATCCCATTGGGACGGCCGGAATTTACTGAGGCCCCACGTCGAGTATCCCCATTGGGATGCGGAAAAAATTAGTGGGTGTCTATGTGATCGCGGGTTTTCTGGATTCAACTGCTCGAGGGTGGACTGTCCTCGGGGCGATGTGCCCGAGACGCGGGGCCAGAAGAACGAAATTGTGAGGTTGGAATGTGGGGCATCAAAAGGTACCTTCACGCTCACGTACAAAGGTAGTATAACGGAGCCGATACCGTATGATGCACCTTACGGTCTCGTAAAAGCTAGATTGCAAGCTTTACCCGATATCGGCGAGGTCGACGTGCGCTTCCTACGAGGCCAGGAAAGTGTGTGTTCCGCACAGAAAACAGAAACGGAAATTGAGTTTCTTACCGATTTCGGCTCTTTACCGGCCCTGAAAGTCCAGTCCTTATCTTTGGAAGGATCTGTGTTCTTAATTACAAGGCAGCGGTTGCGGTGCCCCCGCGGTTCGTGTCATCAAGCGAGGGGAAGGGGCCCGTCGAATTGTACGGGCGGCTTCTACCTGGGCTATGACGGCCAGTTCACGTCGAAAATCGCCTGGAACGCGACGAAAGAATATGTGGAGAAAGCTCTGAGTGCATTATCGACGTTCAACGAGGATTCGGACTACGGTCCCTTGCACGTGAATGTTACGGGCAGTAATACAGTATGCAACTACGACGAGAAGTACTACATGAACTCTACCGAGGAGTATGATTATTTAAATGCCCAGAACGTGACGATCGATATAAGAGGGAAGTACGGCAACGTCTACAACTTGACATTACTTAACAGTTTATGGAGGGTCGATTCCTATACAAATCCGGGATATGCGTACAAGGAGAAGGTGAACTTGACGCTGGAAGCCTCGAAAGGCACGAAGGAGAACGCCTACTGCAGCGAGCGCGGCTGGTGCGACTTCGCGACCGGGACGTGCATGTGCAACAAGCTCGACACTGGTAGTCTACAGTACGACTATAAGTCGTCGAACGGGTACGGTGAACCTGGTAATAGAGGTGATTGTGGGTATCCGGCCATCGAAGCTAGAGGCTGCCCGGCCGGCCGCATCGGCGACAAGTGGGTCCAGTGCGGCGGGAAGGACCGGGGCCACTGCGACAACGCGACCCTCATATGTCAGTGCAACGCGGATCATTATGGGGCGGACTGCATGTTGCAGACGTGTCCGTACGGGCCGTCGTGGTGGGGCGAAGCGCGGGGCTCGGGCGAGGGCCACGACCTGGCGGAGTGCTCGAACATGGGCGAATGTGAAAGAAACTCTGGATTATGTGATTGTAGAGAAGGCTTCGGCGGCAAGGCCTGCGAGAAGTTACTCTGTCCCGTAGATGGGGACGCGCAGTACTGCTCCGGCCACGGCTTGTGCCTGCCGATGTGGCGCGCGGCCGAAGAAACGACTTTGTCTGGAGAGCCGCGGGGGCTGACCTACGGTGCCGCGACCCAACAATCGCCGGCGACCTGGGACTCGCGGAGGATTTATACGTGCCACTGCGACTCGCGGGACGGCTTCCAACCGGCGGATGGTCCTGTAATGTGGGTCAGTGGCGTACATACCGCAAATGATGACTTCGTCGGCGGCTGGACGGGCTACGACTGTTCGCTCCGGAGGTGCCCCTTCGGCGACGACCCCCGTACTGATGATGATGTGAGCGAAATCCAGACCGTGCGGTGCTCGCTTCCCGGGAAAGATACCTTCACCGTGTCCTTTCGCGGGGATACCTCTCGACCCATCTCGGCGAACGCTACTGATGCGCAAATAAAATGGGCTCTGGAAAATATGACAACTTTACAGGAAGTCCACGTCTCCATAAACCCCGGCGAACGGGCGTGCCAGACGCGCTGGGACGGCAACGACTGGCGCCACGGTAGTTCAGGCTTCAACGTTACATTTATTAGTCAAGTGGGCGATGTTCCCTTGCTGACGACGTCGCCGCCGTCGAACGTCACGGAGACCGTCAAGGGCACGAAGGAAAATCTCGAGTGCGGGCGCCAGGGCTACTGCGACCACGAGTCGGGCTTATGTCGGTGCCTCAAGGGCTTCGTGGGCAGCGACGGCGACGGGAACCCCGGGCGGCGGCGGGACTGCGGCCGGATTGATCCCCAGGGGTTCACGCTGAATTTGTGGGACGAGTAACATTTCCTGCTTATCATTACTGCGAGGCTCTAATCAGTCGCGCGCCAAAACGAGAGGATGTTCCAGACGATGCCGTTGTCCCCCTGGCGGACGATGAATCGGATCGCCCGCGTGGTCGCGAGGCGCTCCCGCGTCCGGCCGCGCGCGACGAGGGAGCGGAGCCGCAGGACCTGCTTGTGAGGCAGTGTGCAATGGGCCTTCCAGCTGCCGGCCGCGCGCACGCTCGCGACAAGCGTTCTGACCGCACCGACGCGTGCTCTTAGATCGGGATAAATGTCAATGTGATTCAGAAGCTCTTCGAACTGCCGACTGACCTTAGTCGTTCCAAGAAAGGGGACCGGGCCACTGTCCAGCGACGCGCCCGCCCTGAGCAACGTTGTAACTATATCAATGATTGACTCATGAGGGTAAAAAATAGAAAAGAGGGGTGTCCGGTTGGCGTGATCTTCCATGTTTGCCGCGGCAACCCCGGCGGCGACGAGCAAAGAAACCATGGCTGCCGTGTATTTGCCAGGAATACCTCCACAGGCACAATGGAGCGCGGTCGATCCCTCGCTGGCTTTTGCGTCGACCCGGACGCCTTGTGATATGAGGTAGCGTGCGAACTCGACCTGTTCCGGCGACCGGGGGCGCGCCGCGGTCCAATGAAGAAGCGTCCAACCATTGTCGTCATCTCTAGAGTTGACCGAGCGCGCAGGGATGCGCTCTACGCCGACGACGGCGCGACGCTCGATGATCTCCGCGAGGCCGTGACGACGCTCGAGGACGCGGATCAGATCGCGCGGCGTGTGCTCGGCGGCGCGCACCCGGACACAGCGGCAATTGAGCAATCCCTACGAGATGCGCGAGCCGCGCTCCGCGCCCGCGAGACGCCGTCGCCGGGGGATGCGTAAAAACTAAGTCACACTAAGATTAATTACCCGAAAGAGCCGCAAGACGAATTCGCCGGGCACCGACATTTCGAGGCTTGCACCGTCCCCTGGAAGTCCAACCTAACAGACTCATTTTCGGAAAACACGTACGCGTCGCACCCTCTTGTAAGTTTCGGGAAACACAGGGTCTCGTTCTCGACGGCTCGAGCCGCCTCGGCCGTCTTGACGATGTAGAGCTGCCACGCGTCTGACGAACCGGCCTTGGCGTCCAGAAACACGCCCCACCGGCCTCGCCCCGAGACGTGCACACTCTTCCCAGGATCCACGGCCACGCCGAAGCCGTCGACCGGCGTCACCGGTCTCTTCATCAGACTCAGCTCGACGTCCTCACTGCTTCCACGAAGGAGTACCTCCCCGTGCTCGTGCGACACCATGACGCAAGGAATTCCCACCTCCTCATCTGTTGGTTCGTCGTCGGCGCGCGCCATGGAGAACCGCGCTTGCCCCGGCACGGAATTGGCCACGATGAGCGCCGACGCGCCCGTCGCTTCCGCGTTCCGCGCCTTGGCCTCGAAGGTGCAGGCGCCCCTATTCACTAGGAGTATAGCGCCACTCTCGAAGTCGACGTCTCCATCGGAAGAACACCCGTCCTCGTCGAAGGCTAGAGTGCCATGTTCCTCAATACTAGCATCTTCGGTCGACTCCGCGATTGAAGCACCGAACGCCGCGACGACGCATGGATACACACTATTTGAGTGTATAACACTACACACAATCTCCAATCCATCAATAGATGACACGGCCAACGACGCGTCTTTCCGACCTCGAGATGCGCTAGTGACGAGCATCATACTACTACCAACATTGGACACCTCGAGGGTCTCCCCATCCTCGCGGTTGCCGACGTGGAAGCCATCACTGAAGACCTCCACATCAAAAGATCCGAGACCGTCGACTTGAGCTCTCCCTCGCCGCGGCTCCTCGTCGCCTCGTCTGCGAGCCGCTCGGGCGCGTGATGGTGGCGGCGTCTCGTCCTCTTCGACCTCGTCCTCCTCCTCGTCGTCGTCGTCCGGTGCTTCGTTCGCATAGCATCTCGGTGCCACCGTACGTTTTCTATCAGATAAGGTCGAGGGTACGGTCGACGCGAGCGACGGCTCAAAAGTAGAAGAGTAACCCAGGTCGTACCACCAGGGCCAATGTTGACAGCGAGACGAGACGGGAACCGTAGGCTCTCTCGGTTGTTCACGTCGTCGCCAGTGCTTCTTCCGGAGAGCTGGTCGTGTGGTGGTAGTCGCCCGCAGCCGCCGCCAGAGAGCCGCTAAGGTCGATTCATTCTTCACCGGGGGCGGGGCCATCGTCTCGACGAGTCGAGGCGCCCTTGTTAATCGCTTGATCTGCTCGGCGTCGAAGGGGTGGGCTTCCGTAGAAAAGACGTAAGGCCTCTTGGAAATGAAATTGTCCTCATCAAACAATAAGTAGAGGTACTTGACCGTCTCCGCTAAGTAAAACGACGGCATCTCGTCCTCCAACGCATGGGTGGCGGCATTCGCGAAGGACGCGGCGCCGCACCTGGCTCCCTCGGCGACGTCCTCTAGGGCCTCAAACACTCGAGACGCCGCCCACAACCACGAATCGTCTTGTGTAGCTCGATGCATGAAGTACGTCGCTTCGATCAACTCCGGGCGCAACGGATACCTCAAACCAGTACGAGTAGCTACTAATCGTCTACGCGCGAAGTCGTACTCTTCAGGGAGGGCGCCCCAGTCGCTCCAGATCGTCCAGAAGGCGTTTAAGGATCGTGACGCCAGTTCCAGATCACCAGATAAAACTTGCAAACCGGGCCAGAAGGCCTGCAAGTTCTCGAAGTGCTGGCGCCGCGGCTTGCCGCCGTGCATGTCGACGTCCGCGAACCAGTCGCCCTGCCGCGTCGTACTGTCTATCGCAGAATAGGCCTCCTCGAACATCCTGTAACTATCGTGGTCCTGGAAGAGGACGTAGGATTTTAGTAAATATTCGTAGAAGCTATCGCTGTTCGAACCGACACCTGACAGTGATTCGACCCACTTGCCCGATCGGACGTTGATGTGCTTGCCGAACAGGTTCTGGGGCGATCTTCGTTCATACAACGCTCTGGATGCGGCAGAAGCTTTGGCAGAGAAGGACCCGTCTCCCGTCAACGCACTGAGCACGCCAAACTCGATGGAGAGAGACCCGGCACCGGCTAATGAAGCGACAGGAGTCTCGCCTCGCGGTATGCCGTACCTCAGATTCACCGTACCGTAGGGTATACTAGTAGGAGTCTCGAACGCCGGCGCTAGTCGTTCACCCAGATCTAACGCCAAAGCTAATAATTCCCCGTCATACTCTGTCGTGAGGTTCAACGACGCATCCACAGCCAACAAGTGGCCGCTCAACAAACCACCGAGGACTCGTATGGTAGTTTCGAACACAGAGACGTTGACGTCGAAATTGAACTTGTCAGGGAAGCCCTGCCATATACGCTGGGTAGCACTCTGAAATTCGGTGGAATTGCCCATGATTGCTAGAGCATCGAGCGAGTCCACCAATGTCACTAGTGGGAGTTTGACCAAATCGAATGGACCACCACTACAACTTCTAGGGCGTAGTTCCCCCTCGGGCTCGGCATGCCTCACATAAGCGTCGTAGCCTCTCTCAAACAAGGCCTTGGCTCGCTGCTTGTAGGACTGTCTCAGCTCGAGTGACATGGGGCCTCTTCCGATCTGATCGCCGCCGCCAAACTTTCTTCTCTCTTCAGGCGTCTCACAAGCTAAGCGCGCACATACTTCCACGACATAGGCGCAGGTCGCCGGTTCATTTACATCAGAAATGTATACATTGCGGCCACTACTCCCTTCGCCGCGTCTTTCAGAACAACACCGTAACCGCACCGTCGCTCGGCGCTTCGTGCCTCTTCTACCGCACCGCTCCCCATCAGAAAAGGCGTGCTCCGTCACGTTGCCCCGCAACCGCGCCGTGAGCGCCGGCGAAAACGTGCCGACCGTCGTCTCCTGCCGTCGTTCACCGGGCGGCACGGCCCAGGCCGCCTGGAACTGCTTGACCCACCTCCTATGACACCACTCGTAGCCCCAGAACTCGCCCGCCCGCGCGAACGCGAAACACGAGCCGTCGAGCGGTCGCAGGCGATCGTCCTGCTGGGCTTTCGTGGGCGTCTTTTTGAGCGGGCTCACCGGCCGCAGCAGGAGCAGCGCAATGACTAGCGCTACGTGCGGCATCGCTACGCGCGGCATCGCTATGCTGGTGTGCTGCTTGTCATTTTTGCAGTAGTGGGCTGTCAGGTTGCGGCGGCGGCGCGAGATTCAGCGACGCAGCGCTGCGCGGTCGTCCGCTCGCACTGCTTGCTGCGCTTGCCGCACGTGTACGTGCTTGCTGCTGCACAAAGCCACCGCTGACTTGCCAAGCTGTCTTGCTAGTGTCTTACTGGCCGCTAGCTAATTCGGTGGGCGCTCTGAGCTGCATACGCGGCTCCTGGGCACGACTGCCAGCTTCTGGGCTGCTGACGGGGCCTCATCACAGCTACAGCGTGCGCTGGAATCTTTTTTCAGCAGCGCGAGTGCCTAGAGACATTACAAACACGCTTGCTCTCACTGAGATCAAAAGTGCTCTCTCACGCCATCGAGCAGACAAGAAAATGTCCTCCCAAAACCTGCTCGCCATGGAAGGCGGCGTCCCGTTCTCGCCCAAGAGCAAAGCGTTCGCCGATAACGAAGGCGTCGTGGCCCGCGTCTCGGTCGACATCGAATCCTTGGAGCTCGGCGAGGCGACGCCACAAGCGAGGACGCCACCCCGACGGGCCGTCTCGAATCCAGAAGCCATCTCCGAGGAGGAGGAATCGCAGGGCTTTCGGGACCCGCCGCGGCGGTCGACCTCGAACCCGTTGCCGCAGAGCTCGCCCGGCGAACGCCATCGAGAACACTTCGAGAACCTTAGTCAACTCGACGCGCCGCTCCTCCGAATGCCGCAACCACCGGCCCAATCTAAGCCGCGCTCTCCGACGGACGGAGCGCCCGAGCACCTCTTCGGGGAAGAGGTCTAGTCGCTTACCCGCCCTTGTTCTTGTGTATAATCCTTACTCTTCAGCAGTGCTCGTACAGCGTCCACATCGCGTGGAGGAATCGCGGGCCGCCGCCGGCGGGGATGAGGAGCTCCTGGACGAACTTCCGGAAGGCGTAGACGCGCGAGGGGTCGAGATCTTCTTCGCGAGGTATTTTCTGGACCTCGGTGCGTTCGGGCCACATCTTGCCCGCGTACTAGGCACGGCACCGGCTCCAGCCTTTGCTAGTGTCTTACTGGCCGCTAGCATTGAATAACCGACACGCTCCAGTAGGTATCCTGGATGACTATGAGCGTGCAGGGATTCGCTCCAATGCCAGCCCGCGCGCGTCCCAGAATTAACGCTGGGCACTGGGCACCCCAGACTTGCCCAGACAAGCCAAATTCGTGAGCTGGGACGCATGCGGAACGAAAACTACTGAAAATGTTCGCCGCCCTGATGCTGTCCGTGGCCAGCGCGCTGCCGCTTCGGGCCCCCGCGCGCGGCCCCAGCAGGCTGAGCACATGCAACAAGCCCTGGAAGGGCTGCCCCGAGGAGGGCGGCTCCCGGCTCGGCGAGAAACTAGCCGGTTTCTCCGAGGCCATGGTCATGTACGAAGAAGACGGCAGCAAGTCCGACAAAACTGGCAGCACGTGCGCCCGGGCCGGCGAGAACGGCCTCGACCGCGCTGCCTCCAAGGGCGTGGCGACGAGCGCCGCAGCGAGGAACACGTGGTTCCAGCTCTACAAGAACTCCGGGGCGGACGGCAGCAAGTCCGACAACAGCGCCAGCACGTCCGCGCCGGCCGGCGAGAACGGCCTCGACCGCGCTGCCTCCAAGGAATTAGCGACGAGCCCCGCGAAGAACACGTGGCTCCAGCTCTACAAGAACCACGGGGCGGACGGCAGCCAGTCCGACAAAAGCGCCAGCACGTCCGCGCCGGCCGGCGAGAACGGCCTCGACCGCGCTGCCTCCAAGGGCTTGGCGACGAGCGTCGCCGCGACGACGGCGCGGCGCCAGCTCTACAAGAACCACGGGGCGGACGGCAGCAAGTCCGACAAAAGCGGCAGCACGTCCGCGCGGGCCGGCGAGAACGGCCTCGACCGCGCTGCCTCCAAGGGCTTGGCGACGAGCGCCGCAGCGAGGAACACGTGGCTCCAGCTCTACAAGAACTCCGGGGCGGACGGCAGCAAGTCCGACAACAGCGCCAGCACGTCCGCGCCGGCCGGCGAGAACGGCCTCGACCGCGCTGCCTCCAAGGAATTAGCGACGAGCCCCGCGAAGAACACGTGGCTCCAGCTCTACAAGAACCACGGGGCGGACGGCAGCCAGTCCGACAAAAGCGCCAGCACGTCCGCGCCGGCCGGCGAGAACGGCCTCGACCGCGCTGCCTCCAAGGGCTTGGCGACGAGCGTCGCCGCGACGACGGCGCGGCGCCAGCTCTACAAGAACCACGGGGCGGACGGCAGCAAGTCCGACGGCGGCAGCACGCGTGCGCCGGCCGGCGAGAACGGCCTCGACCGCGCTGCCTCCAAGGTATTCGCGACGACCGTCGCCGCGACGATGGCGCGGCTCCAGCTCTACCAAAACCACGCGTCCGCCGAATTGATGTTGGCGGCCCCGGACGCGACCAAGGGCGGCGGCGTCGACGAAGAAGAAGGGCGGGCTTCCTGGTGGCTCTTCCAGTTTCTTGCGATTTTGCTAGAACTTGTTTTGGGACTCTTCGTGTTCGGAAGGATTATTCCGCGGCACAGTAGCTCGGCGAAGGGCGCGGCCTGGCGCTCGTACGTCGTCAGCTACCTGCTTATTTGGCCAGAGATCGCCCTCGTGGCGGCGGCGGCGACTTCTGTCCGCGGCAGCGACTACACCATTACGAAGAGTTCGAAGATCAAGACCAATGAGTCTCCGAGCTCGTCAGTGCAAAGCCTTGGGCAGCGCCGCGTGCTCTCGGGCTACGTCATGACCGATAGTAACATTAGAACGGCCGTCGCGGTGTGGACCGCGGACAGTGCGGGCGCGGGTGCCGCCATGGCGACGTACGGCGACATTTCGACGTGGGACACATCGGGGGTGACGGACATGTCAGAGTTGTTCAAAGACACATCTTATCCCTTCAACGAGGACATCAGTCAGTGGGACACCTCCGGCGTCACTACGATGAACGGGATGTTCGACGGCGCCTCGACCTTCGACCAGGACCTCGGCTGGTGCGTGGACGACGACGTGGACCTGAACAACGCGTTCAGAGGCACCCCGTGCGCGTCGACGTCGTGCGGCGTCACGCAAGTAGCCGGTGGTTGCGCGCCGACGCCGCGCCCAGTTCCGCAGCCGACGCCAAGGCCGACGTTCACGCCTACATCGCGGCCGACCCCTCAGCCGACGTGGCAGCCGACGAGGCTCTCTGGTGACGAGGACGACGACGACTGCACCCTAGGCTATGAGGTGCATGAATGCCGAGACGACGGGACGCTGATGCGCAACGGCGGGTGCGATTCGTGCGACTGCGAAGCGGTGGAAGATCAAACGGCCGTGTCGGGCGGCCGAATCACCTGCGAGCCGGGTACGAATACCATTTTTTACGACGAAGACCTCGACGGGAATGCCGACGAATCGTGGGAGGTCAGCACGTGCGAGTACGACGCCTGCGACGACGACGACGAGGATGACGATGACGATGACGACGATGCTGGTGGTAATGTTATGACTGACAGTAAGATCTACACGGCCGTCGCGGCGTGGCTCGCGGACGCGACTGCTGCAGAGTCGAAGTACGGCCACATCTCGACTTGGGACACATCGGGGGTGAAATACATGGAGGAATTGTTTGAAGGCGCTTCGTCCTTCAACGAGGACATCAGCGGCTGGGAAGTCAAAAACGTACAGGAAATGGGAAAAATGTTCAAAGAAGCCTCGTCCTTTAACCAGGACATCAGCACGTGGGACACCTCTAGCGTCAGGCAATGGGAACAGATATTCATGGGCGCCTCGGCCTTCGACCAGGACCTCGGCTGGTGCGTGGAACAAGACGACATGTTGTCGTTTAGCGATGCGAGGGGGGCAGGTTCGTTGTTCGTAGGATCGAAGTGCGAGGCGACGTCGTGCGGTATCCTGCCATCCGCTGCTCAGAAGTGTGGTGGCGGCCCTATGAGCGACTTTGGCATCCGATTGGCAGAGACCGCGTGGGTATTGGATGCGACGGCTGCCGAGTCGACGTACGGCCACATTTCGACGTGGGACACATCGGGGGTGACGTACATGGCGTATTTGTTTTGTGCGTATCAACACAGCGAGTACTGCAACACGGCTGTGGCGTCCTTCAACGAGGACATCAGTGCGTGGGATGTCTCTGCTGTCAGGTACATAGACTGGATGCTCTCTTCTGTCACGGCCTTTAATCAAGACCTCAGTGGTTGGACGTTCGACAGCGTTACAAAGATGGATGGGATGTTATTCGAAGCCTCGGCCTTCGACCAGGACCTCGGCTGGTGCGTGGACGACGCCGTGAGTCTGGGCAGCGTGTGCGAGAAGACCCTGGCGGCGGGGACGGCGGTGGGGGCGGCAGCGAGGACGGCGTGCGGCGTCAAACAAGCGGACGGAGCCTGCGCGCCGTCGCCACGTCCGACGTTGACCCCGGCGCCCACCGCGACGCCGGCGCCGACAGTACCTTTAGATGACACGAGCATCCGCACTGCCGTTGCGGCGTGGTTCTCGGACCGCGCCGCCGCCGAGGCGACGTACGGCCACATCTCGCATTGGAGTACGCGAGATGTGACGGACATGTCGGAGTTGTTTTGCGCGCCAACCTGGGAGAAAGAATGCAACAATAAAGCTATTTCATTCAACGAGGACATCGGCGCGTGGGACACCTCCGGCGTAACGAGCATGTCCCACATGTTCTGGTACGCCTCGGCCTTTAACCAGGACATCGGTGGTTGGGCGGTCGACAGCGTCACGGATATGAGATCGATGTTCTGGAGTGCCTCGGCCTTCAATCAGGACATCGGCGCGTGGGACACCTCCGAGGTCACGACCCTGGGCGGGATGTTCAACGGCGCCTCGGCCTTCGACCAGGACATTGGTGGTTGGGCGGTCCACAGCGTCACGTCTCTGGGCGACATGTTCACCAGCGCCTCGTCGTTTAACCAGGACATCAGTGGTTGGAATGTACACAGTAACTCGGACATGTACAAGATGTTCTACCAGGCCTCGGCCTTTAACCAGGACCTCGGCTGGTGCGTGGACGAGGACGTGGATTTTGAAGAGGCGTTTACTGGCGCCGCGTGTGAGTCGACGTCGTGCGGCGTCGTGCAAGTGGTGGGCGGATGCGCCCCTTCGCCGGCGCCGACGCCGGCGCCGACGCCCGCCCAAACGATGGTCAAGGTTGCCTCGTCTGTGACGCTGGAGGGCATCGTCGCGACTGAATTTAATGCCGACGAAGGCATGAAGGCGGCGTTCGCGCAGTCGGTTTTGGATAGCGCGGGCGGGGCCTTTGACGAGGTGATCGATATTGAGGCGGTGGGACGGCGGCGGCGCCTCGCCGGCGCGGGCGTCGGCGTCTCGTATACGGGAGTCGCCCGCGTCGTCGGCACCAACGGCGCCGCGTCGGTTGGTGCAGATTTGCTGGAACAAGCGTCGGACGCGCTGACGGCCGCCGTCGGCGACGGGAGCTTCTTGACCACTCTGCAGGCCGCGGATACATCGTTCGCCGCCGTGACCGTCGACGTCGCGGCGACGCAAGCGGCTATTGCGGACGCTGCTCTCGAGGTCATAGTCACGACGCCGGGCCCCACTGCGTCGCCGACGCCGCGGCCGATCGGGGCTCCGACATCAGCGCCGACCGCGACCCGCGGCAGTGACACCGTCGACGCCGCCTACCGCCTCTCAGGCGTCAGCGCCGCGCTCCTCGTGCTCGCGCTCGCCGCGTGATTTCCCCCTTCCTCGCGCAAGAACGTCCCCGTCCCCGGACGAGGTCGCCTCGAGGAACTGGCGCTGCTGAAGCATGTACAAGGCCTACGGATACTATGTACCGCATGGATAAGTACTCTAGGTGGATACGAGAAACTGAGGTATACACAAGGAAGATTAATACCCGCGACCATCCTGCTGCCAACCAGGAGGCGGCCGCCCGAACGTCGGCAGCGGCGGCAGGTCCGGGTCCTGGTACTGCTGCTGCGGCGGCAGTGGTCCGTAGCGATTCCCCAAAGAAGAGGGCGGCGGCGGTGCCTGGGCGGCTTGCCTCAGATAACTATCCGCGGAGTTTCCGTACGACCGGCGCGGCGGCGGCGGGGCGTACTCCTGTTGATACGAGCGTCTCAGATAGTCGGCCGACGACGAGGTCGACGGCGGGGGCTGCGCCGCTCTTCTCAGATAGTCGGCCGACGACGAGGTGGACGGCGGCGGCCGCGCGTCGTACGAGCGTTGTTGCGGAGGCAGTTCGTTGAGCGAAGAGAACAGCCCCTGGGGCCGCGGAGCTTCGGCGCGCGACGCGGCCAGCGCCCGCTGTAGATCCGCGTCGTTATCATCGTTGTAGGAAGGCGCCGGCCGCGGCGGCGGTTTCTGAGGTGCGTTCCAGACCGCGTCGCTATTGTATGAGGGAGGCGCGTCGCTCGGCGGCGGCGCTGAGTACGATGGAGGCGCCGCGGGCTCGGCGTCGAACTCCGCCGCGAGGCGCCGCGCCAGCGCCGCGTCGTCGTCCTCCTGGCTCCGTCGAGGAGGCGCTTGGTAGCGCGGCTGGGACTCGATGCGCGACGCGGCCAGCGCCCGTTGGAGATCGAGATCGTCTTGATTGACCGGTGGAGGCGGCGGCGGCGCCGGCGGCGCGCTCTCCGCCCGCGACGCGGCGAGCGCGCGCTCCAGGTCCGCATCCACAGGAGCCTCGGGCTTCTTCGCGAACTGCGCCTTCCACTGGCTGAGCTTTCTTCCAGTGAGGGTCTCCGCGAGGCCCTTTTGGCGCGCGGGCGCCGGCGCCGGCGCCGGCGCGCTCTGCGCCCTTGCTGCTGCTCTTTCATCCTCCTCGGCGAGCTGCCTCGCTAATGCGGCATCAGACAGTTCCTGGCGCTGCCGGTGGTCCGGCGGTGGCACGGGCGGCGCGTGGCGCGTCGCCTCGTTGTACGTCTGGCCTTGTCGATAGGCGGGCGGCGGCTGGTGGACAGGGATGGGCGGCGGTCGGATAGTATTATCGTCGGCGTCGAACTCGGCGGCCAGTCGCCGCGCCATCTCCGCGTCGGACTCCTCTTGGCTTCGGCGGTCGACGCGCGGCGACGGCGAGGCGTCTAAAGCAGCCGCAGCTTCGTTCGCCGTGTTAAGAAGAGCATCTAGTCCTGTGGTCACCGGCTTCGGCGGCGGAGAGTCCCGCCGGTCCGCCTCGGACGCCGCGTTCATGTGAGCCGTGCACCGCGTCTCGAGACGAGACACGAGCTCCTCGAAGAGCCTAGCGGCCGCCACGACCTTTTCTAAGGCGTCGCGCGCGGATCTATACGAAGGATCCCGTCGCTTCGCCTCGTCCAGCAGCGACGCGGTCGACGCCAGGGCCTCGACGGCCGGCCGCGGGTCGCCGAGAGCCTGGGCGAACTCGCTAAAGGCCGGCGCCATCTCCGAAGCATAACGCCGCTCCAGAAACGCGTGGACGCAGCGCGAGGCCTCGACGGTCTTCGTGTCGTCTCGCCGCGGCGTCGTCGGCGGCGGCGGCAGCGGCAACACGTCCTCGTCCTCCGGGCGCTCGTCACCGGTATCGTCGTCGTCGTCCGAATCTCTATATCGTGTGACTTCCGGTTCGTCGCCCGCTACTAAAGGCAGACCGGCGTCACACAAAGCATCGAGGGCCTTCGCCGCGGCTTGCGCCTCCTCGCTCGCGAGGACCTCGACGCGCTTCGCCGCGTCACGACGTCCGCGGCCACTTCGATCGACTGCTGAACAAGCTTCCCGACACGCCTGGGCCGCTTTCGTGACGTCGTCGCTCAGGGTGAGAGTTTCTTCTACACTAGCTTTGGTGCTGCGCCCGACGGCGCCGTCTAGCGCAGCTAACTGCTGTTTCGTGGCATCATCAGACACGACCTTCAGCAGCGCGTCGTCGTCCGCTTCATCGATGGTGATTTGCGCGAGGCGCTGCCGGACATGTTGAGAAGCGTCTCCGGAGTAGGCTCTAGCTGCCGTTAAAGCCGCTTGCGACCGTAACCTTGCTTGAGTTAACTCTGAGGCCTTCTTCTGCAAAGCTAGCAGAGATGAACCGGTAGAGCCCCCGAACAGGCCCTCGCCCGACGACGCCGTCGCCACTCGTAAACCTTTGGGCAGCGCGCCGTGCGTCGCGAAGTTCTGAGCATTGTCGACATCGTTCACCACTTGCGGTAATGATAAAGACTGCAGCGCGGCCCGCACCAGATCGTCGGCGTCCGCAACACGACTTTGACATTCCCGCGCGTCGCGTCTACATCTATCAGCGTAGGCCTCTAGCGCACTTCGAGCCCCTCTCGGTAGTAGACCTCGCAACAAACTGATTTCATCTGAAGGAACGACTGCAGAAACCATGGCCTCGGGCGTCCGTCCCGGCGCTCCGACCAGACACGCGTCGGGGACCGTGGCCTTGGCCAAGCGCGCGCCGAGCGGTCTGGGAACTTGCGTTACATCGGACCAATTCGGCACCGTTTCCCGGTAGATCTGGGCGTTGTCCCGCGCTACCGCGGTTCGTTGCGTCGCAGCGGCCTGGCGCATATCAGTGATCTGCTCAATGGCGTCCTGCGACAGGCGCTTCGCGCCCGGCCGCGACGCGACCTTCAGCGCCGCGACGCATTCTCTTTCACACCTATCCAGGTAGGCGACTTGGAGGCCGTAGCCCTCGCCATGATCTTCCGCGTCTTTGGCTTTAGATTTAGCAGCCCAATAAGACGAGGCCGCCTCGAAGCATCGCGCCTGGAACTCGGCGTGACACGGCCAGGACGCGTCGAGGCCGGCGACGCCCTTCCTCGTATCGTAGGAGGGAGGCAACTGGTCCGTATCCTCGCATTTTTCTTCGCCTAGTAACTCATTTAATTTAGCTTCATTTTCGGCTTCCGGGACATAGCTACACACGGCTCGAGCCCGCCAATATAAATGCGCCGCGTGCGCGGCCAGTCGAGCTATTATAGGTGGCGCCACCGATTGCCCAGCAACGGCCTTCTCGTAGTAACAGGCTTGCGCCTGAGCTAAACATAACCGCTCGCAGAAATCTAGACACGGCGACGACCTGCGCGGAGCATTTCTGTCAATGCGTCGATGGCGTGAAACCGCCGCGGGACGCCGAGCTCGCACAGATCTAACAAATCGGCCTCGTCGTCCTCAAAAACGAGGCAGCCCCACGCGCACGCCGCGCCCCTTCTACCGGCCGTGCGCGTCGTCCGTCGCAGGTGCTCGAAGAGGCCCGCGGAGCGCTGGAAATGCCTGCAGGCTCTTTTTATACCTTGTTCGCTTGATCTGTCCTGCTGGCAGCCCTGCGCGGCCTCGCAGGCCGCTAAGTTGTATAGCGTCGCGCCCCGTTCGAGCCTCAGGCCGCCTCGTTGTCTCGAGGCCTTGTTCACGGTCGGTTTCTTGCGGTCGTTCCGCAACGCTCGTCGGAATCTACTGCCAAGACCTCTTGTAGCGTCTCTCGGGTTCGTTTTGCTAGGAGTCGCCCAGCCGTCGTCCCATTCACATAAAAAGCCATCTAGGGCCGCGTCGGCGTCCGGGACTCGTCTTGAAATAGCGAGTAGTTCCCTCGCGTACCGCCGCAGATCTCTGGAGCAGTTCTCTAAAGCTGCTTCCGTCAAGCCCGTGTCGTCGCCGTAGGCCGCGCTAGCCACCGCTAACGCGGCGCTTTCGCTTGATGTTCCACCCGTGCCGCCCCGCGCCAACTCCTCGGCGGCCTCCGCCGCCGCCGCTCGGCACCGGTCGAGCGAGGCCGAGGCCGCGCGCGCTCTATTAGCTTCCGTGCCGCTGTGAGTTTTGCCGGCGTAGCTGCTCAGGGCGTCTCCCAGGCCTGTTTGCCGGCCAACTGGGCGCTTCGGGGGAAGCGCTAGCATCTCTTTTGGCTTCGGGTCTTCTGGGCTTAATGTAGCTCTTGCGGCTAGGTGGAAGGCGTTTCGCTTCGAGGAATCGACAGCGCTCAAGCGGCGCGAGTCGTGCGGCGGTTCGAAACTTTTGCAGGGCGCAGCGGCCGCCCAGTCCAGCGCTGGCTTCCACGGACCCTGGCAACTCTCCTGGGTGGCTAGTGTCTCTACGCCGCTAACCAAATTATTCCTCCACCCCTCGGACTACGTGCGACTACCGCCTTTGCGGCCCCTGGACGCAGTCCCAAGACGACCGGCCCTGCGCTGCATGCATGTTTGCATGCTCTGCCTCGCTGCGACGCTCCTCTCTGTCTCTGCCCGGCACGAAGCGACGCTGCCCCTTGCACAGCACTCACGACACGCCATCGCCGCGACCCTACCCATTCACACAACAGCAGGCGCGCACCGCCGGCGACCATGGCCGTCTTCTCAAGAATCACCTTGCTAGCTGGCACGGCCGCGCGCTGCGTGCACGCCATGAACCGCCGCGGCCTCGCGATGGCGAATCCCACCGCCACGTTCAAGACGACGAAGGGCGAGTTTAAAGTAGAGCTCTTCCAGGACCAGCTGCCGATCACGACGTCGAATTTCAAGGACCTCGCGACGTCCGGCTTCTACGACGGCCTGACGTTCCACCGCGTCATCAAGGGCTTCATGTGCCAGTTCGGCTGCCCGAACTCGGCGAACCCGCAGTCGCCGATCGCGGGCACGGGCGGCCCGCCGGGCAACACGCAGTACACGTTGCCTGATGGTAGCGTGATCCAGCGCGACGGTGGCGGCAACATCCCCGACGAGCTCGTGGGCGAGATCTCGAACGAGGTCGGCACGATCTCCATGGCCAACACGGGCGCCCCCAACAGCGGCGGCTCGCAGTTCTTCCTGAACACGAAGCACAACGCGTTCCTGGATTACTTCGACAACAGCACGCCCTCCAAACATCCGGTTTTTGGCAAGGTCGTCGATGGCATGGACGTCGTCTCCGCGATCGAGGGCGTCCCGACGGACGGCCGGGACAAGCCGATCGATGCCGTGCGCGTGGAGAGCATTACGATCGCGGAGTAGATTCGAGGTGCGCGGTCGCCTAGTATTATTCTAATATTCACAAGAAGAGAGTTTACCAAACACCGTGTGTGTGTGTACAAGTTCGTCTTTGGCGCGTTTAGATCTTCATCCCCGACACAAGCTCCTGCGCGACCATGCCAGCGATTCCGACCATGGCTAAGCGGCCGTTGTTGATCTCCTTGGTGGCCATGGACTTGAGGTCCTTGTCGTTCGTCGGCTTGAGGCCGAGCGGGTCGAAGCCGAGGTCGCCCGGCAAGTGGTCTTCCTTGATGCGGAACAGGCGTGACTCGTTCTGCTCCGCGACGATGCCGCCGTCGAGGGGCATGAAAGACTCCACGGACTTGCCCTCGACGTTGCCGAGCATCACGGCGAGGCCCAGCCAGAGGCCGCCGGCGAGGCCCGGCTGCTCGAAGGAGACGTACGACGGCGAGTCAATGCCCGTGAACGTGTAGTGCTCCTGGAAAAGGAACCCGACCGACGCGAGCATGGCGACCTGCGGCGACGGCGCGTTGATGGTGTGTGGCGGGGCGGGGCGCTATCGCGACCCGGTATCGCGATCGAAGGGAGACGGACGCGGCGGCGCACGCGGCCGTGCTTGATCTCGGCCTCGCGGTAGAACGCGAGGCGTCCGGCGTCGACGTCCTTGGAGAGGCCGAGCGGGTCAAAGAAACCGAAAGGAGCCGTGGCGCCGGCCCATTCCTGGACGGGCGCGGCGGCGAGCTGCGTCTTAGCGGCCGGCGCCGACGGCGCGACGAAGGCGGCGGCGGTGCCGGCGGTGAGAGCGAGTGCGAGCTTCATGTTTTGAGTTGTCTGCGAGGGGTAGAGTCGTGAGCCTGGTGTTCGAGTCGTTGCGTGAGAGATTTTGCTACAGCGGCGGTCGGGTGGCGCGCGGCGTCGCGGCAAGCGCGTTCAGTGCGGATTTGCATTGCTGGCTTGCGCAGCAGTGCAGCACGGCAACTATTATACCGTAGCCGCGACCGTACACGATTGCAACCCGCATGCGCAGCAGTGTGCCAAGGTGAAATGGCACACAGCCAACAACCGCACTGCGTTTGCTGCTCAGCGAGCTGCAAATGCCAGGGCCGTTTGTCGAGTGGATGAAGGGATCAAACTGGTCTTACGAATCACACCGGTGCGGCTTACCGAGGGCGATTAGCAGCGTATTAGCCAGGCTGGCGCAGCTCTTCGTGAATTCGACTCAGCCTGCAACAATCGAAACGCCCTCCATCTAAAGCTCAAGACCGCCAAGGGATCATCCAGACTTAATCGGACCCAATCCAGAGCGAAAACCCGGCTCTCCCGGACGGCCGCGCCAGACGGCACGACGCAGCCGCGGATAGTCAGCCGCGGGCCAGCCTCCACGCCGTCGACGAAGAATACTACTTCAAGTTTTTACAGTAGGACAGGGAGGAGAGCGGGGCCACAACAAACCTCAAAGCATGCCCTCGGCGCCGCCAAGGAAGGTGGAAATAGACTCCGAGATCCCAGCGAGCGCCTCGACGCCGAAGATCGACTCCAGCCCAAAGGGCAACAACACCGCCGCGTCGCCGACGGCGCCCGCGCCCACAGCTAATAAGAACAGCCCCAGGCCGCCAATCAACAACCCCGCCTTCACGTCGAAGGCGAATTCGTTGCGCCAGCCCTCGTACAGGAAGTTGAACTGGACCATGAAGAAGATGGGTAAGATCGGTTGGAGTAGTCGCGTCACAATACCGGCGTAGTTAAAGTTCTCCAGTCTTCCATCGACAATTTTGGCCGGCGTGTCGAAGCCGCGGATGATGATGTCCGACGCAAAGCGCGATAACCCTTGGACCGCGGCCGATCTCACTAACCTCCTATTCCGGTAGTTCGTCAGAGCGATGTCCGCCTCGGTCCTCGACGTGAGGCCCTTGAGCTCCTCGGCGAGCACTATAGCGTCCTCGATCGCCTGGCAGCCGCCTTGCCCGAGGTTGGGCATCATCGCATGGACCGAATCACCGAGCAAGCCCACGGGCCCGACGGACCACGGCTTTAGGGAGGAGGGCGGTCTATCATACAAATCCCTCTGCTCGATCTCGTCCTCTCGCGTCGCGTCCAAGATCGCGTGGATGTCCGGCGACCACCCTTCAAACGTCTTCTTGAGGAACGGTACCGTACCATCGGGCTTCTCTTCCGTCTCCGCGCTCCCGGGATCCCTCGCGAGAAAGGCGTAGTACTGGTAGCGGCCCTTGCCGATGTCCTGCGTTGTGTCGATCGTGGGCGTGCCGGTTGTTGGCTCTCTCTCTCTATCGACGCGTCGCGGCGACAGCGTAGGGTTGGGACGCGCCCCCGTCCGCGCCATCGACGCGACGATCGCGTATGACATGTGGTTGACGCCCGCGTCGCGATCGCGTCGACGGCGTCTGCGGCTCACGCGGACGCCATCGCCGCGACGCGTCGAAAAGGGACGCCGCACTCATACGGTGATCACAAAGTACTGGTTCGGCCCGATGTAGACCTTGTACCCGACTTCGCCGTTGTCCGGGCTGTTGTAAGCTAATTCTCCCGCGAACACCGTGTAGCCCGAATACGCAACACCCGAACCGTCGCCTCTAGCGGGCTCGTCGCGCATGGCGGCTCTTACTTGACTCCAGATGCCGTCGGCACCGACCAAGACGTCTCCCGCGACGATGTTGTCGTCCTCGAGCTTGACGTCGACCGGTCCCGTAATTCTCGACCCGACGGCACCGGTCGTGTAGGAGTGGACGCCCACGCCGTTGTTGACGACGCCCTCCTCCAGATTGCCCAGCAGAATTTCTTGTAGATCTGGGCGTTCGATCACGCCCGTGTAAGGCATGCCCCGGTCTCGCGCCGGACTTGCGAGGTCGAACTTCGCGTACCACTCGTCGCGAATCCCATCTTTGATACCATTGGTTAAATTGCCGGTCCACGTGAACTTGGACTCGATCTGGTCGTACAGATTCGCGTCGAGTTCCTTGTAGAGCTGCATGGCGTTCGAGGCGAGCTGGATGGGCCCGCCGAAGCGTTTGAACGCTGAGGTTTTCTCGATGAGTTGGACATCGACGTGGTCGCAGCCCTTGAGGGCGTTCGCGAGCGTCAATCCGCCGACGCCCGCGCCCGCGATGACGACCCTCAAGGGGTGCTCGGCGGAGATGGCGTCGGGGATCTTTGTGTCAGGCACGGCGACGGCGGCGGCCTGCTGGCGCGTCGGCGCTGGTCGGGCGTGCGGCGCCTGGAGGGCTTGTGCTGCTGTGAGCAGCAGCGCTGCTATGACTTTAGCCATGTTCGTCCAGCGTCTCGTAGTCTGTAAGCTGTTGCCGAGCGCAAGGAGGGGTGCAGTGCACTGGGTCGCTAGTTTCTACAGCCTTAACGGCGAGAGATACGGCCCAAGAGCGCCACACAAGGCGCTCAAGTCGTGCTGACTGTGTGTGGATCCTAGTGTGTCTCATCACGTAAGGTAACGTGATTCTTCTGCAGCAAGAAGGAGACCTTCGGAGGTATACTGCGGGCGCGTGGACTTAGTTCGTTGCTTTGCCTAGCGCGCAAGACACACTAGCTTTGCATAAGATCGCCGTGGGCCAGCCGCATGGCTGTAGTTTTTGCTTTAGTTTCCGCGGATAGCTACCATTACACACGCTCCGAAAGCGACGACGGCTGCGGCGTGTCGCGGGCGCGGAGGGCGGCTCGCGCGTGTTGCAGGGCCCGCTCCATGTTCACTGTGGACGGATGCGCGCCACCGAGCACGCGCCGCGCGATCCGTGCCGTATCCTCGAACGTCGTCACGGCCTCGCTGAGATCGTCTAGCGTGGCGCAGGTGTCCTGGTAGAGAGCATTCGCGTAAATCGACCGCATCGAGAGTGTGTGATCATGACTATCCCCGAGAATGCGTTGCGCCACGGGGATCATTTTGCGCAGCAATGACTTGGCTTCTTCGAAGCGCTCTAGACCAACAAGGGACGTGGCGTAGTTGCAGGCTGCTACGACGGTCCTTCCATGTTCCTCGCCATAGAGTTTCAACTCTCCCGAATATACATCTCGACTCATCTGCAAGGCCTGTTCATGCCTCCCAATCCTAGCATACGTGGTTGAAAGATTTGTCTGCGCCACGAGAATCGAGTGTTCTGGCGCGCCAACGCGCCGCAGCATCGACAACTCGGCCTCTTGCACGGTCAGCGCGTCCTCATAATGTTTTGCAGAAATTAAACCGTTCCCAAGCACGTTCATCGCCACGCCCCGAATCTCGTCCGTCTCCGGCCGGCCAACGTACGTCTTCCAGCAGGCCCACCCGAGCGCGCATCGCACGACGCCGTGGTACTCTTGCTCGCACAGGCTACACGCGTACCACCGCTCGAACCTCTCAGTCTTAACCTTGTCGCTCAAATTGTTCTCCTCGGCCTCCGCGAACAAAATCTTCGCCTGCTCCGCCAAACACGACACATGAGCGAAGCCAGCCGTTCCACGGCACGCACACCCTCGCACGAGACCTTCCTTGGTCTTCCAGTGGAGGGCCTGCGTGCAGATGTAGCACGTCTGGCCCTTGGTGTCGTCGGCGCATGCCTCGACCGCGACCGCGACGGCCTCCTTGTATTTTTTGTCGGCGTGGTATTGCTCCGCGTTGCCGCCGCGGTGTATTTTCTTGCACATCTGCTTGTGGCCGCGGCGCCAGTGGTCATGTTGGCAAGTGGCATCACAGTATCTCACATGGCACCTCACGCATCGCGGCGCGTTGTGGGCCAGTGGGGCGGCGCAGGCGGCGCAGGTTGTGAGGATCATTTTGGTCGGGTGAGGCGTATGAGGGTCGCGTTGGTCGCTAATGCTTTTTCGCTGTTGCTAGTGTCTTACGTGCCGCTAGCTTAGAGAGCTGCTCTCCGTCGGCACTCTCGCCTAATTCATAGCATTTCTTGAGCGTTCGAGGCTCAAACGCCCGTGGACGTCGAGTTGATGACGCTCGGTAGTAGCCAATAGTCGTACACGCGCGTACGCGCACAAAACTGCACCAGTTGCAGCAGCAGCAGCAGCATGCGGCTGCTCGCCTACTGCTGCGCCGTAGCGGTAGTTGCCGCGGCGGCGAACAACCAAAATATATCACACTACGATGTGCTGCGCGTGCCGGCACACGCGACGCAAGATGAGATCTTCGCAGCATTCGACGAGCGCAAGGCCGCGCTTGAGCAGGAATTCATCGACGGCGACGCCGACGTGTGGTTCCAGCAGAACAAGGACCAGCAGATCGCCTCGAAATTCAAGTCGTACGACGCCGACGCAAACGGCCTCCTGAGCCGTGACGAGGCCGCGCAACTGGTCGTAGAGTTGGGAATAGAACTCGATGGAGAAGAGCACCCCGTTGAGTCGGCCGGGAGCTGGCGGCGAAAAACGTCGAAGAATAAGGAGGCCGCCTTCTCATCCAAAGGGCACCTGCTGGCTGTGTTACAGTACAATTCCCTGCGAGTCGCGAGAATCGTGCTTGGAGACGAAGATTCGAGAAGAGAGTACGACGCTGTGGCGGATCAGACGTGGTACTCTTACGTCGCCCTCGCTTTTCATGAAGGTATTTACTTGTGGTCTTTCGTCGGGATCTGTGTGAGTACGGTTTACGTGGTCACGTACATCAGCTCTAGGATTCAGCCGGCACCTACGTGCTTCCGACGCTGCGCGACGTTCTGTGGTTGTGTTTTACGGGAGTACGAGTACTGGACGTTACGTAGAATCATTCCCGTCATTGTTTGGTGCGGGCCGGCTACCCGCTGGCAGGCAATAGTACAGGCCATCACGCCGTTCTATCGCTTGCACGATAAAATAAAAACGGCACCGCCGCTCGTGCAACACAGTCTGTTTACTGTTGTGGTTGCCGTCCTACTCGCGTGGCTCGTTCCTCTTTTGATGCAGGTTCTCTCGAGCCCTCTAGATACAATGAAGACCTGTATGAGATGTTTAGGAGGAGCGGTCTGGACCATCGCGAAGATCGTCGTGTCATGGGTGGTGTGGTCCTATGGTGTCTTTCTCTTCAACGCGCACCCGTATATAGCCATGCCGGGGTGTGTCCTGGTCGTCGTCGTGGCGCTCTACCTGGGCTACACGGTCGTTATCACAAACGTAGGGTTTCCGGTAGCTATTGTATAAGTTTCGTGAGTGTGGCCTGTATTTGCCTGGGAGCCCTCTCGTCACATCTGGAGCGTTCGAGGCTCATCGCATACACGGCAGCTCCGTAGTTATGGACGACGCCGACGCCAGCGCTTCGTCGGAGATGACTAATCTGTGTAGTCAATGGGCGGCGCTGCCTCGCGCGTAGCCCATGGGTCCTCTTCGTACAGGTTCAGAATTGATTGCTCGTCACGTCCAATTGAGTCGAGTCGTCGAGTCCATTGTCGTTTACCCCATCAAGCGGCGCGTGTCTGGGCCCGAACAGGTCGATGTGAAGCCGCGGAGACGGCGGGCGCTAAATTAGAGGCGACGCTTTGAACACGCAGTGTCTTGCTTGCTCGAGACTACCACCCAGTCGAGTTGTCGATAAAGGCCCGAAGCCCCGGGCACCACAATCCGGGCCTCGCCGGGGCCAGACACACGAAGCTCCAGCATAAGCTCCGTCGCTGAGCTGCAGAGCCGCAAGAGACGCGAGGAGTGTGAGATATTTGATCATCGTGCCCAAAAGTTAGTGTCGCGACCGTGCGACGTCGTGGGCCTCGCGCGGCGCAGGCGTCCGGAGCTAGACGGTCTCGCCATCGCCGTGTCGAGTGGTGTTTTGGTCGAGCGCTTTCAGACGAGCTCGCGCGTCTGCCGCGGTCGGTACGGCTCACAGGAAAAAGTGCAATGTGGTTAGTGGAGACTCAATTGCGGGCGCGTATCGTCGGAGATTCGTCGCTCGTGCTGTCCGCTTGTCTTGGCGGATCGCAAGGATACTCTTGGTTGACGGTAGCTCGCAAACGCGAGCGTGGCGCAAGTGCAATTGCCTAATGCCTAGTGACAGTAAGACACTAGCAAGCAAGCAGCACAGCCAAGCCTTGCATAAACGCGCAGCTGTGCTCCGACGTGCACGCTGCTGAAAGGACACATTTTTACTGGGCAAAGCGACTGCGCTGGCAAAATCGCGGTCAGATTCACGCCATCGCCGCACAAGCAGCACATAGCACTGCAGCCATGCTGCGACGAGCCGCGGTCCACACAAAATTGATCGCGCGCCGGCCACTCGCCACGCGCCAGGCTCTACTGCTAAAGGACACGATCTTGAAAGGCCGCACCGAGCGCGCGGGCGCGGTCGTGACAGTGGCGGGCGGGCACCTCCGCAACTACCTCTACCCGCGCGGCGTCGCCGTGCCCGCGACGCCCGAGAACCTGGCACGCTACGAGGACCTGGCGGCGTCCGAGGCGCCGGCGCCGGTCGAGGCGCCTGTAAAACCGCGCGCGCCGACGGTGACGCCGTCGGCGCGGACGGAGTACCTCGAGGGGGGCGTGCGTAGTGAGTCTTGATGTTGTATTTATTCTCGTGGCGTTTTCTTACGCGCGCGTCGACGGCGTTTCGCGGGCGCGGAGCGCGGCTCGCGACTTTCGTAGATTGTGCTCAATCCCCGATGCGAGCGGGTGCGCGGCACCGAGGACGCGCCGCGCGGTCCGTGTCAAATCCTCGAGCGTCGTCACGGCCACGCGGAGATCGGCGAGCGTGGCATCGGTGTCCGAGAAGAGCGCCGCCGCGTAATTCGCCCTCATCTGTAGCGTGAGGTGATGTGAATCCCCTAAAATGCGCCGCGCCACGGACATCGTTTTGCGGAGCAGCGACTTGCTTTCTTCGAAGCGTTGTAGACGAAAAAGGGACGTTGCGTAGCTGTTGGCTTCTATCAGCGTTTCGCTATGCTGCTCGCCATGGAGCTTCAATGTTCCCGAGAATGTTTCCTGCCTCACGCACAGGGCCTCTTCATGACGTCCCAGCTTAGCATACGTGCTCGCAATGTTGCTCTGCACGATGAGCAATTCGTGTTCTGATGCGCCAATGCGCCGTCGCATAGCCAATTCGGCCTCTCTCACGGACAATGCGTCCTCGTTGTGATCTGCCTGGGATAAACCGTTCCCGAGCTGCGTCATCGCACTGATTTGAAAGTTCGCCGGTCGGCCTACATACGTCTTCCAGCACGCCCAGCCGATTATTAGTCGAGATCAGTTCACAGAAGCCAGGAAATTGTTGCGCAAAACGATGCCCGTGGCGTTGCGCGGTCTCGGAGAGAGTAATGAACTCACGCTCAAGGCGAGGTGGAATTACGCTGGGGCGCTCTACGCGGACCCGGCCGCCACGCTCGACGATCTCCGCGAGGCCGTAAAGGTGCTCGAGGACACGGCTCGAATCGTCCGGCGCGTGTTCGGTAGCGCGAACCCGCTCACAGAGGGGGTTGAGCAATCCCTGCGAGACGCCCGAGCCAATCTCCGCGCCCGCGAAACGCCGTCGACGAGGCCCGCGTAAACAATATAAATAAACGACGGAACTTACGAGCGATCAGAGATCAAGCCGTGACGTGCGCCGGCAGCGCCGCCGCGCGCCGCGCCGCGTCGCCCGCGACGTCGCGCGACCGCGTCGCCGCGAGGTGATCGAGCAGAGGCTGCGTTCTCAGAGTTTCCGTCGTCGGTGGATACCCGAGGTTCTTCTTGTTCACCGAATGAAGCATGTTCTGGCGCGAGCCGCCCCACATCCGGTCGTAGAGGACCTTGTTCGATTTCCGCTGCATGTTCTCGGGCGGCTGGCACCGCGTGGCGAAGAGGTCGCGCTCATACGTCGTCTGGAAGTAGTCGAGCATGGCCTTGGCCTTTTCCTTCACTTTTTGTTCCTCGTTCATGAAGCCTGCGAGGGAGGGACGCCGTCGCGGCGATGGCGTGGGGGGTCGCGCCGTCGAGCAAACGCCGTCGCGGCGATGGCGTAAGGACGCTGGTGTGAATACGGGTCTGCTCCTCGAACAATCGGTTCTCCGCGTACCTATCTCTATGATATCTCCCTCGAGCTTTCCGCGCGGCCTTGAGAGCCTGGCGCTTCCGGAAGTCTCGCGTCGAATCGGACACGTTCTCCCTCCGGCAAGGCTTGTTCGGCTCGTAGATGATGGGCGTGTAGTATCTATTGGTCGTCGTCCCGAAGCGTTGCGTGGGGTCCAGGTAAACGCCGGACTTGGGCGACATGCCGTCGCCCCCTAGTCCCGTTCTCGTCCAGTCCGTCGGTTCTTGCGGCACGAATCTCGGACAGATGCCCGCCATCTGCTGCGTTCTTGTACGACGCATATCATCGAAGACGCCCTCGCTGTCGTCGCAGGGCGTGAGGGCTTCCTTGGCTACGGCCGTCGAATGTTCGGCCCGATCTCTTGACATGATCTCGTGGTGGCGCTCCAAGCTACGACTGGTACATAGCGGTCTCACGTAGCGGTCCACTTCCGGTCCTAGCGTCCTTCTCCTCCGCCCGTAGGTGGGCGACGCGGTTTGAGCTCGTTTTTTTATGGGTGACGTGCTATACCCCTGCAGCTCCTTCGATTTGGCGAGCAACTCGTCGGTCGCCTCCCACTGCCAGGGCGCCGCGATGGTTCTTTTCAGACTCACTAACTCGCGGTCCCTCGCGTCGAAGAACGGGTTGAAGTCCGGCGCGTGGTCCCCAATTTCTAACTTTTTTACGAATTGCTTGATTTTGCATTGCTCGCCGAGATCCAAATAGTCGACCAGTTCCCGCACCTCGGCGTCGGGGACGCCGAGATTCAGGTACTTCGGCCCGAGCGCGTCCACGATCTCCCGGGGCGACAGCGTGCCGTCGCCCTTGCTTCGGTTCTGGACGTCCCAGTTCTGCAGCCCATTAATCAAGTATTCGTCCTGCCGCAGGTTGCCCTCCTCCGTCTTTGTGGCCCTTGTTCTCTTATACACTTCGTCCGCGATGCGGTCCTTGACCTCGCGGAGGTGCGGCGGCAGCGTGATCTCCCCGATATTTCTATCTTCCTGGGACCGCAACAACTTCTCGTTCGCTCGACGCGCAGCAGCCGCGCGGGGGTCCTTCTCGAGCCAGTCGACCATTTCTTCCACTTCTACAGATTCCGAGAAGTCCTTGTCGATGGCGTCGTAGACGAGGCGCTGCTGGTCCCTGCGCGGTGTTTTGCTCGATGGCGTGGGGTTTCACGAGGCTCTCTCACGAGACGCACAGACGCTCTGACGCCATCGGGGCGACGTGGCACCGCGTTGACGCCATCGACGCGACCCAATTCCAGCGAGGACGCCGCATACGCGCCGCGGGAACAGCTTCTCGAGGTTCCTCCTCTTAAGAGCGTGCGAGAACTCGTCCAACGACAGCTCCTTGTCGTTGTTCCTATCGAGGCAATCGAACATCTGGCGCACGCCCCCATATTTATGGAGCGCTAATTGAGCGAGCCTTTCCCGCGCCTTGTTCGTGACGCGCTCGTTCTGGGCGTTGATCATGAAGGCCTTGCGCGCCTTTTCCCTTTCTATCACTTCGAATTCATCACTCTCGTTGGCTGCAATTTCCTCGGCATCCCTCAGAGTGGTCTGCATCTGCTGGCTTTCACTGATCCAGGTGCGGCCGGGCCGCGGCACGGTCGTGGGGCCCCAGGTCGCCATCTGGAGGGGGCGGTCGCGCTCCGTGTTGAGCCGTCTTGTACGAAAGGCCGCGGACCGGTCGACGGCCGCGGCGCCCGGCGGCTGCTTCCACTCGCCTATATGCGGTGTGAGCTTTTCTCTAGCTTGGGCCTTGGCCGACGTCATGAGCGGCACGGACGGGTCCTTCTTCTTCTTGTGTTTGTTGCGGGGCCTGTTCGTGGCACCCGTCTCGACCCTTTGACGGCGGCCGCTGCCCAATGATGAACGGGCCGTCGAGCAGCGCGTCGACGGTCTACCAGAAGTGCCGGGCCGCGACTGTGGTGACATCGGGCCGCGGGGGGCCTCGATGGCCATGGCTGGTGTCGGGGCTGCAGCTGTCGCTCTTGGCTTTGGGCTGCCTCGCGGGGCAATACGACGGCGTTGTTGGGGAGATACGACGTAGGCGTACGACGCCGCCTTGCCTCGGTCGCCGGCGCGGCGTCGCGGCGGCTCGGAGATTAGCGCGCAGGCGTCGGGGCAGCTCTCACAAGGCGAAACCGCCGGGGGTTTCGAAGTCGAGCTCGCGGTCCTTGGGTGGCGGTTTTGGGGCGCTCGGGAGGCGTGGGGACGGGTGGGAGGGCTTTGCGTAGGTTTTGCGTTTTTGGGCGAGGGCGCAACGGCGGCGGCCGCGGCGGGCTAGGCGATTTTTTTACGAGGTATTCTGTCGTCGGGGCGTTGGAGCTTTCCGTGTGTGAGGGTTTCGATGGGCTGCCGGGAGAGGTCGGTCGATCCCGACACGGGTTTTGCACTCTAGGCGCCGGGCGACATCGACTCGGGCACGGACGGCCAGAACAACTACGCGCCCTACTTCTTCGACACGACGACGGCCGAACCCTCGCCGGCGGGCGGGTTCCTCTTCCACACGCACATCTGGGCGAACCCCGAGGAGAACTCGTACTTAAGGACGCTGCAGGCCGAGTGCCTCTTCCCCGACGGCTACAACGCGACGCTGGGCTTCTGGACGACGGACCTCTATGAGGACGGCATCGAGGGCAACGACCGGAACAACTTCACGTGCGACGCGTCGGTGAACGTGCCGCCCGTCGGCGCGCGCTACATCGGCCTCACGTGCACGTTCCAGGCGGCCGCCGTCGCCGGCGTCACGCGGTTGGGGGTCTTCACGATCACGTTATCGAACGACGTGGACCTGTCCGGTCTCGTGGGCGGCGGCGTCGGCGTCGCCTGCGACGTCGTCGCCATGGAGTCGGACTCGATCGCGGCCATCGGCGCGCCGGGCAACGTGCGCTCCAAGATCGTCGACACGCCGTCCGTCGCCGCCGAGGCCCAGGTGTATAATGGCGACGACCCGCCGGTCAACGGCTTCGAGCCGACGATCGCGCCGACGGCGGCGCCGTCCCTGTCGCCGACGCTCGGCCCGACGTCGTCGCCGCCGACGCCGCAGCCCACCGGGCCCTCTCCAAGTCCGACGGCGATGCCCGTCCCGGCGCCCACTCCGAGCCCGTCGCGCACGCCGTCCGCGGCGCCGTCGGCCGTCCCGACGATCCCGGCGCCGTCGTCGTTGCCGACGACGGCCGCGCCCACGATCCCGCCGACGAGCGCGATTCCGACGCTGCCGCCGACGCTGCCGAGCTGTCCGCAGCTCGGCGTGCCGGACGAAGCCGAGTGCGCCGCCGTGGCCGGAGAGCTCCCGCTTTGTAGTGAGGTGAACCTCGCGCCAATGGAGCTCTGCACGGCCAATTCCACAATCTGCCCGGGCGTGCCCGAGAGCGATTGCCTACTTCGGAGCCTGTATCTCGGGTTGCAAGGGGTACGAGTATGGCCAGGACTGGGGCGGCATCCTTTGCCAGCTCATATATCCGGGAAGTATTCCCTCGTGTCCTAGTGGGTTCACGCTCTCTGTCACGGCTGGCACCTCTATCTCGGGTGTGGGACATGGCGTCACTGGTGGCTATTGCTACAAAAAGAACTAGACGACGGGGCCGCGCCGAAGGCGGCTCCTTTCAAGGGCTGTTTCGACAGTCTCCCTCCCCCAAACGGGCCGCGGCGCGAGACGACGCCGGAGCCGCGCGCCCTTCCTCTTCCCCCGAGCACGACTACGCCGCGTGTCGCCCGAGTAAGGGTCGGCTCTTTGAAATTCTAGTGTAACGTAGTCACGACGAACGAACGACCCTCTGATCCGGCGCCCGGGTAAGAAGGGTCGGCTCAAAGTTTCTAGTTGTAGGCGTAGTCACGATCCTCTGATTATACGTCGGGGGCGCGCGTCTTCTTAGGGGGCCGCCGCGCCTCGACCATCATGTCGTCGTCGTAGAGCTGGTCCAGCGCCAGCCAGGCGCGCGTGAACGCCGTCTTGTCGGCCGCGGCGCCCACGGCGAGGCCCGCCTCGGCCCACGCGTCCGCGATTTCCGCGTCGGACAGGTCGTCGGGCAGCTCGCCCCGCAGCGATTGTATAGGAGGCAGCTGCTTGAAGGCCTCGAGCGTCACGGCGCCGGGCTGCTTCGACATGGCCGCGGCCACGACGAACAGCGCATCAACCAACGCCTCGTCGCGCGCGTTCCGCGCCGGCGCGTCTTCCTCCACGTCGACGTCGACGACCGGCCCGCCCGCGCCGGCGATGGCGCTGTCGGCCATCTTCTCCAGGTCCTCCGGCGCCATGGCCTCCATCTGCTTCTGGGCCAAATCACTGGCCTGCTTCATCTGCTCGGGCGACATCTTGGCCATCTGCTCCTGCGCCATCTTGATGACGTTGGGGTTGGCCTTCATGACCTGTGTGGAACGTGTTGCGCCGATGGCGTGGAGGACAGACGACACAGTTCATGACCTTCATGGACATCTTGAGCATGTCCGGGTTGATGCCCATCCCCTTGAGGCGCTCGCGCTCCTGGGGCGACATGTCCTCGACCTCCTTGAGCATTTGTTGAATTTGGTCCGGCTTGAGCGTCTTCAGGGCGTCGGCGGCCTGGCGCATGGACTCGGGCGTCATGTCGCCGGGCTTCGGCGGCATCATCTGCAGCCGCGTCGTCCGCGGCGCGGGCGGGAGCACGAAGGCGTGCGCCGTCGCGGCCGCGAAAAATAGATTGCGCAGCAGCATGGTCTCCTGACAGTGTCGAGCTGATCACGTGGGCTCTGGTGCAGAGAGCTGCTTGCTTCAGCGAAGAGCGTTGGAGTCTCTGAAGATATTTTTTGCAATCGTTTGATTGCAATTGGCTCCACCTGGCGAGAGTGGTGGCTTCAATAAAGGCTGAGAGCGCTCGATCAGGCTAGCGTCTGTAAGACACTAGCAAACAGCCGGCCCAGCTCCACAGACGCTGTACGGCGAGCAGAGCAGTGCTGTAGCGAAGCAACATAGTCGTCTGGGACCCAACGATCGCGCATATCATCCGTGCCGAAGACCGCCCGTCCTGAGCCGCCGCAGAGCCCAAACAAGGTGACCTTGTCTCGAGACGTAGCGCTGGGCAGCGATCGACTGTCGTGTTTTCTGAGGATGGACAGCGTCCTGGACTCGAATAGCGCTCATGAGCTCCTCCGCTGCTCCACCGAGGAGCTCGCGCTCCTGAGGGACGCCCAGCTCCGGTCGCCGCAGCGGCGGACCTCGCCGCGGTCGCCGCGGTCGCGGCTCAACAGCGGCGACCTCCGCGAGATGAAGTCTGCCGTGCGCGAAGCCGTCGCCGAGGTGAGGAAGGCGTCGCCCCGTGGCGGAGACGGCTTCTTCTTCTCGCCGCCGCGCGCCGCCGCGCGCCGCGCGCGGTCGCCGTCGCCGATGGCGCGCCAGGCGACGGGGGCCGCGGACGCGGCCGCGCGGCGCCGGCGCGCGTCGACGCCGACTTCCGTCTCGCGGCGGTCGCCGAGCCCCGCCAGACGTGCGTCGACGCCTATCTCGCGGCGCTCGCCGAGCCCGGCGGCGCGGCGACGGACGTTCTCCGGCGGCGGGTCTCGGGCCGGCGTCGTCGTGCCGCCGCCGCCGCCCCTCGGGACCTCGGCGCGCGCCTCGACGCCGACGACGCCGACGCCGCCCCGCGCCGCCGCCGTGGACGAAGAAGACGCGGCGTTGCAACGTCGCATCGACTCCCTCGCGGCAGAGCTCGCGCGCCTGAAGGAGCTCCAAGCGCGGCGACGGCGCCGCCGCGCGAACCCGGAGGCTGACCGCCCGTCGCCGACTGACTCATAGGTCTCCCTAACTTTTTCTCGTTGTGAACCTTGTGTACCGCGGAGCCAGCCAACTTTTTCCGGCTGCAATGGCGCACGGCAGCAGTGCAAAGAGTCAAAATACACGTATTGTTACGGTGCTAGGACTAGTGGGCGGAGCCCCTGGGGGGGAGACACCGCGCGTCGTGGCAAAGAGCCAAAACGGAGCTAGCGTAATGGACACACTAGCAAATTCAAAGATACGCTTCGATAGCGTCAAAAGCATGACCAAAATTCAGAATACATCCTGGTCGTTCGCTGAGACCAAATAGTTCAGAGTAGAGGCCCGGGAACATACCCTCGCGCCTCCCGGAAGGCACCGCCCGCGACATTCGCGGATGAGACTTACGGCTCGCCAAAATACACCAGCGATTGACGCCACCATCCACTACCTAGATAGTGCATTATATCAACTCCAGCCCAGTTTTCATACACAATCGACGGAACCGGAGCCGACGGCGCGCGCTCGGAGGGCGGGAAAGGAATTCTACTAGACAACTCTCGCGTTTATGTTCGTTTCCTTCCGTTTGTTGGTGGTAGATTACATTTAAGTCGAATCAGCGACTACTGAGCTATTTTAGATGACCCGTTAGAGCCGCGCGAAACGACAGATCCGCGAGCCCACGTTTAGGCAAAGATGGCAAAATAACCTGGATCCGCGACTATCAGCGACGACACCATCCAGGTGGACCATAATCCCGTTGTTCTATTCACAATCGACCGACTTGCCCGTTCTCCGCGGACGACGGTACGGAGACGGAGCACCGGAAAGGCCCCAGACCGGTGGTTTATATAATAAATTTGCGTTTCAGGCGCTTTAGTTGTGGGGCGGGCCAGATAACCGGCTTGATTGTGTACTACATTGCTCCGAGACCCAAAGATGCTCGGCGCGGCTCCGCCAACACGCGACCCCAATATCTCCTCAATTCTGGCAAAATACCTGAGCCTGCGACCATCAGCGCTTGTACCATCACCATGTACCATGATGCGATCGTTTGCTCTATGATCGACCGACTTAAGCGAGCTCCAGATGCAGATGTTCACGTCCCGAGCGTGGGCAGCCCAAAGTACCCTTCTCGTGGTGTAGATGTCATATACTTGTAATTGACTATCGGTGGGGTAGTATGGGACCCAGCGAGACCGCTACAGCGACTACTGGGGCCCTAGAAAAATTGACGTTTTTTACGGGGACGGGGCGCCATCGGGTCCAAATTGCACACTTTTTTCGGGGGTGGATCGGCTCCTGGAGGCCTCTCGAGGTAGGTCTGGTAGTGGGTAGTCGCCTGCACCGCATGCGCCGATTCTTGGGGCCCCCAAAGGCTCTGGAAGCCATTGCCAAGTAATTCATAGTCAACAGACCTGTAGTGATGAGAGAATTGGTCGATTATGCCCCGAGCCCGGGCGCATGCGGTATAGGCGACTAACCATGTATACTCTGACCCAAAGCGACCCCAGGGACACCTCAGGACCACGGATTGACAGGATTAAACCGGAGCGGCCGCCACAGACCGTAGGGCGCCCTCGGCCGCGAATTAAAAAAAATTCTTTTTCGGCCCCCAGTAAGTGTCCCATCGATCTCTTTGGACCAGTATCGAACGGAACGATACTCAAACGGCTGCATGCTGGTTCCGATTTTCGCGTGCTAGTGTCTTACAAGTCCGCTAGCTCGGCCAGCCTCTGGGAGTCGATTTTGAATAATTGGAGGAACGTGGGCCTTTCTGGACGCGCTCATCCTTCCATAGCTTCCCCGCGCTGCCGTACTTCGGCTCCGGGCCAGCGAAAGCCGCTCCCGCGCGCTACCAGACGCTACAAGAGCAGCAGGTCACCGCCGCCCTGCTGCCGAGCGCCGACGCCGCGCAGCGCGAGCCCACGATGGCTTCCACCGCCGCCGCCCAGCAACGAAAAGCTGTGCTTCTGGAAGCGCGCATGAGGGGCCTCACGGGCTCGGAAGCCTCGAGCGCCTTCGCGCCGGCCGCGGCGACGTCGCTCGACCCTCCCGTCACGGAGGTCGGCTTCCGGTCGCCCGCCACGTCGCGCGAGGGCGTATCCACGAAGCCCGCATCTGGCTCAAGCTCGATGACCGGTGTGCTGCCCCCCGGCGCCCCGGCGCCCCGCGAACCAAGCCCTTTGAAACGCAAGGCCGGCGACGGCATGGGCCCGCCACCAGCTAGACGCAAATCGGCGCAGCCGCGCAAGCTCCCCACATCAAAACGCGCCTCGTCGGATGGTGGAGACGAGCGTCTATCAAAAGCCGAAGCCAAGGCGAGCGGGCTGAGCCAGGAGTTGGAAAGGGTGAGAGAAGCGGCGTCGAAGGAGGGCGAGGCGACGCGCCAGAAGCTGCAACTCACACGCGACGCCCTCGAGCATGCACTGCGGGCCACGGCCGAGGCTGATGCGAGGAAGGCTCGCAGAGATGTTGCTGATGCGGCGTTCGAGCTAGGTAGAGCTACTTATGTGGCCGGTTCTCTCGGAGGGCGCGACGCCTGGGAGGACGGTGATGCGGCTAGACGCTTGAAAGATAGAGAAGAAGAACTGAGGAGACGTAGGGAGGACGAGACGAAGGTGAAGAGAAGTATCAGAGAAAGCAAGAAGAAGGGTTTGATTGCGGCGTCCTGTGGCCTTCCGGCAGCCTTACGCCATCGACGCGACTCGTCTCCATCAGACGAGGTCGTGGGTGGTTTCTTTTTCGAGTTTGAGGCCATTCGGACCGCGTCGCGAGACCGCGATGCTCCGCGCAGGTCTCGACGGGGCGACGGCCGACGAGGCGGCCAAGTATCGGGCGCGCAAGCTCAAGAAAGACGAAGAGTTACTAGCGGGCGAGAAGGCTCGCTTACACCAAAGGAAGCTGACCCATGCCCGAGAATGGCAGCGCGTAAGGTGCGAGGACGCGTCCGTCTTCAAGCATCGACCGACCTTACATGGGAAATACTTACTACAGCGTTTGCTGGGCAAGGGCGGCTTCAGCGAGGTCTGGCTATCATACGACCTAGATGCCTGTCGACATGTGGCCGTCAAGTTTCACACGCTAGATTCTTCCTGGGGCGACGAGAAGAAGCGGGCCTACGTGCGGCACGCGGCGCGCGAATATTCGATACAGAGGGACTTGCAGCACGATCGCATCGTACGCTTACATGACGTCTTCGAAGTCGACGCGGACACCTTTGCGACGGTCCTTGAGTACTGCTCCGGCGACGACTTGGACCTGTTGTTGCGGGAGCGAGGGCGCCTGAAGGAGAACGACGCCAAGGCTATCTTGCTACAAATTCTATCAGGATTAAAGTACTTACACGCTCCTACTGGTACGGGTAACGATCGCAGACGAGCGATTATTCATTATGATTTGAAACCGGGCAATATATTATTCGATCAGCGAGGTGATGCGAAGATCACGGATTTTGGATTGAGCAAGATCGTGCCTGACGGTAGTATGTCCCAGGGGCCCCTCAGCGTCGAGCTCACCAGTCAAGGTGCGGGTACGTACTGGTACCTGCCGCCCGAGTGCTTTCAGACTCATGGCAGTGTCACGGTGTCGGGCAAGGTCGACGTCTGGAGCGTCGGCGTCATCTTCTACCAGATGCTGTACGGCAAAAAGCCGTTCGGCGATGGTGTTACGCAGCAGGCCATCCTTCGCGACCGGACGATGCTGCGCGCGACGTCGGTGGATTTTCCTGCCACTCCGAAGATTAGCGACGCGGCCAAGGACTTCTGCCGGAAGTGCCTGGCGCACTCGTCGCTGGAGCGGCCGACCGTCGCGGAACTCGAGCAGCACGCCTACCTCACGTCCACCAAGTAAATTGTATCAGTCAAACTTGCCAACCTCCCACACCGGGTAATTGTATCAGTCAAACTTAGGATATAGGGGAGTCTAGTCGCGGTGGTGCCGCCCGAGGACCTCGAAGTACCAGTCCGCCCACGCGACCGTGCCCACGAGGACGACGATGCCCGGCCCGATGTCCCAGAGCGACGGGAAGTTGTTGAGGAAGTTGCCCGGCGCGTACTGGTCCCAGAGGCTTCGAATGGGCTGGAGCTCGAAGGGGCTGATCGTCCGCGTGACCATGCCGTCGATGACGCCGTCCTTGGGCTTCTTCTTCCACCTGCGTGTCGTAGGGTCGCGCCGGCGGCGTGGGTGGACGCCTCGTTAGTAGAGCAGCGACGATCAAGGTGCGGTGAGTCGAAGGCAGCGCGAAAGAATGGACGCAGCTGCTGACCAGATCTCGAGGTGGGGCTGGACGCCAGGCTTGAGGTCGCCGAGTCGCCTTACGGTCGCGCGCAGCGCCATCTTCTTTGCGGGCAGGAGCAGTGTCTCTGCCTCTTGTAACTCTCTTTCAGCGGCGTTTGCGCTTCCTCTGGCTTCTGTACTATGGCTGGGGTAAACCGGCGCGCGAAGCGGCTCTCAACCTGCCCAGCGGCGGTGTACGGCGGCGCTTGAGTTTTGGTAGTGCTTGCTAGTGCCTGTCACGCTATGCTGCTAGATGATTATTGACGAGAGCATCAAGCTAAACAGCCAGGCAAGAAGGTATTATCGTTGAAAAGGTAGAATTCCTAGACCTTAAGAAGATTCCACAGGAACAGGATCCGACACGCGACACACGCACGAAGCAATAAAGCATGATCACCAGGCTCTCATCAGTGCTCGTCTGCGCGACAGCGCTGCGCCCGCCGACGCAAATCACACGCCCGCCGACGCGCCTGCACGCAGGAGGTGACTGGCAGCAGTGCGAGCGCCGATTCGCCGTGCGCGGCCCGGTCGCGAAGGGCTACGGCCGCGGAGGGAAGAAGCTCGGCTTCGCGACGGCGAACCTGGACTCGGATGTGATTGGGGACGTCCTCGGCGACTTGGAAAAAGGCGTCTACGCCGCGTTCTACCAGACGGCGAAGACCACGGAGCCGCTGCGGGCCGTCGTGAACGTGGGCGTCGCGCCGACATTCGAGGGCCAGGAGCAGCCCGTGAAGCTCGTCGAGGCGCATCTGTTGGACCACGACGGCTCGGACTTGTATGGGGACGCGCTCGCGCTGCTGATGGTCGCCTTCATCCGGCCGGAGATGAAATTCGACGGCCTCGACGCGCTTAAGGCGCAGATCGGCGCCGACTGCGAGACGGCCAAGAGCGCGCTTGCCGACGTTGGTTTGAACTATATCGAGGAGGGCTTCCTGAAGGCGGTCAGCCGGCCCGCGCCGCCGAGCGCGACGCAGTGGTTTATGTTGAGGGAGGACTCGGGCGTCGTGGACCAGTCGCCCTACGTGTGAGCTTCGTTCCCGCCCCGACGGCGTCGACGAGAAAATTCAAACTAAACTTGGTTGTTTTAATCCCTAACGAACTCGGAGAAGTAGGGCACGGCGTCCTCGACGAACGCCGGCGTCAGTGGTGCTTCAGAAACGAGCTCCTCCATGTCCAGCAGCGTGCGGGGGAGCCCCGCCGGCACGACGCTCGCGTCGCGCTCGTGGAGCTCGTCCACGAACGCCGCGCCGAGAGGATGCGTTATTAAAGCTCGGCCGCCCGGCGCCAGTACCTTCGCGGCTGCTCGCAGCGCCGCGCTCCGGTCGAAGATGTTCCCGAAGCAGGCATTGAATACGACGGCGTCGTACAGATCGCCTTCATACCCCGCCGCGTAGTCGACGACGTCGGCCACGACGTAAGTCGGGTTGCCGCCCTTCGCTCGCGCGGCCTTGACCATCTCCGGCGACAGGTCCACGCCCGTCACATCAGCTCCACCGGCCGCAGCCGCCGCGTAGCGCCGCGAGAGACATCCAGTGCCCGATCCCACGTCCAGCACGCGGAAGGCTGCTTCTGGCCTGGACGGCTCGCAGATGCGCTTTGCGAGCGCGTCGAGCGTCGCCTCGACTTCTGGAGGTGACGCCTCGGGCGACGCGAAAAACTCGGCCGCGGAGTCAAAGACCTCCTGCTGCCGTTTGTTATGGGCTGCGCGCTCCGGCGACGGCGCGCCGGGACCCGCGCCCGTCTGGACCCGCTCCGTGTGCTGCTCGAGCGCGTCCTTCGCGGCGGACCGGAGGCGGCTGAGCGTGCGCAACGCGTGCGGCTGCTGGAGTCCCCGCGCCAGCGTCAGGGTGGTGGCTGCGACTACGAGGCGTGCCATTTTGGACGCTTTTCGATCAGTAGAGCTCGAGAGCCTCGAGCCAGTCAGAGGCTGTGAGAGCCTCCCAACCAGTGAGGCTGTAAGGAGCTGTAAGAGCTGCAAGGAATTGCGCGCGCGGCCGAGGCAGCAAATTTTATCGAGCCTTTACACCACCACGTTGGCTACAAGCACGCGTAAGCTGAACACAGCGTCTAAAGCGAAGCGTGAGCTAGCGGCATGTAACACACTAGCAAGGAATATTGCTTGATTTGTAGCTTTGGTTGTAGGCGTTTGTACGCGATACTGAGACCACACAACAAGTGCCAAGCATCGCTCGTTATCCCACTGTTGCGCTGCAGTCGCACCCAAGCTCCTTAGAAAGCGTGGGCGGGCAGACTGGCACATAGCTGCCAGGGAGACGTTTGAGCTCCGCGCCACCGACGCGATAGCTGCTGAAACCAGAGAGCAGCAACAATGGTCTCCTCCGCCCACGCCCTAGCGCGCCACAGCAACTTGAATGCCAGTGAAGTAAGAAACATCGCGGCCACGTCCTGCGCGCTCGCCACTTTATCCGTGACAGCGTGCGCCCTCGCGTCGGCTCTGGCGTGGCGCAAGCGCAAGTCCTGGGAGATGGTGCAGGAGGTCATCATTTTGATCTTAGCTACTGATTTAGGATTCTGTGCCCAATACCTCATCGTGGCGCCTCGACCGGGTTCGGCCGCGTGCTACGCGCAGGCCGTCGGCGGCCAGTTCTTCACGCTGGCGTCGATGCTGTGGTCTGCTGTGGTCGCTGATGTTTTAGTACGCCTACTCGTCTTTCAGGATGATAGGGCAGCTTTAGCTCGGCGACGGTTGCCGTACCACGGCCTCGTCTGGGGCGTTTCTCTGATTGGAACAATCCTGCCGGCTATTCTAGGTGTCTATGGCCCGGCGGGCCCCTGGTGCTGGATCGACACGTCTTTAGGTGCGCCCCAGGCCGCCACGGTCATGCGGTTCGGTACCGTTTACCTCGGGATCTGGGCTAGTATAGCGTTCCAGATCTGGGCCTTTACGAAGGTACGAGTGGTAGTGCGACGGTCCATGGCCTTGTTCGACGAGGTCGAGGAGCTGTCGACGATGGAGGACTCGCGGAAGGCCGCGGTGGACGCGGGCCGACGATCCCTCGCCTCGGCGCAGCGGCTCTTCGCGTTCCCGCTGATTATATTGATAGCGCGCGGCGTCGGCACTATAAACAGAATACACAACTGGGTGAACCCTGGGGACGACGTGGCTGCGCTGTACTACCTGCAGGCTATCCCACTCGCCTCACAAGGATGGATGCACGCGGTCTTCTGCGTGTCCGGGGGCCTCCAGTCGTACATCATGGCGCGGTGCTGCGGCGGGTCGCGGGCGCCACCTCCACATGAGCGGCGGCCGTCGAAGCCCGAAAAGCAGATGAGTGCGGATCCCGGCTTCGTCGACGTCGATCTCGGGGAGGTGGAGATGGTCTGAGGGCGCCGCGTCGATGGCGTCGAGACGCTGCTTTGTTCACGCGTCGACGGCTTGCGCCGTGTAATATTTTGGTTCATTAACTAACACTTACACCTCAGCGTGAGAGACCACGTCGACGGCGGGGGGGTGGCGATTCCCGCGCCGCTCATCGGCGCTTCTTCTTGGACCGCGTCGGCGGCCCGCCGCTCCCGAGCCGGTGCCCGTCCCCCTGAAATGAGGGGGGCGGCGCCTGGCCCATCGACGCGGCCATCGCCCGCGCCATGTCGCCGTCGTCGAAGCCAGACCGCCGCCGGCGCCCACCGCGCCCGCGCCCGCCCCGCCGCGGCCGCTGCATGCGCTCCGCGAGCTCCATGGCTCTAGCCAATGCTCTATCCGAGTCGCCGCCGGGAGGCCCGCCCCCAAAAGGCCCGTAGGGATCGTAGACGTAGCCTCCACCGTATCGGTCCCTCCTTCTATCTTGCTGCTGCAACCGCGCCGCCTCGCGACGGCTCTCCTCTTCAAAATGCCCGCACTTGCAGTTCGGAAAGGGACCTAAACAAAGCCAGCAGAAGTCGTGGCCGCACGCGCACTTCATGTGATTACAGCCGGCGTCCTTCTCGATGGCCTCGCCGCACTTCGGGCACTGCTTGACGTCTCCTTTCTTTTCTGCGAGCCACGAGAGCACACCGCCTTCTCCGTCCTTGCAGGGCCCCTCGTGGGCGGCCATGCCGCACCGCACACAATAGGCCGTCTGGCAGCCGGGGCACGCCACCCTACCATCGCCCACATCTTCGTGACTGACGGCGCCGACCGTGCCGCAGGGGCACCTTAGGACCGCGGCGGCGCCGCCCAGGACCTGCCTTAAACTTTTATCGCGCTCGCGCTCTTCCATGACCATGACGTCCGCCGCCGACACGCAGTCTCTTACCGAACGTGTAGCATAGACGGAGCCGCACTTCGGCGCGACGCACTCCACGGCCGACGGTCCACTTCCTCGGTCGCAGGCCACGTCGACACAATACCTCCTAAAACACGCGCGACACATGAAATGATCGCCCTTCGAACACCGCACGCCATCCGTCTCGCGAAACGTATCCATGCAGACGGCGCAGGTCTCGCCCTCATCTACGCTTTCAATGTTGTCGCACCAGGCGTCGTGGGCCGCCTTGTCCTCCAGAGCTGCGAGTCTTCGACGGGCATACAGCAAAGCGGAATAGGAAGAGACGCGCTCGCCGCTCGTCGCGACGAGGGCGCGCGGGAGCTTATTTGCAAAAGTTGCCTCGACCTCCGGGCGCACTGGGCCAATTTTCGCTTGCCGCGCGCCGTCGAGCAGCGCCCAGAGCGTCTCCTTTGATGAGCGTGACGCGCGGAAGCTATTGACGGCGTCGGCGGACGCGTCTATGACAGATCGGACGGCGCTCGTCGCCTGCTCGCCGTTCAAAGCGAAGGTCTGGTCGACGTCGTTCAAGGAGGCCGCGGGGCGGGCGCCGGACCGCATCGCCGGCGCGGCCTTGTCGTCCTTTTTGCGTTTCTGGCCTCTTGGGCTTGGTGGGGTCGGCGCGTCGACGTCGATGATCTCGACGCCCGGGCTGTCCTCGAGCTGGCTGTCGTCGTCGATGGCGATGACATCCCGGCCCGTCCTCGGCGTCGTGGCGGGCGCCTCCTCCTCGTCCGAGTGCTCGAGATTTATCACCTCGGGCTCGGCCATCGTTTATTGCGCTTCGGCGCGCGCTCGTTAGTGTGCAGCGCGAACGATCGTTTCGGCGGTCCCGGGGCGGTGCACGCCCGGCTCGCGCGCGCTACCCGTCCGCCGTCGCTGCGAGACCTATCAAACGGCCCAGCGGCCACTCGTGCGCCTTGCGCAGCAGCAAATAAGCCAGACAAGGCGGCCGTCGACGGTGCGAGCTAGAGCCTCTACGACGCTAGCGAGCTTCGCTTTTGTGGTGCAGCAAACGCGCCTCATACTTCGCGCCGGTGCTGTACTCCTGCTGCACCAGCGCCCCATCGCTGCAATCCACCGATACGGGAGCACTGATTGGGCTGCTCTCGACGTGCTACAGCGCTACGCTACGATGCTGCGCCTAGCCGTGAGCCGTAATGCCGGCGCGCTCCTCCGCCGGACGGCGCCGCCGCGCGTCCGCTTGCTCTCGACGCCCTCCGAAGCGATGGAGGCCAAGCTCCGAGATGAGCTTGACGCCGTCAATGTGACCGTCGAGGACGTCTCCGGCGGCTGCGGCGCCATGTACAAGGCCTACGTTGAGTCGCCGCGCTTCGTTGGTTTGGGCGTGGTCAAGCAGCACAAGCTCGTCCAGGGCGTCCTCAAGGCCGAGATCGCCGAGATGCACGGCTTCACGCTGAAGACGGCGAAGCCCCGGGGCGACTAGGCGTCGTGCGGGCGCGCCTCGCCACGCCATCGACGCGACCCTTCCCGTGATAGTGTTAATGTTTACAGTTACTCGCTTCCACCGAAGGAAGACAGGATCGGCGGCAGGCTCGGCAAGCACGGCAAATCCCGCGGCGGTGCGGGCGTCGACAGGTCCGCCTGCTGGTACCTCCCGATATAACGGTGGAAGCCCAGGGCCAACGGCCGCGGAGCTCTTCGAATCAAGTCGAGCGCGGCGTCGAGATGGAGCTTCGGGTCGTCGCCTGGTTGTGCAGGTAGTAACGCAGCACCTGCAATCGACGTGATCTCGTCCATCTTTTCCAAAGTTTTTGAGTGCGGGCAGCTCTCCAGCACACTATCGACAATCACGTGCGCCTTCCCACTCTTTCTATCCCTCATCACGGACACGCCTAGCCCGAGCGGCCCCGCCGGGAAAGTTAGCTCAAAACTCTCCTCCTCGGGCTCCGCATTGGGCTCCGAGGCCACGACGGCGTCGTCTGATAAAGACGAGACGCTCCGCATAGGTGAGCGGGTCGGCGTTTTCGGCGAGACGGGCGGCAGCGGCAGCGGCTCGACCTCTGTTGGCGTGACCTTTCCGATGGCCTTGTCCACGAGCGCGTCGACGCGCGCCTCTCCCCTTTTTGCCGCGTCCGCACTCCTCGTAAAGTCCTTCTCGACCCTTTCGACAGTTTCGACGATGCGCCGGACATCGACGTCGCCTTCCTTCTCGGCCTCGGCGTACAGCTCGTCCAGGGACTCGGCGGTCAGTTTCATCGTCGACGCCAGCAGCTGGAATTGCTCGTCCTGCGCGGCGAGCTCCGCTTCCAGAGCGGCTAGGGCCTCGGCGCAGGCGGCGTCGTTGCTCGGCGCGGCGGCCTCGTCGGCCACGGCTGGTAGTCGGTCCTCGACGGCTGACATGGCTTGCTGTCCTTTTAATCTTGCGGCTTAGCTCACGGCTTAGCTGCGGGCTGCGGCTTAGCTGCTGGATTTTTGGGTCCGGCTGCTAGACCGCTTGTCGCGTCGGTTTCGCTGCGGGTGTCGAATGATGAGCACTAATAACGCCTCCTCGCACTGTCACACCCTCTGAGACCGTGTATATCAGCACAGCGTGCGGCAAAACGGCTTGCGTCGGCTTTCTAGTGTCTCTACAGGACGCTAGCAAGCTGGCATTGTTAAAAGCGCTAAGCTCGGCGTACGAAGCATTGTGCCGTCGTATATCACGAGCGCAGTGCATTTTTTAAGCGCTGAGCCTGACCCGGGTAACTCAGCTGGTTTAAACTCGTAGTTGTGTGATGCAGTAGACATGCTTGCTCTCCGCTGCGCTAGATCGCTGCGGCATGTACAAGCGGTGCGGCGGAGGAGCAGTACTACGGTGTCGCGCTCGCGGAGAGAACGCCGGGACTCCGTCGACGCGTCCGTGCTCGCCGAGCGCGCCGCCTGGGCAGAGAGGTTAGAGGCGTCGCCGCCGGAGACGGCGGAGGACGCGGCTCGGGAGCTAAATGACGAGAAGCGGTTCAAGAAGGCCGGCCTCGGCGTGAGACGAGCGGGAAAACGCGGCGTCTTCCGGCGCGAGGGGATCGAGGCGGCGCGCGTCGGGTCGCAGCGCTGCGGCGGCGCGCCGCCTCCCTTGAAGCACGCGCTGCCCGAAGTGCTTTTGGTGGGCGCCGCGAACGCGGGGAAATCGACCCTGATCAACGCGCTCGTCGGCGCGGCGCCCGCGTCGAAGGCCGCGCCGGCGAGCGCGAGCGACCGCGCGGGCTGGACTTCAGGCCTCGAGTGGATCCGCGTCGGCGCGAAGCCTCCCCTGTTGTATGTGGTGGACGCGCCGGGCTACGGGGCCCACGCCGTCGCGACGGCGCGCGAGCGAAGGGAGTGGACGACGCTTTGCGCGGATTATGCGAGGACGCGGGCCACGCTCGCGGCGGCCGTCGTCGTGGTCGACGCGACGCGCGGCGTGAGTACTGAAGATAGACGCTGGCTCGATGTGTTGTCAAGTGCGCCGACCGTCGTGGCGCTGTCGAAGTGCGATTTACTCAAGGGGCCGGGGGCCGTCGCGCGGTGCGCGCGCCTCGTTGAAGATGATACGCAGTGCGACGTCGTGGCGACGTGCGGCACGACGGGCGCCGGCGTCGCGGAGCTTTGGGCGAAGCTGCGGGCGCTTTGCGCGGCGGTGAGCGTGAGGACGTCTGATCCGCGCGCGGTGGCGGTGCACCGGTCCGCGGTAGAAGTGTGATGTTGTTTTTTTGTGGGTAATTACTTGCTTTTACGCGTCCTCGCGGGCGCGGAGCACGGCTCGCGATCTTGCCCGGGACCTCTCAATCGCCCGTACGCGGGGATGCGAGCTTCCGAGGACGCGTCGCGCGGCACGTTCCAATTCCTCGAGTATCGTCACGGCCTCGCGGAGATCGTCATGCGTCGCGCCGGGGTCATGGTAGAGCGCCTCAGCGTGAATCTTCTTCATCGTGAACGTGACATCATGACTCTGTCCAAAAACGCGTCGCGCCACCGGCGTCGCTTTGCGCATCAATGACCTGGCTTCTTCGAAGCGCTGTAGAGATAAAAGAACGTCCGCAAGGTTATTGGCCGCCCGGAGGGTATATACGTTTTCCTCCCCATGGAGCTTCAAATATCCCAAGTAAGATTCTTGGTTCATATCTAGGGCCTGCTCAAACCGTCCCAGAAATGCATACGTATTTGCAAGGTTGCCCTGCGTGGCGAGCAATTCTTCTTCTGATGCGCCAAGGCGCCGCACCATAGCCAACTCGGCCTCTTTCACAGACAATTCTTCCTCTGGGCGATTCGCAAGGGATAAACCGGTCCCAAGCACGCCCATCGCCAAGCGCCGAAGTCGGTCTTCCTCCGGCCGCCCCACGTACGTCTTCCAGCACGCCCACCCGAGCGCACACCGCACGACGCCGTGGTAGTTCTGCTTGCACATGCTACATGCAAACCACTGGTTCCACCTCGAAGACCATCGCTCGCCATCCAAATTATTCTCCTCCGCCTCCGCGACCACAATCTTCGCCTGCTCCGCTAAGCACGACACATGAGCGAAGCCCGCCGTCCCGCGGCACGCGCACCCGCGCACGAGGCCCTCCTTTGTCTTCCAGTGGACGGCTTGCGTGCAGATGTAGCATTTCTGCCCCTTTGTGTCGGCCGCGCACGCCTCGACCGCGACCGCGACGGCCTCCTTGTATTTTTTGTCTGCATTATACTGTTCCGCGTTGCCGCCGCGGTGTATTTTCTTACACATTTGCTTGTGGCCGCGGCGCCAGTGGTCGTGCTGGCAAGTTTTGTTGCAGTACCTCAACTTACATCTAACGCAACGCGGCGCGTCGTGGGCCAGTGGCTTGGCGCAGGCGGGGCATGTTGTGAGGATCATTTTGGTCTGGTTTGGGGCGGTATGAGGGTCGCGCGCGTGGTTGAGTTAATTGATAGCTTTCTAGTGTCTTTAAAGGCCGCTAGCTTTAGTGGCTAGCACAAAAGGAGTGAGACCGGCCCTGAGACGCAACCAGCGCCTACGTGAAGCAAGCATACGTCCACGCTTACGCCGTCGCCGCGCTCGCTGCAGAAATCGAGGCTGCAAGGCACCTATACACCAGGAAGCATGCGCGCCACCCAAATGCTGCTCCTCGCACTCCTCGCGACGGCACAAGCGCGCCTCGCGAACGTCCGCGCCCACGAAGATTTGGCCGCCACGACGACCCCACCGGACGCAAAAACGACAAAGCTCCCCAAAAGCTTCTCGTGGCGCGACCACGGTCTCCTGGCGCCGTCGTGGAACCAGCACGTGCCCAAATACTGCGGCGCCTGCTTCGCCTTTGGGACCGCGCACGCGTTGCAAGATAGAACAAAAATTGCTCGGGCGCGCGTCAAGGACGACGCGTATCCAGGGCCCGATCTACTAGTCGCCGTGCAAGTTCTGCTGAACTGCGGCGGCGAAGATTCTGGCTGGGGCAAGGCCGGCAACTGCCACGAGGGCGGCTCGGCGACGTCCGCCTACGCGTGGGCCAAGAATTTTGGCGGCTACCCCTCGGCGACGTGCTTCCCCTACCAGGCCGAGGACGGCCTCGGGTGTCGTGGCGACACGATCTGCCGCAACTGCATGCCTACTCATGATGGAGAGCACGCGTGCTGGGCCGTGCCCGGCGATGCGTCGGATGAGCACGCCTGCGACAACGGCGGCGTTTGCGCGACGTCGCCGTACCCGCGCATAGTGGTGGCAGAGCACGGCAAGCTGCCCGGGTCGAATGAAGTAGGCGCCAAGGCCGCCTCCGAAGCTATTCAACGGGAAATCGTGCGCGCCGGGCCCGTGACGTGCAACCTGGACGCGGAGCCCCTACTCACCTACACTTCTGGTATTGCCGAGGCGAACCCGCCGAACGGCCGCGGCGCGAACGACACGGATCATGTGGTCGAAGTCGTCGGCTGGGGCGTACATGAAGGCACGGAGTTCTGGGAGATCCGCAACTCGTGGGGCGAGTACTGGGGCGAGGCCGGCTTCGGGCGGGTGCTGCGGGGCGTCGACGACTCGATGATCGAGAGTTCGTGCACTTTTGCCGACGTCGGCGGCTGGGGCGCGCCGGGCGTCAATTATCAGGCGGCATCCGATGATGAGGGCGACGCGATCGAGCTCGTCTCCACTCCAGTCTCCTGGGTCTGGGAGCCCGCCGTCGGCCCCGTCGAGCCGGAGCGCGCCGCGTTGGTGCTCCTGGTCGCCGTCGTCGCGTTTTTTGTTGCTTATTTGATGCTGCGCCGGCGCGAGGCCTCCTGATCCGACTCCCTCTTGACATAAGTGATGTGTTTATTCTTTGCCCTGGGACCGGGTGACGTCGACGTCGGGATTCACGCCGTAGGGCCGCGCTCCTTCGGGCGCTCAGCGGGGTCCTGGAGCTTGAGCGGACCTTGTATGCGCCCCCTCACGATAGCCTACTCTGATGATACAGCTAGCCGGACGGCGGGGCCGCGACGGGATCCGGCCGCGGGACGGGGCTGAAACCCGCACTTTCTTTGTTGCGCGCCCTTGCGCCATTTTGCGGCCCGCAGTACGACTCAGAATGACTCCCGACGGCTGCTTGGAGGCGTACCGCTGGCGATGGGGGGCCTGCTTCTAAAAGTTAGCAGCTCCCCAGAATCGGTAAAGAGCCCTTGTACAGCACAGTGTGGGCACGCATAAGAGATCTGAGCTTCGGAAAGCAACCTCGCCAGCCGTGAGACGTGAGCCAGCGAAAGCCGCGTGCTCTGGACTGATAATCATAAATAAAGTGCTCTGAGTGCAGACTGAGGAGCAAAAATGCTGCGCCACACGGCCCGTAACACGGCGCGAGCCTTCTCCAGCACAGCCATCCCAGCGACGAGCGTCGCCACGCTCCACGAGCTAGGAGTAGCGGCCGGCGACGTCTACGCCGATCAAAAGAGCTTAGGCGCCAAGGACGCGTCATCAGGCGAGTGGACCTGGACGTCCTACGCCGAACGCAACGAGCGGGCCCAGAATCTGGGGCGGGCCCTCGCCCAGAAGTCTATCGGAAGAGGAGATAGAGTAGCTTGTGTCTCGAAGAACCGCGAAAACCTCGCTTGTACGATGTACGGCGCCTACGCCGTCGGCGCGGCCCACGTGCCCTTGTATGAACAGCAGAAGCCCGCGGAGTGGAAGCACATCCTCGAGGACTCCGGCGCGAAGTTGCTATTTGTGTCTACTTCAGAATTAGCGGAGGCCGCGCGTCAAGTCACGGATATAGATGTGGTCTGCTTCGAGGACGGGGGGTTGGAAGCTCTGATTAACGAGGGAAGTGGATCTGATCTCGCGCTAGATCCTTGCCGACCGGACGACGCCGCGGCGTTGATCTACACCTCTGGAACTACCGGAAGACCCAAAGGGGTCGAATTGACTCATAGTAATCTAGTGTGGAACGCCCTGACCATGCGCGACGGCATGGTCGACGAGTTGGTCAGCGTCGGGTGCCTGAAAACTCCCGTCCGGTCGCTCGCGGTGCTCCCATGGGCGCACATCTACGGCCAGACCCTCGAACTGCACGGCATGCTCGCGGGCGGCCACGAGGTCGCGCTCTGTTCCGATCCGACGCAATTCCTCGACGAAGCGAAAGAGGCCAAGCCGGACGTGTTGTTTGCCGCATGAAGCGGCGTCCTTTATACTTTCGTTGACGCCATCGACGCGTCACACAACAATCACGCAGGTCCCCGCGCTCTACAACAAGATCTACGACGGCTTCCGGGCGAATAGGAGAGGCATGTCCGACGGCAAGAAGGCTCTAGCGGACAAGGCCATCGCGTTAGGTAGTGCCCAGGCGAAGCGCCGGTACGATTCATCACTACCGGGTCCTTCCTTCGTCGAGAAGATCCAACATTCGATCCTCGACGCGCTCATCCTGAAGAAGGTGCGCGGAGCTTTAGGTGGAGAGGTCAAGTTCTGCGGGAACGGCGGCGCGGCCGTCTCGCCGTCGGTCAGAGAGTTCATCGAGGCCATCGGCATCCCGATGACCTCTGGGTATGGCTTGACAGAAACGTCACCAGTACTAGCAAAGGAGCAGCCCTTCGACCCGAAGAACCTACTCCCGGGATCGATAGGCAAGGCTCTCAAAGGTGTGCAATTAAAATGCATTGATCCTGATAATAACGAAGTCCCGAACGGCGAGCCGGGCGAATTGGTAGCTTCAGGACCAGGCGTGATGCGGGGCTACTGGAAGCGGCCGGAGGAAACGAGTGAAGTCCTCTACGAAGATAATAATGAGATATGGTTCAAGACGGGCGACCGGTGCGTCATGGAGGCCGACGGACATGTCAGAGTAGTAGGACGGGTCAAGGAGCTGTATAAACTGGCCAACGGGAAGTACGTGGCGCCGGCACCGCTCGAAGATACGCTCGCAAGATCGCGCTTCATCGCCCAGGCCTTTGTGTACGGCGAGAACAAGGAGCACAACGTTTGTTTGGTGGCGCCCGACTGGGTGAACGTGGCGAACAAATTTGGGGTGGAAGGTGTGACGATGCCGGCGCCGTTCACGTTTGAACCTAGAGCGAAGATCGAAGAGCTGCTGGAGAACCACAGGACGGAGATCGTGCACCTCATGGAAGCTGAAGTTGAGTATCATGGTTCCAAATTCAAGTCCTTCGAGAAGCCGGAACGGGTTGGCGTGGTTTCGGAGGGGTTCAATGCGGCGAGAGGTATGGTCACTCCCAAGCTCTCGGTGAAGCGGGCGGCGGTGTTGGCCGCGCACCAGCTCGACATCGACGGGCTGTACGGCGACGGCGAGGACGTGGCCGTGGCGGCCTAGGTCGCGCTCTTTTGCCCTCCCTCCTCCGAGTAACTTTCCCCGTTTGTGCAATTTTTGCTTCGGGTTTCTTACGTCGCGCGCCCCCCTAGCCGCTCCTCGCTAAGACGGGGCACGGGTTTTTGCTCAGACGATCCTGTATTTCAACGCGATTTGAAGCAGATCTAGGCTAAGAATGGGTGCGTGAGCCGCGCCGCAATCTCCGCTCGCCGCCGCGCCATCGCGCGCTCGGCCGGCGGCTCTGTAACCCTCGAGATCGCTGTGCAGGTCTTACGTCCTCCAAATCGGCCCGCGTGTTCAAGCCCGCGAAAGCTAAGGGTGGATGCGAGTTGGATACGTCCAAAACAGCCCTGGTCCTGATCGAGTACCAGTAACTACGCCGCGCAGCAATTTTCCTGAGCGCGCCGTTTTTTCCCGCGACCCGAGTCAGATATGGCGCGCGCGCCGCACGCCGTTACCCGCCGCACCCGCGCCCGTCACGCCGTCGTTAACGCGGCGCCATCGACGCAGGAACGAGTTCACGACCGAGGGCGGCAAGCTGCACGGCGCCGTCGCCGAGTCCATGAAGGAGACGGGTATGCTTGAGAAGAGCGCGAAAGTGGTGGCCGCCGCGCGCGCCAAGGGCATCACCGTGATCCACGCGCCGATCATGTTCAAGGAGGACGCCTCGGACAGTTCGGCCTGTGTGGAAAACCGACGTCGCGTCGATGGCGTGGGGCGTCCGAAATCTAATTTCCACACAGACCCGAACAAGTGCCTCGGCATCCTCGCCGGCTGCGCCAAGGACCGTCTCTTCACGCAGGGCACGTGGAACGCGGACTTCCACGAATCGATGAAGCCACTCAAGGGCGACATCGTCGTCAACGGCAAGCGGGGCCTCGACGGCTTCCCGGGCACGGACCTCGAGTCCCACCTCGTGAAGAAGAAGATTGAAACTGTTGTCCTTTCTGGCTTCCTCACGAACTGCTGCGTGGAGTCTACGATGCGCACGGCTTACGAGAAGGGGTTCAACACGATCACGCTGACTGACTGCTGCGCGACGACGTCCGCCGAGGGGCACCGAGGCGCTACCGAGGGCACGTTCGGCATGTTCTCGTCGCCGATGACGGGCGAGGAGTTCCTCAAGAAGATCAACGCCTAGGCCTCTCTTCTCCATCCCATCCCCATCCCTCGACTGGCGCGAGAACTTACCTCGGGCCCTCTGGATTAAGTCGAGCTCCTAACCTTAAACGGTACATTAGTGGGCAGAATACTTTTTGTCAACGACAAACACTACTTTTACTACTCACAATGACGGCGGCCGCGCCGCCAAATCCGCGCGCACCGCGTCCACGATCGCTCGGCACGCGTCATCGCCCGCCGCCTCGACCGCACCGCTCTTGGCCCGCGCCTGCAGCTGGAACACGTCGAAGCCCGTGACGTCGGCGTCGTGGAGGCGCGGCACCAGGTGCACGTGCAAATGCGGCGACGACTCCGACATGAAGCAGGTATAGATGCGCTTCGCGCCAGTAGCCGTCTGGAGCGCGTCGGAGACGCGCCGTAGCACGGGGCCGAACTCGGCGGCTTCGCAATCATTGAAGTCCGCGGGCCCGACGACGTGCCTTCGCGCGTGGAGCATCAAGTGGCCCGCGACGCCTGTTGGTTTGGAGGCGTGGAGCAACAACCAGCGCGGCGACGACCACACGAGGCCGCCGTAGGGTAAGGCGTCGAGCTTTGAATTCTTCTCGCAGATGCGGCACGTCGCCGGCGCCGGCAGCCCGAGGCGCGCCAGCAACACCGGCATCAAGGCACTAATGTCACGGTAGCCCTCGCCGCCGATGCGGAAGAACGCGCTGCCGAAGCGCTGCGCTGCCGACGCGTCGTTGGCGCCGTCGCCGATATGCGCCACCGCCGCGGCCGTACAACCGGCTCGCTTCGCGATCTCCGCGAGATTGTCGACCTTGTCGCCGCCGCCCTCGGGCGCGCCGAGCGCCGCCGAGACGAAGCGGTCCCAGCCCCGCGCCTTGACGGCGTCTTGCAGCGCGGACGTTGGCGTCGCCGAGTTGATGAACGTGGGCACATTTCGGTCGCGTAGCTCGGCAAGTAATCGCGAGGCGCCGTGCACCTCCGTCGCGCTGGCGATGCCCTCGCGCACGGCCTCTGAGTAGCGGTCCACGAGCGCCTCGGCGCCGACGGCGCGCGCCGCCGGCACCTCTCGGCAGAAATCCCGAAAGATGGTGTGCCGCGTCACCTTGGCGCCGGTGCGCGAGTCGGTCTGGATGCGGCCGAGCGCCGCCTCGCCGCCGTCGAAGGCCGACGCGACGCGCACGAGCGCGGCGCGTTTCATGGCCTCGGATTCGATGAGGGTGTCGTCGAAGTCGAGGCTCACGGCTCGCAGCACGGTGGGTGCGGGCGGCGGCGTTGTCTCCATGATTTCTCGTGCAGGTAGGCGGCCGTGTGCTCACGCAGCTCAGCTTGCCGCTTGTTGTAGCGCTCTTAGGGGTTTAAAGCCGGAATCGATGGTGCACGCGCAACGACGCGTTATAGGCGACACAATGCCGAAGTTTCACCGTGCACCAGCCCACCAACAGCGTGGCTGCCGCAATGCGCACCTGCTAGGTTTCTAGTGTCTTACTGAACGCTAGGTTGCTTCTAGACTGAGGGACAAGAACAAGTCGATTTGCGGTTTCTCCGTACTTGTCGCGTTTTAACCTTGGTCCACTGAGTCCAGGGTCCAGGCGCGGAAGGCTCAATACTATTCACTGAGACAGGGAGAGTCCTGGCTCTGGGAGACTCTGAGTGCTCTCTGAAGCCGACGGACATGGAGTTGCCCCCCCCACACGTTTTGCTCCAGCTCGACGCCATCATCGTCGCTCAACGCGAGAGCGACGGCGACAATGAGCGCGTTGGTGACGCGCCGGACGAAGACGGCGACACGACCGTCGCGTATGATTCAGGCGACGAGACGGTCGCCTACGTCTCGGGCGGCGCGAGGACGATGTCGTCGCGGTTCTGGGGCGTGGTCTGGAATCGGGAAAGAAATAAGTGGCAGGCGCAATATTTGGACGCGGATGGCAAGCGGCGCTCCATCGGCCGCTTCGACGACGAGGAGGAGGCCGCGCGCGCGGTAAATAAAGCCATCCGCGACGCCGGCCTCGAAGGCAAGCGCAAAACGAACGCGGTCGACGCGACGGGCGCGCTGGTGCCGAAGCCGTCTGGCCCGCACAACAAGCTCGATCGCTCCGGCGTGATCGCCCCGGACACGGCGCGCGCGCCGACGGAGACGACGTCCAAGTATTGGGGCGTGTCTTGGAGCAAGCAGAGGCGACGGTGGAAGGCGTGCTACAGCGACGCGAACTGCGAGCGGCTCTACATCGGCCTCTTCGACACCCAGGAGCAGGCGGCGCACGCCGTTAACGCGGCGATCCGGCGGGCGGGCCTCCAAGGGAAGCGCAAGACGAACCCGGTCGTCGACGGGAAGCTGGTGCCACGCGAGCGCCCGGCGGCCGGCCACGGACCGCGCTACAAGCGCCGCCGCCGCTAGACACGAGTCACACGACTAACAACAGAACTCACTTATCAAGAATCGCCCCGCCCCACTCCGCCAGCGCCGCCGCGAGCGGCCGCCGCACGTCGAAGTGCGAGGCGCCCTCGACGCGAACAATGGTCCGCGGCTCCGGGACGGTTTCCACGAAGCTGTCGAAGGTGGAATTCGAGCAGAAGACGTCCTCCGTCGCGTGGAGCAGCATTTTTGGGAGGGTTGAGGCGCGCGCGGCCGCGGCGTGGTCGCCGCAGAACGAGTAGAGGAACCACGCGTACGATAAAGGCGGGTTCACGGCGACCCACCCGACACAATCGGGCAGCTTCGCCGCCGCCCTTATGGCAATCAGCGAGCCGTACGAGTAGCCGACCACGACGATGCGCTGGGTGCCGGCGTCCCTTAATACGGCAGCCGCCGCGACGGCGTCGGCCACACTGCCGTGGCCGCGGCCCACGCCGCCGCGGAAGTCCACGCGGCACGTGTGACAGCCCCGGCCCGCGAAGAAGTTCGAGGCCGTGACCACGTGCGGGTCGTCGCGAGACCCGCCCAGCGGGCCCCACGGATGCAGACACACGACGCCGAGATCGTTCGCGCCGCGTCGCAGGGCGGCCGTCGCGCCGCTCTCCAGCGTGACGACGGCTTCGCGCTCGGTCATGATCGCTGCGTCGATGGCGTCTGGGTAGTGCCAGAGAGCACCTTGTGAGATGCAATGTCTGCAAGCGTCTGAACGCCGGCACAGCCCTGCCGCCTTGAAGGAATGCACCAAGAGGCGTCTGGAAAAGGAATTTGGTACTTCTACTTGCTCGTGCGCCCAGGAAGGCCTCCCAGAGCCGCTTGCTGGGCTGCTAGTGTCTTACAGCTAGCGGTTATCGCAGTTTTGCTTCAGAGCGATCCAGGACACCACCCCGGCGACAGCAGTCGTTGGAACGCGTGTCTTTGCGGCCCCGCCCAAGCTCATCATCTCCGCACAGCCGAGCCAACACGAGGCGCCGTCTTGACGAGCCGCGAGAGACGGCCGACTGCGACAGCGATCACGCAGCGACACATCAGAGGTGCAGCGAGTCGAAACATAGAGCCAGTGAAGCACGCGCTGTCGCGGGAGGAGAGATGAAGACAGCAAGCAGAGTAGCTGCACTTGCCCTGTTGACAACCTCCGCCGCATGGACCCCTGCGCCTGCCATCAGTGGTCGAGCGGTCAGCAGGTGCGCGCGCCGAGCCCATCAAAGTTCAAAAAACGCCGGAGCGCCGCACCGCGCCACCCGCCTCCCACGCCCTCACGCGATAACACCACGCAGGGCACGCGACACGCGATGCCGGGCCATGACCGAGATCGGCTCCGAGCAGGCCTTTGACGACATCGTCCAGAAGACGGACAAGCTCGTGGTTGTGGATTTTGCGACGACGTGGTGCGGGCCGTGCAAGGTCATGGAGCCCAAGATGAACCAGATCTCCGAGGAGTACACCGACGCCGAGTTCTACAAGGTCGTCGGCGACGCGTCCGCCGACGCCTCCAAGCTCATGAAGCGCGAGGGCGTCCGCACGGTGCCGAGCTTCCACTTCTGGAAGGGCAACTCGCGCGTCGAGGTCATCAACGGCGCGAACATCGAGGCCGTCACCAAAGCCGTGCAGAAGCACAAGGACGCGTGAGGCCGCCTTGAGCTCTAACACCAATGATTAACCTCGACTAGTAGTACCTTGTGCGCGTCGACGGCGTCGGTGGCGCCACCTAGGAAGAGTCACGAAACACAAGGAATTACTACTCGACGACCGGCGCGGCCACGGCGGCGGCAACGGGCGCGACAGCCGTGCCCTCGGCGGCGTCGAGCATTTTCGTCGCCGCCTTGAAGGGGTACGAGACTTCGTCGCCGTCGGACCAGCGCACCTCGAAGCTCCCGTCGGCGATGGACGTCACTGAGCCGTCGAACCAGCCGCTGCCCGTGAACTTCTTTCGCACCGCGCGGCCGACCCGGAGCCGCGGGTCGGCGGGCGCCGCCGCGGCGGCCGGCGCGGGCGCGGCGACCGGCGGCGCCGGTGCGGGCGCGGCGACGGCGCCGTCGTCGGAGCCGGCCGCGGGCGGGACCGCCGCCGCCGGAGCCGGCGGAGGCATCACGACAACAGCGGGCGCGGGCGCGGCCGGCGCGAGCACCTTCACGAAGCCCTTGTTGATGTCGTGCTTCAGGTCCGCCCTAGAACCACCGAGGTCAATATACTCCTTGGCGGTGGTCGCGGCCATGTACTTGGCATACCGCAGCGCCGAGGCGCCCTTCTTCGGGTTGTCCTGCCGCACGGAGATCGGCGCCGCGCGCTCGATGAGCGACCGCGCGTCCTCGCCGCCGACCAGGGGCTTCGCCGCCCGCCGCGGCGCGCAGGCGGCGCCGTCGCCGTCCTTCTTCTTCTTGGGCGCCTTCCGCGGCGCGATCGTCTGCTTCTTCCGGCCGCTGACCGGCGCCGGCGCCGGTGTTTGTTTCTTCCGAGGGCCGCCGGCCGCGGGCTTCTTCCTTCCGGCGGCGGGCGCGGGCGCCGCGCGCCGCGCGTCGGCCGCGGCCGCGGCCGCCGCCGCGTCGGCCGCCGGATCTCCCGGCGGCTTCCGGTACTCGGCGAGCAGCCGCGCCTGCAGCTCCTTCTTCAGGCCCTCGGACGACAGCCCCCGCGATTCCAACCGCTCGCGCAGCTCCTCCACTCTCAAGATCATGACGTCGGCCTCGGTGTTCCCGGAAGCGTGCGACTGGATGTGCTTCCAGCGCTCGGCGTGGGCGCCGCCGGCCTTTGCGGTGCCAAAGCACTCGCCGCACGTCGGGCACTTCTTCTTGCACGAGTGCATGCGCGTCTGGCACTTCGGGCAGACCTTGGAAGGTGCTTTCCCGGCGCGATGGTGGGGCTTCTCCACGTATCGCTTCCGCCGCGGCTCACTATCATCATCTGACGACGACTCGTCCTCCGACGACGACGGCAGCCGGCGCCCCGCCATGTCCCGTGGTTCGTCGTAGCTCTTGCCCCGGCCGCCCATCATGTCCGAGAGGCGCTGCGTCTTCTGGCGCTGGCGCCCGAAGCGCGACGGCCGTATGATAATTTCTTCCTCGGACGAGGATGATGATGAGGAACTTTCGAAGTAGACGCGGCTTCGCGGCACGCAGGCCTCGCCCTCGGAAGACGACGACGAGTCCTCCTGGCGCGGCGGCGGCATGTCGTCATCAGATGATTCCACCGGTCGTTGGGGCTTGCTCCCGAACGTCGTGCCGCAGGTGTTGCAGGTCTTGACGCAGTTGTGGAGTTTTGTGGAACACCCGGGGCAGGTCTTCATGCACGGAGGGCGCTTTTGAACAGGTTCTTGATCACTGTCCGACGACGACGACTCCTCCATGGGCGTTGTACTCTTCCGCGGCTGGCAGCGCTGGCGCGACTGGACCAGGGAGGTAATCGGCGGCGATTGCACTCGTCTACAAAGGTCGGACAGGGCGTCGTCGACGCACTCCACGCTTGATGTCATGTCCAGCTCCTCCGCTTTTATCAGAGCTTGCCGTAAAGTCTCAACGGTGGCCGCGTCGCGCGGCGCCTTGCCTGTTTGTAACGTCACGCGCGCGAGGTCCATGTTCATACCGTCCTCTATGTTCATAGAGCGCGCACTCACTAAGGAAGCAAGTTCGTCGCCCTCAAATAAAACAAACCCTAACTTTTCTACGAAGGCCATCGCCCTCACGACGCGATCCGCCGTGTCGGTGCAATCTAAAGCATTACCGCACTGTTTCAAAGTACCCGCAATAGAAGCTTCCTCGTCGGTCTTGCACAACCTCTCAACCCTCCGAAACACGTCGGCGGCGTCCCGGCCGCATTTTGCGAGTGCCGCGCTCAACGCCAGTAAGGGGTCCTCGCCGCACGCGACGGTCATGGCGGCGATGGCCAAAGGTTGTTGTGTAGCCACCCTTCGCAACTTCGTGGCCACTCTAGCTGACGCGATCGCCAACAACGTCGCGTTTCCGGAAGCGACCTCGAGCGCGGCCTCGAGCGCGGCAGCGTAGGCCACCCACGCCTCCAACTCATTGGATGCGGTTTTCGTACTTCTTGCTAAACGCGCAAAGGGCTGCGCCACGGCCTCCAGACGGACCGACGCGCCTCTGTTAATACACTCGACGAAGGCCCGCAACGCCGGGACATGCGTCGCGTCGGCTTTCAAAGCGCGTTCGGCGCGTTGGGACGCCGCATACAAGGAACCGCGCTGCAAAAAGCGGTTCGACAACGACGCGTGGGCGTCGGACTCCTTGCGGCGCCACAGCGCCGCGTCCGGTCTCTTCAGAGAGCCGCGCGCCGCGGCGCACCTCGCGGCCCCGTCTAACAAGGCTCTAACAACATCTTCTTGGTCGTCGCCCGCGCATGATGAGCAGCACTCCACCAAAACTGCTAAGCGCTCGTGGGCCCGACACGACGCCTCGTTGCCCGCGCCGATCTCCGTGGAAACGCGTCGTAAATGCGGGATCAACGGAGCCCATTTCGACGCGTCGCGGTCGCAACAACCCCTTAACACCGAGACATCCAAAGGTTCATTCGCCGACGCTTCACCTAGTAGTTGACGAGCCCCGTCAATATCATTTTCTCGCAGTTTCAGTCGTGCCAACTCGACGGCGGCCCGCTCCTTCGTCTCTCGCGCATCGACGTCGCCGTTCGACACCAATCTTTGCGCATCGTCCAGAGCTCTTTTGAGGGCTTTTTTGGCCTCGTCGTAGCGCTCGCTCTGACTACAGTGCTCCGCCAGTACTAAGTATAATGAAGTGACTTCCGGCGTCACATCATCTCTCTGAGATAAAAAGGAGTCGCACCGGTCCGCAGCTTCGGCATGCTTGCCCATCCTCCCTAAGAGTTGCGCCAGATCACCTAATGCGGCGCAATCCGAAGGATCCATGCGCAGGACTCGATCCAACGCGTCTTTTGCTGTAGAATCATCATTCGAATCCAAGGCTAAGATCGCGACGCGCCGCCAGCCTTCTGGATCTTCGGTCTGCAAGTGGGCCGCGACTAGCGCTAACTGCAGAGCCTTCTCGAGGTCACCTTCATCTGAACGAGCCTCAAACACTTCTGATAAGGTAGCATAGGCGTCGGGGTGGTCCGGCGCCCGCCGCACGACCTCCCCGAAGAGCTGGATCGCTCTATCTCTGTTCCCGACGATCAGCGCACCATGCGCCTCACCGGCGACGGCGGCGACTTCCGGATGCAACGATTTCGCATTCGTTCTCGGAGCGCCGTGTCGAGCTTCGTAGTCCGATTGAATACGTTCGTCCCGTTGCGCTTGCTTGCGTTTCCGCTTTTTGGTAGTGACGCCCCAGACGTCGGCCATGGCCGGGCCGAAGACGCTGCCGGCGTTGGGGTTGACGCTCGACATGGCGTTGCTTGGTTTTCTGGGACGACGAGCTCTGCGGTCGAGAACGCGCTGTGGTCAAGGCTGCCTGTTGCGGGTCCTCACGGCTCCCAGGGGCCACCGGGCGGCGTGCAGACGAACAGTGTGGTGCAGTACCGCGCTGCTCAACGTCCCTACTTACGCGTAGGCGCGCTGGGCAGGGCGTTTGTTGATCAACAGCGCTCGAGCCTAGCGTCCTGTAACACACTAGCAAGCAGTCGATTTTTTGTCGGTAGCGCCATTCCTGCGGTGCCACAGGCTCCAAGAGCTGCGGAGGATTGTAATATTTCCATTCCTGGCGGTGTGCGAAGCGTGCGTTGATTTCGTGCCACTGGAGAGTAGCCCTGCTGCAGGCAGTGATTATTGGCAGCTGGTAGCGTAAAATGGCTGAGCTCTCGAGCCGGAAGAAGTGCGCGAAAGCAGCACTCATCGCGCTAGCTAAGCAGCGCTTCGCGGAACAGCAGAGTGCGAGCAGTCATCAGCTCGTCGCGCCGATCAGCCCGTCGCCGCCCGAATTGATTGAGAAGACGCTGCGCGAGCTCGAGGCGCGCGGCCTGCTGCGAGACAATCGATTGGTGGACCTGGGCTGCGGCGACTGCCGGTGGCTCGTCGCCGCCCGAAAACACTGCCGGCGCCTCGTCGGCTACGACATCGACGGGAAACTACTTGAGAAGGGCCGGGCGGCCCTGGACGGCGCGGATCATACGCTCGTCGAGGCCGACTTCTTCGAATCGGAGAACATTTTCGAAGACGGCGACGTCGTCGTCGCCTACCTGTTCCGCGAGGGCTGCGCGAAGCTACGCGAGAAGCTCGAGCGGGAGCTGCGGTGCGGGACCCTGGTCTGCGTCGGCTTCGAGCTGCGGGGCTGGCGGAGTAGTTTTGAGGTCGCCGCGGGCGGGCTCGTCGCGCGGGTGTACGAGGTCCACGCACGCGAGTCGACGAGTGATGAGGAAAGCGTTATAAGTTAATTGTTAGTTATACCCCTACACGCAGCCCACACACTTCTGCGAGTGACCGGCCTCCCAGTCTTCTCTCTGGCACTCTTCACTGCAGTAGCGCCGCGTGCCACAACGGCCAAGGCGACGATGAACATTTTCAACGGATACGGGAGTGGTTGGACAGCGGAGGAGACGTCAACGATGCTGAGACCGATGACTGGGACGGACAAACTTTATGTCTCCTAGGCCGATGCCGCCACCCGCATCTCGCCAGACTTCTCTTGGAGCGCGGCGCTGATGTGAATTGTGTCGACGAGTACGGGGCGACCCCATTGTACCACGCCTGCAATAACCAGGATGTTTCGCGGGCCACTGAAATAGTTAACATGATTCTGGACGCCGGCGCCGACATCGATGCCAAGACGACGACAGAGTGTGAAGCTGAGCGTGTTGTTGGGATAGCGGGCGAGACAGCATTAAGCACCTCTTTAGACTGGTGCCGGCAAGCTCATCGAAGTTTTGCAGAAAAACGCCTGAGATTCGCAACTCTTTTATTGCGTCGCGGCGCCTCACTCGACGACTGCTGGGGCGGGATGTCGGCGGAGGAGTGCCTCCGGCACATAGAGCATCCGGAGGCTTTTGATGATTCAATCAACAGTTTATATGACTACTGGCATCGTCCAGGGACAGCAAACAACGAACACTTCCTCGCGTGCAAGAAATTGATCGCCGACGAGCGGCGCCGCAGATTTGTGGCGAAGCGGAAGGAGGTCCTGCGGCTCCGGTCGCTCGTGGTCCGCGGGCGCGCCAAAAAGTCGTCGGACGCCATGCTCGAGCCCAGCTTCCGCCTGCCCGACGGCGTCCTTTGGAACGTGCTCTCCTTCTGGCCGCCGCGGTGCGATTACTTGTACCTGCCGGCGTCGCTGTACCGTCCGGCGCCGACGTACGGAGGCCATCGGCCGGGCTTCGTGTTCAAAACGCGCGACGGCCACACGGGCTACTGGGTCGATGATGGTAGCCATAAAACCCCAGTAGCCCGTCGGTGGACGCAGCACGACGCGTCGGCCCAATGGACGCCTGGCGGATTAGGACCCCACCTCCCCCAACGGGACCTGGACGCCCTTACCGCGTTCGCCGACCGCTCGGGCCTCAGCGCGATTGCGGACCCCGAGGCGCGCAGAGAGGCTGCGGCGCAGAAGGCGGACGAGATTACCGCGCTCCTCAGCATCTAGGTCTTAAAAGTATCACACAATAATCTTATACCCTACAGCGGATCGTCTAAAGCAGGCTCGAGCTCGAGCGCCCGCTTCCGTTCCGACGAGGACAGCTGCCTATATTGCAAATGCCACCGGTGGTGGAACTCCGCGTCCCGCATCACGCCCTTGATCGAGCCCCACAGGACCGGCACGGGCAGCAGAAATCTGATGACTGTCGTGCCCACGAACAGCAGCCAGAACTTGACGAAGTCGCTTCGGTCCGTGTCCTCGAAATCCACATGTGCTTCGGTGGCGAAGTACAACCCGAGCGTCCACATCTGCGCCGTCGTGACCAAGACCCCAAGGGCATGGCGCCAGACCGTCCTTTCAAAGGTCGCCCAGGCGAAGATGAGACACGCCGGCCCGGCCACCAACGCCATCGCGGCGACCTGGACCACGATGAAGGAGTCCGACTTGCGGTAGCGCTTATCGACGCCGCCCCAGAGGTGCCACGCCTCCACGAACCAGGGCCGCTGCAGTCGACCCTGGTCGTTCTCGAAGCTCACCAGGTGGTTGAACACCGCGAACGTCCCGTCCAGAAAAATATGAATCAGCCCCGTGAACAAGCCCCAGGCCACGGCGCCCCTTTCATAACGTGTCAGCGGCGGCGCGTCCTCGGGATCCTCCTCGTCGTCGAACTGCGCTTCACTGATATCCACCTCGTCGTCGATCGCGTCCTCGTCTTCGTCTCTTAACTGGCCCGGCTCCGCGACCAATCGTAAAGCCGCTCTTAACGGCGAGGGGCCCGGCCGGTCCTCATGCGACGGTCTTCTTTCTTCTTGCGAGGGCCGTCGACGCGCGCGCCGCCGGTTCCGTAGTATTGTGCGTCTTTCCTGCTCCTTCTCCCGTTCAGCAACGCGCGACGCGTGGAGCTTCCTGGCGCTATCAGCGGAGGCTAGCAATGCCGCAGCGACGACGGCGTCACAAGTAGCTAGAAGCAAGAGTAACCCCGTCGCCCGCGCCTCCACCGACTTCTTCTCGACGCCCTTCCGCCGGACCTTATCCCCTATATTGATAAGGACGATGACGGCCACCGCCGCCGCCGTGCCGAAGTAGACCGTGCCTAACCGAGCGAGCTTTGTGTACCCACTAACAGCTGAAACACGAGTACCTTGCACCGAGCACCACTTCGCCACCGCCGCGATGACCAGCAAAGCGATACTACCTTCCAACAACATGTAGGGCGCGAAGGCCGACGCGCCGAGATGGTGCTGCACGAAGTACGACACCGTCGCCGACGCGAAGGATAAACCAGCCAAACCTAACAGTACCAACACACCCGCGTTCACTCGCAGAGCAAAGCGCGCGTCGGCCACATCATCAAAGCCTTTCGAGGATAATAAAATGGACAGTCTCCTTCGGAGGAGTATCGACGAGGCTACTTGGGGCACGCCTATCACGAGCTCGGCCAACGACGCGAGTCCCACGGACAGGTTATGTCGTCGTACCGACGCTCGAGCCGCTCTACTAAAAAAGAATCCTTTGGACGAACCTAACGCGACCTCCAACGATGCAATGGCTAGGACCAGAAAGGCCACGGTCAATAGACCTTGGGCCGTGGCGTGTACACGTAGTACACCTAAATTCAATCGAGACGCACCCACATAGCCGAGAGTCGCGAACATCACGGAGGCCACGCCTAACAGAATCCCGACCTCGGGCAGGTGCGGGTCCCAGTCGAACCGTGAATAAATAGCAATCAAAGCTAACACGAAGAGCGTCCCCGTCGCCAGGACTTGGAGTAACACCAACCGCGTCAGACACGTAGCCAACCACGCGACCGTCTTGCCCGACCGCCGCTCGTCGGCCTCCCGCAGCTCGCGCATGGCCTCGCGCGGCGACAGCTGGGGGCTCACGCAGTCGGCGAACGCCTCGAGATCGCCCTCCGACGATTGTTCTATTGTAGAAGCTTGGCGGACCATCTCGACGGACGTCGTGGCCCCGGCCTCCGTCGAGCTCAGTTCCGACGGCGTCCGCATGAGAGCCATGGCCGACCGCGCCCTCGCTGCCGCCGAGCGATGCTCGGGGTCCATCTGGAGCTCGGCCAGTCGATCTCGGTGCTCCACGAGCATCTTCGCCACTGCTTCTGGGGTCTTCTCCTTCTTGAGCTTGAGCGCCGGATCTAAAGCGGCATCGTCGAGATCCACGCCTTCATCTAAATTCCGTAAAATCTCGCGACCGCACTTCGACGACACTACTTTCCGCCAGTCGTCCTTGGCATGCAACACATGTATTCTTCTTATGGTTTCATGCGCGAGCCACGGCCGCACGATCCTCCAAACGAGGCCGAACGCGCCGGGAGCGTTCAGGATGAAGCACACGCCCATCCGCTCGCAGAAGTGGTCCTGGTCCAGCCGCGCGACCTCCTTGATGATGGCCATAAAATCTCTCGTTGCATGCCGTGTTATGCTCATGTCGCCCACATCTATCAGTACGGCTAGGGTCGAGGCTGCGGGGAAGTCCAACGAGCCATCATCACCTCTGCTCCGAGAAATGCGTCGTATATGATCCGCAATACTAGCACACCGCTCCTGCTCCCAGACGTGGAATCGTAATACCGTATCCAAAGGGATGTGTCTCTTCAAATCTTTCGCGAGCATCGTCCGGTAGTTTTGGTACAAAGTAACTCTACCGGCCGCGTCGACACCCAGCAACCTTCGCTGGTAGTAGTGCGCCAGCGTCTGCGGGGCGTTGTGGTCGCAGCCCAGAACCTGGGCTGCTGAGGTAGAGCGCAGTTCACAGACTCTATGCTCCGCGCGCCACTTCATGTCGTTCCGTAGCAACGCCGCCGCCGCCCGCACGTCCCCGCGCCGCGCGCGCGAAAACCGGCCCAGGATAGCATCGCGCTCCCAGGCCGCGTCGGCATCATCAGTATCATCGGGAATGCCGTAGACGCGCCTGAAATCTTGTGATTGTGTCAGGTCGGCCACCTGCATGTGCAAGGCCGTGCGGTCCCGCAGCTCGTCCTCATACGTCTGGAGGGGCGGCGGCATCCTGCTGCTCGTCGCGTTAGGCTGATGCGCAGAGTACTTTTATCCAGGTGGGGCAGCGCGACGGCGTGTGCAGCGCGGCTTCAGCCGGAAGAATATTTTTATCTGGGTGGCAGTGAGCCGGAACCAAGGGGCAGCGCGCTGTGGCTGGCCGTCTCGGCGAGATGGTCCGCGGCGGCTGCCGCAACGACTTATTTGAAATACCACGCGCGCGCGCGTGCGATCAAATTTCACAAGAAGTGCCAGCTAGAGTGTCTCTCACGCTAACAGCTTGCCTTTTTTGGGCTTTGGGCTCGAAGCGCTGCCCACGCCTGCCGACGCGGCCAGCAGGACTCATGGACCGCCCCTCCGCGCCGTAAGCCGGCTGCCCCGCGAGCCATGCGGCTGGCGCTGCTGCTCCTGCACTTCATATGCATTGGTGCCCCCGTCGTCGACGAAAAACTCGACGACGCCCTGTGGCAGAAGGCGAAAGAAGCCCTCGGCGCATCCCCAGCGTCGACGATCGTCCACTCGCACTTCAGCAAGTGGTTGGATGATCGGCTCGACGCCGCGCTCGGCGACGACGCGGGCGCGACGGGCCCTGAAGGTGTCGCAGCTTTTGTGAGGAACATCTCGGCGTTGCCGCGGCGACCCGTCATCGGTTTGCGGGTCGCGAAGCGGAATGCGAGTGGGTTGTGTGCCTTTGTTGAGGTCGCGGTGCCGGCGCTCGAGCAGGCCAAGCATATCGAGGCCTACGCTCTCACATCAGTAGGAACCGCGGCAAATGGCTCGCCCTTCCACCCCCACTCCCTGAAGGGTTGTGAACAGGCGTGCCCCGGCGCCGTCGCGGCGTTGCTGGCCCAGCCGAAGCTCCAAGCCTGGTACGTCTCGCAGCACTGGGCGCCGCCGCCCCACGCCCGGAACATGTCCTCGTCCAAAAGGTTAAGACGGCAGATGCGCTTGGAAAAAGTTCAACAAATACCATTAGGTGTCCACTTAACTCTGGCGGCCGCGCGAGGCCTCGAAGCCGCCTGGGCCTCTACTTCTACAAAGCGATCGTTAATAGCGTCCCACGTCTCGCTCCACAACCACGAACGGGCCTTCGCCTTCGACCAGCTGCGCAACGCCCTGAAGCGGGGTGACGTTTCCCTAGAAAATGAATTTCCCGTCCAAACAACAGATATGCCTCCCATCTCCATGAACGCCGAGGAGTGGACGACCAAGGTCCATGCGCGACGGTTAGCGGGCGGGAAGCACGGCAGCTTCCAGCAGACGCGCAATACGACCAATGACATGAGATCGGTAGCCTTAGCGTCGTACCTCTACAAGTTACGAACGACGAAGTTCGCCTTCTCGCCGATCGGTTCGGGCCTGGACTGCCACCGCCACTACGAAATTTTGTCTTTTGGAGCCGTTCCCCTCGTGGACTACTCCGAGACATTGGTAGAATTGTATAGAAATCTACCCATGGTGTTTGTGAGGCAGTGGACGAAGGTGACGGCCCGAACTCTAGAAAGGGCGTGGGGCGCCGTCCTAGATCGGCGCGAGTCCTACGACTATCGTGAGCTGCGACGGGACACGTGGCGTAGGCGTGTTTTGGCCTTTCGGGATCGACAAACGTACGCGAAAGCTTTATGGGATACGCCTCGAAAGCGCACGGGCAAGGACGACCCCGCGTGGCGGAGCGACAAGAAGACGTGCAAAGGGGTCGCGAAAAAGAACAAGTGCTCTACAAAAGTTGGTGAAGACGGCGTGCCGGCCGTTATTGCCTGTCCCGTGGCGTGCGCGCCTTCATTACTACCTCCTATTGTGATCGGTGCCGGGCCCACGGCGGAGACCCGCGAGGAGACGGTGTTTGAAGAAGGTGGTGATAACGCTACGCTGCCCTCCTGGGTCGGCACGTCCTCGAAAGCCAAGGCCCTGGGGTCGGGCAAGAGCGTGCACCGCTGGGCGCGCAAGAGTCATTTAGCGAAGTTGGCCAAATTTGAGCACTAATAAGTATACGTTATGTTACCGAAAACTCCCAAGACTACTTCGCCGCCGGCCCACCGGACGCGAGCCGCTCCTTCTCGGCATCCGCCGCCTCCTGCTCGGCCTTGACCTCCTCTAATAAAGCAGCAACCACATCATTCGCATACACTTCATGAATCATAGTCCCGTCGTCCTTCCGCTTCAGTGCGAATAAATCGATGTTCTCCGCGCTCAAGGACTCCATGGTCTTGTTCAGGACCTTCAGCGCTAATTTCACGCACGCGTCCGAGTCCATCGTCTCCTCGTACTCGGCCTTCAGCACGCCCTGTCCACTATTGGCGTTCTGGCCCATGCACGTCGCGCGCCATCCGCTGTAATTGCCGGAGGGGTCGCTGAGGTAGAGCTGGTAGCCGTGGTGGGAGTCGTACCCTGCGAACAGAAACTTGACCCCAAACGGCCGCTGGCCGCCGTACTGCGTGTAGAGCTGCTTGTGGTCGCAGACTTTGGATACTAGTTGTTCTACCGGCATGGGCTCGCCGTACTGGTACTTGTAGCGTCCTGCTGCGACTCTTGCCGCGTTTATGAGTATATTTGCGTCCGCGGTCAGGCCGGCTACTACAGTAGCGGCGTGGTCGTCGAGCTTGTAGATTTTTTCGGAGGACTTGGGGGGTTCCAGCAACTTAGTTACTTTTTGCTTTTCTCCCGCCATGACGACGCCGTCCGTGGCCAACAGACCGACGGCGGTGCCGGCGTTGTTGATAGCTTCCACGGCGTACTCGACCTGGTGGAGGCGGCCCTCCGGACTAAAGGTTGTGACGTTGGCGTCGTAGCGGCGCGCCATCGCGGCGGCGGCGACTCAGCGGGTCGACCTCTTAGGCGCGCGCGCGGTGCCGGCGCTAGCACAAACCAGCCAGCGGTCCTCAGCAACAAAAAAGGCGAGCCGTAGAGCAATTTGCACGTCTGCTAAGCGCGCTACAAGCTCGTATGGTCCGCGGCGGCCGTCCTCCTTCCTTGCTAGTGTGTTACATGCCGCTAGCCCGCAATTTTACGCAGCTGTGCGCGGGAGCCCGGCGGTTTCGCGAGCCACCGCGGCCGCCACGGTGGATGTGCTTGAGATAGCCCAGAATCCGATCGGTTCGCTAATATACGAATCGACCTCGGCCAATAACCCTACTAAATTGCATCATGGATTCAGCTCCCGCCGCGGCGTCCGACCGGCCGCGCACCCGAGCGCGCGTACGGACTTCCCACCTCGCGCCGGCGGCGCTAATGGCCGCCTGCGATCACGCCCTCTTTGAGTTTTTGGCGCCGTGGATGAAAAACGGGTGCGCACTCTACGCGGCGAACGAAGAGATCCAACGCAGTGGGGTGCTCTATCGGCGGCGGCGCCTCGGCAAATTGGCCGCGCTGCGTCGGGAGGTCTTACGTCTACGCGACGATAATTGTTTTGTCAACCTCTCGGGAAGTGACTTCGACCTTAACCGAGCGGCCCGAGTCCGAGTGGGGATGGATCAATGGCACAAAATTATTGATGTCCGGGGTGATACTGTTATCTTGGAAAAGTTGTTTAAGAGCGGGAGTCATCCCAACCGTTTCCCCACGTTATTGGTGCGTCTCGAGCAGTGGAGATGCAGTCTCAGAAACGGTGCCGTAGCCAGGCCCGGGGATGATGGGACTGATTACTTGAGCTCAAGCCACGACGGTTTGCGCAATTGCTGGAATGCGGGTGTCTATATGTACACACACAATGCCAATGACGCACAAGACGCCGACTTAGACTACTAGAAGGGGCCCCTGGGGTCGCACGAAATAAATACAACATTTTAGACATCAATCATTCCCCCGAACCGCTCGCCCAGGGCCCGGTGAAGAAAGCCGCTCGGCCAACGCCAACAGATCGTCGACGGCGTACACGTCGTCGCGGACGCGGTCCGACCAGTCGAAGACCACGCTCTTGTTGCCCACGAGGGCCACGCGCGTCGGCGACAGGTCGGCGGGCACGTCGCCGGTCCGCCGGGCCGCGACGACGTCCTGCGGTTTAAGAAATGTCTCCGCGGCCCCCTGCTCCGTGAACCGCCGTAGGACGACGCGCTGCACGTTCTTATCATACAAGACATCGAGCTGGCGATTCACCATCGCGTGCTGGTAGGCGTAGACCTTTCGTATGATGGAAGACGCCAGCGCGTCGATGGACGCGTGCGGCGGCGCTTCACCCACTAGACCGCGCTCGTTCGCGTCCGCTAAAGCAGCGTCCATGGGTAAGATAAAGACGCCCGGCAGGTCCTCGTCGGCCGACGCCGACAAGGCCGCGAGCTCGGCCGCGTGGCCAACACCCAACGGGCGATGACTAGTTCCACATTCGGGACAAGATACGGAAGCGAAGTTCTCGACCACGGCCAGCGTGGGGATGCCCAGCTCTCTGTGTAAAGCTAAACCCTTCACCACGTCGGCCTGCGCGAGCTTCGACGGCGTCGTTATCACGATAGCACCATCAATCGCGATCTCCGCCGCGACGGCCAACGTCACGTCCCCAATACCCGGCGGTAAATCAACAAGTAAATAGTCGAGCTCGCCCCAGTCCGTCGCATTGAGCAGTCTCCGCGCCGCGGCGCCGGCGACGGGGCCCCGCATCGCTATTACGCCTTCATCAGTTGAAGAATGGGGCCGCTTGAACCCGAACGACGCAAACCTCACACCGTTGTGCTCGACGGGCAACACCAAGCGACCGCCGGCCGGCGACGGCTCCATGGTTGCGCCTTCGAGGTTCAGTTGCGTCGGGATCGAGGGCCCGTGCACGTCCGCGTCCACGACACCCACGCGCGCACCCTTCGATGCTAGAGCAAATGCAGTCTGGGTACAAATTGTCGACTTGCCGACGCCGCCCTTGCAAGAAGCGACGGCGACCGCGGACCTTACTGAAGCGAGGCCCGCGGGCCTTCCGATAGACCGCCCGAAGCCGTTCGCTTGTAATGAGATGGTGATCTCCTCGACGCCTCGCAAGTGTTCGAGCGCGTCGCGACACCGTTCCGCTATTTTATGCGCATGTGGGTGCGCGGCCGTCCGCACGTCCAACGTCACGCGCAAGTTGTTGTCTCGCTGGTCTATGGACACGCAATCCGTAGTAATGACGTCGCGGCCGAGCAAGGGATCCTCGACGCCGCGCAGCAGGGCGCGCGCTTGCTCGACCACAGTGCTTTGGCAGCGGTGGTGTCTGGCCGCGAGGCGCCGCAGCGGTGCTACTGCGGCCCGCATTCGTCGTTATTTATCGTGGATTTGAGCGCTGCGAGTCTCGTTTGTCGTCCGCGGGCGTCTAGCGGCCGGCGTGTATCTCTGCCTTCAGAGCTGGAGGGAGCCAGCTTTTTTGGCAACGCGATCTAGGTGCCGTGCGCCAGTTTTGGACGCGTGCGAGACGTGCGGAACGCGCGAAGACAGGCCCAGAGCTATCCAGCCCCTTGCGACGCGTGGCGACGCGGCAGTGAGCACCTAAGATGCTGGCGCTCCGCACCGCCGCGCAAGCACTGCGCCGTCCCGCTTCAAGAACGCTGTCGACGAAGAGCGCCTACGCGTCGGCGCCGTACCGCGAATTAAGAGATGTGCCGGCATCACAGCGAGAAGCGTGGGCGCAACGAGACGTCGGTCTCCACGCCGAGATGCGCAAGCGCGTGCCGGCGGCTTTAGCACATAACGGCGAGGAGTCCTTCGACGACCATCTAGTGGGCGTCCAATCCGTGCTGCGGGCGTGGGGCGCACCGGAACACATCACCGACGCCGCGCTCTTCCACTCCATCTATGGCACGGAAGGGTTTCAAGGTTTTTCTCTACCACTTTCACAAAGGAAGGACATCGCGGATCTGATCGGAGCTCGAGCGGAACGCTTGGCGTGGATATTCTGCATGGTCGACCGGCTGACGGTCGACGAGACGGTTCTTGATGCATCAAAACCGTTGGTGTTTAGGGCAAGACCCGAGTTGGGGGCCTTCGCGATGCCTCTGAAGTCGCGCGCCGAGTGGCTCGACTTTTTGTCACTGAGTCTGGCGGACTGGCTAGAACAGGTGGAAGGGGCGTCGACGAAGAAGATCGAGTCGCCCGTGGGCGGAGTGGTTTGGGCGGAGGGCGAGGCCTGGGGCTACCGGCGGCACGCTTATAAACAAATGAGCGTCATCCTGCAGAACGAGGGCGACGCGTGGGTCGCCCAAGCGGCTCCCAAAATGTACGAGGCGGTCTTCGCCAACGAGCCGGCGGCTTCTAGGAATGTGGTGATCGCGAAAACGCCGCCCATGGGCGAGGGCGCCAAGGCCGCGCAGGAGGCCGTCGCGAGCGCGGCGTGCGACTTCGAGTAAGTACTACTATCACGAAAGTATGTTCTTATCTACAGGTGGCGCTGATCTGTCACGTCCTCGTTCCGGTCTCACTCGCAGTAGCACCAATTCAGCCCGTCTTCCATCATGCACCACGGTTTGTCAGAGCCGTCGCACGCGACACTGGGGCAGCCGTACTGGTCCACTTCGCAGGCCGCGGAGTCATCGGTTGTCCAGACGGCCTGACAGCGGTCACCTGCGAACTTGCCCTGCGGATTATTATCATCATCTGGGATGACGCACTTGCCGACGCCGCCGTAACCCATGCCGTTGGCGGCGCCGAGCGCCTGTGAGGAATCAATGTGACCGGGCGCGCGACGCGGCGTTCGGCGTTCGAGCCGGACAGCCTGAAGGGTTGACGCCGTGGCACGCAAGAGCGATGACTACCTTGCGGAGCATTGCAAACTGGTTTTTGAGAGAAAGAGAGTAGTTAAGCGCGGTCACGGACGCTTTGATCTCGAGGAGAGTTAGTTACACAAAGCAGTCACGGACCCTAGAGTGCTTGCGACGGCGAAGTTGTCCGCAGGAGAACGCTCCAAGTGAAAACTCTAAGAGCGCCACGCGGACAATCCTTAATGGTTGCCGACGCGCGTAATAAAAGCGCAGGACAGAGCCAGCAAGTTCCAACTTCCAACCGAAGTGAACCCGCGGTTGCCCCAGTAAGTGCGTTTGACACAGTAACCTTACGCGGCCTACGGCACAGCTGGCGCGTCAAGCGGGAACGAACAAGAGGGATCAGATGAGCCAGACGGGATCCTCGACGAAGATCGTCTTCGAGGCGTTCGCCGGTTGCTTGGGGCGCCGGTCGTGTCTTACGAAGCGGACGCCGACGCCCTCGTCGACGACGACTCTTGTAACGTTTTGTCGGTCTTGTCTTACGAGGCGGACGCCCTGGACGAAGCCCGTGTCGATGGTCTCGTCGTGCTTTCGTTCTTCGATGCGGCCGTGTCGATGGTCGCGCCACATCGATGGTCTCGGGCTGCCGGCAGTCTTCTCTGCGCTCGGCTCGCGTATGGCAGCCACAGAAGCTAGCAAGCACCAGAAGAGGCGCCACATCGCGTAGACGGCGTCTTTCGGAGCGCGGATTGGCTGAGAGCGAGTTCAGCGGACGGAGATCGCTTTGCGAAGCTCACGAATTGGTACGCAAGTGGTTCTGTTCTGTATAGCAGCGTGACAACTTGTGCTCTGCGAAGATCATGCTAGAGTCTCACGGCCGCTAGCTCGCAGCCTCCGCGGAATCGACCACGCGCGGTGTCTCCCCCCAGGGGCTCCGCCCACTAGTCCGAGCACCGTAACAATAGATTCGGACACCGTACTAGTAATACATTGCTTTGCCTAGAGCTAGGCCGCCTAGCCGCGGATAATACATTCTTCAAGTTTCTTAGCAAACTCAAATCGCCCGGAGGTTACGAAATCGCTTGTACCTCTGGTGGCCGGACTCGCCGCCGCCGGCCTCGACGTCGCCCCCCATCGAGTGCTTCAGGTCCTCGAAGGGGGCGATGCCCAGCTGCAGTTCACACACGTGGGTCTCGACGCCGAGCGACGACGTCACCGCGTCGACGAGCACGATGGAAAGCGAGACGTTCCGGTAGCCCGCCGTCCCCTTGGCGTCGTACTCTCGCCGGAAGCGATTCTTCGCATGTACGACGCAGGCCCGTGGGTCCTCGCGAATGCGCTTGACGCACTCGGTGATCGCGTCGAAGCTCTGGAAGGTGATCGACGCCCGGACCAGGTCGATGCAGAACCGCGCGTCGCCCCGGTAGCTCCGCCACAGCTTCTCGATCGCCCGGTCGCGCCGCTTGATGGGCGCGTGCGACACGACCGCTCCAGTCAGCCCGGCGCTCCAGGTGGCGACCGCGAGCTGGTAGTACGCGTTCAGCTTGCACGCCTGCCCGAAGAGGACGGCCAGGTCGCCGACGCACTGGCGCGGGTGGTCCCCCGTCCGCCCCCGGCGGACGCTCCGGCCGATGGCAGCCGCCACGCCGGTCGACCCGCCGCCCAGCGCCGCGGCGAGCTCGTCCTGCAGGCGCGCCACGTGCGCATCGATGTCGCCCGTCTCCGCCACCAGCCGCGCCCACGTCGCCTCGTATTTTTCGAAGTCGCCCTTGATCATGTCCCACGACGTCTTCAATGCCTGGTTCCGGGAATAGTGGAGATACGCGGCGACGACCAGGAGCAGCGGACCGATGGGCCACGCCCACGAGAAGACCGCGATGAGTAACACGAAGCCGATTCCAAAGTAGTAAAAGAGTATCGTGATCCACAGCTGCGCCACGTAGACGTCCCGCAGCGCCAGGTGGTACCCCACCTGCAGCGCGATGAGCGCGCCGGACGTGACCAGGCATAGGGTGAAGACGCCGCCGGCCCACGGCCGATGCGCGTATACCGCGATGCCGAAGAACTGGAACGTAAGGGCGAAGACGACCGTGAACGAGGTCAGCGCGTGGTAGGCCAGGTAGTCGCGGCCGCGCCACAGCGCCCACGCCCGCCACAGGAGCGTCGCGGCCATGCAGAAGACCATGAGGAAGATGGAGAGTTCCATGCGCGTGGTCCTCGCGGCGTTCCCCTGGCACCGCGCGATCTTCTTTTCGCCGCAGGCCGCGGCGGCCCAGCGGCCGTCGGTCCCGGAGACCACGTACAGGCAATCGTCCTCCGCCATCGTCGGCGGCGCCGCGCCGCTCGCCCAGGGCCCGTCGGCGACGAGAGCACCGTCAAGCCACTGGAACGCCCCGGCGGGCGCGCGCCGCCGCGGGCCCAACCACGTGTCCGCGTCGTGGAAGCGTTCCTCGTCCCGGAATTGGTCGTACGAGAGCGACGCCGTCGACGGGCCCCACGGCAGCGTACCACCCAAAATTTCGCACGCGCGCCGCGCGTCCCGGTGCGTGCACGGCCCCATGCAGCGGTCGACGGTTGGCGGTACCATGAAGGCCGGTTTGCCCCGCGCCACGGCACGCACGTCGAAGTACACCGCCGGCTCGGCCTCCGCGTCGCGCACAGCCAGGGAACACGCATACTGGATACTCAGGACGAGCATGATTGCGCCGAATAAGAACCACAGGAAGATCGCGAAGGGTCTCCGCCCGCCGAAGAGGCCGGCGCCGCTGAAGGCCTCGTCCGTCTCGACCTCGCCCTGGCGCGCCAGAGCTCGCGTCTCGTGGAGCTCGAGCGACCCGACGAGGCTCTCCGGCTCTGGCGCGCGCCGCACCAGCACCGTGGCTTTTGCGAGCTCCGCGTGTTCGGCCTTCACGAGGTGCGCGTGCGCGGCGCCGATCTTCGTGCCCTCCAGATCGCTGCGTTCCAGCCACCGCGACGCGGTCCGCGCGAACGCGGCGACGTCTCCATGGCTTTGCGGCAGCAGACGCGCCTTGGCCTCCGCCTCGTCCGCCGGCGCCACTTTCGGCATTTATGCTGCAGCGCTTGTAGCGTGCTCTCTGCAGCGTTGGGCAGCCCTTTAGGGGAGGCTGCGGCGCCCGGCGCACGACCTGGAGATCTCTGCTAGTGTCTTACCTGTACAGGCCGCTATCGCCGCGCGGTGTCTCCTCACGCTGTTATGCAAGAATCGGCTCGCGCCCGCCGCCGGATGAATAGGCGACGCGCGGTGTCTCCCCCCCAGCCCTGGGCAGGGGCTCCGCCCACTAGTCCTAGCACCGCAACAGAAATCAGCCGTCGTCGACGCCGTCGCCGCGACACATGAAAGTAACTACAATACCGTTACACTACACCTTTCCTCGGGCCCCCATAAAAGCGGACTCAAGAGCCGCGACCGCGACGGGCGCCGGCTCGTCCCCACAAAGAATCAGCTGGAAGCGCGAGTCCGCCGCCCGCGACAGGATCTGCGTGTCCGCGGGCCCGCCGTTGCGCACCCACTGCACGAGGACCCAGCCCCGCGTCCTGACATAGAAGACGCCCTTGAACCGCTCCGCGCCGTCGAACGCACACGCCGTCGCGCACGCGCTCTCGAGCCGATCCGCCTCGAAGGGCGCGCCCAGCTTCCCGAAGATCACACCCACATAAGCCTTGCCGCCGCCGTGTGACTCGGTGCGCTTCGAGCCGTCGATGTGCGTGAAGGTACGCTTCGGCCGATATTCGTCGTCCTCCTCGGCGCCGGGCGCGTGCTCCTGTTCTATCGTAATAGCGTCGCGCGGCGCGTCGACCCAATCTGTGGAACACGCGCCGCGGTCGGCCAGAAGTATGGTTTTTGGCGGATACAGCTCCCGGGCCCAATTATCAACATCAGACGTCATGCCTGCATCGACGTCCCGCCGGTTCAGGATCAACAGGTCCGAGGCGTGGACCATATCTCTATAAAGCGGCGCCTCGGCCCACAACAGCGAATGGCGGTCGCACGGCACGACGCAGGCCACGGCCCTTAGCTCCAACGCGTTCGACAAAGGCTCCTTCTGGAGGTGTTCGCTCAGCTCCGCGACGTGGCCTAAACCAGAAGGCTCGATCAATAAACGCGTCGGGCGCTTCTTCAGCAGTCGCGTCAACGCGACGCGCACGGCCACACCGTTCGCGCAACAAATGCAGCCTCCACTTACTTCGGCCGTGGCGGCGCCGCCGCTCCCGGCGATGACGCCGTCTATGCCCACGTCGCCCATCTCATTCACTAGCACGGCCCAGTTGCCGTCGCCGCGCGTCTGCAGGAGCTTGAGGATGGCCGTGGACTTGCCGGCGCCCAGCGGGCCGGTGAGGATGTTGCATGGCACCCTTGTGGTTAGTGCAGCCATTTCTTTAGCGGTGTTTGATGCGCGCGCACGTGTGCTCGTCGGTTCCACTGATGGCCGGTTTCACGCGGGGTTGTGGTCCTTTGGGCTGGTTGCACTCACTGCTCTCAGACGTGTTTTACCGCTACTTCTCGTCCAGCAACAGAAGGACTGGAGCAATTTGTGTACTCGCTACTCTTGCACTACTGCAGCGCTTCGCGCGTCGTTGTATTCGTGCGTGTGTCGCTGCACTGCGCCTCTCAGCCTCGCAGCTGGCAGCGTATCGGGTTTTGCGGCCTCATGCGCACGCGCCAGGATTTTTCGCTGTGATACTGAATGAACTCGACGAACGAACGAAAGTTCAAACTGGTTCACTCCGCTAGGCTGTCTCAGTTAGCATTTTGGTCTCGCAGAGCTGGCGCTGCTCTCCCGCATCGTACGGAGGCCCTACGCACCGTAGCGCCCATCCAGCGTGGCGGCAGGGTCCAGTTACCCGCCGCGACCAGCTTTTTACCGCATCGAAGAGCTGCAGAGGCTGCTAGACGCTGTGGGTGCACCGCTGGTGCCAGCTAATACGAGCTCGTATCGCAGCATGGTGCGCCGCGCTCTCCTCTTCTTCTCGGCAGCAGCACGCACGGTACGCTGTGCGCAGCTGGACCCAGCCACCGCTGACCGAATCCGAGGTGCCTTTGTCGGCGCCTTGGTGGCGGACGCGCTGTCGCTGGCGACCCACTACGAGTACGATGCGACCCGCATTAAGAAGTTCTACGGCGCGATCGACCGGTACTACGCGCCTGGCGAGAAGACGGGGGGCACGACGCACGGCGTGGGCTGGGGCGCACGCAACTTCCACGACGGCAACGGCAACGGACCGGCGAAACAAGCCGGTGAGCAGACGGACTACGGCGATTACAACCTGCTGGTCGCCGAACATCTCGCGGCTACGGCGCCCTCGCGGCCCTTCGACGTGGCCGAGTTCCTGCCGCGCTGGCGCGAGGCGCTGGCGACGTGGCGGAGCTGGATCTGCACGCAGACGCGGCTCACGTACAACCAGGTGGCGCAGGGGGCGCCCGTGTCATCGCTCGGCGGCAACTCGAACGCCATGTCGTTCCGCGGCGCCGCCCTGCTCGGCTACTACAACGACGAGGACGCCGTCGCAAACGCGGCGCGGAAGGCGTCGTTCACGCACCGCGAGGCGACGGCCCTCGACGGAAGCGAGTTCTTCGCGCGCGTGGCCTTCCGCGTGTCGCGCGGGGCGGCGCCGCGGGACGCCATCCAGGAAGTCGCCGCGGCGTCGTCGCCATTCGTGCAGAAGAAGGTAGCGCAGGCACTGGCCAAGGTCGACGAGGCGACGGACCCGGCGCAACCGCTTTCGAAAGAAGACTTCGTGGACGACCTCGCCCTCACGTCGATGGCGCGGCTGTGGGACGTCGGGAAGAGCGAGCCGATCAAAGTCGGCAAGGCCTCGCCGACGGAAGGCACGCTCCCGGGCGCCGTCTATTTTATCGTGAAGTATGACAATAATCTCGTGGCTGCGGCGCGGGCGAATGCAGAGGTCGGAGGCGACTCCGCGTCGCGCGCCGTCGCGATCGGCGCCGTCCTCGGCGCGGCGGGGGGCCTGGGCGCCATACCGCCGGAGCTGGGCGCGGGCAAGCTCGTCGAGTGGGACCGGGCGCTCGCATTGCTCGACCGCATGCCGCTGCTGCGCGACGACGACTCGGGCGAGCTCTGATTGAGTAATGGTGTGACTAATGGTTCAATTGTTACCCGGGAAAGACGCCGTCGCCGCGAGCCATCTAGATCTGGCCCGTGAGGCGCTTGTAGGCCTCGCGGCCCTGCTCGATCTGGGCGCGCTCCAACTTCGTGAGTGGCTAAGGGGCGAGGGCCGCAGGCGCATGAAAATTGTAAAACTCGCATCGTCGTGGAGCGCGTCGCCAGCAGTCCTAGATCACATTTTGAGCATCAGCGCACGGCAAAAAACCGACGAGGCGAGTCGAAGTGGTCCGCGGTGCCCGCGAGCTTGATGTCGCATTGTTGGATCTCCGTGCATTTCCTCGCCGCCAGCAATTAGTCCAGGGAGTTACAGCGTTTGTAGGAGCCAACCCACGTAGTCTGTTCGTGCCGGATACCGACGCGAAAACACTGTTTGCTGGAAAAGGCGTCCGGTCACGCTCCAGGTTGCTCTTCCACCTCGCGGGGCGAGGCAGTCGCTGAATCCTGACAACGCCGGGGTTCTTTGAGTCCTATGAGCACGGACTGAACCCTTGGGGCCGGCGCCGAAGGGCGCAGGCAACTGCTGCGGGACCGGCCCGGCTTTCGAGGGCCTGGCGCCGCCAGGCAGGGTACCGGCCAACCTCGGCCACCACATTTCGCCTTGGGGCTCCAGGAGCGGAGGGCACGACTTGAGGCCGTCGCCGAGGCGGCCGGGCGGCCGTAGGCTGTCGGAAACGACGGGCGCGTAGGGCCTGGCTGGTCTTGCGGTCGGCGTCAGGAGCTGACACACGCTGGCGGCGCTCGCTGCATCGGCTGGATGGCTAGCGCGGCGCGGTCACGAACGTGTCGTAGCTCTGTTCGCCCCTCCGCCCTTCTAGCGCCGCGAGAGCGGAGGCGTCGCCGCGCATCGCTCCGTGAGACTCCGCGGCTTCCACAGTTCTGTCAACAGCGACGATCTGTGTCCGCGGCAGATATTTTCTACCGCGCGTGCCACACGACGCCGCGGAGCAGCTCTGCTTGACAGGCAGCCTAGCAGACTGCTGCTTATCGCGTGCGCGCAGTTGTCGGGACGGGGCCGTTGGCAACGTGAGCATAATTTGTGGCTAATTCCGCGCTCCAGCTATGCGGACGTCGGCGCTTGTAGCTGAGGAGCAGCGCTGACCGACGGCTGGACCAGCTAGCGACCTGTAAGACACTAGCCAGCATTTTGCGCGGCGCCTTGCTGCCGGTGAACGCTGTGCTCACCAGCCGTTTGAGGGCATCAATTACTGCGACGGAACCGCTCCACAACTTGAGATAATTCGGGAGCCCTGCGCTGCATTTACAGCTATTCCAGCTATTCCCACTCTCAGCGGTCGCCCTCGCGTCGCGTAACGTTCCAAAATATGGAGCAGACGCCCCCCTGGAAGCCGAAGGAGCCGCCGTATACAGAAAAACACTATCGAGGACAACCGAGCGCACATCAGCTCAAACTGATCCTCTTCCATCACGCCGTGGAGATCGTGGGCCACAAGCTGTCCCAACCGGATTCGAGAAGCCTAGCCATCGACCTGATGGCGTCCACCGCGTCACCAGATCAGGTCAAAATACGCGACGCGGCATGGGCCAAGCGCGACGAGGTCTGGGCCAAGTACCGCCGCGCGTGCAGCGAGTACGAGGAGGCGCAGCGCAACGCGCCCGAGGAGGTGTACAAGGCTGGAAGCGTTGGAGACCGCAAACGGAAGCGCGACAAGGACAAGGAAGACGAGCTGCAAAAGGCCGCCGAAGATGAGAAGGCACGCGCGGCGTTCCTCGCGAAAATGCAGGACAAATTAGATAAGGACAAGGAGGCCTTTGTCACGGAGATCGAGGCGTTGATAGAAAACGAGTCGATGCGGCCCGCGATCGAGGCCATCATGAAGCACGGGATGTGCGAGTGCGCGGGAGCACACGGTGTTATGTGCGCGTGGGTCTTGATGACGTGGTTCGCGGCTGAGGCGTTCCGGGCGAAGCACGGGGCCGAGGCGTCGTCGGTCTTGGCGTCCATGGGCGACGAGCAGAAATCCACGTACCTCGTGGACGCCAGTGTGGAAATCAAAGTTTTACGACGTCTTCGGATTCACTGATTTACACACAGGTGACAAGCATGAAGCAGATCCCGAAGTTAGATGGAGACGTCGAGGCGCAGTTAGAAACGGCCGCTTCCGGCGCGTGGCGCACGATGGAGGGCTTGCAGTGGCCGCCGGAGCATAAATTTGTTGAGGCCACGTGCCGTAGAAGCATTGAAAAAGATTTACAGCCATCAACTAGGTGGTCCGGGAACAATCGAGCTGAGAAACTCGACAGCATGGTCGTCAAAGAGTGTGGCATGTCACAAGATGATGCTCGGAAACTCGAAGAGTCCGAAAAATTCAATATGCTAGTAGAAAAGAAACGCCAGAAGTACGTTACGCCTTTGGAACAGATGAGTCGACACCATGAGTTGTTTGAAGCCCTCGTTACCTATCCTAGTACTCTGGACGAGATGGCACGTCTCGTGAAGACGATTGTAGCTATGGCGCACGGTGATACTTTACTGACCAACAGACACTGTGCGGTATTGGATGAACGTGCAGTTTTGAGGCGGCGAGATCAGTATTTAGAGGCCGAGCAGAAGGGCGAGATAGGCAACCTCGAAAAATTTTATAGTGGACCTGGTAATCGGGAAGATCGCGGCTTTGAAATAGGAAAGAAGTTCACGACGACCTTGATGACGAAGCAGGGCTTGCCCGAGTGTACGAAAGTAGGTCGAGGCCGCCTTTCTCTTCTTGATGAGGGCGACGCCAAATTAAACGTAGATAGTTTATTGACGACGACGGGCGTGGCGCGCTGCTACGTGATTTCGGGTGCCGTGAGAGACGTGGAAAATACGAAAGAAGCTGCTGCTGGCCGAGTCGTCGTCGCGTGCCTTGTAGGGAATGAAGTGTGGCACGTCATGGGCAATCCAGGACACTTCGCCATGTTGAATCCCTTTACACCAAACTGCTTCATGATGCTTGCTACGAAATTCTTGACTGTTTTAGCGTTGGGATATCGACAGTCTACGTCTCTCGTACCTGCGGTCAAGATGGTCACGTCCGACGACGGCGGCGTTATGGTAGGCGAGGCCTCTGATCAGGAGATGAAAGCTAGTGTGAAGTGCGTCGCTCCGAAATTAGCTGCGCAGATGGACACGGTGATGGCCAGAGCGGTCAAAGTCATCGGCGAGAACAACACCACGGACGCGTCGGTGCGCTTGTTAGCTGCGCGGGTCGCGTCGGCGTCGTCGTCCGGCGCGCTCGCGAGCCTCGAGTCCAGCGACGGCGGTGTAGGGACCGGTTTTGGCGTTGACGTGGGCGCGCTCAGGAATTTGATAGATTCGATGCCCAACATCGCCGATATCTCGAAGGCCGTCGGCCCGCTCGGGCACATCCTCTGTAGTTGCCCGACGCCGGATCCGCCGCCGGCGCCGGCGCCGGCGCCGCAGCCGACGAATGTGAATGACACCGACCCGCGCAACGCCTGGACAGACCGCGAGTGGGACGAGTTCGCGCAGCAGCACGGGTAGCTATGTAGTTTGTAACTTGTAGCTGTCTTAATTCCGAGCTCGACTCGCTGCATACGCGCCAGTTAGCCACAAAATCGTGGCCATCTCGTCACCAGCGCGCGCCTGGTGTAGCACGCGTCGTCTTTTTGCCAAAACTGCGCGTCTCGGCAGCGCGTGAGACCACGTGGGCGACAGCTTTCGCATCCGGCCGCGTCAACACGCGCCAGCGCCTTGCTTGAGCTGAGCCTGCGTGCAGGGGCCGCCCCAAAATAGTGCCGCGCGTACGCGGGTGGCCGAATTCGTCGTCAGGATCGTCGCGTTGACACGTCGGCAAAAACACGCGTCGCCGCGGGACCACCTGGATGTTCGTCGGCGTCTGGCCGCCCTGCGCCACCTGGTTCCCACCGCCGCGCGACGGCGCCGGCGCGGCGGACTTCTTGCCGAAGCCCCCGAAGGCGGACGCGCCGACGGCGAGAGCGAGGACGAGCTTCATCTTTACCTGCGCGTCGATCGACTCGTTCAGGGCCGCGCTCGAGCAACCTCGCGGTCCACTCTCCCAGCGTAGAGCCGTAAATACCCTCGGCCTCCGCGCGACGCATGCGATGCCGCGATGTCGCCTAGGCCGCGCGCCGGCTACGCAAGGCAGATGTGTCTGCAAAAAACACCGCCAGAGCTCGCGCGGGGCACAAATTCGCGGCTTGCGACACGATTTAGGATGAATGTAGATGCGAGACAATCGTGAGTCCTTCTCGGCACGGCTCTGGCGCGTACGCTGGCTGTGACCACGACGCTTGCCGCAAGCAATCCTTTTGGCCGCTGCTCCGCGAAGCCATCAGGCCGCAGCCTTAAGCGTCCGAGAGCCTCCGGAGAGACCTGCTTTGAAGATTTTGCGCGGGGTCCTCCGAATGGCCCCGCGGGCCGCGGGCCCCGTTGGTTCGCCGAGCACCCAACATTCCGCCCGATGGTCCGGTGTACGGCTCTAGAGAGCTCCCTTCCTCGCGACGACGCGTGGTAATCCGCCAAAGCGCCGTCGTTGCCCAAAAGCTGTCGAAATAATCGACTCTAATCACGCCAAAAAACGACGCGTTGAGACGGCGCGTCACTCTGTAGTACGCGCTGATACATAAGTGCCACCCGGCCGCCGCGCCGCCACGAGACTCGCGCCCAGGGCGGAGCAAGAGCCAAAACAGTTTGCAGTACTTTTTACGTACCGTCGCCCCACGCGGCGCGGGAAACCACGGGTTCGTCAGCCCGCCACCGCAAGAAAGCGCAACGAGCGCGCCGGAAGAATAGCATGGACGCCGTCGCGCCGACCTCGCACGCGGCCCGCCGCCGCCGCCGCGCCCTCGCCGCGCGCAACGATAGCGCCTTCAGCAGCGACGACTGCGTGGTGCCGTCCAAGTTCGCCGCGGCGACGACCGTGAACGAGATCGAGACGCCGTCGACGACCTTCTCCGAGACCACCTACGCCGAGACGCCGATGCCCGCGTCGTCGCCCGCGAGCTCGGTGGAGTATCTCAGCACCTCGCCGGAGTCCTCATTCTCCGACACGCCGGTGCCGCCAGCGCCATCCGACCTGGAGTCGCCGCCGACGGTGCGCGCCGACGCCGCCGGTTCAAGCTTCCTCGCGCGGTCGGACGCGGACGGCTTCCCGCTGCGACGCGTCGGCTTCAGCAGCGACTCGACCTGCACCGAGACGCCGAAGGCGCGCTTCGTCCCCGAGGCCGGTGGAGTCTGCCCTCCGTCTGATCGCCCCCCGTCGCCGATCCAAATTGCCAGGGAGCGCATCGACGACGCGCTGGACAACCTCTACGTGGCGACGGGCGTCAAGCGCGCGCACGTGGCCGCGGCGGTCGTCGCGATGCCCTGCTTCGTCGCCTCGTGGCGCTCGGCCGCGCTCCTATGCGTGGGTACGCTCTACCCCATCCTGTTGGCCGCGAACGCCTGTTCGGATGACAAGGCGGCCGCGGACCGGAAGAACCTGCTCCTCTACTTCGTGTTAGCGTCGCTCCACCAGTTGGTCCCGGTCTGCTGGTGGGTGCCGTTCAATGTAGAGCTCCGAGTAGAAATCAAATTCCATGGACAGAACTCGACGGCGGACTGGCGCGCGCGCGTCGCGGCGGAGACGAACCACTGACGAATTTCCACGCAGGTTCAGTTCGCCGTCACGCTCTTCCTCGTGCACTTCGAGGGCGCGGCGGCGCTCTTCGACTTCTTCCTCAAGGCCTACTTCGAGCCCGCGGAGGCGTGCACGGCCCTCGTCAAGACCGCGCGCAAGGTCCGCCGCCGCGTGAGCTGCCGCTTCTCGCCGACGCCGCCGAGGCGCTCCTAGGGCACAAAGGCCCTCTCCCTCCCCAAGCAAGTCATAAGACACATCGTTACCCTCAAGCGTCCCAGACGCAGACCACGCCGTCCATGCCCGCCGACACCAATTCAGCACCCTTCCACGCCAGCCCGAGCCCGCCGTCCTTGTGGGCGAACTTGTACTCCTTGACGGCTGTCGCGGGCTTCCCAAAGTCCCACACATAAATGGTCTCGTCGTTTGAGGTGGACGCGAGCCTGTCGGAGGGGCCCCACGCGAGAGCGGTCACGCGGGCGTTGTGGTGGCGCCACTTGTTGGCCAGTACTGTCGTATACTTGTTGGAAGCATCGTAGACCTTGATTTCTCTTTCAGCGTCGCCGGCGGCTAGTTTGGAGCCATCTAAAGACCAGGATAACGCCGTAATCTGCGACCGGTGGGCCACTGATGAAAACACTTCTTTCAACGAAGCGTCGAAGACGCGCACGATCCCGTCTTTGCTACCGACGGCAATCAACGAGTCATGCGTCGCTAGAGTTGTAGGGTCCCAGTTTGTACTTTCAAATTTGGCCACCGCGCCGTTGCTGATGATACCAATACCTTTCGTCGTCGCGACCGCGACATTTGTGCCGACTTGACCAAGTCCAAGCGGCTGGCCCTCCACATCAACAACGGTGGAAGTATAGGCACCCTTCACGACAAACCGCACCTTATCATCAAAGCCGCACGTCGCGAATCCATCCGAAGTGGCACACACTGATGTCACTTTCCCGCCGTGCGCCGCTCGATTGATCGAGCGCGGCGCGGTCCCCTGTATTTTGGTCCATTCTGCGCCAGACGCAGTGAAGACCGTGCCGTCGTTGCACCCTATCACGATTTCAGAGTGGGCCACGGTCACACAAGATACTGGAGAGGAAGGAGCCTGGACTGTCTTCGACGTCGAGATGCCGCTCGATGATACATCAAGGTAGTTCACATCACCTGACAGCGACACCGATAAAGCTTGACCGTGGCCCCAGAAGACCCCCAACTGCATGTCGGCCACATCTTTACCCATCTCTGTCGAACTTTCGAGCGCGTCCGCGCCGCGGCCGACCTTCCAGACTTTCAGGGCCTTGTCCGCACCACCAGTTATTAACTTCGTGCCATCCTCGGAAAACGCAACACAATAAACGCTCCCCTGGTGCTTCACGGGCAACGTCTCCTCGACCGTCCCTTCTTTGCCCTCGTACAGCACCACCTTTTTATCAGACCCAACGGACGCGATATGCGACCCATCCCTCGAGTAGCAGACCTGATTGACATAATTCGTGTGCTCCGTGCAGGAGTGGTCGAGCTTGAAGGGCGGGCCCTTGTAAAAAACGCATTTGAAATCCTCGCCTCCAGTAAAAATTCTGAAGGGTCTCTGTTGTCTGTAAGCGACCGACAACACGGTCTTCTGGTGGCCGACCATCTCTCCCACCGCATTGCCCGTGTCCCACATGACGCACTTCGTTTTTATATTCGAGCCGGCGCCGACGACCACGATCCTCTTCGACTCGCCGTCCCACTGTATGTCTTTGATGGCGCCCGCGAAGACCTGGACTTCGACCTTCAGAATGTGCTCCGGGTTGTCCCAGGCCCAGACCCGTAAGAAACCATTTGCGTCGCCCGACGCGACCCAAAACCCATTCGGCGCGAAGGCTGCGGCTCCTACAGTATGCTTGTGGCCGCGATACACAAAGTTGTCTCCTGCATCGTTCAGACTTCTTACTACTACATACTTGCCGAAGCAGTAGATTAATTTGGGCTCCTTGGGATGCGCCTTGATTGCGAGGGCGTGGCCTCGTTCTAGCGACGGGCCCGGTACTAATCGCGCCTGGAGGCCGTCGCTCGCGAGGAAGTCGCACATCGATGGCGTCTCGCGGTCGCCGCGCGAGTGGTGGCCGGGCAGAGGCCTGGCTATCTGTAGCTAGCAGGGCTCGGAGCGCGGATAGTCGCTGCTCGCGCTGGTATGTTTTCGAAATAGAGAACTTCTGCAGCTGCGCTGTGGATCAGCTAGCTCCAAGCAGCTCGAACCCACCGGCAAAATGCGCGAAAAAATGATCGAGCTAGCGTGCAAGTAAAGACACTAGCAAGTAGGAGCTAGCCCTCTCCACCCGTCCAAACCTGTCCAAAGCGAAGTGCGAACACCCCAACAGGCCGTGATACGGGTCTCAACTCAAAATTTCGCACAGCGCAAACTGCAGATTTGACACAACGACAAGTTGTACAAGTCGATCAAAAAATGAATCGCGGCGCGTACACGCTGCCCGCAGCCCGCGGCCGGCCCGCGCGGTACCGCAGTGATGCGCACGCCCCGCGGATTCGCCGCTAGATGACGACGGAGGCAGCACAGCAGGGGCTGCCCCCAAACGGGCCGCCGGCTCGTCCGGCGCGCGACGACGCGCCTGACGTCCGGCCTCGCGCGCGCCGGCGGACGGCCGCGGCGGCGCCCGTCGTGCGACGGCGGCCCGGCAGCGCGCGACGGCCGCGGCCGCGCTGGCGGACCGCGCTGGCGCTGCTCTGGTGCGCGCCTCTCGTAGACGCGCTGTCGGACCCGCCGACGATACAGCCCTCGATCGTGCCGACATCGCCCCCGAGCAAGGTGCCGATTCCCGTGCCGACGGCGACGCCGACGTCAACGCCGACGACGCCACCGTCGTCCGCGCCGACGCAAGTCCCAACCACAGAACCGACCGCGGTACCATCCGGATCGCCGACGCCGCACCCATCTTTTAGTGCGGAGCCGACGGGCGTGCCGACGCCCGTGCCTACGCTGTTCACGAAGAACCCCAGCCAGGTTCCCACCTCAGTACCGTCGCGCGTGCCGACGTCGCCTCCCACGGACCCGCCGTCCGGCTACCCCTCGCCGGGGCCCTCGCGGCACCCAACGCCCGTGCCCACGGGCGTGCCGACGGGGCTGCCGACGGCCGGGCCGACGATGAAACCCACCGGTAGCCGGGCGCCGAGGCCCGCGCCGACGGCCGTGCCCACGCCGGTCCCGTCGACGGCGGCCCCGTCCGAGGCACCTACGGACCAGCCGACGCCCGTCCCCACGAACATACCCACGTCGGTGCCCACGACCGTGCCGACGACGGCCCCGTCGCCGCACCCGAGCTTCACGGCGCTGCCGACGACGCCGGGCCCGACGCCCGTGCCGACCGGAGTGCCGAGCAGCAAACCCTCGGCCCTGCCGACGGGCGTCCCGACGTTCACGCCGACCACGCTCCCGACGCAAAGATCTGTGCGGAAATGCTTCAAAATGTGTCGCGTCGCGTCGATGGCGTGCTGCTGGGATAGAATATCTCCAAACGCAGGCCCGTGCCGACGCTGGCCTTCGCGCGCGAGCCTTTTAACTGTTCGCGGTACAACAACCCGATCCAGGTCATGCGCGTCGATGGGACCTATCGAGTGGTCGAACTCGATTTCGCGACCGGCACCTACACCCTCATCTACGAGCTCGACTGGATGCACGCTTCCGCGCACACGAACGCCGTGGGTCTAGTGAACGCCAGGATCGGCGGCGTCAAACAGAATTACTTGCTTGGCGCGTTCTCGACGGAGCTCTGCTTCTTCGACGGGGAGGGCATGGCCTGCTTCGACGGTACTTTAGATCACAGGGCGCCGAACGCTGGAGTCGTGGTCGGGTCGGACTACTACTATACCAAATCGTTGGGCCAGGACCCTGGGGGCCAGACCAAGGTCTTTCTGGTGAAAGACGTTGATACCAAATCTCCAGTCTTCTCCACGTCCACGGCCGTCGCCTTCTCCGCGGACCTGTGGTACGCTGGTTTGGTCGATATCACGGGAGTGGTAGAAGGGGGCCGCGAGGTCTTTGACGACGGTGTTGATGATGCGACCTATCTCGTAGGATTGGAGACGGGCGCCACGAAGCTTGTTGTGATTAGGATCGACGCATCCACCAGATTACCGGACAGATACGCCGTCCTCCGGGCGAACCTGAACTGGCAGGAAACGACGCCGATCACGGGCAAGAGCCTGTTTGGAAGTGCCTTCAGCTACCCCATCTCGGGCAAGTGGCGCGTCTTCTTCGCCAGTAATGACGGCTGGGGCCTCTTCGAGCTCATGCTCCCGCTCCAAGTACCTTCTTCCTGTTTCAACACGGGCACGGATAGCAGTACGCACACGATATGCAAGGAGAGGAACGCGACCCTCGTCTGGCGGTCGAACTCCGACAGCAGCGCGAACAACGACGGCCTCAACTGTCCGGCGAACATCACCGTCTCCTCGACCTTCTACCCGTCGCCCGTGCCGACGACGGCCGTCCCGTCCACACGACCGTCGGCCGCGCCGACGGCGGTGCCGACGGGCGAGCCGACGGCCGTCCCGTCCACAATGCCGACGGCTTCGCCGACGGCGGTGCCGACGGCTGAGCCCACGAGCGCGCCCACGACGCCGCCGTCGCCCGAGCCCACGACGCCGCCGACGGCTGAGCCCACGAGCGTGCCCACGGGCACGCCGACGGGCGCGCCCACGACGCCGCCGTCGCCCGAGCCCACGAGCGTGCCCACGAGCGTGCCCTTCGCCGGGCCGACGGCGGTGCCGACAAGCGAGCCGACGGCCGTTCCATCCATGATACCGACGGCCGCGCCCACGACGCCGCCGTCGCCCGAGCCCACGAGCGTGCCCACGGCGGTGCCGTCGCCCGAGCCCACGGCGGTGCCGACGGCTGAGCCCACGAGCGTGCCCACGGGCACGCCGACGGGCGAGCCCACGACGCAGCCGTCGCCCGAGCCAACGGGCGTGCCCGTGGCCGCGCCGACGGCGGTGCCGACGGCTGCGCCGACGTCCGTCCCATCCACAATACCGACGGCCGAGCCGACGGCGGTGCCAACGGCTGCGCCGACGTCCGTCCCGTCCACAATACCGACATCCGAGCCCACAATCGTCCCGACGACGGCGCCGTCGCCGCTGCCCTCGCCGGCCCCGACGGGCTGCTTCCTGACCCAGCCCGCGTTCAAGAAGATGTGCCTCGCCGACTCGCCGTGCGCCGTCACGTGGACCTACACCGGCCCCGCGACCGACTGCCTCGACGTCGACGTGATCGCGACGCGAGACAACGCGACCATCGTCGGCCCGCTGACGACGCCAAACGACGGCTCCTTCTCCTTCAATTTGCCCTACGGCATTCAAGGCGGGATCTACGGCGTGCGCGTGGCTTGCACCGACGGGACGTGCGTCGACGCGACGCGGCGGCTCGCCGTCGCCTATAGCTTTGCGCCGACGATCGCGCCCTCCCCGGTGCCGTCATCCATGCCGACGTCCGCCCCGACGGCCACCCCGACGTCCGTGCCGACGCCGACGCCGACGCGCGCGCCGACGGCCGCACCCACATTCGTCCCGACGACGCCGCCGTCGTCGCGGCCGAGCGGCACGCCAACAAACGCGCCCACATTCGTCCCGACGACGCCGCCGTCGTCGCGGCCGAGCGGCACACCAACAACCGCGCCCACATTCGTCCCGACGACGCCGCCGTCGTCACGGCCGAGCGGCACACCAACAACCGAGCCCACGTTCGTCCCGACGACGCCGCCGTCGCCACTGCCCTCGCCGGCCCCGACGGGCTGCTTCCTGACCCAGCCCGCAGACCTTGATTGCGTCGCCGACTTGCCGTGCCCCGTCACGTGGACCTACACCGGCCCCGCGACCAGCTGCCTCGACGTCGACGTGACGTGTTTTCGAGACGACGCGACCATCGTCGGCCCGCTGACGACGCCGAACGACGGCGCCTTCTCCTTTGACTTGCCCTACGGCACGAACATCGGCGTCTACGGCGTGCACGTGGCTTGCACCGACGGGACCTGTGTGGTCGCGACGCGGCCGCTCGCCGTCCTATATACCTGGTATCCGACGGGCGTGCCCTCCTCGGTGCCGTCATCCATGCCGACGACCCCGCCGTCGCCCGCGCCGTCGTTCCTGCCGTCGCCGACACCGACATCCATGCCGACGACCCCGCCGTCGCCCGCGCCGTCGTTCCTGCCGTCGCCGACACCGACGTCGCCGCCGACGCGCGAGGCCTCACTGGCGCCGACGATCGCGACGGTCGCCATCGACGTCTCGTGGTCGGCGCGGCGGAATCGTACCTCTACGCGGCTCTCGAACGCCACGGCGACCACCGCGGGCGCCAACGCGTCCGACTGCGACCCCCTCGAGTTCTCGGACGGCGTCGCGGTGGCCGAGGACTACCTCGCGGAGTTGCTAGGCGTCGAGCGCAGCCGCATCGGGCACATGGTCTGTGCGGACATGAATGTGACGGCCATGCCGACCGTCGCGCCGGCGGCGGCGCCGTCGTCCATGCCGACGACGGCGCCGCCGACGGTGGAGGCCACCGCGGAGCCGACGACGGCGCCGCCGACGACGGTCGAGCCGACGAGCGCGCCTTCATCAATACCGTCTTCATCGATGCCGTCCGAGGTCCCCACGGCCGCGCCGACACCCCAGCCCACCATCATACCTTCATCGATGCCCACGCCCCTGCCGACGCTCAGTAGGAGACGCCTGCTGGACGACCAGTGCTTTTCTACGAATACCACTACAATCATCACGTCGTACGTCGTGACCGTGGTCCTCCCGGCCGTCGAGCTGCCCGTCTACACGGGCGGCTCGGGAAGTGTGATAGAGGTCGCCGAGGTCTTCGAGACGGTAATGACGGCCACCTTCGTGAACGCGACCTTTAAGCCAGGTACCGAGGTCTGCTCGGTAACGGCCGTCGCCACGAAGACCGTCGCGCCCTCGCTCCAGCCCGTCCCTTTCCCGACCACGTCCAACCCCTCATTTATGCCGACGACGGCCACACCGACCACAGCACAACCTTCACCCTTCCCGTCGATCTCGCCTCTGCCAACGATCCAGCCCACTACATTAGATCCGCCGGACCCGCCGGTGAATATTACCCTGGACCCAGATACCTCTGAGACGGCCTGGACCGACGAGGGTTATGGGGGCGAGGCGGCGACCTACTTATTGTACGACGGCGATGTGTTGGCGGTCGCCGTGGACTCGGGCGACCGGCGGTTGAGGAGGAGACGGCTCGCGCGGTCGAGCAACCGCGAGCGCCACAACCGGAACCGGACGCACGGCGAGACGGACGGTTTTAACAAAGACGGATCAAAACGAGAGTGGGACGCGAAGAAGGGCTGGCGGCGGCGCACCGCGGAAACGCTCAGTTTCGCGCTCGAGGAGAACGTGGCCTGCTTTTCGACGGTGACGCTGACGGTCGTGGCCGAGAACAACGCGGGCGCCTCGGAGCCTTCTGATGAAGTCACACAGACGCTGAACGGGTGCTGGCGGGACCCGACGCACGTGCCGACGACGGCCGCGCCGACGACGGCCGCGCCGAGCGTCTCGCCTTATCCTAGTCCGCAACCTTCCATAAGTCCGGCGCCGACGGCGTCGCCCGCGCCAAGTCACCATCCTTCGCATGTACCTTCACCATCACCTTCGTTGAGTCCCCTACCGACAACGGCGCGGCCCTCGAAGATGCCGTCGCCCGTACCAACGCTCCCGCCGTCACCGGAAGCCGTCGCCGAGCCCATACAAGAAGACCAGCCGCTCCTGGCGGCCGTGCCGGGCGGCGAGTGCTCCGTCGCGAGCGTCGCGCCCGCGGCGTTCGGCGGCGCGGCCGTCGCGGTCGCCGCCGGCGTCAAGGCGAGCCACGCCGGGTTAGTTGGGTTCCCGCTCGCCGCCCAATTCGTATTGGCGGGGGGCATGGCGGACACGGGCGGCGACCTCTACTTCATATGTGATAGACGGCGCCGGGCGAACGAGGGCGAGGAGGTCCTTGAGGAGGAGCGGCGGCGCCTGACGAGTTCGTCACGGGCGGAGCGGGCCCTCCGCTTGTCCATCTATCTGTGGATCGCGCACGCTTTGGTGAATTTGCTGATCCTCATATACTTAGCCTACTGCCGCCCGGACGTCTGGGACGACCGGCCCTTCGCGGCCTATCCCTTCACGAAGATAATGATCTGGACCTGTGCGATCTTAGGAAAAATCGAGATCGGCGTCGTGCTGCCGTGGAAGGCGTCCGAGGGCCACCAGCGCTACGACGTCGTTTGTGATGATGGGACTGTGTGGAGGAAGGTCCGCCACGGCTTCCTGCGGTCCCACCGCATGGACGACGACGACGGCGACGACAAAGGCGCGCCGCCGTCGCCGGACCACCACTTCATCGGTGGTCTAGGACCCGAGGACTCCGACGACGACGAGACCTTTGATCTGGTCTACGACGACACCGACGGCCACCACTTCGTCGGGGGCTTCGCGGCGGGCGCGCCACCCGCGGCGGAGGAGTCACCGCATTTGTCGGCGAGAATGCTGGCGCGGACGCACGCCTGGGCCGAGCGGCATCGAGAAGCGAGGGAGGACATCCACGCTTTTTATGCGAAACATAACCCGGAGAAAGTGAAAGAAGCGCCCGCTCTGATCGACAAGTACAAGGCCAAGGGCGTCCACGAGCCCGAGCTCCTGGAGGCCATCGTGAAGAAGTACACGCGCGACATCCATGAAGATCACGAACTCCACCGCTGCGACATCGTGCAGAAGGTCCGCGCGGCGAGCACGCGCGACCTCAAAGTCGAATCGCCACCGGTAACGCCGGACCAGTCGCGGAGCCTGCTCCCCCGCTTCCGGGCGGCCGGGCACGCCGTCATCGCGGCGGAGAAACTGCGGAGGGACCCGCACATTCTGGTGCACGCGCACGACGCGCACGCGCTGATGAGCGCGCTCGAGGGGCGGGAGCACGCGTCGGAGCACCGCGTCGAAACGACGGCGAAGGAACTGTCGTTTCGCGTCACGCACCCCCACCACACGCTCGGCCACGACCTGCATCACGACCTGGAGCATCAGGCGTCGCACCTCGGCCACGTCGGCCACGGGCTCATGGACGGGCTGTCGCACATGGCTCATGGGTTGGAGCACCAGGCGTCGCGGCTAGGCAGAGGATTGGAACACCAGGCCTCGGCGATGGGTCGGAGGCTCGTGCACGCCGTCAAGGCGCACCATCGCTTGAAGGAGGGGCAGCGCGTGGCCTTCCACCACCCGGCGCGCGACGGTAGGGTCGTGCACGGGACGATCATGAAGCACCACGGGCGGCACGGCAAGCGCGTCGAGAAGATCGGATTTCCCGATTCTAGATTTTGCGTGTTGGCGGCGCTGTCGTCCGGTGGGTTTGCGGTGTTGCATTTCTTGGTCAAGTTCCGGGCGTATCAGGAGGACCCTTCAGACAATGCCGCGAGGCTCTGCGCGGCGATTAATGGTTTAGTGGTCCTGGCCACGATTGGCTTGGCCATCGACATGTGGCGCCGGGCGTATCGCAACAAGCACCCGAAGCCCCACAAGGCGGACAGGCCGACGAAGAAGCAGTGGAAGCCCCGCGCGTGCTGCGTGGACGACACGACGGACGATACGATCATCGACGTCCAGATCGACGACCGGGATGATTTAGATGGGCTCATGCGCGCGCTCGATGAGCCTGTGCCACCCAAGAAGAAGAAGATCAAGCCCCGTCCGCCGACCGAGCCGCCGCTGCCCGACCCCGAACCGTCGTCACCGTCGGTCGAGGACGCGCTCATGCGCGCGCTGGAGACGCCCGTTCCGGTCGATCAGCCCGCGCCGCCGCCGAAGAAGAAGAAGATCAAGCCGCGGCCGCCCCTCGAACCACCGCCGCCGCCCGAGGCCGAACCGATCGAGCCGCCGCCGCCGCCCGCCGAACCGTCGTCGCCGTCGGTGGACGACCTCCGCCGCCGCTTCGAAGCGCCGGCACCCGCGCACCCGCACATGGACGCGTTACAACGCAAGCTGGCCGACGTGCCGCCGCCGCCGCCGGGCTCCTTCGCCGCGTCGGCGACGACGGCCGCCGCCGTCGCCGCGACCGAGGCGGCGTCGAACCTGCGGCAGGCGGCCGAGGCCGCCCGGCGGTCGACGGAGGCGCTCCGCGCGGAGAACGAGGCGCGGCGCCGGCGCCACGCGCGCATGCGAGACCCCTCGCCGGCGACGCGGCAGCGGCGCGCGCGGTCCGAGGACCGGGCCACGGCACGGGTGGAGCGCGGCCGGTCGGCTGCGCGGGACTTTGGCGAGATCTCGAGTGCCCTGCAGGCGTTACCTCCAAGAGTGATGGCGCGGACGCGGACCTTGGCCGATCGCTACAGACGAGGAGATCCACCACCGGTGCACCCCGCCCTGAGCCCCGTCCGCGGCCTCTACGACGCCAACGAGGAGGCAAAGGCCGACGCCGTGACTCTCACCGTCGAGGACGACGACGACGAAGGCGTCGCCGAGGCGAAGGCCGAGGCGAAGGCCGAGGCCGTCACCTTGACGATCGAAGACGACGACGACGATGACGACGAAGGCGTCGCGGAGGCCAAGAACGACGATCCGCTGACCCGCGACGACGAGGCGGCGATCTACCGCGTGAAAGAGGAAGCGGCGCCCGAGGAACCGGCACCGTCGGTGGGCGACCTCGCCCGCCGCTTCGGCGACACCGTGCGGCCGCGTCGGTCGACTGCGGACGACATCGAAGCCATGGCCAGCGCTCTCGAGGGCACGCCGACTGGGGAGATTGTCGGGGATGTTGCGGCCGTCGACGAGCCTCCCGCGCCACCGACGCGGCCCCGTGGCCGTCGCTCCCGCAGCCGCTCCCGCAGCCGGGCACGCTCCCGCGCGCGCGGCGAGCAACGCCTCGAGCGCTCGGGCGGCGTCAGTTCGAGCGAAAGGGCCCATCTCGCGGGGCTCCTCGCCTCGGTGCCGTCCCCCGGGCCCGAGGACGCCGAGGTCGCGGCTCTCACGTCTTACGCGGAGGGCGCAGCCGGTCCGGTGGAGCCGTCCCGGACGCCCTCGCCGGACGAGGAAGCCGCTTTACGAGCGTACGCCACGCCGATGCCAGACCGCTCACCGTCGCCTGACCAAGTTTCCGCGCTCCAGAACTATGCGAACCCCACACCATCCACGCCTCCCCAAACGAGACGGCGCGCGCCGGCGCCGGACGCGGCTGTGCTCGAAGGGCTCGAGCGCTATGCTGGGCCCCAGTCGCCAGGTGGCTTGCGGGGCTATGTCCGCGACGTTTACCGCAATAGTTGGCGTTATCGCGCGCCGTCGCCGACACCTTTGCCGACCGACGAGACCGACGAGACCGGTGGCGCCGACGAAGATCCGCGCTAGAATTCAATGCCGGGCCGCGCAGAAGCGCCTGCCCCGCCTACCCTTTGCTGTGTGTCACCCCGTGTTGTGTGTTAAAGAGGGTATCTATTTCACTTACACAATAGTCGCCGAGCCGAAGAGCCGTGAGAACCGAAAGCACCGCACGGAATGCGCGGTCGACGACTCCACGCCGATCACCGCGTCACGCCTGAATAAGCCCAGAGACGTCCGGTTGACCACGTCGCGCACGGCCACCAGCGGCGCGGTCCAGCCCACGCGCCCGGCCTCGAGGGCGAACCTGCCCGGCGCGTCGAAGTAGACCGCCACCCCGAGATCCCCACCGCTCAGCTCCCGCGTCCAGACCTCGATGCTACCCGGGTACTTGGTCCGCCGCCCGCCTGGCTTGCCGAGCGGGTCCTGGTCGATCGCAATGATCTCCGGGTTCAGGAGGAGCTTTTTCATCGAGGCTGGCACTTTGCGTAGGTCCTGCGCGGCGGACGCGTCAATGGTCGCCGATGTGACCCACGCAAGTCGAAGGAAGGACGCAGGATGCTACGTTGCCCATGATGAGCGGAGCCGCCACGATCGACCAGATAACAAATTGCGTCGTCGCCTCGTCGTCGGTCACGCAGTCGTTGCCAGCGAGAAGCATGTCCTGTGCGGAATCAATCCGTGACGCGGAGGAACCTTGAATTGTAAATTTAAGCGCGGGGGCGTGCCGGGTCGTTCCAGCGTCCGGGGCCCGCGGCCTTCTCGAGGGCCGCCGTGTTATTGCCCCAGTGGTTCATGATCGTCCGGACAGAAGACCACTCGCACTGGACGTCGTGCCAGTTCCGCCAGAGGTGGCAACCAGCCTCGGACATCGCATCGTACGGTTTCACGGATTCGTCGTCCCCGATGTAGGCGGGCCAACTGCAGCTGTACACGATGTCGCGGCCCGACTGCTGCAGCGCCCGGCCCATCGCGGGGTAGCCCGTCGCGAAGCCCTTGGCGTCATTATTACACCCGTCGAGCTTGAGGTAGTCCACGCCCCAGGCCGCGAACGTTTTGGCGTCGAGGTCTTCGTATCCTTCTGAACCGTAGTAGCCCTGGCACGTTTTTGTGCCCTCGTCGCTGTAGATGCCGAACTTTGCGCCGCGCGCGTGGATGTAGTCAGCTAGACTTTTCGGCCCACTGGAGAAGCGAGTCGCGTTCATCATCAGTTGTTCACCAGGGCGGCGCAGCATGCCTGGCACGCCAGCCTCCCAGCAATCGTCGATGCTGATGGTGCGGTACCCAGCAGCGACGTAGCCGTCGTCGCGGAGCCTGTCGGCCATTTCTTTGTACAGGCGCTCGTTGATGCACGCGTCTGGTTTTGCGCAGTCCACTTCGCACCGGAAGGCTTGCCACGACATCCAGCCCATCGGTGGTGTTTGTGCTAGCTGTGGCTTTTGGGCTGCAGCGCTTGCCAACAAGAGCAGCATTGATGCTAAGGAGTGCGGCATTGCTGCCAGGCTCAAGCGTGTGGCCCACTGGGTCGATTTTTGCTCTCAGCTCCGGTGCGCAGAGCTAGCGGCATGTAAGACACTAGAAAGCTGGGCACACGATGGTCTCACGCCATTAAATGCTCTTGTGAGACGCCATCGATGCGGCAGCTATCGCTGTAGACACCAACCGATGGGCAGCATGCGGCGGGCAGCATGAAAGGGCTCTGGCTAGTTGGAATAGCGGCGGCCACGCGCATGGTGCCGCTGCCCCAGCTGCCGCCGCAGACCGAGGACCTCGAGCAATGGCTGCACAGCCACATCCACCACACACAAGCTAATGATGGCTGGGCCGCGTACCAGCGGCGAGTCCTCGACTGGTGCGCGCCCTTCTGGCGGCCGGAGATCGTTTCCGACTACGACGTCTTGTTGGATCGTGATTTGTGGGAGGCGTGGTCCCACCACCCACCGCGCTTCGGGAACTTCACGTTCGTATTACTGCCGTGGCACCACATCGTGGAATTGCACGGCTTCCGGCGGCACGCGCCGGGTCTGAATTATGCGCCTTTGCGAGACGCGGCGGCGCTCTTCTCCAAGCTCTCTCCACATTATCCGCACGTTGTTGTGTTGAGCCAGGCGGACCGGCGCCAGATCCTGGTCATGGAGCGCCGCGCGGGCGGCGCGACCGCGCGCGAGGCCCACACGCCGGGGTCGCTCAGCGTGGCGACGCCGCTCTCCGACGCGTTAAGTAAAGTGGCCGTGCGCTTCACGACGCGCCTCGAGAGCCTGGCCCGCCTCTCGGCGGGGAAACGGCCCGACCCGCACGACGTCCCGCTGCCTTTACTCTTCCGCGCGAGCCGCGAGGTCAACGCGTCGTCACAAGAGCGTATTCATCGAATCTTCTTCCGCGGCTCGTGCACGTCGAAGCTCCGCAACCGCCTGGCGCGCGACGTCGTGGCGACGGCGACGCTGGCGGTCGACGTCGGGCGCTGCGGCCAGGGCGGCAAGAGCAAGTATCCGGACTACGCGGAGAACTTGCGGAAGTCGCTCTTCGTGCTCGCGCCGCGCGGGTCCTACCCCGCCACCTTCATGCTCGGGGAGGCCGTGCAGGCCGGCGCGCTGGCCGTCTACGTGTACGAGGCGCACATGATACGGGGGAAGCGGCTGGGGGGCAAGCGCGTGAAGGGCGGCTTCCGGCGCGCGCCCGCGGCGGACGAGACGCACTTGACCCACGCGGCGATCGAGGCGCAGCTGCCCTACGCGAATTTGGGTTTGCGCTGGGGCGACGTCGGCGCCGTCGCCACGGACGACGAAATTGAAGCGCTGCCGGCGCGGCTCGCGGCGCTCGCCGCGGCCGACGTTCGGCGGCGGCTCCGGACGACGGCGTGGGTCCGGCCGCTCTTCACGGCCAACGGTGCGCGCCTCTACGTCGAGCTCGTCCTGTCGAGCCTCGCGACGGCGGGCGCGCGGAAACCGTTCTACGACGACTCTTAAGGCGAGCGTCGCGTCGATGGCGTGTGGCGCCCGGCCGCATGCCACCGACGCAGAGTAATTTAATGATTGTGTGTTTACGCGAGGAAGGGCCTGGTGTACGCGCTCACGTGGGCAGCGTCAGCTTGCCGCCGTAGTACTTCGAGACGACGTAGTAGTAGAAAAAGTCGACGTAGAGCGCCGTCTGCACCGCCCCCGAGACGTAGACCAGCCAGTTGTGGCGGTAGAACTGCTCGTAGTAGGACCGGTACACCCAGTTGAGGATGTATAAGCCGCGGTAGGCGCCCAGGAAGAAGACGTAGTGTCCTGTGAGATTTTCCACTTCTCGGTATCTCTGCAGCACAAACAACTGGGGCACGATGGCCAAGGCCTCCAGGAAAATGGAAAACGTCCACAAAATGTCGATCGGCGACAGCTCGCCCTTGACCAGGCAGGCAAATAATGCTAATCCCGCGCAGGGCGCCACCGCGAACTTGATGTGCAGGAAGGAGTCCTGGGACGCGTCGTACTTCGACTTGTACGGCTCCTGGAACCGGATCATCCAGATGATGTAGGTTGTGGACGCGATGTACGCGACCTTCATGAAGGAGTTGTACAAACTATAAAACGTCGTGAACAAATCGAGGTAGCGCGTCACGAAGACGATGAGGAAGAGTTCCTGCGTCTTTAGGGAGATGCCGACGGCGCTTTTGCTCGACCGGAGCCGCAACAGTAACACGAGGATGGAGACGACGTGGGACATGTCGCCGGCGAAGCGAAAGATGTTCATTTTCGCGGCGGGTTGCGCCTCCTGGCGGCTTGTCGTGCGCGCGCGGCGTGGAACTCTATTAGTGGCTGGGTTTAGCTGTTTTTCGTTCCCTGGACCCGCAGACGGCTGCTTTTCCGGGAACGCGGCGCTGGCGTCGACGCAGTAAAAATGAAGGACCTCGGCTGCTTCGCTTACCCTCGTTTCACGCAATCGGCCCGGCCGCCGCGTTTTTGCCTGCTTGCTAGTGTCTTACCAGCCGCTAGCGAGGTGCGGGTTTCGGTCGGCCAGGCCGGACTGATCCAGTCGTCGGCCGACGGGTCCGGAGTCCGGCCGGAGCGTCCGGACGCCGTCCAGCCTGGCGGCTCTAGAGCCTCCGATGGCTTGCAGCATTATTAGTGGCTGCCTAAAGTTTAAGGCAGCCCAAATATCTGCATGCAGGGCGAACTAGTAGTCGACGGGAACTCGCAGCCCACGGCCGGTGCTGCGCTGCCCTGCCAAGCGCCTTATTGACCGATGGCAGGCCGTCTCGCCTGCCCCATCTGCCGCACGCGGCCCCCGCGGCGCGCCTGTGGGAACAGAGTCTTCGCATCGGCCCATTGTCCCGTCTGCTTAGAGACGGCGGAACCCGTCGTGGCCCTGCCCTGCGGCCACGCCCTCTGCGAGGGATGCTTCGGGCGCATACCGGGCGGCGCCCAGCTCGTCGATGGACAAAGTGTCGGCGCTGCTCCTCGCCCTGCGGAAGACGCGAGGGCCTCGGAGGCGCAGGACCGCGACGCGACGCGGCAGCAGCACGCGGAGGCGGAGGACGCGGCGGCGCGGCGCGAGGCCGTCGAGCGGTCCCGGCGGGAGGAGACCGAGGAGCGCGAGCGCCAGCGCGAGGCGGCGGCATCAAGGGCTGAGGCGGTTCAGTGCGTCATCTGCCAGGAACCGATCCGGGGTGGCGACCAGCGGCTGCCCTGCGCGCACGTCTTCCACCGCGCGTGCCTGCAGCGGTGGCTCCCGGCGCACCGGTCCTGCCCTGTCTGTCGAACCCCCGTCTCGGCGGAATCCGCGCCGGCCCCGGAGCGGGGCCGCGCCGACGCCGCGCGAGCCGAGGCGGAGCGGGCCCGCGCGGAGCTCCGCGCCGCACGCGACGAGGCGGTGCGCCGCGAGGCCGCCCGCGCGAGGGAGCGCGACGAGGCGGCGCGCCGCGAGGCCGCCCGCGCGAGGGAGCGCGACGAGGCGGCGCGCCGCGAGGCCGCCCGCGCCGCGAGGGAGCGCGACGAGGCGGCGCGCCGCGAGGCCGCCCGCGCGAGGGAAGCGGCAGCGGAGCGGGCCCGGCGAGACGAGGCGGCGCGCCGCGAGCGCGCGCGAGCCGCATTCGCGGTTAACCAGCGCGTCGAGGTGCGGTGCCGCGGCGGCAACCAGTGGTTCACCGGCAAGATCACAGCCGTTCGCGGCGGCTACAATAACAAGCTGTACAACATCCTATACGACGACGGGGAGTCCGAGGCACGCGTCGCTGAATCGCTGATTCGCCGGTGGGTATCGACGCCGCACACTGGGGCGCCGACCTCGGCGAGGCCGATGGAGCGGGGCAGCGCCGACGCCGCGCAAGACGCATATCTCCGCGGAGTTGAATCCCTGAGGCTTGCAGCCCATCACGTGCAAGCGGCAGCGAGAGAGCGCCCCAACTCCGTCAGTCTGAGGGACGTGCACGACACTTTGAGTACCAACGCCATTTCTTCGTGGGGCGGTGAAATTGAAGGCGCGACCGGTCTCACGTGCCAGTGGCACGACCAAGGCTGGGGCAATCGGAAGGGCATGGTGTTCGCGCGTACCACTGGCGGCACGCCATACTATGGCACGTGGCAGCCCCTCTCTGGGAACGAAGCCCCGCATGCAATCACCCGCTTGGGGGTCCAACTGCCGTTTTCGCTCCGCGGGCGTCGCGTGCAATTCGGCTACCGCGTGGGCGGCAGCGGCGTCGGCGGCGGTCACGAGATACACATCGTGCAGGCGATTGTCAATGTCCAAGGCGGAACCGCGCCGGCCCCGGCGAGGCCGACGGGAAACGCGGCAGCGAGTGATCCAAACGCAGCTCTCTATGCGCGGCTGCAAGCGCAACACGAAGAGCATAACCGCGACGCCGCGCGAGACGAGGCGGCGCGCCGCGAGGCCGCCCGCGCGAGGGAAGCGGCAGCGGAGCGGGCCCGGCGAGACGAGGCGGCGCGCCTTGAGGCGGCGCGCCTTGAGCGCGCAAGGGCCGCCGCGCGCGTGGCGCCGACCACCGCGTGCCGGGTCTGCGGCGGGAATTTCCCCCACCCAGCCTGTTCAGGCTGCGGCACGCCGGGAGCGCGCGCGGCGGCGACCACCGCCCAGCCGGGCCATTCGAGTCCTCCAAGCCATAGCCCGCCGGGCGGCCTGATCTCGACGGACGAGATCGCGGGCTGCTGGGTGTGCATGTGCTTCCCGTTCGGCGCTACAGCCATCTTCAGCAAGGAAGCCACGGGGCCCAACTCGCTCAAGCACGCGGGCCTCATCCTCAGCCCAGTATTCTGGCCCTTTGAGGAACACCGCATCCGTCATCCCGGCACCAACGGCTTTTACAAGGTCGGGGAACCGCAGGACGTGGACCAGTACGATTCGAGCGACTGCGCCTGCAACGGGCTGGCTTGCAGCATGAAGGTCTGCTGAGGATGCTTGCCGACGCGCACGAGTTTGACATCCTCCGTACTTCCGAAGGCGCGACGGGAGAGACGACGGCCCGCGGGCGAGGAGCACGCGCCGCGCGAGGCCCCTGCCCCCAGACGCGCGCGACAAGCTGATAGAGAGGGCGGACGTTCCACATTGTTACCGAGGCCGTTCTGCTCAGAAGGAAGTGCATGCTGTTATGGCCTTTAGAGGCTTGGTGTATGTCCTCTTTCCTCTAGGATATTCCTTCCTTGATTATTTATTTATTTATTTATTTATTTATTATTCATATTTATTTATGCTGTCATGAACGGCGGCCCGCGCCCACCGCCCCGGCCGACCTGGCGCCGCAGCAGATTATGCTGCAGATAACACGCCCGACGCCATCGACGCGGCACTAGGTAAGTCCGGCGTAAGCTTAAGGTTACGAGACGCGATTCAGTGGGGTGGGACGTAGAACGATTCGTACAAAAGCTCGTAGTAAAAACGTCGAAAACCCGACCAGATCGGCATGCGCACTTTTTGCTGCAGCGCGGCGGGCATGCGAAGTTGCCAAGGGACTAGACTGCCATGAGCGCTGCCCCGCCCAAGCGATAGTGGGCCCCACATCGTCCTGCCATCCAGACTCGCGACGCGCGCAGATGGAACGACTTGTACGCCTCGCCTGCCCCATCTGCCGCACGCAGCCTCCACGGCGCGCCTGTGGGAACAGAGTCTTCGCATCGGCCCACTGTCCCGTCTGCTTAGAGACGGCGGAACCCGTCGTGGCCCTGCCCTGCGGCCACGCCCTCTGCGAGGGATGCTTCGGGCGCATACCGGGCGGCGCCCTGCTCGTCGATGGACAAAGTGTCGGCGCTGCTCCTCGCCCTGCGGAAGAGGCAAGGGCCTCGGAGGCGCAGGACCGCGACGCGACGCGGCAGCGGCACGCGGAGGCGGAGGACGCTGCGGCGCGGCGCGAGGCCGTCGAGCGGTCGCGGCGGGAGGCGGCCGAGGAGCGCGAGCGCCAGCGCGAGGCGGCGGCAGCAAGGGCTGAGGAAGTTCAGTGCGTCATCTGCCAGGAGACTATCCGGGGCGGCGACCAGCGGCTGCCCTGCGCGCACGTCTTCCACCGCGCGTGCCTCGCGCGGTGGCTCCCGGAGCACCGGTCCTGCCCTGTCTGTCGAACCCCCGTCTCGGCGGCGGAGCAATCCGCGGCGGCCCCGGCAAGGCCGTCCGCCGACGCCGCGCGAGACGCGGCGGCCGCGCGCGCGGAGGCCGTCGAGCGGTCGCGGCGCGAGGCGGAACGGGCCCGCGCGGAGCTCCGCGCCGCGCGCGACGAGGCGGCGCGCCGCGAGGCCGCCCGCGCGAGGGAGCGCGACGAGGCGGCGCGCCGCGAGGCCGCCCGCGCGAGGGAAGCGGCAGCGAGAGAGCGCCCCAACTCCGTCCGTCTGAGGGACGTGCACGACAGGTTGAGTACTGACGCCATCTCCTCGTGGGGCGGTGAAATTGAGGGCGCGACCGGTCTCACGTGCCAGTGGCACGATCAAGGCTGGGGCAATCGGAAGGGCATGGTGTTCGCGCGTACCACTGGCGCCACGCCATACTATGGCACGTGGCAGCCCCTCTCTGGGAACGAAGCCCCGCATGCAATCACCCGCTTGGGGGTCCAACTGCCGTTTTCGCTCCGCGGGCGTCGCGTGCAATTCGGCTACCGCGTGGGCGGCGGCGGCGGTCACGAGATACACATCGAGCAGGCGGTTGTCAATGTCCAAGGCGGAACCGCGCCGGCCCCGGCGAGGCCGACGGGAAACGCGGCAGCGAGAGAGCGCCCATCCTACAATGCCGCATTCGCGTTTAACCAGCGCGTCGAGGTGCGGTGCCGCGGCGGCAACCAGTGGTTCACCGGCAAGATCACAGCCACTCCGCCATTTGGGCGCAATCGCTTGTACGACATCCTATACGACGACGGGGAGTCCGAGGCACGCGTCGCTGAATCGCGGATTCGCCGGTGGGTATCGACGCCGCACACTGGGGCGCCGGCCTCGGCAAGGCCTTCCGCCGACGCCGCGCGAGACGAGGCGGCGCGCCGCGAGGCCGCCCGCGCGAGGGAAGCGGCAGCGGAGCGGGCCCGCGCCGCAACGTTGGAACACATGCGAGCGGCATTCCACGTTGGCCAGCGCGTCGAGGCGCGGACGTCGACTAGGAGCAACCAGTGGTTCCCCGCCAAGATCACAGCCGTTAACGGCGGCCGCTTGTACGACATCCTCTACGACGACGGGGGGATCTCCCGAGGCAAATCCGAATCGCTGATTCGCCGGTACACGGGGAGTGGACCCGCGGCGCCGCCGCCGCGCTCCGCGTGCCGGGTCTGCGGCGGGAATTTCCCCCACCCGGCCTGTTCAGGCTGCGGCACGCCGGGCGCGCGCGCGGCGGCGACCACCGCCCAGCCGGGCCATTCGAGTCCTCCAAGCCATGCTTTCCCCGACGCGCGGTCGTTCGCCGGATGCTTTTGTACCATCTTTCCGTGCATTCCATTTGCGCCTTTGGCATGCGAAAACATCATACCTCATGACAGCAATTCCTACCAATCCAAGGGCGTGGTTATCCTCATGTTCGGTTATATTCCTATTCCTTTTTGCTGGGACGATCACTTGGCGCGTAAGCACGGCAATACTTTTGAAGTCACGACTGGCTGCTGCCAAGGAACCACGGATACCTGGACGAGCGCAGACGGGTTTCACACTTCCAGCAGCTGCTGCCCTGCGTTTAGATGCGGGTAAACACACTACGCACACCAGCACTTCATTCCCGTTTGGATCTTCACGCTTCCTTCGAAGGACCACACCAACGGGTTCTGGTCGTGAAATCCGCACTTCGCGTATTTCGACGCCCACGTTTGCAGTCAAAACCGTTTCGCACCGCAAGACCCTTCCTTAAGTTTCTTCGCGTCTAATGTTTGCCGACGCGGCCCTGTTTATGGCTCCACGCCCTAGACAAGCTCCTAGACAACACGCCCCCGGGACGCCATCGACGCGGCACTAGCTAATTCCGGCGTAATCTTAAGGTTACGAGAGGCGAGTCAGTGGGGCGGGTCCCGCGTTTTTTGCGTCCGGGACGGGAAGGGTCGTGGTTCGTATGAACAGGTCAAGAATTGGGGCCGCCTGATGACATCAGGCGGCCGAGCGCACGGCGCACGGCGGCGACGGCGTCGCCGGCGCGATGCGCCGGCGCGTCTCGGACGTCTGGTACTCCGAGAAGCTGAGGGGCGAGCCGTCGTGGACGTGGCGGTCCAAGTCGGTCAGGTCGTTGAGCGAGTCGTGGCGGATCATCGACGCCAACCCGTCCGTCGACGCCGTGTTCGAGTCGCAGCGCGGCATGTCGACCGGTGTTGAAACAACATAACTTTGGGAAGGCGGCGGCGACGGCGCGCGCCGCGTCCACGACGCATCCCTAAGGGCGTCCTGGGCCGCCGCTAAATCTTTTTCAGCGCATATGAGAGCGTTCCGCGTCGCCCACCGCGATGCGTCCGTCGCGAAGCGCGCCAAGCGACCCGGCGTGGCGCCGTTCGCGTGCATGCGCAGCACCGCCCTGGCAGTTTGTTGGATCTTCGACGCCCGTGCTAGTCTCGTTTCGGGCTCGCAGACCAGCCCCAGCCCGCGACGACTTTCGCCGGGGATCACCGCCCGACCGCCCGTCTCCAGCACGGCCCGCTCCAACCGTACGCGCGACCGGGCCATCTGCGCGTACTCCTCGGGCTGCCAGTAGCAGTCGCGCCGCGCGCGCCAGCCGTAGTCCTCCAGATTCGGGATCGTCACGACCGCATCCAGCGTCTTGTCCCGGAACCGGACGCGCCGCGGGTCCTCGGCCCGCCTCAGAGATTTTTGGGTCTCCTCGAACGCTTCTATTTCAGACTCGGAGTCCAATGAAGAGCAGCTACTCTGGGGTCTGAGGCAAGATTTCGTCGGCGTCGTGAGCTTCAAAGGCGTGACGGCGTCGTCGTCCTCTTCTGACGAGGAGGAGGAACTTCGGGTCAAGTCGGATCCGACAGATCGCGTCGCGCCGTCGGCCGGCGTGTCCTCGTCTGACGAACTTCGGCGCTCGGGGGGCAGGGCGCGCGTCGGCGCTCCAGGAGAGCCGTGGCTCTTGCCTCTATCAGATCCTGGCGCGGTGCCGTCGTCGGGCGCGGCAACAAGAGCTCTATGGGGCGAGATGACGCTGCGCCGGCCCCAGGTCTCGGGCTCGCGGGGCCAGCCTCGACTGGCTTCCAGCGGCGACAGGAGCTCGCCGTCCAGGTCGTCCGTGGGGCCGTCCGTGGGGTCCGCGTCAATATCCGAGTCGGGGACCTCGATCCCGTCATGCGGCCGCGCGGGGCCCACGCCATCGCAGAAATTTGTTCCCAGGCAGCTCGACGACGCCAGACGCGCTGTGGGCGCGCCACCGAAGCACGCAAAGGGCCTCATCGCGCGGGCAGGGGCGTTTTCGTTTTGACGATAAAAGCCCTTATTTCCGGCTTCGTCCGTGCGTTTTTCGCAGTTCAAAGCGCAACGACAGCAAGAGCCGTGTGAGAGGGTGCTACCTTAGCATTTTTGACTGGCAAGACGTACGCCCTGGGAGTCTTTGGGCGTCCGCTGTTTGGGAAGGCCTAGGATCCGCTCGGGTTTTGCCGCTTTCTCATTGCTCAAAACGAGTCGTCGCAGCGTCGCGGACGCCCCCTACTTACCGTGGTAGCAGTAAGCGAACTCTTATTGAAGCTCATAAAACCCGTTTTAGAGTTTTTCGGCCAGGCAGTGTTTTTTTAGCCGCAAGACGGTCTTTTAGCATTTGCGGCCTAAAATGGTCGCATTTAAGGTAGCAGAGGCCGACAGCCATCGAGATCGAACAAATGCTTCACGCAGCAGTGCTTCCAACAGCGTGAAAGCTGTCCTCTGAGGCCTAGAGTGCTGCTTTCACAGCAGCAGCATTCCGTCGCAGTTGCACGCCGTCGCCGCTGCGCCATGCCACGACCAAGGCCGAGCGCACTACTCCTCGCAGCAGTAGCCACAGCCCAGCACACTCTGCGCCTCGACCCAGCACGCGTGCGCGTCCCGACGACACCACTCACGGCGGAGCTCGGAGCCGAACCGCGAGACTACGGCCCGCGCTGCCACGACGAGCCGAAGAAGCGACGCTTGAGAGCGCTGCGCTACTGCGCGCCGAGCTTCCTCATCATCGGTTTCGGAAGGTGCGGCACCACGTCACTGGCGAGATACCTGAGGAGCCACCCGCGCCTCACCTTCGGCACCAGAAAGGAGCACTTCTACTTCAGCCGGCCCGAGTTTTGTGATTTGCAGCACGGCCCGAACACATCCCCGAAATGCCACGTCAAGGCCTACGCGAAGCAATTCCCTATCTACAAAGATAAGCCGGAAAAGGACATCACCTTCGACGCGACGCCGCTACTGGGCGGCGACATGGGCGTGCCGGCATCAGATAGAACGATCGCGTGGCTGCGTTCGCGCCTACCCGAATTGAAGCTGGTCGTGTTGATTAAGTCGCCGGCGGATCGCTTCATGAGCAACCCCAACAGCGCAGCGAAGCTTGCGCGATTCCAGGCCTCGTTGCGGCGGGGCGACAATACGATGCCGAGTAAGCTTCAGGAGCTGCTGCAGGAGAACTGTTATATCGACAAGCTGGAGCGGTGGCTAGCGTTCTTTCCCGCGGATAGATTTATACTGATCAAGTCCGAGGATTTGCGGGACGAAGGGAAGCGACCGACAATCTTGAACGAAGTGACGGAATTTCTCGGCGCGGGGCCGCACGTGTACGGCGAGGCCCTGAACTTTTTAGGGAACTACCGGCGAGCGTCGAACGTGACCGTCAGTCCGCGCGTGCGCACGACGCTCAACTGCCTGCCGCGCTTGCGGACGTGCGAGGCGCGGCTCGACGCGCTTATACAAGGCGGGACACGGCTCAGGTGGTGCGACGAAGCGCGGAGAGTCGCGCACGGCATGCGCGAGACGCAGTTGCGCAGATCTAGGGTCCCGCACATGCAGCCCACGCTTCCGCCCGAGAAACGCGAGCGGGCCGGGAGTGGATGGTTCGGGCGGCGCAAGTTGTAGTTGTTTAATTTTTGCTGTTGTTAAGAACACAGACACGTCGTTTCTATTTACGCCCGCAGACACGTTGCGACCCAAACGCTAGCGGCCTGTAAAGGCACTAGCAAAACAAGTGCCGCTGGGCTGCCACAAAACAAGGCCAGCCTGGGCCCAGCCCTGGGCAGGGCAGCGCTCCCGGCCAAGCCTGGGCACCGCCGGAGCCAGGCGGACGCGAGGCACCATGAGGCTGCTGGCCTGGGCAGCGCTCGTCGGCGCCCAGTGGACCTACCCCGTCCCGCAAGCGCCGACGAGCCCCCCGGAGCTGTCCAACGCGACGACCACCGGCATGACCGTGACCTGGGAACCTACAATTGAAAGCGAGTCCTACGCCGTCGACGCCTACCGCGTCGAGGTGCTCTCGCTGCAGGAGCGGCACAAGGGCTGGCAGGTCCTGGACGACGCCGTCGAGGAGGCCCGCACGAGAAACGAGGTGCAGTTCATCAACGTGCGCGTGGACCGCGGTTCAAGGGTAAGTGGCGGCGGCTTCTGGCTCTACCTCGCGTACGACGGCATCCACCCCATCGACACGGACCACAAGCAGGCCGTCACGCCGGAAATCCCCTGGGACGCGTCTGCGGCGCAGATGAAAAGCGCATTAGAAGCATTAGACACGGTCAACGTCGTGCAAGTTAGACGCTGCGACGCCTCGTTTTTACCGAACAAGGACCTCACAGGGACGGGAGCCGAGGCCTGGGTCGGGCGCTGCCCCTTCGGCCATTTAGGTGGATACACCTGGGTCGTCGAGTTCGAGCGGCCGCGCGCGGAGATGGACGAGGCCTGGTCCGGAGCGTACCCCCGTGCTGTCGAACTCGCACGGGACGGCTGGAACGAGCGCCTCCAGAAGGACGTGAAAAGCGCGCAAGAAGCGGGCCGCATGCCCCTCATCAGTGTCTGGAAGGAGACGATCTCGCTGCGAGACGGGTACAAGTGGTCGGGGCCCGGCGCCGGTATCGAGGTCTGGCGCGCGTCGAACTACCAGCCGTGCGGGTCGGCCGAGTGGAACTACCACGAGCTGAACCTGGGCCACGACTTTGATAAGCCCATGCCACCCCCACCTTTATGTACGTATCGGGCCGAGAATTTGAAAAGACCGGGCGGGTTGTATGCTTTTCGCATCTCGGCCCACAACGCGGCGGGCTGGTCGCCGCCCTCGCAGCCGTCTTCATATAGACGCCTGGACGCCGTCGAGCCGCCTCCTAGACCAATCGCGCCGGTCTGGGCCGTGCCGAGCGACGCCCGGTTCAGGCAAGGATCGGCCACTCTATACGCGTCGCGGCCCGACCAGACGGAGTCCGAGTTCGCCGCGCCGGCGGCGGCTTTTGATGTGCAGTACAAGTATGAGGGAGACGACACCTGGTTGGATGGGGGAAGAGTGACCGCCGACGAGAGCGGCTGGGCGGCCCGGACCATTGATGATTTGGATGTGGAGCGAAAAGTTGTCGCACGTGTCCGCGCGAGAAATGCGGCCGGTTTGAGTGCCTGGTCGGGCGCCTCGCCGCCGGGCCACGTGACGCGCGACGCGCGGCCGCCGCCGCCCTCGAAGCCCGCTTTGGAACTCGATGGAGACGAGATGCAGGTCCGGTGGCTGCCGGCCGCGGCGGGCACGACGAACGCGCGGCGCTTCTCCCTAGAAACGCAGGCCTGGCGCGGCCACGGCTTCTCCACGCCGGACCAGTGGGAGCGTGCGGACAACTCGATTAGCATCGTGGAGACGCCGCAGAGCGACGAGGTCCAGACCGTGACGTGTCGGGTGGATGGCACGTTTCGGTTGCGACTACCGGTCAAAGGGTCCTACGACACGGGCACGATCACGACGGATTTGCACAGAGGGAGCCTGGCGGGCGACGTCGTGCGGGCGCTGGAAGGGCTCGATGCTGTGTCGCAAGGGAGCGTGTCCGTGCGGTTAATATCCCCGGGCAAGTGGCGCGTCCACTTCAAGGACCCCGATGCCATCGCTGGAGAAGACTTGAGGGCGTCGAACGTGTTCCCCCAATTATTGGGAGAGTCCGTGCGCACGTCTGAAAAATGGAATAGGCAAGAGCAGGGCCCCGAGGTTCTGATTGAGAGGACGTCGTTAGCTTCTTCCGAAATTTTGAAAGAGAGTCTGGAAGCAAGGGTGCGCAACCTCGAACCGCACACGCACTACCGAGTTCGCGTGAGGGCCTTCGTTGATGAGGAGGGAGGCGAGTGGTCCGAGCCGAGCGACTGGCTCCAGACTCCTGACGCGGCGCGCGTCTACGAATTGTCCGGAAGGAGTAAAGTACGGGCCGCGGACGGCACGTCGCACGCGCGGACGGCCGTCGATTACCGACCTGCCTTAGCTAATGACCCCGACTACGTGCAAGGCGCCGCTGTTGGAGGTATCGGCGTGTCAGGATGGAATTCGGCAGAAAATGATGGAGATGGTGGAGGTGGGTTAGTAGTGATAGCGGCCTACACGGGCCTCGCCGCGCATCCGATCCCGCACAGCCGCCAGGTCTTCTTCGCGTCGCGCGTGGCCCAGACGTACGCCGTGCCGTCCCGACATTCGGGGCGGCCCGGGGCGCGGCGCGTGATCGTCAAGGCCTGGGGTGGTGGGGGCGGCGGCGCGGGGGCCGGGCGCGGCGAGCAGAACAAAACGTCGCGGGCGACCGAGTCGCAGACCGACTACATCCAACGCGATAGGTTCTGGGGCCGCGGCGGCGGCGGCGGCTTCGCGCGGGCTTCTTTATCAGTGACGCCGGGCGACGCGCTGGAGATCCTGGTCGGGGGTGGAGGTGGTGGAGCGGTAAGAGGCAAACCCGGTGTTGGTGGGTGGCACGGCGGTGCGAGTGGCGGCGCGGGCGAGTGGGGCGGCGGCGGCGGCGGCGGCATGTCCCTGGTGAGGTTGAATGGCCAGACGATGTTGGTCGCAGGCGGCGGCGGCGGCGGCGGCGCGACGGACTACTGCTGCGCGCACGGCGGTGGGGGAGGTGGTATGGTGGGAGGCAACGGCTCGGCGCCAGGATTGGAGACGCCCGTGGACATCGCCCCCTACAACGCGAGGCGCCACGAGCACTCGGCGGTCGAGGGCGATCCGAGTGGCACGTCGGTCCACGATCGCGACGGGCGCGACCCGCGAGATTTAGAAGGTAAGCCGGCACGACACAGACATTTAGATTTTGGTATGGCCCCGGGCGCGGACTATTCGTCCTTAGCGACGGGCGGTACCGGCGGTGCTATGGAAGGTGGCCGACCTGGGAAAAATGGCGCCTACGAAGTCTCGTCGGCGGGCGTATTAACGGACGCAGGAACGGGCGAGGTTATGATTCAGACGCTCGACAAGCCCGCGGACCAGGACGCATCTGTTGGGTTACGATATAAGGGCGGCAAGGGCGCCGCGGGCAAGGAGGGCGGCGGCGGTGGCGGAGGCGGCTTCTACGGGGGCGGCGGCGGCGGCGCGGGCGTCGACGCGGGGGGCGGCGGGGGCGGCTCGGCTTTCGTGAACGAGTCCCACGTGTCGCTTCATCAAGATTACGTGTGGGGTGCGCAACGGCCGCCGCAACCGTTTGTGGTGGACGCGAATCATACCGCAGTCAGCTTACAATGGCCCATGAATGATTTTGCGAGAACCTTCCTCGCGGAAAGATACCACGTGGAGATGGCGCTGGGCATCTCGCTCGAGTTCCAGCTCGTCGGGGTCTACAAAATTGAACAGGGCGGTGCTTCCGTAGGCGGCCTGGACCCGGATACCACTTATCGCTTTCGTTTGAGAGGCGCGAACCACACGGACACGTCCCACGCGGGTCAGTTCGTCGAGGTCATTACGAGAAAGGAACCGGCCGACGCGTGGGCGCGCGTCCACCCCGTGCCGCGGCGCTACGCGGACGGGGGCTATGGACGAGCATCACCCGTTGCGAAGACTCCTCATTTCTCGAAAGGCGACCAGACAGGACTGTTAAATGACCTCACGGACGATGCGACGCGCGAGAGCGACGCGCCGTCCCAATCAAGGCCTACAATACCTTCCGGCCGCGGCGGCCACACGTTAACAACATTAGGAGGTCGAAAGGAGTACGAGGCCGGCAACATTTCTTTAGATGAATTAGGTGCCGCGTTCCTGTTCGGCGGCGCGGGCGACGGCTACGAGTGCGACGGCGCCGTCGGTGCGTCGTTCCGGTTGGGCGAACGGTTCGGCTACGAGAGCGCGGACGACAATTGTGCGAGGAGGCAGGGCGAGACGAACGAATTGTGGCGCTTAGATACGGGTATGTTGGAGTGGGAGCTCATCCTCCCGGCCCGGAACCAGACGTGGCCAGCACCTCGGGAACGACACGTCGCTACTGTACTAGGTGGCAAGATCGCCGTGTTCGGTGGTATGCGCGACGAATTCACGGATCAGGCGCATGCCTATGATGACTTATGGTTATTAGATACGGGAAAACCGCAGATACAGACGTGGGCCGGCACGCCTTCTTACTCGACCGTGGACGAGCCCATCGATCTACCGGACGCTGATGTTTTGCATTTCGACGTGAACGTCACGGCTGATGAGGAGTGGTGCGTTAGGGATGTGGACGTGCGCATACGGTTGGAGCACCCCTGCGTCGAGAGCTTGTCCATTGAATTACTAGGACCGGGCCCCACGTCCGGGTCGTCCAATTACTACAAACCTGTGGCCAACTCCTGGCCCGTCGTGTTACTCGCGCCGGACCACGAGGCGCCGTGTAGGAAATTACAATTGCCAGAAAAAGGTCGAGTGCAGGACTTCAGCAACCGAAGTGTAGATGGCGACGTTTTTAATACATGGGGCTGGGCGGCGCACGGGTCGGCCTTGGGCGAGTACCCCTTCGACCCGGAGACTGGAGGGAGGACCAAGCATGCCTGGGACGAGCCCCAGTGGCTGGAGTTCGATGATGACGCGAAGGTTGCCATTGATGATCTAGATCATGCCAAGTTCAGCACCGGTGGGACGTATCGACCCGTCGATTCCTTATCAGAATTCGAGGGTGCGGTTGCAAACGGCAAGTGGACGTTGCGAATTACGGACCACGGCGGGCCGCACAAAGCGACCTGGAACATCTCCGAGTGGGAATTAACCACGAGACTCGAGCTTTGTCAGAGAACTTATCGATGGGAGCACGTCAACAATAGTCTTGGTCAGAGACCACCGGCCCGAGCCGGTAGTCTAGGCGTGTCCACGGGTGACCAGCTCTTTATACTGGGAGGGCGGAACGCGACGGACCCGAACCCGACGCGGACACTATTTAGATACGATCTGATCACGAATACCTGGGCTGAGCTCACGCCAGAACCCGACCACCCGCGCGCGTACTCGCCTTTAGGAAAAGCTGCCGTATTAACACCGTGGGGCGTCTACGCCTTCGGCGGCCTCGGCTTCGGCTTCACGGAGACGGGTGGCACACAATCGTACTTTGACGGGCGGGTACATTGGCTAGACATCGTGAACCGACGATGGTTTAGAGATGTGGACGTAAAACCGCGGCCGCACCCCGGCATCGTCCACCCGCCGCGGTCGCGCAACGGCATCGCGGCGGAGGGCATCGTCGAGCACCAGGCGATTATCGAGAGGGCGACGGCGCCCGCGGCGCCGCGGGCGCGCTACCGAGCTGCTCTAGCCTACGTCGACGAAGGCTTGGCGGACCACCTCGCGGCGTCGGAGGCGTCGCGGAGCGGCGCGGCGGCGCCGGGGTCCGTGGCGCCGCCCTCGTTGGTGATGTTCGGTGGTGATGATGACGTGATCGACCTTGACGACACGTGGCTCCTCAAGCTCGCGAACGCGTCGTTACGTGATCCGGCGGACCCGCGCTTCGAGCTCCACTTATCTCCCTCGAACCACTTCGCGTTCTGCGGGTGGCAGGTCCAGGGCACGGCCCAAAAACACTGGGACGAGCGGTGCGGCGCGGAGACGGACACGGGCAAGGTCTGCACGTTGCGGGAACTGATCCAGCGGGCCTACTGCGTCGGGCAGTACCAGAGTTTGGGTAACTATCCGCGGTAGTACTTTTTCTGTGCCCAGGAGGTCCCCAGGAGGTATCACCGCGCGTCACCGATCGTCCCGCAACCCGGAGGGAGAGAGCTAGCTATACGCTGTGGCGCATGGGAAGGCTGAGTGCACCTAAACAAGTGGACTACGCATCACAGACGTACAAGCTCGTAAGACTTGGGGCTGTACAGGTAAGTCCTAGTTAGAGGGCAGCCCCATCGAAGCGCCGCTGTCCAGCGCGCGCCGAGGCACGCCCGTCGAGTCCCGTCGAGGCCACCACCGCTGCCCCAGCATCACCTGTGGAGCCGCAACGCCATCGAGGCAGCCCAGACGCCGCTGTAGCCTACGCCCACGAAGAGGACCAAATTCACACCTATAGCAAGCTCGAACGATGGGCGACGACGCCCAGAAGAATGTGGAATTCACGAACATGTGGGGCGCGCGCCTGCGGCTGCCCTGCGACATGCCCGACGACATCCTGAAGGATGCGATCCAGACGTTCCACGAGGAGCTCGGCGCGCTCCAGGCCGAGGGCAAGTCCTACGACGACGAGGACGCGGGCAACGCGTCCGTGGGCCGCATAAAGAAGAAGTTCGACGAGAAGTGGAGCCCCTACTGGCACGTCGTCGTGGGCCGGAGTTATGGGGCCTTCGCGACGCACGAGACCCGGCACTTCTGCTCCTTCAAGGTCGACAACTTCGCCGTGATGATGTACAAGACGGCATAGGCGCTAAGGGTCTTTGGTTAGTAGGTTTCGTTTGCGCGGCGGCCGGAGGTGCTAGCGACCGGTAAGACACTAGCAAGCAAAGCAAGCTTAAGCAGGCCGGCCAAAAACGCGGTGAGCGGTACCCTCCGCGGCGCAAAGTGGGCGTAGCGTGCTCAGTCGTGGCCGCTGAGTCGTGCCCCGGCAGCGCTTCGAGAACTGTGACGTGTGGACCACCGGCAGCACCCCTCTCCTAGATGGCAGACTTTGCCGACGCCAAGCCGCCACCCGAGAAGAAGCAGAAGACCGGCGAGACACCTCCGGAACAGAAGCAGGAAATCAAGATCGGCATCCGGCCCGCGCCGCCGCCCTTCCTCGACGGCTCGAGCGAGCCGCGCGTCACGGGCTTCGAGCCGGAGCACTTAAGTAAGGCGCAGGACGCGCACCTCGAGGCGATCATCAGCGCCATCCGCAACGGCACGCAGCCGCCGCCGCCGAACCCCGCGGCCTTCGGCTGGGACGCGCTGTCGCCGCAGCAGCAGGCGCACTTCGCCGAAAGCCGGGACGAGATCGAACTCAACGACGTCTTCACGCCGGGGCCGGAGCCCCACGAGGCGCTATGAGGCTCGTGCTGCTGGTCACGATACCGCTCCTGCTGCACAGCGTCGTCGCCGCGCCCTCGCCGAGGCCTCGCGAGTCGTTTCCGTTGCGGCCGGCGCTCGGAGATCTTGTAAATCTTGAAAGGTACCCGATCGGCGACCTTAGATCGGCGGAAGGCCGCGCGCTCGTTGAGAAGGCGCGGAGTGATTTGGCGGCGACGGGCTGCGCAAGTTTTCCGTGCTTCTTGATGGAAGCTGCCCTCTCCGACGCCGTGGCCGAGGCGACGGCCGCGGCGCCTTCTGCCTTTGCCACGGACGACACGCACAACGCCTACCAGCTTTCTACCGATGCGAAGCTGGGGCCCGAGCATGTGCGGAACAAGCAGATGCGGACGAGGGTCGCATCGACGGCGTGCGACGAGCTCGATTCCAGTAGGGCCATCCGGGCTCTATATGCGAGCGATGAACTGCTGGGGCTCGTCAAGGCCATCACCGGCAAAAATGCCCATCGGCTGGCGGACCCGCTGGGCGCCGCGTCGATCAACGTGTTTCGCTCGGGCTGGGCCCACGCCTGGCACTACGACGAATCGGAATTTACCGTCACGTTGTCGCTGGTTCAAGCGGCGGAAGGTGGGGCTTTTGAGTTCACGGAGCCGCTCCGGCGGTCGGTCGACGACTTAGCTTTCGAGACGACCGCAGCTGTGATTAACGACCACTCGGAGTACGCCGTCGAGCCCGCCGGCGCCGCATGCCCCTCCGTCCGGACAGCGCCGTTCGCGCCGGGGACCCTCCAGATCTTTGCAGGGCGCACGTCGCTTCACCGCGTCTCGGAGGTGAAGGGCGAGCGCCTCGTCGCGGTGTACTGCTTCTCCGACATCGAAGGGTTCGTGAACAGCCCCGAGGTGCAGCGGATGTTCTGGGGGCGGGCCGTGAGGCCTGATCGATGACGCGGTTCCATAGCTCGCCCCCTACATAGTAACTTGTTATTGAAACGTAAGCTTCCAAAAGAATGCGAGCAGTACGCACTGCGCGACGCCACGGCCAATGTGCCCGTTCGGGTACGGAATGGGCGGCACGTCGGGGCCCATTTGCCTGTGCGCAAATCGACCAGTCAATCGGGTGCAGGCGTCGCGTCGATGGCGTGGAGGGCACGATTCAGAGAGCGCCGCGAGATTTGTGCACTGTGCCGCGCGCATCGTGCGTCGCCATATAGATATTTGCAGGCCTGCGTGGGCACTCGCTTGACGCTATCGACGCGGCCCCGTGTGACATGACGCCGCGAGTATACGTCACGGCAGCAACGAGCAAAAAGAGCCCGAACGCGGGAAGCTGAACGGGAAGCGGGAGGAGCCCGAGGCCGGCGCCCGCGAGGCCGACGCCTCCCAGAAATTCGGCGACGCCCGTCCAGTAGCAGTGGTACTCCGCGTAACTGAGGTTCAATTCCTCGGCGCCCGGCGCCGGCACCTGCCAGAGGCCTCCCCACGTGCCTTTCGGCGGCACGATAGCTATAAACGCATCGGCAAGCGTAAAGTGCGCCACGCCCGCCGCCGCGAAGATGCCTCCGAGCGGCAGGGGCCACGTGTAGTCGCGCCACGCCCCGAACCAGCCGTCCGGCAGCACGCTCTCCAGCCCGCTGAGACCGGCCACGCAGGCGGCGGTGCCGACCGCAATTCCTCCGCAAATGGCTGCGAAGCCGAGTTGTTGGGTCTGGTCATCCCTTGCGCTCAACAGTATGTCCGGCGACGGCCTTTCGACGACTGGCGGGCCTCCTGACCGGAGTGGTGCCAGCTTTGTAGTTGTGGGTGGAGTTACGAAGCCGCAGGCGCTTCGAGCAGCATAGCACAGCACGAGTAATCGCAGCATTGCTGGAATTGAGTCGTGTTCTTGCTTGTGAGCAGCTATGTGAGCAATGCGGCGCCGTGGGCGTGGACTGCATCTCTGGCATTCCTAGTGCCTTACTTGCCGCTAGCTACATCATAGCTCTGCGGCTCCAATCGTGCCTGCAGAGCGAGCAGGGACCAATTCGGACATGTTGAGGCGATTGGCAACGACGCCGCTGCGGCGTGCCATCGTTGCTCCGCGATTGGGTTCCAGGCCCCTCAGCAGTGCGGTTTCAGCGGCGACGCAGCGCTTCCTCGACGACGCTGGGTGCGCGGTACCGGTCATAAAGGGCCCCATGTATCCAGGGAGCAACCCGGAATTGGTCGCGGCAGTGAGCGCTGCCGGCGGCTTGGGCGTCGTGCAGCCAATCTCGCTCACGCACCTCTACGGTCATGATTTTCGTGAAGGGTTACAACTGATCAAGCGCCTCACGGACAAGCCGTTTGGCGTGAACTTCACTATCCTCGAAAATAAGAAGTACAAAAAACAAATGGACGAGTGGATGCACGTCGCCGCCGACGAAGGAGTAAAGTTTTTCCTGACCTCGCTGGGCAAGCCGGACCGCATCGTCGCGTTCGCGAAACCAAGGGGCATCAAGATTTACCACGACGTTCACACACCTAGAGTCGCGGAGAAGGTCGCTGCAAGTGGCGTGGACGGTCTGATATGCTTAAATGATGCGATGGGTGGGCAGACAGGTAATAGATCAGCGGAGATGTTCGCCGAACAGTTGCGAGGCATCGGTCTGCCCCTGATCCAGGCGGGCGCCGTGGCCGACGGAGCTGACCTGCGACGAGCGCTCGACCTGGGCTACGCGGGGGCGAGCGTCGGCACGCGCTTCCTGGCGACGCACGAAGCGCAAGTAACCCAATCCTACAAGGACGCCATCGTCGCTGCGACGGGTGACGACATCGTCTGGACGAACAAGCTGGCGGGGACGAACTCTTCGGTCATAAAGACGGACCAGCTCGCGGCCGGCGGGCTGCGCGTGAACGCGTTGGTCGCCTGGCTCCTCCGCAATAGGTACACGAAGACGCTCACGCGGACGTTGATGTCGCCCCGGCGTGTGAATCCACGCCATCGACGCGACGATGGCGTGGCAAGACCGCTCATTTCACGCAGGCTCAAGCAGGCCATGGAAACCTACAAGAAGGCTGCGTTCGACGACCAGGTAGAAATCTGGCAGGCCGGCCGGGGCGTCGATCGCATCGAATCGATCGAGTCCTGCGCCGACGTGTTGGAGGGGTTCCGAAAGGGACTCATGTAATAATAGTTGTTGTGTTCCTTAGCGTCTAAAAACCTTCTTCAGGAAACTGCGCGTGCGCCACCAGCCCGTGTGGAAGGACGCGATCTGCCCGAACGTTGCTGCGTCGAGCGAGGCGCCGCCCACCAAAACGCCGTCGATGTCGCTCTGGCGCATGAGGCCGTCGATGACGCTCGGGTTCACCGAGCCCCCATACAAAATGCGGCACGAGTCGGCCACAGAAGAATCGTAGGTCGCCCGGAGTCGCTGCCGGATCGACGAGTGGACGCGCTGCGCGACGTCTGCCGGGCACACCAGCCCCGTGCCGATGGCCCAGACCGGCTCGTACGCGACCACAATGTTCGCCATCTCGGCCGCCGTGACGCCCTCGAGCGCCTTGGCGAGCTGTAAGGCGCACACATCATCAGTGACGCCGAGCTCGTACTCCTGCTGGGTTTCCCCAATACAGAGCATCGCCGCGAAGCCCGCATCCAACGCGCCGCGGACCTTGGCGCGGATCGCATCATCATCATCCGAGAAGAGCGATCGCCGCTCGCTGTGGCCGCATAAGACATAATCGACGCGCGGCATGCTCTTCAGCATCGGTAATGATACCGCGCCGGTGTACGCGCCGCTTTCCGCTAGCACGCAGACGTCCTGCGCGCCCAAGGCGACGTTTTTGTTGGCTTTCGTCGCGACGGCGTCAAGGTAGCACGTCGGCGGAAAAACGACGACCTCTCGGCCGTCGACCGCTTCCAGTGCTTCGGCTAAGGCGACGGCCTCGGCCGAGGTGCTGGGATTCATCTTCCAATTGCCTGCCACAACCGGTGCTCGCGGCGAGCTGTACCCGGCAGCAGTGGACAACATTAGTGCTGCGATTAATGCAGCCATGGTGACCACTCTGCCTAGCAATGTATATGCTGCCTTGGCGTTCCAAGATTGATGTCGATGTTGCAATTTGTTTGACCTTTGAGACGCGCTTTCGCAACCACACTGGCAATGAGCGATGCGACAGCACGAGCTTTTTGCAAGGGATTTGGAGCTGCTGCCGCCCATGTCACCCCTCTCCGAAGCGAGAGCGAGCCCTTATTGTCGGCGGGACCTGGGACCTATCCGCATCCGAGGACAAGAGCTACTTCATAAGAATCAGACACATTAAGCCGAAACGCCCGGTCGCGAGCGGCCCGCGCGGCGTCTAGTCCGCCGCGTTCTTCTGGGAGCCGATGTTCTTGACGATGTTCTTGCATAAAGTTTTGTGCGACTTCCAGTGGCTCTTCTGGCACTCGCGCGAGCAGTACCACGCGCGCCCGCAACTCGCGCAGGCCGAAAGCTTCTTGCCGAGGGCGGCCTCGGTCTTCTCGCACATGTTACAGGACCGCCACGCCTCCGTGCCCTTGCGCCGCGACCGGATGATCTCCTTCGCCGTCTGCGCGCGCCCGGCGGGGCGGTAGCCGTCGCGGTCGTTGCCGATCGGCAGGGGCCCCATCTCGGCGACCTTCCGGGCCGCGGCCTCGAACGACTCCTCGACGCCCATGTCGACGAGGCCCTGGGCCAAGACCTCTTGTTGCGAGCCCTGCGCGACGAGCTCGAGGAGCGGGTAACGTGAATGGCCGTGCATCTTCGTCGCGAGGCACGTGAAATTCTTGCGGACGCGCGCGGCGTCGGCGGGCTCCTGGATCGCGTAGCTCTCCGAGCCGTCCTCGCTGCCCGCGCGCTGGCCCGCGAAGACGGGGTGGCCCTCGCGGCGGCGGCGCCGGAGCATGTTCATGCACCGCGCGACGGACCGCGCCTTCGAGACGTGGACGCCGCGGCAGAGGAACTCCGCACCGCCGTCCATCGCGTTGCCGACCGTATACAAGAACATGGTCTTGCTAGCCGCGTTCTCCATGACGCCGACGATGTGCTGGCCCGACCGCGCGATGTTCCGCTCGCAGAGCTTGACGTGGCGCTGGCTCGCGGCGTCGCCCGGCGTCCGCGCGACGCCGCTGAACTCCTTGCTCATGGCCTCCATCGCAATCGCGTCGGTGCGGTTGTTGCGACATTCAATCGACATGAAGTCCCAGAAGCGGTCCTGCTGTGTGCTGTAGATCATCTTTTCTCTGGGTCTCCTGCTAAAGTGGTTTCACCGGTGCGGCAGAGTGCCGCAATGTCGCTGCGGCGCGCAAGATGGATGACAACTCGAGAGCGCTGCGCGAACGGCTCTTATCCAGCGCGGATGTCCTGGTATGCGGCGCCAAGCTACAAGGCCCCGTCGAAGTCGAGCTAGCGTCCTGTAAGACACTAGGAAACGAAGCGGGGAACCCTGCGACGTAACTAGCCTCAGCCTCAGCCTCGAAGCAGCAATTGCGACCTAGTGGGCCGGGGGGGAGCGGGAGGGGTACGGGGGACCCTACGACGTAACTAGCCTGAGCCTGAGCCTGAGCGAAGACTATGCCTCCCTTATGAGATTCCTAGCGACGCCCGACTCCTTTTCTCCGTCGTCGTAATCGATGTCGTACGTGTCGCCGGAGCGCGCAGCGATCTTGCCCGGATAGTACTTCTTCTTGCCGCGATACTTCGCCTCAATCTTTTGACCAACCTCCAGTTCTGAGTCGCCGGGCGCCCGCGCAATGTTCTCCTGTTTTACGCCCTTCTCGACCTCACCATCATCATAAGTGACGTCGTACGTCTCAGTATCAGCATCGTATCGGTCGACGACGCCCGCATACCAGTTCTTTTTCCCCTTGTAAAGAGCCTCGATCTTGTCGCCCTTGCCGAACACCTTCGCAGCACGAGCGGCCGGCGCCGGCGCCGGCGCGGCCTCGTCCGACGCGACCACTTCGGCGGCCTTGACGAAGTCGGCCGCGACTCCAGACTCCTTGTCCCCGTCGTCGTACATGATTTCGTAGGTGCCATTGTCGTTGCGCTTCATCACCGTACCCTTATACCATTTCTTTTTTCCCTTGTAGCGAGCTTCGACCTGCATACCGGCCTCGAAGCCATCACTCGTGGCCTCTTCGGCCGCCGAGGCCGACGCGGGCGCAGGCGCAGCCTCCTCCAGTACTCGAATGAGCTCTTCCGCCACCCCAGACTCCTTTTCGCCGTCGTCGTAGTCAATAGAGTATTCGCCGCCGCTGTAGCTAGCGACGCGTCCTGGGTAGTAGCGTTTCTTGCCCTTATATCGACATTCGACCTTCGAACCCACCGCGTACTTGCCTTCCTCGGCCGCTGCGGCCGGCGCGGGCGCGGGCGCGGCCTCCTCGACGGCGCGGATGAGCTCCTCGGCCACGCCGTCCTCAACATCGCCGTCCTCGTAAGTCACCGAGTAAACGTCACCGTCGGCCTTCGTGACCTCGCCGGCGTACCACTTCTTCTTGCCGCGGTAGCGTGCTTCGACCTTGGCGCCGACGGCGTACTTGCCGCTCGCCGCGGCCGGGGCGGGTGCTGGCGCCTCCTCGACGGCTCTGATGAGCTCCTCGCTTACACCAGATTCCTTCTCCCCGTCGTCATAATCAATAGCATAGACACCATCTTCATAGTCAGCGATGGTCCCGGGATAGTAGCGCTTCTTGCCCTTGTAGCGGCACTCGACCTTCGCGCCGACGGCGAACGCGCCCGCGGCCGGCGCCGGCGCCGGCGCCGTCACCAGGGCCCGGATGAGCTCCTCGTCGACGCCCTTTTCCACGTCCCCATCATCGTATTCGACCTCGTAGCGGGCGCCGTCGAGCACCTTGAGAATTTTCCCGGCGTACCACTTCTTCTTCCCGCCGAAGCGCGCCTCGACGGCGTCGCCGGCGGCGAACTTCGACGTCTCGCGCTCCGACGACGCGTCGCGCTTGGCGGGCGAGTCCTCCTTCTCCAGGGCGCGGATCATCTCCTCGTCGACACCCCTCTCGACATCCCCGTCCGAATACTCAATCTCGTACTTCTGGTCGCCGAGCACCTTCAAAATCTTCCCGGGGTAGAACTTCTTTTTGCCCCGATATCGGGCCTCGACCGCGGCGCCGACGGCGAACTTCGCCTCCGGCTCGCGCTCGGGCGACGCGTCGCGCCCCTTGGGCGACTCGGCCGGCGCCGGCGAGGCGTCGCGCTTCTTCGCCGAGGCGTCGCTCTTCGCCGGCGAGGCGCTCCTGGCGGGCGACGCGTCGCGCTCGACGCGCTGGGGCCCCGTCTTCGACGGGTCCTCCTTCGCGGGCGACGGGCTCCGCAACCGCCGAGGCGACGGCGACCGCCGCCGCGACGGCCCCGTCGTCGCCAGGGTCTCGGGCACGGCGTCGAGCTGCCGCGACTGCGTTTTCGACAGCTCCCGCAACTCCGCCCGCGACGCGTCCGCGTCCTTGCGCAACTCGTCGGCCTCGCGCCGCGCGATATCGCGCTCCTCGAGGGCGTCCGCGAGCTTCCTCTCCAATTTCACACTTCTCCTCTTCAGGGCGTCGACGGCCTGGCCCTCGTGGCGCTTGTAGCCGTCGAGCTCGCATTTGGCGGCGGCGAGCCTCCTTTCCAGCTGCTCGCAGGTCCGCGACACGTTCTCCACGTCTTCCGTGGCCCGTCGTAGCTTCCCTCTCAAAATAGGTAGTTCCGCGGCCTCCCGTCGCAGGGGTCTCAGCCCTTTCAGCTCCGTGAGCGCATCAAACAGCCGCCGCTCGAGCGCGGCCACAGCCCGCTTCGCGTCGCCGTCGAACTCCGACGTGTCGTAGCGCTGCTTCGAGGGCAGCAAATGCTCCTGGACCTTGTCCGAGGACGCGCGGGCCGCGCCCTCGTAGGTCTCGCGCTCCCAGATGAGGCGCGCTTCGGACCGCGAGATCGTCTCGCCCCTTCTAAATTTCTGGACGGCCCAGGGCGCTCGCGGGAGGAGCGACTGGAAGAGGCGGTCCGAGCCCACTAAGGCGCGGGCCGTGTCCGCGTCGATCCTTTCTGGTAAAGCGGCGGCATTGCCCATTGCTGAGGCAGCCCCTGCTGCGCGGTATTCTGGCGCGTTGCTGTGCCTCGGCACGTGGTGCGAGGCTGGTCTTGGCTTTGGCAGGCAATGGCAGCCTTCGCAGCCCATCAAACGGCTTCTAGTAGGAAAAACGCTTGCTAGTGTCTTTACAGGCCGCTAGCCGGCGGGCCTCGCGGTCTGCCTGTTGGGCGCTCAAAACTGTACGCAGAAGCCTTATTACACAGAAACGGCTGTCGTCAGCTGCTGCAGCGCTCTCGTGCTTCCCACGTATCCGCCGGCGCTGTGCGAAACTGCCTTGTGCAGTGCCAGCCCCAGACGCCCCTGCCGCGCGCGTGTGCACTGCCATTGGCGCGGATCGCCGCGCAAGCAGCGTAGGCCCAAAAGCTACCAGCGGCGCATCGCCAACCCCAGGCAAAGCAAGCAACCATGCCCTCCCGCTCGAGCTCGAGCAGCGTCTCGTCCATGTCCGACGACGAGGCCCGCAGACGCAAGAAGAAGGCGCTCAAGAAGGCCATGAAGAAGGAGAAGAAGCGCAAGGCCGCCGCGTGGAAATCGACCAGTGACTTGCGAAGAGACGCCTGAACTTTGATTTCCACGCAGGCCAGAAAAAAGAGAAGAAGAAGAAAAAGAAGCGCCGCCACTCGTCGTCGTCGTCGCGGAGCCGCTCCCGCTCGCCGAAGCGGGCGAGACAGGACTCCGCCAGCGGTGCCGCGTTAGACGATTTGCTGGGCGAGGCGGGCGTAACCACCGCGCCGCCGCCCCGACCTCCGTCTCCGTCCCGCTCTCGGTCCCGCTCGCGGTCCCGGTCGCGGTCGCCGCCCCGCCGGCCCGCCGTCTACGACGAGGAGGAGGCCGTCTACATGCCACCTCCATCCAGAGATTACGAGCGCGGCCGCGACGAGCCCTACAAGCGCCTGCCCGACGAGGCCGGCGGCGACAACTTCCCCTCGGACGCTGCGCGCGAGACGGCTGAAGCATTAGTGGCTGAAAGAGCGGCGTGCCGCGTATCTCGCGATTATCAGCGGGCCGACCAGATCCGGGACGAGCTGCGGCGGGCCCCGCACTTCGTCTACATCAGCGACAAGGACCGCACGTGGCGGCGCTGCTCCGGCGCGCCACCGCCGGGCGACAGGGAACGGCCGCCGCGGCGGGACGAGCCCTACCGTCGTCTGCCTGACGAGGAGGGCGCGACCGACTTAGACGACGCGGCGCGGGACGCCGTCGAGCGGCTCGTCGCCGAGCGCTCGCAGTGCAAGGCCTCGCGCGACTTCCGCCGCGCCGACGAGATCCGCGACGAGCTGCGCGACAAGCACCTGGTCTACGTCTCGGACAAGGACCGGACGTGGCGGCGGACAACGGGCCGCCGCCGCGAGCGCCGCTTCGAGGCATACGCGCGGCTGCCCGACGAGGAGGGAGCGACGGATTTCCCCGACGACGCGGCGCGCAACGCGACGGAACAGCTCATCAGCGAGCGCGCCGCCGCCCGCGCGTCCCGCGACTACAAGCGCGCCGACGAACTGAGAGATCTACTCAAGAGACCGCCCCACTCGGTGCACATCGTCGACAAGGACCGGACCTACAAGCGCATCGCGCCGGTCCGCGGCCGCGGCCAGGCCAAGGCGCGTCGCGAGCGCGGGCGCTCCCGCTCGAGGTCTCGGTCCAGGTCTCGCTCGCGGGACAAGAAGCGCCGGTCGCCGTCGCCCGACCCGGCCCTGGCCGCGCGGCGCGCGCGGAACGCCGAGCGCTTCTCCGGCGGCGGCGCGGCAAAGACCGACGGCGTCGTCACGCTCGGGGTGACGTCGTCGAACGTCGACTTCGAGGAGAGCTCCGTCGGCGGGCACACGGCGCCCGTCGTGCCGCAGGGGCCCTCGGCGGCCGAATTGAGGGCCGAGCGGCTGCGCCTCGCGCGGGAGCGCCAGGAGGCCCTGCGCAAGCAGATGGAGGCCGAGCTGCCGCCGGCGTCGGCCGCGCCGCCGCGGCCCGCGCCCGCGCCGGCCCCTCAGGCGGCGCCGCGCTTCGTGAGCCTGAAACCGAAGCCGCGGCCCAAGCCCGAGAAGATTCCCGAGGCGCCCGGGCCGCACGACCACGCCGCCGCGCACGACCATACGACGTGCACCGAGGACCACGATCACTCGGAGCACGGCCACGACTGCACCGCGGACCACGGCCACGGCGAGGCGCACGGCCACAAGGAGGACCGCGACCACGGCCACGGCTCGAGCCACGACCACGCCGAGGCCAAGTCGTCTGACGCTCTCGCGGCGGCGGCCAAGGCAGCCGGCAAAAAGGCGACTGCGGCGGCGGCAGCGAAGAAGCCTGCGGCCGCCGAGCCGGCGCCGGCGCCCGCCCCGGAGCCGGAGCCGGCGGCAGCTCCGAAGTGGACCACCGCGGAAGTGAACAAAATGACTGTTCCCAAGCTGAAAGCCGCGCTGACGGAACTCGGCCTCGACACGTCGGGTCTGAAAGCCGTGCTGAAGGAGCGGCTCATGGGGAGCGGGGCGGTAGCGAACTAATCTTCTAAAACTTACCTCTCGTCCACCGGGACGGATATTCGTTGGCCGACGTGCGTGCCCTTATCGTCGGGCCTCACAAGCACGACGTCGCCGACCTGTGCTCGCGTGACGGGGAGCGGTCCCGCGACGCCTGCAAGGCGTACGGTCTCCGCCTGCTGCAGGAAGACGGAGCCACCTTGCTGCAGGTCGACCTGGACGCAGGGCCGCGGCTCTACCTTGGCGCGGCCGACGGTCGCTTCCCGCGTGGCGCCGTCCGTGGTCGCGACGACGAGCTTGTCGCCGGCACTGACCTCGGACAAATACGTCGTCTTGCCGCCCGCGGCGAGGACGTAGCTGTGGACCGGACCCGCGTTCACGCGGAACGGGCGCGGCGGCACGAAGCCGCCGGTCGCCGTCTCACCGAGCACGAGCGCCAGCGCCTTAGCACTTGAGCCGACGAGCAGCCCCTCGTCGTTAGACAGGAGCGTCGTAAAATCCACCGCCACCCGATCTGCTACGCCGCCGTCCGACACGCCCGACACGGTCCATTGCTCGAGAGATACGGGTCCCGCGGGCGCATCGCGCGCGGCCGCGGCATCCTCGTCGGGCGCGGCAGTTTCGGCCCGCTGCGCTTTGGCGATCGCAGCAGCTTCGCGAACCGCGTCGGGGGCGTCGGAATCAAGGACCAAGGCGTCGACGCCGCGGTTGAGAGCAAAGGCAAGGCCGGGACAATCCGCTGCCGTACGTGCCGTGCACGCGATCAGTGTGCCCGTGCCGTCCGCCTTGGCGAGCAAATTTTCAGCCACGATGCAGGGCTGGCCACTAGTTGCGTCGACGTGGCACCACGCCACGCTGCCGACGAGCGCTATCGCGGCCGATTGTGACGCATCGCCGGTGACAATCGTTGAGCCGCCCGCGATCGATTCATCTGAGAAGCGGAGCCGCGCCACTGGTTCGCTCGCGTCGGCGACGAAAAAGCGCTCGTCGTCCGCGGCTCCCGCGACGATGGCTCGATCAAAAAGGCCATCGGACGCGTCGAGCAGCGACGCAGCGCCGTGCGCCGGGCCCAAGGGCCGCGCGTCGAGCCAGACTTCCATGGGTCGCGCGGCAAAGGCAGTCTGCAGCAGCACGAGTGCAATGCGGCCTCCGCGCGGCATTCGTGCGCGTGTTTGCAGCTATTCGCACAGCTTCAGTGACTCCAGTGGGCAGTGCCCTCAGGCACCAGGCGCTCCGGCTGCACAATGGCTGTCACAGTCGTGCTGGCACGTCCACTGGCACAGTCGTGCAGGCACAAGTGAGTCTTGCTGGCACGTCTGGGCCTCTGGCGCCGCAAGCAAACTGCGAGGGCTAGCGTACTGACATACTAGCCAGGAGCTTTTTTCTCGCGTTTTTTGGGCTTTTTAGGGCATTCAGGTGCTAGAGGTTGTGTTCTTGGGCCAAATTGCTGCTCTCTAATAGCTCAGCGAGAACCAGTGGCGCGTGCGGAACGGCAGCCGTCAGCTCCAGCACCCTAGCAAGTGGCAGGACACAGCCGCGCGGCGGACGCGGCGGACCATGTCGGCCCTCGACCAGGCCCTCAGACAGATCCCCTTCGGCTACGAAGCGAACCGCGTCCGCTCCGACGTGCAGCACGCCCTGAACTCGCCGCTGTTGGACGCCGTGCCGAGCGTGCGCGAGCGCGAGCGCAAGAAGGCTCTGTCAGTCGTCGGCACTCTGGTCATCCGCTACCGAGGCACGCCCTACAACTTGCCCATCGAACTCGTGATTAACGCGGGCTACCCGAGGCGACCGCCGAAGGCCTTCGTCCGACCGACGCCCGACATGATGATTCGGGACAGGCACGCGCACGTCGACGGGAGCGGCGTCGTCTACCTGCCCTACCTGTCGTCGTGGCAGCCGCGCTGCGACCTGGTGCGGCTCGTCCAGGAGATGTCGACGACCTTCGGCAACGACCCGCCTTTGTTCGCGCGACCGCAGAACCAGCCCCCCGTCCAGCAGATTCCCACGACGCCCATCTCGCCGTCCGTCCAGATCAAGCAGGACGCGACCGTACGTGTGCGCCGGGCCGCTACGTTGCGTCTGGCGCAGCTCAAGGCGGCGATTGACGTCGAGCTCAAGGCGCAGCAGAAGCTCCACGCATTGACCGATAGCGCCGCCGAGACGGAGCGGCGGGCGTCCCAGTCGCGGCGCGCCGCCGACGCGGCGGTCCTGGAGTTGGGTACGGCCCAGGACCAGTTGCGGCGCTGGTACGCGGCGACGTACGAGGACCCGCCCGTCCCATCACTCAAAGGCGACGCCGACGCCGCGGCGCTCCTCGCGGCGCTCGCGCGCGCGAACGCCGCCGAGGACGCGCTCTACGAGCTCGACGCGGCGCTCGCCGACGGGCGCGTCGGCTTCGACGACTTTATCCGCGACGTGCGGCGCCTCGCGCGGAAGCAGTTCTTCGACAAGATGCGCGCGGCGAAGATCGTCGCGAAGCGGTCGCCGGACCGGGGCGTGTATAGGCAGTCCTTCTAGGGAAACATTGTGCTTACACGAGAGGAGGGCCTAGCGGAAGAGCGCCGCGTACTTGTCGCCCGCCAGGCCGATGAGGTCGTCGTAGTTCTTCAGGTCGAAGTCGTCGCCGAAGGCCGCGACGCGCAGCGGCGACACGGAGCCCGTGTCGCGGACCGTGCCGACGACCTCGACGCAGCCGCTCGCCGGCATCATGGTCTGCGCCGCCTCGGACGGCTCGACGAGGTTGATCTGCACGCCGTCGCTCGTCTCGATGCTGCTGTCGCCCGTCAGGCGGCCGACGACGGACACGGTCGCGCCGGCCTCGAGGGACGCGAGGCCCGCGCCGTTCGTCCGCGTGTAGATGCCGTCGCCCTCCTGCGCGGGTGTTGTCGTGTCGCGGCGGCGGCGTGACGGCCTCTTGTGGCGCGCGTGTGTCCGCGGCGGCGGCGCGGCGGCCTTTGTGGCGCGCGTGACACGGCGCAGCTTGCGCGGCAGTACACGCGCACGAGTGCATTTGTGTGTGGGCAGCTGGCGTCTCGCGGCAGGCGCTTGGGCGCGGCAGCCGCCCGGCGCGCGGACCGTGCTGCTCAGAGAACGCGCGCCGCGGGGCCGTTTTGAGCCGCGTTTTTTGCATCCAGACCGAGCACGGATAACCAGGAAGGTCTCGCGTACCGCGCACGTGATTTTACACTGAGCATGTACCATTTTTACAGGCGCAATAGTTTGAAAGAGAATAGTCTTGCGAACGAGATAGCGACTGTAAGGCACTAGCGTAAAATACCTATGTATGGTAGCACGTAACAATATCTCAGGCAAGTGCTTCAAAAGGAAGTACTGTAGGAATCACGCGCCGGCCCGCGCCCCACGCCGATGAATCGGCGACGTGTGGTGAATCGGCGACGCGCGCTGTCTCCCCGGGGCCTCCGCCCACGAACTCGAGGCCCGCACCAGAAAACCCGGAGGTCTCGGACGCGCGGTCGTCGATGAATCACGAAACCCAACGAACACCAAGCTAGAGATTCGAACACGAAAACCCCGTTACCACGGAGTAGGCAAAAAAGGAAGGTCACTTCGCCAGGATCGACGACAGGATCGCGTCGTTGCCGGCGAGGCGCCGCTCGAGCGTCGTCAGGAACACCTCCACGTTCCGCGCGTGCGCCACGACGCGCGCGTCCGGCGAGTGCGGGATCGCGCGGCCCGGCGTCGGCCCCTCATTCAAGACGACCGGCGAGATGGGGTAGGGCAGCGTCCGCCGCGGCACGGGCGTGCCCGGCGACGTCGGGTCGACGTTCTCCCTATCTGACCCGAGGGCGAAGGGCACGGGCACCGTCGTCGGCTTCGAGTGCCGCGCGCGGCCCTTCAGGTGCTCCGGCAAGGGCGGCCTTACGACCTTCTTCTGCGACCGGCGGAGCGGCTTGACGATGCGCGGCGGCGCGTTGGCCATGGCCGCTATCTTCTCCTTTCGCTCTTTCTCTCGCCTTTCTTTGTCCGCCAAAGCTTGCGCCGCGCGCTCCTCGAGGCGCAGCTTCGCGGCGGCGGCCCTATCCGCTTTGGCTTTCGTCGCGGCGAGCTCCTTCTCGCGCTTCAAAGCTTGCGCTCGTTGCATCTTCGCCTCGCGCTCAGCTTTGGCCTTCGCCGCGGATTCGGCCAGCGCGTTCTTCGCAGCCTGGGCCTTGGCCTCGCGTTCCGCCTTCATGCGCGCGACCTTGTCGCCGCGCGCGGCCGCTGCGGCGTTCTTGCGCGCCTCGGCCTCGCGTCTCGCTGCTTCCTTGGCTTGGGCCGCCTTGGCCTCCCTTGCCCTCAGTTTCTCGGCCTCCTCGCGCAGCTTCGCGTCGGCGCGGGCCTGCTCGGCCTCCTTCCGTTTCATCGCCTCGGACTTCTCTGGAGGTTTCTCTTCCTCCCGGGGAGGTTGCGGCGTCGGCCGCGGCACCTTAGATGCTGGAGGCGGCGGCTTCTCAGAAGCCCTCTTCGCGAGCGAGGCCTTGCGGGCTTCCAAGCGCGCCGCCTTCTCCGCCTCCTCCTTGGCGGCGCGAGCCTCCAACCGAGCCTTCGCGGCCGCGGCGCGGTCCGCTTTTGCCTTGTCCTGCACTCTCTTGGCCTCTTCCTTGTCGGCCTTGGCTTTCGCGGCCTTGGCCTCGCGCTCGGCCTTGAGCTTCGCGGCTTGTAAAGCCTTCTCCTCCTTCTGCTTCTGAGCTTTCGCCTCGCGGTCGAGCTTGGCCTGCTTGATCTTCGCGTCGCGGTCGGCCGAGGCCTTGGCTTGCGCCGCGGCCTTCTCCTCGCGGAGCTTGGCCCTCCGCAGCTCGTCCGCCGTGGGCTCGCTGGGCTTGCCCGCGGGCTTGGCGACGGGCTTGAGCACCGTAGTAGCGGGCTTGGGGGACTTGCTCCGGGTCCGACCGGTCGCGGGCGGCTTGGGCGACTTGCTCCGCGCGCGCGCGTGGGCCGCCTCGACTTTTTTCAGAGACGCCTCATTCTTCTGATCTTCGACGGCCTTGGCCTTGGCCTTCAACTCGGCGCTCTTCCGCGCCGCGGCCTCGTCACGAGCAGCGGCCAACTTAGCCTTCCTCTCCAGTTCAGCGGCCTCCTTGCGCGCGCGAGCTTCGGCAGCTTTCGTCGCGGCCTCGGCCTTGCGAGAGGCGGCCTCGGCCTGGGCCTTGGCTTTGGCGGCCTCGCGCTCGGCCTTGCGCGCCTCGGCCTGAGCCTGCCTCTGGGCCTCCGCCGCCTGCTGCTTCGCCTGGGCCTCGGCCTGCTTCGCCTTCTTCTCCTCCAGCCGTTGTTTGGCGGCCAGTTCCTTGTCCGCCTTCGCCTTGGCCAACGCTTGCTCCTTCTTCTCCCGCTCGAGGCGCCTCGCCTCTTCTCGCGATTCCTTCTCCCTCTGGAGGGCCGCGGTCTTCGCCTCCCGCTCATTCTTAAGTTTCGCGGCCTTGGCGTCCTTCTCGTCCTTCAATTTTTGGGCCGCAAGTGCCTTCTCCTCGTCGCGCCGGGCCTTCTCGGCCTTGAGCTGCGCGGCCTTGGCCTCCCTCTCCGCAAGAGCCTTGGCCTTCGCGGCCTCCTTCTCTTGCTTAATGCGTTGGGCGCGCGCGAGCTTGTCATCCTTTTCTTCCTTGTCATCGGCGGCGCGCTCGACCTTCGCCGCTTCGAGTGATGCGTCGGCCTTGGCTCGTATTTCAGCAGGCTTCGGCGCGTTGCGGAAGACGGGCGTGTCGGCCGACGACCGTAGGACTGAAGCGGCCTGCTTCTCCGGCTTCACGGGCGCCCAGCGGTCCGCGGCGGGTCCGTCGGGCGGCCGCGCGGGCTCGGACACGTCGTCCCTCAGTAGACTCTGGGCCGGGTTGCGCAGGACGGGCTCCGCCGTCGGTTTCGGGTTCCGCGGGACGGGCGCCGCGGCCGGCGCCGGCGGTTTCTGTTCCCGTAATACGGGCTCCGCGGCCGCCGTCGGCGCCGGTGCGTCGTCGCGCAGGGCCGCCTGGGCCGGGTTCCGTAAGACGGGCTCCGCGGCCGGGGCCGCAACGACAGGCGCCTCGGGCATCCCGCGCGGCACCGTCTCCGGCGAGGCCTCGCGCGAGTCCACCAAGTCCGACGCGAAGACCATGGGCTCCGGCACGCTATCGCGGGCCGTCGGCGTCGAGCCCGAGCTCGCGGTGCGGCGCAGGGCCGTGGCCGGCGGCGCGTTCGCCGTCGTAGACGGTCCCTCGCGGCCGCCGCCGTCGGGCGCCATGCTCGGCGGCGGCCGCTTCGCCGGCACCGTGCTGGGCGCCGGTCGCGCGCGCGGCTTCGGCGCGGGAATCGAGCCGGGCGGCGGTCTGGAGGGAGGGCCGCGCGGCTTCGGCACCGGTTGGTCCGGCAACCTCATAGCGTCGGGCGCCTTGACCGGCACGACTTCCACGGGCGACGTCTGCGGCTGCTCCACGACCACAGGCTCGGCCACGTCCAGGGACGCGGGCCCGGGCACGCGCGGCTTCTTCGATAGAGGCCCTGCTGGAGGCGACGTCGCCCTTTTACCGTCGGGCGACGGGAAGGCCGACCGCGCCGCGTCCAAAGACGCTTGATCCGCTCGTTCGGGCGACGGGAACGCGGCCTTCGCCGCCGCGAGGGCCGCTCGCGAATCGGCCACCGCAACCCTAGGTAGAGAGGGACCCGAAAGCGCCACGGCCTTCTTCGCATCATTTATCGATTGCTGCATGTTTGTGGAACGCGGAGGCGGCTGCGACGGCCGCGGGCGGACCGGCGGCGGCCCCTTGGGTTTGGGTCTCGAACCGCGCATCGGCAGGTTCTTCTGGACGTTCTGCGCGGCCTGCTGGATGGCTTGCAAGGACGACGTGTCGTCGGGGTCCTTCGGGATTGGGTCGTCCTCGTCCTGAGGAAACGACTCGCGCGACGGTCGTCGTCGCCTCAGTAACTCATCGTCAAAGGGCGACGACGGCCCCTGGGAGGGTGACGGCGCTCGCTCCTCAATCGGCGCGAAGGGCGAGGATCGCCGCTCGAACATGCCCGGGGGCGAGGCGGCCCGTTCTCGGGCCAGAAATTGCTCGACCGGCGACGTGGGTTTCTCGAAGCGCCGCCTCAAAAGAGCGTCGTCGTGGGGGCTCGTCGGCTTCTCCAGGTCGGTTAACGTGGGCCCGCGAGGCCGCGGCGGCGGCGGCGGCTCCTGGCGCGTTTGTGGAGGCGGCGTCTTGAGCGGAGGCTCTGATGGTGCGCCTTCGACAGAGATGGACGGGCGCTTCTTCGGCGGCTCGGCAGGTTTCGGGTAGGGCGGCGGCGGCCGTCGCCCGCGCACGGCGGCCTTCGGAGGATTTGTAGAGGGCGGCGGCGGGGGGAAGTCGGCGGCCATCTGTCGGCCCTTGCCGCGCGTCGGCGGCCGTTCCAAGATACGTGAAGGGGGCGGCGGCGGGGGCACGGCCCACCTGATGGGCTCGTCCCGGGTCTTCTCCGCGGCGCGCGGCGGCTCCTGCGCGGCCTCCGCGGCGCGGCGCCTTCGGTAAGCCTCGGCCGGCGCGACGCGCGCGCGCCGTTGTTGTACTGGTGCCGGTGCGAGCCGTTGTTGTACTGGTGCCGGCGCCGGCGCCGCCTCGCCGGTCATCCGGTAGGGCGCGACGCCGTGCGCCGCGCCGGCCGCGACGAGCCGGTCCTGGAGCCAGCCCGCGAGGCGCTTCGTCGGCTCCGGCGCCACTTCAGCACCGGCGACGGCCGCGACGACGGCGTTGCCCGCCGGTGTCGAACCGAGCACGAGCCACTGGTAATTCGCGTGCTCGAATGGCGCAGTGCCGAGCGTCTCGCTCAAATCTTGGCAGTTCACGCCGGCCGCGAGCTCTACGACCAGAAACTGGGCGTCGTCGTCGTCCATTGTCTTCGTTTACAGCGCTTCACACGCGCGCCGCGTTTTTGTGCAGCTTTATGCTCACCAGGGCTGTGCTGCTCGCCTAGCGCCCTAATCACTACGCCGCAGCGCTTGTGGTGAGCAAACTATTCCTTCGTGCTGTCACAGCCGTTCAGAACTCAATCAGTTCGACCGGTGATTTGCGGCACGGCGCACTGTGCAAAAAACGACACCTCGAACTGTCAAAACGGGTTCGGGGCGCAGCCTTCAGAAAGCCACAGGAGGCGTCGTGTGCGGCCGCAGCGATGCGGAAGATGCGCGGCTTTTTCGATACGAGTACGATGACGCCGCGTGACGGGCGCGTGCGAACCGAGACGACCCCTCAACGCCGCCGCCGCGACCCGTCTACGAAACTTACGCTCACATCAACGTCGACGGATCTAAGAGAACCGACGCGTCCGCGCCGAGCGCCGGCACGGCGTTTGTTAGAGCGTTCAGTAAAAAGAACGCGGGCAGGATGCTAAAGTCGAGGCCGCCGAAGTTCAGGCCCAGGCCCCGGAAGAGGTTGAGGAACGGGTCCGTGACGACGAAGAGCGGCTGCAACAGCGGCTGGCCCTGCGCTTGCGGGAACCAGCTCAAAAGGATCCGCGCGGTAATCAACGCGTTGTACAACGCTAAGAAATTCAGCGTGCCGCTGATGACGACGAACTCTGCCGCACTGTCTCCCGGTATCACCATGTTTAGCTGCCTGCGTGTTTGTTGACGCGTGAGTCAGGCGCCGCGTCGCGTCGACAGCGTGTGGATCGGGCGCGTATCAGCCGCGGGCGGAGAAGGGCTGCAGCATTTTGATGACAGCGCTGCAAGCGTACGTTTGTTGGCGCATCGCGGCAGGAGTGGTGGGCTGGGCATGGCTGCTGCTAGGCCTCGCGACGGACCGGCTCGGCGCGACAAATGCATTTACGGCAGCGATACATGTGACAGCCGTCAGGACTCGTCTTTGGAGCATCGTTATTTGCTCTGTCGCAGCGTTTTGGCTGCGCCACCACCGAGCTAGCTTGGAGGCGTGCGGGTATTCACGACATACCGGTCCTTCCGACTGTCCCATGCCTCAGCGGCGGAATGGTGCTCGCGTGCGGGAACGCGCTTGGGAGCTGGGAGCGAGCTGGACGCGCGCGGCGTAAACCCGCGGCGAGCGCGGGCCGACCCCCGGAAATCCGGCCAGGCGGCGCACGGGTGCATCTACCGTGTCCGTGACGACGGGTGAGACCACGGGACCCGATGGGTCGCGGCGAGGCCGGTTTGGGACAGCCAACCCATTTGGGGTCCAGCAAATGCGCCGTTCACAAAACTAGGCGCAATTGTAGCCAGCATCTCGACCCGCAGCACTCGCTGGTCAGCGCAGGGCTCCCACAGCAAACGCTCGAACACGTCTCGCGACGACGCGCCGCCTTTTGCGCTGCGAGACGCGCTGAAACAGCCCACCTGTTGGCTCACAGCCTAGCCGCCGCGCAGCGCCCTAGCGCGCCCGCCAGCGGTCGAACAGCGCTCCAGAGCCGCGCAAGCGACCGCGCTGCCACGAGGCACCGCGCCGCCGCGCCCAAAACCAACACCAAAAACACCCGAGCCGGAAAAGGCCGCGGAACGCCACGCGCCGCGCCAAAACCAAAACAAGCACCGCCGGCCGTAAGAAGCCGGGTTAGAAACAATGTCCAAGATGAACCACTCCACGCAATGGTCCTCGTCCGACGTCGGCGGCCTCTGCTGGGTCTCGGACCCGGCCCAGGCCTACATCGAGGCACGCGTCACGTCCGTCGAGAAAGGAGTGGTCCGCGCCGAGGCCTCGGACGGCCGCACCTTCGACGTGGACCTCCAGCTCCCCCTCAAACCGCCCTCGAGGAAGCAGAAGGAGCCGCCTCGGCGCATTTTGCAGCGCGTCCCGCTCACGACGAACAACGGCGTCGAGAACATGGACAACCTCCAATCGCTACAGGAGGCGTCGATACTGGACAACATCCAGCACCGCTTCCGTATGGATTTGATTTATACCAATACCGGTCCTATTCTGATAGCGATGAACCCGTTCAAGTGCGTATAGGCGTCCGCTGTTTCACTACTTTGAGTCGAGAGAGGCGCGTCGCGTCGATGGCGTCGAACGAGCGCGCCGCGCCGTCGCCGCGAGAGAACGCGACGTCGGACTGCGTCGCGGCGTCGCGTCGATGGCGTCTGGCGCCGCTTCGATGGCGTCGACGCGCGCACGCCAACGTCCCGCCCCGCCCACGCGAGCGCCGCGCCATCACACGCAAACAAAACGCAGGTGGCTCCCCATCTACGGCGACGACGTGATTGGGCGGTACCACAACGCGCCCTACGGGAGCCTGCCGCCCCACTGCTTCCAGGAGGCCGAGGACGCCTTCTCCTCTCTGCAAAAAACGAGACGGAACCAGGCCGTCGTCATCTGCGGCGAGAGCGGCGCGGGCAAGACGGAGACGACGAAGTTGATGCTCCACTACCTCGCCGTCGTGTCGAAACGCCAAAGCGCCAGAGACGCCAAGCTCAAGGGCACGACGCAATCTACGGGTCCGACGATCGCCGAGCGCATGGTCGCGTCGAACCCCCTGTGCGTCGCAGCGTTGTATATGAACCTTCGTACGCCATCTTCATGAATCGTCGCCATCTCCTGATGAAGTGGGTGGTCTCTTTTTCGATTTCGAGCCGTTTCGGGTCGCGTGACTCGTCATGCACACAGGCTCGAGGCCTTCGGCAACGCCAAGACGCTGCGGAACGACAACTCTTCAAGATTCGGCAAGTTTACGCGCTTCGACTTTGAACGTAATAGCTCCACGATCAACGGGGGCCACATCGAGAATCTACTACTGGAAAAAGTGCGAGTGGTAGAACAGTCGTCTGGTGAGAGAAATTATCATATTTTCTACCAGCTGTGTGCCGCGGCCAAAGCTGGCAAGTTACCAGGACAAGCCGGCAAGGCCCTGACGGGAGACGCCTCTACCCATATCTACTCCAAGACCTGTACGTCGGTCGATGACATGGACGACAGCGAGGAGTTCGACGCCACCGTAGCCGCCCTAGACGCGTTAGGTGTGAAAGGCGCCGAGTTAGAGGCCATCTTCCGCGCTGCTGCTGCTGTATATGTACTAGGTGATGTTGAATTTGCTGAAGACGGCGACGGCTCCAAAATATCAACACAAGCTCCGTTAGATACGGCCGCATCTTTACTAGGTGTGTCGTCCTCGAAGCTGGCCCAGGCCCTCTGTACTCGTGTAAGGGACGTCGCGGGCGAGGGCGGCGTGCGAGACATCGTCACCACTCAAAACACGCCTGAGGAGGCTTCTACCCTGAGACACGCCCTCGCCAAGGCTACGTTCAGCCGCCTCTTCGACTGGCTCGTGCAAAGAGCCAATAAAGCGTTTGACAAGTCCGACCAGAGCCAATTCATCGGCATCCTCGACATCTTCGGCTTCGAGGACATGGCCACCAACGGGTTTGAACAAGTATTTATTAATACGACCAATGAACAATTGCAGAAGGTTTTTAATGATTTGGTGTTTGAGGCCGAGGCCGAGGAGTACACGCGCGAGGGCATCGATTGGGACAAGACCTGCTTCCCCGACAACACGCCCTGCATCGAGTTGCTGACGAAGCGACCCATCGGTATTTTGAGATTACTCGACTCGGAGTGCTCGAGAGGCTTTGTGGCTTCCGATGGAGCTAAACTAGTGGCCAAGGTCAACAAGGCGCACGCGTCGTCTCCGTTCTTCGAAGTTTGTGGGCCCGCGTCCGTGTGGCGGAGGAAGGACGGTAGTCGGACGGAGGATGCCGACTTTCTCGTGCACCACTTCGCGGGGCCCATCGTGTATACCGTGTCGTCGTTTGTGGAGAAAAATAGAGATGCGCTCTTCCCCCACGTCTACGACGTGCTGCATGCATCATCTGATTCGCTGATCCAGGCCTGCTTTCCCGAGCGGGAGGAGGTGCAGTCGAAGAAGGAGACGGTCGCTAATAAATATTTGTCGCAGCTCGTGCGGACGCGGCGTCCGTTACCATGACGCGATACGCCGTCGATGCGGCCGTGAGAGATTCTACGCGTCTCGCGTCGATGGCGTCTTCGTGAGACCGCGTCGCCGCGACGTCGTCGACGCGGCCGCGAGATAATCACGCGTCCGCGCGCGCAGGCGTCACTCACGGCCACTCTAAGGGAGTCCTCGACGCGATTCGTGAGATGCATCAAGACGAACTCCGAGAAGCAGCCCCAGAAGTTAGATAAGCCCGCCGTTTTATCGCAGTTGGTCTGTAGTGGCGTGATGGCCGCTCTGGAAGTTCGCAGAGCTGGATTCCCCACGCGCGTGCCGTATCGCGAGTTCGTAAGGGAGTTCCGGGCCTTTACGCCGCGAGGTGCGGCCATCACGGACCCGAAACAACTAGCCCATGCGATGATGCGCCACCCCCACGTCGCGGAGCGCGTGCCTTCCTCAGCTTATCGGTTGGGCGCTTCCAAATTATTTATGCAGTCGGAGGTGCTGTATCAATTACAAAGTATCAGGAACGCCATGCTCTACCCATTCGTTAGACGTTTGCAGCGGTGGTGGGTCAAGCTCCAAGGTTCTATCTTGCAACGAAAGCTCAAGAGGTGCGGCGCCGATCTGCGCGACGCGTCGTCGGAGGCGGCCATCAAGGGCGTCAATTGCGTCGCGTTTGTCCGAGATGCCCTCCAGAAGTGCGAGGCTTCCTTAGCGAAAGCTAATCTACTGATCAACAAGCCGGCCGAGGCCGCCGAGGCGCTCTCGTCGTTACGTGCGGAGATCGCAAAAGCAACAGAGATCGTGAAAGCCGCCGTCCAGAAGAAGGAGGAGGCCTACCGTATTAGAGCGGAGTTCCTCGCGGAAATTGATGACGCCTACTCGCGGTGCAAGGCTCTCCGGACGATCGCGAACGGGTTATACGCGCCGCGAGACGCGGAGGGTCTCACGGACGCCTGTGTTGATGCTGAGGGCAAGTTGGGTGCCTGTCGCACGGAGTTGTTAACTGTAGCCGCCCAGTGGGACCAAGGTGCATTAGCTTTATCTGGTTCGCAAGGCCCCCACTCGCTACGAAAGGGCGCGATGCAGTCCATGAAGAACATTTCTTCCAAACAAGATACGCACGAGCACCGACGAGCTAGGTTAGATACTGCTCTCAAGTCCGTAAGGGAGGCCGAATCACTCTCGCAGAAGATGCTCGAACGCCAAAGATTACTAGATGAGGCTCGAAGGGAGTTCCAGGCTGCCTTGGATGCGGCTTCTGAAAGGTTAGCTATCATACCCGTCGAGCAGTTCATTATTCAAGGCATTCGAGCGGTGCCCGACGCTGTGGTCGAAGCTAGAGACGCGATCTATGAGGCCCAGAAGACGCTGCAAGGGTCCGATTCCGCGCCGATCAAAGAAGCAGTGACAAATGCCCAAGCGAGCGTCGACAAGGCGTTGGCGCGAGCCGAGTCCGAAGCTCTGAGATTGCGAGCCATGACCGATTTAGATGAGTGCGAGAAGACGTTGGTGCAGATCGGTCATGAAGTGAGAGAAGGTGGGTTTGAAGAACGTATTGGAGACCTCCTCACGCACGGTGAAAAGTTAGTACAAGATGCCCGAGCCGTTGCGGACGCTCCCGACGTCGCTACGCTCGTGCGAGCGGCGAGAGGCGCCGTGGACGCCGTGAACCATGCCGGCGAACAGCTCGAGAAGGCCCAAGCTCAGAAGAGGGCGGAGGAGAAGGCGCGCTTCAACAAGTTGTTGGGACGGTTCCAGCGCATGGACGAGGCGAACAGCGGCCGGGGCGTGCCCAAGTTCGCGCGGAAGGCGGGCGGCGGCGTCCAGAAGCCCCTGTTCAAGGTCAAGCGCGTGTCTACCGTGCCCGTCGAGGCGCCGCCGCCGCCTCCTGTTCAACCGAGGATCATCCCCAAAGCGCCGAAGTCTCCTTTAACGCCGCGCAACGTCAGCCCGCCGGACACGCCCGCTGCGGCGACGCCCGCCACGGTCACGAAAACGAGTGTGCAGACGCCGGCCGGCGGCCACACGCTCGACTCCTGGATCGCGGCGAAGAACCTGGGCAAGTACGCGACGCAACTCCACGACCTCGCGGGAGATCTCCATGATCTGCAGGAGATGACCGACGCCGACGCCGACGAGCTGGCCCAGGAGTGCGCCATGCCGAAGCTCGCGGCGCGGCGCTTCAAGAAAGCTTTATTGGAGCTCGGCGCGCCGGTGCACCCCTAGACTTTGGTGGCGGTCAAGCAAGCCACCTCTCGTAGACGCCGCGTTCATCCCTTCCCGGGTAAGCACGGTGTTGCCTGTAGTTTTCTACTCGCGTCGATTGATCGGCACGGGTTTTTCATGCCGATTTGCGCGTGACGCGACTCTGGTCTCGCTGGACGCTCCTGGGCTCACTCACGGGCTCGGAGAAGGCCGCGTGTCAGGACCGCATCGGTGCGCTCGGCCTACACCGCTAGCTCGCGAAACCTCTCTCACTTGCTAGCTGCAAGGAATTTCTCATCCGCTAGATACACGCCGCCGACGCGGTCGATATGACGAATCTCGTAACGCCCAAGGCCGCGGATGGTCACGCGCCGACTATCAAGGGCACCGCGGCGATGCCGGACACGGCGGACAAGGAGCTTCTCGCAAACAACAGCACCGCACTTCGAGACGTTGGATATGGCTCTGGAAAACAAGGAACCTAACAAACGCGCAAAGCTGCTGGAGTTGAACGTTAAAGTTCCGGACGATGGAGTCGACGAGGCCGACAAGACGGCGGATCCGAAGTAGACGCCCCAGACGCTCGACACCCGCCGGCCGGCTCTGACGCCGCGCCGCGCTTTACCCCCTCTCCCCGAGAATAGCTAGCGCCAGCTAACATGCTATCACGAAACCTAGCCTTACTGATTGCCGGGGGAACGGGCACGCTCTAGAACATGCTATACACGAAACCGCACTCTTAGCCGCGCGGGGGTAGAAGGGAAAGCTTGCTTATTTGGTGGAGGGGCCCTTGTGGCACCCTCCGATCTAGGCATACGCGCCCAAGTCCAGCGTGAACGGCACGCTGGCAGCCCGTTGCGCGTCCTTGGCCACGCCCACTAGAGCGTCGGCCTCGGTGTAGAACTGGTCCTTCAACGACACGGCCACTATTTGTAATGATGAAGCCCGCCGCTTGACAAACGCCGCGAGCTTGGCCACATTGACACTATCCAACGCTGCATCGACCTCGTCCATGATGAGGAACGGCGCCGGCCGGTAGGCGTGCAGCGCGAACAGTAGAGCTAGTGAAGCCAAAGTGCGCTCACCACCTGATAATTGAGAAATTTCGCAGAAGCGCTTCGCCGGGGGCGTCGCGTGGAACGACACGCCGTTGAGGTACGGCTCGGCCGCATCTAACGCGTGTAACGATGCACTGCCACCAGCGGGGTGTCGCGCGGACTTCGTGACGTCTTTGTACGCTTCCGCCAATGTCGAGGCGACGACATCAAAGCACGCGCGGAAGGCATCCGTACGCTTCTTTCGTACGGCGTCGAACTGTCTCGCGGCGTCCCTCGCCGCGTCTCGTGACGAGGCTAGTTCTTTGTCGGCCTGCTCCACGTCTGAAGATAGGGAGTCAAATTGCGCTTTAGCTCGCAAATTCGGCGCCAAGGCATCTACTCTACGTTCCAAGTCCTCAATCGCTCTTCTACGACGAGCGTGAGCCTGGTCCGCGTCCTCGCCTCGCTTCGGCTTTTGCGCTTTCGAGACGTCTAAGTCCTCCGGGTCCATGTTCTCGTCCGTTCCTAATTGCACATGTTCCAACCGAGCCCTACGAGCAACGTCTTGCAGCTTCGCCGACACCGCGTCGACACTCGAAGCGGCCTGTTGAGCTTTCCTAGCTGCTGTAGCTTTGGCGTCCGCCGCTCGTCGTGCATCGACCTGGCACTTCTTGAGGGCCTGCCTCGCTTGCGTATGTGCTTCCCTAGCGTCTTTCGCCGCTCGAGACTCCTCCTCCAATTCATCTTCAGCTGTGGACTGCTCCGACTCTATTTGGGAAGCCTTCTTCTTGGCTTTGGTCGCGGCCTTCTGGGCCTCTCGCGCTCGAGATTTGGTCTCGGCGGCGCGCGCTTGCAGGTCGCGACCTTGTTCGTACTCGAGCTGCGCTCGTAGAGTAGCGGCCCGCTGCAGATGTTTTTTAAGATCGTCGTCGCGCTGCTTTCTGAGGGCTTGCGGCGTGCCCGCGACGGCATCACCATCGTCACACAAGTCATCAATTGACAGATTGTGTCTTCTCGCGAACGACCCGTACACGCGTTCTTCCACCACCCTTTTAGCTTGTCGGAGTTCGTCGTGCGTTCGCACAGCCTGATCCCTGCCGGGAATCTTCGCGTCGCGCTCCCTCTCGGCCGTCTTTCTAGATGCATCTAGCGTTCTTTCCCTAGCTTCACATTCCGCGACGCGAGACTGGGCGAGTTGCGCGTCTTTGGCGGCCCACTTCGCCGTCGACGCGCAGGCGTCCCTCCGAGCGGTGTGGGGTGCGACGGCGTCCTTGAGGGACTGGGCCCGTAGGCGAGCTTGAGATAAAGCATCGTGCTTCGACGACCGCTCCCTCTCGAGTCGAGAAGCGTCGGCCCTTCTCCAGGAAGAGCCGCCCTGCTGGTGGCCGCCACTCATCGTTCCGGTCTGGGCGATGACCGCACCACTGACACTGACGGCCTTGACCGAAGGCGCGTTGTCGGAATAGGCCAAACGTCTAGCGTCATCTAGAGTGTCGCAGACCACGGTCTTCAGGCCGACGGCGTAGGCCACTGCTGCTTTTACACCCTCATCACATGCCACGACGTCCAACGCGGGCCGGTACTGCCTCCCCAAATTCCTCAGTCGTTCATCAGGTCGTGCAGAAGATAGAGCATCCAAAGGTAGAAAAGTCATGGCACCCAACCGATGCTCCCGCAGATGTCTCACGCATCCGACCGCTGTCGAGCGCGCGTCGACGACCACGGCGTCCGCGAGCGAGCCCATCGCGGCCCCGACGGCGGAAGCATAGGTTCGCGACGTGGGCTCGCAGACGTCTACGACTCGACCGCGCACGCCGGGGAACAAGCCTCGCAACGTTTCTACCAGTCGAGCCCGCTCCACATCTCTTTGCGCTTGGGGCCCGCCCGGGAGGTGGTCGCGGCAATCCCTTAACTCAGCATCGGCTCGATCTAACTCCGATTGGGCCTTGGCCACGGCCTGCTCTCCTACAGATGCAGCGGCCTCCGCCGCCTGTATAGCGTCGGACGCCTGGCGCACGTCGGCATCCGCCTTCGTCGCCGCGTCGGCGGAGGCCTTGGCGCGCAGCCGCCAAGCAGCGGCTTCCGACGAGGCCTCGTTCCGCCGCTTGATGACGTCGTCGACCTCGCGTTGCAGGGCCTCGACGTCGGCCTCCTCCGTGTCTCTAGCGCGTCGCGCCGCGTCCAGCCGAAACGCTCGCGAAGCCGTCTCGCGCTCGACCTGGGCTTGCAGGTCGCTCACCTCATCAACCAGACTTTGGTCGGCGCGCCAGGCGGGCTCGTCCCGCGCGCGCTCGTCTTGCAGGCGCTTGATCTCCTCATCTTCAGTTTGTAGTTCTGACCGGAGATCTTTCACCAGCGTCTCGTGGCGCTTGGCATTTTGATCGGCTTGAGCAGCGGCCGCTTTCTCCTGGTCGGCATCTCGAGCAGCCTGCTCCGCGGCCTCCTTCGCGGCTGCTACTCTCGGAGCGACGCCTCCCCTTAAAGATTGCGTCTTCTGGGCCAGAGCTGCATCAGCACGCTCTGCAGTTAACGAAGCCTCCTTTAATGCATCCGAAGCTTGCGATTCTTTTTGAGAAGCCCGTTCAACGGCTTCCATACACTTCTGGACCTCGCGGTCGAGCTTAGCCTTGGATTTGGCCTTGTCACTGCGATCGTCGCGTAGTTGAGCTACTCTAGATACAGCGTCATCTCTACGAGCCGCATGGAGCTCGTCCCGCAGCTTCTCATACGCGTCGGCCTCGTCCTTCTGGTCCCGGACCTGCCTTCGTTGCGCCGCGAGGCCCTTCTTCTTCTGGTAGGCTAACAACGAAGCGGCCTCGGCCTGGTCCTTCGCCGTCTTCAGCTTGTCGTACTCCTTCTTGTGGTCCGAACTTCCGGAGACCTGCTCGAGGACTGCTGTGAGCTCGTCCTGCGACTTCGAGGCCAGACTTTCGACGTCGCCCTGGAAGACGAGGAAGTTCCGCGCTTTCACGAGGACGCCGATCTCCTTGAGGGCGTTCTCGTACTTGTCGCGCGTCACTTCTTGTGAGTCCAACCAGTAGGCCCCGACGCCGACGGCGCTGATGGTTCTCGAGAACACTACATTATCGTTGTCCCTTTCATAGGTTAATGTGACGGAGGCTTTTCTTCTCGACTGGGACGGGCCTCGATGTAGCAGTTCAATTAATTTTGAGCTACGTAGGTGCCTCGCTTGCAATCCGAGCACGTAACTTATAGCGTCCATGAGGTTGCTCTTGCCCGCGCCGTTCGGCCCTACGACGGCCGTAAAGTTCTGGCGTTCCCTAAAATCGACCGTGTGCGTCCCTCCAAAAGATTTGAAGCCCTCTATTTCCAATTTCACGATGCGGCCGCGGGGCTGCTCGACGTCCATGTCGGCCATCGCGCTGTTTGAGTCGCTGCTCGTTTGTTTTGGGCACTGCTACGAGCGCGGAGAAGCGCTGGAGCGGCGTGGCTCGCCCTCTGCGCGGCTATGCGGCTGGGCTGTGCTTCGCGCCTCGCGGCTATTTGAGCGCCTAGCGGTACGCGGTCGCGCTGCGCGGCTCACAGCTCGTCGCACAGGTTGACAGCAGCCCCACCAGCGCCCGCTACTGTCGCGCGGAGTATTTATGCGGCTATATGGAGCTTCCCGCCTTCGCGCTTTGAGAGCTGCCTCTCGATTTTGTGAAATCGGGCGGCCCTTCGGAACGCCTCCGCGAGTCGTGCGGAGACGTCCGGTGATCGTGCGGGACTCCTCAATGGACAGAGGAACCAAAATGAGGCTCGGCCGTCGAGCCGCGGGCGCGCCTCGCATCCCTGTGTGCCCTCTGTGTGCCCGGGACTCGGGCGGGCAGGTGTGAGGACTCCCTCGACGCCATCGACGCGGCGGTTACCAAGAAATGCCTACTCACAGCTAGCGTCGACGGCCCTAGCCCGGCCGCTCGGACTGCCGCTCGCCGGTCTTCACGTTGCCGTAGAAGGCCACGCGGCCCGCGTCGTCCGTGACCTCGACCCAGCCGTCGGGCAGGCCCGACGCCGCGGCCTCGGCGAGCGCCTCCTTGCGGATTTCGCGCTTGCTCTTTGGGCGCGGCGCGCCGAAGGTCGAGGGTGCAGACCGGTCCGGGGCGCCGACCGTGCCTTCCTTGACGAACGGCATCGACGCGCCGGCCTCAAGCGCGAACCCCCGCCTCGCGGCGTTCGTCTTCCAAGCGTCGCGCGACTTCTGGATGTTCGCAAGCATTTCTGCATCTACAGCAGGTTCATCCGCGCGCGCAACGCGTGGTGCAAGTGAGGCGGCCGCTAGTCCAGCGATGCGGCGGCGCGACAGTGGTTCGTATGCGAATGAGAGCATCGGTGCGAGCAAGAGTGCTCTGTGCAGTGCGGGCATGATTGGATCGTGGCAGCGCTGCTGAAAGCTGTCTGGGATCACTCCCAAGGGACTCCAACACAGTCATGCGAGCAAAGCCAGGCAGAGTCTTTTCTCTCTGTGAGTCCTAGTGTCTTACAGCCGCTAGCCGCAAACGAGAAGGTCTCTGTGTATTTCTCCTTATCACTCCACAACGCCCTCTTTGGGAGGCGTCCCTGAAGTCAGCCGGCGTCTTGCGCGGCAGCTTTGTGAAAAAGTTGCTGGCATTGCATATCGACTGTAGTCTCGCCGCATTCGTGCACCGTTCGTTGATCTGGGACGTCTTAAGATCATCACAGATCAGCATCAACGCGTGCGTAAAAGTAGGCGTGAAATCAGTCACGGGAAGACACAAAACTCAGGCTGACTGGAAACGCCCACAATGAAAAGACACCTTATTGCGCTCCTCTGCGCGTCGTCGGCGGCGGCGGACTACGTCGTCGACTGGCGCGTGCCCCAGGAAAACGACGCCAACGCGAACGCGTGGGTCGCAAGCGTCACCGTCCCGGTCGGCGAGAAAGTGGTAGGGGGGTCTGGTCACATCGACGCAAATTGCAGTGTCTACCATCCCAATAGCACGCCTGCTCGTTCAAGACGCGTGAAGACTCTCACAGTATCCAAGACTATCACTCTTCGTCAAAGGAACGGCACCGAGAGCCGTAAAACCGACCAGTTCCCAGGAAAGTGATCGTGTTGCCTGCTCACGTCGCGACGTCGTTGCGATTGACGCGTCGAGCGCCGTGAAAGCGCTCTCACAGTGACCAATGATGATCCAGTCCATCCACATGCAAAACAGACAGAAATTAAGCGAGATCGCTTTGGCGTCGCCCTCGTCGCAACCGCTACAGCGGCCCAAGCTCGACAGCGTCGACCTCGAGGCCGGAGAAAGCCTCGTCGCCGACGACGAGACAACTGCGCCGGCGGTCAAGCGCTGCAACCTCGGCTGGATCGTGGCTCTGAACGTCGTGCTAGCGGCGACCCAAATCCTGGTGGGCACATCCATCCTTTCATTAACATTGGTAAGTGACGGTTTTCACAACCTGAGCGACGCCGTGGCCGCCTTCGTGGGGCAACTCGCGGAGTCGTACGATAAAAGAGAATACGACAAGGCCCAGCTCCCCTTCGGCTACGCGCGGGCGTCGACGATCGGCGCGCTCATCAACGTCGCGGCGCTCCTCGCGATCTGCCTGTCGATCGCGCTGACGGCGCTCGTGCGCTTCTGGAAGCCCGTGGCCGTTGACGATCTCGGCGCGCTCGTCGCCGTGTCCGCCATGGGCCTCGTCGCCAATCTCGTATCCGCGCTCATGGCGGCGTGCGGCGTCGAGGTGCCCCATCATCATCACCACCACGGGCCAGGGGGCTGTCCCCACGATCACACGGGAGTCCCGCACAACCACGGCCCGGGGGAGCCCTGCGGCGGCCACAACCACACGACGGGCACCGGCTGGCGGATGATGTGCGGGCCATCGTGCGGTGGCGGCCCGTCCATCGGACTCATCCCGGGGCCGGTCGAGGTCGTCTTCTCGCCGACGTCGGGCCTGCCCCGCGGCGGTGGCGCGGCGGTGTGTGCCCCGTGCCCGGAGCCCGTCAAAGAGGAGGAACCAACGCCGGCACCGGCCACCCTCGACGTGGGACGGCTCGCTATTGTGGTGCACCACCTCGGCGACGCGGCGAACTCGCTCGTTGTCCTCGGCGAGGCGCTGCTGCTCATCTACGGGCACCGCTTCTTGCCGCGAAGCGTCATGCGCGGTTTGGGTCTCTACCTCGACCCGGCGTTGTCAATTCTGCTCTCGCTGGCCATCGCCGCGGCCGCGTGGCCCGTCGGGAAGATGGCCGCCTGGACGCTGCTCGAAGGAAGCCCCGTTGATGGTCTGGAGGAAGAGCTGGGCAAGGTCGCGGTTGTGGAGAGTTCTGCGTTGATCCACTTACGCGACGACCCCGTAGACCGCGCCGGTTTGGTGCGGCTGCGCCTGCGCCGCGGCGACAAGCGGCGGCGGGGCGACGTCGTGGCGGCGGCGCGGCGCGTGCTCAAGCGCTTCGCCGCGGACGAGCACACGTATGTGGAGGTCGCCGATGCCGCGTCCCCGAAGAGCGTCATCACGCAGAGCCGGGCCGTGTCTACTTTCTCAGGCCCCTTCACCGGCATCTCGTGCCGGCCGTGCAAGAATTAAAAGTCATTCTTACTACAAGTACTCTAGGACGCCTTGTGCATCCGCTCGAAGAACTCCTTCACGTGGTGGAACGGCACGCCCGCGAAGCGCGCCAGGCTCTCGTCGTCGGCCGCGTCGCCCACGTAGAAGCCGCCGCTCACGCCGCGGTCCGCGCACGCTTTCCGCCACATGCCGTCGCCCTGGGACTTGTGGTATTTCGTCTCGTCCTGCTTCGACAGCGCAACCAGTGCCAGGACAGGCACGCCGACGTCGTTCGCCCAGGAGCCGATCTTTGAACACTTGTCGCGCATCTTCTTCACCAGGTAGTCGAGGCGCTTGTACCTGTGCGCAAATTAACCGGTGAGTCGGGTGCACGATCGTGCCGCGACAATTTGATTTATGCACTGGCTTGTACCGGTCGAGGCACTCGTTCGAGAGGACGACAATAGCATGGCCGTCGGCTGCGAGCTGCCGAATGACCCGCGGCGCGTGGCCGTAGAGGTGCGACCACGCGTCCGGCCGGCCCCAGTCGAGCGGCGACAGCGTGTCGTCGAAATCCTGTGTGCGTCGATGGCGTCCCGGAGGGGTCGGAGTGCTCTCGACCGTCGACGCCATCCAACATTTGAAGGCCAAAGTTCAAACGACGCTGGTCAAGCACGAAGCCCGCGAGGCGCCTCACATCCTGCGGAGACCCTCCAAAGCGCCTGACGAGCAGCGCGTCGTCGACGAGCTGCCAGCCGTCCGGGATCGCCGCGCCGCGGTATTTTACTGTTGCGGCCGTCTTCGCTTTTTTTGTCCGGGGCGCAAAGAAGCTCGCGGCCGCCGACTTCGGCGCCGGCTTCGGAGCCGGTGCCGCCACCACTGGTTTCGCCGCCGTCGCCGCCGAAGAAGGCTTCTGGCCGGCCGGCGCGAGCGTCGCGACGGCCCCAAAGTGGTCCGAGGGGTACGCGGGCAGCACGCGCTTGTGGCGGTCCGTAATCGTCAGGTCCGGCAGCCGCGCCGTGCCGATGAGCGCAAAGCCGGCGACGCGTGCAAGCTTCGAACCGTCGAACAAAAAGACGCGGTCGTAGCGGTTCTGGTAGCGGTGGCTCAGCATGCGGTTCGCGCGACCGTCGTACGTGTACTGCGCGTCCCGCGGGTAGCCCGCCTCCTCCCAGGCGTCGCGCCAGTCCGAACCGTTTAGAGGCACGGCGCCGTCCCTGTCGTCCCAGTTGCAGTCGCCTAGCAGGACCGCGAGGCCGGTGCCCGCCCGCCCCTGGAGCTCGGCGCCGGCCGCGGCGAGCTGGCGCCTGCGTTCCGCGCGCACGGCCGCGTCGTGCTCCTTGCCGACGAAGGACTCGAGGTGGACGACACCCACATGGACGTCCACGTCGCCCCACGACGCGACGGCCAGCAGCACGCCGCGGCCCATCATCGACCGTTGGAAGTGATGCGTCCTTGCTTGACGCAGCGGCTTCTTCGAGGCGACGCAGCAGTAGTAGGGCGCCGGCGCGGCCTGCTTCAGGAGCCCCCGGAAGCCCTGACGTTTCAGGGCGGCCTCCAGGAACGGAAACGACTCGTCTGTGACCTCCTGGAACCCAACAATATCAGCCCCGGCGCACTCGCGCGCGATCGCGGCCATGCGCTTGGCAAACGTGTCCTCGTGCTCGAACCAGACGTTGAATGTACATACTTTGAGCTCGCCGGTCACGGACGGGGGCGGCCGCGACGCGTGGTGCGCGGCGCGTTTTCGGCGCGCCTCGGCGAGCTGCCGGGCCATGGACCCGTTCTGCTCGTCGCGCAGACGCCGGATCGCGGCGAGGTCGGCGGCGCTCGCCGCCGGCGCGAGGGCCTCGGCGTAGCGCGCCTCGACGTCGGCGCGTTCGAGCAGGTCGGCGGTGGCGAGGCCCGCGGCAGCGATGGCCGCCTTCATTTCCTTCACCGACGGCGTGGGCGCAGCAGCGCCGCTCGTCGACGGCGTCGGCGGCGCGCTGGCGCGCTCCTCGTCGCGCAGGCGCCGGATAGCGGCGAGGTCGGCGTCGGTGGCCCGCGCGTCCGGTATAGAGCCAAGCAACGCCGCCGCCGCAGCGTCGGCGTCGTTGCCGTGGGCTCGCAGCGCGGCGCGCGCGGCGTCGGCGCTCGCGCCGGTGAAGAGCTCGAGGCGTGCTACGACCGCGCTGTCATCTGCTGGTTGTGGTGCGTCTGGAGGCGAGTCAGCGGTCAGATCTACGATCTCGGCCATCGATGCTGGAGCAGGGCAGCGGGGCTGTGTCTAATCTGTGGATTTGGCCTAGCTATACGCGGCGACGCTTGTGCTTTTGAAAGAGCGCGATCGATGCTGACCCAGGCAGTCTATGCTTGTCCTCTGACCAGCTGTTGGCTGCGTGCTTTTGAATTTCAGCTCGCGCTCGAGCTAGCGGTCGTAAGACACTAGCACACAAGCAAAAAGCCGGGACCAAGCTGTTGCTACCTTGCACGGCGACGCTGTGGCAGTAGACGTCGCGAGCGGGACCCTAAAAGAGACCTCTCACCTACCCTTTCACGTGCGGCCGGCAAACGACGCACGTCTAGCGCCAGCCACAATTTCCAGGGCAGTCATGGACCTCCTCCAGTCCACGCCCTGGGACCGCTACGCTGGAGTATCGGGAGCATTAACCACAGTAGTTTGTGTCTCCGTGGGACTCGGTGGCATGATCATGAACGAAGGCGGCTGGCAGACCTTCGCCGCGTTTTACACCGTGTGTTGCGGGTTGTTGGTCGGTGTGATTGAGCTGCCGGCTCTCTACTGCCACTCGTACACGTGTTTGAAATTAAAAGATCGCCTCATCGAGGACACGAGCTTCCACCACGGCTGGATCCGCGCGGCGCTCTACTTAGCATGCACGCCGGCGATGTTCGGCTTCACTTCCATATTAGTGTGGCCGGGCTGCATGTTGGTATTGACAGCATTCCTCTACGTGCTCGTGTCGCTCAAATACCGCGCGGGCGGCGGCGTGCCTTCCTACTCGCAGGTGCCGCAGGCCGGCGAGGACGAGGGGCCCTCGTTCGGGACGTTTACGCTGTGAGTAATATCTGTAGTACAAACATTCTTATGCGGCGCTCGCATCGCCTCTCGTGTTACAAAACGCACCGTCGCGGCGATGGCGTGCTGGCGTTTCAACGCCATCACCGCGGCGCTTCATGCGGCGCACGGTTCGCAGCGGTTTTCGCGCGCCTCCCGTCGCAGTTCTTTCGCGAACGCGCGCTGGCGAGCCTCTGGCGCGTAGGCGCCGCTGCTCGCCGAGAAGAGCGCGTAGAGCACAACCACAAAAGCGAACACCGCGAGCCCGACGACGCCGCCGCGCCAGCCCGTGAGCAATGCGAGGCAAACGGTCACGGCGCGCGGGACGCGGAACGGGCCGAGCCACACGTTCAAAGTAATGATCTCCCGCGCCCATTTCGTGAACAGCGATCCGGTCTCCGCCTCGTCGTCAGCGTCGTCGTCGTCCGACGAGGCGTATGCCGTGCCGGCGGCAGGTGGTCGCAGGAGGCGCGAGCGCATGGCTGCTCCTGCCGCACGAATGCGTTCCAGCCACCGCACGAGTTCTCGGCTTGCAGTACGCAATTAGTAAAGAGCTGCCGCTATGTGCGAGAGCACTTGTAAGGGCCCAAAGGCTGCGACGGCCGGCAAAGCAAGCTAGCGTACGGTAACACACTAGATTACACACAAGCTCGAGCGCCGCCGCCGCTGCGATTGGTGCGCCCGCACCACGCTAAAAAGCGCGAGAGACCGCCAGTAACAGCGCAAACACGGAGCGCAAGCGACATCGCCCGTAGAGACAGCGGATCAGCGACTCCGCGCCCCCTGCACACAACAGACAGCGAGACGCGGCGCGCAGACAAGCGCGCAGACGTGCGCGAAGGCAAACAAACCATGAGCGCCGCAGCCGTCGCCGCGCCGCCCCCGGAGCCCGAGGCAGATGCCGAAGCCCCCAAGAAGCGCGGCCCGCCCGTCGTTATTATCGACAGCGGCAACACGAACGTGGCCGGAGGCATCAGTGGCAGGGCACTCGCGTCGCGCGTCAAGACCTTCCAGGACGGCTCCAACGTTTGGGTCCGCGAGAAGACGGAGGAGACCGATGCCCCAGAAGTTGTGGAAGCGCGACGGGAAGCTTTGAGGGCCAAGGCCGTCATAGGGGACGGTGAAGGTGTCGAGCTGGATGCCGAGAAGGCCAAGCAGGAAGCGTTAGGTGGTGTGAGTGAAGAAACGATGGATAAGACCGCGCGGGAGATCCAGTGCTTTAGGTTGGCGGCGTTTGACGTGAATATTGATGAATTGGAGGTCAAAGAATGGCTAAGGCCCGACGCGGACCCTTCAGATTATTTCAACTACGGCATGGGCGAGGACACGTGGCGCCAGTACCGCGACCAGCAGTTGATTCTGAGAAGGTCGCTGCAGGAGCGGCGCGCGGCGATGGCACAGGCGGCCGCACGAGAGCGCCACGCGGAATTACTGAAGCAGGGTCCTCCTCAACCTCCCACCTTACCGATGCCGATCATGGGTGGGCCTCGGCCGCCCTGGGGCGGGCCGGGCGGGCCCATGCCACCACCAAACGCTTTCCCACCGCGCGGCTTCCCCGGTTTCTTCCTGCGCGAAAACCAAAACTTCGCGTCGCGTCGATGGCGTGGCGGTGCCGGCGCCTTCTCCGCGCCATCGAACCGACGCGGTCGCGGGGACGACGTCGCGTCGATGGCGTGGACCCTCCGCGCCATCGAGCCGACGCGGTCGCGGGGACGACGTCGCGTCGATGGCCTCACCGCTCGACGACGCAGGCCAGGGCTTCCCACCTCGCGGCTTCCCGCCGAACTTTCCTCCTCAAAATTTACCGTGGCCGCCGGGCGCGCCTGCATTTCCTCCTCGGCCGAGCTTTCCTCCGCAAGGCGGTTTCCCAGGCGCTCCGTACGGCGCGCCGGCGGCGCCCGCGCCGGCGCCAGAGCCTTCTCGAAAACGGTCGCGGTCGCGCGAGCGGTCCCGGCGGCGACGGCGGCGGGGGGACTGAGTTAACAGACAACTTCTTAGGTCTTCCGCAGCGGGTCCGCGGCGTTCCCCGTTCCTAGGTCGGGATTGCATGCTTTCGAGAAAAGGCACGGGACGGCGTCGGGCGCCGTGAGAGCGTCGATCTCGCGCATCTCCTGCTTCGTCAGCGCAAAGCCCGCCACGGCAAAGGCGCGGTCCCGCAGGCCACTTGCGCACGAGCCGTCCGCGCGGCATGCCGAGACGCCGAGTCCGAACTCGGCCGTTGGCCGGGCGCTTACGGCGTTGCCGTTCTGGAGATTCCACCGAACTGCCACTTGCGCCGGCCCAACACCGTACTTCGCTGCTATTCTCCGCAGCACATCGCCCTCCAATAACTCTCGAGACGGTCCCGGCTCGCCGATCGCACCGTACGCAAAGGTCTTGACGCCTCGCTTGGCCGCGTAGGACCTGAGGCCGTGTGCATCCCGGCCCATGCCGGGGTGCAAACAGTAATAATCGAGGGCTGGCTTAATTTTCGCAGTGTTAAGCAGGCAGTCGAGCTGCTTCTCGCAGTAGTTCACCACGCCCAGGGCGCCGACGACGCCAGCACGCTGCGCGTCCTCTAGCACGCGCCATTGCGCCTGGATGATGTCGCAATTAGGCGTTTCCCGAAGCATCCACATATCAACCTTCTCGACTCCCAGAATCTTACGGTCCTCCTCTAGTTGCCGCTTGACGAGGTCCGCGGCGTCGGCCGGCGTCAAAGCCAGATTATTCTGGGGAGACCGCACCTTGGTCGTCAGAAAGAGTGCGTCTCGCGGCAGGCTTTTGAGCGCTCGCGCGACGCCGTCGCGCTCGATGCCCGGATGGAAGTCTACGTGGGAGATGCCGGCGTCGACCGCCAACTTGACGGCCCGCTCCGTCGCCTCCGCGGTCAGCCCGACGGTGTTGAGCGCGAGGGTCGGCATCGCGACGCCGCCGCCGAGGTCCCAGGTCGGAATGGATGCGGCGTGCGCCGGCAGCAACGGCGCTGCCAGCGCGGCGCTGCTGCCGCGGAGCAGTGTTCGGCGGTCGAGCGTCAGGCCGCTCGCTGTGCAGGCCAGAGCAGCGAGGGCAGCGAGGCGATGCATCGCTGCCATTGCTAATGATGCAGGCGAGTGGACTCAGTGACACTCGTCCTGTCAAAGCTCTCTCAATTTGCACCCGTGCTGCAACCTCGGTGGATGCACCAGTGCCTCACGGAGCGTGTGCAAAAGTCAGAGCAAAAAATAAAGCTAGATCAATAGACGTACTAGTGAATTTTCAAGTACGAGTTCTAGCACCGTAACAATATGAGAACGAGTCGTTACAAGGCGAAAGAGCGAGCGAGCGAACAAAAAATCATCGAGAGACGGAAGCGAGGTACTCCCAGAGCGGCCCCGCGGGCGCGCAGAGCGGGTGCGCGGCGCAGACGTAGTCCTCGAGCTCCGGGAAGGCCGCGACGGTCTCGTCCGTGCAGTGCAGCCGCGATACGCAAGAATCCTTGAACGTTTCCAACCTTTCCGACGTCGACGCGCCGCCAGCCAACAACGCGCCGACCCAGCCCGTCCGCCGCTGGTGCACGTGCGCTCTTAATAATAAACTCAACCCGTCGCAGAGCCGCCGGCACTGCTCCCGCCACAGGACGTCGGCCTCGCCGCACGACGTCCGCGCGAAGGAGAGTCGAGAAGAGATATTTTGCAAATCCTTCTTCGAGAGCCCCGGCGCCCGTCGGGCCGCCTCGGCCGTCTGCACGAGTCTGGAAGCCGTCTCCGTCGCGTGGCGCGCCGACGCCTCGGCCTCTCTCATCAAGTTCACCGCCGCTCTTACGCGAGTGACGCGCTCCGCCTCGTCCTCCTGGCTTCTCCACATAACGGCCTCGAACAAAGCCGCATCGGCGGAGTGCTCGTAGTCCAGGGACGCTATTAACGCGTTGGCTCGTCGTAAATCGTCCGCGGCCCACGGCCGCAACGGAATTAATCTATCTTGCTCAATACCGACGCCAATCACATACGAATGGCCGTTCGACGACGAACATGCATCGATCGATCGCTGGGCGTCGTCCGCGCCCGCTAAAGCCCTTCTCACGACCGCATTCGTCAAGAACTCAGTCAACACACAATCGATGCAGACGCGCCACGCGTTTGTGTCCGTCGACGTCGAGGCGTTGATCGGCGCGCGCGCGCCATTCGTCGAAGCCTCGTAGAGCGCGACGGCCGTCAGGCGCCACTCGTTTGTGCCGTCATGTATTTCCTCGTGGATCAACGTGTGTAAAAACTTGAGGACCGCGTGGCACGCGCCGTCCTTCCAGAACGCGATGCCCTGGCAGTCCGACGGCGCCGCGGCGTCGGGCAACCTTGATACAACGTCCTGGATCCAGTCCCCCAAGATACACACCTGGAGCCGCGGCGCCAACCCATCAAAGTGCGGCGACGCGCCTCCCTTCCATTCACTCCGCACGATTCTATACCGCGCGGCGTCCGTTAAACGGACGACGAGCTGCGCCAGGGCGTCGGCCCGCGACGTGCTATGCTGTTGAGGGGTCCTCTCGCGTTCGACGCGGGCCGTGCGCTGCTCGGGCGTCGGGTTTCGGACTGGAGACGAGATGGCCGGGAGCGTCATGCCCTTTTGATGCTTGGCGCCGTAGACCGTGCCGCGGTGGATGCGCGGCGGCTGGTGTTGTGCCATCAAAACCTGCTGCCCGATACAGCTGGTCTGCTCAAGCACTGCTGCCCCAAGGCGCCTGGTAAACGCGCTGCGAAGCTGCCCCGATGCCGCACGGCACTGGTGCGCCCCTTGGGCAGCCACCAGGTCAGCTTGCGCGTGTGTAAGGGCGCGCAGGGACGAATGCCAACGCCCTGGGCTTGGCTTCGCAGGACGAGCAGCCAGCTAGTACGTTTTGCAACCATGCGTCTCCGCAGAGGTAAGAGCGGTCAGAATGGGGTCGCTCGGTGGCCTGGCGGAGTCTTTGCATTGGCACTCGAGCCACGAGCTCTGCCTGCACAAAGTGACAAAGCCGAGGATAAGCCGTGCGGTTGAGCAACACAAAGCACCCAAGAAGCGGTAGAGCACGCAGCAGTGCTGCATTTTGCATCAAAATGACCGCGCGCCGGCGGCGCACGCTGGCGTGCATCATTACCTGTGCTGCAACAACCACCTATGCACTCACACCACCCCAGGCGACGCGGCGTATCAAAACGCGCGTCGCCGTTTCAAGGGACGACGCCGCCGACCCGCGCTGCGTCAACTACTCGAGACGGAAAGCCCTGCAAGGCATTGCCGCTTTTTCATTAATCGCCCCGACCGCCGCGAAAGCCACGTTTGGAAGTAGTTCTGCCGCCGTCACAAGTCCTGCACCCGCACGACCGCTCACGTTAGACCAACTAGAAAAACTCACCACAAAAAAGATCAGACAGCGCGAGGGCGCCTTCAGCCCAAAGGTGGTCGACGAGATCCTGTCAGAGTTGGAGGGCTCCGTCGAGGAGCTCAACAAGCGCACGCAGGAGCTCACGGACCAGGCCAACCGACCGTTGACGCAACTCTTCAAGCCGCAAGAAAAAACAGAAGTGGCCAAAGAGCTGTTGCAGAAATTTGAAAATGAGAAACGCGAACGCGAGGAAGCGATTGCGAACATCCTGTCCGCGAAGGACGAGTTGTTGAAACAGTTGGAGCAGCAGCGCGAGATCGAGGTCGAGCTGAAGAAGCGCGCGGCGATCTTGCGGAAGTTGGATGCCCAGCCCGCCTGGGTCTCGTACGCGGCTGCCGCTTTGGCGTCTTGTATCAGTACGTGTGTCATGCACCCCGTCGACACGATCAAGACGCGACTGCAAGCCACAAAGGCGGCGGATGTTGCCGGCCCTGAGGCGAAGAGGCAAGTAGGCGGTCCCTCCAAGCCGTTAGATCCATTGCCCAATAGTACCCAACCTCTAGTAGCATCATTTGGAGACCTCAAGGAATTGTACCGAGGATTGGCGGGCAACATCGTCAAGGAGGCGCCTTCCTCAGCATTGTATCTAGGTGTTTACGAGGTCGTAAAAACCTTCTTGTTACAGACGCCGTTGTTCGCGGATAAGGCCCTTGTGGTCTACTTGGTGGCGGGTGGTGTGGGAGAGTTCTGCGGGAGTATTATCAGGGCCCCTGCCGAAGCGCTAAAAACGATGACGCAGTCGGGTATTGCGGAGGACTTCGGCGACGCAGCTAAACAGCTCGCGACCGATAGCAAGCGACGAGACTCCGTCGTCTTCGCGTGGACGTCGTCGTTGTTTAGAGACGTCCCTATGGGCGCAATACAAATAGCCATCTTCGAAGGGGTCAAGAGCTTCATCCTCCAGTCGCCCGACATCGTCTTTGACGTGAACACGTTGCAGTCCGAGGCGTTGTTAGGGGGGCTCGGTGGGTTGATCGGGGCGTATCTGACGACACCGACGGATGTACTCACGACGCGGATCATCACGGACGAGTCCGGTGAATTGGAGGGCATGAACGTCTTATCCTTAGGTCGGCAAGTCATCGCCGACGGCGGCGTCGAGGCGCTGTTCGAAGGGAGCACGGAGCGGACGCTGTACTGGACGCCGGCGATCGGGATCTTCCTCGCGTGCTATTGTAGTTTGCGGCAGTTCGCGGCGGTGAACGGGCTGTTCATGGGGTAAGTTATTTCCTCTAGGCGTCGACGGGGGTCGTTTTCGGGGCGTGGGGAGCTGTGTTTCGCTGGCTTGCCCGCGCCGCGTGCGGGCTCTGGCATCCCAAGGAGAGCTGCCAAGGGAGAGCGCTGTAAAAACAGTGCCCAGGGACCACCTCCGCCAAACCCAGTTTGCCGTGCGTTGTGCGCGGTATCGGCTGGTCGCGTTCGCACCGCCTCGCAGCCAGGGAGCTCAAACGAGAGGCTGCCCAGGCTCACAGGATCTGCAGGGAGCAGGCCAGGGCCATAAGCGTCTCCTGCTGCTAACGCTTGATACCATATAAAAATGGGCGCGGGCGTCTCGACGGAAGGCGCCCCACTCACCAGAGTCAAATGCAAAAACAACCTCGGCGTGCTGTTCGACCCCAAGGCCGAGGAGGCATTCCGTGCCGCCGCGACCGGCCCGGAAGGCGCGGAGACCGTGCCCTGGCCCGAGGCCGACGCCTACGTCAAGACGCGCGACGAGCGCTGGCGCGACCCGAAGCACGTCTTATTTCAGAACCTGAAACAGTTCAAGGTCGCGCGCGTCGAGATCGAGAAGATTGCGGACGAGAAGATCAAGGGCACAATCAAGGAGATCCCGCAGCGCGGGCAGGACGTCGGCGACGAGTGCCAACAGCGCGGCCTTGACGGCAAGCCGACCGCGTCGCTCGATCCGCTGTACGAGATCGCTGAGCTGGCACGCGTGGCCTACGCCGAAGTTATGGCTGACATGTGCGAGGGCGGTCCGCCCCTGCACCTGGCACCGCTCAAGGGCCGCGCGCGATCCGGTGAAAAGGCGCGCAACGAATACGCGGACAAGACGGCGCCGTGCTACTCGTGGCTCTTCGACATCGTGCGCGGCTCCGTGTATTGCGACCACGAGGACGAACTGGTCGCGCTCTGGCAAAAGATGGAGGCGGACCCCCGCATCGAAATCGTCCGGACGAAGAATCGCTTTAATCCGCCTCTGTTCAACGGCTACCGCGACATCATGATGAACGTGGCCGTGGACGTGGATACGCCTACCGGGAAGATATCGCACCTCTGCGAGCTCCAGGTTCACCTCACGGCGATTAAGAAGTCAGAGCCGATGCACAAGAGCCACGCCGTCTACGAGTTCTTTCGATCGTTCTTTTTGGGAAACGCGGCAGCCGTCGAGCAGCGGCTGGACATGTTCTGCGCGCTGCCCGTCGATGATGTCAACGATGCGGACCAGCTTGTGGATGTCGTGCTTGGGTCTGACGCAGACGCAAATATGCTTGATGGCCTCTGCGAGTTGCTCAAGTCGATTCAGGAGTCCGCGGGCGTCGTGAAGGTCGAGAAAGCTATCTTAGCGGAGAAGGAGCGCGCGTTCGGCGCGGAGAGCAAGGAGGCGGGCGTGGCGCTGTATAATCTTGGGCTCGCGTACATGGGTCTCGGCGACTACGCCGAGCAACGCGACGTGTTGGAGCGCGCGCTCCCTATTATGGAACGAGAGCACGGCAAGGACAGCACGGATGTGGCCAACGTGTTGAATAATCTCGGGACCGCACACGTCAGTTTAGGCGAACACGCCAAGGCGCGAGACCTCTACGAGCGCGCGCTTGCGATCACGGGGCGTGAGCATGGCAAGGACAGCACGGAAGTGGCCGTCGTGCTGGGGAACCTCGGGTGCGCGTACGGCGCCTTAGGCGACTACGCGAAGAAGCGAGACATGCTGGAGCGCGCGCTCGCGATCAAGGAGCTGGCGTATGGCCGCGACCATCCAGATGTGGCCGACACGCTGAATAACCTCGGGAACGCGTACGGCACTTTAGGCGACCACGCGAAGAAGCGAGACATTCTGGAGCGCGCGCTCGCGATCGACGAGCGGGCGTACGGCCGCGACCACGTGAATGTGGCCCAGACACTGATGAACCTCGGGAACGCGTACAACGAGCTGAGCGACTACGCCAAGGCGCGAGACATACAGGAACGCGCGCTTGCGATCCAAGAGCGCGAGTACGGCGGCGACCACGCGCAAGTGGCCATGACGCTGACGAACCTCGGGAACGCTTACTACTCCCTTGGCGACTACGCCAAGGCGCGAGACTTACAGGAGCGGGCGCTCGCGATCAAGGAGCGGGTGTACGGCGGCGACCACCCAGAAGTGGCCAAGACGCTGGGGAACCTCGGGAACGCATACCGCGTGCTTGGAGACTACGCAAAGGCGCGAGACATTATGGAGCGCGCGCTCGCGATCGAGGAGCGGGCTTACGGCCGCGACCACGCGCAAGTGGCCGGCACGCTGACGAACCTCGGAAGCGCGTACAACTCTCTCGGCGAACCTGCCAAGGCGCGAGACGTCCTGGAGCGCGGTCTCGCGATCTTTGAGTGTGAGCACGGCAAGGAGAGCACGCAAGTGGCCGACACGCTGACGAACCTCGGGATTGCGTACGGTAGATTAGGCGACCAGGCGAAGAAGCGAGACATGCTGGAGCGCGCGCTGGCAATCCAGGAGCGGGAGTACGGCCGCGACCACGTGAATGTGGCCCAGACACTGACGAACCTCGGGAATGCGTACATGTACCTTGGCGACTATGCCAAGCAGCGCGACGTGCAGGAGCGCGCGCTGACAATCCAGGAGCAGGCGTACGGCCGCGACCACGCGCAAGTGGTCATCACGCTGAATAGCCTCGGGCTCGCGTACGGCGAGTTAGGCGACCACGCGAAGGAGCGTGACATGCTGGAGCGCGCGCTCGCGATCGGGGAGCGGGCTTACGGCCGCGATCACGTTGAGTTAGCTTCCACCCTCTGGAATCTCTACGAGGCAAACCGCGCACTCGGCGACACCGTCAAGCAACGCGAGATCTTAGAGCGCGCGCTCGTGATCAACGAACGCGCCTACGGCCCGGACCATTCTGAGACTGTCTATTGCCGGGAAGCGCTCGATAGCATCAGGGGTTAGCGCCGTCGCAGCTGTTTACTTAACTGTTTTGTATCATACTACTAGTACTACCGCAACTTGAAAACGAAACTTAGTTCCTCGCGGCCTTGAAGCGGCAGTCGGGCTGGGGGAGCGCCTTGATCGCCCGACACAGGCCCTCGACGCGGTAGAACATGGCCTCGTTGTACATCTCCAGGAGCACCATCGGGTCCTGCGGCAGCGCGTCCGTCCGCAGCCAGTTCAGGATGTGCCGGAAGATCCACCAGTCCCGGTCCAGGAAGAAGGTCCCGTCGTCGTCGGGAGCGATGATGGGTTCGTCCCTGTCACATAAAGCAGCCAGCACGCTCCACCGGTCCTTGCAGAGAATTCCCGCCGTCGTCTCGAAGATCTGCCCGCCGACGTTCAGGTTAATGCGCGTGTCCGGCGCCACGAAGTTCTGTCGGGCTTTGCCCTCGAGTTCGCTCCGCGCCTTCTCGTTCTCGGCGTGGAGCTCCGTGGTCTTGTGCCAGATCTCGCGCAGTTGGTAGCCCTCCCGCCGCAGTTCTCGTTCGTGCGCATCCAAGTCGCTCCAGAGGCGCTCGGCGTCGGCGGCCGCGGCCATGGTTGGTCTCCTGTCGATTCGTAGCTGCCGCAGCGTTCGGGCGGGCGTACGGCGCGACGGTGCAGCGCGGGGCAGCCAACAAACCGACGATTTTCACGCGCGTCCCGGGCGCCCTCGGGAGGACTCCAGGGAAGCTTCGCGTTCGCAGGACCGCTACCGAGGCGTGGAGGCATGCGATATTGAGTCTAGTGTCTATCATCTAGCCCAAACCAACTAAACCAAAAGGCATCGAGCGTAGAGAGCTGTACCAGTGCCTGCAAAGACTTTCGTGCTCTGGCAGTGATCTATTCTCAACTCGTTTTGCAGCGGTAACACGAAACCGCGCGAAAATGGCACGCCTGGCAGCCCTGGCAGCCCTGAGGCTGCTCATAGGCGGCTGCGCAGCGCTCGTGCCGCCGAGCGCGACCAATCAGTATGCTCCGGGAAGCACGCGCCACCAGCGCGCTCCGGCAAGCACGCTCCCCCAGCGCGCTCCGCGACGACGACGGAGGATAGCGACGTACGCGTCCCCAGATATAGAGGATCGCCTAGCCCTGGGCGGCGACGTCGCAGTGCTCTTCCTGTACAGCTACACGCAGAAGTCGCTGGACACGATCTACGCCGTGACGGCGAATTATGTGGAGGGAATCGAGGTCGACGAAATGGACTGCTTTCGCGACCCGTCGTTCGCCGCGGCGGCGCTGTCGCTTGCGTGGCTCTGCGGGGCCCTGCCGCAGGGCGCGTTCCGCTTCGACGTGACGCGCGGCGGCGTGAACAACGCGCTGACGACGGTGGCGAAGTGCGGCGGCCTGTCGGTCGCGGCCGTCGTGCTGCTCCTCGCGGCGCGCGCGGCCGCGGCCGGCGTGCCGCTGAGTCCGCAGGACGCGGGCTTCGCGGCGGGCATCCTACCTATCGTGGGCGCGTGGCGGTACGTGCTCGCGGACACGTCGGCGAAGCTCTAATTTCTTTCTTGTGTATCTAGTATACCGCGGGCCCAACCGTTATGGGGGGCCGCCCGAAGCCCAGAACCGTCGAGTTACCTCGCCAGAAGTCCCTGCAGTCTGCGTCCCTGGCTAGAGGGTTATAAGCTTCTAGGTTTGCCAGTCTTTGCCAGTCTTGGACGAGTAGCGCCGCTTGGCAGCTCTCAACGACGCTCGGACGAAGGGCAGCACGCACGGACACGCGCGCCACACGTCGTCGTACAGGCGCCTCGCCCAAGCAAACTGCTCCACGGACGACGAGCAGAGTAGCACCAGCAACCATGCCCCGGAAGCCCGAGGCCACGATCACCGTCGCCGGGTTGGCCGACGACAGCGCCTACACGAAGGCCTGCATCGTGGCCCAGGAGCTCGCGGACGCGCTCGGCAACCATGCCGTCGAGTGCCAATATTTTATGGAACAACAATGGGACGACTACCTGCGGGTCAAACAGGCGAAAGTTAGGGGACGGTGCATCTCGCATAAAACGTCTCCGCTGGTTCTAGTGAATGAAAGGGGCAGAGACCACTACGTCGGCAGCGATCGGGACCTGGACAAGCTCTTTCAGGCGGAGCTAGGACGGCCACCTTCTCCAGTGGACATGGCGGCCGTGGACAAGACGACTTTAGATCGATACCTGAAGATCCTGTCGAAGAGCGGCAACCCGTACGTGTACCTCGATGTCCAGTTCGCGGCCGACAGAGAAAATACCAAACCGAGGAAAGTAGTTATTGAGTTATTTTCGGAGATATGCCCGAAGTCGTGTGCCCATTTTCGCGCGCTATGTACGGGACAATTGGGTTCGGTGGAACACGAGGGCGAGGAGGTCAAATTCTGTGTGGAAATCAATCAGTGCGTCGGGCGCACCCAACAATTCTTCACTAAGTCATTTCTCGGCGATGACGTGGCCGCGCTGGCTCGGTCGAGCGGCGAGGAACCGGCATCGCCACGCCATCGAGCAAGCGCCGCGTCGAGGACGACGCGATGATTCAGCACGAACGTGCCGAAAAATTTTGATTTCCACACAGGTCAAATTGCACTACCGAGGCTGCCCCTTCCACCGCGTCGTGCCGAACGGCTTCGTCTGCACGGGCGATGTGGTGTCGGGTAACGGCCTGGGCAACGCCGGCGAACCTTTAGCGGACGAGCACTTCGGGTTTCCCCTCGACGTCCCGGGCACGGTCGGCTTTGCGCGCGGCGACGCGCCGCACACGAACCACCAGCAGTTCTTTATTACATTGAGCGACCAGAGCTGGCTCCAGACCAAGGCCGTGGCCTTCGGGCGCGTCGTCAAGGGCCTCGACGCGATCCGCCAGATCGGCGCGTTACCTCTCAAAGGCGAGCGGCCCGTCGAGAACGTCATCATCGCGAACTGCAACGTCGTGAATCTGGTCGACGGCTTCGGGCTCGGGCACGGCGGGGGGATGTAAGTTAGCTTTGCCAAAACGGGTTTTGCACGGGTTTTCACGATTCAGGGTTCGCGCAAAAACGCTCGCACGCGTGCCTTACGCGCATTTTTGCACAATTCAGCAGCGGCACGGATCAATATCGACGCGTTGCTGCGACCCTTGGCAGCAAAGACGCATTAATTACAGCAGTAGAGCGGTCACTGCACTCAGTGCAGACAACAGCAACTTCACAGCGATGCTGGCATTTGTCGCATTGCTGGCGGTCGTTACGGGCCTACAGGCGCCGCACTGCAAACCTGCCCAAAAACACTGCAAGCCTGCCCAAAAACTGCAAACGCGCCGCCACGTCGCTACCGTACCAACGTCGTCGTCCGAAACGCGCACATGCAGCTGCCGCTTCTGCGGCGCTACGTTTGCAAGCAAGAACGCACTCTTCCGACACCTGCGCGAGTCCGACGCCTGCTCCGCCGCCGCAGCAGCGGAGGACCCGCGCGCTCCCGCGGCAATAGCCGAGCGGAAGCAGCACGTCGCGACGTATCTTGTTGGCTACGGCGCCGGTAAAGGTGCCGACGCCGAGGCAGCGCTCACATCGCTCTGTAGTGCATCATCGGTCACGCGGGCTACGGCCGTCGCCGCGCGAGGTCGGTCCGCAGCATTAGCGTTGGGTGATGCGGCGGCGGCAAGAGACGTCTTGAGCGTCGTGAGCGACCACGCATTACCCGGGCCCGCACAACTGAACGAGGACCTCCCATCCGACATTCGCGTCCTAAGCTCGAGGCCGGGCCGCGTCCACGCAGAGAGCTCGGCGACGCAGCGCGCCTTCCACTACCTGCTGCCCCTGTGCTGGCTCGCGGGCGCCGAGCGCGCCGGGGCGGAACGCGTGGCGGAAGGCACCGTCGCAGGAGAGGCGGGAAAATTCGGCGTGCGACGGCCCGCGCACGCCCCCCGCGGCGGGGATAAGGCTTCGGACGTGACGCGCCGGGCGCTTCGACAGCTCAAGACGGCGCTGCGCGCCGCCGTCGCAACGACGGGCGCGTGGCACAACTTTGCCGATCCCGAGCTGCGCGGCCTGCTGTCGCCCTTCGCGGCGGCGACGCGCACGCGCCTCCACCGCGCGCGCGCCGCGGACACGATCGTCGTCCGAGGCGAGCCGTTCGTCGTCGTCGAGTTAAGGGGTCGCGGCTTTCTGCCGCAGCAGGCGCGGCGGCTCATGGGCGTGGCCGTGCTCATGCAGCGCGGCGAGTTGCCGGCCGACGCCTTCGACGTGCTCACGAGACGCGATTTAGTGATAGAAACGCCCCTGCCGCCGGCGCTCGAGTACTTCGCCGGGGCGCGCTACTCGGCGCTCGAGGTCAAGGGCGGCGACGCGTGGCCCGACGACGGCGGCGGGGCCGACGCGTGGCTTTCTGATCTTCGCGAGGACCTCATCATCAACGCGAATAGTGACGAGTGGTTGCGCGCGTTCGATTCCCAAGCTCTCGCCGCCGCTGTTTCCGCCGCGCGGCGCTCGGGGCACGACGAGGCGCCCGCCTCTTCCGAAGAGGTGGTCGTCGCGGCGACGCCCCCGCCGGAAGCGTACGTTTCGTGCCTCCATGAACTGCGCGCGGCGCATGACTCGGGCCGCTGGCCGCGGACGTCCGTCGCGCGGTCCAAACTCATCCGGCCGACCGAGACCGCGGCGTCATTCACGCTCGAGCGGCCGCCGTCGCAAGCGCGCGGCAACGCGGCCTTTCCCAAGCTCGCCGACGCGGTGTTTGATCTCGAAAGGACGATAGCGCCGGACCGGCCGCCGTCGATGCGCTGCGCCGTGAATCGCCGCGCCGAGTTCGCGCCGCATGTGGACTCGGGCCGGGGCCTCGGCCAGTCCACGTCGCTCATCGTGGGCCTCGGCGACTTCAGCGGCGGCGAGCTCTGCGTCGAAGGCGTCGAGCACGACGTGCGCTACGCGCCTCTGCAGTTCGACGGCTGGCACGAAAGGCACTGGACGCTTCCTTTTAGTGGGGAACGGTACTCGCTGGTCTGGTTCACGCCGGCCGAGGCGGGCGCGCGGACCTCGGCCGACGCGCGCGCCGCCGAGGTCCTCGGAAATAGGGACTTCCGCTACCGCGAGAATAGCTCGGATGCGCTGGCGATCCTCGAGGTGCTCGGGTCGGAGTGTTACGGCGCGCCGCCGCCGTTCCCGGGCGGGCAGGCGTATGATTTCGACCCGCGTGGGCGGGCCGTATTGGACGGCGGAGCACAAATTGGAGCTTTTTCCACGTGGGCGAAAGATAATGGTGCGGCCTCGATTCTGGCCGTCGAGCCCGAGCCGTCGAACGCGGCGCTCTACCGACAGAACCACCCCGACCTCGAGCTCGTCGAGGCGGCGATCACTGATAATGAGGACGTCACGCTCGTCGTCGCGCCGAACACGTGGCGGCACGCCGTCGAGGACGTGAGCCACTACAACGAAGGCGAGCGCATCGCCGTGGCGTCCACGGGGCTCGACGAACTGCTGGAGACGGGCGTCGACTACGTCAAGCTTGATATAGAAGGGGCGGAGATGAAGTTGCTCGCCGCACCGCGCGACTGGAAGAACGTCGAGCGCCTCGTCGTCGAGTGGAGCTTCACGAAGGACCGCGCGCTGGCGCCGTTCCTGGAGGCGCTCGGCCACCTGCGCGCCGCGGGCTTTGCGTGCGCGTACGACGGACGCGGGACCTGGGACCAAGGAGAAGTCTGGCCGGGGCGGACGGACGCGTTGGTGTTTTGTGCCCGGGATTTGTAACTATTGTCCCCTGTTTTGTACAACACTCGCAGTGAGTTCATTCCTGTTACTAAGACGGTGCTAGGACTAGTGGGCGAGCGCCCCCTTTTTTGCCAGTGCAAACACACTAGCTTTGGTCGGCAGGTGCGCAGTTGGCATCAAAACTGCGCCGTCTGTGGCGCCAGAGGCAGCATATCACGCACGCAAGTAATAAGTGCCAGCTGTAGACGACCACCACACACGCCGGGCAGCCTCGCACGCGTACGATGGCCATGGCAGCCACCCCGAGCCGGCCCGGTGATCACGAGACGGAATTTACAAGACCTGGCGTGTCCGAGGATGAAATCGAGGAAATCAAAAAGGTTTTTACGATGATGGATACGCAGAATGGCAGGCGGCCCGCGAGGGGCCAGCTCGACCCCAACCAACTGATGGAGGCCATGAACGCGCTCGGGATTGTGTGGAAGAAGTCTGACGTCTACCAGACGCTAGCCGAGGTCGACCACGACAACAGCGGCACGGTCGGACTAGAAGAATTTATTAATTTGACGACGGCACTGGTGACCGAGGCCGACCTGGACCGGACAAACGGCAACTTCGATGCTTTGTTTGCCAAGTTCGACCACGGCGGCGATGGGTACGTGGACCTCGCCAAGCTTCGCTTCGTGTGCCGGGAGCTCGGTGAGCAATTGGGGTCTGGGAGTGAGCAGGCCGACGACCAGCTGCGAGAGATGCTGAAGCACGCGTCCAAGGACGGAAGCGGAGAACGGGTGACGAAGGACGAGTTGTATGATTGCCTCGCGAAGACTAGGTTGATGTAAGGCGGTTTCAACTAAGGGGCGCGTCGATGGCGTGGGACCCTAGTAGATATCATACAACTCCGCCTTAGTTTTTTTCTGACGTGACGGACTCAATTTTGCGCGCGGCCCCATGGCAGGGCCGCGCGGGAAAGGGAGAGAAGGGGGAAAGGGCGCCGCTAGGGCTGCGACGCCGCGAGGACCCAGCGTTCCGGCTGGTCGACCGTCCGGACCTTCCAGACGTTCGCGCCGCTCGACTCGTCCGTGAATCTGACGAGGTTGAGCCGGTCGCTCGACTCGACGGCGCGTCTCACTACTAACGGGTCGTCGCAGAGGTCGCGCAGCCGCTTGAACGTGCAGACGTGATCTAAGGGCACGAAGCCCTGCCCGTCCATGCATCCTCGCAGATACACGTCCTTGCACAAGTTCGCGACGCTAAAGTAGTACTCGACCTGGGTCCGCAGGGCCTCGTCGAGGCCGTCCTGGGAGATCTGCCGCGCGGGCGGTTGCCGCGCCGCTTGTGATGCCGCGGCGGCCGCCGCCGCCGCGGCGTCGTCCCAGATGCCGTAGCCGGTGGGCGGCGGCGTGTCCGAGGCGTCGCCTAAAGCGCCGGCCGCGACGGCTCTAGCTAATGACCCGCCGGAGTCGAGCCGCGGCAGCGGCGGCGCCTTGCGGTGCTGGCGCGCCTGCTGCGAGCGGCGCCGCGGCGAGTCGCGCGGCGACGTCCGCGGCGAGACGACCTTCTTCTTCCGCGGCTCGGGCTTCTTCTCGCTCGAGCCCGAAGAACTGGTAGAGGTCACGGAGGGGCACTTGGCCGGCTCCTCCTTGGGCTGCTGGGAGAGGCGTTGATCTAACAAAGACTGGACGACCAAACCCTCCTTGCGGCCTTGGGGTGGCGAGCCGCCGCGCGACGGGGGCGCCAAAGGCGGCGTCACGACGTGGTGCCGCGGCGACACTTCCGGGATGCGCGGCCCCTCGCCGACGACGCGCCCACCTTTCGGGACGGGCAGCCACTCGGTCGACGCGGCCCAGTCGTCGTCGGAGTCGGCGAAGGACGGTTCGGGCGCCTTCTTCTCAGTTTTCTCGACGACGACCTCCTCCTTCGTAGAAGCCTTGGGCTTTTGTTGCGGCGCGCGCCGCCGCAGCTTCGAGCCCGACTTTTGCTTCTGGGGCTTCTTGTTCACAGCTTTGGCGAGCTCGTCGCCCGACGACGCCGCGGCCGACTCCTCGCCGTCGCTCTCGTCGGACTCGTCCTGGGGCTGCGCGATGCTCGTAATGGTGTCGACGGCGCGCAGCACGACGGCGCCCGCGCCGATCGAGGCGTCGGCCTTCTTTATCGACCTTCTCAGCTTTTGTAATAAATCAGCGAGGCACAATCTCAAAGCTTCGAGCGTGTCTCGCAGCAACGACTCGCCGTAGGCCCGCCACGTGAGCTTCGGTTTGCGCTTACTATAGCCGTCGGCCGTCTTGCGCCGCGTGTCCTTCAGCAGGGACAATCCTCGAACTAACGCGACGACGAAAATAAACAGACCGCCGTAGATCTTCGCGTTCCTCTCCCGTAGACGCTGTCTACGAGTCTTCTGGCCCGTCGCGCGTTTTCTGGGAGGCACCAAGCCCGGGCGCCGGCCCGTGCGCTGGTCTCTTTGCACCACAGCGGCCCGATGTTGCGCCACGACGTGGATGACGTCGAAGCGAGATAAGAACCCGGGCGGCGGTCCCGCCACAGGAGCGATGGCCAGCCCGCACCGTCTCTGGTCCTCCTCGAGGCGCGCGACCTCGTGCTGGATCCAGGCCCAGCCCTTCGCGTGGACCTCAGAAACGACCCCAACGTACTGGGCACCCTCGGCGGCCACCAACCTTCCAAAGGCGCGCGTCACGGGCTCCTCGGCCTCGTCCGTTTCTGTGGAGACGGGCTCGTCGGTGACGGGCTCCGTCTCGACCTTGGGCGTCGCCTCGGCCGCCGCCGTCGCCGCGGCGGCGGCCGCCGCCGCAGCCGCGCCCTTCTCGCCAAAGAACGCGTCGGCCAGAGCTAGGTAGGCCGCCGACGCGTCGACGGCGTCTTTCGGAGCGGCCGGCTTGTCGGTCTCGAGTGCCGGGCGGTTCTCGGGCGAGGCGGCTCGTAACATCGCAGCTAAAGCGACGCCGGCGGACCACTCCGCCGCCGCGTCCTTGTTCTCAGCGGTAGATTCGACGTTCGAGACTTCGTCGGCCGGCAAAGCCTTGGCCGTCGCCGCGGCCGCCGTCTCTCTCAGCAAAGCTAGGAGCCGCGTCCTTTGTAGCGCGTCCGGCGCGTCGACGTAAGCTCGGACCACGCCGTCGATGTCTCTCCGGGCGGCTCTGGCTTTCCCTAACGCGCGCGCGTAGTCGCGGGCCGTCTGCGCGCGTTCCGCCGCGTCCATCACTGATAATTTTGACAGATATCTCAGCGTCGCGACGCGCTTGCGGTTGCGCTCTCTTCTCAACTGATTTTTCGGCGGCGGCCCCGCTCCACTACCCCAGCCGCGCCGCAAGCGGGGCGCGTCGCGGGGCCAGCGGGCCTCGAGGTCGTGGCGCCGTCTCGCCAACAAGCGAGCGCCTTTTTTGGCGTCTTCCGCCGACGCCGCTCCTTCAATAAAGGCCTCGGCGCGCGCGATGGGCCTCCGGTCGCGTTTCCTTCTTAACCACGCGGTGGAGTGGGTTACCACATCCCTTTCTAAGACGCCGACCTCCTCGTGCTCGCCGAGGGCTTTTCTGGCGTCCATGAGGTCGGCGTAGCAGCGCAGCCACGACACCTCGCCGCGCAGGTGCTCCTCGCCGGGTGCGATGCGCCGCGCAAAGAACCAGATCGACGGGCAGACCGCCGTCAGGTGGGTCACGGCTTCCCGCGGTCTCCCATCTTCGAGTAGTAGGGAGCCGTAGGCCGCGCGCAGATGACTCGCCACGTGCTGCGCGTCCTCGAAGGCAGCAGCTAACCGTTCCGGAGCGTTCTCGTCGTCTCCACTATGGCCGATCTGCGTCCTAGCGAAGATGGCGTGCCTTACCGTTCTCTCGTGCGACGTCCAGCGGCCGACGGCCTCGCCGAGGAGCTCGCGGGCGCCTCTTGCATCGCCGGCCGCCGCCAGGGCCTCGCCGGCCTCGCGCGCTTTGGCCATGTCGGCCATTTGCGTGTGGACGTCCTCAACCTTCACACTTTTTGCTCTCTGTATGGCGGCGCCGGCTAGGCAGCCGATGAAGACCGCCGCCGCGCCGATGCCGCGCGCGCAGCGGTACAAGGTCGAGCGCCGCGCGGGCGCTTCATTGGCGGCGGCTTCCTTCTGGGAGCTGCTTGACGAGCTCTGGGCTCCAGAGCTGGCCGCTTTGCTGCCGGCCGGGCCGCTGGCTCCTGTATCCAGAGCGGAGCTGGTAACTTGCACCGCTGAGCGCGCAACGCTCATCGCACTTACCATATCACTTCGCCGGCTAATGTCTGAGCTGATACGCTGCCAAGGATGCGCTGGGGGTGCCGTCTCGCTCAGTAAAGCCGCCAATCAGCAGCTGCAATCAGCCTGCGTGAGTTTTGGGGCTAGTAGCCCCAGGCGGATCCGCAACTTGGAACGACACCCAACTAGATCCTGAAGACAGATGCCTCGCGTCACGGGTACGCGAGGCAACAAAAATTGCCGCTCTCTCAAGGCAGCAGAGGAGCCGCAAAACGCTTGCCCATACGACGCCGGACACGACGTACAAGGCAGCACTGGCCCTTGCAAAACCCCGAAAAATGATGATCGACTCTGAAAACGTCAGTGACAGCGATGGCGAATCCGTTGACGCGGAGCTCCTGGAAGCCATAGAGCATGGGTGCTCTCAGGATGCCGTCGACGCGGCGCGGCGACGGGGCAGGGATCGGTGGCCGTTTGACAATGATCTCACTCGTGTGATTTGTCAATTTGTGCCAAGACGCTACGCCCAGTGCGCCTGCATCTCTCGAGCGTTTCGCGGCCAGCGGGAGGCGCTGCGGCGCGCCGAGGCTCGCACCGCGCTCGCCGCGGCGGTGCCGCTGCCGGTCGCCGCAGCCATCGAAGCGGTGCTCTGGAGCACCGAGAGCAGAGACGGCTATGCGAGATCAACGCGCCGCATCGTCTTCGCGCTGCGAAGGAACGACCAGCTTCGAAGGCGAGTCCTCGATGGGTCGCTGACGCCTACCGCTCTCGCAACGCTCGACGAAGAGGCGCTCGCGCCTCCAGCGGTGGCTCAGCGCCGCGCCGACGACCGTTCGCGCCTAGCCAAACGCGTCGGCGCACGACCATCAACACTCCCAGAAGTCGACGCGTTCGAGTGCCCTCGATGTGGGGCGCGCCGGGCTTACGTCGCCAACGCGACGCACGGTGGATCCGTGGATCGCGCGCATATCCTTGCCCGATGTTTAGAGTGCGGAAGAGGGTGGGCGCCCTGATCGGAGGGGCTAGCTAATTTTGTCTAAGTTTAGTGGAATGACAGGAAAAGGACCTTACTCAAAAGTACTTCTCACCGCGGAACTTTTCGTCCTTCGCTCCGATTTCGGAGACGGTAATGACGTGGACGCGGAGGGCGTCGAGGTGTTTTTTGAAGCCAACCTCCGTGGAGAGGTCGCAGCCCGCGAGCAGGCGCTCGCGTTCCTCGAGGGCGCGCCGCGTCACGCCCGAGAAGTTGGCGTCCTTCACGTTGTTCTTGTGGGCGTCCATGAGCTGCAAATTCGCGAGGCGGTTGAGGTAGCGCGCGGCCTCAGTAAAGTTGCCGTCGGCGTCGACGAAGGGCCCCTTGCTTTTGAAAACGAGCGCGCACGGCTCGATGTGCTCGACCTGCAGCTCGCCCCTGGCCCATTTGTCCGCCACCTCGTCATCGACCGTCGCCGTCGGGGCATCGCTATCAGGCGGCGGCGTCGGCGTCGCAGAGCGCGCTCGGGCGGCAGACCGGGGCTTCTTGGTCCCGACCCGAACCTGTGCGTAAATCAACCAATGCGTCGGATGCACGATACTTCTTCACCAAGTCCTCTCTCGGCGATGAGGAGAGTACTGGCTGAATCGAGCGGTGAGAGACCACACGCCACGATGTCGTGCTGACGTAGCGTCGATGGCGTGGAGGCCATGATTCAGCAGTGGTGGAGACGCGCCGCGATAATTTGATTTTTGCACTGACCGGAACCATGGGGGCGTCGTCGCCATAGCGCTTCCTCGCCGCGCCGTCCAAAGCGTCCCACATCTCGCCGAGCCTCGCCATGATGGCCTGTGTGTGATCAATCAGTGAGTTCTCTCGGCAGGTCCTTCTAATTCAAATCGGAAGGTCAACATGGACGCTGATTCGGTCACCTTGTTCTTGTCACTCCCGGCGAGGGCGGGTGACGCGTCCTCGACGAACTTCTTCGCGGCCGCGCGGTTCTGCGCCCTGAAATGATCAAGCGCTCCTCGCTTCTTCATCTGCGGCGCGGCGTCCTCCAGCTGCGGCGGCGCGGAATCTGCACGGGGCCGGGGCGCCGGCGCCGGCGCCGGCGCGGCGCCGGCAGGAGTAGTCCCCGGCGTTGGAGAGCGTCCACGCCTTGGCGGCGCCGGCGCCGGCGCCGGCGCGGCCGCGTCGGCGTCGTCGCGAGGCATCGTCCGCGCGGGAGAGCGTCCACGCCGTTGCTGCTCGGGACCCGGCACCGGTCCATCGAGTCCGACGTCGGCACGCGGCGACGGAGAGGTCCTACGCCGTCGCCGCTTCGGCGCCGGCTGCTGCGCTCCTTCTTCCGCAGGCGTCGGCGAACCTTCGCGCGGCGCCGGCGCAGGCGCAGGCCCACCTTCGTCGCGAGTGAGAACCGCGGGCGCCGCTTCGTCGCGAGCAGGCGCCGGCGCCGGCGCAGGCGCGTCCTCGGCGGGCGTCGCGTCGCCGTCGCCCGCAAGCCGCGCGTCGCCCGCAGGGTCGGGTCCAGCGGCCGGGGCGCCTTCGCGTGGCGCCTCGGCGACGGGTGCAGGCGCCAACGCCGGTGTTGGCGTCGCCGCCCTATCGGCGTCGTCACGCGACGTCAGGTAACGCTCCAGGGCGTCGGACCGCGCCGAGTAAGTCGTGACGCCGCCCGCGGAGTGCTCGGCGACGTGTCCGTAGGAGTACAGATGATACAGTAGCTCCTCGACGTGCCCGGGCGGCACGAGTACACTTCTAGCGATCTGGTCGACCGTCAGGTGGTGTCCGGCGTAAAACGCGAGCATGCGAAGGATGCCTTTTGCGGGGCTATTTGCCGCGGCCCGCATCACCTCGACATTTAATTCATGCTGTGTAGGTAGTTGGGCCCGCATCTTCCTTTTCCATTTCGGGCCCCAGTCGTCGGCCGCGGGGGTCGGGGCGGTTTCCTCCGCGACCTCGGGCGCGGCCTCGTCGCCGTCCGACTCGTCCATCATACCTCCGGGCGCCGGCTCGTCGGGGAGACGGAGCCCCGCAAGGGCCGCCTGGACGCAGGACGCGAGGTTGCAGCAGGCCATGGCTAGACCGTCAGTTCGAGACCAGAAGAACACGCTGCAGTGGTCACACTTCCTCTGCACGTACTCCGTCCCGCCACTATTTAAATACGTCAAGCCGTCATCCTTCCTGAACGTCTCGACCTGGGGCGTGGCGTCTGCGTTTGGAGGAACAAATTGCCATCCTTGTCCGGCAGCGCACGAGTTGCTGCCGCAGCCGGTGCAGCCATTGCCGATACATTGCATGCTGCGTGAGCCGCGCCGGTCCGCAAGCTATGCTTCTCGGCTGCTGCTGGGTTTCGGCCGCGTGTCAAAGCGGTGCGAGGTTTCACGACGCGCGAGCTGCCTAGGCGATCTCGCAGATCATGTAGCGTTAAACAAACACAAATTAGGTGAGCGGTGCACGCCTGCTAGCGCCGTCTGTAGGCGTTTTCAGGCACCTCGCAAATTTGGACGGCTAGCGGGGTTGACACACTAGTTTTGGCCGCTGAGCGCCGCGACGGCGAGACGGCGGTAGTAATCATACAGCTGCGGAGACGACCTCGCACAGCTCTGAACGCTGCAAACATGTACGCGCCACCCATGGGCGTCCCACCACCGATGGCCGGCGTCCCACCACAGATGGGCATGCCCCCCCCTCCGATGGGCGGTATGGCCCCGCCGCCGATGGGCGGCATGGCCCCGCCGCCCATGATGCCCCCCCAACAACAAGCCGCACCCATGCCCGAGCCGCCGCCGTTAGTACTACCAAGAGTAGCCGCGGCGGCGCGAGCCGAGAACGACGACGAGCCACCGCCGCCCGGAGATGATGTGGATGAAGGCGCCAAGTCGCCGCCGCCGGAGTTTTTTGATGATCCGCTGCCCTGTGAAGTCGCCTATGGCGTGGAGGAAGAGAAGAAGGGGAGAGAAGCGGCTTTGTTAGCGGCAGGAGGCCCCGTAGCACCCGTAGAACCGACGCCGGCGCACGGCTGGCGCGTCGTCGCGAACGGTGGCGTGCGGTACTGGTACAACGAGAGGACGGGCGTGTCGCAGTGGGAGGAGCCCGCGGAAGTTTCGGGCAAGGACCAACCCGCAAAACTGTACGATCCCGCGGTCGGGCCGAAGAACGATGATTTCGACGCGTTATGCCAAGCGGCCGAAGGCGACTCCATCTGCGAGCCTATTGGGGACGGTGTCCTACTACGTGTGATAGTAAAACCAGCGCAGGAGGAAGACGCGGTTTTAGATGTCAAGGACTATGCCGCGCTCGTAGCATTAAGGGCACCGATCGAGGATAGGTGGTGCAACCAAGCACTCCTAGCATTTTGTAGAAGAGCATTACACGTGCCCCAACGAGAGAGGAACGCGGTCAAGATCACCGACGGTGATGAATCGTTAGATAAGATCGTCCACATCCCCGCATTATCGCCGAAAGAGGTCGTCAAGCGCCTCCACAAGAAGAAGGACTTCGAGGTCGACACGAACGACGTCGAGAAGTGGATTAGACATACCGAGCGCAAGCAGAAGGAGGAGGAGCGGCGCATGAAGCGGCGCAAGTGGGCCTAAGTATTATTTGCTATATTTATGGGGCGTCGCGTCGACTAGGCGTCGAGGGGTGGGGTCCTCCTCGGGGCGCCGCGGCCCCGCGGGTCGGCGCCGGCCGGTCCAGCGGCACCACGGCCGCCCATCGGCTCCCAACCTACCTGTACGGGCCTCTTCGGGAGCTTTCGAGCCACTGTACGGGATCTGATGCCACATGAAAATCTGCCCTGGGCTCTGCCTCACGTCGTCAGTGCTACGCGGCTACTCACCCATCCAACAAACCATGCGCGCTGTCATCGCTCTGATCGCTGGGCTCCTTACATCCGCTTTGGGCTTCGCGCGAGACGCTGTGTACGTTGAGATAATTGCTGTCAAAGCTGGCTGCAATGATTTGGCCATCTTTTTGCGGCCCATCGCGCGCGACCGAGGCCCAGCGCGCCGAGGCGTTCATCGAGAACGCTGAGTCGACCGACGACGCGAAAGTCGACTTGGGAAATATGAGCTGTCACCCGCGCCACCCCGCGCAGGCCCCCGGCGCGACAGCTCGCACGAACGACCCCAGTCAAGATGGTCGAGGGCATCAGCGAGCTGCCGACGGTGCTCACGTCGTTCGACACGCTGGCCGAGGCCCAGGAGCTCCTCGACGAGTCTGGCCCGTTCGCGCAGCTCTTCGTGTGGCCGCCGTTTTACGTCATCTCGGTCCTCGGCATCATCGTCGGCATGCCGGTCGCGACGAAGCTACGGCTAGACTCGCTCGGCGACGCGCCGACGTACCGCAATGGCCGCTACTAGACGGTGCGTCCGTCCAGAGGTCCCCGCGGCGCCCCGAAGGGCGTCGTTCGACAGTGTAAGGAAGTGTAGTAGTCTCCGAGGCCGCGTACTTGGAAATAAATTTACACACGACCGACTAGGGGTGGAACTTCGTCCCGGCCTTCGCGTGGTCAAGCAAAAGCTGGGCCGGCGCGAAGTGGTCGCCGTGCTCGTCGGCCAGGCGCGACAGCTTGTCCGCGTAGAGCTGCGCGCCGACGGCGTCGATCATGCGGAAGGGCCCGCCCGTGAAGGGCAGGAAGCCCGTGCCGAAGACGGCGCCCAAGTCGCCATCGGCAGGCGACTTGAGGATGCCCTCCTGGAGGCAGATCAAAGCTTCGTTGACAAAGCGACTCAAGTAGCGGTCCTGGATCTGCTCCTTTGTTAATTCAGCATCTCTCTGTTTGATGGACTTCTCCACGTAGTCCAGGACTTCTTGATGGGGTTCCTTCTTTTTGCCCTTGTAGACGAAGAAGCCTTTCCCGTCCTTGCGGCCCTTCCAGTTCTGATCTACCAAGTGTTGCAACATTTCCGGTTTGGCGCCCGCCATCCTCGAACCCATGGTAGCATCAGCCAACATGGTATGCTGGACATGTAAACCAACATCAGCACCGACCTCATCTAACAATGTTATCGGCCCGACGGGCATGCCTAGATCCAGTATAGCTTCATCTAACTGTTTGGGCGTGACCCCATCCTCAAACAAGGGTGCCACCTCGGCCATCATCGGCGCGAGGGCTCGGTTCACGTAAAACCCAGGCACGTCGGCGACTTCGATGCATGTTTTCCCTTGCTTGATGCCTACCCCAAACGCTTTCGACATGGACTCCTCGTTCGTCCCGGCGTGGGGGATGATCTCCAGCAGCTGCATCGACGGCACGGGGCTGAAGTAGTGCATGCCCAGGACGCGTTCCGGCTTATCAATACCCGCAGCCACTTTTTCGATAGGTATCGCCGAGGTATTCGTCGCCAAGACGCAGTCGTCCCGAACTAAGCCTGAAACAGTACCAAACACTTTATGTTTGAGCTCCAGGTTCTCGAACACCGCCTCGATGACGACGTCCAACTGAGAAGCTTTCTTGGCGAACGCCTCGGCGTTGCCCCCGTCGCTGTCGTGGTAGCCCGTAATGCTACTCACAATGGTGTTCCGCTTGAAGGCGTCCATCCTTCGCCTTTTCACCTTCTTGTCGAGATTCCCGGCCACGTACGCGACACCCTTGGCCAAACCCTCGGGCGAGACGTCCTTCAAAGCTACAGCCAAGCCCTTCTCGGCACTAACTTGCGCGATGCCCGCGCCCATGAGGCCCGCGCCGAGCACCGCCACAGACGACGGTTTTGTGGTAGAGGGGTAGGGGTTCTTCTTCGCGGCCGTGATGCCGTCGAACAGCCCGATCAGCGCCGACGACTCACTTGTTTTCGCGAGCCTCACGAAGGCGTCGGCCTCGAACGCGAAGGCGTCCGAAGGCGGCTTCCCGAGGCCGTTCTCCACACAACTTAGGATTTCATAGGCCGCGGGATACTTACCACGCGTCGTCTTGTCGACGGTCTCCTTAGCCTTCTTGAACACGAAATCGCGCCCGAAACTGATATCTTCGGTGGCCCAGCGCTTCCACGACTTCTTCTTTTGTTTTTTTTTACCTTGCGAAAGTTGTACTGCGGTTTGTACCGCTAGAGCTTCGAGCGCGGCGGGATCACAAACAGCATCAACGAGCCCGATCTTCTTCGCTTTATCCGGTCTCACTTCTTTACCCTGCAGGATCATCGGCAATGCTTCCGTGAGGCCCACGAGCTTGGGTAAGGCGTACGTGCCGCCCCAGCCCGGTAATAATCCGAGCTTGACTTCCGGTAAGCCTAGCTTCGTCTTCGGCGACGTCGACGCGATTCTGGAATCGCACTTCATCGCCCACTCGAGACCGCCGCCGAGGCAAGCACCATGGATCGCCGCGACGAAGGGCACTCCTGAACCCTTCAATTCGTCGAACATGGCGTGTCCTGACAAGCAGACGGCCCGCAACGAGTCCTCTTCCCCTGCCTTCTTCTTCGCGGCGAGCATCCCAATGTCGGCCCCGGCGATGAAGTTGTCCGGCTTGTTGCTGATGAAAACTGCAGCCTTGACGTCGTGCTTCGACGTCAGCTCCTTCCACAGCATCTTGGCCTCGTCCTGCAGGGCCGGGCTCAGCGTGTTCATCTTTTGGCTCTTGTTGTCGAGGCGGATAATCGCGACGCCTTCTTTTGTTACTTCTGGCACTCCCGCGAAAAACTTGAGGTCGTTGGATGATAAGTGGCGCCGCGCCAGCGCGCGCGGGGCGCGGCCGAGGCGTGTCGCCAGCATCTTGCTGCACTGCACTGCACTGGACTACTTGGGGAGCAGTGGGTACGTAACGGCAAGCGCTGCGCTTCAAGGTGTGGTTTTGCGAGCACTTGGAGCGTCCCCTCGCGTGCTTAAACCCAGCCCTGCGTTACTGGGGTTGCAGCTCTGCGATGGAAAGCACTCAATGGCAAAGGGCCTGCAGCAATTTTTGTGCGAGGACTAGCATCCGCGAGCACGAGTTACACTCGTTCTTCAGTCGTATTCAACGCGCTGCACGCCGTGAAAGAGGTTTGATGCTAGTGTTTTGACGCACTAGCATCTCAGCCTTGAGGCTGTGGAGGCTCGAGTTTTGAGAGCGCTGCTGAGTGGCGCCCTGCTCGAGATACACGCGTGTTCACTTGCTAGCACCGCTGCAGTTTTGCACATTGCAAAAGAGCGAGACGGCTCGCTGACCTCGGCTTGCCGCTCAGGGAGAGCACGCACTGCAGCACCTCGAGGATGGCTCGGCTAGCGCTCGCAGTACTCGCGGCGAGCGCCATGGCGCTGCGACCGGCGACGACGCGCGTCGCGCGCGCACCAACACAACGAAACTTGTTCGGCGGCGCGCCGCCCGAGGAGGACACGCCCGCGTCGCCGCCGCCGGGGCAGGGCGGCCAGACCATGTCCGTGCCCGGCCTGGGGGACATCACGGAGGAGGAGATGAAGCTCGCCATGGAGTTCCGCCAGAAGATGGCCCAGAAGATGCAGGAGACCCGCGTCGAGGGCTCGGCGCTCGGCGGCAAGGTCAAGGTCGTCTACGACGGCCAGGGCCAGCCGTCCTCGGTAGAAGTAACGGACGCGGCGCTCGGCGAGGGCGCCGACAAGGTCGCCCAGGGCGTCGTCGACGCGGCGAAGCAGGCGCAGGGCGAGGCCCTGGTGAAGATGAAGGCCATCATGCAGGACATGCAGAAGGACATCGCGAAGACTCTTCAAGCCGATATGAAGTAGTCTGGGTAAGAGGATAGTGACGAAGTCAAAGTTTCAAGTTCACATTTACTTGTCCCCGTCCACGTCGTCGTCGTAGTCGTGCGCCGCCGCCCCTCTGCGCACCGCGTTGCCGACCTTGGAACGCGCCTTGCCGTGCGCGTATTTCGCGACGTGAGCCAAATACCGATCTTTGTCGGGGAGCGTGCGCGCGACGGCGTCGAGTGCGACCATCGCGTCGTACCAGCGCCGGTACCTTTCAAAGTCCGCTGGCACGGCGAAGTCCGGCCCGCGGTAGTGCTCCAGGACGTACAGTCGGTACGCGTAGGGGAACAGTACTAAATCAGGTAAACCTGGCGACGCCCTCCCTCCCCAGAACGGCCCGTTCAAATCACTCGCGTCGTCGTCGTCGAAGAACGCATTCAATCCATCCAGGATCTGCGCGAAGCCCTCCTTCCTTTCCTCGTCTTCTGTCCGCACCAAAACGCGGTAGTAGCCGGAGCACACCGTCCGATTCACCTTGTCCGCGGCGCACCGGCTCCGCGCGGCGACGAACGGGTCCGCGTCCACGAGCGGTGGGGCACTACCGCCGCGGACCCGCGCCAGCTCGTCGACAAATTGCACGCAGACCGCCGACTCCGTGACGACGCGGCCGTCTTCGTCGACGAGCGTCGGGACCATGCCCAAGGGATTCGCTTCCAGTAAACCAGGGCTCTTGTAGTGGTACCAGAAGTCCTCGCGGTCGTCCGCGTCCAAATCCTCGTCGCCCGTCGGCGGCCGCTGCTCCCAGCCCAAAGCCTCCTCCCAGGCGTACGGCACGACGTCCGCGTGATGCGCGAGCGCCAGGGTCGCGCGGTGCGCGAAGGGGCAGAACCATGCACTATAATATGTCAGCGGTTTTGTCTCTTCCGCAAGTGGGCCGAAGGCAGCAGTCGCGGCCAGGAACCCGGGCTCCGCGCGGTGCACGCGAAAGCCTCGCACGGCGCGGCGCGGCGCCCGGCGGATGAGGTGCAGCATTTTTTAAATGCTTTGGTGCGCGTCGGCTGGCGTGCCGTTGTCGTTCTGTGCACCACTTATCGATCACTTGATGTGCTGCACTGCTGCTTGATGCACTCTAGGTCGGCGTGAGGTGCCCCAGCGATCCTCTTCTTTTTGCAGGACGTAGTCGCAGTATCTGCGACGCGGCTCACAGCTCCACTTGCTGCTCGCTCGCTCGTATGCGGCGCTTTGCCACCGCCTCACTCCAAGAGTGAGTTAGAGTCGCGGGTTTTTGAGAAGGAACTATCGCGAATTTCATAGTGAAACGTACTCCACAGGACCGCTCGCGAGCCGTCCGGGCGGCAAGGGCCACTAGCCCTCGTTGCCCGACTCACCTGTGCAGCGCTCGACAAAGACGAGAGCACCGCGCCGCGGACGGCAAGCTTTCGGCTGCCCGGACCAGCTTGAGAGCGACTAGGCAGCCCGGACCGACCGTGCAGGCAGTGCGACCGCGAGACGCCGGCGGCGCGAAGAGGCAGGACCATGGCAGCACCCTCTCGAGAAAGCACGGGCCGCCTCGTCACGGACTCGACCTTCACGCTGCCCTACGCCTACCCCTCGAGTGCAGACTACTCGATCGAGAGCCAGTTCGACGACGTGCCGGGCCCGTACCGCCGACAGCGAGGCACGCGGGCCGCAACAACTTTTGGCAATTCTACGAGGGAGGACTACGCGTCCTACCTAAGAAGCATCGGCGGCGGCGGCGCGCGATGTTCCTTCGACCCCGGCCACCCGAGCTGGTGCGGCGTGAACCCCGGACCGGAACGGTACGAAGATGGGCGGGGCTTCCCCGTGGCCCGCCCGTCTTTCATGGACAAGAAGCCGCCGCGCGATTCCAAAACTCTACAGAAGACGCTGAGGGCCCTCGGCGAGAAGTGCTGGCCCAACGCGACTGTTGGTTCTGTGGTAGTAGAACTGTCCTCGAAGGAACCCACTTATGCTCTGCCGAAGAAAGCGGAACGGCAGACCTCAAGCAAGTCAGGATGGGCCCGCGATCGTTCTATACGATTCCGCAAAGATCAAGAAGATCGGTTATTTGGCAAGTACGATCATCCCGCAAAGTTCGCGGTGCGGACGAACCTGACGGGCGCGAACGCGACGATCGGTTGTAAAATAGGCAAGGGCAAGCGTGTCTCATTCTTGAAGGATGCTGTTGCATCCCACGACCACTTCCAGGATTCTGAGAGGGCGACGGTCGCCAGGGATTGCGAGAGGTGGAGGGCAGGTACACCAGGTGCCAAACAAAGGCCGGCCTTCGGCAACGCTATTCCCAGAGACTGTCTCCCGAAGCAGGGCGTACCTAGAAAAACCCCGAGACCGGTCTTCGAGAACAAGGCCCTTCATAAATTACTGACGGAGAATAAACCTCTGAGGAGGAGGAAGGACGGGTCCGTACCTGCCGAGAGAGACCTCGATAATGACTATGAAGATGATTTCGAACGGAGGTGGTGGCCGCGGCAAACGAAGCATTGGCCACCTGTCAAAAAACGGCCCGTCGGCCGGAAGACGAAAATACGGCAGCGCCAATTTGGAAGACAAGAAAGACCCGCTCTTCATGAAGCGATGAAGGTCGCGGGACGGCTCAAGGGCGCGAGCGGCTGCCCGGGCGAGTACTCTCCGAAATGCCCGAACCGGCCGTCGACCGTCGACGAGTCGATGCGGACGTTCAACGTTCACTTGCGACCGGCGACGTCGCCCCCGAAGCTCCGGTCGCCGGTCGAGGTGCCGGACAATATGCCGCGGAGCATCCGCAAACTACCGAAACCTCCTGACTGGAAGGTCTGGCAGTCGCCGGTAGCGAAGCGCCTGTCATCTTCGAGGAATGAACGAAGGCGGCTGCGCACCGCCGCTTCCATGAAACGTGCCGAGGCCGAGGCCGCGCGGCGGCCGTCGACGTCGGCCGCGGTCTACCGCATCCGGTCGCCGCTCTCGTCTAGGGGTTCCCTCGCGTCGAAGCCGCCGGCCCCGGCGCCTCAGCCGGAGCCCGCCGCCTCGTCTCCTCCGGAGCCCGCCGCCTCGTCCGAGGGCGACGAGTACTCCGACGACGCCGAGGAGGAGGAGGAGTTGTACTCCGAGGACGAGGGTTGATAAGCACAAGTTAAATGTACTTACCCTTGGCCGGTTCGCTTGATGCCACTCCCAAAACACCGCGGGCGACCGATCCACCCCACCACCACCTTGGCGCCACTCTAGGCGCCACAATATGCTGTCGCCGGCGCGACGTTTGTGCCATGAAGTCAGTTACTCCCCCAGAGAAGGCAGGCGGGGTTCCGGCAGCGGCACTAATGACAGTCCGCGCTCACCACGCCCAGGATCTTCACGCGCGACGGGCCATCAGTCGCCCCAGCGTTCTCGATGAAAACGTCGCCGCCGGAGCGGCGCAACGCGCGCATGAGCTCCGACTTCGACGGGAAGCGCGCCACGCGAGGAAGCGAGAAGCGGTCGCGGCGGCCGTCGACCTCGACGGAGACCGCGCCCGGCGAATGCGGTTCGCCGGCCCAGGCGCGGAAGGGCCCAAAATTGGCAAATGATGCGAGATACGTGATGGAAAGTTGCGCGCCGGCGGCGTCGACGCGGAAGCGTATGAGCGAGCCGGGCTTGTCGCTCAGCCAGCCCGAGCGTCGGCCCTGGTCGTCGCGCGGCGTCGAGCCCTTGTTGAGCCGCCAGTCGCCCGTCAATTCCACGTCGGTCGAAGGTTGTCCAGGATCTACGACTGTCCGCGCGTGGAGGCATATCGGCCGAGAAGCGATCTCCTCCGCCGGTCCGACGGTCGTCGCCGGTATTGGCGGCGCCGTGCTGGGCGCGCAGTCGACGCGTTGGCTCGGTATTGGGTGCAAATTCTGCGGTGTGGCTCTGCATGATTTGCACCCGGCCGCTATCTCCAGGAAGAATGCCCTCGCGAGAGCGTCGGCCAGTAGCTGATGCGTCGTCCACGGCGGATGATTTTGCGGGTACGAGGCGCCCTTGGTCACTCTCACGCGGGGCTCACCCGCAAAGAATGCACCTTCGTTCGCGGCGACGGCGCGCCACCGCTTCGAGCGTTGCAGCAGCGGCTTTCCCGCACTGTCAACGTAGTGCAACGCCTGCGGCCAGATGCGATCGACCCGATCCGCCCGCCGTTGTGTTCGCGCCGCGGTGGCTAGGTCTACAACGCACAGGCTGTAGTGCCGCGCGATCTCGAGCCACTCCTCGGATCCGCTCCGGACAATTACCGGAATCGCGGAAACGACCGTAATCACGACGGCGTCCGGCCAGATCGTCAGTAGGCCGCGGACGACCACTTCGAACCAGTGCCACTCGCCGTTTAACGCGTCTCCGATGGACAGGTCGAGAATCACAACGTCGGGCGGCGACTGTGCGAGCTCTTTCGCGATCGCTGGCAGTTGCTGCGCAACGTCCACGCTTGCCTCGCCGTTCTTCTGGTACGAGTGCCAGATTTCGGGCGGTCTCCCGGGTCGGAGCTCGCGCAGGCGTCGTGCGAAACGAGCCGGCCAAGCGCAGTCGCGCTGGTGATGAGTCGTCGACTCGCCACAGTTCGAGCCGATCGTGAACGAATTACCGAAGACCGCGAAACGCAGTGGCACGTCGGTGGCTGCGCGCCGCGCCAATGCGCTCGCGCGGTGCGGCGAGCCCGGCACGTAGGCATCTCTGAGCGCGGGTATCGGTTTCATTTCATTAAACTCCTCGACGGCGCGAAAGCCGGCGGCCTCGTCGGCGTCGCCGTCCGGGGTGAAGCGCGCGTCGATTTCCGGTAACGACTCCCTCGTCTCGCGCTCCCCGTGAAAGACGACGGGCGCCCAGGGCCGTTTGAGCGCTCGCGCGGCGTCCTCGTCGCATGCATGTCTTGCGGCGGACGCCAGCGACATCGTGGTGATGATGATTATCATGGTAAGAGCCCGACCGCCTGGGCAAAGTTAGGAAATTAGCTTTTGACAACAGGAAATTGATCACAAATCCGCTACACTTCGTGGTCCGAAGTCACGCCGACGCATTTGCGACCCAACACTGCGATCGCGAGTGCCACGAAACGGGCTTGGCCGCGCCCTGGCTCTTCCCTGCGGACTCGGCTCGAGTTTAGCTAGCGTCCAGTAAGACACTAGAAAACAAGCAAAGCCGAGCTTTCCAGATCGCGCACATTGCGGCATCCAAGGACTCTCGGCTGCTAGCGACTGTTTTCTGATTGCGCCCTCTCAATTCAGGGCGCCAGAAAGCATCCCAACCAACAGTAAGCATCCCAGCCAGCATCCCAACCAGCATCCCAACCAGCATCCCAACCAGCAGCAAGGCAGCAATGTCTCTCCTATCCCTGGGCCTCCTCGCGGCTTACTTCGCCGGCGGCGTCCAGTTCATGATGAACCAGGAGGGCTGGGACGCCGCCGACGCGTTTTACTTCTGGTGCATGACCGTCTCGACAGTCGGCTACGGGGACCTCGCGCCCACCACGCCCAAGACGCAAGCCTTCGTCTCGGTCTACGCCATCGTCGGCCTAGTGCTCGTGTGGAGCATAGTTTCGGACTACTACGGCGCCGTGCAAGGCAAGCTCCAATCTTTCCAGGCCAAACTCCTTAAAATGGTTGGTATCGAGCTCGTCGACGTGCACGCGCTCCCGATCGACAAGCACACGCCCGAGCAGGTGAACGCGAAGATAAAATATTGGCGCCGCTACCTCCTGGCAATGCTCCCGATGGTCACGCTCCTGGCGCTCTTCGTCGCGCTGCACTTCGTGCGCAAGGAGTCGAGCTTCACCGAAGCCGTGTATTTCGGCGTCGTCACGGCGACGACGGTGGGTTTCGGAGACTTCGGCTTCCTCGACGAAGAGCCGCTCAACAAATGTCTGGCCGCTTTAGGAGTGATGGGCGTCGTCGTCGTCTTCGCGAACGCCGTCGACGAATGTCTACTAATAAGAAAACGCCAGCAGCTGCGCCACGGCAAGATCGCGCTGCCCTCGCTCGAGCAATTGGAAACTCTAATCAACAACAAGAGGAACGCGGGCGAGGGCGACTACATCAGCGAGGCCGATTACGTGGTAGAGACGCTGCTCAAGGGCGAGCTCGTCGACCCGCAAATTTTACTGGCCATCCGCCGGAGCTTCTACTGGAAGGCCAACGCTGCGTCGAACGGCAAGCGCAACTCGCTGATCACGTCGGAGGACCTCGCAGCACTCTGGAAGGTGAAGAACATGGCTGGTGCGCCCGGTGCGCCGACCCTGGACGTCGACGACCTCCTGGGCCACGGCAGTCCCCGATAAGACCTCGCCCGCCCCCACTGACTAGTTGGCCCCACGCCTAACGACAATTCATTTTTACACATAACGATTCGATGACGGAACTCACTCCTCGTCGTCGACGACGCACACCAAGTCCGGCCGCCCGCCGTCGACTGAGACGACCGCGCAATCGGATGGCGATGCCGGCGTACGCCTCGCGAGCGGTGACAAGCGTATATGGTGAAGCAATGCCAGCACGGCCTGGATCCCGTTGAACCAATAAATGGCGTAGATAACCTGGCTCAGCGTCTTCGCTCGACTCAGGAAGACCATCATCGCGACGGCGCCGACCGCCGTTTGCGCCGCCAAGAAACGAAAGGCGCCCAATCCAAGTAGGACGCCCTCCGCGACGAAAGCGACGCCGTTGACAGGTTGCGCCAACGCTGATAGGAACGCCGGCGTCCGCGCGGCCGCACGGACCTCCGGCAGCGGCGAGAAGCACCGGACAAGGGGCAAGCACGCGATCTGCAGGAGGCCGAGCGCCGTGCCCGCGAAGAGTCCCCATCCCATGCAACGATCGGCGACGCGCCGTGCCGCGTCCGTCGCGTCGGTATCGTCGTCGTTTTTGTCCCCCTTGCCCAGTGCCGCCGGCACGAGGGCCGCCGCCGATGACTGGAGGGCAAACAGTGCGACGCCCGCCAACCTGTGTGGATCGATGCGACGTTGTGTCCGTAACTGCGTCTGCTCGATGGCGTGGAGGTTCTACGGCAACCTAACTCACTTGTTGATTTCCACACAGCCGCCAACAGCCACAACTGCTGCGAAATGGAGTAGGCGGCGGCCTTGACGCCCGTGGCATCCATCGCTTGGGCCGACCTAGTTGCGGCACCAAAGGCGGCGTTCAACGCTATTTGTCTCACCTGCATAGCGGCGGCTCCAGCCGCCAATGCCTTCACTGTGGCACGCGCCGGCGGCCTCCTCCAGAACGTGGGAAGCAGTTTCCGCCCACCGATGCGCTTCGACAGCTGCGAGAGGTACATGAGGCAGCCCACCGACTCCGCGAGAGCGGTCGCGAGCGCCGCGCCCGCGACGCCCAGCCCGCATCCAAAAATCAAGATCGGATCTAGCACCGCGTTCAGGGCGTTGTAAAATAGAGAAATGCGCAACGGCGTGGCGGTGTCGAGCAGCCCGCGGAACGCCGCGAAGCACGTCGAGGAGAGGAGTGCGGGCAGGTAGCCGAGGGCCCGGTATCGCAGGTACCGCGCGGCCGGCGCCAGCGCCGGCGCGTTGGCCGGCAGCACGAGTTTCAAAAAGTAGCGCGGCCAGCCCACCAGCGCGACCGTCCCGCACAAGCCCACGGCGCCGGCGATCCAGAGCGACTCGCGCGCCGTCGTCCGCACGCCCTCGTCGTCGCCCCGCGCCGCCGCGCGCGCGACGCGCGGCGCCGTCAGCGTCGGCACGACGGCCAGCACGAAGAAGCAGAAGTTGAAAGCCGCGTTCGCCGCGCCCTGGCCGGCCAGCGACAACGCCGAGCCCATGCGCCCGACGAAGAACGTGTCGACCATCCCGACCACGGGGAAGACCGCTAAAGAGAGCATCGCCGGCAGCGCGACGGCGGCGATGTCCTTGTCGAGGGGTCCGCGCGCCGGCTTGAGAGCTGCCGCGAGGCGCGAGGGCTGTGGCGCCGGCTGCTCTACGGCGTCGCGCGGTTCGGCTGCCGCAGATCTCCTGCTCGATGCGTATCGTCCCGCGAGGCCGCGCACGCTCCGTGAGAGAGGCTTTGGTGGCACTCCCAGTCTGTGCCACCGCGGCGCGTAGGCGGCAGCGCAAGCCAAGAGAGCTGTCGCTCGCATCGCTGCTGAGGTCGTACGCATCGCTGGCGAGGTGTGTCTGATCAGTGTGCGCCGCGTTCGTGCACCACCTTGGAGGCAGAGCGCTGCTGTCCAGCGGAGGCAGAGCAGTGACCAATTGGCCCAGGGCTCCCTAGGCATCAAATTGACAGCTTCGAACGTCCAAGACATTCAGGCACTGCCAGCCAGGCCTGAGCCTCGCGCCCGCCTTCGGCAGTCCCAGCAAGCACTGGTGGAGAGGGGGTTTTGCCTACGTGCGAACACCCCGGCCAAAGCCATGGGCGGTTGCTGCGGCAAGGAGGATGCAGCAGACGAGCACCGACGCCCGCCGCCGGGCCGACGGCCGTCGCGGCCGCGCGCCTTCCAGGGCGCCGGCCACACGCTGGGCGGCGGCGGCGCCGACAGCAATACGCAAGGTGTCGACGCCAGAGACGCCGCCGCGAAAGCCGCGATGCAACGAGCGAACAATGCGGGGGGCACGGAACGCGATCGGAAAATGGCCGAGCGCCGGCAGAAGGACGAGCTCGTCGGGAAAATATTGGCGCACTATCAGGCGCGCGGCCAGGACCCGCCGATCGGGCTGCCCGCGTCCGACGTCGAGACGCTCCGGAAGCACCTCGCGCACGTGAAAAAAGAGGCGGCGGCCGCGAAGGGATCGACCGCGCGACCGCCGCAGATCGCCCTGTGACGTAGTAATAATAGTGAAAATCCTAGATGTTGCAGCTACCGGATGCTTGTAGCTGAGGGAACTCACGGCTGCCATCGATGCGCGCTAGCGGTGAAAGACACTAGGCAAGCCAGCAATCGAGGCCAAAACCAGGCGCGCTTGTCCACATTCGTGCAAATTAAGGTGCCTGGTGGAGTCCCAGGGCCTTCCAGCCAGAGCTCCTCGCGCCGCAACGAAGCTGCGGCTCCGCAACCTACGAAAAAACAGCCTACAGGAAGACAGGCAGTGCTGCGCAAGAACTGCGCAAGCAGCAGCCATGGTCGACTACTCCAAATGGGACGCCCTCGAGGTCTCCAGCGACGACGACGACTATGCTGATAAGCCCAACTCCAAGGAAGCTTACAGGAGAATCAAAGCGCGGCAGCGCCGCGAGTCGCGCGACGAGGCCGAGAAGGCGGCCCGGGACGCGGCCGTAGCATTAAATGAAGAGCTGCCGTCCGACCGGGAAAAGGCCGCGGCAATCGCGCAGCGGCAGGCGGCGGCCGCGCCGCGGACCGCCACGCCGCGGTGGCGGCCCGGTCAACGCGACCCGGTACCTGTCAAAGCACCGAATGACGCCGCCTTCGCGGCGACGTTCCTCGAGCCGGCGGATTTCAAAGAGAAGCCAATCATCCTACCGGAACCCTACGAGGAGTGGGACTTCAGAGTATCCATACCTCTTGAGTCGACCTGCCCTTACAGCTGGCCCGAGGTTGATAGGACGTTCGCCGAGCATGGTGAAGGAGCTGGATTATATGTCCACGATTCCAGGACCTTCGGGCCGGACTGCCTCATAGTGCACGTCGCGCAGTTCCGCTGGTGGCTGCGGAGCGTCGAGGAGGCGGAGTTCTACTGGGACGACACGTTGTCGGTGTCCAGGACCGAGGAGGACAACGACCCCGAGCTGCACATGTGCTGTCGGCGCTGTCATGATATGAGGGGGTCTCCATTAAAGCTGGACGGCGCCGACGACTCGCTGGTGTTGCGGTCCCAGAAATACAACAATGGGTGCGTCGCGTTCAATTTGTTGTTCCGCGTCGGCTGCCTCTGCGCGAAGGTCTTTTTAGTGGTGGCGACGCCGGGGACGCTCGCCGAGGACTCCTTCCAGGGCCACGCCGTGCGCGCGGGCGAGCTGGCCGTGGCGAAGGTTCGGAGCGGTCCTGGGTGTGTCTCATAATGTTTGTTTGTACGAAATCGAAAATCCTAGTATGTCTAAACACTAGAGTGATTATATTTTTTTATGAAAGTCTTTGACCCTCAGTAAAAAACGGATAGCGTAGAAACCTGAGACGCAGCAAGGGTACCAGCGCATCGTTGCAGCGCAGAGATTGGAGTGCAGTTGCACTGCACGCGCGTCCGCACCCGCTCAGTACCGAAACCGCAGTGGGACACCACAAGCTGCTTCGCGGCGGCGCGACGCGCGAGCAAAAGCGCACCACAGCGCAACGCCAAGCGCACCACTACAGCGCAGCGCCAACGTAAGAACAACGCAAGAACAAAGCAAGAGCAACGCATAACTCATGGCGGCGACGAGCAAAATATACTTGCCAGACGCCAAGCTCGTCTGGGTCCCCGCCGACGTCCTCTCCAGTAACGACAACACCGTACGAGTGGCCAAGTACGTGCCCGACCCCACAACAAAATTAGACGACGAAACGCCATCATCGACAGAAGAAGTTGTGCTCAAGGAGCCCTTCGCTTCGGTGGAATCCTTGCCCTTGAGGAACCTCGACCTGCCCGACGCGGGTGCTGATGATATGGTGTCCCTCGACTACTTGCACGAGGCGTCGGTGTTGTACAACTTGCGAAGAAGGTATTTTGCTGCTTTACCCTATACGTATACGGGGACGATGTGCATCGCCGTGAACCCCTACAAATGGCTCGATTTGTACTCGGAGGAGAATAGACTACAGTACGCGAAGAAGAAGCGCAATGAGCTGCCGCCGCACGTTTATGCGATTAGCGCGATGGCGTATGATGGCGTAGCAGCTCGATCCGTCGGCGGCGCGGCCGCGGGCGTCGACCAAAGTATATTAGTGAGCGGCGAGTCCGGCGCGGGCAAGACGGAGACGGTCAAGATCATGATGGGCTATTTGGCTTCGGTGGCCGGCCAGACCGACGGCGTCGTCGTGAAGCGCGTTTTGGAGTCGCAGCCTCTGTTGGAGTCCTTCGGCAACGCTAAAACTGTAAGAAACGACAATTCGTCGCGCTTCGGCAAGTTCACGCAGCTCGAGTTCGACGCGACGGCTCGGGTCGGTGGCGGCGACCCGCCTTTAGTAGGTAGTAGGTGTCGGACCTATTTACTGGAAAAGAGCAGGATCACGGGCCAGGCGCCGGGCGAGCGGGCCTACCACTGCTTCTATGGGGTTGCTAGAGGTCGAACAAACTCTCGGTTAGATTTGACGCAGCAGCGCTTCACTGCAAAAGGCGACCTTGCCACGAAGTCCATAGAGGGCGTGGCCGATCCGGATCGCTTCGCCAAGACCTGGGACGCTTTGAGACTTGTGGGAGTGGAGGATAACGAACGGGACGCCATCGCTGATCTACTAGAAGTTACTTTATTGCTCGGCGACGTCGACGTCGAAGCGACGTCCACCGAACAAGGAGAAGGCTCTTCCTTACTCCAAGATAACGCATCTACGAAAGCATCCCAAGCCCTAGGCGTAAACACGGAAGCCCTGGGCAAAGCACTCACGGAGCGAACGGTGAAAGCCCGCAACGAGACCTTCAAGGTCCCGCTCACGCAGCAGCAAGCGCGGGACGCGAGAGACGCCCTCGCGAAGGAGATCTACGTGCGGACCTTCGACTACATTGTTAGTAAAATTAACACGGCCACGTCTTCGGGGGATGTGGACCGGGCGATGCGGGTCGTCGGTTTGTTGGACATCTTTGGCTTCGAGTCGTTTGCTGTGAATCGCTTCGAGCAGTTGTGTATTAACTACACGAATGAGAAATTACAGCAGAAGTTTACCTTGGACTTGTTCAAGACCGTGCAGCAGGAGTATGACGAAGAAGGGGTGCCCTGGACGCATGTGGCCTTCCCGGACAATGCCGCCGTATTAACTTTGATAGAAGGTAGGATGGGCATCATCGACGTGCTGAACGAGGAGTGCGTGCGACCTCGAGGGAGTGATGAGGGCTTCGTGTCGAAACTAACGACGCTGCATGGTACCGAGTCTACAAGGTACATACCCCATAAGATGAACAAGGACCAGTTCACGATCAAACACTACGCCGGGGATGTTACTTATACCGCTCATCATTGGTTAGAAAGAAATACGGATGCCTTACCGGAAGATCTGGCCGGTGTCGCTCGGAGTAGTTCATTCACGATGCTCTCCCAGTTATTCTCTTCGTCAGTCGTCACGACGAAGAAGAAGGGTAAGTTGGTGAAGGACACGGTGTGTACGAAGTTCAAAGCACAGTTAACATTACTGATGGAGGAGATTGAAAGAACAACAGTACAGTACGTGAGGTGCGTCAAGCCCAATTCCATTAAAAGTTCGTCTCATTATGATGTGGAGATGGTCGTCGATCAATTGAGATGTGCGGGCGTCATCGAGGCTATAAGGGTGGCTCGGGCGGGCTATCCCAACAAATTACCTCACGCCGAAGTACCTCGACGGTTCGGGTTACTATGTGATACTTCGGGATCGACCCTACAGTTATGTAAAGCTTTGATAGGCGAAGAGCCGGCCACGCAGAAGCGCGACGGGCCCTATGCCGTTGGTAGTACACGAGTGTATTTCAAGGCTGGTGTGTTAGAGGCTCTGGAACGGCGTCGGGCCGACGCGCTGGGGGAACGGGCCATTGTCGTGCAAGCGAGGTGGCGCCAGATCCGCCACACACGTAGATACAAGAGTGCTAAGCAAGGTGCTAAGAAAGTGCAAGCGCGGCACCGGAGGTATATCGCTAGACGTCTCTACCTCAAAACAAAAGCCGCATCCATCTTAGCGCAGTCGGCGCGGCGCGCGTTGATGGCGCGGAAGCGCGTGGCGGCATTGAGGCGTAATAGAGCTGCATCGCGCGTCGCGGCGACGTGGCGCGGCCGGAAAGAAAGACGGGCCTATGAATTACTAAGGACGAACGCGGTCACTATACAAAAAGTGCAAAGGCGGCGCGCCGCCGCCTCATTGTTCACGAAGATGGCCAGCGACGCCCGGGAGCAGGCCAAGCTCGAGAACCGCCTCGCGGCCATGGAGGCTAAACTCAGAGACGCCCAATCTAAGAACGAAGAAGAGGAAGGTGCATTGGTCGCGAACGCCCTCGTCGATCTACGAAGCGCCAACGCGGACCTAAGGAAGGAAAACGAAAAGTTACGAAGCGAGAACGCTGCGCTCAAGAAGAAGGTGAGCGACCTAGAGCAGGAGAAGGCCATCCGGGCCGACGTGCTGGCCGCGAGCCGGGCGCAGCATTTCGCAGAACCGCCTAAACCCGTCGCCAAGAAGACCGTGTCCTCACCTAGAGCCGCAGATACAACTCCAGACAAGAAGAAGCAGTCGCGGTTTGCTGCTTTGGTTGGTTCCCTCGGGTTCGGGAACACGCCCACTACAGAAAAGGAGGTACCGCCGACACCTTCCTCAGGTCGGAGGGACCGACGAGCGCCGCACATCGCGCGGCCGCTCAACCGCTTCTGGCAGGACGTGCCCGCCGGTTCATTGGAGAGTGCGCTACCTTCCACACCGAACGACGTCGCTAGAGTACATTTAAAAGTGGGCGGCCAGTACTTGTGCGCTACCGGTGCTAGAGGTTGTGCCCTGGAACCTGTACCGCAACAGCCCAAGTCTCCCTCTTCATCAACGGCGGATGGGAGGGACGCGTGCTACTTGCGGTGCGAGCCGCCCGTCCAGGTCAGCGCCCAGGTCGCGCGGGCGAACGGCCAGACGGGGGCGAACGGGGGCGACTTCGGTTATAGGACGGCGATGGCGTTCATCGTGGAAACGGCTCAGAAAGGGACGTTCCGGTTGAGATCTGAATTAACCGGCGGCTACGTGAATGTTGGTGGTTTATTTCAGCGCTACTGCCTGTGCGCCTCAGCACCGACCGCCGCCGAAGCAACATCATTCGAGTTCGTAGCGAGGCAGAAGGACGGGAACGAACCGGTCGGCGAGCCCGATCCCTCTTCTCCGGGTGGTAGGGACGCGTCGATGGAGCGGTTGCGAGCGCAACAACTATTAGTAGCGTTACGGGCGGCGGACGGGCCGAAGCGAGGCCACTTCGTGCGCGTGCGGCCCGACGCCTACGTCAACGTCGCGCCGCCTTCTTCTCCTGATGCTGCCAGAGGCGCTTTACCCGCGGATGATAGGACGACGCCTCTATTGAGCGTGGAGCTGCTCGTGCCGCTGTCACAGTACGAGGTGACCTTCGTGGCGTCGCAGCTCGGTTTGATTGTCTCGAAGACGATGCCGCTCAAAGTCGTCCGCTTCAAGGACGTCGGCGCGTCGCTCGCGCCGGCGGCAGAGTTGAGTGGTAGAATCGCGGTCGGCGACGTGCTGGCGACGGCTGATGGGAGGGACATCACCCAATGTTCGAGGAGGGAGGCCGTCGACGTGATCACGTCGACGCGGCCCATCACGATCGGGTTCCGCGTCGGGGAGGTGTGAGTAATGTGTCCTACTTATCATTTTTACTCTTGACGTTGATCACTTTTGTTGCGCCTACCTTCCGGGACGGCGTCCGCGGCTCGACGGGCGAGAGCACCTCACCTGCTAGAGCCCCTTCATCTGAATTCGCGATTTCGGCTTCGATCGCGCGCATGGCGTCTTTTTGCCGCCACCGCGCCGGTATGATTATGAAGACCAATAGTAGCAGGTAGCCGATGAAGGTCGTAAGTCCAGCGACCGTGTCTATCTGGCGGACGACCTTCAACGAAAGGTCGTATCGCTCCTCGCCGTAATAAACCGCCGCGGACTCGATGCCCAGCCAGAGGAGCAAAAACAGCGTGATGAAGATCATTCTATCAATAGTGGTAAGAAAATCCACGCGCGGGACGTGGTCGCCCACGACATAGAGCAGCGCGAACGCGGCAAGGAACATGGTGAACGCGCCGTTGAGTCTATCGGCAAGTTCCGTTGTCGGTAGGAAATGAACGAAATGACCAGCCGTCGTCAGGACCGCGAGGGGAGCGGTTGTTTTTGCTAAGTAAAACTCGCTCTTGCGCGCGATGTTGAAACTGAGCATTACCTTGGTGATTGTGAAGCCGGCGGGATTCTTAGCCACGATCATCTTCGGGCGATAGCTATGCAGTAGCCACTCGGATATCTTGCCAGAAAAGAAAAGCATCATGAAAACGCCCTCGTCCTTACGCCGCAGCGGCACCAATTTATACGTCATTCCATGAGGAATCGAGCCGCCGCGGGCGAGATTGAGTTGACGCCAATGCGAAATCGTGACGAGCGTCGGGCACAGGACCTGCCAGTCGAACGGGAACCGCCGCAAATCCATGCTGCACTGCACGGTGCATTCGTAATTGATGATGCGCTTGAGGCGGCCCTCGTCGGGACCGCTGACCACGAACTGCTCGTAATTGCAGTGCACGCCACCGACGCAGTTACCGAAGAAGAGCTCGGGGCCCCACAGCGTGCCGGGCAGAATCGGAGACGTGTAGCCAGCCATTCTCGGGTCCGTCCAGTAGAATATCATGCCAATCTTTATCTTCGCGTTCTGCTCTCGCGTGTTTACCTCGCCAATGTGGAAGACCGTCATGCGAAAGTCGACCTCGAGCAATCCGCCGTCGGCTGTCGGCGGCGGCAGTGACAAGGCTTCCAACTCTTGTGACGAGAACCGCTTCATGTGCTCGAGGTTATCGCAGTCGAGGGACGCGCTTCGCTCGCGCGAGCTCATGGTGTCTGAGGCTGCCCACTCCTCTTTTTCACAGCTGTCGCGCGCTGGGGCAGCCCCAACGCCTCGCTGCTGTGTTAAAATGTACTCTGGCGAGCTTGTATCCAACACTGCGCGTCCAACGCCAGGGAGAGCACGCGGATCTAGAGCTATACTAGTATGTCTATGCTAAGATTATGCTCAAATTCGCAGCGGCCAGACTCAAAGCGGCGTTGAATTGTGGTCACAGACGCCCGGAGGACACGCGTTCGGGCGTGGGCAGCGAGTCTAGGGCGGTGCGAGTGTGTGGGGCAGCAGTGGGGCAGCAGTGATGGCCACATCAATGAAGGAATTGACAGCCAACGGAGCGAAAGTGACTACCGTCGCGAACGGAGCCGACGCAAGCGCGGCACCGCCCGCGGAGCCGACGACGCTATCGAGCCCGCCCCACGCGGCAGTATATCCTGCTGGTCAATGCGTTTTCGGAGAGGAATGGACCGCCGCCACACTGGTCGCGAAGGAGCGCTGCAAGGAGACGACCGCCATCCTAACCTTTGAGCTTCCGGACACGAGCAAGCCGCTGGGGCTCAGTACGTGCGCCTGTATTCTCGCGAAATTCGACCGCGACGGGGCGGCTGTGGTGAGACCGTACACGCCAATCTCGACGAACGCCATGATTGGGCGGTTCGAGCTCTTGGTAAAGATCTACGCCCAAGGCGCGATGTCGCAGTACCTCGACGGACTCCAAATTGGCTCCAGTGTCGAGTTCAAACACATCCCGTTCAACGTCAAGGTGCAGTACCCGTTCGCTCCCAAGGTTGGAATGCTCATTGGTGGGACAGGAATCGCGCCGATGATTCAGGCGCTCCACGCGATACTGGGCACTGTCGACGACACGACGGCCGTCTCGATGCTGTACGCAAGCAAGGTGAAGGAGGATATCTTGGCGCAGGAAACGTTGGAGGCCTGGGCCGCGAGTTCCGAGGGTCGTTTTACGTGCAAACATGTGCTTTCCGAGGAGCCCGACGACTCGCCGTGGCCCGGCGCGCGAGGCCTCATCACCCGCGAGCTGATTGAGGCCCACCTACCGGCGCCCACCGACGACGTCGTGATCTTCGTGTGCGGGCCGCCGGGCATGTACGAGTCGCTCTGCGGGCCACGCAACGAGCCGCAGGAGCTCAAGGGAATCCTCGCCGAGATGGGGTATACGGCCGAGCAGGTCGTCAAGTTTTAACCATGTCAAGTTTTGTGTTAACAACAAGATATCAAATTAAAATCCCTGCCAACAAGCCTCGTACGGCGGCAGCGGAACGGTCTCGCCGTCGTCCGCCGCCGCGTCGACCGCGGTCCAGAGCTGCGCCACCGGCACGGGCGCCGAGCGCGTCGGCTTCGCGTCGTCGGCGCCGTCGACGCGGGCTCGGAACGGCGCCGTCCACGCTTCGTCGTCGGTCGGGAAGCGCATCGCCGCGCGGGGCGCACCCTCTCGATCGTGTCGCGCGTGCGGCCGGCGCCAGAACGAGATCATGAGCGTGACGCGCCGCGCCGTCTCGCCGCCCGGCGCCGGTCCACGGCCCGGCACCACGCAATGCAACAAATCGCCGCGGAAGCAGACGGCGCGGTTCGGTGCCACAGGTACCAAAGCGGCGGCATCTCGACAGCGCATTTCTATATCACCAGAACATTGCGTGGTCACGAGTGTCGGTCCGCCGAGGCGAGCCTCCGACAGATAAAGTACGACAGAACATAGAGGATGCTCGGGCCCATCCGCTCCGGCGCCCTCGTCCGCCGAGTCGAAGTGGAGCTGATGCCCGGCGCCGTGCGGCCGGCGGTGCGTCCACCATTCTATGCCCGTCGCTTCCGCGATGGCCGGCACGGCCCGGGCGAAGAGTTCACGAAAGCGCCGCGCCGCCTCGACGACGACGCCCTCCTCGTCCAGCGAGTGCACGTACGAGAAGAAGCCGCTCGTCTCGTCGTCGTAGTCGTGAGCGGGCCAGAACGCACCCTTTGGGGCGAGCGCGCGCGCCACGGCGCGGAAGAGGGCCTCCGGCAGTGCATCATCGAACGCGCCGACGGAGCCCTTCTCGAACCTGGTCGCGCCCGGTTTCGCAGTGCCGTACCGCAGCACGTCGTCGGCGAGGCGGTAGCGCGCGTCCGGGAAGCGGTGCCGCAGAATCACCGTGCCTTCTTGCGCGCGCCCGCGCTGGAACAACGCCAAGGCGTAGGCCCTGGCACAGTTCTGCGCTGCGGCGTCAAGCGTAGGCGACGCTGCGGCAGCACGCTCGATCATCAGCAGTGCACCGCGCAGCCGTTCCAGCGATTCGTCGGACGGGTCGCGCCGCGCTTGCTTCAACGTCTCGGCGACGTTTCGCAGCGCTGTTCGCGCTTGCAATCTGCGGCAGGCCTTGTGCCGCCAGCGTTTACGTCGCTCGCTGCCAGCGGTGCCCATGTTGCTCGGTGCTGTTGCAGCTGGAGTCCACAAGTGATCGATGGCACGACGAACCGCGCTGAATTCCTAACACGGATGCTGGCGCTACACTGCTCCTTCGACGGCCCCAGCGCACGCTGGCGTGCAAAAAAGCGCAAGCACCGAGAGCTAGCGACATACCTACTAGCACTTATCAAAGATACGCGTCGATAGCGTCAAAAGAATAACCAAAATTCAGAATACATCCTAGTCGTTCGCCGCGCCCAAATATTTGAGAGTAGCGGTCCGGGAACATACCCTCGCGCCTCCCGGAAGGCACCGCCCGCGACATTTGCGGATGATACTTACGGGTTGTCAAAATACACCAGCGTTTGGTGGCGCCTTCTACTATCCAATTAAGACATTATATCAACTCCAGCCCAGTTTTCATGCAAGTTCGACGGAACCGGAGCCGACGGCCCGCGCTCGGAGGACGGGAAAAGAATTCTACTAGACAACTCCCGAGTTTATGTTCGTTTCCTTCCGTTTCCTAGTGGTAGAGTCCATCTAGGCCGCCTCAGCAAATACTAGGTAGATTAAGGGACCCGGAAGCTACTCGCGATTAGGCAACTCCGCGGACCCCGCGTTTATACTAAACGGACAAATAACCTGAACCCGCGGGTATCAGCGACGCCACCATCCAGGTGGACCATAACGCCGTTGTTCTATTCACAATCGATCGACTTGCCCGTTCTCCGCGGACGACGGTGCGTAGACGGGGCACCGGAAAGGCCCCAGACCGGTGGTTTATAGAATAAATTTGCATTTTAGGCGCTTCGGTTCTAGGACGGGCCATATAACCGGCCTGAACGTGTACCAAATTGCTCGAGACCCCACGATGCTCCGCGCGGCTCGGCCAACTCGCGAGCCCATGATCTCAATAATTTTGGCGAATTACTTGGATCTGCGGCCATCAGCCCGTGTACCATCACCATGGACCATGTCACGATCATTTGTTTCATGACCGACCGACTTGCGCGCGGTCCAGATGCAGATGTTCACGTCCCGAGCATGGGCAGCCAAAAGTACCCTTCTTATAATGTAGATGCCATATAATTGTAGTTGACTATCGGTGGGATAGTATGGGGTCCAACGAGACCGCTACGGCGACCACTGGGGGCCCTCGGGTAATTGACGTTTTTGACGGGAACGGGGCGCCATCGGGCCCAAATTGCACACTTTTTTCGGGGGTAGATCGGCTCCTGGAGGCCTCTTGCGGTAGGTCTGGTGGTGGGTAGTCGTCTGTACCGCATACGCCATCGATGCGGCAGCCTAGTACTCTCCGAGAGCCCTGGAAGCAAGACCTGCCCTAAAGATGGCTAAACGCAGTGGTCTGCTGAGAGAAATCGGCCAAAAATGCTTGAAGCGGCGGCGCTTGCGGCGTAGGCGTTTGCACGTGTATAGTACCGACCCTAGGCGACCCCAGGGAGACCTCTTTGGCAGGGATTGACAGGATTAAACCGGCGTGGCCGGCATGGACCATGGCGCCATCGTCGCCGCCAATTAAAACAATACCATTTTTGGCCCCCAGTACGTGTCCCATTGATCTCTTTGGACCAGTAGCGAACTGAACGGTGCTCAAACGGCTGCATGTCCGCATCCACAATAGGGCTAGTATGTGTCGACACGCTAGGCAGCTTTGGTTTTGCTGCCTTTGCTTCGATTAAACGCTGGCTGCAGCGCACGCACGCACGTGTTTTCAACAGTATATTCATCGATTTACGTAAAATGCCATTGCTTGCAGCGGCGAGCGTCGCGTCCCACCCATCAAAATTCAAAGCTGGTAAAGCACCTTAGACTGCTGCATCGGCTCGACAGCGTCGAATTCGACGATGCGCCGGCGATTCGCGCACGCATGGCTCATCGCGTGCGCCAGCGCGGCGAAGCCAACAACCCTACAAATCGCCACCTATAACGTGTTAAACCCGGTCCACAAGAGCGTCGGCAACAACCGAGAAGCAGACGACGACGCGCTGTGGCTCGCGCGCGGCCGACGCCAGGCGAGCTTCGTCGCCGAGGCGTTGGGCGCCGCCGACGTAATATGTTTTCAGGAATGGTTCTTCGAGCCGCGCTGGCAGAAACTCTTCGAGGAGGCGCTTCCGGCCCATCGTCTCTGCACCGCGCGGCGTCGAGGCATCCACCCGCACGACGGATCCGAACGCCGCGACGGCCTCGCGATCTTCTCGCGTCTCCCATTAGTTGCGTCGGAAGCCGTGGCGGCGCCTGTATTCGACGATGGGAGGTCAGGCCTCGTCGCGACGCTGCAACGACGCGGTGATCGGCCGGTCGTCGTCGCGACGTGCCACCTGCCCTTTGCCGATGCCGCCGCCCGCCAGGCGCAGGCGTCGGCCTGTGCCGCGGCTGCTGAGCGACAAGCTCGCCGCGACGACGCGTCGTTGACCGTGCTGTGCGGGGATTTCAACGAGAACGCGGCGGCGCCCGCGTGCCGGGGCCTCGAGGCCCGCGGCTGGACGAATTGCGCGGCCGCGGCGGCGACGCAAGCTTTAGATAGTGGAACGGGCGGCACGACGTTCCTCGGGACGACGCACCGGGCGCACACGGGCGACGCGCTGTCGTGCGATCATATATTTGCGACGGATCGTACTGAAGGCGGCCAGAGGTCCTCGGGCTGCTTCGACGCGGCGGGCGCGCGCCTCGTCGCGGCGCGCCGCGTCGCCGACGCGTGGGACCCGGACTTCGTCGATTCGGACCACACGCCGGTCGTCGCGGAGTTTTCGTTCCGCGAGACGAAGGCCGCGCCCGCGGACGCGACGGCGGACCCGTTCCTGCCGCCGTGGCCGGACTGTATCGCGTGAGATGTTGTTCATTTAACAGTATATGTTTACACTACGTACCCTCCACGGGGACAGCTGCCGGCGACCGATGTTCGCTGAACGCTCGCAGGCAGCGCTCCCGCTCCAGAGCCTCGACCTCGTCGTCGTCCGCCAGCGCGAACCCCTTCTCCCGCAGGCGCTCTTTCGCGGCGTCGTCGTCGAACGCGTCCAAGAGCAGTATCTTGCACTGTTGCCGGGCCTCGGTGTCGTCGTCGGCGGCGTACGCGTACGGGACCCGATCCTGCTCGACGCCCCGCGCAGCGTACGGGTAGGGATCCTCACACGCGATTTTGTTCGCGTAGGCCTTGGATAGCCGCTCGACGTCCGCCTTGTCGAGGCTGCTCGGGGGGAGGGCATTTGCGCAGCACGCTGCGGCGGCCCCCGCGTCGTCGGCGGCCGCGGCCGCGCGGACCCACGCCGGCGCGTCGTGCGCGTCGCAGCCCAGGATTTTGGCCGCGTAAGCCTTGGATAGCCGCTCGACGTCCTCCTTTCCGAGGCTGCCCTCCGATGCGGGGAGGGCGCTCGCGCAGCACGCGGCGGCGGCCCCCGCGTCGTCGGCGGCCGCGGCGGCGCGGACCCACGCCGGCGCGTCGTGCGCGTCGCAGCCCAGGAGTTTGTCCGCGTAAGCCTTTGCCAGCCGCTCCTCGTCCGCCTTGTCGAGCACGGATGGCAGCGGCGCCTTGTCGAGAGCAGGCCGTGGCGGCGCCGCGGCGACGGCCTCGACGGCCGGCGCGCTGCGGCGGCCGGCCTCGATCCACGCATCGACGTCGTCCACGCCTGCGGGTGATGTCTGCACCCATTGCTCAGCAAGGGCCGGGTCGCCCAGGGCCTCGCCGTAGCGTTTGATGGAGGCTGCCCGGGCCGTCGCTTCGGCCATTTTCCCGCGTTTGTCGTGCTTGGCTCCCACGCTGTCCGTGTTCGGCAGCTGCTGCACAATCAATTGGGAGGCGCTGCAGCAGGCAGAGGCCGCTCTCCCTGCCTGTGAGCGGCAACGAACAAGAAACGCAGGACCAGGGAGTACTCTTCATATACCTCTCTGACACCTGGTGGCGCGCCTCGTGGCTTTTCGCGCTCCTCGGCGGCGCGGGCCTCTCGAGAGGCTGGATGCCAATGCGCCGCAGTCTCACATCAGTGCTTATTTCGAGTGCTTTTGCACGTTTCCCAGCGTCTCATAATCCATTCTCGCCAGTAAGCAGAACGATTGCAGCCGTGCGCCCGTTGCAGCGGAGCACTCAGAGAGGCCAGGTGGCAGCACTCGTGATTTAAGACGACGCAGGCAATGGCCGCCATGGAAAATTCTCGCATGAAGCTCTCCTATTTCGACGCGCGCGGCGTCGCGGAGACGACGCGCTACATGCTGGCCGTCACTAAGACGCCGTACGAGGACTTCCGCTACGGTTTTACCTTCGGCACCCCCGGAGATTTCAGCACCGTGCAGCGGCCGGAGTTCGACGCCGCCAAAGCCGCCGGGAAACTCGACGCGAACCTCGGCCGCCTGCCGCTGCTGGAAGTTGACGGCCAGGTGTTCGGCCAGTCCAAAACCATCGAGCGCTTCGTGGCGAAGCGCGTCGGCATGATGGGTGCGACGCCCGTGGAAGAGGCCCAGATCGACTGCATCTGCGAGCACTTACGTGATTGCAAAGATAAGTATATGAAGGCCAAGACCAACCCGGAAACGAAGGCCGCCTACTTCGCGACGGAGATGCCGGAGTTCATGGCGAAAGTGGAGAAGACGTGCGTGGGACCCTGGCTCTGCGGCAGCAAGTGCACGCTCGCCGACGCGGCCGCCTTCGTCTTCGTCAAGGAGTTCTTCGACGACGTCGAGAGCTCGACCAAGGCCATCGCGGGGTGCCCCAAGATCTCCGCGGCGGTCGAGGCCTTCGGGAAGCTCCCCGAGGTCCTCGCCTGGCAGCAAAAGCGCCCGAAGACGATGTTCTAGATGTATAAGTTAGGTTGTGCATAACCTATGGCTGCCACGTGCCGGGCTCCTCGGCGTCGACGACGATCTTCACGGGCTTCGGCGGCAGCTTCGCCGCCTTGGTCTTCGCTAGCGAGTACAGCAAGACGCCCGCCATGGCAACCGAAGATCCAATGATTTTTCTGGACGACACCTTCTCCCCCAGGAAGATCACCGCCGCTAGCAAGACAGCAACTCTCTTGAGAGAGTTGGCGACGGCCGCCGACACCGGCGATAATAAGTCAAGCACCCGAAAGCCCATCTCGTTGTAGCCGTAGTACAAAAAGCCGCAGCCCACGAGCTGGCGCATGAACGCGGCCGGGTTCGGCATCGCCTTAATAGCGGCTAAAGCCGCGGGTCCCTCGCCCAGAGCCGAAGGCAACAACAATACGAGGGTAGAGCAGACGGTGAGGACGGCGTAGTTGTTGGCCGGGGTCAGGTTGTGCTTCTTTTTCGTTTCTTTCGTCATCAGAGACTTGGCTAGTAATTTCGCAATGGAGAAGGCCACCGTCGACGCTAAAGCGGCGACGGAGGCATACCCCAGCAAGTCGCCCATGCCGAAGGCCGTGCCGGGCTTGATACCCGCATACACCACGCCTCCCACGATCGGCGCGAGGCAGGCGTTGACCCACCAGGGGGCTATTTTCCCTGTAAACGCTAGCAATACGAGCATGCCCACGACCGGCTCCGTGGCCTTGATGACGTGCGTGAAGAAAACACTTCCAGCACCCATGCTCGACACCTGCAAGCCGTGGCCGCCGCAGTGTAAGGCGGCGATCGGTAAAAAGCGTAATATTAATTTTGTGTCGACGTTCGGCGGGCTCCTTAGTTTCGTGAGCCAGGCCGGCACGAAGAACAGAATGCCGCTCGCCAATTGAAACCACGACGCCGCCCAGGGGTACGGGAACTTGTTTAGTATCACTTTGTTCTGCACGTTGAAGGCGGCGTTGAAGGCGTACCACAAACCCAGAAAGCCGAGCAAGGGGGCCACTCGCGCCATTGTTTGTTGTTCCTCATCGATGGAAACGGCGCGGAGCGGCGCCGCCCTGGCAGGCTTGGCTGGCACGAGCCAGCTGGGTTGCGTCGACAGGGCTGGGTGCGTGGATTTGTAAAGCGCTGGACGACCGAGAACAGGAACGCGTCGACGCGGGAGCTGCCAGGCGGCCGTGCTCGCGAGGAGAGCCAGAGAGCATCGCATGGTTGCCGGTGCTTCTAGGCAGCAAGCAGCAGCGTTTCGGCACGGAGAAGCCTGGGAGAGACGCGGCTGTGCCTTTGCCAGCAAAGGTGCCTGCTGTAGGCTTCGCGGGCAGCTTTGGCGCGCGTGGTTTTTTGGCTAGTGCCTACATGCCGCTAGCTTTAACATTTTATGCCTCGATCCCTCCGCCGAGCAGTTTCGTGAAGCGGCGGACGGCTCGCACGCTCCTCGACTCCTCGTTCCACTCGAGGTTCACCCGGACGCGGACGGGGCTCCGCAGCTGGCGCGCGAGGTAGCCGCATAGGAATCCGACGGCCACCAAGGCTCCACGCGTCCGCACGGTGGTCAGCGCGTCGGGCGGCAAGAGTCTTTGGAAGAAGGTAGGAGGGATACGTATCTCGGCTTCCGACGCCGGAGTCTTGCGCGGTGGTGGCTTTCCGAGCTGTAGCTCGAGCGCACCAAGTTTGAGAAGTGGTCCCCGGCGCCGCGTTTCACCTTCGACTCTGCCGCCGACCCAGACCACGACGGCGAAGCCTCGGCTCCGCGCGCGCTCGACGCCAGCACGCATCTGCTCGACGCCGCGATGAGTGATCGGGTTGTTCGTTAAGTCGATCGACAGGCGGCGCCGCAAGTCAAACGCGCACGTCAGATGCCCGTCCGCGCACTCGGCGAGGATCCGCGCAATGCTTCGAGCGCCGCCGTCGGATATGTCCTGGTGCTGCAGCAGAAGGCGTCGTACGTTGCGCCGGTGTTCCTTGCCGTATCGCTTCCCGACGAGCGCTTGCGACAGAAGCCGAGCGCCTTCGTTGCCGAGCGGCTCCGAACGCATTGTCAGGTCGACGGTCGTACAACGGTCAAACTTTATAGGCGGCGCTCCGGGCCCCGGGAGCCCGCGGTCGAGGCGCGCGTCGCCGACGTCACACCACGTTTCACGCTCAAGCCGTCGCTTCTCTTCCAAAGACTCTTGCCGCGTCGTGGATCCAGGAAGCATTCCTGCGCCGACGGCGACTGCGAGCACGACGACGATGGCGGCGCCGCCGTAGCGCTGGAATTTCGACACGTACATGCGCCGTGGGACACGCACGCTGCGAATTCTATTTAACTCGGGTGGATTCGTCGACATCGTTTTTTTAGAGACCGAGGGCCCACTGCGCTAACGGGTAGACGACAAATACGATAGCGACGAGCGCGAAGAGGATGCCGTGGACGTCGACGTTGGGAAGCGTTGACGGAGCCTGGTTGCGGGTCGGGCGCGCTCTTTTTAGATCTCTCCTTTTGCTACCTTGCGCCGCCTGGTGCTGTCTTTTTATTAGATTGTCTCGACCCATCCACCGTGATCTAGATACAAATTCGGCTTCCGTCAGGCCAAGATTTATGCGCACAATTTGCCCTCGTCCTGAATCCGCTGGTCGCACGTAAGGAGCCGAGTTGTTGTAACTTGAGTCTCTTGCTGAGATAGCGTACTGTAAGACACTAGGAACCTAAGGCTAAGCAAAGCTGTATGCGCCACACAGCTGCGCGCCGGCCCTGTTTCGCGCTGCTAACACTTTTCCAGCCCAGCGGCTAGTCGCACGAACGCAATGCATCACCAGTGATCATCGATGCGGCCACATATGCTTCGCAGAGCATGGCTGCTCTCCGTGTGCAGCACCGCCGTGAGCGGCTACGAGACGAAATGGTTCACGCAGTCGCTGACGCACGTGCCCAGTGACTCGCGCACGTTCGCACAGCGCTACCTCGTCGAAACCCACGGCAACAATGCGGTCCTCTTCTACGCGGGCAACGAAGGCCCGATCACCGACTTCTGGGCGAGCGCTGGGTTCCTACACTATCTAGGAGCTAGGTGGGGCGCCGTCGTACTCTTCGCGGAAGCGCGCTACTACGGCGAGAGCGTGCCCGCGCACGACGTCAAGTGGCTCAAGACGGAGCTCATCCTGGCCGACTACGCGAACCTGGTGACGCAGATCGTTCCCCCGGGGTCGCCGGTCGTTGTGTTCGGGGGCAGCTACGGCGGCACGCTGGCCACGTTTTTGCGGTTGACCTACCCGGACGTGTTCGTCGGCGCGCTCGCCGCGTCCGCGCCGATTGGCTACTACGACCGAGACGGATGGGCGGCGCGCAACATCACACAGAACACGTGGGCGGATCGCGTCGCGCACAGCTATGCCTCGTATCCGGGATGCCTCGACGCCATCGCTGCGACGAATACAGCTCTCAGACGGGCGCCGTTCCTCAAAAAACGGCTCCGCCTCTGCGACGGCTCGGCCCTCGGCGCCGACCACGCTACGCTCTTCCAATACGCCCTGGAAGGCTTACCGCAGCAGGACTACGCACCGTTGTGGCCCATACGTGCCGCATGCGGAACGCTGATGAATGCGACCGATCGCGTGGCTGCCGCGGCGGCCATCGTCATGGCGGCGCTCGGAAACGGGACGTGCGTCGAGGTGCCGGCCGAGGGCCCGGGCGGCGTACCCGGCGACGGGCCCGGCGCCGGCTCTTGGGGCTTCCAGAGCTGCACGGAGACCCTGCATCAATTCTCGTCGGCGACGCCCGTGCGCCGCTATACTTTCAATCTCACGGCGCAGACCGAGCTCTGCCGCCGGCTCTACGGCGTGGCGCCGGACCCGACTTACCTCACGCGGCGCTACGGGGGCTACGCCATTCCGAGCAAGGTCACGAACGTGTTCTTCTCGGCTGGTGGGTTAGACCCCTGGACGGGTGGCACTTTCACGGAGAGCGAGCCACACGGCGACTCCGTCGAGATCTGCTTCATGCCGTCGGGCGCGCACCACGCCGACCTGCGCGCGCCTCGCGACGACGACCCCTCGGACATCGTCGCGTGCCGGGCGCGCGAGGAGAAGGCCATCGCGGGCTGGATCGCGGCGCACGTTACGCCGTCGAGGAGGGTGCTTCGCGGCCGTCGAAACGCGACGGACCGCATCCTGGACGCCTGTCCCGTCGACGCGTTCCGGCGCGCGGCAATGCACATTTCCCAGCTGCTGCCAGGGTCTCTGGACAAGTTGGGCGGGTTCGACGAGATTGTCCGCGTGTACGAAGAACGCTACGACGCCGTTGCCAAAGACACGAGTAAAACGTGTGACCCGGCGTGGCCGCTCTCGACGCGCAGCAAAGGCTTACTCGTCAATTTGGGCGAGGGGACCACCGGAACGCGCTTCCTCGAATGCGTCATGGACTGTGTGGAAATCAGAGGTGAATCGGGTGCTCGGCGATGACGCGGCCGTGCTGGCTCCGTCGAGCGGTGATGAACCGGCATCGCCACGCCATCGAGCAGGCGTCGCGTCGATGGCGTCGAGGTCGACGCGACGATTCAGCCCGAGCGTGCCGTAAAAATTTTGATTTCCACACAGGTCATGGAACGGAGCTCGACCCTCCGGGGCGGCCACAACATACACACGGACCAACTGGCGACCCCAGCCGCGGCGCTTGCACTTACCGATGCGTATGATTATCTCTCTGATTCACCGCTGCCGTACGAGGTAGTACCGCTTTTGCTGTCGCACCCTGGCAAGCTGACGGCCGGGATTATCTTGACGCTGCGCGACCCGTTGGACTGGGTCCGCAGCCGCGTCGAGCACCACGGCACGAAGAAATGCTGCAAGTGCTGTAGTGTTTCGGCGCCGCCCTGCGGCGCTAAGGAGTGGATCAACGCCTCGCGCCCCGACTACCTGACGTATTACGGCAAGCTCTCATTCGTGTACAAGGCATGGGTCGCCTGCCTCGCGACGAGCCCGAGCCTTGGCTTCGATACCTCCAATCTGTACGCGTTCAACATGTTCGCCCGGAAGCCGCGCGATTTCCAGGAGGGATTATTCTCCGCCCTGAAGCGATTCGTCGGGTCCGCGGCCATCAAGAAACGGGCGTATAATCGCGCGTGGAAGAAATGTGCGACGCACTGAGTAATGTGGATGATGTTGTGTTTCCTTCGCGGGCGCCGCGGGCCGCTGCCCACCCCCCTCCAAAGTCTCACCCGCCTCGCCAACCAACCCTCTCTCCCTGTGTCCGGCGGGCGAAAAACTGAGGAGTCGAGCTCCGAGCTAGCGTCCTGTAAGCCACTAGGCATCCAGAGCCTAGGAATCCTAGCTGAAAAGCCAAAAAACAAGCTCCACAGCCGCTCAATCCGCCCGCGGCGAGACGCGGCAGTACCTTCAGAGCGGTTAAAACGCGCACGTGCCTCGCGAGGTTCTAGCGAGTCGCGACAAGAGAACAGTTCCGTCCAGCTAGGTCAGGATCTCTCTGATCCGCCGTCGCGCGCGCCGGGTTAGTATAGCGTCCGTGACCGTTGACTACTCTCTCTCAAGTCTCAAGATCCTGTCAACATGGGCCATTGTGTTTCTTGCTGCTACGGCGACTCGGAGGGGGGCATAGGTGTGCCGGAGGGCGCGCACGGCAAAAAGATGCCGACCAAGGAGGAACAGGCGGCGATCCAGAAGGGCCTCGCGGCGTCGCAGATCGTCCTCTTCGGCCCCATCGTCCCGCTCTTCCTGATGCAGGACCGCCTGCGCCCGGGCGAAGGGCCGCCCGGCGGCTGGGGGTCGAGCCGCGGCGGCGACCACGGCGGCGACTACCGCCCGCCGGAAGACGACTACGAAGTCCCCGGCGGCGACTACGAGGTGCCGGACTGGGGCGACTACGTGCCGCCCGAGTGGCCCTCGCGCCGCCTCCAGGACGTCTTCGACCAGCAGGGGGGCTCGGACTTCATCCCCTTCGGCGACCCGTCCCTCGTCACGGACATCATCTTAGCTTCCTTCATCGCGACGTTCTTCTACGCGGTGAGCGTCTTCTGCGACTTCCCGGCCTCGATGAATCTCAACCTAGCTCTGGCGTCGGCGACGTTACTGTTCTTCGCCATGGTCGACGGCTTCAACGCCATCAGAGCCCAGGACCGCTTCGGCTCGCACTACGACGACACGAAGAAGAATGTCAAGGACGCGAACGCCCGGGCCAACGCCTTGGCCGCGCTCATCTTCATCCAGTTCGTCATCAGCCTCGCGCAGGTCTGGGTCGCGTCGACGCGGCTCCGCCTCTCGAAGAAGGGGTCCGAGCCCGCGTCCAAGGCCGAGACGGAGGGCTCCTTCGAGGGCGAGGTCGCGTCCAAGGAGCCGTCCGCCGAGGAGTCCGTGCCCGAGAAGTCGTCGGGCTGCGTCGCGTCGTGAGCGACGGCTCGGTGCTCCTTTCCGCGGCGCGGCCACAGGCGCGCGCCGCCAGCACGGCCACTCCCATCCCCCACGCGTAAAAATCACACAAACATAGATTACCAAAAGTACTCCGGCGTCGACGAGATCACCCGCGGCCGCTCGTTTGACACGACCTCGAGGCACTGCTTCATGCCGCCGTAGAAGGACGACAGGCCCGTGTCGATGCGGTAGACGCGGCCGCCGCAGCACGCGTTGATGCCGGCCGTGATCTGGGGCGTGTGGCCCACGACCATGCGCCTTAATCCAAGCGCGTCGAGCGCCTTCGCCGCCTCGCCGCAGCGGCTCTGCGCGGGCTCGGCGCCCGCCGGGTGCGAGTAGGCGCGCGACCAGACGGGCGAGCTCTCCGACGCGCCGAGCGCCGCCGGCAGCGGCCCCGCGCCCCGGAGCCACGCGGCCGCGTCCGCGTTTAAAGCCGCGAGGAGCTCGCGCGCGGGCGCGTCCGCGGCCGGCGCCCGCTTGTTCTGCTTCGCGAGCCGCTTGCGCCGCGCCGCCGCGCCGACGGTCAGCGCGACGACGTGGAGCCCGCCGTGGCAGTAGAGCGTGTCGCCGCAGACCCGCCCGACCGGCGCGTCCCCACACAAGTCCGCGAGGTACGCCGCGCCGGCGCCGCCCGGCGCGAAGGCTCGGATCCGCGCGCGCCGCGCCCAGTCGTCGTCTCTTTCCACATTCCGCCGCGGCGGCTCGCACGCCTCCGCGGCGGCGTGCCACGATTTTGTGGACGCGAAGCGCATCTCGCCGAGCACGTTGAGCACCTCGTGGTTCCCTAATACGAGGCAGACGTCGCCCCGCTTCCGGCGCGCCGCGGCTTGCAAAGTGTGGAGGTAGGCGAGGCACTCCCAGTCCTCGTCGCCCCTATCCAAGACGTCGCCCGTCGAGACCAGCGTCGTCCCGGGCGCGCCAATCCAAGCATCAGACGTGTCGACGACGCCGGCGACCCTCAAACACGTCCGCAGCGCGTCGAGGTCGCCGTGGACGTCGCCGATGGCCACGACGCGTTTGTGATTCGAGGGCGACTGCGGCCGTCGCTGTCTTTGTCCTTGTCGTGTCGTGGGGTTTAGAGCTATGCAGTACGTCGCCAGCGCGATGGCGTAGAGCTTACGAGCCATTATTGCAAGTGCCTGTACTGTCCCACAGCTGTCTCAAAGTGTGCCGCGCGTCCAGGACGCGTCGGCGCTGTTGCAAGACAGCCTCCTGCGGTATATAAACCAGCTACGTGCAGAGATTGGCGCGTTTGCGAGCTTGCAATGCAGCTTTGCTAGGGATGCCTAGTGTGTTACAGACCGCTAGCAAATTTTAGACGGCGTAGGCTATTGAAAGCCTCCAACACCGCAAACGACGATAGGGAGGAACTCACAAGAAAGGTGGTTACTCGTCTGACCGCGGCGATGGATCGTCCTTCTCCTCCTCGACGCCTGCGTCGACGCCGGCCAGACCCTCGTCTTCGGAGTCTCCAGACAGCTCGCCCCTTTCGGGAGGCGGCGGGAAGTCCGCCGGCAGGTTTCTTGAGGTTTGCAACACCAGCTGATCGAGCTCGCGGTGCAGCGCGGCGAGCTCCTCGACGGGCGCGTCGCGCGCCATCGCGGCCGACAGCTCCGCCGTCTTCGCCTCGACCTTTTGTAGTGTTTCATTAGCCTCGGCGATGCGCCGCTCCTGTTCACTGTTCTTCGATTGTTTAGTCGCTATCTCCTCGTCCTTCAACTGGAGCACCTTCTCGAACTCGGCCTCGCTCATGTCACTGTACGCCTTGAGCTGCTCGAGATTGAGCTCCGACGACACAATCCCCTCGAGGTTCTTCCTTGAAGGCTTTTCGTCGTCGCTCGAATCCGCTAAATTCTCGAACTTCGCGTACGGATTTGATGGAGGCGGCGGCGGCGCCTCGCCCTCGTTTAGTTTGCGCGGCGGCATGTCCGGGGCTCTTTCATCCGATGGCGGCGGCGGCGGGCCGCGCTTGTGCTTCCACCACGGATCTGACAATGGAGGCAATCCAATAAGTTCGGGTTCCAAGGGCGGCGGCGGGTTGTCGGGGTTCAGGGCCCCGGGCGTCGTGAGGCGCTTCTTCGCTTCCTCCAGAGGTGCTTTTGTTTTTTCGTACTCGAGCCACGCATTCTTCATTTCGAGCTCGAGGACGGCGTCTTGTTTATTGAATTCTTCTGCTTGTTGGTACAGCTCCCATATTTCTTGAGAGCTCATCTTCACACGCGCCATGGCCGCTTCATGGGGCGTCTTCGCGTCCATCATCGCCTGGACGGCCGCGGGGTCTGGCGGGGGCGGCAGATCGGCCATAGCAGTGGGCAGCTCTGTCGGTGCAGCACTTCCGAGTGCGCGAACGAGTAGGACCGGGCGGACGGGACTTCAGCTCAGCAAGCCTTGGCCAATCGTGTCGCTTCCTCCGCGTCCTCGGGCAGCCTTGGCGTTTGCGGGCCTCGATTCGATAGCTGGAGGTGCGGGTTTTATCGGCGGCGGTCGACATCGTCCCAGAAAGATCTCTGAGAGTACGCAGCGACGTCGTGGGTCATTGTTCGAGCGGTGAGAGCCCGGCTTTTCACGTTAGTCTGCGGCCGACTTTGAGAGCCCAAAAAGCACCCTCACAGCGGTCTGAGCCACACATAGACAAGGGGAGCGACGCAACAGACCGGCGGAACCTCAGGGACGCGGGCCCCGCCTCGCGCGGTTCGCGCAAACGCCGGCGCGGCCTCGACAGGCCTAAGCTTTGGGATAAAAAAGCAAGCGCGCGACGCGGCGCGCCGGCCCCCGAGGCGACTGAAAAGCGCCGCGCGGGACCAGTAAGCCGCCGGCAAGAAAAAAAAGATGACGGACAACTCCTGGTTCGGCCCCGCGTCGCAAGCGTCGCAGCAATGTAGCCAGGACCTCCACACCATGTTCCCGCTCCTCCCGCCGAGCTCGGCCTTCTACGAGAACTCGCAGGACGAGTACCCCGCGGACGGGCCGCACAACGTCTCGAGCCGGACCATGACGGCGCGCACGGTCACGATGTCGCAGCCGCCGCCCGCGGCGCCGCCGCCGCGGCCGGAGCCCCGGAGGCCGCCGGAGGCCTCCCAGGGCGACACGGCGCCCGTCGTCGACGACGAGCAGCCGACGCCCGTCTGCTACGCGTGCCGCATCCTCGCGCGGCGCGTCGTCGACGAGGCGACGGGCACCCAGATGTTCGCGCCGCGCGGCGCGCAGTCGCGCGACACCGCGCCGCCGCGCCTGTTGTGGCGGTGCCCGCGGTGCGAGAAGACGCTCCGCGGCTGCGCGTACCGCTGCGGCGCCTGCTACACGAACGACCAGGGCTGCCGGCGCCACGAGGCCAAGTGCCTGCGGAACCCGAACCGCCAGACCGCCGCGCCCGCGCCGACGCAGCGGCCCGCGGTCCCGGCGCGGGCGACGCGCGACGCGCCGCCGGCGGAGGCGGTTCCGGAGGACGCGTCGGAGGACCCGGAGCTCTGCGGCGCCTTCACGCGGCTCTGGCGCCAGGACAACCCCCTGCGCTTCGACCGGAGCGCGTGGCGCGTCGTCGTCGCGCGGGACGGGACGTGGTCGCTCGAGCCGCGCACCGAGGCCGCCGCGGCGACCGTGCGGCCGCGGCCGCGCGCGGACGCCGGCGCCGTCATCCTCGAGCCGCCGCCGCCGCCGCGGCGGCCCGCGCCCATCGTCGTCGAGTTCGGCCTCCGGCGCGACGCGTCGACGATCACGGACGAGCTGAGCCGGCCGCGCTGGGACTACGACTCGGACGAGACGCACCTGTCCGTGGCGCCCCCGCCGGCGCCCGCCGCCGAGGCCTTCGCGCCGCCGGACGAGGCGTTCGCGCCGCCGCCGGACGACGACGCCGAAATACTGGCGCCGCCGGCGGGCGACGACGACGACGACGACGCGCGGCCCGCGACGACGTGGGCGGAGCACGACCGCCGGGCCGCGCGCAAGGCGCGCAAGGACGAGCGCGCGGCGCGGCGGGCGCGCAAGGCCGAGCGGCGCGCCGCGCGCCAGCGGGAGCGCGACGCGCGCGCGGCGGCGGCGGCCGCGCCGGCGGACCAGCTCGCGGCGCTCGACGCGCTCGTCGACGCGGCGCGCGACGACGCGCGGCGGTCGTTCCTCGTCGCGTTCTTTTTCCCGCGTCCCTGATCGGAGCGCTTCCACGCCATCGCTGCGGTACACGCAGGTTCCGCGGCCGCGTCCAGGCCGGCGAGCTCCGCTACGACGGCGTCGTCGCGCTCCAGAGCGCGCTGCTCGACGCGTCCTTCGCCGCGGCCGCCCCGTGCGTTCCCGGCGTCCTTTCTTTTCGCGGCGTGTTCTTGCGCGCCTTCTCCTTTTCGCGCGTCACGCGCAGGGCCGCCGCGGCCTCGCGCGTCACGCGCGGGGCCGCCGCGGCCTTGGCGTCCTCTTGGATGCGGACGCGTCGCGCGGGCGGTCGCGCCGGCGCCGGGCCCCGGGTGGCCCCTCGGTCGTTCGACGCGGCTCGATAGCGCGAAAATCGGACGCATGCGCCACTGACGCGACGCCCGCGCAGGGCGCCGGCGCCGGCGCCGGCGTTCGGCTGCGCGCGGTGCCGCCACGCCGCCGGCGGGTGCCTCGCCTGCCGGCCGGCCGGCGTCCTGCCGCCGGGCGCGCCGCGCATCGGAGAGGCGCCGCCCGACCGCGCGCCGAGGCCGGCCGGCCGAGCCGCGCGGCCCGCGGCGCCGGGCGGCCGCGCGCCGGCGCCGAGCCGCGGCCGCGCGGCGGCCCGCACGAAGGCGTGCTCGAACTGCGGGCTCAAGATCCACACCCGCTGCGTCACCTGCCCGGGCTGCGGCGGCAACGCCCTCAAGGGCCGCGGCCCGACGAACCGCGGCCGCGCCAAGCGCGCGCGGCCGGCTTCTCAAGGCGCGCCCGAGCCGAACTGGGACGCCCTCCCGGACGGCCACGCCGCCGGCGACGCGCCGGCGACGTCTGTGCCGCGGCCGCGGCCGCGCCGCCGCTGCGTGCGGTCGCCGCACCGCGACCGCGACGCCGACGCGGCGCTGGGCCACGCGATCGCCCGCGCGGAAAGTCCACGCCATCGACGCGACGTCTGCGGGTCCCTCTCACCGCAAAAAAACACACAGGCGATCGCGCTCTCGTATGCCCAGGGCCCGGGCGCGTGGGGCGCCAACGAAATCATCATGCCGGACGGCGCGCGCTTCTCGATGCTCGAGGCCGACCCCATGAAGCTCACGTACTACTGACTCTCTTCCTCCCTCCCCGTGTACTAAGGCACTCATTTCTTACGTCGCCGCCGCCCCGGGAGCGGCTCGTCATCAACTGAAGCCGAGGACACCTCCTCGTCGTCCAGGTCGAGGGCGTCGCCGGGCGCCCAGAGCCCGACCTTGAGGTCGCCCGCTTGTCGAATCTGGGGCACACCGTAGGTCCGCAGCAGCGCCGCCGCCGTCCCATCGTCGCAGGCGAGCGCGCGCGCGAGGCCCGCGACGTCGGGCGTCGCCTGGGCCATGCCGGCCGCGCGCCAATCCAAGAAATTCGCGACGTCGGCCTCCGCTATTCTTCCAGCCGGCGCCTCCTCGTCTCTCCTCAACTCGTTGAAGCGCCGGCGCCGCCGCGCGTCCTCGCCCGTGGCCGGCGCCGTCGGCTTTGCTACTTCTTGTTTCTTGAGCGCGGGGCCGACCTTGTAGAGCTCCTTCAGTAATGCGGGATCGATGTCATCTGGTGATGATGGTGCTCGTCCATCCGCCGTCGGCGCGCGGATCTTTTGTGGGCGTGGCGGCAGTCCAGGGATTTCTGGTCGGGCCGCCGGCGCCGCCGCGCGGGCCGCCGCCGGCGCGGCCTGCTGGGCGGCGGGCGCGCCGCGGCGGATGACCGTGTCCAGGAAGCCGCTCACGGACTTTAAGAGGGATGCCATCCCGTCGCGCGTACGATTGGTCTGACAGCAGTGCAGGAGGCCCAAGTGTTTGGCTGGGTTTCGCGCAGCTGTGCGTTCAGAAGCGCTTCTTATTAGTGTAGGTCACCGATATAGATCACGAAAAATCGTCGTGTGATCTCTGGCGCCCGTAGCTGTGCGCTCAGCTGAGGACCAATGACAGCCTGGCTGAAAAAGCTTGGCTCCAGACCATCATCGCCGGACCTGATGTACAATAGTGCATCACAAGGCCACGATACGACGGCTCCAACGTACAGGTGCGCGAAAGCGGAAGCTTGGCTTCGTGCGGGGCCCGCAGACACAGAGCTTTGGCTGGAGCCGTGCGCGCTATCTCGAGCGATTGAACGGCAAGGCGCCCGACACAGGCACCCCGTGACCCTCTGTGCGACGTGAGTCGAAGCGTCCCCATGGCTGTGCCCAGAAGACGATAGCAGTACCAATGGTGGGCTGCTAGCACAACAGCACGCCGACGCCGCGAAAGGATGGGCTGCGTCAACGCCACGCTAGCAAAAAGAAGGTTAAACCCCCAGTATCTTAAGTTGAGCGAGGAGGAGTTCATCAAGCTCAATCACCTGATCATGATCACGAATTTGCGACCGATTGATATCATGCGCATCGTGCAAGAATTCCGGAAAATTGATGTTGATCGTTCGGGAACAATCAGCGCGAGGGAGTTCTTCCACCACTACTCGTGCAGGGACACGCAGTTCGCGAGGAGAGCGATGACCATTATGGATGATCAACCGCCAGGTAATATGTCCCTTGATCTAGTAGAGTTCTGCGCGGCGTTGTACAACTACTGTACCTATGATCGTGATACTCTATTGTGGTTCATCTTCCACCTGTTCGACGAGGACGATAGTGGGACGCTAGAAGCCTTAGAATTCAAGGATTTAATATCCTTCGTCTACTGCCGACCGCTGACACCTACCGTGCAAGCTTTAGTCGAAAAACATGGCGTCGCGCCCACGGGATTCATCTCCCGGGACCAATTCGTCAAGAGGTGTCGAGAGGCGCCGTTGTTGGTCGCGCCGGCTTTTGAGTTACAGAGAGCTCTACATGAGACGGTCCTGGGAACCAAGTTCTGGCGCGAGCACGCCGAGACACGGACTGGTAGAACGAGAGCGGACAACGAAGACGTTTTGTTAAACGAGTTCCGTAAGATGGACAAGGCGTACCAGCCCGGCGGCCACCTGTGCTACCTCGGGGACGAGCTAAGGAAACGGGAAGTGATTGACGAGGAAAAAAGGCATGCGGATTTGTTGTCAGGTATTGACGCGGATTTAGCGGGAAGAAAGATAAATTACCGCAAAAAACAGTCGCTCGGCGGCCAGATCGCGACCGTAAGGTTCGAAGGCGGGAAAGCGGTGACCTCCACGAAAGCGCAACGGTCCCAGCGCCAGATGACCATCCTCAAGCAGGAGAAGAAGGCGAAGCTCGCCAAAATGAAGGCCGACAAGCTCGCAGAGGAGGCCGCGAACGCGGACAACGCGGCCTGGGGCGGCGTCCTCAAAGATACGCCCGGGGACATTGAACGTAGAGAGACGTTGGTGACCTACCGACCGGCTCGCAAGCCCGGCGACGGCCCGAACATCCGCAACGACTCCGCGACTTATAGTAGACTCATCAACATGAAGAAGTATGCCGCATTCAGAAAAAACATGGAGAAGCACGAGATCCACTCGAAGAGTGGTATGAGAGTGGGTTCTAGGGTGGACAAGAAGAAGGTCGCGCCGTCGATGGCGTCGATGATGTCTGCTGCCGGCGCTGCGCACGGGCGCGATTCAGTAATACGGAAGCTCTAAAATTCAACACAAGGGGGGTCTTTATTCATCCCCACCCCGACCATAGTAGTCGGGGCGGTATCACAGCGGCGCCGGCGACTTGTCCCGGCTGCGGCGGACGCTCATCGTCTTCTTCGCGGCCTTCGCGGCGTTTTTTATTTTGAGAGAGGTTTGAGAGAGGGTTCGCGACATGGCGATGATCGAGCCCATGGCTCTACTGGTCGTTCGCCGGTGGCCCCTTTTCACTGACCGGTCCGAGGCGGACGACGACAGCGAGTTCGAGCCGCTGCGACTGGAAACACCGGAACCAGAAGCGGACAGGCTCAGAGAGTCGCGCGAGTCGCGCGACACGGTCACGCTCACCATGGACGAGCCATCCGAGGTCATCGACGCCTGGTCTAGTAAGGGGTGCTTCCGCCGCGGCGGCGGTCGCAGGATCATCGGCGACGTCGCATCTCCTCTTTGATCGGGTGCTCGGTACGCATAGCCCGCAAATAAGTCCGCCCGCAGATCTGGCTGCCGCTCGCCGTCGTGCGAGAAATATCGGTCGAAGTCCTTATCGGGAATGGCCGCCTCGGGCGTACTCGGATCAGGAATCGTCGACTGGGCCAGGGGGTCGTCGGCGTCGGCCACGCGGCGCCAGACCTGGATCGCCTCGCCGAAGAAGGGCCGCCTTCTCATGCTATGCAGTCTGTCTCGCTCTTGCGGGTTCTTTGCCAGTAGAGCTCGCACGCCGTCTCTTGCATCTTCTAGCACAGGTTCCATGTCCGGCTCGCTCTTCAAGATATTTGTAAACAATTCTCGAGCGGTCTTCCCATGAAACGGTGTCACGCCAACGAGGCATTGATACGCTAAAACACCAAGCGACCAGTAGTCTACAGAACCATCGTACGTCCGCACGGATTTCAAGAATAATTCAGGAGCCATGTAGTCCAGCGTGCCGGCGAAGGAGAGCTTCCTACCTCTAGAAGCGTCGTCGCAGTAGGCGGCCAGGCCGAAATCTGCCAGGTGCGCGCGGCCGCCCGCATCTAATAAAACATTGGCGCCCTTGATATCTCTATGAATCACGCCGGATCGATGGAGGAAGTCCACGGCGAGCGAGAGTCGCGCGATGTGTGCTCGCGCTTCGCCGGCAACTAATGTCTTCCTTTCTTTCAAGCGGGCATCTAAATCCCCTCCACAGAAATACGGAGTCACCAAATACAATCTCGTTTTGGACTGGAAGGAACAAGCCAACGACACCAAAAACGGGTGCCGCACGGTCCGCAGGATCTCGCGCTCGACCATGGCCATCTCCCTCCGACTCTTCTCGCCGAGCTTCCTTTTGAGCAGCACTTTCATGGCGTACCTCCTCCCTTCGCCCGGCGCGTCCAGCCTAGACCGCCTCCTCACTAAGACCACGGCGCCGAACGTCCCTTTCCCCAAAAAACGCAGCGGCTCGAAGTCCGAGGACCGGTCGCGCTGCTCGCTCATCGCGCGCGGGACCCTAGGAGGCGGCGCGACGGGCGCGACGGCCGGCGGCACGGGCCGCTCCGGCGACTCGAAGACCAAAGGAGGCGGCGGCGGCGGCGGCGGCGGCTCGGCCTCGTCCGGCTCGGGCGTGTCCGCGCGCAGGGACTCGCCGCTTATGCTAATATTCACGATGTCCGGCGGCGCGCTGACCACGACGATCTCGGGCCGGCGCGCGGCCTCGTCCTGCTGCGTCTCATTCGACACCTCCGTCACCAGCGTATCGCGCGACGCGTCGAGCAGCGGGTGCGTCGAGTCGTCATCATCAGTAACGGGCTTCGGCGGCTCCGGCTGCTTCGCCACGGCCGCCAGGTGGTCCTCGTTTAGGAGCGGGTGCGGCCGTTCGTTGTCCTCGATGATGGGCGCGCTGTGCCAGTTCTCGGCCAACCTCCGAACCTTGGAGGGGCTCCGGGGCCGCGCCTGGCCGGGGCTCCCGGCGGGCGCCGGCTCGGCCATCTGCTACTGCCACCCAGTGAATCGAGGCTGTCAGGGGCGGCGCCTCACAGAAACGCGCCGCCGAGGGGCTGCCCGGCGGCTCGGTGGTGTTCACCCTGCTCGTCAGTGTTTGAATAAAGGCTCAGGAGAGGCCAATTTTTTCGCTAAGCTCTGTCGCATTTTTGACGGCCGAGGTGCGTGGTCCAAGCGAGCCGCAAACTCGCGTCAGACGCCGCGAGGCGTCCCCGGAGCCCGCCTCAGAGCTCTGATTTCGCACACAGGCCTGGGGGTTGCCGTCGTAGGAAATTCAGGCGCAGCGACATCACCGGTGTCACTGGTGGGGAATCGGCCCAAAACACCAGGGGCAGCCATGCTTTTCGCCAACGCGAGCCCCCCCTCGACGCCGAGCACGCCCGTCAAGGCCACGCTCTCGCCGGGCGTGGCCACTCCCGTCATAGATGCCACTGCTCTAACCCCCTGGCTGGGCCCCGAGCGCGCGCCACCGGCGCCGCTGCCCGAGATCGTGGAGACGGACGAGCTGAGCGACCCCGCGTTTGGTGAGTGGCTGCGCGCCGCGCCGCCGCCGCCGCGCTGGGTCGCGTCTGAAAGAGCGTTTTTGAGTCGCGTTCGGCGCGAGTGCGCCGTGCAGTTAGCAAGGGCGCCGAACTATCCCGAGGCGTACGGGGATCGGCGACTCATACGATTCTTGCGGCAGCACAAGAGCGAGAAGAAGGGCGTCAAGGCCGTCAAAGAATATCTGCGGTGGCGCGAGGCCGAGAAAATCGACCTCATTCGAGATGAGATCATGGCCGGCAAAGACAGACCAGAAACGTGGCCGTCCGGTGCGTTCTTCAAGGCGAGGTGTGCGGTCTTACCTTGTGCCGAACAATTATTTGACGTCAAGGGTAACGCTTTGTGTGTGGAGCAGTACGGCTTCTGGCCGGCGCATCGCCTGAAGGATATTACCGCGGAAAAATACATCGGCTGGCAGACGTATGCGTTGGAGCACAAGTCCATGGTGCTGGAGAGGATTGCTCTGGGGCGGGAGCGGGCTGTACTAAGAGCCGCGCATGCGCAGTGGTTGGCCGATCCAGGCAAGGCCACGCCGTTGCGCGAGGGCTGGGGCGAAGTCGCGCGATTGTGCACGATCTTCGACATGAAGGGCTTGACGCTGTCCCACGCTCTGTTACCTGGAGGTTTCAACATGGTGAGACAATTGATACCTCTCGTGCAGAAGAATTATCCGTGGTTGCAAGATACCACTCATTTTGTGAACGCCAGCGGCGCAACTAGCTACGCCTGGTCCATGCTGCGACCACTCCTACCAAAGAACACGCAGCGTAAAGTCCACATTCATGGGGCCGGCGCCGCCCAGTCGCTTACCGAAGAAGTGAGACCAGACTTCCTGCCGGAGCAGTTGGGGGGACGGGCGGCTTGTAGGGAGTTGAGACCACCCGTTTCGCTGGAGGAGCACGACCGGGGGGTGGTGGGGTCACCGTTACGGTCGCCGCGGCAGTCGCCGAGAGCGGGCCCGCGGAGCATCGAGGTGGAGGTGAATGAAACGAGCGTGCCGACGGCGGTCGTCGTCCCGGGCGTGGAGTACGTGTGCCACGACCACAACCATAAAGGGAAACGGACGCGCAAGGCTCTCAGGTTGCGCGACCGGTCCCTCGAGCTGCTGCCGACGGCGCGCTGGAGGTTATCACGACAGATGCTTCGATTAAGATCACCAAAACGGCTGTCGCTCGCGTCGCACCAGCCCTTGGCGGCGTACGTCGGCGCGGCGGACGCGGCGCTGCCGTCGAACGCGGCGGCGCACCACCGCGAGGCCAGTATCCGAGCCCGGGACCTGCCCGCGTCCTTCGTGGTCCTCGCGACGCCGAAGCAGCAGGTCGTCACGCTGGAATTGGCCGACGCGGCGCAGGCGCGCGCGCTCGTCGAGGCGATCCACATGCAAGCAGACCTTGCTGCTTAATTCCTCCCCGCCTCGCGGTTAAAGATGTGTATACTTACTACAGTCCACAACAGACTAGAATGCCGCGCCGCCAACGGGGAACGGCACAGTCAGCCGAAGTGCGTCGGGCTGGTTGGCCCAGAACGTGTCGAGGGGGGCGGCGGGGCCCGGCACCGGAAGGTCGCGGTCGCTGCGCCAGTACGAGATGACCTTCCAGACGAGTTCCTTGGGGAGCGCGTCGGAAGCGAAGAGGGCCTCGTGCACCGGAACCGACGCGACCGTCGCGTGTCGCGCCTTTTGCAGGGCGGGGAGGGCCTTGTGGAGCGCGAGGAGGCGGACGCGGGGCGCCAGCGTATACTTCCGCCAGCCGCCCGCGGCGCGGACCTCGGCGAGGAAGTTGGCGGCTTCCTCGGCGTTGCGCACCGCCGCGGCGCTCACCCGCGCGACGTCCTCCGCGTTGGCGCCGGCGTGATCCCGCGTGTCGAGCGGGTGGCCGCGGTCCAGCAGGAAGCGCACCATGGCTTTGTGCCCATACGCCGCGGCGAAATGGAGCGCGGTGCGCTGCATGACGTCGCCTGCGTCGACGCGCGCGCCCTCGTCGAGCAGCACCGCCGCGACGGGAATGCTGCCGTTGATGGCGGCGCCGTGTAGCGGCGTCGAGCCCCTCAACGGGTTGCCGATCTCGACGTCCGCGCCTTGGGCCAGCAGCCAGCGGATCGCGTCGCAGCTCTCGAACTCGCGCGCGAGGAACCAGAGGCGCGTCGCTCCCCCGAATTGACCGTCGCCCCAGAAGGCGACCGACGAGTGCCGGCCCTCGGGCGCGAAGCAGTCGTGGATCCCGAACCAGGGCAGCTCGAGATTGGTCGCCCATATCCACTTCGGGAGCGCCGCGTGCCACGGCTGCGGCTCGCGCCGCACGAACCAGCCCGGCTCCGGGCGCGCCCCGGCGATCACGCCGAGCCCGAGCGGGTCGTTCATGTAAGCCTGAGCCATGTGTGCTGTGCTATGGATGCCTCCCGTCGTCTGTGCAATACAGATGCCTCCTTGACGCGCGCTGTGCAAGCTGTGCAATATATAGGTGCCTCCTTGTTACGCGTGCTGCGATCTCCCGTGAGCGCAGGCAAATGGCCGCAGCGCTCGCGCACGTTTAGAACGTATGCGCAGGCGTGCCCCAGCGGTGCGTGGGCTTGCCTACGCTCGTTTTTCGAGCCAGTCACTTGGGCTGGGAAACCCGTTTTGATCTGATTTTTTGGTGGCCAAGCATAAACGCGTCGGGAACCCGTCGAAGCCCACTGCTGGACGCCTGGGACTGGTCGTTGCTAGCGCGCACGATGACAGTCTCCCGCCAAACACAACAAGGCCACTACCACTCCTTTCACGGCCTGTTTGGACGACGAGGACCGAAGGGCTGCGTTTTTTTTGCGCGCGCGAGTACCAGCCCAATCCCACGGACCATGGCTACCATGACGGTCACCGTCGGCGGCCACAGCAGCAGCGCAAGCGCCAAGAAGGAGACCATCCAGTTGTACAACGAGCATGGGGTGCCCAAGAAGGCGGGCGACGCGCCATTAGGCATCGCCTACGACCATGACGGCCTTCCCGTGCCGGATTGGGAAGCAGAGGGCCGCGCGGCAATCATATTTCGAGGCGGCCGCGGCGTCGTCGCCCCGCGATGATCACAACCAATCACGCAGGTCCACGGCGAGAACGACGGCGCCGTCGACGCGACGGGCCGGCGCCGGGGCCCCCAGGTCAAGGGCGCCGTGCAGCTCAAGGACTACGTCAAGTACGTGCGCCGCGCGTCCCCCACGTGGGGCAAGCGCTTCGGCGAGGTGCACAAGCCGCGCGTCGGCCGCTTCGGCGCCTTTACGACGGACGACGCCAAGTTATGTTTATTGACGGAGGACTTCGGGTGGAAGTTGGGGGAGGACAAGCACCTGGCGCCGACGCCGCCCTACGTCCGCTTGTGTTACGGCGAGCTCCACGGCGAGCAGGACTCGCTGAGAATCTTCACTGGTTTATCCGAAATCCACCTGCTCAAGAACCTAGATTTGACGGAGGTCCACGCCATGCTTCAAACACTAGGCTACGTCTCCTACTGCGTGCCCGACGGCACGACGGGCGTCCAGCCGCGCTGGTGGGGTTCGGGGATTGACGTCCACCCGCAGGCCGTGTCCGCGGGCCTGCCGGGCGGCAAGGGCCCCATGTTCTACTCGTGGCACTACCGCCTGCCGCCCTGGGCCCCCGGTTTATGTCTCGAGGGCGAGGACGGCGACTTCGCCAATGGACCTCTAGCTCTAGTGAAGAAGCGCGTCAACGTCCACGAGGAGATGGAAAAGCAGAAGGTCAACGAGGACTTCCTGGGGGCCCTCACCAAACTCGCGCTCGACCAGAAGGCGGCCTGGGCGCGCGAGGCCGAAGAAGAAGCCGAGGCCGACGCGCGCGAGTAGTAGGCGTCCTTTCTTCCCCCGTTATAGATACGTGTTACCCCTATCGAGCATAATATATACGTTACCCAGTAGTCTAGCAGGCCCCGTACGTCTCGCGGTACTTGCGCACGTTCGCCGCGTGCTCGTCGCTGCCGCCCTTGGCCTCGAGATACGCCAATAAGTCCGTCAAAGTGAGGATGGGCACGACGGGCACGCCGAGCTCCCGCCGCACGCCCTCGACGGCCGACACTCTTTCACTCCCGGGCGCGGGCGGCGCTGAACCACCTGTGACTTCCTGCCGGTCGACGGCGACACAAACACCCACCAGAATGGCTCCGGCCTTCGCCAGGATACCCGTCGCCTCCCTTACCGCAGTACCAGCGGAGATGACGTCGTCCACCAGCAGCACGCGCCGACCTTTCACGGCCGCTCCAACTAATGTGCCCCCTTCACCGTGGTCCTTGGCCTCCTTGCGGTTGTAGGCGAACGAACTGGAGACGCCGCGCGCCGCCAATGCGGCACTGACGCCGGCACATAAAGGTATACCTTTGTAGGCCGGCCCGAAGACCACATCAAATTCGAGGCCAGAGTTTTGTATAGCAGCAGCATACGCGTCGAAGAACTCGGCGGCATCGTTCCCGTCGCAGACGAGGCCGGCGTTGAAGAAGTACGGGGATTGCCGTCCGGACTTCAGCTGGAACGAGCCAAATTTCAAAGCGCCGCTCCTCAGCACGCAGCCGACGAACTTGGCCTGGTGCGGCTTCAGCGCGCCTCCCGTCAGTAGTTCTGCCGTTCTGGGGAAGGTGGAGGTCATCGTGTCCGATAGTCGACGCGACGCGTCCGCGAGCGTATCCGTGAGAGAGGGGGGCGGCGGCGCATTGCTGATGGCGTCCCGGATCTCCTGGCAGAGCTTTTGCGCGGCGGCAGACGGGTCGTCGGCGTTCATGATCGCTCGGCTCACGGGCACGACGAGCCGCACGTCTCTGGAAGATGAAGAGAGGGCCGCGCGCACAACTGTAGAAGCGTCGGCGCCCTGGGCCCCGACGCCCGGCGTCAGCAGCCAGGCGTCTCCATTTTGAGTTCGCGCCGCTGATACGGCCGCCGGCCGCGTCGCGCCGACGACCAGACCCAGAGGTCTCGAGGCCACGGCCGTCTTGACGCCCCAGGCGCCGCCATTTGATGATAAGGACGCGACGCGGTCCCGCAACGCGTCCGATTGCATCTCGTCGGCCGAGGGGTTGGACGTCGCGCAGAGGATGAACGCGCCTTTGCCGGCATATTGTCCCGTCACAAAGGGCTGGATGGCGTCATACCCCAAGTAAGGTGACAATGTGACCGCGTCCGCTTTCAAGTCATCATAACAAGCCTTGGCGTAGGCTTGCGCGGTCGACCCGACGTCACCGCGTTTGCAATCCAATAGACATAAAGAGCCAACAGCGTGGATCTTCTCTATAACACCCTTGAGCGCGGCCCAGCCCGCCGCTCCGTGCGCCTCGAAGAAGGCCGCGTTGGGCTTGTAGCAGCACGCGTGTGTTTTCGTCGCGTCGATGAGGCGGCAGCAGACGTCGTGGGCCTCTTCTGCGGTTGCGGTGCGCGGATCTAAGCCGACGCAGAGGTAGGAGTCCTTGGCCTTGCATTGTGCCGCGAGGGCCTCGAAGAAGCCGGGCGTCGCTGACATGGCTGTGTTTGTGGCGCTGCCGCGGCGATGCGGTTTTGGCGGTCTTAGACCTGCCGCGCGATGCGGTTTTTGCAGCGCGGCGGAGGTCGCCAACGCAGAGAGCCCAACGAAACGGAGCAAACGCGTCGTGGTTGCAATTTAAGCTCGTAGCTCTAATTTCAAAAACCAGGGAGAGCTTGCTAGTATGTCACAGGACGCTAGCTCGGCGAACCCGCAGCAGGCATTTTCAGCCGTCTCCGGCGCGCAGCTCTTGTGCACTCGACGCCTGCAGCCCAGCGATCATCTCAGGACAGCGCATTGCATCACTGTGGCTCATAGCCTCTCATACAGCTCAACCACAGAGACCGGCCAAAGCTGCACCGCGCGTAGCGATCACACAGCTGCCCAACAACGAATGGCGGACGAAGCCAAAGCCGCGTCGCTGGCGCACAAGCGATGGATCCTCGAATTCATGAAGCAACAGCCCGACCTGAAGTGCTCGTACAACGCGCTCGTCGAGGAGGGCGAGAAGCATCACTGCAATGGGACCGCGTCCGCCACGCCGCCGCCGCACTGACGCCGCCGACGCGCGCAGGCGACACCCTCGCCGCCATGCTCAAGCTCCTCAAGCGGGACAAAGTATTAGCGTACAAGCAGATGTTCCTCATGTACCCAATGCACAAGGACGAGGAAGTCACGCTCATTAATCCGGACTACGTTGTTGAGTAACTTATATGTGTAGCTAACTAGTGCGTCTTCGATTCCACGCCCGCCGCGACGCCCGCCGCCGCAGACGCCGACCCGCGCCGCACAACACCAGCGGGATTCTCGCGCGCCGCCTTCATGTTCGACACGCAGCCCGCGGCGAAGGGCACGCCGAACGCCACAAACACCCCAAATAGGAAGCGGCCCGGCCGCTCCGCCGCTAAAAATGAAAGCGGCACGGGCAGGTACGCCGACGACGCCGAGCCCGCGGAAACTAACGCAGCTAACACACTTCCAGCATACGTCGCGCCGTCGAGAATGGGATCCCGCGCCAGGAACGGGTGGCAGGCCTCGACATAATCTCCGCAGCACCCGCCCACCAGCAACCCGCGCAGCGCCAGCGCCTGGTCCGCGTCGGCCTCGCGCTTCGTGGGCCGCGGCCGCGGCTGGGCTAGTTGCGCCGCGCACGCGCCGCAACCCACACAAACGAGTGCCAAAGCGTCTAGAGCGCCGAGACAAGCGAGCTCGCCGCGCTCATGCTCAAGGCAGATCAGCGGTAAGATATAAATATGGTACCAGCCGCGCCGCGCGCCGTACTGCACGCCGGCCGCGGCGGCCGCATTTAAGATCGCGTTTCCCAGTAATCGCCGGATGATCCGTCTCCCTAATGAGGTGAGCCACGCCACGGGACCTACTAAAAGTAACCACCACAACCCGCCGAGCACGACGGGGAGCCCACCGGCGACCACAAAATTCGCCGCCGTCGCCGGGGCCCGGCCCCGCGCGCACAGCGCCAGCGCGTGCGGCGCCGCGAAGGCGTACGCTATGGAAGCGAGTAAAGCGGCCGCTGGACTTCCAGCACATAACGCTCCCAGGATGCCGCCCGCGAGCGCCGCGACGGGACCCAAATCGCCGCCCGCGTAGCGAATGGCCGAGAAGGCGCCGACCGCCGGAGCGGCCAGACCGGTATCCAGGGATACGAAGCGGCGGACGACCGCGACACCTACTAAAGCTGGTAGTAGTTCATTGACCACGGTTCGCAGGTGCGGAGCCGTCTTGGCATCAAACGTAGCGGGCGTGTAGTGCTCGTGCCAGGCTCCGGCCAGCGACGCGGCGATGCCGATCGCCTTGGTTCGGTTCGACGTCGCGACCGAACCGCCCGCGTTGCCACACAGCCGGCAGCCGTACTGCTGCGCCGCCACACTGAGACCGGAGCCGCCCGTGCCGGCGACGGGTAGACCTGAGGCGCCCGCGGCCCGTAGCACGTCGCCGTTCGCGCCGCCGGCGCGCGCGTCCGCGGACAGCGCGACGACGGCGTCGAACCCTGGTACGGATCTTGCGAGAGCCGCGTCCAGTTCTCTGGCGCGCCGGTTCACCGCTACCAACTCGGCCCGCAAGACGCACTTGGGCTCGGGACTTACAGATGCATCCACAATCCACAAGGATGCCGGAGACCGCGGCGTCGCGTCGTCCAAGGCCACCTCGCAGCAGACGAACTGCGCCGCGACGACCGCGGCGCCCTGGCTGATGCGCGCGAGCTGCTGCGAGAGGGCCTCGAGGAACTCGACCGGGGCCGGGAATTGCACCGTCGAGCCGCCGCTGCTGCCGACGACGACGACGCGGCGGCGCGCGCTCGCGCTGGCGACGAGGACGCCCTTGTCGACGTACATCTGGCTGCTTAGCCTCTTTTTGGTTTGAAGGACTGGTCGCCAACCGGAGGGTGGCGCGGGCTGAGAGCGAACGTCGCTGCTTCTGCGCTGTGACAGCTTTGCTGCGAGCTCTCTCAGCGTCGGTTAGAGCACCGCTTGCTCGCCTAGAGCAGCGCGCGCGGCTTAAAAGCTGCGGCGGCTAGCTGGCTAGTGCCTTACAGCCGCTAGCTTCTCGTTTTTGCTTTGGCAGCCTTTTGCTGGGCCAGGCCCGTAAATGCAATTCGCAGAGCACAATTCTGCCGATTACACTGCGCCGCGGATGGCCCAGGCGCCTGCAGCTGCTGTGGCATCATCAAAAACGGAGGGCCTCAGCTTTGCTGGCTGTGCAGGCGTCCTCCGGCCCGTGCAAGGTGGCCCGAAGCCGATCTTCTCACTGAAGGAAGTTCTCGATTGGCTAGGGGTGCCGGGGAAGAACCACTGTAGCATGCGCAGAAGCGCCATGACCAAAGGCGGCGCCGAAGTTGTCGACGACATCCATATCGACGGCACCCACGTGATGCGGTTGATTGCGGCCCACGGAAGGGGCGCCGCTATTGAGGCGATCTGCCGATTGATGTCGACTCCGCCGGCTGTGCCGGCACCGGGTCTCGTGCCGGCGGCTTCGGAAATTGCGGCGGCTCCAGAAGTGCCGCTAGTTCCAGCAGCGCTCGGACCTGCCGCGATCACACAAGCGGCGCTCTCTCTGGACGATGCTAACGACGCCGCCGCACTGCCACCGCCCGACGCGGCGGAAGACGACGACGAACCTGTTCCGCAAGGCGACGGGGCCGGCAGTTTAAAGACGGAAATTCGGAGGCTCAAGCGTGAGCGCGATGATTTAGAGGATCGTGTCCTGTGTGCGATTTGCATGGAAATCGACGCGCCGCGGTCGGTCCTCTTTAGTCCGTGCAACCACCTTGTCGCCTGTGCTGCCTGCGCCAACACGCTCACGAAATGCCCGCTCTGTCGGACGGCCGTCAGGAAGCGCATCAAGATCAATAACTCGAGCTGACTGTGTGTCCCGTTAAGTATTATTTGTGTACAGAAACTTATCGCCGGGGCAGGCTCCACAACAACAACACCTAGGAGTAGTCGGACCGCTGGTAGATCGCCCAGCCCGCCTCGTTCGGCGCGAACAGTCCCTCGGGGAGGCAGCCGACCAAGTCGCACGCCGGCGACGCGTCCGTCTCGCCCTTGCGCAGGAGCAGGCGGTACTCGTCCGTGTGCGTCTCGAGGTAGGCCTCGACCTTGGCCGTCTTGAGAGTTCCGGTGTCGTGGAGTGCGACGTAGCGCGGCCTGCACTCGTCGCGGACGCGCTCGAACTCGCCCCAGCCCGTGTACTCGTTGCCGTCGATCAGGATGAGGTCGAAGGCGACCTTGGCGCAGAGGCGGCGGAGCTGCGGTGGAAGACGTACTTGGGGCGGCCGGAGGCCGACTGGGCTCGGCGCTTAGCGATGTCGGCGCTTGGGAATGGCTTAGCCGAGACAATGCACCACACGGACGCATTATCTGTGAAGGAGGCCGAGTTCTCCATGGAGCGGCGCCTTGGCGCGTCAGAAGTCGAACTGCTAGTCCTGCAGAGCAATCTTGCGATCACGTATGGAACGCTCGGACGGGTTGAAGAGGCCCTGCAGATGAAACGAGACGTATACAATGCATATTTGAAGCTCCATGGCGAAGAACATGGAAATACCCTCCGGGCGACCAACAATTACGCGGTGTCCCTCCTTGATCAACAGCGCTTCAAAGAAGCCAGATCACTGCTGCGCAAAACCACACCCATGGCGCGACGCGTCCTTGGTGAGCGTCATGAAACCACGCTCAGGATGCGTTGGAATTATGCGCGGGCGCTCTACAGGGACGACGCTACCACCCTCGACGATCTTCGTGATGCAGTGTCGACGCTCGAAGACACGGTACGGCTCGCGCGGCACGTGTTTGGTGGCACGCACCCGATCACAGAAGCGGCTGAATGCTTCCTGCGAGACGCGCGAGCCGCGCTCCGCGCCCGCGACCCGCCGTCTAGCAGTCCCTAAATACATAGTAACTTCTACTCACACGCGAGCGGCCGCCGCAACAGAACCCCCTTCACAACATCCACAAACGTCCCGTCGTACCGCTCGATGAACGCCATCGCGCCCTCGCGCGAGTCGCGCGCGGCTTCGGCGTAAAACGCGTCGTCCGCGAGAAGCCGTGTGAGCGTCTCGACGAACGCATCCGCGACGTCGGAAGGAGCTACGTGCAATACACAATGGAACAGGTGCTTCGCGACGCGCTCGCGCCGTTCGTCCGACGCCGCCGCGAGGACGTCCGCCGGCGGGTCGGCCTGGGGCCGCTCCATCGCGTCGTCGAGGTGGCACCGCAGCAGCTTAAATGCGGCATGGTCATAGAACCAGCGCGTGGGAAGTCGCAGTCGTTCCACAGGGTTCGCCTCCGCGAGGCCGCCAAAGTCCGTCGAGAGCACGGGGATGCCTCGGGCGGCGGCCTCTGTGGCCACCAATCCAAACGCCTCGGGCCAGATCGACGGCACGAGCAACACACGAGTTCTTCGATAGAACACGTCGACGTCGGGCGCCCCCGCCTCAACCATAACATTCGGGAACCGCTTCAGGATGTGCTGGACCACCGCGTTCGTCCAAGCTGTGGCAACGCACAGAAACTTGACGTGAGGCATCCTCGGCGCGATCGCCGCCAGGATGCTCAGGCCTTTCGGCGCGCAGGGCGAGATCAAGGTGACGTACTCCGCGGCGACGGCGTTCCGGTAGAGCGGCGGCGCGCGGAAGTAGCCGTAGCACGCGCCGTAGCAGAGTTGCGGCTTGACATCCGCGGGCCCGAAGCGTTCGTGGTACGCCGTGACGTGCTTCGAATCACACAACAGATTCCACCCCGCGAGGGCGTCGCGGAGCGGCGCCTGCTGCTTCGCGTCGACGTGGCCGAAGGGACCCCAGGGCGCGCCGGAGTAGTCGTGACACATCGCGCAAAATGCCCCGGAACAGTGCGCCGCCGCCCAGTTCACGACGTCCAATGCCAGCGAGGTCGTCACGACGACGTCTGCGCTCAGACGCATGGCAGCGCCGCGCCGGACGCACTTGATCGGGATACCCTCCCAGCGCCTCTCGGCGACGTCGCCGTAGTCGTCGTGCACAAAGTCCACGGCGACGATGCTGCCGCCCAAGCCGTGGACGTGGCGCGTGAGCGCATGTGTTAATGTTAATCCGCCGGTCGGGCGCTTGGTCATGTCCACGGTTCTACCGCTGCCATCGTAAGTAAACAGATTGGCGGTCGTGACGAGCAGGATCCTTGGTGGCGGATTCGTGGCCGTCTCCGTGACCGCTGCGAGTTGGCGCCGCTGCCGCACAAAGTCCTTAAAGCTCGACATGCTTTGTCAAATGTTGTGCACCGCGCAGAATTGAGATGCGCACGCGTGCGAGGCGGGCAGCGTGGGGTGGTACTTCCGTAGTCGCCGTCGATGAAGACGGGCTGCCCATGCGGCGTCGGACGACGCGCCCGGGGCAAGGCAACTTGCTAGCGTCCTCTAACACACTAGCAAGCGGGTAAAGTTGGCAAATAGCAGCCAAAGCCACCCTTACGCGTGCTTTTCAAGGCCCACAGCAGCCACATAGCTCAAAACTGAGGAGCTGAGGTGAAAAAATGCCGCGCACGCGCGCGCAGAGACGCGCGGCGCAAGGGCCGCTGGGAGGGCTCGACGACGATGCGCTGCGACGCGTGCTGACTTTCCTCTCTGTAGCGGACAGCCGCCGCATCGCGGGAGGCGCATCAAAAGCGCTGCGCGGCGTGGCTACGTCGAACGAGTTGACGCGCCTTCGCGGCTCGGAAAGCTATGTGCTGCGCGGCAGCGACCACGGCGTCGTCCACGCACTAGCGACGGCGCTTGGGACGCAGCCATGGCGCAGAGTTAGCTTTACTTACCATGCCTGCATGGTGGCGCCTCATTTTGAACAAATCACCAACGCGGCGATGCCGCCCTCGAGGCTCCGAATCATACCTCAACGAAGGCTCCTTGATGCCCCAGTAGTTCATCTACGTGAAGATAGGGTCTTCCCGTTCCAGGTTGTCGATCGGGACTCGCACGAGGACTTGATTACAATTGGCGAGTGCTGCGTGCTCTCAGGCACTTTAGTTGAGTTTCAATTGCCCTTCCAGCTGCAACTTAGCAGCTTCCGCCTCGCGCACGGCTCGTGCAGTGTGCGTAATTTCGGGGACTGGGTGTTCGAGGCGTTCGACGGCGAGCGGTGGCACGTGCTCTACGAGTGCGGTGCGAGTCCATGGGTGGAAATACCCTTTGGCTTTGATGGACCAGCGAAATGCTTCGATGTTGATGGAACTGCGGTAGCGTCCTCCCGCTTTCGGCTGCGAATGCTGGACGTAGTTGCGGAGCATGGCGATCATGATATCGAGGCCCTGCGGTGCCTGCACATCCGGGACTTCGAGCTCTTCGGCACAGTCCTCCCGCCCTGGAGCGTGTAAGATAATACTGTTGAAATGTGTTGCCGGTCAGTGGCATCTCCCTCCTAGCGATGTCACAAAAGAGAACGTTAAGAACGTGGGGAAGGAGAGGACGTGGACAGATCAAAAACGCGTGTGCGCAAGACCAAAAAGGGGAGGAGTGGGGGGCTGCCCGGCGACCTTCTTCAGAAGGCCGGGAGCGCCGCCGCCGGCGCGCCGAAGACGTCGGAGTAGTCCTCGGGGAAGCCGCCCGCGTACGTGACGTCGGGCTCCTCGACGAGGTCGCCGACGTGCGCCCAGAGCTCCGGCGACGAGCAGCGCGCGCCCCAGTCCTCGGCGAAGAGCGGCGGCGGCGGCGACAGGAGCAGGTCGTCGTCGACGGGCGACGCGGGCCGCGACGTCCGCGGGCCCGCGCCCGGCGGCGGCGGCTCGAGGCAGGGCTCGAAGTGCGGCGCGCCGATGGGGTCGTTCTTGCGCGAGAAGATGACGGCCAGCGAGGGCTTGTCGCCGACGCCGTCGAGGCCGCCGCTCAGCGGCGACTTGACCGTCGTCGGCGTCGTCGGCTCGGCGCCGCGGAAGGTGAAGCCGTGCGGCAGGCGCCCGTAGGCCGCCGGCGCGGCCCGGCCCAGGTCGACGGGCACGGGCCGGCGCCGCGGCGGCGTCACGGGCGAGGCGCCCGGCGCCCGGTCTGGGAAGGCGGGCCGCGCCGCCGGGCCGCGGCCGGGCGGCGTCACGGGCGCCGCGCGGCGCCGCTTCGCCGGCGTCGCCGCCTTGGGCGCCGGCGCGGCGCGGCGCGCGCGCTTGGCGCGGCGGAGCGTCGACCGCTCGAGGACGGGCCGGAGGTGGAGGAGCTCGACGACGTCGACGTCGGCGAGCTGCTCGCCCTTGATGCGCACGTAGACCGAGTTCAGCGGGCTCGCGGACTTGTGCTGCTTGTTGAAGCCGAAGTTGTTCAGCTGGCGCTGGAACGACGAGTAGTGCTGGTGCCGGAAGTAGAGCGGGAGCTTGCGCTCGAGCTTGACGGGGTCGGGGATGACGAGGTTGCCCTCGCGCGTCCACCTGTATGCGATCGCGTTCACGTTTCGCGTCGATGGCGTGAAAATTGGTTTCGCGCGCGGGCGGCGCGCCGGATCACGTCGGGCTCCTCCTGGAGGAGCTGCACGAGCTTCTCGAGGAAGGGGATGACCTTGCGGCGGCGCGGCTTGTACCTGCGTTCACGCGCGTGTGATTTGAGCGGCGGCGCCGCGGACGCCGGCTCCGCACGCGCGCGTCGGCGCCGGCTCGTCGCCGTCCGAGTCCGAGGAATCGTCGTAGTGGGTGGGCATTGGTGGAGTTTCTTGCCTGCAGAGACGTGGGGCGTTGGGCGCCGGCCGCCCGTATCGTCGATGGCGTCGCGCGATCCGCTCCCGCGGCGTATGGCTGTGAAGAGCGCCGGCTTTGTAACTGCAAGATTAGGACATCCGCGGCCGTTTCGCCCGCGGTTTGCGCGGAAATCGCGTACCGCACACAGGCGGCACTGCGTCGCGAAGTATAGGCGCGGGAGCTTACGTTCTTGGTGAGATCTAGGTGCTTTTTTTTAACATCCGAAACTCCCCGAGCTAACGTCTGTAAGACACTAGCATGCGTCTGCAACTCTCTGCCTGGGCCTAAAACATGAGCCTACTGCTGATACCAATGCGGCCCGTGACATTGAGGACCATAGACATCCCTCCGACGGACGCGAAGTAACAATAAAACCAAGTTAAACTACTGGCCCTTCTGGAACCCAGGCACCGTGTAGCGGGGCTGGTTCCAGAGCGCCTCGTTGAGGTCGTCGTCCGAGAGGTCGTCGTCGATCGGCAGCATGGCGGCGGCGGCCGCCGCCTTTTCTTTGTCCTTCCGCTCCCGCGCCGCCAGCGCCGCCGCGATGTCCACGCCGCCGTCGTCCGCGTCGCCGACGCGCGCCACGGCATCGTTCACAACCGGGGCTTTGGCGCCGTCGGCGCGCGCCATCAGCGGCGCGAGCCGCCGCTCGTACCAGGCCTGGTCCAGCGCGCGCCGCCTGGATTCATCGTCATTCTCCTGGGCTTCGGTTGCCTCGTCCTGGGCCTCGTCGCGGGCCACGCCGCCCGCGAACTCGGAGAACTCGGCCCAGGCCTTGGCCTCGCTCTCGGCCTTGGCCTTTTCGGGGTCCACGCCCCGCGCCTTCAGGTCGGCGTTTTTGTCGTCGAAGAATCCGGCCGGCAGCTCGCCCTTGGCCGGCGCGGGCGCGGGCGCGGGCGCCGCCGCGGCGGCCGGCGCCTCCTCGGCGTCGTCGCTGTCGCTGTCGTCGCTGCCGTAGGCCACGAGCGACTTCGGCGCTTCGGAGGATGTCGCGGCGCTGTCGAAGAAGCCCGGCGGCAGGCCCGCGGGCGGCTTTGCGGGAGGAGCGGGCGACGCCGGCTCCGCCGGCAGCGTCACGGTGCGCGTCTGCTTCGGTTTCGGCGCCATCGGCGGCGGCGGCGGCATCATGGACCGCTGCCGCTTGGCCTCCTCCGCCGCCGCGGCCTTTTGCTTGGCAGCCTCCGCGGCAGCTTTCTTTTGGCGCATCGCTGCGGCCCTCGCTTTCACATCGTTGCGATCAACTCTGCCCGCTTTGCGTTTCATGACTAGATGAGACCGCGCACTCGTGCTTGTGCAATGATAAAGCAAAAATATGTTTTGCGCGATCAAGCAGTGCGGTCAAGCAGGCCCCGCGGCGGCTTGGTGGCTAGGCGGCCTGGCTCTAAGCAAAGCAATGCAAAAATGGCTGTCTGCTGTCCGCGCGAGCGGCCTTTTTTGCACCCCTTTGCACACCTCGCAGTGATGCTATATATTTGCTGCCTCGCGCACTATATTTGGCGTCTCTCTGCGGTGCTAGCGCCTTAAAATTTTAATTGCGGCGGGGCGCCGGCACAAAACAGGCATCAAAACGGGTTTACACGCGATTTGCCGCAACAATGGCTGCCCACAAGCGCGCACCGCCTCGAGGACCGCCCCCCGAGCAAGTTGACAGGGCGGGGTGAGCGCTAGTAGCCGCTAGTGGCTGCCCCAAACTCGGCAGGCCAAGACCAGGCGTTGGCCGCGGCCCGGGCCTCACAGCCGTCGACGGCAGCTAAGGGGAGCAGCCGCGACGCCTGAGGAGCGCTACAATACAACAAAAACGAACGGGCAGCCGTGCGGCGCCGCCAGACTTCATAAACTAGGCAGCGCCGGTAGTAGGACCAAAGCGCAGGCGCCGCCATGGCGAAGGTCCTCGAGGCCCTCATCGCCAAGGGCCGCCGCGTCCGACGGCCGCGCGAGCAGAAGGAGGTCGCCTTCGGGTTGTGCGACCTCTCGACGCATACGGAGTTACACGAGCGCATCGTGAAAAAGGGCGGCATCAAATCTTTAGTAAACCTGTTAGCCGGTTCCCAGGACAACGAGGCCCAGCGCTTCGCGGCGCTGGCGATCGGGAACTGCGCGTCGGCGTCGTACAACCGCCTAGCGATCGTCGCCGAGGGATGTCTCACGACGCTAGTCGACTATACGGCGGCCGAAGGCAATGATCTGATAGGACGGCAGTATTGCGCCATGGCCCTTGGGAATTTAGCCGCGGAACCGATGAACCACGAAGAAATCGTCAAGAGCGAAGGCATTAACGCGCTCATGTGCCTCTTGAAAACGGAGGATATAGAATCAGGGAGGTACGCGGCCTTTGCATTATCAAATCTCGCGGCGAACGCCAATCATAGACAGCAGATCGTCGACGAGGGCGGCGCTGCCGCACTCGTGGCTTTAGCTTGTTGTGAGGACCTGAACGCGCAGCGCCAGGCCATGAGCGCCTTGCGAGGTCTATGTATCACGCCCCACTATAGACCTCTCGTCGTGCAAGAGGGCGTGTTGGATCCTATTGTGTTGATGGCTCGAACCGACGAGATTGAGGTGCTGCGAGAGGTGTCGGCGGCATTGAACTGTTTGTCTTCCGTAGAAGAGAACAAGATGGAGATCTGCGATCGAAGCATCTCCACGATCATCGCCATGCTCTTGTCGGGAGACGTCGAGACGGAGCGGCACGCGTGTTGCTCGGTGGCGAACTTGGTGGAGCTCGCGGAACTGCACGGGAGACTCCTAGAAGAGCGAGGCTTGGCCCCGCTCGTCGCCTTAGCTCTCTCAGAGGACACGAACACCAAAGGCGAAGCGAGTCGAGCCATCGCTAATTTAGCCGCCAACGCCGACGTCCAGCAGACTCTGCTCAAGGAAGGTGTCTTATTACCGATGGTCAAAGCCCTCGAGATCGACGATATTAATTGTCAACGCTTCTCCGCTTTATGTTTGGCGAATCTGGCCACGACGATCGCCTCGCAGATTAAGGTGGTGCAGGCCGGTGCTATTAGGCCGTTAGTCGCTCTAGCCCACAACCCGACGGGCCAGCTCGAGGGGCGGCGCTACGCCGTCTTGGCACTGGCCAATCTGTCAGCGACCGTCGCAAACCACGCCGTCATGATCGAGGAGGGCGTGCTGCACGCTTTATTTTCTTTGTCGAACTCGGCCGACGTCATGTCCCAGTATTATGTGGGCTGCGCTCTGGCGAATCTGTCGTGCGCGGTAGGAAACCACGCCATCATGGTCGAGCAGGGCGGCCTGCAGCCGCTGATCACATTGGCGTACGCGTCGGACCCCGACGTCCACCAGCAGGCGGCCGCGGCCTTGCGAGGTCTCTCCGTAAGTACGGAGAACAAGATGAAGGTCGTGCAGGAGGGCGGTTTGGAGCCGCTTACTAGGTTGTTAGCGTCGGAAGACGTGGAGATCCTCCGAGAAGTGTGTGCGGGATTAAATAACTTGTCACTAGGAGATGAGAACAAGTTCGAGATCGCGAAATGTGGCGCCGTGCCGCCCCTGATCACCCACAGTCAATCCGACGACATGATCATCGCCGCGCAAGCGTGTGCGTGTTTAGCTAATTTAGCGGAAATGGCAGAAAACCAGGAGATCATTGCCAGGGAGGGCGGCGTGCGGCCGACGATCCAGGTCATGCGGTCGCGGTATGTGGAGGTGCAGCGGGAAGCCGGGCGGTTGTTAGCTAACTTGTGTGCTTCGGATAGCGAAACTTCTGACATGATCGTTAGGGGCGGCGGGCACCAGCTACTCATATCTTACTTGTTGTCGCAAGATACGGCTTGTCAGCGCGTCGGCGCGTTGGGCATTGGTAATTTATGTACGCAGGAACGACATCGGGTACCACTCATGGACTCTGGCGTGCTCGAACCGCTCTGTACGTTAGCTCGCTCCGAAGATATAGAATTAGAAATCCAGAGGTATGCCGTGTTAGCGATTGCGAACCAGGCTAGTACCGTAGACAACCACGCCGCCTTCGTGTCGGAAGGCATGCTGCCTCTGTTGATTTCATTGTCGAACGCGCCGGACGCCGAAGTGAGGCAATATGCGGCCTACGCCCTGGTGAAGGTCGCGCAAAATGCCGACGTGAGAAAACAAGTTACTGATGAAGGTGGTTTGGAACCTGTACTCTACTTAGCTAGAACAGATGAGCCCGAGATCCAGGTCGAGGTCATCCCCGCGATTTGTACGCTATCGTTCGCGGAAGAAAATAAAGTCGACATCGCGAAGAATGGCGGACTGCCTCCTGTGATTGCTGCAATTCGCGACGCGAATGTCGAGACCGCAAGGATGGCCTGTTGTGCTTTGGCCAATCTCTGTGAGGTCGTGGAGAACACGTCTTTGATCATGGACCACAACCCGGTCCCGGCGTTGATGGAGGTGCTCGTGGGCCATGCTCCCTTAGTCCAGTGCGAGGCGGCGCGGGCCATGGGCAACCTCGCGGCGAACATCGAGTACGGCGATGAAATCTTAAGGGCAGGAGCGCAGCGCTACCTCATGATCATGTTGCGGTCCGAAGAGGAACGGTGCCAGCGCATGGCCGCCATGGCCTTATGTAACCTCGCCTCGAATTTACAAAATCAGCCGAAGATGATCGCGGCCGGGATTCTCGAGCCGGTCGTGGGTGAAGCGACGTTAGCGCTCGATGCCAAGTCCAAGTCGGACTTCGAGTGTGTGCGCTACTGTTTACTGATTCTGGCGAATCTGGCGGTGTGCCAGACGAACCACCCCCAGTTGATGGCCGAGGCGTTACCGGTACTGGCGCAGTTCGGCGCCCACCGAGATGTGAAGTGTCGGCAGTACTCGATCTTCGCGATCGGTAATTTATGTGCGAACTCCGAAAACCTGGAAGGCATCGTGAGAGAAGGTTGTTTGAAAACATTGATCAGGTACGCGTTCCCGTCGACCGACGCGTCGGCCGTCGACGTCCAGTTCCAGGCCATTGCCGCCATTAGGGGATTGGGGACGCACCAGACCATTAGATTGCAACTGGTGCGGGAGGGCGCCCTCGAACCGCTGATTCTGGCGGTGCAGTCCGAAAGTGTAGAAGTGCAGCGCGAAGTAGCTGCCGCTTTGTGTAATCTAGCACTCGCCGAAGAAAACAAGGTGACGATGGCCCGGAGTGGCGTCGTCGGTGCGTTGATAGCGCTGATGCAGTCCAGAGATGTGGTGCGAGAGACGCACGCGTGCGCCTGCTTGGCCAATCTCGCGGAGATGGTCGAAGGCAGGACGCAACGGCGCCTGGTCGACGAAGGGTCCTTGCGGTATTTACTGAATCTCGCGTCGTCGGAAGATCCCGAGGTAAGAAGGGAGGTAGCGAGGGCCATGGCTTTATTCGCGGCGAAGCGCGACTCGCATGCTGCTCTACAGCGAGCTGGTTCTGTGCCATGTTTAGTGCAATTCGCAAGGGGCGAGGACACCGTATCGAGGAGGTTCGGCTGCCTGGGCATCGGCAATTTGGCGATTGTCACGGCGAACCACCAGGAGCTGTTCGACAGCGGCGCGATTGCCTCGTTACTGCCGCTGGCGGTCTGCGACGATTTGGAGACGAGGCGGTGCACGGCCTTCGGTCTGAATAATGTGGCGTCGAACGAGAAGAATCATAGAGTGCTGGAGCGGATGGGCGTCCTCCGACCGTTAGTCGCGCTCATCAAGGACAAGGACCAGGACACGCACTTGCAAGCGTGCTTGGCCGTGCGGCAGCTCTCGCTAACCCCGAAGTGCCGCTTCCAGTTCGTCGAGATGAAGGGCCTGCAGCCATTGTTAGCTTTAGCAGACTCCGACTCCATAGAAGTGCAAAGAGAATTGGCCGCAGCTTTAAGGAACCTATCCTTATCGGAGCAGAACAAGATTTCGATTGTACGCGAGGGCGGCATGGACGTATTGATCAAATTTGCCCATTCGTTGGACGTCGAAATAGCTCACCAGTCGTGCGGCGTCCTCGCGAACTTGGCCGAAGCGTTGGAGAACCAGGGCCCGATGATCGAGACGGGGTTGCTGCAACATTTGAAATATGTGCTTCGTTCGAAGTCCGTCGATGTGCAAAGGGAAGCCGTACGAGCTATCGGGAACCTAAGTGCGGAGTACTCGCACACCGCGGCCATTGTGGCTGCAGGAGCGTTGCTACCGCTCGTACCCACATTAAGCTCGCCGGACTTCCTCTGCCAACGATATGCGGCCATGGGCATCGCCAATTTGGCCACGAACATGGGCAATCAGCCAAAGATCATGCAAGCTGGGGCTTTACAACCTATTATATCGTTGGCGCGGCGGGATAACGGTGATTTGGATTCGCAGAGGTATGCGGTGTTCGCTTTGTGCAATGTGGCTGCTACAAGGGCGAACCATGCCCAATTGGTCCAGGCTTCGTTGATAGAGTTATTGGCGGCTCTACTCGATGACGAGGATTCTCAAATAAGAAACGCGGCGTGCTTCGCGATTGCGAATCTCTGCGCGAACCCGGCGAACCACGAAGAGATTTTGGACGCGCACTGCCTCGGTCCATTGATCGGGTTCGCGGCGTCGCCTGATCCCCAAGCGCAATTGAGGGGCGTCCAGGCGTTACGAGGGTTGTCTACCGATGCGGAGCTACGCGTGCAGATCGTGCAGCGCGGCGCCTTGGAGCCGCTACTCGCTCTCACGAAGTCTACGGACGTCGAAGTTCAGATGGAAGTCCTGGCGTGCTTATGTAACCTGTCGCTTTGTGGGTGTATTGGCGACCAGCCGAAGAAATTCATGGACGCGCTGGATGTGGAAACGTTGATTTCTTTCTTATGTTCCGCGGATACGACTTACAGATTGTTTGCTGCCGTTACGTTGGGTAATGTTGCTGCGGATGAGACTCTACAAGATGAAATTGTGGAAGGTGGTGCGCTCGCACCTTTGGTGACCGTCGGCAACGCTGCGGATTTGGAGACCCAACGGTGCATCGCTTATGCTTTATGTAACTTATCTGTTGATGAAGCTCGGAGACCGACCATCGTGGACGAAGGCGGACTGCCTCCCATCATTTCCTTGGCCTGCTCCGAGGAGGCCGCCGATGTCAAAGCGGCCGTTTCGACATTGAGAGGGCTGTCCTCGTCGCCGAAAGCTAGACGACAGATCATCGTCGCGGGCGCCCTCGAAGCTCTTGGCTTGGCCGCCAGGAACGAGGACGTCTGGGTGCGGCGCGAGGCGGCTGCCGCTCTCAACTCACTATCCTTGAACGACCTGAACAAGGTGGACATGGCGACGTCTGATGCACTCACACAGCTCGTAGCCCTAGCGCGCGACGACGACGTTCCGACATTGAGGCAAGTCTGCGGCGCTCTAGCTAATTTGTCAGAGTGCACGAAGACGCACATGCCCATCCTGGCCGCGGGCGGCACGAACCCCCAGGCCCTGGCGGAGCAGGCGAACGCGGCGGGAGACATGTCCCTGACCGAAACGGTGAAGACCGACGACGAGCCCTGGATCGCCGACGCTTCTGTCGCGTTCCTGAATGATCTCGTGCTGTACAACGGCGACGTGGGCATGGTCCGCGAGGTGTCGCGCTGCTTGTCGAATCTAGCAGCGAACCACGCGACGCATGATGTTGTTTTAGATTCTGATAGTAGCGTCGCTTTAGTGAGAGCGGCCGAACGGGATGATGCGGTGGTTGCTCGGTTCGCTACCATTGGGTTATTGAACTTAGCGACGAACGCGAAGTGCCACGCTCGCCTCATGGAGGACAAGGCCTGCGTCGACGTGTTGGTGGACCTGGCGGGCGGTGGTGAGAGAATTTGGACTCGAGTAGATGAAGATGGCGCGCCCTCCGTCTCCAAGGAAATTGAACCGGCGCCCGCGCCGGCGCCGGGCACGGGCCCGCAGATGAAGACGACGGCCGCGTTACTCGGTGACGACGAGCACGCGGAGAATGACGAGGCACTGGACGAGATGAAGTTGGTCGACGAGATGGGTTATGATTTGGAAGCGCGGCGGTACGCGTGTTTGGCCCTAGGTAATTTGCTGGCGCAGCATGAAAACCACGACCAGGTGCTCGCGGCGGGAGCGTTGGCGCGATTAGTTGATAGCATGGACGCCGATCTTGACTTAGAAACGAGGTTCAACGCCGTCTACGCGTGCAACAAGATGGCTACCAGGAATTCCAACCATGAAATCATGGTCTCGGGGGGTATCCTCAAGCCTCTCGTTGCGCTGTGCGGCGAGGAAGATCAACACGCGCGGTGCCAGGCCTGTGCTTGTCTCAGACATCTGTCGACGCATGCGGAGTCTCGGAGGCAGATCGTGCTCGAGGGTGCTCTGGTACCCTTGGCAACGGCTGCGTTAGTGAAGGACCTCGAAACGCAGCGGGAAGTCGCGGCCTGCTTATGTCACTTAGCTCTAGCTGACGATAATCGCAGCGACATCATCCTGTCGGGGGCAGCCCAACCTTTACTGGAAATGGCCCAGTCGCCGGACGTGGAGGTCGCCCGCTTCGCGAACGGCGCGGTCGCGAATGTGGCCGAGGACCCCATGACCCATAGAGCGATAGGACACCACCTGAACGGCATGCACATTCTGATCTATTTGATGCGGTCGAGGCACGTCTCTGTTCATAGGGAAGCGGCCCGAGCTGTTTCCAATCTATTGACGTCGGAAGCGTCTCACAGTTTATTCTTGGCGGAGGACGGCTTACGATCTCTATTCAGTGTAGCAGCCTCGCGGGACCAGGAGTGCCTCTATAATGCTGCGCTGTGCTTCCGGAAACTCACCCCGAACTTTGCCAACCACGATACGATCATAGCGAAGGGTGGCTTACAACCCCTCATTGGATTAGTCGGTCTGACCGATGTGGACACGCAAAGGCAGGCGGCGGCGGCTCTACGGGAGTTGGCTACGAACCGAGACCACAAGGTCACTTTTGCGGAGGAAGGTGGGTTAAGATGCATGATCGCGGTCGCGCGCGAACGAGATCTGCAGTTGAGAGTGCTCGGTGTCTCGGCGTTGCGGCATCTCTCACTATCTTCGAGAATCAAGCGACCGATCGTGCGGGAAGGCGGCCTGGGGCCGGTCTACGAGTGTCTGATGGGCGACCGGTCCGACGCCGCTAATGTTGATGCAAGTGTAGCGGACATGACCATCGGGACCTACGAGGGTTTGGACTTGGACTTGCTGGCGCAGTGTGCTGGTTTACTTGGTAACTTGGCAGAGGACCCGCACAACCAGCTCGCGCTCGTGCGAGACGGCGCGTTCGCGCCTCTCGTAAGGTTGTCAAGGGTCCCCCACGCGGGCATCCAGATGGACGTCGCTCGAGCCCTTTGTAGTATTTCGGCCCACCCCGACAACCAAGTGGGAGTGTTTGGGCCGGAGGAGCTCCAAGCCTTATTTGATTTGATGGCCAATCCGGAAGAGAACTGTGCACGAGATGCCGCTATCGCTGTGGGCAATCTAGCGACCGTCACGAAGAACCAGGTCACGATTGTCCGATTAGGCGCATTAGGGCCGCTCATCGCGCTCCTCGAGTCGCAGTTCGACTCGTGCCAGCAGTTCAGTGCCCGAGCGTTGTGTCGGCTGTCCGCACATACGGCGAACCAGCCCAAGGTCGTCGACGCCGGCGGTTTGCAGTTGTTGATCAAGGCGTGTCGATCGGGCGCGCCGGAAGTGCGGCGCTTCGCGTCGATGGCGCTGTGTAACGTCTGCGTGCACGAAGCTAATAAGCTCAAGGTCGTCAAGCTGGACGGCATCCGACCTTTGATAGACATGTTGGACGACAAGGACTCGGAACTGTGTCGCAGGTACGCGGCCATGGCCCTGTCCAACTTGACCAATGAAAAATCGAACCAGGAGCATGTGGTCCGACATGGTGCGGTCCTCCCATTAATACGAATGGCCATGGACGCCGAGGCCTTCCCGGAATGTGCGCGGTTTGCGGGCTTCGTCCTATGTAATTTAGCGTCCAATAGGATGAATAGGGTACCTTTGGTAAGGGCCGGTGCTTTGCCACCGCTGGTCGCCATGGCATCTAGGGAAGACGGCAAGTTGGAGGTCCAACGTTCAGCAGCATTAGCTTTGTACAACATCTCCTGCGCCGCGGCGAACCAATTGGCCCTGGTCCAGGCCAACGCGACGTCCGCGCTCATACGGTTATGCGGGTCGGTGGACGTGGACTGCAAGCGCTTCGCGATCATGTCCCTATCCAATTTAGCGGCGAACATCCAGACCCGAAGTGTCGCGACGAAGGGCGGCGGCCTGCAGGCGGCGCTTGGGTTGTTGAAGGACTTTGAAGTCGACATTCGGCGGTACGCCTGTATCTGCCTCGGCAACATGGCGAACTTCCCGGTCACGCAAGTGCAGATCATCGTCCACGGTGGCTTGCAACCTTTGCTCGATTTGTGCAATGATGACGATGTGGATTCCCAACGACAAGCTTTGATGTGCCTCGTGAACGTCACGTCGAACGAAGCGAATCATCCAGCAGTCATGTCGAAAGGTACCCTGAAGGTCTTGATGCGCCTCGCGGCGGACTCCCAAGATGCCGCGGTGCGCGAATATGCCACGTTCAACGTCGCTAACTTGGCCTCGGATCCTGATTTGCTCGCGCAGATCGGCCGCGCCGGTGGTGTGCCTCCTTTGGTCTACCTGTCGCAGTCGAACAACATCCACTCGCAGTGCCTGGCCTTTGCGGCTTTACGGAGATTGACCAACGAGCCTGAAAACAGACGGCGCTTCGTGCAAGCTGGTGGGTTGCCTTCGTTGGCCTCCTCGGGTCTCTCAGCAGAGCTAGAAATCCAGCGCGAGGTCGCGGCCTGTTTATGCAACGTTACGCTCGAACCTTCCGTGAGGATGGATGTGGCCAAAGTCTGCCTGCCGGCCATGGTCCATCTGGCGCAATGTGGGGACCGGGAAGCGGCTCGGCAGGCCATGGGGTCGCTGGCCAACCTAGCGGAAGACATGCATACCCACACCCATGTGGCCGCCTACGGAGGCGCAAGGTGCATGGTCGCTCTTGTTGATCATGATGCGGTCGACATTCACAGAGAAGCTTCAAGGGCCATAGCTAATCTATTGACGAGTTTCCACCACCAAGCTACCATAATATCGGATGGATTGCCCGGGCTGGTCCATCTAGCGCTGGGACCCGACGCGGAGTGCCAGTACAACGCTGCTCTCAGTTTCCGAAAACTCACGCCGAACCGCGACGCGCACGAAGGCATCATGGAGCACGGTGGGTTGGAGGCCCTCTTCCAATTGCTCGAGATCAAGGATTCGAAAGAGGTGCCGACGCGCCGGCAGGCCGCGACGGCACTAAGGGACTTGGCCGCGAACGAGCACCTGAAGTTAGTGTACGCGGCGCGGGGCGGCATCAAGGCCATGGTTCAATTATCTAAATGTCGCGAGTTGTCCTTGCAGTGCCTCGCGACGGCGGCGATGCGCCATCTGTCCTTGCACGACGAGCTGAAGCGACCTTTGGTGGAAGGCGGGTGTCTCGTACCATTAGTAAGAAACGCTCCAAGAGCCAATGAAGATCTCCAGTGCCAGATCGCTGGATTGTTAGCTAACCTGTCCGAAGAGACGGAGAACCAGATCTCACTGCTGAACGGCGGCTGTGTGCCGGTACTGGCAACTCTGGCCAGAGTAGAAAACGACGAGATCCAGCAGGACTCGGGGCGGGCCATGGCGAACGTCACTTCCAACGAAGAAAACCACGTCACGGCCTACCGGCAGGGTGCGCTCCACGCTCTCGTGCATTTGTGCGACTCCGAGGAGGACGTCTGCCAGCGCTACGCGGCCATGGGCCTGCGGTTCCTGTCGTCGCACCCGGAAGTCCGGGTCTACATCGTGAAAGAGCAGATGGTGGCTCCTTTCCTGCAATTGGCCCAGAGTCCGTTGCTCGAGTTCCAGCGGACCGCTGCGGCTGCTTTGGCGTCTTTCTCGTTGTCTGTCGAGAACAAGGCGTCGCTGATACGGCAGGGTGGCCTTACTACTATATTATTGCTGTGCTTGTACGAGGATCTACAAGTCGTACGCGACGCCGTCTTCGCTTTGGCCAACTTGGCCGACGCTTTAGATCTGCAGTCCGATTTGGTGCGGGAAGGTGCGATAGAAACGCTGGCCAAGGTCGGCGAAATGGACGACGCGCGGGTTCAGCGGGACACGGCGCGGGCCTTCGCGTGCTTGACCCAGAGCGAGGAGGTCCGAGCAAGGGCGGTATTGGGAGGCTCTCTACCGGCATTGTTCAAGCTCGCCCGGTCCTTGGACGTCGCCTGTCAGAGATATGCGACTCTATCTCTATGCAACGTCTCGTGTGGCGAACACAAGGCGAAAGTTGTGGAATTTGGCGCCATTCGACCGCTCATGTTCCTCGCGCGGTTTCCAGATATGGAAATTCAAAGGTATGCTTCTCTCGCCTTGGCTGCATTGGCGCTCGGCGACCACGCCACGAACAAAGAAAGGATCGTGGAAGAAGGTGCTGTCAGACCTCTTGTGGACATGTGCCGCTTCCCGGAAGCGCGCATGCAATTATGTGCCGCTTTAGCGTTGAATGCGATCGCATTAGGACCGCAAAAAATCACGAAGATGGCCATTTCGCGGGAACAGGGTCTAGAACCCTTGCTGAACCTGCTCAAGTCCCACGACGAGGAGTGCGTGTTTGCCGGGACGTACATTCTTGGGTCTTTGGCGGAAGATGCCGAGGTCCAGGCCCAGTTGGTCGACCTCGGGTCGATTCCCGCTTTGGTCGCTGTGGTGGGCGACGCGAACCTCGAGATCAAGCGCGCGGCGGCCTACTACTTCGCGCGCTTGGCAGAAAGCGTCGAATGCCACGCGAAGCTGGCCAAGGACGGCGCGCTGGCCAAGATCATCCAGATCGCATCCCTGGAAGACGTCGAGTGCCAGGAGGTTTCGGCCTTCGCTCTGGCGCACCTGGCGTCGGACCGCGACCTGCAGGTACCTCTCGTGACGTTGGGTGCGCTCAAACCGTTGGTCGCCATGATGTCCATCCAGGCCGAGCCGCGGCACTACGCCGGCCTCGCCCTGCTCAAACTCGCGGACAACTTCGAGAACCACGTGGCCATCGCCCAGGAGGGCGGCATCCAGGCGTTATTACGTCTCGGAAGAGAGCGCACGACGGACGAGGAGCTGCAGTACAAGGCGGCGCTCACGGTCGGTACTTTAGCTTCGAACGCCGTCAAGATGATGCCGCCCACCGCCGAGACCCACGGCACGGCCGCGAAGCGCATGGTTCGGTCCGACATCGGCTTCGGCGCCGCCGCCATGCTCCAGGGCCGCGTCGCCGGCGAGGCGCGGAAAGGTAGGGAAGAGACGCTGGCGTACCTCGAGAAGTCCACGGCTCAGGACGCCGCGTCGGGCGAGGCGAAGAAGGGGGGGTAAGTGGCTCTTTTGTACTTGTCTGCGTCGAGGCGCTCCTTGTGGGCTTTTAGTGGCCCCTCGCACGCGCCCGGGACCCTTCCGCCGTCGGCGCAACAGCCTGGGGCCCAGTGGGGGGGGGGCGGCTTTGAGACGCCATCGACGCTGGTATGGACGTGGCCCCGGGCCGCGGCCGCAGAGCGGTAGCGACGATGGGGCTACTTTTCTTAGTGTAGTTGTTCGAAGTCATGAGATTACGCGGGGTAGGATCGGGGACGGGTGCTAGATACGAGCGTCGTCTGGTCGTGACCCCGTGTACCGTTAAAACGGTGGGGGTCAGTCATGCACGACGGTGGTCGTCTTGCGTCGTCAGTCGCGACACTGATTCCAGAGATACCCTGAGTCAGAGTCAAATTCGTTGTCAAAGCACGAATCACCGGAGTCGTGGAAGGCAGCGTCGGCACAAACTACTTCCTTCGCCTGACTCCAAACGCATTTCGCATTACTATGCTGGCCTTCGTCTGGAAGGAGAGTTACGCAATTGTCGCTCGTAGTTCCAGAACAACCAGTGTTGAAACGAAGGCTGCCATCGGGCAATTTAGCGTAGCAACCATCAGATTCGTCAAAGTTTAAGAGGGCGTCACCAACTGCGTTGCACCCGTTCTGAACGCTGTCTCTGGAGGAACGAATAATGTGCGCAAGCCATTCATTAGATCGGCATGTTCCTGCAAACAAAGTTTCTCTTTCGTCACACCCGGCCTTAGGTCTGCAAGCACAAAAAGTGTGAGGTTGCTCCTCAAGTTGTTTTTGCAGCAGGAGATGCGACTCGCCGCGCGAACAACGCCTCGGGAACAGGAGCAGTCGGACAGTGCACGTTAGCTAACGCGGGTCGTTGCTCGGCGTGCGCCCTGACTCCAACTCTGAGATATTGGGTCAATCTCCGCGAAACGCACGATTAAACCCGAGCGCAACGACGCGAGGGATAGCCTAGGTATTCTTTGGTCTTATTACTTCCGGGGGTTCGCCACGCGCTCCGCCTTCGCCTTTTCGGTCTTCGGGTTCGATGCTCGCGACCGCGCGAGCCTGCGCGACAAAAAGCGTGAGAAGGCGGCGACGGCGGCGCAGCACTCTCGCGACACGACAGCGGCGCTCAGACATCCAAGGAAGTAACATCTTTTGCCCCATTCGGAGACAGTGCTCTCGCTCGGCTTTTACTGCGAATGTTTATGGGAAAAAGGCTTTCATCGTCGCGCCCTCGACAGATACGTACGGACGCTGGCAGCATACTTCTCCGCCTCGGTCATCGGCTTCTTCTGGCCCGCCCGTGCCAATGCTCTTCGTTGCAACATGCGCGTCACTTCCAACATGTCGCCCGGACTGTTCTCCGCGCGGACGATGTCGTCGGCGAGCGCGGCGATGCCGATTTCGTCGAGCTTCGTTTCCAGTTCGTCGTCTTGTTGCTTAATTCCTTTCCGGTCCAACGTCGCGGGGATGCTGAGCCCGGTGCCCTCGCAGTTGATGCAGACGCCGTCGGCCTTGCGGAGCCAGTCTCCTGATGAAGATTGGTAGGACGCGCCCTTGATGAAGCCCGTGCCCTCGCAGTACGCGCAGATACTTCGTTGCTTCGCGTGGAAGCGGTTATTTTCATACACAGCTAAAGTGCCCATGACGCCCATGGACCCTCCCACCAGACCCGCGGAGGCGTCGGTCATGAGGCGGCCCCACTCGGTCGCGGTCATGATGTCGTTCGGGCTCATTGGTCGTCGCGTCATGATCCGTCGGCCATGCGGGCATTGGAGCGGCGTCGTCGTTTGTAGGTATACGAGGACGAGGGCGGCGCGCATCATCGTTGCTCTACGCTACAACGCGTCGGCGACGACGTCTGCGCTTTGCTTGCAGTGCCTCTGGGGAGAGGTGAGCTCTGTGTACTCCCTCTATGCGCGGCGCGCGGCGCCTCTTTTCGCAGCAATGGATTCAGATCGCTGCGGTAGGGCTTACGACGAGTCCTTATCAGCGGCGTCGAGTCGTACGCGTCGTACGCGCAGTGGCTTTGGGATAGCTTGGGCAAAGCAAGCTGAGCCGAGGCCCGCCCGCTGCGGGACTCGTACCGAGCTTGTTCGGGCCTGCGACGAGTCCTCTTTGCGGGCAACGCCTGCGTTTCGCGGTTGGCCATTGTGTGCGGGTTTAGGCCCTCGAGCTTTTTCAGCCAAAACGCGCTAAACGTCGACTTACAGCTGCCTGGCGACGCGCAAAATTGTGCATCGGTGCCTCTCGTAGTTGTGCTTGCACCTGCGCAAGTTGCTGTCGTCTCTGGCCAGCTGTCTGCGTTGCCCAGCAACTGTGCAGCTGCAAGAACTGAAAGAAACAGCACCATGCTCCTAAAGGAAGCCCTTGCGTCGGTCTCAGCCGTGGTCCTCGCGAGCGGCTCGCCGCGGCGGAAGGAACTGTTAGGACTGGTCTTACCGGAAGAGTACGGCTTCGAAGTGCAGACGAGCGACTTCGCCGAGGACCTCCCGAAGGACACGGACGCCGCGGACTACGCGCTACGGACCGCGACGGCGAAGGGTGAAAGTGTAGTGAAAGCACGGAACGCGCCGGACGAGTTGGTGATCAGCGCGGACACCGTCGTCGTGCGAAAAGATAAGATACTAGAAAAGCCGCGCGACGACGACCACGCGCGCGACATGCTCTCGAAACTCTCGGGCAAGACGCACAAAGTGATCACGGGCGTCGCGCTCTTCCACAAGGGTCGTAGTTGTGGCTTCCACGCTTGTACAAAAGTCACGTTCTCGAAGTTACCTGCCGCGGCCATCGACGACTACGTCGCGACGGGCGACCCCCTGGACAAGGCCGGCGGTTATGGGATTCAGGGGCGGGCGGGGTGTTTCGTCGAGGGCATCGACGGGTGCTACCACAACGTCGTCGGCCTGCCGGTCAACCGCCTCGCGCGCGAACTACAAATGTTCCTGGCGGACCAGTGGTGAGGGGGGGGGGGCGGTGTGGTTTTTTAAAATTTATCTGTATAGCTTGGCTTTCCTCTCGACGCGTTCGCGTCGACGCCGTAAAACAGGTTTTCGAGGCTGATGATCAGCTTGTGAAGTGGGCGCCAAGAGAGGCGGAGCGGGGTTATCAAGCGCTGATACAACCCGCCGAAGGGGTCGTCGTTTCCGCTAACTTCCGACCAACCTAGAAAAGCCCTGAGACAAGTCAAGTGCTCTCTAAGCCTCTTGCTCTCTTGAAGGCTGAAACTGAACAAGATGGAGTTGCCGCCCCCGCACGTGCTCGCTCGGCTCGATGCCATCATCGTTGGCCAAGAATCGATCGTCGCGATAAACGGAGACCTGGAGACCGTGGACGACGACGACCGGTCGGTATCGTCGGAGGCCCTCGGCATCACTAGCTCGGCCACGAGCTTTTCCGAGGACGTCGTGCCCGACGATGCTGGCGGCGCGCGGACGGCGTCGCGGTTCTGGGGCGTGACTTGGTTCGGCGCAGCAAGAAGTGGAAGGCGTACTACATAGACGCGGACGGCAAGCAGCGCCACATCGGCCTGTTCGACGACGAAGAGGAGGCGGCGCGCGCTTACAATAAAGCGATTCGCGACGTGGGCCTCACAGGCAAGCGGCGCACGAACGCGTTCGACGCGACGGGCGCGCTGGTGCCGCGCGAATACGTGCGCGACCGCTCCGCCGTCGTCGCGCCGGACCCCTCGCGCGCGCCGTCGGCGACGACGTCGAAGTTCTGGGGCGTGACCTGGAACAAGGGCCAACGACGGTGGCAGGCGCGATACAAAGACGCGAACGGCAAGGAGCGCCACATCGGCCACTTCGACACGCAGGAGGAGGCCGCGCACGCCGTTAACGCCGCGATCCGGCGAGCGGGGTTAGAAGGCCGGCGCAAGACGAACCCGGTCGTCGACGGTCGTCTCGTTCCGCGCGTGCGCACCAAGAAGGCGGACGGCCATGGGCCGCCACGGAAATCGCGCAAGCGCCGCTGCGAGAAGCCCGCCGCCACGCCATCGACGCGCGCCCGCCGCCGCCAGTGCCGCGCGGATGAATAGACCAGTAAGACATCACAGATTAGACCCGCACCGCCCCGAACGCCACCTCGACCTTCCGCTCCGCGTCGGCGCCGCCGCGCACGATATATAACCGCTTCCCGAGGTCCACGCGCTCGACGAGCGCCTGGTTCTGCGCGTCCCAGGCGGGGTCGGAGTACTCGACCCGCACGCACGTGCCCACGGGCACGCACGTGTCCTCGCAGGCCCAGAACGACTTGATGTCCGTGGCCCCGAAGATGGGAGGCCCGCCGTTGACGAGGTAGCCGTCGCGCTCGCCCGGCGCTTTTCCCTCGCCGTTCACGGCCTTGTCGCGGATCCTCCCGAACGCCCCGCTCGTGACGTGGATGACCTCGATCAATTGTAGCAGATTCGCGGGCCTGACGCGCGCGCAGCGGTCGCCGTCGCCGTCGAGCTGCACGCGGTAGCGGCCCGCTTTTGGATCGAAGCGCTGGATTTTGGCACCGCGACCGTTCAGATCCGCAGCGTTCTGCAATCCTATGATCTTCACGGCGGCGCCGCGCGGGACCTCGACGCGCCGCGCCGGCTGGGACGGGGAGAAGAGCACCGCGTCGTTGTGGGCGCGCCCCGCGGGCAGCGCGCTCGCCGTCGTCGGCGTGTTGCACAGCGCTCGTCGCAGCGCTGGCACGAGCGCCTGGTCGACGAGCAGCACGGACGGCGCATACCCAGTACGCTCGGCGTCCTCGGCCGCGGCCGCGAGCACGGACGCGACGGACAGTTCGGCGACGTCCTTCACGTGCTCGCCGCTGCCGCGCCAGAGCTCGCAGGTGCCGCCGGGCAGGATTCGGAAGACGAGCTGGCCTGCCAAATCGCCCGCTGCCCTTGTCTGTGCACCGGTGAGTCTGGCGCGCAGCGATTGGAAGCCATCGTCTGGAGATGGTTCTGGTGCCGCTGGTGGCGGCCAGGCTGCCATCGCGTCGCGGCGGCTGCGTGCAGCGCCTCCGACAGCGTTTTTCGGGTTTTGAACGGGTTTTGAATGCCGTCACAGCCCGACAGCGAAGCGCAATTGATTCGAGGCGACGGGTGACTCGCGCACGTCGCGTCCGGCGCCGGTCGCGCCGTCCTGGAGCGTTACTCGTGAGCGTCTCTGGAGCCGATTGATCGATCAAAAATTTTTGAGTTCCTTATAATTGATTTATAATGTCTGGCTCCCCGGTACGCCGGAGCGACGCGCCCGACGAATCGCAGTCCGAGATCTGCAAGCAGCTCGCGCGTGTGGTTTTGGATTTTGCCAAGCCGGTCTTCTTGACTCAGCCCGCGAATCGCGGCATCGGAATAATCGTCTACAAGGACCCCCGTAACAGCCGTGTGGACGTGCCCGAATACGATCTAATGGTGACGGAGTCACGGGTCGTGTGGAAATAACCGTAGTGACTCCGCGCCGAGGACGAGAGAGTCGCACAATGTCGCGTCGATCGTCGTCGATTCGTCGATGGCGCGTGCCAGGGGCTGGTCAACGCGGTTGATTACGCACAGGTCGCAGGTCTGGGTGCGGACCGCGGAGCGCTACAAGACGCCGACGGACGTCGTCGTCATGGCCCTCGACCGGTTCGAGGACTTTCTGGGGTTGCACGCGCCGACGCGCTGGTACAAATTCTCGACGCGCGTGTCGAGCGACATCTGCATCCAGGGCGAGCCGTGCAAGCGCGCCGAGCTCGTGCGCCACGTCCGCGCCGTCGCCAAATTGGCGGGCGGGATCCGTGTGCTCCGCGCGAAGAAAGACTAAAAATTACCAGACTAGGTCTCACGTCGCGCCAAGAAAGACTAAGAATTAACCAGACGAGGTCCGCGCGAGGAGCGCGTCGAGTTTTTGTTCTAGCGCGTCGAGCCGCAGGTCGAGGGGCACCTCCTCTTCTGATGCAGCGGCGGCCGCCTGCTCGCGCGCGAGCCACTCGTCCGCGATGCGCGCGATGCCGCCCTCGCGCATGGCCCGCGCGAACGCGACCTTGAACGACGCCCACACCCCAAAACGGTGGATGAATTTGTGGAACTGCTCGAAGCCGGGCGCCGTGATGATCTCGACGAGTTGCGCGGCGTCCAGTACTAGTAATCGTGAGATCTGCGTCGCGCGCGCGTTGTACCAGGAAGGTCTTGGTGCATGCCCGGCGACGATCATCGCGATGGACCGGTCGCCGAAGCACTCGCCTTCTGGGGAGAAGGACATGCCCCAGGGCTTCAATACATCGGAACCAAGGAGCATAACCTTTCCGGAATCAACGATGTACATCGCTCTATTTAAAGTGATGTCCTTCCGGATCACGAAGTCGCCGCCCATAAATAAATGCATCTCCAGCGCCTTGGCCACCTGCGTCACCAGTAGCTTCGTGACGTACTCCATCCGCGACACGGCCTTCTGGATCCGCTGCGACTCGTCTCTGACACTAATGCGGTCGTGGGTCACGCGTTCCTCCATCGTCGCGTCGTCCAAATAGCGCACGTCGTACTGCATGTCCGGGTGGATCCTGACAATCACAGCTTCTCGTCTACCTTTCTTGGCAAAGGCTCTCGAGTACAACTCGTCGTCGTCGGGGTCGTCCTCGTCGATCGTTTCGTCGTCGAGATAAGTGTGCTGGTGGCCCCGCGGCGGTCGGATGACCAATCTGCGACCGACCACTAAACCAAGCGTGCACTGCCGCGCGTACGTCACAAAGGGCGCCCGCACGACGCGGTGGCCGAGTTGAAAGTGCGCAATCAACTCCTGCAAATTGGGCGACAACTGATTGAGTAGCGAGTGGTGGAACTTCGACCGAAATAACCCCTCCGACTGTTGTAAATATTCGTGCAAGGCCGACCGAACCTCCTTCGGGAACTGCTGCTCGTAGGCGAAGCGGTTCAAATTGTCTACCGTTTGTTTAAATTCGTTCGCAGCAGGATCTAAATTACATAGGATATTCGTCAAATCACCAAAGAGAAACGCCACGAACATGACCCCGAACAGATTACCTAGGATACTGATGATGCCCTCGGCCGTCGTTCTATAAGCACTGTTCCCGAGCATGACCGACACGGCCCAGTCCAGGGAATCGACGTACAACGCGCCGTTGCCCCTGAAACTACTTCTTCTACTCTCAAGAACGCGCCACCTTAAGTAACTATTGGTCTCGTAGTGCGTCTTCGTCCCCCGTTGAAAGTCGTGGGCCATGCGGATGGCACAGGCCATCAAATGCAACATACTACATAAGACTAGTAGATATTTCCAGACGCACTTTTGCTTGTAGGACATGGTGGCTATCACTTGGATGTTCGCGAGGAGTCGAGGCGCCTTCGCCACCCGCAGTAATTTAAAGAGTCGAATCAATCTTATTAATCTCAGAATGGACACGTCTTCCCGTTGCACCATCAAACCGAAAGGTAATAGACTAGCCATGTCCAGCCAGAACCAGAGCTTTAAGTATCTAGACGCGATACCTTTTCTATCTGTTATCCATCTTCCTTGATCAGCATGGTAATAGCCCGTGTTGAATTGAAAGAGGACGTCGCACCAGAAGCATACATCGACGATCGTATTGCATATGTATAAAGCTGATGTTTTTTTTACATGAGCAACGAAAGCGAGCTCGTAAGGGGTCACGAACAACACATAAACAACCAACGCCAACATGAGACCGTCCCAGCCCTGCCTTCTCGGACCGTCCGGGTCGAGTGCCGCATACCACTTTTCGCGGCGCGGATAGTGGCCTCTGATAACTGTTCGATGGTCCATCTTCCTACTATCAAGATAGCTATCGTCCAGATCAAAGAAATCCTGCTCCTGCTTGCCCACTTCTAATAATGAAGATGCGCGGCTGCCCATGCGCTGCAGCCGCTTCGAGACACGCTTCACTAAAGCGCGCGGCGTGCTCGTGAGCGACGACCGCGGGCTCTTCTGCGACACAGGCGACGCGACGCTCTCCCGCGGCGCTGGCTCCTCGCCGAGGGGCGTGAGCGCGCGCTCCTTCGTCATCGTATCTCTTGAAAGGACGTCCGGGCCGAGGTGCACGAGGTGGCGGCCGCCGACCCTGTAGTCGGCCATGCGCTCCTTGCGGGCGGCGTCGGCGTCGTCCGCCATCGGTTTTTTGGCTGCTCGTGTGAGGGGCTGACTTCGCTTGCTGCGTCTCGTATGCTGCCCTTGTATGCACTGTGTGGGCTGCCTCGCTCGGCAGCCGTGCGTGCAAAAGCTGCACAGCTCGACTGATAGTCTTCCTGGGCTACCGTGTGCGAGCGCTGCGCTTGCCTGGGCAGCGATGTGATGATGGGCTTGTGATCAGTGTGACATGGGGCCACTGAACCCGTGCGCTAAGTTTTTGAGTCCACCTATCCCTCGGTAGGGAAATATCACGTGTTTGGTGTGTATGAGGATCTCGTTTTTTCGGTTGATAAAACGGGTTCATGCGGCGTGATCTCCGGGCTTGCGGCGCTAAATGTCGGCATGGCGCCATCCGCGACTGTCCTGTGGTGCGTTCCCCCGCGAAAACGACTCGCCGGCGCCTCGCCTACGCGCGCTGACCGCTTTTCCCCGCAGGGAGCGCGTGGTGTACCCGGACGGCAATCGTGATGCAGTGGCCGCACTTTCGGCGCTCCTCGCGCCCGATGTACAACTGACGGCGCCAGACGTGCAAGTCCTGTCCGCCGACGCGTCGCCGGCGCTCGAGGCGGCTTTGTGGGCGGTACGTGCTCCGCGCAGGAATCGGGACCTTCAACGGGGTCGACAAAAAGTCAGAGTCAAGCCGCCCCCAATAGACATGCCAACGCGCAGGTCGAGCACGCGCCGCCCGCCACCATCGTGCTCGTCTGCGACGCGCCCGGCGCCGACTTCGACGCGGCCTGCGAGCGGCTCCGGTCGGCCTCGTGAACAACGTCCTCGTACCGCACGTCGTGCAACAATACGAACCGAACGGGCCCTTCTACGCGACGGGTGCCGGTGCCGCCCCGGCGCCGGCGCCGGCGTTCCCGTCGTTGCCGTCGACCGAGACCCTGGAGTCGCTGGCGACGTTCGACGGCCGCCGCTCGCCCTCGGCCTTCACGGCGGTCTCCTCGCGGAAGGAGCCGGCGCCGCCGACGCCGCCGAAGGAGCGCGAGAAGCGCGACTCCCTGCTCTGCGACGGCGACACCGTCGACGCCGTGCTCGGCTCCGTCTTCGACTGACTTCCTCTCTCTCCCTTCCACCAACGCCGGCGAGCTATCCCGTTAATGTTAGTTATGAACAGACTAGTCGGACTTCTCGGCGACCTTCGTCACCTTCGTGGGCTCGGGCTCGCCCGTCGTCAGCAGGAGCAAAGCGAGCGGCAGGATGATGTGCCAGTATTTGCGGAAGAAAGAGGTGGGGGGCGGCCGCTCCTCGTCCGCACCCGGGGCGCCCGGGGTGGCGCCGCCCGGCCGCGCGCCGCCGTCGCGCGGCAGCACGCTCCCGAAGCCCGAGGGCGGCCGCGCGACCTTGGCCTGGACGGGGATCACCTGGGCGACGGCGTCGAGCGCTGGTGAGGCCGAAGACGTGAGCGCGGCGTCCTCCCCTGGCGCGCCCGCGTCGCATCCCTCCAAACGCGCGTTCCGGTAGGCGAGCGCCACCACGTCGCCGCGCGCGTCGAGTGCCACGCTCAAATCCTCCTCATAATTTGACGCCGCGAGGTCGCACGCCCGGATCGAGGCGCTCGCCCAGGCCCGCGCGCCCTCGCGTCTTACTCTAATTCGGTAGACGCCGTCCGCCTTGGCGAGGTCGGCGAAGGCGGTCGCGTTGGCGCCGACGAGCGGCAGGCTGTCCGGCGCGAATTTCAGCTTGTTGTGGTTCGCGCGGTCCGGGTCGACGGTCAGCGTCGCGCGCCGCGCGTAGGTCGCGGTCGCGCCGAAGGCGTGCTCTACGTCGCACTTGTATGGCGCCGCGGCGGCCGTCGCTGCCAGGAGGAGGTACAGGGCATTCGGCATGGTTTTTTTGACAGCAGGAGCGCTGCGGGTTGCGAGCTCTGGAGGCAGGGTGCCTTTTTTCCGGGTCCTGCAGAGCCGCGGCGGCTAACGCGGCCGAGCTTAAGCCAAAAGCATGTGTGCGGCTGTCCAGGCTAGTGTCTTACACGACGCTAGCTCCGACGCATCGCGCAAAAAAAGCTTTGCCACGCCCCGGCAGGCTTCCTGCTGTCCTAGTTTCTAGCTGCACAGTGCTGCGCTTGCTGTGCTGCGTCTATTGCCGCGTCTCCGTCTCACTGCATAGCAGTGCTGCGCTCTACAAAGGCATAGCAGCACTGCGACTTGCCTGCTCAGCAAAATGCAGCGTGCACTCGTGATAGCTGTGGCGCTTCATAGCACGCGAGCTCTGTCGGCCAAGAGCTGCACTCTATGGAGTGCTGCCGCCTGACCCTACGCGCAACGCACCCGCATCTCTCTCGCGGAGACCGGTGTCGAACACGACACAGTGGAGTGCGACCTGCAGAACAAGAGCGAGGAGTTCATCAATGTATACAAAAAAGCAAATCCGGGCGGTCGCGCCAAAGTGCCGGTGCTCGAGATCGACGGCGACACGCTCGTCGAAAGTAGCGTGACGGTCGAATACTTGGCCGAACGCGCCGGTGCGCCTTTCTATCCTGCGGACGCAGCAAAGAGGGCGAGCGCTAGATTGATGGCGGAGATCCAGCCCTTCCAGAACTACTTCGCATTCATCAAGGTCCGGGACGACAAGGACGCCCTCGCCAAGAAGGTCGCCGAGTTCGAGGAGGACGTGGAGAACTTCGAGACGTTTCTCGAGATCCACCAAGACTCGGAGGGCCCCTTCCTCTGCGGTACGGAGATGTGCTTCAGCGAAGCTATGATGGCTCCGTTCGTGGCGCGTAGTATACCGAACCTGAAGCACTTCTGCGACGTCGACGTCAAGGAGATCTGCAAAAGGCACCCAAGGGTGAATAAACTAATCACCGCCATTCTCGAGCGGCCGTCCGTCGCCTCCACACGCCCGTCGGACGAAGACATCGTGGCCGGGATGACGCGCATGATGAAAATGTTCGCGTCGAAGTGATAGAGGGATAGATGGCCGCCCGTGACGACCCACTGCCCAAGCTAGCAGAGGGTCCGAGACCCCCGAGGCCTAGTCCCCCCGTCATATATACTGTTGTAAATTTATCAAACGCCGGAACTCGGCGCCGACGTCGGCGCCGGCGACGCGCTCCGTAATCTAGGAGTCCCGACCTTCATGGCCGGGACCCAGGCCGCGCCCGACGGCACGCGCGCGACGACGCGGGGGTGCGTGACCGAGTCCGGCCACGTCGCGCCGATGGGCCCGCGGTGCGTCACGCCCGTCCTTCTAGAAGCCAGGACGCGCCGGCGCGCGCGCTCGGCCGCCGTCTCGGCGCCCGTCTCGATCTGGGGCGGCCGCCTCGCTACCTTCTTTTTAACAACCTTCTTTTTCTTCTTGACCGTCTTGCGCGCAGGTGCCTCGGGCACGTCGGCGCCCGCGGCTCGGAGGATGTCCGACGCTTCGTACTGGCGCAGGTGCGGCGGTAGAGGTGGCGGGTCGTCGCCGTCGAGCTGCGGCGGCGGCGACTCCGCGTACGATCGCGCCTTGCTCCGCGGCGGCGTCGCGGCCTTGACGACGACCTTCTTCCGCGCGGGCGACTTCTTCGTCTTCGGCTTGGGAGGCTCATCAACAGACCGCCGCGACGACGAGGGTGAGGAGGGCGCCGACCTCCGGACGGGCGACGCGTGGTCCAGACGCGCTGGCGACTGCGGCGGCGCCAGCACGAACTCGCCGCCGTGGTGCGTCGTGTGCTCGTCATACGTTGGAGGCGGTTCATCCCTCAATTTCTGCACCAAAACGCCCGCGCGCTCCCGCAGCAACGCCGCTTCCTGCTCCGCGAACTCGGCCCGCAACACGGCCTCGTCCGCCACGGCCTCGGCGACAGCTCTCGCATCATCGAGGTCGCGGCCCGCCCGCGCCATCGCGTCGTCGTCATCTTCATTCGTCGTCCCGTCTGAGGCATTTGATGAATGAATCGAGGGGGCCTCGTCGACCGCGTTTTCCTCAGACAGCCCGAGCTGCTCCTTCAGGAGCTCGCCGGCCCGGGCGGCGGCGGGCGTCGACTGTAGGACAGGAGAGTCGGGCCGCGCGACGGGCGACGGCGGCGGTCTCCTCTGGAACGCCTCGAGCGCCTCCAACCTCGCATTCGTTTTGGTTTCGAGGTTGGCCACGGCCTCGATAACAGCATCCGCCGTGGCGTCCTCGTGCGACGTCGCATTTTCCGCCAATTCTCTGGCGGTCCGCTCGGCGTCCTCTAGACGCTTTGCCAACCGTTCAGCTAATGCCGTCGCGCCGAGGGCCGTGGCCTGGGCCGCCTCGACGGCGACCTCCGCCGCGGCTAGCCGCTCGGACAGCGGCGTCGTTTCCTCCTCGTCCTCTTCTTCCAGGAGGTTCGTCAAGCCCTTCTCGCCGAGTGATCGTAATGCCGCGTGTAAAGCTTTTTCTACATCCGCAACTCTAGCGCAGGCCGCCGACGCGCGGTCCTCGGCGGCGCGCAGGCGCGGCCCCGACGAGAGCTCCCTGACTAGAGCGCACGCGTCGTCCACTCTACTTTCGGCACTCGCGCTCCGCTCCTCGGCCTTGCGCAAATTCGTCTCCGAGGCCGCCAGGCGCGCCTCCAAATCAACGATGCGCCGCTCCATGCGCGCGGCCTCCTCGGCGCGCGCGCCGGCCGCCGCCTCGGCGCATGTCCTCGCGGCATTGTCTATAGACTGCTGAACTTGCTCCTCGCGCTGCTCGAAGCGCGCCAGTAAGGCGCCGGCGGCCGCGAGCTGCGCCTCGAGGAAGCGCGCGTACTCGTCTCTATCAATGGCTTTTCGTTCGGTCGGGAGGTGCGGCAGCGGCGGCTTGTTCTGGTCGCGCGCGACGCGCAGGGCGCCTCTTTCCACGAAGACGGCGTCCTGGAAGCGGTTGCCGGCCTTCTGCTTTTTCGTGTAGGCCTCGTAGTAGCTTCTGCTTGGTGGCGCGGGGTCGGCGCTGGCGGCCGTGGCCATCGTTCCGCGTTGACGACGTGCGCCGTGCGCTGTTTATAGCTGCGTGCGACTCTGACGGTGCTTGCTAGGCTCTGGTAGGCCGCGCGCGGGTGGTAAATTTGTCCGACAGCACCAACGACAAAAAACTCCAAACAGTGCTACCACCGTGCGAGGTATTCTATTTTGCGGGCCGCGCAGTGGGTGACCACTTTGGGCTTTGCTCCAGGGTTCGACGCACTTGGATGCGCGACAGAGCGGCCTAAAAAGCGCTCAACTGCGCCACAGCCCGAGCTGCTGGCTGCTAGTGTCTGAGGCCGCACTTACGCCATCGACGCGATTACGCCATCGACGCGACATGAGAAAAGAATCAGTAGTAGATGTTTTTTTACAACCCGAGAGCGCCCGCGTTATTGCGTGCGGTCGCGTCGTCGAGAGGCTTGTTGGTGTCGCGGGTGTGGCCGCCGGGGATGCCCGCGAGGGCTCACCCTAATGCAAACCTATCTCCACGACGCGGCGTGCTTAGAAGCACTTGCGGTGCACGATGGCCGGGCCGGACTCGTCGTACTCGGCCTTGGAGATCCACATCGACTGGAACGTGGAGAGCGACGAGAGGATGGAGCCGCCGATCCAGACGGAGTACTTGCGCTCGGGAGGCGCCACCACTTTAATCTTCATCGTCGAGGGCGCGAGCGCCGTGAGCTCCTTGGTCATGCGCTCGCCGATGCCGGGGAACATGGTCGTGCCGCCCGAGAGCACGATGTTCGCGTAGAGGTCCTTGCGGATGTCGACGTCGCACTTCATGATCGTCTGGAACGTGCAGTCGTGGACGCCGGAGGCCTCCTTGCCGATGAAGGACGGCTGGAAGAGCACTTCCGGGCAGCGGAAGCGCTCGTTGCCGATCACAATCACGTTGCCGTCGGGGAGCTCGTAGGACTTCTCGAGGGCGCTGGACTCGGCGGCCGTCTTCATCTCCTGGTCGAAGTCGAGGGCGATGTACGTGAGCTTCTCCTTGATGTCGCGGACGATCTCGCGCTCGGCCGTCGTCGTGAACGAGTAGCCGTGCTGGCCCAGTGCTCCTTGGACAGAAGTGTGCTATTATGAACGACGCAGCCCGCGCCCGCCGCCAATGAATCGGCGACGCGCACTGTCGCCCCCCGGTTCTCCGCCCAGTAGTCCTACTGGAGTAGCGCCGTAACAGAGGTGAGCCAAGGCCACACCCCCCACAACGCCATCGCCGCGACCCGCTATGAAAAGGCCGAGGACTAACGCACAAACCACTTACCGTCGACTACTCCGCGCGAACAACCGATCGAGCGCCGTCGTCGGCGCCGCCTCCTGAACCGCAACAGAATCAGCCTGCTTCTTTTTACGAGCGGCGAGCTTCTCCTTTAGTAATTGCGTCTCCTTCGAGACGACGTTCTTCATGCGCTTCTTGAGCTTGGCCTTGAGCTTCGACCGGCCGCGCGTCTTTTTCTTTTCCTTGATACGTTTTGATAAGGCGGCATTCGCGTCCTCCTCCAAGGCGCGTCGCTCCTTGTCGGCGGCGGCGGCGTCGCGCTCCACCGTACCGACGAAGCCCGCTCCTTGTAATGTTATAGTCTCTATGGGTAGTTTGTCGAGCAAACCCCTTACCACGGCCGTCTTCCGCCCTTTCTTTGATCTATATGGATCATCCCCATCTATAGCGTCGTAGGACGCCTCGCCCGCACCGGGCACCAAGATGGAATCCACGCCCAAGGCGTGGCCAACCAACAGAACGTCCTCAAACGGCCTAAACACTGAGTTCGTGGCGTGGGAACCATCTAGTTTATGTGAGAGATAAGGTTGAAAGGCCTTGAGCTTCTTTGCGGACTCGTAGATTTCTACCGATTTCGCACAAGTGACGGCGATGCGGCCCGTCTGCGAAAACGCCAGGGAGACCGGGGCGCGTCCACTCAACCGCAGCTCCTTGACGGCCCTCCATGTTCGACAGTCCCACACTTTAACAAAGCCATCCATGCCGCCCGTCGCTAGATAGGTCCCGTCGAACGCGCACGCGACGGCGTCGACCTATGCGTGGAAGTGTCGCATCGATGGCGTCAGACGCGGCCGAGGCGGCGCCGCGTCGATGGCGTTCGGACGGACGGACACTGGATCAAAACCGCCCCGCGATGACATAACAACCGCGCGAGCGGCTTGGACTGCGCCGGCGACCAGAGCGAGCAGACGCCGTTGCCGTGGCCCAGACATAACACGGCGGTCTGGGGGTTCTGCGCTAATGATCGCGGCGCGCCCGCTTTCGTGTTGTGCTCGGCGACGAACTGGCCCGTCGAGACGTCGTTATATTTCAGCCAGCCCGCGTGGCCCGCTGATGCCAATAAGAAGTGGAACGGGAGGTAGGACAAGTGCTCCGGCTCGAGATGCTTCGCCATCCTATGGACCTCGGCGCCGTCCTGGTCGTAGACGTAGACGTACTTCCTCTGTGCTACTGCGACCATGGTCTCATCATGCAAAAACGTCGCCGCTCGACAAACTTCGCCGCAGCGCACCTCGGCCGTGCGCACGTTTCTGTGTAAATCTAGGACCTCCACGCGGCCGCCCGCTCCATAACAAACGGCATGGCGCCCCGTCCTCGCGACGTTAATACCGTAGGGCCCCTTCGGCAAGGCCTTGCGCCAGGCGTTGGCCGCGGCGTTCGCGGACGTCGCTTCGACAATAGCCTTCTGCTGCGTCTTGTGCGTGCGCTCCGTCGGCGTCTCGGGCTCCAACAAACCTTCATCCGTCTGCTCGTAGCGCGCCGCGGTGTCGTTGTAGGTCTGGCGCACGTGCTGTTCTCTCCTTCGCTGGCGGCGCATCATCGTTGCTTTCTTTGTAGGCTAGTGTGCTGCTTTGCAGCCCTGTTCTACGCGCGCCGACGACGTCTTAGGGCCGCGCTCAACGCGTACGGCACTCAGCGATGCAAATGCTCTCTTTGCAGTGTGTGCTGCTGCACCTCTGTGGACGCCCCACGCGGCGACAGCTTTCTGGGAGCGCTTCACAGATGCAACTGATGACCGATGCTGCGTGCGGTTTGTCACGCCAGCCGCGGAGGCTCGCAAACAGTCGCGGCGGTCCTTCACAAGCAGCTAGCGGCCGTAACACACTAGCAAGCCTGAGCACAGATGCGTCCCCGTACCCGCAGGCCTCGGTACATGTCGAAAAAAACAGGCCACGTGCCCGTAGGATGATGAATCCGGGGTTCGATGGACGCGAGCCGACGCGAGCCTGGAGACGCCCACCGCCGCGACAAAGACTATGGAAGCACTCTTACGCACCGGGAGGAAAACGACCCTCACGCGAGCAGCTTCGCGAGCGAGTCCGAGACGGTCTCGTGCGTCTGGTACTCCTGCGCGACGAGGCCCATGAACGCGATCATCGCGAGCCGCCCGTGCTGCAATTCCCTCGTCGCCATCGTCGCGAAGCCCGACGCGTCGGCCGGCGCCAATCGGAGAGGATCGAAGCCGATGTCGCCGGGGTAGTACGAGTCGCGCATCTCCCAGACCTGCTCCGGCGACTCGGGCGTCACCCAGCCGCGCGCCGCGCGGTAGGCCTCGCAGACGCCTACTACTGTTGCGAGCGCACCGAGCAGGAGGCCGGGCGTCTTCAGGAGCAGAGCGTCGTGCGTCAGGGAGGGTTCCACGTCCAGGACCTGGTGCGCGCCGTGCTCCCCAACTAAAAAGCCGACGAAGGCCACCATGGCCACGCGGCCGTGCATGACCTCGGCCTCGCGGTAGCGCCGCACCGTGCTTATCGTCTGCTTCGATAACTTCAGAGGATCGAAGTCGCCCATCGGCGCCAAGGCCCCAGGTAAGCCGTAGCAGAACTGGGCCACGTCGGGCACCCAGCCGTGGAGCGGGGCGGCTCCAGCAAAACGCAGGCGCCGCGCGCGGCGGCCCATCGTCGTGAGCGGCGCGTCGTCGCGGCGCTGCATCTGCGCGCGCCCGCGGCGCGATGATGCTTCGCCGCTGCTTCGTGCGGGCAGCGCGTCGAGGCCGCCCGCGAGGTCGACGGCGGCGGGCGCGCGGCGGCGGCGGCGGCGCTTCTTCGACAGCGTGTCGAGGAGCGGCTCCTGGGACTCGAAGAGCTCCGCCGTCGCGACGCGCATCGGCGGCGGCACGGGCTTGGAGCCCGTCGGGATGAGGGCCCGCGTCGCGGCGGGCAGGGCGAGGAGGCTGAGGTGGAGCTTCATTCTTTTCGTTGACCTGCGTGGCGAGTCTGTCGTCGAGATAATTCGGCGCGACCAGCTTTCATCGGCTGAGCGCCGGACGGGCCGGTTTCCGCTGCCAGGCTACTCAGCACGGTCGCGGCGCATCCTTGGCTGCTTTTCACGTATTACCGCAGCGCGGTCGTGCGCGAAATCAGAGAAGAAGCGGCCAGCAGACAAATGGCTGTTTAGCCGATCGCGTCGCCCGCGTGAGCCGCGTTTTCGTGTCGAGCGGGTAGCTGGCAGTCAAAGGCAGCTTTGAGGACACGAAGACGTACTGTGGTTATGTATGTGAGGCTGCAGCAGCCCAACGTCGTGCCGAGCTCTTCGCGCCCTTGGTCAAATTTTAGGCCCGTTGGAATATTCCCCGGCGGCACGGGCGCCACACGCCCGCCTTTGATCCCAAGAACACACAAAAAACGCGCCCTTTCGAAAAGACCGCGTCGAGTAGGAGTACCAAGGTTCCTGATGGGAGCCGCGTCGGCCGCGGTCGCGAGCAAGCAACAAGCTCGGAGCCTGCCCCAAAGCGAGCCATCACTTCCCGATACGCCGGAGCCGTCAATGACGGTGATTCATTCGCGGGGCGCGCGTCGCGGCTCTAGCCTTGTCATCGATCATCTCCCTCTTCCAAACTGGGGCAGCCCAATAAATCCTGGAAGACCATGCGGTCGCCATGCATTGCGATGCTCTTCATGAACGCAGCCTCGCTGCGCCCCAGCCTGCGACGACCGCGTTTGCGGGGGGCATCAAGCGCAGCCGCAGCGACATCAGAGGATCTCCTGGCGGAGGCGGCAGCACTACGCCGCGAGGCGAACGCGATGGAGGCGGCCATGGAGGCGGAGCTCGCACCGCCGCCCGCGCCGGAGCCGCCGGCGCAATCAAAACCGAAAACGGTCGCGGGAGTCTCTCCCTCGGAAGCCCTCGAGTGGACGGGCTCCGCGTTCGCGGGGGCTATCGAACTCGTGCAGGAAGACGGATCCAAGCGGAGGACCCCAGCTGAGTGGTCGCCATGGTACGGTGCCGGGAAGTCGGTCGTCTTCCAAAGAGAACTGACTTTGCCGCTCGGCGTCATCCTCGAGGAAGGGGGTGGCGGCAGTATTGTCGTAGCGGAGGTGAGGCCGGGAGGCTCGGGGGAACAAAGGGATATAAGGCCGGGCGACGTCCTGCGCGCGTGCTCCGCGATTTCGTCGACGATCGTCTACGGCAACGCCATGTTCCCGCTCGACGGCGCGAACACGAAGTGGCGGCGGACATTAGCTCCGTGCGACATGCAGCCCTTCGAGACCGTGATGGAGCAGATCACGTCGAACGAGGGGACGGTGCTACTCGTCCTCGAGCGGGAGAAATAAATCAACTAAACCTACTTACGAAACTTGGGCTTCGACTCCATCCCGAGGCTCGCGAAGAAGTCGTCGTCGGAGTCCTCGCCCGGCGACACGGCGCCACTCAAAGACGACAGCGACCGCGGCGGCGGCGAGACGCTCTTTGACGTCGGCGAGTCGTCGTCCCAGCCGTCGCCCAAAATGTCGTCGAGGTCGTCGTTCGCGTCCCAGGCGTCGCCCGCGTCGAAGGAGGACGCCCGCGGCGCCGGCGCGGGCGTCGCCGCGGGCTTGGGTTTCGCCGCCGGCCGCCGCGCCGCGGGCCGCGCGGCCGAGGCCCCGCGCGAGCCGGTGCCTGCGAGACCGAGCAGCAATGAGGTCATGTGTGTGTCTCTCTCTGGCGGATTCACGACGGTACGCCATCGACGCCGTCGCAGGAACGACGTCGCATCGATGGCGTAACAAGGACGCGGAAGAAACGCACGCGTCACCGAGGGCCGCGGCGGCGGCGTCGCCGTCGTCGCGGGCCGCGAGGGCGGCGCGGCCGCGGCGGACCGCGCGGGCGTCGCGCCTCCCCCCAACTGCGGCCGCGCGGACCGCGCCGGCTGCCGCGCGGGCTGGCGCGCAGGTCTCACAGCTTTGCGCGCCGGCGGCGTCGCGGCGCGCGGCGCGGGCGCCGGCGCGGGGCCCCAGCCGCCCTCGAGGTCGTCCCAGTCGTCGTCGTCGGCCTTGGACAGCTTCCTCGCGCGCGACGATCCTCGCGCCTCCTTCACAACGGGCGACGGCGCGCGCTTCGTAATCGTGATCTCGCCGGACTGCCTTCGTTTACTCCGGCAGCGGCGGCACGCGCGCCAGCCGCATAATAATATACACGCCAGCAGGCCGCCGACGCCCAGCTTCGCGTACTCCATGATCAAGACGTTGGGCGGCTGCGGCAGGCGCGTCGCGACCGTCAGCTTCGCCGGCGCCGTCGTCGACCGCGGCAGCACGGGCGGCAGGTGCTCGGGTTCGTGGTGGACCGGCGGCGCCGGCTCCGGCTCGGGCGCCGGCTCGGGCTCCGGGTCCCGGGGCGGCGGCGGCTCGAGGAACTTCTCGTCGACGTGCTCGACTTGCTCCGCCGCCTCGTGCTCCCGTCGCTCGGCCTCCTCTTGCTCCCGCGCGGCCTCCTCGTGCTCCTCGGCCTCCCGCGCGGCGGCGGCGAGGCGCTCCTCGTTGGCCCGTTCCCGCTCGGCCTCCTCTTGCTCCCGTCGCGCCTTCGCCTCTTCAGCGGCCCTGACGCGTTCCTCCTCGGCTCGCTTCCGCTCGGCTTCCTCGATGGCTTTGCGTTTTTCGGCGCGCGCCCGTTCCTCCTCGGCCTTCTTCGCGGCCTCGGCCTCCTCGGCGGCGGCTTTGCGCTTCGCGGCTTCCTCCTCGGCCGCCCTGCGCTCCTCCGCCTCCTTCTCCCGCGCCGCCGCCGCTGCCTCGGCGGCCTCGGCCTCCGCGAGCTTCTTCGCCTCGCGCGCGCGCTCGTCCGCCTCGGCCTTCTCTTTGGCCTCGGCCCGAGCGCGCTCGAGTTCTGCCTCCTTGTCACGCGCCGCTTTGGCTTCGGCCTCGCGCCTCGCGGTCTCCTCGGCCTCGGCGCGCGCCTTCGCCTCGGCCTCGGCCTTCTCGGCCGCGGCGAGCATGGCTTTGGCTTTCGCCATCATCTCCTCCGCTGCGCCTTCCTTCGCCTCGGCGTCCGCGATGCGCTTGGCCTCGGCGGCGTCGGCGGCCGGCGCGGGCTCTGGCGCGGGCGGCGCTGGCGGCGCCCGCGGCTCCGGCGGCGCGGGCGCGGCGGGCTCCGGCGCGGCGGCCTCGGCGGGTGGCGCGTGCGCCTCCGGCAGGGCCTTCACTTCCTTCGCGGCGCCCTCCATGTAGCTCGGGTGGTCCTCCTCGGCCGGCGGCTCCGGGGCGGCGGCCTGCGCCGCCTGGCGCTGCTCGAGCAGCTTCGTGGCCTCTCTTATCTTCTTCACGACGTCGTCCGAGGCGTGCGACCGGAAGGCTGCGAGCTTGTCCTGCGTGCTGCCTGTGATGCCCGCGGTCTTCGCGCCGGGCGCTAATGCCTCAGGCGTCCCGAGATCAAAAGCGCTGGCCATTTTATTAGTGCTTTATTTGTTATGCGGTTGGGTGTGCTTATGCAAAGGCTGCAGCCGCGGAAGCAACGTGTGACCAGCTGCTCTCCGTTGTTGCGGTCAAAAGAATAACTGGTTGGCTATGTCACACGCCTAAAATAACCAGCGTTTTGAGCCGCACGCGCTGCCGCGGCCAAATTGGCTGCTTGCTAGCACCTATACGACGCTAGGTCCATTCGATTTTTTGAGGTGCGCGGCGCGGAGCTGTTGCTTGGATTGACTCCGGGACCCCACAGAGACCTCTCGAGCTGTCTCGGTTATCATTTCGCTCGGCCCCAAAAACAGACCTCAGAGCGTGATTTGACGCCAGTAGATCCGCGAGCCGCTGTTCGGGACGCGCCTGGCTAAGATGCCGAACCAATCCATCTCTGAAGCGGAATGCAAACGATTGGCTCAGGTCCTGGAGCCTAAGGCGCTGCCTGCGAGATCTCGGAGTCCCCAGCCACCAAGAACACGGCGTCGTGACGCGGCCGCTAGTCGCCGCGGGGGTTCTGAACACACACCAGGGCTGCCAAAAGGCCGCTCGCGCTGCGGCGCCGGCCGTAGACGCCCGACGAAGAAGAAACCAAACGTGACGCCGCGAGAGCGCCCGAGGCTCTCCGAGAGTTTTCGCTCCGAGACACGCCCAAACGCCGCCAGAGCGGCCCAACAGACGCCACGACCACACAGGACGCCTGCAAGGAGTACGCGCTCAAGACCGACACCAAGCAGAGCGCGTGGTCCGGCGCGACGCACCTCCAGAAGCGGACGAGCAAGCACGCGCAGCTCCAGCGGCGCCTCACGTCGACGGCGCGGTAGATGCGAAAGAAACTCTAGGTCCTCAGCCGCTTGGCCACAAGCCGCCGACCACACCTTGTACCCCGCCCCTGTACTAAAAACACATTCGTATTAAGCAGAGACGTGGAGCACCGTCGCGCCCTTCGTACCGCCCATCAGTTCTAAATGAACCGCGGGCCGCGCTTCTTTGCTTGACATCTTCCTCGCGTGCCAGTCGGCGCGCGCCGGATCATCAAAACTCGTCGCCCACTCCACGCCCGGCGCCGCCAGTAATACGGCCGTCGCTCTACTCGGATCGAGGGCGTGCGCCGCTCGTATCGTGGCGACCTCCTCGACGCCCGCGGCGACGCCGGCGTGCACGCCGTCCGCGACGAGCGGAAAGCCCACGAGGCAGAGCCGGTCCAGCCTCCACCTGTATGCCATCGAGCAGTGAGTTAGGTTATAGAAATATTGCGTGGACCTTGTTGAACCTCCACGCCATCGAGCCAAGGCTGTTACGACAACGTCACGTCGATGGCGTGGAACTACACGCCATCGAGCAGACACAGCTACGGAGACAACATGGCGACGATGGCGTGGGGGCGCCCGAAATTTGATTTCCACACAGACAAAGACAAAGCGAGCGTGTTCCACGGCACCGTGCGCCCGCCCAGCGGCCGCCGCCCCGCCTGAAAGTCGTGGCCCGGCAGCGCCGCGCCGACCACGAGCGCGTCGTGCGTCACAAGTTGCTCCCGGAGCGCCGCGACGGTCTCCGAAGAAAACGTGGTCTCGACGGACGCGAAGAGCGCAAGACCACAACCTTGTTTCGACGCGTGGGCCGCCAGGGCGTTGAGCGCCGGCGTGAAGGCGCCCCAGGGGTCCACGGGGATGACGTCCACGATCGTCTCAGCGTCCCGCGTCGCCGCTTGACAGCGCGCGACGAGGTCCGAAAGTTGCCGCAGGCGCTCGGCCGCGTCCCCAATGCCCGGCGCACCAACAGCAATAGCCACTCTATCCACATGCGGCGCGACGCGGTCGACGAACGCTCGTAAAGCATTGACGTCCGGCGGCCGCGAGGCCTCTCCGATATGTATCCGCGTGCAGGCGCAGGTCGTTGCTGGTGCCTCGGCCATGGCTGGGAGTCGGACGTGCGTACTATCAAGCAGGTAGTAGGGCACGGCGCAGGCGACGACGGCGAGGCACGCGACGAGCTGGCGCAGCCGCCGCTTCCCGCGGCGCGTCCTCCGGCGCTTCTCCGTTGCTACTGCTTAACGGAGATTCGTGCGCTCGCCGGGACGCGTCGGCGGCGTGCTGCTGCTGTGCTCAGTGTTTAGCAGTACTCTCCAGTGGGGCTTAGAGATGCGTTGCGCCGACAAAACACCTGGATTTTGCAAGTCGCAGTGGTGCTTTGTAAAATGCCGAGTCCTGCGCAATCAGCGGCCTCGTGGCGCAGTGGCATTCAATGACAGCCAGTGTGCAGCCAAGTGTGCCTTGCCAGCCAGGGAGGTCCCGGTACTACTACACCAAGGGTCGTAGTCAGTGCGATGAGTGGACGGTAGCTAACGCGACGCGTCTTTCGCACGGTGAGCTAGAGTCACAGGGGCTCTAGTTTTGTCGCACGGTCGCGGTCGTGCCTGAACCCGGGCATAGAGCAGGCTAAATAGCAGCATATTGCATTTGCAAGACGTCCTGCAAGCGAACGAGTCAGCACTGCGAGCTCGCACGCAAAAAGACAGTGAAACGCACGTGTTTGGCTTGCTTTCACCAAAAACGCACCTACCTTCAAAACACCGCACGCGCAACAAGCACTGCATTTCTGCAGCAAAAGAGCACCGTTGCAAGCAAACAAGTGAAAAAAACAATGCGCGCCCTCCTCCTCTTCCTCGCCACGACGCAGGCGTGGTCGGCGACGCGGCTCGCGTCGCCGACGAAGCTCGTCCAGGGCCGCGCCGCCGCGCGCGCCCTGAAAGCTGCCGACGAGGCCGCCGCGGTCGAAGAAGTCCCAAGGGGCGGCTTCAAGTCCTGGTTCATTTCCAATAGAACGCCCCTGCTCTTCGGCGCGCTCGTGTCGCAGAAAGTTTTAGCAGACGTCGTCACGGACTACACGCGGCGGCAGGGCGCCTACAGCGGAGCCACGGTCTCCATGCTGAGCGAGGTCGCCAAGTTCCCGGTGTTGGTGGCCGCGATCTGCGCGTTTGCGGGCGGGCCGTCGCGGCTCTGGCCGACGGTGAAGCGGGCCTACAGCGACACGCCCTTCAAGATCGCCTGGATCGCCGGCGCCTACGCGGCGCAGAACGTGCTGTACTTTGCGGCTTTGGGACGCATATCGGCGGCGTCGTACCAGGTCCTGAGCCAGTCCAAGATGATCTTCACGGCGATCCTGGCCGTGACGATGCTCAAGGAAAAATTGAGGAAGCGCGACATCGCCGCGTTGGTCTGTCTGCTGGGCGGCTCGACGCTCGTGCAGCTCTCGGAGATGGCCGGCGCCGGCGCGGGCAAGGGCGGCGCCGAGGCACTGCTGGGGGGCGGCTTCGCCGTGCTCGGGGCCTTGCTCTCAGCGGTCCCGAACGTCTGGTACGAGAAGCTGCTGAAGACGCCGGGCGAGGACGAGTGGGCGCGCAACGTGCAGGTCACCGTCTGGATCTTCTCGTGGATCGCGCTGTCGCAGCTCTGGACTGCGGCCTCTGCCGTGCGCGCGGGTTTGAGTGGTGCCGTCGACCCGTTCGCGTCGCTGCCGAACTTCGGGCGGGCGTTGTTTGGCTCTTTCGAAGGGCTGACGCCGGCGGTCTGGCTCGTCGTCGCGCTCAAGTCGCTCAACGGCATCCTCATCCCCGCGACGCTGAAGTACGCGGGCAACCTCGTCTACCTCTACGCCAAGCCGACGTCCATCGTCATGACGGCCCTCGCGTCGGCCGTGTACTCTTCTACCGTTCCGCCTGCGTCCTTCTGCGCGGGCGCGGCGCTCGTGATCTGGTCGATGGCGAATTTCAAGAAGTAGTTGGGCCCGGTCTCGCAAGTAGTATATATTATAAGTTCGTAGTTCAGAATCGTGTCCAAGAAGGCCGCGTCGATGGCGTGGAGGCTCGCTCAAGTATGTACGTATATTCTCATGAGATAAGTTATCACGCGTTTTTACCTCTACGCTATGAGAAATATATAGGCCGCGCCTACCGAGCCTCGCAAGCCGACGCGACGCTCAAAAATCACAAAAATCACACACAGTCGCGGGCGCCGAGACTAAGGACTCAAGCTCAAGAGCTCTGGACAAATTGAGACAGGACAAAAATAAATGCCTCCACAACAATTAAATTTGGCGGCGAATGCGAACGGCACGACCGGCGGAAGCGAGCCGGAATTAGTGATGGAGGAGCAGGCCGCGGAGCCCGCGTGCGCGATCTGCCACAAAGTTGAGGTCGCGGTCGGCCCGGTCGAAAATCGGGTGACGCTCCAGAAGTGCGGTCAGTGTCGCCAGGTGTTGTACTGCAGCAGGGACTGCCAACGCGCGCACTGGCCCCGGCACAAGTCCGATTGTGCGGCGCCCGGCTCGCCTCCCGAGATAGTTTTTGACCGTTACTGTCAGACAGTTGACGCGAGCCCCTCGAAGGAGAGCGGTCTCGAAGAAACTATCAACTCGGTCGCGAAGGAGTTCGTATGTCCGATCACGCACGAATTGCCGACGGAGCCCGTGACCGCCGAAGACGGCAGGATCTACGACCGAAAGGCCATCCTCGCGTGGTTCGAGAAAAACGGTGAAGATGGCGACCCGATTAGCCCAAGCACCAACACTGCCATGGGCACGAATTTGCTCCCGGCCACCCAGGCGCGGAACGCGATCGAGGCGCTCGTGAAGTCCGGCGCCATCGATGGCGAGCTGGCCACTGCGTGGCGGCAGAAGCTCGAGGACGAGAAGATTGTGAAGGAACTGCACGCGAAGGCGGAGGCGGGCGACGTGGAAGCTATGTTCGACCTCGGGTATGCGTACGATAAAGCAGAACACGGCCTCGAGAGGGATACGGAGAAAGCCCGCGTGTGGTACGAGAAAAGTGCGGCGGCCCGACACCCCAAAGGTCTGGCTTATTTTGGTTGCTTTCTCCTGTATGGCATTGATTGTCACAAGGACCACGCGCTAGGTCTCGTAAATGTGACCGAGGCGGCGCACCTCGGCTCCGATGTCGGTCAGCTCTTGCTCGGTAAAGCGTTCGCCAAGGGCCTGTACGGCTTGTCGAAGGACCCCGTTCGCGCGCGCTTCTGGTTGGAGAAGACGGACTGGGAGGAAGCGAAGGGATTGCTCCAGGAGCTGGGGCAGTGACGGCGCGCGCGAGTATATAGTACCTAGCCTAGTAGGTATATAAGTTCGTAGTTCACATTACTGCGCGGCGCACGATCCGCGACGGCCGCGACCGCGGCGCCCGGTCACTGGGCGCCTCCTCGTCAGGTCTGGGCTGGCAAGTTCACGCGCGCCCCTGCGGAGTCCGTCGCGACTAGCGTGCCCGGTCCTCGTCGGACCGCCTCCTGAGCTTCGGCGCCCATAGCCGCGGCGTCGATCTCGACCAGGTCGTCGCGGTCCGGGTCGAAGACCCACAGGCGCGAGAACCTCGTGCGCGCCGGCGCGCCGTCGACGGACGCCACAACGCCGAAGTGCACCATCCGCTGGTCATACCCGGGTACGACGTCGTAGCCCGCCGAGGCGTCGAGGCCGCGAAACTCGGGCCGCGACGAAATCGGCTGGAAAAGATCTTGCATCAAAGCCCTCGCGATATCCATCAGCTTCTGACCGTCGCCTCCCTCGGCTGCCCATACCATGCATAGCTTGATATAGTTGTCCAGTACGGCCGGCATGCCAGGCACAAACTTGAGTGCTTCCTCGTACGCGCCCGCCGCCTCGGCATAACGGTTCTTGATCGTGGATGATTTGTAGACGAGCGCGAGATTCATCCAGAGACTAGCCAGCGCCTCCGGCGGTCCATCGCACATGGTGTAATCCCCGGGCCCGACGTAAAACTGCATCAAAGGCACGGTCGGTTGCGTGGGCGCGACGGCCACAGGCACGAAGCCTTCGCCCCTGTCAGTGGTCCGCGGGTCTCCAAGCACGCAACAGTGGCAGCCATTCAAGTGGTTATTTTCTCTCCGCAGCCTAATTAGCATGCCGCGCGCGAGGACGGGCCTCTGGGTACCAGGGCCCCGGGGGAAGTTGTAAAAGTCGGCCATCGATGTGCTGCCCGTCGAGGCTGCCCAATCATTCAATTCTGTGATCTTTCAATCTATCTGCGCTCAGGCAGCCCAGCCAGCGCCCAAAACTGGCAGAATCTGATCGTTTTTTTGTTTTCCTAGTGTGTTTACGCTAGTCTTGGCGATGAGGCGTCGAGCTCGCGGCGCTGCGAGCACGTTAAGGGCAGATAGCGGTATCAATAGGAAGCAAGAAAAGGTTGCCCGTGAGCTGCAAACGATAGCTACGCAGTGCTGCTGCTAGCTGACAACAAAATGGCACAAGACAAAAAAAAGCGCAAAGCCAGCACCGACGCCACAAAACCAAAGCGGCAAAAACTAGACAGCGCTTTCCTAGACCTCTTCTGGCAGCTCGCGTCGGCCTCGAAGAAGGCGAGGACCGCCGCCGCGGCAGCATTAGACGACGCCTTGCAACAGGACGCGTCCAAGGCGCCCTACGCGCTGAAGCGGCTCCTCGGCGGCCTCGCGTCGCCGCGCGACGGCGCGCGCGCGGGATGCGCGTGCGCGCTCGCGCAATTGCTGCGGTCCGAGGCCGTCACCGCCGATGCTGTAAAGGAGGGCTGCCAAACCTTGTACGTGCGCGGCGGCTCGTCGCGCCAGGACAAGCGCGACGCCAACGCCCAGGATCTTGGGGAATTACTAGCGGCGGAGTGCCTCAGTCGGAGCGGGTCTTGTGATGCGGCGACGGCCTTGTATTTCTGCGGTCGTGCTCTGGATCTCCTCAAAAGAAAGTGGCTGCGGGAGCTCGCGGCGCGCGTCTTCGCGGGGCTGATTCGTCGCGTCGACGACGACAAAGATATAAACCAAAGGCTGGACGCACTACTCGCGAGCGGCCTGGACGCCGATTTGTTAGCCTTAGCTTTATCAGCGAAGCGGCCCGTCGAGGACACAGATTTAACGTGTCTGGGCGCCGCGGCGGCGCAGCTCTTTCCCCGCCTACACGTGGCCTGGGAGTTGTTGATTGAGGACGACTACGCGCGCGTCGCTTCGGTGGTCGACGAATTGGCGAAGTCGTCGTCCGTGGAACGGCGGGGCGCCGCTTTATTGGTTGCGGCCCAGGCGCTGGAAAGGGGCGTCTCCCCGTCCATCGTGCTGACGGACGCCGTCGCTCCCTCATTATTGAGTGCCGCGGCCCGCGGCGACGCGGCGCTCGGGCCCGTCGCCGGCCGGGCGCTCAAGCGCGTCGTAGGTGCGGCTTCTGACAAACCGCTCGAGGTCGCTACTCTACTATTGGCGCGCGGCGGCGCGCACGCCTCATCGGGCGCCGGCGGCAAGGCCGTCGTGGCGCTCGTCGAGGCCTGCGACGACGCGGACTTCGCAAAGCACGTCAAGGAGCGCGCGGCGACGGCGGCCGCGGGCGACGCGAGCGCTCTGACAGCGCTCGCGGCGCTGGCCCGGGGCCCGCGCGGCGCGGCGGCTTTTGAAGCTTTACTCGCGTGCGCGGCGCGCGTCGCGTTCTTCGGCGAGGCACCTATCCAGGGCCACGAGGTCTCAACAGTGAAGTGCGAGGCAGACGACGATGCGCGACGGAACGCGGCGTCCATAATCTATGCTGCGCTCGCCGACCGCCTGAAGGCGGCGCCGCTCGAGGCCGGCGGTGCGGCGCTCGCGCCGCTCGAGGCGTTTTGTGATATTGTTCAAGAGTTGGACGGCACGGGGTTAGAACGCCGCGCGCCGCGATTGGAGGGGAGCGCGCCCGCGGGTTCTGATGAAGACGACGCCATGACGGTCGTGCTGCGGTCCCTAGCTCTATTAGCGGTGTGCCTGCTGGACGACACCGCGCCACAGGGCGTCGAGCGCCCGGCGACGGCCAAGGCTGTGTTGGATGACCTCGAGCAGGCGCTTGAGTTGCGGCGCGCGGGCGACGCCACGGACAGCGAATCTTTACTCATCGCGCGCGCGGCCGTAGCATTATTAGGCTGCGCGCACGCGCACGGCGCGTCGCGCCTCGCGCGCGAGCTCGTGAAACGAGCCTGGGGCTTGAGCTGCGCCCAGGCGCCGCCCTCCGCTGCGGCCTACCGTGTTATTTTATGTGCGGTGACGGGTGAGGAGGAGGACGACGACGACGAGGAGGACGAGAGCGAGGAGGAGGACGACGAGGAGGAGTCGATGATGGACGAGAGCGACGTGTCCGATTCGGAAATGATGGCGGGCCGCGACTCCGTGGGGTTCTCGGAGTTGGGCGACGACGTGCCGCTGGAGGACGGCGACGACATCGAGGTCAAGGGCGACGACGTCATGGCTTTGTTGGAGGAGGTCGACGGCGAGGACGCGCGCAAGGAACGGGACGCTCATAGAAAAGCAGGCCGCACGGACGCGCGGCGCGCGGAATTGCAGCTTCGGTTGAGAGCCTTGGATCTACTCGAGCGGTGTTCTGGTGAAGATGAAGCGCTGCGGGCGCTCGCTCCATTATCATCGCTCGCCGCGGAGCTCGAGACGGACTCGGCACCGGAAGCCGCCGACCTCGCAAATCGCTTAGGGGCATTATTGCGGGGGCGGATCGGAAAGGCCGCGTCAAAAGCCGACGACGCGGCCGCGGCCGCGGCGACGACCACGGTTTTGTTGACGGAGCTGCGATCCAGAAAGCGCGGCCCGTTCGCCGATGCGGCGCAGGCCGCCCTCAATGCGTGCGCGGCGGTGCTGCGGCGCGGTACCGACGTGCAGGCGCACGCGACCGCGGCCAACGCGTACGAGGGCGCCGCGACCGAGGCCTTTGGCTCGAAGAAGGCTAAAGTGCCGACGAAAATCCTCAAAGACTGCGCGTCCAAGGCGCCCAACATCGCCGCGGCGGCCTTCCTCGATAAACTGCCCGGCTGGGCCGCAGAAGCGCCGTCGCCCTTCCTCGCCGGCGAAGCGCTGGCGCTCCTGGATGCCCTGGCGGGGCGTGCAAGTGAAAAACACGCGGCGGCGGCGTTCACCGCGCTCGCGAGTCTCGCGCGCGACGAGCGCTTCCGGAAAGCCGACCGCGCGCGCGCGCTGCTCGAGACGGCAAAAGCGCTCGCCAAGGCGCGGCCCGGCGCGGACGCTTCGGATTTCGCGGCGGCGGCCACGGCGCTTGCCGACGGCCACCCGTCCCAGGCCGTCCGGGGCCTGGCGGCGCAGTTCGCGGCGTCACTACCGACTACTGCCCCCGTGAAAAAGACGAAGAAGAAGCGCAAGAGTGCTAAGTAACACACAATATTTAAGCCGCACTGCTAGCGAGGAACGACCGCATCGCGAGGACGTTCTTCGCCGCGTTTTGGTGGGTCGGGTCGGCCTCGACCGCGGACCGGAACGCGTCGAGCGCCTCCGCAAAGGCGTCGAGCTCGACGAGGGCACATCCCAAGTTCGTGTAGAGGTCCGCGCGCTCGCGCGCCGGCACGCCGTCGGCGCGCGCGATCGCCTCGCGGAACGCGTCGCGGGCCGCGTCGTGGATGTTCAGGTCGCCGAGGAGCAAGCCGAGGTTGTTGAGCGGTGCCGGCTCGCGCTCGTCGAGGGCCGCGGCCGTCTGGAACGCTGTGGCCGCTTCTTTGAGGACCGGCACGTCCGCGGGCGCGCCGACCTTGGCCAGCGCGACGCCTAGATTGGTCCAGGCGACAGCGTGCGTCGGAGTAATATCGACAGCAGTTGCGTAGCAGGCCGCGGCTTCGGAAAATTGCCCCTTCTCGAGGGCGACCTGGCCCTTGCCGCACCACGGCAATTCATTCCTCGACCCCGCCTCGATGGCGTGGTCGTAGAGCTTGGCCGCCGCGTCGAGGTCGCCTCGCAACCGCTGGGCGTCGCCCTCGTTGGCGAGCGCCCGCGCCGGCTCGAAGGCCAGCGCCGAGTCAATGAAGACCACTAATGCGTAGCGACAACCTTTCAATACGGCCGCGCCGCCGTGCCGCACTTCTCCCGCATGTACACATACCCGCCCGACGTCGTATCTTATAGTCCGTTCGAGTGGCTCCATCGTCGTGCCGCCGCCTTCGTACTCATCCAATGAATTCAGCGCGATGACGCACGTCAGCAGCGTGCCGTCGCGGTGCGCGCCCAGGTGCGACTCGCCCTTGGACGAGTCGTACCGCAGTATCTTGCTATCGAAGACGCGCAGCGCGTCGCGCGCCGCGGCGCCGTCGCCCACGACCTCAGGAAACGTCCGCTGCAGGAGCGGAAACAGCGAGTCGCGGCAGGCCGCCTCGAGCCAGCTTCTCACCTCCGGGAGGTCCTCGCACTGCTGGACGACGTCCCGTGCGTACCGAAACTCCTGGGGCACCCACCCATCCTTGCGCTCGGCCTCGTCAATAATGAAGGCGCACTCGTCCGCGCTGAAGAGCGGCGCCGCCGTGACCGCGCAGCACGGCGCCGCGGCGAAGAGCTCGGGCACGTCGGCGCAGTTGGGTGGGTAGGCGTAGGGCGTCGCGTCTACTGGCACGTCTATGGTGGCCGGCGCGGCACCATCCGCGGACCAGGTCTGGAACGCTTGCCCCGCGCGCGCCGTCGCGGCATCATGCTTGCGGTGCACGAGGTCTATGGCTTGCTTTAGCGCATTGGTCGAGGTGCTGAGGGCGGCAGCGCTGGCCCAGCAGTGGAAGAGGATGAATGAGCGCATTTTCCGCACCGACCTGAACAGTTGAAGCCCAGTGCCACTCTCTCTCTTTGCTTTAGGGCAGCAACTAACTAGCGTAGTAAGACACTAGCAAGCCTTGTTTTTGCGAGGTGGCATCGCTAGCCTAGCAATTGGTGGCTGCACTGCTGCTGGCGAGTGCTGTTCCAGTCCCGACGATCGTCACCACCGCTGCGAAGCCATCGCTGCACTGTGGCCATTTGCCGCTGGCTGCACACTGCAGCATGGCTGCATTGGTGCAGGACCTAAGCCGCATCGATCTCGAGGGCACCAAAAGAAGCAAGGATGATGCACCGCTGTGCCGCACGCCTGTAATAAAACGCAATGAAGTCGCATGGAGATGGTACGAATCGATCGGGGCGCCAAAACTCTTCGTCGCACCGTTGGTCGGCTACAGCGAGCCGGCGTTCCGGCTGTTGTGTCGGAGCTACGGCGCTGACATAGCATCGACGCCGATGATTGATGCGGCGGGCTACGTGGCGTCCGAGAGGTATCGAAACGAATTCGCGTTCACGGGCGGGAGCGAAGATAGACCACTCACGACGCAGTTGGGGGGCTCAGAACCTGAGTCGCTCGCGGCGGCGGCGGCGCTCGTGGCGCCATTCTGCGACGCGGTGGAACTAAATATGGGCTGTCCGCAACGATGCGCTAAGAAGAACGGCTCCGGTGCCTTTCTCATGGAGGACCTGGCGCGGGCCACGCGCTGCATCGCGGCCATGCGAAGCGCCGTCGACGCGCACAACGCGTCTGCACAGACACGTGTTGCTACGGTCGTCAAGATCCGCTGTTTTGACGACGTGCCACGGACGGTCGCGCTGGCCCAGGCGCTCGAGGCTGCCGGCGCCGAGATGATCACGGTCCACGGCCGCACGCGCCACGCGGGCGGCGGCCGGCGGACGGCGGCGCAGCTCGCGAACTGGGCCTGGATCCGGGCCGTCAAGGAGAGCGTCGGCATCCCCTGCATCTCGAACGGGAACATCCGGCATTCTGAGGACGTTCGCGATTGCTTTGCCGCGACGGGCTGCGACGGCATCATGTCTGGGGTGGGGGCGTTGCGGCGGCCGCGCCTCGTCTTCGCGGGCGCGCGCGGCGGGCGGAACCAGGTCGCGGCGCGGTATTGCACGCACGCACTGGCGACGCGGGCCGCGCCGCGCCAGGCCCACTCCCATTTGTGCGGCAAGCTCGCGCTGACGGCGCCGGCGGCGGTCAGGGACCTCCGCGATTTGATCGACTCGCTGGACGTGTCCGGGCCCGAGACGGACCGGTCGCGGGCCACGCTTTCCACGATCCGCGACGCGCTCCTCGCGCGGCCCGACGACGACGACGCGGACGATGATCTCGACGGCGAGACGCCTATTGCGGCAGATGGATGGACGAAGGTCTGGCGCGACAAGCGGCTTTGATAATTTTGTTGTTACTTACTCGAGCGCCTCTAACAATCTGGCCTTCAGCACGGCCTTCAAACCGTCCGTCGCCAGCCCGAGCTCCGTCAGCGCAGCTTTCAGCTTGGGCACAGTCATCTTGTTCACCTCGGCCGTCGTCCACTTCGGAGCGGCCGCGGCCGCCGGCTCCGGCTCCGGTTCTGGGGCGGGCGGAGGCGGAGGCGCCGGCGGCCGCGGCCGCTCCGAAGCGGGCGGCGGCGCCGGCGCGGCCTCGCGCCGCTTCGGGGGCGGCGGCGCTTCGGGAGCGTCGTCCTCGCGCTTGCGCTTCGGTGCGGCAGCAGCCGCCCGGTCGTCGGGATGCATCATGTCGTCATCATCGTCGTCGTCCGAGTCGTCGTCGTCGTCGCGGGGCCGCTCCGGTACTGTGGGAGCGGGTCGCGACGAAGAACCGCGACTGCGCCGCGCGTCCTCCTTGACCGTGTAGACTCTACTAGACTTGCCGATGCGAAACGAAGCCCCGGGCACCAGAGCAAATGGCGGCGCGTCGCTCTTCACCCTCCCATAAGCCTGTCCCTTGCCTGGAGAAGCACCGGTACCGTGGGCCGAGCCCAGATCAATTAAGAACCAGCCCTGGGCTTGTCCTGGAGGCTGGCCGTGCAGGATGGCCACGTGCTGCCGCGATACGGACGCGTGCTCCAGCGTGACATGACACAACTCCGGCTGCCTCCCCAAGATAAAACAGTCGCGCTTCGCCAAATCAATGGTCTGCAAGGCTTTGCCGTCCTTGGACGCCTCGAGGAGCATCGGCGCCCTTCCACTAATCCACTCCGGGACCACAAACTTCCCCAGCTTCGTCCCGGCGGGCGTCGGCGGCGCGGGAGCTCTCCTCTTTCTATCTGCCTCTTTCGCTTGTTTCGCCGCTTCCCTAGCTGCGACTAATTTCTCTTTTTCTCCCTCAAGTTCTCGTAATGCGGTCTTGACGTCCCTTAACCCAAGCTCGGTCCGCGCTAACAATCGTTGCGTCTCCTCGTCCCGGTTGTTCGCCGAGAGGCGCATGGCTAACTGTGCTCTTTGGCTCTCGGCGATCTGCGACTGCTCCGTGAGGCGGTTCACGAGCTTTTCCAGTTCCGTCACGCTCACCAAGGAGGCGGCTCGGAAGGTGGCCATGCTAGCTAAGACGGCTTCGCGCCACGAATGCGCGCCGCGGCCTGCCTCGACGGCGTGAGGGGGTGAGGGGTCTGCTGCTGCGGCTCGCCTGACAGCAGGGCTCGCGCAGCGTGTTTGCGATAGCCAGGAGTTGCTTACGCGCTCTATTTCTGATGAGTAGCTTCTGCCAGCAGCCTGTTTAGCAGCCGCGTCGCGTCCCGCTTGCTTTCTAGTGTCTTTCACCGCTAGCTAATCCGATTTTTGCGCTGCCGCTGCAACTTTTGAGGCCTCTGGGGCGCTGTGGAGCGCAGCAGGAGACGGATATCACACAACAGAAAGGCTGGAGACGCCGCGAATTGCTGTGCGAGCCCCGACTTGCACAGCTGTGCGACCTGCAAGCTCAGAGCAAAAAAAGCAATTAGCATGACGCCGCGCCTCCTAGTGCTATGGCTCGCCGCGCACGCCGCCGCCGACGACAACTCCTCGAACAAGGAGCAGGACTACGCCTCATTGAAACTCAAACCGAGAGTTGTGAGTTTCAACGTCATGGTCGCCGGCCTGTCTGGATTGGGCAAGACGACCACGTGCAACATGCTCTTCGACGCCTGGCAGGGGAACTCCCCGTCACAAGAAAAGAGGAAGATCAGGAGGGCGACGCCGCACGTGGATGTGAGCAGGAAGATCGAGCGGTACGACAAGCGCACGAATACGATTCTCCGAGTGCGAGTCGTGGACACGCCGGGTTTTGGTAATAATATCGACCACAAGCACGCCGTAAGGCCCATCACGAAGTACATCCGGAAATGTAGAGATGAGCAATTTAGAGCAGAAACGGGTGCGCGTAAGGAGACCGAGGCCGACGGCGATCGGCTGGTGCACGCTTGTGTCTACTTCATCTCGCCGCATCGCTTCCTTGAAATAGATAGACATTTCTTGCGACATGTGCAACGGGAATTGGCGATAGTACCGGTCATCGCGAAGACCGACACGCTCACTGACGAAGAGCTTGCGGAATATAGAGCGATGCTGCGCGACGAGTTCACGAAAAATAATATTCAGGTCTACGACTTTGGGGAGAAGAGCAGCGAGTTGCTTGAGAAACGAGCCTTTGCCCGAGGGCGCGAGAGAGGTGAACCTCTGGGTATTATTGCCAGAGACGGCCACTACCCCTGGGGCACGTCGCAGTTCCAGTTTGCAGCTCATAGTGACTTCGCCTTGCTCAAGGATTTATTGTTATCAGAACACACGGAGCCGCTCGTCGAGCACGCGTCGGCCAGGTACGCGCGGTACCGCGCTAGGCGCGTCCGGTTGGGCTACGCGACGGACGCCGCTAAGAGTCTCGCGGTGCTGGCGCTCGTGGGGCGGGCTTTAGGATTGCCCGTTCCGATCCCGTCGCGCGCCGGCGTCGTTGCTGTCCTAAAACGGTGCGGCCTCGGTGCCGCGGGCCTCTACCGGAAGCTGTTCGTCAAGCCCGAGGCGCCGCCGCGGCGGCGGTCCTGGTTCGACTTCTCTCCAAAACCTCCGGCGCCGCCGCGGCGCCGCTGGATGGAGCCCCTCCGTCGTCGTTTGTCTCCGCCGCCGGCGCCGCCGCCGAGAAGGCGCTCCGTCGCGCCGCTCTTTCCTGCCAGAGCGCTGCGCGGGGCGAAGAACTAGGTTCGTTTAGTCTTCTTCTGTTTTTCGGGTTTCTACGAGTCCTCGCGGCTGCGAGGGCCTCCAAGAATTCCCGCGTTCAGCTAGCGAAATAAGACACTAGCAAGCCAAAGAGCTCCGGCGTCTGATTAAGCTCGGGCTGGCGTAGCACTTGCATTGCTGCACTGCCGGACTAGCCACTGCACTGGATGCTCGCTCGCGTCCGTTCGCTGGTGTGTGTCGGGTCGGTCGTTGCTCTTAGAGCTGCGCCCCGCCGATCTCCAAAGCCTCGCGAGCAGCAGCGCAGTACAAATTCCGCGGCGCCTTCGAAGCTGTGCACGGTTAAAAATCGTGAAGCGCTGCGCTGTGCGTCGACGCGACGGGCTCTACCGCCGTGCGCCACGATATTTAGCCGGCGCGGCCGCGTCGGCGCGCCCGACTCACTCGTTGACGCCACCCACCCCTCTGTTCCGACTCACGCGGTGACACACACGCAGGCCCGTCGTCGCGCCTCTACCACGCCCTCGCCACCATGGGCCACGGCGGCGCCCAAGGTGGTTCTGCAGCGGCCGCGCCGCCCGTCGAGAAGTTCCGCAAGGATTATGCTGCTCTACCTTACTCCATCGATTCCGTCGATCTGGACTTTAACGTCCAGACCGACGAGACCCTCGTCACGTCCACTCTCAAATTGACGCCGACAGGAGGCGGGCCTTTGGTATTAGATGGCGAGGACCTCCGCTTAGTGAGCGCGGAGGTCGACGGCAAAGAGCTGCCCAAGGACGCGTATGAATTGGGTGAGGAGACGTTCACGTTGCACAAACCGCCTTCCTCACCTTTCACGCTGAAGACCGTGGTCGGCATCGAGCCGGCCAAAAACACGCAGCTGTCGGGCCTCTACGAAAGTTCGGGAAACCTCTGCACGCAGTGCGAGGCCGAGGGGTTTAGGAGAATCACGTACTTCTACGACCGGCCCGACTGCATGTCGGCCTTTACTTGTAGAGTGGAGGCCGACAAGAAGAAGTTTCCCATTTTGTTGTCGAATGGTAATGAAGTGGGACGGGGCGAGTCTGGAGATCGGCACTGGGCCTCGTTCGAGGACCCGTTCAAGAAGCCTTCTTACCTCTTCGCGCTGGTCGCGGGCGATCTAGGCGGCATCCAGGGCAAGTTCACCACCAAGTCCGGGAGAGATGTCGACTTGAGGATCTGGAGCGAGCACCGGAATTGTGATCAATTAGATTGGTCCCTCGAGTCGCTGAAGCGCGCGATGAAGTGGGACGAGGAGACGTACGGGCTGGAGTACGATTTGGACGTCTACCACGTCGTGGCCGTGGAAGATTTCAACATGGGTGCCATGGAGAACAAGGGCCTGAACGTCTTCAACACGGCCTGCGTCTTGGCGGCGCCGCAGACGGCGACGGATGGAGATTATGATCGCGTGTTGGGCGTCGTCGCCCACGAGTACTTTCACAACTGGAGTGGGAACCGCGTGACCTGCCGGGACTGGTTCCAATTAACGTTGAAGGAAGGGTTGACGGTCTACCGGGACCAGACCTTCACGGAAGATCAGACCAGCCGAGCGGTGAAGCGCATTGATGATGTAAGAGTTATGAGAAGTGCCCAGTTCGCGCAGGACGCGGGGCCCATGGCCCACCCCATCCGACCGGAGTCGTACGTGGCCATGGACAACTTTTATACCGTGACTGTCTACAACAAGGGTGCCGAAGTTATTAGGATGTACGCTACGCTGCTGGGGTGGCCTGGCTTCCGCAAGGGTATGGATTTGTACTTTCAGAGACATGATGGGACCGCAGTCACGTGTGATGATTTTCGAAGTGCCATGGCCGACGCTAATAGTGTAGATTTAACTCAATTCGAGCGGTGGTACACGCAGGCCGGCACGCCTACTGTTACCTTATCAGACAAGAAGATTGATGGTGAAACGTTCTCACTGACACTATCGCAGTCGTGCGCCGACACGCCGAATCAACCTGCCTCGGAGAAGCAACCGTTCCACATCCCCGTGAGCTGTGCTTTGTTTGATAAAAAAACGGGCAAGAAGGTCGACGAGCAGTTGTTTGAACTAAGAGAAGCTTCCCAGACATTCAGCTTCTCTGGTACAGTGACGGGATCGCCCGACGACTACGTCGTGTCGTTATTGCGAGGATTTTCAGCTCCTGTGACGGCTAAACAAGAATTGACGCAGGATGAACTGTTATTTTTAGCGTCGAACGACGACGATTCCTTGAACCGCTGGGACGCCGCCCAACAGATTTATACGAGGGCTATTCTAGACGAGTTCACCGGTGATGCTGGGAAGGGCGATTCCCTTGACGCGGCCGTCGCGACGTTCCGAGCTGCTCTCAACGACAAGAGCGGCGATCCCTCATTAAGAGCTTTGAATCTGGCCGTGCCCGGCTTCTCGGAGCTCGGCCTGAAGCTCGACGACGGCTTCGACCCCGTCAAGTTATGTGAAGCTTTGTCTAGTGTCAAGAAGGCGCTTGCCAGGGCCTGTTCCACGGAATTGAAGGAGGTCTACGCTTCCTTATATTCGGACGCGCCCTATGACGTCGAAGCGGCGTCCGTCGGCCGCAGGAGACTGAGAAACGCGTGTCTCGCGAATCTCGCGCGGGCCGGCGGCTTCGAGCAGCAGTCCGTAAAACATTATGAAGACGCCCAGTGCATGACGGACCAGCTCGCGGCCGCCGTGGCGTTGGCGGGCGAAGCTACAAAAGAGCGGGAAGAAGTGCTGGGCAAGTTCTACGAGAGCGCTGGAAATGAATTAGTCGTCAACAAGTGGTTCGCGCTGCAAGCTTCCGCCGACGCCGACGACGCCCTTGAGACGGTCAAGAAGCTCGTGGCGCACGAGGCCTTCAGCCGCACGAACCCGAACCGTTATAGAGCCGTGGTCAATACGTTCGCGGGCGCCAATCCTAGAGCGTTCCACGCGGCGGACGGCTCGGGCTACGCCTTCATCCGCGACGAGGTCATCCAGACGGACAAGACCAATAATCAAGTGGCGGCGCGCCTCTGCGGGTCGTTCGGCACGTGGAAGAAGTACGACGCGAAGCGCGGCGGGCTCATGAAGGCGTGCCTCGAGGAGATCGTCAAGACCGAGGGCCTGTCGAAGGACACGTTCGAGATCGCGACGCGGTCGCTCAAGTAGGTCCACACGCTGGGGGGTTATATATATATAGTATTCTTTACGCACGTCGTCTACTATTTTTCGCCCGCCGTCTACGTCACCCTGGCCGAGGCTCTTTTCGCCCGCCGTCTAAAATACCATGGACAGGTCCATCGTCGAGGGCAGCGGGTTGCCCGGCATCGTGCCGGCCTGCGTGTGGTAACCAGTGAGGGCGCGGACGTCGCGTCGATAGCATCGAGATCGATATGAAACGGACGCCGCGTGCGAACGTAGTCGCCCGCGAAGCCGAGCTTGGCCAAAATCGGCACCGAGCCCGGGATTTTCTCGGCGGCGACGAAGCCGGCCATGCCGAGCATCGCCAAGCGGCCGTTCGCGAGCTCCATGTTGCGCTTCTTCTGCCGCGTCTCGGCGTCGTACTTGCCCATGGGGTCATACCCGGACGCGTGCCACGGCGCCGTGCCCGGCGTCAGCCGGATCGCGCCCGGCGTGCCGCCGCGCAGGTAGTGGGGCTGCTGCGCCTCGAAGACCCACTCCATGCCGCCGATGGCCGTGATGATCTGGATGCGGCCGGACGCCGGGATGGAGTCCCACGTCTCGAGCGGCAGCTTCGTCGTGCCGAGCGACGCGAAGGAGTCGCCGTTGACGTCGATGGCGCCCGGGAACTCGAGGCCGAGGCCGTTGACGACGCAGCCGAGGAAGGCCGCCATGGCGACGCGGCCGTGCTTGATCTCGGCCGCGCGGTACCACGCGAGCGTCTCGTCCGACGCGCTCTTCGAGAGGCCGAGCGGGTCGAAGAAGCCCGTCGGCGCCTGGATGCCGTCCATGCCGGACGCGTCGGCGCGCAGCGCGCTGCTCGACGCCGGCGCGACGGGCGCGACGAAGCCCGTCGCCGGCGCCAATAACGCGACGGCCGCGAGGAGGCGCGCCATGTTTTTCACCTGCGGGAACGGCGCGCGGTCAGCAACGGCGGTTTTTCGGTTTTTTAGGCGGCGTATGCCGAACGGCGAATATATGCGGCACGTCTGCAGCGTGTGTCACCATCTCTTCGGAAAGGCAGAGCATACTGGGCCGCATTTTGGGCCAGTCTGGTCGCGAGCACATCTCGTATCTCTCCGGCAAGCCTGCGTCATTTTGAAGGAAGCTGGCTAGCTGGCCTTCACGAGTAGGTTACTGAACTACCGCTCGCGAGTTCTGAGCTCCTGACGTACGCCGGTTATTGCGTTTAGGTCCTAGTTGTGCCAAATCCGCAGATTAGCTAGCGTAAATTGCAAAATGTAAGACACTAGACGCAACCCGAACAAAATGAAAGTCTCTCAAATCCCACCTACCGCTCAGAACCAGTCACACCACGGATGGATTAAGTACCAGGCGACCCTAGAGCTCAGCCATTGGCCAAGGCAGGGCAAAGCAGGAAAGCCGCACAGCGCACGCAGCGCAATCGCTGCACGCCGTCGCAGCGACACGCACAGCTCACTCTCCGCGAGCAGCCGACGGTCGGCACGCATCGATGCGGGCTGCCCCGCCCGCGACGATGGCAGCCATAGTGGCCCTTCTAGCCACGGCCGCCGCGACGACGGAGGCGACGCACCCCCATCTACGGGACATGATCCGGCGCGTCTTCCCCGAGACCGAGGAGACACAACGGTCGGAACGGGAGATGGACGCATATTTTGGGGATGGACTAAGGGCGGGCGTCGTCTTCCTCCTCAAGGACCTGAGGGATATAAGTGGACAGCCCTACCGCCAGAACAAGAAGTGGGGCAAGTGCACGTATCTGGACCAGGCCATCCGGTCCGCTAGAAGTGTCCTGAACAAGAATTCTCTGCTCGGGAAGTTCCCGAAATACCCCCTACTTTTTTATCATGCGGACTGGCGCGACGAGGACAAAACTAAATTAGAGACGGCCGTCGGCTTGAATATGAATGATGGCAAATATAAAAGCTGGTGGCACCCCGTCGTCTTCGGGCCCGAGGCGCTGCCTCCTTACCTCTACAACGTCAACGCGACAGTGAGCGGCTGGCAGCAGTTGCATGTGGATGGTGATTTAAGGAGAGAAACGAGGAACAACATTCATGGGTTCGGGTACATGCTCATGTGCCGCTTTTACGCTGGTTTGATTCACCACGCGCCGCTCACGCGGAAGCTGGACTACTATTTGAGAATTGACGGCGACTCGCGGCTACAATCGGTGAAGCAGGACCCCTTCGAGCTCATGAAGCGGAAAGGTGCCAAGTACGCTACTTTAGGAGGAGGCTACCGCGAGACGGCGGGGAGCGCCGTCGCGCTGCCGCGGTTCTATGCTCAGACGAACCCCGACGTTAAGACGGACCTGTGGACGTCGGCGGGCTGCTCGGCGAACGCCGTGGCCTGCCCCGCGACGCAGCCTAGAGCTCACAAGGCGACGGCGCCCTGCGCGCTGCGGTGTGTCTTTGACGTTCCAGCAGAGCCCGACGGCGTCAAACTGCCCGTGCCCCTCTGCAAGAGCAGCGGCGCGGGCCCGCCGCGGTGCCCGTCGTTCTACAACAACTTTGAAGTTGTGGACCTCCAAGCGTTCCGCACGGCGGAGCAGTGGGCCTTCTTCCTGCTCGCGGAGCGGTCGCACGCCTTCCTCTGCGAGGCCTTCCCGGGGCGGACGAAACCTGGGAGGTGCGGCGGCGGCGGCATGGGCGACGCGATCTTCCGCACGCTGCAGGTGAACACCTTTTTGACACCGGCCGAGGTCTTGGGGTTGCGCGCCACCGTTTCGTATCATCACCCGGCGCCCATCGCCAAGTTCTGCGGGCCTAGAGGAGTGACGGACGGCGGGCCGCCCGTGCAGAGCATCAGCTAAGTTTCTCTTAACAGACACATTTTTACACACATCGCGTCGTCGATGGCGTTGGGGTGGCGCCCCCGAACGCCATCGACGCACCGTCCGGGGGGATCAGCCCGCCTTGGCCTTGCCGCCGGTCTCGCGCTCGCCGAACATGAGCGTGTAGTCCTCGAGCTGGCGTTTGAGCGTCTCGGTCTCGCCGAGCAGCGCCATGTACGAGTCCGACGCGGTCTTGGCCTGCTTTTGTAGGGCTTCGAGCTCGCGCTCGTGGCGCTCGTCATTCTTTTGCATCAATGTCAAGGCCATTTCCAATCCTCGCGCGTATGCCGATGCCGCGGCCTTATGCCTTTGCAAACAGGTCAGCGCCTTGCCCTTGCGCGCCCAGGCCTTGGGCCAGTCCGGCTGCAGTCTCGCCGCCTCCTCGGCGTCGGCCAAGGCGGCTTCATAGTCGCCGAGCTTCGCATGTGCCGCCGACCGGTTCGCGAGCAGTTTCGAGCGCTCCTCGGTCTGCGCCGTGCCCTGGCAGAGTTCCAAACCCCGCGTGTATTGGAGTACGGCTTCATCCAAGTTCTTCTCTTTGAACGCTGAGTTGCCCAACTCCTTGGCGTCCGGCCGCCGCAGCCAATTTAACATCCTCCTGCTTGTGATGCTATTTTTGGCTTTATGCGTGGGCGCACGCTGCGGAGACGAGCGCTGCGGTTGCGCAGCTCCCAGGGGCGGCCAGAGCGCTGCTGTGCCGCCTCGTAGTCGCACGTATGAGGACTTTGAGTCGCGATTTGCGGCTGGCAAAAACCTGTGCTGCCGGAGAGCTAGCTTGGACTTGCATCGCCTGAAGCGCCACCTGTGCTGGACATCAAGTAGAGACATACCGAAAAAGAGAGACGTCTTGACGTATAAAAACACTGCCGAGGCAGCGAGAACGCTCGCATCGCGCACGGGAAGGAGCGACAAAGAGCACTGCACTGCACAGCTGCACACGCCGCCGCAGCGAAGGAGCGACAGCCAGCACTGCGTTGCACAAGGCGCACACGACGCCGCAGCGATCCGCGATGGCCACCGCACCCCCGAAGAAGCGCAAAGCCAAGGCCCCGCCGCCCGCCGGCTACGTCTGCAAGCTCTGCAAGGAGCCCGGCCACTGGGTCTACGAGTGCTCGCAGTGCGTCAAGAAGCCGAAGGTCGCCAAGGCGCCGCCGAAGCCGAACCCCTGCGTCTCCACGGAAGAGGCGCGCATCAAGTGCCACTGCGGCCTGCGGGCCATGAAGCGGCGGTCCTGGAAGGCCGACGCCGCGGCCCCCGAGCAGCGCTGGGTCTGCGCCCGCCTCAAGAAGCACAAAATTAAAAGAGGCGACCAGAATTTGAAGCCGTGCAAGTTCAACGTCGCCGTCGCGACGGCCGTGCCCTCTTCAGCACCACCGGCGAAGAAGCGCGTGAACACGCGGTACCTCCAGCGCGACCGGCGGCGGAAGCTGAAGCGCAAGGTTTTTGTGTCTGGCATGCCCTTCAAGGCCAAGGCCGCCGAGTTTTTGGTTGAGTTCTTCCAGTCGCACAACGTCGCGCCGCCGGCGCGCGTCGCAGCGCTCGAAAAGGGCGGCCGGAAGACGGGCCAGGCCTACGCGACGTTTGAAACTACCGAAGCGGCCGACGCGGCGGTCGCGCTGTCGGGGACAAAGCTCGACGACGGCGCCCGCTGGCTGGAAATCAAGCGCGTCGCCGAGAAGCCGCCGGCGAAGGACGCGACGACCGGCGACGGCGGCGACGACGACTCATCGAGCGACGACGACTCGTCGAGCAGCGATGGCGACTCGTCGAGCAGCGACGACGACGCCGCCGCGCCGGCGGCCGCCGCTGCCTCGAGCTCGGACGACTCGTCGTCGTCTTCGTCCAACGGCTAAAAATGTGTGCTTTCGACCGACTTTGGGGAAAGCGTGACCGCACGCGTGCACGTGCCCGCCCGCCGCCTCGAGTGTTAGCTCGGAACCGACGGCAAGGGGGGAGCAGTACTCAGTTCATATTTACGTTCCGGGGCGGCGCCCTAGCTACAGGTAGAGGGTGGGGGGGCAGTCGTGCGCCTACTCCCACATCTCCTTGTTCGTGCCGAAGACCTTGTCGAACGCCGACTTCGTCGAGAACTTCTGCTTCGCGTACGAGTGGCCCGAGCCGACGACCTTGTCGCCCTTGAGCGTCTGCTTCTTCTCCATCTGCACGAGCCAGTCCGCGATGTCGAGGGTCTTCTTGCCCTTGGGGAACTTGGACTTGTTGGCCTGCGCCTTGCTCTTGTCGGCCGCCATCGCCGCCTTGTACTGCGCCTCGGTCAGGCCCTTGGGCACGTAGCCGTTGAGCGCCGTCGGCGCGCGCTGCTGCGCGGCGGGCGCGAAGCCGAGCGCCAGCGGCGCGAGGGCGAGGACCTGCGTTGTGTGTTGCGGTCAGGAGAGGGCACGTGAGGCGGCGGCGTCGCGCGGATCACCAAGTGGGCGCACTTGGGCTCCGAAGCTTGGATGTGAGCGCTCCATCGGCCGGCGCCGCTCGTCGTGAGCGGCGGCCGGCCGCGAAGGCTTGCACACCTTGCTTCCTATGGGCAAACGGGGCGGCCGGGCGCGCGCTTTGCGTTTGGGCCTCTTAAGCCTGGATTATAGAGCTCAGACCGGCTAGCGTCGCCCATTGGAAGCAGCGCTCGGCCGTGCGGCCGTCGCTGTCACCTCTGGGCACGCGACGGCGCTCTGAGAGCCCATTTTTTTGCTGCCGGTTTTGGGCTGGATACGGCGAGCCGCAGCACCGCGCCGCGGTGTCCGTCCGTCTCTGACCGCTGCTGGACGCCGGCAACCCGCAGCCGTCAGCTTCATGCTGTTCCGGAGGAAGATAAGACAATAAAAGCTAGCTTGCGGACGCAAAGCTCGCACCCTCGATCACACGAAGTCCTTGCTCACATTTTGCGTGGACGCTTCCGACGGTTCCACGCGTTTAGCGATGTCTGGAGTACGTAGTAGGGTTTTCCTTCCGTGTCCGTCCGACGCGTACTGGCACCTCCAGGGATGGCTGGGTTGGAGCCTGCGGTCCGGACGGATGGCTGCACGAGTCGTGTATGGGCTGGATGGAGGGCTCAGCGCCCCAGCTGGCCACGGTGGCTTGTTGAGACGGCATGCGCCACACCCAGCCTTACTCGCGATTAAACCGGTCTTACTCACCTCTCACGTCAAATCACAGTGTCTCAATTGGTCAGCAGTGCGCGTTTGCCGCAAACTGCCGGAATCCAGAATGCTGCGGTGTGGCATTGAGCACATGGCGATGAACGCGCAACCTGAGCTGGCAACGCAAAACTGCACAGAGCCCGCGAGAGCAGCACATATAGCATGGATGGGCTGATCGCGGTGACCGCGGCCACCATGCCGCGCTGCGCGGCTGCATCTTTGCATTTTGCAAGCTCAATACCCGTTTCCGCCCTGCCGCGCACCGGCGCTGCCCCAGAGGGCCGCCAGCCCTGCGTCGCGCCGCCGCTGCGAGACGAAAGCACTCGCGACGCGTGTCGTGCCGCGCGCCCGGGCTTGGGGAGCGCAACACAAAAGTCATGTGCATGTCGCGCGTCTCACGAGGCTCGCACAAAAGTCATGTCGTGCCGCGTATCTCACGAGCTCGCGCGCAGGTCAACGATGGCCCGCCTCCTGACCGCCCTCGCCCTCGTCGCTTCCGCCGGTGCGTTCGCCCCGGCGGCGACGCAGACCCGCAGCGCCTCGGCGCTCTCGGCGTACGTGCCCCAGGGCCTCTCGGCGTCGGAGTACGCGGCGAAGAAGGCCGCCGACGCGAGCAAGAAGCAGGCCAACAAGTCCCGCTTCCCCAAGGGCAAGAACCTTGTCAAGGACGTCGCCGACTGGCTCGTCGAGATGGAGGCCAAGCAGACCTTCAAGGGCGACCAGGTCGCGGGCTCCGGCCACACGTTCGCCAAGGAGAAGTTCACCTCCAAGGCCGCCTTCGACGTCGCGAACGGCCGCCGCGACAAGGGCTACGGCGGCAAGGCCGGCTCCGCGGCGGCGCCGAAGAAGAAGGCCTTCGGCCTCTTCTAAGCTCGCGGATGGGTCCCGAGCGGCGACGACCTTGCTCCCCCTGTGACTAATATTGGATACTTATCGTTCGCGCCGCCGTTCGGTCAATCGCGTAATTAGCATGGTAGCGTCGTCGGTCGATCGCGCGTCGACGTCGCGCCCGCGAGTCGAATGCCGCGTCGCGTCGATGGCGTGTGGAGTGGTATAGAGTACAGGAGGAGGGGTCCTGTTTCCGTGGCCCACTCCAAAGACGGGCAACAACCGTGTGGAAAAACAGGTTTTAGGCCACAGCCACTCGGCTACAGCTCGAGCTTCACGCCCTGTGCGGGAGCTCTGAGGCGATTTAACAGTACTGTATCATCGTCGGAATACTACGGGCACGAATTTCGGCGCTCGTCGCGCGGCAGGACAAAAAACAGCCACATCCTGGAGGAAGCCTGTTTTCCCATCGCGGCGCACGCGTCGCGCGACCGACGAGAAAGGAGTGGAGGGACACGACAACCGGCCGCTGATTCATGACGAGCGAAACCGCCGCGCAGGTCTCGGGACTCGGGACGCGATGGCCGACACCGCCATGGGCCCGGCGCCGCTGGAGCGCCAGGAGAGCGTGCCGATGGAGATCATGAACAAGTGCGCCTACGGCGAGCCCTCGACGAAGACGATCATGGTCATGGGCGCCGTCGCCGCGGTACTGGCCTCGATCACCGTCTACTGCATCGTCTCCTGGGCGCGGCGCTCCGCGCGGGCCAAGTTCAAGGCCATGATCAAGAGCGTCTTCGAGGAGGTCGACCACGACCACGGCGGCACCGTCGACAGCGACGAGCTCTACACGGCCGTCTTGCTCGTCTACCTCCAGGTGAGGGAGAGTACTTAAGCGGTCACGAACGCTAGACTAACTCGTGCGCCGGCGCAGGTGAATAAGGCCATCCGCGTCATCGGCGCGGTCAAGCCCCCGAAGCGCCATTCGGTGGATGAGGTCCTCGCGCAGTACGCGAAAGACAACAAGTCGGGCAAGGAGCTCAACCAGGACCAGTTCGAGGACGTCATGAAGATCCTGTCCAAGGACGTCGCCGGCCGCGTGACGGTGACGTGCGGCATCATGGTCGGCTGCCCGATGCTCGGCGGCATTCTGGTGAATATGGCGCTCGCCAAGTTCGGCCGCCCGTCGGCGGCGCGCCCCTGCGGCAGCCTCCTGTTTACCTTACTCGAGCCCCAGTTCCCGACGATCGTCTCCCTCGTCCTCATGCTCGTGCTCCTTCCGTTATTGCTGGACGCGCTCGACAGCTACCTCGAGAACCGCCAGTCGAAGCTCGGGGCCATGAAGGAGCTCGTGCGCGCCGACTCGACGCCGAAGGCGACAGCGGCCGAGTCTTCCGTGCGCAAGGAGGCCGACAAGCTCGCCCAAGCCGTCGAGACGGCCGCCGAGGAAGTCAAGCCCGTCGCGGAGGCCGCGCCCAAGAAGAAGGGGCTTCTCGCCGTTCAAGGGCTTCGGCAAGAAGAAGGAGGCCCTGAGCGGCGCGCCGGAGGCCTCGCGGCGGCCGCCGCGCCGCCGCCCGCTCCCGGAGGCCTAAGCCTAGATCACAGAATTACGGAACTCTACAAAAACAAAACAGTTAGTACCCGAACACGCGCAGCCCGACCGTGTCCTCCTTGCCCCCCTTGCCCGTGCCGACGAGGAGCTTGTACTTGCCCCGTCCCACGATCTTGTCCCGGTCCCAGACGCCCTCGTAGCGGTTCCCGTTCAGGTACGTCAGCTCGCCGGGCCCGTGCCGCATGTTCCGCCAGTACTGGCCCCTAAAAACCGTGCCGGATGCGCTCAACTCGGTACCTTCGCCGTGGCGCTGGTTGTCCTTCCACTGGCCCTCGTACTGCGAGCCGTCGGGCCAGACATATAAACCGCGGCCCGTCATCCGCTCCCGCAAGAAGTCGCCCTTGTAGTAGCCGCCGTCCTTGTATATTAATTTGCCCGTGCCGTGCCTTAGGTTATCGCACCATTCGCCCTCGTAGGATTCGATGGGGTCCTGGAATTTATATGTGTACAACCCAATACCGTGCCGCCTTCCTTCGACCCAGTCGCCGTCGTAGCTCTCCTCCAAAATATTGCCCGGTGAATAGGTCAATTTGCCCTTGCCGTGCTGGATGTCGTCGCAATACTCGCCCTCGTACGTGTTGCCATCGACAAACCGGAAGAACCCATGACCATGCTTCTTATTGTCCCGCCACCACCCTTTATAATAATGATTTGTGGTCGCATAGACCATCTCGCCCTCGCCCTGCATGCGATCTTCCCGGAACCCGCCCTTGTAGACATTGCCGGTCGACCACTTGTAGATGCCCTGGCCATGTTTGCGATTGCGCCGGAACTCGCCCCGATACGAGTCGCCCTGCCTGTACTGAAAAATGCCCTTCCCGTCGATATCATTTTCCCGCCACCAGCCGTCATATCTCGAACCAGTACCGAAGACATAAGTGCCCTTGCCTGATTTCTTGTCGTCGACCCAGTTTCCACTATAGGCGTTGCCCCAGTTTCTGTACCAGTAGACGCCGTGGCCTTGCGCTAGTCCTTTCACGAAGGTCCCATCAAAAAAGTCCCCGTTCTTGAAGAAATATCTACCTCTTCCGTTTTTCTGGGAATCCTCCCATTCCCCGCAGTACTTCTCACCGTCCGGGGACACGAAGACGCCGTACCCCTCGTGGTGGCCCTTGACCCATTTCCCTGCGTACCTCGCACCGTCCGCATATCTACATGCGCCCCTACCGTGCCTCAGATCATCGTAGAACTCGCCTCGGTACACCTCGCCCGTCGCGAAAGAAAGTATACCTCGGCCATTCGCCATGCCCCTCCTAATCTCCCCCAAGTAGGCGTCGCCATTCATCTTCGAGAACCGACCCACGCCTTCCGGCTTGTTCTCCACAAAAGTCCCCTCGTAGGCGTCGCCGTTGAGCGACGTCAATCTTCCGACACCGTGCATGCGCCCCGCGCGCCACTCGCCCTCGTACATCTCGCCGCAGGGATGGAAGAGGCAGCCCCAGCCGTCCCTCCGCCCTTCCTTCCACTCTCCCACATACTCCGTCCCATCGGGCTTCGTGTAGATCCCTTCTCCATGCCTCTTACCATTCTTCCAGTCGCCCGTGTACCTCCCTCGATCCGCCGGCCAGACACAGGTCCCGAAGCCCTCAAACAAACCATCTTTCATGTACCCCTCGGCGCGCGTCCCGCCCTGGAAGAGCTTCAAAGATAAACCCTTCCTCTTTGGATATATTCTTTTAATAAAATCATCCAAGTTGTCTCCCACCGGTTCTCTACTAATCCCCATGTCGCCCCGCAGCTTCTTGACGCGCTTTTCCTCCTTCTCGAGGGCCTTGGCTAATCGACGAGCTTCGGGCGACGCGAACTCCTTCGCTTTTTTTTGTTTGCCTCCCACATCCTTGCCCATCTGGTCCTCCGGAATGTCCGTGGGACCGTCGGGGCCGTCGCCTCCGGAACTCTTCGCCTTGGCCGCCATCTTCGCCGTCCTCCTCTTTACTGTCGTTTCATCGTCCAGATCTTCGTCCGAGGAAAACTCGCTGATGTCGTCGTCATCGGAAATCTCCAGCACCAACCCGCTCTCCGTGATCACGATGCCTTTATCTTCTTCCTCCTCTTCTTTCTTCCTTGACAGATAAAAGCCCTTGTGCCACGTCGCCTCGGGCGGTCCGACTAATAATTCATCCCGTTCTCGTTTCCGTTGCGCGTCGTAGATGCGCCCTCCTCCTAAGACCAAAATCTAGGTCTTCGGGCCGGCCCCAGGTACTCCTATACGTATCGGTCTCGAGGTACCACAGAGCCCGCGTCTCCGGGTCGTAGTACTCGACCCACCCGCCTTGCGAATGGGTGACCTCCGACCGCTCTTGTAGTCGTTCCAAAGCGGGCATGGACTTGACCACTGAAGCCTTCTGCCATCTTTTGTACTTGGCCGCTTGTCGCCCGAGGTAGCCTCTGTACAATCGTTGTGCCAATAATCCCGCCCAGATCTGCTTCCTAAGAAATCTCGTCTCGTAGCGCCCGCGAAAGCCGCGAAGCCCCGCTTGGATCGTCGTCGTCGCCTGGCGCCGCTGCTCCTTCGAGTTCGCCGCCTTTTCGTTCTTGGCCTTTTCGGCGCCGGCGGCCTGCTCGGCGATCCATTTCTGCGTCTCGGTGGCGCGGAGCCGGGCGAGGCGATCTTCCCGCGTGCGGCCCACGGCGACGCGCATCGTTTAGGGTGGGGCTGCCTCTTCAGCCAACACGAGGAGGGCAGTCTTGCGGCGCGGCCCCGGTTCTAGGGTGGGGCTGCCTCTTCGCTTGCGGCGGCCGGCGCGCCCGGGGCTCAGGTGCGGGCAGCCTTATACCGGGGGCCCCGGTTCTATTTGTCTTGCCTTGCCCAGTCCGCGGCGACCGGCGTGACCGGGTCTGTGTACGGCAGCCTCTTTCCCGGCCCTCGGCCCGCTTTGACAAACGCTGCGCGGCGGCGCTGGGCTGGAAAATCTAGTGTGTTACACAGTAGTCAAGTTCATGAAGCTTACGACGCCACATCAGACCCAGGAACCGTGTAATTGTGCTTGAACGGCATCGGCTCCGTGCGCGTCGTCTTGTTCCACGCGCCGAGCTTCAACGGGGCCGCGACGCGATGATTTCGGGGCCGCGACGCCGGCGGCGGCGGCGGCCGAGGCGTCCCGTGGCGGCCGCGAGCGCGCGTCGAGGCGCGCGTCGGCGGCGGCGGAGGCGCCCGGCGCGGCGGCGGTGGCGGGAGGGCGGCGTCCGATGGCGCCGGCGCCGCCGGCGCCGCCGCGCGGCGCCCTCGCGCCGCCGCGGCCGCCGGTCGATGCGCGCGGCCTCTTGCTGGTAGAGGACGTCGACCGCCGCCGCGGCCTCGGCGAGCGAGTCGCGGGCGCGCTCCGCCGCGACCTGTGTGGAAATCAAAATTTTACGGCGCGTTCGTGCTGAATCATCGCGTCGTCCTCCACGCCATCGACGCGACGCCTGCTCGATGGCTTGGCGATGCCGATTCCTCGCCGCTCGACGGAACCAGCGCGGCCACGCCATCGCCGAGACATGACTTAGTGAAGAATTGTCGCACCCGACGCACTGGTTGATTTCCACACAGGCCGCGACGTGCTGCGGCCCCTTGGCGCGCTGCTTCGCGCCGCGCAGCGAGGCCGCGAGCGCGACGTCGCGGCGGCGGCGCTGGTCCAGCGCCTCGGCGTGGCGCGCCTCGCAGGCGGCGATGGCGCCGGCCAGAGCCTGGCGGTGACGCTGTTGCTGTGCCGTCGCCGCGTCCTCGAGGGCCAGCGCGTGCGCCGAGAAGGCCCGGTCCTCGGTCTCGCGCACGGCCTTGGCCACGCGCCGCGCGGTCAGGCGGCTCGATGCCGGCGCCGCCGCGCCAGCGCGCCTCCCGCGCGTGTCCGTCTTCGCGCGATCGGCGCGCTCCTTCCGCAGCGAGTCGACCGCGCGCGCGCGCGTCGTCCGCAGGTCGGCGAGTTCCGCGTCGACGGCGCGGCGCTGCGCGCGAACTTCGCTCACGGCCGCGGTCCGTCTCGACTCCTTCGTCCGCGATGGTTTGTTGAATGTCGGGGTGTGCGATGGCGCCGACGGCGCCGGACGCGCCGGCCGCGGCCCGCTCCGCGGCCGTCGCCAGCGCCTCAAGCCGCTGCTGCGCCTGTATTAACCGCGCCTCGTTGCGCTGCGCGGCGACGGCCATGACAGCACCCAATGCGGCGTCGCAGCCCGTCGTCGCCCGGGCGTCGCGCTCCTCGACAAGGGGCGCGATCGTCGGGAGGAGCTGCTGGCGCCGCGTGGCGACGTCGAGGATGCGCCGGACGGGCTCATTTATATCGACGGCGGGCTCCTCGACGCTTTTCCCGGAGAACGGCCGCCGACGCGCCGCGTAGATCGCGGCCGTCTCGAGGAGGGGCTGCCGGTTGTCGCGGAGCCGCCGCCCGGCGCCTCCCGCGACGTCGTCGTGCGCTTTTAACAGAACCTTCCGGCAGAAGTCGTCGCACTTGGCGTTGAGCGCCACGACGGCCTTTTGGGCCCGCAACGCGACGGCTGCAGCCGCCCGCTCGCGCCGAGGAGCGTTCTCAGCGCGGCGCTTCTCGATGGCCAATTTCCGGCGGCGGTCGTTGAGCTGGCGCTTCGCCTCGACGGTCTCGGCCGTGAGCCGGTCGAGCTCCGCCGCGAGCTTCGACTCCGCCTCGACGTGGTCCATGGCGAGCTTCCGGCGGCACTCTGCGAGTTCCTGCGTCGCCGCGGCGTTTTTCGGCCGCGAGGCGCTCGTTCTTCGCCTCGGCCGCGCGCAGCGCGTCCAGCGTGCCGCGGCGCAGCTCGTCGAGGCGCTCCTTCAATATCCGCTCGCCCTCGGCCGTGTCGTAGGCCGGCGGTGCCTCGATGAGCCGCGCGGCCTTGGCCTCGGCCTCCGTCGCGCGCGCGGTCTGCCGCGCCGCGTGCAACTCCGCCTGGCGCACGGCCTCCTCCAAAGCTGCCACGCGCGCTCTTAACGCGGTGGCCTCGCTTGGGTCTTCCCGCGGCATGTTTTTCAACCGCTTCTCGAGCACGGCGGCGCGCGTCCTCGCTTGAAGCCACCAGAGGATCGGGAGGCTGACGCGCGGCACGCGCTTGCCGAGCACGGTGACGGCGGCGCTTCCACGCGGCGTCGTCGGCGGCGGCGACCGGTACGGGCTCCTGGCGGGAGACGCGTAGGGGCTCCGCTTCCCAGCGCGCGTGCGCGGCGGCGTCGTGAGGCGCACGGGCGACCGCGTCGGCGACGCGCTCGATATGCGCACACGCCGCGTCGGCGTCGATGGGTTGCGCTCGGCCATTCTGGTTGTGTCTATAGGCTGCCTGCTCTCGTTTTTGTTTGCCTAGGGCTGCCCGTCGTTCGCTGTTTTTGGGCAGCCGAGTCTGTGGTGCGTTGATGGCGCACGACTATGCGTGCACGACGTCGCGCGCCCTGTTTTTAATTGGGCTCGCAGCCGAATCGAGTTTGAGCCCGCACGCCGGCGGAGATGCCGGGGCCGGCTGATTGAGACGGTTGGCGCTGCTTATCATTTTTGGAGGACGGGTTCCCTAAGTCTTGTTTGCTAGTGTCTTACAGGCCGCTAGCTCGACTTTCACGCAGCCGCGATTTTGGCGCTTGTAATGCACTAGTGGATGCAAATAAGGCTCGCAAGCCGCATCGATTCGCTGCAACAACGCTAGCATCGTTCGCAGCTTCCGCCTTTGGGAAAAGCACCAGCAGCCTTGCGGTAATCATCTCCGAGTCGCCGACAGCTTACGCAGCGAAACAATGCAAGCCGACACGGAAGAATACCTGCGCGAGGCCGCCGGCCGCGGCCACGAGATGGTGCAGCAAATGGTCCAGAAGCTGAGCGGCGCGCTCATCTACCCCGACGCCGGCAACGTGCAGACGAACGAGAAGCTCTGGGACGTCTACGCGAGCGAGTGGGGCGCCGAGGCAGGCTGGGTCGCCGGCATGGCGGCCTCGAACCGTGAAGCCAAAGAAACATTGGAAAACGTCGGCGACGAGTGGGCCCCGGCGGCCCATACAAAACGCGTCGTCGACGAGTGGATCCTCAGCGAAGTTTCACTGAAGACGCATTGCTGCGAGATCGGCAGCGGCGGCGGCCGCATCGGTAGAATGGTCGCGCCTCGCGTATCGAAGCTCCAGTGCTTCGACGTGAGTGCCAAGATGCTCGCGGCCGCGAAACAGGCTCTCGCGTCCCAGGAAAATGTGACCTTCGCGCAAATCCACGGCGACGCCAGCGGCGCCGACGCCGGGTTTTCCGACAAGCCGCGGCACTACGCTCCGCAACATAAACACGCGTACGACTTCGTGTACTGTTTTGACGTCATGGTGCACATGGACGCGCACGCCATGTTCCGGTGTCTGAAGCGGATCCGAGCTTTATTAAAGGATGAGGGGAAAGCGTTCATTTCGACGTCGAATCTCCTGGCGCCGGACGGCTTCCGGCGCTTCGAGGCCCAGGAGAAGTACTCGGTCGGCGGGTTTTACTTCGTCACGCCCGAGACCGTGCGGTGCTTGGTCTCGCGCGCGGGCTTGCGCGTCGTCCGCGAGTTATCAGCGCCGGACGCGTCGAACACGTACTACAACCGCGACTACCTCGCGCTGCTCGCTCCCGTTGTCGAGGCGCCTGCCATCGCGCCGGTTGTGGCCGTCAGCCCCACGGTCAACACGGCCTCGTCGCCGGTCAGCCAGGACGCCGCGGCAGTCGCCGCCATGGACGAGGACGAGATCGTCGACGCAGTCGAGGCGGCCGAGAGCTCGGGCGACTGCGCGGCCGTCGTCCGCCTGCTCGGGAGCGCGCTCGCGCTGGAAGAGCCGGAGACCGCGGTCGAGGCCGTCGCGGACGCTCTGCTGCGACTGGGCAGTGCGCACGCGGCGGCGCTCGGCGAGGCCGGCGCGTGCGAGCGCGTCGCCGCGGCCCTCGCGCTGCCGTGCTGCGGCGACGAGCCCTCGCTCGCCGAGGTGCTCCTCGGGTGCTGCCGCGTGCTCGCGAAGAGCGGCGCGAACGCGGCGAAGCTGCTCGCGAACGACGGCGCGGCGCGGCTCGTTTCTGCCATGGAGGCACACGTCGCGTCGGGCGAGCCCACGCTCCAGGAGCAGGGGTGCCTCGCGATCGAGGCGCTCGCCGTGGCCGGCGGCGCCGCAGCGCTCCGTGAAGCCGGCGCGGAGGCCGCGATCGAGGGCGCGCGCGGCGACATCGTGAACGAGCGGAACAAGACGTACCCCGACCGCGCGCTGGCCGCGCTCGCCGGTTCCTAGCAAGCACCCTTCTGTGAGAAATTTTAGTATGACAAATTAGATTAGGGGTTCGGAGGGGGTCTTCGGTCTTCGGTCTCGAGCGTGGTGATGATCGATCAGAGGTCCCAGAGCGCGGCAGCGAAGGCGGACCGCGCCTCGTCCTCGAAAAGCTCGCCGTCGGACGATTCGGACTCGGACTCGTCGTCGGACGGCGCGAGGCGGTTCAGGCCCGTGCGGTAGCTTCTCGCCATGCGCAGCGCCGACGACAGCGCGCGTGTGGCGCCGCGTGACGCGCGCCGCGCGTCAGCCCGCCGCGTCCGAGCGGCTTCGGCGTCGCCCCAGCTCGCCGTGCGGGGCCGGCAGCGCGCCTGGCGAAGGTTATCCTCGATGCGCACTCGCTTCCCGCTCTGCGCCCGCGGCGCGAGGCGCCGGAGGTGGCGCAGCGGCGAGGCGTGCTCCGTCTCGGAGTCGCGCTCGTCGTCCGCGTCCGAGTCCATCGTCGGCGGCACATCGCGGCGGATCTGACTGCGGCTGCGCGACCGCGACTGCGACCGCCCGCGGTCGCGGCGCGCGGCGCGGCGGCCCCGCGCGGCGCAGGCGCGCGCTAATCTTAGCACGCGCGCCTCGAGCTCGGCCGTCTCGTCGTCGCGCTGCAGCGGTGAGATGGACAGCGTCCGCGGCGGCGGCGCGCTCGGCGTGCCGTTGCTCTCGCTGCCTGATGACACGGTATGCGTCGCGCTGCTGGGCGGTTTTTGCGCCACTTGCAATTTTTGCATCATCCCAGCTACCCTTGATGCTGTTGGACTTGGCGGCGGGGCAGGGGGGATTCCAGAAGTGTTGCACATCGTTGGATTGCAATTTCGCTGCGCGCAGCGGCGACCACGGCGGCAGAGCGCCGCTTCCAACGTGGCACCTACGGCACCCAAGCTGAAAGTCGCCGCCTGATTCGTCCTCGGCGTTTTGGAGTGGTCGCCATTGTTCTTTTCTTCCAGCTTGGGCTTCCTTTTGTGCTCGAGAGTCTGCGAGAGCCCGAGCCCCCATCATCGATGCAAAACTTGGGCAGCCCCAGAGTTCGAACGCCAATCGACGCTCCCCGTGAACCGTGGGGTGGATCGAGCGTGCCGGCGCGTTGAAGCAGCCCTGGACACAGCAGCAGTTATTCCCACACAATATAGCAGCACAAATGGCTGCCCTCGCCGCCCTGTACCCCGCGAAACTGCAGAAAGTCGCCAGCTTTGACCGCTTTGGGCACTACCGCCTCGAGACGGGCGAGCAGCTCCTGGTCTGGACACCAATCTATCCGGCCGGACCGCTGCCTCTGATAATTTACCTGCACGGTGCGTCGTCCAGGGGAGACGACATCCAACAGATTTTTGAAAAAGGGCCAAACTGCCCTCCAGCACTCTTACGCGCCGGAGACATCGCCCCGCGCGCCGTCGTCGTGGCCCCGCTCCTCGCAGCAAAAAGGGAGTGGTGCAAGACGTCGCGCGAGGCCGGCACGACCTTGAAAATCATCGACGCGTACTTTGCGGAGGAGGCAAGAGGTGCCATGGCAGCGGTTGATCGGGACCGCGTCTACGTCACGGGCCCGTCGTGCGGCGGTTTAGGGGCCTACACGCTCGCGGCGCGCCTCGCGCGCCGCGGCGACGGCTTCAGCGACCGCTGCCCGCCGGCCGCCGCCGTGGTTCCCGTGTGCGGTGGCGGGAGCGTGGTCTTCGCGCCGCTCCTCGCGAAGACGCCCTGCTGGTTCTGGCATTCGGAATCGGACAGCGCCGTACCATGTAGCGACACCGAGGCCCTGGTGGCCGCGCTGGAGAAGCTCGACGCGCCGGTGCGCTTCACGAAGCTGACGGACGAGGAGACGCCCGAGAGCCCGCCATACGTCGCGTACATGGAGCACCACAACGCCTGGACGCCGGCGTACAAGGTCGACTCGCCGATGTGGGCCTGGTTGTTCGCCCAGAGTCGTGGGGAGGGGGCATAAGTACACTGTTTGTCACAACAAGAACATTAGGCGGTGATCTTCAGGTGGTGCGTCACGTTCATCTCCTTGAGCACCTCCGCGTACGACATCCGCGCGCCCGGCCGGTGCCAGTGGCCGCCGCACCCATCAAAACGGAACGCCAGGGGCGTATTTTCGGCGTAGGTCCCGGCCCAGTCCGCCTTCGGGTCCCGATCCCCATCCTTCATGCCGGTGAAGAACGGGCCCTCGCAGAAGGCGGCGACACTTCTGGCGCCCTCGTGGCCGTCGCGCGCGTGCCCGGCCCCGAGCAGCTCCGCCGCCGGCGCGTGGCGGAAGGGGTCGCAGATCGTCCGGCCCAGCGTGAAGGGCCCCGTGACGTGCAGCGTCCGCGGCTGCTTCTTGGGCGGCAGGCGCTTCGCTTCAAAAATGTTCGAGATCTGGCGCCGGAGCGTCGCCTTGAGCAGCGGGTGCGCCCTTCCTCCAATCACCATGAAGCGCACGTGGCCCTTCCGTGGCTCGCGCACCGCAAACATGTCCAGCGACGCGGCGCTCTGCAGATCGCAGGCCTTGGCGATGGGACCCGGTTTGAGATCTGAATCGAACCACCAGCCGCCTTCATAAATGAGCCACGCCACCCTAAACAGGTCCGCGCGCCCGGCGCCGCTGTTGAGCTTGCGGTAGGCCTCGATGCAGCCTTTAACTTCGCAGCGCGCCGCCATCCACGCCGCCTGGGCCGCGTCGTCGAAGTACGTAAACTCCATCTCTGGGTTGAGCGTCCGCCATTCCTCAATGTTCCGCTTCAGCGCCGCCGGCGTCTCGTCCAGGGGCAGCTTGTGCGACGTGATCAGGCGCTTCGGGATGTCGGCCCAGGCCGCTGCTGCCCAAAGGACTGCGTATTTCATCGCAGCGATGGCGTTTGCGGCTGCCCCCTTTGTGCCGCGGTGCTGTGGTTGATATGTTGCGCTCGAATGCAACGAATTAAGACAGAATTACAGCAATCCTACTGGTTTGCTCGACTGAATTCGAGGTCGAAGGCTAGTATGTCGAGACACTAGCACTTCCCTAGCGCTCGGGGTCCGTACTACCTGGGGGTGGGTTCAATAAGTGGCTCTCTCTCTCTCTTTTTCCCGTTTTGGGTAAGAAAGGCTGAGGCTTGGCTCTATAGGAAGGTAGTCCACTCAACCAGCCGCCGCGCAACCCTGACTCGACCACAGAGCAAACGCACGGACGAGTCCAGGACCGAAAGGAAGGTGGCATGGAGTTACAAGGGATGAAGGGGGAAAGGGCACTCGCCTCTTCCTCTTCCTCCTCCTCCTCCGCGGCCGGCTCGGCCGCGCCGGCGTCGGAGAGGACCTCCTCGTCGTCGTCCACGACGTGGTCGCCCTTGAGGCGGAAGTGGAGGATGCCCACCTGGTTCTTGCCGTCGATCACGACCTGGTTCTTGATGTTGCCCTTGACGATCGCCTCGAGCGTCTTCTTGAACGCCTTGGACTCCCTGGACTTGGGGCGCTTGAACGCCTCGCGCAGCGCGCCCGCGTGCGCCGCCGGCAGCGCCGTCGACGACGCGAACGCGTCGCGGACCGTCGAGATGTGCACCTTGGCGTCGGGCTCGGCCACGAGGCGCTTGCGGCACCACTCGGCGCAGACGGGGACCCACGCGTCCGCCGGCACGCGCGGCGCCGGCGGCGCGGCGGGCGCGGGCGCCGCGGCCGGCGGCGGCGGCGCGGCGGCCGGCGCCGGCGCCGGCGCGGCGCCGCCGGACGAGCGGCGGCGCTTCGGCGCGGGCGCCGGCGCCGCCGCCTCCTCCTCGTCCTCGTCGTCCTCGTCGTCGGTGCGGCCGTCGGCCGGCGCGCGCTTGGGCGGCCCGGCGAGCGCCGGGTCCTTCTTCACGAGGTTGCGGAACTTGTCGCGGACGTCGGCGCTCGTGCGGCCGCCCTTTCTGAGCACGGAGAACTCGCGCAGGATCTTGGCCCACTTGTCGCCGTACATCTGGTAGCCGTCCTTGACGGCCGTCTCCTCGTCGGCCGTCCAGCGCCGGCGCTTCCGCGAGCCCTTGGCGTTCTTGCCGCGCACGGGCGCGCCGGGCAGCAGGCCCGTGAGGTCCTCGGCCGCGGCCTGCGACTCCGAGACCGGCGCCGGCTCGCTGATCTCGTCGTCGTCGTCCGAGCGGCCGGGACGACCGCGGGGCTGCCGCCGCCGGCCGTCGCGCGCGCGCCCGTGTCCGGCGTCGCCGCGCGGCGGCGGCGGCGGCGGCGGCGGCGGCGGGCGACCGCGGCGCCGCGGGCGACCGCCGCTGGCGGCGGCGGCGGCGGGCGACCGGCGCGGCGGCGGCGGCGGCGGCGCGCGCCGCGGGGCGACGCCGGCGGGAAGCGCGGCTGGGGCGGCAACGCCGGCGGCGGCGGCGCGAAGCGCGGCGGCGGCGGCGGCTGCGGCGCGAACGCGGGCTCGGGCGCCGCCGCGCCCGCGGCCTCGACGAAGCCGGGCGCCGCGCCCGCCGCCGCGTCGCCCCTGATGATCTTGGCGAACTTGGGCTCGGGACAGTACTGGTTCTCGATGTCGAGCAGCATGCGCTCGACGCCGGCCAGCGCGGCGCGCGCGGCCGTCGCCGCGTCGCCGTCGCCGAGCGCCCGGCGCCGCGCGTAGGGGTCGGCCGCGCGCAGCCGCGCGGCCGCGCGGGCCAGCTCCGCGCAGTAGTCGAAGGAGTCCGGGCCGCGGTCGGCGGGCGACGCGTAGGCCCGCTGGAGCGCCTGCTCGAAGGCCTGAGGGCCCTCGCCCTCGGCGAAGAGCATGGCCGCCCTCCTCAAATCCGCGAGCGCGCGCTTCGCGTGCACGTTCCAGGGCTTGACGTGGATGTGTGTGAGGATGTTGAGCGTCATCTCGAGGCAGAGCACGCACTCGCGCGACGAGCTCACGCCTTCGTGGTGGAAGCGCGCCGCCTGCGCGATGGCCACGCGCAGGCCCAGCGGCGAATTGGAATCGACGGCCAGCTCGCGGTCCGCGACGGCGGCCTTGAGGTGCTCGATCTGGGGGTAGCTGCGCCGCCAGCACGCGAGGTCGAGCTGCGCCTCGACGTAGAGCTGCTCGCCGCGTGCGCAGAACTCGCGGTCTGGTGGGGTTGTGTCCATGATTATCTTTTTGTCTTTTGCCGGCGCGCGCGCGAGGCGGGAGTGGCTCCAACAGTTGATTTGTTTTTTAGGCTTGCCAACAAAGCGGCGGCTCTGACGCTGCGGCCACGACAGCTGCGGTATGAGGAGCGCTGGAAAAGGTGCTCAGTGTGTCCGCGGCTCTTGCGCGCGGCTTGTTTGAGGCGCGGCGCCGTTCCTTGTCCTTTAGCAAAAAAATAGGCTAAAAGACGCTAAATCTGTGCCTCCGTTTCTTCGCCCACCTCGTCGCGCACGTCCCGTGGGACGCCGTCCGGCCGAGAGGGGTGAGGGTATCCTGCTCAGAGCGAAAGTCTTCGTCACGGTGCGTACCTTGGCCCCATTTTGGATGCAAGCTCCGTGGCAAAGTCCATCCAGAGAGCTGAAAGTGGCTCTGGAGCTTCGTCTTGGTCTGCATACTTGAGTGGCAGCAAAATCGGCGCTGGAAAACACCCCTGTGGGGCAAAAAAAGGCAAAAAGAGCATTGCATTGCTGTATCTGGCGCCGCCGCGACGCGCAACGCCGGAATGATGGAGGTGGAGCCGCAACAACAAGCGCCGCGACGCGTCACGCCGGAGCTCCAGCTCCGCGACCTGCCAGCGCGAAAAGAGCCGCACGCGCTCTGGCGCGCGGCGCGGGCCGGCGACGTCGACGCCGTACGCGAGGCGGTGTCGGCGGGGCTCTCGCTGGACGCGCGCGACGGTTTAGGAAGGACGCCCTTAGTCGTGGCGGTGGTTCACGGCCGCAAAAGATGCGTCGACGTCCTCCTCGACGGCGGCGCGGACCCCGAGACGCCGTCGGGCCACCGGAGCCGGCCGCTCGCGTACGCTGCCTTTCGGGGCGACGCGGCGCTCTGCGCGCGGCTCCTGGGCGCCGGGGCGGATCCCAACAAGAAGGCCGCCGATGGGTGGACGGCCCTACACGTCGCCGCGCGCCAGGGCGCCGCCGACGTCGTCCGACTACTCTTGGCGCGGGGCGCGACGCGCGACGCGCGCACGGGCACGGGCCGCACCGCGCTTGTCGTCGCGACGGCCTTCGGGGAGCTGCAAACCGTGCGCGCGCTGCTGCGAGCCGGCGCGCGGCCCGACCTGAACTTGCTGGCGATGGACCCGGCCGAGGCCGAACAGAGTCTGTTCCCGCTCCTGCAGACGGTCCGGTCAGAATCCGAAGCGCGCGCGCGAGTGCGGCGGGGCCTCGACACGCTCCGGGCCGTGAGGGCTGCCGGTTCCTGGAGACGCCATCTGGCCGGCCCGAGACGCGACCTTGTGGTCATCCGGGCCCTCCAGACGCGCTATGCCGCGCGGGGCCGCGCCGCGGGCGGCCTACCGCTTGATGAATTGCCGGACCCGCTCTTCCGCCACGTCGCTTGCTACTTCTGGGGCGGCTGATTGCTTGTGTAATTACCATTGATCGCATGACAACAGATTATGTATACAACATCCCCGCAATCAATCGCGGGTCGGGGTACTCCAGTCGCGCCCGGTCGCGCTGCGCGGCGGAGACGACGCCGGGCATGTCGTGCGTCGCCGGCGGAATGAGTGAGACCTGGAAGTGCACGTGCGGCGCCCAACCTCCGTTCTCGTGCGATGCGCCGAACGCTCCGATGCGCTCGCCGCGCTCCACCACCTGGCCCACGCGTTTGAACGCCACCGACGCGGAGTCGAGGTGTCCGAAGAGCATCCAGCACCGCACGCCTTCTATCACGTGTTCCGTAACGATAACGTGGCCGTAGTCGCCCGCGTCGGGGTTGTAGCCGGCTTTGAATGACGCCCTGGGCCGGCGCGTGACCGGCGTGCCAGCGCCCGCCCGATATCAAGACCGATGTGCACGTCGCGGATGCCCGCGTAGCCATCGATAGTTTTCGTCGCGTTCTCGAACATCTCTGTCGTATACATGTTCCGCCGCACCTCGTCGTAGCGGCCCACGTACCAGCGCGCGCACCGGCTGTTTGCCGGTCTGCGGGCCAAGCGGCGCAAAACGCAAGGCACGCCGCGTTTCGCGGAGATGGCAGCTTCGATTCCCCTGGAGAAGTCCATGACATGAACGTATTTCGCCGCCGGCAAATCGACGAGCGCGTGGAAATCAGTTGCATTGCAGGCCGCCGCGAACGTTTCTGCGAGTTGAGCCGTCACGGCGACGGCGGCGGTGGCGTCGTCGCCGGAACAGCAGTGCACAAGCAGCAGTGCGCCGACGAGTCGTCGGCGCATGGTCAACGCCTCGCGGCCTAGCTCGCGCGCTTTGCAGGCTGAGAGGATGCACCCTGCAGCAGTCCAAAGTTTTTGCGAGGTCACGGCGCCGGCAAATTTGTCCTAGCTACAGCCAGCTGATAGTGCTGCACTGTTGCGCGAGGCCTCTGTCGCACGCGTGCGCGTACGCTCCGAGATTACGAGCAGAGAGCACCTCACAAAGCTGACAACAAAGCTGTGTGACCAAGCTCACAGAGCTAGCGCGGCCGTGCAGTGCACTGGTGGGCGCAGTGGTGCGCATTGGGTCGCACTAACGCTACGCAACGTCGTGGAACGAGAAACGCGGGTACGCCACCTCTGGGCAGGAGCCAGCTCACACTACAAGTTTGCATTTGAGGGCTAAGCGAGCTCGACGCGGGCGACGCTCGCATCACTCGCACGAATTCGCAGCCATGCGACTCTTCATCTGCTCGTTTTTGCTGCACGCCGCCACCGCGTTCATCGCGCCGCGGCCGCCGCGACCGACCCCGCTGCGGTCAAGCAACGACTTCGAGAATCCGAACCCGTTCATGAAGGACGTCATCGACGCCGTGCCGACGCTGCGGGAGGGTCGCACGATGCAGTTGGTGCTGGGCAGCGAGGAGCCGGCGCCGCCGTCCGGCGCCGAGCAACAGAAACTTAGAGAGGCGGCCGCCGACGAGCTGCGCAATATTGATGGAGCCGAGCGAGCTAGACGGCTCGCCGCGGGGCGCGTCCTCGCCGTGGTGACGCTCCTGCAGTCCGCGTTCCTGTGCGCGCCCACGCGGCGTTCGTCCCAGCGGCTCGCTGCTTCCTGGTTTATTTCTGTCGCTCGGGTTATATGATTCGGCGAAGACGGGCCTGTGAAACATCGCCCAGTCCGGCCTCTGGGACGTGGCCGGCACTGGGCTTGAGCGCACCGGATGGTGTGGCGAAGCAAATCTTAGATCGAGTGAACTCGATGAACGTCTCGACGTCGCTCAAGGCGCTCGCCGTCACGGTCCTGTTCGCGAGCGCGGCGTTCCTCGACCCGCTCGCGCGCTAGGATTGTTTCTGCGAGACGGCAGGCCACCCGCCTATGACGCCGCGGCCGTGGCGGCTTCTGGCCGCGCGACCGTCGCCGACGCGGGTGTTCGTTAGCCTCTCTAACGTGGTACCTTGTGAGTTCGGCGTGGCGATATCGATGTTACGGTGCTAGGACTACATTAATCGCGCTAGCGGCCGTAAGACACTAGCCAGCAGTCGTTTTTGCTCTGAAAAACGAACGGCTTACAGCTCTTGACGCGCCGATAGGTTGCACGTTTTGACTACCAGTACTGCTCACTCTTGCCTCCTTGCGCGGCTCAGCCTCTCGGTCACCTCTGCGGCCACGTCATCACACAGATCCACAACTGGCTCATCAGCCGTTATTCGCCATGCTGCGTACCCCCGCGAGCCTGCGGCGCCTCAGCCTCGCCGTGTCGAGCAAGGCCTTCGACCCGCAAGCCGGCCTGGCCTCCGTCGGAACGGCGGCCCTGCTGCGCAGCGCTACCGTCAGTCTCTGTGCAGAAATCAAATTTCGCGGCGCTTCTCCGCTTACGGCTGAATCATAACTTCCACGCCATCGACGCGACGCCTGCTCGATGGACACAGGTCATGAGCGCGCTCCGGCTCCCGGGCGGCACCGCCATCGCGCAGTCCACCCTCCAGGCCGCGACGACCTCGAGCGTGGCTGCCTCGCTGGTCGGCGCCGCGGCGGAGGGCCGGTTTGTGGGTGGCGCGACGCTGGAAGACGCGAAGCGGACGGCCGCGGCCCTCGCCGAGGACGGCATCGCCACGATCGTCGATCACGGGGTGGAAGAAGCCGATGATGTCCAGCTCGAACTCGCGCGGAAGCGCCAGCTCGTCGCCGCCGCTGGTGGCCTTACCGTGCCGATCAAGCCCACTGCCGTCGCCGACGGAGCGATGCTCCGCGCGCTCGCGGACTTGATACAGCAGGCGCCGGAGCCCGACGCCGCGCGCCTCGACGGCGAGCTGGTGACGCAGCTGAGTGAGGAGCATCGGAAGCACTTCGACGACGCCGTCGAGGGCCTGGTGCGCCTCGCGCGCGACGCGGAGGCCGCGGGCGGCGCGCTTTTGCTCGACGCCGAAATGACCGACCTGCAGCCGGCCGTCGACCGCCTGTTCCTGAGCGCGCTCGAGGCGTGGGCCGCCGACGCGGACCGCGCGTTCGCGACGTACGCGGCTGTGTGGAAATCAACCAGTGAGTTCTGTTACTTCGTGATCCTCCACGCCATCGAGCAGAAGCTGTTACGAGGACAACGTCGCGTCGATGGCGGTAGAATCGCCACGCCGTCGAGCAGACGCCGCTACGGAAGCACGTCGCGTCGATGGCGTGGGGCGCCCGAAATTTGATTTCCACGCAGGTACGCGGGCCGGCCGGCGCGCCCCGGGCCGCCGCTCTACAACACGTACCAGTGCTACCTCGCCGGCTCGGAGGCGCGCCTGGCCCTCGACGCCGCATTCGCCAAGGACCTCGGGGTCGCGTTCGGGCCAAACTCGTGCGCGGCGCCTACGTGGCTGAAGCTAAGGCGGCCGGCCGGCTCCGCGGGTCCAAGGCCGAGACGGACGCGGCCTACGACGCAGCCGTCTCCCAATTAATAGAGGCCGCGGCGGCGGGCGACGACGCGTCTGGCGTTCCTCTGCACGCACAACGCCGGGCGAGCTGCGAAGGCTTTGTCGAAGGCGGACGCGCTGCACCTCGAGCGGGGCGACGACCGCCTCAAGTTCGCGCAGATCCTGGGCCTCTGCGACGGCCTGACGCGGTCGCTCGCCGCTGCGGGCTGCCGCCGCACAAGCTCGTGCTCTTCGGGGCGACGCGCGACCTCGCGCCCTGGATCGGGCGGCGCCTCGCGGAGAACGCCGACGCGCTCGGGGCGCCGGCGGCCGAGGCTCCCGCCTTATGGCGAGAATTGGCGCGGCGCGTGGTCGGATGATCTCGCTCCTGTTTAAACTTAGTTCCTATCTATATCCGTCGTTCAACGTGGTTAGTCAGAGGGGAAGGGATGGGATGGGCTCTAGGGATGGGCGGCCGCCGAGTTAATCGGGGCGCGCGGGCAAGACGCCTCAGGCCTTCTCGGCGACCCGCTCGTTGACGGGGTTGTGGACGGGCGCGAAGACGGGCTTGCCCTCCTTCTCCTTCTTCGCCATGGCTCCGATGCAGCAGAGCGCGGCGATCGCAATGACGGCCGCGGCGATGAGGCCGCCGACGAGCCCGGCGTCGTCGTAGGCGCGGCGTCGCGTCGCGTCGGTTCGCAAGGGGCGATTTACGCGCGCTCTCATCAATGGCGTGGCGTCAACGTTATCTGGAGTGCCTAAGACGAAGGTAACGAAGCGAGGCGCGCGCGCGTGCGCCACTTTGCCTGCAAAGTTTCACTGCACCAAAATCAGAATTCGCTGATAGCGATGCTTTTGCAAAAAAAAGTATAGGGCGTGTCGTTTAAGGATCCCTACGCCGCCTTGCTTACGTTTTTGAGGTCTGTACGTGCCCACAAGGGGCAAACAAAGCTTGACTATCTTGATTCGGAGGGCGTCTAGTATGCTTAACGCTAGTCTGTCTTTTCGATTGGTTTAAATCACTTACATGCACACTAGAAGAGCTCAAGCGCTGCTCGGTTCCGCCACAACCCCCGCAAACACGACGCGCCCCGTCGCCGCGTGCTCGATCGCGAACACGAAGGGGCGATCAAACTTGAGCACGCGCGGCGGCCGGGGCATGGCCCGTTGCGCCACTATGACGGCCGTCGCCGCGGCCGCTTCCGTACCCTCCTCGTCGACGGAGATGACCGCGCGGTGCAGCACGGAGTCGACGTGGAGGTCCGGCCGGTCCGCGATGCCTAGGAAGCCCCCGCCCTCGCGCTTGATGAGGCCCAGGCCAAACGAGGCGTCCAGCACGTCCATCAATTCAACAACGCCCGAGTCGATCTTAAAGCGAGGCAGCACCACCACAACCTTGTCCTCGGCGAGGGGCGGAGCTCCGCCCAGCGCGCCGGCAGCGCCGCCGCCGTCGCACGCGCGCCCGCGAGTCCGTCCGACTCGGGCAGAATCAGCACCATGCGGAGGTCGTCTTTTGCATACGGAAGAGCCACGGCCTGACCGACGCCAGCGGCGTTATGAACAGCATAGCGCTGCTCCTGCCGCATGAAGTCGACCTGCTTCTCGCCACTTGGTGCCTGGAAGGCGCCCGGCCGGGAGTTACCCTTCGAACTTCTTGAGCCACGTACCCTTGAAGTACACGGCGTTTAGGAGAATAGCCGTCGTCATCGGGTCCCGGACCGTGCCGTCGTCAATAAGGTTGGTGATCAGTCCCTTCGTAGCCTTGGCCACAAACTCGTTGATGGGCGCCGCCGACGCCGGCATCGGCGCCGCGGCGGCGTTGAAGAGCCGCTTCAGTTTGTCGGCGAACGACGCCTTCACATCGGCACGCGCGTACAACGCGTTCGCCGCGTCGACGCCGGCCACCTGGACGTCGATGCCCCCGACCGCCTTCCGGAGAGCCGCCTCGTGGCGGCTCCCGGGCGTCGCGCCGGCGAGCGCCATCTTCAGGGCCGTCGCGATGGACAGGGGGCTCACAAAGACATTCTCGCGATCAGAGGACAGGGCTTTGAGGAGCTCGAGCGCGAACGCCGGCGTCGCGCCGTCGCCCTCAGCCCGCGGCGGCGCGCCGCCGACGAGGTCCTTCGGTGAGTACGACGGCGGCGGGTCGTCTCGGAGGCCCGGAAGGGTGCGATACGCGTTCTGGCGCGTGAGCTGCGGGCGGCCGTCGCGCGGCGTCGGCGTGCGTAAGGCGCGGCGGCAGAGCGCGACGACCGCGATGGCGCACGCACCGACGCCGAGCATCGTTTTCGTGGTTGGCATTCCGCACAGTGTGTGCGCGCGTTCTTTTCTTAGTGCGTCGACAGCGCAGAGAACGCAGAGGACAAGAATGCGTCCGCCGTTCGCGCTCGGATGCCTGCTGGGATAAAGCTCCGGGTGTGTTTTACGTGTGCTGGGGCTTAGAGCTCAGAGTTTTCAACTCGGTTGCTGAGAACAGGTACTGACGGCTCTACTTTCACGGCTTGGCAGCAGCGCTTGGTCTTTAGCGGGCACTATCAGGCCCACAAAAAGCTTGTCTGAGGGCTGCCAACACAGGTTCCTACGCGTGGCGCACGGAGACATCCATGCCATCCCAGGATACTGGTAGGCAAAGCTCCCGACGGGTATCGAGGAGTAGCGGCGGCACGAGCGTGTTCGTCGACAAAAAACGCGCCGCGCGGCCACGAAAAAAAAACAACAAAAGACTAAACCCGCTCCTTACGCAGCTTCTTCCGCAGCCCCCGCCTCCGCGAAAACGCGTGCTCGACCGTGTCGCCGCGCTCGAGCGCCGCCACGAGGTCCGTATTGGAAGAATCGACGAACGAGACGGCACTAGCAGCGGCGCCGGCGCGCGCCGCCCTCCCAACACGGTGCAGGTGGCTGACGGCGTCCGTCGCGAAGTCGTACTGCACCACCCTTTTGACTTCCGGCAGGTCCAGCCCGCGCGCGGCCAGGTCCGTGCATACGAGGACATTAATCTTGGCCGAGGCAAACAAATCCAAAGTGGCCAGGCGCCGCTCCGGGTCGACGTCCTTCGTGTAGGGCGCCGCCGCAATACCACCCAAAGCGAGCCGCTCTGAAACTGCAGAAGCGCGGTTCGCCGTCTTGCAGAAGACCATCGTCCGTTCCGTGCTCTCGAGCAAGTCATTCAATTTCGCGTCGCGCTCGTCATCACTTTGTACACTTTCAAACACATGTTCTAGGGTCGAGACGACGCCGTGCATCGGCAAATCCGCGCATCGCGTCGCGTTCGCGAAGTACTTTGTCACCAGGCCGTCGACGCTTCGCAGCCCCTGGTTGGGCAGCGTCGCGGCGACGACGACGCGGCGGCACCGCTCCGGCACGTCCTCCACGAGATCGTCATTGCCTTCCCTCCTCCGCTCGACGCGTTTCAGTGCCACTAAACACCGGTCCAGCTGCTTCTTGAAGCCACCGTCCAAGAGCATGTCCGCCTCGTCCAGCACCAAGGTCGACAGGCCCTCCCACAGGTCCAGATCTCGATCAAAGGCCGCGGCGAAGGACGGCGTCGCGACCAGAACGTCGGGCGCCTTGCCCGGCGCGTAGGGCCAGCGCGCCAGCGCGCCGCCGTGGCGCGCCTCGAGCGAGAAGAGCTTGCTTTCGTCGGTGAACGGCGGCTGCGTGTCCGCGCCGAGTCGCGCCGCCACCCGCCGCAACTGCGTCCCGAGCTCGCGGTTCGGCACGAGCACCAGCGCCGCGGGGTAGGGCGTGTGCTTCCGTCGATTCGCGACGGCGCGCTGCGCCGCCGGTAATAGATAGGCCAGGGTCTTGCCGCTCCCGGTCTCGGCACCCACGACGGCGTCGTCTTCCTGCTTTAAAAGAGCGGGCAGCGCCGCGCGCTGGACGGCGTTCGGCTCGGGCCACTGTTTTGAAACGAGATCGCTCATATCGCTGTTGAGGCCCAGGGCTTCCCACGCCGCAGCGCTCATCAGGCGCGTCGTCGGCGCGCGCACCGCGGCGCGTGCAGCAAAGCCTCGCGCGCGCGCGATTGTCAGGAGCATCATCGCCTTATGCAGTAGGGACATTTGTTGCAGGTGTGAGCAAGCGTGAGTGATGCAGCTACGACGCAGACCAATGCTAATGATTTAATGTCGCATCGATGGCGTCTGCAGCGTCTTATATCGCTGCGCGCGCGAGTTGAGGCCGGAATTAGCGTGTGTAGACATACTAGCTTATTCCCGACGTCAAAGAATTTACAAGTGCGAGGGGCTGCCGCATATATGGCGCACGATACATTCTGTACCACGGCATGATGGTAGAGCAGCCCCACGGCATGACTAGACCATAGCAGCAAATGCTCCGCATCCTCCTCCTCGCCACCGCCGCGGTCGCCTCAACCAAGCGCGGCCACAAACACAAAAAACCAGCAGCCGCCGCGCCGCCGAAGCTGGCCTACATGGCGATCCCGGGAGCAAAAGACGAGACGAGCGCGCCGCGCGCGTGCTGGGCCGCGCCCAAGAGTTGGAGAGAGGGCCTGGTGGATGCCTACGGATCCTCAGTTGTTGTGTGCTCGCCCGAGGCCCTGCGTTCAAATAAAATGTGCGCGTGCCGCCTGTGCCCTGTGGATGAATGCGTGTCCAGGAATGCGCTCGCTCAACTAAACCTCGACCACGCGCTGGGCGTCGGCTCCGGGAGGGACAGCGACGCCCTGCGCGAGTTCTACCGTCTCACGGCGAACGCGAGCCTCGTCACCAACGTGCCCATCAGCGAGGGTCATACGACGAAGCGCGAAGAGATGTGGGGGTCACTCGTGGACGTGGTCATGTCCTTCCTCAAAACAGTGAAGCCTCCTTTAAAAATGAAGCCCTGCGCGCGGCCGCCTTCCTCAAAATGCGCTGCGGCGCTGGCGGCGCCACCATACCAATACGCGGGCGCGCCCGCGTGCCGCGCGGCGTTCGTGGGCTCCGTGCAGCCCACGAAGGTACCTTTATCGTTCTTCCAGAAGTTCGACAAGGCCGCGGGGTTGGATTTTGTGCGGCGCTTCTCGTGGCACTTCTACGGCGCGGACCGCGGCAACTACTCGGCGCGCCTCCGAGGCGTGCTCGACGCGATGAACCTCTCATCTACATTCCACGGCCGCGTCGACGACGTCCAGGGGGCCTACTGCGCGGCCGACGTCGCCGTCGCCTTCCCGCTCCACGACCGGAACCCGCGCGTTCCCACCGAAGCTTTGAGGGCGGGGCGGCCAGTCTTCGCGTCGCTCGAGGCGAACCTGGCAGGAGCGGTCGCTTGCCAGCCATTTGTGGGTGCGGTCTCGTGGCGGGATTCGCGCCGAAACCTGATCGCCGCCTTTCAATCGTGGGCGCTCAACGCGACGGCGGCGGCGCCGGCGGTCTTCGACGCCTTCGCGGCGAACTGCCTCGACCGCACGGCGCTCTTCGACCGCGTCTGGCGCGTGCTGGAGCGCGTCAAGGGCGAGGGCAGGCGCGCGCGCGCGCCGTCGCGTGCGAGGCGCCGGGCGCGTGTCTCAGGCCGACGTGCGGCGACGGGCCGACCGTCGAGGTCGCGGCGCGGGCGTGCCTCGGGGTCTCTCGTGATGATTTAAGTTAGTGGAATGTGTTAGTCAGAAGTAGCTCGCGCTCTCCTCCTTGGGTTCCGGCGCCGGCGAAACGAGGCCAGTGGCTTCGAGCACGGCTCGTGTCCGGGACTTTGGCTCGGGCTCAGGCTCGGGCGCGGCCAGGCCCACGGCTTCAAGAACGCATTGCGTTGTCGATTTTTGTTTGGGCGGCGGGACGTTCTGTGGTGCGGTCGACGTCGCAAACCAAGGCTTTGCCGCGGGCTCCTTGGCGTCTGCGTCGCTGGCGAAGAGGCTCCGGCGGGGCGTCGCGGCCGGCGTGCCGCCGCCGCCGAAGACGTAGTCGGAGAGCGCGCCGGGCGACCGTGCGCCCGGCGTCGCCGGCTCGTCGGCGCTCTCGCCTCGGAAGAGGAGACTAAAGGAGTACTCGGAGCCGCGCGGCGACGTCGCCTCCTCGCTGTCCGATTGCTCCTCGCTTTGGCAAGCGTCGAAAAAGGGGCAGAGCAGGTCGCTCATCGCCTCGGCAGCAAGGGTTTGGCCGGGAGCAGAGGTTTTGGCAGCCTGGTCCAGCGGGAGGGCGGGGGCAGCCTTGAAATCTGAGCTGCCACAGAGCATCACATTGGCGGAGAGCCCGTACGGGTGCACGGATTCAAAACTCGAGGTGGCCTACATGAAAGATGGGCGCTTTTGCGTATTCGCGCGACGCATCCTGACGCTGCTAGTGTCTTACAGCCTCTAGCTAGCTATTGCTTGCGAAATCGTGCCGCGCTCGGGCCGCGTGCTCACGCAATTGTGGGCCATAGACGTGCTCAGGCTGTTTAACGCATCGCTGCGACTGTCCACGCGAGCTCACGCAAGTTTCGAGCATCGCTGCCGGCTCAAATTTGCTCTCTGTATAGAGCTCACTGCCGTGCAAGAGATGTCGCGCCTCGCGGACTACAGCAAATTTGATAATCTGGACGACAGCGACGACGACGCGCCGGCACCCGCACCGCCACAACAGAAGCTCGACCCCCAAGGCATCCCCGAGGCGCGCGTACACACGGCGACGATGACGAATGAAGTCAAGGGCGGCAACGTCGCGCGCACGCGCGAGGCCGCCGGGCCCGACGGCCACGTCATGGACGCCAAGGGCGGCGTCCGGTCGGTGGGCTCGCTGACGCCCAAGGGCAGCGAGGTCGGCCGCTACCAGTTCAAGCACGAAGGTCGATTGATTTATGAATGGGACCAGAGCTTGGAGATGTCAACATCTATGTGAAGCCGCCTCCTGGAGTAACGCCGGACATGATCGACTGCAAGCTGACGCCGTCGCATTTACGACTTGGGTTAAGGGGCAACCCGCCGTTCCTGGACGAGCCGACGGGCGGGCCCATCGTCGCCAAAGAGTCGCACTTCTACATGGTCGACGGCGAGATCACGGTGGCCATGTCGAAAATGAGAAAAGGAGAAACGTGGGGCACGGCCTTAGGTGGAAGGGGCCAGGTCGACCCCTTCACGCGCCAGGAGATCCAGCGCGAGCTCATGATCGAAAGGTTTCAGGAGGAGCATCCCGGCTTCGACTTTAGGTCTGCCGAATTCAACGGGCAAGTCCCGACCCGCGCGCGTTCATGGGGGGGGTCAAGTACACCTAGTTAGTAGTCCACACACTTATCACCGTAGTATAACGCCCGTCGCTGCTAGCGGGAGAGGCGCCGCGCGACGACCACCACCGCGGCGGCGCGGAAGAAGAGGATGAATCCGGCCAGGATGCCGATGTTCACCCAGTAGTTCTTCTTCCAGCTGCCCGTGTAGTCGGGCAGCTTCAACCTCGTTTTGAGGACCTGCTCGCCCGTGTCCAAACCCGCGCCCGGCGGCGCGTTGTAGGTTCGATCCTGCAACCCGGCGATCGCGAGCGCCTGCCAGACGTAGTTCAGGTAGTCGATATAAGTCGCCCATCTAAATACCCACGTCATGTCGCGCTGGTTCACGAAAAATCCCGACAGCAGCATCATGGGCATGATCGAACCGGGAGCACTCAGCACCGCCAATTGCATCGTCGGCGCGACGCTGGACAGGAGGAATGACCACGAATTCGTGCATACCACCGTCGCGAGGCACGCGAGGTAGACCCGTATAAACCGCGCACCGTTGTTGCCGCGCGTGAGGCCCGTCCACGTTGCCCACGATGGCCAGGTAGAGCAAAGGCGGTATGACGAGTAGGGGCGTCTCGACAATGAACTTCGCGGGAGTGTAACTGGTGGGCCGGTACCAGCAGTTCCGCACCTCCTTCTGGGTCACGTGGATCTCCGGCAGCACGCTCAGCACGACGGGCAGCGCGCTCGTCAGGGCGAGGAAGACCATCGTAAATAAAAGCAGACTGATCGTGCTGTTGATGCCTTCGAAATTTGAGTCCAATTCGCCATACAGAATCGACAACACGATCGAGACGCCCACCGCGAGCCGATGCGCATGCGCGCTAAGATCGGTTCCCTGACCATCGCGCGCGCGTTCCGCACGCAGTGGGCCCGGATCTGGCCCGGCAGCGAGAGCGCGTAGCGCGGGCCCGACGTTGAAATAGGCGGCGGCGGTGGCGGCAGCGGCGGTGCCGGGAGCCGCCGTGTGAGCGCGTCGGGATCCTCCGTAAGAGCGTCGAACATCGCGTCCGCCGGGTTTGCGAGCTCGTGGACCGGCCGCCCGATGTCCGCGAGCATCTTCGCGGGCTGGGCGCCCGGGGCGACGGGTCCTTCGTAGACCAGCGACCCGCCCGCCCGTAGCAGCAGCAAGCGATCGAACGCGAAGAACGCCGCCGCCGAGGGCTGGTGGATCACCGCGACGCAACACACGCCGCGCCTCGCGAGCGCTTGCAGCGACCGCACGAGCGACATCGTCGCGACGGCGTCCAGGCCACTGGTGGGCTCGTCCAGAAACAACGAGGGGTCGCCGCAGAGCTCCAGCGCGACGGACAGGCGCCGCCGCTGGCCCCCTGATGCTCCTCGTTTTCCCTCGCCCGGCCGGCCTACGGGTGTGGAAAGGCAGTCCACGAGCCCGAAGCGCTCCGCGAGCTCGTTCACCTTTTGGTCGCATTCCAGCGAATCCGCAGCGTGGCCCGTCTTGAACAGGACCGCCTCCCGCAGCGACTCTTCCACGGTCAGGCAGGGCGTGAGCAGGTCGTCCTGCGGCACGAAGGACGCGACGCGCCGCATCGTCCCGGCGTCGAACGGCGCGCCGTTCACTTCGACACGACCGCTCGTCGGCGCCGCGGCGCCGGAGACGCAGAGGAGCAGCGTGGTCTTGCCGCTGCCGCTCGGACCCATGACGGCGACGCTCGGCGGGGCCGAAGTGGCCCGAAACATCATCTAAGATGCGCTTTGTTTGGTCTTTGCCGGTTTTCACGTCTAGAGTGATGCCCGTGAATTTCACTTGCACGGGTGTGGCCGCCGAGGCGGCTTCGACGTCGTCCATGGCTTTCCTGGCCTACCAGGTGACTGCTCTGATCGCGGTAACGGCGCGTCGAGGCAAGCGCATAAATCGCAAATCGGCTGCGGCTGCGTATTGCTGCGTAACCTAGGCCCAATGGCTGTAACCAATTGCGTCTAGCAGCGTACGGAGCCTGCCAAATCTGCGGCTTGCTAGTGTCTTACGGGCGCTAGGCGTTGCCGAGCGCCCGGGGTCCGTACTACCTGGGGGTGGGCACAATAAGTGACTCTCTCTCTCTTGCCGGACTCCGTCCTGGGAACAGCTTTTGGCGAAACGGAGGAGAGGAGGCAATTCAACAGTATTAATTACGCCACCACAGGTCCCGCCTTCAGCAGCGTCGCGACGCAGTCGTTGTACGCGGGTCTCGTCGTATACGTCTCCAAGAGCAAAGACGCCTCCTTGCCCTGCGCGAAGAGCTGCCACGGCTCCGGGTAGACGCGAAACAACCATCCTGCCCGCCCCTTGTCGGCGACGTTTTTCAGCACCACGAGCGCCTCGGCGTCGACGACGAAGCGGTCGACGCACTCCGCGAGCTTCGGAAATAAAGGGCGCGGGTAGAAGCCGCCCCGCAGTTTGTCGAACGCGCCGTTGACCGACACCAGCAACCCGTCGCTCGGTTGGCAGCGCTCCAGATTCAACCAGTCCTCGAGCGGGCCTCCGTCGCCGGGCTGGACCGCGACGACGACCTGGGGCGCCGGCGCCGTCGTGGTCTCCGGTTTTGCGCCGAGGTTCGACGTCCCGAGGAGCCCCTCCGCCGCGCGCGCGAACGCCGCGCCCCACGCCTGGTCCGACGACCCGCTCAGGACCTCGGCGGCGTCTTCGAGCGTCGTGAGCGTCGCCTTGGCGTACGCGGCGCCGGGCCACTCCTCCCGCGCGAGCTCCAGCTCCTTGCGGTCGGGGAACGCGAGCCACAGCTCGCCGTCGAGCTCGCCCGCGAGCGGCTGCATCGACGCCATGCACCAGTCCCGATTCCAGTTGAGGATTTGCACCTGTGTGGAAATCAAAATTTTACGGCGCGTTCGTGCTGAATCATCGCGTCGTCCTCCACGCCATCGATGGCACCCGACGCACTTGTTGATTTCCACACAGATGTGCACGTTGTCGACGTCGTCAAATGCCGTCTTCTCGCCAAGTAACGCAGGAAACTCAATCTCTCCCAGCTTCACGTTGGCTTCGCGGGCCGCAGCGATGGCCCGTAATGCGACCGGCGCCAGCGCTTCGGCGGGTCGATTTCTCGTGCCGGCCGCGACCTCGTAGGCATTTATGCCCGGCGGCAGCGGCGTCAGGGCTGCTGCGGCAGCGATGACCAACAGCGTCGCGTGGTGGCTGCGCATGGTAGCGCTCGACAGCGATGCGTAGAGTGCAGTAATGGTGCAGGAGAGCGCTTGCAGCAGCAGAGTGCGCACTCTTAACGCTCCGTTTGTGCAGTATGTTCGCGTTTGGTGGCGGCTCGGCGGCGCGAGGCTAGCGTCCTGTAAGACACTAGCCAGCTATACAAAGCGGCTGACCAACGGCAGATTGATTTCAGGGCTCCTGCGCTACCACGCAGCTCCACGCAGACCTGCTGGCCGCGGCGCAGCGGTGGCCAACATCTCCACGCAGTCCTGCTGGTCAGGAGCAGTGGCATCAGGAGCAGCGGCATGGGCAGCAATGAGACCCGCAAGGCATTCCTGCGCGCCGCCTTCCGGCGCCGCGCCGCATTCGTCGCGACAGCCGCCTTGCTCGCCTTCTTCTTCCTGCTCGACTTTAAACCAGCAGAAACGCAAACAAAAATCGCCACCGCGACCTACGGCGCGTGCCCGGACAAGATCGAAGTGACGCGCCGCGGCGCGACCATCGCGGGCGCGCGGCCAATACTGAAAGGCAAGGTCTGCGCACAAGCCGTCGACGCGGGCTTTTGCATCGACGAGCCGAAGAAGCCGCTGCGCTGTCTGCCCTCGTTTATTGTGGCCGGGGCCCAGAAAGCCGCGACCGGCTGGCTGCGGCAGCGCCTCGCCGCGCACCCTTCATTGGCGCAGGGCGGTGGGAAAGAAGTTCATTACTTCGACAAGCTCCAGAATCTACATGAGTGGCGCTCGACGTACCTCGATAATTTTGCGACGCCTTCTGCTTTGATCACGTACGAGAAGACGCCGGACTACCTGCCGAACGCCACGGCCCTCAAAAGTATATACAGTTTGATCCCGTCCGTGTCATTAATCTTCATGCTGCGCGACCCGTCATCTAGGGCCTATTCGGCGTACCAGCACCACTGTAGGAAGGGAAGATTTTACGAAGGTCCCAAGTTCGCCCTCGAGGAGGACGTGACGGGGCGGCCCCTCGCGGCGCCCTGCGCGCCCGAGGACTTCGAGGCCTTCCTACGAGTTGATAAAGGCGTTGTGACGAACACCCAGACGCGCCTCGTGACGTGGGGCCTCTACGCGGATCAAATCAAGCAGGTGCGCGCGCTGGGCTTCGACGATGCCCGTCTTTTAGTTATCATGTCCGAGACAGCGATGAAGGATCCATCAAAACTGCTCGACGCCGTGGTCCAGTGGCTCGGGCTCGAGCGCTTCGACTTTAGTTCCCTGAGAACGTTCACGGACGCTTTAGGAAGGGACCAGCTGCGCGAGCCCGGAATCACGGGCTGGGCCAAGGCGACGTACATGCGACATAACGCGATGATGGTGCGGCGCCACTCGCCGCGGCCTCTACTAACGTCGACGCGCGCGGCGTTGGATGCGTTCTACGCGGCGCCCAATGCTGAGCTGGAAACGCTGTTGCGGACCGCCGCGGACCGCGTGGCCGTGTACCCGGCGCGCGGGGCTGGCGCGGTCTTGCCGGCGTCTTGGAGTAGGAATTCTTAGTGTGACTATTTTTGTCTTCTCTCTTCTTGTCAGGCCCAGGCTATTACGTCGCGGCGTCCCCCTATCTCCCGCTTGGATGCGGGTTTTTCCATTGATTACGCAGACTTACGCAGTGCAATCGAGGTTTTACAAGGCTTCTCGGGCGTCTCGGACCGTCGGACGTTGGCGCGAGCATCATGAGGCTCTTAGCGCATCTGCTAGGCGTCTTTGCCGCCTGCTCGGCGAACCCATTGCTCTCCCTCTTCTCCAAGGCCAAATCATTGGCCTCGGCAAGGAACATCGGCATTACCGCCCTACTGCCGGCTCTCAATACTGTCCGGGAAGCGGCCAGTGCGGCCGAAGACGACCGCCAGGGACTCAAGGACTCGTTGCGCGAGAAAGCGAGCGAGACGGCTAAGTACTGCGTATGGCTCCACCTCGACAGAGATGAGAAGGCCGCGAAAGAGATCGATTGTGATGAGTTCACCAAGATGGTCAAGACAGGCCTGCCGCGCATGAAGAAGAAATTGCGCCGCCGCGGATTTCTTTCGCGGCTGTTCACGTCGACGCCGTCAAACGAACTCGTCGAGATGTTCCTGGAAGAGGAGATCGCGAAGACCCTCAAAGAGAAGAAGGTGAGTCTGAAGGATGGGGACAATGGAGGCTATCTTCCTCATCTGGGCGCGAGGAAGCCAAGCGAAGCTGCCTGCCGCACGAATAAGTCCGAGAAGGCACCGAAGGAGGAGAAAGCGTGCCCCAAGGGGGCGCTGTGCTTTCCGTGGCCCAAACTCGCTTGGATCAAGCCGCCGCCGATGTGCACGATTCCTAAAGACAGCACGGTGGCGACGCAAACCAAGTTCGGCAAGCGGCTCCTCGTCGCGGTCACGCCGGCTCTCCTCGGCGTCGCTGCTGCCCTTCAAGTGAGACTGCTCGCGCCGCGCCCACTCCTGCCTAAGCGCACCAGTTAGAAACACCGGAGATCGTTAGTCCTGGGAACCTCAGACGCTCGATCGCGTCCCCTCACTCATCCTGACCGCGAAGGCCAGGAGCAAGACGGCGCCGAGGCCGCCGAGGATCATCATCGAGCCGCTTTGCTGGTCTTTTGACTCGATCAAGATGCCGATCTGCGCGACGACGTCCCGGCCGTTCTTCGCTCGGTAGAGCTGCTCGCCGACGGCGGCGTCCGAGTCGATCACGGGCGAACTGGCGCGCGACGCGATCGAGCGCCACGAGCCGCCCTGCTTCTTTTCGATACTGATGTTGCCGCCTTTGTTGCTCCAGCTCAGCTGGACGTGGCCGTGCTCCTCCGCGGTAGCAGGCGTCTCGACGACCTTCGCGTTCATGCGCAGGCCGCCGCCGCCCAGCTCGGCGGACGCGCCTTCGATCGACATCCCGATCAGGCCGTCGGCCGCAGCTTTTGCGTATTTCTGCTTGGTACGCTGTTCTCGCTCCGATCTACTGCGCGCCGTCGCCGCGTCGTCGACCTGTTGCTCGAGCCACGGCGCGTAGAGGCGGCCGTCCTTGTTGACGAACTTGGACGCTGCGCCTTTTAATTTATTCGTATCGTAGCTGTCGGTCCACTTGTTGTAGGCCGCCAGGGGCGCGAGGCGACTCGGTCTCGCCGGCTGACCAGCCCTTGGGCCACAGCAGCTAGGGATGCGAGCAGGATACGCGTAGACATGGTGAGGGTGATCTGGTCTGCAGGGCTATGTTGTCAGCTTTGCACGCTTTGTGCACAGTCTCCGATGCCCGTGAGGGCGAGCACAGCGCGTGGTTCTGGTTCTGCCAATCTGAGCGAGATAACTAGCGGCCATAAAGACACTAGCGAAACGGAATCGCTGGATTTGGGGAGGTATCTACAAGAGAGGCGACCCAGGACTACGAGCCACAATATGCGATAAACTTACGTCGGGTTCGCCGCGAGCAGAATAAAAGTAAAGGCAGGATCACGAGGTTCGCGAGGACCAGCAGGCCCATTAAAAAAGCGAGCCAGTGCCACGGGCGCTTCAACGCGCGCATGAACGGGTACGGGTACCGTCCTACTAACTTGTAGTTCATCAGCGTCAACAGGCAGTAGGAAGCACAATAGCACGACGCAAACAACGCCACATTCATCACGTTTCTCATAGAAAGCGGGAAGACGCCCGGCCGCTTCGCGAGGAAGCAGTCGAGGATCGCCACCGGCAACGGCGGCAGGTGGCTCACCAATGTAATCTCCGTGAAGCGCACGCCGCGCGCGTTCGTGGCCTCCAAGACCTCGCGGCGCCACGTTTCTTCAAACCAGTTCAGCTTCAGGTACAAGAGCGTCAGGGAGACCGCCACAACAGCAGCAAACGGCGCGAAGAAGTGCGTCAGCGCGAGCAGTTTACCCGAAGCCACGCGAAACTCCGCCAGGCAGCTCACGATGAGGTGCGACGTCTGTATGGTCAAAGCTTGCTTCGTGAAGAAGGCGTACGGACCCAATGTCGACGCGCAGGCGTGCGAGTCCGACCCTTTTTCCGGTGGGGGATTGCGCCATGTGTCCGTAAATAAAGATGAGCCACCACAAAGTAGTAAGAAAGCCGAGGCGACGCATCGATACGACGAGAAAGGCACGTCCACGGAAGGTTGGGCGAAGGACCGCGACGCTAGTAGTAGTGAAACCACGACGCAGAACACGCCGCGCTGGACCCAGCGCACGCTCCTCGCTTTGACGGCCGGGTCGTATCCGAGGGACGTCCACCACGCGTCACGATCCAAAATCTTGTCTATTTTTGCTTTCTGTTTCTTTATTTTTTCCTTAACTTGTTTTTTCGTGCGCTTTACCTTGTCCTTGACCTGCTTCTTTTTTCTCCTTACGGTCTCCTTGACGCGGTTCTTCGTCCTCCGTATGGAGTTGGTGAGGCTCTCCATTGACGAGGACCGCGACATCGTGCCGCTCGGGCTCGCCGGCGGGCTCAGCTCGACGGCGAGGTCTGCGGCCTGCTCGGCGGCGCGCTGGCGGCGAGTAGCAACCATGCTTGTGTGCGGTGCTGGTGCGCAGCGATGGCGTGCTGAGGTGCCGTGCAGCTGCCTCCTGAAGAGTATGAGTGTTTGGCGCCTTCAATCAGTGCAAACGTGGAGCGCTGGCCAACAGCGTGGGTCGTGACAGGCGGCAGCAGTTTCGGGTGCTTGCTCTCCTAGTGTCTTTATGTACTAGCGCTGCGCGATGCGGCGTCCCCTCGTGCATAGCACGGGTTTGCGCATCAGTTCCATCTCCTGTCCGTCTCGCAGGACCAATCCGGGAGCTTAAGACGCCGAGGAGCCGGCCCGGCGTCGCGCCGCGAGCGGCCGCCTCCCAGGAAAAACACTGGAGAAAAACACAACAGAACAAAGTTAAGCCTCCAACGTCAACGCGGCATCATCACCAGCAAAATTCACGAATGACTGGAGCGACGCGCGGCTATCGCCAGACGTCCAGCCCTGGACCGCGTGCGGCCGCTGCACCGACAACATCACCAAATCGCCCGGCGCCACCTCCAGCACGATTGGCGGCGGCAGGCGCGCCCGCAGCTCCCGCTGCGCGTCTTCATCGATGGAGACGAGTTTGGAAAGAGTGTGCGCGTTCGTATAAAACTCCCACCTATTTTCAAACTGCAGCGGCCACAGCTCCAGATGCCCGCCCTCCGATGGCAATTTCAGGTATAAATTCGCCGAGAAGTGGCCTTTCGAAGGAGACATCGGCGCCAACTCGTCGACGTGCACGCCCGCGACCGTTGGGGCCCGCCATGACCCTTCCTAACCCGACGTGGTGCGCGCGGCCCGCGTCATCCTTCTTCGCCGAGCAGCCGCCCGGCCAGGCATCGTCTAAATCGCAGCGCAGCCGATCCAACGCGTCGCCGCCCGGCAGACTCCTCACCCATTTCTTCGCGTTTGGGACGTCCTCCACAAAATACCGCTCCGTGTCGCCGGACGCGACGCACATATTGTAGGGCGTGCCGCCCACAGCTTTTACGTCCGAGGACTCCATGCCGCGCGCCGAGGTGACCGACCAGTTCCGGGCCGTCTCGCCCGCTTGTTGGATCGCGTCGGCAAGCGGCTCCGGTCTTTGTACAAAGTTTGGAATTACTAATGCCAGCGTCTCCAGCGCGAAGAGGCGTCTCAATGATTGCGTCGACAGCGCGGCGCTGCGCTCTACTCGTAAGTCTGGCCGCAGCAGCCGGTCCAGATTGCCCCAGCGGCGCTCGACGTCTTTGAACATCTCGGCTATGGCCCGTTGGCGCACGGCGCGCGACGCCATCGACGACATTCTTGCGCTCTGCGTATTTGTGCGTAGCTTTATTGGCACCACTAATATGGAGCTGTCTCGTGTGGCTGCTCACCACTCACCGCACGCGTGCCCGGCGTGCTGTTTCGCTTCAGGCCTTTATCGGTCACCTCGCGGCGATGTGCTACGCAAGTTAAGAGCTATCACAAGCTGTGCTGTACCGCCCCACGCCCAGCCAGGGCTACTGGCTAGCGTACAAGAGTACTAGCTTTTGGTTGTTTGGAATCAGATCAATAGGGCTGCACACACGATGGTAAACGCACGATAGAGCGTACACACGTGAAGCACAACAAGCCCTCGACAACGCCTCGCGGCTCCGTGACTCGGCGGGCAGCCTTTTGTGTTGGGGCAACAGCCAACAACAAGACGCCCGCAGCGCGGGGGCTATATATCTCTGGGCGGCGAAACGCACCGGCATAGATCAGCAGAGGAACAACCATGCACTTCTCCTGCGAGCCGTCGCCGGGCCCCCAGGTCCCGCCTAGAAGCCCGCGCCGCCGGACGAAACCGAAGCCATGGAGACAACCGGTGCAGCCCAGCCCGCGCCCCTGGGGCGTGCCGCCGGCAAAGAGACGCGAAAAGTCGCAAAAGCCCAAACCCTTCCTCGCGAAATGGCTCGAGCTCGAGCACCGGCCCGCGCCGGCGCCGCCCAAGCCCAAGCCCAAGCCCAGGCCCAAGCCCAAATTGCTCTTACCGGCGAGCGCGGACAAGGCCGTCCAGCAATCCGTGGAGTGCGTCGACGCCTTTACATTGGTGCACCGCCACGACGACGACGACGCTTCCAAAATCGCGAAACTGCGCGTCGCGAATGCGCAGCTCAAGGGCGACGAGGAGCGGGCTCAATCGGAACTAACGGAAGCGCGGGAGAAGCTCGCGACGGCGCGCCTCGCGGCCGAGGCGGCGCGGCGCGACGGCGAATCGTTGCGCGAGGACTACGAGAAGCTGAGAGTGAAGGCGGAGCGGCTGCCGCGCGACAACGCCTATCTGCTGGCCGAGAACGCGAAGCTCAAGAAGCAGGCGGCCGCGGCGGAGCCCGCCGTCGCGGCGGCAGCGGCGGCCGAGGCGGAGCTGCGCGCCGCGGCGGAGCGCGCGTCCGCCGAGCGCGTCGCGACGAGCAAACGGATCCGCGACCTCGACGAGCAGCACCGGCAGTCCTCAAACCGGGTCCGGGAGCTCGAGGCGACCGCCGCGGCGATGGCCGAGAACCACCGGCGGGCGCGGCAGGACTCGGAGAACGCCGCGATGAACGCGAACGCGGCGCTTGCGGCCGACTCCCAGCAAAAAATCCGGGAGCTCACCGAGTCCCATAAACGCGAGCTCGCGAAGGCCGAGGCAGCGGCCCAGCACGCCGAGGCGGCGGTGAAGGTCGCGGCCGAGACGCACGAACGCCGAGCGCTCGCGCGCGCTGCGACGCATGAAAAAGCATAGGCGCGGCCAAAGCGACGGCCGAGGCCGCAGCCCAGCAACGGCCGCCGCCGCCCAGAAGCGCGCCGCGGACGCCGAGGCCGCGGCCAAGGCCGAGGCCGCCGCGACGGGCGCGGCCAAGACGCAGATCGCCGCCGCGCAGGAGAAACTCGCGAAGGTCCGCGCCGACCTCGACGCGCAGGCGACGCGGCACTCCAAGCTCGCGGACGACCACGATTCTTTAAAGAGGTCCCACGCCGACGCGCAGACGCAGCTCGAGCAGCTCGCGGCCGCGAACGCCGACCTCCGCAAGAAGGCCGAGCAGCGCGCCGGCCAGGCGTCGGATCTATCCACAAAAAACGTCACGCTCTCCCAAGAACGGGCCGAGCTCCGCAGCGCCGTCGACGAGGGCCGGCGCCGCGTCGACGCGCTCGAGGCCAAGGCGAAGAAATTGATGGACGAGCGCGCGGCGCTCCAGCAGGCGAACGCCAAGCTCACGAAGGCCGGCGAGGACATGAAGCGGAGCGTGTCGGCGTTGGAGGCTTCGCACGCCAAGGAGAAGACGCAGCTCGAGGCCGCCAACAGTAAGCACACGGAGCTCCAGCGCAAGCTCGAGGCTTCCAATAAATTGGCGCGCGACCTCGCCGCGAAGCACAAGGAGCAGGCGTCTTCATCAACTGAGCTGACCACGAAGAACGTCCAACTGTCGGCGGAAGTCAAGGAGCTCCGGTCGCGCCAGAACGAGGCGACAACACGACTCAAGAACCTCGAGGCCAAGGCGGGTAAGGTGCCCGCTCTGACTGCCGACAACGAGACTTTACAAGCGCGCCTCGCGAAGGCGGCCGCCGAGCTCGACGCTTTGACCAAGCAGAACGGCGCGCTGCGCGCCGAGCGCGACGCTGCCGCGAAGGCCGGTGCCGATGTCGAGGCGCTAACCAAGCAGCAACGCAAAAGCCGCGAGACGATCGAGGCGCTGGAGGCGAAATTCTCGCGAACAACGGAGAAGCTGGCGGCCGAGCGCGACGCGGCGACCCAGCGGGCCGACGGCCTCGCGGCCGCGCACGAAGAGGCGCGTGGCGCGCTCGAGGCGCGGCTCGCCAAGTCGGGCGCCGAAATAGATGCTCTAAACAAGCAGAGCGGGAAGCTGCGGTCCGAGCGCGACGCGGCGACCGCGGAGGCCGAGAAGGCGCGGCGCCGGGCGGCGCGCTCGAGGCGCGCATTAAGAAGGCCGCCGCCGAAATAGACGGGCTGACCAAACAGTCTCAGAAACTGCGCGCCGAGCGCGACGCGGCTCTTAGTGAACACAAGCAGGCGCGCGCGCCCGGGGTCCCTCGAGGCGCGCGTGAAGAAGGCGGCCACCGAGATCGACGCGCTGCATAAGCAGAGCAAATCCCTCGCGACGAAGCGTGACGAGGCGCAGAAGCAGGTCCGGGCCCTCGAGGCCTGCGCGGACAAGGTGCCCGACCTCGCGAGGAGCGTCGCGTCGCTCCAGGCCGAGAACGCCCAGTTGCGCGAGGCCGGCGACGCAGCTAAACGGCGCGCCGACGAGCTGGAGGGGGACAACGCCAAGCTGCGCGCGGCCATCGACGACGCGCTGCGGCCGCCGCCGCCGCCGCCGCGCGGCGCCGAGAGCCCGACGCGGACGCTCGCCGAGGTCGATTTGGGGAGGACGGGCCGCGGGCGGTCGTCGACGTCGTCCGTGGCCAGCTCGGAGTCGGGCTTCGCGGGGCTGCAGTCGCTGCAGCGGGAGCTCGAGGAGCGGCGAAACGCCGCCGTGCCCGAGAAGAGGTCCATGTCGTCGCGGGCCAAGGCGACCGTGGACAAGCACGTCGGCTGGGTCAAGGGGACGATCCTCGCCAAGAAGGCGGCCTCGACGCCCAAGCACTCGACGCCGCGAAGCGTCGCGACTCCCAAATTCTTCACCGCGCGCTCGAAGCGGAAGGACGAGACGCCGGCCGATTTGCCGCCGGCGGAGGCGGCGGCGGCCACTACCATGTCCTATCCTTTGATGGAGTCGCCGCCGCCGCCGACGTCGCCGCCGCCGCCGACGCCGCCCGCTCTCTCGCCGGAGCAGCTGACGGACCTACTGGGGAAGAAGTCGCTCACCGCCGAGGAGTCCGCGCTCGTGAAGAATGCATTAAGGGCGAACCGGCCCGCGACGCGGGACGACGTGGACTACCTCGCGGACACGACCTAAGATTTAGTGATATTATTACGACCCACGCTTCTTCCGCGACGGTTTTTTCGCGGGCGCCGGCGCCGGCGGCGCCTCCTCCGGCTTCGCGTCGAGCTTCTCCAACAAATCCTTGATCAAATCTAAACCCTGCGCGCCGGACTCGGCCGCGGCCGCGGCCGCCGCCGTGGTGGCCGCGATGCGCGCGCAGGTGTCCTCGTCCCCATAGTCGTTCTCCTCGAAGCCGCCGTAGTAGAAGCTCGGCTTGGGCGGGTCGTCGGTCTCATTGAGTACTTTCTCGGCGGCTTTCAACTCGTCGGATTTCTTGGGGAGCTTCTCGCCCGTGTAGTCCCCACTTTTTTCTGCCGCTTTCGCCGCCTCTTCCAGCGTCAATGCGACCCTCACACAATCCCACGATGCCCTTCGTTCCGACAACTCCAGTTCCTCATCAACTTGTTTCTGCGTGAACACGCCCTGTTCTTGCAGATCCTTGAAGGCCTGCTCCGCTTTAGCTAAATCAGGCATCGTCGGCACCTTTTCGGGCGGCGGTTCTCGTCCCTCAGCCTCCGCCTCGGCGATCTCGCGCTCCCGTTCTTCCCGCTCGTGCGCCTGCCTCGTCCGGTAGCACTCCCACTGCCAGTCGCCGCCGTCCGGGAACGGTGTTAATATACCTTCTCGCCTTTTCAGGATCTTCTCCTTTGCTCGATCAAACCCTCGAAAACACTCTAGTAAATCATCAACATCTTCGGCTACTTTCTTCCAGCGCCTATCGTGCTCCTCCTGCATGATCTTCTCGGCCTCCTTCCGGCCTTTGTCCGACTTCGGGGGGAGGTCGACCTCCGGCGGGTCCTTCAGGAAGTCCACAGCTCTGACTTTTTCCATGAGCTCCGGTGTTACTGTGGCACCGCCGTACTGCAACCGCATCTTCCAGTTCAGGTGCTCGTCGGGGACCGGGAAGCCCTCCTCGTACATGCTGTTCTTTTCCTTTGACCGCTTGTCGTAGAGATCCCAAGCTTCCATGCCTTCGCGCACAAATCGTTCCATCTCGCTCTCGTCCAACATTGGATTTTCTTCTCCCTTCGGACCGGCCGTCGGGACGTTGTCGTCCCATTCATCTAGTTTCGTGGGCGCGCCGGACTCGTCCTGTTGGATGTCGTGCGGCAGGCGGCCGGCCGTGCCCGCGGGGGCGTCGAGCTCCATGCCCTCGTGGTGGAAGGAGGCCATGGTTTCTTGCTATTTTTTTTCTTTTGCGACGAGCGCGCCTCACTGCTGTGCAGGGCAGCAGCACCCAAACTAACTAGTCCTGCAAACGTTGGCGCTGAAACTCACAACGCTTGATTTATGCGTGAAAATACAATCAATAAGAAATTGCCAGCGTTGTCCACCGACCAGCGGCGGCACCAGCGGCGTTTTTAGCCTTGCCTGTGCTTGTTGCTTGCTAGTGTCTCACAGGCGCTAGCCCATGGAGGCTTGCACGGACCTGGTGCTTGCGGTGGAGTCTTCAGAACGGAGTACCGAGGCTTGCTACGATTTCTGGCTCGTCGAGACCACGGACCGTCCTCTGCGTCTCGGTGCTGAGCCTCCGCGTTCGCGCCAGTCGACGTAAGGATTGACATACACGCTGCCGGCGCAGCGCCATAGTTCAGAACTAGCGCGCTGCGTGATCTTACGCTCTCGCGCTCGCCCTGCGCGCCGAATCAGGAGGGAAACCGATCTCAGCCGAGAACGCGCCGCGCAGAACGCGGCGCGCTGAAGAGATGTCCACGGGCACCTACCTCAAGCCGTTCCGGCCGCCGGCGCCGCTCAAGCCCGGCGGGGCCAGCAACGCGCCGGGCCGCAAGCCCTGGGCGCGGCGCCCGCCGCCCAAGCTCTGCACGTCGGGCTTCCTCTCCGGCTCGTGGAAGCCGCCCAAGCGCGTGACCGTCGCCAAGCCGGCGACGAGCCGCCTCGCCAAGCGCTGCCGCGAGGTCGCCGCGGCGCACCCGCCCACGGTGACGAACGAGGACGAGCTCAGCGTCGAGTCGACGGCGGCCGACTCGGCGCTATGGGAGGCCGTGGCCAAGGACGCGGCCGAGCTCGACGAGACGGACGGCTGCGAGGAGATCGACTTCAGCGACGTGCGCATGGACGAGGCCTCCGAGGCGGCCGCGCGGGCGGCCAAGCGCGCGCGCCGCGAGTCGGGCGCGGACGGCCCGCCGGTCCTGCGCCCGGCGTCGGCCGCGGTCGGCAAGCCCGAGCGCCGGGAGACGCTGGTCGTCAACGACGACGCGCCCACGGTGGAGGTGGCGTCCGAGGCGTCGGCGCCGGCCGCGCCCTCGCCGAAGCTGAAGCCGGCGAGCCAGAAGGACGAGGCGGCCGAGGAGCCGGCGCCCGCGCCGCCGACGAAGGAGGCCGAGCCGCAGGAGCCCGAGCCGACGGTCGAGGCGCCGAAAGCCCCCGAGGCGCCGGTCGAGCCCGCTTCCACGGCGGCGGCCGAGCCGACGGCCGAGGAGCCGCCGGCCGCGCCGACGAAGGAGACCGAGCAGACGCCCGAGCAGCGCGCGGCGTGCCTCGGCGCCTGCGACGGCGTGCTCAAGTACCTCCTGCGCCACAAGCACGCGGCCTGGTTCGCGGACCCCGTCGACCCGGTCGGCATGGGCATCCCGCACTACGCGGAGATCATCAAGCAGCCCATGGACTTCGGCACGATCAAGGGCAAGTACAAGGGCGGCCGCTACGCGAGCGCCGAGGCGTTCGCCGCCGACGTGCGCCTCGTCTTCCGCAACGCGACGACTTTCAACACGGGCGCGGACGAGCCGGTCCACGTCGCCGCCGTGCAGCTCGGCGCCAAGTTCGAGGAGCGCTTCGAGAGCGCCATGGAGGACGCGCTCTACGAGTCTTCCGACGACGAGGAGGAGGAGGAGGAGGAGCCCGCGCGCCGCCGCCGCTGAAGATGTGCTGTGCATTCCCCCTCCCCCTCCCGGCCTTATAAGAAGACCACACAGACATTACTAGAGCGCATCATGCACGTCGTGCGCGCGCCGCGGCTTCTTCGGGCGGCCAATACCCCAGCGCTTCTCGCAAATCTCTGCGAACGCAGGCCTCAGGACCGGTGGCAGGCCCGAGCGCAAACCGCGGGCAACACTACACAAAGACCTTCGCCCGGCCGACGCGTCTGCCCCGCCGTTGCACGGCGCTGCTACGTTCACAACTAGCTCGCCTCCGGGAACGCGTCCGCGAAGTCCGCCCAGCCCTCTTCGAGCGGCGCCGCCGGCGCGGACGAGAACGCCGTAAACTCATCTTCCTCCAACACAGGCGGCGGCGGCGCGAGCTTCGGCACGGGCGGCGGCGCGAGCTTCGGTACGGCGCCGGCCTCGCGCCGCGGCGGCGACGCCGACGGCGACGCCTTGTCGCCAAAACTCAGCTTCAGGCCGCCCTTGAGGGACATGTCGACGGCCGGCGCGGCGGCGACGGGACTCGCCGCCGCCTCCTCGGCCGCCTCGCGCAGGACGGCCGCCGTCGCCTCGCGGCGCGCCGCGCGCACAAAGTCGTCGATCGAGGCCTTGAAGTCGTAGGCCTGGTCGCGCTCGCGGAATCCGACGCCGAGGTACGCGCGCCGGCCCTTCGCGTCCTCGCAGCGGAACACGAAGTAGCGACTGCTGTCGACGACGGCGCAGACCACGGCATCGACGGGCGGCGCCTTGTCGCCCGTCCGCACGGGGCACACGGCCACGGGCGCGTCGTCCCCATCGTCTTGCTTGAGCACGCGGCACTCGAGCGTGCTGCCGACGCCGACGAGGTGCAGGCGGCCCGTGAAGCGCGGTTCTCCGAGGTTCCAGTCTTCCGCGCGGTGGCCCGCCGCCGACGCTTGCGGAGGCACTTTGTAGCAGAAGACTTCGGGACAGCGCAGCAGGATGAGCTCGACTGGGGTGTGAGCGCTGTCGGCGTCTGCGGTTGCTGTGAGTTCACTCATCCTCTGTCAGTGCAGCTGAGGCAAGCTTTTGCTATGGCGCAGGGGTGGGCCGCACAAATGGCAGCGAGTTGAAATACGTAAAAGCAGTCAATAAGAAGCACTTAAGAAGATGGGCTAGGTCCGCGCGCGCGCGGATAGCCGGAGCAGCGCCGTTTCTAGCGTGATGTAAGGCACTAGCGCTCAGCCGGCGCTGTTGCACAGGTTGCCGTTCAGAGCGCCAGTGGTGGCGTGCAGCACAAGGCGGGTAGCCAGTTAGCTCGTCAATATAGTGCGCACGACGTCACGGGGCGCTGCGCGACTCGAGACACCGGAAAAGACACCTGGAAAACGACGGTGTCGCCAGGACGCTCGGCGGCGCGTCGCACACCTGTTGCGCGCGAGGTCCGGGCACCTCAAGACGCCATCGAGGCCACATGCGCCTACTATACATACGATTCATGCTCCTTCTCCGCAGCGCGCGGGCGCTGCACCACATCGCGCGCCCGGCGCTGCGCCGGACGCACCTCCTCGCGACGCGGTCCGAGCTCGAGGCGCTGACGGTGCCGGTGCTCAAGGACCGCCTGCGGTCGCTGAGCCTGAAGGTCGGCGGCAAGAAGGGCGAACTGGTCGAGCGGCTGCTAGAGAGTGAGCAGAACGGCGCCGCCGCGGCGGAAGCGGAACCGGTGGTCGTGGACGGCGTGCGCGTCATCGACGTGGGCGACGACTACGACTGGGGGTTCGATGATGATGACGACGGCGACGAGGACGCCGGGACCGACATGGCGGACCGCCTGGCGCGCGCCTCGGCCGGCGACGTCGGCCACGGCGGGGCGCGCGCGTCCCACGACGAGCGCCGCGGCGCCCCGGATTTTGCTATTGAGGTCGGCGCCGGGAACTGCGGCGGCTGCGGCGCTCCGTTTCAATGTCAGGACGAGGCGCGGACGGGCTACGTCCCGCCGAGCGTCTACGCGCGCCTGAACCTCGCCGGCGAGGACGACGACTCGCCGGAGGCCGAGGTCGAGCGGCTGCTCGCCGAGGCGCGCGCTGGGCGCCAGGAGGCGGAGGTGGAGGTGGACGAGGAGGACCTCGCGATGGACGAGGAGGAGTTCGAGGAGTTGTTGCAGGAGTTCGAGGCTGTGTGGAAATCAAGTTCTGCTCGATGGCGTGGAGGTTCACGAAGATAACCTAACTTACTGCTTGATCTCCACACAGGCTCGAGGAGGAGGAGCTCGAGGAGGCCGAGGCCGCGGACGTGCGCCGCTTCGAGCGGGCGGAAGCGAAGCGCCAGCGCAACGCCGTGCCGATCTGCCAGCGGTGCCACGGCCTGCGGCACCAGAAGAAGGGCGGCGAGGCGACGCGCGCGCGGGCCGGCGCGACGGACGACGCGCTCACGCCGGAGGCTTTTGAGAGGCTTATAATTGATGAGGTCCGCGACCGGCGCGGCGTCGTGCTCCTGTTCGTCGATTTCTTCGACGTGGAAGGTTCACTCGCCTGCTGGCGCAAGTTGGGGGCCCTCGTGGGCCACAAGCGGCGCGTGCTCGTCGCGGCGAACAAGTGCGACCTCCTGCCCAATGATGTTTCGCGAGCGCGCGCGTTGAGCTGGGTCGTGCGCCGCTGCAAGGAGACCGTGCCCTACTTGCGGGACAACCTCAAGGAGACGGACGTGCAGCTCGTGAGCTGCCGCTCGGGCCAGGGTATTGGTGATTTGCTCCAGGACGCGCGCGACGCCGCGGCGCGGGCGCGGGGCGACGTTTTTGTTTGCGGGGCGGCGAACTGCGGCAAGTCGTCGTTCGTGAATAGGGCGGTGGGCGCCTACTCCGGCGGCCAAAACTACAAGGGCGTCAAGGCCTGGGGCGTCACGGCGTCGGCGTCGCCGGGGACGACGCTCGGCGTGGTCAAGATCAATCTTAGGGATGATGGCCCCGACGTCTACGATACGCCTGGTCTGTTGCAGCCGGGTGCCTTGGGGACGGTTCTGACGGAGGAGGAGCTCCAGGCCATTACGCCTAAGAAGCTCGACGTGGTCACGCTCCGTGTGAGCGAGGGGCAGTGCGTGCTCCTCGGAGGACTTGCCAGGGTCGAGGTCGTCGACGCGCCGCTCGGGGCATTCTTCCTCCGTTCTACGTCGCGCCGACGCTGACGCTGCACCCGACCTCCGCGAAAAACGCCGACGCGGCGTTCCGCGAGAAGCACGCGGGCGGCCTGCTCTCGCCGCCCTTTGATAGTGAAAGAGTGGCCGAGCTCGGAGACTTTGAATCTCACACGGTAGAGATCGACGGTCGGGGCTTCGAGGGCGCCGCGGCAGATGTGACGCTCGCCGGGCTGGGCTGGCTCGCCGTCTACGGCTCGGGCCGCTGCTCGCTGCGCGTGTCGGCTCTGCCCGGTGTAGCCGTCGCGACGCGCGAGCCGCTCCTGCCGTTTGAGGATCTTCGACGCACGACGGCGAAGTTTACGGGCGGGCGCGTGCTGCGGGGGCAGAGCAAGGCGAAAGGAAAGAAGCCGTCGCGGCGGCGAAGGCGGTAAATGTCTATTACTGTTTAGTCACATCTGTCTCCGAGTCGCGTCTCACGGGGCCTACTTCTTCGCATCCGCCTTGGCCGCGCGCTTGCGCCAGGCCACAAAGGGCGCGAGGGGCTCGCCGCCCTTGGAGAGCTTGATGGTGGCGCCCTGGTCCTTGCAGAACACGAGCCACGACTCGACGCCGAACGGGCCGACGCCGTGCACCTTGTGCACCGACTTGCGGTCCGTCTCGACCTTGAACTCGTCGGCGCGTGGCGACTTCTTCTTGGACGGCTCGAGCGGCGCGCCGCGGAGGAACGTGTCCGTCAGAGCGACGAGCGAGCGGAGCCGGTCGTCGAAGAGCCCGAGCGACTTGATGGCCGCCAGCACGTTGGCCGAGTCGGACTCCTCAGCGAAGGCTGTCGGAGTGGGCTTTATAGAAGAACGCGGAGATGCACTCGTGCTTGGTCTTCCAGGAGCTCACCCTGCTCATGAGGATGCACGAGACCAATAAGCGCCACGAGTCGGCGGCCTGCGCGAAGACCGGCGGTAAGTCACTGACGCCATCGACGCGACGCCTGGCGTTAAGGTCGAAGGCACCTTTGACAACACCGCACGCCACGTAGTACTCCTGCAGAAAGTCGATCGGCGAGACCGGCGGCGGCGTGCTGAGCCGCGACTCGACGAAGAGCTTCCAGTCGCGGTCCTCCTTGCCCGCGCCAGCTAAAGCGCCCCAGCGGCGGATGGCCTCTTTGCGCCAGTCGCCGCTCTCGCCGCCCTCGGGCACGGAGAGCACGAGCTGCGCCTCGCGGACCTCTTTCAAATACGCCATCGCCTCCGCTCGCATCTCCGCGAGTGCCTCGTCGTCCATCTCTTCGGCCCTCGCGCGCTTCTTCGGGCGGACCTCGTCGTCCTCGTCGCCGAACGAATTGACAATTTCCGCGCCGAACTCGGCCTCCTCGCCTTTCAGGCGCGGCGAGCGCCGCAGCGACTCGGGTGGCGGCGCGATCTTGGGGCGGCGCGGCGCTCTCGGCTTGGAGGGCTTCTTCTTGTTGCCGGTTCTCATCGCTTCGACGGGGTCGACGGCGGCATCGGCTAACCCGAGCGAGACGAGAAATTCGTGGTTGCGACGGATATGCGCCAGGCGCTGCAGTTCATAGTCCGATAGGTTTGTGGGCTGCTCCGCCATGTCTGTACGAGCTCGTACTGCGTAACTGGTTTAAATCTGCGAGAGCTTTTTGTTTGTTTGGCACTTAGAGCACGTTTGGCAGCGCGTGGGTGGCGTGGCGCTGTACAACGGTGCAGTGAGTGTTGAGAACAGCGCGTGGGGCGACGGATAGTGGCTCTCAGGCTGTGGTCTCGGCAAAAGGGGTATTTGTGAGCTAGCGGTGTAAAGACACACTAGCAATCACGCAGCCGAACGCCACCAGCTTATATTGCCCGTATACGACCCGGATAGACGGCGTGGAACGTAACACAGCGTCTCCGTGTCATTGCCCTACCGACGGCTGCAACAGCAGAACGCTAGCTGGCGCCGGGGAGCAGCAATCCAGCTCAGAGCCGCTCAGAGCTCTAATATCACGCACGATGCGCCGCATCTCTAATTTCCATGATCCGCTGGAGGCCGCATCTCTAATTCCAAACGCCCTCGTGTCGAGCTTGGACGGCTTAGTCTTCGGCAACAAGCGGCGGAACTTCTCGTCGATCTGCATCTTCGTCTACGGCGCTGGCCTGGCGTTCTGCGGCTTCTTCGCCGCGCGCTATCCGACCGAGTCGCTGGCGATGATGGCGGACGCGTGGGACGTCCAGCTCGACGCGGCGAACCCTGCGGCGGCGTTCTCGCGCCACGTTCTTGCGATCGGCGGCATCCATCTCAGCGCTTGGGGCATCGGTTGTATGTGTTTGGCACCCTCAAGTGCGGCTCCTCGCACGAAGAAGCTCGCCGCGTTCCTCAACCTCATCGCTGCCATTCTTGCCGCCGCCTGCTCGGCCTACCATCCCGAAGCCATAGCCGCGCCGCGCTGCGCGGCGTCGTCGGCCGCGGCGGCCAAGTGCGTCAAGACCGCAGCCATGTGGTACTTGCCCGTGGCCGTGGTCGCAGGACTCGGGGTGCTGTTCGCGGACGCGGGGCCGCGCTTGGTGCGTTTGGATGCGACGCGCGCCATCCTGCTCGACGGCGCGGTCGACAACGCGCGGCGCGGCGCGGCCCGCATCACGCGCGTGGACAGCCGCGCCGACTTGGTCGAATACGCGTCGCCGCGCGTCCTCGACCGCCACAGCAAGCTAGTACCGAAAGCTGACGCCCGGACGGCCGCCGAGTACGCGGGAATGGTAGATGAGGAGCCGCCCTCGACGCCGAAGAAGCAGCAGTAGTAGCAGGCTCGGTTCTTATAAACAAACAAATTACATACACCTAGCGCGCTCCTCTTGGCCCCAAACTCGGACCCGCGAGGACCGGCGGAACCTGCGGCGCCTGCCGGCGCTGCACGCCATCGACGCGTCAAAGCTCGCCCTCCTCGACCCCCAGCGGCAGGAAGCCACCAACGCGGTCGGTCTGGAGCCAGTTCGCCGCGTGCCACGCCGTCCCGGCCGACTCGACGACGTGGAGCTGGAACGTGTGGCGCTGCTGTGGAGACGTGTTCGGGAAGCTCAGGTGGTCGAGCGTGCCCGCCAGCAGGACGAGGTCGCCGGCGCGCGCCGGCAGCGGCGCGAAGCCGTGCAGCTGCGCGGCCTCCGGCGTCATGTCGGCGCCCTCCCACGGTGCCTCGACGACGGCGCGCGCATTCGCCGGCGGCCCGCCGAGCCGCTCCGAGAAGTAGAAACGCCCCGGCGGCGTCCTGACCTGTGCATAAATCAAATTGTCGCTGCGCGTCTCCGCCACTGCTGAATCATGACCTCCACGCCATCGACGCGACGCCAGCTTGATTGTGTGGCAGTGTGGGTCTTGCACCACTCGATTCAGTCATCAAGGTCGCGTTGTCGCCGAGAAATGACTTTTCGCAGCCGACGCACTGTTTGATTTGCGCACAGGTCCTCACAAACACCATCGTCGCGTTCGCCTCGCCGCGGTCGCGATCCCTAACAAAGACGCGCCGCAGCGGCTCCCGGTGCGACCCGGCCCGCGCCCAGACGCAGCCGTTCTCCGGCGTGGCATCATCCAAGGCCAGCCACAGCCCGACCACGGTCTGGTCCGGGTCCGTCCTCAAGAACGTCGCGTCCTGGTGCGACGTGACCGCGCCGCCGTGCAACGGCGCCTTGAAGATATACATCGACTGGGGCAGCACGGGCCGTTCGTAGCCGAGGTCCCGCAGCAGGGTTCGCACCTTCTGAGAAGTAGCATACCGCCCGAAGGCGTCGTCCCCGAGGTGGAGCGCGTGGCCGGCCTTGTTCAGCGCCGCGCCCTCGGCCTCCTCGAAGAACTCGACGCGGTCCGCGCTCTCAAAGAACTTCCGCGACCGGGCCTGCGCGGCCTCCTGGCCCGCGTCGGTCCGGAAGACGGTGGGGTCCGAGCGCTCCGCCCAGTACGCGTCCGTCTTTTCCTGCATCGCCGTCTTCATGGCGGCGACCTCGGCGGCGCTCGCGAAGTTCTGGACGATTGCGTAGCCATTTTTGCGGAAGTCTTCGACTACTGTCGATGCCTCTGTCGCATCGATGGCGTGCAGCAGGAGCACGGCGAATGCAGTGTGCATTCTGCTGCGGTGCTGTGCTCCGGCGGAACGCGTTCAGATCAGCGCACGCGTCGCGCACGTATCGTGTGGAATAAATGCTGCTTCGTGCGGATATTTTGTGATTGTTGCACAGCTTTTAGCGCCCCAAAAAGCAACACATGGCACTCGAAACCCGTTTTGTTCCCGCGGATTTCGCTTTTCTCTTCCGCGGGCAGAGGCACTCTTATAACGGTGCGACGGCTCTCGGTCGCTGAGTCACGGATCCTTGAGCACTGCCATTTGCCATCAGGTGCGCACAAGAACGCCGTGAACGAGACGCACCATGAACGAGAGCGTACGGAAGCGGTGTCCAGAGACAGTTCGAAGTACTGGTTTGCATGGCCGCAAGCCCCGGCATCGCTGCTGCCGTGCAACCAAGATCCATGGGTCAGAGCCTTGGCAGTGCGCTCAGGATGCGTCGTTGCCGTCGCGCGAACGCCTCGTCAAATAGCGCTGCGCTGCATCGCTGCGCTGAGACGTATCGGAACGCTATACGCCATCGCCGCAACGCGCACACGCACACCCGTCACGCACACAGGTCGACAACATCCTGCCCACGGGCAACGTCGGCAAGAAGCGAAGAGCTTTTAGTTCGGCGTGCATCTTCTTCCACGGCGTCGGGTTGTTTGGGGTCGGCGCGTACTATGTGGCCCAGCCGTCCGAGAGCTTGGCATTGATCGCGGACGCCTGGGGCGTGTCGCTCGACGGACCGAAGAAGAAGACGCCGGAGCAGCAGGCCGTGCACGTGCTGGCGAAGAACCTGGTGATGGTGGCCGCGGTTTACCTCGCGGTCTGGGGCGCGACGTGCATGACCCTCGCGACCGCCGCGTTACCGCGGACGAAGAAGATGGTCGCCGCTCTCAACTTGGTGGCGGCCACGGTGACGGCGGTGTGCTCGTCGTTCCACCCCGACGCGGTCGCGTCGTCGGCATGCTTGGTCGACCGCGCGGCGGGCGTCGGGTGTCTGAAGGTGGCCACGCTGTGGCACGCGCCTTTCGTCGTGCTTGATGTCTTGGGTATTGCTTTTGCGGAAGCGGGCCCGCGGCTCGTGCGCATCAACGACCGGTCCGCAGTACTTTTACATGGCAATTTGGCGGAGGAGCTATACCACGGCAAGGGCACCACTATTCTCAAAATCAACTCGCACGCGGACCTGATCAAGTACGCCGACGACGGGGGCATCAAGAGCGACTAGTCGCGTAATAACTCGTATTCGTTTATAAAAATCCCTCTCGTGCGACGTCTCGTGCGTTCCCAGGTAAGTATATGGGGTATATATATATATCGCGTCGATCGCGTCGATGGCTGCGCGAGCGTCCGGAGTAGTCCCATGTACCAAGGTGCGAGATTATTCTGCTCCGGGCCCGCACGTTGAAATTTTAAGGACTTGATAGTAGAGAACCCGAACTCACCCTAGGGGGTCCGAGCCTCAATCTACCAGACCGCGCGAGCGCGCGATACGGTAGGGAAGTGTCTTCCGGAAGCAGAGCTAGCTAGCGTTGAGATGTTACTGCTGCTCCACACGAAAGGTGACGATTGGGACGCGGGGGAAGAAACCTGCAGCGGGGCAGCGGACGTCGGCGCGCGCGTGTGTGTGTGTGGAGCAGCAGCAGAGCACCTCGAGCTGGAACGGCGCTATAGAACCCGCACGTTGTGTGAAATCTCTCAATGATCGAAGGCAAGAGCAGGTGGAGCTGAACGGCCGGCGGGAGCGTGTAGAGGAATACAACCCGCGGCGGCGAGGTGCAATGGACCCGGACGCAATGCGTTCTCCGGGACCTCGTGAAGATCACAAGCACGTTGACAGAAGAGCCAACCGAGCTAGCGTATATCGACACACTAGGAAATTCAGAGAAACGCCTCGATAGCGTCAAAAGAATGACCCAAATTCAGAATACATCCTAGTCGTTCGCCGAGACCAAATATTTTAGAGTAGAGGCCCGAGAACATACTCTCGCGCCTCCCGGAAGGCACCGCCCGCGACATTCACGGATGAGACTTACGGGTCGCCAAAATACACCAGCGTTTGGTGGCGCCTTCTACTATCCAATTAAGACATTATATCAACTCCAGCCCAGTTTTCATATAAGTTCGACGGAACCGGAGCCGACGGCCCGCGCTCGGAGGGCGGGAGAAGAATTCTACTGGACAACTCCCGAGTTTATGTTCGTTTCCTTCCGTTTGTTAGTGGTAGAGTCCATCTAGCCCGATTGAACACTCACTGAGCAGAATGAGATGCTCCGTTAGAGCTGCCCAAAACGGAGACTTCGCGGCCACGCTTCGATGGCGTAAAGGGCACAGAACCCAGACCTGCGAGTATCAGCGACGACACCATCCAGATGGACCATAACGCCGTTGTTCTATTCACAATCGACCGACTTGCCCGTTCTCCGCGGACGACGGTGCGGAGACGGAGCACCGGAAAGGCCCCAGACCGGTGAGTTGTGAAATAAATTTGCTTTTCAGGCGCTTTGGTTGTGGGACGGGCCAGATAACCGGCCTGAGCGTGTACTACATAGGATTTTTGAACAGTAATCTCCACGGCGGCTCGGCCACCCTGCCACCCACTGATCTCGATAATTTGGGCTAGTTACTTGGACCTGCGACCATCAGCCCGTGTACCATCACCATGGACCAAGACGCGATCATTTGTTTCATGACCGACTGACTTACGCGAGCTCCAGATGCAGATGTTCACGTCCCGAGCGTGGTCGGCCCAAAGTACCCTTCTCGCGGTGTAGATGTCATATACTTGTAATTGACTATCGGTGGGGTAGTATGGGGTCCAACGAGACCGCTACGGCGACTACTGGGGGCCCTCGGGTAATTGACGTTTTTGACGGGAACGGGGCGCCATCGGGTCCAAATTGCACACTTTTTTCGGATGCAGGTCGGCCCCTGGACGTCTCTCGGGGTAGGTCTGGTAGTGGGTAGTCGCCTGTGTCGCGTACGTCATCGATGCGGCCGTCTAGTGCACTCGGAGAGCTCTGGAAGCCATTGCCAAGTAATTCATGCTCAAATGGGTTGCAATGCTGAGAGAAATCGGCCAAAAATGCTTGAAGCGGCGGCGCATGCGGCGTAGGCGCTTGCACGTGTATAGTACCGACCCTAGGCGACGACAGGGAGACCTCTTGGGCAGGGATTGACAGGATTAAACCGGCGCGGCCGCCATTGCCCGTGGCGCCGTCGCCGGCCGCGAATTAAAAAATTTAGTTTTTCGGCCCCCAGTACGTGTCCCATTGATCTCTTTGGACCAGTATCGAACCGAACGATACTCGAACGGCTGCATGACGCATCTTCTAATCAAGCCTAGTGTGTCTCTAGCCTTAGCTATGCCGGGCGCGCCGGCTTAAATTTGGGTCTGTTAGAGCATATAGGGCTGCTAATTCTGGCTGGACGATATATAGATTCATAGTTTCCACAGCCCTGTTGCACGAGATAGAGCAGTGCTGCCACAATGGACCTCTCCCTCATCGAAAAAGACCCCGCGGCTTTTGCCGCATTGATGATGGCGAAGCCGCACGGCTCGGCCTTCACGCCGCCGATCCATGAGGACGGAGCTGATATAGACGGCGCGTGGTGCCGCGCGACCGACGCGGCCGTCGACGCGCCGTTCCTGATCCGCGGACATGAATCGGCGGGCCTGAAACGACCAGAACTCACAATAGACGACGTAGCCATACTCGCGGGCCCGGACACGGAGGTGCCGGTCCTCGACGCGGCGACGCAGGAGCAGCAGCGCCGCTGGACGCTACGGGAGTGGGCCGCCTACATGCGCGAGAAGACGCCGACAACGCACAAAGTTTTGAACATCCTGTCGCTTGAGGTGAGCGGCACGAGGCTCGGCGCTTTGGTCAGGGCGCCGCAGTTCGTGCGCGACGTGGACTGGGTGTCGAAGACGCCCGAGGACCAGCGGCCAAAAGTCAGAAAGTACTGCCTCATGTCCGCGAAGGGGGCCTTCACGGACTGGCACGTCGACATGGGCGGCTCGAGCGTGTGGTACCACGTGGTGGAGGGCGCCAAGGTCTTCTGGTTCGCGCCGCCCTCTCCCAAGAATCTGGACGCGTATGCCAAGTGGATCTCGTCGTCATCTCAATCCAAGACGTGGTTCGGCGACGTGCTGGGGGAAAGCGAGGTGTCCCGCATCTCGCTCGAGCCCGGCTACGTGCTCTCGCTGCCGGCGGGCTGGCTCCACGCGGTCTACACGCCCGAGGACTCGCTCGTGCTGGGGGGCAACTACCTCCACTCGAGAGCCTTCGCGACGCAGCTCGCCGTCTTTTCGCTGGAAAAACGGTGCCGCGTCGACGCCGAGTGCCGCTTCCCGCACTGGGTCGAGACGGTGGCCTACGGCGCCGCGGCCGACGCGCGGCACCCGGCCGTGTCCGCCAACGACGCCGGCGCGCGGCGGTTATTATCAGAAACGCTCAAATCGTGGTCGAGCGGCGGGGGGTCGCTGACGGCGTCCGAGCGGCGGCGCCTCGAGGCGGCGCTGGCGCGCGTCGCCGTGGACTTTGCGGCTTTGGAGAGCGACGTGGTTGGCGAGGCACCTAAACGTACAGAGGACACGCTCGACGCGTACGTGGCCCGGGGGTTGCAAGTGACGGCCGCGGAGCGCGCGGAGTTTTTGGAGAGCGCGGTTACTGTGCGCGCGAAGGCGCTGCTCCGGGCGCCGCCCAAGGACGACAATGATGATAAGAACGACCGCGACTGGGGCGCGCCAAAGCCGAAGACCTTGTACGACTCGGACGACTCCGACGCGAGCGACGAGGACGACACGACGGGTCTGGGCATCGCGGAACTCAAAGCTAGATATGGGGTCAACAAGGGCCCGCGGGAGAAGCGGCCGGCTTCATCAAACGGGTCCGGCCCGAAGAAGCGCAAGAAGGCGCTCAAGGCTCCCATCGATAAGTTTGCCAGGCGGCGCGACCCGCGGCTGTCCATCCAGGACGCGGAGCGCGGCGGCGCGGCCAACGACGCGAGAAGCGGCGGCGCGAAGACCTCGCTTTAGCTGGAGCGAGACGCAGGGCCGAGGCCATGGCCGCGGCCGAGCGCGCCGTCGAGGCCTTCGACGCGGCGGCCTGGCTCGAGGCGCGCGCTGCGCCGTCGACGCGGCGGCGCGCGAGGCCGCGGACCTCCCGGGCCTCCTCGCGAAGCTGGAGGGTTGGGCGGCCCAGCACGACGGCGCGCCGCGCGGCGACGACTGGGCGCCGCCGCCGCTCGAGGCGCGATTGGATCAGGAGACGCGGACGGCGTCGGCCGAGGCTGCCCGTTTAGCTTGTGAGACGTTCGGCATCCTCAACGTCGACACGCTGTTCGCGGGCTGCTTGTAGCGGCGGCGGCGCCCGTGGCGCCCGAGGAAGAGCCCGCGGCGCCGGCGCCGCCGCGGACGTACAAGCGGCCGACGGTGCGGACGCCCCGCCCCGTGAGGCGCCGTCCTTCGCGGCGGCCGCGCCCGCGGCGGCGCCGCCGCCGGACGCCAAGGCCGCGCTGACGGCACTGCGCGGCGCCGGTCCGACGAGCGCGAGGCCGAGGCCGCGCCGATCCCGACGACGGCGCCCGCGCTCGCGCCGGGAGCCTCCTACGCGACGCTCCCCGATCGAGTGTACGCGGCCGTGGCGCTGGAAAACGACCCCTGGGGGCGGCCGCTCGACGAGGCCCTCTCGGCGAAAATCACGGGTATGATCATGGACGCCTACAACCCGCCCTACGTCGAGTCGCTGCTCGTGGACGGCATCGGCCCCGCGATGGACGAAGCGTTCTCGGTCCTCATGGCGGCGGGCGTACTTCAGCAACAGCAGTTCGCGCCGACCGTTCTGTCGGTGCCGTCGTCGAGGGATCCGAACAAGCGCACGCCCATCGCTTCCTTATCGCCGGATCGGCCGTGCTGGCCCGAGCTCGTCGTCCGCGCCTGCGAAGGATGCGACTCGGGTAGAACTGTGCGACGCCGTCATCTTCGGCGTCGCGCCGGAAGGCGTCGCGGAGCTCGAGAAGTTCCTCGGGTACTTGGAGTCGTCGCAGCGCGCGGCCGTCGTCCGGTTGGACGCGGCGACGAAAGCGTACGTGCCGGCGCAGACCGTCGACGCGACCGCGCCGGCGCTGGTGTTGCGGCCGTTTCATGCGCCGCGCGCACACCTGTTTGTTTGCTAGTGTGCTTACAGGCCGCTAGCCCACCTAAGCGCGCGTAGCCTGGAAGCCGCGCCTTATGATTTTTGTGGATTTCTAGTATCTTACAGGCCGCTAGCTATAGCCAAAACGGAGACAAAAGCGGCCAAGCGTGCTATACAAGCGCGGTAGAGCAGTATCTTGGTCCGAGTGGCCTGTTGTACCGTGCCGCATCTGTTTTCCATCTGTGCTGCCGAAGCAACGCATACAAGCTCGTAAGGCAGAGAGCCAAGGATTAGACAACAGCCTGCACAACTCGTACAAATGGTCAAACACGTCGCATGCGTCCTCTGGGCGCTGACAGCGATCGCTGCAGCCTTCGCGCCGCCGACGCGGACGACTGCATGCGGTCGCGCGCCAGTCGTGCGGCCGCGACACGTCACGATTCTTCGCGCGTCCGACGACGACGACGCGGAGCCGTTCTTCGACGCGCCGCCCCCCGCCCCCGCGACGAATGACGATAAAATAGTGGCCTACGTCGCGGTCGGCTCGACTCTCGTTTTCTTCGGTTTGTACGCGTACGAGACGCTTCGATTGATGGCGGAGGGGGAGTTTTACATGCCTCATTTCTAGTATTATACGGAGAGGGAACGGAGCGCCTAGCGCTGATAGAGGTCCTCGACGACCGGCTGCGGCAGGTGGGGTCGCACCATCCGCGCGAACCCCACCTCCGCGATCGAGATTTTACGGCAGTACACTTTTTGTCGACGTGCGCGATGTACGGTTTCGACGCGCGCCCGCGACGCGCGGGCGGCGTCTATAGCCAACCTCTGACTCGGTTCCGGTGCGTCGCGCGCGCATGTCTGCTTCCTGCTTCTCTGGAAATTTTTGTCGTAGTGCTTGCGACGGTTTCTTGCACGCGCGCGCGGTAGACGGACGCGGCGGCGTACGGCGGACGTGAGGACCACGTGTGAACGGTGCTCGTGCGCGCACGTCGCACGGATGTGGCGTGTGGGCTACAAAAACTTAAGTACTTGCGGCTCGACTCGAAACCCGGAGGCTTCCTTGTCGCCCAACATGTCCACACGCGGCCGCACATCTACTGTAGCCTCCACGGACGCCTCCAACCGCCCTCGGGTGCCTTCAGGGAACAGCGACGCCATATGGGTACCAACGCCGACAAGCTAGCCCCGGCTGATCCCACTGTGGAAGTGAGCTCGCTCGTCGGACAGATGGGCGTCGGCGGTTCTACTTTGTATTTAAGAGAGCACCGTTTGCGATACTTACGCAGGTGGTGTGGATGATTCAGGTTCGTTGAATCGCGGAGGAAAGGAGTCGTCGCCCGGCGCCTCAGTCCTCGAGGGCGGCGTGATAATTCCGCATATATGCGCGGCCGCGCGCGCGCGCGCCGTTGCACTTCGAGGCGCTGATCTTACCGGCGAAGGCGTGGATCTCGTGGAAGCGCTTGCAGCCCTTGCACCACTTGAAGTAGGCGCCCGACGCGTTGTGCTTCCACGTGACCGTGTCGCAGATCTTGCAGACGTCCTTGTTCTGCTTCGGGATCGTGACGCAGTCGTCGCCAGTGCCCTCCAGTTTGCCGCACAAGACGCACCAGTTCGTCGCGCCGCCGCTCTTCTGACGTGGAGTGCATCGCGTGAAGTTGATGACCGAGTCGTAGGACGGCGCCTCCTGGATTGGGATGCTGCTGAGCGGCTGCAGGGCATCGACGTCGATCGTGGTGCTAGAGCTTAGGTGCGGGCCAGGCGATGCAGCGACGACTGGCGGCGCGGCGCGCGGTTTTGCAGCGGCGCCGTCGGCGCGCGGCGGCCGACCCCCGTCGACGTCAGCATCGCGACCGTCGTCGGCCACGGTCGCGTCGGCGGCCCCGGCGCGCTCCGCGGCCGCTTCCGCGGCCGCCGCGGCGTCCCACCGCATCGCGTCGGCCTCGATCTCGGCCCGCGACCTCAGGAGCGGGCCAAAATCCTCGTCGTCAGAATCGACGGCCGTTCCGCCCGGCGCGTCCCTCGACGTGCGCGGTTTTGAAGCGGCGCGCGGTTTAGGAGCGGCGCGCGGTTTAGGAGCGGGGCGCGGTTTTGCAACGGCGCCCGTTATTGGGCATGATTGGAGCCCAACGAGCCGCCTACGATGGCGAGGGTATCGCAGCGGCGGCGGCGGCGGCGGCGTCGCGTCGGGCAGCGCAGGCATCGCGAACGGCGCCACTGCTGGCGCGGCCGCCGCGGCCGCCGCCGGCGTCGTCGCGAACCGCGCCGCCAGGTGCCGCCCTCCTGGCCGACTCACATCAAACACGCCCGTCGCCGCGAGCGCCGCCTTGACGGTGTCTTCGTCTTCCGACAGGCACGCCGTCAGCGCTTTCGCGAAGAGCCGCACGAGGGTAGGATCCGCGACGGTGAGCCGCGCGAACGCATCGCGCGCCCGCGAAATGACGAGAGCGGTGCGCCGAAATCTATCTTCCAATTGAGCCGCAACGCGCGCCAGACGACGCACCGCCCGCTCCGCGTCCCGCAGGCCGACGTCGCCGCGTCGCTCGTGAGTCTCCGCTTCGTCCCGCAAATCCTTCATCATCTTGGCGACGCTAGGGGGCACGGCGAGCACCTCCAAGACCGCGGCGCCGCCGTGACCAAAGAGGGCGCTGGCCCTCAAAGCGGCGCGCTAGCACAAAACGGCGTCTACGCCCTCGATCAAAGCGCCCGCGAACCACGGCCGACGCCTCCTCCGACGGCGCGCGGGCGCGGAGCTCGCGACCAGTGGCCTTGATGGCCCTGATACCCTCGGGCGTCGCGCACGCGGCCGCGACGACGGCCTCGACGATCTCGTAGAGCTCGGACATCACGACCATCGAGAACATGTCGATGATCCGCTCCCGTGCGGCCGCCGTCGGCGCCAGCTCCACCGCCGCCTCGAGTCCTCGTCGCACGCGCCCGTTCTCGATGAAGAACCTGCGAGACGTCGCGTCAGATGGGAACAAGGACCGCAAAGGACGCCGGCGAAGGACGGCGCATCAAAATAATAAATCAACGCGAACACGACCCGGATGCGCTCCTCTCGCGTCGCGCAGAGGAAGTCGAACAGCTCGTCTAACGACATCACCGGTCGCGCCCCGGCCATCATCTGGTCCAGCATGGCGAAGAACGTCTCCCGCTCCGTCGCGTTTCCCTTGTTCGTCCGCGACGCGAGCGCAATATAGCCGACCATGAAGTCGTTACCGCCGCACAATAACCACGCGCACAGGAGCATGTGCACGGCCGGGACCGCCGCATACTTCCTGGCGAGGTAGATGAGGCGGGCCGGCTCTTTCTTCGTCTTCTGGAAGTAGGCCATCATATCCATGAAGAAGTGAATGTCGCTGTCGATGGTCCGAGCGGCGGTTCTCTTATGCGGGAAGCAGGCCGCCAAAAAACCGATGACCTTGTCGGCGTCGACCGTAGAGGCTTGGTCGACGACGACGTCACTACCAGCATCGATGGCGTCTCGCAGCTCACGAAGCGTCTGCGCTCGCAAGTAACCAGAATACTTTGAGTAGGCAACAGGCTTGAATGGTCGGATGGCTGGGGGGGCCTCACGCACGGCCTGCGCCGCATCCCGGACGTCCGGCCTCACGAGATAAGACAGAGCCAGCACAGCAGGATGATCTTGTGGTAGCTGGGCGATGACTATTTCTAGTGCATCGCGCCGCAAGTCGACAGTTGGAGCCGACTCCCGGCTTTTGGTATCCCCGATACCACCTCGGACGACGCAGTGCGTGATTCCTAGCCCCTTGAGCATCACGCCGATCGCCACGTTTCGATCATCTGGATTGCAGTATTGATGGCAGTCGACATCTGCATCAGACACCACGAAATCGAGCTTCTGAAGGTCGTCCCACCAGACTTCAATGAGGAGCCGTTTTAAGGCGCGGCAGAGCCAGTCTGGTCTACCGTAGACGATCTCTACGTTTGCTACTATCGAATCCTTCTCCAATTTGAACAAACCGGGAAGGCCCATGGCGAGGCGCGCCCTCGCTGCGATGGCGTCGGTCTTGGAACGGCTTCAGCGCGCAGCGGCGCGACGTCGGCGAGTTCGGCGGCGGTGTGGTAGATGATGATGATGCCTTTGCCAAAAAAAAAAAGGGTCGGCGCGGCGCCGGGCGAGCGACGGTCGTCGAAGAGCTAGCGAGGCGGGACGCGCACTGGTGCAGCGTCCGCGGCGTGACCGCGGCATCGCTGCGAAGCAATGCCGCAGCAGCCAGCCCGCTAAATCGCTCGGCCAGATTGGTGGTGATGGTGGACCTTCGGCACGGCGCGGGCGGCCGCGAGGCCACCGCGCCGGCGCGCGCCAGGCGCGCGTACTAACAGCTGTCAGCAGAAGATCCGAGGCCTCTTGAAGTATCGCAGAGCGTGTGTGCAGCGTTTCAAGCGCAAAAAGGCTAAAATCCCTTTTTTGCCGCGAAGTTTAAATTTTAAAACGGGTATTTCGACGCGGGTTTTGCCTTCGCTTGGGCCTATGTGCACCTCAAATTTGAGCGCAAACGGTGCTTCTGGTGCCGAGATAGGGCGTCAGAACCCGTTTTTACGAAGATCGGCTTGAAAAATAATTTCCTAGAAATAGAGGAAAATGCCTCGCGCGTCGATGGTGTTCGAACGTGTCTAAGGCCATCCTAGCACGTCCGAGACTGCTCCGCACCTCTAGTCCGCCGAGTTGCAAATCAACGCGGCGGTCCGCGGACGGTAGTAGCATATGCAACCTCTACTTAGCAAACTCCGCCGCCGCCCGACGCGCCAAAACGACAGCCGCCCGCACGACCGACGCCGCCTGGTCCGCTTTTAGCCGCGCCTCGGCGTCCGCGAGCCAGTCGTCCAGGGGCGACGCGATCGACGTGGGCCGCACGGATCGCGCCGCCCGGAGGCAAAACAACGGCGTACGCAAGGTTAGCCGGACATCCACTTTGGGAGCAGAGGCCGAAGCCCATTAAAGAAAACAATCCCGGTTAGATCGACACGACACGCGCCAGCTGCTGATGCGGTTCAGCACGTCGCCCGACTTGATGATCTCCTGGTACTTCTTCGACTTGAGGTCCGCGCGCGTCGTGTGGACGACGTTGTCGACCTTGTCGACCTTGGCGTTGAGGCGGCCGCACGAGATGAACCGCGCCAGCTCGCCGTCGATGAACTCGACCGAGACGCCGAACGCGGCCGCCATCGAGGACAATGTAACGGTCTTGTACGCGTCGAGGAACTGCGTGTAGACGAGCACCCGCAACTCGCGGATGACGTATCTAGTGTGCTGCGAGAAGTAGCGATCATCTAAGAGCACCTTCTCGATCTCTAGTAATGATGCAAAATATACCGAATATTCGCAGTTGTAGAGCGACTCGACCAACGTCGAGAGGTGGGGGATCTGCTTGATGACCTGCAGGACTTCCGGCGAGTCGATGATCCTCTTTTTCAAGTCCGGCCGCGGCAGCGCCAGCACGTTCGTCACGACCGCGTAAAAAACGAATTCCGGGTACGTGCAGAGCTCCACACAGGTGAACGTCGCCACGCCGCCCAATAACTTCTTGGCGGCGCCCTTCAAATCCCGCGTCACAATTAAGTAAGCGGACTCGTAGGCCGACAGCCGGTTGTTGCGGTCCCAGTCGCCGCCGTCGGCCGCCAATCGCCGCGCGTCCTCGAGCTGCTTCTTCGCGTTGCCCACGTCGTCAAAGAAGAGGGCCACGCGTATTTTCAACATGACGGCGTCGATGCGTTTCCCGGTCGAGATCTTCGGCCGCTCGACGATGACGTCGCACGCGGCGTAGGCGCCGTCCCTGTCGCCGATGCGCGCGTGGTACTTCGCCGCGTCGAACAGCGCGTCCAAGACCTCCATGTCGCCCTGGTTCGCCTCGGCGTCCTCCTTCTTGGCCGCCAGGGCCGCGATCTCTGCCGCGTTCGCGTCCTTCATCTTCGCGTAGAGGCTCTCGTCCTTGCTAATGCCGAACGCGGCGCAGACGCGCGCGTAATAGGGCGCCATCTGGCGTTGCGTGACGAGGTCCAGGATCTCCTTCTCCGACGCGGGCGTGGGATTGCGCCCGTGGCGGAACACGGACTGCGCGAGGCTCATCGGCGGCTCGAAGGTCTCCTTGCTCTTCTCGGCCGCGCCGGGCGCGTCGCTCACGAGCTCGGCCATGGCCGCTTAGGTGCACGCGGCGGCTGGCGTGCGCGGGCGAGTCTGCTGGGAGAGGCGCGCCGCGGCGGCTGGCGTGCGCGGGGCGCGAGGTCTACCGCGGCGGTATGAACCGGCGGCGAGTCTGCTGGGCCGGCTGAGAGCGTGGCGCGTCGAGAATTAACAGCGCCGCAATCTCGTGGGCAACGATGAGTCGCTGGAGCTGCAGAGAGCACAGATGTGCAGTGTTTAGGGGAGACCGCGGACGGCCAAAGACTGGGACAGGCTAGTGTGTCGCTACACTAGCTTCATACTCGCGACGTAATTAGCCTAAGCATAAGGACAAGCACCTCTACCTAGCACCATAACAACACTACACATAAGGAAGGTAGCCAAAACCCGGCTTGTTTGTTCAAACGCATCAGCGCGCTCGGGACGCGGGGCGGTAAAATGCCCATCGATCTACGGAGCGAAAGAACAACGCCAAAAGAGAAACAACGCTACTTATCAGGACCGCTGCGGCGCCGAGAGCATCGCCTCGAGGTTCGCCTTGAGTTGTTCGTTGATCTTCTTGAACTTGTCGACCTCCTCGGCGTGGGCCGCGTCGTCCTCCTCGCGCCTTTTGGCTTCCCGGTCCTTGATGGACTCGCATCTTTCTTGCAGTTCCTTCACCTGTCCTTCCAAATCCTCGCGCTCGGCCTCGAGGGTCCGGACCTTATTGTTGAGTTCCGCTTTCGTGTGCTCCGCGGTCAGCGCCTTGCGCATGCCGAAGGCGATGGACGACTCGTAGAGCGTCTGGTAGGCCGCGATCGTCATCCTCACTTCATCTCGCACTCGCAGCAAGAGTAAGCCGCCGGGCGCAGTTGATCGTCACCTGGCGGATCACTTCGTCGAAGCACTGCGCGTACAGCTCCTCGCGGACGGGACAGATGCCCGTCTCGCGGGCCTGGCGCTGCTGCAATTTTCTATCTAATGATTCCTGGAGGTTGACGACGTCCAACCGCGTCGCCGGCGTCGACGACACGTACTGGACCCAGAGCGTCCCGTCTTCTGTCCACTCTCGCGGCGGTAAGATACTATTAAGAATGTCTTCCGTTTGGGTAGAGGCCTTCTCGGGCGTCGCCGGGCCCTTCTTGCCCTTCTTCGGCGCCGCGCGGGCCGTCGTGACGACGACGGGGCTGTGGTACTTGACCAGGGAGTCGTGGGGCGGGATCATCGAGGCCATGGTGGTCTGAACCGGATCCGCGGCGGCGGCGTCTGGCGCAAGCGGCTCGCGGCGCAGCGGCAGGGCTGCCCGCCGATGGCGTCTGTAGCGCTGGACGGCGGAAGCGGCGGCGTCCGACGACGGCTGCTTGGACGGCTAAGGCTGCCTCCAAGCTCAGCTGTTTCGACCGACGACGGTGCTTCGGCTGCGTCGAAATGAGGCCGGCGCGGGCGCTCGGCTGCTGTGGGGTAACTTTGGCTTCGCAGCCCAAAACCACCCGGCCCCGCTCAGGCGCCGGCGAGACGAGCCGGCCCCCGCAAGAAGGGAAGGGAGGAGACGACTGTCTCGCGCTGTTTGATTTCGTGCGGGTGCTATTTGTGTTTGCGACAAAAACTCAGGTTGCTTGCTTCAGTAGAGGCGCAAAATTAGTGCACGAGACGGCCAACGTATAGCATCGCTGCAGCATCGCTGCGCGGCGTGCAAAAACGAGGCGTGGAGCATCCCTAAGCTCGGAGAGGGCAGCAAGCACAGCACAAAGCAGCACAAGCACGCACAGAAATGGCTCCGCCCGCATGTGCATCGGGCGACGTCGAAGCCTGTTTCCAGCGAAGTTTGGCGGACGGCACGCGCGCGGCGCCCGTCGCCGCCATCGAAGCTTTACTGGGTGTGATAGAAAGGAGCGGCGCGCAGACGATGCACGGGCTGCAAGATGAACTATGTGAAGGAAGGAAGGCATTAGTGGAGTTCTGCGAGCAGCGACCGGCGTGCCTCGGTGGGAGGACTGAATTAGGCGTGTCGAGTGGCTGCGAATTGTTTCTCAGACATGTCACTAGAACATTCTTAGAATTCGGCGACTTCTCGGAATGCCGGGACGAGATTCTGCGAAGGGGCCGGGCCTTCGCGGCGCACGCGACGAACGCGCGCGACGACATTGCTGGACATGCTTCAAGTTTCTTGAGGGACGGCTCGCGAGTGTTAGTGCACGGCCGGTCGAGGGTGGTGCAGGCGACGCTCAAAGCGGCGGCGAAGAGTGGCGTGTCGCTGGAAGCGGTGGTCGTAAATGGCGCGGACGACTGCGGCGCGTGCGTGGCCCAAGAACTGCGCGAGGAGGGTATTACTACAAGAATAATCGCGGACGCCGCCGTCGCGCGGGAGATGGAGGTCATTGACGTTGTTTTAGTTGGCGCGGAGGCCGTCGCGGAGAACGGCGGCGTCGTCAATAAAGTGGGGACGCTGACCGTGGCTTGTTGTGCTAGAGCCATGCGGCGGCCGTTGTATGTCGCAGCAGAATCCTACAAGTTCGCGCGGGCCTTTCCGTTGGGCCAGCGCGATTTACCAAATGCTGACGTCGACTACACGCCCCCGGACTTCATCGAGCTCCTCTTCACGGACCTGGGCGTGCTGACGCCGGCGGCCGTGAGCTACTGCCGATCCGGCTGTACCAGCGGCGTTCGTTTTGTTTCTTACTTGCAGATCTGTCCGTGGTGACCGCGGCGCGCGACCTCGCGTCGACGGCGTAGGGGTGGTCTCCGAGACTTGAGCGACGAGACCGCCCGCCGCTCCGGGGGCTTTGTTACGGCAGTGATATCGTCGCCGGGCAGGACGAGCAAGCTAGTAGGAGAGAAACCCTCTAGCCTACAGGCAATGGACAGCGCTCACATTAAAGCGCCGCTCGTAGACGCTGCCACGAGGCCGGAGAAGGCCAGCTGTCGCATCCGCGTGCTCCGAGGAGCAGCCACGACCGGCACGCGCCGCAGTCGAAGCGCGTCGGCACGCCACCGCGGGCAAAGCACAGGGGCAGCCCCATTGACGGACCGATGGCGGGCCAGGGCTTCGCGGCCGACGACCGCCCGGACTTCCCCAAGATCCTCGAGTTCTTCACGGACCCGCGCACGGAAGACCTCCAGGCGCGGCAGCACGCTTTACTGAAACGCGTCGTCCAGAAGTGCCAGCGTGGTTTTAGGTTAAGGGAGCTCCCGGTCGTCGCGGAGTTGTTGGATATCGTGCCCAAGCGTATTGAAGGATTAATTGAAAAAGACGCGGAAGAAAGCGAAGAACTCGAGAGGACGCTCTGCAACATTATAAGGATCACCGCGAGACCGAACCTAAGGCAAAAGGCCAACGAGGAATTATTAGCACCGGGTCTCAAGGCCGCGGCCCAGATCTTGGAGCAGTTACTCCGCCTACAATCATCGACATCGGTAAGGGTGGCCGTCGAAGCTACAAGAGCATTGACCGCCATCGCGACCCCCGAAGATACCTCTGCCGCGGGCAAGGCCCAGAAAAAACTAAACAGAAAGCTCCTGCTCGAAGCCAACGCCGTCCAGGCGACGTGCGCGAAAGTAGAGGAGAATGCGAACATTATCCTAGCTATTGACGACGACGGCACGGAGCGGAAGGTCTTCGACGCGCGTGCGACCGTCGACTTTATTGATGCGGACACGTCGGATGATGAAGATGTCACCATGTCGCGGTCCTCCTCCAGAGGTGGTCGAAGAAGGAAGCCGCGGTCCGCCAAGACCGACGCCTTATTCAGCGACGTTTTGTCCTACTCGACGCACAAGCGCACGCTCGAGTATGCGCAGTCGCAAGTCCTTAGAAGCTTGGTACATTTGCTGAGGGAACTATCTACAGATGCGCAGTCTTCGTTCGACCTGGTGGAATGTGGCGGTGCTCGAGCGTGTGTGAAACTACTGCGGTGCTACCTCCACGATCCTGCCGCGTCGGATGTCGTCCATGCGACGGTAGAAATTCTCTGGAACGTCCTCGAGCACTGCCACGACGTCACCGACGTCGCCGGGCCGCCTGCGGCCTCTCGCACCAAGCTCCTATCAAGGAGGCGCTTCACCTCAGCTATGTACCAGCTGTCGGATGATGCGACCATCGCGGTCCTGAGACAGATCCTGCAGCACCTGTTCCTGACGGGCCACAAGGCCGACGACAAAAGACTAAGGAACGAGGTCCTCATCGTCTGCTCGTTGATCGCGTCGCATCGAAAATCGCACGCCGCCTTCCGACGGCAGCGGTTGATCCACTTGCTGCTCGATTATGCTTGTGCGGCCGAATTGCCCGAGGACGCGATCGAAGTGCGGACGCAGGCCACACAAAGCCGCGACCCGCGGTCCACGGAGCCGCCGTTGGCGGATCGGCACACCTTCGCCACGTCGTCGAATGAAGACTTGGAGACGAAGCGAATTTTGTGGTCCATGTTGAGTGATCTGGGCCGGGCCGAGGAGGAAAATCTCAAATTAGTTGTAGAAGCGGACTTCATGGGCGCCTTGCTCATGTATCTAGATGTGGAAGCCTTAGATGCGGCCGACGAGCCCGAGGAATGGGACGACGACGAGACGGCCGTGTCGCGACACGGTCTCGGTGAACGGGCGGCGGATCCCGGGCATCCTGAAGAACCTGGAGCTGACGAAGCTGCATGTCTTACAGCAGCAGGCCATGGCCGTGTTGTTGAATTTGGCGCCGCGGCGCCGGCGGCATTCCAGAAGCTCCAGGGCCACATTTTGGCACTACGGTTCCTGGACGCGTGCGATGAAGGTAACGACGAAGCCACCCAGAACACCAATGCCACAAGACCGTCGGCGAGAAGTGCCGATGGGTTGGTGAGGGGTGCGTTGATGCTCCTGATCAGTGTGGTGGGCTTACCGGGCCTCCAGAACGAGCTCGGCAACTTAGATGGGGTCGAGATCATGCTCAAGCGCTTCGCCGATTCAAGGGCGGGCGCGAACATGCGGAACGACGCCGTCATGATCCTGGCGAAGCTCTGCGAGAACCACGAGGACAACCAAGCTCGGTTACGGCGGGCGCACGGCGTTTCATTGTTGATCCAGGAGATCGACGCGTACGTCAAACGGCGCGTGCCGGTCACTAGATCGCGCCACAAGAATTTGAGCGAGGCGGCGCGCGACGCCATGCCGTCGTCGTCCTCCGCTGAAAAAGTTGATCCATTGATTGTCGGTGTCCTGGACTGCCTCTGGCACGGCGTCGTGGGCAACAGGCGGTCGGAAGCTCGCTTGCCGCCGGTTGATGGTTTGGATGCGCTTCTAGCTTTATTAGAAGTAGGACCGAGGCTCATGCGGCTGCAGGTTTGTGGTGTTTTAGCTGATTTGGCGAGAAACCCCAAGCTCATCTCGTACATCCGGGGCTGGCGGTCGGACAAGACCATGCGGTCGACGTGTCAATTGTTAGCACATGCCTGGGAGGACGAGGAGATCCGGCTGGGCTGCGATAGAGATCGGGGCGTTTTGAGCGACACGGCGCAGCCTCTAAGGAAGAAAAAACCTTCCCAAAAGGAGGAGAAGATTATTACGACGATCGCTGGAGACAGCTCGGATTCCGACGAAGAATTAACAGTGGTACAGGCGCCGCCCGCTGATGCTCAAACGACCATGAAGTTCATGCAGCGTTCGGCCGGCGGCGCTGCAGACGCCGCAGGCCGCGCGCGCCGAGCGGGCTTTGCGGCAGGCCGTCGCCACGCATGATTTGCGGAGCAAGGTCGCGCCGATCTACGCCGCTTTGCTCGCGTCCGGCGACGCCCGGTGATAGTGACGCCCGCCCGACGACAAAGCTACTTTAAGGATGGTGGGCCACTACGCGCGCTTTATCGACGGCGAGGCTTGGGTGATGTGCAGCACCAGCTCGCGACGGCCGGTGTGAAGCCCGTGGCGGCGGACCGCACGTTGTTGGATTTCAACATCGGCGCGAGCGTCTCGTTGGCCGAAAAAACCAAAGCCGACCAAGAAGTTTTGGCAGGAGAGCGCAAGGCCGAGGAGAAGGCGGGAGAGGAGTCCTTCTTCGGCTCGATCCTCAACCAGCGCGACCAGGAGATCAAGCAGCTCATCATCAAGCGGGACGCGCTCCGGCCCAAGCGGAAGTTGCTTGAACGGCAGGCGGCGCAAGAGGCCGCTGCCTTGGAGGAGGGGATGAATAAACGCCACCTTACAAACGCCGCGTCGCTTCACCCGTACGCGCCCGTCGTCGCGTAGTTGACGACGAGCTCGCCGCCTCTTCCAAAACAGGCGTAGAGGTGGCCGACGGGCTCGGTAGGGACAGGCGAGAAGGCGCTGTCGCAGTAGAGGAAAAGGCGCTCCGTTTGAGGTAATTGTAATTGCTTCGCGAGGAACGTCTGCACCGCGTGGAACGGCTCTGTTCCGTTTACCGTGAGTTTTGGTTTTCGTAATAAGGGGGCGGAGCCGACGGCTTTGAAGTGGAGCTTGACGCGTTCCGGTGGTGGCTGTGGTGCTGCCTCTGCGCCGGGTGCTGGGGATGGCTGTGCTGCCATGCTGATTTTTCTGACTGTCTGTGAGTGAAATCGATGCGGATTTGTTTCGTCGCAGCTCGTGGCACGTCAAAAATAACGGTGCGGTCCAGCGGTAGGCCTTTCGTGCCGCGCTAGCGCCCGGACAAGGAGCCAGGCTAGTGTCTTACAGGACGCTAGATGCGTCGCGGCGGCAGTTTCTAGAGCTACGGGACAGTCTACATAGGCTCCGGCACGCGCAAGCGTTCTACCGAGACCCAACCTCAGCGGCTTGCGCTTGCTGCACTCTGCCGGCTGTCGGCAGCTGTATAGACCGACACGCCACTGCTGCAAAAACTCCTCGGACGCCGCCGACGCGGAGCGACCTGACGCCACTGACGTGGAGCCAACCCGACGCCAGCCGACGCGGAGCGGTTCGACAAGATGGAGTCCTGGGAGCAGCTGCGAGCGCAAGCGAGGAAGATCGAAGCGGCGTGGAACGCGCCCTCCTCAATTAGCGTCGCTCGCGGCCGACGGCGACAGCGGCGCCGAGGCGCAGCGGCTCCTGAAGACGGTGGAGGACCACCTCAAGGCGCTGGCGGCGCGTCGCGACTCGCTGCAGGCCGAGGAGGCGCGAGCCGTCGCCGGGCGCGCAAGGCCGTCGTCGAGCGGTGTCGCGCCGTTGTTGTTGATTATTCGTCCGACGTCGGCCGCGTCGCTAAACAACTGCGCAAGAACGCGGACCGGGCGAAGCTCTTCGGGCGCGGACGACGTCGTCGACTTGGAGGGCGGGCCGGACCACCTCAAGGGCGTGCACCGCGAGCGGAAGGCGACGACGAACGCGCTGCGAGGAGTGGGCGACGTCATCGAGCAGGCCCACGAGGCGCAGTCGGACCTGGCGTCGCAGCGCGAGACCCTCGAGGGCTCTACAAACACGGCGCAGTCGCTGACGGACCGGCTCCCGTCGATCGACTCGATCATCCAGAAAATGCGCCAGAAGAAGTACCGGGAGAACGCCGTCGTCGGCGTGACGGTCGGGTGCTGCGCGTCGTTTTTGCTCTGGGCCGTGCTCGCCGATGGTGGCGCGCGCGTTATTGCGCGCGCCGCGCCGGTAGCCGCCCCCAGGCAGCTTCCTGACTACTCAGCTCGCGCTCCGCGACGCCGACCTGGAGCAATTCACAATTTCCGCGCGCCACCGTGCAGCGGTGGTTGCAAAAGCGCTCCTCGCCGTTCCAGAGCTCCAGTACGAGGACGCGCCGGCGGCCGCTCTCCACGCGAGACACGCCGTGGTACTTGTACGACGGGAATATTAACGCGTCGCCGCGTTCGAAGACATGTTCGAGCGTTGAGCCGTCCTCTTCCAAAGTCTGAAACCGGCCACCCGCATCGGCCTCGCGCAGGCACACGTCCAGCGTGACGACACTTCCGGAGTCGAAGTGCGTCGGATCGTCCAGCCCCGCTCCTTCGCCGCAGTCGTGCAGTTCGACGCACCGGGTTTCACATTCTCTGGCATTTCCCGAAAAATGCTCGTCGTCGACGTCTTTCGCCAATGTGACCAGGCGATCGAGCAGCTCGCCAGCTTGCGTTCTCGCGAGGCCGTCGGCGTTGAGATACTGCGTCCGCCACGCCGTCCGCGCCGCGACCGGTGGGCCGTGCACGAGTGCATGCGCACTGCCTAGCGCATCGATGGCGTTGAGCGCGCTGTCGTCGAGGAATTTCGGCACTCGTATGACCGGCAGCCTCTGCGCGGCAGCCCGGTCGACCAATGCCTTGCGTGCTCGTGCTTGGGCTGCGCGCAGCGCCATTTCTGAGGAGACTAACGAGCTCTGGTGCCAAGGCGGGCACGAATGCGTCCCTGGGGTGGCACAGCTGGCACCAGCAGAGCAGGTCTGCTGGTGTCGCTCAACCTCGAGGTTTCCGAACAAAAGGGCTGAATCGCCCGAGCGAAATGCACAATAGAAGCGTCTTTCGGTCCCCTTTGTTGCGCAGCGGTGCCGCTGCGGCAGTTTCTCGCAGACAGACGAGCTAGCGTATGTAAGACACTAGCAAGCGGCAAGCCATCCTGGGGCTGCCACACAACCTGCGCAGACCGAGGCTGCCCAAGTGCGCCAAAACAATTGATCTTTTGACTTCCGCACCGCTCTCCCAGCCGCGATGGTCTTCGTGACACCTACAACCACAGAAGTGCTCCAGTGGGAAGGGCTGCACCTCTTCCACTTTGAAAGCAGCACATGCAGCAAGAAAGTAAGGACAGTGCTCGCCTTGAAAGAGTTGAGCTGCACACTGCACCACGTCGACCTCACGACCCACGAGAACAAGACCGAATACTTCCTCGGCATCAATCCACGGGGGCTTGTCCCGGTCCTGGTGCACGACGGGAAGGTCATACTCGAGTCGAACGACATTGTACAGTACTTAGACGACGCCTTCGGCCCGGACTCACCGATTCCCACGCGCCGTTTATCAGATGCGAACACGGAGCAGGCGCTCTCGGCCGAGGACGCGCTGCACATGGCGATGCGGACCCTAACCTTCAGCTTCCGCATCCCGTCGGCGCTCGGCCGCGTGCCGGACGACAGGCTGGCCCTCTACAAGGACCGCGGGGCGAACATTGAGGGCAAGGGGCAGAACCATGGGGAGCAGATAGCGTTCTGGACGGCGTATAACCAAAACGGCGGCTGCTCGGGCGACGCCATCGTCCAAGCTTATGACGCGATCCGCGCGGCCTTCGACGGATTGGAAAATGAATTGAATGGCGCCCAATTTCTGTCCACGGCAGCTGATGCGCTGTCGCTGACGGACGTCGTCTGGTTCCCGACCGTGCGACGGGTGTTCCTCTGCGGCTACGACCTCCGGCGGCACCCGTCGCTCTGGGCCTGGCACGAACGCATGCGCGCGCATCCCGCCATCGCGCCCTTCGTCGAGCCCATGGGCGGCCTCGGCAACGCCTTCTACGTGTGGCAGTACCTCACGGGCACGACGCTCGAGAAATTCGTAGAGGCGCATCGGCGGGCACAGCCCTTCCGGCTAAAGGTTTAAACAACAAATTTAAGCATCACCTGGCGCCTCCGCGAAGTTGATCGCGTCGACGGCGCCCGGCGGCGCCACCGTAACGTAGAAGACGGGTCGCGACGCGTCGCCAGTGTTCGGCAAGCCGCGGTGCAGCGTCGAATAAGAGAAGAGTACAATGTCCCCTCTTCTAAGTTCCGGCGCGCACTTCTCGTATCGATCATCGCCTTCCAGCGTCGGCGCGTAGGCGACGGCGTGCTCGTCCGCGTGCGACCGCAGCGCAAATTCTGTAGGGCCTAGGTGAGAGGGCACGTCAACCAGCGGCACGAACGCGTTGTAGAATTCGTCCATGCCGTCGGCGTGATACAACTGAGGGCCCGCGCCGGGGCGCGAAATGACGCAGCCCGCCGTCGCGACGTCCCACTCGCCTGGATTCGACTCGGCTATGACACGCCTAGCAATCCCAGCGACGCGGTCAGCGAGCTCAGACCAGCGCGGATCCGCCGTACTGTCGTCCAGTCGCACGTCGTGGCGGAGCTCCGACCGTCGAGCAAGCGTCGGCTCGTCAATGGCGGCATCCTGTCCACGGCCGGCGAGTCGATCGTCGAGCGCCTCGACGGCGGCCACGGCATCGCCCTTTTGAACACCAGCAAGCAGCCCGTCGACCGACCGGAGCACCACGACGCCATATTCACGTAGAGCTGCAGATGCTTCATTTGTTTCGCGGTCCGACGGCGGCGTCGATACCGCGACGGTGATGCGCGACGTCGGAGTGGCCTGGAGCATCTCGCACGCGAACGCGGCGTCCGCCTCACGTTCCCTCCGCACGACCGCGCCCTCGGCGCACACCCTGGCGAACGTAGTACACAGCGCCCGAGACTGCAGCCTTCTGAGGTTCGACGCGCGCCCGAGGTCGCGCTGGTGGCGCTCCGACGCGGCGCCGTCGTACCCGTCCACGTTAACTTCAAAGCCGTCGATTTCCACGAATCCCACGGCAATAATGCGCGTGCCCCGCGTCGTCCGGCGGCCGCCGTGGCGCGTCTGGCCGGGATGCAGCACGGCGTCGCCCGCATCCTCGTCGACGCCGTCGAAATCGGCGTCCACGAACGTCGTCGCGCCGCCGTCGAAATCCGACCCGTCCGAGAGCAGCACGTTGAACGAGAGCGGGCCCGCGTCGCGGTGCGGCGCCAGCTCGGCGCCGTCGCCGGCGTCGGCGTCGTATCGGACGACAAAGGCGTCGATGAGGCACAGTGCCGCCTCCGGAACCTCATAACAATGAGCCAGGCGCGCGCGGACCCGCGACCAGACTATCGAATCGAACTGGGGTTCGACGTCGTGCGCTGAAGTATCGAGGGTCGCGTAGGACGCGTGGCGGTCCGACGCCCAGGCGGACGGCGGCAGCGCGAGCGCTTTTTCGCCGATGGCCAGCGCGTCTTCTCGGGGTACGCATTGTTTTATGCGGAACGCGGTGCCCAAACGCCCCGGGTAGATGCGGTGGCTGGTCGAGGACAGCGCGGTCGCCGTCGCCGCGAGGAGAGCGATCATAGCAATCATCGATTCTCGGCCTCGGCCCTCGCGCGCGCCAGTTCAAAGTCGGCCTGGTGGATGGCCTGGTCCAATCGCAGGATGCCCAGGTCGAGCGCCTCCGGTTCGCCCTCGGACTCGACCGGCTCGCGCTCGAAGAGGACCCTCGCCGTCGCGCGAAAGAGCAGTGCGAGGTAGGCGCCGATCGTGCTGAAGAGCGCTTGGAAGGTGAGGTGTAGCGGCGACGGCATTGAGTGGTGCACTAATTTACGCTGCTGGATGCAACGGCTTGGCGCCAGGATGCTGTACGCTGTAAACTCACAGAGTGCAATCTGTGCAGTGCAGCCTTTGAGCAGTTCTCTGAGTACTCTGAAGGTTCTGCCGCTGCGGGCTGTAGAAATGGCGAGTACTGATGGGTCGCGCCAGACAAATGATGCCTGGCGCGCGTTATTGCCGTTTTGCGGTCGGCAAGATGGAATTAGCTAGCGGCCTGTACAGGTAAGACACTAGCGAGCGGCCAACCAGCGGTCGTTCCAAGGAGATGAGCCATCGATCACCGTAATACACGGCATCCTCCAGAAGAAACTAAATAGTACCAATCAAATTACACAGCCACCACGACGCGATCACTCGCCGGTCGTCGAAGACACGACCTCGACGACGGGCTTCGACCGCAGGATGAGCGACGGTAAGGGCTCCGCCGCCGGCATCTCGAATTTCTTGACGTCGTGCTTTGACGGCTCGTCGGCCGCGGCGTCGCCGTGGTCCGCGTGTAACGCCGCTTTTTGTGCCTCGCGGCGCTTCCGGGACCGCTCCTCGGCCTCGCGCTTCCGCGCCGCCTTGGCTTCCGCGAGCTGCGCCTTGCGCGCCTCGACCTCGGCGTTGTGACGAGCGAACTGCGCCGCCTCTTCCTCCGCCTTGGCCTCGCGCAGCAGCGTGATGTGCGCCTCGAGAAGCGAGTCGTAGCAGCAATATTGTACTTTCTCTGGCGGGAAGAAGCGCTCGAAGGCGCCCAGTCTTACCAATTCCTGGCGCAGCTGATACGTTGTAAGGCTGCTCACGCTGTGGAGGTCGTATTTAGGCGTCGTCGACGGGTCGTAGGCCTGGTCGCAGACGGTAACGTGCTCCGTCATGGTCGTTTCCACAAGGGCTGCGTCTCTCAGCCGGCTTTGGGCAGCCTTGGGCAGCAGTTGGGCGTATCTCGGCCGCGCAGCGCATCGAACTCGAGTCGAGATGCCCCGCACGATAGCGCCGCGAACGCGCTCGAGCCAAAGTTCACACTGAAACATCGACCAGGCTCGCCCGCGACGGCGACGTCCTCCTGGACTCGCCTCCGCGGTCGGCGTAGCGTCCTGATACGCAATCATCAGTTCGCTCCTTCTGCTTCATGCGCCGCCGGAGCAGCAAGTAGGCGACGGACCGCGCGACGACGAACATGACGAACAGCGCGACGATGGCCTGGCCCGTCGTGAAGCGTCGGTCGGTGGTACTCCTCGCGGGTCGTTCACCGAGATTTTGCCGTCGCCGCCGGGCGCCGCACGAATCGGGGAAGAGCGTGCCGTCGTCGGGATTGCCGCACTTGAATTTTTGCGGTCAATCCCAAAAATGGCGTCCGCCGAGAGCTTGAGGATGTAGATCAAGATTGGCGAGACGGCCCACGGCACGGCCGTCTGCGAGACGGGCACAAATAAACCAGTGAAGAGGAAGACGTAGGTCACGTAGATCATCGCCACCGTCACGACGTTCTCTCCACTTACTCCAGCGGAGAACATGAGGCCGATCGACTGGAACGTGAGGAACGACGCCACTAGCACGGCGTACAACGCGAACCAGACCGCCGGGTTGCTCGACACGCCCGCGAGCACATAGAAGATCTGTGTGGAAATCAAATTTCGGGCGCCCCACGCCATCGACGCGATATTTTCTCCGTAGCCGCGTCTGCTCGATGGCGGCAACCTAACTCACTGGTTGATATCCACACAGCTCTCGACCGTCAAATGCATCAAACTTTGAGCACACATGGGCACCAAATTCATCGTCGAGTCGACGACGAACCACGCTTCTAATCTGTAGGCGTTGCACGCCAGGTCCTTGCGGAGCATGTTTTGAGCGGCGCCGAACCAGGGCAGCGCGTCCAGCAGCGGGAAGAAGATCCAGGCGATGGGTATCGCGAACGCCAGTGTGTAGCGCGGGAAGACGTCCTTTTCTTTGTAGCCGAGCTGCCACCACATCAGGCCGGCGAGCGTCGCGTTGCCGCCGTGCAGCAATAATGACGAGCGCTTGAAGACCTTGGGCGCCACGGCCTTCCACGACCGACGGCTGAGGACGGCGATCTGCTCCGTGAGCGGCGCGGCGTAGCGCTGGCGCCGCTTCTGGGCCCGCAGCGATCGCAAGGGCTCCGTCCGCGGCGGCGTTGAGGGGCCGTGGCGCTCGTCGAGGACCCGCTTCTTCTCATCATCACTATCGACCTTGTTCTCGACCACAATCTCCATGAGCCAGTCCGGCGCACTGTAAGCCGCAGGGCACGGCAGGTGGAACGGCGCGCCCGCTGGCGCCGCCAGCGTCCCGCCGTCGAGCCTCTGTAGGTAAGACCGCCCTTTCGCAGCAATAGTAACTCGTCGAAGAGGAGAAAGAGGCGCGACGACGGCTGGTGAATCGACGCCACGACGGCGACGCGCCGCTCCCGCGCGAGGTCGCGCAGCGCCTCGACGACGACGCACGCCGTGGCGCTGTCGAGGCCGCTCGTCGGCTCGTCGCAGCACAGGAGTCTAGGTCTCGTCAGCATTTCCTGCCCGACCATGAGCCGCTTGCGCTCTCCACCGGAGATCGTCTTGCCGCCCATGCCGCCGACCGGCGTCTCGGCGCACGATTCCAAGCGGAGCAGCTTGAGCGTCTCGTCGACTCTCTCCAGTTTTTCCTTCAATGAGGCCGCCGGAAGTCGCAGGCGCGCGGAGAACGCTAACGTTTCTCTAACGGTCAGTCCTTCGAAGACGAGGTCGTCCTGCTCGACGAAGGCGACGTGGCGCTTCAACGCGGAGGACCAGGCCAGGTCGTCGCCGTACCAAACCTGGCCACCGCCGACCGGGCCCCTCCGAGCTAATGCGTTTAAGAGCGACGTCTTGCCGCAGCCCGTGGGCCCCATCAGCGCGACGGCCTGGCCCGCCTCGACGTCGCCCGAGCACGGCGCTAATGCCTGTACGTCCTTGAAATGCACGCTGAGATTGCGCCAGTGGACGCCTAATGTCTCCACGTATTCTACGTTCTCCTTCTCCGCGCGGATGCGGCTCTGGTCCATCTTTGTCGCAGAGAGCGTGCGTTCACCTTTCCCCATCGTCGCCTCTTGGAGAGCTTGTGTTGTCAGGGCTATTTTCTCTTCGCACGGATGCGTAGTGATTGCGCGCGCTGCGCAACTGGTTGTTCCCTTGCAGGGACTGCCTTGCACCAATTCTTGCACTGTAAGAATTAGCGTGGGCAACGTGACAGTCGTGCAAAGCTTGGCATGCGTGTTTCTAGCGGGCATGTATCACTAGCAGAAGCCTCTGCTGGCCTCCACATCCGTCGTCGCACGCATATTTACGTGGCCATAACATTCCTTTGCAATGAACAACCGATTAGCTACCTCTAGGTTCCCATTTCTAAGCGACGCGCGGCGGCCCGACGCCGGGCAGGGATTACCGACACCAGTACGACACCAGCACGCCTTCAGCGCGAAGCAAGAAGAGAAGGAAGACTACAAGCAGCAAAGGTTAGGAGCACCGGTCTACTAGTGGTGGTGGTGCGCCGCGTCCTGCGTCCAGTTGATCGTCGACAGATCCACGCCCTCCTGGACGAGCTCCCAGAGCGGCGACATCTCCCGCAGCCGCGCGACGTGGACCCGTAGTAGATCAATCGCGAAGTCGACCTCGGCTTCCGTCGTGAACCGCCCCAACCCGAAGCGCAGCGACGTGTGGGCCAGGTCCTCGGACACGCCGATGGCCCGGAGCACGTAGGACGGTTCTAAAGAGGCCGACGTGCACGCGGACCCCGAGCTTACCGCAATGTTCTTGAGCGACATCAGTAACGATTCACCTTCCACATACGCAAATGATAAATTGACGTTGCCCGCGTGGCGCTGCGTCGCGTGGCCATTTAATACAACTTCGGGCACGTGCTCCCTGATCCCAGCCATGAGTCTTTCCGACAATCGTTCGACGTGGGCCATGTCGTTCGGCAGCTCTTTTAAAGCGACGTCCGCCGCGGCGCCCAGACCGACGCATAAAGCCGTCGGTAATGTGCCGGATCTAAACCCGCGCTCCTGGCCGCCGCCCGACAGAACGGGCTCCAATCGCACGCGAGGCCTTCGCCGCACGTACAACGCTCCAATACCCTTCGGCCCATACAACTTGTGCCCCGAGATCGACACGAGATCACACCCGATCTCGTTCACGTCGAAGGGTAACTTCCCGACCATCTGCGCCGCGTCCGTGTGGAAGAAGGCCTTGGCCTCTTTCGCGATCTGGCCGATCTCCTTCAAAGGCTGCAGCGTGCCGATCTCGTTGTTGACGGCCATCACGCTCACGAGGCACGTCTCGTCCTTGCGCACCGCACTTCTCAATTCGTCGAGGTTCACCATGCCCGTCGCGCGCTCTACTGGTAAATAAGTGACCTCGAAGCCCTCCCGCTCCAACGCCCGACACGAATCCAGCACGCACTTGTGCTCCGTTTGGGTGGTGACGATGTGCTTCTTCTTCGCGCCGTAGAAGCGCGCGATGCCCTTGACACTCATATTATTCGACTCCGTCGCGCCGCTCGTGAAGACGACTTCCCTAGAATCGGCTCCGATCAGTTTCGCGAGGGACTCGCGCGCGTTCTCGACGGCCTTTTCCGACTCCCAGCCGAACGCGTGCGTTTTCGAATGCGCGTTTCCGAAGTTGCCCAGGAAGTAGGGCAGCATCGCGTCCAGGACCCTCGGGTCCACGGGCGACGTCGCTTGCACATCCAAATACGCGGGCGCGCCGTTTCTAGCCATGGCGTCGATGCCAAAGCCCGGCTCCATCGTGCGCGGTGCTTCCGTGTCCTTCTCGAGAGCCGAGAGCGGGCGCGCTCTCGGCGCGGTGCGGGCGGCGCGCGCGAGCGTCTTGGCGGCGGACGCGACGCGCATGGTTGTCTAGCGGCGGAGGGAAGCGAGCAGGTGCTCTGTGAGAGCAGGTCGGCTGCTAAGCTATCTGAGCGCGCACAAGCTTCGCAGCTTTGTGTGGGCACCGAGAAGAGAATTTCTAAGGGGTGGCCGGAGCTCCCGCCGCGATGCTTGCTCGCAAATTAGACCAGCTCAATGCGGCGCTCTCGGCTCCCTAGTGTCTTACATGCCGCTAGCGCATTTATTTACTGCTGGATCAAACGAGTCCACAGGCGCCCATCAATACGAATCAGTGGTCGAGGGTTAATCGTAACACGCCCACTGACTCACACAAGTGCGCGCGGCGAGAGATATTTGCGCCAAGACGAGCGCTAAGGAGATCCAGTTTTAAAAAAAAGGCCGAGGCTGTGTTTGGATGTCACGCGACGGGCCAGATAAAATTCGTCGTACCGGGGCTTGGAAAACACGGCGAGCTCGAGTCCGCCGCCCGCAGCCGAGCAGCCGCGCGACCTACGCCGACCTCCTCACGATAGGTGGTTTTTCGCGGAGGCTCTCTACGAAGACCCCGACGCCACGCTCGACGATATTCGCGAAGCCGTAACGACGCTCGAGGACACTGAACGTATTGCGCGGCGCGTGATGGGCGGCGCGCACCCGACCACAGAAGGGCTTGGGACTTGCCTGCGAAACGCGCGAGCCGTGCTCCGCGCCCACGAGACGCTGCCGAGCAGTGCGTAAGATTCACCTAACGCCATCGCCGCACGCACATGCATAATACTATGAGCAACTATGTATATAACTTACTACTCCTGAGCAATATCGTCGACAACCAGCTTCTCGACGGCCACCGTCGTCGCCGAAACCGTCTCCTCGTTCTTCTTCGGCAACAGGCGCGCGTACGGCGGCGCGTGCGCGGCCAGCAACTTTTCGTTGCACTCCCGCAGGAACGGGTCCACGTTCGCGTAGGCGGCCTTGAGCTTCGAGGCCGCGAGCGAACCCAGCGCCGCGTTAAGCTCGTCGTCGGGGTCCGATTTCCGCCCGCGGACGTCGAGCTTGATGGCGGAGCACGTCAGCAGCAGGCCCGTCGCGGCCCGCGGGTTGTGCTTCGGGCCGAGCAGCTCCAAGCTCTTCGCGAAGTAGACGCGCTTTTCTGTAGGCGTGAGGCTCGCGCTTCGCCGTCGTCGACGCAGCCCACGAGTAGTAGAGCTCTCCCAATCTCCGCATGTAGTGCTGCGCCGTCGGGTCGAACAATGTGAGTTCTTCGTAGCAGAAAATGGCGTCCGAGAAGCGGTAGGCCGCCGCGTGGGCCTCGGCGAGGGCCTGCCACGCGCCGCGGTCGCTCTGGCACGTCGCCGTCAGCTTCGTGAGTGCCGCGATGACGGCCTCGCGCCCGGCGCCCTTGGCCTCGACGACGCAGACCTCGCGTTTCAGAGCCGTCGAGTTCGCGGGTTCTGCGCGAGGACGCCCTTGTACCTTTGGAGCGCTGCCTCCCAGTCGCCCGCCGCCTCGGCCACGAGGCCCTCCAGCCGTTCTAGTCGCTGGGACGGCGGGTTCGCGCCCAAACCTCTTCAGTAGAGCGCTGGCAGGCGTCTCGCAGCGGCGTCGTCGACGTCCAACGCCGCCACCAAGGTCTGCTCGTAGACGGCCCAGACGTCGTCGCCTAGAACACGGGCCGCCCGTCGGGGTCCTGCAGCGCCGTCTTCCGTGCGTCGCGGACGACCTGGGACTGGCGCAGCTTCTGCGTCGGATCAGTTTGAGGAGCGCCGCGATCTTGGGCAGGCTCCGCGGGTCCGCCTGGACGGCGGCGTGGAGGTCGGCGTAGCTAGCCATTTTTTGGTAGCGCTGCGGCGCGGCGGCGCAGCGAGTCGGATGGACTACTAGCCAAGCGGCACAGCGGTGGGGCGCGTTGGCGCGCAGGCGTTGTCGCGAGAGCTAGAGTGATTCCTGGCCGTGCGTGGACGAGCCCTTAGCTTGCAGCAGCCTCCAAAAAAGCCCCGCCGCGCGTGCTAGGCATCCCTAGTATCTTACATGACGCTAGCTCGCGATTCCTAACTTTGTCGCGCGGGTCTAAAATTTGTAGACCGGCGACGCGGGACTCATAATTATAACCTGGCGTACTTGCAAAAGCATGGCGACCACAAATAGCTCGCCTCTACTGGGCCTTCCAGATGACCTCCTGCAGCGCGTCCTCGTGGGTATTCCCCGCGACGACCACGGCGCCGCGGCCGCTGCTTGTGGCGCCTTTCGCGCGATCATACGTGGCCCGAGATTTCTCCGCTTACGCCGGGAGTTTGGCTTCGCGGAACGCGCCGTCCTCCTCCTCTCAGGTCGTTTTAGAATTAACCAGGACGAAAGTATAGACGGATGTTTGGAGATCCACGCGGCGCAAAAAAGGGGGTTCGCGGAATCCTTTTTTGAACACAAAGTGTCTATAATTGAGTCGACGACCGACGGCGCCGCCCGGATATTTTTCTGCACCAATGTAAAAACTGGTAATGAAATCTTAGTTATGGATGCCTCTACATGCCGATGGAGTCGGTTCGCAACGCTCCCGCAAAATCAAAAGGGGCAATGCATGCTTTGGCACGGCTCCGGGCTGCTTTACGTCGCCGGCGGGTACGTGGCCAACACCGGGGGCTATCTTAGTTCTCTCCACGCGTTCAACGAAGTAACGGGATTGTGGGAGACGTTGCCTTCTATGCCACACGCCTGTATGTGCGCGGTGTCGGCCGTCATCGGCGACCAGCTCTTCGTTCTAGGAGGCTACGAGGCAGGCCCGGAGATGGCCTCGACAAATATTTTGCAGATTTATGACATCCCCACTAGGACCTGGCGAGTGGGGGCGTCGAAACCGGACGGTGAAGAATTTGCTGCGGCGCTTGCTGTTGACGGGAAGTTATTTTGTGTCGACGGGAGCTTTTCGGTGAGGTATGACCCTCACTCCGATACGTGGACCGAGATCCCAGGCCCGCCAAGGCCGGGCGGGCGTCGTTGCTCCTGCGTCCACAATGGCCGCATCGTCGCCTTTTACCACGACGGCGCGGCGTTTGAGCGCGCCAACGACGGCTCGTGGTCTCCTTACCAGGCCGTCGCCGACGTCGATGCACTCGACCACAGGAGTCTGGCATGCTTCGGGTCCGTCCTCCTCGGCTAGCTAGGAATCCCCGGGCCGCGTAAGGAACTTGGTCTACTCTTAAGATACGTTGTTACACAGACGCGCGTCGCTCACTCCTTCACCTTCTTCACCTTCGGCGGCCGCGGCAGCTTCGCGCCGAGCGCGCGCTCGAGTTTCGAGATGATCGCAGGGTTGGGCACGGCCTTGCCCTGCTCGTACTGCTGGATGACCTGGGGCTTCGTTGATCTTCGTGCCGAGGTCCTTCTGGGACGTGGCTTCTTGGCCATTCTAGCTTGCATCAACGCCTTGCCGAAGGCGAGGCCCGTCTTCTGGACCTTGAACGTTTCGGTCTCCTCGGCGAGCTTGCGCGCGCCGGCGCCAGCCGAGGTGCCCATCGGGCCGTGGCCGCCCACAGATTTATTCGCGGTGGCGAACTGGCGCGCCTGGGACACGGCGGCGCCGCTCCGCTGCGCCGAGGTCAGGCTCTGCTTCTTGTCGCCCTGCGTCGGCTTCTTGAAAGGCTTGGTCGAGCGGCCCACATTTACGGTCTCCCAGTCCTGGCCGGCGTTGCCGCCGAAGTTGGACATGGTTGCTGTGCTTTTGCAGTGTGCAGTGTCTGGTTGCTGGTCAGTGATTCCCTGTGGCGTGCGCACGCAGCGCGGCGAGAAACTTGTGCAGCAGCGCGATGCAACGAGCGATGCGCTGATACGCTATTCAATCTGTGCGAGCAGACGCGTAAAAGCGCAATCGACGCACACTCGTCGATGTCTCTGTCTGTGCCCAAGCCGGGCAGCGAGCTAAGACTCTTCCCGAGGGCTGCTCCACGTGCTGCTGTACCCTGGAACGGCTCTACCGCTTGACACGCTAGCTCTACACGCTAGCTAGCTCTCTTGGCGCGAAGCAGCTCTCGCAATTGGACGCCCAAAACGAGACGCACAGTGGCCACAAGTGCTGCGCAGCTGCGACGTCGCCACACCCAACCAGTGGAGCACGCCTACAGCGCGCGCGCACTCCAGGCGTCCGCTAGAAGCGCAAGCTACCGAGCGCGCCAGGACCGAGACCGCCCAATTTCAAAAAGCAAGCACTAAAAGAGCACGCCTACAGCGCGCGCGCACTCCAGGCGCCAGCAGCGAGCACTAACTTAGCCCGCGCGCAGCGCAAATTCAAAAGCAGACGATGGTCGCCCGCCCGAGCCGCGCGCGCGCCAAGCCACGAAGCTTGTACGACGAGCAGGCCGAAGAACTGAGGAAGAAGGGCGTCGAGCTCCAGACGCAGGACGACGACGAGGAGAACGAGGAACAGGACGACGACCGCTCCGCGACCTTCGTGGCCGAACCGACCCAGAAGAAGGCTAGAGCGCGGACGGGCGCCGTCGCCAAGCCGCGGACGAACGCGGCCCCCAAACAGGCCACGGCCCTCTTCAAGGCCGTGTCGGCCGCCAAACAAGGTAGAAAAAGTGACAACCCAAAGCGCCGCCGAGGCCTGGGCCGTCGAGTTCGCGACCTCTCCAGAAAAGGGCGCCGCCCTATTAACGCGCTTCGCCTTCGAGTGCTGCGGTGCGGTGGACGCGAAGGCTATTGTGGGCGATTCCCTAGACGAGGACGCCGACGACGCCGCCTGGACGCAATTACTAACATCACTCGGCGACCAGCTCGGCTCGAAGGCGACGCCGCGCGCGTACCCGCTCCACCCGACGGCCGGGAGGGGAGACGCGTTCGAGGAGCGCTTCCGCGGGGCCTGGGCCGAGGTCGTGGACGCGTCGGCGCGCGGCGACCGCGGCGCCTACGAGGAGACGGCCATTTCCTTGATCGTCGACGTGCTCACGTGCAACGCGGCGTCCTTTGACCTCGATCCGACCGATCGCGTCGATGGCGTGAGGTGGAGCGAGACACTGACTCACACAGGCGCCTCTCCGGCTCGGCGGTGGCGCACGCGCGGCACGTCGGCGGCGCCGGCGCGATGGCGGTCGGCGATCGGCTCGCCGAGGCCGCGACGTCGATCGACGACCGTTTAGTTATTGCCAAGAGACAACTGAGAGCCGCCCTCGGGTCCTCCAAGACGCCGAAGAAGGGCTCCAAGGCCGAGACGTGCCAGCAGACCGTCGACGACCTCGAAGAAGCGCGCACGAAATGCGACGAGGCCCTCGACGAACTCTTCGAGGGCGTCTTCTCCAAAAGATATCGCGACTCGAAGCCCGAGGTGCGCGCGGCCGTCGTCAAGGGCCTGGTCGGCTGGGTACAAGCGAGACCATCGAAGTTCGCGGCCACAAAGTACCTCAAGTATGCGGCCTGGGTCCTCGACTTCCAGGACGGTGCTGCGGTGCGAGCGTCTGGAGCTCGTGTCTTAGCCGCGGCCTTCGCGTGTGCGGGAGACCAGAAGGACACGCTGCGGGACTTTGCTTTACGGTTCGCGCCTCGATTAGGTGAAATGGCTCATGATGTCGACCCGGACTGCCAGGCGGCGGCGATCCAGGCGTTGCGGGCCCTGAAGGACTGCGGGTTATTGGATGAGTTGGAATTGGGTGAAGACGAGGGCCGACGTTGCGCCGACAACGCCTCACGCGAAGATCGTGGACCAGGCTTGTTCAGCCGATATAAGGAGCGACGCCCTCGCTTTTGCGTTGGATCTCGAGGAGTTCGACGCCAACACGTCGCAGGGCGACGCTCAAAGATCTTTAAGAGACCTGGGCCGCTTCGTCGAGGCGTCGGTCCTGGGTGATGACGGTCCCACTACCTTAACAAGCCTGGCGGCCGACGCCTTCCTCGCGCTGCCCGAACGAGCATCTCTACTGAGAGACTGGCGCGCCTGGGTCGCTTTGTTGCAGCGCGACGACGTCGACGCCGCCGCGTCGCAAGAGAACCAGCGATTAGTGGACGTGCTGTTACGACTGTGCGCCCGGTCGGCGGAGACAGATTCACTAAGCGCGGCGCCCGCGTTGCTAGAAGCTTTACCGGCCTTGCTCACGAAGTACGGCGGCGACGACGACCTGCTCCAGACGGTCTGTGCCCTCGGCGAGAGCGCCTCGCAAGCGTCCACGAAAGACGCGCGCTACGTCAAGGCCTGCAAGGCTCTCTTAGATCGCGTCGCCACGACCTCCGACGACGCTTCCCTGAATGCCGCGGCGAAGGCCATCCGGGCCTTCTCCGCCAACTCGACGGACAAGAAGCTATCCAAGGCCGTCTCGAAATGTATTAGCGAGGCGGCCAAACCCTTACTCGAGGAGCCCGCCGGCGATAACGACGCCGTCGAGGCGGCATTGATGGCGGCCGTGAAGCGCATTCAAGCCCTGGCGCAGGCCGTCGACGTCCCGGCCGCGTTATCGGGTGGCGCGGCATTGGCCGAAGCGCTGGCGGCGCGCGCGGCGCAGCTGGCCGACGACGGCGACGTCAATGCCAAGGCGTGCCTCGAGGCGCTCGGGGCGTTGGTGTTGTGGCGCGCCAAGGCGTGCCTGGATAATATAGATGACGCCGGCGACGCGGAGCCGCTCGACCCCGTCATTACTGCGTGCGCGGACGGCGCCGCGCGCGCGCTGGCGTGCCGCTACGAGGCGCCGACGCTGGCGTTGAAAGGAGGGGACCTCCACGACCTCGAATTGAGGGAGGACGACGAGAACACGATGCAAGTGACGAGGGCCGCGTTAGATGTGGTTGCGGTGCTCGCGGCCGCGGCCCATCCTGGTTTAAAGGAGCGCCAAGGCTTAGAATCTATGGCGCTGCCCGTCGAGACGGACGCGCAGTTGTGTTCGTTGGTCGCCGACGCCTGCCGCCGGGGCGACGTCTCCCTAGAACCGTGCGCGCACGTGGCCGCCGCGGCGCCGCCCGAGACGCCCGCGCGGACGGACCTCTGGGCCGCCGTCGTAGCAAGGGCCGCGAAGGACGACGCGGACTTGCTCCCTTCTCTCTCTTCGCGGCTGGCCGGCACGGGCCCCGACGACGTCGCCCGCGTCCACCTCAAGGCGCTCGAGGCCGAGACCCTGGACCAGGTGACGGCGAAGGCCCTGGCGAAGAGCCTCGTCAAGGCGGCGGCGACGCGCGCCGACCGCGCCGACGCGCTGCACGCGCTGCTGCACGCCGGCGTCGACGCGGCGCTCGCCGACGCGCCCTCTACCTTAATTCTGCTCGGCGCGCTGCGGCCCTACGTCGACGCCGCGCAGCCCAAGCGCCGCGGCAAGGACGCCGAGGCGGACTCCAAGGTCGACCGCGCGCTCGTCGCTTCGGTCCGGGACGCATGCGCCGCGCGGGCCTCAGTGATCCGCCGCGACGCCGACGACGATGAGAACTGGGATTTACTAGATGCCTTCGAGGGCGCGCTAGGCACGCACGCGCCGGCCAAGAAGAAGGCGCCGCCTGCTCCAGAGGAGGAGGAGCCCTGGGACGCGCCCGCCGAACCACCCAAGCTGCCCAAGGCCAAGAGCCCGCCGCGCCGCCGCGCGCCGCCCGCGCGCCGCGGCTCGGGCTACCGCTCGGCGCTGGCGTCGAGCCTCAGCGAGCCGCTCGAGAAGATCGCCGAGGCGAGCGACGAGGACTCGGACGACGGCGGCGCCGCGCTTCTCCAACGTCGCTCGCAGGACGACGTGCCCGACGACCTGTCGGCCGTGTCGTCGCTCAAGGACGACGACCAGGCGGGTTCGAATTCGCGCAAGCGCAAGCCGCACCCGCTGTCGCCGATCCCGAGCGCGCCCGTCGTCGAGAGCGACGAGGAGCCCGCCGAGCCGTCGCCGAAGAAGAAGAAGACGCCCAAGAAGTCGCCGCCGAAGCGCAAGTCGCTCGGCCGCTAAGAAGAGCCGCCCTGCCTACATGTTCCCCCTCTCCCCACGGCGACTAAGCGCCATACTACTGAACTCTTACACTTCCTAGTCCAGCGACGGCATCGTCCCGAGGTTGATGTGGCTCGTCTTCGTCTTGATGACCTCGTCGATGAGGCCGTAGTCCTTGGCCTCGCCGGGCATCATGCGCAGTCGCGGTCCGTATCCTCGGCGAGCTTGTCCGCGGGCTGGCCCGTGTACTCGGCCATGTACGTGTTGATGACGGCCTTGGTGAAAAGGATCTCCTTCGCCTGGATCTCGATGTCGGCGGCCTGGCCCTGCGCGCCGCCGAGCGGCTGGTGGATCATGATGCGCGCGTTCGGCAGGGATTTCCTCTTCCCTTTGGCGCCGGCGCCTAATAAGAACGCGCCCATCGACGCCCATGCCGAAGCAGACCGTGCTCACGTCGCAGGGGATGAACTGCATCGTGTCGTAGATGGCCATGCCCGCGGATACCGAGCCGCCGGGGCTGTTGATGTACAGCGTGATGTCGGCCTCCGGGTCCTCGTTCGCGAGGTAGAGCATCTGCGCGACGAGCACGTTGCCTACTTCGTCATTTACCTCGCTGCCGAGGAGCAAAATGCGGTCCTTGAGCAATCGAGACACGACATCGATCTGCTCGCCGTTCGAGCCCGTGACCGTCGGCATGATGACCGGGCGCGGCTCGGGCCTCGGCTTCTCGGGCTCCGGCGCGGGCGGCTGCGGCCCGGGCTCGGACTGCAGCGGCGCCACTCGGCTTCTCGGCTGCGGCGCCGGGCTGCGTCCCGCGCGCGGCTGCGGCGCCACGAGTGCGCTGGCACAGGCTGTGCTAAGTAGCAGTGCAACCGCTCGTCTTGGCGCCATTTCGCTGGTCCAGCAGGTTTAGGCCAGAAACAACGTTGTGTCAAGCCTCGCTCGCTGTCAGGATATTGACAAATGCGGCGCGTACGCAGCACTCGCGGAGACGGCAAGTCGAGTTAGCTAGCGGCCTGTAAGACACTAGCAAGCAAAGAGGCGTCCGTTTGCTTCTCTGGCGGTTCCAGAAGAGTCGTCCGCTGAGCGAACAAGTCGCCACGACGCTCACCAGCCAGCTGCAGTGGACATGTTAATGCGGCAATTCGCAGCCGCCACTGCGAGTCTCAGGCCTCATGCGGCAGCATTCGTGGGCTCAGGTATCATACAATTGAGTGCGCAAGCGATTTTGAGTGATGAGGACCGTAGTCTTAAAAACACTGCTGTCTAAGGAGAGGACAGCACCTCTCAAGCTCACGATACCAGAGAGCTGGGGAGGCGCGCCGTGCTCGAAACTCATCAAAGCGTGGTCCAAACGGAAGCAATGCAGCGGCGAGCTGTACCTCGCGTCCAACGACGGTACGCCCATTCCCGAGGACTGGCCGTGGGAGGCGGCCGTCGAGCTCTACGGCAGCACGCTGCGCGTCGGCGAGCGGCGTGACGCCGACGACGACGACCCGGCCAAGCGGCGCGACGACGACGCGGCCACGAACGCCCGCGCTGCGAGTCTGCTGCGGCGCGGCGCCTTCGACGAGGCCGACCGCGCGTTCCGCCGCGTGCTCGAAGGCGGCGCCGCGGCGTTGGGTGATGCGTCCGGAGCGGCTGGAGACGCGGCGACGGTCGCGAGTGAAGGTCTTGACGCGACGACCGCGTGTGCGGCGGACGTCGCAACGGCGCGGCGCGAGCTCCTGCGCGCGGACGGCACCGACGATGGCGCAGAAGTCACGCGGCGGCTCGAGCGGGCCCTCGCCGCCGCGCGCGTCGCGAAGCAGACCGCGCCCGAGTCGGCCGAAATTAAAAAACTCGAGGCCGCCGCGCTGTGTCGCCTGAAGCGCTGGCCCGAGGCGGCCACGGCGCTCGGTGGGGACGAGGTGGACGCGCCGAAGGGAGCCGTTCCGAACACGATCGACCGCCGCGACGCCCTGGATCTCCTGAAGGCGCTCTGCTACGGCGGCGACGCCGCGCGAGCGGCCCGCGTCGCGTCGGCGTGGGCGGCGCGGTTCGCCCGGTCGCGGGATTGGTGCGCGAGCCAGGCGCGGCGGTTCGGCTCCGTCGCCGAGCTCAAGGACAAGGGCGACGCCGCCTTCCGCGCGGGCGACGCCCGGGCCGCGGAGCGCTGGTACGCCGCGGCGCTCGACGAGGACCCGGAGCACCCGGCGCTGCACTACAATGCGGCCGCGTGCCTCGAGAAGCTCGGCCGCCCGCTCGACGCGGCGCGCTGCTGCGCGAGCGCCCTGCGCTGCCGGCCGGACTACGCCGCGGCGCGTTTGCGGCGGGCGCGCTGCCTCGCGCGCGGGGCCGCCGCCGACGGCGACCGCGGGGCGAACGCCAAGGCCTACCTCGAGGCGGCGCTGGACGAGTACGCGCGGTGCCCGGACGCGGCCGCGGAGCAGGCGGCGTGCCGGAAGCGCCTCGCCTTTTGCGACACCGCGGACCCCGAGGCCGACGCGGCCGCGGCGCGCGCCTACGCGGCCCGCGCCCGCGCAACAAGCGCCGCCGCCGCCTCCGAAGCCCAAGGTCGTGGGCCCGACGCTTTACGACGTCGTCGGCGCGCCGCGCGACGCGTCTCCATCAATGCTCAAGCGCGCGTACCGCGCGCGGGCGCTGCGCATGCACCCGGACAAGAGCAAGGCGCCCGACGCCGAGGACCGCTTCCGCGAGCTGCAGGCGGCCTACGACGTGCTCTCGGACGCGCGGGAGCGGGCGGCGTACGACCGGGAGACGTTTGTGTAAGTTTTTTGTGTTATTTATGACGGTGTAGTGAGCTTAGTCATAGTAGTTAGGAAAGACGTTGGGGCGGTAGTCTGGATGCGCCGGCTTGCAGTTTGGAGGAGGTGGCGGATTGCCGTCCTGTTTGAATTTGATAAGGTATTCGGGATACGCTTGCGCGTCGTGGTAAGTGACGAAAATTGATGGGTCCTGGGGGTTGTCGACCGTCGAATCGTAGTGCGCGTGCGTGGCCGCGTCGCGCACGTCGGGCGTGAGCGCGTCTCTGCAGGACGCCGCACGACGTCGACGAGCACCCGGTGCCACTGAACGCGCTGTACAGGTCCACGTCATCGTCCACGCACCAGCCGAGGTCCTGGTTAAAGGCATCGGCTTCGCGAAACATCTCGTACATCGTCGTGACGCTGTGGACCGCCCATCCACTGAGGTCTTGGTTGAAGGCCGAGGCGAAGTAGAACATCCCGTCCATGCCCGTAACGCCAGAGGTGTCCCACGCGCCGATGTCCTGGTTAAAGGCGTAAGCGTGGTAGAACATCCTGTACATGCTCGTGACGCCGGAGGTGTCCCACGCGCCGATGTCCTCGTTAAAGGACGATGCGCCCGAGTTGTAGCAACTGGAATACTCAGGAGAGTTGCTATCGCAAAACAAAAACGACATGCTCGTCACCCCCCCAGTCGCCCACGTCGAGATGTGGCCGTACATGCGGATGGCCTCGTCGCGGTTCGAGAGCCAGAGCGTGACGGCGTCGCCTATCGAAAGGTTGTCAGCAACAAGAGGTGAAACTGTGGGCGCGAACGTCGGCGCGGGCGTCGTCGGCGCGGGCGTCGGTGCTGGAGATACCGTCGGCGCGGGCGTGCCGCTGATTTTGACGTTGATGCGCTGATCCTTAAAATGGCAGGCCCCACACGCGCCGCCGCCGTGCACAACCACGCGATTCGCTCCGGTGCACTCCGCTGGGAACGTGCTACCAGAGAAGACTTCGCCGTTTGGATGCGTGCACTCTACCTCACACTGAGGCTGCCAGCCGTACGGGGTGACAGTATTACCATGCGCAATTACGTGGTCTTGCAGGTCAATTGTCACAGACCCGGCTGCGTTGTATCCTCCGACGCAAGCAATGCCCGCAACTAATGTGACTTCATCCCGAAGTTGCGGCAGCTCCCAGTTGCTCGCAGGTGCAAGGTCCCAAAATGGATCAGTGCTAGTTTGCGTCGTTTCAACGTAGTAGCCAGCGCTGTCCTGGCTCACGGCGAGAATTAGTTCAGCAGACTTGCCACAAAGAAAGTTTGACCAGAGCTCGGCATTCGCACCTAAACCAGGAGAGCACCACCCCGTAGTCGGCCCAACAGAGGTTGAGGCCGTGAGCGACCCGTATGTCAACTTGCGACCCGTGGTCGGCGATGGCGTCGGTGCGGAAGTTTCCACCTCGAATAGAAGGGCTTGCGTGCTGTCATATGAGTCCACCACGTCGCATGCTACGAAATTATGGCACCACCCAGGTTGCCAGTCGGGATTGTCATGCCACCACGCGTATTTGCACTTGTAGTTGGCAGGCGCCGTGCAACCATCGGGGATCTCGCTCACAAGACATTTCTGCTGACACTCTTCAGCTGACGTCGACGGCCAGCCGTTGCACACGTTGTCCGCACAGTTTGACGTACAGCCAGAGCATTCCTTCGCCCCGAGAGATTTCATTCCAGCCAGGCTCTCTGCCAGGCTTGGTGTCGCCAGCACCAGACACAGCAACAGTTCGACCCGTAAGTGATACTGTGCTGGCATTACTGCTCGCAGCATCAGCTGGCCTGCATCAGCATATCAGGACAGGTGTTGTGTAGTGGTCATAGCCTCGACGGGGCTGCCGAGCGCATCGGAAGGAACGTCGACGCGCACATAGGGCTGCCCACGCGTGGCTACAGCGGCCCGCAGCGCACACAGCGCGCGTCGGAGCGTGCTCGCTAGTATCTTACTGGCCGCTAGCTGCGCACAGGGTTTCCGAAGCGTTGGAGCCCTGGAAGCCGCGGCCCGGGGCGGTACCCCCTCCAGAGCGGATAAGACACGAACCCGCACAGAGTCGCCCCACCCCTCCCCGACTCATCCTAACGGCATCGTGAAGGCCCCTCGGGACACATGAGTATTTTATCAAGAGGTAAGGTCGTTTAAAGGAATATGGAAGTAGAAAGCGGAGGAGTTCCGGGAAAGTGAAGCGTCGCCGGCAATGCAGTCGTCAGTCGGACACGACGCGCGCCTGATCTGGAGGTTCGGTGGCGTGCGCTTGGACCATTTCAACGGCACCGGGCGGCACAGGGACGGCAGTCGCCGTCGGGATCGGTTCGACCGAAATCACGGTCGCATGACGACGTCCAGAGTCCAAGGCAGCCGCCTCGTCCCTCGCTGCCGCCGCCTCGCGGTATCGCGCCGCCTCTTCCCGTTGCCGCCGCCTCGCGTCGCGGTCTCGCGCCTCCGAGGCCCGATCCACGTGACGACGATGAACTCGATTCACGACATCGGCAGTTCCCCACATTGCTTGTCGTTGCATGTTTATAAATCTGTTTGCCGCAGCGTCGAGGGCGGCCGGGCGCCTCTCGTGGTGCGCGCGTGGGCGCTCCAGCGGCCGCCCATGCGCTGCCGCCGCCGACGGTTGCAGGTCGCGAAGTCGCACGACCGCCCGACAAAACGGGCACGGCGCCTCGTTCCGAGGCGGATTGGTGGCCAGGACTTGCGTGATGCACTGGCGGCAGAAGCTGTGGTTGCACGGCGTCGTGACCCGGTCGCTGTACGGCTCAAAGCAGATGCCGCATTCCCCCTCCGACTGCGGCCGCGCGCCCGTCGGTTGGGGCGGCGTTGCGTGGTCGGTACGAGAACTTGCAGGAGGCTGCGCACGGACCGTTGGCGGCGGCGCCACCTCGACGGGCGACGCCGTCTCGGCCGCGGCCCGCAGCCGGGCGTTCTCCGCGCGGCGAAGCATCTCTGCGATGGTCTCTGCCGGTTCCGGCGGCGCGGCGGCGGGAGACGACGCGGCGGCCGGCGGCACGGCGGCCGGCGGCGCCCGCCTATGCGCTGCAGCCGCGTGGGGTCCCTCAGGAATGATCCGGCCTGGTGGTTGCAGGTCGCGGAGTCGCACGACCGCCCGGCAAAACGGGCACGGCGCCTCGTTCCGAGGCGGATTGGTGGCCAGGACTCGCGTGATGCACTCGCGGCAGAAGCTGTGGTTGCACGGCGTCGTAACCCGGTCGCTGTACGGCTGGAGGCAGATGGAGCACTGGCGGGGCGAAGTAAGGGTAGGAGAACTTGTGGGAGGTTGACCGAGGACCGACGGCAGCGGCGCGACCTCGACGGGCGACGCCGTCTCGGCCCCCAGTGGTTCTCCGCGCCGGATACGCGCGAGGTGCTCGGCCCACCAGGGTGCCGGCCGCGCGGCGGCGGCGGGAGACGACGCGGCGGCCGGCGGCGCCGGCCTAGGCGCTGCCGCCGTCTCTCCTCCTCCTGTACATCCAAAACAAATTGCGCTCAGCAAGAAAGTCCCTATAATTGGACCCCGGAGAGTACTTCGAAGCAACCACGTAAAAATAATGGCAACGTTCGCAGTGGCCAAGAGAATCGCCGAGACCTTTCGTACGCTCTCCGGGATGCACGGCGTCTGGCACACCATTGTCCGACGTTCTACAAACTGCCGCACGCCCGGGGCGGCTCCTTCTTCGGTCGCGGAAGCCTCCCAGCAACAGGGCGTCTTCGGTCGCACGCCCTCTACTTTATAAATTGGAGCCACACAGCAGCAGCAAAAGCCGACGGCGGGCGTGTCGAGTTTGTCGCTCTCTACTTCCTCAACCCGAAACACACAGCAGCAGCACAAAGGGAGGCAGGCAAGGACAAGGGCGACGAGGATCATTGTAGTCATCATGGGAGAGTCATCATCATCATCATCATCATGAGGCGATTGGGAGGGTTGGTCAGTTGGACCGCTCACGGGCGTCGACTGATCGCAAATCATCCAGTAGTGCCCATGGTACGAGCTGTAGAAGCTCCCGTCGCAGCCGGCGGGTTCGACTTCGCACCAGTTGAAGGACGAACCGTCGCAGGCAGTTGCTGGGCAGCCCTCTTGGTTGGAGCAGAAGGTGTTGCTCCACGTTGCTTTGCACGAGCAGGCCTCTGCGGCAGCGCGCCCGAGGCAGCCCGCCAGCAGTGCCACTGTAGTGAAGGCCATGCGGGGTTCGAAGCTTTAGGAGGACCAGCGGCGGAGCCCCAGCGACATATTCGCCGCCGGTCACCTTTTTACGGGCAGCAAGGCAGCCAAATGCGCTTGCCTCGATCTGCCACCATTAATGATTCGCTCCACAGAGCGCGTGCCTCACTGCATCGATGAATGGGCAGCCCTGGTGAACCTTGCGGCGCAGCCCGGCGCAGATCTAGATCTTGCTACCTACTGCGCACACGCTGGCGGAACCATGCTTTTTTCAGTGGCAGCATGCAAAACCCAACGCGCCCCGACCCGCCCCAGGTCCCTCCGACTCGTGCCCCACGGCCTCGCGACGGCCCCGAAACGTGAAGTCAAAAGGCACGGGTTTCGAGGGCCGCAGCAGTTTAACAAAATAATACAAAGTGCAGCCCGTCAGGGCAGCCACACAAGACCATGGCCTGCGTCACGAAGCTGCCCGACCCCGAGAAGATCATCGTTAGTGAAGCGAGCGCGCTCCAGCGGGCCGCGGCGCTCGACGAGTACGGTGAGGACGTTGCCAGCTACTCCAAGCGCCTCGACGAGAAGCCCGCGGACTGCGCGACGCTCTGCAACCGGGCCTTTTGTTATGTCAAGCTCGGGAAGTTCGAGGACGCGCGCAGGGACGCCGAGGCCTGCATCGCGGCGGACGAATCGTTCGCGCGCGGGCACACGCGCCTCGCGCAAGCGCTGGAGCGGAGCGACCGGCCGGCGGCGCTGCGAGCCTGCCGCCGGGCGCTTAGTCTAGATCGCGACGACGCCATGGCGCTGAAGCTGCTGACGACCCTGGATCTGGACGTCGCCGCCGGCTTGCGAGTCAAGAAGCGCCTCGCGGACGCGGTCGAGGACCGGCGCGACGCCGTGCGCGGCGCCCTGTCCAAGGGCGAGGCGGCGCCCTTCTGCAAGAAGTGGGCCAAATTGGATGAGAAGAGCCGGAAGCAATTGGTGGAAAGGATGCTCACGCGGGCCTTCAACGAAATAAAAGGCTGCTTCCAGGAGGCCTTCTGCCCCGCCCAGGGCGACGTCTGCGAGACGGCCGACGACCTGCCCAAGACCAAGCAGGTCGAGGTCATGCGCGAGCTGCTGGCCGTCTATGCGGTATGTACTGCGGATTTGACGCACGACGACGTGCTGCGATTGAGCGCGCCGCGGCGCGTGCCCGTGGACACGCGCGACCCGTCGAAGGAGGACGACGACGACGTGGACGAGGACGGCGAGCCGGCGATGATGCGCGTGATTAGGGACGCGGCGCGGGGCAAAGAAGTGGAAGTCCAGGGCTGCGGGCCGGTGATGCGTCGGCTCATGGAACTCTACCGCTTCCGGCCCTTCGCGGGGCACCCGCGCCAGGCGGACCTGAGCCTGGGTCTGATCGAGGCGCAGCGGTCGACGCTGTGCTTGGTCGTGGCGCACATGCTGTTGGGGGGCGACGGCCTGCCGACGCTGTCGATCCCGACGAAGGCCTTCCTCGACGAGGAAGGCTTGGCCGAGCTCGAGAAGGAAATGAACCCGCCCGCGCCGGTCAAGGACGTCGTCGCGAAGAAGAAGGGCGCGGCGAAGCCGCCGGCGCCGCCGAAGGCGGCGGAGGAGGACCTGGACGCCGTCGAGGCGGGCACGGACGGCCACATCGTGACGCCGGTCGACGACGGTGGCCCGGGCGACGGCTGGGCGCAGGCGGAGGCCGCGGAGCCCGTCGAGAAGCCCTTGACCAAGGACGCCGACGAGCTCGCCGAGTTCGAGAAGTGGGCCGCCGGCGACGAGGGTGCGTTCGATCCAAACCAGTACAAGGACGCGCCGCCCACGAACGACGAGGACTACAGCGACGACGACGAGTTCTTCGAGGAGGAGGACGCGCGGCGGCGCGTCGGCCCCGCGCGCAAGGGCGCCGACCCGACGGCGCCCGCCGCGACGCGGCGCCCGAACCGTCTGTCCACGTCGGCCGCGGACGCAGACGAGGCCTTCCGAGTCGCGGCGGCGATTGCTGAGCAGCGAAACCACTCGGACTCGAGCGACGGCGAGACGGTCAGCGACTCGGAGGCGTCCCAGTAGCGTTGTAAGAGTCGTAAGAGTCCCTAGCGCGATGAGGTACTAGCATATTTCTTTGGCAGCTTGTTTATCGCGAGTTGAGGCACTTTAAGGACGTAATGATGCTGAGATAGGCAGCAAAATATAGTCCTGTACACCCTTCGTGCTGTGACAAGCTCGCTCTGCCAGCAAGCGCCTTCTAACACTATCTCAGTGCTGCTCTCCCTGCTCTGAGTTGATCGCCGCGCTCCGAACCCACTCCAGCTACCGCGTGGACAAAGAATGCGAGAGGACGCCGACGCCGACGAAGTCACCGCGCTCCTCCAGCTCCTGGCGACCGTCCCGAACGTCAAGGCGGCCGTGCGCGCGGCGCGCAAGGCCGTCGAGGCCGAGGGCGGCGGCCGGTCGCCGCGGCCCTCGATCGCCGTCACGCGCGGCGCGCGCAGCTTTTCCGGCGACGACGAGGGCGAGAAGCCGGCGGCGGCGCACGAGCGCCGCATCGAGGCGCTGCGGCGGCGGCTGCTCCTCGAGGACGCCGACGCGCCGCCGCCGCCGCCGCCGTTGCCGCCCTCGGACCTAAAGCCGACGACGGAGCTCGATTTGGCCGCGCTCGGGACGGGCGCCGGCGGCGGCGAGGAGGCCGAGGCCTCGCGAAGAGCGATGGCGATCCTGCGAGAAACGGAGGGCGCGAGCGCCTTCGAGCGCGGCGCATTGGTCAAGACGATCCGGAACGACTTCTGGCACCAGTTCGCGAGGGCCCTGGACCGGGGCGACCTGAGCCCGTGCTCGCTGCCGCCGCCGGGCGGCGCCGGCATGCGTTTATTCGGGCGGGCCTACTCGTCGTCCTGCGGCGTCGTGCTGGCGCGGAAGAAATTACATCTCCCGCAGGATGTCTGGTGCTGGCCCGCCGGCTTCTTTGCAAAAACAGAATTCAGCACGGGCCGCAAGAAGAGCGAGAGCCTCGATTCCAGTAGTTCGTCGTTCTTCGTGGCCGACGAGCTGCGGAGGAACGCCGTGCCGCTCGAAAAGCTGGAACGCATGGCGATCCGCAAGGAGTACGTCCACTTCGGCGAGACGCGCGCTTCCACCGAAGTGGCGCCCTACAACGAGGTCCTCGCGCCGGTGACGCGCGAGGCCGTCGTGGCCGTCTTCGCGCGGACGACACGGCCCGACCATTTGTTGTTGGCGATGGCTGCCAGAGATTTGCTCGCTGTCGCGTCGGACACGGCCCTGCCGCTGCTCGTGCTGGATGCCGGCGGTGGCGCCGACGCCGTCGAGTTCACGGCTGATCAACAGGCGGGGCTCCTCGCCAAGCTCGCCGACGCGAAGCCGTCGTTCTGCCTGCGGCCGCACGCCGACGTGCCGCCGCTGCGCCACGCGCCCGGGGCCCTGGACGCGCAGCTCGTGGCCCACGGCGCCTACGGCCTCGCCGACGACGTGCTCCACGCTTTACTGAGATCCGCGCCGGCGCCGGCGCGGGCCGCCCGGGACGCGCTCGCGCACGCGGTGCGCGCCGACAACGCCGAGGCCGCGCGCGCCGTGGCGGGGGTGGTGGGGGCCGAACTGTCGACCTTCGCCGCCGACGAGGCCTGCGCGCCGGGGTCGGTCCGCCACGCGAGCGACCGGTGCCTCGTCGCGAGCGGCGCCGTCGCCGCGCTGATCGCGTGCGCGTCGGGCGCGCTGGCCAAGCGGTCGCGCGACGCCGTGGCGTTACTCGACGCGTGGCTCGAAAAGGCGGATCAAAGCCTGGCCTTCCGCCTGGCGGCGTACCGCGACGCGTCGAAGACGGCCGGCGACAAGGAGGGCTCGCTCCACGCGCCGCAACTGACGGCCTTTGCGGGCGGCCGCGCGCTGGCGAATCGGCGTGCGTTCCGCGACCGGCTCGCGTCGCTGGCGCGGAGCGACGGCTCGGCCGTCGACGCGGCGCCCGCGAAGCTGGCGGAACTCGCGGCGCTCGCGTCGTCGTTCCACCGGCCGTCGCTGCGCCTCGAATTGTTGCAGTTCGTGCTCGGCCTCGAGGACGCGGCGGCCTGGTCGGTAGATCGGCTCGCCGGGGCGCTGGAACTCGCCGAGCGCGTCGTCGTGGCGATGCCGCGGCAGTCGTCCTTCCAGGAGCTCGAGGGGCTCACCCGGCGGCCGGACCGCGGGGCCGTCGACGATTGATGCTCTTCCTGCTCCTTTTCGGCACCCCGATCGCGGGGTGTCCGATCGAAGCACACACAGAATACTGGTGCTATGCTGGTACTGTAAGAAGCCTGTTTGTTTGAGAAGTGCGTGCAGTGATGCCTCGCTAGTGTCTTACATGCCGCTAGCACGCATCGCGCGGCGCCGCGCTGCCGTGGTGGACGCATAGCGCTGCACTGGAATCCCCTTGAGTGTAAAGTGTCCTGCACTACTGCGCCGGACCGCCGCGTAAGCTAATTCCATCTGTGTGGTTGCAGAGTGTGCGTACAGAGCATCTGGCAATGGCTGCTCGCGCGGCATCGATGCTCGCAGCATTTGTCATTGGTTGTACGGCGTGGCGACCAGCTCTCATATCGCATCGTAATGCACTGCGCGCAATCCGCACGAAACGACTCGCGCAGCCCGAAGCCGACGAGGAATGCATCGCTGTCGACGACTGGGCCGTCGGCGAGTTCGCTGCTCGTTGTGCACCGATGGAGCCGTCGCAGGACCTCGGCCCGGGCCAGGTCGTGAGCGCTTGTTTCCGCGGTTTGCAGTTCGTAGACATCCCGACGAAGAACGCTGGTTTAGAACGGTGCCACGCGTTCATGACGCTGGGTGCGCGGGTGGCGGTCACCGCTGTAGGCCGTCAGGAAGAGAACCGCGGCGTGGACGTATTCATCGAACGCGGCCAGCTCTCGCCAGTGCTGAGGCCATTCTTCGGAGCGTCGCGGATAGACATAGGCGAGCTAACAGAAATCGCCGGAACGCCTACCAGAGGAGCTCTCGCGTCGGTGGCGTTGAGAGTGGTCGGCAGCCCAATGGGGGCGATGCGGCACCCGTCCGGTATTCCCAAGGACGACATCGCGCTGAGCAACGCGATCTTCGCAATACGCCTAGAAAAGCAAAGACGACCGCCACCGCGCGACGTCTGGCTCATCACGGACATCATCGACACCTCCTGCGTCGGGAGCAACCGGCCCCTGTAAATATGTTGTACATAGTATTATTGCCCAGTACTTGTATAAAACCGGAGCGCCCGGAGGTACGCGTCCACGCCGGCGGGCGTCGCCTCGACGCCGTCGGGCGACGCGGGCGGCGCGTCGTCCCTCTTCGCGTGCAGCGCGCGGAGGTACGTCAGCGGGTCGCTCGGGGGCCGGTCGATGGCCTCCATGACGGCTTCCATCTTCGAAGCGAGCTCCCTCGCCGCCGGCGCGACGGCGCTGCGGGGAAAGCGCGTGACCTCCTGCTCCGGTATCGGGTCGAAGACCGCGGCTTGCGTCGCTATAGATTTGGACCGTCCCTGGGGTAATGTTGAGTCGCTCGCGCGCAGCGACTCGAAGGCGTTGCTGTACGAAGCGTCGAGCGCGATCTCGCGCCGTATTAATGTTTTGTCGAGGCCGGTCTCGCGGTCGCCGTCGTCATACAGCACGTCGTAGGCGTCCCCTTGGATACTCTCGACGACGCCCGCGTACCACTCGTCGCCGCCCTCGTAGCGCGCCTCGACCCGCGTTCCTACTCCAAACGGCTCCGCCTCGAAGGTCGCGCTGTACCGCTCGGACTCGGGCCGCGACCGCGACAGCTCGGGCGTGTGGAACGAGTCCTGCGCGTAGGAGTCGCCCGGCGACGGGAGCGGCGTCCCCCGAAAGGACTCGAAGGAGTCGCCGTAGCTCGCGTACGACTCGTCGACGCGGCGCCGCCAGCGCCCGCCGGTGATCGGCTCGACGCGGACGTCTGCCTCCTCCTTGGCGTACCAGCGGTCCGGCGGCAGGGCCGGCAGCGCGAGGAGCTGCGGGAAGGCGCTTTTAGCTTCCGTCAGCTCCGCCATCTCGACGGCCGTGGCGCCGTTCCCGTCGGCGCAGAACGGGTCGGCGCCCCGCTGCAAGAGCCGCGCGCAGGCCTCGGCGGCGCCCCGCACGGCCGCCACGAGCAGGGGCGGCGTCCGCTGCGGCCCCGACGGCTCGGACACGTCGCATTTCAGCAGCTCTATTACGACGCCCACGAGCGGCGGCGCGCGCACGATGCAATAGACGAGGGGCGTCAGCCGCGTCGGGTGCTCGCCGAAGCTGCCCGGCAGCGCCGCCACGTCGGCGCTCGTGAGGACCCACGTCAAGACGGTCGCTTCTTGGCTCCGGACGGCCGCCTCGAAGCACCGCCGCTTCAGGGACGGCCGCTTCGCGTCGCCCTTCAGTAAATCCACGGAGAACGCCATTTTCGCGAGGAGGAACGACGCGCAGTCCACGAAGCCCGCCTGCAGCGCCCGTTCCAACGGCGTCGCGCCCATCACGGGCGTCTCCCACCGGGCCACCTCCAACAAAACGGCGCACGCCGTCGCGTCGCCCCGCTCTGCCGCGCAGGCCAGCGCGTCCCGGTCGCCGCACCGCCGTTGGACACACATTGGATCGACGCCGGCCAAGGCGCAAATCGCGTCCTTGTTTCCCGACGACGCGGCGGCGTAGGCGCACGTGAGCCCTCGATACGTGACGTCGAAGGTCGCGGCGAGGGCCTCGTCCTGCGCCAGCGCGGCGATGCACTCGACCGAGCCCTTGAGGCACGCGGTCCAGAGCGGCGTGCGGCCGTCCTTGTCCCGGCGCGTGCTCAGGGCCCCGTGCTGCAATAAGCACGTGACCGCGTCCGCTTGGTCCGCCGCGCACGCCAAGGACAGGGCCGTCCTGCCTTCTTCGTCCGACGCGTTCGCCCGCGCGCCTTCGGACAGATGCGTGAGGAGCAGGTAGCGGTCGCCCGCCGCCGCGGCCGCGCCCATGAGCGCCTCGAGCTCGCGCTGCCGCGCCTTGGGCACGTTCCGCGCCTCGGCGCGCGCCCTATCGAGCGACTGCCACGACGTGAGCGAGTCGTCGTCGCTCGCGTTGTCGAACTCCGCGCTGCGGACCGTCGAAGTCCGCCGAGTAGTCCTCGCCGGCCGCTGCCGCTGCCGCGCGCGGCGAGTCGAAGTCCTCCGAGTAGTCGTCCGCCGCCACTTGTGCGGCGCGCGGCGAGCCCGCGAACGAGGCGAACGAGTCGGTCGAGTAGTCCTCGCCCGCCGCCACCGCCGCGGCGCGCGGCGAGCCCGCGACAGAAGCGAACGACGAGACGCTGTCGAACTCGGCGCTGTAGTCCTCCACTTCTTGTGCTTCATCGTCCAGTGTAGCGGTGAGGGCGGCCATCGTAGCGTGGGCACCTTCCGCTGTTGCTCTAATGGGGGCAGCGGTGATGGCGTGCTCTATGGGGGGCAGGCTGTTGATGCGTGCCGTCGCGCAGCCCGCAGGAATTGGTCGCGACCACGCGTTCGACACGTTCCCAGTCCAATGCTGCGCGGTGCAGCGCACGTTGTGAAGCGGCCAAAAATCAAACTAGTCTAGTGTCTTTATCGGCTAGCTGCGACCGAAAGAATAACTTACTCCTCCTCGTCGTGGAGCTCCACGACCTGTTCCACCGCCACTGGCGCCGGGCGGTAGATCAGGTCGTTGTCGTCCTGGACGGCGGGACGGGGCGCCGGCAAGGAGACAGTGCGGAGGAGCGGACGATTCCTCAGGGCCGGGCAGCCAGATGGACATGCCGTGTCGATATGGCGCCGGCACTCCTCCGCCGAGAGATATCCCTTCTTCTCGGTGCCGCTCTGCGCCTTCCAAAGCCCCGCGTAGAGACCCTTCGGTTTTTTCGCGAGGACGGCGTGCGTCCCTCGTTCGACGGCGCGCCCGTCTCGCAATACGATAATCTCGTCGGCGCCGATGATCGTCGAGAGGCGGTGCGCGACGACGAGCGTCGTGCGGCCTTTGGAAGCCTCCGTCAGGCTTTGCTGGATCGCGCGCTCCGTCGTCGTAAGAGGAACTTGCCCGTCGCCGACGCCGGCGCCACGAGCGAGAGCAATTTTTGCCGCGGCGTTTCGCCGCCGTCGTATTTGTCGTATTCTTCGTTTGTAGAATCCGCGCTCGCCGGCTCCAAAGACCCATAGCCCTCGCCGCCACCGGTCTCAATTAACTCATAGCTTGCAGCTTTTTGCTTTGGTGGTGCCATTGCTACTCAAGTTCGACGAATAGCGATCGTGGCGTGCGTCGCGCGCAGGTCTATGCACGAATTGAGCTCCTTTGCAATTGTGAAGGACCGGCAAAAACCCGATTTGATGCCTAGCTGAGCCTGAAGCAGCTGAGGGCTGAGGAGCGATGAAATAAATTGCTCTTACCCTATAGACACGCAACGCCGGATTGCTCACCCGTTCCCCATATCACTGTAATCGACCTTCTTGCCGCGCGTCCGCGACTCGCTCTCCGGTAAGACATAACTGCCCAAATCCCGCGCGACTTGGCGCTCCCGCCGGATGGCCCGCTCCTGCTGCTTCAAGATCGACGCGCGCTCCTCGCGCTTCGCGGCCACGTGCTTCGCCAGGTCGCGCAAACACTTCGCGAGCCAGAGCTCGTCGCCGTCGTGGCCGCCGATCAGCTCATTAGCGATCGTGTGGATCTGGCGCGCGCTGCAGGCGATAGCCTCGGCCGACGGATTAGAACGCTGGTCCCTCCGCGACGGCGCCGCGACCTTGGGCCGCTTCCGCGCGCGCTCGTGGGCGTGGGGTCCGTGCGGCGGCGTCCGCGTCGGGTCCTTTTCCCTATATAACAGGCAGCCGCCGACGTCGTCCTCCATGCACCGGTACGCGCGCCCCTGCGAGTCGACGCCAATCAGCGTCTCGTCGATGAACTGGCGCGGGTACCAGTCGCGCGACTGGCCCGTGTACTTCTCGAGCCGCTGCTTGACGACGCCGCCCTGGAGCGTCTCCTCCGCCAGCACCCGCAGAATCTTCGCCCGCCGCCGCGCGTTCAGCCCGTTCAGCTTCTCCCGGATGTCCGCCTCCATCTTTTCTTTGTACTCCTTGTTCTTCGTGCGCTGCTCGGCGCCGGGCCGGCACAACCCGATGGGCACGGCCTCTTCCACAGTCCCGTCGTCGTACCGCACGCCCAGCGTCAGCTCGCCCACGGACTCGACCGTGCCCTCCCACCATTCTGCTCTACCTTTCCACTGGGCTTCTACCGTGTCTCCTACACTAAACTCGTCTGTACTTTCTGCCGGCTCCATGCCTACCGGTCTACAAGCCTGCAATTCATCTTGATCCACGAGCCAGCTCGACATCTCGACGCACTGCATGATCCGCAGACAATCAGCCAAAGCCGTGCACCACCGCGGCTCCTTCTTGGGGAGGATGCCCGTGTTCCGCAGATAATTCTTGCAGAGCTTCTCGTAGGCGCACGGCCCCTCCTTGTCCCACTCCACGACGCGCTCCAGGTCCGTCCGCAAACAGTCGATGAGACTCCTTAAAGGTAAAGACGGGTAGCCGAACCTTAATTGTACTGAAGCCAGCACGAGGAAATCCACACATTTATCTAAGCCGGCGTGCTTCAGCGCATCTAAAATAAGATCGGGGTCGCCGCTCTCCTCGTGCTCGACGATCGTGGGGACCGCGGGCGCCTGGGGGATCATCGTCAGCGGCGTCACGCCGCCTCTCCTCCTAATACACACCCTACAAAACCAGTCGTCCTCGGGGATGACCGTCACGTGGTAGCATCTTTGATGGAACCCTCGGTCGCAGCCGTCGCAGTAGACGATCGTGTCCTCCAGGCAGTCCGTGTAGGCGCCGCCACAAACCTCGCACGAGTCCTTGGTCTCGGGGTGCCAGTAGGCGCGCGGCCGCGGCTCGGGCAGGAACCGCGCGTTCGACCGTCTGGCTAGATCCCGCTCCCCGAGAAACGTGACCGCCGACTGGCCGACGCGCTGCGCCGCGTAGGCGTCCCTTTTATTGGGACGGCCGCCGCGCGCCGTCGGCGGCGCGCGCTCGCGGGGGGCGTGCCGCGGCGGCGCCGGCGCGAAGAGGGGCTGCTTCGGCTCCGGCTCGGGCTCGGGCTTCGGCGGCGGCGGCGGCGCCGTCGACCGCGTGCTGTAGCGCGGCTGCAGGAAGGCCGACGGCCGCTTGCCGTGCTTCGGCGGGCCGAGGGCCGCGGCCTGCTCGCGCTGGTACGCGGCCCGGATCTCGGCGATGCTCGGGCCGGTGTACTCCTTCTTCTTCGGTTCTTCCGGTGGCGGCGCGGGCGCCGCGGGCGGCGGCGCGAAGGGCAGCTTGATGATCACGGCCGCGGCCACGGGCGGCGCGCAGCCCGCGGCCGCGGCCGCGGCCGCGGCGCGCGGTGTGACCAGCCGACACGCGGCGCAGACGGGCCGCTGGCATTTGCTACAGGCTACGCGGCCGGAGGAATTGATATTGGCACAACTCGCGCAGATCCAGTCGAAGACGCCGGGCGGGACCGGCGGCGCGACCGGCGGCGCGGCCGGCGGCGCGGCTGGTGGCGCAGCAGGCACGGCTGCGGGCAGCGCGACGGGCATCTGTGCTGGCGGCGCGGCTGGCGGCGCGGCTAGCGGCGCGGCTGGTGTCGCTGCCGGCGGCGCGGATGGTGGCGCGGCCGGAGGCAACGTCGCGGCTTGCATCACGACCGCGGGCGATCGGGAACTTGCGGCGGCTGCTTGAGGGACCGGCAGCGGCGCGTCGGATGCACCTCTCGGCTCGTTTAGTCCGCGCGCGGGGCGCGGCGGGAGCGAGGCGTTCGGGTGGTTCGCCATTGCTCGCGTTCTGTAAGGCGTGCCCGATCGTACTTATCGGTGCGGCATCAGTATAAGCCGGTGGAGCAGCGCCATTGAACTCCATAGCGGGTCAGGCCCCCCGGAGAGCGGAGTTTGGGCGCGACGCGGTCGCATTGTCCCTAGTATGTATGTACGCTAGCGTAACCGTGCATCGATCTCGGATTCGACCGCCAACGATCCAAGAGGTCGCCGGGAACGCCTCGAAAAGCGCCGTCGCCGCGCGGACGACGCGAAGCCAACGACGGCGACGCGCGGCGCCCGCCTCCGGGCCACTAGCCCTAGCACCGCAACACAACGCCATTCAGAGGGACAAACTAACGCACCCGCGCGGGGTGTGGAAGACGCCTAGAACTGGCCCGTCCGCGCGCGGTAGGCCGCCTTGGCGCCGCCCGTGAGGAAGGACTCCTTGCCGGAGGCGATCTGGTTGCGCTCGAGGACCGTGAGGCCGTCGTCGAAGTAGTCGCCCGCGCCGTAGTTGCCGACGCCGGCCTTGTCGGGCCGCGCCTTGGCGAGGAACTCGGAGCTCCACTCCCACTTGGCGCAGCGCTCGGCCTGGCGCGCCGCGAGGACGTCGGGCCGGCCGAAGGCGAAGAGGAAGCGGCCCGGCGTGGGGATGAGGTCCTTCTTGCACTCCTCCTGCTTCGCGAGGCGCGCGGCGGCGCGCTGCGCGATCTGGGCGGGGTTGCCGAACGCCGGCTTGAAGGCCGCGGGCGTCGTGCCGGCCGTCGTCGGCTTGGAGCCGAAGTTCAGCGCGCCGGCGGCGGCCGCGAGGAAGACGACGACCTTCACCATGGTTGCGACCTGCGCGAATGCGATATGGTGAGCGTCTCGGCGGCGCGCGATGCGATGGTGAGCTTCTCAACGTGCGGACGTGCGATGGTGCGCGTCTCGGCGTGCGCCCATGCGATGGTGCGCGTCGCGACTTAGCCTGGGCTCGCCTGGCCGGGCCCCGGACGGGGCGCGGCCGCCGCGGCCGGCGGCGTACTGAGCTTGTATGCAGCGCGCCGGGCGGCAGCTCCCGCGTGCGCGCGGCCGGCCTCGGCCTCCGGTCGGAACCAGGGCTGCATGCTGCGGCTGCCCCGCGGGCCGCGCGCGCCAGTGCAGCCCGCCTCTGCCCCAGGCCGAATTTTGCAGCTGCCCGCGCTGCCCGGCGCCAGGCGCGCCGGCGCGGCACCGGAGCTCGCCGTGGACCACCACGCTGCTCGATGCAGCCTCAAGTTCGATAGACGCCGCGAATAGACTCCTTTTATCGTCACCTTGAGCAAGATAGCCCGTGTGTGCTCGCGTGAGCCCAGCGAGCCGAGAGGCGCGCCGCCCGCCGCGCACGCAGACACGCCGCATTCCAGCGCTTGGCACGAATGCGACGTCTCCTAGACCCCTCACGACCCCGCGCAGAGCGGTACCTCGCCCTCTCACATGGAATGTAGTATCAAAGACGACTTCCTTACACAAGAATTAGGCCAGGAGCCCCTGGAGGAACTCCGCCGTCACCTCGGACCAGTCGCGCACCGTCGCGGCGCAGCCCGCCTCGCGCATCGCGCTCGCGGTCATCGACGTCGTGAGGCCCACGACGACGCAGCCCGCGGCGACGCCCGCCTTGATGCCCGTGCGCGAATCTTCAAAAACGATACAGCGCGATGGCGGCAGGCCCACCCTTGATGCCCCCTCGATATAGGGGTCGGGATGCGGCTTCGCCCGCGCGCACTCGGCGCCGACGACTAGGTCGCGTATTGCTGAAGACGCGTCGGGGCAGTGCGCCTTGACGTGCTTTAATACAGCCTCGCAGCCGCCGCGCTGCGCGTTCGACACCGCGCAGCATGGGATATTCTCGGCGCGGCACGTGGTGAAAAAGGACGATAGCCCGGGGACGATGTCGCAGCCGTCGCTGGCGACGCGCGCGCAGAAGAGCCGGTCCTTCTCCTTGGAGGCCGCGTTCGCGCGGCCGTCGTCCACCGCGCCGGGCAGCACGTTCTTGAACACCACGGAATCGACCTTGCCCGCCACGTGCTCCGCGAACCAGGCCTCGTCGACTCCACTGACGCCTTCGGCGGCCATCAAATCTTGAAAGGCCTTGACGTAGAGCGGGTCCGTGAGGGCCAGCGTCCCGTCGATGTCGAGCAGGCATGCAGCTTTTGGCTTCGACTGGAAGAGGCCCATGTTTCGTTCGGCGGTGGCGATCGCGCAGAGCGCTAATAAGACGTGGAGGAGGCGCGCCAGTAGCCCTTTGCTCCGCTTCTGCAGTGCGAAGCGATGCTAATCAGTGGAGGAGGCGTGCGAAGCGATGCAGCGGAGCAGCAGCCTTTGTGTGCGGCACGAGCTATTTAAATGCAGCGTAGCTGCCCCTGGTGGTAAATTTATGCGCGGAGACGCAGACGACCTCAAAAAATCGAGAGCCTACGGGTTTTCAGCGTGGCTGGAAAGCGCTCAGCGGTGCAAATTCAGGCCTGTTTTTGATCGGAATGTTAGAGACAGCATGGCGAGGTTAAATGCTTGGCATTATCTCTTGGCATTGGACCAAGAGCATGAGTGATTGTGGTCCTTGCTCACGTTAGAATTACGCGTGCGCTTCGATACGGACTGCCAACAACCCAAATCCTTCAGAACAGAACGATTTTGCATCGCTTCGCGCCGGCAGAGCGCAAAAAGCACAGCACTGCAAAATGAGAGCAGCAGCAATCATCCTGTCGCTCGCGTGCACGGAGGCGTGGGCGAGCCCGCGGCATCATCATGACAGAAAGCTGGTGCTGCGAAAAAGCGGGGGCGAGGAAAGCCTCGCCGCCGGCGTCGCCCGCGCCGCCGCATTGGTCGACGCCAAGCAGCTCGACGGCCGAAGCGCTGCTCCTGGAATTGAGAGCAAGAGATGCTAGAAGAGCCGACCTGCCGCCGGAACTGCGCCGCGGCTTCGCGCATTTGTTTGAAGCGCGCGACGAAAAAACGAGGACGCTGGGCCGTGCGACGCTGGCGCATTAGCGGCGGACGCCGAGGACTGGGAGGCCGTGTACGACGCCTGCCGCCAGGCCATGGCGCGGGGCGGCGCGACGGATAGACGGAGAGCCCTCGCGCTGCGCGCGCGGCGGTCGACGTGGCGCGGCCTCGAGGAAGACGACGGCGATGCTAAGGATACGAAGGACGCCGCGGAGCTCGTCGAGGCGGGCGCGGTGCCGCCCTTCTCGGCGCTGAGTTTGGGTGTGTCCGGCGAGGGCTGCGCGCGGCGCGGCCGGTTGAACCTCGAGGAGGCGATCGCGGCCGCGAAAACGACGTCGTCGGACAAACGAGCGCCGCGCCGCGCGGGCGGTCGGCGCCGGGAAAATGAAGCTCCCGACAAGCCGTCGGTGGCCTTCCTGACGCCCGACGCCACCGGAGCGCACCCCTTATCTCAATTACTACCGTCCGCGCTGTGCGCCCTCGACGAGACCGAGTTTCGGAATATTGTCTTGGTGACGCTCTGCGCCGACGACGGCTCACCCGAGAGGAGGCGCGTCGAGAAGGGCTGCGACGTCGTCGTCGACGGCGAAACGGCGACGACCGAGGAAATCGCGAACGCGATCCGGGATTTGAACGTGGACGTGCTCGTGGATATGTGCGGCCACGCCGGGTCGAGCGACGTCGTCGAGATTATTGCAAGGAGACCCGCCCGCATCCAGGTCGTGGGCGGGCTCGGGACGCCGGCGCCCATGGGAGGCACGGGCATCTACGACTACGCGCTGGCGGATGCGGTGGTTGCGCCGGCGCGGCTGCGGGCGGCGGCGGGCTGGGCGCCCGACGAGCACCGGGCGGTGCTCGTGCCGCACACGTACCAGGTCGGCGACGCCGAGGCCTACAAGCGCCACGAGCTGAACTACAAGGAGAGCCGCGAGCCCACGTCCCGCAAGGACCACGGCCTGCGCGACGACGCCGTCGTGCTAGCGTGCATGAACCGGCCCCACAAGGTTGATTGTACAAGCTTCGACGCCTGGGTGCGTATTGTCAAGGAGCTCGCGCACGGCGCTCCCGCGGTCGACACGCAGCTTTGGTTGTACGCGCCCGGGAGCGATTCTGGTAATTCGCTGCGGACGCGGGCGCTCGCACGGGCCGCGAAAACTTTGCCGGGTGGCGAGGAGGAGGCCCGGGACCGGTTGGTGTTCGCGGGGCGCGAGGACCGGCCGGCGCACCTCGAGCGGCTGCGCCACGCGGACCTCGCCCTGGACACGCGCGCCTACAACAGCCACACGCTCGCGGCGGACTACGCCTGGGCCGGCGTGCCGCTGTGCACGGCGCTGTGCGACGCCGAGCCGCGCTGGGTGTGATGCGGCGTCCTTTTTGAGTATCGTCGACGCCATCGAGCAAACATGTCAACGCACGCAGGCGTCGCGCGTCGGCGCCTCGGTCACGCTCGCGGCGGCGCGGCACGAGGGCGCGCGCGGCCTCGTCGCCGACGACTGGGACGGCGCCTTCGCGGCGAACGTGTTGCGCCTCGCGCGCGACGGCGACGAGCGCCGGCGGCTGAGCGTCGCGCTGCGGCGGGGGCGGGTCGACGCGCCGCTCTTCTCGGCGAGGAGGTGGGCGCAAGGCTTTGAAAGAGCTATCTCCAAGATGGACCTGACGGGAGATATCGAACTGCCGGTGCCCGTCGACAGCTGCCACGCCATCGTCCTGGGCAGCGCGCCGCGGCGGGTCGAGAGCTACGAGCGCCTCGTGGCGTCGTGCCCCGAGATCAAGCGGCACAAGGCCGTGGAAGGGAAGGACGCCCACGCGCTGAGTCGCGCGCTGAAGGACCTCGGCGTGCGCCTCGCGACGGACGTCTGGCAGGCGACGGTGGGCCAGGTGGCCTGCCTGTGCTCCCACGCGCAGCTGTGGCGCCGGTTCGCGCACTGCCCGAAGCCCTTCTTCGTCGTCCTCGAGGACGACGCGGTCCTGCCCAACGGGCCGGACGCGTTCCGGGAGGCCGTGGATCAGGTCTGCCGGGGCCCGGATTTTGATGTGTGCTACCTCTACGTCTACCCCGACCACTGGCCGCAGCCGCCGAAGAAGCTTAATCCATCAAAGGTCCGCGTCGCCACGACGGAGGGCTTCCGCACGTGGTGTTTGTTAGCCTACGCTGTGAGTCGAGAGGGCGCCCGCAAGCTCCAGCACCTGATCGAGACGGAAGGGTGCGCCCACGCGCCTATTGATTGTATGGTCGCCGACTGGGGCCAGCGCGGTTTACTAAACGTGCGCTGCGTCGACAGCCAGGGCATCGCCGAGAACGCGGGCCAGTTGGATATGCGCGTGCCGCAGAAGGACGCGCTCCCGTCGAACATCTGGGGCACGGGAGACTTCAAGGGCGGCGAGCCCGTCAAGAGCCACGCCATGCCCGTGGCGTCGGGGCGCGCGGACAGTGATGGGTTCGTGGACTAAATTTAGTTGTGTTTCTACTGGGGTAGCGTCGCACTCAAGAACCGCGACTCGACGGCCTCGAGCGTCTCCGACGGTCCAAAGCAGGGCTTCTTTTGGCGTGGAGGTTCGTCGCCGTCTTCGGCAGCGGTCGTTGGCCTCGGGCGGGCGGGGGGCAGGGGCGTGGTCGGTGGAAGCGAGCCGGGCACCGGGCGCGTTCGTCGACGCCGACCGGCGGCCGGCGCTGCGGGGGTCGTGGGGCCGCCGATAGGTAGGTGAAACGGCGTCGTCGCGGCGCGCGCGCGCGTAGTAGAGGCCTTGAGCTCAGTAGTCGCGGGCGGCGCCGATATAGGCGATGCGCTCGATTCGGGTCTCTTCTTGTTGGCGGCGGGCGGCATCGGCGCGGCCTCTTCTTCGGCGAAGGGCCGCGGCGACGTGAGCGACGCGGGCACGGCGGCGGCTCGCACACCATCTGGTGTTAAATGCCACTCGCCCGCGAGCACGACCTTGTGCGGCCGCCCCGTTAACACAGCATGACCACCCCTCGGCAGGATCAGCATCGTATCTCCCGGCCCAAATTCGTCATACTGCAACAAACCGCGGTTCAAACAACCTAACAAAGCGTCGGCCTCGAATTGTAATAGACGCGCGTCGGCGGCGTCGCCAAATGATTCGGCGGCGAGGGCTTCGCGCGCCGCGTGGAGGCAGTTCGCGACCGGCCGCGGGACGCCCAACACGCGGTTCTGGCCCGCGACGTGGTGATAGACGACGGCTTGCGTTCCGAAGTCGCAGTGCGTCGGCGTGAGCCCGCCCGCCCAGCCAGCGATCAAATAATAGCGGCGGTCCGCGTCGCCCGCCATCGATCGTCCGCGCGGCCCGAAGGTCCATCCTTCACTCGGGGGGCACACCGTCTCCACGCGTGCGGTCGCGGCGAGCGTCTCGCAGTAGGCCTCCAGCTCGGACCCGGCGCGCATGAGTCCGTCGTCGACCATGCCGGGGTCGTTCGCGCACGACCGAAGCGAGTCCAAATCAACGAAAGCTTTGATGACAGCGTTGGTCATAGTCTCTGAGAGGCTTTGCGCACGACACCAGCGCGCGAGCTCGGCCATGATGAAATGAAAAAAGTCTCGGAGAGGCTCTCCGCTCGAGAGCTCAAAAACGTCGCGCGCTTGATCGTTTTGCTGTGGCTTCAAGACTTAATAATAACTCAGGAGAAACCGCCCCCGACGCTAAATCGCAAGAGCTAAAGCAATCTAGATTTGCTGCGGCGTGAAAACCCGTCTCGCATGAAAAAGCAATGCTCCGCAAGCCCTAGCATCTCTAAAGCGGGCCGCCAGACGGGTCAGACACGCCTCCGTAGCATCGGGCGTCGAGGAGGGAGAGCAGCGCTGTGTGTGCAGCAAGAGAGCATAGCGGCATTAGCGGCACAAGAAGGGGCAGCGCCGCGCAAAACGGAACGAACCAGCTCGCCTGCGACGAGCGCTGCATCGATCAGAAGAGCGCCGGACAAAGGGCAGCATCAATGCCAAACCACTAACAAATGGGCAAAAAGCCGCCCCCCGAGACGCCCGAGGAGAAGGCCGCGCGCAAGCAGGCCGAGGCGGCGCGCTTTGGACAGGGAAATCAAATAGAGTCCTTGGTCGAGGCCGCGGGCTGCTCGTGCAAGGGACTGCGGTTGCGGGACGCGATAAAGTCCGCTATACTTGGCGAGATCCCCGAGTTCTTCGAGAAGGACGAGGAAAGATTAATGAGACCTGTGCGCGCGCAGCTGCCGGCCTGGGACCCGAAGGACAAGACGCGGCGCATGTTGGATGATTACTCGGAGATCGTGTCGGAGTTGCGGCGCGAGGAGATCAACCAGGACCGCGCGAACACGTTGCGCGTCGCGGGCCACGTGCAAAAACTCATAAAAGGCCCGGGGCCTCCTTCGGTAAGAAAGGTCGACCTCATAAAGAGGCACGCGCGGGGCGAAGGGTTGACCGTGCCCGAGTACTTGTCCGAGAAGAAGCGGGAGGACTCGAAGAAGATTGTCAGGAAGCGGTTCAAGCTGAAGGAGCTCGGCAGGCGCATCACGGCCGAGGCCAACGACCCGCGGCCGTCGCGCGACGAGGTGCGTATTGGGGCCGAGGCCGTCATTTTATCACGCTTAGGATCGCGGGCCAAGGCGTTGGCGGCGAAGCGGCTCAAAAAGGCGAAGCGCAAGGGGCTCGGGGCCATGGTCCTGTCGGAGTTGGTCTATTGCAGTCATTTGGTGGGCTTCAACGACTTCCAGATGGACAACCCCCTCAAGATCGTGAGCGCGGACTTGTATTGGGCCGGCGACCGGACGGCGCGCGACAAAGCTGAATTGATCAAGGCGGGCATCACGCACATTGTGAATTGTTCTCAAAACATACCGAACCGCTACCCGCGGCAGTTCGTCTATTGCCGCGTCCGCGTGAGCGGGGGGTCCAAGGCCCGTCAAAACATTTTGTACGAGGAGTACTGCATGGCCGCCGCCTTCATCAAGGACGCCTTGGAGTTGGGCGGTCGGGTCCTCGTCACGTGCGCCACGGGCTACGACAGTTCGGCCTGCGCGTTGCTCGCGTATTTGATCAAGGTGCGGGAAATGCCCCTCGCGCCGGCCTACAAAGTCCTGAAGGTGCAGGAGCCGTTGCTTGAGCTATCTAGGTCAAACACGCTCTTCATCACGCTCTTTGAGATCGAATGCTATAAGGCGACGTCCATCCGAAAGCATAAAGATCTCGCGACGCCCGTCTTTACGCTCGTGCGCCAGTACGTGCCCTGGGAGCAGCCCGGGGGCCTCGGGAGCTACTACGCGTTCGGGAACGTGCAGATGGCGTCGATGCGCGAGTTCGCCTTCGGGCGCGCGCCGCTCGTCGAGCCGCGGAACCCGGCCGCGCCCAAGAAACGGCTGGCCATACACAAGGCGGTGTATCATGGCGTCAAGGCCATCTATATGAAGGTAAGGACGGGCCTGAAGGGCTACCAGGAGGCGACCACCACCGCTATCTGCACCGGGCCCCTAGAACGACGGGAGCGGCGCCGCGCGGCGAAGCGGCGCATCACGCACTACGACGCGACGCGCGACGACCCGCCGCGGCCCTGGCCCCGCACGCCGCGGGAGGCCACGCTCGGGGCGCAGGGCGCGCTCGTGCGGCCGCCGAGCGCCGGCGACGGCAAGGCGCGGCCGAGGAGCGCCGCGGCGGTCTTCCCCGACATGGACGTCGGCTGGCAGGGCGTGCCGCGCCTCTCGCGGCCGCCGACGCTCTGGACCGCGCCTGAACAAAAGGCGAAACCCCTCGTGCGGCCGCCGTCGCGCCCGGGCAGCCGACGCAAGAAGGCGCGGCCCGCGTCGGCGCCGGCGGGGCGCCGCCGCCGCCGCGCGAAGGTTCAATTGCTGGAACCGCTCCCGACGGTGCCGCAGGATGCTGCCGCTTCAATCGAGGACCGCGTCGACGGGCTCGTGGCCGTGCAGCTGCCGCCTCTCGCGGAGTCGTCCGAAAGTTTCCCGCCGACGCCGCAACTCTCCGCGCGGCCGGCGACGGCCGGCGGACGGTCGGCCGAGGCATCGATGGCCTCCGACTCGCTCTTGAGTTGGCAGCCGGGCCTGTTTCTCCAGCCTTCACTGGAAGAGTCGCTCGCGTCGCTGGCGTCCGAGGAAAGCGCGAACTACTGGGCGAAGCGGCGGAGCTCGCGCGACGACAAAACGGAGGGCGAGCTCTGCGCCGCGATCGCCCGGCGGGACCACGACGCCTTCGAAATGGGGGAAATGAGCCTTGGCGAAGGCGACCGCGTCCTCGTGCTGCGCGAGGAGATGTCGCGAGAACCGGGCTGGGTGTTTGCCACGTGCGGCGACGATTGTGGATACGTGCCGCGGAACTACCTCGTCCCCGAGGATATGCCGGCGTTGCCGTACGAGAGCGAGTCGACGGCGACGGCTATCTCGGCGTCGGCGTTTTATCGGATGTAATGTTTTATCTGTCATTCTCGGGACCCTGAGGCACTAAATGCTTCTTAGTGCGAGGGGAAGGAACCCCTTCAGGCGAGCCCTCCCGAGGGGCCGCGCGCGTCGGCATAGACCTGCGTGGCGAGTGTCGCGGCGACGGCGTGGCGGGGTCTCGTGCGCGTATGAAGGCAGCTCGGGACGCCGCAATAAGAACCAAATCAAAGGTCACTTGGAGGGACGGCGCGCCGTGCTTCCGCGGCCACGGCGCGAGCGTCGCGGCCAGTAGAGGCAAGTCGAGTTGCTTCCCTGACGTCACCTCGGACAGGGGCACGGCGACGGTGCCGAGGAAGTCGTCGCCCGTCACGGTGTCGTCGTCCCAGCACTCCAATACCACAACACAGAGCTCCGGTGCGGCCAACGCTTGCGTGAACTCGGCGTCCCACTGCGGCGCGACCGAGTTCTGGACGGTCTTGGTCTTCCACCAGTCGCGGCAGTCCTGCGGCGGCCCGCCCGCGACGCGCGCCCGGCAATACACGTCCGGCGTCTTCTGCGCGCGCCGCGGCGAGGTACTCATTCTTGTCCTGGCGCTTCGTCTCCTTGTGGAACTGGAGCTTGCCCGCGCAGCAACCCATTTTTTTTAGAAATTGTACTTAGCGGTCACGATGACGCCGCGACGCGCGGTATCCGCTTAGGATTGAGAAACTTTAGGAACTGCTCTAGAATTGAGATATGGCGCGTCACGGAGCGAGATCGCGAAGTGGCTCTGTCCGCGAGTCTTTGAGGAGGCTCACGCGTGGTAATTACGCGCGGCGCGTCTCAGCGACGGAGGCTTGTTGGATTATATTTCTGGGCTAGCGGCCTGTAAGACACTAGAAGCAGCTTGCAGGTCGACGCATCTCGCAGTGTGCCTCGCACACGAATAGTTAGGCTGTGTGGAGTACGATTTAACATAATAGCAACGAAAATCATCGGCGTGCATCGAACGCTGCGCTCTGAGCGGGCTTGTGGCGCTCTACAACAGCGCTGTCGGAGAGGCATAGCTTTGCAGCAAGCGCACGTAGCAGCACAGCAGCAGCCTAGCAACGATGCCGCAACCCGCCGGTGTAGTAGCAGAAATGATGCGCACGGTCGTCTACTGCGCGAGCCTCGTGACCGTGACCGTGCTGGTCTGCCGACGGGACCTCGTGCCCGAGGGCCTGCGGGGCAAGCTGCCCGACTCCCTGGAGCCGTACGAGCCCGCGACCGAGCGGACGCGGCAGCTCTTCATCTTGGCGCTCATCGGCGGCGCGGCGTTCTTCATGCGCTTCAAGGGCGGATGGATGCACCAGAAGGACGCGTGACGGTCGACATCGTAATAATTATCTAGACTATCAAATTTATATGAATTTCCGCAATGCTGGTCGTCGCGTGCCGTAGGCCGAGAACGCCTCGTCCTCCGGTTCCTGACGACACCGACACCGCCACGCCGCGGCCAGGACGCCGGGCAGGAGGAAGAGGAGCCACCCGACCGAAACGCCGGACGACGGCGGCGTTTCTTCAAGTGGAGGTAGCTGCCCGAGGACCCTGTCGGCGCCGACGTGCAGGAGCCCGAGCATTCCCAGCAAATCCGACTTGTCGACGGCGTCGTCGTCGCCCTCGGGGCCTCCACTAAGGTCGGCCACGACGACGTCGGCGCGCCAGCCGCCGCCCACATCATAACGGAAGCGCCGCGTGGCGCCCGCGTCGATGTTCGAGTGCACGAAGTGCTGGCGCGCGAGGTCGTACTTGTCCCGGCAGAAGCGGAACTCGGGGCAGCGCTTCTGGCGCCCGCCGCAGGTCATCTTCAGCGCCTTCCACTCGTTCTTGTCGATGTGCAGCGCCTCCTGGTACGTGAAGTTGCGGTAGATCTCGCCGTCGTATTCCATGCAACCCGCGGCGCCCGCCATGCCCAGCACGGCGTGCCAGAGCGAGTACTGGTCCTTGAAGCCGCACCGCCGCTCGAGCCACTCCTGTGTTTTGAGACGCTCTTCATTTTGCTCGATGGCGTAGACTCTCCGCGCATCGGCGCCCCCACGTTTGCGTACTCACGCTTCGACGCTCGACGCCATCGACGCGAGAGGCGATGGCGTGAAAAGAAATCGGACGCCGCCCGCGCGCCTTGAGGAAGATCCGAGACAAAGCCACGTCCCTTAGATAAAACGTGTCGCCGTGCAGGTGCCAGAAGAGGCTCTGGTCCCGCGCGTTCTCGAAGAGCACGTCGACCACGTCGTCATAGTGCACCTTGCGAAACAACGAAGGCACGGAGGAGAAGAGGGCATCGGGCCTCACGTAGGCGTCCATGTCCACGTAGTACAGGCCCGTAACATAAGGATCGGCGAGCAACCGGTAGGCCGCGAGCATCTTCGCGTGGTGGTTGCTGGACTTCTGCCGCGGCGACCCGTAGTAGCTCTGCTTGAGTCGCCTACTATATAGCGATTGCTTCTGCTTTGAGGCTCTACAGCCGTCGCCGCTCTTGGCGGCGACGATCTTGGGCAGCTCGCCGATCCAGATTGAAAGGCGGTGTCTTGTCGAAGACGCCCACATTACTTTATTAATGAAGTAGGGCCACAGTCTAAACACGTAGTCGACGTTGTTCGCAATTAACAAGAGAGAGGGCGACGGGTCCGTCTGTTCGGTCGCCAGGGCACACAGCCGCGGTTTGCTGGAGAAGGCGTGCGCTTTAGAACCAGTCAGCGCGTGGGGCACCGCCGTCCACGCTTTCCCATTGTCGAAGCGCAGGTCGAGGCGCGGGCCCACGCTGCTCGCTCCCATCGAAACCAGGCCGGCGCGCGCGGCGAAGCGGCACGACCCGTCGACGTTACCAGGATCGTCCATCCAGCAGAAGGCCGTGTTCGGTTTTGATTTGCATTTCTCGCGGTAGCTTGCCAAGTCCGCGGCGTAGTCTAGGCATGCTACGGTGCCCAGCAGCGGCAGGAGCCGTAAGGGTGTCATCCTATCTGCTCGTGTGGGGCAGCCCGAATCTGAGTGGGCCCCCTGTGTGTTGTTACGGCTGCTCCTTCCGCTGCCTACCGCTCGTATGGACCATGTAGTGTGAGTGTCTAGCAGCAAATGTGGCCGGGCAGCGCGAGATTGCGCGTGCTGGCCTGTGCTGGGAAATCGTGTGCTTGCTAGTGTCTTACATGCCGCTAGCTCGATCACGCCAGCTTGCTAGCTTTTCAGGCTCAGCGCTGCTTAATTTGCAGAGATTAGGCCATTTTCACGACCCCAGTAGTCGTCTCCGCGAGCCCTGCGAGCGTACGTGGCTCCAAGAGCTTGTGAGAGCCCGCTCTCTTAACTTGGGCCCAAGGTGTGATACGTCGTCATCAAAGCACTCATTTACGCTGCTCGAAGATGCCAAAGTGGTCCATGGCGCTTCTGCTCGCGCTTCGCCGCGGCGCCAGCCTCACACCCGTAATACGCCGCCGCTGCGGTCGCGCCTTGGCCAGCCTGCCCAAAGATGATGCCGGCTGGATGACGGAGCTCTCGCCGAATCAATTCGCGGTGCTGCGCCAGAAGGCGACGGAGCCGCCCGGTTACTCTGAAGGTACCGAGGGCGAGCTTGAGCACGACCTCAAGCGTGATTACGGTGCGAAATACCCGGACGCCGGCGGCGTGTACGAGTGCGCGGGCTGTCGGGAGCCCTTGTACTTTGCTCGCACGAAATTCAACAGTGGTTGCGGCTGGCCGGCTTTTTACGACGGCATACCCGGAGCGATCCGCGAGGTGCCCGATGCCGACGGGATGCGCGTAGAGATCGTCTGCGCGAAATGCGACGGACACCTCGGTCACGTGGCAAGAACGGGGCTTCCTGACCCCGACCGACGAACGCCACTGCGTCAACGGCGCTAGTTTGAGATACGAGCCCGCTGGGTATCAGCCGGACGACACGCCGAAGCTTGGCGGCTCTGGTGCCGAAGCCGATTCCTCCGTGAGTAAGGAGGATGTGTTGATAGGCTTTGCTTCGTGCTTCGCCGTGGGCGGCTCGAGCGCCGCCGAGGCCGCTGGGCACCACTCGAATAAGCCGCCGCGCGGCCGTGCATTTACCGCCGTGACGCGCTCTGGTCTCTATAAAACGAAGCGTGCGAGCGTGTGCGACGCCGCGACGCCGCGGTTTAACCAGGTGAGCAAAACTCTATCAAAGCCAGCATTGTTTCTCGAGCGGCGCGAGCGGCCCCGGCGACGCGCGGCCGCGATGGTTACCCCGCGAGACACCTCATCGCCGCGCGACGGTCGCCGACCACGCCGCGCACTTCCCCAAGTGCTGACGCGCGTCGACCGGACGCCTCGCAGGTACGAAGCGCAGGATGGTCCACACGCACGGCTGGGTCCGCCGCAAGGTGAAGAACTCGGACAAGTGGGTCCGCAGATGGCTCGAGGTGAATAAGCACGTGCTCTACTCGTACCAGTCGTGCCCGGCCGACATGCCGTCCGCGCGGGTCATGAACATGCTCGACCTGCGGAAGACGCGCACGATCGACGTCGTCGACGGCGAGGAGGGCCTCTTCGTCATCGTGCCCCAGTCGGCGGACGACGCCCACCCGGGCTACCTGATGAAGGCGGAGTCGCGGGAGTCGGCGCTCGCCTGGGTCGCGGGACTGAACGCGGCGCGCGACCGCGAGAGCGAGAAGAGCGGCGTCGGCGCGGCGCGCCGGCCGGAGCGCGGCTGCTGCTCGCTCTGCTTCGGGTCGAAGCGGGCGCCCGAGCGCGACCCGCTCGTCCAGTACTAGAAGCGTTCGCGGCATAAACATATGTACAAACAACCCGAAGCTTAGAATCACTCCCCCGGTGGAGTATCAACTCTCTCCGTGGCCAGCGCTGCGGCCAGGGTGGCCCCGAAGTCGCCGCCCGAGCGTGACGACGCCTTCAGCTTAGAATCACTCGCCCGGATAGAATCACTCGCCCGGAGGACGGGATCGACCGCCGCGTTGGCCAGCGCCTCGGCCAGGGTGGCCCCGAAGTCGCCGTCCGAGCGGGTCGACGCCTTCAGTTCCCAGTCCGCCGGCGGCCGCCGCCGCGTTTTGCTCCGCCGCGGCGACAGCTCCGCCGAGTCGCGCACGGTTCTAATAGCGTCGCTCTTCAGACCGAGGTCCTCCAATAAATCTCGCGTCGCAACCGGCGGGGGTTCGAGGAGCGTGCCCCGGACCGGCAGGTCGTTCCGCTCCAACAAGTGGCGCCGCCGCGGCGACAGGGGCTCCTTTATCCGATGCGGCCGCGCGATGGACTGGAGCCGCTCCAATCGCGCGTCGGCCTCGTCCAGGGGCGCGTCGGCGATCTCCTGGGCGACCTTGCGCGCGCCGCCCGTCGCGACGAGCTCCGCCGTGCCGGCGCCCATGACGACGGACGCGGGCGCCTCGCGTCGTAACGTCGCCGCCAGCGCTTCCAGCGCGCCCGAGCGCTCGAAGGGGTCGTCGGCCTTGCCGAGGTCATTTAAAGCAGTCCGGATCTCGCACATGGTTTGTTGATCCGTGCGCGGCGACCGCGGGAGCGAGGTGGCGGGCGTCGCGCGCGCGCCGTCCGCGACCAAGCGCGCGTCCGGCTGGAGTCTTTCCACTTCCTTCTGGAGGCGCTCGCCGTTCTCCCGTAATTCCTTCGCCTGGCGCAGGGCCCGCTTCTCGCGGTACCTGTGTGGAAATCAACCAGTGTGTCGGGTGCACCCGATAATTCCTCACTAAGTCATTTCTCGGCGATGACGTGGCCGCGCTGGCTCCGTCGAGCGGTGAGGAACCGACATTGCCACGCCATCGAGCAGGCGTCGCGTCGATGGCGTGGAGGACGACGCGACGATTCAGCACGAACGCGCCGTAAAATTTGATTCCACACAGCCCGGTACCGCGCGGCCTCCATCATCTGCTTCGAGGCGTCCGACGCCGCGTTCGCAGCCTTCGCAAAGTCCGTGGCCGACGCCGCCGTGTCCTTGATGAACGCGGCCCGCGCGGCTGTTGATGCCGCCACGGCACTCGCCGCATAGTCGCAGCACATCCTGTAGCAGTCGGCCGCGGCGCACGTCGCCTGGCGCGCGGCGTCGTTGTGGTAGATGCGCGCCGAGCCCATTGCTAAATATCTATCGGCCACGGCCTGCATCTGTTCGTAGACGACGTCGTCGATGCGGTCCGTCGACGAGGCCAGTTCCACCTCCAGCAGTTTGACTGACATTCGGTGAGTGTCCAGGAGATCCGCGCCTCGCGGCAGGTAGCCCTTGAGGTCGTCTTCCAACCCTAAACGATTCAGTTGCTGCTCGTAGAACTCAGACGCGACCTCGGCCACTCCAACCATCATCGTGTCCCGCGCGCCCGCCGCCGACACGGCCGACGCGGCCACGCCGAAGTTGCCTCTCGCGGATCCTATATCCTTCTGGATCTCCTCGAAGAGCCGATTCGCGTCGACAAAAGCCGTCGCGGCCTCGTCATTCAAATTGAGCAATCGAATCTTCCTAAATAACTCGTTGACCTGCTTGAGGCCGTACTCGGCGCCCGCGAGAGATGTCGAAGCGTCGCCCATGACTTCCTTGAGGAACGCTCTATCAGCATTGGCCGTTTCTCGCGCAGCGACGGCGGCCGCGGCGGGCAGATGAAGAAGGACGAGGTGTCCATTGGTATACTTCGGCCCTGGCGCGGGCTCGCGTCCCGCAGGTCCTCGTCGCGCGGCGTCGCGTCGCCCCTGGGAATCTCCTTGCCCTGCGTCGGCACCTCGTCGGGGCTGAACGGCGGCGGCCGCGGCGTCGCTTGCGCGTCATTATTGATGGTGTCGTCGTCGTCGTCCCGCGGCGTCACGCGGGCGGACGCGCCGCGCAGGCGCCGCTCGAGGGCTGCCTTCGCGGCGGGCGACGCCATTTTTGTGATTCTTGTGAAACGTGCGCGTCGCGGAGCTGCCCGCGCGCACCGGCCGGGTCGCGGGCGGTCGTGTGTAAGCGTGTTCGGGCCTACGCGACTGTTTTGGCTGCGTTTAGCACGCCCAACACCGCACCGGCCGCTGCAAAACCCCGAACCCAAACTGGCGCTGCAAGCAAAAGCTGCCCCTGCGCGGTTCCAGGCGGTCACTCGGCGCTCCTGGCACGCTTGGCGGTCGCACGGATCCCCCTCCGTCAGACAGGGCGCAAAAAATCCGCGCACGAACCGCTGCGTGTGGCCTGATCTTGGGGGCTGCCCGCTCACCCGCCGCACGGCCTGCTAATCGTCCGCGCGGCACGCCCACGCCGTCCCTCGACGCCGCCGCGGCGCCGCGCCAGCAGCGGCGCGGTGATCGACGACCATGGCCGACATGAAGGCCATGATGCGCGAATCCGCGAAAGCGAAGCGCGAGATGGAGGAGATGCGAAGGAAAGCGGAAGCGGACCTCGACGAGATTTTGGATGAGGCGATTGCCGAGTTCGAGGCAGAAGAAGATCTGACCGAGAAACCGGAAGACGACGAGGGCGAGCGCATGGAGACGCTGCTGGCGGCGAAGCGCGCGCGAGCGCATCGATTTGGCGATGGAAGAGGAGATGAAGGACGACGCGTACAATCGCTTGGACTCGCTCGTGGATAATTTAAGGAATCCTGCGTTTAAAGACACTCTGGAGATGACCCTGCGAGCGTTGTCGGGCAATGAAGAAGGTGCGAGAACGATAGAACAGTTCGTCCGGGACCAGCGAGATCGGGCGGAGCGGTTAATCTCGGACGAGGCGCCCGATGTGGAATTGGATCGCGGGTTAAGTCGGACCATGGAGTTATTAGCGACATCTTCATCGAATATGGAGGGGCTGGAACCGGCGCAGATCGAGCAGAGCGGCGACGAGATGATGACGAACATGATCGCGGAGTTCGAGAAATTGGGCCAGAAGGAGGACTTCGACCAGATCGTCGAGAACATGCTGCGCCAACTGTTAGCGAAAGATCTCATGTACGAGCCGATGTCGAAGGTCTGCGACAAGTACCCGGAATGGCTCGCGGAGAAGTACGAAACTTTAAGCCAGGACGAGTATCAAAGATATGGCACGCAGTACCAGTACTTCCAGCGCATCGTGGCCGTCTATAAATACGAGCCGGACAATTTTCCTCGACTCGTGGAATTGCTTCAAGATTTACAGAAGTACGGGCAGGTGCCCTCGGAGATCATCAAGGAGCTCGCGCCGGCCCTCGAATTCGGGCCCGACGGCATGCCGGTCATGAATTTGGGGGACAACATCTTCCCGAAGCCGGGCGCCGCGCCGGGGATGCCTGGTTTGCCGACGCCCGACGCGTCCGCGGCGAACTGCTGCGTAAGCTAGTAGTCTGTTTTCTTTTTTCCCGGCGCGGTCTGGGTGTTCGCCCTCGCTGGGCGCCCGGCGGTCCCGGCCCGGGTGCTACTCGCACTAGTAGCCGGTGCCAGTGGTGCCCTCTGGTCTGTCCACGCTCTTCTAGGCTCCAGCCTCTAGTTCCACTGCCGAGCGCACTCCTGCGGCGCCCCCGACGCCGTCGACGCGGCGGCTCCCATAGAATACTTAGGCCAAATCTACTTCGAGTGGGCATGCTGCTTCTTGCCGAACTTCTCCTGCAGCTCGCCGAGCACGCCGAGCGACGCCGCCGCGACGCCCGACCACTGCGTCCCGTTCAGCACGTAGCCCCGCGACACAATATCTAAAAGCACGGAGAAGATCTTGCGCGTCGTCGTCACCGTCGTCACGAGGAGCGGGTCGAAGTTCGCCATCGTGAAGAAGATGGCCGACTGGCCGATCGCCGAGCAGAACGAGAACTTGGCCACGGCCGTTAATAGGTCCGGATGATCTAAGAGGAAGGCGACGCCCCCGAAGAACTGGTCCAACGCTAACGCCATGACCAGGGCCACACCCAACATGGCTGCGTTCGTGAAGAGCATGAGGTCGTACGGCGCGAGGCCCTGGCCCTGCGTCTTCTTGTACTCCTTCTTGAAGGCCGTCTGCTGGCCGCCCGTGATGCCGTCACACACTAACGATAACCCGAGGCAGGCCATTCCAATAACATCGGCGTGGCCTCCGTCCGAACCCGGCTTCCTAGCTTTGCCGACGGTCACGAGGACGACGCCTCCGATAATCAGCGCGACCTGGGCCCACTTGCGCGCGGGGTACCGCGTGCCGCTCAGGACGATGGCGCCGACCATGACGGGGACCATCTTTGCGTTTTTCACTAATGTTGCTAAAAAGAAGGGCACCCCATAGATCTGGGCCTTCTGCGTCATGGCCTTGGCCAGGACTTGCGTGCTGCCGGTCAACAAAAACGACTTGTAGGGGATTGCCGGCGAGGGCCCGCCCTGCGTGAGGATGAGTCCCGCCAGACCTACTAAAACGTTGGCGGCGGCCTCGAGCACCTGCAGGAACCACTCGCGCTCCAACTTCGAGCCGTCCTCGGCTTGATATTTCACAATGTCGCCCATGAGCTGGCCGTAGTAGAGGAACGCGCCGAAGATCCCCACGACGCCGATGGCGAGCTTCGCGGGGCTCGCCGCGCCGTCCGGCTTCGGGGGCGGCGCCATGACACTGCAGCCGGGGAGCAGAGGCGTGTCCGGCTCGCTGTCCTGCGAGTCCTGCGACTGATACGTCGCCTTCGAGTTGTTGCTGGCGGTGGCGGTGGCGTCGCGCCGCGGGGACGCGCGGTTGCTCTCCGTCGTATTGATGGGTGGTGGGCGCGGTGCGTCCGCGTTGTTATGTGCAGCAGCTAAAATTTCGGCTAGCGCTGAAATTTTTGCAAATCCGCGTCGTTGTCTTGGTGCAGCGATGCGTCGGTAGTCCTGCAAGGCTCCGACGGCAAGGGCAAGGCAAGGCAGTCGCGCTAGCGGTACGTAAAGACACTAGCAAAAAAAGGAAAACTCCATAAAGGCGCCAACTGCCTCTTAAAGCGATCGTATGCGTCGCATCGGACGAGTTCCCCCATGATGTCGCTTTCGAAGCGGGCAGCCTGGTCTGGCTTGGCAAACGCACCAGCACGGCCACATTCGTGACAAGCGGCGGCCAAACGACCGTCGCATCGCTGGTCTCTCGTATCTGTGCGCTCGTGCGTGCGGCGCCAGCATCGCTTAGCCTCCTATCACTGAGATCACTCTGAGCTGGTGTAAGCAGTGCGCTGGCATTTGACGTTCGCGGGCGCATCGCTCCAAGCGGTGCGCGGTCATGGCAGCTCAGTTCCTCCCCGCGTCGCTGCAAGAGCGCCTGCGCCCGCAGCACGGCGCGACGCTGCCGGCGCCGCGCGACGCCGGCGCGCACGTGCTGTACTGCATGCGGACGGCGTACCGTAGCGCCGCGAACCCGTCGTTGGAAACGGCACTGCGCGCCGCCAACGAGCTGCGCGTGCCGTTGCTCTGCCTCGCCGTGCTCGAGGACTCGTTTCCGGCTGGGCTAAGTCGCATAGGCATGCGGCCCACAGATCGCGCCACAGCCTTCCGGCTCGAAGCGCTGCGCGAGCTGCAGCCGGAGATCGCGGCGCGCGGGTCGGTCCTGCTGGTGCATGTGGAGCGCGACGGCTCCCGCCAGGCGGCCGCCCAGTCCCTCGCCGCGCGGGCTCGACTGGTCATCGTCGACGAGCACTTCGGCGTCGAGCCGCACATGTCGTTCGCGGACAAGGTGCGGCGAACGGGCGCGCCGACCTGGTTGTGCGACTGCGCCTGCACCGTGCCGTCTAGGACGCTGCCGGCGCAGGCGCTCGTGGGCGGCAACGCGGGGTTTCTGCGCGCGACGCGCGACGCGCGCCGCGCGCGGCTCGCCGCGACGCCGCTCGCGCCGGCGCGTGCCTCGGCAGCGCCGCCCCCGCCGCCGACGTGGCACCTCGACCTCTCCGGCGAGGCCGCGGTCGACGAGGTGCTGGCGGCGCCGAGCCGGCGGGACACCTCTGTGGGACGAGTGGCGCGGACGCGCGGCGGGCCGCGGGCCGCGGTCGCGCGCTGGGAGGCCTGGGTCGCAAACGACGGCCTCGCGGGCTACGCGAAGAGGAGGAATGATCCTTTGGACGTCTGTGGCTCCAGTCGTGCGGTTCCGGAGTCTGACCATTCGCCTCCACGCCATCGACGCGATTTGATACACGTGTCCACTGCACGCCATCGACGTGATGTCTGCTCGACGCAGGCATGAGCGCGTACGTCAACTGCGGCATGATCGACCCGCTCCGCATGGCGCGCGATGGCGCGCGCGTCTCGGAGAAGTTCGTGAGCGAGTTTTGCGGTTTCCGCGAGAGCGCGCATTTGTGGTGCCTGCGGAACCCCGGCGCGTACTTGGACGCGTCGCGGGCCGTGCCGGCGTGGGCCCGGAACCAGCTGCGGGCGACCGACCCGGCCCCAGATGTGGAGGCTTTAGCTCGGGGCGCGTCGGGCGACGCCTACTGGGACGACTGCCAGAAGTGCCTCGTGCTCTCGGGCGAGTTGCACAACAACGTGCGCATGGCCTGGGGCAAGGCCATCCCCGCGTGGCACGGAGCCGTCTTGAACGGCCAAGAAGCGACGCCGGCGACGCGCCTCCAGGCCGCGCTCGATCTACTCGTGCGATTGAACGACACGTACGCGCTCGACGGTGGTGCGCCGCCCTCGTACGGTGGACTTCTGTGGTGTTTGGGTTGGCGCGACCGGCCCGGCGCCGGCGGCTGCCCCAAGCTGCGACCGACTAGCGTTATCGGCCGGCGCGGCGTGAAACCTGGCGACCTCGAGCGCCTCGCCCGCGTCCGCGTCGACGGCTCCGAGCCGGCCAAGAAGCGCCAGCGGACCATGGAGAGCTTCCTCTCCTCGCCCAAGTCTGTTGTTGGATAAAAGTTCTGTTCATATTCGATTCTTCACAAAAATCACCTTACACAACAAGGTCCTCGCCACCGTCGACGCCGTCGAGGAGCGCCTCCGACGTCCCCGCGGGAACGGGTCGGTAGAGCACGTAGTGCTGCACGAGGAAGAGCACATCGAAGACCATCGACGTGACGCCCAGGCCGAACTTGACGACGTCGCCGGAGATGCCGCTCCAGTCGTTTTGATTTGCGCAGTCGAGGATGAGCTGGAGCGTCGAGAGGGCGCCGCCCGTGAAGTCGAGCAGGATGTTGTCGATCGGCCAGCCGACCGTCGATCGCCGCCTATAGTTCAAGAGGAGTTGCGGGAGGTATTTGCAGAACGTGACGGCCATCTTGCCTGCGTGTTGATACGTTGCACCCTCCACCTTCTCCCCTGCACGCCATCGACGCGACACCTGCTCGACGGCGCGGCGGTGGTGTGGGTCTTAGCACGGCCGCGTCGTCGCCGAGAAATGACTTCGCGAAGAATCACGCCATCGACGCGACGCTGGTTCCTACAGTACGAGCGCGCGTAGAGATTTGTAGTGCTTCGTGGCCCACGATAGCGGTGCCTGCTACATAAAGCGCGAGCGCCCAGGCCGTAGCGCGCCGGTCGACTCGGCTTTTGCTTCGCGAAGCCGTCGTAGTAGGCGATCTGGCCCACCGTGACCGACGAGAGCAGCAGGGCGTGGAGGCAGAAGAGGACGCCGGCGGCGTACTTCTGGTGCATGGTCGTGGTGTCGCTTGTACTGGTGGCGGATGCGCGGCGACGCGTACAGGGCGAGGGTGTACGCTGAATAAGCGGCAAACGCAAACGCGTTGAGCACCGCGAAATCGGGCGACAGGCCGACTGTTGTTTTTCTCTGTTTGTTGAGCAGCACTTGGGGCCAGAAGGAGACGCTCCAGGCTACGAAGTACAGGCCGCCCAACGCTGCGGAGATGTAGGCGTAGGGTTTCGTGAGCGCGCTGTCGTCGGGCGTGACTGCGGCTACTAGTCCCGCAGCGATCAGCATGCAGGCGAGGGTGATGAGGCGTCGACGGAGTCGTCCTTTCGTCTCAGTTATATTTGGTTCCTCTGTGTTGTTTGCCAGTGGTTCGTCCATGGATGCTGCGCTGGCTCGTCCTTCGTGTGCTCGCGCGGCTCAAATTTGACCTCACCTGGCAGAGCTGCTCTTTATCTCCGTGACTGCTCTTCCAACGCTCACAAAATTTTCACACAAGATCTATGTGGCTATAGTAGAGCTGCGTCCTGTTCCAGCTGTTAGTTTGGAGCGCTTGGCGCGGCACGACGGCCGTCTCACAAGCAGTCCATCGTGAGTCGAGTCGAGAGGCCGCCGCCGCCCATCAGGAGCGGTCCAGGAGGGTCACATGCGTCTCCGGGAGGGGTGGAGCGTTCCGTTGCTGGTTTTGGCTGCGTTTGGCTGCCCAGTCCATAAATCCGCCACAGATCGCCACAGATGACTGCCGGGGTCCAGGGCAACCCAGGACGGGCGCACGGACGGCCCTCCGGGACTCTTTCATGGAGGAATGCGCCCAGCTCATTCCCCCGTGTACGTACTCCAACGGACGTCTGCGTCGACATTGGAATCGAACCAGCGCCGACCGCGATAATTTTATACGGACCGCAAGCTGCACTGCTGCACGTACCAAGCAGCGCGCAACCTCTCAGCACCTTCAGTGTGCCATAGAAAGCGTCAGCGCGTCAAACGACACGGTACACGCGACAAAGGACGTCAAAAGGCGCCATCTCGCATCTTAGCCGGTAAACGTCCACCACGACGTCCGTGCTAGAAAAAGCAAATCAGCTCATCCGAAAAGCGGAAGAGCTCAAGGCCAGGATGTCGGAGACGATGAGATATCGTTCCGACTCCGTTGTCAGCATCGATGAACCCGCGCTCCAGCTTGGTCTCAATGGAGAAGCGGTGATGGAAGAGGCCGTCCTCGAGATGTTGCAGACGAACAACGTCGAGGAGCTAAGAAAGGTCGACGCCGACGCCCTCGCGTTGGCGACGACCGCGAAGACCTACGCGCTCCACGAGGCCTGCGAGGCCGGTTCTATGGACGTGGTAAGATTCCTCCTCGAGGAGGCCGAGCACGATATTGATATTCGCGACGCCCAGCAGTGGACGCCGCTCCACTACGCGGCGGCGTTCCAGGGCGACAAGCCTGAATTAGTTCACTACCTCCTGTCGAAGGGCGCCGACGCGGCCCACGAAGACGAAGACGGCGACACGGCCTTGGACGCTCATTTGGACGAGTCCGACGCGGACACGGTCGTCGCCGACCTCCTCAAGAAGGTCGAGGAGCACGACGGCTACGAGCACTGGGCCCGCGCGCACGCGCGCGCGCCCGGTTTGTACGGCGAGCTCGTCAAGGCCGAGCGCCCCAAGTACGTCGAGGCGGAAGTGCGCCTCGCGTTCGGCGTCCTGCACGCCCAGGCCAACACCCATTACGACCGCATCAAGGAGTCGGGCGTGTCGGCGGAGGCCTTCATCCTCGGCGCGCACGGCGGCCACGTCTGCTTCGACCACGTCCTCACGTTCATGGCTTAAGCGCGCCGCTCTTCTTTTGAGTGGCGCGTTTCGCTGTGTTCGTTGCGCATCATGGTCCTCCCAAAGTCTAGCGCAAAGGGCTAAAACCAAGTCCCGCCCCTCTTTTTCTTGCACTGTTCGCGGCGACGGCGTCAACAACAAACCAAAGGACCGGGACTGGGACAACACTCGGCGGCTGCTTCGTCTCTGGCGTCTCCGGAGGAGGCGGCCCGCCCGGCGTCGGCGGCGCCCCCGCCCGTCGCCGCCGCCGGGCCGGCCGGCCGCCGTAGGTCACGGCCGGCGTCTGCGGTGGCGCCGGCGACGCGAGGGCCGGCGTCCGCGGCGCCGGCGACCGGGCGACCCGGCCCGGCGTCCGCGGCGGCGGGCTCCGGCCGCCGCGCATGAGCACGGCCGATGGCGTCGCCGGCGGTGCCTGCTTCTTTGCGCGCGACGGCCGGCGCTCGCCGCAGGCGGCGCACGCGACCATGGCCGCTTCTGCCGGAGACGTGTGCGGGTAGGCGCACTCGCGACAGGTCCAGGAATCGACCTCCTCGTCCGAATCGCCGAAGCCGAGCGTGCGCCGCGCGCCGGCCAGGTCCCGCGCGGGCGCGCGCGTGCGCTTCTTCTTGCGCGGCGCGGGCGGCGGCCGCAGGCTCGCGGGCGCGCGGCAGAAGTCGCGCTCGCACGCGGCGTCGGCCTTCTCGAGGCGCTGGATGGCCCGCGCCAGGGCGTACGCGCCGTCAGCGACGGGGAACGACCCCGGCGCGGCGCCCGCGCAGCGCCGCGCCGCCTCCACTCGTTCCGCGGCGACCACCGCGACGGACGCGTGCGCCTCGCGCTGTTCGGCCAGCGCCTTCAAAAAAGCCGCCTGGCGGTCCGCGAGCGGCAGGCGCAAGCATGATCGGCAGAAGGCGGCTTTCCGGTCGGCGTCTTCCGTTCGGGACGAGCAGTTCACGCACAGCGCTTCGGCGCGGGGCTGCGCCAGGAAGAAGCGGTCCGGCCGCTGCCGTGTCGGCGACGGCGGCGCCGCGGACCCATCCAGCAAAACGGAGGCGCCGTCGCACGAGAGCTTGCCGCTGCGCACGATCGACGGCGGCTCGTCGAGCAGTTTCTTCACGTCGGCCCGCTGCGCAAAGGGCGCGAACAAGCGTCTCAAGTCGGGCAGCAGCTTCTTATCTCTATATAACTTCAGGTCCACGGCCGCGTTCGTCTTCAGCACGGAGGGAGGGTCCATGACGCCGTCCTTCTGGGCGTCCCCCCTCAAAGATTTACCGTGGACCATGGGCACGAACTCGCCCAACCGAAACCGGAGGCCCGGGTCCTGCTTCAGGCGCTTCGTCGCCAGCGCGACGTGCGGCGTCCTTAGCGTGCTATCGTCCTCGTCCTCGCCGCGCGCGAACCGCTCCAGGTCCGACTGGTCCACGCGCCACAGGTAGGCGCCGCTCACGAGCTCGTCGAGGGCCACGTCGCCCCGTAGTAATTGCTCCTGGCGCGCGGCCGCGAGCGCGCACGCCGCTTCGACGCCGCGCTCGAGCAACGCCGTCGTCGAGTCCCGGAGCGTGGCTCTTACAAAATCCGTGTCGCCCCGCGCGCTGCCGATGCCCTTGATGACGACCTCTCCCCCAAAATCGCGGCCCGCGTAGCGGTTCACGTGGAGGAGCAGGAACGGGCAGAGCGTGTGCTCGTGCTCGAGCGTCAGGCCCTCGGGCAGCGCCGCCGACGCTGCCGCGGCGATCTTGCGCCCGGCCGCGACCTCGGCGTGGCTCCGGCCCGGCGCGGCGTGAAGAGCGAGTCCGTCTGCGCGTAGAGGACTTCCGCGCCCTCGACCTCCGCCTCGATGACGTCGCGCGCGCGGCGGCAGTACCAGTTGCCCCAGCGCACGCAGCTCGGCGGGGCCTTGCCCCCCAGCGGCGAGACGTCGGAGCCCGTGAAGCCGTAGGACGCGTTCGCGCAGAGCTTGAGCGAGAGCTGGCGTGCTTGCCTGTGTGTGTTTTCAAATTTCGGGCGCCCCACGCCATCGACGCGACGTTGTCCCCGTAACTGCGGCAGCTCGATGGCGTGGAGGTATAACCTAACTCACTGGTTGATTTCCACACAGGCACATGCAGGCACTCCGCCTCGTTCGTGTCGCCGCGCTGCGCCGCCGCCTTAGCTAAAGCCTTCGTGCGGCGCCGCGTCGTGATCAGGGCCTCTAGTAACCGCGGCAATAGTCCGGGCCGCTTGGTTTTCGAAGCGAAGCGGTGCGGGTGTTTGAGTTGCGCCGACGCCGGGCACACGGCGTCGTCGGCCTCCGCGCCGGCGCCTCGCAACGTCGTCCAGCAGATGTTGTGCGCCACGAAGAGCGAAGGATAGAGCGACGCGAAGTCCAAAACCACGACCGGGTCCTTTCCATAAAAGCCGCACGAGCCCACCGCGCGCGAGTGGCCCATGAGACCGTTGGAAATCAACGCCGCCTGGTGGTCCCTTAGTTCACTCCGTGGCGCGGGGTGGTGGAGGAACGGCGTCGTGTCCTGCACCCAGCCATTTTCTGCCGGGAACCTTTTGAGGGGCAGCGCCACGTCCAGACGCTTCGCGGCGCCCAGTACTAATTGTTCTGTGCGGACCGCCGTCGCCCGCCACAAAATCGTCTCCAGGTCCAAACCCGTGCAGCGCGCGTATTCTACGGTCTCGGCGACGGCGTTGAGGCGCCGTCCTAGGGCCAGGATCGCCCGCGCCTCGCAGGCGGCGACGGCCGCGCGCGTCGACGCGTCCAATTGTTGCCGTGCCGCCGGCGTTATTGTGGGAGGCGCCGCGTCGAGCACCGCGCGGCACGCCTCGGGCAGGTCGTACCGCGTGAGCTTGGGCTGCTGGCGCATCACCAAACACCTCAGTAAGTCCACGCCGAGTCTCCCACCCAGCCCCGAGCAGCGGTGCGTCTCGAGGTTGTTCGCCGAGGCCATGCGCCTCTCGGACCTATCCTTGATCCAGGCCTTCGAGTAGGTCGTCACGCTCGCGCACGCGAGGGGTGTGGCGTCGAAGCGGCCGAGCTGCAGCGCGCGGCGGTGGCGCGCGCGGAAGCGCTGGGCTAACAAACCCAGGCGTCTATCATCAAAGGTAAAAAGCACGTCCGGGTCCGCGTTCCGCAGGTGCGTCTCGACGGCGGCCAGGAGTCGGCTTTCGTCGCGGAAGAGCGACACGCGCGCGCCGCACGCGAGCAAAGCTTCGCCGCGGCCGCCGACGGCGAGCACGTCGACGCCGTCGCTCGTCGCGAGCGCGACGGCGGCGATGGAGTCCTTACTTGATTTGTCGGCGTCGCTCCACCTGCGCGCGTTGTTGACCCTTTGTTGTTGCCCTTCCTTTCTTCGACAAATCCACTGCCTCCCCTGCCTTGGCCCGACGCCGTGGAAGGGGAGACTGTCCATCCCACTCACGCCATCGACGCGCCGCTGAATTGAAGGCGCACCTCAAAGGACGCTGGACCACGGACGCCGCGTCGTCGCGCCCGACGCCGGCTCGACGCGCAGCGCGAGGACCTTCAGGTCCGGGATCGACGCGAAGCGCGGCGCCGCGAAGGTCTGGCGGCGGGTCCGGCGCGCGGCGGGCGACGCCGGGCGTGGGCGCAGCGGTAGCCTGCGCAGTCCGAGTGAGCCCCCACGCCATCGACGCGACGTTTGTCCCTGTGTTGATTTCCACGCCGGCGGTCACGGCGGTCGCCCGCCTCCGCGACGTTCCGGGCCACGAGCCAGGCGCCGCCCGACAGGTGCGTCTCGACGAGGAACCGCCGCAGGAGGGGCACGCCGTCCTCGCAGGGCGGCTCGGCCCAGAGCTGCTCGCACTTGCGCACGAGCGTCGACTGCGCCGCGCCGCAGCGGTGCGCGACCCGCAGATATGTCCGGGGCTCGTGGATGCCGCAGAGGAACGTGCGCGTTACTTTTGTCACGGACACGGCGTGCGCCGGCGCCGCGCGACACAGGTCCGCCTGGCGATTTGTCGCGTCCACATCATCCGCGACGGGGCCCACGTAGAAGTGCGGCCGGAAGCCGCTGACGACGAGGCGCGCCGGGCGCCTGTCGGCGTCGACGCCTTCGAGGACGACGTCGTCCTGGGACTGGGCGAGGGTGATGAGGAAGAGCTCGAGGGGCGGCTGGGCCATCGTTATTGCTTCTGAGCGTAGCGTGTCCAGCAACAGGCCAATGCAGCCTTTTTTGGCTTGGGTGCTGGAGCTCGACGCGTGCTTTGCGGAGGACGGCTTTGGCCCTTGTGCTGGTACGCCTTGAATGCTGTGGCTCCTGTGAACTATGCTTTGCAGCGATGCGCAGCGCTTCGAGAGCGGCGGCGGCTTAACAGAGAGCACCAGCCTTCGCGCGCAGGCCCAGAGGCGCGACCGTGGCAAGCAGCCGTCGGATCGTTCCGCGAGGTGTCTGCGAGCGCTCGTTCGGTTTGTGTTTCGCGGGCGCGGTGAGACGACCTCGCCACACTCTCGTCGACCGGGGACGGCGGGACGGGAGGGAGCTCCCTGGGGCTTGGGGATGACGGCGCGACGGCGGCGTTGGGAGGGCGGCCCATCGGTTGTCCGACGGCCGACGCCGCCGACGCGGGCGCGGGTCTTTTTGGAATCTCTATGTCTGAATCGAAGCGAGATGACGTTCGCCGGACCTCGCCGTGGACGATTCAGGCTCTGGCATTCGCGCAGCCGGGTACTAGGCTGCCCTTCCGTGGGGCAACGTCGAGCGCGGGGCGGTCGGGCTGCTGCGCCGTTCTAAGGGTACTCGTGGCTGGTAGAGCGTTGCGTGGAGGTGGGGGGTGGTGCTGGGGCGGCCTGGGTGGGCGGGTTGCGTTGGCATGTGGCTGGTTGGCCCGGTTGGAGGTCGTTTCTGGTCCAGGTACCCGTGGATGGGCTGCTTTTGCTGGCTGGACCAAAATTTTTGTGTTCTCGGAGGACTTCGCTGCGTTTTCTGCGGCGACGTTCCATATCCGCGGGGCAGCGAGCCAAAACTGGCACACTCTGGCACGGCTCAGAGCATCACACAAAAGTCCGCCACAGCGTCCCAATATCCAGCCGCACATTGAAAAGCGTGTGTCAACGGCAAGTTCGCAGTCTTCCCGCTCCCTCCAGCGCTTGTCCGCTCTCGAAACGCCTGCGTGGAGCGCGCACAAGCCCAATCTCGCAAAATCGGCCTTCTCCCAATGTTTCCGCGTCCCCCCGCCACCGCGCGGGCCTGCCCGGCTCGCAGCAGGGCTGATCGGTCTCGAACCCCGGTTTGACCGCTACGCGGCGCCCCTCGACGTCGTTCACACATTTATTTGGCCGGCTTTGTGCGTCGGAAAAAAACACCGGCCTCTCACGCGGTACCGAGGGCAGACCGCGCGACCGCCGTCAATTGAGAGACAGCCCTTGTTCACACAAACACGCCTGTAGACGCTGCGCGCGCACGGACGAGTTATTAACCCGTACGCCCTTCGCAGATAATCACGCGGACGAGCACTTCGTCCGCTTCCACAAAACGCACAAAAACTCACCTCAACTAGATCATGGCGAAGAAAGGTTTAAAGTCCGCGTCATGATCAACCGCGTGCCCTCGCACTGCGCCTCGCGTCCGAGGACGGTGCGGTCCGATGGCCGCCGGCGACCTCGAGACGACGCCCGTGGCCCGCCGCGGACCGCCGACGCCGTCCCGCCGACGCCGTTGGCGCCCCTCCCCATGCGGGCGCTGCCCGCCACGCGGGCGCTGCCGCTGGAGAGAGTGAGAGTGAGCGGCGCTCTCCGTGCTTTCGACCGCGACGACTCACGCCTCTGTTCCCACGCAGTCAAGCAAGTGTTCGTCCAGGAGTCGCAGCTCCGCAAGAGCACGCGCCCGCGTCCTGCTTCACCACGGTCCCTTCACATCGACCCGCGGTCGCCGTCGACGCGATGTAAGCGCGTCTGCTCGACGGCGTGGAGGCCGGCCTACGCCGTCGCCGCGGCTTCGTGCCAGTGGTCGCGTCTGGTCGTCCCGGTGGCCGCGCCTGCTCGATGGCGTGGAGAGATACGCGTACGATATCTCGACGTCGCCGCGTGGCCGCATCTAACTTCGAGCTGCCCTCGCAGAGGAAAAAAAGAAGATCGACAAGGCGCGCGCCATGATCGAGTACCACAAGTGCCGCGTCAGCTCGTTCTCCAATTGGGCAAGCTACTGTGCAGAAATCAACCATTCGCGGCCGCAATTTACCTCGTATTCGCACAGGGCAAGGCCGCGTCGCCGGAGAAGCTCAAGCACGAGGCCGCGGTCGCCGCGCTGACGGCCCAGATCCAGCTCATCGAGCTGGAGGCGTCGCAGCGCGACCCCTTGTTCTAGACCGGCGGCGCCGCGCGCCTCCAGTACGCCTTTTAGGCGGCTGGGCCGCGCGCGGCGCTGCGGTGGGCCCACCGAGTGTTGTTCTGAGGCCGAGCACGTTCGGAGCGTGAGCGGCCGTCCCTTCATCTGAAGGGGCGGCCGTCCCGCGCGTTAAATCTTGTGCCCGTCTCACTCCAGCGTTGTATTGGAGCCGCCGCCCGCCCGACGACCGGCACGAAGGTCGGCGTCCAGCGCGTTCCCCCGGTCCGCCGCCGGCAATTGACCTTCCCGCGCCATATCGGCGCTGGTCCACCGATGTGCGCGGTCATCCATCCTGGCTCACTCGTCGGCGGCTCGGGCGCCGTAGCAGCAGCAGCGCCGCGCCCGCCGAGGCGGCAGCGCGACGCGTGTGGTAGTCGCGCTTGGCCCAGGCGCCGCCACAGGTCGCCGACGACGCCGGCGCGAGCTAAGGATTCTGAGATGATTCCGGGCGGCCCGCCTCCGCTCCAGTGCCTCACGAAAGGTCGCCGCTTGAATATCTGCTGCCTCTTGACTAAGCCCCAGGAAGATATAGCCAAATGTCTCGCGTAGCGGCGTGCATAGTCATCTCGAACAAAAAAAAATCGTGCCAGCCATGATGGTTCGCAAAGCCTCGTTTATTAGCGAGTAGTGGAAACCCGCAAGAAAGGTCAGGAGAAACACGGGTTCAAGGATCGCCAGACCACCAGCACGCCCCTCGTCGAGCTTAGACTGCCAATCTAGATGTAAGACCAAACCTTCCATGGATGGTGTCGTACCAACGCCGCCGAACGTGACCTGCAAACACAGGTTGACCCTAAATTCCAATCTATCCGTCGAGAACAGGATGTTATCGTCCTCGAAAGAGTAAGAGTGCAGCCGCGAGTTGTTGGTAAAACTTATGCTGCCATGATAATCGCAAAGACCCAGCGGGATCATCGCTTGGTCCTTGTCCCTGATTGCAACGACGGTAAACTGCAGACGCTCTAGATACGAATCCATGGCGTCACCGGGGCAGTCGCCCATGTTGCCGCTTTCCACCATCGCGGCGCAAGCTTCAGAGAGAGGGAGCCGAAAGTTAAAATCACTTCGCTCGCTCTTCAGGTCGCCCTCCCAGATCAAACGACCGTCTTCGGTGACGCGCACAAAGAACGTGAAATCCATGGGTGCGTTCAAGGAGGAACGGAGGTCACGCGCCGGCGTCTCCTGGCACAGGGAGTCCGCGAGCACGCGCCGGCGGACGTGGGACCGCACGCGCGAGGCCGCGTCGCTCTCCAGCGCGGCCCGTACAGCTCGCGGCGCGTGCACTTCCGCTAACCGCTGCCACGCGTCTGCCTCGCGCACGTCTCTGCGGAGCGTCGCGCTGCAGCACGTCAGGCGGCACAAGGACTGCGGCGACATGAATTGTATGATCTCGGGTCGCAGCGGTATTGTTCTGGTCGCTCGCGCGGATCGCTGCGCGGCATTTGCACGGCTCTCCTGCGTGCTCACAGACAAGGCGGTCAGCTCTGCCGCGAGAGCCGCGTCGATGGGTCCTTGCATCGCTGCACCAGCAACCAGACTATTTAACGGAATTTCTGACAGCGTCTCGGCGCCGTCTGCCACCCGTAAGCGCTGTCTAATTAGTTTGCAATTACCGGGCTGTTGCTAGTGCCTTTAAGCCGCTACCCGACTATGTCTTAGAGCTTCGAAACTACCTCCTTGAAGAGGGCGTGCGGGAGGCCGAAGAGCGAGTTGAATAACTTGACCCTCGCCAAAAAAGTTGCCAAAGCGCCATCGTCGAGGAGTCGGACTTCGGCCGTCACGCGGCCGCGGATCGCGTAGCTCCGGAGGCGCGCGATGGCTCTGCGCGTCCGGGTGCCGTACACGAGGTTTTTGAGCGTGCGGAAATTTTCGTCGTGGGCTAAATTGGAGTCAAATTCCATATGCGCCAAAAGCTGCTCGGCTGACATCTCGCCAAGTAACGACCCGGCGCCAAGACCGGCGCAAATAACACGGTCCAAAGACGCACCAGCGCGGAGTAGGATGCGCGAGATTTTCAACGCAGCCTCGGTGTCGTAGACGGTGTAGGTGCCGTTGTCGTCAATTCTAACGTGACTGCTCGAGTGCATGGCGGACGCTAGTGGCTTCATATCATCCCCGTTATTGGTGTTGAGGTCGGCGGCACCAGCATCGAGGAGTAGTGAGACCAAAGCTGGCGACGCTCCACGATGCAAAAAAGTCGCGTTATGCAAAGGGGACTTCCCATCCGAGTTACGTATATTTACGTCCGCACCGCGAGCAATTAGCTGTCGAACCAGGTCGAGCTTGGCCGGTGTGACCGGGTTGCAAGCGAGATAAAAGAGCAGCGTGTGTCCGCTGATGTCGCCCCACGGCGCCTTCAAGGTGTAGGTAGCGTTTATGTTTTGCGTCTGCTCGATCCAATTCCTCACGACTTCCACGTCCTCCGCGGATCCTCTCTCGCTTCCACAGCGAGAGGCGGCGTCAATAATGTGCCTAGGCAGGCCCATTTGTGGGTCTTCATGGCTCGGGACGACCCGGTTCCGATCTGTCATATCGACGTACGAGATTTTCGCCCCCTCGCTTCGACTCTACAGGCAGAGCACGCCACTCACGCGTTGGTTAAGCCGCTTGGGCGCTTCCTAGTGTCTTACAGACGCTAGCTAGCAACTTGTTCGACTCTCGGGAGTCAAAGACCTGCTGGGGCCATAGTAGTTTTCCACCGTCCACCCAAACGACGCAGCACTGCAGCGCCGAGACGGCCAGGCGCGTGGAGACGCCTCCAAAAGAGCACAGCACAAATGGCCCAATTGGCCGCATGGCTGCTCCTAGGCTTCCTCTGCTCGTCGCAAGCGCTAAGCGGTGGCTTCGGCGCGCCAAAGGCAGCGAAAAGAAAGAAGAAAAAGCGACGCGCGCCCGCTGCGGCGCCAGCGCCTCCGCCGCCGCCGCCGCCGCGAGCTAAGCCAGCAGCCAAGGCTGGCGCTGTCGACGAGCTCGCCTCCTTGATGGCCTTGCAGTCCTCGCGCGCCGCCTACGAATCACGAATCGCCCAGCGGTGCGAGTCCATCGACCTCAAACCGGGCATCGATGGCGGTCTAGCGGTCATCGACGATCTGCTGGGCGCGGAGGCTTGTGCACAACTACGTAGAGAAGCTGAGCGCGTCCACGCGGACTTTGTGCCCGGAACTCTCGACGAGGCCGACGTCTCGAACACGCGAGCCGAGCTGATCCGGCCCGAGGACTTTGCGACGCGGCCGCGCATCGTGGGGCTGGCGCTGTCGCTCGCCGCGGCTCTGCGCGAGCCACTCATGAAACACCGCGGCGGCGTCGAGCTCACGTCGGACTGCGCGGCCAACATGCTCTCGGTCTACGCGGCGGGCGGCGCGTTCCCGGTCCACGTCGACAACCACGGCGGGCCCGACGATCGACGACTGTACGGCGCCATCTACTACATGAATCCCGACCTCGAAGAAGGCTCGGGTGGCCACTTCGTGCCGCACCGACGGAAGGAACGCGACGTGCTGCGGACGGCGGCCGACCTCGAGCCGCTCGAGCCCGTCGCCCCAAAGGGCGACCGCCTCATCATCTTTGAGGCCGACGCGCTGGCGCACGGCGTCGAGGCCTACCGCGACGCGGCCTACTGGAGGTACGCGCTGACGGTGTGGATCCTGGCCGCGGACAACGTCGCGGACCTCGACGCGGCGCGCCGTGACGAATGGCGGCCGCTCTCGCCGACGGCGACGCACTCGTCGATGGCGGACGCGGACCGGGCGTCTTCCTGAGGCGCCCTGGCGCAGCGGCTGGCGTCGCCGCTGCCCGTTTTTGTATTGTGTACTAAGAATCTTGTGTAGCAAACTTAAGAGGGTCGCGCCGTGTGTGCGTGCCCAGGCTACTGGCCGATCCCGAACACCTCGCCGTCAAGCTCCGCGAGCGACCGCGACGCCGCCGTGCGGTGTTCCGTGGCATACACTCTAGGCACCTCGAAGTGGTCGTGGAAGGACGGCGGGCGCGGCGGCCCATGTCGGCGCGGGCGATAAACCCGCTCACTCTCTTGCGAGAGGTCCATGCTCACGTGTCGGACGATCATCTCCTGCATCGTGGCGCCGCGGCTGTTCCTATGTATGTAGTTGCAGATCCCGACCGTGGGCGCCCCCGCGGACAGAAGAACGCCGAAGATTGCCGTGAAGCCTCGCGCAGCGGCTTCCTGCAAAACAGTTCGGCGCCCGGGACCTAACGGCCGATGGAAGAGGTGGAATCGAGGCTGCGCGAGGATCAGCTTGACGATCTGGAGGCGATGTTCGATGAAGTAGTCGTTGTCGTCGCGTGTCCGCAGAACGGTATCCAGGAGATCGTAGAGGTTGCCGTGCACTACTCCAAAATGAGCGACGGTGGAGTAATCTCTCTCGGCGTCGATTCGCGGGAGCAGCGCCGCGACGCGGCCGACCTCCAGCCTGATCACGGCGAACTCCAGAGCCACAAAGCCCTCGCGTAATTTGGCCGGGCCCTGGCTGCCTGGCGTGGCGTAGATGTCGTGCGCCGGGTCGTCGCGCCGGCTGAAGATTTCGAGGTGCGGCTCCCCGGCTTTCCGCGGGCCGCGGTCCACGAGTAGTTCGCCCACCGTGTAGTCGGAAGAACCGTTGAATGGGAAGAAGCCGCCCCCGCACGTCACGCACGTGCGGCCCGCCGCGTCTTTTATCGTGAATTGGTCCGCGACCTGCACGACGACGTGGCAGACTCGCATGTCCGGGTCACAAGTTGCGTCGAGCCGCCGCGCCGCCATCCTACCGTGGCCTAGGGAGTTCAGATTTAAAATCAATTTGACCGGGGTCTTCCTGAGCTCTAGGGCATTCGCGGCCATCTTTGATTGATTTCTGGGCCTCCGGGCGTCGGTGCCGGTCCTCTTGCCCGGGTGGCGTGTCTAATCGCGCGCGCGGGCGCGCGGATGCTGGCTAGTATCTTACTGCCGCTAGCTATGGCAGCAGCCGGCTTTTACACGCGCAAGCTGTGGAATTGCGCCCGCCCGCTCGGGCAGGCTCGTCAATTTGACATACTGAACCAGCCGAAGAGGCCGAACGCAGCGATGCTAGAACCCACAGACCACACAAGACCCCAGAGACCCCACACAGTCTACGCCGCCCTCCTGCTCATCCAGCTCAATTTCGCCATCGGCGCGGTCGCAGCCGCCTTAGCGCTGCCCAAGACGGAACCGCTGACTTTCGCACTGATCCGCGAAGTCTGCGCCGCATGTCTACTGACGGCCTACGCTTTGAAACAAGGCGAGCCGGCCGCCCCACCCCGCGGCAGCCGCGCATTGATGGCGCGCCTCGGCGCCTGCGCGTGCGCGACGCAGGTGCTGGCGATTGCGGACTCAAACTCTCAGCGGACCCGACGGCGTTCGCGCTCTGGCAGCCCGCGCGGCCCGTGGTCGTCGCCGGCGTGTCAATACTGCTGCGCTGGGACCGGCCCGACGCGGGCCGCGTCGTTGGTGTGGTGCTGGCCGCTCTCGGATGCTACACGGCGGCAAAACGCGCGGTGGCGCCCGGTCTCGCCAGCGCATGGCTGCTTTGCGTTGGCGGCTGCGGCCGGCGCGTCCTACCAGCTCGTCTCGAAGCCGGCGACGCGGCGCCACGCCCCCGTCGCCGTCGCAGCGTGGGCCTACAGCTACGCGGCCGTGGGAACGGCGTTGTCCGCGGCCGCGCTGTGGGCCTGCGGCATCTCGCTCTGTCCCGAGTGCTCGTCGTTCTACTCCGTGCCTCTGGAAGCGTGGCCCGCCCTCGCGTGGTGGATCATCTGCTCGACGTGCGTGAATTACGCCCTCATGATGTGGTGCGTGAAGCGGAGTAGCCCGACGCTCGTCTCGGCGGCGTCGGCGCTCCAGCCGCCGCTTGCGGCCGTTTGCGCCTTGATTGCCATCGCACTCAGCGGCGGCGCCGCGGCGTGTGGCGCTGGAGAGGGTCGCTGCGTCGCCGCGCCGACGGTTCGCGACGGCGTCGCGGCGTGCCTGATTGTGTGCGGCGTGCTGGCCGTCGCGCGGTCCGAGAAGAGCGCGGCGGCGACGGCGTCTCCTCCGGCGGAGTACGTCCGCGTGCCTGTGGAGGGTGTTGCGTGACGCGCCGCGGTGGCGTTCTTGTTGTGAGTAATCGTGTGGACATTTTGTATGTTGTTCTTAGACTGTTCGGCGACAGCGTTTCGCGGGCTAAATGAAATAATCGTCCGGCGGCATCGTTCATGACTCGCCGGTTTGGGGGAGGGGGATGTTGTAGTACGGCGGTGGCGCCTCAGAAGCTGAGCCGCGTGCGCTTGATGGGGCTGAGCGGCTCGTCGCCGTGGCGAAGCAGAGCTCCTTAGGGTCGGGCCGCGGCTTGACGTACTTCCGCGACGGCCGCAGCGTTTGCTGGCGCATGCTGCTTGCGCGTCTCGATATTCGTCCCCAATATCCACTACGAGCGGATGCGCGCCACCGAGCACGCGCCGCGCGGTCCGTTCCGTGTCCTCGAGCGTCGTCACGGCCTCGCGGAGATCCTCGAGCGTGGCGTCGGTCGCAAGAAAGTGGTGCTCGTCGAGCCGGGGCACGTCGAGGAGCTTGGAAGATTTCCGAACGGCCACCCGCTCGCGGGGAGCGCGCGAGCCGACGTGGACCTCGACGTGCTCGACGATCTCTGATTTTGAGACGGTGATCGCGCCGGGCGACGTCCTCTACCTGCCGGCGAACTGGTGGCACCAGTTCGAGCAGCCGTTCGAGGACACGGGCGCCCTCAACTTCTGGACGCCTCCTAGGGACACCGAGGACCCGCGGCTCCAGCTCCGTCTCTTGTGGGACGGGCTCGAAAGGGAACTGGTGAACTTGTTCGGAAACCGCGCCGGATTCATGCACGAGCGCATGGCGACGGGCGAGGTCGAGCAGGACGCGCGGGCCGGCATAGGGACGATGGACGCGCGGCAGGCGTGGGGCGCGCTCGTCGCGCACGCGACCAAGTGGAAGGAGTGGTCCGACGGCTCGGACGAACGCTACGAGGAGGCGCTCGTCGCCGTCTACCTCACGGCCGGGCGAGGGCTCATCCCGCGCCGCGGCGACTGGCTGCCGGGGACGGCGTGGGACATGTCGGACCTGGCGCCGCTCTCCGTGGCGGAGCGGTGCGAGCCCGCGCCGGAGGACGCGACGTTCACGCACGTTTGTGGGTAACATGTCTCGTCCTTCACATCCTAGTGTGTTACAGGACGCTAGCTCGCATTTTGCGGCTGAACTTGCGTGGGACCGCTGTGGGTGATATTTTGCACCGTGCGATAGCGCACGCATCGCTCAGCGTGTGGCAGCTTCACTACTCGCATTGGTTCGTGCAGCGAGCGCACGGAGAACTGGCTATCAGCAACTGAGCAAACTGCAACCGGCGCGGCGGCGAACGACGCGCCCTCGCGGGCCACGGCACGTCCTCACTAGCGTCTGCACCGATGCGGGATTCGCCTGCTTGCACCTTGCGAGCTGTGTGGGACACCGCTCGTCGGCCTGACGCGCCAGTGCGGCGACCAAGACCTGCGCGGCGACGTCGCTCGCTGCAGCAGCTGCGAGGCGCGTTCATGGCCACGCCATCGTGCAGTCCGCGCCGCCGCCGCCGAGGAAATCGTGACCGCGGTCGTCCTACGCGCCTGCGGCTGCCTACGACTATAGGAGCCGGTCCAGGGCGGCGTCGCGCCGGAGCTCTACGCGTCGTTCGATGCCTGGACGGCCCGGCGAACTCTTCCGGTCGATCCGAGGACAAAATCCTTTGAGCGGCAGGCGGCCGGCCCATAACGCGGGAGTTGTGACATGTTGCCGGCGCAGAAGGTAACGCCAGTCGCTTATTGTAACGAGTGGCGTGACGCGAGGCTTCGCGCGTGACTGGGGCCCGCGGGTGGGTCGTCGGGACGGCCTCGGGCAAGGCCGCCGAGATCAGGGGTCGTGCCCGTGTTTTTTTATACGTTGGCGCAGCACCGGCGGTTGTTCCGGGACGCGAGCGTCGCACCGAGTCGCCCTACGTGGCGACGCCGTCGCCGCGAACTCGTGAAGATCCTGGACCGGCGGGTGTTGCCTCGCCGGCTGGCAGCCGCTCCTCGCCTCGCGCTCGACGAGGCGTCGCGCCATCGAGGTCCCTCTGTGTTGTGTAATTAGCCGTATGTGGCGCTGCGCGCTGCCAACGGTGGTGTGGGGGAACAGCGACGAACGGGGGGCGCGCCGGCCGTTTGACGCCGTCCCGGCGGAGCCTAAGGACACCCCACCGAGTTTAGGGCGGGCCTAGGTGTCTCGATGGCTCGGTTGAACGCTCTTTCGCGCAGGGGCGAGCGTCGGGAAAGAAGGGAATGGCCCCGGGAATAAGCGGCCTCATCGTTGTGCTGCGGTGTCAAAGAGCGCAAATTCAACGCCAAATCGATCTCAAACGTAGCCGCCCGTGTCTCTACCGCTCAAGATATTTCGCCGCCGCCCTACGCCGCGAAAATCGGCGCGCAAATCCGCTCAGCGGGGGCGTAGCGGCGGCTATTGCCCGTGAGGTCTTCCGGCCTGCGCACCGCAGGAGCGCCCCCGCGCCGGCCCCCTCCGCCCGGCGCGGCGGCGCCCATGTACGCTTACGCCGCTCCGGCCTCGAGAGGCGCGACTGACGCGGTTTATCGCCCGTTCGCAGGCTATCGCCTCGTGCCGACGCGCCGACGACGTCGACGCGCCATGAGGCGCTTCCTCGCGTTCGCGCTCGCGGGCACGGCTCACGCCCTGCCCTCGCCAGCGCGCGCCCGCGTCGAAAATGGCCCTCGTCCTCGACCGGCTCCGGAGAGGTACCGCGGCCGGTCTCGCGACGCTCAACACGCACCACCCCGCCGCCGCAGGCGCGCAACCTGCCCCTTGTCGGGGCCACGATGAGCACCACCATACCTAGCGGCACGGACTCGGAAGCCACGCCAGGCGAGCTCGACGCGTTCGCGCAGAACTTCTTCGGCTTCGACTCGATGGCGGCGCTCTGGCAATTTAACTGGTGCCCCTGGCAACCTGCTCTCGAAGACGCATTCGCATACGTGGTCGCGACGTGGGAAGCCGAGTCACAAGCCGAGTTCCACTCGTGGTGCCTCAGTTGGCTACCAGACGCCGCCCTCCCCTTTCATTGGGCGGAATATCTCGGTGTGTCGTTCACGCCGTGGGACTCGGTCTGGGACGTCTTCACCTCGTGGTTCTACTCCTCCTCGCCCAGCGACAATGATATTAGCGGTGAGATGGTCGCGCTCGACCACGCGGGTGACCCCGTAGTGGGCTACGTCGTGGCCGTGAACCCCGATCGTCAAACGTGCGTCGTCCTTTTCGGAGATACTTCTGTGGGACGCGACGTGTCGGTGTGCAGCCTCATCGTATTGCCGACTGTCGCGTCGGAGCCGGTCGCCGACGCCGCCGCGCTTGGATCTTCCGAGGATCTCGAGACGACGCGGCGCTACCAGACGGTCGGAGAAACTTCTGTGGGACACGACGTGCCGTCGACCGGCCTCGTCGCGAAGCCGACTGCCGGCGCGTCGGGGCCGGCCGCCGACCGCGACGCGCCTGGATCTGCCGGAGATCCCAAGGAGACGCGCGGCGGCTGGACGCCTTGGATTTTTCGGGACGCGCCTTACCTGTTCTCGCGCGTGCGGCGCCTCATCGTAGATCCGGAGACGGGCGAACCGACCCGCGTTGTAGCCCACGGGCACGTTGAGGCCTACTTGCCGGCTTCTACGTCGAACTTCTATGATGACGACGGCAAGCCGGCGGCGCTGTGGCGCGTACGCTTCACGTCGAGCCCGATTAAGGGCGACTCAGAAGATCTGGAGCTGCATGAAGTAGAAGAAGCCCTCGTTACGCCGCAGAGCGTGAGCGCCGATACGGAATTTATCGTCCGCGCCGTGCGGCGCTTGGACCTGAACGACGAGGGCGCGGACGGCCGGGTCGGCGCCGTCGCTTCGCCGAACCTGGGCGAGGACGACGACCGCCTACGCGACGGCCACGACGCTGCTTTACAGGACACTTACACCGGCGCCGGCCACGGCCGCGCCCACGCTGGCGCCGCCGGCGCGGCGACGTCATCTCCGGGCGCAACCGACGCCGCGGCTTCAAACCTCCACCGCGCCGCCGCCGCCGCCGCGGGCACGGGTGCCTCGGACGCCATCGACGCCGACGCGGGCACGTGCGACGCCGACGCGTTCTGGTTCGCCAGAGCGATGGAGCCGGACGTCGACTGGTCCAGCTCCGCGTCTCTGCGCGCATTTGTTCTCAAGCATGACGTTTGGCCCTGCATGGGCCACCCGCTGCGAGAGCCCATGCTCGAGGCCATCGCGGCGCTCGAGGGCGTCAACCCCGACATCACCTTCAGCGATTCGGCCGCGCTCGTGCCGACCGTGGGCGCCGCCGAGGGCGTCGGCGTCACCGCGGCGATCGGCACCGCCGCGCGCTCGTGCTTGGATCTGGCGTACGGCGCGGCTTCCTGCTGCGCATCCGCGGCCTTCAGCTGCTGCTCCGCGGCTGTCAGCTACGTGTCCGACGCTTGTACGTGTTTCTTCGGCGTCTTGCCGAACGGCGCCGCGAAGACCGCAGTCGACGCGACACCTTCAGCCGACGGCGCCGCCGCGTCCGAGACGTCTTATCCTGGCGACGGCGGCGCGACCGCGGAGCCCGGCGCCGCTGTGACCGAGGCCGGCGGCGTCGACGGGCACCAACCGTTCCAGCCGCCCGAGGGCGAGGGCGACGAGTATTGCGAGACCCCGACGAAAGAACCTGCGGCGGCGGCGACGGAAGAACCTGCGGCGGCGAACGTCGCGACCGGCGACGTCGCGGAAGGTCGTGATCGGGCTCAAGCTGAAACTGAGGCCATCGCGGGCCTGACTACTCTGTCTTGCGGCGACGGCGCGCCCGCGATGCCCCACGATGGGTTTGTGTTTCAAACCGTCACGGAGCGCCCGCGACGGCCACGCCAGTCGCTCGCTCTCCCCGCGCCGCTGCCGCCCGTCGACGGCGCCGACGAGCTCCAGACGTCGTTCACGGCGTCGGACGACTGCGCCGACGAGCTCCAGTGTCCGGTCCTAGGTCAGTGCGTCGAGGTCTTGTGGGACCCCGACGGCAAGTACTACCGCTGCAAGTTCACGGCGTTCGACGGCAAGGACGTCACGATCCTCTATGACAATGGCGACGAGGAGACCGTCGCGCTCGCCGGCCTCGTGTACAACCCCCTCGATTCCCAGGCCGATGTCGACGGCGCCGCGTCGCCTTCTTCGGAAGAGTCCCAGGCGCTCGAGCGGTTCAGACTCCTCACGAAGGACGAAAAGTACGGACCGAAGAACCGCAAAGAGGTGGAAGAGCTCGCGAAGATCCAGCAGAAACTTGAATCGTTCCTCAACGACGAGAACTATCTCTTAGATGATCTGGACGGCTTCAAACTCGGGCTGTTATTCACGGGCGGCCGCTATAAGGTGCGGTGCGTCCCGCCGGAGGGCGGCGGCGCGTTGGAAACTTATAAGGCAATTGTCGAGCGTCTGAGAGATGGTCCAAAGGTAAAGTCGTCGAAAGGTGTGGCCTTGTCGAAGCGCCCGGCCAGATTAGCTCATGTCCTCGAGGAGGCCGGAATGGACCCCGACACGGAGGTGACCAAGGATAACGCGGAGGAGATCCTCGCCGCGTTCGTCGAGGCGACGGGAGGGCCCCGCTTCGAGCACGAAGGCGATGATCTGTACCTTTTTGTGTCGCGTTGTGGCTATTTAACAATTCGTACGCCATTGCGCCCGTTGGCCTCCGCAAAAACCGATGATGATCTGGCTTATAGCTCCGGTCTGACGTGGTCCGAGTATTTTAGAGAAGCCAGGAGGAGAAGCGGCGATGCGCGGGTAGCCGCGGGCAAGCCGCGGTGGCCCCCCAGCGACAGCTGCGGCAAAGCTACAGAGGCCATCAAGTCCGACTTCGCGTGCGACCTAAAGGGAATGTGCGTCGCGGGCATGAAAGAGCAAGCCTATGATCGCCTGATGTCCTACCGAGGCACGGAGCCGAAGCCGCTCGACCAGCTCTCCGACCGCGGGCCCGAGGGAGCGATCAAATTCATCTGCAGGGCCGTTATTGATGGCGACACGATTGGGGCGAGCGACGCCGAAGGCCGAACCAGTGGCGGCCACTCCTACTACCACACGATGGCCGTCCTCGCGAGGCGTGCGAGTGACGTCGAACCGAAGCTCATAGTGAGGCTTTCGTCCGCCGACCTTCCGAGCGTCTGGTGCGAGGAAACCGAGCGCATGCAGCCTCAGGAGCTCGCCGTCGCGAAGGCGGGCGAGCTCGACGACGCCTTCTGCGACGTCGAAGCGGAGCTAGGTGCTGGAGGAGCCCTCGTTGCTTGGGGCGGCGGCGACCGGCGGTACCTCACGGAGCACATGTTGGGGCGCGACGAAGACGTCGTCATCGTCGATGCCATGTATGCCGTGCGCTGCATGCTCGGGATGACTGGCCGCGGCGAGTTCCCCACTACTCACGGGCTCGCCCTCGCCGGCGCCACCGATGCCTTCTCGACCAGCATTAAATTTCTCGGCGAGATATTGTGCCCGGCGGAGGGCCCCTTCGGCCACATCAACCGGGACGGCTTGCGGCACCACGACCCCGAGTACGACGCGGGCGTAGCCCTGGAGGCGACAATTGAGTGCGCTCGAGCGTACGTGCGGCGGTTGAATGGCGAGGCCTCGTGTGGCCCGTGGCCGCCGGTAGCCCCATTCACGCGCGACCCGGACAGCGCGTACTCGCGGAGGCTCACTCGCGAGCGCGAGGACAGAGCACTTGTGCGCGCGGCCACGGCTGCTGCTGGCGCCGGCGCCCCGGCCGCGCCGTTGACGAAGGACGAGGTCGAGAGCCCGTCGTTCACCGTCGCGAAGCTGAGAGCGGCGCTCGCGGCCCGCGACCTGCCGACGGACGGCCTGATGGCCGAACTCCGGGCGCGGCTCCTGGAAGCCCTCGAAGAGGACGAGGTGAGTTGCAGCGTCCAAACTTCGCGCAGCGCCTCCAACCCATCGACGCCGTAGGTGGCCGAGGGCGACGCTGCGCCCGCCGCGGCGCCCGCCGCGGCTACAGTGGCCGAGGGCGACGCTGCGCCCGCCGCGGCGCCCGCCGCGGCGTCCGCCGCGGCGCCCGGCCAGGAGGTCGCCGAGGCCGCGGCCGATCTCGTCGTGGCCGGCCACAACGAGGAGGTGAGTCGCCGGCGTCCAAAACTTTGCCTCGACCTCCACCCATCGACGCCGTAGGTGTCCGAGGACGACGTCGAGAACTTCGAGCCCTACGAGTCCGAGTCGGACGACAGCACGGAGGAGGAGGTCGGCCAAGGCATCGTCGGCGACCGCGTCGAGGTCGTGTGGGACGGCGACGGCAAGTACTACCCCGGCGTGATCACGGCGTGCGACGGCGAGGAGGCCACGATCCTCTACGACAACGGCGAAGAGGAGACTGTCGCGCTCGCCGGCCTCGTGTTCAACTTCCTCTAGACGCAGCCGGGGCGTCTCCCTTCCCTTTCCCCTTTTCGTCTTTCCTCCTCCCCCCGCTTATAAAGGGTTTCGCGTGAGGGTTTCGTCGCGGTGCCGGGGCTAGCTCGAGAGCGCTGCGCGGCCCTGGAGGCGGCCAACCTGGCGGACTGGTGCGCCGCGCGCCCGAGGATTTTGTTTTTGTTTGCGGCCGCACTTGCGTGCGGCCTGTATTGCTACCTGGGCGGCGTGTTTTTTTTCTTTTTGTTCATCGCTTGTCCGCGGCAGCACTGCGAGGTCTTCGCTACGTTAGAGCGCATGTCTGCGAAGCACACGCCCGATCCCCGAGGACGGCGGCGGCGTGCTACCGCGTAGCCGTTCGTCGACAGCCGGCACAGTTTTCGTGTCGAGGACCCGCCCGCGCACTTGGATGAGCCGGCGCTCGTGTCAATTGGTTACTGGCCCTCGCAAGCCAGGCACGGTTTCGCAGGCGGCGATGCGCGGTTTGAGCTGCCGCGTCGAAAGCGAGACTGTCAGGTGCCTTTCGTTTGTGTAACCGCGTGCGCGAGGTCGGCGCGCGTGCAAAACACCGGGCCTCTGCCGGCGAGGGATGCCTAGTGTCTTACCGCCGCTAGCGGCTGACTAAAAGGGCTGAAGTGCGTGGGCTGTGGGTGACATCTTGCACCCGTGCAAGGCGCACACATCGTTCAGCGACCTCACTGCTGCAACCGAGCGCCGCAGCGATTTAGAATTAGTAAGCGCTGCGCATAACAGACGTCAAGATGACGAGGTGGCACGCACTGCTCCTAACATGCGCATGCGCCGCGGCCTTCGCGCCGACGCCGCCGCCGCGCGCGCCCCGACAGACGAAGGTCTACTTCTTCGACAAGCTCGCCGAGTCCATCAAGGGCGCCACGGACCTGCTGAGCGGCAAGAGCCGCATGACCGAGGCGAACACGAAGGGCGCGCTGCGGGACATCCGACGCGCGCTGCTCGACGCCGACGTGAGCAAAGTTGTGGTAGACGACCTCGTCGAGCGCGTGACCAAGAACGCGCTCGGCGGCGAAGTCACCGAGGGCGTCGACCCCTCCCAGCGAGGCGTGAAGATTGTCTATGATGAGTTGAAGCGCGCCATGGGCGGCGACGACGAGGCCCTCATGTCCGGCGGCGAGGGCGAGCAGTCCGTCCGGGCCGAGCTCGAATATAGGGAGGACGGCAAGCCCACCGTGGTGTTGCTTTGTGGGTTACAAGGCGCCGGTAAGACGACGGCCGCGGCGAAGTTGGCCTTGCGGTTGCAGCAGGAGGAGGGCCGCAAGCCGCTGCTGGTCGCGGCCGACGTCTACCGGCCCGCGGCCGTCGAGCAGCTCAAATTGCTGGGCGAGCAGGTCGGCGTCCCGGTCTACGCCGAGGACTTCGAGCCGGGGCAGGGCAACGCCGTGGCCATCGCCGAGCGGGGCCTCAAGGAGGCGCAGGCGAGAGATGATGTGGACGTGGTCGTCGTGGACACGGCGGGGCGGCAGGTCATCGAGGCGGACCTGATGCGGGAACTCCGGGACGTCCGGCAGGTGACGCAGCCCGACGAGACGCTGCTCGTGCTGGACGCGATGACGGGCCAGGCCGCCGCGGGCGTGGCGAAGCAGTTCGACGACGCCGTGCCGCTGACCGGCGCCGTGCTGACGAAGTTGGATGGTGACGCGCGGGGCGGCGCGGCGTTGTCGGTGCGGGCGGTTTGTGGGAGACCGATCAAGTACGTCGGCGTCGGGGAAAGGGTTCAAGATTTAGAACCGTTCTTCCCGGCGCGCATGGCGAGCCGCATCCTCGGCATGGGCGACGTCGTGTCGCTCGTGGAAAAGGCGGAGCGCCTCCAGTCCAAAGACGACGCCGCGTCGCAGATGGAGCGCATCGTCGCGGGCAAGGCGACGTTTGACGACTTCCTCGAACAGACGAAGATGATGGCGAGCATGGGCAATTTACAAAATGTGGCCAAGATGATGCCCGGGATGGGCGGCCTCGACGCTGGTAAATTGTCGGAGGCCGAGGCGCGCATCAAAATTCAGGAGTCCCTCATCATGTCGATGACGCCCGCGGAGCGCCGCGACCCCGACCTCGTCATCCGCTCGAAAAGCGCCCTGTCGCGGCAGCGGCGCATCGCGCGCGGCGCCGGCCGCGACGCCGACGCGTCGCGGCGCTTCGTCAGCGAGTTCCAGCAGATGCGCACGATGATGCAGAAGATGGCCGCGGGCCAGAACCCCAACGCGCCACCAGGCCCTGAAGATGGCCCGGCGCTGAACCGCGCGGCGCGGCGGACGAAGAAGAAGAAGTCCAAAAAGAAGAAGCTGACCGCTGGGTTTGGCTAAGGACATGTGTTACATACTAGAGGTACATGCGGCGACGACGGCGCGTCGAGTAGGCTTGACAATGTGTTACATATACATTTGGGCTACGGCCGTGCGTCGGTGGGGTTGTGGTGGCGCGTCGACGGCGTTGTGATGGGGGCGCGTCGATGGAGTTGGGGTGGTGGATCGCGCGCGGGGGAAAATCTCAAAACAGCGCGAGCTGGAAGATGCCGCACGAGTGCTGCCGTGGCGCTGCCATGGCGAAAACGCGGATGCGTACGGTCACCGCATCGACGCCGCTACCGGGTAGTGCGAACTCCTGGAGCTCGGCGCGGTCGAGGGTCTCCGCGCGTAAGATCCCGTAGTGCAATTTCCCGTCCACGCCACAGCAGCACACGTCGAAGTTTCTGGCGGAGAGGGGGCCGTAGGGGAGCGGTGGGATCTTCATCTTCACGCCAGCGACGCGACGGGGAAGCCCGTCGCTGGACGTGGCGAGCTCGACCCACTCGTGTTCGAACTGCTCCTTGAATGTCGAGATCCACCACGTGTCGTCTCTTGGCGACAGCAGCTCCGACAGCGGGAAGTCGCCGCGATTCGACGACGCAGCGCGCACGGACACCTCGCTCATATGTACTCGCTGCACGTAGAGGAACCGCAGCGCGTACCGCGCGAGCTCCTTGGGCAGCCCGCGGCCGTGCAGCAGCGTCAGCAGCAGTGCTCCGTCTTTTTCTCGCACGTCGACGCCGAGGGCCAGCGGCTGCTTGCGCGGCGACAGGCGTCGAAGCGCTGCGGTCGGCAGCACCATCGGGTCCAAGCCGTGCAGAGCGACGGCCACGCCCTGGTCCGGCGGGTGTACCCAGACCGTCGTCTCCGTCGTCCGCGGCACGACTATCCCGCAGTGGTGTTTCAAGTTTCGCGGCGGCTGGTCCTCGTAAAAGTCGTTCACTACTTCCACCAGTTCGCCGTCCTGGAATTCATCGTGGTTCCGGCGCCAGGTGGATGTGGAGCTTGCAGAGTCTGTGGAGCCCGTCGAGGTGCGCATCGTTGATGTGGTTGTTCTGCCGACTGCGTGTCTCACGAAGTGTGAGTGGCACTGAGTGCAGTTGAGTGTGTGCTCTCCTTGAGTGCAAAGCGAGAATCGCGAGCCAGGAATGCAGCAAGCGCAAAAGTGGTATAGATAGAGACGTTCGGAGCTGTTTATGGGTCGCGCTGTTCAGCACCACGCGAGTACGAGGCCCTGTGGTGGTGCACTGGACAGCTCGAACTCTAGAGTGTTAGTATATAGCTGCCGCGATCGAAGCCGGCCAAGCGACGTATCGCTCGGTCCAAGAGAACGTACTACAGAAAATCGAGCCGGAAAACGCGCGGCGCCGGGACCTGGCGCCGGCGCGGCAGACGAGGCAGACGACCTCGGATCGAAAAAGAAAACGAGAAATATTATGAGTAAAACCAAAAACAAAGACTATGGACTATGCTGCATCGTTCCACAAAAAACAAAGCACGAGCACGAGCACGTTGTCCATCGTGCGCTCCTTGCGCGCCTTGGCGACGCAGGCCGCCGCCGCCTCCTCGCACAGCGCCACGGACGGCGTGCCGTCGCCCAGCACCTTGTTCACGCAGGTCACGGCCTCCTGGTCGCTCACGACGTCCCAGAGCCCGTCCGTCGCCAGGATCGCGAAGCGGTCGCCCCGCGTCAGCGCCCGGCACGTCACGTCCGGGTGCGGCGACACGAGGCCCGGGTGGCGCTTGCAGACCGCGTCCCCCAGCGTGCGCGACGTCGCGAGCATGAGCGGGCAGTCCGGGTGCACGACGCGCGCGCAGGCGCCCCGGATCTCGACCGCGCCGCCCGCGTTCTGGACGCGCCGCGCCTCGTTCACGAGCTCCGGCTTATGATCTGTGGTGCAGCGCGTCGCCTTGGGTCGCTTCCGCGAGCCGCCGCCAATGACGCAGCGCGAGTCGCCGACGTTCGCCGTCGTGAAGTTCGTCCCCTCGACGACGGCGACGCAGGCCGTCGTGCCGTCCTTGATCCCCGACGTGATGATGCCCCGCTCCGTCTTGTGGAAGGCATCTAGTAATCTCCGTCGCAGCGCGCCGGTCCCGGCGACGTGCGTGTGCAGGTTCGAGGCCGCGTAGGCCGCCGCCTTCGAGCCGGCGTGGCCATCGTATACACCCGCGAACGTCGCGCCGTCGCTCAGCACGCAGCCGATGCAGCGATCCTCCTGCGTCCGCTTGCGCCCGACCCACTCGGCGACGCCCCAGGCGAGCGCCAGGGGCCCGTGGCTGCTGCCGCGCTTCTGGCGCTTCGTCGGGCTATACGCGCTCGGCTCCTCGTCGTCCGAGTCCATCCAGTCCCGTATGCGCTTATCGTGGCGGCTCAGGAAGCCGCCCATAATTGCTCCCTCGGCGCGACGCGGGCGCGTCCTCAAGCCGCGCGCGTCGGCGGCGGAGCAGTCTGTAATGAAGTCGAAGGCGGTGCTTCGCGTCGGCGCCGCCGCGGGCAGCCGCGTGCGCGCGTGCGAGGCCGCAGGCGGCACCTGGGTTCTCGCTGCGGGCCCGCTTTGCTGCGGGCTGCGTGCGGCTGGAAGCGTGTGCCACTGCCAAACAACAACGCACAAAAACTGGTGTCCGATGGCGGGGCGTGACCGCGTGAAGCTCAGGTGTCTCGAGCATGATCCCCAGGGTTCCGAGTGATACCCAGTGTCTAGCATGATGCGCCGGTGTCTGGCCCGCGGCAATCTCCCGCGCGCGCGCGGCACGAGGTACAACAACAAACACTTAACTCACACCGACCGTGCTCCGCCACCACGTCGCGTAGAGCGGGTCCGGCACGCAGGCCGCCTCGGCGCCGACGACGCACCGCTTCGCGAAGACGACCTCGTCCGAGTCCGGCGCGACGGTCTGCGCGTACTGGTACGCGTAGAGCGCCTGGAGGAGGAAGATGAACCGGAGCTCCTCGTCCCTCAATCCGACGCGCCGCAACACGTCCGCCTGCAGCGCCGTCAGCGTCTTCGGGAAGTCGACTCTAATAAAGACCGTCACCTGGCCGCGTTGTGTCGCGTTCCCGAAGACGGGCAGGCCCTCGTCTCTTAGGGACAGCGTGAAGGAGCTGAAGGCGACGCGCCGGTGCTCCACGAGGAGCCGCTCTCCACTTAAGCCCGTTAGTTTCCGGTCGAAGCCCAGCAACGCGTCCAACAACCCGACGGACGCGTTGCAGTACAAATTCTCCGGCGCCGCTTCTGATCTAGAGAACACGGGGTGCTGCGCGACCGTCACGACCAGGATCAGGTCGCCCGTCGCGCGCTGCGGGTGCTCATCCCCCAGGCCCTTGAAGGTGATCTCGTGGCCGTCCGGCGCACCTGGTGGTATTTCGACCCTGACTTCCCTTCGGACGTCGACGTAGCCCGCGCCGTCGCAGGCCCCGCACGCCGCGCCCCGATTATATCCAGTGCCGCCGCAGGCGCCGCAGCGCGTCGTCACCGCCTGGCGGAAGAAGCGTCTGGAGTTTCTCCAGTTTAGCCCCGCGGAGACGTGCGCCGCCGCGCCCGTGCCCTCGCAGAGGCCGCAGGTCTCCCTCGACTCAGATTCCGCGGCCCCCGTGCCCGCGCAAGTTTCACATTTCTGGCGCCGCGCGAGCGTCAGCGTGCGGTTGACGCCCGTGAGGAGCTCGGCCAGCGTCACGACCACGGGCACGCGCGTCGCCTCGACGGGCCGCACGCCGCTGCCGGAGTACCTGAAGCGGAAGGCGCCTCTCCTAAACCGCGCGTCGACGCCGAGGGGCGTCTCCGTGATCTTCGGCGGCCCGCGCTCGGCCTCGCGCCGCTCCCGCGCCTCGCGCGCCTCGTCGCCCTCCTCGCTCATGCCCGTGTCGTCGTACGTTTGGCGCCGCACCGGGTCCGTGAGCACCTCGTGCGCGAGGGCGAGCTCGACGAACGCCGCCGTCGCCCGCTCGCGCGCGGCGTCCGACGTGTCCGGCGGCAGCTTGTCCGGATGGATTTCAGCGGCCATTGAGCGGTAGGCCTTCTTGATCTCCGCCGTCGTGGCGTCGCGCGGCACGCCGAGGACCTCATAGAGGTCAGTAGTGGCCGCGCCTGCCAGGAGGACGAGGCCGCACAGCATGATGCTACGGCCCAGCAGCAGCCGCATGGTGCTACGGATGGGTTGAGAGCATCAGTGCTACGGATGGGTTGAGGGCATCATACGAGAGCGTGGGGCAGCCATGCGGCCATTCGTGTGGCCTAATTGGCAGCTTTTTTGGGGCTGCGCGAAATGCGCTGCTAGCGGGCTGTAAGACACTAGGATGCACAAACGCGACATGCAGCCGTTTGAGTATCGTTCGGTTCGCTACGGGTCCAAAGAGATCAATGGGACACTTACTGGGGGGCGAAAAAATTAATTTTTTTAATTCGCGCTATTGACGACGCCACCAAGGCGGGCGCGTCGGTGGAATCCTGTCGATTGGCGGCCCAGAAGCCTTCCGGAAGTCGTTTTGGGTCGGTACTAGACATGTGCAATCGCCTACGCCGCCTACGCCGCCGCTTCCAAATTAACATACATCTCCCGGCGCTATACCTCTATTTCCCATGATCCCCAAAGTTTTGGATCCAGAGCTCCCCGGAGAGCTCCAAGCTCTCGCGCATGCGGCGTAGGCGACTACCCGACCCGATACCTATCCCAGAGGGCGTCCGCGAGCCGACACACATCCGAAAAAAGTAAACAATTTGGGCCCGATGGCGCCCCGTTCCCGTCAAAAACGTCAATTACCCGAGGGCCCCCAGTAGTCGCCGTGGCGGTCTCGTCGGACCCCATACTACCCCACCGATAGTCAACTACAAGTATATGGCATCTACACCACGAGAAGGGTACTTTTTGCTGCCCACGCTCGGGACGTGAACATCTTTATCTGGAGCTCGCGTAAGTCCGTCGGTCATGAAACAAATGATCGCATTATGGTCCATGGTCAAGGTAGACGGGCTGATGGTCGCAGGTCCAGGCCTCGAGCCAAATGAACCAGATAGTGGGCTCTCGGGATGGCCGAGCCGCGCGGAGCATCGTGGGGTTTCGAGCAATGTGGTACACGTCCAGGCCGGTCATCTGGCCCGTCCCACTACTAAAGTGCCTGAAATGCAAATTTATTTTACAAACCACCGGTCTGGGGCCTTTTTGGTGCTCCGTCTCCGCACCGTCGTCCGCGGAGAACGGGCAAGTCGGTCGATCGTAAATAGAACAACGGCGTTATGGTCCATCTGGATAGTGTCGTCGCTGATACTCGCAGGTCTAGGATCTGCGCCTGTTATTGTAAAAACGTGGGGTCGCGAAGACGACGAATCGCGCGGCTTTAACGGAGTACATGATCATGCTCACTGTCGCTGAGGCGGCCTAGACGGACTCTACCACTAACAAACGGAAGGAAACGAACATAAACGCGAGAGTTATCTAGTAGAATTCTTCTCCCGCCCTCCGAGCGCGGGCCGTCGGCTCCGGTTCCGTCGATTATGTATGAAAACTGGGCTGGAGTTGATATAATGTCCCGTTTGGACGGTAGATGGCGGCGTCAATCGCTGGTCTACTTTGGCAACTCGTAAGACTCATCTGTGAATGTCGCGGGCGGCGCCTTCCGGGAGGCGCGAGGGTATGTTCCCGGGCGGCTACTCTGGAATATTTGGTCTCGGCGAACGACTAGGATGTATTCTAAATTTGGGTCATTCTTTTGACGCTATCGAGGCGTATCTTTGAATTTGCTAGTATGTTGTTTACGCTAGCTTTGCTTGCAGGCTTTTTGGCACAGTACTTTGTCTCCTGCGATCGTACTGTAATCGTCTCATCAATCGCTGTGCTGCGGAGAAGAGGAATCTAGATCATCTAATTTACCGGGCTCCCCCTGGTAGTGCCCAGCTAGCTGCTCGGGAGGTAGACACACGAACGCCCGGCGCACCGACGACAATGGCGGAATGCCAAGGTTGCTTGTGTTTTCAGTGCGTGACGACGTCGGAGATAGGCATTATCGAACGCTGCGGCAGATATGAACGGCTGGCGCCGCCCGGATTGCGATGTGTCTGTTGGCCGCTAGAGACAGTAGCGGGACGCATTAGCCGACGGATCCAGCAGTTGGACGTAGCCTGCGAAACAAAGACAAGTGATAACGTATTTCTAAACGTGATCATATCCGTACAGTACAAAGTCAAAGAAGAATATGTATATGAGGCGTTCTACGTGCTCAATGATCCATCGGAGCAGATCAAGAGCTATGTGTATGATGTAGTGCGGTCGACCTTGCCCTTGTTGACGCTCGATAAAGCGTTTGAATCGAAGGAAATGGTGGCCCAATCCGTTAAGAGGGAATTATCAGGTGTTATGAGCGAGTACGGATTCGTCATACACAATGCCCTGGTAACTGATATTTCGCCCGACGGTCGGGTCAAGGCTGCCATGAACGAAATTAATGCCTCGAAGCGCCTCAAGGAAGCTGCTTTCGAAAAAGCGGAGGGCGAGAAAATATTGCTGGTGAAATCCGCAGAGGCCCAAGCTGAAAGCAAATATCTATCTGGTGTCGGCGTAGCGCGCCAACGAAAAGCGATCGTCGATGGCCTGCGGGATTCGATATCGCAGTTCTCTGGTAATGTCAAAGGGTCGACACCAAAGGATGTGATCGATCTACTTCTCCTGACGCAGTACTTTTACGCGACTGGTTATGTGGGAACTCAGCGCGGTACAGCGCAGTCTTCTCCCAAGAAAGAAGTCCCATTGGTGGTGCTTTTCGCGACGGGTTGTTGCAGGCGCAGGCGGGGAGAAATTAGTACTGATTTGTTTATTTAATTTACACGGGGCTCGGGTCTCGGGAGACGGGATTTTCTTGGGTGTCTGCGAGTACCTCAGGAGACGGGGACGGCCCTCGAGCTGTGGCAGGACCGGGCGCCTCCAGCGTGCCTGGCACGTGTGAGGGCGAGGACGACGACGACGACTCCTCGCGCGGACCTTTGGTCGCGCAAGACCTGTCGTCGTCGCCCTCAGACGAATTCACCGTGGAGTCGGAAGACACCACCGGCGGCGCCGCGGGCGGCGCCGCGGCGCGGCGCTTCGAGCCGCGCCCTTTGCGAGGCACGACCTCGCCCAAGGCTTTGCGGCGCAGGAAGGTTGCAGCTTCGCGGCGCCATTTGGACAGAGTCGCGACGGCCCTATCAAAGCGGCGATTGTGCGTCGCCGCCTCGACGAGGGCCCGGTCGTCGACGTCGACGCGCGCGAGCTGGTCCACCGTGCGGATGCCGATGGCTGCTAACCGAGCCACCTTCTTGGGGCCCAGGCCCTGCAATGTGGCCCGGTCGAGCGGCGTCTCGGCGGCGGCGGCAGCCGCGTGCGCGCGCGCCGCCCGCGCGCCGTCGAAGAGCTGGGGCACGCCGAGCGCCACGGGCCCGCCGAAGACGCGGCCCTCGGCGACCACCTCGTAGCCGCTGCCAGTGGACCGGAGCACGGGCGTGGAATCGGGCGCGACCTGCTGGCGGCGCGGCGGCGGCGCGGGCGCCGCGTCGCGCTCCAAGAGGCCGCTGAGGAAATCTAAAGCGTCGTCCGTCGGGTCCGCGGCCTCGACGAAGACAGCGTTCCGCGTCGTCGTGATGACCTCGCGGCCCGTCGCCGGGTCCACCGACGCGCAGGCCGGGTCCTTCAGGGCGTAGCGCGGCGCCGTCGCGCGCTGGAGCCCGAGCTTCGGCCGCTTGCTTTGCTTCTCGGGCGGCAGGACCTGGTCGGCATCGTCGACGATGGACAGGGAACACGGCAGGTCGTAGACCGAACCGTCGAGCGACGTGCGCTGCGACGCGGCCGACGAGTCCATGCCCGAGCGCCGCGAGCCCACGCTGCGCCGCGACCCGTCCATCTGCGTCGACCGATCCAACGCCATGGTTGCCTTGGGCACGGCGAGGACCGGCACCGCTCGCACCACGTTCTCGGAGTCGGCGCCGCGACCGCCGTCCATCTCGCCGTCGCGCCGCGCGCCCACAGCGCGCCGCGAGCCGTCCATCTCGACGTCGCCGATCTCGGGCGCGAAGCGCGCCGACCGCGCCGAGCGATCCAGCGCCATCGTCGCCTTGGGCACCGCGAGCACGGGCACCGCCCGGTCCGTGTTCTTGGGCGAGAGGGGCCCCGACCCGTCCATGCCCTTCCGCCCGGATCCGTCCATCTCAATGTCCACGGACCCGCCGCCGCCGCGCGTGGGGCACGCGGGCGACCGGGGCGCCTGCGCGACGAACGCCGCCGCGCGCGGCGCGAGGACGTCCTGCGTCGCGCCGAGGAAGGCCGAGGCCGCGGGCGCGATGTTCGGGTCCGCGACCGCGTCCGCCTGGTCGAAGGCGCGCTTGTAGAAGGCCGCCGCGAAGAGCGCGGCCCCGGCGTCCGAGCAGTCCGTGCGCCAGCCGACGGCCGCGACGCCGGCTTCCGCGAGCGCGGCGGCCAGCCCCGCGCTCCGGCACCCGTTGCAGAAGACGGCCTCGATGTTGCGGCGGTACGTCGCGACCAACGACACCACTTTTTCCGTCGGCACCATCGCCTTTTGCGGGTCCTCCAAGTGGAGTTCGGTGGCGTGGCCGGCGACGTGGAGCCAGACGCGCGGCCGCGCGCCGCAGGGGAAGTCGTCGCGCCGCCACGACGTCGCCCGCTTGAGGGCCTCGCCGAGCGTCTCCAGGGACACGCACTCGACGACGCGCGCGGCCGCCTTGCGGGCGCACGCGCGCACGGCGTCCAGCTCCCCGTCGAGGTTGGGCAGGTCGTCCGAACTGCCCCGCACGATCAAGACGACGCGCGGCCGCGCCACGTCGAAGGGCTCGACGTCGCGCGCGCCGAGGTGGCCGACCTGGTGCGACGCCCAGAACTTCTTGTAGAGGCTGCCGTCCATCTTCTCGAAGGACTCGTCGATCCTGGGCGTCTTGCGCCGGCGGCCCAGCGCGCGGCGGAGGCTCCGCGCTAACTTGCTTCGATAGTACGCGGCGAGCGACACACAGCACGAGCGTGGTCCACATGGCGACGCACCGCGCGATGAGGCCCGGGCCGCGGCCGACGACGCAGAGCGGGCAGGGGAACTTCGTGCACATGCTCGCTTGGGTGTTTGGTTCGTTTCTTTGAGCTTGGTTGTTATGGGGGTGCTCGGGCTGCCCCACGCCCTTTTCGGTGCGCTTCTTTTTGCTCGCGACCCAGGGCGGTTCGTTGGTGGCTCAGGCGCCACGCCCTCCGTCGGGGGTGGCCGCGCTGGGCCGCGCTTAGCGAAAGCGACTGCTTCAGCGCTTGCCAATCTCCCGTCTTGAAATGCACTAGCCTCGAGGCAGCAGCGCTCGTCGCAGCGATGGCTGCGGCCTTCGCGGAGGAGATTCCCCGAGGAAGGGGCCTTCAATTTGTTGCGGGTTTTTGCGAGATTTTGGCTTGATTGCATTTGCAGTATTGCCGCAGCTATAGGTGCCGTCTGTGCGGTTTGTGCACGCCTTCATTGCCTATACATAAAGCTCATCGCGCTGCGTTGCTTGCTGCATTAGCATTTTTGCTGCAAACACCTTGCTGCATTGCACACGCTGCATTTTGCACCTACTTGCGCTCATTCCTCGCTTGCGCGCATCCCTCGCACCCATGCAGCAGCCGCGCACAATCGCACTGCTGGTCGCAACGCTGCTGCATGTCGCCAGCGCGCACCCCTGCGACGCCGAGGCGATGAAGGCCTGCCCGTTCGACGGCGGCAAAGCGCTGGGCGTCTGCCTGAACGACCCGTCGAAGCACGAGGAGAAGGTCGAGATCTCGGCCGAGTGCGCGGATTTTATGAAGTTGCACGAGACGTGCAGCGCCGAGTTCGCGGGCGGTACGTGTGGCGGGTCCGCCTTCACCGACGACGCCCTGCTGTGCCTCACGTCGTGGATGAACCCGGCGGACGTCTCCGAGGCCTGCGCGGCGGCGCTGCCCGCCAAGGAGGAGGCCAAGGAGGAGGAGGAGGTCGACGAGGCGACTCTACTGAAGCGCGCGCGACGGAAGCACGCGCGCAAAAAGGCGGCCGAGCAGGTCCGCAAGCTCAACGAGAAGAACGACAAGAGCGCCAAGCCCAAGAAGAAGGCGAAGAAACGGAAGTCTACTAGTAGCGGCGGCTACGGCGACGACCTCTAGGCTAGACTTAAAATCGACCGCAAGTTATAAATGTCATCGCCTTATGAACGAGTCACATGCTTAGTCGCCGCGACGGCGTTCGCCCGCGTCCTCACGCGCATTCGCCGCCGCACGTCCACCTGCGGGCCTAACAAAGGTGTCGTGTCTTTTACGCGTCGGCGCGCGAAATGATTGCATGACAATATTTACGTTGCGCGGGAGTTTGCAATTGCTCCCGAGAGGCGTGTTCGAGTGACTCTGCTGGCCTCTGAGATACCCGCCTGGGCGCATGTTGCTAGATGCTAGCACTCTAGTAACTGCTCTCAAACCTGAGGGTGAGCCACGGCGTCGTCGCACCCGGCGTGACTGTCCGAATGGCAGCACGCCGGCGCACCGGCGCCCTTGCTGCGTTACGCCCCAAGAGCAGGCGCGTCCCGCGGCGGCGACGTGACTTATTTGCTGCCCCACCATCCCCAGCACCCCCAGCTGCGTTTCTGGGAGCCGCGTACTGGGGCGGTGACAGACGGCGAGACGAATGGACATACGTTACGTTGGATACGAACCGCACCGCGAATTACGATCGGTCGGGACGCGCTTTGTTGGCCGCGCGATAGTCGGCGGCCCGTCGCCGCGTCGCCGCGCCATCATTCTTTGACGGCGCCGGCGCTCGTAATCTTTCGTATGATGTGATGTTGATTGTTCTGTACATATTATTATTGAGGCTGGGACTCGCGGTTGGAAACCTGTTTTAGTGTGCTCTGGGAGCACATTTGAACTGAGGGAGGCTAGCACTCCGCGTAGCGCTCTACCGCCTCTCAAGTTCTACTCCGCGTTAGCTCTCACTGCAGCGACACCGCGCGCCGCGAAACCTTTGCTCAAAGGGCACCGCCAGGCCCTCAATAGAGCCCAGTCTTTGGGAGGCTGAAAAGCAGCCTAGCTGCCGCCACGCGAGCCGACGGCGCGACAACACCTAACGCGGTACGTGCCCGAGACCTTCGCGGACGCCGCCACGCGCTTCTCCTACGTAACCGACGCTTGCAAACCAAACGCTACGTATTCCGATGCCGTCGCGAAACAGGAACCGATTCCATGCACCGTCCTCCCCGAGTTCTATGGGAATGTCTATGAGGTCAACCTCAGCGGGAACCGCGGCGAGGACGGCGTCGTCATCAAACCGGACAAAGGGAAGCTCTGGGACGTGTCGATGGAAGTCCTGGACGTTGATGAGGCCGAGGCTCTACTAGACTCGGTCCCGAAGATCCGCGAGGTCCGAGACCTCGCCCGCGCGGCGCTGGCGCCCTACAAAGAGCACGACCCGGACATGCGAAAAAAGGGCGGCTCCGGCACGATCGGGCTGACGTGGAGCCTGCAGAGGAACCGGCGGGGCGTGCCGAAGCTGACGCAGCTCTACTTCTTCCAGAAGAAGCTGGGCATTGTAGTGAGTGAGGACTACGCCGGCTCCTTCCGCATAGAACCCGTCATGGACGCCTTCTTTGCCGAGGACGCCGAGGTCTACCAGCTCGATTTAGAGGTCACACAATGCCCACTCACGCACAAGGCCGAGGGCGTGGCGTGGTGGAGCGGAGTGACGTACTTCGGGGCCGCGGAGAGCCATTTGATCCAGCAGATGCCGATCGCGCGCGTGCCGTCCTACGGCCTCACGATAGCCCAGCGGGCCGTTATTGAGAGGCTCGTCGAGGAGAACCCGCAGCACGGGCTGCGGTGGCTGCTGCGTGCTGACGGCGGCACGGAGTTCGAGGTGGGGGTCTCGAACCTCGGGAAAATGACGCCGGAGGCCGCCGCGCCACCTGCGGTACGTGGCTCAGCGTCGAATTGGCGCCTTCAGATCGACCTCACGGTTACCAAACTCACCGGTCGACGTCCCGCAGGCTTGTCAACGCCGGACTAGCTTTACGAGGCAAGGGCGACCTCCTCACGATCTCGGAGCCGCGTCGGCCACGGCGGGCCCCACCGGGACTGGGGCTACCTACGGCAAGGCCACTCAGTTCACGGCGGGCCCCAACGGGTATGGGGCTCAAGTTCGCTACCAGTCTGGCGAGGACCACCTGTCAAAAACGCAAGCGATGGAGCCATGGATGCTCGCGAAGTCGCACGCTCGGAACTACTTCATGCTTATTAACCTCGCGTTGCACTGCGCCGCGACGGACGAGCGGCCGGAGTCGTGGGCGAGCCGGTTGCTGACGCGGCCGAAACTAGCGCTCGAATCGCTCAAGACGTTGGAGTTCCGGGACTCGGTTCGGACCGGGGCGCCGGTGGAGGACCTGAAGATCGTCGGCGCGCGCGTGAACCCTGGTAGGGGCGGCTGGGAGCGCAAGTACGTCTTCGACGTGCTGCGCGAGGACGGCGGCGTCGGCGAGTGGGCGTCGTATGATATTGCCGCTCGCTTTGAAGTTGATCGGCCCGCGGACGAAGCCGCCGTCTTCACCGGGGAGGGGCACCCTGGCAGCACCTGATGAAGCCCTGGCCTGTATTCTCGCGCCGGCGCAAGCGCCGCGCGCTAAACGCGTGCTGCGGCATATTAGGATTTACAATGTCGGCGGCGCCGACGAGTCACGCCGCCGCTAGTCGCGTATCAATAGAAGTTCTGCGGCGGCACGGGTGGCATCGGCGGCGCGCCATACTGAGGAGGCGGGTATTGCTGCGGCGGCGGCCCCAGGCCGTACAAGCCGCCCTGGTTGTTGTACTCGGCGGCGAAGCGCCCGTCGGCCGGCGCCGCGCCCTGCATGTAGCCGCCGCCGCGCATCGCACTATATGAACGCACGGGCGGCTGGAGCGTGTTTCGCGGTGGATAGCTCGGTCGACGGCGCCGGCGAAATCCGGCGGCGGGCCCGGCTGGTACGGTTGTGCCGTAGCGTTGAATGAGTTCGACCGTTCTGCTCGAGGTCGTGGCGGCGGCGGGCCCCGTCTTCCTAATTCCAGTCGTTGTAGAGCGGCGAAGTCCGCAGGAGCGCCTCCGCCGCGCGCGCGGCCACCACCAACACGGTCGTGTGCACGTTGCCGTTGGGGATCGCGGGGATCGCGGACGCGTCGGCGACGACGACGGACGGCTCGTCCCGCAGCCGCAGGTCGCCGTCAACGACGTCGTCCTTCCTATCGCCCATGGCCGCCGTGCCGACCCAGTGCGAGTTCGTGAGCGCGCGCGCGCGCACCCAGGCCAGGCGGGCCGTGTCGTCCGTCGGCGGCGGCTTGTCGACGACGTCCACGGCGCCGTTGAGCGGCGGCGTCTCCGTGAGGCGCGCAACAAAATCAATGCCCTCGAGCAGCACGGCCGCGTCGCTGTCCTCCACCCAGGCCGTGTCCGTCCTACAAAAACTCTCGGGGCACCGCGGCGGCTGGTACCACGTCGGATCCTGGGGCCCCCGTCGGATGAGCGGCGGGCCGTACGGGTCCGACACGTTCAGCTCGATCGAGTGGCGCGCTTGCGGTCGTAATAAGGCTACCGTGACCAAGGCGTCTCTTTTCACGAAGAACTCGCGCGACTTCTCCTTGTCCGCTAAGACTTCGTCGACGTGCGGTTCTTCCTGCCCCGGCGCGAACAGCGTCAGCTGGAGGTCGGCCGGCGCGTTCGCCTCGCACTTGCTCGAGCGGAGGAAGGCCCCGACGCTCGTCCCGGGCGAGGCCCAGAGCGTCTCGGCGCCGTTCTCGCTGAAGGCGGCGAAGGGCCCCGGCGTCCGGTAGAACGCCTCCGTCGACAGTCTCAACTTGAGCGGCACGACGGGGTGGTCGTGGAGGTTCTGGCCCACGCGACGGCCGCCCAGGTCCGACGCGAGCAAAAGGCGCGGCGTGTTCAGCGCACCGGCGGCGAGCGCGACGCCGCGCCGCGGCCGCACGACGACCGCGTCGTCGTCGTCGTCTACGACGTACTCGACGCCGACGCCTCGGCCGTGGTCCTTCCGCAGGCGCCGCGCCGTCGCCCGCGTGATGACCTTGACGTTCGGCGCATTTTGTATGGGCTCGAGGAGTGATGCGTACGCCGACGCGCGCCGGCCCCGCTCGTCAATATTAAAATGGTACGGGCCCGCGACGTTGCCCCGCGACGTCTGGGCGTTGAAATCCGTGACCAGCGTGTGGCCCGCCGCCTGGCAGGTCTCGAGGAAGGCTTGCGCGAGCGCGTCCTGCTCGTACAGCGGCGCGCGGCGCGTCGCGAGCGGCCCGGCCCAGCCGCGCTGCGGCCCGCCGCCCCGTCGCGCCACGCGCCCCCGCGTATCTAGTCGTCTTTCAAACCGCGCGTAGGCCGACGACACGCCCGACCACGACCAGCGGCTCACGTTCCACCGCGCGACGTCGTAGGGTAGTCCTCTTAGATAAATCATGGCGTTCATGGCGCCGCAGCCGCCGACCATCTTCGCGACGACCGCCGACGTGATGGGCCACCTCAGATTGTCGACGCGCGACACGTCCGACCACATGCGCGGCACGTCCGTCGGCGCGGGGTTTTTGGTCCGGTCCGTCTCCTTGATCTCGCCGAGGTCCCAGGCCTCGCCGAAGTCGGGGTTGCCGCGGTAGGGGCCGCCCGCCTCCAAAATCAACACGCAGTGCTGGCCGTCCTTGGCGAGGCGCGACGCGACGACCGAGCCGGCCGGCCCGCCGCCCACGATGGCATAGTCCGGCGCGCGCCAGTCGCACACGGGAGGCGCGGGCGGCTGCGCGAGGAACTTGCGGGCGCGCTCGGCCAGGGCCGCGCAGGCGGCGATCGCGACGAGGCCGGCCGCGACGTGCGCGGGGCGCAGGCACGCGAGCCGTTCGCGGCGTGGCGGTTGTCGTGTCGTCGTCGTTGGCAGCTCGGCGGACGGCAAGGCGCCGTACGCGCCGATTTTCGCGTCCATCCTGTGGTCCCTCCCTGACTCCAGTTGTTCCCTGACTGCTGTTTTGTAAGGAGCGGCGCGTTAGCACTGGACGATTAGTGCTGGGTTTTTGTTAGCTGTAGCATCGCTCCGAGATACCGATGAATGGCAGCGCGAGCCTCGAGTTTGGCACACCGCTTTTTGGCTCCTTTACTTGGTCCTTTGCATGGCCAAGTCGAGGTGCCAGATCTGCCAGAGCGCACCCATAAAGAAGTCTCAATACCGCCTTGGGGAGTTTACCGAGGCTTTGGTTAAGTTCCTGCGGCCTTGGTGGCCCGCGCGGCGGGCCCGCGGTCCCGCGTTTGGTTACGATAAACGCCATACAACCGCCGGCTGGTTCGAGACGACTCTATGGACAGGCAAGTGAGCCGTGAGGCGCAGTGTGCCGCAGAGACCCGCACGCAACCATTTATTTTTGCCCAAAATTGGCACACAAATAGGTTGCTGCACGCGCCGAGGGCTGCCTTTGAACTACAGCCAGGGGCTGCCACGAAACGCAAATTTTCGCCCGCACCGATCGGGCAGCGAACCGTCGACGCACACCACAAGGAGCCCTGCCCAGACAGCACGAGCAAATAGACGCCATCGCAGCGATGGCCGGCGACGACGGCACGGCCGCGCCGTCGCAAGTACCAACAACAATATCACCGACGCACATCGAAGAGACCATCTTCAAGATCGTGGAAGTCACGGACGCGCCGTCATACGCGCCGACGCTGCCGCGGCCGACGTACGCGCCGACGACGCCCGCGCCCTCCTTCACGTACACGATGCAAGCGGGCCAGTGCTACGACAAGGTCTGGCTGGAGCACACGCAGCCCTACGACCCGCGGTGCGAAGAGAACTGCGCGCGGATCGAAATTGACGATTGCGCGCGATACTGCGACGGCGCGGGCGTCGTCACGATGGCGAGCAACGACCGGGGCGGCCTGGACGCCTGCACCTGCGCCACGGCGTCCAAGGAGTCGTGCATGGTCGTCGGCGGCTACGACGAGCCCTTTAGCCTCGCGCGCGCGGCCCGGCGGTTCCCCTTCGACGGGACCTGCGTCCTCGGCGACACGGACTTGCAGCTGACGCGGTTCTGCGACCAGATGGGCAAGTTCGAGCCCGACGAGTACCGGCCGACGCGGCGGCCGACGACGTTCCAGCCCACCGCGCGGCGCGAGGTCGAAGTCAAGGCGGAGTTGACGCTCGTCGGCCGGCGCGGGGCGATTCTGATCGGGACCTGCTTCGCGCTGGCGGCGTTCCTGCTCTTCTGCCTGCTCTTCAGCCGGTGGCGCGAGCGGCGGCGCCTCAAGCGCATCGCGGAGATGTCCTCCTCCGCGGCCGACTTCACGTCGGACTTCTCGCCGCTCGACGACGACGGCCAGAAGTGGCTCGAGATGATGTAGTAACAAGTAGTGAAAACGCGGCTAGTGTCTTACTGGACGCTAGCAGCCTCGAGGCGCGCGCTCGTGCCGCAGTGGGCTACACTGCCCGCGAGCGACGGTGCCGTAGTTGCGGAGAACCGGCTATCGGTCGAGGTCACAGCGGTCGAGGGCGGACGCCACTCATTGCGACCAGTAGTGCCTCAGGCAATAAGGCAGGCAAGCAGCGGTCGTCCAGAGCTCTGCCGCGGGACGCGCGTCACGCATGCGCTACACGGCGACGCTGACGTTTGACTACAAGGACGCGCGATCCGCCGAGGCGGTAGAGGCCGCGCTCTCCGTGGACGCCGAGCTGAGCGCCTCCGTGCAACGAGAGAGCCGCGTCGACGGCGCGAGCGTCGTCGTCACGTTCCGCTGCGACGACGCCAAGCAGCTGCGCGTGAGCGTCGGCGGCTTTTTCGAGTTGGCCGAGGTCGCCTCCGCGGCTGTCGCGGCGTTCGCCTAGTAAACATGGAGGCCACGCCGCCGCGGATAACGTTCCGCGATGCGCAGCACCGCGTGCACATGGACATAGTCAAGACGCGCATGTTCCTACTGGGCCTCGGCAGCGGCACGACCCTGACCTTATTCATCGCGTCCATCCTCCTCATGGTCGCGTCCTACTCGCCGACGGCCGGCGCAATCAGCGTAATCTGCGGCTGGCCCTATCCGTTGTACCGCGCGGCCTTCCTGGCGTCGCTCTGTGGGCTGTTGTACGGCGCGGTCGTCTTCGCGTGGCGGCGGAACTCGGTCGATTTCCGACGAGCATTGCACCTGTCGCCGGCGGTCACGTACCAGGCGATCCTCTCCTACAGCTATGCGTGCTTCGTCATCGTCTTCGCGTGTTTTGTGCTCTTCGCGCTGCTCTTACTAGCGCCGGACGCGGTGCCCGGCGCCCGAAAGTTCCGCAACACGCTGCCTCTCATCGCCTTCATGGCGCCGTTCCTCGTCGCGGCGTGGCCGAAGGACCGCGCGCCCGGCGCGTGCCTGGCGACGCCGGGCGCCGCGGGGGCGCGGCGCGCGCTCGCGCTGGAACTGGTGGGACCCGTGCTCGTGTCGCCCTTCTCGAAGGTGACATTTGCGCGCACGTTCGTCGCCGACGTGCTGTGCAGCATGCCGAAAATTTTCGCCGACGCGCAGTACGGCTTCGCCATCGTGTTCGACTGCGACACTGACTCGGCTACATACATACACATCGGCTACGTGCTCGCGTTTCTGCCCTTTGTCGTGCGCCTGAACCAGTCGCTGCGGGCGGCGTTTGATGATGCCGCGCACCGACGAAAGAATTGTTGGAATGCCGGCAAATATTCTCTGCAGATCGCGCTCGTGGCCGAGTCGATACGCGCGCAACATAGCGTGCCCTGGTTCGCGCTGGCGCTCACGTCGACGCTGTGCAATTTCTTCTGGGACGTGCACATGGACTGGGGCCTGCCGCGCCAGCACAAGCGGTTCCCGGCGTGGTTCTACCCGTCCGCCGTCGCCTCGAACTTCGTGTTAAGGTTGGGCTGGGCGGTCTACGTTTCGCCGGACCAGAAGGTCGTGGCGCAACACGTCATTCTGCTGCTCGGCGTCGCCGAGGTGTTCCGGCGGTTCCAGTGGGCCGCGCTGCGCGTCGAAAATGAGGCCCTGAAGATAGGTGCCGCGCCGCACGAGGGGCTGCGGTACGACTCGGTCGGTGGCGCGCCGCCGCTCGTTTAAATTCAAGTTTTTTACATACACTAGGCTTTCACACAGTAGTCTCGTCGTGGACGAAGGTCCGGAGCCGCTCAAGGTAGTCCGGCCGCCGCTCGACGTCGAAGTGCCCCATGTCGTCTCGGAGGAACGGTTCGACGCGGGTTTCCTCGGGAAGCGCTCTCAGAATGCGATCCGCGTGCCAAGGCGACAATAACTCATCGCGTCCGCCGTGGACGACCAGGGTCGGCGCATCGAAGCGCGCACAAAGGCGTTCGACCGGCCAGACGTCCAGGAACGACGGGAGCCCGCCGACAGGAGCGTAACTCATGGCATGCTTTTGAATAACGTCCGTGGCCGCCGCGACGCCGGAGATGAACGCCGAACGCAGCACGACCCCCCGTAGGCCCCTTCCGCGGAGCAAGTCGCCGGCGAGGTAGGCAGTAGGCCCGTTCCCCAGCGAAAAGCCGTAGAGAATCGTCTGCGACGGAGGCACGCCCAACTCGTGCTCGAGATACGCGGCGGCGGCTTTCGCGTCGTCGAGCGTAGCGGAAACAGACGGCTTTACCCCCAGCCGATTGAAGCCGTAGCCAGAGTAGTCGTAGTAGAGCACGTTCACGTCGAGAGACGCGGCGAGCTGCACGCAATGGAAACGAAGTTGGCCCATGTCGAAGGATCGACCCTTGGAGTAGAGTAAGGTCGGTCGCGTCGGCGACGGTTCCGTCGAGTACACGTGCAGGAGTGCTATCTCGCGATTGCCGCCTGCGGGCCGCAGCGTCACGGTGTGCGCCAAACTCGCTGTCTGCCCGGAGCCGGTAGCAAACACGATAGGACAGCCATTCCTGTAGTTGTTCTGCGGCGACCAGTCGTCGTCGAAGCGCCACGCTTGTCCGTCCGGGACCAACGCGTACGTCGGTGGCGCTGGAGGCTGCATGGCCTTGCTGCCCACTGAGGCGACTAAACCCATCGATAAGGGCGTGAAGCTCGTTCACAGCCGCTTAGGTGTTTTGCTCTCACAGTGTGTGCGGCTAAATTTCACGCCAGCGATGCTCTCTTGCTGTGAAACGTGCAGGGCATATACTCATGAGCCACTGCGAAGCTCAGCGTCCGCCGACATGCATGAATGTGCTAAAACAGCCTCTGACTCCGAGCCTGGTGCCAGCAGCTCAGTGCCAGCTGCCTCTTTGCTGCTATAGTCTCAAGCTAGCTGTACGGAAAAGCGAGTCAACCAGGGCAGATGCTCGAGTACCGTCCCCGCCGATTCTTCTTCCGCCGCCCTCGAACTCGAGAGCTTCGCGTCGAGCCGGTCCAAGGTACCGCGCGGCAGCATGTCGTCCGTCTTCTGGACGAGCTCGAAGCAGAACGCCTTGATGAGCAGCGCCCGCGCGTCGGCGCGCGCCAGACCACGACTCTCGAGGTAGAAGATGGACTCCTCGTCGAGGTCCGCGACGGTCGCGCCGTGCGTGCACTTGACGTCGTCCGCCACAATCTCTAGAGAGGGCATCGCGTCGACGGCCGCGCCGTCGTCCAACACAAGGGAGCGGCAGAGCTGGTCCGCGTTCGTCCGCTGGCCGAGCTGCGGCACGTCGATCCGCCCCTTGAACACTAATCTCGCGTTCTCGGCCGCGACGTTGCGAATGTCCTGCGCGCTGTCGGCGTCCGGCGACGAGTGCGTCAGGGCGGTCCGCAGATCCAAGTTCTGGTCCGAGCCGCCGAGCTGCACGCCGCTAAAGTCGAAGAAGGCGCCCGCGCCCGCGACGTCGCAGTCGACGCAGACGCGCGACAGCGCGCCCGCGTCCGACAGCGTGCGCGACTGGAAGGCGCCGTCCCGGGCGCACACCGCCGTCGCGTGGTGGATGTGCGCCTGCTCGGCCTCGTTGCCGTCCAACACGTGCGTCAGCGTCGCGCCGGCGCCGACGCTGCAGGTCGTCCGCGCGTTCGTGAGCGCGCTAAACCGGTCCAGCTTCGTAAACCCGACGAAGGACTCGCGCACGGCGGCGTTCGCGCCGGCGCCCGTCGAAATCACGGTCCGCGCGTGCTGCGCGCCCTTGGCTCTCCGTCGCGCGTGCACGACGTGCGCGCGCACGCACGCGGCTTCGGACTCGACGCGGTCCGGCGCGTTCGCACGCGCGGCGTCGGCCACCGCCAGGGCGTCCGCGTCGTCCGCGACCCAGACGACGACGGCGTCGGGCGCGCACGCGGCGTTGAGGCCGCACAAGGCGCCGCCGCCCAAGGAGACGCGCTGGGGGATGGACTCCTCCTTCACGACCTCGGGCAGTGACGCGTGCAGGGGGCCCATCACCTTCAAGACGTCCGGCGGCGCGTCCCGTATGGACCCGACCCAGCTCTTTCGGTCGGACGAGAAGCCGAGGTTTTTCGACAACGCGGCGTCGACGACGCCGTCGACCAGCACCGCGACGGGCTCGTCGTCGTCCGCGGGCAGCCACGGCTCGAGGTCGCTCGGCGCCAGGGGCGCGGCGTCCGCGAGCTCGCGCGTCGGCGCGCATCGCCACAGGTCGTCCAAGCGCGTGAAGCGCCAGGGCTCCTGCTTTTTGGACGGGAGCACGACCGAGGGTCGCTCAAGCGCCGCGACGCCCTCGCTGCTCGCCAGGGCCACGGGCGGCGCGCGCGTCGGGTAGTCGGCCTCGGCCTCCTGGAGCGCGGCCTCGAACCACGCCCGCGCGCGCAGCTCCGCCGCGGTCGGGCCCTTGCTGCGCACGACGACCTCCTCGGCGAAGGCCTCGCGCTCGAGGTCGTCCGCGGAGACAAAGTCCGTCTCGTCGTCCACCGCCGGCGCGGTGGCCGGCGCGAAGCACGGTCGCGTTTGTTGCTTGAGCGGCGGGCCCGCGAGCAGCGCATTTGTGTGCGCCGCGAGTATCAGCGGCGCGGCCAGCCTCCGCATGGTGCAGTATGGCACTCGCTGCGATGCGCGTTTTTTGCGGTCCCAGTTTTGAGCTGTATGTTAGGCGCACTTCTTAAACGCAAAAACTGCCAGCTCTAGGCCTGCGGTGGTGCGCTGCTTGTGAGTTTGCCCTGGTGCAGCCTCTCTCGACTCAGTTTGGAGGCATCGCCACTAGCCCATCCCATCCGAGCCGCGACGCGAAAGAAGAAACGAGCCCCTTAGGGCTGCGCGGAGGCCGTTCGAATTGCAATCTGGCGTCCGCAAGTCAAAAAACGATTTTCAGCCGCGGCGCAGATCCGCGGCGCGCCCAAAGAGCTGCCCAAAGCTACCCAGTGATTCGGACTGATAAAGGTTACACAAACAAAAAATCAACGCCGCCGCGCCACGCGCGGCAACACCTGGACCGGCGAGAAGAAGTCCCGCTGCTGCTTCCGCCGCGATGACGCGACCGAGAACGCGGAGAGCGACGACGCCACGGACGACTGGCTCAGCTGGCTCCGGGCCGTCGACGGCTCCGGCGAGCCGGGCGAGCCGAGGAGGACGTCACCGCCGCGGATCGCGTCCACCGTCTCCTCGACGAAGGGGCGCAGCGCCACGCGGTGCGCGTGCGCCGCCGCGGCGAGGCGGCCCAGGAGCGCGGCGCGGTCCTGCGCCGCGAGCGCCGCCGCGCGCCGCGGGTAGACGACGGCCTGAGCCGTGGCCGCGCGCGAGCCCGGCCGCGACGGCGGGAAGACCGCGTCGAGACCGTCGTAGGCCGTCGGCGCGAGGCGCGCCTCCGTCTCGGCGTCCGCCCGCGCGTCGACGGCGCACTTTGAGACCAGCGCGACGACGGCGTCCGCGGCCGCAAGCTGGGCCGCGCCTCTCCTCCGCAGCATCTGGACGCGCAGCGCGTATTTTCGCGCGTCCTTCTCGGTCAAGCGCAGCAGCGCTCCCGGGTGCTGGTGCGGGCGCGGCCGCGGCTCCTCGCCCGGGGCCACGGCCGCCAGATCCAAGTAGCGCGGCTTCGGCGGCGACACCGCCTTGTCCGACGACGCCGTCGACGGCACCGGCGAGGCTGGGAATTCCTCCTCGACCTCGAGCGCGGCCTCGGCCTGCCGCGCCGTGTCCTCGGCGACGCACACCTCGTTGAACAAGACGCGCCGCCGGTCGCACGCGGCGCGGTGCGCCCGTATCATTTTCTTTAGCGCCCGCGTCGAGAGCTTGAGCTCCTCGTGCTTCTGGCGGTGCGCGTCGTCCACGTCCTTCGTAATCTGTTCAGCAGAAACGTTTGTGTTTTTCTTCGCGGCGGCCTCGGCTCTTTTCGCGACGTCCCGCCGGCTCTCCTCTTTCGCTCGGATGCGGAACCGCTCCCAGGACGTCCGTTCCTTCGCCAGGGTCTGCTCGAGGTCCGCACGGCGCGCCCGCAGCGCGGCTCGAGCGCGCGCGGCGCGCGCGCGATCGTACGCGTCGCCCGTCGGGAAATCGTAGCGCGCCGCGGCCGCCGTGATTGAGGCCGCGTCCGGCGCGGGCGGCGGCGCCGGCAGCGTCTCGGGCGCGAGCATGCGCTCGAGGGCCGGCGTCACGAGCGCCGCGCGCCACTTGGATGTTTTGCGAGCCTCGACAACGGGCGGCGGCGGCTCCGCCTCCTCGACTTCGGCCTCCTCCACGAAGTCGTCGGGCCGAGGCAGCGACAGCTCCTTGCGCGCGGCAGCTAGCGCCACCCGCGCGTCCTCCTCGCGGCGCGTCTGCGCCCGGATGGCCTCTTCGTGACTCGCCTGGGACCGCGCCAGCCGCGCCTTGTGGTGCCGCTCGGCGCGGTCGAGCTCGACGCCGTCGACGACCGCTCGCCGCTCCAGCGCTGCGATGCGCTCAAAGTCCGCGTCCAGCTGCTGCTGGAGGAAAAAGTACTGGTCGCGCGCGTCCTCGCGCACCTCCGCCAGTTCTTCCTCCAGGCCCGCGTGCGCGGCGCGCTGCCGCTGCGTCTGCGCCGCGGCTTCCGCCAATCCTTGCTCGGCGTCGGCGTTGCTGGCCTCCATGCGCGCGCGGGCCATGGCCAGGACGCCGGCTTGATACTCGGGCGCGACCTCCGCGCCCTCGGCCGGGTCGATCTTGTCTTTCTTGCCCATTGTTGTGTGCCTTTGCTGGGAGCGGATGCGGCGTCGGCGCGCGGCCGGTGGGCGCAGGCGGGATTAGACCGCGCTACGACCGGGTTGGCGTCACCGAGGCGAGCTGTGGGACTGCCGGCGGGCTGGGCTGCCCAATTCCCTGCTCCTGGCGCTGGGACAGAGAGTCCGCAGACAAGGCTTATCCCAGCCCTGTATAAGGGCGCGAACGCCTCGCCACTCAGACACCTCTCGTAGCAGGGCAGCTTCGCCTCGCACCGAGGCTACCCAGGTGCTGAAAGGGCTGCCGCGCCGCGGCGCATATTTCGGTGTGACAACAGGGCAGCCAGCTGCCACGCGAGGAAACAAAACATGTCGTCGATGTACCGCGCGGCGCAAAAGCTCTACACGTCGGCCACCGCGCCGTCAAAAAAACAAAAGGCCAAGCAGGAAGGATGGCGCGTCGAGAACCTCGCGGCGGCGCCGTCGCCGTCGCCGCAGGGAGGACGACGTCGTCGTGCTGCAGGCGGCGCACGAAGCCTACGTCGCTGTTGACGTCGCGGCGCCGTCGCGCGGTGGCGGTGATACGAACGGCGCCTTCGCGCGCCAGGCCGTCGAGTTCGACGTCGAGACCGATGTAGCGCCCGACCAAGGGACGCGGGCGAGGCCCCGGCGCGGTCGCCCCGCGCCGTCGCGGAAGCGGCCAAGGCCGCGGCGGCGCGGAACAAGGCCGCCGCGGCGGCCGCAGCCGCGCCGGCAGACGCCGATATCGACCGCGACGACGACGACGCCGACGCCGAGCCCGAACCCGTTCCACCGCGCGTCTGGGACAAGTACCGGAGGTACCGCGAGAGCGCGAGCCGGGTCATCGCGCAATTGAGGATTGAATAACATTAACTTAAACACATACAGATTCACCGAGCATGAGGTCTCAGCTCGGCCAGCAGCCGGAGCGCCTCCTCGGCCTCGACCTGGGCCTCCCAGTGCTCGAGGACGCGCGCGCCGGCGGGCTCCGCCTCCGCGCGGTCCGCGAGGCCGTCGATCTCCACGGGCCGCCGGAGGCCGAGCTGCGCCCGGCAGGCGTCGACGGACGTCTTCGCGTCGGCGGCGAGTTTACGTAACGTTTGGTACTGCGCCGCGGTCGTGCGCACGCTGCTGACGGACGCGTGGAAGGGGCCGTAGCGCTGCTCGAGCAGCTGCTCGACGGCGCCCGTCGCCGTCGCGAGCTGCCGCTGGAGCCGCTCGTACGCGGCGCTCCGCAGGTGCACCGCGCCGCGGGGTTCGTCCGGCAGCCAGACGCCCGCGTCCAGCAGCGTCGCGTCGTCGTCCTTGACCAGCTCGAGGCGGCCCGCCGCCGACGCGTAGAGCCGCTGGTCCGCCGCGGCCACGCCGACGGCGCGCGCGACGGCGCGGCGCAGGTCGCGCACGGTCGCCGCGGGGCCCAAATCGGCGAGCGTCGCCACGGCGCCCTCCAACGCGTGGACGCGCACGCCCGTCCGCAGCGTGTCGTCGTCGCTGTCGTCTTCCGTCGTGTGCTTGGCGCGGCGCGCCTCGGCCGACAAGATCTCGACGAGCTTGACCATGGGCTTGAAATTCGGCGAGAAGTAGATCGGGTCGACGTCGGCGTGGAGTTTTTGTGCCTCCGCCATTTGTTGTTTTTGCTGTTTTGTTTGCTGCTGTTTTTGCTTGCTTTGCTTAGAGAAGGCCGCCTAGCCGTGGACCGCCGCGGGGTCGGCTTTTTACGCAGCACTTTTTTACGTCGCCTGCAGCGGCGGGAGCGTCTTTTCTCGCGCGATTTTTTTGCTGTGCTGCTGGTTGCTTGTATTCTAAAGGTCTGTCCTTAACACAGTCCACGCCCGGGCCTGGCAAGATGGCTAAAAGCGCCTTTTGGCTCTGTTATATTTTTTGTGCTAGCGGCCGGTAAGACACTAGCAAGCCTCTCAATTTGTTCATCGCACGTCACCGCCGAACAAGGACACCGAGGCTGCGAAACAAAGATCGGAAATAGTCTACCGCGAGGTCTCTGCGAGTCTGCTGTGCTTTTTCGATCTCGAAAGGGCATCTAGACGCAATTTACGAGGTCCAGGTGTAAGCTCTCTCTAAGAATTATGAACACTCTCGACAAAGGAGCCATCGGTGACGGTTTCGAGGACGTGGCCAGCCCGATCGCAGCCAACGAAGCCGTCTCCAAGAGCGACCAAGAAGACGACGGCATCGTCATCGCGACGCCGAGCGAGAGCTGGGTCTTGCTCGACTCCAAGAGCGACGACGAAGAGGTGACGCTCGACGAAGCGTCGACGGCGTCGCGGCGCCAGCCCGGCCTCATCGCGGCCGCCGTCGCCTGCGCGCTGGTCGTCGCCGCGGCCGGCGCGTTCGCGGCCACGCGGCCATCCGCCGTTGTCAAGCCTCCTCCGCCGCCGCCGCCCGTGAAACGCTTCGTCCTGGCTTCGGCCCTCGACAGCGTCGCCGCGGCGGCCGCCAAGGTCCGCGCCGACGGCATCGACGCCCAGTTCGAATTAGCAACAGGGCTTGACGGCAAGCTGGCGTCGGCGGCGGCCGTGCGGCTCGAGGCGCTCGCGAAGCTCTCCGTGACACGCTGTGTTGAAATCAAATTTCAAGGCGCCCCTGATGCATTCCACATAGGCGGCGCGCCTAGACAAGCTAGACGAGCAGTACGGCGCCCAGGAGAAGCTCGACCGCGCGGTAGTCGTGGTCTCGGACTACGTGGAGAACGCGTCGCTCTCCGACGCCCGAAAAGCTGCCTCGGGCATCACGGACGTCGTGCTTGGCGGCGCTTCGTCGCTGGCGGTGAGCGTCTTCGGCGACGCCGCCGTCGAGCGGGTCAAAGAGGAGGTCGTCGACGCGAGCGCGGCGCTGGTCGGACTCTTCCCGGAGTCGCACCGGCCCGAGGCCAAGACCCTGGCGACGTCGGTCGCGCTGGGCCTCGGAGGTCTCGCCGTCGGCGTACCGTTCGTCCCCGGCATCACGGACAACCTCCTCGTCGGCGGCGTCGGCGCGGCGTTGCCGTTCCTCTCCGGCGAGGAGAACGACTAGTACATGTCCCCATCCACCCCATCCCTGTCCCGTTGTGATCATCTGATTGGTATAAGTACTCGTGATACATAAAACAACAGAGTTACTAAACGAGCGACACGCACGACGCGCGCTCCTTTTTCGCGAGATCGCTGACCGCGAACGGCTGGACGGGTTGCGCGTCGACGATGGTTTTGCGGTCCCCGGCGTCCCCGAAGACTGGCGCGGACCGGTGCGCGTCGGCGTGGTACGCGTCCGGGTAGAGGTCGAAGCTCGCGACGGGCGGGTCCTGCCGGAGCCGGTGCGCGTTGACGAGGCGGCGCTGCTTGCCCGTGAGCTTCGCGTGTGGCACGGGGGCGACGACGGCGCCGGGGGTCACGGGGGCCTCGGCGCGCTGCGCGTCGAGCGCCTCGCGGGGCCCGCGCTGGCGGCGCAGCGCGGCGCGGCCCGCGGACGCGGCCAGTTCCCGCGTCCGCGCGGACGTGGCCGAGCGCGCACGGTGGATCGACCGCGTGCTGCAGCGGTCGCACTTCGCGAGCCGCGCGTGGACGCCGTCGGTCGCGTCGACGCCGGCGGCCTTGGCGAGCGGCGACAGCGCCGCGAGCTTGTCGCGCCGGCGCCGCGCCCGCGCGTCCGCCGTACCGGCCTCGTCCTTCCGGACCGCCGCGCGCGTGGCGCTGAGGCGCCGCCGCCGCTGCCGCTCGAAGAGGGTCATCCGCGCCAGCGTTTGCGCTTGCTGCTCGACGGAAATGGTGGAGCTCGCGGCGCCGTCGTTGGTTTCCATATACTCCTTCAGTGAGGCATCTCCACCGAATTGCTTGCTGCTGTCCATCTCTTCCTTAAGCTAGGTTGTCACAGACTCTGGGCAGCCAATCTGTTCCTCCGGTGTGCTGGTACCGTTGGCTCGTGATCAGAAGTTCCGCACCGTTGGTGCACGAGGATCTGGGCAGCCTCTCGCGTTGTTGCGGAGGCGCGGCAGCACGGGAGCACGGCGCTCTCGATCAGCGCCTCTGCGGCGCCCCGCGCTAGTGCCCATTGGCGGCGCCCGTTCAAACCAGGCGCCTTCCTCACCGCTAGAGCGCACCATTCCGGATGTGAGTCGGTTGCAAAACTTTGAGACGGGCGAGGAGCGGTGTTGCGTAGGACAGCGTGTTTTGGTTGCTGTCCGGAGCGTCCTTGCTGAAGACCGTTTCAGGCATAGCGTCTGTGCTGCGATCGACCCAGTACGCCGTATCAACGAGCCACGTCAACCGTTCAGCGTTTCAGCCGAGTGCACCGTAACAGAGTGCAGCCTTGCGCCCTAGGAAGCCCTCGCCCGACCAAGCCACTCAACACCATGCGGACAGCAGCGCTGCTCGTGGCCGCGACGACGACGGTCAGGGCGCTCCGCCCGGCGATGCCGTCTCTTTATCAGCGGCGGGCGCCCGTGGTCAATCTGCTCGACGCCAAAGGCCAAAGCATAGCGCCGGTCACCCCGGCGGGCGGCGGCGCCAGCGACAAGGACCACGACGTGCTGCTCGGAGAATTGATCTTCAGCTCGCGCGACCCGCGCGAGGACGTCGCCTCGGCGCCGGAGCTGTACACCGAGGACTTTCTCAAGTTCGTCTCCGACAAGGCCGAGGACAGCGACGACATGGAAGAAAGAGAAGGCCTAAAGAGCCTCGTGGACATGATCCGGGCGACGCTGGACATGGTCGAAAAAATGACGAAAGAAGCCGAAGAGGCGCAGGCTCGGATCGAAGCCGAGGTCGAGGCCGAGGCCGAGCGCGCGGCGGCGCTCGCGCGCGGCGAGGTGGTCGTCGACACGGAGCAGGTCCTGGGCGCGGCGGCCGTCGCGTCCGGCATCGAGCAGTACGCCGAGATGGCGCGCGAGGCGCGGAGCGAAGGCCCGGGCGAGGCGGGCCTCTACGGCGACGCGCTCGGACGTACGACGCGCTGCTGTCGGAATTCGTCCAGGCCGAGGCCAAGGGCGAGCTCGCGGCGCCGTCGAGGGCGCGTTCGAACGGTGCGACTACTCCCTGCTCGCGCTGGCGACGGAGCGGCGCGACGCGGGCGACCGGCCCGACACGCAGGCCCTCAACGCCATCATCGAGGCGGTCAACTCGCTCTCGGCGAAGCGCCTCGAGCAGGCCGCCGCCCGGCTGGGGACCGTCATGCAGCAGGGCTCGCCCGAGAAGATGTTCGCGAAGATCCAGGAGCTCGCCATCATCAACCAGATCGACGCGCCTTTGGTGGAACTGCTCGACGCGAACCGGCAGCAGGCGCTCGCGGCGGGCGCGGCGGGCGCCGGCGCGGCCGAGCTCATGAAGAACCTGGCGAACCGGTGCCGCGACGAGATGGACAAGCGCATCGCCAAGGACGCGCCCGAGAAACGGTTGTTGAGCGCTGCTGCGCACGGACGACGACGAGACCAAGAAAACGATTCTCCAAAGAGCCTTCGAGCCCAAGGAGGGCCTGGCCCTGAGCTTCGGCGAGGACTACGGCAAGGACGCGGCCAAGAAGACGCAGGAGGGCCCCGAGGTCGACCCGACCAAGTTCATCGCCGCGTGCCAGCAGCTCATCGCCGACTTTGGGAACATCGACGACAACGGCGAGCCCCTCATGGTGCGCATCAACCAAATCGCCGCCATCGCCGAGACGGTGGCGACGGAATTGTACGGCGACGTCACGAGCGCGCGCGAGCAGCAGGACCTCATGTGGAACGAGGCGACGACGAGCGTCTTCGACCTCGAGGCCGCCGAGCTCGCGGCCGAGCAGAAGGGCGAGCAGATGCCCTGGCACAACGACTCCTACGACGGCAAGCTGCCCGACGGCTTCACGGCCGACCAGGCGGGCCAGTACATCAAGAAGGTCGGCGGCTAGCTTTTTTTTCGGCAGTCGGCTTTACCTTCTCCCGTACTAAACGCCGCGGACTGTCGCGAGTATTGAACAAACAGACTTACACACGAGTGTGACGGAGTCACGAGTCGGGCGGCTTTGGCGCGAAGCCGTGCCGCGCCTCGTCGTCGCCGTGGCTGAGCGCGTGCGCGCGGCCGCGGCGCCGCGCGGCGATGTCGTCGGTGAAACCGTTCGCCCGCGCGAGCTGCAGCGCCGAGACGGGCCGTCGCTCCGCGTCCGGCTTGACCGCCCCGCGCGAGAAGACGTCGCCGATGCGCTGCACGCTGTTCTTCCCCGCGGCCAGCGAGCTCAGGAAGCTCACGAGCGCGCCGCAGCCCATCGTCGCCAGACTAAAGTGGTTCGGCGTCCGGAAGGCCTTCGGGAGCATATTCAGGTGCCGCGCGCCCAGCCAGCCCGTCGAGCCGATGAACACGCCGGCGACCGCGCCTCGCAAGCCGGCGGTCCACACGTCCCGACGCACGTCGGCCACGCGGCGCGCGTCGTCGGCGGTGAGTTGGGGCGGGATGCTGCCGGACATCTTCTTTTCGCAGCGATTGTGCCGCTATGCTGCTGTGGCAGGCACTGCAGCCTGAGCACTCTGCGTGGTCAGAGCTGCTTGGATTACAATTGAAGCAGCGGCTCGGCAGGGATGCCTGCGGCTCGTTTCAGTAGTCACACCGATTTATATTGTGCGTAACCAGTCGAGACAGCGTGCCACTGCAGCCAACATGCTGAGCCTCGAGCCCGGGCCGACGACCGGAGCGGCGTCGGACAGCGAGAGCAACCGTTCCAACACGCGGTAGGAGTCCTCGAACTGCCACGACGGACTGCTCAGGCTGGAGGCGCGCTGCAGACGCGCGCGCTGCCCTCTTGCAAACAAGTTGATTTTCACTTCTGCTCGAATTTGGAGGAATGCTCCAAGACGCCTACAGACGTGCGCACGGCGCACAGAGGGATCAAGGAGCCATCATACCAGTACCTCGAGCTTTTGCTCGTCGTCGCTTGAGCGTGCGCGGCAACCGCCCTCCGCACTGCTGGGACCCTCGGGACGCTGGTAGACCTCCTCAGTAGGCCGCCAGCGATACCACAGCGACGCGCCGGTCTTCCCCAGGCAGCGGCAAGAGGTACAGCCAGAGCTGCACCACAGGGGCAAACAAGGCGCGGCGCCGCGGCCGAGCAGCGATAAAGCCGCCGCAAGACAGCATTTAGAACCGCGCAGCCTTCGCGCTAAGCGCAGACGCAACTATGGCTCAAATGGCCACCAGCAGTACCGACGCCGTCGACGCGGTGCTGGAAAAACTCCTTAGCGTCCGCGGCGAGCGCCCGGGAAAACAGGTGGCGCTCGAGGACAACGAGATCCGTATGTTATGCATTAGGGCGAGGGAGGTCTTCATGGCGCAGCCCATCCTGCTCGAGCTCGAGGCGCCCATCAAGATTTGTGGCGATCTGTGTGGAAATCAACCAAGGGTGGGTGCACCCGACAATTCTTCACTAAGTCACCTCGCGGCGATGGCGCGGCTGTCCTGGCTCGGTCGAGCGGCGAGGAACCGGCATCGCCACGCCATCGAGCAGGCGTCGCGTCGATGGCGTGGAGGACGACGCGGCGATTCAGCACGAACGCGCCGTAAAATTTTGATTTCCACACAGGTGGCGATGTCCACGGCCAATACCATGATCTATTGAGATTATTCGAGTACGGAGGCTTCCCGCCCGAAGCAAACTACCTCTTCCTGGGCGACTACGTAGACAGAGGCAAACAATCCCTCGAGACGATCTGCTTGCTACTAGCTGTGTGGAAATCAAAATTTTACGGCGCGTTCGTGCTGAATCATCGCGTCGTCCTCAACGCCATCGACGCGGCGCCTGCTCGATGGCGTGGCGATGCCGGTTCCTCACCGCTCGACCGAGCCAGGATGGCAGCGTCATCGCCGAGAAATGACTTAGTGAAGGATTGTCGGGTGCACCCAACACACTGGTTGATTTCCACACAGACTACTCGCCTTTAAAATCAAGTACCCCGAAAACTTTTTCATCCTGCGGGGCAACCACGAGTGCGCCTCGATCAACAGAATTTACGGCTTCTACGACGAATGTAAAAGAAGGTACAACATCAAGATGTGGAAGACCTTCACGGACTGCTTCAACTGCCTGCCGGTGGCGGCCATCGTCGACGAGAAGATCTTCTGCTGCCACGGCGGCTTGAGTCCGGAATTGCAGCAGCTCGACCAGATCAAAAAGATCGTGCGGCCGACGGACGTGCCGGACACGGGCCTGCTGTGCGATCTGCTCTGGAGCGACCCGGACAAGGACATGGTCGGCTGGGGCGAGAACGACCGCGGCGTCTCGTTCACGTTCGGCGAGGACATCGTCCGCGCGCCCGCCGCAAGATGGACTTGGACCTGGTCTGCCGGGCGCACCAGGTCGTCGAGGACGGCTACGAGTTCTTCGCGCGAAGGCAGCTCGTCACGATCTTCTCGGCGCCGAACTACTGCGGCGAGTTCGACAACGCGGGCGGCATGATGGCCGTCGACGAGACGCTCATGTGCTCCTTCCAGATCCTAAAGCCGGCAGAAAAAGCGAAGCGCCAGGCGCTCGCGGGCGTCGCGCAGCGGCCGGCGACGCCGCCGGCACGCAAGGGGCCCTGAGTTCCCCACCCAACAACACCGCTCCCGCCCGCGTCAGACGGATGGGGGGCATCTCGTGTATACTCGTACTTCTACTACCATCTGCCTCGCGCCATGGGGCCACGTGCGGTAAGTAGTGCGGTTCGAACACAGAAGCATACTTAGCACAACAAATCAAGCGAAAGAGTCCTCGTCCGACTCGGGCTCGGCCGCGGCAGCCACTGGAGGAGGAGAAGCCGGCCGCGGCACGACGGGCGCGGCGAGAAACGAAGGTGGGGCGTGCCGCTCCTGGACAACGGGAACGACACGTCTCTGTACCACACAATCGTCGAGCCACGCGCGGTTCACGACCGGGGCCCCGTTGGCCGGCGGCGCCGCGGCCCAGACGTCGGCGAGCACGTGCGTCGCGGCGTCCGGGGCCACGACGGTCGCGCCGTAGAGCCGGAGCCGCGACGCGAGGCAGGCGGTCTCCGGCGCGACGGCGACGCGCGCCGGGCGCAGGACGCGCGAGAGCGGCGTCACGCCGTGCGCCGCGAGCGCGGCGTCGGTGTCCGGCGCCTCATCAACAACAGCGTCGTCGTAGAACCAGTGGCCGCCGCGGTGCGCCCGCGCGTGCGCCGCGCAGGTCCGGAGCTCGTCGACCGACGGCGCGCGAAATCTAGGCAGGCCCCAGACCGGCTCGAAGGTCTGCTGCAGCTCCTCGAGCTTCTGCGGCGGCGGCGTCGCGAGGTAGTGGCGCGGCGCCGGCGCGAGGCGCACGCCGGCGGCGACGCACTCGGCGCACCAGGCCGCGTCGAGCACGGCGTAGCCCGTCGACGCGTAGGCCGTGACCATGAGCAGACGGCCGTCGCCCGCCGCGCCGAGGACGATCAGCGGCGCGTCGGGGTCGAACTCGTCCGGCGCGGCGCTCCGCACGACGCCGCCCGCCTCGGCGATCAGCTGCAGCAGCGCCGGCCGGTCCAGGTCGCCGCAGCGCGCCGACGGCAGCGCGAGGAACTCGTCCTTCTTGAACACCTTGGGCTTCGTCGAGGCCTGCCGCAGCTCCTCGAGCGCCTCGACGTCGACGAGCTGGTCGCGCCGGACGCCGTCCGCCTGCTTGCGCGTGATTTTCTTCTTCTTCTTCTTGCCGCCGGCGCCGGCGCCGCCGATCTTGGCAACGGTGCGCTTGCGCTCGCCGACGCGCCGCACCTCGTCGAGCGTCGACACGTCGTCGGCGCCCTTGTCCTCGCGGACGCGCTCGACGCGCGGGAACCGGAACGTGCGGCCCACGCTCCCGTATTCGGTCGAGACGACGAGCTCGGCGCACTTTATTTCCAGGACCAGGGACTTGGACGGGTCCCGTACTATCAAGTCGGGCCTGTTGTCGGGTTTTGGGTGCCACCCGCCGTCCAGCCAGTCCGGGCGCGACTTCGGGTCGTAGTTGTCCAGATTGCCCTTTAGTTTTTCGTGGATATCCTTGACGCGCGCAAAGCCGTAGCCCGTGCCCACCCTCCCGACCGCGTAGAAGCGGCCCGTGTGCGGGCACCGCGCCGCCACCGTGTACTTGGACAGGCGCCCCGTGCGCCCGCCCGTCGCCGCGTCGGACCAGTTGCCCGCCACTATTAAATAGTCGAGCCGCGGGATGTCGCCGTCGGCGCCGTACTCGGGCTTGAGCTTGATCCACGCCCGCGTCGCGCGCGACCGCTCTCCTAGGATGTAGGGCGAGTCCAGGAGCTTGACGACGACGCCCTCGCCGCCCCTCGAGACGACCTGGTCGTAGAACGCGTGGAGCTGATCGACCCGCTTTTTGTCTTCTGTATCTGTAATGTTAATATGCTCCACCATGCGGATGCGCCGGAACGCCGCGTCTTCCCTTCTCGTGATACGCTCGGCGATGCGCCTTCTTATTTTCAGGGGGAGGTGCCCGAGCGCGCCCGGCTTGATCTTCTTGCCGGCGTCGTCCTCGCCCAGCAGCTCCTCCGCGCCGTCCCCGCTCAGATATAACGCATCAAAGCACACGAACACCAAACGAGCCGTCTTGATCTGCTCCGCGTCCACCGTCGAGTCGTTCATCTGGGCCACCGACTCCTCGATCGACTTGACGACGTGCTCGTCGTTGGGGTCAAAGTGCACCGTCGGCAGCCCTCGATCCTTAAGCGCACGCTCGACGCGCGAACACGTCTGGTTCGACCCGAAGCGCACGCACTCGCCCGTCTGCGTGCACACCGCGAGGCACTCGCCGTCCAGGATCGCCGCGTCGCATCCCTGCAAGCACTTAAGGAGCGTCTCCGAGATGCAGGGCCCGTAGTGGGACGTGTAGTCCGTCGGGCTCCGCGTCCAGAGGCGTATCTCGCCGTTCACGAGGTGGGCCATGATCCGCTCGCCGTCGAGCTTCACCTCGCACGTGATCGGCGGCACGCCCTCGATGCCGAACCGCTTCTTGGCGACGCGTTGCAGCTCCCGCACGGTGTGCGTCGCCTGGTCGTCGATGTTCGGCTCGCCGTGCGCCAGCATCGGCTTGAAGGACTCGCCGGGCTCGACGCGGCCCGCGGGCGTCGCCGCGGCGTTGTGGCCCGGGCCGCCCACGGCGTACTCGGCGCAGACCTTTTTCAGGTTCTGGCACTCCGCATACCGGTCCTTCGCCGACCGGTGCAGGTGCTTGAAGATCGTGTTGTCCCCGAGGCCGCCGAGCTTCAAATTGCCGATAATGACGCGCGCGAGCCACTTGTGCTCGCGCGGGCTCAGGCGCGTGTAGACCTTTTCGAAGATCGTCCGCTTCGTCTCGCTCTTCGTCATGCGCGCGAGCTGGTCGAGGAAATCGTGCACCTCGCCCAGCGTCATGTCGCCGTGCGGCGGCACGCGGCCCTTCAGCACTTCCACGAGCGCCGCGCCGAGCTCCGCGCCCATGTGCGTGCCGCGCGCCGACGCCGTGCCGGCGAAGAAGTGGAGCTTGCCCGCGGCTTTATTTTTCGCCGGGTCCGCGCCTTTTAATCCAGTGAGCTGCAGGTAGAGCTGCGCGAGGCCCTTCTCCTTGAGGCCAAAGTTCCGCCGTCCGACGTCGAGGCTCGTGCACAGGAGCCGCACGACGGGGTAGAGCGACTGCTTGCCCGCGGCCTTGAGGAGCTCTCGGTCGAAGACGAGGCCGTGCTTCGCCGACTGGGGCCCCGGCGCTTCGGCGCGGTCCAGGCGCGCGCAGATGCTCGCGAACGACAAGGCGTGCATGTTGCCGCAGCGCTCGTGCTCCGGTAATTGCGACTCGTCCTCGACGACGGACGGCTCGTGCCGGCGGCCGCTGTGGTCCGCGCAGCCGTCCTTCTTCCCGCCAAAGTACTGGCCGCGGTTCCACGACATCTGTGTCTTTTTGATACCGTCGCGGGTCTCGCGCGCCGCCTGGCGTGCGCTGCTAGTTTTGAGTGTGAGACGGCCCGCGCTGATTAGTTCTGCGCAGGGCTCGAGAGTTGTGCTCTGAGCTATGCTTTTACAGTGTTTCTTGCGCCGTAGGTCCTGCCCGGCACGCTGCTCCAGGCTGGCTCGGTCGCAGGAGCGGTTCGGCCTGGGGAGGCTAGAGTCTTACAGCCGCTAGCTGCCGACCCTCGGGAGTTCCCTCGGGGCAGTATCTAAGCGATGGGCAGTATCTAATATGTCGTAGGTGCTGCCCCGACGTGCTGCAGCCGGCGGTCCCACACCAAAGGCTCTCCTCCCCCTCCTTCTGTATGAGAAGAGAGAGCCTCCCCTGAGAGTCTGCGAGGTCACACACCAACAAGGAGCATGGACGGCGACACGAAGCACGGTCCCGACCGGCTCGAGGACGACGACCCCCTCGCCGTGACCGCTAGCACCTCACCACCGGAGAAGGAATGGGCCATCGATGCCGAGTCTAAATGGTACCGCCGCTACTGGTTCGCGTCGGCCCCCGTTACGCTGGCTGCCGTCGCGCTCGCGCCGCTGAGGCTCGCCTTCTGCGGCGACGCGTCGACGGGCGCCAACGCGCTGGCCTGGGGCCTCGACGTGTTTGCGTGGTGCGACGTGGTGCTGCTCACGTTCGTCCGGGCGCCGGACGAGACGTTGCGATGGCGCGGGCGGTTGGAGCGGGACTGGCTCGAGTACGTGGGCCGGGCGCCCGGTTTGATCCCCTGGGACGCGTTCGCGCGCGGTCGCGGGCCGCTCAACGCCGGCCGCCTGCTCGGGCTGCTGCGCATGCTCCGGTTCCGGCGGTGCTGGGCGGCGCTGAAGGAATTCGGCACGCTCGTCTGGCTGCCGCACTGGGTGAGCGTCGTGACGGACTACCTGGTCTTCTACCTGCTGGCGGGCCACACCGAGGGATGCTTGTTTTACCTGCTCGCACGGGGCCGGAACTTTGCGGACAACACCTGGGTCGCGCACCACGCGATCAATCTCGACGCCGAGCCGCTGCGGGCGCGCTACCTCAAGAGTCTGTCGTGGGCCTTTACGACGATCTCGACGGTCGGCTACGGGGACGTCTACCCCGTCTCGCAGCCCGAGATGATCTTTACGATCGTCGCGGTCGTGGCCAACCTGGGCCTGATGTGCTACACCGTCGCGAGTATCTCCACCATGTTTCGGCGCGAGGAGGAGGTCGCCGCCTTCCGGCAAGAAGCAACCGAACTGACCAAGTACCTCCGGGCGAACGGCGTGGAGCCGACGGAGCGCAGAAAGCTCGTGGCCTACAAGGCGCGCGTCTTCCGGACGACCGCCACGACGCACGTTTTGGACGGCTTCCCGGCGGCGGTGCGGACGCGGGTGCTGTTCGAGGGGCGCTGGTCGCAGATGCTCGCCACGACGCGCCTCTTCGTGGACGTGGCCTCGCGCGCGCGGCAGGAGGTGCTCGGGCGCGCGACGGAGGCGCTTTATATGGAGGGCATGGTCATCTGCGGCGCCGGCGCCGCTCCGACTGCTGCCTACTTACTCCACGCGGGCGCCGTGTCCGTTGTGGTCGGGGGCGAAGTCGTCGGCACGCTCAAGCCGGGCGCTCCTCTGTGTTGCGAGGCGTTCTTCGCCGGGGCGCTGCAGCGTTGGACGCTCGTCGCCGCGACGACCGTCTCGGTGGTGGCGTTGCCCGAGGGAGCGTTCCGCGACGATCCCGCCGATTTGACCATAGTGCTCCGCAACTTGCGGCGAGACGCGAACGCCTTCGCTCACCACGCGCGTGGCCTCGGCGAGCTCAAGCGCGAGGACGACCCGGCGTACACGGCCGCATTCGCGCGCATCGAGCTCAGCCCGGCGTTCGCGGACGCCTGTGACGCTGCGGTCGACGAGCTCCGAGCGGCGGAGCAGCGCACCGAGGCCTCCCTGGCCGAAGTGCTCTGCGACTACTGCGCGCGCGGCGACGCGAAGCGCGCCGCGCGGCTGCTGGAACGGCTGCCTCGCGGCGGTCGCTACCGCGATTTAGCCGACTACGACAAGCGCTCGCCCGCGCATTTAGCGGCGGCCCACGGGCGGACGGAAATCCTGCGGCTCCTGGACGAGTATGGCCTCGCCCTCGACGGCGTCGATATCTTTGGTGGCACGCCGTTGTACGATGCGGCGGTGAAGGCACACGACGCCGAAGCGGCCGTGGACTTTTTGAGGGAGCGCTGCGGGCCGCTCGTCGTGGCGGACCTCGCCGGGACGCTCTGTCGCTTCGCGTTCGACGCCAACGTGGCCGTCTTGCAGCGATTGCTGCGGGCCGGGGCGGACCCGGACGCCGCGGACTACGACCAGCGGCGGGCGCTCCACATCGCCGCCGCCGAGGGCCACGCAAAGACCTGCCGGCTCCTGCTCGACGCCGGCGCCCCGGTGGACTGCCGCGACCGCTGGGGCCAGACGCCTCTGATCGAGGCCGTGGCGGCCAAGCACCTCGACTGCGTCGTATTGCTCCTGGAGCGGGGCGCCGACGCGTCCGCCACGGACCGCGGCGGGCGGCGCGTCGCCCTGGCTGCAGTCGACGCGGAATCGGACGACTGCCTGGCGGCCGTGGTCGCCGGCGGCGGCGCCGACGCGGGAGATGACGTCGCGGGCGCGACGAGGCTGTGCGCGGCGGCTGCGGCGGGGGATTTGACATTGGTGGAGCGGCTCGTACGGGCGGGCGTCGCTGTCGACGCGTCCGACTACGACCGCCGCACTGCCCTACACCTTGCTGCCGCGGAAGGGCGCGTCGCGGTGGTCATGAAATTGTGCGAGCACGGCGCAGACATCCATTTCCGCGACCGCTGGGGCCACGACGCCATCGACGCGGCGACCGGTGGCGGCCACGCGGACCTCGTCGCGCAGCTCCACCTGCTCGAGAAGCATTGATTTGTCCATAGTGAACATAGTAAGCCTGTTGTACATTTACTTTACGTCCCGGGCCGGCGGGCCACTGGCAGTCTTGTAACACGCTTCGTCCAGACGCGCACCAGTTGGCACCAGTCAAAAACAAACATACCATCATTAAGCAACAAACAGCGCTTCCTCGGCGTCGCGGCGCAGCAATTCCTCGCCGTCGCGCAGCCCCTCCTCGAAGCGCTCGCGCGCCCGTCGACGCGTCAGCACCGCGCCCTCGAGGAATGCGCGAGCGTTGAGGAGCGAGGCGTCGTAGCGAAGGAACGGGTGCGGCCGCTGCGTGCCCGCGCCCAGACCAGCAGCGACGACACCGGGTGCCGCGTGGACGCCCGCGCCCGTCAGGATCGACACTTCGACGGTAGGCAGCGTCGCGTCGACCGGCAGCGGGTCCGACAGGCCGCCGTCGTGGTGGAACAAACCATCTTCGAAGACGTCCACTCCCACGAAGTCGAGGCAGCAGCTCGCGGACACGGCCCGGAACACGGCGGCGTCGTCGGCAAAGTCCGTCAGCGAGACGTTCCGTGGCCGGAGGAGGCCGTCCTCGAACGTCGTCGTGTGCGCGACGAGCTTGCCCGAAAGGCGCCGGGCCGCGCCGTCTCGCGTGACGCCGACGGCGTCGAGCGTCCGCTTCAGCAGCACGTCGTGCGGCTTGAGCACCTCGCGCGCCCGGAGCTCCTCGAAGAACTCGCCCGAGACATAGTGCTCCAAGCAATCGCGAATGGCCTCCGGCGCTTCGAGGAGCACGAGGGATACGATCGCGCCTCCTGACGTGCCGTGGACGCGGTCGACGCGGTCCATCAAGCTTGACTTCTCGGCGATCGTCGCGGCGATGCCGAAGTGATACGCCATCATCATGCCCGAGCCGCTAAAACTGAGCGCGAGCCGCCGCCCGTCCGACGTCGCGAGGGAGCGGCGCGCGGCAGCAGCAGCAGCGCGCCGCGCGCCGACGAGGACTCGCGCGGCCCGCATGCGCTGGATCGCCTGTGAAGCAGGGAACTGTCGCGCTACCGCGGCAGCCGCGAGGCGTCGAAGACGCGCGGGCGGGCTTTGCGTTGGCGAGCGCAGGGGCCCTTCGCAGGGCCCGGTCCGGCTCTCCCGGGCACTTCGGCTCCGCACGTTCATTGATTAACGACCGGCGGGAATTTGACATGGCCCGGTGTCGAAGGGTCGTTTCTTCACGCCGCGCCGCACCTTTGATCAAACGTCACCGCCTCGAGAATAGAAGATGCGCCTGCGGAGGAAAGGCCAGTGACACGCCGCACCCCCCTGGGTTGGATCGGGCCGCGTCGCAGCGAAAGAGGCTTCATAAATCTATCCATAGGTGTTGTTCGTCGACATGCGGTTCGGAGTGGTGCATGAAGGGTATAATCACGAGCCGGGCGCGAAAGGTGGGGTGGCGACGCTGCACGCTTGCGAGAGTCTCCGGCGCACCGGTAGCTCTGGAGCCTGCGGGGACCGGCGCGGTAAAGGCGGCGCGATCGCCCCGAGGGGGTTCAATCGAATCAACGAGCGGTGCACTCAAACAGTATGAATATCCAATTTGTGAAATCACGAAAACCGGTCTGTTACCTCCGGGAGTCATAAACACAGGTGAGTTTGTTCATCATCGTGCTTGGGTTGGTTGCGCGAGTCGGACGCCGCGACGCGCCTTTGTTATTATCGGGTGCTATCGCTCGCTCGCGAACTGGTCTCGCGCATGCGTGCGGACGTCCCGCGCGTCGACGACGGGCGCAGCGCCTGCATGCCACTGCACAGCAACCTCGCCAGCTTCACCTGCAGCGCGATGCCAGCCCTCGGCGAGCCAAACTGAGGCGAGCGCCGTCGAGAGCGGCTGCGTGCGCAGTAGAAGGCCAGCCACTCAGCCCTGTAGCGGTAGAGCTCGAGCTTCAGCCGGCCAAGCTGTCTAGCGTCTCATAGACACTCTAGACGACGGGCAGCCGTCCAAAAACCGCCCAGCGCGTCCACTACACAGCGCTGACATCCGAGTGCCGCGGATTAGTTTTCAAACAGCTGCGACGCGACAGCACCCATGGCCGAAATTGCGTCCGCTACGATGCCGGCGGGCGAGATGCCCAAGCCCAGGCGGCAGAAGAAAGTTTTCAAACCGCCGTCGGATGCGCAAGTCTGTAAGACCAAGGTCCGCTCCCCCGTGTACCTGGATGTGCGCGCCTTCGAAAATTGGAGCGAACGCGCTCAACGCACGGCCGCGGCGACGTCGCTCGACGCCGCTGGAGCTCCTCGGCCGGATACCGCCGCTTGACACCGCTCGCCGCCGCATGACACACCACTCGCACCTCATCAGTCGCCTCCGCGCAGGTGTCGATCGCGCGGCGCCTCGTCAAGGAGGTCGCGCACTACGAAGCCGAAACCAAAAAGGACGAGGCGCGCGTCGAGGCCATGCGCGCCGACCCGACCAAGGACGAGTACGACGTGAAGAAGATGCTCGAGGTCGTCGAGGAGTCGAGGATGATGATCCCCGACGCGACGCGGCGCCTGGGCGAGGCCATCAACGAGCTCTTCTCCTTCATCGAGGAACACCACGCAACGACGGAGGTCCTCGAGTGCGAGTCGTACGCCGAGGCGACGGCGTTGCTCGAGAAGTACGACGACATGGTCACGGACTGATAAGTCAACTTTTGTTCTGAATTGATTCGTTCGAGGCCCGGTCCCGGAGATGGTCCCGGCCTCAAGTCGCGAGCCCTGTTCGATTCTTCGGGCCCTGCCAGGCCTTACAGCAGGTACGATACCACCGTGACTATCTAGGCACCTGGCAAATTCAAGACTACTTACGACCACGAGCCGGAGAAGATGATGAAGCCGCCTCCCCGAACATCCGCACTTGTCGACAGACGGCAGCGATCGGATCCTCGGCGGGCGACGCGTCGCCCGAGCGCCGCTGCTGCCGGCTTCGCGCGCGCCGCGCCGCGTGGCTGATCTTGAGCGACTCGTCAATGTCCCCGACGCGGTCGTCGTAGAAGATGCCGCCCCACGACACGGCTGGCTTCGGGCTGAGCTTCGGCAGCGGCGACGGCGGCGCCTCGGGCGCCGGCTCGGGCTCCGGGGGTGATGGTGGCGGCGACGGCGGCGCGGGGCGCGGCCGCTCGACCTCCATTCGCGCGAAGAGCCGCTCGAACTTGTTCAGTTCTTCCCGCGCGGAAGCGTGGGCCGACCGCGTCCGCGCGGCGCTTGCCTCTTGCTCGTCCCGCTTCTTCTTGGCCTCGATGCGCGACCGAAGCGCCGAAAGGTTCGGCATGAGCTGCTCGGGCGTCGGGCCTTCGCTCGCGTCGTCGGGCGGCGCGAGCACGGGGCTAATGACGACTTCTTCCTCCTGGCCGCCAAAGTCGTCGCGGGTCGTCGGTGCGACGACCACGACCGCGGCAGCCGCGATGCGATCCGCGTCGCCAAAGGCCGCGTCCGAGAGGTAGCGGCCCGAGACCTTGGCGCTCTGATTTCTATACAGGACGACGGTATGCCTGACGCCGAGCGCGACGTCCTCGGCGCCCCACTTCCCGGGCTGCTCGCTCATCAGCGGCGACTCGAGCGGGCTGGCCGTCACGTCGCGCCGCGTCGACATGAGCGAGGCAACTTCGGGTCCGAGACCGAGCTGACCCTCGTCGGAAAAGCCCCACATGAGCACCGCACCCGAGGCCGTCACGCAGGCCGAGTGCCGCGCGCCGCAGCTCACGCGCACGGCGCCGCCACTCCGAAAGGGCAGCGCGACGCCTTCCGGTAACTCCACCGGCCGATCCGATGCGCGCCCGAGGCCGAGGGCCCCGTGCTCGTTGTCCCCAAACGCGTAGACGCGGCCGTCGCTGAGCAGCGCGAGAGAATGCTGGTCGCCGCCCGCCGCCGCGACGACATGCCCGGAATGCGGATCGTCGCAGATCGGCAGCAAGACGCGTGCTGGCAGTTTCTGCGCGCCCGTGGCGCCCGTGCCGAGGCGGCCACGGTCGCCAAAGCCCCACGCGTAGAGCCGCGCGACGACGACGCCCGCGCCCGCGCTGGCCGGCTCCCAGGCCACGGCGAGCGTGTGGTGCAGGCCGCACGCGACGTGCCGGATCAGAGCCCCGCGCCACTGGAAGAACTCGACCGCCGCCGGAGCCGTCGAAAAGTCGGCGTCGTTCTGCTTTGGAATCGCGGCCTTGCGCGTCTCGCGCTTGACCGGCTGGTCATCGTCCTCGCCGGAGCCCTGGCCCAGCTGCCCGCCGCGGTCGTCGCCCCAAATGTAAAGGGCGCCCGCCGCCTGGCCGGCCGCCGCGACGACGACCGCCGTGTGCGCGCCGCCGGCCGCGACGCTGATGATCCCGCCGTCGGGCAGGCCCTCGACGCGCTTCGGCGCAGTCTGGCCGCGGCAGTCGCCGTGCCCGAGCCGCCCGCGCGCGCCCGCGCCCCAGGTGAACACCGTCCCGTCGGCGAGCGCGACGACGGCGTGGCGCGGACCGCAGGCGACAAGCCGCGCTCGCCGCAGGCCGCCGAGCGTCTTCTGGACGACGGCGCGCGGCGCGTGGCCGCGGGCGCCGTGCCGGAAGATCGGGCCGCCGCCCCAGCCGACGAGGCGCCCGTCGGCCGCGACCGCGATAGTGGCGCTCTCCGCCGCGGCGACGGCGCACAGGAAGTCGCCCGCGGGGTCCATCTCGCCGCCGCCGTCCTCGTCGAGGTCGAGGCCCGCGAGCCACGTCACGTACGCCGGCCCGCCGTCCCCCGGAGCCGCCGCCGGATCGGCGACGTCCCGGACGCCGCACGCGAAGAGCCGCGTGGCCGTTTCGCGCGCCGGAGGCGGCGCCGCTTGCACGGCGCGGCGCGACTTGCGCGGCCGCGCCGCGGCCGTCGCCAGTGCCTTCTCTCGCCGGTCGAGCCTTCGCAGTTCGCCGTCGAGGTCGAGCGGGCCGTCGTCGGGTTCCGCGGCCGGCGCCGTCCGCGACCGCCGGCGGCTGGCCCGCGGGGGGGACGCCGCCGCGATGTCGTCGTCATGCGACCGGCGCCGTCGGAGCGGTGCCGGCCGCAGCTTGCTGCCGCCGAGGGGAATGCGCCGCGACGGCGCCGTCGCCGACGCGACGGACGGCGTGCGCAGGGACCGCGTCGCGGAGCCCTTGCCCAGGTCCAGGTCGGGCAGGAGCTGGAGCTTCTTCATTGACTTTTTGCTCGTCCGGACGTCCGCAATCTCCGCCTTAAGCTGCTGATTTTCCTTCAGGACCTGGTCCAGCATGAGTCGCATCGTCTCCGCATCCATCTCGTCGACCATGGCTGCACACGCCGCGATGTGAGGCCCTCGAAGAACGTGTTCGGGCAGCGCTCGACGCCGTCGTCGCGTCCGCGTCGGGTGAGCGCCGGAGCAAACCGGCTTGGCAGCCGGCTAGCCCAGTCGTTGTCGGGCTCGGCCCGCGCGAGCCGCGCACGCGGGCGAGGAGAGGGGTGCCCATCGCGTTTAGAGTTCTAGGACGTAATGGATCGACTCGGGCTCGAGAATACGAATCAATTCATAGGGTTAGGGTTCGGGCCAGCTCACCGGGCAGGGCCCGAAGGGCCCTGGCCCCAGGGCCGAAGGCCCTGGGGCAGGATGTTAGTGTTCTGTGTCAGGATTGAGGTTATGGGTAGTCTTTGGTGGCTGGTGCGGGACATAGGGTTAGGGTTCGGGCCAGCTCACCGGGCAGGGCCCGAAGGGCCCTGGCCCCAGGGCCGAAGGCCCTGGGGCAGGATGTTAGTGTTTGGAGTCAGGATTGAGGTTGTGGGTAGTCTTTGGTGGCTGGTGCGGGACATAGGGTTAGGGTTCGGGCCAGCTCACCGGGCAGGGCCCGAAGGGCCTTGGCCCCAGGGCCGAAGGCCCTGGGGCAGGATGTTAGTGTTTGGAGTCAGGATTGGAGTCGCGGGCGTCTTGGTGGCTGGTGCGGGACATAGGGTTAGGGTTCGGGCCAGCTCACCGGGCAGGGCCCGAAGGGCCCTGGCCCCAGGGCCGAAGGCCCTGGGGCTGGATGTTAGTGTTCTGTGTCAGGATTGAGGTTATGGGTAGTCTTTGGTGGCTGGTGCGGGAAATAGGGTTAGGGTTCGGGCCCGCTCCCCGGGCAGGGCCCGAAGGGCCCTGGCCCCAGGGCCCGAAGGGCCCTGGGGCTGGATGTTAGTGTTCTGGGTCAGGATTGAGGTTGTGGGTAGTCTTCGATGGCAGGAGTGCGGGTTAGGGTTGGGTTAGGGTTGGGTTAGGGTTGGGTTAGGGTTGGGTTAGGGTTGGGTTAGGGTTGGGTTAGGGTTGGGTTAGGGTTGGGTTAGGGTTAGGGTTAGGGTTAGGGTTAGGGTTAGGGTTAGGGTTAGGGTTAGGGTTAGGGTTAGGGTTAGGGTTAGGGTTAGGGTTAGGGTTAGGGTTAGGGTTAGGGTTAGGGTTAGGGTTAGGGTTAGGGTTAGGGTTAGGGTTAGGGTTAGGGTTAGGGTTAGGGTTAGGGTT